TATATCTTTATTAATATTAAATTATAAATCTTCTTTTTTTTCTATATTTAATAGATTAAAATTCTCTTTTTATATTATCGTAAGTAGCTATTTTATAATTATAATATAACTAGTATATTTAATAGTACTTTATATTTCTTATATTTTATATAATATACTAATAACCTAAATAAAATAAAAAAATTAAAAAATTATAAGAGTTAATTTTATTAGAGTAATATATAAGATTTAAGAGTAGAGTTTATTATATTATAAAATATTTATTTAGTAAGTATAGAATATATACTTATTAAATAGGCTTTAAATATTATATTATATAATTTTATTTTTATATAAAGTAATATTCTTTATATACTCTAATTTTTATATTAATAGGTAATAATTTTATTATTTAGCTACTATTTCCTTTAATACTAGATATAGTATTTATTATTTATTTTTACTATTTAAAATTATTATATACTTTTAATTTATTTAATAATATTAAATAAAGCTAGAAATAAATAAAAATATAATATTATTTATATCTTTAATAATATATAATATATATAATACTATTTATACCTCTAGTAGTATAAATACAGCTGCTTAAAAAGCACTATATTATTACTAAATAGCTCTAATAGTAAGTAAATACTCTATATTCACTTCGCCCCACATAATAGGCCAGCACCAGAACCCTACCCCCCGATGCACCCACCATTCAGGGTCAACTGTCAGGGCACCGTACCTAGCTGTCGGTAGTCAGAGTCATAGCGAGTCACACGGCCGTGATCGGTGCCCCTCTATTTTTTACTCACCGGCCCTTGGTGAGATCGATCGCTGCAAGCCAAACATCCACCTCCCACCAGTCCACCATCAACTCCACGGGCAATTAGCATCAGCAAGTTGCCTTGTGTCCCTCAGACGACAAGAGTCTGTCATATACGTGCAATTCGGCATGGCTGGAGCCAAGGAGCAGGGTCCCGAGAGGATCTCAATTCTCGGCGAGGCCAACATCATTGTCGAGCACGGCTTGTGGCTTGACTTCGTTGCAGAAGACCTCGTTCAGAACATTCCGACGTCCACCTACGTCCTCATCACCGATACGAACCTCTTCAACACCTACGTACCTGCCTTTCAATCTCGCTTCGAGGCCGCCGCTGCGAGTAAGCCGACCCGCTTGCTCACGTATGCCATTCCGCCGGGCGAGGCGTCCAAGAGCCGCGAAACAAAGGCTGAAATTGAGGACTGGTTGCTGTCGCGGCAATGCACGCGCGACACCGTCATAATCGCTTTGGGCGGCGGCGTCATGGGCGACATGATCGGTTATGTCGCCGCAACCTTCATGCGCGGAGTCCGCTTCGTTCAGGTGCCTACAACCTTACTCGCCATGGTTGACTCATCGATCGGCGGCAAGACAGCCATTGACACACCGATGGGCAAGAATCTTATAGGGGCTTTCTGGCAACCCCAGCGCATATACATCGACTTGGCTTTCCTTGAGACCTTGCCTGTTCGCGAGTTCATTAACGGCATGGCCGAGGTCGTCAAGACGGCCGCCATCTGGAACGAGGCCGAATTCGCCGTTCTAGAAGAATCCGCTGCCCAGATCCTGGAATGCGTCAGGGCCAAAGGCGCTGGACGCCTAGACCCGATCAGAGATGTGCTCAAGCAGATAGTCGTCGGGTCCGCCAAGGTCAAGGCTGAGGTTGTCTCCAGCGACGAGCGCGAAGGCGGTCTCCGCAACCTCCTGAACTTTGGCCATTCGATTGGGCACGCAATTGAGGCTCTCCTTACCCCACAGCTTCTCCATGGTGAAGCCGTAGCCATTGGAATGGTCAAGGAAGCGGAGCTCGCGCGTTACTTGGGAGTCCTTCGTCCTGGAGCCGTCGCCAGGCTGGTCAAGTGCATTGCCAGCTACGACCTGCCAACCTCCCTCACAGACAAGCGTGTGGTCAAATTGACAGCTGGCAAAGAATGTCCTGTGGATGTGCTCCTCGAGAAGATGGGAGTCGACAAGAAAAACGACGGTAAGAAAAAGAAGATTGTGCTGCTTTCTGCCATCGGCAAAACCCACGAGCCCAGGGCCAGTGTCGTCGATGACAAAACAATACGGGTTGTACTCTCGCCTGCCACTCGAGTAACTCCCGGAGTGCCGAGTAACCTCAATGTCACCGTCACCCCCCCTGGCTCCAAGAGCATCTCCAATCGCGCCCTTGTGCTCGCTGCTCTTGGATCAGGTATCTGCCGCATCAAGAACCTTCTTCACTCAGACGATACCGAATATATGCTGTCAGCGATCCATCAGCTTGGCGGTGCTACCTACTCCTGGCAAGAAGCTGGCGAGGTCTTGGTTGTCGATGGGAAGGGTGGTCAGCTCCAGGCCAGCAAGGAGCCGCTTTACCTGGGGAATGCCGGGACAGCGTCTCGTTTCCTCACAACTGTCGTTGCCCTTTGTTCCCCTACCGTCGCCGCAGGATCTAGCGTCCTGACTGGAAACGCCAGAATGAAGGTCCGACCCATTGGCGCATTAGTCGATGCCCTGCGATCAAATGGCGTTGACATTGAATACCTTGGCAAGGAAAACAGCCTCCCACTTCGTGTTGATGCCGCCCAGGGGTTCAAGGGAGGCGTCATTGAGCTGGCTGCGACCGTCTCATCTCAGTACGTCTCGTCTATCCTCATGGCCGCACCTTACGCCAAAAACCCAGTGACATTGCGATTGGTCGGCGGAAAGCCCATATCTCAGCCCTACATCGACATGACTATCTCCATGATGGCTACTTTTGGCGTTAGTGTGACGCCCTCGTCCGATGAACCGAATACCTACCATATCCCTCAAGGTGTCTATCAAAACCCGGCTGAATACACCATTGAAAGCGACGCCAGCTCAGCAACGTACCCCCTTGCGGTTGCTGCCATTACTGGAACCACGTGCACCATCCCCAACATTGGTTCCAAGTCGCTCCAGGGCGACGCGCGTTTTGCCGTCGACGTATTACGCCCCATGGGTTGTACTGTGGCTCAGTCTGACTACTCTACAACGGTGACCGGTCCTCCCCGGGGCGAGCTCAAGGCTCTGGCACACGTCGATATGGAGCCGATGACGGACGCTTTCCTTACGGCCTCGGTCCTAGCTGCTGTGGCATCTGGGAAAACCAGAATTACAGGCATTGCGAATCAGCGTGTCAAAGAATGCAACCGAATCGCGGCAATGAAGGATCAGCTGGCTAAATTCGACGTGGTATGCAACGAACTTGAGGATGGAATCGAGGTCAACGGGAAGTCACAAGACGGTGGTCTCTTGGCACCCAAGGCCAGTATCCATTGTTATGATGACCATCGTGTTGCAATGAGCTTCAGCGTCTTGGCTGTTGCGTCATCGAGCCCCGTAGTGGTAACGGAACGCGAATGCGTTGGAAAGACGTGGCCGGGGTGGTGGGATATCTTGTCCCAATCCTTCAAGGTCGAGCTCGAGGGGATAGAGCCAAGCACCGATGCCCACGACGAAGCCAACAACGACACGAACAAGGACCGATCTATCTTCATCATCGGAATGCGAGGGGCTGGCAAAACTACTGCTGGCGGGTGGATGGCGAGATTGCTTGATTGGAAGTTCATCGACCTGGATCAGGAGTTGGAGAGACGGGCTGGCTGCACGATCCCCGAGATGATTAGGGGGGACCGGGGATGGGAAGGTTTCCGAGCAGATGAGATGGCCCTTTTGCGGGACGTTGTGGAGCATAAACCCCAAGGCCACATCTTCTCCTGCGGCGGCGGTATCGTGGAAACGCCCGAGGCGAGACAGCTTTTAAGAGAGTACGGCAAGAATGGTGGCCGCGTCATTCTGGTTCACAGGGACACCGACCAGGTCGTGGAGTACCTGATGCGAGACAAGACCCGACCTGCCTACACAAGTGAGATTAGACAAGTCTATCACCGCCGCAAGACTTGGTACGATGAATGCTGCAACCTTCTCTACTACAGCCCTCACCCAGAAACCTCGGACACTCAGCAAGAGATTCCTCACGACTTCCAACAGTTTGTGGCCTCGGTCTCAGGGAGAAACAATCACCTCGAGGAGGTGATGCGCAAGGATCACAGCTTCTTTGTCTCGTTGACGCTCCCTGATCTGAGCGAGGCCGCTGATTTGATTCCCAAGGTCGTGGTTGGATCTGACGCTGTTGAGCTTCGGGTAGACCTCCTGCGGGATCGCTCTATCGATTCGATTGTGCGACAAGTTTCTCTCCTACGCTCCCTGGCCAGGATCCCGGTCGTTTTCACACTACGCACCGAGTCGCAGGGCGGGAAGTTCCCAGATGATGCCATTGAAGAAGGCCTCGAGCTCTACCGGCTCGCCCTAAGGCTAGGTATCGAGTACATCGATGTCGAAATGACGCTTCCCGAGAGCGTGATCCAGTCAGTCACAGAGTCCCGTGGCAACTCCCGCATCATTGCCTCACACCATGACCCAGATGGCACATTGTCTTGGAAGAATGCCTCGTGGATGACGTTTTACAACCGAGCCCTGCAACACGGCGACATCATCAAGCTGATTGGAATTGCCCGCAGTGACGAGGACAACTTTGATCTCGCGAGATTCAAGGCAAAGATGTTGGCTGCTCAGAAGACACCCATGATTACCATGAACATGGGTCAGGCTGGCAAGCTAAGCCGCATCCTCAACAAGTTCTTGACTCCAGTTTCCCACCCCGCACTCCCTTTCAAGGCTGCACCAGGTCAGATGTCTGCCGCGGAGATCCGCCGCGGCCTTGCGCTTCTAGGCGATTTGGACTCGCAGAACTTCTATCTGTTCGGAAAGCCCATCTCCGCCTCACGTTCACCGGCTCTTCACAACACCCTATTTAGCCAGGTGGGACTGCCACACCAGTACCATCTGCTGGAGACCGACAACGTCACAGACTTGCGAGATGTCCTCCAATCCCCAGACTTTGGCGGTGCGTCAGTGACCATTCCCCTTAAGCTGGATATCATGGCCCATGTCGATGAGTTGTCCGTGGCAGCTAAAACCATCGGCGCCGTGAACACCGTTATTCCCATCGGCGCGGCGGATGCCAGCGGGCGCCGCCGCCTCCTTGGTGACAATACTGACTGGAAGGGAATGGTTTATGCTCTCCAGAATGCCGGTGTTGAAACCCAAGAAGAGTCAGATGCAAACCGCGCCGCCATGGTGGTCGGTTCTGGAGGCACAACCCGAGCGGCCATTTTCGCGCTGCACTCCCTTGGCTTCAGCCCGATCTACGTGGCCGCCAGGGACTTGAGCAAGGCAAAGGCGCTGACAGCAGACTTCCCTGTTGAGTATGGTCTACAGAGCCTTAGCGACGTGTCGGCCGCAGACAAGGTCTCCTTGAACCTCCAGGTCGTCATCAGCACTATCCCCGCCGATCGCCCAATTGATGCAGGCCTGCAAAATCTGGTCGCCCTGGTATTTGGTCGCCCTCCGGCGAACGAAGCGCATCGGGTTCTTCTTGAGATGGCCTACAAGCCCCGTCATACGCCAATTATGCAGCTCGCCGAGGATGCTGGCAACTGGACAACCATTCCTGGCCTCGAGGTCTTGGCTTCCCAGGGCTGGTATCAGGTGAGTGGACACAAAACGGGAGGCTACACTAGTAAATGCTAATCAACTTCCTTCTATAGTTTGGAAGCTGGACAGGAATCACTCCTCTTTACGTCGATGCCCGTGCTGCCGTCCTGGGCTCTTGATGTGTCTGTAGTGACGGTGTGGAGATCCTATATCTCTATCGTTCATTCAGGGGTGTTGGGATAGCTGGTTGGTCACTGGTCCTAAGTTATGAAAAAAGTTATATTAGACGAGATACAAAAGTTCAATGTGCTATCTATGTACAAGTTGCGCATTTTTATTGTGAGACAATGGCATTTGTAGGCTAGCTGTGTCCGTATGTCAGGGGCATCATTGAGTGGAGACTTGCGGGGCAACGGCAGCTGAAGTCGTTAATCATTGTTCAGATTATATCATACATCGTCTATCTTGATCTGCAATTGAGCCCCGCTGGGTGTAAAGACAGAGAAAACAAAAATAAAATCCACGATCCGTGATCGGCAAACTTTCCATTCCCATCTCCTCATGACATCGTATGACTCCATAATGCAAAATTCAGCCCTGTGCGCTACATCCAACCCTTGCGGGCAATAACCCACCCAACAAGAAACCCCTGAAAACCAAGGCAAAGGAATACATTGTACATGTAATCAAACTTTAACAGTCCTCTTTCTTTTTTGTCTAGACCAGTCCTTCCATTGCGCCCCCCTAAGCTCAGGCGCTTTAGGCCAGCTAAGTCAAGTCGACCTGGGCTCGGCGGCGCCGTACTGCGTGTGTGCGTGTGTATAAATGTAGAGTTACATCGGAGCGTAGGAAGTAACATCCAGTGTCGATTCCTTCTCCTTCGATTAGGTGCCAGAAACCAGAAACAAACTGGATCAAAGCAAGACAGCAAGCATATCGTCATCCACTGCCGACGCCATGTCATCATCAGGGTGCGATGGTCATGGTGGGGGTGGGGCGGTGATGTCAGAGTGCCGCTATGACGTCAGAATTGGACCCTGCAGGACCCTTTGACCCACCACCCGTTTTCAGCCCTTTGCGCTTGCAAGAGCCTTGACCGAGCGGCCCAATGCCAAGCGTCAGTCCTTGGACAGTCCACGTCATGCAGCATCATCCGTTCAGTTGCGTGAGGCCACCAGAAAACCAACCAGCTGCGGGAGAGCTCCGGGAATTCAGGCTCCTCCGCGCCGCCGGTGCTTTCCCGGGAGCTCCATGTCGGGATGGCACACCCGGTAGTGCCTCGTCAGGGCATCAGCTCGGCTGAAAGTCTTTTCCTCGGTGCAGAGGTTGCACCGCACCTTTTGCTTGCGGGCATTGTGGATCGTGTCCTCGTGTCGCGTCAAGTCGTAAGGCCTTGAAAATACCGTGCTGCATGGCTTGCCTGTGCTGGGGTTGATCCTGTCACATCGGTGAGGGCCAGCCTGGCTATTGAGCATGTTTGATGTCATGCCCACAATTTCGCGGGGTCGTGGTCCGCCAAGTGTCTGTGTCTGGCGATGGCCCTCCCGTTTATGTTTCTGGAGAAGGGCTGGAGTCTCAAATCGCAGGGTACAGCCGTGGTATGTGCATGTGTATGTTCCGCCGTCCGCCGCCGTTCCATTGGGTCGCCCCAAATGGGCAGGTGTGTTGGTTCTCGACGCCGTGGAACTAGATCCTGCGGAGCTCAATCGTGGAGGAGTATCATGAGTGTGTCGGGAGTGCGCGACAAATGGATATTGCTGAGGTACTGGAATACCGCTTGGCAGCTGAGAGTGGAGGTAGTTGAACTGGCTGCTGCTGCTGCCATCATGGCCATTCACATCCTGTGAGCCTTGGGATGCCATAGCCTTGGAGAATTGGTCAATCTCAAAGGCGGTAGGGTCTTGAGGGAAGAGCGGGAAGTTTGCCTCTCCGTCAGGCTCATTGAACTCGAGAATGGCATCTTTGGGCGAGATGGTCTTGGGAGTCTCTGGTTCAGCTCTCTGAGTCATCTGCTGGTGCAGGAGTTGCGCCTCATGCTGCGCCTTGTTCTGCTCCCTCATTTGCTGGGCCGTGTTGAAGGGCATGTTCTGGGCCACTGAGCCAGTTCCAAAGTCGTGAGTGGGCGAGGGAGCAAGGGGAGAGCCGGCGAGGAAGGGCGACCTACCCCGAGACGTAGTCGAGGCGGGCGAGTGTGCGGCACTGAGATGCTGGCTGTTGGCGGCGTGGAGTCGTTGGCTGAAGAGATCATTACTGGGCGAGACAGCCATCTGAGGTTGAGAAGGTGGCGTGGAGGTGATGGCGAAGTTGGGGCTGAAGAGCTCGTCGTTGTAGACATCCGTCATCGTCCTGTCCAGCTTTGGAACGTGGGCGAAGCCTGGAGAAAGAAATTGTGAGTGACTGCTGGCGTTGCCGGAAGGGGCGGAGGTAATACCTTTCCGCCTCCTCTCTGAGATGTCAGACTCACCAACCGTAGGAGTGGCAGGTGAGTCACCTGCGATAGAGCTCGCCACCGAGGCAGGATGTGACCGCGATGAACCAGTAGCGAAGTCGGGGGCGGGAATGAAGGCCCTGTCTAATCGTGGCTTGCCACCAGGGCCAGAGATGGTGATCGGATATGCCATCTCGGGCATGACTTGCTCCATGCCACCGCAGTTCTGGTATCCTGGATAAGGGCCCGCGGACTTTGCAAGGTGATAGTAGGAACCTTGGCTGTTGGCAGAAGTGTGGTCGGCCAAGCCGTCGTGGGCAGGGTTGGTGATGGCGATCTGAGGGTTCGAGTTGCCGTGGGCGAAGGGGGAGGCGGGAGCGGCGCCAGAGGATGCCAGAGACGACAAGGAGGATTCGCGTTGATGGGCAAACCGAGCCAACCTAGGGGTCTGCTGGGCGAGAGCTCCCCAGTGTTCGGACTGCATCAGTTCGGCGGGGAGCTGCGAGTCGAGAATGGCGATGCTGTCGTCGAGGTCCGACCCGGCAAGGTCAATGGAAGAGGGCGAGTAGGTGTTTTGATATTCGGGTTGGTAGTCGGCGGGATATGAGTATGGCTGGAAGTGAAGTTGATGTTGATGTTGTTGCTGTTGATGTTGATGTTGGTGTTGCTGAGGAAGAGATATCATGATTGTCGAAGGCAGGATGGAGATGGGTTGTTTAAGGTTGGGGAAGGAGTGGCAAAATGACGGGATGGCTGGCCTTTATAAGCTGGCCCGGCCGAACCGGTCGGTGCAGGAGCCGCTGGTCAGTCAGGACTTTGTCAAGTCTGTCTGGAGAGCACCGTGGAACCCTGAAGACTAGAGTCGGAAGACTGGAGATGAGTGGAGACTGGCGTCGATGTAGCGATGGAGCGTCCCCACAGGCCGAGACCCCAAGAAAAGCCGTGGACCCACTTAATGATGCACAGACAGGAGCCCAAGTCCGGGAGATGGTGTGGTAGAACGCAGGGTGGTGTGGGTGGTGTGGGTGTCCTGGTACGAAGGCCTGCTCGAGGTACGTACAAGGTACGTAGTAAAAGGTGGTGCGTAGTGCCAGTCAGTGTGGTGTGGGTGTTGCGATGTGCGATGGTTGATGGTCGATGGTCGATGTTCGATTGACGATGGATGGGAGACGGATGTTTCTTTCTTGGTCGGCTCAAGTATCTAGACCGGTTGGATGCGGGTGTGTGGTGGGTGAAATGGCTTAATGAGTAATGATGATGGATGGTGATGGACGGTGATGACTGATGACTTGATGACTTGATGGCTTGGTGATGACCCTGGATGCTTCGGCAGGGTTCGGTGTCGGAGTTTCGGTATCGGTATGCCGTGGCTGGCTTGCTCAGTCAGGTTTCTTTTGACTTGTTGGCTTGTTGGCTTGCTTGTTGGGCTGAGCCGATGATTTGAAATAGTTCAAAGTCCGTCAGATCTTAGGATGGGGGGGAAACTCGTCCCAGATATATCGGGCCTGCTCTTCGCAACGCCGAGAGGCGGGCCCGAAGAGACGAGGAGGGAGGGAGCGCGAGGGAGGGTGTGCCCCGGCGCAGTTTGCTGTGTGCTCTGTGCTGTGTGTGCAAGCTGTGCAGCAGGGGCAGGTACCTCCGGAGTGTACGAGCCCCATGGATGGCATTGCCTAGGCCGGAGTCCTCCCGCCCCAGGGCTACGGTACCTACGCGCAGCCCAGCGTGGTACGTAGCACGCGCAGTGCAGCGCAGTACGCGCACTACAGGGCCCTCCCCTCAAGGTACCTAGCAACGCTCGTTGGGCAATGCCTGTACCCGCCAGCCGCCGCCAATTGGGGACCCAAATCCCTGTGCAGGCCACTGCGTCACTGGCTGGGGCCGCTGGACTGGCACAGCTTAGGACTTGATTTTGGCCGACACCACTGACGTATCTCGGCCCGCCGATCTCCTCGATCCCTGTCCAGCGCGGAATGTCCTCGCACAGCCACATTGCCGTTTGTAATGCATGTCTCTGCGTTTGCTGTGTCCGTCCCTCTGGCGTTTCCTGGCATCTCCGGGGGGGCTACTCTCGTGCGCTCCATCGCCCTGGACGGCGCCCTCGACGGCCCTCGACGGCCCTCGATGGTCCACGACGGCTCTCCATGGATCCCCCTCCCCTTGCCCTGCGGCCATCGTCCAGCGCCGCGCATCCGCCACACTCCATCGTGTTCCACCTGTTTCAGTCACATGACGGCCTTCCTACCTATCCAGTGCCGTGCTGTGCTGTGCTCTACTGGGCTGGGGCCTGGGGTCACTGGTCACTGGGTGAGGCCGTCACATGAGCGTCTGATCGTATGGTCCCTGGGTCTCTGGGTCGTCTGTCTGCAGAGGTAACCTGCCAACCTGCCAACCTGCCAACCTGCCAACCAACCCGTGTTAGCTAAGCTTGGCTTCGCTCGCTGTTAGAGCCATCGACCGATAGTAGCCACCATCTATGCTTTTTGTCCTCCTCCGTGGTGACTCAATCGCAATGGTCCGGCGCAATCGCATGACACACGGGGTGGTGTGACTGGCCATCCCCGATCCCAACGACGCTCGCCCAGGAAATCAGAAATCGGTTGAGACCAAGGAGAAGGGGGAATGCGGAACGACAAGAAAAATTTTCACTTCTTTCCGGGGATAAGGTGAGCAAGCACGCGCGCAGAAAACGAGCCGGTCGCCCTCCCACCCTCCAACCATCCAGTCGGCCAACCCTCCCACCACCCAGGAGGAAGGTTTTCCAGTCAAAATCCAGCAAGCGCCCGGAACGTGCACATTGATCGGTACCAGGTCTGGAGAGATGGAGGTAGTACGGAGCACGGGAAGTGGGTACGAAGCGTAGAGGAGGTGCGTGACAGCGTTTTTTTCGGCCTGGCCGACCGGCTCCGGCCCTCGGACTTGGTCGGAATCCAGTACCCAACCAATGAGCAACTGTGGCTGACCCATGCTCAGCCACCAACCTGGGGCGCAAAGGGCTCGCATCTCAAGAGCCAAGAGAATGCCAAAGCAGGATTAGATGCCAGGGTCCAGGCCACGACCCATACCCGCCCAGCCCGCCCAACCCGTGCGCGCAGGTGTGCAGGTGTGCAGATCGATCTCGTTGTCCCCGGGAGTCCGGCCCATTGCAGGAACCCGACTCAACCTTTTTTTTTCGAGACCAGCAGCCCCTTATGCGCGCACCCTAATGTAGCCTGTTCATAGGCTGTACGTCGGTGGAAGGGTCCATAGGTGCCAGTGTCTTTACTTGTCTATTTGCGAACAACGGTCCCTCATATGTCCCATCTACCTCCAGTAATCCTGCATACCCTACCGCAGACTATCGTACTGGCCAGCATCCCTCCCCCCTCCCCCCCCTTACCCCTGGTCAACTCCTTTTCCATCTTGCTTAAGTCCTCCCACATAGGGGTCCCGACAGGATGCAGGAAAAAATTTCTGTCTCCAAAGCCATCGTTAGTCCGGTCATGGCTACCAAACTCGGTGACCCTGCGTCGTAGTCCATGTGTCCAATGCGCAACCAAGTTTTCTTTCCAGCCGCCCACTTGATCCGGACCCGTTCCGGCCCCGGCGTCTATGGCCTGAAATTTTACTTACATGTCGTACAAGAGCGCAGTCATCACTTAAACAATCTGTGGATGGCTCACGGGGCGCGAAGGCGGGCCGGTGACGGAGGAGAGCACCGAGAGCGGGAAGTTGACCAACGGCTATCTTCTCCAAACTCTCATGGATGAAGAGTTTTCTTTTTCCGGGGTTTGCTCTCAACTTGGTCTACCCACCAACATTTACCCGCCAGGGAGGGAGAACTTGGGAGCTACCTCGACGGCTCAAGATCTAGGTCGGGAGCCATCGTGATCCACCCGGCAAGGAAAGCCTGGGTACACAGACCGAAAAAAAGGACGACGCTATTATCTGTCCGTTGACCTTACTTCGTAGAGACCGCCCGGGGCCAGCCGCGGCCGGTGCGGGCCCAGCCCTACGCGGACGTGTCTGTACGAGACCCGCTCGGTGCTGAGACGTTGGTCTTGGGGATCCCGTTCAGGAAGAAAAGCAAAGCAAGGGAAAAAATGCATTCACTTAATGCACGCGTGGGGTTGTTTGGCATCTATCTGTAGATAGATGCTTTTCTCACCAAGAAAACAATAAGCATCCGTCATCGTTGGAGCAGGCCGAGGCGCCCCGACTACGGCTGCAGTCGGGATGATGGAAATCACACAGACCACCACCACTACCACTACCACTACCACTACCACTACCATTACCATTTAGGAAGAATATTCCACAACCAAGGCCATGTTACGTTGCGGGTTGTCGGGCTTGGCTTTTTCCAGCTGTTGAGGGCAATCAGCCATACACTTCTAAAGAGGGTGTGCAAGCGTATAGTCTATGTGGGCGTGTGAGTTTGCGTTTGTGGTGGATGTGTGGAGGTGTAAATGTGTCAGTCCGGGGCATCCATTCGACACAGGTCATCCGGCGCGGCCATCCGCTCGCCGATGGCTTCTATCCGATACTTCCATCCGGAGCTTCCATGCATGGTCAACCGACAAGGCTGCATCTCCGCGCAGGTAACCGCTCTACTCCGAAGGGGTGCTCCATCCATGTACATGAAAAAGACGGCCGATGGGACAGTCGCACGCGGCACGTCTCGCGTTCATCAGTGTCGCGTGTCTCATGTCTCGCTCTCGCTGCTCGGCGCTCTCCAGACTCCAGCCAGCGCGGTTCGGCCTGTCCGCGTGGACACCTTACCGCGGTGGGGTCGGCCAACGAAACGGCCAGCCCTGGCGCCGCCGACCACTGAAAACACTGAAAAGCACGTCCCCCACCAACGAGCCGAGGCATCGTCCCGGAGCAGATTTTCCTCCGGGGGCTTCAGCTAGCGAACCAGAGACAGACCCAACGAACTCACCAGGAGCAGGCACCGAGATTTTCGCGATGCAGATGTGGCTGTACTACGTGACTTCCAGGGATCGCAATCGTGGTTCGCTCAGGGGTGGCTCGTGCTCATCGTATTTTTCGTTCTAATTTTTTTCTGTCGCATGCGATGCTTTGGATTACCGATTCTCACTCAGCCTGTCCACGCAAGACGAGGGAGGGTGGGTGTGCGAGTGCGAAGGGGGTACAGTACCGGTACGTACTGCTGCTCCAGGGGACCCTACACTGCAGCGCCCGGGTTGGGTTTGGGTTGACGACCCCCAGATTCCAAAGCAAGGGCGGAAGGCGGCTTGCAGATCGCTCTCTAAATTTAGGGCCACCCACGTGGGTGGCCCATGAGTCCTTGGCGCCTTGGGGCTTCGCCACCAGTTCTATCTAGCCAGTGCGCTCCGTGTCCGGGTTTTTCGGCCGATTGACCCAGAATCCAGTTTGTGTGGCTTTCTCCGCCATGCCGTCTTTTTCTCGCCGTTCCGTCCGCTTGGCTTGTTTCTCGGCTCCTAACAGCATACTGCTGACGTAGGTGTCACTCCCGGAGGGGGGTCATTCGCCACACAGTCTACCAAGATTACGGTCGAGTTGTTGGCATCTCCCATCTCTGATCCGTAATACCGGTATCCCTTGGCAAACGTGAGCCGGGCTGTCGGTTCTCGCCACTTGCTGTAGCTCTTGATGGGGAGGCGGTGGCCATAGTTCCCGTCCGATCTACCCGTTTGCCTGATTACCCGGGGTCTAACAATCTGGCTTGTGACATAGGTATGGCGGCTTAACCGGTATGTTCTTAGACTTCCCCTCGTGACGACTGCCGAGTCATGTCCGGTCCCGGCAACTCGGATTCGGGATGCCTTTGTCACTACAGCGGGATTCAGGTAACCAAAATGTCACTTCAGCGAGCTATCACACACGTTCAGTGCTGCCCGCGCCATTATCGTACCTGTGCACATCCGAGATTACCAAGTTCAACGCCAAAGGCACTCCAGAATACTCGTCGGTATAGGGTAGGATGTAGAAAAGAAGAGTTATGAATGTGACATTTGTCCGTAAACAACCACGCCTGGTGGCATACAACCCCATTCGATGGATATCCCTCTTCGGATATGGCTCGGCATGACAGACGGATTTTCCATACTTCTTAGCTGAAGTCTAATGACTGTCAAATTGCCCAACTAAACCTTGTCTTCGGTTGTTGTATGAACACGACTACATCACTGATCGGTTCAGATAACGAGAAGTTCCATCAAACCGCAAGTCAGAGAAAAGCGAAACCTCACAACAATACACGTCAAGCGTGGGTTGTAACATCATCAACGGTCTGGGGAGATGCCCACGGAGATTTCGCAAAGTTCTCATCCGGCGTCGATATTTGGAAGGTATAGGGTAGGCGAAAAGAACAGTAGCTAATGTCGAGTCAACCAAAGACCTAAAATGAGTAGGGTCCGGTGGAGGTTTAGACGGAAGGCTGGAGGCGAAAGACACGAACAACTTGAACTATGACCCATAGACGACACGAGAAAGCTAAACGAATAATCACGTCAGCACAGCCGACTCACCAGCTAGGCACAGCCCGATGAGCACCAGGCAGGGACGGCGCGTCCAGGGCCACGCAATGCCCATGGGGAACACGACTGGGACAATGCACTCGATACAGTCACAGGCCACGAGACGGCGGTACAAGGCGAATAAATACAGCGCGATCAAAATGGCCTCGTGGGCAGAGTTGATTAACCCCCAGATGTAAACCACCGTTTCCCTTATGATACATAACACCCAAAAGCAAGACCAGATACCGTAGTCATCATGAACACCCTACATGGCCCCACGCGACAAGCGCAGGTGCCCAAGATTCGTAACAGACATGCAAAACAGAACACGCTTAACCACCGAAGCCATAGAGGGTACGGCCTTGTCGCTTGAGTGCATAGACAACGTCGAGCGAGGTGACGGTCTTCCGCTTGGCGTGCTCGGTGTAGGTGACGGCGTCACGGATGACACCCTCGAGGAAGGTCTTGAGAACACCGCGGGTCTCCTCGTAAATCACTGTGCCATGGGTTAGTCACAGGCAGAGCGTTGGATCGGGGTATGGGGACTCACTGGCTGAGATACGCTTGACACCGCCACGACGGGCGAGACGTCGGATGGCGGGCTTGGTGATGCCCTGGATGTTGTCACGAAGAATCTTGCGGTGACGCTTGGCACCGCCCTTGCCGAGACCCTTGCCGCCCTTGCCGCCTATGTGAATGTCAGTGCATGTCTAGGGTGAACCCGGGTATGCCAAGGCAGGAGGTGGACGAGACGCGTCAATGTTGTACGCGACACAGGGGGCGAAGCCAAGTCAAGGTAATGCGACGCCCCCCGTGTGTGGAAGTGATGGGAATGGTGTACTTACGTCCAGTCATGTTGATATTGGGTTGGAGGTGTGAAGTGGGAGAGTTGTTTTGTTACGGGCGCAAAGCACACTTGAAAGATAGATGATGGAGAGTTGTGGGATGGAATAGGCTATGAGATGCAGTTTGGAGGGTGGGAGCGGCGAGCTTAAGTACGAGCGGGCCAGATTCCAGATCAGTTGGCTTTCGGACCCACTTCTGCATCGCCCCCTTGTCCGACGCGATCTGGAAAAGCAGACGCGAATTAAAAAATGGGTAGCCCAGAAAAAAAACATGCCCCAGTGCCTGGCTGTACATGGGGGTTTGGTGGTGATTTTTTGGGGAGGCTGCGGTGGGTGGGGATGATTTACTATCAGGGGGGCTGGGGACCAATGAGAAAATAGGACTCGCCGCTTATAGCCTTGGATCCGACGAAAATGGTCAGCCGCCACCAGAGCGGGAGGATGAGTGTGTAGGGTAGTTGAGGGCGGAAATTGAGTGCACACTGATCAATAGGTGCAACAACATTATGGCTCGTAGGATACTCATGTGTCTTGTATTATGGTATGGCGCTTGTGTGGTGGCATCCGGGTCACTTGGCTATGCTAAATGTTATGTGTTGGCTGCTTGAGTGTCTGCTATCATCTGTCGATGTCTTGTGTGCGTGTGATTGATACAGAAAGACACTGAGATCAACTTATTCCAGCTTGTTAACACCACGTCTGAGTAAACAATAACAATTACTCGCCTACCAAAGTCCAGACCAATGCAAGTAACAGCCCTAATACTTCTTCACTCGAGATACAACCCGATTCAGACGTTGGTTCCTCGACTCCATGTAGCCTTTCACCGCCAACTAAAGAATGAGCGAAATACTTACTTCTGGGAGAAGACCATAACGGCTTGCCCAAGACTAGAATAGCAACGAGGAGCGAACCGTGGTATCTCCACAATGCCGCGAACTACATGATGAACTCTACTACGTACGTACTACAGTGCTACAGCCATCAACGCGCATGTGCTTTGTTGTCCGCGGCGGGATCGTGTCCCCGATGGGGTTCTGCCTCTTCCTGCCGGCCCCGCCAGCCGGGCTGCGACGTCAGGCTGCCAGGCTGCCAAACCCAAACTCGCCTCAACCACGCAGGGCACGCGCTCGCAGGCACGATCGGGGAGGAGGGGCGCGGTGCCCAACAAGCAGATCCAGCAAGGGAGGGCGGTCGGAGCGGGCGTCTCGTGCAAAACGCGGTAGTGGTCAGTGCCACTGGTAGTGGGGCAGATACAGGAAAAAGGGCGGAGCGGTCAATTCTGGCCAATGGAAAATCAGCACACATGTGGCACCTTTTCCTATTTTCCAAGACGCCCAAAACGGGCTGTTTTTGGTGGGTGATTGCGTTCCAAGCACTGGCGCACGGGCCAGGCTGCCTCAGATCAGCCGCCGCGCCTGGAAAGATCTAGCCACAGGTATTAAAGCACTCCCCCCGCCTGCCTTCTCTCTCGACTTTCCCTCCTGCATCACACACCCACTCTACAACACTCACACCCAACAACCCCACCATCAACAACAACTCTTTCATCATCAACAATGGCTCGCACTAAGCAGACCGCCCGCAAGTCCACTGGTGGCAAGGCCCCCCGCAAGCAGCTTGCTTCCAAGGCTGGTGAGTTCTCTCCGCCGCCGACCTGACCTGACCGTCCCGCCTTCGGCTCGACGCGTCTCGCAACATCGCGCATACCCGACATCATCCTCACATACTAACACCACACAGCCCGCAAGAGCGCCCCCTCTACCGGTGGTGTCAAGAAGCCTCACCGCTACAAGCCCGGTACCGTCGCTCTCCGTGAGATTCGACGATACCAGAAGTCGACCGAGCTCCTCATCCGCAAGCTCCCCTTCCAGCGCCTGGTAAGCACCTCTCATTCACGTCTCGCATCAAACATCATCCCTAACACGCTCAACACAGGTCCGCGAGATTGCCCAGGACTTCAAGAGCGACCTTCGCTTCCAGTCCTCCGCCATCGGCGCCCTCCAGGAGTCCGTCGAGTCTTACCTTGTCTCCCTCTTCGAGGACACCAACCTGTGCGCCATCCACGCCAAGCGTGTCACCATCCAGTCCAAGGACATCCAGCTGGCCCGCCGCCTCCGCGGTGAGCGCAACTAAGCGGATGCTTGGCTAAACCGGGCGGTTCACGAATTTGTTTTTGGCACGAGGGATATCATGGTTCGGGGGATAATCATGGCGTTACGATGAGAAACTTGCTTTACTCTACAGTTGGGATGTACATTACTCAGAGGCAGCCGTTTTGGCACTGCCCAATGCAACAGACCACCGGTCTATGATCACTTCAACTGCTCATCCCGATGCACCATGTAATTGATACCACCATGCGTTTTGACCCCGTCGCGGCACCATCACAATCGCAAATAAACGCGATAACGCGACCACACCGTAAGCATGCAAATGAGTCCACTGCGCCCAAAGACGCGACATGATCAAGTGACCCGGTCGAAAGACACCACGCTGTATTGGTACATACATCTCCATAGCTATTCACGGAGCCCAGATATCGTCGACACGACGTGACGCCTTCTGGACTGATCGGTGTATCCGATCCAATATTAAATACTATTTATCAGTACTTGTCAGGTGCCCCTTCCCCGTGGCCTGTCACTGCTGGAATTTTATTTGTCAAGAGGGCGAGTGTTTTGTGATGCGAAACCTACTCAATCTGCTGGGCTGATACTCTGACTTGACTCATCCGTTATGGTACACCTCCCTGCTTACTGTTGCCTACATTCGCCAACGAATCAGCCACGATAGCCAGGCATGGTTAGCCAGGCACAGCAACAAGCTACACCCTATTCCGGATGCAACATCTTGGTGACTATGGTCCAGATGACCGCCTGCTTGCACACTAAAACATCGTGGTGACTTGGCTGGAACTTCTTGGTGCCGTGTCAGACGAAATCAATTGCATACATATTACCTATAACCCTATCTACGCCAAAGAATCAACATGATATGTCGGAAGCTGTGCCAAAACATCAAACCCGCCTGTGCCTACTTTTCCTAACCTGCCCATCACCAACCGACTACTGGGCGTCGTCAAATCATCCCAGTCACCGTCCAACATGGCGTCCTTGAGGAATGACAAGGTGGTCTCGAAACTCATCTTGGTGAACGGACTGACATTGCCCTTGAGGCCCATTCGGTTGAACGGGGTGAATCCACCGTTCCTCGTCATGTGGTCTGCAATCAGATTCAGGTGGCGATTGTCCACCTTGATGCCGTGAGATCCGAAGACACCCGCCAGCTCCTGCACGATATTGTTGCGAGCCGCCTCAACGCCATACACCTCCAGCACAGCCGCAATATCGTTGGTCTGAATTCGGTTCGGGTTGATAAAGTCGCTGTACCTTTGCATCGCCTGGAGGTTTACGCCGCTCGTGTGAATGACCCTCACGTCCTTCTCCACAGTAAATGTGCAGGCTCCCACACCAGAGATTTCCTGAATCACAGTCTTCTTCACTGCCTCTTGCACCAGGTTGAGCATTAGGACCTTGGGGATTGCTGAGTCGAACTCAAATGTGAAGTTACACCGGCTTCCTGTCTTGTCGTCGCACTGGAAGTCTGTCACTTCGGCATACTCGTCTATGACACGCTCTGCACGAGCCTTGGCTGACCAAGAGCCATCGTCGTCTTCATCGTTGTCGTCGGCTTCCTCTGGGCGGGTCGTCGGGGGAGGGCTTCCTCCGAAGCCCTCGTCATCCATCTCATCCGCCGCATCTCTTGCGCCCTCCCTCTGGACGGCATCGTCTTCGTCGTCATTGGGTCCGTAGGATACAGCCTCACTGCGGTTTGCCCGCTGTTTGGCATTTGTAGCATCGTCGTCGCCCTCATCATCGTCGTCGTCGTCATCCTGGTTGGCCTCCCGTTCCGCGTTAGGAGCAGCCGTTTCAACCACTCCAGCCTTTACTCCGATCTCAGGTGTCGCCATGGTAGTCTGGGATTGTCGTTTCTTGACCTCCTTCTTGACCAGCGTTAAGAGACGGCGAATCATCTTCTTCTCAACTGCGCCCATCACGTCTGCGATGCTGATGGCATACGTCTTGGTATACTCGTCCGACGGGAAGAACTTCAGCCGGACTTGATACATCTTCGCCATTCCGAACATCTTTCCACGTCCGACCTTCTCCTCCACCGTCACATCATCCAACACAAACCCAAGCGGTAGTACCGAGATGGACTTGGCAAATATCTCGGCATCCTCAGTCGACATTTCGTCAATCGGATACATAGACATAGATGGTGTCGATATCTTATCACTGGCCGTCATCAAGATTTCTCGTAGTCGTGGAATACCTAGCGTGACGTTCTTGGCCGAGTGTCCAGCCAAATGGAAGGTGTTCAGCGTCATCTGAGTCGACGGCTCACCCACAGACTGTCCTGCCACGATGCCCACAGCCTCTCCCGGCTCCACGAGAGATCGGAGATATTTCATTGCGAACAACATTTCTGCATTCTTTCGGTTGAGGCTCACCCGAGAGAGTGCCTGCTCTTTCTTGTCTTTCTTGTCTCGGACTAGACCGTCCTTGTTGTCCTTGAGATAGTTGGTCATGGCTTCGTAGAACTTCTCAGACGTCGCAAAAGCGGTAGTGGCCGGGTTGAAGAGACTGGAGAGGGGATCATGTGCCTTAGGATCCTTTGCCTTGGCATGCTTGATGGCCCTCTTCATGTATTTGGCAATCGAGTCACGGTTGGCACCCAACCGCTCACCGACGCTGGGGTCATATCGAAGCTGGGCAGCCTCCGAGGTGACGTTTTCGAGAATGAAGCTGAAGTCGGTCAGGTACTTTTGCTTTGTGACATCAAGACCATCCTCGCCGTAGAGAAATTGAATCATAGACCCATCTGCATCACGAACTGTGGTATCGTACGCGACAGTGAGGCCCTCCATTCCCTTGATTACACATCTTTGAAGGTAGCCTGATCGGGAAGTCTTGACGGCAGTGTCAATCAAACCTTCTCGTCCAGCCATGTGATGGAAGTAGTATTCCTGAGGTCGAATGCCTGTCAAGAAGCGGTTGACGATGTAGCCGCCGGCCCTTGCGTGAGTCTCAAATGGTCGGAAACATGGCAGCGACTTGCCGCTGACCATGGTGGGTACACGACGTCCTTCCAGAACCTGCTGTCCAAGGTTGCAGGAAATCAAAGACGCGTTGACTCTGGATCCCTTGGCGCCAGAAGTCGTCATGGCCTGCATCTGATTCTTGGGGAATGGCTTCTCGAGTCCAATTGGCATGGTTGCCTTCTGAACGAGATCTGTGATGGCCGCAGTTCCTTGATTCATCAACATGTCCAGGCCTTCCTGCTTGTTGTCGTCACGTTGGACCTCTTCCAGGCGCTCAAGAAGTAACGGGTCATTGGGCCCTGGGTTCTTCTCGAGAGACACATAACCAGAGGCCACATCAAGGCCAACTTGGTCAGCAGCCTTCAGCGCCTCCTTGCGCGCCTGCTCCCCTTCAGGAGTCAATCTCAGATCGTCAATGCCGCAAGAAAATGCTCGAACGTTGAGATATCTCGTTAGCAATCGTCCCAGACTGCTCAGGAGCTTGCCAGCGACGGCTGGACCGTAGATCTCATGGACGGCATGGATGATGCCACCGGAGCTGGGGCCAATCTGCGACTTGTCCAGAATTCCCGTGATAAACTCGCCATCCTGAAACAGCACCATTCCTTCTTCGGAGTTTTTAGCCCACTGCTCGGCTTTGATTTGAGTCTCTGCTCGCATACAAAGGCCGCCGCAGTTAGTAGGTTGCATATTCTTGAGGATAGTGGTGATAATTTGCTTTCCAGTCCATCTGCGAACAGGTCGGATGACAGCCGGAGGGACAAGCTCGATTCTCTCTCCAACGATGTGACCGCTTTCAGGGCGCAGAGCATTATATACTAATTGTTGGTAGTCACCCTGGTTGAAGGAGGTATCTCGGCTGCAGAGAGCGACGGACACGGAAATGTGATCCTGAATGAGACCTCGGAGTGGCTTGCCTGCCGTGCCAGAAAGATATTGGTGATCAGTATCGGCAATCTGTAAGGCTTCCGCACGAGCAACCTCGTTTTGAGGGAAATGCATGTTCATCTCATCACCATCAAAATCGGCGTTGTATGTGTTGCAGTTTGCGTAGTGCATGCGAATCGTCTTCTCACCGGGGAGAACTCGGACTCGATGACCCATGATTGACGGCTTGTGCAAAGTGGGCTGGCGGTTCATCAAGACAACATCTCCATTGGTAAGATGACGATAGACCTTCTTGTTTCTGGTTCGTGCCGCACTGCTGCTTGTAGGGGCAAGAAGCTGGTTTGCTAAAGAAATACGGTCGTCGACCGACTTGTTTCGAAGGTTCACGATCTGGCCGTTTTCATTCTCGATCGCGAAAGCACCGGGCCACTTGTCGACGCCATTGATGACGGCTTGTTGCATGTCCCTGAAGTTGTGGCTCGTCACCGGTTCGGGGTATGTCAACTTTTTTGCGAACACGGGCGGGACACCGATTTCGTTGGTCTCGATGTTCGGATCTGGAGAGATGACACTTCGGGCGGCATAGTTGACTCGCTTTCCCATCATGTTTTTTCGGAAAAGTCCTTCTTTCTTCTCCAGCTTTTGCTTAATACCGTCCTCGTTGCGTTTGCCAGCCGCGCCTTGGATAGGGTTCTTATCCTTGTCGATGAGCGAGTTGACGGCCTCCTGCAATTCGGTCCATGCTTGATGTAGTTGATTCACATCCGCTCGTTCCTCCTTGAGGGCTGAGTGTAGCTGAGCGATTCTCCCACAGCCTCTCAGAATGTTCTTGTAAAGAGAATTCTGCTGCGCCTCGGAAATCTCAGACTCTCCAGTTCTGGCTTCAGGGCGATATCGGTTGGGTGGAACCAAAATTGTCGTCATGAAGAACATCTCGGGCGTGACCTTTGGCGAGCTTCGTGTGGGTGGTTTGGCGCTGTAGAGAAGTGAGACCAGTTCTTGCTCCTTGACGAAAAGTTCGTTTAGGCGTGCCTGCACTTCCATGGCGCTGATGTATCTTTGTGGAACAGCAGGGGAAGCGGCATCGGCATCTGGCATATCGACATCCTGTTCGGCATCTCCAGCGTCGGTTTCGGCCGGTGATTTGTCGCGAGTTGGTGATCCTACATCCGCAACACCTTCGTCGGATGAGTATCCATCAGGCTTCTGCTTTGATGTGACTTGGTGGACTCTAGCCATGGCATCACGCTGCTTGAAATTCTTCTGAGCCATCTTGGCTTTCTCCTTGTCCGACAAGGACCTCTCGAAAACCTTGACAAATCGATCTTTGCGATAAGAAGGTGAGATACCACCACAGCTGGCGCAAAGCCTTCTCTTGGTAATCTCGGCCAGAAACTCCTTGATGACCTCGCGCCGCATCTCGCTGGCGCCTTCATGCTTTCCTCTCTTGGTGTCGCCTCGCTTGACCTTGATGCCGCGAAGGCACTTCTCGACATACTTATCCCTCGCACGAGTCACATTGTCGATTGAAGAATTGCCCTCTTCTTCAGCCTCGTCCTCTAACCCAGAAAACTCACCAGCCTCGATGGCTAGATCATTTTCGCCGATGGAACCCACAACATGGGCCTGCTGGATCAGACCATGCTGCAGTAGCCTCAGCTTGCAAATGTATTTGTGCAAGTCTTTCTGAGGCATTCGAAAACCCTTGCAGTAAACACAGCTGGCCTTGAGGAGACGGTATGCTTGGTCCATGAATATGGGGTGATAGACCGGGACGGGGAGTTGGATGTGGCCGGTATGGCCGGGGCAAGTAGCCTGGTTCAGGTTGCAAGTGGAACATCTGGACAGGGAAGCTGTGAGCGCAAGTACACAATCGCACCGAGAAGCAAGAAGACTTACGGTGCATCGCCCCAAGAACCAAGGGCTGGGTCGTAGAGACCGCCAGGGACTGGGTTCAAGAGATTGTCGAAGGTACTGTCATTCTCAATCCTCTTGACGGAGATGGCTCGGATCTCCTTGGGCGAGAGGAACTCGAATTCCACAGTCTCCACATTGGAGGGGACCGGCTGTGCGATATTCATGGTGCATAAATCGTTGCTCAGTTGAGAGCAGAGAATTGGTGGCCAGGCGAAGTCCTGGGTCAACTGGTCGAGTCCATTCGCGATCGCAAATTGAAGGTGAAAGTGGTGGGGGCAGCTTGGAGGTGAACAAATTTTTGGCGGTGCGGAGTGGCAGAATTTTAGGCCGACGCTGGAGGCACTGGCGCCAGCTGTACCCACCTCACTTGACTTGATTCATCACTTGATTCAACACGCGCGCAAACAGCACCTCGTCTGCTCTCGAGATTCAATCCTGCCAGCAACCATTATCGCAGCCGTCGCCTTCGATCCGCGCGTATAGCTTACAACCTTCTCTCAAAGCTGTATCTGGCTACAGCCACACTGCCGACACGCAACAGGACCATAAGAAGCCAGAAACCATTGCCCCCGTTGCGCATCAGTCCAAACCATGGATCGTAAGAGCCAGTCCCCGGGCCTTGGGCCTCGGCACGACTCTTCCTCTCGAGTGCAGAAGCCTGAGTCTGCGGCCGACCGGATGGCCGCTCTCAAGGCCCGTGTTGCCGCTGCCATCGGGGGGAGCAAAGCAAAGGGTGGGTTGAATGTGGGCCTGCATCCGGCCTTGGAAGACCTCGGATCATGGAAACCCCCGAGTAAAAGCAGAGATGCGGCATCACGCCCACGGCAGGATCAGTCCCGGACTCAGGACTCGCTCAGGTCCTCTGGCCCTCAATCCAACAACCGAGACACGCTCGAGAACCCTTACTTTGACCCGAGTGCGTCCGCGCAGGGAGGTAGCGGCAAGCCTCGACAGTCGCGACAGTTGGTTTTCAATCAGAAGGGCAAATATATCCAGCAGGCGAATGCTCTACGTCGTCAGGCCGCGCTCGAGGCGATGAAGAAGCGCATTGCGGCGCAAACACGAAAGGCGGGAATCGACGAGGACCTGGATGTAGAGAGAAACTTTGTCGTGGATTCCCCCCCAGATATCGAATGGTGGGATCAAGGGCTTGTGGATGGCACAAGCTACGATGCGGTGGACGACCCCTCGAAACTCAAAATCAACACAGCGGATAGCATCATCACCGAGTACATCCAACATCCTGTGGCCCTGGAACCACCACAAGATCGCCTTGCTCCGGCACCAAAGGCCATGTTCCTGACATCTAGAGAGCAAGCAAAGCTTCGGCGGCAGCGCAGGATGGCAGAATTGAAGGAGATGCAAGCAAAGATTCGCTTGGGACTGGTGCCAGCGCCACCACCCAAGGTAAAGAAGGGCAACCTGATGCGAGTCCTTGGTGATGGTACGTGATCCTTTATTATTTTAATTAACTATCCTTCAGGAGCGTGCTTGATGCTAACATACCTGCAGTTGCCGTCAAGGATCCTACCGCCGTCGAGGCCCGAGTCAATCGCGAAATCGCAGAGCGCCACCAAAAGCATGTCGAGGCAAACGACGGCCGGAAATTGACTAAGGAACAGAAGCACGAAAAGTTAGCCACCAACCAGCAGAAAGACGCAGACAAAGGAATCCATATCCTGGTTTTCAAGATTGATACTTTAGCCAACGGGCAACACCGATACAAAATCGGTGTCAATGCCGAGCAAATGGCGCTGACGGGTACATGTGTCATGCACCCCAAGTTCAACTTGGTGATCGTGGAAGGGGGGGAGTGGAGCATCAAGAAATACAAGAAGCTTATGCTTAATCGCATCGACTGGACGGAAAATTCGCCCTCGAGGGACCGTGATGGGAAGGAGGGGGATGTCCGCGATTGGCTTGCTGCCGAGAACGAGAAGGGCGAGCTCAAAGACATGTCACTGAACGAATGCAAGTTGGTCTTCGAAGGCGAGCAAAAGGCGCGGGCTTTCCGCAAATGGGGAAGTAAGATCTGCGAAACGGACGCGGAGGCTCGGGAAACGCTTTCTCGTACCAAGATGGATAATTTCTGGTCGCTGGCCAAAGGTTTTGTTTAGGACTGGGGATCATTAATAATGATTCGCGGCTGAAGATAAGCACCCACGCCAAAGATGGCCAGAATACGCGGTGCCTAAATTGTGGGCTCATATTGATACCAGTAAGAAGACACACAGAGAACGTCCTTGCACGTGTATGATACTGTTACCGAGCTGCTTGCTTACATGTGCTGAGGGCTTGAACACGGTCGATTCGTGAGCCGAATGAAGCATGTTTTGGCTATGCACTTTTTGGCCGTAGACTGCCTGGATTTGGAAGCTTGTGTGTCCCAACGCGATCCCTCACAAGTAGGTATCCGCCCAACTGAAAGGAACGGGCTCAAGTACCATGCCCGTAATTGCATACCCTTGTGTTTCCCCCCTGGGAAGATTGCTTATTCGCTCTCCATTCCTCTCAGGATGCGCTTGTAAGCGAAGTTGGGATTAGGCGGGCGCCGTAACCTTTTGCCGTCCAACGTGCGGAGCGTATCAAGCCTCGCCATAGGTCTCTTCGATGGAATCCTCCGGCGCAGAAAGTCTTTAGCAATGAACCTTGGAGTTGAGGTAGCCCGATGCAGTCCTTAAGAGTTTCTGCCCTATTTAATTAGTTGTGTTCTCGATACGGCGGGTGGAGCTGTTCCCCATGGACTCGACAGCCACGGCGACTTTAGCACACTACTAGCTAGACCTATTTTAGTTGTCCACCCGTAGACCCGTTTGGTACCTGTTGGTCTAGAGGGTATATGTGTCGACGAAGCTACGCATGTTTATTTTAATGTAAGTCATGCGCCCTTCTATTTGTAGTGGATGTGCACGATTCCATCCGGCGCATTCCCGTTGCCCTGACGAAGACTTGGGCGGATTTGACATTCTCACATGACCTCTTGCAGCAGTTGAAGATGCTAGGCTAGAAGAAGTTTAAATTTTGAGCAAGAAAACGACAAAATGCTTCATCGCTAGGCATTCGACAAAGAAGTGTGAAGATGGTGGAGTTCCCGGATCATAGATTTCGAAGCCATTTTCTCTGTCCAGAGACTTCTATAGCGACCTCTGAATGAAACCCCCAGGTTCATTATTTGCCATGAATCTTGACTACCCCCCATAAAATCCTACAGAATTGTGCATAATCTGAAATCAAGGAGCTATCCAGAATGATTGACCCTGCTCTATCCAGGGGTCTGATAACCCGGGTCCTCCCTTTGAACCTTGTATGCCGTTATCCCAAAACGCCAAAAATGCCACAAAATTTGAAATGTTCGGTCTGGTAGTTGCTGTTCCTCGGCCGTGAAACGCGTTTGGTGTTGGTAGTAGAGGAACAAAGACAGGGGCCACCAAAATGAAGAATAAGTTCGCGCATACATATCCCCAACTCCATTGAAAAATCGCCAATGCGATCGAGTTCTTCCTCCTGAGGATGTCTTTGAGTCGAATAGAAAATCGAACAAAACGAACGGAACGGACCGGGTTAGTGATTTGTCTCCAAACACCGAGGGCCATGGTCAGAAACCGACCGTCATGGTGGATCCAGAAACAAAAGAAAAAATATGAAAAGAAGATATAAAACAGTGCTCAATCAAGGCATGCGTGAAATAGTGGGAACCATTTGGAGAGAAACCCCCCGAACTCGGGCGGACAGGGGCAGGCGTAGTGGTTGACAATTCTGACGTGCCAACTTTAGCGGAGAATGAAATCAGTCAGTCGATCCTCGACGTGATACAAAGACCGCGATAGTAGCCTAGTCACTGTATTCTCAGATGGATAGTCGTACGCCCTGGCTTATAGAAAATCGGTCGAGTTCGCAAACGGCGTCCAGAGTAACTTCACATGGTCTCTGGCTTGGGCGTAAGTGGCCGTTTGATTCTTCTGGTCGATCAAAAAGTCGAATGGTGGTATTCCAACCTGGATCGAGACCGACTATTAGAGTACGGAAAGTCGTTGACATCGATTCGTTATAGAAATTCGTCGCTTCCGCGTTGTTTAGGTTTCGTAGTCTCGAAAATCCTGCTCCTGGCCCCAGTTAGTTACCAATCCCGAATTGTGGCTGAGGAACCTAGTTTACTCTGAATGCACGTGAATCCAAGACCACAACTCGGTCCAATGATGATGATGGTAATCTTCGGCAGAGAAACGCTGAGATGCGAACTGAAAGCGCGTTTCCGATTTCGCAGTGCCATTTGCACACGAAGTTAAAAGGAGGCCATCGTGTTGGTGCCATGTAATCTAAACCCTACCAGAAGACGCGGTGCAAGGCATCAAGGCAAAAGCCCAAGGCTAGGGAAGATGGCGAGAGCTAGTGTTGGGTCGCTCTGGTCGATTTACCATGCCCATGGTCCCAAACCCTTCCCCTTGGAGATTGAGTGTACCAATGTCGAATCTCTTGGAGCAGCCATCTTCCATATGTCTGTATAATCAACCTGAATTAGTATGAACACATCTTCACTGCCAGGTAACACGTAGACTTGCCTCCTGAGGGTGTCTTTTCGAGCAAAAAGTCGCCCACAGAAGTCGCATTTGTGGTTGCGCTCCTTCATGTGGACACTTTGGTGATGCCTCTGCAGGTCGGTTTTGCGGACGAACTTCTTGGTGCAGCCATCGACGGGACAGGGAAAAGGGTATTCGCGTTTCTCGTCATGGGTCTCTAGGTGAGACTTGTAATTGTAGCTGCGACTAAAGAACTTCCCGCACCCTTTGACCTCGCACTGAAAGTTAGCTTCCTCCTTCGTCGTATGTTTCCGTGGCGGACGTCGGGCTCTTGTCGGCTTCAGCATTCGCCTGTCCTGCCCCAAATCAGGCCCTTGACTTTGGGGATCCAAGTATATCTGGGACGCGTCGCAGTCTTGCTTAGGCCACACCGGAACTGGGCTGTCACCTAGGTCCGGCTGGAGGTTCGGGGCAAATGGGGACCCTTCCGAGCTGTATGGCGCAGTTGTTGGAACAGCAGCTGGATAGTGCTGCCTTTCAAAGCCTTGGCAGTAAGTAGCGGAGCTCTCCATCCGCATCCTTTGACTAGATGGATCGTGAAGATAGCCGTAGGGATGCCTGGTGGGGATGGAGGGCACCCTGGCCGAGCCGCCAGTTGATGGCGGTGGCGGGTGCGGGAAGGAGTGGCTTGGAGGAGGCGGCAGGTATGGTTCGTGGGTACTAAAGGATGCTGGAATACAGGGCTCGTAAGTCGCAAATGAATCGTAGTCGGCCGGTAAGATGTTAGGAACTGTCGAGGAAGAAACAGGTGCGGGCGCAGCTGCCATCTCGTCTGGCGTAACCCAGGTCGCGTGGCTCATGGCGGCCGATGGGAGAAGGATACTTTCTGGATCCGAAAGGCGCTGGGGCATGGAACTGGTTGATATGGAGTTGTGGGATGCAAGTATGGTGAGTGGTCTGGTCAAATGAGATGGAGACGGGTAACTGGCGCCTGGACCCCCCGGGGGACAAGATGTCTGCGACAGGGAGGGCGGCGATTTGAAGGACCTCTGATGTGGTGGCACTGGGGATGTAGTTAACGAGGGAGGTGTGAGGTCCATGTCGAGGTTGCTGTGTGGCGTGCGGGCTGTTCCGGGAAGCCTTGACGAGGCCAAGATTTGCCAGATCCAGCTGGACGCGCGCAACCGGCCCAGGAAAGAGAGTCGCGGGGACTAAAGACCACGATGGCCGGTGCGCTACGATGGAGAATTGAATCGCATCTGGAAGGTCTTGGTTTCGGAACGGCAGCTAAGCAGTGAGACAATGCAGACAGACCAACACGGGACGTCGAGGGCCAAACAGAGCTAGCGGTTGGGTCCGGGGAGTGGGTAGAGAAGAAAGGCCAGGAAACAATTGACAAGCAGACTCGTTTAAAGCAGGTTTCGCAGCAGAGATGATCGGCACGAAACAAGAGGCGATGCCTCGAGGAGTGTATGGCCGACCGCCGTCGGGAATAGGTATAAGAAGGGAGGAGGGGAGGCAGAAGGGAGGGCAAGAGTGGGCAACATTTACAAAGACACTTCAAGGCGGAGCCTGCCGTTGACGAAACCGTTGTCGATGAATTAAACACATGTGAGGGTGAGGGTAGTGCGAAGGATCAGACTCCGCTGACATGGGGTCAGAAGAAACAGGCAGGATGATGGGGAGACAGCTTGCGTTCGCAGCGTCCCAGGCCAGTAGGGAGGTGTGATGAAGCGGGTGATGGGGCCGGGGCCGAGAGCGAAATGAGGACCAGGTCAGGGGTCTCGTTCGCCAACCACAAGGCCGGGGCATCTTGGACTTGACAGATCTTGATGGGTGAGTGTGTGTTCCGAAGAGATAACAGTTTCGGCAGGTCTATTTCCTTGTACTCCATACATTCGTCAAAATCAACTCGGGCTAAGGACACATCACAAAGCAGGATATCGAACGCGTCTCCTCACTGCAACGGAAAGAGTAGGAGCTGCGGGTTCTAGGGGGGGCATTCAAGGGGGGATGGCACAGGAAGTGGGTGCAAAGAGGATGAAGAGAGAGAAGTAGGGTGGGAGAAGCGTAGGAGAGGTGGGAGAGGCAGAGAGAGGCAACGGAGAGCGTGCCGAGAGTGGGAGAGAGGGGGAGAAAGAGAGAGAGAGCGATAGAGGGGAGATGGTGATAGAGCACCGGGGCCCATCAACCACAGATTGGGGCCACATGGGTCCAGAGGGACTAGGTCCCCATGAACAAACTGAGAGGTTTCTCCACATGAGGAACCAACTTGAACAGAACCGTCCGAGTGTGCTCCCCATGCAATGACACTTGGCCCCCATGGGCTCGATGATCCATGCCCCAACGCCTGGTCCGGGTGGGTGGTGTAGCCATAATCACTGCAAGGGACTTCCTGGAAGACGGACTGTCAAACGAGGGACGGCAGATGGCAGACGGCAAGGTAAGGTATTAAGGCACAGGCGGGTATGTACAGTCCCATGGGCCGTCAAAGCAGACACAAACCCAAACCCAAGACGGTCAAGTCGAGCACCACCAAAATAGCTGGATAATACCGGATTGGCTCGCCAACGGGTTGAGCCTGAGTTGAGTCCCAGGTTCAACTTGAGCCTGGACGACGCCTTGCAGACCAGGGACCACTCGGCCCTTGCGCTGACAGGCAAGGCAGGGCGCCTTGCCTACATAGCGCTCGACAAGCGAACGCCCACAGGCGCGCATCGATCAAGGGGATGGATCGCACGCGAGCTTGTCATCACCATGTACCAGGGAGGTAGGCCGGTTCTCCGTACTCCGTGAACAGTCGGGCTGGTTTGCCGCCTCAGAGTCGAGAAACGGATCATGTGGCGCGAGTCGGGGCAGGGCGATGCAAGTCCAATCCTAGACCGGACTAGATCAGATATGATGACCTTGACGTACATGTACGGACGGGGCGAACGAGAGGAGGGCAATGAACGAAACAGGACAGACCCTGGTCGGCCGCTCGGATTGTTGGCCAGTGAAGAACGATGAGGGCCGCTGCTCCGGCCTGGGAGAGGAAGGATCCCTCCAGGAGAGGTCCCTGCTAGCTGAGAACTTTAGGGTCTGTGATGTAACACGGGCACCGTGTGTCACAGTGGTATCCAGCACGGATCCCACCAGGCGATCCAGGGCGTCCCAGGGCGACCCACGGGCAACCCAAGAAGACCGCTAGGTATTATTCTCCAGTGGTTCTCCAGGTCTCTCTTTTTTTTTCTTTTTTCTTTTTTTTTCTCTTTCTTCTTTCTTGGCCGTTGAAGAACCCTAGCCGCCATTGTGTACTTGGAATTCTACGGCTGGCCACAGTGCACATTTCCGTGACGCGGCCTTCTTTCTTTGCGGTTGGGTCCTCCCTCCTTGTGCTCAGCTCCCTTACCTCTCCAGGCCGCATCAGGAAAGCACCCTCCTGCCTGCCTCGGGACTTGCCTACCTGGGAACCTGCGTGCAGTTGGTAGGGTCTCCATACAGGGAAGTACCTACCTCCTACCTCCTACCTCCTACCTACCTCGGTGCGCCGTAAAGTCAAGTCGGTCAGCTTGGGTCTGGAGCACGAGGGGTCCGGGCACCCAGTGTACGAAGGGACACCCTTGTTGTAAACCCCCTGTAGCGCGACCCTAGGCCCTACGACCCTGCTCTCGACGACCCTATGACCCTTTGACATGTTCGGGATATTTGCGGATCGAGACTGAAATGGGGACGATGGCGATGGGCTTTCCAATACCGGTACGTACTACCATAATTAGCCACGCTTTGGCCGTGCTTGGCCATGTCCGGGCTATTGTTGGCACACCCCTGCTCGGGCCGGGTGCCTTTGGTTCGTTCTGGGTGGGCCGTGTGGTTGTCAAGGTTGCGGGCTGTGGCTCTCTCGGGCCGCCTTGTGGAGATGGGACATGACGGGCATGGATGCCTGTTTATGTCTCCCATACTACGCTGCGATATCGCCCCCCGATGCCCACCGCCCGCGCCCGCGTGCGCCCGCGCCCCCCGGATCGTGGACGATGCAGAAACAACGGCGATGGCGCTGAATCTAGCGCCTGTGCGACTTGAAAATCTTCTACGAGAGGAGACAGGCGCCGAGTACGCGCCTCGGGGCGCGTCGAAACGACCACGCAAGTCATTTGTGGCCTGACACCACCGGATCAAGCCAGACCGGCAGAGGCAGGCGGGACACTATTGACGGCGCTGCGAGCCGGGGGGGGGGGCTGGATCATTGTGCAGGAGCATTGTCCCGATCGGTCCTCCCTGCCTCTGCCTGCCTCCGTCTCGACTGATTCCCCTCCACCCGATGGTCGATGAGCCTATGGCTAGGCGCCCGTTTTGCCGCCGGGGCGCCTGAATCACTCTGCCCACAGAGACGAGACCGCGGTCGGGTCGGTTCGTATGGCGCTCAGACCTGAGATGGTCTGTGTCCCTCCACAGGCTCCAGGTACCTACCTAGGTAGGTACGCATGTACTAAGTACCTACACGTACACGGGACCAACACGGTGTAGGCATGCATTACTTTGCCGTGGCTAAATTTGCTATTTGAAAGTAATCGTCAGATGTCCCAGAAACGTCCCGGAAACGTCCCGGAGACATCCCGGGGATGGCGATGTGATGTGGGATTGTGGGATTGCGGATTAATGGCCCTGCACAGCGCGCGGCTTGTACTCCTCCTCGAGAAACTTGACTTCGTCCTCGGCGAACCGAACCTGCAGCGCGCCAACCGCCTCTTCGATTCTCTCGGGCTTGTTCAGGCCTAGGATCGGGGAGCAGCCCTTGTGCAGCACCCACGCTGTGGCCAGCACGGCCATGCTGACACCCTTCTTCTTGGCCAGCTGCTCGACTCGGCCGACAACCTCGCTGCTGGCTCCTACGTTCCACACGGCGCTGTACTTGTCTCCGCGCGCGCGCTCGCTCTCGGCCGTGCCCCAGGGTCGGGTGAGCAATCCCCGAGCCATTGGCGACCATGGGATGATGCCGACCCCCGTCGCCTTGCAAAAGGGAATCATCTCCCGCTCTTCCTCTCGATAGACCAGGTTGTAGAAGTTCTGCATGGAGATGAACTTGGTCCACCCTTTCAGCTCTGCAATGTGCTGCAGCTGGGCAAACTCCCATGTCCACATGGAGCTGGCTCCGATGTATCGCACTTTGCCAGACATAACCACGTCGTGCAGAGCTTTCATAATCTCCTCGGGTGGCGTGTCTCGGTCTAGGCGATGGATCTGGAGAACGTCTAATAAACCACATCCCAGTCATCAGCATGGATCGATACAGCTCGGGCGCGCTCTCAGCGCATGGGCCTCCTTGGAGGAACACCACTTATCCATTTGGAATAAACCCTGGTCGCCTGCACAGCTTTCTGCTTTTGGAATGCCATGGGCCGCAGCCGGATCGGCAACATTTGCGGATACAGCACGCATAGCACCATCACCATCACCATCACCAGCAACGGCGACAGCGACAACAAAGGCGGCGAACCCAGAGAACCTGCTAGCATTCGACTACCCACCACTTGGCAGTTATCACTGGCGACGCCTACGCACAGAACACCGGGGACAACACTGCACTTACCAATGTAATCCATATCGAGGCGTCGAAGGCACCCATCGACAGCATCAAAGATGTGCTTCCTCGAGAGGCCCATCTGATTCACTATCGCTCCGTCATTGATAGGAGCGACCCGGATGCCTTCTCCTTCAGTGATAGGAAAGTAAACCTTGCTAAGAATTGTGACCTTATTCCGAGATATGTTGTATTTCTTGAGGGCCTTGCCAACAATGACCTCGGACGCTCCATTCGAGTAAAAGTCGGCCGTGTCCTGGTTCATGTGTGAGCCAACTCCTTCTGGCAGGCTCCTCGTCGTTTTCACAGAAGTGTACGGACATACATACCCATGTGTTTATGCCGAGATCATAAGCCTTCTTGAGCAGCTGGAGACCTTCCTCCTCGTCCAGGGTCCAGGGGGACCCCTCCCACTTGGAGTTGCCAAAGACCATGCACCCCATGATGATCTTGGAGATCTTGAGGCCACTCTCTCCAAGTCTATCGTGACAAGTCAGTTGACATGCTATTGTCAGAATTGGCATCGCGTCGCAACTCGAAACATGAACTTCTACCTCGTGTATTCCATCTTGATCTGTCGTGCCGTTGTCACAAATCTTGCTCCAATTTATTGTGCCTTGTGTGTTTGGAGGTCGGTTCTGGTTACGGGAACAAGGAGATATGTATCGATAATTGTTTCTGGGAAACAACAACTCGTTGATTGTTGACTCACCTGGCTCCCCCTCCGACTCGCTTTATCCCCACCTCGGAAAGTGATTCCCCGCACTTTCGACGCCGTCGAGATCTATCATAGGTTGTTTCTACGGAAACTCGGAAATGCGGAAAGGACATACCGCGTTGGTCAAGATGCGTGAAAACCAACCTGCGGCACCCGAAACGATGCCCTTGCTGATCTCCCTCGTCTCTTCGCCACTCTGCTGTGGAGTTGATGCTCCGGAAAGGGTGGGGCCGACGGAAGAGTGATCAAAATGTCTTCCCCGAGGCAAAGAGAATAAAAATCCCCGAGGCTTCGCATGCCTGTTCCGGCTCAGCATCCGTGCTGCCGTGGTTGCATGCGGGTAATGTGCTTCCATACCATAACAGATATTTGATATTGAAACTTCGGGATTTGTCGCTGAACCTTTTAGCCTTCATGCAGCAGAATATTACACCACGACCGGGCTTTCCAAGCGCCGTGTCTCATTTTAGATCATCAACATCGGCTTTGGCAAACTCCATTTCACTCACATGGCAAAGGAGACAAAGACGGTGGATGCTCTCTGAGAACCCGGTCTGTTGACCCGAAAACCCGATTGCCGACCCGAAAATCCATGACTGACTCAAACCCCAAGCACCCCCCTAGAAACCTAATGGCCGTACTGAATCTGTATTATATCTTGGAGCCTGGTCACTGGTTTTGGATTTTTCCAGCCAATCCTCCCTTATTGTCGGCGGGAGTTTTAGGGCTTGATGAATTTTCTCCATGTCCAAGCGACCACCGCCAGTTTCGACTCTTGACTACCGTGCCGACCAACTTGTTGATGACCAACGCAGACAAAGGGCGACGAACTGGACGGACCACTACCCTCCTTGACAGAATTCTCCTTAAAGGAAATCGTATCGTCGCTATTGCTCAAATGGTCAGTGCTTGAGGCAGGAGAGAGACAGACAATCGTGGATCACGTTCAGGTCCAGGGTAAGGTCCAATTTGTTGGAATAAGTCATGGGTGCCTGTTCTGTTGCATGTGAACTTCCAGGTTGTTAGTTTCAGGCGAAAAGGCACCCTCATGTATCCGGGGTTTGATCTAAGTACTCCCTCGCCCTCCAGAGTGACCATAGTCATCATAGATACCTACCATGGCAGGCGGGGTACCTTCTGATACTCGCATTTAGAGACCCACTTTTTAAAGGCAGCATGAGATTGAGCAGCTCCCACGTCATCAACTTGATGGACTAAGGTCGGTGAACCAAACACTACGTCGTCTGCCTGTCCCCAGTCGACCATTTTTTCCCTGCCCAACAACTTGCATGACAAGCAACAAGACCTCGCATCGCCTTAGCTTTATGGCCCATCCGATAGCCACGCCGCCTGCACCCAGCTGCGCGAGGCCCAGTGCCACTGGATTGTTGCTGCTAGTGACGACATTCTAGACACCATGGCAAACAACAACAATCACGATCACACCTACGGGACCAAGTGCCGCCTGGCCCCCGTCACTCGCGTCGACCGAGAAGATGGAATGCCACCCGTGGAAGCCCAATTCTTCTACTCATCCGTTATCCCCATCGATGACCCGCTGTCAACCAGCTCCGCTACTGGTCCGCCCGAGTCGAGGTCCGCCAAGGGTCAGCTGCGTCCGTTGGCCCGAGGCGATAATAATGCACTGGAGAAGGGTTGGCTGGGTCTCATGTCTGAGGATGATCAACGAGCTCATGAAGATGTGAGGCGTGGTCAGCCCTTGGATGCCCGCTCATTGCATACCAACAGTGACAAGCTGGCATCGCTTATACATGATATCGCGTCTACTCACTGGGATAGGCATCGAAGCAAATACCAACCCCAAGACCTATCGATGTCTTCACACCGAGCTCTACCGACAACCCCTATACCCGCTTGCTGTTCCGAGCTGGTAGTTGATGTCTCAGAGGAGCTCGAAAATACATTCTGTGCCCTGGTTAGGAAGCAGATGCCTGGTCTTAGTCTCGATGAAGTGATGCACCAGGTTGTTCTAGCGCTCGACCGTCTTAAAGAGGAGGCAGCTAGTATCCATGAAGGGCGTCCTTCGACTGTCGATACCACAACCAGCCGCTCCCGAGCCGGATCTAATGCCAACCCAATCGCGCACCCGATATCTCGAATTTTCAAGACGACCGAATCTCGAGGCGGGAAAAGCCGAAACCAAGGCATATCGCCTCTCAACAGTGGAATAGATATCAAGAGCCATGCACTATCGGCATCCCATCACAAAACCCGATCGCCTCGAACACAGACCCCCACTGGCAGTCCGGCACTCACTCGACCCCCGGTTCTTGACGATGGCATCTCAGGAACACCATTTGCCCGAGTTGGCACTCCTGACTCATACCCCGATACTCTTCTGCCCCGAGTAGATAGTGCCCTGCCAAGTGGGACCCTCCATGAGGATCCGCATGATGTAGTAGTCAGACGGGATAGTGAAGCGGGAACAACGGAGATGACGGGTATTGCAACAGGTGGCAAGCATCGACCAGATACTGTTGACATTGCCGTGGGGGTATCGAGACTGCATATGGTGTCGTTGCCCACGCTTCAGATGAAGCCTATTTACTGGTCACCAGTGAATGATGTTGCAGTGGTTATGAGAGCTACTTGGTTCTACAAGTGAGTTCTTGATGCTGGTGAAAGCCCGGGCGAACGCGCTGACATTGCTAAGGGACACGATGCTTCCAATTCCCGCTGCTGTTGCAAATCAACTTGAGGCTGGTTTCCAGGAGCTCAGGCCGTGGACGGAGACCTGGAGCGATGAAATACGTTGTGCTATCGACGTGGGGCCCCTTGGCGAGGAAAAGGTCTCGCACCGACTATGGCCTAAGGAATCTGAGTTGGCTTCCGAAGACGACGACGGATTGACTGAGAACACCATATCATCCAACTCATTCTGTGCAGCCCGCTGCTTTCGGGGAGAAGCGGCCGCTGAGGGAATCATTGAGCCCACCTCTGTGGACAAAGCCGAGTCACCGAACCGCCCATTTTTGAACTACCATGTTATTTATAAGAATTCAACACAGGCCTTTCTCTTGAAACCCAGCCTCAAACCCTCTGCATATTATGGCAGACGACCCGTCTGGAAGATTATGAAAGGTCTGACAGTCGGAGTCCCGGTTGTGCGGGGATTCGACCGCAATGCATGGGAACGTGTCCACCACAAGAAGCAGGCGCCTAACAAGCCAGGGGCTTCCGCAGCGGATGAGTCGCATGAAAGCACCGGGCCAGATGTGTGCTCTGCTTGCAGGGCAGAAAAGGAACGAGGACAGGTCACTGATCTGGTTCTTGTTGCCCACGGAATTGGCCAGAAATTCGCAGAACGGGTAGAGAGTTTCCATTTCACTCATGCTATAAGCGGCTTCCGACGAGCAGTGAATATGGAACTCCAGAGCCCAATTGTCCAGGATGTGCTCCGCGATGGCCAAAACGGCCTCATGATTCTGCCCTTGAACTGGAGAATGGGTCTGTCCTTCGAGGACGGAGGACCAATGAAGGAGGAAGACAAGGCCGCATACACACCCGAAGGTTTTGGACTGAAAGATATTGAGCCTGATACTATTCCCGCTGTCCGCAGTATGATATCGGATGTCATGTTTGATATTCCGTTCTACATGTCTCATCACAAGGGAAAGATGATCAAGGCACTGGTGTTGGAAGCGAATAGGGTCTATCGCCTTTGGTGTCGGAACAACCCAGGCTTTGCCGAAAATGGGCGTGTTCACCTCATCGGCCATTCTCTGGGCAGCGCGATGGCGCTCGAGGTTCTATCGCACCAGCCGACGATGGTGCCAAAAATCGACCTGTCACTGAAAGAGCCCGAGACGCGTTTTTTCGAGTTTGACACTACAAACTTATTTCTCGCAGGGAGCCCGGCAGGATTCTTCCTACTCCTAGAGAGAGGCACCTTGATGCCTCGGTATGGACGGATGAAACCAGGGGCCGACTCAAGCGATACGGTTGCCAACAGTGTGGTTGGAGAGGCTGGTACCTTTGGATGTCTGGCTGTCGAAAACATCTACAACGTCCTTGCAAAAGAAGATCCTATTGCTTATCTCCTCAACGGAGCTGTAGATCCCGCCTACGCCTCGAGTCTCAAGTCAGCCTACGTTCCTAGCCTTGCCAGCTCGCTCTGGAAGTCAGTCGGCGACGCCATGCGCAATGTCGTGCCAGGCATGACCCCGGCACCGAATACGCTCGCCCCGGAGCCGGAACGACCCACGACGATCCGCCTCCCCTCGCAGCTCGAGCTTGAAGTCCACGACTTCACTCGTGAGGAGATTGCCGAAAAGAAGGCGTTCCTTCTCAACGATAATGGCCAAATCGACTGGTATCTACGCTCCGGCGGCGGTCCCTTGGAGATCCAGTACCTGAACATGTTGAGCGCGCACACGAGCTACTGGACCAACAACGACTTTATCCGTATGTTATGTATCGAAATTGGGAGACGACCGGGCCGGGCGCACACACTCCCGGCCATGAGAGCTGTCAAGGTCACCAAGAGATTGTTGATCAACTAGATTGTCATTTTGTAGCACCACCACAGCTACCAGCTGAGCACGTATTGTTTTACTTTTCGAGATTGGAGCGATGGAGTGAGTGTTTAAAAGATTTGGAGTTACGAGATACAGAGAGATCCTTTACATAGAATACCCCACGGAGAGGAACCACGGCACAAATAGATGGTATTGATGACGCGCTTTTAGATAGACAATTTTGTTATACAATATTATGTCCTTTCCCCTTCTAAGAAATTTTCGTTGGAAAGACGGGACCGGGTGACAAATTGAGAAAGCGAGAAAGCGAGAAATCTAGAAACCATCCTCCAGCTCCATCATATCCTGATCTAGCTCTTCGTCGTAATCGTAGTTCTCGGCTGTGGCCTGGGGGTTCTGGGCCGCCTCCTCAAGCTCCTTGATCCGCTCCATATCCATCTTTTCCTTGTGCTCCTTCAGGTCTCTGGGGCCCCATGTGCTGATTCCATCCTGGTCCTTGGCTCGAAAGGGTTGTGCCATAGTCCTCAAGAACCTCCTCGCGCTACTGACAGCCATATCAGTGCTCAGGTTCACGTCGACTTCAAGGAGACCTTGATTGATCCACTTGGGCAGTTGTGTCCGCTTCTTCTGGAATCGACGATCGGCCAGGACCATGATCCCGTAATCGTCCTTGCCACGCAGGACTCGACCAAGACACTGCGCAGCGTGGCGCATGGCGTCGAAGGAGAGGAAGTCATTTTCCTTGATGCGGTATGTTTCCCGCAAGAATTCTAGTCTGGCCTTGAGGATACGTGACTCGGTGTACTGGAAGGGCACTCCAATACAGAGCACAGTCCGGCCGTACTGGTGATCAAAATCGATTCCCTCAGAAACCTTTCCTCGCGCGACGCAGAGAAGGACGGCTCCTCGCCCGTTGCAGCATGCTGTGCGATACGTCTCTAGAGCAAGTGACGTTTCCTGGGCATCGGGCGTCTCGACTAGAATGAGCTTATATTTCCATACTTCATCCAAGATTCCCATTCCCTGCCACATGCTGATGATGGATTCCATGTAGAGGTATGATGGAAAGAAAACGACCATGCCGTCAGGTGTAATTTTCGCAAATTCTGTCAATAGATTGCCGTAGTTCCGAACCACACTTGGCTCATTTCGGACTTGGAAGCTGGTTGACACTGATGCCTGGTCACTTCCTCTGGTGACGATCATCGGCAAGAACGATCGCCGAGCAAGCGTCATAGCGTAAGACTCCTGGATGACTGTCGTGAAGTCTAGCATCTTGGGGTATATTTCCAAAGGCGAGATGGTTCCGGATGTGATGATGACGGAATAGAATCTCTCAAACACCGGCCGGATGGCAATTGCGGCATCGAGGCAGGTGAAATGCAGAATGGGATTGGGCACTTCGGCAGTGTCAGACTCGTAGGGCTCCAGGATGAGAAGGAATCCTTTCTCATAGGTTGATACAAGCGTGGCAAAGGTTGCAACTTCCTGTAGTGGCTGGTAGTCCTCGATATTGGTGAGTTCGAGGGTTCTCACCAACGACGTTAGTCGTTCGGCACAGAACCTCAGTGGTTTCTTCTCTATGAAGGTGTGTTCCCTTAGGTGAGACAGGAACGACGGCGGCGTCTCTGAAATGACTTGACGGACCTTCATCCGCGTCTGGAGATGGGGTTAGAGTCGGTCTACTTTAAATAGAGAATCCGGGAAAAGTACCTTGAGATATTCGATAAATCGTTTCAGGAACGCAACAAAGTGTTCTGCTCTTCGGATGTTGCCCGGTACGGCCTCTTTGAGGAGATCTTCAGGCAGAGCTATGAAGTCATTAGTGACGCTCACACGCACAAAATCAGTGGGAGAAGGAGGGGGAGTGTACCGGGATTCGACATGAACGCATCTTCCTGGCGAGCCTCATCCGCGTCACGAAGACCCTGAACGAGTTTCTGATACTCATTCTGTAGCTGCTCCTGATCAGTCTCCCGCATCTGAGCGATCCGGTTCTCGAGATTTTGGGCGCCGCGAGTCGCCTTGCGCAATGAGTCCTCGGTAATATCAGTGCTAAGGGATTCGATACAGACGTTGTCGATGTTGTGAGCTTCGTCAAACACGACGATACAATCTTTGGAGAAGTCCCGAGATACTCGTTCCGCAATCTTGGGGTCGAGTAGGTAGTGGTAAGAGAAAATGACGACATTGCAGTATTGCATCTGCGAATGGTTATTAGCGACTCAAACATTTCGTTGGAATTGATGTGCCATGTGGTACTCACCATACGTCGGGCAGTGAAGTACGGACATTGCTTGTGCTCTTCACCATAGCGAAGGATGTCATCAAAGGACCAAACGCCATTCGGGATTAGATTGTGGGGTTCCAGGAGGTCAAGATTCTGTGTCCGATGAGTTAACCAGAGTTACAAGAAGGACATGGTAGTGTTCATTGTACATACGTCGTGGTAGACACAAACGTCCACATTCTCACCCCGATCTTTCTTCTCCTTGACGAAGCCAGCTGTGAGACTTCTGCACCGAGCATCAACAACTGAGCCACTCTTCTCCCGTTTTACGGAAGGATGAAGACACAAGTTCTTTCTGCTGGTCAAGCCAAGACCACGGAACTCTTCCTCGTAGCCAAGTTGTTCAGCCCGATACTTCATAAGAGATTTCAGCTCGACCAAGGCCTTCTCGATTTCTGACATGGTACCTGGGGGTAGTGGACGTGAGTAAACGTGAGGAGTGAATGTGGAGAGAGGGAAACGCACGAGAGCAGTAGATGAGCTTGCGCTTCTCTGGCATGTACTGCTGATAGGCAACAATTAGGGAAAGCAAGGATACAGTCTTGCCAGTGCCCGAAGGCATCTCTAAGACACAGTGACCCCCGGCATCTAGGGTTTCTAATTATTCAACGACATCAATCAGTCAACAGAACAGATGATGGAGAGGGATGGAATACTTTTGAGATCGCACATGTAGCTGCGATGGAATGGATGGTAAGCCCCTGGGACATGACACAAGTTGAACTCGACGAAACTCACGCATATTGCTCTGTTGCAAACCAAGTGGTTAGTCTCAATCAATAGCTGGAAGCGGGGGAGAGTTTCGTGGGCACACCTGGGTATATCTTGGGGTAGGGGAAGAGCACCGGCAGATCACTAGGGCGAGGATCAGTATGGGGCTGGCACATGCAAGAGGCGACCGGGGAGACCATACTCGATGTTGAACTTCATGATGGCGACTGAACAGGCACCGGGGCATGCCCTCGGTGATTTTCAGATGTGGCCGAGGCGAATGGTGGATCTGATGGGTGAACGACGTGATGCGTGACGGGCAGGCTCTGTAGGCAGAACCAAGCTGTCGCGAAATCACGTGATCACACGCGGCGATGTTGCAGGTGCCCGATAAGTCAGCGGTTTGCTTCTTTGGCTGGTGGTCTGTGCCCTGCGCCCAACCTGGAGGTGGAGGCTTGGTGGGGCTGCACCTCATTCACCACCTGTTTGGTACGAGCGCGAGACTCGGTGCCAGGCGCTGCCGGGCATGTACTGTGCGAGATACTTGGCACCCAATCCCAATGGAGGGTAAGATCTGGGACAAGAGATGTACGAGGTACGCGAGCAATCTAGTCCCGAGATCCGCTGTGGGCAATCTGGGTGGGGGCTACGACACCGTTGGTATCGGGAGAATACGTGGTGGGCCAGTTAGATGCAAGCTGATATCAAGATGACTAGCACCGGTATCAAGAGGTCAGACTAGTGTCAATGTGCCGGCGTCGACGGCATCGAGACTAAATCCTGGCAATTGCAAGCAGCTAAGCTGACCTACCATCCTCCGTAAGGGCAGTTGGTCGAGGCACTATGTCTGTCACCAGGCGGAATTGGAGATGTGGTCTTAGGGAGGGGTTGTGTTTTAGAGCAGGCTGGCAGCTCCATGCAAGCCTAGTTTGGCTTGTTTGTAGCTGGGCTAGACGTTTTACGGCTGACCCGAGTCCGTAGTCGTGAATTGTGGCGAGATCATTTGAGGAGACATGATGACGGACGAGCGTGACGACCACGCGCTCCTCCTTCCCCGCTCCGTCCCATGGCGGCAGCAGGTTGCAAATTGATAAAAGTATCGAGAGGGATTGAATCCGTGAAGGGTGGGCGGACGGTTCGATTAAGCTCGCGGCTTCATCTTGGACATCGCCAAGGGAACCCACTCTTTGGCGGGTATCCGGGGAACCAAAACGACGTCGGTCTTCGGGAAGGCCGACTGGTTGGACCCGCGAACAACAGAACGGCACCAACCCTGTGTCTCTGGGACGCAGACAAACCCTCACGTCGGTGACCAAGTTGCGCTTTGCAATGACCGTGTGAGCATGGAGTGGGCGTCATTCTCGACCTGGGGAGCAAGTTCCGTCGCTGGCACTAATGCAGTGGCCTCACTGACTTGGCGCCAACTCCACCACCTCCTTACCTTACCTCACACCTGGACTCACATCCTTGACGCATGGCCTCACCTCAATTCTCACCTCCGGCACCGGGACCAGGAGTCTTTTGTTTTGTTAAGAATGAGACGAGGCTTGTTCTCCGAGGGAAACCACCAATTATATAGAACAAAGACGGCATGGCGTATCTACCTGAAGACGGCACATTTTCACAGACTCTGTAGATAGATGGCCCAGGGTACTCTCTGCGTGGACGCTTTTCCCTCGAGACGGCCTGGGAGGGGCATACAGTGCTGGACCGCCGACCCGGCACAGTATCATCCAAACATGGCGCGGGCGGCAGGCACTCCCCGCCCATCATGGTTTCCCTTGGCCAACCGTGTGCCGTGGCCAGCGCCCTTTCCCCGCTTTCCACCCGCATTAGTCTTCTCCAATTGGCCCGTGCACCAAGCCATCAGCCGCCTTGGGCGTGGTCACTGGTCAGTCACTATCACTGCATTGCATGCGCCGCGGTCTCTTCTCTCACTGATCCTTGGCCGACGATCCATGGTGACTGAACGTCAATGGTTGGCCATGCATGGCTGATACAAGCACGTACGTCCCATGTGTCGTTTTGATGTGCAGACTAACCCACGTACTTATACAGTGCTAATCATTACCCTTCCACCACATAACACACCAACGCCCATGCCGGGACGAAGACAGGGACAGCCACACGCGCCTTATCAGCAATTCGCCATCTTCCAGTGACCCTCCGCCATTGCACATTACGCAGACATTGTCCACCACTACTACTCCTACCACCCCGACTTCCGTTCGTGATCCGATCTTCCCCTCCCTCCTCCTTATACTTTCTCGCCTTCTGCGTTCTGTCCACGCGACATTGTTCTTCCCCTGTGTCTCCCGTCATCGTCATCGGTCTCACTCGCAGTCGTCCCCGCAAATCAGGCTATCTTGGTATCCGTCATCCTTGCACAGAACGTGACAACGCCAGAAGCCACCACCAGTCGCCTCGGCCGTTTGCTGTCTGCTCGTCTGCTAGTCTGCTCGTCTGTTTGTCTACCCATCTGCTCGTTGCTCGTTTTCCCTGCAACACCATCTGCTTCCCTTCTAGGGACCGCCTCCTCTCCTCAATCCTCGTCCAACGCGCGCCATCATCACTGTTTTGTGTCCGCAGCTCTTGTAGCTCCGTCCTCGCATCACCGCATCTACTTTATCTTGCAATTCGTCTCACCACACAAGGACCAAATCTCTTGGAGCCTCCCCCTCCCCTTGTTCCCTCATCATCTCGTCCGGTCGTACACTAGGTCGCAAGGTCCGATACGGGACAGCTTCGTGCCGACCCTCTTTCGTCCCCAATCCCCCTTCCTTTGTCTATATCTCCAGTTTACACGGCCCATCCGGCTTGCTATTCCTCACGCTTGCTCCTCGTACCTGCTCCTCATCCTGGGCTCAGGCATGTGCGACAAAAGCCAGCCTGCAGTAAGAAAGAAGCTGTGTGCGTCTATCTCGTCTTGCCACTCCCTTGATCCGTAGGCCAGTCTTCTGACTCTTCTCATCCAGCATTTTGCGGCTAAAGCCAAATATCAACATACCCTCCACCAAGGCCTCACGTCTGTTTGACCTGCCCTGGCCCGATCGTCGCCTCGCCGTACATCCTTACGCACTATCCCCACCCGCGCGCTCCCCGAAACCGTTACCTACGCCGTCGATCGGACTTCGCTCAAGGCATTCGTCACGCCCGCTGATATGGCTACCATTGCCCTCCCCAGACCTATCCCGCCGCATCGTCCATCTTCAACCATCACACCGCCCCTTTCCCTTGAATCCATCAACTCCTCTTCTCCTGCACAATGTTCTATCCCGGTCCCGAACAAGCACATCCCGGTCTGTCCCACCGGACCCGCTCGTGCAGATGAGCCCAACACCCCACCACCATCGCCGCCGTCACCCCGGAGCCTCGACCGCTCACAACAGAGCTCTGCCCTTTACCCCACGGACGGATTCAAACGCCTTGACAATGGCTCTCTCTCCATCTTTGAGATTGACGCCAACCAAGTCTCCGAGGCCGTCGATTTCACGTCTCGCCAACCGCTACCAGATCCCTCTCTCGTCTTTCCATGGCTGCATGGCCTGCACCCTCAGAACCATGTGCAGCAGGCATTCTTTGCTGCGCGGAAACGCACTCTCCGAAAGACCCCGTCTTGTATCCGTGCAATAACTATTGTCAAAGCCGATGGTGTCCTTACATGCGCCCGCCTCAAGGGTGCTGTCGCACCGGAAGACGTTATGCAATCTGGCGAGGGCCCTGACTTTGTCGAGGCTGATCCCCGCGAGGGGTTCTCCGTCCGAAATTTCCAGATCCAGACCGCTAAAGTTGCCCGAACCTCGGATATTATTGTATACGGCCAGGATTCAACTGAGACGCGTAAACTGGCATGGGATATTGCCACTGGCCAGCAGCGATGGCGCGAGATGCAAATTGTCCAGGGCGTGTGCGCACCAGAGTACAACACGTTTGTTTGCACAAGCCCTTTCAGCGATTTTGAAGAGAATCACCCAGAAATCGTGGCAGTTGACTCGTCAGGGTGTCTCACGGGAAATGTCCTAGACTTTTTCCACCAGGAAAGACGAGAAATGTGGAACATGACAGAAGCTTCTGAGATATCCCACAATGTCTTTATGGGCCCAACCCCGGAGCCGGGCACCCCGGAGGAACAGCAGTTTGACATTTTGATTGAGTGCAACGATTTGGGCCGGCTGAATCCTCTGACCTTGCAAGTCATCGCCGAGAGCCCCGATGAGACCGGAAAGCAGCAGATGCTTGACTTCCCCTCCTCGGGTAGTATCCTCCCACCTACGTGGTCTCATTCGGAGGCTGACGGTATTCTCGAGACGTGTAAATGGATTTATCACCTTGCTCATGGTTCATACCCCCAACCAGACTTTGAGCCAAGAGACGACGTGGAAGGAGATTCACCCATGCCATCTGAACCTCAAATAACCTTCAACGTCCGTCCTCGGAAGATTCTCCTTCATTGTGCTGATGGTTACACCGAGTCGACGATGCTAGGCATTGCATACTTCAGCTATAGCACTGGGCGAGCTGTGCCCGAAGCATGGCTTCACCTTCACACTACTAAGAAGCGAAACTTCTTTGCCTACCCGACTGATGTGGCTCTTTTGACAGCAATCACCCCAAGACTACTTCGGGAATCCCCCGTCTGCGTTGGTATGAGTTTGACAGAAATTACTACACTTACTAAGGATGAACCAAGTTGGTTCGCTGGCTTGGATGGCTCATTCCCAAGTCGAGTCCTCGACTATATGTACCTCGGTAATCTTGGCCACGCAAATAACCCAGATCTCCTGAAGGCGCTCGGAATCCGTCAGATTCTTAGTGTTGGAGAGACTGCCATGTGGCGGGAAGGGGACATGGAAGAGTGGGGAGCAGAGAACGTCTGCGTGGTTCAGGGAGTTCAGGATAATGGTATCGACCCATTAACTGACGAGTTTTCCCGATGCCTCGAATTTATTGGTGAGTAACGGTGCCGAATCCCTGCCAATTATGTGCCCCTTGGCTAATCGATTTGCTTCTCTTTCAATGTAGATCGCGGAAGACGAAACGGCACGGCCACTTTGGTCCACTGCCGAGTTGGTGTCTCCCGAAGTGCCACAATTTGCATTGCCGAGGTTATGCGGGCCATGAATATGTCGTTTCCTCGCGCATACTGTTTTGTCAGGGCTCGCCGACTCAACGTCATCATTCAACCACATTTACGATTCGCTTACGAACTTTTGAGGTGGGAGGAGACGCTCCAGCGGAAAGGCAATGAAGACATGTCAGTGAAGAGAGATCTCGAATGGGGAGAGATCACACGAGCGATTGCACTCATGAACAGCCCTTACTCCAGGTAGATTCTGGATCCAGCAATTATGTCGGGGACATAGATATGCCATTCTGCGAGGGATAAAATCCTTCCCCCAGTTATCTTTGGGACGGACACAAGATCGTCACGGAATAGATTGGTCTGGAGTCTGTCATACTCTCCTTTTTTCTTTTTTCTTCTTCTTTTTTTTTTTGGGAATATTTTATATTAGTGGGGGCTCGCATCTCAACAGCATCAGGAGTGCTGCAAGACTCTTCTCCTCTTCTTCTGCGGGGTATGAAAGAGTACTTCATGGCTCAAGTCTTGTTTGACCGACAGATTGGTTGATCGTTATGGATTGGGGCCGCACCGGCGTTTTGTTTCCGTTTGGACGTGCTGGTCTTTTAGGGTCTCAAATGTTCTCTCAGGGTTTCGAGAAGTGTTTGTATCCGGCGTTTGTTGGCAGAGAAGGCTTTTGACCAAAGGAGGCGTCACATGTTTGGGATGTCGAAGCTGCGCTTAGGATATGATGATGAGATACGACGACAATGAAAGCCAAGGACGCTTCTTCGATGCTCAATTATTCACAGAGAGAGATGTAAATCCGTATAACGGCTATTTAAGATTAAGTTACCAAGTGATTGACCAAGCTCGATAAAAAGAACAAAGTCCCAGGAATCCCCTGCCGACCCGACGGCTTCCCGTATTACCACTACCAGGGGAGCTAGATCCAGTCTGAATAACTAAACCAGACGCCCTCAAGAGTTGTACGAGAGACAAAAAAGGGTATTTAAGATGACTGATTACATTACCCCAACGAAATAGAAATGACATAGCCCCACTGAACGCAAAACGCCTGTGTGATGCACTATCATCCTCCTCAATCAGGGGGATGGTTCGAAGTTGCAATAAGTACTGTCCAACGTCGAGATTGAGAACGCTCAACTCCCGTAGGTCGATATGTCACTCTTGTCATCTCCTTCGAGGACGCTGCAGACCGTGGTTAGTGTACTGCATGGCGAAAGCTCCAGAGACAGTATGACTTACGAAAACTGCTTGACCAAGTAACCCTCCCCGCCATGTTCCATATCGATGTTATAGACATAGAAGCCGCCGTCGCTAGTAACGACCATGACTTGGGGGCTGCTACTGCTCATAGCTACGACACTGCGCAATGGGCCAGCTGGTGATTCTCCCGCGGTCCGCGAAGGGCCTGACGGCGCTGTCGACTTGGGTATCTTGATGTAAGCAAAGTCCCTTAATGGTTCCCACATCTCGGTGACGGATTGGGGTAGATATGAACCCACAACCCCGGCAACCCCGCGACCCATAAGCTGAGATGAGCGACGCAGCATGCTGCTGAAGGAGCCGCTCTGCCTGCGATGGCCTGCACTGTTGTTACCGTCTCCAGTCCCGGTCTTATCAGCCCCGTCACTTTTAGGAGAGTCGGCCGCACTGTTCCCTGGTGACTCAGAGTCTTCGTGGCTTCGAGCTCGTGACCATCTGTCCTGTCGTGGAGAGGTGGGAGACTCAATAGGCGCGCCGGCTGGGGTTGTATTACCTGGAGGAGCTCCAAGACGGAAGATGTGGACCGTGTCGGATGTAGAGGAGATACAGAGAAGGGTAGAGCTGAGGTTGAATGACATGCTGTAGATGGTGGATGGGTAGGTCCCACGCCGGAACTGATAGAGCTTCTGGCCTCTCGGCACAGAGAAAACGCGAATGATGGTTCCTGTCTCGCTGGCTGTGGCGAGTAGAGTGCCCTCATTATTGAGACATATACAACACAAAGGTGACCGATGGGCCTCGATGACATTGACAGCCTTCAGAGTCAAGGTATCGAAAACGAGAACTTCGCCCGACGTCGGGGGAACAAAGGTAGACTGGGGAGGGGCGTGAGCAGGCCGCCTGGAATCTGCATCTTCCCGCGGTTTTGGGAGCGGATATGCGATGAAACAGTTCTCGGATGAGGGCGACAGAGCACAGATGGCTGAGGGGTTGGGGGATGTGGCGATGGTGTGCAGGAGGCTCATGTTGCTAATGTCGTAAAGATAAATTTCCTCCTCAAGAACAACAGCGAGGCGCTTTCGGTTCAATCGCACAGCTAGGACGGCGGACGGGAAGGTTAATTCGCAGATGACGGAGGCTCTCTGATGGGAGATGTCAGTCGTCTGAGGTTGCAGTGCGAATGGAGGCCCATACCTTGGTGTTCTGGATGATTAGGTGGCGGGGGGAGAGGATGAGGGCGACAAGAGAAGTCGAGAAGAGCATCTCGATGATGGCGATGTTGCCGTCATCGCTGCTGAATATTCGCGAGAATGGGTCGGTGTGATAGATTCGAAAGCCCTTGGATGTTCCTGCATGAGGGGAGGAGAAGCGTCATGGTTAGCTAAGACCGCTGTGGGATTCGGGAATGGCATAGACATACCAACGGCTAGGCAGCTGTGATCCTGGTTAAAGGTAATAAAGTTGAGTGTGGGATTGGCCATGATGCCGGAAGATGCGCGTACAAGCCGGGACCAGACGGGATGAATCGAGACGTGAGTGTTGCGCGGGCGAGATGGGTTGCCAAGTTGGTCGGTCGGTCAACGGGAGGCCGGAAATGAGGTGGACGGGGCAAGTTGGAGGTGGGCAGCGTTAATCGATTCGATTCGGTTCGGGCGGGCGTAAGCCGACGATAGAGGGCGCGAGTTAATCTGGGAAGACGACACCGTGGAGGGAACGTCAGGCGGGAGTGGTCATGATCCCGAGGGCTGCGAGGCTGGCGACGCTGGTAGGCGGAGCTAGGCAGCTGTCGCGAGGCTGGGGGCACCAGGAGGGCTACGCTTCGGTTGCTGTGGCCAGCGCAGGCGTCGAGGCGAGCTGCGCGCGTGGCTGCGCGTGGCTCCTGGAAGCAGTTGTGTCTGAGATCGAGAGGAGCAACCGGAAGAGGGACAAAGACACCGGTGGATGGTAGGAACGGCGCGGGCGAGAGTGAATGGGAGACGAACGACGGCTCGGCGAGGATGATGGCGAGAATGAGAATGACGGAGCTCGGCGAAAGCTGGTGGGGGTGCAAGTGGAGGCGGAGGTGGGGAGGGGAAGCACGCATGCAGCCAGCTCCTGCCGGCCTTGGGGTTTTCTGGCAGGCTTTGAAGGTACCTGGCCTTGCGCGCAATTTGGCGTATCCACCAGGTACCCTCAATTTCTTCCGTCGAGCGAGTGGGAGTGGGCTTTATTAGTCTGGAATTGTTGGATGCACATGTAAAAACCACGATTTCGCACACTCTGACTGATCTCTCTCACCAAGACCAAGATCCACCTGGTGACAAAAAGCAGCAAATACTCAGGAACGGCCTGACAAGGGCCATTTGCCCACCCTTCAGCCCGGGAATTCTAGCTGCGAACGTTTTCTCTCTCAAAATGGCGACATCTTCGTCGAAACTCACCCCGCCCCCGCGGCAGTCAAGGTCCCAGGCACTTGATGACCTGATCATGGGCGTAAGTTGGATCTTTACGTTGGCTGGAGATTTTCACTCCTTGACGCTCTTAGTCTTGTTCCAGTGGGTTTGCTGAGAAACTATACAGACAAATAGCAGCAGTATCGTCTCGAAGCGGAGCGTTGAGCGGCTCTACTATCCCCATGAGGCCCATTTCTTTCGCTACTTTGTCAACAAACTTCAGAGGAGGGCACCGCTCATTAACCGCGGATATTGGCTGAGACTGAGAGCCATTGATGTTGTTGTTCATCAGTTTCTCAAGTCATCGCCGTCTGATCGGAAGAAGGTTGTAATAAACCTAGGGTGCGGAAGGTGAGTATCGCGCCACATTTCCGAGACGAGGGCCACTCTGCTGATCACGCCTGGAAAGCGATGTTCTACCATGGCAGTGTCACGCTCGTTATGCAAGTGCATGCGAGAACACTGTATTCCTGGATATCGACTACCCAGATCTCATGCAAAAGAAGCGCGCCATCGTACTAGGAACCCCGCAACTGCGTGAGCTACTAGGCCCGAACCCGGTCATCAGCGAGCACGACACGGACCAGATACTCCTTCGCAGTGAAAAATATTGTCAACTTGGGTGTGATCTACGGAAACTCGATGCTCTGCGCCAATGCCTCGAGTCGTTTCTCCCTCTGTCAGAGTGCTCGGTTCTGTTTGTTGCCGAAGTCTCCATCACTTATATGGACACCATATCGGCTGATGCCCTTATCGAATGGGCGAGCTCAATTGGCCAAGGTTGGTACTATCTTGTATTACAATTCCTAAGTTTCGATCCTTGTACTGATACTTCTCAGCCGAGTTTTGTCTCCTAGAGCAGATTCTCCCTAATGGGCCCGACCACCCCTTTGCAAAAACCATGCTGAGCCATTTCAACAAACTCAACACTCCCCTCAAATCAGTTCACCAATATCCTACCGTGGAAAGTCAAAGGATTCGGTTCGAAGAGAGAGGCTGGCGTAGTGTTGACCTCTGGGACCTCTGGGAAGCCTGGAACAGTGAAGAATTTCTCAGCTCTGCTGAAAAGATGGCACTAGATGATGTCGAGCCATTTGATGAGTGGGAGGAATTTGTCTTGTTTGCAAGACACTATTTTGTCATGCATGCAACAGCGTCCTCGAAAACCAGCAAATCTTCTCAGAATCGAGTGCGCAACGACGTTCGTTATCCGTCCCTTGTAGAAATCAGCCGCCACGACTCAACCGCTCCCCGACGTCGATTCGGAGCCTCCATGGTAGTCACAAACCCAGAGGGACAACACTACTCCATGCACACTTTTGGAATGGGAACGAATGCAAGGGTTGCATCTTGTGATGTTTACACCCTGGAAGGGGCCACTGTGCCGTTGGAGATGTCTCCTACTGGACCATCTGCCAGAATGTGCCATACAATTACTGATCTTGGGTCATATGGCTTTCTTCTTGTTGGGGGACGAGCATCCCCAAGTAGCGTGTTTTCAGATTGCTGGATTCTCAAGAAGGACTCCAAATGTTGGGAGAAGACTGGAGATCTACCAACACCATTGTTTCGACATGCAGCTATCCGACTGAGAGACTCGGCCCTTGCGCTCGTGTTCGGTGGCAAGGTGGGACCGTCGCGAGTGTCACCGGACAATTTCCTCTTTCACCCCACCAAGGGCTGGTTCAAATGTGTCACGTCGGGCTCTGTCCCGAATCCTGTCTTTGGGGCCGTCGCTCTTACCTCATCAGAAGAGTCCCAGAGCAGCTCGAGGGTGTTTCACGGATTGTTGTCCGGTGGCATGACGCAAGATGGTACAATGAACACTCAAGCTTACCGGTGGAAACTTGACATGACCGGCCTTGTGGTAGGTTATTCTAGATCAACTCCCCCAATCTCGTGATTTAGTTATTCGAATAATATTCACTAACAAACTCTCAGCCGGCACTGAATTTCGAAATTATACCGGATCCGAGTAACCAAGCCGGTGCCTTGTCTGTGTTTGGTGCACAGGTGATTGAGTGTGGTTCATTCTCGGCTGTATGCGGCGGTGTTGGACAACACCCGTCTTCCCAAGGTCAAGATGTAGCATTTGTGTCTCTCTCAGGAGGGTTGCAAATTCACTTGTCAGCGCCGTCTGGTAATACCACTGATAAGTGGCCACTCATGGTCGGATCTTCCGTCATGTCCCTGAATAACCATCTCATCATTCTCGGAGGAGGCGCCACATGCTTTTCAATGGGGACGTTCTGGGAAACCGGCATTTATTCAATCGACACCTTAGGTGTTTTCCCATCGCATCTAAACAAATCGACGTACGGTGCCATTGACATCAGCTATGTGGATTCTCCCAAAGTTACGCACTCCAGCGCTGACCTGGCTGAACGAACTCGCACGGCGGAAAAGGTTACTATGACGACAATCCCCAGGGTCCGGTTGAATTCGGACTCTGACTTTAAGGAAGTCTTGCGGAACAGAAAACCAGTCATTATTGAAGGCCTAGACTTGGGTCAGTGCGTGGAAAATTGGACACCGAAATACATGGTTCAGCGTCTGGGCGAGAAAAAGGAGGTGAGTTACTCCTCATGGCGACTTCGTCGCCAGAAAAGCTAATGAGACTAGGTGGTGGTTCATGAGTGCCAATTGGACACGGAGAAGATGGACTTCAATTCCAAAAACTTCCGCTACGTTACGGAATCCTTTAGAGCGTTCATGGACAAGGCTAGCCATGGTCAGAGGCTCTACTTGCGCTCCCTCTCTGAACAGAAACCATCAGAGTCACCGGCCAACATCAACGTCGATTTCCCATCGTTAGCAGAAGAATGCGCCCTTCCAGACGAGCTCCATCACGTCAGGGACAATTTGTTCAGTTCAGTGCTGAGAATATCTGGCAGGGTGAACATGTGGTTGCACTATGATGTGAGTTGGTTTCTGACTGTCCGAGATATGTATGGCAAGCTTATGCCTCGTTCTAGGTCATGGCCAATGTCTACGCACAAATACGAGGCTCAAAGCGGATGGTGCTGTTTCCGCCAACCGATGTCAGTCACCTGGCATTTGCGCCTGGTGCCTCGAGTTCAAGCCTTGACGTATTTTCTGCTCTAGAGAAGCACCAGCTTTCAGCCACTCACCCACATGACGCTGTGCTGGGCCCAGGCGACGTCTTGTTCCTGCCACCAATGTGGTTTCACACAGCAACACCCACGGCGGACATGAGCGTTGCGGTCAACTTCTTTTTCCGTGACCTACATAACGGATATTCATCTGGACGCGATGTTTATGGGAACAGAGACCTTGCGGCTTATGAGAAGGGAAGACAGGATGTGGCCCGAATGGCCAAGGGTTTCGAACAGCTCCCCCATGAGATTCGCCAGTTCTATCTGGCGCGACTCGCGGATGAGCTATTGAATGAGCAGAGATAGTTAGCGGCCGAAGGGTGCCACTGTGGTTATTTTGAGCCCACTGGTTCGCCAAATGAGGCGCTCGAGATAGCGTATTGTGTGGATGCGAAACATAGTGTCGGTTCCATTGTGAGGGTTGTCTTAGTCTCGAGACTTGGGGGAATGGAGATAGCGCTACTGGAGGATACGAACAAACCTGTCATGTGGAAGGGATGGGAATTGCTGGGGGAGGGTTTGGGTGGTTTGGATAACGACGAGAGGAGATGGGTCATGCAACTGGCATACACATGAGGCGAGTAAGCAAAACCAGGACCTGCGTAAAGAACTGTTCCGATGCAAAATATGACGTTCGGTTGACGGCATAGCGTGCAAGATCTACCTAATAAAGCGAAAGGAGCGGCGTTCTAGCTCTATCATCCTGACTGACAGCGACCAGCACAGGGGACAGGCACCCGACGGGTAAAACGTCCGGGCGGAGCCATACTGAACGCCTGGGGCTCGGACGTCGCACGGACTGGACTGGCTCTTAACTTTTCCCACACGCAACTAGCGCATCGGTTGGGAGAATGGGGCCGATTCCTGGGGCTTCAGGGACCGACGGCCAAACCAGTTGTCGTAAGCGTTGACCCAATCAACAAGGTGTGGACGCGTTAGTCTTGCAGCAGGGCGCGGCGCCAACGGGAATGGTAGGACGCACGCTGAACCAACAAAAGAAAGGCGAAACGAGGGTTTGGGAGGGATGGATGGACCCAGTATTCTTGGCTTGGGAAAAGATGGGTGCTATTGTGGTGAGGGAGAGCAAGGAAAGGAACTGGGAAGAAGGAAAGGATATCGTCCGACTTAGGGAGATGAACATTTCCTCATCTCATCCCCATTGCCAAGGACTTGGTTGGAGGCTGGAATTCTTCATGGTAGCACAGGGCAGGGCTTTTGAGAGAACAGGCAGGGGCTTTGTGGAGAAGGACAGGCATTTTTAGCCAGGAACCGGGGGCAGAGTCGCTTACCAGGGCGAGCAAGGATAATGGCTGCGAGGCCTGTAGAGCTGAGGTCTCGACCTCGAATGGACGTCGGCAGTTATGGTGCCTTGACTGACACCTCGCGCGCGGCCTGGATGGCGCTGTGGACATCTCACGGACTGTAGTGTGCCCAGTGGAGCGAGCATTGACGCCTCGTTCGTACAGTAAGAGAGATATTGGTTGGAAGAGGGAGGTACAGTAGGGAGGTAGGGAGGAAGGGATTGCTGCACAATGACACCATCGAGGCTGTGTGTATCCGCCCGTGTTGGGTGAGCTACTGGGGCGTCGCGCTGGGGCGGCTCACTAACCCCCCTTGCGAAAATCCTCGGCTCCCAAATAAGCACGATGACGACCGGGTGAGATCCGAGCGATCGATCGATAGTCGGAGAGATGATGGATGGCACCTCTCGGCGCGAAAAAAAAGTGCTACGCTGCTTTGGGGGCGTCCGCCTTGCCTGTTCCAGCTGCGGGTGCCGGGTGTCGCAGAGCTACCTACCTGAGAGACACCACCACGGCAGACGAATTCGGGGAGAGCACTTGGCTGAGACGTCTTGTCTTCCGACCCTCCCACACAATCCCACAATCCCACACAATGCAGGACGCGAGGACGCTGCTGCAGTCGCGGTCCCAGGCGCAGCATCGCGTTGGCCGTCCCACGGAGCCATCCTCCTAGGACCTCTCCCGCACTTTATGCCACCAGCAGGGGGGAATAAGGACGGTGACGGTGATCGACGTGTGATCACCGCTCCCGACGACTCGACGACTCGACGACTCGACAGCTCGACGACTCGACAGCTCGACAGCTCGACAGCTCGACAACAACGTGACAATGATGCTGGGACCCGGCTGCCAATCTGTGAAGGCGTTGGTTCATTTGCAATCTCCCGACGAAGTGGTAATTGCCGCCATTGCGGGTTGTGCACTATCTCGTCAGCCCGCCACCACCACGACTGATGCTCCACTATGCCACCTTTGATCCATCCAGGAACGGGACGGGACACAAAAGCGCCATTGATTTGCACAATTGTTAGTTGGCCGTGGCCGGTCCGTGTGCAGACATCAAGTCACCGCGCGTCCATGTATGGCCGACCCCTTCCCTGGCGTCTTAAAACCTCCCGGGGCATGATCCTCCAAGCGAGAGACACCGCTAGAAACGTAGGGCGAGGCACATTCTGGATGGATGGACAAGTGGCAAGCTAACAATGGCGCTTTGGGCGCGTTGGGTGTGCGCGGCGAGTGCTTTCTTTTCCCCTCTCACAATCCCATTGTCAGCGTCGTATCAGGGCCCCGAGTGCTTTTTTGCTTTCCCCATTTCCTCCCTCTGCATGCCGAGTTTTCTTTGTTTTTCTTTTTTTCTTTTTCTTTTTGCCCGGCGCCACATCCCCGATTTCGCATACCTCCCTGCCTCGCCTCTCGTCACAGCGAGCACAACTCGCGAGCCTAAGGTGAGACATACAGCCGTTGCTGCCCGCCTGATGCCTCCCTCCCTGTAGCGTCCTCGATTAGGATGTTTGGCCTCGAGTCTTTTGCCTTGCTCGACTCCCACACGTTGCGTCTGTGAATGCCCCTGCTCCATCCAGTTCCCCATCTGTTCCAGCGTCAACAACACCTTTGTCGTGGGCCTTTTCCGTCTTTGTTTTCGCCTCCTCTGAGGCCCACCACATGCAAGTCAAACTTTGTGGCAGGTTTAATTTAGGTCCACTGCAGCCTGAAATGACCAAGTCTTGCCGTGCTCTCGGTGTATACACCACAATGGAATTAGCAATGCAGAGCACAGCAGCATTGCTTAATTAGCGCGTCACCTTACCCCCGCCAGGGCTTACTCCAAGCCACCGGTTGGCTTGTATCTACTGTCACAACGCCTCAATCGCCTCCATTGGCTACTCGTGGCCCAAGGACATCCTATCTACGAATACACTCCAAGTCCTGACGCGTCCCAACAAGTGCCAAGGGAGAACTAGCCCGCCCCATGTCACACGTCTATCTAGAGCTCGACGTGCAGGGGTAACGGATCAGCCAGGCGAGCTGCGCCAGATGTGGGAGATACTCCCGCAGAAGCAAGGCGCTCGTGGTGGGACAGGACGTTGCTGCATGTAATATTAGTAGTTAAAGAACCTGCTCCGTCTCCATCTTCGTGTCCCATCCCGTTCAATCAAGTAAGAACTCCTCCTTCGTCTCGGCACGGTCACAGTGAAGCATTGGGAGCTGTTGGCCGACGACAGGCTGCTCTCCATCATGTCATCCGAAGATCTTTTCCGTCAGTACCGCGGACAAATAGTCCCCCAGGACTACAATGCCGGCTTCGTAGCTCTCAGCTACCTCGTCAGCCTGGTTGGCGCTGCCTCGACTCTCGAGTTGATTAACAGGCGGACGGGCTCTAGGGGTCTCTTCAACCAGTATGGCAATCCTTACCTCAACACCGCCTATCCCTCTGCCAGACTTGCTGACCCAAACCAGCTTGTTGCTCGTGAGCTCAGCCATCACCATGGGCGGAATATCCATATGGTGCATGGTGCGTAATCCGACTCGTGTCTCCCCTCATCCCCTCCAAATGCTCACCCTCCACAGCACTTCATCGGTAACCGGGCCATCGACCTCGCCGACGGACAGGCACAGCTACAAGCTGCATATTCAAGTGGTTTCACTGCCGTATCCTTCTTTGTCCCTATCATCGTCCTCCTCGCCGCTTTCCTCGCCATCGGAACCAATAATTGCGTTTCCTGGTGGAGGGTCACGGTCGGTGGTATCCTCTGCGGCACTGCCGTCTGTGGCATGCACTATCTAGGCAATGCCTCTATTGCCAACTACACCTGTGTATATCGACCCGCGTACGTCATTGGATCTGCGATCATCGCCGTTGTCGCCAGTATTGTCGCCCTGGCCATGTTTTTCGTCTTCAGAGCGACTTGGGCAGCATCTTGGTGGAAGCGGGCTTTTTCAGCTGTGATCCTGGCCGGTGCAGTCTCTGGAATGCATTGGTGTGCCGCCGTCGGGACACAATATAGACTGGTCAAAGTCAAGCCAGAGGGTAATGAGCCTTCACGTAGTGCCACTGTTGTGGTCGTTATTTGCCTGGTCTGTAACCCCGTTGTCTCCGCCTGATGTCAAACTTCCTAACTTTGACATAGTCACTCGGCGCCTGTTTCATCATCGCTGGGTCAGCTATCCTCCGGGCAAGAAACATGAGAAAAACCGCGCTCCGTGCCCAGCAAATCATATTGGGTGCTGCCGTCTTCGACAAGAGTGGGAGAATCCTAGTTAACACAGACGGAATCATCCCAAGCACCGTGGTTACAGACTCGTTTTTGGAAAAGGTAAGAACTTAACTTGGCTCTCCTTGATGCAAAATGCTGATCATAATAGCATGCGAAGGAGGGTTTCAACATCGGCCATCCTCTCTTTCATTGGATGTTCCACGCCTCTAGGAACTGGAGTGCGATTTCCAATCTGATCGGTGGAATGAGACAGCACCTTGCGCAGTTGCCGCATTCTGGCCGTGAAAGGGATAGAGGTGACATCCAACTCATCAACGATCATGGCGAGATGATCGATGATTATGACATCATATTCCGAGAGCTCTTCTGCATGGCGGCCTCTTCGCTAGCCGACCGGCTGAGAGAGCATATTACAACTATGGGTGTGCTCTGGGACGAGATTTTACCAACAGGTGCTACCGGAAAGCGACCGCGCGGGCCCTTGCAGAAGAATGCATCGAGAACTTCTAATTCGGACGTTGGAGATACTCAATCAGAGAATCAGTACGGAGCCGACATGGAGAAGGGTCCAAGTGTTTGGGAGCCGGACTACGGGCGTGGTTCCTTGATGTTCTTGGTTCGCCGTATTGAGACAGATCGCGACGCGGAACGACTGGTATCTGCCGGGTATCGATTTGCGGAACCTCATCAGGTCAGTGATATCATCCGGTCGAGCATGCAAATCAAGTCCCAGGGCTTCGATCAAAAGCTTCGGGATATGGCCACATACACGACCCGACAGCACAAAGCTCCTCCAGGCGTGCATGTGGGATTCTTCGCTGTTCGAGCTCGACCTAATTCGCTCGGATTTGAAATCCTAGTGCGAAGGGGTGCGCGGAATCTGCTGCCGTCCATGGCACTTCCTATGCAGAAGCTCGAGGAATGGCAAGTGCAATTCCTGAGGCAGTTCGAGAATCTGCCAGTACCCAAAATCGTTCGGCTACTGAGCGAGAGAGACTCCTCGTCGTGGGATCGCGATGAGGGCGAATTCGCTGGACAGTTATCAGAGACTATCGGGGCGCTTCAAGAGTGGAGTCAGGAACCGCTGTTTGATGACGCGACTCTCACTTCGACGGTTGTTCAAATGCCATGCGGTGGTGACGACAGCCCGGCTCAGTCGACTATGATTGTGATGCGCCTAGTGATTCCAATTCACTCGGTGTTATCAAGCCCCACATGCGAATTCGTCCCTCTGATCTTTTTTAAGATGCACCAGGTCCCGACGAAGTTCCATCAAGAGTTTACACGAGGCGTTCATCAAGAGTTTGGACCTATTGTCAAGAGAATAGAAGATCGGCTGGGAGAGTCTGGGAACAATACCTCGAGTTTGCCTTCGAAATTCTGGCCATTTAGACATTCAGATGCTTCGCCCAATGGAAGCTTGGAGAAGTCGAAGATAGCTGAGAGACGGCGAGGTTCTTCACCCGACTCAGTCCGGACCGGCTCGACGATCAACCTTTGCCCTTCGAACAACATCGACCGTACCCAGTCAATAGATTCTGGGGACAATTCGACAATGTACCCCGGCCAGGTGGATTCGCCACCAGTGCCACCGTCTTACGGGGGCATCATGGTGTTTCAAGAGATCAAGATCGACATTGAAGAGACTGTGAAGGGGAGCGCAGGGACGAATCTGGTGAGTACCAGAAGTCAGGACACGATTTCCGTGGATCACCCAAATAGCAAGATGTCGAGAACGGCGGATATCGAGATGCGGCCAATGGGACATGTGGGAACCAATGTTGAGGCCGGGGGTGGAAGGTCCGTCGTCCCTGGCCTGCATGGCGGCGATGTGAATCAAGTGGCAACATTTGTAGATGTGTTGTTTGCCGAGTGTGTTGAAGGCCGTTGAAGCGAGGATCGGTTGAGCAGGGTCAAACATGACTGGTCTTTTAGTGGACACCTCATCCCTCTTGCTCGTGCTCCTTGAAATACCCCGCGGGCGCAAGATTTGAGAGCGGCTTTGTTGGTACATATTCGATTCAAAAGAAAGGACATGACGATAGAGGGAAGAGGAGGTTAGACCGGCATCCCGCGGGTTTGTTATTATGCGGGCAACTATTAACAGGGAGGGACGCGGCGCTGGTGCTTTGCGAGATTCATTGGCTGCTTGCCTTGGCTAGAAAGAGATATCCAGCGTGGCCGTGGTGATATTATTAGGATAATGGCTAATTAATCCTCTTTGCGACAACGAAATGGTGCAAGTGAAAGCCTATTGATTGAGTGCGACTGGATGTGGATGTAAGTCCCGTTAACGGAAACTACAGTAGGGGAGGGAGAGGGAGAAGGAGAGGGAGAAGAAGAGGGAGGTGGAACGAGTGGTGCCGCCTAGGTAGTTTGGGGGAGGGGACGAGGTTTGGGGGTTCGGGTTAGTAGTCACTTGCAGAGGAATTATCTTCATAATCGGCAAGCTAAGGAGGTAGGTAACAAGGTCAGGTTCTGTTTATCTCTGGTTGGTGGGAAAATGCAAAGAGGACCCCGAGCAGAAGGACCCCGAGCAAGAGGCAGGAGGCATGTAGTTAATTACCTGCACCTGCCCCCAAAACCACGATAAATGGGAGAGAGAAGGAAAGAGGGTGAGAAGTGCGGCTGTTCTCGGCCAGCTGCTCCTGCCTCGGTGCCACATCTCCTCCGTACGGATCCACAACACGGCGTACCTAGGTACTAGGTAAACGGAGGAATTACAGCACAAGAGTACCTACCTACCTTGGTACCTACCTACCTACCTAGGTAGGTACCTACCCGGTCCCAAGCAAATAGGACGGAGAATAGGGAGCAAGGGCAACCGCGAAATGCAGGGCACTGGCCGGGAGAACATCCGGAAAAAGACCCCCAAAATCCCCAAAAAGATTGGCTGCATCGCATGGCACGCATCGCATGGTACCCCCAACTTCCCCAACAGAGGGAACCATGTGCCGCTTTGCTACGGCTCCACCGGGATACCATGTCAGATCGCATCTCGCCCAGTTCCACTGAGTCCGGGCCACTCTGTACGGCAATTAATTGACCCATCCATGGGCCGGCATTGGACCTCGTGATGCCCTGCGGCCGGAACCCAACCCATTGTCCACGATCCCCAATCCCACCCGCGGGGATTACAATTGGAACAATGGGGGAAATGGGCCAATAAAAAGCCGAAATTGAGCGGCAAAAAGGAGGCCGAGCGGCTTCGGAGCATACCCAGCTTCCGCTAGAGCACACTCATTATTCCCCCACAGCCCACAGTCCACCATCCACCATCCACCATCCACCATCTACCACCCACTATTACCCACACCCGGGCGGCGCCCACCACTGGCAATGGGCTTTTATCCCACCCTGTCGTCATTGCCCATTGCGCGGTTGGCGTTGCATGTGTCAGAGTCTTGGAGTCGATAGGCAGATCCATCAAGCCCAGTAGACCAGTACTTCCACCACGCCGCCCATCAACCGCCCAAGCACATCGAGGAGTCGACAACGCGCCGCGACATTTTTCTTTCCTCTCTTTTGCTCCGCTTCTCCTCCTTCATTTCTTCCTTCTCCTCCTCCTTCTCCTCTGTCGTCCTACTTTCTCCCTCGAGCTTCGTCCTTCTCTTAGTCCTCGACATCCCTTTCAGCACCTATACATTACCTCCAGCCCAGGAGGGTGTCAGTCTGTTGGACGTGTCTGTGGAACTACCTCCTCCGCAGCAGTCTAACGTATCGCACTCACAGAGCTCTATTCGTCGACAGGCCCATTCGCCGCATTCACGGGCTCGTCTGGGCGCCCAATTGAGTGGCCGGTAGAAACCTCCAGCGCCGGCTCCAGCGCCCACACTCGAGTTCGCCGCCATGTCGCCAATCGCAGGTGCGCGATCCGGCGTCATCCGTCGCCTTCTCCTCCCGGGTGCCGTCGCCACCACCGGCGCCGTCCTCCTTTACAGCTACCGCCCTCGAGATATCCCCGGCTCCTCCTCCCCGGCGGTCCCACCACCCACCTTCGGCGCAGATGGCAGCTTCAAACTCCCCCGTTTCCCCCGCGTCAAGCCCCGCGACGAGCAATTGGCCGACCTGCGAAGGAGCTCCCAACCCGAGGCCCCCGAGTATGACATGCTCATCATCGGAGGCGGTGCTACCGGTGCCGGCGTGGCATTGGACGCTGCCACTCGTGGCCTCAAGGTCGCTGTCATCGAGCGCGATGATTTCAGCAGCGGCACTAGCAGCAAGAGCACCAAGCTCGTTCACGGCGGCGTGCGATACCTGGAAAAGGCCGTCTGGAACCTTGATTACAGCCAATACGAGCTGGTCAAGGAAGCCCTCAAGGAGCGCAAGTACTTTTTGCAGACAGCCCCTCATCTGAGCTCATGGCTACCCATCATGCTCCCCCTCGACAAGTGGTGGAAAGCTCCTTACTACTGGGCCGGCACCAAGTTCTACGACATCCTCGCCGGTAGTGAGGGTATCGAAAGCTCGTACTTTCTAACCCGCAGCAAGGCTCTTGAGGCCTTCCCCATGCTAAAGCAGACTGACCTGGTTGGCGCTCTCGTGTATTACGATGGTGCCCACAACGACTCGCGAATGAACGTTTCCATCGCTATGACTGCTGCTCTCTACGGTGCTACTGTTGCAAACCACACCGAGGTCACGGGTCTCATCAAGGACGACCAGGGTCGGCTGTGTGGTGCCAAGGTCAAGGATTTGGTTGCAGTCAAGGATGGACGTCCCGCGGAGGAGATTACTGTGAGGGCCAAGAGCATCATCAACTGCACTGGGCCCTTCACAGATTCTATCCGCAAGATGGACGACCAAGATTGTACAGACATCGTTGCCCCTTCTTCCGGCGTTCATGTTATCCTCCCTGGTTACTTCAGCCCAGGCAAGATGGGCTTGATCGATCCCTCCACATCCGATGGCCGTGTCATCTTCTTCCTGCCCTGGCAAGGAAACACCATTGCAGGCACTACCGACTCCCCGTCGACTATTTCGCCTAATCCTCTGCCCGACGAGAAGTCAATCGAGTGGATTCTGAGTGAGGTTGGCCACTATCTCTCCCCTGAGATCAACGTGCGCCGGGGCGATGTCCTGGCTGCCTGGTCCGGCATCCGCCCTCTTGTCAAGGACCCGAAGGCCAAGAACACCGAGTCCTTGGTTCGCAACCACTTGATTGATATCTCAGCCTCAGGTTTACTCACTTGTGCTGGTGGCAAATGGACCACGTACCGCCAGATGGCTGAGGAGTGCGTCGACGCGGCGGTTGGGGAGTTTGGCCTGAAGCCTATGCCCGTCAATGACGCTCCCCGCGTCAGCGGCACTGAGATGATTGACGATGGTGCTATCCTTGATGGTACATGCCAGACGCACAAGGTCCGCCTTGTCGGTGCGCACGGCTTCAGCAACACCCTCTTCATCCCTCTGATCCAACACTTTGGAGTCGAGACCGAGGTCGCCAAGCATCTGACTGAATCATACGGCGATCGCGCCTGGACTGTCGCTGCGCTCTGTAAGCTAACTGACAAGCGATTCCCTGCTCGTGGCGAACGCATCTCTCATTTGTACCCTTTCGTCGACGGCGAGATTCGATACGCCGTCCGACACGAGTACGCCCAGACTGCCGTCGACGTTCTGGCCCGTCGCACCCGGTTGGCCTTCCTCAACGCCCAGGCTGCGCTTGAAGCTCTTCCCAAGGTCATCGACATCATGGCCGAGGAGCTGAAGTGGGACAGTCGCCGGCAAGATCGCGAATGGAAAGATTGTACGTGTTTGTTATACATCTCTGCCTAAAGTGGCTCCCCCTTTGCTAACACCTGATCTCTCGTTTAGCTGTTGCCTTCCTGGAGTCGATGGGCCTGCCTCAACCCATGCTCTCAGCAACGCGTAAGCAGGTCGAGCAGGGCAAGATTGACTTTGCTAGCTCTCTCGAGTGGAAGATGTACTCTCGGCATGACAAGCCCGTGGAGGAGGAGTAGGAGAAGAAGCGCGGGTGCCTAATGAGGCGGAACAAAACCACAGCAGGGGGACTGGGAGACCCAAGACATGAAGGAGAAAATGGCGCATGCCACACATAGCACATACTGGCAAATACACATACACAAAGCACGGATGGAGGCGGCATGGAAGCCACCTTGATGGACTTGGTCCTATCCGGCACAGACAATGGTGGAAGAAACGAACGGGCGTCGTCTTTCGGGGTTTCAATCAATCAAAAGATGGGCCTTCACCAATAATGAAGACAATTGACACACTGCTGTGTACTTTTTGTTGATAGTCAAACATCTATATTCAACACTAATAACCCTCTCCTGTGCCATCGTATTGGGTCCGTTGTATTTTTATTTCACCTTTGACCTACACTACCCATTTACCATTCCGAATCATTTTGCTTGAGTCACACAAATGTACATATGTACCACTACGCTCGTCGAGCACCGTAATCATGTGGAGTAGGTTATGAGATCTAATTGTGCGTGGGAACCACGTATTTTGACATTTAGACATTATGCCTAGAGCCCGTCCTCTTCTTGAGGAGGGGGCCTCGAGCTATTTCGACTCTAGACAGTCATCCTTGACATTTTCCCTTTCATTCCAAAAGTCCGTTCATGTCGTAAGACCGAGCCCGTAGGCAGCCTTTGCCTCGCTCGGTCACCCACCCAATGGGGAAAATGCAGCCCCTTGTCGAAAGCCCCAGATGCGCGGCCTGGTGCGTACACACAGGACCAAAGAGTCTCGCTGTAGAAGAAAACAACCAGAACACCCAAAATAAACCACACGTTCCACCAGATGGAACTAGAATATTACACAAACGCCTCGCCAGCGACAGACCACCATGCCGTTTATGCCCTGTATGTAACCCGTATATGCAACATGCGATAGCCATAGTAAAAAATGATTCGCAAAAAAACGCCCCCTTTCACCCTTTATCAAGAGGGTCTCTCTCATAGATATGTAATAGAATGGAAAGCTTCCATGCTCTCCTTCAAGTACCTGAAGCGGCACTGTGTTTGGAACCACCTCAAGACGAGTCGGACATTCCTAGGAAGATGATGATACGGCCTTGAAAACGCGTTGTAGCAGGTTCGTTTTGCTTCCATTGGCCCGCCGATAAGTCAAAGCGATGGTTTCACACTCATCGTCTTCTTCTTGGTTCGCTCTTCGATCGAGCTCAGCCTCCCATCCATATGTGTCATCCGGGGACGCATCTTGGGAAGCAGGACAGGAGCATTGTGAATCAATAGTGGTTGCGGAAGTGATCATGCTCTCGCAACTGGCTGATGGATTCGGCAAGTAGTGGGAGAAATCGCTAAAGTTGTGCGATCCGACCCACAGGCGACTTTGTTCCTCGAAGTCAACTTCCATCTCTTGGGCAGGTTGCGACGCCATGACTGGAAGACAGTGACACGAGGTCACAATTGGTGACAAATCCTTCAGTGAATTCGCCGAGGAGGTGCTGGTATAATGATAGTGACTTGCGACAGGCTCGACGGCCTTGTCAACGAGCATCCTCGTTCTAACCCTGATACTCTTCTTCACCAAAGACATGGACTGTCTGTTCCGTTTGGCAGTATATTTTGCGGTCGTGCCGTCCCTATGTTCACCATCTTGTCCGAGGTCAGAGTGACGGGTCAACCCGTCCCCTTCACTCTGGTGACCAGGCGACTGACGACCAGCATTTAAGCCCTCGGAATCAGAGATATCCGGATAGGCATCGCTGGTCGAGTTGGCTTGGTTGTTCGATGAAATAGATAGCGGCGCGGCCTGCAACCTTCATAAGTGGTCATGAAGATTTACATCGGCGTCAATTGGTGATGACGAAGATGTAGGGGTTTGGCGGCGATGGGTGTTCTTGCGAGAAAAGCCCAACTTGGCTCCCATCTTTTTCCAGCCCTTATTATGTGCGGCGACAGCACGTTGAAGGCTTCCAGGTGATGGATTGTTGAAGGTCCATTCGGAAGTGGGAGGTGTGGTGGGTGGGGTCATGGGTTCCATTGCCGGGGGAGAGTTACAATCACTGTCATCAGTGAGACTGTCCGACTCGAGACCTTGCATGGAAGTCGTGGACCGAATTGGGCCGGACATTCTGTTGTGTGATGCAAACCTAGGTGAGCGTGCGGATTCGTCGGAGGGTCCGTCAAGTTGCATAGGAGCGACTGATTCGAGGAAAGGGACGAGGAGTGAGTCGTTCATTAGTTCGTAGATGATCCGGCCGGCCTCGTCCAGTTGAGAGGGGTGGGGAGGAGAGGGACCACAAGGGAGACTGAGCAAGTGATCTCGCACGTGGGCGGGGATGTTGACTTCTCTGGGAGCACAAGGGATGATGTAAACCTGCATGAGCTTCTCCCAGAGGGAGCAAACGCGGTCGTCGCTGTCCACACAGCGGGAAGTGGGTTGTATCATGAGTTCATTGTAAAAGGCGGAGTAGCGCTGGGCATCGAGGGTGAACTCCAGCGTCTCCATGCAGTGGTTTTGGGAGAGATAGGCCATGAAGGCGCTGAGGGTCCATGGTGGTGAGGAGACATCGAGGAGAATCTCGGTCAGGGTGGGGGGCCGTGAGCCCATGGCGCCGGTCGGGGTCGAGGTTCCAGAAATGAATGCTTCGCTTAGTGGCCTCGAGGGAGGAGTATCGACATCGAAGAATCCCTCGAAGGCCGAAGATGGCTGGGGAGATGGCGGATGGGCGATGTGGCTCACACACTCGGGGGATTGCCTCCACATCCGCGACTTTCCCATATCTCTCGAGTTGGGGCGCTTCGACACGTCCCACGCCTCGGAAGAGGATGTGCGCGAGACGGGCACAGGTGACTGACGCGGAGGAGCAGGAATTCGAATTGACAAGACCAGGTGGGATGCACCAGGTCAAGTACTGGGGAGGCGGCCTCAAGGAGAAGGAGTAATGTTCCGTGGCGTCTCGTGGGCGTTCGAAGCGGGCAGGTTGGCACAGAAGCTCATATGTCGGGCATGCAGCGGCGCCGAGCCTAAATTAGCACTGCCGAAGAGAGGTTGGGCAGGCCGTCAAGAGGGTTCGCCGATATGGTGAACTGACTTGGAGCGATTGAGGGCGGAAACGAGCAAAGGACGTGGTCGTGTTCGTTGTAGGGGACAAGACTGTGGAGGAAGGTGGCTTGCAAGACGACACACTAACTGCAGCGAGTCGAGTGTGGAGGGAGACGACGAAGACGAGGGCAAGAGAGGCCTAGCGACGGAGCCAACGACGAATGGCGGGGGATGGACAACTCCAAAGAGCCGAAATGATCCGTTTCGGAGGCGGCCGTGGACAGTCGAGGAAGTCGTGGTTTAGGGTCGCCGATGTGAGGTTGGCGTGGTTGGCGTGGTTGGTGGCAGTCAGTCCAAAATGTGGCGTTGGCGTCGCCGGGTCGAGGCCGTCGAGAGGTTGCTGCAACGAGCCAAGGGACTGGAATGTGAAGGTTGAAGCACACGCGAATGGATTCGATGGGACGTCAAAAAAGTCGTGGAGGGATCGCGGGCGGATCGTGGGCGGATCGCGGGCGGATCGTGCCAGATTCTTGGCGGTTGAAGCAGGAGGTTGAAGCAGAATGAGGAGTCGGAGGGGCAGACTTCGGTGGCTTGCAGGTGGCCGAGAGTCTATCGGGAGGGCAGCTGCGAGTCTGTTCTGCGACGGGCGCCGACTTGGGACTGGAGTGAAGTGGTGAGGAATGGGGATGAGGGCCTCAAAGTATAACGGAGGTCCAGGCCCAGATTAAGCGAAGAATGCGGAGGGCAAGGTTCAACCCAAAGGCGGCAGAATGGGGCGCGGGTTGGTTGCTTTTGGCGGAATGACGTTGCAGTGATGGATTGAGCGATTGGAGAGAGCGGGAGAGGTGAATGCGGGCGGCGTCTTTGTCTCTCGGAGTGTGTGAGTGTGAGAGTGTGAAAGTGTGAGTGTCGTCACTGGGGGGATTGGCGAAGAGCGGCCGAGAAGAAGCAACCAGACGGGACGGGATACGGAGAAGAGGGGATTGGCGATGCAGATGGGGGATTTGTTGTTTTAAGAGACATCCAGTAGCCGCATGGGACGTCCCTGGAGTTTGGGTCAGTGGACAAAGGCCAGCGGGACGGCCAAGGGAACGAGAGAGAGGCGTGGGTGTAGTGACTGTGACGACGGCCGAAGTTCTTCTGGCGCCGGCTGTTCGATGGGGGATGGGCAGCGGAGTGCGGAGTGCGCGAGGGCAGCGACGACCGCTGGGGTCCGTGACGGAAGGCGCTGGCACCGGTGCTGGGTCACTGGGTCTAGTGCTGGGCTGACCAGACCAGACAGACCAGACAGGCCAGACAGGCCAGGGCATTGTTAGTCCAGGACGATTTAATCCAGACAGAGCGGAGGCGGCGGCGACGGCGGCGGCGACGACGAGAGGCCAAACGAACCACGATTGGGTTGGAGGGATGGATCTTCACACTACCAGGTGCCTACGTACGTAAGGTACGTACCCCGGCCCTGTCAAGCGCCTTAATACGACAGGGGAAGGAACACAGGAGCAAGCAACAGGGAAGCAGAGGGATGGGGCAAGGGGAGGCTGCTTCAGGCGAGGTACCGGTACTCCAGCAAGGCCACTACCACTAGACACCAGATGGGGATACGCCAGAATCAGCGATGCAATGCTGTGAGGATACGTGCTAGATGGACAAATGATTACCGACTGGCAAGCTGATAACTGCTTGCTACGCTGGCCTTCATCCTAGAACACTCCTTGAGTGAGGGAGCAAGTCCACATCCAGCTACTCCGCACCATCCGTACCGCAGAAGAGTAGATGATCGCCCTGGGTGAAGCTTGGCGATGATGAATGTGGCACGCTGAGCCACCTGCATCATCAACTGCATCGTGCATTTGAAATCAGTCCGTTTCTTCCTCTCCCTCACTCTCTCACTCACCTCAGTCACGCAAGGAGCCGGCCAGAGCCGAAAGAAAGCCAGCTGGTCAGGCGTGGCGAAAAAAAAAAACCAGGCAAGACAATGCCAGCCCATAGGTAGTGACGCAGGGTGCGAATCCACGGGTACCGTACTCTGCAATCTGTACTAGTACTTACAGCTGCCAAGTGCCTGCTCCCGTTCTCCACATCTGCCCTGGGTCTGACGAATACCGGCCACGGCTGGAGCACCACAGGGCCTCCTGGTGGATTGAGGTTTACTAGAAGGGCGCTAGAAGACGCACCAGTGGCCAATGGCGGGGGCTGGTTGGGGCTTGGCTGGGGGTCGCCGGCGGCTCACTGGGGCTGGTGGGGACTTGATGGGGCTGACTGGGACCTGGCTGTCCTGGTACAGTGGTACGTACCCACGAAGTGGAGTGGAGGCGACAGGCGAAGGGCGCGTGCCCCGCTCACACCCTTCGCACACACACTCCCATCCCACACAACTCGCACGCAACCAGTTTCTCGCAAGTCACCCATTCTCTCACACGCTGGTTCATCAACATGCTCTCCGTCTCTGCACTGCATGGCTTGCCCCAAACAACCAGTCCTGGCGGCACCGGGTACGCTACGGTTACACAGTGACACCAACCACACGAAATACCATACACACGATGTATGCACCATGCACCATGCGCCACCCTGTCTCGCCGCCCTTTCCAGGACCCTCCAAGACCAGGCTACTGGTGAGACATCTCAACAGAGCATCGTCAATGGTGGTTGGTAGTGGTGGTTAAAGCAGCGACATGGCCCAGCGCTCAGGAGCCAACGGTTCTATCCCATGAGTTCCTCAATGTCGTCAACAGCCGTAACTGTTCACACCTCCCCCCCCCCCCCCCCCCCTTCTCCAGAGAGAGGTGCTCACCGTGCTTGCCCTACTCCGGGACTAATTTCCACCTAGCTGCCATCTACAGCCGTTGTTAAAAAGCTATCGTAGCCCTTCGCACACACAATCTCACAACCCGTCATATACAAAATCATTCGCAGTGAAGCAGCCCTGATTTGGTCACACCATCCCGCCCCATCCTCCGTTTGTCTCCATCGGTCCACCTCCGTCTCCATCCGGCTCCATCTATCAACGGCCGTGGCCGTGTCAACATTAGTCAGTCAATCAATGGTAATACAACCGGCTCGAGACATGGCATTATGGCCGGACTATCAGTCAATGTCTCCCTTGCCTTGCCATCCTGGGGTCCTCCCCGTCTCCGCAAAACCGACGCCGCCGTTCCCCGCAATCGAGACAAGAGATGAGGAGACAGAAAGCTGAGACACAACCCAACGCGAAACAACCTGACCATCAGACGCCGACAGAGTAAACTCGTCCGTGAGTGCGAGAGTGCAACTGCACTTCACGTCGCCATCATCAATCATCAACCCAATCGCCTAAGCGTCAAGGCCCATCCACCCCCAAGCTTGTACCTATGGTGATGATGCCGACGGGGCTAGTGAAATTTCCCTTCTCTTCTACATTCAACCATGTCATCATCATGGCCACTGGGTGTCCCATGTCCCGTCCTGGCGTGGCGCTGGTTCGTTGCTGCGTCTTCCCCATCATGATGAATGCACACTGGCACACCTCCCCAAACAATTCGCAGTACGAACCTCCGGGTGGAGACACCTTCAAGGCCGCTGCGACGCGCTACTGGCCGCCAAACCATCTTGGCTTCGCCGCTACAGGACGGTAGCCCGGCCGATCGATGAGCGCTAGACACTTCCTGTTGCTCACCCTGGCCTTTTGTCGCGTCACTGGACAGGCCCTTTGAGTGGAGAGCAGCGTGATGGTGAGGGGATGGCGCCCTCGAAACACCCTAGTACCGCTCTTCAGAGGCCTTCTCCAGCGCCTTTCTCCAACAACGGGCGTTCATCATGCAACCCCAGCCATTTAGACGCACTCCGGCCCGCCAATTATCTCCGATCCTGGGTGGGTGGCATCGTCGTCATCCCATCCAGGTGTGCGCCTGTCCACGATCATTTGTACGGCAGTTGTGTGTTGCCTGACGTATTAGCAACAGTGCACTCGACATTGCGACAGTGGTGTATGTCATAATCGGAGCGTCTTCCACGTCCTAAAAACCCTATGGAGCAATGGTGAAGGGTTTCCGGCATCGCCGATCCCTCCCTCATACGCGATCCAGGTATGCTCTCCATCGCCCTTGTGGTGAGAGTCGACTGATGGACGGGAAGGCGCAAGCAAAGCCAAGCCATGAATAGCCGTACATCGGCGAAAGATGGGGCTCCTTCAATGCCCCCATCGAACAATTATTACCAACCGGAATCACCTTGGCCGTCAACCATGTGGTGCGCAATTTTCCCAGTTGGCTTAGGTGTGTCATAGCGGCGCCAACGGGACCACATCGATGCCCTCACCACCACGCACCAAACCCCGAGTGGAGCAAGAAAGCCCACAGTCGCCATCACGATCCCCTTGGCCGGTGCTTCATTCGACGTGACCCCATGCCCCTGGGATCCATTAGTGCATCGCAGCACCACTCCATTATTGGGCCCGTCTCCTACCTCACTAGGCTCAGTCCGGAAGCGCGGAAGAGAACAATCTAGGGCGTGACTGAGATGGACTGACCCAATCCAAGACTTTATTTCCGCCCTGGTCGGCACTTGTCGGTGAGTGCGCCCGATCTCACCACTCGGGACCAGCCTAGTCATCGCGCATTCAAGGAACCGGCCGCATGTAGGTTAATTCCACCCGGAGCGCCAGCATAGAGCAACATGCCGTGATAGGAGAATGGTTTTCGGAACTGACGTAACACAATTGCCGGGTGTTTTCGTAGGGCGGGCGGTTCCTTACTGACATTACTGACATTACTGACTCATTACCTAACAGCGAGGACTCCATCCATGACTGGGCGTCTGATGATGGCACATGCGACAAGCGCCATGAATTCATGGAGCCTGTTCTAGATCAGAAATGTCACCGCAGTGCAACAACGGGGCCTGGTCGTTCGATCACGTTTATTCGCCAACATAGCGCACGGCAGATCACCCCCAGCATGCCGACAATAGCGATAACGCCCCTCCTGCTAGTAGTCGACATCATCTAGCCAAAATGTCTGATCGTCAGACTCCACTGCTACCACCCGCGCTGTCGATCTTTCAATATATACCGTATCGACTCGATAAATTGGCCCTGTTTTTATGTACTAAAGCCAAGCTACATAAGGCTTAGATTTCCTAAATCATTAGGTATAAAAAAACCCCAGGGCAATAAGTGGGGGAAGTATTCAGGGCCAATTTACTGAGTCGATACGGTAGCCTCGAACTGAAGTCTTTAACCTGGCTTCTTTGTCCACCGAGTATGTGACACTCGCCCAAATGGGTGAGACTGGCCATCCCTCCAAAGAGTGAAAAACAGTGCGACCAGCCAGCTCCAGTCATTCCGGCTGACCTCCGGCACTTACATGTGCCTCACGACTTACGGATCAGGTCCTCCCGTTTGCCCTGTTGCGACTCCGGCTATTGTGGCCATCAAGGACAGCTTGTATTGCCAAGACTGGCCTCTCCACCAATCTCAGCAACAAATCATTGACGCATGTTTGCACACGAGCCTGGTGGGACAAGAATGATACCCAATACAATTCCTGTTCCATGAAGAGCCGGACCTCTCCCCGCTCCTTTGCCACTTCATTGAACAAGCACAAGTGGCACCTACACGTCGGCCGGCGCATGGACGAGTGAATCAGGGACTCGCCCGCGAACCAACAACCCCTTGTCGATGCCATCGAATCAAAACAAGGAAGAGAAGTCTTGCCGGTTGCAACTCCCAACCTTGCCATGCCCGGGAGGGAACGTGCTGCTGGCTTTCGTGGCGCCCACTCAGAACGCCCCTTTTCTCGGATTGAGAGTCCAGTCAGTGTCTCAAGGCAATCAATCCATCTCGGGCAAATCTAGAAATTCAGGCCAACATCCCCGTCCGTGGGCGACGCACAGATGTTCATTCACCCTCGACACGCCCCCGGAGCCAGGGTCGGAGGGTGTGTTTCGTTACTTCGGCTGCGACGTTGCTGCTCATTCCGCACCGAGGTCACCATTCCAGAACAAACGAGCACAGGTCAGACAGGATGGATCACCGTGTCCCGGTCCCAGTATGGGCTGTGGACCGACCCATGTCGTTCTGGAAGCCAAGGAATCAGCCCAGTGGCGCTCGGTTCTAGAAGCCTTCCCGTTTCGGCATCCAATTCCACTCGCTGCCACCCAACCATTTACCAGGTGCCCACCATCTTCCTCCAGCTGTCCAACTCCACACACCACCAAACGCCTCCTCCAACCGGCCTCGCCGTGTCCCCATCGCCTCACCAGGGGAAAGAGTGAAAAAAAAAAATATGCCACAATCATCCTACGCGCCAGCTGGCCGCACCAACACCAACCAGCTCCCTTAGGATCCATTCTCTGGCCGAGAAAATTTTTGTCCCTATTTACCCGTTCTCCTTCCCCTTACCTCTTGGGGGCAACGGCGTATCCTCTGTTCGCGTCGTATTATTAGCCCACATCGCGACGGGCCGCATCCAACAGGGTCCCCCAAAGCAGCAGAAGAATGGCGAAAAGCGACGAAAAAGTGCGGACCGGCTCATGATGGCCCGGTTGGAGACGGATGGCGCCGGGTAAACTGGTGTTTTCCTCTCTGTTGGCCCCTTGGGTTTCCACTCCATGGCGTCGATGTTCATGGATCACGATGATGGAGCTGGGCCAATCCCCTGTTGGTATGCGGCTGGTCACGGTTGATCCAAGGGCTTGAGAGAACCTTTGTCTTGGCTCTCCGACGGAGATCCATTGGCGACCTTCTGGACAGGGGTTGCAGAAGGGCGTGATGGGCGTCAACCACGCCAACTGCATTTGCCGATTCCATCACCATCAAAGACAAACACTCGAGTGTACAGAGCGCGCCCGCCGGCGGCCACTACTCACCGATGACACACACACACACACACACACAAAGGGTACCCGCGCACACGCACACACCACGGAACGCACCGCGTCCAGAAATGGCCCCCGTCTCACCGTCAACAACAAGCATCAGTCTCCATTCGTACATGGCAGTTTGCCCAGCCCACTCCTAGGCCGCAGATGGAGCTTACTCGGCGCCAAAGGTTGGTGTGGTAAGCTAAGCGTTGGCAGGTGCTTCTTCCATTTTGCCTTTATGTGGCGAAGTTTGTTGTCGGGCTCGGAGCCATGCCGATTTTGCGGGTGAGTCTCCCGAACCACGACCCGGAGATGAAGATGATGCCGATCCAAAGGCACCCAACTCAATGTCTTCCCTCCCGTCCTGGCCTGCCGCCTATCTTGGCGGCCGCATTTGATCTCCCTTTGCTATTTGAGAACGCCCCATTTGATGTGAAACCTTTTCTCCGAGCCCGGAATTCTCGAAAGCTTCTTGAATCTTTCTCGAATACCCTTGTCTCATCCCTCCACCAAAGTCAACCTTGTTTCCCACTGGCATCTTCGTCCAAGACTGTGTCAAGTCCTTCGCCGATGTGAGGCCGCATGTGCGATCCGCATGTGTAGTCACCCGTCCCTCGTTCCCGCCCCCTTCATTCTTCGACTAGGTTCCGCTTGCGGGAAAGGTGGCCCTCCCTCTTCACTCTAGCAATGTCTTAGAGCCCTGTCAATATGCCACTATCTTTGCCGACGAAAAACCAACGACACCAAAGTGGAAAGGAACCAGTGACAAAATTCTCTCCTGCTCGTCACATGTCGTCCCCAACGACCCACGTGTTGCCGCTACTATCCACCTGTGGGAACTCGAAGGAAGACACGCCCCCCTAGAAGCAAGGTATTCTTGCGTCGGAGACGAGGGGCTATGGATCTATTTGGAACGCCGTCGGGGCTCGGATCGGAATACAACCATGGCATGGACCCGCTGCTCGTGTCTCGCCTGCAGTTTGTTTGTCATGAACTTGTTGGCCGTGCTGTAGTCTCCCCACGCCCCCTGTTGAAAGAGTCCTTGCTTCCACTTACAGACACGATGAAGACAGCCTTGGCAGGCGAACAATGTTACGAGGCGGCCATATCAAAACAAAGGAACTTCGTCACATGCGCACGCCATCTTGCCAACAAGATTGTCAGGAATCTGCATTGACTCAAGAGGCTGACACTTTAAAACGACGGGCTATGTGTATTGCGATGCCTGCCTAATGAAGCCCCACTGGCGGATGACACCCATCTACCCCAGGATTCGTCCGCCTCAGCCAGGAGCTCTCTCTCTGTCTCTGTCTCTCACTCTCACGCAAACCCTTTCTCGTGTCTGCTATCCTATCTTCTGTGTAACATTCATGCTCAAGCCACTATGGCGGGCTTCAATGCCTCTTCTGTCATCCAAAAACGCCAGTCCATGCAACTGCTTGCTTCCTTTGCTCTTTTGGTATCTTGCCCAAACACCTAATGTCATGCAACAAAGTTTTCTCTTCCACTCTTTAACCTCCCAAACGCCAGAGCACTTGTACAAACGCAATAATCAATATACTCGCAAGTCAAACTCTCCCTTGAAGCCGCCATTCAACAACATACACGCGAGCCGAATTCGCTGTTCGGGCATGTCTTCTGCCACGTAAGAATCAATGGGGCTGAGTCCTAAAGCCAAGCACATGCCGTTGGTGATGGTGTGGACTCCGCAGTCGTATCCATTGGTTTGCATGGGGGCTTCGTGACGCATCACCCTCCACTCCGCCTCCTGAAACTTTTCCTCCAACACATCCTTCATCCAGGCAAGCCCGAGGTTGGCGTATGAGGCGTTGCCGCGAGGGTTCAGCGAGTCCATGTGGGCCACCGTCCGCTTTGAGGGGCGGACAACAAGGAGGGTCCAATGTGAACGCTCGCAAATAGGCACCAAGATGGTGTCAACGTCGAGCAGGTTATTTTTCTCGACTCCATATCGTCGCAGAGTTCGCTGAGTTCGTGACACGCCTTGGTCCTGTAGTCGCTTGAAGAAGAAAGACGACATGGTCAAGCATTTTCTCGTGCTCTTCTTGACATCCTTAATGCCAGCGGCCGAGTTGACGGCTTGGTCGAGCCAGTTGAGAGATCCATTGACAATCTCATCGTTCAACCATTCTGTAGCTGGGACCACTTTGGCAAAATCATGTCGCCGCAGCTCCGTGCCTTCTCCAGTAGTCGCCAATATAGCCGTCCCTGTAACACGGAGGGTATCTTGGGCTCGTGTCTGCCACGCAGGGGGCACCGCCGAGACAAGCGTCTGAGTAGGCACTCGAAGTCCTCCAGAAGTGGCCAGACGCTCCTCCAGCTCGCGTCGAGCCTTCTCTTCGGCCGCACGTCTTGCTGCCTCGGCAGCCCGGCGAGCTTCTTCAGCAGCCTTTAGTGCTGCTTGCTCTTTTCGGAGCGCGATTCCAGCCTTGGAGTCGTCACTGATCTCGAGGGGTTTGATGGAAGGTATCGCAAACAGTTCATCAATGCGGGTCGACGGGCCAATTCGATCTTCCTTTTTGTTGAACCGGAAAGTCAGTGGTGTGCGACGAGAATGTACCTTCGACCACTCGAGGACTTCTTCCTCATTCAGGAGCCGCGTCTTAAAATCCTTCTCGATTTGAGTCTCGGGGCTGTCATCACGGAATCTTTCCGTCTCGGTGGGGGGTTGAATTTGAGTGTTATCAGGTTCACTCGTCTTCGCTTGTGTAGAGTCTTCGTTCTTCTTAGATATCCTTTGGACGTCGAGTCCAATCTGGGATCTTGGTTGCGGGCTATAGGTGGAGTCTGTGAATCGTACTGCCTTCGGCGGGCGTCTAATTCCCAACCGTTTAGGAGTGCATCTCGACGGATGCTTACGCTTGCTCTTGAGGATTGACTTTATCGTTCCGGCTTCACTCACGGTGAGGGGCACCTTGGGTGAGAACTCAGCGATGTAGTTGCCCTTAAGAGCGCGATGCTCCTCGCTTTCGTTATAAAAGTGTTTACGGTATTGCTCAGGGGTTATTTGAGCAATCGACGCTTCTAAAAGGTCGGCTCGGAGAAAGTCGGCCTTGTCATAGTTTGGTCGCGAAACGACTGGAGGGAAATATTCGGGTGGTTGCAGCACAGGTGATGGCACCTTGCGAGGTTGTTCAACCGGGGTAGGTTCGGGTTGAGGCTGAGGCTGAGGTTCTTCGGCGTCGGGGAAAGCGCCGGGGAGAAGAAGATGTGTATCCAAGTCAGTACGTTTAGGAGGAGGAAAAGTCTGCTGGAGTTTATCGCGGAATTGGCTCGAGAGGACGTAACTAGGTGCGGGGATGTTGTGTGTGATGGCCTCAAGGTCGAGTATCATCCGGTCTATAAAAGATTCGGAAATCTGGATGTGGCCCTTGTTCGATATCTGAAGGATTTCTTTGCAGATGGCGGGGAGTGCTGGGGCAGACAAGAATGCCTTGATTGAGTTCATGGTGTCAAGGCCCGGGGGTGTAAGTTTGTAGTCCAAGATAGGGGGGACAAGGTCGTTGCTGTCTCGGATCTTCACTATGATGCCGATTTCGTAAACGTTGTCGAGTGTGTCGAAGGCACGCTTGAACTGGAGTGAAAAGAGTTGGCAGAGATCATGGCCGTCGGTACTGTTCAAAAGTGCACGATCATTGTCGTTGTCGGCTAAGGAATAGCGGAGTGGCTCCAGAATCTTGTTCATCTCCTGCCGAGAGTTGTGGGATTCGATAGACTCCCAGACCTTGCCAATTCCTTTAGCAAAGGCCTTGTAGTCGTCAATAAGGTCGCTGAGACCATTCCGGTCGATCCAGCGAATCTGAGCATCTTCCTCATCGCAGCTTAGTTTAACACGCTTGTTGACGACCTGATTATCATTGAGGTAGGACCGGAACTCTGCCACTTCGTACGACTTTGGGCTGACTAGAAGAAACATTAGTAAATGCATGAGCAATAGTCAAGTTTGGGGGATCAATACGCACTCCATCGTCCTATCCGGCCCGTAAGGCCGGAGACAACCAAGCAAACGCTAGATATCATCCTGGTCCAGAATGTGCGGATCGAAATATCCCAACGCATATGGTCCAAGTCCGTGGAAGGAGCTAGTTGGCTAGGCAAAGGCAGACGAAGGGCTTTTTGGGATGCCGCCGCCTTCGTGTCTTGGTCGGGGTTATCGATGGGGTAGATTTGTCCCTCACGAATGATGACAATTGGGGATTTGACGTCGTCGATGTTGTTTGCGGAAGCGACGAGGTCGAGTTCGGTGTCTTCAGCGCGGCGCTTGAGTGTGCGAGTGCCATTGATCACGACGAAATCGGCCTTGGGATCTGACGTCGAAAGAGATGGGCGTGCGGGATGTGGTGGAGCTAGAAGCGTTTGAGGAGTGCGACGGATTTCAAACCGGCGCCGAGTTTGAGGTCGAGCAGTAGGGAACGCACGAAAACCCGGGGGGTCGATGAGAGGGCGCCTGTTGGGCCGTCTGATGAGTCTCGGCGGGGTGGTGATGCGGTCGAGGGGTTCTCTCGTGGGGGGCCTGGGGAGGGCTGTTCGAGGGACAGTGGGAATTCGTCGTCGAGGGTAGAGAGAAGCTTCTCTCAGGTTGCTCGGTCTGGAGAAGCCGCGACTGTCAGCGGAGGCGTGGACGCCATAGCGGGCGAATGGAGATGAAGACATGGTTGTTGCAGAATGAGGAGCAGGCGACGATGAAGGAAATGTGTGTAACGGAAGTCGAGAAAGGGGAATCAAAGACAATCAAGACAATCGAGACCAAGGGAATGGTCGCTTGTATGAGAAGAGTAGAAAGATGTGCGATTTAGTACGGGGATAGGGCCGTTGAAGTCACAAAGGAATCGACAAGAGATCGTGAGAACAAGGAAGGCGAACAAACGGGCGTTGTTCAAAAAGCAGTTGGTAGCGCAAACGAACAGCAGTGTTCAAGTTGAGGTGAGGAGAGAGTGAATGCGAAAGTGAAGTGGTCTTACCAGAGGTGAGCCAACAGCTGCGCACCTCAGTGGGCTTTTGTTTACGGAACCAGAAGCACAGGGTCAATCAGTAACTCGAGGGGCGAGGCGCGTTCTCGTTTTGGAACCTCGCCCAGAATGGCGCGCAGGCGCTTCGCCGAACGGGGAATGCGCGCACAGAGCAGGTACGTATATATCGGTTTGATGGGGTCGCGTATTCCGTCCGGCTCGATCGGGGTGGTTATGACATCGCAGGAGATGGGAGACTCCAGGGCGGTGGGCGCTAGGTTCGCTGCGAGAGCGCGCTGTGGTGTTGAAGGAATCGCTGGAGGCTGGAGGAGCTTCAGCGTGGTTTTGGTGGAGTTTTGGGACAAATGGAAAAGCTTGGGCGGGGCTGACAAGGCGCTAGGCTTGGCCTGTCATTGGGTGGTCATTTTGCGTTTGAGTCTCCGGCTATCATCAGCCCTGATTGGTCAACCAAACACACAAGGTCACTGGTCGGCCAGTCTAGGGTAATATTGCTTGAACCTGCATCCTCCAAACTTGGTTATCCTTTCAACAGTGCTGAGGCAGCCTGCGAACCGGAGAAGTATATCAGCGAATGAGAGCGTGTCGTATTAATTGCACGTAGTAATGGCGCCATCGATTTCTGCCTGTTGGCCTGCATCAAAAAGTATTGCTGATCACTCCCATGTATAAAAGTCCGCATGTCCTCGCAACCTGTCACGGCAACTGTGGAGACAGCACAAGAAACTATCTTAGCACTGTCAAGGAGTGAAGCGTTGACACCACATCAGTTACAATTACCAAGACCAGAAATAATCAGAGCTCGTTGGGTCTAGGAACTCAACCTCATAAACTGTATCGACCTCTTTTTAATCTATCATTCAGTTACAAATGTGCTACCCGCAGCCCACAGAATATTCATATCATCGCCTCTAACCATCCCTCTCATTCACACAACAACGTCTACTTTAATGAACCCTGCCGCATCACAGCTGTGCCATCACCTCGCCCAACTTCTTAGTACAGAAAGTCGAGAAGTACTCGTTTAGGGCGTCAACGGTTCCACTGCCCTCAACCAGGCTGACTACCACACCCACATAGCCGTCAGGCCGCACAACCACAACTCCGCCCAAATCCTCGTCCAGGCCCATCTTGGCGTGCGCTACAGCCTTGGCGTTGGCCAGTCGAGCGTCCGATCGGTCATCGGCGTAAACATGGTCCCTGTATCGCGCAAGAACCTCCGGCAGGTCGCGAGAGATCTCAATTTCGGGCCTCTTGGCGGCAAAAATCGTGCAGAAGGTGAAGAAGTGACTGTGAGGGTTGTGCATCTCGTGGTGGGAGACCTGGCTCAGGTCCTCTCGCATGTATGCCGAGTAGAATGACCTCTTGCTGTTGAGGTTGTTGCCGAAATCTCTCAAAGCCCTTGACGTCTTGGAAATGTTTCCAGCGAAGACGAAAAGGCGGAATGCTCCGTTGAGGGGCACCTCCTGCTCCAGGTGCACCACGTTAGCATCGACAACTCGAGTCACATCCGAGTTGATAAATAGGCGACCTGTAGACAACTTGGTGCCCTTGGGGTGAATAAGGGGCGACTTGGCCGAGTGCTCAGGCGACCAGTTAAGAGCGTTAGGGCCGTAGGATACCCCGTATCCGCTGGTAAACGCACACGACTCCTTGAAAGTCTTGATGAACTCGTTGTCTTCGTGTGTCTTGTTTCCGGTATGGCTGTCCGTTGCGGCCTTCACCGTGTCGGCCGGGGGTGGTCGCTGGGAGAACAACTTGGCATATCGGTTGTCGAAGCTGAGGAGCGTCTCCGCCACCTCCTTGCGTTCTGGCTCATATGTCTTGAGGATTTCGCGGTCAGCGAAACCGGCTTCAACGGCATGAATCTTCCATGCCAAGTTTTGGGCATCGAGGAAAGCCGTGTTCATTCCCTGTCCAGCTTTGGGCTATATAAATTGTCAATATCAACCACCGAGTCACCAAAGGGAGAGATTACTCACGCTGTGCGTGTGGCAAGCATCGCCACCGAGGAATACTCGTTGATCCAGGGTGTAACGATCCGAAATTCCCTGCCCAATGGGGTAAACAGAGTACCACTCGACACGCTCCCACTCGATGTTATAGGGCTGCAAGATCTTCTTAGCCGATTCTTGCACTTCAGCCTCAGTGGCGGTTTTCCTCGGGTCCCAGTCCGAGTCCGTGGACGAGGCGATCTGAATGTACAAGCGGACCATATTGTCCTCTCGGGGGATGACCATGATGGAGCCGTGCTCACTGTGAATGGTACATTTCATCTTCCTCAAGTGTTAGTAACAATTCTCGAAGCCAGAAGCCAATATTTCAAACCCACCTTGATATCTGGAAAGTCGGTGACGACGACACCATCCATAACACCCCAGACGTGGGCAATGGGGTCCTTGTGGGTGACTCCGATCTTGAGTTGATTCCGAATAAAGGACCTCGCGCCCTCACCACCAAAGAGATACTTGGCGTGCAGAGACTCTTTTGCAGTCCCGTCGATATGCTCCAACTCAACCTGAACAGGGTACTCCGGATTCGCTTGCTCATCTGACGAGAAGCCCTTGATCGTCCATGGTCGCTGGACTTCGACTCCGTTCTTCTCAAGGTCTGAAATGAACACTCTCTCAATCAGACCCTGGTGGAGCAGGGTTGTGAAGGGATACCGAGCATCGATAAAGTCGGGGCAGCTGGCCCATGTGCCTGTTCGCTCAATGCCACGTCCTGACGTGGGGGGGTCCCAGAATGCAACCTCGTAGACACGGGCAGGCTTGTGAGCCATGATGGCCGACTTCAGACCCATGTTTCGCAGGAGATCTAGGGAGCGCGGCTGAATGCCATCCGCGCGACCAGTGGCTGTCGGTTCGGGCCGGTTGTCAATGTGCTTAATCTTGTAACCCCAGCGTGCCAGAATTGTCGACAGCATCAGACCAACCGGTCCAGCTCCCACAATGACTAACAAACAAGGCTTGTTAGCAACTTATGCCGCAGCACACGACACCAAACAAAGGACGTACCGATGTCATAGTAGTTTGAGCGATCCTGCTCTGTTTGACTTGACGCCATGGTGATGATGCTGGGTAAGTAATACAAACAATTCAAGGGTATCTGCTCTAGGTAGGAGCCACGAGTCGATGATGATGGTCCGAAGTTGATAAAACAGAAGGAAGGCGTGCCAATAAATATTCAGAATCAATTCTCGGAAAGTCAGCGTGGATTCATGGAACCGTCGGGTCAGCGCCAACGGTGGGAGGGATACGGGAGCGAACCGAGGCGGCTAGGACGAAGAGACGGGGGCTGGCGGCCGCTGGACTCAATGACACAACACACTAAATCACGGCATGCATCTCGGGAAGATTAAGACTGGAGGTGTTTCGTAGAGGACAACAGGGTCTGGATAGTTCCCGGGCAAAGATGCTCCGTATTCCAGGGACCAGATGGGCAATCCAGACCCAGAATTTGGTCGGCAGAGAAGCTCGGGGTGGATGAAGCGGCGCCAGCCCCGTCCGCCGTCTCCGTCGAGGGCCCAGAGTGAGAGGAGGCTCGTCGCCAGCGAATCCCAGGGCCGGCCAAGTGTCATGGGCTCGCACCTTTGGACCGCCGTGTGTGGGGTCGTCTGGGGAAGTGAGGAGGGCGAATGCCGTTTTGGGACTCCGGGAGTTGAGTTCGGGAATCAAAGGTGGGGCAGCCCGGACACGGCTGATAGCTCGGGAGTGTGAGGCGAGGCGGCGATGGATAGAGGTGAGATAGCATGTGTTAGCAGCCCAGTAAAACACCTTGTCTTCCGTTAACAGTCTTCATCTTGGTGGCAACATTCTTGACGACACTCCGAGACGGGAAGAGGGGCCGGCATGGGCGTGATTCAACGGCCCCCACCAACCCGCCGTAAACCCGAGATCTCGCTCATATCGCAAAGCCACCTTGACCATGGGCCCTGACAGGTTGGCACCTTGGATTGGGTGTCCTTTTCGCGCTCGGTTCTGGCACGTGTAATATCAATTTCGGCCTGCTTCATTGGTTATTGTAGACCAATGCGGAACATGCGGACTTGATCGGGCCAACTAGATGGTAGACGGATCCCTGTCACGGCGTCTGGAGTCCCTGAGATGCGGTTGGCATCATCTGGGCCTGCCGTAGTCCGAGTCTCCCGGCCCAAGTGCCGCTCATTGCTGAGGCTGCAATGTGAGGTAGGGGCTGTGGAACTTTTCCGTCACCACGACATTTCTTAGACGGCTGAGACGCCTTTGGTAGGAGGGTCGTTGTAATATTGGAACGAGATTTGAGTGTTGGCAACGCTTGAGAAACACCAGATATTTTGGCCTATGGTACATTCAGCATGGACAATTCTGAGCTAATGCTCCTCACTACCTACAGACGGGAGGGAATCTCCAAGACTCGTGACCGCCATGTGCTCGCTTAGTTGGATGTCGCTACACCCAATCGGCTCCTGCCTTGCATGTTTCCCGTTGACCAATCGCCCTGGAAGGTAGGTTCAATTGGCAGGCGCGGCTATAGAGCGGCATGCCTCAGGCGGATCTCAGGAGTAAAGAGTCCCTCCTTACCTGCCTAAGAGAAGTCGAAATGTTCCAGGCGTCCTTGATCATCTCCTGCCTAGTATGAAGGGCGGACAGTCAGCCATTTTCTAACCCTGAAGGGCAACCCCGAAGAGCTGAGAGCTCAAGGGTCTCGGTTCTCGCAATTCAACACCACCATTCCCTGGTTTCGATGCTCTTTGGGCCTGCATAAGCGCCTCTCTGACGCGTTCAACCGCTCCCGAGCCAAGTACCGGTCACCGTGTAAGGGAGACCCCCCGCTCGCCCAGCGATTGCCCCCATGCAACCTTCACCCAGGAATGGACAAGACCCCGAAGGCTTTCATGCGGCGTCCAAACACCAAGCTTTCGTATGTCAACGAGACATTTGACGAAGAGAGTGTGTACCCCTGGTCTTGGCTTACATGGGATAGCCTCCCGCTAAGTTGCTACAGAATGCCGCAATGTCCTGGTCAGATACTGCGCCCATATCCCCCGCAACTACCAGTACCGCGACGGTATCCGTCTTGTTAGATAGGCAGTTGCTCGGCAAATGAACCTACACTAACAAGCTTCAGGTGTTTTTGGTGCTCCGAGACCATCTTGGCGATGAGTGTCTTGGACACGCAGGTGGGGTGCTCTACGAGATGATTGAGGTCGATTGCCAACACTCGGACGACCCAGGGGCTGCCTTTCAGCGTTGGAGGCATGATCATATGAACAGACATGTGGGTCTTTGGCAATGATGCTTAGGTCTCGGCCCATCCTAATCAAATTACGCAGGCGGATCTCGAACTTCCTCACGTACCCCATCTCACCACGGTTACCTCCGCCATCACCCCGACAGCCACTCTGACACGATGGAGGGTGGACCACCCTCAACGGTACGGAACTAGGCTCTCTGACCACTCGCCCACCGGCGAACAGTCATTCCTCCAAACAAGCGGCATACAGACGAAGAAAGAGTGGATGATTGAGTACACAATGTACGTCTCATCACGGATTGGAGGCACCCGCCCATTTCGCCGTATCAATGCCAAAGACTTCCATGAGCTACAGTGGAATTCAAGTATGAATAAGACGGGAAGGATTGTCAGGGAGAAGTCAATCGACATGAACGACATTTCTTGGAACAGTGAGTCGGATAGCCCAGCGGAAGACACTCGCCTCTGTGAACATGGTAACCGGCTTCAGCCAAGCAGGCCTAGGCGCCACAGCGATGTTTATGGGTTTCTCCGTGGTGTCTGCACGCTCAAGAAACCTGCCATAGACCCAACGAGAATGAGATGGCTTGCGGGTCGACCTGGTTTTAGCACCACAACCTCATTGCGCGAGATCCTTGACTCGAGACCGAACCCTTGTGTCAATGAGTGGGAGATCCCCAATGCCAATTTCGCACGAAAATTTGGGTTGTACACAGACAGCGGGCCATTACCGCCTTCGATCAAGGAACTCCCTGTTGCCGAGGATAAGGCAATAGATGTGGTGGCTGGCCCAGCGATGCGGGAGCTTATGTATTCTTGGAGGTTTCAAGGGCCGTTTACGCCTCAACTGTGGTTTGACAGCGGCGTTGATCACCGGCGGATACGCATGTAAGTGTTTTGAGCTTTTAAAGGTTGCAGTCGGTCTGTTTTGTGGAGCGACTACCTAAAAGTAGAGTGTAGCTATCGACGCAACCATCTGTCCAGACCATGGAGATGTTCGGTTGCAACACAGTCCAATGTCCATGTACATATTTAATCAAACCGAGAATTAGCCTGTCGCCGGTGTTGAATTACATAGTTTATCTCCTTGGTGTTTCGGTCATCTGCAAGTGCCAACCCGTCCAGTGCCCACTGGCCTGGCAGAGAGCTGTTCGCACGTGTTGCCAGCTGGCAGAAGACCGAACAGTAAACATCGACGTGCAGTCCCCGGAGGGGCAAAACTCCTGCCTGTGGGCTTGATTCACGTTCGCCTACCGCACGCGTCCGTTTATTTACTTTCCCCCACTATCATCAACATCCCTCTGCGCGTTACAAACACAGACTTTGGCTTCACAAGCCAGCTTCAACTCGCCTTGTCTTCCTTGCTCGTTCTTGTACTATGCATCGATTTTCTTGTTAAATCTCACCTTCTTCGTACATTCGACCCTGTGGCTTTGCCGCAAGCTCAATGCAGCGTGCCAGTCCAAACAAGGAGAAGAGCCACCACTCTGATCCATCGACCTCCTCTCTGACTCCACTCCGAGGGGACTTCTTACCCTCATCTCAAGGCTCACGGTCTCGGTCACTATCCCCACGGAAACGCTTGATTCGGCAGCCGCTTCATATTCGAATGAACCTGACAGAGGGCCAAATGGACAAGATTACTGATGCGTACGGTAGTCCTCAGTCAGGGAAGAGTCCCACGTTAACGGCCCAATAGATTCAGCCACAAGGTTCACAGTAGCCCGGCACGAACTCGAGCGCGAGCTGCTGCCGCTACACCGAAGTCAAGTCCTCGAAGAAACAATGAACCTCGTTATGAAGTTCCATACGGCTGGGCCACCCGCCCGGAGTCCAGTCCTAGGCAGGACTCTCCAACGTTCTCGGAGTTGATGCCAGGCCGCCAGCAGAGCTCTACAAACGATATATTCTCGGGCAACTTGGCTGAGCGTCGTCACAAAGCTCCGCCTCCTCCTCTCCAACTCGGTGGCGGACGGCGTAATGCCAACGGGCCTCAGCGGCCTGAGATGGAGAGCGTCACTGACTCGGTTTCTCCCCTGAGCCAAAGCCAATACGAAGTTTCTCGATTCACCGATGATGATCCTGAATCATTGTACTCACAGGAAGCTCGCTATATGGTACAACCTGGGCCGCTTGATATCCGCAGAACTAATCACCAAAGATCTCGATCGAAGCTCAACGACGCTGTTGTGGATGCATACAAGGATTGGGCTCAAATCCACACACCTTCGCCGCCGCGAGAGTCGCCAACCCACCCAGAAAGTTTGACTAGAAGGCCCAGACGGTCCAAGAGCACTGGTGAAGGCCTTCGCCAGTCCCGTACTGCTGACACCCCATTGTCGGCGATCACACCTCGAGATGCGCTTCGATCAGATGCCGCCCCTCTCTTTTCCCCTCTTCAGTTTTACTTCAGGGGTCAGGACTTCCCAATGGCCAAGAAGGGTGAGAAGACCATGATTGGTGATAACGGTTGGCTTGAACGTACCGACAAGGTGCCTGACAAGACCAAGAAGACACCGCACAAGAAGGTTGGCATTATTGAGGGCATCAAGAAGATTGCCAAGGACATGGTACGTGTTCCCCAAGTTTTGAACAGGAGAAGACTCACTCACGAAAATAGGCGGAGCTGCACCACAACAACCGTCGACCTCAGCACTCAACCAAGGAACGACCCAGTTTTCAAGTGGCTATCTCTCTGGACTCTCGGGAGCAGAGCCTACTCTATTGCGAGCTTGAGTACCACCTAAGCAGTGCGCTCAACGACTACATCACAGTGCAACTTGACAAAGGTCGCCTAGTCCCCGACAAACTCAAGAGAGTAGCCGACGCATGGCAACACAAAGGCCGCCCAAAGGTGGTTGGGTTCCGATACGACCTGGAAACGCAACTGGAGTTAGTGAACCTGCATATTGATGACTTTAGGTTCTATGGCCGGCGCCAGGGTGACCCAGTTGAGATATCCGGGCTTCTTCATGCTATGAAGGTCAACGGCCGGGCCATGAGCATCCGGACCTTCTGCCAACCCGACTCAGTGATTGCGAAACAGCTCGTGGATGCACAGTCGTTATTTAAGCTAATCGGCGTCCCTGACGCGCAGCAGATTGCGCTGGCTGAGATTGCGCAATTCTTCAAGGTGATTGTGGAGAGAGAGATGGACTACCGTTTGCAGTGTGAGCCGGAAGGGCGTCGGGCCAAGATGCCGTCGCATGGCCCGGATGATTCGCAGTGGCAGACACGAACTAACCTTCGAGATGGAGGAGTGCATGCGGAAGAGTGACATTTGACTAGGAATCGAGAAGCATGTCTGATGATGACGAATGGATGAGGGTTGCGAATGCCAACTGGAGCTTCGCAGCATTATACAATGGAAAATTTGATGTACGATGAACCCCTTGAGAGGCGATGGAAGGGTTTGTCATGTCGGCGGACACCACAGTCAGGAGGATACGTGGTATATGGATGTGTTGTTGTACGTAGCTGTAAGAATAATATTTGATGATTCTACATAACAAGTCCCTAGGTCCCTTTTCACTAGGCTGAATAAATCGAAACACATGAGGCGTGACTCATACACAGGCTGGTTTAGGATGAACAATATGGAGGCAAAGATGCTCTCTAAGGAAAGATGGCGCGGAAAAAGAAAGCAAGCCAACCCGTTTGCGCCAGATTCAAGTTCAAGCAGAATGTCCTCTGGAATACTCCCTTTCAAACCCCTCGGGGAAGAAGCGATAGAAAATAATATAGATTCAAGCGTAGCGTAGTCGTGAAGATTCGTTAGGGTAGAGAGAAAAGAATGATGGGCGGACGCGCGAAAGAGCGGGACAGGTCAAGGCCGGGTGCGGTAACTCTCCTCACTCCTGCGGCGCGAAGGCCGCCGGTCGTCGTATCGTGGATCATCGTAGACAAGGTCATCATCGTCATCATCGGGAGGCGGCAGACCCCTCTCCCTCCTGCGGTCCCGGGAGCGGCCCGAATCAGAGCGACCGGAGTCGTATCGGGGCAGATCCTCCTCACGGCCGTAGCGGCGCTCCCACTCGTGCTGGCGGGCGCGGTCTCGGTCGCGCGAGTCTTCGACACGATTGGCAATGGCGTTGGATGCGAGGCCGCCGGCGACAGCGCCGAGGATCGTCGAGACCATGCGCGTGCGGTCGTCATTATCATCGCCGCCGTAGCCCTTGGACTTGTGCTTGTGGCGGCTGGCGGCTTCCGTGGCCTCGCGGGCAACGAGCCCGCCGACGACAGCGCCGAGGAGGCCGGCGCCGATGCCCGTGGCCGAGTTGGAAAAGTTGTCCTCGACGACGTTGCGGGCGCGCGAGATGGGGCTCGGGGAGCGGTCGCGATCGCCGCGGTCTCTGTCCCGGTCCCTGTCCCGGTCCCGGTGCGAGCGGCTGCGACGGCGATCCGATGAGCTGGACGAGCGGGACGACGAGCGGGAGCGGGCGCGGCGGACCATCATGGACGTAGCGGGCGGCGGGACGGAGCGCGGCCGGGATTGCGAAGGTGGCGGCTCCAGAGTCATTGTCTCGCGCGGCGAGGGCGGCCCTTGCGAGTACTCGTTCACGCGCGAGGTGGAAGCATACGGGGGAGCACCTGGTGGAGGAGGGCCGGTAAAAGTCGGAGCATTGCTGGGGGGGCCGCCGCCGGAGACGTGACCTGGCGAAGGGTCGCGGCGACGCCGTGAGTATTCTTCATACTCGTAGTAGTTGGGGTTCGACATTTGTGTAGTAGGAGGAGGTGGTGTGATGCTGGCGAGGCTGGTATTTGGTGTTGTGGTGTTGTGGTGTTGTAGGACAAAGCAGAGAAGAGAAGAGGGATGCGGTCGGGTTTAAGAGACAAAGAAGGTCACGGAGTCGCCGTCATCAGGCCAGTCAGCCCTACGATGAATTGCGGGATACGAGGCCACCAGAGAAATGGGGCTCTGCAGGTGAATGCCGGTATATCCGGTAGGGATGGACGCAGACGACGGGTTGGCACTTGGCAGCAAGGCTGTGCTCGTCAACGAAGGAGGATGCAAAGGGAGTTGAAAGAAAGAAAGAGGCCAGGCGGCGGCCATGACAATGTTGGATTAGCCTGAGGCGCAACCGCAAGAGCACCTACCTATCTCTCCATAGGCTAGATCCAGCTATGCCCCATTGGCAGAACACCCTTCTTTCTCGCCCTCACTCTCTCGCCTCAGCACTGAACATAGCCGCGTGGTGAGATGGTTGGTCCGGTGGAGGGGTAAAAAAACCGGTGATGTCACATGGAGGGGGCGTCACGCAGACAGCCAAATGCTCGAGCTTTCCCCGCGTGGCGCTGTGGCGAAGCTCGAACCCATCCTCCACAGCCTCTTTTTTCTTCAAGTAGGTTGAATCCGTTTTTTTTTGGTTGGATTGTAACTTATTGGGTTGAGTTCGTCAAGACGCCCGACAGTACAGCCACAGGTAGGGCCACCATTCACTGATCCGCCTCATGCGGGACCATCTTGAAGCTCATGTTCATGTAACTTACAAACTTGCGTTTTGTTACCTAAACCCCCGAGCCTATCGCGTTTCATCCCGGTAGACAGCTGGGGAGGTACGATTTCCGAGATTGAGCTGGCGTACAGGGGAACTTGGGTGTGGTAACGTTGCGGATATCCCCAGGACCTAATGCAGATATGGAAGACGGCCAACCTATAGCAACCAACCATGAATTCGGCACCGTACTTCGTATACAACATCAATTGCATTATTAATCCTTCTTGCTAGACTAGACGTGTCTACGGTTACAGTATTCCTCCCCTCGTGATAATTCTCCCCCAAAAGCATCCATTTCCGCAGATCCACCTTCACACCGACCCGGATCCCCGCCCCGGATGTGCCAAAACCCCGGCTATCCCTGGCAACATGTGCTAGACGATGAATCCCCACACAAAGTCATGTATCTGGTGATACGAGGCCGCGATAACAGCATTCGCCGATTTAGGAAGTCTTCCCAACTTGGAGGGCCTCACCACTCCGCGGTGACGCTGCGACAGGGCCGCTGATCACCTCGAGTCGATTCATAACCCACGCATCCCCTCCCAATTGTCAATCCTGCGAATCATAAAGGGGCCCCCTCTCCCATTCCCTGTCTCTTCATCTGCCGGTACCTAACAATCGTACAATTCGTCCCCGGTGACTCTTTCGATGCAGGTGGAGGCGGAGAACATCTCATTCTCTCGTCTTAATCTCAAGGCAGCGGGTCCTGCTGTTGCATAAATATCCTCCCACGCCCAACTTGCGGTTCTTGATTCACAGAAAACCACGTCCTTTATTACTTCTTATCCTTATTTTATCATCAATTGCTTCGTCTTAATAAATAAACACTTCAACGTGGTCCATATTCGACGAGGCACTAGCGGATGCCATGTCCGCATCGTCTCCATCACCTGACACCGCCCAAGCAGAAAAGATTGCCGTCTCTGACACCACCCCTCCTCAACCTTTAGGCGGTAAGAAACCTCACGAAGGCATTGTCCCAGAAGTCGCCACCGAAGATGATGGAGGCTCGACCGATGGTCTGGAGAGATGGAACAGCCCCAGGATCAACACATACCGCTTCGTAGCCACTAATTTGGCCATGCTTATTATGGGTATGAACGATGCCTGTCTCGGAGTGAGTCTCATTGTCCGTGTCTACCATGAAACGTCCTCGTCAACTAACCAAAGACAAAACCCAGGCTCTTATCCCTTATGTAAGTCAAGTTAAAGGTGCTCCGCATTATCATTGTTCAATCAGCCTTACAAGTCATTGTCCCCTTCACTTAGATTGAAACCTACTACGGCCTCAACTATACGACCGTCTCAACCGTCTTCGCCGTCCCCTTCGTCGCCTATCTCCTTGCCGCCCTCACCAACAACTGGCTGCATTACACCATCGGGCAGCGTGGCGTTGCGTTCCTAGGCCCCGTGTGTCGCCTCATCGGTTACATCCCCATCGCACTGCACCCGCCCTTCCCCGTGCTACCGGTCGCCCTGCTCTTCGCCGCCTTTGGCAACGGCATCGAGGACAGCGCCTACAATGCCTGGGTTGGCAACATGCACAACGCCAACGAGCTGCTCGGCTTCCTTCACGGCTCCTACGGACTGGGTGGTACCATTGCCCCCCTGATTGCGTCTGCCATGGTCACCAAGGCCAATCTCGAGTGGTACTCCTTCTTCTACATCATGATAGGCGTCGTCGTTGTCGAGTTCTTCTTCGGCATGACGGCCTTCTGGGGGGCCACAGGGGCCGCGTACCGCCAACGGCTCAAGTACGACCAGGGCAAGCCACGAACCACGACGCGGATGGCGATGCGGCAACCCATCACCTGGCTTGTGGCCTTGTTCCTCCTGGGCTACGTCGGGGCCGAGGTGAGTCTCGGGGGCTGGATCGTCACCTTTATGCTTCGAGTGCGTCACGCCGAGCCATTTCTGGCCGGCCTGACCGTGACGCTCTTCTGGCTGGGCCTCACGATAGGCCGTGTCGCCTTAGGCTTTGCTACGGGGCGGATTGGAGAGAAGCTGGCTATTGTAGTGTATCTCGTCCTCTCCATCGGCCTAGAGCTGCTGTACTGGCTCGTCCCCAACTTTGCTGCATCCGTCGTCTTTGTTATGCTCCTTGGTGTCTTCCTAGGCCCATTGTTTCCCGCAGCTGTCGTCGTGGCCACGAAGTTGCTGCCCGCCGACTATCATGTAAGTGCCATCGGATTCGCGGCAGCTCTTGGAGGGGGCGGAGCATCCTTGTTCCCGTTTGCCGTGGGAGCCATCGCCCAGCATAAGGGCGTGGAGGTTCTACAGCCCGTCGTGTTGGCCATACTCGTCTTCATAATTGTTATCTGGTTGCTGCTTCCGGGAGGTTTTAAGAAGGGCGGCCTGGAGAGAGCACGAGAAGAGAAGGCGAAACCCGGAGGTGATGCGAGGAAGGCCTGGAAATGGGTCAAGGAGAGAGTTCGGGGAAATGATTAAATGGTGGAGAGAACAGAAAAGAGACGCAGGAGCGAAAAAGGACAGGCGTTCAGTTAGATGCTGTGTATTTTGCATTAGCAGTAGGCGTATAAAATAATACGATCCGGTAGGGATAATGACGTTACATGACCGAGGGGTTGTCGGAGTTGGAGGTCCCTCCCTGCACATGCGTTTGCGCTATCTTATCAATCGTCTCAGTGACAACTGGAGGGGGAAAAAAGATCTTGAACTACTCCTCCCTCCACCACCAAAGTGTCGCGCGCTAGAAGACGCCGTGGAGGACGTGATCTCTCGTTTTGTTTCTGAAATCCTCGCCCACCCACCTCGAATCGACAATCGTATCCCCCTGAACATCATCCTTCGCCGTCCGCCAGGCCAGAGGCCATCCATCCCATCGCATCCCCTCGCATCTCATCCCGCTTCAACCATGTCGCCGACGTCGGCCCCTCCTCCGGCCTCCGCATCCGAATCCGCATCCGCATCCGCCAACATGCCCTCCTCTGCCGCTTCTCCTCCGTCCGCTCGAATCTCCGCCCTCCCGCCCTTCAAGCCCGACCTTCACGAACGAGCCTGGGCGTCCGTCCCCCACCCGACGTTGCCCCTCATCGCCACTGCCCACTCCAAGAGTGTTACCGTCTTCTCACTCTCAACCGCCTCCGCCCACAGCGCCCTCGCCGGCGGCCACACTCGCTCCGTCCGCTCCGTCGCCTGGAAGCCCAATCTGTCACCGCACAAGCTGTGCCTTGTCTCCGGTAGCTTTGACTCCACTGCCGGCATCTGGCGCTGGGACGGCGACGTCGGCGACGACGCGGCGGGGAATGATGGGAGCCTCGAGGTCGAAGTGACTGCTCGCAGTGTGAGCAAGGCAAACCGAGACAACAGTGACGATGACGGCGACTCCAAACCCGGCGACAAGGACTGGGAATTTACGCTCGTCCTCGAGGGTCACGACTCGGAGATCAAGTCGTGCACCTTTTCCCCTTCAGGCTCGTACCTCGCCACATGTTCGCGTGACAAATCCGTCTGGATCTGGGAGGATATTGGAGCGACAGAGGCCGACGATGAGTGGGAAACTATCGCCGTCCTGAATGAGCACGAGGGAGACGTCAAAGCCGTAGCCTGGTGCCCCGACGTCCCTGGCCGCAACGCCCGCCGCCGCTACGGTGCAGATGTCCTCGCCAGCGCCAGCTACGACAACACCGTCCGCATCTGGCGCGAGGACGGTGACGCCGAATGGGTCTGCGTTGCCGTCCTCGAGGGTCACGAAGGTACCGTCTGGGGGCTACAGTGGGAGGGCCGTCCGCGTGCCGGTGAGCGTTTCCCGCGGCTCATGACCTTCTCGGCTGACGGGACCATCCGCGTGTGGACACTCACGGAGGACGACGCCGATGCGGACGAGGATGGCGCAGGAGCTAGGTCGGCCAGCGCCCTGGGCGGCATCCCCAACACTATGCGAAGGTCTCTGCGTGAGGAGTGGACCTGTACGGCTACCCTGCCCAAGGCGCACAGCCGCGACATCTACTCGGTGGCCTGGAGCGGCGAGTCCGGCCTGGTGGCCAGCACTGGCAGCGACGGCATCGTGGCCCTGTACAAGGAAGAGGAGGCGAAGAAGGCGACGGTAGGAGAGGACCAGCCCATGGCTAACACCGACGATGTGACTACCAGCAACCAATCCCAGGAGGCATCAAGATGGAGCTTACTGACCACCCACGCCAATGCCCACGGGCCCTACGAAGTCAACCACATCACCTGGTGTAGGCGCTACGACGCCGGCTCCGAGCGGCGCGGCGAGGAGGAGATGCTCGTTACGACAGGCGACGACGGGCTGGTTCGACCGTGGCAGGTCGAAGTGCCTCGGTAGCAACGTAGTAGCAGCAAATGAAAAAGACAAAACAAATTCAAAAGCTCACGGAGTCGAAGCAATGCAACGGTCGAAAGACAAGAACCCCCCCGTTTCTATGCATCGCAGTAAAACACACAAACAAAAAACCGTGCTTTCGCGTCCCTACGCCCATGCTGATGGAACAGGCGCACGCACGTTATCCTTTCGTCTAGGAGGGTATGATACAAATTGGTTGTACATGAGGAGTCCTCACCCCCTCAACCATCTAAGCTCCTTGCCCCCCGAAACGAGCGTTGTTGCTGCCCATGCATGATGAGACCATTCCATCCAAATCCAGCTCTAAATCGTTCCCTTCAGCATCGCTTTTACTCGCCCTTGAGCTTGTCCTGCTTCACGGTGAAAGCCATGTTCAAGAACTCCTGCTCCTCCTTGGTGTGCACCGACTTGAGGCCAGTGGCCACCGACGCGCTGGGGTTGCGGCCGGCGTACATGACGTGCTTGCGGTCGTGGTGCTCAGTCTCGTTGAGCAGAGTCTCAATGCGAGGCTGGGTGAAGCTCCAGGCACCGGCGTTGAGGGGCTCCTCCTGGGCCCAGACGATGGTCTTGGCGTTAGGGTACATGTCAAGGTTCTCCTTGAGTTGTTGCCAGGGGAAGGGGTTCAGCTGCTCAAGGCGAGTGACGGCGACGTTGTCGATGTTGTTCTCAGCACGGTACTTGTGCAGGGCAGCCCAAACCTGACCAGAGCACAGAATGACTCGGTCAATCTCCTCGGGAGCCTTGATCGCGCCGGTCTGGTGCTCGGGGTCGGGGATGATCCACTTGAAGCCAGCGTCGGGACCAGTGAAGTCCTCAATATCGGAGCGGGACAGGGGATGACGGAGCAGAGCCTTGGAGAAGAAGTTGATGAGTGCTAAGAGGTAGTGTTAGCTAACGTTTGTTCGGAGACTACTGGGCATAGAAAAGAGGTAAACTCACGCTTTCGGAACTGTCGGTGCATCTGTCGGCGCAGAGCATGGAACAGGTTGGCAGGGGTCGTCATGTAGGTAATCTGCATGTTGCAGTCCTGGTGCTGGCGCTCAAGCTTCTCGCCAGAGGGGAACTCGCGAGGGTCCTCGTTGCTGAGCTGGAGGTATCGCTCCAGACGGCCAGAAGAGTGCTCAGGGCCCTGGCCATCGTAGCCGTGGGGCAAGGAAACAACGAGACCGCTTCGCTGCATCCACTTGACCTCGCCAGAGGCGATGAACTGGTCAATGATGCATTGGGCGTTGTTGGCAAAGTCACCGAACTGGGCCTCCCACATGACAAGGGCATTGGGCGACGACAGAGAGTAGCCGTACTCAAAGCCAAGGACACCGAACTCGCTCAGAGACGAATTGGAAATGACGAACTTGCCCTGGTCCTTGCTCAGGTTCTGGAGAGGAGTGTAAGTAGCCTCGGTCTCCTGGTCGTGGAAGACGGCGTGACGCTGAGAGAAGGTACCACGCTCAACATCCTGACCGGAAACACGGACGTGGTAACCCTCAGTGACGAGAGTTCCAAATGCAAGAGCCTCAGCAGTGGGGAAATCAATGTTCTTGCCATCGATAACTGACTTGGTGCGGTTGGTGAGGATACGCTTCAGGTTACGGTGAACCTGGAAGCCTTCGGGAGCGGATCCAATGACCTCGCCAACATGCTCCAAAGACTTGCCGTCGACGCGAGTCTCGTTCTGGTCCAGGACCTCAGTGGCCAGCTCCTTGGGTGACTTGAAGCCGTTCCAGGCCGAGGTGGTCCACTCCTTGGAGGTGGGGGTGTACTCCTTGGACTTGGTGAAACTCTCCTCGAGCATTCCCCAGACCCACTGCTTGTGCTCCTCAACATCCTCCTTGGTGAAGGTGCCCTCCTGGAGGAGCTTGTTGACGTAGACGTCGATTTGAGGCTCCTTCTCGTTGATGCGCTTGTACATGAGAGGTTGGGTGAACGAGGGCTGGTCAGTCTCGTTGTGGCCGTACTTTCGGTAGCAGTTAAGGTCAATGACGATATCTTGCTGGAACTCAGCGCGCCAATCGGCAGCCAGCTGGCAGGCAAAGTTGACAGCCTCGACATCGTCGGCGTTGACGTGGAAGATGGGGGCATCGATGGCCTTGGCGATATCCGTGCAGTAGGCAGTGGAGCGGGAGAAACGGGGGTCGGTGGTGAAACCGATCTGGTTGTTGACAACGAGGTGGATGGTACCGCCAGTGGAGAAGGCGGGGAGGGAGTGGAAGCCGAGACACTCGTAGACGATACCCTGACCGGCGAAGGCAGCATCACCGTGAAGGAGGACGCCCATGGCGGTGCGGTGAGTCTTCTCATCGTTGTTGTAGTGCTGGATAGCGCGGGTCTTGCCCAGAACGACGGGGTCCTCAGCCTCAAGATGGGAGGGGTTGGCGACCAGGGAAAGCTGGACGCGCTTGCCAGAGGGAGTGGGACGCTCAAAGTTCATACCCAAGTGGTACTTGACGTCGCCAGAGCCCTCGTCCTCACCACCAGCAGTGCCAGCGAACTCGCTGAAGATGGACTCGTTGGGCTTTCGGACGACGTTGCTGAGAACGTTGAGACGGCCACGATGGGGCATACCAATGACAATATCCTTGACACCGTAGTCGACACTGCGGTCGATGAGGGCCTTCATACCAGGAACAAGGGTCTCGCAACCCTCGAGACCGAATCGCTTGTCGTTGGGATACTTGGTGGCGAGGAAGTTCTCGAAGCTGGAGCTCCAGATGAGACGGTCAAGAACGCGGCGCTTCTCATCAATGGAGTACTTGAAGGGTTGGGGCACCTCGAGGCGCTCACGGAGCCAGTCGCACTTCTCGCGATCGGGGATGTGGATGAACTCAACGGCGAAGGAGCCGCAGTAAACCTTTTCGCAAGTGGCGACGATTTCCCGGAGGGACATCTTCTCGCGACCGTCGCGCTTGAATCGGGGCAGGATACCAGGGCCAAGGGTGTACTCGGTATCAAGGTCCTTCTCAGTGAACTGGTAGTGCTCGAGAGTAAGCTCCTTGGGCCTGGCGTTGGCGAAGCCCGTTGCGTCGCTGGTGTTGCGGATGCCGAGAGGGTCGATGTTGGCAGTGTGGTGACCGCGGGCCTGGTAGGCGCGGACGAGAAGCTGGACCTTGAGATGGTTGGTGACGTCGGAGCCATCCTCCATGGCGAGGGTGCCGGAGAGACGAGGGACGCCGCCGGTCATATTGGGAACCAGGTTGGGGGGCGGCTGGAAGGCCTGGGAGACGGGCATGTCACCGCTCTCCATGTTCCGGAAGTAGATCTGCCACGAGACGTGGACGCTCTCTGGGTCCTGCTTCCACTGCATGTACATCTCGTCGATGTAGTTGGCGGTGCTTCCGGAGAGGAAGTTATCGCTGGGATCGGGGGGCGAGTTGGTCGCGCTGGTGGCATAGGTGCGACGGCCAGCGACGGCCAGAGGGCGGCGAGCAGACGCGAGCTTCCATGATGAAGTCCTGGCCGAGTTGGTCGAGACGAAGGCGGAAGACGAGGTAGCGGAGTATCGAGCGCCGCGGAGCAGCTGCGAGCTGGCTCGACAGAGGGAATTCCTCAACATGGTGGTGATGCCGGGCAGGACGGTGCCAGACAGGCTAGGGGGGTTGAAGGTTTAAGCGGATAGATGGAAGGAAAGCATCCCTTGGCAGGTCGAGGTGCGACGCAAAGGAACGGCGGAGTAAGTCGTGGTTGAATTGGGTCGAGTCACCGAGTCAAACAAGTGAACAAGACGAGGTTGTTATAGGGGAGGAGGAGAGTAGGTGAAGAAGTGACACGGAGGACACGGGCGAGGGAGGAAGAAAATGCTTGGTCGAGAGGTACTGTGCTGGACGGTAGCTTTGATGTCCGTAGGTCCCTGTGCTGGGGAAAAATACGATGACGGTGCGCCGGGAAACCCGGTTCTGGCCGCAAGGAACCCAGTGTCCATTGGGCAAGCAGCGCCGTAGCGCACCAGCTGCCACTGGCTGCCACTGGAAAAGGGTGGTCATGAGCTGCGCAGAGCTGTACGAAGCAGGGCAAAAGCAGTGCGGACGGGGAAGCCCGCACGGCGCCACCCAGCCACTCACCGCGCTGTGTTGCACTGCGCAGCGACCCCATTGGCCGCACATGCCGCCTGAGCGCCGTCATGCGGACACTTTCGGTGGCCCGGGCAGACCAGGGCTGTAGGTTACCGAGGATCGCTGGCCGTGCCGATCTGTACACGTACTGTACCGCCCGCCTACCCGTGCGCCGTAGCGTCCTTCTTGCAACCCGGCTCGTCGCTAACCCGCCGGGGATGTGCTTCCGTCTGGGCTTCGTCTGAAAGCCGTCGGAAAGACGAGACAGCTTTCCGGCGTCTCAACGGCATCTTGCTGCGCAGCGTAGCCTAAGACGTACCTGCAATTGCACCTCTCGGCGGAGAGGAAGAAGATTTCGCACGGCCAGGGCTGAACCAGGGGCGCACGGGAAAGGGAGACTGAGATTGCGGAGTAAATGTCATGATGATGCTGCAATCCTGGCCTGTTTGTGCAAGCCTGCAGGGTGAATAGCCGGCGCCACATTGGCTGGGCGAAAGACAGGGAGTTTGGAGGGAGTTTGTGGGGAGCCAGAGCATTCTCAGGGTTCCACGGCCCCTGAGAGGCTTCTAGCCGGCTTCAAGCCACACGGTGTGTCGGGGATACACCTCCGACCAGCCACACTCGAGGCCAGCTCTCCACTCTAGACGTCCCGCTCCACTTCAATGCAGCTAGGCGCGAGGCTGCTTCTTTGAGTGCATGAGCTTCGAAATCCTCAGAAACGACGTCGCATCTGCAAACAAAAAGCAAGCAAATCCGTCCCGCCGAATCATCCAACCGACAGCCCAAGCCAGCCAGACTATTGGCGGCCGTCGTCGTCATCATCCCGTGCAGACAGCAGGAGACGGGCAGTTCGTAATCGTGGCCTAACTCGCGATACCGCCGTCGCCGTTCATCATTCCACCTGTGTGAATCCAAAACCTTGCCTACCCACCTACCCAGCCTGGCCAGCTTCTCGCAGAACCCCAGACGCCACATCGACAACACCGTAGCATCGACAAAACCTAGCCAGCTGGGCATGAGACTTCTACGCCATTACGGGTAGAGACATTCTCCGGCACATCTCAGAGGCGAGATTCACGCCGCTTGAGCACCGCCCATCATGGCCATCCCAGTCGGCCGCACTCTCTTCAAGAAGAAGGATGGCATCTTGACCCTCACCAGTGACCACCAGTCCGTCACTTGGACTCCCAACTCTGGTGGTCCTCCCACCGTCACACTAGTCGTAAACAACATCACCAGTGAGTATAGTCGGTCAACATACTTGCAACCTTGCTGATACGCTTCATTCCAGACCTTCAGCAGACCCCCGACACATCGGCCAAAGTGATGCTGAAAATCTTCGAAAAGACTTCTGAAGCTGCTGAACCTGTCACCTACCTGTTCCACTTCAACACTGCCGAAGCTAAGGTTGAAGCAAAGGCCGTCAAGGATCTCTTATCTCGTCTGCTCGCAGAAACTCGCAGTGGCGATGCCGGTGTTCCCAAGCCCGCCGCACCAAGTGCCGGCGATTCATCGACTCCAAATGCCAATGGCGGTTCGGGGAGTGGCTCCGCCTCCATGTCCTTCGCCAGCGCTGCCAATCCCAACCCCTCCTCCCTACGGTGGTTCGACGATGCCCAGCTCAAGAATGATATCGAGCTACAACAGTCCCTCATGAGGAATGATACCAGTCTGCACCAAACCTATGTCGAGGCCATGCAAACCAAACCCGACTCCATCTCGGGACCCGCCTTCAACTCGCAATTTTGGTCTACCAGGACCAACCTTCTCCGGGCTCACGCCATCGAGACCAACCAGAAGAAGGGTGCCTACAATGTCCTGTCCACTGTCAAACCCCGGACAGTCGATGGTGAGCTGAAGCTCAACATTAGTGTCGAACAAGTGCAGATGATCTTTGTCCAGCACCCACTGGTGAAGCGCATCTACAATGAGAACGTGCCCAAGCTCCAGGAAGCCGAGTTCTGGTCTCGCTTCTTCCTCAGCAAGCTGTCCAAGAAGCTACGAGGCGAGCGCGTCAACGAAAACGACACAACAGATCCAATATTTGACAAGTATGATGCCAATGAGAACACCCAGACCTTCCAGAGCAAGATCATGTCACAGCAGGTTCCTCACATCATCGATGTTGAGGCCAACGAGGAGAATCAGGGTGGCTTCAGGAGCGGAAACGCCAAAGACGTCGAGATGCGGCCGCGGACCAACTTCCCCATCGTCAAGACTCTCAACAGCCTCAGTGAGAAGATCATGGCCAACGTTGCGCCTTCCGACGCGAACCCCGAAGACGGCAACGAGGCGTACGACACCTACAACGAGCTCGCCCTTCGTGATCTCAGGGGCGATGCCAAGGAGCACCGCATCATGCTCAATGTGAAGGAGCAGAGTAAATTCTTCTCCAAAAAGGACTCTGCGCCCTCGGCAAACGCACGCATATTTGCAAAGCAAAACACAGGCGACGTCCTCTTTGAGATCCACGGTGATCTCGAGACACTCGAGGGCGACGGCGCAGGCGGCATCGACCTTCACCTAGGCATCGGCTTCGATGACGAGAGTGACAGTGACGACGACAGACCCAAACGGGCGCATGTCGGCTCCCGTTCCGCCCTTCAAGCCGCCGACAAAGACGTCATGAAGGGCGTCCGCCAGCAGCGCGCTCAGAAGTATGGGCATGAGTCAGACATCACCACACCCATGGGTCTTCCCGTCGAGCTCACCCGCAAGTGCAGCCTCACCCACGCCACCACGATTGAGTTCCTTCACCAGTTCTGGAACGCCTTCCTCTCCGGCGACCCGGACCGCGCCGCTGAGTTGCAGTACCTCGCCGAGTCCCTCAACCGCTCCGCCACCCGCATCGCCGCCATGGCCGACGAGGCCGAGAAAGAACGCGACGAGATCATTCACACCCGCAAGAAGGAGATCCGCGATCACTTCCAGCGCACTGGCAAAAAGATCCGCTGGAAATCGGACAACGTTGGAGGTGGCCGGCCCGCCGTCATGCGACTCATGCAGCCGACCCTCGACGCCTTGGAGAAGGCCCAGGTCGACTATCAGCGGGCTCTCGCAGCGGAGAATATCCAGGTGTCTACGGAAGCATAGACCAGGTTAATTGGAGCACAAGTGACAAGCGAGCAAGGATTCAGGAGGATGTAAACAAAATTTGGGTAAAGAGCCGCTATTGTATCATATCAAACTCAGGTTCCGGCGTCTAAAACCCTCCCTTCGACGGGTCTATCTCTTTATTTTTTGTCAGGCCATGTTTCATGCAGGATATATCTCTGGTATAGTACAGTTGTAGAATACATTTTATTTCTCATCTCATGCCTCCTAGGCATTTCCAAACCATGCCAGACCAACATCAAATGGTGGAAGGAAGAAGCACCCATCATTTCCATCTGGCCATCGTAAATGCTCCAAGCTGGCCAGCGTCTATAATTAATAAAAGAAAATGCCCCCATACCCGACAACCAAAAAAAGGTGCCAAGAGCTGGGTTCCAAAGTAGGAGATTCAGGGGCCACCGGGACGAATGCGAATTTCGTTGGCTGCATCGGCGTACTTCTTCTCAGTCCCGACGCCAAAGCCCATGGACTTCTTGGCGTTCTTCTTCTTGGCGCCGTACTCCTCGTCGAACTTGCGGATCTGCTTGAGCGACTCCATGTCCTCGCTGATGGAGGCGGGGATCTGCTTGAGGGCCTTGTCGAAGTGGTGGCTGCGGAGAGTGCGCTTTTTGGGATACTCGTAAGGTTCCGGGCCGGTATGCTTTGCGGCGGCCTCATTCTCCTCCTCGACAGCGGCCATGGCGGCGGCGACAGAGGCGTTCTTGAGATCGGAGCCAGAATAGTATGGGGTTCTCTGGGCAAGGTCGTCGAGTGAGACGGACTCATCCAGGTCTTCGCCCTTGAGGAGGATCTTGAAGATAGCAGCGCGATCGGTCTGCAGGGGGAGGTCGATCAGAAGGCGACGGGGGAGTCGTCGAAGCACGGCGTCATCCAAGTCGAAGGGGCGGTTGGTTGCGACCATGATGAATGCCTCCGTCTCCTCGAGACCATCCCATTCCTTGAGGAACTGGTTGATGTGTGATCGGTGAGATGCCCGAGCGCCAAGCATGCTGCGGTTGGCCAACAGGGAATCTGCCTCGTCGATGAAGACGACACAGGGTGAGATCTTTTTGGCCAAGGTGAAGACGGCATGGATGAGCTTCTCGCTCTCGCCAACCCACTTGTCGTTGATGGTGGCGCCGCTGATCTCCAACATGTTTGCACCGCTCTCCTTGGCCACAGCCTTGGCGAGCAGTGTCTTTCCAGTACCTGGAGGTCCATACAGGAGACATCCGGGAATCTTGTCCTGCGCCAGAACACCGTACGAGAAGGCATCCGGGCGCACCAGGGCCAGTGATGTCAGGAGCTTGAGAGCCGTAATAGTGTCGGGCGGGACATGGACATCATCAAAGGTGGTCCGCAGGTTTTGGCGGTTGATGTGCCCTGAGGATATTCGCTTCTCATACTCGTTCAACTTGAGGGACGAACGACCACTGGTTTGTGAGTCTTCAGCTTTCTTCTGCGTTTCCACAGAGTCGGATTTGCCCTCCGGCTCCGGCTCATCTAGGAAACGCTGTCCAGGTCTTTGCCTGAGCGGACCCATGAGCAATCGCTCGATCACAGCGACTGGGGCAGCACCCTCTGTCTCCTTTTCCTGCTGCTTGGCAGCACAAGCAATGTTGTAAACCTCGGGGAGCGGGAGAATCGACTTCTTGAGCATCTGAGCTCGGGAGTCGGCTACGCGCATCAAGCCCTTCATGTGCTCGTCGGATAAATCAAGTAATTGTTGGCCGCCCAGCATCCTTAGCATCCTGTTGACATTGCGTACGTTCTCGACAAACAGATCCATATCTTGCAATGGAAATGAGTTGTCAGAGACTTGGGCACCGCCACCGGTCGGCTGGGGCTGCATCAGAGAGCGGTTCGGATCGATGTGGCGAGAGATGACAAAGTCCCCCATCGCCAGGTCTCGCAGCATATTCTGGTACTCGTCCGAGGGGTGTTCACTTGCTGAGGTGCCGAGGATGGCAATCCTAGAGCCATGCTGCCAAGCTGCATCAATAAGGCTCCTTAGCCTCGCAATGAGCATAGACCCTTCCAGAGTCATGCTAAGCTCAACATAGTCGTGAATATGAATGATTAGGGGCTTCTCGCGAGAAGAGCCCTGCTTCAAATTGGCGGCCTGGATGATTTGGTCGAGAACCTTGTCGATCTTGAGGTTGTCCCACTTGCCGAATGGGTCGTATCCTCCTTGCTTAATCTTCTGGAGTTCATCTTCCAACGATCCGGAGGAGCGAATGTTGATAACTCCGGTATCGGGGTCATTGTCCTCTTCTTCTACACGCGAGCCGACTTCAGGGTCTCGAAATAGCTTTCCATTCATCTCGGCAGCACGGAAGCCCATTGTCGACAGTGAACCCCGTGAGTATGCCCAGTCCTGACCAAGATAGTCTCCCACTAAGACTGAGAGATCCTGAGCATCCAATCGGATTAGATCCGCATCATTGAAGAATGCAACATGCTCGGCGGCCGCCTCTGAAATGGCCTGCCCGCCGTATCCGGACATTGACAAAACGGTAACCTGTCGCTTAAGGGCCTTCGACTCTGAATTTGGCGGTGCGGGTGTGTTGAGCTCGCGGCGGAGGGTAGATCGTATGGAAGAGAAAGTCAAGACTGGGAGATCAGCGATAGCCTGAGACAGAGAGTGGTCGAGTCTCCAGTCATAGTCGAGTGTACTGTCGATTGCGGTCTCGATGGAGAGGAATTGGTCCTGGAATTCTTGGCTATGGCGATCAAAGTCCTTGTAGTAGTGCCACCACCAAAACGGCCGCGAGGAGTAGGCGTATTGGGCATGTCGCGCAGGGTACAGCGAATCGGTCAAGTGCCAAGCAGAGTCAAGGAGCATGTCATAGACCCGAGTGGCACCTGCCAGCTTATGGGCGTGTTCCTCGAGGTCAGACGCACCAGGTTCCAGGCTGACAAGGTCATTGACACGTTCGCCGGCCTTCTCAATGAGGGAATCCACAGCCTTGTCAAAATAGGACTCGAGGGCCTTGTTGTATTTTTGAAGGAGGGTCGGATTCTCGCCGGGTTGAAGATCGATGGAGATTGAGGAGGTCTTGGGGCGCTCCGTGTCTTCGGCGAGGGCAACGGGGAGTCGAGGCCGGCGCCAGGCATGGTGAAGAGAGACATTGTCGTCGAGAAAGGACTGCGGGAGCTTAACAGGGGGGAGCGCGGGGGCGGCATGCTTGCGAGCAATGCGACTCTTTAGAGAACCAGAAGCACGGATCCTGGAGCGGCCAGCCGCGGATTCGGAACCAGTTTGAGGCTGAACATCCTCATCCTCGACGATGGCAGGGAACTCATTGGCCGGTTTGCCCCCATTGCTGGCGTCGGCGCTGCTGCTCAGCCAGGCGGACGAGATGGACGCGGGTCGCCATGACGGACGGGCGAGGGTTCGGGAGGCGAATCTCGGTCGTGGGGCTCTGGCGGCTAAGACAGCAGGATGGCGGAGGGCGCAAAGCCCTGGCGAGTGCATCCGGGCGGGTTGGGGTGAAGGCGGAGGTGGTGTGGGAAGAGAGCGAGGCTATAGACGAGCCCTGTCCAACATTTCCCATACAACTTGCGATTTCTCTTCTGGAAGTCGCGGCTGATGGTCGGAAGGCGTTGGGTCGGGTTTCGGGGGATTACGTGATCAGAATCCGCACTTAGCATCCGTCTCTGTGGTACTTAGGTAGCACCTGGGTAAGTACCTGTTTTCATCTTCTGTCCCGTCCACTCAAGTCAACATATCCGCGCCAGGGCCATAATTAAACAGGGCCTGCACTTCCGTGTTTCTATATATGGCTGCAAGGTACGTGCTTCCATGCGTCAATCAGTCTTGTCAGGCCGGGATGTAGCAAGATTCTTCAACTTAAAGTTGTCGAATCGCTTCGACCCTGGAATCCGGGGACCGGGTGGACAGTCCATTCGGCTGATAACTAGGTACGGTAGTGCCGCACTCGAGGTCACAGTCAGTCTTAAATAGGAAACGGCCGGAGTGTGCGCGTCGCCGTAGGGGCAAGGGACGGAACCCCATTGCAGAGATTCCAGTTGGCGAGGATATGAATGTCACTCGGCCTTGTGAGAAGACGAACATGGCCTGCCGCCGGGCGGAGGATCGGGCTGCGCCGGTTACCTTGGGACATTACTACATCCTTTCCCTTAAATGTCCTGAGGCGTTGCATCTACTGTTGGACCACCGTCCCAGCTGCATCCTTCACCGTATCAGCTCCTGTAACGTCATTTTATTTCCCACAAGCGCGGATGCTGCGCCCCATGCGCCTCGTGGGAGACTCGGGACGACAATAGGCGGCTCCACAAACTGGGCTGAGCGTTGCGTAAGTCGTCGACTGGCTGGACACAGCTGATCCAAGCGAGGTTTATTATTGCTCTCTTTATTGGATCGAGAAGCTTGATGCTGTCGGCAGCTGGTGGGTTCCCTACGGTTCACGCGTCATTTGCGTAATCACTGTTGCGACCGTTCCCAGGCATCTCTGATCCAATGAGCTGCCCCCAACCTCAACCACGACGTCGTTGGCAAGCTTCCTCTACTAATCACGAATCCTCCTCAGTCGCTCCCCGCAGACGCAGTGAGACCACTCGCCTCTGCCTCTCGTTTCGCTCCTGTTCTTTAAGCTTATTATCCGCCACCTCTTGGTCGTCAATGCGTGCTTATCCCCTAACTACTTAATAACCGCCTTCCACATATCATCGTGCCTCAAGTTGCTGCAGCCGGTGAGAGACAGGAGCTTTGTCCGTCGCAGCCACTAAGAAGACTCGGCTTATTGCTCCCCGACTTCCCCAGGGCCGGCCGCCCCAGTTTTAAGTCAGTTGGTGCCGATCCCAACGCATCCTTCTCATCATCATTGACTCCATCCATCGGCCGTCTCTTCATCACCTCCGCTCCGCTCACACATTTGGTCTGTCTTATTCTACCAATTTCAAATTCCCTACTTAATCCGTCTGTTCACTCACCCAACCCAACCTAACCCCACCAACGGTCCAACGGCGTCCTGTCTCGTCTGTCCGCTTCTGGACTTCATCCGCCGTGCTTTCCGCCCCCACCAACAACGCCTTTTATCACACACCCACTCTCCTGTTCTCTTGGGCTTCTTCTGACGCGGCTCTGTCTCGCGCAACTCTCCTCTTGATCTTCAATCCGGATACCACCATCTCTTCGTCCCCCAGGCCATGTTATAGCCTCGATCTTAACCATGGCCACCGACTACTACTACGACGACCTATCCCCTCCATCTCACCAGCAATCCGCATCATCAAACCCCGCGGCGCAGTCCACGTCCCAGCCAGAACAGCACCAGTCGCCTCCCACTCATCCCGATGATTCTGCTGCTGACGCTCCTGATGCTGCACCCGCCGACCGGCCCTACCACTCAAAACGGCCTCACAAAAAGTCCCGGGCCGGATGCCGCAACTGCAAGGCCCGCAAGGTCAAGTGCGACGAGGTCCGACCAACCTGTCGCTCCTGCAGGCTGCGGAAGGTCGAGTGCGTGTATCCCACTCCTGCAGCCTCGTTCCCAGCCTCATCATCCACTTCCGCCACCGTACTGCCATCGCCAGCACCATCAACGGCTGACCACTGCTTCGTACGCGGCAACTCCCCTGATGGCATCTCCTCTCCATCCTCCGTCGCTGTCTCTCAGCGCCAGGGCAGCCCTACCGTCGTCGCGCAGCCCCTCTGGTGCCCCAGCAATATCGACGCCGCCGACATGAAACTTCTCTGGTTCTACACTGCCTCTACTTCCCAGTCTTTCTCCGTCAGCACAGGAGTCCAGGATCCCGTCGCCGAGATCCTGAAGATCCGCATGGTCCAGGTCGCCTTCGAAACGCCTTTCCTCATGGACTCCCTCTTTGCCCTGTCAAGCCTCCATATGCAGAGCCTCAACCAAGAATTGGATCCTAGTCGCGCTCTTGCCTACAGAGCCCGCTCCTTTGAGGGCTACCGCCGCGCCGTTGAAGCCGCTGCACCCGAGTCATATGCCGCTCTTATTGCCAACTCCCTCTTTCTCACGGCCCTATCATCTCAGGTATTTAGAGAGGAAGACGGCAAGGACTTGTACATTATCGACTGGATGATCGTCTGGCGTGGTATTGGCCTCGTCATTGAGCTCATGGGTATCGAGAACCTCTTCCAAACTGGCATGTACGCCCTCTTTAATCGGCCACCTATCGACCTCCTACGCGCTTCCTCCTCCATACCTAACCACCTTCTCTTCATGGTTTCCTCTATCAAGCCTGATGAGCTAGATTATCCTGACATTAAGACGTACCATGAAACGCTCAAGTATGTCGGGTCGCTATACGGGAGTCTTGAAGACGGCATCACACCCGTCATGTGCCTCCGCATCATCACTTGGTTCACCTTCCTCCCTCGCCGCTTTATCGAACTCGCCCGCCAGCGCCGCCCTCGTGCCCTTGTCATCATTGCCTACTATGCCGCATTCCTCAAAATCGTTAAATCTGTCTGGTGGCTCGAGGGAGTCGGCCATCGCTCTCTGCTTGATATCTGCAAATATCTCGGCCCGGAATGGGAGCATCTTCTGGTTATACCTCAAGCGGCAATGCAGGTTGACGACGAACTGGGTCTGGTCAGAGTGATTTTTCAAGACCCCAATTGGGTCCCTCCCCAGCCGACCAACCTCCGGCTGGATCCCACCGCATCCATTACCATGGTAGACGACGCAGGACGACGTGTGGCATGGACCCCCGGCGAGAGGAAGATCGTTGTTCTTGACTCCGCCAAGCCTGCCGAACCTGTTGTATGGAATGCCTAGTTTCCCGTTTGTTTACAGGATGTTTTCGTGTATTCGTGATGTGGCTCTGGAGTCAATTCGACCCGTTGGAAATGGCTCGTCGATTGACAGTTCACGAGAGATATAGAACAAGGACAAGATGGGATCACAAAATGGAAGTCGGGATGGATATTCCGTGGGACTTACAGAATTACAAATGGGGGAGTATGGGTGTTATTAGAGGCGTCTCTGGATACCCGCAATACTTGAATAGTCTCTTTCTGTCACTCGTGGTTTATGTGCAATGAGGTGAACACAATAGTTTAATGCGTTTACTCGTTACAGCATCTCTACTCGGGCGATATTCCCCAACAATGGCCAAATACTTGCCCAAAGATACAACGAGGTCAATCTAAGAACTTCCAAACGCTCGAAGCTCACGCTCCTATCCCCGCTTCGTTCTGCCTTGTAGCAAGGAGTTGGAGGATAGCGACATGGTCATGTTCCGTATTTATATAGATATGGAGTATTGCTGCTCTCGCACATATATATTGCTGCTCGCACACGTAATCACATTCTGGAATTATACTGATAATTATCTACTATTCTAACAAAATTGTTTAAACCACCGATCCTTAGTATTTATTCTCTTAGCTTCTTGGGGGGGGATTTTGTGAATAAATATAAGCCTAAGGCCTAAGAATTCCAATATTAGATACATCAGTTTGCCCTGGGGTTTGGTCAAAGAGGCTTATACTTGTGTACTACTAGCAATACTTAAAATATATAGGATAACTCACCACCCGACATTACTTCCCTTTCCGGAGGCGACACCTCGACGTTATATACACCATCACATTAACCAATACGAGCATAGCGAGTGCCTTACTCCCTGTCATGTACGGAGGGCTCTTTCAAAAGTCTTGTCCAAGCGCCAGTAATATCATATCCATTTACCCCTGTCGGTTACCTGAGATACATGAAGCTGTTACAGTCTCGTTAAATAGCTGCTATAACTTCAGGAGTAGTACGCTGCTGATCAGGATATAGCGGTTGCTGTGTGCTGTAGCCTGCTATTCTTTAGGGCCTATAGAAATCAGAAAGTACTTAGTATACTTATTATCTAACCTAATAATTAGGACTTACTTCTTATGGATAAGACTTTTGAAAAGGCCCTCCGTACCATTCCATTTGCTTGGGCCAATTGTGGCTTGCTGAATACCGGCTCGCTGCGATGAATATGGCATTGGCTGACTAGCATCAACAATCAGAAGAATCGAGGAGCGCAAGGATCACGGCGTTAACGAAAGCTAGATATGGCTACAAGAGGAATTTTTTTGATTTCTTGGTACACAGCTCACAAAAGAGACTTGATGGAGCTTATGAGAAACCTCCCCGGCCCCTGTTCCTCTTCTCTATACACAGGCCCATTTCTCCCTCTGTCTCCCAGTATTACTCAACTCAGACAGCTTAGTTGTTCTCAAGCTCCGCCAGAATCTTCTCACCCTTCGCCTTGGCCGACGCGAAGTCACCAACCATGTAGAAGGCACCCTCGGGAAGGCTGTCACCCTCACCGCTGAGGATGGCCTTGAAAGAGGCAATGGTGGTCTTGAGGTCAACGAGGACACCCTCGATACCAGTGAAAACCTGGGCGACAGTGAAGGGCTGGCTCAGGAAACGCTGGATCTTGCGGGCACGCTCGACGGTAAGCTTGTCAGCCTCGGACAACTCGTCCATACCCAGAATAGCGATGATATCCTGCAGAGACTTGTACTCCTGGAGGATCTGCTGGACACGGGTGGCGGTGTCGTAGTGGTCCTGACCGACGACACGGGGGTCAAGCATACGCGACTTGGAGTCGAGAGGGTCGACAGCGGGGTAGATACCCAACTCGGAGATACCACGGGACAAGACAGTGGTGGCGTCAAGATGGGCGAAGGTGGTGGCGGGAGCAGGATCAGTCAAATCATCAGCAGGGACGTAGACGGCCTGGACGGAGGTGATGGATCCCTTCTTGGTGGTGGTGATACGCTCCTGCATACCACCCATGTCGACGGCAAGGGTGGGCTGGTAACCGACGGCAGAGGGGATACGTCCCAGAAGGGCAGACACCTCGGAACCGGCCTGGGTGAATCGGAAAATGTTGTCAATGAAGAGCAACACTGAGAAAACACGAGTTAGCCATCAACGAATCGTTTGCTGCTTGGGGACAGAAAAAAACTCACCATCCTGACCCTCCTCGTCACGGAAGTACTCGGCAACGGTAAGACCGGTAAGGGCGACACGGGCACGGGCACCTGGGGGCTCGTTCATCTGACCGAAGACAAGGGCGACCTTGGACTCGCCATCAAGCTGAATGACGGAGGTCTCTTGCATCTCGTGGTACAGATCGTTACCCTCACGGGTTCGCTCACCGACACCAGTGAAGACGGAGTAACCACCGTGAGCCTTGGCGATGTTGTTGATGAGCTCCTGAATGAACACGGTCTTGCCGACACCGGCACCACCGAAGAGACCAATCTTTCCACCACGGGCGTAAGGGGCGAGGAGATCGACGACCTTGATACCGGTGGCCAGAACCTCGGCAGAGGTAGACTGCTCGACGAACGCGGGAGCCTCGGCGTGGATAGGCAGGTGCTTGTCGGTCTTGATGGGGCCACGCTCGTCAATGGGGTCACCAGTGACGTTCATGATGCGGCCCAGAGTCGCAGGACCGACGGGGATGGTGATGGGAGCACCAGTGTCAAGGGCCTTAGCACCTCGGACGAGACCCTCCGTACCTATGACGCGGGTTAGGAAATTGACGCGAATTCTTTTGGGGGCGATAACATACCGTCCATGGCAATGCAGCGGACGACGTTCTCACCCAGATGTTGCTGAAAGATGTTAGTTGACGACCTGAGGCAGATGATTGACTGCTACGTACGGCGACCTCGAGGACCAGCTTCTGGCCATTGTTCTCGGCCTCCAGGGAGTTCAGAATGGCAGGGAGCTTAGGGCCATCGAACTTGACTGCAAGGTGGTCAGTATTGAAATTATTCGACTGTAGCAGGCTTGCTGCGAGCCTGTCGCAGAGATTGACTAACCATCGACGACGGCACCGATGACCTGTGAGGCAGATGGGTTAGCATTTGATTCCGTGGCTATTTGGGAGCCGGGCGACCGGAGAGGCCCGAGGGCGAGGTCGTCGACGGGAGCGAGCTCACCTGGTAAACCTTGCCGGCACCGACGCTGGAAGTGGACGCCCATCGGCTGCTGACGGGAAGTCGGAGAGAGGCAGGTCGGATGGCACGGGGAGCGACCGCGAACGACGGGCGAGCCGCGCGGGCGAAGGAGGAAATGCCGCTGCCGAGGGAAAACAAGGTGTCAGCTCAATTGGGCTTCAATTGGGGCGGGAGAAGGGCGAAATCATCGGCGGATGGCCCTGCGGGAGTGAAACTCACCTCTTGAACATCTTGACAGATGACAAAGAGCGATCAGAGATGGGAGTGGAGAGAGGTTGGTGAAGCTGAGGGAGAACTTTTACGGAGTGAGCAGTTTTGCTCGGGAGGACGACTTCGTCGGTTAGAGCTTTCGCAGCGGGTCACGTGGGACGCTAGCCTGAAATTACAGGCTCCTCCACTGCTGGAACTGCGATGCCGGCAATTTACCGGGACGATGCGGCGGGATTATTCGCGACCCAGACCCAGCGGTTGCCTTGGAGAGGGACAGATGGCAGCGGTGCGCCAGTGCGCCAAATCCGCAACGGCCGGACAGTACAGTGAGCAACAGCGGAGCAGCGGTACCTACAGACCTGGGGCTATTTCGGTCAGTCGGCCTCAGGCTGCTTCAACTAAATTTCACTGGAGAGCCCGAGTCTGAATCTCAATACGGCAGCACGGAAATCAATTGAGCGATAAAGAGGTGAGACGGCACACCGTGATGGATGTCTACGTAGCAGCCACGCCTGCTGAGGGGGCAATGTGATGGGCAATGCGCAATGGCAGCGACAGCAGCAAGCTGCAAGTAAAAGCACCAGAAGTTAGATGCACAAGATGCCTTGTGAGAAAGCGGGGAAAGTAGCATCCCCTGCCGAGATGGGTGAAGGAGGGCGAGATGGGGGGTGGACGAGGAATGAACCGGGGGGAACCAGCAGCAAGACAGAACAAGCCAGAGCGCAAAGACCGACACACTCGAAACACCAAGACACAGTGTCCCCCTAGGTACACAGTGCCTACTCCTCTGCTCCGAGGTCGTTGTGTAGCCGCCCCCTGCGAAGTGCGACAGGGACGCCAAAATCACTAACACCGCCGACACAGTGACATCAATTCACTCAGGCCACCCGCTGGCTGTCATGGACTTTCGCTCCCATCCGGCTCCGAACACGCTGGCTACATCACTGGAACCCCCCCGAGGTACGGAGGGCCCTTTCAAAAGTCTCGTCCAAGCGCTAGCAACACTACATCCCTGTACCTTGTCAGTTACCTGAGATACATAGAGGTTGTGACAGCTATCCCCTATACATTCTGTAGCTTCAGTGGTATTAGAGGCTGGTGGCCAGGATCTAGTGGATGATGGTGTGCTGTAATCTGCTACCTTTTAGGGCTTATGAGAAGTAGGAAGTACTTAGTGTACTTAGCCTAATTATGATTGGCTGGTTAGGAATCGTTGCTTTTTCTTAGGACAAGACTTTTGAAAGGGCCCTCCGTACCGCTGCTGTACATACGGACCCTGTTACCCCCCAGAATCACATCTCCAGCGCAGCGGCGCCTCTTCCATGCCTCCGATTCCCTCCTCCCATTGGCCCACCCATTGCTTGCCTCATGCCCCCTGTTTCCCACTCGCCACACAGCCAACCAACGAGGGCAATTGCGGAAAGCCCGTCTCCACTCCAAAGCTGGAGCTAGCTTCTTGAAGTTCTGATGGGGACGCCCGAGGACCCAGTTTATCTCCCTCCCTGCCGGTGTGGTATTTGCCAATTGTTCTTTTTATTTCCCTCGCTCCATCGCAGTCTCACGTTTTTTCTGGCTTTGTTGGCTTGTCTTGCTTGGCCTTGGCTTCCCCATGTCCGCCCGGCGCTCGCCCGTTCCCCGGCTGCCCCGGCTCAATTCCCTCGCCCCATCCGTCATCTATTCGTCGAGCTCTCAACTTCCGTCAGCCTCCTCAGCCGGGCTACGGGGACTTGTAAGAGGGAGAGACTTATGTAGGCATTGAACTTGCAGATTGCTTTACAATTTTATGACGAGGAATACCCCCACGTATTCAGCCCAAATGTTAAGCCTAAACCAAGGCCAATTGGCTCCAATTTATTCATGTGCCCGGCACTCACACCTCTGTGACTATCCCGAAACCCCGAGCCGAAAAATCCGAGGCAGCGCCCCAAGCTGCACGGATCCAGAAAGGCTCCATTAGGTTGAACCCCCCAACATCAAGGTGACACATCGTGACAAACAACTAGGCGCTTTTATCATCGAGTTCCCTTGACCAAATTTGAGAGATACTGTTTATTGCAAAATATCTCGGTAAAGTACATTACTCGACTGGACAGAAGTGAAATACCATCATCACCAACCCGCCTTCCTACGCAACGTGAACCTGAGGACAGACAGCCACCTCCAGTCATGTCTCCGCCGAAATGAATACACAAGCATCATCTTCATGCCTCGCCGGTTCTAACAAGCCAAACATATTCCACGTCCGTTTTACTTCCTCCGCTAGACCTACGAGATCTACTCAAGCGCCAAGACCTGTGAGGTGGATTATTTGTTAGTCAACTGCCAACACGAAGACAAAAGGTCAGAACTCGTGGTTTACTTACGATGGCTGATCGGCAAGGAACGTAGATATGAGTCCAGTTCTTTCGTCCATTCCACTCCATTGGTGTCGTGAAGAAACGTGTGTTCTCATCGACCCGGCCGTGCCCGCCCATTTCTTTCGAGTCCGTGTTCAGCACAACCCGATACGTGCCGGCCACATCGATGCCGATGCGATAGTCGCTGAAGCTCTCCGTGGTGTTGAAGTTAAAAACGAAGACGACTCCAGCTCTCTCAAACACGATGACCTTGTCACCCTCGTGCTTAAGCGAGATGTAAGCCTGGGGAGCCGCTAGCCACCCGTACTTAGCCTCGGTTTGGTTCATCACTTGGTCAAAGTGGTTGAGGAACTGGTACCGCAGGAGAGGGTCCTCTGTCAGATTGAGCTGGCGACGGGCGTACCAGAAGGAGTTGTTGTTCCCCGCTCGGGGGAAGTCCAGCCACTCAGGATGTCCAAACTCGTTACCCTCAAAGTTGAGGTAACCCTCGCCACCCAATCCGTGCGTCAGAAGTCGAATCATCTTGTGAAGTGCCATGCCACGATCAATGACAGAGGTCAATGGCGAGAGAGTCGACATGTGCGTGTACATCTCGGCATCACAGAGATGCATCATCAACGTCTTGTCGCCAACCAACCTGTAGCGTGTTAGTGCTTGATACTTTAATGGGTTCATGGGAGACTTGCGCTTGGTCGTGGCTTTCACAGTAGGCAATCGTCTTCTCCCCATGCCGTCGGTTGGTGAGCGTGTGGCAGATGTTCGCAAGGTCCCAATCTTCATCCCTGACCTCCTTCAAAATTTTGATCCACATATCGGGGATGGCCATGGCGAGGCGGTAGTCGAAACCCACACCTCCGAGAGACAAAGGTACGCAGAGTGCAGGCATTCCCGAAACATCTTCGGCAATAGTGATGCAGTCTGGGAACAATGAGTGCAACATCTCATTCGCCAACATCATGTACACAACCGCCTCCTCGTCGACATCGCCACCAAAGTACTCATGGTAGCCGCCAGAAAATCCCCTGCTCATGTCAGTATGGAGGAGTTAAGATGTAAGACAGATATGAGCGATAACTTACGTTCCCATGCCATGGTGGATATACAACATGCTAGTGACACCGTCAAACCGGAAGCCATCGAACTTGTACTCATCCATCCAGAAGCGCAGGTTGCTGAGGAGGAATCGCATAACCTCGTGATGGCCGTAGTTGAAAAGTCTGCTGTCCCACTGATCGTGTATTCCCTTACCACCGCTGTGGAAGTACTGGTGATCAGTGCCATCAAACTCGTTGAGGCCATCGAGCACGTTCTTGGAGGCGTGACTGTGGACGACATCGAGGAGCACAACAATACCCAGGCTGTGTGCCGTGTCGATGAGCTCCTTCAGGTCTTCCGGTGGGCCGTAGCGGCTGCTGGCTGCGAAAAAGTTGTTGATTTGATAGCCAAAGCTGGCGTAGTATGCATGCTCCATGACAGCCATCAACTGGATCACGTTGTACCCAAGCTTATGGATCCTGGGCAGCATGTCCCGGGTAAACTCTTTGTATGTGGCAACACGCTGCTCCGCGGTGGAGATACCGACGTGAGCCTCGTACACGCGTGCGCTGGCGGGCTTCCCAGGACGGGCATGCTTGAACGTGTACTTCTCCGAAGCGGGAGGGTTCCAGAAACGAGCGTCATATGCCGGTGAAACGGACAAGTCCTGGGTCACGTACTTGATCCAAGCGGGCAGTCGGTCGACGTGCTCGCCATTGGGCAAGTTCAAGGAGATCTTGAGGCCAAAATATTAGAGCTTGACAATGCTATTGGCACACCATTGACTGCGACGAACCTTGAGCTTGGAGTTGTGGGGAATAGCAGGCTTTCCCTTGATAGCAGGTATGGTGATCTCAAAGACACCAAAGTCATCTTTCTTCATGGGGTGTGACGTGCGATCCCACTGATCTATGGCTGTGTAAGCTTGCTTCTAGTTGCAGCAACGTCCTAAACATACTGAAGTCTCCAATCAAGAAGGCCGCCACGGCATTGGGTGCCCATTCTCGATAGATGATGTTGTTTTTCTTGTCGACATTGAGGCCAAACTTCTCAGTGCCCTACAATCACGTTTCAGCAAGCTGTCGGTCCGAGTGAGTGGGAGCCTTACCCTGCTGAACTGTTCAAGACTGCCTTCGGTGGCGGTAATGGTCTTGACCCATTCCTGAGCCTTTGCATATCGCCTCTTCAGCGTTTCGCTGAATGGAGACAGCCAGGGATCAAGGCCGACGACACCTGGAGTGGTTGTCAACGTGGTCCGTCCACTTATCAGATCATCACATGTCAGAGGTGCACTGACCTGTGCCGTCCTGAGCAGCGTCTGCAGCTGCATTGGAGGGGGAAACGTCAAGCGGATTGGCCTGAGCCTGAGCGATTGCAGCCATGGTGAAGGCTGGAAAGAGGTGGAAGGATGATGGTGAGAGATGAAGAAGGAGGGAAAGGTGGTTGAAGTCGAAAGGGGCGGGGTAGCTGTCGAGGTGGTGTTCTGAGCTTCAGTTTAAATGTTGGGACTAACTGAGACAGTAGCAAGCGTGAGAGTCCAGACCGCAGCTGTTGGCTGTTGAAAAGGGAGAGAAGTTGTGGAACCGGGCACCTCTGGAACGAGGATATTGGGCAATGGAACGTCCAAGATGGTGAGAGGAGGAAGAAGCGGGCGTGTTTGAGACCTGGCGCAGCCATCAGGTAATATCCTGCCTGCCAAAATACCTAAGCTGGACTTTGCTGATTGACACATAGCTTTATCGATAAAGCGGCCGCTTAGTTGGGATGACGTCGAGAAGGCGATTTTCCCAACGTCTCTGGTACGTACCGCGCCCGGGTGGTGCCGTTTCGCCTATCACTGACCATCAGTTGCAATGTGTGTCTTTGCACTGTGCCACCTCGATTTTGCAGCTGCAGAACTTTCTTGTTTAGCCGACTCGCCACTATCGCGGAAATGTTTGCGCTGCGCTCACCTTGGAAGGATAGTGGCGAATAAATACACGAACTGCGACGGAGCAACCACATCAGGTACCTAGTCTGGCCGGGCATGGATGGGCATGCGATGCGACCTGCTGCTCTCCACAAGCTAGTCGCTGGGAGGGGGGCTGGCCAGCGGTAACAGCTGCTCCTCCAAATCCAAATCCACCGATAGCGGCGAAGTACAGCCGATCGCCAGGTCGCAGCTTCGGAGACAACTCTAACAACCTCAAGGAGCTCTCTGGCTTCCCGTCTCATAACCCCATTGTCGTATACCCACACCGCTGAGGACCCCTTTCACTGGCCCCAAGCACTGGCTTGCTGGCGTGCGCCTCTCCCTTGTGTGATGCGATAAGCTTCCCTCGTCGGCTCACTACCGTTCGCCCGCCACAAGCCGTAACCGCCCCCGCATCCGGCATCTGATCGTCGCATCGTCACATCAGCCTCGCCAAAGTCGGTCGACCGTCTCCTGACGCCGTTCCCTGCGATCCTTATTATGTGACTCGAATACACACGACAATGCCGCCCTTTGTAAGGGTGCTTCCTCCGGCCGCAAGAGCCCTCCGCTCCGTCTCGAACCCTCTCCTTCGACCATTCCTACAACCATCTTCCTACCCACGCCATCGGCAACTGTCTATATCCCGCTCCCTAGCCGTTGCTAAACGGAATGCCGACTTCAACTCCGGATTCTCCGGCACCTATGATCCCTCAATCGATTCCGGGCGGGGGCCCATGTTCAACAAGACCAGCTTCGGCGTCCCCCATTTCTATCCGCGCGACCTGAAGAAACGGGTGGACGACTACGTCGTTGGCCAGGACCGGGCCAAGAAGACCATATGTTCCACCATCTTCAACCATTACCAGAACCTCCGCCGCCGACATCAGCATGAACATGAGGACCGGAATAGGCGCGATAAGGCGATGCGTCAGAGGTTTGCTCGAGACAGAGAGTTGCATCAGAAGCGCCACGAGATGCACCCGGTCGAAGGTCAGCGCGTGCCTGGTTGTGTCCCCGCGCAATACGCCACTAATGATCTCCAAGACGAGTTCCCGGGCCATAATGAGTCCGTTCGCCAGCTCCATGATAACAATGGACTTGAAGAAGATGCTCTCGATCTTCTTTACCACCCCGACGACCCTTCCACGACCGAACACGTCAAAATTGACAAGAGTAATTTGTTGTTGATAGGACCAACTGGTGTTGGCAAGACTTATATCCTAGAGTGAGTTCCATTGTAATCCATCGGGTTGTCGACTTTGAGCATGCTGACGACTCGTAGAACATTGAGCAAGAAGATCAAGGTCCCCTTCTCGATCTGCGATTGCAACTCGTTCACCCAAGCCGGCTACATCGGACAAGACGTCGAGACATGCATCGAGCGGCTCCTAATCGAATCGAACTACGATATAAAGGCTACCGAACATGGGATCGTTGTTTTGGACGAGTTTGATAAAATTGCGAGGCGAGAGTCCAGCACTGGCCGAGATGTGGGTGGTGAAGGTGTACAGCAGGCTCTCCTGAAGCTTGTGGAAGGAACTAAAGTCACCATCAATGTCAAAGACAATCGCTCATCCCGGTCAACACCGCCCATCACAACAAACTATAACTCGACGGGGTCGTCTTCTTCCTCGCCTCAAACTGCCCCGCCAAGTGGCAAGGTTGACCAGTACACAATCGACACAACCAACATTCTGTTCGTATTTTGTGGCGCCTTCGTCGGACTGGACAAGGCCATTCTTAGACGGGTGGCTCGACCATCCATGGGTTTCGGGGGCGAACTCCGCGGCCGTTCCACTATGTCTGGCAGCAAGCAGGTTCTTCCACCAAACTCATATACCCATCTCCCGCACCATAACGCCGACTCCGCATCCTCCTTCACACCGTTAGACCTCACCACTACGTCAGACCTCCAAGCTTTCGGCTTCATCCCGGAGTTGATTGGACGACTGCATAATATCTGCGCCCTCAGCCCACTCTCCAAAGACGACCTCTTCCGCATCTTGACCGAGCCTCGCAACAGTCTTGTTGCTCAGTACACGGCCCTCTTTGAGACATACCCCTCTCGTCTGTACTTTACTGAGAAGGCATTGTATGCCATTGCGGAAAGGGCTGCTACCTCGGAGACGGGTGCCCGAGGATTGAAGATGGAGATGGAACGGGTTCTGGCCGAGCCCATGTTTGATGCACCAATGACGTATGTGCTCATTACCGAGGCGTGTGTAAAGGGAACAGAGAAGGCTGCGTACTGGGGCAAAGACGGCCGCTTTGAACTGGATAGGCGGATGGAAGAGGAGGAGTTGAACCCGCCAAAGACGGAGCAATCCGAAACGTTTGAACGATACAGGGAAGCTGAGCAGAGTGGTGGTTGAAGAACAGAAAGCTACACATGGTAAATATGGAGAACTGGTTCGACTGATAATGGAGTTTTGGGCAATGGGAGATAACGTGTGCACATTTCCTGAGCTTTGGAAAGATACAAGAGACAAATTTCAAAATCACTCGACTCGGGTTCCGTTGTGGTAGTACAGTATTTACACCAAGAAGGTTTGATTTCTCTGGAGTCACCTCGAAGCCCCCATCCAGACCTATGCCCCAAGGCCATTTTACACACGGATACATCTCCATGAGTCACCCCAGCTTCTAGCACAAAGGAAAAGACGTCGTCCGCTGAATTTATTCGCTGCTGCCCTTGGGAGGGGACTGGACCATGCCCTTGCCCTTGTAGCCCTCGGAGGTGATACCAGTGAAAGGGTCGGATTTTTGGTTCTGGAAGAGGATGAGTCAGTCGAGGTTGGCTTGAGATAAGAATATTGCGGGCTCGGCTTACGATGAGGAACTCGTTGCTTTGCTCCTGGTACTCCTGGGACATGGTGTAGGGGACAGGCTTAGCGAAGAAGCGGATAACACCGAAGATACCGACACTGGCAGCGAGGCCGATGGCGACACCCCAAGCGACGCGGGCGCCGCTACCGGGGGGGTCCATGGCGCGGGGGCCGTGAGGACCGAAGGCAATCCAGTAGGCTATTGAGACAGTTTGAGTTAGTTTTCCAGACGTGATGCAACGATAGGGAAACGCAGGGGGGGGTTGTCTGAGCGGCATTGCATCGAGGCCCGTCTGCCAATCAGAAAACAGAATTGACTACATGATGCAATTGAGGCTCTGGCAAGACCCCGATGCAAGGCTGAGAGGTGTAGTGGAGGAGTTGTGGAGTGAATTGATGCTTGGGAGCGGAATGGTGTTGTGGTGGTGAGGTGACTCGATGACGAGGCTGATCTCTCGGCTACGGTGGAGGTATTTTCGTGGACGGGTTCAAAAACGCACCAGCTTTCTTCTCCTGGAGAGACAGCTCGTTCCAGTTGACTCCCATGCGGTCACGGAGAGCCATCCAGAGGTCGGCCTGCTCCTGAAGGGGCATGCCCTCCCATCGCTTCTCGATGTTGGCGAGGGTCGGGTTGGAGATGGCGTGAGTGGAGGCGGCTCGGGTCGCGAAGGCGGGCGAGCTGCGCACCAGGCTCTTGCGCAGGAGGTTCGACGCCGAAGTGCGCAGCATTATGGCGGATTCGGTGGGCGATTCGGAAGAAGGCTCGGCGAGTCAATTGGGAGGCTTCTCGAGAGCAAGTTCGCGAGGCGTCGGGTCGAGGGAGGTTGCGAAGAGGTTCGTCGGGACGAGGTTTATTGCTGGGCGAGTCAAGCCGGAGCAAATTCGAGCAATCGTATGATGGACCCCGTGCCAGCTGCCCGGAAGATGCTCGGCTACACGGATGGCTTTACTCCATTGGTGCATATCACGTGATTTATCTCATCCGCCTTGCCGCTTTGGACCTAAGGGGTGACCACCGGGAATTTAATCATCCCTCATTGGCTGTCAACATGACGACAGCTCCTTCCATTCCCCTCCACAATCTCTCAGCCCACTTCCTTAGATATGATTTCGGACGAACGCCGTGGAGAATCAAGACGAGACAAACCACTGTGCACTCAATGGCTGGTCAATTGCATACTCGACGTCTGAATGATTGTTTTCCGGCCATTGATCCCACCGGGGAATCTCGGCAATATTCTAGATTGGGGATTTTTCTCTTCTATCGTATTTTCAAATAACATCTGATCTTTCCATACACCCATGGACACGGATGCGGCGGACACCGGGACCACCCATTGGGACCACCCCATCTCAGCATACGGTTCCTTCGTCCCCATTAAAACTGCACATCGAATAAGTTTCGCCTCCGTATCCTCTCGCCGTACTTGATAAACACAATCGGCACCGGAACCATGCCCACTGCGATAAACGCGAGCAGGGACGTTCCCCATCCGTATCCCAGCTTCTCGTACATGCTCCGGCCCGCCAAAGGCAGAAGTGCGCCGAGCAAGGAGCGGAGGACAGTGCTAGCAGCCATGGCCGATGCCGCGTACTGAGAATAAGCATCAACCAAGTAAACGGAAGTCCCCATCTGCCAAGTGTTAGCTGTCGTCCAATAACACTGGTGAATCCACTGAAGAGGAACCTACCATTGCGCAAAGCATTCCGACACCAAGGAACCCTGTTCCAATGATGGGGAGAATCCAATGAGTATTCTTCTCAGCCGTCCAGCCATACCAGAAGAGGCCCAAGGGGACAGTGACGGAGGCGATGATCAAGACTGGCAGGCGGTACTCTGGCTTAGCTTCGCCTCCATTCTTTTTGGTCAGATACCTCGAAAGGGAGTCTGAGGTGCCGCCTGCGATGAATAGGCCCAAAATTGAACCAATACCGATACCCAAGTAAGAGAGGCCTACTGATCCCGTCGAAAACCCATACTGCCCTTCAAAGAGAACGGGCATAGCGGTAAAAATCAGGTACAAGTATCCGTAGACAATTGCCATGTAGAGGGAAAGAAGGAAGACGATTGGTGAGAAGAAAAGCATTTTAGTCGGCCGAACGATGGCAAATTTGAATAGCTCCTTCGTGCTCCGGCCGGTGTCGGCAGATGAGCGAAGCTTCATGTTTCCAGTCTCCTTCTGAAGCCTCTTTGTCTTTTCCTCAAGAATGGTGTAGGCATATGTCTCGCGCATGAAAATGAAGTTGACCACTGTAATGAGACCAGCCTATAAGCCAAGATGCCATTAGCAAATGCGCTGAGCATGCGGAACCTTGTCGCAACTCACCACCATGGCCACTAACCAGAACGACCAGCGCCAGCTTTTCGCCTCTGTCAGATATCCGCCCGCTGGAATAAGTTGTCAGATTTCGGACTCTTACATTCATCTTTCGCTAAGAAGCTTACCGATAGGACCTATAATAGGACCCAAGATAGGCCCTAAGATCCACGAAGCCATAGCAGCTCCGCGCTTTTCCTGAGCGATGATATCGGCCAGTGACCCTGCACCAAGAGCGAGCGGGCAGCACCCTGCGAGTCCAGCCAGCAGTCGGAATACAATCAGGCCATTCAAGTTAGGAGCCAAGGCGCATGCAACAGTGAATATCACAAACAAAACATTGAAGATGTTGTATATGTGCAGCCGGCCGTACATCTCAGACAGGGGCGCAATAACCAGAGGACCGAAACAATATCCGAGAAGATACACGGAGACGATGAACGAGGCAAGCTGTTGATTTGTGGAGTTGAATTCGATCATGACTTGTTCGATGCCAGGCGCAAAGATCGACGACGCCAAAGGTCTGTAAATAGTCAGAATCTGGCCGTCCAGACGATAAATATAGTTACGCTGTGACATACGTAACAAATGTGATCGAGGATACCAGACAAACGGTCATGGCTTTTTTCCCTGTCGACCAGTTCTGCGGGTTCGCTGGATCGTCTGGTCCATCCCAATCAACAATATTTGGGTCTTGGGGGCCAGGCTCTTCCAGGTCCACCGATGTTGAACCAGCCTCAATATCCTTATTCTCCTCATAGATGGGAGGTGTTGGGGTGCTGGCAGTTCCCAGGTCATCGGCGGTATTGGTGGCGACCATAGCGCAGTGAGTCGATGGTACGATAGCGCCTGCGTCAATACCTCGGAATGGTCCAACCAAAAGGCTCTGTACTTCTCTGAAACTGATATGAGAGCAGAGGTTGGTACAGGAGACGATGTTTTCGTCTACGAGAGCCGAGTAGAGGAGAAACTGAAGAATGGGTGGAGGCGAGGACCTTTATAAAGTATCTGCCCGAGATTCATGACAGCCGAGCCAAGGCAGCAGAACAGGGCGGTATTAGAGTAATAGCGGAAATCAAGGGCTCATGTAAGGTTCATTGTTTTTATGTCCGATGGTCGTAGGATCGAAGTCACGTCCGCCTTTGGCCGAGTTCGGTCGGATCGAGAGATGCTCATCGGAGGTGCATCTGTAGGGTCGACAAATAGGAGCCAAGGAACGCGGGGAATTCCACTTTACTGAGTAGAACTTTGTAAAGACCCCTTTGAAAATCGGTATAATAACGCGGATATAAGACCGATGCCGATACAATATCGCCGTGGTAAAATGAGATTGGCTCGCTGCGTAGCTATAGGGTGCGGGTCGTGGGCGTCCATGGCGCGGGCCCGCGGATACGCCCATGGAAACTCCGCGGACCCTCACGGACTGCATCGGTTCCTTAACATGGTCTCCCTTCTACGCCTCGGACTCTCCCCAACACGGACTGCCAATCCCCTTCGTACCGCTCCTATCTAGCTGGCGATATGGGTCGACAGCCGCGCCAACGCCCAATATCCTGCCACTTTTGCAGGCTGCGAAAGTTGCGGTGCAGCCGCGTCTTTCCCTGCACCAACTGCGCATCCCGCGGACTGCCTTGCCCCGAGCCGCTGGATCCACAGTCTCTAGCCCAACCCGCGGCTGCCAAGAAGGCATCTAATACTAGTGTTGCTTCCACTGCCGATGCCGATGTTTTGAGCCGCTTGGAGAGGTTGGAGGCCCTTCTCGTGATTCGGAACAAGCAGTCTGAGGTCGTGCCGCCGTCCATACATGGCCCCGTCCAGACTGACACACTCCCCTCCGGGCCCCAACTACCCCTACCACAACCCCTTCCCTCAGACGTTCAGAATTTGACAGCGGATGCCCTGTTTCTTGAACTATCATGCCTTGGCCCAAAGCTGAGTGTGAGACCCTCACCTACTATGAATACTTGGCCATGTCGCTCACTAGCTCTACCAGGAGTTTGTACTCACGGAAAGCCTTGTCTTCCGTATTTGTCCCATCCGCATGATCACACAGTCGTCTTCATCATATGTTCCCTCATCTTCACTGTCTTTTGAGCCGACAAAATGCATCTGGCTACCCCAGCGAGAAGAGGCCAGAGCCCTGGTGGAGAAGTACCTCAACCACATCACTTACATCCACCACGTCGTCCACAGCCCTTCTACGCGCAAACTGGTAGACGAAGTCTATGACAGCTTACAGAAGGGCACGCAGACGCCCCTGGGTCCTGTTATTTTACTCATCTCTATCTGTGCCGACGTCACGTACTCGTGGACACCCCAGGACGAAGAGAGCGAGCTGTTCTCGAACGCCGAAGAGGCAAATTCACAATCTATTTTCTGGCTCAAGGCTGCTCTGGACCTTTTGGACCATGCGCAACGCAATGCCCATACTTCAATAGAGTGTATCCAAGGCCTTCTACTCTTGAGTTTTGTGATATGCAACCTTGAAGGCATCTCAATCCGGGCCAGATCCATCCTGTCAAAGACGATCGCCATGGCTCATGAGCTGGGGTTGCATCGTATTGATCACCCCAGCAATGCTGGGATGGGCCAGTCGCCCCGCTGGAGTGGATTGAAAGCCGAGATGGGTCGAAGGGTATGGTGGTATCTCGCCTCTACAGACTGGTGAGCTACATTCTTAAGATGCATGGCGCTCTGTAACAAAAGTCTCACAAGCGTATAGGTTATTGGCTCGATTCCCCGGTCCACACGAGGGGACGTATTCCATAAATCCCCAACAGATGGCCGTGAGAAAACCTCTGAACATTGAAGACGAGAATCTCGTCGACGGAGTAGAACCCGTGGGTCTGCCGATGGAGGTTCCCTCGTGCATGTCCTACTTTCTTCAACGTATCCGCCTGGCAGAACTATCTCGGGCCTTCACAGACCGAATAGGCCTCACGGCTTCTACCCCTGATATGGTGCGGTACAATCTCGTCATGGAAATAGATGAGGCAATCCAAAAATACATCCAGGAGATCCCGCCGTTTTTCACAATGGAACCTCAAGAGCTAGGCAACCTCCCGCCTACGGACCGCCGACGATCTCCTGCAATCATTGTCCAACGGCATGTGATCCATTTGTTTGTCCATGGCCAGCGTTGCAAGCTACATATTCCCTTTTTCGCGCGTGGTACCGTCGAGCCTGTATATGCTCGCTCGCGGGAGATCTGTCTCAAAACTGCACAAATCATCCTTGAGGCGGAACATCAACTAGAGAGAGAGAATATCACATTTGTCTCCACTAGACTCAGATTAACAGTGGTCCTTCACAGTGTATTCTTGGCTAGCATAGCTCTGTTGGTGGATCTCTGCCTGGGACCCGACACAGGAGACAAGACGAAGAGCCGCGAACTGATGGCACAAGTGTGGAGGATCCTGGATGACGCACAAGGACTCTCTATCCCTGCAACGAGACTCCAGGATCTGTTGAGGCAAGCGATGAAGAAGCATAAAGTGCCCCTTCCAGTGATGAGGACGAGGAATTCATGTTCGAGGAGGGAAGACGGCCAAAGTGATCCCCTCCCTCTCACACCCAGCTCGGTAACGAAGGGGCTTTCAGCAACCACAAGTCCGAACGAACAGATTTATCCTGATCCATACCTAGAAGATTTTGGTTCAAGGATGGACTTAGATGATATTGACTGGGACAGCATTCTCCTGGGCCTGGATGTCCCGTTTGTGTGAAAACATCAGACATGGTGTATAGGGTAACCCCCAGCCAGATGCTGGTCGTAGGATGTATAAGTAATGACACTATATAGAAGGCTCTCATAAATAAACATACCACTCTTCTTTTGATGAATTAGAAGCGAGATGCTGAGGCTAGCTTTTTCTTTGATGTATAATGTTTGGCCGTGGTTGAAAAATTTTCCAATCCGTCGATCTACTGAGCGAGCGTACATACGTTGCTTCTGGCTTTGATGAACAAATGCGTCTAAAACTAACGACCCCTGAAATGAGATGACATAAGATATAAGTTAGATAGTCATAATTTTTAACCCATCAGGTTATCTCCCATAACTTGAAGATGGCTGATATGTCTGTTCCTCTCTATGTAATACATGTACTGGCATTATTGTACCTTGAACCAATGACTCTAATACTCTCAAAGACTCAACGGAGTGAATTGTGATAATAAAACATGAAAACTCCTTGATTGATACGCAATAAATGTACGAATTCCCCACGTATTCCTCCAAAGGGTGATGATTCTGGCTTACTTCGATGCTGGTGCAGGATTTTTCGGTGGCTCTGGTTTTGTCTCGGCGCTGCACAGGAGAATGCACACTCAGCGACTGGTTTCAACCATATGTTGGGACTAATCGGGATAGTTACCTTTGGGAAGGGGTATCTTTTCTGAGTGCATCAGGTGCGAAGACAGGCTGGAATGTGTAGTATCCTGTCAAGCTGAGTGAGCCTCAAACGGAGCGAGAAACATGGGCTGAGTAAACTGACCTCCGATAACGCCACAGAAGACGGTCAAAGCAAGAGGCAATGCCCTCTCGAAGGCGGACATGGCGGCTGAATCTGTATTGTAGGGAAGAAGAGAGATAGTTGGTGAAGAAGTCGGCAATGGACTGGACGTGATTCGCCTATGGCTCATTGGAACCTGGAGTTCGGAATTGACATCGCAGTGGATCGGAGATCGTGGCTAGTGAAAATAGTGGATTGTTCCGGCGGCTCCAGGCGTGTCGAGTCCCGAACGTCGAGCCCCACAGGCTGCACTTTACCGTCTGCAGTGGCGCGTCCTTCCCTACTGGAACGCGTCTCCCAATTCCTGGACCGCGTTCCCCGCCATACCTGATCCGAGCACCAATTAACGAGGTCCTCATTCCACCAATTCACGATCGAAGCTCCCTCAGATCGCAGAAAACACCCCTTCACCGACAACTTCTCTCTACCGATTTGGACCCCGAAGCTCATGGCTCGATGAGATAATGACCCTTGTGGACCATGGCTAACTGGAAGGAGCTGGGGGAAGTCCCGGATTCGGAGGATGAAGATGGCTTCGATAGCCAGGAGATGGTGCCCCTACCTGGCCTCGATTCGTTGACGATCACAAAGACGAACCAGGCCGGCCTCGAGAAGGAAAGGGAACAGGTCAAAGAGAATGAGAGCGCAGAAGATATATGGGACGTTCCCGACTCTCAGGAACACGACCTACCCATTCTCCCGATCAAAACCGCCCGACAACCTACGACGACATCACAACCAGTGGAACCACTTCTAATCAACTCTTCACCACTGTCCTCGCCATTATCCTCACCACTGTCCTCACCATTGTCGTCCGCACGCAGCGATCGCAACCTTCCCCCCGTCGATTCCCTCCCCCCCTCACAAGTTCCTACTGCGAACATCGACTCTCAACTGCCGAACGAAGACCAACCGCAACTCGTGGGCCAGGACGAGATATCTAGAAGCTATGATGAGCTATCGTCGCCACCTCCCGAATTTCCCAGGATCGTTTCAACCATTAGGCCCTCGATTTCTTTGCCGGATGAACTCGATCCGTTTCTTATACAGAGTCAGGAGCTAGGCCGGGATGCAGACCTCCAGGCAGACAGGCGAGCAGCTGTCCGCTATGAGCGGTCCCTTCGCCCTCGCAAACCCATCCAAGAACACCCATACCTCCTCGAGAATGCCCAATACAGCAGCTTGCTCAGACAGAATGGAGTCAAACCCTTGAGAATGGCCCTGGAGGCAGAGAGGCGGAGACGGCAACAGGCTTCACAAGATAAGGACTTTGAAGACGACAGCCAGGAGTCGAGAATGCCAGAGGTATCTGACGAAAGCCAATTAAATGGCCTGGCAGACTTCCTGGATGGCATTGATAGCCTTGCTGTTCCCTCGCCCTCACCCCCCAAGACATCACCCCTGAATGATCGTGCTGGGCCAAGCAGCCAAGCGAGTTCAACGGGGGATACTGACGGTACGAGTCTGGTCGGGGAAGATCTTCCTGCCCTGCAAGATCTACTTAACCAACCACGCTCAATCCCCAAGAAAGCTACCAAGCGAAAGAGTTCCCCTTCTCGTTCGTCGACGAGGAAACGAATGAGACATGTTATTATCGACAGTGACCCCCTTGAGCCGGCATCGATTTTGAGGTTGGTGACTGGAACCACCGACTCTCCGGCTGCCCAACGAAACTCGAGACGAAGCCCCGAACGACCCGAGCCTGAGATTGACACGCCCCAACCCCAGCGACTGCGATCTCCCACACCGACGCCAAGTGCTCGACTTGCTCACCAATCGATAACGCCTTCCACACTACGACCTTTGGTTGTCGATAGCGACTCTGAAGACGAACTTGCTCAGCAAGACCCAGGCCCAATGTCAACTGATGGCGGTTCTGCATCCGAGACCGAGTCCGAGAGTGGTTCAGAAGTGGTCCATACCGTCAAACATCGCATCAGAGGCGTGCTTCCAGCATCGTGGCTTCGGTTAGACCAGCAGGCTGGCCGAGCAAAACAACAAAAAGACTCTCACAAACGACAGGCAGATCGTTCACCAGAACGAGAACAGAGACGCGGCGTCGCACAGAGACGACAAGCTACGTCAAGAGCTTCTACAACACCCCAGCTCTTTTTTGAGGACTCTGATGACGAGATACCCACCCCAAGACAGAGGACTACAGATGAAGTCTTTCATAACCAGACGAGGCTTGTGCTCCTGGAAGACCCTGGTTCGATGTCAGTCCCCGAAGCGACATGGTCAGACGATGGGGCTTCAGTGGTCGAAGATGATCGGATCGACCACATGCTGCCAGGAAGGAAACGCCAATTGAAGCTATCAGAATCCTTCCACGGTACCCCAAACCGGCCAAAGACAACCAAAAACCAACGAAAACATACATCTTCGAAGCCGCCCCGCCAACCCAAGATCACTGGCATGCTCAATGAGTCTCAATCCGAACCGTCATCGGCAAGAGAACTCGTGAAGAAGAAATATCGACAACCGACAGTGGGGCGAAAGACAAAGAGCGGAAAGGGGCGCCGATCACCAAATCCTAACAAACCTGCTGCTGCCCCGCATCTCAGTATTCTAGATGTAATAGAACCGAACGCTCCTCGTTTCCTCAAGATTGCCGCTCGAGCTGCCAATCGACGCCAGGGCATGGGAAGATGTAGTCCTGGCAAGAAATTGATCAAACTCGGCACTCGAGAAGACCACGTGGATGCTGTGTCAGTTCTGAATAATTGGAGGGCAGGGTCCATCCCACAGCGCCAGTCAGTATCTGCTGCAAAAAGGCAGAGGAAGACAAAGCCAAGACCACCGAAGAACCCCCTGAGCGAAACATCCCCGAACATCTCGACAGTTCAAAAACGCCAGCCACCACCATCTTCAGGAGCACCTCGCCGGCTCGTTCGACACATTACGAATGGGGGAACCATCAGCTACCAATCCGAAAAAACAACTGAAGCCTCTTCTGTGAAGCGGCAACGTCCCCGGGCAAGCGGACATCTTAGCCGGTCTGGCTCAGGTGTTGCGCGACCAGCTCAGCTGGAAATGGATGAAACAGACCAAACTAGCAACTTCCACTTTAACGCAACCAAAAGGCGCCTTGACCGTCTCTACCGGAAGCAACGAGAGGATTGGTCGAACTCGAGCATCCTGGCTCTCAATGATGGGACTACAGATGTTGAATATCCTGCCAGCCCTCCGCCGGAGGAAAACCCTGTGCCTCTGCGCATTGTAATGCCACAGGAATCCGATCAGCGGAAGTCGCGTTATCGGAAAAAGACCAGACCTCAACAAGTTGACATTGAAGCACCCCAATATAGCCGAGCAAGCGACCCCATCCTCGTCGAAGCGACCCCAGCACCAGAACCTATTCAAGCAGAGACAGAGGGACAAAGACTCCGCGGGCTCGGACCATACGGAACTCAGTACACCCATCACTTCGAGACATTCCCACTTGACTCCGGTGTCTACTTCCATGAGTCAACGTTGATTGGAAGTGGTGCCCTCGAAACGCTGGCCACCAATTTTGACTACCAGAAGTTTGCGGATCTCCGCCCTCGCTCAGCATTCAATCTCGGTGACCAAATCCTGAGATGGGGTCCATGGGATGCTCAGGTGTCCTCTGAACTGGGTGTCGTTCTCGATTTCGTTGCGGAGCAGCTTGAAAGCACGTCGACAAATGACACCTCAGCCTCCCCACCAGCCCTAAACGCCGCCGCCTTCGTCACGAAGTTCGCAATGGACTCGCTGAGTTTTACTGAACCGACGAGCGTCAAGTCATTTGTATGCAGAGCACTTGAGGTGCTCCAGGGTTTCAATGGACGCATCAAGACACTCTTGGGCCAGAGCAGCTTCAGCATACAATCTCAGTGCAGCCTAATCGCCAGCGTATACGACTACTTCCTGATTACCGCCTTTCTGATTTTAAAACTCTGCCAAAACGACACCTCCTTGATGAGCGAGCAATTTCAAATGGAGGAGCTGGTCAAAGACTTGGCAAAGATAGCAGTTTCGTCTCTCCTGAAGGTCGGACTGAATCAAGTGAAGGATACATATGGGCTGCTTCACGACGTACGGTTCCGAGAGAGGGGGCTTCGAGATGATGTGCCGGGCCTTCACTCATGGGTAACCGTGATGAAGGTTCTTGCGCACGCTCGGATTCTGCGATCGTCCTTCTGGGATGTTACCTATTCTGTCATGGCTACTCCCGAGGTTGTGACAAGCCTCGATGTCAAGGAGCATGAACGTCTTTGGAAGGATATGTTCACTCTCCTTCCACTCACCGAATTCAACGACAATGGAATCCTCGTTGCGGGTAGTAAGCACGATGCCGCAGTTGATGGCTGGGCACTACCCCAAAAGTTGCTGAAGACAGTTTTCCAGCTTTACAAGGAAAACGAACACCAACCCCCTAGCTTCAACAACTACTGTCGCGCGTTGGTTGGCCGATGTCACTACCTCGTTCAGCAGTGGGGATGGCGTAAATGTGTGGCAGTCGTTGGTGTCATCTTTGACTTCTTCGGCTCCCAAAACCTTGCACATCTTCGTAACGAGGAGGTGTTCAGATCTCCTAGTTTTCTAGAGGATCTCGGTGGAAACCCGTCACTGGCCGTGGAGAAGGTTGACAAGTGCTTCCATGTCTTCTTGAAGCTCGTGGCTTTGAGCATCAAAAAGTTAAGTGAAGTCGGGTCGCTGAACGACATTCGCAATTTGGTTACTCGTACCATGCCAAATCACAACCGCCAACTTCTCAAGGAACAGATAATCCACGAGCGAGATTTGGCGGCGTTGAGAAATCACCATGATCTTCTCTGCACCCTATTCTGGGCGTCTCCGCCCGAGTTGCGACCTGGAGCTCATCTATTGGAGAGGCTTGTTGTCCCGGCGAGCTCACACAAGGAGGCGTGTTTGATCAATCTACGGGCTTGGAGCCAATTGGCGAAATTCATCATTGCATCAGGAGAAGCAACGACCTCTTTTAAGCCATTCGCTCGGTGGAGGAACACCTTCTTTCAGTCGATGATGCAGCAGTTTGATTCGGTTGCCTCGGATATGCACCAGCAGTTTCTAATGCTGTCTAAAGATGCCAGTAACACCATTAATCCGGAGATGGTTGATGCTATGGTGGCTTTAAACAGAGCTGCTATAATGGATGTTCTTCAACTCTCCGTGACGGTTTCTTTGGATGTCATGAGACATGCACCAGACCTGGAAGCAGCCACATTCGCCCTGAACACGCTGCAGCTTCAGCAAGTGTTCAAGCACTTCGTCGCGTGCCCTCCCCAGCTCCATTGGTCTATCCTTCAAGTGTCCCTAGCTACTCTGGAGAGCTTCCTGTCTCGAGTTGATGAGTTCAAGGATAGCGAGGAAAGCCAGGAAAGGGAGAGCCAACTTCTGAACTCGGAGCAAGCGGATGATGCACTCCTAGTGCTTGATCATGACCTCTCCGGCAACTTCTTCTCAATGGCAAGGTGCATCGTCTCTGTACGCGGAGATAGAGAGCTTGGTGCGCTGGCATCCATTGAAAAGTTGCGGTGCACTGAACTGGTGATTACCCTCTCGGCGAGGCTCGGCGTCAGATTCATGAACGCCGGTATCCTGCGCCTTTGTGACATGTTCAAAAGTGGAAAATACGGACTCTTCGAGGACGTCCCGGCCAAGATCAGCCTCGACCAGCGTAAGTATTTGGTCTTGTTCATCGCGACTCTTTTCAAGCATGGTTATGACGATTTCGTGGATGCCGGGTTCACCCTCTCCGAAGTGTGGATGCTGTCGATTGTCAAACCTCGAAAGTACCTGGCATACGAAAATCAGCTGGCACAAGAATTGCAAAAGCATGAGAAAGAATTCGTCCCTGGAGCAGCGATTGGACTCGCAATCAATCCGGACTACAATGCAAACAGAGACATGTTCGAATTCGCCATATCTTGGATGCGAAGATGTCTTGGGGACGCAGGGCCAGCCCTCAGAAAGATAATCATTTCGGAGCATTCAAAGACGCTGAAGGCTGTAATGCAGCAGATCAAAAGGGACTTGCGAACTGTGGTTCAGAATGCTCCGGAACACCCTAGCTATGTGGCTTTCATCCGGGACATCATCACTCTCATCAGGGCCCATGGTTCGGAAATCTGTGCCGTCGACGACTTCTTCTACCAAATCAACAAAGAATATTCGCCTTCAATGCAGGACCCGCAGCTTCAGGTAGCTGGCATGCTCTCCTACGGACTGAGACTGAGTGAGGGTGACACCAAGGTTGTCCATCAGATGTTCTTTTTCCTCTTCAACAACTTCAAAATGTCGCTTATCAATGACAAACTACGCGACGAAGTTAAGTTGCTCCATCAGGGCATGAAGAACACAGGAATCTCGGCCTTCGTTCTCGGTAAGATGCTTCCAGCCATCATCCGCGCATCTTTTCTCGAAAGCTCGGCATTCCCACTGGTTGACGTCTACGTGGAAGTGTTGCGAGTGCTTTTGAACCGCCACGTTGTCCCGCACGAACTGACAGAAGTCGATCTGCCGCATCTTCTTGTTACGGTCAAGGCTTCTGTTAGCGGGTTGGACCAACTTCGCCAGAACGACGGCCCCCTGAAGGAGGAACAAATTTACTTGCTTCGGCAGGTGTTGTCGATGACCAATATTTTGTGGCCATCCTTTCATATATTCTCTATGTCGCAAAACCCACCTGTGGCCTGGAAGGAGACATCGCAAGCTCTCAAATACGCAAGCAGCGGCATCGAGACAGCTGAGATTTACATCGACGATCTCCTCGATCTTGAGGATTACTCTCTGAATGGAGACCTTCTCCTGTCAGGTCTGCGACGACCTACGATCGATTCGACACGGGTTGATACATACGTCAAAAACTTCACAGACAATATTGTAAATGATGTACGCAAAAATTGGATCGTCACCGGGAACAAGATCACCATCCAGGCACCCGGGAAAGGCAGAGGGATTTCCTCGACTCAATCTGGCCAAGGAGCAGATAAACCAGTCTGGGATGTAAGAAAACTGGTGGAGGATTTACATGAACAAACAAGAGAATGGAATGATTGGTATAAGAAGGTGTTTGGGGGACCATCGCGGCCCGCGAGGCATTGTATGAGCGCTCTGTTTTGATGAGCATAGGAATGGCGTTGCGGTGCATGCATGCTTGATTGAGGGTAAGGGAAAAAGGTGCATTCTAAGGATGAGAAGAACCATTGAACGGCGTTTGAACCGGATATATATATGCACACACAACACTGCAAAGAAATGAAATGGCAATTCTGTCCAACAACATTAATTGCTGTCATGGTCAATGCTGCTCGTATAATTAAGTGACGGATGAGGGTGGTATCTGCGTGGAGTTGCGACTCGCCGACATTTTCCCGAGTGACGTACTTTCGTCAACTCCAGACGCGCCAAACGCGTCTCCCAGCGACTCGGAGGCGACCTCAAAAACGACCAATTCGACGACAAACGAGGAGAGGGCGGACGGAGAAGGAACCCAGCCATGGCCTCGCTCTTCAATCTCCCGGATGAAGCCATCCTCGCGCCCTTGCTCCAGACATTCCCCTGCCGCGAGCGCCAAATCCGATCTCTAGCAACGCTCCTCCACGTAAGACCGCCCCAATGCTCCTATGCGTAGGTAGCTCTAGCTAACCGCCAACCAACAACCAGCCCGAAGCCGCACCATGTCGCAACCTCGTCGTTCACGGAACCTCGGCGACCGGAAAGTCGGCCATCGTCGAACAGCTCCTCGAGCGGCTGGTGGCGCACATGTCGACGCAGCCGCAGGCCGGCGGGTTCCAGGCGGCCGTCGTCAACTCGGTGCAGTGCATCACGGGGCGGCACCTATTTGAGCGCATCATCGGCGCCGTGGCCGACGCGCTGCAGTGGGAGGACGTGCCGCGGCGCTGCGAGTCGCTGGCGCAGCTGACGGTCGAGCTGGTCAAGATGCTCAAGTATCCTGCGAGGGATCCCCGCTGGCGCTTCGTGCTGGTTCTGGATGCAGTGGATCGCCAGAGGGATGCGCCGTCGACGCTGCTCCCAGCTCTGGCGCGGCTATCGGAGATTGTGAGTACATTTTGGATACTCCCGACTCTTCTGATGTGCCAGAAGCTAACAATACACCGTCTAGATCCCCTGCCTCACCTGCGTTTTCGTCGTCACCTCCCCCCCAGCCGGCTTCCTACGAACACCTGCATCCGCCGCTCTCCAATTCCCGCCCTACGCCAAAGCCGACTTCGTTCGCATCCTCTCACTCACGCCGCCCGACGCCATCACGGGAGCCACACAGCAAGAAACCGCCGACCTCTGGACCCGGTTCTGCGCAGCGGTCCACGACTCCCTTACAAAATCCGCCTCGCGCACATTGCCCTCCTTCCGACACAGCTGCCATGCCCTCTGGCCTCGGTTCACAGCGCCGGTATTGGCAGGGACACATACCCCGAAGGAGTTCTCCAAGCTGCTGATCGCAGCGAGAGTACACTTCCAGGACGAGTCGGTGTTGAACCCCAGCATCGTGTCAGTCCGCTTAGGCGCCACGTCCGCCGACAACAGCATCGCCAAGCCAGTCCCTACAACCGACCTCACAAACCTCCTCCCTACGACCGCCCGCCTCATCCTCCTCGCCGCCTACCTGGCCTCCCACAACGCTACCCGCCACGACCTCACGCTCTTCTCTACCTACCACCACGGCCGCAAGCGCCGGCGCGGAGGATACACATCTTCGCGCGGCGCCCCCCGTAGCAAGCACCGCAAGATTGCGCGCAAGCTACTCGGCGCGCACGCCTTCGTCCTCGAGCGCATGATGGCCATCTTCGCAGCCGTGCGCTCCGAGTGGGCCGACGGTAGTGCCGTGGGCGCCGCCGGCCTCGATTGCGACGTGGGCATGGCCGTTGCGACACTGGCCAGCCTCCGCCTGCTCACGCGGGTGGGAGGCGCCGGCGACGTCATGGACCGCGGTGGCAAGTGGAGGATCAACGTCGGCTGGGAGGTGATTCGCGGGATTGGGCGCAGTATAGGGGTTGAGGTGGAAGAGTGGTTGATTGACTGATCAATCAACCCGTCTGATGACGCAGTTGGCTAATAGACCCTGGTTGACGAAAATTACCGAGGCATTGGTATCACGCAACTTGAAGATAAAGACTCGCCATACCAATCATGTATTCCATGGTGTGAATCACACTCGTGTGTCTCATCTATCTCAAGCCAAGTTTAAAACCGTCCGTATCCATGTAATGATACAAGTTATCGAACATTCCCCACCGGCACTCGGGGGGGAATCATTTTCTTTTTCTAACAAAATCAACGCCTTGTCGTCAATGATATGCCATAACAAATCCCTAGTCTACATGTTTGGATAATTCTCCCTTCCAAACCAGGGTGTAAGATCCCAGCTCCAGTTGTAAAATAAATAAAAAGATCGGCACGTGAAAGGTGGAAGAGAAACATGCAAGCCGTTGTGCCTTAGATCGAGGAGCGTGCAGTTCAGGAGACGCCGGCGACGCGGTCACCGGTTCGCCAAGTGTCCTCCTGCTTCGTGCCGGGGGGGAGCCAGCCCGTGTTGCTACCAGATGGAGTGTGGCGCCCGTTCTGGGTCGGCCTCTTGTCTATGGAGGTGCCGCGAGCGCGATACCCGTCGCCGTAGGGGTGGGCGCTGATGGTACTCCGCGGAGAAGAAACGAGAGTCGTCGGCATGGTGCCGTTGTTGGTCATGGGGAGTAGAGAAATCTCCTTGCCCTGCGCCATCATCTGGGCTTTGCGGTCTGCCTTGTTGCTCTCACTAGTCCGGTCGTAGAGGTAGAGCCCGAGGAAGGTGAGGGCGATTCCCACAGCCTGCATGGGAGTCGTTGGGCTCCTGAACCAGAGAATGGCCAGGATAATGACGAAGACGCGCTTGATCAAACTGGCGACGGAGTATGTGACGGGAGAGACCATGGAGAGCAGGACGAAGGCGAGGATGTTTTGGCCAAAATGGGAGACTCCGTTGAACGCGAATTCGAGGGACAATCGACCGTGATCCATTGCGTTGGGAGTGTTGGCTAGGTCGACTGAGCCCTCTTGGTAAATGTTCTTGATGAGCCCCAGGCCTTCGGTCCAGAACCAGATAGGCATGGTGAGGATAAAAGCCATGCCAGACGAATAGCAGAGGAGGTTGAGCTTGTCCAGCTTCTTAGACGGGACACCTGGAGCCTCAGCCTCGGCCTTTGCAGCTTCGTTGAACAGCTTCTTTGAGAAGATATTTTGGGAGACAAAGATGATGGCGGCCAGAAGCGCTTGAATGACGCCAATTAGCTCACCACCATAGGTCGTCTTCCCGGAGCAGGCCAGCATGACACCCAGGGTCAGGGGAATGAGTGACAAGTAAGTGGCCGTGGGGTACCTGATGTCGTAGACGAATCTATAAGCGAAGACGGTGAAGAGCGGCGAGAGTCCCTTAATGGTGTGGACGAGGGAGACGGGGATCTTGGATGTGGCGGCGGAGCTCAGCAGATGGCCGCCAATCTGGAATACGGCGAGCGGCAGGGTGGTCATGATAACCTCTCGTGTTGGCTTTCGGATCGGATACTTGAGGGCCGTAATCTTGGTTCGCAAGACAGGGAAGACGACGGCGAGTTTGGCGATCGAGATGCACAGCGACGAGACGAAGGCGAACTGAATGAGGGTGAGGGTTGCAGGCTTGGGGAAGGCGTTCAAGATGGACTTTGAAGAGGTATTCGTGAGGGCCGAGGAAGTGTACCACAACAGACACAGGATCTATGTAGTGGAACGTTAGCACAGCACTTGGACTCGAGGCTGGTGGAAGCCAGGTAACAGATGGAGGGGGGAGCATACGATAAGCTTAGGGGAGACGGGCGCCCTGAGGGCCTCGGCGATCTCCTGGGCGTTCTGGCCAACGCTGCCATTGCGGGCTCTAATGTTGCGAAAGGCATCACCAAGACTCTTCTGTCTGGAGTGACCCCGGCCACCGGCTGACCATCCCAAGCCGTTCGAGTGGTCTGGCTTGCCGACGGGGAACCAGCGATCGGTGGTTCGGGGTGGGTTGCCGTTGGCGAAGCTGGGTGGCGGCCTATGCGGGCTCGGGGATCGCGAGAGGACGCCCATGGGCGGGTCTATGAGGTCGGGGAACTTCTCCATCGCGGGCTTGAGGATCGGGGCTGTTGGTGGTTTATCGGGTGGTTTGTAGAGGGGAGTCTCGCGACATCAGCGGCCCTTTGCTGGGGGGCGGCGCGCGACGGCGGCAACGTGGCCGGAAAGTAATGCGCCGAGGATGCAAACGAGCGACAAAGGATGGAAGGGGGGCGAGATGAGTTACGGGCGATAGATGCGCGAGCTCATGCTTATCGACGCCTGGAGGTGGACAGAGCCGAGACACGCCAGATGTTGGGAGGTCGAAAGTGGATGAAGGAGAGAGATGACGACGCTGCCGCGCTGGTTGGCGACCGACGACAAGGGGATGACTTCCGGCGGCTACGAAGTGTAGTGGTTTGTGAGAGGTACGTAGAAGGATGGCAGTGCAAAGTCTGCAGCCCCTCTAAAAAGGAAGCCCGCAACCGGAAATTTGGAATTGAAATCGAAAGACCTGAAGGATGCTTGCGGTTCAACTACATAGTGCACTAACTGGTGTGTCATGTCCATATCCATTGTCCACAGTCTGTCGTCGCATTCTTTGGGGCTATTATTAACTCAGGAGCGCCAAGCTCACAAGTCCTCGCCACCGGTTGCATGGTGCCTGCGCCATTGGAAGTGGCACCATTTCCCGTTTGGGCCTTTTGCCGCACTTGTCCCGGCTGCCGCGCCCAAGCTTGCCCGGTTGCAGCCCGATAAGCCGATAACGAATAAGCGCGTTCAAGCGCTCGTAGTTCCTTTTTTTTTTTCTCGCTTGCCGCTCCGGGACTCGTGAGGCTGCGTGCTGCCGATGCGCGAAAGACTCCACCTCACTAAACCAGCCTGCGCCTGCTCGTCCAACTTTCTCTCGCCCCGTCCATCACGCACCCCTCCAGGCCATCTAGAGCTACCCTCGTCGCGCTGTGGGCATGGGAAGAGACCCGAAGCAGTATATTGTTGCGCTCACGGGTTTCTACGCCGTATTCCAGCTCCTGACTCAGGTTTCCAATCCCGCCGCGTCACCCAAGCACTTCCTGGTCGCGACGAACCCGTCGCCAACCCCGAATTCGCCATGGCGGCCCCAAAGATGACCAAGAACCAGATGCGAAGGGCTAAGAAGAAGGAACAGAAGAAGATCCAGACAGAGGTGCGCGCGAATCCTTTTCGTTGCTCGCCTTACCGCACCACACATGCTGACGCGCCACAGACTGCCGCCGCGAAGCCCGAAGAGACCACCGTCGACGACAAATCCGAAGAGAGCGCAGCCGTCGCAGAACCCGCGTCGGATCTCGAAGTGAAGAAGAAGGATGATTCAGACAATGCCGCGCCCGCCGATGGACCCGCCCTTGACGACGAGTTGGATGAGGACCCGGCTTTCGCCCTGTACAAGGACATCTTCTCCAAGTTTGGCGCATCGGTTCAGGAGGATGAAGTCGCCAAAGAAGCCAACGCCGGAAACAAAGGAACTGTATTCTTCGGCGATGACGACGAGATCCCCGACGAAGATGACGAGAACGGCCCCCCGAAGCTATCCAAAAAGAAGAGAAAGCTGCTCAACAAGCTCTCGATTGCCGAGCTCAAGGCTCTCGTCAAGATTCCCGAGGTGGTGGAATGGCAAGACATCTCCGCCTCGGACCCGCGGTTACTCGTCCAAATAAAGTCCCAGCGAAATGTGGTGCCCGTACCAACACATTGGGCATTGAAGAGAGAGTACCTCTCTTCCAAGAGAGGTATTGAAAAGGCTCCATTCCGTCTCCCCAAATTCATTGCCGAGACTGGTATTACCGAGATGCGAGATGCCGTTCTCGAAAAGCAGGCCGAACAGTCCCTAAAGCAGAAACAGCGCGAACGAGTCGCACCCAAGATGGGAAAGCTCGATATCGACTACCAGAGGCTCTACGACGCCTTCTTCCGATTCCAGACGAAGCCCGAGCTGACGCGATTTGGCGAGGTTTACTACGAGGGCAAGGAGAGTGAGGTTGACTACCAACACTTCCGACCTGGTGACCTCACCGAAGGAACCAAGGAGGCTCTCGGAGTGCCTCCTGGAGCACCGCCGCCCTGGCTGATCAACCAACAACGATTCGGCCCCCCTCCCTCCTATCCCACAATGAAAATCCCAGGTCTGAATGCGCCCCCACCGCAAGGAGGCTCATGGGGCTTCCACCCCGGTGGCTGGGGCAAGCCTCCAGTTGACGAATTTAATCGTCCCCTTTATGGTGGTGATGTCTTTGGCCTCACCGCGCAGAACGGCGCCCAGAACCAGGCTGTCGCTCAGGCTGCAGCACTAACCGGCGAGACTGTTGAGCGTGGCCTCTGGGGTGAGCTTCAACCGCGAGAGGAGGAGGAGTCAGAGGAGGAATCAGAAGAGGAGTCCGAAGAGGAAGAGGACGAAGATGCCCCTGACGGACTGGAGACGCCCAGCGGTCTTGAGACTCCCGGTGGCTACGCAAGCACAGTGCAGCCCGACTATGGCACAGGAGTCGAGACAGCAATCGGAGGAGAGATGGACCTGCGCAAGGAACGTCGCGGCGGCTACGACACGGAAGAGTCGAGTGCTCCTCGCTCCGCCTACACCATCCTTCCCGAGCGACAAGTCCGCGCAGAGGGCTTCTTTGGCAGCGACCGTGTATATGACCTCAAGCAAGCCCAGCGTTCGGGTATGCCAGTGCTTGGTTCCGAAGACGACTCCCGCAAGCGCAAGAAGCCCGGAGACATTGACGTTGCGCTCGACGTGGACTCGCTGCACCAAAACGATGGCATCAGCAAGGACGACCTACGACGCAAGTTCGAGGAGGGCAAGAAGGAGGATGGCATCGGAGCCAAATGGGCTTACGACGACGATCTTAGCGAGATGATTGCACAGGAGAGCCGTAAGCGACAGAAGACGGAGGCCGAGCTGAACGAGAAGAAGAAGCAAGGCAAGTATAGATTTTAATAAAGCTGTCCTTGCAGATCAGGATGAGCTGGATAAGGTTTGGCGGGTGGTGAAGTATGCATGACAAGGAGGAGGGACTGGGTATTGTAAGATGTTGCTGGGCCGGAGCGTGCCTTGGCTGGCGTTTTTGAGAAGTCATTTATGGACAAGAATAGGGCAAATACCATGCTTGTTGAGGTTGTATGGATGGTTTTTGGCCGTGAGTCGTTGGCGAATATCAAACCTCTTTCATGTGGCATTATCACATCTTGATCCATTCCACTTCCCAAGTATATACCTAAGAGCTTTCTATTCATGAGCTCAACTACCATCTTTGTCTGTCCTATTGAAGCCGCTCTTCATTGGCCAACCAAGTTGTAACCCGAGGACCCTGCCGAGTAACGGGAATCTGGTATGAAGTTCGTACCCGAAGGCTGTCACAGTTTCCTATGAACCTTAGCATCTACCGCTTCAGCCGTACAAAGTCTCAATCGAGGGATCTCCAGCCAGTATTCTTGATTTAGGTCGTCGGCAAGATTAGGCCGAGTGTCGCCATCGCCAGTCATATCAAGACCTCCATTCCCATCCTCCCCAAACCCCCACCACACTCATATAAGCGGCCTTCTGAAGTTTTGATTTCTCCAAATCGTAGCCATGCCCAAAATAGCAGCTCAGACATCGCTGAACAATATCAAGGTACTCTTGCTCAAGGTTAACTTCTCAGCCAGCTTTCACACGGTCATCGTGTTTTCGAAGCCCCCCCATTTCTCAATGCCGACGGGGACAACTCCTACGCTCCAGAGGGCCGTGTTATTGATACCAGTACCCAGAAGTTCCTCCTTGGCTGCTTGTGAAAACCCCGTGCTGTTCAGGGCACCACTCCCTACATGGCGTCATTCATTCCCTCCAATTCAGCCTCGACATGTAATGTCCGCAAAGCTGATGAAATTTCGCTGTGCTTCACGAGAAATCACATGTCCCGCAGGCGCCAGCATTCCTTTAGCTAGCGCGTGAAGTGATAAGTGAGAGCTACAATTACGATAGATCGCGCAACTTTTAGACGATTCTCAAAAGAGACAAACTCTCTAGCCGACCTTTTGGGGATGGTATTTAGCGGATATACGTCCTTGGTCTTCCAAGTATGGTCGTCTACAGAGGCAATAGGGTAGAAGCTGTAACGGAAGCACTGTTTGGAATCCACATGTCCTAAACAGGGTAGACTTGATGTCTTGATAGTTGTCGTTAGCTTGCTCAGGTCGAGGCAGACATTAGGAGAGGCCCTTCGCTTAGATCTTTATAAGCCTTGTTGAGTTTCCCCATGGAGAAAGGCAGCTTTATCTTCTTCATTAAATGGGTGACGGTATGGGCTAGTCGCTCCTCTTTGGTTTAGTTTCACCATTAGCTCACAATTTGAACTTCAGGCACTACAAAGTTGAGACACACTTCCTTCTCTCTTTAGTAAGCGCATTAAATCATTAGAGTTGACGGTCTACCTCAGCCAAGGACTCATTCATATCGTTTACCGATTTGACGACATCGTCGTGGTGCTTGCGGAATATATTGCGGAATTTCATAGTCAACTGTTGGGTCTAACAGACCACTTGGCCGAACTAATCGACCCGCGCGCAGTAGCATGCACAGCCAACATTCGGGTTGCTTTAGGAACCGTCTAACAGGTACGAGCAATTCTGTATACAAATGCTTAGGTATTTATTGGGAGGCACGGTGCCACAGAGCCTGAGTAGCCAGATCTTAAGGTGTCGTTTGAGGCCACGAATCCCTTCTTCTGTTTTGAATGCTTTTCAGAACCTGCAAGCTCGATCCAGTCTAGAGAGACATGAGACGACGGATCCAATACACGTGGCGGAAGGAGCGTCTAATGTGGTAGACTGGTACGGGGGTGAACCTGAAGCTGACGATCGAAGTGTGCTCGACCATCTTCGTGCCGCGTGCATATTGACTTTCAAACGATCCCTTACCTCGTATATGGCTAGGGATAGTTCTACTTTGTATGTTCTAAAGAGTCTAGGTCGCAGTCGATATACAATTATTCTCTTGTTACATGCATCTGGTATTTTGATGACGGCTCAATGACCTGATGGTTGGTTCGCGAAATCTCCGGCGATACATTATCGGGTGCTATCGCCAAAGCCCTCGGTCGTCGTATGAATAATACTAGTTTGTCGCATATTGGCACTTGCTTATGTCCCTGGCAGAGTCTTCTACCAAGATTGGTATCAACGCTTCATCTGGACGAACTTATCAACCCAGCTACCCTAGACTCTTGGACCCGAGAATTCTCTACACGCCCAAAACTACGAGAACGGTAGCGACGAGTCTACGATCTTCACTTGAAGCGATTTGGACGGCATAACCGATCGACCAGGAGTTGATACCAGGTACCTGATTGAGCTTGGCTCTCTCATTTGCGCGGCGCCACTTGATTCGAAATCATCACATCCGAATGATGACACTGTCGCGTGCTCACACTCGTCATCTGTCAATCCTACCCTTTAAAATGCTGCCGGGGAGCACAAGAGTTAAACAAAAAGGCCAACTAGTAGAAGCTGACAGGAGTCATGCCACAACGGCCAATATCTGCAGTCAAAAATACGGGCTGAGTTGGGGGGGCTGTTGCATGCGTTCTTTGAGGAAAAGAAACAGTGCGGAACGAACAGAATCACCCGCCCAACTTGCATCTTATCTGGAAGAACTATGCTTGTTTGTGCCAGGGGGATCTACAGGCACTATTGACCTAGATGGCTCGTCATGTATTTCTGATATGACTGGCCCTAGCCTTGTGGAAAATGTGTCATCGAAGGAGGTACGTAAAGCTATCAACCTGAATCTGCGGGGTTGAAGGTCCGAGTCATATCTACACCATACCCCCCACTCTATGCCAACACTGAGACGGAAAACATTACTCATATCCACGGCTAATAGATCCGAAGTAAAAAGAGCTCCTTGTGCAGTGCAGTATCTGCTGCTAGCTATTAACGGTCTATCGGCACGGTCGCCATTCTTTGTACGAGTGCCTAGACTGGGGGAAACCGCCGAGCCTCTCCAATATCAGGGCCTTTTTACTGGCATAGAAAAGAAAGAAGGAAAACTACAGAAGGACTGCATGGATTCCACTCAGTCCGTTTTCGCACTGGTACAGAGCTCGTCGAGGCTCGTTGGCGAGTTCGTTGGATACGGCCACTGCATGACGACATTCGACACAAACGATGAACAAGGCTGGATCGAGCATATCGTGCATGACCACTTGGTCTATAAATTATCCACACACTGCATCTGTTGGTTCTGCGACCATGGAGAGTACAGCACAGAAACAAACTCGACCGTGGCCGTTGGGCGTGCTATGCCACACAGATGCATCATATTGCGAAGTATTTCTGGACTCAAAACTTGACCGTACGGAATATTCGCCCAGACTACTACGTCCTCGACCATCTGGATAGCTGCGGGATTATCAGGGAGGATCTGTTCTATCACGCGGCAGATTTCTAGGCGCCACCGCCAATTCCAAATCTTCATTCGGCGGGCTGACGGCCCTCTCCAAGCGAGATGCGGGAGGCTGAGACGCTCCATGACAGACATGACCATAAGCTAAGGAGGGGTATAGTACCGGTATATAAAGCGTCCTCATTCATATTAATACAAATGGTAGACTGTATATTCTTGGAGAGGAGAACGTACGTACTTCACTTCAATGCCCTCGTCATTCGACCCTGCACCGGCGTACTTCCCAAGCTCACCCAAAAAGTTCACGACAGCACTAACTCTCCTCTCTGCCAATGTTTGTGCTACAGATGGGACCACATCTTCTTCTAACGACACTTCATAAAAATGGCTGTGAAAGCGGAACGGGGACGCCGGCCTAGTGAAGAAAGTGAATGTGGGTTAGACGAGTGAGCACCAGATGGTTTATGGGTCATGATTTATCAGCTAAATACAAATAAAACCGAAAGAAGCGTGCCTGAAAAGGCTAAAATTGGCCCCATTATAGGTACTGGGTTAACACAAGTGACTGTCACGTCGACGTGGGCCGAAATCAATAGAGGCATTGATGCAGCGGGATTTTGGTATTCGTGGGATGCTGCCTAGGCTTAGAGAGGAGACAATGGCCATGTCTAATTGAGACCTGTAGTAACAATATCCGGAAAACATTCGAGAATCCCGGGAGGGAGCTGGACAGCAATTGTAATGCCTGGGAGGATTGAGGCCGTTGCAACAGGCGCTGGAAATAGCGAGGGTGAGGGTTTGCTTTCATTTTTATCTGTAATGATGAGCCCTCAGAGTCAATAACGCCATGGCGACTTTTAATCGAACGGGATCATGAATTCGAAACGACGATAAGTTGATCTGTTTATAGACTGGCCGACTTTCGCCGGTGTCAACTCCTTTGGGGCTCTCCGGCATGGCTGTCAGGCAGCGGGGCATTCGGATCACCGAAGTTGTGTCAAATCTAAGCTCTTGTCCCCCTCGTTTATGAGTAACACGAGCTCTATAAACCGGCTTCACTGGTAATTTAAATTTTGTACCTGTGCCTGGATAACGAACTCAACTTCATCCTATGATGCGCTGCTTCAAGTAACATGTTTCTGCCTATTTGGAAACCTTGCCCCTCCTTCAAGTAAGAATGAATCAAAGCACCCCGCCTTGTCCCAAATTGCAAGAATTTCCAGCAGCCACGCGGATGAGCATGTAAATAGAAATATTGATAGATATAATACAGAGCAGATGCGAAACAACCTGTAGTGTAGAGGCGTCCCGCACGATGTTCCTCTAGTGCGTACGGAAAGCAACCCATCTTCCGTAAACAATTCCCAGAAGCGCCAACAGCTATATAAACCATGCCTTCAATTAGCCCGCCATATTTCCCCATGGTTTTCTTCATTACCCACACCTATCCCGCTCACTTGCCCCTAGAAGTCGCCCCTACGAGCTTCCCACGCTTTCTCCTCGGCCGACCCCTCCATGAATGTGCCACAGCGCGTTGGGAGGGAACAGAGCTAGTCACGTTTCTGACCTTGTGCATCCACGTGGGCCGCTCTCTTAATTTGGCCGCGTCCTCGTTGGCTCCTGATGCCGGCAACTCTCTAGGTGAGCGTCTAATGATTGGTCGGGATGCCTCTGATACCGAAGATGGCTCCTTCTAAGAGGCCTTTCTCGGCTCAGTACACGTGTTGCAGAGCCATGGGGACTGGGTCACGGGAGTAACGGCATTCTCCTGGATACAGTCAGAGTGGTAAAGGCGACGCGAGCAGGCCTAAGAGCATCCAGTTAGCAAAATCCGCGAGAATTTAGATCATCCCAGTACCTTGTTCGAACAAAGAAGCAGCCTGGGTCCAAGAACCGGCAGCTGACACACCGTGCACCCATTTGCACCTCTGCGAATCTGAGAAGCGCGAGGGGATTGTTTTGGCGTGACATCCGCCGTCTGCGCACCGTTGGTGCCATTGGCATGTTCTCTAGCCTTGTGCTTTGTTTTGGTCCGTTCCTCATTAATAAACCCAAAGGCATCATTGACCGTTTTGTCGTCCAGAACATCACGCGCAAACAGCACACTCGTATGCTTCGCGAACTCCGTCATGCGATGCTTGGAGCTCGCCAACCAACAGGCTTGATCCCGAACAAACGAGAGCCAGACACGTGGGAAATACGCGCTCGTGGTAAGACTCTGCTCAAGCATGAAGGCATCCCATTTTCTGACGAATTCCTTCTCAGCTGGCGTTACATCTGAGAACTCTGCTATGCTCTCGCGATGTTTTTGGATCATCCAGGCGTTGTCCTTGATCGCCACTGGCACTTCATCGCCAGGTTTGAGTCGCGCTTTGCTTACCGGGTCGAAGAGGGGCCGACCTGTGTCAGGAATGAGGACTTTTGGCTTTTTAGATTGCTCGGCCTTCCGATCTGCGGGGCTTGCAGCTTTGGACCCAGTCTTCCCAGAGAGTTCCCTGACAGCGGCCGACTTTGTGGGGGAACGAATAGGCTCAGTGTTGTTTTCTGGACCCAGCCTGGAAGTGACCCACGAGTGGTCACCAGCGGCAAAAGTTTCCAGGTTGAACGGCTTTACGGGCGGTCCAAGCTGGTAAGTCCTGGTAGGAGTTGTGGGGGACTCAATACGACTCGAGACTCGAAATTGCGGCCCTTGACTTGTTGTCTCGAACACATAGTCGTACATCGGATGAGCCGTCTCCAAGTGGACTTGCAAATGAGCCACAGACTGGTTATAAGCACCGCAGCTAACGCAGCGATAGAAATCTAGGGAGACGGGCTGATCGGTGGGAAGATAGTATGTTACTCGACCTTCGGAGGCAATAGCCTGCGCAGCCGTTGCCCGCCGCTTTCTCTCCTTCCCTTGCGCCTGATCACTGAGAACCTTGAGGTTGTAGACCTTGTTCTTTGGCCGGGCTCTCAACGACCTACTAGGTGTCTGATCGCCTTCTAGATCGTCTTCTAGCTCGTCTTCGTGGACATGGCCATTGATACCGTTCGGCTCATCATCAAGGTTGGGCTCGAAGCGCCCGGTAGTATAAACTTCCGCATCCGGATCAATCGCGGTAATGCAGGGCATGGAGCCCTTTTCGAGGCGCTTCAAGGCACGAAAGCCTGTTGTCCACCGAAGGTCGACATCCATGACATAATCGGTCTGGCGTGAGGGAGCCTGGGGGTGATAGCCAGCTGTAAGACTAAGAGGATTCTTAATTCTGCCATAGACGTGCGGAAATTCGCTGGACATGACCCAGAGGCGCTTGGGTGAGTCGGATAGAGGCCCTTGATCTCCCACGGGAATGCCGAAATCATGAGACTCGAGAGGCGGCCAGGGCCCATCATTGGTAGCTTCCAATTCGATGACGAGCTTGTATGATTCAGAAAAATCGTGAGCATCGTCGTCGAGCCTGTTTATGAGAATGCTCTCCTCGGGAACGAAGAATGGGTGGGGCAGGTCAATGCGGGCCACCCGATGAGGACCGACGGGGTTCTTGTATGTGGTGATGTCGCAAACTTGGCTCTGACAGTGCAAGACGCGATCCCAGGTTGAGCTCACGTCAAAAATGGTAATGCGACAGCTGCCCTTGGTGGTGAGAATATCGCGCGGCACGACCGAGTTCTGATAGGTCCGGACCTTTTTCGAGTCCTTGTGGAAGACTTTCAGCACCTCAATCCGTAGCGTGGAACGGTTCTCTGAAGAGGCAATTAGGTGGTCGACGTCGAGGGAATCGGGAGACGATAGCCGACGACGCTTCTGGGCTGGTGCGCCATCGTCGTCGACGGAATATGACGCACGGTGCTTGGGGGTGGAGAGTGCCGCGCCCATGGCTGAGTTTTGCAAAGAGCTGACTCCGTTGATCCAGTTCTGCTGGAGAAAGGGGGCCGTCCGCTGGCTGCGTCTTTTCAAGTTCATGGCAGAGGGACGAAGATCATGGGAAATAAGGCGGGTGATGAGATGAGTGAGCAGAGCGCTGGCTGCTGCTACTGAGAGTCATTCAAAGCCGGATGGTGATGGTGCTCATTGTCGAAATTGCGGTGGTGGCGGCCTTGCAAGCCGAAGTGAGAGAAGAGGCGAGCCTGAGATGAGAAGAGAAGAGAAGAGCAGAGCAGAGCAGAGAAAGCAGAAGGCAGGAAGACCAAGGCGTCCCGAAGGCCCAAGCGACAGCGTGGGAACGAAGCCCCAGAGTCGATGAGTTTGGGTGCTGGGTGTCGAGTGTGCTGCGGATGCGGATGCGGGAGTGGATGTGGATGTAAATAATGAGGACAGCGCAGTCGCGTGCGGCAGCCGTCAGAGCCGCTGTTGTTGCCGAGTGACTTTTGGTGCACGGCTTCTCTGACAGGAAATGCGATGCATTCGCGCAGAGCACCAATATCGCATCAAAGGGCCCGATGAGATGGATTGCGTCTGTTGGTGCTGTTGTGCAAGCCGACGCTGGTGGTTGACGATGGGCGCGGCAGCGACGAACAGTGCAGTGAGACGCGTGCCAGTGGCAGGTGAAGGACAGGGAGATTCTATCGCGACTCCAAATGAGGCCTAGCGCGTGAATCAGACCTGGAAGCTGCGCCGGAGGAACCATTCATCATTGGGCAAGGGCGGGCCACTTTCCTTCCTGCAGCGAGCCAGCGCTCCAAAATCCTACGTGATTTATGCCTAAAAGCGGTGGCCCCGCTTGTTTCTACTGCTTTGAAGAATGTCGATGCGACTATCGGGATGCATTGCGCATCATGATGGACCCTCGCAACGGCCATCATGAGATGACATTTTGCTTTGCGCGAGTCAATCACCACCTGGCAAGACCCATTTGATTTTGAGTGGCGGCCTCCCGGGCGAGAACCTCGACCTCTGTAGCAATGTGCATCCCCAAGATGTGATTGCTTTTTTTAATTTCAAAGTCTTCTCAGCGCGCCTTGTCCGACCAAGACTCGATCGAATGTTCTTCGCCTTGCCTTACAAGACTGACCCATGTGTGATTGGCCAAGTTCTGGCCCCACCAATTTGTGTGGGCCACACGCGCGAGGCTGACCCCATTCCCCAGGCACCAAGCTGGATTGTGCCCCTCCGACCCTCCTTCAAATGCAGATGCTCCGTACAACCTCACCACCTTTTTCATAGCTCTTTGTTTGCAGCGCCACCGTGTCCTCGGCCGGAAAAGCAAGACTCAATCCACATGGATACGGGATCGCGATAAGCATCTAACTCGCCTGGTGCCGTTAGTCACTGTCGCCTCAATCCAGGTGCATCGCTTCTCGGCAAGGCAACAGCTGGCCGTTGCCTCCTAGGTATGTGATTCTTCAATATTGCGCCGGCTTGTTTACTCCCGCCCACACACATCGCTTTTGATTCTTCCCAGACCAGGACGACCCTCTGCCTACTGAATTATGCGCTAATGTCATATGTTTCTACCAGGCGCCACGTTGAGATGGCTAGGACACGAGCTGCCGACCACCAGCCTGACGACCATCATGCGACCCGTCGCAATCCGAGCCGAGCATCCCGCACAGAGGAATCCCGTCCACCTCGCGCTTCAACACGGTCGCACCCTCGCATCCACTATAAGGATGAATCTTCGAGCGATGGCGACGAAGTTTCCGACTCATCCCTTCCGAGCGCCGACAATGCGACCGAATCAGACCTAGACAGCGAAGCGGACTCGAGAGGCGGCACTCGTTTTGCGCCTCGTCCTCGCCGACACACCCATCGACCTGCAACAAAACCCCTCGAAAAATGCCATGGAAGTCGTCGCAGTGCACGCCAGGCAGCCATTTCACATTCTCAAACAAGTGAAGCTGCCCCGCAGTCGGTTTCCCCGAGCAAGCCCGCACGCCACCAACGCACGAGGAAACGTTCAAGCGGATCAAACCAAACACCAAATGCCACAAAGAGGCAGCGCACCGTGCCTCAGCAGCTAGAAACCCCTTTACCACAGGGCATCATACCAGATTGGCGTGATCCTCAGGTGCCCTATGGTGCATGGACCGATATCTTCTACTACGCGGCTACAACGGGCGGCCATGATACCCTTGACGTCAACTGGCTGATCAACGCCGCCACAACGTGCAAGGCTTTTTCCGAACCTGCTCTCACAGCCATCTATCGATGCCCGCCAATCACTACTTCCGGTAAGGCAAAACGGCTTGCTGCTCTCCTAGAGCGCTCGCCTTCTGAGACTCGATTTAACTACCACGCCAAAATCGAGTCTATTTACATAGATATTCAAGTCGTACCACAGAGCGTTCTGTTCAAGATTGTTCACCCTTTACCACGGCTCCGGGAGCTTGTATTTTTTACCCAACATGACCAGCCGCCATACAGAGAACTTGATCGCACCGTCAGGTGGCATTATTCGGAGGACATCTTCCGCGCACTCATGCCGTCTACCGCTCAAACAGAGCCTACCGACGAAAAGCCATTTCACACTGCATTGAGGAGTTGGGAGTGGAGCGGAAGGCTTCTAGGAGGACATGGGCCAACCGTCCAGGGCATCACCCAAGTGCACCAAGACCCCTCATTCGCTCACCTCACTAAGTTGAGCTTTACCAATTTCCAAGTTCCATCGTTGTACAAACCACGCCCAAAGCCGGGAGATGAGGAGGGTGAGCTGGAGCTGTACAACGAGGACGGTGCCGTAATCGACTCCATTGCAGAGGCCATTTCACAACTCCAATCCCTTCAACACCTTGTATTCGAGTCGTCCACTGTCATGAACCACCGCTTGCTTCTGCTCCTACCAAAGGACTTGATCCATTTTTCGCTCATCAACTGCTGGGAGGTGAAATCCGACGACTTGGAAGAGTTTCTTCGCACACATGGCAGGAACATTCGCACTCTCACCCTGTCGCATAACCAGTCGCTCGACATGGCGTTTTTGCCAAGCCTGGACGCCTGTCCTAACCTCGAGGAGCTGCGAATGAACCTATCATATTTCCGGCTCCACAACACTTTGTCCCTCGTCAACAATGACTCGGATCCCATGTATGATGTTGCGCTGCTTCCGCATCAAATTCCAAAATGGCCGGCCAGCCTCCGCGTGGTAGATTTCGAGCACATCCGGCATTGGAGTTTGGAAACGGCAGAGATGTTCCTCCACTCACTCATCGATAGTGCCGGGAATTTACCCAATTTACGTCATCTTGCCATCAAGACAATGCTGAACATCCCGTGGAAAGCGCGAGCAGACATGCGCCACCAGTGGCGAAAGAAACTGGACAAGGTCTTCCTCCGCCGCTACGAGCCACCGAGCAATCACACGTCACTGCGAGAGCCACCAGTCGACGAGGCGCCTGCAGCACCCCAAGAAAAGCCCAAGCAGAAGAGGCTCTCCGACCCCCCATCTCGGCGGAGCACCCGGCTCGCTGTCCAAGTCTCCGACTCCGAGTCGCGAAATAGCAGCCACTCTAGAGGTCGACGCAGCCTCGGCAGACCGACCTATCAGGACCCAGAAACTGACGAGGCTGAGTTTGAATCCTCTGATGACGAAGGGAGTGATTCGCCTGCGCCTGTGTCTGGCGACACGGAGTCGCAAAAGCTAGCGGAACGGGCACCCTCATCAGCGAAGCCCGTCATACAGGGCCTCTGTACCACCGTGTCCATTGTTTTCGACAACCAGAAGCCCACGGAGCTACAATATGGCATGGAGGACTTCATGGACGAAGACCGCGCCGAGTCAGACGGTGATTGGGATGGCGACCAGGACGACGACGAAGCCGCCTACGCCTGGTAATCTGCACCAACACGATACCCCAGTACACCCCTTGAAACATCCCGCCCTGTAACTCAAACTCAACACTGGGCTCTTTATTTGTTTTTTACACGCGCTATATGATTATGATATTATCCGCTCACCATGACATATGGATGACGCAGGAATCGGAACCGGAACCGGACATTGGCTCCTGCCGCTGAGGCGGCGAAGGAGGTGAGCGCTTCACTTGCTTACTTGTTTTATCAGGTCATTGCTTGCTTGCCCTGTACATAGCATGAGGGCCTCAAACCCGAGTTCAACTTGTAGCGTATGCGCTTTAGGTGGAATGTGGGAAAAATTCAAACGTTTCGCCTCACGCAAGGTGGTAATCTAAATATCCCGTAATAGGCCAAACACAAGAAGGCTTGGTTTCTTACACTTGAATGCCTGACAAAATAGCACACATGATGACATTTAAGGAGCCATTTCTTTGAGCCTCAAGTGTTGCAATCGTAATTAAATTTGGGACTCGTGGCGCCTTGCGCAGAGGGTATCTCATACCACGACAAATCTACTAACGAAACACTGACACTGCTGCTAATGTACATGTAAAAAACACCGCTGTCCAGTCCAGAGCCATGCGTGCATAAACTATCACTGGCCAACGTAAAGCCGTTGCAATCCCCTGTGCGCCGTATCTCGATTGCTCTCGGTGCTTCGTATCAGCTAGCTGAGGGGACCGTCTTAGAAAGCCGCGCCGCCCATGCCTTCGCCTGCCATGTTCTTCATACTCTTCTCGCTCAGGTCACTGCGCATTTCCCAAGCTCGTGAGTCGCGCTCCAGTCGATCCCAGTTGTACAAGCTCTTACGCAGGCGCTCTTGCTTGGCCTGCAGCTCGTCCCGCAGCTTCTCCTCCTCGTCCTTGAGTTTCCGGTAATGCGGTTCGATCTCTCGGGTCACGCCCAAGACAGAGGGCGTCATCGAGGGATCCAGTTTGCCTCCAGGGATGAGAGGCGGCAACGTTGCGAGCATGCTCTGTGCGAGCGTTTGTCGGGTACTTCCCGGATGTTGGGCTGATGGGCCGGTGGGGGGATTGAAGGGTCGAGTTTGCGTGGGGGTAGATGATGAGGGAGCATTAGAAGGAGTGGCACGTGGGCCGGTGGGAATAATTGAAGGCCCGTTGGGTGTGGAAGGAGTTGGTGAAAGCCCAGACATATGTCTCGGGGGTGGCTGGGTCCATCCACCTCTTCCACCACGAGGTGCGAAACCACCGCGAGCCGGGGGAACGTACCCCCGTGGGCCTGCTGGAGGGTTTGTCGGACTGGTTGTCCCTGATCGAAGTGGCGGAGGAGCTGTGGGCGTCTGAGTCCGCACCAGTGGGGGAGGAGCTGGAGAAGACACCGGTACCGTGTAGTTTCGATTTGCCGCAGGTCCAGTTGGGGGAGCTCTAAGAGCGGCTGGGCCACGCGGTGGTGATCGAGAGGCTGGAGGCGTCGAGTCATATGCTACGGGCCGGGGGGCGTCTCTGGGAGGTGCGGCCCCTGACATGCTGGGGTGGTGGGGAGAATCTTCGCGAGACAAAGCTGGTGGTGACCGGGCCCGAATGGAACTTGGGCGAGGTGACGACCTTCCGGATGCTGACTGAGAGGTAATTGCAGACGATATCCCTGACTCTCTGGGAGGAGAGACTCGCCGATACGACTGGTATCGATCAGCACCCCGCCGGCTTGGGGATCGCGAGCGTGGACGATATGATCCGCCCCCACCAGGTCCTCGAGGTGGCGACCTTCCGGGGGGAGTTCTCTCCCGTCGGTCTCTGTTAAATGGTGATCGAGACCTGCGTCTTTGAAAATTAGCAGTGAGTCGCTAACAAGTTGTGACTCATGCTTACCTGTCGTCACGACGATCAAAATCACGCTCCCTGGTATCGCGAACTCGGTCGCGATCCCATTCTCGCTCTCTTGGCCGTTCTCGTTCACGTTCACGTTCACGATCACGATCCCAGTCCCTCGCTGGGGACCGAGGGCGCTCGTATCTGTCGGCTCGCATGGGAGATGGCCTCCTTGACAAACTACGCCGAGGAGGAGACGGTCTTCTCATGGGAGATCTGCTTCGTTCTCGCCTGCGTGGGCTCTCTCGATCCCTTGACCGCTCTCGTCGATACCGATCACCGCCACTTCTAGACCGTCGGCGTGGCGGATATCTCCCAGGAACGTAGCTGTCAGATCCTGCAGGAGGAGGACTCCGGGGACGTGGACTTCTAGGTCGTGGACTTCTAGCTCTCTCCCTGATTGGGCTGCGGGGTCGTCGAGGTGATCGGTCCCTAGGCGTAGGTCTCCACGACTCTCCAGCGCCATACCTAACGACTTCCCCATCGTCATACCTTTGGCAAGTTAGCGCTAACCCAACAAAGCTGTCTGCATGGTGATGCGTGTATCGGTGCGGTAATTCCAGAGACAAAGTAAACGAAAGACGAAAGGAAACAAAAAGACCCAGTAGGGATCCGGACCGCTGTTGTCGCTTCATAAGGGTTCACCAGGACCAGTCGGATTGCGCTATCGTTTGAAATCACATCCGGCAAGAACCGCTGTCAAGAAAACCAAGCCAAAGCCTCAACACTCGTCAAAAATGCATGTCTTCTGGTCTCTGTTGGCCTTCATCCTCCAGGGATTCGGCTGATGAAACCTGCCACAGCGGGCTAGGGCTGTTGGTCCGTGGTCGTCGTTCTCGTCCCCAGACTTGGGTCATACGCAAGCGGAGTCGGTAAAGAAAATCCTCGGCCGGGTCTTCAAGGTAATGGTTACACGGCCGAATGAATCGTGCGTCCAAGACGAGATCGCCCACTTGCACCCAGGGATGGACGTGCACGAACAGCACGCGTATCCTTTGCTTACAATCCTCGGAGATTTGCTAGACCTCCCAGATCGTCGAGAACTTTTGTTTCTTGTACAACATGAAGTCAATCTTGTGCATTGCCCAGTCGCCATTGCAATTGATCGGGTACTCGAACTGGCATATCTCGAATCTCTTGGGACGGCCTGTCGGGATCATCGTATATAGGTGATGGAGGTTGAGGGCGTAAGGTCGACGTTCTCTTTCGACTATTTCCGGGGCGAAGGCAAGTTCTTTGGTTCCATATTCGACATAGTCATAGTCCACGGAGTCTGGCGGGGATGGGACGAGTTCGCCCAGTTCGGTCCATGTGAGACTGGCTTGGGCCACCAACGCGGTGAAAGAGACATCGTCAGAACCTTCCTCCTGTCCATCCACGGTGTATCTCGGTTCTTCAAGCCAGGGTTGGCTGGCTGTCGCGCCCCGTCTCGATTCGCTTTCGTCGTGTGATGACCTTCGGCCTGGTTCCAACGGTCGAAGCGCGAATGGATGCATCGTGTGGCTTTATTAGGCCGCGGTGCCTCAGTCGTCTCGGTATGTCTGGCTCCAAGATGCCACCCAAAGAGGTTCTAAAGTATGCGCGACCGGTCCAAGGAGGGTAAAAGCGAGTGTTCCGTCCACCACGGCGTAGGATATCGATGATTTCCAGGTTGGTCTGGGAGTGAATGGATGATGATGATGGGAGTGGGCAGAGCAAGAGAACAAAAGAAATCCAGACATTTACTTACCTCCTACCACGATCGCGGTCCATAGTTGCTGTGAATACGCGACAAAGCGGGCGGCAGGTGCCTTGTTCGAGACGATCCTGGCTTCGTGCTGGGTGGGAGAGCGCAAGCACGCGTCCTTGCGACTCCTGTCAGGAGCTTTCCGAGAGGGTAGGTCGGAGATTTTGCATCCCGACCCCCGGATAAGGCGATAAGAGCACAGTGCGTATGACAGCCCCACTAGTTACACACTGTATGCTTCAAAGAGATCATGACATCCAAGCTTGCATCATGGGCAATTTACACAAGTTTGCCAAATACCATCATTAAATCTGACAATACATTCAAAGAGGATGGTATAGATACACTATTTATATATCGTCCGTAAGGAAACGTAACATACGTCTGGAGTCTGTCGATTCCTCCACCCCTAGCCTTCAAAGGCCGCCGGACTTCAACCGCCAACCCCCTATAGCAGCGCAATCCAGGACCTTATCCCTGCAATGATTATGGCTTGTCATCCTCCGTCGAATCGCCAAATGTGTTGTCTGATGCTCTCGCCATGATCCATTCCTGGGCTTCCGTCGCATGTCCCTGCATCATCTTATTGAGGCCGAACATGGGACTCCTCACCACTGTCCCGAACCGTCGCTTGTTGACCTTTCGGGTGAGGTCATGGTCTGACCAACAAGCATGATCGCCTGCAACGTAGACTCGCGAGTTCTCCTTGTACCATGAGGATAGGTCGGTGTCGATATCAGACTTGACAGGTCGTAGGTTACCTGTTACAAAGTTGACCACCCCGGATATACTCGATTTGCAATCTAGAAGAAGTCAGCAAGACGCGTACGCTCAAAGCGAAAGAAATCTTACCTCTGTTAAGTAGCAAAACTTTGACTCCAAGGTATGCGTTTCCGACGCCCATGATGAAAATGTCGTCAGCATCATACAGTTGAAGATAATTATCCCAAAGATAGCAGACCAGCGACTGGATCTGCTCCTGGAGAGCCTTCTCTTTATATGTGGGTATATACGCGTCGGAATCCTAAATTGTCAGAAACGGGCCACTGATATGCATCGGGATACCTACTTCTTCATGTGTAATGTACGCAGGTACGTTGATGTCCATTACCCCAAATTTCTGGCCAACAGCCCAATCGATGTACTCAGTCACTCCATCGACCTAGATTCATTAGCCTCTCGTGAATCAAAACAGACGGGTTTAAACACTTACCACCCAAGCATTGTGCGGCTCAAGAGTTGTGTCGATAACATCTGGCTGCGCGAGAAGTTGGGGCCTGAAAAGAGGTTAGCAAGTAGAGCCCATAGGCATGAATTACTATCTTACGGGTCGTGGATAATCACGAGGATCCTTTTCGCATCGTGTAGATTGGGCGTGACCAAAACCTGGTTCTCAAACGATTTGTAAATCTGATCTCGCTGCACGTATAGGGGGACCATGCTATGCTTGGCCTGCAGGACTTGTCGTTGCGCATTCCGGATGACGTCGTGGAGGCGGTTCGCGTTGAGCGTCTGAACTTCAGGAATATTGATGACTCCAGGTCGCATACATTCCCAATATGGAGCTTGGTGTGCCTGGACCTTGGCTAGTATGCGCGCGGCCTCCTTGTTGATCTTGGGAATCTCCATCTTTGGTGGAGGTTCACCCATCAGGGTTCTCGCTACGGCAACCGCAGAATTGGAGATGGCCTTGAGGTTGTAGCCGCCTTCCAAACACACCGCGACCTTGCCGTCTGCGAGCGACATCAACATGTGAGTCATGTGGGCGTAGCAACCAGGCGAGACAAAGCAGCCTCCTAGCTCGTCACCATCTGCAGCATCGAAGCCTGCAGAAATCACGACGAGGTCTGGGTTGAACTCCTTGGCGACTGGCATAACAATCTTCTGGAAAGCTGCCATGTACTCTCCATCACCCATCCCCTGATCGTGCCAGCCAATGTTGATGTTCTTGCCGAGTCCAGGGCCACTACCACAGTTCTCGATTCCACCATCGGGTGTCATGGGATTCGGGGGCTTGCCCGGGTAGAAGATGCCGTTTTGGTATACATGGAGTGAGATGTAGAGGACGTTGGGATCCTGGTAGAAGATGTTCTGAACACCATTGCCGTGGTGCACATCCCAGTCCAGCACTAGAACCTTCCGACAGATATCTGGATAGTCCTGCTGGCAGACCCTGACGGCCACGGGAACGTTGTTGAAGAAGCAGAACCCCATAGGGGCATCAAACTCAGCGTGATGTCCTGGAGGGCGGATCACAGCGAAAGCGTTCTTGACCTGTCCCGTAACGACATTCTTGCACGTTTCGATGGCACCTCCAGCCGAGAGCACGGCTGCTGGGTAGGACATGCTGCCGACGTAAAGAGACTCGCGACCCTGGTCGTACTGCCTTGTGAGCTCTCGTAGCTCGGTTGTGCTCATGTTTTCCAGGCTCTCAACCCAACTTAGGTGGTCAGGGGAATGGGCGAGACAGATTTCTGCTCTTGTTGCCGGGCGAGCAGGTATCCGCCACATGTATCTTGTCGGGCATTCTTTAATGATCCTGGCAAGCTCCGATGCTGGGCCGGTGTATACGAGACCCATCTTCTTAAAAGCTTTAAAGATCTCGTGGATTCGGCGAGGATCCTCAGGATGATGGGTATTTGGACTGAAGTCGGCGTTCATGTGGAGTTTCATGCGATCATCGTAGCAAACGCCCGTTGGGAGTAGGCCACGCCGTCGCATTTGTTCCATAGATAAGTCTTGAGGCTCCGGGTCGCTGTCTGCATCATAGCTACCCTCCTCGGATGCAGTGTCGTCGTCGTCGATACCGTTGCTACCACCCCCGGAGAGCCCGTTGGGAGCGTCGGCATCATTCATGGGATGATCCTCGCTATCCATTGGGACATTGACTTCCATGATCGGCTGGAGTGAGATTCCTTACTGAGGAACGAGTAGGACCAGGGGTGATGCAGTAGCCACGCAAAGGAGAACGGCTGGGTTTCACAAGCACCGTTCGCCGGTGTCAGTGTCTGGACTAAGGTTAGGATATGGGTAGTGTGAGGATGAGTAGATGCGAGACAGCAAACAAGTAGAGGAGGGTATAAAGCATAAGAAGTGTGAAGATAATGTGTTGTCAACTATGAGACCCCATGTTTATGTACGGAGCGCTGCTGAGGATGGGTCTCATTGAGCCAGCACCATAAAGACGCGCGAAGAAAGTGTGAACAACCAGTGTGAACAACAAGTGAGAAGCAGGCACAAAGAAAAGGCCGGAGCTCTGAAGAAAGAAGCAGCTGGCGGGCCAAAAAAAAACAACAGGAACACGAGTAAAAGCGCACCAACTTACCGAGTCGAGCAGAAGCTCCCTCCCCAGGGTCCGGATAGAAGCCAGTGGACCAGGATGGCGCGATGAATGAGGAGCCAGCGCAAGACCCAGGGCGCTTCAGGCGATCAACGCATATGAGAGGCCTTGCAGTTGAGAGACGGGCGAGATTCAGCGCAGTTGGGCGGGCGTCGCAGCGTCCTGGAGAGCAACAGAGGGCGAGGCGCGCAGGAGTGTGGATTGGCCTGAGCCTACCTATCTCTAAGTTGGATGCGAAGGTGAGGCTCGGTGGTCGAGGTTGGCTTTGGTGGGCTGGCCTAGGTGCTGCTGGCCAGTGATATGGGCCGCCGCTCTTAGTGGGCAACCCCCGCTGGCTTTGTGCTGAGCGTTAGCACAGGGGAGCCGCTAATTAATCCACCACCACCACCACCATAGCACATGATCGCCCACAGACCATCACATCTCTCCCTCGCCTTGTATAAAACAAGGGATGTCAGGAATTGGTGTAACGCCACTGGAAGCCAATGTTAAGATTGTGTCTCTTAGTGCGCTTGAGTCACTTGGCGCCCAGTTTGGATGGCAGACGAGCCTTCTGGGCTTCCATCCCCCGTCCTCGCTTGGGATCGACTAGATAAGATTCACTGAACAAACGGCAACGTTGCGTGTCTCTAATATAAGTCAATCTGAGAGACCATAGCCGAAGCTCCAATATTCTAAATCTACCTATACCCTTCGGGAACACTACAATCTTCCAGCACCATGAGCTCAACAAAGGAACTAACACCATTGCAACACAAGCCTCAGCGCACCGAAGGCACCATAAACCGTCCGTCCGTCCAGTTCTGGTGTTGAGGCTCTTCCAAGTACGATCCGTCATCTCCTCGAGGCGAATACTGCGAAAAGGACCGGACATATCTGACGCCTGGCGGCAGAGATCCATCCGGCCTAGCATCACCACAAAACGTCAGACGTTCACCGTCGCGCTCATCGTCAAAGTCTATGACTCCGCCGCTGCCATCCTCTGCTAGACTTGGCATCCTGTCCAGCCATTGTCGCTCGTCCAAGGCACATCGAATGGCAATCTGGATAGATTCCTGGTCCAAGGTAAAGTTGGGGTGGTGCAGGCTCGCCTCGGTGATCAGTCGTTTGCGAGGATAGCTGTAGATATTTTCGAACAGATGCATCAGCTCCTTGGGGCCCAGCTTTGCATACGTCTTGACAATACGACCCCAGCGGCTTTGGTCATTCCAACCCGTCATCAACGACTGAGGACGATCAACGGTGTCAATAAGTGGTAGACCCCAAGTGTCCTGGATGCCATGTTAGTAGTTGACTTGATAGAGTCTCAGATTGAACTTACATCTTGCTGATAAGGGTCGAGACGAGGACAGAGGTAGTGCAAAACTACATCTTTCATCGTCTCAACCAAGTCCATCAGCTCCAACAGCTCGCTCGTAGAGTGGCATCGCATTTGGCTCGTCCGAATGTCGTCCACATACGGTTCTGGAAGCCCGACCCTCGGTCTTGGCAGCTCGCCGTGGAAGTAGAAGCCGTATAGCCACCACCTGTAAAAGGCTCTGCGGAATCTCTCTGCTTCATGGGGTCGGAGGAGTCTGCAATTTTCCGACTCGTGGAACCATCTCATCTGGGGAAACCGTTCCTCCCATCTGTGCACAAGTTGGCAGTATTTGAGGAGAGGTCCAAAGTCACGTTCGGTCAAAATAACCGTCTTAAGACCTGGGTTGAGAGACGTGTTGGGCTTTCGTAGTTTGACAATAGGTGTAAAGCCCACCCGAGATTTTGCAGCTTCCATAGGCCAGTTTTCCGATCGTGGAGCAAGCACAGTTCCAATATCCCCAGCATGACGCTGAAAGACAATCCTGCGGGGTGCATACAGCCCTCCCGGTGACTCCAAGTCACTCTCGGAGGCAGTGTAAACTTGCAAAAGCTCATCGAGCGGACTAAAGTCTCGAGACAGAACCGGAAGTAATATTGATGCTTTTCCTTCCGTAAATAGGTTGAAGAACGTCCTGTGTGCGGCAGCAAAGTTGAAGATACCATCCAGATCGAGCTGGTGGTAGATGTCGAGGAGAATCTCAACGGGGAGCCCCGTCAAGCAGTGTGTTTCAGATGTAGGTGAAGCCATTTTGGTTGTGTTTATGAAAGGGGGGGGACAAATGGGGTTGACGGAAAAAGTTGGGAAAATGGATATGATCCTAGGGTGACGAGTGATGGCCTCTGGGTTCAGTAGAAACAAAGGAGACAACACGAGAGTTTGCGTTGCTCCTTGTTTGCTAAATTTGACAGGTTCTCTGTGTGAGGTATCAGAAGCCGAGGACCGCCACTGCGAAGGGATCTGGATGATGTTAGCTTGGTAGGTACCAAGGCAGACAGAAAAGAGACAAAGATACGTACCAAATTTAAGTGTCATTTTGGTGTATGATAGGGACCGAAAGGTCAGTGGATTAGTGTCTGGAGTGAACCAAACGGGTAACGTCCAATGAGTCGCTTTGATATGATATCAAAGTACGCGTGGTATTAGACGGCGGATGCCCGAGGTGCCTGAAATGACAGGTGCCGGGTTATTCTTCACGGCTGGCCGTAAAGAATGGGTGGAGGAAGGATGAGATGAGAGCGCCAAAAGCTCCCTTGAAGCCTCACGGTGTCGACTGTTGCGTCACCAAGAAGCGATTAACACTGGTGGCTTACTGACCGGCCACCCCGGCGTTGGGGCTTGAAAGAGTGCAGGAAATGCGCTGCGGCATCAATTGAAAGGAACAGTCTGCATCCATTGCGGTGGACAAAATCATCGCGATTCCAGCTATGCTTGGACGATGTCGCAGATGAGATCGAAGGTACAAGTTGGAGGAAAGGGGCTATGACTGACACGTCGAGAGAGCAGGTTGGTCTGAGTCGCGTTTGATACCAAATCGCCGAACATTTGCCGGTCACCGGGCCAAATGATGATGCAACTGATAGCGGAGTTGTGCATTTCGGTGAACTAGGATAACTTATCAGAGAGTAGCATAAAACCATTCGCAATAAAACAAGCGAAAATTCCTTTTATGAACGGCACTACATAATCCCCATGAACTCCTACACCCGTCCCGGTTTTAGAGGCATAGAAAGCCAGAGTATCGACAGGTATCACAAAGTCTAAGCGAACAGCATCTTGGTATCCAGCTCGCTCTTAGCCACCCGGGGTCCCTTGGTTCGCAGTCCTAGATCGCCCTTCCTGGACAACCGGCCTACGGTCTGCTCAGCGCGAGCATTGTGTCGCGAGGCCTTGCCCTTTCGAATCTCTGATCGCACCTGGTTTGGCGACACGAACTCCTTGTTCTCGTAGATGATGGGGCCACCGAACGATCCCTCCTGGATGACAATAGGCGTAAGGACGAACCGGGGACCGATCTCGACCAGGTTAACATCCGTATCCTTGCCTGCCACCCTCGACTTGTGAGATTTGTCCTCCTCGTCATCGCCCCTTGAAGGCTCCACCTCGTTGATCTGATAGTTTCGTACCCAGATCTTGCCGTCGGCGAAACTGAATCCCATGACGTGGTCAATGAAAGGCTTCGATTTGCGGGCGCCCTCGGGAACGCCAAAGGTGTGAAGGAAGAGCTCCTTAATGACTCGGAGATGAGGTTGCTTCTCGAAGGCAGCGTCGAACGACAGGATCGGTCTTGAGCCCTTCAAGCAGTTGCCTGTGAAGTGTAGCTCCTCCATGGTGTGCACTGGTTGTACGTTAGCACTCTGAGATTGGCCTGGGAGGTCGCTTGTTCTCACAGTTCTGGAGGTGGAACTTGATAGTAGGGCCGTTAGGGACCTTGCTGAGCCACACGTAAAGATCCTTTCCCTTTCGCGCCTCGAAGAAGAGGACGTTGTTGCAGTTGTAGAGTTCGGCCAACTCGTTGAGCTCGTAGAGCTTCGTCTTGGAATCGAACTTGGCATCCTTTCGGCTGTGAGGAAGCATCGAGGCGATATCGTTCAAGAGATGGCGGTGTCTATGCGGCAAGGTTCACGTTAGACAAATGCGCTCGACCAAGCCGCGTGCAAGATTTCTTACCGGTAGGTGACACCTCTGGAGGAGAGGATCAAGACCCTCTGCTTGTTCTTCTTGACGCCATTGCTGGGCGCATCGGGCTTGGTCGCACTCGACTTGGAAATGGATTTGTATACGGCCGCCATTGTGTGCAGAGAAGTGTTGCCGCTGGGTTGTTGCAGTCTTCGCAAAGAGTGTAAAACAATGGCTGGACTGGCTTTGCGGCGATGGCGGGCAGGTTTCCAAAAAATTTGGTCGGCAGCGGATTTTCTCCGCTGCGATAAGCTCCAGCGTCGTTCTTATCGTGGTAAGTGGAGCCGCCGTCGACACCGCTAGACAGCACAGATGCCACTCACCAAGATCGCTGAATCGAGGTCAAGACCCAGGCGGGAGGCCCGGTATGTGGCCCGAAACTTGCAGGGAGAGTCCATTGGAGATGCTACAAGTGATGGAAGCTGCAAATGCGACTGGCGCCACCACGCCGGGCATTCCTCTCTGAGTGTGTTTGTTGAGAGCCTTGAGCGAGGGGTCTGTACTAAGTGCCTCTCAACCCAACGGAGACCACTGCAAGTCAACAGAATGCAGGCAGGTACATGTGAATGAGCATTAAAGGATTCATTTCAGCTACGTAAGATGACCATGTCGCAGCGATCGTTGGACGCATCAACCCAGACAACCATCATGACAAACAAGAACAAAGGAAAGCCGAAGTAACCGCGCCTTCTGATATCAAAAAAGGCGTATCACGATTCCTCGTCTCCTCGAGTCTCTCCTTATGTGACGAGCATCTCCGGGGAACAAACGAGACGCCTGGTATCCCACCCCCAAGCCCTATAAACCGTTGCGAAGCGGTCCCCGAAGAGAACTTAACAGCACTTTCCACCCGACGCCGACTCATCATCGGCGGGCTTGCTGAGCGAGATGTTGGTGCCAGCACCAATCGTGGCCTGGGCACTGTCGCCGCTGTCGAGCGCCTTGCTGGATACGATTCGGTAGATTTCTGCGTGGGATCGTCAATATCAGGTCCAGGCCCAGGTAGCAGGGGTTTTGGACCAGGGGCGACGTACCGGTCAAGATGTTCTGGAATGCAAGCTCGACATTGCTGGCGTCGAGAGCAGAAGTCTCGATAAAGGACAGGTGGTTCTCGCCTGCGAGTACGAAGATTAGCAAAAGAATTCCCATCAATGCACGCGAATGTGCATAGACGCATGCATGCGCGCCAAGTAGACGCACTAGCAAAGGACTTGGCCTCCTCAGTTGGGACAGCTCTCAGGTGTCTCAAATCGCTCTTGTTTCCAACCAGCATAATGACGATGTTGGCATCAGCGTGATCCCGCAGTTCCTTGAGCCATCGCGTGACATTCTCGTAGGTCTGGTGCTTGCTGATGTCGTAAACGAGCAAGGCTCCCACAGCGCCGCGGTAGTAGGCGGAGGTAATGGCGCGGTATCGCTCCTGGCCGGCGGTATCCCAGATCTGGGCCTTGATCGTCTTGGAGTCGACTTGGATGGACCTGGTGGCGAACTCGACACCGATGGTCGACTTGGAGTCGAGGTTGAACTCGTTTCGAGTGAATCGGCTGAGAAGGTTGGATTTTCCGACTCCAGAGTCTCCGATCAACACGACTGCAGGTTCGAAGGAGTCAGTAAGAGGTCGGCGCTGCGCGGGTCGCTGGGGTTAGGTGGTGTCCTAGGGGGTGGGTGACGGCACCTTTGAAGAGGAACTACACAGGGGAACTGGTCAGCAACGCGGTGGGAGACGAGGGGGGCGCATGAGGGGGTAGGGCACGCACATCATACTCGTCGTTGGCCATGGTAGCGATGGATGGCTTCAGCGAAGTCGTCGGGAGGATGAGAGTGAGGGCGAAGGCGCTGCGCTGGAGGCGAGGGAGTCGACGTAGATGATGTGTGGGATGTGGAGAGGGAGAGAATGCGCGGCTCTGGCGATAGGCGGTCGTTGTGCCTTATCCCGTGTCGAGGGGTAAGGTTACGGTGTACTTGGTACAGTTGAAATGGCAGCCCGGTGGAGGGAATGCAAGCTGGCCCAAAAAAATAGCAGCACCCGGAGCTTGGAACTCCCGATACGGACGGCGCCCCCCAGGCAACGACAAAAAGGACGGACGGCCTTGTGATTATCATTGAATGACAGCTACCTAGGAGCAGGCTCCAATTATAGATGTGATCATGTAGACAATCCAATCCCGTCAGCGATGCGCTTTCCCGCCGAGGAGGGATTATCAATGTCCCCAAATGCAAATCCCCGACCGCGACGGAATTGAGGAGCACTCCATACCTACCTAAGGTGGGTAGCATTCCCCTCTACGCCTCCCACGGAGCTCTGTGGTGACAACACATGTGCTACTGTAGGTGGTGCTGTAATTAGGTGGCACCCACTAGAGCCAATGGCCTGCGCCAGTTGCCATCCAGGGTCGATCCCACCACGCGGTGAATACGCCGTTGGCCCCCCCTCCTTCAAGTATCAAGTACTTGCAGACCTACAAGGGAGGTGAGGGAGGCACCCAAGCACCCTTGAACCCGCCTAACGCAAGCCCACACAGCCGCCTTGCACTGGCGCCCTCCACTGCTTGTAACCTGGCAATAACTGCAACCTCCGGTTCCATGAGCACATCCATTGAAGGTACGAACCTCGTTGGCCTAGCCCATGCCCTGGAGACCATGGCTGGCACCGAATGCGACCGTTTTGACAGCTGCCTAAGTGGCTCCAAATTTAGGGGCGAGGCGCCAAAGAAGGCGTCGCTAATCAGCACAAGCGGTCCATACGTGTCTAACCTTACCTGGCTGGATATTATCTGACGGTTACAGCCCTTAATTACGAAGTTACCCCGGCCGTTTAACCCGTTTCCAAGCAGCCAGAAGCAAATATCATAGAGCCGCTCGTACTGCACCACGCTGATCTAGAAGCTGCCGAGCATTCGACTCAGTGAATCACGTCGCTAGGTGCAGCCCGACACTGACCTCTCGTCACAGAGCCACACATCACGTGCCGTCGCGTGAGAAACGCACCTGCCCTCAGCGCGAAGAAGGAAACTGCAGGGGCAACAACAAGGGGAAACTTCACGCTTCCTTTCGCCAACAACAACATCACTCTCATAGTGGTAATCACCTTCATCCGGTCGCCGTCTCAAAACCCCACGTTGTCATTCCCATTAGCTCATCATTCGCCTCTTGTTCTTACTCTTCACCCAAACTCACGCAACGCACGCCACGGAGCAAAGACAAGACGCACTTCTCCGTTTCACTCGTCCCGTTTCTTATCGAGATTCCTCGCGGCAATCGAGAACAACTCTCACTGGCCCCGATCACAGTCCCTGCCAACCCGGCCAACCCAACTACCTGGGTACGGCAGGGTGACTACGCTTGGTAGTGAACGTCTGGTCATGGGGATGACTTATCGACGTGTGTGACCATCTTGGCTTGAACAGCACCTCGCCTCGGTCCTTTTTTTTGTCATCCCGCCAGGTGTAGCAGCCACGTCTTGGTACGCTGTGCCAGTCGCATTCAGCAATAACCCAAGCCACGGACGTCGGGCTATCTATTACCAGGGATAGTTAATTTCTGGCCGTTTTAATTTTTCGTTTCCATCAACCGCAATGAGCAACTCACCCGCTGAGTCCATGGATATGGATGAACAGAATGAAGCGGATTCAGTCACGTCAACAATTGAGGAGGAGCCTGACTCCGACCAGGAATGGCTAGTCAACGATGTCCTTGCGGAAGGGGAAGTAGACGGGACGACAAAATATCTCATCGATTGGCAAGGCTACCCTCTCTGGGAAGCTTCATGGGAGCCGAAGGAGAACCTCGGCGACATCATGCTAGCAGACTGGGAAGAGAGTAAAAAGAAGGAGGGCCATCAGCGCAAATCAAGGCAGAGCATCACTGCTTGGAGAGAGGCCGTTGTGGCCAGGCTCTACGGCAAAATGGAGCGCCACGAGAAACGAAATCTCAAGCGTGCGGAACGAGGCCTCGAGCTGTCTGTGTACGAGAAGTCTCTGGAAGATTATCTAGCGGACCTTGAAAGGGACCCCAAGGGGGAAGAAGAGATTGAAGATCAAAAGGTCGCCTCTACACCGAACACCAAAAATCCACCACCCAGCCGGCGCGGGTCTTTGGAGAACTCTTCTCAACGTCAACTTACGGCCTTGGATGGCCAGGCGCCCAAAAAGACCCCAACGAAATCACCGAATCGTGGGGTTTCCGACCCGGACTCAACCAGGCGATTCTCTGGCACCGCTGCAGGTGCTCGTGAAGCACCTTCCAAGCCGGTGGTAAAGTCAACACTCAGGTCCAAGCTAGGCCCTTACAAATCAAAGGAGCCGCCAAAGGAGCTTAAAGCAAATCCCCCCCAGCCGGTTATTCGTGAGGCATCCAGCGGCAATAACAATGTTTTTGCGGGTGGCAAAGTAAGAAAGAAAAGGCCTACCCTCCTCGATGCTGCCGTGGATCCAAACAAGAAACCACAGCTCCTGAATTCTCACCTTATGAGAAAGCTTGAGAAAGGATTCCGCGACAAGGAAGGAACCACGGCCCCCCCGAAGCCACCGCCCAGCGTCTTCCACCTCAATCCTGCGGAAAGAGAACTACTTAGTGAGAAGGCGGCATCAAGGCTTGATCCAATCACTAGCAGCACTCCGGAAGAAATGCAGATTCAAGATGCACAACAACCCGATTCCGATGGCCGCCCGGTGGGGGAGTCAGGGAAAGCTTCTTCAACGGGCGTGAAGAAAAAGAAGAAGTCGGTGCGTTGGGGTGACGAGCCGGATGTCCAACCACCAGCAGAACCGGAACCTGAAGCAAGTCTTTTCATCAATGATGCATTACCTGAATCGTCCGCTGCTGGTTTTCGGGTTGAACGGGACACCATGCAGCCCAAAGAAGAAATCAGCGAGCAGTCTCCGGCGCTCTCAAGTATACCGCCGCCGCCCGTCGCCACGACTCTCTCGCCCCATGGTAATGATGGCGTGTACCTAGACACTCCACATGTAACTAGAGACGCGAGATTCGGCCCCAATGCTACGGCTTCTATCCCGCTTTCATTCCACGGGACTCCCGAAGAAAGTATGCAACATTGGCCGTCTAAGCTAGAAGGCTCAGAAACGTTGGTCTTCACACATGCCTGCACCGGTAGAGACTTTTGGACCCAAGCTGCTTCAAGACCGCTATTCAGGGGTGTCGTGACTAGCTGCGACAATGCCGCCAGTCTCACAGACATCTCAGAACGGCTCAAGGTTTGGTCCTTCGGTATACTCTGCCACTTGGGTGAGCTTTGCATCCTACTGCATCCTTCAAAGTGTGAGGAGTGGGAATTGCCAACCCAATCCGATAGCATAAGCTCCTTGAAATTCATCATCTTTGAGGCTCCTAAGTTCTTGGAAGCTTCTTCCCTTGCCCCTATCCCATCATATCTTGATCTTGATCATGGTGGTGAAGACCTACCTCCGGGCATACGGGCAGCCCTCTTCCAGCGGGTTTTCGGTTTCGAATACAGCCGACTTCTCCCTGCAAGGCTGCAGAACACCACCACCAAACAATCTTTCTTCCTCGCCTTCTCACGATCTGCTGCTCCTGCGAGCCTGCTCCTCTCCCGCTGGCTCCGGGCCTGTAATGGGGACTGCAAAATTCATAGCAGTCTTTACCCTGGGCAATGGTCTCATTTTACGACCCTAGATGCGGGGGTTGTTATCATTGATGAAGACGCAGCATATTCTATTCGGCTGTTTCCTGGGCTCAACAACCTCCTCAATTCAAAATCAGACAGGTTTAGGTTTTGGATTTTCTCAAAATCTTTGAGAACACCGACACTTGTACCTCATGGGTCAGATTCATTTGCAGAACTTGGGGCTATCCGTCTCCAGCCAGTTCTTGAGTTTGGAACCGCGATCTTGGTGACACCCAGCTTCCTTGTTTCTCAGCCTCAACAAGCTTGTGTGCTCCTGAAGTGGCTTTGGCAGAGCAGCAGCAAAGGCAATATCGACCGTTACCAGCGAGCTCGACTTGTGATGTGTGCTGGGATTGCTGACTGGCTGTATGAGCTAGCGATCGAAAAGGCCGAGAAGGAACAATCAGCCACCTCAGCTAGAGTGCAAAAACACGGGGCAATCAACCATGACGCAGTCACGGCCATGTTTAAGACGTGGCAAATCGTGACAAAGTTTGTCAATGAGCCTGAGCATCCGAGCCCGCTGATATTCGCTCCTGAATCTATTAATGGAAATGATGAGCAGAGTTTGGTCAACTGGTTTGGGTGGTGGTCTGTCATGAACATGAACCAATTCCGAAAGTTCACCGTCCTCGGGTCAAGCGATTGCGTTCGTGCTCCAGAAAGGCTCTCTCGGCATATTAAGCGCCCCAAATTTTCACCATCAACAACGGACGACCCAGATGAGATACACATCCAACATGACCACGAAGAACAACTCAAGCATTCCACAGACCGACAAGAGACGACTGGTCAGTCCGGTCCCGAGCAATTGACTGCACCCCGAATGACCTTGAGCAACCAATCAAGAGATCTCACGGATTTTCTTGACTATCTTATTGGCAGAGTCGGCAAATGGTGTCCTATCGAGCTCTATAAATTCCCAGTTTCCTATTGGCACCGTGACATGGCATATCACTTCGGGGATTACCAGTCTCTGTTCATGACCTACTATAAATGCTTCAACTGGCTCACGCCCTTTGAGGAAGTTGGTTTCTCACAGCGCAACACCATGGCGGCACTGTTCTACACAATCGAAGGGCCATGGGATCAAGCCCTATATCCTCAAGGCAGCATGCCACCTCGCCGCCCCTGGTTTGTAATGCACCGGCCTGTGAACGTCCACAAGAAACCCTGGCACGAGTCCGAGTTGCTCATATGGGATCCAACACCAAATGAGAGGTTCATCCGCAACGAAGTGTACGAGAGCGATCTCATCGAGGCGCAGCGCGAAATGATTCAGTTCTATGACGAGCAGAATGCGATCAAAAACCCAAATCAACCCATAATGAAAGTATGGATTGCAGGATTCAACATCCCGTCGAATGAATTGACCGCCGACCCAATGGATGTGACCCTTTCTTACTTGGAGAGGTTCGCTCAAGATCCCAAGTTCTGGCTACCTGCTCCAGACGCTGCACTGCCGGTGAGGGGCTGGAAGATGGTCAAGCCCGGAACTGCGCCTGTGACGCCAACCCCTCGGTCACCATCGCCGGATCACATGGACATTGATGATCCAGATGAACCAGATGAACCGGAGCAAGAGGATGGGCGGATGACGACCATCTTCCACCCGCCGCGGGGACTCAACCTACTGGGCTCGACGAAATGTCAGAACCGGCTGTATCAACACACAAGGGAGTCACTTCGGAGAGTGCGGGGCAGTGCTGAGTATCACATGCAATACAACTTCCGACCGACGACAGCCTGGTATCGGGAGCAACAGGCAGAACACAGAGGTTTCGAACACGTTACCGTCATGACTTGGCAGGTCCTCTTTAGGCGCTACAACTTACCAGACCCTGAGGCGGAGTGATATGGAGCAGGTTAGGAGAGAGAGGCTTGTCAGGATGTGCTGGTTTAGGTGTCTGTCATTTTCACACTTGAGTGTAGATGAAGGGTATATTGTGCATAGTACAAAGAGTGCCCAGAATAGTTGTACAAATAAATCTCCCGTCCTACGTGACCAAGGAGCGTGTATATCCAGTCCCCATACCATCCCTCGTTCACCTTGCGGTCGGAGGGAAATTCCGGGTGCTCAGAAGCACGCCCTTCACTCGTCGAATGTTATCTCTGACCTTGCGGATCTCGTCTTCGGGTTCAGGCTTGCGTGACCGGCCGTATAGGTCATAGGTGCTGGCTGATTGGCCCGTGTACGTCAAGGAGTCGAGGTCATCGCGTAGGACGTCAACCAGCGTCTTGATACCATCCATGCCCTCGCTTTCGGACCGGAACTCATCCTTCAGACCCGACAAGGTCTTGGTTAGTCCAGCAAGCCGGTCGGCCTGCTTCTTTGTAGTTGACTCGCCACCGGCATCCTTATTCTTAGCCATCGTCACAGTACTCAGGGGTGGTGACGTCTGAGTGCCCATGTCGCGGTGGAACATTTCTGTGGGATCCTCGGCCTCACTCTCGTCATCGCCTGCGCCAGAGGTACCGGTGGCCTGTTTCTTAACAGGCGGCACTTCGGAAACGGTCTTCTCGAGTTTGGAGACCAAGGCGTCGAGGTTGTGGACGGTGGTCTCGTGGAATTCGGCGCGGGCTTCCGTCTGGGCGTCGACCATGGGGCCCAGGACGTACTTGCCCGTGCCATAAACGAGGGTCGATAGACCGACGACGCCGTAGAGAGTGTTGAGGAGGCGTTCGGTTGTGACAAGGGGCGGAGGGCGGGCGGGCTTGGCGAGGAACTCGGGGTAGGTTACGATCGGGGCGCGGTCGGTTTGCGGTTGGGAGAGGGTCGGCGTAGAGGTTTGGGTGGACATGGACTGTGAGGGTGGTTGTGCGATGGCGACTTCTTGTATGGGGTTATCCTAGCGAGAGGTTAGTCAATGTATTGAGTCATAGTGAGGTTACGAGTGTACCTCTGAAGCAGTGGGAGTCGGCTCGTCGCCGAGGAGTGTCTTGATGCCGACATCGTCGATGCCCTTGGTCTTCAGGAACGCGACCTTCTTGTCCCAGGGCGCATCGCGCACAGCCTCGTCATCAAGGAACTTGCGCGCAACTTCAAGGCTGTCCTCCTCTGGCACAGAAGCCGTAACCTCCGTCTCAGGCTGGGTTTCGACCTCGGCCTGGGTCTGGGTCTCGGTCTCAGTCTCCGTCGCAGTGGGCGATGACGCTGCTGCAGTGGGTTCGTTCTCCTCGGGGTTGGCGCGTTGCCAGCTCGGCACGCTGGGCTTGTCTGGTCTCGATTCTGAGTCGCTCATGTTGAAGTACGGCCTGCGATTCAGTCACAATCGATCCGAGACTCGGGAAATCACATTAATAAGTGAATGGGAGAGGGACGGGTGTGTTTGGATCGTAGAGATGTCCGATGTCGTGGCGGCTAAGGTTCGGGATGACATGTGCCTCGGTAGAATCGGAGGCGGCGCCGGGAAACGGTCGCGTGAGGCGGATGAGGTTGGGGAATTTATGCGGCGGCAGGTACAGGCAGTACCTACCTTATGCTTGATTCATGTTACCAATTAATATCATATAATTTATAATTCATCCAATGTTACAATTCATTCGAGGCAGATCAACTTTGTAAACGTTGAGGGACTCTGGTGGTAAGCAACATCCGCCGCCACAGGTCTGCCCGTTTGAAACGGTAGAACCCCGGAGTTGAGGTCCGTGAGAGCCAGCCTCGGTGTGTAACGGTGGCATGGCTCGGTCCACCGTCCACCGTTCCATGAGCGGCCACCTCAGCCAGCCAACCTCTCTGGATAACTAGATTGATTCAATTGCTAGGGAGCAAACACCATTTACGTGAGGATTCAAACACGCCAATCCCTTCATTCCGCCATCCCCCCAGTCGCTTCTCACCACAGACGGGCAGCTCCACTCTCACGCCAGTGGCAATCGCACAAGCAAAGCACCTGTCAGCAGCCCTCTCAGCCTCGTCTTGCGAAAACAGAGAGTGGTCATTTCATTTTCGGGGGGCCAGCCAGCCAACCAGATCGATCATCAACCCAGCATTCACCTTCGCGCTTCACAGCCTCTGGCCTCTCACCGAGCACACAGCTGAAGCGGGGACCGACTGCGTGTGAGCGCGCGCAGGCTTGTCCCTTTTGCGCTGTTCCGAGTTGGCAGCGTGGGACTGCGGCAGCACGTAGGAGGCTAGAATCCGGATCCAGCGCAGCGCCGCAGGCCAACCGCCAGCCCCGTGTTTCTCATCGACGCCAGATTTGCTTTGCAATTGGTAAAGGGGTCTGCAGTCAGTCTTGCCGCAGATCGACCTGCTCGGGTCATCATAGCTGCGCGAGGGCTGTGTGACAAGCGACTGAGAGCCGACGACCAACCGTCTGACCCCCCAACAACGCCAACACCGACGCCGTGTACCTTTTGCCTGCCCGTGCCATTGTGACAGGTAAGTTGTGGCATTTTCTTGTCCTACCATTTGCCCTACCTTCCCATCATTTTCTTTCAGCCTCTGCCTCGCTCGCTGATCTTCACTTCCCTCCACATCCCTCCTCCCGTTGCCACCCGCCGCCGTCGTCATCGCTGCACCCGGCTCTACTCAACTTGGATCTGAGTGAGTCGGCGTGTTGGATGAGCGACTGAGCAACAGCGATTGAGTGGATCGTCTGTCGTTGATTGGGCGCGCGCGATTGACGACGAGTACGCAATCGCTGGGTCAGTGGCTCGAAGACGGGTCCCCTGGTATCTCGGCGTTGGATCCTTGATATCCCGTATGCCTTGCATTGATAGCAGACGGCGGACGAACTCTGCCGGACCCTCCGCTTGAGGACGCATCCTTGTCGTGGCACCAAGCCCGTCTGACTGCGCGAATCCCCTCGCGAGACGTATCTCTCTGTACTTTGTACCTGAGGACTCATTCGTGGCTTGTTTGGCGACGGGACGTGTCACCAGCCTCGCGTCTTTGCATCTTGCATCTTACATCTTCCACCTTCCATCTTGGCCTTGTGTCTTCTGGCGACGTCTGCTTGCCAATCCGTGGATTGCCATTGACATCAGACCTGGCACTGCACCATACCAATTCTGTCTTTGCCTATGCCCTCTACACTTCACCTTGGCCTTTTACCCGTTGCTTCACTTTCTTTCTGCCTCCCTTGGCGAACAGCGCAGTTGGCTGCTGAGCCTTCCACCGGCCAAGCTTATTTCAACCTCTCCCCAAGCTCCTTTTCCGCCATTACTCCTTCCCACTCAACCGTTTAATATTCCCCCGCCCGGCTCCAGCTACCCGTTCACTATCTCGGAACCATCTCAAAGGACTCACCACCAGCCCAAATTCCCATTATCGCTCCCTCTGAAATTCTCGCACCTTCATCATTCCCCCTTCCCCAAATAGAGCTGCCAAGCCCCGCCAGTGCGGAGACTTACTATGGCTTCGCGACCGCGCCGCTCCGCCGCTGCAAAGGCCAATGAGGTCATTTCCATTCACGCCAGATTGGCTGACTCCCCAGAAAGAGGCGAACCAAGCACCATGTCTTCCAGACGTACCTCGGGTCGCGCCTCGGGCGCCTCCCGCGACACCCACCGAAACATGACTGTCAAAGTTTCCAACAACAATCTGCGCCAGTCGACTCGTGGAGGGCGCGCCTTTGAGGGTGGCGAGATTGTTGAGGGCAAGCGAAATCGTGGAGCTAGGAAGAGCTATGTTGTCGACTCGAGCCCCGAAGAGGATGATGAGGAAGAAGAGGAGGATGAGATTGAGGTAGAGGAGGACGAGGATGATGATATGGACGAAGATGCCGAAGGGGAAGACGAGATTGACATGGACGCCGAGGGTGAAGAAGACGCTGAGGGCGATATCGAGATGGACATGGCTCCACCGCCTCCTACTATCAAAGTCTCTAAGCCTTCTAGGTCTAAGCCGGCACCCAGGGCATCTGCACTTAAGGTGGTGCCTGATGACGAAGACGACGACGACGACGATGATGATGACCTCAGTGATCCTGCCGATAGCGACATGGGCGATCACACTATGGGCATGGATGAGACCATGGTCGATGACGAAGACGCTGAGGGCGAAGAAATCGAAGTTGCTGGTGAAGAAGTCGACGATGATGAGGAGGAAGAGGCCGACAGCGATGAAGAAGGCAGCCAAGACGACGAGGTGGATATGACCAAGCTCACCAAGCGCCAGCGAGCGCGTTTCGAGGAGGAGCCCCAGCAGTACATGAAGCTGTCTGATGGTATGTCACATCCATTCCCCAGAGTTTGTACCAAATCAGACACTAAACTTTATCACAGAGGTCCAAGCGAAGAAGGTCTTTACAGCTGAAGAGCTATCTATGCGGCGACAAGAAATGGCACGCCGACGCCGCAATCTTAGTGAGAAGCGAACAGAAGAAGTCAAGGTACGGATGCTTCCCACAAACACCAACCTCAGTGGAAATATAGGTTGCAAATTGCTAACTCGCTATCACAGATGGAAACCATCAACAAGCTACTCAAGAAACAGGCACCTAAAGTCAACCGCAAGGCCGCAGCTGCTGCCGGCGAACTCGTCGACGGCTTTCCGAAGCCCGATGCTGTTTTCGTGCGGTGGGTCAGCAACAAGAACGGTGTTCGCGTGGCGGTGCCCGGTGAGATTGCGCAAGGTCCTGCGGGAGTCGTCTTTGGTGGCCCTCGTGGGCTACCGTCGGGCAAGATGGTGGAGGAGGTTGCTTGAGAGTGGGCCTTGGTATAGGCAGAACGTGTTGACAGGCCGATACGGACATGGTGAAATTGCCAGGTCCACGAGCCTTGCAGCACTTGCACAGTGCAACGGATTTACTAGGTCGCTGGGAGATGGCAGGATGGGAGTTGAAGTGCATTCTTAATTATTTATCTCAATTTCGTACGGCACGCTTTGGTACCGGGTAGACAGATGCATATCGGCTTCGGAATTCCAAAAGATCAAATGAATTTCATATTCAATGCAGCACACCTCAACAGAAATGGCCACCCGGAGATTGTAATCATTAGCAGTCGCAGGTAAATGCCGTGGCTTGCTACATGTCTTGGGGACGAGGGTAGCCTTGCTGGTTGATGGTGTTGTTCAAACCTGCTGCTGCATAATTGCAACAAACCCAACGAAATTGTTCTATAGTGGAGGCAGTAGCCGACAACGCCGCCGTTGGCCAACCCCGTTGCGACTATTGGAACCGTTGTCACCGAAATCACTGTGCTTGCCCTGGTGCACCTGCAGACCGCTGCTTTGCAAAAACCAGTGCAGTTGTGGTTGGTGGGGTGTGGTGAGGACGAGAGGCCCGAGAGCGTTGCATCATTTTCGACCGAAGGAGTAGAACCGTCAGACAATTCACGAATTTGCACAAAGAGGAGGATACAAATAAGACGATACGGTTTTTTTTTGTAAATAGCAGCCGTTGGTGTAATTGTTGGATGAATCAATGCCGCTGAATTTGCCTCCAGCTGTTGTGCTTCAGCCGCCTTCTCCCTAATTTTTCCTCAACATCCTCAACATCATCATCTCACCACGATGCCGTTCCTCACAAACACCCAAGAGGCTCCCAAGGAGCCTCTATTGAATTGAGCCAAGAAAACAAACACTGTTGGAAATTTTTTCAAACGATTACCATGAGCGCGTTTGACATTGGCGCCCATTGGGTGCAAAGTGGGCTGCGATGCGCCTCAACCTCACTTTCACCTCACTTCTCACCTCGACCTCACTTTTCCCAGCCCTGTTGGCCGCACCCGGCTGCAGAATTTTTTTTGGACGTTAAGTTTCGTTCTCACTTTGGAATTCACCTCTCGACTTTCTTCGTTCCTCCACACTTGTCACCAATTCTTCGTGTGTCGACGTCTTCATTCCAATTCCAAGAACACGTCTACTCTCGTCTATACCACATCTCTTCATACTCTCTTACACTCTCCCCGTGAGATACTGCACCATCGCTGCAATCAAGACTTACGACTTCGGTTGTGTCCTTGAAGCATCTTTGAGGCGGGCCTCTTCGGGCACAGAACCACCACCTTCTTGTCTTTCAGACTTCATTTCTCCAATCCACTCCGTTCCACAGAAAGCTTCATCTTCCTGATTCCTTCTTCTCTTATACTATACCGACATCGTCTTCTGGTTAAATATCAGACTCACCACCTTACCGTTTCAACTTGAACCACTTCCCCTTTCCGACATTGTTCATCTCGCAATGGAGAATATCAAGTTCGGCTTCGCCGAAGGCGAGGACCACAATGATCAGGGCTCTGGCCAGGGAGCCACCTATGACTTTATTTTCAACGGCGGCTTCCAGTCCGGAAATATGCTAGGCAATGACACCAGCTTCGACGACCTTCTGAACGGACGGTTGAACGCGCAGGCCGTTGAGGTAAGTGATCTGAGCAATGCCCTGACTTGCCGTCATCACCGCGAGGTGAATTGAGCTGAGCTGACCGTGTCGCACAGAACGGATTTGAGCAGCAGCAAATTGACGATAGTTTCCTATTTCCCTCTCCTCCTGCTCATACCCGACAGGAGCGAGCTGCTACACCCAACCTCTTCGACAATGTTGACATGTTGGATCCCGCCAACTTCTTCAGCGCTCCGATCCCCGGCGCTGAGAAGCCGCTGGGATCTGTCGAGAACTTGGGCAACGAGTTCCAGCTGGATGCTAACCTCGATCTTGACAACTGGTTTCCCGGCGAGAAACCGAATGAGGCTGCTGTCGCAGTGAGTATTTCCCCATTGCCATTTTCAGAATCTGACGAGAAACTGACAACTGTCAAGGGCACTTCTGATCACTCCCCCGACGGTCAGATTGTTGACAACCAGCAGCAGGAGATTGCTCCTGTCGAAGTGACTACTTCCCAATTTGTGGCTTCACAATCCGACGAGAAACTGGCAATTCCAAAGGACGCTTCTGATCACTCCTCCAACGATCTCGTCTTGGACAACCAGCAGCAGCAGATTGCTCCTATTCAGGTGAGTATTTCCCAAATTTCAACTTCGCAATCTGACGAGAAACTGACTATTTCCCAGAACATTGAATCTCAGTCCGTCGAGGAGCGGCTTATGCAGCTTCAGGCTATGTCTATGGACTTGAACATGAACATGAACATGAACATGGACATGGACTTGAACATGGACATGGACACGCAGTCGCTCGCTGCTGTTCAAGTTGCTGCTACCCCGGCCTTGGCCTCAGCTTCAGCTCAGAACCAGCTGTACCAGCCTGGTGACCAGTTCCAGCAGTTCCAGGCTCCTCAACAGGTCCAACAGCAGGCGGACATGACTACCCCAGCGTCTCCTGTTCAGGCTCCTGTTCAGGCTCCTGTTCAGGCTCCTCGCCAGGTTCAGCAGTTCCAGGCTCCTCGCCAGATCAAGCAGCAGGTGAACACTTCTGCCATTGTTCCTCCTGCCCAGGCTCCTCGCCAGGTCCAACAGGCGAACATGACTTTCACTGCTCCTGTTCGGGCTCCTAGCCAGGTTCAGAAGGCTCAGCAGCAGGCGAACATGACTTTCACTCCTCCTGTCCAGACTACTCGTCGGGCTCAGAAAGTCCAGCCTTCTCCTCAAGTTCAACCGGTCCGGGCTGCTCGTCAGGTCCCGCAGCCTCAGAACTCTCGCCAGATCCAGCGAGCTCAGCAGCAGGTGAATAATACTCCCGTTCCTCCTACTTGTATGCAGACTTACCACCACCAGATCCAGCAGAACACTGCTACTCCTGCCCAGGCCCCTGTCACTGCTCCCATTCGAAACCAGCAGACGGCCCGAAAGCAAGCTGCCCAGCTGGGTGCTCACCGTCTTGGTCATGACCATCAGGCGGAGCAGTACCCTGCTCTGCAGCACTATCAGGCTATGCAGCAGTACCACCATATGCCGCAATATCAGGCTATGCAGCCGTATGCCTCTCCCTATCTGAGCATGAGCATGGGCATGAACATACCCCTCCCTGCCAATGGCTACACCCACAACCAGTTCTCTGCCAGTGTGGCCCCTAACAACCTCACCGGTACTCAGATGCCATCCCCTATGCCGCCTAACAAGACACCCCTCCAGACCCCTGCCTTCGAGCAGCCTCTGAAAGTTCGTCGTCGTCGCAGCAATGCGTCTTCGGCCAACGTTTCTTCGGTCACTACGTCCTCCAGCAATGCGTCTTCAGCTAATACTTCTTCGGTCACTGCGTCCTCCAAGACTGCGTCTTCAGCCAATGCCTCTTCGGCCACTGCGCCCCCCAACATGGTTGCTGATACCTCTGACAATTCCGCTACTGAGAATGCCGGCTCAGTGAGATCGGCGTCCGGTGACTTCCCATATATGGGCGTCGTCTCGGACAATGATAGCCCTGGAGATGGCAAGGCTTCCTTCATTCCCCTTCGTTGCTCGCTTCCAAAGCTAATACTTTTCATAGATCCTACCAACGGCGTCGGGGCTGAAACGGCCCAGATTGCATTCACCCCACAGACTGCTATTCCAGCTACTGCTACTCCAGCTTCTGCTCAGGCCCCTCGCCGAACTCCGCGCCAGGTTCCTCAGGAAGCTCAGATGCATGCTCCTACCCAGGCTGTCCAGCAGCAGCCTCACCGTGCTGTTCTACCTCCCCAGCAAACTCGCATTCCTCAGCTTCCTCGTGCTTACCAGCCTGTCGCAGGTCCTCAGCATGTTCAGCAAGCTCAGATGCCTACTCGCACTCCTCAACCTCCTACTAACACTATCCAATTCCAACCTATTGTCACTCCCGAGACAATCCGGCGATCTCAGCAGTATGAGCTCGCTCCTCTGGTTGTCCCCAAGAGTCGGGCTCGAAGTGTTCAGCCACAGCCACCTCAGAAACCTCCTCAAGTTGAGCAAGCTGACACCTTCATCCAGGCCAGTGGATCTGACTCCTCTTTCGCGAACAACACTCAGGTGAACGGTGATGACCAGGAGCAGGAAGACCTGGCTCTCAGTGATTCTGCTACTACACTTACTGAACTGACCAACAACACTTCGGATGGCACGTCGTCTGAACTCACCGAGGCCGATGCTGACCAGAAGAACAACACCTCACCCAGCAAATCCCCTGCGACCATCGACGGCTAGATGCCTGAGACTGTCAACCAGGTCTGGGAGGAAGGTCTCCGCCGAGCCTTTCTCAAAGGTTTCAGCATGGCCCAAGGCGCGCTCCTCACTTCCATGCTTGGTGACCTTCAGCAGAATGGATCCATCTTCGACTGCAAGATGCCGCTTCCTCCCGGCATGAGTATCCTCGACTTCGCCTCAAAGGTTGGCACCACTCTTCAGCTTCACGCTAACTTTGATCCCGAGAGGGAGCCCACGACCATCGCGCGCTCCATCATCGCCTCTCTGACCAAGGAGCAAGCCCCCCTGTTCGAGGCTGCTAAATCCAACAAGAAGAACACTTCTGATGAAGGCACTCTTCCCAAGGGTAAGCGTGCTGCTGACGGTGATGAGGCGACACCAGCGCCTGCTGCTAAGAAGGCCAGAAAGACCAAGACGTCTGTTGGTGACGGCCAGGTGTCCGCAGCTGCCACCGCCTCTAAGAATACCCCCAAGATCACCAAGAAGAACACCCAGCCCAAGTCCAAGGCTGCGACTGGACATGTCAACCCTACCACCAACGCGTTTGGTAACATCAACAACATGGCCCAGAACTCGGCGCCTTATGCGCCCAAGCGCAAGACCATCTCCGACGAGGCTGACACTCATCCTGCCAAGCGAACCACTCTTCCTCAGCCTTCCGCACAGGCTGACAATGGCATGAGCCAGATGTTGACTCCCCCAGAGTCGGGCTTCATCCAGCAGACCCAAGTTTCCAACGTGAACCATCAAGCTGCCATGGCGGCCAACACTGGAAACATCTTCTATTCCAACAATGGCTTGGCTTTCCCAATCCCCCAGCTCAACCTGGACGAGCCCATCCCCATGACCCAGCCAATTGTTGGTCAGTCGGCTTCCGCTGCCACTCTGCCTCAAATCGGACTTCAGAATGGAACCACATCGACCTCGCCCCAGGATGTCACCGATGTCGAGGCCTAGGCTGCCACGAACACCGTTGACCTGACTGCTTCTCCGTCTCAGGAGCAGATCAAGCAGAACGATCCCGAAATTTCCCAGACTACTACTTCTCAAGACAGTGATGACATGGTGTCTCTCTTTGGAGAGGAACCTGATGAGGCCGACCATGCTCAGCAGAAGCAAGATCCCAACCAGCACCGTATGAACGAACTCATCCGTATCGACAACAGTCTGCCCTTGAGCCTCATCAGTGCCTTCATCAACCCTCAACACGATTCCCCTTACTCCGCCATTCAAGCAATCGTGGCTGTTGGGGACTTCAGTGACCAGAGCTACCTCCTGTTCGATGAGAGCTACCGTGCTACTGCCAAGAAGGAGTACGACGCGGAAGCCCGTCGCAGCTTCAACATCAACGAGACTGACAAGCCCGAGTGGGATCCAGTGGCTCGCAACGCCGAGAAGCGAGTTCGCAAGAAGAAGCAGCTTGCTGAGGAGCAACAGTCGGTGCAGCCCACACCTGCGATGCAGGAAGCCGATCACGGCCAAGGTGTTCAGAACGAACAGGTCGAGTATGACCGTCTGCTTGAGTTGGAGATGGTAGAGGCACTCACGTGGGATGACTTGACTCGAACCAACAACGCAGTCTGAGTCGGCATGTAACAGGACATGCGATAACTCGAAACAACAACGGACATGGTTTTGTGGTATTGAATTTTGCACACGGGGTTTAGGAATTGAGACTTTGGCTTTGAGAGGTTTTATGGTGGATAGAGGCATTTGAAGATGAGATGAAGCTTCTGGCGCACAAGGCTCACACAGAAACAATTTGCTTTGATGTTTTCATAAGGAACAAGTACATTAAGGGAAGGGAACAGGCCCAAATGAGAATAAACAACACTTTGCTTCATTTTACTTACGAGGTCTCCAACTGTGATTGTAAATGTGCTTGTGCTTGTGTTTGTGCTGTGCTTGTGCCTTGATCAGTACCGGAGGCAATGTGCTGGGCCATGGCCTAATACGATCCATTGCCAACAAGGTGAAGGTGAAGGTGAAGCTGAGAAGCAACTGTAGCTGGGACTGGCATAGGTAGGTAGGTAGAGGAGGTACGTTAGCCAAGGCCACAATGTTCCACCCAAGTGACAGGTGTCAATCGCTTGGCAGGAGCTAAAGACCGAAGGAACACCGTAGCAAGCACCACAGTGACTGCGCGGCGTTCAATGGCAAGAGCGACAAGAATGGACGCCCCTGCCAACGTTGCCGCATCGTCAGGCTGCATGGACGGGAAGGTTCGATGGGCGATGGCGGGGAATTGCATGAGGGAGCCGAGCCCGCTGGAGCTTCCCACAGGAGCTTCCGCTCGGACCCTGCACCGAAGCGCGCTGGCTGCTGCATGCCCCCCGCAGTCGTGACGGATCCTCAACTGGGGATACCGCTGTGGACCCATCCGCTCCCCATCCAAAGCCTGCCTCCATCACCAAGACTGGGCCCTCAATTCAGCGGGTCGTCAGCCTGGGACAAAGTGTTAGGCTAAGTAAGTGCTAGGCTAAGCAAGTGCGGAAATGCGCTGTCGTGGAGTGCGGTCCCGATACGCAACTGGGATGATGCGCAGCGGCTCCAGATGGTCTGTCTAGAAATCTGAGCAGATGGCGTGCAAAAGGGGGTTGGCGATGGGGCAGCATCCCCTCTCTCTCCACCGGCGTCTGAGATTGCACAAGGGGCGGTGGACTTTATGCTCTCCCGTAACGTGATGGGGTAATCCAATCCACTCCGGGGTAGCCTCTATCTATCTATCTCGTGAATCTGGATAGGCGATAATGGTGGACAGATTCTTGGAGGTATCTACAGGCTACAGGCACTTAGAACCTCGCCCAGTACCGGCGACTCTTCCGCCCCCAAGGAGTGGCAGACTGGGTGCCGCGATAGCCGATGTGTTGCCCTTTGAAGCGCCGTTGGTGGTGATTGCACTGGTGCCCGAAAAGTTACACACACTCTCACACTCGCAGCGGCCAGGGCGTCTAGAGCGCTGCACCGATGCAGCCAAAGACATGCAGTGCAGGGCAGCAGCGCAGGTGCCGTCAGTTTGCAAGCTGCAGAAGGGGAGCGGCGCCGTCCGCGGACCGGGGGTGGCGTGAAGTGGAATGGCGTGGCGAAAAGGTGAGGCGAACAGGTCAGTTGCCATGACACGTGATAGCATCATGATGGCTGTCTTCCTCTCGTCTCTTTCCCCGCCTCACCGCATCGCATGAGCAAGAAGCCGGCTCGGGAGCGGGTCGGATTCCCGAGGTGACAGGTTTGGGGTCCAGGCGTGGTCATCGAGCCGAGCTGTGCCGTCGCCCTGGTTGCTAATCCGAGGTTCTAAACCCCTGCCAGTGAGGCAACGGACAGTGCGATGCGTTGTCTGGGGTCAAGGTACAGAGTACAGCATGGAATCACTTAAGTTACAGGGCAGCATACTATCCATCTGTGTCCTGTGTCACATATTCACCATGTCAATAGCAACTGGCGAGTTGGGGGGAGCCGGCCGGGGTGGGCAGCACATGGTGCTTGCGGGCGTGGTTGGGTGGGTTTCTAGTGGTGGTGCATGGTGTCCGGCGGATGATCGCCGTTTGTCAGGCATTTACATGATCGAGACTGCGGATTGGAGACCACACAAATCTAGACCCGGGATAAGAGAATTTGTAGTGGAGGCATGGCAATGAGAAATGGCCGGGGGAACCTGGGCCAAGATAAAGGCAGGTTCTGGGGAAGGGGGAACCTTGTTGAAGTGGTCCAAGGTCCTTGGGGAAGCCATCTGAACGGTGAACCATTTGGGTGGTGTAGGAGTCAAGTCTCCGCCTTGTTGGTGGACCTCATCACCTATTTCCAGAGTGTCAACGAGAGGAACTCTCTGACCAGCTTTCCCAGCCGTGTGAATAGTAAGCGTGTAACCGTCTAGTGGGCTGTTTTTCGTTTAGAATAATCCGGGACACTAGGCTATGGGGTATGGGGAGATGGAGAAGACACAGATGATGGGTGACGAGTGACGGATGAATGACATCTGATTCTCCATGTGACGTATCCGACCAACAATGCGACCAGCGAGCAGCGGTCGACTGCGACTTACAGGACTGGCTGACAGAGTCCAACACCAATAGAGCTGCAAAAACTGTACAGACAGGCGGAGAGCAGGGGAGGGAGAAGCGACAGCTCGCTGCAGCTAGGACTGTAGCAAGTACATTAGGCGTTTCCCTTAGCCCTGTAAGTACCTAGGTGCAGATGGGGTGCATTCAATGCAATTCGTTTCTGTTCTGGTCGAAGCGTCGGGTGAGTTTTCGCGCTCGCGTAGCGGAGGCGGAAGATCCTCCAGGATTGTTCCGCACAGCGAGACCGAGACGCTGTTCTAGGGCCTGTAGGGAGCGAAGTGGGTGGTGGACCGCTCGGGGGAGCTGCTGGGAGCGCTGCTAGGGACCACCTGGGGCCCACCAGCCTGGGGGAATAAGCCTGGCGGCTGACTCGTCAGCGGCCAATGAGGATGGCCAATTGGGCGCCCCGGCTTTTACACCCTGGGCGGTTGGATCTCTGGCGGGCTTGGAGGTGGCTGGTGCGCACCCAACTCGCACACAACCCAGCGCTTTTTCTGATCTCTTGACTCCTCTGACTTTGTCGTCGTGTGTGTGCGATGTGAGTCGCTGTTTCGCTGCTGGCGATCAGGAAGTGGCGCTGTCCGGTGCGGTACAGTCACACGACTGCCCTCGTTCCCCTCTCCGGCTCCACCCCAGGACCAGTAGTCTGTACTACGCGACATGCCTAGTACGTTTGTAACGGGAGGGAGTTTGCGAATACTGCCTATTGGATGGAGGATGGAAAGTACCGTGTACTCGTCGCACCGATGCCGTGCCGCAAGCCATGTCTCTCGACGGTTGTGCCGGATCAAGACGTGGAATATCGGATGGCCGATGCTAGACGGCTGGGGGGCAGCTGGCGCGTGCCGGATCCAGAAGTGTGCATGGCATTATGCCCGGCAGAACTGATGATGTGCCTCACCGCCCTGGCTGGCGCTGGCTGGATGCTTCTCCCCACCGGCCCGTCCACGCAAGGCAAGGTGAAGGTGAAGATAGATGCGGATGTGGAGCCGGCCAGAGGTCTGCGACTGGAGTACCGGTACTGGTGACCTGAGCAAGGCCTGAGTCGAGTCCAGTCAGTCCTTGCTTGACCCTGCCTGGGGCCTTTCTTTGGCTTGGCGTGCTTGACGTTCCCCTCCCTGAGCTAAAATTTGTTCCGTGCGCGCACAGCACAGCACAACAGCACATGCAACCAGCGAGAATCATCATTCCGCTTCCCGCCTCCCGCCTCCTCGCACATCTCGCTCCTTGCCATCTCGTCTCGCGCCAGGCCAGGCCAGCAACACAGCAGCTCGCTCAGACTAGGCCAGCCAGGCCCAGGCCCGTCCGATCCTAGCTCGTTTCCCTGGGCTCCCAGGTTTCCCAGGTTTTGTTCGCGGCCCCCGAGTACCCTGTACATTGGCGCTCAACTGACTCCTCGTCGTCGCAGAGTCACCACCAATCCAACCAGTCCACCAGTCCACCACCATGTCGTTGTCGCCGCCGCCGCCGCCGTCGCCGCCCATGTCCCCCGACGCTCCATCTGTCGTCGGATCCGTCCGTGGCCGCGACCAGCTGATGGAGACGACTGAGTTCGGGCCTCTATCTGGTACGTAGGCTCCTTTTGTTAGTCCTTTCTCAGCCTTTGGCTTTCGTTGATCATACTTTCGCCTCCTTGCTTCCCTTTATCTCTTCCCGTCCTTTTCATTTCTTTTCTCCCTCCCCATCCACCACGAAGCCGTCCATCTGCATCCGTCGTCCCCTCCCACCTAGTACCTCGGGTGGATTGGATTGGATCATCACTGGAACGGGGCTACACACGCACGCACGTACATACAGTGAGACACAGACACAGATACAGGCAGACTTCCAAAAGGGAACATTACCCCCAGCTAGGGTTCTGTCTTACCTTGTCTTGCGCCGTCTTAGCTGTGTTGGTTTCGATCTTGTCTCAATTCTATCCCGCCTCTTTCCTGTCTTTGTCTCTCGCAATTGCACTTGGACTCGGCCACGGCGCCGCCGATCATGTCTTGAGTGAGCCCATCCCATCTCTTCCCCTACTATTTTGCCTATCCCCCCTCTGCCTTCTCCCAATCCTGGCCTTGCTTGCATCTGCTTGCCTTGTGCCTTGCTTTTATCTGCCCGCCCAGCCTTACCCCAGCCCATTGCTCGTTCTCTTCCCGCGCCCCTCCGACGTCGCTTTACATGCTCGACGTCACATCGCGCGTGCAACCATACACGAGACACTGCCAGACACACCACACTCGGAGCTGCCTCTCTCAACGCCACCTCCACCTCAATAACAACACCACCACCTCCTTCTGTACCGTCCATTTACCCACCACCACATATATACCTTCCCTCGTACCACAGACACCGCCCGAGACTCTTGCCCTGCTCCTGCAACACCAACAGCGTTCCGCTCGTTTTACCACCAATACTTGTCTATACGTCGTACATCTCAATCATATCATCATCACTAACGAGTAACGAAGTACTACCCCAGGCGACATCCAATCCCGACATCATACCACCACCAACCGTGCATCCCCTTCTCCAGGCCGGCCCCCCGCATTCTCGCTCAGCGACTGCCCCCACAGCTCCTATTCCAATTCCTAAGCCAACATCCTACCTTGGCCTCACCTCACGGGCTTTAAAAGCCCCAACCCAACCCGCCATGATCTTCTCCGACATTTATAGGAGCCCGCGATCTCCTATTGCAAAGCTTCGTCACCAGTCCATCCAACTTTCTACGCCATTGTCCGCTGTAACTCCGGATTGGGTCGGTGAAGAGCATGCCGATCTATTGAGTAAGGACAAGACCAAGCAGAAGGAGGCGGTCAAGCGATATCTGGAGACCAAGGTCAAGAACGATTGGGACTTCCAATGGCCATCCCGGGTCGCAAAGCCGATCCCAGACAATAACATCCCCGACGACACAATTACTACTCCAACAGGCCAAGCAACTACCGTCGATGCCATCCAGCCTACCAAACCCGTTCAGGATGAAACGAAAGATGACACCGGCTACCAAGTTGACGACGATGACGACGCCAACTCTGCAGATGAGAGCGACGCGGAATCCATTTACAGCACGGTCTCTGAAGATCCAGTAAACTACCGCCCCCGCACGGAGTGGACCTCGGACCTCTCCGACGACGAACCTCTTCCCTCCCGTTCACCTTTTCGCTTCGATAGCCCAGGCACTGTTGGGCCAACCGTGCAAGCCGCCATTTTGGCCAAGCAAGCCAAACGCCGGAGAGCCGTGCGAAAGGAGGTGGAATGGAATGAAGGTTTGGCCTGCTTCGAAGCTAGGCGCAAGGCATGGACAGGCGCTCGCACGGTTCGCATCCGCACCAAGCCTGTCTCTCCCCCTTCTGTTTCTCCACGCTCCCCACGCCGCTTCTTCTTTCGTCGCTCAATGTCTAGCTCACCGCCGAGCTCCACAGTCTCGTCCACTCACCCACCGGGTGGCAGCGATGGCTCCGACGCCTCCTCCTTGGCAAAGGGCGACGAGAAGGAGCTGCAGAAGCAGCAGTCTAAGGATACAAGCCCGCCAACGCCTCCATCGAGCCAGAACTACCCAGTCGAGACGCTCATCCCCATTGCGCCACCCCTGCTACCCCCCAACAACCCGCTTCGCGCATCCATCACACCATCCGTCTATCTCAGTCTCTACGACAAGGTCATCATCCACAATCTACAGCCCTCATGTCCCATCAACCTCTCTGACATGCTCCGTGCCTGTGTTACCGGCTGGAAGCGAGACGGTGAATGGCCTCCTCGTGCTACTGTCGCAGTTCCTGCTTCCGTGGTCCGCAAGAAGAAGAAGCCAACTCCGCCGCCGCAGGAGAATTCGGGCAACGTCGCCCGCCGTATGAGCTTTGGATTGCTCGGGCGCGATAAAGATGAAGAGTCGGCTCCCGCCAAGATATTTCGACGCAGCCTTCATAAGGCACTTGGTATTGCGAACTATGGGGCCCAAGACGTCCCAGCGGCAGAGAAGCCCAAGTAGGACTGAATAATGGGCCATGATACAATGACAATTTCACGATTATGATTGGATGGGCAGGCTACCAAGTATGCCTTTGACCATGACGCAAGGCGCAAGGCATTCGGGTTTTACGGCACATCGGGGGCGCGCATGTGGCAGCGTGGGTTTCTTTACTCATCTCTGTGCCAAACATCCATCTCTATGAAAAAGGTGGTGTTTGTTCTTGGCGTTGTATATACCCCATCACCTGGATTACATAGCCGGGCCTAGAATTATATTGCTCTAGTCCGTTATCTGTAGCGGCGCGAATGATAATTCGATATAGCATTTCATTGAAGACCTGAATTGGGTGGTGCGATTCTATACAGGGGATTGAAGATGATTGAATTATGGAGTTCTCAACTTGTCCTTCGATCACAATTGCTCAACTATACCAACTACACCAAGTACTAAGAGGTTATGAACTTTTCTTACATCAGAGTAGATGGTGGATTTGAACTGCTAAGCAGGTATCTAACAAAGAACCTTATCATGAGGAACAAAAATCGTTCCAAAACAAAATCGTGCATAAAAAGAGAGACAGGAGAGGTTTAGTACACTGTTAAGACTAATGTAGGGCTTCCAAACATCAGTTTAAAACCCGGACGAATGAGTTGATGGCCATCGAGGAAAAGGACATTCGCCTGGGGTAAGTTCTGCGCTACATGTTGCTCGTTCTTGTTGTAAGCACTTTCCCTTTCACCCGGTCCTGACAATTGCAGCACAAAGGCCCGCCTTCTACTCTTCAAAGAGATGAGTCCTGGCATGTGCCTCCGAATCCCACAAAAACAATACTTCAGCGCAACCTGGGTATGGGCATTGCCTATAATCGGTTCTATCGCGCGACTGTAGGGAGATACGGTTGCCTATCAGGATGCATCGATCGGTGATGGTTCATAAGATCCTTCTCTCGGATGTAGCCTTTAGCACCGACCCGGCCACAGCCTGATGCCGGGCATGGAAATGGTGTAATGCTGTGAGCGTCTCTCATATGTTTGTTGTACTCGGAAAGCTTGAGAAACGGTGCCATCTTGTTTCGTTCAAACCGACTCAAGAAGTAGAACGAGGTGTCCCGGTAGTCTGGACAAGTCGGTTCATGACAAACTCCAATGGGTGGAAACCGTTGACTCTTTGAAGATTTTATGCAAGGGATCGTTTCTTCGTTGTCAAACTTGTGGTATTCCACGATGTGCTGCTTGAGATGGTCTCGTCGATGGAAGGCAGATTTGCCACGGTGCCTCTTGCAATAGGGACAAGGATGCTGAGGTTGGGTATTGTTCTTTGTCTTGAGGTGTCGAGTAAGGATATCTGACCTCGCAAATCTGCGGCCACAGATGCAGGCAAAGGGACTGTGTGCTTTTATGGCCCCATGCGAATCAAGCTTGTGCTTCGTTTTCTCAACTGATCCACATTCGATACACACATGGCCGGCTTCAGTTATGACAGCTGCATGCTCTGGTACCGAAGCCGGCGCAGAATGGGAATTGCCACTCGGGCGTGGGGCCAATGAAGGTGCAGCCTCCGGATCAGATCTAGAGCCCACTCCACCCGATGGGGGAACATTCTGATATCCGTCGTGAAAGTGAGGCGCCATGACTGACGAGTCACAACGCGGGGTGGCCAGTTCGTGTCTTTGGTGTGCACCCCGCCCTTTTTGTTAGCAAGTGATAAAAAAAAAAACTTACGAATTGTAGGGTATCCCTGGGGAGCCCAAGTCGTTAAAGTCGAATGGCTGGCCAATGAAGGTAGGGTCATCCCAGAAGCTGAGGTCGAACAGCCCCTCATTGGCCTCAAGGCCAGCCATGACCGTGTTGTCCAGGTAAGGGTTGAGGTAGTCCGACATGGTGGCGGGAGATGTTGAGTTGAAGCGGCGATGGAAGTTGATTGGTGTGAGCGGGTGGCGACGCTGTCTGGGCCGAGAGTTTTGGTGTACAACAGGCCCAAGGGAACAAAGGGAGACTGCTAGGCTTATGAGCGCACTCTCAAAACCCGTCGCCGCTTTATCAGACTGGATCTTCAGAAAAGGGCGGGATACAAAACCCTGGTTATGGCGGCTGCAGCAAGTTGAGCACAGCATGCTTCGTGATAGGGGGCCTGGTGCCAAGCGTGGCCACGTAAACACGCCCTGTTTTGCTGGCAAAACAATGACGAAGTCTGAAGCCTGCATGCTGCAGTAAGAAGTTCAAGTCACACTCCTGACCGGTATGTGGAATAATTGGCGGAGAGAAATTACCAAAAGACTTGGTGGTTGGTGCTTTCAAGACATCCAAGTCAGTATACCAATAATAGCAAAACAGGCTGTGATTTTCTTGTCGATAACTCAAATCATAAACCAAAAGCAAGTACAAGTCCCCATAAGCACGTCGTATAGATTACTCAGTCTGGCCGAGCTATGCTGTAGGAATGACTAGACACCAGCCAAGTTCTCTAGCAAGCCCTGGTCATACTACCCAACCCCCAACCGTTAACAAAATCGAGCGTCAGTTACTCGCTTTCGACAAACGCCTGAATCCTCCACTCACAGTGGCTACTCCCTGCACGTAAACCGTCTTCATGCGGGCGTCCATCGTCTGGACGCCGAGTCTCTCAACATGCTCGGCGTTTTGGTGCACCGCCCTGTCGAACCAATACGCCATCGCTGGCTAGTCGGTGCACTTCTGCCGCAGTTCCCTCAGCCCAATACCCTCACTCGTTAAGCTAGCCATGTGCGGGCTCTACAAGTAGCCCAGCAGATTAGCCACTGTCCTCTCTTGATGCGCACCAGCGAGCACTGCCAGCCGGGGACCATTGCCAGGTCGGCGTTGCCAAAGTTGGTGTTGTAGCTACTGCAGCTACTCTCCACATTGCATTTTTGAACGAGAGGCGCTTGGTCAGGCACACCTGTCAAGCAGCGGTCGGCCGTATGGAAGGAGTCATGTTCTTGGACCCGGACGAGAAGTCGATCGCCTCCACGATGGCGCAATGCTTCTGCCGCCCTACGATGAGCGAGGCATCTGGACTGTACCCTGAACGGAACCTAGAAGACGACCGGGTACAACGTCAGTAATCCCCTAGTATAGGTCGGCTAATTTCGGACAGATATCATGTCAACGAAGGTAATAAGTCTCTAGGGCTCAAAGGCGTGTACCTCCTCAACCACTTCCCAAACCACTTCCCAGTGAATCCCTGCCTCATCTGATATGTTGGTCATGTACAAGTCTCGACAACGGGATATCCCAGCTTGGCGTTGCTTCAAACGACAAGCTCTTCAACAACACCATTTAGAAAGTCATGCGATTTGAGTTGTGCTAGCCAAGTATTCGAGCAGGATGAACATCGGCGTGTCCCGTAACGACACTCTTCTCAGCTGAAGTGGCAGTCACCTTTCGGAGGCCTCTTAGATTATCCTTAGTAAGGGACCCTGGCCTACTCAGAAGGGACTGTGAATGCTCAGTCAACTCCTGGGCGGCTTGCTTAAAGTGGTTGAAAACTTGCTACCTCGAGAGTTTTGTGATGATGTTAGAGTTGACAATGGCCATGACAAGGATGCCCCTTGGGACGATGAAGCACGTTAACACCAGAACGTACTTGCTGAACCTAAAAGCCTCTTGGGCGCCTTCGTTTGGTCAGCAGGGACAAAAAGGTTAGCAGGCATATTATCGCTCTATCGTTTGTTACTGGCCTTTCTGGGGTGGAGGAAGATACTAGGTTGGGGGACTCACGGGCCTCGATGGCATCGGACAGCCTTACTACTGACAAGCGACTACCACATACCACCCTAATGGGTATTTGGATTGAGTGAATCTATGATTCTGTTTTTAGCTTTACTCGACATCATCAGACAGATCAAGGCCATCCATACCGTAATGAGCACTCTTTTTCATCACGAGTTTGAGGACGATTAAGGCAAAACGCAACAAGTTGGTATTTCCCTCTTAGAAAGAGGAGTCAGACTCAAGTAGTGTGGCTGTCGCAAGGTATCTATTGCTCCAAAGAGCACGCGCCTGTGCAGAAAGATTCAGCAGACAAACGAAAAGAAAGCGACAGAGAGTCGCCACGGGGGCCTGAGCTTCACAACGCAGCCACCTCACATAAGAGGATATTTATTCCTCATTTACACCCCCGTCTTCATCCTCATCCTCGGTATCCTCTTCCACCCTTGGAAGAGACAAATTTCCACGAGGGGGCAATCCGGCGGCGTGGGCGTTGATGGACAGGCGATTCTAGTCGTTGGTTGGTCTCGGCATACGAGCAACGAGATGAATATAGCATACCTGCTCGCGGAAAGCCGCAACAAACTCGACAGCTACATCGGCGAGGATTTGCAACTATTTGGCCTGGTCCACTTGGATATGACAGGTGTGGGCGGCGAGAGCCTGCCGCCGCTGCTGTTTGGTGGTGGCGTCTCGATCCTTGGCTCGCTTGAGGGTTGAGCCACTCTTCGTCTTCATCGACTGTAGGGCGCGGCGAACATCTCCCAACGACTTCATCAGGTCTTCCTAGCAGTATATTAAACGGAGCCATACGCCAGATTAATCAGGGAAGAGCAGCAGGCCCCTAGCGATCTTCAAGCTTAACAGTCACATACTAACTTCAAAAGAACAGCTAACCTCAGGCAACTCTAGAGCGTACAAGGTATACGCTCATTTAATCTGAATTGGTATCGTCATACATATACTAAGCTAGCTAACAAGCAGTAACTAAGAAGCAGCGGCTCCCTCCCCAACTAACCTTCTAGCAACAGTCTCACTACTGACAAGCAGCGACCACAAAAGCTTGTGGGGTGTTCTGTATACCGTTGTGATTGTTGGCGTTCTGAGAAATGGTTTCTTCTTAGACATCTTGGAGCCACTGAGAGACAGACATTTTGTGGTTGACCTGTACACGCCCATGAACCGCGACACTTATAGGTCTTCAGTCTTCATGCTCACCATGATAGGGGTATCCCGGCCGGTCAGGATCTCGCCGAAGATGGGTTCTCGATCTCAGCAAACTCAACACGCTAGCCTTAAACCTTGGCCCGTTTCCGGGGGCGGCCCGCTTCTGGGGTGTCCGACTTATCTAGCAGGGACTTCTGGTAAGAGGCCAGACAACGGCTTCGGAGTCGTCTCAGAGAAGTCCTGCGACAAGGCAATGACTTGGCCGCCATTGGCTACGCTCTACCCAACTTGTCTCTGGTCAACAGCAGTCTCAGGTCTGTCATGAGGAAAGTAGCAGCAAGCTTGATAACATCGAGTACAGTCGCAATGGCTCACATGGAATTCTCAAAGCATAGTGGAATATCGTGAAAATGTCTAAATGACGAAGCTGGAGGCACCGTGCTAGAATCGTAGATAGTTCATGAATATTTTCGTAGTCAGGGTTTCCACCCCACTACGACGAGTAACGGCGTCTAGTGGGCCACGAGGGACTTCTGCAACCATATCGTGTTACTGCCACATCGTTTCCGTCAGTATTGTGCATCGTAGTTTTCGGTGGGTAACGTAGAGGAGTCGGGTAGTTGAATGTTGATGAAATTCAATGCAATCAATACACACGAAAAGATAGAAGGCATTCACCGACAGAAATCGGAGCGAGGTGGCGGTTCTGATCGACGAGAAGTAATCACCAAGAAGTTCGCCCATAACATTTAGTTGTTGACCAAGGCGTTGACTATCATGGGATAAATCCCAACCAACTACCTTATGACAACTACATCACTAAGCGGGGCTTATAAGAGCTATACTATATTAACTCCCCTTTGGTGATTCTGAGCCAGCAAGGAATGGTCTCATTTATTGACCATGAACAGGATATTCACCCCCGTCGCTGCAGCCTACGAGGTGAGGAGGGACTTGATAGCTTGCCGCGGCAAATTCACGTTGAAAATGAGGTCATCGAGTAGTATATTGAGCCCCACATTATAGGCCAAGAGCAAGATACCTATGCCACGAAGGGCAGGGGAGACCTGTATCCATTTGGGTCGGAGAGCAAGAGTGGATGGTAAACGCGGTGTTGCAATGGATCTCGTCAATATTCCATCTACACCACGTGGGGGACCCCGAGAGACGGGTTCTAAGTCATGACTGGTCAGCCAGGCTCATGGCGAAGAGTACGAAGGGATGAGACACCGGAATGCAGAAGCAGGTCTGCAGGGTCCCAACGTTAAAACTTCTGCCATGGTTCCTTTACCGTCTTCGCCCCGGCTTCCGAGTGGCCGAGCCTATACATAATGGATGAACACACGACTTCTGCTTTAGTCCAAACCCCCACTCTCCGCTCACAAGGGTCTTGCCACGGTAGCAACGCTAATATAGAGTCCCGCCCATTGCAATGCATCTCTATCCATATTTGACAAGGTCTCTCGCAAGGCGTCCGAGAAAAGCTTTATTGCGCGCACTTTGGAGACACGGGGAGCCAGGTGAGACACAACGAGACACACTCTACGTTAGCGAACCATCCCACGCAGCTGGTGTTGATGCCCACCAACACGATTTTACTCATGTACCACTAAGAACGCCCGGTCTGTGCCGTGAAGCCCGAGCCCGAAGACAAGGCATCGGAGCGAGTTCTGACCCACATATTGCCGGGGAAGTGGATTTGGTGCAAGAATCGAATTCCCGAAGCAGCATTTTGTGTTCGGTTTGGAACGCCATCCGTTGACCAGTTGGCCAGACCGTCGACTTTGGGCTGACCGGGCCTGTTTCTGGCGCCTCGCCTGCAACAGCCGAATTAACAGGTATCATAGTTATTTGGGGCATTTTCCCGTCCAAGATGCCTAGGTAGGTTCAACACCAAAAGGTCCAGTATGACTACATCACGGTCAGTCCCAGACGGAGTGTGTGTGTAGGAAAGGGTTAGTGGATACTTACACCCAGTGCCACAAAAAAAAAGCATCCCCCCATAGCCCATCATCCGTCTTGTGATTTTTTGTGCAGGATCATCGAGTGAACTAGCACTAGACGATGCTACCCACCCAGGAGAAGATGATGTGGTGATCCTGCTCCCGAACTCCAGCTGCCCTGAGCCATCCCTGAAGTGCGAGTGCAGCTCAAGACTCTACCAGTGAGCGAGCCGCAGAGCAGGAGGCTGGAGGACGAGACAGGTACGGGAAACCTGCGAGGTACATGTAGACACCGAAGAAACGGGAGGGTGGTGTTGCACGCCCCTGTGGAGGTGATTCTGGAGCGACTCCAATCGTGTACGTAAGAAATGGAGTTCGAAGAGCGGCGGTCCACCAAGCTGGTTGATCTGATAAAAAATTTCAACAAGCCGACGTCGGCCCGGGGCGTGTCTTTAGAGGCGGCCGGAGATGGAACGTGCACATTGTGGCATTGTGGGCCGCTCATCTTATCAGATCATCAGATTAGATGCCCTATAACTTTTTTTTCGCCACTAGAAGAGGGAGAGCAGCGCTAAAAACCTCCGTCTCCAGAAGATCCAGGGCCGGCGTCCTTACCAGGGGGGGTGCTCGGAGGCCGGCGAAGACCAAGACGGGATGAGATCCATGACGAATGGAGGGGAACGCGAGGGGGGGGGGGGGGGGGGTCCAGAAAAGATCCCAGGAACTGCAGACGCAGGACGGACCAGGCGAATGGTACATAGCAATTAGTCCGGGATGGCGATGGAGACAGGGTCACCGCCGAAGAATCCCTGGAACTAATTGCCGCACCCGCGCAGTGCAGATTTTCTACCCTCCCAAACCTCCTCGGCTGTTGCGATGTGCCTCTTGTGGCATCCCACGCCCCCAGGGGCCCGTCCCAGCAAGCATACTACGTAGTAGGCACGCGCAACGGACGGCAATGTCAGTGGGTCTGGCCGCGAAAGCTGAGAAAACGGGTTAACACGGGCTGCGCGCTTGCGGGCATGGCCGTCGGCGTCGATGGCGACCATCAGCTGCATATGGACCGGCCGTCCCAGAAAGAAGCGCACTTCTCGGAGTTGTGCTTGAGTGCTTGATGTCCTCGAGTCCCCAACATCCTCCAACTCCAGGGCCAGACCAATTACGAGGTTTCATTGTCGCCATCGCCATTGCCCATCATGGCCGTCGATCCTTCGCACATCCAGCCCGAGCCCACGCAGCCAACCCAGAAGCTATCGTTGCTTTCTGGTCCTGTCGACCCTCCGCTCGTCGACCTGACCCTGGGCGAGCTCCTCGAACTCCAAACCTTTCAGCATGGCAACCAGGAGTGTCTTGTCATTCCGTGGACTGGTGCCCGGTGGACATACAATGACCTCAACCAGCAGAGTTCGGCGCTGTCGCAGGCCTTGCTCGACATGGGAATTACCGTTGGCGATCGAGTCGGCATCATGGCTGGCAACTGCGAACAGTACGCGGCCGTCTTCTTCGCAGTGGCCAAGATCGGAGCCATCCTCGTCATCCTGAACAACACCTACACACCCACCGAGGCCATGTACGGCCTCAAGTTCACCGACTGCAAGGTCTTCTTCACCACGCCTCGGATCGGTCGACTCGACAACTCGCACCTGCTCGGTGAGCTCGAGAACAAAAAGACGGCACCCAGGGTTGTCATGTTGAGGGACGACGCTTCCGGAAAATACGAAACCTATGACGAACTCATCAAGTCAGGTCGCCGACAGAGCCATCAGAGGCTATACCGAGCCATGAGCAAGGTCCTTCCCCACCAGGTTGTCAACTTGCAATTTACGAGCGGCACGACGGGCTTGCCCAAGGCGACCATGCTCACTCACCAGTAAGTAGAGTGGCAAGCCTGCCAGCACCAGGGAGAGGCATAAGAAGAAAAAGGACACTGACCATTCCACAGCAATCTGGTGAACAACTCGCGATTCATTGGAGATCGGATGCGGCTGACCCCGGCGGATATCCTGTGCTGCCCTCCACCGCTGTTCCACTGCTTCGGTCTCGTGCTCGGACTGCTCGCCGTCGTCACCCATGGCGGCAAGATCGTGTACCCGGCCGAGGTCTTTGACATCAACGCAACTCTCCAGGCAATCTCCGACGAGCGGTGCACAGCGGTCCATGGCGTCCCAGCTATGTTCGACTCCCTATTCCAAGCAAAGTGGCCAGAAGGCTTCAACTGCGACAACCTCCGCACTGGTATCATTGCCGGTGCTCCCGTGCCGCGATACCTTATGGAGCTCTTGGTTAACAAGTTCGGAATGACCGAGTTTACCAGCAGTTACGGCCTGACCGAGGCCTCCCCGACCTGCTTCAATGCCTTTACCGACGATGCGATTGATAAGCGGTTGACGACTGTCGGTACCCTGATGCCCCACGCAAAGGCCAAGATTGTCGACCGTGAGGGTAACATCGTTCCCGTCGGCGTACGAGGCGAGCTGTGCATGGGTGGCTACCAGCTCCAGGCTGGATACTGGAACAACTCGGAGAAGACAAACGAGGCCATGATCCGAGATGCTTCTGGTGTCCTGTGGCTGCACACTGGTGACGAGGCCGTCTTTGACGAGAACGGCTATTGTAGCATCACTGGCCGCTTCAAGGACATCATCATCCGAGGTATGATCCCCCTTCGTGCCCTTTCTTTAGACCGAATCTGACCCAGTGACTCAGGTGGAGAGAACATCTACCCGCTTGAAATCGAGGAGCGCCTCATGGCCCACCCCTCGCTATCGCGCGCCATCGTCGTCGGCCTCAAGAACCATCACTACGGCGAAGTCGTCGGCGCCTTCGTCGAGCTGGCCGAGACCCAGAACCAGCCCAACGACCAAGAACTGCGTGACTGGGTCCGCAAGAAGCTCGGCGGCCACAAGTCGCCAACACACGTCTTTTGGCTGGGCCAGGGCGACGTCCCCGCGACAGTGCCGCTGACGGGCAGTGGCAAGGTGCGCAAGATCGACATGGCCAAGCTGGGCGACGAGATTCTGAAGAAGCAAGCGAATACCTCCAAGTTGTAGATGTTTTGTCGTTTTCCATCTGCGCTTTTTGATGCGCACGTGCACATATGATACGGTACCTTAGAATGATGATGATAGAAGAAAGTTAGCGGGCTTGGAAAAGTACTTAAGTAGAGATAAGAAATACGGATGTTTTTAGGCTTTCACATGGCTGTGGTACCTACCTAGATCCGATCTGCTGGTTTAATGACTTGCATGCGTCACCGTTGTTTGTTGGCTGTTGGTTCATTGCACGGCAGACGTTTACCGGCCGGGAAATTTCCTCGGCACTTCTGTTTTTTCCCACGATCTAGATATGTACATGTGGTTACACAGGCGGACTTGGACTCGGCCAACAAGTCTATACTTTTCAACCAACCACGCAAGGCTTAACAAACAAATCCCATCACTCATAACCCTCGAAATAACTACCAATCTTGTCGCACTTACAACTTAGGAACCAAGCCGAGCCTCATACCACCAACGACCTTCTCGTTATCCGCAAGCGGGCACAGCTGGAAGAAGCGCTCGCGCGAGCAGCGCATGAAGGCACCGCGCTTGTGTGGGAGGTCAACGAACTTGTCCAACCCGAAGCCGTGAATGAAGTCGTACATGACGACAGTCGAGTTGGTCTCCATGGGCTCTCCAACGACGTTCATGGTGCGAGGGTCATCGAGATACAGGTAATGCATCAAGCTGCTCCACCAGGCCGACACGCGGTGCGGGCCTCGGAAACGCACGTCGCCGACGAGGGAGTGGCGGCCACGATCGAAGTCGCCAGCTTCATAGTAACCACCGAGGCGATCCTCCTGTGGTGGAATTGTTAGCACTTGTGAAAGAAAGTTAGACGGAAATATTTACTTTGGCCCAGTAAAACTCAAAGTAGGCAAAGAAGGTGTCGTCCCACTTAGCCAAAACGGCAATCTGATGAGGGTCCTCGTGCATCTTGCGGAGGTACTCGCGGTGCTCCTCATTAGTTCCAGCGATGCTCCAGCCCTGTGCAACACGGTGGTCGTTCTGCCACTCGTGGAACAGGCGCAGGTGCTCGTCGTCATTGTAGTCGAGCGCGACCATGGAAAAGGTCTCCTTCAGATGAGGGATCCATCGGCTGTAGATAACGGCGCCGGGGGCAGGCTTGGCCGGTCGGATCGGGTGCCACGACTGCTGGTATCGGTCGGGGTCCTCGGGATCACCGGCCGAGGAAATGGTCATGGTGTTGTGGAGGGCGGTCAAAGGGTACGATCCCAGAGGGTTTGAGGCCGGCAGAGACGACGGCGACTCGGCCGGGCACCAGACAGGTCGGGGGCCAAACGGAGAACCAGCTCCCTGCCAGAAGGTGCTGCGCAAGACAAGCAGGAGGCTTTCGTCGGTCTTGGTAGAGGGCTCCCGCGTCTCGCGGGCCTTGAGTGGGTGGTCAATGGCGAGCAGGACATCGACCAGCTGGCGGCCAAGAACAGCGGCGTTGGCGCCTCGGAGCTCAAGGCGGAACGTCTCCTTGGTCGGTCGCAGAGAGAAGATGGTATACACAAGCAGCCATGCCTGGGCCAGGGTGGGCGCCTCGGCACCGTCCCAGAAGAAGGAGACGCAGGGCGAGCGGCGGGCGCGAGCCCAAGGACTGTTGTTTCCAGAGGCAGGAAGCTCGCTCGACTTGAGGTCGATGGGGTCCGTGAAGACGAGGCGAGAATTGTCGAGCTCAAATGGAAGGGGCTTGGAGGCCGCGGAGGATTTGTGGACGAGCTGGTAAACGGGGGTCTCGACGGTGACACCCGCGGGTGCTGAGCCCGTCTGGATCGCGTACTCGGTCTGGTACGGGTGAGGCAGCTTGATGACTGACTCGTCGGCCGGGAGGGCAGAGAAGGGCACTGCTGACGCCATTGCTGAGGAATTGAAGGTCTGGCTAACACAAGCAGGAATTAGGAATATGATGGGAGCAAGAAGCAATTGATCACCGGCCCACGAGGCTATTCGCAAGAAAACCACCGGCCATGCTCAGCTGCCCCGTCGAAATATTCCGCAATCCTCCACCACCGGGACTTGACATCAGCATCCCACTGTCGCGTCACGGCATCTTTTTCCAGCCCCATTGCTAGCCGGGTTCTTGGCCTCCGCCCTAGGTTCCGGCAGAATCTGCAGCAAGAGTCTAGGCGCATAACTCGCAACCTGCCGCACAGCTTCGGCAGCGTACGTCAATGATGATGCGTGGGTGGGTGTCCCAGCAGGAGGCTTGGTGCGCTGACTGGAGCGAGTGGGCAACGGCGGGTTGGCTGATCGCACGCCCTCTGTTACCGCCAACCCCCACTCCCTCACCCTACCCATACACGGCGATGTACTCCTGCGGTATGAGATACAATGGGGCAGAAACACCGCCGGTTCTGCGGGTCAGGCCAATTCGGTACAGGCGTGCAACCATTCATGGCCGGATGAGAATCTCGTGGGGGTGGGATGGTCCGCATGGTCGACAAAGCTGGCCCACAAGCGGCCCCTCAAGCCACCCCTTGAGCTCTCCAAACCGGGCTGCATCGCACTCGTGTCACTTGTCCTGGTCGGTACCGCGCGGTGCCGAGTAGCTTCCTGCAGACCTTTTCCTGCAGACCTGCACCGAGGTGCAAAGCCGGATCTGATAACCTTAACGGAACAGGTGTCTCCGGTTGTTACGTATCGAGTTGCACGCCCCTCCCTCCGTCCGCGCTCTGGCAAACAAAAGCAAAAGGCCCATGTCCGGTTCTCGGAGCTGCTTCTGTTCATGAGAAGCGAAATGCAGGACGCACCCACAATATTTCTTGCTGTGGAAACTTGCTGAGGTCCAGAAACACGGTCCGGGACCCGTAAGTGTGTTCTGCCGGGTCCCACCGCCTACGGGAGATGGCCTCGGATCAGATAAAACCCTCACTTTGATCAATATTGCCTCTCATTGGCTGTAAATCGACCCACTATCGTTGGACCGAGATAGGCGCCGTCGCGCTAGTCCTAGTCTGGGGCCGTGCCCGCCCTACTTAAGTTACGTTCTCCATCTCGAAAAGGCAACTGATCAAGCACGTCGCACTTTGCATCACTTCTTGGCCAGAATTTTCATCCATCACCTAATGCACCAATCTTTGACCTCAATGTCACTACAGGCAGACTTCTCTAGTAATGCTATAAGAGTGGTACTCTACGCGTTGTGAATTACGATAACATTCATCACCGCTGGACTTCTAGACCACGGATGCCGATTCCACCTTGCCGTAAATCGTAGGATTCTCAATGCCGCACAATGGGCCAACCAGAGGGTTGTGGTTTTGGTTAGAATATATCCCGTACAGGAAGGAAGGAGATTATTCGTCCCAATCTAATCACAATAGTTAATTGGGAACTCGAACTCAATCCGGGAATTTGGCATCACCCTCACATGGCACACAAGACTCTTACAAGGATGATCAATGCGAGTTTTGGTCTGTGATCTCGATTTACAATCGCCCATGACCTCATACCGAAGGAGGAGGATGGTTTCCCGGGGCTCCATTGAATGAAGCCAAAACTTAACGGATCTTAGAATAAGACGCTCTTAGACTCTGTGAACTTCTCAACCGCCTAGACCTGGACAAACATCAATGGTCCATGTGGATGGCTTCTCTTACCTTCTTATTAAATCGAATCAAAGTCCTCATATCCAACCCGTTTCATGCCTTATTCTCAAATCTGGTCACTCCTTACCCTGAAACCCGTAGGGCAGTCACCGATTTGAACCATTCAAGTTTCCCGATGCCGGCTGCCGATCAAGCTGGCTAAACAGTTCCTTTCCGCCATTTCAGTCAACCGACCATCTAAGATAACAACCAACCAACTGAAATCTACATGACACATAGGACCGACTCATTTTACCAATGAGAAAGTATTAGTGTTGGATGGATTGCTGCCCTGATTCAATAGGCCTAAGGCTAGCCCACTGCAGCGCAAGCTATTAGAGACTCGTCCTCTCAATTAATGATCATCCTTCGTCTTTCCTCCTTGATAAAGCATCTCGATTCCATTTTCTTGGGAATCCCACAAGACGGTACCTCTCATCCCCTTTCCTAGCCCCTCCAGTTGCGTCTCATCGCCCTAGTGCTACCTCCTGTCTGTCGTCTCACTAACAATGGGCTGCAACATCGTGGAGATGTATGCTGCGAAGCAGGCCGTCTACTCGATTAGGTGAGTTCTATTTTGCAGTCATCTCGTGAGATCTACAATTACAAGCGTATCTGATAAGCCGTCTCCCATGCGCCTCATTCAGCCTTACAATACTTGGCAGTCCAGTGTGGTTGGGGTGGGCGGGTAGCTGCGCCTCCCCGCCAAGCCGGGAATGTGCATAAGCTTAAGCCAAATTGAACGGATCACACCCAGTGTCAACACCACGGATTCATGCTCAAGAGGACTAACGGAATTAATTACAGATACATTGGCTTCGACTACTCGCTTAGCATCTTCATTGCCAACACCTCCCATCTCAAGCTTCTTGCTTATCGTCTCGGTCAGCTACGTGAGCAACATATACACCATGGGCTCTTGCTTGTGATCTATTCTTATTGGCCGTTGGATCCGAAACAGTATGACCTTCAACTGGATCTGCCTGGGCTTCGCTGTGCCTTTTACTATCCTCGGCGTCAGTCTTATACTCAAGTTTCGTTAGCCCGACGTCAACATTGGCTACATTGTCATGTGCAAAATCTTCATTCCCTTCGCCGGCCACACCATTGTCATTTGCGAGCCGACCGCGGCCATCTCCCATCAGTATATCGCTGTCGCCTTTGTCATGAAGGGCATATTCGCCAAGCCTTAGTCAGGTATCTTCCGAACGGCCAGCAGGACAACTTAGACACCATCTACGAATATTTGACAGTTCAGCTTCCATAACTGGTTGGTTTCGACACTCGTGCTGCTATCAAGCAGGCGTATGCCGATGCCCAGGAGTGGACGTTGATCTCTGAAAGAACTAGACTTGCTGATGCAAACTCACAGTATTTAGTCAGATATAAAACTACCGACCTTCTGGTGCCCATACCCTACCCTCTAAATTCCCGAAATAGCCCGTAAAATGTACATTCAGTACACAACCCAACGCATCGTGACGGACATCAGAAGAGGTTCCAGAAGGTGCAAATTGGTGTAACATAGGGTAAATAGGAACCGGCCCCCTCTCCCCGACACCGCTTGTGTCGGCTGCTTTACCCAGTTATTTCCTGTTGCAGTAATACCGCCAACTGATTCCTTTTTGGGATACCCTTGGAGGAGATCTGCTAGCCGACGATTGATGATACCTATTAGAGAAGGATTCACAATCTTGGCGCGTCAACCCATCTTGATCACAGGCATGGCCAATGTTTATTACAACGTGCGTTCTCCACAACCTCAACTACGAAATATCCTAGGGGGTGGTACACAAATTCGAGTACCACTGAAATATCATAGAAAGTGGAGCGAAACTTCAATGAAATTTAACATTAATCATGCTCCTGAGCTGTAAATGCACTGGAACTTCAAGTTGCAAGCCATTCAATTCATAACATGAGTCTATAACACGACGGAACACATTGGATCTATGGGAATCTCGTTTTGGCATCGTCGTGGGTACAAAAGGTACCGGTTAATTCCCGAATCCTGAACGCCATTCCATGAAACACTTCAATCCTCTCACAACTCAGACTTGGGCGCCTCAGCCTTCTTAGGGTACTCGGCCTTGACGAATCGTCCAGCGAGTCCCAGCCAGTTCCAGCAAACTGCAAGTAGAATTAGCATCGAATTTCGACATAGTGTTGGAAATTGTCATCACTTACTGGTCCAGCCAAGATCACCTCGGAAGTAGGCCTCGGCGACGTCCTCGCCGTACGTGGTGCCAGAGCCAGGGTTGTGCGCAACGGCCTGCTTGCCCACGGCCAAGCCAATCATGGGAGGGATGGGGTTGATAGTCCTGAACTCAGGAGCCTTGCTGGTGCGCTGTTGGGTAATGTGTTGGTGGATGTTCTCCGCCGCGAGGTGGCCCTGGTGCATGGCGGCACCGCATCGCTTGATACCAGCCCACTTGATCAGGTCACCGACAGCGAAGTGGTAATCGGAGTTGGGGATTTCCTCGAAGTTTAGGCTGAATTAAATGTTAGCAGTGATCTGTACGCGGAGATTCAAACTCGGCAAACTCACTTGGTCTTGATCTTGACGTAACCCTCCTCGTCAACAGAGGACTCGGGCAGGTAGTTGGTGGTACGGGTGCTCTTGGAGACAGCCATGACGACCTCGCTAGCGAAGATCTTGTGGCCGTTGGTGAACTCAACCTCATGCTTGACGCTCCCGTCGGTAGTCTCTACCTGCTTGGTAGATGCCAGGCGGTGGCTCATCAGAGCCTCGACGCCGCCCTCCTTGAGCACCTTCAGAGCGACATCCCGAGTCTCATCGGGAAGGTTCTCGTTGGAGAGCAGCTTGTCTCGGGAGTGAACCAGGGTTACCTGGAGGTGAGGTTTGACCATCTTGAGCTCGGCGGCCATCTCGATGCCGACAGCACCGCCGCCAACAATGACAACGCCGTGCTTGGCGTTGTTGAGGTTTTGGATCTGTTTCTCGGCCTCGAGGAGATACTGCTTGCGAGTCGTAGACTGGGGCACTACGGGCCAGACACGTCGGAGGCCAGATGCGGCAACAAAGTAGTCGTACTTGTGAGTGGAGGTTTCCTTGGTCAGGGCGTCCGTGACAACCGCTGTCTTGGCTTCAGGGTCAACGCTTGTGACGGAGCCTTGGAGGATCTTGAGGTTCGGGACCTGGAGGCCCGCGCAGTCCGAGTATTTAACCCAATTCTTCTTGGCATACTCGGAGTCAGCCAGTGCCAACGGAGTGCCGATCAAGTGGTCTGTTATATTATGGTTAGTGGGATTGTCCTTGAGGCACACAGCGTGGGATCAATGGCGGAGAACAACTTACAGTACCCATCTCGCTCATCGACCATGGTGACCTCAATGTCAAACGTCTTCAAATCGGAGTGAAACTCGTAAGTCTCTTCATTCTGGCGGGGGGTGAGTCCTTGGCTGAGATCAAGCAGGTTGACTGCGGAGGCCACGCCGGCATAGCTGCCGCCGGCGACAAAGACGCGAATGGCGTGGGATTCGGGAAGTGAGCCCATCTTGGTGGCGCTGGAAGCTAGATTGGAGATGGTACGACAGAAAAATGCAGGTCGGCAGATCGATGCTGTGGGGACGGATCTTGCGCGTGGCAGTGACAATACAATCGCGGAGGAGCGGGACGAGGTCCAGGCACGATGCGAAAAGGCGCGAGTGGTGTGAGCGTACGCAGCAGCGTGGGGGGATCTCAGTAGTTCCGAGAGTCTGGAAGCGGCTCTCTGGATCAGCATGAGGTGGTGGACTAGGCGCGTCCGTGGTGGGAGATGGATGGAGGGATGGATGAAGGAGATTGGGATTGGGGTCCGGGGTGGTATGGTTTTCAACTGAACGGGGGCAGGCATAAAGTGCCGACGGCCGTTACCGCGGAATTATATAGGGGCGGAAACACAGCTACCGGACGCAGCCGCAGAGGGCAGCAACGGCTCTCTGCGTCACCAACAGGCTCGGTGGACCGAGACGAACGGACCGGAGATCGGATCAAAGGGGAGTCGCCAAGCGCAGCAGGGCAGCTTGCAAGCGACACCCTGGAACACGCCGATGCGGCAGCGCCATGAAGCGCAGGCAAAGCGCTGGTGCAATATCCGGGATAAACGGAGCCATACTGAACGAGCCAGTCGGACGCCATCATCGGCCAGCCGAATTGCTTTCGTGGGGCAGACTTTTTGTCTTGTGGCCGGCGTCGACGGCGATGACGGGAGGAAATGTGGAGATAGAGTTATCAGATCCGACTCAGGCGCCGCCGCACTGAAGCAACCCCACCCACACTCACTGGGGGACACTAAAAGAACGCGACTTCAAGGGCTAGACCCCAAAAAGTCTCAACATCCACCCGGGATTTCGCGTTCCACCTCGCCTGATGCTAGAAGCAAGCAAGCAATTTACTCTGAGCATTGCACGTTGGCTTGTTGAGCTGGGGTTACGGACCAACAAGTCGGCTGGCTTAAGATATTCCGTGCGTCTAAGGAAGAATCCAACAAACAAGGTCGCTCGTCACAACACGAAGCTAACTACTGCGGCTCGAGTGCAGAGTGCAGACGGGGCCATCACGAGGATGCAAGCAGCAAGCAAAAAGAAAAAGTCCAGCTCGGAGTGGCTCTGGATGAGCCATTTTCCACGCCACAGACACCACGCCGCCTCTACCCGTACGTACGGCGCATGCCCTCGACATTCTTCTGAATCCTGGAAGGACCAGTAGACTTTTACGCGATCCTCTCTAGAGCCTTGAAATACCCCCTGTGGCCCTCCCTGTAATGAAGGCCCACCGCCGTCGCCATTACTAGTGCTGTCGTGGCAGCTGGCGTGGCTGGGCAGGGCCTGGGTGAGTGAGGGCCAGGCCCATGTGACACTGGCGATCCGCTGGCTGATTGATTACACCGACACAGAATTATCAGATCCGCGAATCCTGACTAATGCGCTCCGATTCGGACCAATCCCTGTTGCGCGTTGCCCCCGGTTCTCGGCCGCTCCACAAGTCACCTAGCTACACACCCCCCGGTCCTTGATTCTCTGGCTTCCATTCCCCCAAACTAGCCAAAAGGACCCAGCCCAACTTCCTGGAGCCCCAACCAAGACGGTTCCCCATAACGCTACAGATTGGAAACATGCCCGGTACCTTGCGAGACCTCCATCGTGGATCGCTGCTGTAACCATAACGGATACCCCAACTCCAACTCATACCATGATCCGGCCCTACAGCCCTGCCCATGCCTATTAAGGTTGGTCCACGGACGTCACACAAGATATCTGATTGATAGATATACGATCAGAGAAATAAGGTCGCATGGGATCCGCCGTAGCCCTGCCCGCCTTCGTATTTCTCACCACCAACTGGTCATGACTGGTGGGGGGTTCGTCCACAGAGAGCCATGATGCTTGGGTAGTCGGTTCCAAGCCGGACAGCATGCTCCTGAATGTGTCTGTCGAATTCTTCCTCGCTGGGGTCTTGATGGACTTTTGCGAGTCACCATCTACATTGGAGCGGCACATTGCCCCATTACTGCGTTTTCCCACTGGTGCCAAGACAACAAGACAACAAGACAACAAGGCAGAAGCAGGGCATGCATGAGTCCGCACTGAGCTACCTGGTCGATTTTTCCTTCATCATGGAGTCCTCCGACCCATCTTCTTTTCCTGTCAAGTTCTTCTCACCTTGAGACCATGTATTGGGCGTTGTGAGCTCGAACTTCTTTCCAACTTGACAAGGAACACTTGCGAAGATGGTGGGAGAAGACGAGAAGTCGCACGTCGTTGCTGCCAGCGACATCACCAAGGACGCTTCCAACCCCTCCTCCAACGCGGTTGTGGATGTCTCTAACAACAACTCCAAGTCCGAGGCTGACCAACACGCACCTGTCGACACTCCCAACGATGTCAGCGATGTAGCCGTCGAGGGTGCGCATAACACCGCCGACAAGGTCGTCGATCTTGATGCTTTGGCGCGACGATCATCGTTATCGTCCTCATCTTCATCGCCATCAAACCTCCAGGAACAGACCGAAGAGAAGCCCAAGGTGGGTGAAGAAGAAAAAGTCACAGAAGAGGATGAAGAGAAACACGATCCCAAACCCCGTCGCGCCAACCGCCACTTACACACATATACTAACTTGCCTCGTGTGGCCTTATAGGGCGCCTTCTTCGCTTATTTCCAGCTCCTCGTCTATGCCAACCCCAAACCATTTGACTATTTTCTGCTCGTCGGCGGCACCATTGTTGCCTGCTCCGCCGGTGCGCCCTTTCCGCTCATGGGTATCATTTTCGGTCAGCTGGTCAACGATCTCAACAACGCTTCCTGCAGCGACGGCGAGCAAGTGACGGACCAGACTCCCGAAGAGATCCAGGACAGCGTCAACAAAAAGGTCGTGATGCTCACTTACATTGCCATTGCCAGCTTCGTCCTCATCTATACTTACATCCAGACTTGGTCAATTTTCAGCCGCCGCCTCGAGACCCGTCTCCGCGACCGCTACTTCATGAAGGTCCTCCTTCAGGATGCTGCCTTCTTTGACAAGCGCCAAGCTGGAGAGATCTCATCTCGCCTCAACTCAGACATCCAAGCTATCCAGACCGGCACGTCGGAAAAGGTGGGCATCTGCATGGCGTGCACCTCCTTCTTCGTCACGGCCTATGTCGTAGCTTTCATTAAGAACACCAAGCTTGCTGCCATGCTCGTCTGCCTCATTCCGGCTTTCTTGATGCTCGCTGGATTTGGAAGTTACTTTAGTGCAAAGTTCGCGAGCAACATGTCCGATAGGATTGCTTCCGCTTCCTCCATTGCATCAGAAACCTTGTCCAACATCCCCGTGGTGCAAGCGTTTGGCGCCGGTCCCCGACTTGAGGCCATCTTCGCGTCTAGAATGGATGCAGCTAAGACGCAAGGCATCAAAAAGGCCTTTGTCGCTGCAGTCCAAGCCGGCATGCTGTACTTTATTGCCTACGCGGCCAATGCGCTCTCTTTCTGGCAGGGAAGCAAGCAGATAGCCGAAGCCATGGCCAACGACGGAAAAGGCGCCACGGTCGGTGATATCTACACTGTCATTCTCCTCCTGGTGGACGGTAAGCAACCTGTAGCCCCCCAATGCTTTACATCCACTAACAATTCGTTTAGCCTGTATCGTCCTTGGTTCCATTGCGCCCCTGCTTCCCCTTATTGGTGCCGCGGCTGGATCTTTCCAGAAGCTCCGCCAGGACATGGACAGCCCTGCTCTTATCGATGCTGGCTCGACCAAGGGCGAGAAGCTTTCGTCTGTTGAAGGATCAGTGGTGTTCAAGGATGTTTCGTTCGCTTACGTCTCGCGACCCAACCACCAGGTACTGAAGAGCGTCTCCTTTGAATGCCCGGCTGGGAAGCACACTGCCCTTGTGGGTTTCTCTGGCAGCGGCAAGTCAACTGTTGCTGGCCTGACCTCCCGACTCTACGACCCGACTGAGGGAACGGTGACGCTCGATGGTCACAACCTCAAGGATCTCAACGTCAAAGGATTGAGAAGCCACATGAGTCTTGTGCAGCAGGAACCGTCTCTGCTGGACCGCTCAATTATCGAGAACATTGCCCTTGGTATCCTAAACTCGCCTCAACCCAGTCACCACCGATTTCAGGCAACCATACTGGGATCAGGCCTTGCACAACTTGCGGCGCAGGTTCGAAACGGCCAGGATATTAATGTTATTGCCCAAAGCTTTGGCCAAGACATGTTAGACTTGCTCGAACGAGTCCAGGAGGCGGCTGGCCTAGCCGATGCGTCTAACTTCATCAGCAAGCTTGAGTACGGACTTGCAACCAAGGTTGGCACTGGTGGAAAGCTCGTTAGTGGTGGACAGCGACAGCGAATTGCCCTTGCCCGAGCTTTGATCAGGGACCCCAAGATTCTTATCCTCGATGAAGCGACGGCATCTCTCGACTCCGCTAGTGAGCACCGTATCCAGATGGCCATTGAGTCGATTGCGAAGAACCGAACCGTCATTGCTATTGCCCATCGTCTGTCCACTACCAAGAACGCCGACAACATCATTGTCATGAACCATGGCGAGATCGTCGAGCAGGGAACCCATCTGGAACTCATGGCCTTGGGAGGCTCGTACGCTGCAATGGTACGCCTCCAAACTGTGGACAAGGCAGACACAGGCTCCATGACAGGCTCCATGACAAGTACGTTGAGGGGTGATGTCATTCGGTCCGAGAAGGATTCAATCGTCGAGGAGAAGGCCATTGTCGCTGGAAAGGATGATGAGAAGAAGACTGATGGTAAGAAGGACGAGTCCAAGACTAAAGACGCCAGTCCTAGTGAGGACCCCGCCCTCGACTCCAATAAGTCCCCGTGGGAGGTCATCAAGAGTGTTTCTGGCATGGCACGATCCCATCTACTACTCATCATCGTTTCTCTGTTCGCCGCTACCATTGTGGGCATGACTTTCTCGTCGTCCGGTCTCATCTTCGGCCACACAGTCGAAAGAATCAGCCCATGCAACCCCGCCGAGGACATCATCGAGGCCGGCAAGTTCTTTGGAGGCATGTGGTTCCTGATTGCTTGCGCCGAACTCCTGGCCAACACTACGAGCTGGACCGGGTTTGGCACCTTGGCCGAGAACCTGCTCTACAAGATCCGTGTCCTCTGCTTCCGTTCCCTCTACAAGCAGGATTTGGACTGGCACCAGTCGGAGGGCCGAACCCCGACTGCCCTCATGTCTGCCATCACCACGGACGCCGCAGCCGTTGGCGGCTTCAGTGGCTCCATCATCGGAACGATCTTCTCAATCGTGGTCAATTTCCTCATCGCCATCATCATGTCGCACATCATTGCTTGGAGAATTGCCATTGTCTGCTTGGTCATCGTGCCTCTCCTTCTAGGTTCCGGAATTATGCAGATGCGGTCGCTCTCCCAGTTCGAGCGACGACATGCCGGTGCATTTTCTGGCGCCGTCGGCATCTCGGTAGAGGCCGTCAACTCGTTCAAGACCATTTCGTCTCTGTCCATCGAGGATGAGGTCATGGGAACCTACGGCCGAGCACTCAGGGCGCCTCGTAAGGAGATCTTCTGGTCGTCTGCCTACGCCAACTTCTGGCTCTCCATCGCCAACAGCACTAGCAACCTGATTTACGCCTTTGCATACTGGTGGGGATCCACGCAGATTACCCAAGGAAAGGCCACGCAGACTCAGTTCTTCATCCTCCTCCTTTGCATGCTCGTCAGCGCCCAGCTATGGGGTCAGATGTTCAGTCTGGCACCAGAGGTATCCCGAGCGAGAGCCGCAGCCTCGAGAATCCTGAGCTTGATCGATATCGGTTTTTCCAAGGACCAGGCTAAGAAGGGCAAGGTTCTCCCAGCAACTTTGCATAATGAGAAGGATATCGAAGCTAGGGCAGAGGCCCCGCTGAAGAGCAATGGCAGTAAGGGCGCCACCATTGTTTTTAAGGATGTGGCGTTTGCCTACCCAGCTCGGCCGCATATCCAGATTCTCACAGGCATGTCCTTTACCATCTCGTCTGGTCAGTTTATCGGTCTTGTCGGACCATCCGGGGCCGGCAAGTCGACCATCATGTCTCTTGTCCAGCGGATGTACCGGCCCCTGAGCGGAACGGTTGAGATCAACGGGATGGATATCTGTGCGCGTGAAGGCACCGAGTTCCGCAACGACATTGCCGTCGTGCCCCAGGACTGCGCACTCTTCGATGGTACGGTCCGCTTCAACGTGGGACTGGGCTCAACTCCCGACCACGAGGCGACGGATGAGGAGATCGAAGAAGCTTGTCGATTGGCCAACATTCACGATACGATCATGGGACTTGCCAACGGCTACGATACCGAATGCGGACCTAACGGATCCCGCCTATCTGGAGGACAGCGACAGAGACTTGCCATTGCGCGAGCTCTAGTGCGAAAGCCCAAGCTACTCCTTCTCGACGAGAGCACGAGCGCTCTGGATGCAGAGAGCGAGCGAGCGCTTCAGGAAGGACTAGAGCGTGTGGCACGCGGCATCACGGTGATTGCCATTACCCACCGCCTTCATACGGTCCGCAAGGCAGATGTCATCTTCGTGGTGGAGGGTGGAAAGGTGGTCGAGAAGGGTCGCCATGAAGATTTGGTGGAGAGGAGCGAGTCATACCGAACTAATGCTCTTCAGCAGATGCTTGAAAACTAAAGGACCTAGCTAACAGTGGAAATGGGACAGAGAGACAGCTAAATGAACCATAGACTCATTGAGATACCCAGCACAGCTGTAATAGGAGGAGACAAGGGATTTTGTCTTTCAACACGAGAGCTCCTTGTAAAGGAATAAGAAAACTGGTTGAATGCAAATATTAGGATAATCACTTCACATTTCGTCTTGATTAGGTGAGTTTCGTAGAGTAGGACGGCATGATGGTAGTCAATGATTCTCAACCCCGGTTGTGGATCGCTTAGATCATATGATCAAGTCTCAGCCAAGGAGGCATGTGACATTTCCGCCCCGCCAGAATGCGAATCTAGAGGAGGTTCCCTAGGGCCATTGCTAAAGCTAGAGATCTCTATTGTTTAGTATGAATATGATGTTCACGGCTATCACAAGACAAACTAGCTTAGTACCTAACTGTGTAAACAGCGCCGTCTGCAAAGAGTTGAAGCGCAACTAGACAGGTCCTAGACTTCTGGCGTATGACTGTCCGAAATAGGGCGACTAGAGTAAGTTAGTTAAGCTCCCAGACAGCATAAGCGACCAAAATGAATTGACTGCACCGCCCTTGTGGTCGGTCATCCGCAGTCTCATTCATCAATAAGCAACTAGTTAATAAGTGAGACAGGCGGTCAGCTTGTGACGCGAGTGTGCGGGCGCGGTGAACGGAGCGGCCTGAGTGCAAAGTTTAAACCGCAAGGGGTAGACAACCCTGATGGGCCCCACTATGCCCCTGGAGAAAAGAAACAGGTATTGGTTTTGGGGGTGAAGAATAAATAGCTGTTATGGAAAATAGGAGGACAATAATTGGGAAGCGGAGGCCCTCTCGAATGTTGTTTGGTTGTTACTAAATGTGGCTGAAATATGGCCGTGACTTTGGCTGGGCGCGGGTAGTCCATACAAATATCATGAGTTATTAGCAATCTCGTATACCTCGAAGGAAGCTTGATAAGAGCGCTAGGGGAGTGTGGCCGGTTCGGTTACGTATTGCGGAGATTTATGTTGGTCAAACCCATGGAACGCACAAGCTTTATCGTCTGTCATACCTGGGACAGCGGGCAGGTCGTGTTCATCTCAGCCATCTGGACACAAAATTGCAAACCCGATCCGCCGGTGAGTGGAAGCCAGTCTATGCAGATTTTAGGTCGGGCACTACTGCGCGGCTGGCATCATGACGGGCTAGAATGTGCTTGCATTAGGGTCTGATTTATTTGGATCATGTGTGTGCGTGCAGTGCGTGTGTGTGGGTTGGTTGGTAGGCAGTTGGCTAATTCGTGCTGAGGAACGCCTAGGAACTGACGGCCGTTGAAGCGTCTCGGGCTCTTCCCGGATGGTCGGAATCCACGTGAAAAGAGTCTCAGCGTCTCATCCCGTTGCGTTCCCTTGCGAGGAGGAGCGTTATACATAGTACGAGGGATGGGGGAATGGGGCTAAGAAACGGAACAAGATGGGGCACAAAATGCGTGCATGTCATGCAAAACACTTGATAGATATTTCTGATCATGACCACGAGACCATGCGCCGGAATCCGGATCGGGGCGCCAGAAGTTGCATTGGGCTTGGTCAGGAGACTTCAGCTTCGGGATCATGGATGGCAGCTGAAGCATCTCTGGCATCTGTGGGCGTTCTGCATGGGTGCTGCAAGTTTCTGCAGGCCTTCTGCGGCTCGGTCAACGGAAGCAGTTTTAGACGCCACTGGACATGGGAGAAGCAGAGATGTGGCCTATGAGACGCCGTGGGTATGTATGATGTCGCGATGGCGGTTGATGAGTGGTCAGTTCCCTTCCGCAGCGCGCACCGCCATCCCACTCTGCATGGGATGGGATGCCTTCCGTACAGTCTGTACTGTAAGAGCCCCTTGTCGTCCGCTGTGCCCTGCCAGGTATCATCATCATGATGTCTGCCGCAAAATGCACTGTCCGTCATGCCGTGCCTGCTGTGTCCTGTTGTGCCTTGCGGGCCTATAAAGCAACTCCGGGAAACCTGTTTATGCAATGCAATGTAGTCTTCCCGTCTCAGGGCTCTTGGCAGGGAGGCTGTACCTACCTAGCTACAGTGGCCTCTAGGGGTGTTCCAGCTGTCCCCCACCTCACAGGGCCAGACGTAATTACGACGTGGTCGTACAGGTACAGCACCGTGCTGCGCAGCGCCTCCTTCACCCTCATCCGCACTGCGTCGCATCTTCTAAACTCTCCAGCACACTCAATGTGCCTGTGACCAAGAACCCCACGCCGGACCGCCCCCATCATTATCGTCCGCCGTCCGCCGTCCAACCGTCCAGCCCGTGGTTGAAGCGTGGCACCTAGTTAGTAGGCGGGACTGGGACCTGGGAGGGGCCTCGCTCGTCCAGGAGGGCCAATCCCTAAATCCGGAGGCTTTACTGGCGCGCCGCCCGCTGCTACACACCACGGCATCCTCCCCCCGACCCAAGAGGCCCACGAAGCAAGAATCCGACGAACGAGACGAAGGCGCAAGAGAATCCAGACGGGGCTGCGCGGACCGTGACACATTGACCCCCCCCTCCTTCCGTCTGGATCGGCCTCTTGATCAGGCTTCACGAACGCTCCACGAATAGCTGCTCCGCTCAAGAAAAGAGACTCCCGCTCGCGCTCCCCCCCCAAGACTCCGCTCTCGCGATAAGAGACAGGGCACACGACCTCTCTCCCTTTTTATTCACCGAGTCGCCATCATTCCGACCTCGACTCCCCTCGCGAATCCCTCCTCCGTTCCCAGCGCCGTCCCTGTCCCCGACGACGTCGCTGCTGCCACGCCTGCCACCGCAAGCCGCCCTGGCCGTCACCACCATAACCAAGCCCCGACAGGCCAAGGTGGACGAGGAGGGATTGTAACTCCGACGACCGTGCGAGACAGAGACGACCTCGCGCTAGCTCGTCGCGAGAACACCAAACCCATCGCGCACTCCAAACAGCACACGGCTGACGACGAGTACGAGCTTGACGAATACCCGCCGATACAGGCCAGTCACGAAGCGGCCGAGCGCGAGTCCCACAGACAGGCGAAACGAGACGAGAAGCGCCGGTGGCTCGAGGAACAAGACGAGATGAAGTTCTCCCACAGCATTCAGTTCAATGCTGTCCCGGACTGGAGTAGCTACTACATTGCCTACAGCAACCTTAAGAAGCTGTGCGTCGCCCTCCCCTGCTGCCACTCCGGCCATATCCAATTGCCCACCCGCTAACCCTGATGCTCCTCCTAGAATCTACCAGCTCGAAAAGTCCGTCCACCAGACTCGATCTGGCGATGCCGAATCCAGACCTCTCATCGGCCATGAAAGTCCTGAGGATGTCTTCTCCAGTGCCCTCAGCCTAGAGCTCGAAAAGATCTGCTCCTTCTACACCTCGAAAGAGACCGAGCTCCTCGACGAGGCCGCCCAACTCCTCAGCGATGTCGGTGACGAAGTGGCCCTCGAAGACCGACCTTACCTACGTCGCCTATCCTCTTCCGAAACCCAGCGTGTGCAAAACACTCGCTCGCGGAGCCCACTGAGCCGCAGCTCTGATAACGATGACAGCGGCAGCGATGAGGACGAGACGACTGGCCTGACTAGGCGGAGGGGCAGCGGTCGGAAGAAGAGCCTGCCTGTTGTCAAGCCTATACAATCGGACATGAGTGCGTCTACCGAGTTCGGTCGCGGGACTAGGAGACAAAGCGGCACGGCAGACGACTACGGCGACCAGGCCATGATGTTCTCCTCAGGACTCTTCTCGTCAGGCATCATGCTCAAGAAGCGCATCATCAGCCTCTACGTCCAGCTGTGCGAACTCAAGTCCTACATCCAGCTCAACCGCACTGGTTTCAACAAGGTCCTGAAGAAGTTCGACAAGATCCTCGACAAGGAACTCAAGGCTAGCTATATCCGAGCCCACGTCGACTCGGCCTACCCCTTCCAAGACGAGACCAAGCGCACTATCGAGGAGAACATTTACAATATGGAAAAGGCCTACTCCGAGGTCGTCACCGACGGTGACTTGCCCCTAGCCCGCAAGGACCTACGATCTCATCTCCGAGAACACGTCGTGTGGGAGCGCAACACAGTCTGGCGAGATCTCATTGGTATCGAGCGCAGGGCTGAGGCAGCAGGTCTGGGACAGTCGCTGCTGGGACAGGAGCGCTCTATTGCTTCTAGGAGACTACAGGGCGACGAGGCCAAGGCTCCCTTGACGACACGGATTCCCACGCCGTTTGGAAGCTTCACGCTACCCCCATGGCTGGCTAGCTCGTCGCTGTGGACGCTCATTATGTGCATCGGCGTCTTCCTCGTCCTCCTACTTCTCCCCATAATGGAGAAGCCCGAGCAGCAGAACTGCCTGGCAATGCTGATCTTTGTCAGTTTGCTGTGGGCTACCGAGGTGAGTCCTGGTACATCATTCTAACCAAGTATCTACGAAACTGACATTGTGGTAGACTCTCCCTCTATTTGTGACATCTCTGATGATCCCCTTTCTCTCCGTTGTTTTGAATGTTGTCCGAGATGAGACGCCTGGCAAGACCCATAGGCGTCTTGGTTCCAAGGAGGCAACTTCGGCGATCTTTGCGGCCATGTGGACCCCCGTCATCATGCTGCTACTCGGCGGCTTCACCCTGGCTGCTGCATTATCCAAGTGCACAATTGATAAGCGATTAGCGACCCTAGTTCTCAGCAAGGCCGGCACTCAACCGAGAACGGTGCTAATCGCCAACATGTTCGTGGCTGCCTTTGCGTCCATGCTCATCAGCAATGTAGCGGCACCAGTGCTCTGCTATTCTATCATTGAGGTGAGTTGATTTTCAAACTAGAGATATTAAATGATGCACAAACTAACATTTTGGTAGCCCATGTTAAGGACATTGCCTTCGGATTCAAACATGTCCAAGGCCGTTATTATCGGCATTGCTCTCGCCTCCAACATTGGCGGTATGCTGTCCCCAATTGCATCGCCGCAAAACGTCGTGGCTATGGGGATCATGCAGCCCGCACCCACCTGGCTTCAGTGGTTCTTTATTGTCATCCCCGTCGGAGCTGTTTCCCTCTTTCTGATCTGGTTCCTCCTCCTTGTAACGTTCCAACCCGGCAAGGGTACGACGATTGCTCCGATCCGGCCGGTCAAGGAGAAGTTTACGGGTGTGCAATGGTTCGTGACTATTGTGACCCTCGTGACCATTGCGTTGTGGTGCGGGAGCCACCAGCTAGAAGGCATCTTTGGAGACATGGGTGTCATCGCCATCATTCCCATTGTCCTCTTCTTTGGAATCGGAATCCTGACCAAGGAGGACTTCAACAACTTCCCCTGGACCATCATCATTCTCGCCGCCGGAGGTTTGTCGCTGGGCAAGGCGGTTCGATCCTCCGGTCTTTTGCACACTCTCGCCGAGATTGTTTCCCACAAGGTTGAGGGCATGAGCCTCTATGGCGTTCTGGTTGTCTTCTCGAGCCTGATCCTGGTTATCGCCACGTTCATTAGCCATACCGTGGCTGCCCTGATCTTCCTTCCTCTTGTCTTCGATGTCGGTATGGCCATGGATCAACCTCACCCCAACCTGCTGGTTATGGGCGGTGTGCTCATGTGCAGCGCTGCCATGGGCTTGCCTACGAGTGGATTTCCCAACATGAGTAAGTTTGAGCTGTATCTTAATTTTTGAACTGAACTAACACACAGTAGCTGCGATCATGAAGGAGGATCCATTTGGCCAGCGGTATCTGCAAGTTAAGCACTTCATCAGCCGCGGTGTGCCGAGCAGTCTCCTCACTCTCGTAGTCGTAGTCACGCTAGGCTACGGAATTATGCAAGTTGCAGGACTGGATTAGTTGACGAAGGATGGTTGATTGCCTGACAAGTAGAATGCGTAACCGGAAGTAGGGTGTGTCTCGGGTTGTGCTTCTTCTGGGCTCCGGTGTTATTTTCTCTATTTCCTTTAGAATTTGGAATGGCTCCATATCGGCTCGGGATGGCTTATAATTCATTCATAGACGAGGCGTGGGATAGACCGGCACCTACCGATATCGCTCAGGTAGACATTGGATGTGTTCTGACAGTAAATTCTGGCATTGAATGTAAAGGTGCGAGTTCACACTGTTGCACTGTGCATATGCAGGAAGCTCTGGCCATCCGGCAACTGACGTCGACGTTCCCTCCCGCCTCCGACGGCCTGTCACTACCCGACGACTCCAATTGCATCACAAGAGCGCAGGCAACCGCGAAACGAACCGGCGACAACACTGCATCGCCTCCTTTGCACTACTTCGTCTGCTTCAGAGGGCTCCCGCTTGTTCTCAGTCCCCCGAGACCCTTCTGATGCGCCTCGCTTCCAGATAGCCCCATCAGCTTGGAGCTGGCCGGCGCCATGCTCTCCGCCTTCACAGCCCGCCCCATCATCGAGCTGCGGCAGCGGGACAGGTCCAAGATCGAGACCATTTTGGCTTACGGTATGCGCGCGTCCTTGTAATCTTCTTGGTGAGAGCTTTGATTGACTAGGAACTACAGGTGATCGTGTTCTTGTCGGCCTCAACAGTGGCGCCCTCAGGGTCTACCGCCTCAACGACCTTCCCCCCCAGCCGCCCAACGGCAACGGCCACACGCCGGCCCCCGACCCCGATGCCGCCCCTACGACGCCCCCGGCCAACGGGGATACTCCCTCGACAACATCTTCCCTGAGGCCGACGGACCTTCTGCGTGAGGTAGACCGGTTCTCTACGCGCGCCATCGAGCAGCTCGCCATCATAAAAGAAGCCAACACGATCGTGTCGCTATCCAACTACCACATCTCCCTGCACGATCTGCAGACCTACGAGCTCATCGAGACCCTATCCCGAACCAAGAACGCGTCGTGCTTCGCCGTAACATCCAACATCGTCAAGGATGCCGACACTGGCATCCCAGAGATCATCAGCCGGCTGGCCGTTGCGGTCAAACGACGCCTACTACTGTGGGCGTGGCACGAGAGCGAGCTGTCGGAGGATGTCGGTGAGGTCCTGCTGTCCGAGTCCATAAGGTCAGTGACTTGGGCGAGCGCCACTAGGTTGGTGTGTGGCATGAATGGCGGCTACGTTATGGTCAATGTCGTCACCCGCGAGATCGAAGAGATTGTGAGTCCTGGAGCCGGACCGGCAGCTGGTCAGACGAGCCGCTTCGGTGCTATGAGTAGCGCTGGCATGGGATACATGGGCTTGGGAGGATATATGCCCAAGCCACTGGTGGCGAAGTTGGCGGACGGAGAGCTGCTGCTGGCCAAGGATATCAACACGCTGTTCATCGACGACAATGGAAAACCCCTCGAAAAGAGACAAATTCCGTGGCAGTCGGCTCCTGATTCCATTGGATACTCGTATCCGTACATCCTGGCTTTACAACCGCCTTCCAAAGGCTCCTTGGAGGTACGGAATCCAAACACCTTGTCGCTGCTCCAGAACATATTACTACCGGGCGCTGCCCAACTACATTTCCCACCACCGACGGTCAGTTTGGCCCATGCGGGTAAGGGATTCCACATCTCGAGCGATCGATGTGTCTGGAAAATGGGTGCGACGGACTACGACTCACAAATCCAAGAGCTTGTTGATGGTGACAAATTCGACGAAGCCATCAGTATCATGGGCATGTTAGAAGATGCCTTGCTAAATGATAAGACGGAGACCCTTCGGGAGGTCAAAATGCTGAAGGCAGAGACGCTGTTCAAGAGGAAGAGGTACCGCCAGGCAATGGATCTCTTTAACGAGGACGACGTACATGCCCCACCTGAGCGCGTGCTGAAGCTATTTCCTCCGCAAATTGCAGGAGAGCTTTCTGCTTGGACAGGTCATGAAGAAAAGCCAGAGGAGGATGCACCTGAGACTCCAAAGAAGTCGAACGGGTCACAACGAAATAGCTCCGACACCCCTGAAAGACCTACTGACCCTACATCATCACCAAACGTGGGTGGTTTTGCCAAGTTGTTGATGGGAGGCGGCAGGAAGCCCCAAGCTGATGCTACATCTATTTCCTCTTCAAGAAAGGACAGTACTGATGCTGAGGACGGGGCGAGTGTCAAGGAGACGCCGCCAAAGGAAGATAGGCGACTTGATGGAAAGGACTTGATGAATGCAGTCTTGGAGTTGAACAGCTATCTAGCTGGAACTCGAGCTCGTCTACAGAGAGTCCTCGATCCCGTCACGGGAAACCTAAAGCCCAAGGCCGACCGAAGCGGTACCCCTGAGGAGGAAGTGGAGAACTTCCTAAGGACGAGTCTCGATGAATCAGAAAAGCAGCTCGAGGAGGACCTGCGAAATACCTTCCGCCTAGTCGATACGACGCTGTTCCGCGCTTACATGTACTCGCGACCGACCTTGGCCAGCTCACTATTCCGCATCCCCAACTTTTGCGACCCCGAGGTGGTCAACGAGAAGCTTCTAGAGCATAACAGGTACACGGAGCTGGTTGACTTCTTCTACGGCAAAAAGCTACACAAGGAAGCCCTGGAACTGCTACGAAAATTTGGTTCAGCGGAATCCCCAGATGATGCTGCCCCAACCCTTCATGGACCAGGCCGCACGATCCAGTACCTCAAGAGCCTTCCTCCGTCGGAAATCAACCTTATTCTGAAGCATGCGGAGTGGACTCTCAAGGCCAGCCCAGACCAAGCGTTGGAGATTTTCATCGGTGATACCGAGAACGCGGAGACGCTGCCGCGAGAACAGGTCGTGGCCTTTCTCCATGCGGTCGATACAAAACTCGAGGGCAAGTACCTGGAGCACATCATCAACGAGCTAGAGGACATGACGCCGGACCTACACAACCGCCTTGTCGAACTTTATGTCAAAAATCTCAAGGGAGGAGAGAGGAACAAGGAATGGAACGCGTTGATGGAGCGGTTTGTAGCATTCTTGAGGGAGTCACGGCAGGTTTACAGTTTGAGCAAAGCATTTGGACTGATTCCAAGAGATGGTAGGATATTCTGCCCCAGTCTTGCTGGCTTGCTGCTAACATTAATATAGACCCGGCGTTCTACGAGGCGCAGGCCGTGGTGCTCAGTAACATGGGCCAACATAAACAGGCATTGGAGATTTACGTCTTCAAGATGAAAGATTACGTCAAGGCTGAGGAGTATGTAACCGGTCCACCAGTGGGGATGATTCTTGCTAATAAGTAACAGCTACTGCAATCGCGTTCACATGGATAGTCCTCCGCCATCTCAGGCAAACAACACTTCAGACGACCCAGAAAACACCACGCCGTCCATTTATCACACCCTTCTTTCGCTATACCTCCAGCCAACTCCGCCGAACCAGCCCAACTTGGAGCCCGCTCTCGATCTGCTTTCTAAGCACGGGTCTCGTCTACCTGCAACATCGACATTGGGTCTAATCCCCGATGAGCTTCCCGTCAGCTCGCTGGAGTCGTACTTCCGTGGTCGAATAAGGTCGGCCAACACTCTTGTCAACGACTCCCGTATCGCCGCAGGGTTGCGCAAGTCGGAGGGAATCTCCATCGCGGCGCGACTACACCTAGGCGACGATGCGCCAAACGGCCAAGGTGGACGCAACCGGCACGTAGCCATCACGGAGGAGCGGCACTGTGTCGTGTGCCACAAGAAACTAGGCGGCGGCATGCGCATCGGTGGGAGCGTGGTGGCGGTCCTGGCGGACAACACAGTGGTGCACTATGGCTGTCTGAACCGAGTGACGGGGAACAAGGTGGATTCGTCGCGGGCGCCTAGCTGGGGCAGAGGGTTCTAGATATCCATTTCTTTTTCTTTCTTTCTGCTTGTCTTGTCGTGTATGGGAGCATCCATCGGGGTGAGTTGTTGCTTGTTCATGCATTGAGTTGAAGGGGTTTTTGAGGAGCATTTGCATGGGTTGGATCCGGTGGCAGGCAGCCAGCATGATTTAGCAATACCCAAATAAACCCACATCTAGGTTACTGTTGAGATTCATGGCGAGAGAAGCGGCTTGTGATCCGAGTTGCGGCGAAACTCAGTCCTCATCCTCCTGGACCTCCTCGCCGTAGTTCTCCTCCTCCTTGGCGTCGTCGATGAGGCCATTCTTGGAAGCTGCGTCGCGGGCCTTGTCCTCTTCCATACGGGAAGTGAGCTCCTTGTTGATATGGACCTGGGCGTCGGTGACGGCGGTGCGGAGCGCGGCGAGGTAGGATGTCTTGCCGGCGACGGAGGGGGGTGATTGCAGGGCGGGGAGGGAGGTGCTGATGGTGAAGGGGTCGCTGGTGGGCGAGGAGTAGGCTGCGGTGAGAGAGTTGGAGGCCATTTTGGACGAGCCTCAAGGGTCTTGAGGGTTGGTTTTGACGAATTGGTTGGTGATATCAAATTGTCGTCGTTCTTTAATCGTGGTTGAATGGGAGTTTTTGTAAGCGGGCAGTGGTGGTGTTTTGTTGGACTTGGCGCGGGGTTGAGCGCCACATGTCATTTATGTGTGGATGCAGGGACATGGGCTCAGCAGCCAAGCTTACATACATCCATGCTGCATCTGAACTCGTATCTGAACAAGCATTCAACCTTCAACCTTCTCCTGCGGCCACCGCGACAATCCTCTCGACACGCATCTAAAACCGCAAGCACGACCGGCCGTTGCATTACCCAGCGGCACACCAATCTGAGCCACTCTCGACGCGCCCTCGCGATCCTCCAATCACCCAGGGGCCCTCAGACCCCTCGAGCGACGGCCCGCGCTAGAATTATGATCAACATGTAACCACGCCGCCTCGCGCATCAACGACTATGCAACCGACACGACCCCAGCAGCCCCGGGGCCCCGGCAGCTTCAACCCGCTCTCCGGCAACCCGTCGCAGCCGTCTCAGGCGTCTACGTCGTCACGACCTCCCTTGCGCCGCGTCGAGTCCTCGGACAGCGAAGACAACAACAACAAGAACAACAACCCTCCTCCAAGACCGTCCATCACCATCCCCAGATCCCGCCCCTCGCAGCAGCCGCAGGCCTCGTCGCCGGCGACGCCCATCTACGCCCAGTTCGCCTCGCACGCCAACTCGAGCACCTCCAGCCTGCAGCAACACCACCAGCATTTCTCGCGACCCGCCGCCTCGCGCGCCGTCACCCAAGGCTCCCCGGGGGGACCGCTGCTCAAGGGGCACTCGCGCAAGCACTCGGCCACGCAGGGCATGTTTGAGCCCACGCTGCCGTCCACAAGTACCTCGAACCTTTCGTCGCACGTCGGCATGAACCACCACGCCGGACCGCCCTCCACATCGTCCGCCGCGGCTGCTGCTGCGGCGGCGGCGGCGTCGAACTCGGCGGCAGCGGCCATGTCTGCGAGCCAGATGGCCGCGCAGGCCGCCGTCATGTCCCACCAGAACAATATGCACAGCCGGCAACGCTCTCAGACGGTGCCGTTTCCTGGCGACGCCAACGAGGGCATTCGGCGCGGCAGCGGGAGCAAGGGACCCTCCGGTCCGCCCATGCTGAGCCTGACGGAGGCGAGCGCTCCGCGGGATACCGGGTTTGGAAACCACGGCGGACACTCTGATCGATATGGCAGTTCTCACTCCTCCGCCGCGACTGCGGCAGCCAATGTGGTGTTTCCACGGTCCGGACACAACTCTCCTCGAGGCCCGCACTCCGTATCGCCGCAGCCTTATTCCCAACAACCTCCACCCCCACCACCGGCGTCAGAGAAGCCTGGGGCGACTAAGCCCAAGGTCAAGCTCTTCTCTCGCCCTGGCAAGATTAGCACCAAGGGCGAGACCAAGGAGAAGCCGTTGCCTAGCCCGGGCAAGATTGGGTCGGCTCTGTCTGCGCTCCAGCGCGGCAACTTCAGCACCACCAGTCTAGTCGAGGCGAGCAATCAGTCCATGTACAGCATGAACAACTCGTCGTCGGCTACTATTCGGCCTGTCGATTCACAGATGGACGAGAAAGAAAAGGGAAAGGAAAAGGAAAAGAAACATCACTTCCTATCACGGCAGAAGAACAAGCTCAAGGATGAGTATCATCTCCCGCTCTCATCGGCCGCCAGCAATTCGAGGCCAACCGACCCGAATGCGCCAAATCCCCTTTACAACTTCAACATTCCCCCGAGCCCCGGACCAAATTCGACCAGTTTTGCCAAGACAAAGAAGGAAAAGAAGCTTGCTGAGCGCTCCGAGGCTCGCCTTGAGAGCGAGGGAAGCTTCAGTCTACAGAGCGAATGGCCCGGTCCGAGCAGTTTACCGTCGTTATCCCAGCAATCAACTATGTACGAACCCATCGACCCTGGGAAACTTGGCCTTCAGAACATGTCGCTGGACGACGCCTGGCCAGTCCTCAAGGCCAAGCTGCTGGTCATCTTTGAAGGCGAGGATCTTCGACCCACAATCGAAGATTTCAACAAGGTGGTTCAGATGCACATCAAATGGTGCATGCACCGGCGGTCACCAAATGCCATGCTCGAGGACCTCAGGGATCTATTGTCGACAGGCTTCTCTTCCTTAGACCGCACGCTGCGGAAGACGCCAGAGGATCGCTTCATCCCAGTGCTAGTTGAGCTCTGGATATTCACCTTTACATCCATCTTACCATATTTGCAGGCCGTTTTCCTGCCGCTCGACCTCGAAGTTTCGGGCTGCGGTACAATCATGACCGGAGAGCAGGCCCGGGACTTCTGGGGCGGCGTCATATCGTCCTCGTCGTCGAACAAGCCGGCGCGGGTGACTCCAGCAGCGACGGTGCTTGATGTCAGGAGGTTGGTGCTCATCGCGTACAGAGATATCGTTATTCTCCCTCGCTACGAGACCCTCAAGACCATCTTCTCCCGCCTATCTTTGGAGATCCTGCCATCCTCCCTAGCCAATACAGCACTATCATCTCCTCCCCAGGACGCTATCCTGTCCACCTCCCCCTCAGAGTCCTTCACCTCGATGGCCCGCCCCGGCACTGCCATGTCGCTGGATCCATCCAACGCGTCGTACAACTCGAACAGCACGACGCTACTGGGCGAAGGTTCAGCGGGAGGCCGCAGCCGCGCCATCAGCAACGTCAGCTTTGGCAGCCACGGAAGCGATGGCGTATTGCGCCCCTTCACACCCTCAGGCAGCATGCCACCGCCTCCGGGGCTAGGCAGCGTGCGTGAGCGCGAGCAGAACGTCGACGACTCCAAGCACGTTACCGACATGGTCGGCCGCATGCTGCAGTGCATGAGCGTGCTGTCGAGTCTGGGTGGCGTCGCGGCCGGCGACCCCAACGACGAGGGCAGCGCCAAGATGGTCGAGCTGTGCAAGATGCTCAAGCTCAACTGGCTGGGTCGCGGCAGGACGGGACGGAATCGGAGAGGCATTGTTGGCGGGAGGGTGAGGAGGGAGGATCTAAGAGATGAGCTGCGCGTTGCTTGAGTGAAGTCATCATGAACAGATATTTAGCACACCTTCTGTAAGGATTTGGGAGCCTATGGCTATTGTATGAGAAATGGGATTGACGGATATTGCCTTGGGAAAGGTAGACAGACAGATGAAATGACGAAGCGTTGACATCCAGCGCAATTTGCAATTCAGACTGCATGGGGTTACATCTCGACTCTCAAAGCTCGATACTCATCTAAACAGGAACATATATTTCACACATTACAAGCGAAAAGTTGTCACGATTGGAGCACTTTAAGATTTGGTGACACAATGCTTCATTTATTTTCAGGTACATAATGTTGCCACGCGTGGGGCGGTTATGATTTTGCTGCAAACTTTTCCTCCTGTTAGCTTCGTATTCGAAGATGGATTTTTGGACAACAAAACGGATCATAGGTATGTGATAAGACATCCAAGGAAGTGCATAACCTTCATCTGTCCCAAAAAAGGCTCAATGGGACTCAAGTGGAAACTGCGAATGTGGTGGAAAATTTCATCATTTCACGGGGTGGTATTGTGGAGATGAAAAAAAGATGTACTCACAAATTAGATGCTTCACATGCTCTGGGTGAGCTATGTTGGCGTTAGTGACTAGGTGTAGCAATAGCCGAGATCTATAGGCAACAGTTGTTAGCAACGCTGCAGACACCAAAGATTGCAAAAAATGTGAGGTGTGATGTGTAGTCAGACAAGATACTGGCAAGTAACAGGCCTAGGGCCCGAACAGGCTGAATTTCTTCATAGGCGATTCAGTTGGGAAAAGAAGACTTTTGTTAAAGTGTCATCATTCAAGAGGGGTGGGTGCGATGCAGGAGCGAGGAATTGGAATCTTACCATCAAAGATGCGTGGCGGCTTGGGAGTGCCTGTCCCGGAAGGGAAAATTGCATCCAAACGCGTCAAACCAGCGCGTTCGCTCTCAGACCATCGCTGCGAGACGCTTTCAACTGCAGCTGCTCCAAATCGCAAAGCGGCGTTTGCAGAGTCGTCGGAGTCTCGAGCGTGTTCGTCAAGCTCCCAGTAGCAGAGCTGTTGAGTGTGGAAGGGAATACTGAGGAAGGAAAGAAGTTTGCGGCTCACGGCGAAGCTTGATATTGGAAGACAGTGCCAGCAAAAATTTTCCGCAACGCCAAACACTGTGGCGATATCACGTGCTTGTCGACCCACGGTTACGGCACTAGCGGCGGACGCCAGCAGACTAGTGCCGTACCGCGATAGATGCATGGCAAATGTCTAGGTACCCGCCCCAGCAGCCAGGGAGGAGTACCCGCGAGCCATGGTGCTAGATGCGGGTTTGCCTGTGCGGAAAACGGCATTTGGAAGGGGCATGGCGCCAGGGGTGCGGATCATGATGGTTCTACGAGTTTTTGTTTGCATTTTTACACTTGCCAATCACGTGTCTGCTTGTGTGTGTATGATTGTGTCTGTTTGTTTCTACTTTGTGCGTTTCAATCAACGAGGCACTGACATGCCACGCAAAGTCGATTGCGCCCCCCGATTGGGGCATTGGGGGAAGGCGTGCGGACTTTGGGATTGAATTTGATCGGTTTGGGGGATAATTAGAAAGCGCCCGCGCCGCGGCCCCGGGTTGGGAATCAATCATCGCGTGCCGGGGCACAATGAGATTGGACAGGATGTAGGCGCCCCGGTTTAGAGATATGGAAAACAGGGTCCCCAGCCACCGGATTTAGGGTGACAAAATAAAGTGACACATGGGGACGCTTTGTCAGTGAAAGTCTGTTGCGCTTATTTAAGCTCCCGGGGTTTCCAGAAGTCAGATTAACTACGGATAGGTGCATGGAATCCACTTTAAGCGGGTCGCGCGGTCCGCCCTGTATCAGAGTTGAGAGCCACGTCCTGCTGGTTAGGCTCTGGCTTTGAGGGCCGTCCACCCACTCACCTCACCCACTTGTCCACTCTCGAGTCGACTCGACCACTCAACTTGCCGGCCTTCTATCCATGACTCCGCCCACTCACGCCTGAGGCCCACGACCCACGACGGACGCAAGCAAGAGCGAGTAAGTGCGAGCGAGAGCGATCCCCCCGACTCGGGTCCCTCAGATTGCTCCGATTGTCTGCCCAGATTGTCTCCCGTAGTCTCCTTGTCAGTCGGTTCGGTCTCGTCCGGCCTTCACAGCGCGAGCGCAGGGCTGGCCACTACCGACTGTACCTACTGTCCCTGCTCCGTACCGACTCGTCCTCCCTTTCTCTGCTCCCATCCCATCGGATCGGGGGAGTCTCCCAGCGCCTCCCGAAGCAGAAGCACCGGCCATCGGCGTCTGTCTCCCGCGTGTATCTATCTCGCTGCCCTCCTCAGTTCTTTGTCCCCTTTCCCATCTTCCACGTTCCCTCCCCTACCTACCAACCAACTATACTGAACCCAACCGACTCTTGGGCCTCCCCACCACCTCTCGAGTCTCCCCTCCGGGCGCCTTTTGCTTCCTCTGCTGTTGGGTCGCCTACCGCCTGCTCCCGCCTGCTCACTGCCTGGGCCGTCCCGTCCCTGTCGCTGTCGCTGTCGCATCGCTGTGCAGTACAAAAGCCCGGCAAGCGCGCGGGAAATTTCCCACAGCGGCCCCCAGCAGCCCCCAGCAGCCCCCAGCAGCACAGTCCAATCCTGTCGGTCCTATCCTGTCAGCCAGCGGATCATCCTCCGGTGACATCGCACCCACGCCCACCGAGCGAGAGTACGCCTACGCCCTGTCGCCCACTCCCGCACACACGCCTCCGCCGTCGTCTCCTGGCGCCTTTCCGACAATCCGCCTTTCCACCACCACCATCAGCTATCAATCCGCAATCCACAATCCGCATTGCTCGAGGCCGTCGTCTTCGCTCGCTCGCCGCCGCCCTCGCTCTGCCGTGCTGGCTGGCTTCCTCCTGGCGGACCTCGTGACGGGCCACTCGCCCCATCGTCACCTCATTCGCCCAGCGCCCTCTCCTCGCCTTCGGCCTTCTTTGTGCCCATCGCGAACCACACCATTCACCCGACTCGCCTCCCCCTCGCCGATGCCTCGCCGTCACTCGTCCGTGTAATCGCCTGTCCTCGTGATAGATCTACTCGATTCTCCGCGTTTCTTTCCTGCTCTCCGCGACCTCTGCTCGCCTGGTCCGACCGTTATCGCATTGGGCCGCCCCAACCCCATCCTGTCTCGTCGCGACACGCGAAAAGGATAGACCACCTCGATCACGACCACAACTACACCCAACCACCGGTCGGGATCTGCGCCTGCCCCATCCTCGGGTCATCGCCATTGTCTGACGCATGCGCCTGCGATAGTGTTCAAACGCGCTCGTCGATATCCACTTGGTGGATAGTCGGCCACGAAATATAGACATGATGGCAACCAGTATGGGTCCAAACTTTTCGGGGCATCCCGCCGGCATGGGACACCCAGGCGTCACCGGGCATCCCATGGCCCCCGGCATGCCTCATAACCCGGGCCAGCAGGGCGCTCCTGCTGGCGGTATGCCGCATCAGTTCGGCGGTCCCATGGCAGTGTCCGCTCCTGGAGGACAAGTAAACCCTGCCCTCATGGGCGGCATGCCGCCGGGTGCGAACCCAAATGCTCATGCTTTGCAGCACCTGAATCCCGCTCAGCAGCAAATGTTCCAGCAGCAGCAACAACAATTGCAGCAGCAGTGTAAGTCTCCGTCGCGCCCACGGGCCTCGTTTCACAATACCGCGTGCTAACTGCATCTTCTCTCCAGTCAACAGCCCACAGGCGATGGCCGCAATGCGGCAACAACAGCAGCTGCTCCAACAGCAACACGCGAGGCAGGCTTTGATGGCTCAACACGCTTTCCAGCAAGCCAACATGCAGGGCGTCAATGGCATGCCCATGGGTATGCAGTTGAATCAGCTCAACCCTCAGCAGCTTCATCAACTAAGGCAGTCCGGTAGACTCGGGCCTGTAAGTTTGACTCTACATGCACGTCTGTCAATTGACCTTCGCTAACTGATATACCAAAGGCACAGCATCCCCAAGCACAAGCCATCATGGCCCAGCAGCTCGCTCTCCAGCAGCAGCAGCAGCAGGTCCAGCAGCAGCAACAGGCTCAACAGCAACAGGTCCAGCAGCAGCAGCAGCAGCAGCAACAACAGGCCCTTCATTCCCAGCAGATGCAAGGTGGTCCCAACCCAGGACAGCCCATGCCGATGACGGCTCAGAACATGGCGAGTATGCAGCAGCAGCAGAACCAGCTGGCCGCGTCCCTCCAGAACCAGATGGCAAATCAGCAGGGCCAACAACAAGGACAGCCTCAAGGACCTCAGCCACAGCAACCTGGTCAGCAGCCTCAGCACACGCCGCAGCCGTCTCAGGCTGGTACTCCAGCGCCCACCGGACCCCAGACGCCAGCTCAAACACCTGCCGCGACCCCTGTTCAGTCGAACCAAATGCCTACTAGCCAGAACCAACCTCAGGGTCCCCAAACTCCAGCTCAACCTCAGCCTCAACCCCAGCCGCAGCAACAGCCGCAGCCTCAGGCCCAAAATCAACCCCAAAATCAACCTCAAATGGCGGCAGCGGCGGCGCAGCAAATAGCGCTGACAAATTCATTGATGCAGCAACAGCGGAGAGAGGGCATGAAGGGACAGTGCCTGCTGAAGCTGATGCAGTTCGCTGAGCATTTGAGCGGCTTCCCAGTAGGTCGACTTCCCGCAGCACCCAACGCAACAACTACTAACAAATGGCTGCACAGGGACCCAGGACGCGAGACGATCTCTCGTACTGGACAAACTTCGTCATCCGATTCTTCTCCCCGAACGGCGTTTTCCGACACTCGCTACACATTACCGACGCCGATGACACAACTGACAAGCAATACGAAATCCCCTACCCCGCTATTGCCCGATACTTCCACACGCACTTTGGCGGAGGTGTCAAGAACATGCAGTTGATTATGGACAAGGGAACCACGGATCGGCCATTACCTGGTGACTGTCATTGCATCGAAAACTCCAAAGCCAGCCTTGTCTACTGGTTCGAGACCGGGTCGCACGTAGGTTTTACACTCTTGATGCACATGTGCGAGATGAAAATGCTCACCGGTTCTACAGTTGGTTTCGAGTGGTACCCTTCGAGCGCAATTCGATGCCGAGCAGAAGATTGAGCTTTTCGAATTCCTCACCACCGGACATGAAGAGTACATCTCTCGGAGACAGGTCATTGAAGCCGCGAAGCCGGCTCACATGTGGATGAAGGAATGGCACAAGACCAACTCGCAGGATGGCAAGCAGTCGCCCGAGATGTCCAAGAAGGGCAAGGGCCGACAGATGAAGTCACCGCAAACAGCCCCCCCTGAAGTGCTGGTCGATCTCCCAGATTCGGCTGTCAACAGCAAGGGTGTTACGGAGGGTGTATTTCAGTTTCTCGAGGTAGGAAACTATCCATAGAGGCACACAGAGTAGTGCTAATAGTCACGATACAGATCGTCGAAGTCATGGGACAGATGAATCCTTTATTCGGATTCTACCACTCCAACTCTGGCCTCGGTCCCTATGCGGCCCTGGAGCAATATGTTACGACTCACATCAACGGAGCCCCCCAGGTCATGAACGGCCAGCCGATGCAGCCCCAAGGCCCTAGGACCCCGAGTTTTGGACAATTTCCCATGGGTGCGAGCCCTGCAGCGGCTCACATGACCCTTCCCGGGTCTCCTCACATGGGCAGCCCTGCGCAGGGCCACATGCAAGCACCCGGGATGCAGATGCAACAAAGCCAGCAGGGAACGGGCTCCAGCGGGCCTAGCGCCAACACTTCACCAGCCTCGAACAAGCGAAGACGTCCTTCAGGAGTCAAGGCGGAGGACGACGGATCAGGAGCACCGACGCCCGGAGGCACCGGCCAGGTCAACGGGATGCCTCGAGCCAAGCCGCCAACACCGCGAATGCCAAAGCGAGTCAAGGGCAACCCTGCGTGAAAAAAAAGGCATGTCACAGGCTCGCTTCACTGAGTGAGCGACCCGGTTTATGCCCCTTTTATGTTATCCATCATGTTGCATGGCGGCGTCTCTTGCTTGCACGGTTTTGTTGGGGTTGGTTCTTGGAAAATGGTACGGAGCGGGGGAAGAACGGAGCGCATTTGTACTGGATGTTTTGCAGGCCGGCACGTCACAGACACCCACCAGCCCTGGCAAAGTCTTATTGAAGGGTGGTCTGTACGCATGGACATACAGCTTGGTCACGGCGCGCAACTGATGGGATACATCGACGGTCGGTGGAGTTGCAGGTCTTGCGAGGCGTTGTGGGGTTCACTCCGAGTTTCACGATGAGTTGTGAAGATGCGTGAGTGGACTGGAATCGATACCGTTGCATGTTGCAATGATCGACAATGCCGGCCGCAGCCCGAGACCGCGAGAGCCGCATGGCAATCGCCAAAGAAGGAATGGAGTGTGTGGGGAGTGAAGTTAATTTGGGTAACGGATAGACAGTTACTCGTGTACGACTACCATGGCTCACGGCTCAGGTTGGCGTCGAAGCCTTGACATTGTTTTTGGTATGGTTTGTTTTTCTACCTGTTTCGGAGGATGCGCAAGTGTTTATGGGGGAGATTAGAGGTCGCTTGGGAGGAGGTAGTTGGGATATGGCATTTGTGTAGCAAGGCCGTCAAGGGCATCTGCGAGAAGCAGAAGCAGCGGAGGAGAGAAGGAGAAGGAGATGGAATGTGTGATTGGGTGGTTGCGTGGTTGCGAGCTGTCTTGGGGGCGTGGATATCAAGGACGTTGCAGATTATACCTAGGTTCGTTTTATATGTTGTGATGCTTGAAGCAGGGAGGGGTTTACATGGTTGGGAGGGCGTGGGATATGCATCGGTAGTTATTCGTTTAACAACTATTTCAAGGATACCATCCACGGCCAACTCAGATGTGTCTCTGCCAATCCTGCCAGTCCCTTGCGCTAAGATGCAATCCGATGTGATCCGATGTCAATGAACATGATGCAATTCCAATCAACAATCAATGTCGAGTCCGTGAATACAAGTCCGTGAAGCAACCTTTTCGAGTGTCATGTCCTCGGCCTCCTTGAAACTTGACCTTGATAGCTAATCCCTGTCGTCCTGTTGATCTGCTGTCGATCATCCCGTCAATTGATGAAGCGTTCCCCGCAAACGTCCCCGGAGTTTGGTTTGTTGGTGTTGACTTTGGTGGAAACCTTTCGGAACGCTTCATCCGCTCCCGCCAAACAGCCACGAAAAGCCCGTATTCTTGGGCGCAACGGTTTCCCCGCGGATGGCGAGGTAGCACTTGAGGGCCCCGTCGGAAGCAGCCATCATCTCTCGCAGCAGAAACCACTCGAGCTCGGAGCGGCCTAAGAGATCCGTCTTGGTGATGGGGTTGCGGTAGTGCCAGTCGTCATCGTCAGGACCCAGCGGTAAGATGGTGCCGCGGAACGTCCAATATAGCGTGACTGAGATGAGCTTGGGGCGGCGGAGAGACAACGCAGTGCGACGGCGGGAGGACGTCTTCTCGCTTTCGAGGGATGAGCCGGTGTTCGTGCCGTGTAGGGGCGAGGGCGGCATGGGGATGCGAGTGCGCAAGATGGTGAGAAGTTGAGCCTTTGTCGTATCGAGGGGGATGCGCAGGGGCGTCTGAGGCAGATCCCAGGGGTGGGTTAGAGAACTGTCGTTTGCGGCATCGTAGATGACGAGATCGAACTCGAGATGCGAGCTGGTGCCGGAGTTGGGCAGCGGCGTGAGTGGCGAAGGGGACGAGTGGGTGGCCGCGAGAGGGTGAAGGTGATGCGGCGATGCTCTGGGAGTTGGAGTTGGCGACGCGCGGACAACGGGTGTGAAGGGCTTAGACTTGGGCGGCTCGAAGGGCTCTTGGGCGGTGATGCAGAGATCCATGGTTGCTGCTGTTGAAGCTTTCCGGGGGTTAAAAATGTGTGAATATATCGAGGATGGCGTGAGGAGAGAGGCGGAGTGAAACGGATGGAGACTTGGAACTTGGGCACGAGGATGTGACCCGGTGTGGATCGACGATAGTGTCACCGCGTAGATATGCAGTGAAGAGGCTCAGATGAGGAGATTAACATGTTGACGCAGAGTTGCGCCTTTTCTGTGTCGAGGTCGGCGGCTCTTCAGTTGCGTTTCACTTTCCGATCAGCTGTTGGCGGCGTTGGCATCGCAGCTTTCTGGGTGTGATTGGTGATGCTGTTGGAGCAATGAGGAAGAGAAGTCGTTTGAGTCGACTAATGGGAGTTGAGAGAAGGTGGTTTCGGTAGATAGTTTCATTAGGTGTTGGGTGGTGCAGATGTATTTATTGAACGGGCTCAGAGACTGCCCGGGTGTTGTGATTGACTGTTCTCAACGCCAGCAGGTTCCGTGTTGCATCTCGGCCATTTAACGACTCTTCGACTAGAGGCTCTTGGTTCTAAGCGTTGTTCTCCTCTAAATCCGGTATTGACAGATGGTAGAGAGTTGCTCTAACTCCTACTCGTCACTACCACTACCACTAACACTATCACGATCACCGCTTTCTGCCTCGTTTTCTGCCTCGTTTCGTTGCCTCTCAATCTCTGCCCGGGTATTCACATTCACCACCAAAACGGCCCCATACTGCCTCCCCCGAATGCCCTCCATCACTGCGTTGAGCTCTCTCGCCGGCAGTCTATCTCGCAACTCCACCGTCCGCACCACATGGTCCGCCGGCGGAGCAGCCGTGGCTCCGGCCAACACTACCGGCGTTGATACATCCCTGGTGAGGTATAGGCGCGCCTGGCGTAAAGACACCCGGTTCCCGAGGCCGTGCTGTGTCGCCAGGATTGACAGGTTGCTGCGGAGGGTGTCGCGGCTGGGCGGCGAGTCATAGGCGGCGTCGACGGATATGCTGAACGGGCCTCGGGCGTGGCCGGGGCGATGGGTGCCGTGGAAGACTATTTTGATTTTAATTTGAGAAAGGGGGGAGTATGGGACGTGGAAGAATGTGGTCGGCGGTTGGTAGTATTGGAAGGTAACTGCAGGGTAAGTAACAAGAGGGTAGTAGACGGGAGTCGTGAGGATTGGTGTTGGTATGGTAACAACTGGAGTTGTTGCGACCAGAGGAATAACCCTGGGCTGAAGCCTAAACACGGGGGGTTGGAATAGGAACTGCATGCTCACGAGAATGACAGTTGACGATGCTATCAGGAAAGTTGAAGAAATTCCTCAGTGGCTAGTTCAACGGGTTCTTATTGTCGAAGCGATTTCAAAATATAAATGTACAGGGTAGGTCGTGATGCAGTGTCGTTTAGCCTCTACACTCTATTCACTCTGCCACTGTATCATAGCATTCGGCGATGAGACGCCCTCAACGAAGCCAACAATGAATCAAACCGATCGTCTGGATAATAGCCTTACACTGAGATTCTGGGGTTGATATCGGCTGCTTGGTGCTCGCGTCCGTCGGGTCGCAGTGACGCATGGAGCGGCACAACTGGAAGCAAAATAGCCTGGATTTTCAACACCTTTGAACGGCAAACAAAATAAACCACAGCAGGTAGACTGCAAGCCAAATTGCGATCACCAATGTGCAGCCAATGGTCCTACGGGGGAAAGGAATAAGCAAGGTGATGACACGAGCTTTTGTTTTTTGCAACAGGTGGTTGCATCCTGGGGGACTTTTGCACAAGGCGAACCGGATCCACGACTTTTTTGGGATTGGTAATTACATCGTCAGGATACAGCAGATCTGATGCATCATGGGATTGCCGGACCGCGCGTATTGTTTTGTCCCCCTGTGATTAAGTTAGGCCCCCAAAACAGAGCCCCGGGAGTGGGATATTGACTGTGATTGCCAGCGTCATGATCGGCAGTGTGTGGGAAAAGCTTGTATTGTAGGTACAAACATTGTCAAACATTGGTGGCCGGGACGTTTGAGTTGAGACGAACGCAGAGCCCTTGACCAGCCAGTCAAACGCCGAGCTTTTCGTGCATACACTGCCCATCTTTAATCTGTCAGTGAGAAGATGTATTTCCGGGCGGTTTGCCTAGAGGCCGCCATCTTCAAAAACCCGGCACAGGTGACACCTGATCGACGGGCTGCTTGCTATTGGCGTCATCGCACCTCGACAGCCTCCTCTGCCGCGTTAGCAGAGCGCTAGCCGCCTGTCTCGCCTTGCCCGTTCCAGGCGATGCGGAGCTCGACAAGGATGCCGCTGTTTGGGCGGTTTCTGGCGGTTATTGGGATTTGGATTGCCTTGTGGGCGTTGTCGTGTTTGATTGTATCTTCTACGTTGAGGATATTTGCACTTACACAAAGGTCATCATCCCCCCCGTCATATCAGATTATTCACTGCATCATCCTTCCTACGGTGTCGCTTCCAGCGGGAATAGCCTCACACTGGGTCCTCGTTTCTTTTCTTTTCTTTTTCTCCTCCTCGACCCAAAAACTTGTCACCCTCCCTCCGACTCCGAGATAAAAGCGGTGACACACTCAAAACACCACAGAAAAAAAAAAAAAAAACGGCCACCGCCATCCAGATCGACCGTCTAGCATGACGCCACGTCCCCCTCCAAGTTCTCTCGGCCGGCACTAGTATTAGTCCCCCAATTCTGCTTCTCGCCAAGACGCCACACAACTCTGGCGGTAGGGCAGCTGAACGGCAGATTCGGAAGTATCCGTACTCATCCTCATGCAGATTTAAGTATTGGGCTGCATGTACTGTACTCTACACGTCGGCCGACTGATGGTCCGCTCTCCTGGTCATCCGCTCTTCTCCTCATCCGCTCTTTTGCTCTTCTGCTCATCCACTCCCTACTTCATCTCTTTCTTCCTCCACCCTCTTTCGCCTCTCGCCTCTCGCCTCTCACCTCTCGCCTCTCACCTCCTTGCTTTAAGAGCCACCTTAGCCGCCCCCGCTCACCACCAACCCTCCCGTGTCTATTTCTAACCGCAAACCAAACCAGAGTGATAGGCGAATAATGCCAATGAGAGTGACAGCCGGGGATACCCAGAGTGACTGCACCCCGAAAAAGCAGCGCGAGGAAAAACCACCAAATACGTAGTATATGATGCCGGGAACCACCAATCCCCAGACCGTAGGTGGCACATAATTGCCTAACCGACTGTACATGTCAGGTCTGGCGTACACATCGACTACGTAGTTGGCAATTGTAATAAGGTAGCTAGCTCAATAAGTGACTGGCCAGGCCGCCCAACCTAGCCAATCCATACAACCCGTCCAACCCATTCAGCCCATCCAGCCCATCCAGCCCTCACTTGTCGCTCTCCCTCGCTCCATCCCTCGCCTTCTCATCTCATACAGAAAAAGAAACAATAAATACTCACCTACCAATGCCTACCCAACGCTAATAAGGGCGTCCACACCCCCACATCCGTCCCATCACCAACATCCTCTCTCCCTCACCATCTCCTCTCAAGCTTCCGCTCTCCGCCATGATACCATGCCGGGTACGCTCATCCCGCCGTGGTATGTTTCCCACCAGCCCTCGTGCGACGACCTGGTCGTCGTGAGCGTCGTCTGGGGCCTGTCCCTGGGCCTCAGCATCTTTGGCTTCATCCGCGCCGCCAACCAAACCTTTCACCAATGGAAGCGCGCTCGCAGGGTCACGGCCTACATGGTCTTCATCTGGCTGGAGCTGGTCGCGAGCACCATAATCGGGGGGATCGGATGGGGGCATGTGTATGGGAGTATTCCTGCTAGGTGAGTCGGATGGATCTTTTGATGTCTAATATCCATATGCCCCCAATTGCACTTACCATGGGCTAACACCAGCTTGAACAGCTTCGAGCTATTCTTCTTCATCAGTGCGCAACCTGAGAATACCCTCCCCTCCCTCTCTCCCTCTCTCCCTCTCTAACAACTACAACAAGTCATCCTCTGGATGTTCCAAATCCACTGCATCATGCAAATCATCATCAACCGCATCGCCCTCCTCGCCGTTTCTCCCTCCACCGTTCGCCGCCTCCGCTGGGGCATCTTTTTCACGCTGCTCATTATAAACATCTCGGTCGGCGTCGTCTGGATCCCGGCCCGCCTGCAAATCAGCCCAAAATGGATACACGTCAACGACATATACGACCGTCTTGAGAAGGCCGTCTTCGCTGTCATTGACGTCTGCCTCAACCTCTACTTTGTCCACCTTGTCCGCTCTTCGCTCATTGAATACGGCCTGACCAAGTACATCTTACTGTACCGGTTCAACCTAGCCATGGTTGCCGTGTCTCTTACCATGGATGTGAGTTGACGGCTGTGGAGCAAATGGGTCGTCGGTCTCGGCTGACTCTTGGATATAGATCCTCATCATTGCAACAATGTCCCTGAACAATACCTTTTTGTGCGCCCAACCCTCAGTCGCATTCAACTCCATCTACTAACAACCCCCAGATACGTCATCTTCCACCCGCTCGCATACCTTGTCAAGCTTCACATCGAACTCTCCATGGCCGACCTCATTGCCAAGATCGTCAAAGCCGCCGGGCCCGACCTCGCCTGCGCCTGCGTCTGCCACCAGAACAACGTCCGTCCCTTCGCCCATCACCTGTCCGTGAACTCGCACAACAGCGCACCAGCCGAACTCGGCGGCGTTGTCATCGCGCCAGACCGCATGCGCCGCTCCTGGCCCAACTGGTCAGCGCCCTTGCGGATTATCCGCCGTGGCGGCGACGACGAGGCGCAAAGGGCGTCAGCCAGCAGGGATAGCATGGGACTGCGGATGTTTCCTCGGACAGAGCAGGTCCGTGGACGGGCGCACAGTTTTGCGTCTCAGCCGCAGCGCAAAGATTCAGGACTTGGCGTGTCCAGCCTGGCGAGTTCAATGGGCCATTCAAGCACCTCCAAGAGCACCACCTCCAAGAGCACCACCTCCAAGAGCACCACCTCCAAGAGCACCACCTCCAAGAGCACCACCTCCAAGAGCACCACCTCCAAGAGCATCACCGACCACTAGGATTGACGGCGATCGAGCCCACAACTTCACACCATCGAGGAGCAGTTGACACGCTGAACTACGGTCAGGGCTGTCACGAGCACCATCACCGCCACTCACGATAATAGTCGACGGGTTGGCGCAAGCCTTCCCCAGACCGGTTTAAACTGCCGATTCCACTGCGCCGCGGGTAGTCACGGGACGAAGCCCCCCTCAGATGGGGGCGGGGGATAATGATGGATGGATTGCATAAAAACCCACACAAACTGGAGCAATTCAAGTGCAAATCAGACTCGGCCAAGAGACGATTGCAGAGCACGAATGCTGCTTGTATTTTCGTGCCTCATCTTCGCATGCACCCCAGACACCCAGAGTCCCAGACACCCAGACACTTCATCTGCGCGGTGACTTCTTCAACCCCCGGCACTCGGCCCCACACGCCTCGGCTCCCCCCGGAGTCTCTCGCGTCCCCGCAATCTCCACCGACGCCGCAACCCACAGGGGACCCAAGGTTGATCCCGTCGGGGGTCTTGCCCATGTCATCTTCTGACGTGCATTCACATAATTATGCCTGATATAATTACCTGTCCATGATTCGAACCGACCCGTAAGTTGCCGTTCCTTCAAATCATCTTATCAACACAGACTGAATCTCTCTTTGCCAGGTCTCCTCGACTCACCTCCCCCGTCAATACGGCTCGTGACCGGTTGGTTCCAGACTACGGACAGACTTTGAGTCGACAGAGCGAGCATTGGTCGGACCGAAATCTGTCATCATTATGGGATGGGACCGAGGGTACCATCGCTCTGACTAGACAGCTCCAGCGCCATCCGTCACTTCACATTGGATATGCCATCAGCGACGCTTCTTCAGTCTCTCTTGGATACCCCACTCCCGCCAACATGCCATAGCACCATGTGCTCGCTCGACTGTAAGTATGCCACAGTTGAGTGCATGTTTTTGTCATATCATTTAGTAGCTAGAATCATATCCATCCTCCCAAGGTTGAAAGAAGAATAAAAAAACACACAAGAAAGACAGCTATGCATTTGCACAGAGCCGTCCCAATCCCCGAACCTCATCCCCATCATACCTGCCATGATGGCCATCAGTTACCCGAGCCACTACTGATTGCCCATGACTGAAATAGAAGCACAAGGCTTGCTCGCCTCTTGGATTTCCTCATGACCCCAGGAATAAACCCCAATTTTTCGGTCTTCATTTCATTTGGCCCAGCTTTGTCATTGCCCATTCCCTTGCTCATACCTTTACTCGTTTCGTTCGTAATCTTGTCATTTTCCATGACCCATTCTCTGCGCCGAAGATTTGCGTGCCGTGCCCGATCGAAGTGATCCCTTATGTACTGGGTGCTTATGTGGCCGAGTGCTTCATATCCTCATCCCTCGCTTTTCCCGATTCGACTTACAGTCCCTCGGGAACCGGGTTCTCATGTTTGGCGGTGCTGCCTTTGCCTCTCCAGGTGCTGACGGCGGGGATGTTGGCCTCGTAACGCACCTCCTCCGTGCCATAGGCGCCAGGGGTTAACTTGATGAGCGTATGCAGAGGGACATTCATCCAGGGGCTCTTGGTCTGGTCCTTCTTCATGAAGTAGGCATATACACATCGCAAGACCGCCTGGTGAGTAACAATCAGAATGTCCTCGCTGCGTTCCAGCTCCATGATGATGGGCTCGAGACGAATTACGACGTCGCGATATGACTCTCCGCCGCGGTAGCGGTAGTTGTACTTGTCCTCGTCGCGGGCGGCGAAGTCGTCGGGGTACCGGTCCTTGATTTCCTGATACGTGAGGCCGTCGCAGACACCGGAGTCAAGCTCATCGAGTGCCTTCCACTGGAGCTGGTTGTAGTGTTCCGGAAGGAAACGAGCAGTCGCAATGGTTCTTCGCAAGGTCGAGGTCCAGACCGTTAGGGGGCGGTCGTCCTGAGAAGCGTGTCAGTATTTTTGGCAGAAGAAATTCATCGAGGTCAAACATACGCCAACAGATTTGCGGACCAGCTCGGGGAGTTTTCGAGCATATTGCTCTCCTCGGGGGGAGAGGAGAGTATCACCGCCGATTCTTCCGTCTAGGTTGTACAAAGACTCGCCGTGCTGTTGTGTGGTCAATAAACATGTCTAGGGCTGAACGCGGGGAGGATGTCTTACCCTCGATAGCCAAACCGACCGGGGGCGGATGTGCAAATTCATGAGGTAGTAGACAACGCGACTCTGGAGGTAGTCTCGGATGCGACTAATGATGACTTGCTTGCCTACATCCATGATCTTAAGGTACGTCAAGTGAGACTCATCGCCATCGGCGTCGATGGTACAGTACACCTTTTCGTAGTTGCGAATGCGGTTACGGAAGTCGAGGGCGGCCTTCTCAGGATCCTGGCCCTTGTAATCGGGGCTGGTAGTCTTGACGTCGCGAATGTTGGCCATAATGAGCTCTTCATCGTCACACTTGCTTTCGACAAAGAGAACCTCGACACCGTTGGCATTGCAAGTTTCGAGGACCCATTTCCGGCGTTCTTGAGTCGAGTTGGTAGCATCGAGGATACCGACGACGCCGCCGGTGCGGAACCAGGCGAGCATGTCAGCGACAGCAGCTTCGGCGGCGGCGCGGCGCTTGCGCTCGCCTTCAGGGTTGTTGGTGTCGAAGAAGTCAGCCGTGGGTTGAGGGGCATCGTTGCGCCGGTAGTTTCCGACATTGAACGTCTGGGCCGGGATAGAAAGCCATTGCAGATAGCGTTGCGCTGCACACGAGCAAAGCAATCAGCCAAAGAACCTAAATGCGACAAGCGCAGTACGACTCGACAGATCCGGGCCAAGGGGAATACGGAATGGTAACGGCGCGGGACCAGATGGAGCATATAATGGAGAGGAGCAGCACGTACCTCGCTGTGCTATGTAACTCTTGCCTCTGGCGGGAAGTCCTACCATGACGACACAGATCTTGGTGTCCTCGACCTGGACACCGACTCCATTAGTTCGGGACGGCATATCGGCGGTGTTGGATGCTATTGAGCGGCTGCGAGATCAAGAGCAAGATTGGAATTGTGGAAGATACAGGTGCTCCAATACTGCAAAGACATGAATCGGAAAGATGGGCCGCGGTCACTGGTCAATGGCTGGAAGTAGCAGCTATGATGGAGCCAGGTCGCGTGAGCCTCGGGCAGCTTTGCCACGGGGTGAGGAGAAGGAGCGAGCTGAGGTTACAGCAGCGAACAGCCAAGGTTATCGGAGAACTGTGGGGTGGCTCGGGACGAGTGTTTGTGTGGATAGGAGCGTTTGGTGTGTGCGACGACACCTCCTTCCTTGGGCCGATGATGCGGCAATCGATCGAGTTGGTCAATCAATCGAACGAGCGAGCAAGCAATCAGTCACTGGCGCGGAAGATGTAGAGCCACGGCGCGTTTGCAGCGGTTGGGAGCTGTTGTGGGGTTTGGTGGATGTGGCCGTTGTGGAGGCTCGATTCGTCAAGCAAGCCGCTGCTGCTGCACTGCAACAGGATGTGGAAAGGTTTGTGAGGCGCGGGAAAGCAGAGGCGAGGCGGAAGAGGCGATCACGGCGTGCGGGATGCAAGGCCGGGGAAAAGGAAACCGACGCAGGAGGAGCTGCTGGTGGTGGAGAGAAAAGGCGGGGACGGGTTGGAGTAGCGGATGGATGGGCGAGAAGGCGTGTACAGTATAAAACGAGGAGTGAGAGGTAGGAAAGGGAGAAAGAGAGAAAGAAAGAGAGGGAGAGCGAGGAGGAAGAGGAGGAGCAGAGACTGAAAGCGAGAGTCTGCGAGGCGGTGATTGGGCCCAAGGCGTCAGTCCGTCCCGAGAGAGAAAGAGAGAGCTCGAGCCGAATGTGCACCCGACGAGCAGCAGAGCAGAAATCAAAAGCACAAAAAGCACCCGACCCAACAGTTGACGAGAGCGACGTGCGCCTTGCATCGTCTTGTCCAGAGTCGCGGCTCCATCTGATTCATGACGATGGAAAAGGATGGATGACCACCCCAGGCCAATCCCAGCCCACCAAAGCCCGCCAGAGCCCGCCAAAGCTCGGGACAGCGCTCCACTGTAGCGGTGCAACCCCCGCTCTGGGTGCCCCGGCCTGTCTTAGAGGCCACTCGAGGCCCCGGGTGCCTTGAAAAGCTTGGGGGTCCAGGTGGACAACGGGATCCATCAGCTCCATCAGCTCCCTCTGCCCGCCCATTTTGGCCATGTCCACTGATCAATGTCCACTGAATGTGTCCTGGAATGCGCTGCATCTTCCCCGGGGCCTCCAAGAGCGCCTCTCTAGCGCCTCTCCAGCGCCCCCTCGACGCCCCTCATCTCCAGCACCCCCGGCGCACCACCCCGAGCCCCTCATTCTCATCGGGGATGCCTTCCAGCTCATCCCCGGCACAGAACACAATCTGCCCTGCATTCTCGATTTCTGCCCTCCACTTTATTTTTCTCTGCCGAGGGTGGGGCTTGAGCCATCGTCCACACTGCCCAGCCCTGTGTGCGTTTGGCAGCAGCTGTCAGCTGCCTCCGAATCCTCCCGGTCTGGGCCTTAACATTGGATATCAGGCATTGTAAGACTGCGTTCCAGTTCCCAGCTTGCCAGCTTCAGATATCGCCGTGAGGGCCGGATATCCATCCGAGCGCAAGGGTGGCTCTATCCCGGGTCCGGACCACGGCGGTGACCCCAGCCACGAGAAGCACAGCACAGGCCGGTCCCGTGTTCTGTCCATTTCCCGGTTCTCATCCATAGGCCATGGGCGAGTCAGAGTCAGTCTATGTCGGTCTCAAGGGCTGCAGGAATGGCCACCGAGAACCCGTCCACGAGACTTTTTGCCCCTCCGGCTCTGTCCGAGTTGGCACCACTCCCGCCTCCGTCGTGTCATCTTTCCTTCCATCCGTCCATACTCCCTTGACGGCATCTTGTTTTGTCTTCGGGGGTGGTCCGGGGTGTCGTGACATTGTCCATCATGGTCAATCTCGTCACCGTGGCTGCCCATGCTCTGCTCGACCGATACGTGCATCGAGCCGGGAACGCGAATGGTCCATCTGACTTTTGGTCTGCAAGGGTCTCCCTCGATAGGTCCAGGCGGCTGCAAGGTCAAGGGAGCTATTCCCTGGCGATCATGTTGCTCGTGCTCTCTCCCTCCCCGGGCTCCCCTCTCGGTCGAATCTTGTGTCGGTGACCGAGCCAGCGAGGGGCAACTTTGCCCACCCGGCACCAGGGACGTGGGTCCTGGCCACCCACGTCCGCTCGATCCCAACGTCCGCACACCGCCTTGCGGCAACACGAAGCCACTTCGGTGGACTCGGCGGCGGATGAATCCACGAACAATAGCCGACTTCGCCCGCTTGAGCGAATCGTCTGGCCAAGAAAACGTCGGAGAATTTCTTGTTTTGACAGCGGGAAATGGTTCTCACCTTGCTGAAGCTCCAAGTGTTACCGCGGACCCTAGTCGTCACCGGCGACGACGGCCCTGCTGCGACGCCTCTCATTCCGAAACTCAACGTATCTGTATCTGGCGGCTAATTGGTGCGGCTTGTTTTACGGTCGTGGCGCTGGGATAAACCGGCCGATGGCAGATGCAGTCGTTTGGCAAGCAATTCAGGTGGAGGAACAACCGTGGTTGTGTCCTTCTCGATAATTTTTTTGTTGAGCGTGGAGAAACGTGAAGATGTGATGAATGAGATCCTCGTAGGCAAGCCTGGCAAGAGAGATCGAGAGGACCTGTTATCGCGATAAGATTGTCTGAATGCCTCGTAGTACTTACCTACCTTATGACAGCCAATCTGCTTGCACATTCTTCCTACCTAGTACAGCAACGTGCACATGTTAAACCGATAAGCTATCGTACCTTCCTAGCCAATTTGCGTCCTGAGGTACCTATTTCTTTATCTAGGTTCTTTACTTCACATTGCCTTGCCAGGTAACTTACACACCTCTCAATCTCATTTGACATCGCGAGACCACCGCATCGGATGCTTCTTGCGTCAAACCACCAACCAAAGCGTTACCAATCACGCCTCCCCTAATGACTATTTCCCCTCTCCCCTCCGCCTCGCTTCCCCCAAATCTGCTCACCTGTTCGACCCCGGGTTCCCCGAGAACTCACGACACCTTTAATCACCCGGTGAAGGCGACAACCATTAATCTCCTTCTTGTTCAGTCTATGGCTCCGGTGTTACAATAGGCCCGCAGCAATCCCAACCTCTCACCGTGTTCCTAGAATCATACCACGGTGATGCGCAGACTATGAAGCCGGTGAGATGTCGTATACTCAATCCCTTGAATAGAAGCGCATCTCTGCTGCGCCGATATCGAAGACCGCCAGAACGTTCTGGAGGAATACGTCACCTAGGATGTACGGCCCGGGCCCTCCACTTGATATACCACAGGCACACAGCCCCGTCTGCGGATCAACCAGGTCCTGGTATATCAAATCGGCCCGGTTGATCCAAAACTCGACCCCGGAAATGATGACGGCGAACGGCGGTGCGATCGCGTCGCAAGGAACAAAGTATGCTCCCCATTGATAGATGTATGTGGCACGAGGCTCGAAGGAGTGCGCGATTGCCTCGGCTAGAGCTGTCCCAATAATCAGAATCACGAAGGGAAGAGCCATGTATGGTATTTACCAGGAGGGAGATGCATCATAGTGGTTCCCGTGTCCACGATGTAAGGATACTTGGTTGTGTCTGTTGTAAGCCCCCACACCACACCATCCGGGATGATGGTATAGAAGGAATATTTCCAGGCCGTTTCCTCCTGATTAATCAAGTTCGCCTAAAGCCTCGTCAGCCTCCGCAACTGAAATGTGCCTGACATCAAGCCATTGAACAGCGACTTACAATGATAAGATCTGTCACCGCTTTGGACTTGCGATTCCACAACATGGGAGGTACTCCGCCCCAGGTCAGGATTCCGTCACTCGAATTCCTCATAATGGCCACACTAAAGACGGGGTCAATCGTGCCTTGGGCTATTGCCCTTGTCAGAAACGGCGTGTAAGGAATCGCGAGCCAAGTCTCTTCCTCGCCCACTTGACCATAATAGGCACTCGTGATGGATGGGTAGGCGAGGCCAAGAATCCCGACGGTGACGTTGTTACCGTGCCAGTAGGTCTTGTTGGCGAGTCCAACCTGCTGCTCAGACACGAACAGGCCACCGCACGAAATGTCTGACCGCCCCATGGGGCCAGAGACCTCCTCGCCCGATCCGTATGATAGATAGAAGTGCACTCCTTCGATTTCTCCGTGTCCAAAGTCTTTGATTTGCGGCTCGCCGAAGGCACACGCTGATTGTGTGTGTTTATTTCCCAAGCTGTCCACGCAACCGAATCCAGACTGAACTACCCACGTATCGGAGCTTCCTGTATCAAGTAGAAGCCACACTGGGTCATCATCCCACCCGCATCGGAGGGCATACTGCGTTGAGAAATCGCCCACAGTGGAAACGTTTTGAGTCCTGCGTGGGTATGGGAGACCCGAACGTTCAAGGGCGGAAATTCCCGCGCGTCCTTGGACCTTGGACTTTCCCTTGAGGTTTTCGAGGCGGGAGTAACGCAGACTGACACGATCAGGCGTAGGATCGGAGATTGCCTTGGCTCGCTGGAAGGTGACGCCGTTCATTGGCATTGACAAGTCCCATTCTGCGTCGCTTGATCCAGTGCTGGGAAGTCCTGCTAAAGCCGAGCAGACAAGGACAAAGACAAAGGTAAGAGAATTTTTGAGATTCATAGCGGTAAGATTGTAGAAAATCGCGGCTCATCAATCGAGTTTAGAGGTGGGGGAGAATTTTGGGTAGTCTTCGACACCGACAACTTTCGATACAAAGGGAGAGAGAAACTGCAAGAGAGCCGGAATCGGAGAAGGTAAGAAAACTAGAAGCAAGAATTTCGACCCTCCTTGATGGGCTGGCGTGCCATGCCTGTGCTCCTCGGGAGACAGTATCACATGGACTATGTCAAGAGACGGAGAAGGATGGTGGTCTATGACGAGCCCCTCCGATTTGTACAAACATGAGCGGTGACGGGTATCTAAGGGATATACAGAGCATCGGGACACGAACCTTGACTCTTGGCCCGTTTGGTTTGCGTGCCTGTGGACCCGGACGAGACAAGAATGATCTCATGGGCTTCATCACAACTGCCCTCCAACAAGGACGTCGTACAGGTATTTGACAAGCAGCTAACGAGTTCGACATCTCATTTGAAAGGCATGGGTCGAGATATGTTGACGAGTGACTCTTCTCTCACAATCTTTCATCAGGTGTGATGAGTAGCTGAAGGTCCCAAAAGCTCACGTGCCGGAGCCTCAGCGACAAACTACTCTGAAATGGCCTATAGAACTCCCCCAAAGTTTGTTTTCGTTTGTGTTGGAGGCTCGGCTGTTTGATGCTACAACGGCCTTTTGCCGCGTCTGAGCCGGGTTCTGAGTCGCCTCGGCTTCTAAGCTGTACCTATGCTGTGCTTCAGCGGCCGCTCACGATACCATGTCACGAGCGAGGCAAAGCACAAACCCGCTGACAGAAGTTTCTGTCTTGGCTACAATTCCTATCCAGGAGGGGACAAGCCGTACCGTCATCAGGTTGCGGCTAAAAGATAGCAGGTCACCTAATGAATGGTTTGAAACCAGCAGGTCGAGATGACATATCGTTTGGTAATCGTGAGGGCACTCGGCTACCTGCACCTTCTAGCTAACTGTAGTGGTGCTCGACTGTTTCTTACGGTTACATTCGTCAATCTCCATTACGTTGTGTTACGCTGCAGCCGTCAGACGGTGCCTCCCAGCCGCAGATTTTGCCCCTGGATTCGGCAAGATGCGGCCCCCAAACCAAAGAGGTGTCGTCTTTCGGCAAGCAGCTTTACTTATTGTGGATTAATGTGACGAGTCCTCTGGCCGGCTGATGTCGAAATGGTACTTTGGAAAGCTGGCATGCCCCCACATGGTATTCTCAATCGCGGTTTTTGGCCTCCAACGCAAAATTGATGAAAAACACAGTATCTGGAGACACATAAAAGGTTATGCGCAAAATCTGCATATGGAAGCATCCGCCTGATTGCTGAGACGACAAATATTCCTCATCAAACGCTGCACAGGTGTAAGTATACTAGTGTCGCCTCCCCAACCGGTCAGTGAGATATCTCACAGGCGTACTCAGCGAAGGGTAGAATCAGCAACACCAACGTCCTAGTTTCCCAGCCACGGAACTGGATACATCCGCCCGTCGCTTCATCCGAGTGCGTCCACGTGCAAGGCGTCACGGGCCTTTGTTGAAGCTCAGCAATGGCAAACATTGGCCGGGGACACCGCGCTGGATGGGGTTGCTCTCCTCTGGCCATGAGCGCCTGGATCAACTTGGTCTAGCGAGCTTATCTCTGTTCCTGCGCATGTGGGACGCTCTTGTGCGTATGGCTACGACCAAATCTGACAGCTTACATTGGGGGTGGTGGCCAAGTTGCAACGTAGCCACTGCTAGACGCTTGGTGAATCAAGCGCTGACGCGCACTTATGAAGCTGTCATCCTTGGCCGATTTGAGTTGGTGGCGATGCACGTCGCTTATTAACAGGAAATCTAACTTATCCGAGAATCCCTCGCATCGGAGTCGGTCTAGAGCAGCGACGGTCATCAATATTGTCCAGTTTCGAGACGGCGCGCGGTAGCTTAACTCGCCCGAATGCTGACCAGACGACATCAAGCTACTTTAGCCCGGGGCGAAGCAGACCAAAGATAGAGCCGCCTAGTCGATCCTCGCTGTCTTATTTCGTACCTGGTATCCACGTTTAACCCCGTCTTCCGGGTCCTAGATGCCGGACAACGCATCGCGATGGGAGACGGAGACGCCTTGAGCGAATCGACACCGATGCGGCGGCTAGTAAGATGACGCTCCGCTTGATTGATTTATGCAACCTGTCTTCATTGGATGTCAGCGGTTGCTGGGTGCAATTTGGCCTCGACAGAGATCCCGCCTAAGGGGCGAGACGATGCCAAAATCTCGCGTCAGATTCAGGTAGATGGGTTCGGTAAGCAGACATCCGAGTTGAGCCCCATGGACCCAGCCGGTATCACGACGACGGTGATGTAGATGGGTCAGAAGCAATCGAGGTTAACTTCGAGTTGGAAAGGGTATAAAGAATAGACAGAGGCTCTCCCCGTTCCCATCTTGAATCCTTCTATCAACATCATCCCCAACCATCCTCCTCCCTAGCGACTCGTGAGCGTTAGTTGTTACTGTTGTTTCAGTCTTTAATTGCTTTTCAATCTTCCCCCTTGTTCCTGTTGTCTCAAACCTACCAAAACCACCACCTACAAGATGACGACCTCTTCCAACACCGTGACCAGCCTGGCCAACAACATCGAGAAGACCACCATGATCGACTCCAGCTCAGCCAAGAAGCCGCTCCTCCTCTTCGCGGCCTCGCCCGCTGACGGCCACACGATTCCACCTTCGAGGATCGCGGGCGAGATGGTCAAGCGCGGCTACGAGGTCACATTTATCGGCGGTGAGCAGTTCGAGAGCATGCTCAAGGGCATTGGCGTCGACTTCGTGCCCATTCCGTCAATGTTCACTCAAGAGATGATTGAGGAGCGCGACGCCATCCCAGCAGGTATCCCCCGGCTCCTGTACGACATGAAGCACATCTTCGTCGGCAAGACTGCCGAGCGGTGGCAGATTCTCAAGGAGGTCCTTGAGCGACTGCGCGTCGAGAAGCCGGGCCGCGAGATCATCATCCTGAATGAGACTGCCTTCATGGGCACGAACCCACTCGTCCTCGGCGCCCCGCTACCAAAGGGCTTCACCACCCGACCCAAAGTCATCAGCCTACACGCTATACCGTACATTGCCACGAGCATTGACGTCGGTCCTTTTGGCCCCGGCCTGCCCCCGGATGCGACTGAGTCTGGCCGCGCACGCAACCAGCTCCTCAACCAGATGATGGTGGCCGGCCCCTTTGCTGAGATCATCGCAGAGCAGGACCAGATCCTGAAGGACCTCGGCGCGACAAAGGTGCTCGCGCCTGAGGTGCCTTTCCATCACTGGATGGTCATGCACGACACAACCCTGCAGCTCTGCCCGCCCAGCCTCGAATATCCGCGATCCGACATGCCCTCAAACATCAAGTTCGCCGGGTGCCCAACACCCCGCCCCATTGCGGCCGACTTCAAATACCCCGAGTGGTGGGAGGACGTTACCCGCGGCGATCGCAAGGTCGTGACGGTGACGCAGGGAACCGTAGCCAACGACTACTCCGACCTGCTGATCCCCACGATCAAGGCCCTCGCCGGCCACGACGACCTCGTTGTCGTAGCCATTCTGGGCCACCGCGGCGTCAGCCTCCCCAAGGACATCACCATCCCGGCCAACACCCGCGTCATCGACTACCTCCCGTATGACGCCGTGCTACCCCACTCGTCCGTCTTCGTCATGAACGCCGGCTACGGCGGATTCTTGCACGGCATCACCAACGGCGTGCCGATGGTGCTGGGGGGTGAGAGCGAGGACAAGCCGGAAATTGCGATGCGCGGCGCGTGGAGCGGCGTGGCGGTAAACTTGCGGACGGGACGGCCGAGCCCCGCCGCCGTGCGGGCCGGTGTGGAGCGGGTCCTTGGCGACGAGAGCTTCAAGACCCGGGTTGAGGAGATTCGGCGGGAGAATGCGGCGATTAGCGTCTTTGACGTGGCGGAGAGGGAAATTCTAGCGCTTACCGAACTGGAGGGTTGAGCCTACTTCTGACTCCCGGTCGAATAGATGAGCGATGGTTCGTTTTGGTGGGATATTTTTAGAAGCGCAGATGCCACATAGAATGCGATAATGACCTCTTGCCCTTTCGTCAGTCCGTCCCCAGTATGGCCCTCCGGTCCTCGTGGTCCTCGCCTTGAACATGTATGGATGGATACCTGACTCGGACGACCATCCGGCACGAACCGCCGCCGACGGACCCGGAGTGTAGGGAATTGTGCCGACTTTACAGCTCGTTCTCGGAGACTTTAGTCAGCTAATAAGTTATTCCACCGCGCAACCCATGATAGATATAGCCCGAGACTCCGGATTGCAGAACATGTTAAATTGGATGCCCCTGAGGCGCGTAACTTCATGGGATACCATGGAGAGACTGCTAAAAAGGGGATGAATATTCGAGCTGGGGATAGAGTAGTATATACCAACCTCAACTTGCTGCACAGCGTTCTACTCTCCGGTTGAGTTCGGAGGAATTGACGCTATTCAACAAGAGCCATGGCGACACAAGCGTCCAGCGCGGCAACCCCTCTCGCCTTCATGGATGTTCTGAGTCCCACTGTCGCCTACTTCGATCCTGGCGCTGGGGCGGCATCTAGTAGCAATCGAAACCCACATCTCATCATCCTGCTGACTTGGAACAACGCCCGCGACGAACACATTTCCAAATATGTCACACAGCATCGCGCCCGGTTCCCTAACTCGCGCATTCTTCTGGTCCGGTGCACATTCGTGACGTGGATTCGCCCGTCGCTTCGCAGACGGACATTCGAGACGGCCCTGCCTGTCCTGCGTGACCTAGCTGTCACTGCCGGGACCGAGGGCCAGGAGCCAAAAATCCTCGTGCACATATTCTCCAACGGTGGAGTTGCCTCGGCCAGAACGCTGTGGGACTTGTGGACTTCCGGCATTGGTGGCGACGAGCAAATTCCGCGGTACGCCGTCGTTATGGATTCGTGCCCAGGGTTCTGGACATACAAACGCAACTACCACGTCATCATGAGTTCTCTGCCCAGTTGGGCATGGCCGTTGGCCCATGCCGTGATGGTCATAAGCTGGTTGGAGTGGATCTCGCAGGGTCGCCACGGACCGCATGAGATCAATGCAGAGGCCCTCAACGAGTCGGGCTTCACATCACGTGAGGTGCGACGGACGTATGTATATGGGACGGAAGATAAAGCAGTGGGGTGGGATCATGTGGAGGCGCATGCGGAGGAAGCCAGGGAGAGGGGGGTGGTAGTCAGGATGGAAAAGTTCCCAGGTGGGCAGCATGTCTCGCATGCGAGGGTGGACGCAGACCGGTACTGGGGGGTTGTCAATGAAACGTGGGAAACCAGCAAGTAGAGAAAGGCCATCGAGCGTTGTCACCATGGTGAGTACCGCGTCATCTTGGTTTAGCCCATGTCTAGGTGCTGGGAAGCTTTGACGGGAGCTGTCAGAGAGAACTGCTCTCGGATTGATATCATGATTGTCGATTATCTTTGTTTGGTCATTGAGTCGGCCTCGAAACTCCGGGATATGAGAACCGCTCGAGCCTTGTCCGTCCTCCTCATTAGGTCGAGGATGTGTGCATACAGCACCCATATCTTATCCTCGCCACTTCCTTTAATGTCGTGGGCGCGTAATGGTTGTCGTAAAAGCACAATGCACACCCCAAAAACAAGCCGGCGTATGGCCCAGCCCACCAACATCAACCGGACTTGCCATAACCGCTGGCACCGATTCCCCGGCTCCCAGACCAAATGTTCAAACCGTCGAGCACATAAACGCCTTCAAAGACCCGTCCACGAAGAGCACGACTCCATGTATCTTGTACAAACCAGCCTGCTGACCCATATCCATATTTCAACTGCCGTCGGTATCCTTGTCAAGTCTTTTGCTTCTTACGATCAGTGCTTGCGCTTTCTTGCTCTTCGACGGCAGTTCTTTTCATGCCCGGGGCGAATACGGAGTCGTCGTCGTTTTCGGCGAGGATTCCCTCCTCTACGTCCCCAATACCCTCGTCCTCCTCGGAGCACGTCTGACATTCCTGGTCAAAGTCGTGTTCCTCAACCAATATGCCTTTGCTGCACTCCCCAAAACAGCCCTTGTTCTTTGCCTCAAGACAAGATAGTTCTTGTGTTAGGTCGGTCCATGTTTGCGCATCGCCGCAGCGTGTGCATGTCCCCGCGAAAACGACCATGCGACACATGGTGAGACGGATGTGTTGTTCGGCAGTCCCGGCCGGCGAGAGAGCGATCGATGATTGATGACGTGATTGAAGGCCCGGAGCCTGGTTGACGATGTGATTGTATCGAAGAAATCGGAGTCCGCGTCCAAGGGCACCGTGGAAGGGGTTTTGGAATTAGAAACTAGAAGAATGAGCGTTGGTAAGTGGGCAGATGGTGAGGGTCCGAAGAATCCGTGGAGCCATCAGGAGCAAGGACGACGAACCTGTCGCGGACCCAACCAAACCCAGCTGGGTGGGTTATGGCTGTTATTTGAGCGGGGAGGAATTCGCACCGAGTGTCTCGGTTGGGAATAAAGCCGAACCCCGATATTGAATTGATTACCAGACCCGCTTGGGTGGTAAGTGCTCGCAGTACCAGTTCAAGAGCAAGAGGGAGAGCGAGAGCTGAAGCGAATGGTGGAAAGGTGGAATGGTGGAGCTTTGACGTTGGGATGGAGAGTCGACGCCAGCAGATTTCAACGGCAAGTGAAGGGGAGAGAATACCCAATGGACTAAGAGACAACAGCCTGGAGTAAAAGCCAGATCCAGACCCCGGCTCAAGATTCTGTGTCACCCGCCAGCGGCAACCTGTCGGACCACAAACGAAAAGGTGACGTCCCTTGCTACAGCCCGGTTCTATCACCCGTCATATTTTTCTGGTAGACCAGGGGAGAGGTGGAGAGGTCCGCAGCAGAGCGGGAAAAAGAGCCCTCTGTGTGTTGCTCGAATACGTGCTTGGTTGCTTGCCGCCAACGAGAGAAGCGGATGGACTGCGAGGTGCGAGTTGCTGGCTGCCGTGCAAGTACACGGTGGGGGTTGAATGAGTCGAGCTGCCTCGATTTTGAGACACGGCGCCGTACGGAGTAGGTAGGTGCAGTAGTGTAGTGCAGGCAGTGGCGGGTGATTTACCCGATACAGAGACACGTAGACAAGATGGATCGGTTGATGGGTTGATTGACCGGCAGGGAGGGATGGAGATTGCCGTGATGGTGATGAAGGGAGGGCGGCGAGATGGAGAGTTGATGAATGGATGAATGGATGGAGATGAAGGCGATCCCGAGTACGGAGTAGATGCGGCAGGTACTGAATGCCCGGAGAGCAGCTAAAGAAGGAAGGAAGGAAAGCAGGAAGGACAGAGACAAGAGGCTGGGAGGAAGGAGAGCAGGAGCCGGGGAACAAGGAAGGAGGAGGGAGGGAACACAAGGAAGGAGGAAAGAGATGACGCCGCAAAACGGGATGGCTCCCCACGGATGCAAGCCTCACCACTTTGCCCACTTCGCCATTTCACCACTTCTGCAAATTCACCCACTCAAGTACGCGGCGCGATGTATCAACGAACAGACGTGCGTCCAGGGCGTGGAATGGCCTGGTCCTGGCCCCTCTCCAGCCAAAGCACAAAGCACAGGACCCCGTCCAGAAACGGCAACGGCAGCAGTAAAGCCTCCCTCAGTAGCGGCCGCGCGACTCCACGACTCCACTGCCGCGCACCAAGTACAGTGCTGTAGCCCGCCATCGTCGTCCACTAACTGCAGTTCTCGAGGCCGGCTCCCCCCACCATCTCGTCTGCGGCACCATTTCCTGCAACTGACAAGCGCGGTACTCAGCCGGCCAACCATAGCGGCCAACGCTCAGCTGTCTCTTCAGCGGAGCGGAGGAAAGAAGGGGAAGATGCATACTGCAGTAGCCTCTTCCAGCTTCGGTCCACGCAATGCTTCGGCTCCCCTCGTGGCGCGAACATACGTGCATGGACATGCATACGACGGAGCAGGTACATGTCGAGCTTTCTCGCTTTCTCATCGGCGTCCAGGTTCAAGCTTTGCCACTTCGCCGACCACTGACGGGCAAGGCCACACCCACTCGTTACTCTCACTACTGTACGCTCGCAAGCTCACTATCACCTTATTAGTGACTTAGTGCACTGTAGGTGCCTACACTGACTACCTCTAGTCGCCACAGCGTTCCGTCGCCCGCTGCCCGCTGCCCGCGCTCCCCGTGCGCCATCCGAAAGCCCGAAAGCGAACTCGGGCCGGGGTTCAGCCCAAGCGCGCCCCGACGGCCGCAGCCACGCTGATCTGCACTGGGGAACACGTCCAGGCCCTATGGCCCCCACATACCGTCGTTCCACAGGCCAGCCAACTCTCGTCGTCTTCTCATAATTACCAGCCATGGGAACCACTTCGCTGTCCAAACAAGCATTGGAAACCACCGTCTCTTGCGATTTGTTTCATCCTGGCCTCAGAAATTCGAGGCTTAAAAAGCAATCATCGCTAATGCCCACGGCTGGTCGAACCGATCAGATCTGCCCTGCCTCCTGCACTGCATATGCATCCCCGTTCTTCCACCTGACAAGGCGGTATAGGTATAATATGGCACGCACCCGGCATACAACGTACTTCTACCTACCCATGCCCATTCCTCAATCCTAGCGAACGACAGAGACGAAAACAACACGGAAACTGCCGAGGCGGCTCCCATTTGGCAACTGATTCGGTCAATGCGCATGTACGTCTACAACGCAGATGCCACCGTCATCTTCATGACGCACCAGGCCAACGTGAATGGACGTGCCCTCGGCCCTCGTCCCCTCCATAATATCCTATCCAGGCATTGTAGCGCCGCCCTCGAACCATCGCCCCCCGGAAGTGCTACGTCCTGGCGCAGCGGCATTAGCTAGCTCAATGGTCTCGATCCCGTCTGGCGAGCATCAGAGTCCTGGCGGCCGTCTAGCGTTTGATGGCGCCGTGCCTTTGCGGGGTTGCCTGGAACTTCGTCAACGCCGCGGCATTGGAGATGAAGCCGTGGCGCCAGTGGTTGGCTGCATACCGAATTGTTGAATTGCCCCGGACAGGACACCGTCATTATTTGAGATGATCGTCTCTAACCCCGGTAGCCAAGAAAGTTGTTGCCCTTTCCCCGCCCCTGAGCCTCAAATACCTTGCTTCACTGCCCGAGCCGCACCGCTATGCCCTTTTATTCGAGCACCAACACGTTAAATAACAGTCACAAGGGCAAGGATCGGCGCTTGGTTGCAAGGGTTGTCCATCCAAGCTTACGCAAGCTAACGTCGAGTTTCGAGGCCAATCCGCTGCATTCATGAGATCGTCAGGGCTTAGCCTAGCCCAGAGGTATCGTGTCCATCATTGCCACCTTGTGTTAGTTGCAAAGGTAGTGTTCCGACTGGCCATAACCCTGGGGCTTTCCTCCCCAGTCCTCGTTGACAAAGTCCGTCGTCTTATGGCGCTGACCGTTTGTATGCGCCCGTTCGAAACCCTGGTATTGAAGGCACTAGACATTACACGTCGTCAGCATCATATCCACTCATCAAGACCAGGTTCAAGACTTATGCGACAACGAGGTCTTCTTCAGTAACACCACTCCACTTGGTACCGTCGAGCTCGCCCAGGTCAGGGGGATCAGCTGTCCGTAGAGGGCCTTCTTGATGTGACCGTTCAACTCCTCCGCAGATAGGAGATCCAGATCAGAGCCAGCAAACTTGCCGTCCATGATGAGTCGCTTCAGCAAGTCAAGGTTGCCATTGAGACCGATGGGGTTCCCACTGAAGATATGTTGGTTGAAGAGATCCGCTGCCTCGTGCCACGTCTCAACCATGGCACCGACCCGCGTATCAAGTGTGTTCTGCGATGTGAGCTTCATGCCGCTAATCAATAACACGGATGTTAGCGATTTTTGTTAAAACTTCGCATCCATGGCCCCGATACTCGTTCCTCTAAGGGTCGGTGCACATATCCCGAAAGAGTCAGGCTCGTTCCAGTCCCTTCGTCGCCGAAAAACCTCTGCGAGCCGGTTCCAGTAGCGCCGAGCCAAACATTGAGCCTCGTCGAAGACAAAGCCAGTCTGAGAATTCTCCCAGACAATGTCGCCAGCCGACTCGGTAACCTCAGCGACTGCGCAGTCGATACCCGTTGAGTTAATCTCGATACGGGGACCGCGGGTGCAGCTAGCACCACACTTTTTTTCCGTCCATCCGCAGAACCTGACGTTATCGCAGCTAGCGTCCGGTTAGCAACGCTCTCTTCTAGTTTGTTCCTGTCTCGTGATTTAGAAGGAGTGACTTGCCTGTCGTCTGCACATTCGCCATCAAGACACGAGACGGCGATGCTCCTACGGGTCAGGATGCCGCAGGGGCTATCGGTAAGGATGGCTGTCGGGAGGGTTGGTCAATCCCATAGCATGCATCTTTTCCAAGAACCCCTTAACTTCTCAAGCCTTTAGTCAATAAGACCAAGACCTGTCAGTCCTGATTCTACGGAGACAGTAAAGTTGAAACAAGGAAAACCAGGGGTGGCGCACGATGCGCCGGAGTCGACAACTTCAAAGGATTCCACCTCCGTAAAGAGATCCTAGCGATTATAGTGTAAAGGATTGGCACTTGACATATGCCAAGAGTGGCCAACGAAGAGACCACCAGACCAGTCGGGCTCTTCCAATGACATGTAACAGGATGCCAGACAAAACATACTGTCTCAAGCCACACCCACCCCTCAGAGCAGACATCTCTTTCAACACTGGAGAGCCCCTTTAGAGCGCCGACAATCCAGTAGTGCATGGCCACCAATCAAAGGATTTTGCTGCTGGCTGTGCGCGGATCCAGCTCCTTGGTTCATCAGCAATCCTATAGACGCTCAGGTGTTTAGACGTTGAGCCTATTTGGAGGTTCCCAGGTGCCGGGCTGGTTGGTGTAAGTCAAACTCCACCTTTAGCCACCCGTCAGCTCTACCATCTAAGTAACGATCAGCTCTTCTATAAATTATACATGGATAAGTAGTATGCTCTTTATCTGAGAGCATACAACGACTGGCTATAATACGCACATTCATCCTTTGAGGCTTGATATTGAAAATAACACGCGCACATGAGTGGCAGTTAACCATCTATAACAGGCACATTCGGACTTTTGGAGTATACCTATGTACCCGTAGGTGGTCCTCTCTCCCTTTGTATGACCACCCTTTCTCACTCCATTGAATCTAGTTTCATGGTATTACTTGCGAGTAGGTGTTAAAAGCTGTTTAAGGTCCAGTTTCCACAAATGATTGTGTGCCTCGTCACACAGCAAAATGTCGATGACACCCACACGACTTTGCATTGCTGCGCCGCAAACTCTCCCCACGTCAGGTCGAGTATTTGTGGGACGGAGGATTGCCCGCTAAGACGAATTCATGGTTGGTAACATGTGCATCACTACGGAGAAAACAACTCACCCCTGCATTCAGAAACAAGAGTGGGCGCTTGATTAGTTGGGTGTTGGTTCGCCGATGAGCCAGCATCTTATCTTGTCTTGGTGTGCCGCAGCCGCCCACTTGATCACCCGCAGTAGCAGGGTTCATTTTGGGGGCCGCATCCCATGTAAGTTACGCGAATGCTACGAGACCCGAGTTAGCAAGGCCCCGTACATATCAGATTGCAGAGCCCGGCTAATTTAGGCATGCATATGCAACACTGGAAGCAGCTTTACGAAGGCTGACGCAGGAAGTCTGGCAATCTCCCAGGTTGTAGGTTTGTACCGGCCATATAGTGTAAAACAGTGTGTTTGTGCTGTCTTTTAGTGCCTAATAAGCATCTTGGATATTTATCGTTTGATCTTGAGGTAATGTACTGAGTTTAGTTCTTACGTCTAAAAGTAAGGTTATTATTGCCCTAAATATACTTGACTATATAATATTGAATAACTTTTAGTTGGAGCTTCGCTACTATTGCTTGTCTTATGTACTTGATCGGTCGCAGATTGTACTTTATGGGGGGCTGTTCAAACACTATTGAAGATGTCAAACTTCCTACGTCAACCTTCGTACAGTGTGTGGCATTTGTTGAGTGGTGCAGCCCTACAGCATCATTGATAGCTGTCTTTCTCTCGGAATTACCGCCAGCGAATCCTCTCCATAGCCAGGCTTGGCAGGCAATAATTCTTTTCCGCGTGCCTACGTGAAGTTTTTGCTGCAATAGAACAACATTGGAATTTGCAAAGGAACGACACCACATTGTCGTGTCAGCCGTACAATATCTATCAGCCGGATCCCATAACGTTGAGATCCGGAAATAGAGCATGCAGTAACCTCCTGAAGAGCCGTTGAGAATTGCGTCCCACCGATATTTGTTTAGTTCTCACAGTTAACTACGCAGGGTATTGGAGGTTGAATACTGCAAATACTCTATACTCTGTTCAAGCAAGGCCTACAAAACCCGTTAGAAACCATCAATCAGGGGAGACCTAGCCCGTCAAATTTTGAGTACATAAGGGTGTTAGATACAAGTCACGGGCTATCTGAGTGAGATCCCCTATGAAGAATTAAGGTAGCATCTATATAAAGGGTGGCCGATATTCTTCCTGATCCAGAGCCTCGTAAGGCCAGGCTGCGCGAAGGATCGCTCCAGATCCTGATCAATGCTAGTTTTGAAGAACGGCCTTGCCTGTGCCTTTCTTCATGGGCTTCCGCACGTGTAATTTCGGGCTTCTTTAACTAGACTATAGAGCTCCTAGTATGGGAATCGCCGTCCAGCCTTTCGGCTTTATGGGGTTGGAGAAGGATTTGACTCCCGGACTAGGCCACCCAACCAGGCGAGAGTCGCTGTGCAAACCAAGGATGGGTTATTGGTGAGGAGGGTCTATAGGTTGGAGCTATGCATATAATATGGTAGATTGAGAGATGCAAACCAAAGATCCACAAGTTGTCGTCGTCTGCGACAGAATGAGGACGATGCAGCAAGGTGTCTGAGGCCAAGGTTGTCTAGAAGCTTATGGCAATATGGTATGTATTCAGAACACAGCATCATTCTCCCGAGAGTGCGTCTGCCAAGCCAGAATACAAAACCTGGCAACCTTCAACGTCTCAGACGTGGGCTGAGTTGCATATTCTTCACTTGTTCAGATGCCGACTAGATTCCTTCTCACACTAGGTCACCGGGTCGGCAAATCATCACAGCACATTCGCCCAAGAAGGCAAGAGGCTTTCCTTCATTCATGGTTAGTCCTTTACAGTCATTCACATTCATGCGAAGGGGCAATTTATCGGAATACATGCGTCAATTATTCGAGATGTAGTAACCATGATACAGCAATTTTCTTTCCCTTAACTCCTATCCGGGTTTCCACACCACAAAGAATTGGATCCATTCCCTCCGCAAGGGCAGACAAGAAACAAAGTCTCGAGCAAGTTAAACACAAGCCAAAAACGAGGAACACAAAACGCCTGGGGGACGAGGACGCAGGTGCAGGTGTGCAGTGCGGCATACATGCATAGAGAAGAAGAGAAACCAGCTTGCACAGTTCGTTCAGGGACCAGACATGCCCCTAGTTCAGGGCCACGGTTGATGGATGAAAACGGGAGACGGAGAAACCAGTTCAGCACTTAAAGTCTGCCGCGGTCGCTTGTAAGCTCCGAGGCGTACGCTCAAGTCAGTCATGAAGCCAATCTAGAAATCGGTTTCACTTCCCCAAGCACACCACGAGGCAGGGAGTTGCAATTGAGTTTCAAGATGTACGTCATGTCCACAGACAAACTGGCATCAGAAGTCGTCAAGGAAATCATCAAGACGTCAAGTCGTGAGTTGTAGCTGGCATCCCCGATATCATGCGCAAGGTTTGGAACGCCGAGACAAGACGACGCCGCTGTCTGTGTCCAAATAGGCTTCAAGCATCTGTTCGCGCTCTCGGCTCATACGAAAGCAATCAAGGCAAAAAGGCAGGACAACAATGGATGTTGCTTCTGCGTTGGTACCTCAGTATTAATGTCGTAAAGGCGGTCGAGTCAAAGGATATACGTTAATCAAAGCAGGCGGACCTTGAGTCGAAAGGACCCTCAAGAAATGAAATGGGGGAATGCTGTACAGTCGTGGATTCTGCAAGGATGTCATGTGTTGCTGGGCAGAATGTCAGAAGCACAAGGCGACGTCAATCAAACCAGGCCATCTTGGATGGTGCCCAGTCCGCGGCACTGCGGACGAGAGCTCTATCAAAGTCACCCAATCATGAAAGCGTGCGATCGCCGCTGAGGAGAGACATCACGGTGCTCCAGGTGCCGGGGCTCCGGCAGGAGGAGCATCTCCGCCCTGTTGTTGCTGGTACATCAGAGACTGGTACCAAAGGGCAACGTAGTTCTGGTAGCCACCATCTGTCTTCGTTAGTATCTCAGTCTGGTCATAGATAGAGAGTTCACTTACATTGAGCATATGGGTCCTGCCCATCTGTTGCAGCAGCTGGAGGAGCTTGGTTAGTAGCAGCACTGGGTCCCGGCTGGGAAAAGTTGTTTCGATCAGAATCATGATGGCCACGTCCACCACCACCTCCACGGCCACCGCCGCTACCCTTCTGGCGCTGTCGGACCATTAGTTGTCGTTATACATGTAAGAGCGGAGCACCAGATACATACTACTGCTTCGACCTTCTCGTCAATAGCCAACTTAGCCCGAGCGATACTATCGCGCGAACCAATCAAGGCAATCTCCCGCTGCACTTCGCCAGGACCGGACGACTGCGCAACATTGATCTTACATCCAGTGACATTCTGCATTTCACGGATTGTCTCGCCGCCCTTGCCAATAATCATACCTACGGCGTCAGAGGGAACATAGACGGCGTCGTTGATCTTGTCCGGGCCACCAGCCCCCCCCATATCACGGGGAGGGCCGTCATTGCGACCACCAGGGCCTCCCATTCCTCCAACTGCACCTCCACCTGGAGGTCCTGCTCCTCCGCCACCTCCCATCTTCTTGATGGCGGGCGGTGCGTCGCCTCGGCTGTCGCTGTCGACAATTTCCATGATAAAGTCCTTGGCTCGAGCGGCTGCTTCACGAGTGCCAATGAGGTTAACAGGTCGGAGTCCGTTCACGCTCTTAGATTCGCCGACAATGTTGATGTGGCATCCTGACCGTTCCTGGAGGTCCCGAATGGTCTCGCCGCCACGACCAATGATCAAACCGACTGTGCGATCGGGCACCATGATTTGCATGTGGTCCTCGCCCTCGCGGAGAGCGGTCGCGCCACCCTTGTTGGGATCCCGGGGCTTTTCGTTGGTGCGATTCAAAGCGCCCATTCCGCTATCCTCGATGATGCGGTTAATGGCTTCCTTCACTTCAGCTCGGCGATGTCGAGGGCCAGTGATTTTGCATTGACGGAAGGGACCACCATCAGTCGCAGCCAAGAACTGAACACGGCAGTTCGACTCAGCTTCGATACGGCGAAGGTTTTCTCCTTGTCGACCAATAATAAGGCCAACAAGACTAGATTCGATCTGAATGGTTTCCGAGTTGTCGTCGCCTCCTCCTCCCCTGAGAGGAGACCTCTCTCGTCCATTTCCTCCACGGGGAGAGAAGGCACGGCCACGTGGGCCAGGAGAGAAGGATCGATCACGGTCATAATTCCGTCCAGGCGCTCCGCGGTCGGCACGGCGCTCGTCTCTATAAGGGTTCACTCCATCGCGAAACTCGTCTCGGGCTGGTGATCGTGATCTGGATCGTTTGTAGGATCGGTCGGGGCCCCTCGAGTCGGGGGCATAGACAAGAGGGCGGTCATACGAGGCAACGCCCTTCTCAGCGGCGTATGCCTTGGCTTGAGCAATCGCATCAGCAATGCTGACAGTTCCGGAGTTAACTGGGCGAATGGCGCTCAAGTCGACGTTTCCACTTGACGCAGGCGCAGGCAACCCGCCATAGCCTGGGGCCCCATAACTAGGGGCCCCAGGAGCAGGCTGGTAGCTAGGCGCGGGTTGGGCGGAGGTTGACGGAGGAGGGTAAGCTGGGCTGGTGCCAGGCGGCGTCTGTGATGGGGCTGCAGCCGGTGGTCGCTGGGACGCTGAAGTCAAGGTTAGAAGATGCATTTTGTTCCGAAGTGTCGCGGTTACATACCCAATGCGGCCAGGATACTCTGGATATCAGGGCGTTGTTCCGCCATCGCTTCCACTTATTGAGCGAGCGCGACGAGAAAGATGGCACCCGAGTTCGATGATATTAGGCTGCGAGTGCAAGAGTCGTTCGAGCGAGTAGCAACGGCGCAGCGAGCAAGAGCTATGGTGTACGTGCGGTAACGGTTCGTAGCCCGCAGGGATGTACGAAGGCGACAGCGGTCAGGAAGCTGTCGAAATGGTAGGTGTTGCGATGCGGAGGCTGACGGAGTGATCACAATTTTCGCCGTTGAGGTGGGAGTTCAGAGGTTTGCGCCACGCTCACACAAAGGTCTTTCAGGTGATCACGTGTATCAGACGTGACGAAGGCGACAAATCAATCACTCAGAGCAATACAAGCTGACGAAGCGACGCAAAAGAACCAGCTGCCCGCGTCAACAAGATATTTTCAAATAAGTCGAGGCGCACTGGGGACGAAGAAATTCCGAGTTTGAAGAATTGGTTGAGGTGACCCGAGCCTTCTGGTGCCAAACTGGGCCGCCGCTTTTTTTCCAGGGGGGCGTGACCCGGTACTATGCCTAATTCGGGATGATTATACTGGGACGCGCATAATTATGGCTCCGTCAGCCTTCTAGATCACTTTTCTCTCTGCCATTTTTTTTTGGAATCTTGCCCTGAATATAGGTGTGGCCGGTAGGTAGGCACACATGCAGGACAATATAAAAATCAAATATCATTTCTAGCTCATATTTTCGCCGGCTGCGTAGATAGCTTCATAAGTGGCATGACTCGACAATGCCTGTATTTTCGTAAGACGCGCTTTCAGCACCGCCACTTGCAAAGACACCAGCCTCAACTGTCCCTGCCAGTCACCTGATACACTTCCAGCCTTCTCAGGGTCCAAGTGAAAGCGGCCTTGGCGCTAACTTCATCAGTCAAAGCTCAGAAAAGCATTTGCAGCAGACCCACTATGCTACGGGACGAGGAAAGAATCCATTGACCGGCTGTCGATTCGTCAAGGCAGTCGGAACAGGAACAACTGCTGGTCCGTTATCAGCAGCTGCACTCAGACTTTTTTTTGGGCGATAAGAAAATTTCCTAGCATTGAGCGCCGTCCAGTCGACCGATCGACCGCCGTAGCATCCACCATACAGCAAACCACAGCCAAGATGGATTTCGCAGGCAGCAAGAAGCGCAAGTTCAAGGACTCCAATGGAGTCAAGGCGACTAACGGAAAGCGATCTGCTGCCGCCATCCCCGAAAAGTCAAAGAAGGCCAAGCGCTCAAAGCCCGAGCCCCGCCATGAACCCGAACCCGAGTCCTCTGATGAGGAGGATGAAGACGAAGACGATGCCGAAGCGGATAGCGATGAGGAAGCTGAGGACGACAAGGACGAGTCTGGAGATGAGCTCGAGGACGACGATGTGAAGGGAGACGAGGCTGAGGCCGACACAGACCTGCCCGACGGCGGAAAGCTCACGCTTCCTCCCATCGCTGGCGCCGAGGCGCAATCGTTCAAGGAGCTTAGCCTCTCCGAAAAGACGATGAAGGCGATTGAGGAAATGGGCTTCACCACCATGACGGAGATCCAGCGAAGGGGTATCCCTCCTTCTCTGGCTGGTCGTGATGTTCTCGGTGCTGCCAAGACTGGATCCGGAAAGACTTTGGCATTCTTGATCCCCGTCGTTGAGATGCTGTGCTCCCTCCGCTTCAAACCCCGCAACGGTACCGGTGTCATTGTGGTGTCTCCCACCCGTGAACTGGCTCTGCAAATTTTCGGCGTTGCTCGAGAGCTTATGGCCCACCACTCCCAAACCTACGGCATTGTCATCGGCGGTGCTAACCGACGAGCGGAGGCGGAAAAGCTTTCCAAGGGTGTCAACCTCATAATCGCGACTCCCGGGCGACTGCTCGATCACCTTCAGAACACGCCATTTGTCTTCAAGAATCTCAAGTCCCTGGTCATTGATGAGGCTGACCGAATCCTCGAGATCGGTTTCGAAGACGAAATGCGACAGATCATCAAGATTCTCCCCAAGGCCGACCGACAGACCATGCTCTTCTCGGCCACTCAAACCACCAAGGTCGAGGACCTGGCGCGCATCTCGCTGCGACCTGGCCCGCTGTACATCAACGTCGATGAGGAGAAGCAGTTCAGCACCGTTGAGGGTCTCGAGCAGGGCTACGTCCTCTGTGAGGCCGAGAAGCGATTCCTTCTCCTGTTCTCCTTCCTGAAGCGCAACCTCAAGAAGAAGGTTATTGTTTTCTTCAGCAGCTGCGCGTGCGTCAAGTACCACGCCGAGTTGCTCAACTTCATCGACCTTCCCGTCCTCGACCTCCACGGCAAGCAGAAGCAGCAAAAGCGAACCAACACCTTCTTCGAGTTCTGCAATGCCAAGCAAGGCACTCTGATCTGCACTGATGTGGCCGCCCGTGGTCTCGATGTAAGTCACAAGGAACCCCTCAATTGATAAACTTTTTCTAACGCCGGTACAGATCCCCGCCGTTGACTGGATCGTCCAATTCGACCCTCCGGATGACCCTCGCGATTACATTCACCGAGTGGGCCGAACGGCCCGTGGCAACAACAGCAAGGGCCGATCGCTCATGTTCCTGCAGCCCAGCGAGGTCGGATTCTTGTCTCACCTCAAGGCTGCCCGTGTGCCAGTCGTCGAGTTTGACTTCCCCTCCAACAAGATTCTCAACGTCCAGTCGCAGCTTGAGAAGCTCATCAGCCAAAACTACTACCTGAACAAGAGCGCCAAGGACGGATACCGCAGCTACCTCCACGCCTACGCATCGCACTCGCTGCGCAGCGTTTTCGACATCAACAAGCTAGACCTCGCCAGGGTGGCCAAGGGCTTCGGCTTCTCTACGCCTCCTCGCGTGGAGATTACGCTGGGCGCCAGCATGAGCCGGGACAAGAAGAACCAGGGACGGAGAGCGTACGGCAGCCAGCCGAGGCAGAAGCAGGGCAAGTTCAGCAGGTAGTTCCAAGGATGACAGGGGGTTCCTTGGTCAGGAAGGCCATCTGTGTACACTGGGTTGCTCATAATAGCACGGAGTTAGGGTACTAAAATGATATCATGCCATGTGCGTTAAGAACAATGAAAACCACCATGTTCTGTTCCGTGCCCGTTTGTTCCGAAAGTAACAATGAATGGATTGTTCCCTGAATAGAAGCGCCATGTTCAATCCCGCAGACAAACAAGATCTCGAGAGGAGGGGATAAATACTTGACAGGCTCGCTTGAATCGACGCTTTGAATTCTCCAGAGCGCATAGCAGCAAATCACATTCTATCAAACCGATCTACACGCACAATGTGCTACCGACGGGTCGATGCTTACGCATGCGGTCACACCAAGATCTCAAAGTCGCCATGCGGACGCAAGAGACGGCCCTTGAAGTGCTTGTTCTGCCTGAGCGACATGGAGCGGTCGCATGATTGGGCGTGCCGCAAGTGCCTAAACCGGCGGCCCTGGATCTTCAAGCGGTGGGCTTCCTCGGGAAGACGGGTGCTGCAAGTTGCCGGTGACAGGCTAGAGCAGAGATGGTATGGGTGGTAGGCATCTCGTGTTTATCGAGAGGTGCGGCAGACCACGGCTACTTTGCGCGAGACGGAGTTTAGGTACGGAGTAGATACATGGGTTGTCTTGGAGGATGTGCCGGAGTCTTTGTAGCAAACTACTTAATGATTAGGACGAGTGTAATGACATATGCCCCTCACTGTCATTTTGTACGAAGTACACCTTGTCTCGCTCGTCTTACTCCCACGTAAAGGTACGAAGCCGTCTCGTATCCAGCCGGAGACATCGGCTACGTCTCAACCATTGCCACTCAACACCATTGGCCGAGACAGCCGCGTCATGGGCTTCATTGGCTTCTTCTGCCTCCCCCACCGCGCCGTCCACGTCATGGCGTTATTCCCGCCCATCCTCCTCCTGTGCCGGCCGTTCCTGGGTGGGCGGCGCGGCTGAGCCACCCCCCCGGGTTTCCTTTTTGTCCGGGTCACCGTCACAAGTGCGTATGTATTTGCAGTTACGAGCCCGGCTCAGGCCAGCCCGTCAGCCGAGCAAAGTGGCTTGTTGGGGCGACCACACACACACGCGCACACACGTGTACCTATTCGTATGTGCAGTACATGAACTGCCGGCGCTCGGCTCTTCCCATTTTCCTTGGGCGTCGTCTGGATTGTTTTATAATGAAGCCGACACCCGTTCCGTCCCCGTGGGTCGTGGCTAAAACGTAAAACAGAAAATGTCTGCGCTGAGCTGAGCTGACGGACAGTGGAACGAGCCCGACACTCGAAACGCACCCATCGCCATTGTCTTTTGCTGGACTCGACGACAGTTCTCCTTGTCCTTTATCTCTTCAACAAAGAACAAGAAAGACAGTCATGAATTGCTGTGCTGGTATTACATACAGCTATTGCTCATCGTCATCCTGCAACCAACATTAAAACCAACGACTATCCGCTTATCCGACCTATCCATCTACATATCTCTCGATTATATCGAATTTACCTGACACGCTCTTTGACAACATCCCATCTACCTACCACCTTGATCAGCCACATCGATGTGTCGTCGAATGCTTGTCGAGTACAAGTGCGGGCACCGAGTCGCGCGGGGCAATACGCGATGCTATCGGGAAGATTGCCCAGGACGCCAGGAGGAGGTCAAGACGCTCCCCGACGACTGTCCGCAGTGCGAGGGCAAGAACGACAAATGGCAATCAACCCGGTGGTGCTCCGTTGGATGCTGTATGTGTCAGTGAGGAGCGAGTGAGTTGGATTCCGCATGGTGTTCTTTTTTTGGGTTTGTATGAGATGCCGCGGATGAAACGGCAAGGCCGCGTGTGAAGGGGGGGTAAATGACACGACGTTTTGGGCAGACGGGCCGAGGGTTAGAATGGATGCTTTGTGGTGTACGAATACGGTTGGAACAATTCGGGTTGACGACGATGACGATAATGTTTTGATGTTTATTTACTATATTGAGGCGTTAGAATTGCATTTAGCCAAGTGTTTGCACCCTTATTGACATCATTTCACCCGCTTTTCTTTGTGTCTGCTCTCACTAGTGATGATGTTGATGGTGTTTGTGGTGAACAAGCAAGCCATGCCCAGGGTTAGACCATACCTAGTCTCCGGAAACCGGCAAGCTGCAGTCCCCAGTTCACCATGGTGTCTCAGACATCGGCCGGTATCGACTCCGCGCAGATCGACGCTGCGGGCATTGAAAGGCGGTCCCATGTCGTCCTTCTAGAAGACGGAGACGGAGCCGGACACATTCCATGGAGCGTCGGGTGACAGCCAGGCGGGTGAAGCGCCAGGGAACTCGTCGCGGGCGGGCTCCCGACAGTTGTAGGCGGCGCTAGGCCCCGCCGTGTCTGACGACCAGTTGCCCACCGAGCCACCGACCAACAGAACCAAGAGAACCAACAGCCCAGGCCACAGGAGCAGGCGGGGAGGAGGCGCTGGCACTGTCACCACCCCCGCTTTAGTGAGGTGTGCCCCTGTGATGCTGCTGCAGGGGCGCCAGCTTTGTTACCTCGGATGGCACAGCTGGTGGTGGTGAGCTGCAGTGGGGTGGATGAGCCCTTCTGAGCGACAGCAGCGGGGAAGCTCTCCCCAGAAGGCTCCAGCCCCCCCCAGACCAAGAACCCAGACCCAGACCCAGAGGGTTCACGCGCCAGCCAACACCACGTTCCCGTCCATTGCCGCCTAAAGTCATAGGGCGGCACAGCGGGCCCTACTCCCAGCTGGACGTGGCCGCGCCGCTGCAACGGGCATCTATACCCAAGGAATTCAGGGATCCAGGGATCTAGGCCGCCAGGGATGGAGCTCCGTCCTGCCTTGCCAGTCTGGGACGCCCAACACCTAACGTACCTTCCTAGGTGCTTAATCCATAGGTGGAAATAGTGGAGTTTAGCCCGCTGCCCACCGTCGCTTCCTTACCCAGTCCAGCCTGGCCACTATTACAGGCAGGGTGCACCACAGCGCTCTGGACTCAGTTCTGGCAGGTACCTAACTAGCAGGTTGGCACCCTCCACTTCCGCTTCCACATCCCGCATCCCGCCTCTCATCCCGCATCATCCCAACCCCGACCCTTCTCCGCCTCTTCGCCCGCCTCCTCTCTCTTCTCCTCCTCCCGTCCACAGCATTCGCCCGTGATCGCCTCCTCCTGCGCCTACCCGTCGCCTGTCCTACCTTCGCCAGACCCTCTCCACGCCGCGGCCGGCGCATGCCCATCCTTCTCCGCCATCCCCCTCCGCCATGGCCAAGAAGGCGCGCCAGAGAATCAGCTATGGTAAGAGAGTTCGTGCCGCCCAGCACGGTTGTCGCACAACGGGACACACAATTCCCGCCCAATTCTACCTCCCCTCGGTGCTGATTCCCCGTCTTAGTTCTCGAAAACGCCAAATCCTCCGATGGCGGCCATCGCCTCGGCGTCAATGGCCTCGCAGTCGACAGCGACAACGCCATTCTGTAAGCCCGCTCGACGCCAACTTCCCCGTCCTTTCCCGGACCCAAAACTGACTCTGTGGCCTCTCACAGCTACTCTGGCGGCCGAGACGGCATAGTATGCGCCTGGGACCTGAACCTTGACCTCAAGCGCCGCAGCGACGTCGTAGATTCCACTCCACCATCAGATGAAAAGACCGACGACAAAGCCAAGGCCGCACCCAAGCCTACGACCAAGTTCCGCGCCCAGACCCATGCCCACATGCACTGGATCAACGACATCGCCCTCGCCCACAACAATACCGCCCTCGTCTCCGCCTCCTCCGATCTAACAGTCAAGCTATGGCGCCCGCATTCCGAAGGCAACAACACCCAAGCCGAGACCATTGGAGAGCATGCAGACTATGTCAAGGTCGTCGCTACTCCTCCCGCGGACATGGGTGTGAATTGGGTTGCATCCGGAGGGCTCGACCGCAAGATTTGTCTCTGGGACATCAATGGTGGAGGCAAGACTCTAGAGATTGACGTCAAGGGTGACGACATTGCTGAGAAGGGCTCCGTGTACGCTCTCCGCGTCGGTCGCAATATCATGGCCAGCGGTGGTCCAGAGAAGATTGTGCGATTGTACGACCCTCGAACCGGCTCCAAGGTCTCTAAGCTCGTCGGCCATGTCGACAACATCCGGTCTATCCTCATTGACGACGCTGGTGACACTATTATTAGTGCCAGCGCCGACAAGACGATCAAGATGTGGAGTGTCAAGGGTGGACGGTGCATGTACACCTTTACCATGCACGACGAGAGTATTTGGTCGCTTTTCTCAGATGATCCGCGACTCGGCATCTTTTACAGCACTGATCGCTCGGGCTTAGTAGCCAAGACAGACGTACGAGGCAGCCTCGAGGACATGGATGATGGTCTTAGTCTCGCGGTTGCTCAGGAGCACATTGGTGTGAGCAAGGTTGTTGCCGCTGGCGGCCACATCTGGACCGCAACAAACCGATCATCTATCAACCGATGGCAGGATATTGATACCGGCATCGATATCCAGCTCCCCGAATCATTCCGACATCAGAGAGCCACATCCAACGCCTCGAGCAGGCCACGCGAATCCTCCCCTCCAGCGGTTAATGGAGCCTCCAAAAAGAAGGAGATACCTGCCGAGTCCATCCTGCGTGTCTCTGCTGCAGCTGTGTTCCCAACTCGGAGTGTTCCGGATCCCGAGACCAAGTCCGTTAGTGAGACCTTGACGCGGAAGGGATCCGAGGTCGTGATAGACCACCCTGACCCTGAAGTCAAGCCGGTTCATGATCAACCCGAAGAGACCATTGAGGGCCAATTTGGCCTCCTGAAACACATGCTACTCAACGATAGGAGACGGGTCTTGACACTGGACACGGCTGGCGACGTGTTACTTTGGGATCTCATCAAGGTATTTTGAACCCGGGAACTTATCAGCTACGATTGCTGACCGAGGCAGTGCAAACCAATCCAAAGTTTTGGGAAACAACATCTCGAAGATGTGGAGACTGTTGTAAACACGGTTGAAGCAGTGGCGCCTTGGTGTTCAATCGATATCAGTTCTGGTAACCTTACTGTGGTTCTGGAGCCGTTTAATTGCTTCGATGCTGAAGTTTACGCCGATGAGATTGAGCTAGATGAGCCCATTGAGTTCAGGGAGGACCAGCGAAGTAGGCGAATCGTCCCCTTTTGGCTATGAGACGAAGCTAACACCCACTCCAGTCAGCCTTGGAAAATGGATTCTTCGGTATCTATTTGCTGACTTGATTGACGAGGAAATCAAGCGTGATGAGGCATACCGACAAAAACTAAACGAGGGCGTTGAGGCGAGACAGGCTGCCGCGGCGGCTATAGCTGCGAGTGCACCGATGTCGATATCACTCCCGACTTCAACCATACAAGGCTGGGAGAATGCCGACCCACTCACAACTCCAAGGGCCAGTGGACAGTATCCCCCAATGACTCCAGGACTGGCAATCGGTCTCGCAACCCCTGGGCCCTCCATAATTGCCCAACCGTCTCTACCGGGTGTCCCAGAGGATGCACTGTCTGCTCCCATGAGTCCGCTCGAGAAGAGGGCGTCTCACGCTAGTCGCCCATCTGTAGACAGGGAAGACTACTTCACGAGCTCCATCAACCCTGTAGAAGGGGCTGCGAAACCAGCCGTAGCGCCACAAACTCCTGCAGCGGAGCCCGCCGAGGGCAAGACTTCTACCGACGGTAAGGACGCCGACAAGGATAAGGACAATGGCAAGTCTCCGAGCACGCCTTTCGGCAAGAAGTTCCGCATGTCGTTTGGAACGAAGAAGTTGGGCCGATCAGCATCGCAAGCCACCCAGGACAAGCCCGTCATCGTGGAAGAGAAGGCGGAGGAATCCGAGTCCTCTTCGGTTCACGATAAGGAAGTCGACGACAGCTTCTTCGGCGTGATCCAGAAGATTCGTCAAGAGTACGACAAGCAATTGGCTGAGAACCCTGAGAAAATTGTCGAGACTGGCGTGGTGCCTAGCTTGCCTAATGATACACCCGTCCTGAAGCTCCCATCTGGTACCAAGGTGGTTATCCAGGAGGAGACGTCTGGCGGCAGCGCCAATATCTACCAAGGAACCGTCCAGCACGTTGGTCAGGATGCGGACTTTATCGAGCAGAAGGCTCCCATGTGGCTTGGCGATGTCCTCTTGCAGAACACGATGCCGTTCAAGGAACCCGTCAAGGTCTCGTTCGTGTTGTACCCCGTGGATGATAGCATACCCGCCATTGCTTCCACAGACGGAAACAACAGGCTTAATGCCAACCGCATGCTGCGTGTCAAGAAGATTCTTGCATACGTCGCGGAGCGGGTCGAACCTCCGCTTGAGGAGTCTGAGGAGGACGAGCTCAAGCCAGAAGAGTACTTGGAACTTTACTGTAACGATCAGGTATGTATAATTTTGGCCATTCTGCTCGTATCTTGGTTCTCATGTCTAACCCCGTTTAGTTGTTATCCCCCATGACCAGTCTGGCAGCCCTCCGCACGCACCTCTGGAAGGGCGGCAGCGATATCGTCCTCCACTACAAGACCAACGGCCGCAGGGAGCTCCGACCTTTCCCACCGTCCCCAGTCCTGAAGCCGGCCGAGGAAGAGGAGGCCCAGGAACCGCCCGCCGCAATTTCAGAACCGAGCACTGAAGCCCAGGCACCGTGATAAGCCCAGTGCGCTTGGTTCATTAATGGTGTTTGCCCCCACAGCTCATACCTTGTCTCGTCCTTGCCAGTACCGCTGTCTTCATCCTCGTATATGTCGAGATGAAGCCCTCTCTGACCCCGTCCTCTCCAAAGCGTATTCTTTTGTATATACATTTGTCCGTATGTCAAATGTCCCCAATAGCGTAATTTGTACATAGTGTTACGACCAAAAGCAGTTTATATATCCCCCTTTTGCGCGCTCCCGCTTTTTTGAACCCCTCATTGATCATATCGTACATGTATTGTATATTACTGTCCGTCTCTTAGCTCTCAGGCCAGCCCGTGCATGGTGTTAATGGCCCATTGGTAGCTTCCCAGGAAGATGGCGCCTCCAATTGATATCCAAGTCACTCGCGGCGCAATACCGGCGAAGAATGGCCGGACGCCCTCCTCTCGGGCTAATCGCCCGAAGACCTCGGCCACTGACACCCGCTCCTTGGAGAGCATAACACGAGTCTTGAGCACATCCAGGGGTGTTGTCAACGCAGCTGCCACGCCGCCAGCCATGCTTCCGTACAGGGCGCTCTCTCCGGCAGTAACCTCCCGCCCGCCGCGCCGACGCCGACCCCATGACTTCATTGCCTCCCATAGCGGGAATTGGATGACGGTGAAGGGCACCTCGCGGAACACGGTGATTCCCCAGCCGCGGTACAGCTCGCGCCACATGGCAGTCAGGCCGTGGGTACCGTAGCGGCCGAGAATGGCACGCAGGGCCGCCCCGGACGAACCTCCGTGGTGGCCGGCCTGGGCACGCTGCTTGACGACCTCGGTGGGCACGCGTATCGAGCAGGCGGCAATCTCACCGGCGCTAGCGGCGAGCATATGGGTTACGGGGCCGTGCCATGACGGGTGGCCTTCACCGCGGGGCAGGCGGTCGGCGAGCAGGCCCTTGACGGACTCGTAGGTGCAGAAGAAGAAGGCGGCGCCCGGGGCGGACCCGACGACGGCGGACCCGATGCCGCGGTAGATGCCGGAGAAGCCGCCGGAGGGGAAGAAGCCGGCCGACGACTGCAGGCGCGTCTTGAGGGTGTCGAGGGGGAAGAGCGAAAGGTCGACGGTGGTGCCGGCGAGGGCGCCCGCGAGCAGCGCGGACTGGAACGGCGGGTTCGACGAGGTCATGGTCGGAGCGGGGGTTGCTTCGGCCGATGCGACAAGGCGGACGGAGAGGGAGAGGGAATCGTCCTGATCCGGGCGGTGAGGATTCAATTGGAGGGAAGAGGCCGGAGGAATCGAGGCTGCGGCTGAGGGAATTGGAAAAGGCGCGCAGGCTGGCGACGGACGGACGAGGTGCCGTTCGGGATCGGAGACCGAGGTCGGCGGAAATTTGTATGGTGTTGAGGGCGGGCGAGGAGGAGCTCTGGGCGGCTTATCGATAAGGATCCGCGCGATATCGCGTGCCCGAGGGTGTGGGAGCTACCCTATAGCTGCTGCGCATTCCACAGGTTTGCTATGTTTTGTGACCTTTAAGTGGCTTTGGATGGTTGATGGAATGGTTTAGTGAGTCAATTGAAGTTCTGGGTTCTGTTTATTTAGTATGAATGGTTGACGTTGGTTGCACCAAGAGTTTTTGTTGACTTGGTGTTTCTACGATTATTCTTGACAATATTTTATTCAATACTGCAGTGGGGTTCCACGAGTAACGACATATTTTTGTAGACCACCACTACATGCTCATCGAGCTCGTTGCACTACGCAAACATGAAATTAGAAAATGGTCTCAGTCTCCCCACTAGAAATATACTTTACAAAACATGGGCCTACAACCTCTAACACATGTCATCCATCACCGGTAAATTGTGAAGCATGCAAGTGAGGAAGCAACACTCCCAACAACGTCACGTCACTGGCGATCCGCCAACCCATGTAATCCAGCTATTGTATTTACAGACAAACAGGACAGGCTTTTACATATTATCCTTCATGCTCGTCCCCGCCTTCGCAGTCTCCTCCGCCGCTCTCTTCGTCCGCTCCTGTAAGTGTTTCAAATCTTCAGCGCCGCCCTTGGCAGCTCGATCTGCTCGGACAGCCTCCTCGCTGTCCGACGCGAGCTCCGGCTTCCAGTGAGCGGCACCCTTTTTCTGCTTGGCGAGGGAGTCTCGCTTGTGGCGGTCGTAGTCATTGTCTGTTTCTAGTCATCGAGTCAGTGGATTGATTCACCAGATGGGGGATGAAAACGGGCATGGAGTCGAAGGGGTGGGCGTACGGCTTGCCGACTCCTTTAGACCGAGTCGTGCGGAGGTCGACATGGAGAATCCTTGTCTGGCGAGGACACTGCCAATGCGTGTAGGGCGCATAGCGTATAGGGACCTCGCTGACATCATCTTGTCGTTGCTTTTGATGCAGGATCGAAGCCGTCGTATTAATAGAGATTGGTCGGTACAAATGGTAGCTGAGAAACGCAACAATTTCTTGTCGCACAATGAAGAATTGAGAAAAGAAATAGCACCCGAGAGCGCAGCTTGATAAATATGTCAAAAATAGCATTCCAAGCCCCTCAACGATCGTCCAGCGAAGGTTCCATCAAGTCATCACTCACACGCTGTGACGTCACCATCATCGTCACTATCATGGTTAGCCAAACTCCCCGCCTCCTTCGACCTGTCAGATCATTACGTCTTCAGTCGCCATGGACACTTTTCTTAGCACATATGATAAGCGTTGACAAATCGAGGATTCCAAATGACATTATGCTTCTGCTTTACTGGCCATGGCGGCTGTTGATTGAGTGGTAGTTGCACGGAACGTCAGTGACTATTATACATGTGCCTACAGTTTGCAAGCTGCGACCTGCCGCAAGTTCGGTACCAATCCGAATTACGCACAGCCTGCAAGTATTAAACTTGTAGATTTGTGACACTGCTACCGGCGTGTAGACGCTTAGACTGCAAGCAAAAGATAGGAAGCAGCAGGTACCAGTGGGCGAGAGCATGTAAGTAGTACTGCGGTAGCAAACTGTTGCTGAATGCCGGTTGCTATAACAAAATAGCAAATGATACCACCTACAGCGTACATTCAGTCTGTAACATTTACAACCATGCAAAAGAAATCACAGAGGACATCGGATTAATGTTTGAACATCGTGTATTCTCGTCTCGCAGCTCTCAAGCCGCAATGTCGCAACCATACAGCGCCATTTCCCAGTTGACAATAGCCACATCCGCAGTTACCCATTGCAAAACCAGGCTCGAGGGCCCATTGATCCCAAAAACCGACCCACAACTTAGACATGCCATAGCCGCCACCGTCACTCCAGATGCTTGCGAAGGAGAGAGCAAACACTCTCTTCCAGGACGAGACAACCAGCAACGCTTCAAAAACCACCGCCAAATATGACCGCCTCACTCAAGAGTGCGACCGATATGACCAACAAATAAAAAAAAACAAGAAATAAGACAAAAAGGCAGGGACAAATATGTAGGTGTCCCAGAATGGTACAAAGAAGGAAGAATCGGACAAAAACCCTTTTCCCGTTCGTTTGCAGCAGCGAGATCGCACCGAGAATTCGACCAACTCCCCGTAATACCCAGTAGACCGTCCCACTCGGAGATGTTGCAAAAAACATGACACCGTTCGTCTCGATTCCGACCACCACCCAAATAGTTCCCAAGATGCGACCAGACAATAAACACCCGAATCCCCGCTCGTGAAAAGCACTCCTTCTATGTGTTTCTTTTTCTCTTGGTGACTTCATGAACCCATAACCGTGATGAGAAGAAGACATTTTGGTTAGTATTGGGAGCCACCGTTGCTTCCCATGAAACAAATATAGATGCCGAAATCAGAAACCCGTCCACGTCCATCGAACACCTATGCAATGTCGTCTTGAAATGCAAAACCACTGAAAACGCCCCATTCGTGTCGGATAGCTTCAACTTGCGAAGCGGACACAGAACCCTAGGTATTTAATATGTCGCAAAAACAATGTAACCAAAACAGAAGAAATTGGTATCGAATCTTTCTCAAGCCGCGCCGGTTGTTGTATCCTCATTGAAACTTGTTGGTTGCAACAAGGGAGTATGTCGATTAAGGATTTTTATACAGGTGAGGAAAGGTGATTTGTTGTTGTCGATGGTTGTCGCCAACAGTCTGGGTCGACCGCATCGAGCAGTCGAAACCCGGAAAAAGCCTCGAGGAACCCAGCCCGCAAGAGAAGATGATGCCAATTCAAGCCTCGGTCAATCGGTGTGCCCGCCAAGATGAACAGCTGCGAATGAATGGACAGTAATTCTACAGTTCCAGATGCACCGCCAAGGCGACAACGCACGGATCGCTCCCGCACCCCACAGGGATACGGAGAGCGACGCGTCGTCGTCTACCATCGGCGAGGCATAGACTGTTGCATCCTGCCGGGTGACACCGAGTGAGGAGGGCTTGACATGGTAATACCAGTGGCTGGGTTGATAATGGGAATGGCGTTGCGGCCCCGGGTGGCGGCGGGTTGGTGAAGTTTCATGCTTCCCTGGTGGTGGTAGCTGGGAGGAATGAAAGGAGGAGAGGCGGAGCTGAGGGAGAAGCCAGGAGCGACGGTCTGAGGTTGTTGAGTAGGAGAAGAGTCGGGAGAGTTGCTGGCTAGTGAAGAGCGCTCTGATGAACTGGAGATGGAGACCAACTGCGGAGGAAACTGGTCAGAGTCATGGAAGGGGGACAGGTGGACGCGGAGGCGGCACTGGCGGAACAACTCACGTCGGTCTCGGTCAATAGGTTGGGGCAGAATTCCATGTCGTCCTCGAGGTCGAAAGAGCGGCTTGTCTCAAACTTGGTGCGGAACGCTGTGAGAGAGGCGGTCTCGTTGAGCTCCTTCATACTGCGAACACCGCGGAACTGGCGCTGCGAATTCTGGGAGACGGACAGGCGGGGAGCTCTGCGATTTCGGCCGCCATGGTGGTTGTGCGACACAGGCGCAGGATGCGCAGCGTGGGCGTTGTAGTGGTAGTATGCAGACATTATGATGGTTGGCTACTCAGCGTTGTGTGCGGCTGAGGTGGTGAGATTGGATGCGGGACCGTGTAGGTGAGCGCCAGAGTGGGAAAGCCGGGAATGTGCGGGATTAAATCGAGCTGGGAAACACAACTGCGATGAGTGTGTTTTCGATTGTCGTGGTGGTGAAGAGCAGATGATGCGCCGGCGTCAGTTGGGGAGAGCGAGGTCGTTGGTGGAGAGAGAAGAGGAGCAGGTAAAATGGTAGCGGAAGTTGTGCGTTGGAGGTGGACGGAGGTGGATGGGTTCTGGGAAGCGAAGCGAGGCAGGTACGAGGGGCGAGGTGACGGACGGATGATAAGTGGGAGGAAGGAATCGGCGACGGCGGGCGGCGGGTTTTGTTGGTTGGGGACGCTTGGGGTGACTTGGGGTGTCTGGGACCCATTACGGCTCCACATGCTCTCCACTACGGGTCCACCTGGAGACCAGGATGTCGAACAAGAGATGAGGGCGGGCCCCGCATCTGGCAAATCACCGTACGCAAACGGTAGCCCCACTAGGCTCGCCACCGACGGATGATTGGGCTGGCGTACATGAAGCTAGCCACATGCAGGACTAGCCAACGCCACTGTGTAATCTGTGGTGGCATGCTGGTGGTCCCGCTGGGGGCCCGCCGTGAGCGGTACAGTGGCGACTGGACGGTCGCAGACAGTGTCGCAGGAGTGCCCTGGCCCGACAAGCACCCACTCCTGGTAAGAGGGGCTGTTCGCTGTACCTGGAAATTGGGTGGCTGGCACGCGGGGCACGCAGTACCGGTGACTCGGCAGCTATCCAGTCTCGTGCCCGCCATGCCCTCCATGCTCCCCAGCTGCCCAGTGCAGGGTTCGGCGGCCTCGGGGCCATCCATGCGATCCCATCCCATTCCAGTGAACGTCCTGTCACTTGACCGCACCAACCTTGGAACCAGCGTGCCCCAGTAAATGCGCCGGCCAGTGAGTCCCCCCAGTGGGCTCGAGCACCAACAAGGCTTCCATGGCGCGTTTTCAGCGTGAACTTCAGTGGGCGCCTCTCAGCACACGGTGTGAGCGACTCCCAGCTCAGCCAGGTCATCACTCAAGCGCTTTGGTTTGGCAGCGGAGGACCACTGGCCAGGGTCGCACGTAAAGCAGTCCTGCATCCAGCAGTCAGCCCGCCCATTCATCAGCCCAAGTCTCCATTGACGGTCGCTAAAACAGTGCGTGCGCCTTTGTTGACATCCACCCAAAAATGGACTGTGGAACATTCGACACTGGCTCACTGGCTCCAGGGGAGTGGAGGGCACCCGTCAGGTGAGTACGGATGATGGACTAGGCGCCTCAGGCACCGGCCGCCGCAAGCCCCCTTTTCCCCTTTGCTGGCTTAGGCGCTTTACCGCTGGAGTTTTAGCGGACGTGATTGGGTTGTGGGCGTCTTTGTTTGTTGACATGCTGGAGATTGTTATTATCCACCGCCGCGTGCGTGAGGAACGGCATGTGTTTCTCATTCTGCGACTGCGACGGCCCCTGGACCGCAGTCATCCATTGCATGCTTGTACATACTCCGGGCGGCTGTCCGGCGTCTGGCATCGGAAGGATGTCTGTCTAGTCCTGCGCCGGGGAGAATGAAGGGTTCGGAAGTACCGCCTGTGGCTGCTCAGAACAGTGCATTGTGCCGTCTGCAATGCCGAAACCCAAACAACACCCATCCAGGTCTAGGGCCCTCTGGGCTCGTGGCTGGTGAACCCTGTTGGTTCTGGAGCTGGCATTGCAACCCTCCAACGTTCTCTGCGGGTTTGGCGGGTTTGAGTGAGACGGTGGACGGGGTGGGAATCGTGGGATGGTGTGGGTGGCCTTGTTGCGACTGCGACCAAGTGAGGCAGTGGGCGCTAGCGCTTGGCAGCATCCCCGTCCACTGACGACTGAAGCTACCACGCACAGGGACGTGACGCTGTTCTTGGAGGGTGGCAATGCGCCGTGACTGGGCGGCCTCGACGGGGACCCTCGCGCCTTCGCCCCTCGCGCTGCCTTGATAGTGTGGAGTGGCTGTGGATATTTGACTCTCAGGGCTGGGCCGAAGGGGTTGACGGGGGTTGAGAGGAGGGCGGCGAGTGTGTCAACGGGCGTCTGAACATGGGGCGTGGAAACGTGGCGGCTGGAAAGGCCCAGGTTGAGCTCACGCACTGTGGGCACTGTACGAAGTGTGGAGAAAGCTGGTGCAGCTTGTTCATCGCATCTCTGCGTCCCATCTTCTTGATTGATCCTCCGTACCTAGTCTCTATGGTTAACTTTACAGTACTTTGCGCCGTGCCATTCATGTCCTGTTGATTGGTAGACCGCACCATTCTCCATGTCTGTTTCAACTGTCTCGACTGCCAGCCGAAAGTCTATCGCTCTGACAAAGACCTTCGGTTGTGTCTGTGTGTCTCCATGACTCTGTAGGGTGGCCGGTCAGAGCACAAACACAAGAGTGACAGGTCTACCTAGCCTCTCACCAACCCCTCCAGGTTCTCTCAACCACCATTGTCCTCTGGTCTTGAATTGAGAGGGCTGTATCGCGGAGCCACAGATCATCCCATCATGATGATACCCAACCCACGCTGCAGGTTCTGGCTGGATGGGACAGTGTGCACTGCAGCAAAGCACCGCCGCAACGCACCACTTCGCCTCGCCACGGGATGCCGGCTGGACCCTCTGCTGCATGTCTGCGACTTGCTTCTGCGTCTACGCTGCGTCTGCCATTCTTCAGCGTCAAGCGGCGGCGTCCCAAGGCTTTCGCTGAACCATTGGCAGCGCAGGGCTTCTGCCAGGGCTGGATTGGCGCTGCCGCCAGGGATCGATGGCTCCACGCATCCCTCACGCAGGAACTGTTTCTCGGCGGCGGCGAAAGCGGGCGTCAACCGAGACCGAGCTGGGATGGGAGTTCTGGGGTCCCCTCCCGAATCCCGTCGTTGCAACGCACGCGAGACTGGTCCAGTGGTGGTCCAGTGGTACGTAGGCTAGCTGGTGTGTGCTGGCGACCCATGCCAGGAGCCATGAGCCATGAGCCAGGAGACAGTGACGACGGCGGCGCAAAAGACGCCTGACGCTCGTAGCGATCTCGTCAATCACCGCGATGCCTGCACCCGCCTGCTCATCATTCATGCCGTCGCATCACGGACGTTCGACTCCCCGTCGCCCCCCACCTAGACCACCTCCGAACATCGTACGCACATACCACACCACCAGCACCATTGCCGATGACTTTGGCTTTGGCTTAGCAGTTGGTTCTGGCTGTGGTTGCGCTCCTGTCTGTCGATCTCGGCTAGATCATTTGGCCTTCGATCAAGGCCGCCCGCCGCCCAGCATCTAGCGGAAATCCAATTCCTGCCCCATCCAAGCGTCCCGACCTCCCCCTCCACCTCCTCTACACGCTGTTCGCCACGAGTTGACCTTGACTTTGTCATTTGCTAGGCCACCACACGGGGAGGGGCTGTCCGGCACTATCTATTTTAGTCCTGATCACAAAACCTTGCACCGTGTGTTGAGGGTATGCAAGTGCTTCCTCCGGACCGAGGGGCTGCCATCAGGATTGGGTTTGCACGGGGAGGGAGGGCATCGCCCACGCTGATCGCTCGATGTGCGGGCGTACCTGAAGGATCTTGGGACCAAGGCATTTCGACCGGAATTCTAAGACCAGAATGCGAGCCGGGCCCTGGATTCCTTCATTGCATAGAGTGCCAGTCAGGCACAGGTACAGGGCAGTGTTAGTGATCGACCCCTAGACGAAAGGCACTTCCCACTTGGGCTTCTTGCAGACCAAGCCTCGACTGGATTGACGGCGGGTTCCTTGCCCTCGCACTCTCGGATGTCCAGCATGGCTCGGACAAGATGACCAGTCTCGGTACTGGGGAGATTGACCTCCCCCTAGATGGAAATAGAAAGCACTGGTCAGTTCAGGACCAGAGTGACTGCAGCCATCAGAAGCCAAGAAGAGATCTGACAAGGAGCTTGACCTGCTTTTGCCAGCCCCCTGCGCTGCCCGCGACCTCCCGGTTTGCCAACCTTTGCTATACCCTCCATCTCAGCTCGATCCCACCGTCAATTGCCCATCCAGGCCATTCCCATCGTTCCCAATTGTGCACATCCCACGCAACCCACAGACCACTCGTTGGGATGGGTTTAGGTAGTGCCCACACCGCCATTTCCGATGGCGTGCCGTCCGTTGTCCGTCGGCTGTGGCGGTCGTTGTTCGGTGTCTCACCTAGCGGAGAAGGGCACCAGCCGTCGCTGGTTTTGCTCGTCCCGTGAACTGGTTCAGTGAATGAGTGAGTGAGTGCCCATACGTACCAGCGGAACCTCCTGTGCACCATGCCGGAACCAACGCTGCTTGCGTGCTTCGCCCACCCTGGATCGCTGAGAGGCCCAGGGATTCGGGGCTGAGGTGATGGCTTTAGCTCCTTGGAGCTGGTCTACGGACCGTCCGGGTTTCATGTGGCTTGCGTGACGAAAGCCACTCCCACTCCCATGCGCTGTGCCGTTGCATTTTATGCGCCACAGCCCGAATCAGAGACATGCACTTTCCGCGACCACCCGATTTACCGTTCTATCAGGCTATCGGCTGCGTTCTGCCGATGCAAGGGCGAAATGCGGCTTTCCCGGCTCTTTGCTTCTTCCCTTCTTTGCTGCTGTGCAACATCGCACGACCCCAACGTCAGCTGCGGGGAATCGCGACGCTTTTCGATGGATCTGCCTCAGCCTTGCGGGGGCGACTCCGGCCGAGTCGGCCGTTTCCCGTCGTTTTTTTTGCCTGCCCAGCCTATGACGCAGTTCGCATCATGGGGCATCTGGACCGTGCCAACAGGCCTCCGTGGTGGGGCAACGCAGCTCCTGTTCAGTCACCGGGACCCTTGAGTTGCTGGAGTATTCGGAACTGGATACGACGGAGTCGCCGTTGAGTCATTAGTTGTGCTTCCAAGCTTTCAAGGTTGACATCAAGGTATCGTGATGCCTCCGGGTTGCGGCTTTTAGTTGTTGACGAGGCTCTGCCTATCGTTAGCTTCCCTTGCGCAGTTGGCTGTGGTCTCGGAAGTATTCGCCGACGATGACCGAGTCACGCTTCGACGTCTTAGGTTGCATTAAGAGACTATTGTCTCATAACATCTGACTGGCAACATGAGGATCTTCTGTTGGTCCGATACCGTACTCATTGCACCGCACACTTCACACTTGGGAATAAGGGGATGTCGGGAAGGCTGTCCAGTATTGCGGATTTCGTCCCCATTCTGTTATAGACCCAAAAAAAACTCCGTTGAACTCTGTATAACAGTAACAATGTAGAGACTCTATAATCATGTTTTCCGGGCAAACCTTAAAACTCCAATCCAATACTGTAACGATATACTAGTACCTGCGAATATGAATCTCGTAGATGCTTCATTGCTCATACCTCATGCCGTTTCTGCAGTGATATCCACACCTCTTCACTTGTCCAAGCTACGAGCCTTGACAAATCGGTTGATCTGCTCCCGGGTGAGTTTATCGTTGTACTGTTCGTAACACTCGTAGAAGGAGATGATCTCCTGCGTAGCGTCCACCATGGATGCTATATCCACGTTGCTCTCCGCTAGCCACGCTGCAAATCGCTGCACGCGCGTCACTCGACCTTCCTGCGGCTTTCCCTTTATATCTGTCCCGCCCGTGTCCATCATGCTGCCCTGCCCTGTGCGGGCCTGTGCCTGGCTCAATGCTGCCTGAGCAGCTGCGAGACCAGCCGCCGCGGCAGCGCCAGGGGCGTTCTGGCCTGGTACTGAATTATTGGGTCGGAGGACCAGGGCAAGGAGGATAGCGACGAGAGCAATGGTGTGCGGTGGATAGAGTAGGGGCAGATCGGTCATGAAGTGATCGTTGATGACAGACCGGGCTAACTGCACGTCCTCCTCGACCAACGCCAACTCGGACCGGAGAGCAGTAATGGACCGGTATGGTTGGTGGACGATAAGTTGAGAGCTCATTTCACTAATAAGGAAGAACTCGCACTCGCCCAGCTTGGATGTATCGATGGCGACGAGATCCTGCCACATCTGCCGCGCTTCCGTCACAATGAGGCGGATGTGCTGTGGCGACTCCTCCATTTTGCAGGCGAGGTATATGGACGTGGCAATGACGAGGTAGGGATTCGTTCGGCGGATCTCGACCTTCGAAAAGAAGCGCTTCATGTAAACTTGGGCAGTCGCCATAGACTGCTGCCGGATCGTGAGGCGCTTCGCCAATCTGATCAACTCTGCAGGCGAGACATGCGTTAGTTGGATGCCGCCGAGCGGGACTGGAGGGAGAAGCGGTTCCACGCGGGGAGAGCGGCTCACGTTGGTTAAAGTAAATGTTCAAATGCCTCTGCTGCGGCAGCGGGAACATGCGGACGAGGTCGGCATTGTCTTCCTCGAGCTTCTGGCGCATCGACGCTAGCTGCTCCTTGGTGAACTGCCAGTAGCGGCGCTGCGTCGACTCCCAGTAGTTGGCCGACATTGCTCGCCAGAGCGGGCCGTAGAGGCGCCTTTCATGCGAAGCCGCCAGAGAGGCGTGGCGTGAGGGGTTGTTGGAGTTGCTGGCAGGAGGTGGAAGACGTCGAGGTGGAGGGAGAGGACGGTCGCACGACGAGGCTGAGGAATGTCCCCTTGGGGATTCATCGGCTGGGCAAGGCTGTGCTCAGCTGTGCGGGGCTGATAAGATCGGGGCAACCAAGATACCCGCCCGATGTGACGCCACATCTGTACAAGCCACAGGCAAAGCCACAGCTCGTCACAGATCGGATCTCTAACTGCGACCCGACAAGACTTGCTACGAGACCAGCAATTGAACCACTCAACACGGTCAACTCCATAGAAACACCACATAGCTCACCTAGACGACTATTCGCAACCTGATATCCATGCCCTAAACCCCTTGAGCCGAGACAAGGCGAGGGCGCTGACGGGCGCTGGTAAAAAGCTGGACTAGCTGGCGGGTCCTTCCGGGGCGCTAGCGATAATGGAACTGCTCTGATTGCTCAAGCAGCTTCCCTGTTTCCCCCGGTCCGTGGCCTTTGACACCTCCACTCGACGGCACGGCATTTGGAGATTTTGCCTTCACGACCATCGGCGCTCTCCCGAACGCAATTGGCATCATCCTTGCCATTCTCTGCTTGCCCCTCTACGACTCTCGCCGGCAGCCATGATCTTGCCGTAACCCGCCTCTGCTCCCTCTCCGACGACGACGGCGACCGCGCGCATCTCAGCTTCCTCCAGTCGTCCCCTCGTCCCTCGGCCCCTGCGACGACCGTTCCGACCGCCCCCGGCGCGAGATATGCCACCCTCGCCATCGTCATGACCGTGTCCAAGCTGGTCAGCAAGGCCGAACATGGCTTTGGGGAGTCGCAAAACCAGCGCGATGCCCGCGTCGAGGAGTTGTGGGCTAGCCTCGAGCCCGAACGCACCGGCGAGCTGGATTTGAAGGGCTTGAAGAAGGGGCTTCGCAGGATTGATCATCGTGAGCGAGAGCCCGCGTAACTCAACTGCAGATATAGAGATGCTGATCAGCAATCGCAGCTATGAAAAATGCCGACGATATGCTTAAGCGAATAATGGGCGAGGTGGACCAAGACCGCGATGGCAAGATCCAATATGAAGGTATGCACGCCTTTTCCGATGCTACCGACAGCCGCCGTGCTCTCCCCGACGATGTCAGAGGAGCAGAACTGCCTTTACATATCGATGCTTACCAGTTCATCGCCTTTAGAGTTCCGCACATTCGTCGAAAAAGCCGAGCGACAACTTTTTGCTCTATTTAGAACCATTGACAAGGACGGCAACGGGAAGCTCGACAAGGACGAGCTCCAGGCGGCCTTTAAGAACGGTGGCCTAACCGTCTCCAATCGCCGCCTCGCCGAGTTCTTCGACGACGTGGACCTTAACCACGACGGCTTCATCACCTTTGATGAGTGGCGGTTAGTCAACCATTTCTGCATTTTCCTCTTTATTATCTTGGCGTTTGGCAATCCCATCACATGATATCCATGCCTGAGCGTCAGTCATTTGGCGGGGAACCAGACGTCATGTGCCAAGCCATCCCGAACCGGGTCATGAATGCGCCAAAGCTCGTCGACAGAACTTTATCTGACCAAACTCAACTACCATTGGAAAACCAGCTGACCAATTCCAGAAACTTTTTACTCTTTATGCCTCCTCACGACCACGACTCTCAACTTCATGCTGTCTTGTCGTTTTACTACTCAGTGGTCAGCGTGACCCCCGAAGGAGACTCGATTGTGAGTGAGGAAACATTAGAGGGTATAGGTACGGACGGATTCCGCTCCCTTTTTATCACCCTGTTCGGCTCTCTTCTCAGAGTCGCGTTCCCCTTCGACCCTCCCAGGACCTCCGAATCCGCTTCGATACCTCCGACGACCCGGCGCGCCTTGGATGACTCTCCCATTTCCGTCGAGAACATGGCTGCGGCGGCCGCCTATCCCACTTTCGACGACTCGGCCGAGGAGCTGGCCGAGTCCTTCTCGCAACACGTCGGCGCTGGCACCCCGGGACAGACCTCAACTGGAGTCTTGAAACAGCACAAGAAGTATAGACTGACAGACTTTGTCCCTGATCCAGGTTACTTCGTTGCGGGTGCCATCGCTGGCGGAGTTTCGCGTACGGCGACTGCTCCCCTCGACCGATTGAAGGTTTATCTGCTCGTCAACACTAGCAACACCACCTCGACGGCAGGCGTAGCGCTCAAACAGGGACATCCCTTAGCCGCACTGAAGAACGCATCTCGGCCATTCAGCGACGCCATCCGAGAACTTTTCCGCTCTGGGGGCTTCCGTAGTTTCTTTGCCGGTGAGTTGTCTGTTACAGCCTTGACTACTGATCGAGGCTTCAAATATGAGGCGTGGCATACTAATGGAATCTAGGCAATGGATTGAATGTTGTCAAGATCATGCCGGAGACGGCTATCAAGTTCGGATCATATGAAGCAGCTAAGCGAGCACTGGCCAACTTTGAGGGTCATGGTGACCCTAAAAAGATCAACTCATACTCCAAGTTCACCGCTGGTGGTGTTGCTGGCATGATCGCGCAGTATGTTCTATCCTTGCCTCCAACGTGATGCTGGACTAACAAGCAAAGGTCTTTTGTTTATCCCCTTGATACCTTGAAATTCCGACTTCAGTGCGAAACTGTCAAAGGAGGACTCACAGGTGCTGCTCTCGTTCGCCAGACAGCGCTCAAGATGTACGCCGACGGAGGCATTGCCGCAGCTTACCGAGGCTTGACGATGGGCCTGATTGGAATGTTCCCTTACAGTGCCATCGACATGGGCATGTTTGAGCTGCTAAAAACGACGTACAAGGGCTACTACGCTAAATACTACAACAAACATGAGGACGATGTTCAAATCGGCAACATCGCTACGGGCATGATCGGCGCCACATCCGGAGCATTTGGCGCAAGTGTTGTTTACCCCCTTAACGTTGTCCGTACCCGACTACAGACGCAAGGCACAAGCATGCACAAGGCCACCTACACCGGCATATGGGATGTAACGCAGAAGACGATACAACGGGAAGGATATCGCGGGCTGTACAAAGGCCTGACACCGAATCTTCTCAAGGTCGCCCCGGCGCTAAGCATCACATGGGTGGTGTACGAGAATTCAAAGAAGACGCTCGGTCTGAACTGATAGGCCTGGAGTGACACGATTGGACAGCTGGAGGAGGATATACCACATACGATAATCGGAGCGCGGACTGAAGTCACCCCGCATTCACCACACAAACAAACAAACACTCTCGAATACTCACACATATCCATACGCACCACGCACGCACAAACAATCTCACATGGACTTTTAGGAAAGCGGGGAATTTAGCGGTTGGATGGCATCGCGTTACCGGATGAATCTTTGGCGTTAGAGGGAGATATATATCAGAGGAGGAAAAAACCCAGGCTTCATTCACGGACAGGAGGATGGAAGGCCGGAAACACATTGCTCTACGTTTTCATTTGAGGGGTCGGAGTCGGCGGTTAGACATAGGCTGGCACATTGGTTCATTTGAGATAGACAGCCGAGTTGAGGCGAGGCTAGGGCGGGACCCCGCAAGAAATGACGAACTTTTCCTTATGACTAGGAATATTTACCATTACCGGCAGTTGGACCGATGCCCGTTATATATCCAAGGCCCTATCCACTATTGGAATTAGATTAGGAAAATTCCGCCGCCTGACACCCTCATGCGAGCCCGTTATGCAGCCTGTTCCACAGTCTTAACCCCTAGACTCATCGATCTGATCTCCGGCCACCGGGCGGCCGTGCCTGTGGGGCCGTTCTCGGAGTTGCGGTACGGAGCAGTGACCACGGCTCCGAGTGGGGTGGTCCGGCGAATAGGCATCGGCCGGGGATAACGCCCAGTGCATGACCCTCTGCGGCAGCTGCGGGTTCCTAAGCGGGAGAAAAGAGGACGTCGACGCTTGATCTACCGGCCCATTGCAGTGTGATTCGTAGGCGATGGTGGTTGGATGGGTTGGGGAGCCCGGGGGTCCGAGGCTGTATGAGGGGTTGTTGAGGAGGGTTTTCGTTCGGGCCTCGATCTTTTTCTTTACCTACCGACTTGAGTGCTTTCAATTTCTTTAAGGAGAACGAATCCGTCTGGTGCTATATTGCCACAGAGGAAGGAATATACTGCAGGGCCAACAATTGGAAAGATGGCAGCTGTCGATTTGGACCCCTTCATCGTGCCTGACGACCAGGTTTGGCCCATTTATTAGCATATAACCACGAGCAGCACCTAACTCACCGGTGTGTTGGACTAGATTCCGGAGGACCAGGAGTCGTCTCTGGGAGAATTATGGAGTTTGATCACGCCGAGTGCTTAGTTGAGGCCTGACATATTGCTGGGTGGGTACTATACGTCTTCGTCGACGCAATCCCTAAGCAGTTCCACCCTTGACTAGCGGCGCGAGAATGGAAGAACATACCATCGATACAAGGATGGAAGTGAGTCCCCTGCTCGAATTCCTAGTTAAGCCATCCTTCAGGTTCCTAATATTATCAGAGTACAACCTACCGAACCTAGAAACCTTAGTCTGTATGAGTGTACTGTTGACATTTGAATGGACTGGGTATATGGTCTGTATTGTTGATACTATTGTTGGTGTTTTTTTTTTACTGTTGAGCTTCTAGTCCCCCCTCTGGGTATGTGGGTACTAGGGCACCCTCACCTCTTGACAACCTACCGAACGATGCCCAGGAGGCCGAACGACTAGGTACGACTAGCTACCTCGAATTATATAAAATGGATGCTGTTAGCTAAGTGAGGATGAGAGAAAAGACTTATAGCATCATTTATTCCTCCTTACGTTCGACGGCAAACCGGGCCTTGCGCTCCCGAACAAATCGGGTTCGCAGATTAAGCGCGTCCTTGATCTGGGTACGGGTACGGGAATATGGGTGATGGAGTTTGGCGATGGGCATCCGGGGGTCCACGTTAGTCTGCTCTAAAGAAACTGGATGTTTGTGAGCCGATTCTAAGTTGTTGGTGTCGACCTTTCCCCTATCCAGCCAACTTTGTATGATATGGGGTCCTATGTGAATGTTCTTCTGCTAACTAGATGATGAGTGTCCCTCCCAACGTAGAGTTTTTATCGACGATATTGACGAGCAGTGTAACCATTATTGACCCATTGGTTACATCCACAGCCAAATGGTGAGGTCGAGCATTGCTAACTGGCGAGTCTACCTAGATAAGATCTACGAGTAAGTTGACAGCTTAAAGGCACACAACTTAACTTTCTCTGACATGTCTTAGCGACCTCACCCCCGGCGGCTACGCAGAGCTCCAGGCGATGATGGAGGCCGTCGGGTTCGTGGTGTTGATACGACTTGAGACATAATGTTGAGTTGAGGTTTGGACAAGATGGCGACCGTCTTAAGCGGTGTTACCGAGAGCGAATGAATTGAATTATATCGGGATGAATTGAACTTTTTGACATTATGCTTGTGTTAAACCAAGACGCACCCATATGACATGGTCTTGCGTGTCGTGCATGCCTTGAGTGACGCATCGCATCGTGATGTGTTAGTATTGAAGCTTCGAGCAGTCAACGGCATCAAATTACACCGACTGCTTATTCTGGAGTCTCAACGATACACGCAATTGAGTTTATTCCATAACGAGAAGCACTAATGCCGATCAAGTTGGCAGCCCAGCACTCGGGAACAAGCAGGGCCGTATCCAGCCCTATCGCAGCACCCACACGGCCGCGCACTCGCCTTCGGTCTCTGAGTCTAGGCCTCTCGTCCTTGCGTCACCCGCACTCGCGGCCTGCACGCTCGCATGCAAGCTTACGCCGCACCGGAGGCATCGGAGCCGGTCGGGCGGGGATGCGCGGGACGAAACTTGCACGAGAGAGGCAGTTGGGTAAGAAAGAGAGACGTCAGATTGTGCCATGTTGGAGTGGCCGGGGGGTGGATGGGTTTGGCCCAATCGGGCGATATGGCGGCATGGGATGGTGGTGGCACTTTTGTAGGGCGGGGGTTGATTGTGCGGTGGGATTACTGGATTTGAGCTTGATTTTCTGGTGGGTGATAAATTGATGGGAGACGGAGGAGAGAAGAGAAGAGACGAGAAGAGGAGAGGAGAGAGGCAGACGTCAGTCAGTGGAAGTTGTGACAATGGGAGAACCTCTGGCGTTGGGTATGTCATGTCAGTGAATGTCAGTAAAGCGTCTGTTAAATCGACCCATGTCAACTGTTAACATGCAACTGAAGCTGCAACTCACCGAGTGCTGAAAGCCAACGTCTCCCCCACTGTAACATGCAGTTAGTTGCCTAATCATCGCTAATCCTTCCTTATCCCGGTCCCAACTCTGACGTCTCCTTTGCGACTAACTCATGCACGTGCGTTGAGGGCCTCGTACGCAGCCCACCCACCGTCTAACCGCAACTCTGCTGATGAACCAGTCCTGCGTATGCCCTGGCTGCCCGTCTACAGTACCTGACTGGTGCGATACCCTGGCTTCTCGTCTGCCTGGCTGGTGCGATACCCTAGCAACCTCGCCCATTGGAGTCGTCCTGCTGCAGCCGGCTTCGGCTGGCCATGGCAATCAATCAACATGTCTCTCTCTCTCCCCGCCCCGCCGGCCCAGCCTTGCCGCCTCACTTCCTCCCTCTCCAGACCTTCCTCTTCCTCACATCTCTCTCGTAACTCGTCTTCATCGTCGGCTTCGCATGTGTCTGACGACGGCCGATGACCTCTGCATCACCCGAGCCGCGTACACATTGCGTCTAAGCGAACCTCCTCGGCGAACCTCCACGGCGAACGCTTCCGTCATCTGCTGTAACCCTGGCCGTTGCGTCCACCAACTGTCCGTCCGGGTTCCCGTGAAGCTCTAGGGACCGCATTCCGCTGCCTCAGCCTCCGCCTCAGCCCTATACAGTCCCCGTTCACCTTCCAAGGCCTTCGCCCCGACCAACCACGCTCCGTCCGTTCCCACCTCAGTGACCTCACTCACCGCGATGCCATCGCCCTACTCGGACAACCTCTACTCCGCTGCTGACCTCTCAGACGACGAGACCGACGCCCTCTCGCCTACCGACGGCTACTTCCACGCGTCGTCGGACCCCGCGTCGTCGTCATCCACCCATCATGGCTCGTTCCATCGTTCCGCCGCCAGCGTCCCTCGCGTGCCCAATGTATTCGTCGAGGACCCAACCTTTCAGGACCCTGGGTCCAAAGCCTGGGAGGCCGAGGCCGAGAGGATGCGCTTAAATAGCGGCTCGACGGGTGCTGAGGGTCCGGCTGTGTCTCCAACCACTGGCTCTGCTGGTTACCAACCCTCGAGCATTCCGAGTCCGCCGCCTATCCATCACCCCCGACGTAGTGTTGAGGAGCAGCATAACCACTATACCGGATTGGATCATCGAATTGCTTCGCCATATATGGGCCATCCATCCCCAAGTGTTACAACTGCTTTGCTCCCTCACCACCGTGACGCCCCGCCCGCTTACACGCCATCACCAACATCACCACCAGGCTCAGCCTACCAGACTTTTGCGCCGTCTAATTCCACCATGGGGCTCCCAGAAGAGCAGCAGCGATTGATATCCCGTGGTCCCGAATCCATGGGCGGTCCGCCTACACCGCCTAGCCAAATTCGCTGGCAGCGTATCAAGAGCTCCATTGCGAGTTTCAACCTGAGAAAGAAGCTCAGGACAACTCTCGGAGTCTTTGTCGTCTTGTCTGTCTTCTTCATGATGTTCAGCAGCTTTACTCTCCGACCAAATCACAAGGTATGACCCCCCTGTAGCGTCTTGCCCATAAGCTACTAACAGGTTTCTCTGGATATAGGATCCTGATATTGGTGATGACCAGCCGGTCAAGAAGCCCGACATGGACAACAGCGACTTCGTATGGAACCCCGTGCGAGGCTGCCTAAACCATAACCTCAAGCATTTCAAGTCGACTGTATCGCTCGACACGCACTACACTCGTAATTTGACAATCATCCAGAAGGTAAAGGACGAAGACAAGCCCGTTTCAGGTTGGAACCCTCGTGTCTCGGGAGAGATCATCCTGCGACCTACCGACCGCGCTTCTCCGGGAACTATCGAGCTTGACATCATTACCAACGATGAAAAGATCAACCCGGAGATGTTCTTTGACAAGCCCGAACAGAAATACACGATTTCTACTCCAAGGAAAGTTGATTGGAACTCTGATAGTGAAGGCCCGTGTATCCAGATACGTGTCACTGTCTGGGTGCCCCGTGAGGTTGTCCTCAACGCCCTCAAGGTCGACGCCGTGCATCTTGACGTTGCCATCCGAGAGGGCCTTATCCTCGGGACCCTGGAGCCGACGGTTCTCCAGACTATTGTTGGCGACGTCAAGACACCCGTGCCCAAGGATGACGAGACCGCAGGCGGAGTAGACATTGCCGCTTACACTCTTGCCACTCGTGAGATCCACATCTCGACGGTCAGTGGCGATGTCAAGGGCTGGTACCCCCTCTACGATGTCCTCGATGTCAGGACCAAGTCCGGCGACATCTCCGCTCAAGTAGGCACCAAGCCCGCAGACCCATCAGGGGTTCGCCCGGCTCTCCTCCGCGTGCAGTCCGTCTCCGGGGAGGTCTCCGTCGAAGAACCGTTAGATCGCGCTACCAAAGCAGCCCGCCCGGATAGAAAGTTCCCGCCGCGTGACTACATCGTCGAAATGAGGACGGCATCCGGGGATATTTCAGCCGTTGTGGCCACCTCGTCGCGCGCTGAGTTTGTGTCCCAGTCTGGAGACCTGAAGCTCCAGTTGTGGCCGGTGCTAGACTCGAGACTCTTGAGGAAAGGTGCCCCTGAGCCGCCCGTACTCAAGACGGATACGAAGAGCGGCGACACACAGGTTACTCTCCTGGATCCCCTGTGGACAAGTCTGGCCACTATCGGCGAGGCCATCTCGCCGATGGGCCCCGATGATCTACTCGACGGCAACGAGCCTAACATCATCCCAGTCCCGAACAGCGACAGGAACGGCTCTGACTCGGACGACTTCGTCATCGCCGACACCCCGAGTTTCTCCTGCCTGTCATCCAGGCACTCGTCCGTCAGCGGCCAAATCAAGCTTGAGTACCCATCCTCGTGGGAGGGCACGCTGGTGGCGGTGACCGTCTCGGGCAAGCAGACGGCCCATGGCGAGGGCCTCAAGGTTGAAAACTTGAACAACGGGCCGTGGTTGAAGCGGGTGAAGGGAACCAAGGGGGAGGGCCGCTCGCGGCTCGACATCGACTCTGTGTCGGGCGACGAGGATGTGCTGATTGGCAAGGACTCTTAATCGAAGATGGAGTAGAGGAATTTGACAAGCAGGCAGAAGAAATCTGGACGAGGCGTTTTGGCGTTGCTGGAGATGAGAATGACTTAATGATACACAAGAGATGTCGGGCTATGTTGGGGATTGTTTTCCGAAGAGCAGAGGTCACTCGCTGAAGTCTCATTTTGCATATAAAGTAGCACTGATAATAGTACCCAAACTGAACAGCATATGAAAGTCATAAAAAATCGTATTTTTGAATGATAAACAAGAAACTAGGAGCACAGCTCCGCTCACAAAAACAAACAGCGGTCCACCCATCCTTGCCTCCATCTATATATACGTGTGCTGTGGTGTCCAAACATGCGTCAAATCGACAACCAACTAAGGACAAAGGGGAACGTCAGGGGGTAAAAATATGCAAACAAAATCAAAATCAAAATCAAAACCAAACATCTCCAAGTAGTGGGGTATCCGTAACAACAGTGCATCAGTCATAAAGCGGTCGTGAAAAGGGACGTGATTCCAGGATCACGCGGGTGTGTGCTTTCATCCCCAAAATCAACCCACCGCCGGGCCGGGTTATGGATAAATCCCATGCAAAATACCATCCGTGGCAAGACAAGTTCATGGTAAGACAAACTCAGGGCAAGACAAGCCGTGAGACAAAGAAAATAAAGGCACGATGGAGACAGCTGCGACTTGTTTAGTCATCTACATCCCAGGGCAAATCCCGGTTGGTGACGGTGGTGCAGGTCAGGTAGGAGATGGCGTCGGCGGCGCGGGTGCTGCCGTTCATGTCGAGCTCGAGGCCGCTGGTCATGAGAGGTCGGACAATCTCGCGGGCCATAGTCTTGAGCTCATCCAGACGCTTCTCAAAGCGTCGAAGATTGTCGCGGCTATAGAGCTCTGGGGTCAGCTTGAGGAAGCGCTTACACTCGTCGTGGCCGAGGAAGGACGCCGCGTTGGCGGACCCGAGGGTGCGGTAGGCTCGGCCCACGGCGGCCAGAGGTGGAACGACGGGCGGCAGAGCCGGGGGCCGGCCGCCGTCGCGGGAGCCGGGATGACGCCGTGCGTCCGATGGCGGAGGCGGAGGAGGCGAGGTGTGGTCGGCGAGCCATTGGCGGAAGAGGCTGACGGCGAGCCAGTCGAGGTAGTTTGTGTTGGGGGCTACTCGCTCGCCTCGGTTGTTGGTGAGGCCGACGCGGAAGAGGCGGCCTTCAACACGGCTAACGGTGTCTTCGAGCTCGTCGACTTTGTCCTCGATGATATCAAGGACAACGTCTGGCAAGGCGGCACGCAGACTTCGCTCACCAATGGGCCACTGGCCTACAACATGGATGAGGGCTTCCTGGAAGATGACCTTGGAGCGGGCGAGGTACCCCAGGCGCAAGTAGGAGATGGGGTACTTGGCGATTTGCTTCCACAGGCGGGACTGGAACTGCAGCATGTGGTGGTCGACACGGGGGCCAACGACGGAGAGGGCATCGTACTGGTCAGCGAGGGTCAGCAGGCTCTTGCACTGGACGTAGGCGTCGGCGACGTTGATGCCGTCGAGGACCGGCGGGTAGTTGTAGAAGATGCGGAAGAGGTTGTCGTAGTCGCGGAGGAGGTCCTGGTCGGGCTGGGACAGCGGCGGAGGCTGCGGCTGGTGGGAGGAGAGGCCCAGGTTGGCGACGGAGCGGAAGAAGTGGCTCGATGATGCTGAGGAGAGCGAATGGGAGTGGGAGTGCTTCGCGCGGTGGGAAGAACGGGAGCTGGCCGAGTTGGCTACCGGGGTCGAGGCGGCGCCGAAGAGAGACTGTGAGGACTTGTCGCTCAACTCATCCCTCTGGACCAACATGGGAATGTCGCCGGAGCCGGAGCCGGTCTCCAGCTCGTACCTCCACCTCCTCCGGGGGGTGCTCGCGCCGCCCCTTACGGACGAGCCGTCGTCGCTGCCGGTCACGGAGGGCGGCCCGCCGTTCTCGCCGATGCGGGAGAGTTCATTGCCGACTGGCAGGGCGCGGGCGCGCGACCATTCGGTGGAGGTGCTGGCCTCGAAGAAGCCGGAGCATCGGGTGAGGGTGTGGCGATGGAGCAGGTATCGGTTCTGGACGGGGGCGTTGCCGGGCGGGCATTCGCGGGCGCGCACAACGATCTCGACGTCGCCGCTGTTCGCGAAGACGGGGAAGTCGTTCTGCGGCGCGTGCGAGGAGCCGCCCGTGTGCGAACGGTTGTAGCGCTTCGTCCGCGAGAGCGACGGCCGGGAGACGACGGACGAAGGGCCACGGCGGGAGAGGGAGGAGGAGGTGGGCGGTGGTGGTTCGAGCGTGGACACCATGGGGGAGACGCTCTGGAGGCGACTTGGAGACGGATGGCGTATATGCGGCGGTGCTGGGTCGATGGGCTGTGCGGCGACGGTCTGATTAAAGTTGCTGGTGTTTCTATCGAGGAACCGGGCGAGGTGGCGGCGAGAGAAGGAGAGGAATGGCCGAGAAGGTGGTCGGGTTGGTGTGGTGGTGGTGGTGGTGGTGATCATTCACGGGTAGTTTAGTTAGTGGCCAAGCGGGCGCGCGTATTGTTGACGATGGGTGGGCTGCGTTGCACCAGCGACGATAAGCGTGCGTCCAAGCGGATGGATGGATGAATGGCCACGGCGACGAGGGATGACAGTGAGCGGTGCAAAGGAAACTAGGAAAAAGAAAAGGAAAAGCAGACAACAAAAGACTGGGTTTGGAGACTGAAGACCGGAGACGAGAGAGGAAAAAGGGACAGAGGGAAGAAGAGGCGAGCCAGAGCGGTTACAGGGCGAGAATATGGATGTTGTGTGAATGGTTGCACGCAGGGTGCCTTTGACTGCCACGAGCACACACACACACACACCTGGGGTCCCATACCCATGCCTCCGGATCGGTGGAGCAGCCCTGCAATTGCCAGGTGCTGCTGCAATGCTGTCCACCTACCAAGCGCATCCAGAAGCCACATGCGAAGCACTAGATATTCCTAGTCTGGTAGTCCCACGGCCGTCAACGTCGGTCGGGAGCCCGCGTGCCGGGGCTCGGACGCCCGTGGGCAAATCAACGCCGCCGGGACCGGGGTGAGGGTGTCTCGGTGCAGCAGGAGCAAAATCACTCTGGGCTCCGTAGCGGAGAATCAGTGATTACCTTAGGTACCTAGCGGAGGGGGGGAGAAGGGATTGAGAGAAGAAGGGGCCACGGGCGAGGGGATTTCGCCCGTGGATTTCGCCTCGCCGGCGCCTCACAGGCCCCGGTTGCGTGTCTTTCGGCGGGTGGCCATTGGGTGTACGGCCGGGGCCTGCAGAGGTGGTGTTGTGCTGGTGGGTGGTGTTGTACAGTCCGGGACTGGAGGAGACTGGAGACTGGAGCAGGCTAGTAGCGTACTTACTACGTACCTTAGGTACCTACTGTAAGCTCCTTGCTTGGAAAGTGAGTGAGTACTTTACGTGTGCAGCCGTGCAGATGTGTCTTGCTTGTGTGGTGCTGGTGTGGTGCCGGCTGTTTGGTTGGCGATGGGTGGGATGAATGGGTCCGCTGTCCATGCCCCCCCGTTTCCTCGCTTCGTGCCATGGTCCAATGATCCAATCGCCCCGGCGCAGATGCATCCCATTCCCGCGATGGGTCTGCCAGATGGGCTCCCTCTCTTTTTTTTGGTGGCGGGCGCGCTGTGTCCTCTCTTTCGGGACATCACCGCCGTCTTGTCCGGTGTTTTGTTAGAGCCGCTCAGCCTCTCAAACCCACCGCCATGTTTGCTCCTGGGCGACGTTCAGCCGTGCTGGGACCGTTGGCGGCCTGTCGCTTGAACTAGTTCGGCGAAGCTTGGATGGATCTAAAAGTCGGTTGCCTCATTTATGTCATTGTGTGGCATTTGGTGATGGCCTCTTCCGTCCTCCCTTGCTTCCCACCCCAGTCCCGACTTCAACTCAACCGGCGGCCACCGACTGCCGCCAACCGCGGAAATGGCCTCTTCTCGTAGGGAACAACCCAGCAAGAACATGTTCCGCCCTCTGCCCTCTGAGGTGGCACATGCACAACCTAATTTCCCCTCATCTCGTCTGGATGCCAACAACACATGCGCCCATCCGTGCAGTTATATGTGCGTCTAGGGATGCGTCTCTGCGTCTGTGGTCTGCGGTCTGCGGTAGTGTTATATGTGCATCCAGTGTCACCGACTTACATGCGCGTTGAAGCCCGCCGTGTCGCTGCGTCTCGAGCCCGTGGCGGGGCCGCTGCACCCGCTGTGCAGGCCGCGTGCAGGCCGCCTCCCACCGAGGAGGGGCGGGCAGGCAGGGCGGGCAGGCACCAGAGAATCTGCCGCAGCCGCCTTTCTAGCGCCCTCGGTACCTATGCGGTACCTACAGACCGGGACCTAACTTGCTCCGTAGAGACTCTGGGACGTCCCTCTCCCCACCTAAGTCTAGCAGCGGCTATGTACCTACTGCTGGAGCCCTGCAATTGACAGACGCGCAACGGCCGCCATCGGCTTCAGATGTCGCCGTGCCGAACATCACGGCCGACTTTTTCTCGACACCTCCCGCTTCTCCACCACTCACCATCCTCCGCGTCAAAACCTCCTGTCTCCTCTCTCCCTTGCATGGCCAATCGCGGTCTTGTCCCCTTGCGCACCAGATGATGGAATGCGTACTGTCGCCCACGCTTACAACCATGTCTCCCGCCCCATCTCCCTCTCAGAGTTTAGGGACGCGGTTGAGGCAACATGCCGTCCGCGGTTTCCCATGGCCCGCTCGGCGCGGCCCCAGCGTATAGGTGTGTAGCTGCTTTGGGTCTTCTGCCTCTATCTGGCAGCTGTGTGCTGACTGCTGCTGCTCTGTAGTCTTGGCCATCAGTGGTGGTGTCGATTCCATGGCCATGGCTTTCCTCGTCTCTAAGCTGCTCCGGACATTTCGAGGAACCAAAATTGCCGACAATCCAGCATATGGAGCCATGGCCTCCGTCATCGACCATCAATTGCGCGACGGGAGTGGCAATGAAGCGGCCCAGGTCGCTAGGGAACTGCGCAAGCTCGACCTCAAAGCTGCCGTTACGCCTCTAGGCTGGAAGGCTGAACGGAGTAAGGGTCTCAACCCAAGCGAACTTCCGAACCTCGAAGGGCTCGCCCGAACCTACCGATACCGCGCTCTTGGCAACATTTGCCACTTCATGGGTGCCACGAGCTTGTTCTTCGCTCACCACCGCGACGACCAATACGAGACGGTTCTGATGCGCCTACTGGGAGGTCATGGATATCGAGGTCTGCAGGGTATTAGGGAGGCCAACTCGATCCCCGAGTGCTACAATATGCATGGCGTCTACAAGAGCGGCCTGATTGACGACCAGCTCAAGGCGAACCCAGCACTGAGCTTCCGACCCGCCGTCCGCGAACTGAAGCGCCTTCGAAACATCTTTAGAGATGAGAAGTTGACTGAGCCCTGGAGTGATTTACGGTCACAATTCCCTCTCTTGGACCTTGCTGGCGGATATCCAGAGTATGGCACCGTCGAGAAAACTCTTGATGGGCCATACCTCAACCCCTTGGATACTGAGGATGGCGGGGTCATGATCTACCGCCCCCTCCTGGAATTTGATAAGGCTAGGCTCATTGCAACATGTGAGGCAAACAATGTCACATGGTTCGAGGACCATACGAATCTGGACCCCACCCTTACGACCCGCAATGCCATCCGATATCTGGTTCGGAATCACCAACTTCCAAAAGCCCTTGAGAAACCATCCATCATAGCCTTGGCCAAGAGATCCAAGCGGAGGACCAAGTATGAAGAAGCAGAGGCCCATCGCTATCTTGTTCGAGAAGCCATCGTCAAAGAGTTTGACCCAAACGTCGGAACATTGCTCATCGAGATCCCAACCACGCGAGCTGCCACGAGACGTAGCAAGAGGCACTCGGTGAACTCAAACAATGAGGTTCGAAAGGAACACCGCAAACTGATCATGTCGATTGCGGTTCGGAAGTTGATGGATTTTGTCACACCCGAGTTCCATCTTCCACCTCTGCCCAACCTTGAGAATGTAGTTCATCGGCTGTATCCCCATCTCGCACCTAAACTAGACCCATCTCCTCCCAAGACCTTTGCCATGGCTGGCATCCTCTTTGAACCGCTGGTAACAGCGAGATCAGTCAAGTGGTTCCTGACGCGAGCCCCATACACATCCAATCAGCCCCTGCCGGTGGCTACGCTCCACGGCTCGCTTGATCACCGGCTGCGTCCTACCAAAGAGGAGATGACCGAACGAGGGGAGTCGCCCCACCAATCTCGCCCATTGGCATGGAAGAAGGCAAAGATGTTTGACGGTCGCTTTTGGATCCGGATTGGCTACAATACCCGAAGTAGATTCCGAGTCCAACCCTTCCGACCCGAAGATGGCAAAGTATTCCGCAAGACACTCTCGCCATCGAGGCGCGCGAAGCTTGAGCGGCTGCTTAAGCACTATGCACCCGGCAAAGTACGATACACGTTGCCTGCATTGTACGGTGTGGAAAGAGAGAGAGATCACTACTCGCAGCATGTCACGCAGACCGTCACCCTACTGGCGCTGCCGACGTTGGGCATCCATATCCCGGGCCTCGAGCGTTGGGTACGATATGAGGCGCGGTACAAGAAGGTCGATACAACCCTACTCGGCCATGAACCGCGGCGTAAGAATGGACACGTGGGACGGCATCGGCCGCTGTACGGCGCCATGCGGCAACAGAAGCGAAGGAGGATGTATAAATATCGCGAGCGTAGATGAAAGTGTGGAGTGCATGAGCACGTAGCACTACTTTATGTATACACTAGGCATTGGATGATGAGAGATACCCTCTCTCCTTGGTCGTATGTACAATAGCAATGGAACCATGGAGATAGTTGCATGGAGAGGACAATGTCCTTTGGGCCGAATGACGAATGAGGTTATGTTTAAAATAGGACTTCCGTCATGCCTCGTAGCGATGTTGGTTAACATGACAGACGCATGCCGTCAGCTGAGAGGGAGTGGTGGTTGCGACGTTGCGAACCAGGACGGCTAACAAGAACGGCTCACACGTCGTATAAGTGGGAGATAGGAACCCAGCCTCCAGGACATCAAGATTGCCGCCCAAAGATGAAACGATCGACGCCTTGCAGCACCCTAGCCGTCAAAAAGCCACGCTCGGACTAAACATGATGCAGAAGAAGTCGCGAATCTTCCCTATCCAACCAGTCAGCGGTCCCTGATGCAGGGCGGGCACATACACTTGGAAGCCTCGTTTTCCTCCCGCCTCGACGCGGTGATTGGGCCGCGGCCTCGAAACCCCCCATGTTTGCATTTGAAGAGTCCCACTCCTTTGCAACAAGTCGGTTTTTGTTCTCTCAAGCCTTCTTACTGGGGTTCGAACGCCTTGGGACACCTGAGGTCTCCATCTCCCCGCCTCGCCACCGGGAGTCCACCCGGCGAAGCCGTCTTTTCAAGTCGAGCACAGCCCCTGGGCGTGCCGCGTTCCCATCCTATCACGACGGATAACACGCGGGGGGTACGAGGAGGCAAAAAGACAAGGGGGGAAGAGTAATACGGGGGATTCCCTCCTTTGGCGCGTTTTCGGTGACTGCCGCGTGTGACTGGGCCCTTCCGGCTTATTGTACGGAGTACCTACCTCCCCACTATCTGGCCTTTGACCGAGCACCCCCGGGCAACAAGGCGCCTGGAGCAAGGCGAACAACACGCGCGCCCTGCGGAATGTATGGGAGAAGACGTGGGGAGAAGGGCACTTGCTGCGGCGGTGTGTAGGTAGACGAGGCGAACCACGGCCGGGGGCTCAGAGGGGAGGGAGCCACGGTCCACCACACGGGGGGCGCAAAACTCGAGCGTGCAAAACACCACCTGGCATCTTTTGTTTCTTCCTGAAAAGAAGGAACTGTCCAAATGCATCGTCTTTCTGTCTGTTGAGCTATTCTGCCGTCTTGACTCTCCTCGTTCTGTGCCGCATCTCGCATGCCCCTGCTCGTCCTCCCGGGCCGTTTCCATTCTGAGTTGCCTCCTGCGATGGAGCGGAGAGTATCGATGGTCGTTTCGCAATGAAAACCACCAGCCAGCTAAACACACAAAAGCCCAGTCTCCATTTGCATAAAGAAACCGCCCCCGTCGAAAACCGAAGCCACCCTTTGAAGAAAAAAGGGACCACCCTTGAGAGGAGAAAAAAAAAAAGGTCATGAGTCATTCAACCGCAGGCACGATGTGGAGGCCCGCCTGTTGTTCCCGAAGTGCCTGGGAGGGAAGGAAGGAGCCGCCACCGTGCCTTCCTCGAGTAACGTGAAAACAGAAATAGGTCGCTCCGTGCATCTCAAAACCACGTCTCCTCCCTCCATCATCTCCTCCGAAACTGAACTTGGAATCACGTCTGATCTCTGAAGCGGCCGGACGACGACATGACCGGAACGCCCCGACTGTCGAAATTACAAAAGCACAGCACCACTCGTCCGCCCGTCCGAGTTTTCTACCTCGCAACGTCTGCATATACTCTGCATGCTTCCAGAAGATGGCTTCTTTCTGCCTTGCCATTTCTCAGGCTGTCACCGACGCCTTGGGGGTTGGCTGCAGGAACACTGTACGAGACGGAACGCGAACCACCCACCCTTGGACCATCCACCGGCTCGGATGACGACCCGGCCTGGCTGAAGAAACGACACAGACGACCGAAAGAATGAACCATCATGCAGACCCGACTTTGTGGGATTTGTCGACACCCTATGCTTTGGATGCAATGATTGGGTTGTAGTGGTTGGCCTGCATGATGGGGATCGACATCCTGGTCCCCGGGAAGCCGGATCACCAGGCCCACACGGTCCGAACGACTCGGGATCGTCGTCGACGAGGGCCCACCACACCCCGACATGAGGCGGCATCCATCATTCAAAAGTCGACGACGATGATCGATTGAACCACCGCCATTGCATCAATCAATCCAAGCTTAACTTCCATTCGACAACACCGACAAGTATAAACGCCGAAACAGAGGGGAGACCAGAGGCAAAGCTTGCGCATCACCTATGACTCTCCTGTTAGGAATGCCTGGATGACCTATGCCCACGCCTGCGATGGCGTCGGTTGGTCTCGACCACCCGATTGCTCGGATCATTCCTTGTAGGTCGCCAGCCTGCCTCATGAAGACCAGGAATTTGTTCCAATTCATGCGAATTTATTGCGTAACGGTATTCTTCATCGCGAATGAGTCCGTGGCGATGGATATGGTCTAGGAAGAAGTGGTCGGGACGCATTTGATTAGCCCTGAGGCCTTGAGTCCGGAAATGGTCTGCGATGTGGTACATCCGCGCCTGATAAGATGCCCAACAGTCGGCGGCTGAGTTGGATTGCGCAATGAACTCTCCGTCGCAGAACCAACACACGCACTGCGCAGGGAAGTTGTTGCCCAAGTGGGACTGTATAATATGCGAAATCCAACCCTCTTCGTCGTTTACATTGAACGTCGCCCCGCAATGGCCATATTCAACCCACTCGCAGAGGAGTCTCGACGGACCGGGACCCAGAACCGGCTGATGCTGGTAATGATGTGGAGGGGCGTCATCGGGAGGGCTGGTGGACATGGAAGAGTGAGTATACACGTCGTCAAACATTGATGAGCACTGCGTGCCAGCGCTGGACGCCGATGAGTACTGTGTGCTACCGCTGGACATCGGCATGTGGCTGCTTTCTGACATGATCCTGGGAGCATAATAACTCGGCATCTCGCTCGAGGGCTGGAAATACCCCGGGTTGCGACTCCTCTGTGCGTGGAAATCTTCCACCCAGCCTGCTATGTCATTTATGCCGTTGGCCATGTCGAGAATGAGCAATGAACGATGACTAAACTGAGGGACGAAATGGCCAAGGGACTGATAAGGTGTCGGAGCAAGAGAGCGAGAGGAATGTGCTCTATCCCCAGTCAAGAACTTATGCAGCGACCAGCGCACCCCTATCAACGGTGTTGGGCAGTGGTGGACGATGCGAATCGACGCGGGTTGTCGACGTTGGTGCAGTCGACGGCGGGAGGGATATGACGAAGCGGGATGCCAGTGCCTAACAGCGCTGACGGTGGCAGTGGAGTGGTGAGGAGTTGAAGGTACGTGGGACAGTTAACCACTTGTTTGTTGTCCGAAATCTTGGATGAGGAGGGTCGAACGACACAAACAAAGACTCGGCCAAGTGGACTCTGGTCCCAAGCGGTGACAACTCGAAGCGAACCTGCCACTATTCACAATGGAAGACGGGAAGCCGGCAATGTCGGTACCGAAGCAAGCAAGCCCAGAAGCGAGGACAGACAACGTATGGGATGTGGAGGGACGTGATGGATGGGATGCGGAGGCCGCGTACTTAAACCATTTGCTCCCAAGGGGCTCGGGTCCTAGTCGGTCACTCGATTATCTCCCGTTTCTGCGCGAAGAAGGACCATACGCGCTGTATCATCGCACTGAACGACCTAGACGAACGCTTGAGACGCACCCTCTTTTTTTTGGCCCCCGCCGACAAGGGAGCGATGCAGGCCGCTTCAGTCCCGACCCAACGTTACGACGGGGCAACCAGCGGTTGTGGATGCAGCTGTCCTGCATGGCGGCGGGCTGCGGTGGTGCTGGGACTCGAGCTCTACGTTTCTAGGATTATCGGGTTGGTGGGAATGGAAGCACAGGCTTTCAAGCATTCGACACATCCCACGAGGACCACCGAGGCATTTGCTAGAACGAAGGTTAAAGCGCCATTTACGTATGGCTAACCCTGGATTTAGGGTTCTGCCGAGTCTTTCCGCTATCTTGGCTTTGCTCTTCATCTCGAACTCAGACGCTATACATGGAAAACCACCGTCAAGAGAAAGACGATACCGTGCGCTGGCCGCTGCCCAGTCAGGTGCATGGCGTGCACCCACCACAGCATGTCCCACCATGTCATGAGGAGCCGGCCAGGCAAAAGCCGACCAGGCCACAAATTGGATGCAAGGAAAATACACCGCTCATGGTACCGACTGGTGGATCGCGGGATACATCGATCGCGGGGATGAGAGACAACTCGGCTCTCTTGCCAGTGCTGCTGGGCCACGTGGATACTTGAGATACGACGGCCGTGGGCAGTCCAGTTCACCCACCAGGTCTCGACCTGATGCTTCAGATGGATTCATGGAATCCAGATATACTTCAGAACTAACAAAGTCTATCATAGTTCATTTCGGACTATGGACTCGCCAGCACATGTCGTTGATGTTGGCGCAGACCTGTCAGCTCATGACCTACTAGGATGGCCAACGGTCCGGAACGGCGCGGGCGCGGGGCAAGTGAGATGTGACGAGGACGGATGCGTAGGGCCGCAGAAAGAGTTGGAGGGTGCGTTCCAGCAAAAATTTGACCATGGGGACTGTGGATGACCCTGAAGAATGGCAGTTGAGCCTCAATGCCCCTGCGCGTCCATGCCGGGTCCTTCCTGGGCAACGCGCCATGAGATGCTTCTCATGATCCATCAATGACTCCAAGCCGTGTCCAACCCCACTCGCTCCCCCTCCGGGATAGAGCACCCTTGGTTGTTTTCGTTTCCGACTTGCTAATTTTGGTTCCTACAGGATGACCTGAGACGAAGCGAATAACCACCGCCCGCTTGCCTGCGTGCGTCGTCATCTCTTAGCTACCATGGTTGTTGAAGCTCACGAGTCTCCCGTTCACGCCCTCGGTTCCCCATCGTTCTGCGTCGGCCGCCCGGGACTAGTTGTCCATGCATCGACGGCCACCTCCCACCCCCATATTTACCAGGCAGACGTCCGCGCACCCAGGGCAAGAGTAGTATTCTCGCCAAGCAAGGACTTGCGCCGGCGGCTCCGTGGTCTTCCCGGGCTACGTGGACCAACGGACAGCGTATCCTAGGTTTCAAACCCCGAGCTGGTGACCTAGGCAAGTAAACTTAGTTGCATGGCATTCACGTCTTGCGTCCGACCCCAGACAAACTGGAGAGGAGGTGATTTGCGATGCATGATTGACTCACACGAATCACCCTTGCTTCCCTGAACAACCCCGCGTGGAGGGGTGAGCCAGCCCTATGAGTGGCGAAGGTGCGATGTCACGGACGAACATGAGCCAAGGGATACATGGATACATGGAATACATGTGTACGGCGGATGACGGATGACGCGGCGATAAGGTAGGGCTGAGGATGGTCGTCTTCCCGGCGTGAACCGCAGATATCCTTCCCATGCAAGGGAGGTAGCTTGTGTGGATGGATGCACTGTGTGGAAGCACTGCAGGGCGATCGGCCTGAGGGTTGTATTCGCATGAGTGATGTTTATTGTTTGCATTCGGCCTTCCGTCGGAGCCGGCGCTTTTCGGCCTTGAATCCGATTGTCTACCTACTTCTCTGTTCGCTGATGTCCATTCGATGCTGCCCTGCTTGGGTACATCTGTACCCAGTCCACTGGCCCGGTTCTTTTGGATCTCAGCCCTACCATCTTCTGCCTGTAGCTAAATACAGCGCTTCAAATTCTCATATTCTTGGTATCTAAATAAGACATTGTGTCATAAACATGTGCCATCAGTCCGGTTCCAGCCTCTATCTCGGCCGTGCACGTGTTCCGCATCCTGCAACATTCAGGAATGGCTCGTCCGAATTGCAGAAGGAAACACTGGAGACCCGACCGAGGGCTGAAGCTTTCAAACCAGGCGATGGGGTATTTCGTAATGAGAAGCTGTTGATTTCTCTATATGGCGCCGCTCAAGACGCCGGTTAAGTATTGATTGGGAGGGTTTCTCCCTCGGGTCGCTATTGTCAATGGTCTTTTGGATAATAATTTCAATGGCCAGAGTAGACGGCAATATCCGCGCCATGCTCTCGTGGATTATGGATGCCGTTATTCAGGACTGCACAACACCCTCGCCTTGACGATGACATTGCGGTATTGCAGGTGGCCGCCGTTTTCGTCGCCGTGCTTGATGACGCCGGGAAACGCAACGCAGCATATCTCGCGCGTCGCCAGCGCCTCCTCGTCCTCGCCGCCCAGGTCCTCCATGGTCTCGGGCTCGAACATGACGCGCTGGTGCGGCAGGATGGCGGGCATGTGGATGCGCAGCACGGCGCGCTGGACGACGAGCAGGCGCGCGAGCTCGATGGAGTTGTTGACGAGCACGCGGAGGCCCGAGTCGCGCGCGTCGGAGGGCGAGGTGCCGGCGAGGGCGTCGAGGAGGCGCGTGATGCGCGTGAGGGCCGCTTCGGAGAGGGCGGCGGCGGCGGCGGCGAGCTGCTCGGGGGCGTCGCGGCGGAGGATGGTGAGGGTTGAGGAGCGCCATTGGTTGACGGGCTCGTCGGAGGCGGCTGGATCGCGGAGGGTGAGCAAGGGAGATTCGCGAGAGAGAGGGGGATCAGGGGCGGCGAACCAAAGGATGAGAGGAGCTTTTCCACCTGGCGGAAGTGCTGCTCTTGCTCGTCTGATAGTCCGACGTAGTAGGAGTCGAAGACCATGTCGACCAGGATCCTGGACACGATGCATTGGAGGAGGTGCACCTTTGCTGTGTGAATGAGCTCTTCATACATAGGGACCAATTCGTTTAGTTCTGCCAATGTTGCTTCGTCTAAGTTCTCCAGATCTGCCAGACACGTCAGTTCAATGCTCCCGTGCCAAAACAAGAGCACCCGCGGCGGATATGCACTCACTCAGCTTGGCCTTGCGGAAGTTAACAATAACCCAGTTCTGCAGGCCGTTCCCAAGCCGCGTCATGCCGTCGCCAAACGTCTCGTCGCACGTCTGGCCCTCGGTGCGGGTGCTGCTGCTCACCCACTCCTTGAGCCCGCGGACCTGGCCCCTCAGGCCGCGGATCTCGTCGTCGCGCTCCTTGAGCTCGCGGCGCAGCACGGCCCAGCCCTCGCGCAGCTCCTCGCGCTCGCCCTCGCGCACCTCGACCTCGGCGCGGATCAGCCGCAGCTCCGTGTCGGTGCGCAGGAACTGCTGGTTGAGGGCGCTGTGCTTGGCCTGCCAGAAGGTGGCCGTCTCGCTCTCGTTCTGGCTGAGCTTGTCGAGCTCGCGGTGGAACTCGCGCTCCATGATGGTCATCTCGTTCTCCAGGTACTCGATGCGCTCGTCCTTTTCGCGGATGGCCGCCTCGCGCTCGCGCTCGCGGTCCTTGTCCTTCTTGTCCCGCCGCTCGCGCCGCTCCTTCTCCTTGCGCTCCTTGTCGCGGTCCTTGTCCTTGATGCTGCCGGTGCGCGAGTCGGGCCGGTCCTTGTCCTTGCGGTCCGTCAGGGGCACGCCGCCCTCGTGCGGCTCCTCGGCGCTGGACACGGCGTTTGTGATCATGGCGGCCCGGGGCGGTGGCGCCGGCATGCTGTTGCGGTTGGGGTTGGAGGAGGCGCCGGAGCGCAAGGGGGACCCGGAGCCGCTGCCCGCTACGGGGCGGCGTTTCTCGGAGGTGTTCATAGTTGTGTGCGTCTTCGTTCCTGTGAGGTCGTGTCGTTGTGGTCGTCGTTCTGTCTTCTGCGGTTGCGGAGGGATCGTCAAGTCGTGGCTGTGGCGGGGTCAGAGGCCAGACGATGCTGGTGCGGCATGGTGGCTGGCATCAAGCACGCAGTCTAGAAGCAGATGGCCAGGACGAGCGAGACCCAGACTATACAATGAGGCAATGTTCGGCGGATGACAGGTTGCTTCAACTGGTCAGAGGGAGGGAGTTGGAATATGCCCGTTGAGGCGGTGCTTGTAAGGTGACAAACCACGGCCCGCCCTTAACTAAGCTATCTCGGTGCCTGGAGTCACGGAGGCGGTCCACGCCGGACTGACGTCTAGGCTCCCTTGTAGCGCTCTCAGGCCGCGGGGTTCCAGGGGGATTAGGGGCCGCAGCGGGGTCCGATCCCCCCGTCGCCCACTGTCATCTCCAGCAGGCTGTAGCGGGATGGCGCCTGATTGGCTGGCTGGTCATGGAAACAGCAATTAATCTCGAAATCAACTCGGACGTCGACGCATGATACATGAACGAAAGCAATCTCATTTCTGCGGGAGGAAGCTATTCACGGAAGGAGCGGAAATATAGTATTTCGATTATGCAGTGGGACTCTTGGTGGAGCGGATGTGGCACAGGCAGCTACAATAACAATGGGACGACCACACCGTCACGCAAGTCACGTCATGCCTTTAATCGGGTTCATGGACATGATTGAGCCGTGAATAACCCCGAGGAATATTTCAAGAGAGAAAGCTTCATACGAGGTAGTACAGACGAACCATGTGCTAGAATCGTTTTGTTCCTATCCTTAAACCAGAAGGTGGGGGATAGCCACCACAGCCCTCGTCTATTACACTTCTTTCATGGATCAACCAAGCAGATACCCCAAAAGAAACTCAACGTTCTCGCATCTACTTCTTCTTCTCCATAGTCCCCATCTCATCCGCCTCTAGAACTGGAAACCAGCTCCTAAAAGTGGTCATGCCGAGCAGAAATCTATACACAGCCCCGTACCTAGCGCCTAGCCCACCGCCTGACGCGGCATCCATCATCATGTAAGCTCTCTAAACCGATGCCTAGCCTTCTTCGCCACGGCATCGCTCTCAAACGTCTACCTAGAAACGCAAAACGTCGAAATCCCCTCATTCAACACGTAATCCAGCCCAGCGCTTCATGACCAAGCACGAGATCCCCACTGTGCAGGCTGCAGCACGCATCTAAAGCGCAACCTCGGCCTCCACCTCGTAGGCCTCGTCATCCTCTGAGCCCTCGATTTTCTTCGCGCCCATACGGCACAAGGTCACCCGCTCCACGGGCATGTCCTCGATCCAGACGTAGTCGTCGTACCGGCTGATAATGTCCCGCGCGTCGAGTGTCAGCTTCTCGCGACGTCGTCCGCCTCCCCGCGCGGCTTTGACGTGGATGGTGTTGATGATGCTGGCGTGCAGGAGAAGCGGTCTGTTCCCTTCCATCATGAGGCCAGCTTCCTGGAACGTCGTCTTAAGTTGCTGACAAAAGCGGTAGAGGATGCCATCATTGTCAACCGGAGGTGCGTACAAGACGGATGTCTTTAAGGGACTCTCCATCGCCTGTAGTCCCTGCAGAGTGATAAAGAGACCTCCATCTCCAGACGTTGCCTCACCTTGGTTAGCCAGCTTTCCCGCCTGAGCTGTCGAAGTCAATGGAACTGACGCCCTAATCTTGGCAAGCATCTCCCTGGGTCGTAGGCTTCTTAGCAACTCGGACGCCTGCTCAACGCCGTCCTCCTTCAAACTCATAACCCCTAGCGTGAGATGCAGCGTGCCCAGTGGCCGGACAGCCTCCTGCGGCACGGCGAAGCTCATGACGCTGGTGACATCCTCCCGGAACAACGATAGGCTCCTGGCCAGCTGCGCACCGGCGAGCGGCACGCACAGGAAGTGCGTCGGCGACGGCTTAGGCGGCATGTTTCCTCAAAATCTTTTGCCACGGGGCTGTGCCTTTCCGTCGGTGGGAGGTCGTATTCAGATTTCCCGCTGTGGTGTCGCAGAGGCTAGGGTACTTTCGCCACCGTCCCGACGTGTTGGATCTCTCACACCACCTGTTGAAGAGCTCGGCTCTGTGCGATCTGTCACAAATTTCCTGCAGTTGAAGGAGGTGTGAGCAAGGTGCAGACGCATGGGGTTAGTGGAGCGTGACTGTGGCAGCAGCCAAGGACCCTATCTCTTGAGAACGGCCTGGTACGTGTAACACGGGTTGCCACCAGCCGCGTTGAGAGCGGCTATGTGCCTCAATGACCACCCGCTAGGCCAGTGGCGTCGTCCCCTGCGTCTCCTCCTGCGTCTCTCGGGACCTCTTGCATCCAGTGGCGGCTTGCGTCATGTCCTCAACGCGGAGCGGCAGAGCGGAGGAGCGGACAACTCGGGTGGGGTGGATAGAGCGAAGAGAAGTCTCAACATACCTGAGAAGTGAAGGAGTTGTTAGTTAGGGGTCCGCACTCCTCGTATTACAGTTCCACAGCAACCCGTCGGAAGTCAGGTTGATGATGACAAGTCGTTGTGTTGTTGCCTTGGCCAGATTCAGGCAAAGCGCGCAATATCCTTATTGGTGACCTCTTACCCCACCAACGGCTTTCGCATGTAAGCTGGTCCTGGGCATTGTCTGAGATACTGAACCGTGTAAAATGCGAGACTAAATCGCATTCGATCCTAGTCATGTTGGTTGGACGCCGTGCTTAGATGTACTACCTGTCCACATGGTACTTTTTGGTCATGTTCGAAATGATGCTCGCACTTCGGTAACACCTCGATCGCTTGTCATACGGGAGCGGACCGAATGGAAGTTGGTAAGCCACTCGCAAATGGACAAACGAAATGCATTCACTGCGTGCCAAAGACAGCGTCGCACACATACGTCATCACGGCGATGAGCGACTCGGGGGCTAGGCCAAGGAGCGCGTGGCCACGGCATGCCCACAATGAGCATGTCCGAACATCGGTTGGATTCTGTTGATAGCTATACTTGGCAAAGCCAGCCCAAGCCGAGGGAATTTATCAAAAAGCTGTCAATTCAATCAATGTCGGCTGCGCCTGGGTCGTCTCCTGAGTCGCATGTTGCGACTCCTGCTCGATCGTCGATTCATCCAAACCGTCTTCGAGCTTCATCCCCACGGGTGGAGATCAAGGGTATCTTCCTCGATCCTTTCGAGTATTTTTTTCTGTTCCTTCTGCTCTCTCTCTCAAGACAAGTACGAAACCGATAGGGTATGTAGTATTGGAAAATCATTAGCCGTGTGAGGGCACGGGCGAGTGAGGGCGGTAGGGGTTCCCCGGCGTCGTTTGCCGCGAACCAGTCCTAGAAGTGGTCATTGAAGTTGTGGTCGCGAACCCCTGTGGCTCAATCATTGTCGTAGGTCGTAACAGTCGTGAAAGAGGCTACTCTTCGTCCTTGTAGTACTTTCGCAGGACTGTCTCGATCTCGGCATAGTCCGTCTTGACAGCCTTGAGTGCTTCTTCGATGCGCTCTAGGCAGATTTGTTCGTTTTCCTCAGGTGACCCGTCAAGGTTCTCCTTCTTGCCGTATCGTTGAATCTTTTCACATCCATCTCTGACCTTGGTGAGGCCCAACGTTGCTGATGAACCCTTCAGGAAATGGCCAAGTGTGTACAGGTTGTAAAGGTCCTTTTCCTCCCTGGCAGGTTGCAAAGGGGTACAGGTTAGCCATGCGTCCCATACGGGCCAGTACGTGCTATAGCCAACAGTGAGGGTGGAGGGCAAGAGCGCAGACACGAGGCCCGACAGACTAGGGAGTCTGATCGACTTACAAATGTTTATCCATCGATTTGAATGTCTCTTCCACCTGGGTGAAAAAGTCAAAGACGATGCCATAACTGAACTCGTGGTCGCCTGGGTCATCCATTTCAAGGATCTGGCTAAATGTGTTCATGTCGATGCCGTCAACCGTACTAAGGTCGACAGACTCGCTGGTGGACTGATGGGGAAGGAAGCTGGTTAGTGGCGTTCATCGGCCTCGATCTAGCAAGTGGTTTGACGCACCTTATCCTCTGCTGGTGACATGTTGGCGGTGTCGGAAAGTGGCTATCGCAGCGTTGATCCTAGGGCGGATGGGAGGGGCAATTTGGATGCGGGTAAAGGGGGAGAGAAGCGGTGTTGGTTGCGGCAATGAGACCAGTCCTGGGCCGGTAGAGCAGAGGACGAGGTGTGAGTGGACAGGACGTGGAGGCTGGGATTGAGTTAGGACGCGTTGACAACAGAATGCAGAGGCAGCTAGGATCTGGAGAGGAGAGGTCAACGGGCCAGGAGAGTGAGAGTGTGAGAGCTGGCGGTGGACGCCGAAAGTGGGAGCTGTCGTTGGGAGGGACGAGGAGGCTTGGGCGTAGTGGAGAGGGAACGCCGCTAAGTGGCTGGCGAGTTGCTTCAGAGACACAGCAAGGCGCTGAGCTTTGACAGGCCGTCGGCAGCCCGGGCTGCAGGCGGGAGAGCAAGCAAGGAAACGGAGACGGGGGCGGCTTAGTACCTGAGATAGGTATGTCCCGTACCTTGGGGGGTGTCACAGGAAGGAGGGCGATGCAGGTGCTGGGGAGATGGATGGGATGGATGAACCACGGTGAAACGAGGAGATGCAGAAAAATGACGACACGGCCGGCTTTGAGTGAAGGAAAGTGACTTTGCTGGCTGGCTGGTGGCGGGGAGGCAATCAGCAACAGACCCTTGGTCAGATCTCGTAGGTACGTAGTACGTGGTAGGGGTTGGGTGAATCTGGCGCGTCTGGTGCGTTTGGGACGTATTTTTTTTCGCCTGTTTCCCGTCTCAATGGGTGTGGGTGTGGGTGTGGTAGTGGTGGTGGTGGTGGTGTTGAGTGATGTCGGTAGTAGGTAAGGGTATAAGGGTAATACGTGGTAGCAGGGAAAGACTTCGGCGACCAATATGTGGGCAGTCAAGTCATGAGTGAGGGGCAATGAATGATGCGGAGGGGTCAGTCCCCGTCAGTCCCATTCAGTCCCATTCAGTCCCGACGAGCGAAGCACAGGATAGGACAGCAGAGCGCAGCACACCTAAGCTCCGGTAGGAAGCCTAGCTAGCCCGGCGCAGGTGGGGTCATTGAGCGTCGAGCTTGGTCAGGTACGTAGTAGCTCGCTGAGCTGATGCAGGGCTGCGTCTGCACGAGAAGCCATGGGCCATTGCCTTTGACCGCACACGTTGGTGGACCGTCCTTGGGCCGTGGGCCGTGGACCCACGGAGCGTGGGAGCGTGGGAGCGTGGGCGGGAGTGGGCTGGTGGTACAGGTACAACTGTCGAGGCGGATGGATATGGGATGTGAAATGTGGGATGGATGTATGTGGAGGAAGAGGTGGAGGCGGACGTGCAGTGCAGAAAGAGAAAGAGGGAGACGAAAGAGAAGCCGTGAGGCGTACGCCGGAGCAGATGCGGCATCTGAGTTCCTAGCCAAGACGGAGAAGTCGGAGACGTCGGAGATGGTGTGCCGTCAACTATGTACAGCGAATAGCTGCACCAGGCCAGGGTGGGCAGCCAGGAGACGGGCAGGACGACGAGCAGAGCAACGACATAGGAACTGCGAGGAGCGAGGAGGGGTTGGGATGGGTCCTCACCTGTTAGTGGGTTTGTCGATGCAACAATGGGGAGCGTCCCCAAGACGATGGGTAGGTACGGACGGTGGGTGGATGGAGAGGGCGAAGGGAGGTTGCAGTTGTCGTTTCCGGCGCAAGCCTGATCTTGTCTCTTTCCTCCTTGATCGCGTGTGTGGCGCAAGACGGAGCAGCGGCGGGTGAGGGTGAGGGAGGGCGTCCGGCCTCGGGCGTGTGCTGCGTGTGAGGGCGCGAGCGTGTGCGACGACGAGGCGTGGCTTCAGCAAGCGTCCAGTCGACCAGTTGTGAGGGTCGTGAGTGTCGTGAGGGTGTGAGAGCTTGGCGGGAGATCCCGAGGATGGGCTCCGCTGGGTACGACTGACGACAGTGGCTGCTTCTAGCGTGAGAAGCACAAGCCGCCAGGAATGTGCAGAAAACGGCAACCGTGGGGAGTGGGAGTGGGAGTGGGAGCTGTGAGGCTGCAGCAAGGCGCGGGGTTGGGCTGAGACGTGAGAAAACCGGTTCCACCAAAGATGAGACAGTGAAAGAGAGAGGAAAGAAGCGAGGAGAGCGACGGGAAAGCGGACAACGGGGGCGGGGGAAACCCTCACTCGACTCCCCCGGCCACCGTCGTTTTGGGGGGGAGCGAGGAGTGGGCATTTGGGATTGGCATTTGGGATTAGGATGAGGAGTCTGGCTGTCATCTCATCTGGTAGGGACAGGACAGCGCGGTACTAGCCCATAGCAGGCAATGGTAGTCGATGGGGTGCCGATTTATTGGTGGTGCATGACGTCGTATGCTGGGCCAGAGTCCACTGAGGGAAAAGGAAAAAAGAGGTCCAGGACGTCCAGCCCGCCACCGAAAGTACAAAAGTACACCAAAAGCGCACCAAGAGGGTCGCTCAGGGCCACACAGAGTGACAAAGGCCGCTCCAAAGAGACACCAAGGGTCGAACTGAGGTGTCCCAAGACGCGCCAGCAAGGGCAGCGACGGAAAAGGAGGGGCGGTTGCATCATTGGGCATGGGACATGGGTCTAGCTAGTCCCGACGCTGTCTGCTGGAAACATTAACCTAGCAACCCAGTACTAACTTCACAGTACGTACCTGGTTGTTTGTTTCTCCTTCCCCATTATCGAGTTGCTCTCGGGGGTTCTGGAGTCGGAACCCAGAGAATCCAAAGCCCAGAATCCGTCTCCCCCACTCCAATTCCCCCAAACGCCCCAAAGCGGCGATTCAAATGGACCCCAAGCATCCAAGGGCCCCCCCCTGTTAACAGCTTCTATCAAGTCAGTGCCATGCCAGTGCCACGCGACAGGGTGCTTCCAGGCCTTCCCTCTGAACCTGGTCGGAAGGAGAAGAGTGGCAGTCAGGAGGCGAGTATATCTCACCTCACCAGTCAGTCCCTCACCGGTCTGTCGTCAGTTACCACCACCCCGGCACCACGCCTGCCTTTGATTCGGCTTGTTGCCCGCCGCACGTTCTCGTCTCCCGCCGCTCGTCTCCCGCCGCTCGTCTGTCGCCTCCCGCTGCTCGTCTGTCGTCTCCCGCCTCCCACCTCCCGTCTTCCGCCGCGTCCGAATCGCTCCCCTGGATGGCAACGCGACCTTTTGTTTTTTTATTTGACTATCACGCGGGAGAGTGCCGGTTCGCTAGCGCAACCCGCCCTTCGTTAGCCCCGGACTAATGCCTGCCGCAAGGCACCGAGGCATGGACAGAGGGAACTGATGTGCTACGACGGCATCGTAGTTCGGGAAGCCGCTGCGTCGGAGGAATAAGTACCGTAGTACTTCAAAACTAGAGGAGGCGTGGGGTAAGGAAACGGGGCCATGTGAGGTACCGATTTGAAGACACTGCCCAAAGTGATGAAAGTATGATGTTTGCAAACCAGGTTGGTTGCATGGTCGTGGTCGGGATCTCGACTGTGTGCGGTCTTGGTACGGGGAACGGAGTGTAGTCGTTGACCTTACTGGCACGGCACAGTCGAAACCCACTGCCTAGGTCGGTAGGTACCTATCCAGGGTTGGCAAGCTGCACCTGCCACCTACGGGCCATACAACGTAGTAGAAGAGACGGAGTACCTGCCGTCCGAATTACCTAACACCGGTGTCTGGTGCACAGTAAGCTCTTGCCGCGGAGTTCTTCCGTACCTACCTAAGTTAGGTATGTAAGGCGGGTAACTAGGTAGGTACTGTCCCTAAGAAGACACCTGCCTTCAGTTCAAACGTCTGCACGAAGTATCTTTGTCTGCATTGAGTCAGGCGGCTCCTTGCGCCAACCTCCACTTGGGGTGCTCACAACTCCATTTTTCTCCATCAAGATAAGTAGTCTTGATTGTGCATTGCATTCCTTAGATTAGCAAGCGATCGATGTACTCGCAAGCGCTTTTCTATCTTCCGTCCTCTGTCCCCCGGATACCAGCGCTTCCCGCCGGTAGATGGATCAATCCCATCATCTGTCACTCAGTCTTCGAACAGACGTTGACTGAGTGCCTCGGTTCCACGATGGCCAATCGCTAGGCTTCATTCCACCTCCTATTGCTTCCATCGCTGCCAAGCATATCTAGTGCAGGCTTGCAAGGTGAGGCCATATGGACAAGGCCTACATAGTATCGACAACAAGTCAACCACCCGGGCAAAAGAAACCCTGGCCCCGTGCTGGTCATCCGCACATGTCACTCACCCTTTCCCTGCTTCCTCGCCCTGTCAAATCCCACGGACAACGCAAAGAAGCTCACCGGTTGCCAGCTGTGGTTGCTGTCATCCCCCAACCTGGCCATGATCGACGCCCTCCGCTACCAGCAGACCGACGTGTCGAAGCAATTTCGATCCATTGTCCCGGGGTCCAGGGAGGATAGTGGGGTGTCGTCCCGCTGCCCGCCTCCGCGTCGGATGCTGCGTTCGTGGACCATGAGATGAGCCTCGCGCCGATGAGACATGTCCTGACCCACGCCTGTCGACCGGAGATTCGAGAAAAATGGGCGCGGACCGACCAATTACCCCACACACCACTTGCACTCTAGATGGCCCTGAAGCTTGAATCCGTTGTCGCTCGCACACCCAGCCGTACCGCTGGCTGGGTGTCACGAGGCGTTCAGGATTGGACAGAGAAATTGTCGAATATGCGGCATTTTCCTCTTCCCACGAGCTTCGGTCAATTACCGTTGGTTCCTGCTGACAATTGCTGCCGCCTCCAAGCTCCAGACGGTGAACAAGGTTATCACCCAAGGTTCCGGCACCCGGTCCCCGTTCCGCGCGACCTCGCCTCGTGCGCCGACGGCCGAATGGCGGGGTCACGGACTGAGCTGATCTGGCTGGGCTGGAGACCGGGGGTTCGAGTTTGGCGGCTCAACGGCAGAGTCCAATTTCCAGCAACTCCAACGAGTTCCAACCCGGAATCCACCATGGCGCCATCCCCACTGAGAGTCACCAAGGGCTCCACGCCGGTCACACACTCACCAACCTCATCAGGCGGACGGAACGGCATAAATCACCTCCGAAATTGATAGCATTGGACACTGCCCTGCTGGCGCTTCTCCTCCCCGACCGACCTGCCGCTTCCCGGCCCCGGTCGCACGTCATAGGCCGCGACAACAGATTTCCGTCCCAACCCATTGGTCGCTCTAGTCGGCCACTACCTGGTTGGTATTACAGGAGATACTGCACTGTAACCTCACACACGAGCGTCCCTGTTCCACGGTGCCGCGTCTAACTTCCTGTCCAAGACAGAGCGCCAGTGTTCTCCTCTCCTCGCGTCGGAGCTAACAGGGCACTGAGTGGGTTGAACGTCTTTATTGCTCCGAAAGAAGCTCCCCAACACTTCCTACGAAAGGTGACATGGTCATTTACCGCGCAGGTGAGGCGTTCTTCCCCGCAGGGTAGCACAGATGTTTTAGTCCATGGTTGAAGAATCATGAAACGCATGAATGAGTAACCTCTGACGTTTTGGTAAGCCCTGGTTGATTTAGGTTCCATCCACAAATCCTCGACCCTGTACTAGATTTTCCCCGAAGTCATCTCGCGTCTCTTGTTCCCAGCTTGACAATAAATCCTATCATACCTCACACCCTGATCCACAGGATGTTGGGTTTTTAGCTTAGCACAAACCCATTTGTATGGATGAACAATGGCCGGAGACACATCGTTATCTCTGTACTCCTCAGTCGCATCATTTTAGCCCGGGTGGTCGGTCCGCGACCCAAGAGTTTACTGCGAAAGTCGTCTATACAATTACCTCAACAGCACTAAGCTTGCCTTATCTCTATCAACTTTGGAGATCACGCGCGTAAGGAGCCTTTTTGAAAGTTAGCGTCTTTCGTGACTGTCTAGATGTCATATTTGATCGAGCGTCCCTATAGGCTATGATCCTGAATCTCGCCACTTGTTTTCTCCTCCCAAGTCCAGTTTGATACTTCCGGCATGGGCTGCGCCTCCCCTGATGAGTGCCGCCGTTTCCGTACCCATCCCGTTCCAGGACAATTTGATTACCTCGAGACACACTGCAGGACCCTCCAGTCAGGGTTTGTTAAGTCTCGTCTTGTACAGCGCCGTAAAACACGTTGTTTGGTGAATTAACTGTGTCCAGATCATTGCCATGAGCCAGAGGGTCCACCGACGTTGAGGACTGAACAGGGAATGTGCTACACATCTAAACTCTCCTCTCCCTGATCCATGCCGCGTGACTGCTCTCTGCACTGCCTCGCCGCATTGCAGATCCCGCTTGAGGATACAAACCCACTTCCCTCTTCCGCCGCCATATTGAGCGTACAGGTGACAAGATTGTCACAAGATTGTCACAAGTGCGCGTCCTCCGGCCAAGTCCTCTTACGCTCTTTAAAGTCATTATGGAAGTTGGTAACCTTAGTATTATTGATGCTACCTTTGGTGCGAACTGGATCATGGACGCCTGTCCATCGTTTTCTCAAGTCTCGTGACACTACCAGTAAGTATTGTTCTCCGAATGCATCGTAATCTACACTCCAAATAAGTGCCATTACGGCCTTTGCTCTTACACCATTGGTCCTGAGAAGCTCCCACACAACTAAGAACTAGGCCCTCTTACCCACCTCTAAGGAGGTCGAATTAAGTTTATGTGCCGTTTGTGCATATCAGACAGACACTGGTCCGTGTTTTAGATATGTTAATGATTCAGCTAATGTCGATACGTCAAACCGTCTTATAATTTCAAAACTACGAAGTACGTTGTCTTCGTAGCTACTATATTGAACCGGTCGTTTTTAACTTCTTTTTACCCGTAAGTGCCTAAATAGCAGTTGATTTCACTCTAGTTTTGAGCATAGATCAGTGCGCCACTGCATATACTTCGGTAATAGCAGACCGTCTCCAAAAAAGGCCAAATACTTTGGAGTCTTCTTACAATAGTGAATTAAAATAATCCAAAGAGTATCAGAAGCTCATTGATAATAATAACAGAAATTCGAAGACGAAAGGAGCCCAAAGTAACCCTTGGAAGATCTGCATAACAACACAAGTTTATTATACATGGAGGACTAATAATACAGGCCTTACGAAATTGTAGACCTGGTTATATTGGATCCAAAATTTTGCAATGTCGAGCAACAATCAAACGCTAATTTCATCCGAAATTTGTGGTGAATCTCTGGGGACAGAATAAAATAGCCAAAAGCGGACACAAAATGATGTGATGGCCCGGACGGCTTACCATCCTGACCAAGAGTAATGGCTAAATACCTCATCAGTTGGCAGGAAGATCTCGGAATGCCTTTGACAATGAAAGATGCTGCGGGAATCGCGACGATGGTTTGGTGGACGATACCGGGGCCGACCAGACCATTGAATGATATATGTAACTTTTATCAGCCGAAGAATTTCAAAGGGGCCCGGAGACTGATCTCCTGAGTGGTATATTCAAGGTAAATAAAACAACAACTTGTTATGCCCCAATTTAGATTGGTAGTCCACAGGAACAATAAAGGCCGGGTGGAGATAACCGAAAATTGCCTTCACAGCAATGGTGTTGTTGCGAGCCAGAGCCCAAGTGACTATGGACGACGACATCTGTGGCGCTGAATTATTGATGAAGGTTATGAATTTACGCAGCTATTGGAGTAATGGCGGTGGTTTCAGATTGTATCCCTAGACGGCTGATTTCAAAAAGTGAACATCTAACTGACTGCCAGCTTAGACACATGGGTCTTTGGTCGAGTTAGGTAACATAAACTACTCATCGGACTTTGAAGAATGTGATAATGGGTTCACTGGTGCAAGGAAGAATCAGTTGATACACCTTGGCACTAGTACGGAGGCAAAGTGGCACTGGCTAGTGGCCACCCTCGGTTGGATACACGATCGACGGCTTGACTATGCGCAAGCCGGTACTGACCACCATGCCGTGTACAAGTGACGCAGACCCTGAGAAGTGTGACCTGCTTCATCTCGACAAGCCAGGTTAACTACTGCAGACGTTAAAGTGGATGGCGACCATTGTGAGAGAACTCATGATCTTCATGTCACAATTAGATAGCCTGGACCGAGATCATGGCAGAGGCACAACCCCCATATTTTGCAATACTACAAAAGGCTGCACCTGCGAGTATTCAATCTATTCCGGGCCTTTGTAGTTACCAAAGCACGTCAATCTCCATTCAAATGTCATTTGCGGTGTCCAATGCACGAAAATTCAAGATTGTCGTTTCAATCTCTACAGATCTGCGCTGTCAGAGCATCGATGACTTCCTTAGCACCTCGGACGCCAGATCGCACGGCGCCTTCCATGTACCCCTTCCAGACCAGCGAGGTCTCGGTGCCAACAAAGTGAATATTGTCGACCGGCGAGCGGATGGCTTTGCCTGAGTCGGCCGTGAGTACACCCGGTAGCATGACCGGGCAGGGTGCTCCGAGTGCCCACGGGTCCTTCACCCACTCCTTTTCGATGACGTTGATGGGCGGCGGCACATCGATGCCCTTCGCCCGGGCAGTTGAACCCATGACTGCATCGAATTGAGCTGTCACAAGCCGTCGACGCTCGACAGCCGACCATTTGGACCAAGCCCTTCCGGTGTCACCGACGAGGAAGCAAGTGATACTGTACTGGTTGTCTTTCTCGGAGCATGTGTCTCGACTAAAGCCGATGGGTCCCTCCATCGACTGCATGATACCACTGAGGCCGGCTTCGTGCCACCAGGGGCGGTCAAACACAAAGATGGTCTTGGCGTAGTATCCAAGAGCGGTGTTGTCACCCAGTGCCTGCTTAGCAGCCGGGAGAGGAGGCTCGAAAGTGATCAGAGAGTACAGCGGGGTCGGCACAGATACTATGACACGCTTCGCTTGGAAGACTGGCCCCGAGCCAGCTGTTTGGATCATACAACCATGCCCTGGAAGCCGGGTGATTTTGGTAACAGGGGTGGACAGATGAATCGCGCTATCTGGAAGCTGGGCAGCAAGACGGACGGAGAATGTTTGGTTTGCTATTCGTGTTGCACACGCGCCGTGTCAGTCCCAGCTCTAACGGTGCATCGCGATCACTTACACTGGCGGTTGCGCAAGTACTGGCCTCCATGCTTGCGGTCCGAGATCATGTTTTCGATCCCCGTGCCGGCCTTGAGGTAATCGATCATATACAGGGCGCTGAGCTCTCTTGCTTGCACGCCGAGTAAGCAAATAGCCAAGCTGTCGGCAAGGAAGAGTCCGAAGCTGCCCGGGCTGTACTTCTCGGCGTATGCTTCGAGGGTCATCGAGTCCAGCATTGCCGCATCGGGACCCAAATGCGGGCTTTCGGGGTGAGATCGTTCGATGTGTCCCTTGATCACGTCGACGAATTGCTGGAACATCTTAATCTGCTCGGGCGTCATCACGGCCGGCAACCCGGGCGGGAATGAGATGACGGAGCCGTCCGGCTGCTGCTCAAGGCCGTCGCCCGTTACTCGCTGTTGGATCAATTCGAACCCGAACTCTTTGGCGAGCGCGTACATCTCGCTTTGGTTGGTGTCATTGATCCAGGCCGCGCCGAGGTCGACCTTGGCGTTTCCCGCGGATGATTCCAGACTCAGCGTCTTCCCGCCCACGCGGTCCATGGCCTCGAGAACCACCACCGACAGGCCGGCTCTATACACTTCGAGTGCCGCGCGCAAGCCTGAGAGCCCAGCACCCACGATCACGACGTCTGTAACATTGGGAGTTGAGACAGTCATTTTGGATTGAGTACAAAGGTATGTGAAGAGGGGTTGATGTAAGCTGAGAAGAAGTCGCCGAGTGTGAGAGGCACTTTTTGAGAGCGGATGTCGCACATATATGATGGAAAGAGACTGTATTTGTACTGTGTAAGCTGAACATAAGCGTATTTCTCGGGTGAGATTGGTATAAGCCATGTCAGAGCACTCGACGAATGCTTATGGGTAATGGAGCTAGGTAGCCTTGGCGTGGATGCAGAAGTTGCCTGGTGCGTTGTCAATCATACAAAGAACCCATGGCACGGCATGGATAAGCCTGATGGATCGGTGTGCAATACCAATTTCAGCCACAGAGCTTATGCAAGACTTATATACCAGGAGTAATTCCACCCGTTCCGATGGCACTTCAGGCGAGACCATCCCGGACAGTTAGGATCGCTGTGCATTAGTTTGTCTCCGCAACACACACCACAACCTTGTCTGTGGCGGTACTGATAGATCATAGGGCTTCACTTATCCTGACTAAATTAAGGATATTTATCCAAGGTATCATTACTTCCCGAAAAGTATCCGAAGCGCATCAGCTGAGACTGCTCCATTAATTTGCGTTGCTTCATCTCTCGCAGTGGGCTCGGTGTACCGTCCAAAGCTCGACGGCGTGCCAGGTTCGAATCCCACATCGCCGTTGATCTGGCGTGCCTTCTCAGTTGCTAAAGCTCGTATGTACTCAGGAGTCGACTTATGACTCTCATGCGAAGTCTCCCTTTGTCCAGACTCTCCACTTAGATGCTGTGTAGAGTCGGGGGTGGGAGACGTCGCAGCTTCTTCCAGAAGCAGAACACTCTCCAGGTTTCTAACTTCTCGGAGCTGGTGTTTGAGGAGCGCCTTTTGGCTGTTCAACACACCGAGGTGCGCAGACACCTTCTCAAGATTCTCGATCGTAAAGGCCAGCTCGTTGACCAGAGCCTCGAATTCTTCTCGTCCACAAATCGCCCATGTAAATTTTTGACCGATCGATCCTTGTTTCTGTCGACGTCGAGATCGAAATCTGAGTGCAACTCGCAGTCCGTTCAGTGCAGGAGATGAGCTCTGTCGTGTCGAACCCCCTGGGACGGTTGCAACGACTGCCAAACCCTCAGAGGCGTTGGAAGATGCACCGACCTTGGTCTCGTTAACTTTGAGCCCATATTTCTTCTCCAACCTTGTATGATCCTTGAAGACTTCCTCCACTGTGATGAGGGAGTTTCCCACCAGGTCTTTAGCCTTATCCCAGTTGGCGCACATTGCTGTCTGGCATTCAGCCACCATTACATCGGTTGTCTGCCTTTCGTCATGAAGGCCTAACGATTCGCCCTAAAGGTCGAACTTGATGACAATACGCTCATAGCCCCGTCCGTAGTTCCCAGCAAGCTTGATCTTGTCGTAGCCATCGAAACAGGTCTGGAAGAGGGCGATGAGGCTGACGCCACCAAAGATCAAACCGGCAATTTCTGACATGGCTCGATATGGCTAATCGTGGCGACTCGGCTATAGTTGAAGATGCTGCTGTTGTAGTTCCCGCTGGCAATCAGAGGTAAGGGATATGGTTGACTAGGTCTTCGCTACAGCCTCGAGTTAAGGAACATGCACATCTACGGATAGTTCCGTCAAGCGGGGTAAATCACATAGTGAGTGGTAAGAGTCGGCTGAAAACAGGGCTGAATTGAGGCCAAGCCCAAGTACCTCAGCCTCGTAATCTCATTTTTCGCAACCACATCTCCGACATCACCATGGCAGTGGCATATCTTTCGAGACAACGCCCCGAAAGCCTATCGTTCTAGCTTGATGATCTATTGCGTCATTCATTCAGTCGCTGCATTTGGAGCGAGACGGGCTCCTATTTACGCCTCGTCAGCATGCCCCAGCGTAATGAGCCCATCGAGTCGGCAGCCTGGGAGGAGGTAGTCAGCAGGCTTGACTACCAACAACCCACCGCCCATGGACAAGCAATACAACTAAATGGTCCAATTCACGGTCCTATAAACTTTTGTAGGTCGTCTTTCAATCCTTATTGCAAAATTCCGGCAGCTAACGACGCAGGTAGTCATCGGCGTGGACCACAAGGATCGAGCAAAATTCAGACGCGATCGAGAGAAAGAGGTCGAGGCGGAACTCTTCGATGGGTCTGCTAGATACGATTTGACTGCGACCCTTTCCTTGGTAGCCAGTCCAGTCGATGGGACGTGTGAATGGATACTGGAAGACCCGTCTTACCAAAACCTGGCTGCGAAATGGACGGGGCGACTCTCAATTCCTGTGGATTCGTGGAAAACCTGGCATGGGGAAGAGCGTCCTGGTAAAATATCTATTCCAGCACTTGGTCAAATTCCAGGCTACGAAAGAAGCTGGACTTCCAGTAGAGTCAACGCCGCTGTGTTGCTTCTTCTCCTTCTCGCGGGATCGCCTAGGCCATGAGCTTGCGCAAGGCTTCCTATCTCAACTGGTTCGATCCCAACCCGATTTAGTGCAATACATGGAGAGGGATTTCCACCTTGGCAAAGATTCTGGGGGGCTGTTCAGCAGTACGAATCGGGATGCTCTTTGGGCTACTTTCGAAACTGCCCTGTCAAATGCAACCACCGATAAGGTCTTCTTGATCATTGACGCACTTGACGAATGCGAAAGTTCATCGACACAATGGGTTTTTGAGAGACTTGCACGACTTGGATCGAGTTCTATTGGTCCAACAAGAAAGATTCTTTTCACGAGTAGACTCTCTGCGTCTTTGAAGGAAAGCATGTTTGAGGGCTCTAGCATCATCGACCTTGATTTGCTAGCGGCACAGGGAGCCCTTGATCATGATATTAACCGCATTGTTTCTTCGCGTATTCTTGGTCAATTCCATGGCCACAGAGACGATCAGAATATCTCAAATGAGATCATAAAAGCCCTGACTGAAAAGTCCAACGGGTATATCTTGTGGTCCATACTGGCAACAGCAGTGCTACTGCGACTTAGTGCCGAGGGGCCTAAATTGATGCACAAGGCTGTGTCAGAACTTCCCATGGGGCTTGACGGATTGTACTATGTTTTGTTGTTTTCGAACGTTGACCCTAGGTATCGAACACGGGTTGGACCGGTGTTGGCGTGGGCCATGTATGCCTCACGACCCTTGACCGTCAGCGAACTGTCTTGCGTGATAAGGCAGGACGATATCGATTTAACACGGCTGGACAACCGAATGAAGTATCACACTGAGCCCACTTGGAGATTTATTATTTTGAATGAAGGCAGCCACAGTCTTCGATTCCTTCACCACCCGACCGCCAAGGAGTTCCTCAAGAGTGTGGACCATGCCAATCCAGACCTGGCTGGGTTCATGGAAGACAAGGCAGCTCACCGCATGATTGCGAAAAGCACATATCTCTCTCTCTTCGAAACCTCTTCCTCACGGAGCCCAAGCCCGTCAGCTGAGAGTTCTTCAACCATTGCATCTACTGTTTCGCCCCTGCACAATTATGCGTCGCAGTACTGGACGGAACATGTTCGTCGAGCATCTGCAGATGTCGCCGATATCTTCGACCCCGACGATGCGTTTTCTAGACCAAAGTCCATGATCCGATACCGGTGGCTAAAAACCCACCATGCAACTGAAATGCGCGGTCTGGAGAAACCCGAAGATTTCGACATGACGTACCTTGCAGCTTCTTCGGTCTGACCCCTGTGCTCTCCAAGTGGTTAGATCTCGACAAACAAGGACATGAACATTATCCCCGCAAAGCATCATCAGATTGGATGATGTGCCCGATTCACTGGGCCTCTCGCAATGGCCACTACGAATGTGTGAAACTACTCCTGGACCATGGCGTCGACATCTACGCGAGAGGCCGTGGCATGACACCTATCGCATGGGCGGTGCGCAACGGACACGCAAAGATTGTTCAACTCTTCATAAGCTACGGTTGCAGCGTAAACATTGTTGACAAGGGCCTTACCCTACTCGGATGGGCTGCCTGGGACGGTAGGCACGAAGTAGCCACCATCCTCATACACGAGGGGGCGAGCCTAAACCCGAAGCCAGATTTGTCCCTTTCCCAATACCTCACTACGGAGTAGACAAACACCCCGAACTTTCTAAGGAGCGCGATCTCAGGAGACCGGGAGCTTTTGTTGATCACCGAGTACACGACGATAGAGGCCAATGTGATCAGCAACTATAAAACCGCGCTCTACTGCGCCTCAGAAGCATTCACTGCTTCTCTATGCTCATATTTTGTCACTGGCGATATTTGGAAGGCATCAGAAGCTCTCCACCTACCCGGAAACACAATGCTTAGCCGAGACTATTGGAATATTTCTCCTCCAACAATGTCTGGACTCCTCGTCCTTGTGGCGAACTGCCTAAGGGGAAATTGTCAACAAGTCTTGGATTTCTTCTCCTCAAAGCTCTTGAACACCTACTGCGGACTGCTCTATATGGCGCTTACAAATACTTTGTGCTTGTTGGTATCGAGGGCGATGCCTCGTACAGACAGAGCCATCCTAGTAGCTACTAGCATTGTCGCAGGTCAGATCATCACTTCCACGATCATACCCAGCCTGTCAACTGCCAGGGTATTGTCCTCAGCACTGAATTTCAACATTTTCAACATTCTTTGGGCATGTAACAGATATGGATCTTGGCAAACGGGAGCAACTATTCTCACTGTCACATTGTATGTCGTCATCGGCGCTTCGTCTCAGTTTGATCTCGCTGTTCTATCAGCAGCCTTCGCACTAGCGAGCTTCCTTTCAAGTATCAAGCAAAAGCTGGTAGCAGGTCTCACCCCTCTGAACCTCGCGGCCTCCCGTGGTCACGCTCAAGTTGTCAAACTGCTTCTCGACTGCGGTGCCCGACCGTCACAGACAGTCAAGGATACCAACAGTGCGATTTATCTTGCCGTCAAATATGTTCATCATCCGACCCTTAATGTTCTTCTTCAGCATTACAGTTCGCGTGAAAATCGGCTTGACGATGCGCCCTCGACCCTGCAACTGGCAGTCCTCTGTTCTAGGATCGATATTGTTCATCAACTGATAGAGCGTGGTGCTGATGTCAACGAGCTCTCGCCCCGAGGCTTTTGCGCTTTGCACACCTCATCTTTCGCAGGAAACTATGAAATGACAACTTATCTTCTTTCTCATGGTGCCGACATCAATGTGAGCTCGCGAGATGGAGTTTCGCCGCTGCTAGCAGCCGTCTGTGGGGGTCATCAGTCGGTCGTCCTAGCTCTGCTAAAGCATCAAGCAGATGCCCAAAAGGCTACAATTGATGGTGTCACTCCGCTGCATATCGCATGCTGGGTAACTAATCGTCAAATGATGAAACTTCTGTTGGATGCCGGGGCCTGTCTGACGAGCAAGGACAGACAGGGCCTCACACCGTCGGATTACGCAGCCGAGATCATCGGACTGAACCATTGGCCGACAGAGCCCAAGCCAAGCGTATTCTGCCGTCCTCTGGACCCTAAATCCATTCTCCTTCGTTCTACACGAGACCTGGTAGAGGAAACACGAGAAACTTCCCTCAATCTTAGGAGGTTCGATCGGCTCGGCTTCTATCTGCTTCGCATTGCAGCACCAGAGAGGGCAATGCGAGCTTATCAATGGGCTAAAGGGCCGAATAGCTCCCTCCCGTGGTACTTCTGTCACGGGTGCGCTAACACATCGTGGACGAACCGCGTGTGGATATGTGGGAGCTGTCCGGTCACGATTGCACAGCCAGTCCTTTGCGACTTCTGTTTCTCGCAGGTTGACTCGCCGCCGAAGCTTCTGGGATGCACTATACGGCATGATTTTGTCCCCATAGATCATGTTGATAATCGAAGTCCAAAATCCGGCGATTCTGAAGACGGGGAGTTGGATGGCAACATCAGTCAACAGGCGGCACAAAATTCCTGGTTGAGTGAAGTGCTCTCCTCGCCGATTCAACCCGAGAAAGAGGATGAGGTATTGCAGAACCTATTGTCAAAATATTAATACCTGGAATCTATACACGTCCTTATATTTACCTTGTTTTAAACTTGATAAAAGCTCCTAGACTCCTTATCACATCTGACCAGCAAACTTCTACACTCAAACTGTTCCTACCCCTGTGGAAAATTCCCTTTCAAGTCAAATCGTCAAACAAAGCTACGAAATTTATCGACTCTAGTATTCGCTACCCCATCAGCCAGTTTCGCCAATTCTGTGTTCAATGAGCGGGATAAATACATGTGCCATCACTTTAAATTACATTGCTACGGAGGTAGATGAAGATCACCTCGAGGCGCTCATGATGAGCCTAGCTGACCCAGGCAATCACCAATCGGCTATTGGCACCAATGCGAATATCAATTCATTCAAACCGAGGAAGACCCTTTTGTGTGCGCCCTCCCTGATGCTGTCAGGCGCGGCAGAGGATTGTTGATCGGAATCGACTTAATGATCCGATGGAAGGAAAAGGCTTGCCAGAAAAAAACTCTTGGGGGATGCAGAGCGGCATACTTGCTAGTGTGGTAGTGACACACTGAGTCTGCTACACCACTTCAGCCAACGATATAGATGGGGTGATTTGTGAATAATAAATCAGTAAATACAATAATACATCATACGGACTCTAAGTGCGGGTCTCTTATTACATCCGACCTATAAACCCGGAGTTGAACTTAAGATTGATTGCGTGATGGCCATTTGTGCGGATACGCTGACGGGCCGGCCCGGTCTGGATCATGTGGTTGTCCAACTTTCTGCAAAAACCGGGGAAATCTACCTTGAACAATTCCGAGCCGATGGTATCACTCGATAAGGGAAGGTCCGTGAGCACGAGCTGCTTGTTATGGATACCTTTTTTTATCGGTTGACGAACCCCCCGAGCGACGTACCAGGGTGTTGATGCAGCTTACATGCTGGGTTGGGCAAGCCAGGATCATGAGGAAGCTCCGCGATAGGCCGCCGATGTTTGCAATGAGATGCCAAGGGAAGGTATACCAGAGTGACATGGTTTATTATCATCCATTCCTTGGTGATCTCATCCACAACATGTTATTCGTAAAAACACACAACTGTCCATTACGCCGCTACCCGTTCGGGCCTGTTCCGTTCCCGGCCCATATAGATATAGACAAACATCCGGTTTCCATCTCCCTTTGCTTTCGTCTCTCGCATGTGATAATGCGCCCTTGACCAAACACCAATCGCTTCTTTTATTTTTAGAACATCACCTTGGACGCCACGCTAAGTAACCAGGCTGCGTCTCTCCAACTCCCGTCGTCAGCTCCAGGAGGAGGAATGCGTTCTTGAGGAACAGTTGAGATGCCCGCCAGGTTACGGGATGACAAACTTCGAGAACGGCTGAAATTTGAGGAACCATCGGTAGGGGAGGAATCATCCTCACTATCCGACTCCTCATCGTTCTCGTCTACAGCGAAGAGGGACCACACATTCCCAAACCAGGTTCCGGCCCGAGCCTGTCCGCGCCGCACGAGACGCTGTACGGCAACTTCATCATCCTGGCTCGTGTCACGCTCAAGCTCAAGCTCCTCGAGCCTTTCGTCAAGGTTGACAAAATCTGGGCCGGGAAGATCCTGGTTGGGAAAATAAGAGTCATCGCACTCGGCCTCAAACCCGCCACTAGTTCCGGGGCGTTCGAGAGGGGTGATGAATTGACTCCGAGGACGGGACAGGCTGTGGGAGCGGCTAGGGAAGCGGCTGGCGTAGGGGGATGCATCCTCGTCACTAGGAACAGTGCTGCCACGGCGGCTGTTGTGGCGGCTTGCAGAGGTGATGCCACGCTCCCGGGCAAGTTCGCTCTCAAAGACTTCATCGTCTCGGTCGTGCATACCAGTGAGGCTAGTTGAGCTCTGACGAGAAACAAGCCATGCCTGGCCCTTGGACTCGCGGGCTTCGTAGCTCATCAGGGCTCCCGTACGGAGCAACCAATCGCTGTCATTGTGATGTCGCAATCCAAAGCCTAGAGCGTCATCCTTGTGAGTCCGTCGGTTGCTGGGCGTCGCGCGGCCTGAGTATGACTTGCGGGCAGTTGGTGCGGTACCGAGATGTGATGCCGACTGGCTTTTGCCGAAACCGCCGCTAGGAGCCGAGGGAGTGCGTTGGTGGGACCGCGAACGCGGAGCAGTGGGCGATTGCGAGAGGAGTCGTGGAGTGGTCGGCGCAGACTTGCCCTGGAGGTACGAGACGGAACGGGGGATGGACGACTGGGCGTCGGCAGCAGCAAGGGCGTCGGCGATGAGGTCGTCGTCGTTGAGTGGGAGTTTGGGCGTGAGGGGCGCCAGGGAGAGGTGGTTGATGCTAGTGGAGGAGCGGTTCTTGCGGCGAGCACGGTCGGCGTGTTGGTTGTAGGCGACGTCCATGATGGATAGACGAGTCTGGTGTATGGAGCTGGAGAAGCTGGGAGAAGCTGGGGTCGGAGCTGCAATTGACAGGGGAGCTTCGTAGAGCTATTGCTGCGCTCTATCTGACGCGGTACGAAGTCGGCGGTGATGGTCCTTTTATCCCCGGCAAGCGCGCGCTGAAGGACGGTACGGCGGATCGGATTGATTGCAACGCAGGGGCTGGCAACGGCTCAAGCTCAAAGCAAATCGATCAATCGATCGACTGAACATGCAACAGAATCACTCAGCCGGCTGGGGAAGGGCTTGGTGGCATGTGAAGGCGATAAGAGCCAGCGGAGACAGTGGAGTGAAAAGGTGGAGAGGGGAGAATAGAGAGGGGAGAGAGAGCCTGAGGGCCTGAGAGAGAGAATGGATGCATATGCCGACAGCCAGGAATAAAAGTGGCTGATGAACGATCCGGGGTTGGAATGAGGAGGCGAAACCGAGGGCCGGCTAATAAGAGAACGGGCGAGCGCTTGTGAAGTGGACGGAGAGGGCTTCACCGAGCTATTGCCTAGGCACAGCCAACAGGGAAATGGCGAGACGCAGAGTCTGGAGTTATGTGCCGGGTGCAACAGCGTCGAGATGGTTGCAGCATCACGCACAAATCACACCCTCAGTGAAGGCGATCAGTCATACTTGCAGATGGTGGTGAGGGCAATTGGTACTTGACGGGGCAGCCACAGCATGTACCCCGGCCCTTGTCCAGTGCCCGTCTCTCCTGCATATACCAGCGCCAGTCTACCTCCCCCACCAGCCTCACACAAGTACCCTCGCCGCCCCGTCTGCAAAAATCTCAAAACGGCCCTCGCCTCCAGATCCAGAATCCATCGCAGGCCGCCGCCGATCCATCACACCCTCTCAGCGAAAACCTGCCCAAGAAGCCGGCAAGAACCGCGGGCCCGAAAATCGAACGACGGATGCATTGACTGCAACATCCGACGCCAGACTGTCTCGCCATCGCCCGGCCGGAACCAAAAGCGAGTCGCACAGGCTGTCGCTGAAGAGAGCGTGAGCCTAGAGCCTAGAGCCTAGAGCCTAACCCTCAAAACCCAGACTCGCGCGCAAGCAGCCCGTCGCGATGCGCAACCTTCGCAACATCCGATTCGGGCGCTGCCACCGCCCCGACGTTACGGCCGCTTGCTGGGACCCCGAGCGGGACGAGGTCGTATGCACGGCTGGGCCCACGCCGCAGAGCCCTAGTATTGAGCTGTTGAGACTCACCGGTGACCAGGACATGTAAGTCCAACTTGTTTTTGAGACGCTTCTTGGGAAGCCATCGAGAAAGCACCTGATGGACGAACCGGCCGACTGACCCTTGGCGTAGTTCGCTCCGCACCGTGGCGACCTGGGATGCTCCCAGCCCCAACCCGGATCTGCCCGTAGACAGGGTTGTGAGTGTCCAGTATCTCAGCGGTTCAGCAACCACTTGCCTGGTGCTCGAAGGTGGCGACATCATCACCGTCCAGGAGGACGAGTTCTCGAATGATGGCGCCCATATTGAGATTGTCGGCTCCATCGACGACGGCATCGCCGCTGCCCGCTGGTCCCCCGATGAGGAGCTGCTCGCCGTCGTCACCAAGGCCAACTCACTCATCTTCATGGGCGCTTCCTTCGACCCCGTGGCTGAGGTGCCCATGACGGCCGAGGACCTCAAGGCGTCCAAGCACGTCTCTGTCGGCTGGGGCAAGCGGGAGACCCAGTTCCAGGGCCGCGGCGCAAAGGCACTACGAGATCCCACCATCCCCGAAAAGGTTGACCAGGGCCTCCCAAGCCCTTATGAGGACGCCGCAGTGACCATTAGCTGGAGGGGAGATGGCGCCTATGTGGCTATTAATGCCGTCGAGCAGGGTGCGCGCCGTATCATTCGTGTCTACTCTCGTGAAGGTGAGCTGGACAGCGCCAGCGAGCCCGTGGATGGTTTCGAGAGCAGCTTGAGCTGGCGGCCCTCAGGCAACCTCATGGCCGGCATCCAACGGTTTTCGGATCGAGTAGATGTCGTGTTTTTCGAGAGGAACGGTCTTCGACATGGACAGTTTACTCTACGCTCCCCCACCGGGCCGGTGACTTCGCACGAGAGAATACGCTTGGAGTGGAACTCGGACTCGACCGTCTTGGCAGTCATCTACAAGGACATGGTTCAGCTTTGGACCACGGGCAACTACCACTGGTATCTCAAACAGGAGATTCCCACTGACCTTGACTCTTCGTGTCTGTCATGGCACCCCGAAAAGGCTCTGCGCTTTGCTGCTGCGTCGTCCAACGGCGTACTTGTCGCCGAGCACATCTTCTACACGGCCCGAGGGTCATGCCGGCCGCCTTTCGACAACGGTGCTGTTGCGGTTATTGATGGAGATTCAGTTAAGCTAACTCCCTTCCGAACGGCCAACGTGCCGCCACCCATGTCATTGTTTGAGATTACCGCTGCCTCTGCGGTAGTTGACGTGGCTTTCGGCTATCAGAACACTATTTTTGCGGTTCTTCATCGCAACGGTGTTGATGTGTATGAGTGGCCAATGAAGAACGGCAGGTCAATCAAGCCGCAGCTTTTGCGCCAGATCCTTTCTGAGCCTACAGACGTTCCTGCGTACCGCATTCCGCTAAAGATAACTTGCACCTCTAACAATAAGTTTCACTGCTTCAACTACCTCAACTACCAAGACAAGGACTCTCTTGAGCTGTCCGCCCCAGCTGAGAGCATTAATGATGAACATTTAACCATCTTCAATACCTACCAGCCGTTAGGAGCAACATCAACATACCAGGACGACTCGACCCTGGAGGCCTATGGCCAGGATAGTTCAGGGAAGCTCTATCGGATCGGACAATCCGAGAATGATATCATCCACATCCAGTTCCAGACCCAACTCCCTTGGTTTGAGATTACCAAGGTTGACGACGAACTCGTCGCATTTGGCTTGTCAAGGAATGGCCACATGTACGCCAACTCGCGACTCCTCGCCAAGAACTGCACGTCTTTCATTGTCACACCCACCCATCTTGTCTTCACTACCAACAACCACCTGGTCAAGTTTGTGCATCTATCAGCCGATGTCGAAGGTGATTCTCCTCCGCAATTACCTCTTGTACACAACTGACACTCACTAGAACTCGAGGTCCCGGCCGATGACCCCGAAAAGGACGAAAGATGCCGTAGCGTCGAGCGTGGCTCTCGCCTTGTCACTGCCATCCCGACAAACATGAGCTTGGTGTTCCAGATGCCCCGAGGCAATCTCGAGACCATCTTCCCCAGAGCCATGGTTTTGGCGGGTATCAGAGACCTCGTTGACGAGAAGAACTATGCACGAGCGTTTTCATACTGCCGGTCCCAGCGTGTCGATATGAACATTCTCTACGATCACCAGCCCGACCAATTCCTGGCCAGCGTCGGGCTGTTTTTGGATCAGATTCCGGATGTGACCTACATTGACCTGTTCCTCTCTTCTCTAAAGTAAGACTTCCCCATCTTGCGCCAAGAATAGGGGCTAACTTAGACCAGACCGGAGAACGTCGCAGAGACCATGTACCAGGACACCAAGCGCTCCAAGGTGCAACCCTCTACTCTCCCGGCGGCCACGGATTCGGCCCCGGCCCCCAAGTCCTCCGCCGCCAAGGTCAACGCCATCTGCGATGCCCTCCTCAAGGGCCTCCAGAGTCGCAAGGACACTAACCTCCAGAACATCATCACCGCACACGTTTGCAAGTCGCCCCCGGCTCTGGACGACGGCCTGACGCTCGTGGCGAACCTGATGCTGGAGGACGAGAAGCTCGCCGAGAAGGCCGTCGAGCACATCTGCTTCCTGGTCGACGTCAACCGCCTATACGAGAACGCCCTTGGCCTCTACAACCTCGAACTGGCCCTCCTCGTTGCCCAGCAGTCCCAGCGCGATCCCCGCGAGTACCTCCCCTTCATGCAGAACCTGCACAAGCTCTCCGAGCTGCGCCGCAAGTTCGAGATCGATGACCACCTCGCCCGGCGCGAAAAGGCCCTGGGCCATCTCCAGACCCTCGACGCCTTCGATGAGCTCGTCGCTTACACCACGCGACACTCCCTCTACCACGACGCCCTCCGCCTGTACCGCTACGACCAGCCGCGCCTACGCATCCTCACCGGCGCGTACGCAGAACACCTCGAGGCCACGTCTACGTACCGCGAGGCCGGTCTCGCGTACGAGTCGCTCCAGAACTACGCCAAAGCAACGAGCTGCTACCGCACTGCCGGCGCCACGTGCTGGCAGGAGTGTCTCTACACGGCACAGCAGCAAGATCCTCCGCTCTCTGCCGACGCCATGGCCGAGCTCGCCACTGCTCTCGCCGATGCGCTCTGGGAAGCCAAGGATTACTCCTCCGCCGCCACCATCCACCTCGAAACCCTCAACGCCATCGAGACCGCCGTCAGGTGCCTCTGCAAGGGATACCACTTCGCCGAGGCCATCCGCATCGTCCTCCAGCGCTCCCGCCCAGACCTCCTCGCCGCTGCCGTCGACCCCGGCCTCGCGGAAGCCCTCGGCAGCACCACCGAGTTCCTCGCCGACTGCAAGGCCCAGCTCAACGCGCAGGTGCCGCGCATCGCCGAGCTCCGCCGCAAGGCCGCCGAGGACCCGCTCGCCTTCTACGAGGGCGAGCGCGGCGGCGGCATGGACATCCCCGACGACGTCTCCGTGGCCTCGTCGCGCGTCAGCACCAGCGCATCGCTCTTCACGCGCTACACCGGCAAGGCCGGCAGCGTGGGCACCGCCGGCACGGGCGTCAGCCGCGCGACGAGCAAGAACCGCCGCCGCGAGGAGAAGAAGCGCGCGCGCGGCCGCAAGGGCACCGTCTACGAGGAGGAGTACCTCGTCAACAGCGTGCGCCGCCTCGTCGAGCGCGTCAACGCCACCACGCCCGACGTCGAGCGCCTCGTCTTCGCCCTCGTGCGCCGCAGCATGCCCGAGCGCGCCCGCGCCGCCGAGGCCCTCATGGCCGACGTCTCGGAGACGTGTGCGCGCATCGTCTCTGAAGTCTTCGCGCCCGTCGAGGAGAACGCCGAGGAGCAGCCACAGCCGGACGCCGAGCCTTCGTGGAAGGCAAGGGGTGGCGAAGCTGTCCTGCAGGAGTTTGTGCTGGGTCAGGCCAAGAAGCTGGAGCCGCCGCCGGTGACGAACCTGAAGAAGCTGACGCTGTTGGGATCATGAAAAAGGGGGGATATAGACGGGGCATTCGAGCTAGCTTTGGACATTCACAGGCTAGCAACTCAAAAATAGACAGGGGAATAGGGGGGAAGGGAAAGGTTCACGACACGACTACGCATCGCATGAAGAAGACGAATCTGAAGACGACTCTAAAAAGCTTTGATATCAACATTAACGCGTTCAAGAGCACATGTCCCATTCAGGGTGATCCATGACAGCAGGCCGAAAGAATAAAGAGAAAAAACCCATGTTCGCCTCCGCTATGAAGAGAAAAACAAAAGCCCCGACTAAAGACTACAGCACTAAACTAACTAAAAAAGTAAGTAAGGTTGGGCGCGAAGGCCATATATCCCGATCCGAGAGCCGTCAAAACATGTGTTTGCCATGATCCAAACAATTTCGTATGTGCGTTTCCTCCCAAGTAAGACCTCCCAAGTGTAAGGCGGGAGTATAAAGAGGGGATGATTGAAGCCCAATGCGGGAAAAAGGACAAAGGAAACTATGCGCCATTGGTCGGCTCCGGGCCGGCCTCTCCGTCCGACGTAACCGGAGGTGGGCTACCGGGTTCGCCCTCGGCTTCGGGCTCGGCTCCGTCCTCCCCGATGGGCTCATCCGGGATGATTCCGTTCTGGCGCTCCCAGACCTCGCGGCGGATGCGGTCGTCCTTGGCCTTGCGGGCGCGCTCAACCTCCTCGAAACCACCCGACTTCTTGAGCTTGCCCTCGGTAACCACGGTGACCATCTCGCGGAAGATGGGGTTGCCAGCACGACTCTCAAGATCCTTCTGGCGCAACTTCTCGGCGCGCTCAATGGCCTCGAGGCGGTCTTCGTGGTTGGGTTGTAGGGCGCGGACCTCGCCGAGCACACCCTCCTTGGCGGCGGTCGGGTCGGAGCTGTTTCCGAGGCTGTTGAGGCCCTTGGAGAACTGGCGGGCGTTGCCTGCACTGGCGCCGGTGCCATTGTCCTTCATCTGCTCCTTGGTGGCCTGCTCCACGAGGGTGAATGTCTCCGAGGCCTTCTCAAGATCGTCTCGCAGATCCACCAAAAGGTCTTCCATAAGTCGAACCTCGTCACGACCTTGACAGACATCCTCGAGCTCCTTCTCCCAGATCTTGGTCCAGATGGGCTTCTCCTGGCCCATGTAATCCTCCATTCTCTTCAGCTCCAAGGTCAACATGGTGACATCCTTGGCCACCGACTCCAGCTGTCGGGGCAGAGGTCGTACACCGCGGTGCACAACATCCTTGCGCAGGTCTTCGATAAGATCTTGGAGGTCGTCCACCTTGCCAACCAGTCTGTCGGAGTCGGAGTTGAGCTGCTTCCGTCCGTTAGTGACATAGGAGTAGCCACCATCTCCATCGGTGTCGGGAATCGCCGCTTTGGCAGTAGCAATCTTAACGTTGGCAGCTTTATTGCGGATTGTTGACATTGAGTCCTGGATCTCGGCCTGGAACTTGGAGTACGTCTGTCGGATGACGGCAAGATCGCGGCGAAGACTTTGAAGCTCCCCGATGTGGCCAGCGTCGAGCTTCCGGCCAGTCGCAGCGAGGGCCTTGGGACCGTCGGCTGCGGGGGCTACTACGGGCGCCAGCGTCATTCGGGCCATCTCGTTGGCAGACTCTTGCTGGCGGTCTGAAACGCGCTGGATGGCGGCGCCATGATCATCCACAGTCTGCTTGACGTCACGTACGATCTGGGTCAGAGAAGCGATGCCGTCATCAATATGTCGCTTCACTTCATCCAGAGCCTCCACATTAAGGACCAACACAGTCCGGTCCTTGATGTCAGTCAGGTCCTCCAATTCATGGCGCACGCCAGAAACGGGATCCTGGATGTATATTTCCGGCAGGTCAGCGCCGTTTTGTTGAGTGTTCCAGGAGAACTTCTCGATAAATGCCAGCTGTAGTCGTCCAATGGAAAGCTCATCCCGCCCCTCCGGCAGAACGAATTTCTTCACCTTGGACTTGTACTGGAGGAACAAGGTGAGATCCTTAGTGGGGGTCGGCGGTGGAGAGTCTTGAAAGTACGAAGAGTCGTTAGGCTTCGGTGGAGGTGTTGGTGGATTATCCGGGTTGAGCTTAGCTTTTGCAAGCTTGGCTTCGTCCTCCTTCGGGTCATCGTCGCTCATGAAGATGGGATCAGTGGGCGGGCCATTGAGTGTCGCACTGGCGGCATACTTGTCATCTGGGGTCCGGGCGACGGGGCTATCTGCATTCGTAGGCAGCTCGGCAACTGCGGGCTCTTCGGACACGCTGCTTGGTATCCTGACTGGGGAGGCTTCGACCGCAGCAGATCGCAGCGACTGGTTTGATGTATTGCGATTGTGCCGTAGCGTTTCTCGGACCTGCACAGCGCGCAGTGATTCCCTTGCTTCCCTCCTGCCCCTGTTCGGTACCGGTGTAGTCTGCGGTGGAAGGATGGGCACACCATTCGCGCCTCCGAGGTGCTTGGATATTTGATACTGTGAATATCTTCGGGACGCTCGCCGCTCCAGGTCACCACCCTTCTGCAGGGCTGCCAGGGCGCTCGACGTGTTATCCGGCGGCGGTGGCGGTGGCGGAGGGAATGAATCGATATTCAGCTCTGCGGATGGTGCAGAGGGCATTGTCGTGTCGGCTTCGGGATACGGCGGGACGACAGGCATACTCTGCATCGTGTTGCTGGACAGCGACGATTGTTCTGAATTGACAGATGCTCTAGACCTATCACGCTGGAATCGTCGGCTGGGAGACTGGTTTATTCCCGGTGAAGGTTGGGGTGCAGGTTCAACCGGCTGCGGCTCCGGCTGAAACCCATTCTCCAAACCCTCCTCCAACATGTTGGTCAATCCACTGTTGCCGCTGCCCACGGTGCTGACGCTGGCGGTCCTGTCGGGGGCGGCGTTGCCGTCGCGGTCTCGGGCTTGCTTCTGGCGAAGCCTCTGTTGCTTGCGCTTGAGGCCATGTAGCAGGTTGATTATAATGTCTCGTATCCTGGGCAAGTACTTCTCCAAGCTCTCAGAGCTCGCCTCTTGGCTCAGGGTGGCCTCGAGAATGTGTCGCAAGAGGTCAGGAACATTACCCAGGTCGGAAGTGTCGACGTTGATGGCGGTAAAGGCTCGGCACGCCATATTGAACTCGTAGCCTAGCCGCACATAGACGTCGGAGACTTGGGCATCGGTGGCCTGGCCTCGGGACCATTGCGTCAGTGTTTCGAGGAGCTGTTTTGTCGCAACGAGGAGGTGGGTGACGCTCTTTTCGATCTGGGACAGAGGCATGTTGGAGCCGCTGCCGGAGCCCTGCGGAGAAGGACAGGTGGTGAGCATTTGATTCAGTTGGGAGACAAGCGAGGGGATATGCGAGGGGGCAGGTTCGCAAGGGCGCGGAAGTCGAGAAAGACCAACGACAGCTCCGAAGATGTCCAGCGAGGGCACTCACTTCACGGTTCATTCTGCGGGAGCTTGTAGACTGCCCAGATCTTGAGGATGCTGTAGAAGAGCGAGGCTGGACGCCAATAGCAGGAGAAATGGAGCGGATAGGGACGTTGGGCGGCGGGCCAGGATCGCCGGGCGGCGACCGACGGTGGGCGTACGAACGCTGTGACGAGGACGACTGCATGGCGGAAACTGTGGCTCACTCCTCGTCGTGCGAATGAAGCGATTCGGGGTATGCGTGGATGTTGGCGTGGGCCGGAGAGCTGGAAGCGGCGGGTTGGCGAAAAGGACGAGCGGAAGGAGGCAAGCTGTCTCGGAGGAGCGCTGCGCTCAGTGATCGGGGTTCGGGAGCGGCCGTGGCGGGGTGACCAGCATCGCTAACGAGCGACAAAAGCAGCGGCTGGCTGGCGCGACGAGAGCGGCGGGCGACGGACGGTCGGAGCAGTGGGCGCGGCAGAGTGAGAGAGTCGTCGGGGCGGCGGCGATGGCGATGGCGATGGTGGAGATATTGATATGGGAAAGGGTTCTTGTCGGGCTGTGGTGGACGGTCGACAGTGGTGGTCTGTGGTGATGTGTGGTGCTGATGCATGCTGGACCGGCTTGGCTTGGCTGGCGCTGGTTGGCTGGTTGGCTGGCCCAGATAGGGATGCGCTGCAGTACAGTGGGTGTGGGCTGGACGGCGCTGGACTGGCACTGTACCAGGTGCCTACAGGCTACTGGGCACTCCCTGAGTGAACCCCTGCATCCGCACGTGCCACGATGGCGTGTGTTGGGCGGTTCTCGTGGGAAAAGATGGACGGATAGGACCACAGACAGGGGATGCAGACGATGCTCTAATTAGTTTCTTTATTTTCTTGCCCTTGTATTGCAGTTTGTCTGGCTTTTGGTTGGCTCACTAGATCAAGACTCAACGACGTAGGTGCGCGAAGCCATCTCCAACCACGAATTATTTTCTGCTGCATGTTCCCTTCCAGCCACTCCCTTAATGAACCGCCCACTGTCGTCACTGGCTGGCCGCCTACTAGGCCCGTGTTCGGGTACCTACAGTACCTCCCTCCAGTGCAACACACTAAACTATCGACATGGATCCAGCCTGTTTCTGTGTAGGTCGGCAAGGGAACCACGGTTTTACCTTCAGTTGAATCCAAGCTGGCATGACAACCGAGTCGAGGGGTTTGTTTCCGACAATAAACAGACGTTTACGGGGTATGCCAGCCAGGGTATCGCGGTATCCTTAAAGACCTAAGTTACCTGTTATACCCATGACCCGACATGTTCATCCGCGCCATGCACTAAAATCTGAGTGTTGCAGCTGACGTTGCGCCTCTGCGCTGCATCTCGAGTTATCCCGCAGCCACCATTGGCCCTACCCTACACACATGACAGCCATTCTCTGAAAGCGGCAAAGACTCTCATTCAGCCAATGCCAGTGAGTGCGTGTGCGAACGCAGTGCATTAGCATGTCGCTTCAAGCGCCTGCGGCCGTCGCTCCAAGTACTTGGTACGCCATGGCGTTGCGCCTCTATCCTTTGACAACAATGAATCTGTACAAGCAACCGTACAGGATATTACCGCCAAGCCAGCCATACGCACCAAGAGTTCAGCGCAGCGTATCACCATCAACGACAATGGAACTTTCCATATTTAACCCGAACGTAATCCCACTTACACAGGATCGCAAGGCAGACTAAACCCAGCCGCGCGTGCCAACCAAACCACTGGGACTGCGTATTTCGTATGCACTTACGCAATAGGGCTGTGCCGGCCTAACCCGCGGGATCTATCTCTAAGATCCATCTCCGATTCCAATACCCCGCGGGCGGTTTGCAGCTTTGGAGTAAATAAGGTTGTCTTATTATGTGACGGCCTTACCAGTCAAAGGAATATAAGACTAAACAATTCTCCCGCCTGAATAAAACTGCTACGATTGAGAAGTCATCATCTTCCGAGTAGACGCCACAGGCAACAACGCAACAAACATCCTGTCCCGGCTGTTATTCCATCACCTCCTCAATCCATTCCATCAACCAATTTGCAATGGGCAACCACAGAGTTGCAGTCATCGGTGCTGGCCCCTCTGGTATGTCCATTCTTTCACCAACCCTACAAACCCCTGTGCTGACCTTCACAGGCTGCATGCTCGCCAGACTGCTTCATCTCGGCGGCACCGACGTCACCGTCTTCGAAGGAGAGGCCTCACCGGACTTCCGCTCACAAGGTGGAACACTGGATCTGCACACCGCTACCGGTCTCGCAGCTCTGAAGGAAGCCGGCCTCTTTGAAGAATTCCTCAAGTATGCTCGGTATGATGGGCAGTATATGGCCATTGTCGACAAGAACCTCGAGTACCACCTCGTGCGCAACGCCGATAACAAACTTGCTACCAATGTCGAGGAGCGCCCTGAAGTCGACCGCTCCAAGCTCCGTGAGATTCTTTCCCTTTCACTCCCGGAGGGAATGATCAAATGGGGCCACCACCTCAAGAGCATTGACGGGCGCAAACTTGTATTTGAGCACACTACCGTTGATGGCTTCGACCTCATCGTCGGCGCTGATGGAGCATGGAGCAAGGTCCGCAAAGAGCTAGCACCAGAGATCATGCCCGTGTACACCCGCATTGCCATGCACGAACTCGAGATCCCTGATGCCGAGAATGCTGCTCCTGACGTTTACAAGTTGGTTAACCGGGGTAGCGTTTTCGCCAGTACTGATGGCGTGCGCTTGTCTATACAGCAGATGGGCGACGGAAGCTTGAGTATGTACGCCAGCTTCGTCCGCGAGGAGGAGGACTGGATGAAGCCGGAAAAGTGCGGCTACAATGCGTACGACCAACAGGAGACCATCGCAACGCTTTTGGGCAGCACATTTGCAGACTGGAACCCAACCCTACGGGAGGCCTTGGAGCAGGCGAAAGGCAGATGCAACCCTCGATCGCTGTACATGCTGCCGGTTGGTGCCAAGTGGACGCATAAACCGGGCTTCACTCTGATCGGCGACGCGGCACATCTCATGACGCCGTATGCGGGTGAGGGAGTGAACCAGGCTCTCGAGGACGCCATGCTTCTGGCAAGGACAATCAACGAGGCTAGGTCCAAGACCACTGATGAGTTGGACAAGGAGATTGTTGAATTTGAAAACACCATGCTAACCCGTGTCACCAAAGTCCAGGCACTGGCATACGGGCTCCTCCAGGACTGGATGTTTACGCCCGGAGCGCCCAAGTCTGTCATGGCCAAGTCGATGAGCCGGCATGTTAGGCATAGGCTGCCGTGGGTGCTGCACCCACTGGGAACGGCGACTGTGTATGGCTACTACTTCTTGCGGGGACTTTTGGGCTGAATGTACCTATAATTGAGGTGCAGCATGTATGAATAGTTGTTCTGGACTCGAATGTGGTGGTGTTCTGGGGTAGGAGGTGAATTACTAAAGACTCCGGTTGGCGCTAATATGGTACATGTAATTATTAGTATTCACGTATGAAATGAAAGTCAACGCTTAACAACTCATCGGACACAATCCCGAGCCCCCCGCATGACCAGGGGTTGGTGGCTGCTGATCCACTGTCCCAACGTGAACGCGGCGTCGCTCGTCCCCTATACAAACGACGGAAGCCCCCTTCATGGACACTCGGGGATAGCGACAAAAAGTTAAACGGCTGCTTGACGTTTCCGTGACATGCCATCATGGACAATTCCCAGGCGCCACTGATTTCGGGCGCGCATCGTGACGAGGAGGAAGAAGAACTCGAATATGACGTCGATGAGGCCCAGTACGTCGCAGATGCCGACAAGGCTGCGGATTCCGGCCCCAGCACCTTCGTCCTCGCCTTGACCTTTGCTGCCGGTATAAGCGGCTTGTTGTTTGGATGTAGGCTTGCCCTATGCCCTATGCGCGGCTCGGTGCCATCGCCCTTGCTTTCCGGTGATTGCTGACGACGGACTCGCTCTAGATGATACGGGCGTCGTTTCCGCCACGCTCGTCTCCATCGGCACCTCCCTCTCGAACCGCGAACTGACCTCGATGGACAAGTCAATCATCACATCGTCGACCTCCCTCTTCGCCCTGTTCATCTCGCCCTTCTCCTCCGTCCTCGCCGACCGCTTCGGCCGCAAGCGCGTCATCCTCTACGCCGACGTGCTCTTCACGACGGGCGCCCTGATCCAAGCATGGAGCTCGACTGTCATCGGCATGGTTGTTGGGCGATGCATCATCGGTGCGGGCGTCGGCGCAGCGAGCTTCGTTGTCCCGCTGTACATTTCCGAGGTGGCGCCCAGTTCGTACCGGGGGAGACTGGTGACGATGAACTCGATGTTTGTAACGGGCGGCCAAGTCGTTGCGTACGTCGTGGGGTGGTTGTTCTCGACGTTTGGGTCGGAGGGGACGGGGTGGAGGTGGATGGTTGGCCTCGGTGCGCTGCCGGCTATGATACAGTGCGTGCTGATCTTCTTCATGCCCGAGACGCCGCGATGGCTCGTCAAGGTTGGCCGGCCGGGCGAGGCTAAGGCCGTGATCCAAAAGGTGAACGGTGGGGCATCGATGCACATTGCCGACGCAGTGGTCAAGGAGATTGAGCTGGAGGTGCGGGAGGAGTACGAGGCACAGCGACTGCGCGAGCACCAGACGTCCAGCCAGTGGAAGTGGTTGGGCGAATGGCACAGCTTGATCAGCGTAGGGAAGCACCGCCGGGCGTTGTCTATCGCGTGTCTCCTCCAGGGCTTCCAGCAGCTTTGCGGTTTTGTAAGTGAACCTTGGGACTGGCCTACGGGCGATGCTATGGAACTGCTACTAATGGGTGCTTGTAGAACTCATTGATGTACTTTTCAGCGACCATCTTTACGATTGTCGGGTTCAAGAGCCCAACTCTGACCTCGATGGTGGTGGCCGTCACCAACTTTGCGTTTACGCTGGCTGCCTTGGTCCTGATCGACCGCATCGGCCGGAGGAGGATCTTGCTCTACTCGATCCCGTTTATGATCGCCGGTCTGTTGCTCTCGGCATATGGCTTCTCGTTCCTCACGCTGGGCCAGTCGTCAGACGTCAGCGACGACAAACCACCCGCCAACGCCGGCCACGAGCTCGCGGGTATCACGGTGCTGGTGAGCATCATGGTGTACGTGGCATCCTACGCGATCGGCATGGGCAACGTGCCGTGGATGCAGAGCGAGCTGTTCCCGCTGGCGGTGCGGTCGCTGGGCAGCGGCGTGTCGACGGCGACCAACTGGGGCGCCAACTTTGTCGTCGGGCTGACGTTCCTGCCGATGATGGACGCCCTGACGCCGTCGTGGACGTTTGTGCTGTATGCGCTGGTGTGCGTCGTCGGGTACGGGTTGATCTGGCGCATCTACCCCGAGACGTCGGGATTGAGCCTGGAGGAGGCGACGGCGTTGTTGGAGAACGGGTGGGGAGTTCGATGATGGCTTTGGGCTAGATGGTTGCTCAATAATCGATGCTTGGATTTGCATAGAGCTCCCCGTAGAATTAGATTTCCAAAGAAGACAAGGAATCGACCCACACTAGCTTATCTGTGACTGTCAATCGGGAATGATCTGAAGAGATTTCTCAGATGTGTCAAGCATCTCCAGACTCCGTCAATTCTGGATCCATCAGTACAAGTAGAAAAGAGCCTTGGATACCTAGATGCCGTAGATTGCCGTTGGTAACCATGCCGCCAAAACATACTACCGGATGCAGTAGTTAGCGTCGGCCCCCCTGTTCGCTCTCTCGCCGACGCTGAGAAATTACATCACTGTGCGTTGCGACGGGCATGATCCCCTTGTCTGAACGCGAGCGAGCGAAGGCGCGAGGAAAAAGAAGAGTGGAGCATTTCGGCACCGCGCTCGGCGCCTCCCGCACAGGGCGTGATGTATGGACCATGAATACGCTGCCAAGCATAAACCTGATGATAAAGCAGCAGAGGCCCGGACGTAATGGAGTGCTGAAACGCATTTTTGACAGCGGAGCCAGCCAGCAAGGATGCTCGGGAAAGAGAACCAGGGACCTTTTTGCTGATCAAGCTCCTCCAGCCAGTTGCTCTAGCCCCTAACCAAGTTACAGTACTCATCCGCCCCAGTCCATTAATTCATGAGTCTGTTACTCATCCCCGTCGACATCCAAGGGTTCCTAGGAGGTGCGGCGGGGCCCGTCCGTCCGTTTTAAGGTCAGGCGGCTGGAGCCCAACAACGGGAGATGAGATATATCCGCAGTTGGTGGGTTCCGTATTCGACTGTTCGGAAGACGGCCTCGGCTCCGGAGGTGGCTCACGGCCGAGACGAAAAGGCGTGACGCAGCATTGGCCGGTCCTGCGGCCGCACCCAAAGGGGCGGACGAGGAAGAGGCTGAATAATCCCAAGGGCGATCATCTCTGGCCTGCTGCAGCGCGTCATGACGGAATGCATGATCGGTAATGCAGCGTATGGCCTGGTTAGGGGTTGGAGCTGCATCGAACCCAGCAGGACGGCGCCCCGGTGCCGAGCATGGTTGCCGAGAGAGAGAGTGCGGTGGGTCCTTTGCCTCCGGTAGACGACAGTGCGCTCGCCACAAGACAGAGATTTTCTGTTCATCCCTGGCCTTTCGGAATTTGATCTGGCGAGCTTGTCAGGGTCCCGCAGGGCGTGCGCCTTTGCGGGACACACATGGGGAGGGATTCGTGATGGAGGCGGAAACCAGGGGCGTGTTGGTGTTAGTAATTGTCTTTTTCTGGTCGTCAGGGAGTCTCAAGGGTCCCGGTTGCTGTATGGCGGCCCAGGCCCCAACTTATAAAGTGCTACGCCCCTGAAGAATCATGTGTTTGGCCTCCTTTTCATAAGTAGAACTACAGACCCAATACTTTGGATTTACGAAACCCAGATCTGAGACGTTGTTGTTGAACAAGAAACACCCAGCTCGGAACGCAAATAGAAGCCTGCTTCGATTCCTTTCCGGCACACACTTTTCTTCATCCTTCCGGCTGCCCTGTCGCTGGTGCAGCTCCACCCCGCCCGCAAACGCTCGTTCGTTCGGCTTCGGTGCTTCCGCCGGGGTCGTAAAAAGCTCGCTAGCGTCGGCGCCGGTGGTCTTTAGTTTTGGTTATCCCCGGAAACGCGGCTTCGGCGACAAGCTCCTCTGCGTCATAGCTGCAGGAGAGCAGTTGGCTAGGCTGTTTGGCTGTTTAGCACCGAGGTTTCAATCCCGCTTTGCGCTGAGAGAGGGGACGGGCGACTGGGCTGGGAATTATACTTTACTACGGCTTCACCCTCCCACTCTCCCGCTTCTGCTTCCCTTTATTATTCATACAACCAGTTTAATATCGATTGCTCCATCTCATTGAGTGAAGGGTCTCATAGCATTCTCTTGTCTCGATATAGACACGCTCAATTGATATAGCAACAGCATATACACAACACACAACAAACACAGCCTCTCAATCGAGAGCAACTCACTCATCATGGCTGTAGATATCGTCGACCAAGAGCTCATAGACGCCGAGCGAGACGCCTCTTCTCAGCAATACCAACAGCGCGCCAGCCACGAAATCGAGCGCGTCCTCTCCACGTCGACCGTCTCCTCGGACTCGTCCACGTCGTCGGCGCGCCGCCGCAGCACCGCCACGCACCTCAACGCCCTCAGCCGCATCTCGACGCAGAACGACCTCGAGCGCCACCCCACCGAGCTCAGCCGCATCGCCACGCACCGCAGCCAACACAATGCCACCGTGGGAGGAGGCGGCCTGCGCTCGCGCACCACCAGCCGGGCCTCGCGCCGTCCGCTGCCGGCCTTTGGCGCCGGGAAGCCGTTCCCGCCGCCGCTCCCCGAGCAGGAGGAGTACGTCGTCGAGTTTGACGGGCCCAATGACCCCATGCACTCCCAGAACTGGCCGCTGCGCAAGAAGCTCATTACGGCGGCTGTCTTGGGCTACACCACCATGACGGCCTCGTTCACTTCGTCCATCTTCTCCACCGCCACCTCGTTCGTTGCCGCCGAGTACAACGTCAGTAGCGAGATTGGTCTGCTGGGAACGGCCCTCTACGTCCTCGGCTTCGCCTTTGGCCCGTCTCTCTGGGCGCCCCTCTCCGAGCTGCGTGGCCGGCGTTTCCCAATCGTCGTCGCCATGTTTGGCTTCTCTGTCTTCTCAATCGCCTGTGCCACCGCCAAGGACATCCAGACCATCTTGATCTGTCGCTTCTTCAGCGGCTTCTTTGGTGCCTGCCCCCTCGCCGTCGTTGCCGCCGTCTTCTCCGACATGTTCGACAACCGAACCCGTGGCACTGCCATTACTCTCTTCTCCATGGCCGTCTTCACGGGTCCCCTCCTCGCCCCCTTCATCGGCGGTTACATCGTCACGTCACACCTCGGCTGGCGCTGGACTGAGTACCTCGTCTCCATCATGGGATTCGTCGCCTTCATTCTCGACGTCATCCTGCTCGAGGAGACATACCCTCCCGTCATCCTCATCGAGAAGGCCGCCGAGTTGCGCCGTCGCACCAAGAACTGGGGTATCCACGCCAAGCAGGAGGAAATCGAGGTCGACTTCAAGGAGCTTGTCCAGAAGAACTTCTCGCGACCCCTGCGCCTGCTGTTTACCGAGCCCATTATCTTGCTGCTCTCCATCTACATGAGCTTCATCTACGGCCTGCTCTACCTCTTCCTCACTGCCTACCCGCTTGTCTTTGTTGGCGTTCACGGCTTCACCCTTGGCACGTCCGGCCTGACTTTCTTCGGCATGATTGCTGGTCAGCTCCTTGCTGGTGTTTCCGTCATTCTTCAGCAGCCCTGGTACCTCCGCAAGTTGGCTGCCAACAACGGAATTCCAGTTCCTGAATGGCGACTGCCCAACGTCATGGCTGGCGGTGTTTCTTTTGCCATTGGTATCTTCTGGTTTGGATGGTAAGTTCCTACATCTATGCCTCAAACTGTAAGATTAAATATTAACCAAACATTAGGACTGGATACAACAAGGACATCCACTGGATTGTCCCCGCTATCAGTGGCATTTGCACTGGTTTCGGTCTCATGTCCATTTTCCTCCAGGCCCTCAACTACCTCGTCGACGCCTACCTTATGTTTGCCGCCTCGGCCATCGCTGGTAACACATTCCTCCGATCTCTTTGTGGTGCGGCATTCCCACTCTTTGCTCGCCAGATGTTCGACGGCATGGGTATTCAGTGGGCCGGTACTCTGCTCGGTTGCGTCGCCGTCGTGCTTGCACCGATCCCCTTCATCTTTTACAAGTACGGCGCCAAGATCCGACAAAGAAGCGCCTATGCCCCTACTGCGCCGCCTCCCGGTCTCGCCCGTGCTCCATCAACATCGGGTGACGATGAGAAGGAGGACTCGAACGACACTGCACTGGCCGCTGTTGTGGCTCGAAGGGACAGCCTCGCGAACGAGCCTAAGGAGAATGCCTAAGCGTTTATTGTGATGATTGATCTCACATACCAAAATTTCTCATTTAATGTCTCGTGGAGGATGATCTGGGTTTGGACATCCTTGGATATGGAAGCATGGCGTTTCTGTGATTTTGGTTATTGTCTTGGATGACGGGTATAGCGTTGTCGCCTAGAGATTCCCACATGGAACATTGGGTTGTTCCAAAAGAGCAGAAGCGGACTACAGCACGTGGCTGTTAATGTAATTATCGATAGAAGCAATATCAAAAACATTAGAACATCAGAAACTACACAGTACCAAAAGATCTTTTTAAAGCACAGGCACAAGTAAGCATGGGCGACTCAGCCCGTTTCGAGTTTAGAGGAGGATCGACGTACCCCACTTGTGCCTGGTGATGTCGCTGGAAACAGGAATCACCGGGCCAATCACAGGCGTTGAATCGTCCCGTCTATTGGTAGTGATCCCCTGAACCCCAGTAATGGCTGTGCAAGCTGAATGCTAGCTGCGCCTACGACGATGGTTAAAACTGGCGTGAGGGACGTCAATAGAATCCAGAATCTTTCCCGTCACGTCCCGCGCGAAACGAGTGACGACGGCAACTCTTCGACTTCGCGACGCATAACGCGCCGAACTCGGAATATCCAGTCATGTGGCCAAAGGCGTCTTGGGGCCCAGCGCTCGTGTTAGGCGGTCTCCTGCCCCACGCGGCGCAGAGCCAGCGGACGGAGCGCTGTCTCGCCTGCGTTCCGGAGCCCGTGAGGGACGAGGTCGCGGTGGGATTCGACCTGGCGCCGTCGTACGGGTGAGTGCTTGCGACAGCGAACAAGGCCATTGAATATTTGCTCACTCGTCTTCAGCGCATCTGCCGCTTATTTCCACAATGGTTCCAGCGTTGACCTGGCCAAGGTCCCCGCCTCGTTCGAGTACCAGGAGCTCATGATGAGCGCTGTAGAAGCGGCCCCGATACCCCGGCATCACAACGACCGGGGCATTCGGCGGTGCACGCAATGGGTAATCGGATTATTGCAAAGGCTCGGTTTCCATATCGCGCCACCGGATCCATCAGAGGCCGCCACCCTCCTGGTTGACCTCATCTCAAAGCTGAAGGAGGAGTCCGAGGCTGCTCTAGGGCAGCCCATCACCCGCGTGTCTGTCACCGCGCCTTGGTTGAGGAAATGGCAAGATGACTATCCGGATATCCACCCGATCAATGAAGCTCTCCTACTCGCTGGATTGACGCCTTTTTCTATGGATCTCGAAGAGCCGGTGTATATCACGGAGACGCAAGCGGTACTCGCAGCGAACGGGCACCAGCTGTGTGAACCGTTCGGGTCATATCGGTATGGTGAACAGGACAAGAAGGAGAAAGAAAGTCAGGGTGTCTTTATTGTCAGGTTTGTGAACCCCTTTTGAATCGACTTCGAGAAAAGTCTCCGCCTCTGAAAATACTGGCTGTACCTGTCCGTGTGACTCGGATTACTGACCTGTTGAGATATAGCTACACGGAGGACACAATCTATACCGGAATTGAAAGCGCCGAATGCTTTTACAACAAACCCAAAGCCAGCTCCATCAGGGGAAACATTTCCAGAGGCGAACTTCTCCCCGCGGAAGAAACTTTAAGTCTTCAGCCCTATTCGGATATAAGGGAAGCCATATTCGACCGTGTAATGCAGGAGTTTAGTTGGTACCATGAGCAAAATCCGGATTCTGACCCAACGGGCATCATTGTCCTTGCCGGCGAAGGCGGCGACCTGCCGTTGTTTCAGTACACAATGTGGGGCATGGCCTGGGGAGGGAGAATTGCCAATGCTTTCACGAAGGCGGCAGAGGAAAAAGTAGAAAATTGGACTGGTTACGAACAGTTCAAAGTTGTCCAGTCGGAGAACGCGACCTTTGCAGCTGCCAGAGGCGCGGCAATGTGGTCGCGATTGAGACTCGAGGCGGGGCACTATTGCGTGGCTGCCGAGTGTGGGAGAGGTCGGCCCAAACCGTTCTCTCCCTTGGATGGGATTGGCGAGGAGTCATGTGCCCCGACCACGGGGTTTAGTGTGGATGATGAGGATGTCTGGATAGACATATGAGTGTGATTTACTGAGTGTGATTTGTATTGGCGTATTTGGGGGTTGCGGTTGAAGGCACCGCGGATATACAATATTCTACATTTTTATTTCAAATCTAGAAAAATAAAACTACTCAAAATATCAATATAGAAGCACGATCCTGTTACAGAAGACGAGTGATATAAATCCAATTTTACAATGGAGCCGGGGATCATTCGACGCTGTCTAAATGAATAGTATAGAGTGTGGGAAACTTGTACAACTGTCAACTAACCACTGGTAAATGATAGACTACATAGACCCTAGACATGTACCAATCGCAAATATCTTGAAAATATAGTACCGTTTAATCTAGACTGCTAGAAAAGCCCGCTTGATAGAATAGGTTGCTTTTGCGGCTTAGTTGCATTCAGTCAATGGGTTTTCTTAGTCTTTCAAGATAACTGCCGCCTTTTCGCCATCCTCACCGGGGATGAACTCCATTTCAACACGGTAGTTCTTGAATTGACGAGCCGGAACCTTCTTCTGGAACATTTCCTCTAGTTCCAGGTAACTGCGTCCCTTCATTTCCGGGAGGCAGAAGACGAAGTACACCGCGAAAGGAAGGGATGCCGCGAAAAACACAAAGGCAACCTTTCCGCCGAGATTGGCTTGCCCGGGGTTAATGAGAATTGGGAGCACCATGCCCACCATAGTAGCCGCAGAAGTGTTGCACATAATGTTGAGTGAGTACGTCTTCTGTCGAAGCCGGAGGGTCGGTGTTTCGCCGCCTATCGCGAAGGCCACAGCTCCCAGGGTGAGTTGGTACTAGGGACAAGAGTTAGTCAACTCGGATAAACTGAGTGCAATTTAGACATACTAATAGACCCCAAATACACATTAGGGCTACCATGGTACTGAGTGCGGCCTGGTTGCCCAAAGTGCTGATACCGCCGATGACGAGTAGGAGCGATGTCAACACAATTGAACCGTACACGATCATAGGCCGACGGCCAAGTTTGTCGATGGCAAACCAGGACATGATGTTGCCTACTAGTTGGATTGCGTATGCGCCCTGGGCAATGCCTACTGGGTTGCTCACTCCGGCCACAGTAAAGAAATATCTGCTTAATATTAGACGTAGTTCTGTTGGAAGGTCATGTGTAGAGTAAACTCACGGGAGATACCCAGCAACGAAGCCAGCTCCGCTGAATTGTTGGGCCAGGTAAACCATTGCAACGATAACAGTCCGCCGGCGATTGACTCCTTGGAAGCATTCAATATAAGTGGAACCTTCGTCGTTGATCTCTTTCTCCTTGGCTAGAGTGACTTCCATCACCGCCAGTTTAGGTTCCACATCCACTTCAGACCCAAAGAACTTTTGCAAGGACTTTGCAGCTTCATCACGACGGCCCTTCATGAGTAGCCAAGATGGAGATTCGGGTAGCAGAAGGAGGCCAAGAATAATCATCGCCGTCGGGGGCAAAAGCTGCGTCAGAATCGGCATCCGCCAGCCCCAATCGTTTCCGATAAAAGTGCCTCCATAACCGACGAGAGCGCATGCCCACTGTCCAATGACGATCATAGTGTTGATGAGAACCAAGCAGAACCCTCGGATGTTGTCAGGAGCAAACTCGGCCACGAACACGGGGGCCAAAGAATGTCCCAGACCAAAGCCGAGCGTGCTGATGAGCTTGCCACCGAAAATCATCATGATCGATTGGGCGAAGGTCTGGACCAAGATTCCCGCGATGCAGAGGACACACCCAAGAAAGATGACCTTCCGGCGACCCCAGATGTCAGAAATGAAGCCTGCGGCGAAGGCAGCTACGAATATACCTCCGTACGTGGCCGAGTTGAGGATCTGTTGGGTTTGGGTGGGAATTTCTCGGCCGTTGGGTGTGTCTTTACCAAAGCGCTCAAGGAAAGACGGTATAGCGAGGATGTTGCCCACGAGGGCAATTTCATATCCAAAGTTGATGGGGAGGATGAAAATTAGGAGGCCTTGTTTATGTATAAGTTAGCATGGGTGCGCTGTTGTTAGGCGATTGTTTCCAATGACTTACACCAGCCCAAGATTCGCTTGTTTTTCCAAAGTTCCAGGATGCCGCTGGATGTGTTTGCAGGTGGGGTCTGGATTGACTCTGGGTCAACCTCATGATGGCTGTCGCGAACTTCGGCTGAAGCCTTGCCAGTCACCGAAGTGGACGTCATGTTGAATTGGATGGAGACAATAAATTGGGAACAAAGATTGAGTGCTCGTCGCCTTGGAGCTTTTCGGTTGTCAGAAGGCGTTCAGACCGGAGTCTCGCCAACTCTTATAGCCATCCATCCAAGCCAACGGTAACGAATAGCATCATTAGAAAAAGCTAGCCCAAAACGACACTGCGTTCGAGGGCCGTGATCGTGTGCATGGAGACGAGTGATCATGCGGGATGGAAGTCTTCCCCACACGCTAGGAGAACGGGACTGGGGTTGAAGGTTTCGGCTAAAGAAGAATACAGGCTCAATGGAGAGACTCAACGAAGTGGAAGGGAGAAAATTGGAGCGTGGACTAAGGTACACTTGCTCTCGTATGATCGAGTGTCCAGAGTCTCGGGAAGATGGCATCGCACTAGCGCACCGGAGAAATAGCCTTGGGTGTGGATCCGGAGTAATTCGGACTTGGCCATTTCTCCGGTCACCACTAAGAACTGTAAGACCGCGGAGTTTCTCAGCTACCACGCCCATCTCGACCATTCTTCCAACACACTTCAGCTCTCGGTTCCAAGATGCGGGCCCGGCTCACCACCCAGGCTTGTGAAGCATGCAGGCGACGCAAGGTCAAATGCGACGCAGTACCACCGCAATGCTCAAACTGCCGAGCGCTGGGTTTGGATTGCGAGTACAGCACCCGGAGAAAGAAACGAGGCCCAAAGCCAAGGACGCGCTCTGGACTCGGACCTGGCGACGTATCCAGTAGTGAAGCCATCACCTCACCTGTTCCACGATCCCCCGGCATCACGAGTGAGGTGGTAAGGGCGGATCTGCTGGATCGAGATTTGGCCTTCTCGCCGTCATCCCATCGCTCTCAAGATTTCAGAAACACTCCCCAGTCCTCAATTGGATTCTCTCCTCTTACGGACCAGGAATCAATATGCTCTCCAAGGGCTTTGGAGCCGGATCACAGGCCCATTCAAATCCATCAAGCGCTCTGCGCAGCATTCGAGGCTATGTGCCTCCCGTTAGAGAAAACTGTTTACGAATCTCTCGACAATTTCATGCTCTCGCACTTCCCGTCCTTACCAATGATCCACCCATATGCTCTGAAAAAGAATGTTCGACTGCTATTACCATCCTCTCGACATTTGTTTGAACATACTGCCACAAATACGGAGTCTGTTGCTGAGACCGCGCGACGAGGGGCTGATATGCGCGCGTTTGCCCTCCTAACAGCCGTTTGTGCCATAGCCAGCTGCCGATCCCGTCGGATCTCGACAGATCTCCCCATGGATGCTACATTAGCACCGTTCCTTTCTGCATCTCGCCATATGCTGGCTTGCTTCGAGGATTGGGACATCGCTCATGCCGACTCGAGCTCACTGTTCATACGAAGCTGCCATTCAGGAGCTCTCCATCACCTTGGACAGACCCGCCAGTCGTGGTACATCTTGGGTGATGCACTGCGGCTAGCGATAGATATGCGGTTGTACGATGAATCCTCCTATCACAACCTGTCGCCTCTGGAGACGAAGCTCCGGAAAAACATTTTTATATCGCTGTCCATGAGCGCCAAGTCGGCTTCGGTTTTGAATAATAGGCCCACTATTTTTCACGAAATATGCTTGAACGAGTCTGTTACTACTCCGACTCTACTCGAGGACGAATTCAGCCTGTTGGACCCTGGTGACAGTCGTTATGATCAGCCGTACGAGAAACAACTGCATGTGGGGTTCTATCTATCCTACAGACTGTGGACCATGGCGACCGACATTCTCCTGGATATGAAAACACTGTCGCGCCTCTACAAGAGATCTGGCTGTGATGTCCCACCTCAAGACCCTGTTCAGATGGGAATTATGCATTCGTACATGGATTTCTGCGGCATTCTTGATACGCTCCCGCCCTGGCTTCGTGGTCCAGACTGCCACGCTGCTGGGAATGAGGCGGCCACTGACTATCAAAGGCGAACGTTCTGGCATCAGCGGGCGAACATAGTCATAACATTTCACTGTCTCCGGCTTATTTTGCTTCGGCGAGCCATGGAGAAAGGTTTTTGTATGCTTCTCGGACTGACCAGCAACCCGGATATGCTGGCTTTGCGGAAGATTGAAATCGCCAGTGACTTGGCCGCCGCAGCCGCAAGCACGCCCTTCGAAGCCTTGCATGCAAACGGAGAGCCGTTGGTAAGTTCTACGCGTCTTATAAAGCCGGTAATCATTAACCCGGTTCGTTCAGGTCGAGAAACTCCGGCAAGTCGGTGTCAGCCTCCTCGAAATTGTGCACCAGAATGTGAATGACGCGGTTTCGTCTCGCGCCCAATCTCTCCTGTCCACCCTCATCGACATTATAGCGAGACTCGACTCCCGAGTGTCCGACGAGTTGAGCGGACAACCTCAATTTGATTCGCATTGAAATGCTACTCGCTGCTCGAGTCATGTATGTCCGCGGAGTATTCCTCCACCTCAAATACTCCGGTCGACCAAGGTGTGGATTTCTACTTGTCCACGGGGTAAACGTACCCCACCAGCTATTCTTCCCCATGACAAATGTGCAGGGTTCATTGCTAGATGAAAACAGTTCACTGACTGTCGGAGTTTCCGTTTTGTAGCTTGTTGGTGGATTGGGGAGCTTCTAGTTGCCAATCTCGGTCAATTTTGCCCAACTGATCCCCCCATTGCGTGATTTGTCTCGCTATAAGTTACTCACCCATCACACCGTTCTTATGTCTTCGTCACAGTCCAGCAATCCGCCCTTTCTATCACTAGACGACCACTATGAACGGCAAGGTTGAGATGGTCGAGTACTGCAATCCAATTGTTCCTGGATTTTCCCCAGACCCGTCTGTCGTTTTCGTCGATGGGGTCTTCTATCTGGCCAACTCCTCATTTCATGTCTTCCCCGGTCTGCCAATATACGCATCTCGAGATCTGCGAGAATGGACGCATATCGGTATGTCCGAGTGATTCCGTAGAAGAATGGTTTGCTGACAGACATGGAAAGGGAATGCCATAAATCGACCAGAACAGCTTAGTCTCGAGGGCGCTAGCATGGTGAAAATGCCTCTCGATACAGGTCATTACATGGTTGGATCGGCAGGCCTTTTTGCGCCGACCATCCGTCACCACCGAGGGAGATTCTACATCATTTGTACAAATCTAGTCGCACTGAAAGAGCCCATGGAAGCCCAAAACTTCATCATTTCAACAACAGATATTTGGGCCGGAGATTGGAGTGATCCTGTTTACATTCCCTTCAATGGAATAGATCCGAGTCTGTTCTTCGATGACGACGGCCATACTTACTTCCAGGGCTGCTACGCCATTGACCGGAAGACGCAGCCTAGTTGCACAATCAAGCAGTTCGAGATTCATCCAGACACCGGAAAGAAGCTATCTGAAGAACGGGAAATTTGGGGAGGCCATGCCCGGTACGACACCGAGGGGCCACATATTTACAAAATTGGCAAATGGTACTACCTCCTCGTCGCTGAAGGTGGTACCTTCGAGCATCATATGCTTTGTATTTCCAGGTCAGAGAATATCTGGGGCCCTTACGAAGATTTTGAGGGCAACCCGATTCTGACGGCGGACGGGACGGATGAGTACATCCAGAACACCGGGCACGGCGAGTTGTTCCAGGACGGTGCTGGGAAGTGGTGGGCTGTGGCATTGGCTGTACGCAATGAAAACGGAGGCGAGTCTAGCGGCAAAGATACCTTCGTGGCTCCTCTGGGCAGAGAGAGCTTCTTAGCCCCCGTCGATTGGCCTGAAGGCGGATGGCCTAAAGTTCTTCAGCCCAAAATGGAGTTCATGGAAAGTCTTGCTAGTTTGTCTTGCAGCACGGATGAGGCTTCAGAAATTCGATCCCCTCCAAACGTGGGAAACTTGCACATCCGAACACCAGACCTGTCCAAGTATGGGGTTAGCGAGGATAACACTGGGCTGGTGACCCTATTCCCGAGCCGCACCGATCTGTCGACCCCGACTGGCACAAGCACATTTCTGGGAAGAAGACAGTTGTCGTTAACTTCTGTTGCGACTGCATCACTCAACATCAATGGCCTGGAGAAGGGAGTCCAAGCAGGTCTGGCCCTATACAAAGATCACTTGCGCCATGTTTCTCTTACTTATGACTCCGATAAGAAGACAGTACTTTGCTATGCTGTGAGCTTAGACGACAACATAGTATTACCATGCCAGCTTCCTGTCGAGGATGACGCGGAGCAGGTGAGTTTTAAGATCATCTCTTTCCCAACGAAATGGGTCTTTTTGGCCAAAGCAGCCGGAAACGAGGCATCGGACAGCGATGAAGGCTGGACTGAGCTAGGGACTGTGGAAGCATGGAAACTATGTGCCCGGGAGATGACTGGCCCTATGTTTGGCGTCTTTGCCCATGCTTCTGAAGACGTGGCTGAAGCAGTGGCCATCAATTTCTCACATTTCGCAGTTTAGGACAAGAGAAGCGGAAAATAAAGGATGGACTGAGTGAAGTTTAGAAATTTAGTAAGATAAAGACCAAACATACGCGAGAGCCAGGATATGAAGCCAATATATCAACTCATCATCGGGATGTGACCATCGCATATTAGATATAGCTCGTTTGCGCCAAACCATACTTCAGCGGGTAGGCCAATAAACACCAGCTGAAAATTTGCTCATCTGAAGGGGACGGTATTCGACTCCTGGCCTTGAGACGGGCTGTCGTTTTGCGAGGGGAGGTTTACGATGACGAGGTACAAAACTTCCTGTGGTTCAGATTAGTGAATATCTTGTCTTTCGAGCATCAATATTACCTTTTGTAACAAGTTCATCAACCCACCTGCTTGTGCCTTACTGCCACTGCTTTTAGAAGATGAAGATTTACTTTTTGACCCTTTCTTTTTTGACGTTTCATCGTCTCCGTCACATTGAGAACTGGCCTTACTTCCGCTGTCGGCTGGTCTTCCATGTCCATATTGCCAATTGCCACCAGTGAGAAAGGCTACAATATCGCCACTCGTGGCCGGGTGGTTTGGGTCGGCATACCGCGATCGAAACTCGGGTTTTGGCAGCATGTTGACCATTGTGAGCTCGGGACTCTTCTCCATCCACTTTGCTTTGGCGCGTTCGTCCATATACTCGTCGAGCCATGTTTCTGCACGATCAACCGCGTTTTTCTTCTTGCGATTGTCAGTTCCGCCGGAAGGGACTGGCTTCTCGTGTAGTGAAGGAAAGACAAGCGGTGCCGGCTCAGCACAATTGAAGGCGCCGTTGGAGGGTTTCATTACATCCTGCATCTGTTCCTGGATTTGTCGCAGGCCCTCTCCGCTCGGTACCTTCTTTGTAGCGATGCCTTTCATCTTTTCCACGAGGCTCGTCTCAGAGTAAGACTTGATTGCCTTCCCTTCAAAGTCGACCGCGGTTACAAGCTCTTCGTCGCTGGCGTCGGGTCTCCAAGTCACCACGAGACATATCAACCCGCGTGGGATGAAGAATTCCGCATTGACACCGTCCAAGAACTTATTGGACTTGAATCGGCTCTGCGCCTCCATGATCGCATCAGTCGCAATGTCTACTGCGACCCCGAAGAGCATCATCAACGGGTCAGGCACCGCCAACTCGGCCAAACCAGCCAGGTTGATGGCGTATATGTAGGGATTAGGCTCTAAGGCCTTGTTGAATGTGTCGATAAAATCGAGGAAGGTCTCCTGGTCGATACCAATATCGCTCAAGGCCGGTGCGTACGCTCGAACGAAACCCCGAGCTCGTTGCTTGGGCCGTCTTTGAACCAGTATCACTGGCAACGCGAGTTTGGTGCCCAAGTTGACATTGGATTGGCAAGGGTGTCTCTCGAGAAATGCCTTGGCGAGGTCACTTGGTTCCTTAGGAGACTGTGAATCCGTTTCTCTTGCGGCCGGTTCTCCTTCTGCGTCGTCTAGTGCCCAGATGGTGTGATTGACTCCTTCTGGTGTAGATATATCATCTGGCTGCTGAGATTGACGAACAAGTTCTTCACCCTCTACTCTCTTCTTCTCTCGTCTGTAGTGAACAGCTTCCGAGGCGAAGCCGACGCCTGCCGCCACCATTCTGACAAGGCCTTCGATGGGGTCGTCTTTTTTTCTGACAACGCCATCGGGTCTGCTGAATGTCTTGTCTCGCTCACGAATAACATCTTGGACGAGTTTGGAGGCTGCGCTCGATGCGATTTTCTTGCCTTCCTTCGCTAGACTGGGGATATTAATGGAAATACGTCATACTCGGCTATTTTTCGTACCTCATAGTGCTTGGGTGCAAATTGATGTCGATGTGTTGACGTCTTTTATTTCCCTATCGTGAGAGACGGGAAATCCAACAGGAGTGTTGATGCAAATTGTGAAACTAAAATGAAAGGAATCTTTCAAATTAGATACGTTGTTGCTTGCTGCGTTATGCTGTGCAAAGAGGCCTCCTATGAAGATGGAAATGACAAGATTCGTCACCAATGATGGGCTCGAATGACGAATTCACTGAAATGCCAATTATGTAGCTCTTTCTTGGCAACTAGGCAGCCACCTATTACAGTGCGCAGTGATTGACCGGCGGTCCGCGGAGAGCGAAATCCTTCTGTAAGACTCGCATATGAGTGGAGGAACCTGTCAGCAAGGCACTACCTGCGGAATGCGAAAGCTTGGCGTAGCACGTGAAGATATTGACAGCTAGAAAGCGTCAAGAATGATACTGCTGCGCTTCATAATGGGGATTGGTATTTGAGGCGGCCCTTATAATCACTTGTACGCCAACTCGACGACTAGAAATAGAGACTTGACTCTCAAAGTGTGGGTTTTGGCCTTGCCATCGAGAGAAGGAAATGCGATCTGCCACCAGTGCAACCAAATTGAGATTGAGGCTAGTGTAGATAGCTACGCGATGAACGGATGTGTGTGTGTGTTAGAGGGTACAAATACGAAGATCGATCGTTGTTGTCATTGTGTAGGGCAATATTGAAGATAGGAAGGGACATATATTTTGAACCGCAATAAATAGAGAGAGGTAATCTCTTTCCATGAAAATGGACAAATATTGACCTTGCCCATTGTTCGTTACGTTCATCACAGAAAATATTAAGCAAGACGAAGGCCACACAGATCAAACTATCTTCAGGAATAAGAAAATTTGAGAATGACCTATCAGAACAGCTCAGTGTAATATCTCGGTGAAATATCTCCCGTTGCTTGTTGCTTACAGTGTTATAAATGCCCCCAGCCTACGAGCTTCGCCGAACGAAGCAATATGGAATAATAGACAATCAACACCCCCAGCATTAGACTGTTTGTCAACGAGAACACGCCAAAGTCAACTTTGCGCGCTGACTTTTGCATAATGTGATTACCAAAAAGGCATTCCCGGTCGGCTCGTTCTCATCAGACTATATTTCTTAAATCTATAAGGTGTTTATACTAGGCAAAGACTTTCCCACAGCCCTTCTTCCTCCACGAACTCCCCATGCATGATACCGTGAACATACGCCTCACCGATTAAGCTATACTCTTGCCCTCCTTCCAACTTCCTCAGCACCAGAGGTGTCCGGCACCCCGACACAATCCAGACCTCGTTTCCTTTCGTGGTGGACTTGGGACCACTTCCAATATAACCGTTCTCAAGCATGAATGGCCGGCGGTGACCAAGAGCCTCGACCAAGAGAAGGCCAGCCCCCGAAAAGGCCTCTGCCTGAAAGTCCTCGAGCCACCGCCGCTTCTCCTCGTCAGGCAACCCGTCTGTCTCTGGCAGCATGCCGTACTTTCCACAGCACTCCTCGACCACTTCTCTCGTCGGGAAGAAGCAATCTTGCACTTCTTCGGCAGCTCGGAACACGAGGTGTCTCTCAGCAAGAAACTCCTCAATGGCAGCGGGTGTTTGATCATCAAACACTTTCTGTGCGGCAAGAAAAATAACCCACGTTATGGCTTGATTTAGTTTTAGGAGAGCCTCAGGCAATGCGGGCCTTCGAGACTCATCCTGGTCTAGAACAAGAGCTCGTCGAAAGGCATCGCTCCTAGGCTGTCTTGTGGGCACGTATACCGGTTCCATAGCAAGCATCAACTCGGCCCAGCCGTGGAGATTGCCTTGGAATGCTTCGTCCAGTTCCTCGCCCGTCATCCTAACGGCTCCGACCCTCTGTCCACGGACGTGAAGCTTTCTACCGTTGATCCGAAATACGCTACTCTGGTGGCCGGTTGTCTTGGTCGACGCATGGAACAACGAGTCCCCTGCCACCATGGTCTTGAAGCAGGGCCCCAACATAGGATTGGCAGCTGCTATTGGCGAGAGGTCAGGCACCCAGGATGGGGTTCCGGGGACTTGGCGTAGAGCAGGATCGCAAACCAAGCCCAGCACATGCAGCGACTGAGTTGCTTCTAGGACTTCAATGGTGAACCGCAGCATGACCTCCTCTGTAGGAACCCCATAGTCAGCCTGTAACCGCGTTGGTATCTTTTCCCCATTAAACATGTGGTTTAGAATACCCTGGAACCCATACACAGAGTCTCTTCGGTCACTAGCCTGAAAACTGACCCTTGTCCATAACACAAGCTGCAGCAGCAAGATGCTCATGCTTGTCCCAGAGACACCAGGCATAAACTCAATCAGATCCAGCACACCGTGTAACGGACTGTCTGGGCCTTTGCACCATTCGCGGACGAACTGGATGCGCATGGCGCCGAGGAAGCCTTGCCCGACGGCATCCACCTCCGTAACGTTGAAGCCATCGCCCAAGAAGTGAAAGCTCAGTCCGGCAGCCATGGAAGTCAACTGCAAGAAAGTAGCGACCATGCCTATGTCATCCCATGGGACCGAAATATCGCCCCAAAGGACCTCGGCCTCTTTCGCAAGCGCGACCTCTTGGAGTATCCATATTCGGTGGAACCACCTTGAGCGGTAGAAGCTGATGAGAGCTTCAGCGTCTTGTTGCGTCGGAACTGGAAGACCAAAGCGTTTGAGAGACTCGGGATGCGTGATGTCGATGCCCAGACCAAAGTCCTGCGCTTGAATGATGCCCAAGACTTCGCGGGTGGCAACCTGAGCGTATTGTTTAACAAGGCCGGCGCCCCGTTGAACTTGGTCTCTGTCTGTGATCTTTCCCAGCCAGATGACGACCTTGATTGCTCGTCGGTAGATCTGATCCATGATTCCGACTTGGGTTTCGCGCTCGGCGCGGTTTTCTTGGTCGATGCAGATGGCATCTATCCAGAATGGCACGCTAGGATACAAGTGATAAAGTTGCAGCAGAGCATCGTGTAAATTCGGGTTTACCCTTAGGTGCTTTCCATTGAGAAGGATTGGAACTTTGTCGACGTTGCCGTACTCAACATTGCCTACTGAGGGCGGTCCCCAAGTGTAGGAGAGCGCATAGTATACCGGCAGGCCAACTAGCAAGTGCGTACTGACAATCAGGCTTGGAATAATGCGGCTCTCATCTGGCTCAACTGAAATCCTCACGAGCCGCATAGAACTCGTCCCCAAATCGTCAGTATAGTGCAGTCCGTCCATCTGGCGCGCGGTAGGATTCCTTGCATGAGGGAATTGAAGCACGAGAAATGAGAGCGACAGAAGAGGTAATTTGTGGTTCGTCGTTCCATCGCCAGATCATAAGCGCCCGCGAGCAAGGACTGATTTTATCCTACGCTAATTGCTGACCATCCCCGGAACTTCAAACACAGGGGTTATCGATAATAAAACCTGTTGCAGATGGTTTAGATAGGACGTTGGTATCGCCGAGTCGATACCGCCAAGTGCTACGCCGCCCCCGCCCGAGTCTCCCATCACTTTGATACGTGCTGCGTCGATGTTCTACTCACTACTCAGCAGCATAATCGGATAAGTACTTTATTGCGAAGAGAACGTCGTCGGACACATGTAAATAATTCTCGGGGTGAAGTTCGTATCCGTCTTCCCGAGTAAACGAATACGCCGGGACGTTGATCGAGCTGCATGCAGAGCTGTCACATATAATATTCGTCATTATTACATTACGGATTAGCGGAGTGTTCATTCCACTTTTGCTGTTGCTGTCAATGAAACAGGGGTGAATGACTAGGTTTTTTCACCTTGATGAGCTGGATTTCGATGACAAGAAACTTGGGGGTTATGCTCGTTCACGACACGAGGAAGTTAGCCAACTCGTCTATCGGGCTAGCTAGCCAGGTGCTGGTTAGGGTTGGGGATGCCAGAACAACACGATGGGAAAATTGACGGGTTGATTTTAGTCATGAAAATAGCCAACAACGGCCCATCCAAACATGAATATATCAAATGAGCAGGTTTAGCATCCATCACCCGCGCTAACGTGGGATGGTTGAAGAATAGGGCTAAGGAGTGAAGTGGAGAGAAAAGAGGCGAGCGGAAACAGCGGAAGCACGGAATATAGGTTGGCATCCGCGTTCGTATTGATGGCCCTGCCTCGGAACAGACATAGACTCTATTGGCGTAAGATCAACTTAGTCTATGAGCTGACCGGGGGAGCAGGTGAATTCCGGGGGCGAGTAAAGGCCCTATTCGTTCGCCTGTACTGGTCAAGAATTGGTGGCGTCTGTTAAGCCATCAAGGTAGCATAAGCTTGAAGATATGCTTAAACCGGCCACGCTAATTGCGACGACAATCTACCTTGTTGGGTAGAGCGTGATGTCCTTAGCTTATTCGGGCGGAGGTAATCAGGGACATCAAGTGAGCAATGGAGGCCACATCATCTGCGAAGAGTAGAAAGCGATCAAGGTAATCATGTGTAGTTAATATCTAAAGAACTAATGTGACTGGTAAGCCGGAGACACGCCCATAAGTCCGATGAAGGCGCTTACGACCAGCCCCTACAACGTTACGGCAAGCCTGCTTACAAGCAAACTGCTCCAGCAACTGTTGTAGAAATGGCAGAGCCAAAGGCAGCCAAATTGGCCGCAATGCCAACTACCGGAATACCAGCCAGCGCTCCAGCAATTACAGTCGCAATCGAGTTTGTCGTGCTGCAGCTGGCGGGGCTGTCAGGCCGGACTGAAATAGTGAAGGTATCCTGGGTCATCCACCGCGGGTCGTTCTGCCTGGCCACCTCGAACTTAACGACTATCTCGTGAGGGAATGGAAGGACCCATTGGCAGACGGAAGACTTGGGGTTGTACACGCAGTCAGTCGAGCTGCCCTCGACCAGCTTAGGGGGAATCAAGCTGGCGAGCTCGTTGGCAATGGTGGTGACCCGGCTGGTGTCCCAGTGCGCGTCGCCCTCCTTTTCAGTGCGGTCAATGTTGAAGTACATGCTGTAGCCCGAGTCTCCCATAGAGTAGGGATGGTCGGCATCCGTACCCGTGGCCTCCGCCTCGATGATCATCAGATACATCTTCTCGGCCCACGCTCGGGCTTTCTCATTAGCCTCCTCCATAGTCACACCCTCAACGACACCGGGGTTGTCCATAGGGTAGCTGCCGTCCGCGGTAACATCGTAGGTGCCCTGCGAAACCTCGATCTCGGAGCGGGTGATATCGCGGCTGGACCGCGTACAAAGGTACTTGTTGTGGCAAACGTACTGCACGTCGTCCGAGACGGGCTCGTAGAAGTTTTGCTTGGGGGTGTCGTAGCAGGTGAAGTCGTTGCCTTTGTAGCTACCCGTTCCGGTAACATGAGTCTGGTGGTTGTTAGCACCAATGCGTGACCTGGGGCTTGCATGCCACTCACATTACTATCGCCTGTCTCGGCCTGGCCATAGAGCTTGAACTTTTCGCCGTCAAAATCGGCCGTGATGGGGTCATTAGTAGTGCCGGCCGTCCAGTCGACGTATGTCGGGTTATCTTGACCAGGGGCGTAGACATAGGCCGTCTTGTAGGTGACGGCCGCCTTGTCTACAAAGATGGCAGCGTAGTCGTTCCACCACCACATCTGGTCCTTGGTGCCAAAGAGGGTGTCGGAGCCGTCTTGCATGCGGTCGCACTGGAGCATGATGACTACTTCGTTGGTGTAGTCGTCATCGCGTTTAGAGTTGGCCGGAATAACCCGGGCTTGGGACAGTCCAGAGGCCGCAGCGATAGCGACAGTAGTGATATGAGAGAAGCGCATTGCAGAATAAGGGTTCTGTATAGAAATATCAGAGAGTAGAGTAGTAAAGACAGCGATGGGCAAAATAGAAAGTCAAGAAAGCTGGCGCGCTAGGTGTGCTGGTAAGATAAGATGCTGTATTGAGAGAACAAGGAATTGAAGCAGAAGACGTTCATTAAATAGAAATCATTGGATAAACACAATTGCCTTCTATCTCCTACAGAATCAAATAACTTCCCACATTCATGTAGCCCCCAATCTTTAAAACAAAGGTCGCCGATGATCCTCTGAAGGATTCATACTATACGAGGCGGAGAAGTTCCAGGCGGTCCAGGAACAGACGAATACAGGTGTATAGAATTCGACTATTTCGGCAATGAACACGAGTTTTTATTGGAAGGATGCGATCGCATGTCGCTGCGGATACCGCTGCCCAAAGATACTGCAGTATTCAACATTCTGGCTGGTTGACGGCTTGGAAGCGAGGAACTCGGCGACCCACCCGGCATACGACTCGGCGACCTGGGTGGAAACTAAATGGGCCAACATAGCCACACGAAACTCATCCTAGGATCTATTACAGGAATCTGTTTAATGCTACTGAGCTATGGTAGTGGATGGGCGGGATAGTATCACTTTACTGCGATTAACAGGGATAGGCGGTGGTGAAGTGGTTACTCTAACAGGAAGCTAGATACATGCAAGAAGATACCCAGCTCGCCACCAGCCACCATGTCCAAACTTGATCCATCGCCTGTATCATGCTATTCAAGCGTGTCGAGTGCTGTTGAAGCTATTAGTTCTAATTCTCTTGTAAGAACGAATTGTACTTACTTGCGATTCCTCAATGGTCAGAGCTACAATGGAACACAAATCCAGTGTTACCCTCACCGCATGTCTCAGACCCATGGGAGTGGCACAGAGATCCCTGAGGGGGAGTGAACGAGTAGCAACACCACTCGCAGTCGAGGCTGCCACCATCATCGAGGGGTTCGCAGTTGCCTCCTGGCAGAGGGCAGTTCTGGCGTTTGAAGATGGCGCCCGTCCCTGGGTTGGTTGATGGAAGAGCAGTGGCGCCCATGGCCACGGCAACCGCGGCAAGGAAATAGGTAACAGTAACCATAATGAATCGATAGAAAATTGAGATTCTTGTAAATAACTGGTGTGTGACTGCGAGATAGTGTCAAGTGCTGCTTAACTTTGCTACTTCTCATCATCTCTTTATACTTCTTTCCGCACCACCAAACCTGAGCCATGCATCTCGTCGTCTCCCCTCCCCTCTACTAGAATGCACAATAAACGGCTCAAAATCCACAAGGGTTCTCCTCTAGAAGACGATTGCATTGGAACTTTAGGCGATGCATGTTCACGCGCACCAAATGATTGTGACCCCCGCGTATTTTGTTCGACTCATCGCTTGCCAAGAGTAACTCAGGTCATAGTGGCATTGATTAAACTGGTACTGATGGGCTTGGCGACTGGTCGACTAGGCCACCTTGGTATTGGACTTGTCCGTAGAGGTTCTCTACGAATTACTCCCAACTTGCGAGATTTTTGAGAACTACCTTGATGACTGCACGTATCCCACGGAGGCGTCTCAAATAGGAAAGCGAGAAGACAGTATTGAACGCCACCAACTGCTCAAAGCCCAATCCATGTGACTCAACAGTTGGGAATAGAGACAACATGGATGCATTACGGGATGGACTTGTTAAGTCGAACCTTGGCATCGCAGCGCTCACCGGACATGGCGCCTGGCAACAGTCAGCAAGCCATCCTCAAATGTGTATATAAGTCACCACAAGAGCCTCCCAGTCAGTTGAATCATTCCTAGTCCATCATCTACACCGCAGACATTCTGTGACCTCAGTCAAGATGTACTTCAAGCCTTGGGCTGTATGCCTTATTTTGGGCCGGCTAATCTCAGCCCTGGCCATTCCCCGAGCAGTGACAACGGAAGCTCCCTCGCCAACCTTGGTCTGCTCGTAAGTGTCTCCTATTTGAGCGACGCTGTGTTTTCTAGACTATTCAAAGGCCAAATTACTGACATTTTTACCTATGAATATGCAGTGATATCACCAGCACGCGATGGGGAATTGCAACGACCGTCCCTGATTTCCAGAGCATGTATAGCTCCATTAACGACAAGTACTACACTCAGGATCACACTTGGACTGGCTCTGTCATCCCCGTCTACACCACTGTGTACTACAGGTCCGGGACACCTAGACTGACAGCTTATGGCTATATCCAATCGGATATTCTGGAGGCAGAAGGGTATCGCATCACGTCGTCGGTCACAACAGTGCCCCAGTGCAGCACCACAACAACCGTCCAGGTGCCTCCTTCACCCACTGGTTCTATGTGTAGCTTGCATATTGATCACTGTAAGATGATTCTATTTGATACCATCCTATCACAACATTTAGCTGACATGGAAAGGGCATTGTGAGCCGTACCCAAGCACCACCGTGAGCGAGGCTTCGGGAGAGACTACGGCAGAAGCTACTTGCTCTCCTCACGGAGATCACTGGCATTGCCCTCCAGGTGTGCCTGAGCCGACCAAACCGCCAACTACATCTTCGACAGAAATACCAGATGGGCCAAAGGACACCGCAACTGTTGTGGGGACCTGCTCTCCCCACGGAGATCACTGGCATTGTCCTCCGGGTGTACCAGAGCCAACCACACCTCCAACCACATCGCCCACAGAGGAACCCGAGGAACCAAAAGACACCACAACTGCTGTAGGAACCTGCTCTCCTCATGGAGATCACTGGCATTGCCCTTCAGGCGTGCCCGAGCCAACAACACCACCGATTACATCACCAACGGAGGAGCCTGAAGAGCCAAATGAGACTCGCACGACGCAAAAGCCCGATGGCCCCAAAACATCTACAACAAGTGCAGGGTCCTGTTCTGCTCATGGTGATCATTGGCATTGCCCTCCAGGTGTACCCGAGCCCACGACGCCGCCATCAGAGGAGCCAACGGATACGCCCGCGACCCAGAAGCCTGAGGGGCCCAAAACAACGATGGCAAATGGGGGTACTTGTTCTGCTCACGGAGATCATTGGCATTGTCCTCCAGGTGTACCTGAGCCAACAACACCGCCGACCACATCGCCAACAGGGCAACCTGAAGAGCCCGAACAGCCAAAAGTTACGACGACAGCTGCAGGAACTTGTTCTCCTCATGGAGATCACTGGCATTGTCCAGATGGTGTGCCCGAGCCAACCTCACCACCCAACTCTGCAGGCGGCGATGATGATGCTTCCGAAGAGTGCGTGGCTCATGGGGACCATTGGCATTGCCCAGAGGGCGTCGAAGAGCCCCCGTATGCTCCCGGCCAGGAACCAAATGCCGACGGGTCTAACCATACCGGGGATTCTGAGGGCTCCGAAGATTCCGACGGTGCTGCAGGGTGTGTTGCACACGGAGATCATTGGCACTGCCCTGAAGGTGTTGAGGAGCCCGTGTATGCCCCTGGGGATGACTCTAGCAATGCTGAAAATTCCGAGGATTCTGGAGAGTGTGAGGCTCATGGTGACCACTGGCACTGCCCAGAAGGTACCGAGGAGCCTCCATATGCTCCTGGCGAGGAGCCCATTGTTGATGAAACTGCCGGAGAGTGCACTGCACATGGAGACCACTGGCATTGCCCTGACGGTGTCGAGGAGCCGCCCTATGCTCCTGGTGATGAGCCCAGTGACGCCGACGACTCTGAAGTTATTGGGGAGTGTGAGGCTCACGGTGACCACTGGCACTGTCCTGAGGGTGTTGAGGAGCCCCCTTATGCTCCTGGGGAGGAACCCAGTGACACTGAGGATTCCGAAGCTATTGGAGAGTGTGAGGCTCATGGTGACCACTGGCACTGCCCTGATGGTGTCGAAGAGCCTCCTTACGCCCCCGATGATGAATCAAGCAGTGATTCCGAGAGTTCCGAGGATGGCGGAGAGTGTGTTGCCCATGGAGATCACTGGGACTGTCCAGAAGGCGTTTCTGAGCCTACCACGCCTCCAACTGCAGCTGCTTCCTCAACTATAATCACGACAACAAAGCAGACCAGTGAGCCAACGGCGCCTCTGGTTATAACCAGTGGGAGTGTAGGACAGGCTACGGCGACAAAGTACATGGCTCTCATTCTTGCTTTCGGCTTCGGAGCTCTGCTCGTTTAATTTCGCGGCAGTACCTCTTCTATATTAAGAAATATGGTGACCATGTTTCCTCTCACATCGTCTCGTTCAATAAGGCTGTGACCGTGACATGCTGCAAAGAGTCCGATCCCCTAACAGAGCCACAATATGAGCTCTGTCTCCTTTATCGTCTCCAAATTATTACCTAATAGCCCACGTGTATGCATTTAACTATTATTTATTGTTACTTACCGTGTTGAAACTGTAGATGGTTGCATGTTCCACCCAGATAGACTCCGGGATGCCCTGAGAGCTGTCCGGGGTATTTTCTATCATAGTCAATCCTCGGACTGTTCCGCATTTTATGCAGGTGCTCCGCCCCATTGTAAACGCTGGGCTCTATAGCCGTATCAATCTGTGCCACGGCTGCTGAACAAATTGGTGTTGGTTCAAGGCCAAAGGATTGTCCTCCCCGCTGAGCTGAAACTGAGGCTATTCTGTGCCAACCAACATACGAGGCAGCTCATTTTCCCTCTGACTCACCCACAACAAAACGTCTTTAAAACTCCCCTTCAGCGTCGCACTATTGCGCTTCAAATATTACTGAACCTCATCTTTCATCGGCGCGTTTTCTGAAATCCCCTCCTGATACGATGGCACAGCCTGGTATTTCGCCATGTCCGATTGTCGAACTGGCACCAGAACTCATCAATCGCATGATGGACTTTGTTCCCGTCGAGTCGCATTTCAACTTTGCTACGACATGCAGTTTCATCGCCAACTGTTCCAAAGATATTCTGCAACGCCACAAGGCCGCACACAAGACGTATGGAGTTTCTTCGGACCTCTCGCCACTTACAATTCCGACCCTGCTGCGCAGTGCCTTTGGACTCGAGGATCCTTTGCTGGTTTGGCATGTGCGGTCTCTCGAGATCTGGCGCGATCGTAGTGATTGGAAAGATTGGGGGTTCTTTGACTTGAACCAGCCATATTGTCGGGAAAAGGCCGAGCCAGTGAGCTGGTATCCGGAGACTGGTGAGATCGACAAGTACTTCGCTGTCGTGCGTGGCTTCATATCAGACGACATACTTGATCTAGCCCGATCCCAGATCTCGGACGGCAAAGATGGCTTCTTGAAGATGCTTTTGATTGCCATGTGCCCCCGTCTACGGGACTTGAAGTTCATTACGCGCGCCTACCACGACACTCGTTTAACTTCCCTTGGCTGGTTCTCGTTGGTCATTCAAATGTGCTTTACCAACAAAACCTGGCTGCCTGGTTTGGCGAGTCTACATGATATTGCTATAGGCGTTGCATCATGCACGTGGATGGACCAGGATAGCCGATTTTATACACACGGTCTGGGTTCGGAGTCCATCCTGGCCAATATTCTTCGACTTCCCCAACTCGACCATGTCTATTATAACGGACTTGGCTCAATTTTTCATGCTGAAAACTACGAAATTTCCGCCAATTACTGGGACCACGATTCTGACGAATCCGACGAGTCCGACAATGGTTCCGATATTTCATCTGACGACGAAGTAACGACTGGAATGACAGCGTATAGATCAATGTGGCCTTACGAAAGATATTCAAGCTCTGAAGAAGAAGAAGAGACCGAAATAAAGTATGATCTGCCTCCGCACTCCTCCTCAGTCAAGCACATCATTCTCGACAACGTTGGTCGTTGTTCGAATCAACCATTTATGAGATGCTTGCTTAGTGCAGCCCATAAGTTAGAATCCATTGCGTTCCGAGGTACAGAGAATCTGGACTATTTGGACGAAATGGTATACAGATTGTCGTGCGATTACGGTGATTCATTGCGAAGTCTGATGTTCTACGAGCATCGCGAGTCCAGGGGTTCCCGATGTTGGCCGTACACCCCTCAAGACATGCAGCGCTTCCGTGAGTTGCGACACTTCACAATTGATGCATCCGGGATCGAGGGTGATGCATGCAATGATGATGGTGGAGATGGAGAGCTGTTCAGGTATAATGACTCCCAGGAAGATTCCGACGAAGAAAACCCCATCAAGGAAGGCCCTGCGTATGAGCATTCCGACGGAGAAGAATCGAGTAACACGCTGTCCCGAGGTCACTTTATCCGATTTTTTGTTCACGCTTTCCCCAGAAGCATGGAAGCACTAGTATTGTTTGGCGATGGGGTCAGTACTCTTATGGAACCGAAGTGGCGCAACATCGAATGCTTCGAGGATGCTGTCATCGCTCTTATCAAGTCCAAAAAATACCCCAATCTCAAGGCTATCTATCTAGACCAGGTCGAGAGTCGTACGTCCTATCCGTGGCGACAGACTGGGGTGTGGGTACCCAACCGAAGAACAGACAAGATTTGCTTCCAGAGAGCAGTTGCTGCTGGAATAGATGCTGGAGTTGACGTGTACACAATCACGAACAGGAATAAGATGAGGCATGTTCTACGATTCCCAGAACCTCTGGATGAATTCGACTTGGTGACCGGGTTATATGGCGGCAAGAGACCAGACGATGGCACCTGGGCGTTCAACGCTCACACGGGTCGGAGAGAAAGCGGATGCGGAAATTGTGGCAAATGCAAGGCCTGCCTCGAAGAATATTCAGAGGAGCTATGGGAGCAAGTAGACAGCGCTGCAAGGATCGCTGGCGAGTCGGTCGGGCTGGATAAAGAATATGATGGGTCAGAATATTGACAGGGAGCTTTGTGAACTTGACAGAGCACAAGAGAAGAGTCCGAGGCACAAGTTCATCTCTAAGTTGCAATAGCAGCCGCTTAGGAGCTAGAAATGATGCGACTTGTCTTTATGATCCGGAATCTACGGCCCCTGCCAGTTTGACCTTGCCATCCACTCCTCGAATGTGCTTGCTCGCACGCCGAGATCCTGCCAGGATGTGTCATCTGCAGCATCCATAGTTCCATAGCAAATCTTATCGCTTGGGGCCATGGCAATCCACTGCATCATCTGTTTTATATCTTCTTCATATCCCTTTCCGACTGTCGCCGCTACAGTCGCACCCCATTCCTCCATAGTCGTTGACTCGAAGCAAGAAGGTTGAGATGTTACTGTCGAAAAGATCTCCGAAAACTGAGAAAATGGAATTTTAGGGCTGACCACAGGATACGTCTTTGAACCTGCTTTCTGTGGACCGGCTGCGAAAACTTCTGTGATTTTGTGCTCAGCTTTTATTCATCCCATCGACTTGGACGGCACTTACCGCTTGCAAAGACACCGACATCATACCCTGGATCAACCCAATCCGCAAGCGTGTCACCAGACACAGGTGCGCAAAAGCGAACGGAGCCATCTTCTGTGGATTAAGAGTGAGCAAGGGCTTTAAAAGCGATAGAAGGCACTTACCTTGTCTTCGACAATACTGCGTCCATATCATATTGGTGTAGAATAGGCCTAGAATCGTGAATTAGAAATAGAATTCGTGTGGAGCATGTGGCATATAACCTGGGATTAAAGCTGTGACAGCAGGCAATTGCCTTCGAGCCAACTGCTCAATTTCGTGTTTGTAATCAAAATGATAGACCTTCGTGAAGACTCCACCACTCGACGTGGTAAGATTCGGGAGACTGCTCATGACAAAGTGCTCGACCTTGCAATACTCCGCAGCGTCCACAATATTGCTACCAGCAGCCAACTCATGACGCAGCTGGTCCTCAGTATCAATAGTCTTGCCCGGGAGTCGATTGTGAGTTACAGCAAAGACCCCATAAGCGCCCTTGAACGCCAAGCGTAAGCTCTCGATGTCGTAGATGTTAGCGCTTGCAAGACTCAGTCTTCCATGGGACTGGAAATCTTGTAGGAGACGCTGAGCCGCTGGGCTTTCAACGTCTCGCGTAATGGCACGGACGTGAAAGGATAGGGATGCTTTATGAAGAAGAGCGCGCACAACGCCTTGTCCTTGGTTTCCCGTGGCACCTAGAACGGCAATAGTGCGAGCTTGCTGGGTCGACGTCATGGTTGAGGTTGTTGAGTTCTTTCCCTGTCGGTCTCCGGTATCTTAGCTGTAGATGCAGCATCTGTTCTATTCGATCAAGCAATTTTAAATGTTCTTAAATATACCGGATTCCCCGTGACTACCCTCTGCCCACGGCGGAGGAAGGGAATGGTGGATACGGAAGTACGGATATACGAAGTAGAAGATCTCCAAATCGAGGGTAATCGCGACATTATTGGCCGCAGGGTTTGTAGCCACTCTGTCGGAACAAGCCTGGATTCCCTATTGGCAGCTGCAGTGGGTTTGCTCGGGCCATGAAGGTACCATGTGCAATGCAGTTGGTCCCACATCAACATCTTGGCGGGTAGGATATATCTTTCCCCAGGTTCATGAGGTTTGGGTTGCGTCCGTATTATCTTGATAATGTGAAGCTAGCCCCCGAATTCGACTACTCTACATGCCAAAGTCATTCGCCTGTCCAAGACAATGGAAAGATTTTGGGCTTTGAAGGACAAAGCAAAAATATGTCCCAACATGGCCCGGCAAACCCAGCCCCGTACAGATCTGTCTTCACAGTGTACTCTAGTCGTAAGATGCGTTAGGTTTGACCCTATTTTACATTGGTATTGACCCGTGAGTCGTGCGAAGTTGCAACTTATAGTTCTGGGCCGAGATGCAGTGATTCTCCATAAATGCGTCCTCATCTTGGTATTTCATCCTTTAAGCCGAGTCTTACTCAGTCAAGGAAAGGGCGAGAAGTTCTGGAACTGATTCCCACGATGAAGAAGTGATGCCTGTCAAAACTTATCAAGGAGAAAATGCCCCCACGAACGCCACGTAGAAGGAGAAACGACCGGTGTTGCGTGCATGGCGAGGCCGTTGTCGGCAACCGCATATCCTGTTACCCATGTTTCCATTTCCGATTTGAAGTAAACGACTTGATCGTCAGTACTGATAGCGAACGGATGTCGGCCAGGTCCGAATACCTTGCCGTTTGTGGCATGAATTTCTTCCACCACTCGCCGTAAAGATCAGCCAGTGTAGTTATTGCCGAGCATGAGGAGCTGATTGTCCTCGACTGTTTGTCGCCAAGACCCCAAGATTGCCTCTAGGTGGTTTTCAGACCTGCTTCCACTGCCCTCGGAAGTCCAAATGCCAATGGTGAGCAGTAGCTCGTGAATCTTCCTATCAAGATTGTATACGTCCAGTGGAGCCTGGGCCGGAGGCTGCCGATGCCGTTGACGACAGAGTTGGATCCATTTCCAATCAAGAGTGAGAAGAGGATGCAGGGGAAGAAACCTAAACTACTTCTTTGTGCTAGAGCTAATGTCTATCTTGTTACTATAGTAGCTTCCCACGGAAGGCGCCGCTCCGCAGTGCTCTTCGATACGCATTGCGATGCCCTTTCCGGGTCCTAAGCCGATAAAGACTACTCAACCATCCGCATCTAGTCAGCCGTCGTGCATTATCTCTCCAGCCACCGATATCTCGAGATAGACCTGAACTGCCAACTTCCGATTTCATACCCTCTGGTCCGGGCTCAACGACTTAGCGAGGTGCTACTACGTAGTAGCCAGATCACCAAAGACAGGGATCCCCCGTCTCCCCACGCAGCATCACTAGCATCACTAGCATCGGCTTTGTCTCACCTCCAGGGCCCAGTTGCTGGATTAGGCAGGTTCCCTTGCTCTCTCCACACTTGGCGAGCGCCCACAGCCAAACAGAGCGCGTGGAGATCAGCCGAGGTGCCATCTGCGTGGCCCTGCCTATCGCCTTGACTGGATCGCTGGACTTCTTCCTCCTTGTCCGCTGGCCCTTGGCGGTTGAAACCCTCATCGGCAGTGCAGTCCAAAACGGCCCTGCGCCGCGGAACCCCCCGATGGCCTTCTGCAAGGGCTGGGCTGGTATTGATGGAAAGTGGCTCCGCCCTGCGATAACAAACAACAAGTGCCTATCGCCAGGCCTCGTGGGCGGGAGATCGACGAAAGCATCACACGGAACAACTCGCAAAAAGGTAGGTCGGTGAGTGTATCAGGAGAGGCGGCATGGCATGTAAGCGCCCAATCCAGCGATAACGGGATCATCGACCGCTTCAAAGGCCGAGGCCGGAGAAAGTCATTGCTACCATTGACGAGCATGGGACGAAGGAGGACGAAGCAGGACTCTCGCACGACTATAAATCCCACCCCGATCCTCCCTCTCATCTCATTCACCTCACCCTCTCGGCACTGCAACCCAAGACACCCAGATCAAGATGAAGTTCACTCTCGCCGCTCTTCTCGCCGTCTCTGGCGCCCTCGCTGCTCCCACCCCGGAAGCGGTAAGTAGACTTATACCCCTCTGCCTCTGCCAAGAGGACTGAGCGGCAGTCTAATAACTCCTCTGTTATATAGCCAGGAATCCCCACCACGGCCAACGCTCGAACCCAGCTCGCTGCGTTGACTGTTGCCGCCAGCACCAACACTGGTACCTATGATCGCGACCTGTTCCCTCACTGGAACACCGTCTCCGGAACGTGCAACACTCGGTAGGACTCTCCTGTGTCAGTCTTGGAGGTGCTCTTGCTAACTGCCTGGGAAGTGAATATGTTCTCATGCGTGATGGCACCAATGTCGTGACCAACAGCGCCTGCGCCTCGACCTCCGGATCGTGGTACAGCCCCTACGACGGCGCGACTTGGACCGCTGCCAGCGACGTTGACATTGACCACATGGTTCCTCTTCAAAACGCTTGGATCGTAAGTGCCGAATTATGAACATTGCATCAGTCGTGAGCCGTCCTCGCTAACACTCTTCAGTCTGGAGCCGCCGCGTGGACCACCGCCAAGCGTACTCTGTTCGCCAACGACATCACCCGCCCTCAGCTCTGGGCCGTCACCGACGAGGTCAACTCGGCCAAGAGCAGCTCTCCTCCCGACCAGTGGAAGCCCCCGCTGACCAGCTTCTACTGCAAGTACGCCAAGAGCTGGGTCGCCGTCAAGAGCTACTGGGAGCTCACCGTCACCAGTGCCGAGAAGTCAGCCCTGACCACCATGTTAAACACTTGCTAAACAGATGTTGAGTCAAACGGGTGTCGCCTCGGCTTGAGGATCCAAAAGGGATGGGGATGGTTGTTGTGTACTAGTTACACATTTCTCTGTTTCGTGTAGCTATGTTCCTAGGAACATACGAATGATTCACTTACTTAGTCATTAAGACTATAACGCCGATTGTCTCTGGCTTTCTTTTGTGCTCCATGAAGATAGCAATATGAATATTGTGATCACTCCCAGTTTCTTCATTTTATGATGAGACGGACCAAAGGCCAATCTTTCATAGGAAAAACCTATTCTGATCACAAACATCGCGTACGACAACAAACATTCAAGGCGAATCTGTGACGTATTTTTGGTGTGTGGCCCCGTAACCACCCGATGGCGGTGCAGCTTTTTTAACAAGACACACACAGTTGGCTGGTGGTAGTCCACAGGTCAAAACAACAACCCAAGTCTCAAGGGCCGTGGGCCCAAAAGTCTTCTTCCCTCACCCTCCATCCACCGAAAGCCCAAGTAACCCCAACACTTCCTCCCAGTTTTCTAAATACAGCTACGCTATCTTGTTAACAAAATTTGTTATTTGACTCATTTATATCTTGGCCATGTTGGTTCTTCTTATGCACCCGGGCCTCGAGAACAATCTGCTCGTGGTCCTCGAAGGAAGACCCAAGGTTTGTGTGCTACGGTTACAGACACAAGAAGGGTCCGATTAGCTAACTTGGTATCACAGACTTCACAAAATAGTGCACATCCGCTGCCGCAGCATCCCTCAACTTTACGGAATCAATATAGGCTAGCATCCGGGCTGGCTTGTCAATCCTCGAACCCAGCAACCCTTGTGAAGCGATGCGGGACAGTCAATCTCGGCCATGTCCCCAAAAGAATGGAAATACCATGAATCTCTGTCCTGTGAGTGATTCTCCTACATTGATAAGTCACGGATACATCCACGTTGGCAAGATGATGGTCGAGATGCAGGCTGCCCAGACCACAGCCTCATTACGAGCACCTTTGTCCCGCGTTGGCAACGTGTTACCAAGGATGAGAGCTCGTCATGGGCGTATTAAAGACGAGAGTTGCGTTGTAACTCTGCGTCTTCCAGTTACCAGGGGGAGTATGCATCTTTATGCAGACACTCCGTCTTTCTGGGGATTTGTTTCGTTTCGCTCGCTTCTCCCTGCATAACACTTTTACAACCCTAACCTTGTTCTCGCATGTAAAAGACTGTGTTTCAGGACTCTCTATTGCGCGTTTTCGACAAGGGAATGCTTGAATCCCATCAAGTTAGCTACAAGACCATCACACTGCTAACTCGATTTCTCCAGCTTCAATCAACGCCAAATCAGCCCGTCGCCACTCGACAGGTTAAAAACGCCTCAGAAACTGCCTGCTAAGCCCCCGGACTGCAGCCTCCGTACATTAGTTTCATTCCCAAAGACGATCAAGAAGACGCCACGGTGCGGCTGATGCATGCGCCCTATGTTTCGAGCGTTCTCGCAGGCCCGCGCCGCGTCGGACTCGCTTGGTCGCTTGGCAGGGCCATGAGATCCTCCAGATTTGTATGGGGGCGAAGCTGTGGCCATTTATTAGCTCGGATGGATGGGGGGTTGTTCGCTTGTTAGGTTTCCTAGATGATGAATATTCCTGATAACTTTATATCCTGGATGATGAATGTTCCTGACAACTTTATTTCCTAGGTGATGAATATTCCTGACAACTTTATTTCCTAGATGATGGATGTTCCTGACAACTTTATTTCCCTGTCCGACTTGTCGTCCAGTAATTAAAACCCAACTTCTGATAAAAGTTCCCAATTCCCAAATACTAATCTTTTCATCGCATCCGAAGCCCAACATTCTCCGTTCCATCCATACAACTTCCATACTTCTCTTGACTATACATCAACTCAGATTATTGCTGCCAATAGACTCGCCAGCATGGGGTACAGCCACGATACCATATTTTCCTGCTCGCCCACTACGACTACTACCGTTACGGTTACTGCTACTATTACTGCAGCAGCAATCCCTGGCTCTTCCGACGTTGACCTATTTGTTGCTTTATTCACCCAATTTCTTGCTCTTCTTGAGCGCCTTTTTGATATCCTCACAAAAGCGATTGATAATGGGCTCGAAACAAACTGGATTAATAGAGGGATGTTCGGCCTTGCTGTTTTCATGGGACTATTGGGAACCCTGCAGCTACTCAAGGATACGCCCTCCAATGATCGCTTAACATCCCTTGAATAACAACTCCAGGCATTGCAACGACTACCGGGTCCCCAAGGCATACCAGGTCCCCAAGGCATACCAGGTCCTCAAGGCATCAAGGGTCCTCAAGGTCCCGCTGGAGTTAATGGCCTTCAAGGTGTTCAGGGTCCTGCTGGAGTTAATGGCTTGCCAGGTGCTGCTGGAGCAGCTGGTCAGAACGGTATTAATGGTATTCGGGGCAGTGATGGCTCTCCTGGCCGGCAAGGACCACAAGGTCCTCGAGGCCGGCGTGGTAAGAGAGGTTTTATTAGACCCTCTGGAGTTTTTGTTTCTCACGAACGACATGGATGATGCACACACCCTGATTACATCAAAGAGCTACCGAAGAGTCATCATCAGAACGAACCACCGAATCCGAGGCCGTCGAATCCAAGACCGCTGAGTCTGAAACCACAACATCTGAACAAGCAAGCACCTCCACTGCCACAAGTGAAGCAGAACCACAGCAAAGTTCAAGCCAGGATATGCCTACGACCACGAGATCCGCTGGAGGTAGCACGACAACCAAATACAGCAACGGAGTCAACAATGACAAAGACACCGACGATGCCAAGGATAATGGCAGCAATAGCAATAGCAATGATGACGACAATGGAAATGGGGGGTCGAAGTTGGGTTCAATGAGTATGCCAGGACTGGTAATATTGGCTCTCTGGACTGGGTACATGCTCAGCTCATAGTCCCAAAGTCCAAGATGCACCTACAAAAGGGAGAGCAGTCTATCATCGATTAGATAGTCAGATATATGCATATTCCCTTTGAAAGCCAAGGCTAGTCCATATGCACAACACACTTGAGCTATCAGTGACCTTCCCGGTGTACGTGGCGAACGACATTCGGCTAGTCGCACTGGCGGATATGCATTTTACGTGTCATGTCTTACATCCCTAGCTAGTCGTCAAGACTCGAAGGTGGGAATACATCACAGTATCAGGCGAAGGTCCAATATGTAAGAGGAAGACAGAATCAATCTGCTTGTCATCATCAATACCATTAAAGAAATCTAGTTTTTGGGTTTAATATCCAAGTCCTCTGCTGCAACGCCTTCGGTTTCGTCCCGTGAATCTTCATTATACATCTCGTCTCTCTCCCAACAAGCAACTCTGTTTATACAGTAATAGAATCGAAAGGAAAAAATATGGACACAGGATAGGTATTAAGGCTGGAGAAGGGCCAACGATGAGGCAGAAAACTCCAGCTCCAGTGCCCATGATATGGCTCTCATCCTGGGAGAGCTAACGCTAGTCCGCGCGTTGGAAATCGGCAACAGCAATGCATGATTCAAATCATGGTCTCAGAGTAATGTCACCCTCCTCGCCAGCGCTTAACTCCATATCTCCATCGCTCAACTCACCTCTTGCAGCTCGCTGCGCGAGGTCCCTCTCGGTGTAAATCTCATTCTTCCTCGTCTCAGCTTGCTGAAGACAGTCGACATACGTCGTAAACTTGACAATCTCGCGAAGCAAATACGCACTCTTGCGCTCCCAGTTGGACATTGCTTTGTTAGCATTAGCCCCCCTAGGAGTAAAGGCGAGCAGCATAGGACTGCGGAGTTGGTTATGGGATTGCAGTTCAGCCTCAATACCCTTGACATAGGCGTCGAGAGTGTCAAGTTGCTCAGCCTCTGAAGAGTTGCTGGGCCGCATGCTCTGAGTGGGCGGCGACCAATCCGAAATGTGAACGCGATCACCAGGAAGCTTTCCTCGGCCGCTGTTGTTTGTAAAAGCACCGGTAACGTGGTCGAAGCTTGATCCTCGGAAGCTAGCACTGGTGACGCTCGATCTGCGGCCAGGAGCCGCGCTGCTTCCTGGGCGAGAAGTCTTGCCATGAGTCGTCTCGTTGATAACGGTGACTAGAGCATTGTTGACAATTGCATCACTCCATCCATACTCAATGTTGCTTATTCCACCAATCAACGGATGGGTGCTGAGACGAGCACTCCAGTAGTTCACCGTGTTGACGAACTCCTTGCCAATCTCGGGCGTGCCAACCTGGAACAGGTGAACAGCACCAGTGGGTAGACTCAGCGCCCAGACATTTGGGCGAGTGCGAGAATATCCAGGTGGTGGGAGAGCCGATGCGAGAGTTTGCCGCAGGCTGAAAGTGCCCATGTTGGTGGCATTATCCTGCCAGTTGCCACCTCCCACAGCGATGTTGGAGCCGGCATTCTTCCGGTTCTTCTGTCGCATTGACTTGTTCGGGGTGAACGAAAACAGACTCATCTGACCTTTCTGAATGACGGCAAACACCTCGGACCAGTGTCTATCTCTAGCCTTTTTCTCCACGCCATCAAGATGATGCTTGTGGATCACCATTCCCTCCTTGACCCAAGGAGGACCTGCGAGCTCCAGCGACTCATCCTCAAGAAATTGTGTATTGGAAATGTCAGCGCTCATGACGGACGGTGCGCCGTCTCCATAGAGGTCCTCGTCTCGGGTTATTGCCTGGCTCAAGGCATTAGCAAAGCCAATCGACTGCTGGTAATCCCCACGAGGCATTGCCGAACCAAACGAATCTTGCGATACTGATGTTTGGGTTCTGCCCAGAGAATGGCGGCTCCAGGTGGCTGAAGATCCGGCAGGGCTCCACAAAGAATTGCCATCGTCAAAGCTTGTACGACTAGACGAGAAGCCATTACGACCCATCCCGTTTCGTGACCGGCTTTTGGAGTTCCATCTCGCTGTATTGGCCCGGCCATTCTCGGGGATACGGCCGCGAATGGAAAGTTGGCTTTCAGAAGGTGCCTTGCTGAGGACGCTGGGGGTCCTCTTGAGCATTCCCATGACGGAGAGACCACCGCTGCTAGAACCCGGCATGTTGAGATTCTTCTCAGGCTCAGCGCCAAAGAGGGGCAGACGCTGATCCCGAATAGATGTGTAGATGCCCTTGAGCACAACTTCAATTTGCTCTTCCCAAGCCTTCTTGGATCCATTGAACTGGGATTTGACCAGGGGGCCGCAGTCATCATCGGGTTCAGCCGGCAAAGTACCAGAATCGGCACGAGGAGGGGGTCGGAAAGAGTTTCTGAACGACCTGCGGTCATGCTCCGCGGGTGGTTCCTGATTCTCGTTGCCGTTCAGCATGCCATCCTTTCCAGGAAGGATGCTGGGGCGATGAAAAGCATCGGGTACCGACTCAATAACGGCTTGCGTGATGGTTCCCATGGTGTTCTTGACGAACTGGCTACGGGTCATCTTCTGTTCGATATCGGCCATGTGCAAATCGGTGTTGAGGAGCATGATGGAGTAACAGATGGTATGGATGACATCTATTTGGATGATTAGTCTCGCTGACAAGCAATGGGGGCAGATGCTCTTACCAGTAGCCTTGAACCCATGGTTGGGGTTGCAGTCGCACCATCGCTTGGAAAAGGCAACCAGAATTCGATCGACTTGCTGTGTCTCAGCACGGAACACGAGACGCCCACATACTTGCCGCAATGCATAGACAATACTCTGACTCGTGAAATCGTATAGTTCCATGTAAGCCTGGAGAGTCCGTTGCCTGATTGGGCCTTCCTCGCCCATCCAAGCAGCAGCTTTCAACTTCTGAATAAAGTCTTCGTTGCCATCGTAGATCTTCTGAGCCTTCTGTCGATCGTCCTCAGTAGGGTCACCAATAACGAACTCGGGCTCATCGAGTGGCTTAGCCTTGATGGCGTCGAAGGTTCCGAGCACCTTAGGGCTAGGATCAGCAGAGCCGTCGATTCTCACGCTCGGAGGAGCACTGAGAGCCGACTTGTAGTCGGTGCCGGTGCTAACGGAGCCGGCGGGGCTCGTCGCCCGTGCACCTTCGATGGGCAACGCCAGATTCGAACGGCTGGGATCATCTTCGGAATCAGTCTGCTCGACTCGATGGAAAGACTTCTTGCCCTTGATTGTATTGTCGTTCGCAGGTTGGGGAGAAACTCGTCCTCGGGGTGTGGTATCACCGGTCCTCTCCCTAGTCTTGGCGGAAAGTCTTCCATGGGATGGGCTATCATGGGTATCCTCATTATCACTGGCACCGTCGAGGTCCAGGAACGAGTTGTTACGGGTCCCCATACCCTTCATAGGTCGCTCCAGGGGTGGGCGTGAGGGTGTTTCAGTTCCCCGTGTGTGGTAATCGTCCGAATCGCCATGGACAGCTCGGATCTTGGCGTTGGGGCTAGGTGAGTAGTCTGGAGAGAAGTCTCGCTTGTATTCAAGCCTGTCGTCAATGTCGTCATCGTCAAGCTCGTGGGAGAGGTTGGAGATGTCAGCCAGAGGAGAGGGGCCTTGGCCTGCTGGATAACCATTGGCACCCGCAGCCGAACGCAGGTACGGGTTCATGACCTTCCGCAGGCTGCTGACCGGGCTTTGTTCAGGCAAAGAAACGATCCTGTCCCCTCCGCCAGGGAGATTGATGGGGGCAACGCGAGGCATCGGCGGCGTGGGAAAGGCGGGTAGAGGAGGAGGGTCATCGGTGACGGACTTCTTGCGGCGGCGGAAGAAGGACGAGGGCTTCTTCTGCAAGACCGGATGGTGGGAGTGGGAGGACGAGGTGTCGCGCGAGGGCGGCGCGGAGGAGCTCCCATGCATCTTGCCGCTTCCAGCGTGATCGACAGCCGGGGACGAGTGGGGAGAGTTGGCGGCGTCGTTGTGGCTGTTATTTGAGTTGTGTGAGTTGTGCGAGTTGTTCTTGGAGCCGCCGCCAAAGACCCGTCTGAAAAACCCAGGTCGCTCCTTCACGGGGGCGGGTGCAGGTGCAGTTGCAGGTGCAGAGCTGTGCACGGCCGGATCCTTGGCCTTCTCATAGCCGACATGTGGTGCAGGTGCTGAGTCAAGGTCCAATGCCGGCACGGCAGGGGCCGTTTCTCGTAGATTGCTGCCGCTCTTGTTGCGGGCAGAGACGCTCCGCAACGACCGGCTGCTGCGTTTATGGTCCAGGGGCGGAAGTTCGAGGGGAGCCGGCGGCGGCGGCGGCACCGAAGGCTGCATTGTGGGCTTCGCGGTCTCGCGGCGAGGGCCTCCGGGGACGGTCGGGGTCGGGGCGGCGTCGTACTCGTCGGCGAGGAAGTTGTTTGGGAATTCTACTCGGAACGGCGCCGGCTCGGGGTTGTTCTGCGGCGGTGCGGGTCCGTAGTCGAAGCTGGCCGATCGTCCGAAACCTCGTGCCCAGCGCTGGCTGCCGAGGACTTGTGCGTACCCGGCGTCGACGCTGGCGCTGGTGGTGCTGCTGCTCTTGCTTCCTGGCTTGCCGCCTCGCGAGTGCATCGCCCGCGTGGGCCCTGGCTGCTGCGTGCGGTGGCTCGACTCTCGCACGCTGTTGAGGCGCGTGAAGCCCGACTGGAAGTTGGAGCTGCTGTTGCTGCGTCGGCCGCGAGACTGCTGGCTGGACAGGCGGCTGGAGTCGTCGGCGGCTTCCAGGTCGGAGCTGTAGGAGTATTGATGTCCGTTGACTCGTGCGCCGTTGACGGACGAGGTGGCAGTCCACGTCCTCTGGGGGTCGGCGGCGCCAAACTGGGGTGCGGCGTCGTCGTAGGTATGTGATCGCGGTCCAGCCCCGTACTTATCGTGCTTCTCGTGCTTGTCGGGTTTGTCGTACCTGTCGCCCAACTGTGCCATGGAAAACTGGTCGAGCGACAGGAGCATGTTGGTGACGAGAGAGTCACGGGTGACGTTCCTCGGCGACAGCGAGAGGTCGTGCGAGTCCCGCTGGGTAGCGCGAGGCAGACGGTCGGCCATGTCGTCCTCGACGGGAGTCGGGTTGTCTAAAAACGATTCATGTGTGTGGCGGGAGGAGGACGGCAATCTACTAAGCGCCCGACTATCTGCGTCGGGGTGTGACTTAGACAGGGCCGGCGGCGGCTTGCAGTCTGCTGGCGGCGGCGTCTGCGGCTGCGGAGCGGCGTCTCTGTCTCTGGGGAAGGAATACGACGGCGACGCAAGGGAGGACGAGGTGTTGATGATCAGGTCCGCGCGAGTTCGACGGCGAGTCCAGCGGCGAGCATTGTCCGTCGAAGGCATTGTGGGACTCAGTCCACGGGGGTGGGAGCCTGGAGGCTTTTGTTTGGATCGGGATCTGCTGGGAACCGCGCTCGACGAGGCGAGGCGAGACAAGTCCCGGGATTGACAGCCACAACGCAGGCGAGGAATTGTGACGTGACAAGTCCGTCGCTGTTGGGCGTCGCGCGATGGGAGATGCGGTACGTACGCAAGGCCGCACGCACGTACATCGACTATGTACTCTGCACGAGCAATTACTCCTACGGCCACTCGCTCGCGACCTAGGACTCTCTAGGAGCCCTCTAGCACCAAGAAGAGGCAGAAGGGGGGCGCGCGACAAGGGTGCGACGCAGGGGTTGGATGGAGTTAATTAGCAGCGCTGCGAACTCTACGAGTCTAGCAGCGCCAACAGGACCGACGGGCCTTCTTTTGGAAGTTTGGATCGCACAGGACCCTGAAGGTGTACAGTACATGGAACGGGGGCAACGGAGCCAGGTCGTCAATGGGGAAAAGACGTGCAATGGTGAATCACGGATGGAGAAGAGGGAGTTGCAGATGAAACGCTCGGCCGGAGGAGGAGTGCAGATGCAGGTGGTCAAGCCATGGTGAGTCGACGGTGAGGCAAGCCGCGTACTATTTGCATCCAGACGAGCCTGTATCCGTATCTCGCTGGGAATCCGCACCACCGCCGCTACCACCTGAACTCGACACTCCCGCTGCCAATGCCCACAGCTTCCGTCTATCACAAGCTGGGCACCACCACGGGACATCAGGGGGGGTATAACACAGCTGCATAGATGCACGGCTGCACGCCAGCCCGAGATTGACGATGCGCGGAAGCAACGCCAACGCTCGCCGGGTGAGACTATCGAAAGCTCATCACAAGGGTGATGCCCAGCTAAACAAACCCGGTGAAAGGGCCGCTCTCATCAACGTCACTCCTGTTCGTCGCCCGTGCTGATTTTATGATTGCAGTCAGACACAAAAATATGAACCTGGCAGAAGAAACGCGCCCCGAACGCTGGTCCCAGCTCGCCGCAGCTCATCTAGGTACCAGAAGCTCTGTCTCCTGGCGTCAGTCCCAAAAGGGGCATGCGAGGCCGGCCCGGTGGGTTGGGTGGGCGGTGAGGCTAGGCCTGTGAATGGATGGCCCCTTTTTTCCTTCTGCGCGTGTGTGGGCGGCTTATTCCATTTGGCTCCAATCTGGATCAAGGTCTGAGAAGACGCCTGGAAGGACAAGGTTGAACAGGGTTGAACAGGGTTGCACATGGGACAGGGTACGCTGCGGGCGGACGGATCAGGTCATGGACGCAGACAGCCAGGGGCGACACCATGTGCATGGTGGAGGTCAACGGTGGATTGAGGGCATCCGCGGGCGAGTGGATTCAGGGACGTCCACCAGCATCGGCAATCGTCAGCGGGCCATCCACGGTGCCAACTCGACGATGCACAACGCCTGTGGCACGACGCGAGATGCACCTTTCTGGTTTGCAAAATGGGGGCCTTGTTGGTGACGGAGAAATGGCATCATGGCTGAGGAGCACCGACCACCAACAACTCCAAGCTACCGCGCCATGGGCTTTTGAAGCGGGTCGACGATGGATGGGATAGAATTTTGCCGGTGTGAAAAAAGCTCTGTTGGGTCCCTTCCCCTAGCCCAGAGTCTCCGTGCGGTTGCACAGATCACTGGAACTGGATTATAGAGTACTACTTCTGCACCCAGGAGGACTAGGGGAAATTGCTTCCATTTCCATGGATGGACGGTTGACGGAACACGCCGTGCAGATCGCTGCATTGCTACTTTTGGCTTTGTTTTATCAATCGGGTCGGCATCCAGTCTCGTTGTGCCAGAGCATACACTTCGGCTGCACGCACGATGCATCCGCAGCTCCAGCCGTCTCAAAACCACGGCAACGAGTCGCGCAGTGTGTCGTTACCCCAGCATGCTCGCAACTTTCGTTGGGCAGCGATGTAACTAAAAGTGCACGCGGCGCGATGCATCACATCGACGTGGCACCTCCCACGTCCGCTCAATTGACATTGCTGTGACGACGAGGCAGGCCTCAAAACAGCTCTGGCCAACCTCAGCGCCTGGCTTCCCGCCGGCAGAATGTATAGGTACTGCCTCTGTCCTTCTATGGAGCCATGCCTTCATCTGCTCATCTGCGAGGCACACGAGATAATTCTTTTTTGGATAAAAGAAAACAAAGAAAAGTACCACATCAATGATGATGAGGCTGCACGCTGCAGGTGTATCGGCCAAAGAGACGTCGAGTTGGGGTTTCCCTTGCAGAGTGAGGCTGAAACATTTGGCTTAGCGCTTGGACGATCCCAGATACCTCAGAAGAGCTGCATGTTGACAGGCTTCGCGAATACAATGGCATCCTATTGGGGCAAGTCTGGCCATGTCTCCTCCAATACTTCCCACGCAGGGAAGCCAGCGACAGCGATTGCCATTGAGCCAGTCAAAACCATGCGAACTCGTGGGCAGCCGGATCCAGATCTAACCAGCGAATCCCGAGAGCGTGCTTCGTAGGTCCCGCGCATCTGGCGCCACCATCACAATGTCGGCACCAGCAACGCATCACCTGACCCGAAAGTACGGAGAGCCGGAAAAGAATAACGACTCAATTCCGCTTCACTGCGGGAACAAACGCGAAAGATCCCACCCAAGCTAAAAAGCTCCCCCAGTGGCCCAATGGTGGCGAGTCAATGGCCCCAGTGGATCAACCAATAGCCTAATAGCTGGTGCCACTGTGCCACTGAAAGCCTCTCCTTCTGGAGAAGGCGCCCACTGGCTCCCCGCAATCATCCACCCCCGCACGCGCAGGGATTGGTTTAGCCTCGTCCGGGCAGTCGTCGCCTGGCACTTGCACGGCGCACCTGACCTCACACCTTTTACCATGTACACCGAGGTGTTATTCCCTACCCTGGACTCATCTCCATCTCTCAGCCCATCTGGCTCGATGCCTGTAACATCTGCTGAATCTGTCGAGATCCGCCTTCCCCCGCCTGAAAGGACTCGTATATCGTTTTCCTGGCTCCTGAAAAGGTATACCGGCCCAGAGTCTCGGGGCTTGTCGACGACCAGAACCTCGGTTCCCCTCCTCACTACACTACCATCACAATGACTCCATTCTCAATCACGGACAACTCGTCTTCTCCATCAAATAGCTGGCCCCTCGATCAGTTTGTCCAAGATCCCGGATATCTGGCTTACCAGGAAGAGCTCCGGTGCCTCATCTTCAATACTGCCCAGACTGCCGCGCCCTCACGCGAGACCTCCCCTGTCCCAGGAGAACATGGTCCACCTGGTGAAGATTTTGAGGTCCAGGCCCAGATCAAGGCCGCTCTCTCATCTGGCCGAAGGCTGACTTATTTGAAAAACTACGTTGCTGAAGTAGCTCCATGGGTAAGCGCCTCAATTCTGACATGTCATTCGCTCCCCAGACTGACCAACCAATGCAGCTTGATATGTTCGACAGTGAGCGAGCATTCACTGTGCAAGTCCCCGTCCTTGCACGCCGATGCCCGGCTCTCCTCTACGCCATCCTCGCCCTCTCAGCTCGGCAGATGGAGCGCAAGGAATCCAAGCAGCACTCGTTTGACAGCTTGGAGCTCTACCAGGAGGCCATCAGGCTCCTCAATCCCCTGCTCCAGGCCCGAGATCTCACCATTATCCCAATTTGCGTCATCCTGTGCTGCCTTGAGATGATGTCGGCTAGCCCACAAGACTGGCGTCGACATCTCGAGGGTTGTGCAGCCCTATTTGATGCATTCGATATCAACGGGTTTAGCGGCGGTTTGCTCCAGGCTGTTTTCTGGTGCTACGTACGAATGGGTAAGAGTTGTCAGTTATTTGACATTGAGATATCGAGACTGATGCTTAACAGATTTATGCGGAGCTCTAATATCTGATGGAACCCAGGGCACAATCGTGTCTCTCAACAAATGGCTCCCTGCTGGTGCCGACCCAGCTTCCGCTGCCAATCTCTTCCGAGAGCACCGGTCCCCAGACATGCACGCAAACTACTCCGTCTATTTATGCTCCAAAGTGTGTGAGCTTGTAGCTGACAGGACTCGCTACGTGGAACTTGGAGAAAACAACGGATGCGACTCTGCCGCCTTTGAAAGGCGTTGGCTCCGCCTGTGGCATGATCTCCAGGCTTGGCTTCAAGATCGACCTCCGGAAATTGTCCCCGTCAAATCAATCGACAGCCGGCCATTTCCCCAAATCCTCTTTGTCCACTGGGCTGGTATTTCCTCCAACCAGCTGTACCATACCGCCTGCACCTTGCTTCTAGGCTCGAAACCTCGAGAAATCAAACTCGATGTTGGACATACGGGTTCTGCAATCTGGCATGCGAAATGCATTTGCGGCATCTCATTGACGAATCCCCACCAAGGCTGCTTGAACAACGCCATCCAGCCTTTGTGGATCGCTGGAAGGCTTCTTAGCCACAAATCTGAGCATTTGCTTCTGTCAAAGCTCATTCAGAGCATAGAAGCAATGACTGGCTGGGCAACATGCTGGCGTATTGCCGATCTCGAGAATTCTTGGGGATACAAAGTTCGATAAAACGCCATGAAAACATTGCGTTCATTATTTGGCTACAAGTCTTCTCAATAAGCTTAATCAGGCTGCCACTCTTGCACGAGCTGCGCCGAGAGTGCATTCACATTCCAACCTGTCAAAGAACCAATGCGGTCGATGCCACGCAGAATAGCATGCTGCTGAGGCTCGTACGTCATGCGTTTGGCGGCGAGATACAGCGAGGCAAGGAGACTGAAGTCCCAGCTTGCCGTCGTGTCGTTGTTCAGGCTTATGGCACAGATTCGCTGGGCATGCCAGAGTGGAGAAATCAATACTGATCGCCCATGCTCTTTCGGGAGAGTTCGGGGCCTGTTCTGAAGCAATAGCAACATTGATGTATGATAGAGCTGATTGGCCAGCACTGCCGCTCCGTTCGTGAAGAGAACAAGAGGGAATAACTCCTCGCTCTCTTCAACCTCCCACATGGGTTTAAAATCCCGAGGGCGATTGTTGTACCACATGCTAAGGGATTCTGAGAGAGACTTCCAGTTCTGGGCGGCGGATGGACGGAGGTGGATTCCCGGAGTAACAGGAAGGTCTTGTCCAAAGCAGTGATTGAGGACTTGGGCACACAGAAGTATCGGCTCGCGGTCGTACTTGAGCGACTCTCGACACATTCCAGACATGGGAGATGAACTATTGTATGATAGGAGATTGGGGATGGATACTGGGGAACCATTCATGAGCCCAACGCTCAATTCTAAAAACCGGTTAATAAGTAGCCTCATGTGGTAAGTCAGGCATAATTACCAAGTCTCAGCATCACCCATGACAGAGCTAAATTGACTGTAGGATAGTGCTCCTGAAATGAAGCCGAGTTTACCAACCCAAAACTAATGTGCTTGGATGGACTCTGCCACGATGTCGGTGCCACCACGACATGTCGGCGGAGAGCCATGAAGCCAAAGGCCAGAGCGCTGCGTAGAATGTCGACGCTGGGTCCGTTTAGATCGGGTGGGACGATGCATTGATCCCCGAAGTTGGAGTCGACTTGCTCATCGAGGGTCGTCATGGCAAGGGCAAGGAGCGAGTCGAGAACAAGAATCGAGTCCATAGCAATACGTGGGATCAACAGGCCAAACGTCTGGGCTGCATCGCCGATATCCAACTAATCAGCAACATCTGTTAGCATTGGAGCTTTCCGTCTCTTATTGTTTGGAATACATACCCATGGCGCAATGTTGTATCGATAGTGTCGCAAAAGCTGTACCGCCCGATCTTGGGGCAAATGAGCACAGTTTTGAAAAGCAGCTGGCGATGGCTTGCTCCCCGTTTCTAATTGACTGGGAGAGAATCCGGGGTGAGGGTTTGGCGGCGATCCAAAGTAGCTTTCACTTTCCAGGATCTGGGACGTCACCGGTGCAGGCACATAATTGTCATGGCCCAGCGACAGCAGTCCATCCAAGGCGGTCTCGTACGCTGCATTTGAAGGGGATATACCAACCGTGTAGCTCCCAGGACCAGCTAAGTCATGGTTCCCTTGGCCAGCCGGGGATGGCGTTGCAAGATTTTCCAGCGCAGGACTGATCAGAGCCGGCGGCTGTGGTGGTTGGGCCAGTAGCTCGGCTGGATTCGCAATCTCCTCTGACAGCGTCTGGCTCTGGCCTGGCTTGGGCAGGGTGTGCGTGCTCTCCGAGTCGCGCGAAGGCGCATCGTCGTCCTGGAACTGAATGTTCTCCTGGGCCGTCACGGACTCTGGCACGACGAACTGCGAGGGGCCGTCAGCAGGAACTCATGCAAGATGCACTGGACGCATGGATCTTGGCGACAGCGACGCACTCTTAGCTTGCCATACGCCGGCTTGGTGACGCGCTCTGAGCCCGAAGCGGCCGATGTCTTTGCATTCTTCTCCAAGAACGACAGGCGCGTGCCGTATTGGCAGTCGAACCCGCCGTCGACACATCTTCGGCACGACGGTTTACCCTCATCGCCTGACAAGCCGTGTTAGTCGTCATAATGACAGCGCGGTGTCTCCCTCCCGGCCGATCAGCCCAGGGGACTTACACTTCCGTCGACGCATGCGGCATTTGAAACAACCTGTCCTCGTCCTTCGCAGGCGGGTCTTGGAGCCCGCATCGGCCATTGTCAAGTTGGCATCGTATGGGGGAAAATGTGGGATGGAGGGGGGAAAGAAGGAGAGGGCGCGCCGAACGGGGAAAGATGAAGCCTTGGGATTCCGGGGGCCGGGGAACACGGTGTGGCCGATGTTGCCCCTTTGGGCAATTATAGACGCTCGCCGTGTGGGACACCGGCGGCGAGTCCGGAAGTGTTTAGCGCCGCGACTACGGGGATTCAACTGACTCGGGTGCGGTTGCGATGGATGTCATAATGGAGGGGCAGAGGCTGTCATGGAGACGGGGTGGATTTTTGCAATAAAGGCGGAATGCCCAGCGTGGCGAGCTTCTCTTCATCCTGTTGATGCGATTGTCCATACTCCCTCACTTACAAACCACACACGCAATGGCTCCCGCTACCACCAAGCTCGCCTCCGGGCACGAGATGCCCCTCGTTGGCTTCGGCCTCTGGAAGGTCCCTGCTGCCCAGGCCGCCGAGACTGTCTACAACGTGCGTGAGGGCGAATATTCACCTGGAAAGCTGTTTCTGGACCTCAATGCTGACCAGTTCCCTGTAGGCCATCAAGGCTGGATACCGCCTCTTCGACGGTGCCTACGGTACGTTCCTGTCTCTTGAAAAGCCCACCCTCCAGATCGAACTCTCATAGCCCCGAAACTGGCTCGATTACGATACCCCTCACCCAACTACAAACACCGGTTCTAACACATTCTGCTCAGACTACCAGAACGAGAAGGAGGCCGGTGAGGGTATCCTCCGTGCCATCAGCGAGGGCCTCGTGAAGCGCGAGGACATCTTCGTCACCACCAAGTTGTGGAACAACTACCACAGCCACGAGCACGCCTTGGAGATGGCCAAGATCCAGAATGAGGCTTGGGGCCTCGGCTACATCGATCTCTACCTCATCCACTTTCCCGTCGCCCTCAAGTACATTGAGCCCGAGACTCGACGATTCCCGGTAAGTCTTTTCTGCTCGCACGCCAGCTTGTCACTCGACTAACCGGACTGTCAAGGCCTGGTGGATGGACGATGCGCAGACCGTCGAGGTCGCCAACGTGCCCATCCGCGAGACCTGGGAGGCTCTCGAGACCACGGTCGACGAGGGCATCGCCCGCTCCATCGGCGTCTCCAACTTCCAGGCCCAGGGTCTCTACGACCTCCAGCGCTACGCCCGCCACCCCATCTCCTCCCTGCAGATCGAGCACCACCCCTACCTCGTGCAGCCCGGCCTGATCGCCATGGCCCAGGAGAACAACATCGCCGTCACGGCCTACTCCTCCTTCGGCCCCCAGAGCTTCGTCGAGCTCCCCGGCATCTTCTCCAAGCGCACCCAGGACGTCGAGCCCCTCCTCGAGACCAAGGTCATCAAGGACCTCGCCGACAAGTACACCAAGACGCCCGCCCAGATCCTGCTCCGCTGGGCCACGCAGCGCAGCATCGCCGTCATCCCCAAGTCCAACAACCCCGGCCGCCTGGCCCAGAACCTGGATGTTCTGAGCTTCGACCTCACCCAGGAGGAGATTGAGAGCATCTCCGGCCTCGACCGTGGTCTGCGCTTCAACGACCCCGGTTTCTACCTGCCCAACTACCCCCTGCGCATCTTCGCTTAAGCAGTGAAGCTGGGGTATTTAAATAAAATAGACATGAGATAGATGAAAATAAATAATGACAAATGCCAACGACTCGCCGACCTATGATTCTAGAAATAATCTTTTGCTTGTGCAATTATGGCAGTGTTGGAAATTACATTCCATCTTGTCCGCGCGGTCTTCGCAGCTGTCTGACGGTTAATCCAGCGGTCCAGTCTCTCGCGAATTGCTGACGTATTTTGCACTTGGACTCCACTCAAAACAACTTGAACATGGAGCATCCTTGGACAATGTTCGTAAATAATTCATGTAATTTCTTTCTTCGTTATAGCATTCATGTTTTATGATCATGGTTATTTCAACCAAGTTGACTACATGCCGAAGGAAATCATCAGTTCCTCCATAGCATCACCAATATTGTCACTACCACCACCTCCACCCTTAAGTTCCTTATTCGTCGTCTGAATCACCACTCGCTTGTAGCTCGTCAAGTTTGGCGACCCGGCATCCGTGACCTCGAGAATCATGTGCAGCACTTGGCCCTTTGCGGTCGGCTTTCGGGTCATCAGGTCCACGCAGCACTTGTCGGGGGCAGGGAGCGTCAATTCAATGACCCGGCCCTCGGCATCCTTCTTCTCAAACTTCATCTCCTCCACCTCGAGGAATGCAAACCACTGCGAGGCACTGGGCTCGCGGTACTGCCACCACTTGAAAGTAAGAGCATCGCCATCGGGATCATACGTCTCGGTGGCATCGAGCTTCAGGGTAGAACCGGCCTCGGCGGAGATGTAGACTGGCTCAGGACCAGAGGATCCGTTCAGGGAGATGATGGGGTGGTGGTTGGCAGATGTCAGGGATGAGTCCAAGGTCCACTGGATTCTGGCAGCAAAGTCGTTTTGGAAGGCATCTCGGAAGCGCCAAATTGTGCCGTGGTTGGTTTTGTAGGTCTTGCCGTCTTGGCCGACCACGACGTCACAGACATCGCTGTAATGCTTACTGCCTAGGCCGTCGGGGCTAATATCAGTGAGTCCGTATCGACCGCCCCAGGAACCGTACTCGGGATGCTCGCGGACTCCAAGACCGTTCTGGATAAGATACAGGAAAGTAGGAGTGTCGCCCTCGGGGATGAAGAGGTAGTTGGGGTACGCTGAGCCCAGAGGACCGATCTGGACATGCTCCTTGAGCCACGCCTTGGAGAGCTTGGAGAAGTCGGGACCTCCCTGGTCAAAGCCGTAGTACCTGTCGCCTGCAATGCCGGTCCACGTAGCCATGCCATATTGGTTCCATGCGTGCACGGAGGCGATGTAAAAGATGTCAGGAAAAGTGTTGCGGATCCAAGCACCCGTATCGTCCTGGTCGGAAATGGCATAGACTCTGAGCTTCGCCCTCAAGGCAGTAAAATCCCCCTCGGAGTGAGTTTCCTTGAGTCTGAAGAGAACCTGGGCGAGGACGTTGGTGCCGCCCCAGCATAAGATCCAAAGAGGGTCCTCGGACGGAGCTGTAATTCTCTCCAGGAGCAGCTCGCCACCCTCACTCAGGGGGATGTCGTGACCGACGGCCTTGGATCCATAAACCTGCAATTGATGCAATTAGAAGATGGCTCTCTTGGGAGATGATGATATGCACATACAGGTGCGCCAGGCTTGATGAGACCCTTCAAATACGCTGCTGAAGGATACTGGAAGTCTGGGTGGGCGTGCTTGTTCAGATTGTCGACGGCACCAGCGTATGCGTCAACGATCTTGTGCATATCCTGTGGACAGACCTTGTCCCTCATCCATGTTGAGGAGCAAGCCACAAGACCTTCAGTCTCAAACTGGTTGGAGTACAGAAGGTATCTAACAAGCGACTCTGCATCGTCGGGCTCGTTGGAGATGTCCGACAGGATGAAGACTCGCGGCTTCGAGGAGAAGGACTGCAGCTTGGACGAGTCGGTGGCCATGTTGGAAAGCGTCTTGTGGTGATACGTCCACTTGCCCTGATGCTCGCTGCCCCCGTCCTCTCATGACATGGCATTCATTATATCCAGCTGGACGCATGACCCCACGACGCAGGAGCAGCCGAACGGCCGCACTTCTCCCGGGCTTTAGCCAAGCATCGTGAGGGCATTCCCGATGCGGCAACTTTAAACACCGCCCCCGGCGCGTCCCCGCAAGCGTGCCGAAGATGTGGGACGACGGGGGTAGAACTGCGGGGATGGTGGCGCCCGCTGGAGAAATTGGCATTCGCCCATGCCCCCGGTTCGCAGTGGAGTTTTGCAGGCCCGGTGACAGATGCTCGGGTCGTGGGCGGGCTGGGAGAGGGCGCGGAAATGCCGTTCGCTGGAAGAGGAAGGGCGATGCACTCTTGGCTTGCTGTCGACTCCGGCTGACCTGCAGAGAATGCAGCGCGGATGATGGGCGGCGAGACGATGGGGCGGACGAAGATTAAGGCGAAGCTGTGTCGTGAATTGTTTGCCTTGTTGTCTTTGCCGTCTTCGTTGCCCTTCCCTAACCACCTCGACGCTCTGTAGATCACGCCCAACACCCGTCAGTAGCATCGAATATGGGTTCCATCGCCGAGTCCCAGCCCGCCGTCAACGGCCACCAGCCCTCCGTCGAGGACCTCAAGCGCCAGGTCAACGGCGCCGCCTCGCACGAGATCCTCCAGGCGCCTCTGCCGAACCCGTCGCTCCAGGTCACGGCCGACCACAACCTCAAGGCCGTGGACGCGCCCGTGTACGCGCCCAAGGCCGGCGAGGTGCTCGTGCACGTCAAGGCGACAGGAATTTGCGGGTATGATATGAATGATCCTGGGCTTCACGCGCCGCGGGCGTGATGGAGCTGGCTTGCGGCGGTTTGCTGATGCGCTGGCTAGGTCCGACGTTCACTTCTGGAAGACTGGACGCATCGGGTCGCTCGTTTTCGAGGGCGACTGCATCATCGGCCACGAGGCTGCCGGAGTCGTGATACGATGCGGCGACGCAGTCAAGGATTTGAAACCAGGTAGGCCTGCTTAGCACGTCTCCAGCCGGCAGTGTGGACTCACACAATTTCATCTTAGGTGACAGAGTCGCCATCGAGCCGGGTGTCCCTTGCGGGAACTGCTTCCTGTGCCTGGACGGCCGGTACAACCTCTGCGAGGACGTCGAGTTCGCGGGCGTTTACCCCTACGCCGGCACGCTCCAGCGATACAAGGTCCATCCTGCCAAGTGGCTTCACAAGTATGTCATCAACCTCTCTATTTGCGTCTTTTAAGGCCTTTGAAACTAACCAGCCGCCTCGCCAGGCTCCCTGACAATGTCTCCTTCGCCGAGGGAGCCCTCCTCGAACCCCTCAGCGTTGCCCTCCACGGCATCAACACGGCGCGCATCACCATCGGCACCCCCGTCGTTGTCTGCGGCGCCGGTCCAATTGGCCTCCTCGCCCTCGCGAGTGCCCGCGCGTCCGGAGCTCACCCGATTGTCATCACCGACGTGGAGCCCACGAGACTGGCCTTTGCCAAGGAGATGGTCCCGACGGTCCGGACGTACCAGGTCGACATCACAAAGAGCAACGAGGAGAACGGCCTGGCTGTGAGGAAGCTCTTTGGCGAGACCGAGTACGTCCAGCCGCGAGTGGCGCTGGAGTGCACCGGTATCGAGAGCAGCGTGTGCTCGGCTGCCTTCATGGTGCGAAGAGGTGGTTTGTTGATGGTGATTGGAGTCGGCAAGTCCATAATGAACAATCTGCCATTCATGCACTTGTCCCTGGCCGAGGTATGCAAAAAGATGTTCCCCCGGAAATTAATGTTCCATTTACAGACGCGAGCTAACCCACAACCCCAGATTGATCTCCGTTTCATTAACCGGTACCGGGACACATGGCCCGCAGGCATTGCGTGCATCGAGGGAGGACTGGTGGATGTCAAGAAGCTGGTCTCTCACGTCTTCCCTCTGGAGAAGGCATTGGAGGGCCTGACTCTGTCGTCAGACCCGAGGAACGGCTGCATCAAGGTGCAGATTGTAGATGATAACGAAACGACATTTTTCTAGAAGGTTATGACGCATAATTCGAGCATGGTAGACAGCTTAGCGGGGGGTTAGAAGGAGCAAATATAAAATTGAATCTGAATCCACCATCTTGTCATCATGACACCTCGCAACGTGTTGCACCAGCTGCTAACAAGCAGCCAACAAGGAGCAAGAAGCACCCAGCAAGCAGCCAAGAAGCTAAGGCTACGGTTCATGCGCCGCCTCAACATCAGTCCACCTTGGCGCGTGTCTGCATCGTCTTTGCACAACGCCTCCCGCGTTAAGGGCCGATCTCCGAAATCGCCGAGAGGTTGACGTCAAAGCCGTACCCAGCGCCATCCAGGATCCGTCCCAGGAACGCTCCGAGTTGCCTCCCCGTTTCTCCCTAGCCGGATCGAACTGCCCTCCTTGGCCGGAACAGATCGGACAACCTCGTGTCGCTCACCAGCTATTGCCGGAGCCTCGCATAACTCGGCCACGGCGCTGAAATCCTTGTCCCGAACGTGACTCGGGCCCCATCTCGCGGTCCACCCTCGCCGACTCAGGGCCCGCGAGCCATGCCACACGGCGGCCACAGCAGGCCACGCGAACCCCAGACCGTAGGCCTGAATAGGCACCTTTAAACGCCTTCCGCAAACCTGTCGCGCAATGACGATGGACATGGCGTGTCGCTGTGCCCGACAAATTGGCACATCTCCACCACGACGGAATCATGGGACGTGTGCGGAACCTGCTGTGGGGGAGGAGACCCCCAGATTCGCGTGTCAACACCATTTTGGGGTCTGGGGTAATGTTGTATAAGTAGTCTGGGGCCAGCTCCAACTTCTCCAATTTCTACTCCAAGCTCAAGCGCCTCGTCGTTAGCACCACCATCATCTCCTCCTCCTCCTCCTCCTCCTCCTCTTGTTTCCCTTATCCGGAAGTCCATCAATCAATTCCCATGGCGGACCCCGTTTCCACGGCCGAAAAGGTCGGTGCCGAGCACCATGATGTCGTCGACAATGACCTCGCCCACCTGGCCAACCAGCAGGAGCATGAGATGGGCAAGCTCGAGTCCATCAAGAAGTACCCCCTCGCCTGCGTGTGGTGTCTCTTCGCCGTGTGGTGCATGCTCCTCGTCTCCTTTGAGAACCAGGCCGCCGGCAACATCATCAGTATCCCCAAGTTCCGCGAGGACTTTGGCGAGAAGGTCGACGGCACCTATGTGCTCTTTGCCAAATGGCAGAGCGCTTTCCAGGGTGCGCCCGTTGCTTCGTACGTCGGCGAATTTTTCTTAGTGCCACTATATTTTTGGGGTTCACGACGCTAACCAAGAGTCTAGTGGTGTTGTTGGTGCTCTCGGATGCGGTACCATTGCGGATTGGCTAGGTCGCCGCGCCGTCATCATCATCTGCCTCGTTATTGCCTACGCCGCCATCACCATGGAGTTTGTTGCTACTACTAACGAGCTCTTCTTCGGCGGCAAGTTCCTCAATGGATTCTCCGTCGGCGCTCTGGCCTCCGTCACCGTGTCCTACATTGGAGAGGTTGCTCCCATGTCCCTTCGTGGTCTCCTCACCTGCCTGTCTGCTCTTGCATACACCCTTGGACCCCTGATCGTCGCTCTTGTTGTCAACGAGACCGGAACCTTTGAGACCCGCTGGGCCTACCGCGCCATCTTCTGCGCTCAGTATGGCTTCGCCGCCGTTGCCACCATTGCCGTCCCTTTCATGCCTGAGTATGTTACCTAAATCTCCAGATATGGCGAGTAAACTTGCTAATGTGCTTCATAGGTCCCCGTGGTGGTTGGCGTCTCAGGGCAAGCAAGAAAAGGCCCTCGCCGCTCTGGCTCGCCTTGGTAGCAAGGGCGAAGAAGGTGCCAAGCGCCTCGCTGCTATCAACCAGACCCTCGAGGAGGTCAAGAAGGAGACCGAGGGTGCTACATACTTTGAGTGTTTCCGCAAGTCCAATCTCCGCCGAACCATCATCTCCATCGCACCCCTCTGTATCCAGTCCCTCAGCGGCATCACCTTCATCGCCTCCTACGGAACCTATTACATGCAGCTTGCTGGCTACTCTACTTCCGAGAGCTTCAGGCTTCAGATTGTCCAGCAGGTCATTTCCCTCGTCGGAAATGTCATGTCCTGGTATCTTGTTGATCGCGTTGGACGCCGCGACCTTACTTTCTACGGTCTGATGATCCTTACTCTTATTCTGTTCATCACCGGTGGTCTGGCTGCTGCTGCCACCGACGGTACCATCAAGGGCAGTGTCGCCATGATTCTGGTCTACTGCTGGTGGTATAACGTCACCATTGGCGCTACTGCTTACACCATTCTCTGCGAGGTTTCGACTTCTCGCCTGCGTGTCAAGACCATTGCCATTGGTCTGGCCGCCCAGAACCTTCTCAACATGATGTGGAGTTTCGTCCTCCCCTACCTCTTCAACCCTAACAAGGCAAACCTTGGCGCCAAGCTGTCCTTCATCTTCGGCGCCCTGGCCATCATTAGTCTTGTGTACTTGTGGTTCTGCCTCCCCGAGACGGCTGACCGAACATTCGAGGAGCTTGACGAGATGTTTATGAAGGGCGTCCCCGCCAGGAAGTTCAAGGCTTACAAGACTGAGGCCCAGGCCAACGGCGAGGCTGTTAGTACTGTGTATGCCGCGGAGGCAAAGGAAATGAACTAAATGCAACGAAATCGGTTGAACCGACTCATTGGGCTCAATTGCCCTTGAGGAACACAATTTATGATGATACCAACTCATTCTTAGCGAAATAGATAGTCTAGATGGGGTTCTTATCGTATTGATCTAATGAAATTCATTACTAAATGGTTATCTAGCCCTGCCTTGAAAGTGTTCATGTGCCCGTCTCGACAGCAAGACCATGTAATTGGACTATCGCAATGTCTCAAATCGATCTAACCTACACGTGGTCTGAAGGATTCCAACTATAATTAGTCTATGTAACCTCACAACCGGGGTTTACATAGCACGTTATTACTCCGTATTTTATTTTAGGGTTTGATGGACGGGAAAAAGAAATTATGGTGGCGTAGCAGGGGGGCGTGCGCAAAATTGGCGTCATTCGTACCTTGCCGTGCAAACCACAACGCTTCAAGAACAACAGCTACATGGTCAATTGATTGACTACACCATTCTCTAGCAATGAAATGGAAAGGTTCCCATATCTATGAGCAATCAAATCACTCGTCGGAGGAATTGTGGTCCTTTAATCGAGGTACCCTGGACCCCTGTCGATTGGTAAGCTAGTTGAGAGATGGATGAATCATGAACGTCGCGCTATGGGATCAATCGCACATTAAAGACCGTTATAACGCCACTTACATCGACCGCTTCCCAACTGCCATGTGGACCTCGTCCGCCTGATCCATCGTGGTGACAATTCGGGGAGACAAATTGCAACACGCCACGTATTTACCTAGGTAATTGCAATAATAGCCCCATCCGCGGGCCTCCCTTTGGGTCCCAATTCTCCCATTCCCTCGTTCTAGGTCACGCTTCGCAGTCCTTCATACGTACAAAATGACCCCCTCCCTACTGCTGCCATCACACCACCCTGGCATCTGGCGGCATTAGTCCATCTGCCGATGCAGGGCTCGCCCTGTCCTAACTGGACGGTCCCAGTCTAGCGGACCCCTTTCTGACGGGATCCCGACCACTGGGCCAACCACCGGTTCTCGAACCTGTTCATGCAGATACAGACTGGCGGTTGTTGGTGGTTGTCAAACGGACAGCTCACACATCCCTCGCTTAGCTAGTTCTAGCACCGCACCGTGGCCCACTGGGAAACGCTTTGCCTCCGCGCCGCGTGAGAAAGTTCGTGCCGGTGACCGCCCGAGCTAGCCTCAGGTGAGGTGGTGAAGTTGAGATGGGTTGAGCACTGGAGCGGAGCAGGGAAGCCCGGGACAGGGTTGGCATGGGAGAAGACCGGGGGGTGTTCCCGGCAGGCGGGAACGCTTGCGAAGACCCCCTCGACCTCGATCCCGGATTCTCGTCGTGGACAATTGCCTCAACTCTGGTTCGTCTTTGCAAAAGCTCGCCAGAAGCTGCGCAGCTGAGATGCGTGTCGCAATCATTGGCGGTGGCCCCTCGGGCCTCGTCCAGCTGAAGGTCCTCCTCGAGGCCCACCAGCGCTTCTCCGTCGCGCCGTTCGAGGTCAAGCTGTTCGAGTCCTACAGCAAGATTGGCGGCATTTTCTTCCACCACTCGTACGAGGACGGAGAGCTGGTCTCGTCCAAGTACCTGACCACCTTTTCCGACTTCCGCCCGACGCTCGACGAGCCCGACTTCTTCTCCACCGAGAGGTATCTGGAGTACCTCGACGCCTACGCCTCGCATTTCCAGCTGTGGCCGCACATCAACTTGAGCACGGCGGTAAAGTCGGTTAGGCGGGGAGTCGACAGCGCCCATGTAGTCACCTACCAGACGCCGGATGGCGAGGTCGTCGAGTGGGAGTGTGACGCTCTCGCTGTCTGCTCAGGCGTCCACGCGGTTCCGCATATTCCTGACATCCCGGGTCTCGAGCGAGTGCCCTCTGTCATGCACTCATCTGCGTTCAAGACCCGAGAGCAGTTTGGAAAAGACACGACCGTCCTCATCCTCGGGAGTGGCGAAACGGGCGCGGATGTCAGCTATCTCGCCGTGACCGCAGATACAAAGAAGGTAGTCCTCTGCCATCGCGATGGATGGATTGGCGCACCCAAGGTTAACATCCCAAGAGTTATTTGAATTGAAGCATTCGACTAACGAGTTGTGAAGAGAGTCCCTGGTCAGAAATTCCTCCCATGGCTTTTTGGAGCCAAGGACTATGACTACCCCCAACTGCCTCTGGATGTCAGCCAAATCACATTGTTCGACTCCATGTACGTCCACCCGATGGTTCGGGATAGCATGTTGATATGGGACTTCTACCACTTTGTGGCGTTGCCCGCTGGGTGCTGGCTTTGCGGAGGGTCGCCATACGGTGTCGACCAGTTTGTTGGGCAGGTCTTTGGCGAGCGCTTCCATGTCTCAAAACGTGAGTTCCTCACAACCTAGTTTTCCTCGTGGTGTCGCTGACGTTGTGTAGTCTTTCTGAACAAGGCGTGGCAACGGATCCACAACTATGTCTCTTACCCGTACAGGCCGACGACCTGGCCCTTCTGGACGCGAGTTCGTCGTTTCTTCTTCAACACGGAGACTCCACCGCCACCTTCTCGCACCATCGATATTGCACCGTTTCCTTCCCACATCTCGGAGGATGGTGTGGCTCACTTTCCGCTCACAGGACGACCCGAGGCGGAGCGCATTCAAACCATGGAGATCAAGCCCGATGTCATAATCTTGGCTACTGGATACCTTACTTCGTTTCCATTCTTGAACACCCCAGACAACGACGGGCACAAAGCTTACCCGGAGGCATTCGATGCAGATGTTAGACAGATCTGGAACTCGAATGACCCAACGGTGGGCTTTATTGGATTCCTTCGGCCTGGATTTGGAGCCATTCCGCCTTTGGCTGAGATGCAGTCCATGCTGTTTACCATGAACCTCATCAACAGCATCCCCAGGCCGCTCAACCCAGACGACGAGTGGCACTACCGCATCATCCACAAGCCCGACGCCAGAGTCTCGTATGGCGTCGAGCATGACAGCTATGCGTACCAGCTTGCCAAGGATATGGACTGTGCCCCTAGCTTCACAGAAGTGCTCAAGATGTCCTTTGGAGCCCGCAAGGGCTGGAGGCTACCGTATATCTGGGCTGCCGGAGCGTCTTTCAACACCAAATTTAGGCTGAGAGGGCCTTGGAAATGGGAGGGCGCGAGGGATGTGCTGACCGGAGAACTGTGGCAGACAATCAGCCGTCGCGAGGGACTGTTCGGTAAGACGCCATGTGAAGTATGGTGGGCTGTTCATGCTAATCTCGACTAGGAAACATCCCTTTGAGCATCGTTCCGATGATTTATCTGGGAAGCATCAATCTTTTCTACTGCTTCTACGGCGGCTTTTGGGGCTTGCTCGCCAAATTGAGATTGTGCCGGCCAATTCAGCGGCGGATCGAACCGAAGCTTATTATGGAGGAGATGGCGCGATTGCAGCAAGCCGAGGCTCAGAAGGCCAAGCTGAATGGCAAGGCTATGAAGAAATGAATCATGTGTTACGAGCATTAGCGACGTTGAATTTTGTATAATGAGATGCTGAAGATCATTGATTTGAGTACTTCCGTTCATAAGGCGAGACAATGCAGATCCCAAGTTTCAGATCCAGGTACGGATACACAGGCGCCTAATTCATCCCAGCCCACTGGATCGGTCATGTCTTGCAGCGAGGAGTAGCGGGGTCGGCGCTGAAGGCAGGGAGCGGCCCGCGAAGCCACACTGGGTCGACCCACTGGAGTTAGTCATTGGCTAGCGCTCTGCAGCGAAGGTCATAATTAGCGGATGCCAGATGGATGAGATGATCTAGATGGAGGAAGTGAGATCTACAACGGAATACGAGAAAAAGAGAAAAAGCCGACTGGGAAACACGGAGGGTGGTATTCGGGTTATCTTTGCCAAGTGGAAGATAATGCACTGAGACGTCGGGGATCTTCCAACATAAATGAATGCATCCAAGTTGCATCTCACGTCAGAACAGGAACCATGGCGCGCACAACTTTGCTTTTTCTTTCCCGCTCACCGGCAGCAGCCCCTGGACCACTCACTGGTGGCGCGCTGCTAGGACGCCGCTATCTTCTCCAACTCTTCTCTTCTCCAACCAACCCCAACTTCGCAACTCCAACGCCCAAGGCCAAGACGCGCCGGTGACCGAGCCAAGCCACTAAGCGCCCACGCCCAGTCGGAGGCGTGAGCCATGGCGCTGCCTCATTCGGCCCAAGGCCACAGGTGACCAGCCAGAAGGCGCATCCAGGCGGAGCGAATGCCCTCAGCGCAGTCTGTGCCTACTAAATACGTAGAAGATACGTAATGCGACCCTTGGCTCGTGCACTGCCCTGCCCTACGGCGCTGCCTACAAGGCCATCTACCACGGCGTCGCATTCTTACAGGGGGGCTGCGCACTGTGTGGTAGCATCCGGACTGAGCGTTGGGCGGCGCTGCGCTTCAGTTCTCGCCTCTGCTCCGCTCACCTCATCATTCTTCAGCCTCGTGGCTTCCGACGGCATGTGACAACTCTCTCGCAAACCAACACGCCCATTCATTCCTCTGCATTTATAGACTCGCTACGACCTCTTGGTCCAGTCTTCGTTGCTAGCTCTTCGTTGCTAGCATCCTTGTCCTCTTCACGTCCCTTGCCTTTCTTTGTTTCTTTCCTCCTAGTTACCTCCTATATGGTCGGCACTGCCTCTCTCCCCCAGTTGCCATAATCCTCCCCATCATGGGCCACAACACCCAGTTCTACCGCTCCCAGGTGGGCGAGTCCTCCGTCATAGACTACTCTCACACCGACTTCCCCTGGAGGCTCTTCGTTAAGGACGTCTACTACTTCTTCGTCTACATCTGGGCTCTGCCATGGATCGTCTGGCCGTTGTTTCCCTCTGGCCCTAAAGAGTTCAATGAGCTGGCCATCACCCCCGAGAACCTCTTCTGCATTTTCATCCACCTCATCCTCGGAATCCTGCAGCTGCTGTTCCTCGTGGGCCTCCCGTTTTCTATCTTCTTCCCGGTGTGGATGGTGGCCGCGGGAATAGCTGTCTTCATGGTTGTGAACTGGGGCCTCTGTAGGCTGCTCAACGGAAACACCGACACATATTGCTCAGATGAAAAGTACGTCAAGGCGCTTCCCCAGCACGCACATGAGCAATGGGTCTTCCTAAACGGAGTCGCTGTCGGGTATGCCTCTCTCACTTCTTTTCGGTAGTCATGCTAACCAAGTCGTCAGCGAGCACTGGATGAAGGGCAACCTAAACCGGCTCGCCCTTACCTTTGGGCGTCCAGTTCTAGGAATCCACAACCGAACCTCTGGCGTCGTCTTTGACGTTATTGAGTGCTTGATCCAGCGCAACTTTGGCTACGCCACGGGAGACATTCGCATCTGCTTCAAGGTTGTCAGGGATGTCCTCTATGATCCTCGCAAGTCCAAGGTCATCTTCGTTTTGCACTCCCAAGGAGGAATCGAGGGCAGTCTTGTGCTTGACTGGCTCTTGCAAGAGCTTCCCCAGGACTTGCTGGCAAAGCTTGAGGTTTACACCTTTGGCAATGCCGCGAACCACTTTAACAACCCACATCGCCATATCACTTCCCAGATTCTCTCCCACAAGCCTTGGACCGCAATGAATACCGTAATGACAGAAACGACCCATGAATCTCCCGCCGGCAGCCCGCAAGACACCAAACAGGGAATCAAGGTTCACATCCCTCCCACTTTGGAGAAGGCCCCATCTTTCTCTTCAAGTCGGTCTGTCTCAGCTGCCAAGGATAGGGCCATTGGCCATATCGAACACTACGCTCACAACACCGATTTTGTCGCCATGTGGGGCGTCCTGCACTTTGCAACGAATCGCATGGGCTCAAGAGAGCTTCCTCGGTTTCTCGGCAGGCTGTTCGCTCGTGCTAATGGACGTGGAGGGCATCAACTAAACCAGCATTACCTTGACGGCATGTTCCCGCTGAAGTTCAACGAGAAGACCAAAATGTACGATGGAGCTGACGACAACAACGAGTTCATGAACGAAGTCATTAAGATTGGCGAGGAGGGTGATGCGATGGCTAATGCCCGCGAGGCATTTGAGATTAGCTGGGCCGGCACACATGGCTTTGGATCTGGTGAAATCTCGACCCCGGTGGAGGTTCACGGCCTCTCAAAGAAGAAGCTCGCCGGCGAAGTCAAGGTGAAGGATCTCAGCCGACTGTGGTGCTACCGGAACGGGAGAAGCCCCAAGGAAGGTGGAATCATGCGAACTTCGACCCTGTAGGGATGTGGGAAGCACCGCAAGGAAAAAGATCCGAGGGAGGCAAGGCGAACCTGGCATTGAATGAAGTGAAAGGCGGGTGTTTTGTTTTGAACTAAGATTGCGCTTTGGGTTGGAGTTGGCGGACGGGTGTTATTGTGGGCTGGCGCAAGTAGCATAAGAGCATGGGAATGAACAAACCCTGTAACTACCATGGTTTCTGCTTACTTTTCAAGGTAATATATTGGTCTTGGAACTTAGAGATTAAGCTTTTTCTCTTCACAACTGGACCCATCCCTCAACTTGTGTTTTCATGCCCATCACGATAATCTTACCCTGTACGATCCCAAAGACTCGGAAAATCGCCGTAGGCAACTGCTGAACCCCTGTTAGACCAGACCAACTTGATAGACGATAGCATGCTCGCGCCGATAGTGTTGTCTCTTACTAGATGACCGATAGGTCTCGGGGATTGTGTCGGTTTAACTGCTCATACGTCGGTTCACTAGCTGTCACGGTCTGAGTATCTAGTTCATTGACGCTCCAAATCAATATAGCGACGCTCAATTATGAAAAGTATTTCAGCAGTCCAGATACAAGGAAGACTATAATTTACAGACACGCTTTGTCAATTAGAATGCTACATATTTTTGTTCCCTTAGAATGTCCATCTGCAGCTTCTCATCCATCACATGACCAACCCGACGCACCGGTTCTCCATCCGCTTGTTCTCCTCACCCCAAAACTCACGATAATTGCTCGCATTCCATCACATGAGCCATCACATGCAGAAGGACTTGTATGCATGCAAAAGCGAGAACGAGATGAGGAAATCCAGCCCAGCCGCAGTCGCAGCGAGCGGCTAAGCCACCTCCTGCATGGCCGACTTGCCATCCGAGAACCCTGGCCCGCCTTGTGGGCCTTGACTCTTCTTTCAACCTGGCTACCAGGATCCCTAGAGCCGCTTCCTAATCTGTCAGCTACGTCATGGTTACCGACGGACAAACCGTCGCGAATGATTCAGTGCGACAACACCAAATCCACCAGCGAGGATTCCTTGCATGAGACCGTAGAAACTCACTCAATGCAGTTTTGCGTGGCACTGGGCCGGCTGAGCGGCATGAAGATTAACGGAAACATCATCATTGGTTCCTTCTAACGTCTATTGTGTGCTGCAACTATCTATGTGTGCCACAACAGTAGCCACCGCATTGTCGGGCCTTTCCAAAGAAAGAACTCCTGACCCATTCTAATTCTACTTGCTGCATGAAAACCCAAGAGTTAAAAAAATTGGACAAGACCGCAGAGAAGTGGCCCAGTGCTCCCATACTGTCGACGCGTTGATTGGTGTATCCTTGCATCAAGCCATCCCAATTGCCATGCGTTGGATGGGGATTCCCTAGGGTCTATCTAACCATATCCCAGTGTCCATTAAAATCGTTAGGCTAGTGTCACAAAATCCATCTAGTCGTGAGACTTGTGCATGCTGCCAGTGACATAGTTCTCCTCGAGGTTGTTAATGACAGCAACATCCTCGGCGGCAAGCTTGAAGTCAAAGCTCTCGAGGTTGCTCTGGATGCGGTGAGCAGTCAAGCTCTTGGGCAGAACGACGTTGCCGCGAGAAGCGCTCCAATTGAGCAGGACCTGGGCAGATGTCTTTCCGTACTTCTCAGCAATGGTGCAGATGGTAGGGTCCTGGAGTTTGTTTCCCCGGGCAAGCGGTGAGTAAGCCTCAATCTTGATACCGTTCTCGTTGCAGAGTTCGACCAAAGCCTGGCGTTGGCAGAAGGGGTGGATCTCGACTTGGTTGACGGCGGGGACCACGCGGGCGTTCTTGAGCAGACTCTCGATGTGGCTGGCGCCAAAGTTGGAGACGCCAATGGACTTGACCTTGCCGAGACGCTGTGCAGTTTCGAGAGCACGCCAGCTCTCCAGGCGCTTCTCCTCGTCTTCGGCAGGAGAGTGGATCAAGTACAAGTCAAGGTAGTCAAGGCCAAACTTGTCCAGAGATTCGCACAATGCGTTGAAGGTGGCCTCGAAGCCGTGGTCAGCGTCCCAGAGCTTGGAGCAGACGAAGACTTCATCACGAGGAGTGCCAGTCCGCTCGAGCCAGCGGTGGATGGCACGTCCACAGGCCTCCTCGTTGGCATAGCGAGCAGCCGAATCGATGTGTCGATAGCCGGCATCCAGAGCGGCAGTGACGGCATCCTCAGTTTCCTGGCCATTGGGAGCCTTGTAGACGCCGAGGGCGAGCTGGGGGATGACGTTGCCGTCGTTCAACTTGATAGAGGAGACGGAACTGCGGTGGAAGCGTGCCTGGATAGGCTTCTTGGCGTAGATCTCACGCTCTGGAGAGGTCTCGGGTGTAATGGCGGAGGGGGCCATGGCGAAGAATGTGACGAAAGGCTGGGAGTCTTGGTATCGGAGAGGATATTAATGAGAGTGAATTGAGATAAGAGGAGCTGGGTGGAAATGAAGAGAAGCTCCCGTTTTCGAGGAAGTTCAAACGCTTTAAATGTTTGTGCGCGGCATGCCTTCCCGATTCCGATTCACAGTTACTCATAGCCCTGACGTGGATGCCGCTTGCCGTGCTTGGCTCTTCGGCGAGGATCTGAGCTGAATGCCTGAACTGTTCATCTTACACGTCGCCTAGCTTCCTCACGGCTGTAGCTGCCGCCTGCATCGGCAGTCTAACACCACCTCCGGCATGCTCGAAGCTGTTGTGGGCCTGGACTCATTCCGACAGACACCCCGGAGACTCTCCCCCGTTTTGACGACTCAACCCGGGTACCTTATCAAGAGGGGACGGATTGGCTGGAGGATGGGAGCGGTGGGTAGGGAGCAGAGGCTCGCGATAACGCGAATGAGGTATTTGTCAAGAGGCTCGAGTGTCCTCGTTTTCGTGTCTCCAGTCCCATGGCAAGCGGCAAGCCGTAACCCGCAAGCCGGGAGGTCGTGAGAGCGAAGCGGGATGACGGAAGAGCGGGCCCTTGGCGATGGCTGCGGCGGTGCGACCTGCTCTTTGCCGCCAGAGAGTGGCACAAGCGCTTCCCGGTAAGATGCTTGGGGATCTATTCTCCGCGTTGGGGGCGAGATGGGGCCCTGAATATTGACTCCAACGAGGTTGGCGACGGATGACACAGTGGCACGGCACTGCTCCGTACGGACTGGCGGGATCTAGAGGTATTGTATCCAAGGGTTGAGCTGCGGCGGAGAAGATATGGACGACAGAGAGGATGGAGGAAACGACGGAGGGTGAAATTGATAGCCAGACGGAAGTTTCGACGTTCGTAGCCGAGGTGGGAAAACATCACTCGCGCGGAAAGTTGACGAGGGATGCAACTCGGCAAGCCGCATCGTGGTGCGTGTTCGAATCGAGATTTTTCTGGAGGAAACAAAGATAGCGACGGGCGCCTGATGCTCTTTGGGACCGTGCTACGATGCATGTTGCCAGGTTGCGTGTTACAACAGCAGAAGCATCCGTCCGAACATGTTTTGTACGAGGTGTAGATAATGTGTCAGTAGCAAGACGGCACTGTATCTGACACACGCTAGATATCGAGGTTACATAGTGTCGCTATCACTGTACCGGTACTGGCTACCTATGTAGATAGTCAACCTCCCCCTTGTAATAGCCGCCCGCACTAAATAGCTGCAACCTACTGCGACTGCAACAACAACACGGCGGAACTAGTTCTGACGCTGTAGAGACAGACCATTTGCCAACTGGCTGGACTCTCTGATTCCGTTATCATCTCATATCCACCTCCCTGCAGCCATCATTTCCTCGCTCACCGTCGTGCAGCTGAGCCTCCGTCGATAGGCTGCCTGCATCCGCTGCTCAGCCCATCCGCCCTCCCGGGGAATACAGCTGATAGGTTCAGCCTACACTTTAGTCAGGTTTAATTTCTTCAAAAATAGCGTATCTTATATCCTTATGTAGCAATCTACCCAGCAGTCTGACAAGATCTCTCGGCTGCAGCACTGTTACTGACCTCACTCAAGACTACACCACCATCAAAACGAGTAAGCGGTACCCACAAACAAAGCATTGAGGTAAATATAAGCCATAAAAAATGCCGCTACAGTGTTCGAAATCACCTTTGTAATGAGAAGAATATTCCCATGCCCGTCTCTCATACCTGTTGCGCTCCAGAGCCATCTTTTTCTCTAAGTGTAGTTACTTTTTTTTATCTCGTTTAGTCCAGTCACGTTTTCTTTCCTTAATGCAACGTCGCTCTATGGTTGCACACACTTACCCTGCAACAGACAAGGATCGCATTTCTTGGACCAATATCTAAGTATAGAGATGTAACCGTCTTATCAACTTCGTCCCATCAACGGCGGCAAAATCGTGAGCTATGACTCGTCTTACTTAAACTGTAAAGGTGCTGAAACTGACCCTCTCGACAAAAGTTAACCTCGATAGGTTGTAGTTTACGGCTCACTTAAGAGTTGAACCATTGCAGTACGATACAGAGGCGCCACTGATTGTATTCTAAAGCTACATTAATTCATTCCATAACGCCACCAAATCTCAAAACTTAACACCGTAAACAAAGCTCTCTTATCATTCTGTTCCCCTCATCGCTAGGGGGGGTGGGCGTTCTTTCCCCAGCGCTTCATCTAGAGAATATTTGTCGAGCCCAGCGTTCATTTTGGGCCACCGTCATGTGTCTCTCCAAGTCCATAATCATGAAACTGTCTTCCTCCGCTGGAACAATGTCTGTCAGCGTAGCCGGGTTTCCACTGCCGCCCGAGGTGGCCGAGGAGATGCGGCGTGTTATGACCACCAGCTCGGCGACGAGGCGGCGGACATCATGCTCAGGGATGAGATTGCTCTCGAAAACGACGTGGAGGTCAAGGGCCTTGAGGGTCTTGCCCTGGACCTGCAGCGAGATGTCCATAGTGAAGGGGATGCTGTCGTCATCGTTGAGAGCCGAAAGCTCGCGGCGCCGCAGGCCCAGGCCGGCAGCAGGTTGCTCCGTGTAGGAATCGTGTGGGTGAACAATGATTTGCGGAGCACGGTGGCAAGCCCGCTCGGCTTCGGCGTGGACGCCGGATGCCTCGTCAAAGCCGGCTCGAAGGGCATGACGCGTCGTACCTGTGCCTGTACGTGGGCCAAGTACTCGTGCAGGTTGCCAGCGCTGTGTTGGATCCGGAGCGGAACGCTCGATACCGTCGGCCCGACGAGGTCCTCAATGTCTGGCATCGCTGTGGTGACGCGGCTGGTCGACACGAGGCGTAGGACGGTGTCTTGCGCCTGCCGCTGATTGTGGAGGGTCAAAGCGACGGCGGCATAAGTCATGACAGCGTGCGTAACCCGCGGAGGAGCTCCGGCTCTGTTGTTTCCGGTGGTGCCAGATTCGGGGGTACGTGGAAGCATCATCTTATGTCGTAAGATGGTGTTGGCCTCGCACTTCTTCTCCGGCGGCACAAGCGCCTTTGTCTCCACACCCTTGAGGAATCTGGCCCAGAAGTCCAGCGCCTTGGCTTGATCCTGTTCCATGATGGACTTCACAACCTGGTTGAAGCCTACTTCGCTGCATGCCCCAGCCATGTGCTTGGTCCACTCTGGGGGAGTGGCAAGACGCTCATACGCACTCTCCAGCAGCGAAAAGAGCCGGGTCAACGACCAGGCATCGTATATAGAGTGATGTAGCGTCAATAACAAGTAGCGCTGCCCTCCAACTTCGCTGACGAGTGTGGAACGCAGCAGCAGTTGCCTGTAGATCAGTCCGTGGGCGCGGTCAACGCCAAGTATTTCCTGGATGGACGGTGTATCGGCATGCTGGATAGCATTCGTAGAATGGAGGACGACTTGTAGCAGCATGCCATCGTCAGTGGTGAAGACTCAGCTACGCAGGATGGCGTGAGCGGCGCCGACTTGTTCCCAAGCCTTCTCTAATCTAGCGGTGTCCATTTGAGCCGGGATCTTCAAGACATTGAGCAGCCAGTATGCGTTCGGGCAGGCCAAGGTCCTCGCGATGAGGAAGCGCTGTGTTGGCGTGCAGGGGTAGATATCGACGACTTCGTCGGGGGGAACTGAGCAGATATTGGCCGTCTGTGCGACTAACGCTTCAACTTGGACGTGTAAAGACGACGGGAGAAGGGAGAAGGTTCTCCTTAAAATGAGGGTACGCGTGGCTCCAGATTGACGTCTCAGCCGGGCCGAAATTGTTAATGAGGCGAGGCCGAGAAGCCCATGTCTTGACATTAGTTACTGTAGCAGATTCGCCGCTGAACAGGAGTGTCTTGAGCGTTGGCACATAGTTGGGGTCAAGAAGGGAGGCCACGCTGGGGGTTAGGAACGCCCAGTCGACTCGCACGCGCTCCATTGCCCCCGCTAAGTCGTTTATACGCTCATGGTCTGACGGGATATAGGTGGTGACGCTGTGGCTGAGTGAGGTAAATATCTCGTTGATGCTCACGTCGGACGTGTAGGCCGTGAACTGAAGGTTGCGTGAGCCCTGGTGGTAGCATAGGATCCCGCCGTGGCCTTTGATGCTGCTATAAAAGGCGACATGGTCGATCATGATGGCCTTGGGCTTGCCGGTGCTGCCACCAGTGAAGAGGAGAAATGATACATCATCCGGTGTGATATTTTGTGCTCCCTTCTCGCCCTGGAGGACATCGCCTATCAACATTGACGGCCCGACGCGGAAGCAGCCTCCGGGACTAATATCTTGGGCGAGGCTTTGATAAGTTTCGCTGAAAAGGATAAATTCGGCGTCAACATCATCGATAAGCCATCGCAAGCGGTCTGGTGGGTGGCTGGGGCTCAACGCGACGTTGGCCGCCCCTATCTTGAGGACGGCTAACATGGCCACCATCGCGAACAGGCTCTTCTCGAAGAGGAGCGCCACACGGATGCCGGCCCGGAGACCGTATGAAGGCCAGAGATGGGCCGCTAGCCGTCTTGAAATGTCATCTAGCTGCTGGTACGTGAGTGATCTCTCCCAAGGGACGAGAGCCTCCACCTTGACAAGTTGACATAGCCCCAACCGTCCGGACCCATCCAGCCCAACCAACCGCCACGGTCGAGCACAAGGAATTATATAGATATATCGGCTGCAAGGTCTCAAGGTAACTCCAGTGTGTATTTTTTCGTGCATCAAATTGGGTTTCAAAGCATTGCTTCATATAACCCTCCATAGCACATCCCACCATCCGGCGTTACAATCGCAAGTTGTCCATGTGCCGCTCCCAGTTGTAGGAATGAACAAGGCTGCATAGTTTCACAGCAGTGGAATAACAGCGACAACGCATGGTTCTGAAGAGCCCGTCCTACATGACAGAATGAGGGAAGCCTTGATATCCCCTTGGCTTGTAGTGGCACCAGAGTCAGATTATATCCCGAGGTGGCACGGCAAGCGGTGGCGCCACCCATGCCCACCCAAAAAGTCCCGGACTAGGGCTTAATTAGTGCCATCCATGAGTTGGGTGTGACTCGGAGTTGGCACTGAGGTTCCTGGAGCGTTAGAGGATTTATCCTCGAGGTCTAAGTCGAGGTATTACATTGCTACACATGCCAACCTCAAACAGTCGGTATACCACAGGCACGAGAACAGAATATTCACTCCTCATTTGCAGGTAGTTCACTCCTGCGATCCCCTCCTTTCCTCATATATCTCACACCCTGTTCCTTTTCCTTTTCCTTTATCCCATCGCCGGTGGTGCCACTGATCTTCAGATGATCAACCGTAAAAAGTCTATCGTGCAGCATAGTGTCTCCGAGTTTCCACTGTTAACCGCGAAAATGTCACAAACAGCCGGTTTTATTGGTTGCCTTTTATTTTGTTGTGACGCTAGGCTGCGGTAGTGACAGAGATTTCACTAAGCTAAGATGGCATCGAGATAAGTCAACCATGTAAAGGTAAATCTTGGAGCAGCGGCACGGGCCGACTGAACCGACTCATCGACGTTGCATCAATGGCTTTATTATGCTCCCTTGCATTACATTGAGCTGTAAATATCGGATCATGGCAACAACAGGGCCAGTGCTAGCTCGATCGGCTCATCGGGGATGGTGTCACTAACTTCAGCATTCCTTTCTTGTGCTATATTAGGCCGGTGTCAGGAACTGGCTTCAACCGGCCCGTCGGCAGTGGCCCAACTGACTTCACGGCACCTCAAGGGCGGCAGTCGATGGCTTCATTTACCCCCACTGGAATCAATATTCTCTATCCATTTGACTGGTGAAACACAAGACAAAGCGGTCAACGAGTCCTATTAATATCCGCCTCGTCTGACTTCTTGTACGGCAACCAGTCACAGCAACCACACAACCTCGTTTATCTCGACTTAGCCATCCGCTGGGCGGCAGTGTGCAAATATTCAATCACGCTCCTACATAGTTCGATGTTCTAGAGTGGTTGTTCCGGCACTCCCTCCAACTAATTTCAACCACAGCCAGGGACGACAGTCGGCAGATCCGGTGCACCTACCATGGCCGCAATCGACGTGCCCCCGAATTCGGGCTCAACAAAGAAAATCCAGCCCAACGAGCAGCCATCTACGAGAGCTGAGCGGGACGAAAAAGAAATCGGGAAAGCAGCCTTCGCACGGTGATGCCAGGTCGTACCACCAACGTCCGCACCACCTCCTTGCCTTGCCCTTGTCGCTAGTTTATTGGACTCGAAACGGTTGGTTCGAGCCGCCATCAACCAGACCTCGCCCATTGCGGTATTGTGCAGAGCGTCACTTTCAGGGGTTGGAAGCCAGGATCACGATCATGTAGAGGTAAACTTGTTGAGTGGTCAGTTAGGAAACAACCACCGCAATAGCCATAGTGACTAGATACCAGCTCTCGACGCCACCCTCAATGCGACCACAGGTGGCATCACTATTGTCTTTGTTGTTTCATATTTGGAGAGTATGGTGAGCTTGATCGAATTGAATTCGAAAATCTGCTTATGAACGCATAGTTGAACCAGCATCTTGTGGCCATTGTCGACACTGACGTCTCGTTTGCATCTCTACCCCGATTTACTCCGTAATCCTATTCTGAGTAATACGATCATTTTTAAATCATGGAAGTAGAGCTAGGGAAACGCAGCGAGCTCATTCAAGAGTTAAGCTATGAGATGGTGTTAACTCTACTTGAGTATGTTACCCATGCACCCTGAATGAAACGGAGAGTCAATTAATATAGCATGTCTCTGCCACAGACATCAGTTTTCCTCGCCGGTTCAATGGTAAGTTCTACGGCGCGTTTATTCTCTTCTCCCTTCCGTACTTTTGGCAAAGCTGACTGATTGCGTGGGCGACGTAGGATTGCCACGCAGAACGCGCTGCTTGACATGCCAAGTGTTCGCCAGCCTCCACGGGACGGCCACCAAGCTGAGCGACTTCAACGAGTGCGCAACCCTGGACCTGCAGCTGCACCATCTCGGCTGGCACCCCGGAAACCCCGTATTCACCATTCCGCAGAAGCCGGTCGTCGGCCACGGCGTGGGAGCCTTGGGAGCCTGGGCGTTGAACGACACGCTGCAGGCGATGCACTCGGGCATCATCCCCGGCAAGCGAAACGCGGACAACATTGACAAACGCCTCGAGGCCTTTCAAACGCTGCTCTTGGCCAACGAGAACATCACAGTTGACCCGCCACAAATCAAGGCATTTACGGTGACGTCCTTTGGGTTCGGGCAAAAAGGGGCTCAGGTCATTGTCGTCCACCCGCGGCACCTATACGCCGCCATCTCGGAGCCAGAGTACAGCGCCTATCGCACCAAGCAGATGAAAAGATCCCGCCTCGCCGACAGGGAGCTGGACCAGGGACTGCACGGTCAGGGCATGTTCAAAGCCAAGGAGGAGAAGCCATACGTCGGTGATGAGTATGATTACTTGCTTACCCCCCTTGCGAGAACAAAGTGGGTGGAGTGGGTTTAATTTATTATCTTGTTGCATATCTAACTAGATAGATTAAAAGATTACAGTAAATCACATACAGCAGGGTTTGAATAGTTGTGACGGTCTTTAGTCTATACAGGAGGTATAGGAGAGATCAGGGCGTGCTGTATAAGCAGTGGGCAGTTACTGTCTGTAATAGGACCTATGTTCATCCCACACAACCAAGCCGTGACGTGAGGCCGGCCTCAGGATATCGAACAGTTTGTGTCCCATCGCTTCAGCCTTTAACCGAGCGAACCAGTCTCGGCAGTGCCGATTCAGTATCAAACAACGTATCTCGTGTCACTGTCTGACTTTCCTTCGACCAAGGACCAGTTTCGTATCTAATCCAAAGGGGAGTGTACCCAGCCTGAGACGAAAGATCGACGACCCGGGGTTGGGAACTGACGTGATTTCAGCTGAGCTATCGGGGCGGCGTGACAAACCATACTCCAGCCTATCCAATCACCAAGGCACTGTGTCAACATGTCAATTTGTCAACATGTTTTCATGGTTGGACCCATGACGAAGAGCCTCGGACCAATGGACCCTGTACGGCGAGCCCACGCGAGAGGGGATACATGTCTTGGTTCTGCTCATCGTCTGGGATTTGTACAACTCGCTCAGGCCCGGTGAAGTTCTCGCCGTATGCTTCATGCCATCGCCACTCCCAAAAACATCTCTCGCCACGAACCACAAAGCGTCATGGCGTGGAGGATCAAAGATGACTTTCGAAAATAAGTGCAAATTAGAAACATCCGTCCCCCTCGCTTGGATACTGAGTGGTATCACTGTTGCGTTGCTCCGTGGCGAAACTACGTATGCCGCCACGACGTACTTCACGCTCGGCAATGTATAAATTTCCCAATTGCTCCAAGATATAAATGGTTCTTTACGGTTTTCTTGATAACCTTTATCCAACATCCCTCGAGAACGTTGTTGACCTACATATCCTTGAACCTGCCTCAATTCATCCTCAAAATGAAGACAGCACTCCAATTTCTCCTCCACGCCTCCTCTTTGGTCCACCTGGTCCTAGCAGGAGGTAGATGCACTTCTGACCGGTGTGGACGGTATGTAACTGGGACGGGGCCGGGCGTAGGGGTGCCCTTAGAGACCCGTATGTCTATCTGCAGCCGCTACCTTGAGACAACCGTCAAGCCAGCACCCGTGTAAGTACATGTCGGAGATTGATATAAGATCCTACCATCTAATGATTCACCAACACCGTGACCAGCACCATCACCAAGTACACAACCAAGTTCCTTGACAGCAGGGCGACACCGCCTGCGGTAACTAACACGACATCCTCGACTCCCGCCGAGGAAGATAGCTTCCTCCTCGAGGCCGGTCCCGCCTTGGACGGTGCATACTGTCCCAAACGCGGCCAATACTCGTCGGCGTGCAGATGCTGGGCCCAAATCACAGCGCGCACCACCACTCTCGCAACACCCACCGTCACCATCCGCACCACGAGCTATCTCGACATCGCCTGCCCGCCCACCGCCTCGGCCGGCCCTCGTGCTGCACGCTTCCCCTGCTCGGCGGGAGAAGGCATGTGCAGCTGTCTCAAGGCCGGCCGCGATGACGTCTGCGTCCGCGTCGGCACCCAGGTTGGAGACAGCGGATGGGGAGCGAACGTCACCGGGCCTTGCGCCGCGCAGAGCGAGTGCGGCGCCGACGGGGAGTGTGAAAGAGGCCAAGTCTGTGTCTATGACGGATCGTGTCCGTGTGGCAAGAAACGTTGCTACATGGGCGTTTCAAAGGGATGCGAGATCCAGGGATTGTCTGTTGAAGAGGACAAGAGACGAAAGAGGGCTCTGGAACGCCGAGCTAGCGAATACCGCCTGTGAAGGATTAGGGACTATGTCCTTGTGAAGGAGAGATACACGGATATTGGTTGGTTGTTTTTGTGGCTGGAATTAAGTGTCCCTTCACTCTTTTTGTCAACTTCTTGTATTGCTAAAGATAAACGCCTCTATTTTTAAACTTGATGATAATCCGTGTTGTTGTGAAAAAGGAAATCTTGTATAGAACCAACGCCAAAGCTCCCTCCAAAACTTCTCCATCATGCTACTACAGCGGCGATCCTCGCCCTCTTCGATCTTCCCTCATGATCCCAAGTCCTGCCAACCTTCTCCCTTGGGGCTGGACATCGTCTGCTTCCCGAAGGGCCTCCGACTCGGCGATTTCGAGCGGATACATACTGTCGCCCAGCGGAGACTGGCCAAACTCCACGATGCGACCATTGAACTGGATTCCCCCGGACCCAGACCTGACCATCTCCACGCCGTCCGACGCCGAAGACGAAACGACCCCAGGCAAGTCCCGCCGTGAGATTTGCTCCGTCGTCCAGGGCCCCGCGTGGCGCTGCTGCCAGACCTGGTAGCTCGTGGGCGGGCTCTCGAAGCCGCCCATTCGCGGCGAGGGCTCCGTCCTCGCCGTTGATGGGGCCCGGCGCGTATGTATCGGCATGTTCTGTGACGTCGCGCTTCCAGAAGTAGAGCCGTGGTACTCTGCGGCGAAGTTGTCGTGGTTCGAGGAGGGGTTACGGGAGAGAGGCTGAGAGGTGTAGCCGTCTGGGTTGAGGGTGGATGGACGCCATAGTGGAGGCTGGAGAGTGCTCCCTTGGCTGCTGGGGAGTGAGTTTGAGAATGTCTCGCCGGCGTACCCCGAGTCTCTGGCTCTGTGGTGAGTATATATCGGGCGATGCCGATGAGTTGCGGGACCCAGAGTACTAGTCGAGCTGATCACCACAGGTAGACCTGGTGGCGCCCACTGACCGACGTCAGCCTCGAGGCAAGAGTCCGAATGACTTTCTGGAAGACGCCTAAGAGCGCCGTCTCGAGATATCGGTCGCCATTCCCCATTGTCATGATGGTGTATAGATGGGATTGACCCTGTGCCAAAGCTGCCCACCTCAAAGAATGGGTGCTCGTCAAAGGCATCCTGGCTGTGGTAAGGAAGTTCAGTGCGCGGCTTGACCTTTAGAGCTTTTGACACCGGCGGGCTTCCGTTTCCCTTGATTCTGCTCTCCTGGTAGTTCTCGGCATGCCCAAAGTGTTCTTCTAGTGCCAACCGTTCCTTTCCCGCACCAACTCTTTGGACTTCGCTCTTATCAAGTTCGGCCTCGCTCAACCCACGCTGACTTGCATTCTGAAGGCGAGCGAGATGCTGTCCTGCGTCGGTGAAGACAGGCGATGAGGCCTCCCCTCGCGCATGAACCGAGTGCGACAGAGTAGACGCCGGCGGAGAGAATTGACCCAGGGCCACCTCTCTGCTGATACTAACACGCGGCTCAATCACCTTCTGCTTCGTCTCGCGCCATGCTCCGGCGCGGTCGTGATACCTTCTCGCGGCCTTCCATCGCAAGGTGCGGTGTGTCTCCTGCACGTCTTGGGCTTCGTGCTGAGACGACGACGCATCCCAGTTCCCGGCATCTTCGTAATGGAGAAACTCTGGCACTGGAATCGTGCTCTGTTGCGGGTAAGGGACATGATAGTGGTGAGGATTTGCTTCTAGGCCAGGCAAACCAAGTTGCTGATCCCACACCCCTTGCTGCCCAATGTCCCGCGAGCCGTCATTTTTGCTGTCGCTTGATGTAGCAGAACTGGAAACTGACAAGCTATTTGTTCTCTCAAAGACAGACACATGTGGGTCCCTGCCGTTATTTTCAAAGGCCGTTGTCGTCACTGTGCTTGACATGGTGGAAACCTGTCCCTGTATATCCCCGAGTCGGCTTTGCAGAGCCAGTTCGGCCTCCCGCAACTCGGGCGTCGGCTTTTTGACTTGGCCAATGTGTTCAAGGATTTTGCGAGCGTGAGCTGCATATCTGCGGTAGTCGTCCGGAAGGCCCATCTCCGGGTTTTCTCTGGCGCGAGAGTCGCCCTCGTCGAACGACTTGCAGAACACTGCGGCTGCTCTCTCCAGCCAGAACTCGAACTGGTTTTCCTTCTTCAACGTCTCACGGAAGAACGTCTGAACAATGCTGTGAATCTTGAGCATGTCTAGAAGTTCCGTAGATGTCGGGCTGGTGTGAGATGATGACGGGCTTGACGTAGTTGCGGATGGAGCATCTTCAATCTCATCGCGCTCGATGAGAGCGAAAGCGATGAGGACGGTAAAGGTTTTGTTGAGACTGCGCTTTCCCATCGAGTCATGTGTCCGGACAGGCGTCCGTTTGTCGAGTGCCTTACGACCAAGCGCAAGCATCTCGACTGGGATCCGCGCACTAAAGAAAGACAGGAGATACATCAAGTTGAGCGCCGCAGTTTCGCCACGCTCCTGTAGCTTCTCCCGGACGCGGTTGTAGGCCTCCAGGCCACCAGTTCGTGGCCGGTTCTTGTAGGCGCGGATGTACTTGGACAATGGCTCCCGGGTTGCCCTCAACTGTCGAGCCGCAGCGTGGATCGCAAGTGGTAGGCATTCCATGAGTCGAACAGTTTCGAGCGCGCGGCTGATATCGTCTTGAGTCCAAGGCTTCCGCTTGTCCATCTCTTCGAGCAACATGATCTGAGCGTCTTGTTCGCTGAGTGGCCTCAGCTCTATCTTCTGAGGGCTGTCGAACTGGTGATCACCAGCAATCGAGGTGTCCGTTGACGTTAGAATCAAGCTCGTGTTCCTTGCGTCAGGAATATACTTGGCCAACCCGTGAGCGTCAGACAAAACACCATCCAGGATCAAGAGCCAGTTTTCGGACCGGTTGAGCCACTTTCGAACCAAAGGAATAGCTCTGCTTGGGTCTCGTAGGTCAGACTCGTTTTTGACTCGGATGCCCTCTCGAATGCTTGCACTCTTAGCCATTCTCAAGAAGCCATCCTCGAGGTCCTCCTGTGCCTTGCCTCGAATCCAGAAAATCCCACCCGGGTAGTGATGTCGATGCCTGAAGGCATACTCCCTCGCGAGGTGTGATTTTCCGCCTCCAGGTACTGCCCAAATCAAGACAGCTGACGTGCCCTGATCTCGGCGATGTTTGTCCATTAGCATGCGGTGAAGATCATTCAACTCGCGGTCACGTCCTCGGAAGTAGGAGTTTGGTCGAAACCGATCGGGGTGGATAAACAAAGGTTCATCAATATCTTGGAGGAACACCGGTTCGGGGTTTTCCAAGCGAACCGGTCTCGACGCCGTTTGGTCCTTGATGAGTGTGATCGGCTCTTGGTCGGCATATGGGCGTGATTGAGGGTTAGATGGGCCAGCGGAGAGATTGGTAGATGGACCAGCCGGTGTACCGGCCGATAGACTTGTAGATGGACCGGCGGATGGACTAGTAGAGGGGCCAGCTGATGGCCCAGTGAATGAACCTCCGAATGGTGACATTCTCTCGCTCATCTCGTTTCTAATACGAGCCCGCCTCTCCTCTTCTTCAACCTCCCAGCGCACTTGGATCATGGCAGGCGCATCTATAATCCACTGCCGGATATCCGTCGAGATGTTCCGATAGCCCGGTGCGCTTGGGCTAGCAAACTTGCACATCCCGGTATGAGTTGCCTCGATACCATAGTACGTCACACCAGGCAACTGGGGGCTGGCTGAGTTGGCGTCGACGATAAGTGCGCTGAAGAAGGAGTCAGCAAATGACGATACATGATGCAGACAGGATGAGTCAGTGAAAAACGTACCTGGTCCCCTTGAGGTCGGTTTTGTGGTTCTCGTGAGCCATGTGAATCCGAAAGCGTTGGTAAATGTCCAAAAAGTGACTGTTGATGTTGGCGAGAGTCTCGTTTTCCTTCTTCAGCGTCCTCAGAAGGACTGACTCCGACTCGAAGAACTTCCTGGGGATAATCGCATCTGACATGGCCTGCAGTATGAGACCCCAGGTTGCGCCGTCCGAGCCCGCATGCGGGGTGCCCAGAAAGATCAGTCCGTAGGTAGAGACGTAGATTGACCGGTGATCTTCATGATGGGCCGCCCGCACATCGTTGGAGTAGAGCAGGGCCCGCTTGACGAGGATGCCACCTAGACTGTGGCACACCCATATGATTGGGTTCTGGAACGTGCCTTCGCTTTTGCGATAGAGAGTGAGATTTGTGATGAGGGTTTGTGCATGCTGGTGAATGAAGTTGTCGCTAGCGCTTTGATCATTCCGCTTCGAGTACACGTCGGCATTGTAGCCGTACACCATGATATTGGCCTGGACATCCCTCAAAGAGGTCGGTAAGAGGTCGAGCGGCCAGAACACGCCGTTCTTGGCCGTCCATGTTTTGTCAGGCGAGCCGTTGAGGCCGTGGACGAGGACAATGTCGACCTTGGCCTCCGGGTGGGTGTAGACCGCAGTGGTCTCGTAGCGCGCTATCTCACGATTCTGGGAACCCTGTATTGGCGGATTCAGTTGTGCTGCAGGCGGACAAGGCCCAGGATCCCCGTGAGCGAGCAAGGAACTAGCAAAAGTACTCACCATGATGTATCGTGGTAAACGGAGACACCAGAGGGGGCATTCCACGTAGATGTCATCGAGGTAGTTTAGCAGGATTAAGGCACGGTGAATGGCTGGCGACAGTGTCGATTATAAATGGCACGCGAGGCTCCTCCCCCAGTTGCCTGATGTTTCATTCATCGCGAAAGGGTGGTCACACTCTGGCCAGAACGCGCAAAGCTCGACTGCGCTCCCGCGCTGCAAGGCCAGCCATCAGCCGTCACGAGGCAGGGTTGCCAGGAGCTGAGCCTGGCCAGGTGGAGCCCCTGCGCTTGAAGGAGTGGTGACGATGCCAATGAGGAAGCCTGGAAGTCGCACTCTGTGGCTCAGCCCTCGCCCGGGGGAGTGTAACAAGGCGTACCGCCGCCCCAAGCCTGAAATAGTCTCGGATCTCCCGCCTGCTAGTTCTCGCTCGGCGCGGGTGTGTGCGGTTCCCGAAACATGATATCACTGCGAGGTCTTCGTCTATGAGGCTCAATCGGGCAAAGGACCGTCTACTATTGATGCACTTGTGGTTCGGTGGGGTAGCGGGTAACTTATCGCGTCCTCCAGCTAAGCGGGACGGATCATGCAGGGTCTCCCGCGCGAAGATGGGGAATCCTTGTCCAAATCCAACGCAACATTACAGAGTTTGAACCCAAATGACATCTATCAGGTTGTGCAAGAGTCATACCGCACCAGGCTGAGTTTCTGTATGTTGATGCCATCGCATCGATCCATCAATTCATCGGCTTTGAGGACACTTGGCTGGTCTGTTGCTGACGACCATGAGCCTCTCTAGGACTCTGTCCTTGAATGTCCTTGAAGCCACGCGTCAAAGCTCTGCCAATCCAGGCAGCGCTGCCTGGGCTGTCGCCCGACGAAAACCCATGACATTTGCTAGTCAGCAAAAGAGAGTGTCCATTTCAATATTGTTCCTGCCAGTTCGCCCCGTCTTCCGCGCTGCTTGGTCCATGCCAGCTGAATGACTCAATCTGGGTCACCGAGCACACTTTGGCTCTTTTTGCCACCAATCCGTTGCCTTGGACTTGCCATAAACAACCAATACAATATCCACAAGGGACTTGTTCGACACTTTCCATTTTCGGATACTCAATTTCGTATTGAAGGAGTTGAAGGAGGTGTGCCAAGCCCACAACAGCTTGTGACTCCGCATATTGCGACTCATGTGGCTTGGGCAGAACACCTCGCGCCTTGAAAGTAACACTTGTCACACTTGAAACCCAAAGCTTTTAAACTGCCTTTCGTTCAACTCGCCAGAATTGGAAGGTTCAGCGCGGCGGCTGATGCTTTCGCGAACATGGCTGACACTGAAAACTGCAGCCAATCTCGCCCCACACTCCGCTGGAAATGTTTTGTGAAGCGAAGTTGAAATCTAGCCATGACTCAAATAATGCGGATGAAGCCTTGTCTAGACAGCATGAACGCACGCGTGGACGATGGTGTTCGCAGTGGCTATGCTTACTTTCGAGGCGCGAGCATTACGACGTACTCTCTAGTGCTGTGTCCGAATTGAATCATGTCCTTGTCTCTGAGCTCCAGGTATCTGCTGTCGGGGATCTTGTCGTCGTTCAATATGGTGCCGTTAGCACTCTCGAGATCGATAATGTAAGGCTTGACCTTGCCAATCTTGTCGCCAAATTCGTTCCTCTTCTCCGTGTATCGGAACTGGATCACGGCGTGTTGCTTGCTGATGCTCGGGTGTTCGGCGGGCAAATCCACCACGGCCATCTCTCGGCCTACCAGCCAGCAGCTTCGCGCGCTGAGGTCGATGGTATCTACGACGTCTCCTCCCTTGAAGACGAAAAGCTTCCACTCGTCGCGAGGAGAAGGTTTTCGGGCCTCGGCTGGCTCGTGATACTTGAGCGTGATTGTTGACCCATCCGCCTGTTCCACCGCGTTGGATGCGGCTGCCAAAGCTCCCGAGGTTCCAAAATTGGGTTTCTCCTTGGGTTTCTCGGGCTCCTCGCCATTCGTAATGGCAAACGAGTCCTGCTGAGATGGCAATGGGCCACTTCGTTTCACAGGATCCCGCTTGACCAGTTTCTTGTCGTCTTTGTCCTTGTCTTCGGTGTCTTTGTCGTGCCGGCGGCGACGAGAGTCTCTGCCGTCGCGCGACCTTCGGCGTCGATGCTCTCGGTCTCGGTCTTCATCCCTGGGTCGGTCACGGTCGCGGTCTCTGCGGCGGTCTCCGTCTCGGCTGCGAGACCTCCGCCTCTCGGTCTCTGGGGTTCGGGAGCGACGTCGCTCGCGTTGGTCGCGCCGTTCGCGTGATCGTCGCCGCTCGTGGCGATGCGAGCCACGGTCTGACTGCCTGGACCGCCCACCGAGCTCTTCCTTCTCCTCGCGTCGGTCGTCGTAGGGCCGTCCCCGGCGGGATCCGCCGTCGAGTTCTTCCTCGGAAGGCATTGTTCTGGTCGTTTCAGTTGATCAAGCTGGATGCCTGTGCATGTTGAGACTGGGCAGTTGGGAAGCTTGAAAAGAAAAGTGGACCGTACTGTCTAGACGACACACCAGCACTGTGCGATGCCAGCTTCCTGCATGTGCCTGCATCCAATCCCAGCATGCAAGATCAACGTAGCGCATCAAACTTGTGAACTAATATCGCGACGTAAAGATAATTCAAATCAATTCAGCTAAAAAAGTACAACGCGCTCGCTCAGTCTTAATATTCTTGCAGCTCCACCACATATTAGCATCTTTTGCCCTGCTTCATCCCACCAAAACGATGATGAAGCTGTAGTTGTCCTTGTTCGTAAAAGTCGTCGTGTCTCATCTAGTCCCGTCTATACGCAATTTAAGTAGCAGATCGCACCGCCAATCCAGCTCTCCGTGATCCATCGTCGAGGTAACCCTCTCCGTTGCCCATGATGTCATCTTCTCCCTGTCTCGACACAGTCAGACACTGCTCGTCGTCATCCCACCAGACATCATCACCAACTTGGGCATCTCCTGGCACCAGCATCAAGACGCTGTTATTCTTGCCGAGAGCAATGCGACATGTTGGGTCCTGGACAAAGGTCTCGAGGAACGGGACGTCGTAGCCCTTCATGCCCCGGAGAGGTCCGCTGTTCTCAATGAACTCTCTGATGAGATTACTCCGCTCAAGGCTCCAGAAGTCGCGAAAGTCCTCTGGCCGTGAGAAGGCGTCGACGGCAGACAGCAGCTCGAGCATGCCGGCCATACCGTTGAGGACGGGGCTCAGGAAGTGAATAAAAGAGTTGAGGACCTCCTCACGAGAGTAGCCCTTTGGTGCCGTTCGATGCACTAGTGGGTTTGAAGCGGGTGACATGGTGTGCATCAAGGTGAGGAGGCGTTGTTGAACCGAGGGCAGGGGGGATCGAACTTGATACGCCAGAGTCAAGAGGGAGACGAGAGAGAAAATGGATGTCATGGATGAGAGGGGGTCGGAGAGGCTGGCGATGCTGTCGATGAAGGCAGCCCGCTTCGGCTGAGTCGGGGGGATGTGTGTAGCGTGCATGTTGGATGAAGAGAGGCTCTTGCACGGGGGTTGAACAGGAGCAGAATTTGGCGGAATAGTAGGTGGTGGTGATTTGGCGTAGAATTTAGTGGTCGGAAGGCGTAGATTTGTGTGATGTGGATCTTGGGTCGGTTATGTTTGGTGTGGTTGAGATGGTTGAGATGGCCGATAGAGAATCTTTGGTTGACCGAGATCAAGAGGAACTCAACCAGGAGTCCAGGACGCAAGGGGATATGTATCCGACTTGGCCGCCGAGCGAGTCCAGGGCGGCTCCGTATCGCCTTGGGGTCTTGGGCCTTTGGGGATCCAACAACAATACGCTTTTCATGTGAGGCACGCCATGCCGCCATGCCCGCCATGCCGCCCCGGGGCCCTAGGGGACGGGGGGGATTACCCAATAGTGTCACTCATGATAGCAAGGTGGGCAATTGACAGGGCCGCAGACCACTGCCAGACCCCCACGATGCGACGGATCGGGCAATCCCTGGGCTTGGGCGCCGTCGAGTTGAGGCGGGAACGGCGGCACCATGACCTCACATGGCGCGCAGGTCAGCGCACAACGCGACCCCTAGAGGGCCCTGGAGGGCCCTGGAGGGCGTAAGCGAGGATTCCTCATCTGCGTGTCGAAAAATCTCCTGCCTGAATCTCCGAATGAGGTGATGCTCCGTAGCGGAGGGTCTATCTATGGGCTTTTGCTCTGGCGTATCGTCAAGTGGAATTTCCCATGTCTGACGGTGGTCGAACGAGTGGAACTTGTCTCATGTTTACTTCTGACCTCTTGTGTTTGCCTCACTGTCGCACCGCCCCATCACAGCTCTCGGCCTTTTTACAGGTGCCTAATCTCCCGGCCCTTCCATCATTGTAAGCTGCGAGTTCGCTCTTCTCCCCTCTCTCCTCTCGCTCTTCTCCCCTCCCTCCCTCCCTCCCTCAGACCCAAAACAACTCAACCCCCACTGCACATCCCAACTCTCCATGCCAATAGGGAGGTAGGTATGGCAGCAAACTTAACTCCGAGCACGCGCCCCGACGAGATGCGGACATGTCCATTTTTCGCTACCAAGCCTTCGACTACCCCGCCCTGAACTTGGTGCTTCCCAAGTGCAAGCCAGACCAGGGGTGGCTCGTGGCTTGCCGAAGATAGCGCTGCCGCGCCTATCTAGCTTGCGTATTTTCCACCTAGCTTGTGTATTTCTCCCTCTAGCTTGATGCGCGTGTTTTCTCTTGACTTTGGCGTCCAGCCCTCAACTTACCCCTCAAATTCACCGCGACTATGTATGCACGCGAAGCTTCCGGGCTTATTCTTGCCAAACTCAGCTTCGGTAACCGACCGACTTGCACCACTCCAGACTCGTAGGCAGACGAGGAAGGGTGCTACAAATCTACACCCAGGCGCTGAAGTGGTTGGAGACTCAAATCCCCGGGTTCGGACCCTCTAATCGAGCTCTAATCGAGGGAGGGGGAATCTTTTGTTGAGGGTGTTGTGGTTACGAATCCTAAGACCTAACATTCGCTGACTATGCTTTATCGGCGTATGCAGGCGACGCAAGAAGAGGGTGGGAGAGCAACCATCTGGAAGGACGGCCCGCAAAGTTTTCAGCCGAGTGACGTGCCACCTGTTTCTTTTTATTCTGCATCTCGTCATCGACCCTTCCCAAATCTGATTCGCCATTCATCTTGATAAAGTGTTTATCCTAGTGCTGGAGCTCCGTCTCCTCCGTCACCCCGCGCACATCTCTGCGGACTATGGACTATGTAGATCACCGATGTGCGTTGGAGCCATACCTTCTTCCGCCTGCTATGCAAGGCCATGCCACCGGTCTCGGAAGTCGTAATAAGCACCAGAGAGGATAACCAACGACCCAGATCGGCCTCGGGGGAATGTGCCCAGCCGTCCATGGCATTCGGCTCACCGCACTAGCCACACTCACCTGCCAGCTCCATGCTTAAAGCATCTAACAGAACAGGCCAATCAACCAAGTCCTGCACCAACGATTTATTACAAGGCAGGGAGTCATGTCTTCACGCAGCACGGCTCGATGACGGCCGCCTGACGCCTCCAGCTCATTCTACGTGACGATAGGTCTGGTCTGGCCCTAGGCGCTGTTACAAGCTGGGCGTTTTAGCGGCCGGTGACTCAGCCGGGGTTTTAATGGCTGTGCATAGCGTCCTCGGCCAGGCCTGAACGCTCTAGATCTGGAGCTTGGATGCTCGATCCCATTCGAATGCGTTCTGTATTAGCTGCGTCGGCTTCTTCAATGCAATGGACCATAATTGCTGGAACTGCTTAAATGAAGTGATATTCAGCGGTGGAAGCTGAGATTCCTGGCTCAATTGCGTCACTATCGCAGCTATCTCGGAGTCTCGGATTCTGACAACTTATTCCATCATCCCCATTACTCAATCCATCAACAAGTCACACCACATTACGCACAATGCCAAACATTGAAGCCAACGCAGAAAACTACACCCTCTTCAGGGACTGTCTCTCCACCACTCTACTGCAGCCGCCCTCCCCGGCCCCGGACCCGCCCAAGCGCCGGCGACGCGGCAAGGCGAATGGTGTGACGGCCGCCTCCACCCCGGCACCAGGCCCGGAGCAGAACGCCGAGGAACTCGCCGATTTTGTGGACTACCTCGCCACCGAGATCTTCGAGAGCCTCCCGGCGGCTCTGCAGACCCTGGACTACCGCACTTGGCGCGAGTCGGAGGCTCTGCGGGAGGAGTACTCGTTGCCGCTTACCAAGTACAGCCTGACTTCGCTCAACCTGGCCCCTTCCACTATCGAGACCCTGACGACTTACAACCTCATCTGCGTCGACCCCCTGGTGACATCGAGCCTCCCTTCCTCGCCCGAGGCATTCCTTGCCCCGATCCTGACGTCGTACATCACGCCGCTCACCGAGGCTCCGCCGTGCACTAAATCAAGCCGCACCGACGCGTGTGAGCTGTGCGACCGCTCCTGGATCAACCTGTCATACCATCACCTGATCCCCCGCTTCGTACACGATAAGGCCGTCAAGCGTGGCTGGCACCAGAAGGAGGATTTGCAAAACGTCGCGTGGTTGTGCGGTGCGTGCCACCGCTTCGTGCACCACTTCAAGAACCACGAGGAGCTTGCTCGGCATTACTACACCGTCGAGCTATTGTTAGAAGAGGACGAGGTGAGGAATTGGGCCGCATGGGTCGGGAAACTCCGGTGGAAAGGAAGGTGAGCGGCTGAGAAGGACCGAAGTTGATGCGTGCGATATCATTTCTCTTAATAATAGGGGCATGATAGACTTCCGCAAGGAAATGGTGGGCCGTGGACTGATTGTATCTCAGCCAACATGAGATGAAGGACTTCGATTTCTGTTGAACCGAAATCACTATCTCGACAAACGTTCGGCGTACCATTCTTATTGATAGCGAATGTAATTTAAAAAGGCGACCTTCTCATAAAAGAACCCTTTTAATGCCCACTAATGCCGCTTAACGTCTACATGAATGACAATGATAGAAACAACACTTCAGATTGCATGTACCCTAGACACATCATTATCAAACACCAAACTCCTGCTTCATCAAACTCATCCCAAGCCCCTTGCCTTCCAAAATCCCATGGTTCCAACAAACAAGAACGAATTCATAATTACCGTTTGGGGCCATCGGCTCTAGGTTAGCTAGACCAATTGTCGACAACACTCTCCAAGTCTTCAGTCCTTTAAGCATTAATGACATTGGAAAGAAATTATACCACTGAATGTAATGAGAAAAACAGTTCTATTTTTTTTGGGCGGTACATGATCATAATAAATTCTGAGCGAATTGGGTCTTCTCCCATTTTCACTGTCCTCTATCGAACTGCTCGACTCAGAGCTCCCAGTCGTCTACTGTCAAGTATTGCCGTATGTGTAAAAATATCTATTCAGTCGCCTACCGAACAGTTACTGACTGTGATGCGGCATTTATTTTGAGGTCTTCGGGAATTCCACCTTATGTCCTGGACTCCATCTACGCCGGATCACCACCCAACAGCGCGGTATGGAATATCCTGAACTGGACGAGGGATCACCCTCCTGGAGCGACGCCGTTTCCTTTCCTTCACTGACATAATACAGGGCACATCCTTAAGGTGTTCCTTCTCCTAACGAAGCCATCGGTCCTTTCGGATCGGTGGTGAGGTCTGACGTATGGAGGCGGTGTTATCGTCAAGCGACCGAGTGTGCTCTAGCCCTGTGGCTACTGTCGTCGATCATCAACAGTAGCAACGGGAATGGAAGAAAACTGATTGAAATAGTAGCTGGAGGGTTCGAATTTGTTAACCGCTGGCATTGACACTCATTGGCGTGGCCCATAGGAAGTGACCCTGATATCGATTCGATTCCGGATGTACATGCTGAAGTCAAATAGAACCATCCATGCGCAGCAGACATTTGGCACCTCTAACCTCCCGCTACCTCCCTCACAATACGTTGCAATGGCCATCAAAGACACACAAGAGCGGTTGACTGTCTTCAAAAAGCCCAATGGACATCAGATTCATGTGTAGTTGGTTATGTTTCTCTAAGTGTCATATCCTAGAATACCGCCATCCCCAAAACGCCGTCTTTCATGGGTATAGTCGTACAGGAATTCGCCTTGGCCCTCGTCTCCTGTGTGCCTCTGGTTGGCAACGTCCCCTTGAGAAATTTTGATCATGATTGACGCCACCTGGGGTCAGCCAAATCCACCTCCTGGTGTACCATGGGGCCGTCAACGCTCTCGCGGGGGGTATCTCCCAAGAGGGCCTCGCGAGCTTTCTTGTGCTCAGCCGCCTTGTCGTGCTTGTCGGCTGGCTCGTCTTCCTCCTCTGGTACCGCGACTAGGCCTCGGTCGCTGGCCCAGCTGGGGGCGCGGGGCATGCTTGCTCCTCTCGGCCGGGTGACGACATTGCCGGTGCCGATAGACTCCCTCCTCGCCAGCTCTTCTTGGAGATCCACAGGACTGCCTGACCAGCCAAACTCGCCGCTCACAGCCCTGTCTACAGTGCCGACCGAGTTTCGTCGGGCCACGTAGGCATCAAACTGGGTGTCCCTCTTGTGGCTGTATACGCTCGGCGTCCGTTCCATCTTGTTGAGCTCGATAGGCTCGTTCTTGGTGGAGCTGAGGCTCATACGCGACGATGCCGAGGAAAACCGCTGTTCGAGAGAAGGACGGACACCGCCAAGGTTGCTCTGGTACGAGATATCACGTTCCTCATCGGCGAAGCCAAATGGCTTGACGTTGACCGGGTGGGCATAGTCGTCGTAGACGGAGAGGCGACGGTAGATTCGGATGGTGTAAACGACGAGAATAAGAGCGGTGAGGCTGCGATCTGTTAGCTCGATTGCTTCAAATTAAAAATACAGTATTGTCGGGGAGACTCACATGAAACCACCGTCGAGACCCAGGCCGATGAGGGAGTAGTGTCGGTCGTGACGCTGCACGTAGACAACAACGTCCAGGGCGAGAATGGCGCTCGCACAAGTCAATTTCATAACATGTGTGAATAGCATCGTCCATGGAGTCAGTGACTCCGCGGAATACTTGGCTATCTCGTAAAAGGTGCAGACCGACGCCACAAAGGCCAAGCCGACATTGGTCGCTTCCCAGCTACATAGGACTCGTCAGCGAAACCCTCACGGCGAAACAGCAGAGCAGCAGTGAGCGAGCTGCGGGAAAAAAGACTTACACGACCTCGATGACGGGGAGCTCGCCCTTCTTGTCCCGATCCTCGTACGTCTTCAGGGTGTCGCCCAGTCTCCAGCCGAAAAGGCCGACCATGGCCAGGTTGAGGCCGAGCTGGAGCAGCCACATGGGGAGAAGGAGGGCGAGGCGCCATTTAGCGCGGTCAAACTGGGCCTGCGCTCTGTGTTTCCCCATGATGAGGGAGTCTTTTCTGTGGAACACGGGAATGTATTGTGTTGTGGTTGTGGTTGTGTGCTGCTCGACAGCCGTCGACCCGGTCGAAAGAAAAAGCAAGGTCGTTATTCGCTACTCGAAATTCGTTGCTCGATTGTCGGTCGTCACTGTCTCTCCCCAGAGTGTCCCAGCTCAACGGTGTCGGTGTGTCACTCAATCAAAGACGGTGATGGCGTCTCATAGTACTTCCAGGCTGTCGCACTGCGTATCGTGGAACATTCCCTCTTGGGCCAGCAAAGAAAACCTCAGTCACACGGAATTCCACGTCTGGGGGGAAGCCAGGCCCTTTTATTCGAGGGCGCCGGCTGGTTCATCGACGCCATCTCCCACGTCTCCCATGTCTCGGCTCTGGTCCAGGCCTCTTGAGCGTCTCTAACTCGTCCCCGCAGCAGGGCCGGCTCAGCCCTCTCATGCTCCATGGCGCCATGGTTGGATAGGGCCAGGATGAGCCACCGCCTCCAGAGTCCAATGGGCCATGGTCCGCCGTCATGCCCGCCTAGACTCAGGTTCCGGCTTTCGCATTGGAATTTGGCCTAGTGCTGATGGAGCGGTGCGGCTGAGAGGTTGCTTTGCTGACCAGCAGCGGCAGCGGGTGCATGTAGAGTGCATGAGAGTGGCAGAACTGGGATGATCTGGGAGGAACCAGGTGGAACTAGGTAGGAATCGGCTCCGAAGAAGCGGTACCTTGCGTGGAATCGTGGCAGTCAGAGTCGCTCGCCTCACCGATTCCATGCTGATTTGGACCTTTGGGGCGCCGGTGCGGCTCTGCAGTGTTGTTGTTTCCCAGCCCTCACAGGCTCACCCTCACAGGTTCACTCTCCACCCACTCTTGATTGGAGACTGGAGGGTAGTATTTTGCAGTCCGTAGGGCGCTTCAGTCCAGGGCGCGTCAGTTTAGGGCTCCAGGCGCCCAACCTCGTCCCCGGCTGGCCCCCAAATGTGATGTACCTCAGTCCAAGTTGCAGGCCGTTAGAATGAACCTGCACAAGAGTCGGAGTTTGCGGACATTTCCACCTTGCTTAATCACGCGTAACTGATCCTTCAACAGGGTTCGGCGCGAGGCTGCGCAGCTTGGCCAGGACCAACAGCGGCATTGGCAAGGCTAATTTTGGGCTTACCACGTAGCAACTTGGGTTAACTTGGGTTAACTTGGGTTAACTAGCCAGCGGATCATCCCTCACTTCCTTCAAGACCCAGGTTGCCAGGCATGTCTGTAGCACACCCCCCGCACCTCAGCCCTGAGAGGCGAGCTAAACTGGGCATGCCTGGCGAGCCACCAGCATGGGGCCGTGGGAGGGCATGGGATGAACGAGAGGCTGGCTGCTCATAGGCCTCTCTACGCGGGGTGGCTATGTTTCCGTGGATCCGGGCCGTCCACCAAGAAGACCCTCTATTCAACCACCTTGCCAGCTAGCTAGCTACACCACTTGTGAGACAAGTGGGGGCTCGCCAGGGTGCTGGGGGACGAGCGAGTAATTGTCCAGGGAGAGAAGAGGACGAGGTTGGTGTTGGGGCGAGTTTGAGATGCGGAGATGAGATGATGAGCACCTCAGAATAGCAGCTTTGCGAGGCGCGGTCAAGGCTGCGTCTCTACGCTTGCCATGTTTTTTTTTTTTCTCGCTCCCCGCCTGATATGTCTCCGAGATCAGCTCGGTTAGTCAGAGACCGGGAAGAGGCCAGGCAGGCTCACCGTCCTTGCTCGCCCGCTCGGTACCTTTTTTTCCTTTTTCGTTGGCTGGCAATTTTCTTCATTTGGTCACTCGATGCGAGTGCCAGCCGAGAGCCTGAAGTGGGCTTGCAGGATGTGACGCCGCCCTGCAAGCCCAAGCACGCCCGGCCCACGATTTCAACAGTCTCAGGCCCCATTCAGCTCGTCCTGTTTCGACCCCTCGAAGTGGCCAAGACGCCACGCGCGTCCCAAGGGCGGGCGGCTTGGCTGGGATCTCTCCAATCGCTGCCTGGTTGTGACAGTGGTGCCCCATGCGCGAGGCTGACTTCGCCCTCTGGCGCCATTCTAAGTGAACATTGTGGTGGTGGAGGAGGAGTGAAGCAGCCACGAGCGCCACGACCTGGCACGTTTGGTTCCACGCAGTTTGACGATCCGTCACCGTTCTGCTCCTTGCTTCCCTTGTCATGCAGAGAGCTGCTCTAGCGGATGCTGGGCTAATCTTGTTGGTCGTTGTGCTGTTCCTCACTAGAAAGAGGGGCAAGCATAATGATTCCATGTTATGACGCGGCGCAGCACAAGCAGTCAGACGAGGGAGCTCCCGAAGGCAATATTATTCCGTGTAACTCGAACCCTGTGTGTTACATTTCGAAGGTTATGTCTGTCTATGGATGGCCTTTTGGCTGATCCAATCCCATCTCCACCTCAGTGTAATCCTTATGCAGCCCTACCGTGACCCAGCCACATCGTTCCCAGCCATCAAATCTTCATTCTCAGGCTCTGAGACTGCCTCGACATTATTTGTATAGATCTAATTCACGCAGGGTAGACGCACGCCCTGGTGGCGTTGAGCGAGACCGTGGTCAATCTAGAGGCCAGCTTCCTTGTTGGCTTGGTAGACCTCCTTGGAGTTGAAGGCTACCACGTTTCCGTCCGCATCGGTCATCGAGGCCTCATTGACATCGACGGTCTGACGTCTGACTGCAATGGTGTGAGCTGGTTGAGTCTTGGCCTCACTTGTGCTGAGGATAAAATGTGCTTACCAGGACCGGCGGCCATGACGGCGCTGATGAGAGTGACAACGGCGAGGATGGAGAACTGCATCTTGAAGTAGAGATCGGGTATTTGTAAGATAATAAAAAGGTCGGCCAGCGACGAGAATCAAGTTGGTATATGAAGCGAAAGTTGATGAAGGTCGTCTTAGTGGTATTGAGAGAGAGGTGAAGGACAGTGATGCATCAGTCGAACTGTGACGACCTGACTTGATATTTGTATGTTGGCAGCCGGCTTACAACTAGGAGCTGTTTTGTTTACTGATAACCCCCTGATCCAGCGTCGTTGACACCGACCTTGCTCAATTCCTTCGGCTCCCACGGCTCGCAAAGTTCATCTCGTCTCAGGATCCCATTCGAGACAAGCCACAGCGTCGATGATCGCGCCGGAAGACGACGTGAGCCGAGCGGTTGAGCGTTGAACTGTCCGGACGGCATCCAGTGAGGACGCAGCATTTCACGGGGTCGCAGGCGCGACAGGGCAAAAGACGGGGAAAGATCCCAGCATCCAGGGGGAAAAAAGCTTGTCGGTCTGCGTGAACCCGCTTCATCGTCGCCGGCATTGCTTGTTTGAGGGGCGGACGAGGACGAGTCTGAAACGCGTGCATCGTCGTCTAGGCGGACGGGGGCGCCGATCATACTCGCGGAGCACCAAGATCCGGTAGCAGAGTGGACTGGAGAAACAAGGCGCAGGGAGGGAGCTGCGTGTGCATCTGCACTGTCAGCAAAAAATCCAACGCGAAATGATGATCCCCTTAGGAGGCCGTCAGGCATAATGATGCTGTGTTGGGCCACGGATGCAGCGGCGAAATGCGTGCGCGCGTTCCGATCGATGCCGTGGCCGCCGGGGATATATTTTGCGGTGGCTGCTCATGTCGCTGATTGAGACGGAGCGCAATGGCATGACGGGGATGATATAAGCCCCGAGGATGCGACATGACCCGTCGGCAAGAAATTGGAATCAATGTACCTCTCCAAAGACAGCTAATATGAGGTAGGTACCTTTGTGAGGGAGCTCTCGCAGCTGGAGCTTCAGCTAATCACGACGCCAGAGTCGCGAGAGCAGCGGCAGCTATCTATTTGGCTGGCTGGAACCGCGGGGCACAATACACGGGAAGTGACGCTCCCCAACCAACCTCATCGTCATCGCTGTTAATTGCTATTATTACGGCGCAGTAATAATTACCGCCGTCGCCCTGTTGCTGCGCCGTTCTGCCGACAGCAATCACAACTCCACACCCTCCACTCAACCACTTGATCACGGGCCTCACGCCGCCGCACCGAAGGCGGGGTTGGGCCGGCTTCTTCCCTGGGATGTGGTGCCTCCTCAGACGTGCTGAGGCGTGCGAGGAGACGTATCCGCGCCTCTTGCTCATTTGCATTTTCGCGTCCTTGTGCAACCGTCTTCTATCACGGCTTGTCGCTTCTTCCCGGTAAGGTGGCTCGTTGATGCTCTTCCGCCTGTTGGTCCGTTGACGTCGTCATCCCCGACCCCTCCTCCAACCTCGCTCCGCTTTCTCTCCTCTCTCCACCTCCACTTCAGCTCTCCACCTCCACCTCCCGCGCTGCCTTCTCGTGCCTCTGGTCTTACTCCCAGTGTCTACTCTGCTACTCTGCTACTCGGTCTTGTCTGCTTGCTACTGCTCTGTCAGACGCACGTCATCTCTCGTTGACTGTCTCTTTTGATATCCTGCTGCTTGTGTCCTCTCCCGATCCATCTCCTGACCTTGCCTGTCAGGCCAGCGTCTTCCCCGATGGCGACCACCGAACATTGCCTCGCGTGCTTCGACGCCCTCGAGGCGCACCTCACCAACCGTAAGCCCTTGTCCCTCGACGAGATCCAGGCGCTCCTGGCCGCTCCCCCCAGCTCTACTCCGTCCGCCGCATCCAAAGGCCTCCAGGACCCCGCGCTGCGCCGTCTTGCCGCTGATACCGAGTCGTCTTCGTCCTCGTCGACCTCGCTCGCCGCGTCGACCCCCGCCACTTCTACCTCTTCCCTGCCGCTCCCTCCCACTTCTGCTCCCCTTTTCGTCACATGGAACACCATGGAGGACGGCGAGCCCTCACTGCGCGGGTGCATCGGCACCTTTGAGTCCCAGCCGCTCTCAGAGGGCATCCCCGAGTACTCGTTGATCTCAGCCCTCCACGACACCCGCTTCTCGCCCATCCGAAAGTCCGAGCTACCAACTCTGCAAGTTGCCGTCACGCTCCTCACAGACTTCGAAGAGGTCGACGACATGTACGAGTGGGACGTTGGCGTCCATGGCATCCGGCTGTCTTTCTACGACCGCGGTCGCCGCTACGGCTCGACTTACTTACCCGACGTCGCCTCTGAGCAGGGTTGGACTAAAGATGAGACTCTCTTCAGTCTGATCCGCAAAGCAGGCTGGATGGGTAACCGCAAGCAGTGGAAGGACTTGGAGCTCAAAATCACCCGCTATCAGGGCAAGAAGAGCATCCTTGAGTACGATGACTACAAGAAGTGGCGGGAGGGTCTTCAAGACTGAGCAGCTTACGTGAGACATGCAAGAGGCGCTCTTCAAGGCCAGCAGTGGTTATGGAGTTGAGGGTAAGCCGTGACATGTAGACTAGAGGCCGGCGTTTGGGCGAGAAGTAGCCTACGGGGACTATTTCTTACTATTATTGACTGACAGGTAGAGTCGGGATTGTGGAGTGGCATACACACATCACTCATTCTTTTCTCATGCAATTCACAGACGATTTACAGACCTAGTTGGCCAAGTTGATCTAGCTGACCTTGGTTGTGGACTTGCTGGCTATTCTAACCAACAGCCGCTACACTTGGCCATGGGCAAATGGGATGGTGACCACTCCAACGGCGGAGCCCCTCACAAATCGATTCACTGACCCGTCAACTGCATTCGCACGAGCGCGTAGACTAGCCACCATGGCGCATTGCCAAGGACAAGTATCCTGCCTAGGATGCTAGATCACCGCTAAACCAACTTCCTTGTGGATGTGAAAATGACAGTATATGAACAGTATCCGGTAGCTTAATATCTCTCGAAGCAACATGATGGACAGGTTGATGATGGTTCCCGACCAAAGAATAGATACAACAACTCCTCATGGCAGCTGGTAAACCACCAGCCCAGACAACACAACCCAGACCCAATGTTTCGCCTAGACGCCGAGATATCCCTGGTATATGACGATTCCAAGTATTGTAACATCCTCCTACACACGAGAGATGGCCGCCCGCATCCCTCGCAAATCCGACATCTCCCTCCTTTTTTTCTGTTCATTTTGTGGTGCTGGTCACCCTATTTGCGCCACCTTATTCACCAACAGCGCAGCTTCTTCCAAAAGCCACCGTCGGGCTTCCCAACCCGGTCGCCGTTCAGATTTGGTCCGCGGACGCCGGGTGCGCGCTTCTCGGGATCGGCGTCGGCCGGCAGCGGGGTCAAGGGCTTCGTCTGGCCGCGGGCGTTGAGATCGGTGTTCTCGTGGACGCCCATGTCGGCGAGGCGGCGGCCCTCCATGACGCGGCGCACGATGAGGGCGAACGTCTCCTCGATGTTGACCTCGAGGCGTGCGCTGGTCTCCATGAAGCCGCAGCCGTGCTTGCGCGCCCACTCCAGGCCCCTGGCCGCAGGCACTTGGCGGCTCTCCTGCAGATCGCATTTGTTGCCAGCGACCAGCTTCACGGGCGGCGCAGTCTTGGCGCGGCCGCCGCTGCCAAATGAGGTGTCGTGGTGCCCAGGTTTGAGGCCGGCGCGACGGGCGCGGTCGGCGTTGTCGAGACGGGTCTCGGCCTCCATGTCGATGAGCTCGTCGAAATGCTGTAGGGCGTCGAGGGAGTCGAGCGAGGTGATGTCGTAGACGAGGAGGAAGGCGTCGGCGCCCAGGTTGGACGATGCCCACATGCCGCGGTACTCCTCCTGGCCGGCCGTGTCCGTCAGCGACAGGTGGTAGGTGACGCCATCGATGCGACGGGTGACGCTGTAGGAGTCTTCGATGGTCGGGTCGTAGTCAGAGGTCCACTGCGAGTGAACCAGGCGCAAGGTGATGGAGGATTTACCGCAGCCGCCGTCGCCACAGATGGTGATGGATATGGGGACGGGAGGCTGCGTCTCGGTGGCCATTGTCGCAACCGTACGGTGGGTAGAGAGTTCCGAGGAAGGGTCGGGAGTAGTCGACGTTGCAGCAGTGCCGTTACAGCAGTGTCGTCACCGAAGATGACGCTGGAACACTCCGTTGTGGGGGTGGAACGGGAGCGGGCTCTAAGGTCGAGTCTAGAGCTTCGTCGGGATTGTCGCGTGCGTTGGGTGACGTTGGGCGTCTTGCGTGTAGGCGAGCTTCCCTGCTGCCGAGGGGCTGGGCGTCCTCGTCCGGTGCAAGTCGCAACTGTTCGTGAGAGATGGTGATGCGCCTCGGATCCGAGCTGTCGGCTGCGCTGCCTGAGGCCAACGAGGCTGTCTGGATTCGAGCGTTGTTGGTGGACGCGGCCGGCTTCTAAGGCGCTCTCAAGGCGTTTTCAAGGCGGGCGCTTGAGACTTGTGAGACAGTAGTACGCTGGTGGTGCTCAATGATTCGACGCCGAAACAAACACTGTCGGTTCCCTTTCCCTTGGTGGTGTTTCGGTTATTCTTCCGTCTCCGTCTGAATACTCACAATGCAAAAAAAGCCGAAGCACAGCACGAGGATGGGTAGTAGAAGATGAAAAGTCTTGCGGCGCGCTGGGGAACCCGGCACGAGGGCCGTCGCGACCTGAAATAGGTAGTGTTAGGTACCTCTACCCAGTACCTAGCTGAGCTGCTGGGGGGAGGGAACAAGACCGGGGACGTGTGGCGTGTGGCGTGTGGGCGCGGCGGCGGGCGGCGGTTGGTGTCTGGGTGGAAGCTCCAGCGTCGGTGGACGGGCCACACTGCGATCTTCAACAACCACCACACGAGCTCACGGGCCTTGGAGTCTGACGACGGGAGAGGCTGGGGCAGAGTCGATGACGAGAAGACGACTAGAGAGGGTTTTTCTTCTTCTTTTTTTGCCTGTTTATGCGGGGAATGAGACAACCGATGATGCAGCCCGCCCCCCCTTTCTCGCCATCTTGAAGGCGTGGTGGGAAGTCAAGGTTGGCAAAGGTTGGCACTGATATGACAGGTAACCCACCGACAAGGGATACACAGACTTGACTTTTTATCATCCGAGGGGCGACACGAAGACGCCCAAAGCTAGAGACCCAGAAACGCCCACCCAGAATCCAGCAGTGCCCGGCACTAAAGGGAAGCTATACTGCGTCTGGCGGCCATGGCAAAGCAAAAGCAAGGGGAGCGGATGCGTAGCAGGCAGCCCACTGTAGCTAATAATGAATGGACCTCTTGGGCACCAGGCTGGCAAAGAAACCCAGCACCAGCTAAATGAATGGCACACCAACTCTGAACGATGTCAATGCAAAAGGAGAGCGCCGGTGTCGAATGTGGGAGTGGTGGCCCAGCCGTTTATCCAGCTCTGGCAACCTCGTTGCTCGCCCTGGACGCCCTCCTGGTCCGCATCCCAGGCTTTGCATTGCCCAGCAGATGGCGCAGGACCGGGAAAAACATGGCCAACCAGGCCTAAAATGCGCCTGAAACCGACAGCCCAGATCCTCAACGGCGATGGGTGTGGGACGGTGGTGGACCCCCGGGAGGCTAAAGAGATGGAAGCTTCGGGATACCCCTGGGTCTAAACGGCCATTCCGCGTGGGAGCTCTGAATACGGCAGTTGATCGGCCAGACGCTCATCATCGACCGCGCCCCGGGTTCTTGGCTGGGCTTCGACTTGTTCCAACAGATGCTTCGCGCCAATTCCCCATATCGTCGGCGTCGCACGCGAGGTGGAGAGCTGCAATTTACAAACCCGCTGCGCTCATCATCCAAGAAGACGTGCTCTTCGTCCACGTCCACGTTCTTTCGTGTCAAAGAGGGTTCAATAAGGTACGCGCCGTCGCAAGTCCAGCGCGGAATCCGGAAAACGTGGTGACCGGGGGTGGGAGAGAGTTGACTGCTGCGCTCGTCCCCCCCTCCTTGTCGCCTCGCGCGCTCACTTCCCTCGGCAGCCCTTCAATCTCCGGGGGGAAGACGTGAAATGGGTGCTGCCACGATGACCAAGGCCAATCTGCTTCAGCAGCGACTGCGTGCGGGCGCTGCAGGCAATGGCCGGAGATGCAAGGCGAAGTATGTGAATGTGACGGGCGTGCATTTGTTGGGGCGGCGCAATAAATGAAGCCATGTATCACTCTTGCCGCTTCACGCGCCTCTGCGGACGTGTAAAGTTCCCTCATCGGGACTCGATCGACAAGAAACAATCGCTCCTCTTGTCTTCTTTTCCTGTCTCCTTTGTTTCCTCTACCTACTCTTTGATATGATGCGTTACGTGACCCCTTGTCAGTCGCGTAAATTGACTTCCGCGCACAGACAGCGTTATCAACATGCTTCATCGTCAATCCATCCATCGATTCCGGCGCCATAGAAGAGTGACGACTTCAACTCGGCCAACCTCAGGTTCTCTCATGCGAAGCTGACGGTCTGCCGGCTTTGCGTATTTCCCGAGGCATATTTGGGTTTCTTTATATGACGCCTCTTCCCCCCCTCACCCAAGCGTCCGTCTACCCCTCAGTGAAGTGCCGTCTTCGGCTCCGTGTGCGAGAAAGCCTGCCAGTGCGTCTCTCAACCCCCAAAGTATTGGACCGGGATCCCGGTGCCTCATCGTTCGACTCCTTTCACGTGAAAGGGATACGAACCTGGGGACGCCGTTTTTATTTTCTGTTTCCCCCTATAACGATGCATTATCATGCCATTGCGGAACACAATGCTGCCAGTTAAGTTTGGAAACCGGATGCGCCCAGGTTGCCGAGTTGAAGTCGTCCCTTGTCTGACCCGCCAAAGTGGCTCCTGCACAAGGAAGCCCTCCAAAACCATCTCAGTTGGATGAACATGTCTCCTCCAGCGGTCTTGGCCAACCGCTAAGAAACAACATCCGCGGCAACTCGTCTGACGTCGAGTCATCCCTAGGCTCCTGCCGTGGCTCGGCGCCATCACCTCCAGTCATTCAATCCGGTAAAGACTCGGTAGAATAGAAATCCCTCGGTCACGAGATTTTGTCACGTCGTTGACTTTATCCATCTCGTCATCTTCGATTTTTCAAGTGCACTTCTGTTTTCTGGGACGCAGTCTTTGATTTTTCCAGATTTTTATTGGCGTGTGATACATGACTCCCCCAGTTTGTAGCGTCTGACCGTCCACCTGCACCACCATGACTGTGCCCAACGGGAGTCATCCCGCCAACGGGAACCCCTCCTCTACCCTCCATAGGGCTGAGGAAGTGAACGATGTAAGACATCTGTTCGACCGGGGTCCAATATCGATCTGCCACTGACATTCCTACCCAGTTGATTGGTGCTGTCCGAGGTCTCATCGTCCCTTTCATCCAGGCCGCCGATGACGCCGCATCAGAGCGGGCCACTGGCAATATGGTCCCCGACAAGACCGGCCGTGTGAACAATGTCCTCGTTGACTTCAATAAGCCGCAGGAGTTGGCTGCGAAAATGAAGTTCTCTCTACCCAATCAGGGACAGGGCAAGGAGGGTCTCCTAGAGGTCATTCAGCAGGTTCTCCAGTACAGTGTCAACACTTGGGACCAGGGGTTCCTGGATAAGCTCTATGCAAGCACAAATGCCGTGGGTTTTATTGTTGGGCTTTTCTGGTGTCTGTACTCACTGGTTTATACAGGTCGGTGTTGTGTCAGATATGGTTCTTTCCGTGCTAAACACCAATGTAAGCCTCCGTCACACTATCCATGCACCCCACTAACACTCCCTAGTTGCACGTGTTCCAAGTTTCGCCTGCTTTGACCATAGTTGAGAAAGCTACTGCCAAGACACTTGCACATCTGTTCGGTTTCACGGGGCCCCGTGCAGGCGGTGTTACCTGTCAGGGCGGAAGCTCGTCCAACCTGACTTCGATGGTTATCGCTCGCAACACCTTGTACCCTGAGTGCAGGACTGCAGGAAACAAGCATGACTTTGTTGTCTTTACAAGTGCACATGGTCATTACTCTGTTGAAAAGAGTGCTATGATATGCGGACTGGGCTCCGACAGCGTCTGGCCCGTTGCTGTTGATGAGTATGGATGTATGAAGCCCGATGCGCTACGAGAGTCGGTCGTCCGTGCCAAGGCTGAAGGCAAGACCCCATTTTATGTCAACTCAACTGCTGGTACGACTGTCATGGGATCATATGAGCCATTCGAGGAGATCTCTAAGATCTGCAAAGAGTTTGGATTGTGGATGCACATTGACGCCAGCTGGGGAGGTCCCGCTATCTTCTCGGCTAAGCAGCAGTGGAAGCTGAAGGGTTCCCATCTCGCCAACTCGCTGACTGTCAACCCACACAAGATGATGAACATTCCGGTCACCTGCTCGTTCCTTCTCGGGCCTGACCTGAACGCCTTTAACAAGGCTAACAGCACTGCTGCTGGATACCTCTTCCATACCAACGAGGGCGATGACTTCTTCGATCTTGCGGATCTGACGCTGCAGTGCGGCCGGCGTGGCGACAGCTTGAAGCTTGCACTTGCGTGGATCTACTACGGAGCCGCTGGCTTCGAGAAGCAAATCAACCATGCCTTTGACCAGGCTGCCTACCTCGCCAGCCTCGTCAAGCAGAGCGACAACTTTGTGCTTGTGTCTCAAGATCCTCCGCCATGCTTGCAGGTATGCTTCTACTATGCTCCCGGTGGAGACTTGTCCGAAGACAAGGAGACGAACACGCTGCGGACCAAGACGATGGTTGAGAAGATGATTCTCAGGGGCTACATGGTCGACTACGCGCCTGGGCCCAAGGGTAGCTTTTTCCGCGTCGTTGTCAATTGCCAGACTCTCAAGGGAACGGTCGAGGGGTTGGTCAAGGGGCTCGAGGAGGTCGGAACAGAGGGATTCTAGATTAGACTACACCGAGATGACTAGACTTCTTACACATGTTACTGAAAATGGCTGGGATCAAAGGATTAGATTGAAACTTAGATATACGATGAGAAAAGGAGGGTCTGTTCGTGTCGAGGATAGACTGGCTTGTTGGCCTCGCCCTCGATGGAGTCCGATAGGAAGCTGACACTGGAGAGGTTGAGAGTTGCGAAACCCATGGCTCATGATTAGATCTAGACCCGAGAGGGCAATTATCTAGACGTAGAATAAAGTATGTTCGGACAAAATCATAATGTTAGCTGAAAGGGTACAATCTTATGCTAAAAGTCTCCCGTTATTCTTAAATCTAGCTGAAAAAATTGTAAGGAACACAAATACTAAGGATTGGTCTTATTTAATGAAATCTCTAACCGAGTGATCAATCTTTAGATTGAACCCTGGTACCGACTTTGGGGGCAGATTCATCATGAGACGGACATGTAACGGCGCTGGTGGAGACGACCGGGCCTCTGCCGTGGAGCCGGTGGTGGGCCTTATCGATAAGAACCATCGCCGGCTTGACGCCAAATTTTTTGGAAAACTTTCTGGACGACCAACCACCCCACCAAGTCCTCGAGTTTACAACCTTCACGACATCGACTCACTCACTCAATCGCACAGATACAATGCCGAAGCCCCGTACAAAGCGAGGCGCTGGCCGCGAGGAGCGCAAACGCAAGCGTCGCGAAGAGGTCGAACCCCAGGACAACACTGAGAAGGAGTCGAAGCGCCAGCGAACCACCGACGATGGCCAGGACTACGAGGAGGGCGCCACCGGCATACACCAGAATGGATTCGGCGAGAAGGAGTTCTTCGGCATGCTGGCCGAAGACGAGCAGGAGTACTTCCGCCGCGCCGACGAGCTCCTCGAGCTGAACCAGTTCCCGACCGCCGATGAGCGCGACGTCTTCCTCCTGAACGTCTACAAGGAGGCTGTGGGCAAGGAGCTCAAGCTGGCCAGCAGCCAATCGTGTTCGCGATTGATGGAGCGCCTCATCCAGCTCGCAAACACGGCGCAAAAGAAGCACCTGTTTGAGGCCTTCGCCGGCCACTTCCTGTCGCTCGTACAGCACCGATTTGCGAGCCATTGCTGCGAGGCACTCTTCCTACGGTCGGCGGGCGTGGTGTCGCAGGAGCTGACTGGGTTTGTCATGGATACCAAGGGCGCGGATGTGGAGTCGCAGAAGCCGGAATCATCCATGGAAGGACTCTTTCTGGCAACACTCGACGAGTTGGAGGGTGGCCTGGGATACCTGATCACCGATCGTTTTGCCTCGCATACCATGCGTGTTCTCCTCCTCGTTCTGTCCGGTCGACCTCTGGACGATTCCTCAGTCAAGACCCTTATCAAGAGCAAAAACAAGGAGAACATCTCCGTTGCGGGAGGTAATGCGGTGGATGAGGCGAACAAGGGCATGCGAGCGGTCCCCGAGTCGTTCATGATGGCAACCAAGAAGATCATCCAGGACTCAACCTCCGGCATGGACGCCACCAGCTTGAGGGTCATGGCCACACACCCCATGGGCAACCCAACGCTACAGCTCCTCCTGGAGCTTGATCTGACGCTCAACAAGGCTGACAAGACGTCAGAGTCCTCAGGGCCCACCCTGTTGTACCAGCTCCTACCTGGTGCTCCCCAGACTTTGACCGACGACTCGTCAGAGGCATCCCAATTCATCAACAGCATGATTTACGACCAGATTGGCTCCCGACTAGTCGAGACGCTCATCACCCACGCCCCCGGCAAGATCTTCAAGTCCCTGAACCAGAACGTCTTCCTTCCCAGGATACAAGGATACGTCCGCAACGACGTCTCGTCTTATGCAGCCATCCGAGTGCTAAACCGACTAAGCAAGGAAGATCTGGTAACGGCCGTGGAGCAGATTGCCCCCACCACCCCCCAGCTGGTAGCCAAATCGAGGTTCAACGTCCTCAAGACTCTCTTCGACCGATGCTTCGCTCGTGGTGCAAACGAAGAGATCAAGAAACTCATGAAGGGGCTCAAGGAAGGAGCCGGTGCAACACCGGCCGACTTGATCATCACTCTGTGCGGATTCAAGGACGATGATAAGGAGAAGAAGAAGAAGAAGGATATCCAGCAACTCTCCAAGAACGAATACGCCATCCAATCTCACGGCGCACAACTACTCACCACCATCCTCGCAATTCCCGGCCCCACCAAGGGCGTCCAGGAGTCGCTCCTCGCCATTTCACCAGAGCATCTCGTCCGTCTTGCCACCACATCAATGCCGACCGTCACCGTCCTCACCGCCGCCCTAGCGACACCCTCTTCAAACCCCGCCTTCCACAAGTCCATAGTCAGCGCCCTCCTGCCGCACATCCCCGAGCTCGCCGTCTCGCAGTTCGGCCACAACCTCATCAACGCCATCGTCGAGGTGCCCAGCAAGGGCAAGGAGCGCAGCATCCCGTTCCACATGAAGGAAAGCATCATGTCGACGCTCGGCCAGCACGAGGGCGAGCTGCGAGACAGCTGGATGGGCCGGAGCGTGTGGAGGACTTGGAAGGGCGACACGTGGAAGACGAGGCGCGGAGACTGGAAGGTCTGGATGAGGGAGGTCGACGTCCAGCCGGAGCCCAGTGCTCCCGCCAAGGGAGCCAAGGGACCGCGAGGAGGCAAGGGCTTTGAGAAGCCGCAGGGAGACGAGGGGTGGAGAGAGAGGAGAAGCAAAAACAAGGAGAGGAGCGAAACTGTTGAGAAGGCCGAGGCCGAGCAATAATCGGAGCTGATACCCGGAAGGTTGATGGGCAAAAAAATATACAATCACCTTGGCACAGGAGAGTAAAAACTAGAGCGCGTTAGGACATTAATGCGAATGTAACATCTTATTATCACAAATCGCTAGCTTCTTGAATACGCTGAAAGCATGGTTATCAAAATCGCCCGTAGTCCGCCTAAGCACACGGCATGGTTGCAGCCATCATGGCGAGCCTCAGTAAAGGGATGCCATTGCAGTGAGTCGGTGTAAGTGGCAGGCGTCCGCTCAACAATAGCAAGTCAATGTGAATAGCGGACCTACTATATTGAGGAATTTATCTTGTATTGTTCTCCAAGTATGGGTCCCACCTGTATGCAGGTATTCACGATGCATTCATACCTATTGTTCCAATCTTGGCGGGCATCTCAGACTCACCTCAGTTTCCGATATCAACCCATGGCAGCTTGCCTCGCTGTCACTATTAAAATGACGGCCTGTCTCATCTCACACGCCTGGCGTATCCCTCTCACAAACCTTCAACCACACGAGGTTTGCTTGCATCATCCTTCGTTATGCCTCGTGGTAGATACGATTGCACCGGAATCGCTCCTGGGGCTCCTGGGTCTGACACCGGTCTCCGGGCGAGATACAAACGGCCCAGGGGTGGGACACCTCGCGCTGGTACGCCTCAGGACCAACAGATGACTATGTCTGGGATGGGTCCTGATGGTGATGCCACACCCAAGGCATCCAAACCGCCTGCTGGACAGTTTTCTTTGCCATCCGGTTACCCATTCGTTCAAGATGCCCAATTGGATAGCCCGGCTGTCAACTGGGCCACAACGGACCAAAATCGAATCCCTCCCACGCAATTTACCAACACTGGCAACCCTCATACCTTTCTTGGTTACACTCCAGGCAGCACTCAGGAGTACTATGGTCATCTTTCATCCGGTCATTTTGGAACCACCGTTGGGGCTGCAACTCTGCAGTCGTATCCCCTTCATCCTCATCGAGCAGTTGAACAATCTCCGTCGAGCGTCCACCCAACGACTCACGACAACTGCTCAATTCCATGGAACGGGGCGGGTGTCGCGACAGGAGTCCCGGCTAATGAGGGCGTGCACACCACCCCTTCGATTGCTGCGTACGGCTAGGAACCGAACGTTGAGCAGAGTATGCCAGCGGTTCACCACGATGTCACCCAGCCACCACAGGGAACCCTCCACCCCGGTTTCCAGGCCCAACAGCAACGCAACCAGAGACAACATCATGGCTAAGTTGCCTTGATCACTTGGTTATCCTCCGCTTCACATGAGGGAATGATTCATCTCGACAACGTCTGAACAGGATCTGCTTTTAGAGGCGGTAAGTACATCCCTTGAACTTGAAGCAAGGAACTAGGGCTCACAACAACACAGGAGGCACGTTCCTATTTGGGCCAGAAAAGATTGGAGATTAGAAAGCTGGTGGATGAATGGCGGCCTTCAAGGTAGAACAAAAATGCCCATGGCTGGGTAGCATCTGTGGTTAGACACGTCTCGTTCTATAATCATAATAGATGAGAAGAAGATCGCTCTCAATTGAAGTGCCCATACCGGGAAATTCCAGTGCCACGGTGAATTGGAAAGTCTGAAATTCCCCGGATTTACTTTTGAGAGTCGCCCACAGATTTCGCTCGGGCTCTTGTCGCAGAACCAAGGATCAAGGGTTCTCGGTAGCTGGAAGGTGCCGTGGAGAAAATAGGCCCGGATGTTGTAGTCCCCACATGTCGCCAGAAAGTTCACCTCAAAGATGCATCCGAGGTGGGCTGAGGACGCCCGTCGCAGAAACCCAATCGCTATCGCGTTGATGGTACGGGAAGTGGATTAAGACGGCCGACGGCGAAGCGATGCGAAGCTCGTTGCGCTAACGACTGGATCTTGGATTTGCCGCTTGAGATTTGCGAAGAATGTCGGGGCTTTAGTAAAGTTCAGGGGAAACCTGCCAATCACTGCCCTCTATACTTATCCTCATCCGGGATTCTACACTGAAGGAGTAAGTCGGTGCCACCATCTTGAAGCTTCGTAAAGCCGTCCCAGGACGAAGGCACCCGAGGAAGACGACTACCCTGTTCCACGCTTGGTGTCAAGCTCGTCAACCGTCCGGGGCGACGCCATCCCGCACGTTCTAGGGTCTGAAGGCGTTTCTGAATCGTACCATCCCACAGTGTTTCTAGGCGTGAGCTGCCGAGATAGCAAGAGGGATGGATGGTATCCGCAGCAGAATGTGTCTTCAGCCAGTCGGATGGACAGCTCTGTAAGGTTTCGGGTACCGGCAGGGCAGTCGCAATGTCAGGTTATGTTTTTGGTATCATGCTGCATCTCGGGTACCCGGCTAAGCCGAGGTTTGCTGAAAGATGGTGGAAGAGAATAGGTTATTGCATATGCAGAGGAGAAAGTCTGTAGTGATGGAGGAGACTGTGAGGAGGAAGATAAAACTGGGGTAGAGCGCGTCGCCACTGAGAGTTGGATTTGGCGGAGCAAAGCTCCCAGGCCTTTCGTAGCGCTTTACGGCGGCTCGGTTGTCTCATGAAGAGGTTTGTTTCCGATACGTCACCGCTCGCTCATGGCTCCGTCGTGAACCGTTGCTTTGGGCTGGAATTCGGCAGATCGACAATACGGCTGAAGGACAGAGTAAAAACCTGTCTAGGACCCTGGAAGGGTGGGGCCGATTACAGCATGGCAAACCCTGTCACCGGATGATCTCCGTCGGGGGAAATCATTTTCTGGTTGGGAAAACTTGGGGACTTGTGATGGCTTGTGATGCAAGACGCGTGTAATTCTGATGATAGGCCCGGGGAGGGTGTGGAGTGGGGGATAGAGTGTGGGTGTGGCGGAAGCATGTGGCGGAAGCATGTGGCGAGTGTGTGGGCAAGTGTGGCGAGTGTGGCTGGTGTCCAAAGCAAACTGTTTGAGCAGGCTCGTCAAGCGGGGTACCATCCGTCATCGCCCTTTGATGGGCGATCGAGGAATGTGGGCCGGAGCAGATTCTCCTTTCGAAGGGGTCAGTGCTGCTGGGAGTGAGTAGGATGCGCTAGCGACGCCGCGTCTCCGGCGCCGACCTTCCACTGCTGGCTGCTTGCTGATTGCCGGATGCCACTGGGCCGTCTTGTTGGTCTGCTGTCCCAGTTTGTCCCGGTTTAATCCATGTTTCACGCCCGTTGTTCAAAACATAATGTAACAAGGGCTCCATGCACCGCGATGCGGTGCATTGGTGGAGCGGCATCCGCCAGGTATGTGTTTGAACGGGGGAACGTGCCGGACGGCGCCTGGCGCCACTGGGACGCGGTGAGCGGAAGTGGAGAGAAGACGAGATTGCTGCCTTGGTTCTGGTCTGCCAACTACAGAGCTAAGCATCGTGTTGAGACAGATACAGAGAGGAGATGATGGTTGTGCAGATGGTGTTTTGCTGACGGAGTGTGGCGTATGGTGCTGATAGACGGCCTGCTGCCCTGTCTGTCCCGGCCCCTGCTACCTAATGGTGGACAACCTACGTACGTACCTACGCCGCACGCAATGGAAGCCTGCCCCTCATTGCTGGGACCTGCCTAATCCATAGCGGGGTTAGGGAGAACGGTGAGGAGCTCCCAGGATGTATCGTGTCTTGTACAACGCCAACCTCAGCCAAGCTCTAAAGCAATTTCTACAATTGCCGGCCAACCATCCAACGAACGCCTGGTACTGAGCAGAGACACTTACATAGTACGGATCAACAAGATCACAGGGACCATAAGGGACTCCGGGTGCATCACGGGCGCGTGAGGCCCCCAAGCCTTTGGTACGCTAGCAACGCAGAAGGGCTGGTCCATGGACAACTCAAATTATTCTTTACGCCGGGCGTAACCCCGTAATATATCGGACTGGGTGTTCGCTCCAAGCGCTCGGCCGATTTCTCGCCCCTAGCAACAAGCCTACCACGCAGTAGGTCGCAAAACTGGACATTGTCGGGACCGACATCTCCCACGGTGGCTGTTTACTGATCAAGGGCTTGCGAGCTTGTCTGTACTAGGACGCAGCGAGGCCGGAGCAAAGATACCGAGCAGCCAGGGGCCCTGTGGCTGGTGGAGAGCGGAGAGCTAGGACGGGACTCTGCCGGGGCATGCATGCGGCGCACAACGCCAGAATTTGAAGGGACCAGTCGGCAACAAGCTCCCCGAAGGCCAAAGGGTGAGAAGGAGTTATTGGGGGCAATTAGAAGGGAAACGAAAAAAAGAAAACAGGAAAACAGGAAATTGCGTTGATACCGACATGAACCTCCGCATTCCCGTGCACTGTAAATCACCAGCCAGCGTGCCGTACCTTGTTTGTGGGAGGCGGCCCCCTTGGTAATCACGGACGACTTGCTCCGGCTTGTGGAAGGATAATTGCAACAGCTGACGGATTTTGATCATCTTTTTTTGACCGTGACATTCCCCGATTCCAGACACTGGATCTGCGGCTATGGAACTGGAGGGTTGTTACGTCAACTTGGTGCTGTCTCGATGGCGTCTCGCTGGCGATGAGATTGGATGGAGTTGTTGCCCAGATCGAGGGACTCTATCGGTGGCTGTGGAGGCTCCTCACCGCGCCACGTCCTCTAGTCAAAATTGGAAGCCACCTACGTCGCCGGCCGCTGGCTCGATTGGGTGGCAGCTACGTAGCACCGGGGAGCTTTGGACGGAAGCGGGCTTTCGGGCCTCGGGTGAGACACTGACTGTGCGGAAGCGTGGGACAGACACACACAATGGGTGTGAGAGCATGCCCCAGTAAGTTAGAAATACTGCGTAGATTTACAAGGAGGCGAGAATGCCAGGGCCATGCCTAACTACAGTCTACTGTAGTAATATGTTGGCCGATCTGGCACGATCTGGCTGTACTACTACGTAGTACGTAGGTAAAGCCAAAATGCTGCAACTCGTAGTGGCTGTTAATCCCAGTAGCAGATCCCGTCGTCATTTTGCACAGGGGCTACATCCGTGAAAGAGAGCCTGATGGAACGATTTGGAATTTTGGAAAAGAAAGGCCTACGAGACATTACATCATACCGGTCAGTCGGCGCCAGGCACGATCCTTCCACAGTTGGCAGGCCACCAGTCAGAGGAGGGGCACAACAGACCTTTGTGGAAACCTTTGCACTTCTCCACGATGCATTGCATGCTTGGACGGATATCTACAGGTGTGGCGCTCTCCAAAGCCTGGTAAAGCCTGGTTGCTGCCATAATGCATGCTGCTGGCCGTGGCTGCCTCCCTGCCTCCCTGCCACCCCCTCCCAGGCCCGGACGGAGCAAGCCATACCCGACCCACTGAAGCATTGGGATCCTCTAGCCCGGGCTGGCTAATTCTCCTTCCTAGTGGCCGCCGGTGCAGGCATTCGTACGCAAGCGGCCCCCCCTAGCTCCTAGCTTGATAACCCCCGCCACCGCGACCCAAGGGCGGGGGATCCTCACTGCGGCGCGGGCTACATGGTACATGTGCCTCGGCCCTTGCGCTAACAGACGTCTTTTCTTGTCATCGAGATCGATCGCCCATACTTGGCTCGATCAATCCGCCTCGCAGTCGCTTGATTGCGAGGATCGAAAATCCTGCTCTGGAACGCGCTGTTTCTTTGCTTTGTCCCTTGAGTGTACGGATCTCTGCAACGCCATACCCTGCTGTGCTACTGTGTGCTCTTTCCGTATATATATAAGTCCACCGTGCCCTGCCCCATATGTCACTCCTCCTCCCTGAGTCTTGTTCACGCCAGCACTATCCTGGCTCGACATTTCCCCTTCTACACCACCTGTTTGACATCATCACGACCTACCTACCATACCACTATCACTGATCCGACTAATCGACACTCAATCCGACTACGACCACCCGTACATTCCTGCCCACTCTACGAGTTTTCTCCCAGCACACCGAGATAAATCGATATCTATACAAACGTACCTCATCCCCGCGAAGAGCTGAGCTCAGCTCCAAGGCCGCAGTGCCTGTCTCAAACTCTCCCGCGTCCCCCGAGCTCGCTTCCGCAATCGATCCACAAATACACCGCAAGCTTCAGCCTCCAAACTCTCGCTTGGGAGCTTCCTCATAGAGGCTGCAAAAAAAAAACCCCATAAAGCAGACGACAATTCCCCTTGTCGCTTCTCCCTAGTTCCAATGCCGAGAAGATATTTCGATCTTGGAATGGACCCAACCATGGCCACCGACAAACCCCCGAAAAAGGTAATTATTAGCTCGCTCTCATCTTGCTCCCGTCTGTTGTGTTACTTGCCATTCATGTTAGCTTCGTTTCCGTCACTGGTTCACTCTGCGGTCTACCTCCACTTAGCTTTCTAAAGAAATACCCTGCTCTCTCCGTTCGCTGTTGCAACTACCACGAACGCCGCGTTCCACTTTCATGATTCAACTCCCACTTGCACGCGCACCCTACACAGATTCGAAAGCCTGGTTGTGCAGATATCTAACAGAAATTGGCAGACTGAGCGTTCTCATGCTGAGAACCAAGAGCGTGCCTACATTGCTGCCTCAAGACGGGCTGACCGCAGCATTGAAGCCCGTGTCCAGTCTGCCAGGATGGCAAGCGAGATCCACAAGAAGAGGACTGGCAAGGCGTTCCACATCACCGAGGAGATTGTGATAAAGGAAGAAATGTACGAAGAGGAGGAAGATGACTTTCCCCGGTCTTATCGACTCTTGGGCCCCCACATGCAGACTTCTTCCGCTGAGATGAACTCCCGGGTGGAGACATACCTCACTAATAGGGTCGCCATGTCGAAACTCATGTCAGCTACGGAGCAAGACTGGCGGGATAACGCCGTGAACCGGGCGTTCGCCGAAATGTTCCCCAACGCCGATCAACAAGCTCAGAGCCTTTCCCATCGGTGGTCAACTCCGGGATACACCATGCCCATGCAGCAGAGCGGACGTCTTCAGAACCCCCAAGATTCGGCGATGGACACAAACTTCCAACCCATCAACTATGGCCAAGGAAACGGTCACGAGGAGCGGAGTCACTCATTTTCAGGGGTTTCTCCCTCCGAACTAAGAAATGATGCTGGACTGTCCTCACCGAGTTTGACCCCCGGGTCTGGAGCCCACCCAGAGACTCCTCAGTCTCAGTCAACATCTGGCTTTGCAGACTTCATGCCGCCAAACTTTATGGAATATGGTACAAACGGATCAGCCTTCACATCTGAGCTTCCCGCTGAAGCCAAGATGATGTTGGGTGGTGGTATGGATATGAACGGCTCATTTGGTTCAAACCCTTATCCCCAGGACTGGATGTCTGGCAATGAGCAGATGTACACCTACCCTGACATGCCTAAGCATATGAAGCAGGACAATGGACACGATGGACAGGGCCTTGATGTGCATTCCAACCTGTTTGACGACAACCTTGGGCAAATGGACTGGGACACATCGGCACAGCCGAACACCGGCGAGGAGCCTTCCTGGGATACATTTCTTAACGATACTGCGTGGACCACCGACCAACCGTGAGAGCGCTGAAACTGGAACGCTCTTTTCTCATCATGATTTATGAACCTTTCGCTTTTGGAAAGCCTAGAATACGATACGGCAACGAACGCCGGCCCAAACCGACGCGGAGCGACAGGTTTTGAGCGTTGATTTCGATGATTGGACCAAGATCCCTTGGGGTAAAAACGAACAGAAAACGAGAACTGTTGCATTGTATCAGGAATCTTCGGGTGTCCCTTGGCGTTTTGGGATGTCACGACTCCCTCAGTTAGCACCATGGTGATATGATGGTTATGTTACACCTGTACGAGGGAGAGATGCTGCATGTTGGTTGCGCATCCTTGTACGATGACAGTGTATGTTTTTGGCATCGCCGCGGGCGGTTTGGAGTTTTGCATTTTTGGGATTCTTGCACATGGCGTTGATACCCTGGGCCTTGATTTTGTTTCCAATATGCATAGAGGGTAGCACACTAATAGGAGGCGCAAGGCAAATGGAGGTCGATATAAACGGACGACGGGGTGCTCTTGCAGAATGCCACATAGTCGAAATCGAAATAGGATAGGATAAAAAACGAGCATATCCATCAAACGATGGGCTTCGTCGCTTGATACTGTGAAGTTGCGAATGATGTCTAGCTAAGGCTGGTCTTAGGCTGGCGATGTGAGTTCCCGATCTGGCAGGGCGGGAGGATGCGATTCGCTAGTACAATAGCTGGAATAGAATGGGGATAGTTGGATGGGTATCACGAACTGGATGTTATAAACTGATAGCATGAATACGGAGTAACGACCCGGAATCTTCCTGGCGCAATCTCTCGAGAGGGTCGTCGAGCAGCGGTCAAGAGTCATGGCCGGAAAGAGGAAATATTACGCTCACGTTGTATCATGACCACCTTATACTTGATAGAAAGTCAGCAGCCCCCCCTCCTTCAACGACCTTCAACGCACACGCGCCATCCCGCCAACCAACAAAACAGCGCATCCGCAACCCCCGTGCTCGCCTTGTTCGACGAGAGATGTTCCCCCGTGCCGGGCTAACGGGTTCGTGGCGCAGACGGGACGAAAGCCAGACGTCGACGCCATGTGCGCCGATGATTGGCCTCTCGCGGGCTTCCCGGGGCGGCGGGCCATCCAAACGACGCAGGGTCTTCAGGGTTTGGGCCGGGCGGCGTTGGCCCATGGGCGAGAGAGATAGTGGCTGATCCAATCGAGGGCAATCCAATGAAATAGCGGCGCAGAGACGGGCGGCGACGACAAGGAAAGGGGAATTTCGCCTTCTTCGCCTCTCCGTCTGCACCTCGTCTTTTGTCCTGTCTCTGTCTCCCTCTCGCTGTTCGGCTCTCCGTACCTAACCTGCTGTGCCTCGGGGGTACCCGCTACCGCCCGCTCCGTTGCCTGACGCGGGGCGAAAAGGTACATTTTATTTGGGTTTTGCGGAATCATCGAGAAATATTTCCTCTTCCTCCCATCGATCGGCATCGGCCTCCCAACGCCGAACAAGCAGGATCATCATTTGTCCTTGGTTGCGCCCAGCAGATCCTTGCCGTCTTGACTGACACCTGCGCACCCTCTGGCCTCGTGGCCCTCTGACCCTGCTCAGCCCACTGTAGCCGATCCCCTACCCCCCCGTCTCAGCGGTCTCAGCGGTCTCAGCGGTCTCAGCGGTCTCAGCGTCTCACGTCTCAGCTTCCACAGCGACCCCTTGTTCCCTATCGCCCCTAACGCCCACCCCGCCAAAACGTCACTAACGACCACCGCCAAGACCCTCTTCTCTCAGACTTCGCGATCCTCAGGACGTTACGTACGCCACCTCATATTCTCTCCCTCTCCCGCCCACTTGCTCTTCTCTTCTACCCTTTGCCAACCTCCCGAGACGGCTCCCTTGGCCCTGCGCGGCGCTGATTGCCTCCCACCAGGCCTCCCTCCGACACACGCTACATCCCCTAACGCCCTCCGCCGAAGCTGCCCTGTCCCAGCGTTGAGAAGGCTTATCGAACCCCCAAGCGACAATGTCGTCATCGACGCCGGCACCCGCCGTCGACACGCCGGATGAACCCCAGAGCGACGGCTCCAAGCTGCGCACCTTTCTCGGCATCCTCAAGAGGTGAGCCGGACCCCTTTCCCTCCGCCATGCGATGGCGCTCGCTGCATCGCCGGGGCAAAGCATTTCGCCCCAGATTGCGAGGTCGGACCGCGCTCGAATGTGCGGAGCAGGCGGTGGAGATGGGCAATCCGCAACTCCTAGGGCTTTGTCGAGCTTTTGCTGACCGCCCCTCGTGGCGACAGGTTCATCGGCGTCTCGGATCTCGCATCAGTTAGATTCTCGCTCCCGTCGCAGCTGCTCGAACCCACCCCGAACCTGGAATACTGGACCTACCTCGATGCCCCCAATGCCTTCATCGCCATCGGCACCTCTGACGAACCCCTCGACCGCATGCTCGAGGTCGTCCGCTTCTGGCTGACCAAGGACCTCAAGTACGCCAAGGGCAAGCCCTGCAAGCCCTACAACTCGTGCCTGGGCGAGTTCTTTAGAGTGCGTGCAAGCGCCATTGCTCTCCCGCCCTGCGCGGGCAGAATACAAGGCTGACTGTGGTATAGTGTAACTGGGAGACGGAAGACAACGCCCCCGTGATCAACACTTCCGAGCTCCAAGCCAATGGAACCCCCAAGGGAGGACTCGCAAGCTTAAAGGTCGCAGCCAAGGCCGAGAAGAATGCCTCCTCGGTCTCGCTGTCTGTACCTCAGCATGGCACCCCCAAGGACAACCGCACCATCCGCGTCTCTTACCTCACCGAGCAGACCTCCCACCACCCTCCTGTGAGCGCCTTCCATGTCACCTGTCCCGAAAAGGGCATCTCTGCCCGGGGCTTCGATCAAATCTCGGCCAAGTTCACCGGCACCTCGGTCAAGGTCCTGCCCGGCGAGCACAACATGGGCATCTTCATCACCCTCGACAAGCGCGACGGTGAGACCTACCAGCTTACCCACCCGGCGGCGCACCTTGGCGGACTCCTGCGCGGATCTCTGAGCGTCTCGGTTAGCGAGATGGCATACATCACCTGCCCCAAGACCAAGATCAAGGTGATCCTGCATTATGTTGAGGAGGGTTGGCTGGGCCGGACCACCAACAAGATTGACGGTGTCATCTTTAAGTACGACCCGGAAAACGACACCAAGACTCGAGTGCAGGACGTTCCCGACGAGGATGTCCTCGCGAGGTTGAATGGCCCCTGGCGAGAGAAGGTCATGTTTACTCTTGGCCCCAGGCCTATTGTGAGTCTCCCACCCCTGACCTTGACAGATGACAGCCTCTGACAATCCTCGCAGAAAACTGTCCCTATCGAAGAGCAGTACACCATTATCGATATCGAGCCTCTCAACGTTGCCCCCAAGGTCCTCCCGCCCAGGGAATCGCAGCTCCCCAACGAGTCGCTCAAACTCTGGGGCGGCGTGACCGACGCCATCCTCTCCAAACAATTCAGCAAGGCCACCCAGGTCAAGGTCGAGCTCGAGGAGGCCCAGCGCGAAAAGGCCCGCCAGCGCGAGGCCGACAAGGCCCCCTTCCAACCCGTCTTCTTCAAGCACGTCACCGGCAACGGCGGCAAGCCCGATCTCACCGAAAAGGGTCGCCAGGTCCTCGAGAGAGCCCAGAGGGGCGAGTGGTCCCTCGAGGACATCGCCGAGGACGAGGCTCCCAATAAACAATAAGAGACAAGTGCACGGAGAATTGATGGGAGAACATAGCGAAGGATCGAACGAGTTCAACATGCTGGATTGGTATACATGGTACATGCTGCCGCACAGGCAAACCCTTTGGGATAGATAGACACATTGCGCTGGTGGCTGAAGTAGTTGGAGGCGTGGTGGGCGGATGCATGGCGGGCTGCGCACTCGTTATCCGGAGTTGCAGGAGTTGTTTGAGGCCCAGGATTGCTGGCCGTATATAGCACGGTTTTCGCACACAAATCTCCCCTCCCCATGTTTAGAAATGGGCAGGTTAGTGATGGGGGGCGCATGCATATCAAGCAATCATGTCAAGCAAATCTCGGCCTTGTTGGCCTTGTACGTGTCGTTGCGCCGACGTGCATGTGTGCGCGGTTCGCTGTGTTGATGATCCACTTTGAGATGGAAAAAATCAGGCCTCTTTGTAAGTGGCCTGTCTTTTTTCTGGTTTTCACTATACGAACAAAGATGAAAAAAATCAGGCTCGTGGTATCCGTAATCACATTACACTTTAGTTTTGACGTTTCGTTGACCACGCTGGATCTCATTCTATTGTACAACAAGAGCGGCATTTCCCATTTAAGACATTTCCGAATCGAAAACCTTTCCTACAATCCCCCAAGCCACCAAGCCTGGGGGGAGCCCACCACCATAGTGGCTACTTTTTTTTTTCTTTTCCGGCGACCCGCTTAAGCATCGATGAAGCCCTTGACGTTGCTCAACCAGCGGGTGTACTCGCGCTGCTCCTTGACGTCGACGTAGTCGGGGACGAAGACGGCGAGGGCCTGGGTGATGCCACGCTCCTCGAGGAAGCGCTCCATGAGGACCTGGAGGTCGTCGTCGAGGCTGCCGAAGGGCGGGCCGGGGTAGACGTCGGCGCGCTTCTGGGCGGCCTCGGGGCTCTCGACCTTGGCGACCTTGGCGTCGGCGTAGTAGAAGAGGTTCTCGACGACAATGTTGCCGTCCTGGGCGGTGGCGTCGATGTTGAGGGCGCCGACCGACTTGCCGGGCTTCTCGATGACGATGGACAGGTTGATGGGGGCGGCGTTCTCCTCCTCGAGATCGTCCTCGAGCTCCTCGTCAATCTCCTCCTCGGCGGCGCGGCCCTTTTGCTGGCCGTTGCCGCTCTGGATGGCATCGTCCTCGAGGCCCTCCTCCTCAAGAGCGCTGTCCTCAGCGTAGGGGTCGTAGTTGGTGATGTCGGCAATGGAGAAGCTGATGGTGATCCTGCAATTGGTGTTAGTCAGGGTTCAACGTGCCAATGGGTACTGCAAAACGTACTTCTCGTCGCCAAAGTCACGCTCCAGCTTGACGACCTCCTGGCCGGGGGTGTCAATCAGCTTGAAGGCGCTGTTGTTGAGGAAGTCCTTGATGCTGGCGGGCTCCTGCTCGCTGGCCTTCATGTCCTCCTCGATCTGGAGCTCGCTCTCGAGCTTGGCCGAGAGCTCCTCGTCGGTCTCGGCATCGGCAGCCCTTCGGAAGACGGTGGTGGAGAAGGCGGCGCGGGCAGGTCGCAGGGCGCTGAGGGAAGAGGTCTTGACGAAGGTGCTGGGGCGGGCCACGGCCGACTGGCGGAGGGCGAGACGGGCCACGGCGCGGGGCGCAGATCGCGCAAAGGTGCGGACGGAGAGCATTGTGAATGTGGAGAGAAACGGGAGGATGCAGGTGTTTTTGGTGCTGGTTATATGGTATTTGTACAAGTTGATGGTAGACGCAAAGCCTCCAGAGCTACTTTGAAATTTTTAGACGGGGTCTCAAAGACAGACGGCCGCTAACTGGACGAATGGCCATCGACTGGCTGGCGACTGGAGCATCTCGGCAGGAAGCGGAAGATGCACGCTCGCACGTGACTGGACAGCTGACCCCGCCGCATGAACATGGACATTGAACTTGTCGGAGTCGTCAATGAGATGGAACTGTCATGAGTGACCTAGGACTCGCTCAATGCAGGCAATCGCATGTATGCAATGTACAGATTAATTACAGTTTTTCTCCATTCTCGTCGTACATGTGCTCATTCAGCCAAAGATTGACCGCAGGTTTTGTGCCTCCATGACGTCCACCCAGTGGACCGCATTGCATCCTGGCATCTCGTTATCGTACGCCGCCCAGATGGCCTGGACCAAATTCTTGGCCATTATGATCGGTTTGGGAGGTAACGTGTTCTCTAGCACGTTCAGTCGTTTTAGAACAAACGCTCGTGCATTTCCAACATCAATCGACAGCTGTGTCGGCATGTTGGGCGGGTGCGATGCCTGTCCCACGTCACTCAGCTGGTTCATAAACTCTGCGATGTCGCAGTTCTCCTGGTTGGCTGCGAGCGGTATCTCCTGTGGGGCAGTGATATTATCCAGCCAAGACCCGACACTCCAAGAATTCGCTGGGACGTCGAGCCTGAGTCCGGTGCTGGCGGTGATGCAGAGGAGCGGTTGAACCATCCGACTGCCCGACTCTGGAGGGATATGTTCCAGGATCTCGATCAATCGGAGACTCAGGGGTACAATCCAATCTTCCCAAGGGACTGGCCCACGATTCGAGGCCGATGAAGTATCCGGTATCCGCAGTGCAACCAAGTCCGGGAATGTCTGGTAGAGCTGCAACAAAGCCGCTATTCTGTATGCTTCGGCAACTTGCACGAGGTGCATACAAGGGGTATGCTGGTCTCCAGTCTCGCTCAAAGGCACCACTGAGTCGTACTCGAGTTGCAGCAACTGTTCCTCAATCTTTGGTGCCTCCTCCATTTGTTTCAGCACCTTCTCAATATCCCCTGCCGTGGGAGTTTGTTTTCTAACATTGTGGCGGAAACTGCGGCACAGTCTGATTGCTCTCGTGAAAAGTGTGGATGCCGTTGTCGAGATGCCTGTCCAGGGATGTGGTATGTCGTCAGCTCGTTTGGGTTCAGTACTCGGTATTGCCAGGCCTTCGGGTGCCTCCTCGTGTGAATCGTCGTAGCTGACTACCGACAATAGCATGTCGCAGTACACCCAACTCTTGTTGAAAAAATTGAGGATATTGTTATCTTGTTCGTGAAGAGCTAGTTGTTGTCGATTGACTTGATCGAGCAACGATTTCGCCGCTCTCAAGAAGGGTATTCCAAGCTGCCCTGCGTCTATCCAACACAGAGTGGTGCCGATGCAGAATAGTGAAAACAACAGGCCCGTGGGGATCGAATCCGCATAGGTGACATTCCTTGCTACCGCCAGTTCGTTGTGGATCGCTTTCGTCGCCGTCTTCATCATAGTGAGGGATGTCTGCCGCATATAGGGGATTCGTGTGGCCAAGAATGATGCTGACATGCTCTGAAGGCAGGCCGAGACTGCCTCTGATTCTGACCAAAGTGACGTAGCGAGGATACGGTTGAGATTCATATTCGAGTCGTATGCAGACCATACCGAGCAAACGCTTTTAAACCACTGGGTGATGAGGACTGAAGGAACATGAGTGATGGGCGGTGGGATCGTGGTGGGATATTCCTGGGGTTTTTGGGCAATTGCCAAAGTCAATTCAGTACCAGTTTCTGGTATGACTTCGACTTCTTCTTCTGGCAAATATTCCGGGGCATCCGATTGATTCACCATCATTGGAACGATCAAGTTTGACGAGGGGCTTTGAAGTCCCCATGCGCCAACATCTTCGGACGGATCCATCATCCTGGGTTGAGCTGGTATGTCGGGTTGATCATCGTCGCCCCAGCCGTAGTCAATAAACCCGAATGACGGGCCCGCGGTGGGCACTCTAGGGTCCAATGAATCGGATACCAAGTCCAGGCTCAAGTCTCCAAGAGTAAACTCGGATACTCCTGGAATCTGCGTCATCGAACCTGCTGAAGTTCCGCTCGCCTGACTTCCCCGTGCCTTTGCAGCCGCCCTTGCCTTCCCGCGGGCGCCGCCCTTGGTCTTTCGCTCATGCTTATAAGACCATCTGAGCTCGCGCTGGTAGCCGCCACAGGCCCAGCCCTTACTGGTACACACCTTGCATTCCGGCTTCGTCTCGTCACATTTTAACTGTGCTGCTTAGTCTCTCGGGCCATGTCGAGCTTGAGGGGAATCGGAAGAACCTACGTGTTTAGCTTTGCATGTTATACATCCCGACCTTGACCTCGGCTTACTGCCCCCGGCCGTCGGCTTGGTCGTCGGGTTTATCCCGGCGTCGGCCTGCTTTGGTCCGTCCAGCGCCGCCGGAGGGCCGCTATCGTCACTCGTCGGGGATTTAGTCATGTCGGGAGGACTGGACTATCGGAACGGGCCATTGTGTAATGCGGAAATTCACAGATTGACTGGGCGAAGCGATATGACAGGGAAGAGAAGAGGAGAGACAGCTGCGATAAGAGGATCCACGGCAGTTATAGCCCACCTGGCACGTGCGTGCAGAATGCGGGGGGCACCACCAAAAGTAAGGCCTTACTCTTATCAGGAAAGGAGGTACAAAGTGCACATGGATGCTGGAGGGCGACCTTCTGAGCATCCAATTAATTCAATCCGCAAGCACACCAAGCGACAGAATTATCCGCTCCGCCGAGACAGGCTTCGCGGCTTCGGCTTTGTCGGTTGCAACCTGCTAGTCTTATCGCCTGTTGGTCGGTTCGCAGCCTATCACGGTCCGGTTTTGTCATCATTTTTAGGTCGTCAACACCATCCTTGGCCGATGCCGCTACTACAGTGGACAGGTCCGCCTCGCTTGTTGATAAGGAATCATTCGGTACCGGGTGCTTGTCACTTTTAGTTGCAGATGCGAGACCCTGGTTTACGTATTGTAAAGTGGTACATTTCTATCATTCTATCATTATGGATATCCACGCTCAGTGCTTAATCGTTCACAGCTTAGTCTTGCAGCATCCGCCCAGCGCCAACTCGCTGACCTTGTCCGTCGCGTCCCGCGCGCCCTGGCCCTTGGCCGCAACCTGGCTAGGCGTAATGGAGTACGACGCTGGCACGTCCATAACGGGGTTGCAGGTGAAGAAGTGACGCGGCCGCAACAGCAGCGTGATGGGCTCGGCGGGCATGACGGGGAAGTCCTCGGGGGCAGGGAAATGGGTGATTCCGAACGTGTGCCAGAGAACGACGTCAGTGTTGGAGATGGACTCGGCACCGTCGCCAATCCACTCGGTCAGACCGTGTGAGGGCTGACCGGAGGTCTGGGGGACGTGGTCACCAGCGGGCCAGAGCTGATCATCGGCATCTAACGTGATTGTTAGCATGCTGTAATTGTCGAGAGTAATAGTAACACGGTTCGCTTACACTTGGTAACATGCACGGCGTGGCGGGCAAAGCCAGCTCGCTTCCACACGAGTGATCCCTCCTTGGGTAGCAACCCAGGCACCTCTCGGCTCACAATCTTGTATGACACGGGCTTGCCGCTCTGGGAGTTGATGACATTCTCGTTGACCATGTCCCACGTCCTTGAGGTCGCGCCGTTGTAGTCGGTCATGGACTGTGCGGTGGTTTCGAGCTTGGTGCGCTTCGCGTAGAAGGCGTTTCCGTAGAAGTTCTCGGGGCTGCCGACGGGAGCATCTGATGCCATGGCGTCAACCATGTGGACTGAGTTGTTCTGGCCGTCGATGTTGGGGTTGATGCGGAGGCAGAAAAGATGCTGGTGGTTGTGGGCGTTGACACCTGCAAGGGATTAGCACAAGTCAAAGACACGGGAAAGCGTTAGACTGACCCTTGGATACCTCAGTACCCCAGCCGTGGGTATCCTCGCCCTCGTGCATGACATAGGTGTTGAGGATACCGGTCAGCTTGATGTCGGGCTGGATGGTTCCGTCTTGCTGTTGGGTTGTTAGTAATTACTCGGCCGAGTGACGGAGGGAGGCTGCACTTACATGGAAAACCCACTGCACGGCGTACTCGTAGTTGGCAGCAGTGAAGATTTGCTGCACAATCAGCTTTCGTGCCCGGGTCACAATGGTCGAGTCGTCTCTGAAGTCGGTGTGCTTGAAAAGGATGCCATCGTCCTCCTCGTGGATGCAGATGGCGTTCTTGACCTTCCTGACGCCACCGGCCTGGGTGGGCATGAATGCATCGAGGTAGTGGATGGATCCCTTGCAGTCACAGCCAAGAGCGAGACTGTTGGTCAGGTAACCAGCGCCGTACTCTCCGAGATCGAAGGCGTGCTTGCGCTGGTGAGGGTGCTCGGGGTTGCCGTAGGGGACAACCATCTCGGCAAGAGACATGCGGTAGAAGATGGGGCGGACATTGCCCTTGTCGTTGAAGGTGATGTTGTTGAACACCAGGCCTTCCCTGTAGTTGAAGCCGATGTGGAACTTCCAGTTCTGCCACTCAATCTCGCGGCCGGTGCCGGACATCTTGAAGGAGACGCCCTCGGGCTGGGTGATGTTGATGGGCTTCAGGTCGGTTCGGTAGCCGCCCTGCTTCTCAATGGCGAGGTGGTGGTACTCCAGGGGGGGGTTCAACCTCAGAGGTCGGCGGATCTTGGGGATGTCGATGGCGATAATCTTCTTCTCAGTGGCGTTCCAGATGGGGCAGAAGTCCAGAGGGTACTGGTACTGGCAGTTGTCGACATCGGGGCGGTAGTACATCAGAGCCTGCTGAAGACGCACGCTGCTTCCGAATCGCTCGTCGTAGCCGATCGTCCAGGGGTCGCAGTAGACCTTGTGCATCTCATCCGCGGGGATGCCGCTAATACCGCACTGCTCGATGACCTTGGGGTCGACACGGCAGGCATGTTCAACAGCCGAGAGCTCCTCAATGGTGATCTTTGTTTCATTTCAAGTCAGCGCCGGAGCTGTATATGCAAATTGGACGACTTACAATGGGCTGGGCTCCGTGAACCTGGACCCACTTGGTGATCTTGGGTCCGTCGAGGTCGACCAAGCCCTCGTAGACCTTGCCACCGGCGGCGATAACTACCACCTCGGCGACACGGTCAGGCCGGGGAGTGTTCTGGGAGTCGGCGAGCCAGGCCGTCATCTGAGCCTTACGGGGCTCCTGCAGCGAGACGACGTGGAAGTTGACTTCGCCATGAGCTCGCTTGACGATGGCAATGGCCAGCTCAATCTCGACGCTCGTGAGCGGATCGAAGGGGTGGGGGAGGTAGGCCGGCATGGTGGAGTTGGTGCCTGTAGACTCTGAAAGGTATCCGAATCCTTGACGATTGTGTGAGTGAATGGTGCCTGGTCTGCTACTGCTATAAAATTCCTGGGAGGGAGGTCGGGTTTATGTATCTGGCACTATCTCGACTATCTTGGATTGTCTTGGCTGCCAAAATGCCTGACAACCGGACATGGGTGGAACCACCGCCGCGAGTCTCGCAAATGCAAGATCGCTCCGAATCCAGCCAACCGGCTCTGCAGCGAGTATCTCTTCCGCCTTGCCGAGTTGTCAAATCGTGGGGAAGCGTCTCACTCGGATCCCCAAGACCCAAAGCCCACAATCGGCTCCATTTGCCCTCCGTGGGAATTCGAACCGCAACGGGTTAGCTGACTGGTCAGTTGATGCTTGGTCGGCGTATCTTGCATCCTTATCACGTTTGCGGGGAAGCTTCAGATGTTCAACTTATCACCCGCTAAAGCCAGAACGGCAATTATTGCCGGCTCAGGCTTTCGGCATGCAGCGCCCGCACCGCTACGCAAGCAAGTCGAGTTCCGAGGACGCCATGGTTGTATTTGCCGGTTGCACTCTAGTTCCCTTGTTAGATCGACCTGGAGCGATATCACTTCGTTGGTAATAATTGCCCATCTGGTATTAGCCCCAGTTGATCGATGGCCTTCTGCGCCTCCGTCTTGTGACCGAACGCTAGTCAAATCGCATCTAATGACTGGAATCTCGGACTATTATTACCTCTTTTCGCAGAACTCGCTGTTTTACTCTTTACGGATTGTCTCGGCGGAGTGGCAAGAGGCAAGAAGGGATTAATTGATAGTGGAACAATTCCGACATTCCGAACCACCGCTTGTGTGGCCCAGTTGGCAAATGAGTAAGATATTGATGGTGGTGGCACTTCCAAGAACTGTCGTCAGCATATAAAACATACAAGACTTATGGTCCTGCACCATTGTCCACTTACTTGATCCTATTTCTAACCATGCTTCTCGTCTCTTCTGATTGGTTGTTGCATACCGATGCAGAAATAACTTAGCTTTGAACGGAGCTTTGTACACACCAACATGGCTAGACTCCCGGACTCGCGGGGAAGATCAACCGGCATGCACTTAACCTCTACTGCCAATCATGGGAACAGTGGTAGTAGACTCTTGGTTTTCCCGAGACACTTGCATGGGTGTCCACGTATCAAAGGATTCAAGGGACTCTCTATTCGTCCGTTGGCCTAGTGGTCACCTGCCGCCTCCTCAGCCGGCCGGCTAACTAGTTGATGAACTTTGTTGCATCTTGGGGGCCCGTTGGTCTCCATGATGGTGGCTGTCGTAGAGAGGGGTTAAGGCTTTGCACAGTCCGACATAAACCTGCCGTGCCCACTTGTGTATTTCAGCTTTCCTGGGAATATGATGAATTGAGCCCCCTTTAAAATATCTTTTCGCTTGTTTGTAAAGTCCTACCTGGAACACGACGTATTTTTGAGACCTCAATCCAAGCCAGTAGCTCCTAGCGACCAGTATTGAAAGTCTTCACTTTCTATACTTGAAGGGCTCATCATTCTTCCACGATGACGTCTACACACGCCAACCCAGCTTCTAAAGAAGGGCATCTACAAGCTCGATTATCAAGGCTAACGATGGTCGCCATGACCTTTGCTATTCTCAAGTAAGCGTTCTAGTACCAATCCAGAGCGCAAAGTTAATCAACTACATTGCCAGCACTTGGATTTGCCTCGCCGGGAGTATGGGCCTTGTGATTCCCTCGGGTGGCTCTGTTGCCTTCCTCTATGGCTTCATATTCTGTGTCCTGTGCAATTTTGCCGTTGTCTCTAGCCTAGGAGAGCTCGCAGCTATCTGGCCAACAGCTGGCGGCCAGTACCACTTCGTCTACGCCCTGTGCACCGACAGATGGAAGAACATGATGGTAGTGCTACGATTCGAACGAATATTGACAATTTCTGATGTTGATACCCTAGAGCTTCCTCGTTGGTTGGATAAACATTGCAGGCTGGTTAACTTTGGTCACAACTGAAGGTTTCTTCGCAGGTATGTACAGCTCACCAAGAGAATGGGAGACCATGCCAACTATCCACCAGCTCAATTCGTCTCTGCCGCAAGCGTGATTGCATCGAACGGACGATACGAGGCCGAAGCATGGAAGACATATCTCTTCTTTGTGGTAATTCTAACTTTCGCCACTGTCTCGAACATCTGGGGCAACAGAATTTTAGGACGATGGAATGATGCGGCACGTAAGTGCCCATATTTGCACATCCCCTGAGGTTGATAAAGACTAACCACCACCAAGTGTACTGGTCAATCTTCAGCGTCATCATCATCAGCATTGTTCTACTTTCAATGTCACCGAAAACAAACGCAGCCTACGTCTTTACAAACTTTCATAACGAAACCGGATGGTCTAGTGGAATGGCTTGGATGCTTGGTCTTCTCCAGTCTGCCCTTTCTCTGATCGGATTCGACGCCGTGCTACACATGACTGAAGAGATGCCACACCCTGCTAGGGATGCACCCCGAGCAATGATTTATGCCATTGCTATCGGAGGAATCACGTAAGAGAGATGCTTTAATGAAAATACCATGGCTAACCTTGACAGTGGAACGGTTTTCATCATCGTCATTCTCTTTTGCCTTGCAAACCCATCGACTGTCATGTCAACCTCAACCGGTATGCCCATCTCCGAATTGATTTTCCAAGCAACAAGAAGCCGCGCCGGTGCTACAGTCATAACGTTGATGCTTGCCATTTGCTTCATCAACGGCACCAATGGCTGCACAACAAGCGCGAGCCGGTTAATCTTCTCTATGGCTCGGGACAAAGGTTTCATGTTTCACCAATACTTTGCACACATCCATCCAACCCTTAATGTCCCAGTAGCGGCCATCGTCTTTTCATTTGCTTCAGCCTATTGTTCGGATTGCTGTACCTAGGACCGACGGTTGCGTTCAACGCATATATTGCGTCATGTACCATCTTCCTTAACCTGTCCTACGCCTTCCCTATTTTCCTCTTGATTATACGAGGAAGAAAGGTTCTAGCCAGGTTCCAAACCGCGGAGACCCCGTTCAAGCTTGGAGATAGATGGGGCATTATTGTAAACTTGATTGCCGCCACATACGTTGCAATCACGACAGTGGTATGACACCTCTTCCTTTGCCTATGAACTCTTAATAACGAATTCTTGTAGTTCTTTTGTTTTCCTCCGGGCCTGCCCGTGTCGGCGAACTTTATGAGTAAATCAGATCAGTTCCAAGCCTCCCCGTCAATCACTGACTCTCCTAGACTACGTACCAGCAGTCATTGGTATCTTTGCTGTCCTCGTAGTAGCATGTTGGTGGATATATCGTAACACGTTCGAAGGACCGGTGAGCCTATTCTATCTACCCTTCGCGGGCTTTTGCCACATGAAGAGCAAATTCTAAAATCATTCCACGGAATAGGAGTTCGATGTCATTATGGGACTTCGGGGTGGCATTGAGGGAATCACGACTCTCTCGGACTCGTCTTCTCCAGGGCAAGACGAGAATATTGAAAAGGGGATTTGAGTTTTGAGGCTGTCCCGAATTTCGTGTGACTCAGTTGGTCTCCCGTCGCTGTCGCTTTTAGATTTCTATAGGTTGTATCCCCTCTATCAGGGGCACCGTGCGATTGAGAAGTGGCACGGATATAGGTGAGACGGAGTAAGTGTGACCATGTTGTTCAACTGTTTATCCTCCTCCATAAATACCTAAATCCATGACTTTAACATGGGTTATAATTCTGCTTTACAGCACTCCACCTCCACCAAAGCCACTAAAATTGAACTCGCTCAAGTTTCCCGTTGCTGCCCGCCCCTGAAACCCTTGGTTTCGGCTTGAGGGCTAGAATTATGACCACGGATTTTCCAGATGCATCCCTTCCTCTCATATCGTTCTCGCATGAACCGGTAGATTAATCTTGAAAGGCATGAACGGGAATATCCGGCATTATTTCATCTTCGATATATGTCCCATGGCTAGAATGCGGACCCTTCATGTATTTCGAATGAAGGTGCGAATGTGTAGGGTATCGAGCAGTCATTAGTCGTCGAGGTATGCCGTTGGCTCGCCCTGGCTGGACATCAAGTGCCGAGGGTGTAACCCAAATCAAGAGCAAATACTTCTAGCTCTAGTACTTTCATCAACCATAAGAAATTTGCTCCCATGTCTATGATGACGGGAAAGTGGCAGGCCGGACCTCCCCCTCGCTCGTCACCTTGACCCATTTTAGTTGTGGGAGATAAGACCAAGAACCTTCCCAAAGATGGAGTGCGTTGACACTCTCAATTGTTAGCAAGTCTGGCATCACTGAGCGTCTGGTTAGCAAAGATTTGGGAAATACTTGGGGAATATCCGACATGTAACTTACAAAATCCATTCTTGTACTCAGTGTCGAGAGTAGATTTCGTGTCCCTTAGAAGGTCCTCCCTCATGCTGGCGGGTCGGCCAGGACGACGGTTCTTCTTGATGTTGAGGTACTCCTCGTCATATTGATGAACGAAACTATTTCGGTGAGCGGCGAAAATAAACAAATCAATCAGAGACTTACGAGTGAATCATGCGCTGAACCTCCTCAAGCTCGGGAGCAACCGCGATATCCTCGGCATCCTTGACACGCAGGGCCTGCTGGAAAAAGGCAACTCGGTCGACTGATAGTGTTAGAGTGATTCCCTTTCCGAAAAAACCGGGCGCTTTCGCGGACTTACCGAGCGGCTGGTCTTTCTTTCTCCTCGTGGCGGCCTGCTTCACAATCCGCTGGTCTCTCACAGCGGCCTTGTGGAGCCTCAAAGAGTCTCGCGATTTCGCATGGAGGGAGTTGATGACACCATTGCGCTTCTTGGAGATTTGCTTGCGCGTCTTGTCGAGCGAGCCAGGCATCTTGGCGGATGAGTTGTAGAGCCGGGATATTCAATTTTATCTCTGTAAGCTGTGCTCCGCGATGATTTTTTTGGGTTCCGTCGCCGGATTTTTTTTCAGGTCCACATATCGGTGAGATGGCTGCATGACGCTGGCGGGTATTCATCGGCTAAAGACAGAGCGAGTCCAAGTGATTGCCACGACTAAACCAGAGCACTCTTGGGTTTAAAGCCTAAAATAAATGATGGTCATTAATGGGACTATTTATCCATGTTAATCCATATATTGGCGTGTCAAACGGATATTACCATTCCCGGATGAGTTCACGCTCGGGCTCCCTAATGCGTCTCCTTTTTTGGTGCTGGCATGTATTTGCTTTTGGCCCCCTTGAATAAGGTCGTTCACGTTAAAAAACCCAGTTCGTCAAAACAGGAGGTATAAACATGCTTGCTTCCTCTAAATTATTATCAATCAACTCAGAAGTATGATATCAAAGGTGTAGATAAGCGTACTACTCGTGGCTATCTGGTCCGATTGAAAGTGTATGTGTAATTTCTTTCGTTCCACCGCGGCAAGATGGGATCACGGTCGTAGCAAAGCGACATTGGTGCATTCCTATCCACACCAGTCGAGTAATTCCTGCAGTGCGACTCAATAAAAAGAGTGTCCCTTTCTTTACGACTGTCGCTAGCAACCAATCACTGAGTCTAAATACACCTTGATTCAGGCTCCAGCGGGCCCATGGCCATTCTCGAGACCAGCATCGTGGATCATCACGGTTGGAGGGTTCTATTGATCGACGGTCATTGCCGCCTACCTTCCAGGGGGCAAAGCGCCCGCCATAGCGGGGTACATCCGCTTTCAGAGGCTTTAAGAGCCCAAGACGTTGCTGGGGGAATGCCACAATAGTGGGCACTAAGCTATTTTAGGGCCAGCCTGGGCCAGGGGCGCGCCTAATTAACAACGCGCTTTAGGCGTAAGGTGGGCGCGTCCTCGGTACCCAGTACATGCCTATTAAACCTCTGCCAGGCTGCTTCGCTCACGACTTGCCAAACCACAACTCCACCGCCTCGACCGACGCTCTCTTCTGTTTCTGCATCCTTTGCCTCGTCTGCGTCTCTCGCCCTTCCCCGCCAGCTTGGCCCATCCTTCCTGTTCTGCTGCATTTGTTTCTTTATTCTTGTGCTTCTCTGTCTTCCTCGCTGTCTTGTTGTTTTTCTTCCAAGACGTGTCCCACCAAACATCGCGTGCAAACAACCCCTCGACGCGTCCAGTCTTCCTCTCGGCCCCATGCGCCATTGTTGACACATGCACTTGCAAACTTGCCCGGCATAGCCCTTTTCGGATCCGTCTCGAGGGGCTGCAGGCCAGGGACTTGAAGAACTACCCTCTGAACGTCGCTGAGGCGATCTCGCTTCAAGATGGGTGTATCTGGTACAACTCTCCACATTCTCCATTCTCCAACTGGATGGTGATATTGACTAATTGCCAGGCCTTCTCCCACTCCTCAAGTCGATCCAGAAGCCTGCAGAGCTTAAAAACTATGCCGGTCAGACCCTCGGCGTCGACGCGTATGGGTGGCTCCATCGTGCCGCCTACTCATGTGCTCTCGAGCTTGGACAGGACAAGCCAACCAACAAGTAAGTGGTATCACCTGGCGATTTCCACGGATGTTCCTAATTAATTGCCTTTAGGTACATAACTTCCGCCATGCACCGCGTCAGGATGCTTCGCCATTTCGGCGTCACGCCCTACATGGTCTTCGATGGAGACTTCCTCCCCAGCAAGGCAGCTACCGAAGATTCCCGCGCCAAGAAAAGGAATGAGAAGAAAAAGGTCGCCATGGAACTCCTCAAAGCCGGAAAGCCTTCCCAGGCCACCCAAGAATTCCAAAAATGCATCGACATCACCCCAGAAATGGCTTCCGCCTTGATCCAACACCTCAAGAAGCTCGACATTCCCTACGTCGTAGCCCCATACGAAGCCGACGCGCAACTCGTCTACCTGGAACGACAGGGCCTCATCCACGGCATCCTCTCCGACGACTCCGATCTCCTTGTCTTTGGTGCGAAGAAACTGTTGACCAAGCTGGATCAATACGGCAACTGTATCGAGATCAGCCGCAAGGATTTTTGTCGATGTCGGGAGGTTTCGTTGACGGGATGGTCTGACGCCGAGTTCCGAAGGATGGCCATTCTGAGTGGATGCGACTACCTGGATGGCCTCCCTGGTATGGGATTAAAGACAGCTTACCGAATGCTCCGAAAGAGCAAGACTCCCGAGCGTGTGGTTCGCATGGTTCAGTTCCAAGGCAAACGTGTCTCAGAAAACTATCTAACCCAGTTCTATCAAGCGGAGTTGACATTCCTTCACCAATGGGTCTTTTGCCCCACGAAGCAGGAAGTGGTGCATCTGACCGACTTAGATGGAACGCGAACTGCAGATGAGATGCCCTTCATTGGGTCTTTCGTTGAGCCGGAAGTGGCTCAGGCTGTTGCAAGGGGAGATGTCAACCCCATCACAAAAACACCAATCGTCTTGCCTTTGACACCATCTAAGAGACGGCATTCTCAATCGGCGACCGGGGCTGTGGCTGTAGCCAAACCACCCGCAAAACCAATTAGTTCCTTTTTCAAGGGCCATCACCGGGTTCCCATGGGCGAAATGGATCCCAACTGCTTCGAAGTCGATCCTCAGAGAGTTACGCAAATTACCGGAGGAGGACTAGTCCCTCGCGTGTTCCCATTACCCCGACCATACCTGGACGAAGCGGATCGACCTACATCTACTGGAGTAACGAGGCGTATGAGTCCCATCCGAACACGAACATCACCCCGGCTCCAGCGTCGTCGAACAGAGCCGATTTCCAACATGTTGGCTCGCATGTCGAGCAGCCCCGGTCTCTCAAGACGAACATCGTCTAATACCACAACCTCCAGCCTTCCTGCGGCCCCCTCGACAGATCTCTCGAACAGGCCCCCAAAGAAAGCGCGCTTGTGTGATGATAACGAGACCGAAGTGAAGGATGCTTCTCCCAAGAAGAGCAAGTTCTTCTCAATGTCGAAGCCGCGGAGGAGCCCAAGAAAGGCAAAGAGCGATGCATACCTGCTGTCAGACGACTCACTAGAAGAGGCGTTGCGAGATCTCCCCGACTTCGACGGTTGGAAACCAGCCCACAAGGCCAAGAAGTCTATCTCCATCTTCGACGACAACAGCCAAGAAACTGCCACGACTTCGGCCACCGCTGAGAGCCAGCAGTCATTACTCAGGGATGAAACTCCAATGTCATCGTTCGAGGCACCCATGCCACCCCCTCGATCAAAGGCGTCGATGCCACCACCCTCCGTCACACCTCGATCAAGTCTCAATCGCTTCTCCTACTCCTCCAACTCTTCGGTAACCCCCGCCTCAGCCATGTCAGAAGCGCCTTCTTCCGTCTTCAGCGACGTATCCACAGCTTCGACCGCACCCTCCACGGTCGCCTCCCGCATGACTCCTTTGCAACGCTTGGGAGCGCGAGCCATGAACAAGCCCAGCTCGCCCAAACTTCCGAAGCCGCGCAAGAGCCTGAATACCGACTTCCTCGCCGGCGTCCCCGTTAATCCAGCCTTCGTCCCTCTCCCCAAGGTCGACCTCAACGAAGTCGAGGCATTGAACCGAACTTGCGGCAGCGAGGACCAGATCATCCCCGATAGTGACGGCGAGGACGAGGACTTCGACGCCCCGCCCAAGAAGCTCAACCTCTCCCGCTTCGCCTTCTCCTAGGCGCCCGACCTCATCCCATATTCTCATCTTCCAGACCGACTGGACGGTTTCAACTCGTGGAGGTCACTCCCCTGTAATGACCCGGCATTTTATGGGCGTTTACGTGCTTGTTTTCTTGTTTTCTGCGGCTACTTTTTCCACCATGGGCCGGTGATGCTCTTTGTACATACCAATGTTAGTGTTAGGAACGGGGCGTGAGCTGGGGTTGGGGAGTCGGACCGGGAACAGAATATCGGATTGGCGCACGGCATTATTTGTTCAACAGGGAAAAATTACATACCTCTTCATCGTATCTTTATTCTCCATGCCTCTCATGTTGCTCGTGTCGCACAACAGGACGCAAATGTCACATGGCCCATTCATGAAGTGCATCAAGGTTCAGTATGTGTGCATAACCCGCCAAATATCAATTCATGATGCATGCCACCAGCCACTTGGGCGTAAACATCTCTTTACAAATCTATGGACAAAACCTCGCCATCCGATCCCCCTGTTCGCGCCAACGCCACCGGGTTGGGTCAACGCCAAAAATCCCATTTGTTCGCTGGACTCTCTGAGGAGCACTTCCCAAAGTCGTTTGAAACAAGTAAAAAAAAGGACGAAGAGAGGGGGGAGAATGATTCTAAAACCATGCGGGCGGTGAAGAGGTGACATCGGCTGAGGATGGCCAGGAATTCCAAACAATGCTGCCGTGGTCTAATATATACCGAGGCAAATGCCCGCACGGGCTCTATCCCGACTCCAGATCAAATTATCCGTAGGTATGCTTAGGCTTCAAGCCCATGATCTTGTTAAAATACGCCATCATGGACACATGAGTTTCAGCCAAAAGCTACCTCGGACTGCTTGCGTTCAAAGTCTAGCGACGGCTAGCTGACCCGGCAGTTGTGGGGTTTGATAGGTCTGAGTTGAAGGCCCATTCGCCTGTGGAAAAGGGTCAGTTTTGTAAATTTGAGGAATTTGAGGAAAATTGAGGTAGGAAAATACCCTTGGCTAGGTTCTCTGCCGTGTCCTCGAGAAGAATGACGCGTCTCTTGTTGCAATATGACGTCTTATCCATAATGTCGACCTTGAGCTTAGGGTCGGATAACTCTTGGATGGGCTTCTCAAACATTTCCGATAGGTTCTCGACCGCCATCTCGAGGTCCTTCTGGTTGTCTTCGAAAATCTCGGTGAGGTTGTTCTTGGCGAGGTAGAAAGCAAAGGCATATGTCCACTTAAGAGTTTGCCGGCAGGTCTGCAGGGCCTGGGAAGCCGAGTTCAGATATTGGACTTCGATCCATGACATGCCAGAGGCCGTCTGGAGCTGGACCATCTTCTTCTCCGTCTTCTGTGCAATATCTTTGTCCAGCTTTGCCGACTGTTCATGATTGGCGTATCGGTTGTAGTAGTGCAGGTAACGCTCTAGGGAGGTCCGAGACTTGGCCTGGGCATCTCGAGCTTCTGCACCACTCTTCTCTTCAAATCGGTTGCAGTTGTACCAGCTTGTGCCGTGTTCAGACCACAGACCCATGCACATCCAGCAAAATTCGTATTTGCATTTGCGGCAGGTCATGTGGTTGCAGCCTCCATTCTTCTCGATAGTTGAGTTACACTTAGGACATTCCTTAGTGTTGGCCGATATCCAATTTGCCGTCTCGGAATCATCAGCACACTTCTTTAGCCATTTCTTGACCAAATAGCAAGGCGCCGGCTGATGGTCCGGGTTTGGGCACCCAAAGCAGAACCTGTTACCACACCGGCACTCCACAGTTGGGACAATCCTGTCGAGGTCCTTTTTCTTGACAGCACACTCAACGGCGTTGGGGCAGTCCGGAGCCGGGCACCACTTGAAGATGTCCTTGTCCTCGACATATGTTCGGTTGAGGAGTTCATGGTATCGATCCGTCAGGTCGTGGGTCACTAGCAGATCGAGCGTGCGAGAGTCAAGGATGCGGCCACAGCCGTCGGAGGGACACTGGATCCGAGCCGCCTCGCCCTCCTCGCGGATCTTCTGCGTCAGGTAGTGGCGGTAGCAGTCTACGCAGTACCGATGACCACACTTCATGGCAAATGACTGGAGACTCCCGTCATCCTCACAGCAGATGTCACACATGAAGCCTGGAATGGCCTCGAGCTTGGGGAGAGTAGACGAGTTACTGCTGAGCCCGGCTGCCTCCAAGACCTTTTCAGGGCGGTCCATGTAGTCCTCGAGCAAACGCTCCTTGTTCCATCGGAAATAGCGGAGCAGGATGGCCGCGTCCTCCTTGCGCATGTCCAGAATCATGTTCACCTCGTTGATCATATCATCTTGCTGACGTTGGACATCGCTCGGTTCATAGACCTTGTAGGATACGACGTGGGCGGCCTTTTTCTTTCTTTCGAGATCTTTGGCCAGGCCAAAATCGGGATCGGGCTCATCGAAGTCATCTTCATCGAAGTCTGTATAGTGGACTAGGTCAGCAAGGTGCAAGGGCGGTTGGAGGGTGAGGGGAGGAAGCGCACCGTCACCAGCAGACATTTCGTCTGCGCTATCTTGCATCATCTCGTCGTCGCTCGAGAGAGCCGACATGTATTCTTCGTCGGAATCCATTGGGTTGCTGGCGGTGGTAACGGGGGTGGGGGGGAGGACTTGGGCGAGGGTGTCCGAGACAGCAGCTGAGGCGATGATTCTCTTGTTGGGGCCTTCGTCTCTGTTGGCAGAGATTATCGTCGCCTCAGCAGCCTTGCGTTTCCTCGTGATGGGAGGAATCGTGGCGACGTGGAGGGAGTTGGGGTGGAAATCGTCGAGGGAAGAAGACGAGAGAGGGATGGAGGAGAAAAGGTGGCGGCGGCGCCGAGGACGGTATGACTAAGGTATCTTAGTTTAGGGGGGATAATTTGGATGTTTGAGTCGAGGAAGAGGGCAGGTGGTTTGGTCGAGATAGGCAGAGACGGACGAATCGAGCCGGAGTTCGGGGTCAAGTCGGCTGTCACGAGGCGGGAGGCAGCGACGGAAGCAGGTTGAGCGTCGGGGGTTGAGCGTGACCGGGGGAGATGCGGATCGGCGAGTGGATGGAGGGATGGACGGATAGAGCACAAGACACAGGCACACCACACAAGGGTACTGGCGCTGGCGTTGGAGTTAAGTGTGAGTGTGAGTTTGAGTAGGCGTAAGGCGTGAGCGGCGTGGGCGGCGTGAGCGGCGTGGGAGTGTGAGAGGTGAGGGAGGATCGGTGCGGTACGGGTACGGTGCGGAAGTGGGTGCGCGGGAGTCAGGTCGAAGGTGGGTGCGGTGTGGGGGGAGAAAGGAAGGAAGGTGGGTGGGACAGAGCAAGTGGGAGATGTTGTAAGAGGCAAGAGGCAAGGGCAGAGGGCAAAGGGCCGGTTAGGCAGAGGGACGGGAGGGAGGGATGAGAGGCGTTGGTGTTGGCTGGTAGGTAATCAACAGACACGAACGGGTATTGGTAATAATAAAAGCAGGCAGATGGCAGTTGGCAACGGCAGACTGTTGGCAGTTGCTGGCACCTGGACTTGTGAGTGGTATTAAGTGGCAGATTGTGCATCCGATACCCGATGTCCGGCATCGATCGTGTATTGGTTAATATTAGAGGCTTCCAGGCAGAGAGAGAGAGAGCGCGCCCACAGCCAAAAGAGACGCCCCAGTGCTGGGGTTCAGAGTGGGCTGTTGGCGGCGGAGTGCGGCGCTGGCATAGGCACCTTGGGCATCACGCACAGGGCACTCGCACTGGCGTTGGCGCTGGCCGACACTGACGTGGGCCCCGTGTCATGGCACGCCGCTTCACGCTGCAGCGTCGGCGGCTCCACCCTCAGACAGAAGCAAGCACTGCGCACTGTGCCTTGCCACGCGGATTTCCCTCGGCAATCATGACTCCAGCCTGATCCAATATTTGCTTGATGTCATGTAGGCGGCAGCGAGCTGACAAACTCCAGGGTCAACCCATTCGCTGGCTCACCGTCCAGTTCCGGGATGAGCGTAAGCTCGATTCTCCGCATTGCAACGACATTTATCAGGCTGACTGCACTCCTTCATATTCTCTCCTTCACATTTGCCTTCCACGTCCTAGCCGTAGTTTGTAAGGCTATGACGGTTACAGTGCGAGCCTGATCCACTCGACAGTGTGCTCACGCCGCAACACACCAGTGGATCCAGGCCCGCGGTCAGCCCCGGAACCCCTCCACCGGACGGCTTTGCCGCATGACTGACTACGTCTAGCTACAGCCAAATCCTCCCAGGAATCGTCTCCGATTTGATGCTCTGTATTTGGCGAGAGGTGGTATCCTGCAAGGGACTGCAAGGAAATGTGCATTTTCTTAAAAGGGCCGCGCCTGCTTCCGTGCTTTGTCGTTGTGCCCGAAACTCCAACCCATCGTCAGAGTGGTCGTGAATCCGCTCACGCTAAGGTGACTCAGCAGGCACGAGTGAGCCTGAAGCTGAACCGAGACCCTAGGACGTCTGGTGATGCTCATGGGTCACATCTTACTCCCAGCCCCGGATTACTCACCGTTCAATCCCAGACGTGTCTGAGATTCTAGAAGTCTAGGCCATGGGCCACAGCTAATCGAACAAGGGTCGAGATGTCTGGCGGAACCAACCCGGCAGCCCGAAACCTCTCTTACCTAGATAGGTATTGTTTGCCTACCATGTCTGGAAGCCGATGCGCCTTGTTTCTGTTTATAATGGGCACGGGTCGGCATGGTTCCACACTACAAGTTTCGTACTGCACGTCTTCCTGTGCTTCAGCGGGGAGACGGGGACTTCACTTGCCATGGTAGGCGCCAAACTCAACCACGAAATATTTCCATCTCATCATATTTTCTACCCTCGTCAAAGTGTAATTTTACATCCACTGCACTCCTGGTCATTATCCTAACCCAGGACCTTCTCGGCCGAGGAAACTAATCATCACGGTCAGCAGTGATCTAACCACCATCTTCTGTTCTTCTCATGGCCACTTACCGGTGTAACCAGTGCCATCGGGCTCAACATGGGCCTCCTGGACCTTGCCGTCCACCACCTTGAGGGCGTATCGCTTGCCTCGCATGCCACCAAAGATGGCCGAGCCGTCAAAGCCAAGGTCCAGGGCCTTGGTGAACTCGCCGGTGGGGTCACCGAGGAATCGGATCTGGGAATATCAGTCAGCCGCTGAGGATCTAGGGACGAGAGACGAGGAACCACGCTTCCCGTGGCTTTGTTTACTCACGCCAGTCTGCTTAGCGGGGTCAAGCTGCTCGCTCCACGCCTTCATACTGCATCAATTCATCAGCATCTCATCTATTCCGGCCCAATTGACAGCATGAGCTCCGGTGCACACTCACACAAAAGGATCGTTGACCGAGACGACAAATACTTGGCCCGCCTTCTTGAGACCAGGGTGGTTCATGTACGAAGGGACATGCTGGCTCGAGCAAGTGCCCGAGAAGGCAGCGGGCACGCCAACGATGTACCCATTGCTGGACTTGAACTCCTCAGCGAGGTTGACCTTGTTGCCAGGCGAGTCCTCGACGAGCACCTCCAGGTTGGGGATGGCCTGGCCAACATGGACCATCGCTCGGGGAGTCGAGTGGAAGCTGCGGGACGCGGCAGGGCGAGCCAGGGCGACGCGGCGGAAAGAAGCACGGAAAGCCATGTTTGCGGCTGAGGAAGAGGAGATTATGGTGTTTTGGAAGAGGGGGTGGTTGCAATGGTGTTTGGAGCTACGACGACGTGGAGCTCCGAGCCGAACTTGAGGCTGGAGTGTCTCAAGTCGGCTAATGACATCACGGGTTATTAAAGCCGCTCCACCGGGCTAAACCATTATCGCGATCCGATCCAGGCTCCACAAAACGTCGCCTATCGCTCACCTTGGTTCACGATACCCAGGTTGTGCTTGTAGATATTCCATCAGCGGCCTCTAATCCTCCAGGTTTTATTAACCAAGGTGTGAAATTCCGGTAACTTTACCCTTCGTTTGAAGCCGGGACTTGTGTGGGATACAGGACTTAGCTTTGTGCCATGACAAAGACTCCTTCAATGTAGAACGACATAATTTAAGGCGATGTGTTGAACAGATGTGACAAATCTGTTCGTTTCTACCCCAAGCAAACACCTCACCAACACGAATTTCTCTTCAATCACAGCAGACAGGCCCACCCTTATCTGCATTGCAGTGTCCAACTGTTACCACGACACTCCCGAGCCTGCTACCCTAGACACAAACTTGACAGCTTCAGTCTTTCGTGATTCACTCATCTCACCCGCAAGTGATTCAACCATGAAAACGTTGGTGAATTTGAGCTATTTGTGTTGTGTTTGAACTGTGTTTGCTATTTATATTGGGCCTATTGTCTTTGTTGCGGTGCAGACAACACTACTGCCATCCTATCCTCCTCAGGCGTTAACTTCCTGCGCAAACACGACTTGACTTTCAAGTTACTCGCGACTCACAAGCCAACGTACGCCTTCAAATACGGCACCGCTTCACTCTGATACATAACGTGGGATTCCTAGAAACCATCGGATTCAGGTGCATCTAATACGACCACGCCGCCGTCTCACTGCCATCCCTTACACTGCACATCAAGATGCAGGAACAGCCGCTCACTCTGCGAACAACGACACCACCGTGGCTTCATCATTGCTACGTGGTTCGCATTATCGACTTCAGAAAATCCAACGCGAACGACTGTGGTGGCCGGTCCGTCAACGGAATTGAGACCGCCCTTTTCGTCCAAACGGAGGACAAACCCGTCTCAGGTCAGCTCTTTACTGTTCGCCAGGTGCCCTACTCTCGCACTTTCACTTGCGAGACAGAATCATGCCAAAATCCCAAAGACGACCCAAAGTTCGACTCTGAAACGGGAATTGGTTACATTTTCAAGAAAGACTTCAAAGAGTTATTCCCCCACGTCTTGACCAGCTGCCCTCTGCCTCATGCCCCGGGCCCAGAATACGCCCCAATGAGTACACAGTCCGAAAAATCACATGCAGAAGCCCGGGAGCAAGTTGAGGAGCTTCAGTCGCCATTGACGAACTCGACCGAATAGGTGACGGCGTTGGTATTGTCAATGGCGACTCAGAAGATCTTGTTTGAGGACGAGCCGCTTGATTGGTACATCGGGGAATCCGGCGAGTTTCACAAAAGCGGACGAGAGGAGGCGAAGGTTGGGGACTGTATCCTCGTGAAATATCCAGAACGGCTCCCCAAGGCTTACGTGGAGCACCGGAATTGACGGAGGTTCGAATCTGAGTCTTCCGTACGACATTTGGGTTAGGATGACGGAGTGATCGAGGATAGAGTAGTAGATGAGGAACGGAGAAATAACGGGAGAAATTGACAAAGAAGAAGCGCTGGATCATAGCCTATTTTACAAGTGAAGTTGACATGCTGTGACGTACTTGAAGCCATTTTATATCGATGTTAGCGGTTTTATTCGCGTTTCTAATCAACCATCACTAAACTGACAAAACCTCTGGCTCATGGGATAGGACACTGAAAAGTCAGAAACAAAGAAGTCATGGACTTGTATGCATGACCTTTGACCCCCACATTAACCTCAGTGGGCCTAAGCGTAAGTCAAAAATGTGTTTACAGGACTAGGAAGCCACCATTTCGGAAGATGGACATTGTCGTGGATGTGCGGTTGCGGAGCTGGCAGGGTGTTAGTTTGCACAGCAACACAGCGGATGGTGGCGTTTCATTCAACAATGAGAACAATGCGGATGGATCCTGGACTCATGACACATCATTTGAGCCACGGAAGAAGGCTACCTGCCAAGATGCCATCAAAGGGCAGCCACTCGATTCCGTCCCGTGAACCTGGGTTAAAAACTTCCATGCCCCGTTCAACGCATGGGTTTCGTAGCCGTTGGTATCCTTAGCATAAAACCACTCAAAAGAAACATCAACATGTGGCCATCGAGAGTGAGTATTTCATAGTAACCTGGCCAATGTTGGGTGGCACTATCCGACTACCAGTAACCGAGTGGCTCAGCGTCCATCCCAAGTCTCTATTTACGTGCCAGAGCCAACATGGCAGGTATTCTGTTCTGAGTATTGGCTAACACGCTCTTCTAGACAGAGCAGCGATTTTCTCTCGAGCATGGTTGTCAGCCTCTGCAATCCTGGAAAGCCAAGTGGCCCCTGGGGCTCGACATGCTCAGCAGAGCCGTCAAGCGCTCCGAAGACATGCAGATGTTGCGCTTCTTCGTCGAGGTAGCAGAAGAGTCAGGTTCAACATTTGAGCAGCATCTACTTGGTTCACGCGGCGTCAATACCGTTGACCCAAGGAATATCCAGGCAATACTCTCCACCAAGTCTGAAGGTGAGTCCTGCCAAGACTACTCACATTATTGATTACACTCTATTCACAAAACGTAGATTATTGTCTGGGTGTCAGAATCTTATCGTTTACACCATTGCTGGGTAGTGGTATATTCACTCAAGATGGCACAGCCTGGAAGCACTCTCGGGAGCTGTTTGGGCCTCAGTTTGCCTACAACAATTTGCAGAACTTCGAACAAGTCAAGGGCCATGTCCAAGATCTCATAAATTCCGTTCCGGAAGACGGCATCGTTGACCTACAACCCCTGTGCTTCAAACTCTCCCTCGACAACACCATGTCCCTGATCTTTGGCGACTCCGTATCGGCCATGGATTGGGGGCAGGAATCAGAGTTTGAAAAGGCATTCGACATCGCGCAGGACTACATCACCCGCCGAGATCGTTTGGGACCCTATTACTGGTTCCTCAACGGCAAGAAATTTCGCGATGCCTGCAAGACCTGTCACCACTTTGTGGATAAAGCCGTCGCGAGGGCATTAGCGACGTCGACGAGGACCAACCGCAGCACCGGCGAGGACGAAAATAACGACGGAAAGGTTGGACATGCACTCATAGACTTTCTGGCTCAGCAGATGAAGGAGCCGCAAATAATCAGAGACCAGTGCATGAACCTGTTGTTGGCTGGACGCGACACTACTGGGTGTTGCCTGCAGTGGGCGTTGTATGTTATGATCTACACCGAGTTCTTTGCTTGCTCGCTCGCTGACCTTGAATCTGTGCAGTCGTCTCCTTGCCCGCCACCAGCATGTTCTTGGTCGTCTGCGCACCGAGATCGAACAAACATTGGGGTTGGGGGCTGACGCTCATCCCCCGACGAGAGACGACTTGAAGAAGATGACATACCTCAACCTGGTTACTAAAGAAGGTACACGCGCAGCCCCTGATTGTGATGACAATGCGTCATATCGGTCATTTAACTAATTCAATACGTCCAGTCCTTCGTCTCTACCCCTCTGTGCCCGCCAACTCTCGCCAAGCGACAAGGCTTACAACACTCCCCGTCGGGGGCGGGCCCGATGGCATGTCTCCGGTGCTTGTAAGACCTGGCGAGACTGTGGCGTATTGCGTGTACGCCATGCATCGTCGCAAGGATATTTACGGTGAAGACGCTGACCAGTTTCGCCCGGAGCGGTGGGAGGGCGATGGGTTGAAAGACGTTGGCTTTGCGTATTTGCCGTTCAATGGCGGACCACGACAGTGTCTGGGCCGTGAGTATAACCCACAGGATCTATCGTCTTATTTTGTTGGTCTGGATTTCTTGCTAATGCTCTGATTTTACAGAGGACTTGGCTTTGATGCAGGTCTCGTACACTGTAGCGCGGATGGTGCAAGTGTTCCCGAAAATGGAGGTGCCAAGGACGGAACCGAAGGTAGAAGTCGGGATGGAGAAACAAAATCTTACACTGGTTGTCTCCAGTGCCGATGGATGCGTTGTGTCTTTGAGGTCCTAGACGAGGAACTCTAAGTTCGAAAGTTAGGTCGAGCTGAAATGGCAAAATCGTTCTCGGCTCGACGTCGTTGAGCAAGTCAAGATTACACTAGAAACCCAAACTTCGAATTGACCTTGCTTATGTGTAATATGGAGGTATCTGAAGTTTCAGAACCTTAGTAATGAACAAGCTGATAGGAGAAGTTGACTTTTCATGCCCATCCGTTCGGAGATTTATGTTTCGTTTTCCAGTACATCCCAGTATTTGACAGTGTGCCCCTGTAAATCGTGCCTCTGGCTCTAGGGTGGTGACGCGATTGACATTGATGGAAGCAGAAAGCAGTGATAATAAATGAAAGATGATTGTATTAATTGATGTTTAGATTCTCTCGGCGCAATGCACTTAGTCTGGGTCAAAGCTGGCTGTATGGCGGTGTCGTGATCTTCCTGCGTTAGCTTAATATCGGCATAAGTTTGCTCTCCCCGACTACAGAGAACTTGTCTTCCATACATATTGGTCAATATATGTCGGCCTACTACTTCCTTTCTCATCCATCGGACTGCTAAGTTACCGCTAGCAGCTATCGCATGCCATAGTTGGCTCAAGTTCACATTCCTCGAATGGATGACACTCTGCCGGCTCCTGTGGACAGCCTCAGCTATCGTGTTGTTTTGCTTCAAGTGGGGGGTTATCTAACTGACACAAATATGCTGGCCCACAGACCAGGCAAGGTTCTTCGTATCTTGCTGTGTATTTCTCCGGGTAATAGCTGGCGAGAAGTTCATCCTTTGTGGCGAGACCGGCCGATGGCGTCGCACCGGCCGCCAAGTACCGCCACTCACAAAAGCCATAGCGGAAGCAAACCATACTCTTTCCGTGTGACTTTCAACCTTAACCTTCTGATTGTTTCCTTGGTTCTAGCACCTGGTAGCAATGTTGTGTGATGTGGATCGCACTGTCATTGATCCCTGTATTGCCGCTGTGACGAAAACCGGCTTAATGTCGTGATCTGGACCTTGAAACACTTAACCCCTCTTGAACTATTATAAGTCGTCCATTAAGGCATTATCTGGAGGCCGACGAAGACTCCGATCGGGTTGCAGTCACACAGACCGTGCCGCATAATGCAGAGGAAAGGCAAAACCGCCGGACGTTCGAGACCGCCGCCATTCGGCCGCGTCTTTCCCTCTGTTCTTCCTCTTCACATTCGGGCCGTCCGTCGTCTTGGAACTCGCGTTCAGGGTCAGGGATGCCGCGTCTGGGAGTATTCATGGAGTCAAGGCATTGCTGGTTCGGCCCCACGAAACAAGAAAGTGTCAGACGTTTTACATCGGTAACGTCGATCATGCCATGCCCGATGGCCTGTATTGCACGTTGCTGCACGATGAATGAAGATACTGGGGCCGAAGGGCGGGCAAATGGCACACCTGCAGCCTGCCTCGTCTTAGCACAAGTCTAATAAAGCCACAGAAAATGCTGAACGAATACAAGCGTCGCCTTGGTCTACAAATACAAGGCAATCATTAAACCCCTGGACGCGAACCAATAGAGGCGATCCTGAGATTGCTATTTACCACTAGCCCAAAGCCCGAAGCCTCAAGCCCAAGCCCCAAGCACAGTTGGGGTATTAGCCTCTGTGCTACGGAGTAAAAATGCCTGTGATAGCCGGCCGTGTTACGAGCAAGGAGCAGGATGACAATGATGTGAAGGTGGCTTGACTTGGTTGACTTGTGGGTGCACCTGGGTGACAGATGCGTCCGGCAATGCATGGAGCCGTCGAGAAGCGTGCGCATCAAGCCAACCCGTCTCGGCAATGGGATTTGCGGCGAGGATGTGGGGGGTTCCCTTGCCATGCTGTCTGAAGTCTTTTGCCACCAGATCTGTTGCAGTGGGCCAATTGAGTTTCAGATGATAAGTTGATGCTGCGGGCGACTTGACAAAGGGCGCAGATAAGATGGTGGGCTGCGGGCGACGGAAGGCCGTTTCCCTGCATATTGATAGCGGGCCGCATGTACAAAGCAGGTCCCTACATGGAAAATTTCATGGAACATTGGTGATGATCAGTTATCAGTTGGTGATTGCGAATGTGATGGGTGAGGGCGCGATCGTCAGGGCACTCGCTCCTGTGGTGTTCCTCCGTCATCCGTCATCTGTCATCCGCCGATCAAGGGCTCCTGCGCTGGAATCCACGCCCGCAGAACGTGGGACCTAGCTTGGCTCAGTGTCATGACATCTTGGTGCGGACTAACGGTACGGTACGGAGTACGGAGGACGGAACGACTAGCTTGGCTGGGCTGCGTCACTGGCCCAGGATGGGAGAGACATAGACATGGATGTGCCCCGGAAGGTCGAGCGCGGGTGATGCGAGACATGCAGAGGAATTGGACGCGCTGCGACGCAGGGCGAGAGGGACGGGACAGCGAGACTCAAATTAATAATAGAGCCTTGTCCGTTTTGGCAGTGGGAACCCACTACCGAGGGGGGGGGGGGTTGAAGTCTGAACAATGCCAAAGGGGACAGCCGGGCGGCGACCGGAACCCCGACCGTGGTTGTTTGATGCACGCGCAGGCTGATCTGATCTGGCGGCGTCGAGGGGGCCCCTGGAAGCCATCGCCTGACCTGGATGCGGATGCGACGCAAACATCCAACAACCCATGGGCGTTGGACGGTGATGGACATGGATGCCACCGGTCTGACAGGCCGGGCAAGCGATGGCTTTTTGGGGATTCGAGGCTGTGCCCAAAAAAACGATGGATATACTGGGATATATCCGTATTCACCTTGCGGTATGCGCTGCTCGAGGAACGGGCTCGGCATGGGCGGAGGTCGCGAGAAACGAAGCTGGACATGGTTGGCGTTCCTTCTCTTTGCAGCACGGAGAGAGTACATTGTAACTTAGGTAATGGGTATACGGGAATAGGTAGCTTGACTCAACCTGGGTTCGCCTCCTGGTTGTGGTTGTTGTTGTTCGCTTCGTACTCGGCCCCGGCATCATCTCACTGGATGAGGTAGCAAACGGGCTGATATTCTTGAAGGGGGGGCGGGGGCGGAACAGTTGCGAGAAGAGAGACATTCGGTTGGTCGCTTTGTCTGTCTCTCTAACTCGGTGTCTCTCTTTGTAATTAATCAACTTCCTCATTACGAAGTAAGTAATTACCAGCATCGACGCCTCTCCGCCCTTGGACCACCATTCACACCCATCCATATGCACATTCACACGCAACCCACAGCAGCCACACTTCCACATCCACATCCACATCCACATCCCACACACAACCCGTCCGGCGTACCTACATACAAAAAGCAGGCACTTAAAATTCGTAGGGGCGGCCTGTGCGGTGCCTGAGAGGCACCGTCCAATCTACCCCTGGCTCGGCCACGCCTCCGCTGCACCTCCCCCCCAAGCCCCGGCCATCTCCCGACCAGAGGCTCTGGGAGTCTGGGTCCCCGGCGCCCACCAGTAACATGTCGCGACGGGCCTCCTCTTGGCGCTCCGGCCGCTGCCCCTGCGTCGCTCCCAGACGGCTTTTGAGTCTTTGTCGCACATTTCGTGGGTTTTTGGCGCACGACGGCCACGGGCCATGGGGTCACGGGCCACACGCAACCCTGGCGACGGGTGACGGGCCATGGGCGGTTGCGCGTTGTCGGTCGCGAGGCACAAGGCAAAAGGCACAAGGCACAGAAGGAAGAGTTGCTCTGATTCTGGCAATGCCCTGTCCCTGTGACGGGAAGGAAAAAAAAAAGGTCCTACATCGTACATAGGACAGACGTTCGTATGCAGTCCGGCCAGACCGTTGCCGTGCCAGTGTTCCAGCGCAGCTCGGGCATAGTGGTTGCAGCGTCCGGGGTCCGACAAGTCCGCGACTGCTCTGGCTCTGTCTGTGCTAGACGGACGTAGGCGCCTATTATAGCGAGAAGGGCTCTGGGGTTTGGCGGTTGAGGGCGGGTCGCGATGATGCCCGTGGTGCGCTGAAGCGACCGAGCAGGCTCACGGCGACGACAAGAAAGAGAGAGTTTCCAGGTGACCCTCCTCAGGTTCAGGCGATTAACAAGCCTGTTCACCACGACCCAACCAGCGTGGACCAGTGTGAATGCCAGCGTCCGTGCGTGCCTTTGATGGCAATGTACAGGATACCCAGAAGATCCAAACCCCGCCGCCGTCGCCGCCGCCATCGTCGTTCTCCGGCGCCCCCCGGACCGCTTGGGAGGGAAGCACGAGCATTCAATGGATATATCCCTCGCGCGGGGTCGAATGGAGAAAGAATGAACTTGTCAAGCGCCATGTCAAGGACACGAGGGGGCGGGAGCTTTGTCTGCTTTGGATGAGCTTTAGACATCATCGCAGCGAATATTGAACCCGCAAATGACCTGCGATATGTTGCCGTCCTGCTCCTGCAGCTCCCGTTCTTGGGTCGTCTAGAAGATGGAATTGTACGCACTAAGTAGGCGGTACCTGAGTCAACTGGCATCCTCCCCCCCCTGGGCCTTGGCCTCTGATAGACCCCGGTGCGGTTTGTCCCTTATCCAGCCCCGGCCTCTGGTCTGGCGTACCGTGGACTCTGCCCTGTCCTGTCCCACCCGCCGACGGAGACTCAGACCAGCGAGCGACGGCCCTGGTCAGGCCTGGCCCTGGCTTTCTCGCAGACGCTGCTTGCTGCACAGGACATGGCCCGGACTAACAGATGGAATTAGTCGCTGCTAGGCCCGTTGCAGCCTGGAAGCGCATGCGCGCACGAGTGAGGGCGGGGAGGGCCAAGGGAAAGGAAGAAGAGAGGCAGGGCAAAGAGAACAGGCGCCGTGCTGTGTCCCACTGCCCCTGGCTCCGTTGCCATGCCCCTGTTCCTGTTCCTGGTTGCCCTGTACGGTGAGATCACCCCCCCTCCCCTCCCCTCCTCCAGCCCCTCCAATCCATTCCGTCACTGTCAGTGAGGTGTGATGATGTTGGTTGGGCTGGTCACTCGTTTTCGCCGGGGCTTGCAGCAGGCAGCTTGAGGCTGCGGTAGCTCAAGGTACCCAACTAGAGCAGAGGCGCCATCTTTGAGAGACGGGGACGACACCAACAGCTTTGTTGCTCTAGCGGACATCTATTCTGTACTTTTGTCTACTGTGTAAGGTAGGTACTGTGGCGCAGGTGGTCCGGCTGGTGAGCAAACAAGTACCTCGCTATCATTCTGACCCCCGTCAACAGACTTTGGTTATCCGCCGCATTTGGCCTTGCGTCCGCCTCTCTCGCCCAGCGTCTCTTCTCTCTTTGCGCCCTTTGGTCCTCTGGCTGGTCGGTCTCCTCCTTTTATCCCGGGCGGTTCTCCTCTTTTTTTTGCGGCGATCGCTCGTGGTTGTCGTTTTCCCTCTGCTTCGCCGTTGCCGCGGTGGTATCCGTCGCCGTCGCACTGCACCGATAACTAGGTACGGAGCTCAGCACGTCCGGAGTAATTTAGGGTGCACATCGTTGCGGGAATCCATCCATCCCATCCACCACCCATCCACCACTCATCTTCTCATCCACTCATCCACCCTCCCACCCATCCACCCAATCCCTCCTCCCCACACGAGCTCCCAGCTCCAGTCCGGTCCCTGGCAGCCTTGGGCCTTAGTAGTCCTTTTAGGTGCTTTGGTGCTCCAGCACTGTGCTTAGGTGCCTGGGTTCCTCCCTAGGTTCCTACGTTAGGCGGCTTTGCCTTGGCCCTCTGAGCGCCCGCACTCCACCGACCGTCCCACGCGCCGTCTCGCCCTCCTGAATTCCGCGTCTCAGCCGTGCATAATCCTGCCCGCCCATCAATTCATCACTCACGCCCCCCTTCTCCTGCCCAAACACGACCGCGGCCACTACCACCGCCTACCGCACTGCTGCGCTGCTGCACTGCTGCACCACCACACCCACCTACCAAACGCCAACGCCAACTCCTCCACCTCCTCCACCTCCTCCACCTCTCCCACCACCAAACCCTCTCCTGCGATTCTCTGCGATTATCCTGCCATCCGAATCTGCGACGCCCCCGGTCGCTCCATTGAACTCCCTCGAGGCCACCGCATCTGGTTGCTGCTGTTGTTTTTCGCCGTCATCTTCGTCTTCGTCTTCGCCCTCGCCGCTCTGTTGTCTAGTCGTCTGCCGCCGCCGCAATCTCTCCAGTCGCGCACCCGATCACCTCGTCTTCCTTTGTCGCCCCGTCTCGTCGTCTCGCTTCCCATTTCGGATCCTGATCTCGATCGACCTCGTCGCCAACTTCTCTCGCCGCCTCCGCCCGTACTCACTTCACGGCTTCTTTGTCCGATAATCTCGCATCGCCCTTTTCGGACGCCCGCGATCGACTCACCGTTGTCCAATCTAGCGACCTCGAATCGATCACTTGGTGGCTCCCGACCACATCACCACCAAGTTTCCGCTTCACCGCCGCCTCAGTGCGACCGAATCCGTCTCTAAATTCCCCCCCGTCGAAGCCCTGTGGCTGGCTGAGGCGCCCGTTCAACGTCGCTGCCACCACCAGGCGCTCCCTGAGCTCCTTGGGCCCTAGAGCCTGGCCGTCATTTGTTGTCGCCGTCCCGCGACACCACTATGTCGGTCATGTTGCAGACTCCCTCACGAGCTTCTACTGCATCTTCATCGTCTTTCCAGCCCTTGACCCGCCAAAACACCATGTCTTCCTACGATGGATCGCGCTCGGCGCGCCAGTCGAAACGGTACTCCATGTCCGCTTTGTACATGTCCATTTCGGCCAACGAAGGAGATCTTCAAATCGAAGATGACCTCGCCAAAGGTACGTTCACCCTTGTCCCCATTACAATCATGCCTGGAACTTGCGATTGACCACCAAACAGCGCAAAAGATTCTCCGTGATCTCAAGTCCAAGATCTCATCCCAATCCAAGAAGAATTTCGTCCTAGAAAAGGACGTACGATACCTCGATTCACGTATTGCCCTGCTGATCCAAAACCGCATGGCTCTGGAAGAGGTACGTTATTTTTTCTTGTTGGTTCCATTACATGCCCTCTAACAAAATCTGTAGCAAAACGAAGTCGCCAGTCATCTGGAGGATGCCACCGAGATGCAGCAGGGCCAGTTCCCCAACGATGACAAGACCCAAAAGTACGGGAACTTGCTCTTCCTCCTGCAGTCTGAGCCTAGGCACATTGCCCACCTGTGCAGACTTGTCTCCATGTCCGAAATCGACTCTCTGCTGCAGACTGTCATGTTTACCATTTACGGAAACCAGTACGAGAGTCGTGAAGAGCATTTGCTCCTGACCATGTTCCAGGTATGTCCATCTGGCACCCATAAACCTCTTGTTCTAACCGCCGCCTAGTCCGTCTTGACATACCAGTTTGATACGACGCCCGACTATTCTTCTCTGCTCCGCGCCAATACCCCCGTTTCGCGAATGATGACCACCTATACTCGACGAGGCCCCGGTCAAAGTTTCCTCAAATCCGTGCTTGCTGATAGAATCAACAACCTGATCGAATTGAGGGACTTGGATCTTGAAATCAACCCGCTCAAGGTGTATGAGCGCATGATCGAGCAGATCGAGGAGGACACCGGCCAGCTCCCTCCGTCCCTGCCAAAGGGTATCACTGGCGAGCAGGCTGCCGAAAACCCTCAAGTCCAGGCCATTATCGAACCCCGCCTGACCATGCTCACTGAAATTGCCAACGGCTTCCTGACCACAATTATTGAGGGCCTTGAGGAGGCTCCCTATGGTATCCGTTGGATCTGCAAGCAGATTAGGAGTTTGACAAAGCGCAAGTATCCTGATGCTAACGACCAGGTTATTTGCACCCTGATCGGTGGCTTCTTCTTCCTACGCTTCATCAACCCGGCTGTCGTTACCCCCAAGTCGTACATGCTCATCGACGGAACCCCTGCTGAGCGACCCAGACGAACTCTGACCTACATCGCTAAGATGCTTCAGAACCTTGCGAACAAGCCGTCCTACGCCAAGGAACCCTACATGGCAAAGCTGCAGCCGTTCATCCACCAGAACAAAGACCGAATCAACAAGTTCATGCTTGATCTATGTGAGGTTCAGGACTTCTACGAGAGCCTGGAGATGGACAACTATGTTGCACTCTCCAAGAAGGATCTGGAGCTGGACATCACCCTGAACGAGATTTACGCCATGCACTCGCTGATCGACAAGCACCGCCAAGAGCTGTGGAAGGACGAAAGCTCACACCTGGGTATCATTATGTCGGAACTGGGCACGTCGCCACCTCAGCTGCCCCGTAAGGAGAATCGGGTCATCAACTTGCCTCTGTTCAGTCGTTGGGAGACGGCCATCGACGACTTGACCGCAGCTTTGGACATTACCCAGGAGGAAGTGTACTTTATGGAGGCCAAGTCCATCTTCGTGCAGATCATGCGATCCATTCCCTCAAACAGCCATGTGGCGAGACGCCCGCTGCGACTTGAGCGCATTGCAGATGCCGCTGCTACGAGCCGAAATGATGCCGTCATGGTCCGCAAGGGTATTCGGGCCATGGAACTGCTCTCGCAGCTGCAAGAATTGCGTGTTATCGACAAGAGCGACCAGTTTGGCCTTCTTAGAGACGAGGTCGAGCAGGAGCTGCAACACCTGGGCTCTTTGAAGGATGGTGTCATTGTCGAGACCTCGAAGCTTGAAGAAGTGTACAAGACGATCCGCGATCACAACAGCTACCTGGTCGGGCAACTCGAGACATACAAGAGCTATCTCCACAACGTGCGATCTCAGAGCGAGGGTACCAAGAGAAAGCAACAGAAACAGCAAGTTCTTGGACCCTACAAGTTCACCCACCAACAACTCGAGAAAGAAGGCGTTATCCAGAAGAGCAATGTCCCGGATAACAGACGGGCCAACATTTACTTCAACTTCACCAGCCCGTTGCCGGGCACTTTCGTTATTTCTCTACATTATAAGGGTTGGTCTCGACCGAAATTACCTACTAGATTGACCTTGCTAACTTGACTGTAGGCCGAAATCGAGGTCTCCTTGAATTGGATCTGAAGCTGGATGATTTGCTTGAGATGCAAAAGGACAACCAGGACGATCTTGACCTGGAGTACGTTCAGTTCAACGTGCCAAAGGTGTTGGCGCTGCTCAACAAGCGCTTCGCTAGGAAGAAGGGCTGGTAGATGATCTACGACAAGATGACTTTTAGCAATTACCCATCTCGACGCATATTCATCTCATGTACTACGATCACATCAAAGGGAGGGGCCTGGCGTTATGGACACTGATACCACGGAAGATTCTGTTCTCTCTCCACCTTCGAGCAGTGTTAGTATGGCTGTCTCGAAGGCTTTCTCCATCATTTCCTTTCTTGTCTCTCTCGTTTCTTGTTCCCTTCTGACCATGAGCGTCTCGTTTCATGCACCTGGCTTGATGAGGTGGGCTTTATATACCGTGCGGTAATTTTCCTATTGGAGGGCGGTTTTCTGCTTCGGCTGGCCCGCGGTGGGAGTTGTATGCGGCGCTTTGATTATGTATGAATGCTGCCTGCTAAGGGGGTACGCGCGTCGTCGGACATGAGTAGCTAGTGATTTGGAATGACTACACACCTAGCTTGCTAGTTACGAGTCACCCTGTTAATGAAGAATTGTAACGTTTCAATCTGCGCTTGGAGGCGAGAAGTCTGTGCGTGGCTTGTTGATTGGGTGACGGTAATGGGAGGTTGAAAATAATTATGCGGATGGCTATGGTAGCGAGCCGATTGGATGCTGATGCCCTGGTTCATGAGTTGGCATATTGTTACAGATGATATCTGCTTATGGGCCACACTGCGATGTGATTTGCGGGGGATGTTTTGGGCCGATGGTTGGGCATGGGTTGGGACAAAAGGAGTAATCCAGGACGCAAAGGGATGGGCGATCCTAATGAAATGGAAACCTGTTGCAGGATGGGCATGGGAGTGAGTTGTAGTGGCAGTGGAGATGAATGGAGACGAGCAGAAAACAAGACACATCCTTATTATGCAGATAGTGACAGGATAATACAATTCTCCAATCATACAGATAGCGACGGAGGTTTCTAACATCTATTCGTAGTACTTCATATCGGTCGGTTCGTTCGTTAGTCGTAATCATCATAGCCAAACATTTCATCGTAAACACATCATAATAAAACCCAGCATTTCAACGGCTCATACAGTTCCCCCTAAATCTACATCTTCATCAGGAGGCGCTCTCCTGGCTCCCCACGGCCACGTCCATCTTCCCCCACGCCTCACCCGCACCCTTCGTTGTGATAAGGCAGCCGTGGAGCGGTTGTCTGGCGCTTCTACATCCTGCGGGCCTCGACGGAGGATAAAGGCCGTGAGGCGGCGTGGTAGGGCGGCAATGGCGCTGAGCCTGGTGAGGAGGAGGCCGAAGGACCTCGTTTGTAGGATGGAGATGAGAAGCATAAACGGTACGCAGACGAGCACCATGGTGACGGCGAAGCGCCAATCCGAGGCCGCAATTTTGAATTCGGTCATGCCAAAGACAGACTGCACATGTGTTAGCTTGGTCCATAGACAAAGAGGCCGGGATCGTTAACGTACCGTAACAAACGTCAGGGGCAGAAAGATCATGCTAATCATGGTCAAAATGCGAATATTATCACCCTGGTCAATTGCCCTGCGACTCTCCTTGATGGAGCTTCCGCTAAACAGCTGGTCTCGCAGGTTCTCAATCTCCTTGCGCGTGCGCTCGTTGCGCTTGAGCACCTCGCCCAGCTCGCGCACCACCTTGTCGAGCTCGCGACGCAGGTTGGCCATGTGAGCGCGGTACGCCTGGCCAGCCGGCGACTCGGGCGCCGGGTGCGGCCACAGGATCGGGTGCGTGCCGTCCCAGAACTCGTCGGTGAAGGTGTCGACGTAGGCGGCCATCATGGCCTTGATGCCGGTGTTGACGACGGCGAGCGTGTTGTACGCCCAGAAGTACCGGCGGATGTACGTGAAGTGCTTGTCCTCGAACAGAAGCTTGTCGCGGAGCTTGGGGTCAAACATGAACTCGGTCTGAGAGATCTGTCAGTAAATGCTGTTGTACTTGATGGGGCTGTAGATGTGTACCTTTGGAGTGATGAGTTTGGTAATGGACTCATGCAGAATCTGGTTTCTCTTCCCAGCGTCTCGGTACTCGGCGATGAGGAGGTCAAGAAAAGCACACGGCCCGTTGATGAATTCCTTGTCCTGGAATTCCTCGCCTCGAACTGTGTGCGCGTTGTCTGGAAAGCTTTGGATGCTGAGGAGATGCCATGGCCCAAATGTGTCAAACAAGAAACCCTCCCTTACACGCTCCCGGCGAGGGCGCATGCGGACGGGCTTGGTTGGATCACCGCCGAGCGACAGCGCCAGGATGGAGCCGCACTCGGCAATGTCAATGTGGTCACCGAGCCTCTTGTCTAGAGGCCTGTTGTCAAAGCGCTGCCAGGGGGCTGGGGTGAGGTTTGCGCCGACGACGGTGTAGTACTTGAAGACGAAGAAGAACGACCGCTGGCGGATGTGGGCCGCGGAGAGCGAGGGAGACGGCCGGAGGGTAGCAGGGGCGCCGACAGGGAGCGCCGTGGGAGAAGATGAAGAATATGGCGAAGACGGGAGGGCTGAGGGGGCTCGCTCGAAGGCGCGGTTCATGAAGGCGTGGGTGCGGCCGCGGTTGGGGGCGTCGGTCAGGAGATGGGCGATGAGCTCCGACATATCGAAGTGAGGAGCCATGGTGAGATGGAGGGCGGCGAGGATGAGGGGGGTGGGTTCCTGGACGATGCTATGAGGGGGGTTAGTCTTGATGGCAATATATGATGAAGAGCAAGAAGTGAAGTAGTATCAATTTGAAGCCTGGGCCCATGTATCATGGGTGAGGTTGAAAAAGGAGTCGACGTATACGTACGTGATTCGACCAACGGACTGAGCATCCGGGTTGACATCGCCAATAGCCTCCCACACCGTCGGCGCATCAACAATGGGCGCGTTCTCATACGGCCCGTCGCCCGTATACTTGACCTCCAGGGGTCCATCCAAATCAATGTCAACATCTGCGCTCAGCTTGACGGGCATCGAGTCCCGGCCAACCTCGTACACCTCAAACGTCGACTGGACGTAGCCCTCGCGCTCATACGCCGCAAAGTCGCGGAACGTCATGGCGAGGTCGATGTCGCCGCGGCGCTTGATGGCGTCCTCGAGGAGCCGGGCCATCTCGGGCGTGAAGTCGGTGTCGCGGAGGTGTCGCAGCAGCTCATCGTCGGGGAAGTGCATCGGTGTAAGTGGGCGGCGGATGGGGATGAAGGTTTCGTCCTCGAGGTACCGGCCGTGGCTGGGAATGGACGCCGACGTCGGATCGAGCAACGGGATGAAATTGACGTCGTCGTCGGGGTGGAAGACGGCGCTGTGGCCGCCGCCGGGCGAGTTGGTCAGCGGCCGGATCTCCGGCGTCATGGCCGGCCGCTCGGCCGTCGTCTCGAGGGTAGACGCCCGGGTCCGGCGGCGCGGCGGGACGCTGATGGACGCCGCATGGCCCGCATCCGAGGCAAACGTCAGGGCCCGCAGCGGCGGCGTGAAGGGCTCCGGGATGGTGATGATGCTGCGCGGCTGGCTGTCGATGCGGCGCATCGTCATGCCGTCCTGCAGGCTGCGCAGCGTGCGGACATGGTGCTCATGCTGGGCCTCGGCGGCCCTGATGAGGTCGTCAAGGAAGTGCGGGTTGGGCTGGGTTGACGCCATAGAGTGGTGACGGGTTCACGTTCACTTGGGTTTGTTCACTTGGAAAATGTAGAGTATTATTCGCAATTCGTTCATCTATCCAAGCTAGATGAACACTCTGAAGACATACAGACATAACCTAGTATATGGAAGCCTCCTTGCAGAGCGGGAGACGCTCCGCGTATTTCTACTCACTCCAGATTCCCCCCTAAGCTGCTCTCAGATGTCTCTCATCCTACGACGATCCCTCAGCCAGGCATCCTTCGGGGGGTTCCGACGCGTCTGCGGCTGAGTCTTGGCCCGCGCTCGCTCGGTGAACTTCCCTGGGCAAACGCAGCCCAAAAGACAGGGCAAGCGACGATAGGCCAGCCAGATCGAGCTGGGTTGAACAGAGGGAGTGGAGATGGGGGAGAGGAAAAGCTTCTAGCGCCCTCCCGGATCAGAGCTTGAAACTCCGCGAGCCTGAGGAGTTGGGTGCGTGGATGCACACGTGGGAGGAACCTGGGGCTGTCTGCACATGCACGCAGCAAGCCTCGCCCACCGGCTCTGGAGCTTAATTCCTGGAGGCTTTGATGATGGAGGGATGGGACGAGATATGGATGGCCCGGGATGGACGGGTGGACGCTGGCATCGACGGGTTCGTCCTTAATCAAGGTGAGGCTTCATCGCGGCGGAGGCGGAGCGCGGACGCTTCTGGTCGGCTCCCCGCGGCTTCAGTCGGGCGAGCGCTCGCTGGCGCAACACCACTGCGCCGGCCTCGTGATGGCGGAATTGGGCATCGTGGTTGGGCGATGGACAAGTTCCGTAGTTGCGACGTGTGTGTGTTGGTCGCTAAACTATCCCGCCTACACGTACGTCATTGCACGGAGCCCATCCCCGCATGCCTCTCACAAGCCGGGCGCCCATGGTCGGAGTCGTTCACCGGGGGCGCAGCTCCACGTGCTTTGGGCTGCTATTATCCGCCGCCGGCGCGTTGATGCTTTGGCCGTCGGCTCCAGAGGGAGGCATCGTCGAATCGCTCTCGCGAATTGTTGTGTGAGTAAGACAGGTTACGTTCGTGCTCTCTTCCGCCACCTAGATTGTCTCTGCGATAACCACCACGTTGCCATTCCCCCCACAACCTACGGCTCAATCGCCTTGCCTCGGGTTTCAAGCTCGGATTGATAATCAACTGCGGCTGGAGTTGGACAGATGATCAACCTTCTTCATCCACATCATCATCATCCTCGCTTGGCATGGGTCGGCTAGCTTGCTTCCTCACGCTTGCAGAGAGAACGTCATCCAGACGTTGATAAGTACCTAGAAACTGTCTTGTGTGTCTCGCAAGCTAATGTACTAAACGTGTTTGGCCAGCTCCATGACCTGATATCATCCCTTCGTGTCCTCGTAACTCTATTAGGCAAACACCATCTTCCAATCCATACGTTATCGAAAAGCCGAAATCTGATGCATGACTCAAGATAAGACGATGCCACCGAAAACACCCTTGGACGAGAGACCTGCTGCGCCTGCGCCTGTGTCTAGGATGCGACAGTGACGGGCTTAGAAGCAGCTACAGGCTTCTCGGCCGAGTCAACCTCCATGGCATCGTCGCCGGCACCTTCGCCCTCAACCTCCTCCTCCTCCTCCTCGAGCTCGTCCTCACTCTCGCCTTCAATGTCAACACTACCATCCTCTGACATCTCATCCTCGTCCTGACCGTTCTCGATGTCAAGCTCGTTTTCGTTCTCGACGCCAACCATCTCGGCGTCCTCACCAGGTTGAACCTCAGCCTTCACGGCAGCCTCCTCAGCGGCCTCCTCCGCAGCCTCCTCGGCACCATACTCCTCGCCATCGGCCTCGAGATCAGCCTCGGGCTGCTCAGGGGGGAACTCGGCGGGGGCAGACGCTTCGGAATCCCTGGGCTGTGTTAGCGTAACCAGTCTTGGTCGCAAGTGCGCATCAACTTACCACTTGATTGCGAATCGCGTCACTCGGGGCTTCTCAGCAAGGACATTGCGCTTGACGCGCTCAATGATGGGCTTGGCCGGGGGCTCGGTGTTAAGTTCCTCCGAGTCGTACTCGTTGTTGACATAGTAACCAATGCGGATGAACTCCCGACCGTCGTAGGAACAGGTCAGGAGGACGACAGTTACACCGAGAATATCGGCGTCAGGAATGCGCGAAGTGTTGGGAGCCTCGGCCTCGAAGATGAACTTGTTGACGCCGACGGGGACGGGGCCGACAAGCAGCGAGTCAAGCTCTTGGTCGTACTGGTCGCTGCGAAGCGTTAGGACAGGCGGTGTGCAAGATCAAGCCGCGTTTCAACTCACGAAGTGGCGGATCCGACGTAGGTCAGCTTCCACTCGAGATCTGTCCCCAGTTAGCTGGATGCGGGATAAACACCAAAGCCCAGGTATCACGAACCCTTCTCGAGCTGCTCAAGGCACTCAAAGGTGATTTCAAACTCGTACTTGTCGGTGAACTTGGCGGGGTTGTTCATGACATTGACCCCCAAAAGCGAGACGACGGACATGGTGGCGGGTGTGGTGAGGAGACGATCGGTTTTAGAGAGAAAAGTTTGCGAAGGCAGTCGAACGGCAACAGGAGCGCAACGTTGACAGAGATTGATGACAGTGAATCGGGGGCGAAGCGGCTGGCGACGATGGAGTTCACGAGTAGCGTTGGGCGAGACTGTGGAGCTCGGAGAGTGGGCGTGCGACAGCGGATGCGTGCGCGCGGGAGAAGATGCAAGGTGCAGGTTGCAAGTTGGGAGAAGAAGCTGGGGCGGCGGCGTTAAAGGAGGAAGAGGAGGGAGATGAAGAGGAGAAGGAGGAGAAGGAAGAGGAGAGTGGCACGGAGTTGTTATTGCACCAAATTGCAAGAAGAAAGGAAGGCTGGTGAGAGACTAAGACATCGAGATGCAAACGCGGCAAGTTGGGACTGGCGCAGGGACCGTGTGCCGTGGGCAGGACGACGGACGCGATTTCTGGCCGCACCGCGTTAATGGGTTCGTCCCAGCGCCCAGGCAGCTAGGGTCCGCTGCAGGGAGGCCAGAGGACGACGCCAGCCTCTAATTAGCGGCCTTCCAGGCCTTGCTAGCGACGCGAGTGCGAAAAACCAGCAGCTGTTAGGGTGGCCAATGGCCAGCGGCTCTCTCACGTGACCGCATTGTGCCTTGTGGTCTCGTGCCTTGCGCTCTCCGTGGGCGTCTCATCAACAGGAGGCCAGATCTACGCGTATAAACCTGGGATTCGAACCAACGATCAAGAGAACTGGCAAAAAGTATGGTTTGTTCGCCGCTCGACCGTTCTGTGCAGGGACCTGGTAGACTTTGTCGTGCCCGAAGGCAATAGAATCCCTTTAGATTTTGGTATATAAGCCCTGGACAATGCCTCCTTGGCCTGGCCTACACCTATCACCGAAAGCTTGAAAGTTGATAAAAATACCCACCCGACAGCCAAGTCTCCCCTTTACAACACACCTACTTAATAGCCATTCTAAATGCATGCCTTCAACACTATCATCAATCGCGATATGCCGTGCAATCGCAGCTCGGTTCGTCTCCATCGTCTTCCAAGACCCCACAATTCTCACCGCCTATAATACGCTAGCCGTATTGGGCTTTCTGCTACTCGCGGTGCTGCAAGGCCTTCCACCTTCTTTCAAACTCGGGAGATCCCTTCGAGCTTTCGGAATTTTGTCAGAGCCTCGTATCGAGAGCTTCCTTTGTTCCCACGCCCCAAACTTCCAACCGAGCCCATCGATTGAGCGCCGCTGCCACCTTGATTCCGTGTCGTCTCGTGTCTCTCCGTTCTTTGCGACTGTATCCTGCTCGGTCGGGGCCGACTGGGTCAGCTCCACGAGCTTACCTCGTTTGCGACGCCCCATCCACGTTCATCGCTGGCTATTCCACGGCCAGCCATCTCTTCAATCGGGTTTCTTGCGTCCTCTACCATCTAGATTCTAGCGCCCTCGTCCACTGCCGATCCCCTGCCGCCTCCGCTGCGCTGTCGCCGACCTTTCGATTCCCATCCTCAGCTCGTCGCGCCCAGCCTCCCCAGCCGCGGTGGAGCCGTTTCGCTCTCGACCTCGTCGCGCTCAACCTCTCGACCGTTGAACCTCCGCTTTACACTCGACTTTTGTAATACGCAGCATGGCTTCCGAAGGTGCTTCATGGGGCGAAGAAGGGTTTGATGCCACAGAGGGTGGTCAGGTTCAGCATAGCGAGGAACAAGTTGATAACTTTGCTCAAGAATCCAATGTCTCAGGTGATGCTGCGGATAATGGTACAGAAGATGGAGGAGATTATGACCCAGAGTCTGTCACTATTGGATCCCCTGCTCAGATCCCCGAAAAGGCTGCCTCTGCAACGCCCTCGCAACGTCCAGCGTCCAAGCCCAAGATGTCGGGCGGCTTCCTAGTGGAGGCATCCGATGATGAGGATGAAGAGCCTGCGAATGATACCCCGACGGCCGCAGATGCGCCGTCACAGAACCTGCCTGGTCCCTCGACTGTGTCAACAGAGGCCAACACTCCTGCTGCTGCTGTTCCTGTTCCTGTCGCCTCATCCACTGTGACTCCAGCCATGACCAGTCTCGACCCAGTGGCGCTGTTTGAAGCTCGTGTCAAGGAGGACCCTCGGGGTGATATGGATGCCTGGTTGAATCTGATCGCCGAGTACAGGCGCACCAGCCGACTTGATCAAGCTAGGAACGTTTACAACCGATTCGTCGAGGTCTTTCCACAAGCTGTAAGTACACCTGACAAATCGTTTCCAGATGTAGCAACTGACAGGCATCCAAGGGTGACATCTGGGTGCAGTGGATCGAAATGGAACTTGGCCTCGATAATTTTGTCGATGCTGAACAGCTTTTTGGCCGTTGTCTAATGACTGTGCCCAACGTGAAGCTTTGGACAGCGTACCTAAACTACATCCGTCGGCGAAACGACCTCAACAACGATGCGTCCGGTCAAGCTCGCCGAACCATTACCCAGTCTTATGAGTTTGTCATTGACAACATTGGCATGGACAGAGATTCCGGGAACATCTGGCAGGACTACGTCCAGTTTGTCAAGAATGGACCAGGACAGATTGGTGGCACTGGCTGGCAGGACCAGCAGAAGATGGACCAACTGCGAAAGGTCTATCACCGTGCCATCGCTGTTCCCATGCTGACCGTCAACAACTTGTGGAAGGAGTATGACCAGTTTGAAATGGGATTGAACAAAATGACTGTAGGTTGGATACCCCCTCCCATTACTGCATCTACTAATCCCGTCCCAGGGCCGCAAGTTCATCCAAGAGCGATCGCCCGGGTATATGTCTGCCAAGAGCGCCAACATTGCCCTCGACAACATGACTCGGCATTTGAAACGCACAAACCTCCCGCGACTGCCGCCGGCACCCGGATTCGATGGCGACCAGGAGTTCAGGCAACAGGTTGAGATGTGGAAGAAGTGGATTGCATGGGAGAAGGATGACCCTCTCGTCCTCAAGGTCGACGAACCCAAGGTCTACAACCAAAGAGTCCTCTACTGCTACAAACAGGCGTTGATGGCGCTTCGATTTTGGCCAGAGATCTGGGTGGACGCCGCGGAGTGGTCTTTCCAGTATGATGTGCGGGACAATGACAAAGAGACGGGAACGGAGATGCTATTGCAAGGCATCAGGGCCAATCCCGAGAGCGTCTTGCTCGCCCTGAAGCACGCAGATCACATCGAAGCGAACTATCCGGCGAAGGAGGGCGACAAGATGGAGTATGCCAAAGCGGTTCGGAAACCCTTTGATGATGTCCTGGATACCTTGTACGAATTAGGCGACAAGGTGAAGGTGCGAGAGAAGCTCGAGGTTTCTACTCTCAAACAAGCTGCGGCTCACGAGCCAGTTCATGCCTCGATTGAGCAAAACGACGACGATGATGACGACGACAAGCCTAGGAGGTCGCCGATGGAAGAACGAATCCTGGCGATTCAGAGGGCTTACGCCGACGATACTCAAATTCTCTCCCGGACCATTTCCTACGTCTGGATCGCCCTCGCCCGGGCTATGCGCCGAATCCAGGGCAAAGGCAACCAGACAGAAGGCGGCCTTCGCAAGGTCTTCACAGATGCTCGCCAAAAGGGCCGACTGACTAGCGACGTGTATGTTGCTGTCGCATTGCTGGAGTCTGTAGTCTACAAAGATCCTGTTGGCGCCAAAATCTTTGAGCGCGGCGCCCGTCTATTCCCCAATGATGAGAACTTCATGATAGAGTACCTCAAGTATCTCCATTCGAAGGACGACACAACAAGTAAGTTTCTTTCTCTTTTCGAGGAGGCCCAAGCTAATGGAGCGATAGATGCCCGAGTAGTGTTTGAAACATGCGTCAATCGACTTATTGGGAAACCTGAGACCTTGTTCAAGGCAAAGCCACTTTATGCCTACTTTCACAAGTACGAATCCCAGTATGGCGAGCTCTCGCAGATCTCGAAACTTGAGGAGCGAATGGCCGAACTCTTCCCTGGAGACCCCAAGCTCGAATACTTCGTTTCCCGATACTCCACTGACAAATTTGACCCTGTCGCCGCCCCCATCATCATCTCGAAGCCCATCCAGATGCGGCCAAGGCAGGCTCTTCCTGCGATGGAGCAACCATCCTCGGTGCGAAATAGCCCACTCCCCATGAGACAGGAACAGAGCCCACGCCCGCAGTATGTGCGGGCAACGGCCTCACCAAAGCGGCCCTTGGGCATGGATGACGACGAGTTAAACCCTCCCAAGAGACTTGCTAGAGGTGTCTCACCTTTGAAGGGCGCGGCTGGTCGCCGTCTTGACCAGCAGCGCCGTAACCAGGCGTCGGCTCTTCACCGTGACATTACCTTCCTACTCAACATTCTCCCACCCGCACAGAACTTCGACGCCCAGCGACTTAACCCCGCCGGGATGGTCTCCATCCTCCGTGACACAAACCTACCGGACTACGCGACGCTGAAGGCCAGTGGCGGTGGGCAGCCCCGCTATGCCAACCCGAGCCACGCGAGGCAGTCTTCTGGTGATTACGGCAACCGACCGCTGAGTCCTTACGGGCGGGTGACCTCTGGATCTGGTGGGTATAGGAACTCTCCATTGAGGCCAGAGGGCGGAAGTGGCTTCCCGACCAATCCTTACCCGCCTCCTGATGCGGGCGCTGCTCAACCTGCTTGGAATCAAGCACCCGGCGCGTATGGCGCACAGCCGCCGGGACAGTACGGAGGATATCGGTACTGACGGCAGATCTACAGCCGTCATACTAAACCGGGGCTGCTTGTGTCCCCCGACACGTTGTTATAATAGTTTGCTGGCGAGGTCGCCGTATCCACAAAATTCGGGACAAGTGCTGGGTATCAGGGCAGGGATGTCGTTTGTCTCGCATGGTATGGCGTTCGGTAGGGATCCAGACAGAAATGGCGGTCGTCGAGTTATACCTGTCAAGACGAAAGGGTTTGAGTGGTGACGGTGGATTGGTTGACGGTTTTTTTTTACCATAGGTATCTGCTATAGAGAAAGAATGCAGAGAAGTTGGATGGCGCTTGACTGGGTCCCTCGCTTCATGTTGATTGCAGTCCATGACGACAAGCCATTCCTGGTCTTACCTCGTGTCTGCCCGTTGCCCGTCTGCTGCTGTGTGTCATCGCATAGCAAACCGGGTTTAAGTTTGGCATCGCAGCGAAACTATGACTGAACAGAGTGACACAAGGTAACACGAAAGCGTTGATTCTTCCGATCCGGTGTTAGAGTCATATTAATAGGCACGTCTAGGCAGGGATGGAAGCAGGCTCGACAGTTTTTCTCGCAGGTACTTTATCATCTCGAAACTGCTGCTCCGCTTGGTCTGACGCAGTCATCCAACACTCACCAATCGACAGCCATTTCTCGCCGGCAAGCGACTTCGCGCCGTCTTACAACATCCGGGAGCTTGCAAAACTACGGCGCCGGGGCCAAGTTAACGGGAGCGAGTTGCGTGCGATTGGGAGAAGCACTGGCGGCTGGCCAACCAACGCACCGCATTGACACTTCATCACCCGTTCCGCGTGGAACCAGAGGCGTCAATCATTCCGGGAAGCTACAGCTGTCGGCCAGCTGTTCAGCAGTTGTTCAGGCAGCAGATTGGCAACGTCGACTGTTTACCGTGCAGGCGCGTAGCTGGTGTGCGCTTGCAATTTCGGTTTCCCCGGGCTTTCGTTCGTTCCTCGCTTCTCCTCTGTCTTGTCACTGGTCTCTGCCACCCAGTCTCGCATTCAAGCCCGCCTCCCTGACAACGCCGCAGGCAAGGGAACTGGGAACAGAAAAACGCTGCACCCTTTCTAAAAACAAGTCCGTGATTCACGCACACCGCATTCTGCTCAGGCCTCTCACTAGGTATTTAATCCCTTTCCCTTTCCTCACAACCTCACCCCCTTTACACTCTCTCTCTCACATACATCTCCAACTCCTCCTCGCAAGCACTTCACGCTTGCCATCCACGTTTGCAGCATCACGCTTGCTTGCCTTGGTTACAATATCTGACGTTCCGAAGATCCCAACACGAAGCGGTGCTCAGTGCTGAAACAACCACCCGGGGACAAGCAGTCACCGACTGCGTAAGTGCCATCTCCTGCATCAGCAACTACCCGTCCTCTCTCTCCTCTTTCCCCGGCTATAAAGTCTCATCATTCCCCCTCCTTCTCCCAGCATCTCTCTCCTTCTCATCACACAACAACACTCCTCACATTCTTATCCCTCTCTTCAACCACACTTCTTCTGAACCATTACTCACTTTAAACCCCAGGCCTCACCGTCAACATGTCTGACAGAGGTCGCTCCCCATCGCCTTCGGGGCAGGGGGGTCCCTCCGGCGAACGGCGACCATCCCAGTCTCCATCGCGTGCTCGACCTGACTCGCCTTCTCGGGCTTCCTCCGACAAGGCTGGCTCCGGTTGGAAGCAAGGCCCTGGCTTTGATCCTGCTCGGGGGCCTCCCAAGCAGGAGAAGGGCAACACTCGCATGGAACTTCCTCCAGATGCCTACATCCCGGAAACCAGGAAGGACGCTTTCACCCTTCGTGGAAACAAGCTGAACACCGAGGGTAAGCCGGAGCAGATTGAGGTCAACCAGTACCGGATGACCAAGTTCGACTTCACCAAGAAGATCTATCAGTACGATGCACGTTTTCTCATCCTTCCCCTTGGTAATTGTAGCATTGCTAACATGTCATTCAGGTCGTACTCTCTCCCGAGCCTGACAAGCTCGGCCCGGTCATGAAGAAGATTTGGGCCCACCCGAAGCTGGTGGAACAGCTCAAGCCCTTCAAGGGGGACAAGTGGCTCTTCGACGGCAAGAAGCTGGCCTGGGCCCCTGTCCTCCTTGACCGTGGCGAGATTCGGTGCAAGATCGATTTGGACGAGGGAAAGCGACCTGCAGGTGCCAAGGCCCGCCCTGGTGCTGACTTCCATGTCACCATCCGGAAGACCACTGAGATCAAAGTGGGCGCCCTCGCAGGATATCTTGATCACAAGGTGTCGTTCAGCAACTCGGTTCAGGAGGCTCTGAACTTTCTCGATCATCTGGTTCGACAATGGCCATCCCAGCACATGCTGGCCATCAAGCGAAACTTCTACAAACAGAATGCGCCCGGAATTCCCCTAAACGACGCACTCGTCGAAGTTCACAAGGGCACATACGCCTCTGTTCGTATGAGCCACAACTTGGCCCGCGGTGGAGTCGGTCTTGGTTACAACATTGATGTTGCCAACACTTGCTTCTGGATCGGAGGACTGTCGTTGGACAGGATGGTGTGCAACTTTCTTACCACCTGTGACAGGCGCTGGCAAGGCCTGACCCCCATCACCGTCTCGCAGGCGCTCAGGCCTGTCAAAGGCCGCGGTGAACGCTGGGAGTCGTCCGATGCCTTCAAGCAGCTTCGAAAGCTGAGACGCCTCAAGTTCAAGGTGCGACACGCCAATCGTCGCAATGACGATCAGGTTTACACTGTCTGCGACTTTATCTTCAACGACAAGTATGGCCCCGACGGTGCCACGGCTCGAAATGTCACCTTCACCAATGCGGAGGGCGAAGAGATGTCGGTGCAAGATTACTACCGAAAGAAATACAATGTGACGCTTCGACACGCCAATCTTCCCCTCATCGATGCCGGCAAGGGAGGCAAGATTCCCATGGAGCTTGCTTGGGTCGAGAACATGCAAAGGTACCCGTTCAAGTTGAACCCCGATCAAACCGCCGCGATGATCAAGATTGCTGTCACCCGACCCAAAGAGCGCAAGGCCAACATTGAGAGCAATGTTCGCGACCTTCAGATCGGAAACGACCCCTACCTGAAGGAGTATGGTGTCTCCTTTGAAACCCAGTTTGCCAAGACGGATGCCAAGGTCCTCCCAGCTCCTATTGTCAAGTTCAGCGTGGGCACCTGTGAGCCCAGATTTACGGGTCGATGGGACCTGCGCGGCAAGAGGTTCTGGAAGCAAAACGTGGCGCCCCTCATGAACTGGGGCTTTATCATCCTGGAGCAAGGTGTCTCACTGGCAGCCTTGAGCCAGTTTGCAGCCTCGTTCAAAACTGCATTCATTGCTCATGGTGGAAAGGTGACTAAAGAACCCAAGCTGCTCAACCCACCTGGAGACATGAGATTCAATGCAGCCAACGCCATTGCCTGGGCCCATGAGGAAATCACCAAGTCCAGTGGCTACACTCAGCTTCTGTTTTGTGTCATGTCGAAGCGCAACAGCGGAACATACGAGCGCTTGAAGAAGTCGGCTGATTGCCGCTTTGGCATTCTGACCCAGGTTATTCTCGGCAACCACGTGACGAAGAACAACGGTCAATACCATTCAAATGTTTGCATGAAGGTCAACGCGAAACTGGGTGGTGCCACTGCTTGCACCCCCCAGCTTTGGAAGACGCCAACATACTTCCCTGAGAACCGACCCACCATGATGATCGGTGTCGATGTCTCCCACGGGGCCCCTGGCGGCAACTCTCCATCCACTGCCGCCATGACCATGTCTGTGGACAGAGACGCGACTCGGTATGCTGCTCTTGTTGAGTCGAACGGGTACCGAGTTGAAATGCTCACTCCTGCCAACGTGCGCTTCATGTTTGGACAGCTTGCCAACTATTGGAGAGAGGGCCACAACGGCGGCTTCCCTGCCCACATCATGTACTTCCGCGATGGTGTTGGCGAGGGTCAGTTCGCTCAGGTGTTGGACCAGGAGATTGCCGAGATCAAGTCTTTCCTCCGTGACAAGGTTCCCGCTGGGAAGGCTCCTCCTAAGTTTACTGTGATTGTGGCTACAAAGCGCCACCACATTCGGTTCTTCCCCCAGCGCGGCGACAGGAACGGTAACCCACTGCCTGGAACGTTGGTCGAGAAGGAAGTCACCCACCCCTTCATGTGGGACTTTTACCTCAACTCGCATGTGGCTATCCAAGGAACGGCACGACCGGTCCACTACCACATCATCCTTGACGAGATGAACATGCCGGTCAATGATCTCCAAAAGATGATTTACCAGCAGTGCTACTCATACGCCAGATCAACTACACCCGTTTCTCTTCATCCGGCAGTCTACTACGCGCATCTGGCTAGCGACCGTGCCAGGGCTCATGAGAACATTGCGACCAGCGAGGGATTCCGAGCTGGCCCCAAGGGTCACGAAATGATTCGTGACAAGGTCGCCCGAGGCATGTCGGTTGGTGGACCAGAGCGAGGAATCGAGGCACCGCCTCTCCTTCGACTCGGAGGAAGCGTTGATGCGCAGAAGGGCCCCGTGGAAGGCGAGGAACGACAGCGAAACTTCTTCCGCAAAACGATGTGGTACATCTAAGCGGAATAGGGTGGTGTTAGGTGACGATGGAGAGACGGCAGAGCGGGTAAGAGTTGACAGCGGAGGTTGAGCTGTCATTGAGCGACTTGAAGAAGTTCCAAATCACAAGGAACTAGCGTTTGATCAAAGATCATACAACAACAACAAAAGGGGCGACCGGATTGGCGGGAAGTGGCGGCGGAGGTTCTTTTCATAGGTACTTTGTCTACCAAGATCAATTTACCAAACTTGCGATACTCAACAGACCAGTGCATATTTCTAAATCCGTGACTGTGACACAGAGTTTGATGGGATTGCCACGCCCAAGAGGGCCTGGGTATCGTAGTAAGACTTATCCTTGTGCCTCAGGTCTTGCCAACGACGCTCGAGGAAGTCAGTTTAAGCTCGTAGATGCATGGACCAGGACTGACATGGTTAGAATACTTCGCTTAATCCACAATCCGGCCAGAGGCACTAAGTTGCAAGTTGCTTTTTCGAGAGGAGACAGGGATAGGGAAGGCAAAAGGCCAGGGGGTCTTGGAGGGGAGTGTGCATGTTTCGCCACGAGGGTGAGCGGGACGTGGCTGAGTGGCGACTTTGGTGAGAAGAGATGTATCATAATGGCAAGGGAGCAATCACATCCAAGAGTTCCAGGGGCGTGTGTCCCAGGCTTCCCCTTGATCCTTCCGCACCCTCATCTCGGAAGACTTCCGAACGGGTGAAATCTTAGTTCAACTTCGTCTCTGGTGCGGGGATTGGTCTGAGGCGTGGGGGCTAGCTTGTGAGAGCGTGGAGAGATGAGGCTATTTGTGAGATAGGGGGAACATCTCAGAGCCACACGGTTTGGACATGAGGGCTTTCCATCTTGTTTCTCAGGGGTACTTGCTGTGAGGAACCGGGATGGGAGCTCCAAAGATTGCTGCACTGTCGTGTGGTGATGGTGATGGTGTCCATGGAGTGTTTCGTTGGTTGCGGCTTGTAGCCAAGTCTAGCACGGCGGGCATTCGTGGTCTCGGGCTTTCGCGGTCTCAGGCAATGATAGAGGCAGTGATAGAGTCAAAGTAGGTTGGCACAAGCAAAGCCCTTCAAAGAGGATGTAGCATAGAACCAGACAAGCACTTGATGCAGCTGATACTTTTGTCTCCACTAAGGTCACCAACAGATCCGGGCTGCTTCACGTATGTGTACGGCACGGCCGATAGATGTCGAGACTGCAATCACTTGGGCCTTATCTAAAGTTAGTAGACTAAACGATTGTTATATAGTCCTCTTACAAGCCGAATAGTAGGCCCATCTCCACATGTTTGGGGGTAGGTGAAGAGCGGAGACACCCCCAAGACCAAGAGAGCATAACACCCCCAACTAAGCCTCCACAGGTGATGGAGAAACGGATCAGCCCTATCCTCTCCCAAAGGCTTGAAATGAACTGATCGGATTGGTGGGAATTTAAGAATCCGTCAACGGTCGGGAGACAGATGATCCCCATGGGGAAGATGGGGAATCGGGTGGAGGCGAAGCTTTAGAACTCGGTAGTTCTTCTGTGACCGAACAATGATGGCTGATTGCCATGTTCAAGTTCCTCCCTCTCCAAGTTCAAGCCCAAAGCTCATTAGAAGCATGGCCGATGGCTGTTAATCATGCAAGGGAAAACACCGCAGAGCTGAGATTGGGCGGGAGCGACATCGGCTCGGGCACCGTCGACCAGGGTGCGGATCTTGCGTCTCGTACGTAATCTTCAACTTTGACCTCACTTCACCTCAGGCAAACTCGTCGCTTGACAACCCCGGAAACAGAGACTTTTCTCGCCGTCAACATGCGCGCGCCAACGCAGCTGGTGAAGCAAAATGGAGATCCAACTGACTCGGTCGCCAACCGCGGGAGTCGACACTGTCGATCCTTCTCCTCATTCTTCCCTGGTGTCATCCATCGTCCGCCGTGTGGAGATCACAGCGCACCACAACCCGCATGCCCCACAACATCAACGTCCCGAGCGCGGATGCAACGATCCAGGGCCGTGATCGGTTCGGGTATAAAGACCGAGAGGGCTGATTTTCCCTTATCATCAGCAGCAACTTGCATCCCGATCTCCGCGCCCAACGGAATAGCTGCGTCCCAGTCCTACGTTGGCAACCGACGAGAAACCCGGCCGACGACGTTCAAAGCGCAGCCATGGCCGACCAGCGAGATGCCATGTCCCCAGAGATGGACACGGAGGCCCGCGGAACCGATGCTGTCCGCCCCGGGCCGGAGAGTGAAGACGGCGACAAGCCCAACGTCGTCACGGCGGAGAATCAGCCGCACGAGATCTACGTCGAAGCCCTCGCGCGGTATCCCAACGACGAGGCCATCGACGCGGCCGCAGAGAAGCGAGTCTTGCGAAAACTAGACCGACGCATCATTCCATTGCTCGGGATATGCTACTTCTTCTACTATGTCGACAAGACCACCCTGTAAGCTGGCCGCCCAGCCCTACGACTCCCCGTGTTAACCCCTCACCCAGCTCCTACGCCGCCATCTTCGGCCTCAAGGAGGACCTCGACCTGCAGGGCGACGAGTACTCCTGGCTCTCGAGCAGCTTCTACTTCGGCTGGCTCATCTGGGCCATCCCGTCCAACCTTTTGATGCAGCGCAGCCCGCCCGGCTACTATCTCGCCTTCAACATCTTCATGTGGGGTGCCCTCCTCATGGCCCAGGCCGCCGCCAAGAGCTTTGGCGGTCTTCTTGCGCTGAGGGTTTTGTCCGGTGCATTTGAGGCCATCGCCGACCCGGCTTTTATGCTCATCACGTCCATGTACTTTACCCGTGCCGAGCAGCCGTCCCGTATCGCCGCGTGGTACGCCTTCAACGGCATCGGCGTTGCTGGCGGTGGTCTAATCGGTGCGTCGTCTTCCAAGCTCCCCATTTCTTACACGAACTTGATGCTAACATTTCTAATCGACACTTAGGCTACGGCATCGGACACATCAAGGGTGCCCTCGAGTCCTGGCGGTACGAGTTCGTCGTCGTCGGCGCCTTCTGCTCATTCTGGGCCATCGTGCTCGTCTTCCTGCTGCCCAACTCGCCGCGCACCATCTGGGGCTTCACCTACGACGAGAAGCTCATCATGATTGCCCGCATGCGCCGCAACCAGACGGGTATCGAGCAGCGCAACATCAACTGGGGCCAGGTGAAGGAAGCCTACCTCGACTACAAGACGTGGCTGTTCACGCTGCTGGGCTTCGTTTCCAACGTGCCCAACGGCGGCATCTCCAACTTTTCCACCCTCGTCATTAAGGGCCTTGGCTTCGACACGCTGCACACGGCCCTGCTCGGCATCCCTCAGGGCGCTCTCGTTGTCATCTGGATTGGCCTCGGCGCTCTGGCTAACAAGTACATGCCGCCCAACAGCAGGACTCTGGTTAGCGCCATCTTTATGATTCCCACAATTGCCGGAGCGCTGGGTTTCCTTCTTGCCCCTGCTGACGCCTACGTCGGACGATTGATTTGCTTGTAAGTCCAGCTGCTCTCCAAGACCTTGGCTGTTTGAACAACCTGACCATTCCTCCAGCTACCTCACCGGCTCATACCAAGCTTCGTTCGTCATCTGCCTCTCTCTCATCACATCCAACACCGGTGGCCAGTCTAAGAAAATGATCGTCTCCGGCATGATTTGGTTCGGTGCCTGCGTTGGAAACATCGCCAGTCCATTCTTTTACCGCTCCGAGCAAGCACCCTCGTATCACCTCGGTATCAGCTCCCTACTCGTGTCCAACTGCATCGAGGTCGCCCTGTTCTTCGTCTTCCGCTACAGCTTCATGTGGGAGAACAGGCGCAAGGAGAAACAGCGTGAGGCCCTGCGCGCCGCTGGCAACAGCATGACGGATGTGCTCAATGCCACGGCTTTTAGGGACATGACGGACAAGGAGAACCCCAATTTTGAATATGTGTATTAGCGCTATGATTTGGATTGTGTTTGTTGGCTGGAGTTGCCACACCTACCCCATTCAGTAGATGAGTAATGAGTTATGACTCCTTGCGAGTAACGCGCGACCCGTTCGTTAAATTTCGTGGCCAGGACCGAATTCTTTCAGTCTTGATAAAGATCCCTTATTGGACCCGTCGCTGTTTGTACCAGGAGCGGGAAGAACAGGACATTGAAGTGCTTGACTTCTAACCTTTTGAAGGAGCCTTACTAACTTATTTCCCTACTACATCGAGGAATCCATTGGAGTTAAGGTATATTTTACTACTCTCAGCGAACCAGGCTCGTCTCGGTACATACTAACAATGTGTAGATCAAGTGGATTGGAACCGGCCCGTACCGCAATGATCACGCGGTTTTGAACGGCCGCAGGTGGCATGAGATTAGTATACTTGACATCCCGTTTCTGCATACGGAGGGCTCTTTCAAAAGTCTTGTCCAAGCGCTAGTAACATCATATCCATTTATCCCTGTCGGTTACCTGAGATACATAAAGCTGTCACAGTCTCGTTAAACGGCCGCTGTAACTTCAGGAGTAGTACGCTGCTGATCAGGATATAGCGGTTGCTGTGTGCTGTAGCCTGCTATCCTTTAGGGCCTATAGAAATCAGGAAGTACTTAGTGTGCTTATTATCTAACCTAATGATTAGGACTTACTTCTTATGGACAAGACTTTTGAAAGGGCCCTCCGTAAGATACATCCCGATTCCTGTGAGCAACCCGTGTGAGATGGTTCTTTAACTGCCTCTCATAGAAACCGCGGGTATTCTCCTTCCACCGACCGAATGTGCATATTAAACGGAGATGCATAGTGGACTGGTAATGCGGTGGGGGGTACAACAGGAAAGAGAAGGGAATCATTTATGCGTCAAAATGAGACAAAAAGCCCACCAAGATCAATAGCATAAATACCATCAATCACATAAATTTCTAATTAATTTAGTGCTATGTATGAATTATTTAATGTTTATTCCGTATTATGCATGCGATGCTCATTCGCATCCTCGTGACCTGTTGTTCCTGCTGTAGGGTACCCTAGCTAGACCCCTTTCCCTCCGTCTTTCCCCGAATCCCCCGCATGGCATGGCAATTAAAAACCTCATCCTTCAGGGGATGTTAGAAGAGTCAGAAGAGTCATATGGAGAAAATAGTCTCTAATTGGGAGAATGAACTCAAAGCCACCGCTTCGTCCTGATGCGACGTGGCATCCGTGACTACAGTATGTGGTTCTTGACCTCTTCACGGAAGCTAGGAATGGATATCTCAGCACTGCTATGGACAGAGTGAACGGCTAGGTAACTCCAACATCATGTACATAAAGTCTGCATTGCGGTAATATGCATGGTGGAACTTAAACAATAAGCGTTGCGACGCATGAGGTAACGCCCTCTACGAAGGCCACAACACAAGACTGCAAGCTGACAATGGGTCTCCGCTGGCGCATGGGCGGCCAGGGAGATGAGAGATGAAGAAATGAAGAAGGGCAGGGTTCGCGGGTAAGGCTCTGGATACCTCGCCCGGTGAAGTCTGAAACCCTTCAGAACCAAGATACGCGACGTCGACCAGGTCGATCCCATGCTCGATCGTGACAGCCGGGGTGCCGTGGAGGGGATGGAAAACCTGGAGTACGAGCCGACCGCTGCCGTGGCCATGGAAATGCTAATCCAGGGCCCTGGCCACGATCTCCTGTTTGCTCTGGCCGAGGCCTGCCTGAGTGGATCGTGGAGGCCAAAAGGACCCCGGTCCGCCTTCATCTTAGCCTCTAGGCCAGCACGACCGACGGTAGAATAAATGCTGAGCGTACCAGGGAGCAAGATCGACGGCTACGGCACGCCAGAAAGGTTGTACTCTCCCACATGTACGCTACCCATGCACCCCACACATTCTCCAGATGCTGGTGGGTCGCGGCTAGATCTGCCGTCTTGAGGCTGTCGTGACTTCTGGCCATGCCGCCAAGCGCTAGACAGGGCTGATGAGTTTAAGCGAACTTCCCAAGGCGCCGTTGCATGGTCAATTGCAAGGGCTCACCTCCATATCCGCATACCCCTGACCTCAGGTTCGTACGTGCCAGGACCGCGAGTCCCCACGATCTAAGAGTGGGGATAGAGATTGACCGCGCGAGGAGCAAGGAATGGGAATGAGCAAAAGGTGGATGAATCAAGCGAAGGACCGTTGGTGCAAATGAACAGCCGCGAACAAAAGCGTCTCTAGCTGTGGAGCGTGGACGTCATGGGCTTTGAGCCGAGAGTTGATCACTTCGGTGGCCCACTTTTATTCGCTCGTCAGGAAGGGAGCCATCTGGCTCTTCTTGGGAACCGGTATCAACAGAACCAAGCCAGCTGTTGAAGCCATGGCGATCAGTTGGTGTCAAAAGGGCGTGGAGTCCACAAAGCAACGCTCGAGGGCCTCGGTGGCGTTGACCGAGTGCCTTGTGCGCGATGGGGATAACCAAACAAGACAAGTTGTGCCTCGAGCCCCGGCCAACTGTGAAGATGCGTGGCAGATACTGTGTTTGTCGTCGACTCTGGCAAAAGACTTGCGGAACAGAGGTCCAGTCATTGCAACGAAGCGACAGGACATGTTGGTTTGGGTGTCATCGGCGGTCTGTTTCCGGTTCTCGGGCTGCGTTACGGTGCCTCTGTTGTTTGAATGATTGAAAATGCTCATCTGGCGGCTTGAGCAGACCCCTTGTCGATGATGGGGAGCACAAGAAGGACTAACGGCAAGTCACAAATCTCTCTCTGCGCCACTTCCAGAGTCGGTGGTGACCGACTGTCTTGAATTGGGCACTGAGGCAGAGCTGGTTGGCCGGAGGTTCTTCTTGACGTAGCACAGCATGCAGAAATCGCCGACGCAAAGCTAACGACAGAGCCGAGAAAAAGGAGTGGCTTCTTTGACGCGTTTGGTCGCGTAGCCGCGGATGAGGGTCGTTCGCACCAAGAGATGGTGGCACTGGGGGGTTCAGATGGCTGTTCGTTCGATAGCGGATCGCGACATGAGGATGTTGACTTTATCTCTGCTTGCAAGAGATAGTTAGCAGAGGTCTTCAGACGGACAGTGAGTATAGCGGAAGGGGGAGGGCTTGGTGATAGGCGTACAGCAGAAGGAGAACACGCGAAATGCAAGCCTGCGTCGACCAGAGGGTGTCTCTCCAGACATGGTATTTTCGTCGAAGAACCCATACTGGGCAGTTGCAAGACGGTGTACGTGCGTCCTGATGATACTCAGCTCTTGTGGAGATGGATCTCTTTGTTGACGTAGCCGGAGAACGGGGAGCAGATTATCATGCACCAAGGCTGTCAGCCATCCCCTGGAGTTGGAGGCCAGGGTCCATGACAACAGATTGCAGAGGGTGGGTAAAGAGCCAAGAGACATTACTGGAGGAAGATGGGTGGGTTGTATCTGGGGGGATGGACCGACCAAGTCCAGTCCGTCACGGCACGGAAAGAGCGGCCTGAGTGACTGACGGGGATTGGTGAGGTGGACTGGATGCAGGGGCGCGCCAGGGCTACTTTGAGGCTGGTGATGGGCCTCTGAAGCTGGGTGGTGCCAAGGACTAGGGAGAGAAGAGAAAACAAAACTGATAGGATCGGAGGGGAGACACGGGGCTGTACTCTGTAGCGTGCAGGATTTTGTGGCGGATGGAGGTGAGTGTGGGAGATTGAGGTGGTCTGGTTGGGGAGCATGAGACAAGGCAAGCACCCACACCACAGAAGCCGGTTGGGCGCTGAGAGCGGAGAGTGCTCTGACGGCAGAAGCGAGTACGCCTGTATTGTTGGCTGATGGAATAGGTAGGGAGCTGGAGGGGAATCGAGGCATCAGGCTGTGGCCGGGCTCGGTTGATCTTTCCGGACGAGCTCAACCAGGAGAAGAAACTGCCGAATGCAAAGCGACAGAGTGATTCAATGATCAGGAGAGCAGCGACTGCTTCATTCCCTGAACTTAATATTGAGGAAACCGACGTGTCACATCGTCCACTTAGCCTTTCACGGTCTCGACTTTTGCACGGCGGCTTCAGGACCCTCCCCCTCCCTTCTTCCGGACTAGGTAGGGAGAAGAAGGCAACGCAAGGCGACCACTCGGGGGCCGACCCGGTCGACCCAGCAAATTCGGCAAAACAGGACATCGTGGGATCCCTGGGCTTCGTCAACATCCTGGGGAAGTCATCTGGCCTGATACCTACCAAAAGCAAACAGAGGCTCGAAGCTGGCGGCGGACACTCATCTCGTTTCTCGCAACAGGGGCTATGACGACCCCGATCTGCAGGCTCCGCTGTCCGAGCACTGTCAACTCATGGATTGCTCTACCTACCTATCCATAGTACAACTTGCGTGGGTGGATGTGTGCCTCCGGTGTGTGTCGGTCGGCTCGGGGCATGGGGGATCAGACCAGAATGCGACCGGCTGAATGAGAATTTGGTGGTCTCTCTCAGCCTTGATCGGCTGCAGCGCCTCAATTAATACTACCTCACCTGCAGCTTACCGGACGCTTTGGGCTGGATCGGACCCGGGACGGATTACGGATGGCGTGAATGTCTCAACGAGGAGATGAGTATATCACAATTGAATTGCATGTTTCTCGCCCCTGGAAACGATTCCGCACACGATTTTTCAGACAAGAACAGTCTCCCGGACGCAAATTTATTTTCTTTAGTTTCCCCCGCTGGCGTCGAGCTGACCGTGGCGGAGAAATTGGCGACTTTGATCCCTTTCACGGACCGGCAAAACCATGCACGCACTGGTGCGCGCGTGAAAAAAATGTGTATTATTCCGGGGTCCGGGGTGTTGTAACGAGAATCGAAGGGGGTTTACGGGACACAGTGAGCCTAATGCGTCTAGGGAAGACGGACTCTCAGGCTGAGAGAGCCTCTTTTAAGGTCCGAAATTGTTGGTTCACTGCGTGACGCTTGGGGTTACAAGGCGTTCCTGAGAGGGCCCTTCGAGCGAATGTGGAGGGAGTCATGAGAGGCATCCAACACTGCGCTTGGCCACAAGTATTGGCCGCTGGTGTAGACCACGCTGCGGCTAGGCTCCCTCAGGAAATCCTACCTTGTTCCTTCACCGGCTTTCCGTAGACTCGGCGGCAGCCTGCCGAAGGGCCAGACCTACAACCAACAGCCGACACAATGCCTACCCAGGTAACCGGAGTAAGAAAGCCAATGCCGCCGCACGGGGGAAGGCTGGGATACCCCACGAGGACATCCCCTCAATGGCAGTTGCACTCGCCGAATGTACGTCAATCGTATGATTGTGCCCTGGGCCATTCAATCCCGATGGGGCCATCACAGAGTCCGTCCCCGCCTTGCTGTGCCCTCCCTTTCCTTGCAGCTTATCGCCGCATTTTCGACTCTGTTCTTTCCGCAGCCCCGTCTCTGCTTCCGCCCGGCTGCACGGTGACTGACTTCCGAGACGAGTCAGGCAGTCCTCGCTGATCCATTAGGCTGACTAGGAAAAGGGGCCAAAAGTTCTAATCGCCTCAACGTACGTGCACTGCAGACTTTTTCCCTGGGACGCAAAGGGGGGTGAGTAACATGTCAAGCAAGAACCCGTCATTTCTGGGGTGAATCAACGCCTAGCACCTCCATCACAATGGATCTTATCTTACACCTAGACGATCGAGATCGCGAACTAGCAAAGGCGCGGAAGCATGACGAGGATACCCGGGGCCGCCAAGCGAGCTGATGAGCTACCAGTGGGGAACGACTGATTGATGTCCCACCAAAACACCGGTACGCCCGTTCCATCACCTTGCCACAGGTCATGTTTTCACGTCGGGCGGTGGTCGCGCCCGACCCTTCCGTTGCGACATTGTTCTTGTCAGGTCTTGGGATGAAACAGCGGTAAGAAGAAGCAAAGAAAAGGAAATGAGACGGAGAGTGGCAAAACCCGACACCGAATATCCACGACATCCAAAGAAGAAAGGGCTGAAGATGCTGGCACTCTTTTGACAGCGATACATACAGGAACAGCAGCAGGCCCATCCACGCCAAACCGTGTTCGCAGGTAGTTAATGCAGGTTATATTACGCCAGTAGATGAGTAGGGCAACTAGGAACTGATGGTGATTGGTCTTTATTCAAACAGTACGGAGTACACGCTGTCCAATCCTTTTTGGCGTACCAGGTCTCAGTTCTCCACCTGCCAACACCCACAGCCCAAGACGCTGGGAATGCCCACGACCCATTGCTGGTGTGGGCCGTCCCCCAGCGGAGCCATCTCAATCGTTCTTGTGCAGAATCCATTTGCGGATACTCCCTAGCCTCCCAACAGCTCGGTAACTAGTAATATCGCCGTACTACGTACAAGGCCGCCATGACTCCGTGCCTACGGTCAAACTGCCGCCGGCTCAGTGTCGCCGTCGGTGCTGGAGTTGTCTGGTGCCGTGTCCGCACTTGTCACACCCGACGGTGGCGGGGGGAGGATGCGGCGCAGGGAACCAAGGCCGGTCCTTGCGGCTTAGGAAGCCTTGCACAAGGGAGTTTTTATCCACGTCGTTCTTCCGCTCGGGACGCTTGCGCTCTGGTTCAACCTGAACGTCATTGTCGCCACACCTTTTATATGTCTTAGTCAGAAATCCCGACACAGTAACTTGTAGCAGCAAGGGGGATAGGGGATAGGGGGTAGGAGCATACTGAGAAGTGGTGCTGACGTTCATCTGAACTGAGGATGTGTCGTCGTTGGCCATTGGATAGGAGGTGTGTTGTGCTTAGCAATTTCCAGCAACTAAATAATACGAAGGGAGAGTCTGAGATGTAAGAACTGAATGCCCGACACGAAGACCCAAGGGATCCGTGGGCCGTATTTATACACCATGGCAAGTCTTGGCCAGACTCCTCGAGTCCATGGGGCGTTCGTTGTCGACAAGCTGATTTACTCCTAAACGCACTAACACCTGTGTTGATTCACCTAGCAAAAGCAACAACCGAGCGGATGTAAGGGGGAAAGGGCAAAAAAAAGCAAAAAAAAAGAGGCATGACGATGAGTGAGCTGGGTGTATTGTGAGTTGTGACCTATCGCCGCCTACCGATTCAGCGTACTACGTACCTAGTAGGGCCAAGCTAATGCCACTCCACGCACGGACCATTCCCGGCTTGGGACCACGCGCTTCATTGTGAGAGACACTTAGCAGGAGGGCAGACACTCGAGTCGGCCCAAACGGGTTCCTGCCGAAGACAGCAAAAAGCAATAATGGGACTTTGGACTCGGCGGGGGAAAAAGGCCTGCAGCGGGCTATCTGCTTGGGATCTGCTTGGGATCTGAATGGTGTGTGAATAGATATCTCTGCCGCACACCCTCAGCCCGCTAGGCCCCCTACTTACAGGCGGCCACTAGGGCTCCCCCTAAGTGACCGGCCTCAGCACCCTCCCGCCGCTATCGCTTAAGTTACTTGTTGCTGTAGGAAGATCGTCGTCCCCCAGAATGGCACGGAGAGAAAAAATTATATTAACAGCCCATGTCATGATCCTGGTATCGTGCGCCGGCGCACACTAAAACCTCGCTTCTCGGTAAGGCCCTTGTTAGCGCTTTCTGAGCATTCGCGTCGCGCACCGGCCATCATACGAATACGTGAGCAACCAGGGTCCAGAAACCACAGTAGGTTCGGAATGTGCAAGCATTCGGAGATAACATCGTCAGCAACTGCGTAGTATGCTTAGTAGGCTATGGAAATGAACTGAGCCACCTGCGGTTCCTCGATTGAATAGTCTGTCTGCCTTGGGAACTGGCAAGGTAGCATGCGTCAACCAACAACTAGCATAGCCACAAGTCGGTTTTGGAAATCGAAAAACGGCGGGCCCTTCGCCAATCTTGTGACGTTAGCAGGGCCGCAAGGACCGTAGCACAAGCTAGCAACTGTAATAAGTCGTACCAAATGCATCAAGCCCGAACGTGGGGAACCGCAGCGCTGGAAGGAGGGATTTCAACTATCCCATTACTGAAACCAACCAGTAGCGGAAGATATTTGTGACTACAAAGGATACAAAGAAGCCCAAACTACGGAGCCTACGGTATGATATCCCAGTAACTGCCTGGCTCCTTGCTCCGTGTCCTTCAGTTTCCCAAAGCCTCCTCTAGCCAACCGGTCCAACTCCTAAACGAATCCAATGAAAATAGCCAGAGAACCGTGAAGCTACGGCGAAGCATACCACCTCGAGTATGCCGAGCTATTTTCGGGTTGTTATTGTTGACGTCGGTGATGAACTGGCACTACAACTTGGGTAGTTTGGGGAGCCAGTCTTTTGGCGTTGATGGGATCTTTTGCTGAGATCAGGAGGAAGCAGCTCATCGGAACTGAAATGGAACGGTTCGTCATTTCCTCTCGTTGATCGCTTTCCGTCCTGGACCGTCGCGTTTTAGTAAAGTGTCCTGACTGCCGGGGTACAGGAGAAGGGGAAGTAGGAGAGACAGGGAAAGAACAGAAGTCAGGAGACTTACAGCACTAACTCAACATCACCAGGTTCAGCCTTCGTAGAAGATGTCATGTTGAAGAGATTCTTCTTGATCGTTTTGTCTCGGGAAGGGCTTGACTCAAATAGTGTTGGCCGGCGGCTCGAGGGAGTGGGAGAAGGGAACTGCCGTGTCAACTGTTTGAAAGATGGAGAGCTGGGACATCAAAGCGAGAGAGGCGATGTCGTATTTGAATGCTAGTCGTCATCTGATACCCGCTTCGACGCGAGATCAGCACGCCGTGTATTCATGCGTGGACGCGCCCACGGGAGGCGGAGGCGTGACGCGAGCCGACAGACAACGAGCGGTCATCACAACGCAAGACACGCGACGAGAAACATACGCCGCTGCAACGCAAGACACGCATCAAGCAGCTTGCGAAGCCACTCCTGTCGTGCCAGAAACCAAAGCAAGCAAGACGAGTGGTTGGGAGACGTGGAAAGCCAATGGACGAATAGTCGGGGATCATGTATGAGGATTCAAAAGGAGGATGAAGGAGTCTAGAACACGGACCGGCCACAACGTGGGGGATTACTGGTAAGACGGAGACTGGAAGAGGGATGGATGTGTGACAGTGTTGGTAGACAAGGTAAAGGGGGTTGGGGGCCCGCGGGCCAAGGCTGTCAGTGTGTTGGCCGGAGCCATAGTGAACGAGCCGCAAGACCCCGGCCTGCATTGACGCCCTCCAAATGTATTTTCTACGGAGTTCCATTCACGTCTCTCGGGAGTCGGGAGTCCCGGCAACCACGCCATGTACGGTACGGCTGCGGACAACCACCTTTGTTATTCGCCTGTGGAGATTCTAGAGCTGGAAGCGCCCAGCCAGACCGTTGAATACTGGCAGGCGAGAGCCCCGTAAGACAGCGATGGCCAGCACACGTCGAGGCCTGGGCGAATTCACCTAACGATGGCGCTCCCTCATGGCCTTGGTCGTCATCACTCACCATCCTGGGCCTCATCCGAGACTGCGCCATCCGCCTCCCCACCGCAACCGACCGGGAACAGACATGGAAATGATATTTTATTAAGCTCATGACTACCTTGGGACTTTTGCGCCCAAGGCAGATCTCGCCTCCCCGGATCTGGGAATCCTGGCAAGACATCATTCCAACCCAGCTCTAGCCTCCCCACCGGCTGACCTCGTGCCGTGTCTCTAGGTTTCGACTAGCCTGAGTCAACGTCTGCAAATGTCTTCAGTTTCTTGACCGGTTTCCGTTGATTCGCTGGCCAAGGGCTCATCGGCGCAGCCAAGTCGGCCGTGTTTCACCCGTCGGAACCGGGTCTCCAGCCGCTGACCTCCCTGGCGATGTGTCGATTTCAGGGCTTGCTTCCAGCCATCTCGTCCGCAGCTGTCCTCCAATGGCGTCGCTTGCTTGTTTTTTTGGTGTGTTGTTGGGATTTCAAATGACACGCGGAGATACTCCGTCTCAGCCACCTACGCACGCGTTGATGAAGCAAAACGAAAAAAAAACGAAAGAAAACGACAGCGGAACCGTAGCAACCCCTGTGCCTCGCCCAATTCATCAATTCCAAGTTGTCTATCCCTTGCAGAAACGCTGTTGCTCTACCCCAGGGGGTCTTACCTGCAGGTCTTGTGGGCGCATGCTTGCGTGCTGGAGCCTATTAGGAGGTTGGGGAAAGCGAAACGAACATGTTTGCCATATCGGACCCCAAACCGTCAGCCTCACAATTAAGGCGGTGGAGACGCTAGATTACCTATCTGCTGGTCCTGCCAACACATGTGGCCGGTCCCATGGAGGTGGGATTGCGTTTTGGACCCAAGTCTGGGTTGGAATCTACCTCATCCCCACCGATGGGCACTCTCCAACTTTCTCTCGTTGCTCCACAGAGCACACTCGGTAATTAAAACATAATAAGTAATCTCTCTTCTAGACACGATAATTAGGAAATGTCTCATCCGAGGTTTTCCTTTTCACGCCGTCGCCAACTGTATCGTACACATAGACAAATGAGCTCCGCTATCCTGATAGGGCTCCACGTGTCAGATCACGCACTGGGCCACACTGCAGGTCCTGCATGTTAGATTGGTCCCTGAGAAGCCCAGTTTCAGGGTTAATCATGCAATATAAAGGAGTTTAATCTTACGACTTTTTCTAACTGATAGACACGCCAAAAGGGAGTGTCCAGGGGTCGTATTCTTTTTTTCGTGTCGCACAAGGGGAGTTGACGTAATTGGAGCTGGAGATACGTTTCGCATGGGGTAAACACGATGAATGCAAAGAGAACCTCAATCTTTCTCAACACACCGTTAGCAGGGGTATTGCCTGTAGGCTTAACCCCCCCCCCCCCCTAGAGAGAAGGACAGGACTTCTTTTGACTATCGTCCGACCATACAGAGTATACCGCCCAAGTCGGGTTGGCCGCGTCCCGACTTTGCCGCTTGGGTGCATAGATCCCCGTCTGGAGCACTGACCCAACATCCAAATCGGGACGGGAGCATTCTCGAAGGTATGACAAGTCCATAGTCGTCGGGCGTTGGTCCTCTGCAGCTAGGTTTCCTTTGATGTACTGAATGAGACAAAGTCATTCAAAGTGGTAATGTCTCCCTGTCTGCTGATCTGCACTGTAACACGGGCTCTCACCACCATTATCCAACCAAGACAGGCCAGGACCCGACGACGCTTAGATAAGCCGTGTCTGCAATGGAGCAAATTATTGCTGTTCACACACATGTACAAGTCTCCTTCACCCGAGGCCCAGCTAAACCAATGTACCTGTCGTGCACGGTTAAATGGTACACGCTAAGGTTCAAGGCACCCCGAAGTATTAATAAATCTTGATATAATAAATAAAATAAAATTATCGTCAAGGAGAATAAATACTAAAAATAAGTCCTATGAGAATGACCTTTCTTACACTGCTGTGTTATATGCTTTGTGGATGATTGCCTATGGACTCGGAGCGAGGGCTTAGGTGTGCAAATCGTAGCACACACAGATATCAAGTATCGCGACGGCGGGAAATTGGAGATGGGGAAGTAATGATTTCTACGAGGATTCCGGCTTGATATCACGTAAAAAATTGCGTGGATCCCCCTAAATTGTCCAATAACATGTTGATAAAGTGCTTTGACTATCGTAAAACACCATTCCGTTTGTCTAGGACTGAAACCCATGATCCAAATCTGCTCCAACCCCTTGACATTGAAGACACCCGTCCAGTCGGCACGACAATGTCCACATGTCGGATATACCTACCACCGGTAAAAGTAAAAATTACCATGTGTCCTAGACGATCCTTCTCATCTTCAAGATTTAACACAGCATTCCAGACGTAAGTGGCGGTCTCGGTCCTGCCACGAGTCGCAGCCAGCCCCAATGGTGGAGGCTGAAGCACACTGACCCGCAGAACTAAGACTTGTCTTGCGAGCCCTTGGGTTTGTCCTTGGCGTCCGAGGTGCAAGTGGTCTCGTCCGTGACTTGTTTAGACACGGCAATCTTGCAGATGGGAGGCAAAATGGGAAGCCCATCATCATTAGTGAATGCCGCCAAGCGTTCGGCTTGAGAGGATGGCCCGTCAAGAGTAGTGCGAAGCCCGCAACACCTGTGAAAATTAGTTCTATACTCCAAGAATTGCGGGGGATTTGGCGCTCCTTACTCGCACATATCGCTGGTATTGACTTTCATGGAATCGGCATCACTGTCTTTGGCCATGACTGTGTTGGCTTTCTTTGAACGTTGAGAAGGGGTTTGAGCCGGGGACATTGAGCGCGATAGAAGGGAAGGCGACGTGGGAAGATGATTAGGACTCAGAATCAGGCGGAGAGCAGGAATGTGGGATTTATATACCATGGCAAGGACCATTTTTGCGGCTGTGCCCCGAAAAAAGCACTTATTGTGGTCGCGACGGGTGCCGATGTCATCCCACACCGGGCTTCATTGGATGACGCTTGAAAGATACCAAGAGAAGAGAGGAAACAACGGGAGACGGCCGTGCAGATGCCGGGCGTAGAAGAAGGAAGAATGTGACAGCTCTCGTGAAATGAGACCAAGTAAGCGAGACCAAACACGTCCGAGGCGAGAGAAGAGAGAACACAATGCAGACACGGGAGAGAACGGGACGATAGCAAGGGTATAGAACATGGACAGATAACGAATAGCAGACATTAAGCATGAAGTCATCGTGGATTGAGGGGCGAAGAGTAAACAAATGACCCGGTGGGAGGACAACTTGCATACGATATGCCGACCAATTCACCAAGGCCGAGCGCCCGCAGGCTAGACGCGGCGTGCAATTTCCGTGGAGCTCGCCGAGTGAGACAAGTGCTTTGAACCATATGTCATTGGTCTAGACGTAAGCTCGGGATCACGAGGGACGGCGGCGTGGAAAGGGCTGAGAAGTGAGGATTGCCGATGGCGTTTGCCGATGTGCTTCCTCTGGGGGATTAAAGTGGCTACAGGAGGCAGTTGTCTCGCCCTGTTTCCCCCCCCCCCAATGTACACGTCGTGCAACGTCGCTGAACGGCGTCATTGTGTCGCCGGACCCTGATACGCATGCATGCGCCAGGTTGAGCTTCAATTCCAATTGGGGAGTCAGGACGTGGTGACCTCCCGAGATTGGCCAGTCCCTTCGCACATAGCAGCCATCCCGCGCTGCCCGGTCTCGCCTTGTCTGCTTTTTTAGGGCTCTCGACCCGGGTCATCATTGTGTTGAGCTCCGGTATTTCAGCTAAGCCACCAGCAGAGCTACTGTATGTCTCATGTCTGAGCTCAATCCAAGACATCGGCTTGAAGGTCTAGGCCCCCCTTGAAGATAGGCTTTCTTGTTTCCTGCAAGTTCTACCAGGGCTTAATGACCACCACCACCTTCATAGTAGTACCTCCACAGGCAGGTGTGCGCCAAACGCGGGAGGAAGCATACCTAATCACACGCCTCGCCGAGACTGCCACGGCGACCCAGGGGCTTCTGGAACAGTGTGGCTGGACTCGCTCACTCTTTATTTTCTTTTCTCATGTCTTTAGCTTTCCTTAGCTTTGTTCTCTCGCCTCCCTTCTTGACTGCTGTCCTATCCTTCTTCACCGGTGCATGCCCCTTCAGCTCAGCCTGGTTAACCCCTCACACACCGATAGGCCGAGACACAGTTGGAAGTAATACGGCTCCGTGCCATGCCACCCGGCGTCCCTCCATAACCTGCAGGTGTGTCGCTCTCAAAGCTACTTGGCCTGATAAGCCCTAAATTGGTGGGCCGTTTGTATTGCCAACCACCACCCTACTATTGTACTCCGTACCGCCCACCCTATTACCGCCCACCCACACCAGCCGCGGGTCGGGTCAGGATAGATTGACACCCGAACACGTTGTCTATCAAAGTTAGCTCTGAGGCGGTGAGTCTTGGTTTCTTCTGCGGCTTACAACACAGCGTCGGTGCGCAGCATGTGACTAAGATGCGAGGCTGGGCCCTGACAGAGCAATTCCTGCTTCTCGCATAAAGAAGACTGGCATTGGACAGGTCTCAGCGACCATATTTGTCCACCTTCTGAACTAGCCAACTAATTAGTATACACATACCCCTGTAGCGGAAAGATCATTAGCCCGTCTGCAATCTAACCAACTAGGAATTCACCTATTGCGTACTCCGCTCACACCGGAAACCGCGAATTCGTCCTTTGGTTTCTCTCGCCAACGTCATCGGTCCGCACGTGACTTATTGGATTCTATGGACTGTCCGAATGCCCCTCAGGCTTATTTTGCCCTGGATCGTGTGCATTAATACCCTGTTTAATGAGAATATTCAAGGCATTGGAAGATGTAATTAGACAATGATTTCCACACTGTGGATCGGGATTATTTCCCCGAGGACTTCCTTTGCGCTTTTGTTTCTTGAGAAATCGAAGTATGGTTCATATCGTATTGACGGCTGTAGTAAAAGTGTAATGAACTGATACGAGAAGGGTTGTGAACGTAGGTCTAGGTATGTGCCATGAAGGATTGATGATCTGTTCAGCCAGCTAGCTAGCTAGGTACGGTCGGAGCCGTATGGGTTCCGACCCGCCGCCTGAGTCATCAAGCCCAGTCCCTGGCTGGGAGGGCCAAGGAAAGGGCTTACCGCATCATGAACACTCCGTTAATCCCGTGGTGCCTATATTATTTACGACAGTTCCCCTACAGATACTGTATTCCTATTTCTTCCTTCGTTCTTACTCTTTTCCTTCCTTTCCAGGCATTCCTCAAGAAGGCGGGTTTACTTTATTAGACTGAGTTTAGCACCGACAAATGATGGAAGTTTCCAACATATCGCCAAGTGTGAGTAGCGCGCTAAAGCGCAGAGCATGGCTGTACAGAAGTCTGAAAGCGCCGTAGTATCCGAAATTCACTCGACTAGTGCCTCGGATTGGTCTTCAAAGGTCATTAAGAAGTAGGATAATCACTTAGATAAACAATTTCTATCGCAGGAGAAACAGGAGAATAGCTAGGAATGCTTAAATTGATCGCGAGATTGATGCCCCTAGAAATCCGCACTCAGTTTCATCTCCAGTGGGCACCTGCCGTCCTGGCATCTAACCGGTCTATCCAAAACGCAATTTCTAGTAACTGTGTGGTGTCTTAAGATTCGTTTGCAAAGTTGTGAAGGCTGTAGAAGTGTTAATCGTCGGCACCACCTTGGGTGTATCGTCAGCAAACATACCTGATGTCATCCCGGTTGTCCGGTCCACCCTCTCCATTCGCAGCACTTGATGCCTTTTGCGGGCGCCCCACGTTCATTGGACCGCTATTCGCAATTAGGATTGTTTTCCGTTGGCCTGTCTCTTCCTCCTCATTCGCGCCCGTCGCAGTCTTTCTCTTCTTCCCCTTCCCCCTCAACTCGTTGAGATGCTCGAAGTATTCATCGGGCACGTTCGTCTTATACCTTCCGCAAAATACTCCTGTCTCAAAGTCGTGAACATCGGTCTTGACCTCACTCGCCTCCATACACGCGATCTTGAGGTCCTCAATATCCTGATAGATGACTTCGTCGGCGTCAATGTGCTCAGCGATTTCCTCCACTGTCCTGTTATGTGCGATGAGTTCTGGGCATTCGTTTTAGCAAATCTCATCAAGGTTTATATAAGGTTACTTCAGGTGCTATTCTTACCAGCAGGGTCGGCAAGGTCTATGCCGTACTTTAAACGATTAGGTTAGTAGGGGTTTTGGAAAGAGAAAGGGTGTGGGTTACACTTACAACATGAGGGTGTGTGATTTCTGGAGAGCATGAGACAAAGAGGACGCGGACGGCCCCCGCTTCCTTGGCCATTTGAACCTAGAAGATTGAAGTTAGCAAGGGTTTAATGGATAGGGCATTTGACAGAGTTTATCTTGGCCATGACTCGAGATTTTGCCAATGAAGAAGAGGATCACATACAATTTCGCGAGAGGTGTTTCCTCTCACAATAGAATCATCAACGAGGCATACGACTTTGCCTTTGAACTCAGACTTAATAGGTGAGAGTTTTCGGCGAACGCTCTTCTGTCGCGCCGATTGGCCAGGCAGAATGAAGGTCCGGTAAACGTAGCGGTTCTTGACGAACGCATTCGAGAATGGCTTGTCCAGGGACTTGGCCAAGATAGCCGCTGCAGTGTTGCTGGTCTGTTGCAGGAGTCAAGTAAGCAATTGCGAATTTCAACTTTTTAGCCATGGCTGGAAGGCCGGATGGTGAGAAAAGCCTACCTCTGGAACTGGAATGACTTTAATACGGCATGTTAGCATCTCCTCAGAAAAGTATATACTGGTCGTATGTATGGGGCTTATTGGAAGAGCTCTGTGCTCAAACTGGAGAGGGTGATAATGAAATAGGGAGTCACTTACTGACGTCGATGTCCTGGATCCCCTTCTCTCCCAAAACCTTCTTCATCTTCTCCGCAAGCTTGAGTCCCATATTCTCGCGACTGCGGTGGACGGACAACCCGTCAATACAGCTGTCTGGGCGGGCGAAGTAGACATATTCAAAAATGTCAGGAGTGTAGGATTTTCTCTCCACGATTTGGCGGAACTGGGGAGCGCCTCCTTTCTCAATGAAGACAGCTTGTCCGGGCAAGATATCCACAATATTACCAAAGCCAAGCTGTGTCAAAGCAACAGACTCCGAGGCCATAAAGTAATCCGTGGCTCCTTCGAGGGTGGTGCTTGGTCGAGATCCAAGGCAAAGGGGTCGGATACCGTTCTCGTCCCTAGTCGCAGACATTAGTCAAAGCCAGTGAAACATAGATCATGCCCGCTCACCTGAAGCCTAGAATTCCAAAGCCTGCAATCATGGCAGTGCACGCGTAGGCTCCGTGGCACCTCAAATACACGTCCCTGAGCGCGGTGAAGACGTCGTCCACATTGGCGCGAGCTTTGCCCAGCTCGTTGAGCGCATGCGCGAACACATTTAGCCTATCGATTTGCGGTTAGCGAATAGCTATGAAGGTGTCCCTGGAAGGTGTCCAGGGTTCCTCAAGAGGTAGTTGGTTGTCTGAACTCCCAAGAATCGAAGAGACGTACAGGAGCTCCGAGTCTGAGTCGGTGTTGACGTGGCGGCGGGCCTCGAGGTCCAAGAAGGTGCGAAGTTCTCCATTGTTCACCAGGTTTCCGTTCACGCTTATGGACAGACCAAAGGGCGAATTAACATAAAAAGGTTGCGCTTCGGACCTGGAGTTAAGAGATGTCAGTAAATCCTCGGAGCTTCACACGGGATTCCCTCCCGAGACGGCAGCAAGGGGGAAAAGGAGCCTCCCACATAGCACGTACGCAGATGAAGTGCCCATTGTTGGGTATCTGAGGTGGCTTATTCCGCAGTAGCCGGGCAGGTCGGTGATGCGCTTGCCCTCGGCGAAGACCTTGGCAGCCATTCCGTTGCCCTTGCACTGGTAAAGCCTTCCGCCCTGGCACACGGTGATGCCGGCGGCATCTTGTCCACGCTGATTCGAGGGTCAGCATCTTCGCAGATCTCCGCAGAATGTCTGGGAGAGCGACTAACATGTTGGAGGAAGTATAGGGATTCGTGCAGGTCGACGGCGGCCGTGGTGGCTTTCGTATCGCCAAGCTGGGGTAAGGGTCAGCGCGGGGTCTCGTGGCAATATTGCGCGGGCGGTCGTAGTAGGAGCATCGCGGGGGAGGAGAAGTTGAAACGCACAAGAATTGCGGAAATGCCACACATGATTGCTTTGGTTGCGTCGTGTACAACCGCGATGGAGCGTTCTGGCGTGGGATCGAGGGATGTTCAACTAAAATCGAGGCATGACGAAGCAAAAGATTTTTTTTGGACTGAGCGATCTCGCCGCCGTCCAACTGCCGCATTACCTACCCCTCCAAGCTACGTAAGGCGGGGCTTTTCACATTTTAAGCCAATACCATCAATCAATATTACCCTAAAAACTTAGCTCGGCCATTGACGGTGGTACATAGTGTCGGTCTGGAATCCGTCAATTTTTACCTGAGCATTATTTCGTTGCAATTAAAGTATCACCAAGCACAAGGTGGCAATTTTGCGCTAATCTCGGCGAGGCGCTGCGATCAGCAGGTACGTAGGTATGTACGTGCGTTGTCGCTAGAGGGCCCAATCGGCATCCATTTCTGAGAGATTTGGCGGGGAAAAACTTTGATATTGAGCCGCAGATGAGTGGCAAAGCCGATTTTGCTGTCCCGGGCCAGCCTGAAGGGCGCGTTTATCTCAGCATTCCGTATATAGACTCGGGCTCCAATTTCTTATGTCGGTATTTTCATAGGCTGCGAGATGCACTATTTGAGGTAGGTTTTTAATTCACATTGCTTAGTGATCCATCAAAGGCCCAACCCTACAGGCAGGGGCGGTGCCGCCTTCCCCACAAACGACAGCGGTGTTGATTCATGCCCGCCCCATGCTGTCTTCAAGACGTGGTATCTGATATTTACGCCATGAAATAAATTCAATATTATTTAGTACATTATTACTCAATCATACAAACATCAGCCGCGTTGAACAAAACCCCTTATTACATCCCCAGTCGTGACTCCAGCCTCCAGCTCGATTCTCTCACATGAATTATCCCATGACCCTACTCCAGTTTCTAGTCGTTCGTTGTGGGGTTCCGGCCCACATCAGATGGACCTGGCGGTCCAGGAATCTCAATAAATCGGTAGCTGACGGGTCGATCGGGGTGCTGAAGGAAGGTCTCGACGCGCTGCTCTCCAGTAGATTCCGGAGGCGCCGGAATGTCACAGCATCTGGGCATTGTTCAGCTAACATCTCAAGAAGCTATCAAGACTAAAACGATAAAAGTAACCCACAGGCAATCTTGACTCAGGTTTACCGCCATGGAGGAAGCATCTATGCTCTGCGTCATCGTAGTCTTGCCTCTTCGTCGTTCGTGTCCAACACGCGAGACTTGAGATAGTTGTTGAACAGCAGTGAAGGTCGAGAAAATGCGTCGTATCGATGAGTCCAGACATCACCTAGGGATGCGAAGTCGCCTTCTATTTATAAGGTAAAGCTGTGGTGCTCGATAAGGAGTACAGGTGCCTTACTCTTTTCATCCCTGTAGGCAAAAGCAACCCGGCCCCCTCCCCCACAGATCTAGATCCAACTAACAGCAAGGTACGGAACACCCAAGATTCAACGAATACCACAGTTGAAGTGAATTTTCCAAAACTGGAAAAAGAAAAGAAAGACGACATCTTACTTCTGCAGAAGATGAAACGTCAACAACGGGTAGATGGTGAGCAAAAAGCAGGGGCTTGGTCTCAGTTTGTAAGTACACGAGGCCAGGATTTATGGGAAGGCTGGGGGTGATGTTAGATATGTAGAGAGTTTGAAAAGGTCTTAGCTCACAGGTTTGGGTAGGTACCTCTCGCCCGAGCTCAGTATCGTGCCTCGGCTGTGGTGTGAGACCTGGCCTTTGGTCAAACATACTCCATCCAGGCCATTACATCTGAGACCATGACGCGACTTCTGGAATTGAGGCCAGCCATCAATGTACGAGTTTCAGGGTTGTTTGTAGAGAGGTGTCAAATCATTATTGATTGGTCAACTAGCGGATCGCTGTCATATCATTGCAATTTCGGGCCTGCATCCGGTTGCACTGTCTGATCCATGGAACCGCATCACGGGACAAAGCGTGCAGCTGTCACTAGCTCATTTGAGTCTAAGCGTGAAGGGGAATGCCGTCGGCTTCTGGGCACAAGGTACTCACGCCTAACTTCACCTCGCCGTAAGTAATGGAGGGTACCACAAATCGGAATCAGCAATGTCCCGACGATCCTGCAATCTATTGCCGGGGGGGAGGGGGCTTGTTCTTGGAACAAACCTCCGAAATAATTGCAAAACGGAATAAACTAGACCGAAAATAAAAAAGACAAGGGGTTGGGCTGTATACACACCCTCAGTCGTAGCATGGGCCAAAGGTGCCATTTCCACCTATGGTAATTAGTGAGAGTAGCAGAGTGTGGATGGAACCCGACGTATTCGTAGTCTAGGACTATAACAGGCACCATTGCGACTTTCAGTCATAGGTGGCCAGTCACTGACGCCTCCCCTCACAAAGTTTTGCATTTTTGTCGATAATTGATCGGTGAACAGATGCACCTCTGTTTGGTCGATGTGTGTGGGGTGGTCGTTTGCCTTCTACTCCTGCGTCTACATCGGTACCGAAGCGTAATAAGCAATACCAGTACGCCCACCTAATACGCAGCACACTCAGGGCAAGTCGGCTGGTGCGTCAGTGTACAGTGAGATTGACCTGCACGAACGCTTACGTGTTGCAGTAGGGTGGCGAGACATGCAGGCTGCGCGTGTTGGCGTTAAACCACTGTTGGAGATGGTATCGAACAGTGTACCTGGGCTTGCTTTTCTTGGTCTCATTCTCCTTCAGTCAACCCTGCCTGGCTGCCGGTCAGCTGTTGGCCGTCCCGTGCGGCTTACTTACTTACTGTGATGAAACGCCGCGAATTTGTTTCAGGCTGGATCTTCCTCGTATTCCGATCTGCGTCTCAAAATCCCAATACATCGAAACAGGCTCGGACATGCTCACCGAACAGTAAAAATAGTATCTCGTGACAGTTGAAGACAAGATTGTGGATGGGTGATCCAGGTGCCTGGTTGCTGGTCCGTTTTGACGAGAATACCCCGACTGTTTCGCGAACGCAAAGATGACCGGAAATGCACATCAGGCCATATCTGCAAGACCAGAACCTGGAGCCGAGGCATATCGCACTGGATCCGGCGAGACATGAGGAGTCACTAAGACCATTTGTTAGCTTCATCGATCGGTAGATGGGTTGGACCTGCATTGTGCCTTTTCCAGAAAATTCGCCCAAGTACGGCGATGTCTCACCGCTGGATAGGTTTGGCATCCATTTCTGCACGCCAATTCAAGGCTACAGGATGCCTCGCCTCATCTTTTGCACTTTCGGCTTTCGCCGAGAAAGGGGCCTGCATTGCATGATCACGATGGTGCATGAGCGGAGAGAGCGGTGAACGTTTGGTTGCGTATACCTGGGCGTAGACTTTGGGGGACTCGGGTCTCGATGCAACTTGACGCCCAATAGATGGGCCGTAGACCTGCAGCCCATTATGCAGCCCACCACTCCAGGAAGAAACCTGCAAGCTAGCCACTCCGCAGGCAAGTTCCGGTGCTACGGGAAGCCCTGTCCTAGAATCCTACCTTAGTTCAAGTACCCAAATGGTACGGAGTAGCTTTCTGAGAATGGCATCCCCTGGCGACCCGCATGACGGCAAGTTGGTTGTCAGGGCGGGTTCTAGCTTTCCGTCCGCAGAGGCAAGGGGTTTCGCCTGTATTTCCCTGGCGGTCAGTCCTCCACCGCCAAGGCTTCATTCTATTCATGGGCATCTGATCTGTGAGCTGACCCCTTCCGCTAGACCTGCAGGTCTCGTGGGGGGCAGCCTCGTAATTTTCTTGCGGGCGTTACCACCTGCAATTGGAGATGGCCCCAACACGAGCTGCAATTTCCTCATTTCACGGGTTTCTAAGATGCGCCAAACTGTATGAAGCAGGGGATGATGTGTTGCCCCTGGCCGAACTGTTGTCTTCCTATTCAGTTGATTTCACGGCGGTCAAGTGAGGCTGCTGAAATGCATGAAATACAGCCGCCATTTGATATGCAGATAACGAAAACGAATATCGCATCTGCTATGAACATGCAGAGTACCTACCCTTTGTTGGAACAACCCGAAGAATAGCCTGGACGCACTCTCGCCACATCCTAACAGGCATGGCATACTTGCATACTTGAGGGCAAGCTAATAAATCGGGGTACTTCATGAAAGAATTTAGCTGGCTGTAAATGGTTCCTCAGGCTAGACCAGCTATACATCATGTAAAACTATCGGTTTTTGCTCTTACTCAATGTGCGGCTTGATTACGAACCTCGATTTTGCCCAGACCAATCCTCACTGACTTTTGCAATCGCCACAAATATCAAATGATCACTTTATCATGGTGTATCAAAGTTATGTCCCGAGCTGAGATGTATCAGCAGCTGAGTATAATTATCTTGACGCGAATTGCTGACATCCCGCATGACGAAACATTGTAATAGAGGCTTACTCTTAGCTGGATGAATTCATGCCCGTTTGGCGTTGATAATTTCCCAGACATATAAAAGGTCAACTGGTCATGTCTATTACGTTAATTGCTGTTACGGTTTGTCTCATATGAACACACTCTGGCTCGTGATACATCAATTCGGGTGCAATTCACAATGGATACAAAAATATCGGGTATTTAGAGATTTATTCCCAGGTTTATTGTTTTCTCGTCCAAGACAAAGACTCCAGTCTAGATTCCCGAACACAACATAATCCGTCCTAAGCATCCAGTATCGTATTCCAACGTAGGCGCGTTTTATGAGCATCTTCAAGACATTTAGATGAGGCTGAAGGCAAAGGCTAGAGCAGCGGCGGCAGCCACAACACTGCCAGAGTAAGCCTTGGATCCGGCGCTGACGATGACGACGGGGGTCTCTGTGCTGCAACCTCCGGGAGGGCAGGTCTCGGTGTGAGTAGAGGTAGGAGGGCACTTCTCGCCGGTGCAGGGCACCTTAACAGGAGGTGTGACGCAACTATCGCCGGTGCAAGTAGGGACCTTGACGACAGGAGGCATGGGGCAGTTCTCGCCATGGCACTCAGGCATCTCAGGCATCTTGCAGTCGCCGCCGTGGCACTCAGGACGAGGCATGGAGCAATTCTCTCCGTGGCACTCGGGCATCTCAGGCATCTTGCAGTTTACACCGTTGCATGGAACCGGCACCTTGATAAAGCCGCATCCTCCAGGAGGGCAACCATGGCCGTTGGTCCAGTTCTTGGGGTGGTGGCAACCCTCGCAAGGAGGCACGATCACAACAGGAGGGATAACCGGGGGCTTCTGCTCGGTAGGAGGCTTGCATCCCTCGGGAGGGCAGTTGTGTTGGCGGTAAGGGCAGTCAACGACCTCAGGAGGACACTCCACCACAGTTGCAGGTGGGAGCACCGGCATCGGAACGTCGGCGGGAGCGGGATGCTCCCAGACGTGGCAATCGACAACGCCTGGAGGGCATCTGGCGACGATAGCTGGGGCGGCGTCAACTTGGGCCATGGCACCAGCGGCCATGACGCCAACGACAAGCAGAGAGCGAATCATATTGAGTGAGTGTTTTTAAAAGAATGAAGGAGTGAATAAGAAGCGAATGACTGTCCACGAGGTAGATGGATGTTGATGGAAACAAAGGAGTGAATGTAGAAGTTGGTGATGAAAGTAGTTCATAGAATGGCGATTGCCTTCCGGTTCTTATACTTCCTTGGATATGTTCCAATCACCCATCATCGACGCGAGATCAATACTGGAGAGGCTGGAATGCCACGGAATTGATCTGAATAGGGACAGTCAACATCTAGCGTCAACAGAAGGAATAGAAACGTTACAATTCTCCGGCCCTCAGATGTCCACTCGGCGTTGCTCCCGATGGGTCTGAAACAAGTCTTTCCAAAGGTCCGAGCAACGCCCATTTAGAATATTTAAGGCTTGTGTGTTTGATTCCCTGAATTGGAATGCTGGGGGTGGTGGTGTCGATCACGACGCGTTGGGTAGTCAGGGTATGATGCTATTAGTCACTTCACATTCCACCACATCCATAATAGATTAATTGTCCCTTCTACATATCAATAAGATTCCAGGTAATAACCTTAATGTAATTCAGGGGGTTTAAACCAAGAATGAATTGGTGTCTCACTTCATCTCTAACCCAGCCTTCCCGAACACTGGCACATGATTCACCCTGCGACTTCCGAAAATACGAGGTCTCAATAATAACATAGATCGATCTTAGTGTACAATTTTAGTCGGCTCCAAAGGCTAAGGGTCACTGACGGACCTCTTCGGAGCTGAAGGTCTTGACTCTCCCTGCCCTGCTATGGCATCAACCCATCCCTAGTCGACGAGAGCCGAGACCGATCGTCGGATGATCGGCCCTTCCTAATTAATGCATCCCAGCGAGTCTTTTCAGATCGAAACATTCACTCCGTGGAGAGAACCATCATGCTACCAGAACCAAGCTTGCAAGCGACATGGAACAGGAGGTTGGGATATGACTATCGTGTTTAGGGGATTGCACCAATCTCACACGACCAGCCAAGAAATTAACATTGAGAGGATACCTGGATCTCCTTGAAGCATTTCAAGGGATATCGCTAGCAGAATTTCTGTGGTTGGGGTCGTCCACTAGTGGATGGGTCACGTTTAATATCGGGACTTATGGAGGAGCAGATTCCACTCAAGACGATCCAAATCTGCTTTGATTTCTATGCTTGCACAAACTGACAGCACTGTAGTTTGGAAAGCTCAATCCGCTGAAGTAGAAGAACGGTTTTCCAATTCAATACTATTGTAGGTTTGGGACCATGACCACGCGTTGAACCGTTACAATCTCAGTCCGTGTTTGATGATTCCCCTCCTTCGTCTGAGAAACACGTAGCATCGTGGCTTCGTTAAAACTTTTCCACATATGGTCGAATGTCGATCTCCTGCGTGAATGCTGAACGATGCTGAGTGTGCAAATGCCAGTAGGTCTCTGCAATCTATAGATGGACTATTAGCTTTTTAATCATGTGGCATTTGGATAATTATAAGCCCTACTGCTTCTGGCTTAAGCTTTGCATCTTCTGCAGAGCTGGCCGTGGTGAAATGCTTCGTCCTGGGAATATCGATGATTCCATCGACAATGATGTGAGCCACGTGAACACCCTGAGGTCCGAATTCTCGCGCCAGAGACTGGCCCAGTGCTCGCAGTGCAAACTTCCCGGCAGCAAAGGATCCGAATAGCGCGGATCCCTTCACTGACGCGGTGGCGCCGGTGATGAGCAGAGACGGGGGGTTAGGAGACTCCGGCACCGACTCCAGAAGCAGGGGTAGGGAGTTTTGGGCGAATCTAGAGAAACCTCGTCTGAAGGCTGTTAGCTGGTGTTTTTACCGAGACAAATAACATGACCTACACAGCAACGTCGAGGCCGCCGTCGAGCTCCTCAGCCGTCAACTCTAGAAATGGCTTCCTCGCAAAGCCGCCGCTGACATTGTAAACAGCTGCTGCCAGCTTGCTACCGGGGAGTTCTTTCTTGATTGTCTCGAAGGCAGAGTTGACCGAGGCTGGGTCAACAATGTCGGTAGAGATGCCCAACGCATGACCACCTGCCTTCTTGATCTCTGTGACAATGTCACTGTAGCTCTCGGGGCTTCTGGCGAGAACGACGACTGGGTAGGCCTTTGCGAATCTGAGCGCAACAGCTCGGCCTATGATTGTTAGCCTGGCCTGGGTCCAAGTGCATTCGACGATTTGCGAGCCGTCTCACCTGTTCCAGGGCCAGCACCTGCAACGAGAGCAAAGAAGGGAGCGGAGGCCATAGTAGCGGTAGGTACTTAGTTCAAAGTATGTGTTCTTGGTTCTATATTATTGTAGTATCAAGCATTCTGAGGTCTGGGACGGGCGGGGTCGCTCTTATATGCAGCTTGGGATCGGGGGTATTATTAATAATTGACAGCTACATTGCGTCAACGCCAGGCTGGATTAGAGCAGTCGGACAGCGAGAGTTAGCCCGTGACAGCCGCCTGTGGGAAGCTTACCAATCTCGACGTGCATACACTAGAATGGCGTGCGATTTTCACATCATCAATCAGCACATTTCCACCATCTTTTAGGCATGGGAACCTACCCTGTAGTAGTTTTATTCATGTGTGTGTTTGCGTGTTTTGGATTGTCGCTGGGTCGCCACAATACCTTTGCAGAACACTGCTTCTTGTTCTTGAGACATTATCGCGCATGGGGCAATATCTTCACCTGTGAACCAACATCCCGAACTCACGCCATCCGAACTAGAACAGCTTCAATGGCTTCACGAAAGGGTTCTGCGCTGTCTGATCATCGATTGCATTTTCAGCCGCAGATGTGTTTCCCGCAAACAACAAGATGTGTAACGCATTTTGCCCATTCTGTTCTCCGGACAGAGTTGGCTTCACAAGAGCCAAGCACTACATTTAAGGGCGTCCAGTTACTCGTTAGCCATGTCTCTGTTTTCTATTCCACACCGAACCACCTAGACGACCAAAGCTTGCTCTGACTACTCCATTAACAGCTTTCGATATTCGCCCACGATGCCCGCCATTCGTCTGGATTCTCTGGACGCTCGGTCGATTCAAGGCCGAGCAGACGAGGCAAAGGACTCGGCTTACATAGCCGCTTTGATTGTCCTGGGCCCGTTGGTACTAGTCTTGGCATTCGCTGCCCTTGTGTACCGGAGGTGGAATAGTTCGTCATCGAAGAAACTAATGGAGGTATCTGCCGATTTTCAAAAGCATCAGAATGATGCAAAGGCTGAAGAAGCCCGGATCCAGGCATTGCTGGACTCGGCAAATGCGGCAAACCGTGTCGTGGAAAGGGAAAACCGACGGCTTAGACGAATGGCCTCCAGGCTTCCTGTACTTGTGCCACCCAGTGCTAAATCTCCGCCTTCTGGCAACAGTGGAGAGGGAGAGACATACCACGACCTGTTTGAGCACCCACCTAGCGGGGATGATGCACGGGAGCGATCGAGCTTTGAACCAATTCACAATGGTCCACGACCTCTGCCCAGTCATCGATCCCTCCGTCAATCCGAGCCATTTGAACTTGGGGGGACTCAAGAGAACCTCCCGAATGAGGCTACCGAGATATCCGAACACAGCCCCAAACCAACTCAAGGTACCCGGCAGCACATTGTACGAGAAAGTTTCCTTTCGGACCCCAACAAGGCTCGCAAAGAAAGACTCGGTGGCGGGGACGAAGAGCAGCAGAGACCAGATTTGGAATGGGACAATGTCGATCTTGACGAAGACGCCACAGTTTGGCCTTTCCAAGGAGACGATACCGACCTCGAATCTTGTTATTCCATGGGAACAGTCCTCTCCGCTCCCGAGGTCAATCAAGTGAACGAACCGAAGAAGGCGAGGATCGCCTCTCCCACCATGGATCAAGTCCTCGCGAGAGAACGGGAGACAAGGGTTCGCATCGTCGAACCATGAAGGCAGGTGCTGGTTTAGTTGACTTGGGTCCGTTGGATTGACAGATAGTACAGCATCGGGGTTGATGTTTTCAAATACCCAAGGTCGGTTGCTAATCGCGATTGTTTATAGACTCCCACTTTAAATTAGGCCAAATAATATTGAAAGAGCGGCCCTGGTATCACGCTAGAGTTGTTTGTTTGACATGCCCCAAATCAACAGGGTAATTCCTCGACCAAAGAACTGTTTCTCTCAAAGAAACCCTTAAAAGAATTTCCCTTTGAGCCCACCTAGCACCATATTTCTCTTCTGCTTGCCAATGAACTTGTTCACATCGTTCGCCCACCCAGCACTTTGTTCCTGAAGGTTATCCATGTTATCACCCATCATGTTCAGCTTTTCCGTCCGCTCGTTCAGTTGTCTCGAAAGGTAGTCTCCCCAACCTTCCTGGCTAGATCCGGCAGGTCCAGCTTCACCGGTTCGAGCAGCACGTTGCTCTGCTGCTGCCGCCTCCATCATTCGCTTACTGGGTGGTCGGTCGGGGCCGCCGACTAGTAGGTCTAGGTCAGGGGGCGATATGTACTGGGTACCCGAAATCCACTGCAAGTTTGAAATTGTTGGGCGAGGTGGGCATTCTATTTTCGGGTTGATCAGCGTATCGGGAGATTGCTGAGGAGGCTTTCCGGTACCCCAGACGTGGATGACTGCCAGTTCACTTGGACCGGACCACGCAAAGATATCACCAGTTTGAGTAACAACAGAAGCCGTGCTGCGGCTGCTGTCGATCATTGGCAAATCAGCCTTGCCGATCTCTTTGAGGCCAGGGATAGAGAATGCTCGCGCGGTTCGGTCACCAAAAGTTGCGACAACCGCAAATCCTTGCAGCTCGAGCTCGGCAACACTCGCGGCGTCGCACAGGATGTCGTCAAACTCCTTGGATGCCCCCTTCGCATTGGCTGGCTTGAAAATTTTGATTTCAGTTTGTGTGACTATCATTCAGTTAGTACTTCTTTACCACAAAGCTATTGTTTGGCAAACTCACCTGCCACGAGTACGCCATTAACTTGATGGCCTTCTCTAAGACCCGCTACTATCTGACCGGTAGCAGCAGCAGGTTTCCCAGTGTCCGCATCAATGGGACTGAGCGAAATAACCTTGGAATCGAATGCGACGAAGCCCGCCACTTGCGCAGAATAGGCGCCGTTGTTACCTGGGAGTAGCTTGAAAGTAATGACCTTGCCCAAGCTCGTTCCCACAAAGCAACAGATACTGGAATACTTGTCATCGTCTAGAGTCATGACACCAAACTCAATCACCACTGGCCATTCTTTGGGTGGCCCAGAGCTTGAGTGGTGTCCTCTAAGGAAGGACGAGCGCTTGTCTTGCTTGGCAAAATCTGTCATCGGAGCTTGAAAGATGATTGCTGGACCACGGAGATCGATCAGGGTAATAAAGCCAAGTTCGGATCCAACAGCCACAAATCCGACATTGGATATTTGCATGGCTGTAATAGGTCCCATCATCATCTCGTACAGGACCAAAGGTTGGAGGCCCTCTTTGAGGGTCGGCTCTGCCCTCGAGCTGATATCAGTCAATCCTTTGGGGTTTGGATCCAGTTGCTGCGACTGCTCCTTGCCAAAGAATCGGTTCGCTCCCCACCGGAAGATGATCGCTTCACCTGTGCGCGTTCCGACAACAAACTCGCCGGTACTGGTTGCCATGCTCATTGTGGTGATTTCAATATCATCAGATCGATCCAGTGCTCGAGCAACATCAACCTGGAGCTGGCTTCCGTTTTCGATGTCGTCGGCATGGCCTGAATCCCAGATTCGAATGATGCTATCCGCATGGGCCGCCTGGATGATTGTGCGCTCCTCAAATCTCTTGCGTGGCCGAGGTCCTTCGGCGCCGCCCTTCAAAATGGGCTCCCCCTGGTTCCGTTTCTCCATCATGGATAGCCACCTGGGTCGCTCTAAACTGGATACGTTGACTTTCGTGATGAAGGGATGGACAAAAAAGATGGAAGGATGAAGCTGATTCGTGGGGCTGATGGGGTATCCAGATGGAAAGCTCATCGTAATGAGCTCACCCGAGGACAGCAAAGGAATGATTGCGATGGGATCCTGAGCGCCGGAAAAATGAGGCGAAGCCCGGGGGATCATGAGAAAGTCGACTACCCGGGCACCGAAAGGAAGAGGCAAGGTGGTTTGACGCTTGCCATGGCAATAGGCGCTCAGAATCTGCCACGAAGATGTGGCATAAATGGGCGTGATGCCAAGATCAATAAAAGTCAAGCCCTTTGGCGATGCGTTAGAAAGCTGTCCGCCAGCAATCAACAATCCGCTGTCGTCGCAGTTCTCCTTGCAGCACCAGGCAATCTTGGCAATGGGCTCTGTGGCTGGTGTTTCGGATTCGGGGCTTGGCTGGTTCACATTCATTTTTGTTAGTGTTCTGGCCATAACCACTTTCTCCTCTTTGGGATCCCAAAAGACCAAGCTGCCGTCTTCGTGGGCCGTGAGGATGAAGGTACCAGAGGGATGCCAGAGCGCATGGGTCAGCCTTGGCTTTCTAATTGATTCGATGGCAATGCCATTTCCACCCGGGGCGCCAGCCGGCAAGACATATTCGTAGAACTGAACTGCGCGACTCTGCTTGAAGGAGTAGACAACGGCTCCGTTGGTATATGCCACTAGCAGTTTCCCAATGTCCCTGGGGTGAAGCGATATCGAGACGAGACTGGAAACCTTTGTGCTTGGGTCCTTCTCCTTCCAGAAGTTGGGCAACCGGAAAGCCCGGGCAAGGCTACCACGGTCCAGATCATATGCCAAAACGTCTCCGTTCTGGAGGCCGATGAAGGCCCAGTCCAGCATGGGGTCTGCAACCAGAGATACGACAGTGCCAGCGATGACGAGGGAATAAAGTCGCTCGCCCGTGTCAAGATTCCATATCCCAAGCTCATTCTTCTTGTCGATGCTGATGAGTCGGTTTCCACTGAACTGAAGGAACTGGAAAGAAGTGTGTCGGGACGGTTCGAGGATCTTTTGGACACGACGCTGGCCAAAAACGGAGATCTTGCCGGGGCCATACTTGCTCTCGCTCGTGCCTATCGCAAGAAGCGACTGGACGGGATCGTAAGCGAAGCAGCTACAGCACACAATGGCGTTAGCGACAAGGACGCAAACGCGACGGCCAGCGAGCACGGCCAAGACGCGGCAGCGGAGGATTCGGAGGCGGGGCAAACCTGATCTGGGAGTTGATGCCATAGCGGGCCTGGTCATCGGGCATAAAAAGCTCAGGTCGGATGCTCGCAGACAGGTCATTCTGCATGCCCGTCTGCTTGCTTCGTAGAAAGGCAGCCATCTTGTCGATGATGGAGGAGGTGGAATGGTTGCGAGCTGGGAGATGGGCACATTTTGGTGGGGTTAAAGCATGGGAGCTCCCAAGAGTCTTGGCCCAGAAGCAACGTCATCAGGGAGGATCGGTCCGTGCGAAAACTCAGATATAGTGACACGGTACACTGTCCTCCTCCAGGGTGCTACAAATACTGCCGGGCTTGCCGATTGATATCTCCATCGCCATCAAGATTCCTTTGAATCACCGTCTACCTCAAACCACAGACGTAGGTAATCGGCATTCTTGTTCTCCAACTTTTTAGCTTCTCCATTGGCTCTGAAGCTGATGCGATCCATCCATTCTTTATCCAATAGCCGGCGAGAGCTTGGCACCCCGAGCTTCCGAACGAACATTGGTCCACAGCGCACAGCGCAGAGCTACTGTACTGCACACAGCCCCAAACTTGGAGCCCACACCGGTCAGTGCCACCCGCTGCAGCGACTGAATTAAGCCGCCAAGACGACCTGCGGAAATGCGGCAGGGCCTCAGCACCTTGGCAGTTGGCATTGAGCGGTCTGAAGAGTGGCATTGAGCGGTCTGAAGAGTGGCATTGAGCGGTCTGAAGAGTGGCATTGAGCGGTCTGAAGAGTGGCATTGAGCGGATTGAGGAGTCCAAGTTTTGACAGAGATAATCGCTTAACCGCTTCCCGAGGGACGTAGAACGCCGTTCCAAAACGAATAAGATGTGTACTATCTCACTGTTCAATGTGGACCGGCTCCATTCCTTCTAGAATTGCTTCGTCCCGACAGACGCTGTGGATCTGACCGTTGGGCGCAAACCGTCGTGAAACGGTGAAGATGGTACACGGAATCCTTTCATACGTCTCTAGTCCTAGACTCCAAAGCAGTTTGCTGCATGACGTTATCGCGTGGTCAATGTTTTCTCTTAGACAGCATTTCTTTTGAGCGTTACACCACCTGGCCGATTGATGTATCACAGCGCCGCTCTACCCGATCCGGGGATCGCACTGACCTTGGTAGGATCGTCTCTGTCCCAGGGCTATCGGTAATGGGCTTGATAGTGGGCAGAATTTCTAAGACCGGCACCACGGTTATCAGGCGATTGAATGATGCCGTCAAGTTCATAAGTGAGGACTATTTCGACTACCCTCTTAAGAGAGCAGGCATCACGACGAAGTGCCCATGACAACGCCCAAACAGCACTGGGAATAAAAGCAAAATAAAAACAATCAATTCCTTAAACACAACCTTCGAGACGACTAGTAACCAAGCCGGGACCTGGCTGGTGTGAAAGAAAAGAGCATTGCGAGGGGATGGCAGGCGGTCAAGAAATGAGACAAGAGAGAACGTTGATGGCGAATTAAGTTGCATTGGCAATGCGTGATTGGGGATGGCTTTGGGCAGGGCTGTAGCGGACCAACTCGTCAGCAATGAAGCCCGAATTCCATCACATGAATAATCCTTCAGCCAACGATCACGAGGTCGCTGCACAGCTGTCGTCGAGAGTTGCTTGCCTTTGGCAACCTACGAGTCCTAGCACCCCCTTCGTTGTAAGGCCTTCATCGTTCGCGCCCGACATCGAGTTGGGACGCTGCAACCTTTATATTCCAAAGCGGGCGCTGCGTAGCATTGGGAATCGAGATTGGCTGACCCCCCCGCCCCATGATTGACATCAAACACTCCCGATGCCTCTAGGTGCCGGGCCTTGGCTGGAATGTCATGCATGGCTTCGGTGAAGGCACCGATGAATGCGTTGCGAAGTGCCACGAGCCCTAAATGAATAATTGGACACCAATACCGCAGGCTGGGAGTTCTATTGGCTGTGGTTGATCAGAATCCAGCCTGGAAAATCGACACGTCGGTTGGGCATCAGGCCCCTGCTACTGAGCCTGACACAGCGGTACCGTCTCTTAATGAAAACGCCTTGGTCGTACTGGCCCCTTTCTGGGCCGCAAGCCTCACCTCCTATCCGCGTCGTGGGATATGTTGGCACAACTTTGCCCAATTGATGCCAAAAGCCTCGTTGCCTGCCGGATAACCCAAGATGGAGCCCCATGTTAAAGCAGTATCCCAACGCACTCAACCTGCGGGACATCATCGAACCACGGCCGGGCAGCCTCGCATTGGTTCAGGTTTGGGATGCGTCTATTTACTCCCCCCAGTCCCCTTCCGTAGATCGAAGTGATCAACCACCGACACATCGAACAAAGACAAAGAACCTACCTTCTGACGACATTACCATGTATCACTCATCAATCGAAATTGCCCATGGACTGCCTACGGGCCAATCCTTCAACCAAGGCCTTGATTCTCGATCCCAGCAATGGGCAAACCAAGGTACACCTCGAGCCTACGAGCCGATGCAACCCGAGCCTCGTTTCGACGATGCTCGTAATAAACCCTTTGACAACCGATTCCACTCAATCAACCGCTTTGAGTATCGTCTCGGAGACAACAGGAATTTAGACTCCACCGATAACTGCCAACACTACTCTTGGCCGCCGCACAGGAATGGCGAGAGCGTCCCAACCGACGGCATCCAAATGTCCCCAACCAGGACTTCCTCGATCTCATCAAGTCCCCGAGACGAATCCTATAGTTGGGCGGGTACCGCTGAGAGTACCGAACGGAAAGTCTGTCACTGCGGAAAGGAGTTCCGCCGTCCTTCAGACTTGGCGTAAGAGCCTCTCCCTTGCACCGCTATGCGAGTGCCCAAAAGGCTAACCATTATCTTGCACAGGAAACACCAAAAGTACCACATCAAATACTTCTCCTGCCTCTTCTCGGGCTGCGAGAAGGCCTTTGCGACACAAAAGGACCTCTCGCGACATGTCCGTACACACCGGAAGGGAGAGGGATGGCGATGCACTGTAGATGGTTGCCGAAAGGCTGCCGCAGGGCATGTCTACAGTAGAAAAGACAACTTCGATCGACACATGCGCACGGCGCATACTAACTCATAAACACCACAGAGTACTACGGATGTGACTCTTCTTCCAGATGCGAGGCTGACGGCACTCGAATGTTGATATTAACTGTAAGGTTTGGATTGTTAGAAGGACATGGGAACGGTTCCAAAGTTGATTGACAGGGGTTTCTTTCTGCACATTATCAAAGGGTTCATGATTTGGAATCATATGAGAACTCCATTCACAGTACTTAGCTACTTCATGATTATGATATACAAGGGTATGTAGGGCTGTCCAGTCGGCACTCCCAAGCATATGCTTGAGAACCCATACCGACAATCAAAAGAAAAAGAATTGCAAAGTCTTTCGTGTGAAAGGGTAGATGAAATTTGAGGAGTGATGTTTGCTGCGGACGATAGCGTCGGGCTCTCAACCACAGATTTCTATGAAGAAAACCTGATTTCGAGTAGCTGTCATTGTTTATGATGCAATAACTGAGATGAATATTGACTGGGATGATCTAGAAAGTTCTCCTGTCAAACATAAGCGACGCAAATCGACGCAGGATGCTGGTTAATATACATGTGTTATGGGTGGGTACGTAATAGCCAAGATTCCACACATATTAAGCGAATGTTCCATGCAGCGAGTGCTGAAAAGAAATCAATCGAGTTGACTTTTTTATTCCTATTATTTTTTAGCTCTTTACAAGATATTACTAACTGCTTTAGGCCTGGAGGATGATACAACAGGCGATAATATTAAAAACACACGGATTTCTCGGTGTCATGATCAACATTTCTTTTCATAGATCATATGGCACATCATGTTGAAAGAAGGAAAGCTATATCAAAAACTTTAATCTGGCAGGCTGAATATTTTACGCTTCATATCATCAAATTGGCACCAGAGACGTTCATTTCACACAACGCAGTCACTTGAAATTCATGGATTGATTCAGCCTTCCACAGTGAGGACTACCCAACGCATTGAACATGATCATGCTCCTCTCAAATTTGGGTTTGAATTATGTCAAGGTTTAATATACTCAAGCCTTCTAACTTGGATATTTAAGACGCCGATATGAAGATGCCCATGCTGACAATCGAGGAGTAATGATTTACTGACCGCCACCTGTCACCGCATGTCGGTGAGGCAGCGATGTAAGTCTAAAAAGAATTATCCTGGATTAATATGGAACTGGGCCCTAAAAGACATTAAAGATCTTCTCGGTGACTATTCAGTGTGTGCTTCGTGTTCCACGGGCTTACCATCAGCGCAACAGTCGTAGAGGGGCGACTTGGCTTCTGGTCTGGGAGGGCCTGCTAGTCAGTCAATCAGTAAATTACAATCTTCATCAAGCCCCTTACAATATTTTCTCCCTTTGGTCTCTGCAGAAGCTGTTGCCTCCAGCACCGGTGCGCATAGATATAGATATAGTCACCAAGCTTGACTCCCTGGCTGCCTCGCATGTCTTGAACCAGTGCGCACACATGTTGGACAGGCCTCGCCACGGATGACAGAATCAATCCGTAATCTAGGTGAGAGAGAATCTAGTCAATCCATTCCTTGGCTAGGTTTCATTGAGCGAGCCTATTGCCATGAGGTCTCACAGCTGAGAGAGTTCTGTACCTGAGCGCGAAGAAGCCGTAGCGCACAGGTGCCACATGAGGTGAAACTTGACGTTGTATCAAAAAAGAAAATAGCTATCAAAAGCGTCATGCGTCTACCCATCTGCATTTAATTTCAGTAGCTCATCCTGGGCGATTTTACAGATGACTGCGCTTCCTTCATCACAGTAGAAATGTGACAGAATCAACAATAATTTCGCAAGCATATGGCTAATAGGTTGGCGGAGGGCTGGGACCTTGTACGGGAAACCACCGCACTACACCAACACCCAATTCGCGCCAGCACTCGGGATTATCCAAAATAACTCCATCAAATACTTAGGTGCTTGGGGTTTTATGCCACCAGCAGCCGCTCTGTCATCGGCGGCTGTCTGTTGTCTACAGGAGAGGTCATCGCAGACTTCGCAACAATCTCTTCCAGTTGCACTCTCAATTGTATGTAAACAGTCAAACCTCTCCTGGAATTAGGTCTCGCAACTAAATAACATCCTTTGTCCAATCAACCGCGTCTCTCCTCAAACAAACCTCTTGGTTGCGCAATAGCAACTGTAGCTAATAAGGGTGGGAATGTTCTGACGAGTTGGATGGATGGTTCTTCTTTCAAGTCAGACCTACCTACCTTGACTCCGGACGTACCGATCCGACTTCGTCGCAAACGGCGACGGTCTACCTCCCCTTTAGCCGGTCTGAGTACTATTACCGTGACCCTGCTACTCGAGCTCCTCTTCTTCAGAGAAGTTATCTTGCATGTCTTCGGCCACCTCGTCGCTATACTCGAGTTCTTGTGAGGGGCATCGGTGCCGTTGCCCCGGGCGAGCCGGTCTAGCAGACGACTTCGCCGAGTTGTGATAATTGGAACTCACTCTGTTGGAATGTGGTGGAGCTGAAGCACGGCTCCTATCGGGCGTACCGGCCACTCTTGATGCCCCCTTTCGTCTGGCTTCCACTGACCCCGGCACGGAGCTCTTTACCTTTGGCTTTTGCGGCATTGCAAACTGTTCAACGTCAGAATAGCCCGGATAGTGTGCGAACTCCTCGGTGCACTCGTCCTCCTGGAAGTGATCGTACCGATCCCGACGTATTCTAGCGTAGTACGTCTCGTCGCCTTTCATGGTGGACTTCGTAGGCCTCAAACTCGGTCGTCATTCCCGCACTGAACGGAAGTGGTCGGTGGTTAGGGTGGCCGGCATGCCGTCGTTTTCCACTGACGCGTCCTTATCTTCTAGGGCAAGGCCTGCGGCTATCAGCGCTGCGTTGCGGATTTGGCGCTCGTTCTGGGGCTGATGGCTAAGGGAAAGTCTTACCTTCTGCGAGAGCGTTGGGCTCAATGTTACCACCGCTACAATCTCATTGTGTGAGAAAGACGTCGGTATCGTCAAAGAGCAGGATATAGTCCCGCAATTGGGCATAGCAGAGCGTATCTCGCAGCGTCTTGTCGACCGCGCTAGACGAGGATCCCAAGTCGCCATGGGTGACGGGAAAAGCGGTTTGCTGTTTTCTAGGGGAAGGGTCGGAGAATAATATTTAGCATCCGGTCGTGGCTGATTATACCTTCGGCACTCTAAATCGCTTCGCAAGTTCGCATATGACCATGATGCAGCTGTCAACCCCGTTTGGCAAACCCACAATCCGCGGCCTATCACGATCCTTGTCTGTTGGAGGTCCTGAGCCGTGCCAGTGCTTCGGACGCTTGTGGAACCGTCAACCGATCGGCGGTGCGGCCCATTACAAGGCTTGGGGAAGACGGACACGGAGGGGCGTCAATACCGTTGGAAGCCTGAGGGTCGACGAACGAAGGCGTCCGGGTGAGGGACAAACCGCTCTTTTGCCTTTTACTAACTATACACCTCCGTAGCGTTGGAGTAAGGCAGGTAAGTACTGCCCAGTTAAAGGATGCCACTTACTCAATGAGGCGTCGGGGTATGGCACTGCCCCCTCGCGCCGGTCGGACGGTCGAACAAGGGCGGATGTGGGACCTACCCACATCCCGTGCGACAGGTATGCGGCCTCGCAATCATCATGCTAGCTCTCGAGCCCCAGCCAGCCAATCGAACACCATCATAGAAGCTAGAAGGCTTGGGTAAAGGTCGAGCGCCGGTAAGGATGAAATCATTGCTAAATTGGCCCAAGATTAGGGCACTCTTCGTCCTTTTTGTACGGCCGTCGCCCAGCTGGACCAAGCCAGTGCAATGAATGCAATGACAAGTTTCAAAGAGCGCCAATGGACTGATCGGACAACGGAAGAAATCCCCCCCACCGTGAGATTTTCCAGTCCTGAAGTTATCATTGCAGCATGCGGTCAGTCTAGGACGTTTGACAGTCATGGTTTGTTCGCCGACGAAAGAGAAGAGGTCGGTTTGATTTCGCGCCACACTGTTCCCGGCCGTCAGATTGTGCTCGCTTTTGCCGCTAGATGACGCAGTGCTGCACCCTACATTACCATGTACCAGTAAGACAAGCCAATGACAAGATGTCAGGAGAAGCAGAAGAAGACCTCGCGCTCGGTGCTTCTGGGATATAAATCCCTTCTCGTCCCAGTCCATTTCTACTTTGTTTTACATGTTCCTTCCATCCTCGCCCACCGCGGCTCAGTTGTCTCTTGCAAACTCCTTGATTGTGCCTTCACGCCTCAAGCCTAGCCTGTCCCAACGACTTACACGGCTGCACCGACCTTTATCTCGACAACCACCACCAGCTACTGGCCATTTGAACCCTCCCTTCTATCAAACTTATAGGTAAGACGCTTTTTGCTATTCTTTTATATTTTCCGTGCTGCGATGCACAGCAATCACAATAGCTTGGCGAGATGCTAGAGTGAGCCTGGCAACGGCGGCGAAGCTGATTAGCCATAACCTCTCACGGCAAAATAACATATGTTCAACCCCTCCTGCATTTTGGCTACCCATTATCAAGTCCGGTGCATCGATCTTGGCATACTGCATGTGGAGGCAAAAATTGCGGCCGCTGAGGGATGATGGCAGACAGGAGGACAGGATCCATGCAGCCGACTCAACCTAGCGAGGCCGACGTAGCTGATTGGTCTGAGGCCTTCCCACCGCACAATAACATCTGTTCAGCCCCTCCCTCCCGCAATTTCAGCACTCCTCTACCATCCCGCTCGACTCTCCTCTTCCCTTCGAACCATTTTATATATCCTCTTTGCTTCTTTCTCTTTTCCCCAAATCTATCTGTCCTGGAAACACCTTCAACGACAGGGAAATCCCGGAAACAAGGTTTTTACCTCGAACAACGTCAGAAACCACCAAACGCATACCGTCACCCAACAACAACCATCATGTCTACCACGTCGTCGATGAACGTCCTTCAGGGCTCGAACCCGAGGCAAGGCTCTCCTCCTATTCTTATTCAATACTTTCCCTCCTTCTATAATGTCCATCGTTGCCTGTTTAAACGCATCCCATTGAGAGACCATCCACTAACATAAACTGTAAAACGCAGTGTTACTTCCGCAAATCCCACCCTCCGACAAGCCGACGTCACAACTCGAGGGTCAGTCACCAATCCCCCGCGGCCCACATACACCGGGGGCTCACAGATTCCTGTCAATGCGCGGATGCAAGATCTGTCGTACGTTGCCGGCACGGCACTGCTGGTTCGCGATGTCAATGCGTTGAGTGGTGTCACCTCCGCCACCAGCTCGGTCGCTGGGGTTGGGCAAGCTCCAACGGCTGTCCCACTGTTGCGCTCGAATGGCACTGGCAACACGAATATAGACTATAAGGATATTGGTGCACAGTTTAGTTCGTCGTGATGCTGTCCACGAGTGGACGATCATTGACAATCAATGAAGCTTTTATGATTCCCTGTCATTTTACCCCTGCTGGCGATCCCTCTGTGGATGCTGGGGGGTTATTCTCTTCTCGCACTCATTTGTCTTTTTAAACTAGCCAGCGATTGTTCAACGCTGCACGTCTCGTCCGAGCAGTGGTTATGTTATCGCCAATATACTTCTCTGGGGATCTTTTACTGTCATGACACGAATACTGCAGACTGTGACTTCGGACAGAATTAACTGGCTACAATGCGGTCCTCGGCGCGCGGTCGAATCATGACATGGTGGCTGAGACAAGTGATGCACAGTGTGTGTAACGCCGATGGTTCCGTTGGTCAGCGACCGTGAGAGAAACCATCCCGTCCTCTTTCATCCCGAGACCGTCACACCTAGAACTCTCCGCATCCCAAAGGGTCACATTCCTCGTGGTTGCAACACTTTCGAGATGCACCATCCCCGTTGGACTTAAGCATCCCACTACAGGCCGACCCGACCCCAGGGGATTTGCAGTGGGGGCACCACTTTTCCCCGGGCGCCGGCGTCTCCACGCTTTGGCGCATCGAAGATCCATCTGTCATCTGCCATCTGCCATCCGCCATCCGCCATCCGCTATCGAGACCCACCCGTTAAACGGGGCTCTCGAACATTGCAACATTTTTGTTTTGTCTTTGGGAGAAACATACTGTACATGCAAATGCATTGCCATAGACAATGTTTCGTCGCCGCCATCCCGTCACGTGGGAACGTTCCATGCGCACACAGATGTCGTAGCTCCACAAAAACTCCCGAGGTTTCGTTCATCCCGTCGCCGTCGTTGTTTGTATTCGTAGCGGCGACTGACGGCGCAGGGCTTGGCCAGTGCCAGCCGCCCCCGACCCCGTGGTCACCGCCCTGAACAACCTCCGTACGAAGTAAGGTTGTCGACGTGTGGCGGCAAGTGTACTAAGTGTGCTACGCCGGCGATCCAAAAGCCCCTCTCTTGGCTTGATCCGCAGCCGGAAGACCGCAAGCTTGAGTTAGGGGCGGGCTTGACAAGGGGCTTGCTGCGTTGGCACTGGCGATGCCCTCACGCTACGTGCTAATCCCACACCTAGTCTTACTGAGCCACGCCCAGTGTCGCGGAAGGCGGAACGGGGACGATTTACGCGGTACCGGTACAGTTTTCCTAGCCCACGCCCGAGTCGAAATTTGCGAACCTCGCGGACGAAGCGATTAGAACACGAGTGAGGCAACCACGGCTACGCTGTTCAGGGATAGGGGCAATTGGATGGTCCGTCCGTGGTCTGCTGCGGTTAGCGCTGTGTTCTCGGCGACAAATTGCCCATGGCTCAACTGGGGGGTGTGGTCAGTGAGAGGAGGGGTCCGTCACTGAGGGTGCGTTTGTCGCCGACGCCTCGAGTTATCGCATGCGGGTCACGATGATCGACAGCTGATTCGGGGGTGTCGCCTACAAGCACCTACGCGGTCGCGTACCGGCGCGAGCACGTATGTACGCATTCTCTGCAGGCCCCAGACAGATGCCAGGCTGGCCAGCTCGCCCGGCCACTTTTACCATCTTACGAGACCCCACGGTTTTTCACGGAAGCTTCCCAGCACACCATCACTTCTGACTACCGAAGCTAAGGCATCCGCAGCGTCCTGGACCTGGTCACGCATTGCCTTACGGGCCGAGTCAAGTTTGGGCCGACAATCCGCCAGCTCATCAACAAGGCCTTTCCAATGAATGGGCATTGTTGAACCTCCGGCGCGGGACTTGCTCGGTAACAAGGGTTTGCGGCGCTTTTGGCTACAACGGTCAGGAGCAAAAATGAACCTATGGGGGGCTTGGGGTCAATTGTCGCCCAGGTGCCACGGAGCCATAAAAAAGATACTGGGGTGACTTGTCGCACATCCCAGTGTGGTTGAGGGCGCAATGAGAGACGTCGTCCTGTCGGAGTCGAAGGTCGACAGGTCCCGAGGTGTGAGGCGCAAGGGGGCGGGTTGTAGAAGTGCGGGTTCATGTTTCTCGAACGCCGCAGTCTGCTGCAAGCGTGCTGCAGATCCACAGAAGGCTGCGGGGGGCGAACCCGCCATGTCCCAGCAAGTCCAGGGGCTTGACAAGAGGAAGCTCGCCTACCCGGGCAATCTTGTTGCGCCCGCGAGTATCATATCCAGACAATCATGCTGGACATGATTGTCCAGCGGGCGGGGCTCAAGTCGGCGGGACGGTGAGGGAAAAGGCAGCGAGGCGACGGGGACGAAAAGATTCCTTCCCCCTCCCTTAGCGGCGTGCGCCAGCTCAGGAGACCGTTACTGATGGTCAGTGATGGTCAGGGCAAAAAGGGTGAAGGCGGCACGTGGCAGACGGCCGCCGTCGAAGAGCCCTGAAGAAAGAAAAAAGAAAGCGGTGCAGCGGCCGTGTCCCGCACGCTTTAGGGGACGACTTGGGAGTTGTGAGTGGAGGGAGTCCCAGTCGCAGCGCAGGCGCAGGCCGGAATTTCAGCCAGACTCGCCGCCTGTCGTTGCTGCACATACCCCTGTACCATCCACCACTCCGTCGTGTGTGCCGTCCGCATCGCCCGTCTTCCGGTCACTTTCCAGGTCGGTGATCTCCAAAACTCCATCCCCTCAGATCAGCAGAAAAAAAGGCCCTTCGCCAATCTTCTTAACCCCCAAGCCGCCGCCTCCCATCACACAATCAGGACTCAGCCTGCACCCCCCCAGGTTCTTTATTCCGTGTATTATCTCTTTTCGAGCGAATCCCACCTCTTGAATACTCCTAGCTGCTTCACGCGCCCCGTGTTCGAGCGTTGTTGGCATCTGAATCCCCCCTCTTGTCCCACGACGAGACAGCGACAGCCTGTTTCTCGCCAAAATTCTGCCTCAAAATTTTGCTCCTTCACATTGCCGTTTATCTTCTCTCGTTCGGTGTGCGAGCCACTGTCACCTCAGTGACACTCCCTCAGTTCGTTCGCTTCGTTGGCCCAGAGCCCGTCGGCGCCGCCTCCGCTTTCCTCAGCTTTCGTTCGCGATCGTGTCGACAACATGGCCTCCACGCACGCTCAGCAGGGCTCTGCATCGGGGTAAGTCTTCTGTCGGCTGCTGGTTCGTTCGATCGTTCGGTCGGTCGTGTCGGTCCTCGATGTCGTTGTCGTTGTCGTCGTGACGTGTGCTAATTGGGGTTACTGATAGCTGCGGCAGTGAGGCAGCTCAGTCTGGGGAACTCCAAGCTGAGTTCTTGGCTGCCTCCCGTGCCCGCGGAGCATCCTATAGTCATGATACTATCAATGCTCGCTTCTCCGCGACGCAGAGCTCAAGCGACGCACGCCAGGACGGGGATGCACCCGTCGGCGGCGAGCTGCTGAACCAGCTCGAGATGGACATGGCCAATTACGTCGCCCCGCCCACTGGTCAAGTTGCCACCACACAGACCACGCCCGCCTCACCAATGCTTTTGGCGGTCGGCTCGCACCTCGTTAAATAAACCACGCGTCATCGTCGGTATGTGTGATGCATTCGGTGATAAAAGAAAGAAGAAGGTTATTCGACTAACAGAAATGCAAGATGAATGAGGGTGGTTACCATATGGTGGTGGATGCCATCCTCAATTGATGCATGTTGGGCCGATATCGGCTACTGGCTCCCCATGACGTCAATCTGAGAGTTGGGTGGCTTGGGGTGCATTCCCCATGTTAATGAGCCACGGTTTCATGACTCAAGGTGGTTATGAGCTCCGTTTTTTTTTGTCTCATGAGGTTTGGGAAAATGCTTTCCTCGTGCGTATACTGGAGGCGCCGTTTTGTTTTTGACAACCTTCTGCAAAATCTGTCTCGAGGGGAGAGACAGGGAGTGCTCGATCTGCTGTTGGGTGCAATTGGTGGTGAGATCGAGCAAGGTTCGCCATAATTGCTCTCGAAGCGGTCTGTGAAATGCGCAAGCAAACCATTTCAGGCAAGTGTCTGAGGAGGTTAATTTCTTCCTTCACCCTTTCATCCTGTCCATGATGGTCAATGTATGGACCGTGTCCAAACAGCGGAGCGTAAAGCCCACGGATTTCGCCTGGTTTTTCTTGATGATGGATATGTTGGTTTGGGGACGTTTAGGGACTCTTTTCTTTTCCGTTTTTTGTTTGCCAGGATAGGTTGGATATATTTCCAGGATTCGGGATATGACGAGAGGACCTCGTGTCAAATCTTTGTTGAGGTCGATTGGTCGGTGACGACGATCTGGAGAAAGGGAGCCGTGGGTGTTGGGCAGAGTGAGACGCGGTTACGCCGGATACGTCTCCATGTTGAATACTGGAGCCAAGAAGCAACGACCCCCATGGTTTGGTTGGAATCTGCTCAGGGACAAAGCGATCCGATGATGCCATGCCCTGGAAGCTGGCATGGTGTCTGATCCGGAGCGTGCCTGGACCCCTGCACAGGTTCTTCTCTCATGACGGAACGCGACGCGACAAGACGAAGCGGAAGTCTCAAAAAGATGGATAAAATAGATGGAAAGAGCTGATGCTGCGATGCACAGCAATCACATCAGCTTGGTGAGATGGAAGAGTGAATGATGGACAACGAAAATACGGGAGGGGCTGAACAGATGTTATTGTGCGGTGGGAGACCCTAAGGCCAATCAGCTTCGTCGGCTTCGCTAGGCTGAGTCGGCTGCATGGATCCTGTCCTTTTGTCAATCATCCCTGAGCGGCCGCCGTTTTTGCCTCCACATTCATCATTCATCTTCTGTCTCGTACTCTGACTGGGTCGGAGGACGGCGATTTCAGCTTTACCGAACAACGACATATGACATTCTCGCCACGCGACACATCACCATCCACTTGCCTGAGCCGTTGGCAACAGCTCTCTTCTTGGATTCTTCGGCCTTTTGCCCCTTTGCATTTCAAAGCCCTCATCCCACAGCTAGACTCGGAGGCTTTTTTCTTTGTTTGTTTTGGGTATACGTATCTCACTCGTCTGGTAATTATAGAGGAGGAGTCTTTATTTTCTCAGGGGATCTTGTCTCGAATGCGCCTTTTCTCCTTGGCTCGCTTGGCTGGGGCTCGTTCCTGTCCGTCTGTATTAGTTAGCTGGCTACTCAAACTTCACTCGGAGCTAATTTTGTCCCTCATCTCGCTACACAGCCATGATTGCCCTCCCGTGCATCCGTCGCAAGTTAAGGGTGGTGAGCAAATGAGCATGAGGCTTGCCCGTGAATCCCACGCGTCGTTTCATTGCACGTTTGCGGGTGCATACGAATGCAAACTTATCCCAAACACGTCGCGTCACATCCGCAGCCTCTAGCCGGGGCCTAAAATACCGTATCCATTCCGACTTCTCCTTTCTGCCATGCCAGCCAATCCATTGCGTCCAAAATATTGTTCCCGGCTAAACCACTTGTCGTGTCTTGGGCTGATTTGAGGCCCGAGTTGGGCATCGTCATCTTTAAGACCGCACTTTCGGGTCGCCATGCTAGGTCCCTGTCTTTTCGTAGCCCTGGATGGCGGGAACAGATATACAACAGGCGACCAAATCATGATACCTGGTCGACGGGTCTTAACACGCGCGTCACACCTGGGAAGATGCAACGTCAAATTCGCCGAGCCCAAAATAGGGGAAGAATGGACCTGACCTTATAAAACCGCCCAATGCCAATGAGTATGACGCTTAAGAGAACAAGAATTTATAGCATCGGTATCATGAATTGAACTCCGACCTTGCATGCCTGCTGACGAAACCGTTCCAGACGCGTCGAGCCACGTCACATCGGGGGCGAAGCATCGAGAAAGTTAAAATCAAGTGACTCAAAGTGCCAGAGCGTGGCCAGCTCCCCGAGATCATCTTCTGAGAAGTTGGAAAAGACGGGTGTCTGCTCAATGGCCACTGGCGTTTGCTCGATAGTCACGGGTATCTGTCCAATAGCCGCCGGTGTTTGCGAAACTTCTGGTACAAGTGGCGTAGAATGAGCCTGGTACTCGACATACGACGGGGCCATGAATCCGCCATGACGAACAGGCTCGTTGGTGGTCAAAACGCTTGAGATGTGGAAGGCACCTGAGGAGGGAATGCTCGAGGTTGGAGAGGCCCTGGGTGCAGAGAGTGTCTTGAATTGAGAGCTCGACCCGGCTGATCTAGCCGAGATTGTTGTAGGCGTAGACGTCATCTGGTCTTGCGTGCTGATATCTCGTGAGATTGAGTGCGATGTGCTGGCCACCTTAGTGACACGGGCGCGCTTCGCGGCAGGGCTGTCGTCGATCTTGGGCCGTACGTCTGCACGAGGCAGCCGCTGCACAATACGTGACAAGATACCATACGACGTTCTAGCCGATTTCGTCACCGTTCGAAGACGCCGCAACATAGCATGTGCATTGTCAATAGCCTTGAAAACCTCATCTCGGCGAGGCAGGGAGTGGTGCTCGTCGTGAAGCACAGCTGTGCACAGTACTGTCGAAGTGTCGAAAATGCAGAACAGAACGAAATGGAACTTTGAGTCGCGGGGATAGACCCACTCGAAGAACCCTTTGAGAGACACCATGAGCTCCAAGAGGTAATTGATACCGTCGCTGCGAATCTTAAGCTCCGCCTCCTTGGTGTTGGTCGTGAACGGCTGTGCCAGGTACGCCCGGACAGGATCGAGCAGCATAGAGAAGGCCATTGTACGGATATAATGTCGGTGAAGCACAATCCACGGACAAGTCACATCCAAGGTCTTATCGGGGATATGCACGTCGAAAGGAGGAGGGAAGTCTTCGATCCATTGTTTTATCATCTCTTGATACTCTTGGACTTGTGCGGGCTCCGTGACATTCCTGGTAAGACCAAAGCGGTCATAGAGGTTGCGAATGAGGCCTGATTGCAACTTCATGTGTGCTAATGGAGATTGTTGCATCCCTTCCATGACAAGACTAGGCAGTTTGACGTCACATTCGGATCGATCGATAATCATGGGTCGCCCAAGGAGGGCTGAAATCTGCCTGGGGATGATTAGCTTCTGCGCGTGTTTCAACGACACTATTGGGAGGAGTCATAAATTACCAGTCCCAGGTGTCTAAAACACACCAAACCCTCCTCCGAAGTTCAAGCTCAAATTGGGTCAATTGCTCGGTCTTTGACTCTTGGTGCATAGCTATCGATGGTATTAGTCACGAGTCTCGAACGCAAAGTCATGAAATACAACAAAGACGAGAGGAGGAGTGGTACATACAAAGCTCTTGGGCTTCTCGGATAGCGGAGTTCAGAACATGCCAACACTCCACAAAACGGGCCTCTGATTTAAACCAATAGCACGAGTGCAGCAGCTGTTGAACGTTGGTGAGGTGGCTACATCCGATGGGGATGGTACTACCCAACTCACGAGCAGCTTCGTGATACTGCTCGGTAATTCGTTGGATGGTGTCGCCAAGGTCAATCTCGAGCTTTCGCTGGAGATCTTCGTCGGTGTACTGCGAGGAACACGCGCAGACCATGAGAAGGAGGCAGGTCCACTGGACGCTGAGGGGTCTATTATCGGCTCGTGTATCCCACCATTCCTTGTATTGTTCCAGGAAGATTGGCGGGTAGATGATGTAATAGTGGTAGTTGGCATTGTTCAGAAAATTCTGGACGAGGATGTCTGGCTACTTAGTTAGCGAGAACGCAAACCGATGGGTGGCGACTTTACTAGGGGACTTGCCTGTGTAAGGTCTTGGGGGAATGACCTTTAGAGCGCGCTCTAGAGGAGGAAAGATTTTGGGGTCTTTGATGAACTCGCGAGGCGACGATTTAACGACCTACGCCAGGCAAGTCAGAATGCAGGTCCCAGGGACTACAGCTGCGAGCCAACCCACCTCATCCTGCGCAGTGAGTCCATAGAGAATATGCGACGGCATGTAGCCCAGGGCGTCAATACCACTGCCTTCGGCCTCGTCGATTTCAGAGCCAGCAGAATCGGTGCTGAAGTCGCGGTTAAGGCGTCGCTTGCGCCGTTTGTCCTGAGCCACTTTCTCGGCTGTGGGTTGGTTGGAGTCCCTAAACCGACACTTATCGGCAGCTTTGCGCTTCTGACAATGGCTACAAGGCCACTCGCGGTTGCACTGATACGAAGTTAGACTGGCATATGGGCGACGGATGCCGCGGAGGACGCCGAGTGCGAGGGCCAGGATCGGGGTCAATGTTAGGAGGGAATTCGTTACCTTCTGCTTCCGGCGCGAGCACTCGGTGCAAGCAGCGCGAGCGTAGGTGTTGCCTTCGGAGACGACATCCATGGTGAAGAGGGTGGGGTTTCTTGCTAGCCAAGCTGGCGACACAGGAGTGGCAAAACAGGATCAAGACGCAGCCTTCGCAAAAGTTGATGACAGGGAGAAGCTTAACGAACAATGGCAAGCAAGAGAATAGGGGAAGGGGAAATAAAAGGAAAGGCTCGACTGATTTGATTGACTTAAGCACCTGCTGGCTGACTAGCTGACTGGCTGCCTGCAGAAAGTGGCAACGCAACGGAAAGGTAAAGTGTGTGCGTGTGTGTGGCTACAGGCTCTGGCTCTGACCTTGGTGTTGGCTCTAACCGATGTGATTACTCTTCATTGCCCTTTTGAGTTGCGGGTTTGCGCGGGCTGCTCCGAGTCTGGCTGGTCTGGTCTTGTCTTGTTTGGTCTGGTCTGGTTTGTTCAATTGGTTTGGCCCTGTCCGATGGCCACCAACAGTCCACATCCCGCCCTGACTGGGTCCAACAAGCCGCTGGCTGCGGGCTAGAACCAGGCAAACAGCCGTCCGACGCCGGCGGTGGGAATTTGGAATTTGGAATTTGGAATTGGAAGGTCGCAAGTGCCGTGTCTGCTTTCCTGGCTCCTGGAGCCTCGAATCCACCTCGTCTCAATAGCCTGCTTTGCGCCGCTCGCTCATCACTGGTCCTTCAGGATCCCCTAGGAGAGATAGCAATCCGTTCCTTTCCCCATGAGCAAATCAATTCGTCGCCGGCTGTGTATCGTCTTGGCTCTCGCGATATCTCATTGCATCGTCACGCAGATCCACGATCCGCCAAAATTGTTGTCTCTAAGCCCGGGCTTCTGGTCCCTGTACTTCGTACGGTCTTGGTCGACAGTGCCCCACCACGACTTGGCTTCGGCTGGGCCTGGGCGCACCATTCATGACGCCGTTGCTCGTATTTAGTCGTCTTACTTTCAGGGTTGCGAGGCGTCAGGAGACGCCTTAAACAGCGGAAAAGATACTCGTCGCATCTCCGCGGCTTTGTTCGGTGCTCTTGGTGGTTAGGTCGTTGCAGTTTCACCCAGCTGATTCCCCTCCGTAGTGGAACAGTTCCAAGATACCCTACATTATCATCAGTTGGACCTTATTTCATCCCCAATACCAGTATCTGCCAAGCGATACGCCGTTGTGAGTGTCCAAGACTTGGCTCGCTCGCCTCGCCTCACACAGCATCACCCAGTCAGGACGACAAGGGCTGCTGTTGTGTAAGCCCTGTTGTTGGGGCTCTACTGGTCTGGCCTGCTGACTGCGGTGAAGGAGGACAAAGATGGTGCTTTCGGTTAGCCTCAACATCCCGATTCCCCGGTTCTTGTTCCCTGATGGATTGGATATGGCTGGGGATGCGAGCGTGAGCGCTGTGATTCAGGGCAAATGCACGCGGGTGGTGCAGGAGGTCAATCTCGTATCTTGGTTGACTGAGAGCACAAATGAGAGAGTCGGTCAACGAAGATGAGGCACGTTCGTCGTCATCCCAGTTTCCGTAATATCCCAACTGAATCCGCACATGGGAACGAAGTCGGTGGCCGTGGCGAAACCGTAGCTGTGGCTGCTTGTTGCTCCATCGCTGCTTGGTTGCACAAGCTCCTGATTAGCGGACACTCGCACACCGATCAACCGCGGGGGACTGAGAGCGCGCACGAGGCTTGTGCTGGTGGCCAGTAAATTCGGAGGATTGGTAGCGGTGAGTTGTTTCGACGTTGGAGGATGCGTCAAGAGGAGCCGGTGAAAGCTAAGAGCAAGGTGAGCCCAGGAAGGAAGGAACGGTGAATTTTAGCAAGAGTGGCAATCCAGGTCGTTTCGTCAACGAAGGAAAGAGGGGAAAGAGGAAAGGGACGGGCGCCCTTCTAGCCAAGGCAAGTCCCGCTCCCTGGAGCAACGGCAAACGGAGCATTTTCATTCCATCACATCACATCAACATACAATTGCTTAAGCATATATATATCCTGTCGCCGACCAGACCCCAGAAACCCGAGAATATTGGGTTGGGCCACAATCGGGGCGGCTTGCAACATGTGCCCACATACGCCCCAAAAGCCGACGCATTAAAATGATGGTATGTATTGTCCCAACTGAGCTGGCAGCTTCTTGTATATGCGTGTAAGATGTTATCGCATTACGTGATTGAGCCAGCGCACTCTTGTCTAAGTATTGTAGCTCTGCATCAGCCACGCAAAGATAGCTCTACTCCCGATTCAGAAACCTGCACCGAACCTCGTTCTAGATATCGTTCCTCTCAACCATTCCAGTTCAGTCCAACAGTCATCTTTGGTCTCAGTAACTTGAGTAAGACAACATGACACGTCTCTCAGTTCTTTCCCGAGACAAAGCGGGGGAAATGCCGGACTTCCTCGCCCACAACTGCCAGTGATCCATCCATACAGTAAGGACGATGACGCCCTAATCGCCTGCATTGCGTCCCAGGTCTCTTCGTACCCTCCACACTCTCGATCCAACTGGCCGCTTCTCATTGCCCTTTAGCACCTCGACCCAAGGAATTGCCGTAAGGTCGCTGACCTTCTCAACATCTTTTGGCTCCGCAGTCGAATCATCATCGTCTGTATCCTCTTCCGTGACATCGAGCCATTCATCAGTTCCCTCGTCATTTCCAGCTTGCTCGTAAAGGTCCTCAGTGTATGCCCAGCTTGGGGCATCAAACTTGCCATGTACAAGGACGATATCTCGATCTTTCGATTTGATGTCCCTGATGACATCAGAAGAAATCGGCGTTAGTAGTTGGAGAGTCTTGGTTGTTGTGTCTATTCCCCGGATAAGAACCAACCCGACAGTACGGGAATACCTGGGGTCGAGAGCAACATCATTGTAATTTGGAATAAAAGTGAGGCCTTCGGGAGTCATAGGGAGCACGCGCTTCGACCCCATTTTGGCGTTTGTATCAACTTCCATGGTATTCGTGGCCGGAGCAGATGACCAGCCCAGTTCCAAGTCTCCAAACGCCTTCGGATCCTCAATTTCCACAGCGGCGAGTACCATTCCATTCACCGCGTCTGCTAGTAGTTCTGGAGGCGCTTGATAGTCGTATGAGAGGAGACACTGTATCCCAGGTTGCGGTGATGAATATGGAACTAAAAGTGGAGGTTTCGCGCTGAGAGGAGTTGGGTTCCATCTCATCCTCTGAGCTGCCGAGTCCGGCAAACTCGAACTCGGCTCGTCCAGGTGAAAATATGACATTGTATGCATCGCTCTCAAATGCGCAGCAGTCCTTGAGGTAAACTCGGATGGCTGGGATGGTAACTCAAAAAGGGTTGACTTGGTCACACCCCGCAACGTGTCGACAGTTTCTGCTGGCCCATCCTCTGACATGTAAAGTACTTCATCAGGTTCCATCTGCCCTATCACCTCGGACAGTAAGTCAAGACCTGTCCCTAAGATCCAACCGGGAGTGTTGACAATGATTGGGACGTCTTGGAAGGTCTTGCTGCATGTGTCAAAGAGATCTGCGGCACAAGCGAGGTACAGCTCCGGGTTCGTGGCAGGGGTAACCGATGCCAGGGCATGGCACCGAATGATCTCGTTCCCAGAGTCATTGATGCCAGGATGCGTAAATGGACTGGATAGATTCGGTCGCGTAACGTGAACGAGGGATAAAGTTCCCGCGGGGGCGTACTCGGGCTGCCCTGGGTCTAGGTCAAGAACCACAACACCCTTGGCGCTCTGACTCAAAGTTCGGTCTGTTAGAAGCCGATTTGTGAGGAGTCGTGAGAAGGTGGATTTTCCAGCTGATTTTGGCCCGCAAACTAGGGTCGACAAAGCCGGTTTCTTGCGGGCGGCCGAGACCAGAGAAGCAAGTTTCTTGTTCCACTCAGGGGGCGAGACCAAGTCCTGGATGATGCTGCGCTTAGGGGCATCTTCTGAAGTATGCAGCTGAAACTTTGTTAGCCAGGAATTGTTTCGAGAGTCTGAAGACTCACAATTTGGAAAGTCGCTTCCTTAGCACTTCTCTTCCCCGAGGTCGCGTCCGCTGGTTCATTCCACATCTTCCTGAATAAAGGCGACAACCGACCCAATTGACGCAGTCCTCGCGCGGCATTATCAGGGTGAAGCTCCAAGCCAGTGTTCTCCGCGCTTCTCAATACCGGAACTGCATGGCAGTGAGGAGCGTGAATCCATTGGATGGTCTCGGAAGGCCGTAAGCAGGCACCCGCAATCGTCACTTCGCCACGTAGAACCCGAATACCAAAGCTGCCGAGAACCATAAATCGCTACTCAAGTCAGCGTGATATGTTTCAGATAGCAAGGATCGAGTCGTACCTCGCTCTCTTCCAACCGCAGCTCAACCACGCCTCCAGTTTTGATACGGTGGTTCCTCTTAGTTGGTCGAAAGGATGAGTACTGTATGATGTTTTGAGAGGATGCCGATGATTCCGAGGCTGCATTGTTCAGACCTTCGCTAAACCACTTGTCAGTTTCGTGTACGGTAAAAGATATCAGAGAGTCTACCTTGGGGAGAGAACAGCCTTGAGTCGAGCTACACGGGATTCAGAACCCCGTTGTTGCGAAGACGGTTTCGGGGTGCTCTTGCTAGGTGTCCCATGTGGTCCGCCCTTGCTCCCAGCTTTTTGCAAGGGGCTATAAAAGTTGGTGGTGCTTATTATTGGTTTGTCGTCAACCTCTGGAGAAGTATTGGCTGGGGGTGTAGCAGCACTCGCTGCCTCCCGTCGACGAGCTGCCAGGGCGCTGATAGCGCTCATAGCTGCAGCATCTACCGTCAGTGCATAAACTTGAATGAACTCTTCTGGCTAAGAGAATAGAGGGCTAAGATGGCATGCAACGGCTTACACTTTGGAGTTTCCAGACCCTCCAGTCTCCGTTTCTTGTTGGATGACATAGCAACGGGGGCCGGCCTTGTCTCTTAGACAAACGCCGATATTCGGATACTCGCAGACGCAGTAAAATAAAATGACATGTTACTCTAGCAGCACAATAATGGATCCGGAAAACGCGATCAAGCCATCGAGCGATGAGCTCGTTTGTCCAGTTCATCCATGACTGAGCGGCCAAGTGAGAGCAAAGTGAGGTCTTATCGATAAGCGCAGCCACCAAATTTTCCCTTGCGCAAAAAAAAAAGTTGACCCAGCGCGTCTCGGTGGGGGACCTCACTAGCGCGATTCGACTTTCTGCCACCCGCCAAAATTTCATCGCCAACTTGAAGCACTTCATCTCTCATCCCTCCCTCACCTTGCCAATTGAGTCTTCCCCAGCGCGCACCACGCCCAGAAAACCGCCCACGATGGCGCCCAAGCAACCGTTTAAGGTGCATTCGCTTAGCAAGCACATCGAGAACACCAAGAAGGGCCTGTCCGCTGAGTCTCAGTTCAACCGCCGCCCTGCTGGCCGTGCGCCCGCCGTCAAGAAGGACCCCGACTCCTTCGATCCCAACAACCTCTTCCAGAGCCCCGGCGACGATGACGAAGAACCTCCCAGCGATAGCAATAGCAGCAGTGACGGTGAGGGTGGCTCTGACTTTCTTCGAAAACTCGCCGCGCCTGATGTGAAGACTCCCACTCCTGCCTCGCGTCGTCGCAACAAGGACGTCGAGATCGCCGATAGCGACGTCGAACGGAACGCGTCTTCCAAGAACACAACCGCTGCCAAAAAGTCTGCCAAGGTCAAGCCTGAAGCAGAGTCCTCGGACGATACCAGCAGTTCATCCGACACCTCGAGCGATAGTGAGAGCGACAGTGAAGCAGCTGCAAAGCCCACCAAGCCTGCCGCTGCCAAGGAGGCCAGCTCTGATTCTAGCAGCGAGGAATCCAGCTCTTCTGAGAGCGAATCTGAGAGCGAGGCTGAGAGTGAGGCCGAGCCCGAGACCAAGACCAAGGCGAAGCCCGTGGTGAACGGAAATGCCACTACTGCAACGACTTCGAGCAGCTCCAGCGAAGAGAGTTCGAGCGAGAGCGAGAACGAAGACGAGCCGGCCAAGCCGGTCAAGCCCACCAAGAAGCCAGTCGAAGCTGAGGCTGACAGCTCTTCGTCCAGTGAAGACGAAGATGAGGAGATGGTTGATGAATCTATGCACATCGAGGACCGCCAGAATAAGAGGCAGCTCGCTGCTGTCCCCAACTTCATCGCCCCCGATTTCGTCCTCCGCAAGGGCGACGACGGTGTCAATGGCAAGGACGTGGCTGAGATTTGCAACCAGGCCAACCTCGAGGGCAAGCAATTCTGGTACTTCACTGTCCCCTCCAACGTGCCCATTTCCGTGGTTCAGAACTTGGAGATCCCCATGGACCATTCCCAGCGCGACAACCCACTCTTCTCCCACGGCGGCGATGACTATGGTGTTTCGTTCGAGAGTATTGCTCCCAAAGGCAACATTCAGATCCTCATTCCATCTGCAGACGGCTCACAATATCGATCATGTAAGTTTTAGACGCCTTCAGTATTCTAACGCGGTGCTAACTCGACATACCAGCTACTCGACAAGTCAACCAAGTCATGCAGGTCAAGAAGATTACACAACTGGCCAGCCTCCCTAGCTCTGCCATTGGTCCCGCTGAAAGACGAACCCCTCGCGCCCAGCCCAAGGGTCTCAGGTCCCGGTACCAACCCATCGGTGTCAACGAGCCCACCGACAACCTCGAAGCGGACGGTAGCGAGGTGGAAGAGGATACCGAGATGACGGAAGCTCCCGCTGTCCCTACTACATCCAAGACCTCAAGCAAGAAGGAAAAGAAGCGAAAAGATAAGGACTCTGTTGCTCTGGCTACACCGTCGGCCGGAAAGGAGAAGAAGCAAAAGAACGCTGGCGCAAGCGTCATTGAGCCCCCAAGCTCCCGGACACTGGGTGTCTCAACTCCTGAAGTCGCTCGCAAGGGTAAGCGGAAGCACACCATCTCGGAGGATGATGCCGCCGCCGCCGCCGAGCAACTGATGGCGGAGAGCAAGTCTGCTGTGATCAAGCCGAAGAAGCAGAAGACGAACCGCTCTGGCAGCCCGGATCTTGGCTCCGAGGCCCCATCCACTTCCGCAAAGAAGCAGACTCATGTCCCGCCACCAGCCATCCCCCAGGCCACGCCCACCCCCAGATCTGTTTCTCCTCCGGCACCCAGCACCTCCAAGAAGTCCAAAAAGGTCAAGGAGCCCAAGCTTGAGCTGCCTATCCTGACCAACAACTCCAAGCAAACACCTGTCCCTGTGCCCGCCGTTCCTCACTCCTCCCAGGCGATTCCCCCCTCGTCGCCCAACCTCACCAAGGAGGAGAAGCGCGCCAAGAAGCGCAAGGAGAAGGAGAGCGCTAAGACCAAGACACCCAGCAGAAAGGTGACGCCAGTGCCACCCCCCATGATCGGGTCGAGCTAGAAGCCCTTGCCCCCGTATTACCCAACTTATCCCTTCAAGAACCGAAGATAATGACTCTACCATATCTTCTGGGGCATGCCGCTGCCTCACGGGTTTTTGCTTTGGTTAAACAACAAAAGTCTTGAGGAAAATGTTCTCCCAAAGGCACAGGTGGAGGTCGCGCTGGACCAAGGGCGATTCGCATATTCTCTTTTTCTTGCTTGACTTGATACGATTCTGGTGCTTTGATACCGCGGCGAGACACGTGGTCTCTCTCATAATGCGGCATGGCGTTGGTGGTGATTTTCAGGAGGATGAGACGGCCACGGAAGTGCTCGCTTGATTCCTCGGTCAGGGACTCTTATATGAGTTGAACGTTGTCGAGACGGTAGTTGAGACGAGGAGGTACATATTATTGTAGTCAAATGTCTGAGTACACAACGTCGTCCACAGAGCTTTATTTAGACATTCTCTTTGCACTTTGAAGTCATCGCGTATCTCAAGAAGCCAGCCAATCTCGGGATTTTAATGGCATGTCCCCCATATTCAAGAGATCGTGCCAAGAACAATCGGCCGTCATAGGTTACAAGGCTGTCTTTAGGTCCCGTGTTCGACGTAGGCCCAGGTAGATGGATGTGATGAACATATCCTCTCCGTGTCTGTCAGGGATAGAAGGCCTATCTGTTAGGTCCGTACGTTCACTCTCTGTCTTCTCCTTTCTCTCCCTCGGAAACAAGCAATAGCACGCAGAACTTTAAGCTCAGCATGACACCGAATTTGAATTATATATGTTAGACATCTTCCATGTCGTAAGTCGTAAAGATGAGGATATTTTCCTCTTGTTAGCAGATATTAGCAATATATTGCTGTGTTGGATGATCAAAAATCATTGCCCATCCACATAACAAGCGCTTTGCTATTCGCACACAGATGCAGATCTTTCCATCAAGCCTCAGCTCACTCCAGGCATTTGATCCAAGCGTGTCGACGTGTAAGCCAAGGGACTACATTGTTGTTTTAATGAAGAAAAATGTGTACGAAAAGTGGCAAACACTACGAGTCAGTTTCTTAAACTTACTCCTTCGAATACTGCATTGGATGCATTATTGATAAAACGTGAGCATTGAGACACTCTTCTTGGGTGTGCGGATAGCAGGATGCATGTTCGCAAATGGCAATACTCAACAAACACTGCAAAGTATGTTCTTTCAATCCACAAACACACTCTCCTCCTCCTTTCAACAACTCCAGTCCCAGGTCTCTGGGTAGAGTTTCCCTAGTCAACCCCGAAGCTCTGCAAGCTCCCCAGAGCCTCACATAGACTTCGCTCGCGACGTTTAGCCAAAGTCTCCACCACCATCACGATGACGTGTCCCATCGCACATGCCAGAGGTTCCGCGGCCTAGCCCACGTTGTCCGTGTGGACATGGCATGAGCTTATCTTCTTTGGCTGAGTTCAAGAGAAGAAAGGGGGGGGTGAGACGTCAAAGACCCTTGGACCCCGGATTTGGATTGGGCCGGTCTGGGTGAGGCTGAGATGGCAGCTGGGACGTGGGGTTGGATTTGGGCTGGAATGGGATAGGAAGACCTTGTGCTACGTGGGATCTGTTTGGTCGATTGGGTCGCTGATGTGAGAGTTTGGGTTAGGCGCATGGGGGGTCAGTGAACAAGAAGTAAGCAATTTGGACCTTTACACTTTGCTCACAAGTGATTGGTTCCTCGCTCGGCGTCAATACTTTGCTCTTGTACTCAACGACTTCGTACTAGGTAGCCATGTTGCTGGCCAAAGGGGAGATGTCATGAGCAGGGTGCTCCGTACTCAACACCACGGGAGCATCGTCAATCTGCATACTGGAAGCTCAAGAGATGATAGCATAACGTTGAAACTTTGGTCTCCAGACATTATCTTTCTGCATTCGGCCATCAGAGTAACCACCCCAGCTTAGGATCATCCGCCAGCCTCGGCCAGGTGGTCACAGCCAGACTCATGCAGTGACCAGCCTTGTCGATCCAGTCCGCATAAGTAGCGATGGGCCGCTCGAAACTGCGGGGCGTAGGGCCACGACTACAGTAATATGCGTATTGCGTTGGCATGGATTGTTCAACCAAGGCCAGTGTGTGTCGCCATCCTCTGTGCACTTGTGAAGCTGCATGGCTCGCTACGTGGACACAGCGTCGACAAGTCAACGCGTGGACAACGTGTCGGTTTGAGGACCCAATAGGTTCATGCATGGTCAGAGTGAGCACTTCGAAGCTCTGGAACAAGCATGACATCTTCAGCATGACGCAGATTACGATACGCATATCAGAAGCAAGTAGTAGCCAGTAACCAGCATCCATGGTCTTAATTTCCGTTGGCAATGTCCGATTCGGCAGCTCGGGGCCGGCGGGAGGCCGGAGTGGCCCGAAGCCTCCGCGGACATCAACAACACTCAACCTGAACAGCCGGAGCAAAAAGAAATGCACGCTCCGTCGCCAAATGCCGAGGCTCCCGCGGTTCATGCCGAATAACCTCACGTTGCACAGAAAACGATCCACTGGTAAGAAAAAGACCAGTCGTGCGTGACTTGCGAGCGGTTTTTTGCTGTTGCAGAACCCACCCATGCCGACCGAGGCCTGCAGCAATTCCCATACTACGTTGTGACATGCCATGCCGCGAGAAACCTGCATCCCGGAACGGCCGGCGATGAGACACAAAGGCATCAGGCGACCAGGGCAAGCCGATTCCCATTGATCGTCCCACCCGCCGGTGCGAATGGCATCCACACCGACAAGTCCCGGCCGCAAACTACCGACCACGGACCAACGGCCAAGAGGAAAGAAAAGAAAAATATTTTCTTTAGGCCTACTTTGTGATGGGTCCATGGGCTCCGCCGAGAAGTGATAGGACGTTTTCATCGGGAGGCGAGACTGAAATCGGCCGAGAAAGAGAAGACGGCGGAAAAAAGAGAAGAAAACCGGGCTCGTTGAGTGGAGACCCGGCGGGTTCCACGGTAATTAATGACTTGTTGAAGCCCAACGACGGCTCGAGTGTGAGATTTTGATAGCAGCAGTACTAAGTATCGCATTGTGGTCGCGAGGTACTTGGATGCAGAGTCCTTCGACCCTGTCAATGATCAGCCACCACTCCGTAGCGGGATATGGGATATGCAGCTGATATGACTGACGAGGGCCAGCCAAGGCGGCTACCTCGGCTGGCGCATGGGCTCTGAAGGCTAGGTGATATTGAAGGTCTCAGGATCTGAAATGGAGTGCGGTGTCAGGATACCTCGCTCAGCTCTGGTGCCACGCAGCCGTGCCGGTGTGGCTCACGAGGGCACGAGACCGCAGCCTGGATGTCGCCAGAGCCGTTGGAGCGAGTGAGGCTATTGGGCCCCATGATATGAGTGTGTGCTTGCATGTGTCGTCTAGCCTGCTGCAGGGAGCGAGGGCATGCAACGAATGCTGACGGATCTGTGTTGGTCCCAAGGGTCCATCGCAACGGGCTGTGATGGCTCAAGCGGTTGCGGTCTGGAACACAATCCCCACGACGGCCAGCCTGCTGAGCCTGTGCTTGGGGCCACTGCCACTGAATGACGGTGTGACGCTGTCGGAGCGCGGCGCAACAGCTTGGTGAAGCTTGCAACCACACGCGACCGGCTTCCAGCTCCCAGCCACCCATCACCGAAGATCGAGGTGTTACTACTGTCGACTACCAAGTCGGTGTACAACGTCAGTGCACAATCCGGCCGCCCTCCGCGCACGCCAAAGATATCCGCCGCGCCAGATCGGAAGCAAGTGAGGCAGTTGGTGAGCTAGTGCCGTCGCATTGCAGCTACGGCCAATGGTGAAGGATTGGACCCGGCCACAAGCGCCGCATGCTCGCCATCACCAAGTGCCGGGTCGCATGCGACGACGACACGTTGGGGCCGTGCTGACTGCCGTCTGTTGTAACGTGTAACATCTTCAAGGAGGTCCATCCGTCCATCTCATCCATCTCACCCCGTCTCCTTTCGCCCAGTTTCCTCCGTATCGTCGTTAATGAGAACCGGCGGCGGATATAATCAATTCATTGCCCCGAGATTTCGCTTTCGGGGTCCCGGGCCAGTCACGCGAGCCATATGCTCGGGCTGGCTAATTACTACAGTGCTCGGTAGAGAGGGACTCACGCGCGGGTCAATCCACCCTCATCTCATCGGATCGCCCTGTGTTGCAAAGAGCGAAATGGCGCCAGGGGCCAAGAGGCTAGCGCCGTCCGCCAATGTTCTTGGTGTTAATGGGTGGTAGCTCGTGCGCCTCAGCGCAGTTCAGCATGAATTGCGGTGAGGTCGCGCGCGTGCCTGCCGATGCAGATACACAGAGGATGACGGGAGGTTGATTCAACAGCGCCAGGGGCACCCTCGTAAGCACGTTTCCGCAAGGCGCACAGAGGAATGACAGCTGAGTCGGCCGACAAATGAGCATCAGTCGAGGAACAAGTCCGAGACATGCGAGGATCGTCACCTAACAGGCGCTATCAAAGACTCGAGCCTCGACAGGCTCAACGGGTTTCGCATCCCTAGTGTGGGAGTTTGAAAGCGACCCTCCCAAATCTTATCAACCCTTGCTGCTCCTTGTCATGTCGCTACACCGAGTAGTCGTACTGTGTGTCTTTAACGCCCCCAAAAGCCGTTGCCTAGGTCGCGCCGGGGTCCACAGTCTGGACCCTCACATCGCGCTTCCGCTTCGCATCGCATCCATCGCATTGCATCGTGGACGGAGTCGCGACAATGGAGTCGCCGTTTTTAGCTCACTTGCACAATCAGGCTCGGGACTAACGCCAGTCCGACACGCCGCACTGGAACGGAGACAACGACGTCACTCGCCGATAACGATTCTGCATAATTCGGTACACAGACCGAGCTAGTCATCTAGCCCACAATTATTCAATGGTAATGAACAGTAGAACTGAGCGGTCCCGTCTGTGACAGCGTCGCAACATCCAGAGCCAAGGGGTCCGTTGCTTCCGGATGGGCCGGGGGATTTTGCCAGCTGGGCGTTTCGTGGGTCGCCGTGACCCCTGCTGTCTGCGCGTCCCCTGAGAGGCGGATTGGGCACACGCAGCCGGACCACGTAAGTACGCTCCAGCACGCGTGTGAGATGGATTGGATTGTGTGGTCTGCAACAGCAGGTCAGGAACTCTGGGGACTGGAGCCTGGGGATGCGGGATGCGGGATGCGCCTCGACCGTTGCGCAAATCGTCAACGATACTGGTAAGGAACAGGCCTTGGTGAGGTACTGTGGACACACATTGAGGCGCACAAGCTCCCGGGGCCGAGATGAACAGGGCTGAGTAGTCCAGCCAGTTGGCAAGAGGATGATCCCGTAAGCACAGGATCCTCATCTTATTTGAGCTCCTAGTTCGTTAGGAGAGGTGGAAGATGGCAGCCTGCCGAATGCCGGTTGCTCGTCGATACCCGTTCTGTGGGCGATGCCCGTGCTCGCTAGCCGCTGGGACCCGGTCGTAAATGCCATGGGATGCGGATGCTGAAGCTGACCCTGGCAATTGCGAAGTGCGACCCAGACACCTCCAGGTACCTCGTTGCGGGAGGTCTGCATGAGAGGTACATTTGAGACACCATTTGAGGCTTCCAGGAGCGCGCGCATGCCACCCCACGAAGCGCCATCTCGTGCGGCCCAGGATGCGGAGTGGAGTGCTTTTGGGAGGTGTGGAGGGGTCGTTAAGTGCGAGCTGGCGAGCTGGGTGGCGCGTGAGCGAAAGCGAGGGAGAGAGCAGCAGCCATTCCACGGGCAGCAAAGCATTCCACCTCAGTGCCTGTCGTCCGCGGAGGAAAAGGTACCTGCGATCCAGGTAGCCCAAGTACCTTCCATGCGCTTAGCTGTTCCTTGGCCCCTTCGCCGAGATGCATTGGCTCCAGAGTCGGCGCCAGCACCGAACGCCCCGCTTTTGCAGCTGCTATTCGCTCTCTCGGGCGTTGCTATGAAACTTTGCAGTGGAGCCATGGCTTTTTTTTTTTTTTTCTTCACTCTCGCGGCCGCATCGTCATCGTCATCACCATCTAGTTCCGCCGGTGGAGACGCAGGTATCCATCGGAGAGTTACCTCGCCTGCAGCTCAAGTTCGTTCGTTTTTGGGCGGCGCGCACCCTAAATTGTGAGAGACCGTTCACTGGAAGGAACATCCAGGTAGGTGCGTCCACTGGAGTTTTGAACCTTTCTCTGCCATCCGTGCTCGCTGTCGGAGTCGGTCTCGCCTTGTTCATGCCGGCCCCATCCATAGGGCCACGGGGCATTGTTGTTCTGCAGGCGAATTGAGATGTACTTGGCGAGATTCGCTGTGCCCCGGTAACTACCCATACCCAGCCGTAGGCCGGAGCTTCGGCTGCATCCCAGCGAATCGAGGTGATGTCAGTCATCTGGCCTTGCCATGCCCGTGCCCGGACCGGACATTATGCTTCGCGATGATTCTATGCTTTCCGCGTACACGGCGTATTTCCTCGCTTCAACCATCTGCTGTTGTTGTGGGCTGTCGCAATCATTTGTCTGATGTTTAAATCCCCGGTTGATCGTCGCCAATTTCGTGGGCGGAGTCGGATGAGACAGTAAACCTAGTTAAGCTTCCCTTGCTTCCCCAGGTCTCATCCAGTGGCTTGCCTCCTGGTGCGAAGCACAAACACGCCGCTTCAGCCATGTCGGGTGGTATACTGTGTAGCCATCGCCAGGCTGTGCTTAGTCCGTCCCTGCTGTGCCACAGTTATGGACGCTGCGACAGAACCGAGCTCGACAAGGGTATCCGTTACTGAACGCGGCGGCTGTGCAAACTGTCGCTTGGTGACGTCGACGTAAACAGCCACAATCAAGTGGAAGAAACGGACGGACGCCAAGATGATCCTTCCTCGTCTCTCTTTCATCCCATTCATGTCGTGCGAGTTTGGGATTGGGTGCTGAGGTGAAGGATGGTCCCGCTCGCGAATGATTATTATGGATGGGACTCGGCGGAGGGATTGTCCACGTCGGCGAGCCCCCCTCTAATCTTACACAGTGGATTGTTCGCCTTGCGCACAAGCACCAGCTCTGTCAGCCTACGCTGCGCCTTGGGATGTTGTCTTGGCAGCAGCAGAGGAAGAAGAACTAGTTAGACGGAGCAACAGCATCATTCTCATCTGTCGATATGCGTGTCTGCTGCCTGTTTGCCCTGTTTGTGCGGGCAGATGCCAACGAAACAGCCAAGAGGAATTGCTCGCTTAGGTGCTTAGGTACTTGGGTGAGGTCCTACTACGTACGTTGGCATGTAAGGAAGGACATCGGGCAGGGATCGATGGGCTGCCTCCCACTCCATCGCTCGCTCGCCCATAGCCATTGCGTCGCCTTGTCGTCCGATTCATTTCTCTAAAATAAAGAAATGAATAGACTTGTTGCACTAGAAACGTATCCCGTATAGGGGATACGTGTAAGAAGAAGCATGTCCGTCTTCAACTAGCTACGCGGTTACCAAGCCGTCGTCCTGTCAGTCCAAGCCAGGCCTGTCCTCACGCGACATTGGGCTGTAGCGAAGCCTTGGCCCACACTGTCAGGAAATTGCGGTAATTCGCCGGCGTGGGCGGCGTCGGGGTAGCTCAAACTCCGTGTCTCCGCCAACGCCGGAGGGATGCTCAGATGCTGTGGGTGCGGCACACTGTGCGGAAGACTGTGCTGCGTGCGCTGTGTGGCGCTGTGTGTGTGCTGTGTCAGCACGCAGCAGAGAAACTGCACGCGAGCGGACTGCTCGGAGTCCGCCACTGTGACTGGTTCCCGGCGCCCGGTCAGTGGCCGTCACTGCAATCCGCGGCCGTCAGAGACCGGGCTAGAGCCGTGACGGAGCGCCAATCAGGCTTAGGCGGACGCCCCATTGCAATTTCGCAAGCAGCGAGAGTAAGGTACTTGGCCCCCTTGTACCCACAGCTCTTCCCGCAGCATCCGGGGCCGTCCCATCAGCATCAGCCACTAGCCCTTGGGCCTTGGTGCCCTGGTCGCCAGGCCCTGTAACAGCCCGAAGCCCTGCAAAAGTCGCTGTGGGTTGGGGGGATGGTAGCACTGGGGGCACTGGGGGCACTGGGGGCAGTATGGCTTAGCGCTGTTCCTCGCTGCTGCCCTGTCCTGCAGCGTTGTAGCCCTGGGCTTTTAGGTGCCGCGCCCACTGCATTACGGCGCTGTGCGGCAGGGTTGCGAGTCCGAGGGTGAGTTTCCGCCGTGTCCGCAGCGTGTCCGCAGTGGCCGTGTAAGAGCGAGGAGCCCGAGCGAGCAGACCGAGCAGAGCCTGCGCCGCAAAGCAACAAAAGCACCCAGTGCGCCCAAGCCCCAAGCCGCCCCTTCTGCACCTCGTCCTGCACCTCGTCATCATCCTCATCCCTCCCCTCGCACTCTTTACTACCTCGACTCCTCTCCTTGCCTCGTCCTCTTATTTCCTCTTTTCTCTCCCTTCTCCTCTTGGCCCTTCCCGCACCCTCTCAGCCATCACTCTCTCTCATCTTCGGAGTCACTTAGCTTAACACTTCGTCTCCGTGTGGCGTCCTGTCGCGTGCTGCCTCGCCTCCCTCCCGGCCTCCTGCTCCGACGGCGACTGCTTCCACCGACTCCCCGACCATCCGAGTTCCCGACGGTGGTGAAATCACTTCTTGTGACGAGGTTACTTGGATTATGCGGTAGCTTTTGGGTATTCATATTGGGTCATCGACGAAAACTTCTACCAGACGACCTCCTCCTCGACCTCCCTGCTTCTCTTTGTCCCACGATTCCACCCTCCCGACTTCGACCTCCACGGCCATCATGAACGACCTCTCTGCCACCCTTTCGGGCAAGCCCAAGCTGCAGCTCCTCTGGCCCGAACACCTCAACTTGCCCTTCCTCAACACCATCCCCCACCGATATGGAATTGGCCGCCGGCGCAGCAAGTCAAAGTCAAGAGCCCACCCGGGTGTCGACGACATCACCACCTTGAAGACCTCCTTCAATGCTTGGGACGGCTTGCGTGATCTCCAAAAGCACAAGTGGTGCACGTCGGATCTGCAGTACCTCTTTCTGGCCATGTTGGCTCTCTTCTCGCTCTGGGTCGCTCCCCCTGCACCCGGAGTCAAGACTCTCGCCGTTCTCCTCAGTGTCTGGGTCATCGCCATGCCCGCTACGCGACAGTTCTTCCTTCCATCGTCGATGATTTGGATTTGGTTGTTGTATTTCTTCTGCAGCCGGTAAGTTTTTCCCCGATCGTCCAAAAACCCGCGTTTGCACCCCTAACACCCCTGCCAGGTTTATCCCCTATGATTATCGCCCCCATATCTGGGTTCGCGTTCTTCCCGCTCTGGAGAACGTCCTCTACGGCGCAAACCTCTCCAACATCCTATCCGCTCACCAACATCCTTTTCTCGACATCCTTGCCTGGCTCCCCTACGGCATAATGCACTTCGGTGCCCCCGTCGTCGTCTCCCTAATTATGTTCATTTTTTCCGCCCCAGGCTCGACCCCGGTCTTCGCACGAACTTTCGGCTGGATGAGCATCCTTGGTGTTACCATTCAGATCCTTTTCCCCTGCACGCCGCCTTGGTATGAAAACGAGCACGGCCTGGTCCCGGCCGCCTACGGCATGCCCGGATCACCCGCCGGTCTCGCTCGCATTGACAAAATCTTCGGAATTGACCTCTACACAACCAACTTCACGAGTGCGCCGCTGCCGTTCGGTGCATTCCCCTCGCTCCATGCCGCCAATGCCGTTCTCGAGGCTCTCTTCATGTCCCACTGCTTCCCGCAGTTCCGAACCTTCTTCATCGTGTACGCTGGTTGGGTCTGGTGGGCTACTATGTACCTCAGCCACCACTATGCGATTGATCTGGTCTGTGGAGGTCTCATCGCCGCTACTTTCTTCTACGTGGCCAAGGCCCGATGGTTGCCTCAGCGTCAGGAGGACAAGATGACCCGATGGGACTACGAAATTGTGGAGTACGGCGATCGCCAGAAGAACACTGACGAGGAGTATGGCGAGTACTTTGGCCTTGGTCTGTTGGATCGCCGCAGGGCCGACTCAAGCGACGGGTGGACTGTCGGTAGCAGCTCCAGCTGCAGCTCCACCAGCGGCACCCTAAGCCCAACCCTCTCGGAAGAGGCCATCCCAGGAATGTTGATGGATATGGACAACGCTCAGCTCTGGGACGGCCACACCCCCCCGCGAGACGTCGACCTAAGCGAAGTGGTTGTGTCACGGTAGACCGGCTCGATCCAATCCACGTTCCCGGACGCGATCACCAGCCTCCCTCGACACGACTTGTGTTGAGAGATTCACGACTCACACATTCCCGAACATCCTAATTATTTTTCGACGTCACATATTTTTTTTTTCTTTTTTACATCTTTGGCATTCATTGGCACAGCGATTAGGCGCAACTCGGTGTTTTACGACAGAAACTGGATTCTGACGCCGGGCCGTCAGAGGGACGGAAATTGTAATAATGGGAATTGGGGACATCAAGGGAGGTGTCCCCATAATGCATATAACCCTGGACGGATGACGGGGATCTGATAGAGTAATGTATACAAAGCAGCGGAGGCTAATTCGCGCATGAGAAGAGGAGGAGAACCATGCGCTGAGACATTCGCTACTGAGCTCGTGTGGAGGAGGAAAATGGAACCACGCCCTCTCGATAAGGACGAACCGGGACCGGCTCACTGCCTCCCAAGTTGGATTTGAAGATGGCCTTGCCAGGTGCAGTGAAGCAAACTGCTGAGGGGAAGGCAAATGAACTTACCAAAGATACCACTCGCTAGACAGTAGGAGTTAGAGAAGAAGATGAATAACAGACACAATGATCTGTCAATAACTGAAATGTCTGTCTTTTGTGATGCCGAACTGTTCATCATTCTATTCCTATCGGTAATCACTTTATTCTCAATTCCATTAAGAGACACTGATCATGTTGAACGAAACAAGCATATTTAAATGCCTTGAATAATTGACATATCCGAGTCTTGGACTTTATCTGCCTTGGGTTGATGGGATTGACTTGGGAAGATAACTTCATTCCTTCCTCAACATTCTCGAGAGGATGGGATCGCAGCCCAAAGACATGGAATACACATGAATCAGTACACAAAGCAAAGCAAAGCATACACTATATTCTCGATACCTCCCAGACATCACTTAGATCAAGTCACACTCGAGTACGAAAGAGAGAGTATTCAGGACAGAGAAACAAGAGACTCTTCATCTGGAACGCCCTGGTGCCTCGCTATATTTAGCTGGTGTCGCTGGTATCTACTCCAAAAATCATCGGGACTAAGATCATGAAAAATGACGAGAAAACAAGACGAAAAGCAAACGTGGAAACAAAAAGTAGTCAAGGTAGAGCTATCCTCGTGAGAACCTGAAGATCCTCACTTGAAAGCTCTGCCGGGCATGGAACGGCGATCCTGCCGTCCGTCCAACCCTCGTCCGGTCGTCGACCAGCTCCGTGCCCCGGTAGTGTTGTGGGAGAAGAAATAGAGCACAAGTAAAGGAGAAAATATTCAGAAATCCTGCCCGCCTCCCACAGATCAAGAATTGGCTGCTCCTCCGTTTTCCCTCATTGTGGTCGTGTATGCTAGCATTCCACTCCTCTTACAACCCAAAGCACGAGCCTCACCTCCTCTATCGTGAGCCCGTTTTCGCATCACCAGTCCAGTACCATGTTCGCAGTACCTATGATCGATATTCGTTGCCGCATTGCGTAAGCAATCTCTTCTCCATTCTACGCCTACCTCCTTTGCGACGGGACGGTCCAGAGTCCCTTGCTCGTCTCGACAACACGGTTGCCATTGTTGCCTGGCTGCAGCGCCGAGGGAACACCCGTGTTCCCCATCTCCACGTCCACAGAGCTCTGTGTTCCGTAGCCGCTGTCCTTGCTCATGGAGATGGCACTGTCGTCCTTCCGGACACCAGGCTGGTCCTGCGGGGCTCGAGCAGCGGCGGCGGTTCCCCTGTTGGGCTCTTTGGAGCGGGCGCCGTTCATCATGCCATTCTGAGCCTCGCGCAGCTTGTTGATGGCGCGGACAGTGTCGATGGCGGCATGCAGCGTCCGGCGGGCGTTGAAGTTCTTCTTGATGTTGGGCAGGAGGTTCTGGCTCTCGCCCTCGGCGTTGATGAAACCGGCGACGAAGGGGTGTTGGAGGGCCTCGTGGGCAGTGATGCGCTTTGTAGAGTCAATCGTCAGGCATCTCCGGATGAAGTCCTTGGCGTGGTCGGAGACACCTCGCCAGTACTCGACCGGTGTGAAGCTATAGTCGGCATTGAGAATGGCCTGCATCTCTTCAAAGTCGGAATCGCGGTCGAAGGGGGTGTAGCCACACAGGAGGAAGTAAGTGATGACGCCGAGGGCCCAGAGATCAACCGGCTTACCATGGCCCGACTTCTTAAAGATCTCGGGAGCCATGTAGCCGGGGGTACCACAGGTGGTGGTGAGCACATGGAACTGCTCCTCGTCCATGATTCGCGAGAGGCCAAAGTCGGCGATAAGCAGGTCTGCATTGTCCTCGGGGGTGCGGAAGAGGAGGTTTTCGGGCTTTAGATCGCGGTGAACGATTCCGTGGTCGTGGAGGTAAGCGACGGCAGAGAGTGTGGCACGGATGAGGTCGGCGGCGTCTGATTCGTAGTAGGAGCCCTTGCGGCAAATTCGATCGAAGAGCTCGCCTCCAAGAGCAAGATCGGTGACGAGGTAGAGGTTGTTCATCGTTTCGAAGTAGTCGACGAGGGTGAGGATGTTCTGGTGACCCATGGAGACCTTTTTGAGGACGGCGATTTCATTCCGGACCTATTTTGCGACATGGCTTGTTAGCCCAGGAAGGGGGTGAAGATGATACGATGTAGGAGTAGACGGGTAGATGAAAGGATGAGACTGTAACTGTGAGGCGTACCATGTGTTCTCGGCCAGCCATCAGGCGTTTGTTGATGACCTTGGCGGCATAGTAGCGGCCGGTGTCGATGTGGACACATTCCTTGACGACGGAGTATGAGCCGGCTCCCAGGGTCTTTCCGACCTTGTATCTACAAGGCTGGACCTGTGGTTGCTGTGGTTGTTGCTGGGCGGCGTCCATCTTCAGGCGATTGTTGCTGTGTCGTGTAGGGTCGATTGCGGCGACTTGGTGATGCGTGGTGATGCGAAATGCCCCGCAGAGGCGTGGGCTGGGCTTGGGCGGGGAGCGAGTGACGGTGAAAGCAGGAGAAGTCGCGAGAGAGATGGCGGCAGTGAGAGAAAGGCCGGCAGAGATTGCAGTCGTTTATGGTGACGTTGCAGAAGCAAGACGAGGGCGGAGATTCGGTGGGAGTCGTGATTGTCAGCAACAAGGTGCTGCTGATTTGCCTTGCAGGACGCTGATGCGATGGCAATGGGGGGAGGGGGCTTATTCAATAATTACTGCACGGAGTATCCGTAAGGCGGGACGAAAAAGGTGGGGTGGGGGAAGACGCTGAGAGTCAGGCCAGGCTGGGCTGGGCTGGGCTGGACAGAGAGAGCTGAGGGAGTCTAAGAATGACTACTGTAGGTAAGGTAGCTAAGTCTGACTAGAGTGTCTAGACGCGAATGAGGATGCGATGGGCTGGCCGCCACAGACTTGTTGGTCTCTGTCGCTATGGTCGTTTGGGATGTTGGATATTGGGCTGGAATTTAGCTGTGAAAATTGGAAGCATGGACAATTATTTAGACGGGCCACGCTCGTCCCATCTCATCGCTCCCCATCCCACTCGTCATGGCTGCGACAGGGGAGAGCTTGGGCTCCCGCGCGTGGTCCTCATTCATCATGTGTTTGAATGATACAAAATCCTCAATCTGGAGCAATGAAGGCTCCCTCTCTGCATTCTCTCCTATTGTGCGTGTATATAAGCGCGTATACGTATTTAAACATATTTATATATTTACATATCTACCATACCCAAGCTCCAGCCCCATTTACAGCTCGTACTCGCACAAACCGCCCACCCTAACAGGTTCCTTTTCAAACACTTCGAGTCTGCTCGCATGACTCCCGTCTTCATGTTACACAAGAACTGCCCTGTATTACCGGCAGCGCTTCTTCGTCGTCATAACCAGCACTCGGTCGATCACGGTACTGGCCTTTGAGTTTCGGTCCCGCTCCCATCTCGTCTCGTCTCATGCAGACGAACTCCTGTGGCCGCCATGGTCACCGAGCTAATGAGCACAATGGACGTCCCTTCACATCCTCTCGGAAGCCCTCGAGATCCCACATCAATTACAAGGATTCCAACCGAGCCCCTGGTCTCGGGTTGTCGCAGTTACCCGAGGCCTTGGGTCCATTGCCCACCTTTCGAATACGACTCTCCTTGGTGACATGTCGCGTTTACTCGGAAGGGCCCCTGCGAGCCTGCTTCTTGGAGCTGTTGAACTTTTTCTGCTTCACCCGGGAATCATGAAACTTATCACGTCTGGTGATAATTAGCGGCTTATCGTTGTTTACAGTTGGTCAGAGCGTTTGTTTGGGAGGACCAACATGTCTTCGTGCTTCTTCTTCTTTTCTTCACTTGTTTCGGCAGGGGTCGCTTCGTGATAGATACGCGTCACCTCCTCAACAAGCTTCTTCCGGTTGTCTTCTGCATTGGCATCCCTTGATCGAGATGTCTGCGCCTGGAAGGTCAAAGAGTCGCTATTTACCGTGTAGTACTTGGACTTCCGGATGCCAAAATGCATAGATTTCGGGAGCATGGAAAGCAAGTCCTTGATGGGGTATACGGTAATGGCCTTGGTCTCAGTCCTTGAAATGTAAGCCCCCACCCAGGATTCACAGAGAGCATAGAAGGCCCTACTTGTTAACATGCTGGCCGCCTGGCCCGCTAGATCGCGCATATGTGGTGTTGCCCTTGGGGAGTTGCGCCGGGCTAAAGGACCGATACCAGGCGCGCGCTTCAGCGAGGGCATCTTTATCAAGCTCGGCCTCATAGGCTTGGTATCGCTTGAATCTCGCAGAAAATGCCGTGTTGGACAATGGGGCCACGGGGAGCTTCCACGGCCGCAATGCTCTGGCTATCCTTTGTTGAAGCATTGTCGATCTAATGCGGTGCTGTGCGGCCTGTCTCGACAGTGTCTCAACAGAGAACAAAGAGATGGAATCCAGTACAACGCGGGCTGCCACTGGCACCTGGCGACCAGCTGGCGAACGGCTCCTGCAGGTGGCTTGCCTCGGGGCTTGCCTTGCTGGGGCTTGGGCGTGAAACTGCCGTGCAGCACTGTTGACCGCCTTACTGCAAGCTGCCTAGCGCCACCGCGGCCAGGTTTTGCGCGGGCGCCCGATCAAGCCGTCAGCCTCATCCCGACCCAAGGCACAACCAGCCTTCTCTCTTCTCCTTCGTCCCATCGACTCCTCCCGCTGCGGGCTCTTGAATTCTGACTCTAACATCCGACATCCTCACGATTAACGCCTTCTCTCCGTCGCCACTGACGCGCTCCTTGGCGACGGTCTAACTACCCACCCTCTCACCACTTCTCTCTCTCTCTCTCTCTCTCTCTCTCTCTCTCTCGCGTTTCCTCTCTCGCTCACTCTCTCCCTCTATCTCTCGTGCTCTCGCGCCGTCCCACCCACCAGCCCACTCGTCGTCGTGCGACTCGCCCATCTCCGACGTCGCAGAACCAACCGCCCAATCGCCCGCTACTTGCTTGCTGGCTTGGTGCTTGCTTGCTTGTGTTCCTCCAGCCCTCGTTTTTTATCATCTGCAGCCCCATTTCCTCAAGCACAACCCCGGTCTTTACTTGCGCCAGGTTGATCGCCCACAGCCGCATCCACCATCCACTGACAAGACGAGCCCCAATTCTCCGTCGCTATTAGACTGCAACCCTTGACTGGCGTCGCTTGTGCGCTCGCGGCTCTTCGGGACCTCTCCACGTCCTGCATCCCACATCCCACATTCCGCACCTTGCGTCCTCTTACTGTCAAGCAAACCTTCAAAAATCCACACTTCTATGAATTCAGACGAGGCAGAGCTGCTGGCCACTGCCAACCTCTCCCCCGTCAGCCCCTCGCCCGTTCACTCGGCTGCGTCCCAGGTGGTTCCTGCGCTGCAGGACACCGTCGATAGCATCGACGCCATGGTTGCTGCCGCCGCCGCCGCCAACGCCTCCGCTAGCAGCGACCCCAACCTCGACCCCATCATGGGCGTCGGTGATGACGATGTAGTAGATGACGACAGCCTCAACGACCCCTACGGCGAGATTGAGCAAGACGAGGTTGCCCAGCCCCAGCAACCTCCGCCTCAGCAGGAATTGCCCGACAGCAATGACGATTACGCAAAGACCTTTGACTCACCCATTGGTCCTGAGGAGGGTGAAGGCGGGGACATTCAGCCAGAAGATGTATCATCAATGCCCCGAGAATCCAACCAAGTTTCTCTTTCATCCGAGCACTTGACAAGCCACCCATCAGACACTTCATATGCCGTTCATAACTCGCCATCCACCTCAGCCCACCAAGCTCAGTCCGGTTCATCAGTTACCATCTTTGAAGCACATACGGACGATGCGATCACGTCGCCCGCTCATCCTTCCAACCCCGACCAAACAGGCTTCCAGTCGGTGACCTCTCCCTCCACGGCCAGTGCAGACTCCAACTCCGCCGGGTCTCCCAACCCGTCGGCTGATATCCAGCGCCTCGTGGCAGACCTCACTGCCCCCGCTGAGCCCACCTCCAGCGATGATCCATCTGCCTTGCCCGCAAAGGCTGAACTGCCCGCCGGCCCCAACGCTTCGTCCTCTGCTCTCCCATCGTCTGCCTCTCTCCCCCCGAGGCCCCCGTTGCCGCAAGCAGCATCCCAATCGTATACCTCGCAGCACCACCCATCCGGCTCGAGTTCAAGTATCCCAGCCAGTGTCGCCGTCCCACCAACACCTGGCCAGCCCTCTACATATGTCGCTGCGGGCGTACCAGGGACATCTCCAGACGCCCTGGGCAACCTCGCGCCTGCAGCCGCCAGTGGTCTCAATGCATCCGTTGCCATCACTTCTTTGACTGCCCCTCCCTATCCGCCCCAATCTCCCGCTTATGCTACTGATAGACCTCAAGATGCCGATTACCAGCGACAATGGGACCAATTCATGGCCGATGAGCGACAGTACATGTCGGAAGCCAAATGGGACCGGTTTCCCGAGGGTTCTCGCCTCTTTATTGGTACACGATCCGCGTCTGGTGCGTCTAAAAACGGCGCTCACATATTCTCTGCAGGCAACCTTTCGAGCGACAAGGTATCGAAGCGTGATGTATTTGATTTATTCCACCGATTCGGAAGACTGGCCCAGATCTCCCTCAAATCAGCATACGGGTTCGTGCAATATCACACTATCGATGAAGGACACGCCGCCATGGAAAATCTGCAAGGAATTGAGATCAAGGGACGCAGAATCCGTCAGTTACCCCGACCAATCCGGCTTTGTGCGTGTGCCTTTCAATCCTAACCATTGACAGATCTCGAGATATCTCGCGTCCAAGACAAATCCAAGAAGGAAAAAAACCGAAGTCCTGAACGAGGACGCGGCCGTGATGGTGGCGGCGGACGCGAGAGTAACGGACGTGACAGTGGCCGTGATGGTGGTGGGCGCGATGGTGGTGGGCGCCGAAATGACCGGTATAGTCAACAGAACCGAGACGACTACCGGCCAGGGCGCAACCATTCGCCTAGTCGAAACGATTACGAAAGAGATGATGGTTACGGCCGTGATCGAGGATTTCACGACCACGGCCGTGGAAGAGGACGCTCGCGATCTCCTGGCGGCTACAAACGCAACGACAAGAGTTCATACAGAAGGAGGAGCCCCAGCCCGTATGGGCGATCTCGACATGAGAGCGAACTTGAGCTTCCCCGGCGATACGGATCCGATGTTCCCGACGTGCAGATCATCCTTCAACCAGATGTCAACCGAGATTTCGTCACATGGGTTGAGCACACATTCAAGACAAAAGGCCTAAAGTCGGAAGTCATGTTCCTTCACCCAAGAATCCCCAAGGACGCTGTCATCCAGCGCCAGGCTGCTGAGGGTGTACATGCTGTGGTAGACCTCGACCTTCGGGCTCAAAACCTCGGGAGGATTCCGGTGCAGGCCTTTGACCGATCTGGTGGCATGAGCAACGTCCGGTTCGACCAGTACGTCGACCTCGACCCTACCACGGCGGCAGAAGTCATCCTACGAGCCAAGGCGTCGGGCGCTACAGCAAGCTATGCCCAGCCATATGCTGCAGCTGGCTTCGCGAATCCATACGGCGGACAGCCTCAGCAACAGATGGGCGCCTTTCCTGGTGGACAACAACCCAACCAATACGCCCAGCACGCTCCAGCCAACCCCACAGACATTGCAAGTCTCATGGGTCAAGTTGATAACGCCACACTGCAACGGTTACTGGCGTCGATCCAAACCGCCCCTCAAGGCACCGCCGCGCAGCATGGACCGAATGCCGCTGCCGCGGGCCCTTCACAGGTTGATATCCAGGCAATTTTGGGAAGCCTCGGTGGCAATGCTGCAGCTCAGCAGCAGCTGCCTCCCCAAGGAGTTTATGGTGCCCCATACGGAGGTCAGCAGGCACCAAACGGTGGAGGCGCCGCCAATGGCGATGCTGCAGTCCAGGTCCAGAACATTATGGCACAGCTGGCCCGGTACCGACAGTAGTTGATTGTTTCCGATGCAAACACACAGGGAGTCATTTGGCGTCATTGGTTTTGTTGGCCTCGATGCCTATTATGAGACGGGAAACCTCGCTTTCCACATGAGTTTTTGATGTTTTTGTTTTCCACGTTCATGGCATAGAAGCCACTCAAATTCTACCAGTACCCTTCCACGGAAGGGATTAGACTTGTTTAGCATTTTTTCAGCAATCCGAGGATATCATGAAGGGTCGAAGCTGGTGGGTGTGCTGGCGTTGAGACTCAACCGAGCTGGGTAGGTATCGGATGATAGGGTGGGTTTTTGAGATGAAGTTGAGCTGTTATATATCCTAGCAACATGATGATTTTTGGCAATGAATGCTGGCTGCAAAACTCTGATGGTGCAGTACGTAATAAGTGCCTGTGTAAGATCAATCAACCCTATCTATCCGAAATGCTAAAGCAGTCACCCAAACGCCAGCTTGGTGGTGTTGTTCACCATCCAAAGTTCTCATTGTGCCACCATACGTCACGCCCCTTCATAACCCAGGGCGTGAGGCACCGGCGCAACTCCCTCCCCATCTGAACTGGTCCGCAGACCAGCACAGCGACCTTTTCATTCGTCCCTGTCTTGAAAATGTCGTCAACGATCTTTTGGAAGTTGGGCCGCTTCACGTTATGCTGGGGCCGGGAGTCCAACTGGATGTCACCACCGGCAGTGTCGCGAGTGCTGGAGACGCCCATGTCGCCCGTAAGGAAGAGCTGTACTTGGTCGTCGTCCATAAGGCTCTTCCCCGTGGAGTCGGCGGGAGCCCAGGTGGCGTCGCCGGGGGAGTGGACGGCCCAGACAAATTGGATGCGGGCAGAAGGCGTATCGGCGAGGATGGCATGGTAGATGGGCACGGCAAAGGTGGCACCGACACCACCAGCGACAAGGAGAATGCGACTAATTCCAGAGCCAACCAGGTCAGGGAAGGTCTTCCCTACGGCGCCGTAGGGGCCTTCGATGCAAAGGGGGATTCTGCCCTCCGGTGTTGAAGGAACGCCGGCCGCCGCAAACTCGGCGAGACGGGTTGTCATGGGTCCACTTCTCTTGCGGGCAACAAAAGTCAAGTCGCCGGATTCCTCATTGGCTGATACAACGGTGAAGGGATTGTAAAGAAATTCGAAGAGGAGGTTACCCGTGGAAAGGGGGTCGGGGTTGGGGCGGGATGCCGGTGGCAGGTTGAGATAGAGATGTGCTCCCGGGTGGGCTTTGAACTTGAGAATGTTCTTGCTGGGCATCGAAGCCGATATCTTGAGCAGGTCTGTACCAGGAATAGACTCGATTATGGCCGGTGCGGTGACGGTAATTATCTTCCGCGCAACAAGATCCAGCACGAGGAAACCAATGGCCAAGGAGACGTAGATCCTCGTCGAGGACGCATGAAAGAAGATCAACGGCGGCACGAGAAAGGCGGCAGTGAGGTGGACGACGAAGAAGACGCGGTACGACTGCTCGCGCATCTTGGCCATGGACGTGCCATTGAGAGCATGCAGGAGGGTGAAGGCGACGACGCCGGCGAAGACGACGTAGGCGAAGAAGCGCTTGAGCCAGATGCCGGACTCGATGAAGAAGACGTTGTAGAAGACGGCGTGCAGAATCAGCAGGAAGTAGACGATGCGGCCCAGGACGCGGTGGCAGCGGTTGAGGCGCTCGTGCGAGGAGCGGAAGAAGTAGCCAAAGGGGCTGAGATACTTGAGTGAGAGGAGGTACTGGACGGGCAACTGCGAGGTTGCGATGGCGCCGAAGCGTTTGGTGAGATGGAGATAATCTAGGGATGGTGTTGGAGGGTTAATTGCTAGGTAGAGGTTGGAATTGGCTGACCTTTGCCCGTCCCGCGAACACACAATACCAAGAGCCAGACGGTCCAGACGAGTCCCACGATCCATTCATCGCGATGTCCCCAATGCGCGCCGAGGAAGTACACGTCCTCGCCCATCCACCACAGCAGCCCACGCCAGCGCTGCGCCGCGCCGCCGCTCCAGCTCTGGCGCCGCGCCTTGACGGCCGGCGAGTTGGGCACCTCGCGATAGTGGCCCCGGGAGGCGCGGCGCACGCGGGCCACGGCGCGCACCAGCAGCAGCGCGGCGGCCGGCGCGAAGGCGGACCAGAAGCCGACGGCCGCGTGGAGCGCGATGGAGGCGTGGCGGAGGTGCTTTTCCTCGTCGGAGAGCGTGACGAACTCGTATGGCCAGCCCATGGTGGTTGCGATTCAGAGGCAATGAAGGGTGAGGTTGGCGATGGTGGGTTGCGGGTTGCGGATGCCACGTTATTGTTGCAAGTGAGGCTCAGACGCGGGCGTGCAGATATCACCAGGAATTCCCCGTTTCTTGATCTTTCTCTATCTCATCGAGTAAATCCACGCCCCGCTGTAGTTGACAATGACAGATCAATTGAGAATGCCCTCAATTGTGACCGTCCATGTTGCCAACTCACCCAGTGACGGCATCCGGGCTTCGTATCGCGGGAGGATCCGAGGCGCGAGTGCCATGGAAATTAGCTGCGTGCTATTGGCTGTAGCAGGGGTGGCCCCTGAACGGCCGGTGTCTGGGGATTCTAGATGCCATCTTGGGAATGCGGCTTGTCCAGCCACCAAAGTGCTTACCCTACACCTTTAATTTTAGAGTCTTAGACCATCGCCTTACCAACCGCCTGGAACCCAACTCATCGGATACAACTCCCCACGACATGGCTTACCGTTGTGTCGTCTCTTTGGCCACCCGCAGGCTGACCTTGGGAGAGGGGAAACGATCGGAAGGGAAGCGTGGTCTACAGAGGATTGTGCTTAGCAACACAGCTGGCATACAACGAGACACCGCATTCCTCACAACTCTACCAACTAGATATCCACCAACAAACAACCACGACAAGCCCGGCATCCACAGTGAGGCTCACAAGCTCAGTTTCGAAGCCCAGAGCATCATCCAATAAGAACCACGCCCGGTTAGCTCAATCGGTAGAGCGTGAGACTCTTACGAGAACGCGATCTCAAGGTTGCGGGTTCGACCCCCGCATCGGGCTATTCCTATGCACAAGATTCGATTGCGAGCAAGCGAGGTTTCATTTTTTTGCTCCGTCGTGCTGCTGTCCGTTTTTGGCGGTTGCTTGCTCGGTTCGTGGCTCGGATGGTTGTGCCAGGTGCTGGATGAAAACTCGGGATCGCTTATAGAAATTCTCATTTGATATCTATCGTACCCTACACTATCATAAGGTCCGGGCCCAGGTCGCACGCCAAGAACATAAAAGGGGATATATACCCAGGACACCGTGGAAACACCTGTGATCTGGATCATGAGTTGCTTCTCTAGTAAAATCATCATGAGCGGCAGAAACGCTACCCTCTTTTGGCCCATCCGTCAACAGTTGGCCAATTCTTCAGCCGACGCAGATCCTTGATATTAGTAAATTCGTACACCAGTCCAACCGACGTCATGTTATCTTTGCTGTATTCTCTGCAATGAATGCACTAGCTCAGCTCTTCCCCGAGTCGTGTTCGGGCTCGAACTTGGTCTCACCCAACATGGGGCCGGGTTGCGACGTCATGGCCGTCTGTGTTGCAGGCTGGGGCTGAGTCTGCACAGTCGGGCCTGTGGTCTGGGTTGGGGGTTGCGAAGGTCCTCGTGACCCTTGGCCACCAGTCGCGGCATGAAGTCGCTGGTCCAGAGCTCGAAGGGCAATAGCTCTCCTCCTCTCAGCCTCTGCGCGGGCGCCTCCTGGAGAGCTACGGTGGAGCATGCTGTCCTTACGAGGCACGTCGCCGTGAGGAAAGGGGGAGCACACACGCATGGCCACCAGAACGCCAAACACTTGGTCGGAGAGAGCGGCGACGACGGGTTTGACAGGGCCGGGGAAGAACTCGGCGAAGGCAAAGGTCTCGCTTGCATCGCCGTTGAGGGAGGCCGGCTGGGACGAATCGAGATCGGGGAAGACGGTCTTGTAGAATCGGAGGTACGTCCAGCTGGTGAGGAACCCGAAGAAGGCGAGCCAGAAGGAAGCTCTAGGCAGTAGTGGGGTGAGCGACAGAAGCAGGACGATGCCGATGTAAAGCAGCGGGAAGCGCGGGACTCGCAGCGACAAGATGCCGCGGAAGAGGGTCACGGTATGGGCCGGGACGAGCTGACTGAATGCCACGAGGAAGGAGATCTGAATGGGGATAGTTCCAGCGATGACGGTCAGACTAATTGGCACAGTCGCTAGTTAGTAGAAATTCGCATGATAGCGGGGATAAAATGGAAGCACATACGTCCAGCTCTCGTTGCGCGTCAGGGAGAAGAAGAGGACCATGACACAGAGTGTCAGAAAGTTGGGAACCACTGAGACGAGGGCAAGGAATTTGGCCAGTTCGGCCGACGACCAAGCTCTCTCAAGGTAACGACCGCCATGGTACAGTGTTGCAGCGGCAAGGGAAAGGGTGAAGACGTTGCTCTCGACGAACGTGGATGTTAGGAAGGTCCAGGGATAGATGATGGAGAGCTGGGGCACCAGCGTCAGATATGGGATGACAATCTTTGTGTTCTCGGTCCATTGGCGATAGCGGATGGCGGCGCTGAGGAGGGACTGGGCCACCAGACCGATGAGGAGGATCCGAGTGACGGGCGGGATGTTTATCCGCGGCGCCATGGCGGCGACGGTTCTGGAGGGGTGAGAGGGAGCAAGGGTTGCCAAGGAGTTTGCGGTCGAGGCTCGAGGTTTGGCGATGGGTAGCGATGGCGGATGTGGAGGCCGTGACGTGGAGGCCGATGACGTCGGAGATTTCGGGGTTGATCAGCTGATAAAGGGCCTCATGGAGGACTCGGTATATTCGTCCCTCGTGAGAAGCTCCACGGATGCGGGCGCGTTGACGTTGACGTTGGTGCTGGTACTTTGTTCGTTGCTTCTTCCCCCTTGCATCTAGGATGCGCGTTGTCTGTCCTCTCCAGCCTCAGAAGCTTAGGCTGCTGCAATGCGGGCGGCTCCTCTATTGGCCTCAGGCAGAAGCGCCTACCCTGCAGCGCCACAAGTGTTAGCTGAGTACAAAGGGCTACCGTCGTTGTACACCCAAACTGCCTCATTGAAACGTCATCTTCAAGTCATGATCTAACATCGAAGCTCCTTCGAAGCAGATTGTGGAAATATCGATAGAAGCTTTGTTGTAAGCCATCACCGACTTAACTGCGATCCAATGTGTTTCTTGCTGTGGGATACAGGGTGCATTGCTGTGAGAGTATGTTCCTGAATCGCCGATTCGATTCCTTGGAGGATTCGCTCCAGCTGTCAGATTCATCAACCTCGCTCAGATCAGAGGGAGCATTCCAGTAAGATAGAAGCACATCCCTGCTGCAATAAACATTGATACCCATAGTCAATGATTAACGCGATAAGGACGTGCAACAACCAGAGTAAACGTCGCATTCCAGTAATGACGCCATTCTTTCTAGCCGTAACCCTCAACGCCGTGATCATGACTGTGGAATATTGCGAGGAGGTTCGGCCTGTCTCGAGAATAGGTGACTACGAATTTGTCGACTTTCTCGTGGGTGATATCACCCTGATGGGATGCGGTTGATTGACTATAAAGTCTATCATCTCAAGGCATTTCAACAGCAATGCACCCACGGCAAGGAAATGCAAGGCATGTTTCCTGGGTCTAGATCACGCGTAGCGCTTCGGCATTGGATGCCGGCCAAGGACGATGAGACGGGGCTACTGGGATGCTCCGCCAAGCACCGGTGTGTTCGACTAGGTTGTTTCTTGGGGTCAACCTGATGCCGCATTACTGGTGCCTCTAAGGTGTCGAGCATCATGACTGTATGGGCAGGGTTATGCCGATATTGTTAAAGAGCAGCCCGCGTGCTCGGGAAGTAATTGTCTCAGATTGAAGACCAATTGTTCGGGCTTTCGGTGCGCCGGACCCGCTAAACCCGGAGGTTGTGCTCGCTGGTGGACGGGCGTAGTGGCAGTCGAGTGGGCTGTTTGCGGCATTGAATGGCGAGACGTGGACAGTGACAGTCGGTGAAGATTCGGTGGCCTCGGAGGATGATGCCCTGTACTTGCCACGGTATCTCACTTTGGAGACCTCGAATCTTGAAAGTGATTGGATTCCAGCTGGCGACATGATTGGCTGGAAACGCATTTTCTCGTCATTCAACCTCTGTCTGAAGATGAGCGAGTGGGGCAACCGAGGTGGAATGTCGTGCAGGGCAAGGCACGCCGCACGCCGCACGCCGCACGGCAAGCAAGCCACCCACAGCCCTCGCAGCCGTCGACCCTGTGTGTCGCAGGTGCCGCAGCTGGCGCATTTGCATCTGAACCAAGCCGAGCGAAATCTAACTGGCTGGAAATGGACCTGCAGCGATAAAGGAGAAGGGGATGGATGGGCATGCGCCTCTCCAGCTTGGTCATAGGGGCAACGCTCAGCTTGCTGGGTTGAATATTTCCACGTCCAAGGTACTTGCCGAACTTGGGCCATTTGCAGGTCCAAGTCCTCCCTACCGAGATGTTCAAATCAGACTGCCATCCAAAACGCGAAGACTTCGGGAATGCCAAGGTCGTCCCAGGGCCGTTGACCTCGTTGTGGGTTAGCGCATTTCCGTTCCAAACTTTGACGTTTTGTCATCACGTGAGCAGCAGGAAGATCATGTTCCTCGAGACAAGTGGTCTCCGTGTATCCAGATTCAGCCGAATGGTCACCACGCGAGGTCGGCGCTGCTGCCAGACCTAGTACCCCGTGGCTGGGCGGTACGGCTGGCTGCACTGCGCCGCCTACCGAGATCAGCGCGTCAAAGAGGGTGCACTGACACAGGTTGTCTTGTTCATGATGGAAGCCTGTGGAGTGGTGGGCGCGTGAGAATGCCTGGACACAACATCGTATCTTGACTTGGACTCGCCGAGGACTGGCAGGGGTGAGTGCCCTGGTCTCTCCGGGGTGAAGGGGAAGTCCCGGCCGGTGGTGCGTCTTCAGATCCCCAATCCAGGCCAGTGCCCAACAACAATCCTCACAGGCTGCTCGGCGCACCTCCATCACATCGACAACAAGGAGGTACGTACCGAATCCTTGCAATAGGCCCCAGCACGCGCATCTCGACTCCCCAGGGCTAAGGGCCTTATGGCCCGGGCCCAGGGCGCCGCCCACCCCCAGCCCGCGTGGGTTGCTTGGCGGCCCCTTTGACCGAGCTAGAAGTGTTGCCACGTAATGACCAGATGAAAGCGCTGAGAGCAAGGCTGCCGACAAATCTCACAACGTCCAGCTCGCCGTTTGAGCAGTAGGCACAAAGGCGTTGTGCTGAGCTGCTAGGCTGACCAGGGGTTGACAGGGGCAAGGTATCCCTGGGGATAGACCGAGATGCCACGGGTTTGGCAGCGCTCGAGAGAAGCATTGGCTGCTGCTTGTTGCTTTGCTGCCGGGAGATGATGGTGCGGTTCGGCGGGGCCAGGCGCAGCGAAGGAACTGGGGACAGTCCATGGGCCCTGTCTAGGATTTTGTTCTGTGTGGCGATTCCCAGCGCTTGGGAGAGTTTGGTACTCACGAATACCAGGAGGCTAGTAGGTCGTCGGCAGCACCCAGCGGGTTGAAGTGTGTCATGTCACGCAGCGTAGAGGGGACGAGATGAATGCATGCTGTGACATCCATCCAGCGTCATCCCCAGGCGTGCCGGGGCAAGTGTTTGGTGGGCCATCGCTCATGTTGTCTGTATCGCTACCTGATAGGGTCGTTGGTGTCCGACTCTCATCCGTCTCCTACCTGTGAAGGGGCGTCAGGGAGGATGCATCAATTCGATGCTGTCTCTCCTGCCACGACGCCAACAACAAACGGGAATCCGCGCATGTTTCTGGTCTAGCCATTGTGACCTTGACCTCGACATTGAACAAGTGCGCCAACAGGGGATGGGCCGGGGCCGGAACCTGACACATGTCGAAGTACCGATACTTGACGACATGGATGGTCTCCTCAATTAGCAGCCGATCTGCATTCGTCTCAGATTTTGGGAGAAAGGCGACTGCACCAACCCGAAGTGTGGGAGGGAGTGGAGCTAGCCTGGCCTTACCTAAGGTTTCCGTCGGCCCCTGATTGGCCTGTCGGCCATGTTGCCTCATGCACGAGTGAGCAACCCGTTGGACTTTGCGGCCACCATCAGGAAGCACAAAACAACAGGCGACAGCGGGACCGACCACATCGCTGGTGTCGTCGCCGGGCAGTACGTTTGTGTGTCGGACGAGAGGGTCTGAACCGGCCTGGGAGGCCTGGGAGCAGACTCAGCAGCGAGGAGGCCGGCGACGAACCCCCCGAGGGAGATCCCATCATCGAAAAACCCACCCGCCGGCCAGGAGGCAGCCCTTGGTCGTTCCCCTCTCGGCTCGCCTCCTTCATCCCCTCCCCTGTAACCGGAAGCAGTGGATCTTCAAACCTTGACGCTCGACCGCCGCTCTCCTTGGAAAACCAACGACCGACAGCCCCCCAATCACTGCCTGTGCGGACGAGACGAGAGGTACCTGTGTACTTCGTACGTTCGGAGGTACAGCGCTGCACAACAGCAGCTAGCAGGGAGGGTGCCTGTTTCTCCGTACCTACCGTTTTAAAGATGTGCGGCCTGGCCACCGTCGATGGAGCGCCCACGCCCTGGCACGTCTACTACGTAGTGGCAAGCCTGGCAACCTAGCCTGGCACGTTTGGCAAGCCTAACAAGCCCTGGGCTGATGAGCAAGGCGCGACTGGAGCATCTGGTCTTTGATGTTCCTCCTCCACGCCCATTGCACCCAGAAAACCCCTGCCTGTTCGAGCCTTCGCTCCGCAGTCCACGAGACCCGGCTGACGCATCGATTGGCTCACTATCCCCCGTCCCCGAGTACCGGTACCTGGCCGGCCAGCTGGGGGCGCCGGGGAGACTGCGGGCACAAGCGGAACGGCGCATGTATCGTCCTTCCATCATAGCACGCGACGGCACGTCCGATACGATTCGATGGCTCGCTGTCCCTATCGCGAGTCGCCCCGGTTGCCAGTTCGTGACGTCGTGTACCTTTGCCGCCCAACCAGGCGAAGCCAAGGGCACCACCTTTCACCTCCCGCAAGCCTGCGATTCATGATGCAACTTTCCACCTGGGGCTCCACTAGCGGCCAGCCCAGTCTTGCCCGCCCGCAGGTGCCGGGTCACTGTACCTTGAATTTAGCTGGGGCGCCGCACGCTGCCCGTACCGCCATTGTACTCCGTACTTCGGGCTAGAAATTCCATGCCCCCATTAGCGCCCCCCGTCAGCCCCGTAGTGACCTCAAGCCGTCCGTACGCTGTGCGTCTGGCTCCCAGCTAGGCAATGCTGCTGCTGGCTTGCAGGTGTGCAGGCGTGCAGGCGTGCGGGCTTGCTGCGTGCTTGGCAAGGTACGGGGATACTTGGTGGTGGTCCCTGGCGCCCACACCAGCGGCCACCCCAGTCGCCCCGAGTGGGAGTGGCAGAGCCAGAGCCAGAGACAGAATGGACAGAACGGGGGCAGAAGCGTCCAGGTGGGAGCGACAAGGGGTACGTACCGACTTAGCACCACCCCCGACCTTGAATTTCATCTCACTTTTGAGTCTTCACTCACCTTCCCTTTGACAACGCCAGATCTACGACCCGCGCCCATCACGACCTGGGGCCGACCTCGACGAGCCCTCTGACTACTGCTACGAATTTCGCTCCATCCGCCCTGACGCTTCCCCCCGCGACGCTGCCGCCAGCTGCGGCGCTCCCGGCTCCATGGTCGCTAAGGAATTCCTCGACTCGGACAGAGTCAACTTTCTCGTCTGGAGGTTCGTTATGTCCCCCCCGGGGCCCGGATGGCTGCCGCCCAACCCCCAGCGGCTGCCGTGCATCACCCGGCATCGTCTTTCTGTTGAGCTTGCGCTGATTAAGCCCTCGTTTACCCAACTGCAGATATCTGCTCGAAGGCAGTAGGTGGCACCTGAGCTTTGCGCGCCTGTGGCGACTCATCTAACCCTCACTCACTCGCAGACTACCGAGAGACGGCTGCCAAGTTCCAGAAGGAATGGCACGTTAAGCAACCTCATCGAGACTTTGACTTTGCGCGCCACGTAAAGAGCCATGCATTGGTGTCCGTCATCAACCGCGGCTTGCTGTACCACGCGCTTGAGCGTGAGCATGCGCATAACCAGGTATGGAACCTCCAAACTCATTCGTCATGTCGTCGATTCAACGCTTGCGCCGTCACTGTCCCACCCAGTGGTGCGGTTTCGATGGTGAAATGCGACATGACAAAACAAGGCCTAGGCTGACAGATTTGGGGTGTGCAGCTGCCTCAGGATGCGGCGGCTGCGGCCGAGGCGCTGCAGGTCGGCATCTTTGGGCCTCTAGACGCTCACCCGCCGGCCAAGGTAGAGGAGGAGGATGAGGATGTGGACGCCGAAGGAGAGGAAGAGGAGGTGTCGCGAAAACGGCCCCCCCAACAACTGTCAAATGGATCGCCGGCCAAGCGGCCGCGCCTCAGCAATGGCTATGAGAATGGCGCCGATGCAACCGCGCCCGCGACCACGCCCATGGATGTTGACAACCAACCCGACAACCACGCTTATCCGTCGCCCCTCGAGGGTGAGGCGGCGCCGCCGCCGATTGTACGTACTGACGGCCCGGAGCAGGGGACGCAGGTCGACAAGGTCGAGGAGCTGGCTCCAAACACCACCTTTATCCGCCTCATGGACGACGACCACGCGCATGCCCACGGGCCTGACACGACGCCGTCTCCCTCGTCCACTGGTCCTGACAACGCTCCCATCCTCTTGCAGTGCGAGTGGAACCCCAGAGACCCATCCATTCTGGCGGCTGCTGGAACCGATGCGCTAGCCCGTGTTTGGACCATCTCGCGTGCCACCACACCCCCGGAGCCCGGTCAAGATCACGTGTCACCCCACGCCCACTCCCTTCTCGACCCCGAGGCCCCCCGCGATACGACAGTGACGGCGCTATCATGGACCTCGGACGGTGCCTCAATTGCGGTGGCCACGGACTCGAAGAACCAAGCCGCTATTAACGTGTGGTCCGTCGATGGCACGCACCTGCAGACTATGGAGGTGTCGGAGCCCCCAGTCATTAAGCTCTCCTGGAACCCGAGCAACACTGCCCTGCTGGCCATCTCGCCTGACAAGGGCGGTGCTCTGGTGACTGTGTACTATTCTCCCGCTGGCAGCTCTCTCTCCTACTTCCTTGCCGGTCACGATATTGCCGCGACGCCCCTTGATGCTGCTTGGACGAGTGATGTGGAATTCCTACTAACAGGTGGCGACCTTTTGCTCTGCCTACTCTGTTCCGACACAACCATCTCTCAAGTGAGGAAGTTTGAGACAAAGGAGGATGATGGTTTTACCCAAGTGCTCTTTGATTGGCGGTCCAAGCTGGCGGCCACTTCGAGCGACAAGGGCACCCTCGACGTAAGACTCAAAACTGGCAATCTCGTGGTATTGTAGATGCTGACTCATGATAGCTCTGGGACGAGTCTGGACAGAGGAGATCGATATCTGCTCACCAAGGAGCCATTACCGCAATGCGTTGGCAGCCTCTCCCCGCGAACCAACCGGCAGCTGACGATGAACGGTTGATTGCCACGGGTGGCGACGACTGCGCCATTCTGATATGGAACGCCCGAGTACCGGAGAGCAAACCCAAGTGTTTCATGACGATGGATTCCCCGATTGTGCGACTTGCTTTTACGCCAGACGGCGCCTTTATTGCGGGAGCTACAGCAAATCAGGTGCTGATTTGGAAGGTCGGAAGCCACGCCATGCCTCGAGCCAGCTGGAGCAGACCGAGACACCCAGGTTGGCTCAGCCCGAAGGCGAATTCGGAACCGGAGGAGGAGGATGAGCATTGTTTGTGCTGGGATGCGGACGGACAGAAGCTCGCTTACGGCTCTAATAGCAGAGTAAGTGAACCAACGCGTAAAGAAAGGTGGCAGACATGGAGGTACTGACGATGAGATAGCTTGCTGTCATCAACTTTAGCCGGTGACGGATGCTTCCAGGCGATGAATAGCCAAGTCGAAGCAACTAATGCTACAGCCCTCTTATTCAGGAGGATGCGAGGAAGGCGCCAAGCTGAGACGACAAGACATCTTGACATGGACGCCCATGGGCTACGCCGAAATGCAACACTGATCATATGATCGATATAAATCCATACCGAGGAATGAGACGAATTAGGACGCGGGACACTGGGTACCTAGGCTGGTAATGTCTATATGGGCTTGGACAAGACCCGACGACGGCTTTCTCGCGACACCCGCACCCGAATATTCTTCTTTCCTTTTTCCTTTTTTCCTTTTTTTGTATACCACGACGACCACGGGCTGGCTATCCGTTACAATTACAAGACAAACCAAACAACCTACAATTGGGATACACAACTTCTCAAAGTCTACACGAATTCTCTTGATGAACGGCCCGGATAGAGGACAAGGGAGTACAAATGTTATGGCTTGAAGTTTTTTTTCTCTTCATCTTCATTTCTTGCGTGCGTTTGCTGAGATGATCTGGATGCGGCATATGGATCACATGGGGCTGGGAAGGACGGCAGGCATGCGGGTGGACAGGGCACCCGATCGAGACGGTTGGGATTGCACCTCTGACAACGATACTATTTCCCTCGTTTTCGGATCGTTTACATTTTTCTTGCGTCTTGGTGTTAGCAGTAGTGTACGAGTATATACCATACAATTCGGTGGGTAGGGCGAGGGCTTAGGCCAGGGGGTTCGGAAATGGCGAAAAGAAAGGATTGAAACCTGCATGAAGAAACGAGAGAACAAGAAGACTGTGAAAGTGTAATGCTCCGCGTGAATGGATTGGGGATGGCGATTTCCCAGTTGAGGATTTCGTGCAGCGCGGGACAAGCTCTGGCAGCATCCGGCGTCAGCCAGCGGCGTCAGGCAAGCCAAGTGGCGGCTTCTAGCGCGGCTGGGACCAAGATTGATTGACTGCAGACTCGGACTCGATGGACTCGGCCTTGCCAGGGGGGGTGAGGACTCGGCCTTTGTCAGATCGGCCCCTCATCGCCTGTGCATTGTCCTTTGTCATATTTCATTGCTCTTATTGATGAATCACATTGTGAGCGATTGGGTGTGCATGGCCTATTGTCATGAACACTCACTCATCCGATCTTGTCCACTCTCACCCAGTTCCGTCCAGCTCTGTTTAGTTCCGTCCATCTCGGCTCCGATGGCGTTCTGTGTGTCTTGTCTTGGCCCCCAGCCGCTCCATACAAGGCCGTCTGATGTCATGCCCAAATGCGTGCCGAATCGCAGCGCAGCGCATCGCAGAACGCCAAGCGCCGCACATTGCGTTCGCGGCGCATCGCATCGCACCTGAGAACTGAGCGAGATCGTTCTGGCCCGTTCCGCTCCCACGAATCACCCGCTCCCACGCCGCACACACCGGCCACAAAAGCCCCACTGCGGCGCTGCACCTCGCTGAACTGCATCTGCACCTACTGCACCTGCTGCACCTGCACCAGCGAGCTGAGTCCACTGCAGATGCAGGCCAAGCAAGAACGAACGGGAGAGATCCTTCCAAGCTTGGCCATGCCGTCGCACTGGTTCTTTATAACTTTCCCTTCCTCCTTCTCCTTCCTCCTCCCACTCTGCAGCGACCTTCTTCCCTACCTATCATCCTCCACTTCTATCCTCCTTCTCTTCTCCAGATACACCGTAGTCACTCTTATTCCCCCGCCCTATATCCGATATCCGCCCTCCCGTTTAAACCTTGATTAGCGGCCCGTGCAGTCGCAACGTCCGACCGGAGGACCAAGTCAGACCCCCACCTTGCATCTCCAGCACTACCGGGAGTACAACCTTGACCTGTCTTCTTCCACCACCAAGCACAGCGCCTTTGCCACGAGACCTCTACTCGCCCGTGCAAAGTCCCACGGCAGCTGCACTGGACGAGTTCTCGGGGAAGGGACAACAGCACACATAGAGACTGAGGTGCCGAGGAGCAGCGCGCCTACGAGGGACCCACGGCCAATCTGAGAGAGGGTGGACGCCGTCAACAGCACCACGCTGAGACAATCCGGGAGAGTGCAAGACACGCAGGCAGCCATGGCCACGCAGAATTCGCAGAATAAATCGCCCGCGGCCTTTACACCGGAGATGCGCGATCGCCAAGCTCGCGGCAAGGACCCTTACTTAAAGGTCGAGACCAGCGAAGAGAGCGACTCGAGCGACGATGATCCCATCACCCTCGGCCTTGGCGCGTATGTACCCTCTCTTATGCCCTTTCTTCTTCTTGTTTCATTCTAGGTACCACAGAACGTGGACAATGCGGAAGTCGACATAACCGCATCAAGAGCTGTTTGTCTGATTGCCTTTGCCTAGTCCCATCATCGAGTCCTTCGCAGATCGCGAACGCAAAGGCGAAGCCGTATCCGTCCTCGACCACCCAGAAACTCTCATGGCCCACGCCCAAGCCAACGACGATGTAAGCCTTTCCTCCCTCCCGTCTATTGATTATTCCTCAATTGGCTTACATTGTCTGACGCGCAGAGCATCTCCGGTCAGCGTCAGCGCTTCATGCGTCAGCTGTGTGGCATTGAACAGAAGCGCCGCGGCGGTCGCGGCAAATCTGCTGGTGCCGGGAGGAACAAGAACCGACGGGTAAACGATCGCGGTGGGCGATAATTTATTAGCAGCTCCGACGCTTTCAAGAGACGAGGCGGCGGGTGCGTGACTCAAGGGATCAAATGGGCAATACGGCACCTGGATCCCAAATCTGTGGGACTCTTTCAACATAGCCTACGACACGTTTATGATGATGATGCATGAAAATGGGTGCTTGCATAACATACACTTACATCCCTTTCGGGGTTTGGGTTCATTTTGGAAATAAAATCATCGAGTAATGACATGAATATTGGGGCTGCTCGGGGTTCTCTGACCCCGTCTGGCCTGTTTATCCTATCTATACCTATGTCCAAAACCCGCGTGGCCCATCATGAGTTGAACGAGCCAACGCAATATCCAAAAGGAAAAGTTCCCATCTCCCGGTTGGCATGCCATGCCGTGCTACCAAGTTCGTGATATGCTCATGCGCATGCTTGCGGTATATGCTGTGAAAACAGGAACCCACTGTATCTACCCCAGACTGGCCCAGAGACAAGACATGAAGAACAACTATGTACATCCCACAAACAGAATGCCTCAAATAACGCCGTGCAATGCCTTGAAAAAACGCCCACTATAATATAATGAAACTTATGCATATCTCATGCTTCGACCGCGCTGCATCTGGTGGTTCAGGGGAGCGTAGTCGTAGTTCGGCGGCGGCCCGCTGGGCGGAGGGATACCGTTGCCACCGCGGGCGGCTGGCCAGTTGGCCATCTCGGTGGGCTTCGGCGCTCTTCGCCTGCCACTACGCCGCCGGATGCAGCTGATGAGGCAGCTCAGCAGGGCGAGGAGGATCAGGCCGCCAATGACAGAGCCGACGGGGATGGCAATGTTCTTGTTGCGTTTGAACCAGTCGAGAATCTCTTGGCTCGTTGAGCCGCCTCTGCAATCACCGTTGGAGCAGCGGCCGCCGCCACCGCAAGAAGTGCCGTCGAGGAAGTTCTGGTTGAGTTCGACACATGTGCCATAACCGTACTCGGGTGCCGAGCAAGTCATGAGACAGCCGGAGCTGCCACAGGCTTCTGTGGACGAGCTGGTAGAGTTGCCAAACATGTTTCTGCACTGCAAGTCTCGTGACGTGCACTGTCCAGACGCGCATGAGAGTCCGGTGCCGCAAGATTCCCCGTCATTCATGTGCGAGTCCGCCGGGCATGATGCCGTAGTACCTGAGCAGGTCTCCTGAGGATCGCATTGCCCCGAGCTCTCACGGCAGACGGTGCCGTTGGAGGCGAATTGACACGAATCCGTGCAGCAATCCTCGTTTGTGGGATCGCACTGGGCGTTGGATTTGAACTTGCAGGTAGTTGCGTCGCAACAACTGTTGTCGCCGCATCCCGATGTTCCGCCGCAGTCGCAGTCCTCGCCACTCTCTACGATGCCGTTGCCGCACTGGCTGCCTGTGATGGTCTCGACGTCCCTGTTGTTAGTCAAGCACGACGACTCGACATTGCCCTTCAAGCCGGAGCAGATGTTGCCAATTGTGCAAGCCGAGAAATCGGTAATGCCGCTACCAGTGGATGGGTTCATGATGAACCTGCCACCGGCATCACAGGAGCTCGTGCTTAATGGGCAGCAATCCTGTGTTCCAGATGAGACTGGGCAAGTACTAGAAGTGCAATCGTGCACAGCACCAAAGGTGTGACCAGACTCATGCGCGAAGACCTGCCACTCCGCCGACGTCCTCACAACGACATTGGCTGACGCGACAGTCTCGTTGCCGCCTGAACTGCCGGTAGCGGAAGAACCGTTTCGGCACAGCTGGCCCAGCCACGCAAGACCCACAGCGGCGTCGGTGTTGCAAGTGGTGAGGAGGGTCCAGTATGCGTTGGTGTCCTCGAAATTACCACGCCAAGCGGAGAAGAGGCTCAGACGATCGGCCAAAGTGACACTGCTGGAGCAAGCCCGGTTCCACGGAGCGGACGCGGGGGGCGTGCCGGGGCACGACTCGTCGCTGATGGTGAGGTTCTGAATGCCCAGCGAGATGTTGAAGGTGCTCTCGTAAACCTGAGAAGCGGTGTTGACTTGACTAATGACATTCCTCCTAAGAGTCTCGGTCGAGTTGAAATCGGCAGTATATGTACAATCAGTAGCGATACCCACAAGGGCGACCTTCCGGGTGGTGGGACAGCCGTCGACGGAGCCGATGGTTGCCTCTAAGTCGGTACCGGCGCCGTTGTTGCCGGTGGATCCGCCGTCAATTGACTGGCGACCAAAGAGGGCGCGCGGGTTCATGGAGCTGAGTGAGCGTCCACGATGGAGATTCTGTTCATGGAATTTGGTGTTGAAGTCAAGGCTGTCGGAGTTGCAAGATGAGTGTCCATAGATGCCTCGCTTCAAGTCGGTGTGATCTTCAAACGAAAGGATATCTGAATCGCGCCAGACGACCATAGAGTCCTCCACATTACCCGGAAAGTTCAAGAGGGGGTCATCCTCGTGCCGGAGGCGCTGGAAGTGGGTGCCAGTCTGGATATGATGGTTGTCGCGGTCGATACGGAAGCTGCCTTCGAACACGGGGTCCTTGCCATCGCGATGAATCGTTATTCTCGCCCAGCCAGCATGAGCCCAGCCCTCGTGTCCGGCACGGCGCACAAAGGCATCCCCCTTGAACACTTTGTGCTCGCTCCTCTCAACTGGTTGGACGGCGCGGACCTTGCCTTCGGCATCGAGGTAGGTGACGGCGAAGCTCTCGTGGAGGAGGTCATGGTTGGGCTCGAGCTTGAGGCGGATCTGTTCTTGGCCTCTATGAAGAGTAAATGTGAGATCGAAATGGGAGTATGCGTGGACGCGATGTGAGGGGGCCTTGATGACGGCATCGTCAACGAGGGTAGCGTAGCCAACGGGATTTCGTTTTATTGAGTGCCCTAAAATGCGGACAGGTTAGCAGGACCGAGCGATTGACGATACTGGTTGACGAGACGATTCAACATACCTATAGACGACTGAACCAGGAGAGCGACGCCGGCAAAGGCGGTCGCAAAGGCCCGGAACGAAACCATGGCTTGTTGGACCAACGAGGTCCCTCGGGACGGGATACCTGCACCAGGAAAAGGCTATTGCATGCAGGTCGGATATTTATTGGAGACGGATTGCGATTCTGGCAATGCAGAACAACTGAGCACGGGCAAAAGGCGAGAGTGCGAGTAGAGTCGATTCGAGAGCGATTGGAAACGGGCGGGCTGGCTGTACAAATAGAGTTGGGATTCGGAACAGCAAAAGTCGAGGTTGCAAGGTGCAAGACGCTAAACGGAGAGGCGGAGTCGGAGCGGAAGAAGCGTATTTGTGCCTGTGCCAAGGATGATGGCAGCACGGTACACACACACACACACTCCGACAAGAACAACAAAAGGCAAAGTGGTGAGAGAGCGAACGTGAGAACAGAGGGAGTGAACGTGTGTGGCGGCGACGGTTGGAGGATGGAGTACGGAACGGGTCCCGCCCAGGCCGCCCCCCGCCCCGTGTGGACGGGTTGTTTAGCATTTACATGGACGCCCGCCAGACAATGCACGCAACAGCATGTACACAAGGTACTGTATTACCACGCCGCCCATCGCAGCCGTCCTGCATCCCACGGAACGCTAGAACATGGCGAATCCCGTTCAAGGCCGCGCGGTATTTCGCAGCCACTGCACGCCCAGCCCATCGCCCAGGGCTTCGCTGAGCCTTGGAAGTCCACTGGCGGCCCAGTGACAACCCACTGCAACCCACTAGAGCGCATCATCCGCCGTCAGCAGAGTACATGCATAGCCACGCTTCCAGCCTTTTCTTCCCCGGGCAACCAACCCACTCGCTACCCACTTGGCAAACCATCTCTACACACCCAAGACACCCTCAGCTTCGTCTCTCTTTCGACGCAGACTCGATTACTCAATTAATGCTATGCTCACTTCGCCCTGGCGTCGAGTCTCATCAAGATTCCACATGACTGGCGATAGCACCACCCCCGCACTTCATGTTTCATCGCATTTACATGCGTAGTTGTGTAATCTAGATTGCCCTATGCCCGTGAACTAAGTTACCCGGTTGAGGCTCATCGATAATCCTACGTAGACGTCCTCACACCGATGCCACTTGCTTCCTTGTTGTTGCTGAGAAATTATCCGTCGCAGGCCTCCCACTGCCGGCGCGCCGACTCTTCCGGCCTTCTTGTTGGCAGGCGGCTTACCCCGTTATGCATGTGTGCTGGTCCAACTCACTCCCTCACTGGCTCTCCTTGCTTTCTCGTATCATAGCGCCATGCCAGGACCAACAGATCCACACTTTACGGCGCCGATTCTAGACCCTTGCCTCGGATACATTTGATACCTTTGACAAGACGGCTAACTTAACCGGGAGCCCCGACTACTCAATACAGCAGCACTGTACGCTCGAGTGAGCAAAGGATTCCTCTTGGCATCGAAACACGTGCCGAGGACCTGATTTACAAACCTGTACGTTACACAGGCAATAAGCGGTTGTATTTGACGTGTTTCAGCGTCGTCTCGAAGACGTCGGAGCTCGGCACCCGCTTAATCTGACGTCGGCTAATAGTCTAATACTGGACAGGGAGCTGGCTGTATTTAGGAATTTGTGCGACTATATTCATACCTCTTCCTTCACCTTGTTAATCCACAATCCAACCTCCTTTCCCTTCATCTATCCCTTCTCTTATGCTGTTCTCCAGCGCCCCGACATTTAATGGTTAATGTCATCCCATGTCCTCGTGCCGTAAGCTGACAAACCCATCCCACATGCTGCTTAGCTGTATCCCACACCAACATAATCCATTGGGGCTGTGTGCCTTCTGGCCCTCGTCGGCCAGCCATCCATCTTGTCCACCCCCCAGCACGCATTCCCACGGTAGATCTTTAGCCAAGTCGAGCTACCTTAGCTAAAAACTGTTCTCCCCAATCTACTCCCGTTGGCCAACCGCCTCAAGATAGCTCCCGCTCCCCGCCTCAGTGATGACGACGACTTCTCGTTCTCGGCAACACCTTTCGCCTAACACTATCCACCTCGGTGAAACTAATATTTCATCATGGCCCTTTTTGCCTCGAATCCAGTTGTCGTCGGATTTATGGTGTCTCTTTTAAGTCCGACGCGTGACCGGACCCTCTACGAAGCCAAAAGAAGCTTAATTCCGATGGCAAGGGCTTTGTTCAATTCAATACCACAGACCCTGTCCCACTATGTCTGCATGGCGGAGACATGACACGCGTCCCCTACCACACACCTCAATGATATACAACCTGCAGCTTCCATCAGGCCTGGGGTGTGACTAGGGTAAGAAAAGGTCTCACATCACCGTCGCCAGCAGAGTTTCCAGTTTAATATAGATGATTGCTCGTTGAGAGCCTTTTAGTGATCCCAAATAATATCTGTATATATAAACACGCAATGCAGTTAAAATTCCTTCATAAGTTGGTTCCCAACCAAGCCTTCAAAATCCTCATCATTTCGTGGCTGCATCCAGCATCCAGCATCAACCCCAAAACACCGCACGGGATAATATCCTGGTCCGTTCTGGACCTGCGTTTCCTTTCCCGATTTGCCTTGTATCCATTGGTATATCAACTCCACTAGATCAATTGCATCGCTGGCCTGGTCGGCCCTTTACTTCCGCTTCGCATCATGCACACTTTGGATGATCTTCGCCACAACGCTAGGGTCAGATAGCTGTGTTCATGTTAGTCTTAGGTCAGAGTAGAAAATGGCACTGTGCCATAAAGCGCGAGATGAACGTACCGTGGTGATATCTCCTAGTTGGTCCTCCTCTCCTGCCAAGATCTTGCGCAATACACGTCGCATGATCTTGCCACTTCGGGTCTTGGGCATGTCCGGCACAATGTACACCGCCTTGGGAGCCGCGAACGGGCCGATGCTCTTGCGCACCTGCACAATGAGCTCCTTTCGCAGGGCCTCAGTTGATTCAATAGTCTCCTTAAGCGCAACGAAGGCGTTGACGGCCTGTCCGGTGAGTTCATCGGCCACACCGACCACAGCGGCTTCGGCCACCGCGTGGTGCTCAATGAGGGCGGCCTCAATCTCAGCAGTCGAGAGACGGTGGCCACTGACGTTGACGACATCATCGACACGTCCTCGGATCCAGTAGAAACCCTCGTGGTCACGAGCAGCACCGTCTCCAGTGAACTATAGCTTTCTGTTAGCATATCTCGCATCCATAGTTCCTTGACAAGGGCTCACTTACGTAGTAACCCTTGTAAACATCCATGTAGGTCTCCATATATCGCTTGTGGGCGCCCCAGACGGTGCGAGCCATGCTGGGCCAGGACTGCTTGAAGGCCAACACACCTTCGACATCGTTTCCGTGAATCTCCTCTCCTGAGACGGGGTCGATGATTGCGGGCTCAATGCCGAAGAATGGTAGCGAGGCACTTCCGGGCTTGGTGGGAGTGACACCTGCCAAGGGGCAGATGACGTGAGAGCCTGACTCAGTTTGCCAGTAGGTCTGCAGGCAGTTAGTAATGGCTTGGGCTAATCATACTTTTCCTCTAGGAAAACTCACATCGACGACATGACACTCTTCCTTGCCAATAACCTCGAAGTACCATTTCCAGATCTCGGCAGCAATGGGTTCACCGACGGAACCAAGCACTCGGAGGTGCTTCATCTCGCCGCGCACGTGCTCGTCACCAGCACGCTTCAACAATCGAAGGGCAGTGGGGGCAACATAGAACTGGGTGACCTTGTGCTTCTCAATGATATCCCAGTACCGAGAGAAGTTGGGGTAGGCAGGAGTGCCCTCGAAGACGACGGTGGTGACACCAAGCATCAGAGGGGCGTATACGACATAGGTGTGACCTGTAATCCAACCGACATCACCACCGCAGAAGTATCGGTCACCGGGGTGGATGTCGAAGACATACTTGCCAGTCATGGCGGCGCCTAGAAGGTAACCGGCGGTGGTGTGCAAAACACCTTTGGGCTTGCCGGTGGAACCGGAGGTGTAGAGCAGGAATAGGGGGTCCTCGGCGGCCACGGACTCCGGGGGGAAGTAGCTGGGCCACTTCTCGACCTCCTCATGCCACCAGTAGTCGCGACCGGATGTCCATGGGATCTCAGAGCCAGTACGCTTGTAGACAAGAACGTGTGAGACCTCGGGGCACTGCTTGAGGGCATCGTCGACAATCTTCTTGGTGCCAATCAATTTGCCACCTCGCTTGCCTTCATCGGTGGTGATGACGACCTTGGAGTTGGCATCGACGACACGGTCACGCAAAGAGTCGGAAGAGAAGCCGGCGAAGATGACGGAGTGAACAGCACCGATACGGACACAGGCCATGAGGGCGATGATTGCCTCGGGGATCATAGGGAGGTAGATAGCGACGGTGTCGCCCTTGCGGACACCCATCTGCTTAAGGACCCAAGCAGTCCTGGAGACCTCACGGAGAAGCTCGCCGTAGGTGACATTACGGCCTTCGGCGGGATCGTCGGCCTCGTAGATGATGGCAACACGATCGGGGTCGGCGAAGGCGTGACGGTCAACACAGTTGTAGGAAGCGTTCAGGCGACCCTCGTTGAACCACGAGACGTCGCCATGTTCAAGAGAGCCGTGGCGAGTAGTCTCGAAGTCTCGATCCCACGACACAAGTTCGCGAGCACGCTCAGACCAGAACTTGTGGGGTTGTGTGATGGACTCTTGGTAGAGACGTTGGTACTCCTCGAGGTCTGGGGTGGGTCAGCTAACTCATGTTGAGGCTTCAGGTGGATCCGGGGCGTACTCACTAGCCAAGTGGGGCTTGCTGGGGTGCTCTGCCGGGTAGCGAGGTTAGCATCAGAAGAGTCCAACAGAAGATAGCAAAACGAAACCAACACAGGACGGAAGGAATGACGATAGCAATTTCAATCGCGTGGAAGGAATAGGGGGGGGGGTTCATACTGGCAAGCATCTTCTCCGGGGGGTCTATGGTGCGTTAGCGTTATAATCCAATAGGCAACCGGACCGGCAATAGGGGACCTACGAAAAGTGTCGACGAGGTGGGCCTCAGCGACAACCGGGACCTTGGGCACCGGCGCCGCTGCAACAGGAGCCACAGCTGCCTCGATCTGCTCAGGGATCGGGGCGGCCACAGGCTCAGTGGCCACAGGCGCAGAGACGGGCACCGGCTCATTGATTACGGGCTCAGCAACAACCTTCTCTGCGACCACGGGCTTTTCGACCACGAGCTCAGTGGCTACAGGGGCGGCAATGGGGACCGCCTCCATAGCTACTGGGGCAGGAGCAGGCTCGGTGGCCACAGGGACCTGGCGCTGCTCGACTTCGATCATTGTCGTTGGGGGAACGAAATGATTTTTTTTTTCGTTGAGATGCGACTGCGGATGCGATGCGGCTGCGACGTCGATGCGGGGTAGCGTAGCCGTGGAGCTGGTGCTGGGACTGCTCTTCTTAAGGGCAGTAATCACACAGCTGTCGGTTATGCTCGTCGGGAGGGGCCGCGGGTGGTTGCGCCGTTCGGGATTGGGCTGGCACAGAGGGGAAAAGGGGATCGAGTAGAGAGTATGAGGACAAAGGAGGAGGAGAAGTCGTAGGAGGGAAAGGAAGAGTAAGTAAGAAGAGATTGGGACGAAGGACACAAGTTTGATGAGCCAGTCAGTCTGCGGGGAGCTGGGGGCCCGTGATTCTTTATGGTAAAATTGGGTACATCGCCATTGGCAGGTACGTCCGGTAAAGATGGCTGTACGTAGTGGGCAGTACCTGCACCACCGGCCACCGGCCCCCGGCGAACCGGGGGGGCATTCCCAGAGCTGGCGGCTCTGGACGGCTATGATCCTTTCCCCCGAAGCCAGATCCCGAGCAGTCGCCCGCCTACAAGACAGGGCTCGGATCCGGCCCTCCAGGGCGTCTCCAGGGGCAAACAACGCTGGCGGCAAGGCTGGCTGCACGCCGAATGCACTATTTGCCATTGCCGGCAGCCCATATCTCCATGCCGCTCCTATGGACCATGCCTAGGCCCTTCTCTGCTGGTAGAGTTGCTCGTACCCCTACGTCCGAGGCCCAGCAATGGACGGATGGCTCCAGGCTCCCGCTGGGTTGCTTGTGATTCCCCTTCCGGTTGGATGTCGTTTTTCGACACCCATGACCCGGCCCATGCCCATCCGGCTCATGACGAGCCTTGCTTTGTCTGTTAGACTCACCGTCTGTGCCACAGTTGATTACCTGGGCGCTGATTTGCTTCCTTCCCTCCCACCCATCACGTGCTGATGCCTGCCCTTTGTCCCCTGTGATTCCATTTGTCTACATACAGAGTTACCAACACATCCCATGAGTGTTGTACTCCTTCGGCTGTGGAGTCGGGACACGGTCCGTGTCATACGCAGCCAAGCCCACCCATGAAGGCGACATTTGGGATGCTGACGGAGCCGCACTCTGTTACTGGGTTCGTCCCGTCCCACGGATAACATCCGGGCAACCTACATAGTAGAAGCATCTGCAGTCTGAATTCCCTGGGTGAAACTCTCCGGCCAGACGGGTATTATGGTTCGGTCTCGAAACACGGCTATCGGTCCGCCTTGCGCTTACCGAACGACATCATCATGGCCACAATCTTATCTACTGCTGCGGTCTGTATGTACCCCTCCAAGATTTATTCCCCCTCAAAGGTGCACCCTAAATGTACTTCTGGCTGGCCTATTCTCGGCACGCCCACAGTGGCTTATTGATGCAATAATACTGGGGTTTGAATGCGGTACTTTTTAGACCCAGGTTCGTACCTGGCTCCAGTCTTCAGGCTCCCTGTCCGTCTCGGCTCTGTGAATGGGCCTTGTGCCCCCACGAAGAAGGAAAATATTTGCATGTCATTCTTTCGCACACGAATGATCCGTAAGTGAGAGCCGATGTCGCAGTAGGACAGACGAAGCTGCATGTGATCCTGGTTGACTAAAGAGGCCATGAGAGGTATAAAGTGACGAGTAGGTAGCCAGGTGGGATGTACAGCTCGACTCGAGGGTGGGTTGCCAACATTTCCTAACTGGGATGTCGAGTGGGAGTTTCCTAGTTAGGTGATAGATATGGTAATGGTGGGACCCTGCGATGGAGGTTGTCAGTGAGATGGGCCGGATACGGAGGGACTGTCACATCCAGGCAGGCAGTGGCTTTCCTCCGTCGACCCAGACCGCCGACAGCGGGGCCTCCTTGTTAAGAACGGCTGGACGAGGCGTGTTCGAGGCTGCTTGAGGCGCCTGATAACCCTGGCTCGCGACCGGCACTGCGGCTTCATGACTGAACTCATGAATGGGCGGGACGTGGGAAAGACTGGGGCTGCAAGGTGCGGCGTGCGACGTGCACCACTGCGCTGCTGCAATGCCCTACTCCGGCAGGTCCCTCCTGTAAGTAGGGCCTAATATCATGGCCCAGTATCATGGCCCAGCATCATGGCCCATGATGGATGGCATTTGCAGCGTGCCCCTCATCTGCTCTACCCCCGCATTCGATTTCTCGGGGTCATACTGTGTCGTCTCTGATTGGCCCCTTTCAATCTTCCCTTCCATTCGCACGGCCGTCGGGTCCCTGATGCTCGTGGCTCATGCGCGGACCCTTGCTTGACTACGCCCACTGGTGGCGCACTTGTGCCGTGCTCCTCCGACCTCCCATCCCGCGCCCTTCTCAACAAAGTCCACTAAAGAGGCATCGCTGACCAGGGGAAGACCCAAGCTGAGACGGTACTTCTATCTAGCAGACGCCAATGTATCTTTGGGTAACCTCTACTTTGACCCCCACCGCTCAATTGGCGTGTTGAATCTCAGTTGGTCTGAGTCCTCAATTTCAATCTTCTTGTTCATTGACCACCATGACTTCGTCTGAGCCACATCACCATGCACCACAGAACGCCGCTGATGTCGACGTTGTTTGGTCCCTCAGTTTCACACAAAAACGGGGCCCCTCAAACACCGAGATTGGAGCGAACTCTCTCCTCCAAGCAGCCATTTTCCCTCCCCTTGACGTATCCATATCGCCGCTAGCTCTTCTTACAGCTAATCCAAAATGGGCACTCCCACCACACACGCCCATTATCCATGCCCATCCCCAACCCGTCCCTTGGCCCTCGCAGGCTCCATCGGCATCCTTGCTGCCAGGCCGGGCCCTGCCCCAACGGCCCGGACGAAAGCCCAGCTCATACCGAAGCCACGCGAGCTGCGCACAGGGAGGTGCTTCCGCCACGATTGTATCCAAGACCTTTTAGATGTGCCCTATCGATGGACGTGACCAAGCGCACGAGGCGTGGCAAGTGAGGGTGTGCAAGAGCCGTCTGGCCGCCTTCGGGACTCGACCGAGATGTCCATCACTGACACAACCGTCACAACGGCGGTAGCAACGGATTCGTTCTGGGCCAACCTTCCTCTCTCTGCGCCGTCGCATGAACTGGATTCTAACCCAAATTTCTGCTCCCTCCATCCGAGTCCCAACTTCCGCGGCTATTCCTCAAAACCCGCTGCGTCACCTCGCAGCGATATCCATCCATCTGGATCCTTCCCCCTCGCCGACATCCCCTCTAATCCCACCCACACACCCCTCTAGCCTGGACCACCTCCAAAGAATCCAATGAGCCTAGGGGATCGTATGAGGGGTTCGAGTGACACACACTCTCACACACCCGCACTCGGCATTTGCTCTGTTTGCTTGGTTCGTTCATCATGGCTTGTGATCGATGGATACGTACTTGGCAGCTAATGACGTCCTTTCCCGTCCCCCCAGATTCCTCAACTTCGGACTTCAAAAGAACATCCGTGAACTGAACCATCTCCCATTAAACGTGTAGCCTGCCCTTCAGTCGAAAGCAACGCTCCTCAGGTTTAGACCAACCTCATGGCTCGAACGCCGACGGCGGAGTTATGAACCCCCCAACTAGTCATTCCATCCTCCCATCCATGTAACATACCCAGTTATGAGGACTCTTCCGGCTCTCCCGTCTTGCAGTGTTCAGGTCTCCATTTCCCCATTTCCCCATTCTCCACTCGCCTTCTACCCCTCTGCCCCTAGATCTCCGAGTTCCTCCATCAATACGGGTGCATTATCAGGGATTGACACCCCTCATCCGAACCCCGAGATTCCCTTCCCCATCATCAGGCCATATTTTGGGCAGGATTCTCCTTCTTGACCCAGGACGGCGCACAAGAGGAGACGTGTCATCGCAAAGAGTCCTCGGAGGATCATTGGACACCGTAACACGATTGTGACATTCAATCGCATAAACCTTGCTACCTAGACCTTACCCCAACGCCGATCGTACACCAGAAATTCTTACATGTCCATGCTCATTAGATACATCTCAAGGACCCTCATGAACTTTGCTACAAACGCCTCTAGATGGAAGATGACCTTGGTTCCCGTCTTGATCCGGTGCTCGTAAAAAGCCGCCCATTGAATTACTTCGCCCTTTAGGCCATCATCAATGAGAGAAATCAGTTTGAATGCTAACGTCTTGAGGATGGTGGTGGGAGGGATGCAGTGCGTCAACAAGTCGTATAGCTTCGACCGCACCTGTAGGATCCTGGCTGGTGTGTGCTCCTCCAATATCTCCTTGGCAATTTGTCCGATGAGTGCCTCCCAATCTGCCGGGGGGATGGGCGTACTGTCGGTAACTTTCTCACTGCACCTGGTTAGCACTTCTTTATATCCTCGGTCAATGGTTGCAGGAGTCCCTCACTTCTGTGCATGCACTGCCTCGTACATGAGCAACGCTCGCCGCAGATTCCGTCCACTCTCCACCGCTATTCTTTGGTGGAGACCCTTCACAGTCGGCCAGCCCTCCTTTTTGGCTGATACAGCCAGCACGTCGCAGATTTCCTCGTGGGTCGGCGCTGCCACCCTGACCAACAGTGTTCTGGAGCGAATCGGCGCAATAATATTGGCTGTCGAATTTGCCAAGAGGATCAGTCGTAAGTTTGGTGAGTACTTTTCCATCGTTCGTCGCAGCGCGGCCTGGGCATCTCGACTCAGGTGGTCGGCCTCATTGATGACGACGACCTTGAACTTTTGCTTTGCAGACTGATCGACCTGTTGTGTTTGTGCAACTTCCTTGAGCAAGTCTTGGATAACGACTCTGTCGTAGTTGCCCACGTCCGACGGTGTGATCTCAAGGTGGTAGATGGAGGCGACGATGTTGAACTCGAGTTTTCGATTGCTCGTGGTCTGAAATACTCGGGCATCGATCTTGATCTTTTCCACACCAGGTCCATAGAGCTCCTTGAGTGTTGCTACTATTCGCGTCTTCTTTCCAGCGCCCGAGGGTCCGTAAACGAGGAGGTGAGGAAAATCACCGCTTTGTGCCTGCACCAGAGTCAGCCGTGATTTCTCTGCAATGTGTTGTGATTTAGATCCGTACGAGAGACTGAAGTCGCTCCGAAAGCTGGTGGTGATATGTCAGGGCCTCCAGCGACCGCGGTCGGTGCTTGTCAACAATGAGCGCCATGGTGAGAGCTGTGGTGGTGTTGCTGGAGGAATTGTGAAGGTCGCAGCTTTTTTGGTTGCTCGAGACGCGTCGTCGCGTTAAGTGATTCTGGCCGGCACCTCCACGTTGGCCTGTGCGCCACTTCCACTAACGTGGGTGTTGGCTCGTACCTGACAGCGCGCTAAGCCAGCTGCCCCGAGTTGTCAACGGAAGTGCCCAAGTGAGTGAGGACTCGTGCACTATTTACAAAATCGACAAAAATCATGTTACATATACTGGAAGGTAAGTGAAGAGACATGCGCTTCAGCAGCGCAGTCCAATGGCCGGTCGCATGCCTTGAAAATCAACATTGGAATTGATTATCATTTTGGAAGTAGTATTCGTACAGGTTTACAACAAATGCTCTGCACCGTTTAATGTACATGGTGTCGATACTTCTCATCGCCCATTCTACTAAGCCTGGGGAGACGTAGGAGGAGTGCTAACGGCCGCAGCCTCTGAGATTGGGGCGGATTCCTGTACCAACTCGACGGGAGCGAGCTGCCTTCGAGGTCTCTTCAGGTCCTCCAGCGTTATCCCATCCTCCAACTTGGTGATCCCGACCATAGGGGCATCACCTCTCTTCACAAACTCCCACTGGCCTGTAAAGATTTAGTGATAATCCGCATTGGAGCGGACTCGAAGCACTTACCTGGCAGCTTGTTACCAGCCAACCGGAATGCATCTCTCACGACTTGCTCGTGAATTCGGCCTCGGAGCTCGAAAAGGATCTGGCTCACAGCCATTCTGGTCGCCCAATGATCGAAGTTTCCCTTTCCCTTACCCATACGCATCTGTCAAGTTATGAGCCACTTGTTCTACTAGTATACGAGCAAGCCATTCTCACATCGTTTCCGCTGACGTATACACCAACGTTGCAGCACTTTCGCTTGTAAAGTCGGTATTTCTGGCCACGGAGTCGAGTTTTGATCGTGTCCTCCGCCATCTTTAATTGCTTGGCGCTGATTCTTCGGTGGTGGTCCGTCATCCGGAGACCAAAATCGCCCCAGATTACAGTCGTCCCCTTAGTCGATCCTCCAGTCGGCACACGCGGGCGTCCCTTGGCCATCTTCTTCTTTCGGTTCAAATTGGGCTCCAGCCAATTCCCCAGCATCGAGGAGGTCGTCGAGAAGGCCCGCACATTTTGGAGTCGTCGGGTCGCATCGAGCGTCTTCGCTTGTCGCTGAACAGGGGCTCTGAATTGTCGCAAGGGTGAGGATGCGCATATCCTCAAGCCTTGAAAGGCATTGAGCAATGCCGATGTGTTGGCAGGCTTCATCACGGCGGCGGGTTGACGACTTGGAGCTGCCTCGTACCTCGGACGACGGAGCTCCAGAAAATCTTCCCGATGTTCAGGCCGGCATTGCGGCCTGGAAATTCAGGCCCACACCACAGGACCAATTTAGCAGCAGTCACGGACCTCGCGTCATCTTCGCGTCTGACAGGAGCGAACGTGCACGTCACCCGGCTCGTGAATTCTAGGCTGCTCAACCATTGCCTAGGAATTTCACGCAACCACGCTCCCACCAGGCAACACTACGCAATGCCTTTATAAGGCACCTGACGTCCGTGTTGCATCGAGACTGGGTTGAAAGTAATCGACATCAAAATGCCTGACATTCGATCGTTCTTTGCACCCAAGGGTGGCGCCGCGCCCCCCAAAACTGCTCCAAAAAAGGCAGAGGAGCCCCCCAAGAGCAAGCGGACAAGTGAGTTTCTGTCCATTGAGTTCCCAGGCCTTGGCTGACATGCAACAGAAGGCCGCAAGGTGATTGAGGATAGTGAAGATGAAGATGAAGTTGTAGAGTAAGTTGTTTGCTCTCTTTCCGTGCTCCCTTCGAATCTAACAACTTTTGCAGGCAAAAGAAGCCGGCAACCAAATCAGCCCCCAGACCGGCACCCAAGAAAAAGTCTACGTGAGTGACATCCACGATGTGCCTACAGCTCTCTCTCTAATCTCCTACAGGGACGACCAACCAAAGGGCGTTGCAATTTCCGCCGATGACTACTTCGCTTCGACGACTGCCAGCAAACCCCAGAAATCTGCGGCTTCAAAGAAAACCGAAATCAAAACCGAGGTCCCAGTTCGATCGAGCCCCCGCAAGCAGGCGACGCCAAAGCAGGCAGCACCCAAGCAAGCTGCCCCTGCCAAAAATGGAACGACACTGGCAAAACGGAAGGCGACAACCTCATACGCTCCGGTTGCAGCTGACGACTCATCCGATGCATTCATGGATGGTGGAGATGAGGACGATGAAGACATCTTCGCTGCAGACATAAAGGGACGAAGCAAGCGCAAGAACGACGACTACGCCGAGGATGAGTCGGAAGAGGACGTACTTCCCAAGCCCAAGCGCGTGGCTGGTCGGGGACGCCTCTCGAGCAGCAAGGACACCGCAGATGATGACGTGAAACCTTCTACAACTGCGTCAGCTAGGAAGAAGAGGAAATCTCCAGTCAATGACTCGGAAGAATCTGAAGAAGAAGAAGCACCTCGGAAGAAACCTGCCACAAAACCCCGGGCACCACGAGCAAAGAAGGCCGACGAACCCGAAGATGCCGAGATTCAGAATATTCTTAACAGCGTTGCCACAGTACGGCCGCCAACGCCTCCGCCAAAGGATCCAAATGCCAAGTTCGACTGGAGGAAGGCAGCTGGCGGTGGCAATGCATCAGTTCAACCCCAAACCTCGGTTGAACTGCCAGAAGGCGCGGAGGAATGCCTAAGCGGGCTGACCTTTGTTTTCACGGGTGTTTTGCAAGCAATCGGTCGTGAAGAGGGCCAAGCTCTTGTGAAGAGATATGGCGGAAAAGTCACTGGACAACCCAGCAGCAAGACCAGCTTCGTGGTTCTTGGGGAAGATGCTGGCCCCAGCAAACTGGCAAAGATCAAGTCTCACGGGATCAAGACCATTGATGAAATGGGACTTTTTGATCTCATCCGCAAGTTGCCAGCTCATGGCGGTTCTGGCAAGGGAGCTCAGAAGGCTCAGGAAAAAAAGAAGGCTGAGGAGGATAAAGTGAAGAAGCAGGTCGCAGAGATGGAGGCTGAAGAGAAGGCTCGAAGGGTGGAAGCCGAAAAGGCTGCTCGAAAAGCAGCTGCTTCTCGCGGCACTTCAGTTGCGAAAGCGCCCGCAACCCCAGCACATGTTCAGCTGCTGACCTCTAAATATGCACCGACTCAACTCAACCATATTTGCGGTAACAAGGGCCAAGTCGAAAAAATACAGGCGTGGCTCAAGAACTGGCCGAAAGCGAAGAAATATGACTTCCAACGACGTGGCGCGGATGGGATGGGTGGCGAACGCGCCATCATTATCTCTGGTCCCCCCGGAATCGGAAAGACAACGGCTGCACATCTAGCTGCAAAGCTAGAAGGCTATGATGTCTTGGAGAGCAATGCTAGCGATACCAGAAGCAAGAGACTTGTTGAGGCAGGCGTCAGCGATGTCATGAACAATACGTCGCTTTTGGGATACTTTGCCGGTGATGGCAAGTCTGTGGACTCCACCAAGAAAAAGATTGTCCTTATTATGGATGAGGTTGATGGTATGTCTGGCGGAGATCGTGGAGGTGTCGGTGCTTTGGCAAAGTTCTGCAAGAAAACCGAGGTCCCCTTGATTCTCATCTGCAACGAGCGAAAGCTGCCCAAGATGAAGCCATTTGATCATGTGGCTTTCGACGTCAGATTCAACCGCCCAACAGTTGAACAAGTCCGATCCCGCATCATGACTATTTGCCACAGAGAAGGTCTCAAACTCCCTCCCGCCGTGGTCGACGCGCTCATCGAAGGGAGCAACAAAGACATTCGCCAAATCATCAATATGATCTCGACTGCTAAACTCGACCAAAGCAGCATGAGCTTTGACCAGGGCAAGGCCATGTCCAAGGCGTGGGAGAAGCACGTTGTTCTCAAGCCCTGGGATATCTGCCAGAAGATGCTGGGTGGTGGGCTGTTTGCCCCTGCTAGCAAGGCCACGTTGAATGACAAGATTGAGCTCTACTTCAACGATCACGAGTTCAGTTATCTTATGATTCAGGAGAATTACCTCCGAACGAAGCCTATGGCTCTGAATGGAAAGGGATACACTCAGCGAGAGCATAATCTCAAGGCTCTCGAGCTATTTGACAACGCGGCAGAGAGCATCAGCGACGGAGATTTGGTCGACCGTATGATACACGGCCCTCAACAGCAATGGAGCCTCATGCCGACTCATGCTGTCTTCAGCACAGTTCGGCCTGCCAGCTTTATCTCGGGTCAGCTGCTGGGCTCTAACTTTACGTCTTGGCTCGGCAATAACAGCAAAACTGGAAAGCTCGGCAGATACATCCGCGAGATTCACTCCCATATGCGCCTGAGGTCATCAGGTGATCACAACGAGATCCGACAGCAGTACATGCCCTTGCTGTGGGACCAGACGGTCAACAGACTGCAGAATGAGGGCAATGATTCCGTTGGTGAGGTAATTGATCTCATGGATAGCTACTTCTTGACCCGAGAGGACTTCGATGCCATCCAGGAACTTGGCGTCGGTCCCATGGACGAGGAGCGTGTGAAGATCGAGACGAAGACGAAGGCTGCCTTTACACGAACGTAAGTGAAAACTCTAATCTTCCGGCGAATTTAACGAGGCTAACTATCCCAGGTATAACGCGATGAGCCATCCGATTCCTTTCATGAAGGCTACCAATGTGGTAGCTCCCAAGGCGGCAAAGAAGGAAGCTCCCGATCTGGAAGAAGCGATCGAGGAAGAAGACGACGTTGATGTTGCTGAAGCCCCAGAGGTTGATGAAGAAGAACTTGACCTGAAGAAGGACAAGTACATTAAGCAACCCAAGGCAAAGAAGGCAACAAAGAAGACTACCAAGGCGGCTGCAGCGGGTGATGACGACGATGACAAGCCGAAGAAAGGGCGGGCAAAGGCAAAGGCTGTAGGAACCAAAGGGAAAGCAAAGAAGTAGATGACTGGTACCTAAGTGGCGATGGCAGGTGGAATTATCTACATCCTCGCTGTAGCTGTGCAAAGCTGCAGAGGAAACATTTTGGAGTTGCATCAGGTGTTAAGGGAAAGTCAATGTGTGCTGGGAGGGTTTGCTATGAGTAGTTTGTATTAGTATTAGTAGTGAAGCTCTTTGCGGCGTGGTAGCTCACGATGGGGGCGACGAAGAATTTTGGGAGCACATTGTTTTGCCAGCTGCAAGCCCCTTGTAAACGCGCGCTTGTTGTGAGCTTCTCCAATCAACCCCCCCCTCAACACAACCATCGTGTTGATCCTAATGTTTCCGATTGCAACAACTTCCTCTATTGTCGAATGGTTCCAAGCTCAACAATAGACGGTTATTGTTCTCTGCTGCACTTGGAAGGCGAAGTATAATGGCGTCGAAGTCGAAAGAAAAAGAGAACGCACTCGACCAATTCTCCGCTGGTGCGTTCCTCTCCTCCTCCTTTTCAACTATCATCCAAGATTACCCTGACAAGTCGAAGGCGACAACTTGGATCAGGAACCGGAAGTCGGGTGCAAACCTAAGCTGTCGCTCGCGATGAAGTGGACTACGGCTGAGCTTCGAAGTAAGTCACGGCCCTAATGAAACCCAGACGTTCTGGAGACGCACAAGACCCTCTGCCGCTCCAGAGTCCATGCTAACTGACCGAAGCTCGTCTTACGCCGAGCTTGAATCCCAAAGCCTGGGCGAAGATCGCTGGTACTGCATCTTCGCGTGTTTTCCCTACCACCACTGACGAGTAGAACTCACAGAATCACGCCTCTTCGGGCCGAAGACGAAGCCAACTTCGCGGGAAGAAGAGAAGAGGTCCTCCTGGGACGCTCCCGTCGAACCAAAACAGGTACCAAGCACCCACAGACGCGCCAAATCGGAAATCGTCATTCGAACTGTCGTCAAGACACACGAAGAGCCACCCGAAGTTCCCGAGCTGCCTCGAAACATCAGTCCCACTGGGACGATCTTGATCCGAGATGTGGCACGAAAGACTGTAGAGGGGGCCTTTGAAGAATCGACTGTCCTAAAATCCTACGCGAAGTCCGTCCAGCTGGGCGTCTGTAACGATCGCGAACGATGCACTCCAGAAGTTGGTTGCCTCAACGACGATCAGGCAGAGGGAAAAGATCTAGATATTAGAGGCGGTTATTCGCATGAAGAGCACTCGAAAGATGAGACTAGATGCTATGGCGACTACAATAAGGATAAAGAGGAGAACGCGAGCGTTGACATTTCCCAGAACCTAGCCAAGATTGAAGACACTCCTCAAGAGAGCTCGGAAGAGGAGGGAGAGGAACAGTTTCAAGACTGCTACTTCCCCTTCACTTCGAAGCCACGACGAGACACATTCGCAGACTTCGACTACGTACCACCAAACAGCCTTGTCGACAATGCGATCAGAAATGGGGTATGGGGCCTGAACCCCAGCGAACTCATCTCCCAAGAGCATGAGAGAGAAATCACGGGGCTTCCAAAATGCACCGCTTCTCGTCACACGAAGAACTGGCGAGTAACAAACTCGATGCTCTCGGCCTACACTGCTTTGAGAGGACCGTACAGACTCGCCGGTCGTGACATGTTTGTCTGGATGGACCGCTGCGGAAAGACTTTCGTAAAGCCGGAAGATTGCAGTGCGCGGGTTGGCTCGTGTAACTCGTACGTGGCCTGGTACACTGACTATTCTCCTCGAATAGCTGCTGACGACTTTTCTTGCAGGATCATCGCCGACTTGGAGCCACTCAGTTACGACCCCCCACCCCTGCCAGACGAGTCGAGTCAAAAGCAGGTCTTCAGCATCCCGAGACCCCCTTACGAACACATTAGACCACCGCCCGGATTCAATCCAGCAGATCACGAGGAGCCATCGGTCGAGCTGGATCAAGATTTCCTCACAGATATGAAGAGAGGAGTTCAGACCTGGAGTGATGATGGGAACGGAGATCGCCTTGCTCAACTCAATGGTCCGGATGGGATATACAGTGCCACCGAGGAGTTTGTCCTATCTGACGACGAGGGAGACCCCTTGGACGGACGCATTTCTCCTTGCACTTTCCGCCTGTGGGCTGAGGGATGCGAGAGATAGGACTCGGACAAACCAGACGCCCACGGCGTGCCAGATGTCGGTATTCTTCTCTCGAGGAAATTGCGTGGAGGGACTCTAATCCTTGTTGTGTAGGTTTACCACCGGCGCGTTGAAGAGCTCATGGCTTCGAAGCACAACTGTGCCATTGAACCGGACGCGCGATCGTATTCCAGCGCGGGGTCAGCTTCAAGCTCGTTGGACTACGTTTTGACAGGATATACAGGTATGACAACTTTGTCGCACACTATGGTGTATAGTTGGCCTCACTACTGACCCTTTCAAGCTAAATCTATCCCGATCCGTCTTACAGAGTGGCACCGCGAACTGGTTGGTCGACTGGGTGCTACTATAGTCAATAATCCCCTTCAGAATGGGATTCGGGATGCCGCAGTTGAGGACACGAAGTCCGCCTCGTCGCATGGTTCGAAGCCATACACTGATGTAAGTCTTTGGGAGCAAATTGTCTCGCGCTCGAAACTAACACGACCGAGTCTGAGATTCTTGCTGCTCTCGCAGCTGAGGATGCCCGTATAGTCAACGGCATCTCTCCCGAAGAAGCCCCCGCCGCGATTCGCCAACGATACGACGTCCTCGACAAATGCCTCCAGGCCGAGAAGAACGCTGTTGAGAATATCGCAGCTACAGAGAAGCGCATTGGCATCCGTTCAGCTCAACTCGAGCGCGTCTCTGCTTCCGTCAATGCAATTCTCGAGATGAAAGCCCGAAAACAAAACTATCGACGCGAGGAGATCTACAGACACGTCTCCCAGCACTTGCGGGAACTCAAGGAAAAGGGAGAGGCGAAGCATGAGGAGACGTGGGAGATGGCGCTCCAGCTTGCCAGCCTTCTGACAAAGGAAAGGGAGCTGGAGTCGAAGATGAAGGAAGAGGCGCAAAAGGTCGGCGTAGACGGGGTTTCTGAGGCTGATGAGATCGAGAGAGTCCTGCAGCGCTTGCTTGAGAGCCATGGAGTTTTGGTCGATGATGCTGAGGACTGCTTCTTTTAATGCGGGGCAAGTGAGGGGTGCTTGATGACGCTGAGCCGAGGTTGGCCGAGAATGCCTCTTGTCCAGCTAACATACAAAGCAAGCTGTGTTTGAGTTACAAAGTTGTACGGTAAAGACTCATCCAGACAGCACAGGTTTGGGCATGCGACTGCTTCAGCATCACCGAGTGCAGTGTGCCTGAAGGGTCGGCGGCTAAGCATATTGCTTCCGATGCTGTGATGAGTGAGGAGTAGAATGAGCCAAGACGGTCAAACAAAGATGAAAAATTATACACAAGGCTTTTAGGGCCATATATTAGGAGCGGCTTCCCGTCCGCTCCAACTTTGTATGTTATACATGTATTCTGTACAAGGTTCCCACACTCAAACTTTTCGTGTCCAAGGTAATTGTACCCGCCATGCAACTAAAAAAGACCATCATGAGAGGAGCATTATACCCTTTAAGCCAACGCCAACCGGTATCCCATAGTATTACACGTGATTCATGACTTGGCGACATGCGCTTAGGTGTTCTTAACAACACCGACCTTGGCGGCGCGCAGCACCCGGCCATTGAGCTTGAAGCCCTTCTGCTGAACGAAGAAGACGGTGTTCTCCTCCTTGTCGGCCTGGGGGGCCATGAAGGTGGCCTCCTGCTCGTTGGGGTTGAACTTTTCGCCCTCGGGGCTCAGTCGCTCGAGGCCGTGTTTCTTGAGGGTGCTCATGAGGATGTCCTCGGTCATCTTGAGGCCCTCGTACAAGTTGGCGAGATCCTGGAGGTGCTCGGGGCGGTCCTCGGCGTTCAGCTTCTCCTGGGGGACCATGTTCAGGGCACGGTCAAGGTTATCGACGCTGTCGACGAGGTCCTTCGCGAATTTCTGGATGGCGAAGTCGCGGGCGGTCTTGACCTCGCGCTGGGTGCGCTCCTGGAGGTTGCGGAAGTCTGCGACGGTGCGGAGGCACTTGTCCTGTACAATCAAAGTCAGTGCATGGCACTCAATTGGCATTTCGAGTGCAACAAACCTTCCAGTCTCGGGCCTCAGCATCCTTGGTCTCGAGAGCCTTCTTCAGCTCGGCGACAGCATCGGGCTCGGTGCTGGCCTCCTTGGCATCCTTAGCCTCCTTGGCCTCCTCAGCGGGCTTCGCAGTCTCGGACTCCTTCGCATCGCTGTACCATCGTGCCACAGTGGGCTGGGCAGCTCGTAGGGTGAATGCGGGGGCGGACTGGAATTGCGACTGCACGAAGGATCGGGTAGCAGCAGCTCTGGGGGCGGCACGCAGGGCGCGGGAGGAAGTAGAGAGAGCCTGGCGGAACATTGTGAAGTTTTTGGTGAGATTGGTGTGGGAGAGAAAACAATTCAAAGACAATGGGCGGAAGTTGTAGCGGTGGATATGGGTGCTGGCGAGGTGGAAGTGGCTTTATTATCGCGAAGGTTCTGGAGTCTTTGGACTGAAATTTTAGCTGTCGGCATGATGGAGGGTCGCCGGCAACGGCCCCGGGAGAGCTTCCGGTACGTACCTCGGCGGATCAAAGATGGCCCGCCAGAGCTGTTCGGAGGATTTTAGCCAATGGAAGCTTGTAAATCAGCTGCCCCGGGCCCCGTTTTTTCCGCAGGCCTACGTCGCGCACTGGCAACCTGGAGGAAGGCTGGAGCTCGTTGTTGTGTGCCTCACCAACGAACCAACTCCAACATCACGACCACACATTCCGCCTTCACCCCCAACGACGCACCATCCACGCCCTGCGATCTCTAGCGCGAGAATACCGCACCCCACGATCCCTCTCTCACAACACACACAGACCCCTCCTTCACCATGGCGGCGGGCGAATCGGCGAGGGTCCAGGAAGCCCAGAAGCTCGCCAAGTCAGACCCCCGGAAGGCTGAGGCTATCTACAAGGAAATCACCGCCAAGGCGCCCGGTGCGACGTCTGATGCTGCGACGCGCGAGTACGAGTCGGCTTTGATAAGCTTGGGCGAGCTGTACCGAGACGAGAAGTGCGCGCTGCTGTCCCCTACCACGGAACCAACCCACTGACAGCAAAACAGGAAGTCACAGGAGCTAGTAAACCTTGTCAAGGAGAGCCGATCAGTTTTCTCTTCCTTTGCCAAGGCCAAATCTTCAAAGTTGGGTGAGTTTTGTCCCTGGGCAGCTTTTCAGCTAAATCGCCTCCCTCCCTGATCCTACATGATGTTTGCAACCCAAGTATTTGCTACTTCAGAGCCTGTTTTGACAGGCCATGAGACCACTATTCACCATTGCCCTGATTCGGATCTTAAGCCAATCTTCGTTTTTCCAATAAGCAGTTTATCGTGGGCCACTGCTAACTTGGTGGCGTAGTCCGCCAACTGCTTGACTTGTTCAAGGACATCCCCAATAGCACTGAAATCGAAATCGCCGTCACCAAGGACTGCATAGAATGGGCTACCGCCGAGCGCCGTGCTTTCCAGCGCCAGGACCTCGAGGTCCGCCTCGTCGCCCTGCAGATGGCCAAGCAATCCTACTATGACGCACTCGGTCTTATCAACGGCCTCCTCCGCGAGCTCAAGCGCCTCGACGACAAATTGCGACTCGTCGAAGTCCAACTACTCGAGTCAAGAGTCTACCACGCCCTCGGCAACATCCCCAAGTCCCGTGCCGCCTTGACCAGCGCGCGAACCAGTGCTGCCAGCGTCTACACGCCTCCAATGCTGCAGGCCAACCTCGACATGCAGAGTGGCATGCTCCATGCTGAGGACAAGGACTTCAACACTGCCTTCTCTTACTTTATCGAGGCTCTGGACGGCTACCACTCTCAGGATGAGAGCGTCAAGGCCCAGGCTGCCCTGCAATACATGCTCCTCTGCAAGATCATGCTGAACCTCGTCGACGACGTCAACCAGCTCATGACCTCGAAGCAAGCACTGAAGTACGCCGGCCAGAACCTCGAGGCAATGAAGGCCATCGCCCGAGCACACTCGAACCGATCCCTGGAGGAGTACGAGCGTGCCCTGTCCTCGTACCGTTACGAACTCGGCAGCGATGCCTTTATCCGCAACCACCTCCGCCGCCTCTACGACGCCATGCTGGAGCAGAACCTTATCAAGGTTATCGAGCCCTTCTCGCGCGTTGAGATCGACCACATCGCCAAGATGGTGGGTTTGGATACCCAGCAGGTTGAGCGAAAGCTCTCACAGATGATCCTCGACAAGGTCATCATTGGTGTTTTGGACCAGGGCGCGGGCTGCCTTATCATCTTTGACGAGACGCATCGAGACGAATCTTACGATGCGGCTCTGGCGACGATTGAGAAGTTGAGCAGCGTGGTGGATGTATTGTACACAAACCAGGCCTCGATGCTTGAATAGAAGCGGCGCTACGGCAGCGGGGGCATCGTGTATTGTAATATGGCACAGTAGATTAGGCGTTTCAAGAGGGACGGACTCGTCTACACTGATCATTGCATCGCTGGTTAATTTCCGTGTTTAATGCCTTAAAGTGTGGCGCATTGAACGAGCGAGTGGGAAATATCCCTCCTTAAATGTAAACGATACTACGGGGGTATCTACGCCTGCAATGCAAATCCAAACAACTTTTCCCAAAAACAAAAGCGACCGTTTAGTGAAACATAACTCGTGCAGGTGTCTCTGAGACGCCGCGGCTCCTCCTCTCCTCGCCGAGAATCAACGCGAATAGCCTCTTGACCAACACGGCCTCGTCCCACGCACCAACCGATGCCTTGAAGGCATCCACGCAGTCTAGGTGCCAGCGCTCCAGCACCATGGCCTCGCCTTGGCTCTTAACCGTCTTTCCAAGGAACTTGTCCGCACAGCGTCCATAGTTCAGCTCGTATGGGCCTGCCCGCCGCAGTTGGAGCAGCTCGTCCAGGAGGAGCCAGTGTTGGCGGGTCCAGACGGTCTGTGAGAGCGGTGCGGGCTGTGGCGGTTTAGCCAAGGGCGACGCTTCAGACATGGACATGTCTGATGCGTCACGGTTCTCCTTGTCGATTGTTTGAGGAGGAGGGGGCTGACGCTGCGGGGCGAGACTGGCCTGGGACGCTGAAGAGTTGGAAAGACGCCGAACCTGGCGGGCCTTTGCCTGCTCCACGGGCGACAGGACGCTGCTCGTAAATTCGACAACACGCCCTGGAGTGTGAGGCTTCATAGGTGACCGCAGACTCGACTTGCTCGGCGAGGCGTGCTTTGGAGGCAGGGGTCGCAGAAACGGCTGAGACACCTCGGGAGAGTCTTCGCTAGCCACGGAGGTTTCATGCTGCCACCTCTGGATGTCCGCGTGGGACAGCTGCATTCGTGGTGGCGTGGGAGCACTCGATCGAGCTGAAGACTTGAAGAAGGCAGCGTTGGGTTGCTTGGCCTTGGGTCGAGGCGTGAAGTTTTGTTTCTGAGCTACAGATGGCATCTCAGACTCCTCCGGAGCTTCTTGAGGTGAAGAGGCTTGCGTTTCCTCCCTTGGCTCCCGCTCCTCATCTCGCGATGGAGAGAAGAGATCGATACGGGAGCTCTTCCGGGGCTGGAACTCCTTCTGCGCAACTTGAGGGAACATGGAGCTAGTGGGCAGAACAGGCGCCGTTTGAACCATATCCACTTGAACTGGCTCAGCTTGAAGCGGCTCTGGCTCACTAGGTCTTGCTCCAAAGACTGACGCGGTCTTGGCTGGAAGGAACTTCTCGGCCAACATACCAGGGATGGCAGCTGGAGACGAGAAGAAGGATGCCAGGTCGAATCGACTCGCTTTCTTTGCCGACTCGACCGGCCCTGCCGGCTCTTGAGCACCTTTGCTCTGTGCAAGTAAAGAGTATTCCTCCTGGGCCTCCTCTGTCCTGTCGGCGTCAGATGCAGCACCCTCAGTGAACGCCTCCTCCTCTCTCGGGGGCCCTCGTGTGCTCTGTCTCATCCAGGTACTGGGCAGAGTACGCCGCTTATTCCCGAATGGCTGTTGGCGAGTAGTGCGAGGAGTCGCCCGCTTCGCCTCAAATTCCCAAATATCCATATCATCATCACGCTCTTCAGGCGCATCATTATCGTCAACATCATCGACAACATCATCAGCTGCACCATCCAGCTGTTCATAGGATGTGGAACCCTTCGTCACTTCGGCGGTTGTGGATCGTGCAAAGTCCTTGAGCGGGACGTCTCCTCGAAGATTAGCACTGATCGGACCCTCATCGGCAACCCAACTCATCACCTCATCATTAGGGGGAGTGATGCGCAGTGAGCTAGCTCGAGAGTCTCGAGGCGATTCACGTGTCCTTTGTGATGATCGATTTCCGCCACTCCTCTCGAGTGCTTCCAGAAAGCTGAGCTGGCCAGTATGCCTCATATCCGAAACAAAGGGATCATCGGATAGTTGGCTAGCCGACGGGACCTGATTTCTAGCTGTGAAGTTGAATGGCCTTCTTGGGCTCAAGCTTATTCGACGGCTGGGTTGCGAATCCTGAGCCGGTGGTCCCAATTCTCTGCTAACTGAGCTCCGGAAGGGGCTCCGCAGAGGGTGTTCGCGAGGCTCAGGCGACGGAGGGTCTGAGGTCACACTTTGCAACGCCCGCCCTGCTCGTACAATGGGAGACAACAGAGGTCGCGACATCTTGTCTAGCGCAGTCTCTGGTACCAGCGACTGAGGGTCCTGAAGTGGAGATGTCAATTGATTGACTGGTGTCACTTCGGGCCGACGCAAGTGACTATCCAGCGACAGTTTTGACGTTTCTGGCACCGAAGCCTCCGGAAATTCTTCCTCAAGATCGTCGACCATCTCCTCCACAATCTCTGGTACGAGCTGAGATCGGGATGCAGACAAGACTAACGGGGACGACATCTTTGGAGAAACAACTCCAACAGAGGCTTGAGAGGTTTGTGTTGACTTGCCCTGGTCTTCTGCCTCGACTCCGATTTGAGGAGGGGTGTCATCGGGAGTAGGGAGGCGGCCTGCGTCGGATCGAGAAACAACGCTCACATTCGAAGCGGTTTCTGGTGCGTACTGGCTTTCGATTTGTTGGGGTGGTTGTGCATCTTTCATCTCTTGGTCGTCTTCGACGGGCTCCTCTTCCACCAGTGCTTCCTCCAAAGGTTGTTCGCCCACTAGTTCGACTAGTTCCGCCAGTTCTTCTTCCACAGGCTGTTCGTGCATAGGTTGTTCTTCCACAGGTTGTTGTTCCAAAGGTTGTTGTTCAATCATTTCTTCCTCCATCATTTCTTTTCCCAGCTCTTCTTCTGCTAGTTGTTCTTCCATTGGCTCTTCCTCCACCGGCTCTTCCTCCACCGGCTCTTCCTCCATTGGTTCTTCTTGCATCAGCTCCTCCTGCATCAGCTCCTCGTCCCTGACACCTACTCTAGGCCGTCGAGGGGTAGCAGCCTCAAGCACATCCTGAGGAATTTCCGAGAACGAGTCTTCATACATATTAGATTCGTCCTGATTGAAGTTTGCAGGCGATCCTCGTTGCTCGGGGCTCAGGACGTGTGGTCCCTCAACATTCCCCTCTGCGACGTTCGAATCATTTTCGTCAGTTTGCCTCGCCTTAAACTTGAGAACCTGGTGTCGGAGAGGCGAAACGCTTCCTCGTCGTGGGCTTCGGAGCCATCTCGGGGACAGGTTTCGATTTTGTGAAAACGTCATTGGTGGTCGGATACTGGGTTGGTGTAGCTCCGCCGACGCAGGCTCGATGAATGCAAGCGATGGGTGTTCGGAAGTTTCAGCAGTCTCCCTATTTGCATTAGGGCCCTCCCTCTGTTGCAATGATTGTCGTAGTGATTCCAAGGTATTGTTAATGATGAGACTAGTCTCCTCGCCATATTCGTCTTCCGCCGGTACGCGGACAGAGCTGCGCAGTTCCTGTATCGAGGGCAGAGAGTCCATAAATATCATACTAAAGTCCTCGCCCTGTGCAATAGTGTCGTTGCCTCTGGGTCTGGGTTCGCTAAGAGGCTCATCAGCCGAGGAGGTATCACTCGCAGCTGGCGCGAGATATCCGTAATCCTCTGCTTGCGACATGTCGGCTTCGGGCTCTGGGGATTCAGAAGCCGGTAGTGATTGTGCCGTTCGATTGGCGGCCCGTGGGGTGGGATCGTCGTCCAGTGTTGCCATCCAAATATCCGAGTCTGCTTCTGAGGCGGGCCTAATAGGGGTGTCAATAGGCGCTTCCGACGCCCCTGTTTCTGAAGGGGCGATGACCAGAGTCACCTCATTGTCTTCTTGGGGCTCATCCTCCTCGTCCATAGTAGGTTCTGTCACCTCATTGGCCACCTCCATCAAGTCCTCAGGAGCAAGTGCTTGTCGGCGTCTTCCCCTCGACGTAGATGCAATCCCGCGTCCTGCCTCGATGCCAAGTTCACTAGAGGGCTCGACGGTGCGATTCTTAGGAGGCCTGCCCCGTCTCGCAGATTTCGGCGTGGGTTGTGGTTCAGGCGGTGCAAGCCCATCATCTAGCTCGGCCGTGCGGTTCTTAGGAGGCCTGCCGCGTCTCGCTGACTTTGGTGTAGGCTGCACTTCAGGTTCCGGGAGCTCGAGATCATCGTCTTCCTCAGTAGATTTCGTCGTCCGCGGCCGGCGTGGTGTTCTCTTAATAGGGGTTCCCGCCCTCCTCTTCACACCCGCGCCAGGAAGTGGCGTTCCGTTGGATTTGCGCGGTCGGCCCCGGCGTCTTGGAGTCGCGTTTATATCCATAGGCTCCTCCTCGATCGTATCCTTCAGTGGAACAGTCGTCGTTGTGGCCCGCTCTCGCTGTCGTATCATGGGCATGGGGCTCGAAGATTGGAAGAGCTTCCGTCGAGCGCCTCCATCGGGGGCATTCGCGGACGCGCCCTCGGTCTCGACGGTGACGAGCAATTTCTGCGGTGCTCGATTGTCGCCGACCTCGAGCTCGAACATTTGCTTCCGGGGTGAGGTGTCTCTGGAGAGGTAGCGGTCGGATCGGAGACTCCGCGTCACGCTCCGCGTCGCGCGATGCGCCGAGGACGGCATGATGACGGCCTCGCCGCCCGAATTGTTGAGCGGATCCGGGGACGACATGATGTCCACGCTGGGCGTGGTAATGTCGGCGAAGCTATGCCAGCGGATGCTGTATTCGGAATGGGCACCGGGCTTTCCGCGGCGTGACATTGACGAGCGCTGGCGCTTTGCTGTAGGCAATGTTGGACATGGAATTCGCACGTCGCCAGAAGCCCATGGCTGTGTCTTGGGTGCAAGGGTACGTTGGTACAACACACGGTGTGTGCTTTGTTTACTTAAGTCTGGATGCGGACTAGTGGCGGCTAGCCGCAACATCTGTTTCTCCGGGGTTCCGGGGTTCCGTTCCGATGGCGAAGTTAGGCTTCAGGCCTGGCTCCAGCTTCTGGCCCGGCTCTTGCTCGCACGTCGCTCTTTACTGCCCAGTTTGGGATATATGTAATCCGGGGTCGCCCGGTGGCCCGTGCGTCGGCCCCGGCAAATCCATTACCCCATCCACGTCACATGCGGCAAGTCGAGGGAGGCAGTTCTGACCAACCTGGAACGGCAGGCGGCGCGCATCCCAAGGCTTCGGCATCGGAAGGAAGGTCCGCGACCTCGGCAATTTTGTGCATTCGCGTCTGTGACAGTGCGCATCTCAGACGAACTTAAGCTGCAGACCATCTACATCTGCCCTCCATAGCACCTAGTCTAGACTATCCCGTGATCGGTCCTCTCCCCAGACGCCGGGCTTTCATTTTATTTATCTACACATTCCTTGTGCTTGCTTCTAGCAACTTCAACTGCAACTGCAACTCAAGGCCGCTCCTCCCCGTGCAAGATTCCGAGTTCCGTCTGTTACTCGCTTATCCTTCTCCGAGAAGCCTCCTGTGCATCGTCATGTCTGCCAAGACGCCCATTCCCCAGAACGACAATGTCGCCCATGCACTGGCTGGCGCCGGCGGCGGTATCTTGTCCATGATCCTGACGTACGAATTGGTTCTTCTCCTGGTCGCGACTGCATTGACACAGCTTCCAGATACCCTCTGATCACCCTCTCCACGCGCGCGCAGGTCGAGTCCAAGAAGGCCGAGAGCAAGTTCATCTCAGCCGTCCAGAAGATTGTCGCGCGCGAGGGCGTCTCGGGGCTTTACTCCGGCATCAACTCGGCGTTGTTCGGTATCAGCATTACCAACTTCGTCTACTACTATTGGTACGAATGGACCCGCTCATTCTTCGAGAAGGCGGCCATCAAGGCCGGTCGCGCCAACAAGAAGCTCACTACGGTTGAGTCCATGATTGCCGGCGCAATCGCTGGATCGGCTACCGTGATCCTCACCAACCCCATCTGGGTCGTCAACACCCGTGTCACCACGCGCAAGCAGGACAAGGAGGGTGATATCGAGGCCGGCGAGGAGGCGAAGCCCGCCAAGGCCCCCAGCACCATCGGCACTCTGATGGCGCTCCTCAAGAACGAGGGCCCCCAGGCTCTCTTCGCCGGCGTCATCCCCGCGCTGGTGCTTGTCATCAACCCCATTCTGCAGTACACTCTGTTCGAGCAGATGAAGAACAGGGTTGAGAAGAAACGCAGTGTCACTCCCGGCATTGCCTTCCTCCTGGGCGCATTGGGTAAGCTCTTTGCCACGACGGTGACCTACCCCTACATCACCGTCAAGAGCCAGATGCATGTCCAGACCGACCGAAAGGAGGGCATGTTCAAGGCGCTGAGCCGTGTTGTGCGAGAGGAGGGCTACGCCGGTCTCTACAAGGGTATGTTCATGTTCCTATCTCTCCCTGACGATGTGCTGACACAATGAATAGGCATTGGTCCCAAGGTCACCCAGAGTGTGCTGACTGCGGCCCTGCTGTTCGCATTCAAGGATGCGCTCTATGAGCAGACTGTTAGACTCCGGATGGCCGGTGCTCGCAAGAGCCTCGCTGCGTAAATCCAGCTTGCCAACCTGGCCTTTTGATAACTAGACACGGCATCAAGGGCTGCTGCACCTTTGATGAGAAGTCTCGGCAGTCCATTCACTGTCAATGAGCAATGCAGTTTACAGGTGGAACTCTTAAGAGTTGGGGACGCGTGGTCCGCCACGTCTTTAGATTGGAGGATATGGAGACAAGGTCAACTTCTATTAAGGGAGGGAGGATAGTTTGTCATTTGGATACCCAAATGGTCTATTGTATGTGGGATATGAACACCCTCTATATATAAAGACCTTTCAAGTCGCCCGTTTTGCATCAACTTCTACTGGATGGGTGTGATCCTCGGAACGACCCACCAGTCGTGATAAGACTTATCCGGTGTCGGCACCTCGGCCTTGATTTTCACCTCCCCGGTCTTCAGCGACTTCTCCAGCGCCTTCTGCACGGCGGCTATCGCAATCCCTGTCGCTATGCATGATTTGAGCCCATTCTTCATGGACGTCACCCAACGCTCATGCGACCCAACGGAGAAGGCATCCTGGGCTGTGAAGTTCCTGCTAACAAACCTCTCAAAGCCCCTCTTGGCTCCCGCCAGAGCCTTGTCCGCATACTCCAAGATCTCGGGCGTGGAAACTTCGGGCTGCTCGGTCCCGGCGGTAAACACGTCAAATGTGGGGAGGGCTGGGAGGCCGATAGGCGCAAACGGCCGCATGCGCAATTCGTACCGTAGCTCGTTGTTGCTGTAGGGTCTGGGGGGAGCCTTGACGAGACCGAGCCGAGCGAGGACAGTGTAGAGGCAAGACAGCGCATCCGACAGCTCCCATGTCACTATCGCATCCAGCATCGAGAGCCGGATGAATGCTTCAGATCGCTCCAGCTGGCGGATAGCGGCAATATCCGGGACCTGGGACGATTCGCGCGCCTCGTCCACCCTCTGTTTGATAAATTGCTGGATCCTCTCCGTGTGTTGGAGTCTCCACTTGGCCAGATAGTTGAGGTACCAGTACATGCCGGCAAACTCGTCGGCCTGGTAAACCTCGAGCTCAAAGCCCAGCTGGACAATCCATTCCATCATCCGTAGTTTGTATAGATACGTCCAGGAGGAAAGCGGAAGGGAGTAGGATTCGATCGGGCTCCCATCCACCGGGGATGTCTGCACCATTGGGCGCTCTTTGGTCCTAGCTTGAATAATCTGATCGATTTCTTCAGCGTCAACTTGGAGGTTCTCCCAGTCCCGGATGATGTGGCAGAGAGTGCGGCGCACGCGACATCGGTTCTGGCAGAACGTTCGCAGCACATCTAAGAATGGCTGTGCAGCCCTCTGCCTGAAGAGCTCCATCTGCTGAGACATGACGAAGCGCGGGTCTTTGACAACCTCGATCTCATCGTTGGCGCGATCCAGCCTGGGATTTGCGGGCATGGCCACGATCGAGAAGTCGTCGTCCATAATCTGACGGATACTCATCGTCCCCAGGAACTCCATTTCATTGAAGAGGAAGGTCTGCAGAAGCGTCCGTACATAGACGAGAGGTTGAGGCTTCTTGGCCTGGAAGCTACAAACAAAGTTCTGCTTCTAATTAGTGTATGTTCTTGTTCAAATAATTTAGACACATACCAGGAGGCATTGAGAGTCCGTGTAATTGAGTACGCCGATCAGCTCAGAGCCATCTTTAAAGAGCCTTGATAGATGGCCAAAGGCATCGTCAAAGCCTATCTGCACTATTGGCCTCGGGGGCATGGTGCTGGCAAGCTTCCTCTGCAACTTGGCACTGAATGCTTCGTCAACCGCTTTACCTAACTCATGCGATGCCTTGATATCCGGGAGGAGAGCAACGGCTTCTTCCCATGGCTTCCTCGCGAGTTCAGGTTCTCTTATGTGCTCAAGGCATTCGGTGGCATCCAAGAAGAAGTACCGGAGCTTGAGGCGGCGAGCAAGAGCCTTGGACATATCATCACCCAGCGTCTCGCTCAACGAGCTCACCAGGTTTTGTGCCTCAAGAAGGGTTTCTCGGATGGCATCCGTTGGTATGCCGGTCAGAAGATTACGGCTGTATGTGTTTGTGACAAAATCTTCCTCCTTGTGTCTTCCATTAGCTCTGTCCAAGTCTCAGCTTGTCCTTTGAACATACCTCATAGAAGTGTTCCGATATTATCCTATCATTTACATATCTGCATGCCTTCAGCATCGCCAGGCAATATGCGCGTAAGATGGTCAGCATCGGGCTTTGGCTAGAACCGTCGGGCGCATCCCGGACAAAATCTGCTTGCTCGATATCTTTGGGGCGTGGCATCAGAAGCGACTCGACGTACACGCTGGTGAACAAGGTCTGGGAGAGGGGGTATCCCAAATGCCAGGCCATCTAGTACGGGTGAGACTTCGCTCCAACTTGTGACGAGGGCACACTGACCTCGTGGCATAAGAGTTGGTCCATGATACCAAGCACCTCCTCCGGGAGCAGTGGCCGGGAGACGTCATAGAGCTCCTCCAGGTCTTCTTCCGACTGGACGCAGCCACTGTCCATCTTGGGATCCATGATCTACCGGTGGCGTCAACCATAATTATTTGCACTCGAGGGCTTCTGCTCGTACCTCGAGAGCCGCAACGGACTCGAACAGTGTAAAGAAGCCATCCTTGACGAGCTCGCCAGGCGCCAAGGCTGATCAGGTTAGTCAAAGCACTGTGGGCGACGCTGAAGAGGACGCACTCTTGACGGCTTCTGAAAACTTGGCGGTGATATCAACGGCAATCACGCCGCTGGACTTGGTATCAACCAGCGGCGGAGGAGGCGGCGGGGGCGGAAAGTCGGCCTCCTGGCCCAGCGACAATCTCGCGATTTCTAGACCATCAGTGAGACTTTTGACCACACCACGGTGAGAATCTGAGCGACCCACCATCTGGGACCCCGATACCGAAGTCGGCCATTTCGAAGATCGCGGGCAACGACACGCCGCATCCAATCTCAAAAAATGCGTTGGGGGGGAATCAGGCAGGAAAGACGAAAGGATGGAGTTTTCACGGGTGCGTTGATGATAGTGGTTCAGTGCTCAGCTGCCTTGCCTTAGTCGCCTGTAAAAGTGTCGCCCATATCCCAGTCAGAGGGTCCCAGTCACAAGCAGCAACGAAATTCGCCGTGGAGAGTGTTAATTTGCAAGGCGGACTATATCAATCGTTCAGGCGCCTAAGGCTGGGCTTGCCGTGTACCATCCAGGTGCCTTGCGTACGGTTTTGTGTGGTTGTGTCACGGTTAAACGGGAAACGCTGCTCCCCTCGGCTGTAGCCGGGTGGGAAAAAGGCTTCGTGCCGCGTGCTAAGCCGGCCAAACTGGCCCGTGAGGACAATTCACTCTACAAACAGCACATCGATCACGCATCTCATCTCGCTGGAGCCTCAATTGCAAGTCGTTTTGCTGACAAATTGGTACATTTGTAGCAGTCGGGTTTTATGATACAGGGCACTAGGTGCATGCGGCGGGTTGCCCCAAGAGCATGGTGCTCATTCCATCATTCCAAGCCGAGCAGCCCGGCGGGTTGCGCTCACGCTCCCATTATCCACGCGCAATCATCTCCGGGTCGTTCGATTAGGAAGAGGGGGCGACAGTGGAGGTGATGATGTTGGGCTCGCCCTGCTTGCCGTTCTATTGAGGTATTATCCGTCAGTCTCGTCGCCAATCAAGCTCCGCAGGGCTGGTGACTGCTTACCTCCCACTTGGCAAATCGAAGGTCCATCTCGCCTCGGCGCTCGACGGCGATGCGCTTCTCCTCCTTGAGGCTTCGGCGGACAACGCGGGCGGCGACAGCCAGGTAGCGGTTGTAGCTGTTGGAGGATTGTGTTAGCTCTTCGGCTCGGTCAAGGTCGGTCGGGGCAGCATCGCGCCAGGGCGGCCAATTGTCGGGGCGGCAGGGCGAGAGATCAATTGACGTACGTCAGGCCAGCGGCTTTCCACGCAGCAGTCATTTTGGCGGTGGTGTTGGAGGGTTGATGGGGAGGGATGGGCAATTGGTGGGTGATGATGACTGAATCTTTGCTCCGAATTACCGGACAACGGCAGAGCTGGGAGTTGGCGCCTGAGGCATCAACGGGCTGTATCAAAACGTTGCAGTTCTCAGTGCATTATCACCACGTGACACTGATAACAACCTAATCTGCACGTACTACTCCGTATGTAGATCGACATAGCGCTGCCAATGTTCCAGGGAGATTTTGAGGCGGCGGGACAAGCCGCCAAGACCAATGATAGCCTGGATGGCTGAACAAAGTTGACAGGGCTTCGAAGGGCCTCGCAAGGGCTGACTGCCTGGACCCGGTAGGTGCATTGGCTATACGACGGCAGCATGGCGGCGTTTGCGCCCAAGCCCGATAGAGCTCGATCCCTACTTTATCTTGGCGGTGCTTAATTCTTATTGCTGCCATCATCTCCTTGACCCCGGATTCGCGAGTGCAAACCATCTCTGTCCTTTCATCTCATTCCTGTCTCATCTCTATCTCGTCTCCATCTCATCCATCCCCGACTCCAAAGCCATGTCCTCGGTGCTCTCAGGAAGGCGGCGCCGGCCGCAGGAATTCACCCTTCCCAGCGGCAAAAAGGTCATTACCACTCTGCCCGAGGATCTCGAGGATCTGAGGCGCAAATACAGCAACCAGGATGAGATGCAGGTCGAGATCGTCATCCACGGCTCGCCTGAGCATTCCAGCTATCTCAGGGAGACGCGAGAGCATCACGAGCGACGCCGTACCAAGCTTCGCGAGGAGCATGGCCCTGCGTTTGCGGAGTGGGAGGACGTTCAGAACCGCCTCAACTCTGTCAACTCCGAGCTGGAGCGTCTCAGCACCAATTCGGCTGGGCTCAACGCCAACTTCAACAAGTTTGGATACCACGCTGACGTGCGCACCTACGACGGCGATGAGGAAGCTGAGACGGCCCCAGCCTCCTCTGCAGCGTCCATGTCCGACACCCTTTCTGTCGCGTCGAGTCGGTCTGGGGCCCGATTGGGAGAGACAACCAAGCTGTTCAAGAGGCCCGTGGTAAAGCAATGGTTCCATCAAGGCCTACTATGGCGCGCGTCCGAGCAAGCAGAGATCCAAGCCATTGAACTATTCTTTGACCTGCTCTACGGTACGTCTCCCAATTTTATCATGGGGTTGACTCGCTAAGCTTCGATAGTTGGTATTATCCATATCAACGGTGAACATATGTGGGCGGAGCCGACTGGCCTCGAGTTGCTTCGATTCGCAATCACCTTCATCATGTCGTGGAAGATTTGGACCGACGTCACTTTGGTTCTAAGTTGGTTCGAGACCGATGATGTCCTAACCCGGCTGGAGATTCTTTTCGAGATCGCATGTCTCTTGGGGTATGTTGAGCTGGCTCCTTGGCAATGCTAAGCGAAAGTACTAACACAACTAGATTTACGACCAACATGACGTATTCCTTCTATGAGGATGAGAAACACAATACGTACACCATGATGGTGGCTTTCTACCTCGCAGCCCGTCTGAGGGGTGTGGTTCATTTTGCCATCACCGCCTACCTCTTGCCCATGGTCCGAGGAGTCATGATCTGCGAATCCATCAACATACTAATCCCGTCAGCCATATGGATCGCCAGCATTCACGTCGAGATGCCATCCCGCCTTGCGCTCATCTGGATCGCAATCGCTTTTGACATGTGGGGACAGTCCATCATCGTCGGCCTTTTCCGATACGGACGAGCGAAGGGGGATAAGACGCGACTTGGAACGTTCCTGACCGGGTTCTTTGAGTTCTATCCAGCAGTCAACATCGAGCACAGAGTCGAGAGGACCAACGCGTTCGTCTCCCTTGTCCTTGGATACTCCGTGGTGGGTGTCATGTTCCAGAGCTATGGCGGCTACTACGTCAATGCCTTCCTGGGCAAGGCCGTGCTTGGACTCGTCCAGGCATTCATCTTCAACTGGATCTACTTTGACATCGATGGACACAATATCGACGTGCATGCCATCCGGAGCTCGGTCCTTGCAGGTAAGCCGCACAAGGTACCCCTACCCCTCGATCCCTGCTAACAACCAAAAGCCTCCATCTGGGGTTATGCCCACCTTCCGTTCGTCATGGGCTATATCCTTGCCTCTGCGGGATTGTCGAAGCTGGTCTTGACCACGGATACGCCCAACACAAATCCAGAGCAGCTGTCTGAACACTATTTCGAGCGTGCGGAGCCTGAGATCGCCAACGGGATCCGCTTCTTCTACTGCCACGGCCTGGCCATCGCACTGCTCTTCATGGGAGTCATCTCTTTGTGCCATGACCACCGTGCTCCCGCCACCCTCCGCTGGAGCAAGACAAGCCGCCTGGCTAACCGCTTCGCCGTCTGTGTCATCTTGTTCTTCCTTCCGATGGCCAAGACCCTCAACTCGCTGCACCTCATCTCCATCACTCTGGGTCTGACGCTCTGGGTCCTCCTGGTCGAGCTGTTTGGCAAGTCTTGCACGAATGATCCCTTCATCGGCGAAAAGAAGGGCTGCACGGTGCGATACTCATGCAAGTGCACCAAGAAGGAATTGAAGAAGGTGGGCGGCAAGGAGCAGCCTGAGCGCCGCAGCGCTGAAGTCCAGGAGTTCACAACCAAAGAGAAAAGCGCGGCCATAGACGTGCAAGATTAACAACGGATATAGGAGAGTCGTCCCGGAGTCAATTGGGCGAAGTTTCAAATTGAATAAATTGAAGATATAATTAATACAACAGACTGCCATTCCCTCCATACCATTCCCGTCGTCTATAGCTATTCTTGTAAAAACTCGAAGATAATGAAACCGATTGGGTATTAATTTCGCCATCCTTCGCATCATGACATCTTGCCGCTCTCCCAACATCCTCCCTCCAGTGCCAAAATTCAACTCTTACTAGCCGCCACTGACAGCACCCATGATGACCATAGTCTGGTGGAAGCGCCTCCGGTCGATCTCCTTCTTCAGCATGGACACGCAGCTCGCCACGGCAAGAAGCTCCATCTGGCCGGCCTCGCCTTTGCGGTCGGCCCACTCGCGCAGGTCGAGCATCAAGCGGCCGCCGTTACCTGCGGTGCTCTTCCTGGTGCCCTCGGTGCGCAGGCCGCCGGTTCGCACCAGCTGGCCAACCTTGCGCCGGCGCACCTCCTGCTTGCCACCCTCCAACGCAACCGTCGTCGTGCGGTCCAGGATCAACAGGCTGTCGACGTCCGGACCCGCGGCGCGGCGCTCGGCGCGGGTGCTGTAGCGCCACTCGAAGGAGCCCAGCGGCGTGCGCATCGTCGTCGCGCGCGTGAAGCTGCCCTTGCCGTCGAACAGGATCTCTTCGGCGTTCTCGCCCGCTCCGTCGTCTCCCAGAAGCTGGATCTTGGGCGGCCGATTGGGCCCGAAGCGATAGGTGGTGGTGCAGAGGGGCTTCTGCTCCGGGTCGTCGGCGCGGGCGAGGAAGCAGGAGCCCGAGTTGCGGGCCGGCCGCACGGAGACGTACTCGGCCCGGTCCAGCTCGCCGGTGGGCTCGACGCCGAAGACGTAGATGGGCTCCGGCCGCGGCGGCAAGGGCAGGGCGATGAGCGGGTGGCCCATTGTCTGGATCTGCAGCATCTTTGTGGCGTAGAAGCCGGCGTATGGGCTGGCGGAAGACGAAGAAGCATCTGCTTCATCATCGTAGACGGCGGTGTACTGTGGCAGGGAGTCGGCAGACGAGGATGCTCTTAGGTTGCGAAGCTCGTAACCCTCGGAGAGAATATAGTCTGGGGGCAGGGAGTCTTCGCCATTAGAGCGCCGGCGGATGTGTGAGGCCGGAGCCGAGGCGGGCTCGACTGCGGTGGACATTATGTAACCGGTGCTGTTGAGGTTGTTGAGGTTGTTGAAGGCGATCTACAGAGCAGACGTCTCCTTGCAGTAGATGGTGAAGTTATTCGCCGTGTTTCTTAGTGCAGATCTCTTTCGTGTAAGTCGTGTTATTGAAGTGCGGGTCTGCAGCTCTTCTTGAATCTCTCCTCCTCCTCCACGCCGAAAGCCTCCATCTATATACTCGGCGAGCCTGCCTTCAGTGCCAGTGCCTCATACTCGCCTCGCTAAAAGCCCAACGCGAAATACGGACCATCACCGCCACATTCCAATGGTCGTCGCAGGCTGCCCATCTCAGCCCTGTTGCGGCTGCTTGACTTCTGATTGGTCCCTTGTACTGACAACCCCGCTGTATTTCTGAATATCGCGAAATACGATGAATGCGAGATCCAAGAGGCCCAATCAGCGTCGCGGAATCATACCCACGGAGGCGGAGCCAAGGATGCCATGGGCATGGGCGAACGCGCTAAACCACATCTGCGGACCTCGATTGCTGGTTGTCTGGCCGGCATTGCGATGATAATGACGCAGGAAGGTTTGCCCGGCCATTATGTTAGACCATTCCCTCTTAAGGCTTGATACTGCGAGGTGATACGAGCCGTGCCGAAGCCATCAAGGCTGCGTGTCTCATATGGATGATGTTTTGAGCTTTAGACGGGAGTGGGGATTACAATCTTCAATTGCCAACTTGGTGAGACAGGGGTTGTTTTCCACTTGTCCTTCAAACCGGTCCATCCAATGCGCCACGCTTGAAAGCCAAAAGAAAACACCAAAGCCAGACACATGATGGTACCCAGGGCAATCCCAAGCCCGGTCCATATTTTCCATATCTTATAGCTTCCCGAGAAAGCATGTCCTTCAAATGACACAAGTCATGTCTCTAGCCAGTCTTGCCGAAGAACGTGATATCCTGGTTCTGCCGATCCTCCACCCAAAGCGGCCACTGGTTGTACATTTGGTGTTCATAGTCCACGTGCGAATTGATATACCTAAGCCACCGATGGAACCCAGGATCAATATCCGCCTGGCCTTCTCGGGGAGTCGGCGGCTTCTCCCGCGCCTGCAGCTCTTGCTGCGTGATGAATGTCATTATCTCGTTGAGCGAGATCCAGTGCGCGTGTAGCAAGAGCATGACCTGGTTGTTGGGGTTGATGAGCTCCTGGAACGAGTTGTGCGGGAGGAGCATCCACCATCCGTACTGCTTGGTGTACGATTTGTATGCTGTGATGGTCAAATTAGCTATGACCTTCGGTCCGTGATATGTGGAGATAATTACCATCCCAAGAGTTGATGTAGAGATTTTGCACGATTTCAACGAGCGACTGCTGATACTCAAGTTCTATCTGTTCGAGGCACAACGCCTTTAAGTTTGTGACGGCTTCCAAAGCAGTGTCAGCCCAGGTTTTCTGAATGAGGGGTAGATTCTCCATAAGTGGCTCGAGGACGGCGTCCTGCTCCTGCTCCATCATGTTTCCAAAGATTGGTTGAATCCCACGAAACATCATCTGCATCCCCACGATCATAATGCCGCGGATAAAGGTCATGTACTCGGCAAGCCCGTCTTCGAGGCTGACGGACTGGAAGGTCAAGGCGTAGCAGGTTGCCACCATGGCGTTGGCCTCCTCGTATGTTATGGTCGTCTTGGACGTCTCCGCCAACCGCTTCTTGATAGCCTTGATTGCCTTGATGCGGTGGTTCATAGCTGACGTGGTCACGCTAGGGTCGGACGCGATCAGTTGTGACGCTGAGAACCCAAGGAGAGCGTGCATAAGGAACTCATACTGCAAACGTCAGCCAATTCGCAGCGAGGACAGCGCTGCTCGAGGGGGTCCATACGTTGTGCGCGATACAAGGAATCTCGTGCGTCCAAATCTCTTCTTGTTTCAGGGGGTGGTGGGGGTAGCATTGCGTCAAGAAATGCTGAAAGAAGCGCATGTCTTGAAGACTGAACAGCGGGATCTGGTGGTGCGGCTATGGCACAGTTAGCATGCGGCTGCTCGTCCCATTCAATGTAACGGCAACTGCCCAGTTCAGCTTACCTGGTGGACTATTTGGGGCAGAGCGGGATATTCACACTTGAGGCCTGTCTTCGCGCAGTGGCCGCAAGCTGGACGTGTCTCCTGGCACTGGCAGGGGTTTAGCCCAAGTCACGACGAGCACGTACGGGCGAAATACCTTGATACGCCTTCTCTTGCAGTTGTAGCATCCCCTACGACTCTTGGTGTGGCCTCTTCTTTCCAACCTCTGCTTCTGTGCTGGGACCCGGCTCACAACCTCGGTGCTCGCATTCGAGGTGCTCCGGTTATCTGAACTCGGCGGGGTTGCTTTACCCGAGTCGTCTGAGAAGCCGCCAGCATTGGTTACGTTGCCCTGGACACTCTCCGGAAAGCCGATCTCGTCGCCTTGGAGGAATGCGCCGTAGTCAAAGTCGGACTGGTCGGTGAAAGACAGTAGCCCTGGTGAGAATTGCTGGTTGATATCCATGGTTGGGACGGTGGTTTGCTTCCCTCTCTGGTTCAGTTGCTAGTGGCCAGCTAACGCAGCAGTAGGTCGAGCTGCTATTTGGAGTCTGGAATGCGCGTCGGGTAGATATCTGGATGGTCAACTTGCGGAATCAATCCAAAAGCGTGGTTTAGGTTCGCATCCAGGGCTCTTTTGCTTGAATATGGGAATATGGGAAAGGAGGATTTGGTGAGATTGGAGTTGAATGACCCGTGGAGAGTGCTCAAGATGCGGCTTGCACGAATGAGAGGCGCGCATTGTCACGTGTGAGCCAAGGCGTTGACGATCCCCCATTTGAAGCTCCAGGGCCCCTCCAGCGGATGCTCAGCCGAGCTGTAGCGGGTGTTAGCGGGTGTGTAGTGGCTGCTCTTGGCGGCTCAGTGACGGTGCGCTACACCACTGGACGTAAATTTACGTGGTAATGACATGGAGGTGGCAGTGCCTCAGCCCTGGGAGAGTGAGCGGGTCATCAATCGGCCGCCTCTCGCGGTATTATTCCCTTTTTAGTGGCGCAGCCCTTGTCTTATTGACGCCTCTAACCAGGCCTGGGCCGTTTGTTTGGCTGCCTCCACTGGTGTGCTGGGGCTTCACGGGTCTTATCCGTCCCCTAACCTTATCCCAACCAACTATATGCCGTCTTCCGTCCAGTTCTAACCAGGCGAGAGGCTCAACCGTGTGCAGCCACTTCTGCCCAATGAGGCAAACGAGATGACCTCTGCCATCCACCAACCAACTGCGTAGTATGTAGTAGTATTCTGCAATGTTTCCTGCTGCCTAGTTGTGACAGTTGTGGCTGAGCGGGCGCTCTGTACCCTGAAATGCTGCCTGGAAACTAAGGTGATGTGACGAGTAATCGTGTGTCTACTGCGTAGTACTATCTAGCATCCCCACTGGACATTTCATATTTGTTCACAATACGATGATGTCAGTAATTTCGCCCAACTTGAGTCCCAGCAGCCACCGCATCGATTCCCGTCCAGACTGTCCCAACTTACTGCAGCAAAGCAAGCACTTGTGCATATAAGCCACCCTTCTAAGTAGAACTGAGGCACCTCATTTGTTGGTCGACATAGGAAGCTACACGGATTCTCTTTTACGAATCATGCAACATTATACCGCCCACCTAATTTTAAAGGCGCCAATTCAAGGTGCTAACATTATCAGTCAAGTAGTAGCAAATAGTGAGGGGGTCTAAGCCATTGCTTCCGTGGACGGAACTCGGGGTTTTTTTGGCTTCCTAAGGCTCCGGCTTCGTAGAGGAGAAATATAATGCTTGTGTTCCAGCCAAATCTTTCATTACAGACGCCGGGGGTTGTTTTCACAAACTGATATATGAGAGCCAATTAAAGCGATCTCGGGAGGCACCATTATGGCCTCCGTCACTTACATGCACATCGACTAAAAATAAAGCACTGATAAGCACTGGTTCTCTCATTTTTTTTTTAAAAAAATGGATATATTGTATTAAAGCCGTCTAGAAAAAATAAGGAGGCTCTATAGACTCTTGACTTGGAGCCCTCCGTGGGTTCCTCTGTTCTGTAGCTGGTCCCTTACCCGGAACTATAAATACGCCTCCCGTTTTCAGTCCTTCGTCGCATGTGAGGTGCTGAAAGCCCAACTTCGATTTCGCGATGCCTTTGGGTAATGGCTCGGCACCCCTATTCTCGTCATTCTCCAACAAAGTGTCCAACTCCGGGTTTCGAGTCGTGCGCAGGATAGTTGAAAACGATGATCCAAAGGACAAAGATGAAACCCAGATGCAGACGAAGCCAATTAAGACCACGGAAAAGGTGAGTCCAACGCTAACCCCGTAGGCAATTGCAAGATTGCGCGGTTTATATGTGTATTCGTTTTGTGGTGTTCGTACTTGAACTTTTCCTACTGAAGCCGTCGTATAGTTTTGGCTTTTAACAGGTCATATTAGCAAACGTCGAGCATTTTGTGTTATCCAAAGAACTCACAGGAAGTATGCATTGCTGAAAAAGCTTAGCGTTGTATTGGTGACGACTTGTTCCAAAGCTTTGCTCATAGTCATGTTTTTCAATGTTCGTTCTTCCGGTTGGTCGCCGAAAATAGACTTCGTTATTAACAGCGTTCGATTCATCTCTTGAGTTTGCATGAGAATCGTGGAAGTGATGCGTGTGTGCGTTGCTGTCACGGACCCATACTGCGAAGACCTCAGCGTTCCAACCAGGAGGCCGCCAAGAGCATCAATTACAGCAGTGTATACAACCTGTTGAACGCTGAAACCGGTCGTAATACCCCCAGTAGTCCGTGGTACACCGTTGAGCCTGGTCTCATTTCTGACGGTGATGTCCTGCTGGCCGTTTTCGAATGAAAAGTCCACAACATATGATGAGTTGTAAAGGCCGCATTCAATGATCGAATCAGCATATACTCCGGAAAATGGCATGATAGCATAAAATCTTGCGTGGTCCTTGGAGGAGTAGGACTTGTCATACGTGGCGAGTGGACCCGCCGAGGTTGAAGCGCCCAAAGTCACGTTCAGACCGTAAATGGCTTCCTCATCCTTGGTCGACGTACTCGAAACCTTCTGAGGGACAAATCCGAGGTAGGCGACTGCTTGTCCGATGCTAAATTCGGCCACGTGGATTCGATCATAGAGGACGGAATCTCTTGGGATATATCCGCAGGAGAGAGAAGGACCGTAGAATTCGACTGAGTAGGAACTATTGGAGTAAGGTGCCGCAATCTGTGCAATGGATCCTTGGGAGGTAACGGCCGACATTAATCTCGCCATTACATTGGATGGGGCTGCATAACCACCTCCTCCAGAGCTTGAGTATTCGGCAAACCTTTTGGGCGATGTATAATCGATGACTGGCAGTGGCATAAGGACCGTTGATTCATTTAGTATCGGAGACGACTGAACGGTGAGCGCCGATGGCGTTACAATGGCGACGAACGGCAACAGCCTAGGAGTTTTCCATTAGCATGGCCTGATTCCAATGAACCAGTGCACTTACCAGATCATAAAAGCAATACAGACCAAGGCTGGGCAACGGAGCCAAATTTCCACAGTCGTGAATCCATAAACGTTGTTGACAACATTGAAGACGGCATCTATGCCGTTGAGAGATATTTCTTGGGATCGTAAGGTATGCCAGAGAAGTTGCGTATAAGCCATGCTGGCGGCTGCCGTCAGAGCAGCCTTTACCAGAAACGCCAGTCCAGTGCCCACTCGGAGATTCCACACTTGTTGATCGGAGCTTGTAACGATTTTTCCATGGATGGAATCGTAAAACAGGTGGTGTGCAACAGCTGCCAGAAGGCCAAGCAAGACACTGCCAACCATGAGGGTGGGTGTCACCCAATGCGCCTTGAAAGGCGGTACCCGCTTGGAGCTCGAGCTAGATTTGGGTCCGGGGCCGGGGGTGGAGCCGGAGCCGGAGCCGGAGCCGGAGCCGGATTCGAAGTCGGAGCGCAACGAGGCAACCATTCTGCCGGCGGTGTTCGAGCCGACCGCTCTTCGGCAAAGGGTACCTTGGGTGAAACGAAAGAAATGTCGATTATTACGATGGCGTCAGTGTCTGAGTTGTCAACAGCAGATCAGGCTGGGGAATCGACTTAATGTATGGCTGGGAATCTTCATTCCCCACTCATGATGTGTTTCGAACATGGATAATTTTAGCATAGCCGCCGAGAATACTTTAATCCAATTGGGCGTTATAACGGTCCTGCTGTGTATAGCCGCCGACTTGTTTCGTATCATCCCGACACTCTGGTTCAGTCGCTCCGACTGTAAATCCGATGTTTGGCTATAGGTCCCTCGATCGTATCGGGTGGAGACACAAGCAGGCAAACTGCGGCCTGCGTTTGAATTTGATTGGGATCATACTCTGGCTCACCCGGTAGACCGAGAAAACAAGCGAGAATGTCGCCATAAACGATTCCAGGAAGGGTCGGCGCTTAGGGATGAGAAGCAGCCTATCCTACGAGGAAACCAGCTTTGATCCCGCGGCAAAGCCCTGGGAATGCCCCAGCCAGTCCACCATTTCAAGATGCTCACCGCATAATACCTTCAGCATTGCAACAGTGATCCCCATCCCCAATATTTACCCACCACCTCCCAATCACAAAACAAGTATTGTTCACCAAAACAGCAAAGGCGGCAGAAATTTGGCGCGTTGATGGAGCAACTGGCGTCTACCGCCAGTATGCCAGTTCGTCCGGAATTTCAGTGACACTCGGAAAGTCGGGCACTGACTCCTTCAATCCCTCAGCTCCTCCCGGTCTCCGTGTGCTTCGATGCCCCCCTCTTCATAGAGCGTCACCCGAAGCGGCTGATTGATCCATGCTGTCGCCTTGCCCGCAGTCGTTACGCCGATTTACTAAATTCTCGAGAAAGACTGCATTGGTTCTAATGTTTCAACATGAGCATCTCCCCTGCATTACTTGTCTAAGCGCGCAGTATTTCCCAGCATGATAACAGCACCAAGACCATAGTCGAGTGCATGCTTCTAGAGCTCGAATGTATGGCTATCGAGAAGGAACATTTAGATCAGCGGCGGTCTTCTACAACGCAGATAAATATACACTATCGTGGAGTGTTTAGTCACTAACAAACTTGGTAGTAGATATGTCATTTTCACGGTTATTCCTAAGTCTAACACATGAGACACTGACTATGAAGTCCAGCCTAATATATGCAGGTTGTCGGTATGGAATGGAGGAATAATTTGCGATCGTTGCAAACGTGAATTCATTCAGGACGATGATGCGGTGAAATCAACCAACGACGTAGCAACTACAAGATGCACATTTCAATAGCGATCTGAAGGATGAGATGGATCGAGAGAGATTAATGCTTAACTTTCACGATGGGAAATACCTTTGCCTTTCCTCCAACTGGTGAGGCGATGAGACAGCTCGAGCTGGCCGCTGTCTCCCACATCTAGCCGCCTTACCCTATACTCAGGTATGTTCGCATTTTGGCATCAACCCACCACCGGTAATTTCATGTATTTGGTACAAGGGCCATGAGATGGTGCTGTTGAACTTAGTATGTGTATTTCGTTTAGATGTAATATAGTGAATTATGAAATATTGTTATATTCAGTGTGCGAACTGCAGATCTTTGAAGCACGATGTTAGCTAATGTGTAGTTGAACTGATACGTGTAGAGCTGTCGCATCTCCCTCCTGCACACTCTAGTTTTCGTTAGATGCAACTCCGAGGAGAGAGTGTGGCGCTGCTGCGTTCGAAGCATTTCACCAGTTTTGCAACCCGCAAGGTTGAGATGCTGATGCAATACTATGTAGTAAGTCTTCCACGCCCACTGTTGTGACGATGCTGGTATCGATCCGCCCCGGGGTCACCCAGTGGGTAGCTGCGATCCTTCGATGAGGATTGTGATGCCTACCACTAGGCACCACTGTGTCAGCGTCGATATCAAAGAGCGGCAATTGCTTATCTCATCTTCGACTTTGGCGGATGAGTTTTCGATCCGTGAATTCGTTCAGAAGCCGAGAATTCCGTGTAGCCGAAGTCGGGGGGATTGGTTGTTTATGCGTGCCTGAATCCGGGCCGACGCTACCGTCAGCATTAATTGCCTACATATTCATCACTCCTATGTATAGAAAGGCAACTGGATGGTGATCCCCACAAGTTGCTGGGATACGGCAAGATAACAATATCCTCTGAGATTACACGCCGTGGACGTGATATGGATGGATGGAGCCGGGTGGCCAGATCTTGCATGGGCGGGGGAGGTAGTCAGCCGGGGTATGGTTTGACGTAGTCAAGACGAAACAAGCCAACACTCAACATCGGATGAGTGTTGAGTATCCCACGTCAGACACATAGACATACCCAAACCAGATGTGACATCGGGCAGCGAGCTGAAGGAACGCGAGGAAGCAGTGCTGTTATCTGGCATACTACGTACTGGTGATGTCAACCAGACCTGGTTGGGGCGAAAGCAAAGTCGCATCACGTCTGCCGTTGAGCTTAGTGCATTAGCCAGGTCCCCAACAACGTACGCACACATCGTCCGGAGCAAGCTGGGAGATCAGCACGGCAGTCGGGTCCTCCGCCCGCACATCATCTGCATCGGCGCGAGCATTTGAATCCTCTGGCTTTAGGCCAAGATCATCTTCGCAGCTGCTCAACCCCTTGTCATCGATCGTGGCTAAGCTTTTCGAAATTTTGCTCAATATGGCGAATAGAGGCAACAAGATGGAAGCCAAGTGGACGCGTGGAAGGAGGTAGCCCCGTGGCGGCGGGAGTAATTTCGGTTATTGTATCCACAGGGGCATGCTAAGCACGAAGCTGGTTAGGGGGCAACGTGGCCCTCAGCGCAGCGATCCCAGGGGGCTGGTCGGGAAAAAGCCAAGACTGCTGGCTCCCTGGCTTGGGTTGTGCTTTGTCAGGCCACAGGCCGACCGGTGGGAGCCCTTGATGATGGCACCATGACGTGGAACGTGCGAGCAATGTTGGTTCGCCGGCCCGGAGCAGTGGGAGTCGGGAGGATTTTGGTGTACCATTTTTGCAGGGTACGGGCGTAGGATTCGATATGGAGTCCAGACCGGCCGCAGTCACGAGAAAGTGGCAGAGTGGTAGTCTGCCAAGAATAAGCAAGACCCAAGCTTCAGCTCAGGGTTTTTAAACCTTTGAGCACTGGGAAAAATCCTTGGGGCTCGTAAAGACGCGCATACGTAAGACTCGCCGAGCATCCCGGTGGGGTTCTCGAACCCGAGGTGAGCAAGTGCCGGGCGAGTTCCATACGTGGACGTGGCACAGGCGGTCTTTCGGTGTACAGTATTCAGGTTGGATGCCGGCTGGAATGGTGGAGGCGAGTGGACACGCTGGGCGAGTCAGGCAAAAACGCGTAGTTTTCACATGCTGCCAAGCTCAGCCTGCGAGAAGTACTGTATTGCTGTACTGCGTGCTGTACTTGACATCCCAGGTTGAGAACGGGAGAGAAGACGGGATGAATCGAGCCCACCAACACAGCCTGATCATGGAGAGACAGATGATATTCGGCTGTCCACCAGTCAGTGGCGAGAAACCTCACCGGATGGAGAAAAAGAAAGGGCATGGCGGAGCCGCCACAAACAACAGGAAGCATCCATTCGTCGTCGTCGTCCTGTTCCTGCAGCGGGACCTGCAGCGGAAACAGCGGACTCCCTGCAAGGGCAGAGGGAAAAAGAGAATGGCGTTGTTATGGTCGTTTCAGTGTGCCACAAGAGCGATGTGAGTGGATGATGACCGCAGCTGAGGGGAGGAGAGGAGGGCATCCACGGGCATAGAAAGCGCAGCTAAGGGAAGCCAAGGTCAGACCGACGGCAGCTCCAAGGCGTTTTGCCCGTATCGCACCCTGCCACGTTGACCCTAGGAGGCGATGGGGTCGATGCCCGAGCCCTGGTTTTCGAGGTCCCAGCCAATCGGAACTGGCAAGGATATACTAACATGGGTCTTGGTGTGTCCCGATGTGTCTTCTGTCAGGTTCCGTCGGGTCTGGGGCTTGACGCCACCCACCGGCCAGCGGCGGCCAAGATGCCGACCCCTGATATATCCCTGGGATATCCCTGGCATGCGCGCTGGCGTCAGCTTGGCATCGATTTGTTGGCATCTGCACTGGATGGTGAGGAACGGAGATGGGATGGAAAGCGCCTACGTGTGCGTGAGATGGCGAGAGATGAAACCCGCTGGTGAGAAATTACTCGCTGCGTAACCCGAGTGACATGGACTGTCCAGTAGTCAGCCAAGAGAAGGCGCCGGGGAGGAGGCAGGGACGGCCGCTTGGACGCATGAGAGAATCGGCAGGCACGACCAATGGGTGCACTGAACTGCTCCAAGACAAGCTCAGGACGGCCGACGGACGGGCACTAAAAGCCCGTCCCTGCAGTAGACAGGTACTAGGTAGGAAGGAGTGGATAGAAACGGGGCTTTCGGGGCGCCCTGGGAACCTCCAGCCCACTTCCTTGGATTGAGGCTTCGTACGACAGGTACCCGATGTAGGCGTTCCCGAGAAGTCTCACTCTGCGGCATTGACTGCAATGGATACCCCGTACTAATTCTCTCTAGATGTACCTAGCGTCGTCTACCCTACCGCAGTCACCGATATCCCTCGTCGTTTTTCCTCCCCTCGTCCTGGATCGACTGGGACCCTCGTTGAAAAACCGGGACTCTCCCCTCGTTTCACGTTTACTCCCTTTTCTCTCCTTCATCATCGTCCCCAGCTTCATTCTCTTTATCCTACGTCGAGATCCTCTCTTCGTTTGCCTTTCCTTTTCTCGCGCAGCTACGCTGATCGCACTCATTCATCTCTCGCGTCTTTGAAAGATCGCTCTGCTCACTCTCTTTCGGCCGTGCCGACATCGTTCCAACCGCTTCTCATTGATTTGTTCTGTGTTGCCTCACTCCCAGTGATCCAACTCAATCCAATCAATCGTCTGCGATTACACTTTCATTCGCTTTATACAAAGCTGCAAACTGTTGACCACGGCGTCATTCTGTCAACCTCGATATCCACTGACCCGTCCTTCGTTAAGCGTCGTCTGACCTTATACGCATACATATCGATATCAACAACACCAACAACAATCCACACAACAATCCATCACCATGGTTGCTAACAAGGTTGTTCTCCTCACCGCCGCTGCCACTCTCGTCGAGTCGGCTCTTGGCTTCAACTTTCACCGACACGGTCACCAGCACATCAACAAGCGTGCTCTCGAGACCGAGTGGGTTACTGAGTGGGTTACCGTCTGGGTCACTCCCGGCCGGGAAGAGGCTGCCGCTGCCACTTCCACTTCGACCACTACGACCACCACCAAGGCTGGCTCCAAGGACAAGGCAGTTGGAGGCGGCTATGACAGCGTCCCTACTACCACCTCAACCACCGTCGTCGTCGTTCCCACTTCCACTTCGACCAGCGTTGCCTATGTTGCACCAGTCCAGACTACCCTGACCACCGCCGTCCTGCCCAAGTCCAGCGTCCAGGAGGCTGCTGTGGTCACTACATCCTCTGTTGAGCAAGTCGCTGCTGTCCCCGAGACTACATCCGCGGTCGCTGTTGAGGAGGTTGCTACCACCTCCAAGGCCGCTGCCGCCGCCACCACTTCAAAGAAGGCTGCTGCCACCACCGCCGCCTCATCCTCCTCGAGCTCCGCTGGTCTCTCCCACAAGCGCGGCTTGGCTTACAACGACGCTGCCCTGGCTAACACCTTCGGTGCCAGTTGCGCCAACTGTGGTTGGGCTTACTCCTGGGGTTCTACCAACACTGGTAGTGAGGATCTCGACTCTGCCTACAACTTCATTCCTCTGCTCCACAGCAACAAAGCCGAATTCACGTCTGTCTGGGCCGACAACGCTGCCGCCGCTATTAAGAGTGGCTCCAAGGCCCTCTTCAGCTTCAACGAGCCTGATATCCCATCCCAGGCTAACATTCCCGCTGCCGATGCCGCTGCGTACCATGTCCAGTACATGAACCCCTTTTCTGGCCAGGCCAAGATTGGTGCCCCCTCCGTCTCTAACAGTGGTGAGTCGGGCCAAGGTCTTGAGTGGCTGTCGTCTTGGATCGATGCATGCGAGGCTCAAGACGAGAAGTGCCAGTATGACTTCTGCAACATCCACTGGTACTCCCAGCCCGCCTACGTCGATACCCTGTTCACCCAGCTGGAGGCTGCCCACAAGCTCTGCGGCAAGCCCATCTGGCTGACCGAGTTTGCTCCCATCGAGGCTAGCGATGCTCAAGTCTCCGCCTTCCTCGAGGAGGTCATTCCCAAGCTGGAGGCTCTCGATTACGTTGAGGCCTACTCATACTTCATGGTCGCCACTGGTAACCTCATGTCCAGCGCGACCAGCCTCAGCTCCTACGGCCAGGTTTACGCCTCGGCTTAAACGTGTACTGTGTTGTGATGAGGACGAAAAGTCTTATTTCTTGTACACTCGCTAGGGGATAGATACCCAACCATTCACCAAGGTTTTTGAAAAGAGGGGGATATGTGGACAATTGGTTATTTTAAAGTGGCGCACATTGGATCTTCACTGTATATATCTTTGGCATCTACGTGGTGGGCAATTGCGACTGTTGTCTCCAGCCCCATGCACGGTAACTTGCTTAACTCTTCGGGGATTCTCGATTTTACATCTTGAAAATCCGCCATGATCAAAAATAGATTTCCCGATTTTCTTGTACTCCAACGAAATCCACGTCGTACATCGTTGATGCGCTGGCACTGCTTGATTGCAAGTCCTTAATTTCCTTTCTGTGACTTGATCTATATCGTGATGCCGATCTATCCTTTGTGCGCGTGTTTCGAATTTTGGTGGAAAAATTAACCGGGGTCCGCGTCTAGCTTAAGTAGCTGTAGGATCCGCAAGTGTCTCGAGCCCCAGGCTGAGACGACCCGTTGCTCCTTGGCCCTATCTTGGCTTTGTGCAAAGAACCAATGGTCCGTGGCTTACACGCTTCGCTTCTCAGGTAGATTTCGTTGAGGAGCGAAAACAATATCGTGGGCATCGTCCCCCTGTGGTGCTCTGCTACGGGCTTGGCAAGTGTCACAAGCAAGCTGTTGTTGTTCCTTAGACTCATTCAGTGCTTGCGGCGCTAGACAACAAACAACCCGGGAGAGGTGCGACAGGGGATGCTTGTAAGCGCCCTATTTGCGGTGTTACCAGCTCTGAGCTTCATTATTCACGATTGCGGGTGCTACATGTTCAAGTTGTAAATGTCTCTTCTATTTATACTGGGTATCCTATGGCTTCGAAATCACCACCACCACTCACTTTGACCAAGATCCCAACCCTGCTTCGACATATGCCCTGTTACTAAATAGGAACCGCTGTGTGCACCTCCCTTCCCTCGAATAATTAAAATTGTTTACGACAACACCGTCGCGAGCGCTGATTACTCTCTTGTTTGCCTCTTTGTAGGGGGATATCCAACGAAAGCAAGAAAGAGAGAGAGACGTCGCGACATGGAACGCCCCGGCCGCCACAAACTCCGTGTCTACTTTCCCGCAGGAAGCTCTAGAAAACCCCAAAAACAAATCCCACACTTGTAGAGATGAATTGCGACCCCCTCAAGGCGGAGGACTGCGGTAGAGTCTTTAGCTGCGGGATTCGGACTTGCCACCGGTAATGCGGGTTCGGGGTGGCTCGGGAATCTCGTGGTGGTGGACGCCGTAGCTTGGAGGACGGGGTGGGTAGCCGTAGTTGGCTTCGTCGTCGTCGTCGAGCTTGTTGCCGTCCATATCGAGCCCGAAGCCACTCGTGGGCCGGCTCTGGCGGTGGATAGTCGTGGTAACGACAACGCCGCCGGCGCCGGCGCTCGTCACCTTGGCCATGTCCAGATCGCGGCCGTCGTCAGATGATTGCGCTGTGGCCGTGGCGACGAGTGAAATCTCGGCGTCGGTGCCGTGGGGTGAGGGCGGAGGCTGAGGCATGGTGTTCATTTGGTGTGAAGACGAGTGAGGGTCGCGGGGTCCGCGGCTGCCGTTCTCGTTGCCGTGGTTGTAGTTGTTGGTGTTGTTTGGACTGCCCGAGCCAGCGTTGTCCTTAGAGGTGACCCACTGGATGACGAGGGCAGAGAAGAGAACTGCAACAAGTTAGGGGTTTGAATAAAGCGAGAGTGAAACATGGTGGACTGACTGTCGGCGTTACAGCACATGAGGCAAACCCAGCCGGGCTCTCCGTCAAGGGCCAGCAGGACGCTCAAGTTGCTAATATCCAATCAGTACTTTCATCTCTAACTCGGACGAGGTTGGATCATACACAATGCTGCTGACAAGGGTGCAGCAAGAACCGACAAAAGTACGGAAGGCAACGTTCTTTAGACGTTCGTTGGCCGGGGTCTTGGGCATGTTCTTGAACGAGTACAGGTCTCCAGAGTGTTAGTGTGACTCCCCAGGGAGCTGGCTATGGGAGACTTACTCTTTAGAGGGATAAGGAAAAGGATGGTAAGATAGATGTTGACAATGGCGTCGAAGGTGATAAGGGGGATCATGGAGATGCTCTGCATGCCGATGATGCAAACTCCGTTCTCGATTTTGGCAATTCGGCTGGTGGCAGATTGGTTAGTTGGAAGTTTTGAGGTTGCACCTCGTGGAGGACCTACAAGATGAAGTTGAGAATTACGACAACGGTGTAGAGACCGAGCATGCCGAATGAATTGAAGCAGTACAGTTTCGATTCCAGGCGTTTCTTGGGACTGCCACGAATGATGTGCTGAGAATGGTCAGGGTACCGTCAAAATGCTATTGCGTGCGTTTGTGACTTACAGCCTTCTCGACAAGAAAAAGATAAATGAACTGAGACAAAGAGTTAGTGACATCCCAGCAATACTGGACATGATATCTTACAATCTGTAGTATTTGTTAATTACATTGTCACGAATTGACGGGGACGGAGGACTGACCTTGGTGGTGACGTAGCAGACGAGACAGAGGAGAATGGCGCCGTGGCACATGGCATAGCTGGAATTAACGCCAAAAATTTGCTGCAAAATGGCTGTGACGATGACGAAAAGCATGGAGTCGATGTAGATAGCGAACACAACTGCAGGTTGTGTTAGTCCCACACACCGTGGCAGAGCCTCTGGGGGCGAACAACGACTTACGCCAGACAACCAACGGTAGACTGTTCCATACTTTGATAGCAGTACATCTCTGGTCTGCAGACTCATCAGCAGCTGTTAGGTAATTATTCGGCCCAACGCAGGACGTCACACTTGTTGGATGGGGCTTCTTACAGAGACAGATGGACAGGACGGAGATGGAGGCGAGAGCGACGAGGAGACCCATGATGTCGCCACCGATGGGGACGGGGGCACCGCCCTTGTCGGCGCGGTTGGCCATGTAGGAAAACACTTCAGATGGAGTGGGCGCCATTGTGAGCGGGTTGGATGAGCACTGGGTGTCTTGGTGAAGGCCACGCAGCCCAGGGGTGATGGTCCGTCTTGATGGTCGAGAAATCCAAATAAAACCCGTAGCGCACTGGAACCACTGGAGCCCGGCGGAGGGTCGATATTAATAACGAGCAGGCCAGCAAGCAAGAACGCAAAGAGACAAGAACCCACTGGGCGACGAAGTGGAGGGTGGGGGAATTCTCCGGGTGGACGTGGATCGAGTCAGTAGCTTGAGGCTTCTGGCACAGCGTGCGATCGAGACACGGGGTTCGGGGAAGGGGGTGTGAGAGTTTTGGAGAGGTCAAGGCGCAGCGGGAGAAGCTAAGGGTGTGTGAGAGGGTGAGAGTTGGGTCTGATTGTTGGTTTATTGTCTGTGTCTGTGTAGGTGTGGCGTCTCAATGAGGACGGCCAGACGTAGCGCAAACGGGCACGATGAAGACTTAGGACGGCGACTTAGACGGCGCAAACGAATTGATCTTGGAGGAGAGAGAAGGTTCGAGCGAGGGAATCCCGGTGGCGATGGTGAAGCTAGTGGTGGTAATTGCACTCCGAAGAGGATCGGCAGTGAAGAAGAGGGAGTGAGGGATGACGGAGGAGGAGGAGGATGAGGAGTAGGATGAGGAGCGTGGCGGGATATGGCCTAGGAGGTCTGGATGGGGTCCTGGCGGGAATCAGGATTAGGTTAATACGGCCAATATGAGGATAGGGTTGGAGTGGAGGCGTTGGTGTTTTCCGGGGCCAGGTTTGTAAATTGCTTGGTGTACTTGGAGTACTCGGAGTACTTGGTGTGCTTTTTGTGCTGTGTTGGTGTGTATTGTACTGGGTGCTTTGGCCTGGTTGGTGCGAAATGCAACGCACAAGTGCGTCTTGCTTTTGCACTGGGGCTTGGACTGGGACCAGGTTCAAGCCTGGGGCCAGGCGAGTTGAGTTTTTGCTACTTCTCGGGAGTCGACAACCGTGGTGCGGATTGCGGATGCTGCCTCTTAGATCTGCATCCGTCCCTCTCCAATCCAGAGGACAACCGGACTGGGCGTCGTGGCGGCGGACTGGAATGAGATGGCGGCGGCCGTGACAACGCAGGTACGCCCGATTTTTGTTTTATTTCGACTCTCGGGGCTTTGAGTTGACGATACCCTCTTTAAAGCTCGGAAGGCGGACGACGGAAAGGCGTGCGACGGAAGGGTTGAATCCACACCCGAAGTTGGGGTGCTCAGGGGAGACGGCGATGAAGCTGGGCGGTTCGTCGATCACGTCCCGCGTCACAATGCTCGATCGCACCCCTCTCTTCTCACGATCCTCGTGGCGTCGGTATATTTCCCCGACAGGCTTTAGTGACCAAAGGGGAAATCTCCGTAGGGCCTAGTTCGCGGAGCGGGAGAGGGAGGTCCTTTGGAATCAAACCGCGCGGATGATTTGCGTCGATGCGGCAGGAGGCACGCCAGAGGGGGATCTAAGCAGCAAGATTATGCAGCTGCCGCAGCAGTGGGGGAGTGTCTGTGTGTAATGGGAGCTATAACAGAAGATGTAGCGTTGCGGTGGTGGTTATTGACGAGGGTGACGAGGTAATGGATGTCTGATCGAGGCGAGAGTTATCCAGCCCGTCGAGGGGGGTTATATGTCCCGCCAGGGAACAAGACGAACATCTATCCGTTCCAGATCCTCTGGTCCAGCCCTAAAATGATCCATTACTTGCTTCATGCATCTCCATCTTTCGTCCCATCAGAGCACTTCCCGCGTCAACCTCCGAACACCATCGGATCCCGCACGGCAGGGCTGCTGCCGGACTGCATCAGACATGTCAAGAGACAAGAAACGAGACGAGACAGGGCTAAACCAGAAAAGACGGAGCAAACTGCAGGTCTCACAGAATCAAGCAGCCAAAGGAGCCGCCACAGTCCGACACCGCAAAAGCCCCCCAAGCACAGCCCGTATCATTGGTAAGAGGGAGAAGAGAAGAGAGACGCCACGGCCGCCACACCAGCTTAGCATTGGGCGTCTTCGGTATTGGCGCGGGCGTTACGCATGCCAGTCTTTGCCTTAACGCACATGCCTCGAAACGAGATCCGTTGGCCAGCGCCTCAGCCAAATCGCAACATAAAATGCCCGCCGCCGTCGACAAATCACGGCCTCGGCCGATTGCTAAGACCTCGAGCTTGTCTGGATCCCGGCCCTCTCTTCGAGGTCGGCCCCAGAACCTAGCGCGCGGCTAGTGAGGCTAGTGAAGCTAGAGGAGCTAGTAAAGGCCCCACGCCACGATCTCGACGGACTCGGTGTGCTCTCCCTGCTGTGAAGCCGCGACACCGGTCCCGCATCTCCGCAATTCCGGAGTCTGTATTGGCGCCTATCTGGGTTCAATGGGTCTTTGCTCGCCCGCGGTGGATATGCCAAGGACTCAACACGTCTGTTCAGCTGCCAAGGCGCTGAGCACAACTCTCCTCCAAGTTCGTCATCGATGTTGATACTCTGGCTGTTGCAGAAACACATCAGCTAGCCAGCCACGTCCCTCGGGGTGGTCCAGTCCATCCGAGGACAATGGAGCAATGGAAAATAGACAATGCACAATGGATACAAGACCGACGAAAAGAAACGACAATCATCCAGTCAGCCATCAGCAGTAGCCCAAGGGAAAAGCAGAGATTGTTCATGACATGTCATTTACTTCTGTCTTTCTCAACTCGTTTCTTTTTCTTGTTAGTTAGTTTTTCCCAGGTTGCTTTCATTCGTTTGTTGACCCTCTGTCTTACCCACTACCTCCAGCCACCTTATGTCTTTGGTGCTCCTTGCGTCTGGGTTTCTTTGCCCTCAAATGGGGAAACGGCCTTCAACGACCGGGCAGACGGATACATCGATCGCCAATTGTCAATGCTCCTCGGACGGCAGAAATCCGGGCTCGGTCTGGCATGGATCTCTCGGACACTACGGGATTCGCCGCCCGCACTGGCACTTTGGGGCCGCGGAAGCTGTCCCCTGTCTACCCTGCAAGCCTCAAGTACATGTTAACTTCTTTCATAGGGATACGTGCCGCACTAGGGCGCCTTGGTGTAACCACTCGACCACTCGACCACTAGCAGCCTCGATTCGCTGGCAGCTCTGATGGAACCCAAGCCATGGTGGCTGAAGGCAGATGAGGCCCCCAAGAAGCCACAAAGGCGGCCAAGGGTGCTGGCAAAAAGAAATTGAACTCACAGCGTCAACTAGCAAGACGACAGGCTGACTGGTGAGGGCGGCTGGGGCTGCCCTGACTGGCAAGGAGAATGCCCCAACCACTGACAGCTCCGAGCCCTCGGAGCTGTTTTGGTCGTTGTCTGAGTTGGGTTGACGCGGATCCTGCGTATTGATGAACGCATTCTCTGTTAGATCAATCCGTCTTGGAGACCGTATGGTCCGTGGCACGACAAAGTTCCACGGCAAAGAGACGGAAGTCTTGGACTCGCTTGAAACAGAAATGGAGATGCCATGGCCCTCCAACGCAGCTCGCGCCGCCTCCAGTTAGTGTTGTTGCTGCTCTGCCGATGAACTGGCGGCGAGGAGACCCACAATCCAGAGCGAGAAGAGAGAAGACCCATCCCCCGTGCTCTCGACCGCAGCTCGTCGCTCGAGGCCTGCCTGCAGGAGCGGGTTACGTACGACGATGCTCTAGCAGCCAGTTACAGCGTGTCGTTTTTCTTTCTTTCTTTTTCTTCTTCTCTTTCTGGCCCGTGTTGCAGCTGCGATAGCACCCCATGCGTGATTCGAATGCGGCGGGCTGAGACATTCTCCGCCAACATTAGATAGAGCTTCAGGCGAGATAGGTCGGTGTGGTCAGCGCCGTCCTCTCCACCCTGTCCCGTGCCGTTCTTGGCAGGTGAGGAGTTGCTGCAAGGTAAACAAAAAGGAACAGCTTTTGGCCCATGCTACCCCGGCTGACCGGTATTCATGCCGCGCTGCCAATCCCTGTGCACATCATCGCCACCGTCTCACCGGCTTGGACGATGGATTCGCCCGCCTCCCCCGCTCCAAGCCTTTTTTTCGTTGCTAATCTCAGACACAGGGCTGGAGAGACTTGGCTAGAACCGGAAGCAGAAAGTGAAAGACGGCCCAGAGGGAAGAGATATGGAAAAGAAACCCTGAGACGAGCCAAGACAGGCCGCGCTGAACACTGCTGCGTCAGCTCCGTGCAACATCACATCGGCAGCCCGCAAAAGGTTTCCCGGCAGTTGGTCAACGGAATTATCCGTCACCTCGGTTTGCCTGCCCCAGACTGAGTGCCAAGCAAGCCCGCCGCCATTGGACTCGGTACCTGTCTGTTGTTGGATGCCGCCATGATTCCCTCTTGTTGGAAGCGCTTGAGTTGTCCCTTTCCGGAGATTGTTCGCCCTCGTTCACGATGAATTGTCTTCTCCCGACGATCAACCCGTTGGACACGGCATATTCCGTCTGGTCGTATAGACGTAGTACCTGGCTAATTTCTAGTAAATGCCACCGCGCCGGACTGCCCGCAATAGGCACCAACGCCGATCAACCTAGACAAGGACAAGCTCGGCCAGCTTGGGCGAGCTGGTCAGCAGTCCCACTGCGGACGTCTTGGTGTGGTTCCAATACTACAAGGTAGCTCCAAACTTTGATCCCTAGGCGTCTTGCTCTATGGCTCTGTAGCTCTGTGGCTCTATAGCACCATGGCCCTATAGCTCCAGAGCTCCACGGCTAGACTCCGCACTGTCCTCCACTGTAACTAAAGATCCCTTCCCACTGGCTGCCCGCGTTGCCGCCTCCACTTTCCCGATCTCGCACCACTCTTACCTCACGCAACCCAGTGGACCTGCCACCGTCTGGTTGGGTCGAGACCGCGCCCGCCAATCCTGTGTGGTTTTTAATTCTTCTTGTTCGGGCTGTCTGTCACCTGAACAACCCCAGTAGTTCACGATCCATCAGCAAGAATGATTCAACCGCGCCGCCAAGATCGCCCTACTAGTCCGCCAGTCCGGTGATCGATTCTGCGTAGTCTATATACACATGCCCTGTCCTGTCAGTTTAATTGATCGTCCATCGTCCATCGTCCATCGCCCAATCCAAGTGCTAATTCCCAAGTGCAAGATCGGCCCGCTCTACCGAAGTACCCCTGCCTTCTTGGCCTGGCCATCGACCTAGAGAAAGCAATAATAGCTTCCCGCCACCTACACCGTCTCACGGCTCAGGTTACACAGTTGATACCGCCTCTGATAAGACACCCTCAGCGCCGGGCCCCTTTACAATGTCTCAAATACATAGTACCAATTGTGTACTATTCATACATGTAAGGGATGGGCGACCATGTACGGATACAGAAGTGCCTGCGTCTTCTCGTCTGCCGAATGCTGACTGCCGACCGACGGCTCGGCCCCCTCGCCCCTGACGCCCCGTTCAGATGCGATCGCTAGATTGGACCCAGGGTCCACTGATTGGACCAACGAGCTATCGCCAGGCTACCGGCCATTTTTCGAGGCGCCGTCGCACACCGTCGCACACCGTCGAGTGTCATCGGGTTGGTAGTCGGCCGTCTTGGCGATAATGGTCAATGCCGAAAAATTGAATGGCTCCCGCATGTGTCTTGTCTCGCCTGTACAATCCCTCCACCAGCCCCCCAACGATAACCTCACACACCCAGACAATGCAGGCGATCAGCGGTGAAGAGATCAACGGCAAAGATCAGCATCGAAAGATCAGCAGCACGTGCAGAGACACACATGGAAGCAGACGAAGAAAAAGATCCCACGTAGAACACACGCACGCGCGCAGTAGCGCGTCTCACCCGCACAAGAATCACACACAAGGAACGTCATGGCCGCAACCTTCCTCTCAACCCCTCCTCGCCACCGCGATTTCACACCTCACCAATCGCCACGGCATCGACAAATCCGTCTCGTCCCCCTTGCTTACTGTCCTGTCTCATGCTTGCTTTTCATCTCCGGGTGCGGTGGCACTCCTCCCCGGTGTCAGAGGCGCGGGACTCGACCGATATGCTTCACGCCTCGATCTCACTCTCAGACTCCAGCACTCTCGCTCTCACACCTTGGAGGCGCTTTAGTTCTCGGAGCCCGTTATCCGCCCGCCGCACCTTGGAAAGCTTGGTTACACTTGGCTACTCTCATCTTGCTCGGGCTCCCGAATAAGACGACAGCACACAAGTGCTCATAGTCCCAAACTATTGAATCTCCCACAGCGCTGTGGCGCCGGCTTAATCGACCCAGGACCATGGGACGGCCGGTACTACCTCCAGAGTAGCCACACGGCAACAGCCAGTGCGTAACAGCTCTCAGTGTTAGACCAGAAAGTCCCTCCCGCGTGAATAACGCAAAAGCCTTCCCGGGTTACTGTGCCCAGCCAAGGTAGCTACAACATATTAGTGATCGAGCCCCATCATGATGCTTCCAATGTCACCGCACCAGCCTCGTCTGGCCCAAGCCTTGGTCGGGGGAGGGCAGATCGTTCATGCACGGCGCCTTGGCAGCATTCACTTCTCGCCTCTCGTCTTGGCCCATCACATCCATCTTTACTTTCCCTCTTGAATGCTCACACTCTCCTTAGCCACATGACTCGAAGGCGTATGTCTCAAAGCCACACAGTCGGAGGCGCACGCTGGGCACTGCGGGTGGCACGTCATGGTACAACATATGGTAACGTCTTGCTTCGTCACACCTTGTTCGTTATTCGTTCATTGTCTGCCGTGGTCTGCCACTATCCCTGCCGAACCAACGCCAACGCTCAAGCTACCGCGGGTTGTCCCTGTTTTCATTCATGGGGGTCGTCGTGCATTGGACGAGTCAGGCTCCAACCAGAGATCGCCCACGGCCACGGCCACCTCCCGCCTGCCGTCTCTAGCCCTTCGTTTGCTCGATCGCCTCCTCCGACTCAGTGCCCATCTCAGCGTCAACCATGTTTGGGTTCCCGTGTACGTTACACAGGCACGAGGATCCCACGTTTCCGGGAAAGCTTATCGCTCACATATACTCGGTTCCTCCGCGATCCACGATTCAACCACATCCAGGGTCTCCCCTCTCGGTGCTCCCGTAAACTCAAACAAATGTCTCTCATAACGCCATGCGATGCTTCCCAATTGACCAATCCCAAACAAAATAGCCATGTCCTTTGCCAACGCCCAGTCCAAAGCAATTTCCCGTCGTGCCTAGCCGTTCATGAATCCCCTAACGGCCTCGAGGTATGTGCCTCTTGCGTAGGGGTTGCCCGTCAAAGTAAAAAATCAGTTCCGTCTTATCTCATCGATACGATCCGTTCTTCCGCCATACCCTTTTCCCTCGTGTGAAGGGGGGCAGTGCTGTCTTAGCTTTCCTCGCCTGCTTAGTAGCCCCGTAAATGTTGTTTTTAACAGTCACGGTCCTCAGGTGCCTGAGCCCGAGTGCGGATCCGGAACCTCTCCTTGAGCTTGGCTGCAAATCGCGCGCTCTGGCCTCGAGAATCACCGTCTGGTGGGCCCTGTCGCTCAGACTCGTCGACTTCAGCTCGCATACGCCTCAGTGTCTCCATCTGCTCTTCCACCGTCGCCTCTCGCAACCGGTTAATGTCGGAGATGCGTGATGCGCGATTGTGGTGTGGCAACTGAGAGGCATCGTTCTCTACACCCTCGACGCTCTCGAGAGCTAGCGGGGGAGGCAAAGCACTTGTGCCCTCACTCGTACTCCCCTGAGACGCATCCGCCTTTTCGGGGCGGAGATCGAATCGACTGGAGCACATAGTTAGCAACCGGTCAAGAAATCGAGACCACGGGTTAATCTTACCAGAGTGGGCACGTTCCAGACACGTTGATGAGCCATGGATCGATGCATGCTGGGTGGAACTGGTGTCGACATGGCAAGACTCTAACGTCTTCGCCCACTTTGAAGTCTTCCGTACAAATGGAACACCCCAAGTTGTCTTCTCCATTCCCACCGGCGCCATCTGGTGCAGAATCAGGCGTAGGTGTAGGCGAGTCCCGGGTTACAGAAGAAGCTCCATCATTATCTGCTCGCGTGGCTGGTGTTGCCTCAGGCTGACGGGCTTCGCTCGGGTTCGACGTGGTGCGTTGCACAGGATTATCTTGCCCATCGTTGGTGATCGCATCCATATCAAGCTCAGGGTCGGGCTTAGTAGGTGTCTGGTTTCCAAATTTCACAATGGGCATGGTTTCCAGGACAGCTCTCGCCAGTCCCTTGGCCCGGCTCTGTCGGGGTCGGCCATGGAGAGCTCGTCGGGGCCCATATCTTTCAGGGTATCGATGAGCCCGAACGGCACCAGTAACGATGATGACGGCGAAGAGCAAGGTGATGATCCCAGTGATACTGTATAGGATACTCATTGCAACCGCCGGGTTGTTTCGATTGGAATCCGTCTGGGTTTCAGTACCGTCATTGGTGGTGTTGCCCATGATGGAGACCTTGATAGTGTCGGTGCCGTTGAGGAAGCCTAAGGCCTGTGAAGCCTCAGCTGCGTCGGCCATGGATAGAATGCTAGTGTAAGATAGATCATCTATGTGTGTGATCGAACACCAGTTCTTGCTTGTGGAGTAAAGTACGATAGCTTTGGGTTTGGGATTGAGGTTCATCAAGCCGTCGAGCATCTTATCGGGTTCGATCATGGAATTACTGGAGGGTTGGTCGCAAGATAGGTATGCTACGGTGGTGTTCTGGTTGAGGGTGTTATAGTTGGATGAATCAGCTGCGATCATGGTGCCGTGTATTTTGACAATCTTGGAACAGGTCAGCATATCAGATACAGAGTGATGGTGGGAGTGATCTGTATCACAGGATAACGCACCCCGCGGTCTGTCTGAGTGCCGTTCAACCCCAGGGAATCTGTGAGAGGGAGGACGGTGAATTGCAGCGGTGACCACTTCCCATTACTGTTGGATAGTGTGAGCTGCATGGCGCTGACGGCAGCCCATTCTGGGACATCCTTCTCGGGCGTAGAGACGACGTTGTAGTCGTCGATGGCGAGCACAGTGGCGAAGGCGCAAGCCAGGATATAGAGGAGCAAGGCCATCCTGCCTGTGCCGAGAATCGACGGCCTCGCCATCGCAATAGGTGTCGCCGGTAGTTATCGTGAAGGGCGAACGTTTGGGGATCGAGGATCGCAAGTGGGGAGACGGGCCGGCGTCTTAGGAGCGAGGTGGCGACGTCGGATGTTGCGGAATGCTCAGGGTTGCGGGCGTCAGTGGGGGCGCGGGATGGTCGGAGCACAACATCTCAGCTCGCAACAGGCAGCATTGGACGAGGTTCGGTAGCGGCGGCGACGACGGCCGCAAATGAGACGTTGGTGGTGAAGGCGATGGAGATGCGATGCGATGCGCGTTCACTGAGGAGTTGGTGGAAAAGTGGACGCAGGAGGGAATATCGACGCCGACAATGGGTGGAGCCAGCAACCGACGAGCCTTGGAGGGGCCGGGAGGAATGAACCCGGCACCTAGACTCCGCTTTCCGGTTGGTTGGTACAGTACCCATACGCTGCGCCGCTTTAACCCTTCAAACACTGGATATGGCAGGTAACCATTAACTTAATCGTTGCTGAAGCATCCCGTCCACGGTCATCATCCTCTTCCTTGAAAACCTCAACGAGGCATGTTATTTTCCAAGGTTCATCTCCATGAGTCACCCGCTTCTACCTTTGCAACGAATACGGTTGGAATGGTAGTGTGCGAATCTTGTTAAGCCAGTAGTTAGCAGTGACCTCCTAACAAGTATCGCCTGCGTCAACGTGTTCATCTGGAATCGCCTAAGCCTTGAAGTAATATCCCACACTGAATTTTCTCCCCAAGGACGCGGCCTCCAGGCTGTGGGGTTGTTTCACGTGGTAGTAGCACTGGACTGCATCACTGAACAACAAGGAGCTCGCCCCGTTGACATGCGATGAGAATCATTATACGATATAGTGGTAGATTGCCTAAGTGTCTGCCTAGGTAATTAAAAATACTTATTTGGATTTTACAGAAGGGGAATAAATGACGTGATGGTCTTCATGGCGTGGTTGAAACTAAGATAGTATCAGTTCGGGTTTCCGACCCCGTCGGCGTGAATCCCGCCGAGACATTGGTGAAATATTGGCAAGGAAATGTCTTTTGTAGCCCCTCGCGGTGAAATGGTTGAGACGCCATTTTTATGAAATATTTTTCTCTCGCCAGATGACATCACCAGTTTCACCACCGGTGTGATCAGATGGATGCAAGTGAGGTTGCTTCAACATGAACACCACATACGAGTCGTCGTCCGATTGAAGAGGATGACGGGGTACAATTCACAGCTACCACATACTTCAAGGAGTCACAGAATTCAAACATCCACTTTGCCTGTTCCAAGAAATGCACACCCCTGGTTTTGAGCAATTCCTGGCTGAAAGACTCACACTTTGCATCAATGATGGTTTCGGCAGTTGGAGTCACCTGCCGGTGATTAAGGGCAGCGATGACACTATGCCCAATTCGGTGTGCGCCACAAAGCAGTTGGAATGGTTAAGTTCGTACCAATGCGACCAGTCTCAATCTAGATGTTGTTTCCATCGAGGAGATCGAGGACATTGCAACGTCTCATGAACCATGACCAGCATATCAAACCCCCAATAGTTTAGGATCAGTCTACAGATGAAGGTCATACAGACATGGATACGGGAGAGTCACACGCTCCAGCTGCTCAGCCCCAATGCAGTTCCCACTTAGACTATTGGTCACATTGTGCTCAGCCCCCAATGGCAAGGACTGAGGGATGCGCTTGCTAAGCTCGTTCCCAGACTGGCCAAGGTTTCGGCAGATGATCGTCGCTCGCCATTCAAATACTCGGTGTGCGCGGCGCCAGCCCACGCCACTCGACGTGTCTCGAGCGAGTTCCTACCCTAGATCGGTCACCGCGGACAGTGCTATCGCTGACGACCGACATGGTCATACCTCCAATAAACTATCCAATCCAACGTATTGGTAGAGTGGCCTGGACCCAATAAAATTATGGGATCATTTGTATTTTGCTTTTTACAACGTAGTGAGTTCTGGGCCTGGAACTTACTTATCATCTGCTTCGATAGCGTTTGAGACACCTGATGAATTGAGTCAGCTATCGGGCTATATTCCGCCGAGAACGCGAATTTCTGAAACGCGTTATCAACAGTCCAAGATTGATCGATTAAGCATGTTAGATTACATAAATCTCAATATTCAGTGAATATCGTGAGCTACCGACTTGTTGTGAAGTGCGAACGAGATGTAATCTAACCGTTACTTAGCTCGATCATACATCCACGCATGTAAACAGTCATTCATTGGTGCCCAACCTTCACCTAAAGCCAGCCTGAGGGTTCCCAATTCACGGCCAAGATCAAGTCCGAGCATCGCCGAGCTTCGGGCGATGAAAACAACAAAGATCCTGGGATGACCACCCACCCACGCAGCAGCCGAAGCCACCGGTTACACGACTGCACTCCTGATGCGACCCCATCCTTCCAACGCACTCCCCCCTCCATGGCGAAATAGCCCGCGTGTTCATGTTTGCTTTTCGCGGGGGACGAGCAGTGCAGCAACAGGTTACATCCTTGGAGCTGCCAGAAGCATCGGCGGGAACTATTGCTGGGCGTAAGCCACCTCAGCGCCGAACACACCTGTTGGTTTGACCATCATCGGAGTTGTCAATGCGGTCCACGTTTCCCTTATTCCTTCCCCTTACCCGGTGGCGTTTTCGAAAAACCCATCCGAGCCGGCAGATGCCATGATCTGGGTTCATCTGCCGAGTGTGCCTTGCTTCTCCTCGTGATCATTTTCTTGGCCCGGGAAGTTCACGATGGCGAGATGAGTAGAACACATTACTGAAGGGACCTTCCGAAGTATTTGCAACTCAAAATTCATAACATGAGAAGTATCAACCAGGACCCTTATATTCAACCAAGAGGTCATTCATATTGGTTGAATACCTGAATCCCAAGTGTAATATCACACCCCTTGTCCCTCAAAGCTGACAGTTCACCGGTTAAATCGTAGATAAATGCCAACCTCCGAGCTGACTAGGATTCTTCCTGCAAGGCCGCAAATCATTCCCGCCACAAACGCGGAGTGCTTCTACCCCGGCCGCAAATCTGCGTCATGATCTTCGGCTAAACACATTGTCGTCTCGGATTCCGTCGAAGATTGTTGAGCCGGTCGCCCGCTCGGCAACTGCTTTCGGAACTTCGCGGCATGTCATCATGCATCAATAACCGAATAAAAAACTTGGAGAAAGAAGCACGCGACTTGCCGGATATGCGATTCGCCCAGTCTGGTCTTGCCAGCAGTGCTGGACCGACCGACGCCCCAACCCACTCGGCAGCTAACAATGACGCAAGACGAAAACGTCGAATTAAAAAGATTCCAAATGGTACCAACTGTTTGTTGAAACAAACAGTCGAGTTTGAAGTCGAATTAAGGTTCATCGGGGCCGTTATGGTCGGGCGAAGCCGTTGCTGCAAGAATTCACGGATTGGGAATCATCAGCGAAGTACTTGACCTAGTCTGGAAAGTGACGCGAGCCAAGAATCGAAACGGCGGTGCGAACAGGCCTAATACGCACAACAGAGTTCCATTCGAAGGGCTGGTTTGAACCTTGGGGTGTTGTAAGGAGAGATACTTGAAACATAGGCTGTCCCTGGCGGCTTGGGGAGCTTATGGATGGGTTAGCCTATACAGAAGCCCATGGGGTGGTCGGGAGTTTTGATTTCAGGCAGGGCTCTTACAAGACTCTCACCTTTGAGTGGACCATTCCAAATACAATGCCATTGTTGCCAAGAAGGTTTTAGAGATAGTCAAAAATCTGATTGAACAGAGAGACCTTCGACATGAGCCATGTCAGCCTTTCACACGTCCAAAGAGTCTCATATTGATCCGTAATCATCTCCCGGTCTCTCTCGCATCACCAAAAAAGAGCCATGTAGTTTTGTGTAAGTGTTTTTGTATTGGAGTTGTTGATCGTTCTGGGCGTGCGTGTCGACTAGATCTCCTCCATGTCCTCCAAGTCATCGAGGGCCGGGAAGTTGCCAGTCTCGACCCGTTCGGGCCGCACGAACACGCCATGCTTGAGTTCTGAGGCCTCACCCCAATACCTCGTACCAGCGATGCTGCCATCGTTCTTACCCACGGGCTCGTCAAGCTGAACCCCCACCCAGGCCCCGAGACCGCCGGGAATCTCCTTGACCTCTCCCACGTACTTGATAGTGCCCCGCTTGGTGTCTTCACCGCCAACCCTGCACCGCTTGTCGACGGCAATGCCGCGGGAGGCGATCTCGCGTTGGAAGCCGGCCAGCTTGGCCTGTTCGTGGCTGGGGGCGTTAGGGTCAAAGCGACCAAGCTTCTGGTTCTTTTTCCAGGAAAGGACCGAGTCCGTCTTCTTCTCGTACTCCTCCTCGGGCATGACGTATTTGTCAACACCCGAAGTATCGTTGAAGTTAGGCCGAGCAGCTGCAGGACGTGTGTCAATCACCTGCCAGGCAAATCCCTGTCAGCCCTATCTTGAACTACTCGCGGCAGCAAGGGAAAAAAAAGTGCATATTGGTAGCCGGTGGTTTTAATTACTAAACCGGGGATGGCTGGGGAGCGCTCAAGACACGCCCCATGTGCGGGCGCCGCCTCTACCCAGCCTTCGGGACTAGATGCGGACGTCAACGGAGGCGTCGACGTCAGCTTCAGCGTTCGCCGCGGGCGTCTGGCGAGAAATTTTCGCGGCTCCGTGGTGCAAGCATCGGAGAGGGGGAGGACAAATGAAAACTCTGTTGGACTTACATGCAGCTCCGCATATGGGACCAAGGGATAGTTGGACAAGTGGGTGCCATCCTCGTTAGCCGCCTCGAGGGAGATGGCTTCGGCGCCCGGCGTCTTGAGCGAGAGAGTCTGGCAGGAGGGTGGGATGCCGGTGACAGTCTCCAGCTTAGATTTCAGCTGGCTAATGGACCATGATGGGGTGATGCGGCGTTCGGCCTGCGCAAACTCGGAGATGACGATGAGGGGGACGTCGGCCATGGTGAAGGGCGAGTGGTGAGTGATGGAGTGGTGGGTGATGATTGATGGTAGCAGCGAGGATGGCGTTTGTCAAGTGACAGTTTCTCTCCGGGGGCTTTCGGGGGCTTCGAGACCGGGGGTACGGGGGTGGTTGGAGGGATGTGATGGAGGGATGTGATGGATGAATGGAGGCTGATCGGAAATGGCTTCCAGGTTCTGGGTTGTGGGTTGTGGCGGTCAAGATTGTCGCGAGCCGCCGTGCGCCGCAATTCACGGATTGGAGGGAGGGGGGCTTGCTTAGGTACCTGAGGTAGGTAACTTAGGTACCCGGGTTCGGATGGAGTTGGAATCTGGGGCCTGAGTACCACTCAGCGAGGAACTTGGACTTGGAGGGGTTGGAGGGGTTCTCATCCATGTGCGTGCTTCGATTGATGAAAGTGTGGTGGGGTCGCGATTATGCAGTCGTCGTTGAGGGAGAGAAGGACAGAGTGAGAGACAGACGAGGAGAGACATGCCGGCGGAAGAGTGGATGCCGGGGCGGAGAATAAGGAAAACCAACCATGGATCCCTCCTCGCTCAATGCCTCATATTCCGATTGCGCGCATCGCCCGTGTTTCGACTGACGCGCCCCTCGCATGAGATGGACATGGCCACAGAAGCATGCCTGCGCGCCTCATTGCCCGCAGGCCTTACCTCGGAGCATGGCCTCAACGGGGGAGGCGCCGGTTTCTGATAGGTCCAGCCAGACGCCCGCGCCTTGCGAATCGTTGAGAGAGCTGCCTGCGAGTGGCCATAATATCTGGATGATATCTCGCCCTGGTTCGGATTGGGCCCAGACTCCCGAGGAAAGTGAGCTGTCGGCCGACCTGTGGAACTGCAGTCTGGGCCTCTGGTCGCTAATCTGCGGGAACCTCTCTCTTCCTAGTTAGGTACCGACGAAAACAGTTACTGAACTTATGCGTTGCTTTGTTCTGCATAAAGGAACTATTACAAACCTCGAACCCACCGCGCCTGGTTAGGGAGGTATGTAAGTCAGGCTCCGTACTTCGTACTGCGTACCTTACCGTATGCTTGTTTCTTCCCTGGTTTCAAGCCAATAGTGGGGTTAATTTCCAGCCACTGAACTACTATTGCCCACCAACACAGAGATCAATCTTCTACTTAGCCACATAGCGGCGCAGAAATTCTCGAACCGCACCTGGTATCCTTGGGAACTAAGCAGGTTGGAGCTTAGCTATGACAAGGATTTCTTTGGTTTTTCTTTTTTCCCTTGACCTGCAGCTTGCATGAAACCAAGAAAAGATCATTACCTACACAATGACTAAGGCCGGTCTCTGTCTCCCCCCCCTGTCTCCTCTTCTATCATGTACTATGTTCGGCATTGGATGAACGTATTCGTACGTACGGACAGGTTCCCCTGCCTCACCCCAGACACTCTCCGACGTGGAAGCCGTACATATGTCGAGCAAGTGGGGGGGAATCTGGAGGGGGAGAGATGATCCGGCCAATGGGTGACAAGCAGAAACATGCCGAAATAGGCAATGGTAACAGCTCACCTCGGGGCCATCCCTCTGTTGTTGCCGTTGCATTTGCGCGATGCGCGATACGCGTTGTCCGTGGCATGTTTGCCGATGCCGTGTTGTTGACCGTCGTTGCAATATGATATGATATGATATGCGGGCGCGGGTGCTGCGCTGTCTTGTGCTAGGCTTGCAACCATTGATAGTCCGCACCTAAGCGGCTAATGAAGTCTACATCTGGACACCCAGACGCACACATACATATAACTCGCGTACTAGTCTAGAGATTGATCTCTGTGCGAGGGCAACAGCAAACCCCTCCATCACCCCCAAGCCGGCCCGGTCAGGACCAAGACCGGCGATTGGTCCGGCTGGCGTTTGTCGGCGTCGCCCGCGGACCCGTCCGTCTGGAAACACGGAAGCGCAACGACAGCATCGAATGCAAGCATCGAATGCAAGCCCCGACGCCAGATTTCGCGCATAACGAGTTGCACCAGGGTCGCCCGCCGCCGGCCGACTCCACATTGTGTGCGCTCCGTCGCCATCTGGGCCGCTTGCCGCTGGCCGTGTGGCCCGCAGCAGAACATGCAGCAGCGGCAGCTCCCCGACATCCATCTGAGTGTTTGGTAATTAACGAATGTATGCGTCCAGTACGTACCTACTTTTGCAATGCACATGTAGCTACGTACTATGTAGTATAGCGCTCCGCGGCGGCTCAAAGCCGTCCGTCGGGAAAACGTGGGTTGGAACTGGGGCATTCGCTGTCCGCGGCCCTGGTCGACATGGCCCCCGGTCTGGCACTCGCTCTTTGGCCTCCGGGTCCGGGTCCGGCTCAATGCGGAGGGCGGGCGCTGTTGTAAGAGGAACAAGTTTAGATTGCGACGGCGACAACTCAGTGTCCGCTCGGGCCCGCCTCCGGTGCATCACAAAGTCAGTCGTGCTCGGTAGGACCGCGTCTGCGTGGTGTTTGATGGCCAGACGTCGTGCGACCGGGGAAAGGGTGATTAGAGGGAGGGTGTGCGGAGCCTGCGTATGTACTAGCTGCTCTGTTAGACCGACCTGTCACGTAGGGCTGAATTGAGAAGGCAGCACAAGTCAGTAAACCTTGGCCATCCATGGGCCATGGGCCATGGGCCACGGGAAACGGTGCACTAGGATCGATCTGATATGTAGCATAACGAGGCGAGGCTAGCCGTGCAAACAGATGGGGGGACGGGATGAAACGCCTGGGTCGTGTTCGCTGCAGGCTCCTCGTGACAAGTCATAAATCCTCCGCCGGGGTTCGCAGCGCCCCCCAACCGAGCGGCGCGGGTGGCTTATTGCCTCTTGTCTGGCCTCTTGAGTCTTGACGCCTTGAAAAGGAAAGGTCTCATATCAGGTCGGCTTGTTGAGATGCTTCTTCACCACCACAGCCGGTCCGGTGCCTGTGCGTATCTGCAGTCCGTGCCAGCACAGCGTCCGTGTTTGCATCTGCAACATGAACATTAGGACATTAATTCAGGACTGAAGCCCTTTTCATCAGGCCAGATGTGCCGAGTCCCACGACCGGCAATGGTGTGACGGTGACAAAAAGCACACCCCTTACTTTTCCGCTAGAAGCAATGCTATTCTCAGCTCTGGAGCTTGGGGCATCGTCATTTTGGAGATTCCACATTCAAGGAATGCGGTGAACCACTTTGGGCTTCGCCTTGCAATGCTGTGCCCTGTTATGTAAAAGGAGTCATGAGAAAAGAGATATCACGAGGCCATTGATTGATTCACCAAGCTCATTCAGGCCTGGCCGTGGCCCCCCAAGGCGCTTTGATACCCGAGTCGGTATCGTCACGCTCCGCCACAAGATGCTCGCTCACCGCCACGTTGGGTACGGCGCTGAGAGCGCTCGCTGTGTGACGGGGAGCGGCCAATTTGCAACCCATGGGGATCGAAACATGTCGACACCCGAGTCCTGGTGCCAAAGCCAAAGCCAAAGCCGGCCAGCGACGTGGAGCCCTGCGTGCGCTCGATCGGTGAAGGACACAAACGCCCAACTCGGGGGAAACACAAGGGCGGAAGGGGGTGAGTCTATCGCGCGCATCGAGGCCATCGAGACCATCGAGACCAGACCATCGAGGTCATCGAGAGACCGAGATGGTCATCCATCAGCATTGTCGTTGTCGTCCCCCATCCCATCCCACACATCCCATCGCCCATCGGACCATGCCCTGTCCTTGATCCGCTGCCCGACTCCAGCCCCCACACGCTTGGTTCCGTCCGCGTCAAGGACCGACCGAGCATTAGTGAGTAGTGACAGAACAAGGCAAGACACGGTAAGATTAGACAAGATAGGGCGAGACAACACAAACGTCAGACATGACGGGACGCTGCCGCCCGGGCCTGTGGCGACCCGCCCAACCCCTACAAGCCGCCAAGTTCCCCCATGTTTCTCCTCCATGCGACCCCCATGCGCTGGTGCTTGCTTGCTTGCTCCCGGCGTGCTTTGAGGCTTGCGCTGGCAGAGCTGGCTGAGCTGACCGAGCTTGCAGCGTGCCTTGTAGATCCGCCCATGACGTCGCTGACAAGCTGGCAAGAATCAGGCGCGGGAGCGCTTCGTAAATGGTGCGGCATTCCTACGTAGGGGTCTCGGGGTGCGCATGGCAAACAAAGCAAAGCATGCTGCCTCTTGGACGAGGCGATGCTGATGCAGAACGGATGCGATGCTAGTACCAAGGCCAAATTGCCAATGAGACAGCCGCCAAACTGCCTCCATCCCCGTCGCTAATCCCGTCCCCCCAACCCCGCAGGATTTTCTTCCATCGCCGTGTTTGCCAAACCAACCGCCGACCAGTCGCGTTGTCGCCCGGGTTCCCACTGGGGAGAAACCTCATCCTATTCGACCTCCAGACCGGCGTGTCTAAGCTGCGCCGCGGTCCAGCCGCCCCCCTTCTGCTCAAACATGACCGCAACTGTAAGAGCTGCAAGAGCTGGGGCCCACTGATAGGCCGCGGAGTGGCTGGAGGAACGACACACGTACATACGCCGCAGCTCACTTGACCCTCGATCCGGTGCTTGAATGGATGTGGATGGTTCGTGACGGCCAGTGGGGCCCTTTTGGTGCCTTTGGGGGCCTTGGAAGGACGGCATTCGCAATCCCACATCATGGTCTAATGCTCGCGACAACTCACGATGGAAGCGCAGGGAGAGGTCGAAGCTGGGGCTGTGAACCCGCCATTGGGCAGGGGTTTTCGTCAGAGGGGCACCGGCAATCACTCTACGATGCGTAACGGAATGTGTACCGGGGTAGACGAGCTGGCGGATGGGCGAGCAATACGACACGGCAGGTGGGAGATCTGGCGACTTGCTTTGCTCGGGCACCAACAGCAAAACGGCCGCCTGCCTGCTTGCTGCTCCTAACCTATGTATCACCTTCAGGCCTCACCAGCAAGGGACAGATGGCCATCCTCATCTTGGCCTGAAGTAGTCGCGGGGGCTTGGGGCTCGAGAACTAATTGATCCAGGCAAGCCTCGCTGTGGCAACTCCCACGCCCCCATCACAGTCCTGTATCATGTCCCAACTGCTGCGTTGTGCGCTGGAGAGCGTTTCATTCACCCCGCCGCCATGCCGGCCGGCCGCCCTGTGGTCTGGTGGCCGCCTCCGTCGATAGAGCCCTGGTCCCTGGCCGCAGATCCAGCTTTCTCCAGCCCGCCTCATCCTGCCCATTTTTGGAGCAAGGGAGGCCAGGGGAGGAGGGGCGGCGAGCTCGAGCAGATGGCCTGGGCCTAAAACGGGCTGAGCAAGGGCATAAAAGAAGGAAGAAGAAGGAAAAATTCTTTCATCGAGGTGGAGGTCGGGTGGCGGTCACGATGCCACCGAGGTGGAACCCTGCCACAGATGATGTCGACTGCTGGCTGGCAACAACGTGGCGTCCTTGGAGAGGGACCTCAGAGCCTGACGACCGTGGCATGCCTGCGGGAAGAGCCTGCTGCTGCGAGCTGCGAGCTGCGAGGCGCAAGCTGCGGGGGGGGGGATGGCGAGGGCGACAGCGAGGGTGAGGGCGAGGCTTGTTAGTTAACGCGCGCTGCAAGCACAATGCCGAGATGTCTCAGACAGCGCGGGGCGGTTCGCTGGTGGTGGAGGATACCCAGTGGCCGTTGTTGCGGCACCTGGGCACCAGCACCAGAGAAGCAGTTGTCGTCCTCTCGCACGACACCACTACGGCGAGAGGCTTGCATATGTCCCCGACTTTGCGCCTTGGCCTTTCACGCCCCTCCCTCACAGCTGTTGGGTTGCGTTGCCTCTGATAGCCGACCAACCGGCCGGACGACCGCCAGAACGGAAGAGGAGAGACAGACAGGAACCAGATTGGGCCATGTGGCTTGATGCCAGGCGTGCGTGGACGACAGAGGAGGGAGTGGAGAAGGGGATGTGAGGGAAAGGGGGGTCGTGTTGGTGGTCGATCATGGTTCATGGACGTCGATGAACGCTCGAGGCATGGTGGCTCCCCCCCCCCGCGGACAAGCCCGTAAGCCGCAACCCCCAGACATAAGATATGTACCAGGTAGCTCACACGCACCGAATACTACGTACATGACTTTACGCATTCAATCGACGGTCTGCTTCCAAGGTATTGTATGGAGTACCGCACCCAACAACGCACGTAACAGCGCACACACATACAGACCTACATCATACATACCTGTAGGTACATACCGCCCAAGGTAGGTTGTCTACGAAGGATGGCGCAGGAATTTGGACGACTCCCCAAGGTATAGATACGTACCGACTGTACAGTATAGTACAGTGCGTGATCTGTGTCTTTCAGTGCCTAAAAAACCCCTTGGATCTTGACTATTTGGTACCTACCTACTAGGTAATGAATGCATTTGAGTTCAATTCTTATTCTCTTAAAAGTGAGGTTTCAACAGGGCACTGTTAGCCTAAAGTGCACTATAGAGCACCGTACATAACCATAAATTGCTTGTCTGTTTCTAAATTTTTAGGGGAGAGTTTCTGTAAGACACTTGTTGCTACGTCGCCATTGATCGACCGCATATCGTACTGTGTGGGGGCTGCCTCGATACCTGCATTGATGTTGTCAAACTTCCTGCGCCAGCCTTCGTACATAGCACACGCCACAATCCACGACGGCCCTGGATTCTAGGTCCATGATCCATGACACCAGCGCCGGCACCAGCTCATCAACTCACCAACTCACCAGCCCTCGACCGACCGACACGACTGCCACCATCACCGCCACCTCCATCATCAGAGGGGTTCTCCCTCGTTGGGGATGGATGTCATATTTTTGACCGCCAGTTCATCAGCACCATCCAGGGTGCTCCCGGCTCCCGTGGTACTAGGCGGAAGACGGCGTGGAGCAAACGAAGAGAAGCTGTCCTTTTCATGGCGCACCGGCGTTTTGCTGGGTTCGGCCGGGCTCAAGGTTAGGCTGCGGGTGGCCGTCTGGACAGATCTGATGATGGCCCCAGATTGAAACCATGATCCATCACATCAGCTAGGTACCTCGTACCTTACAGAGAGAGCTTGGATTGGGGCTGGCGTTAGGTTTCATTCCCACGGAGACCCTCACTGGAGACTCCGTTTTGAGCCACTTACAATGCTCGGCCCGGGCCTTTTCTTTGTTGGTTCCAAATTCCGCGCGCCCCGAAACGTTCACTCGAGTCAAGCACCAGCCCCAGCCCCAGCCCCAAGCCCCAAGCCCCAAGCCTCACCCGCCAAACTCAAACCTGCGTGGGAGTTGTCGCGGGCTGTTAACGCACAGACAGTCTTTGGGCTCGTGCTTTTCGCGCCTTTTTCCAAGGTGGGAGAAGGACCAGGGCCACCGGCTCCGTTGTCAGTCTGTCAGTCTGTTGGACATGGCTGGAGCCACTGCTCTTGGGGGCTGTCACTGTCAGTCGGGGCGCCCCCGCGTGCTAATTATTCGTCGAGTAATGTGGATGTGGGCTGGCTTGTTCAACCGGCGTTGTGGCTTTGCCCTGCATCTCGCCAACCGCCGCTATTTCCCTAACGACAGATCCGATGTGATGTGATGTGATGTGGTGTGGTGAACCTAGTAAAAAAAAAAAAACTCAAGTGACACGCCTCCTTTGGGCCTTGATTGTTAACAGGGAGCTCAGTTTTTTCTTCTTCTCTTTCTTTGTTGGGTTTCATAGCAACCAGAGCTAGAGCGAATGAGTGAGTGACTGAACGAGTGTTCTCTCCGGTTGAGTTTGGATATGCAAGGGTGCCGACTCGGTCTTGGTACATGATACGTAGTTGCGGGTGCGGTTCATTCTAGCTTGAGTAAAATATGGCCTACGTCTCCAATACATTACCGGGTGCGTCTGTGGTGCGTCTGTGGGAAGGCCATCCCGCACTGCGCCAAAGCCGGCGATTGGCGCCCAAGCCGCTCGTGGTGATCATCACCAACCCATCACCAGCGCGCGCTGACGCTGACTGACGCTGACGCTGACGCTCGAGATGCTGGCGCGGTACCTGGCTGCTGGGTTTGGTTTGTTGGTTGTTGGTTGTCGGCCATGGGCAATGTCCGACGAGGTACGTCAAACGTCGTGCCTGGGGCGCCTAACCTAGAACTGACAATCCTGGGAACTGCTTGTCTGATGTGCGATACGATGCTGCGTCTTGCGCTCTCGCTCCTATGAGCTGTGCTGCTCTGTGTGTGGTGATCGAGTACATTACGTATCCTTGCTATGCGCTCCCATCAGCATCATCATTCAGCATAATGATGGCGATGGCGACGTCGACTTCGGTTGGCGGGTACCGCGAAGTACCTCATTGGCACGCATGACATCGCCCGCATGCCTGTACCTCGCATGTATTCCATGTCACAACTTCTCCCCGCTTGCCGCCCTGAGCTCTGTCTCCCAGGGAGTTCCTGGATGTGCTAGCGCGCCTTCTCAAGAGATTGGTGGCCAGGCCTACCTCACACCACGTCGTCACAGACTGCAGGCTCTTTCACACGTCCTCACCCGCGCTCTCGCAGGTCCTTTGGAAGGGGTCGACCTTCTTGTGGGGACTCAATGACGCCCGCTCATCCACTCACTGGCCCGCTCGCTCGCTCACTCACACGCGCGCTCGTACTCGACTCGACTCAACAACCCCCTTCCTTGCGCTTGGCCGAGCGTAGCTGCGCGGAGGCTCGGCGAGGGGGACCCTTGACCCAGGTCCTGGACAGCACATCGTCAATAACTTACCGACCTGCCTCGAACTAGGTGGTTCGTGCGAACGCCTCGGGTGTCGTCGTGCTGGAAGCAGCCTCCCTTGCGCCATTATTTGGCACGGCCGCTGCGCTCCACGCTCCATGCTCCTTGCTACATGCTCCACGGATGTGCTCTTGACCCATCTCCGGCCTGCCGGGGATCGAAGGCGGGTGTGAACGGCGCGTACACTCCCTCGATACATTCGTGACCACCACGAGAGGCGCCATAGGGCCGTAACCGACTTCTACTTCTGGGTATTGAGGCCAGTGAGGCCTTGGGTCAAAATACGAGACCGAGGGACCGAGGGACTGAGGGACTCCGGATTGAGCGACTGAGGGCTTAAGGGTCCAGTGGATAGTGGACGGACGAGACGGTAAAACGGCGATACTGTACGGTACCAGCACCGCCGAGGCAGCCCGCGCCGGAGATGGATCGCCCGGGCAAGCCCAGATTGATGAGACTTTATGCATGTGTCGTGGCATTGCGCTGGACAGCAGCATCCATCCATCCCTCGCTCGCTCGCTCCCCCGACCCCCTCCACGCGCGATTCCAGCCCGTTCTCAAACCCTTCCCTCCCCCAGTCTCCAGATGAAAAAAATCGGAGCCGGGAAGGCGGACGGCCCCATGCGAAGATCGCATCGTTCAACCCAACCCAACCCGTTGCAAGGAAGGGGAGGGAGGGGCGTGGGCATGAGGTCCAGGGGCGTGTAGCGTGCTGCCCGTGGCCGCCAGACTGACAGCGACGCCAAGGCCAGGCGGTACTGGGCCCAAGTACATCCGTTCCAACTTGAGAGACCGACACTTTCTCTTACTGACCGGTATTATGACATGTACGGGGCGCTGCTGCCCTGGGCGTTATTCTCGGGCCTTACCTGACTAGGGAACCGGTGATGCTGAGGCCATCGTGGGCAGCATGGAGCGAGGCGAAGCGCGAAGCGGCAAAATGGGGGCCACCCAGAGTCTCTTTCCCCATCCGTTGCCCATCAAGGACTCGGGCAGGATTGTAACTGGAACATGAGCTGGAACCAACTGGAGATGGAGCTTGGCACCTGGGACCTGCTCAACCTGGGCTGAGACCTGAGCAGTGAGCAGCGAGCAGTGAGAACCGGGGACGGGACGGGGGCGTGCCTCGACCGTTGCATCACTCTTCTTTTTTTTTTTCTTCAACGCTGAGAAACGCAAGGTACCAAAGCCTCAGGCGGCGGCGCTCCCCATCCCATCCCATCCATCCTCGACCTGTCGATGCGCTTTGCCTTATTGCCAAACATGTCGACTCCACCTCCGCCCACTCCCACTTGGCTTGACTTGACTTGGCCCTGTTCACCGCACCCTCCCCTGGCGTCTGGCGTCTCTCGTGCCACACCCCTCCCCCTGTCCATACTAGAGGTCCTTGACCGACCCGACTCTATGCTTGCTCGTTGTTCCTGTTCCTGTGCTTTGGTTCTCGCCTTGTCACGTATAGCCCTAGGCTCTTGTTAAGATGGCCAGTCACTTGGCTACGCTGCATCGGACGCTTGGGCTTGATGTAATTAGACCCCGGCTTCCTGTGCTTCCTCCCCACTGTGACGGAGTACCAAGTACGTCGCGCCTCCTGGCTACCCGAAGCACTCGACAACCATCAAAACCACTTCTCTCGGGCCAACTCTTCTTTTCTTTTTCCTCCGCGCCCCCCTCGACTACGGCTACTACGTACATAGCTCCATCTTTAGCTCTTGCCCTCTCCGTGTCTCGACTCCGGCAGACCTGGAAGCCAAGCGAAGCACTCCCCGACGTGGGTCCCGGCCTTGTCCTGCGCCTGAGACTCCTCCTAGGCTCCTCCTACTGCGTACTACCGTACTACTACACTACTGCTGCTGCTACTACTACAACACCCTGCCGACGTTTCTTCTGCGGAACAGACTACCTCAACTCTCTCTCAGCTTCTTCAACCCGACACGTTCCCCATCCCACTCTGCTCCGGCCTGGTCCCCGTCGCCAGCAAGCTGCGAGAAACCAGCCTCACCCTGGCCTTTTTACCTTGCCCCCCCTTTGGCGCCCTCGTGTCTGCTCTGCCTCAACCAGCTCGTCTCATCTCCGCCCATTGGTTGACAGTGCCCTGGAAATCACCAATCACACATAGGTGACTGCCTTCAGCATCACGACGAGCCACGTTCATCATCTAAACTACCTGCTACTGCCGCCTCCCGAGACAATTCCCCTTTCTTCTCTTCTCTCTCTCTTCGAGGTACCTGCCTGAGCCGACATCATCGACCTGAACCAGCACCCCTCCATCACAGGCACGGTTTCCGCATCCAGCAGGCACACCAAAGCCACCAACCTTCTTCGACTGTTCTTACTGTTTCAAGTTTGAGCCTCCTGGTCGATCTCAGACCACACTCGACCACCGCCGAGGTATCCCGCACTCTTTCCCCTTATCGGCCACTATTCCCCCGGCGTCGCCTAGAAAGAAGTCACGCCTCAAAGTGCTCCTGTTGTGCCTTGATACACGGCGTTGTTCGACGACGCAGGGCTTATCCAAAGCCTCCCCCAAGCCAGACGTAGATCAGACCCAGACGAGTCGCCGAGCTGGCCCAACTCAAGAGCGAGTCTCCGCTCTGCCTCTTGCGGGCAGAGTTTCCGTCCATCGCGGTTGCGCAGGACCGCCTCGATCTGGTGCGCGCTCCGCGCTCCTATGCCAACAGTCCCCGCGTGGGCAGATCGGGCACACCGGCTGTCAACGTGGATATCGCCGCCCTCCTAAAAGGCTCCGACTCAGATGAGTCTTCAGTTTCTCCGCCTCGACAACTCCAAACTGCTCCCACGCCTGCTCCCGTGCCTCAACCCCCTTCAGCAGAGGCCGCTCGCGCTCCAGCTCGGCCAGCTGTGCATGGTGCGCCGCCCGTAGCTCAAGCCCCGATGTCGACTGGTAGGCGCAGCATGCCTCCACACGTCTCGGACCAACCCGTCAAGAAGCAGAGTAAGTGGTCGCCAGAAGAGGATGCACTCATCATCGAGCTCCGGGGGAGTGGTATGAAGTGGGAGGATATCTCCAAGCGTCTCCCCGGCCGAAGCGCCATCAGCTGTCGCCTCCACTATCAGAACTACCTCGAAAGACGAAGCGAGTGGGATGAAGAGCGCAAGAACAAGCTTGCGAGACTGTACGAGAGGTAAGGACCACAATCTATCCGCTTCAGGGACTCGGAACTAGACAGACTCCATCGTCTTCGGTTCTCAGCTATCTCTGGACCCCTTAAACTTGAAGCTCAAGCTAACATGATTACAGATTCAAGCCAGAGATGTGGGCAAAGGTCGCGGAGGAAATGGCCGTCCCCTGGCGAGCAGCAGAGGCCATGCACTGGCAACTCGGCGAGGCTGATATGGCTCGACGAGCCGGTGTGATTCCATTCTCCCTCGCTGCCGTCAACGTCGATAACAACATCAACAATCATCGAAACTCCCCCTCTCGCAGCCACGCCCACTCAGCCTCCCAGGGCAGTTTGCCCCGTGACTTGCGAGCTCCATCTCCTCGAGCCATCTACAACCGGCCGCAACCCATGGCAGGTGTCCCAAGCGGCCGCACCATCATCTCTCGCCGCGAGTCGATTCCTCCGCCCCCGATGCCCATGGCACCCGACCCCAACGAACTTCACTACGTGCCAGGACCTGGCTTGGCCCCGATCCAGAACCAACCACCACCGCGAGGAGGAGGACTTCTTCCAGGAGTCGCCGAGCTCACTACGGGTGTAAGCCCATATAGCACTCCTGCAGGGGCAGCAACAATTCCCATGACTACTCCGCCAAGCCAGGCACCACTTCTCCCCGCCCTCGCGAGTTATTCCATGGAAACGGCCGGATTGAAGCGACGAGCTAGTCCCGATGACCGGCTCCAGCGCGAGTCAAGCCATAGGCGGCGCATGGCATAAATCAGCTCACCCTCCTCACATCATGGGGGGGCACGGGCGAATAAGGAGTTGAACTTGATTTTGTTTGGGCAGCAATTGCCCAGGGTTGGGAAACGAGGGTTGTTTTGGACAGCAGGCGACACGAAACGGCGACGCATGGTCTTTTACCGGGGACGGAAACACAATCACACAATCACGAACACCTCACACAGCATATGGGTTGCATCGGGACGAGGATAAACTGGACGTAGGAAAACGGTTCTCTCCATCTATTACTTGAAACGTTTTGGAACGAGGGTACAAAGGGACTTTTTTTGGGAGACATATCTTACAACAGCATTCATGGCATGGGGCGACGACGGGATGGGACACGAAGGATACGAGGCGAAAGACATTTTTTCATGCGAACCAAAAGCCAAAAACACAGGGTATTTTTGCTTTTCTTCATTTCGTTGTCTTGTCATTTTTCAGACCGGTTTTTTTCCTTCTTGGTTGGTCTTGTATGGGTAGAGGCGCACGAGGGCATGCAGGGGTAGGCTTGCCAGGGGCATGGAACTGGGAGGATTTGAAAGGCCAAAAAAAAACAGGGGCTGTTTAGATTGTTCTGTTCCTGGGCATTATTATGCCTCGGAAGAAGAGAGAGGAGTCGGAAATGAGGAGCATGGGGAAAGGGATCGGACCGGTTGGGATGGAATGGTGGACATCATGGGACAGCGGGAACAGATTTGAAATTTTGTATTTTGACAGACCTTATCAAAGTTGATAGAGAAGATGCGGAGGTTGTACAGTTATTGGGTCAGAGAAGGAAGAGTAAAGTTGCGAATGGCTACAGTCATTACATTGTTTGAGGGTGCTCTGACACCCATTTAATGTCACATGGTGATTTTGTTTCAGTAAGTTTTACTTGGTTTTTATGACCCCCGCTCTAAAGGGTTTTTGATTTCCATCTTGTAGTCTAGCAGGCCATGTGGTATCTCACGATGGCCGACTACATATCACCCACCAGTTATCCCTCTCATAGCCGCTGTCCTCAACCACGCCGCCAGCCGCGACGGCATCCTCCTCCAGCTCGCCCTTGCGGTACAGGTGATAGTAGCGCTGGAACGTCTCCTCTGGGCCCTGGCCCTTGGGCTTGCGCATCACCCACGGCACCAGCGTGTCTTGGTCGCTGCCCTCGTCCCAGCCGCGGCGGCTCGACGCCTGCTCCAGCGCCCACACGTACACCAGGACGCGGCCTTCGCGGGGTCGCACGCACTCGAGCAGCGCGGCGATAGCCTCGCGCCGGCGGGCAGGTGTAGAGAGATGGTGGATGACGGCAATGCTAATGACAAAGTCGACGGCGGAGTGGCGATGCGGCAGCGCGAGGCCATCGGCGACAGCAACGTCTACCTGTCCGATCCCAGGTACCGCAACGTCGTCCTGGGCCGGTCTCTCGGCACGCTGCCCCTCCCAGGCGAGGCGGACGAGGGCGGCACTGCGGTCGGAGCCCAGGATGTGGATGGCCGGGTTGACGCGCAGGTACTTCCCGTTGCCGCAGCCGACGTCGAGCCCGATGCTGCCGGGGCGCTGACCGAGCAGGAACTGGGCGACGAGCGGCCACGGCTTGTGGCGAGTAGACGAGAAGTGCGGCGCGATGGCCTCGTAGACGGCGTGCACGTGCGTGGCCTCGTATGTCTCGGCCTGGGCCGTCGCGGAAGCGGATGCGGAAGCGGGTGTGGAAGCGGAAGCCGATGTCTCAGCGCCGGCGGTTTCGGCGCCCTCGTCGACACGGCCCTTCCCCTTGTCTCCTTCTTGTTGCGGTTGGTGATGAGGCTGGGCGGGTGCTGCTGCTGGCCCGTTCCCGTGGCCAGCCGGTATCGCCGACGAACCACTCGCCATGGCGACTCTAGAGGTGGTTTCGGGGTTGGTGATGGGGCAAAACCTGGAGACGCTTGGGTTGGAACGAGGTCAGGGTGTCGACTTCTACGGGCGGTTCTCGTCGACTTCCCGTTTTGGAGGGGCGTGCGAGAATTAAGCGGGGGGATGAACGAGCGAGCAGACGATGTCTGAGCGTCCTTTGTCACGTTTGGTTGTAGTCCGTACGGAGCATGGAGATGGAGATGGTGATTAGTTTTTTCCAACGGTTTTGGAGTGTCATCGTGGTTGAAGAGAGTGGGGTGGAGTTGTGTGTGCGTGAGTCTGTGTCTTGCTTGTCTGGTCCGGGTGCGTTTGTGGTTGGGAGTGGAGTTTCCAGGGGGGAGGTGTGCGCTGTAACAACGTGTGTTAGTGCCCAAAGTCCCCGCCAGCTGGTTCCATTCGTGGCTGATCAGCCCTTCCAAACGACTTCCGCTTCGGGAGTATTAAGTACCGAGCAATTAGCACTGCAACAACCCCATCCCACGCTGTGACCTGATAGGAACTCGCAATCCAAACCAACAAGACTCGAGATAATTACTAAGTTGTCCTATGCTCAGGCCCCGGCCGTCCAGGGAATCCCACGGACTGCATAGTACGTAAACCAATAAGTTCGCGATCCTGCCAGCCCCCCCGGCTACGAACGCCTCGGAAACCTCCCGCCAAACGCCCGTCCCCTCTTTGAAAGTTCCATGGCCATCTCCACACAATTTGCCCATCTCCACATCCAGGGTCCTGTTGTTCACATCACCTCACACTTTACGGATACAGCACACATGGCGTCACCCCAAACAGACTAGACAATGGAAATGTGAGGCTGCCCGCTGCGACCCTGTTCCCCTTCCCCGTCGCCCTGGTCCCCGTCCCTGTTGGCGATGCTTCGATTAACGCCGCTGCGGGCTGGCGGGCGCTCGACACATGATTCCACACCCCGGATCGTGCTTCAGATGCACAGCGCAGCGCTATCGACAGGGGGCCTCAGGCATGGGTTCTTGCTATGCACGACATCTCCGATCAGCCGGGCTGAACTTGGAGCCTCACGAGTCAAACCACCGCGGATAGTTCCCGGGCCATATTAGACGCTTGGGCGCCTCGCGTGTCGTGTCGTGCTGATCCAAGCGAACCAGGGGGTTTGGCAAAGGCGACAATGGCAAGGGTTGGATATTCATGCCCAGCCTCCAAGGGTCGTCAAGAACGCATGATCGTCCGATTGCTAGTTTATGTCCTCCTAATCTGCTCTCTTGTACCGTGTACTTATCTGACACGAACCATCCATCGTCTCGTAGCGCCGGCATCTCCAGCCTCTCCGCGAACTTCCCGAGTCCCTGCATGTCGTGGACGTGGCTTCCCCCGTCTCCCACGTTGCCCGCCTCGCTAATTATGCCGTGGTCTGCCTAGGGGCCTAGCTTAGAGAGCACCCCTCCCCTGTTTGTTTTCATCAAGACTGTACGGTAGTCTGTACGGAGTACTCCGTAATGAACGGTGCGTTTATCGCTTGCCAGTGTTGAGCGGGCTGTTGGCATCGAAAACGTCCGACGTAATCAGGTCCGGGTACTGCACACCACCCTGCGTGAGCGCTGACTCCATAGTCTCGAGGATCACGATGCTCTCCGACCACGGCATGGTGCTGCTTTCCTTCTTTCCATCGCGGATGCATCGTGCGCACTCATCGGCTTCCCAGAACATGCCGTGGCCCCAGTTGTTACGCTTGGGGTCCTGGGGGATCGGGCACTCAACCAACTCGACCTGGCCTTTACCGTCCTTCTTAATCACAGAGTACTCGGTAGGCCGGTACGCGGGACCCTTCACTTGGATCTCGCCACCAGCGCCCTGGATGCGAATAGCAGGTCCGCCAGTGTAGAGCCCGTCCAGGTCGGTGCCGACGCGCAAGCTGGTCATGGCGATACCCATGGCCTTGCTCTTGGGGAATTGGCAGATAATGGTGGTCATCTCATCCGTGCCAGTGTCATATTTGTTAATGGCAGACACCACGTTGGGGACCTCCTTGTCTTCCTCGGCCTTCAGGTGGTAGAGCGTCTGGAATACCCAGGTCAAAGAGTAGATGCCCAGGTCGAGCAGGGCGCCACCAGCGAGATCGGGGTTAACCATACGGTGGGAATCAGGAAAGTCAATCCTGCCATTGGGGAGGTCATTTCCGAAGGAGAGATCGGCTGCAGAAGAGCGTTAGTCAAGTGATTTGAAATTGGGCTTAAACGGGCCGTCTAAGCTGAGCTCTCGCAGGCAAAAGGGTCTCTCTTACCAGTTACCCGGTAGACGGGGCCAATGACGCCGGACTGGATCATCTCTCGAATCTTGATGCTGAGAGGGAAGAATCGGGTCCAAACGGCCTCCATAAAGAAGACGTTCTTCTCTCGGGCAGCCTCGATCAACTTCTTGGTCTGGGACGCCGTCACGGTGAGAGCCTTCTCGCAGAGGACATTCTTGCCAGCCTGGATGGCCAACATGGCGTTCTGGAAGTGGTGGCTGTGGGGAGTAGCGACGTAGATGATGTCGACGTTGGGGTCAGCGACGAGCTCGGCATAGGAGCCGTAAGACTTGGCTGAGGCAGGCCCATCAATCTTCTTGATGAAGTCTGCCGCCCGCTGGCTGGAAGTGGAAGAGGCGACCGCAACGATTTCGTGGCACACATCATCGACTTCTCGGGCTGCGGGGTTGGTGAGGAGATCCTGGGTGAAGTCTGCAATAACGCAGTCAGTGAGAGTCCGAGGTGAATAGAAGAAGTGTGAGAGGTAAAGCTAGGGGAGAGGAGGCGCAAAGGATTAGAGGCATCAATACTGACTCTCAGCGATGCCACCCGTGGCCAGGATTCCCCATTTGAGAGTGAATGGAGCCATTGTTTTGGAGCGGGGGTTTGTTGGTGGGGGTTTGGTGAGGTTCAATAGAGCCACAACGCAAGTCGTTGAAGAATCCGAAATGTCAAGAGAAGAGGAATAACAGAGCCAAGAACGGGCAAGTAGAGCGGATTGGAATTACAAAGATTTAGCAGCTCCGTGGTATGATGGGCTTCTACGTGTCTCTTTTTATTCTGGCTCTGTAGTCACACAGCTCTGCGGGGTAAGCCAAGCTGTGGATGGGCTCTGGTCCAGAATTGCTTCAATGAGCTTGCTCGGGAAATCTAAATTCCTCAATATGGCTAGATTCGCCGACATTCCCCCCGAGCTCTCCAAGAGCACAATCGTCATACCCGTCCAATCACCCGTCCAATCACTTTACGGATGTGCCTGTCAGACCGAAGCTATGCCCTCATGTCTTCCTAGCACCGGTCAACTAGGCAACTCGTTCCACAGCTCGGGAAATTCGCTCCTCATGTCTGCCACAACAACGACCGAACCCCGCGCGAGCTGCACATCGAGGTGGGGTGGACAGACACCGACGTCATTTTCATCATTGGGATTCGCTCGCTAGCCTTGAACATATCATTAATCGATTCTTCGCGGAAAGAATTCCACTCGCATCTTGTTCGGGAAGTGACTTGGTCCGTCCTACCCTGTACTTCGTCCCCAAGGGACTTGGACCAGTCAGGCTATTGCTGTTTAGCTGTCGACTTCTAAAGGGGAAGATAATGGGTTTTCCATGTATTTTCTGTATGAAATGAGCGTATACCTGGTACTTCATGGTCACAGGGCCTTCGTGGGTGGTGTATGTAACCCAGGGTTGCGTACCTCGCTAGCACTACGTACCCGGCTATTAGCAGCTATTATTTGAAACTAGTCTCATCAGGCAGCATGTCCAACGTACATTCACCACAACCACCGAGCCTCATTTCAACGCCGTATTACTTGCTCACGCCTGTCTTGAGAAACCGGCATCACGCCACAACTTGAACCACCCCAGCCCGGTATCACCTCATCACCATGGCACAAGCATCCCGCTTAGCCAAGGACTTAACCCTCAAGGGTTCCGTCACTACCATCCCAAAGCTCGTCTATGGCACAGCATGGAAGAAGGATCAATCGGCCGACCTTGTCTACAAAGCATTGAAGAATGGCTTCCGCGGCATCGACACGGCCGCACAGCCAAAGCACTACAACGAGAAAGGCGTGGCGCAGGGCGTCCAGAGGGCCATCGGAGATGGAATCGTCACGAGGGACGCTCTCTTTGTAGGCTACTCGTCCAAGAGACACCAACACGAACCTTGACTGACGGACTGAAGATCCAAACAAAGTTCTCGCCGCCTAGCGCTCAAGGCCCCAACCCGCCCTATGACCTTGATGCTCCGCTGGTCGACAAGGTTCACCAGTCGGTGCGCTCGTCGCTTGAGTACTTCACCACCCAAGGCCAGGAGCCATACTTGGATAGCGTTGTGATGCATAGCCCTTTGGACACTATAGAAGAGACAATCACGGCCTGGAAGACTTTGGAGACATATGTTCCGAGTAAGATCCGCAATCTCGGCATCTCCAACACAACCCTCCCTGTTCTCCAAGCCTTGAACAATGCAGCCACTATCAAACCCAGCGTCGTGCAGAACCGCTTCCACGCAGAGACTGCGTTCGAAACCGGCCTGCGCGCCTACTGCCGAGAGCAAGAAATCGTCTTCCAGTCTTTCTGGACTTTGAGCGCTAACCCACGTCTCGCCCGAGCTAGTCCCGTGGGGGAGGTCGCAGAGAAGTCTGGGGTAGCTCCAGTAGCGGCTTACTACGCCCTCGTACTAGGACTAGATGGGATCACCATCTTGGATGGGACAACTAACGAGGTTCATATGAAGGAGGACTTGGAGGGCATAGATGTGGTGGGTGCCTGGGCTGAGGGAGATGGCGCGGCGGATTGGGCTTCTGCTTTGGCCAGTTTCAGAAAGGTGATCGGAGAAGCCTAGCTGTGTTCTTTGATGGACAACCTCTATGACCTAGAAACTCGGTAGAGTTTTCTTGTTCCACTTTATAGGTACCTAGTCAACCAACTTTCTTTGTCGCCTGACTGGTATTTCACAGAGCCCTTCTACCTTGATACCTAGGTGGGCAGGCAGACAGGCCAATATCGTACCAGTCGCTGCTACTAGCCGGAGGTTGACCCGAGAAAATGTTCCTCCAACAAGGTGGTTAACAAGGCGGTTGAACCCTTAGAGTTGGCCATTCGCCCAAGACAACCGGGTTGCAAAATCTCAAGGTGGAAATCATGGACGGCCATGGAATTCCAATGGCAGTATATAATGCCCTCGAGCCGCCGTTCTATGGAATTATCTTTTATCACTCCCAAGAAACTACCACGGGTTGAGCATTGTTGGCACTTTCCGTGTGCTCTTTCCTTGACCACTTTCCTTGAGACATTCTCCATCGACAATCAGACCGACATCGTTGAATGACTGGTCCAGATTCACCATCAAACATTATCCATAGTTGAGCAAGAAGTGCATATCCTATTACTGTATCCCCAACCAGGTATCAACTTCACGGCAGAGTACCTATCCTGGGAGAAGCAATGGCAAACACCACAGGCAAGAAGCGCGCCCGCAAGTCGTTGGGATTCACGCATAAAAAACGACGTCGTGCGCCAAAAACTGGCTCGACTAGTCTAACACAGGCAGAGCAATCATCCCATCGACCATCCCCCCAATCATCTCCTCAATCATCCCCTGAGCCATCCCATCATTCGTCCATTTCGGTTTCAGGGTCTGAGGAGGCGTCGATAATCCAGCAGCTGGAGAGTCGCAATTCTCCAGTCCCATCCCGCTTCGACGAAGAAGATGAGGCGTATCAGGCGGCTTGTATCTTGTTCCAGCTTTCGAAGGGAGGATACTCGTCGCCTGGCGATTTAGTTGGCTGGTGCGAAATATGCTGCCCCATCTGCCGCCAGTTGGCGGGCAGCTCGAGGCTCCCAGGCTGTCAACTGCCTGGCAGCTGTTATCCGCCCCAGTTGGATTCTCAGTTTCTCCCACAAGGTGAATTCTTCTACCCTAGTGCACACACTGAGATTCCTTCAGCTGGAAGAAACACCAACGGAGCGGATTTTGTTCACAACTATCCTAGCTACCCACGCCACAACTACCCTTCTCGATCGTCATCGCCTACGTCAGGACGAAACTCGGCACCTCCATATTCCCGGCCTTATCAACATCTGCCACCCCTCTTGCAACACCGGGAAGCTGGATCCGGCTCTAACAGCACCGAGGCACTTCCCGCCTCTACGCCCTCCCTTACGCGGTCCAACAGCCCGGGCCAGCATTCGGGAAACGGGCTCTTGTATTCTGCCGCCTTCGCCGACCCCGAGCGGGACTTGGAGGGTACCATCTCCAACCCCGGGACCGACGATGGAGCGCAAGAATGAAGCAACCCACCGAAACTTCGGGCTTCGGCCCAAGCCGCCTGGTATGTCACCTTCTCATACCGTCCCGACGACTCACGCTGACCAGGTCCCAGATCTTCGCATCATGATCAGGCCGTATGAACCAGTCGAACCACTGGTGGTAACTTCGCAACCCTCTCCGATTAGCCAGGATGGGAACAGTAGCACCGCAGGTTCCCGCCGAAACTCGACTTCAACAGCATCGTCTTCGACACCATCCAAGAGCCCAGTAAATTCCGGTGAAACTTCCATCACGACCAACAATGGGACGTCCAGCTCCTCTAGGACACCCACACCCCCACTTCCCCGAAGAAAGAAGCGGAACAGAGCGAAAGCAGCCAGCACAACGAACTCAACATCTCCCACCACTACTGGTCCAGGTGTCGCTGGGACCAGTCCACCACATGGAATCGCAGAATTGTCTACTCTTCCGCCGAATCACTCTTTCAATCGTGCTACGCGGGAATTCTGGCGCCAGGGATCCCGAGCTGTTCGTCGCCCAGATGGTAGTGTGGAGGATATTGACGTTATCCACTGGATGATGACAAGAAAGGGTGGGATCAACGCCTCTTGGCCGCAGCTTAAGGATGGTCAGAGAGCGATTGAGACCATAGGAAAGGACACAATTGACCTCGGACGGATTTGGCACAAGTGCGCAGAAGAGCAAGAAGAGGAGAAACGTCTGGAGGAGAGGCGACTAGCAAACAAGCGTCGATACCGACCGAGAAGTGACTGGGCAAAGGAGAAGGCGGCTAAAAAGGCTGCGGCTGCGTCGGTTAAACAGTCTCGGGAGGACATGGAGATCGCTGGAGCTGACGGAGACTTGCAGAGTGGCAATGTTTTGGAAAAAGAAGAACCAGCAGCGAAGAGGCAGCGAGTGGACTGTGTTGACGAACCATGCGAAGCATAGGCTAGGTAGCATGAGGGTTACCTTGCGCACCTTGGCATGCCGGTTTGGGAGGAAGACGTCACCACTGTTTGTTAGCATCGCCTCTGCCGTCTGGTTAAGAAGTAGTAGAGTTGGCTTGTTTATCGTTTTTATTTCTTTTCATCGGTTGGCGACTCCTACTTTTCACCGTCCGCCCTTTGCGGATTTCTTTTTTCCTTAACGTCTATTCATTTAGCAAGTCTAGTTTGATTTATTTTTATTGTGGGATATCCTTTGCGAAAGTGTTTGCCACAATGAAAGGGAAACAGGCCGTGGCCTCGAGGTAAACCTGAGTAAGTTCGGGTTAGCATGTTGTAACGTATGCACACGAGACCTTGTGATTCTTACCTTAACGCTGTCAGCGCCAATCTTGATCTTTCCCCAGGAAACGGCCTCGTCTGGCCTTGCGCCGGCGTCACTGCCATCGAATTCTTGGGCGGTGTTGATGTAGACGGCTGACTCCGCACCATTGCGCATCAGACATGCGTTGGCAATGTGGTGCTTGACGAGCCCGCCACCCAGGATAATCATGCCAGCCCTCTTGGCCCGGACGGACATGGTGTTGATGCGGCGGATATCCTCGACGAGGTCGATCTTGAGTTGCAGGGGGGACGACTTGAAAGTGTGGAAATACAACATGTCGCCCAGGCTGCCGTCAGTGATGGCCGGGCAGAAAACTGGGATGTTGTTCTTATAGGCCCAGTAGTAGACAGAACGCTCGTCGTTGATCTCTTTGCCGAGGCGATGGATGACCTTGGAGGGCGTCCAGTTGATCTCCTCATCGGTACCCTTGCTGGCCTCCTGCTCCTCGAGCATTTTGTCGAGGATGGGAACGACCCAGTCCTCAAAGGCGCAGTAGTTGGCGTTGGGGACGACCAGGTTGCCGATGCGGTTGAGGCCCTTGCGGCGGAGGTCGGCACCGGGCGTGCTGAACGCGCCGATGTAGGTGTCCCCGAGACACTTGATGAAGTCCTCCTCGACGCCGCCGGCGGTTGTCACGATGGCCGAGACGTGGTTGTGCTCGACGAGCCAGCGGAAGACGCCGCGCAGGCCGGATGAGATGAGGTTGGATGTGTATCCTAGGAAGATGGTTGTCTTGTCACCCGTCTCTGGGTCTCTCCAGGCACGCTTCAAAGAAAAAGAATCAGAGTCAGCACAAACGTCATTTTTGTTGCCTTGTGAAATTCGATCATAAGCATCTCCAAGACTCCTTTGTTAGTGGCGGGGTTTGTCTGACCATGTCATTGATGATCCTCACGGCCTCGCACATGGACGAGGCCTGAAAACCCATGTGGCGCATGCCCTCCAGCAGGTCCTTGGCTGTGACAGGGCCCTTGATTTTGTTGAAGTCCAGCTCCTCCACCTTCTGGGCATCCTTGGGCATCTCCTCGGACTGGACGAGGACGGCGGCGGAGGCCGCGGCGGGGGGCGCATTGGAGGGGTCCATGGTGGCGGGTTGGCAGGTTGAGTGACTCGAATTTACAGGCGAGAGTGACGAGAAAAAAAATTAACAATGATCGAGAACAGCGCTGTAATAGTCGTCAAGTCAGACCCAGTAATGTATGGAGTGTATATATTACTTGGGTTGAGTTATCTCATGCACTGGTCTCAGACACGGGCCACTTTTTGGAGGTCGGTCTCTTGTTTCCGTTGGTATATTTTTTTCCGCAACCCGCTGACTCTTCACTTTCTTTTCGCCTCTTGTGAGAATAAATCCCGGCTCCGGGCTCCGCAGACGACCGACCACACGGCGGGGGCTATTGGGTCCTTGAGTCTTTGGCTTGTGGGCGTGGGGAGCAAAAAAGCCCAGCAAGGTCTTGGGCGTGGGCATAGCGCTCCACTGCCAGACCCGCCCGTTCTAGGACTAGCGCGCGGCGGCAGTTTTGGGACAAGCCCCAGCCCAAGCCCCATGTGGCACAGGCAGTCGATGTGAGCCACTAGGCGGTTCACGGTTCACGGTTCACGGTTTAGCGCACGCTGTCCAGTAAGATGCGCCGGCCACGCGACAGGAGCCCACTGGCCGGCCGTATTTTGTAGTGCTGAGGCTGCAAGGCCCCGGAACCACCCATCTTCAATCCTTCACCTTCAAACCCGCCCGTCGCCGGCCTGTCGCCATTCTCGCCCTTCAACACATCGCGCGCGCTCCGGCTTTCGCGCGTCTGCATCATTTGGTCGACGACTTCCAACTACGTTCGCTCGCTCGGCCTGGGCTCGTTCCCAGCGCCCTATTCGCCGCCTGCGCCCTGCAACTAACCCCCGTGCGGCTCTACGGGGGGGGACCTCGACGGACTCTTGGTTCCACTAGCCACGGTCGTGTCGAAAGTCAAAGTACCACCATCAACGACCATCTGTCAATCCAGTTCATGCAGACATCTCACCGGTGCATGGGCAGATCTTTATTTATCACCAGACGACCGAAGTCTAGGTCCTGCCATTCGTCGTAATGTACGTGCTGTCCTTTGCTGCTGTCGCTCACATCACGACATCTTTCCCCGTCATCCGCATTGGCAACAATTCCACCTTCGCGTAAATGTTGGTGCAGTCTACTGTTTCTGCTGAATCACAAAACCCAACCGTCATTCTAACCACGCCGTTCCCCATACTCACCTTCATTCTTCTTCTAGGGCTTCACGGTACTCGAGATACGAGCGATCCAGGTCGCCTCGAGACCGTTCTCCCGAGCGCTATGACCGTGCCGCGCAGTATAGCGATGGCGACAGGCGCCGTTCCTCTGCCGAGGTGAGGTCCAACAACTCGACCTTCGCACCCGCTCGCGAGTCGTTTGGCGACCCATTACGAAGGGAGCCCCCTCGAGGCCCCAAGGCGTTGATAGATCCACCCAGCGGCCCTCGAGGCGGAGGCTTCGCCGGGGACTTCAGAGGTGGTCGCGGACGCGGCCGAGGGCGCGGATGGTCTTCCAGAGATGAGAGTAGGGATCGCGGACGAGACCGAGACATCGATTATCGCGAGCGATACCGGGACGATCGGAGTCGAGAGCGCGAGCGCGATCGCGACCGAGACAGAGACTGGCGCGATGCAAGAGATTTTAGGGCACGACGTTCTCCTATCGGCCGGGCAAGGTCGCCAACACGAGATTTCCGAGATCGAGAGCGCGATGGACCCCTTGGAGTTGACGCGGATAGGTCTCGACGTGGCTCACGAGACGGCGGCCCTCCGTCAGCGGGCTCCTCATCATCAGACCCCCAATTCGGCATGTCACAATTCCCTCGCGGGGGTGGCTTCCACCGTGGCCGCGGAAGAGGACGAGGTGATTGGCCTGCCGATCGCGGTCGGGGAAGAGGACCGTATATGGACGATCGAGGCGACCGTTACCCGCGCAGCAGGTCTCAGGAGGGCCGCTGGGTTCGGGAACGGGAAGAACGAGATCGAATGGAACGGATGGACCGATATGGAGAAGCAGACCCCCGACGCGACCCTCGAGACGAACCCCCCCGTGAGCGTGAACTATTCCGGTCGAAAATGGAGGCTCGCGCAAACGCCGGACACGAGACTGCGCCTTCGAACAAGGAGGTCTCGCCCCCTCCAGTTGCACCGTCAGCACCAGCCTTTGGATCAGTTCCGAATAGAGCCTTGAGCGTTGGAGACGGTTACGCGCCAGCCAGTGCCGCCGGAAAGGCTCCTCCAACGGCCCCACGAGCCTTCGGTGACCGGCCTCTCTCTGCCGGGCATTCTGGCGGACATGAATCCTCTGTTTCTCAACCCGGCCTGGGCAAGCCCCTCGACAGCCCGCCCATCCCCGTTGGACCTCGCGCCCAACAGCAAAAGCCGCAACAACGCCCGTCGAGCAAGCAATGGATCAATCCCAACCTAAAAAAGGCCCCGGATTCTCCCAAGATGATGAGGTCGCCAAGTTTTGTACAGCATCGACCTCCCCCCCTTCGACCTGACAGCTCCCAGCATGACCACCACGATGACGACAGACGACCTCGCAGTAGTGATGCAAAGTCGGACTCTTATCTCTCCGGCATTGACAACCGAGCACGCTCCCAGTACAGCGCCGAGCCAGGAGAAATCACCGTCAAATCCGAGCGAGAGTCGCAATCAGCTCGGGTGTCGATGGATCGGGACATTCGGACTTCCAGGGATGCTAACCGAGGGGGACCAGGCCCATCGCCGACGATCGAAAGCGTGGCCAAGTTCCCTCGAGGTCCAACCGAGCGGGCCGACGAGTCTAACCAAGCCCAGAAGGACACACCGAAACGAAAACGGAGGGGGCCACATATTGCGGTTGTGAGATTCGAGCTACCGCCCAAGACTGCGCCGCCAGAGCAGAATTCCGAGTCCGACGATGATGACGACATGGCAGATTACTTTGCTATGGAAATCGAAAAAACCGAAGCGGAGTTGGCGAAGCTTGAAAAGCCGAAGCTACCTACCGAAGTGATGGCTCGCTTCGCTGCTCTATCTCATGGATCCATGGTTAAGATTCTCAGCGAAGGCGAAGGACTGATGGAAATGATGGGGCCATTATCCGAAATCGTGGTTCAATTGGACGAAGAAGTTGAGGAGGCCAAGGAAATCAAGGAGGTCAAAGAAACTGTTGAGATCAAGGAAGTCGAGCAGGTCACAGAAACTGTTGAGATCAAGGAAGCCGAGCCAGCCCAGATCGTGAAAGAGGTCAAGGAACTATCGTCTACCGTTCAGAGACCGAACATGGATTTGGATGAGCAGAAGATGGACATCGATATCGAGATGACCGACGTTCCTGCCTCTCCTAAGGTGCCAGAGGAGATTGAAGGACCCCCGAAGGAGCCTGAGAAGAAACTCGAGGAGATTTCCGAGAAGGCGTCTGAGAAGAAGTCCGAGAAGGAATCCGAGGAGCTCGTGGAGAAACAGCTCGAGAAGCAACTGGAGACGCAGTCAGAAACGCAATCCGAGACGCAGCTTGAGAAGCAACTTGAAAAACAGCTCGAAACTCAACTTGAGGAGCAGCTTGAAAAGCACCCCGAAAGGCAGCCCGAGAAGCCGCTCGAGAATCAGCCCGAAAACGACACCGGAAAACAGCTCGAAACCCAACCTGGCCATGAGATCGGTAAGGAAGATGCGAAGCAATCCGAAAAGCAGCCCGCAATGGAGCCCGAGCATGCCGCAGAGAAGGCATCGGAGACCGCACTTGCGAAAGAATCCGAGCCCATCCCAACTGTGGAAAAGGTGGAAGAGCCCGTGAAGGAGATCGCGAAGGAGACCGTCACAGAGACCATTAAGGAGACCGTCAAGAAACCCGCCAATGAACCCGTCAAGGAACCCGCTGCGCCACCGCTTGAACCAAAGACCGAGGAGATGGAGATTGACACACCGACCGCGGCAGTCCCCCCCACCCCCGATAACGCTATTCCTACTCTCGAGGTCAGCTCTAAGGGAGACGCAGTTCAGAAGCTCACTCCTGCCCCAGAGGCAGAGCTTGCGAAGCCCTTGGAGACCCCCCAAGAGAAGCCCGCACCTACACCTCTCGAGGAACCTCAGCCCGCCGACAATGCCTTGAACGTTCCGCTGGAAACAACTGAGGTAGCCTCCAAGCCACCAAGTACACCTTCCCAGGTTGACGACGACGAAACCGAATCAGAAGACGACTCCTACATGAACATCGACACTGTTCGGCAGTACATGGCCACCCCTCCGATTGACAGCCTGCCCGACTACAGTTGCATGCCATGGGACAAAGACAGAGATTTCCTCAACACATTGCATTCGGACTCGATCATCGATGAATACGTCATTGAGCAACTCGACAAGATCTCACTTGAGAAAACAACAGAACAAGACAGTGAACGTAAGATCTACGCGGATAATTACGAGCACTACCTTAAATTTACTGCATCGAACGACCCCGCCGCTGTCAAAAGCCGAGGCAAATTCTCCGTTTCAACTGCTGTTGAAGTACCTGGCACCGTAACGCCTGAGCAAAAGCACGAAGGCAGTGGCCGTGGTCGACGTTTTGCGACAGAACGGGACCTGGAGCGAGTCTTGCAGGCATCCATGCGAGAGGATGAAGAAAGAAGAGAGCGCGAGCTAAGGGCGCAGAAGGAGAAGTACCGCACCGAGAAAGAGGCCATTATCCCGGATATGATTTGGACAGAGGAAGACAAAGACAACATCCAATATCTTGACCAGTCTGGCTTTACCCCCCCTGAGAGGTTGGTCTCAGCATGGCGCGTTTTGCCTCCTGTTAACAATTTTACCGAGGAAGAATGCGGTCTGTTCGAGAAGCGATACTTGGAAGCGCCGAAGCAGTGGGGGCGAATTGCGGAGGCTGTGCCGCATCGAGACTTTGGCAGTTGCATCCAATACTACTACATGCGAAAGAAGGAGCTTAATCTTAAGGAGAAGCTCAAGAAGCAGCCTAAGAGGCGCAAGAAGGGTGGACGAGGCAAACAAAGATCCAGTGCGCTGGTATCCGAACTTGGGAATGGCGAACCCGAAGCCGAAGAGAACCACGAAACTGGAGAGAATGGCGAACGGAGAAGACCGCGACGAGCTGCTGCGCCAACATGGGGATTCGAGCAGCCCCCTGTTGATACTGAGAACTCAACGCCGTCAGGAACTCCGGGTCGCCGTGGAAATTCTGCTGCGGCCAAGGGCGATGGTGAGAAGGTCGATGGCAGGAAGGGACGACGGAAGGCGGCCAAGGATAAGGAGCCCAAGGCCCCTAAGGTTAACCAGACACTGGCAGCGGCTCCTGCAGCCGGGACTGGCAAAGGACGCTCACGATCGAACTCGCGGGCCCTCAACGTCGAGCCACAACAACCTCCTCCACCCCCCGAGGTTGCTCGCATGCCGACTCAGTTCGAGCAGCCATCGTCCATAATCCAGCCGCCGTTCCCCGTCCAGCCGTCGCAACAACCGCCCGTCCAGCCATTGGAAAGGGCCCCGCCTATTGTGTCGACTATTTCCGAAGTAATGGCAGCGCCTTCGCTCCGGCCGGAGCCTCCACCTCAACCGGCCATGACCACCTTCAATTTGGCTCAGCCGCAACAAGAACGGAAAGCGCCGACTCAAGCCTCAAGCTACTGGAGTGTGTCCGAATCTAATGACTTCCCACACCTCTTGCGGGCGTTTGGGTCGGACTGGACAGCGATTGCGGCTCACATGGGATCTAAGACGGCAGTGATGGTATGTTGAGTGTGTGTGTGTTCATTACGGACCGCTGCTAATAGTGTGATAGGTCAAGAACTACTTTGTCCGACAGAAGGACCAAGGTAAGACCGAATGGGAGGCCATCGTGCAAGAAGCAGACGGGAAACGAGCCAGAGGCGAGAAGCGGCCGGACCCCCCTCAGCCATCGACCAGCGGCCGAGGCAGGAGATACGATACCTCTGCGGCGAACGCGTCGAGGCCGCTTGCTGTTGCTCCTGGTATCGATCTACATAATGAACCGGTGCAAGGCAAGATGGACGCCGCCGGCCAACCTCCCCGAGGCCCACAGTTTGCGGGCGGCTACGGAGTTCCCATCGCACAGGCGCCAGTCCAACAACCGCTTGCTCAACCACAACAGCCGCCGTTGGCTATGCAGCAGCACCCACCGCCCCAACCAGTCTCGCAAGCGATGTCGCCAGGTCCAAGGCCTCTGCGAGCCCCTCCGTTTGGATTCCCTGACCGTGATCGTGAGCCTGTACAACAGCGAGTGCCGCTGCCTCAAAAGGCCCCGGCAGGTCCCCCTGTTACGGAATCTCGAGAGCAGCGACCGTTGGCGGCCGCACAGCCCCTACAACCGGCTCAGAACGACCCAATGCACGAACAAAATGCTCACACAGAGCGACAGAAGATGGAGATGATGCGGGAGCAGCAGCAGCAACAGCAGCTGCAGCAGCAACAACGGGAGCAGCAACAGCAGCAACAACATCAACAACATCAACACCACCAACAACAGCAGCAGCAGCAGCAGCAGCAGCAGCAGCAGCAGCAGCGGGAGAGGGAGAGGGAGAGGGAGATGTCTCGGCCACCAGAGCGGCAGACGCTTCGAGTCAAGCAAGAGCCTGAGGTGGCACCGCAGCAACACCACTATGAGCCTTTCGGTCACCGCCAACATCCAAGCCTTGGCCAGACTCTGGCACGGCCACCACCTCAAGAGACCGGTCGACCTCAGTCTTATCCTCCACCTGCCCAGCAGCAAACGCCTTCACAGCCAGTCCGAAACTTGCTCAGTGAACAGCCCCCTGTTCAGTCACCTCAGATGGGCACTCCTACCAACCGGCCAATCTCGTCGCTGCAGCAAAGGCAGTCATCGGGCTCAATGCAGCAATACGGTTCACCACCTCAGGCTAATACCCCTACTCCGGTGGCAGCAGCACCACCGCCTCGGCCCTCGGAGCCTCGAAAGGGACTCAACATCATGTCATTGCTCAATGACGATGCGCCGCCGCCACCGAAGCGGGTCACTGAGGTCGTTAGCACTCCTGTGAGGCCGTCACCGACCCCTCCACCTCAAAACATGGGTCGCCCACCTCCCCCTCAAATGCGTCGGGAGCCAGAGCCTCAGTATCCTCCGTACGGCCGAGCACAGTCTGGACCGTCGGGAATGCCATCCCTCAAACCGACATACGCAGAATCGCCTCAGCCTCAGCATATTGGTCTTACAAGAGCATCGCTTGGAGTGTCAGACCCAGCTGTTGGGGAGAGGGACTATTACCGCCAAAACCCATACCAGCCAACGCAGCCAAGCGGAACAAACTCACCCCAGAGCGCTCATCGCTATCCTCCCCCGAGCCAACCAGGACAGGTTCAGTACCAAGCTGGATATCCGACATCGTACGGAGGGGGCCAACAACCCCATGGCAGCTCGCCAACTGCCCAATACGCGATGCATCCGTCGTCATCTCGGTCGCGTGAGGTCCCTCAGAGCGGCCGTGAGAACTCGTGGCCACCTGCCCACCAACAAGGCCCACCGAGCCTTCAACAGCCGACTGGCTGGCCGTCACAACCTCCCCCGAATACCTCACAGCCTCCCCAGCAGCAATCGTGGTCATCTCAGCATGCCGTCACTAAGCCGGCAACGCCAGCACCCTCCTGGTCGTCGGCACCAGCACCACCCCCCCAACAACAGCCTCATCACCTGTCCATGAGGGACGATGGGCGCAGCGGGCCGTACTATGGGTCGGCGCCGCCGCAGCAGCCACCGCAGCACCAAATGCAGGGACGATATCCGCCACCCACATCGCGAGGACAGGAACCTGTCCAGCAGCCAGCCCAAGCCTACCCTCGGTATGCCTCTACTCCAGGGCCGGCCCCTCGGGATCCTAGAGAGATGCCGGGCCGTAGCTACACTCCTGGTGGATATGACGCGCGTGGCCCACCGCAACAACCGGGTCCTTACCCCGGCCCAGACCCTCGAGACATCCAAATGAGAGATGCCAGGGACCCCAGGGATCCTCGAGACCCTAGAGACCCCCGAGATCCTCGAGATCCTCGCGACCCTCGCGATCCTCGAGACCCTCGTGACCCACGAGAGATGATGGCTAGAAATCTACGACCACCTCATGAATATGACAGACATCCTGATCAATACCGAAGATGAGGAAGAGGAGGATAGCGAAGAAGAGAAGAGAAGAGAAGAGAAGTGGACTTGTATATCATTCGGTGGAAAGTGTGTCAACGTTCGGCGCATGACGAAGGGACGTTTGGGTTGGGATGGAATGGGCAGGGCCAACTTGTAACTATATAGCCGTGCTTTTTTTCCTGTGTTTAAAATACGTAGATACTTTTGAAAGATATATGTGAGAAGCCAAGATGCATTGAAATCCCTGTTCCGAAATTAGTGTTCATTGTGACGCCGTAAGTTAGTTGTCATGATTCTACTGAATTCTAGTGGGCATGTGCCATGAGCAGTGACCCGACCCCACCGAACGCCACAACGCCCCGCCAAATTCGCGTCTCTCTATTTCCCCACGCGACAGCCATCGTCGTCAACATCCCGACCGCACCGACAACAGAAACCATGGCGTCCAACCCACGGTCCGCGTCCGCCATGGGCGCCCACGAGAAGACGTACTTTGAGCAGCAGCGCGAAGCCCTCATTGGCGAGATTGCCATGGTGTGCCCAGATCCTCGTCCGGAGCGTCACTCGGGACTCGCCCCGAACCAAACGCTGACATCATCGCCTCCGGGCTGCATAGAGCTTCGAGCACGTCCTAGCAAACATCAACAAGTTGAACCGGTCACTGGAGGCTGTCATTGCGGTAGGTTACTCCCAGGTACCCTTGGCCTGCTCGTGTGGCGTGGATAGCTGATGGGAGACGATGGGTAGGTCGGCAACGAGTTCTCGTCGGTCGAGGCGCTGTGGTCGCAGTTCGAGACCGTCATGGACAAGGATGGCGAGGGCGAAGGAGAAACAGTGAAGCAGGGGGAGCAACATGGGCAGCACGAGGGCGGGAAGCACGAGGAGGCCTGATGGGACGAACTGAACGGAACTGAACTGGATTGATTGATACCCAATGGCTGCGAAGGTGCACGAAAACGCTACTGCTCGCTCAGGTCGAGATGTGGATATATACAAGCGCGCATGGTTCTTCTAGAGGAAATCCCTTACACGCTTCACAAAGGGGTGACGTGACATGCTATGCGTGGCAGCTTGGACTTCACGGCAGAGGAGACAACTTGGCAATGGCTTTGAAGATGTTTTGTATGTCCTATCCCAACCCAATGACTCAACGGAATCATGATACAAACAGAAAAATGAAATAAGAACAAGAGGAAGAAGCACCCGGCCGCATGAAACAATCACCCATATGCCCATCGAGTACATAAAAAACAACCCGTATTTCTCCTCCCTCTCCCCTGAACCAGCCCCGAATAGCCCGTCTTCTAAATCATTCCAAAGGCCGACGCGCGCGCTTCCCCTATGTACCATACCATACCATCCAGGTCCCTTCTGTCCCCGTTCTCCGAGATCTACACTTCCTCGTCTGGTCGAGGGAGCGCTTCCCAGCGACCTCGGAGGGGTTCGTCCCGGTTGACCATCGCTGGCGGGACTTCCTCGTCAGCGTGTAAAAAGCAACAGAGCAAAAACATAAGGTGCAATCGTTATAAGAAACAAGATTCATGCGATGGTCATTACAACTCTTTATGCCGGTGTGCCCAACTCGCCTGTACCTGTCTCCCCTCTCATAGAAGGGGAGCGAGCGAAGGAGGTGCAAAAAATGTGTTAAGATCTCTCTTCGAGATGCTGTCTTCTAGCAGTTGGGGCTGCTTAGAGGAATTGGCACTTTCTCTTCTTCCTCTTGACGACTCCAACGCCAGGAAGCGATGACCTCCCTTCGTGGTTTGAACCGGAAGCCGCGGAAGCTTCCATGGTTTTTCGGTCGTTGGCGACAACGGTGAGAATGGCTCGCTCAAAGATCTCATCGACTCCGCGCATCTCCTTGCTACTGCACTCCATGTACTGGGCGCTCATCTTCTTGGCCACTGCCATGCCTTGCTCTGTAGTGACGGGAGTAAGACCCTGGGTCTTGAGCATGTCTATACAGGTCCTCTTGTAGCGGAGATCCGACTTGAGGGCGACTAGGACGAGAGGAGTGTAGGGACAGAAGTGAAGGACCTCGGGATACCACTGTCAAACGGCAGGGTCAGTATGGGATTTGGAAGAAGCGATGTGCGGTTTCTGGAAATGCGTACCTTGTCTAGCACATTGTCTAGTGAGTTGGGGCAGTCGATGGCGAAGCAGACAAAGATGAGATCAGTCTCCGGGTACGAGAGTGGTCGGAGACGGTCATATTCTTCTTGGCCGGCGGTATCCCACAATGCAAGCTCCACAGTCTTACCGGTGGGCGGATGGGTAGGGTATGTGATGTAGTTTTCGAAGACGGTAGGGACGTATTTCTAATCATGTCTGGTTAGCCACTGTTGCAGGATAGGCATTGGCCCAAACACAATGGACAATTGCGCATCAATGTCCTTGTTCTTGTCCATGCCAAGTCATCATGCCACTCACCTCGGGGAAATAGCCTTGGCTGTAGCTGATGAGCAGGCAGGTCTTGCCGCAGCCGCCGTCGCCGACGACGACAATCTTCTTGGAGTAGGTAGGCGCCTCCGTCATGTGAGTCCCCGCCGACTCGCGGCCCGTTGATGAGCTCATGGTGGTGCTGACGGTGCCCTCGCTGGAGCGTTGCTGGCGTCGTGGCTGTTCGGTATCGTAGTACGAGTTGCTGTACTGGTACGATGATGCCATGCTTGAGCGCAGGGCTTCGTTTGGAGAGAGAGGGCGCGAGCGACAGTTGTCTCAGGCGTCAATGTCGCCCAAGAATGCGGTGACGTTGGGTTGGAGAAAAGAGGCGGGCGGCTGGTTCAGTCGAATACCACAGGGCAGGGAACGTAATATACTGGGCGCAGATTGCCAGACAAGGGCAGACAGCAACGTATTTCGACGTGGAGGCGGTGGCCGTTGATGCGTTGTGCGGGGGAGAACAGGTGGCCAGCCGATTGTGAGTATACAGATGGGAGACGAAGAACCGAAAGATGGGATGCAGGTCAGGAAGAAGAATGACTGTCGCAAGTTGGAGCAGCGCCTGACTTGACCAGACCGAGTACCTATCAAGTGGCTTTGTCTTGTTGCTCGCTCGCACCTGGTCCCTGTTGCGTCGCACCTGTTGCACCAGTTACCGGCTGTAAACAAGTTGGCAGGGCAACCGAAGGATCCTCGCCTCGCTTCAACGTTTCCAGGCCCCAAGGCCCCAAGGCGCCAAAAGTTGAGGCCTGGGGGGAGAAAATTGGGGAATACGGCCCGTGCACAAAAGCGCAAGAGAAAATTTCCCACGCCAGTGATTAGGTCGGACGCGTTCTCGTCAGTGCATCTTCCCGACAAACCTGCATACTCCCACACACACCAAAAGCTGGTTACTTTTCCTACAGCCGCCTGCTCTGCTCATTGGAGCACCGTCACAGACGCAATGGACGCTCAAGCACCCAGCAAGTATATCACGCTCGTTTCCGCCGATGGATTCGAGTTTGTTGTGCTCCGAGAAGCCGCCATGGTGAGCCCCATCATCAAGGGCATGCTGGACGTGAGGAGTAGGTGAACGCACTTCCAACATACGGCACACTCGCTACACTGCGCTACGCTACGCTATGCTATGCTACGCTCGTCTCGCCTGGAGCAGAACAGCAGCAGCATCAGCAGCGGTAGAGTGGACGAAGCTTGGACAGGAGATTGAGCCCAGCTCACACAATCTACAGGCCAGTTCGCCGAGGCCAAGGACGCCCGCTGTGTCTTTCAGGAGATGAGGTAGGTCATTGCCATCCATGTGCTGCCCGCTGGTTGTTTGCTTTTTCCCCCTTTGCCTCCCCCGGCTTCCATGACGGCCTCCGCTGCGCCCAAGCTCCCGCCTGACCCGGATTGATGACAATAACCTGCTGTTTCTTGACAGAACCACTGGCTTTGCCCTGTGGTTCTGGTTGATTGCTCACTACACTTGACCTGACCGCATCTGAACTCGCGCTTCGCACTTCCATGGGAGAAAAAAGGTCAGAGGCTGATTGCGGGTCACAAAACAGTGCAATGGTTCTTGACAAAGTGGTCGAGTACTTCCACTACTGGTACCGATACCAGAACAGTGAGGACGTTCCTGACATGGACATCCCCGTTGAGCTTTGCCTCGAGCTCTTAGCTGCAGCTGATTACCTGGGCCTGGACCAGTACGCACCCCGACCACCCTTCCCGGGCGGGATGCATTGATACTAATTTCGGCCAGGGCGAACATGAGCATGAAGTGACATGACCAAAACATTGGCTTTGTCTGTCACGTGTGCATCTTCTGCTATTTTATCTGCATTCATCAATACCTGCATGCGCCATTGTCGGGACGCAGCGAGCATATGGGAGTATTGGAGTTGGGACGGTAAGGCTACTTGTTTGATTTCGATGTCCGTCTTCCTGGCTAGACAAAGTGTGCAATCGAAGGATGATTGCCGCCGTTCACGAATAATGACGATCACATCACCACAAGCCACGATGATGGCCTCTGACCCAACCACGACCTGGGACTCTCGTGATGTTTATATGGCGATTGATGAGCTATCTCCGCTCAATACTGCTTTCTTTGAAACACCATTTCAGCATATGCGTTCCTCCCTTCTACTCCTCCATGGGTTGAACGTCTATTAGACTTGGAAGATCGATGTATCCCTCTCACTCTGCGTGGCTCAGTTGACGCATTGAGACTTCGCTTTTTCTGCAGGGCAACAAACCGTATACTATATCTTGATTTCATAGCACTTAAGCTGTTTCGTTCATAGACATGCAAAGGAATTTGGCAGTCTATTGTAAAGGTCTTGACAAACTTGCGTGGCTTCAACGTGCTAGATTTCTGAGTGAAAGTCGTCTCAATCTACTTGATCGTAAAAAAAAATCGAGTTGTACCAGTATGCTGCTCGTTCTTGCTACGTCAGAGTATTCTTGTCTGTCCTGATCCTGCCGGTTGTGCTTGATGCAGTGTGTTGAGCGCCAGTTCCATTTGGTGGTGACTGGAAACCATCAAATTGCCGGAGCCTTCTTTCCCAGGCGCCAAGGAACGGGCCTGACCTTGCAACTACACCGCGATCCCACCCACAGTGATGGCTACCAGCACATTTGAAACGCAGGGCGTCCGTGTCGCTGTCGAAGGCTGCGTAAGTCGTATTCTTCCTCTGCTCGTTATTCCGCTTACTGAACTCTCTTCGCAGGGCCATGGCACGCTCAACGCCATCTACGCCTCCGTGGCAGAGTCGTGCAAGCACCGTGGCTGGGATGGCGTCGATGTTCTAATCATCGGCGGCGATTTCCAGGTTGGTATTCTACCCACTCACTGCCGGTAATTTTGTGCTTACAGACACATCTAGTCCTGCCGAAATGCTGCAGACCTGAGCATCATGTCCTGCCCGGTCAAGTACCGCCACCTGGGCGACTTTCCACAGTACTACTCGGGAGAGCGGAAGGCTCCCTACCTGACCATCTTCATTGCCGGTAACCACGAGGCAAGTTCGCACCTGTGGGAGCTCTACTACGGCGGCTGGGTCGCACCCAATATCTACTATCTCGGCGCCGCCAACATCCTTCGTCTCGGCCCTCTGCGCATCGCTGGCCTGTCGGGTATCTGGAAGGGCTTCGATTACCGCAAACCGCACCACGAGCGCCTGCCCTTTAATTCTGATGACGTCAAGTCGTGGTACCACGTCCGAGAATTTGATGTGCGCAAGTTGCTTCTCGTTCAAACCCAGGTCGACGTAGGGTTGAGCCACGACTGGCCACGTGCCATCGAGAAGCATGGTGATCAGGAATGGTTGTTCAGAAAGAAGCCGGATTTCCGACAGGAGTCCAAAGACGGATCCCTTGGAAGTGTGGCGGCGGAATACGTCATGGACAGGTTGAGGCCCCCGTACTGGTTCTCAGCCCATCTGCACGTCAAATTTGGGGCTCTCAAGACCTATGCCGATGAGCAAGTTAATGAGGCTGATGAACCCAAACTTGAAGCTGTCTCGGTGGCTCCTGCTGCTAAAGAGAGCAACCCAGACGAGATTGACCTTGATATGGATGATGACGATGAAGAGGAGGACATGAAACCAGTGACACCTGAGGCTAACGCGACGGTGCCTGTTAAGGAAGAGATGAGTGAAGTTTCGGAGGAGTTGAGAGCTCAACTTCCTGCTTCCTTCGCCCGGCCACAAGCAAAGCGGACACCTGGCCAACCCGTACCACGGGGAATCACGAATAAGGAAGTCCGATTTTTGGCCCTCGACAAGTGCCTTCCAGGGCGGCATTTCCTCCAGCTCTGTGAGATGCAACCTATGAAGCCGGAGATGAATGCCGAGCACCCACCCAGTGAGAGTTCGCCGCGCTATCGCTTACAATACGACCCAGAGTGGTTGGCAATCACTCGAGTCTTTCACAAGTCCCTTGTCATCGGTGACCCAACGGCGCAGACCCCACCGGATCTGGGAGAGGAGCACTACCTTCCTCTCATGGAAGCAGAGAGAGCATGGGTCGAGGAGAATATTGTAAAGACTAACAAGCTGGATGTTCCAGAAAACTTTGAAGTCACGGCTCCGCCATATATCTTGGGAAATCCTGAGATTGTGGAGGAGCAGCCGGAGGAGTACAGCAACCCTCAAACAGTACTTTTCTGTGAACTGCTGAGTATTGAGAACATCTGGGATGCATCCGAGGAGGAGAGGCAGGAGAGAAAAGCACAAGGGCCGTCGCCGTCGCAAAGAGGTGGTTTCGGCGGAGGAAGAGGGTTTGGCCGTGGTAGAGGAGGTCGTGGTGGTGGCCGCGGCGGAGGACGAGGGAGAGGACGAGGGAGAGGAAGAGGCAACAGGGGCAGATGGTAACAGAGAAACCAGGGTTTACGTCAAAACTGCAAAGAAGCTGGGACTCTTTTGCTGAAAAAAGGAAGAAGGAGAAAAGACTGAGATATTTTATTATTCTAGTGAGAATTAGCAGCCAATATTCGATGAGGGTGGTAGGTGGTATTGGCGCTTACCAAAGTGAGGCTGAACGGTTGGTGGTTTAGTTGGTGCCTACTCATCTGGCTAAATTCGACCACGTTGCTCCTACTTAGACCCTTGACCTTGATTCAAATTCGACAGGCCGCAGCTCGTCACGGGTAAAGATACGCATAATTTCAATTTTTCCAGAGAGTCAGATATGAGTTCAACCCTGAGCCACGACACAGCGGGTCCGCAACCTTTCGTTTATGACGCTCTCTCAACATCGTGCATCAGACTCCTCGAGCGCGCGGGCAGAGATCCTGATGGCACATTGCGGTTCAACATCCGAGTCTGCAACATTGATAGTGAAGACCTACAGTACCATTGCCTGTCCTATACCTGGGGAAACCCGCACGCAGATGGCATCTACGGACTCGATCATTTCAACGCGGTCAATGCGGAATACATGCCCGAGAACGGGGTGCCCGTTCTTGTCAACGGGAAAGTGCTCTATATCCAGAAGAACCTCCATGACGCCTTGAGCACCGTGCCCGGTACAGCGTACGTGGATGAATTGAACAGGACGATTGGGCAGGGCCAAACGTATCTCCACTTCGCAGCAGGGAAGGGCCTTGCGAATATCGTTAAGCGGCGTATCAGACGGGGAATGCGGGTGAATACAGCAGACGATCGAGGCCGGGGGGCACTTCATTATGCTGCGGAAAATGGACACGCTGACTGTGTCGAGATCTTAGGCAAGGCCGGGGCAATATTGGGAGCAAAGGATAACCTGGGGAAGGCGGCTATGGACCTTGCGATGGCTGGGGGCCACGATGAAGTTATCTCGGTGCTTGACAATCTTTCAGACCGACCTGACTCGGAGTTGCCGACTATTTCCAAGGATTCATTTGGTGCAGACGATCTCATCTGGGCGGACGCGATATGCATCAACCAGAACGACATTGACGAGAAGAGCGCACAGGTGAGCATGATGGATAGGATTTATTCACGAGCCACCTTCGTGCTGGCCTGGCTCGGCCCAGACGATGACGAGGTGGAAGTAGGACTCAAGACACTGAAAACGCTGGCAACACACATCGACAAGTTCCAGCAGAGCCAGATCGTGCCTTATGGCGGACAGGACAAGGAAAACTACGAAGCCGCTGGAATGCCCATCATATCCTTGCCTGAGTGGATCGCGTTGGCGGGTATCTTCCAACGCCAGTGGTTCAAGCGTGCATGGATCGTACAAGAAGCCGTTCTGCCGGATACCCTGCTCATGTACATTGGGAAGCGGAAAGTGGCCTGGTATGATCTCGGGATGGTGGCCGAGGCGTTGCGGCGTAACGAAGCCAAGTTAGGGACGTCCCGATCCAAGAACTTCGTCCATGAGAGCCAAATTGGCGTCGCTGTGGAATGGAACATGGCCGAGATGTACAAGTGGCGGACATTCATGAGCACAGCAACGGGGCCGGATGCAGAGAAAGCTCTACTATACAGGAAGACGTTTACGCTGGAGGAGCTGGTGCACTGCTTCTGGACGTTTCTGGCGTCGAACCCACGGGACAAGGTATTTTCGCTGCATGGTATTATGAATGTGTTTGGCGAGAAACGGCAGAAGTCGGACTATCGACGGTCGGTGGCGAGCGTCTACGCAGAAGCAGCAAGGCAGATTATGCTGGAGGCGGGAAGTATCACTTTGCTCTCGAGCTGCATTTTCTCTCCTCACCGACGCGAAGACCTGCCGAGTTGGGTCCCGGACTTTGGGTTGCCGGGAGTCAATGCGATCCCGAATCTCTTTGCGGCAGACAAGGGGCTCGAGTACCGGCCACTCAAAGCTGACAGACTTGACAGTCCGATATTGGGACTGAGGGGGTTTCGCCTAGGGACGATTAGCCAGGTTGGAAATAGGCCGGCCTCAAGACCTGGAGATAAGTTTCTCTTTGACCCGTCGTGGTTGAAGCTGGCGTTATCCATAAAGGCGAGCGAAGCGGATGGGGATAGTTCTCGTCTCACAGATACTCTTTGGAGGACCTTGTGCATGGACATGTCCTATGGGAGTTTCTTCGACGCCCAGAAGTTTGGGCCACGAGCCCCCGACGACTTTGGTCACCAGTTTAAGATATTCACCATGCTTATGATTCTTGCCGCGGCAGATGCGCAGGTACTGAATCACTTCGGAGTCGACAAACCGCCGGTTGGTGGCCGGGTCTTCAAGGTCATCCCTGAGCCTTACAACCCTTTCGAAGACGGCATGGCGACTGTTCTCGACGACCTTGACGCTCTCGCAGCCTGCGACGGCGACGAACGCTGCACGCCTTCGCGCGAAGAGGTCACTGTGCTGTGGGACAGCTTTCAATACACCGTCTCTCGACTAACACGCGCGAACGCAGACGGCAGCCCAGTTGACGTCTACTTCCCGGCCGACGTCATGAGCGGCAAGGCGCGAGTGGTGGGCGACGGCCAGATGGAGAGGGGCAGCCAGCTATTCAAGAGTTGTTCGAGCTTCGCGACGGCATTCGACGTGGCATACGGCGGAAGACAGCTCTTTACGCTGGAGAGCCGGTACTTGGGGACGGGGCCACTGTCGGCCAGGGCTGGGGATGAGGTGTGGATCTTGCCGGGGTTGAGCACGCCGGCAGTTCTCAGGGAGACTGTAGAGGAGACTGTGGAGGAGGCATTGGCCAAAGTGTCGCTCGACGACAAGTGCTCTGCTCGCAGATATCACTTTGTAGGCGCCGCGTATGTGCATGGGATCATGCATGGCGAAGCGGCCGACGGTTCACAGGGGGAGCATCTGGAAGAGATTGAGCTGGTGTAGAGCTGACGCTGACTAAACCGGTTCACCCAGCCATGCCGACAGGCAGAACAACAACGAGCGATAAACAATGGACGGGCAATTAATTAATCTTCATGGATGCATGTTGATGGGGTTGAGGCTTGTTCCATATAAGTTGAGGAAGCGGGGCAACAGCCGCAACACGTTTTGTAGCGGCGGCTCCGTGGCAACCACGCCCAATTAGGAAATGGTGTAAACAATTGGGCACCGTCATCGCCAGCCAGCGAGCGCGGGCCTCTGGTCACACGCCAACGTTCCGCAACTCACAGCCCGCATTCCGCATTCCGCAAACCGCATCCACCATCACCACCACAACATCCTCCCCTCAGCAGCAATACCGACCACCTGAACACGCTGCACGCCGCGTCTCGACCTCAGAGACAACTCCGTCACCTGCCTGTCTTGGCAACACACTGCATTGTTCGTCGCCCTGTCCACCCACATGCCCTCAATTGCCCCGCTAACCGTTGGAATGTAGCGCTGCATCTCCTCGAGGCATCGACGTCGCCGCCGACCGCTGCCATCATGGCTCAGTTCTTGACTACCGTGTTAGTCCACTCCCCTCAGACTCCGAATCCCATCATCCCCCGTCATCGTATCGCCATGTCGTTGTTCCGATACCTCAGCCCCAAGTCCTTGTCGACTATGACCCAGATGGAGACGACCATCATCCCTGTCTCCCTCTCCATAGAAACGCTGCCTTACGTCGACGAGAAAGTAGCTGACCTGGACATTGTGTCCGATAGTAACCAGCGGACGAGGAACCAGTTTCGCCCGCGCGTGGGCAAGGGCGGCGCGGCCAGTTACCAACTGCGACAGTATGCCGAGGTGACGCTCGGTGGCGGGAGCCTGCGCAAGGTCGTCAAGCTGCCCGAGGGCGAGGATGAGAATGAGTGGCTGGCTGTCAACAGTGAGTGAACAATGACCAGGGAGGCGGGCGGTAAACGAGACTGACGGAGCATAGTGGTGGACTTTTACAACCAAATCAACCTCCTCTACGGCGCAATCACCGAGTTCTGCTCGCCGCAAACGTGCCCTGAGATGAAGGCGACTGATGAGTATGGCTACCGACACGGAAAGTGCCGTCGATGATCTAGGCTAACCTGCGACAGGTTCGAGTACCTCTGGCAGGACAGCGAAAACTACAAACGTCCAACCAAGATGCCGGCCCCGGCATACATCGAACAACTCATGGCATGGGTTCAGGCCAACATTGACAACGAACAAGTCTTGCCCAGCAAGATTGGTAGGTGGTCCCTCAAGCGACTTGACTTTGGTATCCCTCTCTTACACTTCTTCTAGGCGTTCCCTTCCCCAAGTCCTTCCCAGCGCTCGTGCGCCAGATCTTCAAACGCATGTACCGCGTCTACGCCCACATCTACTGCCACCACTACCCCGTCATCCGGGAGCTGGGTCTCGAGCCGCACCTGAACACGAGCTTCAAGCAGTACGTGCTCTTTGTCGACGAGCACAGTCTGGCGAGCGGAAGAGACTACTGGGGACCCCTGGGTGACCTCGTGGACAGCATGCTGAAGAGCGATTGAGCAAGAGGCGCTGATGGACACGATTTGGGGAGTTTTTGGCGTTAGGGCAGGACCTTAGATGACAGTGCATGTTAATTACACGACCATTATGATGAGAGTTGGGACGGATAGTGTCGTGTTGACTGCGAACGGAGCCTGATGAACCGGACCTCGGGCCACCTTCCAATCGTCTGACTATAGACCACGTAAGACTATTCAAGTGTGGTCGACCAACCAACACCGACTTCAGTTCTGCAAACACAATACTGAATCCCTCATAGCAAATGAGATTTTATGTCATAAAAGACAAGACAGCTCATAACGAAGATTATACCAGAATTAACGACTCACTCCAACCTCCCTGGTTGATATGTTGATGCTGGATGTGTTAGAGACATCCAACCAGATCACAGAGTGATAACAAGCCCGCATTAACTACATCTGTTGAATCCATTTCTTGAGGGAGATTTCGAGGTCCAGAATGAATAGGTACACAAAACGAATGAGAGCCACTACCTAGGTATGAAGGTCTCACTCTGGATTCCGACAATTCCTGGGGAGCGCGTGTTATGTAATCGTCCAAAGTGGATGCCTGACGGCGCCCAGGCATCAACGCCCGAAAATTGCCGAGAGCAACAACTTGGAGCATCAAAAACCCGGGAGCTCTACGGCCTCATCATCTCCCTCCCGCCCTCCGCCATCGCCAATTCGCCCTCCCGAACCAGCAGCAGCCATGTTCTCGCGACAAGTCCTCCGCTCCGTCCGGGCCGCCGCTCCCCAGCGCGCCCTCGCCCTCCGCGCCGCCCCCGTCCGCTCGTTCGCTGCCGCCGCGGCTCCCACCGAGGTCAAGGCCCCCGTGGCCGTCTTCGGCGTCGACGGCACCTATGCCACCGCTCTGGTAATCGCAGCCTCCCGCCCAGAGTCGTCCCAACGTCCGACGCTTGGCCCGCCGAGGCCTTTCTCGTCCCCGGTCGACCCCAATTGGCTTCGCGAATGCCCTCGTCGGGTCCCCGTGTCGGGCCAATGGATGTCTGCGTCGCCGTCGCTAACATTTTTGCGTCAATTTAGTACACGGCTGCCGTCAAGACCTCGACCCTCGACCCCACGGCCAACGCCCTCACCAACCTCGGCGCCCTCCTCGAGAAGGACCCCAAGCTGGTCACCATCCTCGCCGCCCCTACCCTGACCGACGCCGACAAGTCCTCCATCGTTGAGGAGCTCGTCAAGCAGTCCGGCGCCTCCAGCGAGACCGTCAAGAACTTCCTCAACACCCTCGCCGAGAACAACCGACTCGGCCTCCTCCCCGGCGTCGTTGAGAAGTTCGCCACCCTCATCTCCGCCGCCCGCGGCGAGGTCGAGGTCACCGTCACCAGCGCTCAGGTACGTGTGTCGCAGGCCGTCGGATATACGAAGGAGATGCGAGGGAGGGATGGGCTTCGCCGCGCTTGCAATATGGGGTACGGAATGATGAATCAATGTGCTGACATGTCGTTTCCAGCCTCTTGACAGGCGCACTCTCAGCCGATTGGAGACTGCCGTCTCCAAGTCCTCCTACATCGGTGCTGGCCAGAAGCTCAAGGTCACCAACACTGTACGTTCCACCTCGAACCTCAGCCAATTCCACACAGGAGGCCACCCCATCCAAGACATGCCCTCCTAACATCAACATCTAGGTCAACTCCGACATCGTTGGCGGACTCGTCGTCGAGATTGGCGACCGAACCATTGACCTCAGCGTCTCCGCCCGCATCGCCAAGATGAACAAGCTCCTGACCGACTCCCTGTAAAATTACCATAGTACAACTACCTCTTTAGTCTCCTTGCCTCGTCTCATGGGCTCGGCCTTGGCCGCTCACCCACCACATCCACGGCCCATCCAGCTGCTGGGCTCCGACTTTTCTATCCCGAGCGCTCTGCCGCTACGGGGGGTGTCGATGGAATGAATAGTGTAGGAGGGTGTGCATAGGGCGCGCAATAAATGCAATCCCCCCCGGCCATTGACTCTTTTCTTCATTCCGTGAATATCTTGTTTGTGTGTAGGCGCTATTACTGTTTGAGGTTTGACGGGGTTTTTGACAAGTATTCCAAACTATCCAGCCTCAACATTCAAGAAGTCAATCGATCCAGCACATTTCACATAAGGGTAAATTCCAAAAACACTCTACTCAGGCGGTTGTATGCTGTGATTCAATTTTTCCCCGAGATACAACGACACCGTATTTTAATCGTCAACCAGTCCCTGTCGTACATGCGCTTCTAGTAATGGTCTAGACTCGCTATGTCAATGCTCAACATTCGTATTCGCTCTTCTCCTGATCGCCACGTCCATCCCTGGGCCCTTCAAGATGATGCCTTGGCTTCAAACTCATCGTCATGTTCGTAGTTGCCCGAGAGACTCTCGTCCCTGTATCTGCTCAACTGCTCTGAGATGTAGCTATGCATGTGACCATCAGCCACGCTCCGCTCTCTGACCCGTTCTGGATCATCGAGGCGGACTGAATTGGCCGAGTGACTGTCGTCATCAAAGTCACTACGTGCTCCGATTGAGCGTGCCGTAGACGACCGTCTTAGACGAGGCATGCCGTTAGCATGGGTGCCGTGATCGACGGTCCGGCTGACCATTTCATCAAAGTAGTGTGACATCCCGATAGATGGCGTTCGAGGGGTTTGGGGGAGACGACAGTTGACACTGACTGCAAGTTAGCACTTCACCCAATTTCCTTTTCACAGAAAGAAACTTACCCAGTATCGTGAATCATGCGAGCAATGAGTCCTGTCCAGCCACACTGGTGACTGGCACCCAGACCACGCCCAGAATCACCGTCGAAGAATTCGTAGTACCAGAGGTAGTCCTTCCAGTGCTCGTCAAAGTCGAGCCGATCGTCACCTCCGTTGATGCTTCGCCGGCCGTCGTCAGTTCGAGCAAAGAGATGTTGCAGACGGTGCTGGATCTCTTCAGCAACCTTGCCCAAATGCATGAAGTCCCCGCTACCAGTTGGGCACTCAACCTGAAACTCAGGTCCGTAGAAGAGGAAGAAGCGCTGCAGCGACTCGACCAGGAGGAAATTGACACACAGCCAGATCGGACCTCTCCAGTTGCTGTTTCCGCCGAAGAGCCCACTGTCAGAGTCGCCTGGCACGTATCCGACTGCAAACTTCTGCCCATTGACGTCCATCGAGAACGGGTTCTCCTTGTGGAACTTGGACAAAGATCGAATTCCATGGTCGCTGAAGAACTCATCCTCGTCAAGCATGCGCTTGAGAATCTTCTCCAGTCTGTCCTTGCTGACGATGGAGAGCAGGAGTCGATTTCCCTTTCCGCGCTTTCGGATACTGGCCATGTTTCTCTCTGCCAAGTCACAACGGTTCTCCATGAACCAATCAACCCTCTTTTTAAACGACGGGAGCTTGTTCAGTAGCTCGGGTTCTAGCGTGATAGTCGCATAGAGGGGAATCAGGCCCACGAGCGACCTGACAGGAAGTTGCTGGATCCAGGGGCCGCCCCATGAAATGGCATCATAGTAGAACCCGTCTTTCTCGTTCCAGAGCGATTGCTCCTCCTTCAGACCAGTTCGGAAAGTCATTGCGTCACTGATGAAGATGAAATGCTCGAAGAATTTCGATGCAATGTCTTCATAGACGCGACGATGCTTGGCCAATTCCAGGGCAATGTTCAGCATGGAGAGGCAGTAGAACGCCATCCAACCGGTGCTGTCTGCTTGCTCTAGCACGCCTCCCGTGGGCAAGGGCTCTGAGCGGTTGAACAAGCCAATGTTGTCCAGCCCCAAAAAGCCTCCTTCAAAAACGTTCTTGCCGTCGGCATCCTTACGGTTTACCCACCATGTGAAGTTAAGGAGGAGCTTCTGGAACACACGCTCAAGGAATTCAAGATCTTGACGGCCGTACATCTTCCGCTCAATCTTGAAGGTTCTGAACGTAGCCCAAGCGTGGACTGGTGGATTCACATCGCCAAAGTTCCACTCATATCTGGAAAATAGTTAGTCATCTGCTCTAGGCTCATGTTCAAGGGAGGGAACTTGCGCTGGAAGCTGCCCGTTTGGATGGCAGTACCACTCGCGGGTGAAGAGGTCGAGCTGCTTCTTGGCAAAGTCGGGGTCAATCATGGCCAACGGGATGCAGTGGAACGCACTATCCCATGCAGCGAAGAAGGGGTATTCCCAGGAATCGGGCATCGACAGGATGTCGTCGCAGTGCATATGCTTCCATTGTGAGTTCCTTATCCCTTTACGACAGTCGGGTGGGGGAGGCATGGTAGGATCGCCGTTCGCCCAGTGATCCCAGACGAAGTAATAGTGTTGCTTCGTCCACATCATGCCTGAGAATGCTTGACGTTGAATGTTGCGAAGATCGTCGGCCATAGGTAGGGGGCTAAGTCTGTAGTAAAACTCATCGGCTTCTTCAATGCGATTCTCAATCACATCATCGAACTCTTCTTCATCGAGGTAGCCATCATCCCGCTTAGTGAAGCGGAATCGAACGACTGGTGATTTTTGTTAGCAGTGTTGTATGTAGTGGGCTTCAGGGAGTTTTCTCACCGGCGCACTCTCCGGGATTCACACCACCGTCTTCGTTGAAGCTGAACCATGCGCCGCACTTTGTGCCAGTCTGGGCAGGATTGATGGCGTCCTTTTCACCGTCCACGATGTATCTGTGGAAAGCATCCTTGACATATGGCTGCTTGTTCTCTTGGTCGTACAAAGCCTTGAAGTTCGTATCATTTTCAGTGAACATGAACTTAGGCATGACATCCTTTCCACTAGATCCCACACCAGGGGATGGAGAGCATAGGACGTAACGCTCTCCCAGATTCCAATGGTCTGATTTGACCATCGTTTCATCCTGGTACTTGATGGATGGCTTCTTGCTCTCGGGTTCTCTGCCCCAGCTCCAAGTGTTGCGGAACCAGACATGGGGAATGATGTGCAACGGAGCAGGATCGGGGCCTCTGTTCCAGGCCGTGACTCGGAAAAGAATCTCGTCAGGGTCGTCGGTTTCTTTGGCAGTTTCGATGAAGATGTCCCAGTACCTATCCTCGTCAAACACCCCGGTGTCGGTGATCTGGTGCTCTCTGTCTTCCTTCGTTCGGCGAGCACTTTCGTCACGCAGCTCTTGGTAGGGAAACTTCTTCTGAGGGTACTTGTAGAGGAACTTCATGTAAGAGTGCTGGGGAAACAATTAGCATGCCGAGACATCACAGCTTGTGGGGGGGTGTATTACAGTCTGTCATGTGGGTTAGCGGAAGTCCACTCTCAAGATATTCCTGGGGCCAGGGCCGACTACTGACCGGGGTGTTGTCAACATGGAAGTGGGCTTCCCGGACGCCCTCTCCGTGATTGCCCTGCGGGTTGGAAAGGCCGAAGAGGCGCTCCTTGAGGAAATCACTTAAAGAGTCAGCACTCGTGCATATATGTCTTGTAGGGTTGGTAGACACACTCTTCTTCATTCCAAAAGGCGAAGGCAATATTCTGCCAGCCATGGGTGTCGGACACACCTGCGATGCCGTCTTCGCCCCACCTGAAGGTTCGGGACCGGGCGTGATCGTGGGGGAAATCTAGACGAGCTTATCAGTTTTCGATGCGCGGAAAGGTCGGTACTGAAGCCAGACGTACGGCTCCAAGCGTCTCCGTCGGCGCTGTAATCTTCTCTGACTGCGAGGCAGTTAGCAATTGAGAGCGTGCGAGTGAGCGCAGGACAGCTTGCCTGTGGCCCATTGTCGCTCAGAAACGTAGGGACCCCATTTCTTCCAGTACTTGGTACGATCACGATCTTCCTTGAGGCGCCTCTCCTCCTCAGTGAGGAACTCGTGGCCTTCAAAGACCACCATGGTGGCAGCAGGAGCTTGTCGAGGGAGGTGGTGTGGATTGGCGAGGGGTAGCACGAAGTCGCTTTTCGATGCGGGGAATGGCTGCAATTGCAACAACGAGAGAGATGCCGAGTCGGATGATGGGAGGCAAGCGATCGCTAGATCTCCACAGACCGGTACTCAGGACAAAGGGTGAGAAGAAGAAAGAGAAAGGAGCAGTGGAAAAACGAGCTTCACGGAGGCGGCGAGACACCTTGGACGGATGACAAGTTGGGTGGGTATGACGAGTTTGGCAAAGCTCCAGCGCTCCAGCTACGTACATACCAAGTTAGGGTGGTTGCGCCTTCTTCCGTAGCCGGCCATCCCTCCAAGCCCTCCTCGGCCTGAGCCTAACATGATCGTTCCTGGCATTTGCGGCGCACCTGATAAGGCCGGCCGGTATCTGTCTAGAAAAACCTGCAACGGCGGCGGCCGCATCTAGATCATGAAATTTTAGCCCAATAGACCCGGCCATAGCGGTGCTAACATCGCGCAGCGGCAGTCAGACTCCACCACACGCACCCAGCACCCATCATGGCTGCAGGGAGCTCACCGAACGGCCCCAACCAGCCAGTCGGAAGCCATTGAGCCTCAACGAGGAGGTGCGGGACCCAGGATCCATGCGTCTCGCCTTGGAAAGCCCGAAAGCGCGCTGGGACCCAAGTGGAACTGGAGGCATTACCGTTGCATTACAGCGTATTACTGTGTCATTACAGCACCATGCCACGCTGTACATGCCTGTGAGTGATTGCTGACTGAGAGTGCATGTGGCGTCGCTTCTAACTGGAAGCTCCGCTCACAGCGCCCGCTGAGCGCTGCAGCAATGACGTCTTCTAGTTCTTGTGCTCCCGCGGTCCGAGCCCTGTCCAGCGAGCCAGAGCAACGTTCTAGAGCACAACGAGATATGCAAAACAATTTAACAACCCAGGTTGCCGCACCTACGGGATATTTGTCTCTCTGGGCGAATCCCCCAAGCGATTCTTGTAGAGAGAGAATGCAATTTTTGTATGGGGAAGCAAGATGCCCAAGTCATGACGTGCTTGATGCGGAGCCAAGTCCGGGAACTCATCCGTCTGTTGTCACCAGCCGTCACCAACGATGCTCCATGTAGCCAACCAGCCAACCAGCCTACCAGCCAACCAACCAGATCAAAGGGGAGGTTCATGGCAATGCGTATCAACAACGATACGGACAGGAAGTGCAATTTCCGTCATTTGGAGGCACGGCATGGCGAGATTAAGACCTGACCGCGGACAAGGTGGGCGATTTGCTGCTTGGATGAAGGTGAAGTACACGCAGCTCGTTGATCCCCTCTTGCTAGCATCATTGCACGACAGGGGTTATCATCGACAAGGTGTGAACCAGGATCCAAACATTTCTGCCATCGAGTTTTAACTTGTGTCGTGGCTTTTGGGCGAGCTTCAACTAAACTTCTCAAACACCTCCGACGCCTTCTCCGTGGCTCCAAATCGTGTACGACGAGTCCTGGTCGAAGCGCGTTCGATGATCGAGCCACCCAAACATCCAACACGAGCACCCCAGCCACTTCGATCCTTGTCCAGCCTAATAACATGTTTCGGGAAGCTGTCCTGGGCCTGCTCATGCGCTGTTCCGTCATCAAGCCTCGGCCTCCACGACGAATGACGCCGCTTGTGCGCAGCGCTCTCATTGGTCCAGGGATATCCTTGCTCGCCAAGCTCTCAGGAAGCAGCTAGGCACAAAAAGCTCTGGGCGGACTCTCGAACACCAGTGCTTTTGCAGTGTAGTTGGCACGCGCCTCAACAAGCCCCATCATCAGATGCCAACTCCGCCACTCAAGATTCGTGGCTTCAGTTCTGCTTCATCGTCACCATCGATTTTCGCCTCTCCCGATCGTCCTTAAATCTTCTAATAATGCACGGCTGCTTTCGCCTCTGAATTCCGATCCCCATCGCGCCGTCACGATCCCCCTTACTACCAGCGACAACCCGACGACACGTCGCATTTTCTTTCCGCAATTGTTCCCAATCCTCTCGCGAATCCCACGCCCACACTCAACCAAGATGTCAGATGCTATATCTTCCTTGCTCCGGAGGGTGATCTTGGAGTCCCCTCCTGGAGAATGGGCCATGAGGCAACTCCGAGAGCTGCTTATTGGCGCCCTCAAGCAAGGCCCCATTCCTCAGCATGTGTCCTTTGAGATGGACGGAAATCGACGATACGCACGAAGCCATCGGATGGAGACCGTGGAAGGCCATCATCGCGGGTTTGAGGCTCTCGCTAGGGTACATGTCATTGATCCCCATGGTCCCCGACACAACGCTGACATATTATGGGCAGATAATGGAGATATGCTACAAATGCGGTGTCAAGGTCGTCACTGTCTACGCGTTCAGCATAGAAAACTTCAACCGCCCGAAGTACGAAGTCGAAGGCCTCATGCAATTAGCAAAGGTCAAGCTCGAGCAGTTGACGAATTACGGCCACATTCTCGACCGTTATGGGGCCCGTGTTCGGGTGCTCGGCCAGCGCGAGATGATTCGAGCAGATGTTCTAGAAGTGGTTGACAAAGCGGTTGCACGAACAAAGCACAACAACAAGTACGAAATGCCGAATCAGAAGAGCCGTGGAACAATTACTGACTCGCAGCAGGGCCGTGCTAAACATCTGCTTCCCTTATACTTCCCGAGCTGAGATGACGACCGCAGTAAAATCGACCGTGCAAGAATTCTTAGCTCCTACTCCACCAAAGGCCACACCTTTCTCGCCCTCCCGAATCAGGCAGAATATTCTATCGAGACAGCTAGATCGTCACGACGGCGGCCTGCCCACCATCCATGATGTCCCCCCGGAGGACTCAGTTAGTCTGGACGAAGACGGAGAAAAGGACTCCAGAGACGGAGACTCCTCGTCACCCACGCTACATCCAGACTCTCCCTCGCCGCGCCTCCGAGCAAGGAACAGCTCTGTCAGCCTCTCGGGGCTTCCAAACCCCGAGACGATTACTGCCGAGACGCTGGATAAGCACATGTACACTGCGAATGACCCGCCTCTTGACATCTTTGTCCGGACCAGCGGCGTTGAGCGCCTGAGTGACTTTATGCTCTGGCAATGCCATCAAGACACCCAAATCTTCTTCATTGATACACTCTGGCCAGACTTCGATCTCCAGCACTTTATTTGGATTTTGCTGGAGTGGCAGTGGCGGCAAAAGCAGAAAGACCGGGATGGTGCGCCGGCGGGAGGACGAGCTGTGAAGACGCGAAGCATGGTCGAATAATCTAGAGCAATGATACACCGGGTTCATCATCGATTCCATGGTCAAGAAATTTATACCCAAGTAACAAGCATTCATTCTATTGTAATTAGGCGCGTTGGCTTTTCGGATGTGGTTGAGGACCGGCTTTATAGCATCTACTGTTCTGGGTATATTAGCAAGGAAGGAACACTCTGTACATTTAGGTATCCTTAGACTAGTCTCGTCTGTATTATATCGACAAGTAAAGACTGAGTTGCTTGATTGGTCCTCATATCCGAATCGTTTCGTACAGCCTGACCTCTGGCTCGGCTTGTTCGAGGCCAATGACGAAATGCGTCCTGGGTTGGCCCTTATCAGATAAGAAAAAACTCCGGGATCGGGAGGCCGGTTTCTCCGGGATGCGGGTCGCCTTGCTGCAGGACCCCCTCTGGTTGGCGCTGATTGGTGCTGAAGAGTGGGAGTGGGTGCCGCTTTGGGGCGCCTGAGGCCGACATGTGCGCTGTTGCGGGTGCTGGCGCCGCTGCGTACACTCCCGCCGCGGTAGTCGAGCGCTCGCTTCCCCAAAATCAAATGGGAGCGAGCCATCTACCTCTGCATGCTGCGTCCTGCTGGCCTCCACCTCTCCCCTCCACGCCCTCCGCGTTTCCTCCGGCAGTTCAATCGTGCGATCGATGCAACATGACCTAGCCTCTTCTCCTACCAGGTCGATTTCACAATTACTCGCCTCCCACCCACCCGAACCAACATCTCGGCTTCCAACCACTTCGTCCCACGCTCGATCAGCTCGACCGAATCCCTCCCAAATCTCAACCGATTTGCTTCGCCCACGATGAAGTCAGCCAAGCCGCCCGCGGCGGAAACACCGTCGCACCGGCGATCGCAGCCCGTTCGACAGACACGAACAAACCCTCCGCGAAGTTCGGCCAGCCTCGGTCGCGCTGGTGGTGGCAGAGACCTTGTTGGTGCAGGATCCCTCAGCGACCAGCCCATCGAGATCTTCCCGGCAATCACCCACTTCGCGGACGCCATTACCGCGCTCCCCAAAGAGATCGTCCGACACTTCACGCTTTTGAAGGAGGTTGACGCCAAACTCTTCGCCCCCGAAGACCAGCTCTTTCGACTCGTCGCTGCTGTCGCCAAGGCACCCCTCCCCGAGCCACGTCCGAACAACGAGGCCTCGAGCAGCATTGCCCCAGCCTCTGCGCCGATGAGCGCCCAGAACAGCTCCAACGGAATTACTATGAGCAACGGTCTGCATCCTGTGCCGTCCGCCGACGACTCTCACAAAGACCTGGTCTTTGACCCTTCCAACCTTCCTCGCCGACACCTGTACCGCCAGACGGCGATCAAGATCCAAGAAATGCTAGTATCGCTTGAAGAAAAGAACCACGTCATCTCTACGGCCAATGAAGCCCTTCAGGCTCAACTCGCCCGCATCGATGATGTCTGGCCACACCTGGAGAGCGAGTTCAGCGACGAGACCAAATGGGGGAGCACCACCCACTGGGCCTATCCAGAAAATCGCACAGGTCGGTCTTCGCAAGCCGACCGCGCGCGACGCGATGGCGCCGCGGCAATCTCAGCAGCGGCGCAGGCCTTAGCTGAGGAGGCGGCAGCTAGAAGCGATGCTCGGAAGCAGGCCGTCCAAGCCAAGAAGGCCTCGAGGAACCAAAACAACAATACCAATAACAACCACGACGATGACTTTGACGACCACGATGGTCGACACAAAGGCGAGAGCAAGAAGTCGCAGGGCAGCAAGTCTCGCAAGACGGCAGAACCCAACAACGTTGGCTTAGGTATCACTACAGCATCTGCTACCCCCAGCAGTAATCCCCCCCCGAAGAGACGCAAAGTGGAAAAGCCGACAAACGGCGCGACAGCGGAACGCGCCATGACAAGCGTTTTTGGACCTACCGCGCCAAAAGCGAAAACAGCAAGCCCCAGAGCCACCCCAGCACCTGAGGGCCCAAAGAAGAGAAAGGCCCTTCCCTCTGGCAGCGGCCAATCGAAGAAGAGGTGTGTTTTGTTCCATCTTCCAATTGCCTAAGGACAGGTATCTAACACGATAATCTTTAGCAGGAACGGGGTAACCCCTTTGCCTCCATCGGCCACTTCATCCCCCGTGCTCACCGAACTGCCCGAGCCGAAACCTGTCGCCGTCCAGCCATCTCCTGTGCCAATCGTAGCGCCGATCCCAGCACCAACGCGGGCGCGCCAGAATTCGATACAGTCGGCCAATCTGGAGAACGGCAAAGCGCGTCCGACTTCTTCAGCATCTAATAAGCCAAACGGCAATCCGACTGCCACGCCCGATCCTAATATCACACTATCGAGTGCCTGGCCACGGTCCGTACCCGAGACCAAGGTGGTGAAGGAACCGACGGTGCCCATCAAGACTGAACCGGCAAAGAAGGAGCCCGAGCGACCAGAGCCGATTGCAGTGCCCGTACCAGCAGTCGCTAAAAAGGAGAACAAGCCTGAGGAGAATGAGCGCAAGAGTGAATCAGTACCTCCAGCGCCTCAGAACTCAACAGTCACAACGAAGAGCGGACGAGCCAGTAAGCCCTCAACGCCAGCTATGGCGTCGTTCCAGGAAGCAGCCCGGTCGCGATCATCACGAAATGCTGAGGGTGCTGGAATCAACAAAAAGACACAGAAGAAAGCGGGTTCTACTATCCATGCTGTTGTTAGCCATCTCGTGGATGAAGATACGAACAGCAGCATGCAGGGTGACGAGGAGGAGGGGGAGATTGATGCGGACGAGCCGACATATTGCTATTGCAACAGTGTCAGTTATGGCGAGATGGTGGCATGCGATGCAGATGGGTGTCCACGAGAATGGTTCCATCTAGAATGTGTTGGCCTCAAAGTTGCTCCCACAACAAAGGGTAAGTGCGGTGCTGAATCCTTCATGGCAAATAGACAGGGGCTAACTGAACACAGCAAAATGGTATTGCGAGGACTGCAAGGAACGCTTGAAAATGGGAGGGAAAAAGGTCAATGGACGATAGCGGTCAGACAATGGGCAAGAACACGAGTCACGGACGAGTCATAATGGTCTCATCGAGAGGTTGACAACCGGTTCCGAACCGGCTCCAACGGCCTAGGCTGGAAAGCGCATGTATATGACAGGCACAGACGGCGTTTCTTTTTGGGAGGACGGTCATACAGTACCGTTTGTTTTTGGCATTTGGCCCGGGCCGGTCGGAGAGACGACTAGGACCTCACGCTTATTAGCTTTTCGTTTTGAGTGATCGGAACAGGGTCCCGAAATGTCTTGAGGGATCCGGCGTGAGACGGCATGTGCGGTGTGTGAGGCGGGAGCGGGGGGTAGCAAGATCCGGGGGAATTGCGGGGGCGGGATGTTCGGGGTCATTTGGGATGTTGGACTAGGCAATAGAAGCACATAGGAACTGTATTAGCGAGCGAAGAAAAGTCACGATACCAATGTTGTGGTGGTTTGGGTGGTGCGTCGGGACTCCGGAGCGTAGGGGGGTCGAGAAAACCGATCACGAGGAGATGATGCAACCCGCTAGGAGCAAAACGTTATGTAATAAGAGGCCAAGGCCGAAGGTGGTTCCAGAGCCTTCTCATTTTGGCTTTGGAGCGAAACGGGAAGTGAAAATGACCAAGCCATTGACCAACGAAAAGTCTTCATTGCTTGGCCTGAGGGGAGACGGGGTTGACACGACGCCATGGATCGTGGCTTGTCTGGGCCGCTAATAGAGACTATGTGTCGTCGAGGACGTGTCTCTGTGGCACTACCGTGTTTGTTGGGGCCCCGGGCCGGGAGGAACGTCAACATGCGGACATACTATGCTAGTAGTACACAGCTTGGGCGAGGCTTGGGAACGGGGAAAGAAAGCTAGGCTGGATGCGAAATGAGGAACGGCCATGGCGGGTGTTGAAGGAGGCCGAAGTCAACTTTGAGAGGGCGAGTTGGCTTTGGCCCACGTTTCGGTCGTATTGGTTATTTTTGCTGCTTTCGTCGGCTTAGGCTCCCGCACCCAGTCACACGGGAATCACACGGACGTCACACTGGAGTCATACGGTGAATTCGGGGAAGTCAGGGAAGTCAGGGAAGTCGAGAGCGATGATCGGAGCATATGCGAGATAAGAACAGACGAGAGTTGAGGGAATGTGGATTCGGAGGAGCGAGGTGACGGCGGAGACAGATAGGTGATACGCACAGCGGCGGCGAGAGGAGCTTTGGGCATGACGTCCAGTGGCCCAGTGGGCAATCCGAAATCCGGGGTAAACGACTGGCCGTGGCATTGGGCAGAGCCCCAGCAGGGGGGTGTGGACGAGAGGGGGTGCGGCGCTTGTTGCAACAGTGGCTTCCTGGGGCAGACAAGGCCCTGCAGCAACGCGATGCACCTAAGGTAGCAAGGGCCCTGGGCAGGTCTCGCTAGTTCCTGAAAGTGCGTAACGCCGGGACTTACAGGAACTGGCTGGAGACGAGAGGACGGGGAGGGGCTGAGTGAAGCGGCGGGAGTCCAGGCGTTCTGTTGAGGTGCCAGAAACACATCATGTGCCCCCTATTGCTCATCTCCCGACGGCGACCTGGAGACGAAATGCGTCGGATTTCGGAAGCTCATGTCCTGTCGATGCGTCATCGACCATTCCGTAGTGGTAAGAGTGGTGGCCAAGGTAGGGCGGTCGGTCACTCATACGTCTAGTCGTATGGGAATCTGGACGTGCCTTCTGAGGGCACGTGCTGGGCTCTGAATCGCATGTTGGATGCTCCAACTCGTATGGTTCGTGGTTTTACTTCGGGTGTGTACTGCCATATTTCGTAGTGCACCCGGGAGACTTTGAAAAGGGGCCAAAAGTGCAGCCACAGGTGGTGCATACATGGAGTCTGCAGCACATGGGACAGCGTTATAATGTCGACCTACATAGCCAAGGTCTCCAAGGTGGACACATCACGAGCAAGGATGCCAAGGCAGGTCTCAAGAACAAGCAATGCTCAGCAGTGTGCTGTAAGTGTCTTAATTTATATCACACAGACAAGTAGTTGGTATTGGTTAAATCGGCGGCCGTGGCAGCCTTTCGGCAATGTCAAACGCCAAAGTTCAAAGCTGGGGTGGCGCGCGCCATTGCGAGGTCCCCTACCTAGATAGCCTCATGCATTTTCTTGGTACTGCGTAGATCCAGTCCAGATAGTTCTTCCCGAATCAAGCATTGTGATCATCTCCTCCACGCCCCGAATCTCAACATGTCACAACTTCGTCCAACCTTGCTGGCCCAGGCCAAAACATCTCCAACCCACTCTTCATCGCCCTTACCCTTAGGTACCCTAAGAGCAGTACATCACCCTTACCCTTACCCTAAGAGCAGTATCCTTAGAGTAGTTTACGATTCATCATTCCCGGCGAATCTGAAATGGATGACCCACGGTTAGCATTCAAAGCCCAACCGGCCAGTCATGTCACTATTGCAAATTTGGCTAACGACGAGCCAGAGATCCTTCTCCCAAGGCCAGCTACGAGGCTGCCCAGGTCCCCCCGCCCGCTCCCTTCTCAAGCTTCCGCGAATTCTACCACACATGTCTAAAGGTGCCGGCAGTCGATGACAGCGGAAATCTCAACCCCGCGCTGCTCTGGCTCGGCCAATATGGCTACTGGGCTCAGTCGCAGAAACTCGGCATTCGTGATACCTGGGGCCTCTTCTCCCCCGGCCACGGTCGTCTTCAAGTGGCGCAGGCCGAGTTGTTCTTCACTTTTCTTTTCATGATCGTTCCAATATGTGTTGGGTGCAATTTGGTCAGCATTGGGGTCTGCATCAAGATGGGTTGGTTTGCCATGCCGGTGGCGTTGACAGCTATTTACGTTGGGGGACTGGTGGCCATTTGGTGTATCATGCTAAATGCAGCATGCCAGAAGCCGGGATATCAATGGAAAGACTGGAAGCTGCGGCAGGATTGAGGTTGGAGGTATCAGCATCGTCGACGCGTTGCCATCCAGCACCAGCGACACTAACTGTCGTTCCTACCTAGGCACCTCAGATAGCTGGGATTAGCTCTCCCGATTTTTTTTTTCACTTTATGCTGAGCCTAAGCTCAAGGAAAAGAAAATGTTCCTCGCAACGACTAGAATTGTTCGAAGCTAAAGGTAAAAGCGGAGGGTGCAAAAGGCGCGCTTGCATCTGTGAAAACCCACCGACGTGCTAGAGAAATCTAGGGCAGACGGCGGTGTCGGGGTACCTTAGCTTTAGGGTGTTTTTTCTTTTTTTTTTCTTCCACGTCCGCCCCGTCTCGGCCTGTAGTGTGAAAATAACCGTCGTGTCCGGCGGCTATGATGTGTGGATGGGCAGTGCTGATCAATCGGGGTTTCTGGGGCGTCGAAGCGGCGACTTCGGCGTGGCCGTCGAAGGATACCGTCGGAGCTGCTGGTCGATCGGGAAGGATGCCGTGCGTAGGTACATGCTAGCCTAAGGTCGGCATGCACCATGGCCGCATAATCAGTCGGCGCCCGAGTCCTCCCGTTGGATATGGCTGAGATTGTGTCTTAAATCTTATTGCAACATATCGCGACCTCAGGTTCCGGAGATGCTTGAATTGAATTGAGACAACGAATCTGTCGAATCGCAGAGCTTGCATTGGACCTTGCTCGTAACCCGGTCACGAGGGATCCTTGGGAAGAAAACAAGGGCTTGCTTCTTTGGATCTCCCCGCTTGCAAGTGAGGGGGCTTGAATTTCTATTACTCTACACCTGCATCTATTACGTTACGTTTCTTGGCCGCGCCGCTGAACGGGGTAGCAGACGGGCAGACGAGGGTGTAGTATGAATTGTGCCGAATGGTGAAAGGTGTGTGTGTGCGTGTGTGTGTGTCTGTCGTTTGAGGAAGCCCATTTCGCGTCATCAGGAATGACTGTAAAAGCCAGAGCTCTGAAAACCCGACCTAACCAATGCTGAGCTGAGGCCGAATGGGCTGGCTGGCTGAGGGAGCGCCCGCTTAGTGCTGCCGCGAAAGAGGCGGAGACGGAGGCGGCGATGACGGCGATGGGGAGGCGAGATCACGGGGCCCTGCAAAATATCCGGACGGAAAAGCAGCAGGCCATGATGGGATTTTCGCACCCACGATTAGCAATAGAATCAGCAGGTTTGGGTCGGCTCTGGACATGCTGCATGCTGTACCTGCTACATCTGAGCCGTCGTGCTGGTTTTTGAAGCGGCAGGGCGGCCGAATGCTGTTGTTCTTGGTGCGCCGGGTTGTTCTCATTACTCAATCCCCAGCGCGTCTCGTCCAATGGAGCCGCGCTGGCCGCCGCTCTACCGAGTCGGGCAGTCAGTCAGTCAGTCCAACAAGCCAACAAGCTAACAAGCTAACAAGCCCTGCGAGGCCGATCCGGCGCTGCCTTGTCAAAAGTCGTCGTCTCTCCCTCTCCTCCTCTTCGCGGCTCGCGCTGGGCCGCTGTCCACTGGCGACTAAACCCTGCTCGGCTCTAATGCGTCGACGGTCCCGGCGTGCAAAGAGCCCCCTGCTCCCATGCGCTCGCCATGGATGATGGCTCCCATGGCTGCCATGACTCCATGCTCCGTGCTCCGTGCTCCATTCTCCATCCCTTCCCCGTGGTGTGTTGCTCACCTGACGGCCCCGAGACGTCCAGTCCGCGATTTCCATTACCCAATATTGTGCGATCCTGAGCTAATGGCCCCGTGCATGCCAGCACGCTCTGCCAACGTCCCTGGTGGCTGGCCCCAGGTGGCGCTTTATCGGGGGCCCGCCTTGACCTTTCGGCTCCTCATGAGTCCTCTCCGTCGCCTTGAGCCGGCTCGGTCGCCGCTCGCCTCTGGTCTTTATATCCAGGGCCAGGGCCCGATGCGCCTGGGGCGTCCTCGACCGTTTCTTCCTTCTTCTCTCCAAACTCTGAACCTCGATTCTAACTTGACAATATCTTTGTTTGACTTTTCCTCTGACCAACAGTCGACTCCGTGCTGGTTCTCCGCCTATTCGGGTTCCCGTTTGTCTCTTACATAACAGTTACGCTTAGGCGGCAGCTAATACAACATCGCCGCTCTTCGTCCCATCCCACCTCGTCGACTCCTACCCACAACTAGGCCGCCCACCAAAACCCTCGCTGCGCTTCGCTGAAACTCACGATATTCGCTGAGCCGGACGAAAACCGACCTGCCTCTCTTCCTCCTTCCCTCCCACCTACCTACCTAGCTGCATCCCTACCTCCCTTCCCCAAAGGGTCGGCCACCGCGCGCTCCTCCTCTCCTCGAGACTCGCACATGGCCGTCCCCCTCAGCCCGACGCACCACGAGGTGCCTCACTTTGACCTTTCTGCTCTGCTCAAGGCCAAGATGTCTCGCCCCGGCTCGCCCAACAGCAGCAGTGACAAGACGGCCCGCTCGTCCTTCTCCTCGGTGCGAGAGAACGACGACGGGCTCGCGCAGACGTTTACGCGTTCCAAAATCTCCTCCTATACCCAAGGGACGGAAGAGGTATTCGATGAATCACCCACTGCTGAGATTGCCCAGCCATCCTTCCAGGCTCCTCTGACGCAGCCTCACAGTCGGCTTCATGGCTTTTGGTATCCTGCGGATAACTTCCGCGGATGGAAGCAGATCCCCATCAAGGGCAAGGCCGCCAGCCGCAGCTGCGAGGACTTGCACAAGCTGTCCATGACATGGAGCTCTCCCGCACCCGTCGTGGCCAAGCCTCTCGATCACTATGCGACCGGAACGTCGCCAATGGAGCGTCTCCCGAGTGAGGTTCTAGGTAAGTTTGCCCGCAGAACTAGGGACCCTGTACCCCTGTCGTTTGGTCCCACGCTGACTTGATTCCAGGTGCCATTATCGATCTTCTCGTCATTGAGATCCCTCCGAACGGCCTCACCACTCGCAACGCCGATTTGATGGCCCTCCTCCTCACCTCGCGCTCTATCCACGCCGCCACGCTCAACACTCTCTACCGACATATCACGATCCCCCACTCGCGCATCTTCCGCAAGTTCCTGAACACCGTCACCGAGTACCCCGCCCTTGCCTCTATCGTGCGGCGCATGGACTTCAGTCACTTCAACCCTTCGACCATCTTTTCGACCGCCAGTGAGCGGGCGCAGACTCGAAATCTGACCTCCGAGACCCTCTTGCAGTGTTTGGAGCTGACCCCATACCTTCAGGAGTTCCTCGCGCAAGAGTATATTGACGAGGATCTTGGTCCCGATGTTCTCAAGAAGTTGTTCTTTGGCATGCCCCGCCTCCAAGCGGTTGATTTCTGCGGTTGCGCTTCGCCCGCCTTCAAGAATTCGTTCCAGAGCCTACTTCAGTCCCCCTGGCCCGAGACTCTTACCCTTACCCGCGTGTCCTTCCATAAGTGCCTAAGCTTGCCCGCATCTGTCTACGAGATGATCCTGCCTCGCCTCGAGCGAGTTACCCACCTTGACCTCGCTGGAACGCGGGTCACGGATCTGGCGCTGCAGAGTATCCCCGAGACTGCGAGACTCACACACTTGAACCTGGCCAAGTGCAGGGAGCTGACTTCTGAGACGGTGGTCAAGTTCATCACTACACACCCCTCTGTCACTCAAAGCCTGGTTGTTCTAAGCCTTGCCACCATTGCGAGTAGCCATCTCTTGCTAGGCAAGGCCGATGTGGACGCCATTCTCCCCCGGCTACCTAGCACCCTGCGATCCCTTAGCTTAAAGGGCAGCAGGATGGACCCCTCCCAAATTCCTCTTCTCACCCCTCTTGTCCAGCAACTGGAGGAGCTCGCTATCGGCCGCGGCCTTGAGCTCGGCGATATCCACAAACTCCTGTACCAGGACCAGCAATGGATCCCCCACAACCTTCGGTATCTCGATATCTCCGACATCGATACCATCATCGGAAGTGCAAATGCACTTCTAGGCCCCGCTTCCGCCCCGCTGCACGTTATCGAACTCGAGGAGCGAGCATACGAGCGAGCCGCCAAGGCCAAGAAGAACCTAGAGAGCGTGGGATGGACTGCCAAGGAGTTTGGTAGTCGCTATTGGCTTGTCCGCATGAACTCGGACGGCACAACTCGGGACAATGGTGCCCGGTGGTGGAAGATGGGCGCCGAGAGCTGGGGCATGAGGAAGATCCCGGTAGCGGAGGCCGACGTCGGAGGCATGTACGGCACCTTTATGTTCGGGCGACGACTCTAAACCCGAGACACACATGATGATGAACGATAAGCAGCATGTCTTTGATCTCTACTCATTTTCATTACGGCGTTATTTGGGCTGGTTTGCTTTCCCCATGTTCGGTCGGTTGCATCGGAATCATATCCTAGGGGGCGCACAGCGTTGAAGAATATTTAGCGAAAAAGTCATTTGATTCAGAAAGCGGTTTGACATATGAAAATGACGGAAGAAAAAAAGTGTACATAAATCAATAATGACTTTGATGAATTGGTCAACTACCTATCTATGGAGCAGCCTTGAACCTGATTTTGAGTGAGGTTATCCGGAGATGTGCATCCGAGACTTTGGACGTTATCAGGACGTAACCCTAGGATGATGTGTCAAGCAAGTGACTGTAACAACCTGAGTCTAGCCAACGACCTGCCTTCGAAAAGTTGTCTTCTTGCACTTCAATTGCACTTCGCATGAGAGGTCGGCGCAAGTTCATTGTCCACTATTCTGGCCATCGATTCTAACTGGTCCATAGCTTATGCACGACAACGCCTGGCTACGTAATTCCGCTTATGTGGCGCTCACACACAGCCGCAAATGGGGCAGTGCGTCGCGCATGCCTTCAGGAGGCCGCGGTGGGTCACACGTGATTTGTCGTTTCGGAACAATTTGCACCCGGCATACCAGTGCTATTGCGACGTAACCGCGATGGCCGTGCCTTGCTCCCTGACAAGCTCCAACACAACGTTCATTCGAGTTCCGGCCCTTCAACAGCTTCACCATGGGTCCCAAACCGGACACCCCGTTCCGCTCGGCGGACATGAGCATGGTCCAGCTCTATGTCTCCAACGAAATCGGTCGCGAAGTCGTTACGGCCCTCGGCGAGCTTGGCCTTTGCCAGTTCCGCGACGTAAGCTCAACCATCATCAAATCCATCAATGCCAGAAGCTAACGCGTTTCTTCTTCATCCAGTTGAACGAGAACGTCAGTGCCTTCCAGCGAACCTTTACCCAAGAGATCCGACGCCTCGACAATGTTGAGCGACAGCTGCGTACGTCATCCGCCAGGCAACCACCAAAAGACTCAATCTGACAATTGCACAGGATACTTCTATGCCCAGATGGAAAAGATTGGCATCCCCCTCCGAAAGCTAGATCTCGATGTCGAGAGGCTCGCATCGCCGTCCACTTCCGAAATCGATGAACTCTCCGAGCGAAGCCAGAAGCTCGAGCAGCGAGTCTCCGCCCTGAACGAGAGCTACGAGACCCTCAAGAAGCGCGAGGGCGATTTGACTGAGTGGCGCTGGGTCCTCCGTGAGGCCGGCAGCTTCTTTGATCGTGCCCATGGAAACGTTGACGAGATCCGAGCTTCGACCGACGACGATGATGCTCCCTTGCTCCAGGACATTGAGCAGCACCACGGAGCTGCTGAGGTTGAGAGATCATTCTCGGGCATGAACATTGGCTTCGTCGCTGGAGTCATTGGTCGAGACAGAGTCGGCGCCTTTGAGCGCATTCTATGGCGAACTCTCCGTGGTAACTTGTACATGAACCAGTCCGAGATTCCCGAGCCGTTGATCGACCCTACCAACAACGAGGCCGTCAACAAGAATGTCTTCGTCATTTTCGCTCACGGCAAAGAGATCCTCGCCAAGATCCGAAAGATTTCCGAGTCCATGGGTGCCGAGGTCTACAACGTCGACGAGAACAGTGACCTCCGACGCGACCAGATCCACGAGGTCAACAACCGACTTAAGGATGTCCAAAACGTTCTTCACAACACCCAGGCGACTCTTCAGGCGGAGCTTAACCAGATCTCGCAATCCCTGTCTGCTTGGATGGTTCTTGTCGCGAAAGAGAAGGCTGTCTACAACGCCCTCAACAACTTCTCCTATGACAGTGCCCGCCGCACTCTCATCGCCGAAGCTTGGTGCCCCACCAACGACCTGCCACTCATCAGGACAACGCTTCAGGATGTGACCAACCGAGCTGGCCTCTCGGTTCCCTCCATCATCAACAAGATCCAGACCAACAAGACACCTCCCACGTACTTGAAGACCAACAAATTCACAGAGGGTTTCCAGACCATTGTCAACGCATATGGTACCGCCACGTACCAGGAGGTTAACCCGGCGATTCCCGTCTTCGTTACCTTCCCTTTCTTGTTCGCCGTCATGTTTGGTGATCTTGGCCACGCCATCATCATGCTTTCCGCCGCCTGCGCAATGATCTACTGGGAGAAGTCGCTGAAGAAGGTCACATTTGAGCTCTTCGCCATGATTTTCTATGGACGATATATTGCCCTCGTCATGGCTGTCTTCTCCGTCTTTACCGGTCTTATCTACAACGATATCTTCTCCAAGTCCATGACTGTATTCCCCAGCGCCTGGGAGTTCCGCAAGCCTGACGGTTGGACCAACGGAACTACTGTCATTGCCACTTTGAACGACGAGGGTTACCGCTACCCCTTCGGTCTGGATTGGGCCTGGCATGGTACTGAGAACGACCTTCTCTTTGGCAACAGTTACAAGATGAAGATGAGTATCATTCTCGGCTGGGCTCACATGACCTACTCGCTTTGCTTCTCGTTCATCAACGCCCGTCACTTCAGGAAGCCCATTGACATCTGGGGTAACTTTGTCCCTGGCATGATCTTCTTCCAGGCCATTTTCGGCTACCTTGTCGTTTGCATAATTTACAAGTGGTCCGTGGATTGGTTCGGTATTGGCGCCCAACCTCCGGGTCTGCTGAACATGCTCATCTACATGTTCTTGCGACCTGGCTTTGTGGACGATCAGTTGTACCCGGGACAGGCAACTGTTCAGATCTGCCTCCTGCTCTTGGCAGTTTGCCAGGTGCCAATCCTGCTCTTCCTCAAGCCCTTCTACCTCAGATGGGAGAACAACCAGGCTCGTGCTCATGGCTACCGTGGCCTAGGTGAGAACTCCCGCGTTAGTGCCCTGGACGGTGATGATGATGAGGGCCAAGGTAACGGCAACGGCCATCACAGCTTTGATGAGGACGGTGAAGGGGTTGCTATGATCTCCCAGAACATCGATGAGGAGCATGAAGAGTTTGAGTTTGGCGAGGTCATGATTCACCAGGTCATCCACACCATCGGTAAGTCTATCCCGAATGACATGGTGCCTTTCCCAAACTGACGACCTTGCAGAGTTCTGTCTTAACTGTGTTTCTCACACTGCCTCGTATCTCCGACTCTGGGCCTTATCCCTAGCACATCAGCAGCTGAGTGTGGTGCTTTGGAACATGACCCTTGGCCCGGCCCTTACGACCCCTGGCGTTGCTGGTGTCATCATGATTGTCATCTGCTTCTACATGTGGTTCTTCCTGAGTAAGTCACCTCCATTTCCATGGCATTTTATCATCACTTCTAACATTTCTTGCAGCGATTGCCATTTTGGTTTGCATGGAGGGTACCAGTGCCATGTTGCACTCTCTCAGATTAGCGTGGGTCGAGTCCTTCTCCAAGTTTGCCGAGTTTTCGGGTTGGCCTTTCGCTCCCTTTTCATTCCATTCTCTGCTGGAAGAGTCAGAGGAGTTGAAGGATTACTTGGGATGATGGGGTATTTGATGGGTTCACGGGAGAATTATCCAGTTGTTATAGTAGACTTTGCAGTCCCTTTTGTTGTATGATAGGTAACACGACGCAACCTTAGAATTACTACTAGCTTGTGCCATAGTCCATTTGCCTCCTGATTTTCGCTCAACCAAATACAAAATAACTGTATTGTGATATGTTTGCCCTTGGCTCCAAACGTTTTAACCCCAAAGAGGAGCGGTCACCTCGACAGCTCGCTCCACCACCGCCCTGACTCTGTCCGCAAAGATCTTGTTGGTACATTCCACCTCGAGGTCCTCCAACCATACTGTCGCAGCCATTCTGTCCACCTTGATTGACACGCCGGGGACGGGAATGCCAATCTTGTGAAGCCGTTCGATCTCCTTGCGCTGCCGCTCTTCGAGCTCCGTATCCGCATCATCGTTCTCAACCTTCATCGCATGCTCATCTTCAGGCTCCTCCTTGGCCTTGGCATCCTCGTCCTTGGCCAGCGGCGGCAGCTTGGGCATCGCGACGGGGGCGACGTTGTCCTGGCCAAACTGGGCCTCGAGGAACCACAGGAGGCGTTCGAGGCGCTCCTCGGGGCTCGGGGTGCGGTGCGGGTTCTTGGCGGGCAGCTCGTGCGAGTGCTTGGCGGATGAACGCTTCACGGCGGCTGGTGAGCTCTCGACGGAGAAGAGGACGGCCATGACGGAGTCAGCGATGCCGTCGTTGAGCATGTTGCCCTCCCACTCGAGCTCGACTTCGCCGTTGGTGCGGTATCGAACGGCCACGCAGCCCATGACAAGGTATGCCGCGACGAGGCTTGCGACCTCTTCATCAGCCTCCTCGGGCTTGATGTTGCCATCGTCCATTTCGGCGTCGTCCCCATTAGACTGGCCATTCTTGCCGTGGCGCATCTCTGGCAGCTCCTCAATAGTGCCGAATGTGCCCTCGAGCGCCCATCGAACGAGGTCCACGCCCGCAGCGCTCAGTGTCAGCCGCTGTTTGCAGGTGATGGTGGTGGTGTTGAGGCCTGCATACTCGCGCAGGTCCTCGGGCGCCATGAGTGAGAGCTTGAAATCGTTCTGGACGAGCACACCGGTAACGAGCGGTGCTGTTCCTACCAAGTCGGAGTCGGCTCCCAGAGGGGGCTGAATGGAAGCGAGCTTGCCGACGACCTTTGCTGTCTTGTCGGCCTTGAATGGGATGCGGAGCTCCTCGCAGTTGCGCGGCGAGAAGACCTTGACCTTTGCGGTTTTGCTAGCATTGAGGGAGAGAAGTTTAGACTTGAGACGCATCATGTTGTGCTGCTCGCCGTGGACGAGAATCTAGCGGAAAGGTCAGCTCTGGTTGGTGCATGGAAGAAGGACAAACGCTTTAGCAACGTACCACAACTGGCGCTGCTACCTCCTCGATGAACTCGCGGTTTTCGACGCCATCAACATGGGCAGCAAAGGAATATTCAGCAACGCTGCACCGTCGCGGGATAAGAACCTTCTCGCCGTCGCCACCAGGTGCTCGGCGAGCGCCGGCCATGCTGCGAGACATGACGGCCTGGATTTGATCGGGCTCCTGCATAATCTGCTTGGCCATGGTGCCCTCGACGCTGTAACCAGTGATAATGACGCCGTTCTTCTCGCTTGGGGCCCATCGTTCCAGCAACTCTCGACTGACACCGTTCTGAAGCATACCAGGACTGGCGAGCATTACACAGCCACCTACATCATCGAAACGATCGAGGTTCTTAAGGGAACGGATATACTTGAAGTCCCAGGGACCACCCTTGCCGGCTCCGTCGCCAGAGGCTTCTGCCTCGGCCATGCGCTCTCGGAACAGGCGCTTGATGTTGTCGTTCATAGCGCCGACGTACGTCTGGTAGACCAGCATACACTTTCGCGCCAGGTTACTGGCATAGTAGATAGGATACCGTTGAAACTCGGCATGCTTGCCCCAGTACTCGTCAAGAATGAGCAGCAGCTCCTGAGCTCGTCCCAGCGCGAACACGGGCATGAGAACGCGACCTCCACGGTTGAGAATGGAGGTAATGGACTTCATAAGGGCCTGTTCTCTTTCAAGACGTGGAACGTGCGAGGCAATGCCGTAGGTCGACTCTGTAATGAGGACATCAATCTTGACGCCTTTAGGGACCTCGGCGGAAACAAGATGTCGATCCTGTTCACGAGAGTAATCGCCAGTGAAGAAGATGTTGAGACCGGCGATCTCGATGAGGAACATGGCCGCTCCGAGCACATGGCCGGCAGGGTAGGGAGTAATTCGGATGGAGGAAATGGTATGGGTAGTATGATAGTCGATAGCTTCAATCTGGGGGAAAGTGTTCAGATGGTCTTGCTCCGTATAAACGGGCTGTGAGGTTGGGTTCGAGGATGTGTTGCCCACTCGGACACTATCCTGGATAAGCCACTTGTAAATAGCCTTAGTAGGATGGGTCATGAAGACGCGCCCCCGGAAGTTGGTCTTTGCAAGGACGTACGGCAATGAGGCCGCGTGGTCGACGTGGAAACTATTGCTGGTTAGCCATACTACTATCGGGGGAATGCGTGGCTGGAGGCTTGACGGTTGGTTTCAAGGACAGGACGGCATCACAGGGCGACAAGCAGGGACGTCGGTAAATGGGGAAGACTGTATTGTATTCATCTGGCATACGGGATGGAAAGATATCACACGAGCAATGGCTCTGAACAGGGACAGCACAGTCCGTCCCATCACAAGATCACCAATGTTGTCCACCGCCCTGTCCTGCCTGTATCATCGAAGGGGAGGAAGGAGGGTGCGCTTACTGGCTGATGAGGAGCACGTCGACAGTGCTGAGATCAAAGTCGTCGTAGAACGGCAGCGCGGCAAGACCATCATAGGCGGGATGCTGGCCGGCGTCGAGCTGGTAATGGCGATTAGACAGGTTCGTCGCAGAAGCTTGAATGCATCGCGGCGGCTTACCATGACCGTCTTTCCCTTGTACTGAATGATGTGGCATGATCGCCCGACTTCGTTGCCGCCTCCCAGGCAAAGGAACATGAGCTCGTCGGACGGATCTACAGGCTCCTCCGTGACCGCCGCGTTCATCGCGGCCGCCTTTCGCTTGGACGCCATGGTCGCGACTTGGTGTTGCGCTACTGCTCACATCAGTAGAGAAAAAATCACTGAAATGTTAGTTCAGCAGTCCCTTGGACCGCGCGCGAAAGAATCTGAACCTTTGCGCAATGCGACGAGCAGCAATGCACGTGAAGGGATAGAGGTTCGCGCTACAATGAGGCTAGGTACCCATCTGTGGTTGAAAAGGTAAACGCGTAGAGCGCGGGTAATTCTCGGCGTGCACTGTTCCGGAAGGGGGCGGCTCAAAGTCACGTGACTTTAAAACTACGCGACTCTCGTTTGGGAGTCGAAGCTCTCTCCTTCACGCTCGAGGTCGAGAAGCACCATCTCAATATCGCGACGACATTTTGCGCCTCCATCTCGCGGCGCCCCATCTCCGCTATCCTCTGACGAAGTGTCCTTGCGCGGAACGCATCACCGACTCCCCCGAGAGCACCGCCCAACCTGAGCGCGTCGGATGGGAGGTGCCGCGACTGACGTGACAGGCTTCCCTGCCTGCTGAGCCCACACTCGCTAGCCTCCGGTCCCTCCTCTCTTTCGTCTACGTATCGAGGGATTCTGATTCAAAGCCGTCGCCATGGCTCAGCCTCAGCCGCAAGCGCAGATGCCGCCGCGCGCGTTCTCGCCTCCACAGCACTCTCCCTCGCCGGCCGCGTCGCAGTCGAGCTTTGCGCTTCCACCAAACAAACGAGTTCGCACCGATGGTCCCTCTTCGCAACCCGAGTCGCCATACGCTACATCGCCGTACACTGCCAGCCCCGTGGCCTCTGGTACGCCTCCAGCGGCCGCGGGATCGCCTGCGTACGCGCAAACCCCGGCCCTGCCGGGAGCGTATTCTACGCCGTACACCAACGGACACACTACCCCCGGCCTGAACCTACCAAACGCGCAAACGAACTCGACGCCTCCCATACAACCTCAGCACCACATGCCAGCACCTCTACCTCAATACACAGCGGCCACGATGGCTCCGACCCATACCCCGGCAGTTGCTCCATCTCCAGGACCTGGCGTTATGGGACCTCCACAGCGACCGGCTGAACGGCCGACTAAAGATTACGAATACGATGTTACCGATTCTCTCGCCGGCACCGGTATCGATCTTCGGGCTGAGGAGCAGTACATGAACGACCTGTACTCGAATAACTTCGATGCCAGCGATGCAAGGACGGGGTTCGCACACAATCCCCCTGGGCCTAAGTCCGCATTTTATGGTGCTGGACCTGCAAATCAGCCCGCTCAAGCCACGACGGATCAGGCTCAAAACCAATTTGCGGTCCAGGAAGCTGAAAGGGCTTGGTCGGAGTCATCGATGCGGCTTGCGGTACAAAGGACCCAAGAGATCAATGACCCCTTCCTGTTAGTAGCCATGTTGCACCGCCGTGCGGAAAGGATAGCGAGAGAGCATCATCTCGGGCTTAATCTTGATCTCAAGAATAACAGCCAGACAATGGGGAAGATGAGGCTTCCAGAGCAGTTCCCCCAGCCGCGGGTCAATGTCAAGGTCACACCGGGTCCGGACTCAACAATGGTTAGCACCACGGGTTCCTACATTCCCCAAGACGCATATCTGGTCGACCAACTTGCCTTGATGTCGATAGCGACAAAGCAGAGGCTGCGCGAGCTTGTCGAAGACGCCAGCGTAATCGCGACCACTCGCCAGAAAACGTCACATGGCGATGTTCCCGATGATTGGGCTCCTGCCGCAGCACCGATGAATGCCGAACCCCTGGGGCTTGTGGAAGATGCTCAAAACGGAGAAGTAGCGGATGGTGTTGACGGGGACCGCTCGAATTCATTAAAGCGTGAGTTTATACATTTGGGTCAGGGTGCTTCCAAATATGCTCACATTCACAGGTTCAATCGACGCAGCCGGTCTAGGAAATGGTATACCACCTGCAAAGTTGCCCAAGATCTCGTCATACATGACGGTCACGATGCGTGAGTTGGCGCGACAAGAACGCGAGTGGGAAGAGGCACGATTACGAAAGCGCCAGAAACGCAAAGATGGCATCCCAGACTCGGGGACCACAACCTCGCGTGCTGGTAGTGTGGCGCCTGGTACACCGGGTTCTGTTGCGCCGGAGCCAGAGAAAGCCCTAACCAAGAAGGAGATGAAAAAGAACCAAGCGATGAAGGCTGCCGAGGCCAACAGTCACGCAAACCAGAACATAACGAGTAGCATGTTCGCCGGGCTAGGAGGCAAGGGTGGTCTTTTTGGCAAGAAGAAGACGGGCAAGACGTACGACTGGATGAATGTGGGACGTGGAGGAAGTGGTACCAGCACGCCCACCAAGAACGCACCTGGCCCAGGCAAAGGAGCTGGAGGTCCGGGTAGTGCTCCGGGGCCGGGAATCCTTGCTATGACTACGGAAGGCCGAAACCGACTCGGTACGTGGAGAGAAGACAAGGAGAAGGGCAGGAATATCCAGTTGCGGGACTGGGTCACAGTGCTAGAGCGAGACGGCCGGGAACACCGAGCCCTCCAAAGGGCATACATGCACCTGGACGCATCAAACCCCAAATAAAATAAGTTGGAATGGCGAGTAATGGAAGACTGGGAACAGGAAATGGGGAACGGGGAACAGGTGGGCATCAGGGCTAAGAAAGAGGGGAGATACCCTGCGCCGTGTATGTTTTGTGAGATTTTACTTAGCCCGGCGTTATCTTAAGGCATAGGGAAAGGCATGTTTGGGCATTGCCAGCTGCAACCGAATCAGGATGCAGGATGAATGCTCGGAGGGGGAAGACTGACGGAGAGGGAGACAAGCCACGCTGAAGCGTTGCATTGACTTGTGTAGTATTTCTGAACTTGGGAAGCGGAGATGGGCCAATGCCAGGCCAAAGGATGAAGAAGCAGATAGGGAAAGAGAACAAAAAATCCTCACATGCATCCAGACCATCCAGACCATTCCCTGTGGCAACCAAAACATTCCTAGGGTGTGCGCCTTGATGCCTTACGACGCGACGCGACGTGGGTGAGTAGTCAATTGTCTGAGAATGTGAGAATGCGCGAGTGCGCGGTGCGGGAGTACCTGTTGATTGAGAGAACAAAGGCGATTACTTAGTTGACTCGAGGAAGGAAAGCCTCGCTTTGTTGGCGTTTAAAAGTGGGACTATGGCGGCATACGTTCCCCTCCCTTCTTTATCTCAACACCGAAGAGGCTTGCTCTTACACTTTTCAAGCTAACTTCCGCCGACAACAAGCGAGTTACAACGCTGAGAGAAACAATCGACCGGATCTAACCCGGTGAATCACGCCCCCGCGTTCCTCGCTGCGCTGTGGATCTTGTGAGAGTCAGGAGGGTCTGAGCAACACCTTACCAAGGGAGACGAAAGCCACGGCGTCACAGATCGAGATCTCGTACCCGCCGGGAAGACCCATCTCGCCATAATCAACTGAGACAGTACGGTGTCACCATGGCTATTGCGGTAAGCGCAAGCGCACACACCCCTTCTTTGATCGAGGCGAAAGAGACCCGTCCGATCAGTTCTCAGTTTGGCTGACTCGAATGTGGGGATGCGAGACAGGCAGTCGGCCAGATCTGCGCCACAGCATCAATCAAGGGAAATCTGGATCAATGTGCGAGACTTGTAGGAAGGGCGGCAGCAGGAGGAGCTAAGGTACGTAAGCTCATGAGGCCATGTGATGGTTGCTGGTGTTGAGAGCTTCTGTATGGGAGGGGCGGGTGACCTAAGGGAATGCCGGAACGAGCAACTGTTCAGGACAAGTGTCTACCGAAACAAGAAGCTCAACAACAAACGCGGTCACACCTGAGATAACATCATCGTCTCAAGTGGGCGGATGCGAAGAGGTCTGTGAGCTTTCGAGAGTCGAGACGCGGTGAATACTTCCGTGAGACATGGACAGGGCCGACTTGATGACACTCAATGAGACTATACGCCCCCCCTCGATCTCTCAACCCGCAGATACCCCTCTGTCTTGCTGGTCCAGAACGGCGATACCTCGCTCTCTGCGTCCAAAATTGCTGTTCACACAGTATACTTACGGGGCGCCCAGATTCTCTTCCTGCCTGAAGCATCCGACTACATCGCCCTCAACGCCCAGGCCTCGCTGGACCTTGCGGAGTCGCAGTCAACCTCTCCCTTCGTGGCGGGACTTCAAGATGCCGCGCGTACGCACGGCATCGCCGTCCACGTGGGTATCCATCATCGCCCTGCTGCAGGTAGCAAGTTGCTGAACCGGAACCTGTACATCGACGCCAAGGGCGAGATCAACGATGCGGCAACGTATGACAAACTTCACGTATTTGACTACGGGTCTCTGAAAGAGAGCGCAACGGTCCAGCCTGGACCGTCACTAACAGCACCGTTCGAGTCCCCGGTCGGCCGCATCGGCAGCCTCATCTGCTTTGATCTGCGGTTCCCGGAGGCGGCTCTGGCTCTGGCTCAACCCGGTGCGAACAGTGCTTGGGCACAACGACCGGCGCAGATTTTGACGTACCCAAGCGCGTTTACACTACGAACTGGAGTGGCGCATTGGGAGGTTCTACTCAGAGCGCGAGCGATTGAGACGCAGAGCTGGGTAATTGCCGCGGCGCAAGTAGGGTTACACAATGAGAAGCGGGCGAGCTACGGCCACAGCATCGTCGTGGATCCCTGGGGCAAAGTAATGCTTCAACTCAAGGGTGTAGTCGATGCAAAGACGGCGGGGGTCCCAGAGGGCACCGCCGAGGACGGTGCGGTGGAGGAGTTGGGTTTCGTCGACATTGACCTTGGGCAGTGGGAGCGGATCCGGAGTGAGATGCCGCTGAAGCGAAGGACGTAAGTGTTGCGTTGCTTTCTTTTGTTGTATTATTTCTTGTTTGGTTGCTTGTCTCTGATTGACGTATCTCATTATTGCTTGCTTTTTTTCCTGTTGTCTCTGCCATGTTTCGGCATATCTGTGTCGCTATTGGATCGACCATCAAAATGGCTTGCTTGCTAACAGGATACAGCGACGTCTACCCCGAGCTCACCCCCACCATTTCATCTTCAATTTTGGAGAGCTGATAAGACTATAAGGGAGTGGCATGGGGTTGAATCTCATAGCGCACATGTTGTCAATAGAGCATAGATCGGTATTGTAGAGTTGTGTTGCTATCTGTGCGCACTAGACATTGACAGTTATCAACGAACTTGCTAAATAGGCGTCTAGGAAATTATCAAAAATTCAACAATAAAGATCAAATGCTACTGATTTCATGAGACATACTCATTCGAGCCTTTTTACTTCTTTTAATGTGTCTTTCCGTCCTATCTGCTAGCTCTTCTGTGTCATCTCCTATTGGTACAATGGAGCAGACATCCATACTGTAGGGTCACGCTGTGCAGCCGCAATATCAGCAAACAACACGCCCAACCACACCTGATGAACTGGTCAATATTACAGCTCCCACCCTTTCAGGCTGGGTTGCAACCAACAGGATGCCGTGCCGTCGCCAATTTGATGTTTACTCACTTATCAATTATTGACTTAACTTAACTCAACACCTCTTCGCCTCTTCAACTCAATGACTAATTCAGAGTGCCAACCCGCAACGCCACCACATCGCACGTCGAGCTGACCAGCCACTTTTATCGTCCCTGCTGCCGTGGGAATAAGACTACGGTACGCCGCGCTCCTTCCAGTGGGGGGTTGACACACGCGTACCATATTATGGAACTACATAGGAGACGGAGTAGTGTTCGATACGCGGTGGCCTGGGAGGTGACTGAGTACCGGGTTGTCGGGACGCAAAACAGGGACCCTGCGGGAGCGGTGACGAATGGATACGTACTCCATACGAATACCAGAGGAGCGGTAGAACAGGCATGCGGGTATCGACTCCATCTGGAAGGGCTCAAGAGAGCGCCCGAGGAGGCAGGCAGGTGAGCCTTCGTACTCGGCGATCATCAGCTCGGTTAAGCTTCGACTGGGGGCTGACAGGATCGAGAGAGTTCCAGACGAGGAAGCCCTGGGCGACCCATACCCATGGGCATGGTTCTGGTTTTGCTTTTTGCCTTTTCTCTATGAGCTATGACCTGTTACTAGAAGTTTTCGTTTTTTCTTTCTTCTTCCCTTATCCTTCCCTGATGGGGGTTGGTTTTGCGCAATGTTGCATGGGATCCCGGTTTTGTCTATGGCTATGGGGAGGGAAAAGTTTGTCTTTGCCTGCCGTGTGATGGTGCCACATAGGGCAGTAGAGTACGAAGTAAAGAAAGTGTAAGTACGCCGTAAGCCCTACTTATTCCTCGGTGACTTATTCCTCGGTGGTAGCTATCGAAAGGGCCGATGCAATTCAAACAAGAATCCACATCGACGGCCGTTCCGGGGAAAACAACGCCGGCGTTGGTCCGCCGTTGGTCCGCCGTCTCATCATGTCTCAGAGCGGATGATGGTCCCCCGGCAAACGGCGATGAACCGACATGTCGGCGACACGGTGCGGAGCTCCCTCTCCCCAGGTACTCGGCTGGAGGAGAAAGGAAGAAGAAAAAAAAAGGGTACCTGCTAGGGTTCCCGGGTTCCGCATCCGCCTCCTCGGTGCGGATATTAGTTGGGATGAAGAAAAGCGGTTGAGCTAGCTATCCCGGAGCATGGAGCCGTACCGACGGGGAGGGAGGAATGCTTGTCGACGGCATCGCACCCTGGCGTTACGCGCGAGGCCAGCGCCGGGGAGGTACCGTAGTGGTTGACCCGAGTTGCTGGGTAACTGGCCAGTGTGTTGGCTTGTGGCCTAGCGGGTAACCTATGTACAAATCTATCAATCAATCCGGCAATCAGTTGGGCGCGAGCAGTGATAACGGTGCCCGATATACGTAGGTGACGTGGTTGGGCTGCTGTGTAGACTTGTAAGACAACAAGACACTGAGGAGGACCCGGGGACGAGATACATGCCCGATTCAGCCTCGGGGCTTGAATAAGTTACTCACAGAGTAGAAGCTATTACTAGATGCATAGAAAAAGTCAATTCTGTGACGGGGAAGCCCGTAGACGTGTTCCCTGGGCGAGGATCACCCATCCACCGTCACCGTCTGTCATCCACTATCTCTCCGCTTCCATGATATCCACCATCCAACCTTCATCACCCACCAATGTCCTCGTGGCCATTGGAGCACGCCAGCTATCACCCAGCTACCACGCAGCCCAGCCCACAGCCCAGCCACGCCTGCTACTACACATCCCTGGCCATACCTGATACCCGGTGGGACACTTCTTCAGCCTGCCACGATGGCAGATCTCGCGTTTCCAGTTCTCCGGGCTCTTGACGAGACAAGCCCAAACTCCAACTCAATCTCGCCTGGCATCTCGCCTGGCCCTGCTCTGTCAGGCATCCCGGTCAACATGCATGCCCGAACCAAACCCCCAGCCTTCCCGAGAAGCCACACATCCCCATCCTGCCGGGGAACTTATTCCCCTTCCTTCCATGCCCGGGTTTGCCCCTACGAAACCGCAAGACCCCTGGCTTCCGTGAGAAAACGCCTCCCCCCCCTGCGTGCCACTACTTCACTTGTAGATTTCCCATATTCCGCACTCCCCTTTGGTTTCGTTTTCTTTACCTTCCTTGTGTGACATGAATTGTTATCCCATGTCCACGCCTGCCACTCCTGTCCCCAAGCCATGATACACGCCCCCCCGCCCCCCCCTTGGCCGTCTTGCCCCCTGTTACGGACGCTACAGGCGCATGTCCGTACGGAGTGCCTTACAGCCCGCTGCAACACGCTGCAACACGCTGCAGGATACCTCCGTTAGGCATGCAAGGTACCTGCTACCTTACCTGATTCCGCCTTCCCCACTGGCCCCTCCCCCCGTTCCCGAGTCCCAGCTCTCTGGACCCGGGTACCGCCTGCATTAGCCCGCCCGGAGCGCCCCATGGACCTGATCGCACAGTGAGGTACCTGCTGGAAGTACCTGCAACATTATCCACTAAAACCTTTTCATCGCTCCAAACCGCCAACACCAAACTCCACCTCCACCAACACGCCCCCCCCCCCCTTGTGCATACATACCTACTACGTATAGTAGTACCCACGTCCCCAGCAAAATTCCCATCATCCCCTTTACTCCGTAGCAGAGATTGAGATGCAACGCCCCTGCCCTGCTTCATCCCATCCAGAACCTCGCCAGAACAACCGGGTCAGGGGTCGCTGCCACGGCCGCCCGGGGAGCATGAAAATCACGACCTGTCACTGTCATCTTGCATTGGTGGCCCGATTTACTGTGTACCTGTTCCTGGTCTCTGCCTAGGTAGGTACCCAGAGGATGGGATTTTGTTTTTCTGGCGCCGCTCCAGAAGCTTTACTTTTTGTTCTCTTCCCAATCCGTCCAAGACCTCAACTCAGCACTCTGTCACATTCCCGCTTAGGTCAGGCACAGGTACAGGCTTCATATTACTACGACTCTAGATGTACTATACTCCATCATGTCAAACTAGCTCCCCTCCCTCCTCCTCGTCTCTTCTCTCCTCTCCTCCCCTCCCCCTCCCCCTCCCTTCTTGCGCCAAAGTAGTATGCAGCCTCGTTTCGCCCATTCATCCATCATTTATTACACATGGTGTACTTGGTAATGTTGGCTTATTAGCCACCTTACCCTCTACGGCGTGATAATTCTACCAATTTAACCCCAACGCCTCTGAGGATTACACTGCAATACGTATACCTTACCTGGTAGGTACTCCGTAGAGGTACTCACTGTCCTAAGAAAAGAAGCTTCCCACTCACCCCTGGACCGCTCCCGAGAAAAAAGTAAAAACCACGCGAGACAACAACACCGTCCGAAGTCTCTCTTCTTCTCTCTCCTCTAATTATGCCCTTCTTCCTTTCTTTTCTTTTTATCTTGGCCTCTCCCGTTTCACTCTTTGCTCTTTCCGGTCCTCTATCTCGCTTGGCCTCTGTTTCTTTTTCCTCCGACTGGCTACCAATTATCCTGTAACTGGTCGCACGGGATCGTCCGTCCCAGCGCAGAGGGACGCTTCTGCTCGCTCCTTCGCTCCCTCCCGCCGCCTTGCCGCCCCCCTGGCACGCGTTTTGGAAGCGCTGCGCCCGCTTCCCATGCGCAGCGCATCGCATCGCATCGCCGTCGCTCGAGCCTCAAAGGCATGACGATCAAGGGTGTCACAGGGTCGTAATTCACAGGTGCTCGGGCCTGTCGCAGGAAATAAAAAAAAAACCGTGGACGCCAACTCGCGTAAAAATAAATCATCCCCTCCCCTCCGCCCCAGATAAAAATTGACGGGGAGGGGCCGGCCAAGGGCTGGATTTACAGCCGCCGAGAAGGACGACAGCATAGTTGTTGTCACAGCACAGTCGCAGCAACCATCACCATGCCTCGGTCGGGTGGTTGCGTCACGAGCAGGTTTCCAGCGTGTTTCCCTCGGGAATTTGAGCGGGATGAGGGATGGGAGCCATGATGGATGGTGGCCTGTTGATCCCTCGGTCTTGCGGTCCACGGCAGAATCTCGTGATGTCGACGTAATCGTATTGGTCTTCCTCGGTGTAACAAATGTCGATATCGAGCAAGGACTGATCCAGATGGGATAAAGGCGCCGGATCCTTCATCCGCCAACCTCGTGTAAACGTCATGCCCTGATTTGTTACAGTTCGGCCGCGCAACCCACACGACTCAGTAACAAACGGGACGCTCCCGCACGCACTCACTCACTAACTCACCCACTAACTCACTCACCCACTCACTCACCCACTCACCCAACGGCTCGCCGCGAGATTCAGCCTCCGGCCACCTGCTCCGCACAGCCGCGGCCCCGTTTCCCCTTGCCCCTAGTCTAAATAGCCCTCCTCCTCCTCCTCCACTAAGTACCTACGCAGCAGCCCACTACGCAGCCCACTAACAGCTCAGCACGTTCGACGCAGCACCTAAAATCAGGTCCGAACGGTAATTAGCAAAGTAGTGCCCACGCGCCTCCGCGCCTCCGCGCCTCAGGCCCGTTCCTACTAACGGACTCTAAACTGACTCGTCCGTTCCCCTGTGTCATCGTCATCTCGCACGGGAGGCCGTTCCCATTGCTAATTAACCGCCCAACTAAAAGGAAAATGCGGTTTTGGCTGGGGCGGACGGAGCGTTATTACACAACATAGGTACGTACCTACTTGTTAGGCACACACCGCAGACGACAGACGACACACAACGCACACGGCGAGGTACAAGCCTAGTTCGTGCAAGCCTATTTTTGTACAACGCGTTGGGGAAACGAAGCCCGTCCGTCCATCCGTCCGTCCGTACGTTGTCTGTCTTGTCGGGTTGCTTCATTAGCCGTCTTGTCTCGTGTGCCTCTCGCGTCCACTGTACATGCTGTATATAGGTACCTTGAGATTGGCCTGTTGGCTGTTGGCTGTTGGTCAATACCCGATCCAATTACACCATTCAACACACCAAATTACCTATCCAACATGGTAAAAGTATAGCAAACAGTACAACCGTTTTGCCGGCTCCCTGCTTCATCTTTTGCATCGACGTCGCACAATCCATACTGTTGGCTCCGCAATCAATCTCCCCAGCTCGCCTGTCTTTCGCCTCCAATCTCTCCAGTCTAGCTATTAAGTCGAGCAGTCACAAATCAGTTACCAAGATGAGAGCCAAAAAGTGTTCGTGATGAAGTAATTATTTTGTATCCTATCCTAATATTCCCCAGAAAAAGGTCATTGCTTCCCTTGCGCTGTGTAGCTAGCTCGTCTTCCTTTCTTATAGATACTATACAGTCTAAGAGGGTAAAAGGGGAGAAAACCTGTGGGGGTATCTTCTATCAATGTCCTGAGTCCAGCCCAGTGCTCCACACGACCGGAGCATCCATGTTTTCTCCCCTCCCTCTCGCACTCATCCAGCAGTCTTGTACACCTATTCAAACAGTACAGGAAAACCAGACCAACGTAATCTCGCAAAGAATCCCTTCGCTGATAAGACATCCTACTCCCGGGCCACGCGCTTCCCGTGAGGGCTGAGCTGCGGGCCAACCATCCCATCCAACAAAAAAGAAAAGTGTGGGAACAAACAGGGAACAATCCAGCGGTAAAAGCCAAGCAAGGGGGTCGCGGCAGATAAAGACCAACAGGAAGAGAAAAAAAAAAAAAAAGAGAGAAAAGCAAACACAGATCCCCCAGTCTATATGCATGTGCCGAAATCGAGACTTTTTTCCCATCCGTTCCCAGTTTTGTAATCCCTTCCCATAATCCCACATGAAAATAAAATAGAAATCCGAATGTTCGTCGTGGCGTGCGACTTCCCTCGGTTCGCGCTCTCTTGTGTACCAGCCCGATTCGGATGTCATATCGATCCAACCCCTTGGGTGTCTTGGTGGTGGGGCCTCGATCTGAGACATGTCGCATCTTGACTGATCTGCATTCCAGCAGTCAACGCCCTTCAGGTGAATGGGGCTGTGATGTCGGTAAAAATGCGGAGGGAGGGAAGGCGAAATGGCTCCAGACGAGGGCCGTCGGGACGCGCGTGATGATGAATGTGTGAAAAAGAAAACGTCGAGTCCCAAAATTTTCCCGTCTATAGTCGAACGCCGTGCACTGAGCTCATGATGAAGAGCAAAATAAATCCAAAGCCGATGATAATAATAATAAAAAAGTTGTGAACCGATGACATTCGGAATGTCATCAGGCGCATCCGTTTTCCTTGAACCTCCCCTTTAGTCCATTGCTGCTGGGAAGCAAGGGATGGCTCTGAGCCGGTGTGTGTATGGTAGTTGACAGGAATGCGAATTAAAAAGTCGTATCGGAATGCATTAAGGTCCGCCAGTGGTAATACGGCTCGCGCTTCCAAGCCCTGGAATAATTAAATGTCGTAACTGGGAATATCGCTCGAAGTTGAACAGGAAACAGGCCAAAAGAAATGGCGGGCAAATCACCCAAAAGCGAGCGCGCTCAAGCGGCTGTCAAGCTGGGTTTGACTGCCAGTGGTGTGTGTTGACGTGGTCATCGGTCGCATGCGCGCCGGAAAACATCTGACGATGCTTGGCCGGCGATCCGAAGATGGCCTCTTATTGCGGCTTCGGGCGAGGAGGGGGCTTGGGAATACCAGTTGTATCATAGGCTCCTCGTCCCATGTTGCAAGGGCTTGAAGACTCTCTGCAAACCATGATTGCTGTTGCGGAAGAGTGTGTGAAATGGTGGTGCTGGAAGGGAAGCGCTGTTAGTCATGGTGTTTTGGAGGAGAGGACAGATGAGGAATCAGGGGCTAGCGTGGGCAGCTTTATAAGTCGCGGGAAAAGTCAAGATTGCGACCCAGAATTTGATTTGAAAGACGGACAAATGCTGGGTCCAGGCAACCTCGCAAAGATGGGTTGAAATGGGCAAGGGGACTCTGACTCACAAGATTAGATGTCGTCGTGGTGCGACAGGAAACACAGCCAAGCAGATGGTACGCCGACGCGGATTGGCGGGACGACACAAGTGACGGGGGCGAAGCAGCAGGTGTAGAGAGCGACAAGACAGCCGAATGGCGGCCAATATGCGAGCGTCACCAATATAATTGGAGTGTTTCGGAGGCAGCGGGCTCGGCAAAGAAGTCGAGGAGACGAGTGGACCAAGGCGGAACCAATGTGTTGGGGAAATGCGACACGAGCGAGAGGTTGAGGTTGCAGACGCAGATGATGGGCGGACAAGTGCGTGCCGAGGTCGAAGATGCAGACGCAAGAGATGGAAGGAAAAGGGAGTTCGTCGGGAGTGCTTGAGCGTTTGCGCAACGTGCAAAGGAAAGCTGGTGACCCGGGGAGTCGTCCTTTAAGGGGAGATCGTCTGGGGCTTCTGGTAGAAGGTTTTGCTGTCAGGCACGGTGCAGTAGAGCGGATCGATAGCAGAAAAGGGTGGCGCCGGTCGGACGGTCGAACGAGGGTGGAAGCAGGCGAGTGGGTCAGACAACGGGGGGGCCGACTACTTTAGAGGGGGCGTGAGGTGAGTGAGGCGAGGTGAGATGAGGTTGATGGAGCCGAGCGAGATGCCAGTGGTGGTGTTGGCGTTGGCGTGTGAGTGTGTGTAAGAGGATATCCCAGAGAGAGAGAAGCAAAAGGATGCTGAGAGAGGAAGGAGACGACGAGGATGAGGAGGAATTAACAGTCGAGGGATTCTGAATCGAGAGATGAGGGAGGCAGCATGTCTCTTTTGTACAGGCCGTTCAAAAAGGAAAATAGAGAAGGGGGTCCGCGCTCCGTCTGGTCTTGGTCTTGGACGTTGGCCAAATTGCTGGGAGAAATTTCCCCTGTGGCTTCCTGGGGGGTTCCTGGAAGGCTTGAGCCTAGGGGGGGGGGGGGGTTGGTCCCTGGGGTCTGGGGCCTGCCCTGGCGCCCTGGCGTTGGGACGCCCTGGCCGCTTGGGAATGAAGCCGCCCAGGAGTGAAAAAGGAGGGTACCTGGCCTGACCTTGTCGGTGGCTTTTTTTTTGCTCAGGGCCCTGGATGTCATCCAGTCCTCCAGCATCCAGAGGAATCCATGGACAGGTACGGAGTACTCCGTAGACGAGGCGGATGCGCCTGGGCAGCATGTCCTGGGCAGCATGTACATACAGTGCCGTGCCCATGTGGAGCGGAGAGATGGATGCTTGAAGCCTTCTGCCTCTCCCATGCCGGATGCTGGATCCCATGCACGCTCCCATGCGCGTTCCCATGCTTCCAAACTACCAGAAGTCCCAGAGTTCCCACAACTCCCAGCTGCCAGGCAAGCAAGCCCAGCTCGGGGATCTTTGGGTGTGAACCGGGGCGCGCTGATCCGCCCTGGTGTCCTGCGGCCCTGCTGCCCTGCGGCACCGCGCATGGAACCTGAACCAACTGTACACCCCCCCCCCCCCCAAACGGAAGCCACACGGCACGGCCTCGCTCCCTACAGCATCTCTCCCGTCAACAGAGGCCACTGCACTGTCCTGCCAGGGTGTGTGGCTTCTCCTGTGTCTCTGCTTTCCGCCTTCTGCTGTCTGTCGCCTCCTGTCGTCTGTGTCGTCTCTTGTTCTGAGTTTGTGTCGCGTCGGGAGGCGGCAACCTCAGTGACCATCGTCATCTTAGCCACCCCTCAAATGTCCATCGTTGAGCGTCGCACGTCCAAGCCCAAGCAGCTCATGACGAAGTAACGACATCACCTCCACGTCTTCATCCCACGCCCCCATCCTTCCGTATCTCAACCTAAGCTCGCTTGCCTAGCTAGGTAGGTCGGTAGAGAGGTCCAGAGGCAGCTGAACAACTACCGTAAACGCCAGCCCATCCTCCACAGATAGACGCACACATCGCGCCAAAGTGCGTTCCTTCGTCCTTCCTTTTGCAATCACGGCTCCCACCTCACCCTCCCCGTCGCCACAAGCATTGCTGCTTGCTTGATGAAGGCGCCCACCCCCCCCGCCTGGCCCAAGAGGTGGGCTCCCGGGACGCCGTGGTGGATCCGCAACATCGCAAGCCAACCGCCCCGGTGGGAACTAGGACGTCAGCTTCTTTACCTCTCCAGGTACCGTACCTCGCTCACACCCAAGGTACTCAGGGCCGTGCCGCCGTACTGTGCTGGGCGTCTCCCCGAGGTACCTCATCTGCCCCTGTGCGCCTTCTAAGCTGGGGTCCTCCATCCATCCTCTCGGTGCTCGTTTCCGCTGCATCCCCCCAACAGGGAAATGGACCCCTGGACCATCCAACCGGCCAATTCACCCACCGCGTTTCGTCGTCTGGAAAGCTGGGCCCTTGATTCTCCATTACCATCTGTCACTTTTGCCTCCGTCGCTTTGTCCGTTCTTGTCTCGTCCTCTTGTCCCTTGCCCCGTTTGTCACGGCCATAGTAGCCATCGTAACCACTGTCGTCACTCTTTACACAATGCTTCAGTCGTAGACCCATCCCCTTGGATCATCACTCCTTCATACGCCTTCAGAGGCACGCACGCACCAATGCGTTCCATATGCATCCACCGTGCTTCGTACTCCATACCCATCGCTCCGAAGAGATGCGCCCTCAGGCATGCAACCTTTCTTTTTCCTGCGATCCCTCCGTCATGCAGCTCCGAAAAGTCGATCATTTTTGGGGTCCCGACCAGCAACAAGAAAGAGAAAAGAAATCTCTACTCCATTCGTGTCTCACTTAATCGCAATCGCAAATTTTCGAATTCAAGGGAACTTGTTGAGGTGCGTGGGTGCGGTCGGTGTGGCCGGTTGACAAAAGTGACAGGTAGGATGGTCTGTCGCAGTCAGACACCAACAATGAGTGCGTATGACTGCCTGTGCATTCTCCTTGCGACTGGCCTCCCAATTCCATTTCTTTCAAACTCCACAATATCGTAATAGCTGGCCGCGGCGGAGCTAGAGAGCCAAGACGTCCAGCTGTTGGGTCCCATTGCGCCCGAAAGCTGCCCGCCACTGTTGAGCTAACAATGGCTTGATGCCCACTGAACGCCCCCCTTGCGCATTCAGTCGCGTTCCTTTCTTTTTCCTGTTTCCTCCTCCCTCTCACCGCAATCCTCCCTGCCGTCTTTTATGACGAAAAGATAGTGCGAAGAGATGATGGAAAACTTTTGTTGACATGTCCATCGGCGCGGCCTCCAATTTTCGCTGTTCCGTGCGCGCCAGAGCGACAACATTGTGGCGGCCATGCCATCTCTCATCCCTCTCCTTAGCCAACGCAAATCGACGGTGCAAGCGCCGGCACGGATCCCTTCCCCGGAGCTCGACGGCGAACAGGATCCCACCGTCAGCGTTCCCGGCCATCATTCGTCTGCTGCAACCGCCGTGCACCACCGGCACCGCTAATTTTGGTCCTGTCGTGTCTATGAGCACGGCTCCCAGGCTATTCCTGACCTGCGCAACGCTGTGTTTGGTCAACGTTTTACCCCATTCTCCGGGGAATAGTTGTCCCTGCGGTGAAATCGCAACTCTTACTTGACCTAGGTCGGGGCCTCCGATTCAGGTTGTCAAACCAAAGCCAAGCCCCAAGCCGGTTATTATTAGATCATGACTTGCGGCAATCTCTGTCATCTACTTCGTACTCTTAGCGACTTCTCGAAGTTACCCGTGATATAACTTAAGTCATCGGTTTGGATGGGTGTCCACCGGCGAGACGTCGGAGGCTCGCCAGTTCCCGTCTTCGACAATTGGAGCAGATAGCCTGGCCAGCAACCAAGAACCTGATTCTCGTCCAGTCAGCAGGTGAGGTCGCAGGGCTGCGATTAGGAAACCCCACGTCTTCAATGCAGCCTTTGTGGCATGCTTTGGCAGCAGTTAGTATGCGACTTGTTCTCAAGTTTCTGATTGGGTACCCATTAACAGCATAAAGGCCCACGAATCAGTCTCCGATCTTGGTTGGCCTAATGGGGCAGTTGAGAATGGCAGTTGCAGGTTTTAGCTCGTGTCGAGCGACGAATTCCTGTTTGTCATGGCATCACCTGGTACTCCATCGGCCCTATCATTCGGTCGCATGTCGACTGCTGACCGCGCGTCCCCGCTTATGATACCGATTCCCAAGAATCCGGAATGTTTGGGGACGTTATGTGGCTGCCTGGCATCTCCAGAGGACCTGCGGCACATGCAGCAATGCGGCCAAGGTCAGTGCCGTGACGCATGACACCAGCCCAGCACATGTGATATTTGCCCATATCATCTGGCGAGTTGATGGCCCGTACAAGCATGATATCGTTCCATTTCCTCCAATCGTTTGGAAGTTATGAACCAATCTCCCTCTGTCGCGCCCGGGTGTGGGACGCAGTATCGATTTCGAAGGCCAATTGTCCATTTCGATGTGTGACTGTTTCACATTCAGCTGCCTCTATCGTTCCGCGCAAGTACATAGCACGTCGCTGGTGGCATCCAGGGATCCCTATCGAACAGGGCCAGACGACCTCCTGAACCTTGCAACGGACCCGTTGCCGGCCTCGCCTAATGATAGTTTGATCCGACGGCTTGTCAAGCGCGTGCAATCGGCCAACGCACCACCACACACCCTTCTCACCGGCTGCACACAGAAACTTGTCAAAGGACCACCCTGGCCTTGTCACGTATGAGCGATGATTTGCTTCAACAGTTGCTGCTGAGCGAGGTCGGAGAAACAGCATCCTCTTCGAACCCCGGCACTAGGCGCAACTGGCAACTTACGCGGGCTGTGAGGGCTTAGCGAATCGGTCAATAATCTCGAGACGGTTCGATGACCATGTCTTTTTGCCCAGGTGATCCGTTGGCAACGCTGATCCAGCCTCCGCTTACTCCTAAGTTACGTAGTACGTACTTCGTAGTAGGCCGATGAGTCCCTGCATCTCGGTCTGTCATGGCCTTTTGTTCGGTGAGCATCGCGGTGGGTCGATGGGGCTGCAGAAACCTTCCAGAAGGCACTCAACACGGGACCCCAGACGCAAAGTACTTTGTACCGTGCTGGCTCGGGGTCGGATCCGGGTACACACTGTATTACTCGTGCAGTCATCCGCTACCAGGATCGGTCCCCAGGTGTACTCCCCTAGCCCATGAGCGTCAGCCCCGTGCATCGTCGGGTACCCTCTTCGTCTGTGTTTCGTACCCAGGCACAGCAATTTGTGGCAGCCTTGATCTCGTGGAGCCCATTTGTCGATGAGAGGAGCCACAAGCAACTCCCGTTCCCTCCACTCTTTCAGGGGGGCTTGCGGAGGCCCCACCTTAGCGTGGACTCCCACATGTTGTGACGGCTTGCGTGGTGCCTAATCAAAACTCGTACCGGCGGCGTTCCTGCATTAGCCAATTTCATGGCCAAATCAGGCCTTGAAACAGGGGTGTTTTGTCCTTTCGGCGGGTGACAGACTGACACGGCAGTCTATTGATGGTCATTTCAAGGACATCTAATGGTGACGCCTCTCAGCGTGTCAAGGCCTCTTTCATCCGCCGTCGGGGGCCATTGAAACAGTTGGCGCGCCCGTGGTCTCAATTGTCGGATCACGTCGCGTATCCGCCCCGTCATGTGACATCTTCAACGTCGAACGCCTCGGAGGCCTTGCCACGATCAGGAAGCCTCCGCCGCCATGTGTCACCGCATGGTCGGACCCGTTCTCGGCTACCATTGATGTATTTTTCCTAATGCAAGGACATGCAAACTGTGGGAGGTCATCGTCCATCCTAACATGGAACATTGACACGGACCTTCGAAGCACTTCCCAGCCTCCATGGCAAGGATCACAACCTTTTGGTTGGGACGCTGGGAGCGAGATCCAGAAGCCCCGAGGCTTGGTTAGCCCTTGTTCCGGAGCGCATCCCGGCGAGTCGTTTCGCGGAGGCTGTCCTAGGGTGCCACTGGCTCTGAATGATGGACTTACTACGTAGTAGTTGGCTCGGGCTCATCTGGCGTCACCAGGTGCTGTGACTACCAATTCGCTATGCCAAATGTCTCCAAAATACACTGTCAAGCTTTATAAACAATACCTATCTTTAGAATCAGTCGTCAATCACGGGCATATCGGCAATATACTAGCATGTGTAATAAACTCTGACGCAGTGTCAGCAGCTTATTTGAAGCAGCATTTACCACACTTCTGTGACAGCAGTTCGTATCAGTCAGGAAGCCCCAGCCTGATGAGATGAGGACCCTTCTTGGCATCCCAACTAGTGGGCCGTCCCCAAATCCACCTATCGGGTTCGTGGCGCAGGTGCATTGCAGTCTAAGCCCAATCGAAAGGTTTACCCGGGGCCTGTCCTGCTGTCGCCATGTTCCAGAAGCCTCAGCGAAGGCTAATTGCTCCAGGTCTCAATTGAAGGTCCAGCAGTCGTGTTTTGAAGTCTAACTCGACAAATAGGTCGGCAACGCATATCGCGGACTCAATGAGATCAGGGTTTCGTTTCTCAATGTGGCTTGCGAGCAGCGATTAGCATCGGGAGATGTCAACAATCATGCGTGGTCGTACTCTTCCTCGTCAATCATCATTCCGTTCTGTCCAGCGACCCCAGAGAATCGCCGAGCTGTCAGGTCCCAGGCTGCTGTTTGAGCGGGTTGAGGACCAGGATGGTTAGGGTGGTTGGGTTGGGCCTCGTGGCACCGGGGAACTGCTTCCGCATTGCAGGGCATCCGTGTTCGAATCGCTGGGTAATTTCAAAAATTTTCGTCCTAATATCCCCACGGTTCCTGGGCCACCATGTGGGGTCGAAACTTGCCTCCTAATTTAAGTAAGTCGCCTTCTGGAAGGACGATCTGCAGTGCCAGTTGTTCGCTCCAGTAACCCACTTATCATTCGAGCCGGTTGAACTCCTGGGCGATGGGTCGAGTCAGGAGGATGGGGCTACGGGCTCAATCGCTGGCCGCGCCGTCCTCCCGGAATGATCGATATCAAGATGATCTCGACGCCCGTCGAAACCAGTAGTCCATTGGGAGCGTGTGTCTGTGCCTGAGCTCCTTTTGGCTAGTCATGCGTTGTAGCGTCGCTCCCGGCTATGATATCAGTGTGACGGTGCAAAGGCTGACTCGTTTGGGGGAGGCCGCTCGCAACCAACCCAGTACGTAGCGGCAATTTCGTCGTCCGGGGAAGCAGTGTGTGACACGGCGTCTCCCGTCCAACCGCCCAACCGCCCTACCGTCCTGCAGCTGTTCCGTCCCCGCAAATCGAGTCGAATGCGGTTATGAATCCGGGAGTGCTGCTCCGTGTAAGTGCGACTCGCTGCGTCCGTTTGGGAGCCCTGTACGGGAGATGCGACGTCGAGGAGGAAAAATGGGCCTGCAGCGCGAGGCGACACGGCCGGGGACGAGGAAAGAGATGGCGAAATTGGAGGTTGTGTCGTGTCTCGATAATGTCGTGTCATGTGCCCTCATCGGTGAGTGGTGTCGAAGCAGGTGCCTTAGTAGGCAGGAGCTCCGCGGTTGTTACTCGACGTATTCGGAATCAGAACCTCGCTGGTGCAGGGTAGTGACACATGACAATGTTGCATTCGGCTGGCTGGGCCCTGTCGTGAACTGTGATGGGAATGCTCTGTGCTCGAAATTTTCCGACTGTATAGGTCGACTTTGCTATGTTGCTTGAGGAAATCATCCCGATGGGTGACAGTAGCGACCTGTGCCGCAGCTAGGTCGTCGGTATGGGCATGCTTGTGAATCGACCGAAACTACGACAACGAACGCGTTATCCAAGTGTAGTTTGATGGGAAAAGAGTGAGTGAAAACATGTGTGAGTTACCAACACGTAGTACAACATGGCCCCAGGCAAAGAACATGTCAAGTATTCTCTCGGATACAGGCTATCGCCGCAATCGCATGTAGATTGAAACCAGAGTTGCAGGTGGAGGTACAGGTTAGGTTCGCCAGGTTGAGAGTCGACCAACTGATAGATGTCATGGACCATAAATAAAATGTAGCCAAAAAAGATAGTGGTGTCGGGTTTCCCTTGAAATATAGAAGTATGTGATGTTATCACTTCGGATTGTTTTGAAATTCCGTACCTGTATTTCCCAAATGTTGTGAAGGCGGCATCTGTTACGACAACATTCAAGTATACCCACCTTAGGCATATGAGGGAGAAGCAATGAGACATATCCTTCACAATAGCCGGGTAACTTATTATGGTTCAAGGCACCCCCGCTGACGACGAGTTTAGTGAACGAGAAGCCATTGTGTCGTGGCCTGCAGTTGTTTGGCCTGCAGTTGTTGCATGCTAAACGAAACTGACAGTCTCAAGCTTGGGTGTTGATACTTGCGACACAGCTTGGCCATAACTAGACGCAGATAAAACGGGCCTTGTGAATGGACCTCGATCCCCTATAGTGAGTTCCATACAAGTATGTATGTGGTCTGGAGAAATCGCAACTCTCTCCAAGACGTGTGATGGCCAAAGGAACACAACATCTCGGATCAACCTCATCAACAAGACATGGCTAGGCAGGAAGGTTGCGTGATTTGAGTTCCGGTTGACCCTGGACATCCATCTGTCAGTCTGGAATTGTCACCGGTGATGGTAACAGCACCACCGTCAGCGGACCCGGGAGGATGGGCACAGATATTAGAGTATCCAGTAGCCATTGCGTCCTTCCCCTACAAGCTTTCTCCTACCGCATGGCCCAGTAATTTATGCGACATATATTGGCCTTGAAGCTCCAGTTTCGTCATTCATACGAGTCAGTGACCTTCGATGTGATCAATCTGCATATAGGATATAGGGTAGTCGGAGGCGTGAACGCAGCTGGGAAGGCAGCAACGATAACATTGCCCATTCGCTCGTAAAACCCACCGGGGTGGTAGATTTCAACGATTTGCATATGTTGCACTCAAACGCTGCGGGTGAGAGTTGGGTACTTTCAACTTGGGGTTTCCTCTCAAAGTAAACAAAATATGTGCTGGGCGTGTAGGGGCATTCGAAATATCCTGGGGCGAAGAGTATAACTTGACTTCGGATAGGAAGCCATACTCGACATGTTTCAGTAAAAATCAACTGCATCCTTTTTGTCATTTATCATTTGCCCCAGCCAGATTCATGATATGGGGAAAATGGAGAGGTTGACGATTTACAGCTTCAGATAGATACAGGCGAAGGCGGGAAACCGAGGCCAGATATGTCCAGAGAGGTGCTTGCATAATCCCAAATGATGACGTGACAGAGGAGGACAAAAAACCACTTTAGAGAGGAAATGGCGTTAACTTAACAATGCACTGGATGGGATATTGTCATGGACCCAATTGTCGACTGTTTGGCTTGTCCTCGACAGCCCCAATCGGGAGGAGGACACGTCTATGTGTTAGTATTTTTGACCGACATTGGACGGAATTTCTGTTACTCGACTGGAATGAATAACTTTCATTTCCGTAAAATATCCTATCAGATGGAGCCCCGGTGATTTTGCGCATATTTGCCGCCGCTTTGGGGGAGTTCGGGAACCCATTTGGCGGAATATCGTCACCGCAGTTGAGCTCCCCTAATTGGCCCCACTGCTGTGCCACATGTCCAGCCTCATCCCCACCCCGCCATCGCTGTCACTGACGCAGTTGCATCGACAGACCGAACGTCAACCAAGCTCCCATCTACCTCGCCGAGCTCCCCGGTCCACCATCGCAACCGCACCAAGAAACCGCCCGCGTCCCGTCGAACAAAGCAAGACAATTGCACAATGTCCATCATCCAGCAACACACCAGCGCCACGCTGAGCGATGCCTGGCGCACGATCAACATCGATGCCTTGACCGAAGACTCCAGCCTCAACTTCGACACCTCGACCCTCCACCCCCCGCAGCCCGAGATCACCGAGGCCGAGGTGCGACAGCTTGCTGGACAGGTCCGGCAGCTCCTGCGAGGAGGCGATCCTGAGGGTGCCCTGAGAGGGTGCTTGGAGACCCCCGTCTACAACGGCGACGAAGGTGCAAAGGTGCGTTCGGCCAGGGCGTGGCTATGGGCGGAATATCCGGGTGTGAAGATAACCAAGCTGACATGTGCGGTTGTGGATAGGATGCCCATATGCAAACCATTATTGAGGTTCTTCAGTCCATCAAGGCAAGCGACATGAGCCCGTTGCTCAAGAGCATCTACGGAACCGAGGGTGGCAGCGAGTGCCTGGACGTATTGATGAAGTACATGTACGTTGTGATATCTGAAACATCTGGTTCACGTCTAACAATATTGAAACAGTTATAAGGGTATGGCGGCTACGGCCCACCCCGGGAACGCATCGAGGTCGCCGACCAAGGAGTCTTCGCAGGGATTCAGCCAAGTTGGAGGACGACCCGGCGCAAACGAGCCCGCCACGGCGGCGATGAGCGTGCTCCTGAGCTGGCATGAAAAGGTTGTCGAGGTTGCTGGACTGGGCTGCATTGGACGCACCATGACGGACTGGCGCCGTGTGTAGATGTTGGGTGGGAGTTGCTCGATATTCAGCCAAAGCAAGGCTACATAGACTTGACGGATCCTTCGAATTTTAAACATGAAGAATTCCCCGCATGCATGCGGGAAGCTCATTGGGGTGTCATTTCTACATTTGTGATACAACATTGTACATCCAGGGGTTACGAGCAATTATTTTTGCTCCAAGAAATCCTTCAAGTTGACCTCACCGCTTCCCCTGGGGAGCGGTGACGGCTGGTCCTTGCTCTCATGCCATCCGATCATGTATATGATTCTGAAGGTTGCAGGGATGGATCCATCGGGATTACCATGGAGCTCTCGATAGATGGCATCGCCGGCGAGGAGCACATCCCGCCCGATAGCGCCCATCTCTCTACCCAGGATAGCATTTCCCTCCCCCATGGCTTGAAGGTCTTGCATGAGAGCAAACATGTCTGGGTAATCAACAATGATGTCATCAATGTCTACTGTGAGCATTTTGAAACCGGCTTTCTGAAGCAGGCCACCAACATCTCTTACGTCTGCCAAAGGAGAGACTCGTGGAGACATGCCGCCGCGCCTCTCCTGCTCCGCCAGCTGAAGCGAAGTCCGTAGTTCGAACAACGTATCGCCCCCAAGCATAGCACCGATAAATGGACAATCTGGCTTCAGGATGTTATTGATCTGGGTTAGAATGCCTGGGAGATCGTTGATCCAATGGAGACTCAGAGAGCTCATGACTAGATCGAAAGAGCCAGCTTCGTAGGGGATTGACTCTTCATCGTCCAAGACTTGTCGAGTGATATTGAGTTGCTTGTTGAACTCATCATCGATATCTCGATATAGTAGGGACTGAGACGAGTCTGCAGCGACCAATTCGGTGATTCGCTTGGACAGCGGCGGGGAGACGGGCATTACTGGGTCGGGATCAGGGTTGTCCCTCACGAGAGCTCGCGCTATGTTACACGAATTGGCACCGAGGTCGAGGACTCGAGGGAAATGACGGTTGATATCCTGAGATGTAGGTCAGAGGCGAGAGGTCACGGCAAGAGGCGAACCGGGGACGATGCTTACCAGGAGTCGCTCGGAGAGTCGCATGGCAACCTCGTCTTTCAGGTAGTCGGCCTGGCGACTCAGCTCGGGATTGGTCGCAATGCGTTCCTTCTGAAGCCATTTGGTCCGCCGGTTGAAGACCTGGAAGCGGGGAGCTCCCGGAGCCTGGATGGCGTAGAAGCGGCGACCAGCGACGGAAGCACGGAGGGTGGTAGCCCGTGGCAAGGCGCACAAGCTAGGGCGCATTGTCAAAAAGGGCCGCGCGCATGCCTTCATGGCACCCCTAGCCTGCAGAGGAGGTCTGCGGAGAGCGGCGTTGGAATGATAAGTGGCGGACGCGGTAGCAGCGAAAAATCGCTGGTGGGATGCAATGCGAAGTCATGATGAGAGCTCTTCGGTGGGAGTGGGATGCACACGTGGCGCACGGGCCACTTAGCGGCCAGCACCTCTCTGGATAAGCTTGGCTGCTTCTGGCGTGTGGCCGCACGAGGCAGGAGGCTTGCACGGCCAAGTCCAAGTCGCTTCGCTGGAGATCACGGCCCCCCAACGTACGCCAACCCAGCGACAGGGCTCACCTCCGTCTCCGCCTCCTCCACGTCTGCCCGCGACTTGCACCTTGCAAACCGTCGACTGCACCTTCAGCGACGACCCTTCCACCGCGCTCGCCCTCTTGCCAGTATCTTGGCATCCTCCCGCAACGGCCGCATCTCCCGACGCCGACGCTCCCGCTCCTCGTCAGCCCACGAGCCTCCCGTACCTCCCGCACCTCCCGGTTGCTCTCGCCCCTCCATCGCCCCCCGTCGACGAACAATCGATGTACGCCGCCTAAGCCATCTGGGCACGCCGAACCGACTATGCAATCTATGCGACATTCGTCCACACTGTGACTGGGAGATCTACTGGCATCCTCTTGTCTCGCAGCCATCGCAGCACCTGGTCGCAGACCGCAACGTTTAAACACTCCACGAAGCGTGTAATCAGGGGCCGTTGGCAAATTACCTGCGCGGGCCCCCCCGACATTGCCCACCATGTCGTCCACCGGCACCGGCTTCCTGGGCCGCTCGAGCAGCAGCAACTCGAATATGCGAGGTCTCGTCCAGTTTATTGCCGATTTGAGAAACGCTCGTGCCCGAGAGCTTGAGGAGAAGCGAATCAACAAGGAGCTCGCCAACATCCGCCAAAAGTTCAAGGATGGCAGCCTCAGCGGCTATCACAAGAAGAAATACGTCTGCAAGCTGCTGTACATTTACATCTTGGGATGGAACGTCGACTTTGGTCACCTCGAGGCAGTCAACCTGATTTCTGCAAACAAGTACTCCGAGAAGCAGATTGGCTATCTCGCCATGACTCTTTTCCTGCACGAGAAGCATGAACTGCTTCACCTTGTCGTCAACAGCATCCGCAAGGACTTGCTCGATCACAATGAACTCTTCAATTGCCTTGCTCTTCACGCAATTGCGAATGTCGGAAGCCGAGAGATGGGAGAGGCCCTCAACGGAGAGGTCCACCGACTATTGATTTCACCGTATGTTCTGAACTCTTCCGTTGCTGTGTTAGGTACTGATATCTAGGATACAGGACCTCCAAGTCATTTGTCAAGAAGAAGGCCGCCTTAACCTTGCTTCGATTGTACCGCAAGCACCCAGACATTGTCTCACCTCAATGGGCTGAGCGCATTATCCACCTGATGGATGACGCTGACCTGGGAGTTGCCCTCTCTGTGACCTCGCTCGTCATGGCCCTGGCCCAGGACAACTTGGACCAGTACAAGGGTGCATATGCCAAGGCGGCTGCCCGCTTGAAACGCATCCTTATCGACGGAGAGTATACCACCGACTACCTCTACTACAAAGTACCATGTCCCTGGCTCCAGGCCAAGCTCCTCAGACTTTTGCAATATTTTCCTCCCCCTGGTACGTTGAATGCCGATAAACCGCTTGGTACATTATTGACAGAAGTGTGCAGATGACACCCACGTGCGAGACATGATCCGAGAGTCGCTGCAAAAAATCCTGAACCTGGCCATGGAGACGAGCAAGAATGTACAGCAGAACAACGCCCAGAATGCAGTCCTCTTCGAGGCTATCAACTTGATCATCCACTTGGATACTGAGCACGGATTGATGAAGCAAATCTCCTTGAGACTTGGCAAGTTCATCCAGAGCCGGGAAACCAATGTGAGATACTTGGGTTTGGAAGCTATGACCCATCTCGCGGCTCGAGCCGAAACTCTTGATCCAATCAAGCAGCATCAGGATATTATCCTTGGCTCCCTCAAGGACCGAGATATCAGCGTGCGCCGCAAGGGACTCGACCTGCTCTATAGCATGTGTGACTCCTCCAATGCACAGGTGATTGTTGGAGAGCTCCTGCACTATCTTCAAAACGCCGACTTCGCCATCCGTGAAGAAATGGTTCTTAAGATCGCCATTCTTACGGAGAAGTATGCCACCGATGTTCAGTGGTATGTCGATATCTCTCTTCGACTGATTGCAATGGCCGGAGACCATGTCAGCGATGAAGTGTGGCAGCGAGTAATCCAGATCGTGACGAACAATGAGGAGCTTCAGGTTTACGCAGCTCAGAATGCGCTCCAGTATGTTAAGTCAGACCACTGCCACGAGACTTTGGTCAAGATCGGAGCCTACATCTTGGGAGAATTCGGCCATCTTGTTGCCGATCAACCTCGATGTAGCCCGATTGAACAGTTCATGGCTTTGCAAGGAAAACTCAACGGATGTTCGTCCAGCACCCGCGCCATGATTCTATCCTGCTTCATCAAATACGTCAACCTATTCCCGGAGATCAAGCCTCAGCTCATGCATGTGTTCGAGTTCCACAGCCACAACTTGGACTCTGAACTGCAACAGAGAGCCTGCGAGTATCTGACCCTAGCACAAATGCCTACAGATGACCTTCTGAGAACCCTCTGTGACGAGATGCCCCCATTCCCCGAGAGGCAATCTGCGCTTCTTTCTCGCCTTCATCAGAAGCATGCCAATACCAGCGATCGAAGGACCTGGGTGGTTGGTGGCAAGGACGCCAACACGGATGTCTCCGAGCTGAGCATGGCTAAGCCTGGGGCTGTGAAGAGGTCATTCAGTTCCACAGCTAATCTAAATGGCAAGGCTAATGGTCCTAATGGCGCCAACGGTCACGCCAACGGGGCTTCTGACTTGGCTGGACTTGATATGAACACTCCCGGTCCCTCTGAGCCAAAGATGTTGAAGGCACCAAACCTTGCCAGTGCGGCCCATTTGTCCCCTGGCTGGGAGCATGGCTACAATAGGTTGCTAGTCAAGTCTGATGGCATTTTGTATGAAGACGGCCAGCTCCAAATCGGCGTTCGTTCCGAGTACCGTGGCCAGATGGCCTGCTTGATCACATATTTCAAGAACAAGACGCCTACTGCAATGGGCTCATTCACGACAACTTTGGATTTGGACGAGAGCGAGAAGAGCAACCTCACCTGGGATGTTAAGAACCTCCCAGACAGCACAATTCCACAAGGGGGACAGTCTCAACAGGTGGTCATGTTTGAGTCGAAGAAGGTTTTTGAAAAGAGCCCGACTGTCAGAATCAGTTATCTGGCTGGTGCCTTGCAGGCTCTGACTTTGAAGCTCCCTGTGACAATCCATAAGTTCATGGATCCGGCCGAGCTTACTGCCGAGGACTTTTTCAAGAGATGGAAGCAAATTGGTGGTGCCCCTCGAGAAGCTCAAGGTGTCTTTGGGGTCTCTAAGGGGAACAGGGAGATCACGGAGAAATTCGTTTCTGGCACTGTGGAAGGATTCAGGTGGCGGCTGCTCGACATGGTTGATCCCAACCCTAAGAATCTTGTCGGTGCGAGTGTGTTGCACACAGCTGAAGGTGGCAAGTTTGGCTGTCTCCTGAGACTTGAGCCAAACTACACTACCCAGGTGAGTCCCCAATTCCAAGTGCGCGAGGGTTTATGCTAACGCTGTCTCCTAGATGATCCGGTTGACTATTCGCGCAACTGACGATGCTGTTCCAACAGTGCTTCTGAAGCTCATGCAGGACCGGCTAGCTGCTGGGGTGTCGACGGCGGGTGAGAGATTTGAGCCGCCCTCGCGAGACGAAATCTCGGACTCGTTTCGGAATGTGATGGTCAACTGATCCGCATGCCGATGTCTTCCTTCTATATAATTCACGTGAACGGAGTTGTCTTGATATCGCACACAAGCATACGGGCGTTTGGGATCTAGCATGAGGAACGGACTGGACGAAATGCTCGATTGGTCTTTAATCATCGCCGAAAAGTAACCTGCGCTGTCTAGTCATCCATTCCTGTGGCCTATGGGCCGAGCATACCAATTCGCCACGTACAGAGCGGTTGTGGATAGGGAGGATATAGTTTCTAGTTGATACCATGAATCTCTCGTTTTGGATCGATGCCTTTAACCCATTGCTCACTCTTTGCCGTTGATGTGTATGTCACTTACCCAGAGCAGAGGGAATTAGATAACCCACCCTCATCGGGGATTGAGGGGGTGACCTCGCAGCAAGAAAACGTCGAGTTTAGATCTTTCTCTATTACCTCGTCTTTCTCTGCTAGTCCTTGATCTTGGCATCCGCCCTGGCCGGTCTCTGGCCAAAGATGGTGCTGCCGACACGCACCTCACCGCTGCCCAACCGTACAGCGCCCTCAAAGTCCTCACTCATGCCCATGCTCAACTCCAGGCTGTCCTGATCCAAGCCAAGCTCCTTGGCCACCAAATCTCTCTGTTGGGTCAGCGTCACAAAGTCTTCATTCTCATTTTCTGCGGTGGTCGCCTTGCTGCGGGCGATGGCGCCAATGGTCATGAGACCGAGGAGTTGTAGATTGGGGCACTTCTCGACGATCTCGCGGCAGAGGGCAACGGTCTCGTCGCCAGGGGCGCAGCCGGACTTGGCCTCCTCCCCGGAGGTGTTGACCTGGACGTGGATAGAGAGCTTAGGTGCGTCGGGCTGAGAAGCGAGTAGGGTGGTGCGGCCGTTGTTGAGAAGCTGGGCCTTCTTGGATGTATCGACGCTGGAGACGCAGAACAGGTTGGGGATCTTGGCGAGGGGTTTACAGTGACCTGATGCATCTTATTAGACAGGAGCAGCTGGAAACTAGAATCTAAATCGTCATACCAGACTGCAAACCGCCGATGAAGTGCCACTGGATGGAGCTGGGCAGCAGAGCGGCCTTCTGAGTCAGCTCCTGGGCGTAGTTTTCGCCAAAGTGAGACTGGGAAGTAGGTGCCTGGTGAAGGGCCAGGATGTCATTTGCCGGCTTCAGCTTCGAAACGGCGACGAGCCGGACCTGTAACTGCGTCAGCAAAGAGCTCCGTCATGGCCACCTGGGCAGTGATGAGCTGGGATGATGCCGATGATAAGGATGGGCCAGGCTTGTACACACATTTCGGCCGTTTGCCACAGCGGCCAGTCGCTCCTTGACGGAGCCAAGCTGCAAGATGAGAGCTTGGGCTCTTGACGGGTCAATCTTCATTTCTTCCTGTGTATCACTCATTTTTTTTTTGATACAATTCCTGCGGGTTGATGAGATCCGGCGGGCAAGTTGTGCGATGGGTGAGTTTGTTGTAAGTGGAGAGCAAGTTGCGCATCGGGTTATCATCGGCTCTCGTGACAACGGCGGCCGGCCTCGTTCAGTGGCCCACGTATGGTGGCCTTCTCACTGCATGAATCCATCCCATGATATCGCCGCGGAAGACGCTCGACGCGCGCTTAATATTATTCTCACGATCCTGATCACCTTAGAGGAGCTACTTGGAAGGCTTTTAGACTCGAGGCTGCGACTACAATGGCATCCGACCTGAAGCAAGGTCGGCGGCGGGCCGCGAGTGGCGCCGGCTCGTCTTTCAGAACAGGACACTCTCGCCGCAAGTCGCGGGCAGTGATCCAGCCCAAATCAGCACACACATCAGACGAGTTCCTGCAAGACTTCCTCGACCCGAGTTTCGATGCCGCGCAGTTCCTCAATTCCACGTTGCCGCCGCTGCAGCAACGCTCCGTGCCTGGTCGGTCCGGGTCCGAAGTCGCGCCCCTGGCCGAGCTGTCCACGCAGGCCCAGGCCCTCATCTCCCAGCTCAACGCCCAGACGTCACGGCTGTCCACCACGTTGACGCAGCTGACTGACGACATTTTGAGGAGTGGAAGCCGTCTTGCGTATGAGGTGGAGCTGCTTCGCGGCGAGACGTTGAGTCTCACCGAGATGATGAACGAGACGCTGCAGGACGATATCAAGAAGTTTGTCCCTGGAGGGTTGCAAGAGGCTGCCGAAGCAAAGAACACCACGGCAGTTTCCGCCGCTACAAAGGATGATAAGGGAACGGCGCCGACAACACCAGCCAAGGGCGTCGACGGCATACCAGATGGATCAGATGACCCGGAATACATCAAGCAATTACAAACACTAACTCTTGTGCGGGCTCGCCTCGACTCTGTCATCAAGACTTTTGGGGATGCCATGGAATTCGTCTTCCCACCCTCCGAGCTCTCTGTCAGCTCGTCCTTCCTATCAGTTTCAGCACCGGAGCCCGGATCACAACAGCAGAGCTCGGAAGACAAAGGGCAGGAGGTCTTGAAGAAGCTGAAGGAAGAAATATCCGAGTTGCTGACGAAATCGGAGGACCCCGTGGAGGGTATTGAGAAGGCGGCGCAGCGAATTGAGCAGCTGAAGGAGCTCACCGCGGTGTGGAAGAACACGGCGGAGGAGAAGGGCAGAAACAAGTTCATCGAGGGCCTGGCTAAGATGGTCGAGGACCGACATCGCGAGCTTGTAAAGGACATGGAGCAGACGGTAAAGAGGGACGGCAAGCCGGAGGCGTCTCACGCGCGCAAAGCGAGCCTCGTGAGAGACGCGGTGGTAGTGGAGGACACAAAGGCAGGGAGCGGCTTTGGACTTATCAGCCAGCTACAGAAGCTCCGGGGCGGGCTATGAGATTAATGATATGAGGCATGTTAAGTTCGGATGAATGCATGTCGTGTGTATTTCCATCTGGTGTTTGCATGGGGGTCTGTCATTCAGATCAACTTACACTGAGAGCGGAGTGAATAAATGATGAACCGAATTGCACTGTTTGAGGCACAGTACAAGCACTGCTAAATTGAGCTGCAAACTATCGGCCGTCAGCCAATCGCAGCGAGGGGCGTCGTCTTACGAGTCCATCGGGGTCAAACCGGGCGGAGGCACTATTCACCCTATTGCCGTTTCGGGAAGGCGGTGAACGGACTCACACGGGTCTCGCTCAGAGAGGTCATGCAACCGTCCTGGCCGGCAGAAGGCGAACAACACGCACATCTCGTTTGTTCTCCTCTCGATACCTGTTTCTCCGTTCAATGCTGCCATAGCCACGAGGCTGGGACCGTTTGCGCACGCCTCTTCAAGCCTCTCAGCCTTTTCTGCATTTGCCGCTTACACTATTCGCTCCCTGCGTTTGATTTGGCACTCTCGCAAAGCCTGACCTTTCCCATCTCAGTTGGCCCTGATCAAACGGACCAACTCGTGCGACGACCACGCCTCCCACTCGACCACACCTTTTCCCTCTTTCAACCAACACGAAAACTTCTTCAAAAGAGCTCCCAGCAACCAGAACCACCCTCTACAATTCTTCAACATGGCTGCCAGCGATGCAGCCGTGCCCTCTACCGTGACTGGTCGAGCCGCCGACCGCCGTGGCTCCCCTCAGCCGGCCTCCCAATCCAAGCGAGACCGCAAGCGACAAGCTCTCATGGAGCGCCTGGCCAGTATGAACGACAAGTTCCAGCGCGAGCGAGACATGACATATCGCGATCAGCTCCAGAAAATTCAGTTCGACACCAATCTCGTTCAGCGGTTCGACCCTTATGACCCCAAGGTCCTAGAGGTCATCTCCGAGATGCAAAAAGAACACAAACAGACACAGGGCCCTCCAGTCAACGCTGAGGATGCCCGGAGTCTTCTTGATATGGCTGGTATTCGCTTCTCTGACTTCATCGACGAGGTCGAGGACCTCGTCGAGATTCGAGATTTCCAATTGGCCCAGTCCAAGGTAAGGAGATGAAAGTCGCTGATTGATTGCAACCTGCCGCTAACGTGATCCCTAGAACGAGTACGAGCGACGACTTCAAGAGTACAAGAACACTTATGCCTACAAGGTCGAGACTGCAAAGCGCGAGCATCGTGCCTTGACCAGCACCCTGCGGGACCGTCTGATCAACACCCTGACCCAGAAGAAGAACCGCCTTAATCGGGAGAAGGAGGTCCTGGAGATCAACGACTCCAACGCCCTGCTGCTCAACCCGAATCAGTTCAGCCTCACCAACCCTTCGAGCCCCGGCGGCACCCACGGAAAACGAGCGACCCGGTTGCGCAAGGATGCCGATGATATGTACTCGGACAACAAGAAGCGCAAGCGGAACCCAGGCGACGACGATGGATCGCCTGTGCCCATGCGCCGCGCCCTTGACCCGAATAACACGACTCCCCTGTGGCAATCGGAAAAGGCTCGCGCCGCAGCTAAGCAGAACGGCCCCGCCTATAGCATCGACAAGCTCTTCACCGACAAGGAGCTGTCGCTCAACTACAACACTGCTGCTCTGGCTGCCCACCAGTACATCTTGCGCAACCGCGTTAGTGGCAGTGGATCATCCCCAGAAGATACCGACTCTGGCAACGGGAATGACAACGGAGATGACGCCGATTCCCAGCCCTCGGCCCCAATGATGGAGCGCTCCGTCTCGCATGCCACGAGGAGTACGCGCGGCGGCGCAAACCACAACTTCTTGGACGACAAGATCTTGGGCATTGAGGGTATTGCCAACTTCGAAGTCCCTGGCAACCTGGACCTCATCCACGCCCAGGAGCCTCCCAAGATGCCCCCTCCCGTGCCTCAGCAATACCTGAAGCCTTACCCACGATCCGCGGACCAGAACTTTCCCACGCCCCTGTCTCAAGATGACATCATGTCAGATCTTTCTGTTATGGGGTATTTTAAGCAGTACGACCAGTCACACAAGCCCGGCGCTCACCTCGATGCCCAGAGCGGGTTGCGCAAGGTCCTCGAGGCCGTTGCGACTCCCTATCAGGAGGGACGATTTGTCGCCTTGACCGGCGCCTCCCGCGAGGACCCCGAGCTCCTCCGCGATACCCTCGGCCTCCCTGCCATCAGCAGCCTCCGTGACCAGCCCAGCCCGGCCCAGGCTCCATCTGTCGCCGCTCTCTCCGGTGCCGCAGCGGCCCCCATGAGTCGCCAGAGCAGCCTCGGTGGCGTTGCCATGAGCCGACAGGGCACCGGTGGCAGCGCCCGCGGTAAGGGCCGCAAGAATTGAGTCAACTCCGACAACGTGGTCCCGGCTCATTTTCACGGCATTGCGAGCGTGGCGTAAAGGGTTTTGGTTTCATTTGGTCTGGTGGTCGTTGTTTTCTGGAACACGAACTACGGGTGTTGGTTGCATATTGTGTTTTTGATGCTTTTCTCGGGGTATTGCGGCGGAATACAAAGCCGGTCGAGGTTCATCGGCAGACGGCCCGTTTCATACAGTAAAAAGTCAAGTTCGACCAAGCTCTTGATATTTTATGTCATCATGCTATAGACATAGAAATCCCAAGACTCGTTGTTCATCATTGTGTGTTTGTGTGGTTGAATACGTAAAGTAAAACGTCAATATCATTTCGTCATGGTGGTTATGGGCGTATCAGCGCGCTAATAAAGACTAAAACTAGAGAAACATATTCCTACAGGCCAGCTCCTGAGTGCCATCTCACGGGCCGAATACGAGGGCTCGCACCTCAATACTCTCACGACCCTCAGCGTCAGCCCTAGTTCTAGGGTCCTCGAAAGCAGTGTGCGGGACACGACCCTTGATCTTGGACTCCAGTTTCAGAGAATCGCTGTCGAAGCACTCCAGCAAGAGCCGCTCGTTTCCGGTCATGCCGCTGAGGTAGTACCACTTCTGATCCGGGTTGTGACGGATGGCAGCAGTCCAGCCCTGGTAGCCACTTGGGTAACGGTGCTCAACCGGTATAACGTCGTCATCCTCAACCGAGGCCGAGGAAGCGACGGCGAGGGGAAAGGCCTCGAGAGGGGTCTTGTTCAGGGGACGCCAGACGTTGACGATGCGGTAGCGGCCCTGGAGCAGTTTGTCAGCCTCCTCGGGAAAGTATCGGCGGACACGCTGGGCGGTGGCTTCAGCGGTCTGGTCGATGTGGACGCGGGTTACTGGGCCGCGCTTGGCGTCCAGCTCCTGCCGGCGGATAGTGTGGTCAAACAGATATACACGGCTAGAGCCGGGTATGTTTTTGAGGAGAAGTTGTTCAATCTCCGGGTAGTAGTTGTCCTGAATGGACTGGTCGTCCCGGAACTCAACCTCCTTGGAGGGAGCAACGTTCTGAATGATCTGGAAAGCGTCGTTGTCAAGATTGAAGTTGGCCTCACGACCACGGATGTCGTGGATGACAGTCTTCTGAGGGCTGTCTGAGAAGTTACGCTGGGGTTGGCCCTCTGGGGGGGTGTCAACGAAGTTGAAGGGCTTGGCGGAGTCGGCAGGAGGATTAAAGAAGTTGAGGGTTGCCGTGACGTCCCCGCGTGGTACAGTAGCAGAGATAGCCATTGTTCTGTTTATTAAGTGACGGGGGTGGATAAACGGGTTCGACTTCGTCAGAGCGAGGCGGAAATTGCCTAATACAGACAGGATGTTGATGCCTGTGTTGGGACGAGAGAGTCTTGACACGGTAATAGAGTTACCGAGGTCTGATGATGTGATCTGGAACCTAACGGGATGAATGAGTTTCTCGTGTAGAAATTGAATTGAGGGATGATGATTAGGTTTCTTGTACGACAAGAACGATGGTACAGAGACAGAGAGAAGAGATGTCTGTGGTGCAAGTGTTGTGTTGATGAGGTTGATATCAATTGGAATCTGAAGCACTCGCCCCCATCCAGTTTATATACCTGCGCTCGCAGGGCCAAGAGAAGGCGATTTCAAATCAGCATGCAGTAAAAGCAACCATCCTCGGCCTCGTGCCGGTTGTGAAGCTTGCGTGCGATGAGCACGTCATTGGAGTGCGCAATGACCGTTGGCTGGGTGTCATTTCTAAGGCGTTGGTCGATTACTAAAGGCCAGTGGATTACTGTACAGGCCGCGGATCTGCGAGGAGCCATGTAGGTGTGGGCTGGCTGGTGTAGCAATTGGAGTGTCGGGCCAGAGCTGCTTGGAGTCCACCTCGCGGTGCAGTAGCGTCCAGCGCATTGCAGAGATAAATTGACCTTTTCATGTGATCTGGCCATGAGCCCGGCATTGGCCATAGCTGGTGGTGAACCTGAAGTTGAACCGTCCGTCAAGTCTGCGCTCGACGATGGGAGGGGTGAAAAGGGTGGTCCTCAGATCATAAAAATAGAAGGGGCATGGGTGTTTCACAGTGAGATACATTTCATGCACTGTGTGCCCCCCGCATCTCCTCACAGCAGTGCCCAGGACCGGCAGGAACCCACAGTGCCTTTCCTGCCCCTCCGCACATGGAGCGGCCTCAAATGCAGGGAGGCGGGGGCTAAATTTAGCCCAGTTTCTTCATCGTCGCGACCTAATTTACCACCCGCGTTTCCCTTCTCCCCTTACTTCTCATATGTGCTCTCTATCTCCATGACCTATGTCGACCACCGCCGGCACCATCGCGTCTCTCTCGTCTCCCGCGGATGCTCCTCCCCGGGACGATCTGCTCTGCCTCTTTCCCTCGCCGAGGCCTGCCGATTCGTGGTGAGAAAGCGCATCGATGCCCCGAGCTTTTTGGCCTCCAAGCGCGGAACCCCGGTCCCCCAATGTCTCGGCCTTCTCCTCCACCATCAGGCTCGCTCTTCACATTCTCACATAATATTACCACACCTCCCGCGCAAGCCGTGTAGATCCGTCAGCCCAATCCGTCAGCCCAGAGACATGAATCCGCAGTTCTCACCATGCAGTCCCCTCACCACCCTCTGCCGCCACAGTCGCAGACCGGCCACCACGGAGCTCCAGTTCCAGTCCCAACCTCCGCTCCGGGGGCGCCCCCCGTGCCGTCGCTTCCGCCTCCGCCTCCGCAACCAGTGTTGACGCCGCAACCGGAGTTCTCCGTCCGGCCCACGCTGCCGGACCGCCATGTCACCACTGACACCATCGAGGATGCCTACGTCCGCTTCATCTTCTACTGCAACCCTGCCCTTACCCTAACCTCAAGGACAGCCGGCCTGCGAGAGGCCTTTCGTAGCCCACCTCGCAGTGGCGGCAAGAGCTTCAACACCTTTACCGTCTTTGAGCTTGTTTGCAAGTTCTACAACAAAGAGATCCGGACCTGGACCGAGCTGACAACCAGGCTGGGCGTCGAGCCTCCGGATCCAAGCAAAGATGAGAGCGCCCAGAAGATTGCCCAGTACGGGGTGCGTTTGAAGGTATGTTTCTGCCTTCTGGTGAATTGTGTGTCATGCATGCTGAAAAAGCAAAGAAATGGATGAACTCCATGCATGTCAAGGCCTTCTTCGAGTACCTCATGAACATACCCAATGACTATTGGACCAAGATCCCCACGGATCCCAACCCTGTTGGTCAGCTTATTCGCGATGGCGTTGCTGTCGAAGACGACATGGCCTTGAGGGCGCTTCTTCCACACATCCGCCCGAAGCGAGGCCGGAAACGACCAACAGATGATGAATCGACCAACTCTCCCGCTCAGCGGACTCATCTATCACCCTCAGCCGCCGTTGATGACCACAGACAAAGCGGAGCCGGGGCTCTCCAAGTGCCAATTGACCCCAGAGCCAATGCACCCTGGACTCCGAGCGACACCGTCCAACAAATGCCACTCACTCGATGGCCACAGTCGGCAATCACACCAACCACTAGAAACTCATTCTGGGATGATGCTCTAGAGCCACGATCAGCCGTAACACCCTCAAAACCACGGCTTGCGTCTCAACGCCGGGGTCCCAAGAATGTGTCCTCGGCGTGGCGGCCGGGGGTGCCCGATGGCGGAGTCAAGATGCGGGGCCGGCCTCCGATGAATCGAAGCCCGGGGGATGCTCCGTTCTCCCCGTTTCCCTCTGGAACCCCGACCGTGGGTCCCGGTGAAGAAAACGCCCCGATCTTCCCCCCAATCGCTGCCTCCAATTTGAAAACTAGCACCAACGGGGGCGAACTTCCCCCAGTGCAGCGACACATGCCAACACCATCCTCTACTCCGCAGCCTCACTCGACGTCGTATGAAGGTCCCAGGCCAGCTCGGCCCAGCATATCCCTCCAGGTCCCGGAACGGCCACCTGGCAGTGTGCGTCTCGCAACTCCCCCACCAGTCGTGGTGGTCAACGGGGCCGATAATATTAGTCGACCTACTGCAATGCACTCACAGCCATACCAAGTCAACGGAAGGGCAAATTTTGCCGAGGTAGCCTCCGAAGCCATAGTACCGGGTCATCAAGATACATCTCGTGGGCCAATGGACATCCCGGGGTTCTACTTCGAAAGGGTCGAAGATCGCACGAATATCGATGACGTCTTGGGATATCTAACCCGGACAACGCTTGAGGCAGACTGGCGGGATGCCAATGGGAAGCCCGCAGATCCGCCGTCAATGGAGGAGGCCATGGCTGTTGTCAACACTACCATCGAGAACATATATAAAACAGCGGCTTCCCCACAGGCTTTCCTCATCAACCTAGCAGCCATCTCGGGCGGCGGGATGCTCTTGTCATCCACTACCCGCATCTGCCGCTTAGGAAATGAGGGGGGGTCTGCTGGATATCGGTGTGACTGGGAGTACGGGTTTGGCAGCATCAGGGGACAGTACACCATGGAGCAGCAAGTCCCGTTGACAATGCTGCCGACTGTGTCCCGCGAAGACTGTGAAGAGGCTCCAAAGACGGCTGACGGCGAGCAGGACAGGCTATCAAGCAGGGAGTGGCAGGCGAAATACCATCATCTGTTGGAGGATATTCAGAAAAAGGATCGGGAGTTATTAGAGCTGCGGACACGAGTGATGAATTCTCTCAAGGGGGAGACTTCCAAGGAATGATACCAATGCCGGTTTACACTTTTGCGTTTGTTTTATTTCCAAGCGTGTTGCTTCTTGATATACCATACCGGGGTCGGATTCGGCGTGTGTCTATCCCATCGCAGGCTAGACGGGACATGTAGACATGTATGAATACGAAAGGACAAGATAAGAAAGCAGATATCTCACTCAACCTTACATAGCATTGCATGAGCGAGTGGAGATGCAACTCGACCAGCTAATGGTGGATGCAAGCTGGAGCCTACTGCAGGTCAGGGGCATCGGCAGACTGAACACGAGATTTCAGGCATCCAAATTTTCCAGATAACAAGTTGCATATAAACTGGCCAGTCGCCCCCGGCGGTGGGAGCACGAGAAGAAGCCACTTATTCTTCGCAAGTCGGGGATCTCGGAAGCCGACGCCCAGCACTCACCCAAAGCCAGTGTCCGATTGTTCCAAGAAGATGGCACTGGGCCGGCGATGGAAACAAATGACCCGACTTCAACCAGACACAAGAGAGGCCCTCGTCAGTCACACGACAGCTTAATCCTGGCGGAGCTGAATGACACGGCATCTGGAGAGCTTGCACACCGGTGGGTATCACCCAGGCGATCTAGACGTCAGTCAGGCCATGGGTGCCCTCAGGCTATCCTCTGAATGGGATATGTGTGGCCGGATCCGAATTGTGCTCAATGGACCAGATGACCGGCTAGCGACCCCTGTACCACCAACACACCACTTCTCGAGCCGGTCCCGAGACGAGTCCATCATTACGCCGAACCACCCTCGAGCAGACTAGCACGATTGACACAAGTTATGTGTTGATGGACGCATGCGCTTTGCATGCGAGAAGTCGTAATCACTGTACTAACGGTGCCCGCGTTGGACGCCCAGCGCTCACTTACATCCGAGCACCGGAATCCTTCGAGAAGCACCACCTGCCGACATTGGGTCTCAACTTGAGCCTATTACAGACCAGTTAGCTGTCATCGGCGACCCCGTGTAATACCAGTCGAAAATTAATGGGGCTAGAGCTCTACCGAACACTTTTGTTGCGGAGGATGGGGTTAGAGTCTGGAGAATTGGGGGAGTCTGGGGAGTGTCGCCCGGTGTGGAGAAGCACACCGTGGAGGCGTCCACTCAGCACGAAAAGAATACTGTTGCCTGTGCCAAGACGCTTCTCGGGCGTCCGCCATTGACGCCAGTCTCTGAGGGTATTGCACGGGCCAACTTTTCTGCCCGTTTCAACTTGACGATACTGTGGGTGGTGAAGCACAAGCCATCATGAAAACTCACTCGCCAAGGTAGGCTGGATCAGGCAAGAATGTCGACGTCGTCGAACCGAGTGCATGAAGCATTGAGGGGGCTGACAAGCTAACTCGAGTTGGGGCAGCATCCCGGACTTGCAATTGTCACGTGTGGTCAAATAACTCGATCGAGTTCGGCCGGCTTCATATGCGAGAAGGTCTGCCCTTGCCCTGGTTCAAAGCCAAGACCGCTTGTTCCGATATCCGCTTGATGGTGCAGTGCTGCGAGTGCGGTGTGCGCCACTCAGGCTTACCAGCATCTCAACCAGAGTCGCATCCAGACGTATGACGGCTGACGAGTGACGGCAGGTTGGTCACCAGCCGTGACGATGATGTCGGAGGAAACAAGCCACATCTCTCTCACAGGCGACTTTGCCGATTCTGAAGAGCCAGCCAAATTTGCTTCTCAGTGACGTTAGAGAGGATTCCAAAGGAACCGAAGGATCCATGTTGTGGGATGGCGCCTGCAGATCGGTACTGCCCTGAAGCAATCGGCTTCTGGAAATTGAGGGGTCCCGTCTCTGACACGCCTCTCAAGCCTCCCATATCCAAGCCTTCTCAAAGCGGCATACACAATCTCATCCGTGGCGGCAGATGTGGGCCACAGAACAGTCGACAGTCGCTCTCATTGACCGACAGCGCATTTTACCAGAAGCCCGCAGCTCCCCAGCTCAGGAGCCCGGAAGAAAGCTCAGATGGTCCTCAGGCGCAGGCTTGCGTGACTGGCTCGACTGACATTGGTCCATTCTCAATTGTGTTATCGTAACAGGCCAGACTTGGCTTGGTTCACATAAACGAAGTTCGTGATGATCAGGCGCAGATCAAAGCGAAGAAGGACGAGGGAAAGGATCCTTCCACCGGATACCGGTTGCCGGTCGGATTACGGTATTGGGCAAGTCGGGTCTGGACCATTAGTTGCAATGTTTGATTTTGCTGGCAACGGCTTTCCAACGGGCACTGACACGGACGAACACTGACTGAGAACATTATCGCCATCCCAAGACAATAAGCTAGGCCAACCACCCACAGCCCAGACCAACAGCCTGGTGGCGCTCGGGAACAAGGGTGCCCTTTGCAAGAGTTCTAGCCCGGCCCCTCTGGGGCGGGACGGCTTGGATGATGGGTGGCCTGGCGGCCTGATTGCCCAGTCCCGAGACTTGGCTCCCAGCATTCAGCCCCCGTCACATAAATTACCTTAAACTTAAGCACAACCAGCGAAGCCTCGGTGTCTGTGAGGATGATGAATAAGTCGTGGGGTCAGGTGTTGTAATGTGGCGGCATCGGTGGCGGAGTCGATCAGGAAGATTTACTTCGAACTGTGGCCGGATACGAAATACGTAGAGTTGCCGATGCCCACTCCAGCTGGGCTTATGGTGGGCCGTTGGACGACGGCGCTTGGACAGTCGCGACGTTGAAGAGCGGATGATCAGCCGGTGCGAGCTGCGAGTTCAGAGTCTTTGTGGGAGTTTCGGCCGGGGAACAAGCAAGACATATGAAAGAAAAAGGTTTGGAGCAGAGACAGATGCCGTGATTACGAGTGTTGAGACGATGGAGCCCTCGATCGATCTCGGGAGGAAGGTGCCCAGGATCGATCCATCCGCAAGGACAGTGCTGTCAATTCCTTCAATTGGGCTTCCTAGACCCAGTCGCGGATCCAGTTGCAAACTTAGCAAGTCGAGCGATGGAGCAATGGTCCCGGTGATGCGGCAAGGTGGCCGGCCTCACAGAGCCATCAGCAGCACAAGCCTGCTTGATGAGCGAACCAGGGTTGGTCGCATGCGGAGTCTAAGCGGAGGTGGGCGATGGCGCCGCGTTTGTGGACGAGGATCCCATGGGGTCGCCGGGGTACAGGAGGAGACGGTACGAAATACGGAGTACGGAACGCTGCGAGAAAGAAAGCCGGCTGCTGCCCCAGACTTTCCCAATCGGCGGGGGAGAGTGAGCAATTTGTGCTTTTGGAGGCTTTTCTACTCCAGATTTCCCCAATTTGCGTCTGTTTCCTGTCAATCCACTCCATCATCCACCTCGTCTCCATCCTCCCATCCATCCATCCTTCCTTCCTTCCTTCCCATCCCTCCTCCCCCATGCCCTGCGCGCACACCTGCACAGCTGCCGTGCCACAGCCCCTACCTTAGGTACCTAATTAATAGTACAAATCCCCCCCGAACACATCCCGGGCCAGGATTTTTTACGCTTTCCATGGCTTAGGGGAGGTGCTGCCGGATGGCTCTAGCGTCTGTCCCCGCTGCCAGTCTCGACCTCAACTTCGAATGCGACTGCAACCGCGGCTCCCACTTTAACCTCGACCTTCGCCACTACCACAAAATTGCTTCCGTTGCGACAACACGCCAATCTCCCACCCAGCGACGGCAATAATCGACGATACCACTGTATTCTCGTCTGGATATTTCCCGCCATTCTCAGCTCAGCAATTCGTACCGTCTGCCATAGTACTCGCTTCTGAAGTGCATGGTGTTGTTTTACGCTGCGGCTCCCGCTTACGCCTGCCCTCCGCGTTTCGCGAGCGCCTCTAGCAACCATCCGCTTCTCCCAGCTTAATTCCCCACCTCCGCGCTCATCCACGACGACGGGGCCCTCCAACGGCTCGACTGCCGCCCAGACGGTTGATGTTCATATCATATTATAGCAAGAAAAAAACCACGCCAGCAGCCCCATAGTCATCGTCACCTACTCTGGGTCGCGGCCAACGTGGTTCTTGGGCCAAGCCCCTCCGCCTTTCCCGCCTTCTTCCCCTCGGACCTACCCCCCGATCGCCACCATGACCTCCCACTCTCACCTCAGCCATGAGGAGGTCGAGACGTATGTTGACCAGCCTCATCCTTAACCTGCGCAGTGCGACCAACAAGTGTCTTCGTCGTCATGCTAACCGTACCTCTCTTTCCAGGGCCTCCAATCACCCATACAGCTACCCTGTTGAACATGCCCGCCGTACTTCAGAAGCATATGTCAATCTCAATGCCAATGTCGACGCCAAGTAAGCACTCCCGGTCGGCGTCCCAATTTCATCGCGGTTTCTGGTTGCGTATATCGACGCTGACACACATCAAGGATCAAGAATCCTCTGCTAGGTATACCCCGTGGAAGACTCATGGCCCAAGTCGACGAGTTCTGCCGCGAAAAAGGACTAGACGAATACCGCTCCGTCATTCGAAAGGGCGCCCTCGTAGCCCAGGACCCCACTGGCTACGAGGACATCACCGGCGAAGAGGCCCTTGACGAGATCGAGATTGAATCTCTTCGCGATGAGGTCCTCCACAAATGGCGTGTCCCCAACGTGCTCTACCTAACCATCGCCACCTGCTCTATTGGAGCTGCTGTCCAGGGATGGGATCAGACGGGCTCCAACGGCGCCAACCTCGATTTTCCACATGCCTACGGCATTGACCGCGACACCATTCACGACAAACTTCTCGTCGGCCTCGTCAACGCTGCCCCATACATCGGTACTGCTTTCTTCGGCTGCTGGTTATCTGACCCTCTCAACTCTCGCTTCGGCCGCCGCGGTACGATTTTCTTCTCTGCCAACTTCTGCCTCTGGCCCGTCATTGGTAGCGCTTTCTGCGACACATGGATGCAGCTCCTCATGTGTCGGCTACTACTTGGAGTCGGAATGGGGACGAAAGCATCAACCGGTAAATGGCCATTTATCCTCGCATCTTGCAACCCTGCAACCTCCCAAAAGAAACAAGAACTGACATTCTCCTGCCGCAGTTCCGATCTTCGCTGCAGAAAACTCACCGGCTCCCATTCGAGGAGCTCTCGTAATGAGTTGGCAGATGTGGACTGCTTTCGGGATATTCTTAGGCACCGTCGCAAACGTTGCCGTCACCAAAATCGGGCACGAGGCTTGGAGATATCAGCTGGGATCAGCTTTTATCCCCGCGGTGCCTCTTGTCATCCTCATATATTGGTGCCCCGAGTCGCCCCGTTGGTACATGAAGAAAAATCGATATAGTGACGCCATGAAGTCGCTGCTACGCCTGCGCAACAACCCCGTCCAGGCGGCCCGTGATCTCTACTACATCCACGCTCAGCTCGAAGTTGAATTCGAGTTCATTCAGTCTATAGGAAAAAGCAGCTACCTAAACCGGTTTATCGAGCTATTTACCATCCCCCGAGTCCGCCGCGCCACTCTCGCCTCGTTTGTCGTCATGATCGCGCAACAGATGTGTGGAATCAACATCATCGCCTTCTACTCCTCGACCGTTTTCGTCGATGCCGGCGCCAGCTCCCACCAGGCTCTACTCGCATCCTTGGGCTTTGGACTAGTCAATTTTGTCTTTGCTTGGCCGGCGATTTGGACCATCGACACGTTTGGTCGGCGATCTCTACTCCTATTTACGTTCCCTCAGATGGCTTGGACACTGCTTGCTGCCGGGCTGTGTACTCTGATACCCGGTACCGGAGGTGCTCACTTGGGCCTGGTGGCCATGTTTGTTTATCTATTCGCGGCCTTCTATTCACCTGGAGAGGGCCCCGTGCCATTCACCTACTCGGCTGAGGTCTTCCCTCTATCTCATCGTGAGGTCGGTATGGCTTGGGCCGTGGCTACTTGCCTGTTTTGGGCTGCAGTGCTCTCGATTACGTTCCCTCTTATGCTGGCCAGGCTTGGTGTACTCGGATCCTTTATTCTGTACTCGGGCTTCAATCTCGTGGCACTGGTCATGATCTTTCTGTGGCTGCCCGAAACGAAGCAACGCACTCTGGAAGAGTTGGATTACATTTTTGCTGTACCGACACGTGTGTTCATGAAATACCAAGTTACCAAGGCGTTACCTTGGTGGATCAAGAGATGGGTCCTCCTCCAGCGGGACGCAACTCTGGAGCCTCTATATCAACTCGACATGGCGGAACCCGACGACAACCGGAGCAGCGATGTTGGGTACGAGAACGATAAGGTCAAGGTTGAGCTGAAGGATATGATAGGGATATCTTCGGGAGTTGAAGCCCCAGATCGGGCAGCTCGTAGTACATGAGCGTTGTTTTACTACTTGATGTGTGCGGGCGATTGATTTTTGCTTTGGAACTGGTTCTTACCTATGATACCCCGAGTTGAAATGAGAGAGCAGGATGAATGATCTGACTAGAAAAGACGAAGGATTTTTGGGCCTATTTGAACAACTGCTGTAGGTGCCATTGATGTGTGACGTCACGTGGATGAGTTTACAGCATGCGGGGTTCTGACTTCCCGTGTACGAATAGATTCCTGTTGAATACATGTTGATTTAAGAGAATGTGAATGTAATGATGTCTTTGGCGGTCTGGGAGTGTCTAAGAAGTGACTTTGTAGGTGTGGGGCGACCCGTTCTCGTGAACTGGTTAGCATCGAGCTGTTGATAAATTGGATGTCAAGAAGGAGAGCAGATGGAGCCGTCTTAGCGACAGGTCCACATATACTCAAAGCTATAAAATATATCGATGACGATATAACTTTACCGTTTCTACGAGGTAATACGAAGGACGGAATGGTGATGATGGCCGCTTGGAGGATTCCGGTGGCTAACTTACCCTAGAACAACAAGGATCGTCCGGGGTCACGAACATCGGTTATGCGCGCGCCTACAGAAGTGCAGTAGTTCATATGTGCTGGCAACACGAAATGATGGCTACGTGACTGACCTCGGCGACGATCGATCATCTGGTACATATCGAATGCAACCTCCCCGGACGGGACGGATAGTAGCGGAGAACATCAGATCGGCGACGACTGATCAAAGAGGTTGTAGATCGGCAGCGAGAAAAGGAGCAAGAGATGACTCCATCGCACATGAGAGACCCACCATTAGGATAATACAAGACTACATGGCACAGTACTAGAGAGAGCGAGAGCGAGATGATGATAATATTGGAAGTGAGTGGGAGTGAGGTTGACGGGTTGGGAAGAGATGTTCCTGGAAGACTAGACGAGGGACCTTGACCATCAGAGTTCGAGGATCCATCGTGGAGTGCCAAACCCTCGGGTGTCATCCTCGGTGATCAACTGCCGCCCCAAGCTTCGGGGTTCATCCTCTGTGTCTGTCGGGGGGCCAGTCAGACTTGGCCCATTGTCTACGCACACGCTCCCAGGCGAACGCACGGTGGTCAGAGGTCCCTGGAGCGTTTCATGATCTCACAAGGGACAGAGGCGCTTGATTCGTGGGCCTGTAATTTGTAGGGCAGATTGGGAGCTCGGTCTTGGCTCTTGGCTCCAAGCCGTCAGCCGTGTTCCTCACCATCTGACTGATCTGCCCTAGCAGTGCTACATTGCCAATCCTACGGCTGCGGTGCAACATTCATGAAAGGGGGAGCCTGCAAGCGTGCAATCCTTGCGTTTGCTAGTGAGCAAGACATTTCATCTGACACGATTCCCACATTTGGAGGAGGAGGATGATTTTAACGGGCCGCCATTCAGCTGCAGGGGCGTCGCATGGCGTGTACCGGCCCGCCGCCAGTGGCAAGTTGAGACGAGAAAAGAATGTGAGCGTCCCGGAGGGAGTAGCTCTTTTGCAGAAACAGAGGGTCCTGGTTCGGAATTGCTCCTACGGATGTGCGGAAGCCAGCGGCGTGGCATCAAACGGCGGGGGGACGCCGCGTCGACACCGGAGAAGTTGCTGGAAATGTTTTCGAGCAACGTCGTCATAATGGAGACGGAGGCGTTCGTCGTCTCAGAAGCGCGACGCCGGCATGGCGTTAAAAAAGAGACGAACGGGGGCTTGGCAGTTGCGCGGCACACATACGTAGTACGGAATACCTACAGTGGGAAGCATAAAGTCCTGATCCGAATGATATGCGGTGTTATTCGCTTACTTAATATGGCTAGTGCACTTTGCCGCTTTACTCTGTATATTATTTAAATAGTACAATAAAATTGTATCCAGCTGGAAGATCTTTATACCCAGCCTAACCCTAACTCTTAAGATGGCAATATAAATTATACCCATTGCAGATTAGCGATGCGTAGCCCAGTACTCCGTACAATGCTTTGGATCAGGACTTTGTGCATCCCACTGTACCCGCCGAGTGGTGGCGTCGACGCTAGAGATGACATTTTATCCTTGGAAGAAGTTCTTTACGAGCGGAAACGGTTGAGCTTCAAAGAGCACATGTGTGTGGGTGCAGGAGGGTGTGCAACGGGTGAGCTAAGAAGAAAGGAAGCCAAGTCGAAACAGCCGAGGCTTGTGTCGAAAAAAGTCAACTCAACGGCTGATTTGTTGACTTCCCAGTGTGCAGCATATGTATGTACTATGTCGAAGGAAACAATCATGAACAGCAGGACGCCAAAGAGGTCAACAGCACGGCATTCGTAGCACGGCACGGAGCAGGGGAGTTTGAACTCTCCCATCCCATCCCAGAGACAGACATGTGGAGGAGCTCGCTTGGCAGCAGATGCGTGTGCAAGACAGCAACCAAATTCGATGGGGACATTGGGGTCGACCGCCTTCGCGATCGGGTCATGTTCATCCTTTCCATGATGGGAGGAGCTGGCATTCGTGGTGGGTTTTGATGGGCCGAAAATATGGAGATTCATCATACTTGGCCGGCGTGAGGCGATCGCTTCGTGTGTTTGTGTGTGTGGGACGGGGACTACCTCCGGTACGTAGCGATGTATAGCTGGGATGGATCCTTGGATCTCTCGTGTTGTGAGATCCGGTTTTTGTGTTTCCTTTTCCTTTTTCGCTTTCGGCGTCGTTGTGATTCGCGTGGCCGTGCGAGCGAGCAAGGGGGCACGAGAGCGGTACTGTGCTTGACTGTGTTGTACGGTGTGTGTCCATCAGTTGGATTTCATTTCCATATTATTACTGTACTGTACAGCACCATGCCCAGCCGTGCCCAGGCCATGCCTAGGCCATGCCCGTGATGGCAGAGTGAAGCCAGTATCAATGCAATCCCAAGCCATTCCTTCGCCCAGTCCCAAGGATCCCACTGCGTAAAAGGAATCAGGCAGGGGCTCCCCATCTCTGTCCACCAGCGAGGACAATCGGCAGATGGCTGGCCGCTCCATCCGCCCACCAGGAACGGCCGCTGGCCACGCACCCCAAGTCTCGCTCCCGATCGGGCAGCGTGAAACAAGTGATGGCGCTGCCGCCAGGGGCGCGGCCAGGTTTGGGAGTGCGTTCGGGAGCCCATCCGGCGCTGTCAGTGGCTGTCAGGCGGTCTCGGAGGCGGCGCCTCCCCCTGGCGGACTGCTGCAAGGCTCTGGCCGGCGGACGCCACCCTGCAAGGCCCTGTCGCGGATGCTGTTCAGCTCGGGGCTGGCCCCCTGGCATGGGCAGAGGATCGCACTGGCTGGCTGAAATGCAGTGGTCAGCACTGAGTGGATGCCCTGTGGATGCCCTGTGGGAAAGCCTGCACAGTGGAGGTGAATCAGAGCTTCAGCGCGCATCCCCTTCTCCACGCTGGACCCGCTTGGCTGCGAGACGGCGCCGGTACGTACCTGGATCGCCCCTTTCACACGCTGTTGGCCAAGGCGGGTTGGCGCATCCATCCGGGGGTACCAACGTCAACTCGCCTTGTCCACCTCCACCTCGTTCAACATTCCCTGAAAACCTTTGTCGACGCGTTTGCTATTTGTTTCTTCGCTCTGCTCTTATTCTCCACCAGTACCCTCGTTCCGGTCCTAAAACCGCTTCACTCCCTCCCACCTCGATCGGTGTTCTTCCCCTCTCTCGTCTTTCCCACGTCTTTCCCTCGCCTTGGGAGTCTCTCGTTTCCTCTGCTTTGTGTGTCGTCTGCCCAAAGCACGGCATCAAACTTACCCTCGTTCTTTGTTCGAAACGGGGAAGAAGAGATCCTGACATCGTCATCCATCATTCATCTATCGCATTGTCCTGATTTCCTCTGCATCTGAATCTGTCACGCATTGGGTTTGGGATCCCACACACGCCTGGAGCGAGCATCCAGCACAAACTCCCACCTGGCAGCACAACTGTCGTCACCCTCCGAGAGTGGATTTGACATCCCCTCGCCGTTTCCTTTCTTGACCTGGCCCCGTCTCTTTGACATTACGCGTTTCACCTGCTCCCTTGATTTGGCCATAGGCGTCAATCCCCTCGAGTCTCGCCTACAACCACGTCCTTCACCACGCAGATCTCCGCGATCCGATACGCTGCGTTCCCACACCTGCGCTCCGTTCCCTGTCCCCTCACCCGCACCATCTGTCTGACCCCCTGGTGGAGTCTAGACAAACGTATAACCACAATGGTTAACCGCCACGCCTCCCTGTCTCCTCGCAACTCCGGCTTCATACCACTTGGCGGCTCTCGCGACATGGCCGACGGCATCCAGCTCACCACGGTGAAGAGCAATGTCTCTATCAAGTCTTCCAACACCGGCCACCGAAAGGCCCCCCCTAGAAACTCCAACACATTCGACTCCGAGTCTCGTCATGAAAACGAGAAGAGTGGCCACCATGGCCACCGAGGCCGTCGGCGGAAGTTGGATGATGACGGTCTTTCCCGCGCCAACACAGGCGATGAGGCTTCTCTAAACGCCATGGGCAGGTTGTACAACAAGATCATTGGCTTCTCAGTCGTTACACGATATCTCGTCTACGTTGTCCCCGTCAGTCTTCTCCTCGCCATTCCGATCATCGTCCTTGCCGTCATGGATAAAAAGGAAGACCCCAAAGTGGGCGCTAAGAAAGGCCATGGACCTTCACTATTCGATGTCTTCCTCTGGGTCCAAATCATGTGGCTCTCACTCTGGGTCGCCAAGGTTGTGGCTTGGTTTCTCCCTGGCGCCTTCATGTTCTTCTGCGGTGTCGTCAGCATGGGTACTCGCAAGTACGCAACCGTTCTCAGCAACCTCATTCTCCCCTTCTCCTTCTTCTTCTGGGCTTTGGCATCCTACGTGACTTTCCAGGGACTCTTCAAAGACTACAAGGACGCGACTACCATCAGGGTTAATGGCAACACCGAATCAGTCGACGCCATTGTTTGGTGTCAGAACATGAGCCGCGTCCTCGGAGCCTTGTTCGTCTCGTCTGCTGTCTTCCTCGGTGAAAAGGCAATTGTTCAGCTCATTGGTATCTCGTACCATCAGCGGTCGTTTGCCAACCGAATCAAGGCCTCGAAGCGAGAAATCCATCTACTTGGATTGCTATATGATGCCTCTCGCACCCTGTTCCCTATGTACTGCCCGGAATTCGCCGACGAGGACTACATCATCAACGATAGCATCGAGATAATGCTCCGAGGCAAGAACAAGAAGGGTGGTCACAAGCGGGCAGGATCTGCTACACCCATGAAGATCATTGGAGACGTCGGTCGCATTGGAGACAAAGTCACGTCCGTCTTTGGCAATATTGCGTCCGAAATCGCCGGCAAGGAGGTGTTCAACCCCAACTCTGCTCACTCAATTGTTCTTGAGGCTTTGGAGAAAAAGAAGTCATCTGAGGCGTTGGCCCGTCGTATCTGGATGTCCTTCGTCGTGGAGAACCATAACTCGCTTGTCGTCGACGACTTCCAGGAAGTGCTCGGCCCTGCCTACAAAGACGAGGCCGAAGAAGCTTTCTACGCCATTGACAACGATGAGAACGGCGATATCAGTCTTGACGAAATGGTCCTCAAAATTGTTGAGATGGGAACTGAGCGAAAGGCAATTGGCGAAGGCATGAAAGACATTGGTCAAGCTCTGCGAGTCTTTGATAAGGTCATCTTGTTCTTCGTCTTCCTGCTTGTCATCTTCATTTTCCGTAAGTCGCCCTCTCCGATGCCCCTTGACCATACTAACGGTTCTTCCAGTTATCTTCTTCAAGAGCACTCTCGTCACGACTCTGACTGCTGCTGGAACCACCCTTCTCTCGCTTTCGTTTGTTTTTGCCGTTACCTGCCAGGAGTTCTTGGGCTCATGCATCTTCTTGTTCGTCAAGCATCCCTATGATGTCGGCGACCGAGTTGAGATTTCTGCTACCACCATGGTTGTCAATAAGATCTCCCTTCTCTATACTGTCTTCCACCGCGGCAACAACCAGGTTGTTCAGGTTCGTATTTAATCCCCTCTTGCACCGCCCGGAGATCAAGTACTGACTATTTATAGATCCCCAACATCGTTCTCAACAACTTGTGGATTGAGAACATCTCTCGCAGCAAGTCTATGAGCGAGACCATCGAAGTCAACGTCTCTTTCGACACGTCTTTCGAAGACGTCGAACTCCTTCGAGTGGAAATGGAGAAGTTTGTCCGGGCTCCTGAAAACTCGCGCGACTTCCAACCGGAGTTGAACATTGATGTTGGCAGTGTGGGCGATCTTGATAAGCTGCTCCTTAAGGTGGATATCAAACACAAGTCCAACTGGCACAACGCTAGTGTCCGAGCCAACCGCCGGTCCAAGTTCATGTGTGCATTGGCCCTGGCCCTGAAGAAGGTTCCCATCTTTGGTCCTGGTGGCGGCGGCGAGGCTCTGGGTGGCCCGACGAACCCCACGTACTCGGTCACGGTTAGCGATGAGTTTGCCAGCAAGAGCCGTGATGATGCCGCCAAGGACAAGGAAAACGCTCGCTTGGTCCCAACCCATAAGAAGGAGCAGAGCGAGGAGAGCGAGAAGCAGGCCATCAACGAGCTTAGCACTCGTCCCGTTGTGCCTGACCTTGGTTCTTGGGATACTCGAGATGACCAGACCCTCGGCTCGGACGAGCACCACGATCACGCCCGTACTAAGGACATCGAGAATCTGCGTCACGATCTCAAGCGGGACAGCACTCGCGGTCGTCGCAAGGCTGGTGAGACCCTGCCTGCTTTGACTTTGGAGACGCCTCCTAGGCCCAGCATTTCTGTGAGGCACCCAAGCCCTAGGAGCCCAATGCGTAGCCCCTTCGAAGAAGACACTGAGTCGGGTACGGGCCTGGGTGTGACCCCCTATCACTCCAATCTCTCTGCAGGCTCCTCTGGCGGCAATGGGTACCAGCCCTACGGTGCAACCGGCCCCAGCGGCCATGTGCAGACCAATGTGCAAAACCCTCTGCAGGGCACTCCTTCGCAGCGGAAGGGACCATCCAAATAACAGCCGCCAGCTGGCTAGCGCTAGTGGTCCTGGAGCTGACGAGGAAGAGGCGGTGTGTAGAAACACGATGGTAGCGACAAGGGGAGACCACCCCCAGAGCTTCTGATTGCAACTTGTCATTTTGGTGTACATGGGAACATTAGTGGGAAGATACAGGCTTTCTCTTTTGCGATAGAATGGACGGGTATTCCGCTCAAGAAGAAATGGGGGGATGGATGTATTTGGGCCGACGAAAAAGGGCTTTCCAGGCCCGGGATTGCTACTGAGCATCTCACACATTCTCACGAAGTTAAGATATATTAGAATATCCATTATTATTTGTCAAGGTCATGGTCACATAACTGGACCCAAAGTGAACAAATCATGTAGAGCATCGTGACATGTTAACAGATATGCTCAGGTGGGGGCACGGCGCCGTCCTTGGCCCCAAGGTCGGTCTTTAGGGTCCTTCCGAAGAGCTCGAGGAGAATCTCGAAGCAGACCTTGGTGATGGCTGGGTCGTAGCGACCCTTGCTGAGCTCGTCCCGGATGAAGGCGTGCTGGGCCCAGGCAAACTCGTGGAAGCTGGTGACGACACCTGCGTCGCGGAGTTTGGCACGGATGAGGTCACGGCCAGCGTCGGGCACGTGGGTGTCCTTGATACCGAAGATCATGGCTACCTCGCCCTTGAAGTTGGCAAAGAGATCGAGGGTGTGGTTGCTGTTCGGGGGCGGGGTGGACGAGGTGTTGGCGGCCGTGTAAGGGCCAAGTGTGCGGGAGTGGATGTCCGTGGCGAAGTATGATACGCACGCGGTTATGCGGGGGTCAAGCTGCAAGTGAAGTGTTAGTGTCTGTAAGATGTATGTGAGCGATGGAAGAAACTTACAGCAGCGCGGACCGCGAGGTGGCCGCCGAGACACATGCCAGTGGCGCCGATGAGGCCAGTGCAGGTTGGCAGAGAGAGAAGGCAGTCGACGGTGGCGTAGGAGTCGGCATCATAGGACTCGAGAGTCTGGAAGAGAACAGGGGATCAGATAAAGCCAGCACAAGCATGTGTCATCAAACTTACCTTGTCAATCTTATACTGGTTGCCGCGGTCGGTGTCCTCCACGTCGTACTTGAGGGCCTCTGGGCCAGTGAAGTCGTGATAGGAGGAGGGGGCGGCGACGATGTAGCCCTGGCCGGCAATCTGGCGGGCGAAACGGGCAACAGGGCCAGTGACTGCAGTCGAGAGTTGGTCGATTGGATTGACTGGATATTGGATGGTAGGAATATATCTGACGCACCTTGGTAGATCTCACTGAAGAGGCAAACACCAGGGAAGCGACTAAAGGAAGCTCAGTTAAGCTTCTTATATCGGGGGGGAAAGAGAAGAAAGGGACATACGCGTTGGGATATCCAGGAATCGTAGGATGGAACAGAAATATGCCTGATCATGGTCATGAGTAGGAGAAATGAGATATATCGGATCGAGTCCCTGGATGAGGGGCAAGCATCGAGAACGTACGCATGGAGCTGTCCTTGCCATTGGCAGTTGTCGGGACGTCGACGTGGGATTCCTTGATCAACATGGCGGCTAGTGGTTTATCGAGATTTAATAGATGGGAAGTTGTTTGAAATGCGATGAGTTTGGAGGAACTGGTTCGGAATTGGTGTGGTCGTTGCGATGCTCTCCTCCTGAAGCTCACGAAGTGCCCCTCGGCGGGTCGCCTCTCACGGGATCGCAGCTTCTGATTGGCGGGTCTCTTCCCGCCCTCGCCGCCATCGCCGCCGCCACGGCTCTGCTTCCGCTACACGGGTACCTGCGACTCGAGACGGAGGCCCCGGAGACGGACCGGAGACGGGAAAACCACCGCTTCCGGCTGTCCCAGGGACTCTGCGCCCCCAATCTGAATCTGAAGGCAACTCAAGCCTCAAGGGAGATAGGTACGAATACGGACGTACACCGGTCCGTCGAACAACATGCACGCGCACATGCACGCGCGCATGCAGGACGAGACGATGACAGCTCTTCCCTTTGGCCTGTGCCTGGTGGGTAAAGTCGAGGCGCGCAAGTAAAGGCTGCGTGGCAGCATGGCACAGCCAGGTACTCGCTGACAGAGCTAATGTAGGTACCTCCCTGGTGCTGTGCGTTGGTTCCATTGTCTTGTACCTCTTCCGGCCGGCACAGGTACAGGTACAGGGAGGTGTCTCCTATAGAGTCTCCTGTAGGGGATTCTTGTAGGCGTCTTCCGGAAGCGTCTCCTTTACGTGTCCACTGACGTCCTGTAAAAACGTCCACTGCGCTGCCCAGGATGAGGTGGCTTATTATGTGCGAACCCCCATGCATGGAGCCATGGAGAGAGGTTAGGTCCGCGGCCCGCCCGATACGTACCTGGTTGGTCGGCTGCTCTATATCACAAGGGTCTAGCAACTTTGTCCAGGTGGTCACTTCACAACATTTTGGCATCGCTCGTCAATCGTCCCACGCACTTCCCTTTGCATCCCCCCCCCCAACGACCAGGCGCCCACCGAAACCAATCCCTTCTGCCTGTGTCTGCCAACTCGACGACTCTATCCGCCACCTGCTGCGTCTGCCAGGGTTTCCCGACTCATGCCCGTCCCGAGCCGCTGAAGCTCCCCTTGTCTCGCTTCTCCACCGCTTCTCGCTTCAATCTTCCCGCTTCTGATACTCTGCCATCGCAATTATGAACGGCCACTTCTCTGCCGTCGGCGAAAAGCTGGCGCCGGGCAGCTACGAACATGGCGTCCAGGTCGTTGACGAGGAGAAGGATTTCAAGTATGTCCATGTCCATGTGCCTGTGCCTGTCCCTATCCTCCATTTGCTTTGCATTCCATTTGTCTACGTCGCCACTTCTTGCCATTCTATCCACCACGCTGTCTTCATGACGACATGCGCCCCTTGACTAACCGCCCTCTCTCCCATTAGTGATAACCTCAATGAATACCTCCAGCTCACCAACGTCGCCGACGCCGGCTTCAACTACCACCTCATCTCCGTCTTTGGCTCTCAGTCCACCGGCAAGTCCACCCTGCTGAACAACCTCTTCGGCACCGAGTTCTCCGTCATGTCCGAGACGGAGCGCCGACAGACCACCAAGGGAATCTGGATGTCCAAGAACAAGCGCGAGGACAGCGCCGGCACAAAGATGGCCGACAACATCCTCGTCATGGACGTTGAGGGTACCGACGGTCGCGAGCGCGGCGAGGACCAGGACTTTGAGCGCAAGAGCGCCCTCTTTGCGCTCGCCACCAGCGAGGTCTTGATCCTCAACATCTGGGAGCACCAAGTCGGTCTGTACCAGGGTGCCAACATGGGCTTGCTCAAGACTGTCTTCGAGGTCAACCTGCAGCTCTTCCTCAAGGACAAGCAGTAGGTCCTGACCTTGTGCTATTATTCTGAGAAACTCCGGGATGCTGACACGTGCTCACTCAGATCTTCTCCGAGATCCCTCCTCTTCTTCGTCATTCGCGATCATCTTGGCACTACCCCCCTTGCCAATCTCCGAACGACCCTCATCCAGGATCTGACCAAAATCTGGTCCTCCATCTCCAAGCCCCAGGGTCTTGAGCAATCGCGCATCGAGGACTACTTCGACTTTGGCTTCGCAGCGCTCCCCCACAAGATCTTGCAGGCCGAAAAATTCACCCAGGAGGTTCAGATCCTAGGGTCAAGATTCATCGCTGGACACCGTAGTGGCAAAGGCGATCAGAAGATTTTGCAGGCCGAAAAATCCACCCAGGGGGCTCAGAACCCAGGGTCAAGATCCATCGCTGGAGACCGTAATGGCACAGGCGATCAGGAACTCGAGGGCGGTCTTTTCCTCCCCGAGTACCACCGAAGGATCCCTGCAGATGGTTTCTCCATCTACGCCGAGGGCATCTGGGACCAGATTGTCAACAACAAGGATCTTGATCTCCCGACTCAGCAGGAGCTTCTTGCCCAGTTCCGTTGTGACGAGATCTCCAGGGAGGTTCTGATAAACTTCGACCTCGTTATTTCCCCCCTTGAGGAGAAGCAGGCCGAGGGCTCCAAGCTGGGTATCCCCACCGTACTGACTGATCTGGGTACCTCCGGAAAGGAGGCCCGTGAGAAGTGCATCCGGGCTTTCGAGACGCAAGCGAGTCGATACCACAAGGGCGTTTACGCCCGCAAGAGGCAGGAACTGGAAGGAAAGATTGATACCCGCCTCAAGGCCTTGTACCAGGGACAGCTGGCCGCCGCTCACAAGGCCGGCGTTGCTGCTTTCAGCGAGGCGGTTGCTGGCAAGGTCAAGGCTGGGCAGAAGGCTGGCGGCTCCTACGAGTTTGCCGACATTGTCGCCAACGAGAAGCGAAAGACATTGGATATCTTCAATGTCGAGGCGCAAAGCCTCCGCATAGAGAGCGTATCGTGGACCACCTTTGAGTCTCAATCATCCCTATTTGAAAAGGAACTTGACGAGGTCAGCGCCAAGCTGCGAAAGGAGGAGATGCGACGCCTTGCGACGCGCGTGGAACGGTGGGTCAAGTCGCGACTTGGCGAGGCCATCGGCTTGGAGTTCAACAAGCTGGGCACGGGCCGAGGAGGCATGGGGGCCCCTGAAACTGAGGATAAGCCCCCTACCGAGAAGGACCTTTGGGACAGGATCTGGAGTGTCTTCACCGGCATTGTTAAGGAGGCCGAGGTCCGATTCGCCGACCGAGCAAAGAGCTTTGATGCTAGCGACGCGGAGGTGCTTGTCGGTGCCTGGCGACTCCGCCGAAAGAGCTGGAGTGCTCTGCGGGAGAAGATTGAAGAAGAGGTTATGGAAGGCAACATCCTTTTGAAGCTGAGAGAGAATTTTGAGGAAAAATTCCGTTATGATGAAGCCGGCGTCCCGCGCATCTGGCGCCCTACTGACGACATTGAGGGCATCTATACCAAGGCGAGGGAGTCGACCCTTACGCTCATCCCCCTTCTATCGAGGTTCCGACTCTCTGAGACGTACGCGCCACCGGATCTCCCCGAGTTTATTGGACTGCAGCCCATTGGCGTTGAGGCTGGCGATGAGGAGGATCTGACGCCGATTGGAGGCATTGACGAGGAAGAAGGCAAGAGCCTGGAGGAAGAGATGACGGTGCTCAGCGAAGGCAAACGACAGGATCTGGTTGTGCGGTTCAAGAAGACGGCCGACGGCGTCTATGTCGAGGCCAAGCGGAGTGCTATCGGTGGCGTAGCCCAGATTCCATGGTACTTCTACGGATTGCTCCTGGCACTGGGCTGGAACGAGATCTTTATGGGTAAGTGCTGGACGCTGAGATTTTGCGACGAAAATTTGCTAACCTGTATCGCCTACAGTGCTGCGCAACCCTATGCTTTTCATCCTGCTCATTATGATTGCGGGAGGTACTTACATCTCATACACGCTCAACCTCTTGGGCCCCATGGTCCAAATGGGCAACGCGGCAGTGACCCAGGGCGTGGACATTGCCAAGCAGCAGCTGCGTGAGTTCATCGCCAACTCGGATACGGCACGCCAGGCCCTGGCTATGCCCGCCCGGGACAGCGACAGCATCAGCATGGACACGTTGGACAGCCGCGGGCAGAAGGCCAACTCTACGGAGAGGGACGACATTGATGATATCTGATGGCATGGACTTCTTATGTATTTAGTCTCAGACCTTGCCGGGTATGATTAGCGAAACAAACAGGATATAATGTTTACTGAACCCAGAGATGACCATCCAATGCGCCCCAAGTTGTGAAGCCCTTTCCAGTGGGTGCCCCCAGGCTTTTTATAATCAAAAAGAAAAGAAATATGCCTAAAATGCTTCCAACCCTGCCGGTGTGCCAAACCAGGTACCCAGCTCAGACCCCTTGTCCTCATTCCCGGCAGAAAAGAAATCAGTTAGCCTGCTCGTCTCGCCATCATCGGCAGCTGGCCACTCGACTTTGACGCCGTTGCCCTTTCCCTCGAGCATGTCTTTGGCGGTACCCCAGCTGAACCGACACTCAGGACCCCAGCCAAACACGGGGTGGATATTGCCCTTCATCCACCCCACGCATCGGGCGTCGGAAGGGTATCCTGAGCCCCAAGCCATGCCGTCCTCCTCGGTAGTGACACCGTCCTCGAGGGCGCGTGCCTCGTACAGCACCTCGAGGGCAGCGTCACGGGTGACCTTGGCGCAAACGGAGGCGGCACTGACACACGGGTAGAGGCTGTCGGCCTTCTTGGCGACGGTAATCTTGGCTGTGGGGAAGATGCGCTGCAGCTTGGCCTGGTAGGGGGCTGGCTGGCCGATGGTATCGACGTAGATCTCCTGGATGTTGACGCCCTTCGCATAAACTGCCTTGATGAGGTCGATGGTGGAATCCATAGCCTGGGCGTTGAGATTGTAGGCAGCGGGCCGGAGCATGTTGGCTGAGATATCGCGGGCTGAGAGCGAGTCGGTGGCCCAGCCGCAGGAGTTGTGGAGGTCGGAGCCGGGCTCGCAGAGTGCGCGCATGAGGTCGGAGCGGACGGCGGCGGTGAGGACCTTGGAGTCGTCGAAGTGGTGAGTATCACGGAGGAGCGGGTCGGAGAGCGGCAGGGGCAGGTAGAAGACGCCGTAGACCATGGGACCGAGGACGGGTCCGCGGCCGGCCTCGTCGACGCCGAGGCAGCAGGGCGGCGCCGAGGTGGGATCGGAGGGGTCAGTTGGGAGTAGGGCGGGAGGGACGGGAGAGAAGTGGGTGAAGGAGGCATCCGAGAGGAGCTCCGGGCGGTGGATGGAGGGGGGGATGAAGGTGGAGGATTGTGAGTCAGTCATGATGGTGGTGGTGATGTTGGTGATGTCTGAACTGGAGGTTTTGGCGGTGGAGGAGGGGCAGAGAGGACCGAAGTATCAATAGAGATACGCCATTAACCAAAAAAAAGCCAGATAGTCGAAGGGTTCTAGTTCGTAATTCGTGATTGGTGATTGTTTGTTTGTGTGTGTGATGTGTGGTTGTTTACTTTACGTCATGTCTTGTATATTGAGACGGAGGCATGAGAGCAGAATATTAAATGGACGGGTCTCGACGCGTTTGGTCATGGGAGACGCGTCGCAGCTCCAATTGAGCTTCGGCGCCCAGCCCAGTGGGGTTAAAGGTGCTGGAGATTCAGCGGACAGGGGTACCTGAACCAGTACAATGGGGCGCTATGGGTAGTTTCTTACAGGCGGCAACACGCCCAGAATGGCCCCCCAAAACGGAAAAAAGAAAAAGGTGGGGCCGCTCAGCGCTGCAGCTTCCCGTAGGTCCCTGTCGCCTAGAGCTCCAACAACACCCACCGCGTCAACACCCGCCGGCGCGTTCCATTTTCCGTCGTCGCATCTCGACTTGCATCTCGACTTGCACCTCCACGCCACCATTGCAGCATCTCACGGCTCGCACACATTGGCCTAATCACCCCGCGACCCAGGTTCCCTTTGAATTCGCAACCCCGAAACTCCTACACAGCCATGGCCCCTCGCGGCAGGCGCGGAGACGATGAGGAGCCCGAGGCCATCCACACGCTTGGTGTACGCGGTCGGTACGTTGCGCGACTCTTGCTCTTCTGCCGCAAACTGTTGATGCAATATTCCTAGAAAAACTGGCGCTTTTTTGCGCGATACCGGCAAGCGTGACGAGCATGGCATGCAACCATTAGACGATCTTTCCTCGCCCGAGAAGTCTCCAGTCGCCAACGGCAGAGACATCAGCGATGACGAAAGCGACTTGGGGAGTGATGACATGGAGATTGAAGACAGTACGCAGCTCTTCGGCCATCCAATCTACCAACTAGCATGACTAACTTCGTCGTAGGCGCTGGTCCTGGTCCCCGGACGTTGCTTAAGGATCGACAGCTCCGCATCCCTCGCAGTCGATCGCCCATAAAGACGAATCTGATGTCACCCGCACGCAAGAATCCACACCTCGAGCGCGTCTCTTCACCCGTACGCGGATCGGTTGTCGAAGAACCCGAGTCGACGGTAACACGAATGCTCAACTTTGGCCCTAACCGCGGACAAGGCAGGACTAAGCCGAATGGTTTTAATGGTACCGTCAGTGAAGAGGACGAGGATGAGGACGAAGATGAGGACATGGACGACAATACAAACAACACTGTTGTACACCGACCCGGGGATGAGGAAGAGGACGAAGATGAGGACCCAGATCATTCAGCTCTCTTGGAGGACTCTCTACAGATGGTTGCCGCTATGGGCGGAAACACACCTACACCTGAACCGGAATCACCACCTGCCGAGGAGGAACCAGTCATCCGTCCGAGCGCTGCGAAGAAGAAGGGTCGCGGAAGGCCAGCAAAGGTTGCACCTAAACCAATTGCAGAGGACCCCCCCGAGGAACAGTCAGTGGTTGAGGAGGGCTCGACAGCTCAGAAGCGAAGAGGACGGCCAGCAAAGAAGGACGCCAAGCCAAAAGAGCCCACATCAGCTCAGAGCTCTAAGAAACGGCCAGCTGCACGGAAATCGACGGAGAGCGAGCAAGCTGAGAACGAGTCGGAGCCAGAGGAGAGTGCGCCACCGCCCAAGAAGCAGCGGACTGTGCAGCCCAAGCCCTCCAAACCACAACCAGCCAAGCCTGCTCCCGCAAAAGCGGCTGCTCCCAAACCCGAGCCCAAACCTCGTGGTAAGCCTGGACGAAAGCCCAAGCTCCCAGTGGTGGAAGAGGACAATGTTGGCGATACGTCATTCGCGGCCCTCCAACGCGGTCCGCCGATGCCCCAGTCTCGTGGTCTTGTATCTATGCGTCACGACGCCGACGTCATGAGGCAGACGAGATCTGGCAGACATTCGTACAAGCCACTGGACTGGTGGAGAGGTGAACAAGTCGTACATGAGGAAGAGGCGATCGACAATATGTTTGCCAAGGATCGTTTTGTCCTACCTACCATCAAGGAAGTTATCCGCGTACCCGAGGAACTTGCCCCGTCAAAGCGCGCGCCGCGGAGCAAGGCACGCTCCAAAGCCAAGTCTAAACAGCGACCTATTCATGCTGAAGAGGAGGAACTTGAGGACTGGGAGATCAGCCCCGGTACCGTCACTGGCGAGGTCATACTATGGGAGCCAGAGCACGAGTTGCAACCGCCGGCCGACGACGAACCCGTCGAAGTGACGGAAGAGCGTGTGGCCGTTTCAGCCGACGCCATCCAGACACGCGATATCCGCGATGCCACGTTCCGCTTTGCCAAGACGCTGATCACGCCCTTCATGGGCGCCGGTGTTGTCGACCTGCCCCCTGGCACGGAGAAGAGGCCCAAAAACTCGCGGAAGATGCACATGGTCTTCTTTGTCCATTACGGCAAGGTTCTCGTCACCGTCAACGAGGCACAGTTCCGCATCACCGCCGGAGGCATGTGGTTCGTTCCCAGAGGTATGCCGTGTATTCACTTACCCCTGACATCAAAGTAGCCAATTTGACTAACCATACAATAATGTAGGAAACTACTACAGCATCACAAACGACTACGACAACCCTTCACGCATCTTCTTCTCCCAAGCATGCGAGGTCTCCAGCCAATTATTCGATCCCGATCAGTCGCAAAACTCCACACTGGCCCTCAGTTAATAGTCCTCGAGGGGCCAAATGTTCCGACTTTTCGATGTTTGCATATCAAGGCGCACTCGTGTATATATCCATCCAGAAACTCCTTCATTCATTTTACGTGGCGATGCTGGATGGGAGGTCTTTTGTTGTTTGTTTCATTTCATTGTGGTGGAGTTTCTGTACTGGCCCTCGTGCTAGTTGGCTCTCGGTAATCGAGATTGACAGGGATTTAAGAAGGATCGAAAACTGGCTGAGCATGGGTCAGTTTGGCAGAGTGGGTTTATGATTTACGTGACGTATGGGAGACCTCAAGTTGCATGCCATTCAAGGAAGAGAGATGATATGACAGCTTTGCTGATTTAGTCTTGAGCGTGGTTGTGCCAGCGGCTGCTTGAACCGAGATGACATTGGGCGGAGAGGATACCGAGGAATGAAAAAGGGGAAATTCGTTGTCTTGTTGAGAAGGGTATCTGCCCACATCCTCGTTATACATGGAGCCTTCTACATGACTGCTACCAATACACATCTAATCCAAGATCGCTTCATCCTGTTCGTGTCCATGTAAATCTCGTATAGCGCTGTCCTTCGTTTGCAAGCCCGCTACCACAACACCATGACAGTTACTAGCCCTCCCTTTCATCTATTTTCTAGTACTCCTCATTCAAAATTTTCTTCAGTTGGGCCGTCTCCTGGTCCCACTTGGAAATCTTCACCTGGCTAGCCTGGAGTTTACCTAAGAGATAGCTGATTCGACCAGCCGTCTCGCCCGTCTGACGCGGCAAGGATCCAAGCAGGGCGAGCTCAGTCTCGATCTTGTCAATAGAGCGAGCCTCGGCCTTGGACACATCGGTGATGATATCGAGATCCATCCTGGCGCGGAGTACGCGGTCACGCAACAATACAGCGAAGGCCGCATGGTGTAGGGGTTTGCCGGGGGTGATGAGCTCGGGTCGGCCTTGCTTGGTGCGGACGGTGATGAGTTCAGCACTGGCGAGGCTGTCAAGAGCCGCCTCAGCGTCCACCGTGGAGGTGGAGGCAGAGAACGGCCCGGACAGGAGGACCTGGTTGTACCGCAGGGATGGAGTCTCGGCAAGCGACTTGATGAGGTGCCAAGCCTGCTGGGAGGACCACTTCTTGTTCTCAACGTCCGTGCCCTTTCCAAGAAGGAACATGCGAACAACATCGGTGGCTGTCTCGTCGACAATCTCATCAATGGCTTGCTTAGGTGTCTGACCAGTCCGGAGGCGGCGGGCGAGGAACTCGAGGTCAGTGAGCCGGCCGCCAAGAGTGGTTATGCACGCATCCAGCTGCGCCATGTCAGGGCGTCGCATTAGCTGTTGCTTGGTTTCATCAGTATCCGACTTGTTCTCCTCATCTGCGATCTGGTCCTTGAGGCGGCCGAGGACAAAGTTCTTGGCTACATCAGGCGCGAGGTCACCAAGAGAGACAGTGCGGAAGAGGCGGTCGGGGAGGGCCTTGGCCAGAGGTTTAGAGTAGGCAGAGTCTGTGGTGAGGAAGATGACATGGGCGACATTGTTCTGGACAGCGGACGCGGCCCACTCCGCAATCTTCTCATAGACGATGCTGTTCTCTTCATGCTTATGGAGGAAGTTGTCAATCACGACAACAGGTCTGCGCTCGGGGTGCGCCTCTAGATAGGAGTCATCAGCCAGATTGGCATCGCTGTCCTTCTTTGTTCGCCCGGAGACGGCGACTCGCATGAGGGCAGATGTGGTGGTGTGCAGGATCTTGGTGAGCTGCGACTCGAGTGTTTCCGAGAAGCCAACCTTGACACCCGTGGTACTCTGGACAGCGAGGTCAACCATGCTACTCATGCTGTTAGCCCAGGAGAAGACAGGGCGGTATCCGACAGCAGCGGCAAGTCTCTTGATGGTGCCGGCTTCCCCTCTGGCATCGACAATGGGCCGGCAGTCTATCTTGAGAACATTCTTACGTCCCTCCAGTGACTGGTCCATGATCATTTCCACTTTCCCGGAGCCCTTGGGACCTGTGACGACAATAAAGGTATCGGACGTCTCGTCGAGCCAAGAGTGAACCTGGTCGATGACCTCACGTCGGTGTTTCCATACAGTGCCGAGACCATCGCTGTGGTCCTTCTTGTTCCCAAGAGAGAAGTGGCCGGTCTGCTTCTTGAACCACTTATATAACTTTGAATCCTTAAAATCAAGAGAGTGCTGAACATGGAGCTTGATGAAGAACTCGCGAATAGGGTCGAATATGACCACTGAGAGACCAGCGAGCAGAGCAGCCACGACGGGTATGACGATTCGAGAATGGTTGGTCAGCCAGTTCCAGATGCTGTGGGGTTTGACTCGCTTTTCGTAAGACAACCTGAGTTTAGTTCCTTTCTGGCCGCCCCCAAGGGCCTCGCTGACAACAAACCCGTGCATACAGTTGCGAGCCATGATGGAGTCCCTTATCAAGGGGAACCCGACCTGGGCGTACCGCGGAATGACCTTGGAGTCGGTGGGCTGTGGTATGATATCGGCGATCTTGCCGTACTTGCGGAACAGCGTGTAAAGAGCCTCTTCGGGGAGCTCCTCGGGACTAACTCCGGAACTGGGGGGCACGAACTCGATCTTGAGGAGGCTGGTGGGATAACGGTAAAGATCCTCGAGCCATGGAGTGCCTTGGACTAGGCGGGCCGTGACCCCACGCCAGAGGCTGAACCATGGTTTGATAGGTCGATCTGCCAGTCTTTTCTTCAAAGACGCTGGGCGATGTTATGTTAGCATATGTTCCTGGAGAAGGGCATGACCCATGAGCACATGTACATACCCTCGATTTCCGCAGGGTCGATGTTTGCGTCGTGACTGAACTTGACATAGGCGCCGCCGTCTTTGAGACGCGGTAGGATTTCAGTCACTTTGATTGGTAGATCTTCTGGAATTGCCGTCTTGACAAGACGAATGGGGTCCATAATGCCGAAGGAGGAGCTATCGAAGCGCTTCAGCAGGTCGGAGACGTCATGGTCTGTCCTCCATGGCCAAAACAGAGCGCTGCTGAGCTTGAGTGGGAAAATATCTGGAGGGAATCAGTGAATACTGTGCAACTACCGGGCTAACTGGGCGGGCTGACTGTCAAAGAATAAGATGGACTCGTTGGTAGAGACTGCAATGTGCCCGCTCTTGTCGCCGTCAGCCTCTGGTGAAAGCGGGGGAGTGGCCGGGGGAGTGGCCGGGGGAGCGGCCGAGGGGTCGAGTGGCGTTGTGCTCTCCCAAGCACGACCAGAGATTCCAATTCGAGAGAGAATGGCATTATCATTGCGGGAACGGAGGAGTGAGGCTGCTGTCAGGCCCAAGGTAGCGGGCGATGGGCATGGCGACGCTGACGCTGAGAATAGTGGGCGGCGCGCTGCGAGGAGCGCTAGGCCTCGTCTGGAAATCATGGCGAGAGGAGGCCAACCGCACGCATTCTGCGTATGAGCAGATGTGATTTGGCTCCGCAGCAGGATGATTTGCTGTGAAAGAGTGTGCAGGAGGAGGTTCCCGGACTGGAGGTTGGATTCGAGAATGTGCAGAGCTAGGCGAGCTTCCTCGGTTCACCAATGACAATGAGGTCATCCATCATCAGACAACCACGAGCTAGGGCAGGCTCTAACTTAGCCGCGACTCCACCCGAAATGGAAGGGAGCGCAGAACCAACCGAGAACTCAACAGAGGGAAAGGCACGTAGAGGTGGGAGTGAGTTGGGCAACCTGTTTCCTGTGCTTCACCAAGTCATCTAACACTTCCAGCGGCAAGGCGGAAAATTTGAATATACCGCAGAGCCATCTCCTTGGCAGTCCAAATGCTTGTGGGGCGCTGTGGACAAGTCGGGTTTCAGCCGGTATGCGGCTCAGTTAGCAGATACTTTATCTGTAGCTGAGCTGACACAGAAAATTTGATATCCCTTAACGATCTGCAAATCCTATGCTGTCCCACAAGCATTTGGACTGCCAAGGAGATAGAAAAGTCTAGGCCTTAAGGGTTTTGCTTCAGGCTGGGGGCGTCGGTAACGGAGAGAATGGTCGTCGAGGCGTGTTGTTGTACATGAGGTGGTTCTTTTGGCCAAACGAGTGTACGGTCGGTGACGGAGAGAATGGTCGTCGAGGCGTGTTGTTGTACGTGAGGTGGTTCTTTTGGCCAAACGAGTGTGCGGTGGAGGATTTCGTAGGCGTGGGAGATCTCCTTGAAGTTCTCCTCGGCAGAGGGGTTGTGGGCGTTCTTGTTTGGGAGGAGTTAGGTTTCTGACAGAAGCCGTGGAATAGCCATACAACTCTCGCAACTTATAGCGCCCTAAGCTTCTGGTATCTACAGCACTTATGTTAGGGGTGTGGCCTCAGGCCATAACCCCTAAGGGTTATTCTAAGACCTAAACCCAGCCCTCCAGCCCCCCTTACAACCTTAGACTCATACACACACACTTTTTGCACTGTGCCTTTCCCCACAAGTCTCACAGGTTCTCATCCAGGCGCTTATTGCGCTATTCTACGACTTTATTCAAGTTTTCTTTTTACCTTAAACATCACTCGATTCTTTTCAGCATTCGCAATAAAGGGTAACAGCAAGATTTACTTCGACGTCACCTAAGAAGAGCCCCGTTATACAGAACGGCAAGCCTACCTCAACCAGTTTATTACCTGCGCTAAGCTCAAGTCCCTCGAGTTTATCGGCATCCTCAGCATCTTCTTCATCTTCAGCCGCTTTTTTATTTTCAGTCTCTTCTTTATCTTCAGCCGCTTTTTCATCTTCAGCCTCTTCTTCATCTTCAGCCGCTTTTTCACCTCCAGCCTCTTCTCCATCTTCGTTCGGAGTTCTGAGCTGGAGATCTGGGTGGGTTTTATTCGGATGAGGCGATATGTCGACGCTTCTCCATCTTCGTTTGGAGTTCTGAGCCGGAGATCTGCGTGGGTTTTATTCGGATGAGGCGATATGTCTACGAAAGAGCTGTTAGCAAAGAAAGACAGCAATAACGGAAACATACTCATTCCCGACTCGGAATAACACCTCTCTCGCTTCTGTGTGCTGCTCCCATCACCGAGCCCGGGACGGAAACAAGCGGACAAGATCGTTCCAAAAGAGGCGAGCGCCAAGGTCATTGTAACCAAGGAGAGATTCGAACCCTGCGAATAACTCCAATCGTCGTTGTTGGGCCCTTGAGAGGCGAGCGCCAAGGTCATTGTAACCGAGGAGAGATTCGAACTCTGCGAATAGCTCTAATCGTTGTCGTTGGGACATTGCCGGCCCTGCATACCCACAGGAGCTAGCAGGCCTGACGTAAGACCCTCAGCCTCGCCACCGAAAATATTCATTCCCAACTCGGAACAACACCTCTCTCGCTTCTATGTGCCGCTCCCATCACCGAGCCCGGTCCAATCCCTTGCACAGCGCAGACCAGTGCGCAGAAATCGGTCCAATCCCGTCGAGCTTTCCATCAGCATTCCTGCTACAATCAATTCGCCGCTCTAGCACCCGACGTCACTCAACCGAGCTAGATCCATCCCGCAATACTCGACGCAACCCTCCGCACGCACCCGGGACGAGAAGCAAAACTTGTTCCCAGAGTAAAAGAGGTTGGCTCCGATGTAGTTCCATCTCTTTGAAACTAAGAGGGGAGCAAGAAGGTCTTCAGGCTTCTGTGCAAAGGTGACGCTCATCTTACTCTTACCCACGTAAAACCGGTGAAGCGGAGATATCTCCCCTCTGCAGTTCAGAGGTACCACTATCGGCTGGTAGTATGGATCGAGGCGAGAAATTGCATGGACCACCTGTCCGTCGAAGACCAGAACCATACGAAGAATCTCAACCTGGAGGTTGGAATCCAGCTGGTCGAAAGGAAAGATACCCTGCACCTCCACCGTCAAGAGCCAGTCCGAACCTCTGCAACAACATTATCCCCAAGACCGGCGAGAACTTCCGTGCTCTCTGCACTGGCGAGAACTTCCGTGCTCTCTGCACCGGCGAGGATCTCCGCGCTCTCTGCACCGGCGAGAAGGGCTTCGGCTATGCTGATTCCGTCATGCTCCAAGGTGGTGACTTCACCCGTGGCAACGGCTCCCAGTTCTTCGTTACCACCGTTGTCGCCTCGTGGCTCAACGGCCGCCACGTCGTCTTCAGCGACCGACCGACCGACTCACACGATGACTCACATAGGTCACCCTCGCCCCGGAGTACTACTTGCGGCTGGAAGTCTCCTCGTGTCATCAAATCCCTCCTCGCTCCTCGCAAACCGACACTTTTAGAACCCCCCCACCCGGACCAACCGCAATCATGGTCAAGGAAACCAAGCTCTACGAGACCCTGGGCGTATGTTCCAAACCCTGCCCTTTTCCTCAGCAGACCACATCTAAACTAATCGTCTCCAGGTCACTCCTACAACTACCGAGCAGGAGTTGAAGAAGGGCGTGATTAAAAAGTAACCCACTTTGGAGTTATTTGCAACCCAATGTGTGGCTGAACCCGTATTTTACACCAAAATCAGAGCCGATTGACTCCACTTCCTCTATCATCTCCATTAAGTCACGGCCTCAACTCCAAATCCATATTCAGGCCCTTCCCATTGAGACCTACACTTGTGATTATGTTTCAGTGAGTAATGTGCACTCCCGGAGGGAAGGCCAAAGGATCTGAACCGAGCGAAGCGAGCTGCTGCTGTGAAAGGTGTATTCTTGGTGTTGGAGTACATATTCAGCTACAAATTGGGTTGCCTGCACAGGCTATAACGCCCTAAGCTTCCAGCACCTACAGCACCTACAGCGCACTGGGTCGGGCTTTTACTCCTTGGAGTTGACAGCACCACTTCCGAAACCAGTAGCCTTAAGAGCCTTAATAATATTCAGGGAGTTCTGGTTAGCGACCTTGCCGAAGACGACGTAGCGGATGTTAAGCCACGAGGTGATAACAGTAATACCAAAGAACTGGGAGCTATTGCTACGGGTAAAGTTACCACCTTGGAGTATAAACTCATGGATAATACAGTAGAAGGCGGAACCAGCATAGCTGAAGCCCCTCTTGCCGGTGTAGAGAGTGCAGAAGTTCTCGCCGGTCTTGGGGACAGTGTTATTGATACGGCCGGGCTGACTTTTTAACGGTGAAAGTGGAACCAGTATAGCCGAAGCCCTTCTCGACGGTGCAGAGAGCGCGAAAGTTCTCGCTGGTCTTGGGGATAATGTCGTTGCAGAGGTTCGGACTGGCTCTTGACGGTGGAGGTAGGCTTGCCGTTCTGCATGACGGGGCCCAGGTGACGTCGAAGTAAACCTTGCTGTTACCCATTATTGCGGATGCTGAGAAGAATCGAGTGGCGTTTAAGATGGAGGAGTTTGCTTAGCCGACCACACAAAATCGGTTGGTGTGTGGGATCCCTCAGGACGCTCACACAGGGTTATTCGAGGCTCTTCTCATTACCTCGAGGAAAAGAAAAGCGATGATCGTCTACATCTCGACAGGGATATTTAGCTTCACTTAGAGGTAGTATGCTTGTGGATTATAAGGTAGTTCAAGGAAAATGACGTCGAGTTCCATAATTTACTCTTGTACGAAGCTCTCAGGGGAATGGTTTCTGACAGAAGCCGTGGAATAGCCCTCTGTTGAGTTCTTGGCTGGTTCTGGGCTCCCTTCCATTTCGGGTGGAGTCGCGGCTAGAGCCTGGTGCTTATGTAACAGAATATTATTTGCACCCCCTAGCGGTGCAGCTACGGCTGCCCATCTCTGCGCCTTCACTTACAGAATCGCCGACAGCCCCGCGATCGACTCGAATTGAGTGAGATCGTATAAACAACCACGCATACACACACCCAAAGACAACCGTAATGGCTTGGCTCTGGGCTTCGCAAACTCCTGCCGCAAAGGCACCCGCGCCCGCCGACAAGGAATCGGCCCCTCCATCCCCAGCCTCGACCTCGGCCTCGATCTCAAATCCATCCTCCTCGCCCTCGTCCTCAAACCCATCCTCCTCGCCCTCGTCCTCTACGACATCCAACCTGTCCGACGACCCCGAAATCCAAAAGTTCCTCGACCTCTTCGACACCAAGTCCCAGCCCATCAACAAGGCCTCATCACAAAAACCCACCGACCAATCCTCCTCCTCAATATCATCCTGGCTCTCCGCCCGCTCTTCACCTTCTGGTTCGGCCTCCCGCGCCGGAGCTGAAACGCTCACCGAGGCACCCCCCGGCGATGCCCTCTCTGAATCCCTCCTCCCCACCGACTTGAGCTGTCGCACAGCCTTTGACCAGGCATGGGCATGCAACTCGATGGGCGGCCAGTGGAACGCCATCTACCGCTACGGCGAGATGCGCTCTTGCAGTGAGCACTGGGACGACTTCTGGTTCTGCATGCGCATCAAGAGCTACGGCGCAGAGATGCGTGAGAACGTCATCCGCGCTCACCACCGCAACAAGAACTACGCAAAGTACGGGCCTGGAAAGCCAAGTAGCGAAGACGTCTGGAAGAGCCGCGAGGAGAAGGTGGAACCAGGGTCTGTCTTTAAAGAACCCATTGAGTAATCTGCCGACATAATTTTTATTGCAGCTACAGATTCGGGATCAGAAGAGAATGGGAGGAGGAGCAGCTTGCTTTTGTACATTAAGGTAATATGGTCTTTCTTGTCCACAGTTGGCAAGATACCTGCCCAGACCACGTCTACCATCACCCATTCATGCATGAACAGAGATACTCCTTTCATAATGAACCATATTTATTCTCGCTTCCACGCTCCTCGATTCTCGAACAAAGCTATATTTTCCATGCAACATGAATTCCAGTTGATGGTAGACCAGAGCCGCACTTACTCTTGTAACAAGTGCTGATCGCCATGTTTTGAGAGGGAAGCATAACAGGAAAGCATAAAATTCGGACAAGTATCGTGATCACATAACTTCTTACGGAACTAAAGTGCTGGTAAATAAAATAGGTTACTAATCTTTACTAAATTTTACTTCATTTTAGGAAAATGCTAATGTCCATTTATTGTTGAGTGTTTAGGGACTAAGACAGTATTTTGAAGTGTGATCTGAGAAATCGATCTAAATTTTCGTCAACCTACTTAGTGTAGCTTACTAACCATCACCACAACGATGCCTTCCCAGAGAGGGAGATGTCCTTATTCGTTCATCACAAACCTTGACATTGACATTCACATTACAAGCGAGTGGAGAGTTTGGTTCATGTGTATTGATCCATTGATTCATTAAAGTACAAACCCAGGTAAACCACCGAGCTTTTCCCTGTTCGTGACCGTGAAATGCGTTAAAAAGCAAAAGGAAAATCTAATCTCATCATCCCTTGAGACCCCTAGCCTCCGTGTCGTAGACGCATGACCAATCTGGAAGTCGAGACTGATGTTGGGGTATCAAAGAATTTAGTCGACCTCCTCGACGGTAGGGCCGTCATCACCGGGGCGGGCAGCGCCAGGGCCGCCAGCACCAGGGAAGCCGCCAGGGCCACCGGGACCGCCGGGCATGCCACCGGGCATGCCAGGACCACCCTCGCCACCAGCACCGTAGAACTTCATCATGATGGGGTTGGCAATGCCCTCGAGCTCCTTCTGGTGCTCCTCGTACTCCTCGCGAGTGGCCTGCTGGCTCTCGTCGAGCCAAGCAACGACCTTGTCGATCTCGGTCTTGAGGGTCTCCTTGTCGGCGGCCTCGATCTTCTCCTCGACCTTGGGGTCGCTGAGAGTGTTGCGGAGAGAGTAAGCGTAGGACTCAAGACCGTTCTTGGCAGCGACACGCTTGCCCTCGGCCTCATCCTCCTCCTTGTACTTCTCGGCATCGCTGAGCATGCGCTCAATATCCTCCTTGGACAGGCGGCCCTTGTCGTTGGTGATGATGATCTTGTTGGACTTGCCAGTGCCCTTCTCAACGGCGGAGACGTTCATGATACCGTTGGCATCAAGATCGAAGGTGACCTCAATCTGGGGAACACCACGGGGGGCAGGGGGAATGCCGGTGAGCTCGAACTTTCCGAGGAGGTTGTTGTCCTTGGTGCGCTGGCGCTCACCCTCGTAGACCTGGATAAGGACACCGGGCTGGTTGTCGGAGAAGGTGGAGAAGACCTCGGACTTCTTGGTGGGGATGGTGGTGTTGCGGGGAATGAGCTTGGTCATCATGCCACCAGCAGTCTCGATACCGAGAGAGAGAGGGGCAACATCGAGAAGCAGGATCTCGCTGGTGGACTTGGAGGTGGTGTCGCCAGACAGAATGGCGGCCTGGACGGCAGCACCGTAGGCAACAGCCTCATCGGGGTTGATGGACTTGTTGGGCTCCTTTCCGTTGAAGTAGTCGGTGATGAGCTTCTGGACACGGGGGATACGGGTAGATCCACCGACGAGGACGATCTCGTGGACGAGGCTCTTGTCGATCTTGGCGTCAGCAAGGACACGGTCGACGGGCTGGATGGTGGATCGGAAGAGATCCTGGCAGAGCTCCTCGAAACGAGCACGGGTGATGGAGGTGTAGAAGTCGATACCCTCGAAGAGAGAGTCGATCTCGATGGAGGTCTGTGCGGAGGAAGAGAGGGTTCGCTTGGCACGCTCGCAAGCAGTGCGGAGACGGCGCAGAGCGCGAACGTTGGAGGAAAGATCCTTCTGGTATGAGTTAGTATTTAGTCTTGATAATTTAGGGCTTATATTTAGGCTTTAATTTACCTTGTGTTTCCTTTTGAATTCATTTACGAAGTGGTTAACCAGGCGGTTATCGAAGTCCTCACCACCCAAGTGGGTGTCACCAGCGGTGGACTTGACCTCGAAGATACCCTCCTCAATGGTGAGGAGAGACACATCGAAGGTACCACCACCAAGATCGAAGATCAGGACGTTGCGCTCACCCTCGATCTTCTTGTCAAGACCGTAGGCGATGGCGGCAGCGGTGGGCTCGTTAATGATTCGCAGGACGTTGAGGCCGGCAATGAGACCAGCATCCTTGGTAGCCTGACGCTGGCTGTCGTTGAAGTAGGCGGGGACAGTGACAACGGCGTTGTTGACAGTCTCACCGAGGTAGGCCTCGGCGGTCTCGCGCATCTTGGTGAGGATCATGGAAGAAATCTCCTCGGGGGTGAAGGTCTTCTGCTCGCCCTTGAACTCGACCTCGACGATGGGCTTGCCGCCCTTGTCGATGATCTTGAAGGGGAAGTGCTTCATATCGGCCTGGACCTCAGCATCGGCAAACTTGCGGCCGATCAATCGCTTGGCGTCGAAGACGGTGTTCTGGGGGTTCATGGCGACCTGGTTCTTGGCGGCATCACCAATCAGACGCTCGGTGTCGGTGAAACCGACGAAGGAAGGAGTGGTTCGGTTGCCCTGGTCGTTGGCAATGATATCACATCTGAGGCGCGAGTTAGCAGCTGCACAACATAGCTGAGTTTCGGAGTTGGGGGGAAAATAGCACTTACCGATCCTCGCGGAAGATACCCACGCAGGAGTACGTGGTACCAAGATCGATACCGACGGCGGGACCCATTGTGAATGAAAAAAGAAGATGTGACGGGGAAAACGGGAGAGGATGTGCTTCAAATCTAGGAGAGGTGTTTGAAGACTCTGGGGGGTATTGGGAGAGTGATGATTTGGAAAGAGAGAAGTTTCGGTGCAGTGGTTGCGAAAGGTTCTAAATAAAGGCGGCTGCCAAGGTTCGATGCGGTTCTGCGCTGTTCCAAAGGAGCCCACACCAGCTTGCGTGCAGGGGCCCGGGAACCCTCTAGCAGGGCAGCGAAGCAGCTGCGAGCAGCTGGAAGAGCCGGTGGGCCACCAGAAGGCCCCAGCAACGAAGCAGCCGCCCCCAGGCGTACCAAAAAAAACACATTGATTGCCTACGGGGGCTTCTGGCAACTTCCTGAGCCCCTGGTATTTCTTCCTCGGCGCGATCCGTCTGTTCGCCGCTCGTCGCTCACGCTCATCTTCCCTGTGCTCCTCGTTGATGTCATGCCCGTGAAAAATTCCATCGCGGGGCAGCCGGCGGCGGGGTGTGCGGCCTGGGCAGCACAGAGGTGCCCAGTACCTCGGCGCTCAGGCACGCACAGCGGTCGCACCGCCGCATTTCAAGGGCGCGGCCGCCTGGACAGCCTGACGAAGCCAGCGTCAGCTTTGTACCAGGTACATTGCCCCACCTCCGCCAGGCTAGTAGCTTTCCAGGTTCCCTTTGATTCTTGCCTCGCTGCCCCTCCTTGATTCCATGCCACTTTTGCCTGTGCTGTGCCTGTGCTGCTCTGCGTGCTCCGAGCTCTGTACTTTTGGCATGCGTCTGCCTCCCTGGCTGACCTGACTCCGACTCTGGCTCTGGGCTACCCCTCCACTCAACATCTCAGGTTTGGGGCGTCATGATTTCTTGGGTGGCGACGGGCCAGGTAACCAAAGGGGAATGCAGTCCATCAATCATCCATCAATCATCAATTCATCAGCTACGACGTCACGGACATAACGCGCAGTGGCACGTTAGCCGCACTCTACTTTGCATTCTCTCCCAAGCCTCCCGCCCTGTTCGAAAGCGGCACTGCAGTTGGTGCTGGTGCTGTAATTTAGACGCCTGTACGTACATGGTAGCACCGCGGGCTGTACTTTGTACAGGTATGCACTCCTGCGCGGGTTGGATGGCTGCACTGCCCCTGGTTTACCCCCCCGTTCCCTCCCTTCTCTCGCAGCGCATCTTCTCCCTGCCTGCTTGCCTGCTTGCCTGCTTGCCTGATACATACGCGCCTAGCTTGCTCCTGTCGGCCTCGCCAGACAAGGAAGCCTGCCCGGCCGGATACCATGACCAAGCCAGTTACCAGCTGTCAAAAATGCATGTTGCCTGGGATTTTTCCTCATGGGTCTTTCGCGGGGCTTCCACAGCGCTCTGTGGGTAGGGGGGGTCCACTGGGAGGGGGCGGGGGTTGCCACTGGGGTCGGTGGCGTGGCAACCTGGAACTTTTCGGCGAGCCTCGCTGCCCAATGGAGTGGCGGGGCAACCAACCCATCTGGATGAATCTCTGGCTCGCACCTCTGTCTCTTGTCCCTTGGGATATTGGGGGCACGTCATTGGGGGGGGGGGGGGGGAAGCCCCGTTTGCGTGTTGTTGGGAGCTTCGGGATCTCTCACTCGCGGGGTTACACGTCTTGACTGGCGCCAATTCACTGCCGCTGATGCTGCTACAGCTGCACGACTTGCGACAAGCAAAGTCGGGGCTTGACGAAATCTCTCCGGCGCTGCTGGGAGGCTGCGGCTGAATTGCTGCAGACTCCCCCTCTGTGGCTTGTCCGCCACCCACTACGTTGCCAAATCGATCGCCCTGTGTGCTGCCTCGTTGCCGTGCGCGCGTTCTGCAGGCAACCAACCATCAGGGTAATAAAGGGCGATGAGGCCTTACGCGGATGTGTGAGGCGGGAGACACTGGGAGCGAGTGGGATTCCAAGTGGGGTGGACATGGTCAGGTATCATCGCCGTCGATGAAGTCTGGTTCCATGTTCAGGACAGCTTCATTCCCAGCCCTGTGCATTGCCTTCTGAACTGGCCGCGTTAGAAGATGCAGGCGAGGGTCCACAATGATGAATTGATAATGCACCCGCCCTGGTTCTTTAGAGGCCATCGGCCCGTTCCTTTCTTCCCTTTGGCGCGCCGGAGCCAGATGCAGCTGGCGGAACCACAACCACCCAGCCCAGCTTCACCACGCGCCTCGTCCGCGAGCCACGACTACATGCCTCAATACTTCAGCCATAGCCGAGGCGACATGTCAGAGAGAACTAAGACAGATGGCTGATGTCTGAGACAGCCAAGGCATCGCTCGGCGCAAAAGGACATCACACGCACATCGGGCCTGGGGCTATCCGGGAGGGCTTCATTTTCAGTTTCGCTGCCCAACGTAATATCTAATGCATCTACCTACTCTATCCGAGTGCAATCGCCCATGTCGTCCACGTAACTATCGCACGATGCCGCCAGCACACTTCTAGATGCCGCCTAGATGCTGCCCTAGATACCAGGATCATGGCACCTAGCAATGTCCGAAGATCGATCTGAACTACTTCGTCGTCGTCAGAGAACAAGATGCACGCCCTATCTACACAATCCAACATCAGGCTTCCAGAGCCCAAAATGCGTAATCAACCTAACAACAGGAGCAAACGATACCTTTCCCCGATTGCCTACCTTGCTTGATCTCCCTCTCCTCATAGTTCACACCTCAATGGCTCGCCACGAAGCCGGCCAGATCCTCCTCCCTTATCAACACCATCTGCTTGTCCGCCATCTTCATCGACCCGCCCAACCAACCGTTCCAGATCTTCTGCATCACGTTATCCCTGCTCATCAACTTGCTCCCCCGCAAGTCCTCCTCATCCCCGTCATCCACCGTCAGCAGCAGCCGCTCCACGGAGGCGAACCCATCCACGACGTGCCAGAGACATCCGAAGATTTGGTCACTCTCCTGCTGCGGATAGCCCAACTCCCCGAATGCGCAAGCGACGTGCCGCACCCGCCGAGTGTCCTCTCGCCGCATAAAGTACACCATCGGTGAGTTGAAGCCGTACGAGTCGTATGCCTCCAGCTCCCCCCTCAGATAGATGGTATCCAGCGCAAAGTTGAACCACACACGCGCCGGACGCGACACGGGTGTGTCTGACAATAGCTTCGAGATGCGCCAGCTAAATGACAGCTCGTAGTGCTGCAGCGCCAGGTACCGCGACTCGCGGTTAATCTGCAGCAGCACTGGGACCGCATCGCCGTGTGTCCGCTCGTCCAGTTCTCGCCGCCGCTCAGGCAACCGCTCGTCGCACTGGAGACAGCATGCGACGATGGTGCGCGGCTGGATCAGGCAAGCCCAGATTCTTAAGCGCAGCTCTGGAGGGAGCATCGCGAACCGGGGAAATGCGGTGAGCGTCGGCGTCACCGTCGTTCCGGCCGCGGGCGACGACAGCCCATCGTCAAACGTGCGGAACTCCAGCCAGAACCGCGGCTTCGGGCTTTGCTCTTCTTCGGCGTCACTCATGGTCACAATTTATTAAAAAGGGCGACCAATTGCGCCCCGAAAGGAAGAAAATAAGTATTATGGTCGAGTTGGAGCAGTTGTTGAGAGACGACATGTATGGCCAAGGGCGAGACAAAATAAGACGCATCCATGTCCGGAGGCTGAGCTACGTGCCGGTCTGTGGTCAGGCGATTATCATGCTGGCGAGTCAAGCTGCTACCACGTCAACCAACTAACCCGGTAGAATTGCATCCCAATTTGGGCTGCTACTGCTGCGTTTGATAGATGCAACACGGGGGCCTATATAGCCAGATAATGCAAGGGATTGCTCTCTTACACGAGCCGCGAATTCAGCATGAATTGGTCCTGAAATCGCCGATCTCGGCATTCTCCCGGAATTGAACTCTATCCGGAGCAAGTGGCGATAACACACATCCTGAAATCAATGACTTCTAAATGCTCTTTAGGAGTCCATGAATGGTTAAATTAAACGAATTAAAGACAAATAATGGGTATATCTATCAGTTGGAACGGCCATCTATAGCTTTGCAAATGCCATTTGCTCCTCCATCAGTGTAAGCGATAGCTCATCTACCATTGTATCAAATCCCACCCATCGCTTAGTTTTGACCGACAGACTTCTCAGGCGATGTGCCCTCTAACCACCCCACCCTACTAGAGCGCTCCAGTCTTATTTCTTCCTCTTCTTCGACATACTTCTTCTCGCTCCTCACCAGGCTGAGTAGATAGCTACCTCTGACTATCGCATCAGTCGGCTTTCCACCCTCTCCCATGGGGCCCTGGTCGAACTTGACATTCCCAAGGCACGCGGCGCATACAACAGCCTGGTATGAAGTAAGCATACTATACATCTGCGGGGAGGAGGTGCACGCTTACCAGTACGATGAGAGGCGTGATGGAAACAAATGCCCAGACGACACCCATCTGGAATCCGTGTCAGTTATCATTGCATCCGAGGCTCGAATTGGGGTAGAAATTACCTTTGCATTGTGTATGGCTTGGTCTCTAATATCCTCCGGTAGTGACTGAATCTTAGAGAAGTCGCTCTCGTTCGAGTCAAGGCCAGATGTGTTGTTGAAAACTGTTGACATTATAGTCAACCCGATGGTACCTCCAAAGGGAATAGCGACCGCCATCAGCGCAATGACTGAAGCTCGCATGTTCTTAAAGAGGCCAATTCCGTGTAGCGGTGAGGCCATGAATCGCAGGCCAGTGCCACACCCAACCAATGCCATCATTCCGTAGATAGGTGCGAGACGCTCCGCGTATATGGACCAACCTAAGAGACCAATACCAATGGCTTCAACGATGGTTCCCAGAAAGACAGACGGGAACGTCATTCGGGGCCACTTGTTGCACATGAAGGAGCAAATATAGACGCCGGCTGCGAGTCCAGGAAGAAAGTAAAGAAGCTGAACGCCAGCCTTATCGGAGTCGTAGCCCTACTCTATGTTAAATCCAACGCCAATAGGAACTTCGGGCATACATACTCTAACAGCAATGAAGTAAATGTTGCAAAAGTACAGCACCTAAACAGGTTAGCAACTGTTTGGACTAGAGGCTTCTTTGAGAGACTCACTGCATACATGCCAACGCCGGTAGCACACTCGCAGTAGAAAAGCAGGATAATGTCTCTATTTGAAAGTAACGCCCACGGTAGCATAGCCCTCTGCCAGGGCATTTTTTCTGACAGGTAGTTTCCGGGCGCAAGGAGAAACTCCCAGTAAACGAAACCGCCTGCGAAGATGCAGCCGATCACAAGAGGGGTAATAACGGCAGCGGATGCCCATGGGTAAGTTGCACCACCCCAAGTCAGTGCCAGAATAATGAGACCAAACCCGATAATGAACAGAAGCTGGCCGCCCACGTCGATCGTCTTCAGCCTCGCAGTGAACTTTGTCCTCCGTCCAGTCTCGACAGTTTCGTCTAGTTCGGGGATGGGTTGAGGGCCAAGTAGTTCCTTGCGGAGAAAGAAGAAGATGACGACCAAGGCCACTACGGCAACAGGGAGGTTGATGGCAAAGCACCATCTCCAATCCGCACTGGTAAGATAGCCTGGTTTCGCTTGTCAGCCATACTTGATGCTAAACTTCAAAATAGGGAATACCAACCACCAATAACGGGGCCAAGGGCGTATGATGCGCCTCCTACCATCGAGAAAATGGCCCAATTCTTTGCGTTTTCCTGAAGTGATACTTTATCGGCAAGAACAGTTCGGATGCCGACATTGATACCTGCTGCAGAGATACCTTGGAAGCCCCGGCCAAGGAGGAGAACCGGGAACGCGCTGGTTGGAGCAGCAGTGCAAAGTGTACTGCCGATGAGCATCAATATGATGGCAGCATTGAGAGACGTGTTCCTCCCAAAGACATCTGCCAGTTGAGACCAGAAGGGAATAAAGGCGGCGGAGGTCAGGTTGAAAGCAGAAACGATCCAGTTCAGCTGTGAAACTTCTCCAAAGTCGCCAGCGATCCATGGCAGGGCAGTTGCGATGCTGTCCAATTAAGTCAGTTAGCCAAGTATTCAGAAACAGGAGGAAGAATTCGCACATTGTCGAGTCAAGAGACTGGAGGGCGAATGGCCATGCCAAGCAAAGAATGAGCCTCCATCGGTATTTCCTTGCTGCCTTCTTTTCCGTCTTACACTCTAAGCAAGGCACATCTGAAGGAACATCGCGATGAGCACACGCCACTTGGTTTGTAGTTCCGGCTGGTTGTGCTGTTGAATCCCCTGTTGTCGCATTTGGGGTGGTGTCTTTGTTCCACCATTGTTTAATTTGTTTATAAAGAATGATACACATTCTCGATAGGAGGGGGCGTAGGGTGTGATGAGAGGCTTGAACAGAGAATGGTGTCCTAAAGGGAGCAAAGGAAGTTTTATCTTTGAGTCTGGCTATGAAGGATACGACATGATAAGCATAATGGTGACGTTAAGCAGAGTCTTCTACAATGTGGGGAGCAGAGGCTGAGACGAGGGCAGAGCGCATGTCTCGAATGGTTTTCCCATTGCAGAGAAACAAGAGGACACGAAGCCCAATCGCGACCACGTTCAACAGCAGGGGCACATCGCCAGATAATTCAGATGCAACCTGGCGAAGGCTGTGTCCGTGAATAAGCCGGAAGTGGCGCTCGAATAGCTCTCCTAAAATGGCAAGGCGGTCCACGTGATCTCGAATGGGTGCCCATAAACAGACTAGCTTTGACCTGACAGCTCGAATGAGATACCGCTAAAAAAGGCGCTCTGAGGCCGCCAAGAGACCATCGACTCACAGGCCGCCAAGGTAATTAGGGATTGCGCAATGTCAAGTTAAGGCAGCCACTCATTATCAAGGAAGAGTCGATTTCTTAACTGCTGTCCTCGCTCCCTGACTACTTGGCCCCGGGATCGTGTCTAGGGAGAACACGCGTCTGGACAATTACCCCTGCTGTAAGCGGGCGCAGTAACGACGTCGTTTTGAGGCAGGATTCGGGAAGGGAACCCCAGACGCCACGAGGTCATGTCTACTTACCCCGGTTTCCCTGTTGCCTGATTACATCACAGGGATCAAATATGTTCATTTGAGTCTAAGTGTTTTATGGTCTTAGCGAAAGATAAGGAAATAACCTTTAATGTCTAACTTACCTAACCATGATTTCAGTCTCGGGAAATCAAGTCCCTTGATTTGCGCAATGGGAAACTGCCCCGGTCAGTCGCAAGGGATCTACCACAAAGGCACTTATATAATGCTTGTGGTCTGTACATTGTGAGTTAAGGATTTTCATTTTAGCATAACCGCAATACGTACCAAAGCCTAGATACCAAGCTTTTAGCAAATTATGCGACAAATGAATCAGCAAACTGAGAGACGGGAACTCAGAAAACCTGCAACATAAAGAATCAGGTGCTAATTCTCAATGCCCCTTTCATTTTTAGGCACCTTGGCTATTATGATCTAAGTACTATTTCTTAAGGAAGGGGCATGAAACCGTCTACGCACTATAATTTCCCCTAATCGTGCACGACAGGACTCCCTGCTTTATATGGTCAAAAGCAGTTTCTCAATTTTACGAGCCCTAGTCGTTAAACACCCCGTGGTTCAAGTCCAGATGTTCCAGAACGGACAAGTGTGTAGACAGGAACTCAAACGGATTGCAAAGACAGACTCAAGGCCGAGGTAAATGCTCACCAAAGGTTCCAGGGTCTGGGGAGACGCTTGATTGTATCCAAATAAATAATGAATAAATAATGAGTACCAGTACTCACCTATCTGGGCAGTACGCCAGCTATCATTGTGTACCCATTTTTTCAGTCCCGCGGAAATTGGGTGCTGGAAAGCTACTACATCGTACGACTGATGTGATGTGGTGGGTACCGGAACGAAAAGAGAAACTGTGACAAATGACACCACCAACAAGGCACAATTTCACCCTTTGGAGATGCCGGTAGTACCAGAGCGGCGATGGAAATATCCGCGGGCACGGGTCGGATGCGTCTGTATTCATGGTGGCAAAGTGATAGCATCCTGAGGTGTCGGGCCGGAGGTCCGGGGGTTACCTCCGGCCATCCGGGCCCTGGAGTGGGTCGGGGTCAAGGTGTCCTGGGCGATGGAGAAGGTGTAAGTTCGCCAGGAAAGCCTCTGGTAGGTAACTCACCAACCATGTATACACCCCCTGGACATTGCCACCAATGCGTCGAAAAATACGTATTTCATTAAAATATTAATGTCGTGGTTTGAAACTCTCTTTATTTTCATCACTTGTTTGCCGTATCTTGATGCGAAAGATAATCTACTGGAGCACAAGTGGTGGATGACACGGGTTCATCGGCAGGACCCCACGAAATCTTCAGGCCGGCTCCTTCCCCCAATTACGATAACCAGCACGCACCCCTCCAACTCCAAAACCCAGGATTAGCTACCCAATGTTACACATCAACTCTCGCTTGAGCAACACAGTTCATCCCGCCACAAGGCACAACCCACCACTCAGGCATTCGCCCAGTAACAGCTGCAGTCAGGCACACTCCACCACGGGAGCCAACCACGTTCCCGGCGGGCAATGACGAAATAGGTGTCGCGGCGTGCGGTTGGCATTCAAAAGAAGGGTCCGAAAGGAACGGGCAATGTTTGTCTCACTGGCGTCCTTTGGGCCGAACCGAGACGGGCCTTGATTGTGCCACCCATCCCAAGGCTTCGCAACGGCACGCTCTTCGCCGGCCAGGCCTCCACGCTCCGTTGGTCCTCGGGAAAGCTCTAAGGTTGAGCTTCCTTCAGCCGTGCTTTCGCCACACTCCTCGTGCCCCATCTGAGAACCACTCCCCTCGGAGCGCGGGGGACTCCGGTATCGTCACGATCCTCAAGCGAGACGGACGGGGCACAGTTCTTTCTCGAATGGCACAGGACTCGACGCTTTGGATCCAGATTACGATGCTGCTTCGGCGAGACCGGCCTGTGAGCCGTGAGCCGTGAGCGAGTGCCAACCCAAGGCCCCTCTAATAAGCGTGCTACTTGACACCCACCCACACGATTCGGATGGGCAGCCATGCCTAGTAGATGCCAATAGGCCGTTTGCGATGGGTCAGCATCAAGTTCAAGCCCAGTTCAGCTCCAGCTCGGTTCCAACTACGCTCGTGACGTGGGGGGCCCGTGATGCTGAGAGTGCGCATCACCAAATGGCTTCCTACTGAGCGCACAGTATGCAGCCTTGCAGCCACGCCGTCAGCCACCAGAAACATGCATGCGCACGCGCACTCGCAACCTCAGCCTAGGCATGGCACATGGGAGACAAAGGACTATCTCGTGCTACCACGCCAAGAGATCAACCGCCTGTGCGCATTCATCCCCACGGCCATGCTCATGGGAGGCATGCATGTAATAGGCAGCCTGTCGCCATGGTCGCAACCCCAAGTGCAAGTCCCCGACTCGGACGGGCTGGTGCACCTGATTTCCCCTCATTGCACATGGCATCGTGGGGTTGCGCCAGAGGAGAGACGCTCTTCTTCCCCTCACCGGTCACCAGAAGTTGCACCGCGAGCTGCACCGCGAGCTGCACCACGCAGAACAACACCAGCGCCTCCAGCCAGTCCCGCGTCATCATCTATCCATCTCCAACGTTTCCCGGAGCCGCGCCCAAGTGGACCGTCTCCAGTTGACCCCCCGGTCCAGGCCTAGCCCCAAAACCCGGCGTGTTCCTTGTTCGCCGTCACGGCACTGGCTCTAGTTACCGTTTCTCGACATCCCGTCGTCCGAAGACCAGCGTCGCCGGCCACTATACTCGCAGCGCAGGCCTCATTTTCGGAAGTCTACCGTGGCGCCCCCCAACAGCCGAACACACACGCTTTCGGTGTTGTTCCTGTACCTTGTTCCTTTTTGCATGTGAGCCATTTGTCCTCGGGGTACGCAATCGCACCCAGACGCTGTGCAGTGTACATTCATTACCGGAGCCTCGTGTTGCCCTCACGCCCTCCCCTGGTCATCACCACTCCCTTCAGCCTTCAGACGCTTTGTCTAGTTCTCCGGCCTGTCGGCATTCTCGACTCCCTGCCGATTTGACTCGGGGAATTCTCGCTGTCCACGGTAGAGGCGCTCTCTGGTTCCGTTCTCGGTAAGTCGTTGTACCTGGCCCTGTTCCCAAGATAGTTCCCTGCACCCATCTTCGGCAGTGTGACAAGTGCCACCCCCATCCACCCACCACGTCTCGTTGTCGGGCCTGCGGAGGACCTTTGCTGCCTACCGTCCTGACTACCGTCATGCCTACTCGACGGCCCCTTGCTTGGTGTTCGGCTACCCCCCGGCCGATGCGGAGGGTGTGCGGAGGGTGTGCGGAGGGTCCACTTGACTCTTGTCTAAGTCAGCGAGGTCACAATGCTTTGCTTGCTTCGCTCGAGTTGCTTTATATCGATCCCATATCCCCTCTCCTCTCCTCTGCTCTGCTCTACTCCAACCCTTCAACCTTTGTCCTTTGTCCATAATCACTCTTGCCCCTCCATACCACGGAATGCACGTGTAATGCCGGCCTATTTTCTGCAAGATTGTCATTACTTCTAGCGCACCGCTCTCCGCGGCCTCAACGTCAGCACCAGCGTCTCGCCTCTCTATACATAACGGCGACCATAAAACCGGATCACCTAGGCTGACAACATGACTCAAGTTCGCACCTTTGCTCTTCCCCAGCCTCTAGGGGAGAGACTTGCTGAGCCAACTCCTACATCTGCCCCCATCACCTCAACCATCTCTTCCGCCACCCCTCGTTTCCTCCCAGATATTCCCGAACTCCCTCAAGGGCGAGACTCCGTGCCCAAGGTCAACGGCGACTACAAGAGGGTCCCAATGGCCACGTACAACGATACCAAGAAGGAGGGCGGCATCACATTTTCCGGCCAGGACAAGCTACCCAAACTTCCCATCCCTGACCTAGAAGCCACTTGCCGCCGCTACATCGAATCCCTTCGCCCCCTTCAGTCACCCCGAGAGCAAGCAGAGACCCAGTACGCAATAGACGAGTTCCTAAAGGGCGATGGACAGGATTTGCAGGAAAAGCTGAAGCAGTATGCTCAGGGAAAGACCAGCTACATCGAACAGTTCTGTATGCACAACCCACATGCCCCCCTCCTTGACTTACTATCTAACATCGAACAGGGTACGATTCTTACCTCAATTTCGATAATCCCGTTGTTCTCAACCTGAACCCATTTTTCCTCCTGGAAGATGATCCGACACCCGCCCGCAACAACCAGGTGACTCGGGCCGCGTCCCTGGTTGTGTCTTCGCTTGAGTTCGTCCGAGCTGTACGCAAGGAGGAGTTGCCCCCAGATAAGATCAAGGGAACTCCCCTTTGTATGTATCAGTTTTCCAGACTCTTTGGAACAGCTCGAGTTCCCACCGAGGATGGCTGCCAAATTGAGCAAGACCCGGAGTCGAAGCACATTGTCATCATGTGTCACGGACAGTTTTACTGGTTTGATGTTCTGGACGACAACTCGGACCTCATCATGACGGAAAGGGACATTTCGATCAACCTTCAGACCATCATCGATGACGCCACACAAACCCCTATCCAGGAGGCTGCAAAGGGGGCTTTGGGTGTCTTGAGTACCGAGAACCGAAAGGTGTGGTCAGGCCTGAGAGATGTCCTGACTCGCGAGCCCACGTCAAACAATGCAGACTCTCTCAGCATTGTTGACTCGGCTCTCTTTGTCCTCTGCCTCGACTACACTGAATCTGCCGATGCCGCAGCTCTCTGCCAAAATATGCTGTGCGGAACCAACGAAGTGGAGAAGGGTGTCCAGATCGGCACCTGCACCAACCGGTGGTACGACAAGCTTCAGATTATTGTCTGCAAGAACGGAAGTGCTGGAATCAACTTTGAACACACTGGCGTGGATGGACATACGGTTCTTCGGTTTGCTAGTGACGTCTACACGGATACCATTCTTCGATTCGCGCGTACCATCAATGGCCAAGCTCCCAGCCTCTGGGCCTCAACAAGCCCCGACCCGTCCAAACGAGACCCCGAGAGCTTTGGCGACGTAAACACCACCCCTCGCAAGTTGGAGTGGGACATGATCCCCGAGCTGAGTGTCGCCGTTCGCTTCGCCGAGACCAGACTGGCCGACCTTATCCAACAGAATGAATTCCAGTGCCTGGATTTCGGCCACTACGGCAAGAACTTCATCACATCCATGGGATTCTCGCCCGATGCTTTTGTGCAGATGGCTTTCCAAGCCGCCTACTATGGTCTATACGGCCGTGTTGAAAGCACTTACGAGCCTGCCATGACCAAGGTGTACCTGCACGGCCGCACTGAAGCTATCCGAACTGTCTCAAAGGAATCGGTTGATTTCGTGCAGGCTTTCTGGTCAGAGAACCCGGCCGAGGCCAAGATCGAGGCGCTGAAGAGGGCCTGCCAGAAACATGTCGCAAACACGAGGCAGTGCCTGAAGGCCGAAGGTTGCGACCGTCACCTTTACGCTCTGCTCTGTGTCTGGCAGAGGAGCATGGACGACGAGTTGGACAGTGGCCTTAGCAGCACTGGTTACTCTAGCCCGATGGATGGGTACTCTGAGCGAGGTGTCAACTCGCCCATTGGCAGCCCTACCAACGACTCGATTGGCTCTGTTGATGGCGTGGAGCTGAAGCCCTCGCGTGAGCGAGGGTACAGCACCAATTCGCGGTCGCGAGACCAGAATCCTCTCCCGCTCATCTTCGCTGACCCCGGCTGGGACAAGCTGAACAACACCATCCTCTCTACATCCAACTGTGGAAACCCAGCTCTCCGACAGTTCGGCTTCGGACCCACGTCGGGAGATGGATTCGGCATCGGATACATCATCAAGGAAGAAGGCATCTCCATCTGCGTATCGAGCAAGCACCGCCAGACGGCTCGTTTCGTCGATACGCTCGAGAGCTACCTGCTCGAGATCCGCCGCATCTTGCGCATCAGCAACCGCAAGATGTCCACCATGAAGGCCAGCCGCGCCCGTGAGGCCGAGAACGCCATGCACCACACCAAGCCCACCAACCGGCTCAAGTCCCGTGGGCGCCCCATCACGGCCGTCGACAGCATTCGCTCCAACACGGGCACCACGTCTCCCACCAACGAGAGCAGTGCCTTTAGCGAGGACGATGAGATCGGCGGATGTAAGTTGCGCCACGCATATCAGACACGATTGCAGTTACTAACCTTACCCACAGATGGCTTTTTCGACGCAGGCATGCTTCTCCAGGCGCTCAAAGCCCGTAGTGTGCAATTCGATGTAGCGGAAACGCGTGCCTCGGAGCGAGCCGCGGTGCAAGCCCGCCGGCGAGATGTGGGCAAGAAGCTGAGGCTGATTGACTACTAAGCATCCCAATCAGCCGTCATGTAACGGGTGTTGCATGTTTGTCTTGTCTCTTTTGTTTTATGTACTTGGTTAACGATTCAGTTTTACGGTCTTGTCTTATCAGGCGCACACATGTTGTCTTAGGGGATTCGGGGAACTAGGGGGTTCATGCATAGTTCATGTTTCATGGAAAGCGACAGAGTTGTGGGTTGATCGGCCTGGCGTAGGTGCAATTCAGAATTTGTATCGAGCACTGCTGCATGTTGTCATGTTTCTTGGAAAGCTGTTTGGTGTGATTGGAAGTGGAGCATAGGATAGATGAGGAGGAACATGAAGGAGAAATTAACTGTCGTATTGACGCAAGCAACAAAGCAATTATCTCCATGCCATGAAAGTGTGCTTATGTGAGCCAATTTAGCAGTAGACAAAGTAAACCATGTTTCCATGCACCACCAACGTAGAGAATTAGGGGGCCAGTGTCTCAAGTGGTTCCTTTCCACAGTCACGCGAGAGCCAAGGGACGATGATTGAAGACGCACAATATATTCAGGTTCTGCGTGGATCAAAAGATACCTATGTAAAAGGGTATACATGAAATTAGGTCAAAACAAGTCATCATGGGCCATCATCTCTGTTCCTCCGTGCCTCCATTCCCCGGAACGATTTAGAGGGTGTCGAATTCTTTTTTATTTTTGCACTTTGAAATAAAAGAACAAACCCATCTCCCATTATTTGGCGTTCAGAATGACAAGATCTCTATCCAACTCCAGGCCATGATGCAAACAAAAAAATCCCAGATGACAACCCAGCAAACGCCTCCAACACAACAGTGAGCCGCTTTCCGCGGCAGTCACAGCCAGTACCGCATCTCTCTTTAAGCAAGCTCGTGGGTGTCGCCGCGGCCGTTGCTGCCAACGGCGTTGGCGGGAGCCTCGTGGATGACGGCCTGCTGAGGTTGGAAGCCGGGCTGGCCTTGCATCTGTTGGTTGTACGAGGGCGAGGGGCTGGTGGTGGAGTGAGCCATACGAGGATCGTAAGTGCCAGGAGATGAAGGGTTCGTCTGGCTGTAGTCGGGAGATCCGGGCTGGTTCTGGGGGTAGAACCCAGGGACAGCAGCCTGGTTGTACTGCTGGGTGGGAGTTGAGTAGGCGTTCTTGGGGTCGTAGTATCCGGCCTGGCCCTGGGGCACAGGGTTGTAACCGTTGGGGCCAACGCCGGGCTGCTGCTGCATGTTGGGCGACTGGTAGTTCGGGGGAGCCGTGGTGGCGGCTGCGGCCTCCTTCTTCTTCTTGTTGCGGAGGCAGAACCAGATAGCGGCACCAGCGATGGCGAGGGCACCAACACCGCCGACAACACCGCCGACGATGGGACCAACGGGAGTTGAGGAACCACCGCCGGAGCTGGAGCTGGTCGATTCGGAGGCGCTACCGGATGTGTGGGAAGGCTTAGACGAGACAGTCACGGTAGGGAGATCAGCGGATCCAGAGGTGATGACGCTGGCACTGGAAGAGGTATCGTCCTGGGTGGTGTACACTCGGGCATCGCCGCCACTGAAGGTGGTGGTGGCCATCCGGGCGGTGGAAACATTTTGGCTGTTGCACCAGTAGTCAGACACACCGCCGGAGAAGGAGATAGTGTTGCAGTATTGAGCGGAGGCCTCGGTACTATTCGTCTAGTCAGTTTTACCCATACACTTGAGGGATTGAGGGTTGTCGGAGGTAAACCTACCACTTCAGGGTCAAAGCATCAACATCGCATCCGCCGGTACACTGGCTCGAAGAGAAGTAGCCAGCGTAGTCGATACAGGCGAATCGCATGTTGCACACACCATCGGCACAGCAAGCGACATGGCCCTCATCTTTCGTTATGCTGAAGGCGCAGGTGTAGGTGCCAAAGCAGGTATAGCCGGCGCCTTCGAGGCCGGAAATGTAGCCGCAGGTGTTGTCGGGAGCATAGAGCAAAGTGCCCTGATCGGCTCGTCGCAAGAGGTCGTACTTCGGTGCCTCAGTCGGGCGAGGGCTGACACCGTTGTCGGCGAGGGAGACAGCAACGGTGGGCTCGGAGCGAACCAGGAGGTGCCTGGCATTGGCGGTGGCAGCCAGAGCCGTGATGGCGGCGTATGAACCAGAAACCTTCATCTTGAACGGTTGCTCGAATCGAATCGACTAATAGCTTGAATTGATGGCACCACCGATATGCTTGAGAGGCAGAAGGGGGAGTAGACGGAGAGGGAAAAAGGCTTGGCCAGGCTGCGGCTGCGGGACATTGATTATAAGACGGGCAACGGAGCGGAGAAAGCAGCTAGTAGAGCAGCAGCGAAGGAGCCATCCGACGGAACATGGCTGGGGTCCCTTTCAGCCATCTCGGGCTCGGAGCAAGGAGCATGGGCTGGCCTGGGGGCATCGTTCCTCTGGGCGTGGGTGTTGAGCTTGGGCGCAAGCGTGTGAGTGAGTTGTGTGAGTGTGGTAGTGCGGTTAGTGTGTGAATGAGCACCCACCATCGTCCACTCAGCCTTAAGCTAAGAGTTTCTCTAGTGGAATTTGCCTCGATTCACCCCTTGCCCATTGGGCGTCGGGACGCCGGGGTAGGCGGCTGGAGTTGCTGGGGGTCGTAGAGCCAGTGACAACGCTGTGTAGTCGATAGTGGCTTGCAGAAGCTGAACGGCCTTGGACATGGCGGCCCCTGGCAGTGCAGCAACATGACATGGATCAGCCCGGAGCATCTGGACGCCTCCAAACAAGCTTCGTGGCTCTGGCGGACAGGGTGCTGGAAGAACGAGTCGAGACTTGGCTACTTGGGGGCCAGAGCCAGACCAGACTCAACTCTCACAGAGTCACAGCTGCTGGCCGAGAGGTAACAGGTAGATAGCGGTATTGCGGCGCCGCCTGTGACGCTGGCTGCAAGCAATACGACTGTCTACTTTGGGCAACCCTTAGGAGGCACACAGCCTGGGCGATCGTAGCTGGGGTGTGAATCCTTGGGACGCCCTGCGGAGAGTCAACCAGGCAATTGGCAAATTACTGGGAACAGACCCGCCTCCCGAGTACTGTGCTGTGCCCTGGGATCGCCATACAACAGCACAGTATGGAGTACGGGCGTCGACAGCCTCTGTTCTCAGCCTGTGCTACATGTGTAGTAGCGCCGGGAAATCCTTCCATCGCCTGTCCGGACGCCAACACCAATCGTCCACGAGCACGACTGAGAGATTGAGGTCCGCACAGCCCAAGCCAGCATCCCAGACTCGAAACAAGCGGCCGCCAGGGCTACAGTGGAAAGCCAGGACTAGAACCAAGGACTAGCGAGAAACGGGACACCTCGACGGGGCGGCTGCTGCACGAGGGCGGCTGGCGGTTGGTCGGTTCATCTGTATCCCAAAATATCCCCGGTCGTCGCCTGGCTGGGCGTCAGCATCAACTCCGAGTTGACCCAGCTCCGAGCCTAGGGCGTCCGGTTTGATTACCAAGGGGACGGTGTCGCTGGGAGATGGTCAGATTGTTGCTTGTAGGGCGAAAGCGTGTCGGGTGCTTCCCGCCCCCCTCCCCGCCGCGATATGCGTCTTCCAAGGCGGAATTAAAGATTTTCGATTTTGTCCTCCTCTGAAATGGAATAATCGGGTCCACCTCCTCATCCTCCTCATTCTCCTCCTCCGCTCCCTGGCATACATAGTACGGGATTGACCAAGACCTGCATCACCGCACAAAGCACACCCACATCCACACTCGTCCGGCTCAGCATGCCGAGACATCGAATCCGTCCACACGGGTCACCGCAGGACGCCATATTGGGACTGCAGAGTGCACGCCGTCGACGCCCCGTGGGACTCGTTGCAGAAGCGTTGGCGTCTTGTCTCTGGGCTCCTGGCATAGCGTGCCAAGAAGCCCGAGGGTTGTGGAGATGGCGCCAGCCACTGATGCTTGGCCGTCAAAGGCGGCGCCTTGCGCCAAATTGGGTGGAGATGACCTCTGGGGCACGATACGACCCAACGTCAGCAGTAGCAAGGGCCGCCTCGACACGGATCGACCGGTTGTCGAGTTGTTGACTGGCTGTTGTTGACTGGCTGTCGCTGTCGCTGTCGCTGTCGACCCAGTTGACGACCTGGCCTGGGATATCCCCCCCCCACTGCTGGCCGCTCGGGGCCCCTAAATCGGAGAGATTATTACCGCGGGACTATCAAGCAAAGACATCGAATGAAGGTTTGCTGCGGGTTGGTAGGTGGAGGCCCATCAGCCCTGCCACTCGCGAGACAGGCTCGTCATGAGCCTTGTAAGGTGACCGCCTGGCAAGGTACTCGTAAGGTTGAAAGCCTGGTAGCGTAGCATTTCCGAAGCGAGCGGGGATCACGGGGCTGACCGACGTTGTGGCCACTGCAGCCACAGCGGCGGAGCTCGAATTGTCGGATTATCGAAAGACAAACAAAGAGAGGTGAAGTCGAAATGACGAAGCGGCGTGTAAGCCCACTGTCGCCCTGGCGCACTTTATCTCTGTTTGACAGCATGAATTGACGAGAATGTCTTCCGAAGACTCGGATGATGACGCTTCCTACCTACCTTAGGTACCTGGTTTCCGCCGTGTCTGTGCGCTATTGATAGGCCAGTCGCGCACTGTAATTACTCACTGCGCCCAGAACTGTCACAGCACACGTCAGACCTAGCAGTCCCATCTTTGAAACCCACGGCCGATGGATGATGCAAGGAGATGTCTTACCAGGACCGCGTGGGTTCCTGAATTATCCACATGCCAAGACAATTCAATGCCTACGGAGTACCTAGGATTCCAAAACTCTTGGCCCAATTGCGGCCCCGAATGACTGGGCACATAGCATTGACGGCATTGACGAGGGGAGGGGGAGGAAGAAGATGGCACCACTATCCGCACTCGACACTATGACAGTATATGCATGCGAAGAAACAGCACATAACAAGACCAAGATTGCGCTTTACCGTTGTACAAGCAGTACAATTTTAAATAAAATAAAATCCCCATTTGTTCCCTTCATAATTAATTGCCCGCGTTATAGGTCGCCCCGCGTGCCGCGCTCTGATCTGATGTGGGGTAGATCTCGCGTCTAATGAACCACGCCCGCAAACCACACCGGCGAACCACGCTTTCACATCGCGTCTATCGAGTGCACGACAGGATGAAGCCGTGAAAGCTCCCACCTCTAACAGAGGCATGATGCCGTAAACGTACAGCTACGCCTCTCCCATTCGCAGGCCGAAGGCGCACTGTGCGTCCACATTGCCAGAAGCCTGGAACAACGCACCAACCTGACCCCAAGTTCACGTCACTCGCGCACAGCATCCCAGTCTCACAGGCCCTCACTTACACACACTCACGCACTCACTCGCCCGCTCACTTTCACCCTCACCCTCACCCTGACGCGGTATGCCCTCCTCTGAGTGTCCCCCTCGTCCCGTCTTCCACCACCGCCCTCCATGACCGACCTCCTCCACATCCTCCCCTCCTTTCCCATCCCTCCCTTCGCCGCCCTCCTCCCGGCCATCGAGCATCACGGCCTCACCACCACCGACCTCCTCACCCTCCACCCCGCCGACATCGCCAAGCAGACTCGCCTCCCTCTGCTCGACCTCAAGCGCTTCATCGCTGCTGTCCAAAACTCCCTCTCTGACGACCTCGCCGCGCCGCAGCAGCCGCTCCTCCTCCTCGACGTCAAACCGGAGACGGAACCTGCTTCCACTTCCGCCGACGCTGACGCCGATGAGCCTCCACCTCCGGCCCCGGACCCCGTCCCGGCACCGGAGCCCCTCCAGCTCCGCTACATCAGCACCCTCGACGATGGCCTCGATGCAGCCCTAGGCGGTGGCATCCCCGTCGGTACCATCTCCGAGTTCGCCGGCGAGAGCGGCGCCGGCAAGACCCAGGCCCTCCTTGCCCTCTGCCTCGCCGTCCAGCTGCCTCCTCCTCACGGACTCGGCCGCCACGCCCTCTACATCTCCACCGAGGCCGCCCTCGCCACCCGCCGTCTTGCCCAGATGCTCGACGCCAACCCGATCCTTCAGGCCGCGGCCCCGGAGGACCGGCCGTCACTCGACCGCATCCACAGCGCCGTCACCCCGGACCTCGAGACCCAGGACCACATCCTCGAGTTCCAGGTCCCCGTGCTACTCTCGCGCCACGACATCGGCCTGCTTGTCCTCGACTCCGTCGCCGCAAACTACCGTGCCGAGTTTGAGCGTCAGGGCTCCCACGGCTCTAACATGGCCGCCCGGAGCGCTGAGCTCGTCCGCCTGGGCGCCCTGCTCCGGGACCTAGCACGCCGTCACAACCTCGCCGTCGTCGTGGCCAACCAAGTCGCCGACCGCTTCGCCTCCTCTGCTCCCATCTCGCGCAACCCGCCTCCTAGAAGTAGCGGCGCTGTCCAGGAAAGCCCCCTGGCCTCGAGGAGTATGCCTCCCCCGTCCACAAACTTCCCCAGCACGCCCTCGTCGTCCATCCCCTTCTCCCTCCAGGACCCCGATGGGCCCCCGCCGCCGCCCGCTTTGCTGCTCGACTATCAGCAACGCTGGTTCACCGGCTGGGGTGACGAGCCTCGGGCTTCGTACTCCTTTAAGACGCCCAGTCTAGGCCTCGTCTGGACAACCCAGATTGCCTGCCGGGTCGCCCTCCTCAAACGTCCTGTTTACGGCCGTACTCGACACGCCGCGCCGATAGATGCAGACGACGATGCCGACTTGGCAACGCCCACCCTTAAAAACTGGCGAAGGTGGATGAAGGTTGTCTTCGCGCCACACACAGCTGCCTCTAGTCAAGGCTTGGAGGACGCCGTGGAATTCGAGGTCACCATGGGGGGCTTGAAAATGGTGGTAAAAGAGCGGCGGAAGTCGCGGAAAAAGTAACATGAGCTTGGGAAAGGGAGCTGCGGTTTAGATATTTCTCAATCCTGATTGCTGGAAGCAAGGGGTCTAGATGGAGTCGGCAAGGTCACAAGACGCATCGGACGAATATCATATAGACGACGCTTAATCAATTAAATTTAATCGATAAAGAACCTTGCCTTAAAGTGAGAGACTACCTATATTCTAAACGCCCTATCTTCGTTGATCCCACATGTACATGAATCGAGGTATCATTCTACCACTACCGCGGGTGCGGGAACTCATCCTCCATCTGTAACCGCACGCCAACGTTCATGCTGATGAGTTCCTGCACAAGCAACTTTGCCGCATACGGCATCGTCATCTTCGTCACCTCTCGGGTACTCTTGCATGTGTGACAGTAACCCTTGTATCCAAACAGACCGCACTGCTGACAAATGTCAATTTCCGTTCCGTCGGAGCTAATCATCAGACGCTCCAGGAGAAGCTGCGAGGCGCCATAGGCAATCAGACAATCACGCTCCATTTCACCCAGTCTCAGACCACCATCTCGGGAACGACCCTCGGTAGGCTGTCGGGTCAAGATGGCTCGGGGGCCGCGAGATCTAGAGTGCATCTTGTCTTGCACCATGTGTTTCAGACGTTGGTAATAGATAGGCCCGTTAAATATGTACGCTTCGAGCGGCTCGCCAGTGAGACCAGATGTGAAGTAGTCTTTGCCCTCCCACGAGAAACCGTGATCAAGGAGCACCTGACTCATCTCTTCGACTGGGTGAGATCGGAAGGCATCGCCAAATCCGTAGTCCGGACGGCCATGAATAATTGACGCTTTACCCGTCAGACACTCGAGCAACTTTCCGACGGTCATTCGAGAGGGGAAACCGTGAGGGTTCATGATAATATCGGGGGTCAGACCAGTATCGGCGAAAGGCATATCTTCCTGGTCGACAATGATACCCACCACACCCTTCTGACCGTGACGAGATGAAAACTTGTCTCCGAGCTCAGGGCGACGGGTCTGTCTGGTCTGGACCTTGATGACGGTGGTGTCCTTCTCGGTCTGTGAGATCATAACCTTGTCGATGTATGCCGGGTCTGGAATTCGGTATGAAACAGCTGAGTCACGGTATTCACTAGGCCCGCGATCCATTCCGATCCCAGTGGTCGTCTGATCAAGGGGCGTCTCCTTCTTCACCATGGCTTCACCAGAATGGATTTTATATCCCACGATTGCCAGGCCGTCATCATCGAGGGCCTCATGCTTAGCAATACGATGCTTGACCTTTCCTTCTCCCTCGTTGAGGGGGTCGCCAATTCGCTCTCTCCGTCCGTTCGGGTATTTCTGGAGCTCTGTGGTATACTTTCTGAAGACTTGACATCGCCCAAACCCTCTATCAAGCGAGGCTTTGTTGAGAACCAAGGCATCTTCAATATCGTATCCAGAATAGGACATGACAACAACGGTAGCGTTTTGGCCTGCGGGAAGCTTGTCGTATCCGATGAGCTGGATAGTTTTGGAGATGACCATCGGCCGCTGAGGGTATACGAGTGTGTACAGCAGGGTATCGATTCGGTTGAACTGGTTGTATGCGATTGCTCCAATGGCTTGTTTACCCATGGCACATTGGTAGGTGTTTCTGGGGGATTGGTTGTGATGAGGGAATGGAATCAGACCAGCGACTGCGCCCAAGATTGTGAAAGGTTCGATTTCCAGATGAGTGGTGGTCTTTGTTATTTGATGCTCGTAGAGGGTAACAAGAGCATCATTCTCCTCGTTCACGTCAAGATACTCAACGATACCATGGTTGAGGAAATCGTCGAAACTGACTTTTCCAAGTTGAAGCAGACGGAGGTGCTCTGGCTTCAACTTCTGCTCGCCATTCTTGACAATGATGTAGGGTCGACAGATTCGTCCTTCATCGGTGGCAATGTGAACGGCACTGAAGTGAGTGTTGATATTGATGCCGACAAACGGAGATATCCAGCCCCTTCGGCGCATTGTTCTAAACTTGTGCGCGAATCGCTTTGGGTACCGCGTTAGTGCGAATGGTGTGCCGTTAACGTGGATGATGTAGCTTCCTTCTCGGTGCATCTCGGCTCCGGAAAAGTTGCGAATGGGCTCAACGCCGGCATCAAGTGTAAAAATCCACCGTTTAACTGGTTCTTCATCAACATTGGTAGTAATGTGTGTCATCAGAGCCAAGTTCTTGACCAGACCACAGGCTTCTCCTTCAGGTGTATCAGAAGTGCAAAGCATGCCCCACTGCGACGGTTGAAGAGCTCGGGGACCAGACACCTTTCGAGTCTTTTCAAACTGACTGCTGATTCGAGTCATCATACCAAGCGCAGCGATGTAACTAAGGCGGCTCAAAACGTGCGTGACTCCAGCACGGTTCATGTTGAATCGCTTCACACTCCAATTGCCAGTCTGAATCGCTCGGTTGATTCCAATTCCGATGTTGTTGGCATGGTTGCTTATCATATGGACAGCATCGAGAGGAACTGCGCGATTGTTCTTCTTGAGGAACTTGTCAATCGACATCTTGACCTCGACCATGAAACGCTTGAACAAATCTTCGAATAGTAGGGAAAGAAGCTGTCCAGCAAGTTCCAGTCGCTTGTTTCCCACGAAATCTCGGTCGTCGACCAACTTGGGGTTGTGGGCAGCCATGAGAACTTTTCGAGTCATCATAGCAACGTAGATAGCCTTGGGGTAGAAGTCAAGGCCTTCAATGGGAACATGGGCAATGACGAGGTTTGCAAGAGCGTCCAAGCCTTCCTCGACATGGTTACGTCGCACTTGTGGGCCGAATTGCCCCTTGCGGGAGCCCATCTTGACACGGGCGCCAATGTACTCCAGTGCTTGGTGCTGAGTATGAATTCCGACTTTTGTTGCTTCGTCAAAATTGATGAGAAATTCGTCCTGGTATCGTCCGTCGGATCCGGCTACAAGCTGCATGATCTCGTAATCTGAAAGTCCACCCAGGGCCTTGAGGATAATGACGATCGGGATACCCTCCACCAGAACATTGTGGGTGAGGAGAATTCTGTCCTTCTTCAACGTGACATAGGTCTTTGACTTTCGCTCGTGGGTCGAACTGGTGACAGATGCTGAGATGATGTTGTTCTTCTCGTCGGCCTCGACAATAACTCGGTTCTTGCTGAGCTGTTCCTGGATCAAGATGACCTTCTCGGTGCCGTTGATGATGAAATAACCACCCGGATCTAGGGGGCACTCGTTCATCTGCTCCATCTTGGTGTTGGTTGCGCCGCTCAGCCGGCACTTGGAGCTGCGCAACATGACAGGCATCCGACCTAGAGGCACTCCCTTCCTCACAATCCTTTGCTTGTCTCGGATGTACGCAATATCAACTAGAATAGGCGCCGCATATGTCATATCTCGGAGACGGCACTCCATGGGAGTAACCTCGGTGTGGGACTTGGCATCTTTCCAGTCTTGGCGTCGGGGACGATCGACTCGAATATCGGTAAACCTGGGTACATGTAAGCAAATATCCCGGACTCTTCATCCAGGCACACCTACTCAAGCCAGAAGTTACTGTCCACATCGCTGCGGATAGTTCGGTTGGCCCGCACGATGTCTTTGATTTCTTGTTCGACGAAGAAGTTGTATGAGTCAATGTGCCTTGATTTGTGTCAGCCAGCGGTATCTTGAGGTTTCGGCGCATGCGAGAGGACTGTCGGTACATACTGCTTCACAAGGCCTGGGTAGGTTAGCATGTGGGCTGGAACTACTGGGTGTGGCACCCTTACCTTTAACCTTGAGGAAGGCTGGGAGGAGTTGGAATTTATCCTCCTTGGTGGAGATGGGATCAGTAAGCTTCTTGCCATTGTAGAAGGGCTCCAGAAGGGCCTCGAAGCCATCGTCTACCAAAGGCATCTTGAAGGTCACCGGAAAACAGACATCTAAGGCGGGAGTGTCGGAGTGTCGTTGACCAGGATTCCTTTTTTTGCCAGCACCTGGCGATAGCTTCGCAAAAAGTTCTGCCCCGCGGTAAGGTAATAGGTGGAGCCGGCTTCTTGGTTGCGCCGCGGTGGGGGACGACCACCTGCCGATAAGATAAGAGATCACGTGTCACTGGCGTCAACATGCCAATGTCCAGGGTAAGGAGACGATTTTCACTCGCATGCACCCGCTTTTTTGTCCTCTGCCTTCATGTTATTATTAATCTGCGGTGCATCTTTACTGGCCCCGTGTTTTAGACTTGGGCTCTATGTTACAAGTGATAGAACAAGGAAGATCTAAACTCTAGGGTACCTAGATATAGCAATGTGAAGGCTGTACATTCGGACGACATAACTACCAAGAACAAGGTCCTCAAAGAGGACCCCCATAGAACCACACCACCATGAGAGACTTTGAAGACTGAGGCGACGAACCTGCTGGACGCCTTGGTCGGTGCCTGTTAGCTGCCTAACATCACGACTACCGCTTATGAGCCTTTCCAGCCTGCGCCGCCAAGGGATATGTCCAGCAGAGCCGAACGGGCTACTATGCGTAGCCGAGCAAGCGGGCAGTAACGATGGCCAGAAACAACAACGACGGGAGGGCGGATCCAATGCTTTGGACGAGGTTGTCAAGTTGTTCTCGGGTACGCAATCGAGACACACGTCTCCCCGGGAAGCATGAGCCAGGTGTAGCGGGTAGATGAGTATAAGACGGATATGGTTGGAAGGGATGAGTTGAGACTTCGGGAGCTTGATTGCCAGAGTTTGTAGAGTCTAGGCGGTTAGATCCAATCCTTCCTAAGAGATTCATCGATTTTATTTCCCTAACCCAAGCTACTGCAGCAGCTCTGTTTCATTCTTGCTGGCTGGTTTTATTTTGAACTGTTCTCATATATCACGCTAACTATCCCATCACTTGGGCCTCTGAGTTGGCCGTTTTCTGTCAAACTTCCTGTTGGTGAGAACCTCTTCTGTCTCTTGTCTGTGATCTGTGTGGAATGCGTACCCCACCATTGAATTTGGCCTGTACTACAATATGCACGCCCAAACTGTATACTGGGAACAAATCAATAGCGTCTTCGTCATGAGGGTGTAAGAGAGGACGGAGTGTGGCCGAACCGAGAGCCAATCGACGTCTATTTTAGGGTAGGCGATTTGTACGAGGGTCTCGACCGAACAGCGTTTGACGGTATTAGGACTTCTCCGCCCCTGGACGATGCAGGACCAGTCATGTACCTACTACCAGCTGCAGGCTGAGTTGGCAGATGCCACAGCATTGCTAGGGTGGCGACTCAGAGTCAGCCGTGCAACCCCTCGTGTCTGTATTTTCCGAAGACCGGGATTTTATTGGATTGGTTCGACGGTAACTCCAAGATGTCGCAAGCACGTCACATTGCGGCTCGTATTTGAATTTGTCAACTCTGTCGTGTAATTTGTATACAAGAGTTGATGACGAGTTTCGGATAGAGTACTTCAACGCCCGGAAAGTGACAACAACTCCGCAACCCCAAGCGGCTTTTCTTTAATGTCGGTTTTCGATTGCGCGGGGTAAAATTGACTCCGGCATCGCTGACGGAGGTGGCCAGATTAGCTACGTCCGACAGGGCCTCGTTCGCCTTGGCCCATGGGGAGAAGAACAAGGGTGTTGGTTGCGTCCTTGCGCAGAAACCCAGCCCCCGCATGTGCGGCAGCCGCACAGCCGTCACACAATGCCGGCAGTGGCATCTTATTACGGTGAATCGGTTGTCTCTGAGGCTAGGACCTTAATTCTAGAGAGATTGGCCTCGTGGTAGCAACGGTCAACCGACGGTCAACCTGCATAGTACACCCGCGGGATCGCTCTGTGGCCCGTGGCCAGTTCTGGCCGGGGTTGTTGGCAGAGACTCACGTCACGGCGTTGCGTCTTTGGCGTCTGTCCTGCAGAGCGGCAACGAACCAACCTTTATTAGCTTGGCGACGGCCAGCTGCCTCTTTAGTGTGGCTGGATCGGACCCTGACTCCTGAGTTGGGGTGGGACGGCAAGGTGGGCGAACCAGGCGGGCGAACCAGGCGGGCCACTGGTAGCGGCGTCGTGTAAAAGTCGGTGAAGGGGTTGAGGCCCTCTTCGAGGGGGAACGCGAGCGGGCACCAGCCAGGAGAGAGTACAGAGAAGGCGAGTGGAGGAATTCAAATGGCCTCGCTCGGGGCTGGCAGCTCGAGCTCCATGCTTCCATGGCCCAGCCACTGGCAGAGTTGTCGGCAGTGAGGCTTTTTGGTTAGGACTGTTTCAGGAGGAGCAAACTCGATGTACTATGTAATAATTACCTCCTCAGTCGAGATCGCCCCCACTAGGAATCGATGCGAGGCTCTGTTGCAGGCATAGGTTTGGGGGAAGGAGGGGTTTTGCTGCAATGTGATGTAAGAAGGATATGATGTGCGTATTCGTCCATCCAAAAGGATTCCTGGTGGCAGCGAACCCACCAACCTTCCAACCTCCTGGGCAATGGATGCATCCAGGCCAGTGCTGCGGCATGCACGACGGAACGGGTGGATCGAGACCCCGACCATGCCGAGCACAGAAGGCCCAAACCGTGGTGAACGGGGCGAAACATGACAAAGCCATGATCAAACAGACTCAGCTCTCGAATCAACTGTCTCAAGTGCACAGGCAAGCCAAAGAAGCGCTAACCTAGGGAACCACACCGGGATGGCCCACCTGCTCCCAGCAAGAGTCGCCGACTGCGCTAAGCATCATCGCCCGATTAGGGTCGGATCCAAAGACAAGCCACCACCACGGCTATCCTGCGATGGCCGACTCAACAGGTCCGTGGATGAGGCGGGTGAGTTTTAGGCCATCGTGGAACGTCGCGTGGATGTAGGTCCGACGCTCAGGAGCGGTGAGCGAAAGAGGGCATGGATCGCCGACTGTCAACGAGTTGTGGTGGCTAATAAAGGGAGAAAGAGGCTGAATGAAGCCCTGTGGTGTACTCCAACGAGGTAGAACGAGCTAGCAGAGAAAAGAAGGATTCAATGGCGCCTGTAGCTACGTAGTACGACGTAGTTTTGGCCACACGTGAGGCCGGCGAACTGGGCATTCCTGATCATCGGGATGGGTAAGAATCTGGGGACTGGTCGCGGCGACTTTAGCCCTGCAGTTGTATTTGGTTTCTGTGTGACGTGCATGTGGAAAGAGGAGTGGCAGACACCGCCAATCAACGTCCAAAGGCCACGAAGGAGGCGCTCGGAGCAAGTTGGCTGTGTGATCTTGCCAGGGGATTGAGTGGCCGTGGGCGGTTGGCGTGATGCGATCGGGACGCGGCCGGTGCTGTCCAAGGGTTGCGTGCGTCCTGGCAAGGCCAATGTGGCACACGATATTTAATTACCTTCTACAAAGCACGTAGTAGATCTGGGTACCCGCTTCCAGCGCAGCAGCACATGGGTCTCAGTCTCGGAGGAACCATTGTGTGTCAAACGCCTTCGAGGAAATCTCGAAGTCGCTTGCCGGCGAAGACCCTGCACGGCTCGGCGCCTGCTCCGTCTGGTTCGCGTACTCTCGTACCAAAGCAGCTCGTCCAGCCGAGAAAAATTGGGTGCCAGGGGCGAGGGGGGTTTAGCCAGATGCCGGGTGGCTTGGAAGATGGAGGAGATCCGCGCGCTGACACAGAGACACGAGCCGGAGTGGCAGCAACCAGAGAACAGAGAAACCAACGCGACCCTGACAGGTGTATCGCCCAATAAGGAGAGCAAGGATCTTCGGCAGTTTCCACTCCCATGTGGATGCCACTGGACATTTTCCTCCCTTGCCTCCATGAGTATCGAAATCACCACGTCAAGTGGCTGGCCCTTGGCAGAGAAAAAGCCACGCTGCGACGCTCTTCGACATCCCACAAGTCGAGGCGCACTACTGTAGCTTTGTCCGGGACCCGGCATGGCCCAAATGCCTCCAATTCCCCATCGGGTGCTTAATCCCTGGAGCCGTCCGATTGCGTCGGCCTGCCCACGTCCCGTCATGCCTCCGGGGTTTATCACAAGCCATTCATCCTAGGTGTTAGGAGAGCAGGGGAGGGTCGGCACCTAGCTGCGCGGTGTAGGTAACCACCGCGGGCATCGCAAGTTGGCTGACAAGTTGGCTGGCAAGTACATAGCAAGTAAGGTTTGCCGCACATATCTAATTAGTATGTCTCTGTGTCTGGTTCAGTGTCACATACGGTGACACACCCCGTACTTCGTGCCTGCGTTGAGGAGGACGGGCCGCATGGCGGATGGTGTATGTCTCAACAAAGCCGTGCCCCTCTCTGCGCCGAACCACGTTCTGAGCCCACAGCCTACGAGAAAACCGGACTTTAAAGAGCCGAGGCTTCGGACCTATTAAATCGGTGGCGCCTTTTGCGCCGGCCGGATCCTCAAGCTGACCAGAGCATCAACAGTACAGCTGGAGAAGGGAATAATGGTAGGACGAGATCAAACACGTTTATTTGTAAGTTAGAACTGTTACACCTGGAAGATGGAGGAAGACAATTTGACTTTGACGCTTTACGGGAGAGTGTAATGCGCGACAAGCCTGCCACCCCATCCGTGACCCTGGGGTCCATTTTGTTCTTCTGGCCCGCTTGAACAGGGTTCCACTGTGACTGACTGACCCTATTTCGTGGCTTGGTTTAGGCGCCGATGGCCAATATGGGTCTCCTGGCTCACACTGTCTCTGTCTGAGTCGCTGGCACCCAACGTGTGCGCAAGTGAGTCCCCATACTCCATACAGCCCCGGGTTAGCTGTCGCCGCATGCTGCTGTTTGCCACTGCTGGCAGTGGTAAGTACGGGGTTCCCTGGGCATGAGGTTCCCACTAATTCGCCGGGACTGGTGAAGTGAAGCTCCCATGCTGAGCGTCCCTAATAAACCTTGCCCTGACTGCCCTGATGTCTAGTCCCGGCTTGCCCTGGCCCGGACCCCGTTTTGTCCGATTGCTGTCCTATCCGGTTTTGTGTCTCCTCCAGTCCTTTCCTGTTCCTGGTCGATCCTGTTGGTGCCTTGTCCTGTCCTGCGACCAGACCCTGCGTCCTCGTCCCAGGTTGCCCACTACCCGTGTCCACAGCGCGCGAAACCTCCCCACGCCCACGCCAAAACGCCCGCGTTTCCATCTTTTCTTTTGCCTTGGCCCATTTATTGGAGTCTTACCAACCTTTTTTCCTCGTCTTCGTTGTCGTCGCGTCATTCAAACCTCCTCCCACTCAGCCTGTCGCTCCTGGCTCTCCAGGGCGCGCTGTAGAGAGAGAGCGAGATAGATTGTGGGCGAGAAAACCGAGTGAACAGAAACAGAGCGGCTCTGTGTGTGCACAGTGTCTGTACGAGTTGTGTCTGTTACCCATCGTCCGCCACTCAGCGCGTGTGATTATCTCAGGTATGTCCAGTCTCGTCAGCCCAGTACAGCACCAACGAACTGTTCGTCCCGACCCCCTTTTCTGTCCAACCTGAGGGATGAAAGACCGGCCTAGGTGCTGTCATCCGGCGAGGGCGACAATGACATAGGTTCTTCGCGCTCTCTCTTAGTCTCTCATCTCTCTTGCTGGCATCATGGTGGCGGCAGTCGAGCTGTCGCTGTCGTGGTTGTGCACACATTGTGGACACGGACACCCACGCATACGCATCCCTCCACTGCGACAGCCCGCACACCGGCGCACCTACAGGCACGGAGAGGCTAGGCCCAGGCCTAGCCCCAGGAGTAAGGACGACGTAACCGGTAATTCCTAAGCCGCCTGCTGCGCTGGCATGCCCTGGTTGCCTTTGGCAAGAAATACAGAAAAGAAACAGAGAGAGACATAGAGAGAGAGGAGCCAGCAACGATGACGAGAGCGCGCGCGAATGACTGTCATCATGTCCCCCTTGGTCTGCTTCTTCCATCCCTTCTCCCCCTGCCCTTTGCTCTCTGCCGCTCTTGCCCTTTTGCCCCCTCCTCCGCCGCTCCTGCCATACCTGAGGTGAGGTACCTACCTGCCCTGCCCAAAACAAGCCTAAAGTCCTGGGCCCTCCTCTCCTTCCCTCCTTCCCAAGTGGCCCGTGTGGCCCCAAGCCCCATCGCACATAGCCCAGAGTCCATTGCCCATCCCGTCGTCCACCCCTAGCCATGGGCCATACCCACACTGGCCGCGCCCACCCCGCCTCTCAACAACGTCCCATCCATCATCTCTTGCTTGTTCTTGTTTCTATTCCTCTCTCTACCGTCGAGCGCTTCGCTTGCTGATGCTTCCGTTTCTTCCCATGTCTGCAGTAATATAGACCGAGCCCGCTTTGCCAATTCGGCGTGTACCACCTTGTTTCTTTTAGCCCGCCATGGACGACCACCGCTTCCGATCGCAGACGTCCCCCAGGAACGACTCGCCAATGAACTCGCTTGTCTCACCTCCTCGCAATGGCTCGAGACTGCCTGGGCCCCAGGTCGCCTACGATCATCGCTCCAATCTGCCTCGACGCTTCACCACCGACTCGGGCCGTATCCCGACCCTGAACTCCATGGCCTCCCTGGCATCTCCTCCCCAGGGACCCGAACAGCCCCAGGACTACAACGTGAGTCGCCATCCTCCGTCCGACCTGTCCCTCTGTTGCTATCTCCCACCGGTGGCGCCCTTGCGATGGAGTCGCCTTCGACGCTCAGCTGGCTGACATGTCCCGTAATAGACTATGCACAAAGTCCAATTGGTATGCTGACAACAAATCCGCCCCCCTACTGGTCTCCACGACGATGGCCGCGATTTCGATGGCCCTGAGTCACTCATCCGCGAACGAGATGACCCGCGGGGCCTTGGACATCGTCACCCCCCCGAGCACGGAATTTTGAACTGACTCTCGGATCAGATAGAGAAGAAAAAGATCGAGTATGAACGAATCCGCGAACAGAGACGACGCTTCGAGCTCGAGATGCAAAAACTGGATCAGCAGCAGCGCCGCGAAGCTCTCGAGCTGGCCCAGATGGAGGAGGAGGTGGGTAGATTGGGCGGTCACCAGTCCGAGCCCACCACGCCCCCCGAGTACCGCGACAACAACTCCGGCTTTCCCTCCATGTTCTCCCGCCCGAACCGCTATTCGACGTCAAGCTTGACCTCCCCTCCAGGCCTGTTTAACCGCCCCGCTCGATCCGGGTCGCAACTTCAATCTCCCCAGTCTGGGATCATGCAGACTCGCTTCGGGTTCGATGATCAGCAGATGCCTTCGCGCTCTGTCCCGACCACGCGCAGGAATAGTGACGATGAGAAAGAGGAGGCCGTCCGCCAGGACCCCACCAGCCATCGCGCAACCAATGCGTAAGTCCCCGCTTTTCCTTTATGTCTTGCAGGACCTTATCACTCTGCTTGTGACGAGCTCGCCCGGGCTTTCGAGGGTGGTGGTGCCTGTGAGCTCGCCGTGGCCTGGAGTAGCTGTGGGTTAAGTCTCATAGCACTCACGGCGGTTCACGCCACCTACTAACTTCGAATTCCTGACTGGTTGGTTCTCGCGCGAGCATTGCTAGGCTTTGAATGATGATTTGACTCTCAAGGTACGAGTCGAAATTGTGGATTCGTGCCTGTGATTGTCTTGCTCTATCAAAAGGCTAGCAGTGCTCCGTACCAAGCAACACTAGCAAGGAAATCCGTGAATCACTCTTGCATACGGCATAAATAGGTACTCTAGACCTATGATGACCTCTGCATTAGCTGCATCGTACTTCCTTACCCTTCCACATCTCTCTTCTTCATTCCTCACCCTTGCACCGCCTGAACCTAATTTCACTTCATCTTCTTTTAAATCAAGTCTTGATTTATCTCTAAACTGCATCCTCACTTGATCTGGATTAGATCTCTGCCTTGTTGGGACTACACCTGGGTTCAGTTGCATGGGTAGTTCTGGCGATATTCCCACGTTTCATCTCTGCGATCTAGCGCATAACCTTTCTCTTGTTCCTCCAACCACGCCCTTTCAAAGGCTAACAATGACATCCAACGACAGTCTCAATCGATACTCGATGCCAGTTACCCGCTCGAGGACTGGATTGTACGACGTTGGTCTTGACCAGACCAACACTACTCGGTTTCTGTTTGGTGACGAAGAGCCAAGTGCGTTGGGTCACGTTAGTGCCCCAGACGAGAACTTCCCAACCCTTGTTCGTCGGGACGACCAAATTGTAAGTTATTTCATGTTCGCACGACGTATGTAGCGCCGTTGCGAAGCCTGCCCTGGTTGTTGCATTTGCTGTTGTTTTGTTCCTCTCCGAGGGGCGGCGAAGGGCTCCACATTTTCTGTGGTGCACCACCTTGTTCTCAGTCACAGCAAATCACCCTTCGTGAAAACCCTCCTCGCCTGTTCTCTTGTTCTCTCGTTCTCTCACCTCCTCCCTCCAGCTGCAAACCCTTCACCTCTCTTATTCCTGTTTGAACGTGACAATCGGCCATCAATTTTTGAACCTGATTTGTTTGCATCGGGGTTTACCTCAACCAGGTTCCCCCTTCTTAAACCGCCCTTCTCCTTTCTGATTTGCTGCTGCTTCTTTCTTTTCTAACATACCGCGCCCTTCTCAGTTATCTGCATCTTCGGCTGCTCTGGATCTTGCCTTGGCCCCGTCGCCGAACCCAGAAGTTTCATCTTCGAGAGGCTGGAGCCGCGTTGTTAACCGTCATCGACCCCAGCAGAGCCTGTCCTCGATCAACGGAAACACAAGCCAAATTGGCGACATTGGTAGTCTAGGCAGTCGACCTAGCTCCGTGCGCCACTCCCTCGATCTGAAGTACATCTCCGAAAACGCCAACGAGACCGGTGGCTCTATGTCGTCTCCAGGAAACCAGAACATGGCGACCCCGCCCAAGCTTCAGAGCTCATTCTCCGCCAACGATGTCCCAACTGTTAAGAACCCCACGGGCTCGTCGATGAATGCTAACAACCATGCCAACAACCACGCTCAGCAGCACTTTCACAACCACAACGCGAGCCTTGGTCGCATCCCTGCTGGCGCTGTTCCCCGTGGACACACGCGCGAGATGTCGGCTGATAGTGTCAACACGAGCCGTGAGCAGGCCGGCGCCTTTCAGTCGATCCAAACTGCTCTCCAGGCAAGCGCTGCACCCTTCGGTCCTACTACCACGACCGCTGCGCCCCCCACCTCATCTATGGTTTCGTCCCCATCTGGCGCACCCTCCATGAACTCCTACAACAACGGCTTCTACCAGGCCAATGGCTACTCTTCCCCTCAGGGTGCCCCACACCCGCCTGGTGCTTTCAACGTCCCTATGTTGGCCGCTGGCATGCAGCAGATGAACATGAACGGGGCAAATGGTGGAAACATGTACCCTCCCCAAAACTACGCCGGATTTGGGTCGCTTTCCTACGGTCAGGGCAACCAACCCCGTGACAGTCAAGCTCGTGTTATTCAGCACCGTCGCCAGCTTGATAACGAAGGTAAGCAAACAAAGTCTCTAAATTGGGTTACAGAATAGGAAGTGCTAACATGTCATAGCCATGTCCCGCTACCAGAACATGCCCCTCGAGTCGTTCGCTGGTCAGATCTATGACCTGTGCAAGGACCAGCACGGCTGCCGCTACCTCCAGAAGAAGCTCGAGGAGCGCAACCCCGAACAGGTTCACATGATTTGGCTTGAGACTAACCAGCATGTCATCGAGCTCATGACGGACCCATTTGGTAATTATTTGTGCCAAAAGCTCCTCGAGTTCTGCAATGACGACGAGAGAACTATTTTGATCCAGAACGCCTCTCAGGACATGGTGCGCATTGCTTTGAACCAACACGGTACTCGCGCTCTTCAGAAGATGATCGAGTATGTCAGCACACCCCAGCAGGTTCACCTCATCATCGAGGCCCTCCGCTTCCGCGTGGTTGAGTTGATCCAGGATCTGAATGGCAACCACGTCATTCAGAAGTGCCTCAACAAGCTCACCGCCATTGATGCTCAGTTCATCTTTGATGCTGTTGGCAACAACTGCGTCGAGGTCGGCACCCACCGTCATGGTTGCTGCGTTCTCCAGCGATGCATTGATCATGCATCCGGCGACCAGAAACTTTGGCTGATCCAACGCATTACTGAACACGCCCGAATCCTGGTTCAGGACCCCTTCGGAAACTACGTTGTCCAGTACATCATTGATCTCAACGAATCAACCTTCACTGAACCCGTTGTGGGCATGTTCCGCGGCTGTGTCAGCCAGCTGTCTCGCCACAAGTTCAGCTCCAACGTCATCGAAAAGTGCCTGCGTTGCTCCCAGCCGGTATCCAGAGACATGATTGTGGAAGAATTGCTGGTGCCCGCAGAGATGGAGCGTCTTCTTCGAGACTCCTTCGCCAACTATGTCATTCAGACTGCTCTCGAATATGCCACACCTCACCAGAAGTATCGTCTGGTTGAATCCATTCGCCCCATTCTCCCGCAGATTCGAACCACTCCTTATGGACGTCGCATCCAGGCCAAGATCTCTGCCTTTGACAACCGCGGCAGCGCTGCCTCCAGTGGTCAAGCCACCCCGGCTGATAACACTCAGGGACAGATTCCTCTGCGACCGGGCCACTCTCGAGGCTTGTCTGGCAGCGCTGGTCCTATGGCTCAAACTAATGGCATCACCAACGGAGGACTTCCTGGCTTGGGAAACCAGGGCATCCGCCAGAACATGCCCGCGTACCCTGGGAGCTCTGCTTTGACTGTTCCTGCTCCAGCCACCGCCGGTGGTCCGGTGCAGCCGCCTCAGTTTGGGCAAAGAGCCCCTGGCAATTTCTCTCCCTCGCGCTCTACCAACGGCAGTGGCAGTGTCAACGGCAATGGTAACTCCAATGGCAACCCGGTCGAGAATGGCGAGGCGCACTGGGTGTAAACTAGTTCTCTTCGAGCGCAGCTGCCACCCATGACACAACCCGCTTGTATCATGATGCTCACTCAACCTACGATTTCTTTCGGTTGGTTTCCTGGGTGGCATGCCGTTTCATGCAGCACGGTAACGACACCGTCATGACCTGACGATTTTCCTTTGCTCTTTGTTTCAATATGCCACAGAACGGCACCATATCGCGGGCTAGAGCCCGTCTCGGCCTCTCAATCCGACCTACACAGCAACCCCGGGGTTGCTTCGTGTGTACATTATCTAGGAAGGGAGCCCCAAAATTACAGTCGACTGCCTTGGCCGCCACTGCTTCTCGGAAGCTGCTTATGAAGGGGACACAAAGCAGCATTCGAGATCAGTGGAGTGCGGCCAGGGCTTGTACATGTACTTGGATCGTCAAGATCACACATCGGCATAGACGAATTGCTTTATTTCAAACTTTCTTGATTTTTTGCGAGTTTCGTTTGGATGCTTTTTTCTCTACGAATTTCGACACGTCTATTCAACGATAAGAAGTCTGCATCATGGCATACGATAAGCTCTCTGGCATGATCGTCACGGCATATGCGATTTGCATGCGTTACGACACTGGATTCAGTCTTTGCGAACTGTGGCCGACACTGCAGCTTGGGCGAGGCAAAACGGTACTGCCGCCCTTGTCCAAAGCTGAGCAACTGCAGGTCACTTTCGGTTTGGTACTTTTGGGGGATCTGCTCAGCTCCCTGTCGCACAAAACCTCTCACAATTCGCAATTGCGACTACGTGGTCAGCTTACTTAGCTGGAGGGATTTCGGGAAGCAGAGTCAGGATACCCCCTTTTTTTCGTTAAGTTTGTATGAGTTCTGGGACGGTTGATTTTGCTTTTCACAAGGGAGTGGGGCGTGGGCAGAGTCCCAAAGGATGGACAGCTGACTGGGCTTCCTGACTGAGGGGTGACTAGGATGCCCCTACCTGTATTTAGACTCGGCTTTAAATTCAGGTCTTGCTCATTACTTGATTTTCTCTGTTTGTAACTTTTGTAAAAGTGCTAAATTTCTCGTAGCCGTTCTTGTGTGAATTCCCCCTCCTTCCTCAGCCGTAATTGGGTCTCTGGAAATTAATCCCGTGGACCTAGTTCTGCGATCATCCAACACACTAATGAAAAAAAGATGAGAGAAAAGTTTTCTCTGAACATGGAGTCTCAAGCAGTCCGAGGCTGAGGTAGGATTGGTTGTGGTCTGTCTAATTACTAACATTGAATCCTCAACAAAGCTTGCAGGTATCGTTTTCAAAACTTCCACGAACAAAAAAGGGACAAAGCTAGAGTCACGGTAGGAAGGCATATGGTACGGGGTAGAGAATGTCACGGAACAGGGAACGCAGCACTTCATGACCGCAGTCACCAAGATTTCCAGGCGGAGAACCATTGTTTACTCTGAAGGAATTATTCCCATTCCATATTTTTTTGCTACCAAACAAGGTTCCCGACTCCCCAGAGTCCAAGCATGCAATGCCGAAAGCAGACCCAGTACCTGGAAGAAAGAATTCCCCCAACCACACCAGCAACGACCGAAAAGAGTGGTCGTTTACCTGTATCGCCACAGGGACAGGGTGTTGTGACGCTTCCAGGTCTTTCTGCGACCGGCCTGGGTCTTGTTGTAGCGACCACCCTTGTTGAGGCCACGGGACTTCTTGCCGGTGGCGGTGAGGCCACGGGACTCGCGGTGCTTGTGGACGGGGTTGACGATCCAGTTGATGCGGGGATCGATGCGGATGGCCTTGTGCTGGGGGTCGACAAGGATAACCTCGTAGTACTTGTAGGTAGAGTCCTGGTTGATCCAGTAGGAGTTGAGGACTCGGAGGTTGGCGCAGCGGCGGCCGACACGCTCCTCAGCGGTGGCCTTGAGGGATCGCTGGTACTTGAGCTGGTTCACACCCTGGTTGGTGGGCTTGCCTGTTGAGCGAGCGAGTTAGCAATCTGGCACTTCCCGTGTGCCCATCTTCGGGACTCTGATGCGGAGGGCAACGTACCATAAGTGGCACCCTTGGGAACCGGGCGCTTGCGGCCACCACGGCGGACACGGACGCGGTAGATGACATAGCCCTGCTTGGCCTTGTATCCGAGACGGCGAGCCTTGTCGAGGCGGGTAGGGCGCGAGGCGCGGTGGATGACGGTCAATTGACGGAGCTATATTGATGCACTCTCAGCATAATGTTCAACGAGTGTATAGCAGAGACGAGGCCAATGCCTCTCTCCTTCTCTCATCTCGAGCGTGCGGGCGAATTGTGTGTACGATTGTGTGCGTAGCCAAGAATTTCTTCCCAACGACGTGACGCTCGAATTCGTTTGCATCGCAGCAAGAAGAGAGAGAGAGAGAGAGAGAGGCGGCGCCCGTCCACAGATTGGTGTTGGTTCAACGTACTTCCCAGCAGCGCACTCGGGCGAGGAAGCGCACGACATCCGACTGCTTCTTCTTCTGAAGCTCTTCGACGTACTTGAGGGCACCCATCTTTGCTGTTGGCGAGAAAACGCGGCAGATGTCAGCTAAAAGAACGACTGCAATGAAGCTCCTCTGTAGAGTAGAGATCAAGGGCTTCGGAGAAGGAGAGGGGTTACAAACCGGCTTGTGTGGTGAAGTTCCTGCCGAGGGTTAGTAGAAGGCGAGTGTGTCGAAATTTCGAATCTTGCAAACGCCGGACAGGTGATGAAAATTGAGGGCACAGTTTGTGGGTTAAGCGATACGCTAGACCTATTACAGACTAGGGGTATAGGACTTGCCCCTCCAAAAAACCCCCTCCGAGCGGTGTATTTTGGTGCGTGTATTTTGAGGATGAGTCAGCAAGATGGTCCCGATGTTTCGCCGAACGCAAAGACCCACCTGCAAGTTCTACATGCAGCGAGGTTCCGGCAGAGGTAGGATTGTCCATGCAGATGATATTGAGATCAACTATTTATCGTCAACATTGCAGGTAACCCGGGTGTCATTCTCGTCTCGTTGTATCATCCCCTTGTAAAAACCAGCAAACACGCCATCCTAGCAACCGCCTTTTACAAGATCCAGCTTCACCACCATGACAGAGGCTTAGTTCTTTGGGGGCAGCAGCCTCAAGACCCCGGTAAAACATTTCACCTGCTCTTGAGCAGCCGTTCCCCATGTTTCCTCCGATTTCTTTGATCTTCCTGGTTCGATCAACTCCCAGGCCACCCTCTCAATGTCGCCAGCGTTTGCAGGTGGTTGAGTTGTGTACCCATGGCATCCTGGCATGATGGTCGAGTTGACCGTCTGTGCTGCAAAGCCCATTGCATGTTCGTTCAGCTCGGACAATTCCTTTCCATCCTGTTCCCAACGCATCCAAGATGGTTTCTTGATATTGTTTGCCTGGGTACTCATTTTCTCGTAGGTGTCGATGATCCCCTGAAGGTCGTCAAGCGCTCTTGTCATCAACTCTGGTGGATTAGGCGGGGCGTGAGACGACCAGCCGGTATGTGGGGTGGCCACCCACGGTAACACTGGTGCGAGGTCGGGGGCCAGCTCTTCGCCCGCCGTCGTCTTGTTGAAGCCGTGACTAGATCGTATTTAGCAATCATTGAGCCTTGTGCAGAAATTATAGAGCACTCACGGACGCGACATCAACCGCCCGTCGATGAAATCAACCAGGTCATCTCCCTGTTTCTGAACCTGCCTCTTCGCATCGTTTACGCCTGTCTTGCGTTTGTTCGAGGCACTGACTTTCTCTCCAGAACGTCTGAATATGAACATCAGCAATGTCTACCTATTGAAAAAACATGGGAGTGCGTTACATTCTGTCTCCTTGCAAGCCGCTTGCGTTCTTGCTTGATCGTGCTTCAACTCGTTTGGCGGGCGCTTTTCGAGGGGGCCTCGTTGCCTTCTTTGGAGCGAAATCATCTGTGCTATTGCTGTCTGCTTGTGGCTCAGATGGATGCTTGCGTAGATAGTTGTGTGAAGAATTCGCCACTCACCACTGATAGACACTTTTCTCTTCCCTGTTGTTCGCGGCATTCTCGGATTGGAGGTAGAAGGAATGCTTCAACGGACTTGCGTATTTTTGTTTGGAGTTGGAGGAAGGGAGAGGAAGGTGTAAGCTGTACGGTGATGCAGTGTGCCTGAGGTACTACCAACCTAAATAGGTAAACTTGGCTGGATTATCAAGAGGAAGGAGCACATGTGGTTGCCCTGGCGCCTTCCTCTCCGACTCAAAGCGGAACCACCGTGACAGTGTCTGGCAGCTGTTCCGCATCCTCGCGGACTCAGCCACATCTGACCACGAAATGCTGGCCTCAAACAAACCAACGGACACTGCTTCAGAGACGGATTTGATAAAAAATGAAGTTCTATTTGCGCATCTAGAGAATGATAAGGATCTCCAACCTCCACAGCTGACATGAGATCTGGCATGGTCATCACCAAGAGACATGCACCTCTGGGATTGGACGCAGGAATACAAACACAAGTCTTTTCCACCTTTTCTCTTAATAATCGACGTAAGCAAGTTAAAGTCTGGATAAATGCAACCAGAGAACCCCTAGAAGTACCTAGAGAATGAAGAAACAGAAGATGCAAACTGAAAAGGAAATCTTTGTCATACATGATACCGGCTATACCCAAACATGTCCCTTTTTGATCGCATATTAGTTACACCGTGAATGCGAAAGCCTCGGTTCTCTCTCTCTCTCTGTCTATAATCTCAACCTTTGAAGCAATAAGCCATTGGATGTCGTTTGTCTTTCCCCTTATCTCCAGTCGTGAATACGGCCGTGGATCCGTGACCCTAAAGCAAAACATCGGTAGAACGACGAAATCAACAATCTCTCACATATCTTGCATCGCAACCTTGTGGGAAGGAGGTTGCTTGTAAACGCCCCGGAAAACAGAACTGAAAAGACCACACCAAAAACCTTCTTGAAGCAAATTCTTGTTCTTGCGTGCCGCACCTTTCCGTGTTCACTTCCTCCTCTGGTCCATCATCTGTCGAACAAGGCCAGAAAGATCGCATGGCCATACTTCATCACAAATCAGAAATCGTAACTGCCCAGCCAAGCGGAAGGCAGCACATCAGTGGGTATTGAGGGAAAGTCCCTGGAACGATCCCACCCAGTCATTCTGAGGAGCAATGGGTGATGCTCCCTGCGAGTGCGGTGTCGGACTCGGTCCAGACTGCGGGTTCGGGAAGCGGTGTCGCATGGACTGGAAGTCGCCAGGTTGCTGGAGTGGCCCTCCAGGGAACCCCTCCATATTGGGGCTGCCGCCAGGGACGTAGGGAACGTTGCTCCTGGGGTTTCCAAAGGCTCCAAATTGGCCGTATGGGTAATTGGATGGCGGGTATCCAGAAGGCTGACTGGGACCCCGATCACCTCCAAATGGCTGAGTGAAGTTTGGCCGGAACCCACGACCATCTCGAGATCCAGTGGTAAAGGCGGGAGGGGGTTGGTGCTGCTGCTCTTGTACCTGCTGATTCTGGCGACGGTCGTTGCCACCAGAGGCACGCGTGACACCTACGGCACCAGGACCGATGCCGCTGGGGGCTTGAATGCCAAGAGTTGGGCTGGCAAACGACGCAGGGTTAATAGCAGACATCCAAATTCGAGTCTTGTAGATCTTGAACAGGTCCGTGACAAGTGAGTTGAAGTTGATATAGCTGTCGGCAAAGTAGTAGAACGTTAATTTCTTCCAATCCCTGGTTTTTAGGTTAGAACATCTCATCACATACCCCAAGCGTTAGGACTTACATCTGGAATTCAGCGTCAAGAATCTCCATGTTGAGGCCATGCTCCTTGACCTTTTGCATACACACTCTCTTCGCCTTTGCCTCTTGACCTTCCTTGTCCCGCAAGGAATGCACTTCGTGGCTCTGGGCAAGGCGTTTGATGAGCTTAGGCCGAAGCTCGCCCGCATTCGGCTCCTGCATGTGATGTTGATTCTGAGGTCCCATACCTCCAACAGCGCTCCCTTGAAGACCGGTGGATGAGGCGAGAAGGCCAGCACCAGCACCTTCTTGTGCAGCTGCTGCGCCTTGAGAGTACATCATGAGCCACTTGTATTGCTCCTCCGCATAGTGTTCCTTGAGATCCTTGGCACTCTGCCAGTCAACGTTGTCCTTGGCGACAGTTCCAAGATCGGTACCACGGTCTGCCTCGACAATGACGAGGTCTCCTGGTTTCACAGTCAAGCCAGTGCCCTCTTGGATGTAAAATACATCGGCTCGGGCGCACTTAAAAAGGACGATATGGAGAAGCTGATTGTGTCGAGGCTGCGCGATGCTGTACACGTTACGGTGTGGAGATGGGGCCCGGTTCGTGTATGGGTTAGGAAGCCCATATGGCGATGGGTATTGGTTGTTGAAGCCGGGCTGGAACGCACCCCCAAGGTTGGCGCCTCCACCAAAGTATGCCGTAGCTGCGGGCAAAGTTAGCTTTTGCGATTAACATCGAGGAAAAGAGATTATCCACATACCGTTATTGCCGATCCCGAAGCTCGCAGGATCGGGATATCCTGGGGGATATTCCTGGGCTTGCTGCGCCTCCATGGCCGAAGGCTCCAGTGCCGAGGCAGAGTCCGGGATAGAGCTGATAGATCCTTGACGGGTAGGCATATTGGCGAATGAGTGACGCCTGCTCTGCGAGATATCTGTGATCGGGAAGTTCAGAGAGCTCGACCAAAGGGCCTTCTTCAAGTTGGCATTGTCATTCTTGCGATTCTCCATCGCAAACTGACTGCGCATCGGTCCTGGACCAAACTCGCTCATGCGTCTGTTCATGGCCCGCTTGGCCAACGCTTCACCCGATTCGTTGGCTTCATCGAGCTCGTCAATGGCAAAGTCTGACTCTTCGGGCACCGATTCTCTCAGGGCGTAGCCGTTACCAACGTAGGCCGCACCTGTCGCGGCGCGAGGTCGGATGCGAGCATTATATTGCTGCTGCTGGCGAAGCATTGCGTTCTCCCTGGCAAGCATCTCGATAGTCTTCGCCTCCGAAGTTTGGTGGAAAGAACCTTGAAGCGACTCGCTTGCGCTTTCATCGTCATCGTCTTCAACTTCTTTGACTTTTCCAAGCATCGATCCATCATTTGCCATTTCACTCAGCATGCTAGGCCGGGAGGGCCGATGTTGCAGAGCAGGATGCCCAGGGTGGCGCGCGCGCCCAAGGATGGCAGAGGAGCTCATGGATGGCGCCGCCGGATTCGTCTCAGGATCTTGCTGTCCAACGGAGTATGACTGCGAGCGATAGGTTTTGGGAGTAGGGTGGAGTGGAATCGCAAAAGGTATCTGTGAGTTTGAGGCGGGGTCGCGTGACACTGGAGATGTTTGCGTCTCGCCGCCGAAGAAGGAGTTGCCTCCAGCGCCGGGGGGCATGGTCGAAGTCGGAGAAGGCAAAACCTCACTGAGTCTTGATGGCGGATCCTTGCGCTCGTTGTTCCATATGCCAGTGCCCCAAGGGAAGGTAGATCCAGGAGGGGCGCGTCCCATGACGGACGAAGTAGAATGCGAACCCCATGTGCCGGCACCGGTCTCGGCCGATGGGGTACTAGGATGCGATGCGGTTGGAGACATAGAGCTGCTCGCAAATGACCCCTTGCGAGGGCGACCGAGTGACTGCGACGTCTCGTTTAACCACGAAGGTCGTCGAACGGGCCTTGGGGGTTGCGCGGCCTGTTGTGCGGATTCCTGACGATGGTCGCCTTCGTCGTCGGAGCTGACGAGGGCCTCCGAATCAGGGGTTGAGGTTCGCGCGTGCAACTTGTCCAGAAGAAGCGACTGGGTGTTCGCCGTAGCCGGAGGGTATGTCCCTTGGCCCAGTCTCGAAGGCGGACCGGTTTTGAGGGGACCAGAGCTCATTGTCCTGGCCGAAGAAATGTTGGCGATCCAACTTCCTCCAACCGCCTCCTGGTCAAGTTCAAATAACGTTAGGGTGGTAGAAGAGCCCACAGACACGTATGGTCGGCAGGTGCTTTAGGTGGCGATTCTTGGGTTGAGGTTGAGGTGCGGCCGCCTAATGTGTAAAGCAGGCAGGCTTTGGGTGAGTTGGGTGTTGAAGGTTCGGAAGTGACGAGATAGTGAGGGGTGAAGTGAGAAGGTGGGAGAATTGATTTTATTCCGGGGATATACGGGGAAAGATCTGTGACTGGTCAGTTGGCTGATCTCATGATGGGTGCTTGTTGCTGCATCAAACGCGATGAGATGAATGGTCACGTCGGGGTCTGTTTCGGTGAGGGGAAACGAAACCCCGTGACACATTGAATGTAGAGACGGAGCGGGCGCGGTTGTTTGGAAAACGACCGCACAGCCGTGTTCATGAATGCGACAATCGGGCGACAACTTTGTCGCGCCAGAGCGCGATGCAGTTTCATTCAATGGGAGCGGCGCATGACCGCGACGGGAGGGGTGCAGGGGACGTTCACTTACCAGAGACGTAAATCTCAGGGTATGTCTATGGGTAGGGCGTCAAATGGGCCAAACTTCTAGGTCGTAACAAACAGATGAAACGTGGAAGAACAGAGAAGACTGCAGCTGGGCTGAGGCGAGGCGGCTTCGTGAGTGGCGACTCGTCGTGGCGACAATATGCGAGTCGACGGAAAGGTAAGGTACGGGGGGAAGGCGATTAGTGTCGGAGAGGTTAAGGATGAGGGTATAAAGATTGTCTAAACCGGCGCGTCTAACCCAAGGTCCAAAAGGAAAAAAGATTCAAGCAATCAGTGAGGCGGGGAGAGAAGAGGGGCAGGCGCAAGCACCCATTCGTGAGCGGGAGTCCGAAGGTAGAAGAAGGAAGTGATAGATGGAGGAGGTAAGGGTTGGCTGGGGAGAGCTACGGCGACAAAGGGAACTAGTCGAGGCCCATTGTTGGCGACGAAGAGGCTCGCAAGCAGGGGCGCAAAGCCGGCGCCACGGACACCGAGAGAATGACGCGGGGCTGACCTGTCGTGGAGCGCGGCGACAAGAGAGCCTGGCGGCGGTGGCGAGCAGGCTAGTCAGTCAGTGTCAATGGTCAAATGCCAAATGTCAGGCCAGCAGCGACAGAGCGCGACGGCGACAGCGTCAGAGACGGTGCGGGCGATGACGCCGGTGACGGGGCGACAGTTGACGGTTGATGGTTGACAGCGACAGTGACGAAACGGGCGTGTTTGACAGGAGCGAGGACAGCGGGAGGCGGGAGGCGGCAGAGGCAGACGGAAGGCCGAGAAGGAGGATGAAGGAGATGGGGAGAGGATGGATTGTGGTCGGAAGACGGAAGGCGGGGGAGGACAGCGGAGGGCTGCAGAGAGGTTGCGTCGCGTTGCGTAGCGTTGCGTTGCGTCGCGCGGCGCTGTTACTGCTGCTGCTGATGCGGCGGCGGCGATGCGTAAGGTTGTGTTGAGGTGTGATGCGACACGAGACCAGGTGCCCGCGGTGCTGTGGTGCTTTGCGAATTGGGGCGTCTTTGGAAAGGGCTGGCGGCACCGGGCGGTATAGATTATCGGGTTCTTTGGGGGGGAGGGGGGGAATACTGCCGCCCGGAGCTTGCTGGGGGACTGAGAGCTGGTGGTGGGTGCGGGTGCGGGTGCTGCTGCACAGACGACAGCGGCGCAGCAGGGAACTTGGGGACCTGAGGTAGGTACCTAAGGTAGGTTTGGGGGGCTAGGGTCTAGGGGACTGTGGTGGTCGCAGCCGCGGCGTGACAGGCGACCGGGGTTGGAGTCTGCGAAGTTCTAGGACGGCGGATGTGGACTGGGGAGGCGAGGCTAATACCTAGCAACCTTTGTCTTCTGGGGTCCGCCTCTTGGGACGAGAAGGACGAGAAGGACGAGTGGAGCGGGGAGTGGAGGGGCGGAGGGTGGAGAAGAAGAGCTCCAGAATGGATGCAAAAGAGTTAGCAGCAGAAGAGGAGACGCTCCGTTGCCTAGGATCTGATGGAGAGAAAGGCAGGTTAGTGCGATGTTCGGAGAGGGGCCACGAGCTTGGATGCTTTGTGTGGCGTGCGTGAAGACGGCGAATGGGATATAGGTGAGCCGCTTCCTCGAGTTGTTCCGTCACACGATGTTCGGGACGATGAAGAAGAAAAAAAAGGAATGAAAGAGAGGGAAAAAACAAACAATGAGGGGTGGGATGGCGGGCAGGCGTTAATACACACCCCCAAGTAAAAGTCTGGCCGTTTAGTCTGTGACCACCAGCAATTGCGACGATGATGGTGATCTGACGGCTCAGCTCAGGCCAGAATGCGGTAGCGAACCCAGGAATTGGGCTGGAGCCTTGGTTGGAGCCGTGGTTGGAGTAGCCGGATTGGTACTGTGCCGATTTGGTCGCAGTGCGGAGGTCTGGGGAGAGCTAACTGAGAGCTTCGGGCGACTGCTAAGAAGGTGTTCGACGCTAGGTCGTGGGCGCTTTTTCGCAGCACCCTGGATGTTGCACGGGCGGGTGTGTTGAGAGGGGGCGGGGAGCTGATCGTGATATGCTTTTTTTTGGCTGTCTCGCGTCGGAGGGGCAGGATGTCGCAGGAGTGTGGTGGAGGAGATGAAATGGTCGTGGTGGCACGGTACTGGGGGGATGCGATGTGGTTGGCGAGGGCATCGACCAACGGTTCCCGCTTCGCACAGCAGTGAACACAGAAGACGTTGGAATGAGACAAAGGACCTTGTCAGAAAGTGCAAAGAGGCAGAGGAGCCAGTAGCCAGTTGCCAGTCATGGGAAGTTCGGATACAAAGACCTGAGGAGCTTCCCATGACCCTCTCAGGCGCCGGGGTAGTGTATTTTAAGTAGCTGGGGTTCTCTTCAATGCATCAACTCAGCGACAGCCCAGGCCACCTTGAGTTCATCCCCATGGGCGCAAGGAACGGCAGTCAATGCCCATGACGCCCAAGTGAAATCAGCGGGTTGGACACTGGCTTGGTATTTCCTCCACCTTCCTGACCAGTGACATACATAGGTACAGCACGGTATTGCAAGGTCAAATCGAGCGCCCCCTGACCAAGGCTGGACTTGGAGTTTCAACAACGGTCCAGGACGGGGGTCACATCATGTACCCTGGCTTCCGGAGGGCGGACAAAGCTACCTACCAATGGTTGCGACGGCTTGGACAAATGGAGGTCGTGCGGGAAAGGCTGGCACTTGCAACTACTGATGCGCGGGCAGGGGAAGCAGACGGATCAGTTCCGTTGCATTGGACAGCCACAACCGCGTCAGAAACGACCAACCGGCGACCCTGGGCCAACTCACGCCCCTCGCACCCGTTATCCGGCCTGCTTCGACCCAAAGGACACGCAACGGGAGGGGAGTCGGCCAGATTCAAGAAAGTGGTGGAGAGCCGTGGAAGTTGTAATGGATGGCGGATGGTCGGCGGCGCATGGAGGGTGGTGGATGGTGGGTTGGATGCCGCCATGTCTGTACGTGCAGGCCTTGTCTCGTTGCAGTGAAAGCGGATTGGATGCTCCACAGACGTGCTACTCGGAAGAAGCTCATCGACCACCCCACCTAGCCCGACCACCCAAGCAGCAGAGCATCAGGTGAATCGATGCGGACGAGCCGACGAGGGCAGCAGGATGCTAGCCCCGCCGCCACTCCAAGTTCCGGAGATGGCAATGGCGCTGTTCTACTGGGTTCGATACTGGACGGCGGCCGGATTATCTCTCTCCTTGTAGGCTGTTGTGGCAGGGCAGTCTTCATCGGAGTGGCATTCCTCTCTGCAGTGGCGTGAGGAAGCAAAGCAAAGTCTCCTCACTTCAGCAGCTCAACTCCAGATTCTCCTGCCGTCGTTGACTCTGCGAGCTGTTAACCACGTTACTGCGTACCTCCCGCTCAACACGTTCCGGTCCCTCCTCGAATCATGCCGGCAGACTGAGGAACACCCCGCCATTTCACCCGAGTGACAATCCCTGAGCAGGGCCTGGTTTCCGAGGGCAAGGCCCTCTTGAGGTGCCGTGTCTAGACCAGGTAGTAAAGTCGACATTCGTGCCCTGACGTACAGTGGCGGGTTCAACTTATACACGGTGCTCAATTGATGTACCTATCCTGGATGGAGGGATGACTCTTCCTACTCACACCCGAGGCATCGTCATCCCTGAAATATTCATCATCATCGACATCATCATAGCCCAGCTGCGGCAGTTCCCTTCCGTCATTATCAGACAACTGACATTGTAGCGGGGGCGGAAACCAAGCGTTCCTTTGTCAGTTATGCCCAACTGCCCTCTCCCCATTTTCCAGTGCGAGTTTTCGGACCACAGCGAGTACCCATGCTCATACTCAGTTTCATGCACTGGCCGATGCTAGTAGTATCGCCCTTTCGTTTAAATACCGGTATCACATCTCCTTCTACCGAGCCCTGTAGATCATCCTGTGGCCCTGCAAGCGAACCCGGAAATGGATCTTCCCATTGGCAGTCTGGACGAACAGGGCTCTCGTCACCTACATCCCATCCTTGACACTTTTGTCCGGGGGCCACAGCCGTGCCCTGCGCACGTTGCGCGATGCGCAAACCATCATTGCTTGGGTGGCTTGCCCATTGCCCAGTCGGGTTTCCAACTGCCAAACCGACCCTGTCCATGAACCAGGGCCGTTCAATCTGGCACCCACTTGCTGGAGGTTAGCACGCGGCTCGGCTTTGTCCTGTCGAAAGTATCGATCGCCACACAAGGCCGCGATCATCACTGGCCTGCGGGAGGCACGGTTGGTCGTCTGTGTAACCTTGTCGACTGCGTCTTGCTCCCCACCCAAATGACGGTTGACCATTGAACATACGCCATTGCAGCTTGATGCAGACGGTTATGCTTCATGACGTATGCGGGAGGCGATTCTCACGATGGAGGGATTGCCTCGAGGCTTCGTACACGGACTTGCAATTGCTGATGCCTTAGGGTGATATCTACAGGGAATTCATCATCGCCCCAGCATCGAGGCCCGAGAAATGACAATGTCAGGCTACCGCAAAGAATTGACGGTAAAGGATGTGGCCACGATATCCGCACTTGACTTGTCTCATCGTATATGGAGCTGTATACGCGGTGCTGCTTAAACTACCCCAAACGAGTGAGGTATTCCGGGTCTCGAGCATTGTGGCGCCAAGCATCCGCGGTCCACCTGCTCACCATCTGTCAAGCCTCCAATTTCTGTTTGGCAGCGCCACATGCTCGCAGCATACACCGGACTTCGCGGTGTGGCGAAGAACAAGGTGCAGGGGCAGGCGTTGCAGGGTCGAAGTGACTATACGGATCCACGGATGCATCGCGTCACGCGCTGTGCTTTCGGGCGTGTGCCTTTGGCAGCTCGAACGAACGAACCCCTTACTGACCCCGGATTTAGCTCGCCGGACTGGGCCGTGGACCCAACTGCTTTTGCTTGGCTGGAATTGGGAGGCTCTCGTCCACCCACAGCGCAACTGGCATTGTCGGATGGATAGCCGGGCGGGAAAGCTGGGGATGACTTGCATGCCTGCCGAGGTACGTTTGGTGCGATCGCTCAGGGCTACTACCGTAATTGAGCCACGGCGTGCAAGGTCCATGGCAGATCGAGTTCAACAAACGTGGGGTATCAGGCCTGCATGTCACCGCGAAGCCATGCATATCGAGACTTCTCCCCAGAATCTGTCTGACCTGCGCTGGTTTGTGGTTTGTCAGGAAGAACGCCGCTAGGGATTTGCCGTTGTTCCCAGTCAGCTGGAGCGTCGATCTGCACCAGCCCGTGCTCGCTATGTTGTAGCGGGCCACTTAGCAAAACGCAATTCAAGCGCAGTGGATTGGGGTTGGGATAGCGGCTACAGGTGCGTTCGAGCTTCTAGCCGGAGAGAGTTCACCAAAGCAGTCGGCCGCGTTTCCCAAGCGTTCCCAAGCGTGCCCAACGCCGCGGACTTGTTGGATCTGTAGTTATTGGTGATCGGTGATCCGAGGAGGCCCATGGCAGAAGTGGAGATACCCCGCCATTGGCCCGTCAATTGGGTGTCAGTCGAGGCGGGGGTTTACCCCGGATTTCTCCTCATTCGTGGCCCCCCGAACAGAAATGTACCTGAGTGTACAGCATCCGCCGCCGCAGCACATGCATCCGCCCGGCCCCCCGATGCATGCCCTCGCGACAGGTGCTTCTCGGGCAGCGACTCCGCTTGCATACGTGCGACATTGATTTAGGGACCGGGGGATCGTCCGTGTCAAAGGGCCGATCATTACCGCGGCTCCTTGGAGGCTTCGTGGAGACTACCTAGCAACGCCTGAGTCCAATTCCATCGCCCCATCTCCTGCGCGGCGCCCTCCACATCTTACAAGACTGAACATCGAGATTCGCATGAATCTATCATGTAGCTCGCTGTTAGACGTTCGCCGTTCGCCGGTCCCGCACACGTGCAGTGGCAGAGCAGCACGAGACCTCAAAAGTGCCATGGTGGTGGCTATGGTCCGCTGGAACAGGGAGTAGCACTGCGCATCCACGATGCCAGGGTCCGCTTACAAACCCCTGCTGCCATTGTCGAATTGGAGAATCGACTCGCTCAGAAGCTGGCCAGACTCAATTGGGGCTTTAAAGTTCACACGCCCTCTACTCCTAATCCGGCCGGAGAGGGGGAGACGCCACTCGGACTTCTTGTGGCAACCTCCGGCCTTGATGACTTTGCCATGGACCAGGGTTACCAGGCCGGAGATCCATGGCCGGAGATCCATCAACCTGGGATCAGTTTACATGGTATTTGCTGTACTGAAAGCTTGAGTCTCAAAGTGGGTCAATTACGTGGTAGAGGGAAGAGATCGGTAAATGTACGAGTTGGCTCGACAAGTGCATGAGCATCGTGGGTATCATGAGGTTTCCGCCAGTTATTATACAGACATCAAGAGAGGGAAGTCGTTTCCTCTAACCAGTCGAAGCCTGGGCAGCCTTCTGCTGCTTCAGCTTCTCTTCAAACTTGGCAAACTCCTGCAGTGAGATCTCCTCCTCTTGATCGAGTACTTGCTTGACTCCCTTGACCTCCTCGATCTGGCGGAAGTGTTAGTTTTAGTCTGGACAACGTAACAAGAGTTACGAGTAGGAAGAACTTACGTAGTGCATTAGCATGCCCTCAATGCCGTTCTTCAGGGTGACGGTGCTCGAGTCGCAGGTGCGGCAGGCACCTCGCAACCTGAGGAGTACATATCCCTCATCGTCGAAGCCTTTAAAGTCGATATCGCCGCCATCCTCTTGAATCGCAGGTCGGATGCGCGTCTCGAGCAGCTCCTTGATCATGCCGACCACCTCGCTGTCGTCCTCGTTGTACGCCAGACTATCCTCCTCGACATCGTGGGGCGCCTCGCCCTCCTTGCGCTCGACGACGTTCACGATAGTCTCGCCTGACGTGATGGCCTCGGTGATGAGGGCAAAGATCTCGGGGCGGACGTGGGCCCAGTTGGCATCGGCGGCCTTGGTGACGGTGATGAAGTCAGCGCCGTAGAAGACAGAGGTGATGCCGTCAATATTCATGAGCTTTGCGGCCAGCGGCGAGGGGTACGGCGGCGCGATTGTCGACCGGGGGTTGAGGTACTCAATGAAGGGCGTAGACATCCCTTCGGGGACGACCCGGTGGTTCGGCAGGAACTTGAGGGCGTCCGGGTTCGGTGTGTTCTCGGTCTGGATGAAGATGGTCCGGACGCCGCTGCCGACACCGGCGAGTCCAGGAGCTGCTGATCGGCGCGATGCGTAGACTTGTGGTCGGGCGCCGGCGGTGAAAGCGAGGGTTGGGAGGCGGGATCTTGTGCTCAGCGAGCGAGTCCATCGCGGCGCTGCTCGAAGCGGCGTCTCGGCGGCGGGCCGGGAGACGGAGGCCAGGACCCGGGAGACGAGTCGGGGGGCTCTTGAGGGAGTCATTGCGACGATTGTCTCTGTCCACGAGAGACGGGGAGAGCGTAGAAAAGGTGAAGGGTAGCGCAGGACGGAGGCCAGGTCAGTAAAATGCCTCTTGAAGAGGAGAGTACGTCGGTTGGCGTAGCTCGGCTCTCAACTTTTTGCCTCCGAGTAGTTCGGTCACAGCAGCCCGTGGCGGCCGTGATAGGCCCGAGCATTAGTAATACCTGGGCTATGATGCAAGGGCAGGCAATGGCAAGTGCCGAGCCAACGGACCCACATAGATTTTTTCTTTTCGACGCATCTCCAACCCAAACAGATACCATACCTAGAATGACGCGCGGGGCAGTTTTTGAGTGAGCGAACGAGCGAAACCCACCAGCTCCCTTTACTTTTTATTACTTTTTCTTTTGCGATCGTTGCCAATCACACGTTTATTAAAGGGCCATGTCGACATTGATCGACAACAAGGGGGAACCAGAGCAGCCGTCATCGTCGTCATCGCAGGTTGCTGCTCAGGCTGACGACGCGGTGCCTAAAGATGCTGCTGATGCCGGTGGTGATATCGACGACGCGCCTGCGCCCGCGCCCAAGCCCTCGCTGTGCGGCGTGTGTAATGTGAACCCGCCCAAGTACAAGTGTCCGCGATGCTATCTCCCATAGTAAGTGCTGCCTGCCAGTCCCAATCTCCAGTGCGCCCGGAGCTGACCTTCTCGAAGCTGCTCCGTCGCATGCAATCGAACCCATCGCGAAAACCACCCTCCCGATCCTGAGCCTCAACACAACCCCGAGCCCTCACAACCGCAAGTCCCCGACGTGCAATCCGCTCCTTCTCTGCCCTCGCTGCCCGCCGATCCGACAAACCCCTTCCGCGCGCTGGAAACATCCGACAAGCTTCGTCTTCTGTTCCAAAAGTACCCCTCGCTCCCTGACCAACTCCTCCGGATCCATGCCGCCACCCTCCCGCCCCAAGATCCCGAATCCAAGAAACACGCCATCCCGGCCTCGCTGCTCAAGGGTCTCCCGCCCAAGAAGGAGACGTGGAACCACGACATTGGGATCCGAAACGGCAAGGAGGCCCTGCGCAGGGCCCGACGCGCCCATGGCGAGGAGGGTGATGCGATCCGCGAGTATTCCGAGCTCATTCTGCACCTCATGAATACGGATAGTTCTGGACCCGATGTTACGAACTTGTTACGCCAGCAGCTGGCGCAGGATGACACCAACCTCATCGAGCGCTTGATGGCTGAGGAGAAGCGATGAGCTCAAGTTTCAGCATGATGGCTGGCTCCATAATCGAAATTTGCGTACATGACCACTTGTATAAAAAAAAGAGATATTTACTTCAAGAGTAGTTTAATGATAATGACTGGCTTTGAGCAAAAGGTAGGTTTGTTTATTAATGCTTGTTACACCCCCAGGTTTCAATTTCGTCTTTCTTTGCAATTTCCGTCGAAATGCCCAATCGCTTCCTACCGCTTAAATCTTCCCAAAAACCCAGTCTTTGGTGATGTGGGAGACGTCGGGGGGTTCGAGTCTCCGGAGACTGAACCGGACTCTCTCCTCTCCTTGTTGCCTATCCGCCCTCGCATGATGCTCCACCTCGAGTCTCGCCTACGTCCGGACTGATCGTTCTCAGTCCAGTCCACACGGTACATGTCCACCACAGTTGCGCGCTGGGTATTCCCACTAGGACCAACACTGCTCCTGCGTGAGGGACCCGAAGCCTCAGAGCCTCTTCGAGAGTCAAAGTCTACTCTGTTAAAGGGAGAGTTGGCGGCACTACCCTGGGTCCAAGGAGACAGATTGCCGCCAACGGAACTCACAGATCCTGCCCTATACACAGACAGGTTGGTAGAATCCTTGCGCGGATCAGAGTGTAGTGGAACATCAACGATACCTCGTTGTACGTCAGATCTAGCCCGCATGTTGCCAGTGCTCATTCTTCGTGCCATCTCGTTGGCTGGATCGAAGTTTTGCGAGTGAGGCTGCAGGAATTGTTTGTTGCTGGGTTGGTTCGAGTCCTCATCGACCTCGGCAGTGCTCTCAAGAACTGTAAAGGGAGCGCCGTTGCGGTCATACGGCCTGCCGTGACTGAGGCTCTGGGTTCTTCGGTATTGTCTGTTATAATCTTGGAGCGACATAGTGGCCGGGGCAGGTCCGGGAGACTTCATCTGCTTAGTGACGACGGCCTTGTCCGTGAGGGGCTCGATAGTTGTCGTCTTGGCAAACTGAGCCGCTGCGGTTTTAGGGACATGTCGATAGGGAGCGGGTTTTGAGATCTTATCATCATCCTTCTTGGGGTCGTAATTGGATCCCTTGATCGAGAAATGACCGAAGATGCTGCTGCGACGAGAACTTATACTGCTTTGTCGGGACTTGGGGGACTTGGGAGACTTGGCGGGAGACTGCTTGAGAGCGGTCTTTGGAGAGAGAGTGGCACTTTTGGATGGGTCATCCTTGGGGGAATCCTGGGACCCGGACACAATTGATGAGGCCGAGTCATCTTCTTTATCGAGTGCCACCGCGGACAATTTGTGGCTCAACTCGTTGGGATCAAATGGTGAAAGGTTCAAGGGATTCGGCCTGTTCTTGCTGGAATTGCTGGAATTGCTGGACGTGTTGGTCTGGGCCTGGACCATTGTGTTCTTCTCATCCTCGCCCACCGGGAGGACCATCGTGGTAGCCATTATGCTTGAATCGAAGACGATCCGGTGACGAGGAAGGTTCGGGAGGAAATTTGGCAGGAGGGGAGTGGCAGAAATAATTGTTTAAGATGGGACTCTGTTGCACGATGTGCTTCTCGAGAGGCTCGATGCTAATTTCTCGCTGTAGTGATGGAATAGAACTAGGGTTTCGTTGGAGTCACCCATGAGAGAGCCGAAGGAAGATATAAGAAACTGGGTGCGAGATACGATATTACTTCTTAATGAAGGCCAAGAAGGTCCCCAGGGAATGGCCCACTTAGCAGAAAGTCTGAATTCGTCTCTGGACGGTGGCTGTCTCTACCTTGCGCGGCCATGGCGCACCTGGCTTGTACTATGGTAAGATGTCCGGTCAGAGGCTATTCGAAACACCATGATCAGTGTTTACCGCTTGGTGGCTGGGGAAAGTAAACGCTTTCATGAAATGTGCTAACAATGATCCGGGGATAATTTCAAAGAACGGTGGTTCAAAGTACCGCCTGAAGCCAGGTTCGGTCACGGCGTCAAGCAATCGTCGGGATTCTCAACACCCGGGTGATTTGGTAGCAACTACGCATCGATGTCGAGTAGTGTCTCAGACGGGTTGGGTCAAGCCTGGCGGGGAGGCAGCAACCACAAGACCGTTTGCGTTCCTTGGTCCCATCGGCCGAGTCAACCCAACCAAGCCTGCAGGGAAGTCGGGTGGGGACCGCAACTGGCTGTCGATCTGAAAGTGTTGTCTCGTACAGATCGGGGATGGTCACTTGATGTCTGGAATGTGAATACAGTCGCTGACGCAAGATCCTCCAGGGAGCTGATACCGCGAACCTTGAGACTCACAGTTACTAGTTGTGGCCTTACAGGGCGCCGTGAGCGCTCTTCAATCTTGGAAGGCATCCAATGTCAGGTATCCCCTATCCAGGTATGACAAGATTGCGATCCCAAGCATACACCCCTTGTCAGCCCCCAGGCAGGTTGATGAAGGGCAAGGTCTGAGACGAGCAGCACTATTTTTCTTGGCGCAAGAACTATGGCGATGAGGACACAAGCTCCCGCCACCCATATGCCGGCCGCAAGTGCTCGTGGAGAAACCTAAGCCTAAGCGGCGCCACATCTTAGGGCTACCTAATTCATCCATTAGGTACCTTAGCTGGAGGGCTCGTGCGCCGTCGATCCGGTAACAGTGACCCTCTAGAGTTGGGAATGCGACAAGATACAGACCGTCGATCAACTTCTCGGGTCGGAGAATTTGAGGAAATGTGGCAAGGTCTGCCACCCGCTTGGCGTGAAGTTTCGACGAGAAATTTCATGATCCAGGGAAGGGTTGTAACATCAGGATATGCCGGATTCGTTTGTGAAGGTGTGTTGGCGCGGTTCTTGTGTGAGGCTGGCGGGGTCTTGCAAAACCATCTACCCCCAAGACAATGAGTTCTCCTTGTCTACTCCGTGCGCAATTCGTAGTCGCCTGCAATGAAACATGCGGGTTGCTCCCGTTGATCATGGATGGCCCCCGGTCTTGACGTGCTGAAGGGCGTCTGGCCCTACGAACTTCGTTTGAGCAGTCGGGCTTCGGGATAGAGAGGCCAGCCTTCCGCCATCGATCTCGCGAGTGCCCTAATCGGAATACAAGTGCACGTAAGGAGTAATCTAGGCCATTCGGGAATCAAGACCGGCGGTGACTTAGCCAAGTCAACAAGTCCATGTGGAGACGGTTCAAGTACGCCCCGCCAAGATGCCGAATGCGGTTGTGGTGGCACCATCGTGAGCGATGCAGTGATGCAGCGATGCCGGAGACAAAGCCGGTCAACAGAGACGGACTTCTGCGAAGGTTTTGCCAAAACCCTAGCCGAGGATTGCCAAGCCGACCTACCTGACGCAATTGGCGGGGTTTCTAGCAAGCAAGCATAGCGGCGGCAAGAGTTTCGATCTCAAATCCTGTGGAGTATAATTGTGACGAGACCAGTTTGCATCCTTCTCCCAACGAAACAGCGATCCTGATCGGCAGCGAGGACAAGACGAAGGCTTAGACCTCGTGTACTTCCTCTATCCGCTGAACGTTGATGCCATGGTTCCTTTTTCTAAGCCACGTCCCCTAAGTGGCATTGACGCGCCCCCGACTGGCGGCGATACGCTCGGAGAGACAGGCCGTGCGGCGGAGGGGCGTTCTCAAGCGTGTGGGCATATGTCTCATCCCTCCCGTGAAGATTTGGGTCAATGAGCTGCCGGCGCCCGCTTGTGGATTGTGTCACCATGTCCCTTCTGGTATTTGCTTGCTCCTGCACGATCGGACGCTCTTCAATCGTTTCTCGCAGCGACAGGGTGCCGATTGGCCGTGGGAGACTCCCACGTGCTTGCGGGGTGTGTGGGACACGGTCAACAGGTGTGACAACGGCGCCGCGCATTCCCATTGGGAGGAGAGGCTCTTAGGTGCATACTTAGGGAGGTCGATAGTTGACATCAGGAGATTCGCATGTCCGAGTCGTTGCGCGTACTCCGTACAGTACCGCCGGTTCAGTATCAATGTGAGGTTGCACTCCAAGGTGGTAGAGAATTAGCGACCCTCAAACCAAACCACAAGGTTGCATTGAGTTTGTGGGCAGGGATCGATGCGTTGCACTGTCGTCACTGGAACATAGTGTGATCGACAGCTCCAAAAACCATGACCTCGTCAAGTCAAGGATGACCCAAGGCTGGGAAGGCTGGGAGGGCTGGGATGCCCGGGCTGCCAGATGCCCACCTCCAGCACTAGTCAGGGTGAGAGCAAACGGAGGAATATGTATGTCGAATGATAGCGAATGGTAGCGTGAGAAGGACTCACACGATAAACGGCTGGGAGCTATCGAGTGGATTTCGGCAAAAGGATTGCTTTTTTCGTCTTCTTGGTGGAGAGGGAACCTTTAAGGTTCAAAGCTCCCTGCTCAGCGTCATGCTATAGCACAAGAGCTGAAAGCAAGGAACGGATACGGAGTACAAAGAGGTGAGGCACGCACCTCCCCCAGTCAGACAGGTTACAGCCTCCAGTCACGAGCCCGCGAGGCGGCTTACTGTGACTACCCCATTTCACACCGAGCCAGCCCAGCATATATGTTTGGTGATTGAGGCACAGCAGCGTGGAACGCCTGCACCGCTGCAACCAACGTGACGGGACATGAGGATTCAACGGCGCGGGGTGGGTAGACCCGAGAGAGCGATTAAGCGATTGAGCGCCCGCTGAAGGAGGGTCTTAATAATTGCCCGAACACGTGCGTCGATGTTTATCTACCTACTCTCCTGTCTAGCCTGCCGACTACCTAATTGTTCCCGATTATTTAATGGACATATATGGAACTTGACATGCCTAGTATACCTAGTATACGGAGCAGAGAGCCCATTCCCATCTCTCGGGCCGGGTTCAAGGATCCAAATCAACGGACCCATTCGCTACTGAAGGATGCCGCCTCGCTGACTCTCCCCCGGCCACCAGACCCTGTCCATCAGTACGCCAACACCAACGCCAACGCAGGAAGACCCTGGTACGAGCACAGCGCTCGGAGCAGTACAACATGGGGGAAGCACACCGATGCAGATACTATCGATGTAATAGGCTTAACGATTCTCGTGCCCGGCTAGCCAACAATCACTGATTGAGCACTGAGCACGTCCCAAACACGACCCCCGGGCCACTATCTGAGGTAGTTCCCATAGCGGGAGGCCGATTCCCTCTTCAACATAACCAGCCGGTTCCCCCTCAACATCCCACCCCGAAACGTCCAACGTCCAACGTCCAACGCCCTTCCGTCCGGGGCTCTGTCCCCCTCGTTCCTCGCCCGTCTCTATCCCAGCCTTGGGCCCCTCGATGCTTGCGAGTCCCTCTCTCGGCTGTGTGTCTTAACCCATAGTAACCGCTGTCCATTCGCGTCACCCTGCCAATCTCGCCAACCGAAGCGCTGCGTCGCCTCCCAGCCAACCCAGGCCTGCCCATGCTGCCCCTCTGACGTGCAGCTGCTTCGAGACCGCCAGCAAGACGGCCAGGGACACCGCCAACCCGCCCGCACTCGCTGAGCTCTGGCGTTCGTTGGCTGGATCCCAGAGGCTCTGGTTATTGAAGGTTCAGAATTGTACAGTACAATCCGAGTCGCCGAAATGCCGATGCGCCTGCGGGCTTGCGTGCTGACATGACATGTCGACTGACAGGTCGACAACAGGTCTCAGCTGGCTACCTTAGTTGGTGCCGCCGATTCGAGTTGGTTGTTCGGAGGTAGGAAAAGCCTCGCGGCCGAAGAGGCGTTTTCCTCCCCGTGTTCTTCCCCCCTCTACAAGTCTGTTAGTAACTTGTCTCGTCTCTATTTTGTATCTATCCCGTCGTTAGCCTTTCTGCCCGCCTACTGCGTAGTGGTGGTGTCCGTCGGTGCACAACACTCTCCGCCCTCCGCTTCTCCTATTCCCTTCCTCTCGAACCCCTGGGTCTCCACGGCTCTTCCCCACCACGAACTTTACTCTCTCCGACATTCTATGTTCCTCTTCAACTCTTTTGCGAGTCGTTGAGACCGCAACCATGCATCCCGATCATGCTGGTTCACGACAAGCTCACCTGCTTCCAGGCACTGCGCCGGCTTCCCGCTCGCTCGCCGGAGCCAATCCGACCCCTCGCTACTCGCCCTCGCGCGATACGAACGTCGCCAGCACCGAACCCGGCCAGTCCCTGAGAGCTGGGCGTCCCCAATACCTAGGACACGGTAACAATCAGGACTCGGTCGGATCGATTGTGAACGACCCTTTCTTCCAACGCTACAGCGCGCCCCCCCCGGACGCTGCTGACGACGGCTCGGACGGCAGCTCCATTTACCAATCCCTAGACAACGACGAAGACTACGACGACCGAACCACGAACGACCACGACTACGACGATCGCGACAGCAATGACAATACCCCAAGCCAAGACTGGCCACCACCCCGTCGAGAGTCTCTGACCGCCCCCCCTTCATCACACTGGGTATGTCCATCGTTCCAGCACACGGACCCCCACCTCCCTGGTCTTCGCGGGGCAGGGGTCTCGTGTGTGTGAGACACGTCCAATATGCGGGGACTGACTGTGACCTGACTCCTAGTCACCCTCATCCTCCACCATGGAGGGCTTCAATATCGCCGTTATCGGGTCCACCGGTGTCGGCAAATCCTCCTTTGTCCAGCGCGTCCTCGGCCTCACCCGGCCACCAATCTCGAACGCCTCCAGCGTGCGCGTGCTGGTAGACAACGTCTCCCATGTCATCACCCTTCTCGAACTGGATCTGGAGTATTTTGAATTGAACCCAACCCAGCCAATCCAATGGCCAAAGCAGATCAATGGCCATATTGTACCGCGCGTTGACGCCGCCCTCATCCTCTACGATGTCATGAATCAGGAATCTATTCGCGAACTGCCTCAAACACTGGGTACTTGTGCTCCTCAACCAACTCGCGACACAAACGTACTGACCGCGACACAGCTGCCCTCACCAATTCCAATCTCCCGTCCAGCTTGTTGGCCTGCAAATGCGAGAACCCAGAGGAGAACTGGGAGGTCGATGCAGACGCAATGGCAAACCACCACCTCTTTAGGTCATGCGTCGCTACCTATAAGATCTCCACAGACAGGCCCGAGATTGCTAGGATTTGTCTGAACACAATCCTACGAGCCGCGATATCCCATAGAAGAGGTATTTCTAAATCCAGTGACTAGCACTCGAGGCGCATTGATTCTGACAATGTCACTAGAAGAAAATGGTGAGGCGATCTCACGCCGCCGAGCACAGTCCGTCGCCCATCTCGAGGCTCTCGATCCAAGTGTCGGACGACCCCTGAGCCAAAATAGCAAGCATAGCAGAGCGAGCTCCGACTTTTCCCTACTGCGCGGATTCCCTAATCCTCCTGTTACCGAAAACTACCGCGCCCGCAGTCCGCGAGTCGGCCAGCATCAGAGTGCTGGTGCCTCTCCAAATCCAGGTCGCGACTTGGGAGACCATGGCCAAGCGCAAACCGTGAGCAGCATGCTCAGAACACCCGGTATACGACTCGACAGGCAAGGCAGTGATCCTCACTTGGACGTGGAAGAATCAGATGCTGAATCGTATCGACATTCGGATGATATCCCTATCCTACAACGTAATGACGACAATGTCCTCGACAAGCCTCCTAAGATGGCGGGAGTATCATTTGATGAATTGGTGGATCGTCTCCTTGCTCCCAGGCTGTCAAGAGCAGACAACAACTTCTCTGACATCTTCCTCTGTCTGTATCGGAAGTTTGCAGCTCCTGGCGAGCTCTTCTCGGCCATTCTCACACGATTGGATCATGTACGAGAAGACAAGACTGCTCATTATCTGTCAAAAACAGCCACGCAGCTCCGAATCATCGAGATGGTAGCCAAATGGGTGTCACTTTACCCCGGCGACTTTGCACGCCACGCTACCAGGCGAAACCTTGAAGACTTTATTAAACATCTTTCCACAGAACCCATCTTCTCTATAGCAGCTCAGCACATGCGTCGAAATCTTCAGTTTAACGTCGTGGAAGATGATGACACTGGGTGGGCAAACGCAGATGACACAGGCGATATGATTGCGAGCGAAATATTGTCCAAAGACATGCATGAGTTGTCTTTAGGCGTTACTGCGCTACAGGTCGACGAAGATATAGATGGGAGACCATCAGGCAGCTCGGAAACGTCGTTTGTGGACAGGGGAAGCAGCGTCGGGAGCCAAGTACAGTTTCATTCATTTGAAGAGTACGAAAGAGTGGCGTCAAGCCTGGAACCCGCAGACACCCTGCCTATGAACAAGTTCCGGTACCACATCTTCATGGAAATCCCCGATGATGACGTGGCGGACGAGTTGACGCGCATCGACTGGATCATGTTTTCGTCCATTCGAATTCGCGACTTTGTCAGGCACGTCAGCTTGTCTACGGCGCAGAAGGAGAAGTGCAAGAGCTTGAATAATGTCAACCGGATGATCAATCACTTCAATCACGTCGCGAAGTGGGTTGCAAACATGATCCTCCTACGAGACAAGGCAAAGCACCGAGCACAAATGCTCGACAAGTTTATGAGCATTGCGTTGAAGCTGCGACAACTGAATAATTATAACGGACTGGCTGCCGTTCTGGCTGGTGTTAATGGGACAGCAATTCACCGATTGACCCAGACGCGAGCGTTGGTGCCAGCTGAGACGCAGAAACGATTCGCGCGATTGGTGATATTGATGGGAACTCAGAAGAGTCACTTTGCTTACCGGCTGGCTTGGGAAAACTCGCCTCTACCGCGTGTTCCCTTCATCCCGCTTCACCGGCGAGATCTTGTGTCTGCCGAGGAGGGTAGCAAGACGTTTGTCGGCCCTGACGGTGATCGCATCAACTGGAAGAAGTTCGAGGTCTTGGGAGAAGTGTTACTGCCAATCATGAAAAGTCAGGGCAGCGCGTACCCCAACCTGCGCAAGCATGACAATGCGCGAGAGCTGATTCTCAACTGCCGGATGCCAATAGATGACGAGGTAAGTTGGCCCACTGGAATATACTATAACTACCGCTAACGCAGACAACTAGGATATCTATCAGCGAAGTGTCCAGGTTGAGAGCACGTCGGGAGGACCGGCCGAGCCACCTAGGAAGAAGTTTCCTTGGTTTGCCAAATAGGACGAAGCGGGAGGAGTTACGGTGACTATGTATTTACCTTTGGTAGCATGCGCTATGTGATGGGCATTTGGCAAGGGCATTTTTTAGACTTGTGGCGCACCATGTGGTTCGATATAGCTAATGGCTGGCATGTTGAGCAATGGACATTTGGAGCTGTCTCTGTGGGTTCTTGAATACGTCACCAATTTCGATTTCATGCATTTTGATGCACTCTAAGAAGAAATATGTTCTCACTGGAGATTCCTCGCGATGTGTGATGTGGCCATTGGCATTAGTTAGGTTGGTCGGCGCCCGCCCTAGGCACGTTCCTGCCCTGGACTGAAGCAACGCAGCTGCCAGTTCCTTCCTCGGCCACCTGTGCGGCGTGCAGCTGTGCCACCTGCCTCGCAGACCTTGGGTTGGCAAATCAATTTCTCCAGAACCAGCCAACTTTGCGAGGCAGCTCCTCTCTAGCATCAACCTCATTTGATCCAGAAGGGGCATTTCATACTACTCCTGGTTTCCTTGATCCCCCTCGCCTCCGATGGACCTCCAGTCTAGTCATCGCGCGGATGATTTCATGGCATCAGCGCTGCCACTGCCAGTTTTGCAAATACTCCTGAAGCAAGAGGATCTCGAAATTGTAGTGACGTCGTCGTTCTGCCTCGATCTTCCCCCGCGCATTGCAAACATCAAGACTGTCGACCAGCTCCTCGCCGAAGTGAAAGAATCCCATCTTTGGATCGCTCGTACCGGTAATTGTCATATCGAGATTTCAGTTGCCGTCAATGACGAGCCAATATTGGAAAACGAGCAGTTAGACACATTTTCTCGGTCCATCAAACACTGTGATGTATGCCAGCCCTGCCAAGTGTTATCATGCTTGAGACTAACAAGGCCAACTAGGTGTGGAATCGCCTTGGCCTCCGTCTCGAGTATGAAAGCAACACACCGACCCAGTTGCCAGGCCTCACGAGCTTTTCGATCCAGCACCCAGACTTAGCTTCAGCCCTTGCACCACCAACGGGATCAGCCACTGCACGATTTCGGGCACTCATCCTCTCAGTCAATGTACTCAAAGCAAAAGCACGACCACCACGAACTAGTCGCCAGAGGCAGGCAAAGAAGCGAAAAAGGCCACACCGAGTGAAAGAGGAAGAGGCCCCACCAGGAACCAGCGGGTTTGATGAGATGTCCCTAGCCCTTGACCTAGATGACCGGTTGGCCGTTGAAAACTTCATCACGAGTCTGAACTTTACATCGCAATCCGGTATGGCGGACCAGAAGTTGATCATTGAAGAGGCCTTGAACATAGTAAACAATTCTACCTTGGTTGGCACGATGCTCGAACAACTCATGCTTGCACCTTCAAAGAAGTACAGGGGGCTTCAGGTTCTACGTGGTCTTTCATCACGTTGTCTCACGAGATTGGCTCCAGGGGTCTTTCACATCCCGTATCTCAAGGTATGTTAAAATGGGTTACCTCTGACTATAATGCTGACGACCCGAACAGACTATATCTGACCGTACCGATTTCCTCAAGGTAATTGGCACGTCCTTGGCCCGTATGAGAAATGCAGAGTCTCCGGGACTCAGGCAAAAGACCACAGAGCTCAGTCTGCCAGAGACTGGAGAACAAACACCCTCTACAGGGTGGGATGACATCGTCCGTGGCATCGAGAAACGGGCGTGGGATGTTCTAGTGACGGATCTTAAACTACCTCCCCTAAAGGAAAGGGCGAGAAAGGGCCAACGTCAATTAGTTCAACCAGGGTCTGAAGGCCCACATCCAGACCAAGGACCCGTTTCTATCCTTTCCCCACAAATGGAGGAAAACTATTCCCAGGTCAAACAAGAGCAACTCGACTCGAGTCAAGGAGGATTGAACGTGGATGAATCTATCTCGGTCAATTGGTCAACCTCGGCGAGTAACCAAGATTCACTGGTCTGCAGCCAATATTTCAGCCCGTATTCACGCCCTCCCTTCACCCAAGCTAGTGAGGCCAACACCTCTACCCCCTGGATAGGGCTAGATGAAGACTTTATAGGTAATCAGGACCCTAGGAGTGGTTTCGGGATGACGGGCGATAACAGTTACGTCAATTATGAGTTACCGACCCAAGTGGAATCTGCAGTACAGTTTGCAGGGTCAAGGATGGAGTGGGATACAATATACGATCCAGAAAGGTTTCAATCACTTGACGACTGGCTCCTGGGGAGGAGTCCAGGCATGTAACGGCATGGTTCAATATGGGGCGATGTCAAGCAAATAGATTTCCAACAGATAAAACAACATAAGACGAAGAGGCTGACTGTATTGTAAAACTACATCATGTGAAGACAAAATCCTGTTAGGTAGATTACAAACACCAAATGCAGCCTGCAGTCATCAACGCAGGGTGGAAGCAAGGCCCAAATGTGGCTCGATTGAGGCTCCACCAAATCCATCGCTAATAATTAAATCGCTGAAGTGATAAAAAAGAAAGACCGGCAATCTTCTCTGACATCGTCAAGCTAGTATGTTGAGTGCTCTTTTCGTGAAGAGGATTGAGTGCGGTGGGCCTTGAAATGAGTTCTGATGGTATTTCAGGGTGCAATCCCATCCGGACAATGCAGTGGCTCTTGGCCCTGCCTTATTTCTTGCCCTTGTTCTGTTTGGCGGCAGCTTTCTTGTCCTTCTTAGCCTGCATGGCCTTGCGCTGCTCGGGCTTCAAGGTGACGTAGCCGATGTACCAGTGCAATACGAATTGCAGGATGAGTGTGACAAGGACGATAAGGAGGATAGTGAAGAGGATGGGCTGGTCGTTGAGGACGGCGACAGCCTCATCGGTCGCGCCGATGGAAGAGAACCAGTCGAATTGACCCATTGGAGCGGAGGTTTCGGAGCGTCGCGAAGCGGAACGGAGCAGGTTGAGATGATTAAGGAGTCGACTCTTTATCGGTATCGAGTGTGCCGGACAGTCGAGGGCAGAACGTAGCGGGTGGGAAATAAAATGATTGTATGGAGAGCAAACAAGGTGCGTATGTGCGCCAGTCACGTACGTGCGATCGGAGATGGTGAGAGTACTTTGGAAAGTAAAGAGCTCGGAGGTGGATGAGGCCAAGAAGGCGAAGTCGAAGACAGGCGCTAAGAAGAATGAGAAGAAGAAAGAAAGAAGACTACGGCATGGGGGCACGGGAAGGGCAGAGGAAAAGGTCAAATCGTGGAGTCGAAACCAAAAGCGTCACAATTCCGACGGATCATGACTGGGCAGACGGCGACGGCGGCGGCGATGGCAACGGTGACGGCCCACTGGACCGCGCCAGAACGTTAGAAGGGGCAAGCCGCGAAGTGAGACGTTTCACAATTGCAGCAAAAGTCGACTGATTCTGGGGCCGCGGCTGATTGGCCACGGGGGTGTTGGACGGGCCACCTCTGTTACGTAGGAGGGACTCAGGGAGAAGTCAGGGAGAAGTCAGGGATACTCCGTAGATACCAGGGAGATGCCGTAGGGCAGGCCGAGACGAAGACGCACCGGAGAGCCAAGCGCCGGATAAGATGGGTTTGACAGGTGAGCTGGGTTTACTGCGGAGTAGCTCTTTCGGAGATATCCAAATAGGTTATGGTCGTGAGTTGTTCCCTGCGTCGGTCCTGGCTCGCCTAACAAACTAACGAACTTCCCCTGGTTTGGTTTATGAGCTGATGGGGTGAGTCGGTACGGGGGTAGGTACGGAGGCTCAAATGCAATGGAGATGAGCACGTGATATGGCACGTGTCATTAACGCCTACTTGGTCCCTCTTTTGGAACCTCCAGCTGTCAGTTGCTGTGATTGGTCGTGGACCAGCCCACCTACCGGCCCTCTCAATTGAGGATTCCCTGGGTCCAAAAAAATCTCGAGCTCGTTGTATGAGAAGGTCGCGCCAGACCAGTCGACTTTGGGTGCCCGCCGTCCCCTCCGCCCCTACGAATTGATACCCCGGATACCTGGATACGGTCCGTCGAGCGACCGGACTCTTACCGGTTATGAGCGTCGCACGTCCGGCGCGCAGCCTCCTCGGCCGCTGCCTCTCCTCCACCCGAACGACTCCCGCCGTCCCCTGCCAACAGCTCCATACTTCAGCGCCCCGTTCGAGTCGAAAGTCCCGCTTCCGCAATGTCAAGGCCGAGGAGCTTGGCCTGCTGAGGCCCGAGAAGATGGACAAGTACCAGAAGGCCAAGTTCCCCGAGTTCACGGCAGAGGAAAAGGAAACCCTCAAGGCCAAGTACTCCCCGGAGCAGCTTGAGGCGTTGGAGGCGGGAGAGAAGGCCGTCGACACCAAGGACATGATCATCCAGGGTCGGTTACGAGACGACCCGTACAAACCCGATTACATCGAGGACTACACCGTCCTGGACCCCCGCTACGATCTCAAGCCCAAGCTGGAGAGCACCCCGAGAGAAGTCCAGTGGCCAGACCAGAGCGAGTGGATCGACAACTACGGACAGAAGATGATGAAGATTACCGACAAGAAGACGAGCGACCAACTGACGCGGGCCATGGTCCGCGCCATGCGTAAGGTCAAGGAGAGCACCGGCCAGGAGTTGATAGACCTGACCGAGGACGAGCTCAAGGATATCGAGGCCGACCCAGAGCTGATCAAGCGCTACATCATCCAGGAGGAGGTCGCTGAGCCGGAAGCCACCGCTACTGGACCCGAATTCATGACCCGTGCGCAGGCCATGGAGATGGACGAGGCCATCGATGCGGAGTGGAAGAAGGAGCTCAACAAGATCACCGAGTTCTCCCACCAAGGCGAGGTGGAGCCCACCAGCCTGGAGCTCCTCGAGGACGGCCCGGCCGGCATTGACCGCCTCCACTCGGCCGAGGCCGCCGACCTGGGCAAGGTGCCCGGCGTCAAGGGCCTGTACAAGCACGCGGCTGACCCAGAGGATATGGGCCAGGACGATGCGGGCAAGTTCCAGGAGATCAAGCGCTTGACGGGCATGAGCCTCAAGGACATCCGCTCGCTCCTGACCAAGGGCCTCGTGACCCGATGGGTCGCCAACCAGACTCGTCTGGGCAAGGTCCGCAGCACCTCAGTTGTGGCCATCGCCGGCAACGGCAACGGCCGCCTCGGCCTCGGTATGGCAAAGTCTACGGAGCCTGGTGTCGCCGAGGAGACGGCCCAGATGCTTGCCATCCGCAACATGAAGCCGATCCGCCGCTACGAGAACCGCACCATCTACGGTGACATCTCCGCCAAGGTTTCTGGCACCGTCGTCGAGCTGATGGCTCGTCCTCCTGGTATGTCCAACCCCTTCTCCTGCTTTAATATTTCTCGTATAAAAACACCATGCTAACTACAAACTGCTGCAGGCTTCGGACTGCGCTGCCCGCACCGTATCTTTGAGATGTGCCGCGCGGCAGGTATCCACGATATTGCCGCGCGGATCCCGCGGTCCAAGAACCCCATGAACTCTGTCAAGGCGGCGTACCAGGCTCTGACGAACCAGCCTGACCCGGAGCAGATCGCCATCGGCCGGGGGAAGAAGCTGGTGGACGTGCGGAAGGTGTACTATGGCGGAGCTGTATATTAAAGTGTATCACCGGATGGTGTAGCACGTGTACCTATATGGAGGTTTCTTCTCCACATCTCCCCGGCGCGGTGGTAGGGTTGTTGTACGTGTAGAGGCATTTTGCAAAGCAGCAACATTATGTTTAAAGCCAGTTATGACTAGGGGCGCGTGCGTGCGGATACGAATGTCGACTTGAAAGCGAAGTCGTTCATGGTGTTCGTGATTTTGCTGGGTATCATGTCTCGTATCTACATCATCGTTTCCGCGCCTTGGCGTTTGGTTTGCTTCCAACTCGTAAGAGAGCCTCCCGTCTAGTTGTCTGCCTCCCTCTCCATCACATCGCAAGTCTCTCTGCCCGCGCGGGCACTCAACCCATGCGCGAGGGCCAATCATCCCAAGCTCTCAATTGCAAGCGGTGTACAGTTCCCAATCAGGCCGTCGATCCATCGCCCCAGTCAATCTCCTGCTGCAGCACGATGCTGTAGACGCTGGCCTTGAGGAGGGTGAAGGCCAGGCTGGTCTTGCGCTCGAGCTCGCGCAGGCCGTCGAGGATCTCGGTGCTGGGGTTGGAGGCGAGGTGGTCGAGGATCGTGGCCAGCTGGATAGTCGCGTCAGTAAGAGTCGTTCGCGGAAGAGGCGAGCTGGTTCATGCAGCTCAAACGGGAGAGCAGGCGTACCTTGTTCATGTTCTCGGCCAGGCGCTCGTACTCGTCGAGGACTTCCTGCTCGAGCGGGGTAAGTTCCGGCTGAGACAGCAGGCCGCCGCCTGTCGAGGTCTGGTCCATGGCGCGTGGGTGTTGTGTTGCGTATTGCAGTGAGGGTATACAGCAATGCGCGACCGCGACGACGCGGTTGGAGGATGGAGGAGTAGCTGCACGCCAACTTTCCCACACAAAGTTGGCTGGCGTGGGACTTGGAGTTGGAGGGGTTGTTTAGGTGCCACAGTGCTCCGTAGCGCTGTGGTTGATTGGGCGGTTGCGGGAGTGTCGCCGGCCCCACTTTCGGAGGTCGTCCAAGTTCCGCCCGGGTCTTTGTCCGGGCTCCTTTGTTTGTGGTTGACATGATACATCACACAGGCCAGACTGGCTCAGTTAGCTCTCGTCTCCATTTCCAGCCCACATCCGGGCGTTGGCGAGGATCTGGTCCGTCCGGATGATAATCATTGGGCATCCTGCCGGAACCCACTGCATCTTGGTCCCCCACTGCGGAAACTGGATCTCAGCGTACGGCTTCATCCCGAGCTTCTGGCCAGCCTTCATCAGGTCCACCTCACCTTTGCCTGCCCGCTTGAACACGTCGTCGAATGTCTCTTCGGACAGCGGGCTCCGCTCGAGCATGTACGTGAACCACAGCGGCTTGACGTCGCTGCCGTCGTTGCTGTCGTCGCCGTCTCGAGGCCGGCTTCCGATGACCACGCACAGCTTCTTGCTTGTGCCCGGATACGTGAATTCAAGCACCGCCGCGTACGTGGACGCTCCCGCCGCGCAGAGCTCTATCAGTCCCGGGCGCGTCCACGGACAGGGCAACCTCCTCCAGCCGAGCCTCGGCTCCAGATATCGCGGCGGCGGCTGGTCTGGGCCGCCCTCGAAGGCAAGAAACGCAAACGACGGCGCCTCGCCTTCCATGGGCGTAGCCGCTGGAGACCACATCATCGCAAAGGCCGCCCAATTGCTCATGTCTCCCATGTCGAGGCTATCCGGGGACGTGATGTACATCTTCTGGCGCGCCTTGGGCAGCACCCCGACGACGGAGGCCAGCTTGACGGGGATGCTGGCGAGCCTCGTGTATCGGTCGCCGCTGGTGCTGTACAGGACGAGGCAGATGCGGTTCTTAGACGACACTGGGCTCGACCGGCAGTTCAGCACAGCCAAGATCAGCCCCGGCGTCACCGTCTTGAGCACGGGAAGCGTAATGCGTAGGCCGCTGTTGGTGAGCGTGTAATGGCTCCGCTCGTTGTGATCCCACGCCTGGATGATGCGCGAGTGCCAGCGGAAGCACTGCGGCGACGGCGCCAGGATGGGATAGTTGACGTCTCCCAACGCCTCGCGGTCCGCGTCGCCCTGCCACGCAAAGATGGAGTGGTCGTACGACTCCTTGATGATCTCGGCCTGCAGCCGCCGGAACGCCCTGGAGCCTTCGCCGTACAGCAGCGGCATGTTGATGTTGAACAGCCCCATCAGGCAGTACGCCATGTCCTCGACGCGCGTGGTCTTGCGGTCGGCCGCCCACGCCATCCGCTGCGCGATGCTCGCCGTGTGCAGCTTGAGCTCCTTCAGCAGAAACCGCGTCGGGATGCCCGTGGCCGTATCAACGTCGTCCACCAGCCACGGCAGGTTCCCGAGCAAGTTCCAGTCCCGCGAGAGGAACAGGAGATGGCGCGGTGCCAACAGCTCCTGGAGAGTCCAGCCGCGGGTGAACCACCTGCTCTCGCAGAATTGCTGCCGCAGTTCGTCGCTCAAGATGGCCGGCTCAACGCTGCCCGTCATGACATCTCGCGGTCCGGCCGCAACCCGCTGAGCCGGAGCATCAACATCGGCGAGGTGGACCAGACACACCTGCGAGTCGCCGTACCAGCGGAACATGGAGTTGATGGCCTCGGACAGGTCAGCGCTGCTCCGCTTGTCGATGCAGGCCGTGTCAACCCACAAGTACTTGAGGCCGTCCATCTGGGACACGAATTTGCAAGCCCCAAGGATCTTTGCATAGCCCTTCTTTGACGCCGCCGTGTCGAGCCGCTGCCAGTCGTCAAACGAAACCTCTTGCTCGGCCCAGGTGTGCGAGAGGATGCCATACTCGGGGATTGAATCGCCAAAGAACTCCTCCATTTGGAGTGTCTCCACGTTGATCAGTCGCATGGTGAGGTAGCAATTCTATATATGCTGGCGTAGACGAAGTGAAAATCTCGAAATAGGCATCAACCACCATAATATCGACAGAGCGGTCCACAACAAACCACCAAGATGTTGATACTAGTCTTCTCACCAACAGAGCTTAGTTGCAAAGAGCCAGGGACTTCTCACCGCCCGACCTATCAGCGAGCTAAATCACAACCTCAACTCCACATCAAGGCATCCATTTCACGTCAATAGCCGACAGCAGAAGAACTCTTTGAAACACTTTTGTAAATCTTCATTGTGAATCATAAAGAAAATATAAATAATAATTGAAGAAACACCAGACCAGACAGAACTCAACCAAAGAGAAGAGACGAAACCAAAGACTTCCCAGTCTAGCTCCAGTCTCTGCCGTCAATGATAACAAAACACCCAATCCAGATTCAGACTCGTACGCATGCTTTCATCACAGACTCCGTGTTCCCTTTGAACCCAAGTTGTTTAACCAGACCCCGGTATCACCGCATCACTGTATCGTCGCATCACGGTCGCTACCGTCCATAAACCACCAGCTCATTGCCGTCGCCGGCTTCGGTTCCCACCGCGCTCTCCGTCCACTCACTCCCCGTGTCACTGTACTCGGTGTACCCGCCCTCTGACTCGGTGTACATGTCTGTACTGTTGGTGACCACGGTACCTCTACTGCTCCGACGCAGCGTCTCATTGTCGCTGTCGACTCCATCATCGTTGACTCCTAAGTGAAGCGTCGTCGTGTCGTCGTCACCTGGAAGATCCGGCTCTGGCGTCGTCGGACGAGCGTCTTGCTCGTCAACCTCCTCGACGGTCTCGTCAACGTCCACGTTTTCCTTGTCCAGATCACCAGAACCCTGCTCGAGGTCGCCACCCCAGCTTCGCTTTCGGTAGGCCTTGCCCCTGCCAGCAGGAGTCCTCACGCTCTGGCTCCTCTTGAAGCCAGTCGACGCCACGTTGTTATTAATCTGGCTGAGCGACACGATTCTTCTGGCATTTCCGGCTCCGCCCTGAGCAGGGGAGGACGCGATGCTTCGCCTCGCCGCCAAGGCCATGTTCACCATCGGCTTGCGAGGAGTTTGGGCAGATTCGTTGTCATTAGCAGGCTTCTTGACTCGCTTGCGGCTCATCGCGTCGCCGTTTTTGTTGCCCTTGGACATGAGGAGTACGCGGGAGTGATCCATGACTCCCTCCAAGATGCGGCGCTCCAGCGTCTCTGCGCGGCCCTCCATCTCGTACAACTCATCCTTGCGCAGACGCATGGCCGTCTCAAGAGAAGATACGTCGGCAGTGAGTCTGGTCCTTTGTCGGATCAGATTCTCTTGCTCCGTTCGCAGGCTCGTGATGCTGTCTCGGAGTCTGGCCTCTTCGATGCGAAGACTCAGGACCGACGCCTCAACATGGTCCTTCTCGACCAGTTTGCGCTCGGTCGCAACGATTGTCTCCCGAAGAGTCTTCTCCCGGTCCTCGTGGTCATCTGCGACGCGCTGTGTTTGGTTGGACAAGAACTCGGAGATATCAGCGGCCGTCTTAACCACGGACGCGTGGACCTTGTCGAGGGTGTCAAGGCGAGAGAAGGCCTGGTCCGCAGTGGTGTTGTGCTCAACAAGCTTGTCGAGTTTCTCATGCACAATGATATCGTCGTACTTCTGGGACACAATTACGTCGAGCTTCTCATGCACATTGGCATCGTCGTACTTCTGTGCCACAAGCAAGTCAAGCCTCTCGCGAACATCCGAATCGTCGTACTTCTGTCCCACAATCACGTCGAGCCTCTCACGAACATCCGTATCATCGTACTTCTGTGAGATGAGAAGATCCAGTCGCTCGCGCAGTTCAGCATCGTCGTATTTCTGATCCATGATCAAGCCAAGCTTCTCGCGAACCTCTGAATCATCGTACTTCTGTGAGACAATAAGGTCGAGTTTCTCACGAACTTCAGCATCATCGTACTTCTGCTCAATGAGGCGGTCCAATCGCTCGCGAACCTCAGCATCGTCGTATTTCTGATCGATGATCAAGGCAAGTTTCTCGCGAACCTCAGCGTCATCGTATTTCTCCTCCACCAGCTTGTTAAGCTTCTCGTGGACCTCGGTGTTGTCGTACTTCTCCGGAGGGAGCAACATCTTGAGCGCCTCTGAAGGTTGTGACTCGATAAGCTTGTCCTGAATATCGGTAGTTGAAGACCTGGAGTGCTCAAAATGCTCGCCGACAAGGAGGAGAATGTCTTTGACAGCCTCAAGGATCTTCGGCTGGAAGTCGCCAACTTCTCCCTTGAGGCCTTCGACGGCGGACAGAGCCTGGGTGACTTGGTCGCGGGTTTGCTGGTGCTCTGTCTTGTCTTCGGTGTGGTTCTCCTCATTCTTGGCCACGAGATCCTCGACGCTGGTAAAGACAGTCTTGGATGCCTCCTCCATCTTCTCCAGGGAGTCGGTAACCGTGGATCCCAGGGTATCAATGAGAAGCTTGAGCTCATCGGCGATGGCCTTGGTTCCCACAACGGCAGCCTCTGTCGTGACGTCTCGAGCTTCGCTGACCTTGCTCCTATCATCGAGCATGGTTTGCAGCTCATCGTACTTGGCAACCAACTCGCCAATCTTGTCGTCAATCTTGGTACCGAGGTTGGTGGTCGCCTCCTCGAGTTTCTCATTTGATTCAACCTTGACGCCAGAAACGACAGCCTTGGAGTCCTCGAACTCAGTCTTCATCGTCTCAAACATCTCCTTGAGGTCCTGACCAACGCTATCGTTCTTGTCGATCTTCTCACCCATGGTCTCGAGAAGCTTGCCGAGAGACTCGACCCCGGTCGATCCCTCCTCAAGTCTAGACTTGATGGTCTCTTGGAACTCTTCGAGGAAGCTCTTGACTTCGGTGACACGCTCACCGACGCCAGTCATCTCCTCGTCTCGGACCGCGACGGCCTTAGTATGAGAGTCAACCGTGGTGTCCAGCTTTTCCTGGAACTCCTTGACAATAGTCTCGAGGCTTGTAATATCCTCCTTGTTGGCGAAGGTGGCGAAATCAGTACTGGCAACGCCATCCAATGTGGCCTTGAGTTCAAGGACAAGAGCCTCAACAGCTTCGACATCCGTCTTGGTGACCTTGTCGGGGTTCTCACTCTCCTTGTCTGCACGCTCCTTCATCTCGTCAAGCCCAGCAGTGACTTGAGTGATGAGAGTTTCAAGGTTCGACATCTCCTCCTTGATCGCGGCGGAATCCACCTGGGTGCTGAGGGATCCCAAGGATTCACGAGTCTCAAGAAGAAGGGTCTCAATGGCATCGACATGCTCCTTGCGAACAGCCTGGTCACCATCAATAAGGTCGTCCAGGCGCGCTTTAGTGTTGCGCAAGATCGTCTCAATGGCCACGACATCGTCCTTGGAGGCAGCATCTTCGCCGTTAACCTCAGAGTCGTCTTTTGGAACCGAACGAGCAGCCGTGACAGGTTCTCGGGAGCTGAGTTCATCAACAGCATCCTGGACATTGCGAATCATCTCTTCCATGCGAGCGAAATCAGCTTTCTGGGCGTTATCTTCAGACTCGTCGTTTCCAATAGCACGTGCAGTAGTGGCAGGCTCACGGGAGCTAAGCTCGTCAACAGCATCTTGGACATTGCGAATCATCTCCTCCATACGACTGAAATCCACTTTCTGGGCGTTGTCTTCGGACTCGTCGTTGCCAATGGCGCGCGTGGTGTTGACAGGCTCTCGGGAGCTAAGCTCGTCGACAGCATCCTGGACATTGCGAATCATCTCCTCCATGCGACTGAAATCGACTTTCTGGGCATTGTCTTCGGACTCATCATTGCCAATGGCGCGCGTGGTAGTGACAGGTTCTCGGGAGCTGAGTTCATCAACAGCATCTTGGACATTGCGAATCATCTCCTCCATGCGACTAAAATCGTTTTTGTGGGTGCTGGCTTCAGATTCGTCGTTTTCAACAGCACGTGCAGTAGTGACAGGCTCTCGAGAACTAAGTTCATCCACAGCGTCCTGGACGTTGCGAATCATCTCTTCCACACGGCCGAGATCATCTTTCTGGATGCTCTCAGTCTCTGGCTCCATGGCCTCGACCTTGTTACTGAGTTGAGCAATCAGAACCTCGAGGTTCTTGATGTCGTCTTGTCTTAGCATATCAGCGGGAACCACAGACTCCTCAGGTTCAGATTCAGTCGAAACTGTGGCGAGGGCCCGCTCATTATTGCTGTCTCGCAGAGTCTCGATATCTGCGCGGACAGACTCGAGCCCAGACCTAAGAGCCTCCAAGATCCTCTCATCGGAGCCTTCGGAAGTCTCAGAGCGTGTATCAACGGCAGCAACTGCTCGCTCGTTGTTGGTTTCTCGGAGTGTCTCAATGTCTGAGCGGAGAGACTCGAGGCCGGTTTTGAGAGCATCCAGGATTTCATCGTTACCAATGTCATCATCTGGGGCCACCGATCTCTCATGGCTGCTCTCTCGGAGTGCCTCGATATCCGAGCGAACGGAATCGAGCCCATGCTTCAGGGCATCAAGAATCTCATTGCTGTTGTCTGGCTGATCAACTGTTGCCACAGCTCTCTCGGCAGTGCTCTCTCGGAGTGCCTCAATATCTGAGCGAACGGAATCGAGTCCTGACCTGAGAGCATCGAGAAGCTCGTCGTTGGCGGTGTCAGCTGGTGCATCCAGTGCGACCACAGCCTTCTCATTGTTGTCACGAATGGATTCAATGTCTGTCCGAACGGAATCAAGACCGACCTTGAGAGCATCAAGGATTTCGTCGTTTGCTGTCAAGTCCATAGGCTTGTTGGTAACTCGGTCCATACCAGCGCGGAGATCGTTGAGGCCATCATTAAGGGCGTCAAGGATCTCGCTGGTCTCGGCTCGCGGTCGAAGGATCTCTTGTCGCAAGTTGTTGAATCCAGTGTTGAGGGCCTCAAGAACTTCCTGGTTATTGGAGTGGGAAACGGGAGGGGGGGCAGGAACCATGGAGGAGTTGACAACTTCACGCAGGCCCTCGAGCTCAGTCTGGAGCTTCTCCTGAGCCTCTTCGTGGGACTCGGTAACCATTCCCGCAATCTCCTCCTTGAAATCCTCCAGGGATTTCAGAAGGCCATCCATGAACTCCTCCTGACCAGCGACTCCAGTGGCGCGATCGACGTATGACTCGATGGCTGCCCGAAGGCTCTCAAAACCATCCTTCGTAGCGTCGAGAACCTGCTCTGTATCACGACCGTTGGCCGCAACATTCTCCTTGGCCTCTTCGGAGACGGCCTTGAACTCGCGTTGAAGGAACTCTGCAATTTCGTGGAGACGTGCAGTTACTTCGTCATTATTGGACGGTGCCGGCATCAGGGCCCGACTTGAGGAAATATCGAGATCATGGAGGCCCTCTCTAACGGCGTGGACCACATCTTCGTGGGTAATTTCGCTGGATCCAACGGCTGACGCAGCCACTGGGAACTCAAACTCCTCTAGGCAATCCCGAACCGCTTCAATGATCTCGTCTCGAGACAAGGTGGCAGGGGTCTCAACCTGGGGAGGAACGAAGTGCCTCAAGCCTTCAACAACAGCTGTGAAAACTTCATCCCTTGTCGCAGAAGGGGGACGATCATCACGAGGGGCGTATTCTTGGAGGCCTTCCTTGAGGCAGGCCAGAACCTCCTCTCGTTCGAGGCCAAGCTGCTGGACTTCAATCTCGGGCTTGTAGTTCTCCCAGGCATCCTTGACAGCCTCGATAACATCCTCTCTGCTGAAGTCGGGCATGTTGCCTCGGGCAGTTTCGTTGTCTTGAAGCGCTGCACGCATGGCGTTGTAAATCTCCTGGTAGTCGACAGCGGTCTTCTGCGTGTTGGTTGATGCAGCAGATTGACGCCTGTGCTCCCGGAGGACGTGGTTGAGCTGATCCTTCATCTGCTCAAGGCCTTCATCAATCACACGAGCAACTTCGTCCTTGCTTGGGCTCTCGTGTTCCTCGACCGGCTTCCGGGAAGCCGCCTGCTCGAGTCTTCGGCCGATTTCCCGGCCCATGCCCAGAACCTCTCCACGGAGTTCTCGGACAAGAGCCTTGACCTCCGCAGTGAGGCCACCTCCTTGGGCCACACTGTCCTTGACGGAGCGGATAATGTTGATGAGGTCTTCGTTGAGAAGGCCAGCACCTCGACCAGAGGAAGGTTCGGAATTTCTTCGACTCTCGTTCTTCATGAGATGTTCGACTCTTTGCAGCACCGGGCCGCTCCTGGGACGCTCGGGAGCGGATGTTTGGCTGGATTCGTCGTCGAAGCTCAAGTTTCGACTTCTGCTCACATTTGCGTTCAACACAACTGCTTGCTCGCTCTGGGCCCTGATCTGTTGGACGAGTTCATCCACTTTGGTCGCGGTGGCCATTCCCGAGAGCTTGGTGGAGACCTCGATCAGACGACTAAGTAGAGAGTCCTGGCCCTCCTTGGTGCCCATTTCCCGGATAATCTTCTCCAGGAGGGCGACAGAGGGGGGAGCCTCGGAACCAGCAAGAGAAGGGGTGCTCATGGAACCTCGATCAATAGAATCAATGAAACTCTTGGGAGAAGGGATTCTAGGCAGTTGGAAAGCGGAAGACCTGGCAGTATTGGGAGATATATTGTGCGGCTTGTTGTCCAGGTAGTATGTTGGGTACGGATCCCGGGAGGAGAATCTGGAGCTCCCATCGCTGCCAGTGCTGATGAGCTCTCTCAAACTCTTTCGAATATCTTCATCTCTCGTCGTAGTAGCCTCCTTGAGACTGAGCAGATCAGTGGCGTTGTCTCTGCTTCTTCGGCTGAGCTGCAACATCTCCTTCTGTAGAGATGTTGCAATACTTGTGAGGCTGAGAATCTGGTTCGACAGCAGATCAAGATTTTGCGGGTGCTTACCCACAGCTGAGGAACCGTTGGTAATGTTGGTCAAGGGGGCCTCAGGCTCCTTAGCTGCCGGAGTCTGCTGCTGCTGGCCCATATTTTGCAGGGCAAGCATAGTTGATGATTGTGGGGGGGTGTTCTCGCCCAGGATGCTCTGAGGAGGCGGTCGTCGAACAGTAGGTCGTAAGATAGGAGTCAGGCTCGGTCCTGGGGTTGGCGTGCCCGTGGAGGATTCTCTATCGATGTACCGGGCTTCGTCCCTGTACCGGGCCTCGTCCCTGGATCGAACGGGTGTCTGCGGACGGGCAAACTTTTCTGGTGATCGGGTGGGCGACACATTTGGGCTGTTGTTTCCCTCGATCATCAAGCTGAGATCTCTGACTGAAGAGGGCTGCATCGACTGCATGCGGCGGTGTGAGCCACCCTTCATGAGGGACGGCACAAGGGCGCTCTCGCGCGCGCGCTCGCTAAGCGCGGCGTGCGCAGACTGGATGGCACTAGAGGTGCCGGCTCGCGAGGTGAAGCCCTTCGGCGACTGCGGGTTAAGAGGCAGAGGCGGCGGGCAACGTTCGGGATCAGAACTGTCCCACCTGTTTCCGGTCAGCCGGCGCAAAAAGGGCATTGTGATGATGGGAAGGGACGCACATTGGTACCAGGGCCCGGAAGCCAAGGTCAGAAGAGACGGACTGCTGGTGTCTCAGAGAGTATTCATCCTCTCGAAGCTCTCGAGGGGTGTCTCGTTCCAACGACTGCATGTTTGGGTATGGATGTGAGGAATGGAGACCGGCGGAGAGAAGAATGCGGTCGGCGCCGCAGCCACGCTAAGTAGGAGCGCAAGTGATGATAGATGGACTAGGAAACAAAGAGCAAGGGCGCGAGTTGAGTAGTGGGAATCAAGGCTTTTGAGTCTGGAGTCGACAGATCAAATGCATTGTTTGGTGGTAATTTACAAAGGTGCTTGGATATAGTCGTAGCTCCATCGGGGGGGCCACGCTCAGTGGACATGGTTTATTTTTGTTTCGTCGTGGCGCGTTGCCCGGCAACCGGCCGCCCGGCCCCAGTATGAGGCCAGCTGCAGCGAAAACCACGGTAATGCGCTGTAGTGGGCTACGACGGGGCGCGACGTAGCCGGGAGGTCACTACGCGACAGGGCGCTACTGGCCTATTGCATAGCACGAGCACCTTTATCGGGATCCCGGCTGCAGACGGGCCCCGGGCCCACGAATGACGAGGCCACAACACAGCAAATCACGCCACTAAACATTGTGACTCCAGCGACCACGCGCCAGCAAAAGGGAAACCTCGCCCTGCAGATGCTCGTGGATGCTTGTGGACGGAGGAGACCAAGGGGACCAAGGGGACCAAAGGGGACGCCAAATCAAATCGCTTAATTTACAGAGTTGAGTGATATCATCCACCCGAGCGCCGCCGCTCCCCATGCCGGCAGTTCTATCGTGGGCCTCAATAAGATTTCGTCCATGTCTAAACTCCCACTCCGCGGGTCTCCCAAAGCCCTCTAGATTTTTATAGCCAGAAATATCCCATAAACATTATTACTTGCGGAAAGCAGTGTCAAAGGCGGGAATCAAGGTCTGGGCGAGCCAGAACGAGAAGACCAGCTTGGGACCAGTCATGAGCAGCTGCAGCGCAAATATCCATTAGCGTCCAGCTTGCAAGGTGGGGGTGGGGGCATGGCAATAACGAGACAGGGGGGTGATAGAGCGTGATTTCCACATACCTTGGGGACGAGTCCCTTGAAGAAGCTGCCGAAGCCCTCGTTCTTGGCCATGTTGGTCAGAATTCGGAAGCCGCCCTCGGGGTTGTCGAAGTTGCGGTTCTGGATTCGGGTCTTGATGACATCGAGGGGAGCAGAAACAACCAGGGAGGCCGAGGCACCGGCAATGGAGGCGACAAAGTTCTCGAACCAGCTGGCCTTGTTGTAGTCCTCAAGGTGGAAGAGGTACTCCTTGGCAAAGGCAGAACCACCGAACAGCTATCACAGAGATGTTAGCGTTTTATATCTTACATGGAGGAGTGGTAGCTCATACAGCGAAGGATCCAGGAGCATTTCGGGCAGCTGTCCATCCCCAGCCACGGTACAGGCCGAAGCCCTCATCGGCGACGATCTTGAAGACACCACGGCCGCGGAAAGCCTCGGGGTTGGTCTGTCGCTTGATCTTCAGGACGTCGAGAGGCAGGAGAACAATCTCACCAATGCCGATCAGACTACACTGGTCAGCGTCACAGTTCCGGCAAGCTTTGGGGTTATCCTAGTGCCATTTACCTTCCAGCGGTGGAGTGCATGATGGCCTTGCCAGTCTTCTTGCCGAAGGCATTCTCAAAATCCTTGCCGTAGTGCTTGCCCAGGAAGTCGCGGGCAACGGGCTGTCCACCATACTTGTAGACTCGCTGGAGCACCTTGTAGCCGGCGGCGTAGCCCAGACCGGGGAACAAGGAGACGAACTTCTTTCCGGCAGAGGCGGCGGCCGTATCCTTGAAGATGACCTGGTTCAATTGGCTGGCATTGGCAATCTAGAATCACGCGGTGTCAATGGGCGAGTTCGTTCGAAATTGGTGAGGGGCGCCGAGGGGACGTGGGGACGAGGAGACGAGGGGCGAGAGGGGAGCTTCTTACGCGAGTCTGGTTGCTCATCAATCGCTTGGCGATGGTGTCCACCTTGTATATAGGGTCAGCAAGCGTGTCGTGTAGACGTCAGGAGTCATCGGGGTCGTACGGGGTGGAAGATGGCCAGCTCGGCGATACCAGCAGAGCCTGTTGAGTCGGTCAGTATGTGGTTGAGTCCCAGGTCTCACTTTGTGGGCGAGGGCAAGCGGGACGCGGGACGAATAGAAGGACGCGGCCAGTGGAAAACGTACCTGAGCCGAGGAGTCGAGCCAAGTTCGACTCCTTCTGAGGACCGGAAGAAGCTGGAGGAGACATTTTGGACGGCTGAGGGGGGATTGGAAGGACAGGAACGAGAGGTCGGACAGTGCAAGAGGAAGAATGTCGCAAAGTTCTTGTCGCAAGCCTTCTGGAAATTTTTCAAAAGTGCTCTCCCCTACCGACTTCGGAAGCTTGCGGCTGTGTCCCACCCTCTGCGCACCACAGAATCGACCTCAACGCCTCGACCCGCTGCTTGGACCCTCTGGGCCTTGAACCAACAACAAGGGCCCTCGAGGGGCAAGTACTGTATACATCCAGCACCATAGACTTTAATGCTGGAGAGAGAGTATGTGCTACTTGCTTGGGCGTGGCTTCGGCCTGTACCTTTCTATCCATTTGGCCAAGCGTCCTTATTCTGTGGAGACGCCATCGTCCCATGTTTACTACGTAAGTACACCTTGCCCCAGTTGCCTTCGATGCTCAGTTACCCTGTACCATTCGCTCTCAACTCGTCGCATGTGAAAAACATGTGAGTAACCAACTTCAATCCGGAGAATGCTAACCTTAGGCTGGCCAAGTAAATACTGTCATTTTTACTTAATTTCTCTCAGCATTGGCCAATTCGTGGTGACAGTCTAGATAGCACTCGCCAAAGGGTTCGACGCCAGAAAATAATACAAGAAAGGACGATGAACCAGCTCCACCCACCATGTTCAAGGGCAGTCGTGACATTCAAACATTACGAAACATACAACCAAGTTTACAATTGAAGAAATCGAAATCACGCAAGCATACATTCCGTGCACGTCAACGACCCATCATTAGCGCAATATGCATCCTGACATAACACATCTCTCTAAGGCAGTCTAAGTTCCCAACGATTAAACAAGACACCGAGCTCAAGAATTCTTTGGACATTGGTTTTTTTTGTATCCTATAGACATCATAGCGCTAAAGCCTCATCACCTATCCAGCCCCTAGTGCCAAATGGGCAGCGACAATCATGACACTGATGATAATGCTGATAATAATTTACCCTCTCCAAACCCGGCCGTCCTTGACCCGCAATTCAATAACGTCCCCCCATTCTTTCTTTTCCTCCTCTGTCAACCTTGGGTCGCAGTTCAACGCTCCTCAGTAATCCCTGAGCACTGCAACCAATTCGTCCAGCTTCATGACTTGGCCGAGTAGCTTGCTTTGTACCTCCAGATGCATATTGTACTTGTTGTAGTGTTCCGCCGTCATTACCTCCTCTTCTTTGCCCTGGACGTCCTTCCTCTCCACAAACGACAAGATGTTCCGCTCTTTGTGGCGTTCCACCTGGAGAGTTTGGAGGCACCGAACCATGGCTTTGTAGATATCGTCCAAGGCCTGCGTCTGACTGCGTTCCTTGTCAAAGAACCAGAAGAAAAGTGTTCGGTTAGCCAACCGGCTGTTATCCCTAGGGACTTCCTGGACGTCCACCAGACCGGCCATCTGCATTGCAAGCATTTTTCCCTGGACATCGCCCTTTTTCATCAGGGCAGCCGAAGGTAGCATCTTCTCGTCGAGTTTGCCCTTCTCACGTAGGATCCGGGTTAGGCGCAGGCCATGTCGACCGTGGCACTGCTCAATCATGGCATCCAGTTCCGTTTCTCGTAGCCGCTCCATGAGCAGAGTAAAGTCTACCGTCCACTGACCGCGTCCAAATGTTCCGCAGTGGCGGATGAACTGGTGTTTGCTCTCAGCAAGGAGCAAAAGGTGTTGGCGCATCTGACTAAGACGGCTATCCTTAGGAGTCGCAGAGCCCTCAAACTTGACCTTGGTTTCTCGGTCACCGTTGGTTGCACCTGCGTTGTTCTCATTATCGTCGCCAAAGTCGTCATCATCATCGTCGCCAATGTCGAATGTCCTCACCACAGGACGTCGCCCCGGAGGAGCGGCATCGGAATCATCCGAGTCATAATCCTCGTCTGGAGGCGTTGTCCTCACTCTCTCGGCGCTTTCGGAGTCGATCTTGTCCTTGGGCGCCTTTCCAATTCCTGATTGCACGTTGATGGATTCGTCAAGATGTTCAAGAATGTCCACAGTTGTAACCGCGACCTGCTGGCTAATTGTCTCCTCGTCGAGCAGAGCATCTGGTCGGCATCTTGAGAACTGGGTCGTCAAAAGATCGAGAACCGCACGGTAGACCTCCCCGGTAACTTCTCCGAGCATGTCTGCGGCGAACCCCGCCAGCCGCTGGTTCCGCAATTCAACCAGGCACCTCTCGTGATTCAGCCTAACAACGACATTGGGCTGCCTGAATGTTAGCGTCGCAAGGTGTATCGGAGAAAGCGTTCTCTTACATTGAGCTGTGGCGCAGCTGCATCATACGAATGCCCGTTTTGAGCTCGGCCGTTCTCAAGTTTCCTTCTCTTGGAGACGAAGCCTCCTGTTGCGTCGAGCTGCCGCTTCAACATCTTGCCTTGGTCTCGGAAAGTTCGAAAGCGGTCAATGATTTGGCGCTGCGACTCCGCTTTATTCTTTGACGCCGCCTTCTCGCCAGGGGCTGTTTTCAAGACGTCATCCTCAATCTCTCGATGCACATCGGTGGGGTTGCGAAAGCTGTCTGGTCGGACCGTCTCGATAATTTCTGCCTGGAGAAGACGGCCCAGGACAGAGTTCAAGTGGCTTTCGGATTCAATCAACCCGTTGTGTGAGTCATGGTGGCCATTCGTATGGCCATTCACCTTGGGTGCGCGCGACCCAAAGGCTTGGGAAAGGTCGGCAATTCTGGCATGGCCCAAAAGCATGAGGGTCTGGACCAGCTCACGCTCTGCCGTCCCATGTTGTCTGTCGACTATCTCGAGAATCTTTCCTGATCGCACAAGACTGTAGCAAGCATCGGGGTTGGCTTCGTAGCTGATGACGTTCGTGTCGGGGTTCGTGTGGTGGTAGAGCAAATTTTGCTGGATCAAAACGGCAAGGCCATTTCGCAAGTGTCGCGGAGTAAGCGACGTGTGTTGGACAAGTTGCGCAATCGTCGAGCGGCCCTTGGTAAGCAGCGCAATCAAGATTCGCTGGTTGGCGACGACAGAGTCAGCCCCGCGATCCCACGCAAGTCAAGGTTCTTCTCCAAGGACGGATGTCAGACGGGGAAGGTGTCATACCGAGGGCAGTTCGCCGTAGAGGTCGTTGACTAGGAGAGCACAAAGCTCAGCGGCATGTTTGGTCTGGGGGGTAGATTGTCAGTGGCGTTGGCGCGCGGTCTGGAGGGATCCTTGACTCACTACGAGCATCGCTTTGCTCCTAGAGATCCTCTCACTATCTCTAGAGCTGCCGCAATTGCTACCGTGGAGTCATTGATGTCCCAAAGGACAGCTAGTTTCACAAGCGCGATCTGCGGGCGATGGAGGTGTAGGGACGGGCCGGACGAGAGCGGGCGGGAAGGCGAGAAGTCGGGAAGGCTGGGTGGTGGAGGAGCGCGTTGACGTTGACAGAGGGCCAAGGCGCAAATCGACAATATTTTTCTTGGTGTAAGTCAAGCTGTTAGGTGGGGTGAGGTTTTTCCTTACATGCACTACAAGTTCTAGAACGCTAAGCCAAGTTGGGGCCCGAATTCCCCATTCGATCAATGCGAAGCCAATGGTAGAGAAGGACGTTCAGCGGACTCGTTGCGGGCACACATACGTCCGAATCTTCTACATGGGATCTCGGTAGTGACATACAGGCGCTGAGAACAATGGAACCCTGGCAAGGGAATTAGATATCACCAGCAAGTTAGCAATCGCTGCAAGTTCTCCTAAAGAGTCAAGTTTTGCCTCAGGCCGGGTTCATCATAGAGGTTCAGAGTTGGCTCTCTTCCACGCTTCTCCATATCAGGCTTAGTGAGCGTGAGTATTTGTGCCTAGAACGTGGGCTTGTGTGCAGTCACTGCCTGGTCGCTCAGCGCTGGGCCAATGCCCGGGATGGAAATCTGGCTGACCGGAGAGAGTCACGTGACATGTCCGATCGTTCCCTGTTGCCGAAAATTAGACGGGAGCTTTTCGACGAGGCACTTCTTTTGGAGATCAATTGCTTCCCCCCGACGGCCGAAGGATTGCCAATTGCCTACGCCATCACCTCGACAATGATCTCGAGATCGTCCCTCGCGAGAACTGCGCAGCAGGCCGCTCGCCGGTCCAGCGGTGTCCAGCGACGAACCTTTGCCGCTGCTGCGTCGACCGGATCGTACGAGACCTCGGATGTGACAGGGCTCAAGATCGCCTCGCGAGACGCCCACGGACCGACCACGAAGCTCGCCATCGTTGCCAAGGCCGGTACTCGATTCCAGCCGCTCCCTGGCTTGACTGTTGGATTGGAGGAGTTCGCTTTCAAGGTGAGGAAACCCGGCATTCGAAGGCGGGACTTGAGCTAATTTGCCGGGTCCCATGTAGAACACCCAGCGACGGTCTGCTCTTCGCATCACTCGCGAGTCTGAGCTGCTCGGTGGTCAATTGGCCTCCTCGCACACCAGGGAGGCTGTTGTTCTTGAGGCCAGCTTCCTCCGCGAGGATCTGCCCTACTTCGCCGAACTGCTGGCCGAGGTTGTTTCTCAGACCAAGTACACCAGTGAGTGAATCAAGCATGGCAACACATCTCCAGCATCCACGTTAACATCATTGCCAGCCCACGAGCTCCACGAGGAGGTTGAGCGCGTTCTCCGCCTCAAGCAGATCGCTCTCAATGCCAATGTCTCCGCTATCGCCCTCGACAACGCCCACGCCGTCGCCTTCCACTCTGGTCTGGGTTCCTCCCTGTACCCTGCTTCCTCGACTCCCTTCCAGAAGTACCTGAACGAGGATTACATCGCCAGCTTCGCCGACGTTGTTTACTCCAGGCCCAACATCGCTGTCGTCGCCGACGGCGCCGCTCCCGATGCCCTCTCCAAGTGGATCGGCCAGTTCTTCAAGGACGTGCCCGCTACCCCTCGAAGCGGCCAGACCCTGAAGACCGATGCCAGCAAGTACTTCGGTGGTGAGCAGCGAACGAGCCACACTGCTGGCAACTCCGTCGTCATTGCTTTCCCCGGCTCCAGCTACAACTCTGCCAAGGCTGAAATTGCCGTTCTTGCCTCCCTTCTTGGCGGCGAGTCTAGCATCAAATGGACCCCTGGCTTCAGCCTCCTCTCCAAGGCCACCGCCGGCACTGCCGGTCTCTCCGTCTCTACCTCCAACCTCACCTACTCCGACGCTGGTCTCCTGGCTGTTCAGCTCTCTGGCCCTGCCGCCTCCGTCCGCAAGGGCGCCGAGGAGACCGTCAAGGTTCTCAAGAGCATTGCCGCAGGCACTATTGCTAAGGAGGATGTTTCCAAGGCTATTGCCAACGCCAAGTTCAACGCCCTGGACGAGGCCCAGACCCGCCAATCCAGCATCCTCCTGGCTGGCTCTGGTCTCGTCAACAGCGGCAAGGTCTACGAGACCGCTAGTCTCGCCAAGGCTATCGACGCTGTCACTGCTGAGAAGCTGACCACGGTAAGTACCCTTAGCTTCCCCATTCAATATCACAATGCTAACGCTTCTCGTAGGCTGCTAAGGCCCTTCTCGCTGGCAAGGCCACTGTCTCTACCGTTGGTGACCTCTTTGTGCTCCCATATGCCGAGGAGCTTGGTCTTCAGGTATAGATGGGGGTCCAAGAGGCGTAAAAGCTTGTACCAACAGTCAGAGTCGTCTAGACGAGGTGGAAGGGATGTCCTCTTTGTGAATATTTGTAGTAGAAATCCTTTGGTCTATGTTATGCGTCCTCTGACCCACTCGACGATGTATCGAATTGTGACGATGTGCAAACAGGCTGGCTGTGTTGTAGTGTTTGTTGCATGGGTGTTTACCAACGGGCCTCTCAAGCAGGGGCTATTATTTGTTTGCATGGCTCGAGCCATCATCATTCGATAGCGACTCACCGTTGGAAACGGAAGAGTTACCAGTCGGCTGCGTTGTTTCAAGGTTGTTCAAGGGCCGATGATTAGTGGAAATGGTTGAATGGCCGGCCGCTGCACCACTCTACTCTGGCACTGGTAATCCCTTCTCCCCGTGCAACGACAATTAAATTTCGCAGTGTCCGCTTCGTATTTGCGGCCAGTGCCACTGTGTTACCCACTGCCGCGCCCTTGCGAAAATAGCCAACCCCCTGGATCTAACCGCGTTGACCCGAGACCTGAGGGCTCGGTTCCAGGTGGTTTCCCTAACATTGAAGGTCTGGGGTCGACGGGTACCTGAAGAGTACTCGGGTAAAGACACATGGTGCTGGGCCGAGACATCTTCGCACAGTGTACTCCTGAGGGGAAGTTGTTGGGCACGGTACGTGACAGGCCGCTGGTGCGCAAATCTGCCGACAGCGCTGTCAGTTTGCTGGGGTTGTGAAGACACGGAGACTTCAAGGTTGGTGGGCGGAGCCGCATGCACTGTGATGCACTGTGTGCTGCATGTGCTTTCCTGACCGTGCGGCGTACCCGCTGCAGCATCCACTGGGGGACGGGTGTGTTAGTGACGGAGGCTCCCTGAGGCTCCCTGAGGCTCACTGTGACGGACGCTGTGAGGGACGCACCACCCCACACAGCCCCAAGGAGCAGCGGCGGCAACCCGCAAGCACCATCCACACACAGAAGCAGAAGCGACAGGGTACCTCAGAAAACAAAGCCTCATCACCACCACCTCGTCAACCAAACCTCGACTTCCGATCCTCCTCTCCCTCTCCGACCCGGCCCAAACCCCGCCGCTCCATGCCCTTGTTGCCCATTGCGAGGCAACCGTAGCAGCGCCGAGCTGGACGAACCGCACGAGACCATCCTCTCGCCCTTCTCTCGCTCGCCCCGTCCCCTCCAAAGAGGTAAATCGCACTCCCCCAGTCCCTCCTCCCTCGCCCCGTTTCCTCGCCAGTCGTACCTGGGGGCTCTTTGACCCGCCCCATCTTTTGGGCCCTTTGTCCTGCGTCTTTGGCTGCGTCTGCGCCTTGCCCGCCCCTGAACCCGAAGCCAAACCAAAACTTCACCTCGTCCACCGTTGGATGCGTCTTTGCATGTCGATGCAGGCACTGACATTCCCGCCAGTCTAGAGCCATCTGCCGGCACCGAAACCCTCTCGCCGTCGTCCGCCTTCCTGACCATCGTCGATCCGTCACCGTCACCATCCTTTGTCACACGAGCAACGCCGACCACTCCTACAAGGTAAGTCCGACCTAATCGCCTGCGACAATCACAACACACTCTCTGCATCCTTGGCTCTCAATAACTGCTTTCCCAACATCACGCCTGTCCCAGCTCTTCCGAGTTCCCACTATAGCGTCACGTCATGGGCTTGCATCGGACGTGGCCTCTACCTTGCCCTCCGAACTTGCTGTCCACGACACACCCACACAATACCTGCAGTCAGATCTAACACTTGCTTTCATAGGGTTGATAAGTGCGCTACGTTCGCGAACCCACCGAGACCTCATCCATCGTTTCGTATCGCCACGCAAGGCACTCCTGGTGGCTACCTGCATGGTGGCCAAGCCGACGAATTTTGACACTCATTTGAGAAGCCATACAACGATAAGAGCGTTCCCGACATGCCCCTCCCAAAGAAAGACGGAGTAGCCGGAGGAGGTGCTGGGGGGAAATTGGATAACCGCCAAAATGGTGAGTTGGCAACTACTAACCTGCACTCCCGATATCCTAACCGTCTTTGAAACAGGGAATCGCAGTTCTTTTCGAACTGACTCGGCCATTTCCAACAGCCGGTTTGGCAACGAAAGAGTCCTTCAGCCATGGGTCCCTGACTCAAATGATGCTGTCAACGGTGCTCTAGAAAAGTCAGCCGGCGGTGGAGCTTGGGACCAGTTTGCTGAGAACGAGAGGCTCTTTGGTCTTAAGACAGACTACGACGAGAACATCTACACAACTGCGATCAACAAGAGCCACCCCCAGTATCGGGAGCGGATAGCCGCCGCGGAGAGGAAGGCTAGAGAAATTGAGCGCAGCGCGCCTACTACCGCCCATGTTGCCGAGGAGCGAATCATGGACTTCGTTGGCGGAGACGATCAAGGCGAGAATGAAGAGGATAAGTATGTGCCTTGCTGATAGAGCAATCTCATCTTGCGGGCTGTGTGACTGACTCTTTGCTACAGATACAGCGGCGTCCGACGCCAGGATTTCCCTCCATTGTCTAGTCGGGAGAACAAGTATACCCCTCCAGCGAAACGGGCACCGTCAGCCCAGTCCACTGTCAAGGGAGCTCCCATCGATCCGGCCATCATTTCCTCCCAGATCAAGGCACCACCTAAGAAGCAACCGAGCCCCGCTCCCGTCCCAGTTGCAGCAGAGTTGAAGACGCCAGTTCCGGATTCCAACAAGAATGGTGTCCCTCCCAAGAGCGATGAGCAAAAGGCGGCAACCGATAAAAAAGCCGCAGGAATTGTGTCACCTGAACCTAAGCCACTGGCTCAGCCTGCCAGCGCCAAGGTTCCGGAGACGAAGACCGCCGAAAAGGCCAGTACTCCTCTGCGAAACTCGACCGCCACAGCCCGCAATGAGGGCACTCCTAATGCCACATCGACGGTTGAGCATGATGTCTTGAAGGAGTTTAAGACATTTGCCAACCAGCAACGACAAAATGCCGAGAAGGCCCGTAGCAACAAGGCCAAGGCTGACAAGGAAGTCAAGTTGACAGAGTTGAAAAAGTTTGCCAACTCATTCAAGCTGTCCACGCCTGTGCCAACCGACCTGGTCTCCATCATTGCCAAGGACCCGCTGAAGCAGAAGGAAATCCAGGCCAAAGCCATCAAGAATGCCGAAGAGGTTGCCAAGGCTAAAGTCGAGACAACGACAGCAACCAAGGACAAGACCACACCGTCAAAGGAAACCCAACCCAAGCCTGCTGGTCAGGGCACACCTGCACCTGCGCCTGCCAGTGCATCCGCCACTCCAAGTGACTCTCGACCTTCACGGACCTCTGCGGGCACCCAGGCCACCCCTTCGGCTGGAGGCCAAAACCGCCATCCTGGAGCTCGTCAGCCATTCCCCCAGCAGCAGTATCATGCGCAGCAATACCGGAACAACCGAGGCGGACCCCAACACGTGCCCTCGCAACAGACCGGTACACTTGCACAGCGACTCCGCAACGTTGAGCAGCAGAAGTACTCTCAGCCTCCTCCAGCAGCTCACCAGCCGCACATCCCCAACCAAGAAATGCGTGCTCCTCCAACTGGCCCAGCTAACATCGAGCCAAGCTATAACCGACGTATCGGCGGAGTTTCTGGTCACATGGGTGCCAAGTTGAACCCCAACAGCCATGAGTTCAGGCCAAGTCCCTTTGCCGCAACCTTCAGTCCCAACGGCCACCTTAGTGCTAGCTCAAGCCCTCGATCAGCAGTGAACAATGTTGCTGATACTCCTGCGGCAGCTCCTGCTGTCGTTGCCGCTGCTGCCATTACGGCTCCGCTGATCCGTCGCAAGACCAAGGCGATTGATGTCAAGAAGTGCTACATCCTGTCGCATATCCAGACGTTTGTCCCTGCTCAAGGCCGCAACTGGGATGACAATGCTGGTCTCCGCCCTTCCTACGATACTCTGCCTACATGGCGACAGCTCCAGGACAATGAGAAGCCTGATTCCACGATGCGCCTGACCTACAAGGAGTATTTCGAGCGCCAGCCGTTTGGTGGACCTGCCTTGGCTACGCCCAACCCCCAACATGTCGTTCCACAGATGCCTCATCAACACCAGTTGCCGTTCCATCTCCAACACGGTGCGCACAGCATGGGACCCAGACAGTCCCCGCATATGCCACCAATGCAGATGCACACACCTCAGCATGGGCCCGTGCCTCATCCGCCTTATGGTAACGATGACCATCGCATGATGCACTCGAACTCGGCCCAGTCGTTCGCTTCGCCGCGACTGGGTAATGTTCCCGTGGCGGCATATCCCACCGTGAACTCGCCGGCACAAGGACCCTACAACCAGCCGGTCTTTATGGGACCTGGGACACCTCAGATGGGACAATTCCGCAGCTTTTCCAACAACCCGCAGTACATGTCACCTCAGCAAGGGCAGATGGGTCCTCAAATGATGATGCAGCCGCAGTTCATGCCACCACAGGGAATGGTGCCTGGGCCGCAGATGATGTATCCCGGTAGCCACCCGCAGTTCATGCCATCTGGACCTCAGCCGGTGCCTGGAGCCAATGGCTATCCTAGTCCCGGGCGCCCATCTGCGCCAATGATGGTCCACCAGGGATCGCAGCAGGGCCAGCCGATATACGGGATGAGCCCCAACGTGCAATACAACCAGCCGGTGTTCACCCAGGGACAAGGACCAAGTATGTGACGGATGATGTGCTTCAGCAGAGAGACAAGTCGCTAACCGTGGGCAGTGACGAATGTACGAGGATACGGCAGTCCCGGACCGCAGCACTTTGGGACCAGCCCCCAGCAGGGACACCATTACGGCCAGCAGCAACACCGAAGCGGCAGCAATAGCTACAACAAGGGCTACGGTGGACAAGGGCAGCATCAGACGCCGCAGACCAATCACGCCGTACCGGCTGTGAGCCAGGGTCGGACGACCGAAGGCTCAGATGAAGCCAAATAAGGGAGATGCGACGTAGCATCGGCCCTCCTTGAATTATAAACCAAACGCAGCATCTCTAGCACATTTTTTGGGCGGCGGCGGCCTCGCCGAGATAGACTTTTCTCTGGCCCTCCCATCTCAGAGTCTGGGTTACACATGCAACAGCGATGAGTGCGAATCATTGCATATATGTTGCAATATGGAGCATTCGTAAAAAGAGTCGCACAAACTAGCAGCACGGCTTAGACATGGGAGGCCTCGGGCTCAGGTTGCCCGTAGGTATTTGGGTTAGCAGGTGAGCCGTTGGGTCGCTTACGGTGGGCTAGGAGAGGGTGCCGGGCATGACCTGTTACGGTGGCGTGGATGAAGTTGTCTCTGCCCGCAGCATCTGGGTCGTGGGTGGCCTCGGCAGTCGTTGATGTTGGCATTTATCGTCGGGGGATGGTGGCGAAAGGGGCACCATCAGCGGCATATCGAGACGATCACGGGAATCCACCAGTAGGATGTGCGCGAGAGCGTTGGCAGCCAACCTGGAGCAACGGTGGACGGCTGGAGCGGGCCAAGATGCCCAAGGAGTGGTGGGAGTTGTTGAGAGCATCCTTGGAGAGTATGGGGTGGAACGGAGTAAGTGGCGAAGTCGGCCCAGTGGAAGATGAAGGCCCGAGTCATTGTCAATGGCAGAAGACGGGGCTTCTTGGGAGCCGTAAAGGCCATTCATTTACCAGGGCACCGTGGCACTCGATGGGCCGGGAACCGATGACACATGGCAGCTTTTGACGAGACGAATCCTCCTGTTTCCTTAGCAGGAGGAGGCGTGGTCGGTACTGGCTGTATGTGGTAGAGTGGGCAACGGGTGTAGCAGATGGGAGATTGGAGATGGAAGGAGGGACAATGAGGGACGATGCGGCCAGGGGATGTCGGTAGTGGCCGGGAGAAGCGCCGAATAGCAAACAGAAGCATACGTTGTATCCGTGGACGGGTATGGTATTGTACAGTACCAAGCTAACGCACCGTCTACGACTATGCAGCAGAAAGGAGAAGGCAGCAGAAGCATTTCCATGTTTCGTTTCACGCGCGGGTTCAAGTGTTTGTGATGTGAAGTGCATGATGATAGGATTTCTGGGAGGAGGAGCAAAACAGGGAAGGCATTGGTGTACAGAGCGCGCAGTAAGGCGAAACGCGCGGGTGGCATTGATGGATTGATGGATTGATGGGGTGACGATGGCGATGGCGATGGCTTTGGCTTAACTGGGGATGGATGGATGGGAGGATGAATGTGCTGGCCGTGGCCGTTTTAGAATGATCTTTCAGGGATGGCATGGGAATTAATGTGTGTATAGATGCAGATGCAGATGCAGATGTATAGGTGGGACGATGTCATAGGTAGTAAGTAAGGGTGTATGTGTAAACGGAAGTGAGCGAAGAGGAGAAGAGGAGGGTGCGAGCAGTACAGAAAAGGGCAGAAAAGGGCAGAAAAGGGTAAGGGTGGACTGAATATGAAGCTCCAACTGTCGGACGTGGGACGGTGGACGACAGGGCCTTGTCCTTGGCGAACGAACCCATGAGCAGGGGTATTACGACCAGCCAACGCGAGCAGGCAGACATGTCATTGCACTGAGAAAGTAGTGAAGATGCAAAAAAAGAAAAGCCGGCAAAACGGCCAGACGGGTGGGACAGCGTGACGGTTGCAGAAACGCGGGACATGATGATGGGTCATGTCGTCAGTATACTTGCATATATTTCACGCCTCTCACGCTTCTCACCCCTGAATACTGGGTCGATTGTCGGATGGTTGAGTGAGAAGCCAGCCTTGAGTGGTGGTTCTTGGCGCCGCGGGGTTCGCCCGTCTCCTGGTCTTCAGTTCTTCAGTTCTTCTGTGAGGGGGCGACGCATGGGGCGGCTTCACCATGGAAAGGTCGGCGCCACCCACAGAGATGGTCCCAGGAACGGACGGCGCCACAGGAGCGTCAAGTTGGTGAAGAGGGGACCAAGGTTAGACGTGTTAGTGGTTGTGACTGCCGCCGAAGCGGGGTGTGGTGGGCTGATGGACTGGGGAATCGTTTGCCAGTGAGCCAGTCAGCGAGTCATCGAGACGCCAACGGGGAACATTCTTCGAAGGATGCGGCCAAGGAGGGAGGGAGTCCCTACGTAGTATGAGGATTGACAAGGATTCGACGGTGCAGCTTTGCCGACAAGATGCTGCACTGAGCATCCTCACTACTGTAGGCGTTGCTTACACGCGCGGGTGGCGGCCTCTTTGGCGGTACAGAGCCAGTCACGGGCACAGGCACGTACAGAAATAGAGCCAGCGAACTATGTAGATCGACGCATGGCGGCAGCACGGCGGCAATGCCAATGCAAGGCTGTTCGAGGCATCTGGCATCTCATCATCGCCAAGGCAAGGCCCAGTACGCGGCCAGTGCTCTCTCTCCAGCCGCAGCAGCTTGCATTGGCAGCCCGGAGGCGCAGGCCGTGTTGCAGTCAGGTACGGGTAGAGCACCGAGGCGCAGTCGTCGCGGGAGACCCCGGTCGAGCTCGACTCGGACCCCAGGTTACTATGCTTAATGCTACACTGCGTCCCGTAATGACTGTGCCTGGGTCCTTCATACGTGCGACGTAGTAGTTGTGCTGGATCCAGCCTGCTGATTATGGGCCTGCACACAGACTCGGTGTCAGGGATTCCGATGGTTGGCCGTGGGCTGTGGACGGTGAGGCTAAGGAGCGAGGATTGACCATGGCGAGGGGACCCTCGGGCCCTAGGGTAGGCGGCGATCAGGGACACAAGACGCCGGACAATTGGCATTGCTGCTACGGCCCTTCTCGTCCTAGCCAGCTCCGGGGGTGGAGGGTTTGTATCGGAAGGATTCTGAATCGGATCTGTCGGGGGCTGGATGCGAATCCATCGCTTGTTGCTAGTGTATTGGGACTTTTGGCCAACTACGTAATATGACTAACATGACTATGACAACAATAACGACCAACGGTGAAGTGAGATGGACTTGTACGAACATCAATGGCATCGATTCTCTATGATGTTTGATCCAAGACCAAGAAATAATAATAGAGAACAAGTTGTCCAATATAATTTTATGCAACCGACTAAGTCAAGCAATGCACATTGAATTTACTTTACCCTGAATGAATTGTTGTAAGTCGTCCTCGGCATCCTCCCGTTGGATCCTCATCACATGCCTAACATAGAGATGACATGGACAGGCTCGGGCTTATTCCCTGTCGTTGGGTCTTGTCTACGATCCCTCAATGAGCGAGTGCAAGCGAGGCTGGAGGTTGGAGGTCCAAGACACTGACAGGGAGCCTCCATTCCGCGCAATAGCGCCGTCCCTGCTCTCTGAGTCTTGCCTCCCTGCCAGTGCCAACTAATGTAGAGCAAACGACAACTCTCTCTCTCTCCACAGCGGAATCCACTCCCCTTCCCCATCTCCGACCTCTCCACCCGTCTCTAACACACACCGACCGAAGACAATCGGCCTTGACCTAGTCATCTTCGCTGGTAGCCAAACATAGTACCCGTAGCACTCGTGCATAACACGAACTCAGAGGATGCACGTTGGCAGCAGTCGCAACAACCAACCGCAAAACCGTGCAGACACGAACCCAACACGATGACTCTCAAACCACCGATCCGCATCCTTCTCTCGCTTGCGTCCTCAATGCTGGAGAACTTCCTTCCCCTCCTGGGCTTTCCTGTCACAAACCCCTCCTCTCACCCCTGAGGCCTCTTTGTTAGGCCATTCTGGGGCCTTCTGTCCGCCGCTAGCCGGGCTGTCGCTGTCATTGTCGCTGTCACTGTCGCTCGCTGGTGGCTGGCTGGCTGGCTGGCTGGCTGGCTAGCTGGCTGGTCCCTTGTTTTCGGGACGTGGCTTAACCGTTCCCCTCCTGGCTCCTGGCTCCGAGCGTGGACTGCGCTTGCCACTCGCTTTCCTTCTGGCCCCTGTCTCGTACCTGCCCCTTGCTTCTCGCGCGCCAACATGTCCCCCTCCGATCGCGTTTCACTCAGGTACAGGGCCAATCAGCGCAGCTCCAGCGCGGGTGGCGTTTCAACTGCCACGGCATTTGGGGCGTCTGATTGGCCATGAGTGCCATGATCCGTCACTGGCTACCCCTGTTTGCCCTTGTCCCAGAGTTCTTTCCTTCCCTTCGGTTGTACAATGCGTCCAGTCACAGGAGAGGGCGCCAGCGAGCCAGTCCAAGAGCCGCGAGCACTTACACCTGTGACGAGAGGTCAAGGTCAACCAAGAGTCACCGGGCCGTCACCTTTAGCCCAGGTCCATTCCTATTCATTCGCTCGTTGCAATTGACGCCGACACGCGCTATTTTTCGCCTGAGACTGGGAGGCCACCTAGGCACCGGTGAAAGCAAACATACCAGTGGCCTGACAATGGAGAAGGAAGCTGGCTGCTGATGGCTGGTCGCATTCCCACGCCACCCTTGTGCACCCGTGACAAACATTTTCCACGGGGAAAGAAAAAAAGAGATGAACTGAGGACACTGAAAAAAGAAGTCAATTCGAAAAAACCGCCGAGGCACATGGGGCCGAGGACCAAAAAGGAGACGAAACGACAGCCTCAGGGGGGCATGTCTGGCGAGTCCGCACAGAGTAGGTACATAGGTAGCATCTGGATGGATGGGTTGACAGTATGTCTCTGCGTTGTGCGCGTGTGTGTGGGGACGGGGCCGCGAAGATCGGTTTCGAGTTTGACCCCAGCGCCTCGGCCTGGACCCCCGAAGACCCTATAGAGACTCAGCTGGCGCCCTAGCAGCGCGGCGGTAAAGCCATAGCACGAGGAATTGCTGTTTTGTCTTTCCGCAGAGGCTTTGCGCTCTCTGGTTAGGACAGGAGGCCGTTGGGCCCTGGCTCATCGACAGCGGTTTGCCTAGGCGCCCAGTTTGCATGCAGCTTAGCGGGGGGCCACTCCGTTGACACGCATACACTCTCAGACATACATGCCAGGGCAAGCGGCAGGGTAGCACGAGAGGAACAGCAAAAACGAAGGGACGGTGACGCACAGCCGCTTTGCAGCTTCGGAGATGGAGAGGGGATCTAGACAGGTCTGGGCGCTGGGGACGGGACAAAGGCACACCCCCGGGTCATTGTGGGCGTGGGTAGCTATGGCTGCCCAGTGGCCGGAGCTCATACGAGACAAGACAAGACAAGACAAGACATCCTGGGCGAGAGAGATCAATCAGGACAGGAATCCAGGCACAAGGCACAATGGACTGACTAACTAGGGCGGACACAATGGATGAGAGAGAGAAACTAGGCCCCAGGGGTGTAGTACGACAAAGGGCGGAGGGAGGGGAGTGCAACAGGGGCGTGCAAGCGTGGATGTTGTCGACAGGCACTTACATGGTCCCAAGGTCAAGGTCACAGGGCGGCCAAAAATGGAGTGCGAAGCAGAAGCAGAGGTGAATGGATTATGCGCCGTCCTGTCCCTGTCTGGCCTTGTCTTCCTAGTCTTGTCCTGGCTGGTGTAGTATGTTGGTGCTCTCTCTACTGTACTATGTACAGCCTCTCTGTCTAGCCCCCCCTCTCCCCTCCCCGGCCCCCGTCCATCGGTGGAGATGCCCAAGGTCCAGGCCATGGCAAGGCCGATCTTGCATGCCGCCTCCCTCCTGTCGATCATCCCGGCTCGGCTGGGCGAAGTCGTTGGCCGCCGGGTCACTGCATTACAACGGGCCGTGGTGGTTGTGGTGGCTTCCTGTGGTGGCCATGGCCCAAGTACAAAAGAAGACCGGCCTGCTCCTCCACCACACCACACCCCCCGACCTCCTCTCTCCCCAGCACCGCTCAGGAATTCTTCACCTTTTTTTTGCTCTGTTTCCTTTTCCGCCCCGGTGGCCAGCTACACTCCCTTTCTCCTCCGTGCCAGACATCTTCTTCGTCGTTTGTCCTTGGGGCTGGGCTTTCCTGTGCTCGCATTTCTCGACTCAACCCGACTCATCACCAACCGACCCAAACTGAACATCCAACCCTCCCCAAACTCTTGACAACCCTCCTTTTTGGCTTCGTGCTACCCACTTTCGGCCCAGCTGCTCGCACGAAACGCATTTCTGGGAAACACGCCAGACGAGACCTTGCAACACACGCACACACGAACACACGCTCTCTTGACTCCGGTCTCTTGACTCGTCTTTCGCTCTGCAGCTCCCTCGCTCGCTGCTCAGCCATCCACCCTTTTTTTTTTCGTCCTCGTCTCGCGTCGTCGCATTCCTTTGGGAAACCCGCACAAAGCACCACAATCCTTTTGTTCTTCGGAACACAATAGCGTACCCACTCGCGAATAACCCACCCGTTCATTCACCTGCAACTCACATTCTGTTCATCAGAACACCAGCCTCCATAACTCACTCAACGCTTCGAGCTGTGCTCGACATAAAAGCCTTTCTGAGCCGCCCGAGGATTCTCATCTTTCTTCTCACCTTCACCGCACACACAACCAGAAAACACTAGCTTTCAGCCAGTTTCTTCTTCTCAACTTTCCGGATACCCTCTTCACTCCTCGACGGACGTGAGGAACGTTTCTTTTCAGCAACCAAATCAACACATCAACAACCACCCTCAACATGAAGGTTTTCCAGTCCCTCGCCCTGGCCTTCGGGTTCGCGGGCCTTGCCCAAGCCCACATGGAGATGACTTACCCTGCTCCTTTCAACTCGAAGTACAACCCCTTCGCCGCCTCCGGTAGCATCGACTACAGCATGACCGCTCCCCTGGATGCCTCTGGCAGCAACTTCCCCTGCAAAGGCTACCACAGCCTCTTCGGCACTGCTGAGGGCGCCGCCACTGCCACCTTCGCGGCCGGCGGCACTTTCAACATGACTATCGCTGGTGGAGCTTTCCACAATGGTGGCAGCTGTCAGGCCTCGCTCTCCTTCGACAAGGGCAAGACCTGGAAGGTCATCCACTCGTACATCGGCAACTGTCCTCTCTCGTCTGGCGGATCCTTCGACTTCACCATCCCCAGCGACACCCCCGCTGGTGAGGCTATCTTCGCCTGGACCTGGTTCAACAAGACCGGCAACCGCGAGATGTACATGAACTGCGCAGCCGTTAACATCACCGGCTCCTCCGCCAAGCGCGCCAACGCCCTCAGCAGCCTCCCTGACATGTTTGTTGCCAACGTTGGCAGTGCCGGTAACGGCTGCGCTGTGACCCAGGAAGCCGATGTCATGTTCCCCAACCCTGGTACTGAGGTCTCCATGGCCGACTCCAACGCTGTGGCTCCTGATGGCAGCTGCGGCTCCTCTGGATCCGGCTCGGGCTCTGGTGACAGCAACACCTCTGCTGCTGCGGGAACCACCGTTGTGGCTACCTACACTCAACCTGCGGCCACGACCGCTGCTCCTGCGGATGACACCACCGTGTATGTATCGCCCTCAGCTCCTGCTTCGAGTGCAACAACTAACTCACCTGACTGTAGTCCTGGCGGCGTCTTCATCACCGTATCTCAGCCTGCAGACAGCGCTCCCACAACTGTCGCCAACAGCGCTCCTACATCCGTCGCCAACAGCGCTCCCACCTCCGTCGCCAACAACGCTCCCACAACTGTCGTCGACAGCGCTCCTACTACCACCCTCGTCACCATGACCAAGAGTGCTGGAGGCTCTGTGTCTTCCGCCTCTGCTCCCGCTGCCTCTGCCACCTCGGGCAGCGGCGACGGCTCCAGCGGCAGTAGCCACACCGCCGGCACTGCCTGCAGCAACGAGGGTGAGTGGAACTGCGTTGGTGGCACCAAGTTCCAGCGCTGTGCCTCGGGTACCTGGTCGGTCCTCATGGCTGTGGCCGACGGCACCACCTGCGGGAGCAGCACCGCTGAGGCTTTCGCCATCACCAGCGCCCAACGACGACGAACTTTCCGCAGCTTCCGCGCTCGGTTCTAGAGTGTGGACGTGCAAAACCTTTGGGAAAGGCTTTCTGAACAAAGGATGGGCATTTGGAATGGAGGCACTGGCCATTGGGAGTCATTGACCTTCATTCAAAAGTACATACTGTATTTTTGACGAGGACGGTCTGGGGCAAACACCCCGGGGGGATATCAGGAGTTCTTTCTTTCGTTCTTTTAGCATTGTAAATGAAGACATGATGAAGAGGCACACAGACTCTCAAGAAATAAAACTTTGATGAATTTTCACACAAAAACAAGGGCCTATATGAGAGACGCTCTCCTCGATTGCGCAAACGTGATGGAATTGAACATGCTTATGAAGTTTGAAGTGATTGACAAGTGACATACGAAACCGGAGTGTGACGAGTGGGGAAAATGAAACCCTCTAGGTTGAGTGAGTCCATTACAGAGTCTACACCCATGACAGACCTTATCATGGCGGACTCGAAGTTGAAGTCGCCATGGCACGTGAGTCATGGGGCCTGTTGCGTGACACAAAGGGTCCCTCCCTTGCGTGCAGAAGCTGACGGGTGGAAGATACGGCAGGAACAATGTCGGATCGACAGACAGGCAGAAAGGGGGCCAGGGCATCGAAAGCGTACCTAAAGAGGCAGCCCATCTGATGTGCCGGATCAAGAGAGATGGCCACCTTGGTGAGGCGTTTGCGGATGCTGGGACGAAACGAGTGCCGGCCGAGGGGACGTCGGTGTGGCTCATTCCAGGTGCGAGGACATGGCCGACAGTGCGGATACGGCGCGGCGTGCGGGCGGGCCGCGCAGAGGTGGAGCGGTTGGGCACCAAGAGGCAGACAGTGCGCACACTGTGCACGTTACACAGAGGACCCCTCCCCAGAAGCCACGGCGTCTACGCAACTCTTCAGCAGCGAGCGCGGGGCAGTGCTGGGAGAAGGGTACCGTGCTACCATGGCCGAAGCCAGACGACGAGGGACGAAAGGTCACTGAGGAGGTCGCAGACGCCCAAGAAGGAGGGGCGCGCACTTCCCGAAACCGCCTAGCCCGCGCTCTGTAGCTCCCCGACAAGCCCTGGGAGAGCCCGCTGAGGGCTGCAAGCGCCATCCATCATTTGACGATTCGACCGCCGGCCTCCCGCGCGCCCAAGAGCCCACCCAATATCCGCTGCGAGGTCTGTCGCTGCTCTCGTCGTTGCGGGAAAGAGGGGACCTCCAATGGGGCTCGTCGACCGTGTGTGTGTAGTGTGTAGGAGGGGGTTCCCGTGCCAGCCCTCCAGCCCTCCAGCCTTATAACCTCCACCAGCCCAGCAGCAACGCGAACCACCTCACCTCATGACTGCAGCGATTCTCGCTCTCTGACGGAACGTCCCCCGTCGACCCCTCCTCCCACCTCCTTCCTCCTCCTTCCTCCCTCCTCCTCCCTCGGTCCCTCCTCCCCTCCCTCCTAAAACACCTCCCCTCTTTGCGACGGTTCCGTCTGCATCGTCGCGTGCATCCCACCTTGCTCCAGCATCAGACACTCTTCACTACGCCCTCGTCCTCGCCTTGACGTCCTCCCACTCTCCCGTCTCGTCTCGTCTCAACTCGTCCCCGGGTCGACACTCGAACATCATGGCTGGACCGACGTCCCCCGCCGCCGAGGGTCCCACGTTTGCCCCGCCTCCACTGCCCGCCGGCTGGATTGCGCAGTGGGATGGCTCCAGCAAGAAGTATTACTTCGTCCAGTTGTCCACCGGCGTCTCTCAGTGGGACACGCCTACCGAGCCTGCCTTCACGGGCAGCACCCCGGCCCAGAACGTCGAACATCCCTACGGCACCCCGCCCCAGCCTGAGCTCATCACTCATCCCGACGGTTCTCAGACGGTCCGCCACGCCGACGGCACCATGGAGCCCATCTTGCCCGACGGCGCAAGGGGCGCGGGTGGTCCCACGGGCGATCGCGGTATTGGTGTAAGTTGTACCTTGATTTGTCTTGGGAGCCATCAATGTTGCGAAACTGGATTTTGGCTAACCAATGCCCTTGCGGATGTATACATCTAGACCATGGCCATGAACGCACTTCTCGGCGGCGGCAAGAACACCAGCCACGGCAGCAGCAGCAACAACAGCTCCAACCCACTGGGTAACCTCGGTGGCTTGGCCAGCCAATTCCTCGGAGGTGGAAGCCACGGTAGCGGTGGTGGCAACAGCAGTGGATCAGGCAAGAACTCCTCGGCGAGCAAGCTTGTAGGACAGTTGGCATCGAGCTTCATGGGATCGGCGACGGCTACCTCGGAGAAGCCCCCTCCCCCGCAGAATTACCACGGCGGTCAGTCCTCCAGTGGGTCGCATCATCAACAGGGCGGACTGGCTGGCACGGTCATGGGCGGCGTTGCCCACATGTTTGGCGGCAAGCCTGGCAACGGCGTATGTATAACGACGTTCTCAAAGTTGAAGATGGAATCAAATTGACTGACTGCGCTGCAATTTCAGAACCAGAACTTTGGCTACTCTAACTCGGGTCAGAGCCAGGGCCAGAGCGGAAGCTACTCGGGCGAAGCTCCCACGTACCATCCCCCGGGCTCCTCAGGCAAGCCCACCTCGACTCCCACGAGCGGATCGCAGTCATACGGCTCGCCCTCTCCGAACAAGCCCCAGCAGCAGGGTCAGCAGCACCAACAGGGCCAGCATACCTCGCCAGGCCAGCACAACCAGCCAGGCCAGTATAACCAGCCAGGCCAGTATAACCAACCAGGCCAGCATACCTCGCCGAGCCAGCATAACCAGCCGGGCCAGTATAACCAGCCAGGCCAGCAGAGCCAGCAACACCAGGGCTCCCACCCTCAGCAACCCATTTCGCACCAGTCTCATGGCTCCAACCCTTCCTATGGCTCGAATCCATCCTACGGTTCGAATCAGCAGTATGGATCCCAAACCAATTCATTCCCGCCGCCCCCTACTTCCGGCGGACCACCTCAGCACGGTTCGAACCAGCAGTATGGATCACAAACCAACTCATTCCCGCCGCCCCCTACTTCCGGCGGACCGCCTCAGCAACAAGCTCAACATGGCCAGTCTCAGCACGGCCAGTCTCAGCACGGCCAAACCCAGCAGCATGTCCAGTATCCACCTCCTCCCCCAGGCCAGCCGCCTCAGCAGCAATCATATGGCCAGTCTTACCCTCACAGCTCGCCTCCTGCTAGTAGCCAGGGAGGTCATGACCAGTACGGCCAACACCAGCAATCTTTTGGCGCCCCTTCTTCGGGTGGTCATCAGCAGTTCCCACCTCCTCCAACCGGCGGATACAATCCCTCATACAATACGCCTCCCGGTGGCCAGTCGTCCCAGTACGGCTCTCAACAGCACCATGAGGGAGCCCCTCCCCAGATTCCACACGGAAGCTACCCTCAACAAGGCCAGCAATATGGTGCACCTTACTGAGAGACGCGTGTAAACGGAACCTAGCCAAGAATCGCACCGCGGACCGTTTTCCTTCTTGTTTGCGCCCCCGACCCGATAGCCAGATGTCGGCTGGCAAATTGCCCGCCGAGAACTTCGGAGCCTGTTCAGATCGCAAGGTAACTAATGGGCTGGATGAACAAAGTGATGGAGGGTTGGACCACCGGAACTCAACCGAGGGTAATATATGTGATGACCCAGAGGACTGATGAGGACTGATGAGGACGAGAGTAACGCCCAGTCAAATTGTGGAGAGGAAGAAGAAGATGATGAAGAAGATAAAGATGGAGATAACGATGGTAACGACCGACATAGATAGAAGAATGCATCTACCGAACCCGCTTGTATTTGGGAATCCGGCCACGGTGGCTCGAGTTTACGAAGAAACCCTGTGTCTAGTTTCGCTTTTTTGTCGATGTCTCGGCGGTGACAGCTATAGACTGTAGCTTGGAGGCGACGGAACGAGCCACAGACCAAGCGACTAGTCCTACGAGGACGAGGTATCCAATGGTGGGGAGGAGAGAACGGGGGACAGCATTGTACAAGTACGGGTCCAGGATGAGATCGACCAAAACTGGAGGGGGGTCCTTCATGAGCGCTGCATTGTCGGTGAAGTACTCGGCGAATGCTCGTACTTGGAGCAACAGAACAGAAGATTTCCGCTCCTGCTGGCCCTCTAGAGACGGATCTTGACCACCTTCAGAGTTAGGTTGACGTGAGCTGGCGTACTCTGCGAGTGACTGGATGAGCTCCGGCGTATCCCAGACGGCGTCCAATTCGTAGACGTCCATGGCGAAATTAGTGGGTTGCTTCAGGGTTAATGATAATTAGCTATGCCTTTCTAACGCATCATATATATGAATTTGTAGACTTACAATGGCAGCCCAGCAAACACGAAACTCGTAGCGCTGGCCGGGAGTGAGCCCGTCCAGCAGCAACCACGTGAACGCCCGAGCAGAAGCATCCCCAGACTCTGTGGGGAAGACTCGGGTTAGGTTGGCTCTAATTGACCAGGTGCTGGGAGTCAAGACATGGAGGTTGAGATCGTCAAGGGAAGGCTTCCGCAGGGGGATGTTGACGGTGTCCGGGGCTATGAAGATGGCCTTTTCAGCGTTGGCGGCAACAGGCCTGACCGTGGCAAAGAGGAGAGCCACAATGGGCAGAAGGGATGAAACTTGGATTATCATGGTTGATGAGGGGATAGAGGCATCAATTTAGCTGCCTGGAGCGTGATGCTTTGATGTTGAAGTTGGCAGTCTCAAGGTACTTCGGTACATGTAGCAATGTGGCGGATGTGGGGGTCGGGGTGTGGCGGCTGATGTTCGGGATGAGGCTCATGTCTTATGCCAGGGGCAGCCAAACATTAGGAGTGTGCTCAGAGAGCTTGGGGCAACTGCACATCCGACGGCCGGATGCCAGGATCAGACAGCGTATGATTAGGCACTTGCCAATGGACACGGACTTCGCACTGTTCGGTGACAGTTCGGTGACAGGCCACAGACCACAGACCACAGGCCAGAAGCCACGACGACGGCGGTACGGGAGGTCGGGCTGGTGGTCCGCTGTGAGTTTACCATAGCAAGGGCTTGACCAGCAACCTGGGCTTATTAGCTACCCGAGCTATTGGCCTCCACCCACAGCCACTCTAGACAGCCAAGGACGGCGAGGCGAAAAGGAACGAAGAAGGGAACGACGGGAACGGGTACGTACATTGCAGAACAGGGGGGGCGGAGGCGGACAGTGGAAATGCGGGCGTGGGCTGGACGACAAGCGGTTGTGAGAGGGCAGCTCGAACCAGGGTGAGGTTTAGTAATGGCCCATTTGTCGCCATGTGGGCAGCAAAAGGGTCTTGGGGAGCGGACGGGAAAGCCATGGCTTGGTTTGATGATCTCCATCCCGGCTGGGAGGGAGTCGCTTTGATTTTACGGAGTATTACAGTTTTCTTTCCTTTTTGCGTTGATACGACACGGAGAGTAGCCCGGAGGTGCAGTGATTCCGCCGTGGTGGAGAGCACAGGGGCAGTTCCAAGAGGGAAGTGTCAGGCATGGGACTCAGAGAGGATCTCCGCTGCAATTTGGCAACGCTATCGGAAGACAGCAAGCCGCACATATCTGCACAGTACAGACTTATCTACAGCACCTCAGGTAGGTAGTACGTAGTATACTCTGTACAGTGTACAATGTACATACCTACCTAGGTATCTAGCATCTGCTGAGGGCAGAGACAACCACTCCCAGACGACGGAAGCCTGAGAGTCGTCTGATAAACATGGATCCATGGATCGTCACCAAAAGGGATGGAGCCCTGTGCCGTGGCCCAAGGGCCCGACCCGGCCATAATTTGCGGACGGGCTGCTCTGGAAGCTGCTTGTTGGCTGGAGCGGTGAAGCGGGCAGGAGCCACTTTGGCTTGGGCGACGGCCAGGGGGCGCTGGTTGCCACCGGAGCCACTGTGGCCACTGAGAGCCAGTGGCAGCCCGTTAGAGCCGGCAGGGGAGTCCACAGGGAGCCAGCAGTGCAGCACTTCAGCAGTGGCCAGCAGCGGCCAGCAGGGCACCAGCCAGAACGCGCTTACCCCTTCTAGCCACGCAGACACGCCTCGAAATCAACAAATCCTAGGACGGGCAAGCCTCCCCTGTCTGCCAAATTTCCCCCACCTATTTTCTTCCCCCCATCGCCAAACCAAACTGCACGTCCTTGTCTTCGCTCTCATATTCCCGCTCCCGAGTCTCCGTTCGTAAAAGCCTTGTCTGGCCTGTCTTGCCGCCTGCGTCTTTGCTGTGCTGCTCGTGAACTCCCTTCCTCTCAAACCTCCCATCACTTAATCCCCAATCACATCTTCCCGCCCGCAACCATGCGTGAGGTCATTAGCATCAACGGTGAGCTCCCCCCCCGATACCGACACGCGTCTTCACCGCATCGTGCTTCAGTCCTTCGTGCCGTGCTAACTCACCACTCCAGTCGGCCAGGCCGGTTGCCAGATCGCCAACTCCTGCTGGGAGGTATGTATTTTTCCTGTTCCGGATCTTCCTGCGAGACGGCATCGCTAACACCTTTCCTCTACAGCTGTACTGCCTCGAGCACGGTATCCAGGTACACACGCACTCCTTTGTTGACAACACCACCTCGTCCCATACTGACCGACGCCTCTCAACTTCCAGCCCGATGGCTACCTCACCGAGGAGCGCAAGCAGCAGGACCCCGATCAGGGCTTCAGCACTTTCTTCTCCGAGACTGGTATGGATTCGACCTCGTCCCTGATGGCCTCGGAGCCCCTCATCTAACCGCCCCCATTTCCAGGTCAGGGCAAGTACGTCCCCCGTACCATCTACTGCGATCTCGAGCCCAACGTTATCGATGAGGTCCGAACTGGTGCTTACCGAAACCTCTTCCACCCCGAGATGATGATCTCTGGCAAGGAGGATGCTTCCAACAACTACGCTCGTGGTCACTACACCATCGGCAAGGAGCTCATCGATGGCGTCCTCGACAAGATTCGCCGTGTTGCCGACAACTGTGTTGGTCTCCAGGGTTTCCTCGTCTTCCACTCCTTCGGTGGTGGTACCGGCTCTGGTTTCGGTGCTCTCCTGATGGAGCGTCTGTCTGTCGACTACGGCAAGAAGAGCAAGCTGGAGTTCTGTGTCTACCCTGCTCCCCAGACTGCCACCGCCGTTGTTGAGCCCTACAACTCCATCCTCACCACCCACACCACCCTCGAGCACTCCGACTGCTCCTTCATGGTCGACAACGAGGCCATCTACGACATCTGCCGTCGCAACCTCGGCCTCGAGCGCCCCAACTACGAGAACCTGAACCGTCTGATCGCCCAGGGTATGATTTGATGTCTAGCCACGAAAGGATCAGCCAGCTAACATATCCTACAGTCGTCTCTTCCATCACCGCCTCTCTCCGCTTCGATGGCTCCCTCAACGTCGACCTGAACGAGTTCCAGACCAACCTGGTTCCCTACCCCCGAATCCACTTCCCTCTGGTCGCCTACGCCCCCGTCATCTCGGCTGCCAAGGCTGCTCACGAGGCCAACTCCGTCCAGGAGATGACCATGTCTTGCTTCGAGCCCCACAACCAGATGGTTAAGTGTGATCCCCGCCAGGGCAAGTACATGGCCACCTGCCTCCTGTACCGTGGTGATGTCGTCCCCAACGACGCCCACGCTGCCGTCGCTACCCTCAAGACCAAGCGCACCATCCAGTTCGTCGACTGGTGCCCCACTGGTTTCAAGCTCGGTATCTGCTACCAGGCTCCCGAGAACGTTCCCAACGGTGATTTGGCCAAGGTCAACCGCGCTGTGTAAGTTAAAGTACACCGTTTTGAAGCCAATTACCTGTCTAACATTTGTATAGCTGCATGCTCTCCAACACTACCGCCATTGCCGAGGCCTGGTCTTCCCTGTCTGCCAAGTTCGATCTCATGCACTCCAAGCGTGCCTTCGTCCACTGGTATGTCGGTGAGGGTATGGAGGAGGGTGAGTTCTCGGAGGCTCGTGAGGATCTCGCTGCTCTTGAGCGCGATTACGAGGAGGTTGCTACCGACTCCATGGGCGAGGAGGAGCTTGAGGCCGAGTACTAGGCGATTTGAGGATGGAAAGACTGGATTACCGTTCTGCTACCGGTTTTAGCCTACTCTCACCTACAGAGAAGGTGTATTTTCTTTTTTAAAGGTCCCCAGCCAAAACGAGTTTTAATGTCAAAAGAGACCCAATCTGTAGATGGCAACACCGTCTCTGTCTAGGTACATACTTGTTTACAGTGACGTATCTAATATTTTAGTTGAGTGAGCTTTGCTCGTGCGTAATTTATACATAATGTAACAGTACAGGCCACAAGGATTAAATGTGCGGTTCTTGGCGGGATCCCTTGTCCTCCTTCCCCTTCGCTGTGGTAGTTGGCACAATCGTCAACTCGGCCGGAACAATAGTTGGAGGTACTTTATAGACAGTAGTGGCGGTAGTAATACATATTTCTTTACTCCGTAGATATTTTGCTTACAACCAGGCACCCAGACGATGTCACAAACCCACACATCTGAACCTTGTGCAAGCCAGGTTGCGGGGGAAGCTTGCTGAGGTAACCATTGGCTGGCCAGTCGGTGGCCCTGACCGATTCGAGCTCGGCCCAATTGTTGAAGCTGCCGAAAGTCCGCGGTTGACGTCGGCCTCCCCAAGGCACTCCCGCCCCTCCGACTCTCTTCCCACGACAAACTCAACTCAACCAAGGCTGACGACTACATCAATCATGAGTCTTCTTCGATCTGGAATCTGTAGAGCTTGCCGGCGCTCCCAGCTCCGCTGGCAGCGAGGCTTTGCGACCGCCGGTGGCGCGTCGTATGACAACCGCGTCAAGTTGGTCGAAGTTGGACCCCGAGATGGCCTCCAGAACGAAAAGAAGACGATCCCGCTGGCGACCAAGATTGAGCTGATTGAGCGATTGGCCCGGACGGGAGTTTCGACAATTGAGGCGGGGTCTTTTGTGTCTCCGAAATGGGTCCCTCAGGTACGTTCACCAGGATGCCAACCTTCTGCTCGGCCGCCTGTCTAACACATTCCCGACTAGATGGCCAATTCCAGCGAGATTCTCGAGCATATCCTTCAACAAAAAGTTTCCTCCCCGGTGCCGATCTCATACTCTTTCCTGGCCCCCAACATCAAGGGTCTACAAAACGCTGCGAAGCTCTTGAGCGAGAACCCCAAGGCTTTTGCGACACAGCTCACTCCCGCGAGCGAGGCCGAGGCTGTATCGAAACCATCCGTCGAGGTCGCCGTGTTTGCGGCTGCTACTGAGAGCTTCTCGCAGAAGAATCTCAACTGTGACATTCAGACATCACTGGAGCGGTTCAAGGAGGTGATCCAGGACTCCAAGGCCCTGGGTCTCCGCGTCCGCGCCTACATCTCGGTCGTTCTCGGATGTCCCTTTGAGGGATTCGAAGTAGACCCACACAAAGTAGCTGAGATTGCGGCGGACTTGTTGGAGTCTGGTGCGGACGAGATATCCTTGGGTGATACGACGGGCATGGGCACGGCGCCTCGGACCAGCGCGTTACTCAAATGCATGGCGTCCGCGGGCATCAGGTCGGAGGATATTGCGATGCACTTCCACGATACGTATGGACAAGCTCTGGTGAACACGGCCGTTTCGCTGGAGCACGGAATCCGTACCTTTGATAGCAGTGTGGGTGGACTTGGAGGGTGCCCTTATAGCCCCGGGGCGACAGGTAACGTAGCGACGGAGAACATGGTCTACTTCATGGAGACGCTGGGGATGGATACAGGCATCAGCTTGGATGCTATGACGGATATTGGAGCGTGGATTACGAAGGAGCTGGGCAAGGGCAATGAGAGCTCGGTGGGCAAGGCGGTACTGGGAGCTCGAGCTCGAGCTACAGCTGAGGCAGCTCAAGCTTAGGGGAGGGAGGAGCTCAAGCATCTCATCATTGCGCATTGAAAACTTGATGCAACATCCGTAGTAACTGCTGTAAAAACAAATCAAATATAAAAACATGTCTAATCCTTTAAGCAGCTGCAAAATAGCATTATCCTATATTGCTGCTGGGAAGAGAGCTCTGGCGTACAACCTCTGGAGAATGAATAGAGGGGTATATTTAGTCATGTGATGTCACTCTAGGTAGCAAAATGACGGAAGAACTGGTGTCGCGTAAGGTAACGTATTCCGCAGCGCAAGTTTATCGGCCGTGCGTCCTTGGGCTGGTGCAGGGCTCCACCTTGGTGAGGCAAGCTCAACCTCCTCCAACCTCATCCCAGCTTGAGGCGCCCTCCCGTTTCCCCATCACCACAGCTCCCTCCTTCAACGCGCCATTCTCGCCGCCTCCCCATCTCGACCGCCTCCCTTTTCGCCCTCCCCTTCCGCTCCTCTACCGCCACCATGGCCGACCCGCGCGAGTCGTCGTCGTACTCGGTCACCCCGAGGATTCGCTACAACACTGTTGGCGGCGTCAACGGCCCGCTCGTCATCGTCGAGAATGTGAGGGCGTCTCTTCTCTGCCGGCCATCCACCGGCGCCTGTGCCATCCGCGGTCTAACAATGACAGGTCAAATACCCCCGATACAACGAGATCGTCACCCTCACCCTCGCCGATGGCACGCAGCGATCTGGTCAGGTCCTCGAAGCTCGAGGTTAGCGCCGTTCCCGGATCCCCCTTGTTCCAGTGCTTGAGGCATGCTGACCACGAGCCGCAGGTGATCGAGCCGTTGTCCAGGTACTTCCTCACGATGAACCGCGTTATCGACAGCGATTGACGAGCCCCAATAGGTTTTCGAAGGCACCCCCGGTATCGATGTCAAGAAGGTAGGCAGCCATTGCGGCGTATAAAATGGAGAACATCCGGCTGAGACAGCGACAGACCCGAGTCGAGTTCACCGGCCAGAGCTTGAAGCTCGGTGTGTCTGAGGACATGCTTGGTCGTATCTTCGATGGTTCCGGACGAGCTATCGACAAGGGCCCCAAGGTCCTGGCGGAGGACTACCTCGACATCAACGGTAGCCCCATCAACCCTTACTCTCGTGTAAGCTCCCCCGCCTCGGTGCCTGGTGTGCCAATTCCCTCTAACGACTACAGGAATACCCCGAGGAGATGATCTCCACCGGTATCTCCGCCATCGACACCATGAACTCGATTGCCCGAGGACAGAAGATCCCTATCTTCTCCGCCGCCGGTCTGCCCCACAACGAAATCGCCGCCCAGATTTGCCGACAGGCCGGCCTGGTCCAGAAGCAGGGCATCACCAACAAAGGCGTTCACGATGGCCACGAGGAGAACTTCTCCATCGTCTTCGGTGCTATGGGTGTCAACTTGGAAACCGCTCGTTTCTTCACCCGCGACTTCGAGGAGAACGGCAGCTTGGAGCGTGTCACCCTCTTCCTCAACCTTGCCAACGACCCTACGTGCGTGCATCCAACCCAGACCTCTGTGTTTCAATAAGACTAAACGTTTCTTAGTATCGAGCGTATCATTACTCCTCGTCTCGCCCTCACCACCGCCGAATACTACGCCTACCAGCTCGAGAAGCACGTCTTGGTTATTCTTACCGATCTTTCAGCTTACTGCGATGCCCTTCGAGAGGTTTCCGCCGCCCGAGAGGAGGTTCCCGGTCGACGTGGTTTCCCCGGTTACATGTACACTGACTTGTCCACCATCTACGAACGAGCCGGTCGTGTAGCGGGTCGCAACGGATCCATCACCCAGATCCCCATCTTGACCATGCCCAACGATGATATCACCCACCCCATTCCCGATCTGACTGGCTACATTACCGAGGGCCAGATCTTCATCGACCGTGCCCTGCACAATCGCGGTATCTACCCGCCCATCAACGTCCTGCCGTCGCTGTCCCGTCTGATGAAGTCTGCCATTGGTGAGGGCATGACGCGTAAGGATCACGGTGATGTGTCCAACCAGCTGTACGCCAAGTATGCCATCGGTCGTGACGCCGCTGCCATGAAGGCTGTCGTCGGTGAGGAGGCTCTGTCAGCTGAGGACAAGCTGTCGCTGGAGTTCTTGGAGAAGTTTGAGCGCCAGTTCATTGCCCAGGGTCACTACGAGTCGCGAACTATCTACGAGTCCCTGGACCTCGCCTGGAGCCTGCTCCGAATCTACCCCAAGGATCTACTCAACCGTATCCCCGCCAAGATCCTCAACGAGTTCTACCAGCGTGCTGCCAAGGAGGCCAAGGCCAAGGGCAAGGCTCGCGCGGAGCAGCAGCAAGAGGAGAACTTGATTGACGCCTAAATGGACAAGTTGTCGGCGTTGCGATAGAGACAGTATAATATGAGCGCGCGCAGAAGGAGGATTCGTCAAGAAAGCACTGTTTGCGATGATTGTTTACATGTTGGAGGGCTCGTTGATGATGGGGAGAAAGGGGTAGGGACCAGCTGCAGCACAAGAGCAAGGCCTTGGCGTGCACATAGGGAGCCGAGTTAATGCCATTCAATTCCCGTCAGAACAGGTCACCATGAATTATGATGCATGCAACTGAAGCACTTACAAGCAGAAGTTGGGTATTAGAGGCTCGATGGAAATGGGCTCGCTCAGGACCAATGACGGCGCTGACGTTATGCAAAGCGGGCCGCACAGTGGGGCACCCCGACTCACACATGGCCAACTTTTTGACAATTAGAAGAACCGCCGGCTTGAAGGCGGAGAAAAAGTCTAAGACGGGATACGCGGAAAGCATACAGCCCTGATATCTTGACTTGTACGGCTATAGGGCTCGGACTACACCATGGAGGAGGACAGACTCCAGGCCGATATTGGCATCGCAGCCGACATCGAGGAGGCTCAGCTGATGGCTCAGGCGAGTCACCCCGCGGCAACTGAGACTCAGGCTACGCAGAATGGAGAGACGCCGATGAAGCAGCCCAAGAAGCGATTTGTGGGAAGACGGGCAGCTACAGAGGCGGCGGCGAAGAATGGAGGCACGGGCGAGAGCGGCGCGGTTCAGAGTACGTTTCCCGGGAGATCCATCTGTTCACGAAGTGCGAGTGCGAGTGTGAATGTGTGAGAGTGAGAAGCATCAAGCTCATATATACGCAGCGGCCAAGCCACGACGAGCTCCCAGGCTACTGAACCAGGTCCCAAAGGAGATCCTCGATGATCCCAACCTCAAGGCAGCCATCGGACTGCTGCCCGCAAACTACAGCTTCGAGATCCCCAAGACGATCCACCGCATCCGCACCTCAGGGGCCAAGAGGGTCGCCCTGCAGATGCCCGAGGGTCTACTGCTCTTTGCTACGACGGTCTCTGACATCCTCACTCAGTTCTGCCCGGGCATCGAGACGCTCATCATGGGCGACGTCACATATGGCGCCTGCTGCATCGACGATTACACGGCGCGGGCTCTCGGCTGCGACCTGCTCGTGCACTACGCCCATAGTTGTCTGATTCCCGTTGACGTGACCAAGATCAAGACGCTTTATGTTTTTGTCGATATCAGCATCGACGCCTCGCACCTACTCGCTTCGCTGGAGCGCAACTTTGCCAGCGGCAAGACCATCGCCGTCGTGGGCACCATCCAGTTCAACGCCACCATCCACGGTGTCCGGAGCAGCCTCGAGCGAGCCGGCTTCCGAGTTCTTTCTCCTCAGATTGCTCCGCTCAGCAAGGGCGAAATTCTGGGCTGCACGTCGCCGCGCCTCAAGGACGACGACCAGGTCGACTTGATCCTGTACCTCGGCGACGGCCGCTTCCACCTCGAGAGCATCATGATCCACAACCCATCCATCCCGGCGTACCGCTACGACCCGTACTCGCGCAAGCTCACGCGCGAGACGTACGGCCACGACGAGATGCAGTCGCTCCGGCGCAGCGCCATCCGCACAGCCAAGACGGCGCGCAAGTGGGGGTTGATCCTGGGCGCGCTGGGCCGCCAGGGCAACCCGCACACGATGGCGCTGATCGAGAAGTGCCTGAAGGAGCGCGGCATTCCGTTCGTCAATTTACTGCTGAGTGAGATCTTCCCGGGCAAGCTGGCGCTCATGGCCGACGTTGAGTGCTGGGTGCAGGTGGCGTGCCCGCGGTTGAGCATCGACTGGGGCTACGCCTTCTCACGGCCGCTGTTGACGCCGTACGAGGCGTTGGTCGCGCTCGAGGTCAGAGAGGACTGGGGCAAGGATGTGTATCCGATGGATTACTACGGCAAGGATGGCTTGGGGAGGACGAAGCCGGTGGACGTGGGCGCATCGGGATAAGGAGGATATGATGATGGAAATACACAAAGTACAAATGAAACGAGAAAATGAATATCACGATGAATAACCCGGTATGTTGTAGAGGTGTTAGGCGTCGGAAGTTCTAAAGAAGCACTCACGAGTTGCAAGGAGAATGCAGGGAGGGAATTATAGTCATTTTTTCGAAGCTATCGAGGCATTGACTTGGTGCTCTAGATAGATCGTGAATAATTTATCAAACTTGCTACGTGTGTGGAAACAGATGATGTAAGGATTAGCTATCAGCAGTGTTGAGTTGGCTTAGATGTCGGGTCTTGTGCTTCTGCTCTAGGCTTACCCGGCTAGTTAGCTCACATTATTGCAACTTGTTGTGTCCAGCATAGTTCATCACACATGTTCTGGCGCCTCATCAAGTCCTTGGCATTAAAGCGGTTGGCAACAAATCGACAGAAGGGAAGATCTGGGGTTATTTACCCTTCTCAGGCTCCCATTCAGCCAAGACCTACGCCCAGGCCGTCTTGGCCTCGGCTGCTGTCCATCGAATGATGGGTGCAAAGGATGCGTCGGCCAGCCAGAAGTCATTATATTTGGCCAGGCTGGAATTGATGGAGATATCATTGCTCCTGCTTTCATTGCGAACATGAAGGGCAAAGAATCCATAATAGAAACACAACACAAGCAGAAACAAAATATGCTATCATGTTGGGCTAGTGGGTGTCTCAGACTATATGTGGTGATGTAAGGTCTCAAGGCATCTTAATATGTTTTTGACCAGAAGTTGCCTCCATATTTATACTACATACATCTCTAGGTGGAAAGGGTACCTAGGACACACTTAAGATAGCCAGGGCTGTGCTACAAGGCCAGTTGCTCGCCTCTAGGAGCCTGAACTTCCCGTGCCCGCTTTCTATCGTCAGTAGTGAAAGAGGAAGGCTGGCGTTGCAAAGATGGTTGAGCGGCAGCTTAAGCATAGATTGAAGCTAAGTGTAGCTACCACGTGGGCGCATTGATTGGCCAGGCCTCACGCTTCAAGACGGGATAGTTGTATAGAAGAGACGATGGATTGTCGATGGTCGTCGTTCATATCACAAGCGCTTGCCAATGGCTGCCGTAACAGACTCGTCCGACGCCCTTATCGTATCAAACGTGAGTACTGTCTTCCTCTTCCTGGGGCTTTTGCAACCGAGAAACAAGTCTCTCGAAGAGTACACCGAGATACACGCCTCTGTCGGCTCTTTCGTCCAGAGGCAACGTCCTGAGCCTGGACACTGCTCCCATGATGTGTTCATGATCGCCTCGTAATCTCATGATTGTGAGAGCCAGGGTCAACCGACAGAGCGATTCAAACAGTTGGCGGTTTTGTTGCCATGTTGAAATCTCAAAAATCTTCAAGGTGCGTTGGCAGTTCCCACTGGCTCTGGCCGGTTCGAGAAAATCAACTTGTACTTGACGATCTCAACCACCTCGAGGTTTTCACCCTGCTCCTGCACCTCCCCGCCCGACCCTGTCGTCACCTTGTTCTGCCTGCGTTGCACTACAGCAACAGCTTTCGGCAACTTCTTGACTTCGCCGTTCAAGCGCTGATGTTGCCCGACAAAGAGATGGACTCGACTCATCCATGCCGAACCCACCGCATCCGGGACGTAATCCGGAAAGTCAATCCTACCGATTTCGATGTTGCCCATTGTTTGGCCTTCGGCATCTTCGGGCAGATTAACTGTGCCTTGGAGCTCCAGGAGGGCCAACCCAGAGGGTGTTTGGACGAGCTGCGGAAGAGGGTTTGCTGATTTGGGGCCGTTTCTAGACGGAGGATACAGCTTGGCAGTCGACATATTTGCAATACAAAATAGAAAATATGTAATGTCAATTGCGAGCCACTTCAATAACGGATTTGGTGAGAAAGGCGTGGTCTTGATGCTGCTGAGTTTGAGTATGAGGGACGATGCGCTGAAGGCGTCCCGCGTCCGTGCAACAGCCGAGCTCAAGGTACGTACTCTGAGACGCGGCCTGTGCGAAAGTCATGCACCTTGGCGCATCGCACGGTGTGGGGCGCTCAGACATATTTTTGTTGTGGGGCCACCACTTTTAAGCGGGAAATACTTTCACCGAGAGTTCAAGAACCCCCTTCCCTGCGATTGGCCAGTCTGAATTTCACCTCGTGGAGCAACCCTAGCGACACACACTTTCTCCATTTCGCCTGAAATTTACAACCTCTCCATTCATCATCACCAACTTCAAGCAGGCCAGGTCAAGTAACTTGCACCACCACAACTGGCAAGATGAAGGTACGCCAACAAACTCAATCGATCCTTTCAATGCGAAACGGCTCGCGGGCACTCAACGCAACTTCCTGCGCTGTCCCGCCGGCTGGATTTCGTGTTGCCCAGCTCGCGTGAACTTTTGCTGATCTGTCCGCCAACAGTTGAACATCTCCTACCCTGCCAATGGCAGCCAGAAGCTCATCGACATTGAGGATGAGCGCAAGCTCCGTGTCTTCATGGAGAAGCGCGTACGTCGACCCCGAACTGCCACCCGGCGCCGAAATCCGAATCGTTCGAACGAGCTGACATGTGTGTTTTTCAGATGGGTGCTGAGGTTCCCGGTGACTCCATCGGCGATGAGTTCAAGGGCTACGTCTTCCGCATCACCGGCGGTAACGACAAGCAGGGTTTCCCCATGAAGCAGGGTGTCATGCACCCTACCCGTGTCCGTCTCCTTCTCGCTGAGGGCCACTCCTGCTACCGCCCCCGCCGCACTGGTGAGCGCAAGCGCAAGTCCGTCCGTGGCTGCATCGTCGGCATGGATCTGTCCGTCCTCGCCCTCTCCGTCGTCAAGCAGGGCGACAGCGACATCCCCGGCCTGACCGACGTCGTCCACCCCAAGCGCCTCGGACCCAAGCGTGCCACCAAGATCCGCAAGTTCTTCGGCCTCACCAAGGATGACGATGTATGTTTCTTCCTGCGCCCATACTCGATCATCGCCTACCCAGACTAGCAGGACTGCCAGTCCGGGTAGAGTGTGAGAGGACCCTGTCCTTCCGGACAGCGGTACGAGTATCAACCAACGTTGTATTTAAATGCTAATCTGGCTGGAAACCTAGGTCCGCAAGTACGTTATCCGACGAGAGGTCCAGCCCAAGGGTGAGGGCAAGTCCCCTTACACCAAGGCTCCCAAGATCCAGCGCCTGGTCACTCCCCAGCGTCTCCAGCACAAGCGCCACCGTGCCGCCCTCAAGCGCCGCCAGGCCGAGAAGGTCAAGGACGAGGCCGTAAGTTTTCCAAGATGCTGCTACCTCGCCTCCCGCGACAGTGTTCTAACCATACTGCCTTGTAGAACGAGTACGCCCAGGTCCTTGCCAAGCGAGTGGCTGAGGCCAAGACCCAGAAGGCCGATGCCCGCAAGCGACGAGCAAGCTCCATGCGCAAGTAAGTTTTCTAGCGTGTAATGAAAAAAGGGGAATCATACCTTGGTCTTGTGGTTTGCATGCATTAGGAGTGGGGGATTCTCGGGCTTGGTTTTAGTCCACCACGAATGTCTTAGAGGCATATCGGAAAATGAAGATGCATTGATGCACTTGTGCTATACGCCAGCCTAACCTCTCGAACTTCTATGCACCTGCCTCAGCCGTGAATATATCATGACGTGATGTTTCCAAGGTGAATGTCCCGCCGACTTCCACAAGGGAGAGTCTTGCCCCTTTACATGGCTCCAGGTCGAGCAAGCCTCACTTCCGTCAAGTTCCAGTAGGCAGTGCCTCAGTATCCGACCTCACAAGCAAATACGTATGTATTTGGTTTTTTTTTAGCTTTACTCAATATCATCAGATAGATCAAAGCCATATAGTAATCTCAAACAATTCCGAGCCATAGGATATAAGGGAGACTGACCGTCTCCCATCGTCAAGAGACCAACTTCCCTTCTGACACTCATCCCATCACAACCAATTTTCAATATGGCGAATTTCACTCGAGCAGCTCTTTCCAGGGATAACCTGTTGTATCCGCATTATAGATCCCAACTCCAACATGATCTCGGATTCTCTCAGAATCTAGAAGACGAATCGGAAAGACAGAAGCTGAATTTCCTCTTGAGCTTCCTTGAGAAAGAAAATCTATTTGAGCTATCGCCACACTATCTACAACGCCTAAATAGAAGCTAACGGATCGCATTGGCTATTTTTGGATGCCATTTGCTTCTTGACAATAGGACTAGGGTTAATGGGCAAGGAAATCAAATTCTTGTCCGCAATCTTGTCCCATATATCCGAATAGAAATGGCCGCGCTTTACGACTTGGCCAAAAACATCAACAATCCCGATCCAAGGGGTCAAGTCTTCCTCCAGGATATCGCCGGGGCCCAATACGACCCCTGGTTCCAGGAGCTGTTGTGTTGCGTTTGGTTGGTACGGATGCTAGCCACATAGGGTGCTGGCTAGAGGGGAAATACGTATGTATACCGCCTTTATTTCCTTCTAATAAGCGACGTAAACTGTGATGTACATGCAATGCCAATTGTCCTTTACCTCCCCCGAGCCCTCCCATCTTCCAGACCCTGTAGCAAGAGAGACCTGCACTTCTCTCAAGCGTAGCCTAGTAAAAACGAAAAGAGCCGGCAAGGAGGCGTCCAAAAGCAACCCAGAATGCAGGCCTGCCAGTACCACCAATGCAACAAGAAACGAGGCTGCGATGAGAATTCTGTCTCATTTGCCTTGTATACGCAATTCATGATAGTCGTCGTTCCGTCCGTCCTTTCTATCTCCAATTCGCGCCAGCCATGCAATGGTCATCGAAATTAAGCAAAGCCAAAATACTCGCTTCCTGCAGTGATGGCTTTCATGATTTGAGAGCGAAGGGCATCGTAGCTCTCATACTCAGGAAGGTCAAGTTCTACAGCATGTTAGTCACCTAATAGGAAAAAGTTCTAGTGGTGGGAGTGACTTACGGTTGAAGCAGGTGTGTGAAGAGGGTAGTCGGTCCTTGTTTCCATAGTCGCGGTGGATGTTGAATCGATTAACACCGTTCATACCCTCTAGCTCCTTGAAGCCATTAAGAGGAACCTTGCTGGTTCCAGTGACGAACTGCAGCAGCTTGGCGCGTTCCTCCTTGTCAAATGATCGGAGTGCCCGCCAGAACCATTGAATCTGCTGAGACGATGGGTTATAGTTGTGGTACTCCGTATTGCTCTTCCAATCGTCAACGTCAATATCAGGAAGACCCGAGATGAGCAGCTCCAATTCCTGCTCGTTAAAGATAGCAATCAATTCTGCGGGGATGATCTCATGGAAGCCTGGTCAAGTTAGCGACAATCCTTCACCCAGGTAATGTTTGCGTAATAACTTACCTCGCAGGAAGCTCTCCATCTGCTCCTTAACAGAAGACAGCAACTTGTGCTCGACCACAAGGCGGACATAGTCGTGCTTGTTCTCTTCAGTCACAGCAACCTCTCGTCCATTGGGAATCAAATCGACGACATTGGTGACGCCGAACTCATCATCCTCGACAGAGAAAGTCTCCGTAATAATGTCCGTGATGTCGTTCTCGAGCATCCAGCAAAGGGACTTGTAGTAGTCGGGGTCAAACGATTCCATGTCTTTGACGGAGACTGACTTTCCGAGGATACGCTTGTAGACAGCACGGCTGAAGTAGCAGTCGAGTACTCGGCCCTCGTACAGGGCCTTGCCAATGATGCGCCCAATGAACTTGAAGAACATCAAATGCTCATCGTTGATACCGCTGAGCTTGTTCGGGTGAAAGGTGGTACGATCCGAGGAAACTGGTGTGAATAAGACGTAGTTGGCATCAAACATCTGTCGGGAGAGAACCTGGAACCACTCCCGAGTAACACCGCCAGCGTCAACACCTTCCTCGCCGTGGAACCGAATGTTGAGCTTTCCGAACTTCATCTCATCGCCCGACTTGAAGTAGAGGGACTTGAAAGAGTCATGGAAGACGTGCTCGCGACGAACAGAGAGTTGAAGTGGTGCGTACGACGGTCGGTTCTGGCTGTTTCCTGATCGCGAGTGGACGCTCCGGTTGAAGTAATTGCGCTTGTTGTCAAACTCTAGGACCTTGGGGTTCTTGACCAACAAAGCAAAGGTACCTGACATAAGCTTGGGATTGTTTCGCACCAGCTCGTTGAGGATGCGCCGATGGTCCTCAGTGAAATTGAAGAAGAGGCTAGCGGTACGCGACTCGGGCGCAGGGCTAGAGAGAACCATCTCCTTGCTCTGTGAAGGATTGTCGCCGGTTGTCGTGTTCTTGCAAACCACCATCATCGACTCGATAAGGGGGAGGAGAATGGTTGCTACGTTGAGCATGTTTTCTCGCTTTCGGATAGCGCTCAGGCAAGCGCTCAACTTCTCCCACATGGCTGAGAAGGTCGAGTTGTGATACAACGACGTAACCAGGTCTGCTCTCTCATCCTTGCTCTTATCAGACTCGGACTCCTCGGTCTTCTTCTTGTTGTCGAACAGATGGTCCAGAGCTGTCAAGACGCGGAGGAGTTTATTCTGCTCAGATGCTCCAGGCGAGAATTTTGCCAGAGCAACGCCTTGAATCTCGGTGCCCGATGAGGCCTTCTCAATGTGCGGCAGGAGTTCGTCCAAGTCTGAGACAATGTTCTCGCTGAGAAGGCGAGCTTGATGAACAAGCTCTTGGCCGAATGTAGCCTTGGCCCCAGGGATTGCGGAAAGGTTCTTGATGGTTGAAATGGTGTTCTGGAACGTCTTGGAGCTACATTCCCGAGCCACGAAGATCCTCACCGCCAAAGTAAGATTCTGAGCCGGAATGACCGGCGGCTGCAATTGGCGAACCTTTTTCGGGGAAGCTTCCTTCTTCTCTTCCTCTTTAGCGTTCTCATCCCCTGCTGCATTCTCCGATTGCTCGGCTTCGACAGTAGCCAGTTCGTTGTTGGCGCCACCCGATGTCGGGTTGGTGCCGACTGACTGGTCTGCAGGGGGTTCAGCTGGCTTGTTCTCCTCCTCCGCTCCATCCGCATCCTTGCGGCGTCGCTCGAGATTTTGAAGAGGCAGAGTCACACGGTTCAACAAGTCCGCAAGATGGGTCATGACCACCGAGCTTTCCATAACCAAGTCACGGTCAAGAAGAGACAGTAGTGAGTTGATTGCGTACTTGTGGGCCTTGGAGTCCTTGCCCTTTCCTTTGCGGCCAAGTGACCGCTTAAGAGTTGAGCCAACAATCTCGTGTTCAGTCAAGAATAGCCAGGGAATGTGCGGGTTCTTTGTGCTCAGGTCGACGAGAAGGTCCAGGCACTGTTGTACGATCAAGAGTGGCGACGTTTCCGAGTTTGTCTGTGTCGTGCTGCTAGTGGTCGCCAAAGTCGTCATGCTCCTCTTGAGAGTCTGTGGCGTCTTCTGATCTGCATCTCTGTCCTTATCCTTTGGTCTTCTGGCCTTCAGCGAGAGCTGGCCGAAGCTTCGCTCAACAGCACTCATGTCAGTACTACCATCCTGTAGGATTTGGAGTAGTGTGCTGATGACCTCAAGGCGGTTTTGACGATTCTCGCACACGTCGGCAAAGACGCTAAACAAGTAGTTGCGGATGGACCCTTGCTGAGCAATGAACATCAAGCGCAACAATGTGGCAACCCCAGCCTTGTCGAGCATTTGGACGACAGTTCGACGCTGAACCTTGTTTCCAGCTGGCTGGCCTGGTGGTCCTGGTGGAGGCACTCGAGTGACACCTCCTGGTGGGCTTCGCCCTGTCATCACAGAATGGTTGTGTTGCGTCAGAGCTCGAGCCTGAGCTGCCATTTCGGGTGGGAGTTGGTCCATAATATCTTCGCCTTGGTCCATGAGGACTTGTTCCCGAAGTGCCGGCGGGAAGGTCAGGAGAATGCTTGCTGTATCCATGTCTGGTTCAATTGGATTCAGACCACCCGTGGGGACAACCTGCCGGTTTTGGTCCTCGCGAGCCCGGCGGCGCTGCTCTTGACGTTCCTGCTGGGCAATTTCTAGACGCAGTTCCTCTGGGAGAGCATCAAGGAATTCTTGGAAAACTTCGGTTGATTCACCAGTCGTGGCTTCTTCGCGTGCCTGGGATCTCCTTGTGCTGATGGTTTGGGCGATGACCTCTTCCCTAAACTCTTCGGGTAACGCAGCGAGGTAGTCAGGGTCAATACCCAACTCAGTAACGTCGACTTCCTCGCCTCTAATTGTAGTCATGACCCGGGGTTCGTCAGATGCCAGTACTGTCTCGGCTTCTGAACGTTCTGGTCGAGCTGGTTCGGTTGGTTCAACACCTTCCATGGCGGTGCTATCCTCTTGTGCCTCAGCGGATTCAGTTTGGGCGTTGTTGGCGGCAGCCTCAGAAGCAACCCTCTCCGCAACCTCACGCTCTTCAGCTTCCTTCTTCTCTCTCTGAGCCTTTTCTTCGGCTTCTTTAGCCTCTCGGGCCAGTCGCCTCTCTTCCTCGATTTTCTTCCTCTCTTCCTCGAGACGCTTCTGAGTTTCGGCCTCCTCTGCCTTGACCTTCTTTTCGAGCTCAATGGCGGCTGGGGTGAGCTTGGCCATGATAGCGTTATTGAGCTTAGAGGCCTCAGCAACATGGCTGGGGCCGAAAATCATTCGCGCTTCCTCTTGGTAACGATCCAAGGTAGACTCGATGGAGAATGAAACTGCGTGCTGGGGCTCTTGCGCTGGGCCGTCTCGTCTTTGCTCATTCCTGGTTCCTCGAATAGTGCCAAACTCTCTGGCATCACGACTGCCTCCAGGACCAGTGATCTGCAAGTGGAAGGCTTGCTGACCATTTCGGCCCATGATCGGAAGAAACTCCATTAGCTCCCCGAGGAACCCCATAGGCCCGTCGATGACATGTCGGCCACCTGTACTTGAACCGAAAAGACCATCAGGTATTCTCAATCCAATCTGAGGATTGGCACTAATACGTTGAGAGCCGTCACGACCTTGATCGGTGCGTCGAAGAAGCGGGTTCGCGCCATCGTCCGAGTTTGACTGCGGTCCACCAGTACGGTGTGTACGGGAGAAGTAGCTGCGGAAGTCTGGAAAAGAAGGATCAGCAAGAGCAAACACGTTGCGTAGCGAACAAGACTCACCGCCGATGGTGTCTCGGCTAGTCCCGACCATGAAACCCGGTGGGAAAGGACTACGGTTGTCAACCCTAGTAAGCAGCCGTCTCCTGTTTTGGTTCTCCAGCATGAACAATTGGCGACGGTGCTCATCACCCTCGGGATTGAGTCCGTCCCATCCAAGTGCTGGCATTGGTGGGGGCTGATCGTCAACTATTGCGATGTTAGCAAGCTTTTCCGAATCTGGGCGAACCATGCTCTTACGAGGGTAATCGTCGTCGTAGACGTATTCTTCATCCTCAATGTCATCCTCGTCATCCTCGTCATCTGGTCACTGTTAGGACTTATCCCTCAATTATCACATGCGGAGCCAAAACTTACCATCCTCATCATGCCCTTCGTCCAGATAGTGGTCATCCAACCCATCCATCAAATCTGGGTCGTAACCCTCACCTCCCATGATAGCCCGAGCCATACCACCAATGAGGTCACCGGGGCCGATTTCAATATGTTGCCGGTGGACGTCTGCGTCGTAGTCAAGGTCATCTTCATCGACCTCCTCGTCATTTCCGTCGTGGCTTGCACTTTCCCAGCCCGAATTCCCATCATCATCGATTGGGTTGCCATCTTCGTCAACTATCTCAACCTGGTCTTCGACATCCTCCATGTCCTCGGAGTCGACCTCGTCGTCATCATCTTCGTCCTCACTGTCTTCCTCATCATCGTCATCATCCATGATGACCTCAACGACGCCAGGCTCGCCATGAAGGCCCTCGATCTCTCCCATTTGGCTAAGTTCCTCGTCTTCGTCGCTGATATTATCTTCGGCGTCCTCTGACATATCGTCTTCTCCATAATCCATCTCGTCGTCGTCGTATTCATCTCCGTACATGTCTTCGTCGTCATCATCCTCATCCTCTTCAGAATCATCATCTTCGCCTCGTGGTTCGAGCATGCCGAGGGCGGAGTTTCGATATAAGTCAGGGGTTTCTTCCCGATCGTCATCCAGGTCAGACAGGGAGGACGTAGAGGCAATATCATCGTCCCCGTTGTCAGAGAGGCCGTCTGAGGGCAAGATGTTCGAGTGGCTCAGCTCTTTGGCGGTCTCGGTCAGAACCCGGAGGACACGCAGAATGTACTTAATAGCGCGCTTCACTCCGGGGTAGTTGAGGTTGATCTCTGCAATCGAGGTCGTTAGTTTGTCAAGATAGCCTTTCTCGTACATCAATCTGCGCAATTGTGCGTGCGATCGGGATTGGATCCCATCAGAGCTTCTGCCGTTGGAGCTCTGCTCCTTGTCTCTCTCGCCAACCATGTAGTTCATCAACTCAGCGAGACATTGCATCCGAGAGTATCGAATCTCAAGTGGCTCGTCTGAGATCGGTGCCCTCTCGTAGGCCTTGAGCATTGTGTCGAGGACAAATTTGCGTACAAATAGCAGGTCTGGTTCATCGTCGTATGCAAACTTGTCTTTTCCGCGGTCAAGGGCTTTCTCACTGGTCTTTGCGACTAAAGCAACCAAAACCTTTTGCGCTTGAGCAGATGTTGCAGCCTTCTTCTTTGACGCAATTCCGTCGACTGTTCCACTGAGGTTGCCCTGGCATAGCAAGTCGTAGATCAAGTAGTTCAAAACACTAGATCGAGGCTTGATCGGGGTGCTTGTTGTCAGGGGAGCACTACGCTTGAAGTTGATAAACTCCATCTTCGTTCTGTTGTAGCTCTGGAGGAGCTCAGCCAAACAGTTCAGCAGGAAGCACCGATAGACAAATATGGGGTGTTCATCGGCTTTGAAGACGGGCTTTGGGGGTTTCTTGTCCTTCGAGTCCACTCCGGTGCTATCTTTCGAAGCTGAAGGCTGGTTCTCGGAAGTTGACGCCGTCTCTGTCTTCGAGTCCTTATCGACCACCAGCACTTCCTTATCGTCGACTTCGCGATAGTTGACCAGTTCGCAAAGAAGAAAGTGGATGACACCGTCTGGGTTCTCAACCACTGGTCGCTTACTCTCGTGGTGTGGCTTGGGTGCGTCAGTCATTTCCTTGTCCACAGGCTCGGTTGATGGCTTAATATCTTCGGCAGAAGTGTCATGAGCGTCTTGTCCTGACTCATCAACTTTTTCGGTGTCCTGATCGCTGCTCTGCTCCTTCAAAACCAAAGGCTGAGAGCGAGAGCCGTCGCCGCTTGATTGGGAGGACCATCTTGCGAACCGGAGCATTTCGTTGGTGACATCCACAAATAAGTCAGGGGCTCGAAGAGCGACCGACGCCATCGCTCGCAGATAGTTGGAGACATCGGAATGGCCGCGCTGGTTGCGCTGGAGGCCTGGGAAGCTAGCCTTGATCTCGGCACGCATAATTTGCTTGATAGTTTCCTCGTCCTCCACAATGTGGCGGAGGATAGTCATGATGTGTGCCAAGAGCTTGGTGTGCTTAAAGCGCTCTGAACCTGAACCTGAAAGTTGTTTTGCCATAAGAAACAATCGTTGCAGGTTCTTTTTGTCGCCAACCAACTTAGCCAACCGCCGGTTTCGTGTCAAAATCACCAGGACTCTCAGCGCTGAGACGGCCAGTGTCTCTTCCTTTCCTACTCGCGGGAGCAATTCCAGAAGGGATTCAAGAATGTCGGTACGTCGCGCGTCATCAACCAAGGGTGTACGCATCTCGACTACGGGCGCCTCGACAGGCTCATCCAAGGACTTGGGCGCCGTCCATTCCGCAGCAATGGGTCGCTCATCATGGCAAAGAAGAGTCTCAACAACAAGGAAAATGTATGGAATCCAGGGGGGCATCTCTTCGGCGGGCGTAGTCTGTGATGTCTTCAGGAAACCGACATACTCGTCAATTCTTTCCCTCAGCGTTTCCATGTTGTTTTCGAAAAAGCTCTGATCCTGGAGGAGCAGCGCAAGAAGGTGAGCGTATGCAGCAATGCACTTGCCGTTCCGCTTCTTCTCCTCCTCGTCCAGTGCCAGCGAGGAAAGCGCAAATGTCAGAGTCGACCCAACCTCCTCGTGGGCATCACTGTTCTGTTGTCTGAGGATCATGACCTGGATGAGCTCAGAGATCTCAATGGCAGATTCCGGGTGTGCCCGAATAACGTCCAAACACCTGTCAATCATGTTCTCCCGCAGTTGGTCACGGTACTTGTCGACATCTTCCTTCTTAGCCACGAGGTGGTTTTCTGGGGTTTGTTCAGAAGTTGGCTCCGAAGTATTCGCAGCAGAAGCGTCGATAGGCTGAGACTCTCCGGTCGTGCCAGGAGTCTCGCGAGTCTCGTCAGTAGCCTGAGATGAACGATCGATGATCTCACCCAGGGCGTCTCCCAGAAACCTGTCTGCAAGATCAGGTGGCGCGAGTTCCGGGGGCCCATCCAAAGACATTCGATCTGCCTCAGCCGTGCTCGGTCGGTTCGAGTTTTCCGCATCGTTCGCGGCATTGCCAGTCTCATTCAAGGCAGACGTATCAGAATCTTCCGATGGAATAGGGTTCCGGGGACCAGCAACCCCAGCCTTATGGGACATGCAATAGTCTCTAGCGACTGCGAGGTTTCCATTGGCTCGGTATACGGCCTCGTGGACCAAATCCGCTTCAAACTCCTTGCTTATGAGATCCTCCACAACACCCCGATGGGCGCGCCAGTCGAAGCGTACGTCGGTGTATTTGAAGAGCTGGAAGGGCTTTTTATCTCTCTGAGATGATTGAGTTTCATGGTCGCCCGCAGCAATTACTTTCAGAATGTCGAGTAATCGAATCACAGTCTGGTGGGGGACCTTTTCCACAAAATTAGAATCCCACAACTGAATGATTTCAGGTAGGACCGCCGCTCGAAACTCAACAACCAATTGCTGGTACAGTTGAGGTGTCTGCGACCTGTCTGCAGTACGAGGTTGCAAGGTAAAGTGGTTGCTGGTGTCGGAGAGATATTTTCCATTGACGAGGGTCAGATACAAATCCAGGATCTTTTTGAGGCCGAATGCAGCCACCTTGGACTTGGAAGACTCCTCAGAGGTGGTGTCTGAACTCTGGGTAACTGCCTGGGAGAAGACCTTGAGCATCGAATTCAGAACATCCATACCACCCTCCTCCTTGAACGCAAGGAGCACAGGCATGATAATCTGGACATTCGAGCGGTCACTCGAGCGGGCAGCGGGATGATCAATCAGCATCTCGGTGATGGTATGGAGCATGATGATCCAGAAATGTATGTCTTTGGAAGTTGGCTCGGGGCTTGCCACAGACGGGCCAAGTTGGTTCAAAACGGTGTCGGCAAGAGCCCGGGCAATTTCCAGGTGGCGAGGCCTAGGATACTGGTCTCGGGGATCTCGCTCGCGGCGAGGCAGTAATGCCTTTCCCAATGTCTGGAACAGAGGGAATGTGGTTGGAATCATTGGGTGGAGGAGAACTCGAAGCGTCTCATAGTTCTGGAACCGAGCACTAGCCTGTTCTTCTTCCGTCGGGCGGCTAGGTCCCGGTTCATCTGCTCCACTCTTTGTCTGCCAATTCCCGGAGTTGTTGAGCATATCGGGGAGTGAAGCACTGTCATCAGCCTCCGGCTCAGGGTTGCTGCTGCTTGTAGTCCCTTCGCCCAATGGAGCATGGCGCCTAAACGACCAATGTTGAGGAACGACAGTCAGTTCTCCGGCTTCTTCTGCAAGGACGCCACGCAGCAACGGGCCGATCGACTTGACCAGTCGTAGGTAGTAGTCGTAGACGTTGATCGGATAAAACTGCAGAGAGTTTGACCTGGAAGTAGGGAAGCAGTCGGAGATGATCTTGATAAATGTCTGGGCATTCAGAAGGGCCTTGATGATCTTTGTGCCATTCCTAGTGACTTCAGAGAGATCTTGATCGTTAGAGATCAGGCCCGGGTCTGCAGCTAGAATAGGCGCAAAGTAGGGTGGCACGGCATCCGTTTTCGTTGCCAAAGGGTGCAGTGTGTCGATGGCCGACTGAGCACGTTGAAGGAGAGAGGGCAATCCACGAATTGGCGAGTGTTCGATAAGCTGCGAAACTACCTGGCTGATGATTCTCGAGGCATGCGAGTCACCAAACCCAGTCGGAAGGCTGGGGGATTCACAAATATCAAGCAAAAGATCGAGGCCTCCGAACTGCACAAAGTTTCCCTTCAAGGTCGAGTTCGAGATATAAGAACTAAGGAAACTTCCCAGAGCGAAAATGTATGGAACTATCGAGTGCTTGGGTGAATCTCCTCGGTTGTCGTCCTGGGTCTCAGTTGGCGCAGAAGCCAGAGCATCGGACATGTCGACGTCTGTATCTCCAGGGACAGTAGACTCCTTGCTCTTGTCGGATGGCTTGCTGACGGGGGTAACAACGGCATTCTCATCGACAGACATTGTCTTCCCATCTGAGTCGACGAGTAGCAGCCTGGCACCCCAGCCTGCAGCTCTTGCCTTTTCGATACCAAGGAAGCGGACTCGGGCAACCAGGTCGATCACGGCGTTGGAGATAGACATTCGCAAGGATGGATGGTGGCGAGCAAGCTCATCGAAGCTAGCTCCGACGTTGTTGGCTAGCTCGGCATCCACCTCCATGCAGCGAACATGGGTAGGGCTCTCGAAAATCTCCAAGAAGCTATCGAAAGCTCTCGAAGCAACAACCATCCTCATTCCCACACTGTTCAGGGAAATCGAGTTCAGTACTTGAGGTACCACAGTAATGGCGTCAGTTGAAGGGAGAATTCCAGAGGCCAAGGACTCTCGAGATCTATGTTGGAGAGACTGCTCGGTCGGGGGGTGTAGGCGCGTGTCCTGGTCGAGAACTGGGGCTGTAGTGTTATCCGGATAGTCGAGGTCATCACCACCTCGGTCGGCCGCTTTCTGCTCCTCGACGACCTCTTTAGGAAGAGGGCGACCAGTGATAGCCTCCAGGTAAGTCCGAATCATGCCAGATTCAGAAATGGCAGCGAAGCTGGTAGGGTCGTTGTTGATGAAATCACTGAGAATGGTAACGGAGTTTGTCCAGACGACAGAACCAAAGCTCTTCTTATCCTCAATGATATCCCGCAAGCTTCCCAGAAGATCGGACTTATCAGCCAGATTGCGAAGGAGGCGGTCTGTATTGCCGCCGTAGCTATAGGAGTTGGACATGATGTGATGGACAAACTTGAGAAGCCACTTCAGCGTCTGCTGTTGGTAGTATGGTATCTCATAATCGACCGCACCGGATTGCTGCACTGGCGTTATCCCCTGGCCTGATTTCTGGAGGGTTTGGGCCTCGTTGACGGTGTCCACAACCAACTGAGCTACAGCCTCCAAACCCTTAGCATTGAAAAAGGCAGTAAATGCATTCTGATATGTCCAGATGAGACCATCTAGGAAAGCAAGAACCATGGAATGGTTCCGTTGTGCGACGGCTGAGCGAATGTTGAGGATCTCGACAAGAATCTCCATGAGTCCCGCGGAAACCATCTCGCTGCCGACGCGGGTAGCCATCGATAAGTGGAGGGTGAGCGAGAACAAGTTATTCCGCCATTCATCAGTTTCAGTGACTTGGTCACCCTTGTCGCTCTCATTGTCCTCCTTCATACCGGCAACAGCTTTGCGAATGACGTAGAGCAAGATTCCGTGGTTGACATTTGCATTGAGAGCAGATAAAACATCCTGGCATCTGGCATGAAAGTTGGAGATTGCCTCCAGTAAAGCTAGGGCAACTGCTTGCAGCCACATGGGAACGTCAACCTTGCCATCAGCTGAGGGGTGGATCAGTTCTGCGAGTTGATACACCAGCTGGAATCTGCGGGTCTCGTCTACATCCTGACGAAGAACTTTTTCAATGAAGTTCGACTCCGTGTGGATGTAGGCCAGATTGGTGATTGCCAATAGGCGGACAGCTAGGAGTTGTTGTCGTTCCTCTCGCGAGCCCATGAGAACCTTGGCAGCTCTGAGTCGATGAAAAGCCTCGTATTTGGATGCTGGTGGCAGATCCGCAGGGCATCTAGAAACCAGGCCATACACTGGCGTGGAGGCAACCACTGACTGAGATAGCTCAAACGTCTTTGGTCCCGGGGCTGTAGATTCGTCGGCAACAGCAGGTGTGCGAGGGCCAAGAGGAGACGAATCCTCTCCAAAGTGGTTCCGCGATTTGGGAGTCTGATGTTGGTGTGAAGTCATGGTAGAGCTACGTCTGAGAGGCGTCGGGGTGGATGGTGCTGATGATCGGCCCAGGTCTAGAGGAATGGTGGAGTCCTGGGTTGCATTCTGAGGATAGTAAGTGACCTTGACGTCACCCCAGCTGTTCCATCGCTTATCTTCGGATGAAGCGAGGGCGACTAGGTCATTCGCATGCATCGATGTGATTGTCTTGGAATTGCTGCCCTGCGCTTTATCCTTTCCTTTGGCAGAACCGGGAGTGTGGGAAGGCACAGGATCCGATAAACTGATGATGGGAGTTTTGACGAAAGGCAAAGCCAGTTGCTGGACGCGGTCAAGGTCGATATTGTAGTGGTTCGCGAGAAGCGCGGTGCTAATCTGCCTGGAGGCGTTTCCAATACGCTTGACGGATGCTTGGTATCTTTGGGCCAGCTCAGAACCGACCTCGAGGGTGGCGATGAGTACGGTCAAGGAAGTGGTGTGGAGGAGATCGTTAAGGTGAGTGCTGCTGGCATAGATGCTTCTGTTACCACAGTGCTCAAGCAACATGCGGGTGAATCTGAGAACCAGTTCGATGAGCTGTCTGTCGCCATCAACCGGAAATCCGAGATCCACCAGCTCCTCCATGGACCACTGTTTCTCGTCACTGAACACCGAGTCCTTGGTCTCGTTGAGGAGCACATCGCATCCAAACTCCCGGGGTTGAGGGCCTTCGTTCAGTTTGTAAGTTGCACAAAAGTGCTCGAGGAGGCTGTCGAACCGATTCAGCAGCGGTATCCAGTGGTAAAGATCGCCTCGTCCGAACGGCCATCGCGATGGAAAGCTGGCGAGGTGCTGTGGCAAGAGGGGTAGAGGGGTTGAAGATGCCGACTCGACGTAGCTCTTCAGCCAAGGAGACTAGCGGAGGTCGTTAGCAACGTCAGGATGGTGATCTGGGAGATTCAAGAGCTTACCAAAGTCTCCTTGTGCTTCTGCTGCATCGGCTTGGTAATCTTCCCCATCGTGAAGGTGGAAGCGGCGGAGCCGCAAAAAAACAAGGAAGCTCCCCCTCCACTACAACCGGGTTACCTGACCCGCCACAGCGGCAGTTTGCTCTGGGAGGCGGAGTGCCCAGTCGTGGACAGCTCCTAGTATCGGGAGGGGTCTTGGGCTTGTGCCGGGATGATATGCCTGGACTGTTGCCGAATATCGGTATGTCAGGCTGGCGGGGTTGCAGATGGAAGTTTCGGAGGCTCGCGGGTCGTCAACGTGTGTCGCTGGTAGCCAGGACCAGGGTATAGGGAAAACCGTCGGTGCCTATGACTGGGCACGCTGGTCTAGACGCGGGGTGATGGAGAAGGTGCAGTCGCGGTCGCCGGAAGAGAGTCGTGAGCGACCGATAAAGCTTGGATTAGCAGTCCAAGGTCGAGTGCAGTCGGCCTCTGGGATAGCTTTGCCAAGGGTCAAATCGGACCGGGTCGACAGAAATCAGCTTGGCCCACCTCGCAGGTAGCCAGCTCTTGCGGGGAAATGAGGGTATCTCCCAGATGAAGAGAAAAGCGGTTGGTGAGGATGTGGAGAGAATGTGTTCAGTGAGAAAAGGCGTATGCCAAATCGTCAGGTTGAGAAGTGCAGGTGGGCCCTTGCGTAATGGGTGCACCAGTGTAGGTGGAAGCTGCCAGGGTGAAGGCGAGGTACCTCTGGGGCCAGGCTTGGGCTGCAAGGTACAACCTAGAGGTAAGGCCAGGTCGGGGTGGACCGGATTATCTTTTCGGCTGCTGGCCCTCCACCTTTTATCGGCTCTGCCTGCGATTAACGTACAGCCTGGTCCGAGCGAGCGTCAGATTCCCCGGACAAGCCCTGTGTCCTGGCCTTGATTATCAGGTACGAATGAGCATTTCGTCACTGATTTCCAGGTTTTTCTCGGGCGCACCAGGCAGTCATGGGCCTATTGTGACACCAGGTGCCTAGGTTCTAGCGTCTCCGTTGAGGCTACGTTTGTTCTCGCATCTCGCCCAGGGTTGTTTGTTTACTCGCCATTGTCCGCGAGTGTAACCGGCGGGCTGCATGACAAAAGCATGCAAACCACAAGTTTGGTTGCATTGATTCCGCGACCGCCACTTATCATGGAAGCCAAAGATGTCCATGTGTCTCCCTGTCACACCTTGCCTCTGCATGTCATCTTCGGTCAAGGATCTTTTTATCCCATCAATGATGAGATCCAACCAAGTATATAGTAATATTTCAGAGGTGGTGTTTGCAGTCTCCATCATCCGATGCACATGCCAAACTTCGCGTTCTCCTATCAAAGTTCATTCTTCTGCGATGTACTTTTGTTTCTGTATAGTAAATATTCCCCAACCATCGTGTTGAAAAGTCTCCCAATTCCCCCCCTGTGTCAGATGTGGTTCAACCCAAGTAGCTTGGGAGAAACCATGGTTGTCCTCGACGAGGTGGATTACTGTATGGTGATTCGAGAAATGCAATGACGTATCGAAGTAACTTCTACCACCTACTAATTTAGAGCTTCTGGCCACGGGTGGCAATGGAAGCTAGCGAAATCAACCAACAGGGCGACAGACAAATGAAGTCTATAAAATAAATAAAGCTGGATCGCGGATCGCAGCTTAGATGCAATAGGATTGGTAAATGTGATTGAAGTAGCAAACAAATCGAACCGTTGTTCGAACTGGTCTAGGGTAGGAATACGGGCACAAATTTGGACAATGGACATGCATGGATGTCTCGCGTTGTCCTCGTAGAATTCGATGCCTGCCTTTGTGAACCACCTCTAGTGACGTATCAATGCAGACGCTAGACTCGTCATAGGCTAGACTTGATTTTCTCCCAGTGATCAAACACTGGTATTAGGATCAGGCCCCTCATCCGGCTGGTCTGTTGAGTGGCGTTTTCGGGCTTGACATATTTGATACGTAGTAAGTCAAGTCAATATGCCATACATGGTCCCCATACCAACGAGTAATTACGAGATGAGATGATGCAGGGCCATACTCATCTTGTCGGGGTAAATAGGGATGCATTGGTGGGTATCCGAAAGTAGGGTAGATCTATTGTGAAGATGATCATTCTACTACCACCGATATCGCCGTCCTCCAACTGCGTACGAATCGACCCAATTGTATCCAAGTTTTGATCTAGCTCGATATTCCTTTCTTGGACCACGGCAACTTTGCAACCCGCCTAGCATATGGTACGCGGCGCCGCCAAAGCCGCCCCTGCGTTAGTGCGGTCACGGAGTTTGTCGGCGAGAGCCATAACCAAGCCGCGCGGACAAGGTTAATAAGACAGCACGAAACTGGACAAGACGTTGGTGGGAGGTCTGCCAAGTCAGTCCTTGTCCGGACAAGGGAGAGAGAGGCAAGGGAGGGTAGAGCAGGGAGGAGGGGCAGCACAAATGCCTTGGACCGTTGTGCAGAAGACCGGCTAGAACAACAAACAGATCATCCGAGTACCCTGTGCGCGTAAGCCAGTGTTTCTGGACGTATCGCCACTATTTACGTCCGGGTGGTGTCGTACCAGGCGAGCAGACACAATTCCGCAGTTGGCCACCTCTGTGAAACACGGACTCGGGGGCGTGTCATTGGCTGACAGCGGGCATCAAATGAACAACCATGGCTCCATGCCGATGCAGGCCTGGGCGGACTCTGAAACAGGGCTTGGAAGGTGGCAAACCCCAGTTGAGAGCCTTCATCTGCCTGTCCTGGTGCGTCACTGCGTCTTTTCTTTCCGGCAGGCCTGCCCCAGGAGCGAGAGCGAGGGCGAGAGGTGGTTGAACACAGCGTGTGAGTGAGTGAGTGGGTGAGTGAGTGAGTGGGTGAGTGAGTGAGTGGGTGAGTGAGTGCATGTGTGCGTGCGCAGCGGTGGCTGTCATGATCGCATCCGCATAGCTGACTAGGGGATTTTGGACAGGCATTGTTCCAACCTCCAGGCCACTTTCGGCAACTGCTGGAACGCGGTCATGTACCTGCACACCGACACACACCGCCAGATTCCGTCTTGCTTTGGGGGGCAGGGACCGAGCTAGCGAGGTAATTTGAGATGGAGGTGCAAGCGGTCGACAGACGGCGATATTTGCATCAAGACATAGGTACCTAGTTCGGTGGACATCGATGCGAGCACAGTGATGCAAGGAGAGGCTCGCATAAGTTGCCGCAGCACGTTATTACTACTTACTTATGCCGCCATCTAACCAGTTACCGTATCTTAGACAGCGTCCGTACCTGGGGGTCCTGACCTCCAGTTGCTTATCGGACATTCAGGGAGGTGACGCCCAAGGCTGGTCCAGGTCGCCCAAGGCTGGTCCAGGTCCTCCACTCTCGCTCGTTCTATTATGTAGTATCCACCGAGCAGCTGAAGGGTATTTGCACCCGATCGATCCGCTGGAAATAAGGGACGGGGGTGAACCACGTCTTCCCAAGGAACCGATAAGGGGTTGATTGACGAGTGGCTTCCTCTCATCACGGCAAACTGCGCCATCCGTGAGAGTACGGAGGACAAGAGGCCGGAACCATTGGAGGCGTTCTGGTTCCATTCCAGGGCGTGCGGGCCAAAGTTATAGGCTGCTTCCAGGGCTCCGTCCGCCACCCCTAGTCGCTAACTGCGCGCCTGCTGGGTGTCCCTGGGGCTGGCTGGCGCTGCGCAGGGCCGCAGACAGGTGGCCGCTACCTGGGAACACCACCCCGCTAGCATATTCCATTCCCCGTTTTTTTTGGGAGGGTCCAGTGCCTCAAAACCCCAAGTATCTCGTCTGTCCCGTGTCCCGAGTCGCCAGAGACGGAGCGGTCCAGGTGCCATCTTCAACGCCACAACCCCCGGGATTTCTGGTTGCCATCAGCATTCCTCGCCTCGCCTCTTGGCCCCAGCACTTCTCCTGCATCCAACTACTCCTCGTTCTACGCCGGATTGCCCTCTATCTGCAGCAAAACCCCGTGCATGGACGGCAATCGAGGGGCCACATCAACTCCTTCCTACGCCTCGTATACTCGACTGCAGACCACCTCTCCTGCGCACAGAGCCACAAAGGGACGGCCACGGAGCCACTATGGTCGAAGCCATGCCGCAACAGGAGGAAGCCACCTCGCTGCCGCCCCAGGCTGACACCCAAAAGCAAAAACAGCAGACGCAGCAGACGCAGAGAGACATGGAAGAAGAAAAGAGACTCTCGTCTGGCACAGAGTCTGGCACAGACTCTGAGGACTCCGAGGACGACGATGACGATGTGGTAGGTCCAGCCCGCCCCCCTTGCCTCACTACTGCAGTCACACGACAGACCGCATCTCGATCTGGAGTCACATCCATGCTAACAAAGTAGACCACCGAGCACGATTCCTTTGAAGACGCCGTCGATAGGTCCCCGGTTGATGCGTCCCCCGCACGCTCTCTCACCAAGAGATCTGTCTCTGTCTCGGTCCCTAAGCCGGAACCGCCATCCTCCGATCGATCCCTAGACTCGCCCCTCGAGCCAGCCTCGAGTAAGACACAGGGCTCGGAAGATCCCAAGGACCGCAGAGACAGCAAAACCGACGACGAGGACTCAGAAGACTCGAGCGACGACGAGAGCATGGACGAGAGACCGCCCGTCCCACGAAAGCCATCCGTTTCCCACCGCATCTCCAACACATCCAACCTCGACAACGTTAGCCTTGACGACGAAGCTCCGCCCCCACCGCCTCCCAACGGTAGGTTGCACCACCAAAACAATATCTTCAGATATACCAGCCAACTGACAGTGATACAGACCCGAAGAGCCCCGAAGAAAGACCACCGCTTCCTAAGACAATATCGCTACACAGCATCACAAATTCTCTTCCTGCTATGCCATGGTCCCCGCATCCCGAGTCGCCCTCTAAAAGCCCTGCCCCGCCATCTGCCACCATCGCACCTCCACCGCCTCCTCCATCTCAACCCGCGCCCCCTGCTCGAAAGCTCACTAGCCCCTTCTCCTGGCTCTCGAGAAACTCTACAAGCAAGGAGAAGGAGCCCCTCCCTCCTCCACCCACGCAGACGACACGACGAAACACGGCCAGCTCGATTGCCACACTTATGAGCAACCCCGAGATGATGCTGAGCAAGCTGGAGGAAGAGAAGGACGGCGGCTCGCCTTCCATGGATGGCCCACGCCGAATGAGTCTTCGCGACAGGTTCAAACAACTTCGACTGCAAGAAGAGGCTGCCCTTGCGAATGGAGAGAACCAGGATACCGAAGGAGCTACTAATGCGACCGGCCTTGGCCTCATTACAACTGGAGAGGAGCTTTCCGCAGGCGAGAAGCCCCTGCCATCCCCAGTCCCAAATCCTACTTCTGGCCTGGCGCCAGGAACCATGTCAGGCGTGAATGCAGGTCCCTCCGCCATCTCGGAAAGTCAGGTCGATTGGGATCTCTGGCAGTCGGTCGTCTACGAAGGCCCGGCTGCTGTTGCCCGGACAAGCGCAGAGGAGTTGAACAGGGCGATCGCAACTGGTATCCCTAGTGCGATTAGAGGAGTTATCTGGCAAGTTTTGACGAACAGCAAGAACGAGGATCTGGAAGTGGTCTACAAAGATTTGATTTCCCGGGGAACAGATAAGAGCAAAGACCGCCATAGCAACAGCACCACCAACAGCGCCCTGAGCAATGGGAACCTCAGCGTCCAGAGCGGCGATGCCATTACATCCTCAGCCTCCTCCGTCAACTCGGACAACTCTGGACCCAACAGTATGCCGTCGCCAAACACTGAAAAGAGTTCAGAGGCGATCTTGAAAGCTCAGGCTGCGGCCGCAGCGGACCGAAAGCGAAAGGAGAAGGAGGACGCTGCCAACCTGCAGAAACTTGAAAAGGTCATCCGCCGCGACCTTGGTGCTCGTACTAGCTACTCTAAGTATGCAGCTGCGTCGGGGCTCCAGGAAGGGTTGTTTGGAGTGTGCAAGGCATATGCCCTCTTTGACGAAGGCGTTGGATATGCCCAAGGCATGAACTTCCTGATCATGCCGTTGCTATTTAACGTGAGTGACACGCAATCAATGCCAACAGCTCTTTCGTGCTAACCATTTTATAGATGCCCGAACAAGAGGCTTTCTGTCTCCTCGTACGATTAATGAACCACTACAAGCTGCGAGACCTGTTCATTCAGGACATGCCTGGATTACATATGCACCTCTACCAATTCGAGCGGTTGTTGGAGGACTTCGAGCCAGCCTTGTACTGTCACCTCCACCGACGAGGAATTTCCCCTCATCTCTATGCCACCCAGTGGTTCCTGACACTCTTCGCCTACCGTTTCCCCCTTCAACTAGTACTCCGCATCTATGACCTGATTCTCTCCGAAGGTCTGTCAGCCATCCTGCGATTTGGAATTGTTCTTATGCAAAAGAACGCGTCCACTCTTCTTGGACTTTCCGACATGCAGCAACTCACCACCTACCTAAAAGATAAGTTGTTCGACGTCTACATCGACAAGGACCCAAGCCACGGTAGTCTTCTTGATAATGGCTTCTTTGGGAGCTCGAGCTCTAATATGGACAAGGAGGTCTATCGGGCAGACCAGCTTGTTAAGGATGCCTGTGAGGTCAAAATGACGCCCGAAATGTTGAAGGCGTACACTGTGGAGTGGGAAGAGAAGACCAGAGCGGAGAAGGACCGAGAAAACGAGGTCCAGGAGCTCCGAGCTGCGAATCACAACTTTGCCATCAGAGTCCGGAGGTTGGAAGAGAGGGTTGAGGTCAGCGATCGTGAGCAAGCTGATTTCGCCACGGAGCTGGTTCGCACCAAGGTTGAGAACGAGGAGCTCAAGGATGAGAATGAGAGCATGAAGGGTCAGGTCCGGGAGTTACGGATCGTCATTGAGAAGCAGCCAGAGGAGATCGAAGAGAGCTGGAAGCTTGAACGCGACGACCTGATGAAGCGTAATCTTCATGTCCATGAAGAGAACCAAAAACTGGAGAAGGAATTGTCCGAACTAGAGGAAGAGCTGGTGTCGACCAAGATGCGCTATGCAGAGGTGAATGACCCCACAGACTCAATCATGTCACAATATGCTAACATTGCCTTGCAGATTAATTCTCAGCATGAGACCCTCAACCGCAAATGGACCGACCTCAAGCGCCAGTTCGTTTGAGCCTTTCACAAGGTCTTGGTGACGTGGTCCTCGTTCCTTCTCAGTGGACCATTCTTCATGTACAAATTACGTCTCTTCTCCGATTCCGCCATCCCGCCTTTCTCTTCAGACGGAGTTTTGCCTGCTTGGGCGGCACAGCATTCGCTGGTTGAGGTGAGCCGCTCACGAGGTGGTAATGATGGGAACCGGAGCAGACTGGCGGCATGTTTTCCATACAAGCACACGAGTTCCCATTGACTCCGGCATAGAGTGGTGCCGCATGTAGGCGTTCCTGGCTTCTTTACTTCTTCTCGTGGTTGAAAGCAAAACTTTTGTATTGTTAGTGCTATGCAGGCGGGCAATAGGAAATGGTGAAAAAAGCACCCCAATAGATGTGGCTAGACCCAATTATCACGATTAAAGAGAAAAGACCTTGATTATGAGTTCAATTCATCGCAAGAAATTTTTTCATTCCCTATGGACCCGATCCGATGCTCATGTGAAGCTCTTCATGCCCTGAAATACCAAGACAGCGAGAAATCCGTAACACCATACCAAGGGTGGACACTCTTTCACCTAAGTAGAACCACTCTACTTGTGGGCAATCTTGCGCTGGTAGAAAGCCAGCTCCTCACCCTCGAGGATGTAGCCGTCACAGCGACCGGACTGGCCGGGTCGGCTGGAGACGACGGCGAAAAGACGACCAGCCTCGAACTGCTTCTCGAGAGCGTTCTCGACCTTGCCGTTGGCGGAGAAGCGGGCGGCCTGCTTCTTCTCGACGGCGTTGCTCTTCTTCACCTCCTCCTCGACCTTGCCCTCCTTGGCGGCCTGGGCCTTCTGGCGTCTTCGGCCGAGGGACTGGCCGTAGTGGGCCTCGTACCACTGTCGGAAGGGAGCGGCATCGATCTGGATGACGGCGCTCTTGGTGAGGGTGTTGGTTCGGACCAGCTCGTTGTTGGAGGGGTGGTAAGAGACACCGATGACACGGGTCTTGCGGGTGCAACCCTCGGAGCCCCAGGCGAAGTTACCAGAGTCGAGACGGAGAGCACGGTACTTGTGGTTACCGCCACGGGTTCGGACGGTGTGGACACGCTTGGCACCAATACGGGTGTTGGCACCCTGGCGGCCAGCCTCGAAAGCGCGCTTCTTCCCTGTTGTGAAAGGTCAGAACGTATGTCCAAAGGACTATACGGGCTTTCGGAATTATTACGCACGGTAGTAGGCGCGCTTGGCACCGGTAGCGGATCGCTTGTGGCGGGAGTCACGAGAGATACCCATGATTGCGGTTTCTGTGAGAAGGAGAAATGTCCAAGTGGTTAGCGGAGGTTCTTTCAGGGCGACGACGGGAGGAGAAGGGGAGACGAGAGATGAAGCAACTCAATCAGCTGGATATCAAGACCGGCAGTCGTCGATGTCGTTGATCAGAGTATTGAGTCGTCCTCTCGCGGGCTGGTACTAACCTGATGATGTTGGCGGTCACCAGGCAATCGAATTGGCGGATGTGGGAGGAGTGAACTTTTTGGCGGAGCGAGCGTGAGGATCTGAGTTGCATACAAAATTGTGGTTGTGGGCTGCGTGCGGGTTTCGCTAGCCCACGGTACGTACCTCGGCGGCACCACGGAAGGTGAATATTCCGAATAGCCCTCTTTGTCACGTGATAGGATTGGCTCTTCCGCCAAGATTTTAGCATTTGGCGAGCTTGACTCCAACTCACGTGCCTCAGGTACGTACCTCGGTACCGTGTCCCCACAAGACACCGGTGCACTAACAAGCTGCAGATCATGTCTATTGGATTGTGATCCAATCTTGGGCCCTGTCTGTCTAATGATATTGCCTCGTTTTGGACTCATGTCGATCAAGGTGTTCCATTGTGCGTAAGTTGATGAGAAAATTATTGTGACTTTCTTACACGCAGGTGCATCTGGCATCTGCTGAACTTCCTTGATATCGAGGGACTAGGTCACGAACTCACTAAGCTATGCCTCTTCCCCCAAAACCAGTAACCCATTGCTTAATGTCTCGATGGCAGCCCAAAGTGCTCATGAAAGCGCCTCTTTCTGCTGCCCAGATCCTATTCCATGCAATCCCTCAAAATAGTCAACCAAAGCATTTCCTAAACTCGCGTCACCCTCCAAGCTAAAATCTTGCGCATGTTACTTTCCCTCCTGATCTTTATCCTTCTCCTGGGGGCTATTATGATCCTCTTGGGAACCGTCGATGTATTTGATGATCATTTGAAGTGGAATTGGGAGCTCCTCTGCCCGCAGTTCTACTACCGGTGTGATGGTGTATGCTTCAGAGTCAGCATTCACGGGTATGATCTCGCGTGCTCCCAGTTTCACTGCCTTTTTCTCCCAGCGAATTGACCCATCCGGATTGTACGCCTTCTCCCGGTCTTCCCCAGAAAACCTTGTTGCAATCACGTTGAGTCGCGGGAGAGGAAAGTAGCGGCCATAGCGACTGGCGCGCTTGTCGCCCTCTTCCTTCAGCTCAGCCAGGGACGGCCAATCGACCCGAAGCTCGTCTTCAGTTGGAAATTCCTTGTTAAAGCAATGTACTGCGGAAAAGACTGGCGACAACTTGTCTCGGAGCATCTTTCCTCCCAGGAGCTGAGCAGGCAATCGGGCCTTCTTCCCTTTCTGATCCCCGAGGCTTTTGCTGTCAGCCTTGGCGAGTCGCTTGTCTACTTCCTGCATGAGTTTGAGTTTCTTAGACTCGGCTGCTTCGAGTTTGAAAGCCGTCAATTCTGCTGGACTCTGCGGAACAAATGGCGACTTGTCAGCGCTCATGTAATGTAGATTGATCAGCATCTTCTGGAACGCTACTCTTTCCTTGGTCTCTTCGCTCATCCATCTCTTTGACTGGGACCAACCCCCATTCTCAGCTGGACTGCTACCTGACGGCTGCTGAGGAACTGTGATTGACCCCTGGGTAACTCGCCGCTGAGATGCTGGCGCCCTGGGAGCATTTGTCGGTGGACCACTGAGGGGAATGTGAGCCGATTTTTCGGTAGAAGGTGGCGTATTACGTGAATACTGATCTTTTGAGATACCAAACTCCGGTTGGCCGGCCTTGTGATCCTCGACACCAACTACCGACCTCGTTCGGCCACGCCGGTTTGCCTGACCAACATCTAACCCGGGGGTCCCTTTGAAGACTTCCTCGCCCACAGAATTTTGTAGGAGATGTTCCCCAAACACTTGCTCGTTGACATTCGTGCCATTTGGCCCCTTGTGCTCGCCGGTGACTTTGAGTCCTGCTGTTGTTGGATGTTGACTGAAGTGTTCTAGACTCTGGTCTCCCAGGTTGTCAATCACTTGATATTTCGATGCGAGTCTTCTTGGGCTAGAAGATTTCGCTCGATATTTTGACTTCAAGACTTCCACTTGGGTCTTATGGCCAGCGGTCGATGCGGGTCGTGGAATCCCAAGCAGGTTGCCCAGCTGAGTCCGTTTGTAGTCCATCGACTGACGCTTGAGCTGAGACGACCCTCGGGATCCTCTGAGGCGGCGAGATGTCTCGCGTGAGCTTAACCTTGGTTGGACTTGAAGTCCTGAAACACTTGTCCCTTGTAAAGGCTGGGGCCAAGAGACTGGGTGCTGGGCAGGAGGGACCGGCCAGACCGGGCTTGGTTGAGCAAGCGCCGGCTGCCACGTAACGGGCGGCATCGTCACATAGACAGTGGGATACGGCAAATACGGCGGTGGATAGTAGTAGACCGGGGCGGGTGGTCCTGGTGCTGGGGTCATGGCAGTAGGCGCCATGGCGTTGGAGAAGAATTGTGGTTCGGGTAGCGGTAGAGGCTGTGGGAGGATGACGTTTTGGGGGGGAAGTGGCCCAGCTGAGTAAGTCACCAGCGACGAGTCGTTTTGAATTGGCATCTCATAGTCCGGTTGTGGCGTGGGCGGCATGTGAGGAGTTATTCGTACCAACTCCATACTCCCGGGCCTTGGTACACAGGGAGGCGGTGGGGATGGAGGCTTGGAAATATTGCCTTGGTCTTGTTCAGCGGAAGAGGATCCCGGCGGCGTGTGAATTATAGGGTTGGATCGTTCCGGTTTTGGCATTTCCGAACCCTTCCTCTCGATTGTAGGATGGTCATCCGTTCTCTGTTCAGCCTTACTGGATGCTGGTGATCCCGGGACCTCGGGGCTTGCGGCTGGGGTCGCGTTGTTGACATCATCATTTTCCGTACTGAGTCTCTGAGCTTTTCTTTTCTTGCGATTCTTTTTGCAAGATGGTTGGCTGGAATGGCCAGATGAAGGAATGGTATTTGGATTCGAGGTTGATAGAGAAGGGAACATGGCATCGTAGTTGTCTGGGTCTAGAGCATCAGGCCCCAAAGGCCGAGCGTTCTCCTTCCTTCGCCATGACCTAGGACAGGTGGGAATTTGCCCGGGTTTCTCTTCGTTGTGGCTGTCGTCTTCGAGACCGGGCTCGGGTGAGGATGGACCCGGCGTGAAAGCGGCCGCGCAAGGGTTCATCATACTGATGAAGTGTTGACAAGTCCATGTAAGTAGGAAGGAAGGAGTCGAGGAAGAGAGGGCGTGCTGTTGTGAGCGTGAAGAAAGAAACACGCACAGTTGAATGTGTAGCTGAGCAAAAGAGCGAGAAGCGGCGCGACTCGGTCCGGCAAGGTGTTTGTTACTGGAGTGGGTGTTCGTGCCTTTTAGGTGACGGTTCTGTAGGCTCCTCTGAGAGGTTCACGCGAACGGTGGTTGTCAAAGGATGGTGGGTCGGTGCCTAGCATCAGCAACACCAAGGACGTCGAGGCTGAGATATAGTCAGCAATCGTCATATAACGAGTTTGGACAACTGACTATTTCACAAAAACTCAAGCCCAACTCGATGGGTCAAGTCAGGTTGAGCAAGGGGTGTTCATCTAGTCGTGAGGAGTTTGTTGATGATTGTGACGTCGTCAACCAAGAAGGGAGACCAAAATGTAGGCTTCTTGCGGAAAGGTATAGGTACGCGATGCAAGAAAGCCTCAAATTCTGGACGCGAAAAATAAAGTGAGCAGATGACTTAGGCAGAAAGCTGGGGAATTGGCAGTGAATCGGGGCTGGCAGCTGGCCATCAGCTGGCAGGCTTGTAGGTGAAATGAAGCCGAGACTCGACAACTCCCAGTGGCTTGCTATTTGACGCCACCATGTAAACGTGTAAGAGGAGAAGTTTATGGACCTTCTGGTGATGGGTGGATGGTGTCATATAAAGCCGAGCATTTGGTGTCTCGGATGTGGTTCTCGACTGCAGGCAGTCAAAGCATTGTGCTAACGAGGATGCATGCTGCGCCATATTGTGCATGGGTTGAATCTGCAATTGTTGCCTTTCTTGGAAAGACTAACGCGGTGTGAATAAGTGCGTGAATGGCTCATGACAGGCTGCATTGGCCTCTCTCGCGTGGGCTCTCACCGTGAATCAATCGTCTCCATGCAGTATTCTCTGTTAGCTTCTATGCACATATCATGACAATATTGGTGGAGTCTGCCAATTGACATTGTGAGAAGAATGGGCTCTGCGCCATGTTGAATTGATTGTTGTTACCAAGAGCAGCAACTGATCACATGCAAGTACAGAGAGATATCGCCAACAATGGTCCGTGGAATGATTTCAAAGGGAGAGCAGAATTGACAGCAGTGGATTCATTTGTATTTTTCCTGCTCCATCGAATGAATTAAGTATTGTGCTTGGTGAAAAGACTCGCGATCCAGGATGAATGTGAGCAATTGAGTATTCATGACCGTGAAAACCACATGCGACAGAGCTACTGAAGGGGCTTTGATGTCAAAAAATGACACCACATCAAGCAAGAGAGGGACCCAAAGTCAATCCCAGAGAGAGATGATATTCAATTCATATAAAATCTTTCTTCGGCCCTGTCAAAATAAAGCCAGCAATGGACTTTGCACCAATCTGGACCTGCATTGTCCCAACAAAGCGTATCGCCGGTCCCCCCCACGGCCGCTGCCCCACAACCCGCCGAGGTCTGGGCGCTCTCCATTTTAGATTATTCGTCCCTCCTCTGCTTGCTCCAGTGAAAGGTATCCTCAACACCGCGACAGCATCCCTTTCTCACCGCATCGTCTCCCCGCAGCCACTGCCCAAGATGGCTCCGACGACCCTCAAGCTGACCAACCGCTGTACGCTCGCGCTGCCAATTCCCCTGTCAAAGCCCAAGAAACTGACATCCCGCAGCTCCGAAGCAGCCCATCAAGAAGCTGCCCGAGTCGATCGAGCTTGGCCCCGATGCCACCGTCGAGGATGTCAAGAAGATGATTGCTAAGGAGGCCAGGATCGGCGACTTCAACCGAGTCGGCCTCTACGACCCTTCCACCAAGAAGACGCTCAAGAACCGCCGGGCCCGTGTTGTCGACGAGGAGGGCGTTGCTTCTGCCGGTGAAGTCCTCGTCAAGGATCTTGGTAGGCCGCCTCGTCTCCCCTCATGGGAACCCCCACCTCCTTTCCCAGAGGCGAATATTATCAGGTTCTAACTGCTCTCAAAGGCCCCCAGATTAGCTGGCAGACTGTCTTCGTCATCGAGTACCTCGGCCCTATCCTCATCCACGCCGCCGTCGTCGCCGCTCGCCCCTACCTGTACAAGAACGCTGATGGCGACATGTCGCAGACCCAGTGGCTCACGTTCGGCATGATTGTGCTGCACTTTGTCAAGCGCGAGTACGAGACGCTCTTCGTCCACAAGTTCTCCGCCAACACCATGCCCTTCTTCAACGTCTTCAAGAACAGCTTCTTCTACTGGGCCATCTCCGGCGCCCTGTGCGCCTACTTCATCTACAGCCCCACGTCCCTCGCCGCCCAGGCCGACATCCCCATCATTGATGCTCTCGGTGCCGCACTGTACCTGTTTAGTGAGACTGGCAACGCCCTCGTCCACCGATATCTGTCTTCGCTCCGCTCCACTGGCGGCACCGAGCGCAAGATCCCCGTGGGCTATGGCTTCGGCCTCGTGACCTGCCCCAACTACATGTTCGAGGTGCTGTCGTGGGTGGGTATCATCCTCGTCAGCCGTGACTGGACCGTTGCTCTCTTCATCGCCATTGGCGCTGCGCAGATGTTCGACTGGGCCAAGGGCAAGGAGCGCGCCTACCGCAAGGAGTTTGGTGACAGCTACAAGAAGAAGCGATTCGTCATGCTGCCTGGCCTTCTGTAGATCTCTTTCTGACCGCAGTTGTGAGTGGAGAACCTGTGAGAGGAAAAACAAAAGGCGGAAAGCCAGGCTTGGAAGCTTTGTTTGCGCTGGGCTACACGAGGGGGAAAGGTGGACAATAAAACGGAGCAGCTTGTTGGCTCCATAGATCAATGAAACAAATGGATTTGTTCATTCGCATTCTGATCAACGGTCCGAGTCGTTCCCCCAGGAAATGAATGTCCCACCACCCTAAGCTAATACCCGTAACTCCCCAACACCAGTCCAAAGGCCGTAATCGTCACATTCTCACGTCATTTACAAGTCACTCGTGTTCGTCAGTTGAGCTCGTCGGTCCGCTGCCCATCCTCATGACGCCGTCGACACCGATGCGGTATCCGAGCCTTTGGCCCCTCTCCCCGTGCCGGTGCTGGACGCCGGCTCCGTCAAGCTGCGACTCGCCTCAGACCACGTCCCCGTGGCGCCGTCCGAGTCGATGGCCATCTCGGCCTCGTCAGCCCTCGTCTTGGACGGGTCGCCATGCTCGTCATGGGCGCCCTCCAGCTTCTTACCCACGTCCACGTCCATCCTGTCGCCGCCGTGGTCGTCGTCGCTCATGACGCTCCCGGTCTCGCTCCCGCTGCCGCAGTCGCTACAGCTGCAGCTGCTGCCCCCGCCATTGGCCAGGCGCACCGTCTCCTCGAGGACGAGAAAGTCGCGCTCCAGCACCTCGGCCCAGTTCTGCACGTTGCCGAGCTCCTTGAGGCGGCGGGCGGCGGCGTCGGCCTCGCGGGCGAGCTTCTCGCGCTCGCGGCGCAGGCCGTCGGTGGCGCGCTGGACGTCGGCGGCCTGACGACCCAGCACGGCCGAGTTGGCGTGCAGCGTCGTCGCGCGCCACTGCAGCTCCGAGTCCATCATGTTCTCCAGCGTCGCCACGACGGCCGACCGCGCCTCGGCCACATGCCGCTGCGTCTCCGCCGAGGGGAGCGTCGGCTGGAGCGGCGCGAACGGCGGGGGCGGTGCCGGCGCCGGAGCGTGGGCGAGCGCCGGAGTGGTTGACGGCGATGCGATGGACGGCGGCGGGGAGGTGGGCTGGCGCGGGGAGAGGGAGCGGGAGGCCGACGACGAGGACGAGGCGGCGGCGGCGGTTGACATGATTGCGGTAGTGGCCTTTTTCTATTTCTCTCGCTGTGTGACTTTTTGCGAGATGAGAGGTTTCAAGTAGAGAAACAAACAGCAAAGAAGCGTTGCAGGACTGCCGATGACCAGATACGTCTTGTGCAGCTGATGCTGCATGGTGGTGGGGGTGCATCATGCGGCCAAGGACTGGCTGCTATTATTCGGCTCTGGATTGGATGGACATGCTTAGACTTGAGGGTTACTTACGCTTACTCTTCATACATCCACTCTGGGGATCCTGTAACTAGACGTAAGTGCTGTTAACTTAGATAAACTGTTTGACCTCGTTTAACCATACGATATTACATTGCTTCTATCGCTAATGTACACCCGAGATATTTCTAATCCGTCTCGTATCGCTCGCAACAGTCCAGTCCGTGAATCTGTGTACCCGGCCAAGCCTCTCTTGGTCCATTCTCGAACACCGGGTCCGATGCCTTCCCCGTTTTTTAAACCCGTCAGAAGCATTTTGCATTACACCGTACACGCACGAGCACAATCGATCCGCCTGGCCAATGAATTAAATACAGATATCCTCCTAGTTCCCCGTCACTGGCGCAGTAGGAAAAAAAAACCGCCAACCCGAACGCCAAGGCTATGCCGGAGAAGGAATGAGTATGCCTCCGGCGGTTGTTCAAAAAGAGAAAGACGGAAAAAATGCTAAGTCAAAAACCTGGCGCCTCCCTTAAAGTGCTATGCAAGAAAAACACAAACAGCGGCTCTTGGCCGCAAAAATGAAACAAAATTCAGAATCCAAGTGGGGAGCTGGCTCCCTTGTTCAGAAGGCAACTTTACTTCCGTTGAGGCGCAGCGGGGTTGGCCCGAGAGGTCCATGGGAACCCATGATTGATGGTGTATGTATTCCCTCGTCCGAGGACATGGATGAGAGTGACGAAAGGGAGCTGAAGCCCATGTGTCCCTTGATCATGCCGTTCCGGCCCATAGAGATGCCTGGGTTCGCCATGAGGGCGTCTGCGCGGTCGAACACGTTCCCATGGAAAGCAGATGCGAAGGAACTGCTCTGTGGCGTCGTGGGGACCGTGGCCTGCATTGCAGGGCCCAGGGCAGCGCTTTGGGGGGTAATTGGCATTTGTGTCGGCGACATGGCATGTAGCGGGTACGATCCCGAACCGTTGCCGTTTCTACCAGAAGGTCGAGGGAAGAAGTAGTGCCAGGGAGATTGGTAGATGATGGTGCTCGTCTCCTTCATGCTGCGTTGAATTGGCCGCAATTGGTCTCTCGTGTCCGGCGGCAGCGATACGTGGTTGATATCCGTCTTTACCTTCTCCACCAAGTCGGCCCAAGAGCCTATAAAATTCCTGCACAAGCCCCAGAAGTTGGCTTGCGTTCTAACGCCAGGCTCCTTAAGCTTGATGAGGGATAGCCTGTTCTTCAGCATTTCAGTCTGCTGAATTACTGTGCCGCACATCGCGATGAGACCTTTCCATTGTTGGAGGAGTCCTTCAGGAGTGCGACGGTGCGTAGCGTTTCTCAGGCCACCCATCAACTGCACGTTGAAGCTCGGAAGGGTGCGCATGACAACGTCGGTCGACTTTTGCAAAGACAGGAAGACTTTCTCAAACTGGCGATCCTCCTCGCTGAATTCGGATGGCACATTTCGACTTCCCAGAGAAGAAAATGACTCCCCTGATCGCGGAGTAGCCGAGCTCAGGGGGGCTGCCCCCCGTCCGTTTCCATTGAGGTACGGAGGAAGACCCGGGACGGGAACATCGGTGGCAACGCGTAGGTTGACCGATGGGTGAGGAATCAATGTCCCATTGCGACTACGCGAGATAGTCGACCGCTCGACGGTGGGTGTAACCGAGGGTTCCCGAGTATGGGGCCGTAACGTATGGCCGCCGACGGAATCGCTCTCGGTCGAGTTTTGTCGTCCATCTTCAGCACTAACGCATGCAAGCGTCACACGAAGCTCCATAATACTGTTGTACAGCAACATCAGGAGAGTTCGAATATATCGAGCGTCTCCGTTATTGACAAAAATGTCGATATTGTTGGCCAAGAGAGTGCAAACGTGGCCGTAGGCACTCACCAAGGTCTGACATGCCCGGTGAACGTTCTCGTTTTCTCGGTACGAGTAGTCCTGATCCTCAACCAAGGCCATGTCATGCTTTTGGATCTCCTGTTCCAGTTCCTCCACGTGCGAGTTTGTATTGTAAAAAACAATTTCCAGGCTAGATCGCTTTGCCGAATCGTCGCTCGTCAGGCTCATAAGCATCTGGATCATGGGGTGGATTTGGAAGACCGAGTACAAGATTCCTTTGGCAGCTTCGATGACAGGGTCGAAGATCTTTGATTCTCTGCGTCGCTCAGGTAGGACGGAAAGCCGCCGGACGTAGATTGGTCGTTGAAGATAAGGCTCGGTGGGTGTGGCTGGACTCTTGCTCCCAACAGGGTGTCCTTGCATAGCAGAGCCGTGGCTTAGTCCGCGATAATGGCTGAAACGGTTGTTTGCTTGTGTTTCGTCGAGGGTGCCCAGGTCCGACGGCTTTCTTGACACAATTCCCATCCGACGGTTACGACTCTCCGATCGATCTGCTCGCAGCAGCGTCTCCGAGTTGCTGCGGGAACGCTCGTTGACATTCCCAATCGTCAGAGGCATGACACCGGGTCGTCGAACGGTGGTGCTCTGTTGTGACAGACCCCTGTAGTGCGACCTGGAAGGAATTGGGGGTGGGCGAGTCCCATTGTTAGGAGATCGAACGTCGGGATCTGCGCCGTTGACTTTGATGGGAAATCGGCCGCTGGCAACTCGTTTCAGCGGGAAGCGGGGTGTGTCAGTACCCTCGCTCGATTCGTCCCCCGTATTCTCAGCTTCGAGTCGACCATTGAGCGCATGTTGCTTGAGGAACTTCTTGATATGCGAGGTGACGGCCACTTCGGTTACTTCGCTGTCGCGCAAGATGCCCTCGTTCGGCGGGCTCGCTGCTTGTACCTGTATTGCGTCTCGGGGTGGGAAGCTGATTGGGTTTCCTTCAAACTTCAAAACCTGCAGGGAGCCCATATCGGCAAGGCAGAGTGGGAGCTCGCGGATTTGATTTTTCGGGACAGACAAAACCTTCAAGGAGGAGAGTCTTGCAATATCGGGGGGTAACACTCGGAGTTGGTTGCGACCTAGATCGAGGATCTCGAGAGACTTCAGATCGCAGAGCTAATCAACAATATCAGCGCGGTGTCGCGGATGTTAGGGAAGGACCAGAATTACAGCCTGGGGAAATTCTTTGATCTGGTTGCCCCGGATGTTCAGGTAGCGCAGGGAAGTGCATTCTGAAAATCGGCTTGGGAGCGTGGAAAGCTGGTTGTGGGAGAGTGCAAGTCTAGTATGGGAAGAGCATCAGCATGGGCGTGTCAGGTAGAAGTTGGTAGTGTTGAACAGAGACGAACCGTTCCAACTCGTTCTTGACGATGTCGACTACCTCTTCGGGTAGCTTCTGGATGTTCTTGCGACTGAGGTCGATGGTGACGCCGGTCTTGATTCCTGTGCCAACAGCACTCGCCTCGGCGGCCTTGTTCTCGCTCTCGAGCGCATTTCGCATAGCCTCGCGTGCGAGGTTGATGATCTGGGCGGACGTCATGGCGGCGGCGGCCGAGAGGGACGCATTCGAGGGAACGCTTCGCAGGCCGGGGATGGGCGGCGGCGGCAGTGGCGGGCCGTTGGACGTAGCGGCCGAGTTAGGGACAGGACGTCGGCCGGGAGCAGGAGCTGACGCTGAAGCCGTTGGAGGAGCAGGATTATCGGGCAGGCCGCGCGAGGCCGTAGACTGGTGAGAAACGGCGCCGAGGGGCGGCGGCCCAGGGAGTCTGTCTGGCCGGTCCATGAGGGCGGAGGAGGGCGGAGGAGGGCGGAGTTGAAGAAGATTCGGGGGGCGTGCGGGTCGGTGGAGGGTTGGGTCGTGGGTCGTGAATCGTAGATCGAGGAGCAGCGTAGGCGTGGATGTGAGCGTGGGTTGGATTTCCAAACGACGAAGCTCCGGCTCAAACCGTCTCAGACTTCCCCCTCTCTTGTCTCTCGTATGTCTCCGAGTCGACGCGCAAACGAGGAGGCAGGCCCTGGAGTCTCAAACAAAGCCGGGGCCGTAATCGGGACTTTTTTCCCTGCGTTCAGGCCAATGAAGGCGGCGACTGAGACGAGTGCAACGAGGTCATAGTTGTCGATGGGAAAGGCCAGCCGGCGGCGCAAGTCAGACCTCCCGGGGTTCGGAGCTGTCTGGGAGAGCACGGCGGACGTGCCTTGGGAGTCTGAGAGGAGACGACAGATGGCGGAGCGAAGGTCGATGGACAGCGAGATGGATGGGGAGGACGGAGGCGAGGACGGAGGCGAGGACGGAGGAAGAGGAGGACGGGACGGAGCGGGAACGGCCGCGATGAGCTGATGCAGCGTGGAGGCGATGTTGTCGGGTTGGGTCCGCTGGGATATCCCCCGTCTCGAACCTATTTTGGTTGATCCGGCTTTGGATGTCAAAAAAGAGTCAAAGGAGTCAAAGAGTCAAAGGAAGCAGGTTGGAAATCGAAGACATGGCAGCAGTGAAGTGTACGACTACAAGCACGGAGACTCAAGCCACCCAAGGACCCAGGGACTGCTTATCCATCCATGTGGTCTTGGCTGCCCCATTCCCCAAGGGTACCTTACAGCCCGGGCTAACAAAGTTCAGGTCGTTCTAGCGACGAGACGAGAGGCCCGGAGGTGACAGACGAGCCGAGACGAGACAAGAGATCCCAGCAAGCTTCCTCCGCCCTGAGGTGGTCGCTGGTCCTTACGCTGCCACTCTCTCACCCTCTCACTGGTTTTTTTTTCCTTGCCCCGGTAATAGGTGCCAACCACCCCTGACGCCATCCAGCACCAGGTCCCAAGATAGGGGGGGATGATATAGGGGTAAAGGTACCCTCGGGCCCAGTGGTCCTGGGCCGCCGGGGCGCTGGACTGGGGGGCTGGTGCCGCGCACCTCACGTCCATCGTCGCCAGAAATGTAGCCAGCAAGCGTGGGGCTTGGCTTCAGGCGCTTTCAGGGACGCACTTGGGCGCGCCTTGCACCCACCTTGCGTGCCTAGGGACTTGGGTAGCGGTCTCAAACCAGAACCCTGCAACGCCTTGGGGGCCTCAGTGACTGACACGCCCTACTGTACAGTGCGGGGCCGTTGTCGCCGCCCGGCAGCGCGGAAGACCACTGGAAAGCCCTGGATTCGACCTGGACCGAAGGGTGTCGCAACAGCAGCCGCTCCCAGGAACGGAACACCACGCCAGACTGGCGCCCAGCCAGCACAGCGCTGCCAATGCGCACGCGCCCGCCACCGACTGGCACACAGTATGAGACTACGAGCCTTGCGTTGGCATCTTGCGCCCGCCCGTCTGGGAATCTCGGACCCAAGTTTAGAAATGTTGACGACAGACTTGAGTTGAGGGGTGCATGGATGGGTTGCACACTGGCTGCCGCGCGCTCAACTCTTGGCTGGTGGGTGGTGGACAGCTGTCAGGGCTCCATCGGTTCCTGGCTGGTAGGGAGGGGAACTGGCCTATGAAGTGCTCCAGCACGTCTCCATCAGCGAGTGCATCAGCGCTATGGGGGCGATTGGGGGCAGATGGGAGTCGAACGGGAGCAATGGGAAGCATCCTTCGGTGCCCGCCAACCCGCTAAAAAGCTCTGCCCCTGCGTGTCTGGCTTCTAGCTGCTTGCCGGCCCCGTGTGGTGGTTGCTTCTGGCCGGTGGCGACGGAGCCCACACAACCCTCCCTCCCCCTGTCTTGTCTGACTCTGCCACGAAAGATGCAAGGCACCTGGGCTTCGTTTTTAGCTACTTAGGCGCCGACTGTTGGCCACTTACGGAGGGCCCTTTTAAAAGTTTTGTGCAGAAGAAAAAGTAATGCTGAGGTAAGTGAGTCAAGCAATCATTACGAGGGTAAGTACACTAAGTACTTTGCTGATTTCCATAAGCCCTAAAAGATAGCAGGTTACAGCGCATCAGCGACCAGTAGATCCTGGTCAGCAGCGCCTACACCTGAAGTTACAGCGGCCGTAGCAGATAACTTGACGAGACCGTCACAGCCTCATGTATCTCAGGTAACCAACAGGGATAAATGGATGTGGCGCTACTAGTGCTGGAACAAGACTTTTAAAAGAGCCCTCCGTACGTAATAAACGGTAGACGGTTGGCCAAGCGTGCCAACATCCACAATCACCTCATCCCGTGCCCCGACTTCGTAAGTGCTGCAGGTAGCCAAGATGCTGCGTCTATTGCTGGATACGATACTCCGTATGCTGCGCTGCGACGGGGTGGTGCAATTCAGCCGCGCTTCGTGCTTCTGCAGGTGAGACGGAATTAGAATCCCTTGGTTTCACGTATTGCGAATTCCAGTCTACGCAACCCATCCTCGATCGGATTGTGTCCCGTCTCGAGTCCCAACCTCGACCAAGTAACTTAATCCCGGGAACACAAGATTGATGAGATGACCAGAGATACTCTAATTAGAACCCTAACCCTGGCTTTGCGTTCAGATAGCGCAAAACTGACGTACGATGAACTGACTCGAAATAGGGACCGTTTGCAACCGTCAACGGTGGCACGTGATGGAAGTTTCCCAGACGGGTAGGTACCTAACTTAGCGAGCTTGCTTCCATGTTTGATCCGTTGGGGCGAGCTACCAGAAGAATCGTTCCCCGGGTCATTCTCCAACCCCGAACCCCGGCTTATTACCACTTCAACTCATCACCACCATTTGTGAAACCACCATTTGTGAAACCCACTACACTACTCCGTACACTGGGGCTAATATCCATCGACCATCAACCATCGACCCCGGTGGACGGACCGTTTTCTCCACAACACGCAGTTGGCCCAGCCAACGCACCCATACGAGCGAGATCGCCTCGGATGCCAAAAGTAGCCGTTTCCGATCATCTTACGTACCCCGTTACGGTGAGCCGGCGTCCACTGCATCGATAGCTGCAAATCGAGACGCACTCTGCAGGCACTCGCGCTAGCTGCCTGCCGTCACACTCCCTCGTGTCTATATTTCCTTGCCTCACCAACAAGTTCTACTCGCCACCAGCAGCTAATTGCACGCATCTGCTGCCAACGGAAAGGGCCAGACAAAGCCACGCTGCGACTGTGGATTCCATTTCATCCAAAGTCCTGTGTGCTCTGTGATGAGCCAACCTGCCATGATTCGCTCTCGATTCGCCTTCTCCCGACCCTGACACCCGCCAGCCAAAGATAGACGCTGCCTAGCCAGCCGCTGCAACTTATATCACACCGAGGTTGCTTAGCATCCACAGCGAGTTCTAGCATTCCCTAGTCCGCCCGCCGTCCGATGCAAGCACCATGCCCGCCCTGCAGAGAACCAACTCATGCACAGACATTGGCTTTACGCTCAGGCGCCAATTCAACAAGGATGATTTCAGGTTAGCACGCGTCCTGCCTCTGCTGCTGCTGGTGCCCTGCGTTCCTCTAACCATCCTGTCTCGTCCCTAGACCCCATCAACGCGAGATAATTGAGGCTGCTCTTGACGGCTACGATGTCTACGTTCAGGCCGCCACGTCATTTGGCAAAAGCCTTTGCTTTCAGCTGCCGGCCGTTATCGACCAGGGCAGTGAGTAATCATCCCGGTTGCATCGTGGCGCCCATGCCCCGTTCCTCCGATCTGACCCTGCTCTTAGTCACCATAGTGGTATCCCCGTTGTTAAGTCTTATGGTAAGATGCATTAACATTATGGCTTTTATCCAGGTCTGATATACTGCCAGATCAACCAAGTGGATTCCCTCAAGGCGGCTGGGATCAAGGCCAGCTCTCTTAATAGCAACACACCCTTCGCTGAACGAGTCCGCCTCGAGAAGGATCTGGAAAGTGGTCATCCGATCACAAGACTCCTCTATGTTACACCCGAGTTGTGTTCGGGCCCACGTTTTCGGGAACGCTTACAACTAGTCCACGAACAAAAGGAGCTGGCCCGGGTCGCAATTGACGAGGCTCATTGCATCTCCGAGTGGGGCCATGACTTCCGAAAGGACTTCAAGCGCCTCTCCTGGTTTAGGGAGACGTTTCCGGATGTCCCGATCATGTGCCTGACTGCAACAGCGAACCCACAGGTTCGACAAGATGTTTTGTCCATCTTGCGTTTAGATGCCACCCCGGAGAAGACAAAGATGTTCCTCATGAGTCCCCAACGAGCTAATCTGCACTTGGAAATTCGCTATACCAAAGATGAGGACGACAGCCGCCTATCTGACTTTTTACGGTGGATCCGCGGTGTCTATGACCGTCGGAGGGCTGATGCTCGAAAGGCCGAGCTTGCACATGCCGGAGAGAGAATAGAGAGCGTCCCTGGTATTATATACACTCTGTCTCGAGATGAGTGCGAGTCCCTGTCGGCAGCCCTTCGGGATGAAGGAATTGGAGCCCGGCCGTTCCATGCCAAGTTGCCGAAGGAGGTGAAAGAAGAAACTCTAAACCGGTGGATTCATAACGAACCTGGCTATGATATAATCGTGGCCACGACCGCCTTCGGAATGGGGATCGACAAAAATAATGTACGATTCGTCGTACACTGGCGCATTCCGAAGTCGTTCGAGGGTTACTACCAAGAAGCCGGGCGAGCAGGCCGAGATGGAAACGCAAGTTATTGCTTTCTTTATTACAGCCGAGAAGATCTCGAGCGGGTGATGCGCTTGATACGATCCGATTCTAAAGAAGAGTCTAACCAAATTGCCCGGCTGAAGAGTCTTCAAGCCCTCGCATTGTATTGCGAGAATACAGACGCATGTCGACATGCCATTATCTGTAAGTATTTTGGCGAAACGACAACACCCAAATGCGATTTTGCATGTGACTGGCATAAAGACCCGCAAGAATTGGAAACGAGATGCATGCGAGGCTTGGCCAGCGAGGAGTTTGTAAGCACTCAAGCAATGCAGGGTACATATGATGGTTATTACGATGATTAATGAGAGACGAACCAATGATGCCTTCTTTATTTTGGTCACACTTAGTGACATCCACTTGTTAACATCGGATGTGCTAGTGCTCCCGTGAGGCGCAGCATGCTGTATCCAGGCCTAGCTGATGCTATCATTCGAATTACCTCGGCATTTAAACAAATCATTATTCATCTTCCGAGAACTCAAGGTTTCTTAGGCTGGCCATTGAATCTGGCCAATCTCATTCAGAGTGGAGAAGCAGAGGAGGTTCGATATGTCCCAGTTCATATCAGTGTCCTATAGAAACAACTGTCAGCAACGTCATCCATGTTTGGCCAGACATATTGTATACTAACCCCTGGAAGCATATCAGGAGGAAAAAAGTCGGCCATCATGGCATCCATAGTGCCCCCGGTTTCGCGTGGCGTGGCTGCGTCCCAGCTTTCGCGCAGCACCGAGACGCAGGAGCGCAACGTTTTGTTAACAGTGTCGTAGACGGCGGGCTTGATGGGTTGACCAGCCTCCATGGCCCGTATCTGGGTAAGATGAGCTTCTACAAAGAGTAGCCTCTTGAGACTGGTGTTGCCTCGTTCAATCAAGTGAGTTAGTTGTTCACGGGTGAACTCCAGCGCCTGTATCAGGGGTTCTCGTGTGGCCTTGGCCATCTCGTCGAGGGCATCGGCTTCAGACTGTGGCGCGGATTCGTCGTCGAGCTGCGTGACGACCTCTAGAGCGAGCACTAGAGTGGCGTCAAAGCTCAGCGAACACTTGAACAGACCTCTGCCGACGAGCGCGAGCCGGGACATCTCATCCCAGTCCGCTATCGGCAGACTGAGATCTGCACCTTTGCTGGAGGATGCAATGACCATGGCTGCCTCGACACAGCTCTTCCGAGAGAGGTAGAATCGCGGGTCCGTCCTAGCCTGGAGCATGAAGTCGCGATGGAGAAACATGGTGAACCGCCGAATATGCATGTCCATGAATTTGCGATGGAACTCTGTCGGTCTGAGTTTCGGTCCGCTACAAAGGCCATTGTCGACGTCCCTGTAGGAGTGGAAGAATGCCGCCACCTCGCGACAGGCCACTCGAATCTCAGCGCCCAACGTCAAGGCCCTCTCGTAAGATTGCTCTTTTCGAAAATCATTCAGGAGGCGCACAATCTCAATCCGCAACGGTAGGGACTTGGCCAAAAGGATTTGGAGCGACGAGTCTGTGAATGTACTCATCGGAGCGGACACGATCTGTGAGTTGGACTCGAGATCGACGTCATTGCAGTTTGAGGGCAGACAGGCATCGTAGCCGTCCGCGGAGAAGTTGAGCGGCAATGCTAGGTCGAGGCAAGACTGGACAGAAAGTTCCAAGACGGTTGTCCACAACCTTGCGCGGAACTCCCGTTGAAAGGGAGTCAGGGATGGAAACAGTTTCGGGTTTCGGTGGAGTCCCATGGTGATGGCCATTCGCAAAAGAGATCCCACAGAGAGCCACGAGGTCCCTCCAGAGCAGTTGAAGGTAGTTTGGCGTGCTAAAATAAGGAGACAAAAGACCTGCAGCCCATCGAGGTTATATGTTGACTTCTCCGATGGACCTGTCAGCCACCATTGCGCATTCTGAATCCAAGTCTGTGCGAGGGTGCGAGACTGATTCATGTCGTCGTCGTTCAAATGGGTATAAAATGTGGTTCCAATGGCAAGTATTAGTGTTAATTTTATTAGGAAAACGGAGGGAACCGGCGTTGTCGGTTGGAGCTCCCACACCCGATCATATTCCCTCCAGAAGGATGGGATATGCACGATGCGATACAACGGCTCGAGGGTGCGAAAGTAACACCGGGTTAGTTCGTCACATTTCTCCTTGGGAGGCAGTGTGCCCGGTATATCGCGGATGGGCTCATCGAGCTGAACATCGTGCAGGTTCTTCATGGCGAACCTGAGATTGCGAGCCTCGTTGAGGGCCTCGAGCAGCTCGGCTTTGGCGTCGTTGAATGACGGCTCAACTTCAATTGGATGGAACTTGCCCGACACCGGGAACTAGAGGCGTATTAGGAGTGCGAGGCTTTATGGAGTGGGATTTTCAGAGCCATCACATTGTTCAATACGGAAGCGTACCTTCTCTGCGGTGTGAAGCCAGTGGGTTTGGCCGAAGAGCTTTGTTTTCTCGGGAACATTGCGAAGGCGAGGCGTGACGGGGGTTATGGATGACGATGAGGAAAGAACCAATGGCGCAGAGTGATTTGATTGATTTGATTGATTTGAGGAATGATTCTCGCGTTCCGGTGCTGGTGATTTGTCTTTGTTCTGCTGCGCCGGGGGTTGTTGATGGGCTTGTTGTTGATCTCGGGGATAACCCACCACGAGTCCTCGGCTCAACACAGGGCCACTGGACTGCGAGGCCTCGCTCTGGGTCGTAGAACTGGAAATAGAAACAGTAGGCACTAGTTCATTGGTCTTTCTTAACACGTCCACGGGGCTCCCATCGCGATACGTGCATTGCATTGGCTCCCGAGCCCGCACACAACTGGCGCAGGGCTGGTCCTGATCGCAGCGGATCTTGCGGCGTCGGCACTGCTCGCACGACCGCGCGGGGCGGCGGCGACGCCGTTTGGGCAATGGACCGGCTGCAGGCAACATGATCGGTGAATCTCTCAGTTTGAAGACCGACTTGAGGATGCAAGTCCGTCGGTGATGACGGATGGGGTGGCGATGGATATAAGTTGGTGTGGTAGCACCGAACTTTATGACCGAACTATTACTGACAAAATTATGGTGCATTTAGCGGACATGTATGGGGAGAAAGCGCCCTAATATTATTGTCATCACCTTCTAAATGCCGAACTTTAGCACCGAGGCCGAGATTCCGGGGCCGGTCTTGAGTCCCGATTCACTTCACAACGTGATGAAGGGGGTATTTAAAAAGACTGCTCAATCATGAATACTCATATTAAAAACAGCACAGATCAATTCATCGGACTCCTCTGCGTCTTTCAAGATTACAGTCGAGAATACCGAGTTCACCATGTCCACAACCACACTCGATGCCGCTACCCTAGAGAGCGGGAAGAACAGCCCTTTGGAAATCAATGACAAGACTCCAGAACTACGGGAAGGCGGCACACGGGCTTGGCTGACGGTGGCCGGCTCTTCAGCTGCTTTGTTTGTCACATTTGGATGGGTCAATTGTATCGGGTTGTTTCAAGCGCAATACGAGATGGTTCAGTTGAAAGAATACTCGAGCTCCGTCATCTCGTGGATCCCCTCGGTAGAGTGTAAGTCAACTTTGAGACACAGGTTCGCATCTATGCTAAGTATTTCGCAGTCTTTTGCATGCTTTTCTTCTCACCCGTCGGCGGAAGGCTATTCGATAACTATGGCCCCCGGGTTCCAATCCTCATCGGGTCCTTCATGCACGTCTTTGGCTTGATGATGCTCAGCATCTCGAGCGAGTACTACCAAATCATGCTGAGCCAGTCCATCTGTTCCGGAATCGGATCCTCCCTAGTTTTCTCTCCAGCTCTCACTGCTGTAAGTAATTCCAAAACAATCTCACCACCATTAAGACAAGCCGTTGACCGCCGGACAGGCTCAAACATACTTCCAGAAGAAGCGAGGGATCGCCCTGGGTCTCGTAGTCGCAGGCTCCTCCATCGGGGGTGTTGTCTTTCCGCAAATGGTCCAGCACCTGATGCCCAGCGTGGGATTCGGCTGGGCGGTTCGCACCTGTGCGTTCCTGATCATGGGGATGCTGATCTTTGCCAACGTGACCATCACGTCCAACTGGGAGCACAAGCCGCAGACCTTTGACATCATGTCCTACGTGCGGCCCGTTGGCGAGGCGAATTTCTGTATTATGGCCGCTTCTTGCTTCTTCCTCTACTGTAAGTGGGCGGGCACCCTGAGCACCATGGGATCCTCCGAGCCAACTCTGACGCAGGGGGCATGTTTGTGCCGTTCAACTACATTGTGACTGAGGCGATCCACTACGGGATGAAGCAGTCCTTGGCAATTTCTCTCGTCCCCATCATGAACGGGGCAAGGTAAGATCTTCCGCCCTTGTCCATTATGGTGCCACGTTGGCTAACACGATAAGCTTCTTTGGGCGGACGGTACCCAACTACGTGGCTGACAAAGTTGGCCGCTTCAATGTCATGATTGTGATGGTATTTCTCTCAGCTGTCGTGGTCCTAGGCCTATGGCTCCCCGGCCGAGGTGACGGTGCGCTAATCGCCTTTGCCGTTCTCTTTGGTATCACTTCCGGCGCTGGCATTGGCCTGGGTCCAGTACTCATCACCAACATCTCGCCTCCTGAGGAGCTTGGTTTCAGAATGGGCACCATCCTGTCTATTGCAGCGATTGGCACACTGACCAGCCCTCCAATCGCGGGAGCAATTGTGACAGATGACGGAGGTAGCTACAGGTACGCCGCGGTGTTTGCCGGGGTGAACTTTCTCATTGCGGGCCTTGGGATTGGGCTGCTCCGCGCGCGACTGGAGGGGTGGAAAATAAATGCAAAGATCTAGACGGCGCCATACACTATGCATGTATGATGAGTTGTTGTGGCGGCGACAAGGATAGAGTTGTTTTGCTGGGCTGAGCGAATGGAATACAAAGTCACCCCTCTTGTTTAGAAAAGAAAAGAAATTATTTTAATGCTGAAAGATGGATTCTGCTAAATTATGCTAGCCTTGGTTAGACCTGCAGACTCGTCGCAAAAGGAGGTGCATATCGGAGGTGGCTAACACGTACATAAGTAATGCTAAGACAAGTTCGAAAGTCTGAGCCACAAAACGGGACGCGGAAACGAGGAGGGAGGAGCCAACCCGTTGTTTTCAGAACATCAGATGTGAATCGACACATTTTCGGCCATTTTATTCTCTTCTCTAGTTTGGGAGTTCGTTCGAGGACTCGGATGAAGTTCGGATCTCGGCGGTGATGTGGCTACATTGGCCCAGCGGATCGCACCCGATCTGTAATAACGGCGATTAATGATGATCGACCTGGTTAATGCAGACTAAGACGTTGTCATGGTCTTGCCAATGCGAATATGTGATGGCCGGAGAACAACATTGAGGCCCCTCTCAAGCCGGCCTTCTATACCTGAAACCTGCATTGTGAGCTGAGAATCTCGCGCCAAGGCGCCGACTCCAGCCCTGTGCGAGTTACACACAAAAATAACTCCTCCAAGACCCAAAATGGAATTATCCAGGGGAAAAAAGCAGGTTGATTGCATATACGAACCGTGGCTTACACTAGGAGCTGGCAGAAGAAACGGCGGCATCATGTTCGCGCCGTTCGATTGGCTTCCGAGATATCGGGGCATTGGCGTTCGTCTCAGCTGGTATCCCAGGCCGGACGGAGTACGCATATCATGATGATGGTATTTTTACCTAATAACACCGTCCCCAGGCAATCGATACCTGCACCGCGACTTTGAGTAAAACAATGTCCTCAAATCAGAGAGTCGGCGGCTTGGCGTGATTGCACCGAGCCGCTTGCATATGCCACCGTGTTTAGATCGGTAGCTGAGCCTTCATCCGTCTCGCCCAACGGCGACGATGCTTTTTCTGTGTCCACCCAGCCCTGTATCCAGCCCTGCAATTGGCGTCCAGCCGGACTGAATTGGCTTATTTGGCCGAGTTTGATTCAGCCAGCCTTCCCTGCTTTTATTAGCCAGCATGTTTCCGTAGTCGGGATTCGCCAGCCTAACATGCAGGTTGTGCTGTCTGTCTTACATCACTAGGGTCATGGCCCAGTATATGCACTACGCGTGCTCAGTATGTTACACTGGGCACCAGCCCTGCGCTAGGTAAGAGGCCTTCGAGAGGTAACAAGTATCCAAATGGGTGCGAAGAGGCTGCATTAAGTCACCATCAGAGGGATCCGAGTTCGTTCCGAGAGGCTTGTGGCTATACGAGCCGGGCGAAGCCAAAGAGAGACACAGGGGTAACACAAGACATGGGGTATACTAAAATGAGGACCTGGCAACAAAGAACAAAGACGGTGGACGCGATGACGCTAGGACTGCCTATGGTTGTTTATGGCTTGTCAAAGCTGAAAGTGGCGGTTCTTGTTGTTTCTGTCGAGGAGGCCGAGAGACGACTGAGAGAGGATCGAGATTGAGAGCAGACACCGAGTGAGGCCAGCTGATGGACAGGGAAAAGACTCCCTCACTCACGGCCTAGCGCGAACACATCTCAACCACGTATACAGAGAGCCTTGGGATCCGGTGTCAAGTTTTCGAAATCATCACCCTCATCACCATCCCTCCAACACAAGGCATCAGATCATCTTACAAACCATTCACTTCAAACAACTTCTCCTCCTCAAGAACCCCAAACCCTCTTCAAAATGAAGTTCTCTGCCATCACTGTCTTCGGCTTTCTCGCCGCTGGTGCCATCGCTGGTGGTGACGACTACAAAAAGTCTAACAAGTGCTCCAAGATCATCTGGGAGCCCGCGAGATGCAAGCCCATCCCCTACGGTGACAAGCGCGACGTGGAGGAGCGTGAGGCCGAGGCCGAGGCCGATTATGGCGACTACTCCTACCCGTCCAAGGTCTGCCACATGAAGTGCCCCGACAAGAAGGCCAAGTACACCAAGTACGGCTGGGACTATAGCTACGCTCGATACGAAGGCTCCTTCGACGTCTCTGTCGACTGCAAGAAGGGCGGCGACTACAAGGTCACTGGCGTTGTCGGCCCTTGTGAGCCTGGCAGCAAGGACGACTGCCTCACCGTCACCTACAAGGGCGGATACTGGCCTTCGGACAAGAAGATCTCGTACCTGGGCATCTACCCCTCGCCTTCCGGCCCCAAGTCCCTGAAGAAGCTCAACGCCAACGCCTACTGCTTCGGCGACAAGTGCACCATACCCTTCTCCGAGATTGGCGACCACGGTGATCTCTGCGGTGACAAGTACTACATTGCTATCGACGCCGGCCGCTGCCCTTCTGAGCCCTACGGTCAGAAGTCCGCCGACAAGATCTCCTTCGTCAAGCTTGAGATCGAGTGCATCGGCAAGAAGACGTGCCAGTCTTGGTGCTGCAAGACCGACTACTGAGCACATGACTATACGAAAAACAAAAAACAGCATTAATGACCGGCCGTTGATGGCGCTGGCATCATGTGGATATGAGAATGCAATGGAGATGGATGATCAGGACACTCTGTGGAAAAAAGTTTCTCTTCGACTATATTCATTTTGGTAGTTATTTGGGCGACGTCTCGGGATGTTGCATGTGAAATCAATCACGAATTGTAACCGAACTTGTTCAAGAATCTGAAAGCCTGCCTTCACTTTGTGAGATTTGACCCGGCGATGCCTCTGGGGAAAGTCTGCGCTACAATCCCACTGGATACTGTCACATTTTGGGTCATATTTTGGCTTCACCACAAAAGGCGTCTAGAGGCGGCAAGAGGTTAGATCCAGGGTTGGCTTTAATCCCAGACAGCTCTTTCAGCTCCGTCGGCTCCGTCTACTGGCGGAGGTTTCCACCCAATTGAGTACCCAACCTCGGCCTGTTTGCCTTGCATGGCGTAGCTGGGTATGGCGCCTGGAGAGTATTGATCAAGGCTTCTTTTCTGGACGCCATCCACCGTGGCAATGTGGTAGTGGCCTGGCCATTGCGATGGGCTTCTGGTCTACCCATGCTACGGCCGTGGCTTGCTACGTAGTCAATGTGGCGGCCGTGACCGTGCTAGCCAGGGACAACGCCAGGGGACCAAATGTGAACCGCAGGGGACTCGATGGTCTAGATTTAGTTTTGTGGAGAGGATTCGAGCCAATTGACTTTGACCATCAAGGTTGGACAAAGAGGCGACCTGTTGTGCTTTGGGAGCCTGAGAATCTCTCACAGTGTGATGGAAGTCTAGGCCTCTAGCCCTGTAGCCCTTTGATCGGACCCTGTCCACCTAGATGCTTTTTTGGGTTATTGACAAGGATATCTGATTTTGTTTAAAAAAAAAAAAAAAAAAAAAAAAAAAACCAATTGCCTTCGTTTTCTCTGAGCAGTATTGTAGGACAAAATCAGGAGGAGACTGACTACATGGTTAGGCACTGTGTATCGCGGGACGTTGATGGGGGGTGCAAGGTTGAAGAGAGCATATGAGCAAGTTCGCAACTCTTCCTCAGGTTGTAACCATTCCAACAGGGTTGGCCAGATGGTAGATAGATGCACATGGCCTAATTCGATGGAAAAACCACCCTGATGAAGTTAACAAAGCGCTCCGCTTCTTCGCTACCCCAGGGGGGTCAGGCCGTTCGGGTTGACGTTTCATACCCCCGGGGTTGATGATCGACACCCCGGTTTAAGCTTGTAGGCAATCCCCGCGAATCGAAATTCTGTGAGGCCAAGAGTCGTACTGCGAGACATGCCCTTGGACAACACCTTGCGAGAGTGAAAAGCCATAGTTATCCAGGTTGATGAGTGAACTAACGAGAGGTATCTTGAGGAATTGGTGCGCCACGGGCATGGTACGTGGGGTGGCTGCCACCCACCCCCAGGGGACCGAGTGCTTCAACCTAAGTTACGGCGAATATGAAAGAACGCGCCCCAGAAAAAAAGGAAAGATCTCTACCAGATAAAATTGCAAGATTGAACCGTACTGGAGTGCAGTTTGCTCCTGAGAAACTCTCATGCCTCAACTATGTCCTGTTCGTTACAGGCAGCTACACCCCCCCACGACGTTGCTGGGCCACTCGCCACGGAAAGCGCCATCTATTCTTCTATTCTATCCATCGAATTCCATTCCCCTGCAGGCCAAATGGTCACCAAACTCAATGTTGGCGGGTCCCCTGGTCATATAATCATGGCCGAGTTGAGTTCCTGCATTTCGCTCATTCCGTACACCCCAAACCTCGGTATGGTTGGATCGTGACTCGACACTCGCACCTTCATGGCCAGCTACATCGCTACGTACCACGTCGAAACTGCATCCTACCAACTCAATGCTTCTGTAAGAAGTCAAAATACCTTGGAGGTCCATGTTGTCACTGATTCAAGGTTGATGGAGGAATTGGTCCCTGCCCGTCTCATAGTAAATTCACCACACCAAGGGAATCAAACTTCACACACGATGAGGACAGGACCAAATTTCAAGAGTATGCCAACCAGGTTGAAAGAATCGTGCAGAAATGGATTGAATCCTGTCGAAACGAGCGCAACCCTTTTGAAGTGTCTCCAGCATCTATATAATCCTTTCCCCTGGTTCTGTTTCTGCCCGTCCTTCCTTCCCTCCATCCCATCCATGTAGACAAGTAGCAAGCATCATCTCTCCTGACTTTCATCAAATAATTCTGAAGAGTCATCAAGGTTCATCTAATTCATTAACCTCAACTGACTATCATCTTTGATAACACAACTACACACTCTCGCCAACAACAACTCATATTTGGCAGCTTCTGCTTGCAGTACTTCATCAAGCCGCCTTCAATCTCACTAAATACCCCACAAAAACACTCCTAACAATGGCCGCTAACATGTCGACTCCCAACGGAAATGACCTGCACAAGTGGACGGCGCTGGTAGAGGCTGGATTTGATGCCTGTTTCGGTCCAGAGTCGCATGACCATGGGGATGCTTTCGATATCTTTTCTCCTGACCATCCATCACTGGAAACCACGGAGTGTTTCCAAAACAACAACTCCGAACTAGGCTTTTCCCAGTATCTCGAGGACTCCTTGTTCTCCGAGCTCGAGATCCCATCTTGCGGCGAGCCCATTTCTCCCATCGAGCATGAGTTCACTTCAAGTGACAGCAACAAGGAGGGCTCAACAACTACAGCGAACTCTCCGAGTTCCCTGTTTTCCGTCGATACTCCGACGTCCCAGACTGAGCCTCAGCCTCAGCCCCAGCCTGGGGCCCAGCATCAGCCCCAGAGTCAAATGATCAACAATAACGATGCCGACTCCTCCTGTTCCGACCTCCAGGATCCTGTCTTCAATGTGAGCACTTCTCACGTTGAAGACAAACCTGACCACCAAACTCCGTCTCCCACTTTGGCTCCACAGACCCCCAAAGTTTTGCCTATTCGCCAGCCTCTGACCCTCCCCAAGCCTCTGGCACTTCCCCAGCCTTTGATTCTGCCAACACCTCTGTTGCAGACTCAAACTCAGGCTGGCACTCCTACAGCCACGGGAACCAAGCGAAAGGAGTCCCCAGTTGACCTTGAACTGGCCAACAAACCCAAGGCCAGCCGCGCGGGCAAGAAGTGTGTGCCCAAGTCATGCTGTCGCTGTAAGCGACGCAAGGCCAAGTGCATCAGGGACGGCAGTGGGGATTGCACATCCTGTGCCAAGGCAGGTCTGCCCTGCATCTGGGAGAATGTCGACCTCCGAGAGAAGTCGGCCGTCAGTGAGGTCCTGGAAACAAAGAGGATCGCCCACCACAAGGCGTACATTGCCGCAGCGGACCTTGTCGCCAAGTCTTATGGCTTTGTCCAAGAATCGGTCCCCCACGCCAATGTTTTCGACGGAGTCATTGCCTCACTCACAGAGAAGCGGAATGCCAACTCAGATACACTGATCCAGGCCATGCCAACCATCGCACGTTGCGTGGCCGCCATGGGACTGGTCATCACAATCGACCCGGCCCAGAGTGCACCAATCCCGCTTGTCAACCAGAGCTCGCACACCAAGCCACAGCTCAAGAAGCATCTTGACGCTTACGAGCGTGCTTCGGGAGATATGATCAACAACTTCCGCAAGGCCATTGTTGCCATGATGACGCCAATTAATGAGTGGCCAGAGGCACAGGCCTCAGAACGCATCGAACTGTGTGCCTTGGTACTCTCGTTCAACTTCGACAAGATTATCGAGTGGGGTGCCTCGAGCGATTGGGCACAGCAGCTGGTGGAGCAATGGGAGGCGAAGAACAACTAAGAAAGTTGATTATAGCAGCATAGACAGAAAGTCGTGGGCATTTGGTACGGAGTTTGGGAACTGTTTGCATATGATACCCTCAATGGACAGGAATGGGGAAAGGATAAAACATACAGGCCAGAAGCCAATAACAACGAGCATTGTTTTGTGATACTACTAAGAAGACGATTCATAGAAATTATGACTTGATTCAAATGTGCTTGTATTCTATCAATTCGCTTTCGTGATGCTATTCTCAATTGAGGACTTGCGACAAACTCTACGGACTTCTAGTGTAGTGCTGTGCTCACCATGGACATCTAACTCCAAAATAGCCCAACTTGAGGAGCCCAAGGTCGCATGCAGTAGCATCTCTTAGACCTTGGACTGCTGGTAGTTGCTCATTGCTTTTTGGCGTTCTTCTCGGCTGTCTTCTGGGCGATGATGCCGTCAATCCGCTTAAAGGATGGATAACCCTCAAAGAAGCAACCCAACTCCCACGCCCACCACACGCCACTGAACCTCTCCACACCGTGCTTCTTCAGGCGCCCGTCGAAGATGGAGCACTCGATGACATGGATGCCAATGACCGGCCAGAAGATGGTCTTGACGGTCCAGCGGAACCCCTCCGCGCCGCCAGGGAAGGCTGCCTCCAGGAGCGGCCACGCAGGGCTCCCCGGGACGACCCAGGGCAGCGACGCGGCGCAGCAGAAGTAGAAGATTACGGCGCCGAAGACGAACATGCCGAAGCCCTCGGGCCACTTGAAGGACGTGATGATGATGTCGCTCAGGCCGAGCGCCTCCCGCGCGGTGTGCGCCATCTCGATGATGCGGCCCTTGGCCTCAGCCCACCCGGCCAGCGGAGGCTCGAAGGGGACGGTGAAGTCGCCTCCGCGGGCGGTGATTTTCATGCCCTGGAAATCCAAGTCGCGCATCTCAGGCGATGAGGCGGCTCGGGCTGAGGCGCGCGCATAGTGTCGCAGGTAGTAGGTCAGCTCGCGCGTGTGATCCTTGTTCATGTGCGAGATGATGCGGGCTTTGTGGGGGGAGCTGGCGGCGTCCATGGTGGCGTAAAGGGGGCCTGTGGCGAGACTCGAGATGTGTGGAATTGAGGGCCAATCGGCGAATATCCCGAGGTTGAAGGTGTTGTGGGTGATGTTGCGGATAATCTTGAAGAGGCGGAGTTTGACCCAAGGGACGTTGAAAGTGGAGCTAATCGCCGACCCCGGCCTCCGAGTAGTTTCGGGAGACACACAATCCCGACGGATTCCGGCAAAGGAGCGGTCGCTTCACATGTGCCTTCGCATTGAGCCGGGCAAGGATGATGCTTGAAGACCGAATAGGCCTGTCGACATATTTGAAATACTAGAGAACGTCTTAGGGTATATTGCAACTCAACCCAGCCATCCATCCCTCCCAGTTCCTGAGCTCCGTTTGCCGTTACCCGCAGGCATTGCAACCCCAACCCCGTGACAAATGAAAACATTACCAGCTAGTCAGTTACGGTAAGGACCGAGAATTACGTTGAACAGTTGATTTTCTTTTCACCAAGCCAGCGCTAATCCTCCCACGCATCGGAAATCAAATAGGGACCCGTCAGGGCCATCAGGGGCTGAGCGGGCCTGGTTTTGGCGTGACAAGACTGCCCTCGTCGCCGTCCGAGTCTTCTACCTCCACTCGAGTTGTCGTTGTAGTCTTGACTCGGATACCAAGTCTGTCTCCCACGTGCGAAATCATGGAGAACCCAGAGAACCTGTGGCCTGCCTTGATCTGCGTCCACACATCGCCTCGGGCTTTGTCGCCAAGTTGCAGGTCCAGGTCCAGCTCTCTTTTCGTCGTCTTGCCCTTCGTCGAAGAGTAGTGTCCTTTGGAAGGCTTTCGTAAAACCGACGCCCCTCCTTTCGAATTGGTCTTGATCGGGGGCAGCGCCATGTGGTTGGAGGAACGGCTTAGGCTGCGACGGCTTGTGAAAGTCGGGATGGTGGTTGGAGCCGCGGGGACGAGGAGCTTCCAGATGCCCGGCGCACACGCTAGGATGATCAACGTAGAGACCTCGATGCCAGTCCAGATGAGCCGGTCGTCGTACTCCCAAGGTTGCTCCGCCGTGGACGTCTGTGTGACTACACATCGTAACCGCAGACCCGACATTGCTATCGCCAGGACGCCAAGAGCGAACATTACCCCAGCTCCCAACTTGACCTGTATCTGCATATTGAGTTGTCGTAGGAGCGGCAGGGGGAGAACCAAGACAATGGCGGTCTGACCGATATCGAAACCCAGTTTGAGATAGTAGAGTAGGTGGAGGTCGAGACATCGTTGATCATCAGATTCGAGCGACCATCCAAGCCACGAGAAACTGACTGGCGAGCACTGAAAGGTAAGGACGAAGACCATGACAAGAGTTGGAACCAGGATGAGCGCCAGGGTGGAATAGGCGACAATCTTAAATCGGGTGCCGGAAAATGTCTTCAAGTAGAAGAAAACGATGGAGGCCTTGGCGAGACCGATGCAAAACAATGCGAGCTTGTCCACAATGAAGAGGATCTATCCTAGGCGTTAGCGATTCATCCGAGTACCATAATCCTTCTCAAACGAACCTTCAACCCGTTGATCACGCCCTGTTCGCCCACCTGCGACGCGTCGACGTCGAAAACATTGTGATGCACTGTGAATGAAATTTAGCGATACTCGCAGGCAAGGAAGGCCTGGATAGCTCACCTATGTGGACACAAAGAATATATATCGTATAAAACACCTAGTCATTCGCATAAGTTAGCATTCCACAAAGTACATGCAGTTACTATTGACATACCCAGCAAGCAGACATTACGTAGTCGTCTCCCCGGACCCCCTCCAATGACCTCCAGCTTGAGAATAGTCGAAGCCAAGGGCAGATCCAGGCTGGAATCTCGGCCGCAAGTAGATAGTAGAATCGCTTTTCCCGTGTCTGGATTGGTTTGTCGCAGGCCTGGTATTGGACTTCGTTGACCCCTACACTCGTTAGTCTCCAGGATCGACTCTCCGTTCACGGAAAAGACGCACATAACCGATCTAGTACAGAGCAGTTTTGCAAGATGCAGTCCTGGGATCTGGCCCAGGATCCCTCTTCATTGCAAAAGTCCGCAAGAGTCGAGCCATCGACCGAGTCCCCCCCAGCCGCTGAAGAATAACATTGTACCTGAAAGAGTGAGTAACAGTGTGCAATCATACGAGCCAGATATCGCAGGGAAAAGGCATACCAGACAAGTTGGTAGTTCGTCAAGAACTTCTGTGATGTCGGTGATTTTGGTGTCAGTCGCGCCCGCAATGGTTATCGACAGAAAAACTGCCCAAAATGGTAGCCACATCACTCCGCACCATCCGAAAATATTATGGATTATCAGTAAACGAAAGGATACGCCCCGAGGAGGTGGAAGAACACAGTTCTTGGCTCGTTGGACATTCGGACTCAGTGCCAGCAGATCGTCGCGATGCAGTTGTAAAGATGGGGCCACGGGGAATATTTCTAAAGAGGATGTTGGGCATGAAAGCATAAGGGGTGTTCCAGAATGAGCATGGACGTTTGTGTGAGATCTCAAGACGGTGCTAGTGCTAGTTCTGGCGGTCACTGCAACGGTTGAACAGCGCATATCCTTGCTTCTACCGTCGGCAGTTTAATCGAGTCGACCAGGCTCCGAAGCGTGAGACCCATGCAAAAGAAGATCTGGCCTGCCAGCACCAGAGGCAGCGTGCCACAGCTTGGCACACAGAGCCTCCGTAATGTTGAAGAGTGGAGCGTGGTGGATGCCGTAGATCCTGGTGAATCCTGGCCACTGCGGCGTAGATGTCTTTGGTCACCGACTTTCACAGCGCGGGTACGGCTTGAACATCTGTACGATGGAAATTAAACGACGGGGCATCTTTGAACATGGGGCAGGAATGAAGCCGAGGCAGTTCGTGCATCTCTGGATGCATTGCGAAGGATGAAACAATGTCACACCCCATGCGTTCTTCGCGCGGCAAGATCGTGGGGTTCGGCCCAATCGCGGAGCTTCAACGTCCGCCTTGGGAAGTAAACCGGAGACAGCTCAAGGTCCATCTCGATTAGAGCGGCTGTCGCGAAGCGAGTTGAGGAGGGAGGGGAGCATGGGATTGGAACACTGGGCAGACCGCATCTTGCCATGTATCGTGCGACAAACCGGCCGCTAGTCGGGAGATCACCACATTCAAATGGGGTATATGTGCCACCACAAAGGCACCCATGCATAGAAATGATTAAGATGAAACCGCGGTTCCTGCAACAGCCTCAGCTGGAGGTACCAGCATTGTCGCCTCGCACGGTTCAGCTGGAAACCAAAGCGTTTGTTGTCTTCGCTCCAACGGAGCACCAGAGCTGAAAATACCGCTCGGTAGATGCATTACTTACCCTTCGTCCACGGAAGTCCTTGGGGCCGGGCTCGAGCGATGGGAGATGACCCCTTCAACGACCACGAGAAGGGAGATTGCATTGATCGCTGGTTGACTCAGACCGGACGATCCGTCAACAAGGTCAGCCATGAGAAGACAAGGGAGTCAACAGAGACTCCATATCTATTTCGGTTCTTTCTCTCCATGCATCTCTCCATGCAACCCCCCATATTGCGAGCCGCCCGAAGCACAGAAAATCCAGGACCCCAGAAGTGGAGGGATCCGGCAGTTCTGCGAAACGGGACATGGAACGCCTTGGAGATATTAAAAAGCGTGGATTGTCGTCTCGAATCGGGCGCTATCAACAAGCACCCGATCGTGGACCCACAGCATGCAGAAGGCCTGAAACGGCTCTCGAGCGTTAGGTAGCAAGGCCTTCCATGCTTCTATTTGGACAAATCGCCTGTTTCTAGCTTTTCTTCTTCAGCGACCAAGAGGTTAGCGTGAGAAGCCACCCGCATTCTCGGATCAACGAGTGTGCTAATAAGAGAGATCGCTAGCCGGTGCCTCAGCTCCCTCTGCCCGACTGTTTGGAGACTGAGCACCAAGCGGCGATCCGGCTATAGTGTCCACATTGGGGTACGCTGGGTCTTTAGTCGCGACTTGGAAGCCATATACTTGGAGATTTGCCTGCCTCAGCAGCGGTAACAGGCCAGCTTGGCACGGGTCGGAGCCGCAAGTTGGATGTGCAACCCAGGATGACCAAGGCCGAGTGACTGCAGGTGCTCGGTGCCTAATGAATGACTCACGAATGACGCAAGCCCCGCGCGCCTCTGAATGTCGATTAAAGATGTTTGCCTATGAAGATCAGCCGTGAGATGTGTTCCGAGGACGATAAATCCGTCACGTAATCCGGGCGATCGGGTGGAGCTCTGGAGCGGTTCACAGCCGGCTGGGCGGGGCCTCGGAGCTCCGAGCTCAGGCGAAGTTGCAAACTGAAGAGTATAAAGTCAGGTTGAAGGCATGAGCCCGGAGAAGTTGGCCCTGGAATGCGGGTTGGTTGCAAGAAGCTGGACTGTATGCAGAATGAGCCAGGGGTCAAGGCTACAGTTTGAGTTTTTTGCATGCGAGGTCTCAATTGAGGCGTTTTGGTGGAAAGCTTGGAGGAGGTCGAAGAAAGCAGCCGTGCGCGGGGTGCTAATAGCACTGTCTCCAGCGCGGCTGAGTCAGCAATTATGGACAATTCTACACGGCCATGTCCAAGCCGGCTCGGAGCTCCGCTCGGCTAAAGCGTGAATTAACGCGGGGGCAAAACTCTTCAGCCGACTTTATCAGATCAGATTGATAAAGAAATCCCTTTTCACTTGCTGAGGTCCCCTCCCGCCCCAGAACGCTCACCCTCAACCTTCGTAACTCCGAACCGCGTCTCCAGGCGCCAAAGCAGGCTCAAGCTCACGCGCTCAGCAGGCTCAGGCTCCGGCTAGCAAGCATGACCGACCGAAGTGAGACCCCGGACTCGGACGACGACCGACCCGGGTCGCGCAACAGCTCCGGCCAACCGCCCGCCCGCAAACGGCAGCGAGTCCGCCTGAGCTGCCTCGAATGCCGTCGCCGCAAGCTGTCGTGCGACCGGGGCTTCCCGTGCGAGCGCTGTATCAAGAGCGGCACGCCCGACCGGTGCAGCTACGAGTCCCGCAACGGCGAGGTCGTAAACGCCTCGTCCGGCGTGCCTCCGCCCTTCGCCCAGCTGGACTCCCGCCGCTTCGGCGTCGACCCGGCCATCGGCCTGTCTCCGCGGGACCCCGAGTATGCGCGCCAGGATCATGATCGCATCCGCCGCCTCGAGCTGGAGATTGCCCAGCTCAAGACCCAGCTGACCCGCCCTGGCGTCAACTTCGACGGGAGCACTGTCGCCGGCACCACCACCTCGCCCGTCACTCAGAAGGACGATGCCAACCCAGGTGAGCCGGATGCTTCGGTCCGTGAGGTCCACGAGTCCATCGAGGCCACCAACATGTCCGGGGAGAAGGGCGAGCTGCGCTTCTTCCGTGGACGCGGCTTCCGCACTCGCTACTTCGGCCCGCACAATGCCAGCATGGCCTTTGTCGAGTTGACTGGACTGTGCCCCTTTATGAAGGAAACCGCCGACGAGTGGCTTCGCCCCGTCATCCTTCATGATCGCAAGGACCGCAAGCGGCGTCAGTATGACCGCGAGCAAATCTTTGAGAAGCAAGATGCCGACCTGGAAGCTCTTCTCCCAACCAGGGAAGAAGCCGATGCTCTCGTCAATGTCTACCTTGAACAGTTTGAGCAAGTCCACCGCATCGTTCACATCCCTACGTTCCGCAAGGAGTACGACCAGTATTGGGACAATCCCGGCACCCCCAAGCGCTACGCAGCCTTCACTGCTCTCATCCTCTCCATGTTGGCAGTGGCCAGCTGCGTCCACACCCACGACCATCTGAAGTTCGTTGGCATGATGTCCAATGCCCGCCACTGGGCTGAGAAGTGGATCAAAGCCTGCGACAAGTGGTCCCAGAAACAGAGCCAGAAGCACCGCCGACTCATCCATTACCAAGTCGCATGTATGCTGTATCTTGGCAAGCGTGTCAACACTATCAAGAAGAAGCGATTCTGGACCGGATCCGGCGCCCTCATCCAGGATGGTATCGCAGTTGGCCTACATCGCGAGCCAAGTCACATGGCCGCCAAGATCACCGTCTTCCACCAGGAGATGCGTCGGCGCATCTGGGCAACTGTGCAAGAATTCGACATGCAGGCGTCGTTCGACCATGGTCTGCCTACTCTTGTCAGCCAGCTTCACTACGACACCAATGCGCCACGCAACCTCGAGGATGATGACTTTGATGAAAGCACAACGGTCCTACCTCCATCCAAGCCGGCCAAGGAATATACCTTCTCGTCGTTCCAAAACCTCGCAAGGCAGAGTTTGCTGTTGCGTTTGGAACTCAGTCGGCTTCTCACGGGCCCTTTGTCGGAAATCGACTATGATCAAGTCATCCGGTACACGAATGACTTGACACAAGAAATCGACTCTCTTCCTTCCTGGGATACCAACGCCACTAATACCAAGGGGATGAAGAACCCGATGATTGCCTACACATTGTTGCACGTCCAGCTCAGGCAGTACATCATTCCCCTCCACCAACCCTACCTCAAACTACGCAAGCAGAACTCCAAATACCAATACTCGGAGATCATCTACTATAATGCTGCTCGGGATGTCGTCCTTCTTCACGACAAACTCTACGATCAGGGCGTGCGTTCGCTGAATTTCCTTCGAGAGGACGCGCTTACCACCGCCATCAACCTCTGCAGCGTCACCATGCTGCAGCCGAGAGGCTCGACCAACATGATCATGATCAACTCCCACCACACCCTCAAGCTGATCGAGAAGTGTATTTCAATGAAGGAGGATCGTCTCCTCCGATGCGGCAACAATGAGCCGTGGGGATACTCCATCATGTGTGCCGCTCTCGGCCTACTCGAGGCCCATCTGGGCACCAAGGAGCCCGAAGTCGCAAAGTCCACGTCGGCTGAGCGCTTCGTCAACCTTCACTACCGCCTTTTGGCGAACCAAGAACCACCAGTTGCCGGAGAGCAACAGGGGCCGGGAGCACCGATCAACTCGGTGGGTGCGCCGGCGATTGGGCCGACTCCTAATATACCCTTGCACGATCGGCCAAAGGTAATGAACCTCGAGTTCCAGGGCAGGGCGTTTCCTAATATTGGTATCCAGTCTGTGCCGCCGTTCGCATATAACCCGGCGATGCCCGCCGCTCCGATCGATCCCAACCAGGCCCCATGGCTCATGGCTGGAGGAGATCAGACTCAGCCATTTAACCTAGATCCAAGCCTCGAGCTTCTCGGATTGAATCTGAATGAGATCTGGGGCGAGTCCTGGGAGCTTGGCTAATCTGCATCAAGACATACATATTAATAAGAATGTGGATTCTGTAAGCGTCATGAAGGATATAGGACTGTTGTGGTGTTTCTCTCTTTCTTTAGGGCGTTTTGGAGTGTTGGGGGATACCAGGTTACATCACGACTCAATCGCAACCACAGTCATAGAGTCTATGGCGGCTTGTGCCTTGGTTCTTCATTGTCTTTGAGAAGCAAAATCTATCTGTGGGTCTCAAAAAACAAGGGTCGCCAACTGACATCGTGCTCCAGTGCCAGCCAGTCTAACCTCAAAATCCCCCCCTTGTGCTGCAGCTAAAAGTTCCCCAACTCCACTGATGACCAGCATCTCCAAGGACCTGAACGTTCAAATCTCTTCCACTCCAGAATCTGATGCCTCCACCGGCTCCCGCTTGACGCATGACAAGATGGGATCTTCCTCGTATTGCTGACTTGTCTTGAGCTGGTAGATGTCGCGAGTGCAGTTGTGGACTTGGTGCCCAAGTGTCTCCAACGCTCTGAGCATACTGTCTCCACTCAACCCCGACGGGACGTTGAAAGTAGCGGCATTTCGGATGCGGGCCTGGTTGTCCTCTTCCAAGGCCGAGAGCCGTTGCTTAATATCCAGCATCTCTGCCAAAATTTGCCCGATATAGTTGTTGGCCGTGACGCTAGGCCGAGGGAGGTCTGCGATGCGCTTTCTGGTGCGTATTTCGGATTCCGCGACTTGGGCGGCGACTTGGGCGGTCAATTCCTGTTTTAGCCGCAGAAACATCATCCCCTGCTTGGCATCCTCGATCGGTGCAGCCCACGCTTCATTGGGCTTGGCAGCTTCAGGGGGCTCGGCAGTGTCCTTCGACTTCACACTACCAGCCGCGACAACATCTGTGCTGCTCTGATTGGTTTCGTCGGCCTCGGTGCCAATCGTGTTCTCTCTCTGCTCTCCCAAGACATTGGGTTCTCGGGCCAAGCTGGGGATGCTCTGTTCGGTTGCCTCATTGGCGGGTTCCTCCAAAACTGGGGGGTTGAGACCCTGGCAGGCCGTGTCTTGCTGCAAGTTCTTTTCACGGTCATCTGTGCCGGCGGATGACTCGGGAGGACTTAGGACCTCGGGAGGACTCAGAACTTCGGGAGTCAGCTGGGCCACGACATATCGACGGCGTCGCTTAGTTCGGAGGCTCATTCTTTGCCCAAGCGAGCCTCCGTCGGTGACAAGTGCGTGATGGGGTCGCTTTCGCTCGTTTGTAAAAACGACAGAGGGGGATGCACTGGAGGGTGCCTCACTGGAGGGTGCCGCACTGGAGGGTGTCGCAATGGAGGGTGTCGCAATGGACATTTTCGGAATATTGTTTTTCAATTCGCTGGGCGTCATACCAGCAGGCGTCTGGGCGGACCAGATGTCGGTATCGGGGAAGATGGTCTCGAGGGCTTCGATGACTCGGTTGCGGTTCTCGAGACGCTTCTTGCCGTAGATAGTACGGAATGCAATCCAGTATGCCCAGTTCCATCCTTCCTTGACGACAACCCGCCAGATGACATGGTTACTTGTGGTAGTTTGGCTTGAAGGCGTGAATTTGATGAAGGAAAGGATCTTGGCGAATCTGATCTTGGTGTAGTTGTCCCAGTTGTGGATGCCGTGGTTGAGGTAAATGTCCATGACAGCGTTGATGGGTTTTTGGTCAACTGGCTGATGGGAGAGGCTGATGGGAATCTCGAACTCGCGGCTGAGCGAGGCAACGGCATCGTTGATTGCCTCCGAGTAGGTGACGACGTTGGATTCTGCGATTGTCTTGGGGGGAGTGCCCGAGTTGACAGCAATGCTTGTCTCAGATGCGGTGTTGAACTCGGGTGTAGAGCTCAGCGTGGAGAGGATGCTTGACTCGACAGTCGAGGCTGCGTTGGATGCAGCGCTAGACTTGGGAGTGCCACTGGCCCGAGAAGGACTGCTAGCCTTAGGCACATCGACAACGATGGAAGTATCGTCGGCTTGAGGAGTGTTGTTGGTCTTTGGACGATGGACAACGATGGAAGTATCGTCGGCTTTGGGAGTGTTATTGGTCTTTGGAGTGTTGTTGGTCTTGGGAGTCTCATCGCCGTTGGGAGTGCTGTCGCCCTTTTTGTCGGCCTTGCAAGTTTTGCGAATCTTGCGAGGAGTGCTTGGCTGGAGAGCATCTACGTTCTCCGAGGAGTATCTCGACTTGTAGCTCCGCGAGGAGAGCCGTCTCGATGCACCCATGGTGACGAGGATTGATGAAAGATGAAAGGAGGTACAGATGATAAAGACTCCGTAGCGAGTTCGAATTCCTGCTGGAGGTGGCCTGCCGAGGGTGGCGCAGGAACTGGATGAGAGAGGTTTGGTGAAAGGGTAAAGGAAAGAAGGAGAGGAAATGGTGCGAGGTGAAGTGATGGATGTGCCTGAGGAAGCCTGCAGGCAACTGTCCGCGTTTGGGTGCTTGGGCTGTTTGGCAGCTGGCAATCGCCCGATGGGGAAATTTTGCAACCGTCGCGGTGAAGGGGCAGTGAGCATACAGTGAGAAGACAGTGAATGGTTGAATTTACTCTGTCTCAACCCAAACTGAGAGCGGCTCAAGTGATTGTCGATCGATTCTGAGTCAAAGCCTATATGAGTGACACCCACTCACCCGCTCCGTGTTACGTGCCTGCACATAACTCACAGGGCGGCCGTGTGACAACCCCGCGATGCTGGGGAGCAAACAGCAGTCTGCTGATCTATCAAGGTTCAGCTTGTTAATCGATTCCGTTGTTCGCCAGTTGCCAACATGGCAGCTCATTATTGGCGATGGACGCAATGACATCCATAACACGCATGGCTCCGCAGAAATAAATACACGTACGAGGTTCTAGTCAAGTGATCCGCACGCCTCGAGACGCCCCGTGTTGTGGTTACGTGCTGACGGTTGACTCCGTCACGAGTATTCCTGTCCACCACTCCTCGCAACATGGTTGCATTGAACGGGATGTACGAGTCCTCGGCTTTGTGATTCAAGACGATGCCGTAAAAATAAAACCCAGCACAAGGGGCCTCTTTTCACAAAACCCGAGCACCCATTATTCAAGGATCTACCCTTCATCGATTTAGTCAATATCACACTCCGAGCAGACAACAATAGCAACAAAAACAATATCACATCAATATCGCGATTATGAACGCCCACACAGAGCAGGGAAACCATACACCCAATGGAGGCAGGTACAACATCGAGTGTCCAAAGTGCCGTTTGAGGGTGCTCGAGGGCCAAAACGGTGCCGCGTTTGCGGCAAAAGGGTGTGGGACCGCAATCCAGGCATCAAGAACAGATTTCCTAATTCCCCATCACCAGAGCCAACTCCAGACCCCACGAAGAAGTCTGAACCTGCACCCAAGGAGCCTGAACCTGAACCAAAGAAGTGAAATTCGGGGGCTAATTTGCATCCGAATCCAAGGTACGTATACTAATACCAGGCAGGGTCAGCAGTCAGTAGCTACGAACTTGAACTGACAGTGGCGAGAGATGCAAAATGGCGACAGAAGCAACCTGCATCCCAAATTATCATTAACTGTCGATGGATTTTTTTTTTACCCAGCATTAAAAGGCAATAGCTATTTAAATAAGAGCACTGCTATTCGCACACATACAAGCCTACTATACGTACAATTGAAGAGTGTGCTGGAAGTCCCATCTCATTGAGTACCCCTTCAATTGCTACGTGTGAGCGAATTGTTCCTGGTTTCGTTGAAGACCGTCGGCATCACTCATTTCTTGCCTCATCACTGACCCATCCATTGCCTGCATTCATTGACGACGGCTCTAATCTTGGCCTGCATCCATTCACTGAACCATAGCTCTGCGATCCATTCTCTCGCTGCTCAGTTGACTCCTCACCCTCAACAAGGCCGGCCGTCAATAACCCACGAGTGCTCTCATTCTCTGCCTGCTCTTGACGCCGACGTAGTGAAAAGCTCCACCAAGGTGCGCCCCGTTTAGTCGCAAGAATGCCGATGATCTAGTTTTCAATGTTAGTCACTGTTTCCCGTGCTTAGTACGACCTCCATACCTGCATCAGACCAACTGCAGCCAGTACTGCAACCATCCCCCCGGCTGTTGCCTTGGTGGCGCTCTTCCAAGGTCCTCGACAAGGAAGAGTTCGACCATAGGTCTTCGCGCATGTGCTTGGAGCCGTCCCAGGGAAGGGATACGCACGATCTCTCACAGAGTTGAGTCCGCAGCAGTCGAAAGTATCCTGAATGACCCGGATGCCAGTGGCATCATGTGCGCGAAACATGGACATCCATGTTGTGTCAAGTTTGCAGTCAAGAGTTGACGAGGACACCACGTCTTCGAACAACAGCGTCGCAAGGATCGTGGCCACGAGACCTTGGAGGGTCTGGAGGATGAAGGGTGCGAGCTTGGCGAGGTGATTGGACGACGGTGAACTGCTGCGCAAGAGACGCTGGTGGAAAAGGGCATTGAAAAAGGCGCCGATTGGTAGTAGTATGACCAAAATGGAGGTGACGGGCGATATTGGGAGGGAGAGTGACGTGCTGTGCAAGTGAACCAAACTGGACCAAGATATTGTCAGTGGCGACGCAATTAGGGAGCGAGAAAGAAACCTACACAGCAACAACAACAAGCGCAATGCTGACCTGGAAATCCGTTAGCTAGGCATCCAAATCCATATTGTTGGGTGACGTACCAGCAAGTAGACGACAGCCAGGTTGAGCATCGTGTGAGGCTTCAGGGTGAGGCTCCCTGATAGGGCGGAGTCCGGCAGTACGTTAAGTGAGGTAGTGGGACGAAGAGGGAAAATAAAGACCGAGGAAGGACGAGAAGAGGGGTGCACTCTCGCGCTTTTATGACGTTTGAATATTCCCAGTCGCGAATCAGGCTGCGTTAGAGTGGCTCGACTCTATTGGTTCATTGGTGTGCACTGTGATGCGGGAGGCCGACCACAACAGACAAGGTTGCAATGTAACTTTTGACGCAGAAAAACAAAGACATGCATTGGCCGTGGTAGCGGCCAATGAACGTGTTGGCGGGGCTTGCTGCGCAACAACTCAGCATCGAAAATAGCATAGTCTGGCTCGTTTTTACCAGGGCGAGGATTGCGACGGGGATTCGGGCGATGAGAATGTCTCCATTTGCGGCTGATGGTGGGAAAGAAGAGGAGTTGAACACGTCCACTAGGGGAGACGGTCGAGCATTCAGGAAGAGACTCTTGGGAGGCTGTTAGAGGAGCGTGCAGATAGTACGGAAGAGACCTACCACTTAGACCCAGAAAAAGGGCTGTCATCAAGGGAACAGAGGTCTGAGGATGAAACCATGGCTTCCCAAAACTGCGACGGGGTTGGGGGCGAAAGTCGAGGCCGAACTCAACGATGGAAAGGAGGAGTCGACGAAGGTTGAGGCCGCAGACAACGAGAAGGTGAGGGTGGTGAAAATCGTAGCTGACGCCGCGAAGATGAAAACGAAGGAATCATGGCCAGAACCGTCGATCCCAGGAGGGGGATAGGAGAGGAGGGTGGTAGAAAAATCGTAGCTGACGCCGCGAAGATGGAAGAGAAAGAATCGTGGCTAGACCCATCGATCCCAAGAGGAGGTCATAACGACAAGGTAGGAGGGGAGGGTGGTGAAAATCGTAGCTGACGCCGCGAAGATGAAAGCGAAAGAAGCAAAGCTGGAACCATCGATCAAAGGAGGAGGTCATAACGAAGCTGACGTTGTGACCTCGAGGCCGAAGCCATAGGAGGGGAGGGTGGTGAAAAAATCGTGGCTGACGCCACGAGGATGAGAGAGGAAGAATCGTCGGCGAGACCGCGAAGGGGGCGCGATTTTTATGGGCAGCACCAGGGGCCGGCAGCTGCTCGCAGCTGGCAAGAAGGGATGACTCTTCCCGGGTTTGCCAATCCGGTTTTCAAAGTGCAAGGTCAGCAAACAATCAAGAATTTTCAAAACGCCAATCATTCGCTACATACTACGACACAAGATTGCAATAAAGACACGCACCAGGTGAGTGGCATTCAGGTTTGGGCTCATCTTGGCAATCGCCCAACGTTTAGTTCATCACTATCACTGATAATGCCAGTCCATCCCCATGTGTTCCATACAAGTTGCAGAAGGCCAGAAGGTTTGCAAAGAGGCCCAGTCGTTGGGAGCCGCAGTATCTCCGGTCGAGCCACTGTTGCTGTTGTAGTTGCCGTTGATATTGGCATCTTCCTCCGGAGCAGCATCAAAGTCATTGTTGCCGTCGGTACTCAATGCAGCCATATCATCACGAAGTTTCTCCCGTCGCGCAGTTGCCTCATTTCGAAGCCGAGAGGCAGCAGCAATTCGCTGCTTGTGCAAAAGCTTGTGTAGATCCTCCCGCTGGCGCTGGGTTGGTATCCCCTCCCAAGTGCCCTCGTCGCGGCTATCACTTACATCCGTCAGATTCGGATATTCGCGAATAGCAGGGTCAACATCATCAGCAGCAACTGCAATAGCTTCCGTTTCGGTTGCTTCCTTAAGATTCAAAGCAGTCGGATCAAGCAGGCGAATACTTGGTGGCCCGTCCATGACCGCATCACATACCTCGGTCGCCCAGGTTGACTTCCCCGCGCCCGGGCATCCCGTCGCAATAGCAAACCCAGCGGTGGAAGTCTCCAGTGATCTAACAGCTGCCTCAGTATCAGGATCGTTGGTATATTTGTCACTGTTCAGTCGAGTGGCTAGCTTCGGAAAGGCAGCCAGAAAGTTGCCGGGAGGAAGGTGGTTAGGGCCGACAAAATCGATGATATACTGCCACCATTGTGACACTCGGCTGCAGTCTTTCAACCCTTAGGGTTAGGGCAGATAACATCGCATTTCTTGATTGCGGCTTCCAGTAGCTGCCGGGCAACATCAAGATGTTCTTTGTATTTCAATTTGAACATTTCTGGGTCTCGTTTTCTTTGCGTCATGATATCATGATACTCGCGCCACGTTTCCTTGTCCTCTGCGGCGATGTCCTTTGCCAGCGACGAGATGGTGCCAACACAAACAGAGGGCGAGCGCTTCGCGAATGACGCGACAAAGAAGCGATTGACGTGAGCTGCAAGTTTCTTGATCAGTGCATGCAACATGAATGGTAAAAGTCAAGACCTACCAATGGGTGTAACGAGAATGACGGTGATGACAGAGTCCAAGACGACTGCCGTATCATATATAGGTTGTAGGCTGCAGCTTTCTCGACAAATCAGCTAGTACTAGCAAAAGGCGCCGGTCAGCCTCAATACTGTAAAATCCAGTATCATCGAGACGAGGGGACGAATGTCCTTTGCGTGGACATTGCCGAATGTCAAATCATGAAGTGATATATAGTGGTGGCGATCGAAGTGAGACGCGACCGAAGTGAGAATGAGTGTGATGTGGTAGGAAGAGGAGGAGAGGAAAAGAAAAGGTGGGAAATGAGGGAAACTTAAGGGTTGGTGCGGGGGAAAGGTTTGTCAGTTGTTGACAACTGTAAGATGTTTGGCGTTTGGTAAAGTTGTTTGAAAGGAGCATTGTTTTTTGCAGGATGTGCTCCAATGCTCAATGGTACCATCAAACCGTGCAACAGGCTTAGCAACATTGTTATTTTTACCTTTAGACCTCCTCATAAACATCTTTATTTTAGTTTATTAATAAAGTAAACACTTAGGCTTATACCCTATGGCCTCTTTGCGTACTGAGCACACACGGATCGGTCATCATCCCGCTAAAGAAGCTGCCAGCGCAAAGGGCCGCATCAGTCACGCATAGATTACCAAGGCTTTGCTGAGGCAGTCAGGGAGGAATTGCCAGACGGGACAGGATTTTCCGGTGGTGTCGCAGTTCTTGTGGTAGTCTGATGGCGACGAGGCCCTGGATGTAGAAGATGTCGCGTTGGGCCACTCTGGAGCTGTCGAGGCAGAGCCTTAGTAGCTCTGGGGTGCGATGCAGTTGGTCAATGTCGATGAGCATCACAACAGCCAAGTCGACCAGCAGGCCCCGGAAGTGTTGCAGATAGCATTCGCCTTGGAACTGCTGGATACTGCTATTGATGCCTGGCTGCAGTAGTGCAGATCCCCAAGAACACCAACCACACTCCTATCATCTGCTTCACATATATGCTTCATTACCAGTCAAAATCAGCAATGGTTTCTTCAGTAGTTAACAGGTAATATTAATTCAAACGAGAGAGGGATTTCTTGGACAAAAAGCCCAGCTAATTGAAGCGAAGTGTTGTGATTTGGGAAAGAAGATGCCTGTGACATCCCGAATTGAGTCCGTTCCTATTCACGCACCAACCATCCATTACATTAAACATTAAACATTAGATACCACCGCGTTCTCCTACACGGATCTCCAAGCCTTGCATGGTGTATGCCCACCAGTATTCGTCGAGAGGCAGGTGGTAAACTTGTCTGGCACAGCGGAGGATTCAGCGCCGTTGTTGGTGCCACTGGAGGTTCCCAAACGCTTGCTACTATCTCGCCGTGTGCATGATGAGTGGTAAAACTCCATCGCATCAGATTGTGAGCCACCGGGCGAATGTTGCCTATTGCTGCTGGGAGAGCTCAATGGTGCCGTGTTGGGCTCCGGTATTTTGACGACCGGCTATTGTGGATTCGTCAGCCCGTGCCTTCTTATGAAGCCTCGGTCGAGTCTCGTGGTCGTTTGGATCGAGACCCAGTTCCTCGCGAATTGCGGTGATCTCGTGGGAAGGCGTTTTCTTCTTGGCCCGGTGGGATTCGGGGGCAAAGTCAAGGGTGTCCCTTGCACTGTCTGGCATTCTGAGCGAAACACTCGCCTTTCAGGTGTCATAAAGTGAATGACCAATTTCCTGCTCAGCCATAACACGAGCTGCAGTTCGATGAGAGTGGCCACCAAGAACACGGGCCTTTTGAAGAGCGAATGCACCAGGACCCGGATCGATGTGCGCAATCTCACGCAAAGGTTCTCTTTGGATATCGTTTCGTATGACTTCTTCCAACAGGTCAACAAGTTGAGCTGCCTCTTGCAACACATCCGAAGTCGCATGGACCCCTGAAAATGTGTCCAACTGGAGTTTCTCGGAGACACCATCCATGGCGCAGATGACGGGTCGATCTGGATAAGCACAAACGAGTCGATTGCTGGGTCGTGATCGATGAATTTTGTCTCAGTCCGCCCATGACGTTCCGGGAAAGCACCAACACGTAACGCGTGGACGAGCAAGAGCTTGAGGGGGCAGAGGCAGTCTAGGGAATGATCCGTGAATTCCACGACCTCCATGGCGTAGGCTGGCTCGGGGTCGGTCCTGACGGAAACCTGTGTCAGCGTAACGGCTCCGCTAGATTCAGAGCCTGATAAGGGCTTCCTCTGAGAAAGTCACTTACATCAACTCGTTACACTACTCACAGGGAATCGTGCCAATGAGTACGCGTTTTCCGTTTTTTGTAACCATTCGGACATGGATGTCCTTCCAGTACAAACACTCGTACTCTTCATAGTCGTAAGACTCGCGAAGGTCTCCGGTCTTTGCGCTGAGGATGCATTGCAGGAGCAGTGACAGAGTCTTCATGATGAGTACGTCCCAAGACAAAGTTCTGTTTTGGAGGCCGTCTTGTAACATCGCTTTGACTATGCTCCCAATGGCATCTGTCGTGATCCATTGCTTTGGAGGTCCGACCGGGTCGGTAGACAGAGTCTTGTCAATGACAAGTGCGTCCATCGCGAGCTCTGATTTTGGTGCTGTCAGATCAAAGCGATCAGTCAAGTATGGGAATACCACTTACCAAGGCGCGCTTTTGCGTGTTCGGTCAGTTGGAAGTCGTGAAAGTTGGCAACGGTCCACTCCATGATATGATCAAGACCCGCGCGTAGATACTGGTAGGTGTCTACAACTCCCTCATCCTGTTTTTCCATCAAAATCGGGGCGGTGTAGGCAAACGTCTTCAGTTTTGCTCTGCTGGCGCGCTGATCAGACTAGGTACGGATAAGTTAGACTGGAAGTATTCGGCACTAAAAGTGAGGCAACTCACTCCTGAACAAGTGTCACTTAGCAAGAGGGCCTGGAATCTCTCGATCCACATTTCTGCCTGTGGTCTACTGCCCCGTGCTGCAGATCCGTGTAGAGGAAGTGCAATGCGTCTCTGCAAACTGATGAGATCGTCAGCTACCATCCGGTGGAGTGTGTCGGGAGTACGAACACGATCACCGTTTGCGCGTTCAGGGACATCGGCCATGGCTCAGCGTGACTGGTTCGGGATAATAGGCATTGGGACGGAGTTTGTAGGTAACAACGATTGCTCGTCCGCGACCTGGATGAAGAGAGGTTGATGACAGGTTGAAAGTAAACTGTAGAGGTGGGTTGAGGGCTCAAACAGACAGACCTGAGAGATTATTAGAATGAAGTTAAGGGGAGAAAGGAAGGCGCGAGAGGAAGGCGCGAATAGAGAGAAAAGTACATACCATATCAAATCTGACGAGGCGAATCTCATTATGAAGCACCAAGAAGGGATTTTTTCTTCGCTGTGTAGATAGCGAGTTTTATAATGAGAGAAGGAATTTGTTGTTTCAGTGAGCGTTGTCGAAATAGTAGGGTTGAAAGAAAAAAAGGAGACTTTGGGGAGTGAAGAAAATGCCAATGTCGATGCCAACAGAAAAACGGGTCCGCAGCAGCTACATAGCCACGGCTGCCCATGAGGCCCGTCGGTTGATACGTACGTATGAGGACGTATGGCTGATTCTGAAGGAGATCTTCATTTGGCTTGGGAGAGTGATGTATCTGAACGTGGACGAAATGGTAGGGGACGGACTTTGGGGAGTAGAGAAAATGCCGTTTTCGATGCTAACACACAAACGGTTCTGCATTAATTGCGTAGCCAAGGTTGTCTATGAGGCTTACCGGTTTATGCGTAGTAACGTATGGCTCATTCTGAAAGAGAGCTTCGAAGGTGTCTGAGAAATGTGCCTGCGGAGTGCGCGTAAAAAAGAACAAGGAATGAACTGTGTCAGCTCCGGCAAGGTGAATCTCGTTTTGAAGCGCCAAGGTGGAAAATATTGCTTCGATGTGCAAATATAGCGAGGAGGGAGGAGTTGAGAAGTTGGGAAGTTGAAATATTGAAAGATGCCCGGAGGCCCCGGACAGTGTATCGACTAGTCACTGTACCGGGTCGCAGCGTATTTCCTGCTTGACGAACCGAAGAGGTGAGTCTCCAGCCCGGGATCACACACGAGCGGATCCAAATCGATCAAACGATCGCCAGTCTAGGGGAAGTTGAGAAGTTGAGAAGTTGGGAAGTTGATGTTGACAGCCAAAGGTGTTTGATTGCTGAGGAGTTCGGAAATGTGCGTGAAGGTGAAGGAATGTTTTGGAATTGAAGCCCTATTCTACCCGAAGGTGCACACAGAAATAGGGAAAGGCCGCACGGTGCCTTAACTCTTTCAACATGAAGTTGCCAAGAGGTTCGGTCAAGAGCGGTGAGGCTCTCTTGGAACGGGTGTGTGGTTTTGAGATGCTTCCAACAGCTTCAGCAGATTTTTTTTTGGCATGTCCCCAGAATCGCACGGGCACAGAAGGGATCAGAAAATTGCACCCAATGCATATTTGGGGATCCTTTGTACGGTTGTTGAAATTTGAGTCTGATTCTTGTTCCTGGCCAGTTGGCACCTGACGTCTGAAGCCCCGATTGTCAAAAACGTCGATGACTGCAAGTATTCTTTCGAGCGAATGCCGACTGAGCGACATCCCACTTGCACCGAGGCTGTAGCTGATGTGGAATTTCATGCAAGCAGCACGGCGCAACGGTGTCCATAGTCTTTGTCCTCATCGTTTTCTGTTGCCCTTGCTCTTTCGACGTTGTGAGCTTGGAATACGTCGGCTGGAAAGGCGGACGGTTTGGTCTCGCGATGAGCAGCTGGGTGGCTATGGGTAGGTCAGCACTATGTCAGGGAAGAGAATGTCCAGAAGAAATGCGTACTATTCAAGCCAGACTAACCAACTTTGACAGAGAGGGCGCGTCGAAACATCCCTGGTCGTCAGGCGGAAGATTTCGAGAACGGCCTTGCTGAGCCGTGGGCAAGGTGCTTTGGGAGACACTCAAGAGTAATGGAAGAGTAATGGAAGAGTAATGGAAGAGTAATGGAGGAGTAATGGAGGGGGTAAATAGAGATGATGCCGTTTTCGATGCCAACACAAAAACGGGTCCGCAGTCACTGCGTGGGCCACGGCTACCCATAAAGGGCCCGCCGGTTTATGCGTAGGAACGCATGGCTGATTCCGAAGGAGATCTTCGTTGGGCTTGGGGGAGGGGAGGTGGGAGGTGGGAGGAAGGTTGAGGCCGAAGCCACAGAAGGTGAGCGTGGTGAAAATCGCAGCTGACGCCGCGAAGATGAGAGAAGAAGAATCGTCGCCGAGGCAGCGAAGGAGTTAGGGCTTTTATACCTAATACCTAACACCTGATACATTAGGCTGCATGAGGGGCTGGCAGATGCTCGCAGCTGGCAAGAACCGATGGCCCTCCCCAGCAGTGAAGAATTTTCAAACGCCAACTCACTACAGTGAATCACGATGAGAATATCGTTAGGCTGCATGGCAGCAGCGCCATGAGTTGACAGATATTGTCGAGATCACTAGAAGGGGCGCGTCGGGCTGCGGGCATTTTCCCAGTACCTTCGCATTCGCATCAATCGGACAGAACAAGTTTCCGCCGCAGGAGAGTAGCAAGGAATCACTTAGTATCATCGTCAAAAGATCGCACTCATTCTCTGGGAATCCAACGGAAACGTCTCCATTTCAATCACAAACACCTGCTCTGCAAAGTCTATGAAGTCCCGTATCCATATCCAGGAACAGAAAACCCTCTTCCGCTCCGTATGTTCGTTTGTCCTTACAGCCACCATCCGGCTGTTTTTTTACTTTCCACCGTCCTCTCGCCCCATGATCCCGGGACGACCCAGGACGTATCGTAATCTCCGTGCGCTCGCGTGTGTGTAGACGTGTAAGTAGGTATGTATGTCAAAAATAAAAAAGTACGCACGAAAAATGCCGCTCAGCCCTCCAACAAGTCAGATTAAAGATGTATGTCGCTGCGTAAAACCTCAAAAGAATGTGAGCAAGCAAGTGTCGCGGGCAAGACAAAAGACGCGTCTTGCCTTTCTGGCAACAACATGGAATGCCTCTGACCTTCGCACTTAGCCCACACGTTGTCGCTTAACACCACGATCAGGACTGCCATCAAACCCCAAGTCACCCCGAGGGATCTCTTCAGTCCCAGCAGGGCTTGGGGTATTGTTGCTGCCGCCTCCGCCAAGGTCCCGGTTAGGCTTCAGCGAGTTGTTGTCCGGGTCAGGGTCAAGGGTGAAGTTGAAATCATTGCCATCCCCACCAAAGTGGCTGTCGTTGAGGAACGCGTTGCTATCAAAGTACTGGTCGAGGTCCACCGGGGGAGGATCAAAGTACTCGGCGTTTTCACTCAGACCTGGGATGTGTCCAGAGGGGCTAAGAGGCCCAAGCAACGAACCCAGCTCGCTGATCTTGGCATCCTGTTCGCTCTGCAAGCGTTGGAGCGTTTCCAAGTCGACCTGGTTCGAGCCAATCTGGTGTAATGAGGGTGGAGCCATGGGAGGTTGCATGATAGGTGAGAGCGATGGGGCAGTGTTGGTTTCAATAGGGGGTGGAGAAACCGAGTTCGAGGGCATGGGTGGTAGGTCCATAGAGGGGTTGGAAGTGACGGGAATAGACCTGGATGAAGCGGACGAAGACTGGCCGGCCATGAAGTTGACAAGCTTGCTTCTCTGGTCATGGTTCAATGTGTTGGGTGCATTGGCCACCAGCTCAGCAGCCTCGGGGAGATCTAGTCCATGCGAGTTGGTTGCGTTGTGGTCGTTGATGATTTTCATCATCCGCTCGTGAGGATTTGCCTCCAACTCCTGACGAAGACTGGGTGAAGTCGTGTCTGTAGGGGATCCCTCAACAAGCTCTGTGACATGGCCCATCTCCGGGTTATGATGGTTGACGGGTTGATACGAGCTGCTACCCACAGACGGAGTCCTCATTGACGGGGTTGAAGATTGACCTTGCGATTGGGATCGATTGTTCTGGTTGGGGATTGGTGGAAGCAATCCCCGGGTCTTCTTGTGTGGGGTTCCAAACGAAGCCGCGTTTGGGTCCATCTGAGCTTGGATGAAATCTCCCAGGTCGATGACGCTGCTGTGTTGAGCAGACTGCTGCCCCTGGTTCGAGATCATGCTCGAGATGATGTCGCTGACGTTCTGCGTGTTTCCCTGGTCCTCCAATGTCTTCCTGAAAACATTGGCGAGGAAGTTGAGAATAGCATTGATCGAGTTCTGGTGTCGGTCGTGTTGGTTCTGGAACATGACGGCCTGGCTATACAGGTCGTTGTTGTTTCGTTGTAGGCGGTTGATGGCGTTGAGAATCAATTTTTGTTGCTCGCGCACCTTGGTCAGCTCTTCTCGAATGACAACCATCTCCTTCTTCGGCATTGGTTGAGAATCGGCGGCAGGAAGAGACCTCCCCGTCGGGATGTTGGAAGTGCCCAGCCCTTGACCGAGAACCTCTTCAGGTCCGACTTCTTCCTCGCTATCATTGTCTCCCTCACCGTTCTTGTTGCCCTTCTTGGCCTTGCTTCCGCCCTTGGGCTTGTTGATCAACCACAACAAGTTGGGGTGGCCTCGCCTGAAGTACGGGTTGGAGTACTCGCTGGGGCTCTTGTTCTTACGTTCACTCGCCCGCATCGAGTTATCAGACAGACCCACGCGCTTGTGGAACCCGTACATATTCAGTTGCCTGACGAATGACGCATAGTTGTTGTGCTTGAACAACTCTGGAATCAAAGTCTTGGCGAACTCATCTTCATCGAGAACGATGAAAGAGTCACCTTTCTCCGACCATCTGATCAAGTCTTCATTCTTGCGCTCCTCGAGAAAACTATACCAGTTAGTGGGTACATAAGACAGGCCCATCGTGGAGCTTACCTGCTGAGTTTCTGCACAAATGGAGGAATCTGTTTGCGCTTCGCTTGGGACTCTCGCTTGGCCTTGGAGGCCATCTCCTCCAACAGCTCGAGATTCTCCTGTTCAGTCAGAGTCTCAGTGGAGTTCTGCTGGAGAAGAGAGTTCTCGTCTCCCACAAAGTTGCCCCACGGATCAGCGGACGCATCAAAATTTGGGCGTGGGTTGGTCGGCACGAGAGCCCGGTTTGTCTGTCGCCGGGCGATGGAGTTGGTTGCATTCGGAACCGCTTGGGGATACTGCGGCTGGGCCGGGACTAGACCGTACGAGTTGCCGATGTGCGCATTCCCATCGACAAAGCCAGTCCCATCACCCATACCGTTCCATCGCAGCATCTGGTCCGCCGCTCCGGTTCCCGACCCATACGGTTGCGGCATCTGCTGCTGGATCGGCACTATCGGTGCCGCACCTGGAGCTCCTCGTTTCCTGGGATTTGGCGCCGACATAAGTAACGAGCTGTGTGAACCAGGGTTCACGCTTGGTGGGAGTTGTGAGGTGTGATTGAAAGTGGGCAGGCCCGTTATCGATGCCTGGTATCACGGTGTCGGATTTGCTGCCTCGCGAATATTCCGGCGTCAAAATCGAGGCAGGGCGCAAATTTCACCTCGGTACGCGCAGGAGTCGGGTCGGTGAGAAGGTGCTCCAGCGGTCCGGTTCGGAAAATGGATGTCGATCGCGTCGTCTAGCGGCGGATTGTCGGGTAGTAGCAAGTGAGCCTCGGGGAGTAGGAATCTCGTTCGCGGGTGAAGATGGCGCTCAGAAATAGGTTTGCGGGCGTGCGAGGTCAAAGTCGGCAGGCTATCGCTGTTGAGCTGCGAGTGAGGCTGAAGAAGGCTTCTTCGTTCGGCGGAGTAGAGCGAGGTGGGTTCGTGGAGGAAGTAAGAGCCAAGTGAAAGAAGTCGCGGGCGCAACAAATACAAGGCAGAAGGGCTGCGATGCGGCTTTATTGCAAGGAAGGCGTAAAATCGGCGATGCGTAAACGCAACCCGGCGTTCGGTGGTGCGCGAACAGGCTGAGCGCGCTGGGCGTGCTCGGTAGGCTTAATCGGGGGGTGCCTGGGGGCGTCTCGACTATGTGTGAAATGAGTCGTCGGACGAAGGACCCATTCTGGTGCACACAATAATGCGGAAGAAATGATGCGCAAACCAGAGATCACAGGAGCAGGCGCCAGTGAAATCGGTCGGAATGGTGATGATAGACTCGGAGTTGGCGGTCGCAGAGGCTGGAGAGGGTCCATCCAAAGCATTTGGGGCGGGCGACGATCAATTGTCAAATCCTGACTGGCCAATCAGAGCCGATGGCGACACATTGAGCCAGGTTCATTCCACGTGACGATAAGATAGCGCCTCATCGCGTCGTTATCAAGCCCAAGTTACAGTGCATGGCCATGCAGATCAGCGGGTATTGAGCAATTGCGACCTGTTCCTAGAAGCTCGTAGCTCTACTTGGGGGCTTCTTTTGTTCTTCTTCTCCCAGATACACCAGATCCTCTCGGTCCTGGTAGGTTCATTCTCTCACACCCTTTGCATGCTTGTTGTTCTTCAACAAAGCATTGTGTTGGCGCCGGTATGCATGCATGGCAGGGTGGGGACTGTATCAGAACAATGTTGCTTCTAGACTCAAAACAGGTCTGGTCAGGACGCCATCACCAATCTGCATGTGCGCAATAGAATCTGGTTGCATTGTGCTGGGTATCGCAGCTTCTTCCTATCCTCCTATCCTTATTACATCACTCGCCAAGGACAATAATATACAGTCCCTACAATACAGTCCCTACACTACAGACAATCACCAACAGATAACAACTAGAGCTAGCCCTATTTTGCACCTCTTCCAGCAAGCGATGCAGCTCGAGCCATCTGAGCATTCTTTGCTTGGTCTCGGGCTTGGTCCCACGCCCTCCCCGACTTGCCTTGCCGAGCATCCCTTTCAGCCCGCTTCTCCTCCTTCAGCGTTCGCGCCTTCTCGCGCGGATCGATGACCACCAGCTCCTCTTCAGCCTTCTTTCGGTTTTTGAGGTCCTTGCCTAGTTTATCCGCCGCGAAGCTAAGAGAGTGTGACATCCAGCCCTCGTCGTCGCTCTCCTCATTGCCTTGTTTGTCCCACGAAGTGCAACTCTGGCAATTGGCGATGAAATGTAAATCGCAAAGCGCAGCTTCGTCATCCGCGCCTGGAGCACCGTCCTCCTCTTCCAGTTCCTGACGCGAGGAGGTCGTAGTGTCTTTTTCCGGTGGGGCCTTTTCCAGCTTCGACTGGAACGCTTTTAACATGCGAAGAGTCCTCTGCTCATCGCTGGCCGTGGCGTTGTTGGTGCCAGGTCGTCGTTTACGGGCTTTCATCGAGGTTTCGGGTATCATCGACTCAAGGGCTGTTTTCTTTTTCTCCTCGACTGGCTGCTCGGTGTGAATCGTCCGCCTCATGGACGCTTTCAGGGCCGCAATCTCTTCGTTGGCTCGTTCCAATGCAGTCTTCTTGGGCGCTTCCGGTTCAGGCGACAACTCTTCTTCGTATCGACGGGCGGGGCCAGGTTTCTTCTCTGGTTGAGATTTTCGCACTGGCCCCTGTTCATCCCGGTCCTCCTCTGACTCTGGTGTCACGCTCCTGGGACGGGGCTCCTTCTTCTTCTTTTGTTTGGCGGGCTTGTCCTTGGGCTGCACATCTCCTTCTGGATCTTCCATTACAAGCCTTGTGTCAAACTTGGCCTTCTTGAAGACCGGCACGTCCTCGTCGCCTTCTTCGTCCCCAAAGCTCAGTAGTTGCTTTCCTCCCTTTCGCTTCTTCTTCTTGTCTTTCCCCGCGGACACCTTGCTAGGCGCCTGCGCAGCGACTCTCGTCCGCTTCTTCATGTCCTCAAAAGGATTAACCAGAATCTCGACCCTTTCGATCTTAACGGTGTAGGTGGGTCGTTCTGTCGCACTGTCAACCTCCGACTCGCCAATTTTTGCCAAGTTGTAGATAGTGTCGCCTGCGATGCGACCGAACATGGTGTTCTTGCCGTTCAGCTCCTCAGTCTTGTCAAGGGTGAAGAAAAACTGGCTGCCGTTGGTATTAGGGCGCGACTCGTTGGCCATTCCCAACAGACCACGGCGATTGAACTTGAGCCGCGAGTGGAACTCATCCTTGAAGTTGATTCCCGTCGGCCCTGCATTCTTTCCCAGGCGCTGGTCCATCGGCCATGGATCCAAATCGCCGCTGAACGCCCCTCCATCATAGATTGACTCTCCGCCGTTGCCTGTAGCGGTAGGGTCGCCACCTTGTAGAATGAAGCCGGGTACTAGCCGGTGGAATATTGTGTTGTCGTAGTAGCCATCGAGAGCCAGTTGCAAGAAATTTCGGCATGTCAACGGGGTTTGCTTCGCGAAGAGTTCGATCGAGAGTTCGCCCTGCGTCGTGTGCAGAATCGCAGAAGCCGTAGGCTGAGGCTCGAGATTATAGATCGCAGACATTTCGAGATGGAGAAGCCGCGCGTTTTCGGGGCCTGGATACCGTGGCTGTGGTAGGGACGTAGGAGCGCTTCGTCGCTGAGAGGTCTTGTTGATCGATCGAAGTGGCAAGGCCGTAGCTTGGAGGTGTGCATGGGCGGTCCACCCTTATCGATAAGGTCACCCAGCATCATCATACCTTTGCGACGACCAGCTTAAGGTATGCTTGGTTGTCAGTCAATGTTGACCTTGCCACACATCTTCATTCTCTGCAATTATCCATAGTCTCACATCAGGTAAGTTGTGTAAATAATTGCAAATGGCCGAAATCTCAAAGGCCCGAAATCAAGAGCAAATTACCACCCTTGTTGCTATCTTGCACCATAAGACCAACCAGGGCCGATAGCGCTATGTATTTTTGAACAACAAGGCAAGGGATGTCATCTATATCAGGCAGCCCGGGAAGGGATTCTGGTCTGGAATTATCAACGGATTAGAGACAGTGATCGACGGATCGTTGGGAGGTGCGTCACGCGCCCCGGCGCGGGTCCGGCGTACCAGAACGGTCCGCCAACTGCCTGCGGCCGTGAGAGTGGGGCCCAGCTCCGGCCAACTGTCAACGTCCCGGCTGTCGTTGACTGCCCGGGGGAGGTATTAAAATCTCGCGCCCTGGCTGTTGTGACTTTATTTTTTCCCTTCTTCTTCAGAGTCTTGTGAGTTGACCTACCCCACCCCGCCCCCTTCCTGCAGGGCCAGCTGCATTTCCGGTCCGGGTTCGTGTCGCTAACCTAATGTCGTTGCTAGGATTTTATCGATGAGTTGGTATTTTCTACCCTTTCCCGCAGTTCAGTCTCTGAGTCACTTTCGTGTCACTGGATCAATCATTCGAGAGCCGGAGTGGTATGGATGGACGCTTCCATAAATGGAAATATGGCGTGGCGCCAGCAATAACAACAACAGTACGTTCCCGCTGCGTCCCTGCTGCAGCTGCCCGTACTGTATCTAACTTGTTAGGCGAAGACGAGGACGAAGACGGCGATGACGGCGATGACAACGATGACGATAATACCGGTCACTCCAGTATGGCTTCATGTCGGATGCGCTGGGGTCCCGCTGACTGACTTATCTACAGGCAAAGAGAAAGAGGAAAGAATGATTCCATTGGCCTCAACGAAGGCGTAGATCCAGCCAGTTTGTACAGAATCCAGCTTGTTCATGCCAATGAGGTATCGTCAACAAGCTCGCCATTATCATCGTCGTGTCGAGCGATATCTCTGACCGAAGTATCGGGCGTCCCTTCGGTCCTGACCCCGCGGGGGAGCCCTCTCCGACCCGGCTTCGCGAACGAATACCATGATGCCATGAAGCAGCGATAACGAGACCCGGAGATGTTCAAATTGAAATACAAAGAACATCTTGGTGTTGCCCGGTAGCTACCGCTTCGTTTGTGAGCTGGTCGTGCAACTCTATCGCCAGGCTACTCTTCTGAACGCTACCGACTCCGACAGACAATGTCATTGCGGTTGATCATGTTCTCGACCAAGGATCCAATTCTTGGCGAATGCTCGAAAACCTTGACCTTGTTGATGAACATGTTGATCATTTTTGTTTGGGTAGCCATTACAGCCATACGTTCAGTCACGGTAATAAAACCAGGCTTGGAAGTGCGGACCAAATCGACAATGACAATGTCGCCTTCATGACTCGGAGAATCGTCAATTGTACGAATTTCAACAAGCCCGTCAGGAATTTCTGCCGATGTCATCTCCTGGAGTCGGAGCTCATACTCATTCTTTTGGAATGTGTAGGGGGTCAGGATGAGCACAGATCCTCTGCGTTGTCGAATGTCTTTATGGCCTTGCTTGATTCACATTCCGCGGAGGCAAAACAAGACCTCAATGGACTGAGTTCTGCAAACGATGTTCTTTAGCATGGCCATACCGCTACCGACTGCCGCGAGACTCTACTTTGCACGACTGCAACGAAGCTCATGCTACTCGCCACTGTACTCGCTCTGAAGAGAACGCTACAACAATCTACGCTGATGAGCCGATCAAGTCCGATGACAGAATCAATCGAGATGCTTTGGCTAGCTTTGGTGGTTACGACAATTCTGGCAAGCGTGTCAAGATCCGGAGAGCAGCCCGAGCAGCCCGACAACGTCCACCTTCGGCATCAACGGCCAGCAAAAATGCATTCAAAGCCTTATCCCGGAAGATTCGAGAAGACCCAAATGAGTACGAACCTGAAGATTCTGGTGGCATCCCGGTGGTTGAACAAGTCGCACCGCCAACCGAACCCAAATCTGCTACGCTGGATGCCAACGAGGTGGCTGTGGAAGTCTCTCTGCTATTTTATTGGCGAAATTCCCGCCTGCGGTAGGCCTTTTCATCGGCAATATATTGCAATTCAGCCTAATATTTCTGATTAGTAGTGACACCCAGTATAAGGATATTTTCGGACGCAGAGAACAGTCAGCCTTTTCGCTCCAGGTGAAGCTAGGGGTCGTCTCAACTTCACCCTTCACAAAAACTATAGAGCTCGTGGAAAAGTTGCAGGAAACTGTTTCCCGTCTTAGCATGGGGCCATTCCGCGAATTTCATGTTCGAATGAACATCTCCCTTGGACGCTACGTCGAACCAGCTCTCAATCTGCGATTCTTCGTCCGGCACGGATCCGAAATGGTCAAGTTCCATCAACTGAGTCTTTCACTGAGACGCATCGTGGACAAGGTATAACTGCATGATGTCGACGCCTGAGATCAAAACGCGCTTGCAGCTTTTGCACAAACATCAGCAGATCAGCATGAACGCCTCGGTGACTGTTCCCGATTACTTTGAGAACTCTCTGGTTACATCAGGAGTAGAAGAAAACCACCGTGGCAATTCAGCTGATTTCATCCACCACATTGCCTCCACAGTTCGAAAACTCCGCTTCGATTTCGACTGGGCCAACACTTTGTCGATTCCCTCTATGGCTGGCATTGAACCAGACCAGCCAAAAGACGTGCGCACCGTTGCCGATGCAGTCAAAGAAACCCTTGAACTCCAGGGCAGCAATTCCCTCACTATTTGACTGTTTCCTGACGTGTCCTTGCGCGAAGTCTGGTGGGATGCCCTGTCGAACTTGTCAAGCTACACTCAGCCATACTCCGATCTTCTTCGCAATGTTCGCGACAATCTTGATGACTTGGCATTTGACAGTATGCGCCTTGAGGATATTGTTTGTTGAAGGAAGCCCACAGCCTCACGCGACAGCTGTGACCTCGGGTCACGCGGGTCCCTAGTTGGTTAGTGATAATCACATCAATTTACACATCTTTGATCTCTTTCATCGTCAGTCCTGCTTGATCCTTTCCCTCCACCATGGTGTGATTCGTAAATACGTCGAGAAACCCAAGCAAATGATTAATAAGACTAAAGACTAAAGATAAAAAGATAAAAAGTCCTTATAAATAAGATACTTTACGTAAAGTTCTTTATGGATTATTTGGTAAATTGATCTGTCGCCCTCAAAATGCATGCATTGTTCAGGGGGGCACTCTCTCACAGAATAAATCCGAACTGTCCCTTGAGACCTAACTATTCTGGTTTTCAGCGGCCTTAAGAGCCCTGATGCCTCTAAGACTTAGCGCTCAGCCCCTCAAGCCCTAAAATATATCACGCCCTAATTTCCTGCCCTCTGGCCTTTGGCGTTTAACCTGTCCTTGAAGCCCTGAAGACCCTGATCATCGATTTTGTTAGACAGGTCCAGTAGTCATGCATCGGGGTGTTTGATATGTGTAATTAGCTAGCTAGATGGTCATCTCATCAATCATCCCTTGCCAATTCATTCCAAACAGTTGCCTTACATCCTCGTGAGGTCTTTATTCCGTCCGGTCGTGGTGATCAAAGTCAGGCCCATCAGGGTTTTGATGACTTGAAGCCCCATTCAGGCGTAGAACGCACGTGGGCAACAAACTTCGTCGACTCGCTGATATCCTGCTTTCCGACCTTCTAGATCTGAGCTGAATGCAGGACCTCCGCTCTTTCCTTGATATTGAGGTGGAAATCGATAACATCCTGGGCGTGAAGATGATGTACGAAGGCGACGTCGCGGAGCTTGGACGAGTCGAACTTGGAAAGCGAGAGGAAAACGGGCCTTCGGTTTCGGTGGACATGTTCTTTGTACCCTTCGAGTTTGTAGTATGCCCTTCGTATAGTCAGATAACCATGCTTAGAATAAAAGGGCAAGACGACTTACGGTTCCAGGTACCCATACTCAAACGGATCAAAGTTGAGACCAGATGCAGGCACGGGCACAGCTTCTTCGGCGACCTTGAGCGCAGCCTTGAGTAAAGCAACCAAAGCTTCTCGAGACATGGCGTCAGAGCCGTTGGCGACGCGATTCTGGCGCCGCAACTCTGCGGGCAATCACGAAGCTTCCGCTGCCGCCGCCAGCCAGGCCCGAGATCAATAAGCTCGGCGATGTTGTCGGTGGCCCCGTTGGTTGGCGAGCGCACACAAACCTTGCCGATTGACTTGTTGAAGCACATAAGAGTGGCAAGGACAGCGGTCAGGTAAGATTTACCACTGTCGCTAGGGGACGAGATGATGTCAATGCTCAGGCTGAGTTTGAAAAATATTTGCGGCCCCTTTTTCCGTCAGAATGCAAGATGTTGACAAAACAAGCGTCTTTCACATTTGACGCGACATCTGCGAAAACGTCCACGACAGGAACGCGAGCGGGTTGCGATGAAGGCGATGTGTTTGTTCCATAAGTTAGCGAGTTCCATGCACCTTGGCCAACAAGGAACTCATTGAACAGTGACTTCTTCAATTGCGCGTCGGGGTCGTCGCTGGGTGGCCACATCTCCTTGATTCCGAGTCTCAAAACGGCACCGATTCGCTTTGCGTCTTGGCTGGACCCAGATGAGCAGCAGAATGCAATTTTGTATTGGTGGCAACCATCTCCGAATTCCTCAGAGTTGGTATTGGAGGCAACCACAAGAGAAATGCACTGCGGCGAGGGCGGGTGAGTGCCAACGGGATACAGCCTGGTAGGGCAGCAGTAGAAACAGCATTGTGAAGGCTTGAGTCAAAAAGCTCGTCGGTGTGTTTGCGGAGCATCTCGACTTCCTCGCCTATGCCGCCCAGGAGGGATACCGTGCGATGGGCATCAGGCACAAAGGAGATGGCTGCTGAGGTCGGGTATTCGGATGCAAAGTTTGCCGCATACTCATCAGGAGCAGACTTCAGCTCATCTTGCCCACAGAGATAGTCAGACCATTTCGTGCGATCATCTTCGGCCAAATCCTTTGCAAGGTTATTCAAGGCGGAGGGGATAAGGACAAGTGAGGCAGTGTGGAATTTGTGCTGGCCGGTGTTGAAGGTATTGACGTGTGCGATCAACTGTTTCTCTGATCCATTCGCTCGGCCAATTTCAGGGTCAAATGAAGTGAGTTCTCTCTCTTGGCATGGTGGTGAGAGCGCGAAGTTCCGCTTCCCAAGGCATCACGCGGCGAATCATGTCGACCGAGATGGCCCCTAAGAGTCGGTTGCAGGCATCCTGAACAAGGGCGTTTGAAGGAGTGATCCACGCGATGCGGTCACCTTTCTTCAGGATCTCGCCGCGGGAGGGGAGCCTTCGTCGCGTTCCTGCCAAGATCCTCGACCGACTGACTGTCGATAAAGCTGAGGATAGTTAGCCAAGTTTCGTATCGGGGATGGATGTGACATACAGTTGGCCGACAGGGGATGCACTCGATAGAGTAAGGCTTTGCCGGGTCGAACAATGCAGGGCCTGAGAGGGGACAGAGAGAGAGCAAGGTCTTGTCGAGATATATATATATAACAGCGGACTCTGTCGCCAGCGCTAGACCTGAGGCTGTGTCGAGAGAGGCTTTGTCGGGTTATAATGCAAAGTGTGAGAGGAAGAAAATGGGAGAAGTGTGAGGGGAAGAACACGGGAGAAGTCTTAGACGAGGAGAAGTGCGAAAAGAGCAAACGGAACACAACGAGCAAACAGAAATCCACGTGACCGAGATAGCAAACAGTCACAACTTTTGCAGAAGAGGGGACTTGCCTAAAGCGCATTCTTTGATGCAAAAAAAGAATGACTCTGTCCACGGTCATCGGCAGTTTAGAAAATGGCGTTTTAATCATCCTTAATTTTAGGATTTATCCCCTCAAATAAAGATTATTTCATTTATTACCTAAGTAGATAAAGTCTAGGCTTTGGGTCTAAGAATATGCTCTTTAATGGTCTACCTGAGGTTGACATGAGCGGACTCTGCGAATAGTAGCAATACTCTTCTGTTTTTCTGACGATGTTACCTGAAGAACACAGGCAACAAACGAAAAAGTGTTTGCATAGCGCATGTGCTGCCACCTGTTGACAGCTGGTAAATGGCGCCTCCGTCTTCGTCCTGGGTGGTGACCGCAACACCAATAACAAACCACCTTCATCATGAGCAACGCAGCGCTCTCCACAAACTCGCCACAAACGCACATCTTAATTCTCCCTTCTCTCTCGACAACAACTTCCACATTCCACCAGATATCCACACTCCGTGACTCAACCAGTACCACAACTACCCGTCACTACTCCCTACCTCTACCAACCGATCTTATGACGGACAATACAGACCAACCCGCCAAGCCAGTTGAAGTTCCAGACGACCACGGACTCACGCCTCGCTCGAGTCCTGGGTCTGGATGATTTGCCGGCCTCACTGCTGAGGACATGAAGCGCCCGAATCTTGATGATTTCACATTTGACAAAGCCGTCGCGCCTGAGCACCCGACCCCGGCAGCAATCGCCTTTATTTCAGACGCTCACCGCACAGTCTCCCCCCTAGGTGGCGTCGTCGAGGAAGTTGAGATGCTGCGTAAACACACGGACGAGCTCTTTGAAATGTCCTTGCCTGCGGTCATTGTTGCCAACCCAGCTGCAATCTGGACAGAGACCGACAAGGCTGAGACAATCTATGGCATCAAGGCAGACGGTACACCCCAACACCAGTTCTTCCTCGTCTCGTGCAAAGACATCTCTCGATATATCCCCGGGATCGGCGACAAGTGCAGCTTCTACATCACGTCACCCTTCAAGAGACGCGACCCCCCGCTCGTAAGCTCCTCAGCACCGCAGCGAAGTCTTGCGACGCTATCTGTGCGACTCCAGTTGCCTTCGCGCAACTGATGGCTCACGCTCACGGTCTGGATTTCGCATTGATAATCGTATATGAGGCCGGTCGATTTACGGAAGCCCAGTCATTTATCTCCTCAACCAAATGCCCTCATGCGCTACACATCTTCGTGGGTGACAACAATCATTTCGCCCCGATTAGCCTGATGAGAGACGACGGTGAGGAGCACGACTTCTTCGGTCCTCAGCGAAAAATGAGTCTCTTCCGACGTGTCGAAAAGTCTAGTCAGATGTCTGCAACACTCCGCGTCAACCATCGAGCTCATGGCACTGCCGTCAATTGGGCTGGGAACTACTTTTACATCGGCGAAATGCTGGTGTTCAACAAAGCACCAAGCTCACTCACCATGTCGATGAGGAAGTGGTTGGCAGCTGTCTCTGGTGTTCAGAAACCAACCTCGGCAGTGTACGTTTTCGACGTGGATGAGTCAACTGAGATAGGGGTGGGCACATCTTTTGCCAACCTGGTCAACGCGTTGTTCGGACGAGAACTTGTCGCACACATCTACCGCAAGTCGCCTATCAGGAACGCAGTCGGCTTCGCTACAGGCCGCCAACCAGTGCGCTTCGGCTCACTCCTGGTGATTGTCGGTTACTCTGCGCAGAAGAACGAATGGGAGGGACGTCTTCGCGAACTCTCACCCGCTGGAGTTCCACTCCACCGAGTTAAAGTCCGAACGATTGATGACTCTCCCAGCCATGAAGCTGACATTGTCATTTGTGACCTCACTCGCACCGATAAAGCAGGTTTCCTCGACGACAAAGAGCGACTTACCGTGGTGCACTCGTTCGCATACACATCTTGCAGACTTTTTCCGCTACGTTGAGCAGCGTCGGGCATACACAACTATCCGCAAGAACAACGCTACCACGGCATGGCATACATTCTGCACTCGCTGCATCCGTCACGGCCGACCCCTTGGGCTATAGCGACCGACGTAGCGACTGGCGCCGCCGATAAAGGAGCCAGGTTTTGCCGGTCGCAGAAGAAGACAGGCCATTGGAGCCAAGCATGGCGGATTGCAATGAAGCCACAGGAGTTTGGGGGGAATTTTGAGGACTGGTTCATGCCTTGGTTTTGACGGATATCCGTGGCCTTTCACTTCTTGTTAGAGTTTGTTTCAAAAAGAAAACCTCTTTACACATACACTTCTTTTCATGCTACCGTGAGGACGTAGGAGTGCTCCGTTATTGAGAGGTGTTGTTGATGGATCGGGATGGCACGTTGGAGTTGTGAAGGAAGGGTCTACTCTTCTAACAGACCATCAAGGGATACATGAGTATGAAACCCAGAGAATTGCCAGGCTAAAGAATTGCTGGTACGTTTGTAAATGAAGTGGGAGTCAGTCCTATGGATAATTATCAATATTACATCTGGTAAATTAGGTTTAGGAAATACGGGTAAGACTTATTCTTAGCCCATATCCCCTAATAATTATTTTAGTTAATTTATTGGATAAAGTTTAATAACAAATGTAAACCTTCAGTCTCGACGCAAATGAGCAAAAAAGAGTAGAAAGAAACCATATAGTTAATCTTACATCCACCAGATAGCCTAGCGATCAATACCGCCGACTGGCGTGGTGTGTGATTGGACAACATTCATCTAGAGATTATAGCAATAACCATTTGCCCCGTCTACATACCGTCTATTCCCCCGGGGTTTTGTGGAGGAAGAGTCGAGGCAACCCATGGCTTCGACACGAGTGAGGAGGTTGACAGTTCTCTGACGCCCCAAATGACTTCGCTTGGAGGAGTGGGCAACGCAGAACCCCCGTCAAGAGGACTCGACGCCCTGTGTCTGCTAAATGGCATTCACACCCTAGGGTTGCCGAGCTATCATTGCTGTCCCGGAGGGCCCAACTCCTGGAGATACTTACATGCTATGCTTCTAAAGTGATAACCTCATTGGAAAAGGGGCAGGCCTTTGCCTCGTCGATGCCAAATCTTCGATTTTGGTCGGCAATGTCAATCACTGGCAACGCTATGGCCATCGCTCTGTGGTTCAAAGGCGTGGATGGATTAAAACTTCCTCCCGTCGTGGATTTCATCGGCGCTGGGAACCCTCGCCAAACCCTGGAGCACATTCAGAGCTGCCCTATTACGCACATCTCTCATCAAAACTTGCATGCCATTTGCATGAGGAACGATGCCCACCGGGATCTGCCATTCGTATGCGCAAAACACTTAAAGATATGGTGTTCAATAAAGCAGAGGTGGTTTGGCAATGAGACGGGATGCAGCATGCGACCGGATTAAGCTGCCAGAGATTGACGAGAGAGCTCAATTAATACGAAGCGACCGAACTGCCGGGTTCCCCAACTCGTCCCTCAAGCCTTGAAGTCAATCGGCAGACAATCTCTGTCCCAAACAGTCGAGACTTGAAGCCGATTCCCAGACATTCCCGAGTTCGGACGAGGAAGTCTCCAAATTCAGAGACTCAGACTACCCCAGTGGTTTGCAACCAGCCTAAAAAGGTGACGAGGGATGTGGCAGTGAGGGCTAAAGACGGTGATGACGTGTTGAACACTGAGGCAAGATCTGCCACCCTCAATGAGACAGAAAACTCGTTCAATGATGTCAGGCATCATCCTTAGCTTTTAAGAAACAAAATAAGTTTATCAAAACAGACTCGCCATCTCTAAAAAGGTTCTGCACTGATCGATACAAAGACTCCCAACTTTAATCCTTTGAGTAATGTGACTCCTGGACGCCCAGTAGTTTCCCGAACACGGTTTCTTGGACGAGCAGGGACACCCGAATGACTTGGTAGCAATGCCAGAGTTGCCAAGAGAAGCGACCAGAAAATACTCACATTGTATCAGTCAATATTTTTGTTGAAGTCGAGCTTAGTTGTCCAGTGCTGATTACCGCAACCTGCTGGACTTGCATTCGACATTCAACGTATTGCTACAAGGAGTAAGAAAGTCACAGCTCGTTTTGGCAATGCAAGCAATAGATAGGAGTTCCATGCATGTGTTACTAGTTTCCAAAGCCAGCCAAAGCGTAGACACAGTAATACCAACACAAACTCGAAGCATGGGCTTACCAAGGAGGCCAGAAGCGCGAGAGAGGGTCAGGGAGGAGTGGGACGTTGCCAGGCAGCGTGACGCAATGCAGTAAAACCTGAGGAACACTGGTTTGCATAGCACCAGGAGGGTATTATGACATACAAGGTCGGTTGCAACAAGGGCAGTTGGTAGTGGAGGTAATGGGAATGGGAAAGTGCAGTAGCAATGCAGCTCAAAAGCAGGGTAAAGCAGGTGTGCGGGCTTGACCAAGCAGGGTTGAAACATGGATGAGGCACATACACCGGTGGAGGAAATAAGAGTTGAGGCTGAAGCCGATAATCGCCTGAGGCAGGAGTGAGTGGCAGGATGAGGTCCTAGCGGGAGTATTATTTGAGAAGGTATGATGATGATGACCCATGGGGGTGGCGCGTGCGGGTGCGGGAACGGGTGCGTGTGCGGGTGGCGGCCAAGGAGGTTAAATTGCGGGGCACCTTGTGGCTGTAAGTGCCGTCGACCGCTCGACGACCACAGCTGCACCTAAAAGGACGGCTTGTTGGCCCATAACCACATATCCTGACCTTAATACGTGTATCCATTTAATTATTTAATTGAATTTGATTCGGTCGGTCTCAGCGAGATCCAAAATTTCACCTTGCTACTGCATCTTCAACACTCACATCAAATGAATGATTCTTCCCTACCTGCTTCCTGGATTCTTTATCCATTCCCAGTGGTATATATAAGTCGTAGTCACGGCTTGAAACTTTAACAAGATGTATTCCTATAAACATACCAACACTTGCGCCAACCCAAACGTCCACGTTCCAGCCAGCCCAAACATACTGTCTCGCCTTAATAGGTGGCTCCATTTAACATCAGACCGACGCTCTTTGACTGTGTGTAATTTGCCAGCGCGGCCTCACCCAATTCTCGACCGATTCCGCTCTCCTTGTAACCACCAAAAGGCAAAGCGTGATGGAGCACTGTGCGGGGAGTTCCGGATTAGCACTGTGCTGACCATATTATGGTGGGTGGGGATGGGATTTGACTGCACTGTGCGCACTGTGGAGGGCATCGCGAAGTTTTTGTTCATACAGTGCGCACTGCACACGGAATGACATCACGGGAGTTTTGTAACGTAGATGGAATGAAAATATGAGGGATGACTTACTGTTGTAGCAGTTAATCCAGACAGTTCCAGCCTTGAGAGAGTTAGCTACCCGGAGGGCTCTGTTGACGTTCTGGGTGTGGACGGCGGCGGCAAGACCGTAGTTGGTGTCGTGGGCGAGCTCGACGACCTCCTCCTCATCCTTGAACTTGGAGATGGCGCAGACGGGACCGAAAATCTCCTCCTGCATGATCTTCATGTCGGGACGGACGTTGCTGAAGATGGTGGGCTTAATGAAGTAACCTTTGTCGCCAAGACGCTCACCACCGGTCTCAACGGTGGCACCCTCCTCCTTTCCGGACTTAATGTAGCTCATGATACGATCATACTGAAGTTGGCTGACCTGGGGGCCCTGGAAGGTCTCCTCGTTGAAAGGGTCGCCGACCTTGTTCTCAGCAGCGCGCTTCTTGAAGGCGGCCAGGAACTTGTCGTAGATGCCCTCCTGGACGAAGATACGGGTACCAGCGCAGCAGCACTGGCCGTGGTTGTAGTAAATACCGAAGTTGACCCAGTTGATGGCATCCTCGATGTCGGCGTCATCGAAAACGATGTTGGGGGACTTGCCACCAAGCTCGAGGGTAACCTTCTTGAGGTTGGAGGCGGCAGCGGCCTTCATGATGGTTCGGCCAATGACAGTGGAGCCAGTAAAGGCGATCTTGTCAACGTCCATGTGGGAGGAGAGGGCGGCGCCGGCAGTCTTGCCGAATCCAGAGACCAGGTTGAAAACACCAGCGGGGAAGCCAGCCTGCTCAATAAACTGAGTGAAAACAAGAGCAGACAGAGGAGTCTGCTCAGCAGTCTTCATAACGACACAGTTACCAGTGGCCAGAGCAGGTCCAATCTTCCATGCCAGCATCAGAAGCGGGAAGTTCCAGGGGATAATCTGACCGCAAACACCAAGCTGGAGAAAATGAGTTAGCGCCGGCAGTTTGGAGAAGTCGAATGTGGGGTATACTCACGGGCTCGGGGCGAGTGTAGTGGAACATGTTGGGGGCAATGTCGATGGTCTTGCCCTCGATCTTGTCGGCCCAACCGGCGTAGTATCGCAGGCAGCCAATGACGGCACCGACATCACCGCGGGCGTTGTTGATGGACTTTCCGTTGTCGAGAGACTCAACAGCGGCGAGGAGCTCCTTGTTCTTCTCGGCGAGGTCGGCAAGCTTCAGCATGTAGGCACCTCGCTCCTGGGGAGTAGTCTTCTTCCATTCGCCCTCGAAGGCCTTTCGGGCAGCGGCGACAGCAAGGTCGATATCCTTCTCGGTACCCTCGCAGACGGAGGTGATGGCCTCTTCGGTGGAGGGGTTGATGACCTCGAACTTCTGCTTGTCAACACCCTCAACCCACTTGCCTCCGATGAAGCTTGAGATAGTTAGCGAGGGCTCGGAATGGGGATGCGGGGGGGGTAGGATATAACATACAGGCCAATGGGCTGCTGGTAGGGACCAGTGGCGGGGGTGGTGAGCTCAACAGTCAAAGTCATTGTGTCTTGTGTGTGTGGATGTGGATGTGGGAGCGGATGGGTATCTTGGAGAAGTAGAGTTGAGGTGGGGGAATCAAGGCTGTTATATAGAAGAGAGATGAGAGATGAGTATGAAACTGAAGGGAAGAAAAAGTAATCCTTTCGACGACGGGAGCGGCGTATTTAATCTTGGAATCTTGACGCGGGGTTTACGACGTAGTACGTTCGGCGATTGGGGGATGGGACAAGGGGGGGGGGGAGTGCCGCCAATCTACCCCACAGCAAGCCTCGCCTCCCAACGCACCGAGCCCCCGTCAAATGCTTACAAGGTAGTATGGAGTACAGCAGGTACGGAGGTACAAATTAGCGTGCATAGGTAGGCTGGCCTGCACAGTACGCAGCGCTCTGGAGCATGGAGTCCGGAGTATGGGGCAACGGAGCGTGGGGCATGGAACGTCGTGTGAATGGAGGGGCGGGCGGAACGCAGCACGGAATCGCACAATGTCACAGACGCTGTGTTTACTACATCGTGGAAGGGCAACAATGCAGCCAGTGGGCTCGTACTGCGGTACGTGAAACACAATGGAACAATACATGACAGGGCGACAGTTCTCCATTTCCCCCAGGCCGCCGACGGCGCAGCGCAAGTATCAAACCCGTCCGCCCGTCCACACCCTCCCCCTTCCCCCTCCGATGGGCCCAGACACAGAGAACATCCATTGTCAAACTCCCAGCTGCCCAGTTGCGTAAAGTTGGCGTTGGCTCAACCAGTTGAGTCTCGGATGCTGCACGCCTGCACGCCTCCACGCGCAAGTGGATGGAACGGGGACGGGTCCGCGAATCACACGGCCGGCCGGAGCGGACGAGGCATTCGGCCCCACACGCTGCGAGCTTTCCCCGCAACCGCTGGCCAATGATGGCCGGTCAACGGCCCCGCAATCGCCAGCGCCAGCCTCAGGATGATGGGAAGGAGCACTGGAACCTCTCCTCAAATTGCTCAAACGAGCCAAGTTCTAAAACTGGCCAGATGGCTTCTCCTTGTCACCCTCGCTCCAAAGGGTCTTCCCTCCCTCCCCAAACAAGCGCCCCGCGGAGTAATCTCTCACTGACAAATCCTGCAGAGCCCCGGATCCGATCTAGGTACATGGCTACCTTGCGCCGCACCGAAACCCAGACCGGCCAAGCGCGTCGCTCGCCGCACTCTGTTGCTCTGCGGCGTCTGCGGCACCCTGATCGCCCCTGTCGGCACCTCGTTTGAGTCCCACATTGCAGTGCGTTGAGGTCCATCGCGAACCGATCACGACCTAGCTTTTCGCTCTGGATGGTTGCTCGGACTGAGGGCGAGTGCCTCTGGGCGTGGCTTTGACGATCAGCGCGGACACGCTGTCGACGGCCACGGGCTGATCATCCGACCATCTCCCAAAACGGGCATCGTCTCAGCCCTCACTCGTCGGCTCTCGTCTTTAGTCTTGATGTTATGCTGCCGTCGACCCCCCATCTCATCCCACCCCTCCAACCAGTCCGTCACCCCTCCGACTTGATGTGGTGGCCATCTCTTCACCGCGGTACGGTACCTTCGGAACCGCGCCTCGTGCTCCCAATGTCGTTACATGCTCCATGCTAGCGCATACTTCCGTACATCCTGCTCCCTGTAATACCTGGATGAGGAAGGGCGCTGGCTACAGCGTGTCGTTGTGCCCTTCCGCAATTGCACAGCGCCACTCACACCCCGCATTGATGTCTGGATAACTGTTTGCCGTCTGCTTGACTGGCCTTGGCTGGGTCGGGTCTGTGACATAAGAGCGGGGAGCAGGGAGCTACCGAGCAACCATGCCGAGGTGCTGGCTGACGAGCCCTTGCAACTTCGCGACGATGGCCACGCAAACTGCCTGAGATGGCAATGCCCCCCCGGAGACAGACCCCGATGCGCCATCAACCCGCATTTGCGTTCGTGGTTCCAAGAAAATGTACTACGTAGTAATGCCGCCGAAACTGTGGCGACTGGCGGCTGCACTCTCGCACTCTCGCTTCACCTTGAACCGACCCCCACTACGATTCTGTAGCAGCAACGGCCAGCCTGTCAGAGCTCTCCTGATTCCGCTCGGAATCAAAAAAATCACTGCGAGCGCGGCCAGCTTGGGCGCATCCTCGGCGTAATGGGGAGCGAGCCGTCAACCCCGCACGCCAAGACCGCAACCGTGGCTAACATTTGGAATCCTGGGCGACCCTGCGACCCTGGCAACCCCAGACAACCACTACGCCTGGCATCAAGCCATGGATGAGCCCAGACATCTCCAATTCTGCCGCCGGTCGTCCTAGCTCTTTGCCCCCGTGACTCTCCGACCGACCTTCCTCTTGGCCGGCAGCCGTCTCGTGAAGCTTGTCGCGGACCCGCAGTCTTGCTGGTCCATTGCGGCTCCGCTGCGACTCCGCCCTGCCGGAGACGGCGGGGACTGTCCCACCTCGTGGCGGCGTATTGCACCCAGGATCCAAACTACGAGAAGTCGGTACCTGATTACTCAAAACGTCTTGGAAGGAATCGTTATTGGATCTTTGGTTGACCGATCTCCATCAACGACGTCCGTATGATGTATCCATGTGGGACGCTCTCCGCACGACTCCTTCACTTGCTACCCTGTTTCCCGGCCTACCGGTAGGCGAAACGGCTGGATGGAGAGTGATCAGGCTCTCTCCAAATTTGTCAGAGCCGCATATTGTTGAGGTTGGCCCCTTATTCTGGCGGAGTCGCCCTGGGCGGTTGAGTTACGGTTTTGACACAAACGAAGCTACTCGACCGGTCCCGGTCTTGGCTCTATGTCAACGGTACCCCGCTAGATCACCGAGTCTACCTCGACAAAGACGGCAGACACGTACCCCACATCCGGGGAGAGGGGACATGGCATGGCCTCATCCTCGACATTCCTCAGGAACCGATGCACATAAGCCGGAGAAGGGGACGAGTGGGCAAAGCACACATGGAGCGTGGCTTGCCACATGGCCCACCCCATACACCTCGCGGCGCGGAGCCGCCTCTACATCCAAGCCGTCAGAGTTGTCCAACCACAGCTGGAGAGCCCCTGTCTTGTCCAGTGGTTGATGGGCTGATATCTTGTTCAGCTGGAAGCCGCAACGGTAGATGGGGCACTTGGGAGCCGTTCCCCCCAGATTCTCTGCCCCAGATGGCTCGTCTCCCCTCAAAGCACCGGCTCCCGTCCATCCCCAGGATCTGTCCCCAGAGTGACATTCTCCCCGGACCCTCCCCCAAGACCCCGAGGCCCCATTCCTAGAGGCTACCTATTTGACGCCGTTGCCGCCTTGAATGAGGATCTGCTGATGCGCGGGAGTCCACGGAAACCGTTACTTGCCCTCCGCCCTCATGTCCTCCGATGTCGCGTGTCAAATCTGCTGTGCTATGGACCATGGAAATCTCATTTCATCCGCCTTGTTGGTTGATATCAGCTTGAACCCTCCAGAGAGCAGGAAAACGAGTGTTAATGGCTGTGGCATGAGGTCAGGTGAAGAGCTGGCCGCTGTTAACACCCATTACCTGAAGGGCGCGGCTAATCCAGAGGATGCATCCTTGCAATCAACAGTCCGGACGGCAGCACATAAACTTCGCGCATATCGGTTCTGAAGGAAGCGGATTCTGCATGAAGTGTTTTCTAGTATTAAAAGTCCTTTCGGATTCTAGGCACATCGAACGTGAGGCGATCGCAATCATCACCCCACCACCACACTCAACAGACGCACTCACCTCTTGACTGCGCAGTAAGGCCCGTATTTGTTTCACACAAACTGCTTACGACGGCTGGCAACATAACTGTTGATACGTTTGGTACACACTTAGCCATGACAAGGAACCTAATGATTTATATTTAGGCCTCATTTGAGTAAAGGTAAAAAAAAAAAAAAAAAAAAAAAAGAGACAAATATTTAGGCCTCAGGTAATGTTTTTTAGACTTAATCCTTTAGGCATAATTTGCTAATGGGCGATACGACTGTCACTGGAAGGCTGTCTTATCCGGCTGCCCGAAGAAACTTGGCTCCCCAGCGTACCTACGTTACACACCAAGGCAGCAAGCATGATGTAGAGCAAACAAAGACGCCATCGACACTGGGTTGCTATCAGGCGATCAAGCAACACGTGGAAAAATTACACCTTGTGTTTTGACCTACGTTTCTTTTCTTTACATGATCCATTCCATTCTGTGACAAACGTTGGCCCGTGAATCACGTCCCAAAAAGAGCGATGGTGGAAGGTAGTGGCGGCAGGAACAAACTTTTCTCTTTGGCAGCTGCATGACAGCTGCGACGCAACATCGCGCTTCAAAAACCTGCGTGAATTGAACCGCCCAACTTTACGTTCACACACTTTTACCTGTCTCCTGCAAATTACACAACCAGCAAAACTCCAACCACGACACCATGGCTGTTCTTCCCGGAGTCCCAGGAATCTCCGTCTGCATCAGGGTTGCCGGAGAGGTTGCCATCGAATATCAGGACCCTGAGCAACAACCGGATTCCGAATCTGATAACCCGTCGTCCCACTGTTATATTGAATCACGGGGCGGATCCGAGTTCGCCATAGAAACGACAGTTGCACCTGAGTATCGCCTTCAGCGTGGACACAACTCCCTGCTAGTTAATCCCATCATCGATGGGAATTCCACAAGCGGCAACATCCGTGGCCTTGCGTCAGTCAGGGGGCATGTGGACATCACTGTACTATCTTCGGCATACACGACATCAGATACTCCGAACATGGTGAACAAAGCGAACTTCGTGTTTGTCCCCATCACTACCAGTACGTTGACTTCCACTTGTCTGGTAGAATGGCGCTGACCACATAACATAGGCGACGATCACGAAAATATGTACGCCCGCGATCTCGTGGCTGCAAAGTCGTTGGGAACCATCGAGGTCAAGGTCGCGACAGCCATTTCGGGCGTGAACTCGCTTTACAATGCCCGAAGGTTTGACAAGAAGGAAAGCCTCAACGTCCATGAGAAGGCAATGAAAGGGAGGGATTTGAGACATGGGTTATCGTATGGACCTTTGCCTTCAATTGTGGTTGTTTTAGCTGACAATCCCGAGTCTAACCCCGGGCAGTCTGGTCCGAACACCAATTGCCACGGCGTATACTGATTACCGCCTAATTGGCACATTCTACTTCCATTACCGATCCCACGGTTAGCAAACGAGTCCTTTTAGCACACATGAGTCTGTGTACGGATGACTAACTATATCAACAGAGGGACTACAGGCGCAGATGATCATTCCTCGCTCACCATCGCCGACGCTGCCAATGGGGCAGGACGATGATCTGAGTCATCTTTCGAATGCCGAAATTCGCCGCTTGGCTAGGGAAAGATTGCAAACTGTGAAGGTATGACGAGACTTCAGACTTCCTGACCCCTATCCCAGTTGCGTCTCAGTCGGTTTACCGCATGCTACGATATGTCAATCGGGTCTACCCCTTTCATAACTTACTGTATTATCTATTGTAACATGACTGATTGGAGAACTAGACCATGGACGAGAATCCTGCGTCCGTCAAGCGTGAACCCGGGTCCCCGCCAAGTTCACTGCGGCCACTGAAGTTAGTGAAGCTTGACGATGGCACGGAGGCCATTGACCTTACGGAGGAGGATTGATTGGTGTTATGTCATTGCGGCGGCTCAAGTGGGTGTTGAACAGCCTGGGAGTTTATGCATGCGTGAGTGTGGAATCTAGTACGGCGATCTTGTTTGGTAGTGGACGATGTACTTGGTGCAGACAGGGCCGGGGACAGAGCGTGCACGAGATTCTGCAAGGAAATCAAGAAAAAGGAATCCAGTACTTAGCTAGAGATGAAAACAGGCCAAAGGGAGGTAAAATCACTTAATCAAATCTCTCTCTACACAGCCGGTAATACACAGCCGGTAATGCGACAAGAACTACTTCGGCAACTTGGTCAGTGTCACAGGGCAAGACAAGAAGTTTGTGTTCAAAATTAAAGAAGGAAGGAAGCATATCCACTCAATTTTTTGAGTGCCTACGGTAGTGTGGTCACTTTAGGGTAACTTGATTGCGAGGAAAACACCAGCGTGCTTACCAGCACCCGTATACTAGTGAAGAGTTAGGGGGCAGAAGGATTGTATCAGGCTGGATGCAAACGGAAATGCACATCAGCATTATTATTTAAGGTACTGTATTATTGGTACTGGAGTCGTGAAGTGGATGCCCGCATTGTTTGCAATTAATATACGGCTTGGAACTACTGTATGATCATGAGATACGCTAAGCGGAATTGTTAGAGGGATAAGTAAATACAAGAATTAGTCTTATCAGATTTCCTTACCTTACTTCTTATGCTAGGTGCATTTTTGAGTTATCTTTTATGATTGGGGCATGTAGATATAGAGAAACAAATACTCGTGATATACGAATTCCGGTTACTTCATTGATGGACTAGTTGGCGGTTGGTGGTGGTTAGCGGCTGGTATTGGGCTTGTGGAGAGTGACAGGTGGGTGGTCGAGACTCCAGCCGAGCTCCACGGGGTACCTGCAGCTTGGCCGCCATTGGTGCATGCGGCTCCCTGCCAAGCCGCCAGCTTGAACCTCCTCCTCCATCTCCTTTCAACGAGTCCCCGATTCCCATGACGTTGCATTTCGAGTTCCCATCCATCGCCTCATCCCATCAACCTCCGCCCGCCCCGTCTGCCGCGCGCATCTCGCCCCCGGATACGACAATGCCCCCGTGTGGAAATGCTGCATCTGCCCTCGCATAGCCGCCGCCGAATTGCACGCGCTCGTCTCTGAGGGCCGTCCGCCATGGCGCCCGACGCCTCGAGCAACATCCGCGTCTTCATTCGCTGGCACGAGCAGACCGTCTTTGCCGGCGAAGAAGTCAAATGCACCATCACCTTCAAGAACGTCGCGTCCGAGTCGAGCCAGTCGAAGCAACCGCCGACGTCTGAGCGCAGTCGCATCTCCTCGCCGCTTCGCCCCAAGTCCAACCACGGCTTGACCCCGCCGTCGTCGTCGGCTACCTCGGGCAGAGGGCATCACCGGTCTGCTCTGTCGCTGAGCGTCCCATCGAGTCGTACTCACAGCCGATCGGGCTCTGTGCAATGGCCGGCGCCGTCGAGCAGCACGAGTGACCGCCATCCGCCCTCTGGCCCTGGCCACGCACATAAGCGCTCCCTCTCCATCGTCTCGATCGGGTCGACCAGCACGATAGACGACCATTCCCAACGAAACGAGGCGCCAATACGGCCGCCGCGACAGGCTCGTGGCCATGGACGCGCATCGAGCTTGCAGATTGCTCCCCGTGGCCAGAACCAGCCGCCCCCTGGGCCCCAGTCGGGTACGATTCTCGATGCCCTGATGAACCCATGCTGACTCTCCACCAGCGTCCTTCTCGCCGAGGCTGTCAAGTTCTCCCTTATTTCATTCATCATATCCTCCTCCCGACCGGTTTGGCCGGATGTCACGTCCTCCAACCGCGCCCAATACCCCACGTGTGAGCAATCAACGTAGGTCACCTCGGTCGTCGCCAAACCTGATGCCAGAATTCCGATTCCCTGCAGCTGCATCACCGACGCTTGAGGCATCCCCAAACCAACCGGGTGCGCTAAATGAGCGCATGCTTAGCCCCATTGGACATACAGAAACTAATAACTTGGCAATTCGATCCAACTCGGTGCCGACCATTAACGAGCAACCCGCTCCCGCCGCCAGGATATTGGCAAGCGGGATACTCGGAGGAACGCCGCGAAGTAGCGGCGAGTTTTATTCCGTAAGCAACAACTCTTCAGAAACACTGGTTTCTGAGTACCCGACCCAACCGCCAGCAAGAGGACATGCGCGACCTCTCCGGCGGAGCATAGGTCTGCCCCCACCGCAGCCAAAGGCGCCAGAATCATTGATGATGGGGTACGCTCAACTACAAGGCTCATTCACACTGGACGGATCCTTGGTCAGCCTGGGACAATTTGAGCAAGTCAAGAAGAAGGCAATTGTGGGCCAGGGTGGCGGTGTCGTGGGTATAGATTCTGCGAAACGCGACAGTGGGCTCTTGCGAGGCTTCGGCTGGGGCAAAATCAGCAGTTCCCTGGGAGACTTCCTTGGTGGAGGCGAACTGAGCACGATCAAGGAGATGCGGGGAGTTGCCAACTCGAAATCGGTCCCACTCCTTACCACCCCACAGTCGATCTTATTCGTGGACCTGCAGTTGGTACCTGGAGAGAGTCAGGAATTTGAATATTCATTCCGGCTTCCAAAAGGCCTCCCCCCAACACACCGTGGAAAGGCGGTTAAAATATCATACAGCTTGGTCGTGGGAACCCAGAGAGTCGGCGGAGCCAAGGAGCAGCAGGTTCGGTCTGTCGAGGTCCCCTTTCGCGTTCTCGGGAGCGTCAACAGTCACGGCGAAATCCTCGGTCACGACCTCATGAACCCATACGTGCTGCTTCGTGACCAGGCCCAGGTTAAGAGTCCCTCCACTAACGGCAAGGAACAAAAGAGCAACGGGGTCAATGGAGTTAATGGTCGACCATCGACGATCAATGACTTCTTACTTTACGTGGATGACCTAGTTTCAAGACCAAGAGATGAGAGCGGCAGCATTTTGCTGCCAACTTCAGCCGGCGGAGCTTCTCGAAGACCTTCAGCGTTTGAGGAGGCAACCACTACACAAGAATCTATCCACCTCGCCATCATGAGAAGCAATATGGCATCTGGAGGGCAGCAGAGCCCCAATCGATTTGAGATTGCACGGAACGGACAGCGAGTCGGAGTAGTTATGCTCACACGACCGGCTTACCGACTAGGAGAAGTTGTGACTATGGCAGTCGATTTCACCGACGCTGATATCCCATGCTACGCGATGCACTCCACTCTGGAGACGTCCGAAAAAATAGACCCATCATTGGCGGTACGATCAGAGTCAAGCATTCATCGGGTGACGCGCAAGGTCCATGCCGCGTCATCGGAGGCAACGCTTTATACTCGACGGGTCACGTTTAATGCTACGATTCCAATCACGGCAACCCCCGAATTTGTTACGAGCGGAGTTAGCTTGGACTGGAAGGTCCGGATCGAATTCGTGGTGCCTTCACAAGGGAGCGACGATTCAGAGGGCAGAGAGCGACCAGCTGCTCACCCGCTGCTCGAACAAATTTCACAAGATGAGAAGGGGGGCCAGGTACTTGTGGCGGTGGAAAATCTTGTGTGTGAGAGCTTTGAGATTGCGGTGCCTCTGCGTGTGTACGGAGCAGTCGGGACGGGATTGGAGCGACTCGAGCGAGACGAGGCGTCGGAGGAAGGCCTTGCAGTGTAAGGAAGGAGACATAGAAGCAAGATGGGCTGTCTGACTGGTGTTGGATATGTCAAGTGAATGGCTTGATTTACGCAAGAGGTATAAGAGAGGTTGGTACTCGGGCGTGTTGGGATATAGCATAGCATTTTAACGGGGCGGGACAGAGGACAGTACGAGACCATCCTTGATTAATAAAGCCGATAGCAGCTCGGACAATTGTGCCATTTGACATACGTGACGGTTTTTGCAAACGCAGAATCAGCGATACGGGCTTCATGGGTACGCGTCGCGTCACCGGGTGGGATACCGGTATCTATGTTCATATATGATTGTTGGTATGGACTGGGACTCGGGGGTGGTCGAACCAACATCGAAGCAGCGGAAAGGGGGATTGATGAGCCGGGATGGCATGCCACCAAAAGCCACAGCGTCGGACCCCGGACGGCGTAGGTCATACCAGACGTTTAATAGGTACAAAGACAACAGCGGGAGTTGGGTGAGGACTGGAGTAGGCATTTAACAGCATACGACCAGGCGGGGATGGTAAGACAGGGCTGCGGGAGCATCCTCATTTAACGTCTGCCGCTCTTCCAGGGAATTGGCCAGGGGAGAAGTGAACTTTGGGCGGGCGAGACATGGGTTGAGGAGGCGTGATGGCGCTACTGGGCTTGGGGTGAAGCTGGTGGCGGCGGGATGTTGACGGTGGAGCAGAAGAGCAGAAGCCAGGAGATGAGAATGGATGGACTCGATACAAGTGGCTTTTTTTATTTGCTTCTTATTTTCTCCGTTGAGGATTTTTTGTTGGTGATGAGAGGGACGAGGACCGTTGTGGCTGGGCTGGCGGACGCTGCATGTTATTGTTTCGTTGCTGGTGGTGATGCTCCGCCAACGGTGGGGGGATCTGGAGGTGCAGCACACTGCATCACACTGCAGCGCTACAGTGGAGGATGGAGCGAGTTAAAGTGGCTGCTGGCTCGACAACGCCAGAGCGGCGACATCTGATGCGCGGGAAGCACCGGGAACAACAGCACAGTTTCAGAGTCCAGCTTGATCGACTTGTTGCAAAGCAGCAGGTTTGGGGCTGGTTTGGACTGAAGGGACATGTTAGAGGCAAGGGTTTCCCTGATGGCCCCTATCTCGAATCGCCTCCACGAAGTACCATGTTCTCCATCGGTGCTAGGTAGGTCGTCTGGGTTCACCAACCCAACACGGTGGGCGAGCAGGGTGGAACGACGACACCCCTGAGCTGGTCGATGTGATCACTCGTCACAGAAAAGATAAGTCGTCTCCGGTGAAATCAGTCAGTCACTCAGTTCGTCCGTCAGTGAATGGATTGAATCGAGTCGAGTCGAGTACGGTGATGAGCCCGAGACAGCTACCTACGTAATCCCAGCGCCCACCCAGGGAACAGGAACTCTATCCACTGGAACTAGGCCCTGTAGAGCCTACGACCCGCCTGGTACGGCCTCTTGCGCTCTCTCAGCCCACGTCAGGCGCCCGCGGCCGGTCGGTGGTGGGTGGTTTAGCGGTCGCTAGTGGTCACCAGCCGCCCCAGTGAAGACTGTGCTCACTTCTGGGCGCTGGTGAGAACCGTGGAGTGGCCCGAGCTTACAGGGCCCCCCGGAAACCATCAGCGGGCAGGGACCAAAACAAACCCTGGCCGCCTGTCGTTCCGGGGGTCGCCAGCGGTCCATGTCCATGTCCTTGCTGCTGAGCTTTCTTTCTCTCGGCGAGGCGAGTTCTCTTCCGCTTGCTCTGTTCACATCACCACATCCGTTGCGCCTTCACGTCCATCGTTCAATTGCTTCTCTCCGTCTGTCGTTTACGCCTTCTCCACGTCACTGTGCGCATTCCTCTGCTCCTCTCCTGCCCGATCTTGCATCTAACTCTGCCTCTAGCTTTTATTAGCTTGCTCGACTCCGCCTGCATCCTGCAGCAACTCCGACTTACACCGCCGCTCCACACACCAGCATCATCCCGCTTCTAGGCCGCGACTCCGCAACACAACAACAGGAAAAAATTACTCTCGCTGCGCGGCATTGCATTTCTTCTTCCTCGTCCGCTTCCACTGCTGCTGCTATTCCTTCGACACATATCGACGCTCTTTCGACATTCGACCTGAACTCTGACATCGATCCCTCCCGTGGCCTCCGAACCAGGCGTCAATGGCGGCAACATGGCGGCGACTCCCTCCAACAGCCGGCTCAAGTTCACTCCGTCCAACTCTCCTTTCCTCTCTCGCCCCTCCCGCTCCTCCAGGTCGCCCATGCGCGGCCGGTCCTACCATGAATCCTCCAAGCTGTCGCTGAAGCGCGTTATCGGCACTACCTGCTCCTCGCCCTGCGGCTTCGATACCGTCAATTCATCATTCGCCTACATCGCCGGAGCCGCTGTCGTCGTCGTCGACGTCAATGGCGAGAACCACTCCCAGCGCTTCTACCGCGCTCGACCAACCGCCATGCCCCTCTATTCGGTAGCCACTTTCCAGAATGCGCCTTCGACTCCAACAGCGACACCCAAAGCCAACGACAGCCGCGGCCGCGTAGCCCCGAGCTTTCGGGACTCCCCTCACGCTGCGACAGACTGGGGTGAATCCCCCGGGAGCAGGACATGGACGAGTCGCGAAAGGATCAAGGCTGCAACCTGCGTGGCTTTAAGTCGAGACGGCAAATATCTGGCCGTGGGTGAGACTGGTTACGCACCCCGCGTTTTGATCTTTAGCCTGCACGACACTTCCTCTGATACACCCCTTGTCTCTATCAGCGAGCATGGCTTTGGTGTTAAGGCTGTGGCTTGGTCCTCAGACACTCGATATTTGGCATCCCTCGGTGCTGCCAATGACGGGTTTCTGTATGTTTGGAAGGTTGATCCCCGTACGGGAGCCGCGAAGCTCTTTCAGCAGAACCGTTGCACATCCTATATCAGGGATATGGTCTGGATGGGCAATTGCCTTATAACCCTGGGAGTTCGCCATGCTAAGATATGGAGAGTGGATGACGGGTCAAACATCTCTCCCACGAAGCAAAAGTTCCTTGAATCATCTTCTACTCCACCCTCCCAAAGAACCCTGCCGGGGCGTAACATCCTGCTGGGCCCCCTTTTGGAGACGACCTTTAGCTGTGCTGCCGTTGTCAAGGACACCAGTCTGATCATCTGCTCAGAAACGGGCGACATATGTATCTTGGACGACGACGACAGGCAGATGAAGCTGCTCAAGGTTCTCAACTTAAATTTCCACATTACGAGCATCACTATCAAGGACAATGTCGCCTACGTTGGTGGTAAGGGTGGTCACTTTGCTACTCTTGATGTGGAAGCCGTTTTGGAATGCCGAGCGGCATGCGTGCTGGACACGACAGAGTCCACCAAGGGACTCGTCGCTCTGGGTTTCCTAACGGATAAGCTCGTCACCATCGATTCTAGACACTCTGTGGACATTTGGGACTCTGACCATATCCCTGGAAAGGATGCCCAAGCCATGGCGACTATCCCCATTCCAGGCCATGGAGATCAGGTCACTGGCATCCAAGTGCTCCAGAGACCGAATGATCTGGACGCATCATTCTTGACATGGACCGTTACGGGCAATGTCAAATTCTGGACCTTGGACGGCCAAGTCAAGGCTTCCATTCACGTGCCCATTGAGATGACCGAGTCGGAGAATGAGATGGACCCGATAAACCAAGTCACATATGCGCGTACAACCAGTGATGGTAGACTGCTTGTTGCCGCGGACCGACATGGTGTGCTGCGAGTCATGGATATCGCGACCAGAGAATCCCTGCTCGATATAAAGGCTCACTCCTCCGACTGTCGCAATGTGAGCGTCTACGAAAACGAATCTAAATTTCTCATGGCGTCGTGTGGAAGAGACCGTACAACCCAATTATTCCACCGCACCGATGATGGTGTCATTGAGCATTTCCAAACACTTGAGTTCGCCGCAAAGGTGGTCCAAGTGATTATTCCGTCAGATGACAAAGTTCTCACCTGTTCCTTTGATCGGACACTTCAAGTCCATGATCTCATTACTAGAGAAGGCGAACCGGATGCGATCGCCGCCATTCCTTCACGGGTCATTTCACTAAAAGCTTCACCTACTTCTATGGTCATAGGGCCAGATGAAAAGACAGTTTTTGTTTCACTTTTGGATCGATCCGTTTGTCAGTACGACCTCAACACTGGACGGCAAATTTCTTGTTTTAAATGTATGGATGAGGGAGGAGTCGAGTCTGCCGTCCTCGACTCGCTCACTCTCGGGCAATGGTTGCCCAAGGATCAGGATTTTCTACTCGGAATGTCTAACACGGACAAGTCCATCAGGTTATACGACGCCCAAACAGGCAGCTTCTTGGATCGGGAATGGGGGCACACGGAGGCGATAAATGGTGTTTGTTTGGTTGATGATGAAGATGGAAGCCGCAAGGTTGTGAGCGTTGGGTCTGATGGGACGATGATGATTTGGACACTGGACCTAAACGATCCAATGCCAGGGTCGATGAGTAGGGATCCATCCCCGGTCAAGGAAGGAGTTTCTGGCAGACCACCACTTCGAAGGGTTCTGTCCAAGGCTGAATTGGCCGAGTTCCAGCGTCCGTCTCCTGCCTCGGGTCGTAGGTCACCCCCGAGGACTCTCCGGCGCCGAACTTCGCGATTCAACCTTGCTGCTAGCGTCAGAACTCCAACAGGTACCTTCCCGACGAGCCCCATGGCGGGGGACACACCGTCACGACGACCTTCGGCCGACAGTCGGGCAGCTAGCCCGCCAGTTAGCCCGAAAGCCAGGATTACAAGAAGACCTTCGCTGCCAGCCCTTGGGGCCACTGCCCGGAAGAAGACGTCTTCTTCGAACCTCCGCGGGTTTGGTTCGTTGAATATGGCAACCGAGCAGGCATGTCGAACGTTACGGGCGTACAGAAAAAAACTGGCATCTGCTGAGCCCATCAGTCAAGATGTATTGTCTGAGCTGGACCAGGAACTTCGTCTCACGGCAGCTTCGCTAGGGGAACGAGCGATCCGAGGCAAAGCGATGAATGAGACGGTGCTGAGTGGTTTGCTGGACCAGTACTCTGAGAGGCTGGTGACACTATTAGACGAGAAACTGGGTCTCAGTCACCAGAGAGAACGGGATGGGGACAGTCCCGATGAAGAAGGACATCGCAGTGCGGATGGGGACTCGAGCTCCCTTTCGCCGTAGTATCTTTTCGTCGTATGTGTTATTATCACTGGGCTTTTTTCTTTTTGTTTGGTTATCTGGTTATAGGCGTTGATCGGCTGACAACGGTTGTTTTGCTGGGTTGGGCGGCCAAAGGACATACACCGAGCGAGGAGTGCATACCGCCGGTTTGCTCCATCATGATACCACTGGGCTTGGAGTTTTTTGCGCTTCTTTTAGATTTCACTGATCAGGTCGAATTCACCACACCAGGGACGTTAGCCCTGTATTGACTTATCATCCTCAGATCCCGGTTATGGGCTAGCTTTAAAGTGCAGATGCTGTAGAATAGTCGAGATGAGCTATCAAGAAGATCCCAGATGAGCTGCCGGTCATGGTAAAGCTCGCTTGGCGCGCTTGACGATAGCGGGTGACGGTCAGGGGTATCACGTGATTTAGCTTCCTTTAGCGCTGTTTGCGGCTCTGGCCGGTTGAGAGCCAGTTTTCTTCCCTGCATCATCGAAATTTTTGACCTTTGCCTGCTCGCGTTCCCTTTCCGGTCATTTCCATCACGTGATATCTGGCCAGACGATCGCGACTTGGAAGAAAAAAAAACACCACGGTCGGGCGGCGAGCGCGTATCACGAAGAGGCCCCAAAACGCCATTTGCACCCGATGATAGGCCTCGAGGTCGCCACTATCAGATCTGGAGTCATCGTCTAAGGTTGCCTGTACGTATTGGTAGAGCCCCGGAAATGCTGTAGCCGTTTGTGACCTCTAACAAGAGCCATCGATAGACCGTGGCGCCGGTTCATCTTCTTGCGAGACGTGAAGGCCCCCTGGAAAGCTGGCGAGGTGGATCGCGGGGCATGAATCAACCGGCCGCCTATACGCCCCTCGAGTCGCTGTTCCTATTCCAGTCGTTGCTGACCCACGGAGTCGACACTGGGGCCTTCGCGCGCATCTCGGAGCTCCTCACCAACAACGCGCTCATAAAGGAGGCCGACACATATGATCCCGCACGATTGAGACCGGACGCGCTGCAGCAGCTATTTTTGCTGCTGCTGCGAGATGAGCTGAAGAGCGAGGAGGAGCGGGTGGATGGCCCCAACGAAGCTAACGGATCGCCTGGGTCGAAGAAGAGGAAACTGGGAAACCCGCCGTTGCCATCGCTCAAAGACGTGTACGAAAATGTCGAAAAGGTCCCCGTGCTGGTCGAACGCCTCTATGCGCGATACCGCGACCATGTTGTCAAGCAAATCCGAGAGGACGAACGACGATTCGAGACAGTCCAGAAGGAGATCCAACTATTAGAGCGGACGGAAAGGGAGCGACGCGCCAGGGCGGCCAGCCAGAATGGGACACCGATTCTAGCTCCCCGAGAAGCCAAGCCTGCGATAGCATCGAATGCACCTGCGCCAACGACGGTACCAAACTCGGCGACGCCTACCGCAATTCGAAGAGGTCCGGTACAACACACGCCAGTAATTCCTCCAAAGCCTCCGACACCTCACGTTGCGCCTCCGACACCTCACGTTGCGCCTACAACACCTCATGTTGCGCCTCCGACAATCGCTCCTCCGAGTCACCTACCAGCTGGGACAACGCCAACCCGACCGTCACCGTCGTCAAAGGTCCCGAATGGAACTGCTTCGGTCCTTCAAGCTCCTACGGGAGTGCCGCCGTCGTCTGGACCCCGTCCGCTGCAGCCACCGCCGCAACCTGCCAAGCAAGCCATCTCTCCGCGTCCGGAGATTGGGATCAAGCCGAAGGATGGGGCAGTGGCTCCTCAAGCTGCGACTCCCGTAGGAGCTGCTCTGAAGTGGGAGAAGCCATACCAACCTCCACATACTCAGACGCCGCCTCCAAGACAGTTCCAACCTCCGGCTCAACCAGGCCAGACTGCAACACCAGGACCGCAGCAACCACAACAGCAGCAGTGGTATCCTCAGCCAACGCCTCAATTCCCTTCACCAGCGACTGGACAACAGAATCATCCTCCCCCTCAGCAGGCACAGCATGTGCAGCAGCATCCCCAGCGTCCGCAACAACCACAACAACCACAACACACGCAACACCCGCAACAACATCCACAGCAACATCCACAGCAACATCCACAGCAACATCCACAGCAACATCCACAGCAGCACCCTCAGCAACATCCGCAGCAGCACCCTCAGCCGCATCCTCAACCGCATCCCCAGCCGCATCCCCAGCATCCTCCCCAGCATCCTCAACACCTCCAGCGCCCTCAACCTCCACCACAACCTCAGCCTCAATCTCGCCCTACACCTGGAAAGCCTTTGCTTGTGCCACCACAGAATGCTGGTCAGTTGGCACCTCCTTTACAGCCGGCACCCCCACGGCCAAAGGGAGATGTTCCAGTCGTTCAGGCACCCCAGGCCCGTCCTCCTTCAACGACTCCAGTGCCACATCCGACCCGTGCTATCCAACCGCCACAGGCACAGGCTCAGCAAGTTCCTCGACCAATTGCTTCCGCATCGCCCACGACTCCTGCTCCTACCACGGGCCCTATTGCTCCACCTCAACAACGATGGCCTCAAACACATCCATCGCAACCGGGACAAAATGTGCCACAGACTCGGTCTCCTGCGCCCCTTGCTTCGCAGAAAGACAAAGCCTACACCTCACCATACATTGCGCAGGCTCCACGTCCTGCGATTCCCGAGCATGTTATTCGACAAGCCCTCAGTACACCCGCCAAAAGGCTCGGTACCCCGTCTGCACCCCAAACCCCCATATCGGCAACTCCTTCGCATCTTATGCATGGATTTGGTACTCGATGGTCTTCTATGTCAACACCATCCACACCAAAGCCACTTAGTGCGGAACCAGAGAGTCCTGCTTATGAGCCAGTGAGCCCGCCCCAGCAACCAGCTGCCCTGCCTAGCTCAGCTGGTTCTACACCTCGCCCAGCTCTTAAGAAGCAGACACCAAAGCTGGTACCCAAGATAGAACCCAGCATCATCAAGTCTAGCAGAGGTCGATCTTCGCGGAAGTCCCAGATGGGCCGTGGATTAAGCGCTACTCCCTCTCTCTCCCGAACGAGGCGGAGTCAATCCGTTATGTCTCATACAGACGAGCCTATTACAGAGTCATCTGAAGCTGCTCCAAAGATCAAGGATGAGGATGCTACTCCTAGACCGACGGAGGAGACGGGCGATACTACTGCAGATGAGAGTGTTCCGGGTCGACCCCAGATCGTGACGCCGAGCAGTGTAGCTTCACGAATGCACAAACGGAAGAGACAGGAGACCCCTCCAGAGCCACCAGCGCCGACTTCACAAGTGTTGTGGACGCGTGGTTTCACCAAGGTCTCTTCGTCTGCTTTGGATCAGATTTCGAGCCACCGCGATGCCAACATGTTTGCTACCGCTCTTCGCGAAAAGGACGCACCCAACTACCGACAGATTGTTCTGCAGCCGCAGGATATAACATCTATCCGGTCTGCTATCAAGCATGGTAACAAGGCTGCTGTCCAGGCTGCTGGGGGCCTCCCCGGAGGCGACCCTGGGACTGCCCACGTCTGGCTACCCCTATCCGACGAACTTGTTCCCCCCAGGGGCATCATCAACAGCGCCCAACTTGAGCGCGAGCTGGTGCACATGTTTTGCAACGCCATAATGTACAACCCCGATCCTGACCGCGGACCTGGACCTGGCTTCATGAAGCGGTCCCAGGACGAGGAGGAGGAGATTGTAGGATATCGGTTAGACGAGAATGGTGTCGTAAAGAATACGCGCAGCATGTTTGTCGAAGTTGAGAAGCTCTTGGGCGACCTGCGCAGCGCCGAGAAGGAGCGTAGTGCTCCGCCACCGTCGGCGACTCGTCCAGCCAGCGTGGCCACGCCAGCTGAGGATACGGCCGAAGACGAGGATGACGCAGCGGGCGAGCGCGAAGCCGGCACCGGAACGTCCAAGAGAAGACGTGTAGGTACGAGGGGTTGATCTTCTTGCTCAACTTTGGCAAGAAAAGTAGACTTGGATGACCCCTTGGAATGCTGCGAGAGAATTGCAGCGTGTACTTTGTTTGTGTATAGCGTTTAGAATTGCCACATGTTAATTATCACCTATTTAAATACCCACCTCCGAACCGCCGCCACCGATGCCGCTAAATACAATACACGAGAGGCTGTGTCTACCCAAACCATTCAGTCCTGTTCTCCATGCATAAACCGTGAACGCCGTCTTTGCCCAAATGCTAGCTATCTATGTGGTTGTTTGTCAACTCGACGAACGAGGCATTACTCATTCGGGCTTTGTGCCTCCTTGGGATGTGCTCGACCTGTTACTATGCGCGCTTTGCTTGGAATCGGCGTTGTCGTCAACGAGCCGCTTGCGTGGCCAGTCGGGGCAGATGTCGATGTTTTCCCTGGGGAACCACCACTCGAGGAAGAGGAAGAAGAGGTAGTCGACAACGACGACGAGACAGAAGAGTTTGCCGGCCCAGATGCCACATCCGTAGTAGCGCTTAAGGCGGTCGATGAGGGTGAAGTTGCGGATGCGGCTGCCATTGTAGCCGGTAGGGTCAAAGCCGTAAAAGTCCTCCTCGGGAAGGGTACCAGAGATGCCGTCGTAGACGCGCTCAGTGCGCAGGGCGACGTTTTGCCAGGAATACATCTTCTTGACTTGGTCGTGGAACCTTTCCGTGCGGATTTTGCCAGCTCGCATAGCAGTGATGGCTTTGCCGGTCGCGAGGACGACATCGTCCTCCTCGGGCTTGGAGAAGGTGGTCATGTGGGAGGGGAGCACCTCGGGGATGCCGCCAACTTGTGTGCAGACGACGTAGAGGCCACAACTGGCGGCTTCGACGATAACGGTGCCGAAGGCTTCAGTCAGGGAGGGGTGGAGATAAATGTGACCGCGAACCATTACGTCGCGGACCTCCTCGTGGCGGACGGGGCCGAGCATCTCAACGCGGTCTTGCAAGACGTTGGTCTCAATCATCTGTTCGAGGTCAATGGCCTTGGGACCCGAACCGGCAATGATGAAACGCGTGTTTGGGTGGTTTTCAAGCACGCGGGGGATGGCGGCGATGAGAAGGTCGGTTCCCTTGTTGTAGAATAGACGAGAGATGACGACAATAGTGATGACATCGCGAGGGCCGAAGCGCTGGGGAGGGGGATAATGCGTGGCATCCAGGGAAAAGTTGGGCCCTTGGGGAGAAGAGACGGGGTGGTCACGCGGACGGAAATTGTCTGCAACGACGGCATTGGGGATGACAGAGACCATGAGGGGATCAAGAGACGCCCGGAGGACGGTGTTTTCCTTGCTAGGGGAGGTTAGGCCAGGGTCGAGTGAAATTTAGAGCATTGCAAACTCACCAGGTGTGGCTCACGCAGATGCTGTGGTCCACATCACTGAGGATAAACTTGAGAAGCTTGTTGGTGAGAATACTGGCAGCATCGGCAAAGCCAAAGAGTGAGTGATCGGTGAAGACGGTGCGCAAGCCCATGGTACGGCCGTGGAGGATGCCCTCGTGGCACAAACTGCTGAGGCTGCCATGGCCGTGGACGATCTCGATGCGCTCGCGGATGAAGATGTTGCGGAGGATGGGGAAGCAAGAGAGAACCGTGGGGAAGGTGGCGTTGCGGTAGATGATGAAGAAGGGCACATGGTAGACCTTGAGGCCGTTGGTGAGGTAACGGATGCCCTTGCGATCATCGTAGGCGTGGGTGATGACGATGACTTTGTGGCCACGGTCGATGAGCTTGGTGGCGAGCTGGTAGATGTGCGACTCTATGCCTCCCGGCTGCGGAAAGAAGAAGTCACTGACCATGGCGATGTTGTAAGTGCGGCGCGTCATCGTGGCGGCGTAGTTCGAGATATTGAAGCTGTTGAAGTGGTGAGGACTCCCGTCATGGCTCAAGGGGGCGCGTATTCTTTTCCTGCCGTCGCTATACAGTATTTGTTGGGCCTGGAGGTGCTGGTGATGGTATCGATGCCTTGCTTTCGTCGGTAGTTGGTGCCAATGATGCTTCAGTCCATCTCATCACTCATCTCTTCTCATCTCAATCTCATGATGGACATGGATTCCACGTGTAAGTACAAAGTACACACGCGGCAGACCGAGGAAGTGGAGCTGGCGCCAAGGGTGGGCGGTTACCGATAAAATTTGGCGGTCACGGCCGGCAGAATCGCGATAAGACTCCAAGCCGCCCAAATTTTTGGGTGGGACATCGACGAAGCTCTGAGCGCCCCTCTAAAACCAAGCAAATTCGACGACTTTTCTCTGCGTTGGGTGGACAATTGGCCTCGAAAATATGCCCTCAAAACGCAGCGAACGCCCTACAGAGGCGGGCGAGGTCCAGCACATCGATACAGGCGCCAACACCCCCAAGGCGAAGCGGAAACGGGATCTAGCGGAAGAGGCGCGCGAGTCTCCCCAGCCCGGAAACAAAAAGTCCAAAACCTCGGAGGACGACGATGGCAACGAGGTAGAGAATCCCGCGCAAAATGCGACCGAGGATGCGCAGGAAGGAAAAAAGAAGAGGAAGAAGATTCGAAGAGGAAAAAAGAGGACTGGGGCTGCCACCTCTGAGGAGCAGGTTGCAGAACCTGATGCGCCGGCAACCGACGTGACGAAACCCGAAGTCTCAGAACCGGAAAACAAGGGAAAGTCCGACAAGAAGGAGAAGAAGGAGAAGAGGGAAAATAAAAAGAAGGGTAAATCAGAAGATCGGGAGGAGGAGCCCGAGGCTGAGGATGTATCGATGGTCGATGTCTCACATGAGCAAACTGAGACTGTGGCAGCGTCTACCGAAAAGCCGGCAAAGAGGAGAGAAAAGAGAGAGAAGAAGAAGAAGAAGCAAAAGGAGCCTGAACCCTCCGACGACGAGAAAGAGGACGAGGAGACAGCCAAGAAGCACAGGTCAGTCCTTGAGCGCAAGGCCAAGTCGCTGAAGCTGGCTAGCGAGATGGTTCAGGACGACTCGGATGATTCTGACCTGGGCGAACTACATGGTCTTGAGCCTCTTCCACAACCGGAGCCAGTATCATCCCTCGCCACCTCCAAGCCAGCCTACGAAACTCTCCCGCCTTGGTTGGCGGCGCCAATTCGCGTTTCGCAAGACACTCGCACCCCATTCACAGAACTCGGCATCTTGCCGAAGGCTTCACGCATCTTGGAAGAGAAAGGTTTCAAAGACGCGTTTGCTGTGCAGACCGCTGCGATTCCACTATTGTTGCCTACCAGCAAGCAACAGCCTGGCGATGTTCTGGTTTCGGCCGCAACTGGATCAGGAAAGACTATGGCTTATGCCCTCCCCATCACGCGAGATATCAGCCAGGGCGTGGTGACTAGGCTTCGGGCCCTCGTCGTTCTCCCCACCCGTGAACTTGTCAAGCAGGCGCAAGAGGCATTCGAGCTCTGTGCCAAGGCGTTTGAGGGTGGCGAGCGCAAGAGAGTGCGGATAGGTGTTTCGGTTGGTAGTCAGTCGCTCAAGAACGAGCAGGAGTCTCTGATGGACCGGGAGACACGGTATGACCCCGAAACCTACAAGACATTACAGGAGGAAAACAAAGCCCGACGGCAGCGTGGCATCGGTCTATCTACGACCGAAGACTTGGTGGACCCGGATTCAGAAGAGACAGACCCCAGGCTAAGCAGCATGGAGGGCTATGTTGTCGACTTTTCTTCAAAGGTTGACATTTTGATCTGCACTCCGGGTCGTCTCGTCGAGCACATTGATCAGACTCCGGGTTTTAGCCTCGATTACGTCCGATGGCTCGTAGTCGACGAAGCCGACAAGCTCCTCGCCCAGAGCTTCCAGGGCTGGCTGGATCTCGTCATGGAAAAGTTCCGCATCAACAAGTTCAGCGCACGCGACTTTCCCGACATGGATTTCTCTGGCGTTCGCAAAGTCATTCTCAGTGCCACTCTGACGCGCGATCTAAGCCTCCTCAACCAACTAGCACTACGGCGGCCGAGACTCATTGTCCTCGACAGTGACGGCGACGCGCAGATTGCCGAGCACTCCCTCCCTACGCTGCTGAAGGAGCACGCCATCAGAATCCACGACAGCACCCTCAAGCCCCTGTATCTCCTGGAGCTGCTTCAAGGCCAGTATATGCTGGCGGCCAGCCCGAGCAATGTCAAAGTCTCTACCGAGCCTGAGGAGACTTCGGATTCAGACACCAGCTCTGATTCCAGCTCTGATTCTGATTCCAGCTCCGATTCCGCCTCCGACTCAGACTCCGATTCCAGCTCCGACTCCGATTCTAGCTCTGGCAGTAGTTCAGACTCTAGCTCAGATTCAGACTCTGGTTCGGATACTCCAGCGCCAGTCCGCTCGCGGAAGCTCAACATCCCCATTTCCCTCATCTTCACCAAGTCTAACGAGGCCGCGCTCCGTCTTTCGCGACTCTTGGCTCTGTTGGATCCTTCATTGGCTTCCCACATCGGCACACTCACGTCCACGACCCCGACACACATCCGCCGCAAAACCCTTCGAGCATTCACGGCGCCAGATTCGCCCTTGCGTCTTCTTATCGCCTCCGACCTCGTTGCCCGAGGTATCGATTTGCCGAACCTCGACCACGTCATCAACTACGACCTGCCGCCGAGTCTCGCTGGTTACGTCCACCGTGTGGGCCGTACGGCCAGAGCTGGAAAGTCTGGATGTGCTTGGACCCTGGTCGGCGATGAAGAGAGTGGCTGGTTCTGGGGTAAGATTGCAAAGGGATCCGGCGTCAGGAGAGCTCAAAAGATGGAGAGGACAAGAATCGAGGAAATGAGTGAGGAGCGTATCCAGGAGTACGACAACGCTCTGGAGAAGTTGGGTAAAGAGGTTAGACGGTAAAAGAGAGGGCATACAGGATAGGACGGCACACAGTGTCTGGGGTTTTTACATACCCACAAATAGATTCAATGTGGACGGTATTTTGATGTATTTGCGTGTGATCTATCCGCCAAATAGCTTATTCCGACTTCAACCTCGTGAAACGAGTTCATCTACTGCGGGAAGTCTGGCTCACGTATATCCGAGTTCTGCCCAAAGACGATCTCTGAAGTTGGACCCCCTCGGTAGACAATGGCAAGGCCATGGGCAAGCATCAGGTACGAGAGCGCCGGCAGCACCTCGCGGGAAGTGGACAGGTGGACAGCTTCAGTAAATTCGAGTACTGGATAATGGAAACAACGGTGCGAGCCATCTGTTGCTCCAAATCGTCGATAAGTTGTGTTTTGTCGCGGGATCCTCAATACTGCCGATGGCATGATCGTAAGTCATCGTGATGGACTCTATGCCAACGGCTTCTATCGCGATAACGGTGGGTTCATATCTCATGAAGGGTGGCGTAATGTAGAGGCTGAACTTATTGCTAATTCCAAGACGTTTCGGGTGATGAACTCGCAAGACACAAGAAAGATTGATGTTGAGGTGTGCTCTTAAGCTACGGCCGGGGTGATGGCAATCGTGTGCGACTTCGATATCCAAGATGAAGTTGCCTAAAACAAGGCCGTCGACATCAACAACAGGTAGTAATGTCGGCCAACCAATAAGTCATCCCTTCTTGACAGCTGCGAGCAGCCGCCAGCTCCTGGTGCTACCCATAAAAATCGCACCCCCTTCTCGGCCTTGGCGACGGTTCTTGTTCTTCCTCTCTCATCCTCGCGGCGTCAGCTACGATTTTTCCACCACCCTCCCCTCCGATGGCTTCGGCCTTGAGGTTATAACAGTAACTTTGTTATAACCTCCTCCTTTAATTGATGGTTCCAGCTATAATTCTTCCTCTCTTATCCTCGCGGCGTCAGCCACGACTTTTTTTACCACCCTCCCCTCTCACGGCTTCAGCCTCGAGGTTCCAACGTCAACTTCGTACTCAACACTCTAATAATGCAATCCCAGAGCATCTACCAACGTCCCACCGGCGCGTTTTCAATTGTCTCCTTTCCTACCAATAATAACCATGGAGCTATTCTTGTTTTCCCCAAACAATACACTTTAGGTAAGCCCCTCAACAACAGTGATTGTGTGTCGATTCAGTCACGTGGGTTCCTGTTTGCTCGTTTCGCACTTCTCCCGTTTTCTTCCCCTCACACTTCACTTTCTAACTTGACAAGACCTCACTCGAAAAGCCTTACTTGCTTGTTTTCCCTCCAATAATCCACATCATTCAACCCGACAAAACCTTTCTCTATTAAGTATATCCCCTGTCGGCCAACTGTATGTTGCACCTCCTTCCCGATTCTCAAGCTTTAACTAACTATCCTCAGATATATCGACAGTAGTGAACGAGGCTCCTCGCTCCCGTTCGCAACCCGAGCCAACCTGTCACTATGGCGGCTCCTTCGGGCGCGGACTCGGAGTCCACAAGTGAGGATGAGGGCCTCTACGGCACGATCCAGCGGGGAGCTATAACCCCGACCCAAGACAGGGTCAATCTGGAGCAACTTCTCGAGTTAGCTTCCAGTTTACCTATGACAGACATCTCTCCTCAAGCTCTACACGCCATCGCTATGCTGAATAATGCCCGCTTGGAGGAGGCTTTGCGTCTGGGCAAAACACTTGAGGATATGGTGTTTAATGAGGCTGAGCTTGCTTGGCAATGGGACGGGATGCAAAATCCAATCATCCAGGCATACAACCGGGGTGAGCTGCCTGTGATTAATCAGAGAGCTCAAGTGGTACCAGGTGGCCGGCCTCTCAGATCACCAACTCGTTCCCTAAGCCCCGAAGTCAACGGCCAGCCGCCACCAAACGCCGAAGTCAACGACCAACCGCCACCACACACTGAAGTTAATAACCAGCCGTCCCCAACTCTAGGCAGTGACTCCTCGGGAAATGGATCCAACACCGAAGGGTCCTTGGTTCCAGCTGAGGGAGACTCCGATTTCAGAACCCTCAGACTGCCCCTGCAGCTCGCAATGCGAATGAAAGATGCGATCGAGAAGATGGAAGTCAGGGCAACAAACTGGAATCATCTACTGGAAATCCTGGGGAAACATCCACCGCCGACAATCGGAGAGGCAGAAGAATCCTTCCATATCGTCAGCGAACTCATCTCCGACGTGTGGACAATTGAGGCGTGGTGTCAATACGAGTTCACGGTCCCTGAAGAGCGTATCTACTCAATTATCCAAGGACTCCCGGCTCTAATGCTTCGACTCATGGGACTCCTGCAGCCTGAAGAGTTTACTGAGGACCGCTCTTTCAACGACTAGGGACCCGATTAGAAAGCAAGAGCGGAAGCGGTCGATTAGGATTTGGCGCAGATGCTTGATGCTTTGGTTCCGTTGGTGGCAGATTCTAGCTCCTGGACTGAGGTGAAGGCAATTATGGCACAGTTCCTCAAGCACCAATGTTGTTCCCAGCAGGTGGCATTGGCGGGACGCTTCAGTGGTGCGTTTAAGACGGCTAAAGATGCTTGAAGCTTTGATTCCGTTGGTGGCAGACCCTGGCTCCTGGGCTGAGGTGAAGGCAACCATGGCGCAGTTCCTCAAGCATCAATGTTTTTCCCAGCAGGTGGAATTGGCGAGATGCTTCAGTGATTCGCTTGAGCCGACTGAAGATTGATCTTATGTCAATTGACACAACACTTGCCTTTAGTGCAGGAAATGGGAATTACAGTTCAGTTCGCACTCGGGATTTCACTTGCTCTTTTGTTATATATCCAGACTATAGTCCTGGATGGAGTTTGTTTTCCTGCTTTCCTTTTGCTAAAGGTCCATTGGGCTCGGGCCGGCTTGAGTGGATGGCGACCTACAAATGGAGAGAACACACTGGAGGGAACTAGGTGAGGAAGCAGCCCTCAGTGGATTATCAAAGGGGATAGAGGAGCTTCTCTCTTCACAATTAGCCTTGAGAAGTACAGTCTGGTTTCTACGCAATATGTGATTTGCTCAGTGAACTGAACTCTCTTGCTTGTAGCTGTTGTGTGACAATACGAGGTAGCTAATTATAAACATGGACTGTCGGCCATCCAGCATTTATCCCGCCGATATTGTATCTGAAGTGAGTTCCAGCCCCGCAGACAATCCTCTAAATTTACAAGCTCTGTTTATCAGTTGCTGCAGTCCGACAGCGTCGTAGTGGTCCACCAGTGGGAGAGCAGGGTGACCTCCATGTGTTAGGTGGCAGCGCATGCACTGCACCTTCACATTCTCACACCCTCACATCCTCACATTCTCCTACCCTCACACACCAACTCCTCCCGATACCCCCTACTGTCATTGAGCACGTTCAGAGTCATGGATCTCTCAAATTGGTTGTGCCAGACTCGCGCCGCCAACGGCTCTGACGCCATATCTCAAGAAGCTTTGGTTGCTTTACCCAAGGCTGCACTCAAGGTCGCCGAAGAAGCTGTGCCCGCGCCTGATTCCAAGCCTGATTCTGAGTCCGAGGTTAGTTCCACATCTGATTTCAAATCCCTCTCTGACACTACACCCTAAAATCCGTTTACGACTCAGCCTGACGCTAATCTTGGAGAACAGGAAGATTTCATCCTTCCAGTTGCCCCTCGAAATGCCGTCAAAAATGCCAATCCGGCCCGCACTCTGTTTCACGCAGATGACTTGGAAAAGACTCAAATCGGCAAAGACATCTTCCCCGAGTCCCCTGTCCAGTTAACCCTTGTGAAGGGTGGTCGACCCAATTGTCAGTGCCTCTTCGAGAAAGCTGGCAATACTGGGCTGTGATTGTTTGCTATCTCAGTCACGTGGATTCCTGTTTGCCCGTGGCGTTCTGTTTCTCATTTCGCACTTCTTCCGTTTTCTTCTCTTCTCCAGGTTTCTGCCCCTCACACTTCTCCAGTTCTCGTCACCTCACTTCTCCCGCTCTCTTCTCCTCACACTTCACTTTCTAACTCGACAAGGTCTCATTCGGCCAAGCCTCACTGTATCCCCTTTCCCTCTAAGCATCTTCATTATCCAACCGGGCAAAGCCTTACCTTACCAAGTACATGCTATGAGGTCCCGTGATGCAGCGCGCGCTGATCTCGTCGGAGAAAACTGACACCACCACCAAAACGTCAACCTTGCACGCACCTTGCTAATAGCTACCTACGTTGAATTCTATCTATTGTATGAGTTCATTGTGCATTTCGCCTTCTTCCCCATTCCCAACAGGATGAGTCGCTGCGCATCCCCTGTCGGTCAACCGTGTGTTACCCTTCATCCCGATGCTAAACTCTACCTAACTCTCTTCAGCTTTATCGACGAAGGTGACGAAGTCTCCCTGTTCCTGTCCGCAGCCCGAACCAAATGGCCGCTCTGGTGGTTCCTTCCATGTCTTTCTACCTTGGGCAATGAGCGACATGGACAATCCAGACGCCACAGGCGCAGTTTCAGACGGCGCGCGATGTCACACTGTCCGTGGTTTGAAGTAGAGGAAGTCACTTCAACTCTCCTCGAAGATTCCGCTCGTCCTGGATACCCTCCAGTCCTGGCCCGACCACTACGAAATCGAATTCCGAGGCTCACATGAACCACTTCCAGCCAGTGGCAGCTCTGAGCTTCGTGAAGAGTGCAGCGGAGAAGTTGGCGCGGAGTCGACAAGTGAGGGCAATGTTGTCTTTATATACTCTACGATCATACGGCGAGCCATAACCCCGACCGTCCAAGACAAGGTCACTGCCGACCAAAGGCAACTGCCGACCAAAGGCAGGTCACCGGCAGGGAGCCAACCACAGAGACCCAAGGAACACTATACCCTTCGAGCAACAGACGTTTCGCCGGTGATCCTGATCCTGAGCACGAAAGCCATCCCCCTCCAATTCGAACGCTCATGGACGACAACTCGGACGAAGAACAGCTTTTCCCGCGCTCCGAGCCTGTTGTTACTGCAGGACTAGGAGTTGGCGCTCGTTCGATTACTGCCGCTCTTGCCGGCGAAGAACCCATTTATGATGACGACGGAGACAATATCGAGTCTGTTACGGAAGGTGATTACACCCAGCGAGTTTGGCGTCAAAATGAAGAGCATGACACCCGGGAATGCTACCAACCAATTCGGTTGTTCCAAGTCATCTCCCGCGGTTGCCGAATGATGATTCCACGAGAGAAGGCAGATGGCATGGACAAGCGCTTAGGGATTGATGGAACTGTACTCCCCGACGACGAAGCTCCCAAGTGTGTTTTTGTAGGGGTTTCCGCAATCACCCCCAGGACGTCTTCATGCCGGAGAAAGAGACCCAGATGCGTGCGGATATGAGCGACAATCATCTGTATCCGAATCCATCGGGTGATTCGCATTGGATGATGGGATGGCACCCGCTTGCTGCTCTGACGATACCTCAGGAAATGAGATCTTGACTGTACTCACTTTTATGTCTGCACCCCAAAGATCCTATTCCCATCAATCTAGCAGTGGCGGCCACAATTATTTGTTCGGATTTGAGGGGCGGTGATCACGAGTTGGAGGCTTGCGTCAAGGGCCAACCTAAGCACCCTATCCCAGAAGTTTCCTTGGGCTCTTCATCTGTACTTTCCACGTCTTTGCGATTTACCGAGGTGAGAAGGCTGGCTCGGTATGTCCATCCAAAGCGATTTGCGGCCATGAACTACAAATTGGATCGAAAATGGGATGAGGATGGACGATTCGAGATCAAGAATGAGTCGCTGGATACGCTGGATAGTGCAAGACTACTACAACTAGCCAAGTCAGTTCAGTCGGCATGTCTTCAGATATCCGATTCGCTTCGCATCCGGCTACTACCCCAATCCATGCCTGAGCTCAAAATGGTATTGTACTCAGAGTCGCCTTTGGTCAGAGGCTTGCGAAGAATGGAAACCCGTCCAGATTTCAAACGATCAAATCGACGATTTGGGTCTTGAGGGTTTAAGGGCAGGTTAAGCGCTAAATTCCAGAGGGGTCAGGGCATAAAGAGGGCTGGAAATTAGGGTCTATGGGGCAGGCTGACCGCTAAGTCTTAGTGGTATCAGGGCAAAAACAGCTGAAAATTAGAGCAGTTAGGTCTCAAGGGCAGTTCGATCTTGTACGGCTGAATAACTTGTTCAGACTTCACTCGTGAGACTTGACTCCTACAACAATCCATCTCCAACGGTTCGGCATGGCCGCCCCGCATCCCATGCAGGAAGAGCTGCTGCAATTCAAGCCACTTCGTTTGTTATTCGCATCATTGCATGGGGGCTGTGTCTGCTCTGCCCAGTCGGGTGTCGCGTATCTCGGTGAAGTGGTTCGCGGCCAAACCTCGCCGTCGCCTTGTCAACTCCGGCCGCAGATCGGACTATCCCAATCCTCAACGGGATAGATCGAACCATTCCCAATGCCCTCGTGCATCAAAAAGAAGGCCCTGGATTCGTCGGGCCATGCGTGTACGAGCAAGTCATCTGGCAGCCAACGCCAGCGTCGCCTCGGGGAGGACAACACACTCACCCCAGTAACACTCCTCCGCATCCTCTTCGCCATTGGGCTTCTCGCCATGGCACATGGCCCCCAGCTGCGGTTTGCGCATTTGCGCATTAGCATCTTGCGCTGATGCGCCGATGAGCTGGCTTGCACTGATAGGTTGTACTTAACACCCGCTCATCCCGATCTTCGTCAGGAATCGACCGGGTCTTGGGGTTCTCAACCTCGACCGTTATCTCTTCAAAACCCTCACATCCATCACATTCTGCTACAGCACACTAGGCCATCAATCACGAATACTGAATCGAAAATGTGCCTAGCATCGACCGCCAACTCTGCAGAGTACCATTGGTAGCGAGAATGCCCTCGGTGAGAGACAAAGCGAGTCAATTCTCCTTCCTTCGGCATCGAAACATCCTATCTCCATCTCTCCCCAAGAAGTCACGACGCCCGGGGTCCTTTTCCACCTGGATAAAGGCTCCTCACCGTTTCGATATCCTTCTCAAGAACCGTCGTCTGGGCTGCCCGGGATCGGATATGCCTCGGGACGGGAAAGAGCAGGTCTTCGTCACAAGAGAAAAAGCCTCCCCTACATTAAGCAACTCCAATTTACCAGATAACACACCCAAGGTATGTTCATATAAGGTCAATCTCCACATGGCAGTAAACATACTCATCAGCTCCATAGAATCCTCCTCCTGGCGACTCCAGTCAACCAGGGTCAAACAGGGACGCGGAGGACCGCGGCCAGAACCGTGGAGGTTCTTCAGCCTCTAGGTGAGCCTCAATCATTCGTCTCACATAGCCCAAAGCACTGTCCTGACTTTTCGGTCACAGACGCCAATCTCAGATCACGAACTACAATACCGAAAACCTCAACGTGTCTCACTCGCGTGACCAGCCAAGGCAAGCCGCCGATTCAAACCCATCCGACGTGAAGCTTTCGGCACCGTCGGCGGCCTACCTGGACTACCAAATCAACCAGCAATTGCGTTATCGCAAGAAGCGCATCGTCGAGTCGTTAATGGCTGCGATTGTAGAATGCATTGAGAAGAAGCTGGAAGCACTTGAAGATGGTTGTGCCGATGGATCCTCATCGTCGCAACCATCTTCAGGTGATTTCAGATCAGGCAAGATGGGATCCCAGTGGGCTGGGCAGAAGAGACATCACCGCCTAGATGATGAGGGTGAGGAAGACGGCGACGAGGGCGACGACAACCGCTCGAGGAAAGACAGGAACAAAAAGGCAAAGATGATCAACGACGACACTCGTCTCAGATTTGCTTGCCCGTACTACAAGCATGACCCGCAGCGGTTCAAAGACCATCGAACATGTCTAGGTCCAGGATGGCCAGATGTACACAGGGTGAAGTGAGTATACCCTCAAAGAAATTCCATCGCGTCACTAACATTTCCAAGGGAACACCTTAGACGAAGCCATTGCCTCCCACCACACCAATGTAATCGATGCTTCGAGTATTTCGACCAAGAAGATGAGCTCAAGAAACACCAACGCCAGCCCAAGCCGTGTCCAGTTCAAGACCCGGCTAGCATTCGCCGGGACCTCGCTGATGGATACGACACAGAGCAAGGAAAGCAATTGCAAAAGCGTATCAAGAAGATACCGGAGGAAAAGTGGAAGGACTGGTACTGTATTTTGTTTGAGGTAGACCCAACATCAGACATCCCTTCTCCTTGTAAGTTTAGTAGCCATCACCACCAAGTATTCAATACTGATGATGCCTAGACCATGACATCACCTATCAGAATGGTGGACCGTCGGCTTCCCAGGCCAGCACTATCCAAGAATACCGGGAGTTCTACATGTCGCGAGTGACGCCAGTGATTCGATATCACGTTGAACAGGAAGTAGATAAAGTGATACTCGCCATCGAAGACAACATCAAGTCGAACGTCATAGACGTGATCCGAGACTTGCCGCGCCGAATCATGGAATCTATCCCGCCTCCAAGCCATCTTTCAGAAGACCAAGGCTATGAAAACCTCCTTACCCTGGACGGAATCGCTTTCGGAATAGAAGACGGTTACTACTTCGACGACATGAGCGGGCCAGATTTTCTAGCAGCGTCGGAGTCATCAGGATCGTCGGATTGGTCTGATCCAGCCATGCCCAGTTCGGCAACATCAGTCCAGGATGACGGGGTTGCGTTTTGTCTGGGAGTATGACCCATGGCGGCGTCAAACTTGAGTTCAGAAAACTTGGAAGGTATTCTTTTTGGAACTGATGGAGCGCTCTCTGATCTAGGATTTGCTCATGTCACTCCCTTGCTTGCTCTCTGCTGATCTCTCTTTTATCCAGTTCCTTATCAATTTTGGGTTCTACCGTGTTGTGTTTATGCAGTTTGTACTTTGACTAACTTACCCATGCTTGGCAGTATCGGGCTTACACTCGTTGAGTTGGCAATCACGCCCGCAATGTCTTTTTGTCAGAATTCGCCCTTTCTCATGCTGTATTCTAATATCGTTGTCAGTGAGTATCCTCACTGGAATGAGACGTGTACGAGGCTCGGGCCAATAACGGCCATTGTGGGCCGAGGTTGGACGGAATCAATGATGGGTTGTGTGTATGTCTAATCGGTTTTCAAGTTTGTCATTCTTTGTGCAATACAATTGTTTCCTCATCTCCTTTCGGACAAACTTAGTGATGCCAGCTGACTGTCGTGATTGCATCAGCTGGAGATTGCTAATGCAATTAGATTGTTGGTGGAACAAACAGTCTTAAGTCACTAGAGGCTGATTGTTCGTTAGGTGAGCCCTCTTCCGCCATTTGCTACACGCCTTCGCTTGCATCTTCCGTTTCCATCCATGCTGTTTTGTGAGTCTGGTAGATTCTTTTGTACTGTGTGCTCTGCGATTTCTTTATAAATATCTGCCTCCAGGTTCGTTCCTTTTTTTTTCTCTTCCCTCCATCCTTCAACTCGATTAAGCCTCGACCATTTCCACGCCAGCCGCAGAGGGGCTGCTGAGGTCCTCTGCTTTCAGCTGAGCCCCTCCATCATCTTGATTTTATACTATACGACCAGTCCGCCTTGACCCCCGACAGCATGAACGGCTCGGGCTCTCAAGGCACCGATGTTACAAAACCTTGCTAGGGGAGAGAAGTGAGTGGTCCTCGGTCATTCTGCCGAAATACATCATTAACCTTCTTACTCGTACAATATATACCGACAAGCCAACCTGCCCAGTTTCAGCCCCGAGCCGGCTGGAGTCACTGGGATACCAACAACCCCATGCTCTTGAGTATCCTCTCTGTCGAGATGGCTCATTCGCGAAATTGGGCGAAGAGGATGAGCAGGCAGGCAGATACCTCCTGTCTCTTGACCACAACGGTTGGCGTCAGCCAGTGTGCCTACCTATGCGGAACCCCACTGCTTGACGATGCTCGCTTGCGCGATAGCTCAGACTCTAAATATCTCGCCTCCGACAAGAAGAGTGCTGCAGATGGTAATCTCAAGAACTTCTCGCTTTGAGGAGTTCTCGTTCGGGACGGAGGCCGACGAGGCCACATGGAAGGAAATTATGGGGAAGGGCCAAGAATAGGCCGCGACATTCCGGGACGACGACGAGGAGGAGGACGCGCCGCGGACACAGGCGGAGTCCAAGCTCAACTTTGGGCTTCGAATTGCAGACCTTGGTTGAGGATGGCGTATATGTCTTACTTGATCTTGTGTGTTTCGTCTTGTTTTGGTCTATATGCTAGAGCCGCTCTCTTGAGGGGATCACTTGATACCTACTTAAGTCACGACCGTTTGGTGAGAGTTGCTTCTCATCACCCGAAACAAAGGGAGTCGGCGGAGTCTGAAGGCTATGCCGAAAAAGAAGAAAAATTAATTGACTCTGGAGTGGGCACGTTTTTTAAATCTATCCTGCTATGAGTAGCTGTTTAAAGCTGTCATGTTCGGAGACATGGACCTGAACCGTCTCTGTGATCCCATTCGGCAACACACAAGATTGTCCAATATGGCGAGCCTCCTCCACCCAATTCGCTATACTACATATTAATTTGAGGACATATGCACTCAATCATTTACCTAATACTCAAGTTCGTCGATGATGCATGTCTCGTTCAGTTCCCCTATCGCCGCCCGACATCGCGTCCTGGTCATCGACGTAACTCCTGATTCAGAGGAACCGCAGTCAAGCTCACATCGTCGATGAGCACACCCACGCGCGAGAAATCGCCTCCAGAACAGAAGAAGTCCATGGAGAAAACCGGCTTCGGAGAGTGAAACGAAACGATGGCTTCGTGATCCTGGTACTGGTTGGCAGGGCTGCCGTTGAACTCGAGCGTGTCGACGACGATGCCATCCAACTTGGAGACGATGGAGCAAACACCGTCCTTGCCCAAGTCCTGGTTGTCCGCGAGCGCCCATGAGTACGAGAGGACGCCTGGTTCGGCAGTTTCGATCTCTTGGGTGAAGTTTTCCTCGATTGAGGGCATCTCCTCGTCGTCCTCAATCCGTACCAGTCTGGCGCGCCGTTAGCAAATTATTGCGAGGCGCAAGTGCGGTTCCCATCTATTACTCACACGTAGTGGTCTCCAGAGTGGGCAATCTCAGCATCCTCCTCGATGGTAGCGCCGTCGCTCAAAGACCAGTCGGGCTCACTAAACTCGTCTTCCCCGTCGCGGCGTGCGTTCCTGGGCTGGAAAAATCTCTCTGTAACCTGGATTTCTTGGGTGGTCGTTGTGGACGTTGTGGACGTTGTGGTCGTTGTGGACGGGGCTGAGGTTGTCTCTGGTGTCTCCTGGGCCGGTGCTGAAGTCGTCGTGGCTTTGCAGGGAGAAGCATTTACCCCCGAGATGGCCGCGACGGCTGTTAGGATTGTGAAGACGCTCCTGGGGAAAATCATGATGAAGTCGCAGGCGTGCTGAGCAATGTGCTATACAGTCAGTTGTGGTTGATGTCGCGATGGAGTCAGCGGCCTCGAATTCGAGTGGGTCTGCTGCTATCTATAGGGAAAAGAAGAAGCAATCCGCCCTATTTAAGCTGAGCGACCACATGAAGCTTATTGTCAAGGTTGGGATATTGAATCACACATACTAGGCCTAAAGAGGTTGAGTCAGGGACAACCTATTGCTAGACTATTGACGCCAAGCAACCATCGGCTGGTCTCGACTCTGAACGCCACTCGCTAATAAGACGTGCTAACCCTCTATTTTGTCAGCCCCGGTGAGAATCTCCAACAACGGCGGCTGGAGAAGAAGGAATGATGCGGAAATATTATCGCCACATTCAGGCTTGGAGGGGAATATCCCCCCTATCCAAACTGAAAACCTTCTAGACTGAGCTGTGGCCAGGCGTAGTGCGCATGTCTTCAACCCAACAAGAGAGTGAGAATTCACCCGCCGAGAACACACGGTGAGAACACACTGCGAGTGGGGCCGAAGCTCCCTTGCATATCACCAACAAATTGTTCCTTCCAATCCAATCCAAAAAAACAAGCCGTCTTGTCAAGTACCCGCCATGTTCAGGCGGCTCCATTGTCTGGTGGGTGGTCTGTTCGCCAGTCAAAAAGACCACGAACAAAGTCTCTGTTGCCGCATCACTTCATTGTCTAAGGAACAGAGCAACCTTCACTAGCCGAATTTTGAGAACAATGGTGTTCTTGTCCCAGAGTCTCGTGAACATTGAGTGGTCCTGCGTGGTATATATTGTCACAAGTATCTGCAAAATATGGTGGAGCTCATCCAAGGTCCGATATCGACTTCGGGTGGCAGCTCCAAGTATAGTAATCAACAGAATTGTGTTCCAACGCGGAAGTATTCACTGGTTGAATTTGGCTCGCTATCTCGGCTTTCCCTACGAACCAACTGAACTCAGGCTCGCGCGCCACCGTACTCCATCCCATCATTCATCATGGCAGCCCTTAGGCTAAGTATCCCTCTCGGCGACGATGACAAGAACCGACAAGAATTTGTGCTCCGAATCCACTCAATCAGCAGATGGCGTCAGTTGCTGAATGTTCGTCGTCTAACGAGGGTCACCAATGCCAGGGAGCAGGCACGTACGCCCCCCAAACCAGCGCAACAGTATCGCCGGCTTGCTCTGGTGGATCGCCACCAACGTATGAACGTGGAGCAGGATCAAATGTCAGAGCCAGAGAGTCTGGAACTATGTGGTGGAGCAAGCGCCTCGGAAAGCGGTGACGTCTCCAACACGAGCAGGTGGTCACATTCTACCGTGTCCCTTGATGATGAGGAGCAATCTGACTGTCAAGATGACTCGGGAACGGCTAGACTCGACCCTGAATTCGATGATCGGGATATTCTAAACAATCGAAAGGAGGCCTTGCTTATTCTCGGGGGCCACAAGGAGTCTATCCCAGACCGAAACTACACCGGAGCGCATACCAAGGCATTTGAGCGGATTTTCAGAAAGGAGGAAGAGGAAAGGCATAAGCGTGAGCTCGAGCACGCTCACAGTGACCTTCATGGTGATTCTCTAGGCGTCACTGATCTGCCGCAGACTCCAAGTCGGCGGCTTCCAACCAGCGGGTGGCCACTCCTCCGGGCCATCATCCTCAGCTCCCTATATAAGGAGAGCGTTCGAGATTTCCCTCTCGCTTTCGATAAGCAGGTGTACCTGCTGAAGCTCCAGGAGTTCAAGGACGGCCGGATGATGGTGGTGGATGCTCGGAATCTCAACGCATGTTCCAATGCCGAGTTGGTCAAGAGGATGACAGAGGTGGAGCAGAGGGGGTGGCGAGATATTCTGTGGGTGTTGGGCCCGAAAGATGGGCTCCCCAGGGAATTGATGACAAACAGAAGTGCCAAGGAGCTGGATTGGGGACACAAGTCCATGATCTGAGACGCATGTCTGGGTTCGTTGATATAAGATGGTAATATCGTAGGTCGTTATAATATTCAAATCGTTTGCTCATACACCTTTTTTTCAAGTGTCCAAGATTTCCAGGTGATGTTGATGATGTCGTATTTGAAGCCTCTGCCATGAAGCCAATATTCCTCGGAGTTGGACCGGCGACGATGCTGTTGATGCTGTTGGTCCTCGACGGCTCACAGCTCGTCTCGTCCGATCCACAGCAGCACTAGGCCATCAGCCCGCAATTGGGTTCGCATGAATGGACACCTTTTCAATCTTGAACGGCTCCTTTGGCCGATTCTTCCGGTCCACCTCGACAGCCTCCATCTTAGCCAGCGTCGCCAGCCCCTCGTCGCCAATGACCTTGCCAAACACCGTGTTCACGCCGTCCAGGTGCGGCGCCTTGTCCAACGTGATGAAGAACTGCGACCCGTTGGTGCCCGGCCCCTTGTTCGCCATCGCCACCATGCCCCTCGCGCTGTGCCGCAGCGTCGGTCGGATCTCGTCCTCGAAGGCGCCGCCCCAGATGCTCCGTCCGCCCTTGGGGTTCTCCGGGGGAGAGGGCGTCGCCGGTGCGCCTGTCTGGACCATGAACTTTGGGATGAGGCGGTGGAAGGGGGATTCGTCGTAGTAGCCGGATGCGCAGAGAGCGAGGAAGTTCTGCGGTGGGCTGTTAGTGCTTGGCGTGGCGAGGCTGGGATGCTAGGAGAAGGTATTATGGACATACCTCTGCAGTCTTGGGCACACTCTCGCAAAAGACCTCTATTTTGATGTCGCCCAGCGACGTATGCAGTGTGACGGACATTGCGAGAGCGTGGGGTGTCGGGTGTCGGACGTTGTCGTCGTGGGTGTTACGTCTCGGCGATCGTCTTGGTGTTGTGAAGCAGCAAAATTGACGCAGCCAGCCAATCCGAGCCCACCAGCCTCCAACTCGACAAAGACTCTCTCAGCCTTATCGCACTAGTCCTAACCTGGATGCTTCGGGAGTGACCGTGGCTGGGGCGGCTCAAAGCAGGTACCAACGCCACAGCTCACTCCCGCCCCCGTTTTCGAATGTGGCTGGAGGGGGGGTGAACTTGCAAAGCGTCAAAAGATGGGGCCGTGGGCCTTGGGCCGTTGCGGGTGGCGTGCGTCTGCACATCAACAACCCCATCATTCATTAGCACGCGCGCACTGGGCAGATTGCGAATAGTCATACCCGCGATGTTATGAAAAGACGGTGACTGACGTGCATTGCAGGCTAATGTCCCGCGCAAGGAGGTGCAGCGTTGCGCCATGGGTTTGATGAATCTCCTGCAGGTCTGGAATGCCGTCCAGGAACTGCCCCCTAGTGGTCCGTAGTCAGGCCGCGATTACATTCTCGGCCGAGCCAGCTCGCGAAGCACTACCCTACAGACATCCGACACCCTTCATGCTAAGGTATCGTGGTGACATATCCGCGAATAACTGTCGTCCGCTAGTAATCAAATCGCATTTCATCCTCATTTCATATCCAGATTCCATCCCGGAATTTCGGATTTCCTAGGAATGCTCGGGCCACTGCCACGTTGGCATTCATGGAGAATTATCCGACTCATCTGACCTACTACCCCTAACCCATGTTCAGAGCACGTCCAAGATCATGCTCCCCACCCCCCATAACCGCAACATTGCAAGAGCCTAAATTTATCGACTCGACACTAGATAACCCCAACCCATCACCCTTAGCAGCTGTCTTAATGTGCAGGGCGTCATTCATTCCCTTGCATCTCGAAATGCAACCGTGCGTCCAGGCCATCTTCTAGCTCAGGGGCTCGAAATGAATACATCCGATCAAACGATGACCGCCAGAAGCTTTAAGCGGTGACTCCTTAGCGTCCTGCCTCTGTTGGATTGTAATCACCGAGATTGCCTCCTCCCCACATCGCAATTTTTGACGTCACCGCTTCGACTCTGTCCCGATTTACACTGTTCTTTGAGAGTCGTATGCGTTGACTCGTTTTCGCTAGCACAGACTCAAGGCCATGCATGACTTGCGAAATCCAAGGGTTGAACTGCTTAGACTACGGGAGCAGGTATGGTTTTGTAATGTAAAAACACCAAAGACCATTCACAATCACGATGGAACGAGGATCAATATTGAAGAAATTTTTACTTCTTTTTTTTTGTGTGCCTGTTACAACTACATATACACAGGACGGGGGTTAGGGAGAAGGTTATCGGAAGGAGACAAGCCTGCTCCGTGGATCCAAATGCGACACAATCGTGCCAAAGTCCCTTCCCCGGGACGACGTCCGCGCTGCCTCATGGCAACCGCGGTCAAGATTCGTCGTCCCTCATCCAACTTTCGAAAGAATTATGCAGACGTTTCGCTGCTATCGAGAAGAGAATGGCCCGCCTCATCGTACCAGACCGAGGTCAGACTTCCATTGTCCCCTCCGCCCTCTTTCAAAATGTATCGCGTCCCTATTCCTCCCATCTGTGGGTATCCTTTTCCATCGCGGGACATCTTTTTTTTTTCGTGCATTCTCGGTCTCCCCTGGTTCCCATCTCGAGGCCGGCCAAGCTCATCTCCTGTACTCTATTCCGTAAGATTCCTCCGAGGTGACCGCCGTTTATTCTTCGCCCGGGCTCTCTTAAGTAAGCACCCCCCGCGCCAGGAGGGGAAGCCATACAGGGCCAGTAACATGCAAACAATTGCCGAGGGAAAAAGGGGGTATGATCCGTGTTCCGTTTTTTTTTTGGGTGCCGAAAGACTTGCTGAGAAATTTTGATTCGCAAAAAAAAGCAGTCGCTAAATGCCAAGACGTAGATGAGAGAGATAGGTCATTCTGTGTGCCACCACGCGAGTGATTTCAAACAAGTGCTAGAATGTCGGGTGAATGGGTGAGAAAAGGTGTTGGGCCTCCGTCGCCGTATAAAGAATTGGCGAGGAGGCCTGAGTTGGCTCAACTTAACATTGAGCCGGGAATGGGCCACCAACATCCCTATTGTTGGTTGGCTCCATGTTGACCGACGAAACCGGGATATTGGTGACTGTACAATGAACCGTGGTGTTGTTGAGGTGTGGGTGTGACAGGACATCGAGGAGGTAGGCCGTATGAATCCTTCGCAATATGTTGGCCCACGACGCCGTGTCCGTCAGGGGTGATGGGAGGGGTCAGATAGCCATCAAATCCCAGAGTGGCGCCGTGTCCCTTTTGAGGAGTGCTGTAGATGTTTGAGTGCTTGACAGCAGACTCAACGGGGGGCGAGGGAGGGTTGGCAGTTCGACGGGCGATGGCAGCCTGCTCAGCCATAAACTCGGCCAGCTTCTGAGAGACTCGGGATAGGTTGGGTGTCGAGTACTTGCGTCCGAGTGTGGGCGAAGGCTGGTGGAGGTGATGGGAGAGGGTCAACAGGGTGAGGTTCTCGGTGTGATCCCACTCTCCATCGTTGACTTCGGGACGGCCGAGGATAGCGCGGGCAAGGGCGAGAGAGGATCGAGCCATCATCGAGGGCTTAGTTGAGACGAAGTCCCGGTGGTAGAGAGCAATCTCGCAGAGGTAGGCGGCCATGTGCTCAACTTCCCGGTCGTCACCCTCCTCCGCAACCATGAGCTGAGAAAAGAAGTCAACAGTGGGGTGGCCGATAGACCACTCGAGAGTGTTGAGGACGTGCATCTCCATCTGGGTGAACATGCCGGCATCGTACAGGCCGCAGCACATGTTGTTGAGCTCGTGGATCTGGGGGACGCGGTCCTTTTTGTCACCATACTTGGCGGCGATCAGGAGGGCAGCACAGCCCACCAACTGGTAGTGTTGCTTGTACACGACTCGCTTTGAGCAGTATCGGTCCAGGAGGTTGACTGTGAGGAAGAGGGTCTCGGGCAGGAGGGCGAAGGCAGCGTGGGCCTCGATGAGGAAGTCGATGAGGTAGGGCCTCATGAACCATTGAATTTCGCGCTGCATGTCAATGAGGCTGGCGTCGGGAAGAGTTTCGTCCTGCAGACTGTTAGCATTTGGGAAGTTGGACGGAACCCTGTTAACGTGCCTCCATGTGCCTCATGTGCTGCATGATGTCCTCGAGATACTCGTCGCCTGCTAACCGAGAGAGCTCGCCGGCGATAATATCTTGGCGGTTGCGGGCGATGATCTTGGCAGCTTCGCGAGGGTTCATCCTTGAGTAGTGAGGACCATCGGTCTCGACGAAGAAGCTGCTGTCGGGTTGGGAGTAAGCCATGTTGGGCAACGTGACTGTTTAAAAAAGGCGGGAGAGGTGCGAAATTATAGACTTGTGTGGCGTGAGGTCAAAGAGAGACGGTTAAGTTCCCCAGGAATCTTGGTCGGAGACGATCGAATGAGTGATTGAGCTCGGATGCGAATGAAAGGAGTGATGCACACCGAGGAATTAGGGAATTAAGAGATTAAAGAGCGTGATGAAGATTAACAAAAAGAGTGACCGTGGCTGGAAAACGAAGCCAGGAGCATGAAGACACTGAATCGGTGGAGGCAAGGAAAGGGATCGGAAAAAGGGGTCGTATAAAGACGAGGTCGACTTAAGGGCTCTAAACGATAGTTGCACATCAGCCTGGGGTTCCATTGCGGATGGGATTTTGGGAGACCAAGACAGAAGTACCGGAGAGTTCCGGATATGCGACATTGCCGTTTTGGGGGGAGTATCCCTTGCGAGGTAGGGAAGTGCTGCACATGTGCTCACACTAGTGCTCCAAGGCACTGGCACGGGAGAGGGCAACGGGCAAAGGGAGTGAGACTTACCGCCACAGTTGGGGAGTTGTGGACAAGGCTGTCGGAGGTGAGACAGTGTCCTGGGATCGAGTGGGAACAACGAGCTAACGTCTCCCACAGGGCAATGCGTCAGGACGGACGTCGAGGAGAAAACTGCGGTATGCGGAAGACGACTTCGGCATGCAGCTGAGAGGGGAATTAGATTCTCCGTAGTAACCCAATCTCGGGACGTGCTGCCAACTACGTACCTTCGTCACACTCTGACGGAGGTTGTAAAGGTCGCTGCGTCGGGACCGTGTACGGGTTGGTGGTGGACAGTTGAAGTTGCAGGTGCAAGTTCTCTGGTGCTGGACCGGAGAACTTTGGCAATCCACTTCTCGTGAAGTCGTCGAGGAAAGGTGCCTTGACTCGAGGGTTGAGAATTGGCAAACTATTGTTGACGGAGAGACACCCGGTAGTCGTCAGGGCCTTGATGAACCAGTCTCGGGAAGGACACAATATCGTCTCGAAGGAGGGAGCGAGCGAGTCGATTGGCGGCGGTGGGAGAGGTTGGAATTTGCAGCGTCGAAGGAGAAGCTGGAGGGGGGGAAGTCGGTCGGAGGGTCAAGTGAAATACCAGCAAAGGTCTTTTTGATTCACTTTTCAGTTCCGTCCTTTGGGGGGAGTGCCGTCTCAGCTTCTGGGTCCGGTCCTTTAATAGGGCGGGCTGGGGGGTTTCTAGGGAGAGTCGAGCGGAAGCCCAGGTGAGATTCTCCTCTGTCCCAAGCGCGTCTGCGGCCTGTTATCGAGTCAGGAGGAGACGGAATGGAAGTGAGGGAATGAATGGATGGGGAAGAGGGAGAGGAAGGGGAGGGAGGAGGATGCGGGATGAAGGTAGGAGGAGGATGGAAGAGGAGGAAAAGGACTGGAGGAGAGGTACGGGAGTAGTTTTAACGGACCAGCCGCAGCGGGGAGTAGAGCGAGCAAACGGGCGAGTCCCAGCGAGCAGCAGCCAGCTAGACCAGCCAAACCGGCTGCCGGTACGGAGTACGAAGTACCGCTGCTGCTCTGTGCGCGGAGGGACTGGCTGTGGCGGGCGCGCAGGTACTTTGGCCCCATCCTAGCAGGGCCCCTGCCAGGAGGCCCCAGGAGTCACCACCACCTCACCTTTTCCTCAGCAGCCCGCCAGCGAGTGGTCAGTGGCCAGCAGCGAGCAGCCAGTAGCCAGTCGCCTGCAGCCAGTAGCCAGCACCGGAAGGAGTGCGCCAGAAGCAGCGCGCAGAGATGGATGTAGTGGAGTGGGGTGCGCCAGAGTGGAGGTGTCGGGGGGCCTGGGGGGGCTTGGGGCTTGGCCTCACTCCCTCTCTCCTGCATCAATGAGGTACCTCTGGTCACGTACCGCGTTGCCTTGCTACTGCACTGCGCTGCGCTAGAGCCACGCACCTAAGGCACGCTCTCGGGGGGTGGTCTCCATCTCAAAGGGGGGGGGGGGTTGGTGCTTGGGCTTGGGCTGCTTGGACTTGGGCTTGGGATTGGGAGGGGAAGGGGCTTGGGGGTGAGCAATGAAGCAGCAGCATGGGCATGGGGGCGTGCCAGGTACAGCGCTGCACCTCTGGCTCTGTACGTACCTGGGTCAGTTTGTGCCAGCTGTGTCGTGTCGTAGCGTGTTCTGTCTCTCGGCTGGGGAAATTCGGTGCAAGCAGGGCAGGGATCCGCGTGCGGGTGGATGGTGGATGGCGGATGGGCGACGACGACGATGGGATGCGTCTTTGGGGGGTGTGCGGCCAGCAGAACGACCAGGAGCTTTTTTAACTACCAGACTCGATGCGCCGGATCTGTCGCGGCGGGTGGCACTTTGAAGATGGTGATGACGGCTATGGAGTTGACGGGTTTGTGCAGAAGGAGAAAGAGATCCGCAGCGACGGGGCTGGTGGCATAAATCCACAACGCGGCCGACGGTGGAGGGAAAATGTGTGATTGTGAGATGCTTCTCAGGCTGTCGTGAGCGAGCGAGGGATGGGAGAGGGCAGACGGAATGCAAAGTGCCCTTCCGTGGTGTGATATATCCTCCCTCTCCGCACACGAGGCCGCTCAGGTCGGGCCAGCTGGCTGTCCACCCGGCGGCCGGCTCTCTTTGTTGTGACTGCCCGCTATTCATCATGATACAGCAGGTTGTTTGTTTGGGAGAGCGACATGGCGGCCGGTATACGGCCCCATTGAGCGAGGCCGCAGGCGGCCCATTGTCGATTGTGCGAGACCACACATTGTGTGTTGTGCCCGCTCATGTGCCCAGCCATGGCATCCCATTCACCCATTCAGCCATCCGCACCGACCCAGAGGTGCACCGCGCAGGCTCGCTACAGCCGACGTAAGGGACCGTCACCACCAGTCCAAGCACAGCACACAATAGAGCACAGAACAACGCACAATACAGAAAGGCTTCTGGCCGCCTCGCGATGCCGCCGTATTAGTGTATTGCACCGTGCCAACCAAACCTAACCATACACATTATCCTTTTTGCTGGGGCATCGTTGTGCTCAATGAGGCGCTCAACCACCTCCCAGCCAGGCAATGGCCCGACGCACCTCCACAACACCAAGGATCCATCCCGTCCCTCCATCATCCTGCCCACCCCTAGCACTGACCCAGCGAACCTATCGCGCATCTGGATTTGCGCTACGGGCCCCGCTGCCACCCGACCTCATTCCGGACCTGGGCCTTGCTGATGTCGAGCACAAGCATCATCGCGACGCCAGCGTCACACGCGAGGGTAGGCCGCCCGGCCGTCCGCCATATCGAGGTCGACGGTGGAGGGTCAAGGCCCGATACCACTGAAAACCTGCTACGTGCGAGATGCAACCATTATCAAGTGCCTCTAATACGCACGAGCCTGGGGATTTGCTTGCTGGTGGCCCTCGATGGTGGCCGCTCGCTACTTTGTACGTGGGCTGGGCTCGGGGCTTCGGATACGAACAACTCGGACGTACATTTTCCGTAGTGCTGGCCTGTTCTCAAAGCAAGCAGCGAAAAGGTCAGCAGCATGGATTCCCTACGTTCCCATGCTCCACGCTGCTGCACTCTGACGGAGCTCCAGCCTGGACCGCGCAGAGCAACATCCCATATGGGACTCGCAATGTCCGCCTGTACGCAAGTACAGCGGTGTCGTCCTTGTCCTGGGCCCAGCTAATGCGCGCCGTAATGTCAGCAGTATCTTGGCTGTAGACGAACTACTCAAACCACGCAACGCAATAAAGCGCAGCGCGACGCCGCGGCGTGGCCGAGATTTCGCGTCTCGTCCGGTCACGTCTCGTGCTTTGCGTGTCCGCCGTTTCGGCAACGGACTTAATCGTCGCTAGAACGCCAATCTTGGCTATGGACCCCGAGGCTTGGAGCGTTGTGGACATTGAGCGACCGTCGGCGTCAGCCAGCCCCAGCCTATGGCGTCTTGTCAATAGCGTCCTGTCAATGGCGTATGCCGATTGCCTCCTGAAGAAGCTCCAGCTCAATAAAGTGCTCCTAGACCTAAAAGGCTCGTCGACGCTGGCTGGCTGGAAGCTTGATGCAAGTCCAGTGGTTTGTCGCGCTGCCTCCCAAATCTTGAAGCTGCATCTCCGTTTTGGCCAATCATGGCGCGCCGTCGCGGTCTCGCACTGCTTGGACAAATTACAAGGCAATTAATCATGCATGTCATGAGCGTCACTCACCTCATTCAAGTTTCTCCTCATCCAGCCCGTCCCGCAGGGCCCACCGCCTGGGCATTCATCACGGCTCACTTGCTGCTCACTTTCCACTGCGCTTAGACCGACCCAGACTGTCTCCTGCAGCATTGTGTAAGCCAGTGAGTGCCATTCATCTGCAACTGTTTCGCCTGCAACTTGTCCCTGCTGCTGCCTCGAAGGATTGGGGGCTGGGCTCACTCAGGGGCTGAGTGACCATGCTACACTTTGAAGCCGTGAGACGTCGTCAGCTGCCTGCCCAACTGCCCGCTTGCTGTGCTGGAATCCTTGAACCCTTGGTGTCGTTCTGCACAAGACGCCGGCCGCCAAGCCCGCTGTCCACAGCCGCCTTGCTGAGGCTGTTCAACCGCGTCCATTCATTACTCGCACAAATGGGGCGTTCCACACAGAGCGCATAGCACCCATCACACACAAAGCAACGAGCCTCCATTCTCCGTCGGTGGCCCGTAATGGTGATGAGCTGTCAGCTCTTGCCGTCCAAGCCTCAACTGCCTGTTCCAGGCGCCCCTTACCGTGTATCACGGCCTGGACGCTGCAGGTTCTACAGAGCTGGAACTGATGGATGTCACTCCTCCTGAAGCCATTGGCCTCCGTCACAGCCAAGTATTTGACCGACGCGCGCTGCGCATGTCCCAGCCCACAGGCGATCCTCCTTTCCGCCAATTTGAAAATTCGAGCCTGGTCCACTCGTCGCATCGTGTCGCGGGTATAATCCGTTCTGCTAAAAGGAGGTGTGACGTTGGGAATGACCAACTCGGTGCTCGCGCCGGGTGTGCCGCAACAGTAGGCATTTCGCGTGGTGTGCGCTGCTGGCCCACGCTACATCGCCTGTTTGCCATGCCGCGCTATTACTACACGCTCTCCGTATTCCGTGCTCTGTTCCCACTGATCACTGACGCTATGTCGGAGGTTGAAGTCCTGAGTACCCCGGTGTAATTAACACTTGCTGCACCTCACAATTGCTATCACCAACACGACTTTTGCTGCCGTACATTTGTAACCATGTGAACCTGGCATCCCTGGGCCAACTCCTGCTCAATCCCTCCTTAGGCGCTGGCGTGTGAACAAATCTGCAGCCTCAACACGCCGCCTCAAACAACATCGAGCTCGGTATCACCGCCTATAATTTACCATTGCTCATTTCCAAACCATGCCGCCGCCTTCGAGCGCTTTCTTTTGCTAATACTGCAAGGGAAGAAAAAAAAAAGGCCATCCCCACCGTCCCAACGCACCCCCCACGCACAGGACACGGGGGCGCATAGGCCGGCCAAAGCCTTTGCGTATAATGACGCAGGATGGGCGGTATGCTAAGAATATGCAGCAATACAGCATATACACGAACATACGCCTCTGAATTACGCACTTTAATGGCACGCAATCACAGTTGCTCCGCCGATGCTTGAAGATGGGGAATCCGAGATGGGCAATTCCATATTGCCGACACCTCATAAGCGCCATTGAGACCATGATCCCTACAGCCAAGGCGTGCCCAAACCAGAGTCCATCTCATTGTGACTCTCCTGATATCTCAAAACACCAAGGGCTCTACCTCGTACTGAGGGTGGAAGCATTATCATATGAGACTGATACTAAATTAACAGCCGTGAAACAAAATCTCGGGTGCTCGTGTCCTTCTTCCGTCCGTGTCCCCGTCACAGACCCAACCCCAGCCGTTATATCACACATCGGGATGCTCCCCTCCGTTGTTCCATTTTGAACAAGTAAAAAAAAAATCCACTCTCGTCAAACCCCCCAACTCCAATGAGGTCAAGGTTGAGAGACAAGGACACGAAAGGAAGAAGAAAAAAACGACCCCTACTATGGAGATCGTCAAAACTTGCCTCTTCTCCCCCACTGGACACACGACCACGACCCCAGTGCTGGTACCACACGCCCCCTAGTGTATCGCGTCTGGAGTTGACGTCGCTCCTCTCAACGCGCGCGTTCTGGCGTCGCAGCTCCGGCATCCAATGAGGCGACGCGGACGCGGACCTCATGAGACTTGGTCAGCACATGGTAGGCGGCCTAGGTTGGTAAGGTGGCTGGACGAACGAGCGAGCTTGCAATGGACCAGATGGGGAACCAGGCTAAGATGGCGGCCGGCACCATGTTCCCTGTAGACAGAAAAAAAGTCGGGACCCGAGGGATGAAAGCGTCATCTGGATCGACATCTGTCCTCGGACTCGGTCATGATCCACCGGGAAGAATGCATTGGAAATTGAAAAAAGCATCGTCGGAAGGAGAATTCGATGGTGATTTAGACTCCCGGGGAGGCGGCGTCTCCCAGATACGACACGATATCTGATCGCTGTTCTGAGCCACCAGGTTGGAACTATCGAAAGCAGAACGTCGATCCCACTGTCGAGTCTCTTTTTTTGTCACCACCTATTTTCTCACATGCAGCGGCCGGCGCCAGTGAGGGGTAGCCCCAGGAACTGCGGCCGGGGTCCCTGGCCCTGCCGGCGCCGAGTGCAAGATACCGATCTCTGGACATGGCCATTCCGCATTCGTGGACACCGCCCAAACGCCTGGTACAGCACATTAGACCTTGCGCATACAGCACAGTTGCCTACAGCCTGCAGATGCTTCGTGCCCAACCCAACGACATGTGCACTCTGCCTCGACAAAGGACGGCCGTTGCAGCGTCATATCTGCAGGGCGTTGCGGCGCTGCGGTCTTCGGCTCGGCGTGGCCCCTCCGGCTTACGCTGCCAAAAGAGACTTTCGGCCTCGCCCCGTTCGGCTACTGGCCGCCCAAGGTCCAGTGGTGTTCAAGGTCGACCGCCTAGAGCCAGCCAGACTCGAGCTAGCCGTGTGTCTCAGGCGAGCTGAAGCTCCGAGGTTGCTTGCCCAGGCCGTCGACTCCCATAGCTCTAAGAATGGTGTATATAGCTCGAACTCTGTCCGGCATCTCGCACAGGCTGAATCGAGAGACTGGGGAATTGGCCGATGGCGTTCCCTACCGTCGTCGGTGGCTCGTCGCGGGGGGGCGAGAGGACCACCTCCCGAGCCAATGATCCAATGAGTCTCGGCAACCACAGGGAACAAGGAAGTCGATGTCGCTCATGGATCTCAACCCCGGACTCGCGGCCAGAAGCGGACGTCGTCGTGACTACAATTTTTGTGGATTCACCTTTGCAGCCGTCTGCCTCTCAGAGTTGTGCTTGACGTGCCCCCACTCACTGGCTGCGACACGTCCCAGGCCGGGGGCAGGCCCAGAGACACGGCCACCAGGCAACCCGCCTCCACGGCGCCGAGAGACCCAAATCAAGACCCGAATCAAGACTCAAGCCACGTTTCTGGAGGGGCTGCATGAGCCACTACCTCCCGACGATCGTCCATGTGCAAAACAGGAGGTGATGCCTGCTGGGGCCTGTTCTGCGGCCGTTGTGTGTTGGTGTTTTCCGTTTCTGTTATGCCCGGCCCCGGACGGCCTGCCTGGCCTCCATGCCCAAAGACCTCATCTATCGTACCACCGTCCGGTGGTCTTGTATCTGTAGTAGTGCCTTTGTACGCCGCACTGGCCTGGCTGCGGTCAAGACAAGTGACAGACCCGAATAGGGAACTCAGACAGGTGGCAAAGCGGCATGCTGCGGTGGTTACGCCAGTCCTCAGAGCAACCGGCTCCACCTCTAGTCGGCGAAGGGACCCATGGAATGTAGGTGGTATGTACGCACCGTAGTATTCGACGCCCTGCGCCGGCTGACCGAGGCAGGCAAATCAACTTCAAACCCGACTTTCTTGTGTGAAGAGCCTCTCACACACGTTGCATCCTCACATCAGCAACCAGCCCATCCCTCGCGTGACGTAAGGCGCTGCCGTTGGTGGGTGACGCCGTGACGCCGCCCAGCACTGAGCGCTCGGCGTGGAAACCTAGTGCCCTGTAACCACTTAAGCCCTGCTAGTGCTGCCCCGCATTCACGGCCAAGTTCCATCCAATCCACCAGTATCAACTCGCATGCGAAAAGAGGCGGAGAGTCAGATGCTAGTTTTGCAACAAAGACCCATTCCACAAGAGACTCTTGGCTCTCCTTGCTTCGAGTCGCCTTGCATTGGCGGGCCAGCGGTCTATTCAGCTCATAAACTCTCAACTCCAAAGTCCGGGAAGAACCGCAGCGGCCTGCTGTAAACCGAGAAGTCTAATGACGGCGCGCTCCCCGTGACACGGGTTGTTGGAGCTTGGTCTCCATTTTCTTCTCACCCACCTGCGACAGACTACGAAGTACCTTGGCAATACGGGCAGAGTCGCCGCACAAGGCGCCCGGGATCCTAAACAGCGGCAGGCGTGCATAACCCTGCAGACTAAGTGCCATCACTTGTCGAATGAGAACAGCACCCCTGCTCTCTGTTGGGAGTCGGGATGTGCAAGCACTTTAAGGCTAAGGCTCGTGGCAAAGACATCTCAGACGTTCCACTGATCCTGGGCTCCCGACCAACACCTAGAGAAGTAAATATAGTATAGTCGTAATATGACTTTGCTTTTCATCACTGGCCCCTTGCTGTGAAGTATAGGGGACGAGACAGCTCCATCTCCGAGCCGGAACCTTGGGTTTCGGCTACTGATCACAGCCCTCTACGCGGTTCACCCGGGTTGGCCGGGTTTTCTTTGTTCTGGGGATGCATTGTCCCTCGCCTCGCTACACCGTCGGAGCGTCGATACTTGTGTACAAATTACGAAGTACACTCCGCCTCGGGCTGCGCCAAAACCTAAGCTCAAACCCCGTCCCGGTCCCATTCCCAACCCCCATTGACTGAGAATATGTCTTGTCTCTGGCGGTAAAGACGCCCCCCGGACCCCAGAGGCACACGAGCCTTTTAATTGATTTGCACGTCGCAACACGTCCGCGTACATGGGTTTGCTGCAGGACGCGTGAAGGCAGCGACCAGTAAGGCAAAGTGTGAGGGGAGAGAGAGAATTTTTCGACGCCTTTGAGGCTGGTTTCGACGGAGTTTCTGGGGCGGTCCGCCACGGCCCCCATTGCTGTGCAGCAGGACCCTCCGCCCGTTACCTCTGCAACGACGCCGTCACCGCCGCAGTTTCTGCCTGGAGTCGTCTGCCCACTGGCTGGCCTCAGAACCAAGACTTGATCCTCGGTCCTTGAGGCCTGTTTGCGGTGCAGGGACCAGCCGGGCGAGTGGTTAATTAGGCTGGTTCGGGGCAGGCGGCGTGACATCAAAGCATCAAAGGGTCATCCTGGCGGCTGGGCAAAGACCCCATGGCCTGAGACAAGAGCAGACGCCCCCCGAATTATCAACAGAATTGCTGTCGTTGGTCGCAGGCAGTGCCCGAAGCCCGCCGAAGCCGTCACAGCCCGCAGTGTCCGCAGTGTCCGCCCCGAACTCCATCCACCGTGACCCGTCGAAGACTTGAAAATGCCACCAAGTGGCCCGGAAGTGGACTTTGGTCCTGCAACCGGCCCGTGACGATGGTTCAACCCCCCTCCGCCCAGACGAGACGCCCGCGGTTGAGTGGAGCGGGTGCAAGGAGGACCTCCTCGTCCCCGACCCAACTTGCGGCTCTTTGCACAAAACCGACGCGGGTGCACGTGCCCACGGCCCCACGTTGGCGACACTAAGCGCGATGACGTTCGAGAAGCTTTCCACAAGGTGGGGTTCCCGTCAACTGACGACACCCTCGGGCGTCCAACACGCGCTGTCGCGCGGGAAATGAGCCTGTAACGTCTGACCGTCGCCCTACTTGAGGCTGGTGCACCCCACACGCCATTGTACCCGCCACTGTACCCGCCACCGTACGCGCCACAGCGCCTCTTATTCAGACCTTGACGCCGAAGGGAGATTGGTCTTGTGCAGGGCGAGCACGGCAAGTGCGGTTGCTCAACTCGTTCATTGTGACTGGTGATGATTATGCTAATGCAATGCAAGCCTCGTTTCCTACCTAAGCAAGCTGCAAAAAATTCACACCCAGAGCCCCAGAGCCTAGAGCCCAGACTCTTGTCTCCATCCACTTCTTCACCCCAGCGACGCCCAACGCCCGCTCAGACCGACTGACCGACCCATGGCCCCTCTGAGCCATGTCGTCGTCTAGGCTCTGAATGCAACCGGAACCCAAAAAATGGAACCCACTCGGTCTTCCATCTACTGCACGAGAGGCCCATCGACTCCATCACCACTGCTGTGCAGGATGAGGGGAAAACGGCCTTTTGCATTTTTTTTTTCTTCATTGGCAGGACAATGACACGAAAATTTTCCCTTTCCCCTCTTCTCCGCGCCTTTTCCCTTCGTTTTTCTCTCATCTGGCACCGCGTTTCCGTGGTGAAGCTTCCATGGCGACGGTCACCGCTCAGGAATTGACTCAGTCTTGGCCTGGGTCTTTCTATCCGAAGTATCCATCGCCACCAAAATTCCGCCGGGGGGCTGGAGACGAGTGGAATTCCACCAACCCCGCGCACGCGAAAACGAAACTGAAGAACGATCAACCGGAGCGGTCAGTGGCAAATGCCTCGGATTCCGACGGCGACTACGATATATGGGTTGTGATGGGACATCAGCGTCCTCGGAAGCTTGCTCAGCCAGGGAGTTGAATGGGCTGACGGAGGCTGGGATGGCGTCGAGGCATTTCGTCGACGTGATGCCTGTTTGCTAGTCTTGGCCCTTGGTTACACTTCGCTAGGTTGTTGGCGCCCGGACATTCATTCATTCCTTTGTGCCTGGGTCCCCGTCAACCAGCAAGGGCCGAGCTGCTGAGCTTCCCAATTGAGGCACACCCAACATGCTGCTCATGGCATTTGCTACTGCTCTGTTTGAGAAACGCGGGACCTGGACGCTTGCTCACATCGCATTACAGAATCGGGTACTCGCAGAGCCGAACACGGGAGCGACGGGTTAAATTCCTTGACGCAGCACAACGACGTACCCGCCTCATGGGCCACGGACGCGCGACATCAGCTTGCACTCGTCACCTTGATGTTTCGAAAGCGCCAGGCTATTACCACAACCCCGAGTCACAGCATCCCTTCAACCGCTTCAGGTTTGCGGGGATGCAAGTACGCGGCACCATTGGCCAATTTGGTTAATGGACCAAGGCCTGTGCGATGCACTTCGCGAACTCAATGTGTCCATGCCATGTACCAAGCTACGAACGGCCAAGCGGCCCAGACAACGGTTCGGTGTCGTGTAGATTCTAGCGTCTCACATGTCGTCGACTCGGTAGCCCATGGCCCGGCCGCAGTACACGGCCTCCCGGCCTACCAAGTGGTGCCTCCGCTTGTTCCGGGCTGTCAAGTTGCCAGAGCCAACGCGAACAGGGGATGTAATCATGAGACTTGGCGATTGACAAAGACAGTGTCCATGAAAGTCATGATGCGGTGTCTCGTGGTCGTCATTCGTCTCACCCAAGGAGCTACTTAGGCGCCCATTGCCACCGGGCAGTGGAGGAGTTGCCACGGACCGGTGGAGTCACCGTCGTCAAAGGCAGCATTGGCATGGGCAGCGCGGAGGAGCACCGAGAGAGACATCCGCGATGGCTAGAGGGATGATCAATTGGGAAATGCTGACGAGTAGCCATCTCCAGCCATGGCCCGAGGACACGAAAAATAGCGCCCAAATCGGAATTGGTGACATGCATCCGCATCCATTCACCATGACGCGGGGATGCAGCGTTGGCTCCTTGCGAGCGGAACCCCTGGTCTCAAGTCACGCAAGCCAACCCTACCACTCGTTGGAGCGGGGTTAAGTGGAGGCCTTGCTAGAAGCCTCGCCCATCCCCAGCTGAAAGATGCAGTTGAAGGGAGGCAGTGAGAGATGGGCATCCCGAGCATCCAACCAGAGTCCGGCATTGGTATCTACGTGTTGGCGCGAACAGGTTCCCTCCCAGGGATGCGTGTGGCGATTGGATGCTAGCGCATGGAGATCAACTCTTACAGACGGTTAAGAATAGATCTGGGTTTGTCAACACCATCTTGTTTCCCCTGAGCGACAGGGCGTTCCGAAGCCGGAGGCAATATCTCAACCAAGACGATCAAGAAATCTCTCAAAGTTGAGGAGTCAATCAATCGCATATCGGACTCCATTGTTGCACCCGCTCCCCAAGATCTCCATTTCCGGATCCTACCGGAAGTTGGTCCACTTCTCGGAATCCTCTCCAGGCGCTTTGACGAGGCCACGGGACAAGAAAGAGAAGCATCGGCTTGGTTGAGGCCGGATGGGTGTAGAAACGAAGTCAATATCTGCACTGGCGTACAAATCAGCCCGAGAAACAGGGCAGAACCTTGCTTATGCGATCGAAGCGCGCTTTTGGTTGGCTTGAAGCTCAGCCTTATTTGCTTTTTTGAGATAGCTGGTATCTTCAGCGCATTCGATGACCAACACAGGCGACGCCGAGCCCATCTCAGACATGGCTGCGCCAGGCCCGCTTCAATTATCCCCGCCACATCTTCAGCGATGTCACTGGATGAATACACGACACCTTGAATGCTTCCCTGTCCAGCTGCGACCTCCACAACCAATTCCCGAGAAGAAAGGCCCAAATTGAGCGACGGATGGCGAGATTTCGCGATCTGGGTTCGAAGGCCTGGACCGGGTCCCCCTGTTTAAAACTGGGTTCGTGCAGCGGTCATACGTACTATCGCCCTGGTTCATCACCGCAAGGCATGCTAATGCTAGTCGGCCAGGATCAACTGTGGGGTTCGTTCATGTTGATGGTGCAAGCGCCCAAACTGGGCAGGTGGTTGCAAGGGTAAAGTTGCCGATGAAGCCTTCAGAGTTGAGAGACTGGATCGCAGAATGATAACTCAGAATGATAACTGCTAATTCTACGCATCTCGCGATTGCGGCGTGCGTGGGCGGTGCTGGATGGAGTATTCAGCGATCCCTCGCGTGCTGTGGCTTCGAATCGTACGTTTCTTGGACGCCGGCTCGACGGTGACGTGCTGGCTAGCGTAGGTTTGTTTGGGGTTGAGACAGCTCGAGCTTCTTGGCCCTTCCGGGAGCAATCAAGATTATTACTGGAGATCTACGACCAAAAGAGCAAGTATTTGAGCGTGTTGGCGTCTCACGGCGCGGCGCCTGCGTATCACCATATCATTCCATCTCGCATCATCAACTCTTAGGGGTCTGGGCAACCTTAATTGGCGCGCTCTATGCTTTCAGTCGTCAGACGATTGAGGCCTAGATCGAGCCTCATCTGATAGTTCTTGTGGTGGATGCAAGCCACCAACACAAACACCAGGGTTGTCTTGGATCCTTGATCGGCGCACTCAACGCGTCTGACACGCGTAAGGCTGCTGTTCGCCGACACCACCCACCATGGCCTTTGCCAATATTGTTTGTTGACAATGATGGTGTTGATCAAGGAAAGACGGTCACCTGCATGGGCCGCTGCAGACCGCGCCGCAGTAGCTTGACCGTCTACTTGGCCCTATCTGCACATCAACCTGGATCTCGCCCGCTCGTGTAATTCGGTCCTCAAAAGTTCATCACGAACAAGTCAATTAGGGGATGTCAATATCGGGGGGCTGGAGAACGAATTCTCCGATAGGGCCTCAGAGTCCGCTTAAATGTCAAGACCGGGCGCCAAGTTGATTGCGTTTGCCCAGTCCGTCGAAACCTTGCTTTGCTTTGGGCCAATATTTCCTGGGTTCCTCTGGACGCGACGCAGGGCTTCCATCCTTGGTGGGAGGCACGTACAAAGTACTACAGTACTGCATCTACAATGAGTCTAGTGGTACTCGCGACCCAACCGATGCACTTCCCGTCTCCAAATATGTGTACTAATTAATCCGGACAGGCTAGTCCGGGCAGGTGAGAGAGCTGATAGGAAACAGCTTCGGCGCAGCTGAAACCGATGCGTGGGAGGTGCTTGCAATCTGCAATCTCCTATACGTGCCAACAGTCCCATCTTGCTCAATAAACTACCGTCGGCCACGGCCAAAGCGTCGATCCCCAGCGATTGCATCGAAGATTGCTACAGCCCCGTGAAGGAATCTTAAAATCGGGCCATTATAGTCGGGTCACCGACAGCGTGGAGTCGCGCACTCGACGCCGTCCCGCGCCTCGCAGCCCACGCGGGGAGAGCCAAGAGCCAGCTTGTCTTGGAATAGGAGCCGGCACAGGCGCAATTTCGGGCCTCCGTCGCCTCTCTAGCAGGGCAGCCTTGCTCCCGTCCAGAACCGGCTCAGACTTGGACGGTGATGGCAAAGTCGCAGCCGTCTTGGTGGCTGTAGATGCCGCACCTCATCTCGCTCACCCCGGCCTCCACTCAGCGGAACCCCCATGTCGTCAGTACAACTCTACGCCGTAGTTTCGGTCTGGCTGCCCCTGGCGATGACCGCAGCGCTTTGATAGGGCTGGAACGGAGGGATTGTCGGCCAGGCGATGACCATTGCATGGGACCAACGCCGAATACTGCCAATACATGCACGCATCGCATACATGCTGCCTCATCCAGGACATTTCTTGTGCAACTCGCACGCGCCTTTGAGCCGCAGTACGACGTTGCTCACTTGACCGCTGTTGCGCGACACGGCCCTGTCGAATAATATCCTCCCTAGGAAACAAGACCGGGCTTGCAACCCGTCGTAATACGGCACAGCTGGGGAAAAGAAAGCAATTCGCTGAAGACGGCCAGGGCAAGCGAGGGAGACGGGCGGGATGCGCCCCGGCCCGCGGCACGTCGAAATGACGGGTGGCAGCATCCCGTCCAGCTGCCGTGCCGTCTTTGGCTTGACTATTGGAGTGTGTTGTGTGTTGTGTGCTGTGTGTTGGGCTGTGTTCTGTATACGGATACCGCGATGTGAGTGAGTGATTCGGAACCTCCAGTTGCACTCGCACACCTCGCAACACAGGGATGCATTGGCTCCCGCCGTCGAAGCGCCCGGGGTTGAACGAGATGGAGGGTCAGAGAAGGCGACGAACCAACAGGCTTATGCCGGCCGCATCTCAGCACCGCGGCCTCAGACCGGGCGGTCAGGGTTCGGCGACCAATGCCATCGGGCCTTTGCGGTTTGGGGGATGCAAGATGCATGTTTTCAGCTCGACCCTAGCCTGCGGCCGACTTCCTCTCTTGTGCGCCGCTGCTAGGGTCGCCCGAATACGGCCCAGATCGACGAGGTGATTGGCGTCGTTCATGCGCTTGGGACTTGTTGTCGTGGCTCCAATGAATGTCTTTGCAGTGATTGTGGTGATGTTCGCGACTGGTGTTGACATATGCACCATGCGTGTCTGTTTGGCCCCGTGATGCAGCCATCTCCCAGGACTTTGGGGCTGTCATCATGCGCGATGGAGCACTTTGTTTATGACTGCCTTGTGGTATACAGATCCGGTATGGCCATCTTTGCGACATGTCGAATGCGCACTTCAAGCTGTGCCACCCTGTAGCATATCGCCCAAGGCTGTTTGTTAACCCCGGTGGGTTTCGAGGTCATCTACAAGTCCCCAGGTTTGATGCAACTATGAAGTTGCAATGCATGTTTCACGTTTGTTTAGTTGAGTGGCATTGATTGTTAATGGTGAGGTATTAAGTCCAGGTCATAAGAACCGTCACACGAGACGTATTCCTCCGCGCAGGAATCACTATGCCGACCATCAGCAACCTCATCTCAATCACTCCATATTCAGTCACACTCCATTAAGCCAACTCAAGCTCGGCTCGTAATTAAACAAACCTATCATGGTGTCCTCGGCCCACAGCGACGAGGTATTAGTGCCAAATTCCGTGAATGCTGTCCCTGTTCGGGGCACGCTGCTGGTCTTGCCAGCATATATGCTCAACGCGTAGTCCTGCTGAAGAACGGCGGTATTTTCCTGGGGAACATTATGGAGAGTGAAAGACCCGCTAGCTCTTCCCGGGTTGATTGTGTTTCCAAACTGTTGCGGCCCACGCGGTCCTTGGGCTGTTCGTGTCTGCGGCGGCGACGAGGCTTCGCTAGGTGGCTGGAACAAAGGCCGGCAGAGATCGACCAACTTGGAGAAAAGGTCGTGGAGTCGTCCAACTCCCTTGTTCCCAGAGGCGTACCGAGCGAATCCGCATGTGACTTTGTGTATAAGTTGAAAGTCTTGTACCGATGATGTACTAACGACATTGCAGAAAACGACGAAGAATGGGCAGAGTGGATACGCATGAATCGTCCTAAGTAGACAAAACGGTTATCCCGAGAACCCAACAGGAATGTTCACAGCAGCACCTACCAAGCGAGGAATGTGGGATATTCTTCATTAGCTGCGGGCTCGTCATTGTGCAATTCCCACTCTTGTAGCGAGGACAGGGCAACCAGCGCGTTGCGGGCGGAAGTCAGACACCTTTGGCGTATCTCCGGGTCAGAGGCGACGTATGGACTTAGTCGAAGGATTGCCGTGTCGAGAGAGTAATACGGGAATTCAAGCGAGCAGATCATAAGGGGATCTGCACCTTGATTCAAGAGGATATGCCGAAGCTAGGGTAGTTAGGATTTACGTGCCAGTACTTGGACAATGTGACAACTGACTCTGTCAATCTTGGTGAATATGCTCCTCATTCGTTGTTGAGTAGCGGAGATGGACATGTTTGCTGTAATCCCATCCTGCCTCCTCATCTGAGGGGTCGACTCTCTCCAAGCCAGGACCGCGTCTTGAATGCATGCAAAATCGCCCAGGAGATCGGCGATTGCAACCAGGCGGGCAGGGAAATCCGGATGGGACAGCCACGCTCTGTTCATCTCCAGGCTTGGCAGGGATGGCGGCCGTCCGAGATGCATGGAGAGAAGTCGATCCATGAGAAAGCACCAGAATATGCAACCGTGGATCTCATACTCCCTGTCGGTCTGCGGAGGACGCGCCGAGGTTTCTGGCTTGTGGTAGCCAAGGGCGACCAGAACACGGCAAGCAAAGGCGATCAGATTCCAACTCCTGGAAGTGTCGCCGTTGAGTTGCAGAAATACGGCCTGGTTCTTCAGAAGAGGCACTAGAATAGAAAGGAGCTGTACTTACACCACAGACTAGAGCTTGACAAAGACCGAACGTCGGTTGAGCCATGACGCTGATGTTGTTCAGGGCCCGGGACATGAGCTCGCGGTGTCTATCCCTGGAAGCCTTGATATGCTTCTTGAGTGGATCATCGCCTTCAAGGGGAGGCCACATGCTAAACAAGACGAAGGTCTTGAAGTGGACACAAGCTTCATACTCTATCAGAGTTTGGCCGCTCACTGTGTTGTTGATGAGAGCAGTGCCCATCTTCTCCAGTGTTTTGGGGAGGATGTGGTCCGGAAATACGGTCTTGTCTGAGCTTGCGGAACGATTTGACATCTCTAATAGTCTTGTTAGAGGTTGTTTAAAGAAATAATCGATGGATTCACCTCGAAGTAGCAATACCAGTGTTTCTGGAGCAAAAGGTGGTAATGGTGATGGATAGCCCACCCACATTGCCTCCTCCACCATGGTGGCTTCATTGGACTGGTGGGAAACACGATTGACAAATTCCAGAGCAGCTTCGAGGATAGTTCGTCTGTTGCGCAAGAGGTCCTTGCTCTGGTTGAGCTCAACCTGAATGAACTCGGAGGCTTGGACGTCGACTGAGTGAGAGCTGGTGCTCAGTGCAGGCATCTGCTTGAGAGGGCGATGCAATTCCGTGTCATCGTCGGCCTCCAGCTCTCGCTTCACGCCCTGGAAGCTGGATCGAGGCTGGGAGGCTGGACTTGCGTCGGAGGGCATCGACATCTCAGGACGAGTGGCCGAGAGCCTCGCATCATCTGCACCTGCGGCTGGAACTGGGCTGGCACGCTGAGGCGGGGATGTTGGGCCGTTACTCGCGGAAGAGGGCAGTAGTGCAGGAGTCGCGGTCAATTTCCACCGGCTGTTGATTGCTTCAATATGCGGTTGGCTGGGGTATCTTGATATTGGCGGATGCGACGTCGTGTCGGATGATGACGGCTCTGCGACTGGTGAGTCCAAAATACAAAATGGCTGGTTGTGGAGGTCGCAAGAAACATGACGACAAAATGCGGCTGGTCTGGAATGTGCCGAGCAACCAACCGCCACAAATCATCACGCGGCCCGTGGCATTTGCCAGTACGTACTCGCTCAGCCCAATTTTTTTAGACGTCTTTTAGAGGTCTAGAGTAGGTATTCAGGTGTAGATTAGACTATCGGCGTCAGCCATAGAGCTCAGTGGCGCCACAGGATAAGCCCGATCGCAATGTCATTACCTACGCGAGATGACCCTCCGTGAGATGACATCAACTTCAGAGGTATTTCTCAAGACCCAAAGCCATATGAGTGTTATTTCCAATAATACTTGGCCGTTGGGATTGTGCCACAGCCCTTGGGTTCCAGCAGTACCGTATTTATCTGGCTTTGGCCTATTAGATAGCCATAACGATGCCTGACGCTACCAAAACTGGCGTCAGTAGCTGAAAGCAGCAGTGTCATGCTGAGAATAAAAAAAAATCAAGACTTGTAATATTTAGAGAAGCCATCTATGTCTGTGGCGTTGAGGAGTTTGGTGTGATACTGTGTAAATCGCCACGGAAAATAGACAACATGGATAACAAGAGTGTTGTGTATTGAGAGAGATAAGATTAATCTAGCCTCTTGAGAAGAGAATACTCAAGGATGGATAAATTTATTAATCATTATTTGCAATGCCATTGATAGGCGGGTTTCATGAGATTCTGATTCATCTAGCTAATAATCTTGATCCTTGTTATTGTTCATGTAATGTGAACTGGTACCATCATCTGTGTCATTTGCTCCATCAACTTCTCCGTCAGAATGACAAAGATGGCTTGTGGGTGACAAATGAACCTCCGCCTAGGCTTCGATGCTTCGGAGGTTTGGTGAGTTGGGAATCATAATGAACGGTCTAACATTGTTGAAGTAAGGAGTTCCCGTCGACGCAATACTGAAACCACCACGGGAGACTGGCATTGGAACATCTGGCTCAGTCTGGAAACGGCTGAACCAAGATGATGACTCGAATATGTAGCCCATATTCTACGGCGTTGAGAGCGTAGCATGCTATCATCCCCATGAGTTGCGCCCTTTGAACGAGGACAGCGAGTTGTGAGCGCTGATCGGATTCTCGTTGTCCAGCAGTCGTCCAGTCCTCCCGAAGGAGGTTGCGGCGTTGCCCACTCCTTCAGGCTATATCATGTAGGATGTCGGAATTAGGTGATAAATGACTGGTCGGGTGCGAAGAAGAGCTGGGATTTTAGGGCGTGCTGGCACAACTGTTTTAGCAACTACTGGGTCTGGCGCTGTGCAGTGATTTTCTCTTGATCTTAAACCAGATCCAAGTCCCGTTACCAACGTAGTATGTGGTTGCTGGCGGAAAAACGCGACGGATGCTCATCGCGGGATGGTCTCTTGACCCCAGTGAGCTGAATGGCGTGTGACGATGATGGGCCAGCATCATCCTCGTGCTTTTTGGCGAAAACTAGAACTGTTCACTTTGGTCATGATTCTGTTGCCTCCGCTCACGGCCATATAATATATAGATGTTGTATAGATGTATCGATCGCCAGCGGCGACGCTGCGAACCCCCATGTTGGGTGTGTCGGGCATGGTGCGTCCCCTAGGCGAGCTTTTCAGGGGTCTGTAAATATGCGACGGGGCGAGCGGTTGAGCACTGCTCCTCCCAGTTCTGGGTTCGAACAGGCCTGTTGGAGGGCAGTTCGGACAGGCTGGTTTGAAGGGAGACTTACCAGCAACCTGATAGAGCTTCAGAGGCTGAACCCGATCACTCAGATACAACTTGAAATCTTCAGTAAAGCCATACTGAGTGCGCAGTTTGTCGAAATCGATATTGTCTGGTGGCTGCAGAGACGCTATAAACTGCTGGAGTGCGTATTGGTGACGCACCTTCTGGAGCTCCTCCTGTCCCTTTCCATGATCCTCCTTGTCCAACGCCTTGAACCGTTCATTGGCCGATTGCTTGGTCATGTACACTCGCAGGTTTTCTGAGTCAACCTGGTGATCGACTCTGGTTAGTTGCGTCTGCAGCTTCGTGAAGTCGGCCTTGTGATCCTGTTGGGGGAAACGAGCATGAAGAGCAGTCAGTAGATTCTCAAACGTTTCATCCGTCATAAACGGCATCTCCTCAGCATCAATTGCGGCAAGCTTGGTTTTGATATGGTCGCGGGGCCTAGAGGAGCCCATGTTGTCGAGGGTTGATCGTATAATGGTGGTGATGGAGCGGTTTTCGTAGTGGGCTGATGTAATGCACTGAGCCACCAAGGAGGGATGTTTTGGCCACTTGAGGCAGACCAATCTTATTTGCCGCTGTCGTAGATTGTAGTATATAGAAATTGGAGTTGGGTGACCGTTGGCAGAGGCATTGTTTGCTCCAGTGTATAGGGTGTGATGATGGTGCTTCTCGGTCTCTGGATAAGTTCGTGGTATTCCAGGCGATATCCCAACCCCAATCCTTGTATCCCAAGAACTTTGTGTCAGGTACACGGGGATAGTGGATGTATGTTCTTCTAGTTTCGAAGCCCGGCCAGCTGTGTGTTGTTGCCAACAAGGCCCTCCCGAACAGTGTGACTTATCAGCACCCAACACCCAGACCTGGCGCCGTCGTCCATACCAGAGCAGCCTCAAACGCCGGCTGTCTCGGGCGTCCTCACAAGGATCCATTATGCCAGCGTACCTGTCGTCGCCTCAGTTCGCCTCAGCCTCAACCATGGGAACATCGACGTCGTTTCCATTCTTCTTCCCGGATGCCCCCTCTTCGGCATCGCCACCTCAGCTTCGGACCTCCTTCGAATCAGATTGGTCAGGTTGGATATCGCGTGGTCTCTTGTCGTCGATGACGCACTGCGCCATACCCAAGTGTTCTCTGTGGCACAATGAGTCCTCTGCCGTGTCGGCGACCCAGGACGCCTCCAGGGACTCCATGTCGGCGACCCGATTGACTACCACCTCTCGGCCTATTTCGAAATATACGAGTATGGCCAGAAACCCAACCAATCCCCGTTTTCTCGCTGCCAAACCTGACTTCGTATTCACCTAGCACTTGAGCAACTTGCCTGAGGTGGTTTTGGACCCATTTGTTGCTGAGCTTTGCTGCTGATGGTGAACTTGTCAGTCAGCTCAAGCCGCTTCCGAATCTTGTGCTTCTCTGGTCTCAAATTATATATGAGCAGGCAGTGTATGTGAGAAGGACCAGAAGGTTGGGCGCCAAACCCTTGCGTCATGGTCGGGTTCTGGTGTTGGAGGGCGATGTAGCCCAGGCGATGAGTGCAGTCTTAGTGTAATGGGCACCGAATCGTTCGTGTATATATTTCCTGTTCTGGAGTAGATATTTCGCACGTATCAAGTACTTCTTAACTCGGCGTTACCATCTTCCGTGATGATCAGGAAACCGGTTTGTAAACCTGCAGAGACTCTGCCTTCGAAATTGTACCGGCCTCGTCCAGGACAATGGTATCTGAAGCTTGACGAGACCGTCTGTAGGGGGCGGCCAGAAGCATGTGATGTTGTGTGCCACAGGAGCAGCTTCCAAGCATTACAATGCCTCCAGCCGTTTTCCGCTCACCACCACCTTCACCTCGGAGTGGGCCATCTCAAGGTCTTGGGACTCGCTGGACGTGGAGTACACCTTGTGGCGCAACGGTCAACGAGACTGGCTCTGGGTTGATGGCTTGGCATCTCTCAAAAACCGTGGAGGGGGGCAAGTCTGCCATGGTCAGCTTTTGTCCTGAAATTTTTGTCCTGAAATTTTCGGTGTAGAACTCACAGTGTCTATTGAAGCCTTGCCCCGACCTGGAGAGGCAGATCAAACTTCGTTCGGCGCACCGATGAGGTCTGCTTCATCCCAGACGGGCGAGAATGATAGTCTCAGCGTCGACGGTATGCTTGTAGGGTGGCGTGCTTCTCTAAGTCTTTTATATAAAGAGGGAAGATGTATGGTAGAATTGTGGGTTGATAGAAGAGGAACTTTGATGGAGGTTTAGGCCCCCTTTATACTTGGGGTCGCGATGACGGACGCTTCCAGGACCCCAAGGAAGCCTGACTCACCAAGTTTGTCTGTGCAAGTTTGGCACCAACTGGGTCAATCAGGCTGACTCAAGCATATTTGCTTGACCAAACCGGTCTCACGGAATGGCTCTGTGTCTTGCTAAACAATCCATTCTAATGTGACATCTGCGGCCTACACGTCATAACAATACGAGAACGGAACTACCTGGCGGAGACACAGGTTTCAGTTTTGAACAAGCAACGAAGCAATCTCTCCACAGACGGTGACTCAATACGGGCCAAGCTACGTTTTGATCTCTCCAGAAGACAACGCAAACCTCCAGAGATACGCGGGATTGTCCCCTCGAGTTGATTCAAGGGATCGCAGCCTCAGGAAACTTCGGGGTCCCGTCCAATTCTTGCCTTCTGTTCAGGGGCCTCTACTTTCTGCCACCACGGCCTCGTAATTGGAGACCTCGGTCGTCATTTTTTGGATGCCAACGAACAAGACAGCTAGCCAATAAGAGGCATCGCAAGGTTGATAAGCTTGGTAAATATGCTCTCAGATAGATCTGATGAGAACCCTGTGTTTTTAGCACGGGCGGCCCTTCCGCCCTTAGTCGTCGCTACATCATATCATTCATCATAAGGTACCGGTTTAGCACCGTCATTTTGTTTATTCAAAATGCTGATGGTTAAAAAGGCAGATGATAACTCGGGCTCGGGGGCCGCTTGGGCACTGGGGGAAAATCGGCCAGCCATTGACAGAACGGTGATGATGACCCACTACTCTGATCAGAGAAAAACTTCTCTGCATTTCATGAGAGTGGTACAAATACTGAGTTCGCATGTCTTTGGCGGTCCGTACAACTGCTCTTTGCACGCCTGCAGAATCTGGAATCTAGGTAGTTAGAGTGCTGCTCGAAAGGTACTAGTTTAGGAAGATACTAGATGGGTCTGTTGACTGTCGTGTGGCCAAGAGAGGAAAGCACATATATTCCCGTCCAACAGCGACGAAACACAAACCGCGGGAATTTGTAACTGCAGATGTACCTAAATGGAGCTGGGAAAGACGCAATGGAAACCAGGCCGATATTGACGCTGGCTTGAGAGCGGACATGATGGCACAGGTGAGGTTTGGCTTCATCACCAAGATGTTGCTTGTTGCTTTTCTGGTCGTCGTATTTGGCTGGATCCAAGTTTGCACCATGAGTCATTAAGGATATATGACAGATCTGTGGGGGAATGTTTACATTAATATCCATTTCACTCATCTTTCATACCAACCATTTGCTTCTCTGATATTGGGGGAAGCCTGAGAAGCCGAGAGTGACAAGATGGCCGAATGTTTCTCAGCAGGAGCGAAAGCCGACTGCAACTCGCCAGCACAGCGGTCTCCTTTTAGCGGTCATCGCCTGGAAGCAATCGCAATTGCAGTGGAGTGGAGCAGCCGAGCGCACTCTAAATGGCCTGCGTCCAGCGGGTGCACCCCTGCATCCCTAGCGCTGTAACCACCCACAGCGACGCACGCATGATGCCGCTCGTCTGCACGCCCGCCTTCGCGGTACCGGCAATGGATCGCGCGAGCCGTCTCCATCTCAATCCGTCGTTAACGGCTGCACTCGTGATTGGCGAGTCCGGCACGGCGTGACAGGGCCTTCAACCGAGATAGTGACATTTCTGCTTTCGTATCTTTTCCGCTTCATTTTTTCCTTCTCTCTGTCACAGCCCGTCCCGTCCCCGTCGGAGCGTTGGAACCTCCCAACTACACCGTCTCCCCCGCTCCCACAACCCCTCACGGCGCAATCACCACCATGCCCGAATCTTCAAAAAGCCGTCGCAGCAGCCACCGTGCTTCCCACGGGCGGTCCAGCGCGGGAACCACCCACAGCTCGTCGGCCGCTCGCTCGTCGGCCGCCTTGGACGACTCGCGGTATCCCTCCGGTCCCCCGGCCTCCGCCGCCCAGAGCCTCCGGGTCCCGAGCCTCCGCGCCCCCTCGTCCCGCTTCTCCCTCAACGACCAGTTTGCCGCAAGCCGCCAGGAGTACGCGCTCTGGGACGACGATGGCAGCTCCATCTTCGAGCGGGTCACCAACGCCTCCGAGGCCGGCGACACCGATCCCGCCGACCGCGTCCTCGTCTCCGGCCCCGACGACTCCGGCCCCGGCTCCGAGTTCCCCGACTGGGACTACTACGACGTCCTCTGCCTCCCGCGGGACGCCGCCGACCTCTCGCAGGACGAGATCCGCCGCGCATACCACCGCCTCTTCCTCCTCTTCTACCCGGACAGCTACCCCGAACACCTCCGGCCCATTGCCCGCCAGCAGTTCCTGCGCGCCCAGGAAGCCTTCGAGGCCCTCATTGACCCCGCGCGCCGAGCCGAGTACGACTTGAGCCAGTTCCTGGACGCCGACGAGCCCGACGACGCAGCATCGGCGAGCTACGAGGCCGCGTTCAAGGAGGTGGTGCGCGACAGGTTGCAAAATGGCGTCCAGACCAGCTCCGACTTGGGTATCCGCCTCGACGCAACGAGATTGAGGGCCAATCGTCTCAACCCCCCGTGGCAGAGAGGTTCGTCCAAGTTGAAGCTGCTGGACTTTGCCCTCAGCCAGTCTGCCTCGGTTGACGTCCCAGCCCTGCGCAATGTGATGCAGCCACAAGTATCGCGTCTGGAACGCCTCGCATTGTCCAAGGGGATTAAAAAAGACGAGGCCGAGGGTCTCTCTCAGCCGGCAATCGAGGTGGCTACTCCGACCGTCACCCTGTTGGGCTCCGTATATGGCGTCACGGGTGACCTCTCTCTCATGTCAACCGCCCTCCTGTACGATCGCTACCAGCCACTGCTGCCCTTGACGATCCCGAGGCACCGCCTCATTCAGCTCGTCGAGAACAAGCTCTCGCCGTTGGTAACGCTGCGATATCGACAAGAGTTCTTGAACCACGCACCGCCGCCTCCTCCAGACAAGGTCCGATGGCTCAAGACGGCCGTCGAGCTCGAGTCGGACATCCTCCCCGAGTTCTCCGTCACCAGCCGCATCTACCACCACATCATCATCCCCGACTTCCGCGAACCCACCGTCGTCGAAGCCAGCGTGCAGTCGTCGCGCCATCTTCCCCGAACACCGCCTCGCTTCACCATCGGCGCGCGGCAGAACCTGTATCGCGGCACGGCATTGGCGGGCACGGCGTTTGCTCGCGTGGACACCGGCGACTGGGTGCTGAGATCGAGCGACTCGTACTCCTTCCATTCCGACTTCTCCAAGATGAACCCCAACATGTTCAGCACAGAGGGCCCCCTGAAGACGGCCCCGAGTCTGGAAGTGGGGTTCCGGACCGGACCTCCGGAGCGCATCCCGGCCCCCGGCTCCTCCGACTCGCCCAACAGCGACAGGGGAATTCGGGGCCTCGACAACGAGCTCGACGCCTGCGACGACGGGACCTGGGCCATCTCTGCGGCCGCTACTCCCTCTTCGGTCGGCGGCTTCGTGCGGTATAGCAAGAACCTATCGATCCCGTTCCAACTCCCTTCTTTTGAGCCATCCGACCCCTCGGTACCGTCCTCGGCCCGCCTCGAAGTCGAGCTGTGCTCTAGCACTTTCCAAGACCGCTACCTGGCTCTCCGCAACCTCTGGTCCGTCGGCCGCTTCGCCCGTCTCGGCCTCGAGGTCGGCGTCAGCCTGCACAGCCTGCACCTCTCCGTGTACTGGTCGCGTCTCGGCCATCGCCTCAGCGTGCCCCTGCTCATCGCCCCGCAAGCCCTCTTCTCTCAGAGCATCTTCTTCTGGGCCGGCGCCCTCCCGTTCACCGGCCTCGCTGCTGTTCAGCTGTTCCTCCACCAGCGCCGCAGCCGAGCCTCCAAGTCCGGCTCCCGCACTCGCCGCTCGCCCCGTCCGGACCCGGCCTCGACTTCCACCCTCGCCGTGGCGCGCAACCGCTACGAGGCCGACAACGTCACCGTCCTCCTCGCGCAGCCGGTCGAAGCGCGCCAGAAGCGCCAGACGTCCCTCGGCGGGCTCGTCATCCTGAGCGCAAAGTACGGCGTCCCGGACTCGGATGGAAACCTCGCTGGCGAGCATGTCGCCGACGTCACCATTGCCCTCGCCGCCATGATCGACGACTCATCCAGCAACACTGGAGCCCAACTCGTCCTCCCCGGCAGTGTCCGCAAGAGTCGCATCCCAGGCTTCTGGGACCCGGCGCCCGGTCGCGACAAGACCCTTCGCGTGCAGTACTCTTTCAAGGGCGTCGAGGGTATTGCTGAGGTTCGTGGCCAGGCGGAGTTGGTCCTGCCACCTCCCCCGCCACCACCAACCAAGTCATAGAACCAGTCTACTCATGTTTGTGCGTGCGCTGTTTTAGTATATACTTATGATGTTTCACGAATCGAAAACGGCCGGAAGGAGATGGATGGGATTGGTATATGATTGGGTAGATCGCGTTATTAAAAAGGTTATTGGGGATACACATCTCACATAGAACGCCGAAAACATGTGGTAGATCTCAACTTAGTCTCGTGTGTGCAATGGCGAAGAAGTAACAATAAGAAATTTGTTCAGTTCAAAGTATGGCGCTGTCCTGGCTTTTTGAAGTGGAAGTGTCAATGCCGAGTCCGATCCTTAACTGCCTCACTCATAAAAGGAGTAAGACATACATTATTCAAGACAAAAGAAACACTCGTTGTACTGTGTAGCGCATCTATCGTACACTATAACCCTTCTGTGAGCAACATAACCGTGTGCTCAACGCATGCCCAAATTGGCAGCCTCAGAGAAAACAACCGAAACACAAACGCCAGCCCTTTTAATTAGAAAAGTTGCCCGGTAAGGAGGAAGGGAGGTAATATCTATCTCATGGCCCCTGACACTCAGTCAAGGATATGTGAGTGCCTATTGGGATACCTCTAGAGTCTAGAATGTCCACCAGTATGCGACCAGTCGTTCCAGAGGGGGACCAAGTTCTAATGATCATGCTCATGATCGTGTCCATGCTCGTGTTCATGCTGGTGTCCATTGGCACTGTTCGCACCTTGTGACGAGTCGCTGGCACGACGTGTCGACGAGCCTCTGGATGAGGCCTCGACGTTGGTGCAGCAGCCTTGGCCCTGGCAGTCCTCGATGCATTCCAGGAGACAGACTTCGTTCTTGTTTCCGTCGCCACCTCCGTCGAGGGCGAGAGCAGCGGCTTCTTCGGCTTGCATATGCTTCTGGTCAAGGCAGAACTCAGGCTGAATGGTGGCGCTGTGGATACCGTAGGCATGGAGGCACTTGCGGGCCCGGCGAGCCAACTCCATATACTTCTCGCCACTATGCGAGTCGATAGGGAAGGAAACCTGGATGTGCATGCTAGCAACGAGCTTGGTGTCGGAAAGCTGCCAAACGTGGATGTGGTGGCAGGTGATGACGCATGGGAGTCGCTCAATGTCCTGTCGAATGTCTTGGATGCTGACATGTTCGGGGGTTGCCTGGAGCAGAACGCGAGCGGTTGCACGGGTAAGAGGAATCGACGTCTTGAGAATAATGGCGGTAATGAAGAGCGAGACGGCGGGATCGGCATAGAGCTTGCCGGGCCAGTTGGTGAGCCAGATGATGAGAGCCGTGGCCATGACACCAATGTTTCCCAAAGCATCACCGATGACGTGCAGGACCATGGCGTTCATACCCATATCGTCGTGGTTGTGACCACCCTTCTTGCCGGGCTTCTGGGGCAGCGTGTGGTTGTGGCCATCGTGCACACTCGAGTCACGTCGTGGACGGCGGATGGTTGGGTGCGAGTGAGCCGGCTGTTTGTGGGCACCGAGAGAGCTGCCACCCTTCTTAACGCCCTGGAGCAGTGGCGACTCTTCATTCGCCTCATCCTCTTCGGCGATGAAAGTAGCATCAAATTCGGACTCGCTCTCGCTGGTTGAATCACCAGGGGTTGCCATGCTCGCGGCGATGATATCTTGGCGGAAACTGGCAGGGTGGATGCTCATGTCCTCGATGCTGGCCAGACGGGAGTGTCCGCTCTTGCTGGAGCGGCGCTTATCGCGACCTCGGGAAAGACGGCTGGCGGCAGTACTAGACTCGTCCCTGGTGTGACGGTGGTCCTCGAAGCGGATGCGGCGCGTTTCCTCGGAGGGCGACTCGTGGGAATGTAGACCGGCGCGACCCTCCTCCTCATCGTGTGCGTGGTTGTGTGAATGGCCGTGGGCGTGATCGTGGTCGTCGTGGTCATGGTCGTCGTGGGAGTGACCGTGGCCGTGACCATGGCCGCCGAGGACAAAGAATCCGACGAGGTTGGAGAAGAGGCCAGCGGAACCGACAATAAGCATCAGCTGGGGGTTGTTGATCTCCGGGGGCTCGATGAATCGGGTCAGGGCCTCGAGGATGATGGAGACGCAGAGGGCGATGAGGAAGACGGCGTTGAAGAAGGCACCGAGAATCTCTGCGCGCACCCACTATCGGCGGATTAGCACTGCGCTGACGCTTGATGGATGGAAACTTACACCAAAGGTGAACTCGTCGGTGGTGGCCTTTTGCGCGGCCGACACAGCCCAGAGACCGATGATCAGGGAGATGATATCATTGAGCTGGTAATTGGTCAGTCGCCGATGCAATTCCGACGTGCAAGGGGTTTCTCACCATGTGGAAGGCATCAGCCATCAGAGCCAGCGAGTGGGCGAGGAAACCGGTGGTGAGCTCGAGGATGAAGAAGGCCGTGTCAAGGGCAATCATGACCTTGATGCGGGTGCTCTTGGACCACGCCATCTTCTGGAGGAGGCCCATGATGATGGACTATGTGTGCCGGCGACGGCGTAGAAGCGATGGCGACGGGCTCAGTGATTGAGGGTGCTGATGTCGATGGTGATGGTGGAGGAGGAGAGAGGAGAGTTTGGTAGTGGGCGGGGAGGGAGATTTGTGGTTTGCGATGACGGAATGCGACGGAGCGGACGTAAACCGAGCGATCGCCCCGGGACAGGCCAGTGAGTGCCTGGAAGGACTTGAGGCCAGCGGACTAAGACCTGGGCCAATAGACTCGAACAGGGATCCAGGAGGGAAAGACCGAATCAAGGGCGGCTGAGGGACACTATCGACACTATCGGTGCTCAAAGTAAGACAAGGGTGCGCCCGAAAAAGTAGTCTGAATGTACAAAAATACCAAAAGGGAGGACCCTGCAAGGCACAAAGGAGATGGTGTCTGGGACGGGTAATTGGCCAGGCACCAGCAGACTCGACGCTGTGGGTCGGTGAGAGAGAGAGAGAGAGAGGGAGAGAAAGAGAGAGAGAAAGAGAATGCAGATGTGTGCAGAGAAAGTAAGTACGGTGCAAGAAAGAAAACACCTGGACTGCAACCTGGAACGCCGCAAGTAAAAAAAAAAAATACCACCCCAACACCCCCGGAGCAAGGTTGCGGTAGCTGCGGTTAATTAGTGGACGGTAGCTTCTGGTGGTGGCGAGGAATGGAGAGCCATCGCGTAAGGAGACAGAAGCAAATGGATGACGGACGACAAGCAGGCTGAGACGAATGAGAAGCGTCTCTCCAAACTGTACTCCGTGCTAGTACCTCGCATGTAGAAGTGGCTTATTGGCGACTTGTCCAAGGTAGTATCCTACAGCGACTCTCTCTATAACGGACTTGTTGTTATTGAAACTCAATGCTCATTGCGACAAGGTAGCACCTAACAACTAACACCCAGCGGCCAGGCCATGCCTGCAAGCAACCTGCAAGGTAAAAGTACCCTTTCTAGTAACCCAACTGTGATCGGACCTCGAGCGACCAATGTCCACCACTACCTCCACTACGGCCGCCACCCAAACGTCAGCCTGCCACACGCACACACAGCTCGTTCGTTTCAAGGGAAAAGAAAAAGAAAAAAGAGAGAAGCGGGAAAACGGGAAAACGGGCTAGACTTTCCAAAGCTGACAAGGGTTTCGTAGGTGAGACCCAGCCAGGTCGCGACCGCAGGCCCGCGGCCCACGGCCCATGCCAACTAGAGGTCGGGAGGGCCTCCGCCACGTTAGCTCAAGCCTTCCGTCCACTTGTCCGTTTGCCAGAGCTCGTCTAGCTGTATTTAGCTGTGTTCAGCTGTGTCTAGCTGTGCGTGTAAGTTCATCGTGCATACGATAGTGTGTGACTGCACGGATCAGCGTCAACTACTCCCAGACATTGGGCCTGGCCAGGCTGGTCCATTTCCACCCATTTCCACATCACATCTACTTCTAGCCGAGTTATTGCGTTCTAGGTCTCAATCCCAAGCCCACGCTCCAGGGCTGGGCCCGGTGTTCTCCGACTGTCCCTCGACATACAGCATAGGGAGTCGTACTCGGTGCAAAGCCCCAGTTCACCACTGAGACTCGTTCGTGCACATGCAGCACCCACTCCACTCGGGTTCGGGGAGGAGCACAAGGGACTTCGTCAAATCCAATCGGGTTTCCGTACCCAAGCCAAGTGGAGATGGCCTCAGGTTCCTCGTGGCTCGGCACGGATGCCTCTGTACCCGGTCGCCTGAGTGAACTTCCTCCGGCTTCGGGGCTACGTCGGTTGGGATGTGTGGCCAACATGAAAATCAATCTGAACTCAGCAATATGGCGGAGCATCAATCTAACCACTTTTCGCCTGTATGCACAGATCGCGAATTTCTCGACTGATTGATAAGGAAATCCTCCACCCGTCCCCAGCTCGGATCCGCCGCGGCACCCCATCCAAGCTCATCTCCACCGGCACCCACTGCCATGAACCCCTTAGCTCGCCATAAAGCTCCCCGTGAATAACGTAAATAACATTCATTGTATCTATATTAAACTCTGCCGAGTATCAAAGTTGGATCACTCTGCTACGTCTTATGTCCTCACATCTCATCAGGATCGCTTTTGTTACAAGTTTCTGTTACTCGTAAAGGAGTGGGAACCTAGGCGGGTTTGACATCGCCCCAACATTGCCGGGTATGCTTCATCCGAATCGAACCACTACACATCCACATTGACTCCCAACATTTCTCCTGTTTATTGGTTCCTGCTTTTTCTGCCTTCCCTGTAGATTACCCATGGTTCAACGGACGAATACTGGCCCAGCTGTTCGCCGATCCGCCTACAGTGCGGTGTGTAGGGTAGGCAGGTTGTCTCGACCACTCTGGTCCTCTCATCGATTCTCTCCCTCTTGCAATCATATCCGGGTTTCTGAGCCTCGTGTAATGATATTTAGTATCTGATTAGAGAACACAAGGCTGCAAGGTATGTCTACCAGAGCAAGATGCTCTCCACAAGTCAAACCAGCAGGCTCGCTTCAGATATGCAAAATGCGACAATCGAAATTCAGGGCACTTCACACAGCACCCATCGGCCGCCAAGACCCAGGGATGTCTTCTTATTAAATCAAATCGTATACTTCTACAACAACTTCTAATTGCGCTAAAGTCTTGGATCCTCTACATCCCTTCATCTTACTTAATCCCTCCCTCCGCATGCACGGAGAGTTCGTTAGAGCCTTCCCATGAATGTGCCATCGACATTCTCAGCCACAGCAACTGTCCCAGAGCATATGTGATTCCACTTTCGTGAGGGATACATTATTATGAGCCTGCTGCTATCGTGACGGCTCAGAAAGTGACCAAGATTGAGAAGTATCAAAGTTTTCGTTCCAGTGGTGTGGCACAGCAACATCAGGCGGTAACAGCAGTGGGAGTACAAAGGAAGAATTCATTCCCGATGACGGTATTCATGTCCGATGACGGTATTCATGTGAGTTTGTGCCATATAATTACACAAAGACACTCAAGTACAAAGTCCTTTAACCTAGCCGTGCCCAATGTGAAGTCTAACGACATCTGACGGCGATCCACGTTGTGTTGACGATGGGCGCTAATGGTTGGCACCTTGGCACCCTCACCAGCCTAGCTTAGCGCTCTGGCGGCCCGTACCGCTCCCGCCAACGTGCATGGCGTTCTCCTTCAGCAGACATGAACATGTTTTAATAACTCTCCAAACATTTGGAATTACTGCCGCTAAATACACCGACTGCAAGGCGTATTTGAGATAACACCCCTCACCAAAGAGTCAAGGACATGACACCATCAAGAGCACAGCAAGGCAACAGGGTGGTACTGTTTACTGCCGCGCCTCATTCATCCCCTTGCCGCCCACCATCATGCGTCCTGGGTTACGCGCCCAGACCTTGAAATGGATGCCTCCCCGCGAATCATCTGTCACTGTTGGTTGTTGGATATGTATACTTTGTAGCAGCCCCTGCACATTGTTGCACTGCCATTCATCGCCCTGGTCATGAGTTCAGCCGCGGACGCCGTGTCCCCTCTGATTGAAACTTCTCTAACTTCGCCCCGTGAGCAACGGCTTCAACGTCGTTGATCCATTTCTGCCATCCAAATGCTGCGTCTTTGTCTCCTGGAAGGAGTCTTTGTGTTTGTTTGCTGTTTGCTATTGTCACGAGGCGCCCTGCGAGACGACCAACATGGACGTTACCGCCGCTGGCATTGCCTTTATCCAGATTTCAACTGAAATCGTCAAGTGCGTCAACAAAGCTCGCAAACTATGGCAGGAAATCAAAGACCTACCTCAAGAGCTCCAAGATGTGCTCTCGGACTTGGAGATATTCGGGTCTATGTTCGAGGACATACAAGAACAGCTTGAAGCCGACAGCTCATCCCTGACCCGCGACGATGCCCCGATTCAACGCAGTCTCAAACTCGCAAGGCACGCCTATGATGGCCTCAACGACATGATCAAGGATATGGACCAGAAAATCAGTTCCAGAAAGGGCTTGAAGAAGAAAGCCGCACTTGTCAAAATCACAATGAACAAGGACGCTCTGGATAAGTACCAGCAAAGGCTATCCAGAACTGTCAAATTCCTGCAATTGTCAATTCAATCCTATCAACTGTAAGTTGCCTGTCTGAGTGCCCATCAACCATTGCTAACACAAAAAAGCGCATTGGCGAGACGAACTCCCAAGCTCATCTCCAAACAGGTCACGACAGATTTAATGACCTATTTTGACAGCCGCGAGACCACGAAAGCGCCCGCTTACACACACCAAAAAGATGAAATTCAAGATGAAAGCCGCATACGAAACGATGTCTCATTTCCCCGATCGAAAATGTTGGTGACCACGAAAAGAGAATACACCCACTCCAAGTTGGGAAAGTTTGCGTTGGAATACACAAAAGGCACAGGGGCATGGCAAGCCTACATTCAATGGCCCAACTGGTTGTCACAATCTGTCTGCGAAGTCGGGTCCAATCCAACTTTTGGTGGATGGACGTACAACTTTAGATCCTACAACATTGTGCCCTCCAAGTCAGAAATCATCACCAGAGTAGAAAATGGAGACACAGATGGTGTTTTGGAGCTATTCAGAACAGGAAAGGCTTCTCCGTTTGACAGGAGCGAGAGTGGATCGCCTTTGTTGATTGTAAGTCCAAGCCCATTCTCTTCTCGACGGAGATGGGGCTGATGATTTAGCAGTTTGCCGCCTCAAACGCTCACTATCGGACTTGCAAGCTCCTCCTCCGCATGGGACTTGATGAGTGTTTGAACGATACATCGAGGTGAGGGGGTCACAGCGCAACTTATAAACAAGTTCTGACTTGGAAGTTAGTGACGACGCATTGATTCTTACAGCTAGGAACTATGAAGAAGCTAGCAGGAAGGCCAGTTTCAAGACGAACGAGAAACCAGTAAACGAATACTCACGCATTGTGGAACTTTTCAACGCATATATGGACGAACCAGATACCGTCATGATATTGAGGCTCTTCAGGTGTTGGAATGAATACTCATACGGTAATGACCTAACGTCATTTCAGCACAATTTCTTGCCGACGTTGTATTCTGGTTCGCCACGATTTCGCTTTGAGGCTTTCCGACTCGGGTCATTTCACATGCGAACAGTCGATGGACCTCTGAGTTTTCTATCAAATACGCGACAAGTAACGTTAGATGACGTTATCCAGTCGACACGCGAGCATCTATCGGTCGTCCATACGGCAGCTTTGGCACTAGGCATACGATGGCCCGACGAAGTGCTAAACCCATCCGCCACGAAAGGTTTTCCTGTACCGGAAGTGTATCACGAGACCTGGAGCGAGATGATACAAATGATAGTGTCAGTGGCTGGACATGACGACCTTCACAGCATCGAGATGGTAACACCCTGGGACGTCCACCAAGTCCCGATTTGGCGGGGCACACCACTCATTTCTGTTATCGGAGGCGCTCTTTGTTATCTCTCACCAGACATAGACTTTTCCCGCTGGGATGCTGTGTTCCAAGGGACAATTAGGCAATGGGTTTCGGATTTGCAGGGTGCTGGAGTGGACTTGACCGAGTACGGGTGTCGAGAAGTTTTGGCCCTCAGAGACGAGGTGAGAGGAGCGTTTGATGCGGATGCGATTGAACTGTCAAGGAATCAAATACGACATGTAATGGAAAAGGAAATGTATCCTTCCAGGGTGCGTAAAGTATCTCGGGGAGGATGGAACGACAGCAACTGGATCCCGATTCGACTGCTGGGTCTGGAGGTTGGGCCACGCCCAGAGGATTGGAATATTAAATGGGTGCCAGAGTTTGAGTGGATGGCACAGCAGTTCTGGAACCTGATAGAGAAGGAGAGCTTTGTCATGCCCGGGTCATGGATTGAATGATCTATATATATCTGGATAAAAACAGATGGGAGTTTCATGGGACGTGTAATATTAGGTAGCTCTGAATATTGTCCTAGCGGGATGGTGGGTACACTCCCCATATTGAGGTATTTGGTTGGCCGACTGGCACGGTGTACCATCTGTCACGACTTGTGAGCTGATATCGTCATGCAGGGCAAGTACTACCCCGCGTCGAGGCGGGGAGAGGACCGAGAGCTCCTTCTTCATCTTGAACCTTACTCATTATTATTACCCTTGGTGAACAGCTCTCCAGGTTGATCGACCTTGATATCACGGACGGCAGGTACCGCCTTGTTTAAATAAAATCTAGACGTCCGTTTCTGTCGCCATCATCTGTCATCCTAAATAACCGCTCCTCCCAACATGGCGATCCGACCCGCGAGCAAGGCAGGGACCTGGTACGAGAGGTCGCCTGATGTGTTGGAGAACCAGCTCAAGAGGTTCATGGCAGCTGTCCCCGATAGCATTGATGGAATCCCGGTCCCCATTCCCGGGGCCCGCATCGTGATTGCTCCGTGAGTATGTCTAGCCTAAGGCAAGTGGGCATGTAGCCTAACAACACCATGTGCAGGCATGCAGGCTACGAGTACTCTGGCGAATGCGCAGCGTGGGCATACAAGACGCTCGATCTCAGCCGGGCGAAGCGTGTCTTCATTTTGGGCCCCTCTCATATGTACTACCTCCAGGGCTGTGCGGCGACGACATTTGAGAAGTACTCGACGCCCTTTGGCAACCTGACAGTCGATCAAGAGACGGTGCAGGAAATCAAGATCGCAGCGGATATGGACGATATGCCCTTGAAGCACGAGACCAATGAACACTCCCTCGAGATGCACACGCCATACCTTTACCTCCGACTCCAAGAGACCTTTGGCTCACCGGACAAATTCCCGAAGATTGTTCCGTTGCTGATTGGGTCTAATGAAGGAAGTGAGGAGAAGGCATTTGGTCAAGTGCTTTTGCCCTATATCAAGGATCCCGACAACGCCTTCATCATTAGCTCTGACTTCTGTCACTGGGGCGACTATTTCAGCTACATGGTCTACTCTCCAACAAACAGCCTATCGGATCTCGTTAAATTGCACAAGGGCGACCCGAAGCCGAACGGTCCACCAATCCATGAAAGCATTCGAGTGATTGATGAGGCGGCTATGGATGCTGTCAAGAGCGGCAGCCACAACGCATTCCTCGAAAACCTTAGACAGACGCGGAATACGGTCTGTGGACGACACCCAATTGGAGTCATGATGGCAGCCCTAGAACTGCTACGCAAGGAGCCCGGGTACCAGGACAAGGGGCGGTTCAGCATGATCCAGTACGACCGCAGTAACGACTCGCTGGAGAGGCCCAACGAATCCAGCGTTAGCTATGTGTCTGCATACGCTGTTGCATGACGATCGACTACCGACTTGAGTAGTTGGGGAATACTCATGAGTGTAAGCGGTTCAAACATTGGAATGTGGAAGGTGGATGAAGTGATTCGGGAGGTTGTGGCGAAATCATGGCTGTCAGGCTATCAAGCGAGTATTTCCTATTAGGTGAGCTTTATGAAGTGTTTGAACAGCATGAATTAATTGGGAAATGAAGCATTTGGATCCGAGCCCAAATCCATGTCTGAACGTTGAGTTACATTTTGTAAGGCGGTCAGCACCGCAACGCTGATGAGGGTCGACCAGATGTGGAGCGTCAGCTTATGTACATGAAATATACGGCTGAAGTTGGCGTGACGAAGACTCTCGAAGGGCCACGACTCCATCTCAGGTAAGGGACTACGTATATCTCATTTCTGTAAGGTTGATGATATTCAACCCCAAGATATAATAATAGGACAGTTATATTTTTCCGGCGACGGACTGGCACTGCAGTCGTTGGCGATCACTCAAACAAGGATTCAGAAGGTGCCTGCTGAGACGCCAATTTTGGATCCTGGTGAGAGGTCCACAGGCAAATCCAACATGCCCATGTCAGTTCCCACCTCCCACTAGCCCCACGCGGCGAAGCTTGTTGTTCGAGACCCTGGTCATTGACAGTGGGCTCGTCTTGAGTCTGACTGCTGCAGCGTCATCCGCGGCACCACCAGCTGAGGAAGCGGCTGGAGGAGCCCACACGGCACGGTGCCTTAAAGTGGGAAGCTGAGCATACTAGCGCGCATCTGAGGCTTTGCTGTGGCTCTGCAGTGAGCGAGAGGTGCCGTCAGCCTACATGGCTCTATTGATTAGTGGGGCGCAGTCTTTGATTTTCGGGATGGAGCAGGTTCCGGGCGGTGGTACGGAGTACTTGGTGCTAAGTTTTCGGGCTGACGCTGCAATGGGATGACTGAAGGGAGCGCGCTGGACGACGATCTTTGTCTGGATGGTGATGATGGTGATGACTCGCTCATTTCATTGGCACTTGGGATAGTGAAGATGTAACAAGTGGAGAGCCGTCGCCAGAGTCAAGACCGACAAATATGAAACAGTGGAGCCCGCATACCCTTATTGGACTATTCCCTGTCACTGCCAAGGATCCAGGCTCCTCCAGCTGCGACTGGACAGGCCCCAGTCAGCCTGAGCGGCGCCTGGTGGCTTTCAGTGGCTTTCAGTGGCTGCAGCATCGCTGGAACTAATCACTGAGCTGGCGCCGCCATGGTGCGCCGGAGAGTCGCAGTTACCGTGCTGAGCTTGGAGCTGTTCTGCTGGGCGGCTGGTCTGCTGATGGAGGGAGGTACGGAGCAGTACCCGTGGACGTTCTGCCGCTACTGAAGCAAGTCTCGGACCTCTGAATTCTGTCGCATTGAGGAGGGGGCCCGGGTGTAGCAGATGAGTTTTGTCCTGACCGTACCATGGGAATCAAGAAAATCCTGCGTTTTCGCTAGGGCACTGGACGCAATCCATGTCTCCTCCTAGGGGACGAGCGGTGCAGGGGTCTTTGATGATCTGGACGAGAAATAGGGTTGGGGGCCGCGAGATTGCGAGTGCGACGGCGAATGGATTTAGCGACGGCGACGCAGACGGCGACCTGGCCGGAACCAGGCGAACAGGGGGCGGCCACGCTGCAGATGGGAGGGCTGGGGACGGGGTACCTGCACGGTACTGTCGCTCTGTAGGGGTCGCTAGGGGTCGCTTGCTGAGGCTGTTGCGGTGTCATGCGCTGGAGGAGCGTCGCAGCGCACTGTATCTTCTGGTGGACACCCTGCCAGGAACTGCGTCGCAGCCAGTGAAACTTGGTGCCCCACGGTACCTGCAGCCTACCCACAGGTACCTCCTTCGTACTGGAGCCGCCACTTCCCCAGCCCAGCCAGTGGCAGCGCCTCCAACTCAGTGGCCGCACTAGCTCTTACTCGCCTGCTCGCTCAGGCTCTCTCCCTCTCGCACTCTCACGCTCGCTCACTCCATCCTATTCCTTATTCATCCCGTCCTTCAAAGCTTCTCGTAGCCCGCCTCGACGTTCGCTTCCCTCTCCCGTTCTTCTCTTTGCTGTGCGACGAGAACTTCCCCGCGAGACGCTCCGACCCGAGACGACACGACACGATTCCACCCCCTACGGAAATCACGATTCGAGTCTGAGGCCAACCCAATACGAGATCGAGGTTTCCTCCAAACGTCGGACCACGACCCGTCACCGACTCTTTCCCAGAGCATCACCTTAATTAATTGCCCACCATGAGCGTAAGTCACCTATTTATTCTGCGCTTCGACTCAATCACCTTCGACCGCCCCGTGTCGTTCACTGCCGTGCACCTCAATGGCCTGCTCCCATTGATATTGCGACCGTCAGCCTCGCGTATCCCCCTTTCCCACACATCACAACACATCAGCTACGCCGTGACTTGAATTCTCCCGTGACACATTTGCTGACTATGTCTCGACAGTACGGGTTAGTACCGCATTCCACAACACCCACGCGCGTCCGAAACGCGACCCTGGACCCCTGACTGACCTCAATCGACACAGATACGGCGGACAGAACCCCTACGACCAGCAGGACAATGGTGGTTATGGCGGCGGCAGCTATGGAGGATACAACCAGAGCCCTCCCCCCCAGTCGGGAGGCTACGGAGGAGGTAAGATTCAAATGCTTATTGTGTAGCTAACTTGATATTGATCACTAACCATCACCAGGCTCCAACGTTGAGATGGCCCCTCTTGCTTACAACGCTGGTTCTATCGCCCAGGGCGACCCCAATGCCATCCTGAACGAGTGCCGTGACATCGACCGTGGCATCGACACCGTTGAGCAGAACTTGGAGCAGCTCCGCATGCTTCAGCAGCGCACCCTCGATGACGCCGACAGCTCCTCCAACAGCGCCGCTAACCGCCAGCTGGATGGCCTCTCCACCGAGACCATGGCCCTCTACCGCGGCCTCACCGAGCGTGTTCGCACCATCAAGTCCAACCCTGAGTCAAAGAGCCCCAAAAACAGCCCGCAAGTCAACCGTGTCGACCGTCGCCTGAAGGATGCCATTCGGCAGTACCAGACGGTGGAGTCACAATTCTCCAAGCGCACTCAAGACCAGATGGCTCGCCAGTACCGCATTGTCCGCCCCGATGCATCGGAGCAGGAGATCCGCGAGGCTGTTGAGGATACCAGTGGCCGACAGGTCTTCAGCCAGGCCATGATGCAGAGTGACCGCCAGGGCCGTGCCCGAGCTGCCCTCAGCGCTGTCCAGGACCGACACGCTGCCCTCGCCAAGATTGAGCAGCAGATGAACGAGCTGTCTCAGCTCTTCATCGACATGGATACACTCGTTGTCCAGCAGGAGGCTGCCGTCACCCAGATCGAGCAGAAGGGTGAGGAGGTTGTTGAGAACCTCGACAAGGGTAACGAGGAGATTGGTGTCGCCGTTAACACTGCCCGCAAGACTCGCAAGAAGAAGTGGATCTGCCTGGGTATCTGCGGTATGTTATTGCTCGTGATTCTTGACGTTGAACATTTTAACTGACTTGTTATAGTGGCCATCATCGTCATCATCGTCATTATCGTCCTCATCTACATCTTCGTTATCAAGGGACAAAATAACAACAAGAGGCGAAGCCTGGTTATTGACGGCCTCGATGTCATCAAGCACATCGGTGCCCGCGCACCTGTGGCCGACGATGCTGGTGATGCCCTGAACAATCTCGCTCTTCAGCGATTGCACCTCCCGCAGTTGCCAAGACACTAAATGTGCCTCCCAATTTTTTTCACTCGACGTCGAACGAATGCATTAAGAGCTAGTGTCCGCGCTGTCGAAGAAATGCTGGGGAGGAGGGATCAGCTGTGTACATCAGTCTGCAAGATCGGTTTAAAAACGCACATAGACCGGCTTGCCCCAATCGCTTTACTATGTTGGGATAGATATGCCTTCAGGGAAGGAGGAGAAGAAAAACGAGTCCTCCGATTTGGAGAATGAGGATAAGGGGATAACGGAGAGGACTGCCTGGGCAAACACTGCCAACCATTTTTTTTACTTGTTTTGCTTACTGTCTGGATCACATCTCGCACGCGCTTTTCCTCTTGTTATAGCCTCGATGCCCGTTGACTTTTGTTTGCTGGAAGAAGGCAACGGGGGTTGTTCGAATTCCCATTCTGGAGTTGTTCTAGTCCATTGCATTTGTTAGGGGCGTTTATACTATGAGCTTTAATCACATTTTCTGTTTCTCTTGAAGCTATAATCTGCCAGGTGTTCAAGTATTGATACATGGTCATCTGGACACTAGCCAGCGTGACTAACTTCTACCTCGACTTTGAGTGGAATGACGTAACTGTCTGTCTGTAATGTAACATGGTAGAGTGTATTCAAAATGAGCCAAAATGCATGCCAAAATAATCCATACGCCCATTCGCCTTCATGGTTTGAGGTGCCTGGCCCACCTATGCATTCTATATAGCACACTACATGCTATGTCTGGTTGGTTGATGTTTAGCGACGACGACGACTTCGCCTGGATTAGAGTTAGATCGATTGCCAACGATTTGGAGATTTCGAACTGGCTTGCCTTTGATGAGTCCGCGGCAGGCTCAAGGCCATGCTGCCTTTCGGTATCGAGATGTTGAGTTATAGCGAGGACCCGTCTTTGTAGATGTTCGACAAACCGTCTGGTGCCCGCTCAATCATCCGCCTTGGACTTTTCATTTACATCGTCGTCTTCAACAATCGCAACTTCCGGTGTATCATTATCCTCAGCCTCATCTAGCTGCGGCCCTAGCACAGCCCGCCTCTTTTCGCCCTCGTCAACAACCTTCTTCAGCACGCCCATTCGCCGGCGGAAGTCCTCCGCCAGCCCTTCGACGTCCTCACGGCCTAGCGCGGCGCCGCTACCAGAGCTCGGCAGGCTATCGGGGCGCATATCGACCGGCTCATGCTCGACGCCTTTGACGCGCAGCATGAGGGCCCCGCCCCGGCGGTCATCCTCGCCTGCGTCGTCGCTCTCGTTCTGTTGGACGGCGACGCTGGACCCCGTCACAGCAAAGTTGGGGCTCAGGCTAGACGCCCACGAGACGGCCCAGCGCCCTGGGTCGCTCGCAGGCGCGGGCGCAAGGTCCACGACGAGCGCGCGGTGCGAGGGGTCTGCGGTGGTGGCGGCGGCGAGCACGGAGGGGTCGTCGTCGGAGAAGATGTAGTGGACGCGCGGGTGGACGGTGGCATTCGTGGTGGTGTTGGTCAGGAGCGTGAAGAGCGGCTCGAACGGCAGCGGCGGCGCAGCGTCTTCGGGGACGTCGGCGTCGTGACGGAGAAGCTCCTCATGTTCGGCAGCAGTCGCAGCCGGGGACGGGTCTCTATCGGCGGCGGCGGACATGGTGAAGCAGCGCGGGGATGGTGCGGGCGGTGGTGGTGTTTGGAGACCACGACTGCCGCTCCGGGAGCATCTTTAGAGGCGATGGCTCCGTGATGATGAATGTCCTGAGAGGTCGAAGCTTGTTTGATGAGGCAACGTTCATCCGTGGAGAGGTTGAGCTCCTGTCGTTCGTCCTGGGGATGACGGATGCAGCCTGGGCTTATCTTATCGGCACGTGTGGAGAGAGCTCCTTCCGCAGCGTAAATGTTGGGGTAATGTGACTTGACATGTGACAACCATCATCCGTCGCATGGATGTCCTTGTAGCAAGAGGGGACTACCTAACGTTTGAGACTGACTCGCTGGATAAGCAGCAAAACATCACAACATTCGCCAAAGTACTGAATGCCTCTTTGGGTAAGCTTGCCAGCTGGCCGTCTAGAATAGCCGGCGCCGGGAACCCTAACCTGGCAACCGTTGCTGGCCTCGCACGCGGGATCAATCCCCTTGCACACCAACATCTCGGACTTCGTGGGGGCGGCGCACACACAATGCGACGTGGTGGCACACCCTCACAACCGCCCTTGTGATCCCGTGCCCAACCGCGGCTCCCTGTTACGCTGCGGGTTGCGGAGCGTTGCCTGCCGATCCCGTGCATCAAGAACAAGCTCGGCTCACAAGCAGTTGCGGTTTGTTCACCTGGAGGGGGACACGGCCTAGATGTCCGACATATCCCGCGCCGCGGATGACCTAGTGATGCAAGGTGATGATGACCCAGCAGACCGGATGTTGTCCATGAACCGAGGGGGAGCGGTGTTGGGATGGGACGGGACAAGTGAGATATGGAAAGGTAGGAAGGGAGGCCGCGAGCCTCCGTTGTCCGGGGGTGCACCGAGGCCGCAAAGCCCCTTTGCAGCCAGAAAAACGCCGTCCCCGTCTATTGAGTATGCGAGATCTACAACAAATGATGGATATCCCCTCGCTTTTGCTCCTGCTGGAAGATTGATTCCCGCCCGTCCCAGGTTGTCTGTTGTTGAGAGACCGAGTGTGTGCAACCCCAACCAAAGCATAATGCAACCAAGGAAACACACAGTAAGAGGGACGGAAGGAAAGGAAAAGAAAAGGAAACCAAAAGAAAACTCCAGAAAATGCCCACCCCCTTGATGCCTTTGAAGAAACGCCGTCCCCGTACCTTTCTAGTTTCGCATAACCCAGATCGCAGGCCAAAGGAATTCAAGTTGTCGCGTAGCGAGGAGGAGGATGCCCTTTCTTCCATCTCCCTCAGGAAGAGTGAAGGGCGCGGAAGCCAGCCGCAATCAAGCTCCTCGACTTGTCTTTGGAATCTGCCGGGCCATTCCAGTAGAAGAGACCCTGTGCGACCATTCGTCAGCAAACTAACCCAACAACAACAAAAGCTGCACGTCGACGCGGGGAGGATGATGAACACCTCGCTAGTGTCTGAGACAGAAATGCAAGCCAACAAATAATTCACCACCGGCGGTTTGTACTCACCCCTAGTCCCTTTTGTTTGCAGAACCCAGCCTTAACCTTCACGGTGTCCGGGTTGTCATACGTCACGAAACCGCCATCGGCACCGATGCACTGCGCTGCGACGTGGCGTTTGTCAACAACCTCTTTGCACCCTTTGCGAGGGAGTTGGTTGTACTCGAAGGTGCCATCGTCGCCGCCACCGCCGCGGAACTTTTGGCCTGGCCCGGTGGCGTGGAGGAAGCTGCGTCCGTAGGTCGGGATGCCGAGTAGGATCTTCTGGGCCGGAAAGCCGTGAGACATGAGGTACGACACTCCTGATGACCCCGACGTCTCGTCTTTGCTTATGTTGTAGAGCTGCGCGTGGTGACCACTCTTCGGGGTCCATGCTCCGAAAAAGTCGTATGCCATGAGATTCACAAAGTCCAGGTAGTCGGAAATTACCGCCAGATCGATGAACTGTAAGACGGCCTTGTTCGCCGGCAGCGCGGCCGTCAGGATGAATTGGTCCTCCGGAAGGTGAATGCGGACGGCTGCTAGTAGGGCAAGGAAGTCGTACCCTTGCTTGGCATCACAGGGATACTCCCATGCGACTTTTACGAGGTTTGTAATTAGTCCCATGTGTCCCCAATCGAAGAATTTGGATGCCGGAATCCTCTGGGGCGGGCACTTACTGTCGATCCCATCGAGGCCCGACGCCTCAACGAGACCCCGGGCAGACCTCGCAAAGTTATCCCGCAAAAGCGTGCTGGATGCCACGACGGGGAAAACCTCGGGCGAATTGCCTCCTCCGATAGACAGAATGACCTGGAGGTGAGGGTGTTTCTGTTTGAGGTGCATCAGGGAGCCCAGCCCGCCTTGCACGCCGTCCACTGGGGCTCCAGCGTCCGCCCACTCGTCGCTCAGCTAAGTCAAGGAGCCGGAGTCAGCGCTGAAATTCCCCCGTAGGTGGCAATCCGAAATCTGCCATGTAGATCGGAGATGGGGGGACAACTCCACGAGCAACTTACGAAAACACCGCCATCCACCGAGACGCTGGCATACGCGTAGTAAACATGGTTGATGCAGCTGTAATTGAGCATTCCAGGGGTGTCGCCCTGATATATCCGGTAGTTGGGGAAGTAGACGGCGTTGGTGTACATGACATTGGACACGCTCGAGGCGATCCGCGACTTGCGCGAAGGACTCATGATGGCGACGAGGGAAATAAAAGGCTCAGAAGATTTGAATCAGACAAGGGAAACCAAACATGGGCGTCGGCTCGAGAAGGAAGTAAGCGAAGGGGTCGAGTTGTAAGCGGACATGAGCTGTTTTGTATACGGCATGCCTCAACAGCCCAGTGGCCGCGAGCTCAAGAGAAATAAGGAGCTGTGAGCTGAACAGATCAATCAGGCATCAAGGGTGGCAGAGCAAGTGTCTGAATTGTGGGTGAGAAGGATTGCGATGACCTATATAAGAATCCCAGACCAGCAACAAGCCGCGACGGCACGGCGAGCGGAGGCCAGGACTTGGTCTTTTGCCAGCTGGTTGGTGCTTTGGCTGGTGTGCTTGCGCTGGTGGAGCAGGGTCCGGTCTCCAAATTACGGGAGGGTCCAGGATTCAGCGAAACCATGATGCATGACATAATTGCGGGGAGCCGTCAGTAGTATGGATGATGAGACCTGTAGAATTTGGGGTGCTTGGGATGAGGCAGAGCTCAGAAGAGCCCCCGAGAGCCATCAAGGGCGACCGTGGGAAAGACGCTTCCCCGTCGGAGCCGCGTCTGCTGGCGCTGCTGTGTGTGATTACCATTAGTCTACTTCGCAATGCTGGGGCCACACTAATTCGGGCCTGCTTTGTGATGCTGGATCGATGTCCAGCCGCCTTCCGCACTTGGCATGCCAGCATTGGACCGTGGCACGCGGGCTCAACGGCGACACCGCTCATTTCGTCTTTCCAACGAAAGAGCGCGTCCGACCCCCGGCAAGCTGAGTCCTGAAGAAGGCGTCTAGAACAGTAGAACCCGCCCGGCCAGTGCCGACAGCTCGAGTGTCCAGTGGCTGGCCCCGGCAGTAAGGGTTCGACGAAGATCAACAATCCTCCCGTACCGCGCTGGGTTTTGCCCCGTCGTTGACGACAAAGATGAAACAGATGACAGGCCAACAAAACAAGACACGTACACCCGTGCTTCGTACACCGATCCCAAAGGAGACGGCGCCGTTCCGTTCTTGGGGAGATGAGCGTGCGGCTGTGTGTGCGAGTGTGAGAGAGTGTGTGTAGTGCTCGTGCGCTTCGCGGTGTAAGACACCGATGCCTCGGACTTGAACCTCCACGCCAGACACGAAGAGGTAGGTCTGTACGCTGGTACATGCGCAGTAGGCCTGTTTTCACAGCACCAGCTCCGGTCATAACCGGGTTGCCGCAGGATCAGAGCAAGGAATCCGAAAGGTTAGACGTGGTCCCAGGGGTGAAACAGTCTCGGCCAAGATGGGACTTGTTAAACCGCATCATCGTCGTGTTGGTTACGCCTTTCGAAGATAGGACTTTTCTTCATGCCACAGCCCCGTCCAGGGCGAACCAGAACGAGGCGGATGGGGGGAGGGACTGGGACTGGGGGACTGGGGGATGTGCAACGTCGTGCTAGTAACAGGCGAGCTTCCGATAAGGGCCTCAAGAGCCGTGCGGCTCATGGGCTCCACGGGCTCGCTTGCCATGGAAGTTCTGGAAGGTTGACGAACACTTGGAACGCACTAAATGGTGAGATTAGTTCCATAATAAAACGACCAGGGATGTCGGCTCAACATTCAGTGGAGTGAGACAGCTCCTACTCAGCTCCCAATCCCTGTTGGGTGTGGCTCTGACAGCCAAGTCCAGCCAGGACCAGGCACTAAATCTCACCCAGAATCAACCCTCAGAATCCAAAAGGCCATCCCGTTCAAGTCCCCGTCGTCCCCGAAACCAGGAAGCCAGTGCCCGACCCACCTGCGCAGCGGCTGTGATGCGTGGCCATCCTGAATGTAAACTTGAGACCAGCCACTCATATTAGCGGCGGTTAACGAACGAATACGTAAGGTCGATGCTGCCAGCTCAACTCTCTCCGTCATGCTGGCGTGACATGCGCTCCTCCACATGGCAGCTCGGCAAGCAACCCCGGCCTTTGAGCCTCGGAAAGCCTTGAGAGAGAGCCTTGAGAACCTTCTTCCTACCACCCTCTAGAAAGTGTGGCTCGGTAGTGTGTGCAGAGTAAAGTACCCGTCTATCGTGGAGCTGAATGCCACGCTGGCATGCCCTGTTGTCAGGTCCGTTGTCAGGTCCGAACGGGCGATTTGACGAAGCTGAGAACAGTCAGGATGCGCAACCTCCCCTGTACGCATTTTCAAACGAAGCTCTCATGTTTTTTTTTAAACCAAGTGCTCAATGCACAGTGCCTCGGCAAGGTCTCGGTTTCGGTGCCTTGCTTTGGCAATCATCTCCTCGGGCCGTTGTCCTCTACAAGGCACAACAACTGTTGACAAGTCGGAAAGTGGGCGCGAACGGTCGCCGATTACCGACAGGGGAACCTGGAACCTTGACGGGCTTTCTCCCGGACCCTTGAACAACGTTGCATGGTTATTTATCTGCTGCCATCGATGCAGGCAGGGTTTGAGGAATGTTAAAAAAAAAGTCCCATTTGGCCGCAGCCGCGAAGGGGCTGCTAATTACTTGACAGCATGCTGGACTGGGCCCGAACGTGCCTCGTGCTGGTTGTAGATGATATCGCCAGCGAGTTTCGGAAAGGGTACTTCTTCCCCGAGCGGATCGGAATCGACGAGTAGAACGCCATAGTCGATGTCGATGGTCAGGCGCCGTCAGTGCCGACACCCTCAGGATGTCTGTATATAAGTCAGCAGTCCTGTTTGCCCATGTGAGACCGACGCTGACTGGCGAGTTGGTGGTAAGACTGCACGGCGGATTTTTAAGACAACCAATATTGGCAAGTGAGGTAGCCACTGTTTTGTCGCAAGCCTTGGCTGGTTTCGAGTGTTCCTCGGATCAATCGAGCCGACCCGTCAGATAACGATAAAGGACCCGATTAACAGAGAAGCGTTTTGCTACCTCAGCAAGCATTCCGTTTGTAGTTGCGACACATGTTCTTTGTTCTGGACATTATTTCATACTGTGTCCGAGTGTCAAAGCTCCGGTCCTGGTTAGATGGATGGAACAGATGGTGACCAACCTCTACCCCTACCTCAAAGATGATCGTCTCGGAGACCATACAGTCGAAAGGGTCCGGGAGCTGCGCCTACCGCATGATCATCACCAACACTGCACATCACAATTCTCGATAGAGTAAAAAGTACACCCACCAAGTCCGAGCGGGCGTGCCCTTTGTGTGATTCGGCAAGGCGTGCATCATCTTTCTGTGATGGAAGTGGTGGTCTTTGTCCTCATGACCTGCCGCAGGTGTCATTTCTGCTGTTGGTTCTGCAGACGTCACACAAACGTGATTGAAGTGGCGTCTCCAAGTCCCACGGGACGTGCTCCAGATGGAATAAAGGGTATTGAGCATTGGATTCTGTTCGTTCCCATCCTGTCCCTCTTTTATGGTTTGGTCTACTCAAGTCTTCAGCCACAATGTACAGCGACGACGATCAAAGCTCCTTTTCGCTGGTATCAGTAACGGGCATTGAAACGATATACACACCAACAGAGCAGGACTCGGACGAATTCGAACTGATATATGGCGACCATGATTCAGGGAGTTCGCAGGGGGATGCGAGCTCAAGCGATTCGACTTCCGTGCCACCCGACATTCATGCGCATGAGTTTAAGCATGGCCGTCGATATCACAGCTTGAAAAGTGGACGTTATCCATTGCCAAATGACATTGGAGAACAAAACCGGGAAGACATTAATCATGCCATGATGCTTCAGCTGACGGTACTTATTTGATGATTCGTGATTAGAGACTCCGGTATACCATGAGTCCAGATTGCTGACCATTGGCGCCCTTCAGGATGGAAAACTCTTCTTGTCTGACATTGGCGAGTTCCCACAGAAGATCATTGATATTGGGACAGGGACAGGTGAGCGTTTCTAAAAGGCATTGAGCTATCCGCGCTGATAAGAAATTTTGGTAGGAACTTGGGCAATAGATGGTACGATTTGCACCCGCCATCTTGTATCAGGTCAATAGCTGACTGTGACTAGTGGCCGACATGTATCCAAGCGCCAGCGTGGTTGGCACTGACTTGTCCCCGATTCAGCCGAGATGGATGCCAATTAATGCGCGGATGTTTGTCGAGGACTGCGAGGATCCGGAGTGGATGCACGGATGTGGTTTTGACCTCGTGCACTTCAGGGGAGTTGCTGGCATGCTTCTTGACTCGGATGCTGTTGTCGCCAATGCCTACTGGTACGATTTCCAGGCGACATAATTGATGATGAAACTGGCTGACCAGGCGAAGCAACATTGTGAACGGTGGTTGGATCGAGTTCCAGGAGTTTGATCCCCTGGTGCTCTGCGACGACGGTACCATGAAGGAAGACGACCCGGTGCGGGAGTTTGGTGATCTCTGTGCTCGAGGCATGCGTCAGTACGGATGTACTGCATACGGGAAACAGGATTTGCGGCAAATCCTCGAACAAGCAGGTTTCAAAAGGATCCAGGTTGTGACCAAGAAAGTTCCCATCTCGCCTTGGCCCAAGGACAAGAAGCTATGGACTATCGGCACGTTGATGAAGGTCAGCATCCTGGAGGCTCTGGAGGGATTTGCGGCAAAACCTCTGGAGGCGCTGGGACTGTCTGTGGAAGAACGACGAGACTTGGTGGCCGGTGTGCGAATGAGTCTTGAAGACAATCAGGCCCATCGATACGTCAACTACCACTTCTGCTATGGTCAGAAGGATGAGATGAGCTCGGACTCAGGCCCATCCCTCGAGTAATAGAGGTGCCTTTCTTTCCAAGGACACAGTGTCCCAAATGGATGAGCTGGATCAGGCAAAGATGTGTATGGAGTATGATTGTCGTTCGCAGAAGTAAAAATGAGAATATTTCTGTGGCAGATTCAACTTTCACGTGTAAGGTAGGTAGGCACGCCTTGCTTGGCTCCTGCCTGAGTATGTGGACGCCACGATGCTTCCCAACCCGCCAAATCAGTACAATGAGACGAGATAAGGACGTCATCCTCGGGAAGTTGAGAGAGGCATTTGTCACGTGTAAAATTGACATTTTTCACCTCCGCTCATATTGTCCTTTCAGTACACAATGCAGCCTAAAGGTTCCTTGAGACGTAGCTGCAAGAATACATGGCGATCTGGCCCTGTAGCTGTAGCGGCATTGTGAGTGGCGGCACACTGGCTGACAAACGTCCACCCCCCACAGTCGACCAACGTCACCTCCAGCAGCTTCCTGCTCCAAAATTGCTAAGCTAGAGCTTCACGTCCATCGGCCTCAATCAACACATCGCGACAGTCCCGCTGTACCCCGGCCACCACAACCTCGAGTCCTCGCATCGCTCCCAAAACAGCTTCGACCAGACGATAACCGAGAAACGAACTCCAATCCCCCCACTGGCCCTCGGGCTGCATCAACCATGGCTGCCACCACCGAATCGCCCGCGTCGGCGATCCTCAACCACTCCGCGACCCCCTACAACTTTCACTTCTCGCCCTTCCTCCGACGAACCTATCAGGTCGGCCTCTCCCCCGATCGCCCAATATGCAAGGCCTTCCAGTCTGGCCACTGCCCCAACGGCACGCGCTGCTCCGAGCGACACGTCGCCGACTCCAAGGTCTCGCAGCCGACAGGCGGACTCAACTCGCTGGTTTGCAAGCATTGGCTGCGCGGCCTCTGCAAGAAGGGCGAGCACTGCGAGTTCCTCCACGAGTATAATTTGCGCAAGATGCCCGAGTGCAACTTCTTCATGCGCAACGGCTACTGCTCTAACGGCGACGAGTGCCTCTACCTCCATATCGACCCTCAGAGTCGCCTGCCACCCTGCCCGCACTACGACATGGGCTTCTGCCCCCTCGGGCCCAACTGCTCCAAGAAGCACGTCCGCCGCAAGCTGTGCGGCTTCTACCTGGCCGGTTTCTGCCCTGAAGGTCCGGACTGCAAGGAGGGCGCCCATCCCAAGTGGTCCAAGGATTTGGAGAAGCCGACCCTGAAGTCTGAGGAGAAGGAGGAAGAGACACGGATAGAGCCGATGCGTGAGGAGGAGATGGATCGGATGAGGGACCAGCAGAGGGATAGGGATGATGGCAGACACGGCCGACATGGAGGAAGGGGAGGGAAATGGCGAGGGGGCAGGGGCGGACGCTTCCGCGGGAGAGGAGGCCACTAGTGGAACGATACGAAACTACGGATTGACTGTTCTGGGGACTGTATTAAGATTTATGATACCCTCATGGGATTTGGTTTGGGAAAATGGCTTCGGAGTGGACTGCACGTATGCACATGAGCTTTGTCGCTACGAGACATGGCGTTGAAGCAAGGCAAGACGTTTGACGAGACGTTGAAGATGAAGAGCGTTTCACATTATATAACCAAAAGTAGAGTCGTGACGGCGTCTATTAACAGAGTGGTTCCTTTTTTACATGCCCCATCATTAAATGCTTTTTGAATGATGAAAATGGTCGTTATGATTCATTTGACTCAAGAGGCGTCAGAGTGCTGGGGTGTCCAGACCGAGCCGTGTGCATCAGAGTTCCAGACGTTGGGGTCCGAGGGAACGGCGATGAACTCGGGCGTAGCCTCACCGTGCTCACTCTCGTTCTCGTGCTCGTCCTTCTCCGACCCTTCACACGAGCTCGACTTCCAGGTAGACAGTTCATCCACCTTGCGAATACCCATCATCCACGAAACGAGACTTCTGGGTGCCCAGCGACCTACAAAGCCATAAACACTGGATCCCAGGCCAACTCGGACGGTTTCGGTGGTAATCGTCCCATCAATGACATCAAAGACGGTGTTATGAAGGCGTCGCAGCGAGCTGCCCCGGAGGCCGACGATGCGGCCGCCAGAGATTGCGGAACTCGTCTGGGCGATAAAGTTTCGGCCATAAACGTGACGAGCACCATCAGGCCAAACGAGGGTGTCCTCGGGATTCCCAGCAGTAACAAGATTTTGACTTGAACCTCGAGAAGGCACAAAACTAGAGAAATCAAATGTGCCCAGCTGCATGTGAGTGACAGGGATGTTCAGCGGGCGAAGCTCGGCGGTGAGAACTTCAGTGAAGGCCGAGAGTGCCGAGCACACTGTTGCTTCAGGTGCGTGGAAAGGCGGGTTGATGGACGAAATGATGGAAGGCGTAAACACGAGGACCTTTGGAGGCACCCATTTCTCGCCGATCGGGTTCAGGCGGGATGTGAGGAGAGGTAGAAATGCCTGGATTGTGAGGATCGGCTGGAGCAGGTGGGTATAAAAGAGGTTGGCAAAGTTTGAGGGCGGAATGGTGGCGATGGGAGAAGTCTGATAGTGGAGGCTTGGGATAAGGATAACGGATTGTAATGTCAGTTGATTTGGCTTCATCTTGGCCCCAGCAAGAGCTTGTGGTGACTGGAGGAAGAGGGCGAATCGCTCAATGGCGGCACCGGCGCTCGGAGGCTAGTTTTTGGGTCAGCAACATCTACAGATATTCGCGGGCACCACGAAACTCACATCGGTGGTATCGATGCTGAGAGGTCGGATATCTGGTCTCGATAAAGCATGGACCATGGACTCATCCTCGGCAGCGTTGCAAACGATGTAGACGATAAATCCCCGCCTTTCCATGTCCAGTGATAACGACTTGGTTAGAGGCAGCGTTGGCGACCCAGCGATGACGACCACCTCGACACGGCCGCCGTTTCTTGCTCTCTTTGCCCTTCTTAACTTCTTGGACATGTACTGGCTCGTCCTGTATCCTCGGTATGCGACGGTTCCGCATATGACGACGATGACGCCCGTCAGGATTCTGTGCCTAACCACCCAACCTTGTATCCTCTCGAACTTCGACAGCGTAACGACCGTTACAACAGGCTTTACAGTAGCCGCCGGCCGGATCATGTCGGGTATCCATGGTGTTGCGGCAAGAGTTTCTCGGACGACGTCGGCGGCTCGGTCGACGTTCAGGTCGACAAACTGGGCAACATCGTCGGAGTAGCGACGGATGTGCCCGTTAATGCTGGAGAGCTGGAATGGCCTTGTTAGCTTGCGGAGCCATGGAGGTGTCTGTTAGCACTCACCACGTCTTGGAACAGGTTGTCGTCCGCCGACATGGTGATGGGTTGTGGATGGCAGAAAAGGAAGAAAGTTGGGCTGGGTCCATATGACGGTATTCGACTTTCATACTGCTGGTGGAGAAGCTCTGATTGCCGAGTTCGCGCGCCTATCGTGCACGGACCACCTTGACTTTTGTTCCCCCTCCAAGCTCTCCAATGTTCGGACAAAGACGTCCGGGGTTAGGCATGAACTGTGTAAATAATCTTCTTCGACAAATTTCCCGCAATTCGAAATTGGTTTTACTTGACGACTTACATAGCAGGTTTCAGCGGGAGACTCGGTATAGGGTATGGATGAAGCATTTTTAGTTGCTGCGTTGGCTGGAACTGGCGGTCACTCCCAATCTCCACCAACCCAACTCCGGCAATCGACTGGCAATCGCTGCACAGGGGGTTCAAGATGGTTGATTCGTGCAAAATAAACCATACAAGTCATACACAGGTATGCTACATAATGTGCAGAATTGATTTAAGCCCCGAGAACACATTCATAAAACCGTGAGCAAGACGTTGGTTTGCTGTCAGCTTGCTGACAGGACCACCATTTGCGCTCATCCCCGGCGGTGAGCCTGCTTCTCTAGCTTGGCAGATGCTGCCCGACCCGCGTTTTTAGTATGGATCCCAAAGACCTTTGCCAACGCTGCGTGGTTTGTCGATTGCCAGTGGACCGTTGCTTTGCCCTAGCTGAGGCCCAGTGGCTGAATCACACATGATAATTTGGACGTAGTGATTATGGTGTACATGGAGGTGACGGCTTCGGATGCACCGGTGAGAACAGAGTACCTGTATGATATCTTAGGACGTGGCCACGAGTACAACTCGATAGTTGTCGATGAGAAAAATATTACGTAAAATAGAACTTGAGTCTTGATCAACTGTGAGTCTGCAATGTGACGGTGAATCGTGACGTGTTCGGTGTTCGTTGTCTCTGCACATGCAGATGCCACAGTTCAGAGGTTACTGAGACCCCACAACGACTGGATATTTCCAGATGAAATAGATCCTTCAGCTACAACCCCAATAATTAAGGGCTAATTCTTCAATGATTTACTGGACATGACTTAGATTCCATGCGTGCAATTGTGCCGGTCTCGTGGGCGAGGGGGCGAGTGGCCGAGAAGTGGGCGATTCTAGTCTCCACAAATCGTCGTGAAGTTCTTTCTGCATGAGAGCTCGATCAGGTGGATGCACGATCACAGCCATGCATCCGCTGGGGAAGGGATTGCTACAAAGCATTTTGAAACATACAGATAGGATTCACAGCCAACCCACAACCAACTAATGAACAAGAAATGCAGTTTTATCCCATGAGAGATCTATGGTTCAATTTTAGAAATCTCGTAGCACTGAGACCCACTGAAGCACGCCACCTCCATTCCCCTCCAGGCCGAATCAAGACTGCGGGGGAACCTAGGGAGCTTCCGGCTATCCGCGGTTCGTTCACCACCCAAACGAACTCTCTTCCCCATATCTCGTGACTTGGTCTAGTCTAACTTTCATATAGTTCTTTTCATTTGTATACTTCTTCAACATTTTCTTTTCAGTTACGCTTCCTCGCCACATCTGTATCTCCACCAGTGGTGGTCCACATACCGCCATGTTCCTGTTGGAGTATCTCCGACATCGTCGAGACTGGTATTTGCTATCTTCCATGTCCCGTACTTGCGTGAAACACTAAGAACTAACGTGGTGTTAGTCGGTTCAAGCAAGACCAACGGGCTGCTCGGATTAAAGCTCTTCGATCATATCATGGCTCCTTTAGTGTCCTTGATCGAGATATTCTCGACAAGTCCATCGAGGAACTTGTCCAAGATGTACAAGAAGACCCGAGCAAGGCAAATGATCTTCTAAGTACATATGGCAAAGTTGCCCTGAAGGCCCAAGCTAAGACCAATTGTGTTACGGAGATTATGCTGGCTGATGCTGAAAAGTGGCTGAGAGACGGGTCTGTCAACCTCAAAGGGCCTTTGGCAGGCATCCCAGTAAGCTTAAAGGACACAATCGATGTTGCCGACTATGATAGCACAGTAGGGATGAGCATTAATGTTGGCAATGCGAAACCAGTTGATGGAACAACTACAAGACTGCTCAAGGATGCTGGCGCCGTCCCCTATGTCAAGACCAACGTCCCCATTACACTCCTCAGCTTTGAGTCCTCCAACGACGTGTGGGGACAAAGTTCCAACCCCTACAATAACAAATATACCCCTGGCGGATCAACCGGAGGCGAGGGTGCCCTCCTGGCTCTTGGCGGCCGAATCGGCATTGGCAGTGATGTTGCAGGCAGTGTTCGCTGTCCCGCCCACTTCTCCGGCGTCTACTCCTTGAAGTGTTCCACAGGTCGATGGCTCAAGACCGGAATGTGCACCAGCATGCCCGGACAGGACGGCGTGCCGTCTGTATATAGCCCTATGGCCCGGACTTTGGACGACTTGACGTACTTTACCCGAGCGTTCATCCAGATGAGACCGTGGACTTATGACTACTCATGCCACCCTATCCCCTGGAGATCCGAGATCGAGCGAGAATATTCTCAGAGGATACTAAGAGTTGGCATATTTCGCACAGACGGCGTTGTGGATCCGAGCCCTGCTTGTAAGAGAGCCTTGGAGATGACCGAAGCCGCGCTCCGAAAAGCTGGACACGAGATAGTGGAGATAGACCCCCCGTCCCCATACGAGGCACTGTGTCTTGCGTCCCTTCTCCTAAATAGTGATGGTCTCGAGACAGCCATGTCCTTCCTCCGCTGGGGAGAATGGAATGATTGCGGCGTTGCTCAGCTGAGATGGTACATGACGCTTGCCAGACCCATCAAGTATTTGCATTATCTCTGGGTCAAGTACGTTCGCAGAGACCTCGTCTGGGCAAAACTCATCCGAAGCTGGGAACCCCAGACCGGATATCAGATTTGGCAGCTGAATGCGAAGCGGGAGGAGTACAAGCAGAAATGGTTTGACTGGTGGGATGCATCCGATATCGACTGCCTGATTGCTCCGCCCAACGCAACCCCTGCCATTCCTCACAAGGGAATGCATCATGCAGTAAGCAGCTGCGGATACACATTTCTCTTCAACTTGGTAAGTTCATCCACATTCTTGCTACCTGAGCAACCGCTTACTGCCATAGCTCGACTATTCGGCTGGAGTTCTGCCAGTCACTCACGTAGATAAGGCCAAGGATCAATTACCAAGCGACTTCAAGCTGAACAAATTAAACGGGGTTGCTCAGGGAGCGTATAAGCTGTATGATGCGAAAGCTATGCATGGCTTGCCCGTGGGCATTCAGGTCGTGGGACGACGATTGGAGGAAGAGAAGGTGTTGACTATAATGCAGAGGGTCGAGGACGCCCTCGGCGACGACAGGTTCCCACAACTGGATATTGACTAATTGACAGTCGCTTTAGGAAAACAATATTACTAGCCGCTTAAAATAATATCATGTACAAGAGGGTATGTTCATATTGCGATATAGGCCGACCCCCGGACCAAGACTAGGTACGCTAGAGAGGATCTTGGCTCCATAAGGACGAGAACGTGGCTTTGACAAAGTAAATCCTGCGTCAACGGCTCAAGATATTCCTTGCCGATGTAACCGGGAACTTTGTGTTAGCAAATCAGGTTGAAGTAAAATGTAATGATACTGGGGCGCTCATCTCTGGTGTTGAAGGGGTCCAGGGAATAGGCTCCGATCTCGGCGGCCGTCTCAAACCGAGCTTCCCCTCAGCGCATCAAGCGCAGCAGCTCCAAAGGTATAAAGGAACAACAATTTTCTCCTGTATTTACAGAAAAACAAACAACACTTGAATACAACAGGCTCTACAAGCTCAATTGTGCAATCATGGCTGCTGAGAAAGATCGCTGGTCCTCCAATGTGCGTGCCCCCAGTGGTTGTGTCCACGGCCCCAGCGCCGAACCTGGAGCTCCACGGCTTACATCCGTGTACAGGAATACCAGAACGTGGCGTCGTTCGTGCCCAAGCTCGCTGGAAAGGTCGTCCAGTGGTTGGATCTACAGAAGGACGATGTCCTCATTGACATTGGCTGTGGTGGTGAGCACACTATCATTTTAACTGTGAAAGATAAGCTGACATTTGTTGTAGATGGAATCTTGAATGCCGATTTTGCCAAGATTTTGGCCCAAGGCAATGGATCGATGCTTGGAATTGATAGTTCCGCTTCGATGATCGACTCAGCGCGCGAGCTGTGCAAAGACGCGAAGAACAGTACCTTTGAAAGTCCGTCTCATCTCCCCATCTTGTCTTGAGAGCCATCACTTACACGCACATAGCCCTCGATGCTACCCAGCTCGTCAATAACCCGGAACTTCAGAAGGGCACGTTCACAAAGGCCTTCTCCAACGCCGCCATGCACTGGATCCTACGGCCCGAGGCAACCCGTACCGACTTCTTCAAGGGCGTGTATGCGTCCCTCGCCCCAGGCGGAACCTTTGCCTTCGAGATGGGCGGCCAATCCAACGTCTCCGAGATGCGAGGGGCAGTGCTCATGGCCGTGGCCCGTCGCATCGGGATGCCCGCTGCGTTGGCTGCGGACCCATGGTTCTTCCCTGACGAGGTGTGGGTTACTGCACGGCTTGAAGAGGCAGGTTTCGTCGTCGAGAAGGCGGAACGTGAGTGGCGGCCGACGAAGGCGGATAAGGGAGGCGTGGAGGGATGGGTGAGACTCTTTGCGAAGCAGCTTTTGGATGCGGTGCCGGAGGAGCAGAGGGAGGAGGCCATCAAGGAGTGTGCTGAGGTGTTGAGAGTCGTCTGTCACTGCCCCGGCGGAGGAGATGTGATTTCATACGTGAGACTGAGGGGATTGGCCAGGAAGCCTCTGTGAGATTCTGTCATGTTTATGTTTGCTAGACGTTGCTTCGTTTAATGTTTGAGTTAAATACTTTGGCAATGCATTAGTGTGCTGATTGGACAAAGAATGGAAAGTATGATGCCTGCATCTATCACAGGTTGCTCTTGTAAGTGACACTGAGATGTGACGATGCGTGGCATGGAAGTTAAACGAGCTAGTACATGGCGTACACCTTAACGATTGCACCACTCAAACTCCGCAGCAGATGACCACTACAAACCCGAATACTAATAATGCACGACCACAGGCTGTTGGTTTGCTACAAGTACGACTGCTCACTTAGGCAGATGGAAACCTCGGAGTTGCGTGGCCTCCAAGTGTAGATTAGTCATCGGCTTCTGGACGCCCTTGGAAATTTCTAGTCTGATTCCCAGCCAGCTTGCAAGGTCAGCACTGATCAACTTACACCTCGGAAGGCGAATGCGGCACAAGGCACCAGTCACTTGACGTGGCCGGAGATAGTAATGCGAAACTTGGCCACGAATCGCTGATATGCCATTGACTTGAGACGCATTCGCCTTGGACTTCATCATATTCATCTTGACAATTTGGACTTGGCTTCAGGTTCATCGCTTAACGAAGTTGCATCCAAGTCCGTCCACGTATTGTACCAAATTCTACCAACTCAAACCGCCAAGTATGGCCGACCGCGATGCGTTGGTTCTTTCTTATGTGCACCTGGCAAACTTTCCCAGGGCCAGCGATGCACTGCATATGTTGAGGAAGGTGTCCTCAATGGTGAAGCCGATAATACGAGCTCGAAGCTGGAAGGTTGGAGAGCTGGCCGAGTTCTACCCCGATCAAGCCAACCTGCTTGGTATGTTAATATCCGGCGGTCCGCCTTTTCGCGAGACTAAAGTAAAATAGGCTTGAATGTTGATCGGGGAAGGAAGATATGCCTTCGCTTGAGGCACCCCGGAGATCGGACTCAGTTTTTGCCCATCGAGAGTGTCGTCGATACTATGCTTCACGAACTCGCCCATATCGTGCAAGGCCCCCACGACGCGAAATTCCATGCCCTCTGGGACCAACTTCGAGACGAGCATCAAGGCCTACTCCTCAAGGGTTACACCGGCGAGGGCTTCCTCTCAGAAGGCCGGCGATTGGGAGGTGCCCGGATGCCACCACGCGAGGCCCGCCGGCTGGCCAGAGAAGCAGCCGAGAAGCGTCGGGTACAGCCCACTGGGACTGGGGGCGGCAAGAGGCTGGGAGGAGCGGCACCGCGACCAGGAGAAGATATCCGCAGGGTCATCGCTGATGCGGTGCAGAGACGGAACCAGACACTCAAGGGGTGCGCGACCGATAAACTGAGCGACTCTCAAATCCGGAGCATCGCGGATACGGCAACACGGAATGGATTTCGGACGCAAGCTGAGGAAGACGAAGCGAACGAGGCAGCCATCGCACATGCCCTATGGGAACTGGTCCAAGAAGACGAGTCGGCCAAGTATGGCAGCTCCTACATCCCGCCTACAGCAGACAATCCCACAGGTAACGGAGGCGGCTCAGTAATGGCCAGAGATGCAGGTCCAGGAATTAGGACGACGCCAGTGGTTTATGCAGAAGGTTCCAGGGGAGACCATCGCACAGAACGCGGGCGTGATGTTTCTACTGCAACGGGTGAGGCACAAGACTGGGCGTGCGAAACTTGTACGTTGCAGAATCCCGCAAACTTTGTTGTGACGCGTGCGGGACGGAGCGATCCGCGCAGGCGTCGCGGAAGTTGGGAGCTCGTCCATCCAAACCATCAGAGCCTCCGAGACAGCAAGCGACCATCGACCTCACCCAGAGCCCTCCACGAAAACAACGACGAGTGGACTCACCCCGGACAGAGGCGCCCAAGCCGCCGCAGACATGGCAGTGCAGTTTTTGCGGTACGGAGATGGCTCGGCAGTGGTGGACATGCTCGACGTGTGGAAAGATGAAGGACAACTCGCGATAGGTGGCTAGAGTGATTTTGTCGTTTGTTAGCCAGTAGTTTGTGACGTCTCGAAACGAATTCATTGATACCCGCCGACCTGGCGTGTCCATGTCCATGTCCATGAGTGGGCGATGACTTCATCGCGCTCAATAATCTGTGTCAGCGGTGGTGATGCTGCAAGTGGCTTGCGAATTCGCCGCCCTGCGTCATTGTGTCCCAGGATTTTGGAAACCATGGGCGGGCAATTGACATCGTGGGTCTGAGATTTCCAAGCTTCGATGATGCTGTGAGCCATGCGAGTTTGGGGATGGCGCCGATCAAAACTGGAGATGATCGGCAAGGCGGGTTCAGACACGATCCGAGCTTGAAAGTGATTGGGTCCCGAAAGGAGGGAGGGAGGCAGAACCGGGTACGATGAGGCTGGGGCGTGAACGCCTGGGATGGAATGGAACGCTTGAAGCGGTAGTTGAGAACCATTTCGAGGACAGAGATGGATCCATGCAAGTTCAAGAGTAGATGTTGTATCGAAGCTCGGAAGCGAGTGGTCATGGGTCACCACACCCACGCCACGTTCTCGGATAGCAAGGCTTGGCCCGTATGTACGATGGGGCACGATAGTGTCAATTACCGAAGCATGGAGGACTGGGTTAATAAGAGTGTGGACGCAACAGCCACAACTCCAGGGTCCATGGGACACGGATGGATGAATTGGGGCGCCCGCGGCATGGAGCGGAACACGCTGGAGGGCGATGGACACCCCACCCTTTTGGGCTTGCAGGGGCATTGTGTGGAGGTTCGACGGTCGACTCGAGTCTAGACGTCGAGAGGGCCCTGGGCCCATTGAGGTTCTAGAGGGCATCGAGGCTGGGAGGGTGGCCTCAATGGGCGAGACGCATACTGGCGCAAGCCGCGGCCGGGATGCGTCCGGCCGGGAGTGGTGGGAACGCAGATGTTTGGTCCAAGCTTGGCATGGAACAAGCACTCGATGGATCAGGGATGCTGAATGCAGCCCTCCGGCGCTCTTGGCATCTCAGGCGGCGACAGGTTGAGTGTCCTCGAGACCCTCTCCCTTGTGAGCCCTGCCGATGCTCCATGAAGGCCCCATGAATATGCGATGCTCCACGTACGTAGTACCACCACGAAACCAGCTCAAGGCCCCTCAAGGTTTCTCACAGACGAGGGCCATTAGCAGTTGCCGGCGGCATCGCCACTGGAGCACCCTCAACAAACGTCCACCGCCGTTCGCCTGGTACTGGCCGCGCTGGGAACTGCTTGCTGGCGAGGGCTAGGGCTTCATTCCCGAGAGGCTCGGCTTCGAGTCTGCGATCCATTTCGCTGCTTTTTGCTCCCCCTTCGATGTCCATCTGGTGCCTGCAGGAGAAAGATCCTATTCGCCAGCCTCCCTTGGGCTCCTGTGTCGTGCAGCTTCGGGGGTGGGGAGGTCGCGACAGGGCAAGCGAGTGGGTGGCGTGTACCATGCTTTGTGCGTGAGCGGGAGAGCAAGCATGGCCTGTGTGTGTACGAAGTCTGAGTGTGCCCATTGACGATCCATCGACCCAGGCTTGGCTTCGGAAACTGTCGAGACCGTTGGAAGGATTTGGGTTGGATTGCTTACATGTACTTTGATGTTCTCTGTACTTGTAGAAGAGATTGGTTGTCTTTTGTCTTTTGCCTCAACCAAAATTGCGAGTGTGACTGCGATATGCCCTGTCCATCACCGTCCATCACTGTCAGCGTCAGCTTCGGCTACTTCAGGAGTCTAAGACTAAACCAATCCCCATGATGCCGATCCGGATCATGGTTCGTCTGTACTGGCTGAATGGGATCCTGGCTCGGGAGGGGAGCGGAAGGGTGGTGGAGGTGGAGAGAAACGAAGAGCCATGGCTGGTTGAAGCTTGATGGTTTTTCGCCACCGAGAGCGGGCCAAGAGAAGCGAGCTGCCTCAATCAGTCGGAGTGGAGGGTGCTTCGTGCTGCATTGTGTTCGCCACCGGTCAGTTCAGCCAGCCCTAAAAGGATCGGAGACATGAATAAATTCCGTCGTGCTGTGGTAAGCTCCCCTCACTTGCTGGGCTCTTGGGACGAGTATTCGTGCAACATCCACGATCGCGGACTAAACAAGTCCACGGATCTAATCATAACCGTAACTAAAGCAAGACGGAAGCAATTACTAGCGTGCGACATCCACTCGTATCTTTGCTTTCGGGTACCTGGACAGGTATTGGACTCAAAGCTAAGTCGGCGCCGTTTTGCCCGGACTTTGGTGTTGGTGGAGGTCTGGCTGCAGCCTGATAAAAGGTGTGTGTTCTCTGAAGTGGATGGGATGGAACGGATGCGCGACCAGCAACCAACACTCGCTCTGACTCTTTGCTCACAGGTCAACTGATGGAGGGTGTCCCGGATTAACGGATGTAAGTCTGTATGTACTTTGTAGAGAGAGAGCATTGTTGGACGTGATAACCCGGAGCCTCCTGTTGGTCGCCTGACATTGCACGAGCATGTTGTGCCCGCAACCTCAAATGCTGACGGCGGCATGGGGCGACCATCGCTTCGGCAGACGGACGGCCTGGACTGAACTTTCGGTGCAAAAAGATCGACAGCCCTGTGCTGTATCCATAATAGGGATCCATAGTTAGTCGTGCCTGAGCTGGAGTGGAACGAGCTGGGGCGGAGAGAGCTTGGATGTTGCGGTACTTGGGATGTTGGGTGGGTTAGGTCTTGTATCTCGGTGACCCGGACTTCTCTGCTTCGGCTTCACCGCTGCACCGTCCGTTGCACGCCGTTGATCAGGCCGGCAATCCGTGCGCGAACCGATCCCCAACATTAGCACTCGATCTAAGCCGGCCGAGTCGCCGTTCCCCTTTCTCACCGCGGGAAAGTCTCCCCGCCAAAAAGTCTTCCCATGGTGGTCGTATTCTGGATCGGCTCTCCAGCAATGTGGACGCACCTCCACACCCTGGCCCTGGCGCCCCACGAGCCCTGGCGGCCTAGGCTCCAGTGGCTCCGGCAGGTCCCCCACCCGTGCAACCGTGGTGGAAAACTCCCCATTGCGGCGCCGGCCATCCCAGGGCTTCAGGGCTCCCAGCGAGAAGCCACCCCCCCGGGCCCCGGGGCCCCTCACCTTAAGCACCTACCCATGAAGGCTCTGGGCCCGCCAAGCAGGCCCTTGGGAAGACCCCTGTAAGACCCCCGCTCGTCGGTGCTCGTGGCGGACGCATCAAGCCCCACGGCGTCTCAGCTCCAGTAAAACCGTCAATTCAGGGTCCCCCATCCCCGTCAGTCCTCCCTCTGAGGGACGGCCACCCTCAAATAAAATCACACCCCCCCTTCACACCTACCACCTAGGTACTGCCGCACCCCTTCGGGCTTCTGTAGCCCGCCCGTCTCCAGCTCCAGAGCACGAACACTTGATCCATCCAATCCGTCCGCTTCCAGTTCTAGCTCCAGTTCTGACTCTGGCACTGGCTTCTGGCCCTGGCTCTGATTCTTGATCTTGGTCTGGGTCCTGGCCTAGTGCTGCTTTGTTCTTGCTCTTGCAGTCCGGCCGCAGCATCAACCACTCGCCTAACACCCTCCTCCTCCACCTCTCGGCCCATCTCAGATCGCCTCGACTTCCATTCGACAACCTCTCTCGTCTGCCATTGATCCTCTCCAGCTGCCGTGCCTCGCCAATCTGCATCCTGCATCCTCCTCTATCCTCTCGGCGACTTTACAGTGTCTCGCCCTGTGCCCGAGTGTCTCATGTCAAGCTGAGCGGCCTCGGAACTCAGCCCTCTCACATAAAGTCTAATTGTGTAGACGCTTCATCTTGAACGAGCACAACAATCGTCGTGCTACCCGTCGGCAGCTCTCGCCTGCACGCCCTCACGCAATGTCAATACTGCACCTGCGCTTCTCTGTCTCGTGGTAGCTCCCTTCAGCTCCGACGACAATCCTCCCGACGCTTGCTCGACCCCAGTCATAAGACCATCCGCATCTCCCGATCGAACGGAATCCGCTGCTCCGACTCATATACAAACACAACTCTCTCCCATGCCTCGTGACGGAGCGGCCGCGACATGATCTCCCCCGACCAACCTCGTTCGAGCAGCCAGTCCCGAGCTATACGGCCTTCTCCCGCTGGGTACGATGCCTCCTCCCCAACGAGCCGCTCCGAAACCCATCACAGTCCAACCCGGGCTCCAATGACAACCGCATGCGATCTTGCGCGACCGAAGGCAACCAACGACCTCCTAACCAGCGACCATGCCCTGCAAGATGGTAGTCCGCGGCTGCTTACTGGAGGACGCTTTCTCAGAGAGCCCCTACGACCTGGTTCACGGTCTCCCTCTCAGAGCCCGTTCCGTCTCACCATGCCTAGCATGTCACCAGGCCAGCTCGCTTTCTCCACCATGCAATACCTCCCAGTACCGACCATGGTCCTCAATAATCTCAAAACGGTTGTGCTTGCCAATGAGGCCATGGGACGTATGCTAGGAATTGTCACCGAAGACGAGGATGAGGAGGATGCCCCAGCAACCATCGACTACCTCCGAGGCCAGACACTGTCCCAGGTCGGTATCGACATGCTGCAGGACGGACGGCCTGTATGGGCAACGTGGGAGGGTTTTCTGGATACGCTGGGAGAGGAGATGGGAGTCCGGGCCGCCAAAAAGGATTCCCGCCAACAGTCTCCATGCGGCGGCGATGCCACCCCGACCACGAGCAGCATGCCTGTCCCCGACCGACGCCAGAGTGCAACCCCACGCCACACCCAGGACGCCATCGTCGAAGTTGTTGTATCGCGCAAGGGCATCGCCAAGGCTGTTTTTGACGATCGCTGCAGGGTCAAGGAATCCGAGTATCAAGTCTTCGCCAAAATGATTATTACCATCTGGGAGCTTGAAGACCGACAGACCTTCTTCAGTTTGACCTTCACAAGTACCCAATCGCCCTCGTCTGCTCTAACATCAACCAAAAAGGCAGTTGCACGGCCAAGCGTCCTCGAAGCTGCTGATCGCCGGACAATAACTCACTCTAATCCATCATCCGTCTCCTCCAGTCGAGACTCCAACTCACCTTCCTTCCACAGTCCTGGCGTCGTCACCATGTCGTCCAGTCCATTCCCCCCGATGGGCCCGCCTCCTGTTGTTTCGCAATCCAGCACACCCTCGCTACTGCAGAAGATGCTCCTAATGAAGGATGCCCTCCTTAACAATACCCAAATGCCCATTCTCGCCATGTGGAAGGATGGCAGCGTCACGTTCCCCAACAAGGCTGCCCGGAAGCTGTTCGAAAAAGACGCTCCTCTCGATGGATCGGTTGACGGCTTTGAGCTTTTGGAGCACTGGCACATGTACACCGACGACTTTTCCCGCCAGCTGAACGTTGACGAGTACCCAATCTCTATCCTACTCAAAACCGAGCAACCTTTCTCTAGTATCCGCATCGGCATGTACGATGATGAGGGGAAGAAAATCGTTTACGACGTGCTCGGAGAGGCTATTCGAGATGACACCACAGGCGAGTTTCTCGCAGGTGTCGTTACAGGCCGGGATGTCACTGTCATGACCGAAGAGATATCACAGATTAAGCAGCGTGACGAGGAGCGATTCAGGCTGATATGCGATACCATGCCTCAACTAGTATGGACTACGACGCCCGATGGCTCAGTGGATTTCTTCAACACTCGGTGGTACACTTACACCGGACTGACCCCCGATCAGAGCCTTGGCCAGGCTTGGGGGAAACCGTTCCACCCTGACGATCTGCCGGATGCTATCAGGAAGTGGGAGCATTCTCTGGCGACAGGTGATGAATACGTAACAGAGTACCGATGCCGCAGCAAGGAAGGCGAATGGCGGTGGTTCCTCGGCAGGGCACTACCTTTGCGCAACAAAGAAACCGGCGTCATTGAGAACTGGTTTGGTAGGCAGTGCATCCCGAATTTTCCGCTTTGTTGCTGACCAAGGGTGCACAGGGACATGTACTGACGTCCACGAGAGTATCCAAACCAAAATCAATGCCAAGCGCACACGGCAGCAGTTGCTGAGCGTCATAGCTCATTCCCATGTTACACTCTTCACAGTTGATCCGAACCGCAAAGTCACCATGCTCGAAGGAGCCCTTATCTGGAACAACACGCATGAAGAGTGCCATGATGGGACTAGGTGGTTTATTGGAGAGAACATGTACAAGGTGTTCAACCGCCTTACAGCACAACTAGAAGATGGTGAGCGCCCCGCGTTCCTCGGGCCTATCGAGGATATACTCGATGGGAAGACTCTCGAGGATGTCCACGAACATGGAATTGGTAAGTTGAGAGCACCCGCACAGCCCACATTAACATTAAACTGACCTCCATATTAAGATGATCGTTGGTACCGAACTCGCTTCCTTCCCATGATGGGAAAGGCGACCCCAGAAGGCAAAATAACCAGCGAGCCGTGTGTTGAGGGCGTCATTGGTGTCATCATGGACGTGACTGAACTGAAAGTCCGGGAGGAGGCGTTGCAGAAGCAATCCAAAGAGAAGCGAAAGGCCATTGCGAACGAAGCTGCCGCAAAGGAGGCCAACAGGCTCAAGAGCCAGTTCCTCGCCAACATGTCTCACGAAATCCGGACACCCATTACGGGTGTACTCGGGATGGCCGAGTTGTTATCTGGAATGGAGCTGAATGAAGAACAAGAAGAATACGTTGACAATATTCAAAGTTCCGCAACATCCTTACTCACTGTCATCAACGACATCCTCGACTTCTCAAAGGTCGAGTCTGGGCGGTTGGACGTTGAGGAGGTCCAGTTCTCGCTGTCGCACATCGTCAAGGAAGTTGAAAGGATGCTTCAGTTTGCCGTCGAGCGAAAGAACCTTGATTTCCACTCGGATATTGGTGGTGACATCGAAAATGACTTGGTTGTCATGGGAGACCCCGGACGCGTGCGACAAATCATTACGAATCTTCTGACGAACAGCATCAAGTTCACCAGTCAAGGATACGTCAGATTCTCTGTAGTCAAAGAGAAAGAAACGCCCGAATCGATTGAGGTCAGGTTTACGGTTGAAGATACGGGCATTGGCATCCAAGACGACGTGCGCAAGAAGCTCTTTCAGCCGTTCAGCCAAGGAGATGCCTCGACTGCAAGGCGTTTCGGCGGTACTGGCCTGGGCCTCACTATTTGCAAGAACCTTCTAGATCTTATGCATGGACGCATCACGTTGGAGCCGAAAGCGAGCAACGGGACTGTTGCAACCTTCTGGATTCCCTTCAACAAGCCGAATGGTCCCGCTGAGGCGGGCTTGGCCCAAGCTGGCGCCATCCCTAATCGACTACAGTCTGAGCTGAGCATGTCTTGCAACAGTTCAGAGTACGAACAACTTGTCGGGACTCCCCCAATGTCAGATAGCGTCCAGGCCGCTCCTTCATCTATACCTCGCCGATCCAGATCTATTTTGACGCCATCTTCAACTTCTGATCCAGATTTGCCACAATCAGAACGCGCCAAGATCCACATCTTGGTGGTCGAGGATAAGTAAGTCTTGTTGAATCAACATCCATATACCATGAACTGACCTGTTATAGCGCTATAAATCAGAAGATTGCGACCAAGACGATCGGCAGACTGGGGTTTCAAGTTACTGCGGCATGGAATGGAAAAGAAGCACTGGATTATCTTTTGGGAACTTCGAAGGGCATCAACCCGAAGCCCGACATTATCTTGATGGACGTTCAAATGCCCATCATTGATGGTTACAAGTGCACCCACCTCCTCAGGCACCACCTCCCCTACAAAACATTGGTTCACGACGTCCCGATTGTGGCGATGACGGCATCGGCAATCCAAGGTGACCGAGAGAAGTGCACCAGGGCTGGGATGGATGATTATTTACCAAAGCCTGTGAGGGGCCCGATTTTGGAGAAGATGCTCATCAGGTGGTGTCATACGAGGCGTCAAGGGACCACACCAGATCCATCGACGTCCGACTGTTCAGAGAGGAGCGAGCACTGTGACAATGCCGATATACCTCATGTTGGTATCGAAGAAAGCGATATGCCACCACTGGGTCGGACCTCGGAAGACTACAATAGTCCAATCACCCCTAGGCCTTTGACGACGAACGGGCTACAGAGCGAGCAATCTCCATTCGACTCCCCTATGCCTGACCTAGCACCTCAAGTGAGGCGACCAGACGGCGAGCAGGAGTGGACCAACCATCTTCAGGAAACGAAACTTATTGACGCAGCGGGCGGGCCGCCAGGATTCAAGAGCACCAATTCATACCAGGGACGAGACGGAGGAGACTCATTGACCGAAGAGAATGTCAACAAGTTGAAGTGTGAGAACCAGCCTCCTCGTCGGTAGGCTGGCAATATTGCCGAAATCGCCGACGACCACCGCGAGCATCGGCTGTACATATTCGGGCACATTTAGCTCTTACGCCGGCGAACTTTTTGCTACACGATTGATCAAGCTCCACAAACCCTGGCAAGACGGGGTATTATTTAAGAGGGAAAGCCATGAAAGACTCGGAGCTCGTCAGCTCTTGTCGAAAAGAGAGCACAGACATGGAATTCAAATGGGACGGCTTGGTGGGCGGACAGGGACATTTTGGGAGGCTCAAAGCTACTTCTTTTTCGCTCCTACTTTACATCTTGGAGAAATGTTAGACGGTTCATATTAGTGAAGGCCCTTTGCACCCTGAGGATGGGTGGGAAATATTGGGACCAGGTCACGACTTTGCATGTAACGGGCTGGCACGGAATGGGGGTTATGTGAATAGCATGGAGCAAGTGTAATGATGACACGGATGGCGTGGTCAATGAATGATGAGTTACTTCTTTGTGCCTATCTGGATCCTGCAGCTTTTGTGCGCCTCGAGATTGCCATCCCTTCGTCCCATGTCTCAACTTCCATAAATAGATGGCCACATATCTGCTTACACGCCCCCCCCCCCCCCCCCAAGCTCGTTTTCGTTGGCAAACACACGACATGCCACCACACGCGGTGGCTTGCGTCTAGACCTCGGTCTCGATCCCGGGCTGCTTGGAGGAGTGGTCGAAGGCGCTAGAGACGTTATTCCCAACGCGGTCAAACTTGTGCTTGATCCACCTGGCCGTGCGCGGAATCTGGCACCCTCGTTAGTTTGAGTGTTGACGATGTTTCACGGCGGGCCCTTTTGTTTTTTCATTTCTCCAGAGGCGGCAACTCCCGAGGCGCGGCGAGGAAGCCGTCTCGCTTGGCGAAGCGAAGCGAGGTCCAGCCTCCCCTGGCAAGGCGGCGTCTAGACCGGGCCGAAAGCTAGGGTCTGGAGTTGGAGAGCTGGAGATGTGTATGGGGAGAATGGGGGACGCAGCTGCGTTGCCACAATGACACGTCCGGATGCTCCGGATCGTTTGACGTACCTTCCACTGCATGAGGCCCCGATGCTGTCGGTGCAGCCGGCGGTCGCGCCGCTTGTAGTCACGGATCTTGTCGATGGGGCCCTGCTTGTTGGCCGAGCTGCCGTCGGGGATATCGCGAGCGTCTGAGTCCGAGTCTGAGCTGGAGCTGGAGCTGGAGCTGGAGTCCGAGTTGCTGACGATGGATCGCGGCCGCGTCCGGCGTCCGTCCTCGCTCGCAGAGTCCGAGTCGCCCGTGATGCCAACCTCCTTTTGCAGCTGCACCGTCTCGAGGTTGTCGCGGGCCGTTTCAATCACCTCCACCACGTTGCGGAGGTGTTGGTCGCGGCTGGCCCAGCGGGCGTGGGCGCTTCCCTGTGGCGCGGTGTAAGTGTATCTGCCCTACGGCTCGATGAAACGTATCCATGCAGGGTTGAACTCACCAGTCCGGACCAGAATGTCACCTCGAGCTTGATGGTAGCTAGCTTCTCCCCGCACTCCTCCAAGCAGCACGCCGTGGCACGCTGGAAATCTCCCTTCCACACCGGAAGCTCCAGTTCCGTCTCTTCCTCGTCCACCAGATCCTTGATCCACAGGACGCTGAACGCTGCTGTACCATCACCGAAGACACCTCGCTCCCGAAATGCAATAGACAAACAGCTACTGTAGCGGTCTTGGATGGCCAGGGCTAGACTACGTCCACGTTTGGTGCTCCACGTCGCAGTTGAGCCGCCTCCTTTCGTGTCACCCTTAGTTTGATACATCTTCCCAGCGCTGATGGCCGTCCGAAGCTTGACCTTAGCGGACCGGAGATCCTTGGGGCAGTCGGCCACCGTCGCTGTAGGGTGGACCTCGACGGTGCCGTACTGCCATCCAAGCAGGTTCCGTGGTGCCTGAAGTTGGATGCTCCGCCAGACCATAGACAGGCGGATGCGCCCTTGTGCAATGCCGCCGGTCAGAGGATAGAAACCCATGATCTGGGAGCGCTCCTTGAGGACTTCGCCAAGGGGCAGGTGGACAATTCCAAGTAGGGGGTCATCTTCGTGTAGTCGAGCGTCCCGGACAGAGACAAACACCTCGCACTCTCGCCAGTCGCGGACGAAGCGCTCGCACCCGGCATTGTAGAATGGCTTGGCGTTCTGAGGCTTGGTTCGCGTCTTGAACGTCTTGCGGTGGTTGATTATTATTGTGCAGTACGCACTGGGCAGACCCTCGCCGGCTTCCTCCTCGTCGCTCGCGGCTCCGTCCCCGGCCGAGTCGCGCTTGTTGAGCCGCTCAATCTCCAGGCCTGTGATGTTGTGGATCTGAAGACTGAAGAGGCCACTCGGGTACCCGTTGGGGGGCGGTGCTGAGATGATCATGGCGTCTTGCTCGGTCTTGAGCTCCTGGGCTTTCTGCTGCTCGAGCTCCCCGAGATTGCGGTCCTTTTTGCCTTCCTTGAACATGGTCTCACGGAGCTTCCGCTCGCACGACTTTTCAACCTTCTCTTTCAATTGGTCCATAGAACGAATCTCTGGGTCGTGCGTCTGTTGGTCAAACTGGCACTGCTGAATTCTCGTCTTAGAGAAGTAGCCGACGCTCCACTCCAACTTTCCAGGCATGCCGTCTCCGGATTTCAAAGCCCTGAAGCCATCTTTCCGGTTTGACATGTGTCCATTGGAGTCATTATCTCTCATCAAGTCCTTGAGGCTAACTTCGATGCGTCCGAGATCGTCGTCGGCCGTCATTCGATCCGAGTCCCAGAGTTGAATGCGCAATCTCTCGTCAACATTCAACTCCTGGGGCGTTACGAGCACGAAACATGTCTCGTCCCAATATGGTTCCATTTCGTTGTCGAGCACGCGAGAAGTCCAGAGTACCTTGCCAAACTTTGCCCAGCCAACGGAGACGTATGGGTCGGAGCTGCCATCTTTGATTAGAGGGATGCCGGAATCGCCAATCTTGAAGTCATAGCCGCGTTTGATATGGACCATGAGCACACCCGCGGCGATGGTGTCCTTCTTGAAATCGTCGCCGGCGAGCATGTCCTTGAGGTCAAGAGTTAGGCTCTTGGGTGCCACATACTCTGCCATGGCAGCGTCAACGGCAGACTGGACGAAGTTGCTGATGAATGGAACGTCCATAATATTGATGGCATGTCGACTCAGGGGAACGCAGCTTAGGTTAACTTTGGGCTGGCCAAGGAAGGTGATTGTGCAGAGGGCAAAGAAGGGCGGGTCGGGTGTGAGTTGCAGTCGCATCCTCATGGTCCCGATAATGCCTTGAAGGTCTACCCAGACTGGGATCTTGATGTTTCCCGGTAGGTAAAAGGCAAGGTAGAGGTGCATGTCTTTTGTCCGCTCCTTCAGAGACTTCGAACTCGATCGGGTTCTGTATGCAAAGGCAACTTCGAGATTGACAAAGTCGCCCTCTTCAGCTTCCATTCCATCAGGGACTGAAACTTCACTTCCACTATCCCCTTGCTTCCGGCTTTTGGTCTCACCGTCGCTCTGACCTGCAGACTGGAGTTTTCCATCGTCGCCCACCGCCCTAGTCGCCGCGCCGGTAGGTAGCCACCGAATGCCGAGGATACGCAACGACTCGCTGCCCTGTCCAATATCTTCGACACTGACCATGCGGACAAACTTCGGTAGCGATGCCTGCATGACATCCTCGAGGGTGTCCGCAAGGCTGATGAAGAGATCTGGGTTGATGAGGGGCCAGACGGAGCCTAGCAAAGAGTTGAGCCAAATCGTCGTCTCGGAGTCGTAGTTCTTCGATGCCTTGATGGTTTGGCGCCGCTGAGCGTCCCAGACTTCGTCTTGGAAAATGTTTTGGACCTTGTTCGCTATCCATTCCCTAACTGAGACGATGAGAAACCAGATTGTGCCAGCACTCCCTGCAATCAGTATTACCCAGACCAGGCTGCTCGTTAAAATCGATCGACTCTTCGCCTCAGGCAACTGGTCTGTTCTCAGCAGCCGTTCGACAGCGAAAGCACAAACAAGAGTAATGGCAACTCCGGCCAATCCAAAAGTGACGCCTCTCTTGCTAATGGCGGCCAGTTCAAGGCGCAGGGCATCGAAGTCTGGTGGCGGGAACAAATCTGCCATGGCGTCGTGACGATGTTGGAGATCTTCCTTCTCCTCGACAAGCTGTTCGTCTGACTTCTTCTCGGCGCTAAGCCCAGTTGTGGTCCGTTTTGCAGGCCCGAACGGGGGATCCTCAAAGTCCACCTCTTTCAAAGCCTCGTCAGTGAAGTCGTGGATGGTCACTGGCAGATGGGTGACAGGGTCGGTGACTTCTCGCTCGGCCCTCTCCTTGCTGGTTTTCTTCATTTCTTTCCTTCTCTTCTTAGGATCTGAAGCCCTGGGATCTATCTGGGAGGTATCTTCCATGGCGTTTGAATCGTCATCTTCAGGGCTCTCGCCACTGTCGTCCTTTGGAAGTGTGTCGGGCTGGGCTGGATCCAGTGTATCGCCTTGACTCGGCGCCGCTTGCTGATTGCTGCCATCTCCAGTTGCATCATCGTCATTATTCCTGTTTACTGCTTCTTCTTGCCTTGCTGCCCGCTCTTCTTTGTACTTGGAGATTGTGGGGATGGGATGTCGCGCGCTGTACGGAGCGGTATAACGGCGAACGTCGTCTGCATCGTCTTTTCCCGACATGGCGGGTGAGTTGACCGACTCCCTCGACAACAGCAGGAAATGAATTTCCCAAATGACACAAAGAATAAATAATATACGCGCTAGAAGAGAAATCGATGGTACGACAAAATTTGAATATGCAGAGAGTAAGAAGACCAGCATTCAACCAAGCAACTTCACAATAGCAAGGCAGTGTTCCAACGCGGGATGAGGTGGCCCTACGTCATCCGTTAGTGGCATGGCACGTGCCGGAATTCCATCTTGGCAGCGTCATTCTGCTTGGCCAAGTCATGACGGGATGAATCGTGGATCTTCGATTCATTACGTTATGGAAGTTTTCAATTGTATTTAAAACACTGGAAAACAAGTCGAGCACATTGACAACTTTGAGGTTGACGAGGTTTTGGTTGTTTGGTGTGTGTGGGCGGGCTTGATCAGCTGTGCACTAGGTCGATTTATGAGACACGGGCGGCCAAGCCGAAAGGAGAAGCATAAGTAGAACTTGGTACGTGGAAAAGTCGGTAATTTATATTCAAGAGTTGCAGGTATTTAGCTCATGATTCTATTTCAAGTAACGGTTTTGATTTTTACCGCGGCGCCATTACTCCATGTGAATTCAAGATTGAACGCCGAGATCTTACATCATGACACCAGCCACACGCCAGTGCTCCAGGTGTGTAAGTGGGGTAAACCAGCATCAAGGTAGATAGATGTCTAGTATTATCCGCACAACGGCAAATACGAACCTGGTAATATCTACGTCATAATCATCATATATACTGAAATTCAGGTGATAAGGCCTTTATTGTAAAATACAAGATATATTTGGCTTGGCAATAGGGCTGGTTACGGGTCTTCAGTTCGCAGGCTCCGAAATATGCCGCTGATTTGCCTGTGACTGTCACCAGGCCATGACAGTCGTTCAAGGAAGATCGCTTCGCTTTCTTGTCTTCATTGTTGGCCCCCGGGCATTGTATAATCTTCTTATGCGTATCATATTATTTTTCTCAAGCATATTCTTCGCTTACTCCTTGAATACAATATAGGCAAGATTGAGGGCTAGAAGGCAAGGGCAACGTTATGGGATACGTTCATGCAACTATCACTGCTCATCTTCAATTTTTTGCACCTGGAGTCTAATCGTAAATCTGATCCATCCCGCAACTGGTTACAGGTCTCCGGATCGGAAGAAAGCCCAGCAAAGCCAGTTTACCGCGACAGCACCCTTTTCCACAGTCACCCATCGGAACTGATGCGGCTTCAAGGAGTACCGTATCGACTTAGTAGATTGGTCCTGACTCAATCCTTCCCCCACTTATTGCCTCCGGGCATTTTTATACCTAATGACTCCAGAAATCTAATCCTTATATAGCTTAGCTTTAGTCAATAAAAATAGGGCCAGTTGAGTCGATACGGTAGACTGGCTTGCATGTTCCCCACCGTCAGAGAGGATGACCAGAGGAATTTCGGGGAGAGTCCCCGACAACAACGACCAATTCACCCGCCTTGCCATCATTCGTGAATGCACTCATGGATGCTCTTTATTGGACGGGTGAATTCCACACTCATTTATCCGGATCCCCCTCAATTGTGCGACATAGGTAGGCAGTCTCTATATATCTATCGTCAAAATTGTCTGCTTTGGTCTTCGTAGTAAAGCCTCTATCTTACAACTCAACAAGAAATACCCTATACTTCAGTATCCCATCAATTGTCTACTTCAACTATTGACGCGCGTGGAAGCCATGACCATCAACTCAATTAATCCAATCATACCGGGCTTCTCGCCAGACCCGTCTCTAGTCAAAGTTGACGACTGGTATTATCTTGTGAACTCCACGTTCCATATGTTCCCCGGTTTGCCGATTTACGCCTCCCGTGACCTCGTGTCTTGGAAACACATCAGTCAGTCCCTGCCCTCCGCAAGGTTAAACACGACACCTCGTTCTAATCTATCCATATTAGGCAACGCAATTAACCGGCCAAATCAGCTGAGCCTCACCAAGTCGAATACCAAGCTTGGAGAACTGCCCCACAGTGACGAGGTGATGCTTATGACCGGTGGCCTGTACGCCCCAACAATCCGCTACCGCCAGGGTACATTCTACCTCGTCTGCACAAACATCGTCGATTCAGGGAGCGATGGCGTTTCTGAGAATTTCATTGTCACGACTGAAGATGTCTGGAAAGGTGAATGGAGTGATCCGGTCTATTTCGATTTCAAGGGCATCGACCCCAGCATCTTGTTCGACGGCGACAAGGCATACATTCAAGGGTCTGCTGCCCCCGGCCCGTTCACCAAGATCAACCTCTTTGAAGTTGATCTTACTACAGGTAAGAAGCTTTCGGAAGAACGCACCATATGGGGAGGGACGGGCGGTGTCTACCCGGAAGGTCCACACTTGTACAAGCGGAATGGATGGTACTACCTGATGATTTCCGAGGGCGGCACGTTTGACGGCCATATGATCACAATGGCACGATCTCAAGACATTTGGGGCCCATATGATCCTTGTCCCAACAACCCAATCCTTACGGCACGCGATACCAAGGAGTACATCCAGTACACTGGCCATTGTGAGGCTTTCCAGGACAAAACTGGACAGTGGTGGGGTGTGTGTCTTGGAGTGCGCAAAGACGAGGGCGGTCGACTCATCATGGGTAGAGAAACGTTTTTGACTCGAGGAAACTGGGATGGAGAATGGCTCTCTTTTGAGACTGTCAAGTCCCATATAGCCGGCCTTACTTTAAAGGACGGGTCTACCGCTCTCTCGGCAGTAGGTAACGTGGACTATCTATACATTCGAGACGCGAACCTCGGTAACTACGACATTCACGACAACTCTTCAATTACCCTCACCACATCCGCGGTGGATCTCTCCCATCCGCAAACATCGCCCACATTCATTGGAAAAAGGCAGCGAAAACTACTCGGTCAGAGCAACGTCACCATCCGGTCTTTTGCGGACAATTTCCAAGCTGCAAAACTCAGAAGCGGGATTGCGTGCTACAAGGACGAACACCGCTATGTGCGGATATTCTACGATGCCTCGGATTGTGCCGTGGTGTTTGAGCTGATCAACAATGCAAAGAAGATAGCTGAAACTGAGCGTCGCAGTCTTGGCAAGGTCCCTGAAGAATTGGCTCTGCGTATCGAGTACACAGAGAAAGAGTATCGCCTGCTTTACAATGCTGAAGGCGGCCTGGGCGAAAATTGGACTTCCCTTGCAACGACAGATACATTGAACATGACAGGGCCAGATTTCGTGGGACCAGTCATAGGCATCTTCGCCATAGCAGAGACAAACGACCTGAAGGTGGAGCTCGAGGATTTCCATGTCGATTAGATAGACACATGTAATTCATTCCGGAATGCCGCGTATCATTAACCGAGTATGCCCATCTCAATGCGAAAATACGTGATCAGCCTCCCCATTTTGCTTGAGTAGTTCCAGCACTGTGATACCCCTCATCTGCGATAATCATGCGATTGGACGCCGGCAATGTTACCGAGATTCAATAGATTCCTTTTCTCCGCACTTAGCCCCGGGATCGTAACATTATCGACTAGATCACCATTTACCCGGCGACCAACAGCACTTGATATTCAACCCGACAAATTGGAATCAAGCATGGGTATTTACACAATGATATTAGCCGAAAAGTTGCAGATAGCTACCTGAATTATAAGAGCTGATCCCAGTGAGGCCGCCCCGTGGGGTCCCCAGGCGGGGGAGAGTGCGGAGTGCCATCGATATTCAAAGGATGAATTCAATTCGACTTCAACCGGAAACTCGTCAATATGCGCACCAACGAGACTCCGGTTGGTGGTCTGGAACTGATCATCATTGCCAAATCGGATTGTCCCGTGTTCCTTTAAGTTGAGGGCATCGCCAAGGTGAAAAACCGACCTTTTCCCCTGGCTCCAAGTAGCAAAGTCTATCATACACCAAATATCTGACCAACAACGAAACCACCTTCTTCACCATGGGCTTCAAACTTCGACCTCCGAAGCGGACCCAGACAATTGTCCCGCTGAAGCCCCGCAAAGGCCATTTCTTCTTCGCCGGGAGGGAGTTCCCTCGTGTCCCGTGGTGGAAGAGACGAAACTTGGTCACTCTGTACACTTACATCATTGTTCTCATCCTTACGAATACCGCAAATGGCTTTGACGGATCTATGATGAACGGTTTGCAGACGCTTTCTTATTGGCAAGAGTACTTCGGTGAGCCCCGTGGCCCCATCCTTGGTCTGTTCAACGCTTCAATGAGTCTTGGTTCTCTCTGCGGACTGTTTGTTGTTCCATACTTGATTGACCGATTTGGTCGAAAGTCGGGCTTGGTGGTTGGCTGTACCGTGATGTTGCTTGCCGTTGGCCTGCAAACAGGGGCCCAAAACTTCGGCATGTTTGTCGCTGCCCGCTTAATCATTGGGTTCGGCGATTCAATTGTTCTCGGTTCTGCTCCGCTACTCATTGCTGAGATTGCTCATCCTCAAGATCGAGCGGTCTTGGTCACGTTGAGCGGCGCCTCCTACCATTCAGGGGCATTTATTGCCAGCTGGGTCACATATGGCACTCTCCAAATCAAGGTATGACTCTTTTCGTGAGGTGATCTCTTTTCTCTGACTAACGTTTTATAAAGAGTGACTGGTCATGGAGACTCCCCAGTCTATTGCAGGGTATTTGCACTGTTGTCATTCTCGTCGGTGTCTGGTGGATGCCAGAGAGCCCCCGTTGGCTCATCAACAAAGACAAGCACGAAAAGGCCTTGGAAATTATGGTCAAGTACCACGCAGAGGGCGACACAGATGATGAATTTGTTCAACTCGAATATGCGGAAATCAGAGCAGCTATTGCACTGGACAAAGAGACCGATCAGACAAACTGGACTGATTTCCTCAAGACCAAAGGAAACCGCAGGAGAATCGGACTGATCACCGCCATCGGTTTGTTTAGCCAGTGGAGTGGCAACGGCTTGATTTCGTACTACTTGAAGTATGTCATGGACAGCGTTGGTATTACAAAGGCCGAGACCCAGCTGGGGATCAACGCGGGGATGAAGACGCAGGCGCTCCTCTTCAACTTCTTCTTCGCCTTTTTTATCGACCGTCTGGGTAGACGACCTATTTATTTGGTCTCTACCATTGGGACTTGTGTTGTTTTCAACCTCTGGACGATTGTCTCGGCGAGGTATGAGATCGACCCCAACAAAGGTCTAGGATATTCTTTCGTATTCTTCACCTTTCTCTACGGCGTGTTTTATGATATCAAGTAAGTCGATTTCGTATCTGAGTTCTTTTGTTCCCTGACTAATGCGATCAATTTAAGGTCTGGATTAATGACAAACTACACCACCGAGATTCTCCCATACGGTCTCAGAGCAAAGGGATTCACGTGGTTGAATTTCTGCGTGACTGCTGCATTGTTCTTCAACCAGTACATCAACGCCATTGCCCTCGACGCTATTGCATGGAAGTATTACATTGTGTACTGCGTATTCCTCGGGCTTGAAGTGTTCATCATCTACTTCTTCGTGATTGAGACCCGGTATACCCCGATGGAAGAAATCGCCAAGTATTTCGACGGCGATGATGCTATTGATGTCGGCGAGGTAGCTGCGGCAGACATGAAAGAAAGGGGAATAGAATTGGGCGGTGCGAAAGCGGCTGGAGTGCACGTAGAATTGTCCCGATGAACACATTTGGGTGGGTGGATAAGCTACGAGGTAGGAGTCCAGTAGTTAGCAGGTAAATTGACTACCAGTGACATTATGCCCATGGTATATCTCTCGCCTGCTAGACTGGGATAAAGCACTAATGTGTATCTATCTCCTCCTTGCCCCTTGTCCCTGGGGACTCCTGTGTTTATTAGCCTCCCCCGTAGTCGCTGCCTCCGTTGCCTTTAATGGTGTCGATCGCGTTGAGCACGCGAACCGTCGGCACCAGACTCGCCAGCGGAGCCTCAGTGCTGGGCGGAGCGACACCTCCAATACTTCTGAGCTGAGCAGCATGCTGCAGCGATTAGTGTTTAATTGCAACAGCTATACTAAACAATAAGACCCGGCCGGCCAAAGGAGAAACGACATTGCAATCATCAATGGTCATCAGATCTTCCCAATACCAACGAGGCAGCCCAAACCCAACGAAAACCAAACGCCTCGTCAATAATACTCTAAGTAACATCCCGATACTTATTTCTGTCGATGTAATATCAAACAGGCATAAATGGCTACAAACGCGTCAGTTGTTCAGTTATTGTTGATGGCTTCCCGCCAAGTCCAGATTATGTATTGTCCGGCTCTGCATCATCAACTTGAACGGCAAGCAGCCTTCACTTACACCAATTCACAACCCTCGTTGCGGTGATTAAATAATGTTCACATAACTTAGCCTTGAGTGTTTCTTTATTTCAATCAAAAGCCTGTCGCTGTCGATTTCCAACTCTCGTTTAAGTCACTATTCTTTCCCAGACGTCGCCCTCCTGGCCACCCTCTCTCCAACATCTTCTACTTCGCACAATCCCCATCTGTTGTCCACCTCACCCATCACCATGTCCCTCCACGATCAGCCTTCTGAGCTGCTCCGCCTCGTCATGTGTGAAGTCGGCTCACCTCTTGATCTGTATCACCTCATCTCGGCGTCAGCACCTTGCCTCGCTGTCTTTTCCCTGTCAACAGAGCTCATTCTCTACTCTGTCCTCCAGAATTCTTTTCCATGTGAGTTACATCGCTACGCAACCGCCATCTTGAATGTTCCGACCGTGGTACCCGCTTCGAGAGCATTGCGCAAAGAAAAGCTCATCCATTTCCTCACTCGATCTTTTAAGGGCATACCATTCGACTTCCCTACAACAAGGCTGGAAATGGTTCCATTGTGTCGCCTCCACACTCGCCTTGTTCGCCTTTCCGATGGCTTCTTGGACAACACCATGCATAAGTTCGGCGTACTCGGCCAGGGAGTCGCCCACCCCACGCAATCATCAGTTGAAACTGCCAAAGTAGTGCAGTCTGAGCTCGAACCAGCCCCTAGAAGAGCTGTCCAGGCCTCCAAATATGAGCGTCTACGAATCCACAAAGCACTCTTGCGATTTGAACTGTACTGCAAAGTCTTTCCTATGGCCGAAGGATACAAAGATAGCTCGGCCTACGATGCACACGAACAGTTCAACCTCTTTCTGTCCCAACTCACACCATGGGAGGTAGAAGGGATGGCTTGTATCCATCAGTATTTCTCATCCCTTTTGGCTGACGCCGTCGATGAAATCGAGGAACAGATTGTGAACGCAGTCCTTGCCGCGCCCGGTGTACGCCTACCACCAGCAGACGGGTCAATGAGCGAAGACACATACGCAGATACAGACGAAGACCGTCTATGCCATTTCGGCCATTCAGACCTAGCAATCCCTTATATGCACGGCGAAATCGGCAGGTTTGACTATGTGACTCGCATGAGCCACATGAGCTCCGGTGGCTTCGATTTCATGCATCAACTAGTTGGCACTGACAAGGCCGGTCGTGCAGAGCTGATTCGGGGCTGCCAAATCCGTTTCGGCGATTTCTTCCCAGAGGCTCTATCCTGTTCACCATACTCAGGACCCCAGACCATCCAGCCGGAGGGCAGTCGCGAGGATGATCAGTCATACGGCAACTTGGGTTACTACATTTTCAAACCTTCAACCCAGGACATATATTTGAAAATTAACCTCTTCAACAGAAGGGAACATTTTTTGCGAGAATTCGGATATGTTTTCTGGGACGCGGAGAGGATTCGGACTCCTGCAGTTTTCGACAAGCTTCGCCAAGCGGGTGTTTTGGAAGTTGTCGAATCGTGTCGGCTTTATGATCAGAAAGACTACCAGAACTTCAAGAAGCAACTGAGAGGTGTCATGCTTCCGCAGAATGAGATGCGCAGGATCGAAAATGAATTCGGTTCGATATGATATTCGTTAGCTATGGCATATCACTGCGGATCGGTCGGGCTGACCTGAGCAAATTGGTGCAAGTGCCAAGCACTCTGGAGCTTGGTGGAGCTTGATGCCATCAAATCAGGCAACGAAATGCACGATGCAGGCAGGCAGAAGGCAGAGATTCAAATTTGAAAAGCAAATATTTACAGACTCTTGTTACCCATCCATAGTCCAGTGTGCACGTATCCGACAACATCCTTGACTGAGTAGAGCCCCCTGTGAGAATAAAGCTTCTCGTACATGTCACGAGACGTTCCATGATGTTCACAGAATGTTGGAGGCTAATTGCATCTCCCGCTTGAGAGTGCGATACGGTCAAGCAGGGGGGGCAGGAGCAACCAAAGGCGAATTGCCCAACATCGCATGGCGACATGGGCCTCTTATCCGCCCAGGGACAAACCTAGGCGCTGAAGGATTCCTCAGATGTTCTGGTTAGTTGAAGAGTCTTCAGTTCCTACCTTAAAATAAAATAAAAGATAAAATTTAAATAGCAGAACTAAGAGGATAAATGCTAAAAATGAAGCTTAATTAATTTTCTTAGGTTTAATCTACTAATCTCAACAATTTTGGTTCCTCCGGATTCCTTGTGGTTTACATGTATTCATATTGTTTTGGTAATTCTTACACGAGCGATCGACAGAGTGTGACAGTGTTGTCTGAGTGCGGGGCGTAGGGTAAGTGAGACGGAGAAGCATCAGACTCGTCCAGCATGATGACTAGTTAATACCTACTGTAGCATTGTGAAATCGTCCCGAGTTTATTCCGTTGTCTGGCATAAGTATTTACTAATCCGCATCCCGGGACAGGTGTGTGACACTTGGCCGTGCTCCGTTTGAAGGGTCAAGTTTGTGGGCGGTCTCCGAAGCGTCGGGCCATGCAGGCGATCGGCAAAGAGGAGCTGCTCCAGTGCTCACGGGGTAAGTCAAGGCACGGCAGGGCACTGACTCGGGGGCCAATGAGTGCAGACGAAACTGGCGCTGGTGCTGACCGGTTTTCTAGTGCGTGGTGATCGGCATGCATCGTCCGGTAATCTGGAACGGTGACAAGAGATGTCAGAGGGCAGACCGAAGCAGGCCTAGGCTGTGAGGGCTGTGAGGGCTGTGAGGGTGTGGAAGCGCAGCATGGGCAGGGGCAGCTAATCGAACGACTGTCATCCGATTGTGCATATCTGCCACTTGCAGCGCACACTGGGTGCCATGCTCCAACTATCGGATCTGGGCGGTTAAGGTTGGCGCTGGTTGCGTCGATGAGGCAGGTTTCCAGGTCCGCCGTCAGCGCAGGGCCACCCACCCTGGAGGTTTGCCGTCACGTCACAGGGCCGTCACACCGGAACTTCGGATCAGCGACGGAACGCATTTAAGCTCATGCCATTTTGGAGAGTCGGTCTCCCGATTTGAGGAGTTGGCTAGTCCCGAAGGGAGGGGGCAGGTGGAACTCGCCTCCATGCGAAGATGCCCTTTGTAGTGCAATGCGGACGGTGAAGCTGCCAGGGCCCATGGACCATAGACCAAACGAGGGTGTTTTTCGCATTATCGAGGCGTCGGCTGCTGGCAACTTGCACAAGCCGCACCGCACCCTGCGCGTTCCACGTCCAGGACGCACGCAGGTTTGGTGGTTGCACCCCGCTAGCGCCGTCACAGCGCATCCGCCAAGGTCCCACAGCACCCGCATCCCGCTACAGAGGCTGCCCTGGGGCCACCAGCACAGGGCCCCCCCCCCGCGTAGAAGCGCTGTCGTTGGCTGCAGCGCACCCTCTAAGCGCCCGGGAGGAGCTGCCCAGGCCAACGTCAGGGGGCCCAACCAGTGCTAACCAGTGCTAGCCAGTGCTGGACGGCGCTGAGTGGTGGCGCGCCCTGTGTTTCCAAATATACACGGCCAGTCACAGCGCGCAGAAGCCGATGGTCATGGCTCTAATAGGCGCCGACGATGGCATGCATCCCATTTCACCTCACTACGGCCATGCACCAGAGACCAGAGAAGCAAAGTCGTCGTGGGCCATGGGCAGTTTAGTTGCACGTTGCCATGTTTCCGACTGACTGACCCAGAGAAGAAGAGACGCACATCTCCCGGGTATCTCCTTTTTCTTCTTCTGCTTTTCCCTCCCATTTCTCCTCCACCATCGACGCCTCTCTCGGCTTGGCTTGACCACTACTACTCCACTACTACCCCGCGAAACACCACCGCCCGCTACCTCTCACGCCCTACGTCTCACATCGCTCCCAGCCTCACCCCCTCGCCTACCATCTTGATACGCGCACTTGTGCATCGCTGGACTTGTGCGACTTCTGCTACGTCTGATCGCCCGTTTAGCAGCCTCAAAAGGTCCCGGCCTGCGCTCTCCCCGTCCCCACCTCCGGCACGTCGGCCGCCACAGCAGCCTCCACAACAGCTCTCCTCCTTGCGCAGCGCCATACGCAGGTTTCATGCGCCAGCTCCCCGTCAGAGCCGAGCCCATCACCACCGTCCTGGGCGTCACTGCGCACCGCATCGCGTCTCGCTTTCGGGCCATTTGACATCATCGCCGTCGCCAATCGTCTTGAGCAGCGCCCTGTATCAACCCCTGGTTCCTCGACCTTTCATCTGATTTATGAACCTGCCTCCGCCCCGCTCATCCGCCTCGTCCTCTCCTCTTCTTCGCTTTTGTTGCGACGAGTCAGAAGAGCCTTCACTTCGGTTGATCGCCCAACCATCGCTTTCGCTTCGTTTTCCTGCTGGCTCAGATCACTCTTTACATTAATTTTCTTTTCGCCTTCTACCGGACCTTAATGTACTGGGTGTAATTGGGATTCCCGGATTCGACAATCGACGACCGAGCAACTCCATCGCCGCCTACGACGACGTCCATCGAACGCCGCCTTTCGATCCTCGATCCTTGATCCTTTCCATCTCCATCTCGCATTCTTCTTAGTGCTGTCGCTGGTCGACTCCCGCTTGGAAACAACACATTCCCGTCACAAACCGCAATCATGGGCGCACCAATGGGCTACCTTGAGCTCCTAAAGAAGCAGTTTACTGCCCCTAAGCTGTTCTTTCACTTCCTCTTCTGGACATTTCACTGGGGCATCTTCGCCTATGGCTGGTAAGGAAATCTCATTCACTATTATCTCACCCGCCGTCACTAACATCCTCTCCAGGTGGAAACAAGCCGCTGACGCCCGTTTGGCCGGCCTCAACACGCTCAAATTCTCAGTCTGGATCTCCCGAGGTGCTGGTCTCGTCCTGAGCGTCGACTGCATGCTCATCCTGCTCCCCGTCTGCCGATCTATTATGCGATGGATCCGTCCCAAGCTCCGCTTCCTGCCTCTCGACGAGAACCTCTGGCTGCATCGCCAGATCGCCTACTCCCTGCTCTTGTTCACCACACTCCACACCAGCGCTCACTATGTCAACTTCTACAACGTCGAGCTGACCCAGATCCGTCCCGTCACTGCCCTCCAGATCCACTACATGCAGGCCGGTGGCATCACTGGCCACATCATGCTGCTCTGCATGCTGCTCATGTACACCACCGCACACGCCCGTATCCGCCAGCAGTCCTTTGAGACATTTTGGTACACCCACCATCTCTTTATCCCCTTTTTCCTCGGCCTCTACACCCACACTGTCGGCTGCTTCGTCCGTGACACTGCGGAAGCCATCTCACCGTTTGCCGGTGACCAGTTTTGGGAGCACTGTATTGGATATTTGGGATGGCGTTGGGAGCTGTGGACCGGTGGCTTCTACCTGCTCGAGCGTCTATATCGCGAGGTTAAGGCCCGCCGCGAGACCAAGATCACCCGAGTCGTCCGTCACCCTTACGATGTGGTCGAGATCCAATTCAACAAGCCCTCCTTCAAGTACAAGGCCGGCCAGTGGCTCTTCCTCCAAGTGCCATCCATCTCCAAGTACCAGTGGCACCCCTTTACCATCACCTCTTGCCCCTACGACCCCTACGTTTCCGTCCACGTCCGCCAGGTTGGTGACTTCACCCGCGAGCTCGGTGATGCCCTCGGTGCCGGTGCTGCTCAGGCCAAGCTCTACGACGAGGTTGACCCCATGGGCATGTACGAGGTTGCTCTTCAGAATGGCGACCAGATGCCGGCTCTCCGCATCGACGGACCCTATGGTGCCCCCGCTGAAGATGTCTTTGAGAACGAGATTGCTGTGCTAGTCGGTACTGGTATCGGTGTCACCCCATGGGCGTCCATCCTCAAGAACATTTGGCATCTGCGCAACTCTCCCAACCCTCCCCGCCGACTGCGCCGCGTCGAGTTCATCTGGGTGTGCAGAGATACCGGCTCCTTTGAATGGTTCCAGACCCTGCTCTCATCCCTCGAGGAACAGTCCAATGAAGCCGCCCGCATCCCCGGTAGCGAAGGCGTCGAGTTCCTCAAGATCCACACATACCTGACGCAGAAGCTCGATATGGACACCACCCAGAATATCGTCCTCAACAGTGTTGGCGCCGAGACTGATCCCTTGACGGAGCTGCGCTCGCGTACCAACTTCGGCCGCCCTGATTTCCCCCGTCTGTTTACCAACATGCGCAACGGCATTCTCGACCGCACATACCTCAACGGTCTTGAGGGTAGCATGCGGACCACGGTCGGTGTGTACTTCTGTGGTCCCTCAGTAGCAGGTTTGTCTCCCCTCATCCACTCAAATACTCTTGTGAACATAGCGCTAACATTTATCCCTAGCTCGCGACATCAAGACCGCCTGCAAAGAGGCGACAGTCAAGGAGGTCGAGTTCCGCTTCTGGAAGGAACACTTCTAAGTCGATGGGTGCTCGTTTTATGTTTCTAAGATACCTACCCCAGCGTTGTTAAAAGACGTAACAAAGAATTGGACAGATTCCCGCCCAATGATTCTCTTGATTTTATAAAGCTCGGCGCAACAGGGCATCAGCACTTCTGAAGGATTTTTTTATGTACATCTAGTCGGGAACCGCTTCCCAGGGAGGCGACTTGCCTGTAATTGACATGGGAGCTGATGACGGAGAGCTTCTGGTGAGGAGCGTCGGTTATGAGCGAGATGATTAGCGTTATTGCAATACCATGTGTCATTGATGAGCATTCTAAGATTGATTTCCCTAGTACTTTTGAGTAGAGGTGTTGACCATAAATGGAATCGCCATAATGATGCTGCTTTTCGTGTTTAGGCCCAAACGTCTTGTGTTGAATGAACAGAGACGGGGCACTCTTAGGCTCAGACATGAAAGACGCGTCGCCGCAACAGTCCTACAGGATTCCACCGATACATGACGCACGCATACGACCGCCACAAGGGAACATTCTGGGAAGAGGACGCTTGGTGAAACAAGAGCTCGGAATGGTATCAACGAATTGTAATGTATCTAGCCGTCCCGGACGGTGGTGTGACGCTCAGCGCTCACACCAGAATTCACTCTCAATCTAGGTGAGGCTAAGGAACAGAGCAGAAGCAAGCAACACAAAACCAACATGGTAAGGGGTATAATAGTCTCGCCAGGGATCGTCACAGAACAAAAAAGAACCTCATTGGTCCATCACACCGGTTTCACTTCAGCATCACTCAATTTCACCTTGTTGAGAAGCTTCAGGTTGGAGGCCCTTAACCCACTTACGGGCCCCAAGGAGAGGCAGGATCTTCGGTAGACGGCGGAGTCGTCTTGCCTTTGCGCTCTTTCTTCTTCTTCACCTCGACTGCCTCGGGCTGCACGGTGCCATGCGACGTCTCGCCCTGCTCTGCATCGTGGACAGGCTCTTCGCCCTCTTCCTCGTCGCGGTAGCGATGCTCCTCGTCCACGAACAAAGCCGCATAATCGTCGCGTCGTCGCCGGACGCGCTCCACCCAGGGCAGCTCGGGGAAAGGCGGGCGGAGGCGGTGGTTGCAGTTGGGGCAGTCCGGAGGGAGAGTGCGCCAGGCGAGCCACTGAACGAGGCTGTGGATAGCGAGGCCGGTGTAGAAAGATTGCAGGGCGAGGAGCAGATGGACGCAGCTAGGCCTTGTGTTAGCGACAGCAAGTAATTAGCAGGTAAGTATGGCGTACAAGTTGACGAGCAGTGGGATCGTCGCATAAGCGGCCAGCATGCTCAGAGACGCAGAACCTCCCGGGGCGATCCAGGTAAAAACCAACACGACCATCAGCGCCGCAGCGAGGATCACATCGCAAGCAAAGACGAGAACAGGATGCGACAGCTTGGCCGCAAGGCTCTTATCGTCGTCATCATGGGCAGTGGCGCCACGGCGGAGCAGGAAGACGGCACCGGACGCGGAGAAGGCGAGGGGCACGAGGCCGACGGCGGGGACCGGGTGGTTGGAGAGGACGCCGTGCGCGATGCACAGGGGGACCGCCGGGAGGAAAGTCGCGATGGTGACGATGCGGAGGGAGCTGTGGCTGGCCGAGGGCTGAGGCGGAGAGGACCCGAAGTCGGAGGTCGTATCGTCGGCCATGACGCCGAGTATCACGGGGATGGATGATGGCGGACTGAGGAGAGTTGGGTAGGACCACTGAGCTTGAGGGGTAGATTATGGCCTTATTACAACCTCAGAGGTTATTTGGGCGTATCGTCGTGATCCAACCCCTGTAAGTGAGGGCGGCTATGATAGGCTGCCCGGCCAATGGTACAGAGGTGGAAGTGTCGCCCGGTGATTGAGTTTTGGTTGGAATTACACCTTGACTTGGGCCCTGGTCCGCAGAGACCTTAGACCTTAGACCTTAGAGGTCGCTAAAAGTCGAGCTATTAAGGTCTGAGGTCTAAGGTCCCAGCGGATCAGGGCCTTATCAACAGCAACAGAGACAGTGCGCGAGGGGAATTGGGAGAGGGCAACGGTCAGCCGAACTAGACCGCGCAACCAACTCCCCGAGTAGTTACCGTATCGACTCGATAACTTGGCCCTGTCTAAGCTATATACCTAAGGCTTAGATTTCCTAAGTCATTTGTTATCATTAGGTATAAAAAACCCCGAAGGCAATAAGTGGGGAAAAGATTCAGGGTCAATTTACTGAGCGATACGGTACTCTGGCGTGATTGACCCCATCCAGGTGAGAAAGCGAGAGAAGGCGCCCACCATCTCGGTGAGGGAAGCATGGGTTGAGAAGCCAGGACCACGTGGGGCAGAGTATCACCCTTGTTCGCGGAGTCGGAGCCAAAGAAGCCTGGTTTAATCTGGCCCTGTTTTGGCACTTGGACTTCGAATCCGGCAGGTCGGGCAGACAGGCTCATCCGAGAAAGATCGCTTCATAACAAGAGAGTGTCAGAGGGGTTTTCGGCCGTGGTTTCTGTCTAATCCAATGGCAATGCAATTATCGGATTTGCAAGCAGGGGTAAGCTGCTCGCGGCCACGTGCAAGCAGCCACTGATTCACCATGTGTCCGACTCAACAAATCTCCAAGTGCCACGAGTGAGCGAGTTTTCCAACAGCCGTGTCTCTCCCAGACCGCTGGAGGGTTCCGGCGTGGGGGAAATGAGGTGGAAAGGGTGATGCGCGGGAGGACGATGCAGGAAATAGACGTATGGCGATGGAGCCCGGGTTGCGATAGACCTGTCACAGCGGCTTTCCCTCCCTCTCCGCAAAAGCCGGCCCCTTTGCTGCGATAATGACCTGCACCCGGAAATGGATGGCCCCGGCCCTTGCACCTTTGATTGATCCACAAACAACTCGTACTTTGTGAGGGTGGCCGACGCGGGAGTGTTCACGAGATCAAATCCGGTTTTTCTTTTTCTTATTTCTTTCATTACACCACTCGTTGGGGCGAATCCCGGCGCCTAGAAAAGGTCCAAGATAGTCCGTGGGGGTCTGATACCATCATTCCATTGAAGGATATATGTATCAATGCCATATAAAAGCTTCAGTAACACCGTCGATTCCCTCGTCACGGGGCAGAATTTGGACATCGGTGTGCACCAAAGCAGCACCGTCACCTCTAACGAGATGTACCGCTGTGCAGAGGAGCTCCGAGTCAGCAGAACACAAAAGGCCTGGAACCCCTCGAGATGCGCTCAATGAGCATCAAGCGTGCCTTCGTTATATTCCCCTTTTCCATTCACCGCGCCAATCCGTGAATCACTCTCTTGGTGCATCTCCAACCCACCATACCGCTCAATTGTGCCGCGATTTCCGTACGACATTTTAATCACTTATTGTCGTATCCCTTCGGCCACTCGCTAAACCCTTTTGCCGTCAGCTGCAGCTCCCCCAAATCGTCGGCGTCGGATAGTCGCATCCCTTGGTCCAACGTTGAACTGTGGCTTAAGGAACGCAGCAAAATTTGAGTTGGGGGCGTTTTTGCAAGACCCGGGACCTGAGTGAATTTAAACTTTGGCCAAGATCCAAAGATTCAGACCGTTGGAGCTCCCTAATCGCCAAAGCGTCGTCACATAGCCGTCACCATGTTTTTCCGTTGGTACGCCAGGGCTTTCTCCATCATCAACGTCGTATCCCGCTCGTCGTTGCTAACCCCAATTCTAGGTACAGCGCCAAACTTGCCGCTCGCCCGCTGCTGACCCAGAGCGTCACCACTGCTGTTCTCTTCGCCACCGGCGACGTCACGGCCCAGCAGCTCGTTCAGAAGCGAGGTCTTGAGAAGCATGACATGATCCGAACTGGCCGCATGGCCCTTTATGGTGGATGTGAGTTTTTGACAACCACCTATGTATCATCCCCAACCGGTAACTAACTCTCTTCCAGTTGTCTTTGGCCCTGCTGCCACGACTTGGTTTGGAGTCCTTGCTCGCAACGTCAACGTCAGAAACAAGCGACTTGAGACACTCGCCCGCGTCGCCTGCGACCAGCTTCTCTTCGCCCCTGTCATGATTGGTGTCTTCCTCAGCAGCATGGCCACCATGGAGGGTGCCAGCGTCAAGGAACGCCTGGACAAGACCTACTGGCCAGCTCTGAGCACCAACTGGATGGTTTGGCCTTTTGTCCAGATGATCAACTTCACATTCCTCCCTCTGCAACACCGTGTTCTCTTCGCCAATGTGGTTTCCATTGGCTGGAACTCGTACCTGAGCTGGGTGAACAGTCAGTAGAGTGACGGGGGACTACCCAAGAAATCTTCTTGCGGCATTAACATAGAGGTGTGTTTTGGTTCGCATTTAGCATATTGCTTCAAAAGACGCATTGCGCCGAGGATAGAGAGAGATACAGGGAATTAGAGAGAGGCAAGCCTTTGGGGAAACCGTTCGTGTTTCCGTAGAAAAGACGATAGTGTCCATTGTACGATACTCAAGCCAACCAGGTTGCATTTCCTCGTGCGAGTTATCTTACGAGTATGGCGGCATCAGCCGCCAAGCCTCATTATCCAACACCCAAGTCTACTGCGACATGAAATGGGAGCCGTGATAACACTAGCGCACACTTTTGAGCGTGCAAAATGACACGCTCCGTAGAACCAGAACGATTAAGCGCCGATTTGCCAGTTTTAAATCAGTTGATGCCCCAATTCCCTGCGTCAAGCCGCGTGATCAATACAGTCTTGGTGGTTGGAGGTGTTGGGCGCTGCCAGTCTGTGGTTATCGTTGCCTTAGGCCACAAACAGTTAGCGCCACCCAGCCGGTCGCCGCAGCCTTTTACCGAGCACGGCCAAATCCGGGTTTGAAAGACATGCAACCGACATCATCAGGACTCATCCTGACCTCGAAACACCCCTCACCTCCCCCTACAACTCCGCGGCCTGCCCGCGCCCGGCGACAGGATGTTCTCCTCCTCGGTGCGGCGCGTCGTTGCTTCGGCCGTCTCCTCGACCCCTCAGACCGGCGCTTCGGCCATCGCCTCCTCGGTGTCAAAGGCCGCTCCCATCCTTGTCTACAAACACCAGCGAAGATGCTCCTCCTCGAAACCCTCGCGATCCGACAACGGCTCTAAAGAAATCTCGGCCGATCAGTCGGTTCCCGCCTCGTCGACCTCGACGCGGGGCGACGGCAAGGCGAGCGGCGAGAAGAGGAAACGCAAGAGCAAAGATGCCTCTGACCGGGCGGCTTCTGTCAAAAAGTTGCCCAGCGTTCCCAACACGCACCACATGTCTCAAGAAGGTAGGCAGATTTGAGCGAACAAATCGTGGGGAAAGGCTTCTAACAAAGTTTCAGCGCTTGGTCTATCAAGTTTCTTCTCCCTACATCGTCCCATCTCGGTGACACAGACAATGCCTCGAACAGTGTCAGACGAGCACTTTGCGTCCATTTTCGCCTCCCGAACAAAGTCCAACCGAATGTCCGACACTATGAGCACCCTTTCCGACACCATCGACCAGCTCGAGGGTCCCATGGCCCAGATGACCATCGGCAACCAACAGGAAGGCCAAGGGATGGGCGAGGCTATGCACAAGGTCGATATCAAGAACGCCGACGGCAGCGAGTCCAGCATGTACCTCCAGATCGACACCATGTCTGGCGAATTCCTGCCTTTCCGACCCCCACCTCTGCCTCAACCCCAGGCTGCCGCCGAGGCGAATAGCGCCGTGGCCGAGTCCGAGGCTGTGGAGGATGTTCCCCAACACCGCGTCTACAAGGCCCTTTTCACTATCGAGGAGTCCACCGACCCTGATGGTCAGATCCGAATCATGGCTCACAGCCCCCGAATCATGCAGGATAACCAGCCCCGAAGCTTTTTGGAGCGACTGGCCCTCCGCCAGCTGAAGTTCGACGAGGCCCAGGGCGGTCGTCGCGATATGCACGCCATCAGCGTCAAGAGACAACGAAAGTTGAAGATGAAAAAGAAGAAGTACAAGAAGCTGATGAAGCGGACACGAAACCTCCGACGCAAGCTGGATAGAACTTAGAGCTAGTTCCGACTGTACATAATCCTCCCTGATTCGACATGCAGTTTCTCTTGGGCTCACACGCATTCGGATGGGATTCTTTTTTGTCGTGGTGTCTGGCATGACCGGTGATGATTTGTCAATTCGATTTGAGGCATTGCGCTTCGAGGCTTTCTCTTCTATAGACTCGCGCAGGTAACAATCATCGTTGCAAACGGGACTGAATAGTTTCCAACTGGTGACTTTAAGTTCTCAGTAGCATTCACCTTGTATAACTAGTCGTCAATTCATTCTATTTCTTCACATATTCCTAGCCTTCCCTCCCAGTCATGAATTGATGTAAATTGGGTAGGCAATCCTGGGGCAACGGCTTTCTTCACAGGATCGAACTGGTAATGACAGTATAATTTCGGTGTAGAGTCGAGTCTTTTAGTAAGATGAATCGTTTTAACTGGCTATTGGTTCCTTGAAAATGTCATGGTTTCACCTGCGCGGATATATATAGATATATCTATGTTCTCAAAGCAAAGGGCCTCAAGTAAATCATAGAGATGCCACGTTTTATGTGACAAGAGTCAGTAACAAAAGGTTCTTGATTTCTTCCTATCTATTGATGGTGAAGAAGTCTGTCAGTCTTGATGAAGATGACAAGACGCTGCTGCAGGCTGCGACAAGACATGGCCAGAGCTACATGGCAAAAATGAGACTAAAAGGGAATTCGGTCCCCCTAGAGAAGTCGGCATGAGACCCGAAGCTTAGAGCCCCTGAAGTTTCACCTCGCATTTCGTTGATGGTGACCTTGGATGAGAGGTCAAGTTTTCGGTGAGCGAGGTGAGCCCCTCGGTGAAGCCCCCACCTTGAATTTTCATCCGCCCAACACCGCCCGGCAGAAAAGCGCCGACCGCCAAAATTTTGGATTTTCTAAGCTAGGTCCCGCCTCGAGTCGAATCCGCATATGCGCCGCCCAGAATCAAAGCGATTGGCCTTTGGAAAATCCTGCAAAGATGACGCGAAAAGCTGTGTAGGTCGCCATACGTATATGATGGTGTATTCGAGGAGCTAACAACGGACCATAGGGATTCGCGCATTCCCGCGCTCATTCGAAATGGATTGCAGGAGAAGAAGAGAAGCTTCTTCGTCGTCGTAGGCGACAGATCCAAGGATGTGATTGTGCACTTGCACTACATCATGTCTAGCATGGACATCAAGCAGAACAAGTCTGTTCTGTGGGCATACAAGAACAAGCTGTTGGGCTTTACCAGGTAAGGACGAGCGAGCGCGCCTCGCGATGCGACTTTGCTGATCCGAGAACCGCAGTCACCGAAAGAAGCGCGAGAACAAGATCAAAAAGGAGATCAAGCGAGGAATCCGAGAAGCCAACACCGAAGACCCGTTCGAGCTCTTCGTTTCACTGCACAACATCCGATACACCTACTACAAAGAGACCGACAAGATCCTGGGTCAGACATTCGGCATGTGCATTCTGCAGGACTTCGAGGCCATCACTCCCAATATCCTCGCGCGAACGATCGAGACTGTTGAAGGCGGCGGCTTGGTGGTTCTGCTGCTCAAGGGAATGAGCAGTCTGAAGCAGCTCTACAGCCTGTCCATGGATGTCCACTCCAGGTACAGGACTGAGGCTCACGACGACGTGGTTGCGCGCTTCAACGAGCGCTTCATCCTGTCCCTGGGTAGCTGCAACTCTTGCCTGGTCATCGACGACGAGTTGAACGTGCTTCCCATTTCTGGCGGTAAGGGTGTCAAGCCTCTGCCTCCTCCCGATCTGGATGAGCCCAAGACCCCGACCCAAATCGAGCTCGACACCATCAAGGAGGATAATGAAGACCGACAGCCCGTGGGATCCCTGATCTCCCTCGCCAAGACCGTGGACCAAGCCAAGGCGCTCCTCACCTTCACAGAGGCGATCTCCGAGAAGACCCTGCGAAGCACCGTCACCCTAACTGCTGCTCGAGGACGAGGAAAGTCTGCCGCCATGGGTGTTGCGGTTGCCGCTGCTGTCGCGTATGGATACAGCAACATCTTCATTACTTCTCCGTCCCCCGAAAACCTGAAAACTCTCTTCGAGTTCATCTTCAAGGGCTTCGATGCTCTGGGCTACGCCGATCATGCCGATTACTCTATTATCCAGAGTACCAACCCCGACTTCAACAAGGCCATTGTTCGCGTGAACATCCACCGACAGCACCGACAGACTATCCAGTACATCCGACCCCAAGACGCCCATGTTCTGGGACAGGCCGAGCTGGTGGTCATCGATGAGGCGGCTGCCATTCCTCTGCCCCTTGTGCGAAAGCTAATGGGCCCGTACCTCGTCTTCATGGCTTCTACCATCAACGGTTATGAAGGTACTGGCCGATCTCTCTCTCTCAAGTTGATCAAGCAGCTCCGAGAGCAGTCTCGCTCAGCTTCTTCAACCGGCGAGGGCACAGAGATCGCTGATCGATCAACCGGCAAGACCTCCAAGACGGAAGAGTTCCAGAGTGGCCGGAAGTTGCGCGAAATCACCCTCTCGGAGCCTATTCGATATGGCCAGGGCGATTCTGTTGAGAAGTGGCTCAACACTGTGCTCTGCCTCGATGCCACCCTCCCTAAGTCGAAGTCGAGCATCAACGGGTGCCCCGATCCCACCCAGTGCCAGCTTCTGAACGTCAACCGCGATACCCTCTTTTCCTTCCATCCCGTATCCGAAAAGTTCCTGCAACAAATGGTGGCGCTTTACGTCGCCAGTCACTACAAGAACTCCCCTGATGACTTGCAGCTCATGAGCGACGCCCCGGCCCACGAGTTGTTCGTCCTTGTCCCTCCCGTTTCCGAGGACAGCGCAAGGCTTCCGGAGCCTCTTTGTGTAATCCAGGTGTCCCTTGAAGGAAAGATTAGCAGACAAAGTGTGCTGAACAGCCTGAGCCGAGGACAAAGGCCAAGTGGTGATCTGATCCCTTGGCTTGTGAGCCAGCAGTTCCAGGACGAGGAGTTTGCGTCTTTGTCTGGAGCCCGAGTCGTCAGAATTGCCACCAACCCTGAGTACGTCTCGATGGGCTACGGCACCAAGGCACTGGAGCTCCTCGTCGACTACTACGAGGGCCGGTTTGCCAATCTGTCTGAGGATGAAGACCAGGTGATGGATGAGACCATGCCACGAGTCACCGATGCGGAGCTGGCCAATGCGACGCTGTTGGATGATGACATTAAGGTCCGCGACATTAACAAAATGCCTCCCCTATTCTCTAAGCTCTCGGAGAGGAAGCACGAGCGCCTCGATTACATCGGTGTGAGCTACGGCTTGACCGCTCCTCTTCACAAATTCTGGAAGCGTGCTTCTTTCTCCCCTGTCTACCTTCGACAGACAGCCAATGATCTCACCGGCGAGCACACTTGTGTGATGCTCAGGCCGCTTGAGAACAGCGACGACCGAAGCTGGCTTGGAGCCTTCTCACGAGATTTCCACAAGCGATTCCTGTCTCTGCTTTCGTACCAGTTCGGCACATTCCCCGCCATCAGTGCGCTTAGCATTGATGAGTCGGCCAACCTCGGCGCCCAGCTAGATTCCACGGAGGTTCAGGCTTTGACCAAGGTGGAGCTGGATAGATTCCTTTCTCCCTTTGACCTGAAGCGACTCGAGTCATACGCCAACAACATGCTCGACTACCACGTCGTTCTCGACTTGATTCCGATCATCGCCAACCTTTACTTCACCGGCCGCCTGAAGGCCGACATTAGATTGACGGGTGTTCAGCAGTGCATTCTCCTTGCTATCGGTCTGCAGCACAAGGACCTTGACGCTGTGTCCCAAGAGCTTTCCCTGCCTTCGTCTCAGCTCCTTGCGATGTTTATCAAGATTCTCCGCAAGGTCACTGCGCACTTTAGTACCCTAGTGACGGCTGCTGTGGACGCAGAGCTGCCTAAGCCCGAGATGTTGGGTGTGACTCGTGAGAATGCTAGCGGTGTTCACGATGATGAAATCGTCGACGACCGATTCGTTCCGCTTGCTACCACTCTCGAAGACGAGCTCGACGAGGGTGGTGATGAAGCCCTGAAGGTCTTGAGGCAAAAGCAAAGAGAGCTGATTGACTCTTTGCCCCTTGACCAGTAGGTACCACCCGCATGTTTCTATTCCTAGACTTTATTAACAAGGACACAGATACGAGATCGAGGGAAACGCTCCAGCATGGGAGGAGGCGGAGAAGCAGGTGTTGAACGCCACCAAACAGGGCAAGTCAAACCCGGTGGTCAGCGTCAAGTCGAGCAAGACGAAGCGGAAGGTTGGCCAGACAGCGGCCGAGGTCTACGAGGAGGCATTCGGCGACAAGCGGAAAAAGGCGAAGAAGTCTCGAAAGCACGAGTGAGGTTGTAGAATATCCTAGGTCTGGTCCATGGCTTGGCGTTTTGATTAGATGCTGTAGGGGTTTTAAAATGCAGAAGACTGTTTCTTGTTCATTGTTCACAACGCAGGGTCAACCGAGTAAGTAACAAAAGTGAAGTTCCTGCGCGCCTTTATCCTGATAATCAAACAGACAGGAAATCCAGTTTATCTCTCTAGACACTGTTATAAAACCATGTTCTACTCTCGGGTTTTCAGGCAGCCCCTGAGAGGGCGTCGAGGAAACGAGTCGCCGGGCCGTCGGCCTCTCTGGCACCTGTCAACCAAATCCGACGGCCCGTCGCCTCGCTCACCTCAGTGCCTACTACTGCTCAGAACGCATTCACTGTCAACATGTTCTTGGATCATTAACCCTCTTTTCACCCCCAACTTGTTTCCTTCCAACCCACTTCGCCTTCTTGGTTTCTTCGTCCCTGCACCATCAACATTCGACAACAAGCCTACAGCTCAACACTTGTTGTGTTACGGGGAACAGTTCTCCTTTCCGGACCTAAGTCTCGATTCACATCATCTCTGCAGTGTCGATCTTCAAGATGTGCCAAATCGTGTCGCCGCGGTGCTGCCACTGCGGCCTCGCCCAGCAGACATTCCCTATTGTATGCAAGTTCTTCATGCTGCTGGCCCGCCACGCGGTGAGGTATAACCAGCCGCACTGGATGCCCGACCCATGGCGATGCCATTACGCCAAAAAAGTTCAGAAACCGGTTCTCTCTGGCTGCAGAAACAACCACCCCTCCATGTCTCGGTTTGATACCATGCTGGTCAGGTTTGGAGATATCGAAACCGAGCAGAGTCGCCGCGTGAGAGAATTCGCCGCAAGAAAGCTCTTCGAAAGATACAAGAAGACCTTTGCCGATCAGAACTTTGCCAAGACGGTCCCGCCTCCACGAGAGAAGCCTGTGCCCTTCTTGATCGCAGCTGCACGGGTTGTTGAAGTGACATCGGAAACCGACTTGGAAACCGACTCCGATGAGGACGGCATTGAGATGCCACGCGGAAGAAAGTTCACTTGGGGTGAACGAAACTCTCGAGCCCGTGCCGCAGCCAGAACGAATGCGACTCTCCGATACGCACGCAACCACCCAAGTGGAACTACTCTCGCCTCTGGTATCCCAAGCCGTATCACTCTTGCTACTCGCAACTCCTCTGGCAGCCTTTCGGACGGGGACAACGTGCCACCAGCAGACCTTCTTGTGGATGTTGTACCTGAAAACGGATATCAGGGCCGTCCAAGACGCATGGTGGAGTTCAGCGGCCTAGACTCAACGATGGCACTGACACGCGGAAACCCACTCATCACTTGTTACGGTCGCGCAGCTCCCAGAACCGCCCCCGACTTCGTTACCCGAGTCGAAATCTGCAGCCAGCCACAGGGCAAGGCTACAAAAATCCTAGAAGGTGTTATCGACAAAGACGGTGCGACGAAGTCACCGTCAGGATTCGCACGCATGGTGGAGTTCAGCGGCCTCAACTCAACGGTGGCACTCACACGCGGAAAGCCACTCATCACTTGTTACGCCCGCGCAGCTCCCAGAACCGCCCCCGACTTCGTTACCCGAGTCGAAGTCTGCAGCCAGCCACAGGGCAAGGCTGCCATACTCCTCGAAGGTGTTGTCGACAGAGACGGCGCGACAGAGTCACCGTCAGGATTCGCACGCGCGGTGGGGATGATCCGAGACTTCTTTTCTGCTGGCCTTTGAGCTTCGAGTGGTTTTCATTGCGGATTTCTGGAGTTTGAGGGTAGACAGGAGAGCGGACAGGCGCACTTTGGAACACAGTGATTCGGAGTCGAGAACTCGCATCACGGTCAGATACCCGTCGTCGAATGACGACCCATGATTTGCTTTTGGATTTTGCTCTGGATAGAGCCTCTAATGATATTGCATGGACTTTCTTACGGGCTTCTGGACAGCCCTCGGACGGTCCTCGGTACGGTGCCTGGTATGGCCCTGGTAAAGGCTTGCATTGCACTTGCAATAATAGTTGTTTCTAATTTTAGAGTAGCAAATGCCTGAGCGCTCTAAGTACTCTATCGTTAATGCAATCATTGACTTGGTGATGCCAGATCTGGTATTCACGGACATCCCAAGCCATCAATGCTAACACTTCGCGCATGGTGACAGTATTGTGGAAGGGAGAACGTTGAAGCCCCAGCGTACCCAGCGACTACGATCGTCGAGTTCTTGGTCATGCTCACATGGACCTGTTTGAACACTCTAGTACACAAGAATGGGCTGTGGCTGCACAATCCACGATAGGTGAACAATACTCGATCCCAAGGACAGTGTGAGCCCATGCCGTAGTCCTTGGATTCTGATTTCATTGCTCAGAACAAGAAGCTGAGAGTTGCTTCAATCGCGACAAAGAGGAGACGGATTCTGGGGGCATTTGCAGGGGAATGGATGGGTGCCCAGAGGAGCAAGCCTTTGTGGACGACCTGGTATCCGTAGAGTTCTACGATTGGTACTGATTACGCTTTTATCCTGTTCATTTAATAACAAGTTATGCCTTCATAAGGTATTACGATGCACCTTCTGCGCGCAAGCACCAATACTCAAACGCCGTTCGATTCTGAGAATAAACTGAGACGGAAGAGCTTCAAGTTTTTTTTTGGCCTCTGAACAACGCCCGGTGCATTCCGAAAGCGGATGTTTGCTGCTTAAAAGTGAGTCGTTTGGTCGAGTTCTCACAATTCTCTCAGTTTGCATCTTCAGTCTCATCCTTAAATTTCCTCCTCCTGACTTTTTTTCTTCTGTCTTCTCTCCCTCCCTCAACCCATTCAGGCTTTCTCTCAAATCGACCACGTTCAAATTTGTCGCTTTCAGCGCCGGCTCCGGTCAGTCAAAAGCCCGACATCCCCCAAGAGACCGAAGTTTCTTTTTGCTAACCCGATGATCTCAAGATTGAGAAACACTATACTTCCCAAGGCACTTCTATATATTATACTAAGATGGACGACACAAGAAGCCCAAAGAGGGTCAAGCTCGATCTGGATTCTCCATCGGGGGGCGCCAATTCCACCACCATAAGCAGCCCAGTTTTGACTCCTGGATCCGAACCTGCGACCCCATCAACTCGAGCTACCTCGTCTCCTCGACCTACCCCGAGCCGGGATGTCCCTTCTGAAACCTCTGGAAGCGACACCGATGATAGCGATGCTGACGAAAGTCATGACGATGGAAGCGTCATCCTACCGAGTGTGGAAAGCCACCACCAGTTCGGGAGCGACTCTGAGGATATGAGCGACGCTGGTGACACGGTCAACGAGCCTTCTCGGTCAAATACCCCGGAAACATCTCTGACCTCTGACCTTGGTCATGTCAGTTATCGCGATCAATTGCTGGAGCGCCTCGCCTCGTTGGTCAGCACCGGTCAGTTATCCATCTACCCGGGCGGTCAGATTGTGCTAGACCAAGACATGCTTCCGGTGGTCCTAGTCCCACCACCAGTCATCCCTCCATCGGAACTACGCGATATTGAGAATGTTCTGGAAGCCTCCTTTCCTCTGACTCCAAGCTGGCTCAAGTTTCTTCAAGAAGTGAAGAGTGAGCTACTGCAAGTCAAGGCAAACAACGCAACCTGGACCCACGCGGATACCTGGGATCTCGCCAAGTTGGCTAACGAAGAGACAATGGCCGATGTCAATTCTCTGGCGAGCTTCTCGGATGAATTGACGAAGAATCCAAGCAGTGTCCGGAAGCTGAGGCTCTTGGGCCAGTTGCCTCAGAAGATCTGTCGCCTGATGGGTATTCCGGCCAGTCACACTTACGATGAGAGCGCCTGGCAAAAAGGCTTGGACGACAAGTTATTCGAACGGGATTACCCTTGTTACTCGAAAATCGACATGATTTGTCGGCAAATTCAGCTCTCCCGGAGGGTATCGCCACATGCCTATGCCCGTGATCGACGAGGCCCGTGCAACGTTGGTGAGACTCTTCGTCTTTTGGGGGAACACCCGGTGATCAGGCAACAATCCAAATTCATGGAAATGCCCGAGTTTGTCCATTTGAGCCAGAAGGTCCAGGAGATTGAGGGTGGGGATTGAAGCTGGTCTAAGGCCACGCGAGAAAGACCATTGTTCGGACAGTGAACAGTCAGTTTCTCGTACAGGCGATGCGGAAGGTTCGTGCCATCGACTGTTGGGGCAGGCAGGTCAAAGAGGACAGTAGGGAGTTTCGGCAGACTCAGTCTTGTCTAAGAATCGGGCATTGTTTTCAGTTTTTGTCGTTTTAAGTCACATACCATAGTATGTCGACCTCGGTTTCGCTTATGCTTAGATCGCAACCAGTACATCCCGTCATATATCGGAAACATGCCCTCCATGGCCAAAGTATTTCTCCATCTTGTTAACTCATGTACAGAGTTGGTCTGTCATTGTGAGGCAGCGGTCTACTCATGGATACGGTACCTCCGGTCGCCTTTGTGCTACTACTCTTGGGCCAAGTTGACAATGACGACACACCCAGCAAGAGAGCCACAGTAACACAAAACACATTGATCTACGTGTTTCAAATACTCGCACTAGCGCTGACGCCTGTTGATGGGGCTGCAGCAGGGCGCACGGGTGTTGTTGGGAGAGCCAATTAGGACAGGCTGGGAGACCAAGAACAGACGAGAGCATCAGTTATGGAGCCCAGTCTATCTTTGAGGGTGCCACACCACTTAATCACGGCGGACCGCGGTAGCTATTTGTCTACCTAAGCAAAACAAATGCTACCATCCCTGTAGGGTTCTCTCTCTTTGTGTCACAGGTAGGAGGGTGAACAGTGGCCAAACGAATTGCACAGACGGCACGTTCACTGCCTAATCTGGACTGCTATAGTGATGCAGGAAATTTGCACCCGATCAAAGTCACTCTCACAATACGCTACCTTACATTAGGGTACAAGGCATCGCCAGCACAAGGGTTCAGGTAACAGTTAGGATATAGTACTAGTATTTATCTTTAGATTTATTCTTATTTTTTTAGGACGCCTTATTATAAAGTAGCAGGAGATCGATTATGCTGATGAAAGCTCTCACGACACAGGCACTAAGGTGCGACCTCTCTGCGTTCCACTGTGGAAACAATAGGGGACAATGAATGGACAATGGATGGAGCCTTGCCACCGATGGCTGCTCTCCCTTTGTTCTTGGCACCCTTGTCCCCGTCTCAGCCTTCACTGTTCCGAGTATTCTTTTCTGCTAGCCCCGCCATCAAAGGGCGCATCGCCCATCCCCTTGGGATGACCGCTAACCTTACAAAAGGGATAGTTCGTCTTTGACCACCTCAGCCAGAGTCACCGACATCGCCTCCACTTAAAAAGGGGGAAACTCCTGCAACTTCGGTGTCGATCCGAGTTGGCCCTCTTTGCATCGTCGCATGCACCACAGAGTACAAGCGCGGACGTGCGCCGGACGAACCCTTACTAATTCGATCTGATAAGACTCTCTCTCCTCCGGCAATTTGCTCCGGATCGACTCTGCGCGTTCTGGTGGGCTGCCAGTTGTTCCAGCGTTCCTGCGTTCCTTCCATTTTTGCTTTTTGCCCCTCGCACTGCCGGCGCTAACCAGGGACCCCGGCAACCTGGTCAGTGAGGCTCCGTTGAGCAGGAGTTGGCAGGAGGTACGTACCCCTCACAAGCCACTTCTTCACTCCTCCCCCACCTGCGACCTGCGCAACCTGCGTCCTGCGACCTGACCTGCGGGCACTGAGACTTTGTGTGCTGCTGTCGCTGCTGTCGCGCAAGTGGTCGCTCCTGCTCCTTCGCCTTCCCAAGAAGATTGAACCTTAGTTGCTGACCGGCCTCCTCGCTCTTCAGCCTTGTCAAATCCTCTCCCGACACTCAACATCCTGGCCCTACAGATTCGACCCCTCGTTCCCCCGCGCCGCCTCCAACGTCCGTCATCGTTTCACTGCCGCTGCGCTTGTGCGCCCGAGTATGCGCCTTCCGTCTCCCAGATTCTTGCTCCTTCCCGAATAGCCCTTCTCTCCCGCTGCCGCGGCCCATTGACTGTGCTCCTTCCGCTGCCGTGGCCTCGCGGTGGCTCCGTGCGAACCGCCACCGGCCCTCGTCAACTGCGCTGCGGCAAGGCCATCATCGACCGATAATCACCGCCCGCGCTGGCCTGTCGCAACCGGGTCCAAGAGGACCCTTCCAGCGCCAATGGAGTTCCAGCCGACGTCACTCGAGGCATTCGCCCTATCCTCTGGCCCTCAGGAGCCCTCGCTGGAGATGCAGCCCGAGGCTGATGGCCATTTTGCCGCTCATTCTGCCGTCACTCACTCATCCCACCAGCCCCAGCGCCCAGACGACCAGGGTCCTGTCCCTATCCCCGCCAGTTTCGTCATCCAACCAACACCAGCCACAGATGTCCATTCCCCGAATCATAACCGCAACCTTCCCTCGCCAGCGATCGCATCGCCTCATCTCACTCCCTCACAGGGGCTATTGCCGCCCCTCTCCAACTGTCCCGCCTCGCCTCAGAGCTGCAGTGGGAGCTCCGAATTGAGCGATCTAGACCCCGAGTTGTTTCCCATCGACTGGGACCTCGATGGCCCCGCCGGCCACCAAGTATTGCGTCTCAAGCCGACTGTCGATCAATGGAACGACTTTCCTGCCTTGCTAGCCTTCGCCCGAAGTCGACATGCCGACGACGATGGCTGCTTCAAAATTATCCTACCGCTTGAGCTCCAGGAGCCCCTCCCCGAGAAGAGTTCTCATAAAGTCCCGGCAAACGCATACAAGCCTAATCAGATCAAGAAGAATAGCTTCTGGCGCGTCAACACTGTTCCATCTCTGGGCACCTTTGCGTCCTCTGTGCTCGGGCCAGAGTGCACCACCAGTGCTGCCGAGGCCGTCGACGATCTAAGGAAAATGTTCCGAAAAAACGATCGCAAACAGATTCGCAATGTTCGCTATCGTGTCGACGTCCCCGCCTGGACCCCAGATCAGCGCCGTGCTGCCGGCGTACCTGAGCGGAGTCCCATCCATCCACTGAAAGGAGACAAGCTGGATCACACCAGAGCCATCATTCCAGGAATCCACACACCCTATGTCTACGAATCTGGCCCCCACTTTGGAGCGAGCTTCCAGATCCATGCAGAAGATTTCCGTCTAGTCTCACTCAACCATCTGTACAAGGGCCGAAAGATCTGGATTGTGGTCCCTTCGACCGCAGTCGACGTTGCTGAGGAGGCTCTCGGACGAAGAGATAGGTGCTCACAGTTCATGCGCCACCGTGCCGAGTTCTTCTTTCCACAGAAACTCACCAAGCTCGGCATCCCCTTTCGCATCGTCGATCAACGCCCCGGAGAAACAATTGTCATCTTACCTGATGCATACCACGAGGGCTTCAGCACGGGATATACCATCGCGGAAGCAAAAAACTACGCCGACGCAGCCTGGACCACTGACACGTATCAGCCGTGTGAGACGAGCTGTCAGCTCGCCACTGCGATTCCTGCTGATCTCTTGAGACCCCTGGGAGAGGGTGAATCACGGTTAGACTTGTGTACCGGCTACGATGCAGTAGTAATGCCTGAGCCGGCGAAGCGGAGGGTGGAAGACGAGGATGAGGATAATCGGGATATTAAACGAATCAAGGAATAGACATCGGCGCATTGGGAACGGTCTGGAGTTGCTATTTTCACGTCACGGTTGAGTTTTATTTTGGGCGGCAGGTTGTGTTACGACTTCGGAATACCCAACACGTACGGCGTACTTCATCTATCAGGGCAAATGGGGCATGATATCATGGGTTTTGATCTTCCCTCTCTCGTATTTATAACATACTCGACAAGCAGCATCCCTTAGCGTCTCGGGTTTACAAGGTTTGAGGCTGGGATTGCAATGACTGTCAAGGACCTAGGGCAGCTTTCAAACTATTATAATGTCTGACCATTTTTGCCTCATCACGCTCCCAGATTGCCTTGATCCCATGTGTTAGTAAATACAATGTGATGCACAAAATCCTGATCCAGAATAATATACTACATCAGCTCGCTTGCTCAACACATCTAGCCCATTTTCCCGCTTTACTTTATATTCCATTCAAATATATGCTAGTTCTTTTTATTAATTTCAGAGTACAAGCCTACGATATTTATCCTAACCCGAGCCCAACTTGTAAGATTGTAATACAGTAAATTATATAGATTAGCAGTACACACCTCAGTACGGAGGGCTCTTTTAAAAATCTTATCTATAAGAAGTAAGTCCTAATTATTAGATTAGATAATAAGTATACTAAATACTTTCTAATTTCTATAGGCCCTAAAGGATAGCAGGCTACAGTATACAGTAACTGCTATATCCTGATTAGCAGTATATTACTCCTGAAGTTACAGTAGCTATTTAACGAGACTGTAATAGCTTTATATATCTTAAGTAACCGATAGGAATAAATAGATATAATATTACTAGCACTTAGATAAGACTTTTAAAAGAGTCCTCCGTATATTGCTTTGGATCAAGACTTTATATATTTTATTGTAATTGACATTTGTATTTATTTACGTAACCCATCATGTCTATCATTACTCCAACTAGCCGCTGACAATTGCTCCCATCATTACCAAGTTCGTGCCATGTAAGACGATGTCAGAGTATTTATCATATAGCTCCAACTGCTTTTCCTTATTCCTTCTATCATCTAACGTCGCTCACGCTCCTGTCTCTGAAGCTCGTCCCGGAACACGTTGCGACCACCGGTGGTGCCCTGTTGCTGGAACGAAGGGGTGACAGGGCTGTTGGCCAGGCTGCCGAGGGCATCGCTGTCACGGCGGGGTCGCTCAGGAGCATCGCGGTATTCGGAAGCGAGACCAGCGGCGCGAGTGTCGAGCTGGATGCCGTTGTCCTTGCGGCCACCAAACATGCGACGCGTCTTACGGCCGGTGTAGCCATCGCGCCTGCGGCTCATGATGTTGCCGAGTGAGATCTTGCGCGTCTTGCGGTTCCACAGGCAGCCACCGATGAGAAGTAGGACAATGGAGCCGAAGGCGACGGGCAAGGCGATGGTCAGGGTCTCGCCGGTCGGGGTGGGCGTTGCCGGGTTCTTGGGAAGCGACTGCTTGGAGAGCTGCACCCAGAGGGAGGTTGACTTGGTCTTTTCGGCGCTGCCCTTGATGTTGCTGTATAGGGTCAGGGTGACGTTGTGGTCGCCGGAGCCCTTGAGGTACTTGGACTCGACGGTCATGGGCCAGAAACCCCAGGCGGCGGGGACGCGGGAGAACTTCTTGAGCTCCTTCATCTCGCCGCTCGTCTCGTTGAGGTAGTCGAGGCGGACGGCAACTTCGTAGGTGGTGTTGTCCTTGGTCTTATTGAAGTAGTCGGGATCCCAGGTGACTGGTAGAACACAATCGTTAGCCCAGCGCCTCGAGCAATTGGTTCACTTGCGTTTACTTACCGTAGTAGGTTGAGCCGACAAACAGGGTGCTGTTGGACGCGGGGTCACAGAACGGCGCGTTCTCGCCGTCCTTGTTGTGGCATCGGGCAAAGGCACCCTCGCCGCTCTTGGCCGTGGCGGTCGGGTTAGGAGGGTCGCCAGTTCTGGTGGTCTTCTTTCCATATTGGGTTATGGTGTAGACGGTGGCGGTGATGTCGTGAGGGGCGCCGTGCTCGACTGCTGAGGTGGTTCCATCGATGACCGTGATCGAAGGCGTGTAGGTGGCGGCAGGCTGGCCCTCGTCGTCGACCGTGACCCAAGCGGCCGTCTGGTCGGCTCTCTTCTCAATGGCAGTCCGCTTGACAACATCGGGCTCCTCGACGGCGCGAAGGCGAACGGCCGGCTCCTCGACGCCGTTGTCAATGGGAGAACGCTTGACGACAACATTGTGGTCCTCAACGCCACGGTAGCGAATGGCCGACGCCGAGGCCGAAGCCACGGCGGACAGGGCGACGAGGATCGTAGACGCGTGCATGGTGTTGCAGAGAGGTGCTTAGACGCGTGCCCGGGGGTTTCGGTGTCTGCGCAATTGACCGGCCAGCTGAGGAGATGAGAGGAACCCAGACAGATGGACGAGAGAGGGAATGAATAAACGAAGGAAAAGGAAAAGGGAAGCGGGAAAGTCGGGATGAGAAGGACGAGAAGGATGAGATGGATGAGATGTGGATGACAAAAGACGCTCGGATGGAATTGGCCGCCAGCGTTACAACCAACCAAAGCGAGGCTTTTTTTTGCTCTCAGCTTCCTTCCCTGGAACCTCTACGAGCCCTGTACTTCCAGGTTCTCCAGCGCGTGTGGCTGGCGGCAGCCCCCCAGTGTTTTGCATCCTCGGGTGGCGGGCAGCGGGCCCACGGGGGACGATTCAGGGGGGTCTAGCGCTCTAGGGGCTTCCGATGGGGCGCCCGTGTGAAGCCGGAAGGCCCGCCAGAAGGCTCTAGCACCGGCACTACTGTAGGTACACGCCAGGTACGAGGGCCGCTGGGGGCATGCCGATAGTGCCGAGCCTGATGTCATTGCCGCCAGATTCGCCTGTCCGGTGTTACTCTCTTGAGACAGGCCTGGAGACGGGAGTGATTCAATGAATGCATCACCAAACATGCTTGACATATACAGGCGTTATGCATATTGTTTTCTCGCAACCCTGCCGGTGTTGCTTGGACAATATTGGAAATTGGCTCATAAACTGGAACCCATTCCTTCGTGCCGATCAATCAACTTCCCGACCCCTGCCCATGGCCAGTCAACCTACCCTGTAGTGGTATTTTTGTCAACGTCCGGTTTGCTGCTGATGGGCTGTTCTGCATCGTTGGTGGTGTTCCTGTGCGTCGTGAACATGTGGGATCATACGTGGATGAAACACGAATGCAATATCTAATCAATTTATGTTGCTGGTCGGATCTGTTACGCGAATTGGGAAATGAGACAGGCCAAGATGATGCTGTTCATGCGAGCATCGCGACTCGACCCAGTTTCAACATCGCCCCCCAACGGCATCCAGTCCGTCAACTCCGACGAAGCCGGATGAACATATAAGAAACCCCACTGAAAGAACAACAGTATGTACATGGCCTTCCACCTGATTCGGCTAGAAGCCCCCCAAAAAATATCTCACGCCAGGGCTTATGTGCCGCTTGTGCTTCGTCCACTTCAACAAGCGGGTCCACGAGATCCTCTGGTGAGATGGCCGAGTTGGTTATGGCGCCAGGTTAAGGTCAACCTTAACACCTCAATTTCCTGGTGGAGCAATCCTCCTGGGTTCGAATCCCAGTCTCATCAGCTTTCTTTTTTGCCCTTTGACGAGGAGTTTTGGGAGTCCTGCTGGGTCATGTTTTTTTTGTTGATACTCATCACTCAGTGTGAAGAGTTTTTAGTGTGGGTGGTTTGCAGCTTAGCAAGTGGATAATTAGCTAGCCAATCATAGTATAGCAGTTGCATTCCTTTATTGGAAACCCGAATAACAAGGAGGCCCTTTTAAAAGTCTTGTCCAAGCGCTAGTAACACCACATCTATTTATCCCTGTCGGTTACCTGAGATACATGAAGCTGTCAAACTCTCGTAAAGTCATCTGCCAAGGCCGCTGTAACTTCAGGGGTAGTAGGCGCCGCTGATCAGTATCTAGCGGTTGCTGTGTGCTGTAATCTGCTATCCTTTAGGGCTTATAGAAATTAGGAAAATAAAGATTAGCACAGAGGGAATACTTGTCAGTTAGAGTTCAAGCTGCTTCCTCAACTACCTGGCCTAGCCTCCCAAGACACCCAATTAACTATGTATGGGCGCCACAGGTGTGTGTGACATTCAATGGAGAGGAATGTAGAGGAAGTCAACCCCCAAAAGTCACTACTGATTGGCACGCTAGCATAAGCTCAAAGTCACGTTCGACATGTAATTATACTGAGGGACTGAGGGCTTTTTTCACCATGGCGAAAGCGCATGGACTGATTCCAACCTCTATATCAAGAGCCCTGGTCAATGACCAATGACTATATGTGACGAACATGCACTGAAACGGTGGAAGGATGTAAGATCTTGGAGGAATCATGTCGCAACTAAGAAATAGAGAACCGGGTTTATCTGACCATCCTAAAAGACGCCTGCTCGCTGCTGTTCCTGTATCCGACTCTCTGATGAGCATGTCGTAGGAACCCCAAAGTGATTCGCGAGAAAGGCAATTCCACACCAACAATCCGTTTTCGCCATGTAAATTGTCATAATTTCGATCCCTTCACCTCCTTCTAACGATCTTCACGATACCGTACTTGTCCATGCTTGCCGTCTCGTCACCCGACATCCACATGCCTCCGTTGGAGTTGTGCTCCGTGTCGACTCCGCCGCTCTTGTGCGCCTTCTCCATCTCTTCGCGGAACTTGGTCTTGGGCTTGCCGGCCTTGACGCGCTGCTTCTCGAAGAAGACGTAGGCCGCGTAGTATGTGATGTTGGTGTTGCCGTCGATGACGCCGCTGCGGCCCATGAAGGAGCGCAGGTTGGCGGCCGACACCTTGCGGTCGTCGGTGAAGGTCTTGGAGATCTCGCGCACTAGGGCGACCTGGGTGACGCCGTCCTTGGCCAGGAGCGCGCGGATCTTCTTGCGCACCTCGTCGCAGGTGTCGAAGATGGGGACGCTGTTGGACTGCTCCCTGGGCAGCGTCACGTCGCCGACGTCGAACAACTCGGCCGCCTTCTGCGTGCTCTCGGCCGTCTTGGGCTTCTTGGGCTTGGTGGCCTTGAGCGGGAGGCCCTGCAGCTCGCGCTTCTTGAAGAAGGCGCACGCCTTGTAGTACGTGTCGCAGCCTTGGCCGTCCCAGGTGCCGGTGCGGTTCATGAAGGAGCCGTACGCCTTGGAGCTAACGCATATGGCGTCTTGGAACTGGCCGACCTTCATGGCGCCGGAGTCGATCCAGGTGCGGATCTTGCGGCGTACCGCGTTGCAGGTGTCGGAGCGAGTTGGCCCCAGGCGCTCGTCATCCGAGTCAATCTCCTCGACATTCTCTGGGAACAGGTCCTCCTTGGTCTCGACGACATCTGACTTGCGCTTCCTGGAAGCTGGTTTCGCTTCGGCCGGGACAGGTGCAGCGACTGGCGCAGGCGTAGGGGTCTGCGGCACCTTGCCCGCCTTACTGAGCCCCGGCGCAACATTCTCGTTTGTCGGGCCTGGCGGCGACTGGTTTCCATGGCCAGCTAAACTCTGCAGATTTCCATTTGCCAACTTGGGAAGCGCATTCGGCGCGAGGCCGGGACGAGGCGCGATTGGGACGATATTGGCGTTGAAGGTGGCGAGCGCGCGCGTCGGCGACCACGACCACCCGGCGGAAGACATGTTGCAAGCGAGTTCGGAGTAGATACTCGAGAGAATGCGGTGCAGTGAAGAAGAGAATTCGTTGCTGCACCACGACGGCCAATGATCTGTGATGGCTGGCAAGCTGGCGATATCCTACGATGACGTCGATTGATGTCTAATAATGGCCGTTCGCACCTCCGACTGTTATTGTGTTTGACGCGTCTGCACTATAACTTGTATCGACCCGTTTTCCGTGGGCGGGGTATGATACTGTGCGCTGCAAGTGTACATCACATTGCTTTTTCGGCCGCTGTCGCATTTTCTACTGGCTTAATTAGTATCAGCCTGGTTGTATTTAGCCCTAATTATCCCCCGGTCTGTCGGAGCCGGAGCCGGTCGGGTCGGAGCGGGGCGCCGGAGCCGGAGCAGCGGATTTGAATTACCGGGTACGCTACAGGGCCATAGGTCGGATGAGATGCGATGCGATGCGATGAAAGGACTTAAAAACCGCACTTGAGCCTGGACTTCCCCATGGGTGATCCCCCGGGATGGGTCCTGGCCCTCAATGTGACATCTCCCCGCAGTATGCTCCGTTGTTGGATGCATCCGCCTTCTTCGGGGACTACAGAGTGGAACTCTTTGTTGGCGGGGGTCAGCAGAATTAATCTTCCGCGGCACATCGACTTGCTCGGCAATGCATACGGGACCCCATGGACGGCCAGAGAGAGTCAGCAGGGCTGTGGCGAGGTTGTGTTTCCATTGAGGCAAGTGATCATGTACATCAAACGCAGCAAGGTTGGGGCGTTCGGAGTTGTCGTCATGTTGACCCAAGAGTTATGTAACGAAAATGAGCGCCATCCGGGCTGGTTTTGGCTTCAATTTCGGTTGATGTACTAGGCAGTCTGGATCTATCACCAAATAGTGCACCCGGCCGAGAGAAGAGTAGCCAGCTAAGAGAAGATGGCGGAAATGGCTGGGACCGGAGGGACGTCGTTGGGCCACTAGCCTCAGATTTCCAAACTACGCGCCAAGCAGAAAAGGGGGCGTTACAACTCTCGTCCGGCTACCGCAGCCGTCGAGTTAGCTCGTACTCCCAGGAAAGTCTCGTCCAACCCCAGCTTGTTCGATGCTCCCTCCCTGTTGCCTTGTGGAGCTCGTGCGACCAAGTCCAAGGTGGAGCTGTGGGGACTCGTGGCATGACTCGCTTCAGGGCTAGACAGACTGAGCGTGGGGGAATCCGAGCATGGTTGTACAAGCTCGTGGGGGTTATATGTCGAAAGGAGGCGCCTGATCGACTCCCATTCGACGACTGGCTGATGGTTGATGGCGGCGGAATTCCTCGGCCGAGATGCTCACCAGATGTTGCTTTGCCTCCCTGACCGCTATCCCTTTCCTCGGGCAACCTTAGCCCAGATGAGCAGGTATAAATAGGATGGACGCGGAGGTCCTAATCATAGCTCCCATCTGAGAGGATATCCTGTGCTGCTTATTGACTTTTGACCTACTTCTTTCTGCTGCTGCTCCCGTATTCACTGCAAACCACTTCAGAATCCAAAATCGCCACATCATGACCGCCTCCGCTGGAGCAAAGACCAATGGCACCACCAGCCATCCTTCTGGCCCATCACCCACCCCTCTGAGTGAGGGCATCTACGTCCCAACAGTGGCCTTTTTCACTCCTGAAGATACTGTCGACATTGCAACCACACGAGCCCACGCTGCTCGCCTTGCGAAGACAGGCATCGCCGGCCTCGTAACACATGGGTCCAATGGCGAAGCTGTTCACCTCGACCGCGCAGAGCGACAAGCAATCACCAAAGCTACTAGGTCTGCGTTAGATGCTTCTGGTAAACCCCATAAGCCTTTGATTGCTGGGTGTGGCGCACAATCTACCCGAGAGAGCATTCTGCTTTGCAAAGAGGCGGCCGGCTCAGGGGCCAGTCATGCTCTCGTCCTGTCACCAGCCTACTACGGTGGCTTGCTCACAACGGACTTGATTCTTGAGCACTTCCGGGCAGTGGCGGATGCGAGCCCGATTCCAATCCTCATTTATAACTTCCCCGGCGCGTGTAGCGGCCTGGACATCAACTCAGACAGCATTCTTGCCCTGTCAAAACACCCCAACATTGTCGGGGTCAAGCTGACTTGCGGAAACACTGGAAAGCTAGCTAGAGTTGTGGCAGGAACCAAGGGGACTTCGTTCCGGACCTTTGGCGGGAGTGTTGACTTTACTATCCAGACACTGGCCGTCGGTGGGCATGGCATCATTGGCGGCACGGCAAACGTGGCTCCCAGGGCGTGCGTGCGGGTCATGCAACTCTGGACAGACGGCAGACAGGAGGAAGCTCGGGGACTACAGGAGATTGTAGCTCGCGGCGATTGGGCCGCGATCAAGGGAGGTTTCGTGTCGGTCAAGGCCGCCCTGCAACGCTATTACGGCTACGGAGGGAGTCCTCGGAAGCCCTGCGCTTTTCTGGAGGGAAAGGCTCTCGAGTCGCAGTTGGCAGGGTTCTCAGAGCTGGTAGATGTGGAGAGGACGTTGGAAGGATCTAGTTAGATGATTGCCGCAACTGAGAGGGAATCGGGTTAGGTCGGGCTTCAAGCTGGGAATGGAGTTAGTGCAAGATCTTCTGGTTAGCAAGTTGGAATACCCACTATCTACCTACTAATAAGGAGTGAATCGTGGATATTGTGCCGAGCCTGTTCAATGTGGCTTTGATCGTCACTCGATGTTACCTTGCGTCCCGCTCCTGCACTCGCCCACGTCCAAGGACGAGAGATTTGAGCGGTTGCGGCGTGCCAACGGGTCCTAGGAGTAGTCACCGATATCCCCAAATAGCGGCAGACAAAGAATATCGCCTCAACAACGAGTAGGTGACGGTCGTCCTTCTCCTCATAGTTGCCACACCCCACGTCTTACACTCCCACGCCCTAAGGCGTAGCAGACGGGAATGCAGGCCACCCCCAAACTGGCCGCCAGATGCAACCTAGCATGCAGGATAAATTTCCGCGTCCCAAAGATCTCTCTGGCGGAAAATAACTCCTCCAGCCGAGCTCTGCGGGTCCGTTCTAAACCCGGCGAGCTGGGTCCAAACATTTAGCGGAGTGGCATGAGATCCCAGTATGTAATGCTTTTGAGGCAATTGGTTCCTGGAATCTTATTATGTAGGTCATACCATTACCCCCACGGACAAGTCGATCTATCGAGAACAATGCTCTTTGCTAGCACCAAACATGCTCTAATGGTCATCTCCTGGGCTTGCCTTATTGTCCCTGTCCGAAAGAACTGCGTTTTCGGCAAGCTCCCTTCAGATGCCAAGGGACGCTGGGGCATCTATGTTATGGTTCTTGACAAGCAGCGTTATCCCAAATGCACGATGCATGATGCACGATGCACTATAGGTAAGAGGCACCATCGTCGTCGATCGCATATGCCTGATTGATTAGATCGCTCTGTCTCCGCCTCATCGATTGAAACTGAATGGGCAGCGAGTAGTGGAAGTTGGCAGCTCTACGGATGGGAAAGGTGCCGGCAGCAAATCAGCCGGGTCGACAATTGGAGCCTCCGATGCCACTGGTGCTGGACAAGCACGGAGCAAAGAAGAATTGGACATCCACGGCACGTACAAGGCCAATCTCGTGGTCGTGGTCGGAGAACTTCTGCCAGACGTTCCAAATAACTCTGTGAAGGCGTTCAAGAGGATGAGTGTCTTCGACTTTGACCACCACTCGATCCCTCCCACATTGCCCAATCTGCCCATCGTCGTCCGAAGGCTGGACGATGAGAGGACCAACTTGTTCCTTCTCCAGGACAAGAAGGATGGGCTGTGCAAGATTGCACAGCTTCCTCTCGCCGGCCGGGACAAGATCGTCTGGTATAGCGAGTGGACGGCCGGCGATGACGCCACTCAGGCCAAAACTCGACAGAACATTTGGCGAAACAACATCTCCAGCTTCTGTAAATCTTATCAGGAAGAACACCAGAATAACTTGTTGGATGTCCTCAAGAATGACGATGTAAGCCTAATCCTCAAGACTAACGATGTCAGGCCTAACCCTCAAGACTGACGATGTCAAGCCTAACCCTCAAGACTGACGATGTCAAGCCTAACCCTCAAGACTAACGATTTCCAGCCGAATCCTCAATCGACGATGGATATTAATCCTTTTGAGAAGTTGGTTTCTTCCACACTGACCAGATGGTCACTGTACGATCTGACGGGATCAACAAATTACATTGGCCAGACGCGGGCCTCTTTGTAGGATGCTCTTGGAGATGTTGAAATTGGAGTCCATCGAAGAAGAGGCGGCTGCAATCTTGCGGCACTTGATCAACAGCAAGGAAACATTCGAGTACGATGAGGCCAAAGAAGCGGCAAGTGCCTACGAAGTGAGTCTCTTGCATCATTCAGATCCATCTGTTATACAGATCGTAGCTAATTCACAGCAGGTCCTCTCGCCATCCATCCCCGAAGGAGTTGAAACGACAAATGTCAACGCCGAGCTACTGATGCACCTGGCCTGTGGTATTCGCGAAGGGGAGCTGCCCGACCCCGTTATGGAAGAAGCCTCGTACATCTTGTTCATCGAGAACTTCTGTGAGCTATATGCCTACATGAAAGCTGAGGGACTCCCGAAGCGAAGAGAAGCCATTCGGATCGCCCACCGCGTGGCCTTCGCTGCCTCTAGCCGGTCACTTCCCCCGGCGACCGTGGTACAGGATGTTGAAGCGGACCGACGAAGGCTTTTGTTGCTAGTGGAGCAATGCGGCGAAATGAAGAACCTTGCAATCCAAGCTTTAAAGGCATGGATGCTGCAAGGTCGTGACTATTTTCCTAGTCAATGCAACATCGCACCCGGCACCAATATCGAAAGTATGCCTGGTCACTGTCGAAATATTCTGGACGAGAAAGACTACGATACCGCGTTAAGCCGTATGAACGAGGTTCTTCATGTCTTCTATTTGCACAACCAGGCTCCCCTTTACCAGGTTATCAAGATACTTGAGTCTGAACGGGATGTGTGGAATGGCATCAAGGAGCAGCTGACCCGCGAGTCTATCGGTCGCGACAACGATACCGAAGAAGCGCTGGCGAGGACGCTTAGAAGAAGCTTGGTGGGACTTGGGCGGCAAGGATATGGATTGCAAGGGCACGCTCAGCTGTGTTCTGCAGGTGCTCTGCTTGTTGGATTTATTTCATACTTTATTTTATGATTTATTTTATGATTTATTTTATGATTTATTTTATAATTCATTTTTCTAGCAGCATCGCCAGCATTCTCGAGACTCACATCAGCATCAGACTCAAACTCAGCAAAGTCGTCGGAGTCAAGGGTTGGCGAATGGTTGTAGGAGGAGGCGACAGATATCGCAAGACAATCGTAGCCGAGACAAAAGCGGAAGGCAAGAGAGTTGAGGGAAGGGGAGGCTTAAGTACCTAGGCAGCGACAGGAGGTAGCTGGCCACAAGCAAGATAAACGCTGGCAGTAATTCATCACTATGCGTCGCTCGGGACTGAAAGACAGGGGTTTACATTCCCATTAGGAAAAAAAACATTTTATATTCTCATCATTGACTGAGCCTGTGAATATCGCAAAGAGATTATGTCGCCCAGAAACCCAAAACACTTTTCTTTATCCTCCCTTCAGCCATTATACCACCCTAAACAGCATATCACCATTATGAAACGCCTATTACGTGTATCCATGCAATCCCGAATCGTGAGAACATGATTGACTGAAAGCCAGCAGCCTCCAGTCCATGAGTCGCTTAACGGTGATCATCAAATGTAAGCGAGTGCGTCTATTCCTCTAAAATCCTTATTCATCAGGTTCTCCTGCCCTTCATAGTACCGTAGCCCTTCGGTTGCAGCCCATCACACTCGGAGTCTGAGTCATCTAGAACAGCAGAGCCATCTATCAAGAGCGAAGTCGAGGCCGAGGAATCACTATCCTCGGCATCACTGCTCTCCACGGACGCCGACGGACCATCGCCCTCAACGATTAGGAAAACCGGGACGGCTCCCATAATAGCAAATGCTGTCAAGTAGAACCAGGAGGCGACGGTATACCCGTGGTCGGCGCCCCATGTGAAGGCTGCGCCAGCGGTTGCGGGGCCTAAGGCTCGACCGATACCGCTGAAGGTGGTTGCGAACCCGTTGAGTGTGCCGAGGACGCGCACCGAGCTGCACGAATTGGTGAGAAGAATGGTGGTGGATGGGAAGCCGACAATGATGGCAGCACCCTTGACGAACATGACCAAGAGTAGGGCGGTTAAGCGAGCCTGCGAGGTTTCAAACAGCACGCAATAGGGAGTCAGGAAGTAGGCAATGGGCGTTATGAGACCTAAATATGTTAACAATCGTACATTGTTGGCCGTAATAGGAGCATGACTTACTGCAGACTTTGAAGCATTGTAGGACACCGTAACGGGTAACAAGCGGGGGATAGACGACAAACTGGATGAGACCGCAGACGATTCCGTACAGCGTGAAAATGGTACCAATCTCGCCAGACGAAAGCCCAAACCCACCAGAAAAATAGAATGGAGGCTTGAAGTTCTCGGGTGTTTTCTCCACAACAGGGTAGTTTAGGAAGACAGTGAGAGTCTGGTCATAAGCAACGGAATGGAAGGCCAAGAAAGAATAGACGAGCAGGTTGATGACGGTCTGGTAGGTGAAAACATCCCTCAAGCTGAATTGCTTGAGTTCCTGGGAGTGTTTCTTCAGCACCACCTTGTTCGGCAGAAGCGGAGCGGTGGCCTCGCCATCGACGAAGGAGCGTCGGCGGGAAGACACAGGCGCTGGAGTGCGTCTGAGGGATCGAGTGAGGCGCTGGCCAACAAGCAGGCCCCAGTCTTGCTTGCCTCGTTTGCTTGGGAGGGTTTCCTGGGCGGTGTTAGTGGAGTGTGGGGAGAGAGGGAGGCCAGGGATATGGCTTACATGGAGAAACAGTATGGCGCAGGTGACGGAGATGAGAAAGAAGACGGTCAAAACCATGTTGGGGAGCACAAAGGGGAAGCTCTTGAAGAACTCAATGTTGCCAAAGAGGGCAGGGTACTGCTTCGCAGGCTCGGCAAAGAAGCCGCCAAAGATGGGACCAATGACGGAGCCGATGCTCCAGACCAGGGGCATGACGGAGAAGGCTCTCGGTTGAAGTTCCTTCTCTGGCACCATCTCAGCAACCATGGTCCGGATAATTCCAACTAGATGGTTGGTCAGCGGGAATTGCGGCGAACAAGAGTGTTTTCATACCATTTCCATTGCTACCACCCTGAATAGCTCGCACAGTGATGGCCATGGGCAAGCTCGTAGACATGCCCCATGCGACGAAGCAAACCATGGTCGTGAGCAGACCAGTGATGATGGTAGGTTTTCGGCCATACGTGTCGGAGGCCTTGCCCCAGAAAACCGCCGTGATGCTCTGGGAGATGGAAAACACGCCGGAAGTGAGGCCAGCCCATTTGGCAACCTTGTTCTGCTCGATGCCGAAGCTCTTGATCATGGCGGGCAGGTATGGGAAGACGGAGGTATAAGCCATGGGCTCAGCGACTCTGGCAATGGCTGTGTCGCATGTTAGCGGTGGGCGTGAGACAGTGTGGAGGGTACCTGTTGACCACAGTGGGTTGCCTCATGATTGAGGTGTGTCTGCTGCTATTGCTGAGGCAGTCATCTTGTCGTGAGGTCTGCCTGCTCAGGATGAGAATTGGCACATGGGAGCGTGTCGAGTCACAGGGAACAGGAGCATCCGCGGTGGAGCAGACAGACAGACAAGCAGACGAACAGACACGGGACAAAGGTAGAGAGAGAGAGGTAGAGCAATGTTCCTACAGAAGACTGCGGTTTCCAGCTGGTGCGGTGTACGTGGGTTTGTGACGCAAGGGAAAGGGAGCGAGGGGAGTTGTCATGACGCAACCATTCCCCGCGGCCAACTCGCTGCCACTTGGACGGCGATGGCTTGAGTATAGCAAGGAAGCGAGGAATTTGCACCGTCCTTACCCAGAATCGCCAGCTGCTTGGCGGGCAGCTTGGGCTTTGACCGCGATGATGCTTTGGTGGACATTGTATTGGCTCGATTCGCGCGACGCTGGGAGTGGGGCACAGGGCGAGGCGAGGCGAGGCGCAGGAGGGCGAAGAAAAATCCAGTTTTCAGAATAATGGGGGAGCAAGCGAGCGTCTACACGATGATGCTAACGATGAAGGAGTAACGATGTTAGGGGCGCCCAAAACGAGACGTCAGATCCCGACGACTGTGCGAAGGAAGACGGCAGAGCAAGAATCCAAAAGCTGAGAGGAGGTTGAAGAAGAGAAATGGGATGGGGAGGAAAGTAAGAGCGAGAGTGAGAAGAGACAGGAAGTTATTAATGCGCTGCTGCGGTTGGTTGGCTGCAGATGTGCAGAATGTGCACTTGCAAGAGGAAGATCCACTCCGATCCAAGCCATCTGCACTGCACCGCGCTGCACCGCACTGCCTGACCCCCAGTCACTAGCCCGTTGCGTACAGCACTGTAGCTCTGCGAGGCATTGCAGGGGTTGCGTGAAGTTTGCGATGGGGAAGAGGAGGCGAAAGGGTGTTCTGTCCAGGGCTTCCCGCACCGCGCAAGGGCATGTCATTGGAGAATGCCGTCGACTCCCCGAGTGTCGACCGGGTTCAATGAGGCCGGCTCGAACCAGGTTTCCAGCGGCTGTGTGGCGGGGACGAAGCGGTCACGGGCACCGGCGAACCATGCCGCTCACATTCCGGAGTTCCGTAGTCCGCACATCGGCCGCAGCGTGCCTCAGCTGTGACGCCTTTCGCATCCATCTTCTGGCGGTGGCGGCGGTGTGCTGTGCGAGTGAGACAACAGAGGAGGACGAAGGAGTCACACACGGCCAGCGACAGTTTCCCCGTTGAACAAAGGCCGTTAGCGTGTGCAAGGCGTCTCTCCTGCAATGTACTCCGTACGGCTACCTACCCGTAGTTGCTTTCATCGTCCCTGTCCCCTGTCCTGCATGGCGAGTCAACTGACGACGGGAGGCGGGCGTTTGTAAAATTTCCACCCTCGGCCGGCCGACAGCGGAGCTCCTCCGTAGCATTCGGCCCAGGTTCATCAATTGCTTTAGCTGGTGGGTGGGCCGTATGTCTGAGTAATCTCAGTGCATCCCACCATCTTCTACTGCGTCAACTGTCTAGCGAACGCCCCCCGCCGCCGCCGCCTCCTCCCTCCACGAACTCAGTGGGGTGGAGGGGATTATTTTGGCTGTCCGATGGATGGCCTCCCCGGCCCGGAAGCGACGCTTTAGGGCAACCCGGGGTCTACGTACTTACTACGTAGTACAAAGTGTACACACACCTTGCAGTACTGAGTGCGACACACATCGTTCACGCATCCACACATAACGGCAGCGGGGCACCGCGCCCTTCAATCCCTGGTTCTCAAGACGGGCCCTCCAGACTAGGCACGGGACCATCAAAAGTGATGGATGTGGCTGCATTGGTGCATATCTGCACAGATCAGCACTTGGTTTATGCACGCCGATCACAGGTGGCTGAACTCTCCGGGCCAAATACAGTCCGTTCTTTGGATCAATCCGGCCTCGATCCTCGATCCAGCACAAGCCGATAGCCGTGTTGATCCTTCGGCTGTGGCTGGTGAGCTGTGGCGGATACCAACTCCACCCAAGCCCCACGCCTAGCCCCACGCTACGTAGTATTAACGCCGGGCCGAGAAAGGCAGCTTGCAAGTTGGAGCGACGTAACACGGGCAGGTGCGGTGCGGAGACGTCGGAGAAACCGCGTGATTGGTAGATAAGCCCCATGCGAGACAAACGTCATCGCCAATGCCATCACGCCTTGACTTCAACGTCGACTCCCCGAGAGCCATTAATCCACCATCATTACTCTACGACTTCCATCGAGCGACAATAAACCTCAAGGAAACCACAGGCTGGTTTCTGGATGACGGCGTCGTTGAGTCCATCGCGAGTTAGCCCGTCGCGCAACATTCTCCTACAATGAACCCGTCGTGAGTCTGCCTCCCATACTTGCGTTGCCTTACGCCATCAGCCTCCTCTGCTCCTGCTGCCTGATTCGCTCCCTAGTTCGCTGCCTGATGACCCAGAAGGCGTCGCGAGGCTGACTTTAAAATACACCAGCTTGGCTTGTGGACTGACCCTTTCCCCTCTAGCAATCCCTTATCTGAGAAAATGGCCAACGAGCGGACGCCTCTCATACAAATTGTCCATACCGCGCGTCCTAGGAGGAGATACCCGCATCAGACATGCCGCCGGTTCTTCACCATTGCTTCTAGCGCTATCCTAATCTACGCCTTCACATCATTCGCCTTCCATGCCTTCTTTATCTGGCCACTCGAACACCGTCATGGTAAGCATGGCCACTACACTGCACGCCGTAAAGGATTGAGTCCCGAGGATGTGCAGTCCATTCTCTTCGACACCCCGTCCCCTGAACAGGCCGAGGAATGGAGCCGCTACTACACTTCTGGTGTTCACCTTGCTGGCACAAACTACTCTCAGGTGACTTCCCCGTCCCAATGCATAGAACGTGGAACTGAATTGTCGTCAAGGCCGAGTGGACCAAGGACCGTTGGGAAGAGTGGGGAGTAAAGTCTGACATTGTCTCTTACGATGTCTACCTCAACTACCCCGTCGATGCAAGCGTCTCGGTTCTGGAGAAGCCGAAGAACGCCAGCGACTGGAAGGTAGCTTTCAAGGCATCCCTAGAGGAAGATATCATCAAAGAGGATCCTACCAGCTCTGTTGCGAACAGAGTTCCAACCTTCCATGGCTACTCAGCCAGTGGCAACGTTACGGCGCCTTTCATCTATGTCAACTACGGCACCTACAAGGACTACGAAGATTTGGTCAACGCTGGAGTCGATCTTGAAGGCAAGATTGCCATCGCGAGGTACGGCGGCATCTTCCGCGGTCTCAAGGTTAAGAGAGCCCAGGAGTTGGGCATGATTGGAATCTTGATTTATAGCGACCCTGGCGATGACGGTGAGAGGACTGAAGAGAATGGGTACAAGATCTATCCCGAAGGGCCCGCAAGACACCCTAGCAGTGTCCAGCGTGGAAGTGTTGAGTTTTTGAGCGTCAGCCCAGGCGACCCGTACGTCATTTAACTCGTGTTTGGGTAACCATGAACTAACTTCTCTAGGACTACGCCTGGCTGGCCATCTAAGCCTGGTGCTCCCCGGGCTCCTGTCGATGTCTCCACCCCGTCCATTCCTTCTGTCCCTATATCCTATGTCGATGCGCTCCCAATTCTCAAGGCCCTCAACGGCCATGGCCCCAAGGCATCTGACTTTAACCAATATTGGAATAAGAACCTCGGACTAGCTTACAAAGGCGTCGAATATAATATCGGACCTACCCCTGACAATGTCGTGGTCAACTTGTTCAATGAGCAAAAGTATGTCACTACTCCTCTCTGGGATGTCATTGGAATCGTCAACGGAACCGTTCCGAACGAAGTCATTGTCGTCGGAAACCATCGGGATGCATGGATTGTCGGCGGAGCAGGCGATCCGAACAGTGGTTCCGCGGTTTTGAACGAGGTAATTCGTGGAGTGGGCAAGGCTGTCGAGGCAGGATGGAAGCCTTTTCGAACCATCGTCTTTGCCAGCTGGGATGGCGAGGAGTACTCGCTCATCGGCAGCACTGAGTGGGTCGAGGAGTATCTACCCTGGCTGTCAGATGCCAATGTGGCCTACGTCAACGTCGACGTTGGTGTTGGTGGACCTCGATTCCGCGCCTCTGCAGCGCCTCTCCTGAACCAGATCCTCCGCGATGTTACTGCCCTGGTCCCATCTCCGAATCAAACAGTCGAGGGACAGACAATCGGTGATCTTTGGGACGGCAGGATTGCTACGATGGGTAGCGGTAGCGATTTCACCGCTTTCCAGGACTTCGCCGGTATTCCTTGCATCGACATGGGCTTCAAGGAAGACGCACAGAGTGCGGTTTACCACTACCACAGCAACTATGACAGCTTCTACTGGATGAGCGAATTTGGTGACCCCGGTTTCAAATATCACAAGACCATGGCTCAGATTTTGGGCTTGACAATTGCAAAATTGGCCGACACTATCATTATCCCCTTCAACGCTACCGAGTATGCCGAAGCGCTCGGGGGCTACATCGACCAGGTGGAGGCCAAGTTTGAGCCTGCGTCTGAGCCCCTCACTGACGACGAGATCTTTACTCTGCGTGCCAGCGTTACAACTGATACTGTAATGGGAAGCGAAGACGCCTTCAAGAAGAGCCTCCGTGGCATTCGGGAATCGCTCATCGCCCTGCGTGTCAAGGCAGGCGAGCTTGACGAACAAGCTGCTGAGGCCAGTCGCCAGCTTGTGGAAGGCATCCCATGGTGGAACATCATCAAGAAGATTCGACTCGGAATCACCATTGCCAAAGTCAACAAGCAGTATAAGTTCCTGGAGAGAAGTTTCCTATATGAGGGCGGCCTTGACGGACGAACGTGGTTCAAACATGTGGTGTTTGCGCCTGGCCTTTGGACTGGCTATTCGGGAGGTAAGTGGTTATTTAATTGTTGGTTGCTTGACGTTTGCTAACATAGGACCAGCTGTATTCCCTGGCTTGGTAGAAAGCATCGACGCCAAGGACTATATCAACGGCCTAAAGTGGGCTGGCATTATTGAGAGTTGTATTACGAACGCCATCCAGAGCCTGAGTGAGTGATCTGAAGGAGACGCCATCGTTGGTTGGGTATGACATTTGGATGAAATGTTTTGGATTTGAGACGGGTCACATATCTCCGACTAATAGTTGAGGAACGATGTGAGCGAATATCATTTACACGACTCTCTAATGAGCGACAGTCTGTATAGAGCGCCAGTGCGACTCCCTCATTACTCGACGCCAAATGGTATCCTTAAAAGCAAATACAACCAAACCTTGATCTTAATTCAAATCTCAACATCTCTTCTCTCTTCTCCGTATACAACCGACCCCAAAGTCATCTACTAGTAGGCGCCATAAGGAAGTAGGCGCCCTAAGGAAGTTGGCTAGGGTAGGTGGGAGCCTGGTAGACAGCTTGTCCTGGAGGTGGAGTAGGCTGGTTGTACGGAGGTTGGTATGTGCCCTGGGGAGGCTGAGGAGGCGAAGGAGACGAATGCTGGACAGCAGGAGTTTGCTGGAAGGTGTTTCCAGTGGGCTGGGAGACTATCGGAGGAGGTTGGTTATAGAACTGCTGCTGCTGCTGCTGACTCTGAGGCGGGAAGAACTGCTGCTGGCCCTGGGGACCTACGGACGATGGCTGCTTCTCGTTAAGCTGCTGCTGAGGCTGGAAACCCTGAGGCGGCGGAGCCTGGTTGTACACGGGCTGCGTGTTGAAGGCTGCATTCTGGCCCACAGGAGCAGCGTACTGCGCGCCTTGGTAGTTGATCATGCCCTGGGGGTGGATTTGGACCGGGACAGCGACCGCAACCGGGGCGGTGCCGGACGGGACGGCATTACAGTGGAGTCCGGCGCGGCGGTGGCGGCACATGGCAATGCTGTGGATGATGAGAGAGATGAAGAAGAATAAGCTGCAGAAGGGGATTTGGTCAGTGTTTGAGCAGAGCAATAAGGCGGAACTAGCAATGTCGACTTACAACTCAAGCGCGCCCAGACCAGAAGCAGCGGCGAGAATGGCACCGAAGACGAGAGCGCTGCCGGACAAGGTGCCATAGTAGCACGTGTAGTAGTCGCAGTAGTCGGAGCTGGCCGCCCAAAAGTAGGCAGTCTGGGCTGCGAGAAGGGCGAAGGAGATGAGCCAGAAGAGCAGGAGGAAGATATCCAGGGAGAGGACGGCCCAGTAGTTGTACAGCTGCGGCGCGCACTGGTTGGCGATGACCATGTACAAGGATGCAATGAAAGTAGCGATGGCCTGTCGCCAAAAGTAGAGTCAGCATCATATCTGATCTGCAGTATCTTTTGGTGTAAACCGGGCGAGGGCTGGAAACTCACGGTGAAGAGCATCAAGCAGTTGCCGTCGAAGGCAACGATGTAGACCGTGTAAGAGACCACGGCGAGGATGATGAAACTGAAGACGAGCTGGAAGATGCGGAGGACGGTGAAGCCGCGAGGATAGTTGGGAAAATGCTCCTTTCCTTTGGCGCGGACGGTATTGTGTTGAGTCATGGCCACGGCGGTTCTCTGGTGTTTTTGATGTTGGTGTTACGTTATTCTTATTCGGTCGAGTTGCTTTCTTAACTCTCACCACGCGCAGAGCAATGGGAGATGGAGAGCCGAGTTCGTGAACGAGCGACAGATGGGATTAACTGAAGACATGTAAAAACAACAACAGGGAGAAAAGCAGAAGAGAAAGGAAACGAGAGCAACAAAACTGGTGATACGCCAACCGTTCCAAGGGCCACCCACCACCACCCTGACCCAGACGCCAACGCACAGTCTAGGAGAAGAAGCAACGAGGCCTAGACCGCTAGCCCCAAGCACAAGCGCGTCCCCGTCCAATCTGGACTGCCCCATGTCGACTTCAATTCTGCCTTGCGACGGCTGCTGGAAACGGAGGCGCCGCGGGGGAGGCGCTAGGGCGGGCTGCGGCTGAAGCTGGCACCTGCGGCGGTTTGAGGCGGCGGGTCGTGGTGGTGATGCAGGCTCGGGAATCAGGAGGAGGAGGAGGCCGAGGGGAATTACGGAGCGGGATAAGTGGATTATGGAAGAAATAGGATTGAAGTAGTGCATTCGAGAAGAATTCTCAAGCCGTAGTTTGTCCTAATTTCAACCGTCGAGTTCTCATCACTGACGCTGTTTCTCTCGCAACTCCTTGTCCTCATGGTGGTGACTTGAAATGCCAGACGCCGACTAGGCCAAGTCTCAAATATCTATGTCTCAGTGGAGACCAATCACCAAACAGAGCATCAGCATGGCCCTCCGCCACCAACTTCAATAGTATCAAAAAAAGGAACAATGAGCAAAACTGCGTCGGCAATACGAAATAATAAGGAAACATCGTCGTATCACAGGTGGCCTCGACCTTGCTCCAACGCGGCATCCATTGCGCAATAACCTCCATTGCGCAATAACCTCCCTTGCGCTCTATCCCGGTCGATACCCACCTCGGCCCTGCTCCGGCATCTGCGAGTAGCACATCATTATCCCCACCCGGCACTGGGCAATCCACTTATTGATGCCCTTGACTCCAGCTCGCAGATCCTCTTCTCCGCAATATAGCTAGAGCATCCATCAATGCAAAGGGTTGGGCTTCTCTGGAGTCATAACGCCCTGCAGCATGGTGATTTGGTTGCCGTTAGTATCAACACCAGCGTAAACCCCTTGGGTTAAGAACACTGGAACATGTGCATCAGCAACAGGACACATCGGTTTAGTAAAGTCCTGTGGTATCAATTCTCTTGATGCCTTTCTCGGCTCATCAATCTATATCTATGAGCAAATCGTACACGATTTTCTATTCAGCTTCCTCAAGACAGCCATTGGCACCTTTTTAGAACTTGAACACCTGCTCGGCCGAGTAACCGAGCTCCTTGAGAGCACCAGTCAGCTCGCCCTGGTCCTTGGGGCTGACCTTGTTGCCAGAGATGGCGTTCATCAGGCCGGGGGGTCCGCAGACGAAGACCTTGATGTTGCCGCTCTTAGGCTCGGGGAGGACAGTCTTCAGGAGGTCCTTGGTGATGAAGCCGCTGTTGCCAGCCCAGCTGGCCGGGGGCTTGTCCAGGACGTAAAAGGCACGGAAGCGCTGGGGGTAGGTGTTCTCGAGCTCGTCGAACTTGTTCTTGAGAAGGATATCCTCCTCAGTAACGTTGCCGAAGATCAGGGTGACCTGGGTCTTGTCTTCGGGGTTCTTGAAGATGCCGCGGAGGAGCTGGTACATGGGGGTGATGCCAGAGCCGCCAGCGACGAGGGCAACGTGCTCGTGCTTGTTGGCGGTCCACTCATACTTGGGCAGAGGACCCTTGATGTCGAGGGTCTGGCCGGGGACCAGGGTGTGGATGTGAGAGCTCATGGGGCCATCGGGGTACTTCTTGACAACAAGGTCAACGAAGCCCTGCTCATCTGAGGACAGTATTAGAAAGTGTTCAGGAAAACGGGACACATGCAAAACAAACCCTCAGAGCTGGTAGGAGTGTAAGGTCGGAGGGTGGCCTTCTCAGCACCCTCAGCCTTGAACTTGGTCAGGACAGCGCTGGTGAGGGGGAGACCCGAGACCTGGTCGCTTTCAGGAAGCTCAAAGCGGACACGCTTGGTGTTGTGGTTGATGGTCTCAACCTCGGAAACCTTGAGGGAGAGCCAGCCTTGTTCGCCACCAATGAAAGCCTTTTTGGGCTCAGCGACGACCACCTTTTTTACTTCGGCAGCAGGGGAGGAGGATCCGCTGAAGTACCAGTAGCCGGCACCAGCCAGACCGGCGGCGCCAGCAGCGTACAGCAGCGCGTTGGAACCTCCCGCAGCACCAGCCTCAGTGGCATAGCGGCGGACGTGCTGATGGAAGTTAGCAATCGTGATGCGATTGTGATGCGATCTACAGCGGCACCGGAGGCCATGTGGTGGCGTGGTGGTCGCGTGTAACCCTCTCCTAGTGGCGGGCGAAGGAGGGGGGAAGAATCTGGTGGCGGGACACTCGACTTACCTTCTTGAGCGGCTGAGCCGCGCGAGCCGCAGATCTGGAAAACATGTTTTCGGGCTTGGGATGCTTGACTGAAAGTCAATTGACCTAATTGACCAGCGAGACGATGTTGTTGTGGTGGAGATGGACGAGAGGGAGCTGGTCGCAAATATGCAGGCGAGCTCTCCGAATCGTCGCGAGTGATGACGTTATCGCCTCACGTGACATTCCGGAGTCCTTGTGGACCGTGGCCCGAGGGTCGCCGACGCCGGAAACCCGGATATAGGTAGGTACGAGAAGGACGGCTTCAGAGCGGGGATGATTCGATGGATTAGAAGGCAGTCTATTTCAGATTGGTAATCCAAAGCGGGATATGGAGCAGTTCATGTAGTAAATGTCTCGGCCAAGCATGCTTACTCGTCCCGTACCCCAGATTCTGGGTTTCCTCCTGCTCCAATCATGTCTAATTTACCCCAGGTGTGCACATAAGATGCGAAGCTAGAGATAGTAGTTTTTTTGAATGGTGTTGGAAGCTTGTAAGCTTTACTATGTAAAATCGCACGGGTATCCCGGCAACCATACACTGTTTGAGGTTGAATCGGTGGATGATCGGGATGACCGTATCGACTCGAGAAATAGGCACTATTTTTATGGACTAAAGCTAAACTACCTTATTTATATAAGGCTTAGATTTCCTAAGTTATTAGGTATAAAAAAGCCTGAAGGCAATAAGTGGGGGATGGATTCAGGGCCAATTTAATGAGTCGATACGGTAGAATGCCACTTCCTGGACAAAAGCAGCTTGTATTCTAAAAGTTGTGAGACCTCTTCGTCGCTGCTTGGCTCTCCAAGACAATAGAGAGCCATGGACAAACACGGCACAATCAGTTTAGCCTTGGATAGCGTCATTACTCGGTGACACATGTTGGGTTTGAGCTCTACCTGTGCCGTAAACTTCGCACAGCATCATCTCTTCACTTATATATATCCAAACACGCTATCCTCTCCTCGCCTCGTCGAGCTCTTGTGCCGCATCACTCCCCCCAGTTCGTCATCAACCACTTCTATCTTGAATCATTCCTCCGTATTATGCCATGATGGTTGGCATTGGTTCCGGTCTCTCCACTGTTCCTCCTCTATCCCTGTCGCGCTTACACCCATTCTTGATATCATCCACGGGTTCATCATATTCGGTTTGAGTCCTCCGCGGATGTTCCTGGTGACAATGACGGCCAAGATTGCGCCAGTTTGGTAGTCCAGGAGCTTTAGGGCACTCTCCAATCTTGCTTCGTCGTCGCAAAGCCGTCTTTCGTCAATCCCGTCCGGAATTATTGGTATATCCACCCGTGTCCCGCTGAAGGATACATCAAGTCATGAACATCTTCAAACATGATAAATCTCTCGTCAGATCCGGATCGGGTCATCGTTCCCCATCCATCGCCTCTTCGCTAACTTTCTCTTCCCCAATCGCAACACTTGGCTTTTCTTGGACCGGTGTCGTGTTCGCATCCGCCCTCTTTGCATCTTGACTCTCTCTCCTTATCCCTGTATCTTGGTGCTGGGAGATTGTAGGCGTGTTCGCTTGGCTCCCGCCTCGCTGTCCGTGATAATGAATGACTTGAGGCGGGGCTTGAGAGTGGAGGCCTAGCTGTTGGGTCGGGTACAGATCAAGATCTTTGCTCGAAGTCGAGAACATCGACACGATCGGCGGCTGGTGGTACCCGTTAGTTGCGTTGCTGGACGATGGAGTGTGGCCATATTGACCGCTATGCTCCGTCTGGGTAGGCGTGCCCACATCGTTTGGGGAGCCAGATCCCTCTCCAAGGTGGCCAGTCAGGCTGGTCATTCCTCCCTCGATGTCTCGAAGTAGCCGCACGTACTCCTCGGGGACGAGTCCACTCTCTTCCGTCTTTGGGTCTTCCGCCACCAACCAGCCCTGGCCGTGTCGATATGAGACCCAGATGATTTGGCCCTCCTTCAAGGGCAGCTCATTTTCATTCTCCCGCTCAAAGTCAAACAAGGCGACGGCTTTTCCGTGGAACTCCTCGTCTGGAGACGTGATGGTAAACTGATAATCGCGTGAGTAGCGAGATTGATCTTCATCATGAAGGCCTGGAGACGATGGGGTGCTGGAAGCGTCTGATCCGGGCTGATAGTATTCAATGCCCTCGGCAGGGTTGGGCTGCTGGGCGATGTGGTATGCGCGACTGTGTCTTGCCTGGCCAGGCGGGTAAGTGACATACTCTCCACCAGGACCATTCGCCTCGCCACCTTGATTCACATAGTACCGTTCACTACCATCCCCGCTAGTCCCCACGTAATAACCCCGCTCGTTGTCGTAGTTCGCCGTTGGATGCGTCCCTCCCGTGCCGTGGCCGTCAATGTCACGGCCTGATCTTCTTTGACTGAAAGCGACCGTAGCAGAGGTAGACTTGTGCTTACGATGGCGCGTGGCCACAACAGGGCTCTGTAGGTCATCATCCTCGCTGTATGGAGGTCCATCGCCAAAATGAATCGGAGCGATATCATGACCGCGATTATAACCGTCAGGAGCCCAAGAGTCCCAGGGCATCTTCTGTTCCCACGAAACGGGAGGGTCTGAGAGCCTGCGATGCTCGCTAGCGGGGGTGGTCATGCCCGAGGGCGGCCGTGAAGGCTCCGGAGGGGGGCCATAGTGCAAGTGATGCGTGACAGGGTAGGCAAAGTCCCGCACCAATGTGTATGAGAGGCTCGAGGGATAGACGGAAAACATGTGAGAGGTTGGCCGGGATCTCGAAGGCGCGGAGCCCGTAGAGTATTGAGAGAGTCGGTTCTTGGATGCGTGCGACATGGGGCGCGACAGGGTGCTTCGGCGCGATGCGGGAGAGGTGATCAGCGGCGGCAGCGCGGGGTGGTTAGGGTTCGGTGAGGAAGAAGAGGCTGCCGCGGGGGGAGGGGTTTCTGGGGCGGAAGTCGTCGACATTACTGCCGTCGTCGTCATGCCTCGCAAGGCGAATAGGGCGACGGTCGTGCGATCTCGCGCACACGGCCGCTGAGCCGCCAGACAGTGGAGGATGCGGCACGCCCGGGGCCGCGGTGGAACGACGAAGAGACCCGCGAGGGGATCGAGACGGGGACGGAGCGAGATGGACGAGGCGACCGCAACGCCGAGGATTCGAAGTTTGGCAGGCAAAAGGTTGGATCGCAAGGACAGCAGACGTCAAGTCAGCCGCAGCGCGAAGTCGCCGAGAGGAGTCGGTCGGCGGGCGCCAGAAGAGGGTGGGTTGAGCCAAGCCCTAACGCAATGCCAGACGACCAGTCGTCAGGCAACAAGCAGAAGCAGCGTCGAGGAACAGTCAACGACGCGGGGCGAGGCGATGGCAAAGGAGCGTAGAGAAGTAGAAGCAATGAAGAGGGCGGCGCGGAAGCGACAAGGGCGCAGGTGCTGCGGAAGGCGAGCAACACAGAGTCGGTTGGTGAAGTCGAAGAGTGAGCCTGGGTTGTAGGTGGTAGGCAGAGACCGAGGTGGAGTAGTGTGGGAGGAGGTGAGGCCAGGCTAGTGAAGGTAGTCGCAGTCGCAGTGGGGAGTGGAGAGTCGAGGGACCTTCCTTCAGCAGGTTGCCAGCCTTTGCGCCCCCAAGCTCCAAGCCCCAAGCCCCAAACCAGGTCCAGGTGGCAGGGCCCAGCGCCGCAGCTGCTGAGGCGACGACGCTGTAGCGCAACACACCACTGGAAGCAAGCGCGTCGCGCACTGATCCTACTGGTTGAGGCTGCAGAGCCAGCGAGTCAGCGCCTGTAAGTCGGTCCCGGTAGCCAACCCAACAATGGGATTGGAGGCTGTCCGTCCCTGTCCGTCCCTGTCCCCCGTCGTCGTGACCTCGGGCGGAGGTTATTCCCACTGTTGCGCCAGCTGCGCTTGGTTTCTTCGGGGATAATATATTACGTGCAGAGTGTGGCGCACAGGATCGGGGAATGGTCTGCCCCCGGTGCCCGGCTGTTTGCAGCTCTGTTGTTGGGACACCTTTGCGCTCTAGGTTTCATTGATATGTCAGAGTGAGGGGTCGACAACCGCTCTATCCCTCGGTGGGCTGTGGTGGGTGGGTTGGTGCCGAGGGTACATGTGTGCTACTCACACGACAGCCAGAATACCCACGCAGTCAACCGGTTTCAATTGACTGCTTGCAGTCAGTCGCACGCTCGGCTTCCGTAGCCCTCATTCCACGTACATATATACGTACTTCGTAGTCATCGTTGGTTCATCAGAGCACGTACAACCATGGCAAAGACGAACCCCGACGTGGCTGATGAGGAGACGCACCCCCGGCCAGCCGTCTAACCGTTGTCTGCTCTCTTCTACAAATAGCACTCACTACCTACCTATCTTGGTACGCTACGAGCACGACTATCGTATGTGGTGAATTCGTACTCCATGCGAACGGGGATCGCCCTGGAACCCCACCCGCCAAGTTGGAACCTCAACCTGGGAAAGACGGCCCTGCTCATCTCATGTCGGGCTATTCTGACCGGGAGACGAACAGGGTATTCGAGGTCGCGATGAAAGCAATCTCCGGGGCCGGATCGCTGCCGTAGAATCGACTCGGGCATGCTTGGAAATTAGCAATCGTGATGGCGCACAAAATGCTGAAACTCGAAGCGGGCTGGATAAACAGATGCGTCAACGCCGCTAAGCCGGCGGTCCACGGGTCGATCACGAGCGTTTCCTTGTCGCATGGCATCCATCTTCATGCAGACGACTCGTCAACCCAAGCACTGAGGGAGCCACTGTAGAGACGCAGCCGGCCCATCATAAGATCCGTCCCGCCCTCCCGCAAGATGCCGCGATCCTACGGTAGAGGCACGAGACAATTTTTGAGGCCTAGCCAAGCCTGAATAGCGCAATTCTCCAGCAGGGTTGTCACAGATGATGAATTGGCAATATTACCTCCCTAGCAACTCACACCAGGCCGGGCACACGGCGCAGCAGCACCAGCAAGCCATGTTTTGATGACCCGAATGCCACCTTCGGGACGTCGTCCCATGTCATGGCGGCCAACGCGTCTTCGTATGCTCCGTGCTGGCGTTAAGCCTAGCAAGAGTTCATCCCACCCCCCCTGCAGGGCCTCCATCGGCCTCATGCACTCAATTCCCATCCTCCAACCTTTTCCCAAGGATAGGCAACAATGGGAGACGATAATGCCCAAACAGCGGGCATGCTGCCACTGGACGTCTATTTTGGGTGACAGTGCACGAGTGGTCGTTCGCAGGGTATCCTGATTGGACTTGCCCAATGCGTCGATTCGTTTCAGGTTATGCGGGCGCCAACCGGCCAATTGCCAGCGGTCGAAGACACCAACAGTGGGCCCTCTTCCTGCAATGGCAACCACGGTCTATTTGCCGGGTGTGGACTTGCCAATTGGAGGCCTTTTCCTGTCCTACTCACGATGAGGACTGAGGATGAGCTGAGTGAGATTGCTCCAGCTAGCTCGCTGATCCGGGGTTGTCGAAGAGAAATTACAAAATATATCTCCACAGCCCTTCTTTGCTGGTGGGCAGGTATTTTGCATAGGTTGGGGATGCTGATATTAGCGGTTGACCACGAGAGAAATACGGGAAGGCTTAAACAAAACCCAGAGCCACAGCAACACCATTGGTTTCAAAGGCCTGGCCACATGAATAGAGTTGGCACCAAGATACGTCAGGAAGCCCAATTCCTTCTCGTCGTTTAGAACCCTACCACGCGATGCGACCATCATGCAGGTACGATTGAAGTAACAGTCATGCTGCAGATTCATGGATCGGCAATTGAGCTTCGTCAATTGTCAATAATTACCTAATCAATTATCGCCTAATCAATTATCGACACAGGCGCGATCCAAGGATTCCATTCTAAACAATTATGACATAAGCAACCCGTGCGCAAAACGCCGGATTTTACCCGATCCGCAGAACTTCACCCACAGCTCCGCTGAGCTTTTTCTCCAACCTCCCTCCACAACAATCCATCATCCATCTCTCGAAGCGAGAGGAGTAAAATTCTGCAACACCAAGGCGCCGAACAGTAGCGCCGTGATGACCTGATCATCAGCCCTCTATCCAACATCCGATATACGGTAAGTTCTCTGTTAATGCTATGTTCATTTTTCTTCTATGATGAGATTAAATTATTGGAGCTGTCTGAATTTCTTTGTTGAGACACATCATACGCAACTTTATCCTGAATGAAGATCCCTCGCCACCTTTAGCTTTATTTGACTTGTCGCCAGCGCATCTGCTAACGTGGCCGAGTACAGCACCTCAAGAACCATTGGCCTTCGACCCCAGAGGATGCGACGAGACCTTACTCTCTCTCAGGACCTGGCTTTTCCATACGGCTAGAGATTTGACTCAACATGGAGGTTGCGAATGGAAGCTCGGCGGCTCAGGGCCAGGATGGTACGGCAGGCCAAGCTGAAGGATACAAGCTCAAATTCTGCACCGTCTGCGCGAGCAACAACAACAGGTTCGTCTCACATCAACATCTTCACAATCTGATCCCACAACTAATTTCCGAAACAGATCCATGGAAGCCCATCTCCAACTTTCGCTGGCAAAATACCCTGTCATCTCATTCGGGACCGGGTCTCTCGTGCGCCTACCCGGCCCGACCATCACCCAACCCAACGTTTACCATTTCAACAAAACTTCGTATGACAGCATGTACAAGGAGCTTGAGGCCAAGGATTATCGGCTTTACAAGAATAACGGAATCCTGAACATGCTGGGCAGGAACCGTGGTGTCAAATGGGGACCAGAGCGGTGGCAAGACTGGCAAGTTGGTGTGCCTCGCCTCCAGCATTCCAAAGACAGCGGCAGTGAAGGCACCGAGGGCGGCCTGGTTGACGTAGTCATCACCTGCGAGGAACGATGCTGGGATGCTGTCATTGATGACTTGCTCAACCGAGGCTCACCGCTCAACCGACCAGTGCATGTCATCAACGTCGAAATCAAAGATAATCACGAAGAAGCTGCCATCGGTGGGCAAGGCATTTTGGATCTCGCCAATTCCCTCAATGCCGCCGCAGCAGAAGAGCGAGACGCTGTAGGTGCGACCACATTCGACATTGGCAGTGCGGCAAGCAGGGCCACGTTTGATGAGCGAGTGCCAGATGTTCTGGCATCCTGGCAAGAAAGATGGCCCAACCTGCCAGCAACTTGGACTGTAGCTTGGTTTTAACTAGGAAACCAAACGCATCCTGTTGCGGTGGAGAAGTGACATAGGCCGAGGTCCGACCTGGGAATGCGTCCTGGAACGACTCTGTTCCAACAGACCGGTCGGTAGAGATCTGTGTTCCAGTCCGCAGTGATCTGCAAAATCTCTTACATGCACATGCAATTGCATGTTTGCGGTTTCCCGTGAATTGACTACGATGCTGCGGATAGCCATTTCTAGGGTGTTGGCATGATATCCGCATTCATGTTCAAACGCTCAAGCTCGGGGGCAGTACCACTTGCAAAAGATCGGCAAGCTCAGGCTTGTCTGGGATAAGCCTTGGCCCAGATCCCCATGATCTTGGCATTTAGAGATTCAAGATTGGATCCCTACCTGCATCGGCAGATGTGACTACTTTCGCGTGATCTGTGCGACTCCTATCTTTGATTCCCTGGAGTGTATCATCTCATCTAAAATACTAACACAACAACTCGGTAAGCCTCTAGCAGCTAAAATAATTAAATAAAGTAAGAAATAAAATAATAAATAGATTATTTTTATAGATAATTAGCCAGCTAATTTTAAAGTTAAGAGTTTTTTACTGCCTGTTATAATATTAAAGCCTGTATTGCAGGCAATTACAAGCTAGTGTCACTTCAGCACGATTTCACTATCTCGGGAGCGTAATTTCTTGTCGTGCTACGTAGAGTAATGGGCATAATGAGTGTGGACTCATCAGGCTCTTTGTTTGTGTGCGGGCATCACAGCTCGCCCAAACAACTGCCCATGCATCCGGATACGCCGGGATATGGCCACGGCTTAGTCTCTCCTCCCTTTGGCAGCCCAGCGTGGAAGCTTTTTGACACCGAGTATATCACGGCGCTATCCTGCCGGTGAGCCCCTCGCCGTATATTAGATTCATGATATTGATCGACGAGCCGGGGATAGCGTCGGCCCGTGCTTGCACTGGACGACGATTGCCCAGCAGCGTATCATGCAATACGGAAAGTGGACAGAATGCATGATGCAATTGTTTGTCGGTGACGGAACGTTGACGTGATCGCTGCGTCTCGCGCAATCTTCGAATTTGTTTACAGATGATTGCGCAGGTTACAAGCGGAATGTATTCTGGCGTTTGTTGACTGGGTTGTTCATGTGCAAGTATCGGTCTAAGCCGACCGGGGCAATCCAGAGGTGGGCTGGCCAGCCCCGGGCCGGCATAAGAGGAACTTATCAAGGGCTGATGACAAGGTATCTCCCGAGACTCCGGGCAAGGGGAGCGAGGCTTCTGGAAATACGACCACAACGAGACTGCGCCTCCTTCGTAGTGGAAAAGGAAATGGTCACTAGCAAATTAATTACCTACGACGTACGTACCTGGCTTGGTACAAACACAACGAAGTGCTATTACGATACAAATGTCTCTGCCAGTCGTTGTCCTCTCGGGCGGTTGTGCTGCTGTCTTGACGCTCTGCCCCCTGAATGGAGTTGGCCAACGGGAATTCAAGACTCCCTTGCGGTGACATTTAATAGCGTCGCGTGCCCTCATGGAAGTTGAGATGAACAGCGAGTTATGCATTGTGACTTGCCTCTCTCCCAGCCACTAGCAGGCCTTCCCTCGACAAGCAAGCTCCTAGTCCAGGGGGTTTGAAGGCTGCTGGAGATAGATACGTACCGAGACTCAGTCAAGTACCACCCAAAGTACACAGCAATACTACTACTCCGCACGGCGACTGTACGTACTCGCAGATTCGCCAGATGAGGTGTTGAAGACTGGTCGGTTTTTAGCGGCGGCTCCCATGCCGCGCAAGAGCAGGGCGCCCAAATTTGTCCGACGCCACCGGTGGAAGGGCTGCTTCTGACAGCGCCAGCCCAGTTCGCTCCCATGATGCCCCTGGCCTGATTCCCAAGTTGGCCACAGCGGGCTCCAGTGGCTCCAGTGGCTCCAGTGGCTCCAGGTGGCTCCCTCCCACTCCCTGCGGGGCCATCCCCAGCACGTCGTTCGGGCTGGGTCACTGTCCCTCGCTGGCGAATCACTGCGGTCGGTGTGCTGGCGGCGCGCTGGCAGGACGCTGGAGACCGCCCAGAGGCTGTCGGCTTCAGGGGAGAAGGCGCCAGTTGATAGCCTGTCGAGCACTAATAAGGTTGGGTCTGGGTTGAGCCTGGGCTTGCATCCTGGGAAGGGGGGGTCGGAGCAGTATCGAGATTGGGTAGGAAGGCTGGCGGAGGAAGTGTGACAACTTCAATGGTATCTCCGCCGTCCCCACACAGTTCAAGTTGCAATTCGATGAACTCAGCAATAGGAGGGCTTTCTCATAAAACTTGGGAATCGAACAGCAATTCAATGTTATGTACTGTAATGTACATTAGGCTATCAACAGTGACTGAAAACTCTCTTCTAGCAGAACAACAACTACTAGCTTATGTGCATTACTTGAGTATTGAACAATAAGAGTCTGGGGTGCTCTCTCCTGAAAGATATTCACACACTGTGTTACACTGTACATCTGGTACGTACCGATACCTTGGGAAGTTGTCAACTTCCTGCCCCAGCCTTCGTGCAGTGAAGCGACAGGCCAGAGGCGACACCCTCCAGCACACCCTCCCGCTGCAACAGGCGACGAGTCCGGGCTTTGTCCCTTGCATCCGCATCTCTAACCACAGGCCAGCCAGCCATTCAGCGCCTTGCTGCAACCACTCTTCAGCTGCTGTGTATCCATCCATCATCCGACTGACACGGTAGCGGCTGAATCGCTTGCTCGCCTCTGGAGACTCCTGTCTCGCTGTGGTTTCTTGCCTGCTCTCTCGCGGCTCTTCTCTTGCGGCTCTTCTCTTACGGTTCTCGCGGACGGAGTCCATCGTCCGTCGTTTTGTCCTCGTCGCGGGCGTCGTCATCTACATCCTCCAGCATAGCCCATCGACCGGTCGGTGGATTCGAGAAATTGCAAGTCGATTGTCGACAATCATTGCTAGCAGGGGGGGCCTGCCAGCTTGGCAACCGACCAATAGCTCATTTCCCGACCGTCGAGATCTGATCCGCTCACGCTGGACGCTGGTCCCGACTTTGCTTGATCTGGAGAGTGGACAATTTGACGCTGGATGGACGCTCTGTACGCGCTGCACAGCACGGAGTCCAAGGAAGCCGCAAACCAGGGATTTACACACACGCGCTCACACACCACCCTCCCGCATTCGGTCCAGCTCCAGCCAACCCCCTTTCGGACCAAAGCGACCATCCCCTTCTCAGGGTCGGTCACCCGCAGAGTCGTGGAGACGCAGGCGCAGAGTCGTCTTCTTTTTGTTCCACCATCCACTGTACACCGATCAATCCTCGCCCCTTCTCCGGTACTGTCTCTCTATTCTCCCCGTCCCCCCTCGTCTCGTCTCGTCTCCGTCACTGCCGCCCGACGTTGACGAACAATCCCGGCATTGCTTTTGCTGCCACCACCGCTATTCTCGTGGTTCAGACAATCGGGCCCGTCCCTCAAATACCTTCGGCCGCTGGAGACATCTTGGCATTACGCCCCTGAAGGGACACCAATTGTGTGGGGGAACCTAGTCCTCGATTCCAGGGACGACGCACCTGCATTTCGTCTGGTCCCGCGTGGCGCCCTTATGAGACAAGCGACTGGCTCTGCTTCGTCTCCCTCCATTCTCTTGCCGCGCGACACCTTCTTCCCGACCTCTTCCTACCATCATGAGCATCAGTGCAAGCCGCAATGCGCCGTTGTCCCCCATCTCTCTAGGCGGTAGCGAGTTCTCCGTCTCCAAGTACCAGGCCGGCGACGACGCCCCCTATCTCAACGGCCGCTCCAACCTCGCCTCGCCCCCGAACTCGGGCGGCTCCAGCATCAACATGAGCATGAACGGCTTCCCCTCGGCGCCCCGTAGCAATGGCGGACCCTCACCGCCCGCCTCTATCGCACGTTCCAGTCAGGGCACCAACCTCTACGCCAGGAGCGACAGCGGTCGCAACAGCGTTCGCGCTGACCTTGACGAGTCTATCCTTAGCGAACATTACGTCGCCTTGCGAGCATTTCTCAACACCCGCGACCCGAACCATAAGCACCAGCCGAACAAGGCCCGCGACAAGCTACTCCGACTGTCATCCGTCCAGTTTTACGAGCTCAGTACCGATGTCTTTGACGAGTTGATCCGAAGGCAGGCCGCCGCGAGGGCCCCTCCCAATGCCCCAAATCCTGTTCCTACCTTCCTACTCCCCGAGAAGAACTTCCACCCAAAGCGAAACCAGGCCCGCCAGAGACTCTCCTCCCTCGGACCACCACGATTTCGAGACCTCGCCGCAGATGTCTTCCACGAGTTAGAACGCCGCTTTCCCAATTTTGTCGGAGGCGACCTCCAACGCCAAGGAAGTCCCATGTCGATCCGCGGTGGTCCGGTAAGCCGCACAGGCACTCCAGTTAATGGCAATGGTAATGGGTTCCCCCCGAGGGGACAAAGCCGCATGAGACGGCCTTCCGATGCACCCTCCATGAGAGGTCCTCCACCACCAGATGCTTACGGGATCCCAGCATCTCCAGGTATCCCCAACGGCGATTATGGACGACCAACGCCAAAGCAACTCAACCAGAACAACACAATCGTGCCGAACAAGAGTACCATGCTCGAAGAGGATGACGAAGGCGACTCCTTTGCCCTAGAACAGGTCACAAGCAACCACGAAAGCAAAAGAAGTGGTGATAGCGCTATCACCTCAGAAGTGCGTGCTTTCGATCTTCCGCATGGAGATAATCGATTACTAACAGATTCTAGGCTGACAAGAAGCTCATTGAAGACTACCAGGCGCAGGTACAGGACTTGCAGGGAAAACTGGACGGCATGGAAGACGTTATGAGAAAAAAAGAGGAGGAGATGAACAGCGCTCTAGATCAGGAGCGGGCACGATCCACTGCCACAGGCCTTGAGAAGCAGGAATGGTCTGACCTCCGGCTTGACCTCGAGAACAAACTAGCCAAGGCCCAGAACTTGAATGACTCAATGGAGCAAGAACTCCAAAGGGTACGGGATGATCATGACTCCGAAACTCAACAGCTCCGAGATCAGGTGGCCGCGGCGCAACAAAGCTCCCGGAGCATGAATCCGGCCGACGGGGACTCAGAACTCCAACGGGAGAATGAAGACCTTCGGAACGCACTAGAAGAGCAACGTCAGGTAACGGAAGAGGTTCGGCGGGAAGCTGAGGAGTTCTTGCGTGAGATGAGAATGCTCTCCCAACAGAGCGGTTCAACATACGAAAGACAAGCTGAGCTCGAGAAGAATATTGAGCAGCTTGAGCACGAGGTCCGAGAGTGGAGGAATCGTTACGCTCGCACCAAGACTCAACTGAGAAACATGCGCGCCTCCTCCATGGGAGCCGGAATTGAGCATGATGCTGCCAAATTTGTCCGGGACAAGGGATTTGCTGACGACCGAGGCCTTGTTAAGGATGTCCACGTTACCAAGTTCCAGATCGCGATTGACGAACTACTACAGAAGGCCAGGACCGGAGACCCGGAGAATGTGATTGACGCAATGAAATCGGTGGTTGTTGGCGTCCGCCGCATCACCAAGGATACTGATGTTTCTCAAGCCCACAATGAGGAAATGGCTCAACAACAGAAACAGCTTCGAACCAAGGTCTCGGCGACCGCGAACAACCTGATCACTGCATCCAAGAACTTTGCAGCTGGTGCCGGAATATCCCCCGTTTCCCTCCTTGACGCCGCAGCATCCCACCTTTCAGTTGCCATTGTGGACCTCCTCCGACTGGTCAAGATCCGGGCCACCCCCACCGATGAACTGGACGACGATGAGAACGAAGGAACCATCACTCCCGTGGAATCGACTGGATTCTTTTCTCCGCTCAGCACCGACCCAGTGTCTGCTACCCAGGGTACGCTCCCCCTGCCCCCACCATTCCAAGGCCTAGGAACCCGAGCAAGCGCAGACTCATCGGCCTATAGCCCTGTGAACTCCCCCCGGCACTCCACGGACCCGTACTCCCGGAATGGACCTACGTCCAAATCGAACGGCATGACCAACGGGATGGGTTATCCTGCTGCGGTGCCGAGCGCTCTCAACATCAACGGACACGGAGCTCACCAGCAGGATACCCGCGCCGCCGAGGACCTCAGAGTAAGTCTACTGAGAGATTGCGACTACGAAGAAATATACTGACAGGACTAGATTTACCTGGAGGATCAGAATGCACTTTTAGTGTCCGAAATTCAGAATCTTGTGGGCACCGTGCGTGGTGATGCCAACATCCGACAGATCAGTGCAGACATCGGGTCCATCTCTGCCGTTGTGGGCAAGATTATCACCGAGGTGCAGGCCAACGGCTACGGTGACATGGCAAACCGGTTGGCAGACTGCCGAGCGCGACTTCTTGAAGCCGGTGATCGCGGCGAGGATATGGCCAACATCGGCATCGACACCGACTCCAATGAGTGGCGCATGTGGACGCAAACACTGCCACCCATTTCCTTTGAAACGGCTCGTGAAACAAAGGAGCTTGTCCAACGGATGGATAGGCTAGCAAATCCAGGCGCAGTTGACGAATTCTCATAAACCCTGTTTTTCTTTGAGTTGGGCTTCTTTCAGGAGGCTCGACAATTATGCCGATTTGCACGACAAGTCACTACGCCTTCGCTTTTTATGTTTGGAGAGGGGGACTACCTTTGATACCCACTTGACGCAGAGCTCTCGATATCGGACAGTTCACGATGCCCCTCGCTTCTCAACTTTGGATTTAATCAGGGAAATGCGGGAGAGTGGGGTTGTGCTGGTCAATATTTGAGTGACGACGGGCCGGTGGCAAGGACAAAGGCATTACGTTGTTGGGTACGCAATGCTGCGCATGGCGTGGCGTTGGACATGGTTCTGTTGATGCATGGGTCTGATGATACACTTGGGGGGCAACATGTTTTATATGCCCGGCCATTGGCCAGGGGTTTGCATCAAGTCTATTGTGCATCGTGAGTAGCGAGGAGAGATTTTGCTTTCGCTCGTGGCGTGTGGGTGGTGTTTGAATGATAATAGACGTACAGAAGGAAACGAAGCAACGTTCCAAATGCTCTTTCGGTCATTTATCTCGTGAAGAACTAGTAATAAGTTCTATGATACATGTTCTTGTCACCGAAGACTTCATCCCGTCTGGAGGGGGGATCTGCCTATGGCACTTGTGAAACTTGGTTCATGGAGGAGTCTGCTATGGATCCTCCAGGGATATTTCTTATCCTTTCTATCATCTCCGCCCTTGCAAATGCGTCTCAAGGAGTAGGCCAGTATACAGGAGGACGCAGAAAGTTCGCACCCGATTTGTTGTGCCGTGAGAGACCAGGCATAACAGGAGAGTATTTCCTGCTACTTGATAATAAGGTATTGCTTTCTTGACAAAATAAAGATAAAACATAAATACCATGCCTTAGCCCTTACCTTAGCCCTTATTTTGGTGATAAACTGTACTCTAATCCAACCGAGAATCCATCTTTGGGTGATACCTGATAAACGTTTCGGCGCCTAACCACCATCGCCTGACCCTCCCGACCTCTTGTTCCTCTGTAGAATTCAGGAAACTTGACCATGACACATATCTCCTCGAGGTTCGGGCAGTCACCTGCAAGTTTGCAGATCACCTTTCTGTACCAACGTTTCTGTTCAAGGGGCGTCAACTGTTCCGGCCGTCCATGGTGGCTGTCGTTGTTTTCGATCAGCTTTCGCCCGAGTCCCTCCTTATGAACGGTAAAGGCAACCCGTTTCAACTTTTTGAATCGCAAAAGGCCCCTCGCTAACCGCCTCTGGTCTTTTCGCTGCAATACCCAGTCAGTAACTCACTACCTGAGCGATGTCACCCCTTGATGATACTTACAAACTGGACAGCACTGTACCCGCCAGGAGTGAATCTTTGAAGACTCCACTTCTCGTCCAAGGCCAGCCACTCCAGGTCTGGAAATTTGGTCGATAAAGATTTCAACCTGGCGAAGTCCATTGACGCGATCATCGTGCCGGTGTTTGGCGGGACTGAGAGATGCAGTCTCTTCAAGCCCGGATGGTATTTGGCGAAGCCCATTGACGCGATCATCGTACCGGTGTTTGGCAGGACTGAGAGATGCAGTCTCTTCAAGCTCGGATGGTATTCGGCGGCTGTCACGATCTCTGACGAAGATTCTCCCGTGTATACGTGGAGGGACTCGAGAGTGTTATTCTGGCAGTGCTCCAAGATTGTCTTCGGGATGTTTCTGTACGGAGCAAAGAATCTCAAGCTGGCAATGTTCCACTTCCGGTCTTTATGTATAGCGTCGATTATATGTGGCTCCAAGGCTCGGGTCACGCCGCCGAGATTGAGGGAAAGTGTGTGGAGATCGTTCATCGCAAGGACACAAGACACAAGATTGCGAGCGAGTTCGTCGTGATTGTTCCTGGGTCTCCCACGTCGGCTGTTCTCGATCGAGGCTACCCATCGTCCGCCTCAGCAATCCTTGGTGGCGCAATCGTGATAGTTGCTTCCCTGCTCAATTCGAGTCATTACACTGTTCTCGCAGCCCGATTCTCAACTTACCTCACGCATTTCCTGACGTCTTTGATGTCGAAGAATCTTTGGCCTGAGATGAACTCGTGGAGGGTATCGAGAATTGTATCAACATGACCAGCAAGATGAATGTGGGCGAATAGCCTGTCCACCATCATATTTCGACACCGCTTGGACAAGCTGGAGAGGACCCTTCGGCTTTTGATGTCCAGAAGCGGCGAGATCAACAAGAATATTTCTGGTGGGAGTCGTTGAAGCATTGCCGGCTTCTTGACGGTCGGCGCCGCAGAGGAACTGATGGTTTCTGACACAAGTTAGCATGTAGCTCCGGTTCAGGCGACTGGCACAGTACCCTATGAAAATAGTCATCGTTCGTGTTCCGGTGATAAGAAGCGTCAATACGGCAGAGGAAAGGCTGCAAGGGATGGAGTAAGGTATTCTGAGATGAGGCGAGGAGGAATTTTGTTTGGTGGTTGAGTGAAGGAATCAAAATTCGGAGAGCACAAAGAGGGCTTTTTTGTATTGCTAATGCCCAGGGCAAATTGGTACCCTTGAAATCGGAATTCTTAGACCTTAGGCTTAGGTTTATTAATAAATCCAAATTAATGGAAGATAAAATAATCAAATCAGTTAATGGTCATTAGGGAATAGATTCTAAGACTTAGTCTTTTAAATAATTTATTATAATAACCAAGAGGTTAGGGTGCTCTAGCACACACACATCCATCAACAATAGGATCAACAATAAGAGAATTCAAGTATATTTGGTGCGGACTAAAAGTTTTCCGTTGTCAGCTGCGAGGCAGCTGGCAGAAAGGTGAAATGGCGGACAGCGCGGGTCGAATATAGTGGCGAATGTAATTCTTCCGGTGGCGCAGGGAATTCTCGGTCAGCTTCCTTGACTCCAGATACGTGGTCAACTTCATAGTAATCATCAGAGCTAGTACAGTTCTGGTACTGTGACCTGAGTGAATTGAGACTCGTGATGACGATGTCGTACTGCAAAAGCTCTCGCACCGGAAATTTTGTGGAGTTCAGCACGATGTAGGAGGGGCGATGTTCCTAAAACCAATTACACAGTCAGATATCGTATCGCGAGACCAGCGGACAATGCAACAACTTACCCTTTTGAAGTGCTTCTTGATCTCGTCTACCCACTGCGCGATGCAGGACTTGCGACAGACGATAAGGATAAATCCGCAATGGGGAAGCATGCCCTGCCGGATTCCAGCGCAGCAGTCAGCGCCGTAAGTGACTTTCCTAGTCCAACAGGATCGCAAAGAAATCCTCCTTTGAAGATGGATTTCGCAAGCACCTTCAACTTTTCTTTGCCCCTTGCCTGCCAGAGTCTGAGTGTCGTTTGGAGGCCAGGGACTGTTGTTGGCCTTTGATCGTAATTCCACAACCCTCCCTTGAAGCTGAATTGTGCAAGCACCTTCAGCTTTTCCTTACCCCTTGCCTGCCAAAGTTTGAGTCTCGTTTGAAGGCCAGGGACAGTCGTTGGCATGCGATTATAATCCCTTAAAGACTCCTACCAATATCAGTACGATGACACAATACACGATACACAATATACATAGGAGGAACATACCAAGTGCTGCTCGAAGTTGGAACTGTTTAACAGGTCCAAAATCTCTCGTGGTCGGTCGGAAATCCTGACGCACTCTGGGAGTTCCTTTTCTGACCACCCTGACGGGTAGTTTGAGTCCAACTCCATATCTGCCTCGAAACTTATATCCCCCCCTGCCAATTCGGTCTCAAGCCGGGGTCGTTTCGAAACGACCACGTCCTCGGCAAAAGACAAGACAGCCAAGTCATCGGCCTTCCTTTTATCTGCGAGGCTGCCCGCGATGTCAAAAGGCGAATTCGGACCTAATGAATACATGCCAGGACGCAGGTACAGGGTGATGACGGGCCGCAAGTTGTTTCGTTTTCTGCTAAGCTCTTGTATCGTCATTCTCTCGGTTCTGCGACAAAACTCTCGCATGGAGTGGGAGAAAGCCAAGGGTCAACGGCCTCTGCGCTCCGAAAAGTCCCAGCCGAGGCCGACAAATGGGGTGCTACCGTAGAAGGAAGGCTCTAGAGAAGCCCTCCGCCAAAGTTTGACGTATGGGTTAATCCACACTCCTTGTATGACCCAGGCACCGCTAACTCAAGCTTCATAGCCGAGGGCGGTGGCCAACGCCCGTGATGGCGGCTTCTGACGAGGAACCCGGTTTTATTGCAATCATCCAAACGACTCTCCGCTGCCTCATCTTCCTCTGCTTCCTCATCGCCATCGGCTGCCTCATCGTTTACCTCATCCCCTTTGTCTTATTCATCCTCTTCATCTTCTTCGCCTTCCTTGGCTTCCTCATCGCCCTCATCCCCGACAGCGTCCTTGACCCCTGCGGGAACTATGCCTCAGACACTGAGTCCTTCGGGATGTTGAACTCGTACCAGTAGAGCAGCTGTCCTCGTCGGAGAGCGAGAAGTAGCTGTCGTCGGAGGGGGAAGAAAGCAATGGCGAGAATGGCAGCGACCAGACCCCCGAAATGGGCATTCACGACGAGTTGGCAGACCTGATGGACGTGGATGACCCATGATGAGAGACGAAGGAAGGGGAGGGCGAGTTCCTAGCAGAAAAGAAATTGATTCGTAACCTGGTTTCAAAGTCCCGCTCATGCATTGATACGACCGAGTTTCGCGATCCTCTACACTGCCCCGGAAACTGACCCTCGCCACATCCCACAACTGCCTGCCTTAGCTAGTACCGACCATCCTACATTACGGAGACCCTACCGAAAGAAGATGCCGCAAACTGAAGTTCCAGTGAGGGCACTCGCCGACAAGCTGATTCTTTCGGTCGAGAACCCAGGTCTGATACAATCTTGACGTCGGGGAAGAAGCTCCTGACCGGTTTGCCAATGGTAGCAAACCTTAGCCTGTGTGGTTGACGACTGGAAGTGTGTTTCGGGCCAAACTTTTTCTGTTGTCGGCTGCGAGGCAGTGAAATGGCGGACCGGGGAGACTGTTCCGCAGATATTCTGGTCATACCCAATCCGCGTGATTGTCTCGCAAACCAAGGTACAGTCAGTGGGATGCACAAAGTGTACGCCCGATCTCAGTCACTCATACAACATACTGGTCTCCAAAAATAACTTATTATAAAGCAACACAAGCCTAGTTTACTTACCTAGGTAGTTCAAACTCTCACGGTACAAGCATTCGGGTGCAAACTTTCCGCGTCCCACTGTATCAAATGTTTGTTTTCTTCCTAATGATGTATAACCCCTATCTTCCAGTCCCGTTCCAGCTTTCCATTTGAATGAATAATCAACCTGCACATAGAAAAGAGTATAACTTGATATCACTAATATGAGTATGATAAAGGGCCATGCACCGCCCATATGATGTGTGTGACACGCCCAGGAAATGATGTCCTTTTCTCCAAGATTAAAGCCACGGAGCCATTTCACCCACCCGTCCATTCCCAACGCCGTCGCAATGCCGTCAATGTTCCGCTGCCGTGCCATTCATACAAAGGGGGCAAATATGGGTACATACATTGGCTTGCGGATTGAGCCAGTGTACAGATATTCCCCTTGTCTACGCCTGATGTTATATGCTGCGGGAGGTGGTGTTCCCCCGACGAGTCATGCCTTCTGGTTAACGGGAGACTGCAATACCTGCCATATCCCAATGGCGAGAAGTCTCAGGTGAACGATACCCATGTTGGATCGTTCGCCACGCAGTAACCTAAACGTATGGCGAGCCCCCACCCTTGGCAACGCGGGCAAGGAAGCCCTCTCGCTCTTGCCACTGCCATTCTTCATGGCGTGGGTGATGTCGGTGTTGCTGCTGCTGCTGCTGCTGCGGCTGGTGATGTGGGCGGGGCTCAATGGGATAGTAATCGTCCCTGTCCCTCTCGACGCGGTCATCCCGTCTGCGCCAAGGGCCACTTCCATGCATCCTCCATTCCTCATCCACGGCACAGTTGTCGCGCTCGTTATCGTACGTGCGCTCATCCAGCTCACGGAACTGCTCTAGGTCCGCCTCCATCTCCCCGAGTCGGAGGTACCCTCGACCAACCCAGTCATCAATCATCTCGGCAATCTGGCGAAAGCCGGGAGTGTGCCCACCACATTTGCCGGCCTTGAGACCGCACGTCACGAAGAGATAGCTGTGGATCATCTCGTGCAGAAAAGTTGAGATGAGCAATCGCCGGTTGTACTTGGTGTCTGTGAGGATGGGCGACGACAACACGATGAGCGTCTCGTAGCCGCCTTGGCACGAACGTCGCAGCGCCGTGGTGCCGACGATGTGCGCCTGGTACTGCGCGCTGGCTGGGTGACTCCAGTCCCAGGCAACACGTCCAGTCAGACGTTTGGCGAAGAAGAGCTCGTTGGCGGCGGAGAAAATGCTACGCAAGGCGTCGTTATCCAGGGGCCAGTCAGGTGTACTGCCGCGCGGATTCGATTTGGGATTGATGAGGACCTTGAGTATGCGGCCATGTTGCGAATCCGGGCAACGGCGCCGACGGGTCAGGCCGGCGATATGATCTCGGACCACGCGAGCGGCTTCCAGGTCGCTTATAAAGTCAGCGACGTTGTCGTCTGTCCCGAGGCTGGCAAGGGAGTTCTGCGTGGTGTCAGAGGAGATGGAGAGACCCGATTGTGTGCGCTCCATGTCACAGGCTGCGGGAAGAGGAGGACCAGGGCCGGGTGGTGAAAGGACCGGGCCCATGTCAGAAGCAGGGCCAGGCTCGAAGCTGAGGGGAGATATCGGGGGCAGTTCAGGAGTAGGTGAACATTCCCGGATGACAACGAAGCCGAGGTTCTTTCCATGCATGGAGTTGGGTGGGAGAAGAGGTGGGGGAGTGGCCTCGATATCGCGGTCGTGGTCGTAATCGTGGTGGTAGCGATCGTCATCTATAGGGTAATTGAAGCTATCCCCAGGGCCAGAGCCATATCTAAAGGCTAAACCAGCGTGGGGATTTGCGTGGGGATATCGATGGCGATCATCATTGCCGTAATCGTATCCTCCGCGGCTGGGGGCTGACCCACAACAATCGGCACTCAATTCACCGTCGGCAAATCTTGTGCGTTTGTTGTCGAAGGTGTCGCCACCATCGCCACCATCGGACTGGCTGACCCTCCGCTTTCCGCCATGGAAGTAGGGCCCGCGGCCGGTGGCACCTTGTGAACGACCGCCGTCAACCACCCAAAAGGCCATGGGACATGCTCAAACAGGGTGAACGTCAACAGTAACGTCCACGGAGCAAGTGATGAGAGGAGAGTTCACATATATGCCTGCTGGACAATGTGACGTGGTGGCCGGGGCGAATTTGATCGGAGGAGAGGCGTGGAGTGGCGATTTCTGGTCACACCACAGGGGAAGCCTGCGTCGGGATTCCGGGGATCTTGCACAATGAACCGGTTCTTGAATGTGAAGGTTGTTGGCCCTTGGCGGCTGAGTGCGGTGTGCGACGAGCGTAGATATGTCGGTGAGTCCGGGGCTGGGCGGTTGGATCGGGTGGCGGGTAGGTGCGGCGGGTCGAGAGACACAAGTGACAGACGAGTCGACAGAGAAAGTGCAGCAGAAGAATAAATAAGGGGGAGGAATGCAAAAAGCAGAGGATCCAAGACAAGAAAGGGCAGAACAGAAAGGAGTGGGAAGGGGGGAGAAGACAGAGTTTCACCGACAGGGCGAGTCGCGGAACGAGTCGAATCGTGGATATTGTCGTTTGTGTTTGTTCGCTGGGGTGATCCGCGGCCGTCCGTCTTTTTGGTGGGATTTGGTTTCGGAAGAGGCGTTGCGAGCTGGCGACTAGACCGACCAGACAACCCAGACTAGGCGTAACAAAGCAAATCTGTCAAGGGCCAGGTGCGGGAGCTCCAGTCCAAATAAGATGCATTCAGGCCGCCCGAGAGCCGAGAGCCAAGAGCGAGACAGAGGAGCGAGACAGAGCGAGCCAGCCCCAGCTCAGTTTGTTCGGTTTTGGCATTCTTGCTTTGGTCCTGGCATCCCAAACTCGATCCAACTGGCGGGTTGGGCGCTGCTCGGTCGGGGGCCAAGAAGCAAGCTCTCCACCCCCCTGGGCCTGGCTTTCAGCTTTTTCCCAGTCCATTCCCAGTCCAGTGGAGCCCAGAATGAGAGACGGCCATGAGGCCATGGCCATGCGCTGCGGTGCGCTGCCAAATCACCGCTGGGGAATCCTTGCAGGGGCCGACCAAGGCGAGGGCGAAGCCACCCGCACGCAGCACGACACGAGGCAGGAGAATCCCTGGCCAACATCGATCGCCGGCCGCCTCACTATGCACTGCTCTGCTGCTGCTGCGGCGGCGGCGGCGGCGGCGACTGCTTCCAGCTGCGGTCGACCGGTTGATGCCAGCTCGCTGACGATACAGGTCTGCTGATGCTGCTGCTGCTGATGCTGATGATGCTGCTGCTGCTGATGATGCTGAAGCGCCTAGGCTGCTGCTGTTGTTGGCGATGTGATGGGGCCGCTCTCCCACCGATGTAAGGGAGATGAATGCGATAGGCTGCCTGCTGCCAGCTGCCGTTGCGGCTGCGCACAGAGTACTCCCTCCGTACACCTACGACACACACAGCCTCAGGCCCCCATCCTATCCCATCCCATCCGCAAGCGGTGAGGAACGAGATGGCGTGTAGCAGCGCATCCACGGCGTCGCCTACTACTGTGCCTCTACGCAAGGAAATCCAAGTCAAGTCGGAAACAAACAGGGCGAGTCACCCGCCATCACCATCGCGCCAGCAAACGATGCGCAGATATGTGGAGAGCTGCTTCGTACATGCAAGTAGCAGTACGGCAAGAGGCTCAACGCCCCGTTCCATGCCAATGACTGGGAAAAGTTCCCTGGAAGCTTTCTTTCATCCATCGCTTCCATGATCCGTCACAGAGATGCTCCACCCATGGACGAACACATCCAGGGATTCCCCTTCAACCTCGCAACCTCGCAACCCAGGGCAATGGAGCCGAGGCGCCATTCTGCCCTTCTTTGCCGATTCTGGCTCAACTTCCAAGGCCACAACGCCCCATCACTTACTGCGCTTCCCAGGGAATCCCTTGAAACCTCCCTCTGCTTCTCTTTGACATGCTCCCTCGTCCCCCCGGCACCTCTAGCACTGGAGCTAATCACCGCGGCCCCGCCAGCCGCAAACTTGCCCGCGAGGCGAGATGCTCTAGTGGGTAGCTGACAGCGCAGCCATCTCCACCGAGAAATCCACCTCCAGTCGTGCTGCATCGTCCACAATGGCGATCCATTGCTATCGCCATTGCCATCTGGGACTGATTGGGAGTCGGCTTGGATGTAATTTCCTAGGCTGTATGAGGCTGATCCTACGTCTGCCCATAAATGGCATGTCGCCTCACTATCCTGGTCATGAACCTGGAAGAAATATGCAGCGCAAGGAATTACAAAATCGATACCTTACCCAGCGCCCAACTTAAGCTTGGCATTTAGATTTCTCTCAACAAATACGATACTTCGATACATAGGTACTCCGTACGTGGTGGGCAGACAGATAGGTGAGATAGGCAGATAGCCAATCTCGCTCAATTCAACTCATGGCCATTCATTTGCGGCGTAGTCTCGCCTCGTCGAAACTATTGTTTCTGTGTCGGCTGGGTGGTTTCCAAGCCTAGAGCCAGCCGTCAATCAATTTGGACCCGCCACTTCCATTGGCCTAGGTCTGCCCTCCTCCACCGCTGATTGGCCGCCCTGTATTTCGTCACGGAGAACCACCGCACCAACACCAACGCCAGCACCAGCACCGGCCACTGGATTAATTACCGTCCTGTACATCGTGGCCCTGCGAACTCGTCAACGGATATCCCGTGATGCCGACTCGGTAGTCACGGGGGAAAGGTAATAAAGCGGTCCCCATTTCTGAGTTCTTCCCACTAGTCGCTGGCTCTGCGTCATACGTCCCGCGACGAGTGAAGAAATCGGTGCGGGCCCCGATATGTGGAACACGCCGACGAAACGGAGCAGATGCAGATGCAGATGCAGATGCAGACGGGATGGATGCAAACGCACACTGCATCGCATAGAATGACTCAAACGCATAGCCTGTGACGTGACACGCCAGACGACGCCAGAAGCCCCACGACAAGAGACTACAAGTCTGCGATAGACGAGTCGACGACGAACACAACAGCGACGACGAGCCAAGGCAGGGCAACCAGACACACGCCCAAGACGTCGAATCCCCAACCAGCGGCGTCGCCTTATCACAGGATTATGCCTACGCCGAACTAAGAAGGACAAACGGCTGACACGCAGCGCATCCCATCCATATCCGTCCATCCTCGTGTCTTGGGACTCTACCCATCCATCCACATACGATGCACCTAACCGCCAATCTTCAGCCAACACAGCCAGCGCAGCCAACACGGCCAACCCGCGCCTCGCAGGACCACATCTCGCAGCATGCAAGCACCCTGCCAGCCCGGCGCACTGCGACCCTCATCTCGAGTCCAGTTGGCTCCGTCCGCGTCCGCTCGCTATCGACGATTCTAACGCTGCCGCCTCGTCTTACACTCCTCCCTCCTCTCCCTCTAGCCTTGGACGGGCGACAGAGGGAGGACCCCCTCTTCCACCGCCGATCTCTCTCTGCCTCGCACTCGCAGAGAGCAATGTCTGTCTTTGTGTTCAATTAGACCTAATAAATAAAATAAAATATTATTGCTAAAAATAATTATACTACATATTGAGTTAGTGTTTAGAAAATAACTACTCCAGGAGGATATTGCATGATTATTAGTACCTAGGATGAAGAATACAGTCATATGTGCAAATAGTGATAGGCCATGTGTGACGGCAATACTCTAATTATTTGGGTTGTAATTGTATCCTGCATTGCTAATAAAAGACTCCATTTTGTTGCCCCATCTCTTTTTGGTCGTTCAATCGCTGATCCACTTCTACTCCCTTCGGCTCGTCCACGCCTACCTGCATCGCCTCCGCATCATCGTCATCATCACTGCGTGTTCATCCCGGCGTCGTGTCCATTCCGAGTCCTCTAACGAACCGCGCTTCGTCAGCCTGTCGCCCCAGCACCTCCCGCATCTTCTCGCTGTACTGGTGTCGCTCCTGGTCTGTCGTCGCCTCGGGGTTTGCGTCCTCAAAATCGTCTGGCGTGAAGAGTGGATCTCCCGTGAAGCTGATCATTCCTAGCTTCTCCCCTGTCCAGAACATGATGTTGTCCTCGTTGGGTCGCTCGCGGCCTTGCTTCGACTTTGTTGACACGATCTTGCGAGCCAAATCATCGGACCCAGGCATTGACGCAAACAAGGACGGTTGCGTCTGCACGTCGCTGTGTCCAATTCTCATCCGTCGACACTCCGTGTGCCCGTCCCTCTCGAACCACTTGATGAGCCCTGCCCCGTCGGAAAACGCAATTTTAGTTCCGTGGTTAGCTACCGACAGGATGATCGATGACGCCGCCTTGTATCGGTTCTTCATAGTCGAGTTTTGTAGCACCGCGCTGCCATCCGAATGGATGGCTGAGCTTAGCCCGTAAAGTTCCAGAGATCCCTTCGTCTTGTACTCCCCGCCCGCAATAAGCGTACGGCCATCCCCAATTGTCTTGCACTGCGCAACTCTCTCGGCTGAAAGCTCTCCACGACGCCGCACCTCGTAATCTACGGTAGAAAATGGATAAGGCAGCGCCGCAAGACTCGACAGCCTCGATCCCGAGTAGATGGAGCCCATGATTTTCGGGAACTTTCGTCGATCGTAGTGCAGGATATTCGAGAATCGCCCCGCCACGTAAATGTCGTCCGACACCATCTTCTCGTCGCCCGCGCGAGGTAGGTGGAGAATGCTGATCGGCGTCGGTTGAGACAGCGAGGCGTACGGCGGCAGTGGTTTTGGGTCGAATATCGCCTTGAAAGGGCTGTCCTCGTTCCATCCAGGCCCATCAACCCGGTCTATAACTTCGTGATTCACATTTGCCCGCGCCCTGAAATCATGCAGATGGATCCCCAATGATGTACCCACAGTCAATGGCACACCGTCGTGAATATGGGAAAGAGTGGTGATGGACCATTCAAATGACTCGCGGCTGACAACTTCGAGCCGATTGAGATCGACTTCGAGGAGGTCTTCAGATAGTAAGGAATAGGTCAGCCGTGAACGTAGATGACGGGTGGGATATTTGCATTGACTCACGGCTTTGAACGGCAAAGAATGCACGGTGCCCACTGTTGTTCACACTGACACACTCTGTCACTCCCGTATCAATCCTCTTAGACCGCCGGTTGTTGTCATTCCCCCTCGAGTCGGTAAACAGGATACCTGGTTGGCTGGTTGCGACGATTCCTCCTCGCTTCCCCCTGCTGCCATTCACGTCCCACAGGCATACCGACCCGTCGTCCAGTGGAGAGATCGCCAGAAGAGAGCCAACACCGTCGTCCCCATTGTTCGGGCTGTAGAGGGCCATTCCGCGGACTTCTACAGGATGCCTCAATCCTCCATCTTTTACACGCGGGGCCTCAAGCCAGTTGACGCACGTCGGTCCATGGCGCTGGATATACTCATCGTACCACGAGACACGTTCGTCGGGGAAAGCTGGATCCCAGTTGGCCAGGTCCTGTAAGAATTGCATGTGCTCCCGATTCCGCCGAGGCGGCTCGTCTTCAATTGGAGATGGGAGGCCATAGACTGGTTCCGCGGAGACTTTGGTTTCAGCTTGGAGGGTTTGCTGGTCGCGTGGGCCCGAGCTGGCTTCGACGGACACGGCATAGAAGCGACGGCGGTTCTGCAGGAAGTGGTACCACGAGGAGCGGTCGAAACAATGGCGCTTCCAGAGCTCATGGTCGAGGCAAACATCGCGGAGCTTACGGGAGACAAGCTGCAGTCTGGGCAGGTAGTGAGGTTCGAGATCTGGGGAACTGCCATTAGCGGAGCTATTCCAAGCGGGGCTCGGCCGGGGAGCACTCACAGCACAAGATCTGGAGCAGGATCTCGTCCGGGAGCTCGTCCCAGCGTCGAGGCAGGTGTAGGTGCCCGGACTCAGCCATGACGCTCGCCGATTATGGCGGACGGGCAGCGGAAACGTGCAGCGGAAACGGGAACGAGAGGGGCAGCCGTGGCCCGTGGGGGATCCTGATGGAAGGTTCTAACTTCCAGGGTCTGCGGCAGACGGGAGTCACCAGACGGAAGACGGAGCTGGGGGCCGGCCAGGGCTATCGCGATAAGCGACCAGTTAAGGTGGGTTTAGGCGACGCTATGTCACCGGCTGGTGCTGGCGCCGGGGTTTGGCGCGACGCTTCCAGGGCCAGGAATGGAAGCGTGTAGATCACGTCAGGTTGGACGAGTTGGCGGTTGCTGGCGGTTGCTGGCAAGTCAGCGTGGTCTGATGAGATGGCCTACCGTGCTGCGGCCGTGTTTGGGATGCAAGTTGCACGCTGGGAAGCCTCCAATTCCCCGCTGGTGAGTGATGACTGCGTATCCGGGGCCAGCCAATGGCAAGCTGGTGGATAGACTGGATTGATGGCTCATAAGACATTGCCGAGCCTGACCATGTCAACAGCCACATGCAGTGTCCGACCAACAGCCCAGTTGCTTGTGGCTGCTTTTTTCCCTCGGTGTGTTGCACGCACCTCGAGTCACGTTCCTGACGCCACCGTGGCTCAGGATGTCTCTTCTTTCAGCTGGCACTGATTGACGGTGCATGTCTCAGTAGGTACGCAGTACGGAGGGCCCTTTCAAAAGTCTTATCTAGAAGAAGTAAGTCCTAATTATTAGGTTAGATAATAAATACACTAAGTACTTTCTGATTTCTATAGGCCCTAAAGGATAGCAGGCTACAGCATACAGCAACCGCTATATCCTGATTAGCAGCGTACTACTTACTCTGAAGTTACAGCGGCTGTTTAACGAGACTGTGACAGCTTTATGTATCTCAGGTAACCGACAGGGATAAATAGATATGATGTTACTAGCGCTCGGACAAGACTTTTAAAAGGGCCCTCCGTAGGTTGTAGGTTGTCGGTGAGCCTGGAGGTGGAGTTGACAAGTCCAGGCCTGCTACCGACAGCTGGCAGTTGGCAACAATTCCCAGTTGGCAGCAGTTGGCAGCTGGCAAACACCCAACCTCTTCCACCACCTTTATCTCAGCGTCTCCCAGCCGCAAGGAATAAACACCGCTGGCTGCTTGTTGATGCCTCAGTCAACTCACTCTCTTCCTCGCTTGATGTTTGCACCCCAAATCATGACGCGAATTGCGCGCCACATTCACTCGTCTTCAAAACAACCACTCATTCATCGCACTTGATTCACTACACACCTCTTTCGATATCGTCCAATGCAGAAACTCTCACACTCCGAGCCGCAGCGCTGAGACTCTGTCATCGTCAAACCATCGCGAACCACCCAGGGAAACCTTCACCAGGAGCCGATCGAATACTGCACGCATCGGCGCTTCACCTGCGCATCGTGGAATGCGACTTTGGTCATCTCGAGTGTTCTCAGCTCCGCCTCGCCTGCATTCATGCCGAGAGTCGCGCGCGACGGAACCTCCCACACTCCGACTCTGTGATTGTGGACGACCTTCCGCCATGAATCCCAACCCCCAGAATGTAGGTTGAACAACCTTAGCGACAAGCGTCATCACTAATTCACCCCAGTCACTTCCCTCGATCGAAACCGAGCGCTCACGCCGAGAAGCGAGAAATGTACGCCACAACACCGTATCGACAATTTCATCCAAGTCAAACCCATTCGCGTCTTCCGAACTTGGCGACGAGATCCAGCTTGAGGACTTCTCATATATCAAAGCCCACATACCTCGTGGCCGAAGCCCAGACCTCCCGAAGCTCGTCTCAGAGCATCCTTCTCGACCCATCAATGGCGCAGGAAACCCGGCAACTGGTCACAAGCGCAGCGCATCCCTTGATGAAGACAAACCCGTTTCCGAATGGGAAACTGTAGTCCCAGACGAAGAGTTTGAAAACAGTCCCCCAGTCCCACCTCAACAACTCAGGCGAAGGAAGAATTTTGAACTCGTCTTCCACGCTCAGGAAATCTTCGATTCTAGATCCAACCAGCAAAATGGATTAGCTAAACAAGAAAGGCACACAATCCTTGCGCCCCCGCGTGCGCTTCCAAAGCCACCTGCCAAGCGGCCGCCAAGATTTGTTCCTCGCCTACACTCCTTTCATTCCACGTCCAGTCTTTACAGCGACCTTGACGAGACCGACAAGGCTCCAGAAGGGAATACGAAAACCGTCCTCGAGGTTGGAGGCCAGAAGAGGCAGCCCCCTCAGCGTCTTCTTGCTCGCCATCGCCCAGAAATCCTGAGATCACTTTCCAAAACGTCAACCAGTACCAATGGTGACCCATTTCAGTACGATGGGGATCTTTATTCCGGATTTCTCCAACCTTCCGCCGAGAAGGATGTCAGCAATGCACTCCATTGCGCCGAAGGAAGCGCTCAGTCGAAAGAAACCTTTCCGCAACCTGCGCAAATAGGCACCCTGCAAACAGATACGAAGAAAGGCCCCAATGTCGCCTCGTTCTACAACGCCGCAGCTATTCGATCGACCTAGAATGTCGACGAAGAGATCAAGGTTCCAGTCATCCGAGAGCCAAAGAAAGAGCCCAACCCAGAGCCCGAATCTTCTCGCCGGCTCACTGGCGGGATCGCGACTCTGCTTCGACCCCGACCTCAGACGGGCACAGAGGCCGATTGGCAGACTGTCATAACCGAACAACCCTTCGATTCAATGCAGCAAGAGTTCCAAGACAGTATTGCAAAGGGGACAGGAAGCAGTCTTGCGGACGTGTCGGATATGACGGAACACGATTATCCTCGCGAGTATGGATCAACGGATAGAATCATCCAGCATCCTAAAAAAGGTCCTATGCCAGGCTCGTACCTTCTTCGAAATGACAAACAGAGGAATATCCCGGTACTAGTCCCAAAGTTTGGCTCTGCGGACAGGGAGGCTTTCCCCCAGAATTCCATCCGCAAACTTCCACAGCCTCCGGCACGAACCCCGGGAGGTAGTTCTCGTTTCTCGAATCCGTTTCGCCGGGATGGTTCCGCCCAGAGGCCCACTCGTGAGAGCATTCTCCTCGACATGGAGTCCAGGCGCGACAGTTATCAAACACTCGATTCAGACATCAACCTCCCTGAGCTTCGCGTAGAGGACGCCACTCCCACTCCCAATTTTGGAAAGAATGGGAGATTCAGATGGTCCCGAATTAGGGAAAATCTGGGAAGAGATCCTCCGAAGACTCCTCTGACAATCTTCGACCAACCGCTGTACAGGCTTGGAATCAAAGAATCGAGCGACCCCAAGAAGGCATCCCACATTCCGCATGACGAATTTCTGGCAAAGATCCCACGTCTTCCCTTTCCATTGATTAGTTTGCCAGAGGCAGCAATGTTGCAGCATTTCCGAAGGGAACGGGGAGAAGAGGATCACACGAATACCGCCGGGTCCTTTGCAAGCAGAGGCAGATCCAACACCATGAGCACGGCCGAGTCTTCGATTCTTGCCCAGACACCGTCCCCGACCAGACTTCACTTTTCGAGAGGATCACCAGGGGAAGGCCTAACCAGACCAGCTCCAGTCCATCGCACTCACCGCATAAACGGAGTGCTTCGACGCCGCGATTGTCAGTAAGAAGGCCCCACTCAGGAGAAGCTACTAACACTGCTCTAGCAAGCGAGAGAATTGCCGACATGCTGATATCATCATCAGCCATCCTGAATACACCCCCTCCGACTGAACCTCGAACTCCCACGAACGGCGATTGGTATAGGGGCCGTCCTCGAGATCCCACCTCCTACTACACCGGGCTGCCTCGGACCCGTGGATTCTCCTCAAGCACGATAGAGAGAAGGGCTAGAAAATTCCAGGAGGGCTATGTCCCCAACGAGGGAAGTCTGTTTACCCGATCCGAGGTGGACCTCATCGAATCGGCAAGGGTGGATATTCTGTCTCGTCGGCGACTTGCCGACAAGGAAAACAAGGGAGAAAAGATGATCTTTGTGGGAATCATGATCTTGACACTCTTCTTCCCGTTCCTTGGACTGCTTGCTCTGTGGGGCAAATTTGACTCGGCTGTTTCGTGGTATACTCATGGCGAAATGCACTCACTGACCAAGGACCAGAGGGGTACACTGAAGCAACAGCTGTTTGTTGAAGCAGTTGTTTACCCTGTATTGATTGTCACTTTGTCTGTCTACTACTCCGTTGGAGTGTAGACCTGAGGTTTTTGTTCGATGTAAAGTCGAGTTGCAGTTAAGACTGATTTCGGGATTTGTGATGAAGCGGGGAGGTTGAATCATCGAGAACAAATGGATTGCCTGTATTATGAGCACATATATTTTGAATGAGATAGGCCTGGATTGGCCAACTGGAGACTATAGTATTTGCGTACTGGACGAGGTGAATTTCATATGGCACAATGAGGAGTTTCAGATATTTAATCATATTAGCTCATGTGATTCATTCGATAACCAGCACTTTCAATCTTGAATCGCATATGGGAACATAATTCTGCTCTCCCGTCACGGTCTCTTTGTGAACAGACTACTGGAGTGGGCATGATCAACTTTACTTCTTGCCACCGCCAGAGCCGCTGCCAGAGCCGCCGCTGGAGTACTTATGTCCACTGGGGGAAGTGTAGGTGGAGCCACCATTTCCGTTGTTGTAGTAGGAACTTCCGTTGGGGTTGGAGTAATAATACGACCCGTTGCTAGAACAGTATTAGAGGTCACCAGTGTAAAGGATCGAGATGTATGAGAGTTCGAAGCAAATGACTTACGTGTTGGAGTAGTGATAGGAGTTCGAGTTGGCCGCGCCGGAACCGTAGTCTCGGGCACAGTAGTGGTTACCCTGTAGAAGCGTCAGGATTGTCCAGCTCGGACCGGGACATGACGAACCTGGCTGTTGGTGCCGCTGCTCTTGTAGGAGTAATTGTCAGACATGGTGATGCGAGTGCAAGGCTCAAGCTGTGGATGGTTGAGTGTAGTTCAGAGATGATCAAATGAGAAGAATCAGTGATGTTGGTGTAGATGAAGGAGAGAAGAAGAAGGAGGCCGAGATGCGGGGGAAGCTTGAGAGCCCGACCTTATCTACCCCTGGGAGAGGAATGCGGAAAGAACGGGCAGCTACGACAAACAAAAACAAGCAACTCTCAAGATGATAGCTTGATAAAGTTTCACACCAGGTTAGAAGCGATGCGTGTTGCTACCAATCAGCAAACATCGTGAGGTGGGGGAAAGTGGGATGCATCAAACTAAAAGCAACCATGGGTCTCACGGCTTGGGGCAATTTTACTGTACAGCAGACGAAGAGCAAATTGATTTCTTCTCAACCAAATAGAATACACAACAAAGGTTGGCGCAGGAAGCTTGACAACTTCCTTATATTTTACAAATTTCCCTAAGAAGGTCTGTCGGGAAGTCCTTGGGACACCTCCCGCGTACCCTCCACCGTTGAGCTAGGGAAGTGCGGGGTAAGATACTCTCAGACCTTGGGATTTCTTGAAGAGTCCATTGGGAATGTTCTGAGACATATTGGGCAGAGGAGATTCTAAGAACTTCTAGGGAATTCCCTGGGAGAGAAATCTACGGAGGTTAAGTAGAACGAAAATCCTTAGGTACTATATAATATGCTAAATTTTAGTATTTAATTAGATACTCCACTAAAGAAAGATTAGGGGAAAGTCCCTAACCTAAGTACGGTCTTCACGTCCTGAGTTGTCAAAACCCCAGCGCCAGCCTTTTTAAAACCACTAATTATGGCAGAAAAAGGCGCGGATTCATTGGGAGTGATTGTGAGATACGGCCCCTTCATTCTGGTGAGAGGTAGCTGCAGTTTTATCCCCGGATTGTGTGAAGCTTAGTTGTGCGCTGCCACGCTGATGATACTCTCTCACTTAACGTGATGGCATAGCAATAAGCAGCAGACATGATGATATCGATTTGCTTGAAAATTACGTTCGATTTATAAATATCAAGAGAGGCGGTATTATTTTGCTAAATTGGCTAGCGAATAATGCTTCATTAACCCTCGGCCTAATTTGAGGTGACAGCGGACGCAATGAAGAAAGAAGAACCCCACAGCATCATGAGCCTAAGATGGTTCTTATTTTCTCATATTCGACTAATAGGCAATCGTCCATTGTGAGATGGACTGGCTCATCCAGCCGTGCTTCCATTTTCTAAGCTGAAGAATGATGAAAGATGCAACATCGGCGGATACTTTGGCCAGGCGCCCATTTGTCATCGCGCTGCGACAATGGGCGAATTATGATGTCATCCCCCGCAATCAATCGATCACGACAGGACGAAACCTTGAGGCGCTTACAAACGATGCTCATTCGCTGATTAGAAATCATGAGGAACTCATTTTGAGATAAATTGAAGCTGTCCGATTGAGTTCTATCATTTGGCTTCATCAAAGAAGGGAGCCTCTTCTTCGTTAGATCGATCCTCTTACAGACCTCGAGATACGTAGCAACACTTACACAATGGCAACCAAAATTTTCTTGTATGCCTCTGCATCCGAGCCTCTGTACATGACCATACTGAACAATTTCTAGGACCGGCGCTACTGGTATTCGTCCCATCAACAGCAATCGCCGTCCGGTTACTTATTGATCATCTAGGCTTTGTCGGTGGCGCCGTCCTCACCCAGGTGTATGACGCTCATCCAGAATACGACTTCACATTGTTCGTCCGCAACGAGGAGCGTAGCAAGCCCTTTTCTGCAAGGTACCCGAACGTCAAGTTCGTCTACGGCACCCTCAACGACTCTGTAGTCATCGAGAAGGCGGCTGCCGAGGCCGACGTTGTCATTCGTTAGTTCCACTTGCCATCATTCAAGGCTCCAATTGACAGTGTTATCCAAGACACCGCAGCTTCCGCCGATGATACTCCGTCAGCCCGTTCAATTGCCAAGGGCATCGCTGCAGGCCACACAGCCAAGAATCCTGGATACTGGATCCATTTATCAGGGACTGGGATTTTGACTTGGTACGACCATGAGCATAAGCGCAGCGGCGAGAGTCCTCTACCCGAGGAGAAGTACAACGACCTCGAAGGCATAGACCGCGTCATCAACCTGCCAGACCACGCTGCTCATCGAGATATCGACAAAATTGTCCAGGCCACCAACTCCGATGCAGTGAAAACTCTCATCGTTGCGCCTCCTACTATATACGGGACTGGCCGCGGAATTGGCAACACCCGCAGTGTCCAGGTCCCCAACCTAGCCCGCGCAACGTTCCGGCTCGGTTATGCTCCAATCGTCGGTGTGGGTAAGACAGAGTGGGACAATGTTCACATCGACGACCTCGCCGACCTCTTCCTCAAGTTCGTCGAAGCTTCTCAAGACCCGGCCAAGCGAGAGAATCCCGAGATATTCGGTCGCAATGGATACTTCTTCGCGCGGCAGAGCGCCCACAAGTGGTCCGACGTCGCCACGTGGATCGCCGAGGAGGCGAACCGCCGCGGATACGCACCGGAGCTGGCGACCAAGTCGGTCCCGCTGGAGGTGGTGACCGGGACGGGGCTTCTGGCGGCGGGGACGTGGGGACAGAACTCAAAGGGAGAAGCGGAGCGGGCCAAGAAGTACCTCGGATGGCACCCGAAGGCGGTGGCTCTGAGGGACACTATTGGTGAAGCTGTAGAGACCGAGGCCAAGGCCCTGGGGTTGACTCCAAAGGATGTGAGGGCTTGAATGATTGGCTTGAGGATGACTGTCAGAGTCAGGCTGGAAGGCGTTTAGCCAGTAATTAACGATGGATGACAGTCAACTAACGGTCTTTCTTAATTATTCTGATAATAATGACGAATCTTTTTCATGCCACGGCTGATGCCGGGTCTTTGCCCACTCTGCTCGACTCATGGCTAAAAGTTCAAGTCGAGACTTACATTGAACGCACTCAGCCGTGAGCGTGAGGATCTACGTTGCACAGCATGACAGACGCGAATGTCATTGAGCTATGCATCATCTCCAGCACTGATTCATGAACACGGTGTAAGCCTTCATCATGCCACTACGGAAAGATTTTGGGTGGAGGGGCAGCGGCGGACATCAACGGGTTGCTCCTCCGAAGGCGGCAACGGCGGGCGCCCAAGCGGCGTAGTGCCCGACTCGGCGTTGCCGTTGTCGTTAACTAACTCAAGTTACATGCTAGGTCTCTTGTTAGGCAGGGAGAAAATTCGGTCAACCGACTCTCGAGTCAGACGGCCCTCCCGTTGCCACCAGCCGGGCTGGCGACAGAGTGTTGAGGCGCCTGGCTGGGATCTAGCTTTTTCACGGGCTTACAGCGCTTCGTGTACTACGTCGTGTGTTGGGGAGGTGTCTGATGCCCACTGATCAGCAGCATCCCTTGTCTATTGCCCGTCGTATGTCTTAGAGAAGGATTCTTGTCCCGAGGTCCAGTCACGAGTCTCAGGGCTCCAACCTCAGCACCAGCCACACGAATGCACAAAATCCGTCCGGCCGTAGAAAATGGGTCTACGAGGCAAAGGTACCCAGGACGGCAGCAATAAGCTGGCAGGCAACAATGTAATATTGGCCGATTAAAATCCGCCCAAGCCAATGCCGTCATGACCATATCCCGTCAGGCTTAGAATTGGCGCGTCTCCCATTTCTCACTCGCATCCCGACGACTGTTGCCCCCGGCGCACGCCCCGAAACAAGCCCGTTGTGGCCATGGCAAGGAAAAAAAAGAACTGGAGCCTAAGGAGCCATACCTAAGGAGCCATACCTACCTAAGGAGCCCTGAAAAAACTCAGGCAAAGGGCCTTACCTAAAGCGGTTTAGTGGAGGGGATCGATGGCAGCCCACTTGTGCTGACCCCACTTCGGCAGAAAAAGTTCAGTTCACAGGTCCCCCGAAATTTATTCTCAGGCCTTCACAAAATCTGGTTGGGAGAATTTCTTTCTCGAACCCCACGTTCTTCCTTCCTTCCTCATTCTCTCTTCCACCAAAATCCTCTCAGACAGCAAAATGGCGGACGAACTGTATGACGGTGCCATTGGCATTGATTTGGGTGAGTCTACATCATGTTCAACGCCTTTGCGTCTCCCTTCTTGATGCCGCTGGCGCGCGCGACCCTGTCGTCGTCGTCCGGCGAAGGAGGGGAAAATCGCGAAACTCGTCAAATTCATCAAAACCACACCACAATCATCGACATTTTCTAACCACGACCCGTCAACAGGTACTACCTACTCCTGCGTTGCTATCTACGAGGGTACCAATGTCGAGATCATCGCCAACGAGCAGGGTTCTTTCACCACCCCTTCTTTCGTTTCCTTCACCGAGAAGGAGCGTCTGATTGGTGAGGCCGCAAAGAACAATGCTGCCATGAACCCCCGGAATACCGTCTTCGATGCCAAGTGAGTTTTTCCCGCTGCTCGACCCGAAATCCCGGAATTCCTCAGTTTCTGACCGAATTTTCTCAGGCGTCTGATCGGTCGCCGCTTCGATGACCCTACCGTCAAGAAGGACATCGAGTCTTGGCCCTTCAAGATCGTCGATGATGGTGGTAACCCCCGCATCGAGGTCGACTACCTGGGCGAGAAGAAGACCTTCTCTGCCCAGGAGATTTCCTCCATGGTTCTCGTCAAGGTAAGATTGATTTTCTCTCAGCGCACAACCACAGCGCACAGCCCACCATCCCACTTTCACTCCCCCCGCCCCCGCACTAGTGAGAAACTAAGCAGATTCTGACCCCCGCTATAGATGAAGGAGATTGCCGAGACCAAGCTTGGCAAGAAGGTCGAGAAGGCCGTCATCACTGTCCCTGCCTACTTCAACGACAACCAGCGACAGGCCACCAAGGATGCCGGTTCTATCGCCGGTCTCAACGTCCTCCGTATCATCAACGAGCCCACCGCTGCCGCTATCGCCTACGGTCTCGGTGCTGGTAAGTCCGAGAAGGAGCGCAACGTCCTGATCTACGATCTCGGTGGTGGTACTTTCGATGTCTCCCTCCTGAACATCCAGGGTGGTGTCTTCACCGTCAAGGCCACTGCTGGTGACACCCACTTGGGTGGTCAGGATTTCGACACCAACCTGCTCGAGCACTGCAAGAAGGAGTTCTCCCGCAAGAGCAAGAAGGATCTCTCCGGAGATGCCCGTGCTCTCCGCCGTCTCCGAACTGCTTGCGAGCGTGCCAAGCGTACCCTGTCCAGCGGTGCCCAGGCCACCATTGAGATTGACTCTCTCTTCGATGGTGAGGACTTCACCATGTCCATCACCCGTGCCCGTTTCGAGGACCTTAACGCCAAGGCCTTCTCTGGCACCATCGAGCCCGTTGCCCAGGTTCTCAAGGACGCCGCCATGGAGAAGAGCGGTGTTGACGAGATTGTCCTGGTCGGTGGCTCTACCCGTATCCCCAAGATCCAGAAGCTTCTGTCCGAGTTCTTCGATGGCAAGAAGCTCGAGAAGTCTATCAACCCCGATGAGGCCGTTGCCTACGGTGCCGCCGTCCAGGCCGGTATCCTCTCCGGAAAGGCCACCTCCGCCGAGACCGCCGACCTCCTCCTCCTCGATGTCGTTCCCCTGTCTCTGGGTGTCGCCATGGAGGGCAACATCTTCGCTCCCGTTGTTCCTCGTGGACAAACTGTCCCAACGATCAAGAAGAGAACCTTTACTACAGTCGCTGATAATCAGCAAACAGTAGTGGGTGTTTTCGAATTTTCCCATAATTTTTTCGAGTTGCTAACGCGTAATATAGCAATTCCCTGTTTTCCAGGGCGAGCGTGTCAACTGCGAGGACAACACCTCCCTGGGTGAATTCACCCTTGCTCCTATCCCTCCCATGAGGGCCGGTGAGGCCGTCCTCGAGGTTGTCTTCGAGGTCGACGTCAACGGTATCCTCAAGGTCACCGCCACTGAGAAGACCTCTGGCCGCTCTGCCAACATCACCATTGCCAACTCTGTCGGCAAGCTCTCCACTGGCGAGATCGAGAAGATGATCAGCGGTATGTTTCCCCTGTTACGAGTGCATAAATCAGTCCAAACTAACTCGAAATAGACGCCGAGGCTTTCAAGAGCAACGACGAGGCTTTCAGCAAGAAGTTCGAGGCCAAGCAGCAGCTTGAGTCTTACATCGGCCGTGTCGAGGAGATCGTCTCCGACCCTACTCTGTCCCTCAAGCTTAAGCGTGGCCAGAAGGAGAAGATCGAGAGCAGCATCAGCGAGGCCATGGCTACCCTTGAGCTTACCGATGCCTCTGCTGAGGACCTCAAGAAGCAGGAGCTGGCCATCAAGCGGCTGGTTACCAAGGCCATGTCCTCCCGATAAATGCATTCGGGACGTGGCCATGTAGGTTAGGGGACGAAGGGCGGCGACGGTTGAGCTGCCCCGGGTTGCGAGCCGACGCAACTCGTGAGGCCTTGAGGATGGATGGGGCCACCGGCCGAGGCGATTTCTTTTTTCGATCTACGGTAATTCGGATGAGGAGAACCGAGGCAAGTGAAAAGTTCTGCATGTTTGTGTGTTCATGGGTCCTCAACAGTGACACCGACTTACGCAAGGTCGTCATGACGTATGAGAGATGCATGGATAGTGGGCAAATGGACGCGGGCTCGCTGAGCCAGAGCCCTATGAGTGGACGAAGGCCTGTGAATTTAAGCATAGACTCGGTAGAATGGAAAATACGGAATGATGCCTTTTACCAAATAATGCTGGTTCAATTCTATGTGCAACTGTGATGAGATAATGAGGATGATGATCTTGGGTGTTTGACACAGTGGATATAGCACGGAGCATCATCCAGGTGAGACGACAGTTGCACCGTCAGGCACACAGTATCAAGCTTCTTTACTAAAGCCTCGCTGGGCTAAGATACTACACTTACGTGCAAAAGTTCCGACAATATTAAAATCGCTGACGGCAGTAGTTATTTTACTATATTATTTTAATTAAGATATTAAAATATATAAAAGTATTATTAAAATTATTTGGTTTTTTTAGCTTTACTCAATATCATCAGATAGATTAAAGCTATATAGTAATCTCAAATAGTAGAAATAAACAATAAGTACTTCACCCAGCACCAGAAGAAACAGTAGCTAAACAATAAGGTTATTGCCCACTAGTCTCTGCCTGAAGCTTCCATTCAACCCCTCTAACTTCAACCCTATTATCTGCAGTTAACGACCTTGCTATCTACAGTTAACAACCTTGAGATAGTAACCTTATTCCGAGTAATAGGATATAAGGGAGACTAATATCTCCCATCATCAAGAAACCAACTTCCCTTCTAACACTCATCCCATCACAACCAATTTTCAATATGGCGAATTTCACTCGAGCAGCTCTTTCCAGGGATAACCTGTTGTATCCGTATTATAGATCCCAACTCCAATATAATCTCGGATTCTCTCAGAATCTAGAAGACGAATCGGAAAGATAGAAGCTGAATTTCCTCTCGAGCTTCCTTGAGAAAGAAAATCTATTTGAGCTATCGCCATACTATCTGCAACGCCTAAATGGAAGCCAACGGATCGCATTGGCTATTTTTGGATGCCATTTGCTTCTTGACAATAGGACTAGGGTTAATGGGCAAGGAAATCAAATTCTTGTCCGCAATCTTGTCCCATATATCCGAATAGAAATGGCCGCGCTTTACGACTTGGCTAAAAATATCAACAATCCCGATCTAAGGGGTCAAGTCTTCCTCCAGGATATCGCCGGGGCCCAATACGACCCCTGGTTCTAGGAGCTGTTGTGTTGCGTTGGGTTGGTACGGATGCTAGCCATATAGGGTGCTGGCTAGAGGGGGGATTCGAATGACTTAAACGGGTCATCATGGGCGTTGGGGATCTCGGGGCGTTCTAGTCACAGGTCGGGTCGTGGGAGTTTTCAGTGCATTCATCAAGGTTAGAGTCGAAAAAGTTAGACAGGATTCCGGCAGAGAAGAAAAAAGCAGCTTGAAACCCAAAACTTGGGCCTTGGCAACTGTGACGTGCGCGCAACGAAAATGCAGTAAATTCAAACACTAGGTTCCCTCATCGAGGGATTATTAAAATTATAATTTTATAAATAATAAGGTTTTTATTTTATTTATTATTCTTATTTATAAATCCTCTTATTAAATAAGCTTTTATTGCTTTTGATGGATCCGTTACGGTCAATTTGATCAGATGGATAATGTTCAAAGCAGTGATGATGATGTTGATGATTGCTTGTGCCGGTCATCCCGGACCGGCCGGAAGAGGGGTTATCAGACCCCCCTTCTGACTAAGGTCAGGATATCAGTCTATCAGAGGTTTCGTAATACAGGGTCACCTTCCAACACACCCCCCCAGCTGAAGCCGGGTCGGCTGAAGCTGTGATCTTTATATCCCTAGATCTTCTTCCTTTATCTCTTCCAGCTTCCTTTGCCCTAGCCGGTCTGAGATATCGACCAGGCCTAGCTGCTGGACTGATCTTTGAAAGGCCGGGCTGCTGACTGTCTTTGTGAGCCCATCTGCAATCATTTCCTCTGTACCGATATAGTCCACCTGGATCCTGTTCCTCTGAGCTTCCTGCCTCAGCCAATGATTGTGAATATCAACATGACGAAGCTTGGTCTGCAGCTTGTTGATCTCCTTGTGGATAAGCCGGATCGTCTGCAGGTTGTCACATTGAATGTGGATTTTTTCTTCTTCCAGCCGGATCCCTAGCTCTTTAACTAGCCAGGAGATAAACATAGCCTCCCTAGCTGCTTGAGATAGGGCTAGTAACTCGGCCTCAGTCGTTGACGTTGTGACTGTATCCTGCTTGTTGGCCCTCCATCCGATCGTCCCTCCGAATAGTCTCATGACGTAGGCTTGGGAGCTTTTCCGGTCAGGGTTATCTGCATAGGAGGCATCGCTAGCCACAAGGAAACAATCGTCCTGGCCGAATTGAAGGGCTAGGCTGCTGGTCTTCAAGAGATATAGCAGGACCCTATCAGCGGCGCGGTGATGTTCCGGTCCTGGGTTCGAATTGAATCTAGCTAGCCGGGAAGCTGAAAATGCTATATCCGGCCGGGTCATAACAACCGCATAGAGGATCGATCCAACCTTCCGCTGGTATCGTTGGATTGACGGGATCGAGGCCCGTTGCTCGTACGGTTGAAGGTCTTTCTTCTTCATCGGGGTCTCGTGCCGCTGATCTAGGTCATCCACAAGGTTAGCAATCTTAGCTAGATACGAAGATTAGGACAACCAGATCAGTCTTTTCTTTCGGTCTCGAATAACCTCGATCCCTAGAAACCACTGAAGATCCTGTCCGCCGGTTAGGTCATATCGGCCTTTAAGCTCTACAACAGCCCTCTGAACGTCCTGTCTCTTATCCTTCCAGCAGGCAAAGACAATATCGTCAACATAGTAGAAGACGATGATCCCGGCCTTTGTCATACAGCAGGGCTCGTGCCGGACCGGCTTAAAGCCTAGGTCTTAAAGAGTTACTATAAGTTCCTTCTACCAAAGGAGAGGGGATTCGCATAGGCCGTACAGGGCTTTCTGGATCAGTAGGGTCTTTCCGGCTGATCTGTATCCCGGCGGCTGTCTCATTAGGATAGGACGGTCTAGCCTAGCATTAACGAAGGCGTTAACTGCGTCATACTATATAAGATCCAGGTCAAAGCAGGCTGCTATTGCAATAAGGGTCCGGAAGGACCTTCCGGCTAGGGTTGAGGCGTAGGTCTCCTCGCCTAGCCCTTTCAGCTGCTGGTCTCCTCGAACAACTAGCCTAGTCTTGCATTTGATAAAGCGGCCATGCTTATCTAGCTCATAGACGTAGACCCACATGCAATCGAGGGTCTGTTTCCCTAGGGTTCTAGAGTCATCTTAATCTATCTCGATCCATAACTCCATTTCCCTATAACTTTGCAAGTGGTCTCGTTCAGCCTGTTTAAATTGGACCCCCATCGGATAATCCCTTAGATCCCGATGGTGCCGCGGCAGCTGTGGCAGCTGACTTTAATAAACAGACCTAGGTTTCTTCAACAGCCGTTACAGCTTAGCCTTGTCAATGACCTTCCCGTTGAGGGTGCCGACTGGGCTAGCTAATCTTCCGGCGTTAAAGGCAGCTTTCCAGATATCAGCCCGTTCAACCCTATAGACCCTAGAGTCCCTAGGATCTAGCTTACCTGGTGGATCTAAGTCATCCTGAATCGTCATAGCTAGAAGTGCAGCTAGTAGCAGAGACTCAGGAGTCAGATAGGCTCTATCATAGGAGCTAGAGGCACCAGATTAACTGCCTTCTAAGGCGTCATATCCTTCCCCTAGTTTTCCTTGAGATCCTTCCTCAACCCTATCACTAGAATAGCCAATAGTTACAGCTGGTTAATCAGACCTAGCCTCTGATAGTATCATCCCTGCGTCTCTGTTAGGGCTACCTACATACGGAATAGGATCGATATCATCAACCTGATCCCTAGGATCTAGGTCATCAACATCGTCCTGATCCGCGCTGTAGATATCCCCCTGATCCTTGTTATGGGATTCATCCCACCTAGAGGTCAATCTGCTAGCTGTTTCCTCTGCTATTAACTGATCCGGTTAATCTTCTTCCACCTAGTTCAGCAGCTAGTCCAATTCCTTCCTGCTAACTTGTAATAGGTCATCCCGTAGATGATTGACGTTTCTGGTAAATTGATTGTCTTCATTGAATATAATATCCCTAGTAGAGATAACCTTCCCAGTAGCCGGGTTCCAGATCCGATAGATATTAGTTAACTGGTATCCCACAAGGTAGCCGATCCAGGCACGGGGATTTAGCCGCTGCCGCTTTTTCCTGCCCTTCAGGGCATCTTAAGTCAAAGCAAATACCTTAGACCCATAGACCCGTAGATAACCTAGATAAGGGACCTTGTTTTCCTGACCGTAACCGTCCCGTTGGGCTATTGCTGTGTAGAACCGGGTATAAGGGGTATCCCAGTTGTTAACCCCCCTAGGGGTCCGGTTATAAAGATAGACAGCAGTACAATAGATCTCGACCCAAAGGAAGAAGGGAAATCGGGCTCCTGACCGTAGGGCTCTTGCCTTGATCTTGATAACCTTGCCGGATAGCTCGGCGCCGCCATTCTAAGCAGCTGTGTCTGCAGCTGTTAACTCCACGATGATACTCATCCCGGTAAAGAACCGATATACTAGCCGGGGCCGGTCTTCGGACTTTCCTAGGATCTCTCTATCGCACTCAATAACCCGGGGCTTCAGCTAATACTGCCGGACTAGATAACCTAGGAAGTCCTTAAAGACTGCAACTAGCTCTGTATGCTACCGGGTCTTAAGGTAATAGTCCCAGATATAGCCGGAATAGCAGTCTGTTATCAATAACAGACTAGCCCTTCCTTCTGGATCCTCTTCCAGGTTATGGAAGTTAATTGCTAGTCTCAAGCCGGGTCCGGCTGGAAGATCCCTTGGCCGGCAGCTGACTTGTCGGGTCATCTTGGAAGTGCCGCAGTCATCACATTCAACAGTCATAATCCCTTTAATCCGGGCCCCTGCGACCTTACTGACTAGCCTTTCTAGGGCTTGAGGCCCCGGATAACCTAGCCGTAGATACTAATAGCAGGCATCTTGCTTGGTCGCCTTGGGTCGGGTTGATGAGTTAAACCGGCTGTGCCGGGCAGGGAAGGCAGCATCACAAGGGACGTATTCTAGGACGAATTGGTCATATTAATCAAATAAGAAGCATTTAATCAGACCGTCTAAAGATCTTAGACAGTTGCAATCTGGGCATGTGTCCCACCAATAGCCCTGACGTTGCAGTCTTCGTAGGGATACGAGATTACAAGGGAAGTCAGGGCAATAGGCCACATCGAATAGAGGGATAACCCTAGGGCCCTTAGGTCCCTTAGTCATCACATTAACTTGGCCGTATCCTTGGACTAGGACTTCGTATTCTCCGGCAATAAGGACGTCATCAGCGCTAGCAGGCCGATATTCTAGGAACCGGCTGATCTCGTTGAAGATATAGATTGTGGCCCCAGAGTCTAGGATAGCTGACTTCCGTAGAGGATATCCTGATGCCGCAAAGGCCGCCCTAATCGGGGTGATCAGGTCATTACACCAGCCGACTTCCCAGCCTAGTCAATCCGACTTAGCCGGTCCGGCGGCTCCTTTCAGAGCCTTAAGCTTATCCTTCCACTCGGGCAGGGAAAGCCGGTATTTAACAGCATCTTAGATAAGAAACCGGGGTTCAAAGGAAGCTGGGGCCTTAGATAGAAAGACATAGAAGCATTTTAACCAGGTATGCCAATTGCCGCCGCAGGCCTCACAGATAGAGATGTCATTCCCTTGGTCCAGGTCATCCTTGAACTTATTCTTCTTGGCCTGAGGGCCCGGCTGATCGGACTTGCGTTTCTTATTCCGCCTCGGCCGGAAGGGCCCTGCAGATCCAGATAACCCGGCCGGCTGACCTTCCTTATCAGAATCCTGTCCCTGATCCGGTTGGTCAGCTTAATCAGGGTCGTCATCGTAAGTCGGACCAAAAACTCCTCTTTTAACTCGGGCTGGGGTCTTAGCCGGCTGTTGTAGCCCTCGCCGGCTGACCTTTGTGTGCAAGTTCTTAGCCACAGTCCGGATTGCTAGGGTCTCGGCTTCCAGCTCATTTTAATAGATCCCTTAATAATTTAAGACCCAGCTTGGAAGGACTGACTCAATAGCATCACATAGGTCGTTAAACCACACATTTGGGTTATCTAGGCCTCCAATATCCCTAGTCAGAGCTTGGTGTGTTGCTTGCTCCCAGTCTGTAAGCCAGTTCATAAAGTCCTTAGAAGCCCTAGGCACAGTAGATAGAATCCTCTGATATTTAGCTCGGGCCTCGTTTTTCTGCTCTGTTATTAAGGCCCCAACGCTAGCCTTAAGGTTAGAATACCATCTCCTTAGATCCTGATCCAGATCACAGGAGCTAGCGATAAAAGGCTTCGTAACAGTCTCTAGGACCCAGTCCTTAATCTTATCAATACCTCGACGTTCCTGTTCAAACAGCCTATAGTCTTAGTCGTAGTCCTTACGGTCAGACTGATAGGCAGCCCTATCTTCAGCAGTTAATTCTGTAATAGACTGGGCCTATTCGGTCGGATCGATCGTCTCGGGAGTGTAAGTCAGGGAGGTTAAAGATCCCTGACTATTACCCTGACGGGTCTGCCGGGGTAGGTCGGGCTCGATCAGCTGTGGAGGGATTCTTCAGAAATAGCTGCTGAAGGTCGGTCTGACCGGCCTTCTTAGGGGCTGATCTTCCTGATCCGCATTAATCAGGTGCCAGATATCAGCTGAATTTGCCTTGATACGGAAGGCCCTGTCCCAATCTGCCCAATCTTTAAAGGTCCTTAGGAAGGTCCTTTAGTCGGCAGATGCAGCATTTTTAGACGACATTGCGATGTTCGTAAAATGGGGTAAAATTAATCTAAAATAGAGTATAAAAGCCGTACGGATCTCAGCGCAGCTAGCTTCTTCAAGCAGATGAGACTCTTAATTGATGGATCCGTTACAGTCAATTTGATCAGATGGATAGTGTTCAAAGCAGTGATGATAATGTTAATGATTGCTTGTGCCGGTCATCCCGGACCGGCCGGAAGAGGGGTTATCAGACCCCCCTTCTGACTAAGGTCAGGATATCAGTCTATCAGAGGTTTCGTAATACAGGGTCACCTTCCAACAGCTTTTTAAAAGCTAACTCTTTTAGTGTAAATCAGGTATATTGTCGGAACTTTTGCACGCCCACTGTACCTACCTTACCCACCAAGGTACTAGAAGGCCTTTGGTACAAAATTAGTCTTCAGAAAAATTGTGTTCTAAACTGCTCTAGCAGGATAGGTTATTAATAAGATCAAGAATGTAGTTATGTGTGCAAACAACAATACTTTAGCAGAGGAAAGAGTCGGTAACCAACGCCTAAATCATCAGTCATTCTTAGAGAGATGCACAGAAAAGCATCGCACAGGCGTCTTTGCTCGGCCAGCCTGAAGCCGCGCCAGACTACGCGTATGTGGTTGGATTGATCCGTACCTTCGACCTCACAATAGAGAAGCATTTAATCGGATGTTTTATTGAGTTAGCCGCGGGAAAAGATAGTGGCAAGACATCGAAGATGCCTGCGGCAGCTTGTTAATTGGCGTAGTGGAAGACTGTGGCTAGACAATGGTCATGACTAGACCAAACATCTTCTCAGCACGGAACCCTGTTATACGTTAAACGTCCAACGCACTGCACCTCTCTTCGGAAGTGTAGTGGAGGAAGTGTAAGTGCTTTGCAATTGTACGACTGAACTCTTTGAGGTTCCACTTGGTTACCATGATTGATGACCCCACCAACAAGGCAGAGTCCAGCATGATTGCTGATGGCGCACCTCTGCACCAGCACGTTTTCCTCTCCGGTGACAGGGTTTCGCGTCTCCTGCCCCATACCAACAATCAGCGTCATTTCTACATTCTTACGGTTGCATCTGATCGGGAGCTTTGCTGTTTTTCGATTTTTGTATTTAGACATTGTGCGGACCTTGCCTAATCTGCGACCGCAGCCGACCCCGCTCGCTTTCTACATGGATTATGTGGCGAGGGGACGGAACATTCGTGTGCTGCCTGGGCTGAGATCTTTTAGCACTAACAGGAGCAGATTGCTCAGTGCAAAGACATAGTCTACGTCAGTATCGGTGAGAGGTCAAGTAACGGCCAGGCGATTTCTCCAACAACACGCACTCATCTCGCAGGCCGCCAAGGTGCTACACAATTCCCTGGCCATGATTCATTCGGTCTGTCGTCACCGCCATTCAACATCACAGGCTCTGTCGCTATAGTCACCCGGCGGGAAGCATCATGGCAGGTAGCAACACCAACCTCAACCTCCTCGACCTCCCCGTCGACATCCTCAGCCTCATCCTCCAGCCACTCCTCACCAGCCCAACGCCGATCCAGCTCTGCCCCTGCTCGGCATCTCCCATCAACCCGCTGCCGGTACTGCTCGCGCACCCGGCACTGCACGCCATCGCGGCACCGCTGCTGTTCACGGCCAACGAGTTCGTGCTGGACGCGACGGGGCCACACGCGCAGCACGTGCGACGGCGTCTAGCGGCGGCTGCGGCTGCGGCTGCGGCAGAAGAAGACGGAGACGCCGCCGTGGCAGCAGATAGGGCGTCGCCGTCGTCGCTGCTCACGACAAGGGATGCGCGGCTCAGGGTGGCCAACTTGCAGGTGCGCTTTGATCGGCTGCGGGGGTGGGTGCATGACGGCCTGGTGCCGATGCTGCTGGACATGGTGGTGCAGGGGGCGCTGGAGCATCTGACAGTGTGGGTGCGGAGTCCGCCAGAGGCCCAACATCCACGGGCTCAGCAGCCACGGCGGCGGATCGGTGCGGAAGACGGCGACAACGACCTGGCCATATTTGCGCGGCCGCCGCTCGAGGGTCTGCTCCGGGTGCTGGCGGACCCATACCTCCGGACGGCGCGGCTGTGGGTCGACGAGCAGCGGCACGTGCGGGCGTGGTGCCGATTCCACGCTGGAGGACGGAGTGTCGGGTGTGGATCCGGGGCCGAGGCCGGGACGGACGCCGTGGACCGGAACGGGAGCCGGGAACAGGCTCCTCTCGCCGGGTTCAGCGGGGGCCAGGCCCTGGAGATTGACTGGCGCATGGTGCTCCGGGTTGTGGACCCTGAGCGAAAGGACGTTGCGCTCGTGGGGGACGGGAGGAGCGGACAGTGGTGATGCAGGGATTACGATATATGACACTGGATTCTCAGATCATGGCTCCAGATGGGGGCATCACGAGGTTCATTGGGTGTCTGGACGTGTGTCTGTGGTGTGGCAAAAGCTGGCAACAGGTGGGCATCGGCCAGACACGGCATTGGAAATCTAGATTGCGCATCCCCCCAAGAACCAGAACAGCCACAGAAATATCAATGAAAAGAAGAAGAAAAAAAAGACATGTGCCGTAACACTTGTACGAATGAAATCCGCTGGTGGCTTGTCTTGCGCGCGGGGTGTGCGCTCGGCCCTTTTGCGTGTACGTTTTCCTGCCTTGGTCGAGGGGTGCGCGTGGGAGGTTTGGTTGGCCCAGTTGGCATTATCCACGGGTGTTATTCAGGATGTGCGAGTCTTGGTGGAGTGAAGCCCGTGGGAAGAAGGCTCGTGGTTGGGCCTCGCTACGACATACATGACGCAGCCCTCAGCCCAACGATCCATTGGCCATTGGCAGTTTTTGGATTTGGGATATTGGGCAGATCGGCCATTGAGGTTGGCATAGGGACGGCATCTCAGTGCCGGGACTTTTTCTCTCTCTTCTGTTTATCCTCTTCTCGTGCAGGGCACCCGCAGTGAGAGTTTCCGCGATCTACACACAGCACGGTGCGCGGCTGGTGTCGCAGATATCTCGGTGTCTTTTTTTTTTTTTTTACGCTCGGCAGCTTTGGCGCAGTGATGGCGTCGCATTTCTCCCTCGCATGTCTGGGATCTGGTTTCTAATCATCATTTCAAGCTTAATTCTTGCAGTCTCTGTCTCTGTATTACGCCCGAGACATCCGTCGCATTCCAGCGCCTTCGCCCCCGCGTGCTGACAGACAGACAGTTATCCCCGACCGGATATGGCTCGGCGCCCGAAGGCAACACGGCGCACAACTCCGGGGTTGCGGCGCACGCTGTCTCACCTCGCCTTGGGGGTTACGGGCTTCCGTTCGCCCAGTGGCACGGCGGCGCTAGTCATCGACATGACGTTGGTTTGGGTTTGCTGGTGAAAGGTGGAAGCGTCTCGCCTGGTGACGACATGCCGTATCTGAATGGCACCCATCCCACCCTCGTTGTGAGGCCCGGCCTGTGATATCCCATGTCTCCTGCCACATGCCACGTCCGCCCGTCTATCAATGGGACCCCCAATTCCACGTCCAACAGTTTGCATTCCCATGAGCCAGAAGAGAAAGGAGAAAGGCGGGAAAAATGACACTCCTTATCTCTGTCTCTCTGTCACTCGGACTTCCCTCCCCGTCGCTCACCCGCCCCGGCCGCCCAACGCGCAGCATGCGCCGCCAGCTCGGCTTCGTCTCCGCCGAGATACAGCACCCCGGCGTACGTAGTATTTTCCTCGGTCGTCTCCCGAGAAAATCAACCACAAAAAAACAATACAGGCACTAGCATAAAACGTGCCTGTCGATTGGAGCGCATGACTCCGCTCTTCCCCACGACGCGATCTCTGTCCCCTTTTTTTCTTTTTCTTTTTCTTCTCTTCCGCCCGGTGCGGTGCAGTACGGTGCGGCGCCTTGTGTAGCGGCGTTGATACAGTAGTGAAGAAAAAGTACCCCTGTCGTGAGACGCAGCATGTCTGGCACACCCAAAAGGCAACGCGACGCACACGCACACGCACACGCACACGCACACGCACACGCAACAAGGGCCTCATGTCTCATGTGCAGCGTGCAGCAATCGGCAGCCACCGATGAAGGGTTCGCCTTTCCTCTTTTTCCATGTCATTCCCTCTTATCGGTGACCTCCGCAGTACCGGACCGGGCTCTTCGCTCTTCGCCTTGTGCAAGGGCACTGTTATGGGCTGACATGTGCTGTAACCCTCGCTGGCGGGTTTCCGCGGGTACCTGTGCCGCCCACGTTTCCAGGGCGTGGTTCCCTCTAGCCGGTGCACTACCGAGCATAGTCGCGGCATCTCTCAGCACAAGACACAACAAGACATAATAGTTACTTGCGGGTTGCATTGTCTTGGTTCAACTATAGCACCACGTATAGGGGGTTCCCACCACCACCATCTCTCTCTTCACCGTTGCACCCACCACACTTGCTCTATCAAAGAGAGTGTGTGCACAAAACGAAGGCTGCTAGAAGACCCTTTGAGGAAAGGACTGTGATTTTGTCATTGCTATTGGAAAATATTCAAGACCTATGCCATGCTGTACATCGTACATCTCAGAACAATCTGCATGACCAAGCCTTCCTCCCTTGTGCAATTCCCCACGGAGCCAACACTAGAGCAAGCGCCAGAATCAGTTCCCCTCCCTCTCTCCTCTCCCTCTCCACCCCTACCTTTCTTCGCGCGCTTCCCGTCGGTTTCTTCTCTCAAGAGTGCTTCCGTAATTGTAATCAAAATCGAAACCTCCTCCCGTCCGTTCCTTCGCCCACGCGGACCGCTGCTCTTCGACAATCACCCCGACCGCGCCCCACCTACTCCCAGACTACTACAGGATCCAGACTAAAGCCGCCCACCTCAATCCTTATCCCGTGCCTTCGTTCTCGCTGTTCGTTCCCTTCAGCCGGGGCTAGAGCCTGTCGCTCTTCAGCCACCCCCCAGCGCTTTGGGTCCCATGTTTTTCATGAGGGGCCTTTTGGTGTTTCGCCCATGATCTGATGACCATGGGGGTTTCCGCATTCCCCCTCCTACTTTTTTTGCGCTTTTCGTGGCTCCAGCTCGCTTCTTGCTGTCTTCCAAGCAAGGCGGAGTGGATACCCGTAAATCAAATGTTCAAGGCCGTAAGAAACCAAAGAATTCATAGTTCGCTTTTGTTTTTTTTTGTCGCTGGCTCAAATGACGGGACACATCACACTGACTTAGGAGAGGATGACGTCGTGAAAGTCCTCCTTGTGCTCATCGGGGTGCTCGCCCCAGTGGACGGGTCCAAGCTTGAGCACGCGGTATGAGTTGGTGCTGGAGGTGCTGGCGCTCGACGATCGTCGAGGCATAGCATCAATCTGCTCAACACCAGCGGGGATGTTCTGGGCGCGGCTGTGAGAGCGCACCGCCTGCTTCTTGGGGTACGAAGCAGAGGTAGCAGGAGCCAGCGAGAGGAAGGACGACTTGGGAGCAGGCGTGAGCTCGAGGAACTTCTGAGGGGGAAGGCCAGGCATCTTGTTGGAGTTGTTGGAGTTGTTGGAGTTGTCTTGTTGCGAGGAGAAAGTATGTAGTAACGGCGAGTTGTGCAAGGCAAGTTGCTGCAGTGCGTGATTGGAGATGTAGCTGAGGTGGGCAGAACAGCTGAATCGGTGTAGAGGCAATGAGAGGCGAGGCCTTGTGTTTGACTGAAGAAGAGAAGGAAAGAAAAAAAGAGTCCGGTTGAGGGAGGGAATCCGGCTCTTTATGCGCGAGGCTTGATGGCGATTTGGACCCTGCTCTTTGGGGTGTGTCGGTCTCACTGGCGGTACTGGTGCTGGTACTGGCACTCGTACATCCACATCCGCCTCGACATCCCACATGATGCATTCCACCCCCGGCGTCCCGGTGTCTCTGGCCCCGTGTCCCGCAAATCCCAGTGGCTAGGCCCGGGAGCCTATCTTTGGGCACATGCGAGACTAGGTCGCAGATTGATGACACCTCTCGCAGCCTGTGGTAGGCAGCCTCTGACGCTCGGTCGGCCAATCCATTCCAGTTCAGTCGTCATTACTCTCCCGCTCTGTTACGGCCGCCTGCCAAGCTCGGCCGCGCCATTGAGAGCGGCCTCTAGCCAGACAGCCAGCTCCAGCTAGCCTAGCTAGCCAGGTTGCCGAGCTCACGCGGCCAGACTTGCTTTGCTGACCTTGTCGAAGCGAAATGCAACAAAAAAAAAGAGAGAGAGACGGGCGTCGCCACCGCTCCCTTCGCAGCGCCCCGTCTTGTCAATCTCGGTCCCGTCGGCCCTCTCTGGCACGATACGCCTGTTGTTTGCGGTGCCGCCAAGTCCGCACCGGGTGGGAACCCGGCCACCCTCTAATTGGCCCCAGGTTTTGGCCACAAAAACAGCAACCATACGCGCACGTCGCCTTCGCTCAAGCTCCAGCCGATCCTCATTCGCTCTTCCACCAAACCTGCAATCTGTGCAGTCGCCATGGCTTCCCTCGCCTACGCACGTGGGGGTCTAGGGGAGAGGGCGGCCCGGACCTGCACCACCTCACAAGGTGCCTGCGAGCTGGTGCCTGCGAGCTGCGAGCTGCGAGCTGCCAGGCCCTAACCACCTCACACACACGCATACCCATCCTCTGCCATGACTGATGACTGCCATCGGCTTTCGGATCCAGGGGCACACACGACCGCTGGTGATACCCGTCCATTGAACTCCACTTGAGGCTCAATCACGGTAGCATTGGAATGCTTCGGAGCCAAGACCACCGGCACCGGTCGCCGCCGACCTCATTGGGCCATTCCCCAGCCCGGACAAGGGAATCTCTCGGAAGCGGAGGAGAAGCCTTGGTCTGGGCGTCTTGCAGATTGCGGGGAACCGCCACCATTCAGACTTGGTTCCCGTCCGCCGGTCTCGTTGGAGCCTTGCTAGAGGGTTGCTAGAGGCTTCCAGTCAATCCACTGCCGCCTCTCCTGCTCCTCCCGCTCCCAGCCGTCCACGCTCGTGCAGCATGTGGCATGCTCTTGCTTGCCTGTCCCCCACAACTGCCACGAGGCCATGTGGTTGACAACACCTCGAATACCGAGGCTAGCCGGGGGATGCCTATCAAAGCCATCATCTGGTGGACCGCTTATGAACTGCCCCCTGTCAGACAAATTATGCTGCCGGCCACCGGCTTTCGTGTGACCGGATTATATCCCGGTGGATGCAGTCTTGTGCGTTCTCGACCCCGTCCCGCTGAGCAAGACGAAAACTTAGCATCTCGGCAAGTTTTTCTTCCTGTCTCGTGGGAAATACGAAGGTTGGTGGCAAATTCTGGGGGGAAGGGATTGTCCATGCCGTGGCCAACATCATGCCATCTTAAATCATTCACGTCTCTTCTTCCTTTCACGCCAACGCAGCATGCAACCATCGGAGAACCCCTCTCGGGCCGAGACCATGACGGACGGGAGGAATCTGCAGCAAACAGGGGCAACAACATGGCAATCCTCGTTGTTGGTCGGTCGATCGGTTGGTTGGGTTGGACGTTTGGAATGGTTGCGTCTGCGGCCCGCCTGGATCCCGTCCAAGTCCCGTCTGCATCCCGCTCCTCCTCTGTCTCCCGACATTCCGCTTTTCCATCTCGGGTTACAACTAGATGCGACCGCTGTGGCTAGCCCCGACCCTCCCACGTCATCGAAACCCGACCGAAAGACGATACCGCGAACCGAAGTTCAGGTGAGGGCACTCACCGACATTGCTTCTTTCGGTCGAGAACCCAGGTCCGATACGATGCGTAAGTATTTCACCGCCGCTAGTTCGGTTTCTCTCTTCATCGCCTCGTTAGTTATCGGTTTGATAGACCACTGTCTGAGCACCCTCTCGACTCTGCCCTCAGCCCTGCCTCAATTGTCAGTCAGAACATGTGAATCCTGTGACAAGCGAAGGAAGTACCACAACCTCCGTCTAAACTTCTAGATCGGGATCATCCCAGCTTGGCTGCCCGAATTCATCCCTCCCATCCCCTTGAGGCGAAGAGGGAATTACCAGCACGCGGGGTCCTCTCTCGGCACGCTTTCACCAACACGGAAAGCTTCCCGAGCAGTTGGTTCTTCGTTCCCGAGACTTGGAGCATACGCGGCATGCAGGAGAGAACCATGCTCCCAAGCTTTCTATCGGGACAGGATCTTCTGCACGATTATTGAGTCGAGAGCCAGTGGATATGCACGGAACTTGACACTAGCTCTCAACCTGGGAAATCCAGGCCACCCTAGGTTCTTCCTCCCTGTCTCATTGTAATGCTCTGTTGGTGATCAAAGTGACGAGGTGCAGGCAATCATAACCACCCACACCGTAACTTTTCCATGCCCGCGATACTGCTCTGAGGAGCACCTGCTAATCCTTACGTTGCCTGCTTCACAGCCCACTCCACTCGTCACACTCAGGCATACTGTATCCCTGACAGTGCTAGCAATGACCATGCTGCAGCGACCAACTGAGCATCGGGTGAACCGGCTCAATCCGTTTGCCTTTCAGCGTTGGAACTTGGCGAACATCGAAGAGTGTGCGTTTGTGTCGCTTGGTCGACAAATGACGTTGGTCTAGGCTTCGAGAACCCAACTAGGATACTAAGCTTCTGAGCCTTACCAGGGGTAGTGGGGTCAAGCGACTGGCTGCTGCAAGGGCGGCGCTTAGGAGTTCCGCTGATTGGTCCGTCAGCGCATGCCTCTACCTCCATCACACCCCGCCAGTCGGCATGGCGTTAAAGACCGTGTAGGCTGTATGACGACGAGTTGTCAACTCAGAGCGGTGCAGCCAATACCATGTAAGCGAACGAGTCTGCGCTTCCGATCATGCGGAGGGCGCTTAACAGCCGATTCGAGTCGTCAATTGTTTTCCTGCTCTCTCTTTTATCGGCTGACTTGGCGAACGAGAAGCTGCTGTTCATAGCTGATCCTGGGCCATGGCTGGTGTATGGCTTCCTTTGCGGTGCGTTCATCCGAGGGGGGCTTATTACAAGGCGCTAGACACGAGAGCCGTACCAATAGCTCGGCCATCCTGCGGCCAAACCCCCGCTCATACACGACTCAGCCGCACTCAACAACTTGGTGAAATCACCTCACGGCAAGTTCGGGGCGGTACTAGCGGCGTTGGGGGGCAGGGAAGGGAGTAGAAGCCGTATGTCAGGAACTTCAGGGTCGAAAGGGTGTCCGTGAACCACACGCCAAGGAGGCCGGGACGAGTTTCCCGCAATCCCTTAAGCCACCAGTGGTGGAGAATTGCGTAAGTTCAGGGGATCTAGTGCGGCACGTCGAAAAATGGCTGTTGGTTCCCACTGCAGTGTGTCGTGGACACTTGGGGGAGACAGGTAGATCCCGCCTCAACTGCGTCTCTGTCTTTCTCTGCTGCACCACGACGAGGAATGGTTAGACGACGCTACATCTAAGACCATTCATGCATGCGGCTTGTTGGCTCTCCCATGGCAATGCCGCTAGGATGTCTTTGGAGAGTCCGAGACAGGCTGGCAACTCGTATTACTGTTCCGTATGAATGATGGGGCGGACGCGGCAGCAATCACTTGACTGATACGGCATGTGCCAGGGCTCTCGTATGGGTCTCAAAAACTCGGTGGAGGGTGCATAGCGGTGGCTCAGTGCGGCTACAGGACGGGCCGCAGTCAGCTTGGGGAGGAGACGGTCGTCATGTGTTGAGATGAATATCACAGTGCTTGCCAAGCCCCTGGGAGTAATCTCTCATCAGTGAGTGCCGGCCGCGACAGCACTTAGGTCGCATAACGGCCGCATGGAGTTCTCTGGCGGGCTGATCCTCGGGTCGCAAACAAAGAGACCATCCTTCCCAGGCTTTTGTAGTAATGATAGACGAAACATCGGAAGGTTCCAAGTTTTTCAACCATCTGTATTCGGGATGTGCTGAGTTTCTGCGGGGCATCTGCACCAGCTTCTGCTTCAAGCTTATGTCCGAGGAACCATGCAAAAATGTTGGCAGAATGTCTTGAGGGTGTGGTACTGTTGCAACTCAATCCGTGTGCGGCTGTTGGGGGTGTTGCCTGAGACTGAGCGCGGTGACCCGGGACTTGAGGAAACTCGGCGACCAACTCAACATGGAACCTGGAGCAGTGGGACGTTTATTAGCCGCAGGAACAGCAGCAAGGGGATAGCAGCCGTAGACGCGGAAACAGCCGCAGGATCAGCGGAGATGGTGGAGTCGGCCGAAGAGTGAACCGAGACGCCTTGGAGACGCCTCTGCCGACGCTGCTCCTATTAGACGCCCCTGGGAGACGCCTTGAGTGTTGGTTGATCGGGCGGCCGTTTGGGCGGCCTAGGAGGAAATGAGGTGATGAAATCCTATGGGGTTTCAGGCCCATCACTTGAAGTGTGAAGAGAAATGCAGACGGGCACAGCCGCGCGTGCAATCACCGCGCAAGGCCTCAGGCGCCCCACAGTGAGGCGCTGCCGCGGGTGGGCACTGTGCACCCGCGGAATGTTAGGGTCGCACAGTGATGCCAGCACTGTTGGCCTTCGCAACGGCCAGCTTGGGTCCGCGGAGAGGACCAGGCGCCTCCGGTCGTACCTACCCTCGGGCATCAGACGCGGCCATGTCTCTTGGCCACCTGCCTTTCATGGGTTGGAAGCAACTACCGATACTGAATATCTAGGTTCCTTGAAGCTAAGGCACCTGCTAGTTTTGATGATTTTCTGTTACACACGGTACGGTGCAAGCTACAAGCCGCAAGCTCCCCACATCAACCGCGAACCCTTCACCAACTGGCAACTGGACCACTTGTAACGGGGCTTCACCTTCACTCGCATTGACCTAACTTGTTCTCTCACCATGTCCAACGTGCTCGGCTCATGATCTGCCGCGCTCCGTCGGCGTTATCGAGTCTTGTCCTCTCTTGTTATCGGTGTTTGACGCCAACCTGGCCCGACGTGCATACCCACGGTCCGTTGATACCGACGCCAGAGGAGGTAAGTCGGCAACTAGGCCGCTCCTGGATGGTTGGCATAATGAGGCACAGCACGGCATCGCACAGCACAACATGGTACGGTCTGGACAGGCTGGACCATGTGTGACGAGACCTCTCCCGCCCTGCGTCAGGGTGCACAGTAGCGCGGAGAGGCCGCGGTGCAGCGTGGCAGCCCTGGTTCGAGGCTGTTTCGCATGCATGGTGGACGGATGGACAGCCTACACAGAGGCACGCAATTCTACCGCGGGTAGTGCAAGGGTCAACACCCAAGATGCCGCCGGCAGAGCTTTCGCGGCTGGTCGAGACGCTTCTCGCTAGCTCCGCCGTCGATGTTGTCGTTATCAGGCGCAGCAAAGGGCTTGTTTGCCGTGGCCCTGATAAACTGTGTTGGTTCTACACGGGCATACTAACGGTGTGCTCTCGGCAGCCCTCGCGCATAAGCTGGACCGTGTGTCAACATGGGCACTTCTTCGACCGAGCCCCTGGTACAACAGCGAGAAAAACTAGGCAAAATCAAGGCTATCTTGTGCAGTCGTCGGCTGGGAACGGAGGGTTGTTCATTTACGCGGCAGAGGGACCCCTACACACACCATCCAGGAGGGTTAGCAGCAAGCAATATTCGCAACAAGGCCAGTGCGGGTAGATGGCTTGCAATCCATTCCGCTGTTAACCTTCCGCCTTACTTTGTGCGTTCTGGTCGGTTCCTGACTATGCCATTGGCGCTAAACGGCCCAGTGCCTCTCTCTGAGCTATCCCTCAGGGGGGCCAACGGGCTTAGTTCGCGGATCATGCGAAACATCCGCAGTCCCCACTAAGCGTCCGACGCTTCTCGCATCTTGATGGGTGAAAAACGAGCGAGGAGGTCTGGGAATCTTGAATGGGGGCCGCAAAACCTTGCCCACCAACACACGCTTGTCCGTAAACCCTTTTTGCTCAAGGTGCCGAAGATCAAATCGGAAGACTGCCTCAAAACAAAGGGGGGCCCATCGGAGAACCCGCATCCATCCGTGGCATCATGACACATGCGGTGCAACAGTGCTTCCCAATCGAGTTTGACAGAGGGGAGGGATTCTATAGAGGGTGAGAGTGGAGGGTGGATGAAAGGAAGAGCACGAGATTGAGTTGCTCGTGTGGCAGCGGGAACGACTAGGGCTAGGAGGGGATGAAAGCCCACCCATGGTACATGGGAAAGCCAATGCGGCCTCTTTCAATAACGAGGCGAGCAAAATCGTCACAAATGTCCCTGTCTTGAGAAATGGATTGATCCGGCTGTTCAGAGAGAGGCAGATGGGCAAGCGGACAAGCGGACAAACGAATCCTGAAGGATATTTGTCTGGGCATCGTCACGACAGGTCTTGCAGCAGCCCTTTCAACGTCATCACCTTTCTCAATCGGTCGAGTTGCGGCCGCGAGGGTGTACATTTCCACTTCCAGAATCTGGTGGAGGGTGATGAAGCAGGTGTGTGTTGCTCGGCAAGAAGACAAGACACCAATGAAGAAGATCAAGACACGGGGCGAGCGACTCTCTCTCCCCGTGCCGCGCCTCCGATGACACCTCGCCCAACAGTCATCATGTTCGTGATCGTGCGTTTCTCACGCATGGGACACCCCCATCATTCTTACACATGCAGCAATCGGTGGGCCATGTGCACCGCTCGAAGCATCACAGCATCACAACATCACAGAAGCACAGCACCACATTCAACATCACACATTGCCCTCCCTAAATCGGCCACTATCACCTATCATCCGTGGCCCGAGCTGTGGGTCACAGCCCGCAGACGCATGAGGGTGGCTCCAATTCATCCCCTCTCGATGCGATGCAGAAGAATATGTCGATGCACAGGGCCCCCATTCTCCAATCCCACAACCACATCCACATCCACATCCACATCCACGTCTACAACCACGTCCACATCCACATGGTGCATCCCCCCAACCCGACCTAACCCAGCTAGTTGACACCCGCCCACAAACGCACACCGCGCGGGCTGCATGGTTGGCAAGCCCCGGTCCAGCCGCGACTACTGTTGGTCTCTCCCCACAAGTCACCGACTCCTAGTGTGGACTGATGTGCCTTGACGTAAGGCGGTCCCCCCGGGCAGACTGCCAACAGAATTGTGTTGCGGCCTACCTAATCTGGAGTCCGATGGCTATATCACCTCTCGAAGCCTTCACTGCCCCTCATCCCCCCTCCTCGTCCGTCCCCTTTTGCGGCCTTTGCGGGGACAGACGGCCGACAAACAGGACGCGACTAACACCACACTCCAACTTCCAACACACACGCCCCCCCTCCCCTAACCAACCCTAACTAACTACCCAACTAACCAACCCTCCTACCTAACCAACAGAGCTCCAGGTCTCTCAACCGCGGGAGGAACAGCCGCAACCAACACGATCCGGCCCCTTGCTCTGTAGCCCTCTCGGGTGTTATTTCGACTTTTGTCTCGTGGGTTCTACTAGGCATCTGTGCTCAAACTGTCATGGACGGCAGACATCCTCGCTCGCTCATAACGGATGCCACTCGCTCGGGCCTGTATCACCCGGTATATAAGGACCGACAGCTTCTGCCCTCATGCCGACAATCACCACTCACCCTCACAAGAGCACAGAGCATCCTATCCAACGCTGACTCCAAGACATCACCGGCTCCTACCAGTAGATCAAGAGTTCTCTCTTGTCTATATTACCACGACTACCCCAATCACTACCGCCCTGTCCCATTCTTTACTCTCCCGCATCGGCCTCTTCGACAAGGACACAGCACCCTGCCACAAGCTTCTTCCTTCCTCGTCAGACACCAGGACCTCCCGTCGGGACGTGTGCAACCCAGCCACGCTTACACAAACTCTTCGGATACCGGCTTGTGTCGAGCTGTCAGCGCTGCAACAACTCTCCGGTCGTTCAACGTAGCGGTTCCTCCCGCCTCTAGTGGATCCTCCCTATCTGCTCTCCAGGCCGCCCCGAAGACTTGACGCTCTAACAGCCACATCCTCCAGGGTACTTAAGCTCGGCTCGACTACTCTCGGCCACGGATTCCCACTCGTTATCCAAGGAATAACAGCCATCGGCCACCATGTGCTATTGGAAGACGACCCAGCTCTGGTCTCACTGCGGCTGCACCGCGCAGTCTATGGAGCCAAAGCCCGGCACCCACTGCAGATGCCAGGCCATCGTCATTGACCAAGGTGTTCAGAGGTGGGAGGGCTTCTGCATGCGTCCTCAGTGTCCCAACCCTCCTCGAGCGACTTAGTAGGTTGGTCACCATTTCCCTCTTAGCCCATGACCTAAGCCAGGGTTGAACTGACTCGTCTGTGTGGTACAGCGACCCGAAGAAACCACGAGCTAGAAGCCAGAAACTATAGAAACCGCCAGCCTCACGGCAGTGACAACGACGATGTTCTGGTTATTCACACGAGTTCCAGACGCCCTTGACAGGATAGAGGGATGCTGGCTTCACGGCCTGGCATTCAACTTGAGGCGTGTTATTCTTCAACACCGCTTCTGCCATTCATTGAATCCCTAGATGGACCGTTGTCTCCCAGTGCTGCTTGGGCGTCTTGCTTAAAGCACATGCTGGGAGCAGCGACTCGCAAGAGAGGACAATTCTGTCAATTTTCGGAGCTCGGCCAAATTCCCGTCCAAGACCAATTCTTGACATTCCTTCTACCCATTTTGTTTCCTTTTCCCTTTTCTATCTATTATTGCTATTCTTCTTCTTTCTACTTTTAGCTGTGAGGTCATCGTCGGCGACCGGATGGCTCCGACTTGGCCTGGAGGCTGTTCATTAAGATTGTTGGTGCAGAGGGGGAGATGGACGGGGAACAGGGGAGGAGCAGTTGAGGATCAAGTGGGGGGCAGGGGTGTGCGGATAAGGGGCTTAGGATCTAGGGTGTAGCTTGGGAGCAGGGCCCCCAAGCTTAGTGCTGTTGAGACTAGATGTCTGGGATTATCTTTTCTACCTTTTACTTTTTCCCTTTGTTTTTTTACTTTTTTACTTTTTACTTTTTTTCCGTTGCCGATGAATTAACTCGAGTTCTTTCTCAATTTTGGCTGCACCCTCTGAGGGCTGCTTGTTCTTGCAGTGAAGTTACTTTAGCCCTGTGGCCCCGGCCCACACAGCCTGGACGCATACTATGCAGCTGGCCAGTCGCATGCATCCCACGACACGGCCACAACCAACACGGCCAAGGCGGCGACCAACAGAGAGGAGCATGCCACAGCCCAGACCAAAGACTGGCGATTTTCACAGCCTCTTCCTGTCATGAAAGATACGCCTGCTTCTGTAAATCTGCCTCGTTATTGCGGGGTGCGTAACGGTATGACGCTGTGCTTGCCGAACAAACAGCCGCCCGGCAGATGGACGTTGGCGCGGTGGTGGGGTGGACGGGCCATGTGGCATCCGGTCATGTGTGTGTATGTGTATGCCACCTTTTTGTACTTGGTAAGTTACTCCACGCAGGATATTCCATTGCGGCCAAACACAACGCAAACTGCCAACCTGCAAACACAACACCAGTTTTCAGCTCTGGCGGACTTTTGCTCTCACGCGATCCGCTAGTTGGCCGCGGATGGAGTCGCCCAACTCCGCCGCCCATGGCCAGGATGGATGCAATGCGATGCGATGCGATGCGATGGGGCGAACGACGCAGTACGCAACCAGGTCACACAGCGCACCGCACCGCACCGCACAGAGCGCCCCAGCAACCAACCCTCTCAGCCGACGATGCACACACACGACCGACGCAACTGGCTCGCACACACGCCTTTGACGAGAAAAAACAAACCGCTGACTTGACTTGACCGACTCACCGACAGCGATGCGTCCGCCGTGTGTAAGTTAAGCGCCGGCACCCGCATGGCGGCGCCTTTTTCCACAGGCCCTGGTCCCTGCAGGCGTGACGATCCCGGTCAAGGCGTGGACTGTATGGATCCCCCGGTTCGCCTTTTTTCCCTGCCGGTGACAGGTTTCCGTGCGTCCCGCGCAGAGCGAGCGAGCCACAGCGGGAAAATGGGCAAATGGCCCTTTGTCGGTGAGGCGGGAGGCCACGGGGACACGCCTTCGGTCAGCCATCGGCCATCGTCCACCCGAGAAAAGGGCCTTGAAGCAGCCCTGTTGGGCCGGCCCTTTTTTCCTTTCTTCAACCCTTCCCAACGCTGCATCCAGCCTGTTGTGCGCCACGCAGGGCTTCTCGCATCCATGTCGTATCATGTGATGAAATCAATCCGTTGAGCTGCGTGGTTCTCGCCATGGGTCTGTCTGGGGGAGGGGAGCCAGGGTTCGAGATGGGACGGACCCAAGGGTGTTTCTTTTTCGTCCTTCTTTTCCTTGGCCGTCTTTGCCACGACAGACAGACGCTCGCATACAACCCAGACAGGACCCCCAATATTTTTCTTCTTTTTTTCTTACTCGATGCTGCCCCCCCTTGTGACGTGTGAACGACGAGATTGGGGGGCCTGCCGCCTGATAACCGTTCCGTTCCCCCATGCGACAACCAACAGACGCAACCCTACGTGGTGCGCCAAGCTTGCGCTTGAAAAATACACCCACCCACGTTTTGGCTTATATCCGTCATGGACGCCCGAATAGGGAGGTGCCTTAGATAATCACCTCGCGGGTTGGTCGAGTTGACGAGATGACTCTTCAGAGATGGGGTTTGTTCAGCTGATCCCATCCGCGGCATTGTTTGCCTTGTTTCCCTCCTTTGCCTGCTCTTTGCCTCTTCGTATTGCGAAATCCTGCCCGCATCCTTCACCTTGACGAATATCGCCAACGAGATAGGGCCGACACGGAAGCAACAGCACGGCAAAGAAACTTGACAACACATGCCGCCAACCTTGTCCTCCCCGAGATACCGTCCTCACACGCCACAAGGTCGCCGTTCCCGCGCCCACGCCCTGCAAAGCTCCATGCATCACTGCACAGCGCTGCACCTGCCCCCTCCAACCAACAACTACAACTCTCAAATAGTCTTCCTGCATATGCCAGACAGCTTGGGTCCAGGTGTCAATTCCTCGGCCCGCAACTGCGACTATAGTCGGTAGGCCGTGCGCCATAGGATGCGGTGGGCGGGCGCGGAAAGTATCTAAGTCGCCGATAGCAGCGCCGTGACCAGCCAGTTAGTCCTCAGTACCAACAACCAACAACTCGTATTCCATCCTGAGAAAAGGAAGAAACCTTAAAAACATACAAACGAGTCACAAACACATGCCATATTGCGGAAATATGTGGGGTGTTGGTGGTTTTTTTTCGCTCGCCTAGTACAAGGAGGAATATATCTCCGTTGGGGGCCAGGGCGAGGCTGCCTTGGCTGCTCCATGTAAATAGTCCGCCTATGGGGGCCGCATAGCCACAACCCAACCGCTACTTGACAACTATGTCCCACAGAACAGAAACTAACAAACCGGTTGGTCGAGTTCCTAGGAGAAAAAAAACTTTAGATTCGTAACCTGGTTTCAAAGTCCCGCTCATGCACTGATACGACCTAGTTTCGCGATACTCCACACTGCCCCCGATCCTAACCCTCGCCACATCCCGCAACTGCCACAATCGGCTTGCCAGCTCAGATTCAGCTTCAGCTTGGATCCAGCTCTTTGCTCAGCCTGCTCCCATGTTTTACATTCGATTCAGCTACACGCCCATAACAGGGATGCCACAAACGCCCCATGACTCTGGGACCTGTCTGCACTGAACAAACGGTTTCAAAACGTGCACTCAGCAATCAAGCATCACCACGGACTATGACACATCTAGACTCAACTTCGCAAAACAGGCCAATGCATCCCTTCCTACCTCCTCTCTCTGCGTAGATGATTGCTGCCAGTCGTGAATCATGTCCGGAGGCCCGGCTGGCTTCGTTCCGGGCTTGACTCACTGTCGGCAGGGCATATAATCTTCGCCTGCCTCCGTCCTCGAACCCTTCTTTTCCTTTCCTTCCTCACCACTTCTCAACGGGCAATATATAAGTCTCAAATTATCCCCTTAAGAGAGCGCCTGCAGCAAACAACACCGACCAAGAAACACAAGATCCAACCAGACTGCACATGCACCTGCTCACACTTGCCTATCACACCTACGGCTGCCAACCACACTTGCACGCAACGCTGCGGAATTTAAGACGGCACTACTCAAAGCCGAAGTTGATTGTAAGCCAACAAAAAAAAAGCAGTGCCTAGGTATTGAGCTAACTTTACGGTTTTAACAGATATTCGAGATTTAATAAGCCAACCACATGGGAGAGAAGCCATCGGCTCTGGAAGAACACCACCTGATCATTCGCAACTTGATCGAAGGTAGCGATACATTTGATATAGATGATGCACAAGAGGCACTCAATGCATATAAGGTAAGTCTCGTGGATGGCGTATTCAGCCGAAGAAAACTAACGACTATGTAGGCACTATGGCCAACTCAACTCCAAAGCGGCATAGAGTTGCGAATCGATGCGGAGACTCTGGCCCAGCTCGCGACCGGACTCCGAAACGAAGCCATGCAGGGCCGCGTCATCCCAGAGGCTCTCTATCGAGCCTTTATTGTAGCATTCTGTCGTTCCGACGCCGCCACGGGAAGTGATGCGCAGGCGAGAGACGGCGCGATTGTGCAAGCATACGACCATGCAGCTCTCCGTGAGCCCTCCACCCGTCTCTATCGACACCGGCCGTGTCAACAGACAACAGAAATTGGTCATTCGAATCCGTACCGACGAGAAGGCTGACAGCAAAACGGCCTCTTCTACATTGGACATCGAGGATCAGACTGGCGCTGGAAAGGAATAGTGTTCCGAGGAGCTCCAAGTGGTCAATTTCAAGCAGTATGTTCACAATCTCCTCATCATAATGCATCTGGTTTCTAATTAATATTTACAGGTCGGAATTAGTTGTTGTTGTGGGAGAGCTTCTTCCACAGGAGCTTAAGCAAACCGATTTCAGGAAGCCACAAGGACAGGTGGTATTTGATTCCCAACTCCATAGTACCATTCCAACAACTGAAGCTGCTGGAATAGTTGTGAGACGACTGGTCGACCAGAAGAGCAATCTTTTCCTATTGCATAACAAGAAGACGCTGTGTCAAATCTCACAACTCCCTAGCAAGCTAGACAATCGGCTTGTTTATTACAGCGAATGGGCAAATGGGTCTAGCGATACTCAACACGGGAAGCGGGCTTCTGTTTGGCGAAGCAATATAAACAGATTCTGCAGCAAGTATCTCACAGACCACGCAGATGACTTCCTGGACGCCCCAAAGACCTCTGCGCTGAAAGAATACACAACAAAAGGGTGGAAGCCCACAATCGGCTAATTCGAGAGACTCCAGTCTGTTCTGTTTAAGAGCCTTTCTATGTATCAGAAGACTGAAAACGAAGCCTTTTTGCAGCATGCTATCGATCAAGTGGAAGATGCACTGGGCAAGGGGAAGTAGAATGTGGGAGGGAGTTCATCAGCTCTGGAATACCACGCGATTATCCGCAACCTAGTTGAAGGTAGCAACACATTAGACATAAAAATACACAAGAGGTACTGAATGCATACAAGAAAAGTCTCACATACAATGCATTCAGCCGAATAAAACTAACGACCGTATATGCACTGTAACCAACCCAACTCCAGAGCGGAAGAAAGTTGCCAATCGATGCGGAGACGCTCGCCCTGCGACTACCGAACCACGGATGGCATCCTGAAGCTAATGTATGTGAACTGTTGCGCGTGATATGATGCACAGATGAGCCAGCCGGAAATCGGCTGCAAAGCTTAGTTCTCGTCCTTGCCCACATGACCAAGATCGTGAATGATGTCGCGGAACGAATCCATCTCGGCCTTGATGATTCCCATGAGATCTCCCACCGAAGACTGGTATCTCAAGTGAATTTGCTGGCCAAGGTGGCTGATGCGATTCCTGGTCGTCGCCAGGTCCGTGGTTTGAGCCAAGGTGTACAGCAACTCCTGCAAGACAAGCTCCTCCGCCACGATGGTTGACCCTGATGTCTGCACACTCCATCCGGGTTGTTGATGCAAGCCTATATATTCTCGCTCCCCCTCCCACCTTTCAATCTTCTTTTCTTCCTTTCTTCCCCATCCAAGTGCAAGGGCGTTTTCCTGCTCCGTGATGCGATAAGCTGAGAGAGGAATTTTGCTAGTTGAAAGCTATGTTCGACCACTTCTTCTCATTGGGTTCGCCCGGTGAGGGAATTTTTGTAATCTCATTCCTCTGGAATCACTTTCTTTCATTACGGTTGGTCCCTTGTGGTCCGGCGTGAAGAAGGAGTTTGCCATTTGATGCATTCGTCAGTTATAATTCCCTTGGCATGCCATCCATGACTCCGTCACCACCTTGCTTCCATGAAAACATTTCGCGTTCGCCTCGCATCCATGCCTCAAATGACTTGGGTTGAGTTTTTCTAACTCTCAAGAGATGTTCCAACAAGATCACGACGCCACGGTTGGAGTTGCCGATGTCGATGGGCACATCTACAGCGAGTCGGCAGACCTAATGGACGTGTGGATGGCTCATGATGAGAAAGGAAAGGAGGGGAATTCGTAGGAGAAGAAAATTCACCCTCGTAACCTGGTTTCAAAGTCCCGCTTATGCATCATGAACCGATACGACTTGGGACAATTCTGGGCTCAATTTCGCAAAATAGGCCAATCCATTTCAAGTTCTGCATATGCTGCTCTATCCGCCCCGTTCGGTCCGCAGTCTTGATTCCAATCTGGATCTCATCACCCTATATTCATTTCAACCCCCAATCTCACTGCCTCCTTCGCTATCCTTGTCGATATTGTACATGTCTGCTATTACAATGCCCCTCGTCGTTTCCTTGCGCTGCTTCCTCCTCCGCATCACTCGCACGATCTGGAATGGCCATGTTCCTTTTCTTTTTTTGTGCGTTTTCTTCTTTGCCGTATTGCCAACCTCTTTTTCGGGTCTATGATGCTCAATTTCCTCCCCACCAAAAAGAAGAAAAAAACCATAAAAACTGATGACAGCCCGTGTCACATATGCATTATTCAATCAAAATTAATCATTGGTCGGCGAATTAGGAGAACTGTATTGTGGGTTAGCCAATTGTTCCATGTAGTCATGCAGTTGATTCTGCTCACTACTGGTTTCCGGACGTTCCCGGACCAGGGGTCCGAGGAGAGAAGGAAGGCGACGTGGGCGAGTAGCTCGGGCTAGTAGGCGAGTGCTGCGCCCCGGGGCTCCTCTGGAAGCTTGGGCTCGTGGGAGAGTAGGCTTCAGGAGACGTCGGAGACCAAGTAGGGGATGCCGGAGAGTAGGATGGCGAGGTAGCTCCGCCCGCGTGGAGGTTAGGCGATGCTGGGCTGTAGTTGGGGCTCGCCGGGGAGTAGCTGGGGGACGTAGGAGAGTTGAACTGAGCCGGCGATGTCGGCGAGTAGTGACGAGGAGACGATGGCGATGCAGGCGAGTAGCTGGGCGATGTTGGGCTGTAGTTGGGAGAAGCCGGGCTCGTAGGCCGCAACATCGGCGACGTAGGCGAAAACGACGGGGACGAAGGGCTAAATGAGGGCGACGTAGCGTATCTGCCAATTCCGCCATCGATCATTGGCGAAGTAGGAGAATAACCGACATTTGGAGACGAAGGAGAGTACCCTCCTCCCAAACCGGCACCGAAAGGCGAAGTGGGCGAAGTGCTGAAAGGGCTGGCCACACCACGGGAGTAGGGGCTCATTGAGCCTCCTGCAAAGCTGCCACCGTTGTACTCGGTTCCAAAGCCAGTCGGGGTATCAGATCCTGCACCCTGGATGGGTGAGAAGTTTCCAGCCGCAGGCGAGCTGAGGCTGAGGTAGCCGGAGTCAGCCATGGGTGATCCAGTGTCGTAAGGAGTGGCAGCTCCTTCGCCCTGACCATCCTTGACAGGCATACCAGGCATCAGGCCCATGCGAGAGTTGTCGGAGATGACCGTCTCAAGCATCTTGGGATCCAACAGCACGTCAAAGTTACCAGTTCCCATCGGGGCCATCTGACCAAGCATGACGTTCTCAGAGATACCTCGGCAGTCATCAAGCTCACCGGTTGCAGCAGCCTCCAGGAGAATTTCGACGGTTTCCTCGAAGGAACAACGCATCAGAGCACCAGTGTCCGCACGGTTGATACCGTGACGGGTAACAGCCGAGATGGAACCACGGTAGGTCATCACGTCAACAAGTAGCGCAATGTGACGATGGTTGACGTACGAACCGTCAAACGCCAACACATTGGTCAACTCCTTCACCAGAGCGGAACGAGCGGCTTCAATACCAAAGACCTCGACAACTTGCCAAAGATCGTTGGTGTACGTCCGGCTAGGATCCACGCCGTTGACAGCCAACACATCTCGCAGAGCGGAACCACTGGTGTCCAGGTACCACTGCGTGCATCGCGGGTCATCCTTGATTGCGAGCAGTGCGCCGTCGGGGCTCTCAACCATTCGGGTACCCTTGGTCAAGAAAGCTCGCTCGACGCCTGGCACACCACGGAGGGTCAAGGTGTCCAAAAGATGAGCCTCGAGACGCTTCAGCATAACATCATCCTCCATCTTGCCATCACCATCATCATCCTTGTCGCCAGCCGAGACGGTTCGGATACGAATCACCTGTTGATCGGCGTTGTTGTCACTGAAGATGATTGACAGATCAGTGGGATACTCCTCCTTGATGCGCTGAGCAACGTCATCAATCTTGATCTCCTTATCCAGCATCTTCTGTCGATCCAGAGTGATACGCAGAAGCCATCTCGACTGTTGATCGATAGTGTCTTGGGTATCATCAGGGATCAAGAAGTACGACTCAACCATATCCACATCAGCTTCGATGTTAGTCGCCTGGATGTCAGGGTCATAGTAAATCTCAGTGACCGAGGTCACGGAACGTAGGTTGGTGTATTCAACCATGCTTCGCAACTTCTTTGCTTGCTCCTGCCTTGCGAGCTTCTCGCCCAGGTACACAGCCATGCTAGGCGTCTTGATGTTCTTTGCCAGGTTGAGAATTTCCTTGAGACGAGGCACACCAAGGGTAACGTTCTTCGAAGACACACCGGCAAAATGGAAGGTATTGAGGGTCATTTGAGTGGCGGGCTCTCCAATGGACTGGGCAGCCAAGACACCCACCATCTCACCGGGGCTGACAAAGGCTCGGTCCCATCTGTTGAGCAGTTCGCCCAGGATGTGATCAAAGGCAAGCTTGTTCAGACGATGATCCTTGACAATCTCCTTGAAGGACAACCGGGATCGAACCAGCGCCTTCCAGAGAATGGTGGCATTCGCATCAGCTTCCAGGGAGATTGGGTCGGTTCCACGAACGATCTTCATCTTGTTCAACATGTCCTGAATAGAAACAATAACATCCGACGGTCGCAGGTTACTACGATCGTTGGCCTTGACGTTAAAGACCCGCTTGGCTGACTCGATGACACGACCAATATGAAGAGGCAACTGCATCATTTCCTCGTTCATCTTGGCCTTGTTGATTCTTCGAACCACCCGACGATCAGAGAGCAATGCATCCCACTCAGCATCCAGGAGGGCCATGGAGGGCTTGTCTCCAGTCAACTCGTTGCCGTATTCGTAGTCCTTCTTGAACCATTCTGGAGGATTGGCAAGATCCAGTCGGTACTTCTTCTCAAATTGAGAGTCCGACATGTTGAGAATTCCCAGCTTTTGCTTCTCGATGCACATAGCATCCAGACCGTCTTCGCCGTATAAGAATTGCACAACATCTCCCAAAGAGTTTCGGACGGTTCCATCGTATCGCGCACTCAAGTCCTCGAGTGCCTTGACCAGTCGACGCTGGATATAACCAGTTTCAGCAGTCTTGACAGCGGTATCAATAAGACCTTCTCGACCAGCCATGGCGTGGAAGAAGAACTCGGACGGGGTAAGGCCACGTAGATAAGAATTCTCGACGAAGCCACGGGCTTCGGGAGAGTAATCATCCTTGGTAAAGTGGGGGAGCGTACGGTACTTGAATCCGAAGGGAATACGCTTGCCCTCAACAATCTGCTGACCGACAAGAGCAGTCATCTGTGAGATGTTGATGGATGAACCCTTGGAACCGGAAGAGGCCATGGTGACGGCGTTGTTCGAATCCTTCAGACTCTTCTGTGTAGTGGTACCGGCCTTGTCACGAGCCTGGTTCAGGGCCATGGAGACCTTGTTCTCAAAGGTGGCTCGGACGTTCATACCAGGAAGGGCTTCCAGCTCGTTCGCGGTGGCTTGTGCAGTCAACCTCGCTACCTCAGCCTTCTCCTCATCGATATGGACCTGGACCTTTTCAATGGTCGCCTTGTCAGGAATCGTGTCACCGATACCGATACTGTGACCAGTTTGCAACAGCCAGTGAGTCACAACTTGCTGCACACCGTTCAGGAACGCCATGGCGCCCTGGGGTCCAAGTTCGTTGTAGCTGACGTGGACAATACCTCCAGCAGCCGCACCAACGTACTTCTTAGTGAGAAGACCCCACATGAGATGGCCCGACTGGATCAGAAGACCCTCATCCTTAAGAGGGTTATCTTCTTTGCTGTCCGGGACGCTGTGCAAGCTCACTTCCTTGGGAATGACCATGCTGATGATCTGCTTACCAGTCCATCGGGGTTGGGGCTTCAAGATGGCTGGCTGAGGGATGATGCCATCCCAGTTGGGAACCCACAGCATCTGGTCCATCACTTGTTGCTTGGTAAGGAAAGTGTCTCGTCGGCAGAGCTTGTAGACACCGGCCAGAGAGTCCTGGACAATACCCATCAGGGGTCCGTTCTTCTGGGGCGACACAATGTTCAAGGGCACAAGACAGAGCTCCTTCACTTCAGCTCGCGTCTCTTCACTTTGAGGAACGTGCAAGTTCATCTCGTCACCGTCGAAATCGGCGTTGTATGGAGATGTGACGGACAGGTTCAGGCGGAAAGTGGAATAGGGCATGACGCGGACACGATGACCCATCATAGACTCCTTGTGAAGTGAAGGCTGACGGTTGAAGATGATGTAGTCACCATCAATCAGATGACGCTCAACCTTCCATCCGTATTCCAGAGAAATCTGTGCTGCACGTCGGTGATGTCGCAGATCGATTCGAGTGCCGTCAGACCGGATAACGTACTTGGCTCCCGGGTGCTCATTCGGTCCGTTCTCAACAAGCTGGTGCAGCCGGCCGATGTTGTATGGCGTTACAGTCTCCGGGTATGTCAGAGTCCTCGCAATACTGCGGGGAACACCGACTTCGTGGAGAGAAAGATTGGCATCACCAGTGATGACAGTACGAGCCGAAAAATCGACACGCTTTCCCATCAAATTGCCACGGAGACGACCTTCCTTGCCCTTTAGACGAGCTCGAATAGCCTTGACAGGACGTCCACTCTTTTGCAGAGCACGGGGCTGGCCAGCAATATCATTGTCCATGTAGGTTGCGACGTGGTACTGCAGCAACTCCTCGAAGTCTCTCGCAATGTGCTGAGGAGATCCTTCACGGATAGCCTGCTTGACATTACCGTTGGCACGAATGATATCACCCAGCTTGTAGGTCAAATCATCTTCGTTTCGCATGCCAGTGCTGGTGCCATCCATGGAGATACTGGGCCGGACGGGAGGGGGAGGCACCGGGAGGACGGTCAGGACCATCCACTCGGGGCGAGCGTAATCAGAGTTGAGACCCATGTTGAGCAGGTCTTCCTCACTGATCCTTCGAAGAATTGCGTGGGCCATCTCCGGGGTGATGGGAGTGGTCTCTCGGCGCTTGACGCCATCCTCCTGGGGAACATCAAAGGCGGCCTTGAGCTGGAGAGCGGCTTGTCGGACGTTGGGCTGCACATTGCCACAGCCACCGTGGTTCTCGACCGCAGGCAGCTTCAATCCCGGAGCAAATTCCTCCTTGTTCTTGTCGTTCCTGTCTTCGTTCTCGCATCTATGCTTCTTCTTGCAAACCTCCCAAACACGGTGGAAGCGGACTTTGGGGTCTCGAGTGTTGATGGCCGCAGCGAATTCGACATCGCTCTGAGAGTATCAGGTTAGCATCCAATAGGCCAGAAACCTTTATGGAGTGAGTGGACCAACTTTATCGGCCAACACTTTACTGCAGTTGTGGCAGACAATCTCCAAAATCTTCTTGACCTTCTTGATAAAACCCGGATGGTACACGGGTTTCGCGAGCTCAATGTGTCCGAAGTGACCGGGACACTCGCCCATCGCCTGGTTGCAGGTCTTGCATCGAAACTGTCGATCGATCGAGCCGAGAAGAGGGTCGTTGAGGCCACCATCGCGTGGTTTAACCTTGTTCTCTTCCATCGTCTCGGGGTATAGGATATGGCAGACACTCATATTCTTGATTTCCTCGGGGGACATCAAGCCGAACTGAATCTCTTCCACCGTCTTGAGCGGAGCGCTCGAGTGGGTGAAGTAGAGGTTTGCCATGGTGGCGGTTGGGGATGATTCCGGCGGGAACGAAAAAGGAGCGAAAAGTGAGAACTGCGGTCAGGACGCGCGCGAAAACGCAGCGAGGCGCGAAAAGTCGGTGTCAAGGAGAAAGAAATGCGGAAAACCAGATTCTCTATCGCGCAAAGTCGCTAAATCGATGGCAAGTGCCTTCAGACGTGAATGATGATGGCGCTGAACGGCAACGCCTGTCCTGGCCAACGGCCCAGGAGATCCTCGGGCTAGTCTCCCCCGTCGCCGCCACCTCGAAAGTCGCGAAAGCTCGGAAGTCGCGCCGGACTGTATCGTCGGTCGGTCGGGGGTGTGCTTCGAGAAGTTGCGCGCGATGCCCGACGCGCGCGATGATGATTTGATGCTGAGGGCAAAGTTTTGACGAGGTTAAGGCGAGAGAGTCGGAGGATGCCTGAAAGAATCTGGACTTGAGGCGGCTGGCGGACGCAGCGATGACACTAAGCCTGTTTGGGCCACGGAGACCTCCCTGGAGGTACATGAATGTGGCCTCAGGCAGAGACAATCACGGGTACCGGGTACCTTTTGGGCACGCTCTCACGTGCTGACTAAAGGGAAATTCTGCGAGTTTCGGCGTGTCAGCCTCCAACTTCGCGCTGATTATTTTGTCACCCCCTGTCTTTCGTCACGCGAGGCAAGTACCGCTACTTGATAATCTCTGACCAGCTGGCCAGGATGGACAACACGCCGATGACTCAAGCCCCTGCACATTCGAGTCAATGCCTACCAATGGGTTTCATCTCTCCAATCCATTCACTGTTCGGCCATGCGAAGCAACGATTACAGACGAAACAAAGGCGCTTTGTCGCATCGTTGCGACTCCTTTGTCATTGATCATGCTGGCCCACGTCAAAGCGAGACGAGACGTGTCTTGCGCTTCATGACGCTAACTAATACCGTATCTAGCTCGATTCAGCCTAACTCTGACAGCTCTTTCTGGCCTCGCTGTCTCTTTATCGCTTTCTACTTCTGGCTGCCTTGCCTGATTTCTTTACTGTCACCTTCTCGACCACCGCGTCCAAATCGCCCTGACCCTCGCCAGGACTCCTACGTCTCATGGTTCCGGTAGACACCGCGATAAACTCGTCCTCGCTGTCGCTCTCGCCAAGGTTGAAGAGAATTGGCATCCGGAAGCCGTCACCCTCGTCCAAAGCCTTAGACGGATCGAGCGTCAGAACATCAACGTCCTCGTCTTCCGCATCGAGTCGCCGCCGGTGGATCTCCTCTTGCGCATAGATATCGAACTCATCCTCCCGCTCGATGTACTCCACATTCTCCTCGACCTCTGCAAAGTCTGGCGCCAGCGCCGACCACTTCTGTGGACTAATCACAGACCATATGTATATCCGCCCCGTCTCCAGGCCGCATGCAGCCAAAAGCGCACGAGCTGGGTGCCACTCTATCACTCCCTGCTCCTCCTTCGGGTCCTTGAGCATGCACACGAGACTGCCGTGATTGCGTTCCCAGACATACAGCTCGTGGTTGTTATACGTCGAGGCTGCCACATACTCTCCGGTCGCGCTGAATGTGACGTGGTTCCAGGATAGTTTGTTAACGACATCTTGGAACTTGTGTTCTAGTGGTATTTGTAAGGTGTCCAGGTCGAGGTCATCGGTGGAGAGATTTGGTATTCGAAATGTTCGAATGATTCGGTCTTGCGAGTTCACCAGCAGCTCCCGGCCTGACCCTGTAGTCCGCATCGTAGTGATTGCTCCTGAGCATATTTTGTCCGAGTATATGATCTCGTAAGACTTGGCGTCGATAATGTTGAGCCTCCCTTTGTTTGTTCCAGCGAGGACGTGGTCTCCGGTGACACTCCAGACAATGGATGTTGTCATCTGTTTGGCGTCTTCTTTTGCCTGCTTCTCCTTCAATGCCGTATCGCCGTCGGTATTTCGTTTCGGTGCGGATGGGAGTATGTGCTTCACGTCGACGGGCTCGGTCATGTCGACGACGACTGGCTGCTCCTCGAAGAGCGCGGCGACGAGTTCAAGGCTGGCGCACATCAGCATATGAACATCACACTGTATCCAGGCCAACTCACTGGTTCCACGGATGTAGCTCAGCCATGTACACCGGGGCGCGGAAGCGCACCTCGCGCAGCCTCTTGCCGTCTTGGAGATCCCAGAGGATGGCCTTCCAGCCCTGGCAAGTCGACAGCAAGTATCTACCGCATCTTGACCAGCTCAAGAAGGTAATGCTCTTGTTGTGGCCCCTCAGCTTCCTCGCGACGCCCATGGTCTCGAGATCCCACACCACAACAGTGCCGTCGACTCGACCGGAGGCAAGGTAGTCGCCCTTGCGATTGAAGCGAAGCATGGTCGCATGTCCCGATCGGATCGTGTTCGTGATGTTCTCAGGATAATCCTGAAGCAGGTAATCGTCGGAAAGTAGGAGATTCATGGTGAAGCGGCGCTCTATGAAGATGTCGAAACTAACGGCCGAGGTCGTCGCGTTCCATCGAGGATGGAGGGGGTTGTTGCGGCTGGTTCCAAAAAGGCTGGACTACAAAAATATCGGTGCAGCCGCGTTGGAGGCGGGACTTCAATCTGCAAGGCTGAGCTCCGCTAAGATGGCTGATCGGAGTCAGGACGCCCGGTGTGAAATTAGGGCCTTGGCTGGTCCAAGCGCTTGCGCTCCCCTCAACCACAGCGTGCTACACTAGCAATTCTCACCTCACATGCCCCTCTACATCTCAAACAGCGGCACAGCGTCCCCGCGCAAACACTCATTTTCCTCCACAAGACGGCTGCTTCCAAATTCGCAACCATGGCAAACTCCAAGTCAGTTTCCTCCTGTGTACTAAACTGGCTCCCACTATTCATCTGTCTAACCCCTCCCAAGATTCGAATATGTCCGTGATTTCGAGATTCCCGACCCACTACTGCCCAATACCTGGATCGTGGTCCGAGTAGATGGGCGAGCCTTCACAAAGTAACCACTCCCCAACCGCCGCCTCTCTGCCGAAGAAGGTGTATTCTGACAGTGCCAAGGATGTGCGCAAAGTACAATTTCGAGAAGCCAAATGACCGTCGGGCCTTGGATCTCATGAACACAGCCGCCAGAGCCGTTGTAGCTGACCTGCCCGACATCACCATTGCATACGGTGTCAGTGACGAATACAGGTCATGACCCCATCACTCCTAGCAGAACTGCAGTGCTTATTTTTCGACAGCTTCGTTTTCCACAAGTCTTGTACCCTGTTCGAGAGGAGGGACAGGTAGGATCCCGCGAGCCATCACGCGAGTGTCAATGACTAACACCTTGGCAGCAAGCTCGTCAGCACAGTTGTTTCTACCTTCACCTCCAACTACGTCTACTCATGGTCGACTCATTTCCCCGACACTCCCCTTTCGTTTCCACTTCCCACTTTCGATGGTCGAGCGGTGTGTTACCCTAGCGTCCAGAATCTGCGTGACTACTTGAGCTGGCGACAAGTAGACTGTAAGCCACCGCCCCCTCACTAGCAGCGTCCTCACTGACAATGGAGGCCACATCAACAACCTTTACAACACGACATTTTGGACGCTGATTCAGCTTGGAGGACTTGATAACAAAGAGGCCGAGAAAACTCTCGCTGTGAGCACCGTTAATCTTCCACCAAGAAATCGTACTGACAACTAGTACTAGGGCACCGTGGCTGCGGACAAGAACGAGATTCTATTTTCGCGATTCTCGATCAACTATAACAACGAGCCTGAGATTTTCAAGAAAGGAAGTGTCATATTCCGCGACGTGTGTATCTATCTCCCCCATCCCAGTATGATTTTAACCCTCTGCAGTACGAGCTCGTGGATCCCGGCAGTAACAATGTTGCACAAACCATCGATTCAGTAGCGGAGCCGATTACGCAGTCAAAGACTCAAAGGGAGAACGACAAGAAGCGTAGAGCCAAGGCACGGATTCTTGTGGAGCACATGGACATCATCAAGGATGACTTCTGGGACAGGAGGCCGTGGATTCTCTCCAACAAGCCTGGCAAGATTCCAAAAGAAACATAAATCATAGGCTGAAGCTGAAAGATTCACACCGGGTCTCTAGTGGAGGATGCACTGCGGCTAGATTCCCCATCAGCTGCTTTTTTTTCCTTCTGCCGGAATCCTGTCTAACCTTTTCGCCCTTCAGCTATTCTAGCCTCTATATCTACACTGATAAATCCCACGATCCGACCTCCAGAACACCCCAAGATCTCCAACACCCATGATAAACCTCACCTGAACCCGCCCTCTCGCCCTAGCTGACTAGCATCCGTACCAGCTCCACGCAGCGCAAGGGCTCCTGGAACCAGGGCTTTGCCTGTTTCCTTGATAAACCCCTGGCTCTTTTGTTATTGCTGTTTCGACGTCTTTAGTTAAACCCAGCAGTATGGTCTTCTCTATCCAAGCTAACTTGTAACTGCCTGTATTACAGGCTTTAATATTATAACAGGCAGTTAAAAACTTCTTATTTTAAGATTAAGAATAAATTAAAAATAAATAGATTTTATTTTATTTTATTTTATTTTATTTTATTTTATTTTATTTTATTTTATTTTATTTTATTTTATTTTATTTTATTTTATTTTATTTTATTTTATTTTATTTTATTTTATTTTATTTTATTTTATTTTATTTTATTTTATTTTATTTTATTTTATTTTATTTTATTTTATTTTATTTTATTTTATTTTATTTTATTTTATTTTATTTTATTTTATTTTATTTTATTTTATTTTATTTTATTTTATTTTATTTTATTTTATTTTATTTTATTTTATTTTATTTTATGTTTTATTTTCTGTTTTATTGTCGGGATCGACTCTGCGGTAATCGGCAAACGAGCGATCGAGAGTGGTGTCGGTCTGAATATCGTAGATTTCGTTTTGAGGCTCAGTTCTATCGTAGTTACAGAGACGCTTGCTGTCGAGATCCTCTGGCTCTGATTCATCAAGCGCGGCGTCAACGGTGTCGCTTTCAGTTGGGTTGTGAACCGCCTTGCCCTTCCGCTTTCTCCCAGTCCTGGAATCATCAACGCTGTAGCGCACGTTCTCTCCAGCTAGATCCGGCATGAATAAACCAGCGCGGAGGTCGCGATCGAACCACCGCACCAAGTCATTCTCTTTCTGTACCGACTTGTCTTCATATCGACGCTGAAAAAGATTGTTTGCTCTTCGGAGCTGGCGTTCGATACGTCGTAAATCCTCCCTGAGACCCGTCAGGTCGTCCATCTTGATGCACAAGAGAAGGGTGCCGTGGTGTGGTGTGTGCCGTCATGGTGAGTGTGCCGAATAAGAAAGTAATGTCTGCGATGGTGAAGTCTTAATGTTCTTAACATTTTGTCTCCATGCGCATCCTCCGAGAATCCATCGCGAGACTCGATGGAGAACGTTACGAAACCCCTAGGGCTCAATCGAAAACTGCACAGGGAAAGGATTCGAGCTGGATCATTGTGCATATGTTCCCGGACATGACAACCGCCTCGGCGCCGCTGTGTTCTCTGGTTGCTTGGGCGCAATCAGGAAAACTGCCCAACATAAAAATTTGCTGAAGATGCGGCAAATCGTTGCTGAATTGAAGGGCCAGGCTCTCACGCCAAGGTTCAAGATGCTCATCCCTAAGATAGGGTTGCCCAAGTGCTGCTGGCCCATAAGGAAATTGGCTGGCACTGCAGAGTACCCCATGGGTACCGACAAGCGCTCTAGCTCTGGCAGAGTCTTAATGCGGGCTACCATGGCTCTGATAGCATTGTTCTATTTGAAATCATGGTTAGCCGCCATTCATAGATATATAACCTGGTAGTACTCACAAGGTCAGGCAAATCTTCAGGCTCAAACATCCGTCCGTTCATGAATTCCCTCGTCCCACAGGAAACAGCTAGCCACTTGAGGCTCTTGAAGGATTTAGCAGCACTTGCTATAGCCCGTCCGCCGAAAGATGTCCCTAGATCGGGTACTGTGCCAATAACGTGTAGCCGTTGCAATCCCCGATGGGTATTGACTGCTTTTTTATATGCAAGTGAGTCGGTATCGACATTGATGCTTAATGCCTTGAGAGTACCCTCGGTACTGCTCCAGTTTGGACCTTGTCCAGGTATAATATCTGCGCTGGTATGCTGGAAAATCGTAACAGTAGCATGGCTATTATATATATTAGAAGAATTTATTAACAATCAGAAGTAAAACATACCGTATATGCTCCCGTACTCGGACCATACCTGGATCGACCCTCCAATGGAGAAACGTCCATATGATGCCCGTAAGAAGTGCCCGTGAACTCTCAAAGCGAACCGCCTTGAACATTTCACGGCAAAAATGCTCGCGACAAAACTTTGAGGCTTGAGTGATTGCATTCAGACTCTCCCTGTTAAGGAGTGATGAAATAGCAGATAAAACCTGGGGTGGAAGCTTGTGAATAGCTGCCTGTGCTGCGTTGCAGTCTGCCATCTTCGAATGTCATAAGCTCAGCGCCTTGTCGAACGGAATGTACTGATCTGAGCACCATCCGCGGAGTGGATGAAACAAAGCTCTCGCGATTGAGGACTTGATGTTGATGTTGTGTTGGTCAGGTTTTTCAAGAGTGTCTGCTCAGAAGGGGAAAGAATTTAAGAGGGAAGCAAGTCGACGCTTACGTATACTCTTGAGTGAATCACTGCTCGCAAGGCGGCCTGAAAGCCGTGCAGCACGCTATAAGGGAGTAGAGTGCTTTCTTTGCCATACAAAATTGTATATGTTGCGAAGCGAAGACCTCATTACCTCCGTGTAAGTAAGCCTGCCGTTTTTATTACAGCTCCACCCCCTTTGGAGGCTGGGGCATCTTTAAGTTACCGGTCGCCTGAGGCCATTGCGCTCACAACTTTTGCAATGGAGGTTGATCAAGAGAGTGATGGAAGTGAAGGGGCGATGGAATCTCGGAGGATGCGCATGGAGACAAAATGTGAAAGAACATTAGGACTTCACCATCGGTCGCCTGAGGCCATTGCGCTCACAATTTTTGGAATGGAGGTTGATCAAGAGAAGCGACGCTTGTACCGGTGGAGGAGAATTGCGTGAGTTCAGGGGGTATCATTCAGAACTATAGACCCAAACGCCGTGAAGATGCTTTCGCTATGCAGATGCGACTCGCCATATTTGTCCTTTGTCCATTATTTCTTTAACTCTTTGTCTCTTTGTCTCCGTTTTTCCTCTTTCCTCGCTCGCCGTCGACGCTTCTCGTCGTCCGCGTCGCTCGATTCAGTTGATGACTTCGCTGATTTCTTCGACTTCTTCCGCTCTCGTCGGGCGGCTTTCTCGGCTCTCTCGCGAGCTCGCTCTTCCTTTCGCTTTCGCTTCGCCTCTTTTCTGGCTTTCCGCTCTTCCTTGGTTTCTTTTCGGTTTTCGGTTTTGGATGCCTTCGCGCGCTCTTGGTCGGCACTGTCGTCTTCGGAGGATTCGGTGCTCGACGAGTCCTTTATTTCCAATATGCTGAGGGTTCCCTCCAAAAATCCACCTCGCACAAACGATGTGTACACAGAGTATTTCCCCAGGTTCTTGTCGATCGTGTTCAACTTCCCGGTGGTGAGCGTCTGCACCACCTTGCCATCCTTGGAAGTGTCGAGTCCCTTCAATTGTTCGTCGAATGCATTCATCCACCATTGGTCGCTTGTAAAATGCTGCTTTTGGCCCAATCCTTTGGTGTTGTCCTTGCGCGACAGCAACAAGGGTTTCGAGAGGCCAATCGAATCGTCGGTCTTGTGGAGCGAATGACCAGTTCCTCGCCAGCCTTGGGAGGAGAGGAGGGCGTGAGCGTCCATTATGACGGGCGACTATCGACGAAGGTTTTCGGGGGTGGCCCTATGGTGTGGGAGTTTTAGGATCTTGTCAAACGAAGGGGCAGAAACTGGTGAACGCAGAAGTTGAGAAGCCCGAGTTGAAGGTCGCATTGATTTTTTTAGCGGGCCTGGGTCTTATCGCGCACCCGCATTTCTTATCGTGGTACCCCTGGCTGCCTACTTACCCTAGAGCTATGCAGTCCTCTTCATTCAAGCAATAGTCTGCGTGTCAGGTTGAACTGCACTGCCACTCGAAGAAGAACTACCTGGAAAGTTTGAATCAGAGAAGTCGGAAGATCCCACAAGATAGTCTCCTCCCTGCGCAAGATAAACGTGAGTTTAAAAACTTTCCCAGAGTCAAGAGGTGAGAAGTCTCGAGTTAAATCAGAGGCGAGTCCGTCAACCATATCAGTGTCCCTCTCTGGAACAACGAATCAACAAGACCTGCCGCTAAATAAACTAGAACTATCGGGAAGGATAATAAGCATTTCACGGACGAACACGGACGCAAGTTATGGGTCAACAGTTTTTCAACCAGGCCCCTATTACTGTATCGACCCGATGAATTGGCACTGATTTTATGGACTAAAGCGAAACTATAAGATAACTTGTAAGGCTTAGATTTCCTAAATCATTAGGTATAAGAAAACCCGAAGGTAATAAGTGGGGAACGATTCAGGGCCAACTCACTGAGTTAATACGGTACTTTTCCAGAGTCTCATTCAATAGGGGCTCTAGCGTTGGATTTTTCGGAGGCCTGCCAATACCGTAGTGAGATTGTAGCTTGCGTTTATCGCTAGATAAAATTTATGATTTATTAGAGACCAAGACCGAGCCCCGCCTGTCGCTACTAGTCGATGGCTTAACGAGTGGAATGAACCACTGTTTTTAGGCTCACAGGTAACCAACTTATTTTAATTTGAGCCAACACGGAGTAATAACCGAGGGTAACCTGCCTGTAGTGCTATAAAACCCAGTCGTTCAGGCCGATTTCAACTTGTTGCGCTGCTGGACCCTTGGCAGTGCATCCACAGGGCCCTTGTCGGATTTTATATGCCTGGAAATCAGAGAGGCTTGTCTGTTGGACTTCCCTACAATCCAAGTGCCCATTGACAACCCCACTCCAGTGAATGGGCATTCGATTAGATATGACGTATTTCATTTCAGATATGCCTTTTATTACAAAGTATCAATTGAAGAAGAATGGCGAGGAATGTTAATTGCCCTCAGCTCTTGGCGTTTCCCATTCCGCATGGGGCTAAGGGATAAGCACGTGATGGGTGCCTGGAAGGATCTGGAGATCCAACAGCCTGGTGCCGCACGGCACATTGGACATATTACATCAAACATTGGGAGAGCGTAATACCTCCAGAATCAAGCTGTTATTAGGCTCCAGAGACCGCTTGACGGCGTTGCCAGAATCAGCGTACCGAGTTGTTCTCCAGTAAGTGGCCCCATCTCCGTGTCCCACTCCGGGCTCCATGACGTAGGGCGTCCCACCACTATGCCTGATCATGAGCCATGTTGCTAACAGTCCATACCCATAGCTAATCGCCGAAACCCGATATTCGTGTTACGGTAACGCCAGGATCCCGAATATCTGGTGCGCTCTGGCTCCGGGAGGGCGAGCACTGCATCATGGCGCCACTCTGCTCCGATCCGCGGCAGATTGTCATCAGCCTGAACCCCGCGCGACGAAAGGCACTCTATAAGCTTGTCCATGAGATCACTTCATACATGATCGCACAGCTGGAGACTCCAGACGATGAACTTGGCCCCGTAGCCCCGGGAACGCCTACCGCCGAAGGCGAGAGCTCCAAGACCAATGACGAGGAAACCAGGAGGCGCGAGCAGCAGATCCGGAACAGGGCTTCGAAGCAGGCCCAGCAGGTTCAGAAGGCTGCTATAAAACACATGTCTGACTGGAAACGTGAGCTTATGCCCAAGCTTGAGGAGATTGCGCGAGTCCCGGACGACGCCAAGATCCAGGGCGAGAGGCAGAAGCGACTGGAAGCTATGGAGAAGATTAAGCTGGACACCCCAGAAGAGGGTGAGAATCTCATCAGCTTCGGTGAAGTCAAAATTGACAAGTCAGAGGATGTTACCTCGCTCCAGGCCTTGTATCATCCGATACCGACGAGATTAACGACGATCCCTCAAGCAGACAGGAGAGAGGCTATTGTTTGTATTCTCCTTCTCCTTCTTTCAACAGGAAAGTATTCCGCTCATTCACGAGCCCTGGCACTGTATCTTGCATCTGCGTTGGAAGTCCCCCAGACATTCATCATCGCACAGGAGGTTGAGATCGCTAAATCTCTCCTCGAGTCGTCTGCGGCAGATGAAAAACAAAAAGAAGCAATGTCAGCGGAGGCCGAAGCTGCGAAGCGTCGCCAAGACAACAAGTTCAACCGGTTCTGGAAAGTCGGTTTGGCCTCCGTTGCCGGTGCCGCTGTCATTGGCGTTACTGGTGGTCTGGCCGCCCCTCTAGTTGCTGGTGCTATCGGCGGTGTCCTCGGAGGCGTGGGGCTGGGAGGAGTAGCCAGCTTCCTAGGCATATTCTGGATGAACGGTGCCCTAGTTGGGGCTCTCTTCGGCGCATATGGAGCTAAGATGACTGTAAGTTTTCTCCTTGCCACATGTTTAGAAGTTGTGCTGAAGCCATCACTAGGGCGAGATGATGGACGAGTACGCCAAAGAGGTTGAAGACTTCCGCTTTATCCCACTTAAGGAGGAGTGGGGAAAGAAATTCCAGCCTGAAGATCAAAAAGCGCAGCAAGACCACCGGCTCCGTGTCACCATCGGAATCAATGGTTGGCTCAACACAGAGGACGACATCACGAAACCGTGGCGCGTCCTCAACGATGACGCTGAGGTCTTCGCTCTTCGGTATGAGTTAAAGTCTCTCCTAGCTCTTGGAAGCGCACTCCGTGCTCTCGTTGAGTCCTTCGCTTGGAACACGATCAAGGTTGAAATTCTCAAGCGCACTGTCTTGGCTACCTTGCTCGCCGCTCTCTGGCCCGTTCAGGTGCTCGCTGCAGCATCCAATGTCGATAACCCGTTCAACCGCGCACACAACCGTTCTAGAAAGGCTGGCCGCCTACTCGCGGATGCTCTCATTAACAAGGTCCAGGGCGAGCGTCCTGTTATCCTGATTGGCTACTCCCTAGGTGCCACAGCTATCCACGCCTGCTTGCAGTCGCTCGCTGAACGACATGCATTTGGACTTATCGACAGTGTCGTTATTATCGGCGCGCCTGCGCCCTCAGCTCCGGCTCACTGGCGTACGCTACGCACCGTCGTGTCCGGGAAGATCTTCAATGTCTATTCTGAGAACGACATGGTCCTTGGATTTCTGTACCGCGCACACAGCCTCGCCATGGGAGTTGCCGGCTTGCAGTCCGTTACAAACGTCGAGGGGGTTGAGAATTTGGACCTGAGCGAGTCTGTCAGCGGTCACTTGCGATATCCTGACCTGACAGGCGAGATCCTGCGGAAATGTGGCTTCGTCGGTATCAAGGCTGGCACAGAGATCGAAAAGGATGACCTCATCAAGTTGAAGGAGGATCAAGTCGAGGGCAGTCTGATTGACTTTGACGCAGACCCGTCGAAGGATGCCCAGAAAACCCAGCCCTCAAACGAGGTAAAGTTGACGGATGATCTTCGTGGCCTAACCATCTCCCCACCTGGCCTCGTCTCCCCGTCGGCCCCTCCACCTGAAGAACAAAAGACCCAGGAGCCAGAAACAGAGAAGCCGCCACTGCCTCGGCGCCAGACTGGCGAGGATGTGGAGGCACCTCCAACCCTACCTAGACGTCCTTCCGCCTCTCCGCATGATGTACAACCGCCTCTCCCCCGTCGTCCTACGTATGCCGAGAAGGAGGAAGAGGAGATACCTGTGCTTCCAAGGCGCCCAACTGAGAGCGCAGCGGAGAAGGTACCGACAACACAACCTATGCGTTCCTTGACGCCGGAAGCGTATGTGTCCGACGACGAAGGCCACAGGGCAATTGTTATGATTGATTATGGGAGCAGTGACGAGGATGTGCATGACTCGAAGGGACGTTCGTAGGAATGACCATCTGGGGTATGTGGGTAGTGATGCATGATTATATACTGATCAATTCTGGGATACATACACATAAAAATTGTTGCTATAGACAATACGGCAATTGGACGAGTGCAAAAACGACGTCTTAAATTCATGTCGTGAATTCTTCATGTGGACCGCATGATAGCTATCAACAGAGACTGAACTGTCATCTCACCTACTGATCAACGACAATGTGACTTCTCATTCCGTCGGGTCAAAAGTGTAGCAGATATCTTTGTTTCAAGCAACAGCGCTTTCGCAACTACCTAGGTAGACATTTCAAGTCCCTCGGATAACGATGGATAGATGGGGGATAGTACTAATAGTGGTAGTGGTATTGATATGGGGAAACCACTCGCTCACCCCGACGAAGGTAATAGAAGATAGGGAACATAGAAATATGACGGAAAAAAAGTCAAAAAGTTAGAATTGATCCGAAAACATCTCCTCTTTTCGCCCAGGATAAAGAAAAAACCGGGCATGAAAACCCGGAAAGAAGCTTTCAAGGCTCCTCGCTTTTCTCCCCCTCTGTTCCCCCTTCCCCTTCTCCTGGACTCTCAAGTGCTCGCGTGACTTTTCTTCTTCCCTCTTCTAGTGGTATCATATGTGTCAAAAGGAAGAAAAAGGAGAGGAAATAAAAACAGAAGCGACGGCTTGTATTAGGCGTGGGTGGGCGTGGATGGGTATCGGAGCCCTGCCACATTAATGGCGAGTGTAAAAGCGACGAGTTGCGGGATAATATCCGAAAAAAGAAATCAGGATTTTTGAACGGCCTCATCGGCGAGTCTCAATGATCGGAGTCTGAGAGCGGGAGTACTGTTCAGCGGCGGGCGTTGGCGGCGGCGGTAGCTGCTTGAGGGCCACCATTGGTCTCCATGTTACCCGTCAGCTCGGCCACACGAGCCTTGATGCGAGCGACACGAGACTCAATAGCTTGAGTAAAGGGTTAGTCATTGCAAATCAAGGGGAAGCTCAGAGGTTAACTTACTCTCCTCTCCACTAGTATCATCATCACCATCGGCAGTCTTGTGGGATGGTACTCGGGGCTGCTCATCAGTCTGGCGAGTGGCTGCCCTCTCCGCAGCGTTCTTGCGGATCTGTGCCCAGCGGTCCTGCACACCAGGGCTGGCACTCTGGCTCAGCTTCTCCTCGGGCTGAGAGGCTTTCAAGTTGGAGGCCTGGCGCGGCTGGCGGCCAATGGGGGGCGGGACGGCATCATCCTCTCCATCAGTATCAGGGGCAAAGGCGGGCTGATCCTCCAAGGGGCCCTGGCTGAACGCAGAAACGTTGGGCTTGTCCTCCACATCCACGGCGTCAGCAGCCGGCTTCACGGGCTCCTCGGTGGACTCAGGTTCATCATGAGCTAGGACAGGCTCGGGTGTCTCGGCAGGAGTGATTGTTTGTTGAACAGGCGGCTCAGGCGTGGCTTGGTCCTTTCGCAGCATGCTGTTGACGTCGGCAGCAGCATTCTCGGGCAGCTTGGAGCTTCGGTTCTTGCGGAACAGCTTGCGGAAACCTCGACCCTCCTTGGCCTCCTTCTGTAGTTTCTTCTGCTTCTTGTTCTCGGGGCTGACAGGCTCGGGCGATAGAGCGTCGTCCCGGGTGACTTCGTCAAAGATGTCGTCCTTGGGGGGCGGGACGGGACTGGCCGGGGGCTCAACGACCTCTGGAATCTGAACCTCCTCGGGCTTCTCCACTGGGGGGAGAGGCTTCCTCACGGATTCCTTCTTGATCTCCGGAGAGGCAGGAGGGGACTGGAAAACAGGGGATTGAACAGCAGGGGATTGGACAACGGGGGATTGAACAGGGGGAGGTGCGGGTTCCTTAGCGGGCACTTCAGGCGCCTGCTCATGATGTCCATTCATTCCCCCATTCGTCTCGGCGGCCTCGTTCAGGCGTTCGGAGGGAACTGGAGACATGGTCATGCCACGGCCTGCGTTGCTGTTGGACAAGTAAACATCCTTGATGGTACCCTTGTCATATTTGTTGACCCATTTGAGAGCCGACGAAGCCTCGCCAATGATGGCCGGCTGGAGCGTGAGTACACTGTTAGTCTTCTCAGCCATTAGCTCTGCGTCTGATCGGCCGCGGCGCTGGGACTGCTGTTGCTGAGCAGCCATTTTCTTGTCATGCAACTCCTGAGCTCGGAGCTGAGCAGCCTTCGCCTGTATCCTGGCATGCGTATCCGGTCCGATGCTAGCCTTGCTACCGGCGTTGTTGCCCATCTCAAGGGCAGACTTTCCGGCAGACTTCCGTCGACTCAGACCCTTTCCACGCCTTGTCCAGGAGAAGAAGCCCTTCTTCTCTGCGATATAGGCACCCTCTTCGGGTTCCGGAGCCGCGCCTGCGATCATTTCCTCCATCACCAGCCATCGACCCGTGGGGATCTTGGTCTCGATGATTGTGCATCGACCGAAAGCCGATTTGCGCTCTGCGGTTTCTTCGGGAGCCAGACTGGTCATCCAGACCCACCAGAAAGCATCGTCGAGAGAGAACGTGGTGATGCTTGCCAGCTCACCAGGCTCAAGGGTGCGATCGGATTCGAGTCTCGGTCGGTGGGATTGGGAGCTTCGCTGTCTGGGTTGCGTCTCGATGGGAGGGAGAACCTTGTCAGGGGGCAGAAGAAGGTTGGGTCGGGAGGCTGAGTTCTCATCAATGAATCCTGATGAGAGGAAATCGGCCCAAGATGGGGTCGTCGGTCTGCCCAATCCGTTTCCAGAAGCAGGAGCTCTCCTCAAACCCTGAGGCTGTCTATGGGTGATGGCGCTCTCATCTTCGTCGTCATCCTCCTCTAAAGTGCTCGTGAAGCCGATATCCTCAAAACGAGACCAAGAAGCGTCACGCAAACTCGTAGAATGCTTAGAACTCGAAACTTGGGACTGGTTTGCGGCGGAAACGGCCTTCAAGACTCGGCGACACTCATCAGTCAATGCCTTGACTGGGTCCTGGTACTCGGAGAACTCCTGGAGGGCTCGGTCCTCGTCGCGATACTGGAAGTGATTGGCCCGGCGCAAGAGGGCAAACGGCGTGGGGGAGACGGTGTCGACGATCATGACAACCTTGTTCGTAGGCGTCATCATCAACTCGGGTCGCTGAGGGGGGTACTCTGTCTCCTGGACGAGCTTCTGAAGGGACATGGGCAGCATCGTAATACCGCTGACATTCACCTCGGGGGAAAGAGATCGGAGGTAGGCGAAGAACATGTGGCTCGTGGCATCGGCGGCGCTGGAAGCATTGGTGAGCATTCGGGACGGAGGTATCATCTGAGACATTGAGCTCACCTAAGCCAAGAGTTGTAGCCTCCCTCAAAGCCTTTCTTGGTGTCCTTGTGTTCAAAGGCCCACCAAGCGGCCATTCGGGAGACCTTGCGCCCACCGAGGCCATTGGTCTTGCCGTGGGCAGCAATTGCAGCCAAAAGGTCAAAATAGTCAAAGATAATGCGCTGGCGGGCACCATTCTCGACGCTAATGGGGATGAATGTCTTGAACGAGTCTCGGGCCATGTGCGAGTCTAAGACCAGTCAGCCACACCGTTGGACTGGGCAATTGCGATTGACGTACCAATTTCTCCGACCTTGAACAGTTCATAGGCATCCCAACCAACAATGCCGCCCTGAAGACGACTCCAGCACCACTTTGCGACGCCGGAAACGACCTGTGGACCTAGTTAATATCACGTTGCGCGGTTGCTGTGGCCGACGTACCATGGGCTCGGTCATGCGCAGCTCCTGGAGTAGTTGCTCGCCGCGCAGGTTTTGGTGAGCTTCGAAGAAGTGTCTGATGAATGTGCGCACAGCGCTGGGATCGGAGGTAGGTCGGAATGGCAGAAGGAGAAAGGGGTGGTCGAGAGCTAGTAAGACACGGAGAATTAGCATGACGTCGAAGGAGACGCAAGGGACAGGACATGGAGGCACAGAATCCGGGGTGACATACCTCGCGCCTTGAGCTCCTCAGTGCAACATCGGATCAGCTCGTGAACCTCCTCAGGCTCGACGGAGGTCCGCGTGTAAGCATCGGTCCACTGGGGTCGGGTTGGCTGCGAATCGGCGCCGTCCTTGCCCTTCTTCTTCTTGAAGTCCTTGCCCTTAAGGCGGGAGAAGAGGCCGGCCATGATGGGCCACGGCGGTGGGAGTGGACGTGATGGGATGGTTCAGACGCGGTACACGTTGGCGTTTGCGACGGCAGGAGGGAAGAAGTAGCGGCGAGTTGGACCTGGCGAAGAGGAGCGCTGGGGATCTTGTGTTCAGGTCGGCCGCAAATGCAGGCGGAGAGCTGAAGGAAAAGCAAAGTTCCTGTCGCGCGGGAAGAAGACAAAGATCAGGGGTTGGATTTTTTTTTTGGGTGGTCGCGGGGCCTTGCCGTCAAAGATGGGATGCGTGGTGGTCGGGACGATGGGCGATGGCGCCAGGCGACGTGTAAGTCGAGGTTGGGGATCGGGCGCGGACGTGGCGGCGTGGGCGTCGTGGGTGAGCGTGAGCGTGACGCTGCTGAGACGACAGGAGAGGCCTGGACTTTTTTTTAGGCGCGAGTTGGGGGAGGTATCGAAAAAGGTGAAACGACGAGGCGACGGGGGCCAGAAAATGGCCGCCAAAAAAAAAAAAGAGACGTCCTCGGCAAAATGAGAGAACGAAAAGAAGAAGGACTAGAAGGACGAAGGCCAATCGAAAGACAAAGAGGGAGGAGAGGAAGGTGATGATGGATGAGGGATTGGGGTTGGGATTGGGATGGTGGACGGGGAGCGGCTTCAGGGGCGACGGGGGTGCGCGACCAGGCCTTGGGACGGTACGTATAGCACTAAGATTGGGCGCCGAGCTGGGATTACAGGCATGGGGCATGGGGGCCATTCATCTGGTGGGCATGGGGCATTTCTTTTTTGGGGGGAGTGGAGGGGTGAGGTGATGGGTGTGTGAGAGTGAGAGAGTCTGTGTCTGTGTGTGATCTGTGGTTGGAGAGCGGGATGGGAAGAGGAAGAGAGGTTGTCTTTGTGCTTTGTGGTTGGGTGTGGCTACCCGTTCGTTGTCTTGATCTTGTCTTGACGTTGTTTCTTTTCGTTGATAACGAGCCGCATGTTTTGGAACATGAGGTTGTCTCCTGAGTCTAGGTACGACGTAGTATAGCACAGAGTAATTAGACTCTCCCCATTCGCAAGCCTCGATACTTTCTTAGTTTTGTTTTCTCGGGATATCTCTTTCTTGTCTAGGTATGATTACCCGCATTGGAGCGAGACATGCATACATCTGCCTCTCGTAGTCAGGGACATATCGATTAAAGATACCAGCTGGGGTCTCATATTCCTTCTGTACGAGGCGTGAGGCTGAGAAGGACATCAGCCGTACTCCCTACGTACCTACATAGTTCATCTTCATCGTCCGCCGTTCACATCCACATCGGCCATGGTTTAAGAAAGAAGCGTCGGCGCCACCCCACAGGCCCGCAAGCTTCTCCAAGGGTCCCCAAAGCAGCCTAGCCCCCAGCGCCGGTGGAGGGGAGCGGGATGCAGATTGGGGGGAGTCTCAGCGCCAGAGAGATGCCCTGAGGGCGCTGAGGGGCACCTGGACGCGTTGTGACTGGACGCGCGACCGCTGGGAACGGGACCTGATGGCGGCGGCTTGCTCGGGTGGGCCGCCAGTTAGAGGGGCACCATCCAAGCCAGCCGCACTTCTGTCTAGTCCCTGACGTCCTGAAATTTAATTGCGTGGGCGGCAAGGCGGGCGCGCGGTCGTGTAATTTGATTCCAGGCCCCCCCTCTGATGAATTGATTTGCTTTGAGCTTGGCTCCTGGTTCCTGGCTCCTGGCTCATGCGGGGACTAGGATTTGACCTGAGCCTAGGCCTGGCGAGACAAGGACGCTGTCGATCACTGCTGGCACGCACCTGGTTTGGGACGCTGAGCGCGGCCAGCGACTGTCGGTTCCGCTACTCTTCCTGTGCCAAACTCCCGCCCACGACGGCATGAGATATCACCACAGCTCCATTGGGAACCATGACCAGGGGACCTGGGACCTGGGACCGCCCGTGTGGACAGGGGACCATCGCCAAAAGCCGGCATCGGGATCCGCGACCACGGTCCCGAAAAAGGTGTCCCTTTGGCACCATGGTTGGACGCCGTCACCTCACTACTCCCCGTAGTAGGAGCTAGGGATGTACCAAGAAGCAGCCAAGCAACGCCAAAAGATTCAACACCAACAGTTGACCACTAGTATAGATCCTCTTTGTTCCTGTTCCGGCGAGCTGTGGGTTGTCGTCATGACCTGTTGTTTTAGATCTCTCTTTGCTCGCTCTTTCGTTTCCTGCTCAGCTGATAGCGGTAATCACTACGAAGCTTGGACAGCTTGGACTCATGGATACTACCATAGTACCTACATGGGACGTTGGCCTCAATCAACTGCCCACACCCAAGCTGCAACCATGTCTTCTCCATTGCCAGTGGCTCGACCGCCCTGACGCCATCCATGTTTCGCAGCGTGCCGAGTAGACAGACAAGTGGGATCCCATCAATGGGCTTGCACTTAGACCAGCCTGTCCTTCACAGCCCATTCTTTCACCTCTTGCTCGCCGCCTCGGTCAGACGCGCCTGAGGGTCGGTCGTCACCGCGCCAGAGGTCCAATTGGTCCCAATTGCCCTCCTGCCAATACCGGCTCTGTTGTTAACACCTCTGATATCACCCTCTGCCCTGTCCCGAGCCGATCAAGTGACGTGGGACGATGAAGACGACCGATCGGATGAAGGAAGTGCACTCGCTAGAGAGCGTGTCATCGCCTAAAGATTTAGCGAAGACTATTCCCACGCCCCCTTTTAAGGTCACTCACGGTATCTGTCCCAGGTACGAGGTTCTGTCCAGACACAACTGATGGCGGTTTCTACTTCGGACAGTTTTATGACTGGCTCAAGCCATGCCATAACCCAATCTAGGATACCCCGTGTCCTAGGATGAACCTCTGTGCTCTCGGCCGGTGGATGTGGAGAGGGGCCGCCGATGGAATGGAACCATTTACTCGAACACCGCTATTTTTGCCAACCGATGCCCATGTATAGAATCCATCATGGGTTTTGGTATTTTTGCGCCTCGTCCAGACCCGCCCAATCGTAGTCGCTCATTGTCAAGTAACTCGTGGCTCGTGGAGTGACCGACCCAAAAAAAAACCGCTGCATGTGTGCTGGCATGGCCAACGCATCCATCCCCTAGCTAAAAGCCCGGCACTCAGCAGCGCCGTGACTGGCTGCTAAAGTGCGATGGGATTTCTCGCGAGGCTTCCTGGATCGAAGGAGGGTGGTGAGCTGGCACCAGCTGTGGTCCTCTCGCCGCCAACCTCAGCCGGGTGCTTGTTCGTATGTGCCCGGCCAGCAAATAACAGGCTGTACCGCAGCAATTACGAAACATTTCCCACTTGCTCATCGCCATGCCGGTTGTTGGCGTCATCTGTCGGGATCGAGATGCAGGTCATGCCGAGCCAGCTGGAAGACCCGGGACGAAGAAAGCAAAGACCGTCCCAGGGACCGTTACATGGTATTCTTGACGTGCCTCACTAACATGACGGCCCCGAAAAGGTCGTCTCCAGTACGTCCGTGTGCTGTCTTCGTCCCATCCGCACGCCGCCACGCAGACACTCGATCCATGATCCCGGTCGGGTTGGAGGTCTGGCACTGAACCGCGAGTTCCAGTGCTCCACCACCTTCATGCCTCATGCACCTGCCGGGACTGCATGCAGCGTCTTTCCAACTCTGTCCAGCATTTACGAACGTCTTACTGGGCTGCGTCAGGATTTGAAACGCCGTGGCCATGATGCAAGTGTTGGTCCCCGTTGGTCCACGTTGTTGCTGCTGCTGAACCTTGCCCGGGCCACACCCCGCGTTGGCTACATATGTAGTCAGCGATGTCGTATTCAGAAGAAACGAAACAGATGAATGACTTGACATGCTAGATTAATTTCGTCCCAGGTACGTACGATCTAGAGGAGGGGGAGGGGCAAATTCAAGACGAAACGGGGTGGGTGTGTGAGGCTGATTGTGGGTGTGTGGACTCGTGGGCGCGTGCGAGATTCCTCTCCTCAAACCTCATCTTAGATCTTTCATGCGCTCCGCTGCCGCGAGGCTGAAGGAGTCGCATCATGCCACCCGCTAGAAAAACTGGAGCCTTCGGAACCGCCTTCGAGAAGCAATTCCTGGACTTCATCGCTTCGAACAAGAAGGACTGCGAATCATCCCGACATGGACGTGCTTTCGATCAGCCTGTCGACTTTCTGACAGATAATTATGGCCGCCTGGTATAAGTGTTCCTCTCGTCCGTCTTCACCGGCCGCTGATGTCCGAGGCGCCCCATACTCCATATTTGTTTTTATTGAGAATGTGACCCACAAAGGCAGTCATGACCTCACAGTTAATCGAGAGACACGCGAGTAACCGAGACCTGTTATTCATCCATTCCCGTCCTATAGCCTAAGTGTACACAGACTCCCGAAGCTGGCCCTGCCATGATCCCTGATCGATCACGCGAACGCCCAGGACCTGTCCGAGTGTCTTCCATCCAATACATACAAAGTATACCGTACAACAGTCCCAATCCCTACCTAAGAAACACACTGGCGCCTTGAAACTGAAACCGAATTGTTCAATCCTTCTTCTTGGGCGTCTCAGCTTCGGCCTCGGCCAGCCTCAAGGCCTCTTCAAGAGCCTCCTCGTCCTCCTCGAACTCATTCTCCTTGTCATCGACGTCGACCTTCTTCGTCTCGACCTTCTTCGTCTCGACCTTCTTCGCCTCATTTTTCTTCACCTCAGGCTTGGCATCTTCGTCAGCCTCAGCCTCTGTGTCAGTCTTGGTCTCCTCAACCACAGCCTTTGTGGAATTGCCAGGCACCAAGGCCCAGTCAATCTCGCCTTCAGCGCCGTATCGACTGACCAGCCACTCATTGGCCTTCTTGAAATGGTTGCAGTCAAAGAAGCCTCTCGAGGCGCTCAGAGGACTAGGGTGCACGCTCTGCAAAACTAGGTGCCGACTTCGGTCAATCTTCTGCACTCGCTTGCCGGCAGGTGTGCCCCAGGCCATGTACACGACACCACGCGTCCGCTTCTGTGCGGCGAGGTCAATGACCTTTTGAGTGAAGCGCTCCCAGCCTCGATTGGAATGCGAGTTGGCTTCATGTGCTCGAACAGTGAGGCATGTGTTGATCATGAGAACTCCACGGTCCGCCCAAGGAGTAAGGAGACCACCCTTGTTGGGTGGTACCACGAACGATGGGTAATCCTTCTTAAGGGCAATATACATGTTCTTCAAGGAGGGGGGAGCCGGAGCCGGGGGCCTCACGGAAAAGGCTAGGCCGTGGGCTTGGTTGATGTTGTGGTACGGGTCCTGACCGACAATGACGACCTTGACGTTGTGGAAGGGGGTGTGGCGGGACCTGACATGAACAAGATTAGCACAAGTATGGCTCGCAAGTGACAGCATCTAATTGTCTTACCAGGAGTAGACATCCTCCTTGGGAGGGAACCATTTTCGTCCAGCGGAGGACTCTCGTTCCAGGAACTTCTTCAGGTCCAGAAACTCCTTGGTGGTGATGTCATCCTTGAGGTGGGCCAGCCAGCTCACGTCCAGAGTCTCGATTTCCAGCTTAAGGAGGTTCTTCTGCTCGTCGGTGAGGCCGGCAACCCACTTGGCCTTGTCAAACTTGACCACTGGAGTCGCAGCAGCAGCCGGCTTCGGGGCCGCCCCGAAGAAGGATGCAATGTTGCCATTAGCCTTGGGCTTCTTTGCATCAGCTCCATTCGCAGCCGAGTTGGCCTTGCGCTTGAGGGTCGACATGGCGAGAATCTGGGGGTGGAGACGGCCAAGGGGCAGCGGGTGGATGCACGAGGAGATCTCTGAATAGGCGAGGCACTCTGGTAATTCGGGCTCGTAGCGACGGAATTGTGGATGAACAATTGAAGAGAATGCACCCGGAATTGATGTAGCAGATAAACGCTGGAAAGAGGAAGCGGAGGCTGGAGAGGGCTGGGAGAGCTGGGAGGGCGTTTTACGAAATGACTTGGGTTTTCGTCGAGGCCACAGCGACGTCGGGATTAGCTTGTAGCTGGGGTGTGAGACGCGTTCAGTGACGCGGTCGAACTGCAGCCATTAACGCGCTACCCGTGACTTTCGTGTTCACGGGCCGCGAAATGCAGGGGCAGACGTTAGCGGCTGAGGCGCTGAAAAACCCTGGGGTTATAGGCAGCCATGGCGCTATAGCCGTCCAGCTGCGGGCAAATATTAGCGACGCCGCCTCGGCAGTTGTGGGCGAAATGCATTTGTAGCTGGGGGGCGGGAGGGAACTTTGGTTTTAGTCGTTGCGTTGCCTGGTGATTCTGAGTCCCAAAGTGCCATGCTTGATTACTGCCAAGGTTTAAGCTAAGTCATCTTATCCATCCATCTAGAATAGAATTGATGACTGCATGGCTGAACAAGAGTACCTACCTAAGGAGGAGATCATTTAGGAAGGAATTCCAATGGCGCATGAGCTTATATTTCTGTAGTCATTACGGTGGGATACTCAACCCAATCTCAACATGTTGTTCCAGCTCAAGTGCGATGCTGTCTTACTGGCTGTTGGTTCATCCGCTGCATGGTCTTCAATCAAGCAGAAATAGTCCATCTCTCATAGGCCGCAACCCCAATAAATCGAAGGATATTCAGTGACGTTAGCTCAAACAGTGGATTCACTATGCCATTGAATAGCCAACAGAATATAGTAATTGAAGTGATATTGAAACGAAAGCTCCGAGTTCTACAACAATCAACCTTGGGACGTGACCGGTGCGATGAGACTTAGTCAGCGATGGCCAGACCAGAAACCGGCGCTTAGCCACTTGTGGCCGAAGCGGCGTCGGACACATTACCTCATGTACTTCGTAAGCTTCAAGTGGACAGCTAGCTTGTTACTGCAGTGCAGCTCAATCCGCACCCCGCGAAACCATCACAACGACAGCGGAATCCTTGATCTCGGAAACCGGCCATGCCCAGTGCTGTTACAGACTCTTTAGGCACATAGTCATTGCCTAAGATGCGGCAATCACTCGTCTGGGTGCTCCGTATGTTGATTCCCCCCGCTGCAAGACGCACGCGACAACGACTGACCAGATCCAGTGCTTTGGCAGGCGAGCTCCGGACTCTGTACAAACGCGAAGTACTATCAAGAAACCTACACGGAAACTCCACCGTTCCAGAGAGGTGGCCATAATAAGCATGTCGCGGCTCCAAAGACAGATGTCATGGTGGACCAGGGCCGTCACAACGGTCCTCAACCTGGTATGGCCACGCATCGGACCTCCCGGCGCGGACAACAGGCTGACTATTTCTAGGCGCGGACCTTGTCAATGCCGCCATGATCGAGCTCGGGAAGACTCCCCAATCATTGCATAAACGGAAACGACGACCATCGGGCCTTGTTGGAACGGTTATGCGCTACATTCTCAAGGCGATCCCCCACGGCCCAGCAACTGCGCCATCGCAGTCGCATGACGCCAAAATCAGTGGCCATCTCCTGGAAGCTGTTCAGCTTCTTGAGCAGGCGGCACAACAGAATAATTCAGACGCTCTCTACCTCCTCGCTCAGATGAACTTCTTCGGCAACTACAGCCACCCCAAGAACCTGCACGTCGCCTTCAACCATTACCAGCAGCTTGCCACCGTGCATGGAAACTCGACAGCGCAGTACATGCTGGGTGTCTACTACTCGACTGGACTTGGATGGGCGGTGCCCCGCGACCAGGCCAAAGCGCTCCTCTACTACACTTTTGCTGCCCTACAAGGAGACGTTCGGGCTGAAATGGCGACAGCATTCCGACACAACGGTGGAATTGGAACAACTAAGAATTGCGAAGCCGCCGTCAAATACTACAAGAGTGTGGCAGACAAGGTCATTGCGTGGTATCGAGCTGGCCCTCCAGGAGGCAGGTCTTGGGTCCATCAGGCATGGCGCATTTCGGATGACGACGGTGGCATTTATGGCGAAGGAGCGAGTGCCTCGAGCGCCGGCATGAATGCTCTCAAGGCGAACCCTGCATCTGATGCGAACGCAGCCATTGACGACGTCATTGAATACTTGGACCTCATGTCTCAAAAGGGAGACTCCAAAGCATCATACAACCTGGGAAGAATATACTACGAGGGCCAGCGTGGTCTCGATCGAAACCTCCCCCAGGCTCGGAAGTACTTCTTCCTAGTGGCATCACGATACTGGAAGAGGGATGGTCGCGTCCTAGAGAACTATAAGGCAGGGATCGAGTCTTTCGCTTCCAAGGCTGCCGGATATCTCGGTCGGATGTACCTGAGAGGCGATGGTGTCGCCCAAAATTTTGAGCGGGCGAAATTGTGGTTCGAACGTGGCATCTTTCACGGAGACGCACAGTCCCAACATGGACTCGGCTTGATGAACCTCAATGGCTACGGCCAGAAGGAGAATGTCAAGTTTGCCATGGAGCTGTTCAAGAAGTCAGCCGACCAAGACTATGCCCCGGCGCTGGTTCAGATGGGGCAGCTGTATCTGGATCAAGGTGGCCAAGAGGATGTCAGGGTCGCGAACAACTATTTCGAACTGGCGAGCCGTCATAGCAACATTGAAGCTCACTACTACATTGGCGAACTGATCCACCACGGCGTTGGCCGAGAGAAGCTCTGCGGTGCGTCACTGAGCTATTACAAGAGTGTTGCGGAGAAGGCCGAGCCCTTGGTCTCATCCTGGGGCGACGCCAACGATGCATATGAGGCCGGCGATTACGAGCTTGCTTTCCTCGAATACCTCATGGCGGCTGAGCAGGGATATGAAAAGGCCCAAACCAACGTCGCATACATGCTGGACTCTGTTCAGTCTCGGTTGCCTCTGTCGTCGTGGCTCCAGAAGCCCTTAGAACCGAACAACCTCCTGGATAACCCGTCGCTTGCCCTCATCTACTGGACACGGTCATCGAGACAATCCAACGTGGATTCGCTCGTCAAGATGGGCGACTACTACTACTATGGTGTTGGGGCCAAGCAGGATATTGCCAGGGCTGTCCAGTGCTACACTGGAGCCTCTGACTACGCTCAGAGCGCCCAGGCCCTGTTCAATCTCGGATGGATGCACGAGAACGGCATTGGGCTGGTGCAGGATTTCCACCTCGCTAAGAGATACTACGACCATGCGTTGGAAGTGAATGAGGAGGCTTACCTCCCGGTCACACTAAGTCTCCTCAAGCTTCGACTCCGGAGTGCTTGGAATACCCTGACACATGGACCAATCCATTCCATTCAGGACGAGCCGAGTAAGTAACTTTATATGACCCTCTACCGGTGTTTTACTGACAAAACCAGAACCAAAGAAGGTCCGGTCTCTCTCCGAGTGGATTGCCAACTTCCTCCAAGACAACACTCTTCATTACGAGGACGAGTTTTACAACGCCGAGGGTCTGTACGACGATACGCTTGCCAGCGGTGATGTCTTGAATGAGGATGATGGGATCGTTGAGAGCTTCCTGATCATCGGAATCACCTTGTGCCTTGTGCTTCTCCTCTGGTGGCGACAGCGTTTACAGCAGGTACACATGCAAGAAGAGGATAACCGACGACGAGAACAAGGACTCCCACCGAATCCAGCGCGTGAAAACGCAGCAGGGGAAGGGTTTGCAGAGTGGGCTGCTGGAGGAGGAGGGCTGTTGTAAAGGGCTGTTGTACGATGGTCGTGCAGAGAAATGGCGGGCGTTTTCGTTTTCATTCGCGCGGGAAGCATTAAAGCGATGGCGTCTTTGGATTTCATTCATAAATCAGGTACCAAGTAGTGAATACTGTGTCAAAGTGAGAATCACAGTGGGCGCTGGTATTGTGCAGTGCGCCCGTTGAGAGGCTGTCTCGCTATGGCCGCACGTACGTGACAATGTCGAGGCATGTGGGCGGCGCTCTGGTATGTAGATTTATTAGGCACTTGAGAATTCGTGGATTCCGACAGAACAATGGGCACGGGAGGGAGGCTCTTTGGCATTCGCGACACCGGTACGCTGGCTTTGAGACATTCCAGGCATCAGGTTGAGGCCGGCGTGGCCGCCAGGGATTGACGTGCGGATGAATTCAGGCCCCGAGGCCAGGTTACAGACGGGAGAGTAAAGGCCCGGGAGGCTCAGCATGTGTTGATCTGGGCAATTCGATACTGGGCATTGGCTGGTATAGTACGAGCCACCCCATGGCCATATCTAGCGAACCGCGGGAGTGAAGCTCTCTCCAGAGCATTTCTCTCCAGAGCCCCCGCTGAAACATGCCACCCAGCTGGGTCTGGCATTGTAGTTATCTCTCGTCTTCTTCATTGCCGCCAGGGCTGCCGTCATATTTGATCCACCTATCGACGGCCTACAGCTCGCTAGCCGCCCGGGAGGTCCACTACGCTGCATTCCTCCGGGGCCGGGGCCTGTTTCCTTTGAAACTCTAGAGGCTCAGACGCAACACGACCTGCCGCAGGAGGTCACTCGCCGCGCCACCAATGCCTCTTCTCCCTGGAATTGTCACCCTCTATTAATATTTTATCTCTGCGCTATTGAATTCCGGTTGCTTCATGCCGCGACACGATACCCTCTGGAGTTTCTGCCTTTTCTTTGTTTGCGACTCCCCTTGTTGCGCCCCGTGTCCCAAATATACTTTACTTGGCCAGTGGGCTCCCTCCCTCCTTTGAACTATTTACCCCGGCCACCTAGCTTCGCGGGACGACAACAGCCTCTCTCCATCACACACAAACAAACACCATGGCGGCCTTTGCCAAATGGACGCTACTGCGGCGCCAGGCCGACGACGAGAATAACGACGACGTGAACTGGGAATTCGTATCAGATGGACACACTATTCCATGGTGGTATAGCGATGTAAGTCGTCGCCCGAACGTGTTGCACATGCTTTGTGGTGTTGGATGCTGATTGCGACAGACGGGCATCATCGTCAAATGGACCATCTTCATCACCTTCACCGTCCTATTCATGGCCTGGGTCATTGGCGGGTACATGCACGCCAAATCAAGACTTAAGAAGGGCCTGCCACTCCTCGCATATCACAGGGTAAGCTCTTCCCACCCTCCACGCTCACCACTTGCTGGACCAAGCCGCTAACATCTGCGATAGTGCCTTGTGAGCAGACGGATTCGCGCCCAGTACGACCCGAGCTACCAGTATCCTCAACCTGCATACTACCCACCGCCGAACGGCTACCCAATGTACAACATGCCGCCGCCCGTCTATGACCCGTCTCGTCCTCCCGTCTACGAGCCACCTGCCGGGGGCACCAAGGTCGACCCGATGCAGAATAGGCAGTCTGAGTACGGACCGCCGCCAGGACCGCCGCCTGCGGCAATGTCAAGATAAACAAGGCATGTTGGGGGATATGGACCATCAAGATGGTGTACGATTGAATCGCTGGTAGACACTGTATCGATGGCTGTACGGGCAGGCGGGGCAAAAACAAGGCAACATGAGGTCTGGATGGATGCATCTATAGAATATAGATAGATGAAGAGAAATAAGTTGTATCTCTATTAAGAACATTGCTGTGCTGCATGAATAAGCCACCGTCCGGAACTCCAACTCCTGCTTGGGTATATGTAATAAAGCAACCGACGTCTTAGTCCATGTCCATTGCATCTGAGTCATCATAGCCCCCAGATGTCATGTTGGATGGCATGCTCGCGTTGTCGATTGAAGGAGCAGTCGTGGCCACATCGATACTCTTACTCTCCCTTTCCAGCCGCTGCTGTTCCCTCGTGCGGCGGCGTGACTCGATAATGGCCTTGCGGACGCTGTCCTTTCCCTCGGGCACCGTCAGTGACTTGGGGTCACTGTAGAGCACAACCTCCATGCCTTCAACCTCGGCGTCGGGCTTGGCCAGGATGGAGGGGGGGATGCGGGTTGCACGGAGATGCTTCTCAATGTCGGGGAGGAATACGAGCTTGCCGTCGTCGGACTCGCTGTCGGAGGAGAGCTCATCGTCGATGTTGTAGATGTAGACCTTGTGCTTAGAGTCGTCCAGCTGCATAGTATCATCAGGCATGACCGCAGCGCGCGGTGCAGGTGCAGAGTTGTTGTTTGATGAGGATGCGGGTGTCTCGACGGGGACGTACAGCTTGCTGCCGCCTTGCTCTAGCCGGAACGTGTCAGCTTGTGACAGACAAAGGGAATAAATAAAGACAAATACACACCAAGATTCAGCAGACTCAGACGCTTGGAGAGACGCTCGTTCGTCTGTGTACCGGCCTTTCTCTTGCGGCGCTGTAGCCTTGTCTGCTGGTCGCCGGCCTCAGGTGCGGCATCAGCTGCCACAGCGGGAAGGGCCGGCGACACGGCGGAGGGAGATTGCGCTCCGTGCAGCATCATCTGGGCCGACGAAAATCCCCCGCCACAAAAAAGAAACGCTGCCCCCTTTACATACAAGGAAAAGGCAGCAAACAGCGCGCAGGCAGGGCGAGGCTCTGCGGTATCGGCGAATTGGATTGCGAGTGATGCGGCTGACACGATTGAATCCAGATCTAGACGAGGAGTCGGAGTCGCGCTTTGCCCCGGATGTGGACAAGGAGCAGCAGCTCGGCCGGGCGCGGGCTGTTGCACTGTAGCGGCGTCGGCGGGCCTTTTGTATTCTTGACTCATTCTTGTAGAACTTTCTACACTCCGCCGCCACCACAACTCCAGCAATTCCTCCACTACCACCGCAACCACCGACCATTTCCCGCCGCTGCGATTCTGCGACCGTCTACGCACCGGGTTCTCGCCGACTTGTTCCCTCTGTATCGCCGAGCGTTTTCGAGTTCCAGTGCGACAATGGCCGAACTCGAGTGGCCCGCTGCGCGCGTGCGCAAGACCTTCCTCGAGTACTTCGAGCAGAGGGGCCACACCATAGGTATGAACATCACTTCGACAGTGCGGGCACACCACCCCGCCACTCTGGATGGCCTCGTCGATGCCTTTGCGCTCGTACACGGCGCTGCTTCTCCCTGAATCGTATTATTTTACTCCCGATAGACGCTGACATCTTATCATTGCAGTCCCCTCCTCCTCCGTCGTCCCTCACAATGACCCCACCTTGCTCTTCACCAATGCGGGCATGAACCAGTTCAAGCCCATCTTCCTCGGAACCATTGGCAAGACCGATCCCATGGCCGGTCTCAAGGCCGCCGTCGACAGCCAGAAGTGCATTCGTGCCGGTGGCAAACACAACGATCTCGACGATGTCGGCAAGGACAGCTACCACCACACCTTCTTCGAGATGCTGGGCAACTGGTCCTTCGGCGACTACTTCAAGAAGGAGGCCATTCAGATGTCATGGGAGCTCCTCACCAAGGTCTACGGCCTCGACCCCGACCGCCTCTACGTCACATACTTTGAGGGCGACGCCGCCATGGGCCTGGAGCCCGATCTCGAGGCCAAGGATCTGTGGCTGTCTGTTGGTGTTGCCGAGGACCACATCCTGCCGGGCAACATGAAGGACAACTTCTGGGAAATGGGTGACCAGGGCCCTTGCGGTCCTTGCAGTGAGATTCACTACGACAAGATTGGCGGACGCAACGCCTCCAGCCTTGTCAATATGGACGACCCCATGGTTGTCGAGGTGTGGAACAACGTTTTTATGCAATTCGATCGCCAAAAGGACAGGAGCCTCAAGTCACTGCCTGCCAAGCACATTGACACTGGTATGGGCTACGAGCGACTGGTCTCTGCCCTGCAGAATGCCATCTCCAACTACGCCACCGACTGCTTCACCCCCCTGTTCAAGCAGATCCAGGAGGTCACTGGCGCCCGCCCCTACACTGACAAATACGGCAAGGACGACGTCGACGGACTTGATACCGCCTACCGAGTCGTTGCTGACCACATCCGAACTCTGTCCTTCTCCATCGCTGACGGTGCCGTGCCCAACAGCGATGGTCGAGGCTACGTTGTCCGACGAGTCCTGCGACGAGGTGTCCGATACGCCAGGAAATACTTCAACGCCGACATCGGCGCCTTCTTTTCCAAGATCCTCCCTGCCTTGGTCGACCAAATGGGCGAGCAATTCCCCGAGTTGGTCAAGAGCCAGCAGACTATCAAGGAGATTCTTGACGAGGAGGAGGTTGCTTTCGCGCAAACTCTCGATCGCGGCGAGGCTCAGTTTGAGAAATACGCTGCCCAGGCACTCAAGAACAACGTGAAGAAGCTTGACGGTGATGTCGTGTGGCGATTGTACGATACGTTTGGCTTCCCTGTCGATTTGACTCGATTGATGGCCGAGGAGCGAAATCTTGAGATCAACGACGACGAGGTCGAGGCCGCCAAGAACAAGGCTCGCGAGGCTAGCAAGGCCGTTAAGGAGTCAGTTCAGACCTTCTCCAAGCTCAATGTTCACCAGATTGCCGAGCTGGAGCAGCAGCTCCAGGTTCCCCGAACCAACGACGATGCCAAGTTTGGCAAGGGTGACACCAAGGGCAAGGTGCAGCTAATTTACGACGGCAAGGGCTTCCACAAGTCGACCAAGGACATCCCCGAGAAGACTGCCCTCGGAATCCTCCTGGACAACACCAACTTCTACGCCGAGTCCGGTGGTCAAGTGGCTGACACTGGACGGCTCGTCATTGACGATGTCGTCGATTTCAAGGTTATGGATGTCCAGAACTTCGGTGGCTACATCCTTCACAGCGGATACATCGAGTATGGTGTGGTGTCTTCTGGTGACGAGGTCATCTGCGAGTACGACGAGCTTCGCCGATCGCCCATTCGCAACAACCACTCCGGCACCCACGTCCTGAACCACTCCCTGCGAGAAGTCCTCGGCGACGATGTTAACCAGAAGGGCTCTCTCGTGGACAACGAGAAGCTCCGATTCGATTTCTCGCACAAGACGGGTGTCAAGATTGACGAACTGAAGAAGATCGAGGACATGTCCAACAAGTACATCCAAGACAACGCCAAGATCTTTGCCAAGGAGGTCGACCTAGACCTTGCGCGCCAGATCGATGGTTGCCGTGCTGTCTTCGGAGAGACCTACCCCAACCCTGTCCGCGTTGTCTCTATCGGCAAGGACATCGACACGATGCTCGCCGACCCCAAGAACGCTGAGTGGCGCAAATACAGTGTCGAGTTCTGCGGCGGTACTCATGTTGAGAGCACTGGCCTCATCAAGGATCTCATCATTGTGGAGGAGAGCGGTATCGCCAAGGGTATTCGTCGCATCATCGCCTACACCGGCGAGGCGGCGCACCGCGTTCAGCGCGAAGCCAGCGAGTTCTCTACGAAGCTTGATGCTCTAGAGAAGCTGTCTTTCGGTCCCGAGAAGGAGGCCCAGCTCAAGGCCGTTTCCGTGGATCTCAGCCAGCTTGTCATCTCCACACTCACCAAGGAGGAGTTCAACAAGCGCTTCCAGAAGATCTCGGCTTCGGTCGTCGCTGAGCAGAAGAAGCGCCAGAAGGCTGAGTCCAAGACTGCTCTCGACGCCGTCCTCAAGCACTTTGAGACCAACGAGGATTCTAAGTGGTTCGTTGGTCGTCTGCCCATTGGTGCCAACCCCAAGGCTCTGGCCGAGGTTGTCAAGCACTTCCAGAGCAAGAACAAGGACAAGACCGTCTACATGTTTGGCGGTAGCAAGGAGGAGGGCGCTGTGGTGCACGGTGTCTACGTCGGAACTGTAAGTCCCCATTCATCTCGCCCACTAAACACAGGCAATCCTAACTTATTCTCCAGCACCTCTCCTCTCAGGGTGTCACCGCCGAGCACTGGGCTGCCTCCGTGTCCGAGGTCATCGGCGGTCGCTCAGGCGGCAAGGAGCCCTCGCGACAGGGCCAGGGCACCAAGCCCGAGAACATCGATGACGGTGTCGAGACTGCGACAAAGTGGCTCAGCGAGAAGCTGAAGCTATAGAATGGATATTGTGAGCAAACTTTTGGGACGTGTTGTTACTCTCTGCTCGGTTTTTGGGATTGGGAATGAGTTCATGTAGCTCGGGCAATAGGCTGGGAGCCCGGTGAGACAAATAAATGGGAAAATTATAGACGTTATGTGAAATGGTGTCATGATGGTTTTGAACGGCCATGAACGCGGCCGTGTTCGCTGGAGGTTCCATAGCGGGGTATATTCTTTTCCGGCATCTACTCTACAACTGTTGCTTTTCTCGTTTGTATTGTTACACTGTTACTAGAACACTGGCGTTGCGGTAGTGCGATATCAAAGGGTTCTCGCCGCTCCGCGTCTCAGTATCCTCCACGTAAGCCCACTTGCGCATGAAGTCGCCGTGGGACATGACCCGCGTCAACTTGCCCGTGATGGCGCGGTACATGGCTTCCGTGATGTGGAAGTCGGTGGGAAAGAGGATATCAAAGTAGCCCTGGTGTACCTAATGTGGGGTGTTAGTTTAACATTGGTTGAGAGGTTTGTCGACCGAATTGCTTACCAGGGGAGTCGTCACCGGCACCATACGCCGTTGGTACCGGGTCTGGACGACAGGGGCGTTGAGGCCCTTGACGGCTTGAGGGAGCCAGTCGAAGTCGGAGGTGACGAGACGGTGGGCTGGGAAGTACTTCTCGAGGACATCGAAGAATTGCATGAGGCGGGTGGGGATGAACTCCGGGTCCGAAAGATTGGCCGCAAAGGGCATCTTGGTGGAGAGATATCGCAAGGCGGCATTGGTGGGATATGGCCTGGGATAGTTGCCCCCGGTGGCAGCGTGGCGGACGCGGAAGTAGCGGGCAGCGATGGGGTCGAGCTCGTGGACATAGAACTCGTAGAAATCGCCGTCGCCGTCAATGAGGACGTGGCCCTGGAGCGGCTCCTCGGTAGTGACGTCGTACCGAATGCCGTCGTGGGAGAAGTTGTCAAAGACCTCCATGGCGAGGAAGAAGCAGGGCGATGGCACAACCTGGCCCCAGTCGAAGACGGAGCGGTTGATGATCTCGACCTTGTCGGCGTGGCCCCGGGAGGCGGCCGAGGAGAGCAGATGGCGGTTCTGCAGGGCGGCGAGCGACGAGGATATCTCAATGATGTTGTACTTGGTACGAGCATAGACTTGAGGGTCCACTTCGCGGATGTAGTCGAGGATGTTAAGCATGAGGGTACCGCGGCCGGCGCCCATCTCGTAGATGAGCAGGTCGTGGTACGGGTACGTGGTCAGGCGGTAGTTGGAGACGAGGTAGCGCGCGATGGCCTCGCCGTAGTACGGGCGGAAGAGCTCCGTGGGCGTGTGCCACAGCTGGCGCGTCGGGTTCTCGCCTTCGCGGTCGTCGAGCTGGTCCTCGAATTCGGTGTACCGCCGGCCCAGTATGCCCTGGAACTCGATCTCGTCTCGCATCGTGGGGAAGTCGAAGGGTTCGCCGGGGCTGAAGATGACGGCCTGCTTGGAGAAGTAGCCGTAGTAGGGGTTGTATAGACTGTCTGTGTAGGGATCTTAGGTTAGCCGTGAGAATTGGACCAGAACTAGAGAGGCTTGCCGTCAATGAAGTCCCGGAGCAACATCTTCACCTTGCGAGGCCGCTCGGTGCGCTGCTTGAGCTCCTGCATAGTGATGTACGGGTACTCTGCAAATTCCTCGGAACGGTCCTGGGGGAGAATGTTGGTCCGCTGCTGCCAGCGACTCTCGTTTGTCTTCATGCCACGATCGCGCGAGGGACGGGCGACGTAGGACCGGCTCTGGTGGGCGCTGCAGCTCCGGTGAGCCACAGCGACGGCGGGGCCCTTGCGCAAGCCATTGCGCAGGTGCGGGAACTGGCCCTGGCAGCCGCGCGGGCGGTGGCGGAACAGCTGGCGGAAGAGCTGGGCCACAATGGGGGAATCCATGCTATGCTGGCGAGGCGGCTATCAGCACCGGCGGCATCATGGGAGCACTTTTTGGTGTTGAGCGATGGAAGCCGGAGCAAGAGTGGGCAAATGCCAATGGCCCGAGCTCGTTCCGGGTGTACCTCGGGTGGGCGTTTAGTAACGCAGGGGACTTTTAATCTCTGGAATCCCAGGCGCGAATCATACGAGACATTTCCTATTTAGGCGGCTCTATGCTCTGTAAGTTACTTAGTACCCGTCGCTAGTTGACTTGTGCTCGTCAAGATGCAACAAGGTTGGAGGGAACACGTCACATCGTAAATGCCATCGGCCAGAAATAGAGACGGGGTAAGAATATGACTAACAAATATACGTATTTGAATTCATAGTTCATCACAATTCCCGAATATCAGTTCCGAACAATGGCTTGGATAAGCATCACCAAGTGCATACAGTATTCAGTCGGCGTGCGGGGTGTTGAAGTCAAATACAACTGAATAAGACTTTTATGATGCACCTGAAAATTATTTCTCTCTCTTTTCAGTTCTAGACCATGAAGATTCTCAGGAAATGACGACGACATCCGAGAAGCTTTACGCGGGCATATATGCGAACCAAGAACCCTCATGGCAGGTGGTCGACGCGGATAGTTTAGTCTTCCTAGAAACCACTGTTATCATGGTTTGGGAGGTATCTGCAGAGGTTAACTCTTGCCCAAGGTTTCCTTCTATGTCATCAAATCGATTCGATTGTATGTGGCATCGTCGAGTACAAAAGGCCACACATCCATGACCAGCTCAAGACCATATCCTCCTTCCACTTTCTCTACCAGCATAAACCATTCTGTCCCCATATTCCATTCAGGGCATCCAGCCTCAAATCCTCCTCTTCGTCTCATATCATACCAACTTAAGCCAAAACCATGGCCGACCCGTCTACGGCAGTGGATTCGACTCGGATCGTGACCTACGACGATGGCTACGTCGGATCGCCTCCTCTCTACATGGAGAATCCCAGACCAGTTTTGGAGGAAATCAAGCGCGATCTGATGCGGAAGCAGAAAACGCCCGGCGAGAGAGGCGGCCCTATACAGATGTGGAGGGACTACCGAAGAGGCCGCCAGATGCGAAAGGGAGACGAGATATGGCGACCAAGCGGCGACAAGGACGGATATTGCTGGCGATCCGAAACCGGCTTCATGGACAATACCAGCAGATACCCCAACTGGCGCGCCAAGTGGGTGGTAGAGGTCAAGGACGCCAGCCGCGTTCCGACCTGCGAGATCTGGGGGCCAAATGGACGGAGGGAACCCAACTTTGATGTCTGGCATTGGATTTCGGACTGGCCTGAGGATATCCACATGGAGCATTGGAAGGAGCTGCATCGGAGGAAGCTTGTGCGTAATCCGTATTGGTGATGGATGGTGGAATCATTTTAGCTCTTGAACATGGCAGAATCATTAATTGATTCGTCGAGAAATAAAATCATTCATGACCAAATGAATCTCATGATGCTGGGACTGTGAAGTATATCTTCTGTTAGTGCTTGGCCCCCACCATTTAAAGATGACGACATGCTCCGTGCACGGCCGCTTCTCGAACACTTCCACAGGTTCGCCAAAGACTTCATGACTTGCCCCACCAATTGCCAATATATCGTCGCAAATAATGGGATGCCATTAATTCAACCCACACTTCTAACTCGCCCAGTAGATTGGCTTGGACCCCCGAAAAGGGAATAATCCAATGGCCCTGAGCGATCACCCCAGGGCCTACGGCACTGCCGCCCTCGCTTTCGCCTTCACGGCCGGCGTCCTGCTGACCCTCGGGTTCAAGGACTCGTATCCCGACCTCGAGCGTCGCTACCAGCGCAAGCGCCGCTCACGAAAGACGCTTTCGGCCCCTGGAGATGAGTCTCGCCGCGGCAGCTTCTTCTGGAGCAGCCCCGTCAAGCTCGAGGACCACGAAGCCCCCTCGGCGCACGACGACGCTCGCAGCAGCCCGGCGGAGGGCATCGAGGCCTGCATCGGCAACACGCCGCTCATCAAGATCCAGTCGCTCTCCGAGGCCACGGGCCGCACAATCCTGGCCAAAGCTGAGTTTCTTAACGGCGCGGGCAACAGCCCCAAGGACCGTGTCGCCCTCAACATGATCCGCGAGGCCGAGGCGAAGGGCCTGCTCGTGCCCCGGCGAGGCGACACCATCTATGAGGGCACCGTGGGCAGCACCGGCATCTCGCTCGCCACCCTCGCCCGCGCAAAGGGCTACCGCGCGCATATCTGCATGCCCGACGACATGGCCATGGAGAAGTCGGACCTGCTGCTGCAACTCGGCGCCACCGTCGAGCGAGTCACCGTTGCGCCCATCACCAGCCCCGACCACTTTGTGAACCTCGCCCGTCGCTACGCCGCCGAGCACGCCGCGAAGCACCAGGACGGCAGCCAGGGCTTCTTCGCCAACCAGTTCGAGTCGGACGCCAACTGGCAGGCGCACTTGAAATCGACCGGCCCTGAGATCTGGAAGCAGACGAACGGCGACTTGGACGCCTTCGTTGCCGGCGCGGGAACTGGCGGCACCATGTCCGGCGTCGCAAAGTATCTCAAGGAAGAACAGAAGCTCTCAACTGTCAAGATTGTGCTCGCAGACCCTCAGGGCAGTGGCCTGTACAACAAGGTCCGTCACGGCGTCATGTACTCGTCGACAGAGCGCGAGGGCACACGGCGTCGCCAGCAGGTCGACACCATGGTAGAGGGTATCGGCATCACACGCCTCACACAGAACTTCGAGGCCGGGCGGGAACTCATCGACGACGCCGTCAAGGTGACAGATGAGCAGGCCTGCCGAATGGCTCGCTGGCTCGTCGAGCACGACGGCATCTTCATCGGCAGCAGCAGTTCCGTCAACTGCGTCGCCGCCGTCGCTACCGCCATGACCTTGCCGCCGGGGAGTCACGTCGTCACTATTCTATGCGATTCAGGCTCACGCCACCTCAGCAAATTCTGGAAGCACATCAAAGAGATGGAGCGCAAGGGCGACGACGAGGCGTCCGACTTATTTTCTGAGCTAGGGATACCCAAGACGGCATGAGCAATCATGAAATGAAAAAAGAAAAGAAGAAGAAAATTAATACAACAAGAACTGAGTGCGGAACCAAGTGATACGTCTCCAATAGGGCGCCTTGTCGACGTCTATTTCCCATCAAGCTACTGCAATCACTCAGGAGCCCCAAATATGTTTCTTTTGGGCAAGACGCTTGGAAAAATTCCGTCATGACAATAAGAGAAAGGTATCGCGCGCCCGTAGTCTTCGTTCTTAGGACAAGTCAAGTCGCCACTCCGTTTCCTGTGAACTCCAGAATCCCCCTAGAATATCGCACCACAGTCCCATGCAAACCCTGCTGTGCGAAATGAAACGCCGCCGCCGTCAAACCCCCTCAAGAGAACTGTTGTAACATGTCAGCTCTGATTTCGTCATAAAGGGATAATATAAGATGCATGCAACATACCTTCCATCGGTGTCCGCAATTCATGCACTCGCAGAACGTAGTCATCGGTTCATCAGCGGCTCGCGTCTGTGCCTGCGTGTAGCTGACCATCTTCTTCCTGCAACGGCCGCACTCCAAGCTTTCACTGATACTCTTCTGTTCTTGGGGAACCTGGGCCTTCAGCATGTTCTCCTTTTCCAGCTGGATCTCCTTCTTGCGCTGGTCCTCGCTCTTCAGGTCCTCGTCCGTCATGTTGACGAACCTCTCTGCCGACACTTCTCCAGACATGACACGGCGGCCCAGCTCCTTGTTGGACTTGTTCTTGAGGTTGGAAAACAGCGATCGGATCTTCTTCTTATACTCGGCGCCCTCCCCCTTGAAATAAGAGTAGGCGGCGTGCTCGACGGCAACGGCCTTGGCGATGACATCGGACTCGGGGGTGGTTGATCGGTATGCAAGGCCGTTGTAGATGAGGCCGATGCATTGGTTTCGAACGTTGGAGTCGGTGCGTTTGATATCAACGCCGTCGCTATCGAACTTGCGCTTCTCGGGATCGCCCTTGAAGGTCCTCTTGGCGCCGCCGCCGCCGGATGATGAGGGAGGAGCAGGGGAGGATGTGGGAGCTGGTGCTGGAGAACCCTTCTTTCCCTTGTTGAGTTTCGAGTTCTTTTGTTGCTCGACAAGCTTCTTCCACTTGATGACGAGCTCGGAGGCGGCACGGGCGATGTCCTTGTTGGGATTTGACCTAAGCTTTCCGACGTAGACACCGGCACGAGTAGCCTGTTCAATGAAAACAAATGTCAGTAGAGGTTTGGGCAAAATTGCGGTGCAGGTGCGGCAAAAGCGCAAAGGTTTGTTCGGGTTGCGCCTTGAAGCTCCCCACGATGATGCACATCATCGCAGACAAGTCTCCAGATGCGCCCACGCGAGCGACGGAGGCACACGGCGTCGCAGCACATAGCTCTGCTACTCCCGGCGCAGCCTATCCAAGCGCAAGACATCTGTGACGTAGGGCCATCACGTACCCTCAGCATCTCCTCAGTAGGGGAGGCATCCTTCTTGAGCGTTTCGAGCAGCTTGATGGCGTTCTCGGGTGGCTCATTCGCAGCCACGCACTTGGTCAAAGCCTTGACGCGTGCCTCGAGCTCGCGTTGATCCATGGGGGGCGATCGGAGAGCAGCGACGGGGAAACAGCCGAGGGACGTCAAGAAATCGGAAATCACAGCAGGGAAGATAAGGAAAGAAAACGAGAAATCTATTTGCTTGTCCAGGCGCACCACTTCTTTGGGGGGGTGTTTGCGAAGCAGCCGAGTGACCATGAGCAAAGCGGCACGTGAGCATGTTTTACCGGTGTTTAGCCCCCGACTTCTCCAGACTGCCCAGGTACAAGCGGCGGGGTGTGCGGTCCGTGGCTTCAACGTCCCCCCTCCGAAATCCGAGATATTTCCATATTAATTGGGTTGAGCAAGGAAAAATGTGTTTTAAAAACAATCCACAAATCAATGCTCTCAGTTTGTGGATTGGAGTCTCATCTTGTGGCAGCCTGGAGTTTGGTGAGTGGTAGGGCTAAATACTAGCCTCATGGAAGCTGTAGGATCGCCATCACTCAGCATTCAACGCCTCTCTCTGTCGCTCATGCCAACCAAGTATTAGAATTTGCAAAAAAGGGCAAAAAGGAAGGACCGAGCGTGGTTTGAACACGCGGCCTGAAGATCTGCAATCTCCCGCTGAATGACTGTTAGAATGGGATGTTTTCGTTCAAGACATGGCAGTGAAACTCACCTCTACCACTGAGCTATCGATCCCGGAGCTGAAAGATCGGGCTTTAAGACACCTGTTAACTTGGCGGAAACTGGGAGGGGAATGCAAAAAGAAAGGGCAAAAAAAGAGGACCGAGCGTGGTTCGAACACGCGGCCTGAAGATCTGCAATCTCCCGCTGGATGAATGTTAGCATTGATGATTTTATTGAATGACTTGGCAGCCAAACTAACCTCTACCACTGAGCTATCGATCCCAGTTACTTATGATGGCGTTTCTGAACAGAACTTATAAAGGGAATCCACGTCTCCATGAACACTCTCTTACCTCCAACTTGTGTGCATTGTTAGCGACCAGCTTGCCCTCAACTTTTCTACATTAATTTTCGGCATCAAACGATAGTATCTAATCATATCCAATCGCCAGCGCCATTTCGCTTGTTTGGTATCTTTGGCTTAAACCCGCATCGCCATATTTCGACTAAGCCGGCCTGGCAAAACTCGACCATCTCAGACCCATTTGCAACAACTCGATGTCCAGCATTCAGAATGTCCCCTCCAAGTAGATGTGTCGATACCGCACCCACATGTTATATACACTATCCTTTCTTCAGTGTTTTAATCCATACAATCAAACAACGGCAGACGAAACCCCATATCCTCTATGCGTAGACCAATCGAAGCTTTCACGCAATTGGAACAGTCTGATGAAGCGGCCCGGATTTAAAGCGAGCGATGTTCTCAAGAATTCACACTAGCACTTTCCAACATATTGAAGGACAAAGAAAGAGCAGTGTTTTATATGTCATAGTCGGATAGATGAGTAGTATTGCCACCATTACCAGGGTCCTCCAGAATTGAGTTCTCACTCTCTGGATCAATTATCCTAGTACAATTCAGGGTGATTTGAGTGAGGCTAGGGTCCTCCCTTATCTTCTCTCCACTTGGCGAGAGAAAGAAAGATGGGATGTAGTTTGATCCAGGAGAGCCAAGCGCGTTTTTTTCCTCAATTGTCCAATGGCTAGTTCATTATGACCCCTTGGCCCTCTTCCCTTTACCCCGAGACCTTCTAGTCGGAATATTATCCGTTTGATCAACCTCCTCCTCTACATATCCATCCCCATCATTGTCCACAGTGTCTGTCCTCGCTACCCGTTTTCGCTTCCCCGTTCCACTATCTGCGTTGCTCGTACTCGGCCCTTCTTCTGCAACATTCGCCCTCAGTCTGTCTACAGCTGCCGCCATTCGCTTACTTCCTTGCGCCTTCTGTCGCGGCGCAGATGCATCTTTCGCGCCAGCACCCACACTGCCCCCAAAGAACCTCGTAATATTGCTTTGTGTTCCCTCCCGGTCCCGCGTGTTCATATCCTTGATAACAGGCACCAAGACCTCATCCGTCCGCTCCTTACTCCATCCAATTGTCGCCATCAGGAACTGTCGCAAGCCTTCGACGTCCGGGACACCCCATTGGAACTGCTCAGCGCTAGCATCGACCTCGGGGTTGAGGTACGCATCGTAGACGGCTGGGCTAGGGAAACCAGGCGGGAGGAAGAGTTTGGTGGCTTGGGACTTGCGGAACTTCCTTCGGAAGGTTGACGAGGCGTCGGCTGCCTTAGGCCGACTTTGAGATTGAACTGCCTGCCACCATTCGCGGAAATCATCGAGCCCAGACTTACCGGGAAACTCGGAGAGAATCTCAACTGCAGTAACGGGACCAACACCAGGCAGGCCTTCCGTGTAATCAGATCCGAGAAGCTGGGCGAGTGAGATGAGCTGCTCGCGGGAGAGAGATAATTCTTTCTCCAGATCGACGCCCAGGTAACACTCAACAAATTTGTTGCTGTTGAACATATTCTTGTAGACCCGAGTTCCGCCAAAGAGAAATGTATCCGAGTCATCTGTCACAATGCCATCAACAAGTCCCAGATGGACCAGCTCAGCGCACTGTGCTTCGGCTTCCATAGGGGCAGTAATATAGGGGATGCCAAACAGCCGAAGGAGAGCCTGGCATTCCGTGATCATGACTTGTGTAACCTCATCGGCATCTCGGCGGTCCTTCTTTTGCTGATTTCGAAGAGCCTTCAGCTCTTTCTCATAATCCTCCCTATTCTGTGCCGCAGACTTGTTGTTCAGCTCACTGGCGAATCGAGCATGTTCCTCGGCTTCCTCAGCCATTTGTGCCATGAGCTCCTCATCTCCCGGGTCACTGAACTCATCATACTCAACATCATCAAACTCGTCGTCTTCAATGCCAATATCGTTTTCTCCGTGTGTAATGACTGGAGATTCCAGTCTGGAACCATCGTCGAAGGATGGCAATGAACTATTTCGTGCTTCTTCCACTGGGGCTTCGGCAGTGATAACATCCTCAAACTCTGGTTCGGGAGAGGGGGAGACTTGTTTTTCTGTTCGTGGCAACTGGGTCTCGTCGCTGGAAACAGCAGGAGGCAACACCTCTTCGAATTCTGGATCTGCTGACCCAAATTCCCCGGGCTCTTGTTCAGCCGCCTCCGGCAATGAAGGTTGGGGGCCGTCCAGCACCAGTAACCCACTTGCAGTGGCTTCAACCTCGTCGTTGTCGATGACAACGGGGGTATCGTCGGCTGCTTTCTCTGGAGACGGTGGGATCTCGATGACTTCGATATCACTTCCATCGTCTGATGAGGAATCAATCTCAATCAGTCGATCTTGCATCTCCCGTCGTCGAAGTCTTTCGTCTTCCTCCGCTGCAAGTTTATCTGCAGCGTTGATTTCTCGGTCTGCCTCTTGCTGCTTCTTCAATGACTCGCGAATGTCACCTCCATCGACCAACCAAGGTGGCAGAGGCTTTGGGCCATCATCATGCTGAGACTCCTTTTCAAAGCCGCCAGCCATTTCATCGTTCACGTTTTGGGGTTCCTGAGCCCCACCTTCCTTCGCGACTTCAGTTCCCTTCTGAGGTGTCTTCTTCGCAAAAAGGGAAGATCCCCAGTCCAGTTTGGGGAAAGGCAATGGACCATCAAAAGGGTTTTTCTTGTTCTCCATGACCGCTGCTGGTTGGGCCCTTTTTATCCGCCTGGACTTGGCCATAACCGCCTGCATGTCATCTTCACTATCGCTGTCGGCAGTAACTTCTCGCCCTTGACGCTTTGGCACGGCCGCATTTGCTCGGTTGTTGACAATGTGTGCGATCATGGAGCCAGTAGCGTTGATGGGCTTTGGCCCTTCAACAGATTTTTGTTTCCACTTGGGTTCCTCCATCAAGACATCCTCGAATTCTTCTTCGGCCTCTATCTCTCGGCCGACACCATGCTGGTTTTGTAATGACAGGGCGATGGCGAGGTTAAGTTCGTCCTCTTCCTCTGGATGAACGGTTTGTTCGTGCTGAGCCTCAAACAAGCTATTCACGTCTCCTAGATTGTCACCAACGAACAATGAGCCTTCTTCATCTGCAGCAGATTCGTTCCGATGGCCAGCGTAGAGATTCTGACTCCGTACCGCGAGATCTTGGGTGCCAACCGCAGAAGCCGGTGCAGGCTTTGGCAGTCGGTTCAATCCCTCGATGGGAACGTCTTCAAAGTCTTCGTCATCCTCTCCATCCTGCTCCTCCTTGGATTGGTATTGGATTTGGATTGCATCAACATCGATAGGCTTGTGCGCTTCGCCAACATCTTTCTCCTTGCTCACCACACCCAGAGCCCATCCTCCTTCAACGCCGTCATTCTTGACCAGAATGTACTCTCGGTTCTTTTCACCAGCCACTCGTGCATTAACACCGAGAGTCAAATCAGTACCGGTCATGCCAACCTCATACATGAGGCGCTGGGTCAGGTGGTTTCTCTCCTTGACTCTCTCGATTTGGAACCTTGAGAAGGCCATTCGATCGGGAAACATGTCATCCAGCTGTTCCTTGCTGAGGCCCATTCTCAGTCGGCTCCGCAGTCTCGCGGCGTTTAGGATATTGTATCGGTCTGGAGGGGGTAGGCTCTTGAAGAATTCGCCATCAAAGTCGATCTTGCTGAAATCGTACAGGTTGATATCCTCGCCATCGTGGAACTGTCTGGCGTATTCCTCCAGCTCTTCCACGCTCATGATTCGGGGATCATCCGGCTTTCCCATGGCCGCGATGCCACCACCATCCAACTCGGGTAGATGGTAGGCATCTTGCTTGTGGAATTTCCTGTTCTGGAGTCTTTCCTTCTCTGTCATTCTCACTTCATCGACATAGACAAGCTTGCTGACGTCCGGAATCTCCTCCTCTTGTTCCGCTTCTCTTGCAGAGATGTCGAGATCCTTCTCCCTTCGCCTCTTATCTTGTTCCTCCTCTGCAATGCGCAGCATCTGCACCGCAAGCAGCTTGCCTGCTGTCCTCGCAGCATCTTCTCGGCGACCCTCGCGTCTGCGCTTTCGGCCTAGGATCGTCTGTCGCTTGAGAACCGGGGCGCCGCCATCGAAGACGAAGACTGGCTGGATGCCAAACCAGAGGAGCTTGCAGATGCGGCGGAAGAAGCCTACAACGTGGGAGTTGCGCAAGGCGTTTCCTTCCTTGTCACGCACGGCCTTGAGGAATTGGTAGATCCAGATGGAGGCATCGACAGCTAGGCGTTTGCGGTTGAGTGTCGCGAGGTTCGTCGGTCGCGCGCATGGCTGTATGACGGTCCAAAGGCCGTTCACACCCATGGTGATCGAGCAGGATGACGTTCGAGTTCAGATGCGGGTCGAGGCGCGAAGCCTGGAGACTCAGGGAATTGGCCCTTGTTTCATACGGACCATGACCATCGCATGACTGAATGTGGTCAAGAAAAACTTATCAGGCGACGACAGACGAGACAAAGAAGGAAAAGCTGCGTGTAGGGGAAAAAGCAGAGTCGTAAGCTGCCATCCAGAATTCACGGCCCAAGAGTCACGGCTGTTCGCGCCAGCGCCCGTCATAACGTCAGCGTGGGCCTCTGCCGCTAATCCGTTGGCCCACAGCGCTACTCCCCAGAACACCTCAGAATCCTCCCCACTATGTTTGCGAACTCTCTCCTCTCTACGCCCTTTCTCGCTAGCCCTCGAAGCCTTAGCATCTTTCGCAATGGATAAGGATGAGGCTCGAGAATACCTTGCGAGCATCCTGAATAAGAACCTCCGCGTTCTGACGACGGATGGCCGCCTGTTCTGGGGAGCATTCAAATGCACCGATCCTGTATGTCTTGTCTGCCCACTCCAACCTCAATGACCACAGTGGCTAGGTTGACGGACTTGCGCTGACGGAACTACTGAAGGACAAGAACATTGTCCTTGCCAACACATACGAATACAGGCAACCCTCGTCCAAGCAGCGCGCCGAGGCCGCAGTGAAGGCTGGTGATGAGGCGGTTACCCTAGACATGACCTCTCGCTTTCTTGGTCTGGTCGTTGTCCCTGGACACCACATTGTCAAGATGGAGGTGGAACAGTTTGCTAGCCAAATGAGGAACCAAAATTTCATCTGAGCGAACCCATATGGCATTAGAAAATAAAAATACAACAAGAAAGCTACCAAGGAAAGGATCCAAACAGCCTTTTAGAAACCGTCCGTCCCTAAAACATCCCCAACGCCTCACACGGCCGAGGCAGGATTTCCCTTATCAAAAATATATCCTGGCATTATCATCCCCTCACCTTCTTCAAGGCCCATCATCTCCTGCGTTAAACAAGTCCCTTCTGTCACAGTGGCCAGCCATACTACGCGACAGCGACTTCCTGGGTGCGTCCGCGGGACTCGCCGTTCAAGCCACCATCACTGCCGAGGACCGAGTCGCGAACATCATCCTCATCGTCCTCGTCGCTCTCAAGCTCAGCATCCCGGCCAACCCAAGAGCTGCTATCGTTGAGAGGCACGTCCTGGCCAGACAGATCATGGCCCTCGCTTCGAGCGCGAATGTAGTTTCGACGTCGTTGAGATAGGGTGCGTGCACGGGTTGAGAGCTTGGACGAGACCACGGCGTTGGAGCTGACCCAGTTGGTGAGAGCATCCTCACAATCCTGGATAATTGCCTTGCTAGCCTCATATCCGTCGTATGCTTGGCGAGTCTCGCCCGGAGTAACCGGAGTATCGTCAATGAGCTCGAGAAGGTGCTTGCCGTAGCCAGCGATGATGGCGACCTTTTCGCAATGCTCGCGTAGGGCATCGAACTGGTAGGTGTATGCGGCCTTGACTTTCTCACGCGTGATGTTGGAAAGCTGAGCCTCGGCAACAAGCGACTCGGCCTCGGCGCGAACAAGCTCCTGCTCAAGAACGACGATCTTGGGAGAGTTGGGCTCCTTGTACTTCAATTGTGCGATCTGGTCGGTTATCTTCTGCTTGCCTGGTATTGAGGTTAGCGTCGCGACATGGAGAGATTTGAGTTGGATAAGCCTTACGGTCTCGGCTGGGTTGGACTGAGGCCTCGATGTTTCTAATACTCTTCATAGTGATTCGGTATTGGTCATACCGGTCGACGTACTGGTCCTCGAGCTCGCCGATCTCGTAGAGGAGTACACCAAGCTTGTCGGTGACGTCAGAGACATCCTCGTCACCAGTTTCACCCCAAATGGATAATTGTTGCTGTTGAACAAGTCAATCGCAGGCTCACGTTAAGCACAAGCTAGGTAACATACGGCGACCTCCATGCGCTCTCGGGCGACAGTCTCTAGGCTTCGCATGACGTTCTTTTCCATTTTGACTAGCTGAGAAAGCTTTTTGGCCAGGTCAGGCCCAAAGGCACCGCCGGCTTTGCCGCGAAGAGCATGTCCTGAATTTCACTGCGCATTAGCTTCGAGCGACGAAGCAGCCATGGTGGATCGATTTATCGGGGGCCATGGTCGTTGGATGCTGGGAGCGATTGCTTACCGAAGCTGCCTTTGAAGAGACGACCGGACTTGGTAGACGAAGGAGGGGGCGGGGGGTTCTGGCAGTGACGTTAGTCCCGGTGCTTCCATGCCACAAGAGTGGTCACGGGCGAGAAGACATACCTGAAGCTGAGAGGCAGTGGGCGCCCGGGTCTGGCGCATAGAATACGTGCGATGCATGATGGTGGTGATGATGCGACGAGTCGACGATTGCGACACAGTGAAGCGGTGGAGCAGAAAAGGGACCGAGGCGGATGAGCAGGGAATGGGGAGTGGGGATAAATGTGGTTTGATGGGGAGCTGCAGGAGGAAGAACAAGGGGTGGATGATAGAGAAAGGTAGATCTAGACGGGGCCGATGGGGATCGTTTTATGGGAGACCGAGAGGGTTGGAGGTGATGTTGCGGAGAATAAGATCGTCACATTTGGAGGCAGCATGTTGTCGGCGACGTCATCTGGGGCCCACTTGGTCAGAAGTGGGTGGTGTGCTCATCAAGGCGCCGGTACAGCCGGCCTTCTTTAGTCCAAGTCTCAATACCTCTTCCGACTAGTACTGTAGTGGCGAGCAGAAGTACAGATACAAGCGCTATGGCATGTCTCAGGTCCATGGCGTTGGGCATTCTCCCGCGATTTCGTGGCGGAGGGATTCTCCTTGCTTGGGAATTTGGGCACGTCTCACTTCAGTTGGCTGGCCATCCCGGATGCGGCTCGCAGCCCACGAAGCTTCGGGCTGTTGCAGCACTAGCCTGCAACTAAGAGGAACAATGACGGAATCGAACTATGCTATCGGGGTTTTTGGATGACGGGTTTCAGGGTTGTCCGTTCCTTGTCGGCCCCAGCAGCTCCCGAGCCCGTGGAACATGATTGACGATCGTGGGTCTTTCGTTTTGGCGGGTTGTTTTGGTGTTGATGCCAGCCAGTGGACAGGGTCCTCTCTGATTGATTGATTCTTAATATGCCCAATGAGCCCATCGGTCCCGTGAGGCTGAGTCTAGCTGCGTTCCTCCGTCGTCGTATTTCCTTCCCTCAGTAATATGCACTCGTTGTTTGATGTCCTTTTTTCTTTGATGGATTTGTATAACTTGGGGCTTGGTTAGTGCTTGTAATGGCTCTTATACTTAGAAAACCGACGCTATGCAAAAGATGCAAATATTTCCGTTGTTACACTCGTCCGTCGTTCATCCCCTTAACATTCTGCTTGGTTGCCATGTGCAATCTGTCACCACGGCGCTTCCGACGAACAAAAGCGGGCTCCGCTAATGAGAGGTATTGTGCCAGTACTGTTCGAGAATCGCATCCTGCAAATCGGAAAGTTCCATTCGGAGCCGCAAGGGTGAAATATCTGAATAGGTTCCAAACGCCTAACATGGTTTATTATCAATTTTATTATTGAATGCATGAACTCTTTATCACCGTACCTTCCGTATCTTGAATGCTGTGGTACTGAGTGGGAACATGGCAGGTGCCCTGTCTAAAGTGGAAAAGCGCGCGCAGTGTAATCGAGCCTAAACTCAGTTGGTAACGCGCGCCCCCCCCTGCCGCCCTGTGCAGACTCCTCAACGCGTGTTCCTCACTCACGCTCTCACTCACTCGTTCACTCAATTCACCAGAAGCCTGAGTGCGACACGCGAACGACGGTTACATGCATCGCATTTTCGCGCACCGTCTTCCTGTCGCATAGAGCCTGTTCGGGTAGTGCCCAGCGGATTTGATAACACTCGCGTCCCTTCTTCCCCAAGGCTGCGCTTTCTTTCTTTCGCGGAAAGATCTTGCCTTGTCGCAACCGCGTTTTCAGCCTCCAGACAGGCCTTTCCCTCGCATCCTCCCACCATCGCCTGTTCGTGAAGCAGGCCTACCGTCTCCCCCGCGCCCGCCTTGACGCTGGCCTCAAGCACGCCCTTTGCAGAATGGTGGAAGCGGTTACGGGAGAAGGAGAGGGGCAATCCTGAAAACCTTGTTGATACGCCATCGACATCAGCCATGGTTGTGGACATTGACTTGACCCAAGGGTCGTCGAGCGACTCTGAGGGCTTTTCGACTCAGAACTCCTCTCGCCAGCAAGAGTCCCCGACTGCCGCATCTGGTCTCTTCCAGAATCGATTTGATTTCCCTCGCACATCCGCCACCCACGCCCATCGCATTACCCCCCGGGATCCCATCAGCCCTCCTCCCATCAAAAGACCTATCGGTAACAGCATCAGCCAAGCTCAGACCCCCGTTACCTTACCAGTGCATGCCCCAAACCCGGCATCCAGAGCGCCATCATATTCGGCCACAGTGGTTTCGACCGCTGACAATGCCCGCGACATGGCCAGGCTGTCCGGTGTCGGGGTTATTACCGGCTCTCAGCAAGTAACGCCGCCATTGGAGCTCCATACTGCCAAGGTCGTCCAGCCTACCAAAGTCGTCCAGCCTCCCCAGGATGCAACTCCCAAGGTGGTCCAAACTCCCAGAAAGTCTGACTGGAATGTCCATCGTATCGTCGACTCGTTGAATACTTTTCGGCAAGATATCAAAGACGGCCACGCTCAGTTGGCGGCCTACATCATAGACTCGACCGAAGCCACTGAGCGTCGTGTCCATACAGGAAAGGACCTCTTCGCCAGCTTCAGCAACAAGCCTGTGGTGGAAAAACTGGAGGAAAGCATGAGAGTGAAGTTCAAGGTACATTGCCCTCACCTCTCCCTGTAATATATTTACTGACTCCGGATAAGCAACACAGACAACACAGCAAAGGGAAGAAGGATGGTCGCGAGGAACGACACGGTGTTGTGTGCATCCAGACTGACGAAGAGCGTGTTCCTCGGTATCGATTCCACCACGTGGAAATCAAAAAGAACATGTTGACACCGAACACCATGCTGACTTTTGTCCCTCACTTGAGAGATCTGGAGAGCTCGGAAGAGTCAAAATATAATATTTGGCTGCAAGAATTGGAAGACATCGATCGGAAATCTGGCTTCAAGCCAATGAGCCGAGAAGACAAGGTCTCTCTTACTGTCCGATCAGAATATGCCGCGACAGTGTCCCTCTATCTTGAGGGTTGGCTCGAGAGACTGTCACTTCCTGGCTGCAACAAGTCGACTTTGATCCGATACATGGCCAGCCGAGAGCCCGACGATGCTATTACCCCGCGCCAAAAGACGGATATCTTGAATTCACATCGCGAAGCCGACACGGCGACCCCCTCCGATGCGAACAAGGCGGCCGAGATGTTTACCGAAGCTTTTCACCTGGTGTTCCACAAGGACCAACCCCACTTGAAGCAGATTGAGTTACGCGATGTGCTCTTGCTTGACGAGTCCGTTGATAGCATCATGGATTCGAAACCAACGGCGAAGGACAACCCAAGTTCTCAGAATGAGAATGAAGATGAACTGGCAGAGTACAACCTGGGAACCTATTGCATTCTGGGTTGCCTCGTCTGCTACAGCCACTCCTGTGAACATGGCGAGTATGATGCTCAGAATTGCAAGCGGACATTTTCCATCATTTCACGACTCTCAGACACGTTGAAGCGGAGAAGACGCGTCCTAACCGATGGCGAAGTCCTTGCCAATGGTCATGCCAACGCTTCGGAACCCTGCCATCGCCATTGCTATCAGGAGTTCAATTCTCCGCCCATGGATATTAGGCGACTTCCATGGTCAGAGGATGAACATATAGTCTTACGATCTATACTTGTTACAGCAGATCGCAGCAAGGTGAAGCGGGACCCGATGTGCCTGGTCGCGGATTTCCTCGATCGCGACTGCTATGATGTTTTCCGCGAGTACGAGAGGCTGCAAATCTCAGTACCCCAGCCTCAACCGACCAGCAAGCAGCTGATTAGAACTGTTTCGTGGTATGACCGGTTTAAGAAGGCGCTCATTGGCGACTGGCAAGACCATACTGTGAGCCATGAGCATCAGCGACGGGAGCTATTCGAGCCGTGCTCCCATGACGGACCATGCACTCTTGAAAGCTGCACGTGTGTCCAACAGGGCGTACTCTGCGAGAAATTCTGCGGTTGTTCGGTGGAGACATGCGCATACAAGTTCACGGGCTGTGCGTGTCATTCGCAGGGAAAGACGTGCTTCTCGAAGCAAAAAGATCGGCCTTGCATCTGCGTGCAGTTGAATCGTGAGTGTGACCCAGAGCTCTGCGGTACGTGTGGTGCCTTCGAACGTGCCGACCCAGAGAATACCGAAGACGAAACCCTGCATTCGACCGGTTGCCAGAACTGTGCCTTACAACGCGGGGCACCCAAGGCCCTGCTTCTGGGTCAGAGCCAGCTTGAGGGCGTTGGATATGGCCTCTACACGGCCCAGGATATTGCCCAGGATGACTTCATCATTGAGTATGTTGGAGAACTCATTAGCCACGATGAAGGTGTTCGAAGAGAAGCTAGACGAGGAGACGTCTTTGACGAGGAGTCCAACATCTCGTACGTGTTTACTCTCCTGGAGAACGAGGGTATTTGGGTCGATGCAGCGATATACGGCAACTTGAGTCGATACATTAACCACGCTTCAGAGAGCGACAAGCGCGGATGCAACATTACGCCTCGAATCCTCTACGTCAATGGCGAATACCGGATCAAATTCACGGCGATGCGTGATATCGAAGCTGGCGAAGAATTGTTTTTCAATTATGGCGAGAACTTCCCCAACCTGACGAAGAAGCTCCTTGACCATAAGGCGGGAGGAAAATCGGAGCAGGTCAAGAAGAGAGGGCGTCGGCCACGCACTGACAATGCCGAGGGAGTTGCCAGAAAAGCGCCCAAGGCAGACAAGAAGAAGCCTGGGAAGAGCAAGGCGATCCCAGCGGCGGCCCCTCGAGCTCCCGGAGGTGAGGATACACCGATGCCTAACGTGCAACCGTTGGATGCATCGAAACTGGGCCGTAAACGCAAGCGAGGAATTCGAGACGACTCTGAAGAAGAGGAATATCACCCAACCGGTACCGACGCAACTGCCTCTTATGATGAGTCTCAGTCGCCGGAAACGATCGATTCAGACGAGCCATTGACAAAACCACCTACGAGACTTCGCAAACGACCACGCCAGCCATCATCGAAGGGCGAAGCATCCGAGCAGGTGGGAAATGTTCGAGGCGAGCCTAAGACTCGGGGCAAACGGGGCGGAGCTAGACCCGGCAGCGGCAGGCCTAGAAAGTATCCGCGCCTGGGCCCGAAGTCCGCTTCTACTACAGTCCATGCCGCTCCTCCAGCCCCCGCTCATGAACAGCCAAAAACTGAGCCCCCTGCACAAGCACAAGCTCAAGCTCAAGCCCAAGTTCCAAGTCTCGAGACGAGACCCCTGGTAGCGGAAACTCCCCAGCCACTACAGCCATCTAGAGGGAGCGTAGAAGAAATCGACGACAGCGAAGATGCGGCAGATGAAACTATGCAGCGCTCTATAGGAGATCAGTATGATGAAGAGGAGGAGGAGGATGTCATGGTTCGACAGCGTCTGGATCGAGGGATGAGGAACCGACGACCACCGGCGAAGTTTAGGGAGGAGGATCAGCTTGTAGTTGCGAGTCAATGAGGGCCTGTAATGGATTGTAAGATAGATAATTGAGAGTTGGCTTTTGGGCCTTGTGCAGTAAGGATGGCGAAACTGGTGGTGGACATTGGGCAAGGTATTGCATTGGCAGGTAGGTAGTTGGGAGGTTTGAGCAGCTTCAACATGTGTGTATACTTGTTTTTGCATTTGTCACTAGTCAGAATCAGCGATTCAATACAAGATGAGTGGCAAGATAACTTGGGATTGGAGAGAGTGACTATTTGCACACATGTACTTGTCTTCATCCCAAAGTCAGTGAGGCAACTAATGTAGTGTAATCACATGCTTGCTCGCGACAAGCTGATGGTAAAGAGATGTTCATAACTATTGCACAAATCCAGATTCACGAACCACAAAAGATGTGCACTCTGTGATTGGCAGAACCGGCAAGCCCGGTACGTACAGGGCGTCAGCCCCACTCGGCAAGTGCCCGCCAGGTCACAGCCACAGTGGGCGATGACGTTGTCGATTCGATTCGACAAGACGGAAGCAGCTTTCTGCCACGAAACGCACGACAGCTCGGCCAGGCAACTGACCACCTTTTCTCCTCTTCCAACACGTTGCCGTCTCTGCCGACTTGACGGATACAAAACCAGGAGCTTCCCACAAACTGCTTCTCGTCCGCATCCAACTCAACCTCTCGATTACGTCTTTTCTAGGCCTACCACCACCGCATTTCTTGCTATTTCGAAGCTGAGGCCTCCCCACAACTGTCAACATGACGCTCTACTACACCCTCGTGCGTCGTCTCCTCGTTGGCCGAAGCCCCGAAGCTCCAGGCACTGACTATGCGACAATAGGTGTTTATTCTGCTCGTCTTCGAGATGCAGCTGTTCATGCTCCTGATCGTGCCGCTGCCCTTCAACGCCAAGCGCAAGATCTTCACGTGCGTGCCGCCCCTCCCCCGCTAAACCGACGTCAGAGCTGATTTGGTGGGAATAGCTTCATCTCCGAGAATCCAATTGTCGCCAAGATACAGTATTGGATGAAGATTACATTCATCTTCATTCTCATTCTCTTCATTGACAGCGTAAACCGTGTTTACCGCGTCCAGCTTGAGCTCGCGGCTGCCACCGAACAGGCCAAGAAGGGAGGGTACGTCATATCCTCCAAGCCCACCCCAGTCCCTCGGCAATCCCACAAAACCGCCAATGTTGCATCCGCTAACATTCGTCTTCTTCTGCAGTCCCGGTGTCATGGGCCACGAGCGTCTCGAAGTCCAGGCTCGCAAGTTCTACTCCCAGCGCAACATGTACCTCTGTGGCTTCACCCTCTTCCTCTCCCTCATCCTGAACCGCACCTACGTCATGATCATCGATGTCTTGCGCCTTGAGGATAAGATTCGCGATTACGAGAGCACCAACAAGGACGCTAAGGATAGCGAGCAGGTCGCTGCCCTTAAGAAGGAGCTCGAGCTCAAGGACTTGGACCTTCAGACTCTCAAGAAGCAGAGCCAGCAGCTCCACAAGAGCTATGACGAGCTTAGTGACAAGTACTCTGCCACCCAAGAGGATGGTGAGGGTAAGAAGGCCAAATGAGCGGGTAGATAGGCTGCTAGATTGCTACAGACTGTAGGCAGATACCTAGGCAGGCTATTAAACAAGCGGCCCTTACGGCATAAGGTGATAATCTAGCAATTGATTGCAGCAGGCCTGGCCCTGTGTAAATATCAAATTGTCCCTGCATCTATATCCTTACATCACCAACGCCCGCGTAGGTAGTTGTATATGTGCTCAGAACTTCCGGGTCGCAAGAGTATCCGTAAACCACACGCCAAGAAGGCCAGGACAACTTTGTCTGCTTCACGGCCCACTCCACTCCTTACACTCAGGCATACTGTATCCCTGACAGTACTGGAATAACTATACTGTATCGACTAACTGAGTATTGGGTGAACCGGCTCTATCTCTTTTACTTTTAGTATTAGAACTTGGCGAATAGCGATTAGTTTATATTTATATTGCTTAGTCTATGAATAATATTAGTTTAGGCTTTAATAAACATAATCTATAAAATAAAAACTTTAGGTAAATTACAGGGACTTTATATATTATATATTATAATAATAACTTGATTAGTATTGTTGAAATCACTGCTCAGACTACTGTTTCAAATTCTGTATCACGTGCTTGCACGAGTGTTGACGAGGGACTTGGTCTATTGATCTTGAACCTAAGTACAGTCTTTTGCCTCTTCTATGTCAGTCCGCTGACTCCGGGAAAGACCACCAAGCACATAACCTCCTCCGCAACATCCATCCAAATCCTAGCAGCTTCGCAGCCGCCGTCGGAGGCGACTGGGTTCCCTTGGGCTCTTGTGGTCATCAATTCTTTGGCTGCGAGTTGACCAACACTACATCACTCATCAGCTGTATGGTCCATGCTGTGTTAGTTGGACTAGAAACCTTAGTCTGTCTGAGTGTACTGTTGATCTTTAAATGGACTGGGTATATGGTCTGTATTGTTGATACTATTGTTGGTGTTTTTTTTTACTGTTGAGCTTCTAGTCCCCGCTCTGGGTATATGTATACTAGGGCACCCTAACCTCTTGATATTGTTGAGATTTCTTAGTGAAATTTACCTGCGTACTTAAGTGTGTGTGTATCATTTCGACTGTATGCGAATAGCAATACTCCTATTTATAGAGGTCATAGGTGCCTCAAAAGGAAGGGGAAACAAAACCAAGTACTGCACCATACATCTAGGCCGGTCACGTCAAGACTTAAATGGGTACAATTAAAAACACACATGTCCTATGCCAGACATATTCGTAGATCGCATTGATCTGCTGTTGCTGAACCGCGCCATTCCTTGGCCTTGGTGTCTCACTGGTCTCTTTTTTCCTTGCATTCCCAATCACCACTGTCCATCCGCACCTGGCATGACCTTATCTCCCGTCTTTCTCACTCCGGCTTCCCATCATGACCGACCGTTCCAGTTAACGCTCCGGTCAACGTTTTATTTCACATCGACCTTTCAATCACCGAACCCCAATTCCAATCATTCTAGTCTCATTCTGGACATTAGAGCGATTGGTGCAGGCGCTCTCTTGATGGAATAATATGAGAGAAGTGGTGAGGAAGGAAAAGAATAAAAGGGTTCGAAGGCGGAGGCAGGCAGGGATTATATACCCTACCGACAGCGAGTCAAGCCCGGGACCAAGCTAGCTGGGGTTCCGGACATAAATTCACGACTGGCGGCAATCATCTTAACGGAGAGAGGAGGTAGGAAAGGACTCAAGGCAATCCCGCCTGGGCTTAGATTCTAATAAAGAGAGACCACATTTTGCTGACCTCTCAAAAGGGTCGAGACCCGAGACACTTTGAACTCGGGTTACGAGCCTAACTTTTCTGCTCCTAGCAACTCACTCCACTTCCATTCTATCTCGTCATGGGTCATCCCACGTCCCAGGTCTGCCAACTCGCCACGGATGTCCATTTCGATGCTATGGTCGCTGTCATGGCCGATGCTCTGGTCGCTGTCATGGTCGATGCTGTAGTCGCTGTCACGGTCGCTATCATAGCCGTTATTTCCTTCTTCTCCCTGCGACGAAAGATCCTCCTCTGGTATGAAGTCAACAGATCCGAAGGACTGAGCGTCTGAACCGTTGATGTAGGAATCAATGTCGCTGTCGTGAACGCTTTCATTGCGATCCCCCGAAAGGATCTCCGAGGTAGCATCTTCATCCTCAGCTTCCTCATCGCCGTCATCTTCGTCATCTTCCTTAGCTTCCTTAGCTTTCTTGATGCCCTTATCGCCCTTGTTGCCCTCATCACCCTCAGCTTCTGTATCTTCTTCATCCTCATCAGTTACCCCAAGTATAGACACAGGCCTCCGTTTTCGCTATACAGCTATTAGCAGTCTGTAGGTTATTTAAGAGGCCATAACATACGCGATTTTTTAGTAGTGGAGAGCCTCGATAGAATCGTTCTTCAGCAGTAGCATCCCATTCGTCATTTTCAGCTTGAACTTTTCGAAGTGCAGCAGCTTTCATCTCTTCCTAGGATCTGAATCCAAACTTCTTGAGTAGCTTTGGCCTCCACTGGGGCCTCCATAGATGTAACTGATCTGCTTTGGCCTTAAATGCGAGTCGGGATGCTTCACGCCGACGGGCCAACTCGTCTACTTGGTCTGCTTGGTCCGCCTGGTCCGCATGGTCCACATGGTCCGCTTCGTCCGTTTTATGCTCATGGCTCGTTTCATGCTGATGGTTGGACTGGTCCATTTTATGCTGATGGTAGTAGTTGTATGCTGGTAGTAGTGGAGTAGTGATAGAAGAAGAAGAAGAAGAAGAAGAAGAATTAACTGGTAGCTGGGATTTCGAGATATTTATTGGTGGTGGTAGAAGAAGAAACTGCACTGTCAGCAGACGTACAGCCTTAGGATAGAGCTTGTAATGTGATTACCAGAATAACTTTCTCCAGAGCTTCCGCTAAATTTATATGGTAAGGTAGGTAGGTGATCTTCTTTGTACCTCGAGCTTAATCTTCTCCACTTTATTTATTGCCTTAGTTAGGTCCCCGCCACCTCGCCACTCCTTTCTTTCTCTTCTCACCTTTCCTTCACCACCCACATCACCACTCCTTTCTCTTCTCACCTTTCCTTCACCACCCACACCACTCCAACTTCCGGAGTCCTACCTCTCACACAAGTACTTCCTTCCGCCACATTGCCTGCTGGTACTTCTCCCACATTGTCTGCATCACCACGACCATCGGATTCTGCACTGTTTCCAGCTTTGGTGATGTCATCCCTTGCAAACGACGACTTCTGTCACGTTGGTCTATATCGCCCACGACCGGACTCGTCTTCTGGCATTCAACAGTGCCAATACTCAGACAGACTAAGGTTTCTAGTCCAACTGGTTACCTTTCTTAATACCTTCTCAATAATATATCTATAAGTAATTAAATGTGCTGGGTGTAGCACTTATTGTTTATCCCTACTGTTTGAGATTACTGTATGGCTTTGATCTATCTGATAATATTGAGTAAAGCTATAAAAAAAACAAATAACTAATTAAATCTAAGAAATTAAATAAACCCAGTTCTAAGTATTTATCCTCTAACTTCTACTATTTAAATTTTGTCTTTTTATTTATTTTAGAGTAGAGACTGAAAGTTTCTTAAATTAAAATACTTAGAGTGGGCGTTTAGGTAAGATATATTACCTCGCACTAAACTTAGATATAAAGACTTATATTTGTATGCGATTAGCATTTTGAACGTATGCGAATAGCAATACTTATTAATATTCCACCTGGTTGACACAATCCTTCAATACAATTTGATGCAGCCCAATAATTAGTAATATCCCAAGTCGTACTTTTCTGGAAACAAGATGCCATTCGCTGCTTCTAACACCTCCTGCTCAGCGTCATCGCTTGCTTCATCCTCATCCCATGGCAACAGGCCCATGGCGCGCAACCCTTCGACTCCACCAGCCTCACCAACTTCCTGGATACCCGAGTTCCCTGTCCGAGCGCTCTCACCAAAGACGCCGCCAAAATCCGGGCTCGGGTGGCCCAGAAGAAAGGCCTTGCGCTGGCGGGCGAGATAGAGGGCGTTGGTCTGCGTCAGCGGACACGCCGGCAGGTACATGATGGTTGTCCCGGGGAGGTCGGGGCGGCGGAGGCGGTCGAGGGCGTAGACGGCGTCGCAGTGCCAGACGAGGTAGTCGCCGGGCTCAAGGCGAGGGATGTGGACCATGCTGCGTGAGAGCTGCAGATGTGGGTGGAAGGCGACGTTGAGCTCCTGGGGATACGAGGGCAAGGCACCCTGGATGACTGATGAGATGGGATTCTCGAGTTTCCAGTTTTCGGGGGAGAGAAAGTCTGGATGCAGAGGCGAGGCGTTGACGGGACAGAAGAACGGACGGAGAAGCAAGTAGGCCGTGGACAATCGGATCATGGGACAGAGAAGGAGTGTGCCCTCGCCGACTGGGAGATCGCTGAAAGAGAGCCAGCCCTGGAACATGCGGAACAGGGCACATACACCATCGCCGTTGTACAGATCGCTCGTCACCTTGAGCCGCGTACTGCTATCCCACGGGTCGTAGTCCTCCCAGTCACCGTCCCAGATGCGTTGATACGTCGCTCCCACGCCGTACCCGTCCGATTCCCAGCGTTCGACACTCCCGCCGTCGACGTAGACGCTCAGCGAGCATGTTTCGTCGTCTGGGCTCCTGATACGCAGTCGGTCGGCATAGCTGACGGGGAAGTTGGGAGTGACGAGGGCGGCGGGATCAGACGAGTGCCACTGGTTCATGAGAAAGCGCTGGGCGGCGAGGACGTTGTCATGGGCGCGGGCTTTGATCTGTGAGGGCGACCAATAGACTCCGTAGAGATGCGGATCGTGAGTAGGTAGACGGCGGGCGCGGGGATCCTCGTCGAGGTATGAGTCTGTCGCCGACTTCCACTGCATTGCTGTATCTCGGGGGATGACGCCTCGGATGACAGCGACGCCTCGTTCCTTCATTTTCAACGAGAAGTCCTCCGCCATGGCTGCATCTGAGAGGTCCGCAAAGGCAATGGAGGGAAATATGCTGGGGCCGGCACTTGCGATGACCTCAATCTCGGCATGCAACTTGACGAGCAATCGTCTCCATGACGCGGTAATCTGCGTTTCCTTGCCAGCAATCAGGCCCTCCTTCACTTTGGCGAACCGCTTAGGCAGAGGCAGAGGCTCTGTAGTTTCGGCGAACATGCTACTCGTTGGGCCATGGCTGTGATCTGACGGCGACATGGTAAATGCAGGTATGGAACGAAGTGGATATCAGGGTCGGCTCAACGCCAAGACGGTTTCTCTTAGAAAGTAAGTATGCACGAGAATTGCAGAAAGATGAGTCGGCGGGGAGCTGTGAAATTGCTTCTCATGATGCCGAGAGCGGGGACGGCGGAGTTAAGAATGCGTGGTAGGTGCCGTTTGTGACACGCCCTCTCAACCCTAGTATCTCATGCGATGCATGGACAGCTTGAGTTTACATTTGTTATCGTGACGTCTTTCTCCCAGCCCAACCATAGACAATCATCTCGCGGTAATTCTTCGGTCGCGGTGCCTATTCTTCGGATGTTTGTCGCTATCGCGGGCCGCGGGGCCGGGGTCGGTACACGGCGAGCTTCCCGTTCCAATGGGAGAATTTTTCGACAATTTTTCGAGACTTGATGCAATTGATATTGCTCCCATTGGCCGTATGTGTATCGTACAAGAAGATCAGATGCCCCAAGATTCCACCATGTCCAGGTCCGGGGCCCATGTTCCCATGATATGGTTGGCTCTAAGCGCAGCTAAGCTTTCGTTCTTTTTGACCGTCTCAGGGTCGTGGTCGGAGTAATATCCTCCGTATGACTCGGCTCATCATCGGTTTTCCGCTTATTTGATGACGTCTTTGTGCTCTTCTTCACCTCTTTTGCCGGTGCTACCTTTTTCTTTGGCTTCGGCCGCTGTGATTGCTTCGGCTGTTGTGGTTGCTTCGGCTGCGGTGACTGTTCTGGCTGCTTCATGATTACATAGGCGACCTTCTCAACATCCGTCGCAGACACGCCAAGTCTCTTGGATAAGTCTTGCGCACTATCGCGCAAGGCACGGTACTCTTTTGCGTTGTACTTGATGGGGCTCTTTTTTCCATCGCAACACAGCCAGTAGAATGCCTCGTCCGAGAAGAAAATGACCTGATCTGGGTCATGGACGGTTAATAGCAGAGATGCGGTTGCGGGGCCGATGCCCCGGAGCTTCGTCAGGATGTCGAGAGCCGCTTGGGCATTGGAATCTTTCCGGTAGCCATCTAGCGCCTGTTGGATAATGTCCTTGGCGACGGCTGGGTCATTGGATGTAACGAGCTTCATCAATGTTGGTCGGAACTTTCCATGTCGCCTAATAGCGTGTTAGATTATCCACGAGCTGGCTTGTTATATGGAAAAGTGTATGTGATCTCCTCAGGAACCTGCTGACAAGGGATCGTGGAGACGGAGTAAGACCCGGCGGTGGTTTGCATCCAAGAGGGGTAGACTGACAATTTCCACTCAACAAGTACCTTGACGTCGTCGAGGTCCATTGAGCGCTGTGACTTGGCGATGGAAAACATACTCAATGCCTCATCATATCGATAGCCGTCCAGCTCCTGTAGCGTCTTCTGGTCATCCTTGGCTATGATTTCTCCATTAGCGACCTTGTGGAGAGAACAACTTATGTATGACTTACCGCCTTTAGACTCGGAGATGGTTTTGATGATATCGGGATACTGGTCAAGAAGGCTTTCAAACTCGGTCTTGGTGATCTTGTCCGCCGCGGCAATGCTCAACAGTGCAGCCATATCGCCCCGGTTGATCAAGGCGTAGCCCGGTATCGTTAGAGTGCAGATAGAGGTGGCCAAGTCCGTGTTTAAATTGTTTCTTGCAGTGTGGTATTTTCAAACCACGCAGAGAAAGGGTAGGGAGCCGTTCACAGGGTGTCGCTGCATGCAAAGGGTGACGGTCCTCGTTGACGTTCCGGCTTGAGAAAACCGTGCAAGGGCGTGACAGGGAAAACGGTGGCAGAGGAAATCCTCGAAATGAGTAGAGAATCGATTCTTTAGATATGTGGCCGGTACTGAAATTGATGAGGCTGTACTATGATGGATGGATTGTGAAGGATTATGTTGAAGGGTGAAGAAGTTGGTGGTTGTCTGCGACGCGACATTGCGAATGACGCGGCACGCGATCGGTCGGCATTTCGTCCACCACTAATGGACGGTGACGTCCACACAGCAGCAGCTTCCGCATGGAATCACGTCGGGCGAAGAAATACCACGAATTCAACAAATATCCAAATAATTTCTCCGAAATGGACAAAATGTAAAAATTCCAGATGTCCATGGAGTAATGCTGGCTCTGCACAAGAGCGGTCCTCACGAATGGTGCAGAGGCTTGGCGTACAACCATTATTCTGGCGCTGTCCCTCTTCGTCCTACATCCCTTAAGATGACTTAAATGATTTACTCTTTTTTTGCCGTCATATCAAAACTGTCATTCTTAAATTGATTGCTAACAATATGACTCTTTGGCTGGCTGATCCATTCCAATGAGCACCGACCGCGAAGACTATCATTCAGCGTGACAAATTACTCTGGTCCTTGTGGGCAGACCAGGAAGCCCAACCATACTATGAATCATCACTCCAGTGACAGCTTCCTCCCATTGATAGTCTGTGGCACGGAGAAGGGACACAAACCTCTTCAGTAATAGGTCCGGTACCATGACTTCGGTGCCAGGATGCCACATCTTATGCCTATCGCTTTCGATTCATGGCTTTTTTAATGCTGGTTGCACATTGCTGCCACACCTGTCAAGTCAATATTGGACATATAAGCTTCAATAATAATTCGCAATCACCCGTCCGCAAGTTAGCTTGGGATCACTTGCCAGTAGTTGAGATGCTCAAATCTCAGGTGTCCGTAGTTTCTGGAGCGTAGAGATCTTCGGCGGAGTCGTTCCAGCACATGAAAAAATCACACCTCGAGGTCGCCAACAAACAACGTCATGGTCCAGTTCTATTTATAGGGGTTGCATTAGCGCTATTGTACGAATTGTGGTGAATTAATACAGATGGAAATTTAGAGAGAGCTGAATGTTAATCGTATTGCCTTACTAATGTCCACAGATCTACAGACATGCATCGCTTGAGGGCGCGATGGTCTTGAAGTCTGCGTAGAGAAAAACCTCTCTACCGAAACAGCATGAGGGAGCGGCAGAAACAAATTTTGCGTGCTTGTCAATGTTGCGAGATGGTCCCGAGGAGAGTGCGCGAAGCATACGGAGCAATTCCACCAGGCCCAGAATTGATGGATTGCTGAGAAAATTGAATGGCTATTTCTGATAACCACGAATATATGATCCTTGGACATAAACGGATCGAGGATACTTTACTGGGAGTTGTATTCTCGACACTCACCTCGAAGTTTTCACCGATGAAGAATCCGAAGGAAATGGTACTTACCAAAAACTTCCAAATCTCAAACTTGTGCACAGTAAAAGTACTGTACTCAATCAACAGCGAGTCTCAGGGATACCTAATACCGAGCACCATGACCATATCATAATCATTCACCACCCAACTACAAATACTCGTAAGTATTAGGTTCTTTTGGAAATGGGGGAGGAAGTCCGGGCTGATTTGAGGAGTTTGCGTTCTACTTACACCATGACCGCAACTTGATTGATGGTCAGGTACTTATCTGGTCTTGTATTGGAGAGGGAAGAAACATGAGCAAGAGAAATATATTTGAAACTGGGTAAGATGAAGCCGTATGTTGCCATTCATTAAATGAAATATGGAATATCCGGCAGGTGCTTCATCCGATGGGCTGTACCACTCGGCACTAGATGTTCGGGTGTGAACAATGTCAACCACACTCAGATTTGGATACGAAGTAACGCTAGTAAATAATGATGACGATGACGTGATGAAAGAAACAGAAGATCCAACCTTACTACACCATGGACTATATGAAACACCCATCATACTACTATACCATATCGGCTCGATAAATTGGCCCTGCTCTTATGGACTAAAGCTAAGCTACTTTATACAAGGCTTGGATTTCCTTAATTATTAGGTATAAAAAGGCCTAAAGGCAATAAGGATTCAAGGCTAATTTACTGAGCCGATACGGTATTCGCTCTCGTTCGATTCTGAAAAGAGACGCTAACTCTGAGGCACCGGCGCACTGTGTGGCTCTTAAAGACCCTCTTCAGACCCTGGCCCCACTGATACGCTCCAGCGAATGGCAGCACGTCGGTTTTCCCGTTTTCTTTGGCCCAACCACCAATTGCCCAAGATCAACCTTCAGCATCCAGAAATCTGACCAAAAAAACACAGCCTCAAACAACTCATTCTCCTCATCATCCTCCTAAACAGCAACCATGGGTAACGTACGAGACCCTACGATCCTCCCGGGTTTCTGGTGTGCTAACTGACATGATCTAGGGCGCCAAGGCTCAGCAGAAGCGTGATCGCAACCAGAAGGAGGGCAAGGTTGCCAAGTCGCAGCTCAAGGTGGTGAGTTCTTCGTCCTTCGGCCGCTCTTCGTCTGTGTCTCGCATGCTAACGGCCCCGAATAGAACAAGCAGGCCTGCGACATCCAGTGCCAGATCTGCAAGTCGACCTTCCTCAAGACCACCAAAGCCCCCGCGTTCGTGCCCCTCCAATCCACTCCTCCGACATTTTTGTCCTGATCTCCGAACTAACACTGGATCCTCTCGCAGTCTGACCGAGCACGCCGCCAACAAGCACAGCAAGACCCTAGAGGAGTGCTTCCCGACTTTCGAGCAGTAGATCGTTCTACCGGCAAGGCTTCAGAAGAAAAAAGCAATATGGCGTAGTGGAGAGTGGGAGCATTCAGCGAGGCGTCTTTGTGGAGCGCATGGTGGTTGGTGTGAGGTTGACGTTGACGGGCTCATGATGGATGATATACACGGTCCTTTTCGCTCTCTGATTTTGATTTACGGGAGTTCTTTTAGATCTGTCTCTATGTCCTAAACCTCTACACCACGATAGACATGTCTTTTGATTAGTGAGCCTCCACCGCCGCCGTGGTGGGCACCTTGACCGGTGCTCCCACTGGCGCACTCGCCTTCTTCTTCGCCTCGGTCTGTTCCACACGAATTGCCGCAAGGATGTCTGGGTACCACCGCTCGCCAACGTCCGGATGGCTCTTGACGCGGTTGCGCAGCGTCGCCTCGCCCAGTGTCTTGGCCACGCCGCCTCCGCGGAACGTAAACTCGACGTCGTCGACGCGGCCGCCGTTGGCCTCGATCACGCGCTGTCGCTGCTCCCGCACGCTCTCGGGCACCTTGCCCACGCCCACCGTCTCCAGATCCTCAAAGTCGGCGTCCCCCTTGACGCCCTGGAAGAAGGGGATGGAGAAGCGCGCGCCGGTGCCGGACAGCGGCGACAGGACGCGGTGCGTTGTAGACACACACACGCCCTGCGTCAGCGCCTCGAGGCCCTGGCCGATGGCTACGACAAGGGTTCCGGGAATGGGCGGGCAGTCAATCCATTCGCCCTTGATGTTCTGTACTTGCAAGCCGCGATGTTGCGTAGCCTGTAGGAGATAGCTGCTCAGCATGGAGTCTTTGTGCGGACCGACACCCTGACCCTGCTTCTCTCCCTCCTTTCCAAGTTGCTGGAGGTCTGGGTACCGGACAATCTTGAGCTTGTGCTGCTGGTCCTCGTCAAAGTACTTGTTGAAGGCGTCTTTGGGCAGCTCAATGGCCTCGGCGATGAGAGATGTGAAGTAGATGGAGATCTTGCCCATCCGATCCATGTACTCCGTGTAGGTGTCGCGGAACCCAGGCAGAGACTCCTCCGCCGGCCATTGATTGGGCGCCAACAGGTGGTGATGCAGTGGCGATCCTGGCCTGGGAATGGGGTGCTCCGTCGACAGGTCAATCTGCTCACGGTGATCAACCTCACCGGCCGTGATCTCGGCCGAAAGGCGCGAGTAGCCCAGGAACGACTGGGCATTCTTCATTTCAATCTTGAGCCTATTCGACGGGTTAGTAAAGCAATCTTCTGACAGCCGGCTCAACTACCGCAGCGGGGGAGGAACCATACTTGTCTTCTTCCGGTATGTCGAAGAAGCCAATGCCCAGCGTGATGACTCGCTGAAACAGCTCATCTGAGATGCCCACATTCTTCAGATAGAGAAACCCAACTTCCATCAATGCGTGGCGGAGCTCTTTGAGAAACTGGGGCTTCGTCGCCGGGTCTCCGGCCGCAGCCAGGTCCAAAATCGGGACGGACGTAAACGACATGGAGAGAAGCAAAATGGTACTACTGATGGAGGCAGAGCACAGGGAAAAGGACAATGACGAAGCGCACGATGATAAAATAATCTCTCTTGTTGATTTGTAACCTGGTATCGTCTCTTTTTGCGTAAAATATGCAGGTAAGGCCATGAAATAGTCCATCACCAGCCGCAATGGCGCAATTTGGTTCCACCCACGTCCACGCGCCCTCCTCTTGATCTGAACACCCCGCATCGGCCAACAACCGATATATGCCGGGTGGCGTTGGCGATAGCCTCCACGGCGGAATCCCACGTCGGCTGAATTCGGTAATGATCTTACATTTTGTGTTTCTGGGTCTGCACTTCCAACCAGTCAGAGTCTGTTGTATACGGTATCAACCACCCGGCAGTTCATCCAAACGGATGTTTGCTATTAAGTCTATCGTCTAGATTGCTCACGACGAAGCCGACAGGGGTTTCGTCGCGAGAAGGCCGGTAACCTTGTAAAACATGTCCTCAATAGGAGGCGCTGCAAAAGCGGGAGCAGCGTCAAAGATGTCAGCAAGGTGCTGTTGATGCACCACCCTCGGATGCACGTCGTCATCCTCCATCTCGACGTCCTCTTCATCTGCCACCTCATCTGCGTCCTCTTCCACGTCACTCGCCATATCCTCGTCCTCTTCAATGAGGCCGGAACCCGCATCGGTGTCAAGAGCATCGGTATCCTCAAGACGAAGATCCTCAAGAGGTTGGACGGTCGCAAGCGAGGAGGCATCAGATCCCTCTGCAACAACCCAAATCTGAGCTGCATCGTCCAGAGCAATAAAACCGCTCGTGTCGGGTGCGGACACCAGACTGATTATCTTTTGAGGGGTGTTGCGCACCAGCAGAGGCTCGGATTCCTCCGGCTCAAAGACTCCCAAGGTGGAACCCTCACTGAACGGCAGCGCCACGGCAAAGTGCCCAGAGGTGTGGTCCACAGCGAGCTGCAGCAGGTCGTTGGTCCCTGTAGTCTTGGGAATAACAACACCATATCGCAGCTCATCGCTCACAACATCGTAAACGCGCAGTTCGTCTGACAAGACAATAATAAAGGGAGACAGGGCGCGAACGGAGCGCAGCTGTCCCTTCCATTGGCCTTCCAGTGTTTTGACAATCTCACCAGAGACGGCGTCGATAACGTAGACAGCTCCGGTGCCAACGGTTCCGAATGCAACGAACAAAGTCGAACCATCTTCGGAGAATGTGATGCTTCCCTGAGGCTCGTACTTGGCGGTGGACTCGGGAACGTCCACAGTGCCCTCCTGAGGGAGACCTTCGCCAACTGCAATTACTTGTGAGCAGCTCCAGGTGAACACCTCTCGTCCATCTGCTCCCTTGACAACAACGCCGTTTTGGGATCGAGTCTTGGGTCGCCACAAGCGAACCAAGCCATCGGTTCCAATCGTCGCGAAGCATGTCGAGACAGGATTTGATGCAAGATCGAGAACGGCCTCATTGTGAGCAGTGGCATGAGGAGCATTGATCCTAGAAACCAGGGCAATCTGGTCATCGCCCTGTCGAGCCTCCCAGAACTTGAGATAGACCTCACGTCGTTCCTGAATGAATTGTTCCTTCAAGTCGCTGAGGACGTTGTCCACATCTCGAGGCGATGGCTCCCAAGTATCCACGCTGGCAAGCCATTCTCCATCAGCCGAAAAGGCCATGTGGGTGATGAGAGGCTCATCAATGGGGTTGCCCTTGTTGGTAATATTGACATCAGTAGGTTGCGTACGTGCCAGGGCCTGTCTAGAGACACTTCGGAAGGTTTCGAGGTCGAATGTCTGCAACAAAGGAGCTGAGAAGTTTCCTGACGAAGTAGCCTGAGCACCGTTGCCCACGCAAACATGTAGTCTCGAGTGATCCGTCGGCCTAATGGCAGCTGGGATGGGTCGTCGCACGGACTCAGGAGTTGTCCAGGTGCGCTGAACGAGAAGATCCTTGGGGGATGAGGCGTGCACTGCGGCGGACTGGATGCCGGCGATGTACGCAGTGGGCTTCATCTCGGCGGTGGACAAGATCATGGTAGAGTTATCATCCAGATGGATTACATACGAGGAACCGCTGGCAGAAACAACAATGTTCTCCACGCTGCCAGAAAGATGGGGGAGAAAGTCTTTTCTTGAAGTGTCCATCTGCCAGAGAACAAGGGAGTTCTCAGAGCCTCCAGAAATCATATAGTGACCTGCCCATAGTTAGTATCAATTGAATTGAATCGTGACGAGTTCAGCACATACCGTCGCGAGACCACTTCAAAGCGTGCACGGCCTTTCTGTGCCAATGATACTTCTGGGCCTGAATCATTTCTTTATCAGAGCCCGGCTTTCCGAGAGCTATGCTTCGGGCAAGGACGTCGTGATAGAGGTAGATGGAACCACGGGCACCGCCAACGATGACGTCGACCACAGGTGCGGGCTCTGACCGAGCCTTCTTGCTGCTCGTCGCCGGCCTCGTGTACACTCGGACATCCAGGGCTGTGATAAGATCGGGGATGTCGAAAGAATAAAACTCATACTCCAGGGCCGCCAAGGCGTCGGGTTGTTCCTGCGATGGGACGCCCATGAAAAGGCGGTCGTTGATAGCTCCAACAAGAACCTGGCCATCTTCGCTCAATTCCAGCAGCTGCAGACCGTTGCCCGGCTTCTTCATGGCCATGACGACCTTGGGCTCGGCAGTTGACTGCACCTTTCCTTCGTATGCAACGACCTCGATCCGGTTTGACTTGTCTGATTCGGCGATCAAGAGGACTTCTTCCGTCTTCTTAGAGATCTTGGTGGTCAAGACAACCAGTGCCTTGGCCGTTCCGGATTGTGTTTTGAAAGATTCGGGTGTCTTGGAGCTCGTCCAGTCGACATGGAACACGCGACCGTCCGAGCAGGCCACCCAAATAAAATGGGGGTTCTGCTTTGAGAGTCGTGTAGCGACAATGGTTGCCGACGCCGACGCCTTCTGCGCAGAAGACTCGACAACCGTTATGGGGATTCGGCGGACTAACAAAGAGTCCACGGCCGAGTAGATTTGGATTGAGGTGTTGTAGGCCAGGATGAGATATCTGATACTAGTTAGAAACACCACCTTACATCCTTTGTGACAAAACTTACTGGTCATCTTCAGTGAGAATAGGATCAATGTCGAGCATTCGTCCACCCATGGGTTTCGACACCCGCCATCCAGCCTCAGCATTATCGAACTGTGGAACAATCCCCAGCTCGCGATCCCCGGTAGTTTCGAGAGCGGTAGACAGTCCATTCTTCTCAGAGCTCGCGCCATTCAAGGTGTTCAGCAGATCAGCGGTTGATTTGCGCCCATTGGCCTTGTTCTCCTTCCGTTCAGCACGCTGCCGTTTCGACCTCGAATCTGCCTCGGCTAGCTCCCTCTTGCGCTTCTTCGTCTGGTCATCTTTCGTCCGAGTGCTCTTGTTGCCGGCCATTTTCGAAACGCCCCTGGGCAAAGTCGACACAGTTTCGAGAATTGGGGGGGCGCGGCGGCCAAATCGTATTCCGCGTCGTCGATCGAGAAAGATGAGGACTGCCAATGCTTGGGTCGCAGAAATTTTGGTCCCGCTTTGGTGAACTTTTTTGTTGCCGATAAGATAACCATCCGTCGGGGAAACCTCGGGTGGAAGAATTTATTTTCAACACCAAGGTCGCCCCCATCACCGAGCTCTCTTTGAGACAACCAGCTACCCTTTGTCGCGATCCGTGTTGTGAACCCGAAACTCCCGCGTGATCTTCCCTCATTGCCAAAATGATTATCCCCATCCGTTGCTTCTCCTGCGGAAAGGTACGCGCCCCGCTGACTATGCGCCGGCCAAGCGGCAATCTGACTGACAAATCTGCAGGTCACCGGCGACCTTTGGGAGCGCTATCTCCAGTTGATCGCGGATCCCCGCAAGACTGATGGGTATGGGAGAATCGCGTGCAACCCTTCCAACGAGGAGCTAACCTGAATATCTAGTGATGCTATGGACGAGCTTGGCCTCAAGCGCTACTGCTGCCGCCGCATGATCATGACCCACGTCGATCTTATCGAGAAGCTTCTCAAGTACGATGACACCGCACGAAGATCGTTTCCAGAGGAGCAACTGCTAAGCTATCCACAGGTACACGCCCGATGGCCGAAACGAGAAGAAACAGCGATTGAACGAGACCGAGTAGAGCACCCTTGGGAGGGAGCAACAACGGGATCATGCATGGTCAGGCGTTTTGGGACATCAAACAAGTGTCGCGTGGGCTGGCGTATGGAGGAATTCGCATTGAATAAAGTCTTTCTATGGAGCACGCGAGCGCTCATCTCGGCTGCCAATCCATGCGGATGTGTCACGACTTGAAAAGTGCAACTGCTACGACTTGGTGCCACGCTTCGGCCTCTGCAAATGGAACGAATCGATGGTGGTATGAAGCCAAGATGGAAACTCCGATCGTATCTCACAGCGGCCCATCTTGGTGTGGTTTAACTGCCGTGTCGAACGATGTCATGGCTAATATCTTGCACTGCCATGGGCTCCTGTGAGCAACCACAAACGCGTCCTCTGGGGTCGAGCAGAAAGAGCGGTGGGCAACCCAAGGCACACCCGACGCAACGAAAATGAGCAAACGTTAGGCGTATTTAGACAAGCTAGAACCAACAGACTTTTCCACTGATGCCGAAGACATCCGCGGGGAGATCGGAACGCATAGCCTCGCATAGCCCGAACCTCACCTGACATGGACCCACGGTCTGGAAAACAAACTCTGCCCTCGAGTGTGTTGGTTTGGCCTGGGCTGACTTTTCTCTTTGGAGTAATCCAAGCGAAAGGGCATCAGGCCGGCACCGTTGTCCGAGTCTGACCTTGTCCGCCGAGACACTACGGACCAACATACACTCGCTGTGCATGGTGGCTATGTCGATGAACCAAGCTGTCGGAGCCGAGCCTGCTATTGCTCAGCGGTCATATCGACTGATTTCTGCCACTCGGCATTTCCAGAGTAACCCTCTTGCAGTAGAGCCGTCGGGGCTTGCGGACTTTTGGGTATGATCCTCTCGCAAGAGGCGACATGGGGCATTGGCAGGGGAGGCACGGCGCGCTTCTCAGTCTCGGGCCTCGATCCTCCTGAGCGGTCAGCAAAATGTGGCATCCATTTCTTGGAATCCAAGCCGTTTCCATATCACAATAGCGAAAGGGTGATCATCTTGTCTCATACTTGTGGGTATTGAGGCTCAAGTAAGGCCGCGGCCAATGAGCCTCATGGTCACCTTTGAGGCCCTCTGTGAAGGTCTCCTCCAGCAGCCACCAACCACTCCTCAGCCCAATCCACCCACCGACTCGGAATTCCGGAGAGATAGATGACCGCCACCGTGCGGAATGTCAATGCAAGTGTTCGCTTACGAAGCTGCGCCATTTCTGTTGGGTCGAGAGAGGAAAAATCCGTCGTAGCATCTGGGCAAATGGGGGTCAATGGAGTTGCATGATGGACCAACGCGGCAACAATTGCAGACGCCGCAACCAACATCCTCGGGTCCATGCCGGGGACCGAGACGGGGAGACAACGGCCCATCTCATGGCCCAAGGCAGGATTTGCCGCGAGATGGCCAGACGAGTTACTCAATGCGGGCATTACCCGCGTACGCAGCACGCAGCGCGTTGCATTTTGGCCGATCCAACGCCATGTCTCTCGCTAGAGCCAACATCGAAACTCAACGGACCTCTGAAGAGAGGCCTAACTCATCCTAATGCACGGCGCAGTCGGTATGCGAGAATGGCGCGCCAAACCGCAAGGGTTGTCTAGTCTTCCCTGAGGCGCCGGCGCCTATGCAATGCAGGTTGGTTCAGCCCTTTGGGGTCTGCATCATTCAATGATAACGCAACGAGGCGGTCCACCGCAACGTCCCAGAGGGTTGCTTCAAATTTACGCTGCTTGCAGCCACATTGCCGGTTATTCTTGCCCATGCCGTGGCAAATGCACCGTTAGGCCGAATACTGTTAGAAAGCACCGACGTTGCACGATGGGATCATGTCCAGACCTGGAAATGCCTGCGTCGGGGTGGAGCTCCGGGCGCGGTCCGGATGGAAGGGGGCTGACCACGAGACCTCTATCACAACGCCCTGGCTCAAGCTTGGCAAAAGAAGAATCGAGAAAAGAAAAGCCACTTTCGAAAGGGAAGAGAGTTCATCGTAGCCGAACTCATGGGAGCCACCACGGGGGTTCTGCTTCCGACTGGCCAGCAGGCGAGTGAGGAAGTCATCCCCGCACCATTGGGTTGGGATGGGATCGCTGGAGCGGTTCCGACAATCTGTCTAGCGCTGTGATATACTGAAACGACGCAGCAGGCATAGGGGCTGTCACCACGCTAAAATGGCCGCTGGGACGAGAATCCCTGGCGGATTAATGTCCACGGGCTTGGGAACTGTGGAGGGATCATGGGCCATGGCAAGAAGAGCCTTTGCGTCGTCAGATGACGAGGATGAAAAGCAAAGCTAAGTTTGCTCACCGGCATTTCCATGTTGATGTGCACATTCGCGATTGCGTGGAGGGGTGGGCTACGTAGGTAGCTGCGCCTGTATGCCTGCTGGTCCACAAATTGTGTCGTCTTGGGAGATGATCCCCGATCGATCATATTAAGCCACAATGGAGACTCCTCGGGGGTCGGGTTCCTTCTGCTTGCCTGCCCATGCTCATACGTCTTGGCTCTCAAGAAAATGGGCGAGCCAACAAGCCAAGGCCGCCCGCTGCAAGTCTCATTCATTGATTCCGCCCGTCCAATGTTAGAATCCCATTACCGAAGATGGCAAAAGCAAGCTCTCTTGGCCCGCTATCACCAGGCGTGATCACGTTGTCACATTTACGTAAATGAGACAAGAGGAAACGAGGCTCTGGTGTTGTTGGGAATAATTCCGGGACAAGATCAGATGCCCAGATGGCGGGCAGAGAGAGTGTCTTGGACGGATGCCCTGACACAGACCACAGAGACGGCCGCGCTGGGGATGGGATCCACTCTGCCGCCCGGTTTAGTGGAGCCACCGGTTTGTTTTAGCGTCTCCAAAGCCGCCGGGACCAGACTGCCGGGTTCATCAACGCCGGGCGCTCACTGGCCCGTCCCATGCTCCACCGCTCAATGGCGGCAAACCTCAGCACCCACCCTTTCCAGCTTCTTCCCACCACGCAAGGCGCAAGGCTTCGGCGGGCGGGCTACGCTGTAGCGAGTCCCAAATCGACGGGATCCTGGGATGGGACCTGCGCCGGCTCGCCTGGACCTGGGGGGCTGACTTAGTAGGGGGACGGCGGCGGCCTCTCCAGCGGCCACGGCGGCCACGGCGGGCTGAGTGTCAAAAGGCTTGTCGATTCAGGGCAGGGTCGGTTTGGCGTCAGCTTCAGGATCAGGTAATAATTGCTGGCGAGGCATTGTTGTGCTGGCTGTTTTACACCGACCAACAACACAACAATACCGATGGCGAGGGCGAGAGCCAGGGGCTCGGCAGGGCATGTCAAGACAGGGCCAGCAGCCTGGTCGAGCAATCGGTCACAGGCAGCGGGCTGGGCCGACACAGAAAATCCGACATCTCTGCGAAGTAGTATTTGTCAACTGTTCTCGCTGCCCGCGATGCCGGTGGAGGGTACGGATGCAGCATTATTGGCCAGCGCAGCACCTAGATGGCCGTTGACGTTGACGAACGAGACGGGAACGGGGCGCGCAGCCAATGTAGCAAAAAGAGTCAAAGAGTCATCATCGTGCAGCACGCCCAGGCTGACGGTTCAGGCTGAATGTAGTGAACACCGGTGCGCCAGCGACGCAAAAGCATCACATTTCATGGGACTGAGCTGAGGCATCACAGGCCGAGATGCCATCGCATTGGCAACCTGGACTGCGCAGGGTTCAATCCGTTGGTGGAAGCGAGGGCATCCCCCCCTCTTGGACCTCCCCCCACCTGGTTTAAGCGCCGACGCCTGTCCGCTTTGGATGCAGCCCCACGGGTTGGATGCTAGGGGCATGGAGAGCGATGGAGAAAGGGCTTCCCCATCCTCCACCACTTGACGCCCAGCCGGGCTGTGATTGGGCTGATGCAAGGCCCGGCGCGTGGGAGGTCGGAAGGGAGGGCCAGGTAACGCGCAGGTGCAGAGCCTGACCTCCCTGGGTGATGGAGGATTCACGACGGGGCAAGGGTCCGGGGGCGTGAGATGAGAGGGAGACGGCGAGCCAGAGACAGACGGACAGACGGACAGACGGACAGAGACAATGACAAAAAGCGCGTTTGGACCGTAAAGAGCCGGGCCCAGGTCAGAAGTAGTCGGTGGGTGTGAGACGGGAATTGTTGGTAGGGTGTGGGTTGTGCCATCCCATCCCCTCCATCCATATCTTACACGTCCGTCCAATCCACGATCCGCTCATCCATCCAGCCCGGAGGAGGGTGTCTTTTTTTCGGTGTGTTGTAGCCTTCGCATTCGCTGGCCTCTGTGATTACCCTTGAGACGATATTTCTAATCCATTGAATCATCAATCCTCGGTCATTGACTCAAATACTTCCATGATAATTGTTAGCTGTGCTTCTAGGCATGCTGTGGGGGCCAAATCAGCGGCATTCACAAAACGGCCGGGTTGCATTGACCACACCCAATCCCTCCCACCAAAGGGGAGACGACTAATGTACCACCCAGGTCGGCAAGGCAGGAAACTGCCACAGCGGGAAAAGGGCATCTCTCCGTCAAGCAGACGCCACGCGATAGTGGGAAACAGGAAACGGACAGGCACACAGCTCGTAGCCGCTCCATCCTCCTCCCCTCCATCCACTCGTCCTCCCACATTCACATCCACGCGCAAGCCCCCTTCCATCCCATCTGGCTCGCCCGACGTCAGTCATGAGAAGCCCGCCAATGAGGGCTCTGGAGAATCCAGCTATCAGCTCTTTTCCAAAAGAAAAAAAAAATGTCCAACCGAAAGCCTTTTCCCTTGCAGCATTGCTGTCGTCGACCGGGCCGTCAGCCAACGGGAACCTCTGATAGCACGGTCCTACTACAACCTCACTGTAGTGCTCGCAGCAGCGTGTAAGATTGATGCGGCCCTCACGATCAGTGCCCCCCCCCCCCTGGCCCCATCTCATCCCGATCCCCCCCTTCTGCGTGACTCCGTCGTCTACTAGTTCTGGCGAGCTGCGTCTGTTTTGCCCACCTGGTCCACCGTTCCAGCAGCACAACGCACACCTGCCCCCAGTGCCTCGCTGGACCTGTCACTGGGCGAGCCTTAGCCGCAGAGCCCCTCCTGGGCGTTGGTTAGTCGCAGCCTGTTCTGCATTGCGTCTACTGTCGCACCCACTTGTCGCACCCACTTATCGCACCCACTTTGACCGTCTGTTCTTTGCTGCGTACCTAGGTTAGGTAGGTAGTATGTTTGCGTCTGTGTATGCCTCTGTGTATGTCTGTGTCTGTGTCTGTGTCTTTGTCTTTGTCTTTGCCTGGTGGTTCTATCCCGCTTCCCACGCCCCTCTTTGACACCCCTCAACACTGCCCACACCATATCCACATCCACATCCACCTCCACATCCACTCCCAAGCTACCAAGCTGCCAACTGCCAACTGCCAACTGCCAACTGCCAACGCTCACTCCAGCCAAACTCACGGCCTTCCCGCATCCATCCCATCGCCGTTCTTACACGGCACGCCCAACGCGCTTCCCTGGTCGGCTCCATTCTAGCTTCATGCCCGTGTTTCTTCCCTCCTTCCAAACTCGTCAACAACATGGCTTGATAACAAAGCGGTCGGCTTCCCTCCAATCCCAAGCGCTTCTTTAGGTCCCGCCGCGCCAGTTCTCGCGTCCCGACAAGCGCAGGTCGCAGCTACGGCCGCCCCTCCACAACACTCAAGCACGCCAGCTAGCTACTGCTCCTACAGCTGCTGAATCCGTCTGGACGCCATCCCATCCACCTGCAGTGGTCATCCATCGCGCAAACCACCTGTAGGGCCGAGGTACCAGCTGCTACCCTTCCCCGCGTTCTGCGCAGGGGCTCCAGTAACAAAGAATACGGAGCACGCACTCTACCCACGTCGTAGGTAGGCACGGACTCGACCGGACTATACCGGACTCCTGCAGCATTCGACAAGGGAGGGACTCTCTCTTCCTGGTCTTCCTGGTCTTCCTGGCCTTCCTGTACCGTCGTTCACTCTTCCTGGTACCTACCTTGGTACTCAACTCACTTCTCCGTCCGTCCTGAATCGACAGGGGGCCGCTTGCTCGCCCAACCCCTGGCCTGCCTGCGTCTGCCTCGCTTCAACCGCGCCGCCACTCACTCGCTCACCCACTCGCTCACTCTTTAAACCTGCCGCCCTCCGTCTTTCCCATTTTCGACCCGCGACTCGCAACCCTGCGACCTCGATCTGCGACCTGGAGCCCCCTTCCACCCAAGCTAGCTTCCCCTGCTGGAAGCTTGCGGTGCTCCCCTCCCAAGGCTGGTCCCTTCTTCACCTTTCTCTTGTCTGAGCTCCTCAATTCTTTCCCCTCCGTCGCCTTGAGCAGCCGCCAGACCTCGACCCGCCTCCCACACCACCCGGCCTCACCACCACTGGCCTGCATCAACATCCTTCTTTTCGGCCGTCCCTGCTCGTCGCGCATGACTCTATTGTCGACCTCGTTCTCCAGCTCCGCCTCGTAGACTCCGCATTCAAGAATCCGCAAGGCATTCTTGTCGCTGTGCTCTAATCCGAGGCTCGAGCTCCCCGCCGACACCCATCTCCATTCAACGGCGACCTCTTGTCGCCACTCGATATATCACATCACAGCTCCCGCCATGGCCCTCGAAGCTCCCTTAAGGTCATCGACTGGGAATCTTCAATTCCGTTTTCCTGGTCATCATAGAGACATGTCTGCCCCTTCCGAAATGGATGGCTTTCGCTCGCCTTTCAGAGTCGTGTATGCGCACCACTCCACACCTTGACCTAGGTCCAAAGCTCTTGCTAACAAGCTCGCCAGCTCCTCGCCTCCTGCAGTGACCGACTCGGCCTCCCTCCGGCCCATCTCCGCAAATCGAATGTCGGCCAACACCATGAATATCATGAGCCCTAGCGACATTGTTGGACCATCCCCAGTAACATCCAACGGGACCGAGACAACAGAAATAGAGGATGATGCCTCGGAAGATGTCCATCAGGAAACCAACAGCACCAATTCAGGCCGCCGGTCCGAGGTACGTCTACCTGGCGAAACCATACCGCATCTCAAATCACTAACCAACCTCCATCGCAGCTCTGGATGCTATCCACCAACCTACAAGACAGTGTGCGCCAGCCTAGCAGCGAGGAGGCGGTCTCAGTAATTCATGCCCCTGAGAGTTTTGCCGCTTGGGTGCGCCTCGATTCCATCTTCTTGGTCTAAACCACATGGCTAATTCGGATAGGTATCCTCTGAACCTATCGCCAAGCAGAATGAACCCAGTGCAAGGGAGTCGCCCAAGGCAGATGCGACCACCCTGGATGCTCTGAATGGCACACCAGAGAAGGTTGGTCAATTCGTAATGCATCTTCACCTGCCTATATACTGATTGTCCCTCAGACATCTGGACAACCAGCACGCATTTCTACCGATGTCAACCCCGTGCGGTACAACCTAGACAGTGCCACACCCCGCGCACAGGACCTGCAGTCAATGATAGATGATGGTAGTCGGATGCGGTCGAGCAGCACCAGCAGTCTTGAGAGTATGTTAGTTCTAGGTCCTCGAAACTGAGAATGCTAACCATCGGCTAGAAATCGATGAGCAGACCGAGGCCGAGGGAGACGACGAGGACTACGCCTCCGAGATGATGCCAGTGCCCCGAGAGGAAGACGAGATTAATGCCTTACGAAGCGCCCTCCAAGAATGCTGGACTCTCTGCAACACCCTGGCCAATTTGAGCTCGATTCATCGTGCTCGAGTCTTCAATAATTCCGGTATTCCCGACGCCCATGAGAAGGCCTGGAAGACGTGTTGGAAGCTCTGCCAACGACTCTACGATAATCGAGACGAAGATACGACTTCATTTAATGTCAGGGTGAATCTCGACCTTTGTCGTGACTTCTGCCAAGCTCTCTTTGATGTCCGGGATCGAAATGATCCCACTGCAGACTCTGTATTGCGTGTCAGCTTCGAGCTGAACAACCAGTTAGTACCATCTCCCTGAGACTGGTACGTATACTAATGTTCCCAAAGCCTATATAGCGCCCAAGACAGTCGCAACCTCCCTGAACAGTTCAGAGAGAGGACGTTGGACTTTTACATCACCTTGTGCCATCGGCTTATGAAGCAACGCAGCGACTTCGTCGACGAGACTGATCAACTACTACGGGCATGCTGGGCCCTCGCGGAGATGCTCTTCAATATTCGACAAAATAAGCGCGACGGCAGACCACCAGATGAGGAGCTCTTGGGCTCAGCAGTCCAAGCCTGTTGGGATCTCTGTGACATATTCAGGGATGGCTGGACACAGGTGCGACCAGACAGGCAGACCCCACGACCGAGCCAAACGGGCTTTACCCCCCACCAAGCCATTGATCAAAGTGGCCGCCAGAGCCAAGCCTCGAACCGATCTTCGATCCATTCCAAGCGTGAGAGCGTCAAGAGCGGACGCCAGGAAGAAAAGCCGCGGAAGCCACCGCCAGTTCCCGAGACGCCTGTGACCGAGTTCGAGGACACGCCCATTTCCCCTCAGAGCCACTCGCCCCAGATGCCCAACATTCTCGTCCTGGGAACTCCCAGCGAGAACAGTCGAGGCGGGCGATGGTCCAGCAACGCCTCCAACTTGTCGGGTTATTCGAAAACCAGTGCCAGGACGTCGAGCACCGCAACGACGACGGCCGCATCCGAGGACGCAAACGTGACGAGGGCAAAGGTTCTTGTGCTCCGGGCTGCCATGAACCTCGGTTTCAATCGCGATGCCATCGCCGACCCCAAGTCTGCAGCAGCAGCGCTCCAGCATTTCGTTCAGGATCTGCCGATCGGGTCCTTCGGTGCTCAGATGGCCCATGCCACGCTATTATCACAATACAAGAACTCCGTCCTCATGGACACCATCATCCCACGTCACCACTCTCTACCAATCCGGGGCAAGCGAGTGTCGGCTCAGGAAATGGCAAAGAGTATTCACACCATGATTAAGAGTTCGCAAAGATACTCTTACCTCCGCGAGCTGTTCCGCTTTGTTTTCCAGTTCCCACTGGAAGAGGTGGAGACACGCCGAAACATCAGTATCGTGGTCTAGGGGGTGACTTTGCCTCCGACCTTCGATCTGGTCGAATATTATTACTTTCTTCTTCTATTTTTCTTTTTTTGGACAACAAATGTTTGTCCACTGGTTAACGTTCACCTCCCGTATCCCCTTTCTAGATTTTAGCGCGATGGGTTGGTGGGAGGCCTAGCCTTGATTTGACTACGTATCATATGAGAACAGATGGCACGACACATGAAGAGAGCGGAAGATATTTTTTGAAACATTTAAAGAGATTTTAGCGGCGGTCTATTCGTTTCTAAATGCACTAGATACCCTGTTGGAAGGATCAGGCGCCACATAGGCAGAGCAAACGAAGGAAGAAGTGGGCGGATAAGTCTCAAAAGGGGGCGCCGAGGGATGGGGAGAGGGAACCATTCTATAGTCACTCACTGGTGAACAAGTCCTTTTTGGTTGGATGTAACAGATCACAGGCGATATTTTCGGGGAGAGCACCGATGCTCGATTGGGAGGATTATTTATCCAAATTCGCTGAAGTCAGATTTATCCCTATGACCTTATCACTCAGAGTTTCCTATCCTTATCATCGAATGTTCCTAGTTCTTGTCCCTTTTCCTTGTTCCCTATGTTCCTTGTTCCCTATGTTCCTTGTTCCTTGTTCCCTGTTCCTTGTTCCTTGTTCCTTGTTCCTTGTTCCCTCTTCCCTGTTTCCTGTTCCCTCTTCCCTCTTCCCTCGTCCCAATGCACCGCTCCTTGCAAGCAAACCAACTACCCTTCTGCGGACAAAACAAAAGAAGAAGAGAAAATCAAATCAAAATCAAAATCAAAATCAAAGAACCAATATGAAACAGTCTTTCAAATAGCACCGCTCAGCTTCTTGGGCACAGCAGGTGTCTGGGGACCATCCTCCGGAGGCGTAGCAGTATCCTCGCGCTTCAGGGGTGGCAGAACGCACATTTCGTCTAACAGCTTCGGGTCGATCGTATCGAGGTTGACAGCTTCGTTCTGGGCTTCGTGCGGCTCAAATCCAGGGTGCAGCGCCGTCACTGACGAGACTTGCTCCAAAGCAAACTCATCGGGTGTACTGTGGACGAAGAACTCGTAATCGGCAGCGTCAAAGTGGCCTGTTAGCACATCGTCTAAGTTGGGTTGGTGGCTCGACTTGAGTCCAGAGGTCTGAGTGCTTACGACATCTCGCGTGGTTGCGGGCGAGGCTGGGGCCATGTTGGTTGTGTTGAAAGACGGCGAGGCCTGCACCATAGAGGGGTTGGGGAGAGCATTAGTGGTGGGAGGGTTGCTAGCAAGTGAGGCCGTCTCGATGTGTGCGGTCTGGGTGTTCGGGCTGAGAGAAAACATTGCAGGCTGGGTTTGAGGTTGCTGCTGGGGTGGGTTTTGGTGATGTTGAGGCGGGTTGTGAGGTTGGGGAGACGAATATTGGTTCCAATCCAGTGTGCGCTTCGTCTGTCGCGCCGCGATCATTTGCTGCATCGGTATCTGCTGACTCTTCCGAAACTCCTCGACTTGTCTAGATTGCGGACCGGCGCCGTAATACGGTACGGTGGCGGGTTGGGGATTAATTGCGGAAGCGTCGTTGGGAGGAGACAGGAGGTCGGCTGACTGGTTTTGCATGTACCGACTATACTGCTGCACCGCTTGGACTGTAGGTCTGGATCGAGGAGCTTGAGCTGGAGGAGGGTAGTGAGGTGGTGAAGCCAACTGTGGTGAGGGAGCAATGGACTGCTGCTGCTGAGCGGTTCGAGTGGTGTTTTGAAGAGGCAATTGATTGAAGGCGGGTGCGTAAGCAGATGGCGCAGCAGAGGATCGTTGAATAGGTTGGAGGTCGGTGATGCCACCAAGGGCTTGAAGCTCCGGGTTATTGCTGTCCCAAGCAGTCATCATCTGATACTCGCCGCCGTTGGAGACGTGGTCTTGCTGCTGGTAGGAGATGGGCTCGTTCGTAGGAACCGCAACGGGTGGCGCCATGGCGTGGGTGAAGTCTTCTAGCTCGGTCTTTGGAGCCGTTGGCTGGTGGTAGTTCTGCGACGGTGAAGCCTGTGGCATCATTGAAAGCTGTTGAGCGTTGAGAGGCTGGTAGAGAAGCGGCTGAGGATGTGCCTGAGGGCCTGGGTACTGTGGCACACTCCACAAGATATTGTCCGACCCGTGAGCGAGGCTGTCGGGGATCACCTGCGGCTCAGGTGCAAAACCTTGTTCCGAGCTATTCTCCCCGAAGCACGAGAAGGCGTTGGCCGAGTCGTGGGCAGCTTTACTCTCTTCGAAGCCGGGGAAGGGACTGGCTTGGTTTGAGGCTCTGTTGATTTCGAAGGATGGAAAGGGATGGGCTTGGTCGCGGCCGGCGCTGGTGGTGGGGAGTCAGATGGCGGTTGAAGAGGAGGAGAGGGCGTGTCAACATACCCGTCATCCATCTGCTTCCTCTTGTTGCTGTGTTTGTTGTTCTTGTTCATACTGGAGTTGATCGCCGCGGTCCTGCAAGAAGGCATCTGTTAGCATGATCCTGCTGTGAACAAGGGAAGAGAGCGTGAACATACCCGTATTTGGGATCCTTTCCATACTTGTTCTTGACATAGCGAAGCTGGTTCGGCGTGAGGGGCTTGCCGAACTCCTTGTCGTAGGCCTCACTGATCTCCGGCCCCTTTGCCTCGTTGATGAGCAAATCGAGTATAAACCGGATTTCCTGTTCTGTGTAGACATTTTGGCCGACCATGATGGCTAGCCTGCGACGAGGAATGCGTGATGAGCACTTGTAGTGTTGAGCGATGTCTCAGGGTGGCGGAACGAGTTGGTGAAGAGGAAAAAAAAAGGTGAGTTTGAAGGTGAGGTTGAGACTGAGGTCCAGGTAGGACAATCGTGAGTGGTTGTGTTCGGCACTAACACAGTGAGCAGAGGGAGGTGGTGTTGAGTGCTGCCGCTAGTGTAAGCGGTTGTAAGCAAGAGTGATAGCAACGAAATGCGAGTGGTAGCAACCAAATGCTAGGAACATGAAAATTAGAAGATCAAGAAGAGCAAAAGAATTAGAAGAACAAAAGACAGATCCTTGCTCAGTTAACACCTTTTAATATCAGTTGGAATACTGCGCAATCTCCCAAGCAGTGAACGACGAAGTAGTTGGATTGTCCCAGGTCTGACACTGAGCTTCAAGCCGCAGGGAATTGGAAACGACACAAAGGTGCAAGACACCCGCGCGCCGCGATGCGCTGGGAGAGAAGAGGTGGCGAATAGGTTCTTGTGACTTAGGAAAGTGAAGAGGAGAGCAACGAGCAAGCAGCAGTGAGTAGAGAAAGAAGTGCATAAATACCTTCCTTCACGACCTCATTTGGGAGGACAGGCGGGTGCTCGCAGTGAATCAGGGGCGGTTCATGAATGGCAGAGACCGGTAGAGCCACAATGGTGGGATACAATGAGGCCAGAGAATAGGAGGGTGCACGTGAATAGAGGACGTGACAGCGCAGGCGAGACAATCCGTGATAAAGGTGCCATGTCCCAATGGAGCGGCGGTATTATTACGGTTGAGCAGGCGAAGAACAATACGAGCCGCTTTGGGCAAGCAGTGGGAATAGGAGGTGACTCGTCTAACCAGTGTATTGTTGCCCATCTATCTATCTTGTGACATGCATGACTCCGCCTGTCTACATCTATGCCGCTGTATCAATGCCATTGTGCTTCTCCCTCTCTTTCCAAAGCGTCTATTGTCTAATTGTCTAGTAATCGCAAGTCGCAGGGGTTCCATATCTCGTATCTCGTGTCTATCTCTCCGCGCAGTGATTTGCTCCTTTTTCTCAATGGCCCGCCAAGCCCTCACGACATCTCGTCACTGACATCAGTCAGCGGCGACCCGCCGCGTGAGAAAATGCCCAGCCAGCACTTGACCTGGCCAGCGTTCTCATCCTGGACCCAGTCATCTTGGCCGGCGAGCTCGTCCTCCTCCTCGCAGAAGAGCGGCGTCTCCAGGTCCATCATGGCCTGCTTGAAGGCCTCCAGGAGGCGCACGGTGGTGGCGTCGCGCTTGGGCACCATGACGACGGCACGCGACTCTGATCCCAGGGCGAGGTGATCGCAAATGGCTGAGGCGAGGAGCGCTGGGTGGTCGTCGTCGTACATGGGGTCGGCTGCCAGGACAATCTAGAGGTTTGGAGTCAGAGAAAGTGTTCATGTCACGATGTGTGGTTTGTAAGGGTCAAGAGACCACGGCGGGGACGTACCTTGAACTGATACAATTCTCCAAACAATGCTTGGTCGATCTCATCTTCGCTGCCGCCCCAGGTCAGGGGTCCAACTTTCAGGGAACCACCACGAGCCTCAATCAGACTCTCGTTCTTGGAAGCATTGTCCCTCAAATTTGGCACGATATTTGGCAGGTCGCTCAACGCCACGGGGACCTTCCAGAGCGCAGCCGCCGCGAGTCCAAGCAGGCCTGTTCCGGAACCCAGTTCGAGAACATCAGGACGGGGTTGTCCCAGAGTCTCGTCGAACAGCCGGAACAGCGACGTCTCGGCCAGCTTGGGCAAATGCTGGGAGAGAACATAGGACGAGCCCCAGGTCTTGAAGCCGAGCGAATCACCCGTCAGCGCCGGTTCCCTGATGACGAGCTCGAAATCCTCCGCCGTAGCCGTCTCTCCATCGAAGGGCCAGCGTCGGATAACTTCGCCCATGGCGGTGCGACCGCACCTCTCAGACATGCGCTTGCTAGCCTGCGTCCACAAAGCCTCCTTCTCGTCGTCATCCTCGATCCAGACGAGTTGACTCTTGATGATGGAGGAGAGATAGCGCGTGACCTCACCCTTGCGCTGGCTGGCGAGGGACTCCTGCTCGGCGGCGATGTCGGAGCGGCGGCGCTTGTGGTTCCAGATGGGCGGGCTGAGCTCGAGGCTCTGGAGGATATCGACCAGCTCGGTGTAGCTGGGGCGCTGCCACATCTGGGGGAAGTCTTCAACGGCGAGAACCATGGTGAGGATGAGAGCCCGTCGGACTCTCGGGGACGAGGTTGAGACGGGAGTAGAAAATGAGAGAGGGACTCAGTCCAAAAGTGAAGGATAAGAATGTGAAAATGGTCGGGAAATAGGAAGCAGAGAGGGGATCTCGTCAACTGCGCTCACAGAAGAGAGCACCTTTTAAGCACTCATCTTGGGCGACGATGATTTGAACTGTATGAGATTGGCGTCTTATCACTCACTCACCCACTCTGCAGCAGTAGCTTCCAGCAAGCGGATCGCACGCAGAAAGTAGTACAGAGTAGTGCTAGTAGTAAACCAGTATGGGGAAAACAAGTCCGGGGGGAAGAAGAGCCTCAGCGAGCAAGCGGAGAAGAGGGACCCTTGAAATACAAGTCACGGCTCACTCACTTGTCGGTGTGTTTCGTGGGCCCCCATTCGCACTAAAACCAACAGCAAGTGGCAACTCGAGGCTGACGGTCCCAAGGTGGAAAAATTTCCGTTAGGGTAACGGGCAAGTTTTTTTAGGGGCGAAGCGAAGATTCAGGCGAGTCTGACAGGGGACAGGGGGTCACCGTTTCTCAGCCACAGAGCCAGTTTCTGTCAGAGGGAGGCGCACCGCCACAGGCACAAAGCAGGTGCAGGCCGGTGCAGGCAACGCGCAGGTGCACATTCGCACAGGCTGGCGGCTGGCGGCTGGCCCGGCGATCGCCGCGTCTCCCACGTGGCCGGTAAGGAGCCAGTCCGGGTGCAACCCCCCCGCTGCCCTCCCGATTGGTCAGCCTTGATCGTTTTCCCACGCCCCAAGGTCCCCTCTGTATTTCCCCTGTCTATCATCGTCATTGGAGTCATGAACCAACATGACGTGATGCGTCGACTCCTCATCGCAGCTGCAAACTAGGTACAGGCATGAGATTCCGATTGTGCTAACAACTCTACAGTCAGTCACTCCCGTACTCACTCGATCACGTCAAGTCCCACATCTCTGCCCACCCGCAAAGCACATGCCCCTCCCCTCCGGATCGCCAACTCCCTAGCCCGCACCAACTCCAGCGCAAACTCCACCACCAAGAACTTGCAGCTCTGCCAGTCCTCACCAACCGCACCACCTCAGCGCTTGACAGCTGCAGCATCCCCACCGCGTGCCGGAACCACGTCCGAGCCATTCCGCTTTCCCCCGCCGGCGCCGCTTGCGCGACCTCCTCAGCTGGCGCATCGGGGGCCGGCTGATGGCTTCGTGCGCCGAGCACATCTCCCGCGTCGCACGAACTGCCCGTTCGTCCAGAGCCATTCGCGCAGCAACCCGGCTCAGACGCCGTGTGACGGATGCATGTGATGCTGCCGGGGCGCCGATAGCTGCGCATTGAAAATCTTCATCGCATCGCCAAGGCTGTTGTACCACTGCTTCATCGTGATGCGCACCGGCAATCGGACCCCTCGGCCCGAGACCATCTAACTCTCTCTCTGCCCCCTCTTCGTGATTTTTATTGCTCTCGGTATTTTCTTCTGCCCCGGAAGACGGCGCCCGGTACCGTGAAGACCGTTCATGTCTCGGCGGCGACAACGGTTCCCACCCCCGCAGCGGGGAATAGTAGCGCGGTACATGTCAGTATTCATTCAGTTTTTCGTCAGTGAGTCGAAGTCAGTTGCATTTGGTCAGTGGTATCCCGGAACATCTCGCTCGGCAGGAATCCCAGTCCATTTTCCGGGCTATTACTTGTTCGAGATCAAATCGTCGCTCCTAACTTCGCCAACTAAACCTCTGGGTCGAGACTTTGCCGGTTTGAAGTCGGCTAACCATGAACATGTATTTCCAACCCCAACTTTATTCGATTTGCTACGCTTCTTGTGCCCATGCCTTCTTCTTTTTTCTTTCCATTTCCGTCACCAGATTTGTGTACACAGGTCGGTAGAAACGGACAATAAAACTCATCGCCAGTTTTGCTTTGTTGTTGCATGTGCCCCACATTTGTGATGCATCAAGTGGTGAATGGCTCAACAAACCAACTTGCTACGTTGTCGCGGGATTCAATGTCATTCAGTGTCCGCTAATGCATTTTTGCTATTACCTAATATTCACGAAGTTTATGTACTCCGATATTCTATTGTCTGTGATGAAAATAATACTGTACCGGAACCTTAAGACATCCTGACGGAGGCAAATATTAACCATTAAGCGAATGTACAAAAACAAACTCATTCACACCCACTCTCGATAGTTTCGCTGCAGCATGTATTCGCTGAAAATAGCAACAAATACTAAAAACCTACCCAACTGTACGTGTCTCAACGACAACCGTCATAAAATTCCGCTGCATCGTCCCCTCCCATCTGCAACCCAACTCAACGTTTCTACCCTACACCGGATGATTTGCCGAGCTCAGCGTCAGATCATTCGCTGACCCGTAGGTGGGTCTAGGCCTGGCAATCTGCGCCAACCCCTGGGAGCTGGGCATCCCCCAGACCACATGCCGTCACATGCGTTTCGTCTCACCTCATCACCGGTCTTGTTCCAGCGCAGAGGGAACCATTACGTCTCTATGTTCCATTCAAGTCACGGCATTTGTTTATTCATTCGATCTTTCATTCAACAATTGCTGTATTTCTTTGCCTTTGCCTGCCTGCCTGCCTATTCTAGCCGTGTGGCGGGTAGTGTGGTATCAAAACGACCAATTCAAATCAAACGAGCTCTGGTGACCACACCGTAGAAGCTCTCATCCTGTAACATGCAGATCCCGTTTCCCCTGATGCAAATGCGAATTCAAAGCAAGGTTCATGATGCTGTTGCGTCCTCGCCCGAAATATCCTTCCCCCACCCACATTACCACCTTCGTTCAGGCCTTGCTCGGAGGGCACTCCTGATAAATCTCCATCTTCATCATCTGCAGCTTTTCCCTCATGTCCTTGAGGCGTCCTAGCCTGTCCTTCGGGGGGTTGCTCAACGCCGAAATTTCATAATGTAATGTCTCGTACTTTTCGTAAACCGACTTGAAAGTCCGTGCCTTGTTCACCAGTTCTTCCGAAAGTCTCGAGACGGCTGCTCGCTTAGGCGGTGGCGGCTTGCCGTCTCCATCCATCATCTTGCGCTTCTTGACCAGCGGGGCCCGGGGTGCCTCGTTTTCGAGATCAGACGCGTTGGTTGGTGGGGAAGAAGCCAGGGGTGATGACTTCGTGGGCGACGTGTTCTTGCTCTTGTGCGATGAAGCGGTGCCAGTGCTGCGAGAGTTTTGGCTGGCATCCGATGGGCGGTGCTTCAGTCGTGGTGGGGCAGGCAGTGGCTGCTTGGGCTTGATGCGCTTCGACAGAGGAGTTCCGGAGCTCGAGCTCGAGTCGTCATCACGAGGTCGCTTCATTGCCTGTTGCTTGATGGGCTCCCTGACCACTGGCCGAGGCTTGGCGATTACCGTATCCTTTGTCTTCGTGACGGGGACGGGTTTGGGCTTAACAGGTGCGGGAGCCTCATCTCCCGAGGAGTCTGAATTCAGAATGATCTCCTTGGAGAGAATTCTGCCCCCATTGGCCTTGCTTGCCGTCGGTCGGGCTTTGGTAGGCGAGGCTTTCGTGACGGCTGGCTTAGGCTTGGAGTTGCCGAGGAGCCGCTTGACCTGGGCCTCTTGACCGCTGACCTTCTTAGACTTGGAAGGCAAAGGATTGGAGGCCGATCTTGACATGTTCTCTGCCACAGCCTTTGGTCGGCTGCCATCCAGAGAACCAGTCTCGTCTCGAGACGATGGGCTGCCGTCCGCCTTCTGCACCTTGATCTTGGGTGGTGGTTGAGAAGGTCCCTTTGCCAAGTTGGCCTGCAGTTTGCTCAAACACTTGCCCTTCCCTCGCTCCTCCTTGGGCAACAACTTCTGCCACTCTGGTTCCGATTCCGACAATCTCTGTTTGTCGTACTGCCGCACCGCGTTATCAATCGCCTTTTGTCGCAGTTCCTGGGTATCATAGTCGTAATTCCAAACGTCAAGCTCCTTCCAATAAGTCTTCTTCATTGCCCACTTCTTGGTATCCGGGAGGTTGTCCGCCACCTTCTCGAGGGTGGTTCTCATGTCCTCCTTCTTGCCGGTCCATTTATTGGTGAGGTACTCGAGAGAGCGATCCTGCACAGCAAGCTCGTGAACCAAGATGACTCTCTGCTCCTTGGCTCGTTCCACATGTTGTTGTGAGGCAGAGAGAGTGGGTGTTGAGGACGGCGAACCTAGTGAGATGTGACCTGGGGACGCGGGTATCGATCGTGGGGCCGAGCTATAGCCTGGAAGCAGCTTGCCCTTGGCCTTTGCAGCGCCTTTCTTCGACGTCGGTAGTTTGCCGACCACGCGAGCCCTGTGTCATCAAATGTCAGTACAGTGATACCAAGCTGAGAAGTAAGTGAGACCGACTTCTCCCGACCAGCTGCGAGAGCAGCCATCTCGTTCTGGAGGACCTCACGATCCGAGTCGAGCCCAGACGGTGTGCTGCTCTTGCTTGTCTTTCCAGCCTTGGGCCGAACGTCGGTATCCCTGTCTGCCTTGTTGGCAGGGGCCTTGGCTGGAGCATTGTTTTTGGGTTTCTGGAAGAGTGACCCAGTATGCGGGAGCTTGACAGCTGTTCGAGTCGAGTCGAATGGTTTCGTCAGGTAGACGTCGTAGGGGTACGGGTCGGAGGGAGGAGAAATGATGTGCGAGTTGGAGCCGTAAATGAAGGTCTAGAGTTGGGCACGAGGGTCAGCCAAGCGTCCGACGACAGACGCGATACAGCCAAGGTGATGCTTTTGGCACACGGTTGCAGGCACAAGCTCTTGAAGCAGAAGGGCTCAACTTACTGGGGTGGAGCCAAGGGAAAGTTGGAGGCCATCGCCACTCTGGACGCATTTGATCATGTCCTCTATGACATTGTCACTAAGCGTCAGAGCGAAGGCCTGCTGTGGCAGCTTGGATCTTTCGCTAGGCGAGCCCTCCAGCTGCCACCCGGCTTCAGGAACCTTGAGAGAGTTCATGCTGGAGGTTGACACGAGCCTGGGTAGGCCGTGGGGTGGGAAATGACGCGGGTATGGAGTGGTGTCGATCAGTGTAGCGCAGGGCGATGCGAGAAGCCGTATCAGTTGATCGAGGTGGGAGCGTCTCGGTGCGTTGGGAAGGTGAGGAAACTCGGGCAATGATTCGAGTTGCCGGTGGAGGAAGGATTTTAAAGGCGGTCGAGACGTGAGGGCGTTGTCACATTGTCATCCAAAGGTGAGTCGAAAGTGAGGCCGCTGTTGTGATGGCTGGTTGGCTGGAGGTGGAGCAGCCAAGGCAAACGAGGGTCCTTCCAGTTAAGGAGGACAAAGGTGAGAGAGAGGCGTCGTGGTGTTCACCGGGAACAATGATGCACACACAACAATCAAGAACCAGAACAGCACCTTGAGAGAGGCAACTCTCTTGGAGGACAAGAGAAGGAGAGGAGGGAAAGTTGGAGGAGCGGAGACAATGGGGGAACGGGAGCGGCAGCGGCGAGAAGATGAGGAGGGTGTACGGAAGGAAGGTACGGCCCACGGGTGGGAGTGGGAGTACCAGTAGGCACCGCACTGCAAACAAGGAAGCAGGCCGGGGCCCCCAAAGACCCAGCACAACACAGCAGCGCAGCACACAGTAGAGCACAGTACTGTACGGGTTTGGTACAGCGCAGCATAGCGCAGCACACAGCACCACACCAGCCAGACCCAGCACAACCCAGCATAAACACACCAGTTGCCAGCACTAGCGCCAGTCGAGGGACACACCCACCCCGGACGGCCAAGCCTGGGAAGGCTCGAGGTACGGAGCACGGTACGTGACGGATGGTCATCCGGGGGGTTGATACCTGGAGCGGTACTTGGGCTGCGGCGGCCGACGGAGCGGTGCTTACAGCGTCTACAGCGTACCTGCAGCACTGTCTCGGGGCCACCGCAGGGCACCCGTCAGCGGCGTGCACTGCCCACAGCGGATCTCTGCACCGCCCTCACAGGGCACCAGGATCGCGGCTTGGCTTGTACCTGTCGACGTACCCCAAATTGCGCTAGCACCCACTGGGCCCGTGGCGTCTGTGGTGCGCGTGGTGAGTCGTGGTGCGTGGTGGTGCGTGGGTACGTGTGCGGGAGTCTGGAAGGGAGGTCTCCCCCTAGGTCGTCTTCAGGTATCCAGAAGGGGCCGCAACAGGGGTTACAGTGGGTTATGGGGCCGCGCGCAGCGGCTTAACGGGTTCGGGCGATACGGCACGGCTACCTGTGACTCCCTCGGCGGGTACCTTCAAGGTACGTACCTGGGGAGGCCCCACGACGACATATTGGTGCATGCGTGCGAGGCAATGTGCTAGTTGAGTAGCACCACCAAAGGGTTCCTCCCGTGCCGTTCACCGGCCTCTTTCTTGTTCGGTTGCAGCCTTTGTCATGGCCCCGTCGTTTGGTGGGTGGTGTTCGTTGAGGAGTCCGACCGCACCACAAAGCAACAAGGAAGGCGGCAGAATCAAGTTGCAAAGGAAAAAGGCGAAGTTTTTTTTAATCCTTTACCCTGGCCTGTTGTAATTACCCCTTGTTCCTGTCACCGTCCTCCGCCATAATTGGACGCCAGTCTCGAATCCAGGGGACCGAAACGATATGACGGGCTGGATCCAGCGGGCAGGTTGAGCTACCTATTTAGCGAGCGAACGACGGCCAGATGTATCCCCCATCACCTATCATCCATGATCCATTGCCCTCGGCGAGACAGCCAGGGCCCAGATGGAGTCGCCAGCGGATCTGTCACCCGGAACGTGGCTTGGCTCTGGGGGGTACAGTAAAGCGACGTCGACTTGCTGTGGGTGGTAAGTATGTCGACGTCTCAATTGCCCAAGCAGCCCCTGGTCAGCTGGTTGGGTACGGTGCTGTACAACGACGAGCTCTCTCTCCCAGCCAGCCTTCGCCCGACGGCATGCATTGCCATTCTTTCTTTTTTCGCCGCTCAGCTGGGCGATAACGGATAAAGCGATGGGCACACACAACTACGGGATTGGAGCAGACGGGATGAGACAAGTTGAGACGAGACGGTGCTGCTTGCAAAGGCCTCATCCCTCTCTCGCCGCCCTTGGACGGACCCTTTTCGTGAGTGCTTGTCCATGGCAATGAACCTGAAGACGACGCTACACCGGAAAGCGAGGTTTGTCATGCCTGCAATTGCAATAGCGCGTCCCGACACCCTAGCACCCTAGCACCTAGCACACAGCATCCAGCACCCCCGGCGCCGCTTCCAGTCGGCCGGCAACAGGTCCATGTTGCCCTTCCCACTGTGGAGCGCTTGAACTATTTCCAGCTCGACCCGATTCTTGGGGGACGAGAGCTGTATTTTTAAGCTGAGCGCATCTCCGAGGCCGTTCATCATCGCTGGGTGCCTTGCTACCAGAGCAGGGCAGGGTATGTCGGCGACGAGGCCAGGGACGAGCCTAAGGTGAGGCTCAGGCACATCGCCTAGCAATTACTACGATGCCACATGGCGGTCGAGCGAGAACGCCGAGGACCAGCTGGTACACATGGAGAATCGCAGGGAGCCTGGACGGACGCCTCTTCTCCACATCCCACCCACGTCTACGTCCCGAGTCCAAACGAGTCACTCCCTCCTGAGTAGGCGTAGGGCAGCACTCTGAAGGCTGTTGCAGGGCGAACAGGGAGGGAATCGCCATAAGCGCCGGGCATCTCTACCAATTCTCTGCAACAGATCCCTACAGAGGTTCCTCTTGTGCGACACATCAGAGGCCGTGCTGACCAAGGGTCCTGCGCCATGTATTAACAGAATCGTCGGGGAACGGTCATAGTCAGATCAGGATGGCTCACTATGCGACCACCGTGACGACGGGTTTCCCGATGGCCGCTTTTGATTGGAAAGGGACCTCGTCGGTGGCTCGCCGCTCGCCCACTCCCAACTCCCCAAACCGGGCACTGCTGCTTTTACGCGGGAGCACAGGCTGGTGTGCGCTCTGTGCTTCAGCTGTTGGAACGGACGAGCTTGAGACGGTCGCTGAGCAATGGCACGCCCCTCTGCATAAGATGCAAGACTGAGTTATGCACCGGGCGCTACGTTTCTAGGCTAAGGCAGCTCATCCACCTACCTGGTCCACCGAGTCAAATCCGTTTCAAGGGCAATTACCATCCACACGAGACGTTGATCCGTCCGTCGTGGTATTTAATAGAGGAGCATACCAAGCCTGGCTCAACCCAAACCCCTGCAGAAGTAGGATGTTTGTTTTAAGGTTGTTCAACTGGCTCTATTTCTCTTTCCTTGAAGCCTCATATCGTGGTGAAATGCGTTTGCATTTCGTAGCTGCAGCCCGTCATACACTTTAACTCTCACCTCACACGGGGTCACCCAACAACACAGCCATCTGCAGATGCTTTGAACCATCACAGCCAGTCCTCCGGACGAAATTGTTTACTGTAAACCCACGACCCACGGGGATATGGTTCTATTCGATACGGTTCTCTCTGAACTCCGCTTACCGATTCTGCTTCAGCCTTGCAATTCGAACAAACCGTCACGCTTAGTCATGCATCTCCTGCACTCTTCAGCGACTTGCATCCCAGGTTGTCGATCATCCGCAGCTACGTTGGTCGGGACCTTGCAGACGGCCTTGTCGTCGACGCCGTGGCTGTTTTTCCTGTTACCACTGCAGTCCAGTTACACAAGCGGGCATCAAGGACCGAATTGCCGTGGCTGACTGCCATCCTTAGAGTTCCTTCTCGCCAGTTGGCATCCCACCCTCGGGTTCAACTCCGTACCTCCGTACCCCGCCAATTGACGCAGCAGATCGAGCAATACCTCCCGCGGCGAGCTACCGTCTCCCTTGCGCTGGCCATCACTCACACGCTAGGCGCACTGCTACTCTTCTCGTGGCTTGGCACAGAAAGGGTCTCGCGAAGCAGGAGACGCACTCAACAAATTCAAATAGACTCGTTGGATAAAGTCAAACGTTGCTTCGTTCTCCACGCATTCCCCGGGTACCAAATCCTCCCCTGGATTTATGGGTTTCATGAATGACCTGGCCCAAAAAGGCGTGGCGCAATCGGGCAATGAATATGGCCACAACCATCCTCTGCTCAGCCCCTAGACCCTGGGATCTGATGAAAGTTATCACTTGCCCCGTTGGAATTGAAGGCTTATCGAAAAGTACAAAAGCAGAGTAGTACTCGCCAGGTGAAAACGAGATACATTTGCTGGCATACGTGCGCGAGTATGCTCTCACCACGTACGGTGCGGTGGTGTCAGGGTGGCTGATGGACTGTGGGCCAAGGTTCCCCTGTCACAAGATCGAGTCCCAGGCTTGAATGCGTGCCGCCTGACCAACTGGATTGGACAGTATCGCTCTGGGCTACTGTTGGGTTTGACAGGCTCATTAGCACGCTCACCTCAAACAATCACAGCGGACTCTGTCAGGATCGTGATCACTTGACTCCTGACATAGCTGGCAAGGAGATCAATCGGCAACGGTTCTCAACGGTCCCCAAGCTAGAAGATTCGGAAAATCAGTGAATGGTCTAATTAAGTTGGGTTGGCGTCGTCACCGGCATTCTAATATTACGGGTAAGTTAGCCTCATTTAACATCTTCTCGGACCCCGCCAAACCCAAGCAACTCAGTAGGTATGCATTGGGTTCTAATTATTTGGGAGAAATTGAATGTTCATTTCAAACCCAATAGTTTGAAGCCAGCAATGACCCCGCTCTGTTTCGGACTCCTATCCATTGCTTGTAGAGCCAGCACACTGGAAAATGCGTAAGTGCCCAGCGTCATGCTAGCACACCGGGCTGGCTCCTGAGGAAAGGATGGAATGAGTTGCAACGGGGACAGCAAAGCCAAAGAAAGCGGCGCTGGAGCCAATCCCAATATGGACATGCCTGACAGCCTGTGGTACATGAAACGCACGAATAGAACCTCCGACTCGACAACATGGGACGAGCCAGCGGCCAAAACAATGACAGCGACTGCGACAGCAACCAAGGTGGCAGCGGCATGCCTGGAGCCCGACCAGGTTGTCTTCACCAGGACAGCTAGGCCCTGGCCGCGCGGGAGGCGGTTGACCCTGGTCAGACAGGATGCACAGGGGAGGGATCTGGGGCAGATAGGATGGGGATATGGATGGGATGTGAGTGGGCCTTGACGAGTGTTAGTGGGCGAGTGGGTGAAGCTTGAAGACCTTTGGACAAGCCCCCCAAAGCCAGCCTGTGCCATTGCCCACGCCAGCGATGCAAGACGCCGAGGGACGGACTCAGACGGACACACGACTTAACTCGTCACTCGGCTCGCTGACATCACCGACGGTCGGCTCGGCAGGCCAGTCCAGCGCAGTCCGGCAGCCCAGCGACCTCGCTCCCAGCCGCCAGAGCAGAACATTCCACGGGGTGCGACGGAGCTCCGGCATGGCTGCGACTTTTTATCGGAGGGGACAACCGAATTGACGACGCACACGCCGGGATGAAAATCCCGCCAGGCTCCCCCATCTTTGGAGATTGTCTCGCTCCCTCAGTTCTGTAGTTGCACATAGCCGCCGAGTTGAGTCGCGGCCAGACGCTCCAGCACACAAGCCGCCGTGGCGGCATGCGCTCGGCCAGTGGAAGCCCTCTGGCTTCAGGGCTTGGGGGGCTCTGAAGGATAATTAGGTCCCTCCATGGGAGCTTCTCTTTCTTGGGGGGGGGGGGGGTGTGTCAGTGGCCGAGTCTCGCTGGGCTTGGCGGGCCCATGGTCAGCTGTCGCCGACGCCCCGTTCCCAGTTGTGATGTGAGGTGTACGAATTCAGGTGGTGGGCGGGTACTCCATCTGCGATTCTCCGCCATCCCACTCCCATCCCACGCCGGCCACCTTCACGCCCAAGCCCAAACTGGCGCAAGGGTTCTCTGGCTGGGGGTCCGCCTTTTTGGCAAGACACTCGCTCCAGCGTCGACTCCCGTTCGATGATGCCATGGGTTGCTGCGTGTGTGACCGTCGTCCGGTCCTATGTGGTCCAAGCCCAATCCATCTGATCTGATGTTAAGCAGACCGCCCCGAACCCTCCTCTCCCTGACTCCGCAGTTGTGAACTCTTGAGTCCAATTCGGGGAATCTGCCAGTGCCGGACAACAGTCGCGGTCAAGGCAAGCGTCGGCAAACGTCAGCGGAGGCTTTGCCGATGGTACAACACATTGTCGGAGAGCAAGCAATGCATTGCCTCGTCCTGCCAGCCAGGACATCGACAAGACCCGCCCGGCTGCGCGGTTGGACGACGGGCATGGCCGACACGAACACCGTCCGGGAGAGACACCGAGGGACGCAGTGCGGGACCGCCACTGTGAGGTACAACCACTGTAGGTTGGCATCTTGCAGGAGGATGCGTGCATTCACCCATTCGAGGCGTCGACATTTGACAGAAGGGTGGGCTGGACCACAGGTCAGCCGGGACCTCGTACTGGCGGGCCTCCTGCACCGAGTCTTGGTCCTGCACGTAACCGTCTGTGTCTCTGACGTTGCCGACCGTCGACGAGGCTCTGACGCCTGTCCCTGACGACAACGACGAGGCGTCCGTAGGCAATTAATTACAATTGGGCAAGATATTCACAGAAAGGGACGAATGTAGGCCAACGACCAGGCAACTCGCCCGCCCAGCCCCTCTGCCCATAATTCACATGGGATTTCATCCCACGACCGCCTTGCCTTGCCTCAACTTCAGGGTCCAGGATATGCCACCTGCGGATGGGGGCCCCCCCGGCCAGCCCGATTAGGCCAAAGTTGACGGCTTCGATTGCCCAGTCCCGCCGCCCTCCGCGAAAACGGAATTTCAGGAACCACCTAACAGCGAACGCCTGTTTTACAGCCTTTACTGCATGCGACAACTTGGACATCATCGACGGCCCGCTATCTGGGCGTTGATGCTGCTACAGATGATTGATCATTTTGCTTTTTGCGGTGTCTCTTCAATGCTTTGCGAAACTGCTCGTATGAGCCGTCGTACCGCGCAGGTCCCCCGGCCGTGCGTCATACAGCAAAGCTATCCGAGATGTGCTCTTCTAAAACCATGACAATCGCAGATAGCCAACCAAGAGAGAGATGACGGCATGAAACTCTCAATGAGCTCAGCTGCCGTCACGGTGCCGCCCCTCTGTCCCTCTATCACAGTCAATCCCATTCCTGAGAATGCATCTGTCCAACATGCGTGGATCCTCCCGGTTCATCACCCAGGCTAATGACGGCGGGGCGCGGGCAATGGCCATTATGGGTACGTGCAGTGTTCCGTTTGAATGCGGGAACGCCAGCCCCATTTGCGCCTCAATGTTTCTACCCGGGCAATACGCATGTACGTACACGCGCCGTAGGGCTGCTGGGAATGCAATATTCGACACGGTCGGCCGCCCAGCGAGTACGAGCATCGAGGGCGCGAGGGATCTTTAGGTTGCCGTAGGATCAAGGCACGGGTACACCGGCCAGGCAGAACGGACGCAGGTGGGGTGGCTGAAGGAGTTGGAACGCAGGTACATGATCCCTTTACCAAACTCTCGAGGCCGCAACATGCGGCAGCCTTGAACGCAAAGGGTATCGGAGTGGAAGCTAAGGCGCGTGCCGCAACTGGCTGGCTGGCTAAATGGCCGATGGGAAGCGGACTCAGGCAATGTCTCGCCACCATCAGCCTAGCCAGACAAATGAACCTCTAAGAGCACGGTTTGGGTCCAGACTCATTTTGTCGAAGACTCACTCGCCGCCTCACCCACAGGCCGGGTGTCATCATTCTCCCCAGTCGTATAGAGCGATCAAATACGTGAATTTGCGACATCGCCACAATGCGCCTTACAGTCCAGGTACCCGAGTATCTTCGGTACATATTAGAAACAGATATAGGTACTTTGGTATGTTGTTCACCCATCGGGGTTTAATAAGCATTGAAAATATAGTTGATAGAAGGCAGATATCTCCCTCGGAAAGCTACGTGCTGCCATCACGAAAAAGGAAGTTGCTGCAAAAAGCCGCCAAGAGAGCACATATCTAATCCTTGCAAGGTGTATCTCTGACGGCAAGTGGAGGCGCCTTTGGTACATACCACTGCCACTGCCACTGCCACTCCTTCTGCCATTGACTCTACGGGCAGCAATATGTCATCGGGCATGGGTGGCCAAAGACCATGGCGCGGGCGGCGGGAAAGCTTCCTTGGAGTCGGCCAACGGTTCTGGAGGTGGCCGAAAGGCCTGTCCACACACACACACACACACGCAGGTTCCGGACCATCACGAACACGCACCACTCTCGCGTGGCCGATCAGGGTACCAGCGGAAAGCGGACTAGGATGGTCCAAGGACGGCACCACAGAACGGACCATGCGAGGGAAATCATTCCCAGATGATCCGGATGGGCGGTAAGGCCTCGGTGCGTGCAGTGCAGCGCACGGTTTTGGACGGCCGAAAATCCCTGGCCAACCCGGAGGAACTGCTGGGCCTTTTCTACAGCGCTGTCGGTACAGTGTGAACAGTGACGATTGCCAAGTCCAGCGAGGGTGGGATTGAGGCTATTTACGCGGCGAGTTCTCGCTGCTGACCAAGTACTTTAGCTGCATCGCTCGACGGAGTACATGGGAACCAACCACCGCCGAACCACGAACGGAGGCGTCGGCAAAGGCCCGAATTCATGCTAATGTCCTCATCCTCCGCCAGGGCGTTCTGCGATTGAGAGACAGATAACAGCAGCTCTGCTGGCCGTGACATCTCATCTCACCCATCTCAGCTCAGCTCAGCTCGGACAAGCCTACAGGTCTCGTTACCGCCGCTCCCCCCCACGGCTTAGAGCTCGGCAAGTTTGTCACCTCCGTTGCTTTGTCACTTCTCACCCACGAGAAACTGATAGAAGGGCCATGGTTTCTTTCGGTCGTTCCATCCCTCCGTCTCTGTCATCCGGATAGGCCCGCTGCAAGCCATGCCAATCAGGCATGGCGGGCTGCGCGGTGCGTGCAGCCATTGCGGTGCAGTCCGTCAGTCCGTCAGTCGGCCTGCGTTGGGCTGCGTACTACGTAGGCATCTTCACCAATCCATCCGTTGCAGATGGCAGGACCCAGTAGAATACGGCCCAAGTCACTTTGTACTGTTGGAGGAATGTTTCACGCAGGTCACGTACTTGGTAGGTTACTTTGTTGCTGACGAGTTCGCCACATTTGACGCCGGGTCCCTCCCTACGGGCCGGTCCCTCTTTAATTCAACGATAATGGGATGAGAGTTGGGATGGATCTCCGTCGTCGTGGGGTTGAGATGGTACGTCCGTACCGGGCGAGACGGTTGTCCGAGCTGCACCGACCGAAAACCAAAAACCACGGCTCCCAGCGGTCCTTGCTTGAGTTCCGGATGGGTTTCCCTCGGTCCCGGACGTCGAAAAGTACTCGAAGCGTCGGGTTCCAGGAAGACGTATCCCGGTCGAGAAACCAGCTCGGTGGGTGAGCGAAGAAGCGTGGGCGACGGGGAGTGGGTTGTGACATGGGTGACATGGAGAGCTGCGAGGACCATCCATGTCGAATGTCGACTAGCGCCGGGTCCATTGGGACCGGTGGAATATAGCGGACTGATGGTGGAATTGAAGCCGTCGTCAATGGTGACAAGGCCGACGACGTGTGGGATCTAACGGCCAATAGTGCCTCCCACTGTGATTCCGGCATGAGTCGGGACCATCGCTGTCGCATGCTCAACTGGGTTTTGTTTGTCTGGGGCACCCACAGCGTCGGCGAGCCACCTGATTGATTGCCTGCGCGTCTCTGTTCTGGACTTCGGGGTCGGGCTACGACCGAGTAAGTGCGCAGCTTCGTTGGCAGTGTTCCTGGAATGAAACTGTTTGAGATGGGGCATAGTCACAGCGATCTTTGCCTGGTTCCTGGCGGTTTCTCATGCCTCACAGGGTGCAAATGCCAACCGGGTCGTCAATTCCTCATCGCCGGTCATAGAAGTCATCCGCCCTCACGCATTCTGTTTCTTCCCTCGTATCATATCACAATGCCATCGTACTCATTGCCTCGGTTGAGGTCATTTTCCACCCACGTCTCCTCCCACTCTTCCGCGACCCCTCTCCCAATCATCCTTGTTCCTGCTGCTGTCTGCATCTTGTTTCTGCTGGTCATCCGACGTCAAGCCACCAAAAGCGAACACCGAACACCCGCCACCACTTTTTTTTCTCCTCCGCCCCCGCGAGAGGCGTTCTGGGCTCACCCCAAGACGCCAAAAAGCGGGGTGTTAGTATATTCCAGCCAGAATGGTCCCGGTTAGCTTCCCAACGATCGATTGCTTCGATCGACCGGCCAGCCAAGCGCTTCCGAAAGAAAACTTAACGGGGATCGGTTCTCGCGGCGAGAGGGCCTTTGCACTGTGAGCGAGTTGTTGGATGCTGGGGTAGTTCAGAAAAGCGCATTTCTCCCGATGATCAGCAGACAGACAAGTGCATGTACTTCATTCGTACTGGGAATCCCAAATGGCCCTCTCAGAGCTGCCCGATCATGCATGTGACATCTACGTGATACACCCACCTCTCGGGCTCCCTGGGGATCGGGCGGAGGGACTGACGCAGCCTCTGACGCCTTTGTCTCACTGTGTGAGTGGCAACAAATCCAAACCCGCTGCAGAAGTCATCTCACAGTAATACAGTTGCCGTGTCTCAGGAACGGATGCGACACCGGGCGAGGGAGCAAAGCGTTGGCTCTAGGATGCGGTTTAGCCAGTCATCAGAGCATTGCCATCGCCTCAGGAACGCGAAGTCGCCGCGTCGCAGCCAGTGAGACAAGTCACGCGCAACGCGTGCTGTACGGTCATGATGTCGACAATAGAGGACGTACGTAGTAGGGCGAAGATGGGAATTAACTGGGCAAGTGGCCCATCATCGGTTTAATCGTGAACCTGGCGCACTGGCAAGCTATAGTACACGGTCCCTGGTCTCTTGCTTCTCGTACACTGGGGTTTGGCGGGCGGCATGGCACGTTTTGCAGCCTTGGGTGCCATGCCTTGATCCGTCTTGTTCCTCCAAAGGGCGAGACCCGTAGCTCACAGCTTGCACTTCCAATTCCAAGGCCAAATGTCGTACCAGATGTCTGCGAGCTCCTTCTCCCACCCCTATTGCGTTTTGAACAGTAGAATGGCGCAGTGGCCGAGATAGAAGTAGATGAAGTGCTTCGTCTCTGTGATTCAGGGTTACCACATGTCAGCAAGAGCAAACAAGAACGAAGGGAATATGAGGCTCGAACATACCGTGAGTCACAAAGCTACCGAAATTTCGGCCAACGATGCAGTGCCAGGTAGGGCCCTTTCGCTCGTCAAACTAGAAACGAATATCTGGTCAGCTGGGGTAGGTAGAAGACGTGTTTGAGGTGCCACCAACAGTTCGCTTGATGTGCTGCGCAATATCCTACGATATGTGTGAGTCTAGTGGTTCCGCGTGGCAGGGGACCTTGGTGGGAGAACCTTCTCGATGGTGAACTTGGCCATGGCCTCCTGAGCTGTAGCCTCGTCAGCCTTGTTCATGCCCTACGAGGCGCATGGTGACGTCGTCATGGGTGCCCGGGAAAAAACATACCAACTTCGATCGATTCCTGCTGCAGGTCATCCGTCTGTTTTCGTCAGCGATCGAGCTCGGTGTGTCTCTTGGCGGTACAGCTCACCATGTCGGCAGACTTGATTTGAGCTGGAGCTTGGGTGTTAGCTGAGGTGTCCCAAAGTCGTCGTGTCATGGAGGGGGTCCCTCCCACCTTCGAGCTTCTCCCGGGAGCCGGGGTTTTCGGGGCCTTGCTTGTCGGACATCGTGGGCGTGTGGTGGGGGTTTTGGAGGATTGTCAAATTCGATTCTGCGCGTGTGTCTGGTCAGCCCGATACGTCAGTTGTGCGATGGCGAGGCGGACTGCGAGAAGGCGGTTGAACAGCTGGACAGTTGCCTCGCCCCCTTTTTCTCTGAGCCTTGTTTCGCGACGGCGGTACGTACAGGTGGCGGCGCCTAGGAGAGGGGACACGTCGCGGTCGTGTCGTGGATGCGAGTGGTTGAAAGCGGTGCGGCGACAGGTGTTTGTTGTCTGGAACGTAGCCGGCGACAAAGGGCTTATAGAGCAGGCGGTTTCGCGAGTCGCGTGGTTGATGGTGTTGTTGGAGGGCTTCGCGGGACGTGCGCAAAGAGCGCCGCGCCCGGCACTTGGCTTGCTTGCGTGTGAAGGGGGCGGCTGAACCACCAACACTTCCCGCGTACCCTATACCCGCCGCTTTCGGGATGACAAGCTTGACACTGCCTCACACAGTCGTCGTCATGGCGCGGTGGTGCGCTGACGACGTTCCCTTTTGATTGCGTGCCATTTTTGATCATTCTCCTTGTTCTTTTTACTCGTCTGAAGTATCTCATCGCTGTCTGTCATGTGGAGACCATTCAGAGCTCAGTGGTCGCTTTGATGCATCGTTACTTAGAACGGTGACACAAAGAGCATGAATGTCATCTGGGAACGTTACAAACAACGAAAGACGTAGAGTGTAGGATTATGCAAGCCCCAGTATATGGGGAATTATCTGACAACACTCATATAATCAAACTAGTGGTAATTTATCAATCTCAACACGCAAAAAACAAACATTAGCTCTAACACCATGCATGAACCACACCACCACCACTGGCAAAACGGCAATGCGCTATCAAAAGCCGGCTGTGGCTGCTGCAATAGTTTGTGTGCATATGTACTAGACTACTTTCATGACCCCTGAAGTCGTGAATCCTAGTTGTTATTTTCACACGCCAAACACACAGAATCCCCTGTCCCAACACACCGTCCCCTGTCCAGGGCGGTAAAGAGGCGACGGACTCGACAAGACTGACCGAGATCCTGTGACATGGAAGAAGCTCAGAGTTTTGCTCACCGTACCCCGTACAGCTCACACCGCCGGTTCCCCTAAACTAGCATGGATTGAGTGACTGGGGTTAAGTCCAGGGTCAGAACACGCGGATGGCGTGAACACTGAATACGGGAGAGAGCGCAGGTTATTGTGGGTTGCAGCCCAGAAAATGACGAGGAGAAAGGAAAATGATAGAATACCATAAATGTTCACAACCAAAGTCACAACTCAAGGGAGCAATCGGGAAAATCAGGCTCTTCATCGACCCCCAAGACTGAGGATGCATATGGAATTCATGTGCCGGGCCAGAATCATTCGTGTACCCGGAAAACTAGGACTACAGCTCGAGAGAAGTCAAAGCCGAGATGGTTGAAGCGAGAGAGACGTACTTTGGCGACACTGGGCCTAACAATGACAAATTGCAGAGACCGCATGCCCTAACTCCGTGTACTCCGCTGGGACACCGAGACCCGAGTATTTGGTCGATGCACTCCAAGGTTGTGAATCAGTTGTAGGGACTGTACCGGGCCATGTCTGTGACGATTTTGTTAGGCTCTGAGGTTCGGCAGTGTGACAGTTTAGTTCCAATAAGAAGGCGCAGAATAGACTCACGAGCAGGAATCCCCCGTCCATTGGGCCAACGAATAGTTGACACATCTGGTCACATGTGAATATCTTGTTGGGCTTACATTCGCCTACCACCGTTATTCGGCTGGCATACTTACGTTTCAAATGGATCCTAGCGACTCTACGTCTCGCCATTACCGATGGTCTGTTGTATCATTAGGCGACATGCTATATTGACTCTGAATTCAAGTCATATGGTGCATTTGACCTCTATTGCGTCTTTGCCGATTTAGTATTTGCGTCGTCTGTAAATCTACTGATCAGCGGGATCAAGTGACCGCAGCCGAAGAAGTACTGGCGTCGGGCGGGGACAGTAACCTCCCACTCAGAGAGTTACCAAAGACCCAAACGTATTACTTTTATCCAGCCGTTCTATAAATTCGATACATCTACCATGCACCGTGTTCATTCGCCACGTCATCTTACACCCCCAACCAAGTTCACTCGTTGGTTCATCTAAAAGGAAGACAACCCATGATCAACCATATCCACGTTCCGTCCTGGGCATAGATATGTAGCCTGAATAATTTAGTTGGATTGGACACTGCTACACGCGGGTCTCTATGACCTGGAAACTGTCTTTGAGTTCGAGTTTGGGAGAAACGGTATTAATTGTCAAATACAGAATCGGCCACCCACCATGTACATGATATCTTGAAGAAGAAAGCAAGTTGCTTTGCAACCTTGATTTGATCTAATTACAAAATCTCAAGCCTGTGAAAATTATGAAATGAGTCCGTAACTCGGAAGTTGTGTCTGACCTAGCAAGCTATGATCTCTTTTGTTCCTGAGAAGCTTTGCTATTAAAAGTTATTTTTAGAGGATCATGAAGTATTGCTAGGAAATGAGAGTACATGTGAAAATTTCCATTGGGTCTGTGAACTGGGGAGGTGTGCCCCGGTTACCAATTGATCAGCTCCGAAATCCTCTGCAATCCATCTTCCAAGACTGCCGCACATCTTACAAGGAAAATGGAAGCCTGCAAGTCATAAACCGAATGAGCTTAATTTTCCGGAACTGTATTGCCTGATAAAATCACGGGAGACACATGGTGAGTGATTGAAAGCTGAAGCTGGATATCCGTGCATCGTCCTGCAACATCTTTGTAGCCTGTCTCAAACAGATACTGGATTTCACAATTGACTGGAAAGAGAAAAGAGAACGACTTGAAACCATCTGCGATATATAAAGGGATTTATACCGGATGAAATGTCTAGAGTTTGGGAATGTTATAATTTGTATCTGAGCCACGGGCTTGATCCGACTACTTTCCAACTTGCCTAGTAAGTTGACGGGTTGGATGTCTATCGGAATAAACACTTGATAATAATTGTCCCAGAAACACCTGAGATGGAATTGAAGAATTCTGTGTCCACGTGGTAACAGTGCTTACTTGTGTTAACGTTCTTGATAGACGGGAAAAGGTTGACAACAGCAGACCCAGTGGACCCCAAACAAATCCTGGTGACTAACAAACTCATGCGTTAGATGGCCACTAATATTTCCTATATCTTCGCAGTGGATCTCTAACCAAATATTGAACTAAAACAGCCCTGCATGTACGGAGGAATGGTGCTTGAGTTGCTGAAGTGTGGTGCATTAAAGAGGCTAGCCACAAGCTAACAGCGGAACAAAATGCTACGTCTTTTGAGCCTGGACTGTTACAAATGGCCATCGAAACCGTGCATTCATATTTGATCTCGAATAGCCAGGCGGAATTTTTCACATCTCTGACTTGACGGGGCATACGAAAGGTCCCGCAGGGGACGAAGTTGAAGAACGAAGGTTGCTGAGAGACGATGCAAATCATCGAGGTGTGGTGGAGTTCCACATAGAGACGAAATTCGACCCGGACGCACGGGCCATGTTGTTGTTGTGCCCCACCCTTAACGATAAAGAATGGAAGGAAACTTTTTTTCTCTTCTTCTTCCTCTCTCCCTTCATAAGGAGCGCCCGCGTCGAGGATGCAACCACATCTCTATCTCCCACGGTGAACCATTCGCCTTGACTGGGAGTCGTCATCTCCACCATGGCCTCCTCAAGAATCTTTGTCAAGGGCTTGCCACCCAACATTACCGAGGCTGACTTTCGGAAACACTTCTCCGCCAAGGGTCGCGAAATTACCGATGTCAAGCTGATCCCCCAGCGCCGCATTGGCTATGTGGGCTACAAGACGCCCGATGATGCCACCAAGGCAGTAAAGTACTTTAATAAGTCTTACATTCGGATGTCCAAGATTGCTGTCGAGACAGCGAAACCCGTGAGTAACCACCCGATGTCTTGGTTGACGTTATGCTCATGGAATGCCAGATCTCAGACCCCGCCTTGACGAGAGGCCAGAACCAGTCGCATTCCAGCTATGGTGCGGCAGGCAGCATACCCAGGGGCTCAGATCAACCAGCTGAGGATGAGTCGAGTTCCAAGAAACGGAAGCGAGACGAGCCGGACGCCTCCGACCCGAAGCTGCGCGAGTTCCTTCAAGTCATGAAGAGAGGTCGCGAGAGTGCGATGGAAGACATGTCAAACACAAACCTTGGTGGCGACCTGCCCGCTGTTCCCGCAGCTGCTGTTCCTGAGGAGGAGAGTGACGACGAGTACGAACAAATCCCAGCCTCCAGGGGGAAGCAGCGCAGGATAGATCCACCGCAGAAGGACCAGGCCTCGGACTCTCCACCAGCTCAGCTGATGGAGATAGACACACCCTCTGCCAGCCAGGTACCAGCCTCTGACGAGACTGCTGAGCCTTCGGAGGCGAAACAGGCGAATCTGGAACAGCCGGGACTCGGCGCAACAGATGACGATTGGCTACGGTCGCGGACAAACCGGCTGTTGGACCTCGTTGATCCCAATGATTTGGAACGAATTCCTGTCCAAGCCACCACTACCACTGCTCCTGAGACAAAGGGGGGTGATGTCGACAACACTGTCCTCCCGAGCCCGCCATCCAGGGTGGATGTGGCGGTTGGCCAAGCTGCTCCTGAGAAGGAGGCGGGTGAACCAACGAGTGATGACCCCCTGGAGGCGATTCGCCGAACGTCTCGGCTCTTCGTGCGGAACCTTTCCTACACTACGACGGAAAACGACCTTCGCGAGAGCTTTCAGAAGTTCGGAACACTTGAAGAGGTACGTGGTATTTTTTTCTTTTTTTTGCAAGAGGAAAGGCGACGTGATGAACCTCAGATAGGGACAGCTTATACTTCGGTATTTGATGAGAACCTTGAGACGAATATTTTAGTAGATGCTTCGATTAGCTGAATTGTTGCCTCATTTTCTGGATTGTGTTGTTGAGCTCTCTTTGGTTTCAAGACCGCTAACAATGCTAGGTTCATTTGCCCGTCGCTGGCTCAGGGGCGAGCAAGGGGTTCGCCCTGATCCTCTTCGCGGACCCAGCCCAGGCGGTTGAAGCATTCCAAGCCATGGACGGGGCAACGTTTCAGGGGCGAATTGTCCACATCATTCCTGCCAGTGCAAAGAGAGACACTGGCTTGGATGACTTCGCAATCTCAAAACTTCCTCTGAAGAAGCAAAACATGATCAAGAGGAAGGCCGAGGCCGCCGCTAGTACCTTTAACTGGAATGCGCTCTACATGAACCAGGATGCAGTCAACGCTTCCGTTGCTGAGCGTCTTGGTGTTTCAAAATCTGAGCTGCTCGATCCTACCTCTGCCGACGCCGCTGTCAAACAGGCTGTGGCAGAGACGAGCGTCATCCAAGAGACCAAAGCGTATTTCGCCGCTAACGGTGTGGACCTGGAAGCTTTCAAGTCTCACAAGCGGGGCGATACTGCCATCCTGGTGAAGAACTTCCCGTATGGCACGACGATCGACGAACTCAGGAAACTCTTCGAGGAGTCTGGGCCTGTGCTGAGGGTCCTCATGCCCCCAAGTGGAACAATCGCCATTGTCCATTTTGCTCAGCCGGGCCATGCCAAATCCGCTTTTGGAAAGCTGGCGTATCGCCGGATCAAAGATAGCGTGCTCTTTTTGGAGAAAGCGCCAAGGGATCTCTTCAAAGGTGACCTAACTGATCATGTCGTGGCGCTAAAAGATCGGCCGACCACGGTTCAAAAGTTAAGTGTCAACGAGCTACTGACACGCGGCGATAAGCCGGAGGAGGATGTGGAAACAACCTCGCTGTTTGTCCGAAATTTAAACTTCACTACGACGACGATTAAGTTGGCAGAAACTTTTCAATCGCTGGACGGCTTCGTTTCGGCTAGAGTTAAGACCAAGATGGATGCTAAGAAACCAGGCCAAACGCTGAGCATGGGGTTCGGCTTTGTGGAGTTCCGCACGAAGGAACAAGCTCAGGCGGCACTCAAAGTCATGGACGGCTCTGTCTTGGAGGCTCACACCCTCGCCGTCAAGGCATCTCACAAGGGTCACGACGCTGCCGAGGAGCGGCGACGGGAGGACAAGGCCAAGAAGGCAGCAGGGCAGAGGACGAAGATCATCATCAAGAACTTGCCCTTCCAGACTACCAAAAAGGACATCCGAACGCTATTCGGGACCTACGGCCAGCTGAGATCCGTGCGCCTTCCCAAAAAGGCAGACTATACCCCAAGGGGTTTTGCATTTGCAGAATTCGTCACTCCCCGAGAAGCCGAGAACGCACTAAATGCGCTTCGGGACACCCATCTTCTTGGCCGTAAGCTGGTCCTGGACTTTGCAGAGGCAGAGGCAGTTGATGCCGAGGAGGAGATTGCAAAGATGCAGAGGAAAGTAGGAGGCCAAGTCAACAAGGTAGCCCTTCAACAGTTGACTGGGAAGGGGAGGACGAGGGTCAATATTGGAAACGAGGATGAACTGGACGCTTGAGGGGAGGAAACTATCTCTCCATGGTCGCCCGCTCTGTCAGGCGAGAGAGCCCAGCAAGGCAAGGCTGAAGCGCCCTCCTCATGCCCTCGCCCCGGGGGTTGTATCCCCCTTGGGAAGGGATCGAATGCCGTGGGGTGGATGGGTTAGCCGTCGCCTTCCTCGCTGCCGAACCCTCCACCACAGGGGGCCGCCACATCGTGGGTCAGATATTCATTAAAGAATTCAGCATGTACACGGGGAGGTGCGGGCTCCTCCTTATGTCTGATGTCAATCTCGTCCACATACCTTGTGCCATTGATGCCATATCCGCGAGGCGTCGCTCGCCGCACGCCCCATCCTGGTGATGAGCCCACCTTCGTCCTGGACCCGCTCGATCCTCCCTTGCATACTAACGCCCTCGACACAAACCTCAAGCTGCCATGTGCCAGTGGCTTCTGCCAGTGGTCGCAATTGGTCGCCACTCTCCTCGCCGTCGACATCCCTCAGCGCGATGCCTGCTGAGTTCCCCGCTGTTCGAGCGCCCTTCCCACACTACCCACCCTCCCCCCATGTACCTCCATGTCTTGCGATGGATGGATGGATGGATCTCGATATTTGGGCTGAGGAGGGGCAGCGACCCTCTGCTCGGTGAACACGCTCCGCAGACTATCTATACCCTCTCCCAGGTCTTGGATTTATATGCTCTAATACTTCTCCTGAATGCCTCTCCGTTCCAGTGGTTGAGCTGCCTTTCTTCAGGCATACATCTATCCCACCATTCCACGTCTTGAATTCCTTTCAGCATTTCTCATCCTCTTTGACCTGCCCATTACACCCACTCATAGAGCAGCAAAAGGCAGTTCCGCTGGATCGAGCTTGTTCTTGTGAGCATCTTCGTCGGCATTCCTCGCCTCCATTCAGCTGTTGCCATGTCGTCGTCACTCTACCACCCGCGGCCGGTGCTGTCGTCGCAACGATACTCGCCTTCACCAGACTACCTGGACAGCCGGAGAGGCAGCACATACAGTGCTGGTCGACTGCCTCTGCGGGAGGGCAACAGTAATGCGCAGTCACACAACTTCAATGGGATGGTCTCATGCTACCAGAACTCTGTTGGCATGTCGCCATCCATGCCTCCCAATATCCCCGCCCCCATGGTTCCCTCGCAATCGTTCGATTGCCTCTATCGTGTACCTACACCTCGCAACCAGCCTCGCTACCAGCGCAGAACCCGGAATGGCGTGAACCCTCTCTACTACTGGCCGGCCTTCCGCCAGTACCGCAACAGACAAGCCCACAAGGACACACAGAAGGACAAGGGAGGTGTCTGGAGAAGACCAGAGCTTGAGGATGCCTTCGTTGACTGTAAGAACTCCTTACCCTCTGCCATGGCAAGAAAAAGTATCCTGACGATGATAACTAGCTGTCCTCCTCATGCCCCATATGGGCCGACGCAAGTTCTCCATGGGAGGCAAGCTCCACGGCCGCAACATGCTCATCAGTGAATACATATTCGTCATCTGCGTTGCCATCCTAGGCAGCAAAGAAATTTTCCGCATCGACAACAGCAACGACAGCATCGAGCAGATGGGACGAAAACAGGTGTCCAGCCATATGCAGGTTGTGAAGAAGTTCTTTGAAGATTTGCGCTGCTGTGAGTTGAACTTGGACCTCTTGGAGGTAGCGCATACTAACGCCTTCGTTTCAGTTCACTTCCTCTTCCCTGCCGAGGAGAAGAAGGAGCCTGGTTCAACCAACTCGGATGACTATTATGACGAGGAAGAACAAGAGTCGTTCAAGTCCAACCCTGTCCTGACTGCCTTGGCCGAGGGCCGAGTTCCGGATGTCAAGCCGAACTACGAATACTTCTCCCAGCTCCTGGCGCTCCAGTCGTTGATCACAGTCCGTCCCAAGACCTGCGAGGTTTTTGTGTCATCATCCGATGTCAAGATCCGAGACGAGATTGCCTACGATGCCCGTGACAACCCCTTGGACCAGGAGTCGTTCCCGCACTTGAACAAGTACAGCAACTGCGACGATAGCCCGAACGTTCTTGGCAAGGACGTGCTGCTCCACGAGTACACAAGATCCCTGGACCGATCGACTTCAGCCTGTGTCAAGACGGTTACCCGCCGATGGCAGAAGGATGCGCCCGAGATGTATGAGACGCTGGATCTGCCTGTTCGAGATGAAGAGTGCCTTCTTCTTGAGATGTGTGCGACCTTGGAGTTGCACGAGCACGCCAAGTTCCCTTCCGGCTCAGAGCTCACTGGCTTTGTTGAGGTGGCAATCACGCAGCCCAGCCTCCAGAACCACCGATGGAAGTGTGTCACACGACTCACCCGCCCTGCAGAGCTGCACAGCGAGGACTCAAAGCCGAGCGTGTACTCCAACGAGACCGGAATCCACCGACGAGGTTGCAGCGACTCCAAGGCCGACTGTGACTGTCATGCGCGACCGCGCCAGGACATCCACGTCCCCTTTCCTGCGGTCGAGTGGGCCAGCATCTTGAGCATGGCTGTGCAGTACCCGGACGTTGAGCACCAGCGCAAGAAGGAGAAGCGGTCTAAGCATGACGGCGAGCGGAAGAAGAGCGAGTTGGAGCGATCTAGCAGCAAGCGCAAGCGCTCTGAGGATGACGGCGATGCCGCATCTTGGGCTCGCCGCGAGCTGACCGGCAGCGACTTGATCTGCAAGGTCGCCATGTATCAGGAGCTTTGGTCATGCGCCCCTGACTCCTCGCGGTGGACTCGCCAGGGCATCGTCTTCTGGCGGTTCAACACGACCAACCAATGGTACAAGTACAACCCGGTCTTCAAGCCGGCTGGTACGTCGTGGCGATGGCTCACCATCAACGACCCCATGTCGCGATACCACCAGCAGAAGGCGCTCGTCTACCCGTCGGCAATGGTGTCGAGAGACTCTGTCATGTCACCCACACCCTCGGTCAATCAACACATGAACGCCGTCATGAATGAGACCTTCAGCTCCGCATGGGACAGCAATGTGGGCTTGGGACAGGTGCCGACGGCGCCAGCAGCAAACAACGGGCTCACACTGTTCGAGTCCTTCTCCAATGGACTCGCTACACCTCCGCCAACAGCTGGCCTTCACCCGACCTACCCTACCAACTTTGATCACAACATGCCCCAGTCGACAGGCGTGGGATACCTACCCGGCACGTGCAGCACAGCCGCCACGGAGTCGCAGGTGAGCACGGCACACAACCATCATACAGCGGCCTACTTTGACGGGCCGTCGACGTTGGCAGATCTCAAGCCCGTGATGCCCTCAGTCGGCTCGTTCACTGCGGCGACCACGGGGCTGGACTTGTCGAACTCGCTCGTCTACGACAACTCGGAGTGTGATACCGGCCTCCAAGGCTGGGACATGCCATCACTCGATGCCTGGCCAACAGACGCTGCAGCGGGCACGGACTGGGCTGCCCAGACGACAAAGGGTCGACCATGGTGACCAGTCAACCATGTGGACGCCGGCACAGTGGGCGCAGATGACGGCGAACACAGGCGCTGGGGCAGAACGCGATGGCAGCCCACGGCCGATGAAGCGAAGACGAGGGGACACGATCGACGGCCATGTGCCGGTCACTGTTGCGACAGGAGGTTGGTAAAATTGGACAGGGACAGTCGCAAGGCTGGCAGGCAGGAGATGGATAGAAGATGGAGTAATGAGATCTGGGTAATGCATTTGTTTACGGCAACGTCACGGATATCGCAAGAGTTCATGGTGTTTTTCCTTTGGGCGGCGTTGGGACGATAGTGGGTTTTGTCGCAGGCAGAAAATACCATTGTGGTTATAGACATGACGGGAATATGTTGAATGGTTAGGACAAATTAATTGAGCTGTGTTCTACATCAACGACTGCATTCGAGACATGTTGTCTATTCTTGTTGAACAATGGAACCTGGTCAACCAACGTCTGGGGTCTCAGATGTCCTCCCCAGGTTACGTGGATCAATGGCTCATTAACTCGGATGAGGTCAGACAAAAGCCACGACACCCGCAATTAGAAAACGGCTTCCGACAAGAGTCTCAGAGGGCAACGGAGAAATCAAGTGTCTCTTCAGCAGCGGCTCCACCATCAGTTGTGAATCATGATTCATGAGGGAGACGGAGTCCCACCCTTGAACGCCTCTACCGGAGAAAGGGCCAAGCATAATCCAACCCAAGTGACGGGACGATACCATTTTCGCCCAGAGAAGCAAAAATAAGGAACGGTCGGGAGATGGGTAGAGACATGGCGCCGAGAGCTGGATGGCTGAGACACTTGAGATGGAGCGTGCGCGCAGTCCTAGAGAGTGTTCTTTGTGTCTAGTGTGCTTTTTTTTTGTTCACTCTGCATTGCAGCGCCTATCGCCTACCGGTTCCTTTGAACTAGAAATTACTTTTTTGCTTAATTTAGGTACACTACATATTTGAGGCGGACAAGGGTGCGAATATTGACGGAGGGAGGTGAAGCTAGGGAAACACAGTAGCGGGGTGGAGGGAGAGAGGAGTTTGAGGGGCACGAGTATTGGGATTTTAGGACGACAGCTGTCAAGGAGTTTCATAAAGGGGATTCTCCCCTTACCGAGGGAATTTATTGGGTGAAAGGAGGCGAAATGAGGTGAAAGAAGGAGATGCAGTGGGTGTGCTGCGCAACTATCACCACCTAAGCGTCCACCCAAGCGTCCACCCAAGCATCCACCCACTACAAAGGCCCTTCAAAGGGAACCGTGTGTTCGGGTGGCCATCGATGAAAGGGTTTTCAAATAGCGCACAATCGGTTGCACAAGCAAAGGCACGACAGCGGAGGAACAAAAAAAAGACGCCGACAAGGGAAACATGTTTGCTCGCTGGTGATCCCAATGGTTGCAACGTCACAGCATTCGGGAGACGGGCGGCAGGGTCTGTCAGTAGCAGGAACCGTTTTGCAAATCTCGTCGCATGTTTGATTCACGAGGAGGGAAAATGTTTGGAGTAAATAGAGGGAGGTAGTCTCCAACGACACATGTTTGAACCCCGGCCTAACGAAGCGAAGCAGTCGCAATTTTTATTATTTTTATTATTGGGTCTTGAACCCATCGGCCGCGCCTCTCCATCTCCATCTCCATCTCCACCGCAATATCTCATTTCTGCTCCCGCGCGGACGTTGGGCGCTTGACCAAACCGTCGGGCGCTACAAGATTAATGCGCCGGTGGTTTGTCGAGGATGGGACCACGGCATGGGCCGCGTGGGACGACGGCCACGAGAGAAGCGACTGAATCAAGGCACAGCGACGGCCGGGTCTCACCACAATCGCCGTCCAGGCCATAGTCGCGCCGGGTCTGGTGGTGAGGTGAGGCCCGAGGCTGAGGCCCGCCGGCCACCGGACGCTATGAGCCTACAGGGTCGTCGTCGCGGGCCTGGCGGAGCGACAACTTGAGACGGAGACGAGAAAAGGCGAGAATCGAATGGCCTGCGGAGCACTATAATTGTTCGCGAAGCTGGTCCCTGTATATTCGGTCAATCCCTGACACGGCTGAGGGTGCTCGACAGCCAATTGGCCGTCAGCCACCACGGCGCGCTTGCGACAAAGGCGGAGAATGCGACGGGCGTCTAATGCTCGCCAAGTTGGCTGGCCAGCGCTAACCAGACGTCGACGGCCAATCCTCGCGCCCGCAATCTCCCATTCTGGTGCAACGTCGATGGATCTCGTCTCTGGGACCGTCTATTCTCGCCTGGACGCCTATAGATCAAAGTCGGTCTCGACTCTTGCGGCTCTCTCCACTGCCGCACTGCCGCACGATCAGAGATGGAGAAGAGAACCCATGGCTTTCTCCAGTCGGGCGGCTACAACCCTCCCGGCTTCGAAACACCCTCAACTAACACCCTCAACTCCCAACACCCCGGTAGAAGCCATCCCATCTCAACGGCCCCATGGCCTTGCCTTGCCCCGGCTCAGACCCTTGTGCGACACGGCTCCATTGCGTCGAGGCTCTGGAACCGCGTCGAGTGGTGCAGAGCGTCTCATTGCAGCGCTTCCCCAGACGAGCGAGGGCCGGCTCCCAGCACTTCTCTTAGCATTCTCTTAGTCCTCTCCCCTGGCGCCGCTCCCATGCCATGCGATGCTATTCCGATGCCGTACCATCGGCCGTCCCATCCATGTCCTTGCTAGGGCATCTGCCAGGGCCTCCATGCGAGCGCCCATCTCCCGCGTCCGTGCCATGTCGTAGTCGTCGATATGCCGTGCGCATTTGCATCTCCGTCCAAGGCCCGTTTCCTCGACCACGATGGTGCTGGCCAACGACAGGCCACCGGTCTCTCACTCTAGACCATGATATCTACCCACCGAGTCCCCCTTCCCAGAGCCAAGTGTTTCGTTACCATCCAAAAGTGTTTCGATCGGGTGGCTGCCTTGCTTGCTTGATTGCGTCGTTGCTCCCCGTGCCCTTGTTCGCTTGATTGCCTGTCTCTCGTGCGTCCTCTTCATCAACCCGCTCGTCCTCCCATCTCGTCTTGGCCCCCCGTTCCTGAGTCGCACGCTCTCGGCCATTCCACCGCCTCGAAAACCCCGGTCACCCTTCCACACGTCACTCTATCCCGCCCTGTTCGTGACTCACCAACATGGACATGGTCTAAGAGAGGTTCACGATTTTTCTCTTTTCGTCTTCAGCCTTCTCTTCTGCTGTACCCCCCTTTTTGAATTTTCATTTATTTCCTTTCTCTTTCCTTGTGTTGCAGTTTCTCCTTTGAGGCTCAGCGGGACTGACCAAAAACAACCACCACCGACGCCGGACGTTGATCATCTACAACCCTCCTCGCCACCGAGAATCCGATTCAGCCAATCTCAGACTCACCTCAGAAAAATACAACCTCAGCCACTGCAAGCAGAACCCGAAAAGTTACAGGCTTTCAAAGAATACTTCATTGACGTTTTATTGTTCGTCACTGAATAAAGGCCATTGTCAGCTGCTCGACCGTTGCCAGCTGTCAGGACTGCACCTCGTCACTGTTCAACTGTTCGCCAGCTGCCAGGCACTCGCCAAAGAAAAAAAAAACAGTCTTCACTGTTCTCAAATAACAAAAACAAACACCGCCGCCTTCTTCCTTCAACTAAATCACCTGCCAACATTCGTGACGGGCGCTGCCTCTCTTTCTCTCCTTCACATAAAAGAACACCTTCATTCTCCTCACGGGACTTACCAGAGTTGCGCTCCTTCCCCTCTTGATTCCAAAACCTCACTTTACAACTTTCACAACTTTTTATTTCTTCAACCTTCCCTTTCAACAACATAACCTACCGACCAACCACAACCATGAAGATTACTACCAAATCTGCTGCCGCCCTCGTGGCCAGCGCCCTGATCCCATCCGTCTCTGCCCACTCCTGGGTCGAATACGCCAAGAAGCTCGCGAAGAACGGCACTATGGTTGGCGAGACCGGCTACCCTCGAGGATATGTCCCCCGAAACTCCACCGACCCCGTCTACTCCGACTCTCTTCCCCAGAACATTCTCCCGGTTTCGGGCCAGTCTTACTACTCCGGCAACGAGATTCTCAACAAGTACCAGTTGGAGAAAAACCCCGAGTTTCCCATGCTAGAAGCCGCCGCTGGTGATTACATCGCCCTCATGCACCTCGAGAACGGCCACACCACGCTCCCCCAGAACCAACCCAACAAACCCCGAAACCGTGGCACCATCTACTTCTACGGCACTACTGAGCCCAAGGAACAGGAGAAACTCTTCGACGTCCACCTTCTCTGGAACAAGAATGGCACTGGTGGTGATGGTCGCGGCACACTCCTCGCCACGCGCAACTACGATGACGGCCAGTGCTATCAGACCAACGGAGGCGTGATCAGCACCGACCGTGCCAGCGAGTTCTCTGACCAGGGCGCTGTGCATGACCAAGAGCTTGCCTGTCAATCCGACATCAAGCTGCCCAATAACCTGGCTGCTGGCGACATCTACACCATCTATTGGTACTGGGACTGGCCCGACCTGAACTCGGCCGCCATCGATATTGACGCTACCACTAACGGCAAGTTCCCCTGGGCGGGCACTTTCATGCGCGGCGAGAAGGATCCCAATGGCTTCACCATGGCTGCTATCGCCCGCAATGAGAGCTATTCAAGTGTCATTGACATCAAAATCACCGGAGCCAGCGCCGATTCGTTCTCTGCCAAGGGCTCCACGGCCTTGGACTATGTTCCCGACCAGAACATCTACTCTGTGGGAATCAAGGCGCAGATGGAGAGCAACTTCCAAGTCGAAGTTGACGAGAACAGCGGCGATGGGGGCAACAGCGCTGCTCCCACTGGGATCACCAAGACGACTGAGATTCCCGCACCGACCACGAGTGTGCCGGCAGATGGAGGATCAGGCGATGGTGTCGCGACGGTGACTGTCACGCAGACGGTCCGACCTCCTGCTTCCGTGACAACAGTTTATGTCACTGTGCCTGCTGCTGAGGCTACTACCAAGGCGCCCATGAGCACCTCGACAACCACCAAGACTCTTCTGGTCACTCGGTCTGTGACATCGGGTGCTTCTAAGTCGGTAGCCGCTCCGTCCTCGACATCGACCGTCACGCAGACTCTCACCACCCACATCAACGCCACCCCTTCTTCCCAGTCAACTTCGACGTACGTCAAGACCTTGACTACCCATATCTCGTCTCCAAAGTCCACTCCGCGGTCCACTTCAACCGTCTTCAAGACCTTGACCACTCACATCACACATCCCTCGGCGACGTCGGCGACCTTCCCAGGTGGCCAGTTCCGAGAGACTCCCATTCCTGCCGACAGTTCGGCAGCGACAGCCACTAGCTCCGGCGGAGCTATTGTGCCCACTCCCTTCATGCGTCGACGCGGGTCTTGGGCTTTTGGTGCTTTTTAAAAAGATGCACTTGTCCCTCGTCCAGAGGCAAAGGGGAGTTGTCTTTGAACGCACTACTTCCGCCTTCGTTCATGGACCTCTCCACGCCTCAAGGCGCAAGTTCGTTTCACGTTTTACGTTTCACGTTTCACGTTTTACTTTTCACTCTTCTTTTTCCTTTTCTCTTTCGGTACATACACGGCGCAGCCCTCACCACCATCACTGGATGTTAGGCGCGAACTGGGAAGAAAAAACACCGGCACACAGCACAAGGTGCAAGGGGGGTCAGGCACGGGGCTTGGGCAGCATATACGGTGTTGGATACATTGATACCATTTGTTTAACTCAACCACGGTAACCTTTTTGCTCGACGCAAGACTGGGCCGTGCGAAATCTCGCTTCTTTTTCTTTTTCTTGTTGATTTGATTTGGTTCATGGGCGAAAGATGGATACAAGCACTCGGGGATCTTCAGGGGTAGACAGGCAGATATTTCCAAGGCCAGCCTTTGAGAAACCGAAATTCAAACACGTTGCTTTCAAGATGTTGTGCCTTTCTATGACTATGCTCGTGGTGACTGGTGCGATGTTGATGATGTGTGGAACACTGACCTGTCGTGTCATTGATATGGAAGGAAGCAAACAAATGACGTCCGAGGAAGATATCCCTTTATTGCGTAATTACACGTGGAACGATACACATATGAGGAGACCGCCGACCACAGGTTGATCGAGTAATACTATGACGGGTATCTACGTATCACGGTTCCTGGCGTCCATGCCACTAGACCTCGCTTCCTTCTCCACCTAAACCCCTTTTCGTATTCTTTTCTGATCCGTTAAACGGTGATCAATCAATAGCCTGTATCGGCCATCTACATCTCGCCGCTCTGGGCAATGGTAACGTCGAGGTTGGGCACGTCCTTGCCGCGGTAGCCGGTCTTGGTAGCCTCCATCTTCTTGACGACATCCATGCCGTCGACGACCTTGCCGAAGACGACGTGCTTGTTGTCGAGGAAGGGCGTAGGGACGGTGGTGATGAAGAATTGGGAGCCGTTAGAGTTGGGGCCGGCGTTCTGGGATGGTGTTAGAGCTTCGGGCATAGCAACTAGATACTTGGGTGATGGTGAGCCTACCGCCATAGAGAGCAGACCGGGCTGGTCGTGCTTGAGAATAAAGTTCTCGTCATCAAAGGCCTTGAAGCCCCAGATACAGGTTGATCCAGTTCCATCGCCGTTGAGGAAATCGCCACCCTGGCACATGAAGTTGGGGATCTAATCTCGGTGTCAGTCCAATAGCTTCTACATTGAGAGCCACACGAGAGGAAGAAAAAGGACTGACTATGCGGTGGAACTTGGATCCCTTGTAGCCCTGAGGCCGGCTTGCGGAGTTCTTGGACTCGCCCGTGCAGAACTGGCGGAAGTTCTCGGCTGTCTTGGGAACAACATCTTTGAAGAGCTCAAAGGTGATGCGGCCGAGTGGCTCGCCTGGATGTATGAAGATGTGAGTATGAGCGTGTCAATGTTGAGCAAAGAATTGTATATGATGATTGAGGTTGAATGGCAAGAAGTGACGGGGTATGATCAATAGCAATGGACTGCCATTGGTCACCATCACCATCACCGTGAAGCTGTGCACATTGGCTCACTCGTCACGGCCATGAACCACCTGCTCGGATGGGAATAGCTTCAAAACCTGGAGGAACGCCACAGAGGGAATGGCACGGGCACAGCACAAGGACGAACGGAAAGACTTACCTCCGAGGGTGATGTCGAAGAAGACGCTGCAATGGCAAAAAGCCAAGCACAACAATCAGCCCACACACACTTGCTTGACTCGACCCGACTCGTTCTCTCTGCAACCGGGCCACGACAACCGAACGGCGGCTGGCCGTGCACCGCCACGATGGACCTCCGAAAGCGGGCCGGACAGGCACCGCACCCCGGGCGAAAAGGAGGAGACTTCGGCGGAGGAGGAGGGGAGGAGGGGAGGGGAGGGGAGGGAGCACTCACAGCGGGTTCCCGGATTCGGGGAGTTGCGTAGGCGCCATCGTTCAGGGAGGTTAGGGGGCTTGGGTTAAGGGTTCCGGGGACACAGCAAGGGGATAAGCACTGCAAGTAGGTAAGTTATGGGCTGGATGTCTGTATGTGCCTGTGTGTCTCTCTGCTCGTTGGGTGTTTTGTGGAGAGGAACCAATGCGTTCTTGATGAGCTAAACCCAGCCAGTTGCAGCGGTTGCAGAATGGAGGCGGGCGGGCAAACGTGGGGCAGTTTTTTTTGCATTCAGCCGACTTGCTAGTTCCATCCGTTTCGCTCCCCCACAGTTCCCGAGTCGATAGTCGACGAGCCGATGAGTAGCCAGTTGACCCCAGTCACTGAGGCATTACTTACACCGTCAGAGCTCCCTATCTCGGCTTTCAAGAGGCCTCTCGTGGATGAACTGATTATTCAGGTAAGGCTAGCCGTTGTGAGTGGCAAACAATTCTGCTGCGTCTAGTTCTCGCAATGAGATAAGTTAGCTGCCTCGCTGACAACTCCACCTATACATGCTCCATATCGTCCATTGCCTTTCCTCATGGCCAGAAAGGATGCAGTGCAGTCTCCAAGACCGCTCGGCTCGTTTTGGTCTAACTCAAGTAAATCCTGGTCCTAGTTCTGGATCCGGGGATGCCGGGGATGAGGCAGACGCGGAGGGCGGGGAGCGAGTTTATTTGACGGCGTGGAAGCGATGCAACGCCGTCGCGCGCGGGGAAGCGACGAAGCGGGACAATGAGATCCCGTCTGCACTTGGAGGCCGTGGGCGAGACCAGAGCGTCTTAAGGGGCCACTACGCATGCACAATCCCCCCGTCTCGTAGTCGCCCAGTTTGCCTGTTTAGCTCGACGAGACCAGTACGAACTGCATTGGGAAGGCCGTTGCTGATCGTGCGCTTTCGTGTGGGTGTGGACGTGTGCATAAGCCTGGAAAATTTGACAGCAAATCCGAAGATGTGGAATTATACAAGGACTTGAGGACATATGGATAACATGTATTCCGAGTATTCGTTTCCGGCAATATTCTCTCTTCGTGTCCCATAAAAGGTCACTCACTCGTACTGTACTTGCCAACGGCGTGCACGGGCCACACCAAGAACCTTGTCTCAATCGTCCAAGCCTCGACCATTGCGGCGTGTGTGAGACGGGATCCGGAGCTAAAGATTACCGATCGCCGTGAATGTCATCGACCCAATGCTCAATGACGACGTTGAAGCATCCCGGATGTGAGTATGGTGCATCCATCTCTCAACTTCCCCATCTAAACACCCAATCCGCCGTATTGCATCAATCTGCGCCTCAGTGACGCGGTGTGCCCCTGTGACGGCCATGGTGATAGGGCCCAGACACGGGCCAATACAGCGCGCATGGCCGTCCGGATGCAGGCCAAGCTTCGCTAGCATTTAAAACATAACAAAGTTCGGATTCCAAATCACCTACTGGTTCTCAGAGGGTGGTAAGAGGGCCCCTTCATGTCGCACACCTCCCGAATACAACACGAAGGGGGGCATAGCCCCATTGATCTGAAGCGAGTCGAGGTTTGTTTGCTCAGCTCCATCGCCGTCGACTCGTCCGTGGTGTTTTTTTTAGGCGGGCCGCATACGTACGCTGCACCGCCGAACGTTGACGACGACGGCCGTTTCTGGTGCCAGCTCACGTCTTGGCAGCCCCTTGGCGATTGCTCAGCTTACGTCCGTCATAGCCCTTGAATTTATTCCTTACATGACCCGAAGAACCTAGCAGGAAAACACGAACTGTGACACCAGGTTGAAGTATCTTTTTTCCCTTTGTCTCAGAGTCGCCTTTTCTTCTTTAGACGAACGCACACAACGTGGGGCTCGGATCTGCTCGGAGCGCTGGGATGGGCATCGATAGCGTCATAGCGGCACCAGGAACCCGACCAGACGAACGAGATCTTCACAACTGCCGGAATCGGCGGGTAGTAAGACTGCAGAGGTTGTCTGACGATGGGCAGACAAAACAAAAACTGTCCAGTGTAAAAGATCGGAACAATGGGGGGATGAGGCACTTATGCCCCCGTGACAGCCGAAAGAGCCGCGTCTTCCGTGGCCCGGCGGGTGAAGCCATCCAGCCGGACGAGAATGACAGGAGCCCGAGTGCTGGGCATGTGCGGCACAATATTCTGACTTGTATTACATCCCAAAGGTCCGTTTGCCATTTTGGTACTGCTTTTCGTAACTTGTACCTGCTTTGGAGGCCTTCACAGGGGTGGCCCTCCAGTCATCAAACGAACAACTTTGATACAACGGGGGCTTGTGAGCTGGGCCAATCACAAAGTCCAAAGATGATCACCACCGGTCAAAACAAGCCGCTGCGTCGGCAGGGAGAGATATCCAATGGCTGTAGTAAACTGGCGCAACGAGAGGCCAGTTAAACAGTGTGATGAGTGATGAACTCTGCAGCAAGCCGCCACTCCTCCCGTCCCATGGAATTGATCCCAAAAATGAGCCATCATCGCTTCAACACCTAAACCAGCCCGTGCGCCTTACCACACCCACTCACATGTCACACACCCACAGGCCGGAATCGACGCTAGGGGGCCGTGTGAAACTGCCAGTGGACGCACTGGGCTGGACTTTGGATATGGGCCTCTGTTGGCTGTTGGCCTGTCTCCGCCACATCTGAGCTCAGATTTGACAGCAGCATGCATGCATGGGGGTACCTTGCCCAGGTACCACCAGCAGAGGACGAGGTTTCTTTTTAGGTGACGGGCAATTCCTTCGTGCAGAAAATGGCGTCAAAGGGAGCATTTGTGTCGCTTGTCATATTATCTACGTCGTGCGAAAGATTGATGACAAGGGGTCGTTACGATCAATTGGGCCGCGGTTCATCCCGTTTTTAATTCTGTGCTGCTGGTTCGACAGGTACGGTTACAAGTAAGTAATTTGGCCGCCGGGAATGTGCAGCTGCAGCGGACGCGGCAGTTTCATCATCGCAGCAAGACAGGTTGCGGCGGGTCGCCTTGGGGGCGACCATCTACAAGCGACTCCAAAATCGGGACACGCGGGACGCGACGTTGCGGTTTCTCGCTGCTCCATCTCGCGGAGCCAAGCTGGCAAGTTCCTGGGATCCTGAGACAGGTTGGGGGGCTTGGGGGCGAGTGAGATCATGCATTCCATCCCGCAGGGACGGCTACAGATGCAGTTGCAGCGCTGCGTGCGTAAGTAGGACGATGTCTACGGAACACGGGCCGTCCAGCGAGACCGTCGGACAAGACGTGTTGCATGTAGACGAACAGATCGGAGCAATGGCCAGCATGGCGGCCAGCTTTGCCTTGCCGTCTAGGGCATATCTCGCAAGTGCAACAGAGAATAGATTCAGAGTGGGTTCCATCATCGTCATCGTCATCAAGGATTCGGACCCGGACGGTTGTAACAAGCAGGGAAGCGCATTGCTCAATCGCCTATCCATCATCCCTCCAATACAAACCCGTTCGCCTCGTACATGTCCCGGCCCGGGCTGTCGGTGAAAGCATCGTCTGCAACAATAACAGCCATGCAGTGCAAAACAATACGACGCCCCATTGAGAAGCTGTGCCGGACGGCGTGTCCCACCCGTCGGAGTCGGAGGCACCGCTGAACCTTCGCCTCGGGGGCGGGGCCGCCACTATGCATTGATCCCGACACAGTGGTGATTTGTTTTGGAAGCGGCCCAGAAGGGTGAACGCCGCATCATCCAAAGGGGAACGCCATGGCTCTCTTACACGGCGTCCACGGAAGCTTTCGTCAACGGGCGGCCGACTTGGGGCTTGGATTTCAGGGTCTAGATCAGCGGGCGAGTTCAAAGTCAACCGCAACAAGCTTTGGCGTTTGCGCCGCGTTGTTCTCGACAGCGGGGGCTTGAGACGGCGGTGCGCGCCTGACCTCCCATGCTGAAGGTTGTCTTGCAAGCTTCAAAGATGATTCCTGGTGTCTTGCGCCGGCTCGTGACAATAAACGCGGGCGCAGTGAATGAGAAGAAGGCATTGGGTTTTTGGCAATCGCCGCGCGCGCTGGGCGGGACTGAGACAGTTGACCGGCATCGAGTGGACTAACTGGCCAGCGTGATCTACGGAAGACGGCGCCGACGATGAGACGATGGGTCCGTTGTAGTGGAAAGCATGGTGAACGCGAGGCCCCGCCTGTTTCGTCCATCCCGTGGTTTTAGACCTGTACGCAGCAGTGATTTATTGGGTTTACGGCGGATCTCCACGGTGCAACTGCGCCCTGATCAGTAGCATGCGATGGAATCTTTGGGCTGGATTGGGGTGTCATGCCCCACGTTTGATAGTGAGCCAGAGGATGACGGCATCCGAGTTCCCACCTATCTTGGTGGCCGCCGTGTGGTCGACCCTGCACAGATCGCCGTCAGACTCCGCTGGCGGGCGCTGCGCCACGAGTGTCAGCGGCAGCGCAGGAAGCCGAAGCCAGTGGACGAGCTAAGAGGAGCGGGATCCGAGAGACAGGGCGAGGTTGCTGGAGAGCTCCGTCTGGCTGCTGCGGGAGGCTCTGCGTTCATGTCAGGACGAAGGCTAAACTCGGCAGCATCCAGCGAGCAGAGGCGTTCGTGTGTCGTCACCCCCCCCGGCTACTCGGCCGATGCGTCAGATGGGAGATAAGTGACCGGCCCGTGGTTAACTTGGGTTATATATATATCTACCGATCTGTGCCGTAAAAACACGGGGCTCCCTGCTATCGGGAGCACTGGTCGATGCGCCGATACGAACGACGTGACCGGCCCCTGTCAGTGAATCGCCATCAGTGCGCTATTGGAACCCAAGCGCCTGGACCGGCTGGAAAAGAACAGCGCCTGTGACAGGACGGCCAGTCGAGGAACGGCCCAAAATCCAAAATCCACTCTGCATCACAGAGTTTGCGCAAGCCAACCGGCAGCAAGACTACGACGGACGCTACAACGACCGTTCGTCTCGACATACAGGGGCGCTCCGGTTTCCCTTGGCTGCCAAGTGACCTCCCTCACGCTTAATTCTCCTCCCCGGTCGTCGTCGCCCAGCAAGAGCGCAAACAGGGGGAAAAAAGACACCCAACAAATCGAGCTCCCACGGCGCAGCAGCAAACACGCAATAGCTCGAGTCTCAGTGCGGCAGGCCATCAGCCAACCACGGTACCCTTCTGCCAACCCTCCTCTCAGCTGGGGTCCCAGGATTCCCTCCCCCTCTCCGGTCTCAAAGCAGACGCAGAGCTGAAGTGGGAAGCGGCCCCCGCCCCCTGCTGCGTTGCGGCCACCAAAGCGGCCAGAGCGACGTTTACAGGGCCCTCGCCCATACCTCCCGACCTCCGGGGCGCCACCAGGACTTCTTATAGGGCACCTCCGTTGGGTGGCTGGCCCAAGTTACAGGGCACTCAGCGCATTCAGCACTGCTGCTCGCCCGCGGCAAACCCACCTGGTTGACCTGGCTCCTGGGTACTTCCCTAGGCTGCACGCGGTCTAGAGCTTGCCCGGCCACAGGTACCCCTGCACAGTGTCTCTCACGGCCCCTCCGTCGCTGCTTGGCTGGGCACTCTGGCGCTCCACTCGCACTCTTGCGCTCGCCCACGGGCCAATCACGACTCGCCGTTCGCCCCCCGGCCCGGCCTCGCCCCATTCCTCTCTTTCCCTCTTTTTCACCTGCCCACTCGCACTCTCCCACGCGAGTCGTCGCCCTTCCTCTCTCTGTGCCTTGGCCTCGTCCACTCCACCTGCACTCCGCCTCCGCCGTCACCCCATCTCCAGACATAGACCCATCCCATCCCCGTCCGTCTTCTTCCATCCTTTCCCATCCAGCCATCCGTCGGCGCAACTTCTCCCCTCTTCGCATCTTCTTCCCCGCCGGTCCCGACGGAGTGAGACGTGCAAATAGTTGCAGAGGAATAAAGGCGTTGGATGTAAAAGCGAAACCTTCCTCTGTCTCGGTTCCGCATTTCCCGCCCGCTATCCGCTCGATCCCGCTGTCGCTGCATCGCCCGTGAGTTTGTCGACAGCCCATGGTACCCGTACGGCAGCCCCCGAGTCAATTCGAGCCCGCCTTCCATCGCTCAAATCCTGTCCGAGCCGACGCCCGATCGTGAAGATGGCCGTTATCAATGAGTTGCTCAACGAGGCGACTCGTGTCGTCGCCAGAGCTGCCGCCCCGGAATCTGTCTCGACGACCGCGAGCGCCGCTTCCGCCACCAACACCGACAACAACAATAAAGACAACAACAATGGCTCCAGTTCTCCTCTGTTATTCTTCGTAGCTTTGGGTTTCGGCGTCGTTTTCACGAATCTTTGGTGAGACTCCGCTGCTGCAAGCTTATGCTTTTCAACCGTGCATGCATGGCTTGAGGTAAAAACGAACCCTTTCTAACACGGCCCCAGGATCATTGTCGGTGTCAAGTACTGCTTCCGATACAACGCCCGTAATCGCCAGCTCCGTATGAACGAAGATGGAGAGCCTATTACCCTGGAGAACATGCCCCGACCCCACCGCCGTCGCCGCGAGAAAAAGCTCATGACCATGGATGAGGTCAACGACAAGTTCCCCATGATGAAGTACAAGAGCTGGGTTTCCGACCGAGCGAAGGAGGGCCTGCCTACGGCTGGTGGTGTTTCGGTACCCCCGAGTCGAGCTAACAGCATTCGGGACGCCGACGGCATCGTCCCTGACTTCTCCAAGGAACGTGATTCCACCGACGAGCGCTCCTCCACCAGTGCCGCAACACCCGCGAAGGAAGGGGAGACGATGGAAACCGAGAAACCTAAAGACTTACCCACCCAACCCGCCGAGGCTGGTCAGACTTCCGGAACGCAGTCAGGAAACTTGACCAAGGACAACGAACTACACCGTGTCTCGAGTGAGGACAGCGACGACGACGAACACATCGACGGCGCCCTGCCACCAGAGTGCTTGGAAGCTCCCGGCGATACTTGTGCTATTTGCATCGATACGCTCGAGGATGATGACGACGTTCGTGGATTGACCTGTGGCCATGCATTCCATGCTGTCTGCGTGGACCCTTGGTTGACGAGCCGACGAGCATGCTGCCCGCTCTGCAAGGCGGACTACTACGTTCCTAAGCCACGTCCTGTACCTGAAGGCGGCGATGCTGCTGCTGCCAACAACGCCAACTTCGATAATCGCGCCAACTCGCGCCTCAACCTCCCCGCCGGCCTGCGTAATGCCTGGTTCCGGTCATCGCCGTCACGACAGGGCCAGTCCAGAGTAGGAGCGACTAGTGAAGCTCGTCAAGCCCGACCGCGTCGGCCCTGGCCTACTGAGGGGACTGAACAGCAGCAGCAAACAGCAGAAGTTAGCGGGACTTCAAATGGTGGCATGTTGAGCTCTGTTCGTGGCGCTTTTGGGTTCGGTAGGAGACGGAGTGAGCGCCCTCGCCGCGTCCCCACTCTAGGTGGCGAACTTGTGCCTCCGACACCATCACAACTAGAGGCTGGAAACCGCACTGCAGCTACTACTCAATGATGTGAATTTATCTTTTTTGGGTTGTCGATACTGAGGCCCACCCCATACCGCAAGAGAAATCCTGCGCCAGAATTGAACTCAATTATCAGTCACCCTCAAACACCTTGACGACACATTACCCTAGCGATGGCTTTCTCTCCTTTTCCAACTGCAATAGTTGGGCACAACCGTCATGAATCTTCACACTATACAGAGGGATCGAATTCTCGCATTATGAAACGGCATTTTTATTTTATTTTCCACGCGCATCGAATACACGCTCAAAGGAGAGGGAATGGAGAGGAGAAAGGAGAGGCAGGATGGAGACGTGTTGGAACACGTCGAGGATGATGAAAGCTATATATACCCTAGCCGGAGTACGCAGGAACGCCACGTCTCCGCATGTGCCGAACAGGGTTCAAGGATAGCATGGGATGAATTGTTGATTTTGGGACGCCTTGTTTATTTGTAAGACGGGAGGTTTTTGTAACTTGCATTTGGGCTGGAAAATTCGGGCTTCAGCTGGAAACGGAGGGAGCGGTGGAGTTTGGTGGTTATGGACCTCTTCGATAGTTGGACGGTGCAATGAAATATTTGTTCCGCCCAATTCTTTGAACTTGATTCGTGACATTTATTCGTATCTGTCGTGATCGACTCTACACGCTACCTCCTTAGTTTATACACCCTATATTGGGGAGCTTATATTCATGCGTACGGGGTGCCCCGCTCAGTGTGAGGGGATACTATAAGAATGATCCCTTTTGAAACCTCCCTCCAAAGTTTGCTGCCTTTGTCATTAGTTCCTTCCTCTGTGCCGTCCCAATCTTCCCACCCAGCGCCATGTCCTTTTCTCGGTCAAATGCCCTCTTACTCGGGTCGTCATCCTCCTCAACCTTCTCCCCTGCCTTCTCTCTACGGCCCTGGTGCTCGTCGTAGAGACTCTTGCCCCGCTGTGCCGCGATGTTGGCTGCAATTCGGCATTGGCGTTCCTCCTCCTCCTTGGACTGTGTTGATCCAACAGCCGCCTCCTGGGTCTTGTCCTCGCGACCTAGCACTGAGTCTTGGAGGCGCTTGAGCTTCTCTTCGGGTGTTTCAGTCCAAATCGAGGAGACTGCAGAGGGGCCAGAGGAGGAGGCAGGCTTGGAGGCGAACTTGCGGTTGCGCATGCGTGTTGGGTCGCGCTCGGCGTAGCCAGATGAAGTCGGGGGCGCAAGCATCCACTCATCGCGCTGAGGTTGCGCTTCTGCCACGGGCAATTGGGGGCCTACTACGCGCTTGTTGGCATTTGGGGCGCCGGGGAGCGCCGGACCGTAGTCATCTTCTGAATCTGAGGACGAGTCGGCGTCGTCTTCGGGTCGGGTGGAGAGTTTCGCGGGGGGCAGAGCCGGGCCGACGCTCCGTTTAGGAGGTGCCGGACCGGTGTCTGAGTCGGAGTCGGCGTCGAGATCGATCTCGTCCTGGTTGTTGCTAGGCGGTAGTGATGGTCCGGCGGCAGGTCTTGGGGCTGCGGGTGCGCTAGGGCCGTAGTCGTCGTCTGAGTCGTCGAGGTCGATCTCGTCTCTGTTCTTGGATGGAGACTCACTCCGTCGGAGTTTGCTCGGTGGCGACGCCTGCGACTCGGGCGTGCGCTTTCGCTTCGATAAAGACGGTGGGAGTTGGGGTCCAATTGAAGACATGATGGCGGTCAGTTGCAGAGTCGTCCCGCCAGCAGCTCTAAAGACAAGACCGTTCGTTCACGTGGTTGTGGTTGGAGCAGTTCGCGGTGGGACCTGCGCTTGCGACGCTCTAAAGACGTCACTGCACAGGGAAATCGCAAGGTTGGGTTGGGTCGGAGAATCCTCGGCCCGCCCCGTTCGTTGCTGCGCCGCCTTCTAAGGCAGCGGGAGATGGGGTGCATGGTACGAACCACGAAGCTCGACCCAGCTTTCACGACGCCATCGCATCGCCAATTTCGGGATTTTCGGATGTTTTGAGCGGCAGCTTTGAGGCGGAGAAGCAAGACATCACACGCAGTTGTCCCTTTTCATCCTTCGAGACGCCTACGAGCTTGACGAGGTGCCTCGCGAACCCGCCGTCGCCTAGACCCGAACGAGAGCTCCATACACTGTTGCTCCATCGCAATCACAAGCTTCCTGTGATCCTTAGCTTTGCCAGGCCATGACCCCGACGCGGTAGTGCTTGCGCATGCAGTGATGGAAGCCACGGCGCAATGGATCCAGAAGACTTGTCTCTCACGGGGGACGCGGGCTCCGACGATGGCGACACGATAAAGGATGTCTTGGAGGGGGCTGGTGGTGTTGGTCCGTTCGACTCCCACGACGAGGACTCGCCCGATGATCACCCAACACCCATCGAGATGAGCAACGGTACGGTGACGAACCGATACCGCGAGATTATGCAACAACAACACCTCGACAATTCAGATGTTAGCTCTTTGGCGGGAAGCGATGTGCATGGCCTGCCAAAGAGGGCCGGTAGTCCCATGGAATCCCTCATGTCTGGGCCGGATGATTCGCCTTCCATCCAGGTAAGACGAGGCACTTTCTCACTACCCCTGACACCTCTAACACGATATAGGGCTCCTTCATATCTTCTCCTGGGAGCAGTGTACTCCCCTCCGTCGCCTCCCGCCCTGGCTTGAGCAGCCCTACGCCCTCGTTCCGCCCCTTCGATCGTCGATTCCAATCCCGCATCTCCTCCCCGGGCATCCACACACCTCGATCGGCCTCCCCGGCCTTCCTCGCTACACATAGCCGCAATGTGTCGCTCAGCTCGCAATTCTTCCTCGACCAGGCCGATACAGACACCCAGACGCCGCCATGGGAGGTGGTCCGGTGGACACGCCTACGCAAGCTCAATGGGCAGGCCTTTTCGGAGGTAGGGAAGCGCAACTTTGGGTCCCCGACCTGTTTGGCGGTGTCGGCGACAATTGTGGTGGGAACCTCGAAGGGAATAATATTAATTTTCGACTATAACCAAAATCTCAAGATGATTATTGGACCAGGAACAAAAGGTGAGCTTCATGGTGGATCGGAGAGTGCCAGAGCTGATCTTTCAAAGCTGTCGAATGCGGTCCAATCACTGCAGTTGCTATATCTGCCGATCACTCAACAATCGCCGGAGGACATGCGAATGGTTACATCTTTACCTGGGACACGAACCGAGCGTCAAGACCGTTCTTAACGATACCACACCTTGACCCTTCACAACTGAAGAATAGGATATCCGACGGACATGTTCCAGATGTTGCAATCACCCACCTTGGGTTCCTCGGAACTCGACACACTGCTTTGGTTTCGGCAGATGACAAGGGAATGGCATTCTCTCACCTCGCCACCAGGGGTACTGGAGCACTGGGAAGATCCGTCAAGACACACCGGATTCTAGGTCGATATCCAGATGCGCCAACACCTGCAGGCAAAACAGTCAAGCCTAGCACTGTCCTTGCCTTTGCTCCTTTGCCACTGGGGAATGTTGAGCGGTCAACTGATGGTCTCGGCTTGACGGCTATGTTGACCCCGTATCTTCTGGTGATTGTGTCAACAACGCCTGTTGCCCAGACCCAGCACAAGTCTGCGCGACCAAAGGACGTACCCGCTCACAGCGCCATGACCGGATGTTTGGCATGGTTCCCTGCTGTCCAGCTCAAGGTCCCGGACCCGCACACAGGGAGCGACATCTCGAAGGTGAAGCTGGCGTATTGCTGGTCAAATGTTCTGACGGTGTTGGACGTCGACGAGATTCCTCGCGATGATAAAGATCAGCCGCCTTCGTTCAGGTTTAAGGCCCGAAACAGATGGAAATGCGAGGAAGCCATTGTTGCTGTTCAGTGGCTGAGTCGCTCGGTCCTCGCCGTTCTAACCATTTCCCAGAGACTGATTGTCCTCGAGGACAGAACTATGCGCATGACGGAGGCTTTCGATCTCTTGCAAAAGTACATATACCATACCGACTTATTTTCGAAGCAACTACACTCCCTCGTGGAACAATTGGACGAGAATGATGCGTCCATGCACGGAGTGGTTGCGGATGCTTTTTACATGAGCTTCAAGGCCTACAAGGGGAGAATATTCATTCTGGGCTTCAATGAGGTTTCCATCGGCGCACTGTCAAACTGGGCAGACAGGTTGATTGCAATGATGGAAAATGGCGACTACATAGGAGCCATCCAGCTGGCAACTTCTTATTACACGGGAGATGCCGACAAGCTCACAGTCGGATTACCGGAAGACACAAACCTCCGACACACGATGGTTCGAGACAAAATTATGGAAATCATCAGCGCTTCACTGAAGTACGCCTTTGGACAACGCGAAAAGAACCAGGAAAATGCCGACGATGATCACATGAAGCAGCTGGCAGAGACATGCTTCGGGGCATGCCTGAGTATCGACAACACCGATTTCCTATTTGAGGACATGTATGAATGGTACGACGATGCTGACATCAGTGGGATTTTCCTCGAGTGCCTCGAACCCTACATTCTAGAGAGGACTGTTTCCATAGTGCCTCCCACCGTTGTCAAAGACATGGTTGCACACTATGTGGCTCGAGGATGGGAGAGCCGACTCGAGGAGATGATCTGCCATATGGAGACTGCGACGCTTGATCTGGATCAGATTACTCTGCTATGCAAGCAGCACAGTCTATACGACGCGCTCATCTACGTCTGGAACCAGGCCTTAAACGACTACATCACCCCCATGATCGACTTGCTCTCCCTCCTGATTCCCCTGATGGCAAATGGGGACTTTGTGGCTGGTAACATGGCGGACGACTTTTACAGCATCAGCGCTCTCAAGATCTTCCCCTATCTGTCCTACACCCTGACTGGAAGAATTTATCCGAATGGAGAGATATTGGACGACGACGTGGCAATCAAAGCCAAAGCCGAGATCTACTGGTTCCTATTCTCAGGGAAAACCATCGCTTGGCCCAAAGATAGCGGCGATGAGTTCCTCATCATGCCTGGCGCCGAGACTCAGCCTGCATTCCCATATCTGCGCCTGATTCTCAAGTTCGATGCGCCTAGCTTCCTAAGCGCCTTGAACGAGGCCTTTGAGGATCCATTCCTGAACGACTCCCCTGACCAGCAACACGTTAATGGTGGAGCCAGAGGCGAGTTGCCCGAAGAGCAGATATTTGGGCTCACCATCAACCGCCAGTACATCCTGTCAATCCTGCTTGATGTCATGAACACCAATGAATTTGCCGCCGAGGATACCATTTACCTCGACATGTTCATTGCGCGAAATCTGCCAAAGTTCCCCCAGTATCTTCTCTTCTCGGGTACGACACTGTCCAAGGTTCTTACTGGGCTTTGTAACTACCCCGGTGTTGATCTTGCAGAGGATGCACAGCTCAGTGCCGAGTATCTCCTGTCTGTTTATCAACCTTCCGACATGCCTGCGTTGATGCCTCTGTTCAAGAGTGCAGGTTTCTATCGCATCTTGAAGCGCATTTACAAGGCTGATAAACAATATGGAAACCTGGTGCAGTCTTACTTTGAAGACCCAGAAGACCAGGAGATGGTGTTCGAATGCATCGCCAATTGTTTACGCCCACATACTGAACTGAGCAATCGCCAGCTTCACGATGTTTTGGGCGTCGTCAGAGAACATGCTCGCGATTTGCTTGAGCTCGACGCCGAGCAGGCAGCTCACATTTTCGGCACACAGGATAAGGCGCTGCACCAGCATATTCTCGACTCGGCGGAGGATGCGCCAGATTTGCAGCACGCATACCTAAAGACATTACTGGAGCCGAAGGAAGCCTCGCACGAGGACAATCCCGTGTCTGAGAGGGACCTGGTCGAGCGCTACGTTCAGTTGATGTGCAAGTTTGAGCCGGCACACGTTTCTGACTACGTTGGTTTGGTCCAGTCTGTTGATCTGAGACTTGAGAAACTCATCCCTACGATGGAGGAGACAGGAGTCATTGATGCAGCAGTCGTCCTGATGGCTCGCGAGGGTCAAATCAAAGATGCAATGGACCGCCTCGTCAAGCATCTTGGCACTTTGGAGTCGGCCATGCAAGGTCTCCTAGCGGGGGCGGAGGAACAAGACCACGCATTGGATTTGCAATTTGCGGCGGAGGATTTACTCCAGGCCCTTCAGAAGTACGTCCATGTCGGCATATGGCTCTGCCAGGGACAAACGAAGTCATCCAAGAGGACAAATGTCGTGCAGAAGAAGCAAAAGTCTGCCGCCGAGGTATTGTCGCCCGATGAAGCGCTCTGGCTGAGCTTGATAGAGGCTTGTGTTCGGATCACGCGAAAGCTCTCACCGGAAATTATCTCTGCAATCGATCACGCCAACAATGCGGAGGACTTGGATGAGGAGAAGCTCCTTGCTCTCCTGCGCTCCCTGGTTCAGCACACTTTCACAGCGCTGCTAACGGCAACATCCAGCCAAATGTCAGGGCAGGCGGGAGGGCGTCTTCTGACAAATGCTGGGGCAAACTTGTCATTCCTCCGCGTGTTGCGGGCGTTCCTAACACAGGCCGCTGCATCCTCGCCCAACCTGGCGGATCTCAGAGGAGTGTTGGCCTCGATCTTCTCAGCATATGCGTATGAAGAGTCGATCTTGCGGTTGTCGAACAGGTTGCTAGAACGCAGCCTCTTTGTCAATGTCAAGCAGTCAGTTGAGCTCCGGCAACGAGGATGGCGTCCCCGAGGATCAACGTGCGAGGCATGCAGTCGTCGGGTCTGGGGTCCGGGCGTGGCTGGCGGATCAGTATTTGAGGCATGGGAAGACAAGCAGCTCCTTGAGGACAAGAGAAGGAAAGAAAGAAAGGCTGATAATGCGGAGCGTGCCAAGGGGAGTGATGGAGAATCGGACATGAGAGCCAAAGGGAAGGGGGTGGACATGCGACCTTCGAGCATGCTGATTGAGCCAACCGGTGGCACAAACGGCAACGGCAACGGCAGCGACAAACCACTTGGGCCGCTGGTCGTACTAGCGTGTCGACACATTTATCACCAGAGCTGTCTGGATGCACTGCAGGAGCGCCAGGAGAACGGAGTAACCGGGCGAGAGCGAGATTATAGATGCCCTATTGATGGGTGAAGGGAGGAGGCTCCTGTACACAGTTGTATGGCATAGAGGAGATTATTAATGATGATGATTTTCTTACAATCTGACAAATAGAAGAGGGCATAAACATAAAGCATGGGTGCAAAATCCTGTCATAATTGGAAGTATATTAGCGACTATGGATGAGGAAATTAGTCGTGAGGATTGATATGTCAAGCAAAAAAGAAGGTCTAGATGGGGATTGTGATTATTATTAAGATGCAGGCATCAAACATGGACTATTCTTCAAGAAAACGAAAATTGCTTGAAGGCCGTGGATTCTCGCGCATCCATTGAAAGTCGTGGATACTCACGTATCCATTGAAAGCCGGCGCAGTGGATTCTCGCGTATCCACGCGGCTATAACAACCCGCTGGAATAAAGGTTTTAGGGCGGGCAGTTAAGGTTGGGACGCGCTAAAACCACTAAACGCCTTTACCCAAGGAATTCCGCCCGCCATGATGCATCCCGCATCTTGGCTTCTTGGCCATGCTCTCCACCACTCCAACTTCACTCCCCGTTGCAGCTTTGCGACAACGCACACGCCGGCGCCGCAATGTCGGTCACCTCAGACGACGAGGACGAAATCCTCTCCGACAACCAGTCCGTCAGCTCCTCCGGCGATGACTCCCCGCCGCTCCCACCGTCACAGAATTTCTTCGCGCCGCCATTCTACGGGCGTCCGCCTACGCCGCTGCCTCCGTCGCCGTCGCTCACTTCTCTCCTGCGCCCATCGCGGCCCACGACTCCCGATGCCTCCGACGAAGATACCCTCGCGCCCGTCCCGCGTGCGGCGCCAAAGGTCCCCACGTACGAGTACTACGGCTTCGTCCTGTACCTCTTCAGCAGCCTGACCTTCCTCGTCTACCTCCTCTGGGGCTACCTCCCGTCGGCCTTCCTACGCGCCCTAGGCATCGACGCCTACTTCTACCCCAACCGCTGGTGGGCGCTCGCCATCCCGGCCTTCATCGTCATGTCGGTCTTCTACATCTACGTGGCGCTGGCGGCCTACAACACCGAGATCCTGACGCTGCCGCTGGCGAACGTCGAGACCATTGTCGACGGTGCGGGCCACCTGGCCGAGATTGACACCAAGGGGCGAATGCGCGGGGGCCGCAACCGCGAGAGCAAGGTCGAGGGCAATGGAAGGCTGCGGTGGCGCGAGGTTTGGAATGAGGGCACGGATGCCGTCATGGACATTCCCCTGGCGGGAGTTTGTGAGGTGCTCTACGGAGAGGGCAGGGAGTATTACGATGAAGGAGAAGAGGACTCCTGATGAATCATGGCGCATATGGTCAAAAACATACACTGCAAGGCATGGCGTTTGGGATGTTGTGATTATCAAGGGAGAGCATAAGACTCGGCACAGAAGTCTGGTAACGACAGTCATGTATCAAGAACCAATTAACGGATTAGAAAGAATTAATCGAGTCAACCATAGCTCTTGATTACTCGGCTCAGAAATGCCCCCAACTATGTCATTTGCGCCTAATTTACATACTTTCTTCATGAAAAGCTAACAGTACCCGTTGTTGATAAACAGAGGTAGGAAACATGCGGAACCTGCTCCACAGCGTGTTCTTTCAAATGTTGCATGTCGGATATTCTCCACTACAATAATAAAGTGACAACATCTACAAATAGGTACCATACTATGTCCAATAATCACATGTCAAATTATTTTGTGTCAGCATTAAACAGGTATACCTAGCCAAGCGTGTAGATCAAGCACAGTGATGTTTGTCCATGTCAATTCGATGATGCTATAAATAGAAATTTCCTGTACTTTCTCAGGAATATCACATACACACGCAAGTCCCAAACATACCTACACACAAGTCCCAGCGAAATACCATCCCTGTCTTGAGCGATGTATTCCCGTCGCATTACCCGTCGCATTACCAAGTATACATCGTCTATCTGTCTAGGAGTTCTATAGGCCTAGATATAGGTAAGATAGCGTATAAAGAATAAATAAATTGTCTATCTGTCCCGTCACGCAAGGACTAACGCTCCTCGGATTGAAATTAAATTGGAATTTATCGTTTGTCTAATTATCTACCAGGCCTGGGAAAGCGCCATCCATCCTGTTCCGAGTAACATTCGTATTCCGTCACGAAGCAAAAAGAGTCTCAAAAAATCTCAAGGTCGTTATCATCACCTTCGTATTCTCCGCCACCCTCATTCTGGTCATCGCTGAGAGGGCTGATTGAGATCTCGAAATGAAGAGTTTTGGTGGTGGCATGATTACGGCGAGCATCCATAATCTTGCGGCGAAAATGAAATTTCATGCTCTCAAACTCGTCCTCGTCGCCGAGGAGAACCTCGCTCTCAAACCTTCTCCCAGGTGCTTGCAGGGCAAAATGTAGACCTTGGAAGTTGCTTTTTAGAGGAAGTTCCGTGACAAGATCCGCAAGTGACTTCGTTTGAAAACTGCCTTTAGGACTCCAGATTTTGCTCAAAGTCGGTGAAACATTGACGCTGAAGATGACATTGACTTTTGGCAAAGTCGGCTGCTGTTTTGATGGCTCATTCTCAGACTTGGGCTCATGCTCGGGCTGTAATTTTGGTGCGGGCTTGGGGACGAAACCGCTGTCTAACACTTTTGGCGGAGGCGGGGGATCCTGATTGATTGACTCTGTGGTGTGTGCATCATTCTCTATGGTGTTTCGCAGCAGTTCTTCCGGAGCACTTGGGCGTGGAGTCGCTGATTCTGCCCCCATGTTGATGCCATGCGAATCGTTCAGGCTTAAGACAGATGCCGTAGCTGTAGGGGAGAGCTGAGACTCTATGGCCTCGTTGTAGGCAGATCCAGTAACGAATCCTTCTTTATGTGGCGGGTTTCGCCGCCGAGGAGAAATCACCCGTGATGAGGCAATGGCAGACGAGGCATGGTTGGTGGTATGATATGTGCCGACTGGCCTCGGGACGTCATTTTGGGATCGAGGCCGTTTCGTCTGAGGCGCCTCCTCGTCGCGTGCATGTGGAGTAGGGCGTTTGTTGAGACGATATGCCTGATATTCAATTAGAAACATCGCCATGAAAAGAAACGTGGTTGACGAACTCGTTCGATAGCGAGAGGGACATCCGATTCAGGACTGTTTGGACCGTCGAATGGGTCGTACATTGGTGCCATTGGCGCCACTTGTGAACTTGCCCTTGGTTCTCCAGCTTCCTCATGCGTACTCGGCTTATGGTTACCGAAAAGCTCAGTTGAAAGAGGTGGGAAGGATTGGGAAGTGTACGGCGGTTCGGGTGTAGACGTGGTAGCATCGTCCCTAACAAAGCATGAGCAGTTGACACAATGCATTCTAGTCGCCCGTATTGGCTTACCAGACAGATTTATCGGGCTTTGTTTCCGCAACATCATCGCCATTGAGCGTGAAGCTATCGACGTCAATTGCGTACTCGGCGCTGTGGCCCCTCAAAACATGATTGAAATCAGTCTGCTGTTGGGGCCCCGTGGAATTTGGTTGCTCCCTCGTGTGACAGGCTGGGCTGGATCGTTCTGGCAGCTGAGGGTCGGCAACGGCTCGATTATTCCCCTTCCATTTGTGTTGCTGGTTGATCTTGAAGAATAGTTGCACCATAATGTTTCTTATCCTAGAGTAGGCCCGCGTTAGTGATGGTCTAGATGAAGTTTCACGGAGCGTCCCTACCGCCGGGGTTCCTTAGAATACTGCAGTTTGCCATGGTTTGGTGCCGCAGGGTCATCGGGCCAAAAAAATGCTCCCTTCGCATCTTGATCTAAGAACTGCGACGCCATCTCCAACAAACCAGCTTGGTGAGGACGGTATTTCCATTTGAGTAGATCCGGGCCAGAAATGCCTTTCCGAGACACAAATGTAAACATATATGCTCGTACAGTATTGTAGAACACAATGTCCCGTCGTTCGCGAGCATGCCCATAGTCGAGCTCTTTGCGGAGCTCCGTGATGCTGGGAATGTTGGTTACCTTCATCCTGTTGAATGAAAGATATGTCGAAGGGCCCGGTGGGTGAGCGCCGCTTGATTCACCAGCCTCCATGGTGTATTAAGTGAGGGGAATCTTGTGGAAAGAAGAAATCCGAGAGGAAATGGGGTCGCCGTTGACTACCAACGGAGCAGGAGTCACACTTGTCCAAGGAGCATCGGACATGACCGACCAGGAGGCAGTGCTAGAGCATGAAATGGCCCCCAAAATGGCAGAATCAAGCCGGATAGTCAGCTGGTGAAAAAACTCTGATAATGATGCCTGCCGGGCCTGGGCGAAGTGGAAAAAAGGAGGGCGATAGAGGAGGGCGATTACGACGCGCGCAGACATGATCTTCATCAGCTGAAAATGCAGACGCACCAACCCAACATCGAAGGTTACGTGTATCTTTCATTCTTTCTTTTGATGCATTTGTACGTGTGCAGATAAAAGTAGCCCTTAAAGCCTGGCAATGGACGTTTATACCGCCAGAAAGTGTTGTGACCGCATCACGCTCCAATTTCCCACGTTTCTTTGCGGGTTTTTGGTGGCGACTTGTCCACAGCTTTAATCCTGTATTTAAATGCCTCTCTACCCATGCGGGGTTGCCTAGAGGGCATTCTGGAGGGCCGATGGGCGAGTTGCTGGAACCAACAGTCGGCAACAGGTCAATTTTGGGGTGTGGCTTGTCACAGCCAGGGGTGGGTTCCTACCCACACCAAACTGCTGCGGTCTCTCAGGAAGTCGAGAATTGCGGTGAGGTCTATTGATTGCGCTCTCTTGGATTCTCTGGGTTTCCTTTTTGCGCAGGTGGGAAGCTGGTGTCTGAGTTGAGGGTTGCGTTTACTCTCGGATTCTGTGTGAGGTGTGCGCAGGCGTGCGGTCAGGATGTAGGCAACTAGGGGAAATCTTGCTCAAATCAATCCTCCGGCTCAAACTACATCCTTCGTCTAGGGGCTTTACCGCTCCTTTCTTTCTTCGAGTGGTTGCTACCTGATGTCCAGAACTACACATGGCGGGATTTTCCAGACAGGACCACCGTGCTGGAACTCGCACGAGGTTGTCAATTCAGGAGCCAAAAAGAACTTGTCCCCTAGTAACTTAGAAGCTAGTGACTACCTAGTAGATTCAATGTCATGGATCTGGCAATGCCAAGTTCTCCCAAGGCAGATCAAGACACCTTCGCTATTAACTCTGCCACATTGGCTCCCTCCCGACACCACGGATATCGCCTAAGAAGAGCGAGGAGTTGCCGCTCGGGGGAGGGGTGGTTTTGTGTTATGTGGGAATGCCTGCACGACTCCCAAAATAGCTCTGCGCGGAAACAGTTCCCCGTTAGTTTGGCTGTTGGCCCATTCAGTGACCCTAAGCGCTTCGCGCAGACTCACCAGCGGCTCACCGCAGAACCACAGGTACCATTCGAATAAAAAGGATCAAATGAATATTAGCTATCATCTCAAGAAAAACCCCAAAAGAAGAGCGGGAAAATGCTCCCAGTCGTGGTAGTTGCGGTGTCTCGACACTCCTCTCACGCAAACAGCGTTGCCGACCAACAACGCACCCACGGGAGCCGGATTTGGACTGAGTGCCGACCAGGGATGCCTCGACCTCTCCTCCCTCTAGTTAAGTTTCATGCTTGGCCTTCTCTTATCAAGTGTTCGTCACTCTAACGTCAGTATGCCTCGTTGTTTCACCCCCACCGGTTGCCTTACACGCCCCCCCCTTTGGCCTTTGCCCTCTCATAACTACACACTAGGGTTTTCAGAGTGGTTCGCCAGTATACGGGTATAAATAGTCGGGATTGAACCTTGGAGTTCCCCAGGACATTCTCAGGACTTCCAGATTACCCAAGCCCAAATTCCAACCCATCACATCTCTCCTCACCCACCATGGTATCCAAATCGCCACGCGGACCAAACTGGAGTTGCAAGAGGGTATTCGGTACACCCGTCAATGATGTACCAAAACTTACGGAACTGCGCAAACGGCTTGGTTGCTCGAGTGCGGGCCGTCGGCTGGATGCGCATTTGTACACCATCATCTGCGAATACTCGTCCAAGTTCACATCCAGCAATGGTCTCACCGGCCACGAGCTTAGCAAATGGACAGACGAAACTCATCAAGCGGCCTTGCTTGAGATCTCAAGTCAGTTCCTTAAACGAGACGGCAATGGGCCGCGTTTCTGGCCTAGTGATCCGGCATCCCCAGAATACCGTCGGCTTCAATACTCTAAATCTGCAGATGCTGGTCTGTGAGTGCCTCTCTATGTCCTGTGTCTTAATCATTCATTTTCTAACAATGGGTCCATTCAGCATAAAGCGACACATAACGCAACTATTTTGGAGACTCGGTCAGCAGAATCCCAAACCTCGACCTCAGACCGTCGGCAATCGCTCGGACCAAACCGCTGCAGGACAGAATAATATCCAGACAACTCTCGAGAGAGGCCAGAGCCCCGAAAACCCCATTTATCTTGACGAGCCATCACTTTTTGTGTCCCCCTCTCCGGCCTTTTCTCCAATCATCGCTCCTAGGTTCGTTCGACATCCTCAAACTTGAGTCTTGAATAGTCGTTGACCTTTCTTTAGAGCCACAGCATCGACCGCCGCCCATCCGCAGCCCACACCTCTCTCGTTGCAAACATTCTCCGAGGCCCCGATCGACGATTTACACATGCGAGGTGAACAGGAAGGACCAACCACAGTGGGAAGCAATGCAAGGAGTCGGCCCATGGCACCATTGGCACCCATGACAGAGGATCTACTTGATGGGCCATTCGCTTCAGGCATAGCCACTACTGGTGCGCAGGTTAGTCTATTCATGTTCATAAGTCGTCGATTCAGAGTAGTACTAACGAGCCACAGAGTCGGCGCAACGGTAAACGCCCTGTCACTCAACTCGAAAGTGGCCATGAGACTTCTCAAGCAAAACGACCAAGACAGCAACAGTGCGGCCCTCAGATCTCCAGGGATAATCATGATGATGTCGACCCATTTGCCGATTTTCCCACCAGCTCATTGTTCTCCCCGTCGCGTCCCCGGAGGCCGCCTCAACGTGATGGCTATGTTACTGGAGAGGCGTTTCTGAGAGCCACTTCCATCGATGTCGAGTCTGCCGATGAGCAGTGCGCAGATGATGGCTCTAGCCCGGGATCTCACCTTCCCACTCCTCCGCCTGGTACCCGAAGGCAGGATACTGTCGGTACTGTAGGCAGACCGGATGGAGGTTGTTTCGGTGAAGACATTGTGTCGTCAATTGAGCGTCCAGAAGAGAGACCCTCGGCAGCTCCAACAGCTCCCCAGGAGCGTGATCAAGAACCACTGGGTGCGCTCACTCCCGAACCTGAGGCCGACGAAGTTCTGCCGCCACTGTCGCAGGAAGTCCCAGAACCGAGGCCAGAGTCTGGCCGTGAGCGCGATCTGGCAGTCGAGTCAGATTCTTCTCCGAAGAATGTACCTCAGAATGCTCCTTGCAAAGCCCTGGAGCCCGCAGCAGAGCATAGGATCGATCCTGGCGTCAACTCTCGCCCCTCCAGGCAAGGACAGAGCCAACTTCCAAAAACCAGCTTCACATACAGCGTAATGGTTTCGCGAGGTCTCAACCGGACCTTGAACATTCAGGGCGGGTTTAAGCAAAACTCGCTGAAAGATCTCTTGGAGAAATTACCCATACGAGATATATATTTCGGTTTAGATTTCGTCTTGAGGACTCCAAAAACACGGTATGTGGATTATGTCCTCCTTGGAGAGGAGCAAAAGTTTAAGGCTCTCAAGGAACGGTTCCGGGGGAAGGTCCAAGAAGCCGTCAAGGACATGTACAAGGACAGGCCCCTGGAATTTGAGATATCCATTGAGCCACGCTGGGTTGAGGATGACGATGTCGAAGATGCTCTTGACTTTTGAATCCTACTCATTCTTATGATGGATGGTGGTTGCGTTCAGGCGGACTGGAATTTCTGTTGGGTTATCTCGTCAATGGATGTGCGAAGAATTAGGATTATCAGATGTAGGCCATCGCCAGGTTCGACATTTCTTTTATTTGGAGCTATCTCTACCGTCCCATTATCAAGAAGTCTGACTTTCGTTGTTTGCAACCCGACTTTTTCCAACTTTCATTTATATACACTATGTTCCATTTTTCTTATAGACAAATTATAACTGAGTTAGTCGCTGAACCGCCTAGCCAAGCTAACATATTAAATAAAAACCCTCGACAACAGTGCCCGTGCGTGTGTCGAGCAAAGTTGGAAAAGGCGGCGGCCACATAGGCATGAATTGAGGCGTGCAGATATCTGCAGTTCTTATTCTGGTGTATTTGCAGACGGGCAGCAAGAAGCGACGCCGATATTCTAGCCCTGGCGCTGAAATCACTGCGATATGTTATTTTCACCTCGCACTCTCTTTTCCTGAACTCGATTGTCGTTTTTTGCAATAAGTTATATTCTGCTTGAAGGGTGTGTTTTAGTTATCGGTGCCTGGGCGGAATTGACCGCCCACAGCTTCAAGGCCACAGACCAGCACACCGCACCATAACGCACAACCCGGTCAGATCTTGCCAGGGGGCGCAAGGCATACTGCCTCATCCCCTTGTAATTTGGGGTCCAAAATAGGTATTTGTCATCGATGGCTCTCCTATTTAAACAGGGAGGGCGGTAAAACTCTTCTTTTCAGATCTCGCAACTCCACAACACTTAGGCATAGACACTCCAACTCCAACAGCCAAGATGCATACCCTAAGCATTTGTGCTGTCTGCCTACTCTTTTCTTTTATCTGTCTCGCTGCCATCTGCATCACTGTTGTTTGTGTTACAAACACTGTATGCCATTACTTCTCAGGTGAAAGGAAATCAACATCATCTATGACAAGAATCATGAGCACTAATTTCCCCAAGGCAAAAACGGACGGACGAACCAAGACGATGACGAGACAGAGAAAATAAGTAAAGGGCTCTTGGTCAGGGCACCTGCGGTGGATATATCAGATATTGTAAGCTCGCTGTGCATAGGGCGTAATGTTTTCAGTTCTGACTTGGCGACTTGCGAACGCTAACACGTATTGCTTGCTAGTCGTTCACTGTGAACACTGCGAATACTGCCCCGGCGAACACTGCTCCAGCGAATACAAATCCCGCACCTGCAAATCGGATACAGACGAGGAGCGCAACGCGACGTGCTATAATATAGGATGCTACAATTTGAGAAGCGTGGTGTGTCTCGTCAGAGCATCACGGATGAAGCTTGATCTTTCTACCGTGTCTTGCTGTTTGCACTTCTTTCTTTCGACTTGAATGCTTTGGTGCGGATTCTTCGTTGCTGGAAAACAAACTCGAAAATAAATTAAAAACGGGTCTCTTTACTTAATTTTACGTCTCATCGTATTTGATTCACATAAATCCTCGTTCCCTTTGCTGATCACGTGGTGTTCGGATTTGCTCCCTTGGTAACACGGCGCTTTAAAACGTCGCGATCGTGAGGAAAACCAGATCAGGGAAGTAGCTTCTGGTACTCGAGATATGGTGCTTGTATCTCCATTTCGATATTCTCGCAGCTGTTATGTTGCACCCAGAATCGAAAAGGTGGCAGGAGACGAATGTGCATCTCTTCGGATCTGGGGATCAGAGTTTTCAGTCTTTTCCAGTCCCTAGTCACGTTGTTCTCTAAAAAGCCTTGCATGGGCAGGGGACAGTTTCATAAATGTGCACAGCCCCCGAATAGGCTGCTGCACCTTTGCATTGACACCACGTGTGTCAGCGGCATGAAATTGCTCCGCCGTCACGAAATGATGCGGGGCGACGTTCCGATATCTTTTCAAGAAATCCCCGAAAAGAATCGTGGGAACACTTGCTACGTATAGCCTCTCAACACCACTCAACACCGCCTTTCCATGAGCAGGGATTCCAACCAACAACTAGTCCACTCAGTCACATGGAACAAGTGCCTCCCCCCCAACTATCTCAGCTCTCTTTCAGCCGCTGCACGACGGATATTACCGACTATCTATCCAACAACTCACCCCACTGCCCCTTTCTTTTCTCTTCGCCTTCTCCAGGATCCACAGAGTGGTTCGCTGGCCAGCTGGCATACTGTTGTCTAGTTTACACCTCGGCGGCCTCACCGAGATCCCATGGTGCCAAGCTAGCATCCTACGCCCGCAATTCCACTCGCTTTGGCAACCTCGTGGCACCAACTCGCCCATGCCATGGAACCTCATTCAATATTTGCAACGAATGTCACCCACATCCCAAATATCAGAACACTGCGTGCAGAACTTGACTGCGCACGTGTTGGCCAGCGTCGGGACGTCAACTTCTACAACAGCGTTTGCTCATACCTGTTTACTTTTACATCTACCCTTGGCTTCAAGGGTACGGATCTTACCCGGTGGAAAGCTCCGGCTCATCAAAAGGGCCTACTTGAGCTAACCCGACGATTCCTCGAAGATGATGGTAATGGGGCTATATTCTGGCCTGACGATCCCAAATCCCCAGACTACCGTTCACTTCAATACTCCAAGGATGCCGATCGGTAAGTTGCTCTCTTTTCCTGCTTTTCAACCTATTATTTCTCTAACAAGGTGCCAATTGCAGTATAAGTCGGGTTATGACACAACTCTTCTGGAGAGCCTCCCAGGAGTACAGGTACAAAGGCAGCCAAAAAAAAATGGCTGATCCCCATTATCGAGCCCGCCGTTTGGGTCTTCCCCTTCCAGGACCTGAGCATACTTCACATCTTGGGGGTCAGGGCACCCTCGGAGAACCATTTGATGTTGACAAACTAGTCTCCTTGACGACATCATCGACAAGCTCCCGTCCCATCAAAACAACCCAGTACGTTTGTAATCCTTACACTGATGCCCCGAGCACTTATTGACTGGTTTGTAGAGATGAAACCCCCCTCTTTGCTGTCCCTCCGCGGCCCCGTATGTACCAAGCATCCGTTGAGGAGACCGTCGACGAGAGTTACACTCAGAATGCACTACAGCGGCGGCCCAGCTCATTGGGGATACATCCACCCTCGCCGCCTGTGGCACCCATACCGCATACAAACAATGAACCACAAGGTGACCAAGAGACTCATCTAGTAAAACGACCAAGACCTCGGGAGCAAAACACAACGAACCCCAACTCGCACCCTGCCGGTGGTGCTGAAAACGAGCCCGTTGCCAACTCACCTCCAGTTTCATGGTTCTCTCCTAGGAGACAGACATTACGCCCAGATTATGTAACTGGTGACGAATTTTTTGAAGCCATTGGCTCCGCTGCATCAGGCAGTGATGCCGAACCTGCAAATTTACAAGCGGCGGGTAATGGACCCAGAATGAAGTCTCCTCTTCCATCTCCCCCCTCAGCTCCAACTACCGATACGGTAATGACGCAGGCCGGAGGTGGTTGCACTGGAGACTCGTTGTTAAATAATGATGCAGAGGAGCCACAGCCCATGACTGCGTCACTCCCTCCCCGACCTTGTCTAGCCCTACACGATACACCCGCTCATATACATGATACTGGTCAAGGTCAGCGGCCACTCTTGAAATCGGAGTTAGACACCAGTCGTGAGAATGAACGGCGGCCGGAGCTGGAACATACTCCTGAGAGCGTGTTCGGCCGTGCGGCGGAGCATGAGGCTGGTCAAGATGCCGACCCCAAATCCTCGAGCCAAAGACAAAGACCACGTCCACAAATAATTTTTAGTGTGGATGTTTTACATGACGAAAACAGGAGATGGCAGCCCAGGGGGAAGTTTATGCAAATGTCGCTGCGGGATCTTGTGGAGGAGTTACCTCTCCAACCCAACTTCTCCCGCTTCACGTTCACCTTGGAGACCCTCAGGTGTACATTCCATGAAGATGTCACTCTCGATGACGAGGCCGGATTTGCGCTCATGAAGAACAGGTTTAACCACAAGATCGCAGCGTCCCTACGTGCCCATCGGGGTTCTTCCGATCTCCTCTTCGAGATATGCATTCATCCAATTTGGGATGGACGAGATGATTGTGAGGGAGGCAATGGCGATGACGATGAAGATATCGTTTTCTGAAATCGTTCTCATCCAAGTGTCTGTAGATACAGATATTTTCTGTTTAGGCGCTCAGGGAATGAGTATTAGAAACTAATCCGAGGAAATGCAAGGGGTGTATACTTGTAAATACTTTAGCTTTGTTCGTACCAACCAGATAGATCAGAGCAACGCAGTATATTCCAGATATTGAAAGGACGCAACGAGACGCTCTACTTTGTACTCGGGCTGATATCATTAAGCAGGGGAATTAAAGTGATTTTCCACAGGCAGTAAGGTTTACAACTGAATTCGGTGTGAGCTTGATATGTCTGATGATATTGGGCAAAGCCATTAAAGAAACTCAATATATATACCCTGCACCAGATTCATAACCCAAAGGGCGTGCAAGTGAATGCTGTTTATCTCCTTCTAATAATTTATTATACGAAATAAGTATTAGCAGGATTGAAGCATGTAGTTACATGTGCGAGTAGCAAGATGCGTGTGTGCGAATAGCAATACTCTTTAGTATATTTGACATGCTTCCTTTCCACTGTCACGTAGTCGTGGATCATCTTCGTCTAGGCTTTGAACGATTCACTGGCCTATACCCCAATAGTGAACACATAGGCTCTTCTGCAATGCACCTCCCAAGTGTGAGAATTTATTTTCCAATAAGAATCAATTGATTATAATACAAATCGCCCCTCAACCACAATAAGTAGTGTAACATGAGAACCCTCCACTAAACATCTACTACGCAGCAAACATGCTGCACAACTCCCAGTCTCCACTTGCAACCTGTCTCCAGGAACTCGACACGGTCGCCTCCACTGTCTGCATACCGGACTTCCCCTTCCCCTTCTTGACTTGTCGGAACAGGGTCACGCGGTAAGCTATTGCAACGGCCATCAAGTCGATTTCGACAACTTGAGGATCGTGCATCTTGTACGCCAGCCACTCGTTGCAGTGCTTGAGTTCCTCTTCGAGAGGCGGGTCCGAGTCCTTGGTGCGTGGCGTCGGGTCATCGAAGAGAAAGCGGTTCGAGACAATGGCATCCTTGCCCATATACAGGAGAGCGCTCTTGGGCTTGTCGCAGAGGGCGCGCCAGAGCAGCGTCTCCATCTCCTTGGCGGCGGCGTGGTTGCGGCCCTTGATGGTATTGAGGGGTGGTTCGTCATCGTCGTCGCTGTCTTCCTCTTCGTGCTTTGGGGCGCCCTTAGTGAAGAAGTCCGACTTCAGTCCAGGCGTCAGGCTGGCCTTGCCGCTGGAGGCGAGTTCCATGTTGCCGTTACCGTCCCGACTGTTGAGTCCGTGTGGGGACTGGTCGGTGGTAAGTCCAAGCATGGTAGGCATGGTGATGGTGTTTGTTCGAGTTTGTAGAACAGATGTTGATGGGTTTGGTTGATGATTATCAGAGTGTAGGAGTGGACTCAGGGATTCAGCTCGGGAAAGAGGAGAGTTGGATCTGCAAAGGGCATAATATGGGAAATGATCTCTAAAGAACCAGCCCACACCTAAGTAATCATGGCGAGTCCATGATGGTGTTGCGCAGAAATCCTGATTGTTGGATCCTGTGTCATTGGAGTGACGTCAGTCCGGGGTGTGCTCCATGTGGGAGGTGGATGACGACGATCGACATTGATCGATCAGGGCCTGACACATCTTCTAGAGGTGGTTCCTGATTGATCAGAGCGAACTGGATAAAGCTGCAGTAGAACTGGAGTTCTTTGCAGATGCAAGTAAATGGATTTCCGTCATGGTTCCCGGCGCCAATCTCAATGGTGCAGGCTTACACGGGAACGGACCGTTGATGCGTAGCAGTGATGGTTTGGTGCTTGTGGTGGCATCTTCGCCCGCTGTCAGTCCGCTAGGTGTCCGCTACGACCACTACGAGTTAACGGTCCACCCCACACCCCACTACCCGTCGTCGTTGCACACTGGAGCGCTTTGCGGACTCCACCAAAATTTCTGTCCCGACATTGGGAACTTTTTTTTCCATCGCACCGCCTGAGCTGCTGCGTTCACTCCCACGACGCAGGCTCTCAACCACTCGCCTCAGTGCTGCAATCACCATGGATATCCTCAAGGTCCTTTCGAGAGGCACCAAAAAGACCGGCAAGGGGGGTCAGGCCGCTAACAGTGGCGCCACGAAACTTCCCTCGGCCGGAACCACCACGAACCCTCAACTCTTCCACGATGAAGTCCGCGGCCAGAAGAGAAAGCGGACCCGCGACGAACCGCAGGTTCAGGCTCCTGTCGAATTACCCGAAGTCGATTTCTTTGCCCCCAAGCCTGAGAGCGTTCCCAACACGCTCCCCGACTCGGAGAAGATCGAGCGAGCCCAGAGCCCTCCCCGACTTGCCCACAAACTACTGAGCGAGGACGAGTGTCGCCAGCTCTTGCGGTCGCATCGCCTCAAGATCACCCTCCTGTCCAAAACCGAGGACCAATCGAGAGTGAAGAAGGCGAAGAAAAAGAAGAAGCAGGCCGCGGTGGAAGTGAAGAAGGAGGTCAAGAAGCAGTTGTTCCCCCAGCCGCTGAATTCGTTTGGTGAGCTTCGCAGCTCCTATGGCATCTCGCGCCAGGTAGCGGAGAACCTCGTCGCTCAGAGTTACCGCGTGCCAACGGAGGTGCAAATGGGTAGCTTACCGCTCCTTCTGCGCCCCGACATCGCATTAAAGGACGAGGATGGTTTGGATGGAGGAGTCGACTTCCTCGCTGTTGCGCCGACGGGAAGTGGAAAGACCATTAGCTTTCTCATCCCCGCTATCAACAACATTATGCGCAGGCGTGCGGGTGAGAACTTGGATGACATTCATGAGCTTGAGACCATTGTTGTGGCGCCTACCCGAGAGCTGGTGCATCAGATTGCCAACGAGGGCAAGAAGATTGCCGAAGGGACGGGACTCAAGATCGTCGCTATGAAAAAGGGCATGTCTATTTCAGCTGAACAGCAGGAACTGGCGGCCGAGGAGAGCTCCGAGGACGAAAACGACGATGATTCTGAGTCTGAAGACGAGAAACCAGCCGATAAGAAGCCCAAGTCTGTCATCAAGGCTGATATTCTTATCACAACGCCTTTGCTGTTGCTCAACTTCCTCACTGCTGGGCCCACAGGCACCCAAAAAGTCCTGCCGACTGTCCGCGATCTGATTCTTGACGAGGCGGACGTTTTGCTCGACCCTCTCTTCCGCGAACAGATGTTGGGTGTCTGGACCGGATGCACCAACCCTGACTTGCGGCTTTCCTTCTGGTCAGCGACTATGGGATCCAACATCGAGACGATAGTCACAGAGCAGTTGGCGTCGCGAGCTCAGTCGTTGGACATTACACCGAAGCCGTTGATCCGGCTGGTCGTCGGTTTGAAGGATACTGCGGTACCAAATATCACCCACAAGCTCGTTTACACGGGATCAGAGCAGGGAAAGCTGCTTGGACTGCGGCAGTTGTTGCACCCCACGGGAAGTGATGACTCTGGTCCACCTCTCAGACCTCCTTTCCTTGTCTTTACACAAACCATTGACCGAGCAACGGCTCTCAATGAGGAGCTCAAATATGATATCCCCTTGGAGGCTGGCGGATCTACGAGGATCGCCGCGCTCCACAGTGGCCTGGCCGATTCAGCCCGCGCGATGATCATGCGCAAGTTCCGTGCTGGAGAAATCTGGGTGTTGATCACCACGGACGTGTTGGCTCGTGGCGTGGACTTTGCCGGTGTCAACGGTGTGGTGAATTACGATGTGCCTGGCTCTAGTGCCGCATACGTACACCGCGCTGGACGAACTGGTCGTGCTGGCCGGGAGGGTGGCATTGCGGTGACATTCTACACGAAGGAGGACATCCCATTTGTCAAGACGGTCGCCAACGTCATCGCCGCCAGCGAGAAGCAGGCTGGCAAGACAGGCGAGAACACAAGCGTGAAGAAGTGGCTTTTGGACGCCTTGCCCAACGTTACCAAGGCAGACAGGAAGACGCTCAGGGAGCGCGGTGTGGAAGCTCGCCGCAGCGGCAACAAGGCTAAGATTACATCCAAGAGTGGCTACGAGAGACGCAAGGAGAACAACCGACAGGGTGCCATCGAAAGTAGCAAGAAGCGGAAGACGCAGCAAACCGAGGACAGCGGAGACGACTCGGAGTGGGCTGGATTGGATTGAGAGCCGAATGACTGATGGACAAAACGGATAGACGGCATGGATGATACCCATGCAGTCAGCATACATAGCATGGCGGAGGAGAGGATGGGGATCCGCCTGCTCCTCTGGCCCAAGAATAAATCACCTGAAAAGTTTGAAGGTTTTGCCCTTGTCAAGGATTGTGGCCATTCGGTTGATCACTACAAGTTGAATTCGCAACTCGGCAGATGCAATTTCATGTGTGCGTTGGCAGAGCTTGGCGAACTGGCAAGTGAAGTCTTGGGTGACAGGATGCAGACCAACACTGAAACACTTTGAGTGGTTGGGGAAATTACAGCTCATCACACCGAACCACGTAGGAGCTTCATCAAAGAACAACTCACAGTCACCTTCTTTTGCTGGGTTTTTTATTATCGCTTTGTTGGTCTTGTTGGTCCTTTCTTGGCTGACCCCACCACCTCACCTAGGCTGAATTGTCGCCCATGGCGCCCCCTGCTCATTTCGGCGCGACGGCGAATCACACCATTGAAGTGACGGTCCTCGTCGTTTCGTCAATCGACCGGTTGCATCGCCGGGGGAGCAGCAATGTTACGATGCGTGGGTGCACGTTGACAAAGAGAAAAAAAGTGCGCTTCTGACTCAACCGCACGTGGAGGAGGGGATCGGCAAAACAAAGCACAATTTCAGGGATCAATGCGGTGCCGGCCTCAACGAGAGATTTGCCAAGGACGAGCTGAAATGCGACCGACACCCAAGAAACGGCCAAGGCGGTAGCTCTCTCGCGGTCGACCGCTTCGTCGTACCTGATGATCCTGCCCTGAAGTGCCCTGAAGTGCCGGATGATTTGCCCAACGTGGATCAGCACACTGTGGCCGTGGTGTTGGTTGAATATTGCCGCACAGGCAGTTGGGCCGTCTAGTCTCATTGAGCGTGTTTCCGACCTGCAGGGTGCATAATCCTTCATCATTCTTTCATCCTTTGCCGGCACGGAAGTCCCGAGTGCGGACGGAGCAGCATGGCTTTCTTGTCGATTGCAGTCCTGCGAGGCCTCATTTGCCGTGCCGACTCGCAACGACGCTATTGCCCGTCATCCCGCTCAAACAGGACAAAGAGAGATTTGGCGTCTTCTCAAACCTCTTGGCCAAAAATACCAAGGCCCGAGTGAGCTGCTGCGCCTGCGTCTTAGCGCCGGTGTGTGGCCACCCTCGTTGGCGGCTCGGATCCTGCTTGGCTCCTCCGGCTAGGATAGCCTCTTCTCTCCCTCTGCTCTCCCTCTGCTCTCCACTCCAGGGCATATCCCTCTGCTTTAAGGTTAAAGAAGGGCAGCCGTCTATTGGCTGGGCCGTCCAACGTCACCTCCTGAAACACGCCCTTTTAGCAATCGCCAGGGTTGCGGCATCGTGACCCCTGGCGCCAACCAGGAACAGCACTGAGATCTCCCACTTGTGCCCTTCTCGGGCTCGCACCGCAAAGCTTGGCACCGCCGGCTTGACCACCTCGTCAGGGCATTCTTCCAGGGGCATTGTCGTGCTGGCGAGTAGGATCGTGGGCCGAGAATTTGCCCAGCCCATCCACGAGCGTCTAATCTCATGGCCGCTCACTCAAGAAGGGGGGGTCCCCCGGATTGCTTGTTTCCTGTCACCAGACGGGAATTTTCCATTTCCATCTCTCTCCAGGTTCGAAACAGATCTGTCGCCAGTTTCGACTCTATCCACTCCTTTGTTTGCTTTACTCTTTGACGATCGACTGGATCGCTCGTTCATTTCCGTTTCTGTTACCCAGAGTACTTCGGACACTCATCGACTAAGACGACACCCACTCACAAAAAAGACATCAAGAAACAGTCTTACGGATCAACCGCAACCGCAATTTTTGTGTTTGTATCGAAGAAATCATGAAGTACACAACCGCTATCGTGCTGGCCTCGACCGGCCTGGCTTCGGCCTTGACCCAGCAATGCACCGGTACCGCCGCCGAGGAGGGCGGCAACTGGTTCTGCGGCGCCATTGAGCAGATCCTCTACGAGGGCTTCTCCGGAAGCGGCTCCTATAAGGAAGTCACCAACATGGGTGCAAGTGGCGAGTGTGAGACCAAGGACACGCCTTACAGCGGCCCTCTGGCACCCCTCGACGAGGATGTAAGTCGCTCAATACTGAGAATATCCAGCACGCCCTGCTAAACTTGCCATCTTAGCTCTCCCTCCACGTCCGTGGCCCCATCAACTTCAAGGAGTTTGCTGTCTACAACCTTGCCTCGGAGAAGAAGAAGAAGCGTGATATCGCTCCCTCTCCTCACGTCCACGCCCGTCGCCATGGCCACGAGCACTTCCACGAGCAGCGCAAGAAGAAGCGTGCCGAGTGGATCACTGCCACTATTGACGGCAAGGTCGTCTCTTGGGAGAACAACTACTTCGGCCCGGCCACTGCTGTCGCTCCCGTCGACGCTGTCGCCACTGAGCCCGCCTACGAGGCCCCCGCTGTTGCTGCGGTGAGTGAACCCGTCGCTGCCACCACCACCAAGGCGGCCGCGGCTGCGAAGGCTTCTACCAAGTCCAAGAGCAGCTCCAAGTCTAGCTCCAAGAGCAAGACCGAGTCTGTTGCCAGTGGCGACTGGGAGCGCACTTCTTACTACAACGCCGCGGACGGCGTTGCTGAGAACATCGTTTTCCTCGGAAACTACGGCGGCGAGGGATCTGGCGTCTTTGATACGTGAGTTCTGGCAGCACACACATGTTTCAAACGGACGTGGTTACTGACTTGTCTTTGCAGCGTCTGGGGAAACTCTCTATCTTACCTCAATGGCAACGGTGACGGCGGTTCTGCCAATGCTACGACCCTCGAGGATGTCCTTATTCCCTCCAACAAGGAGTTTGCCATCTTTACCGCCGAGCAATGCGATGATAGCAGCTGCGGCTACTCTCGTGCTAAGGATGTTGCCTACAGTACGTCCCCCTGAACTCGCAATCCCTTCCATCTCGTCTCATTGCTAACGGCTCCTCCCTGCAGAGGGCTTCGCTGGTGCCAACAAGGTCTTCCTCTTCCACTTCAAGATGCCCCTCGACGGCGACCGCGGCTTCAACGGCGACATGCCCGCCCTCTGGGCCCTCAACGCCCGCATTCCCCGTACCGCCCAGTACAGCGACTGCAGCTGCTGGACCTCTGGCTGTGGCGAGGCCGACATCTACGAGGTGCTGGCCTCGGGCGACACCAAGTGCAAGAGCACATTCCACCTGAAGAACGGCGCTGGCAGCTCCGACTACTTCGACCGCCCTACCGACAGCTACATCAAGGTCGCTACTGTCTTTGACGAGAAGACGGCCAGTGTCGCTATTAAGCAGTTGCCCGCCGACTTCGACTTTAGCACCGGGCTTAGCTCCGAGACCGTCCAGGGATGGATCTCTGGATTTGCTGATAGCTCTACGGGTAGCAGCTTGTTCCAGCTGTCCACCTAAACGCCATTACCTGACTTTCGGGGAATGGGAATGCTATGTTTTTCTTTTAAGTTGTATATATATGATTCTTGCATTTGCCGTTTCACGGCACGCAGCCCGCTTTAGAAATGATTTGTTGATACCTCAATACCAATATGCCATAGATGAATGGAGTTTTCATGATTGGAAAGACGACGAATAAGATAATCCACTCGTACCATTTTGTGTGAAGGTTATGTTCGGAATATCAATGAAGCCTTGCCTATCAATACAGTGGTCCTTCTAGGGTATAGACACGTCTACAATATTATACAAGTCCTTGTCATCCCATCATACATCGTCGTCGTGCCGAAAGACTTGCTCCCAAGCCACACACGCTCCTTTCAAGTAGAGGCTTCGGCCTTCTCGGCCGCGTTGTCCTCAGCGGCAGTGCTAGGCTTCTTGGCCTCCTCGGTCGTTGACAATCCCACAACATTCCTTAGCGTGCCGAAACTCAGGCAGTCACTGATGCGGTTTGCACCCGAGAAGAGCATCACCATCCTCTCAACACCGCAGCCCCAGCCACCAGTAGGCGGCAGGCCATAATCCAAGGCCTTGACAAAGCTCTGATCAAGAGGTGCGCTCTCTCCTTCGTCATCCTCAACAAGATGGATGCCTTCATCAACAGCCGCGGGGTCAACCTCCGGCGCCTCAATGGCAATGGCACCATCGGGCTTGTTGACGAGGTTACGGTGGTCAAGCAACTTCTGCTTCTGAGCCTCAGGATCGTTCTCCTCTTCGTACATGTTGGCCAGCTCACGGCCACCAATGAACAGCTCTGCGCGCGCTGATACCAACTGGTAGGTGCGTGGGCAGAGGAAGCTCTTCGCCAGCGGTGACATACAGGCAGGGTGGTTCATGATGAGGATAGGTTGCTCGAAAGACATTGGCTCCAGATAGATTGCCGCAAGTCGGTCGAGAAGCTTGGACAGTGAGTTGGGAACCTCGCCAGGAATCTTGATGCCGGCAAGCTTGAGGATAACCAAGAGCTCAGCCAGAGCCCCCTCGGTAGAGAGCTTCGGAAAGCGGAGCCCAAGAGCTTCCTCCAAGGCAGGGACAAACTCAACACGCTTGTATGGCCGCGCGAATTTCTCAAGATCAATCGGCGGTAGGGAGGTGAGTTGAGTAGAGATGAGCTTTTGGGAATGCTCCGCCATGCTGTACAAGAGGTCCTCAGTCTCCCGAATCAGGTCGTCCAAGTTGGTGTAGGCACTGTAGAACTCGCACATGGTGAATTCTGGGTTGTGAGTTCCATCAATGCCTTCATTGCGGAACGCAGGGCCAATCTCAAAGACTTTGTCGACGCCTCCAATGACCAGTCGCTTGAGCCACAGCTCGGGTGCGATGCGGAGAGCCAGATCGCGATCCTTGAACTCAGTGGCCTGAGTGACAAAGGGGCGAGCGACGGCGCCGCCAGCATTTTCAGCCAGGATGGGGGTTTGGAACTCCAAGAACTTCTTCGAGTGGAAGTGATCGCGCATGTGCTTGGTGATCTCAGAACGCAGCCTCAGCACGTCAATGGCTTCACGGTTCACCAGCATGTCAACGTGGCGTTCCTGCATGCGAGTCTTGGGGTCGGTGAGCTTCTCAGGGATTTGCTCCATGGCTGGAGAGAGAAGCTCCGGAAGAGCCGTGGCAGCAATAGTGAGCTGGCCAGCCTTGGTACGAGTTGGGAAGCCAGTAATCGCTGCCAGACTGTAAGCATCTGGGGAATAGAGGTAAACATTGGGATCCTACATATGTGGTCGCCCACTTCTATCAAGCTCCTAAACAAGGCGAATTTGTGGTTTCTCGTTTCCTGGTCCCCCATACATTTTGCCTTGTTGACCATGACCTGCAGACGCTCGAATTCGTTCACAATGTCGAGGAAAACCAGGTACTTTCCGGCGGCGCGCTTCGACCGAACACGACCATAAACGGTGACATTCTCCATCTCGTTATGCTCAGCAGCATTGAACGCCTCTATGAACTCGGGTACAGAGTACCGCTGGCGAGTGTGCTCCAGGCGAGGATGGCTTTCAGGATAAAGCGGGTCCTCGCTCTGCTGCTCCTCCCACAACATAGTTCGACGCTGCTTCTTAAAGGGCGACAGCTCCTCGGAACTCTCCTCAGGAGCCCCTTGCGAGTTGTATCGGCAGACAGAAGAGGTCGAGAGGGACCTCCTGAATGCGACACCCTGCGCACCCCATTCTCCCCTCGTCACGGAGCCACCTCGGCATACGATGTGCGAACGTCGAACGAGTCCAGGTGCTCTCGGAGGAAGAGATTGTATTAAAGGCCGACCGGCCAGGCGAAGATACTGTACAGACATCATTACACCTGTCAATTGGGTTAGCTTTGTTCATGACCCAAGACGTGAAGCAAAGAAGGTGAGAGGTAAAAATGTCATCAGAGATTGGCAGGTTGTAATCAGTCACAGCAAGCTGTGTCAATCGCAGCGGTTCTGAAGCGAGATATGCAATTCATCATGATAGAATGTGTGAGGGGATTGAACGAGAAGGGCTTGTACTTACAATCATAATAGCAGCATGGAACTTTCGCTCCATGTGTGGGAGAAGAGAAGCAATTTTTTGGAGCTTCGACGAGAACTTTTTATGACGGCTGAATAGCGCCGAGGTTTTTCCGGCTCTCACACCAGCCACCCACTTCCCTCCAGCCACGGGCCCCGCCACTAGCATGAGGCTTCCGTACAACTAAGTGAGGCGTCCAGCTCGCGGAGCTCACCAACCACCAGGCCAAGGCTGAAATTTGTTCCAACGCGACAACACCTGGCGCATCTCCACCAAAACCCGCGACTCTCCGCGCTGGATCCCCCAATTGGTTCCGTCACCAACCCGTTGCGACTCGTCCTACACAATCACCATGGCCCAACAGCCTCTTTCCTCGTCGGTGCAGCCTACCGACATCTACGGAGGAGGTTCGTCAGCTCCCTTGCGCGTCTCCCTTGCGCGCCGCTCCCCGTGAGCATGCATACTGACGTTTTGATCGTGTAGATGAGGTCTCAGCGCTTGTCCTCGACCCCGGCTACTGCAACACCCGAGCAGGTTTCGCCGGCGAAGATGTTCCCAAGTCAATCCTCCCCTCTTTCTATGGCCACATCACCAGCGAGCCGTCTCGCGACCTCTTCGGTGACGAGTGCTTGATCCCCCGTTCCGACTACGAGGTCCGCAACTACATGAACCGAGACAGCGTGGTGGAAGACTGGGATGTCGCGTCTAGAATCTGGGAGAACATGCTGGTGAAGCGACTGCAGCCTGAGCGTCAGACACCACCCTCTAAGAACGGATTGAACGACGACCCCAAGGACCAGGACCAAGATGTCGAGGGAGACGTCGCCATGGACGATGCGGCCGAGGCAGCTGAGAAGCCCCTCCAGGAGAGTCCCCTTCTAATGACGGAGGCACCATGGAACACCCCCAAGTCGCGAGAGAAGGCAATTGAGATCATCATGGAGAACTGGGGATGCCCTGCCTTCTGGATTAGCCGCACACCTGTGTTGGCCGCTTTCGCAGCTGGCAAGGCTACTTCCTTGGTCATCGATGTTGGTGGTGCCAACACCTCAGTAACGGCGATCCACGATGGCATGGTGCTTAAGCGATCCATCCAGAAGTCTCCCGTTGGTGGCCTGTGGCTGTCGTCTCAGATTCGGAGCCTGTGGGACTCTTCGGAGCCCAAGGTCGATCTGACACCCACATTCATGATCGAGAACAAGACGCCCGTTGACGCACTGGCATCTCCCCAAGTTCGCCTGCGCCACTTCCCCTTCCAGATCAACGACTCCTTCCGCGCTTACGAGGAGGAGCGTGTTCTGACCGAGTTCAAGGAGTCCGTCGTCGAGGTGTGGCGCGGCCCTGGCCGATACAGTGTTCCTGGAAACGAGGAGTACGTTAAGACGCAGCCGGGCCGAGTGTTTGAGATGCCCGACGGCTACAACCAGATGTGGCGCGAACAGCGGTTCCGAGTGACCGAGGGCATGTGGGATGAGACTGCTGGATATTCCCTCCCCGAGCCGGACCGTCTCACCAAGGCCCAGACCATCCCTGAGCTGATCCGCTCTGCTCTCAACGCTGTGGATGTGGATCTGCGCGGCAACCTGCTTGCCAACGTTGTCGTCACTGGCAGCACCAGCTTGATCAACGGCTTCAACGACCGCCTCAATAACGAGTTGACGACCATGTACCCTGGCCTCAAGATCAAGATTCACTCCGCGGGCCTGACGAGCGAGCGACGCTTCGGTGCCTGGATCGGCGGCAGTATCCTCGCCAGCTTGGGTACATTCCACCAGATGTGGATCTCGCGCAAGGAGTACGAGGAGAACGGACCCAACGTGGTCGAGAAGCGGTGCAAGTAAGGCCTCTGAGAAAGGGTTCTTGGAGGTGGACTTCCGGCGTACGGAGTTGGGGAGAGGATGCCATTTTTCAGCCGAAATACGGAAAAGCCTGGCTCCAAAAAGAGTTCGGTTTAGATTTGATAAGATCAATGTATGGCAGCAATTCTCAAAATTATGGCGTCCCGTCCTTGTGAATTATCGTGGTCTTCCTGTAAATCTGACAAGTCTCGTATAGTATCCAATGCTATCCTGAAATAGACCTCTTATTCAGCTGGGTATATCAGTCCTGGTGCAGTCTTCTCGGCTCCAGTTTCTCTCTCTGTCCGTCTCGTCTTAACCCAGGCCCCAAGTTCGCCCCAGATACGCTGCTTTTCAGCCGGCGAGAGTGTAGCTGCCAACCCGCTCGTACTGCTTGCCACAAAGACCCTGGCACCGTCCCACTCGCCGTCGATGACCCCCATGTTCTCGGTAGTATCCTGCCAGCCGTACTTGAAGGCTTTGCCGACGGGGCGCCCGTGGCGGACGCGCCAGACACTTTCCCAGATGCTTTTCCCAACGACGCAGATGGATTCTGGGCGCCATTTTCGGGCCTTTTCTTGAAGGATCTCGACACCCTCGTCCATCTCTTGCTTGCTCAGCTCGGAACCATTGCGGCTGGGACGAGCAACGATGTTGGTGAGACCGAGTGAATAGAGCTCGGGCATCTGGCGGTCCTCGGTCGGACTGCAGAGCCGTGGAGTGACGCCGCTGGAGAAGAGCAGCTTCCAGAATAGGTTTGAAGGGTGGGCATACGCATGTCCGGTACGGGCCGTCTGGACACCCGGGTTCAAGCCAATGAAGAGGACAAGGAGATGCTGAGAAATGGCGTCAGGGAGGAGTGAGAGATGGGCGTAAGTGGAGGGCGGCGCGTAGCCAGAAGCGGTACGGGCTCGCTTCTTTTTTGTCTTTTTGCCATTGTTGCCATTGCTCCCATTGTTGTCATCCGTCTCATCTTTCTCATCCTTCTCATCCTTCTCATCCTCGTCCTCTTGCGGCCTCTTGTTTGGTGTTGCTGAAGATGAGGTGAGATTAAAGCGCGGAGACCTGCGGCGCGTGGGGGTTGATGCGGAAGAGTCAGGGGCCAGCTCTGACTTGGACGACTTGAAGGCGAAGTCACTGAGCTGCAGACGTCCCTTAAAAGTTGCGGGTTGGGGAGAGGATTGGGGTTGCCCTTGGCCTGCTTCCTCATCAACCTGGTCCCCACGGCCATCCTCCTCTTCATGGTGTGATGCCATCTCTGAAATACGGTGTATACGAGTGGATGGAATAGGTGAGAGTCAAGTCGGCGAATGAAGGTGGCGAGTGTTTCCAGTACGGGCTCTGGTTGATGACTGCTGCTTAAGTCACCAATTTAAATCATCGATGGTTGCCCTGTTTTTCTCGACTGGGAATCTAGAACGCCATGTCGAGAATTCTGCCTGCCCGGAGCCTGAGCCGTCGTTTCTGGTGACTCTAGCTGGAATATCCTGGAAGGCCGGGGATGCACGATGTCTTCAGCTGTTGTCAGCTAGTAGCAGCTATTTTCAGCCACCTGTAATGCTTTGATGAGTCCGGCTCGGGATCCCCAGGCAATTGTCAGCCTCTGTCACAGCCACAGGGGGATGGTGGCCCCATAATTAATATCCTACCAGGGCGTTAGTAGGCGGTACTCGAGGCATCACCCGCCAAAGGTTGGCTGCTCCTTGCTAGCGGCGCAGTGAATGGGCCAGCTCGCGGGACAGAGGACATGGGCCCCTGAACGGCAGTGGTTGATCGCTCGGGTTTGAGACGACGAGCTGGAGTACGGGAATCTCTGCGACAGTACACGAAAGACACAGACACTAAGAACACAGACATCAAATACACAAACACGCAAACACGCAAACACGGAAACATACAAACTTGATTGCGTCAGAATCTTCTGGCACCATTCCTCGGGCATTGACCACTGGTACCCAGATGAACTTGTCGGTGTTTGCTCAGTTCACTGTTGGGCTTACCTCCCCAGCACCACATCAGGCGAATAGGATGTGGCAGCGTCACGGCATGGGACGCTAGGAGGCTTCAGTAGGCTTACGGCTCGCACCTTCCTGGGGCTTGGGTGTGACGCTGGCGCATCAGCGGCCGTACAGGGCTAGCTTGACAAGAGGCCAGTTTTCCCAGTCGGCGAGCATTTTGGTGGTCCCGTCCAGGGAGCAGGTTGGCGCTCAGTTGGCGCTCAATTGGCGCGCAGTTGGCGGGGCATTGGGAGGGGCATCAGCGGCGTGGCGGGGAAAGAGCTTCAGGTAGGTAAGGTGTTACGTGCTGCTTCCGTAAGGTACCTAGGTACGCTTGAAAGTAAGATCGGTCAGGGTAGGTGCAGCTTGGCGTCATGCCTCCCACTCGTGTCCCTGACGACCTGACGAAGAGAACTGGGGCCCTTCGTATTTATTCACCCCGCCTCCGCCATCGCCAATCTTCTTTCTCTCTTCTTCTTCTCTCATATCCATCATACTCATCATACCCATCGTCTTTCTTGGCTCGTGAAGCTTCTATACCCTCCATCCCTCCCCAATTGGCTTTTCTTGGTTGCTCTCAAAGACAACCCCGCCAATTGTTTGCTTTCCTCCCTCAACGTTGCTCACCGTAACCTCGCCAAATACTACATACCCCAACACCGTCATCATGGCAGCCATCGAGCCCTCGGCCGAGTCCCTTGCTCAGCTCAAGGAGAAGTACACCCAGGCCGGCCAAGACCAGGTCTTCACCTTCTACGACTCTCTTCCCACTGCCGAGCGCGGCGCTCTTTACCAGCAGCTCTCGGGCTTCGACCCCGTCCGTATCAACGAAATCACGAAGCTCGCCTTGAACCCTCCCAAGGCTTCTGATACCCCCGACGCTCTCGAGCCCCTCCCCGAATCCGCCACCGCCAGTGTCCTCGACTCCAACACCGAGGACATCGAGAAGTGGTATGAGTCGGGTCTCGACCTCATCTCCAAGCAGCAGGTTGCTGTCATTCTGATGGCCGGTGGCCAGGGCACTCGACTCGGCAGCTCTGCTCCCAAGGGCTGCTACGATATCGGTCTTCCCTCCAAGAAGTCCCTCTTCCAGGTCCAGGCCGAGCGAATCCGCAAGGTCCAGGAACTTGCCTCTAAGAAGACCCCTGGCTCCGCTGCCGTTGTCCCCTGGTATGTCATGACCAGCGGCCCTACTCGCGGCCCCACCGAGAAGTTCTTCGAGGAGAACAACTTCTTTGGCCTGCACAAGGAGAATGTCCAGATCTTCGAGCAGGGTGTTTTGCCTTGCATTTCCAACGATGGCAAGATCTTGCTCGAGAACAAGGGCAAGGTTGCGGTTGCCCCCGATGGCAACGGCGGTCTCTACCAGGCCCTTGTCGTCTCGGGTGTCCTTGAGGATATGCGCAAGCGCGGAATCCAGCACATCCACGCCTATTGCGTCGATAACTGCCTCGTTAAGGTCGCTGACCCCATCTTCATTGGCTTCTCTGCTTCCCTCAACGTCGACATCGCTACCAAGGTTGTCCGCAAGCGTAACGCCACTGAGTCGGTTGGTCTGATTCTCTCCAAGAACGGCAAGCCCGATGTCGTCGAGTACTCCGAGATTGACCAGACCACTGCTGAGGAGGCCGACCCTAAGCAGCCTGACGTTCTTCGGTTCCGTGCTGCCAACATTGTCAACCACTACTACTCCTTCAACTTCCTCGACTCCATCCCCCTGTGGGCTCACAAGCTGCCTCACCACGTCGCCCGCAAGAAGATCCCCTTCGCCGACCTCGAGACTGGCGAGACTGTTAAGCCTGAGAAGCCCAACGGCATTAAGCTCGAGCAGTTCGTCTTTGACGTTTTCCCCATGCTGTCCATCGACAAGTTTGCTTGCTTCGAGGTCAAGCGTGAGGATGAGTTTTCGCCTCTTAAGAACGCTCGTGGCACTGGCGAGGACGACCCCGATACGAGCAAGCTGGACATTATGACCCAGGGCAAGCGCTGGCTGGAGGCTGCTGGCGCTGTTATGGTTGGCGAGAAGGCCGCCGAGGGTGCTGAGGTGTCTCCTCTCATCAGCTACGTAAGTTGACCGCGTACAATGGCGAGATTGAGCTTCATACTAACTAAATACAGGGTGGCGAAGGCCTCGAGAACTTCAAGGGCAAGAAAATCACCGCGCCTGCTGTGCTGGAGCGGGAGTAGGATAACCTCCAGCCCCCAATGGTGGTGAGAAGTTTAGAGGACAGACAAAAGTTCAAGATCTTGAGCATTGACCAGCCGGCTTCCCCAGAGCCCCAGGAACTGCCCACCAAGATTCCGATATGTGGCGGTTTCTCTACTGGCCCTCCGAAGCTGCCATCAACCGTTTTGCACCCACCCAATGGAACCCTAAAACGAACACATGAAGCGATCTGAAATTAGAATTGGATAGTTCCGAAGCTGTTGGAGTAAGGGTTTGGAATTGAAATGGAAATATTGGAAACCCAATTTCTTGGAACGGGCGGCATCACCGTTGGGACGGAAATCAACTGCGACGGGACAGGTTTAGTAAAATGGTTGGACATGGAGCAAACAAAGCGGGACAAAAGCACAGAAATGATAGATGAAAATGAATAATTGAGCGATGGTTTATGTTTCATAACGGAAATTTACAGCTTCGACTTGTCGCTGCTCTTGTTTGAATTGGTGTCCTGGTCATCTATGTCATGTCTAAATATATCTATCGTAGATTCTAGGGGTGAAAAATGTATGCGGTCGACTCATTCCTGATCAGCAATGAACTTTTCGGCCTCGAGGGCAGCCATACATCCGGTACCTAGAGGAGGAAGAAAAAAAAAACACAAGTTAGCTCACTGTCTTTCTATAGCATAGAGACCTGGCAAAGGGGGGAAACTCACCAGCACTGGTAATGGCCTGTCGGTAACGCTTGTCCTGGACATCACCGGCAGCAAAGACACCCTCGACGTTGGTGGTGGTGGTGCCGGGGACCGTCTGGATGTAGCCATCCTCGTCCATGGTGAGCTGGCCCTTGACGAGGGTAGTGGCGGGGTCGTGGCCGATGGCGTAGAAGAGACCACTGGCCTCAACGGTCTCCAAGGCGCCGGTCTTGAGGTCCTTGACGACGAGGTGGCTCATGAGGCCGTCCTCACCGCCCTTGATCTCGGCGGCGGCCGAGTGGAAGCGGACGGTGACCTTGGGGTGCTTCAGCAGGCGGGTGGCCATGATGTTGCTGGCGCGGAGGACGTCGCGGCGGACGAGGACGGTGACGTGGCTGGCGTACTTGGTGAGGAAGGTGGCCTCCTCGGCGGCCGAGTCACCGCCGCCGACGACGAAGAGGTGCTTGTTGCGGAAGATGGGCACGGCACCGTCGCACACGGCGCAGGCGGAGACACCGTTGGACCAGTACTTGTCCTCGCCGGGGAGGTGCAGGCGCCGGGCGGAGGCGCCGGTGGCGATGATGATGGCATCGGCGGTGTGGGTCTCGTCGGGGCTGAACTCGGTCGTGTACTTGAAGGGGCGGTTGGAGAAGTCGACGGAGGCGACAGTGTCGGTGATGATTTCGGTGCCGAAGCGCTCAGATTGCTTCTTCATGTTTTCCTGGACGGGAGCGGGATGGGTTAGACGGCCGTTGGTGTCGGAGTTGGGCAGGGACAGCAAGGACTCACCATCAGCTCGCCGCCCATGATGCCGGCGGGGAAGCCGGGGAAGTTCTCGACATCGGTGGTGGTGGTCAATTGACCGCCGGCCGCGATGCCGTTGGCCATGAAACCCTCATAGAGGACAGCTGTGGACGCGGTCAGTGGGTTGGCGGTCGCGAGACTGGAGATTGGGGCGTACGCTTCAGCTCGGCGCGAGCCAAGTAGATGGCGGCAGTGTGGGCAGCGGGCCCAGAGCCAACGACTGTTCCATGTCAGTTTCTGTGATTTTATATCGTGATGGACTCCCGAGTGGAGGAGAGCGGATGGAGGGGTGGAAGAAGGGGAGTAGAGGGGCAACGGTCACGTACTGACAACCTTGCTGTGCATTTTCCTGACGCCGATCTCAGCGGATGGTCTGGTGGTTTTCTGAAAGGTAGTGGCGGCAGCAGCAATGGATAGCCCAGCGCTCGAGCGAAGGGTCCGTCGGAAAGTTGAGGAGAACAGTTTGGCGGCTTTTCGGGGGTGCGAGGGAGGAGGTGTGGATGGGGGGGGAAATATATATGTATTAAAAAAAAAAAAGGCCGATCTGGGAACCACCTCAGTTCAGGTCAAGCACGTTTTAGACCTGCCTTAGCTTAATCGACGTCAAAAGCCCGCGCCTCACGAAACGACACGCACGACACGACGGAATTGGATGGACGGAGATGGATCTGGTACGGACCCTCAACGGCGACGGCGGGGTATTATCGGAGAGAGAGAGGGTGGGTGTAATAGCGTGCGCAGTCCCTGTGTGCAGCAGTGCTTTATTCGGTAGTGGCTGGATTATAGCGCCGCCGGGACCTGACAAAGACGGAATGCCACAGCACAGAAAGCCACAGTGCGAAAACGGGCGATTGATTACGGCCCAGGCAGTGGCTCCACCGAGCGAGAGGGAGCGATTTCGGCTTGGACCCTGCCTCTCGAGTCGCGCCTCCCGGTTCCTGTTTCCAAGCTACGTGCTGCACTGGCTCCGGCCGGTGGAGGAGAGCGAGCAGCCAGCGGAGACCGACGACAGGCGACCGGAGTTATGCGCTGCGGTGGTGATTGGGCTGGCGATTTATAAGCTGGCGTGCTGCGGCTGCCGAGGTGGGCGCACGGGAGTGGGCGTGGATGTGCCGGTGTGGGCGACGGTGCGATTGCGGTAGCGGGTGTGGATTGCGACAAGTGGAGAATTTTCTGTAGCGTTTGGAATCAAGTGAAGTGGACTCAATGCTCGATGATGGCATACTGCCTAGGTAGGTACGTAGTAGAAAGACTCGCAAGAATCGTGAGGCATGGCATCTCCAACTTCCGGCTTCCGGGCGGAGTCAGAAGTTGGATTTGGAACTCGGCCCCGTTGCCCCCTTTCGGCAGCTGTCATGGGTTTCCTGACTAATCACGCCTTGCGATCCAGCAGGGTCATGCGTAGGTACGTACAGAGCAGTAACTTAAACAGGATCCACCATTTGGGCTTCATGACGACCTCTTTTTTAGTTTTCTTGGCTACATGACATGGTCAAATCAGCAGACAAAGGTCTTTGCGCTGAGTTGACCCTGTCTACAGACCCAGACTGAAAAAGATATGCGCACATGTGTGGCTCTGTAACTTTTAGCTAGCAAGTCTGCAGGTCTGTAGCTCTCTCTCTGTCCTTGGTCTATCATTCATCACATCTAATAAACACCCCCAAATTCGTCACCGTCCCTCGTCCGCTCCCACGCTCCCATCCCTCTTCCCAAACCTCGCCCCCAGCGACCCAATATCCCGCTTGAAGAACTTGCCAAAGTTGCGCAGGTTCTCGTTGATCGTGGCCTTCTCTATGCCGCTCGGCCCCGCCCCCGCGACGCTGCTCTGCGAAATGTCCCGCGCTGCGCTCAGCAGCTTCTCGCCGAGGGACCCGGCCTCGAACCGCGGGCCGCCCGACGATCCCGTCAAGGACAGCGCCGCCGCCGACGAGTTCATCATCATGGCGTTGCCGCTGCCGCCGCCGACGCCCAGCCCTGACGACGTCATGAGCGGCCCCAGGAGCGGCGAGATGGCAACGAGCTTGTCGTTGGGCGTGCCGTCGCGGTGAATGCCAAACAGCTCAATCAGGTGCGCCTGGTCCATCTTGCGTACGCCCTTCAGCTCCAGCATCTTCTTGAAGTTGGTGTCGGACCGGTCCGCGATGTGTATCAGGTACGCCTGCACAAGGCCCTCAGGAGGCGACGGCCGCACTTGTAACGTCTTCAGCAACGGGTCTAGCCGGTTCATACACTGCTGAACCCGTCTCACGAAGCTCGATGGCGGCGCGTCCTGCGATGACATGGACGCGTGGTGCATCAGCAGCTTCTCAAACGCCTTGGTAAGGACATATTTGTCCAGAAGCATCTATAACCACGTCGTTAGCTGCCCACGTCGTTCTACCAACACACCAGCGCACTGTAAAAACGTACCTGTTCCGCCCCGACCTCAGATATTGGTCGGCACTGCACGATGCTGTTAATGTAGCCTGTCGCAAGGTGCTCCACGAGGTTGTCGCAGAACGCACGAGCATACTGCTGCTTCGTTATGACGGACAGCACCTCCCCTGCTTTGGTGTCCACATGCTTCACAAGCTCGCCCACATACGAGCTCTGGTCTACAACGCTCTCCATTGTGCTCCAGTTTGTGTTCCTCATCTCCCGCCACACACCTTCGCACTCCACCTCCACTGTTCGCACGAGCGCCAGCACCGAAGCGCTCGCCACGCCCAGGAACGCATCCGACTGCGACGACAGGTCAACCTTGGGCACGAGCTCGCTGTCGATGCGCTTCTTGATACTCTCTTCTAGCTGGTTCGTGTTGGTGTGCCAGAAATCCGCCGTGTTGAGGACCAGCACCACGTCTTGAATCGTAGGACCCTGTGCTCCACCGCTCTGCAGCGTGTGTAGCAACACCTGCTGCGCGTACTCGTCCAGGTACTTAGCCAGCGTCTTTGACAGGTCTAGCAGGCGTTCGCTGGTAGACAGCTTTGCGCATTGCGAAAGAGTAAGTTTGTAGAAGTGGAAGAGCTCAATCGCAGACGTGATGACCGCCTGTGGTGAGAATTCCTCGTCGGGGGGGATGTGTGGCTGGTTGCGATACTTGGGTATCATCGTCGCGAGCTGCTTGTCTTGTGAATCAACCCAAAGGCTCAGGTATGGCTCGAACGCAACCGAGATGAGTCCATGGAAACTGTGCGTCTTCTCCTCCACCGAGCTGAGCGTGTCAATGCTCGCCCGTGAAGACGTCGCGAACCGCTTCTCAAGGCTTTGCTCAAAGTCAAGCGTCTCTTGCAGGCAACTCAAAAGCAGGTTGACGTCGATCTTGTTGCCGTCCGTCCGCCGCATGCTCCGCTCCAAGATGCCCTTGAAGTCATCCCTCGTCCCGTCGCAGAACGCCGCCGCCAGTGTCTCATTGGCTCTCCAATGCTGTGGGAAGATCATGGCGTGCTCGTCGTCATGCGTCTTCATCATCCGCTTGAACCACGCATACCGCCTGCCGATATTGTCCAGGCTGCCTGCCTCGTCGTTGCCCCGGAACACCTGTCGATACTCACGGAGCTCGGTGTTGACGTACCACGTCATGAGCCGCGCCTTGGCCGAGTCGCCTAGAGCATCCATGACGAGGCATGCCTCCACAAGCGTGCCCCTACGAGCGCCGACCTCGCCCTTGGCAAAGGCCATCTCAAAGTCCTCGCAGACCTGCTCTAGAAGCTCGCGCTGCAGCTCAGAGACGCCGCGGCTCAGGGTGGCAATCTGCTCGATGCTTCGGTAGCTGTTGAAATGCTTCATAAGCTGCAACACGGCCTGCAGAAGCCCCGCGCACTCCCGGTACTGCCGCGTCTTGGCCAAACCCCTGAGCTGCTCGTACGCCGTGGTCAGCATCTGCAGCCGCTTGAGGGCCGTCATGCTGAGCGTGAGGTTCTTCTTGGTCCCATCGAGTCTCTTGATGTCGGCCGTCATCGACGTGATGTTCTGTTCGGTCTCGATGGCGCGCGACCGCACCGTCTCGATCTTGCGGAAGAGCTGGGCGAGCTCAACCTGCGCTGACTGCATACGCTCGAGGCTGGAGTCGGGCCCGTACGCCTGGGCGGTCTCGAGGGCGGAGATGTCGGTCGAGAGAGCATTCTGGTGACTCTGGAGGGTCTTGGACACCCGGCTGATGGACGAGACGGCGGACGGGTGCGAGAAGAGGAGGTTGAGGTGGTCGATAGGGTCATAGTCGACTGCGGGCGAGTGTTGGACATGAGCCGTGTCAAGGGGAGCAACAACAGATGATGGGGACTAACCTGCGTCCAGGGCGGACGTCTCAGCCAAGCTCCCATTCATCTTGAGACGATGCCCTGCGAAATTGCAGTCTCTGGAGCTTCAATCGGAGGAGTCGTTGGCTTTGACTTTGATGCTCGAACTTGAAGCTTGAAGCTCGTCACCCTCCAGCACGTGTCAACTGTCATGATGCCTTAAAAGTGGGCCCTTCTCCCTAGGTGCCAACTAGTACGGGGAGGGCTGAGAGGACTCCCCTGAGCATCTAGTGAGCGTAGTTGACTTGTAAAGAGAAACATACCTACCTACTAGGTTGTTAGCTCACTTGTACAAATATCATAAGCATGATATGAAAATTACATTTTGCGTTCCAAATGAGAAGAGATACCACTTCAGGAGTGGACAACACAGACACGGGACAAACGGTTGATACAAATGTGTTGTATTCGCTGACTTAACCAGTTGCCACCATATGCTATCACGCTTCGCTACATGCCTCTTCTCGGCCATTCCCATCTATTCCCCTTCCGCTGCCCTGTCGATGTCCAAGCTCTCCTTTTCTTTGGCCGGTGCATCCTTGCCCTTCTTCTTCATCGAGAATCGCCAGGTGCCCATTCGGCCCTCCTTGGTCTCCTTGCTCCGAGAACTTGTCGCGCCTAGCGAAGGGCTGCTTGTCATGCTGTCGAAGCTGCGACCCATTTGGGAGACATCCTCACCCAGATCGTCCAAGTCGCCGATGCTGGAGCGATGCTCTGCAGATAGGTTCTTCTCGGAGTAGGTTGCACTGCCTGGTCCCTTCTTAAAGAGTCCCGAGTCCTTGCCCAACCTGGAGGACAAGCTGAACTTGCTGGAGCTCCCCTTACGGAACAGTTTCTTAACAACATTCTCGGGGTCCTTGTAGCTTGAGGGAGTCATATCCGTGGTCGAGTTGGAGGCTGTCGTGTCAAGGTTCAGAGACTCATGGGACTCTGATACTGATACCAGAGTATGCACGGAATGTCCATCTCTAGATATCCGGGAGTCTGAGGGGGAATCGTCAAGAGTGCTGTGGAACTCGATGGAAGGAGCAGACAGCTCCTTAACTTTTCTCCTCTCCTTGGACTTGTCTCGATGTCGCTCCTTCTCCTTGCCCTTGCCCTTCTCTTTCTCAGAGTTGGGGTCCTTCTCCCTGTCCTTACCGAAAATGTGGGCCATAAAGGTTGGCGCAGCAGGGTTTAGACGTTGACTCATCGAGGCTCTGTGGCTGGGAGGACGGGAACCGATGACACCAACCTGGCTAGGCGAAGTTTGAGGGTCGAGCAAGTCGTCCTCATCCAAAATCTCGTCTTCGGCAGATGCAAGTGTCGTTTCCAATGCTGAAGGGGATCCATGAATCGATGGACGACGAGACGGATTTCGTGATTGCCATCGTCCTTCGTTTGGAGGGGACCAGAGGCGATTCTGCGAGAGCATGGAGATCTCTCCAGGGGCTCCCCAAATTGAGCCACTATCGGTCGATGGCCGTGGGAGATCAGTCGATGAAATCGATGCAGGTCGAGAATGTTCCGCATCTCTCTCAGGGAGAAGGGCACCAGCAGAGCTTGTGAAGGGGTTCAATCGGCGTGCGGAAAAGGGCCTCGATGACATAGCGCTTGTTCGAGTTCCTTCATGCGTTGAGTGACGATTCATCCAAGAAAAACTGAGCCGGCGTTTATTACCAAACGGCTCATGTTCATCCGTGCCGCGGGGAAACGACTGACTCTGCCCTGCTTTGAGTGTACCAATTGGTATTCCACTCTCGTCAGGGATCTTAGGTGCTCGATTGCGCTGGAAAGTAGACAAAAGACTAGTGAGTCGATGACCTGCCAATGTGGTTGCGGCTGGCGACGTGCTGAGATTGAGCGTGTGCATCTCACCATCAGTATACTGTGGGAACGGCAGGTTATGTGAGGAGCCCTGAGGGCTTGAGAAAAGACTGAGGGAATGGCTGGATGAGGCTGGCGACATGTGCTCATCGTCTCCAGCAGTGATGGCTTCAGGCAAAAACGAGCTGTGGTGTACCCCTGGGTCGGGTACCTCAAACGTATCATCAAAGATACCAGACGGAAGCAGGGAATGTGCAGTTGGACTCAACGGACCGCCAGCGGCTCTCATTTCGGCTTCAGTCTGATGATCATCGGGACCATCAGCAGCCAAATCCATGAAGGGCCCAGGTGCAAACCCGGAGCGAGTGAGACCTGAGGACGCCAAGAAGTGGCTGTCTGGGATGATGAGTTGAGTCGGCGGAGGTGAGAGATTGAGGGAGTTACTGTTCCCACTATGTCGCTTGTTGACTTGGGTTGAGGGCTCGAACTCGAGGGAAGCATCTGCTTGGTTGTAAAAGGCAAGACCAGATTGATGCTGGATGCTCAGTTGTTCGCCGAGTACCCTAATATGCTGGTCGAAATGATGCCCCTTTTTCGTTTCTGCAACCAATTGGTTATGTAGTTCCTTCCTCCTAGCCTCCCAGTCTCGGCGGACCTGTGTATCGTGTTCCTTCCACTGTTCGTCATCTCCGCCTGGGAGTTGCTCGCGCGCGGCTTTGAGATCCTGGAGCTGTTTTCCCTTCTCCTTAAGCTCCGCCTCAAGCTCAGCACACTTTTCTTGGAGGTCTTGGTTAATCTCATCAAGCTTATCAACGTCGCAATCGCGTTTTTGCTCCAACTCGGTTTTCTGCGTCTCGAATCCAGCCCGATCCTTTTTCATCCGTTCAATGTCGTTTTCAAGTTTGGCAATGCTGTCTCGGACCTTGGATTTCCTAGTCTCCTTGTCCTTCAGCTGTTGCTCCTTCTTAGCACGTTCTTTCTCGCTGCCACGCATCTGTTCCATAGTACTGCGAACCGAGGCTTTGAGTTGCGTCGTCTGCTCTTCCTTCTCCTTAAGGCCCAGTCTCTTGCGATCTTTCTCTCTCTTCAACTCCTCTTCTTGTTGCTGAAACTCGGCCTCGTCCTTCCCACATTGTGATAGAGTGTCGTCAATCTCCTTTCGAATGCCTTCAAATTTATTGTTCAACTCTTCTAAAGACATTTCGGGGCCATCGGTGGCAGGAGGCTTAATCTGAGGATGTTCCGTGCTAGCCACTGAGGGCGAGTGTTGTCGTCGATTTATCGTGTTTCGGCGTTGACCAGTGGCGGCACTCGTGATATCGGATGTTGGCGCGGCATTGCCATCGAGGACCGGCGCCGCCTCGACAGTTGGAACGGAAGGTCTATTCAAATCGGTGTCATCGTTGTCATCGTCGGGCTTGGTGCGAGGGTGATCGTTTTTAGCGAAACTGGTCGGCAGTCTCGAGTTCCCGAGTTGAGGTTTTCCATCCTTTCCGAAAGTCCGCAAGCGGAGGACTGGACTGCCTGCCTGGAAGTTGTTTAGACCCACGGCAACCACCCTTATGTTGTAGAAGTGGTCCGGTTTCAAGCCAGTAACTGTAATCGCAACTTCATTACCCGGCGAGTCACCCACTGTGATGAGCATTGTCAGCGTTGCACTCGGATATTCCGGGCTCCTCGGGCTTGCAAAAATCGCGATTTAGGCAACTAACCATGAACACCATTGACTTGTATAGAGTATTTTTGCACAGGACGATTGCTGGGAGGGGGGGACCAGCTGAGAGTGGCAGCATCGGCTCGAATGCCAGCAAGCGATACGTCGGGGGATTCAGGGACATCAACCCCGAGGATATTGATGAGGTCGGGGACGGGTTTCCATAACGTCTGCCATGAGCGGTGCAGCAGCCTAAAAAAAGCGCGGTCAGCGGGCGAGGAACGAAGGGAGGGGAATCAACATTCGGCAGAGGCGGAATCAAGTCGTATGAGAGGGGTAGCAATGGGCAACTCACCAGACAACGGCGCCGAGCGTCAAGACCATTTTGAAGTTATGGATGAGCAGGACATGGGGACGGAGGTCGAGCAAAGTGTCCAGGCCAATGGGGGACGCGGACATGTGCAGCAGCAATCGGCGAGGGTCGAGGAGCACAGTGAGGCCGCAGACGACAGCGTAGACGAGGGCCTTCTGGTAGCTCGAGTGCGGGTTATAGACCCACCAGAACCCGAGGACGCTGAGGATGAGAGAGGTCAAGACGGGCAACTCCCATGACATGTTCTCAGCGCGATCCCGGCCTGGTAGAAAATGCTTCAGGACGGACCCAGGCGTCGTGTCGTGTGGGATGGGAGTCTGGCGGCAGAGGGCAGAAAAAAGGCGTGGAGTACGAGCTTCAGGCCGGACGTGCTCTTTCCCCAGTAAATCTCGGGAGTCGATTGGCGGGTGATCGGGGGAACGAGGGCAGGTTTCAGTGGAAGGGTGGACGGCCAGCACTGTGTGAGGCGCTGTGATGCCGGTCTGGATGCGCTGGGCTGCAGTGGCGCGGCGCCGGATGCTGGGGAATGGAACGCTGTCGCCGTGTTGTGTGCACTGTGCGACAGTGGTTCTGGGGCGAGACATACGTTCCTATTCGTTCTTCAGCGCTGATCGCATCACGCTGCGCTTTGACAACCAGTGAAGAGGTTGACCAGGACGTGCGCGCATTGAGTGCGCTGGCAAGTCATTTCGTGGAGTGCGAGCTAAATTCCGATTACCTGCTGCCGGATGTACAAGCAACGTGGAAAGCCGGGGCAGGGCAAAAGTAACTTGATGGCTTGCATGTGGAAGTGCATTTACAATGGCGTTTGCAATGGCGTGAGGCGCACGCCAAGCAGCACGGGAGCGGGAGACGTCAGTGGTGATGATGTTTGCGGCGACCTTGCGCGGTACGCATGAGCAAGCATAGCCAGTGATGAGGGCTCCCGCCTTTCAGAGTCTCGCCGCTTTAGAGTGGCTACAACGTAAGACGACGTCTTCGTGACGAGGCCGACCCATGGCGCCGGAGACTCTAGAACTATAACGCTGCATTTGCAGGATGGGTTCCTGGAAATTGATTCACTATACCGAGTGTTTGGGTTTTCGCCGCCACGCCTCTTGATATTTTCAGCGCCGGTAATAGAGCCTCTTCCGGCATCCACCGCGCCTAACTTGGGGATCGGGCTTGGCCGAAAGTGCCGCTCAGTGGTTTGGGGCGGTTCGCTACCGTGGAACACGACCACAAACACCAGGGATACCAGACAAAAGGATTGAGACCAGCGGCCTTGGTGCGATCCTGAAAACATTAACAAAAGTGGGGTGTGGAGAGGATCTCTCCGTCATACGTAGGCCGGTTACGTGGGTAGGAAAGTCTGGAAAATGCGGAATGGGCCGTGGAAGAGGGAATAGAAGAGGCGTGGAAATGTCCATCCAGGCTATGTGGGCTTGATCGATGGTCCAGGCAAGGCTGTCTGTCTCTACCAGATATCGTCACCACAGCGGAAATCTAGCTGCATGCCGGAGAAATATCCCGCCACTCGTCAACTGCCAGGGAGCATCCAAGATCTCGCCCATGTCCAGCTCAGCCAGAGCCGGGGATCGCCTCACGTTAGTGCCCGCGTCTCGCTTCCGGCTTCCACCGGACATCATGCGCTTGGATTGCCCGACTTGGGATTCGTCGCGGGTCTCATCTCTATCGGTGACAGACCGAGTCAGCGCCCAATGCCAAAACATGGGAATGATGGGATTGGATGCCAAACATGTGAGACATCAATGGCATAACACCATCGCAGCCGCCCCTCTGTCATTCCCGGATGCCTAAGAGCGTGGGTAACTTGGGTCGCATGGGGGTGGGCATTGGCTGATTCAGGGCCTCATGAGCAAGCGCAACCACAACCACAGATGACAGAGAAGAACCAATGGTTGGAATACACGAATACGATCCTAGACAAGGGCATTTTGCCGCCTCACTTTTGGTGTCAAGATGTAAATATCGGATTCAAAGCCGGAAGCCGGCATTTAAAGCAGAGAGTACCTACTGCTTGCGTAGTAGACTATTGCCCGACAGGGCCAAGGCCATGACATCAAGGCTTCCGCAGCTGACTGGGTTTTCAGGGCTAAGCTAGGTTCCGTAGAGAGAGAGAAACGCGAATCTTGCACTAACTACGGAGTAATTGTCAAAAGTGATCGCTCGGCCTTGTCGAAGGATGATGGTAGAAAGCACATGATGCACACCATGAGCCGCGGCTAGTTTACCCATGCACTCTCTCACCTCGGGGTCGAGTCGGCGCATCTGTCATCACACACGTGGGAGACCGCCACTTGAAATATTTTTTCTTCTCAACATGTCGAGTGTTATTTAGACGCATGGTTAATAGAGGATTGGTGGAGACCGTCAGATCGGAAAGGGTTGACATGGAGGGTTATCTTTCTTTCTTGGTGGACTCAGTCTGTTGAACTTCACAGACGACGTGGGGTTCCTCGTGACGCAGAGGTTTTGTCACGATGGAACAAACCATGACTGAAAGGGACCAGCTTCCAATAGGACCCTGGTCATCCAGAGCTGCGGAGAAGAGATGTTGTCCAGGTTGACTTGATTGTCTGGGTTGTCCACTTGTCAGTGTCATGCGGTTCCGAAATGATCCATGTCAAAAGCCTCTCGTTTTGTCTCAATGTTGGGCCAGTAGGCGGCACGTCCCCCTCCCAACCTGCTGTACCCAGCCCACTGCTGCCCCAGCCAGCCGAGTTTCCACTGCCCACCGCCCACCAAACCACTGCGTCCTACAGTACGTAGCATTATGCAGAGGCTCCATATAGAGGCCCTAGTCGGAAGCCCCCCCGGACAGTCGCTCACTCTCTTACACCGTACACCGTCAGTCCTGTACTCGTTGCTTCATCCTGCCCAGCGACTGGCCGCTCCCATTCTGTCGATTTTCCGGCGGCAACAGCAAAGAGGGGAAACGAAACGCGCGCCGTGCTTCCCTCGTGCTGTACCGCTCTTGTACTGTAATTAGGATCGTTGCCCTGTCTGTCTTCTCCTGCCTGTTCGTCAGCTGTTTGTGGCCTGCCGTTCCAGGTTGCCTTGCGCCGAACTCGCCTCCCCAAACGTCGTGTCGTTCCCCAACAATCCGCCGTCCTCTCGCGCTCACTCTACTCGCCCACTGGCTTCCCCATTCTCAACTGCTGCAGCCCGCTTGCCCCAGCCTTCTGCGTCGGCTGTCATTTTCTTCCCGGCCGCACTTCCTCTCGTTATCTTTGTTGCGTTAGAGTTGCTTGTCGTTGGCTTTGTCGTTGTCGCTGTTCTGGTCGCTGCCGTTGTCTTGACGTCAACGTCCCGTCTCGCTTTAAGGCTTTAAGCTTTCCGTCGCACCGGCCGTTCTTCCGTCGAAGCATCGTCATCGTCCTTCCTCCAACCACCTCCCACCCTTCATTCTCCTCCTCCTCCGCCTCCTCCTCCGCAGCATTCGCCAACTCGCCGCTGCGCAAAGATGCAATACGTGCGCAACCTGAGCGATTCCGTCTCGACAGCATGGAACTCCATCAACCCGGCCACCCTTAGCGGCGCCATCGATGTCATTGTCGTCGAGCAGGACGATGGCTCCCTCTCCTGCTCTCCTTTCCACGTCCGCTTCGGCAAGTTCTCGCTCCTACGACCCTCGGACAAAAAGGTCGAGTTCCACGTCAATGGCTCCAAGCAGCCCTATTCCATGAAACTCGGCGAAGGTGGCGAGGCCTTCTTCGTTTTCGAAACCACAGACAACATCCCACAGTCGCTCCAGACTTCTCCTCTGGTATCCCCCGCCTCCAGCCCGGCGAGCAGTCCGCCTCTCAATCCCGAGCAATCCCCGCCAGGCTTGCAGGAACCTGAGCTCCTCGACCTTGATGGAGACGGCTTGAAGCCTCGTCGTCCGCCGCCTGCGATCCTATACACCCAACGCGATGAGAATGGTATACCTACTTCCCTCCATGGAATCTTTGAAATCTACGGACCCCAAGCTGACATTCGGCCCAGGCATGATCACTCCCGTCTCCCGCTCTCCCGGCCAAGTGAGCTCCCGACCCTCTTCCGGCGACTGGACCTCGACCATCCAACGACCACACAGCGATGACATTCTACGACAATCCGCCCGAGCGCAGACCCGTGAAGGCGAGGGCTCTGCCGCCGGTGAGAGCCCAGATGCTTCCGAGAGGTCCCACAGTCCTCCACCTCTTGCCACAACGGAGGCAATTGAGCGTGCCATAGCTCTCTCCCGAGAGCTGTCCGCTGCCAACATTCCGAGCGAGGTGACTGAGAACGGAGATCTCATGTTGGATATGTCGAATTTCAAGAACAACGATGAGGACATCCTTCGAGCAGAGATTCTTGCCCGAAAGATCCTCTCCGAAGAGCTCGATGGCAACTACGACATTGGAGCTCTATTTGGCTTCGATGAGCAGGGCAACCTGTGGATCTACAGCAGCGAGAGGGCCAAGCAAGACGCCATGAACAAGACAATCGAGTCGTCTCTGCAGTCCCACCGACATACCGTGGCGGCCGATGCTGCTTCAGATCCTGGCTACCAGAGCGACGGCAGCGACATCACCACGATGCCTCTTCTAGCTTCGCATCGTCGAACCGAGTCGGATGCTGGTCCTATGGACATGCAAACACCTCCCCGGACTCCTCCCGGCTCTTCGGGCCATGCAGGAGATCCTAACAGGAACTACGCCAAAACCCTCCGGCTGACTAGTCAGCAGCTAAAGGATCTGGAACTTCAACCGGGAGAGAACAATATGAGCTTCACCGTTAACCGAGCTACCTGCTCGGCAAAAATGTTCCTCTGGAAACATGAAACTCCCGTAGTCATCTCTGACATTGACGGCACCATCACAAAATCAGATGCCTTGGGTCATGTTCTGAACATGATCGGGCGTGACTGGACCCATTCAGGTATCGCCAAGCTCTACTGCGATATCATAGCCAATGGCTACAACATCATGTATCTGACAAGTCGATCCGTTGGCCAGTCAGATAACACCAGAGCGTACCTCGCCAACATCGTTCAGGAGGGTTGCAAGATGCCCCCTGGCCCGACAATTCTCTCTCCCGACCGAACCATGGCGGCTTTGAGACGTGAGGTCTACCTGCGCAAGCCACAGGTTTTCAAGATGGCTACTCTTCGAGACATCCGCAACCTGTACGGGCCGGATCGGACCTGCTTCTATGCTGGGTTTGGCAACCGATTTACAGACCAGATCTCGTACCGAACTGTGGACGTACCCAGAAATCGCATCTTCACCATCAACACCAATTCTGAAGTATCCCTCGACCTCCTGAGTCTTAACAAGCTCAAGATGAGCTACGTCAACATTAACGAGGTTGTGGATCATTATTTTCCTCCGGTCAGCACGTTGGTTACGGGTGGTGGTGAGGAGTATACCGACTTCAAGTACTGGAGAGACGACCCTCTCGCCATGGACGACTTCTCCGCAAGTGAGAGTGATGAGGATGACGGTGAGGATGAAGGCGAGGACGAGGACGATGATATCGAAGACGGCCCGGCCAGCGTGTACGATGATGAAGAGGAGGAACAGGATGATGAGGTTGACGATGCCCTTGCCGACAGCTACATGTCTCGCGCATCTATAGACGAGTTCGTCGAGGCGGAGAGTGTGCTGAGCGGCAGCGTCGATGAGGAGCGGATGATCGCATCAATGAAGCAAGACCTCGAAGAAGCGGATGCACAGCAACACCAAGAAGCGGGCGACTATGGTGAAAATGAGGAACCTGTCCCCAAGCTTGAAAACAGCGCTCAGCCCGATGGAGCCTCCACAAGACGCAAATCGATTGTTGAGGATTTCTCCGCTGAGCGCATAACGGGGGTTAGTCGTCTATCCGTGGAAAAGAAACGTCAATCATAAAGCTAAGTCTGGATGAGTAGAGGACCGCATAGGTGGCTACTTATGCCGCTCACATCGTACCATAGAGGCGTTTCGGAAGGTTTTCAACGGTTTGGATGTCCGATGACCGATTGAGATTCAACAACTCACATCAAGACGGGTAGTTGGGTTGGAAGTCGAAGGACGACAGGAGGTGTGTTTATGATATCAGGGGTATACACATAGCGTGGCGTTGGGATTACCATTGCATTTGTAACGATCATGGTATGCTGCACAGATACAGACAGAAAAGGCATTAACATCTAGCATCAGGCTTTAAATATCAGACTTTGAGGGCTTTCTTCAACAGAGTATCCAAAGCAGTTATTCTAGCAACCTCTCATTTCAAGCATCGTTGTTGTCCCCGTGTCCGATCTGTAACAACCTGAAACCCACGAGGAATTCATGATTCAGACTCTGCGCTGAATACTTTATTGCTCTGTCTATTCCAAAGATCTGCAAAACTGTTCAAAATACAATTCGATTTTTCTACGCCATTTTCCCCGTTGTCCTCTCTACTGTCCGTTCAGGTAGTTGATTCGGATCTCCACCGCCCTCCTGTGAGCCTCGAGCTCCTCAACCTTGGCCAGCTGCATGACAGCGCTGCCGACATTCCTCAAGCCCTCGGCTGTCAGATTAGAGCTAGTGATGTGCTTCTGGAAAGAGCCCAGGTTAACACCAGAGTACTGCTTGGCAAAGCCATAGGTAGCTACAAAAACGGTGAGTTAGCTATGTTATGGAGAGGTTGTCCAGGGTGTGGGAGAGCTTACGTAGTGAATGGTTGACACCAGCAGAGTAGTCTCCGACACTCTCAGGGGTCCACTGGCCAACAAAGACACTGCCGGCATTCATCACCTGGTCCACTACCTTCTCAGCATCCTTGATCTGCAGAATAAGGTGCTCGGGGGCATAGTCGTTGCTGATGCGCATCGCCTCATCCCTGTCCTTGACCAAGACAGTAACGGAGTGTGCGATAGCACCGCGAACAATATTGACACGAGGCAGGGCCATGGCCTGCTTGTGAACTTCATCCTCGATAGCTTGGAGCTGTTCCTCGTTGAGGTCGATAGCAAGGAGGATAACCTGACTATCAACACCGTGCTCAGCCTGGGAGAGCAAATCCGAAGCAACAAAGGCAGGGTTGGCGTCCTTGTCGGCAATCACAAGGACTTCTGATGGGCCGGCAGGCATATCAATGCCAACGCCAGCATTGGTGTCATTGCTGACGTGCATCTTGGCTGCCGTGACGAACTGATTACCAGGGCCCAGAATCTTGTCAACCTTGGTGATGCTTTCGGTGCCATAAGCCATGGCAGCAACGGCTTGGGCGCCTCCTGCAAGAACAATGCTCTCAGCGCCGACCTTGTGGGCAACATAGACGATCTCGGGTGTGATTCTACCGTCAGCTCGTGGAGGCGAGGCCAAGACAATCTTCTTACAGCCAGCCACCATAGCGGGCACACCCAACATCAGAGCTGTACTAGGCAGAACAGCCGTTCCACCGGGGATGTACAGGCCGACTCTCTCGATAGGCCTCGAGAAGCGGCTGCATATAACGCCAGGCATAGTCTCGACCTGGAGGGTCTTCTCCTCATTCTGAGCTGCGTGGAACTTGCGAATATTCTCAAAGGAGATGTCGATAGCCTCAATAGTCTCCTGATCCAGGTTCATCAACTCCTTGGGGAATGGAGCCTTGAGCACAGGGGAGGTCAGAGAAGTTGCCTTCTCGAACTTGTGAGTGTAAGACAGAACAGCCTTGTCGCCACCAGTTCGAACCTCTTCAATGATCGGCTTGATGATCTTCAGGATAGTGTCAGGCGACTTCTGCGAGGGTCGCTTCAACTTCTCTTGGAGCTCAGCCTCGGAAGTCTTGGTTGCGTCGATTCTCTCCATGGTAATGCGACCCTCGGCCGGCTTCTCTACAGGGGCGGGCTTCGCGGGCGCCGTCTCGGCAGTCTTGATACCCTCCTTTTCGGCCCACTTTCCCTTTGCGTTGCCCGCTCTCCTCTTAACCTTGAGGCTCTTGGCATCCAGGTTGGCCTCGATATCAGCCAGGCTAACGCCAGCGCCAACAGCCTTTGTCAAGGCAAAGTAAATCAGGTCCGCTGCTTCGAAAGCAATGTTCTCCTTGGTCTTTCCGTCACAAAGCTCCTCGGCCTCCTCCATGATCTTCGCTCGGAGAAGCTTCTCATCGGAGAACAGTCTCGCAGTATACGAACCAGCAGGAGCGGACTCCTTTCTCGACTTCAGGGTTTGCTCAAGTGCTGCAATTCCAGTGAGTTCTCCAAAGCATCCGAACTGCTCCAGGTGACAGAAGCGGCCCTTCTGGATAACCACAAATTTTAGAGTGTCGTTGTCGCAATCGAGGCCAATCGTCAACAACTCCTGGGTATCCCCAGAGGTAAGACCCTTCACCCAGAGGCCTCGTTTCCGGCTCTGGTACACGCCGGTCTGTGTCCTCAAGGCTTCCAAGATGCTCTCTTCGCTTGTGTAAGCAAGACCCAGCGCAATTCCGGCGTCGTCAGTAACCACGGTGGGGATAAGACCGTCCGCCCGGTCAGATTTCCAGTAGGAAGCAATGACCTTGGAAAGAAGCAGTCTCTGGGTGTCATCCTTGTTGGTCGTCAGGCCCGCGGAGGGCAGAATTGGGATAGCTCTAGCCTTGGAAGCAACTTCGATGAAGGCCTGGAGAGATGTGCCGGGTGTGGGCTTGAGGTAGAGGTTCTTGATCTTCTTGGCTTGAGCCTCCTCGATGAATTTGCTGACACCGCTAGCTGACAAGTCAAAGTCCTTGATCAAGAGTCCGTTTTCTGAGGCGGCAGAGAGATCCAGGGTCGAAACAGTGGGAATAACGCGTGAGCCGAACTCGGTGTATTCGGAGAGGTTCTCAGCAGCCACGAACGCTTTTCGAACTCCGCCGTCGAGGAGGGCGGCGACATCGTCGGGCGAAGTCACACCCGTTACGTCCATGTGAACATTGCTGCTAGCGCCAAAACGGACCCAATCCTTAGAAGCCGTTTCAACGAAGGCAGCGCCGAGCAGGGAGACTTCCTGGGGCGTGAGTCCATCGCTGGCGGCAGGTTGCCCCTCCTGGCCGACAACGCTGACCAAGAACGGGAGGGGGAGGGTCGTCTCCATGCTGAAAGGCCTTGAACAGATACAGTGGGATTGACGTCGTGAGTCGCTCTAAATTGGTTCAATCGAGAAGATTCAATGACTCAAAGCCAAGTGATCACAAAAAAGTTGGTGGTAATGCTGAGTCCTGCATCGGCGGCGTGGTGGGGCGCTTCCATTTTGCCCCTCGCGAGTCACCCCTCCATCCAAGGAAAGGCCGAGTCCCTCCTTCCTTCCTGCTATTTGCCGTTCCGAATTCTGCCAATCCAGCATCTGCGACTGGGTAAGTCATTTAAGGTGTGGTCTGTGCGCATATTCACATAACTTTCGGATTATCAATGCTCCGACATTTGCCCGACCGCGGCCTCGCCAAGCTACCAGCCTGCGCATGAGGCTGAATTCAAAGCATCAAGCTCTCAACCTCAATAGCCATTATCTCACTGTAATTATTTCAAAGAGCCACCATACTCTAGAGATCCTTGGCGCATTTAACCCACCCGCATCAGTCAACGATTTCAACAACTCGTCAGCGATCACGAACTCCGGCAAGGCGCGCACCTTAGATTAATCACCTTCGCACTCTCCCAAGCTCGCGCCTCGCCAACTCCTCTGCTGCATTACAGCGCCATTGAATATGGCGTCTAGCCAGCCTCAGACGAATGGCATCCCAGCCTCATCGGCAGGCACGTCCCAAACTATTCCCAACACTCAGACTTCAGCAGCAAGTCAGCCCACTGCCGCCTCGCAAAACGGCCCTCCCGCAACGCCCTCCACAACAGCCCCGCGGCCACGCGATGCCCGACTCATCGAACTCCTGTTGACATCCCAGGGCGTCACGGCGTATGAGCAGCGGGTCCCATTGCTGCTTCTCGACTTTGCGTACCGACACACTTCGTCCGTGCTAAGCGACGCGCTTCACCTCTCAGGTGACCCATACATTACACAAGCTGGCGCAAAGCCATCCGCGTCTTCAGGTGCAACCGCACCCGCCCCAGGCGATGCCGTTGTATCTGCCAACGCAGTCAAGTTGGCCATAGCAGCGCGACTTAGCTACCAATTTCGGGGAGGAAGCGCCGGCGGCGGCATCAGCAAAGATTACATGCAGGAGCTGGCTCGCGAGCGGAACAAAGTCGCCCTACCCAGGATCGTACCCAATGAATGGGGTGTACGGCTACCGAGCGAGCGCTTCGTTCTTAGTGGGACCAGCTGGGGCTTGAAGGATGTCTGGGATGAAGAGGACGAAGAGGAGGAGGGAGGCGATGCCATGGAGGGAATCGAGGGCCCCAACCCCGAGGATGTCGGCGGGGATGGCGTGGAAGGCGGCACTGTTGAGGATATGTTTGGAGAAGATGTAGACGAGGAGATGGCGGAGGAAGGCTAGTTGGCGACCGCGTCACCAGGCTTTACTCATTTTGAACAATCCAGGTACCCGTATCTCCAAAAAGAAGGGGTTGTGAGGCTCCCCGCATAGTGCTTCTTTGGACGGCGTTGCTGGCGTTTGGGCCATTAAGGGTTTCTAGGCCATAGATGCCTATTTATTAGGGGATGGAAAGCAGAATGAATTGGAATTAGATCAACATTCGAGGCCTGCGAGCAAAGAAAGTTCAGAGGTGAATGCACAAATGATATGCACGACACAATATTCACTACGGATAATTCACGCTGCCACGCTGCAGTGCATCATTACATTTCCTAGGACAATTCTCAATCTATCCAGTTACAATTCACGCAACAAATCACACCATCATGGCCAATGCATGCTTACAACGTGATGGCGTCCAGAGCTTCAACTAAGTCGAAGACAGCAAAAGTACGGCCCATGCAAAGCGAAAGCAATGCATAGAGACTGAAGAACGCATGATACTAGTTATGAGATAAGAATAATAGTTTTCAAAACAGTCACACAACCTATCGAGGGTCGATAAAATTGTCTCAAAGGAACACTATAATCACATTGAGGCCTACATAACACGATGGCATCAACAATTACATAGGCGGTATGAACGAGCACACTCTACTGATCACACTGCCACGTTACCTAGTATGAACAAGGGAAACTTTATGGTACACTAGGCCTGTAAACGGTATCTCATACACTCTATACCCTGGTCTCGATTTTCGCAAACCTGGTTGGCCCTCTCTACCTTAAAACTTGGGCTTCATGGTGTTGCGGAGTCTTTGGTAATCGAAGAGACCCTCAATGGTACCAACGGCGCTGATGGCAATGTCTCGGTCCCAGAGTTTTCGGTTGGCAAAGTCCATAATGTCCTTCTCAGAAATGGCATCGATCTGGCGCTCAATCTCGCCAGGAGCCATGCGGCGGCCAGTAGTGATGAGCTGTCGGCCAATATCCTCAGCAACGGCAGTGGTACCATCCAGAGAAAGGAGAATGGAGGCCTTGAGCTGGGCCTTGGCACGCTCAACCTCGGCACCGCTGACGTTGGTGCAGAGACGCATCCATTCTCGGATGGCGAAGTGCACAAGGTCATCAACACGCTCGGGCTTGTCGCTGACGAGGTAGATACCCCAGAGACTATTTTTGGGTTAGCTTTTGTGGCTGGCACTAAATGTCAGGAATATTCTTACCCAGTGTCGCTGTAGCTGGTAGAGAAGCTCATGAAGCTGTTGGCGATATCGTGCTTGTGGACCCAACCGCTAAGCTTGCTGCCCTGGTGAGGAGCCTGGCCAAGGGCCTTGTCGTAGTTGCCGACAATAGCCTGGGCGACGAGGGCAGTGAAGTAGTCGGGGGAGTTCCAGCTGACACCCTCAACAGCAAGAGCGATGTTGGCGGTGGGCATGTTGTCGTCTCGGATGCGAACATCAGAGCCGAAGAAGTCGGCCTTCTGCTTGGAGAGCTGGTAGGCGTGGTTCTTGGGGCCAGTGCTGGGGAGACCGGAGAAGTGCTTCTCGGCGAGGCCAACCAGCTCCTCGTGGGGAATGCCACCGGAACCAACAAGGACCATGCGGTCGGCAGTGTAGTTGCTCTTGATGTAGTTGGTCAACTCGGTTCGGGTGATGTCGCGGATGTTCTGACGGGGACCAAGGATAGTGCGGCCAAGGCCCTGGTGCTGGAAAGCAGTGGCGTGAAGGTGGTCAAAGACAACCTCCTCAACCTGCTTCTCAACCTCCTCGGACTCTCGAAGAATGACGTCGCGCTCGCGCTCGATGGCGGACTCCTCGAGAAGGGAGTTCTGGAGGATATCGGAGAGGATATCAACGCTCTTGGGGACATCAGCGTTGAAGGCCTTGGCGAAGTAGACGGTGTTCTCGCGCTGTGGTTATGTTAGCCTGGTCCAGACTCGTATCCCTTCATCCGACTGACCGAGGTGTAGGCATTGAGGTGGCCACCCATGTTCTCGATCTCGAGCTCCAATTGCTGCTGGGATCGCTTGGAGGTGCCCTAGGATGGGTGTTAGCGGTGATCCACCATCCATTGATGGGAATCCAACCTTGAAAGCGAGATGCTCGAGGAAGTGCGCGGTGCCATTGGTCTCGTCGGTCTCGGCCCTTGATCCGGCATCAATCCACACACCGACGGTCGACGTTTGCGCAAAGGGGGAGTGCTCGGTCGCGACCTAGTTCACAAGAGTTAGATAGCCGGTCTGAGATGCATGTCGAGGCCAATTGGTCTCTGCAGATGGCGCTCACGGTCAATCCATTGGGAAGGGTCGTGGTCTGAGTTTTGCCGACGGTAGAGGGCGTAGCAAAGCCTCGTCGGAGGGGAGCGGCGGCCGACAGGCCAGCACGGTTTCGCAGGCCCTGCGAGAGGTTCAAAGCCAGTCTCCGGGACGCCATGACGGAGGTTTGGAGGGTCGACGCTGGATTGAGTGGTTTGATGAAATCTTTCGATGCTGCTCGGCTAGAAGCTTTACTGAGATAATTTGCGGCCTGAGCATTGAGGCGGAGGGCTTAGTCATTCCGACCAACTCCGAATCGGGGCGAGAAAGGCCAGGAGTGCGTCCAATCAGAGGCCTCTATTACTAACCTGTTTTCGGTCCACCGAAACTCCACTTCACGGTCACATTGGCTTGATTCCGTCACCTGCCGTTGCCCAACGAAGACGAATGCCCAAGTTCACCGGTCACTTGCAAAGACTTTTGTGAGTTGACAGAAGACTTTAAAACAAATACATCTCTCCTTCTTATCCATAGCTTCAATTTCCATCATTCAATCCAACATTTCTTGTTCTAATCCAACTCTCCATCCTCGTTCCCAATCATGCCGTCTGACAACTATGACTTCGGCGAAGTCTTCCAGGCCATCTACATCGCTAAACAGAAGCCTGCCCCTCCTCCAGTCGCCGACGACATGAAAGCAACCCTCCAAAGCCACCCGCCTCTAGGACAGGTCACTCCAGTGCAGGGCAATGACGTTTCCTTGGCCGCAATTCTTGAGATCCCCAAGTCCCGTGCAGCAGAGCCATGGGAAGTCTGTGTCTGGCATTCAATAGATGGATCGGAATGGAAGGAGATCGGACTCCTCCCCGTGGAAGACAGCCAGACTCCGCAGACACTGCAGTTACTGCCAGAATCCATGTCCCGGTTTTACTTCGCTTCTTCATCTTCGATTGCTTTCGACGCATCCATACAATTTACTCTCAAATTTCGCCACGGCCAGCATGAGGAGTGGAGATGGATTCGCGATGAGCAAGGGCTTCATGATGGCTGGATCGTTCAGCCCTCCGCTGGCATTTCATCTGGCAATCTAACTGATCTCATTCCCGATCTCAACTCAGAGGGATGGGCGGTTTCGTCTCATTCAAGCGAGTCTCCTGGAGCTGTTCTCTGGGCACTCGAGGCACCTATTCCGCCTGCCGAAGGTGACAGCTCAACATATAAAGACATTTCAGTCGGCACGCCCTGGGGTTCATTCTCTAGGTAAGCACAACAGCGTAACAATCATCAGTCACGGCGGCTCGCTGCTTACTAGAGGCCTCCTCATGATTAACGCTCTGTAGATGGTTTGCCCTAGTACGCTTATGGTCTCCATGGCTCGCCCCTCGTCATGGAAAAACGGAGTTTTCTTTAGACAAAGATGGGATCTTGTGCTCATTCCTCAGTCCACATGGCAAAAATCTCGTCTTCCTAGCAGTCAGTGGCATCAGTCATGTCTTGCCAGACTTTCGACATGGTTCGAATGGCACCCTCTGCGTGCATGTAAGTGCACCCGTCACATGCCTCCAATATTACTAAGAGAATTAGGGGCGCAATGACGGCCTCACGGAAGAGAAGGCCATCATCTTGGTCTCCGAGGGCGATGACTTTGAATCTGCTGTCGCAGCTGTTATGAAACACGCCAGGACACTGGTCGCTCAGGCAAAGCAATCTAGTCTTGGCCAGGATGAAGATGAAGAGTTAAAGGCCCTGGCGAGTGATTTCAAGGCAGAGTGGATGGAGAATTGGTATGACGGGCTTGGATTCTGTGCGTCGCGCCTTTCTCACTCACGGACTCGCCCAGCTGACGTCGACCAGGTACCTGGAATGCACTGGGACAACGACTCACTGATCAGAAGATATTTGACGCCGTCGACAAGTTGGCTGAGAATAATATCAAAGTCTCCAGCCTCATCATCGACGATAATTGGCAGTCGATTGACTACAGGGGCCCTAGTCAATTCCAATATGGTTGGAAGGAGTTCGAGGCGGAACCTGTCGCATTTCCCAATGGCCTGAAGGCCACGATCTCCCATGTCCGGGAGAAACACCCTCACATCCAGCACATTGCAGTTTGGCATGCCTTGCTTGGTTATTGGGGTGGTCTTGCCCCCGATGGCAAGATTGCCCAGACTTACAAGACCATTGAGGTCGATCGAGAGGATGCAGATCGTCGCAATCTTCCCCTTGGCGGTAAGATGACTGTCGTTGCTAAAGAGGACATTTCCAGGTTCTACAACGATTTCTACCGGTTCCTATCAGACTGCGGGATTGACGCCGTCAAAACGGATGCGCAGTTCATGATCGATACTTGGACTAGCGCTTCTGCTCGACGTGATCTCCTCATTCCGTATCTTAATGCGTGGACCATCTCAACTCTTCGACATTTCAGCGCCAAGGCTATCTCATGCATGTCGCAAATTCCGCAGGCCCTCTTTCATTCTCAAATGCCGACGAACCGGCCTGCAATTCTAGTTCGTAACTCGGATGACTTCTTTCCAGAGATTCCCTCATCTCATCCCTGGCATGTGTGGACAAATGCGCACAACAGCATATTCATGGGACACTTGAACGTACTCCCTGACTGGGATATGTTCCAGACTGTGCATGAATATTCCGGATTCCATGCTGCGGCCAGATGTGTCAGCGGAGGGCCAATCTACATCACGGATGTTCCAGGCAAGCACGATATGGATCTGATTGGGCAGATGACTGGTCTCACTCCAAGAGGGAAGACGGTGATTTTCAGGCCGAGTGTTTTGGGTAAAACGGTTTATCCTTACATGGGGTATGATGATGACTCGCTCTTGAAGGTGGGAAGTTATCATGGTGAGAGCTCTTCCAACCGCGTTTGGGCAGCAGAGCTTGGCTGATGGTGACAGGTGCCTCGCAAACTGGGAACCCAATCTTGGCTATTTTCAACATCTCGGCACGCCCATTGACCGAGATTATTCCTTTGTCCAGCTTCCCCGGTACTGATATATCGATTGAGTATGTGGTTCGAGCCCACACTACAGGCAAGGTATCGCGACCAGTCAAGATCGACGCCCCTGGTTCTTTGATGACTGGGTCGCTTCCGGTTCGGGGCTATGAGATATTCTGCGCGTTCCCCCTTACGAGCCTGCCCAGCAAAAAGCACGGCACTATCCTGACCTCGAACATGGGCCTTTTGGGCAAGATGGCTGGTCCAGCCGCCATTTTTATGAATAACATAAAACAACTCGAGAATGGCCGAGTAGTGATTGATACCTGGATCAAAGCATTTGGCACCCTAGGTAAGTGACCTTCTTCGGGGTGCTGTCTAATTGACTGTGTTCATTAATGAGCTGTCGGCAGGTGTCTATGTGTCAGCGTTACCATCGATGACAATAGAAGGAGACTTCTTGGTCACCATCCAGGAGAAGCCTATCCCTGCACATACTGTAACCATCTCAAAGGCTGACGACCATGTCGTGGAGATTGACCTTGGCACAGCGTGGCAGGAGATGGAGCTGGAGAGCAGGTGGAGCAATCAGATTGAAGTCAAGGTGTATTTCAGCACTTGACCAGTCTCTTGGGAACATTCTAGTCGACTCTTCTAAAATGGCTGCGGTGGGTTAGGAATAGTAGTGAAGATGTGATGCTGACACCTAGTCACATCAAATACGGATACCTATTGTCGACCATTTTTAGTTTAGTCTGCGATACACCCATGATCATTGCCTAATCTCGACCGTCAGACTAAGTTACGGATTAGTTGGATTGTCCGAAAGCAAGTCAGTTCTACTCCAATCCATCAGCAGAAGAAACAGAGAAATGATTGTCATTGGTGCGAGTAGTCTACCGGGCTCTAGGGTAAGACATGCGGAAATATGTCGGTGGGAGGGGGAACGAAGAAAAAAAAAATTGCAGCAAGGAGGGCGCCCCACCCACACAGACGGCAGCTGTTCGCTGCAGGCAAGAGCTGCCCCGCACACTTCGCACCGGCTCACGCGTGGCGAGCGCCAGGGTCCAGCGTATAAAAAAGTTTTCGGAGGGTCACGACCATTCCCTTCTCTTTTCTTTCTTACGGGAAGAAGCGTACTATCAATTTTTACAGTCGGTTCAAGGCCATAGCTTGCTCTATCGACTCGTTCCGTCTTCGACCTCACCTGTTCTCCTCGTACCGCCAACATGTCCGCCTCCGGTAGCAACACCAAGGTCCTCGACCACACCACGGCTCTCGACGTGCTGAACGAGTACAAGACCAAGGATGGCCTCGACCTCCACGAGCTCATGGACACGACCAAGCACGGCGGTCTGACCTACAATGACTTCCTGCTGCTGCCCGGCTACATCGGCTTTGCGGCCTCGGAGGTGACGCTTGATGCCCCCATCACAAAGCGCATCACCCTCAAGACCCCCTTCGTCTCGTCGCCCATGGACACTGTCACTGAGCACGAGATGGCCATCCACATGGCTCTGCAGGGCGGTCTGGGAGTTATCCACCACAACTGCTCCCCCGAGGCCCAGGCCGACATGGTCCGCAAGGTCAAGCGATACGAGAACGGGTTCATCCTCGACCCCATTGTCATTGACCGCAACACCACCGTCGGCGATGCGAAGCTTCTCAAGGAGAAGTGGGGTTTCGGCGGTTTCCCCGTCACAGGTCAGTACCAAAACGAGCACAACTACACATTTCCTTGCCATTGTTGGCTGCGGTTGCATGATTATAAACCTATTTTATATAACTTTCGTTCCACTGTATAGACGATCGTCATGAGGACTTTTTTTACTATGACTCCATCCTTACAAATCCATTTTTTTCAGTTCAATCACCCCGCACCAGATCTTGGACTAACTGAAAAATACAGAGGATGGCAAGCTGGGCTCCAAGCTCCTGGGTATCGTTACCAACCGAGACCTCCAGTTCGAGGAGGACCACGACCAGACCGTCGCCAAAGTCATGGTTACCGACCTTGTCACTGCCGTCGACGGCGTCACCCTCGTCGAGGCCAACAAGATTCTCGCCAAGTCGAAGAAGGGCAAGCTTCCCATCGTTGACAAGGACTTCAACCTCGTCTCGATGATCTCCCGCTCCGACTTGACCAAGAACCAGCACTTCCCCTTCGCCTCCAAGCTCCCCGATAGCAAACAGCTTCTCTGCGCCGCTGCCATTGGCACCCGCCCCGAGGACAAGCTTCGCCTGAAGCAGCTGGTTGATGCTGGTCTGGACATTGTCATCCTGGACAGCTCCCAGGGTAACAGCATGTACCAGATTGAGATGATCAAGTGGATCAAGGCTGAGCTCCCTGGCCTCGATGTCATCGGCGGAAACGTCGTTACTCGAGAGCAGGCCGCCTCCCTGATCGCCGCTGGCGTCGATGGTCTCCGAATTGGTATGGGCAGTGGCTCTGCCTGCATCACTCAGGAGGTCATGGCTGTTGGCCGTCCCCAGGCCGCCGCTGTTTACAGCGTCAGCCGCTTCGCTGCTCGCTTCGGCGTTCCTTGCATCGCCGACGGTGGTGTCCAGAACGTTGGCCACATTGTCAAGGGTCTTGCCCTTGGCGCCTCCACCGTCATGATGGGTGGTCTCCTTGCTGGTACCACTGAGTCCCCCGGCACCTCCTTCGTCTCGCGTGAGGGCAAGCTGGTCAAGGCCTACCGAGGCATGGGCAGCATTGACGCCATGCAGGACAAGAAGGCTGGTGGTGGTGGCAAGGACAGCCAAAAGAGCAACGCTGGTACCGCTCGTTACTTCTCTGAGGGTGACAGCGTCCTGGTGGCTCAGGGTGTCTCTGGTGCCGTCGCGCACCGAGGGTGAGTCTCTAATCGTGTGAACACTCTGTCAACTTGCTAACATGGATCCCAGATCAATCAACAAGTTCCTCCCCTACCTTGCTGCTGGTCTCAAGCACTCTCTTCAGGACAGCGGCATGCGCGGCCTGTTTGAGATGCACGAGGAAGCCGAGGCGGGTAACCTGCGCTTCGAGCTCCGAACCGCCAGCGCCCAGCTGGAGGGCAACGTCAACATGGAGTCTTATGAGAAGAAGCTTTACGCTTAATGATTTATAACGTATTTGAAGAGACACGGATGGACAAAAAACGATGATGAGGGGATATTGGGTTTTGCATTAAGGAGTTGTTGGAATGATTGGGTAGAGCCTTGTGCATTGGATATGGGTTACTGAGCACTACGGAAGATGACTCGACAACCATAGATCTGAATAGGCGTTTTGACGAACCACCACTAGAAGTGCGGTACGGCGTTTTTGAAATTTACAGCCTAACGGGCATGATTGAATCTATGTCGAATTTTCCTGAAGTGCTGCCAGTTCATGTCAAATTGTTGCGATTTTGCTGTGAGCCTCGGGGCTCGATCGTCCCACTGCAAATTGCGCACAAGAACGCGGGGAGCGGGAGTGAAAAGAAACCCCTGTAGCGTGCAAATAGCAACGGAACACTGTGACAGGGGGTCAAACGCCGACATTCCGGTGTGTAAGTGAAATAAAATCCAGCGAGGATTCCAATCCGCAACGCACCAACGACAATGCGACCTTGGGAACACGTCTCAGCGAAGCAAATATTTGCTCCCCGTTTGTGTCTGGAACGCCGAAAAGCTCAATCTCCCTTGAAAACGCGCCTGTGAAACAATCTCCTGACTCCCTGTTATCAAGGTCCTCGCGTCAGATCATCTTCCCCGGGTCGCCGGGGATCGGCATTGAAAGCTGTAGACGGTGTTGCACCACGGGCCTCACAGGGTGGAGCGCCAAGAGCGCGAGGGTAATGAGTGTGATGATTATGCATAGATTTATTCTTTCGGAGCGATCTCAATCCGACACCAATTTCTTTATTGCTTCTCTTTTTCAGGTCACCGATTTCTCCACTCCTTGGGGATGGTCCCCGAAATTATCGAAGGACCAGCATTCATACACCCATACAGACAGGCGCATTGCAAACCAGCCCAGGCAGAGTAAAATAAAATAGAAATGAACAAAAGAAACATGACAATATCAAGTCAATGGGGGTATAATCCAGAATGCGTACCCATCCAGCGCGTCAATTCCCGTACCGCGTGTTTCCACCGGCCTGCCTTTTCTTTCCATGCGATGTCTCGTGTTGTGTTATCGCCACAATTCGTCTGCATTCGCCCTTCACCTCAGCTTCATACTCGGTCACTTAGTACTTGGCCTGGGGCTGGTTAGGGTCGTAGACGGGCTGCTGCGGGGGGAATGATCCCTCGGGAGCCTGGTGGTAGGTAGGCTGGGGAGACATAGGCTGGGGAGACATCTGCTGGGGAGGCATCTGCTGCTGCTGCTGAGCGGGAGGCATGTGCATGCCCTCCTTCTGGCCCTGGTATCCCTGAGTGATGGGACCCGCGGCGACGCGAGCCTTGACCTCTTTGTCCTGCTGGATGAGAGCACAGCAGCCGCACCAGTAGCTGGCGCAGCAGTCTCCCATGCCGCTGCCCTTGATACCGTATCGCTCACGGATCTCTCCACGCTTCATCATGGCGTAGCTATTGTAACAAGTCAGACGAGGTCCACCTTGGAAAGCCAAGGTAGTCGGCACTTACATCCAACCGCAGCCGGTGACACACTGGATACCGCAGAAGATCATACAATCGCTGTTGAAGTTGTCGGCAGTCTGCATGGTGGGGTCACGCATGCGGTCCGAGGTCTGTCCGAGCACTGTGGCAAGCCGTATTAGTTTCTCGTGTGTGGCCGGCTGTGCTTCGTTCTCTGGCCGGCGTGGGAGATTGGGCTCCAGGTCGAGGCCGAGATCCAGTTCAGGAGGCAAACTCACAGATGCAGGGAAGAAAGGTGCCGAGCAAGCACGTATCGCAAGGACCACAGCTGCAGAGGCCATTGGACCACTCCTGGTTCTGGACATTGGGTTGCTGTTGAGCCATTGTGATGGGTTGGAGAGGTTGATGGATTGGAAGCGTAAACGAGAGTCGACTTTGAGGCGATTCGAGCGAGCCAAGAAGAAACAGTGACGCGACAGACAGATGAGGGAGGAGTGAGAGAGTGCGAGATCGAGGTGGATTCACACGCGCCTTATGGGATTTAAGAAAAGAACTTCAGTCTAGCTGGGATTGGGGGCTAGGTACCGACGGTGACGGATATAGGTAACACCAGGCAGGCCAGGCAGGCCAAGCCGTTCATTTTACTGTCAAGCGACAGGGTCGCTTACGGAGTCAAGCTCGAGCCGTCTTACCCTGACGCCTCCCTCGTGTCGGGATATCCCAGGGGGTCTTGCAGCAGCTCCTCCTGTGGCGTCCATGCTTGGCGTGCTGTGAGCTTCATCGTCCAGCCCAGGCGGGCAGTGCACGGCGCGAGTGCCGGGGATCAGGGCGTAGGATAGACACAGGAGGTTCAGCCATGGGCTGCTAACAATGCTAAGGCATGCTAGCGCCCTAGGGCTGACCTGGTGGTAGTGGAGACGTTGGATGTCTGCTGTACGGCGCCGTTTGATGATTCGCCTGTGCTTCCGAAGGATGTGTCTCGTTTCGATCTCCGGATGCTCGCACTGACGGGGCTGCGCACCGCGCCCTGTCTCGCTGGGCCCACGCAGGCACTGTTGGGTTGACGCATACTATCATCACTGCAAAGCTTGTCCGCCAGCTGAGGTGCCGAGGGCCGTGAGCCCAATTCGAGACATCGACTGGCTTGGAAATGCCCGGACGGAACCTTACCGGCTTGGGTGAGTTTAAATTAGGATTGTGGGCCAGGTCGGATCCAGGATTCCCAAGGCTGACACGTCGACTTGCGTCTGGCCAGCCCCAAACGCCTCCAGAAATACCATCCCCAGTGCGAGAAGATCCAAGTCCGCCTGCTGACAGCCGTGGCCTTGCTGCTGACCGCTGGTGATTGCCGTGCATCATGCCCATGTGTATCCCACCCAGCATGGATCAGGGTCAGAACACTGGCCAAAGGTCCTTTGGGCCTGCTCTTGGGAGCTTATCGCCGTCCGTTCATCACAAGAACGCGCACGCTCATCGATACTGCACGTTGATTAATGTCGACGACGGCGACGAGGATCGGCAGCGTTACCCGTCGCCGTGCGTCGACTCAGAATCACATAGTCGGGCACAATTGTCTTGCCTCCACGTAGCTTTCTCTCCCTCGGCGAGTAGTCATCCTTGTCGAACCCCAGCTTCTCGTAGAATTTCAGCCCGCTCATGTTGCTCGCAAAACAGGTGAGCATCACCTTCTCCACCGTTGGAATGTTTTCTGCAACCTCCATGAGATACCCCATGAGTTGGGTGCCAAGGCCGGTCCTGCGACGTTCGTAACCATTTAGCACACGTTGACTTATCACATGCGTTTTCCCCATCGCTCGTTACCCACAGCCTCGTCTGGCTTGCTTGGCCTGCGTCGGTACTTGGCACAAGCTGACGGTATGGTTGGGTGGGATGATAGTGAGGCTTGTTGGGAGGAATGTCCAGCTCAACTCACCCTTGCAGCTCCGGCTTCAAATGGATCTCGTAGCAGTACACCACAGGCTCATGATTTTCGAACGTTGGCATCATGGATGTGAAGCCCTGGACGGCGCCGTCTGCGTCCTTGACCAGGATGTACCGCAGATCCGGCGATCGCATCTCCTTCTTTTTCACAGCCACATGCCACCCAAACGACGAGCTCCGGTAGTCCGCACCACTGGTCTCATCGACTAGGTTGAAGCAAGCGTCCAACTCGTCGTCGCACAGGTCGCCGGGTCTAGATAAGCTCAGCGTGTACACTGCCTCTTTGCGAGGATGCGTCCATTTCGGCCAGCTGCTGCTGTGTGAGTTTAAGGCGTCAGAGTTTTCTCATCCCCAGAATGTTTTCTTTTTTTGGGCGCCTCTGATCTAACCTTGGCTTGATGTATTCTGTGACAAAGTCCGCGTCTAGTGTTTTGTTGGCCGTCTCGATTGGGTTCACAGGCTTCTGTCGCTGTTGTCTCCCGCCGCGCGTCTTCTCTCTTCCCTCTGGACCGGGTGTCGGTTCAGGCACAGGTGACACTGTGCCAATTGATTCCGTCATTGTGCGGATGTTGTGGGATTTTGTAATTGGAGGAGGAGAAAATAGACGTTTGGCAGTACGCCCTGCACTTTGAGGATCGACACCACACAATACACCGTCATGGACGCCCCACCTCCTTCCCGCGACGGACACCAACGCGGGTCTAGCATTTAACCGAGGCTCTGCCGCAGAGACTCGAACTTTTGATGCCTCCAGCAGACAAGCCGTGACGCGAATCCGTATTTCAATGAACTTGTCCCTCCGTCCAATGAGGAAGCTCTTGGTGGGATGGTGTCCAGCGTCCGCCTGCTCTCATTGAGCCGTGGCTATGCCACCCGCAGAGCCGGTTCCCGCCTCAATGCTGCCATGAGTCTCGACCAGGTATGTGTGGTGGTTGATGCCTCACTCTCCATCTGCCAATCATTGCACTGAGGGATGAACTTCGCTAATGCGATGCCCTAGTTTCTACAACGCTCTAAGGTCCTGTCGCTCTACCGCACTATTTTACGTGGCACCAAGCGCATTGGCGATCCTACAACAAAGGCAGAATCTCGCAGGTACGCCCGCGATGAGTTCGAGAGGCACCGTGGCGTGACGGATTCGGTATGTTCTCTGCACCCCGGCTACAGCGGCCCCCAATGGCGACCAGCGTGTGGGCTATTTAAGGCTGACTCTGCAGGAAAAGGCTCACGTCAGGTATCTGCTGTCGACGGGTAAGACTGAATGGGAGGGGATGGAGAGGTATGTCGATGGTATGTAGCATAATAGTTGTACATGATGGGCGTCCCCATTGCTGGGTCACCGCCCCAACCTCCAATTCTCCGGACGCAACAAGTCCTCTTCTTCCGTCCAAGAAATTGTCTTCCACCTGCGGGCATGCGTCGGGACATATTGGTCGCTGTATGGACGCTCGTTCCGAAGCCGTTGTGTGTCCCCCGTATCGTACAATTCCCAGCCATGATGCCTCATCGGCCCCGACGTCTGCTTAACTTTGACGCTGTTTGTGTCGAGGGTTCGCCTTGCAGATAATATACAAGTATCCGTTGTGTCGCTTGCCGGCCTTTCGTCGAACGACCTGGGAAACAAACTCATGTTAGCTGCCACTTCGTGTGCCAGCCGCAAACGGCGAATGGGCAGGGCCTCGACGGCCAACTATTTGAACCGGGTGTCAAATTACCTTGCAGTGTTCGCAGCGCTTTTTCACCGAGCTGTGGACCTTCATCCCTCGAGTCTGTTGCATCAAGGCTGTCGGCGCAGCGGCGGCGCTGGTGTTGGCGAAGAGCGAGGGCACTGCGCCCATCATTGACGAAGGATTCCGGATCGCAAATGCCCCAAGGGCATTGCTCGGCCTCAGTGTCCTCACGGAAAGCGAGAGGGTGCGTAGGAGAGACGCCATGGTGGTTTTGGTGTTGCAATGTTCGAGCCAAGATTCTGCTGTCGGTGGTGAGGTTTGCTTGGGCCAGGCCAGACCATCCATCGCCAAGTCACGTGCGATAACGACAACTTCCCAGTGTCTGGCCCACCACAACCCAACGGGGGTTCTCCATGTCACTGAGAAAGCACTGTAATGAAAAGCTTCATTGATTTCGACTGTAGTCTCAACTCAAATTTTCTCTCATCTCCCTGAACCCTGATTCCTGGTATTTCCTGGACTCAAACACGGCAGTCTTGTTCTCTCTCACTAATCAAATCCCTTCCCTCATACTTCAAAAGCGATTCGGTGTATGGAACGCAACTGCCATTTCCTTTCCCATTTCTCGACTTGAGTTTCTCGACTTGAGTTTCTCGACTTCGGTTTCCCATTTGTCTCCCTCAGCTAAACGAGAAATCTCTTCCGTAACCAGAATCATTAGTACTCTTACAGTAATGTGCGTCACTAAACCTTTGGATGTTTGTTTCCCGTTACCAGTATTGTTGCTGAGCTGGGGATCGTGTCGTCTTTCAAACTTCCAAGAGCTTGTTTCCGTGATTGCACCCTCTAAGTAAGAAAAGGCTACGAAAACCTCAAAGAGGTCGCTCGCGCCGATTCTACTTGCGTGGGAGGCTGCTAGCCATGGACACATGGCCCTCAGAAGCACATGGCCGATGCTGCGCTGAAGATGATGCTGGCGATATCAAAGCCAAAAGGGTTTACCCCGCGGGGTGATCTCTGACCTTCGTCGTCATGGTTGGGTCGGGCCCGATCTACTCGAGTCGCCCCATATCGGCGAATTCCGTCTTGTTCACCTTGGTAGCTGTTACCAAGAAGCTGGATTGTGACACGTTCCACGTCTACCACCATAGCGTGGTGCATGGCTCTTGTCCTCAGCCCTTCAGTGTTGGCATGAAGCAGGCCTTCCAAGGTTGGAAGATTCTGTACGGAGTCCTTGTGGATCTTGTTGTCGCGTATCAAAGCGTGGATGTGATGCGGCTGGGCGATGTGCCCATTTACATTGACGTACATCAGTGGCCCCGACGTTCGAACAGTCCTTGTCGACTTGAGCCTAAACATAGCGTCAAGGCCATATCGTAAGGGTGCGTCCCTGTTGAACTCATATCCGTTCCAGGCCTCGAAAAGGATAGTCAATGTGCGCAAGACATCTTGCCTCTGATGGTTCACTTCCTCGTCCATCTTTTTGCGTAGCAGGCAGCCTGCGCACACCCTGGTATAAGGTCGGGCTACCCGTGATGCTTCAAGAAAGAATTCCTCGACCATTTCATGGCCACAAGAAGAACAGAACACAAGGTTTGCTCCCATCACATGGCCGTACCAATACGGCCAGTCGTGGCAGATGTTCTCAACGCCAAGACGAACTGCTTTGAGAGCATCGTACATGCCCTCATGGGCCTCCCACTTGGCGAGGCGGGCGCGGGCGATGAAGTCGGCGTCATAATCGCTGAAGTCAATGCCATGATACACAAATCCCGCTTCACGATGGCGTTCGAGGCCAGTAAAAAATCGTTCCACTGCGAGCGGAAGCAGTGGGAGTTGAGAAAGATACTGCCGGAAGGCCTTGTCTTCTTCAAAAAGCAGCTCGATACCCATCGAGCGTGCCTTGATGTAAGCTTCCAAAAGAATTCGGAAGATACCTCGGTGGGCGAACTCAGTGGTCATCCCTGACCAAGTAATGCCATACGTTTCCGCTGCGGGGTGAGCGTAGGGCATTCCCTGGTTGAAATGAGGGAAAAAATCAAATTTACTGATCGGATACTCGTTCTCGGCCTCGCGAACGATGTTGATCTCGTTGATCAGATCTAGCAAACAGATCACGTCTCCAAAATGGATGAGTGGACAGTCGTAGATGCCAATCATAGTGACTTTTGGGCATGCCCGTAAGATGATGGCAACCATTCTCCTGTCAAGGAGAGGGATGTTGACAAAATGGAGAACTTGGATCTTGTCCTTCCTGTCGTTTAGAGAACACACTGGAATGGTGTTAGCATGAAACTTAAGTGCTTCAACAGGGAAAAAATGTCTTACAAAGCTTGAAAAGCCCGTCCAGAGCCGTTTGGGTGTACGGTCGGTACGCCAGCTGCTGAGAAGGCTGAAGAGTTGCCATCGATCTCTCTAGGTCCAAGACGTTGGGCAGTGACCGAACGAGCTTGACTGCTTCCTCTGAGTAGAAGGCTGGCATGATAGCAAGCATTGGATTTGCGGTCATATTGTTGGTGTTGGTGACACCCGCGAGGTCCGTAACCCAAAATGGCTCGGTTGGTCCACATTGGTTGTAGATTTGTGTGATGATCTTCACGATTCTGGCTTTGGCCAGCTTCTCACAAGTCCCGGCTGCTAGAGTCCCGCTCCCGATACTGTGGACAGAGTATTCTGGGTTAAGAGCCAGAAAAGCGACTCCATCGGCAGCACCATGGAAGTCTTGAGCAGAAAAATTGTGAATCGTCTGTGATCTGACGTCAGTTGCTTGTCATTTGACTTGAACGGATGACCAACCACCGAGTTTGACATTGCAGCCCAGCCTTGGGGGTCGGCGGCAGCAAAGGATTCCAGAGTTTTGAATCCATCAATTGCTAGCATTTCACCGATGGTCTTTCCGTAAGGCATCCAACCAAAAAAAGTCCCGCGAATGTTATCGGGTAGGTTTTCTGGAGCGAGACTGGCTCCGTCGTTGGCATGCTGTGGATGTCAGTCGAGGTTGACTAGACGCAACAAAACGGGTGCTCATCTTACCGTGAGTAAAACGTTGCTATCGGTGTACATGCCAATATTGGCACGGCGATCACCGTCCATATACTGGTCTCTGGTAGGGCGGTTCGTTAATCGGTTCTTAGTCCGAATCCACTCCTTTTCGATCTGTCGAGAGCTTTTCGATGAGACCTTGTAGTGGTAACCCAAAACTTCGATACGCTGTGCGGAAAGTTGCGCATCATACACCCGGTAGTCTTGGCTACAGTTAGCAATAAAGTACTCAAGGGTAGGGAGATGGACGTACCATGATCGGCGCGGGGCTGGGGAAGTTGGTAGTAGCCCGCCATGTTGCCTTTCTGGATCTCTCCAGGCCTATTGATCGGATTAGCTGCCGCTTTAGCCTTATCATTCCTCTTTGCCATGATGAGTGGTGTTGTTGGGAATGCCACGGGATGATTGTGGTTGAGAGACTTGAGCACGTGGATGAAATTCCGAACGTAAAATGCCCAGAATTGGTCCTGAAAGGACAAGGATATGCGGAGAGGGGAAGAAATGAAGGGAGAAGAGAGGAATGATCGAGGGCATAGTAAGAGTTAGGGCTTAGGGGATTGAGTAGGGGAGTCACTGCCGGTCACATGTTTGAGCCGCTCAACGCAGCCAACCGGGGGGCAGGTGCCTTGTCACACATATCCCGGTTGGCATTGGATGCTTCGCCGAGAGGTTTGACTTGCTTTCCAACCAAGGTCCGCGCAGTCGCCGCTCAAAATCGAGGCATGTAAAACGATTGGAGAAGAAGGGGGAGCAAATGGGGTGCGAAAGAAAACAGGAACATACCTTGTGTTGTCTTGAATGCACCTAGAAACCCGACTTCACGGCGACCCAATCAGCAAAGTCGGAAAATCCTATCAACTCCGAATCGGGCTGATTGTGGGACTGAGGGTTGGAGAGCAAAGTGCCACTGTATTGGCGATTGATATGTTCTGAATGCTGGAGTTGTGTTCAACGTTCAGTGTTGGTAGAAGCTGGAATGCCCCTGTGCTGTACCACATGGTCAGCTCACGTCAACATTGGATGGGGATAGGATCCATACTCAAGGAAGAGAGTCTTTGGCCTGAAATGCTCCCACAATGAGAGTTGAAGCCGGTTTACTGAATTCGTGAAATGTTCCTGTGCAACCTTGTTGGACAAGCTCTTGGTGGTCCACGTCCACGTCCACGTCCACGTCGGTTGCTTGGTGGACCCAAACGCCCTTTGATTCCGAAGTGCGTCAGTTCCTGGCCTCGAAAAAGGTTAGCGGTTAAAATTCAAAGTGGACGAGCGCCATTCTCCCAGGACCGGGGATTAGGCTATTGATCTGGAGATGTGAAAGCACCAGATGGCCCACAGCCCAGTCCACGAAATTCAAGAAGTCCAAGGGAAGGCGGCGAACGCGAGAACAGGAGATCTTCGGATTCCAGAGCGATGCAGTGTTTTCGAAGCTAGAATACTCATAAAAGAGTCCCTAGCTTGTCCCCCACGGCAAAGCAGATGGATACCGACTGCTGTGACTCTAGCGAAGCACCTTCACTACCCAGTCCCACGGGTGCGGATCAACTTGAAAGGGTATGACTCGGCAAAGGGGTGAAGTGAGTGCAAAATCACGCTTGTATGCGAGATGAAGTAGAGAAGGAGGAGACGAGAGGGTAGAACGCGTAACAAGAGGATGTTGAGCGAGGGAAAGGGGAGGGAAGGGGGAAGGGGGGGGGGGAGGAGGCTGAGGTTGTGGGCGACGCGTTCGGCCTTTCAGATTGGGAGCAAGCTGTACTGCCACCAACACAAGAGATGTAGAGAGAAGAAACATGTAACATACTTTGTAGAGATGAGTGCTTCAGAGTCTGAGGGTAGATGGATAGATGATGAAGTGTAACGGAGCAAAAGCTCAAGTCACGGGGAGGGAAGGCAGTGAAAGCTGCCGATGTTGTTGTGTGGAGGAGGGAGAAAAGAAGAAAATGGAGAGGCAGAGTGTGTGCGTTTAAGTGCGTATGGCTGCAGCTCTTCCAATCATCAGTGCTCTGCAAAATTTGGCAGAGCAAGGGGGGTGTGCCTACAGGAGACTACTACTGGGCAAACTGAGGCACCCAAAGCCCAGGGCTTTAGGGCTCAGTGTATTATTGCTACTCACGTACTGCAGCTTAATGCCAATGACGGAACAGAGAGGCTTGTTTCGAATCAGATGCCCTGTCTTGCTGTGGCGCTGGCAGGACGCGTTGCCATGTGCGATATCCAAACATCATATATATATACATCCCCCTCCCGTAACTACGAATTAAAGTATTGCCACAGATCCCTGGGTATATAGTGATCCTCTTAATAAAATATTTGACATTCTAGGGGGCTAAATATGGGCTGGTGTTGACATGTTTGCCAGAACGTTTCCCATAACCCGCCTGCGAAGCTCCTCCTGTGCACCACTAGGCCCACAGCACCACGCAGAACCACCCGCACACAGCAATCTATCCTTTCTCTCGCTTCGATTAAATCACTAAAAACTCGAAAACGACTAACAGATGATTCTACGAGAGTCTCTGTCCATGAAGACTGGTTTTGACATCACTAACCCCCCAAGACGTGGATTTTGGGTCCTGGGCCAGGGGCTTTGTCCACCGCTGGAGCCGCATGCTGGCCAGAACGATTCATCGGTTGACGAGTGACGAAGAAGCATTCGAGTGTTCCTCTATGGGCCAACTTCCTGTTCCAGACGACAAAGGACTGGCGAACACAGGTCGTGGTGAACACCACCCCGGTACGCAGCCGTCTCTACCTCCGATCCCTCTGCTTCTGTTCACTCTGCCTCTACCCCTACCTCCTCTGCCCACAAGTCCCCAATCCAAGCTCATGCTAACCTTTCACCATTCATCTAGAGTAGTACCCCTCGACGCTCCTAAACACTGAGGGATGCCGCGAACGCGCTGGCTCACGACAGACCTGACACGGACGAGAAACACCACCACAGTACGAAAATTCGCCCTCACAGCATCTTGTTCGTATGAATAGCCAGAAGTCCTTGGAAGACCAGGCCATCGACCCTCCAGGACGCATCGTCACTGACGCGAGGGTCCATCCTCGAGAAAGCGGCACTGCTTGGGCTTGGCCACCTGGATCACCACTGACCATTTCCGGAAGCCTCAACCCCGGAAAGGACTCACATTCCTAGTTCTGCAAGGCATCTCAATAGTACAGGAGAGTCCGTCTCATCCATCACGACGCAGACACTATCCACGAAGCCAAGCAATAGACACGGAATAGCACAAGAGGCATGGGCGCTCTTCACCGGCCTCATACAACCCAAACCAGAGTTGCTTGACTAATAGCGAGGCCCTGAGCCGCATGAAGAGCAGACTGCTAGCCCCCGAACCCAAACAGTAAGACTCGAGCACAGAAACGGCGAATGTTCCAAGGAAATCAGCATTTTGGACGGCACGAGCGTCTAGATCCAGACCTAGACACCTAATACACGGATCACACAACAGCGGCATAGAGGGCAAGAAGGGTGGTAGATGGTTGAGTCCATGCTAGGAGCTGCGAATCAAAGCCATCCTGCTAGCGAATCAGCCCAGAGGAGAAGTCTTCTACACTGGCAAGTGGGAGAGTACAAGAATGTCGAGGACTGAGATAAGGCACTGACAGATTCACCAAGTAGTTACCACTGCCAAATACACCGACTTGACCCGACTTTCGATGGCCCATCCCACTGAATTATTGGCGGCTCCTCTAGCCCCCCTCCTACGACTCAACCTCCCATCATCATCGAAATCGAAGCAATAGAAAACCGAGACCAGAGACACCACTACGAGGTAGCAATTACCCATTCCCAAAGAAATCCTAGTTCGAAATCGCAATTCATTCCTCAGCACTGGCACAAGACTACAAGCCTTAGGGCTCACACTGAACTTCTTCTCTCCTTCAACTCCTTGGAAACAAAAGACGAGTTTTCGGCAACAGGAGGCAGAATGTGCCCTAGAGAACAAAGGGAAGGAGGAAATCTACAAGGAGTTCCAGAGACCTCACTTCGAGATGGCGGTGGTCCAAGGGGAGTTCTTTGTCTCGTGGTCTCGTGTTGGCTTCTGGAGGGTGTCATTGGCTGGCGCCATTACCTCGCAAGCCGCGAGGGGCTCCTGGTGTAACAATAACCAGTCATAGCTCCTTGTGGCATGTTGGGGGGGGGGGTCAATTGCCTGCAAGGTACGGTTGTCAGTGATCCAGATGCTCCCCTCTGACTACCCCCCCCTGTCTCCATGGTTGACTGGAAACTAGGGATTCTAGGAGGTGTGCGAGAAGCCTGAGTCTTGGCTTGAAACCCGCTTTTCCCGGTCTTCAGCAGAGAGATGGGATGACTTCCTTCATAGGGCCAAGCACCATGGATACGTATTTAGCTTATAGGTGGAGATTCCTTTGGTGAGCCCTTCTTTCAGTGACTCGTTGACCAAAGAGAGTGGAATACTGGATGGTGGTCAGATATCCAAATCTTACACCATAGCTGATAGGAGAAGAACGAATACCGAGCTGGCTCTTAGACGCAGATCATCTGCAAGATATAGATATTCAACGTCTCATCACTCGACTGCAACCTCGCTATCATTTGGGCACTAAATTACCGTCGTTGTCAGCCTCGACATCTTATGCCCTTACATCATCCCCCGTCTCACCGCATCAAAGATCCATCGTTCAAGCCCCCGGGGACGAGACGAGACGAGAAATAGGAGACATTCACCGAAGTCTCTACAGCTCTTGGGCACATAGTCCTGCTGGTGATGTTATAAAAACTCCCCAAACTGGTAACAAAGAGCGACGTGCTGACCACTAAGAACGGCCCAGCGCCGCACAGCAGGCTAGACGAATCATGCCGAGACGGCTTTCCGAGTCTACCGCCGAAACCTGTCTCGACTCATGTCTCCGAAGTGCATGATATCTACATCCTATCACACACGCTCCCCGCACCAAGCTTAAGCGCAGTTGACGACCAGTCCACTAACACGCGGATCCTCACCGCACCCCAGGCCAACCACCACACCTGCAGCAATTCGCTTGGGGTGCTTCCCGGCTCCGTCCAGAGCTAGCTCGGCCATCAGGCGCAACAAGGGCATGCCAGCACACCATCTCGAGGACTCGGAGGGGCAGTGTGAGGGACGCAACGCGCTGGGCGTGTTGGAGCGGGCCACATGGGCGCGCACATGCCCACATGCAAGGGAGCGGGGACTGCATGAACGTTTTGGACGACCCGTTTCGTCATCGCCAAGCTTGGCTCGAAGAGTCGAAGAGGGTCATGGGCGGCGGAAGCGTAACTATCGCCGCAAGGGATGGGCGGTGGGAGACGAGGGGTGGTGTGTGTGATCAAGTGCGCCGCCATCGGCTGTGGGCAGTCTACGGTTATGAACGGTTGGAATGGGTGATGACTCTGGAGGGACAACCTGTACGTGGGCACGAGATCAACGGAGTCGTGGCTGAGATGGGTCAGACATGGCGACGCCTTGGCAGATCTATCTTGTGCGATGTACACCATGTCGTGCACTAGACACATTCGAGACTCGATGGTCAAGACTCGACAGTCAAAGACCCGACAGTTCAAAGACTCGAGCGGCAGGCGAACCACCAGATACGGCCGTCTCCTCAACACCAGGGCCAGGGATCGACACACGAACCCAAAAAGGTTGTCAAACGGCACGGCACTGCAGCAGCCTGGACACCCACACCCACAGCGTTACCCATGACACTCTACTACTATACCACAGCCGTCTATGGCATTTCACTGGAGACGGAAGATGGCCATGGCAAAGACCTGCAGGATCGCCGTGGTCCTATCAAGGTACTGGCCGGCATGGGTGAGCGGTAAGACGGAAGACGAAGAAAAGTCCTAGGGTGGCATGGTCCGATGGAGAGTTGCACAACTGCCTCACACCATCACCGGTCGGGATGGACCAGCATCGAAGCCAGCAAAAGAGGAATCACCACGGCGGTGGCGGCGTCGGTATCGGATTGTCGGAAGGGTCACGGTTCCCCCCAGGCGAGAAGCCCACTCATCTCCATCGAAACGCCACTCCCGGGCTTGAGCGGCAGACAGGGAAAAAACCCGGTGCTTCCCAAGTTGGCGATGGAGGCCAGTGGGATGATGGCGGCGATGAAACGAGGTCCGGGGTGAGAGCTGATGCCGGCAAATCAGGTGACTGAGCAGAGTTGCGGCTGGCGAAGGTTGCCGCTGCGAGAAAGCTTGTGGCCAACACATGACTGGACGGATGGTCCGGATCATCAAGGCAGGCACGCGAGGGAACACCCCACCACATCTTTAGGGCCTTGGTAGGGCCTTGGTGAAGCATCACGGGTCGAATCACGATGACACACGGCAATATTGCGATATGACGGGACGGAGGCTCCCGGGCACCTGGGCACTTGGGCACATGGACTGCAAAGGGACCAAAGATGATGCTCTGGCGGTGGAGTCCTCTGGAGTCCTCGGCCGGAACGTGCACGACTGCATTAACCATGTGGAATTAACCATCGCAATCAAGGCCGGATGGAGTCGCATGCAGTCAAAGCCGACGATCAGACACAGGATCGCCATGTGGATCCCACCGAGTTTCTCCTTGATGGCGGATTGATCATCGGCGTCAGACGAGGACGAAGCGCGCACCGTGCCTGGCATGCCCTTGCCGGCCTGGCCCTGGCGGTGAATGGAGGAAATGGATGAATGGATGGCCGACCAGATGCACCACGAGGATTGGGGATTGGAGGTTGGAGTACCACGGCGGCCACCTGCGGACCAGGGTTGTCGGGCCATCGAGATGTGGCTCCTCTGAGAAGCCAAGCCAAGCCAAGATGGCATCGCATCCCGTCGCATCGTATCGCAAATCGTTATACCGCGTCCCCATCTCGGTAGCTAGTTACTGGGAAGATAACCGGCGGCAGAGTGGCTGGATGAGGGTACAATGGTGGGAAACGAACACATCCACTTGGGCCTCGAAATGGATAGAGGAGAGCCATCTGTTTGGTTGTGTCTTGAAATGAACTGGTACGGTCCAATTTCAGAAACGACTGGGTCGAATCGGGACAGGTACCTCTGTTAGGGCGCTTGCGTCTTTGGATCTTCGAACCTAGGGACGTCCTACGTGCAGCCGAGAGAATAAAGGGTCGTCGGCGGAGCGTTGGGCAATGCAAACCAGGTTTAGGGTTCTGGGCGAAAACACGTTTTCCCGGAGAAACTTGGCGTTTTGAAAATCGGATGAGGCGGCGTCGAAGAATACGACCAACATCACCGCATCACCGCATCACAGCATCACAATGCAATAGTTACTGTAGCTAGCCAAGACAGTGCAGTGCAGTGCAGTGCAGCGTGCAGAACACAGCCCAGCAACAAGGTACCCTGCGTGTCTAAGGCGCCAAAGAGCTGCAAGGATCTCGGCTTGGTCCCACAAGCCACAAGCCGGCGTCGAGGCCAAACCTGGTTTGAGTGACGGGCATGTGGATCTCGATTGATTGCCAACATCCACTGATGGACCGTGTGCGGTGATCACGGTGGTGCACACTGTTGAGCAAATATTTTATTCGTATTTTTTTTTAATCGGTTTGTTTTGCAACAGCCACTTGTTGTCGATCGCTCCGTGGAAAGGCGGTGTCGAGGTCCAAGAGTCATGAAGAGAATGTGTATCAGATAGGAGAGGCCTGGGTCAAAAGCAAAGCGCCTCGGTCACAGGGGCAGAGGCGAAATACCCGGCATGTGTATTTACGGATACATGCGTCTGGGCAGATTACATCTCCAGTCGGATTGCGGCAATCGTAGTACACCACAGCACTGTCTATCCCGAACACAGCACACACGGCGGCAAGCAGAGCACAAGCACAGGTCACACAAGGGTTTGCACCGTTGCCGTTTCCCGTTACAGGCCGGGGGGTTCTAGGCTGAGGATTGTCTCGGCGCTGATCCCCCGACCGGCGGGATATCTGCATGTCTCACCGACAAGCGCGTGCCTGGGTGATGAGTGGCAGACGGCGGGGAACTAGATTCGGGATGTCTGAGTCAAGGGAATGAAGGAATGCATATCAACGAGGGGCCAGGGAGTTGGAGGGGGGACCAGGAGGCTCTGGCCAAGGCTCTTTACAGGCACAGGCACTGGCAAGGCGCTGGCAAGGCGCTGGCAGAGGCAAGCCGAGCTCTGTCTGAACCGACTGATGAGGTCCTGATACCCTAGCTGATCCTTCTGCCTCGGGCTCCATGCCTGACGTGTGTGCCAGGCCTGCGCGAGGTGGGCGCTATTCACGAGCTGTAAGGACGCCACCGCGGCGACGAGTCACCTGGCCAAAGGCGAAGGAAGGGAGGGTGTGAGCCGCGAGCCACGAGCTGAGGCTCTAGCCCAGATCAAGTATGGAACTTGAATGGGTGAGAAGGAAGCGGAAGCGGGTTTTGCGTGCGGCACTCGTTGTGGATGGGTGGGTGGTAATGGGTGCTTCTGAACGACGTTGAGCTCTGGGTGGTGTGGGTTGGCGGCGTGGGCTTTTGGTGTGAGTGGGCGGCTAGCCTGTGGATGGATTGATGGACATGCGTTGTGCCCTTTGTAGGGATGTCGTGAGTGTGAGTGGATGTTGGAGAGTGAAGGGTTGCAAGTTGAAAGGGCCAAGTTTTGTGAGTCGTTGTTTTGCGCAGTTGGTGCAGGGAATTGGGGTGCAGAGACACAGAGCGTGTCGCCATGGCCATCCCATGCTCGTCATTGCATTGTCGTGTGCTCCTGCTGCAGCTCCAGCTCCCGTGCATCTTCAGTATCTGCGCTGCAGGCGAATGGAGGGCATCTGAAGCTAGAGGGTCTTCTTGAGTGAGCCTCGACGCACCATCCTGGACCGCCTTCGCAGCGGACCGGCGATAGTCCACGATCAAACGAGGGTCCGCTTGAAAAGAAACAAGAACAAGGTACCGCGGGTAGCACAGCACGTACAGTAGTACTTCTCATAGGGCGGCCAGCGGGCCCCGTTTATTACGATGTCTTCGCTAGCGCACCATGTCGGTACTTGGGAAAACGCCGGCGCGCACCAAGTCATGATGCCTGCGGGCAGCGGGTTACCTCAAACGTCGTTGTATCGAGGCGGCGAAACGGGCAACGAGGCGCCGTCGTTTGCTGAGAGGTTGCCTCTGGCTGGCCGGGTAGCTGCAAGACGGACGCACAGGAGGGACTAGCTGACTGAAGACTGGATCCCCGAGCTCATGATGGAGGGTCGACGGTGGGCAACGACTGGACAGGTGAGTATTGGAGGATGGCGCTCTGGGGCACGGGCAAAGCGTGACCTGATATGACATGACCTGACACCACACCTGCGTGCATGGCCTTGCTACTCAGGTCTCTCTCCAAGGTTCCCAAGGTTCTCAAGGTTCCCAAACGGTCGAGGTAGATCAAGGCACAAATACAGATTGCCGGTTTGCCAATAATGCAATTGTGCAGCAGGCTAGCAGGCTAGCTACAAAGCCACAGAGAACGCCTCCAGGTGCGTGGCAAGGAGGGAGGACGGATGGCTGGATGCATCCAGGCACTCTATCCGACAAGTTGAGATTGCATTGCAAGTTGAGTCTGCCCGGGGTGGTGTGGACGTGCAAAGAAAAGGAAGCCAAGAAGCCGAGAAGCCAAAGCGGCCCAAAACGCAGACCAGAAGCAGACCAGAGGCAAGCCAAGACCAGCCTACGTCGCTGACAGAGTGGTGTTGAGAGATACGTGTCGAACCGTTTCCCCTGGAGATTGTGGTTTTTAAAATGGCGATCCACCGAAAAAACCGCGTCAAGGTCCAAGGCGGTTGATGAGAGGTGCCGGCACGGATCACTTGTCGGTATCGGAGGAGCAGGGGAGAGCATGGCAGAGCAGGGGGACAAGCCCGGGTAGCGACCAGGGAGATTATTTCAATGTGGCCCATGATCCATGCGCAAGGGCAAGGGACTGAGCAACCCCGGCCCCAGGGAGAAAAAAGAACGTGAAGAGTGGGAGGCTGAAAGTACCAGGTCGTTGAGCTTGCTGGGGGATGGGATTTGGGTCCTGGGCAGATTATTATTATTGTTGTTATTATTACTCCGTACGTGCGAACCTAATCCCCGAGCAAGCGAGAGGAGTGAGGACAGTAACGAGAACAGAGCGAAATAAAAGGAATATGGCGATGACGACGAAGATGAAGAAGCTGCATTATCACGGGTGGGTTTCTGGACGCACACATGGCACTGATACAATTGCTAGGCACTGTGGGGATAGACGCCGAAGATCGATATTGGATGTGGTTTGACTTGGCCTGCCAACACTGGGTCCCTGGGACTAAAAAATAAAGCCGGTGCGTGCAAGTGAGATTTGATATTTGCGAATATTGACCCACCCAGCAGCCAGCGGCCGGTGGGCTCCCTTGTGGGCGGTGATCGCGCCAGGTTTCCGTGGTTCTGGCTCCGATGAGTCAGTATCTCAAAGAGGGGTCCGGTCACGGTGAGGAGAAGTGCATAGTAATTGGTGGTGGCGGTAGTGTTGGTGATGGTGTGGCAGATTCCGGATGGACTGACGCCCGGTGGTTACAGGTATCGCGGTGGTGCAGGCGGCAGACGAGAGAGTCGCAACGTGCAGCGCCAGCATGACGCCAGGGCGCACGGTTGTTTTCCAGATGCACGCTTCGTACAGCGCTGCGAGTACCTAACGACGTAGTGGCATCTGCTTACACCCATTCTGTCAAGCTACGGGAAGTACTTCCGGGACGGACGACGTCCGTACATTTCATTGCCAGTCGTTCGACCCCCGGGTACCTTACCAGCCAGCCTCAGCCAGTCAGCCAACCCGGGCACCTTACCTACCCAGGCAGCATGGAGATGAGAATCCAGCGGGCGTGGTTCGGCGCCAGGCCAACGGCGACAGTTTACCGGGGGAAAGAGCATGAGAAAGGGGGCAGAGGAACAGAGGGGAGAGAGGGGAGCGAGTGTTCAGGGATAGAGGCGGAGAGCCCCCAGCAATCAGTATACTGCAAACGGGGTACTTTACGTACTCCGTACTGGCAATGAATGGTACCGGTGTATCTTGAATGACTGGCACTGATTTGTTTCATCTTTCTTTCACGGCTTTGGTTCACTGGGCTCGACTGGCCCTTAGCAAGGGGACGTCACTTATCAGGGTCGCAACAGGCGAAAGGGGAAATATAAAATGTCGTCAAGCAGCAGCTCGGGCGCGCCAAAGGCAGGTACGTACCTGCAGTACCTGCGGGCCACGGGGTCGGTCCTGTATCTGGACCGTACGTGGCGGGCGATACGCATGTGCAGAGCGCCGCTACGATTTTGGGCCACAGCTAGTGCTGGTTGGCCGGCTCAGGGTCTCGTAGGGAATCCGCTGCTGCAGGGCTATTTTGGAGGCGGCCGGCAGCAAAGGCTGGACAATGGTGGACGGGTCTCTGCAATTTCAGGCCCACTCGCTTAAACGGCGCACGGGCCAGCGCTTCACCCAGCAACAACAGCGACACCATGGTAAGAAAAGAAAGGCTGAACCAGACTGGTCTCAGAGGCGCTCGCCGACGTAGCATGGAGGATGTGAAGAGCTAGAAGGGGAGGGGTGTGCCGGCGTGTTTTATGCCATTATGTTTCGGATGCGTGAGTGTGTGTGCGTATGGTTGTGGGGGTGGTGGTGAGTCGGTCAGTCGTACGCCAACCTGTATCCTGATCATCCGCCATGGCGCGTATAAGCCGAGCACTGTCCAGCAAATACCCCGTACGTAGCACGTCGGCTCAAGCCCTCAACGACAGGTAGCGTCTCTACCGCCGACCGGCACAGGGGATCACAGGGGACCAAATAGGAGACACCCTGCTAGGACGGCTTCTACCCTCTGCCACCCCAACCAGCCGAGGCCAAGGTGGCCAGGGAGAAGGGGAGGGCAAGGGCACGCAAGGGTCCGTTCAGAGTCGCGGAACAGTGAATGAGAAATTCCAACAGAAAGTCATCAAACGGCCGGGTGCTTCGGACGAACAGGAGGGAAACCACTGGAGCTGTGGCAGCAGGCCGCGGGAACAGAACTCCCGAGGCAGGATAATACATGGAATCTGTCATCGGTACTTCGTCACACAAGAACTGCAGCCGCTGGGACTAAAGGGGGGCTCGCTCAGGGCATTTTTGGGACACTTCACTTTCAAGCCCACAACAAACCCACAACGAGAAGCCCAAGCAAACGCCAAAAACCCAAGCCAAAATGCCCAGAGCCCATGCCAGGCCCCGTCGCCGTGTCTGACGCCCGGTTCGCTCCATCTCGCTGAGGCCCCGCGGTTGCGATTCAGTGCCACGGCCCCTGGAAGACCCAAGTAAAACGAGCCCACCCAAACGGGCCCCCCAACGCCTCAGCCAACTGAAGAGCACACTGGCCACTGTCGGCTGTCCACTGAACCCACTAAACCTCCCATCCGCCAATCCGCCAAACCACTAAACGGCCCCCGTCGACACCCAAACCCACTGAAGCCCACCAGCCCACACGCCCGTCCACACCCCCTAACAGCCGCCTGCACGCCTGCACGCCCCCCCTGGATCGCCCACGCCCTCCTCCGTCTCACACTCTCCCTCCTCCCAACCCAGTCGCTCGCCGTCACGCCCACCACTCGACGGGAAATAAGTACCCCCAGACTCCCACGGCTTCCTCCCTCCTTCTTCTTCCCTTCCCGCTCTACCCAGCTTTCTCCAACCGACTCTCCATCCAACGCCTTTTCTGGATCGTCTTCTTTTTTCTTTATACCCAACGTCTTTGTTTGTGATACCCAATCCCCTTTGATACCCCATCCCACCTTCAGAATGGCCGAGGAACAGAAGAACGTCGAGGTCCCCGTCGAGACCAAGCCGGAGGTGACTCCCGCCCCCGTCGTCGAGGCGGCCGTCGAGACCAAGCCTGAGGAGACCGCCAAGGTCGAGGAGGCTCCCGCCACTGAGGACAAGCCTGCTGAGGAGGTCAAGCCCGCCGAGGCCACCGAGGAGACTCCCGCTGAGGAGAAGGAGGAGGTCAAGCCCATCGAGGAGGGCCACTTGAGCCACAAGGCCCAGGGCCTGAGCTTCCCCAAGTAAGCTGTCCGGTTCAGCGCGACACGCGAGCATTGTTTACTAACCCCACACCCAAGGAACCTGATCGCCAGCAAGGAGTTCTTCTACTTCGGTGTCGAGGCCGTTGAGGCCAAGGCCCTCGCTGCCTACCTCAAGGCCGAGAAGACCGCCGAGACTGCTCACACCAACATTGCCTGGGCCGCCGAGACTGGCAAGGGTCTTCTTTTCGTTGGCGACAAGAAGTCCCCTTCCAGCGTCATCAGCCTGGTAAGTTCGGGATCCACCCGCGCATCCAACTGCCGACATGCAGAGCTAACTTCCCGTCCCCGCAGGCCGATGCCACTGAGCCCGAGACCGACGGCACCCACAAGTTCCACTTCACCTCCAAGGGTAACAAGCACAGCTTCAAGGCCGGCAATGTCGCCGAGCGTGACAACTGGGTTGCCCAGCTGAAGCTCAAGATCGCCGAGGCCAGGGAGCTCGCCGCCACCGTCACCGAGTCCGAGAGCTACAAGAGCGCTATTGAGAGCTTCAAGCCCGCCCCTCCCGCCAAGAAGGAGGAGAAGCCCGTTGAGGCCCCCAAGGAGGAGACCGCCCCCGTCGAGGAGGCTGCCCCTGCTGTTGAGGAGACCCCCAAGGAGGAGGTCGTTGAGGAGCGCAAGAAGGAGGAGGTCAAGTCCGAGGAGCCCAAGCGCCGATCGGCTAGCCGCAAGCGTGCTTCTTTCTTCGGCTTCGGCAAGAAGGAGGAGAAGAAGGAGGAGACCAAGCCCGTTGAGGAGGCCCCCGTCGCTGAGGAGGCTCCCAAGGTCGACGAGACTCCCGCTGTTGTCGAGGAGGCCCCCAAGGTTGAGGAGACCCCCGCCGTCGTCGAGGAGGCCCCCAAGACTGAGGAGACCCCTGTTGTCGAGGACAAGACCACCGAAGAGAAGCCCGTTGAGTCCCCCAAGGAGAAGCCCACCGCCACCAAGCGCAACAGCTTCTTCGGTGGTGTCTTCTCCAAGAAGGAGAAGAAGACCCCTGAGCTCAAGCCTACCGAGCCCACTGACGCTCCCAAGGAGTCTGAGGCCGCTGAGACTGCTCCCGTGATCCCTCCCGTCGAGGCCACCACTCCCCTCGCCGTCGACGTCACTGCTCCCCCCGCTGAGACCACCGAGACTACCGAGGCCGCCGTGCCTGAGGCCGTCACTGAGGTCAAGAAGGATGTCAAGGAGAAGCGCAAGTCTTCTCTCCCCTTCGCTTTCGGCAAGCGCGACAAGTCCCCCGCCCCCGTTGAGGGTGAGGAGAAGAGCAAGAACGGACCCTTCTCCAAGCTCCGTGCCACCATCAAGGGCAAGACCTCCAAGTCCGAGGAGAAGCCCGCCGAAGAGAAGCCCGCTGAGGAGCCTATCAAGGAGGAGGCCGCCACCGAGGAGACCAAGCCCGCCGAGGAGACTCCCAAGACTGAGGAGACCAAGACCGAGGAGGTCAAGCCCGAGAACGTGGCTGCCACCACCACCCCTGCTGTCACTGCCGCTGCCTAGATGGCTTGCAGCCGTTGATCGCACCGACTGAATGTCGTAAACTATCAAAGAAAACACAACACACGCATGAGAACGGGTTTGGAATGGAAGGATTGATCTGCATTTCTTCACAAGATACCGAGATACCCTGTCAAAGACTGTCTTACTGATACCAATTTCCATACTTGCTTTCCGCAACACTGCATACGAAAACGGAAAAGGCCTGGCAACGGGCCACAAAACACAAAAAAATTACCTCACAGCTACCAGTTAGTGGTATGCTCGTTCTGCTTTTACTCTTGGTTTTGTCTGATACCCGGATCGGAGATAATTAATACCTAATAATACAAATGCCCGTGTTGAATATCTTTGTTCTCTTTGCTCATGTGACCTTAATCTTGCTCAGGCCTCTAAAGCCGCGGGTAACTTGTTCTCCTCCCAATAGATATAATGCATAGCAATGTACTTGCTCCCAGTGACATACCTCTCTACTTCCAAAGCATCGCCACCTACCTGCTTACTTACCATGCCATCACGTTTTACCATGCCATCATGTCGTCTCACGACGTCCAAGTCACCTACCCTGTAGTTTGTTTGTCCAGCTAGTACCAACAATACCATGTCAAGTCACCACCTCCTCTTTTGCATGAAATTCCACACTTAAGCGCATGACCGTGTTTTCTTCACGTCTTAGTGGTTTAGGTTATGAGTGTCGTTTGTTTGTTGGCGGTTCATGTGCGGTTTTGTTGGATTGTATTGTTCAAGTGCCCCAACGCGAATGACTTATCAAACGGATGCTCGATGCGGCAGTTTAACAGTTCCAACAGATATAACAAGACCACCAGGGTATATCATAGCAAGGAACTTTTGCTAACCTGTACACTATCCTCACCAATGATAGTCAAGGACAAGAAGGGTTCGGCATATCCCTACCAATACAAAATACGTTTCTCGTGCACATGGACATGTATTAACTTGCATTATCGTATATATGAGTGGTTTGGGATCCGTGGGTAGCTTAGGTCCCACGGACAAATTCTATAAACGGATCTCCGTGGGCAACACCGTCGCCTTGTGGATTGATCATGTATCGCATATATCGTTCTCCCTCCCCAAAGTCCATCGTTTTCCCAGTCTGGTTGGCCACAACCAGAACCCACGCCTCGCAAACAAGCCCGAATATATGCGTGATATGTTTGCGCACTCGATCATCGCCGGATGATTAGTTCCCATCTTTCGCCACGTCATGAAAATTTACCCTGTCTTTCCAAAACGCCTTGGCTGCCAGTCGTCGAACCCATGCATGCATGCTGTAAGGGTACTCGATCTAAAAACCAAGCGGCTGACAGTATGAAGAAAGTATAGTAACAAAGTGTGATATCTAAACAAGAATGGAAGAAAACAATGAGGTAAATGCTCTCATCATGGTGCAATGTTTGGACCAGAATGCAAAAATCAAGGTTGATAGATAAGAGATGTTCCGACTACTGCTCGGTGGAAACGGAGAGGTTTTTGTACTTGGCGACTAGTTCCTCGATCTTAGGAATCAGCTCAGGTATCCGGAACGGCTTTGAAATGACGTCGTCCTAATCAATGTCAGTAAGGCATCTGAGGAAAACGACACTCATGGGTACTCACAATACCCGCGGCCTTGGCATTCTCAATCTGCTCAGGCCGTGCGTAAGCCGTTACCGCGATGATCGGAATGTGCTTGATGATGGTTCCCTCCCTCTCCAGTTCTCGGATTTTTCGAGCACACGTCACACCATCCATGACCGGCATCTCTAGATCCATCAGAATGACGGATATGTCCACACCCTCGGCCTCCTGGCCCAGCCAAAACCTAGACCGCTGGAGCGTCTGAAGGGCTTCCTTGCCGTGATTCGCCACAAAGGTGTTGTTTCCGCAGTTGCGAAGCTGGCGCTGTAGGACCTTTTGGTTGACAATGTTATCCTCGACAATCAGAACGTCGTAAAGCTGAGTAGCATCCTGAGACATTGTGCGTGACAGCTGGCGCGTCGGCTGCGGTCTTGAAGGGGTTGCAGGGGATTGTGATTTCCGGGAAATCTTGAACGGTGTGACGCGCTCGTACTCAGAAGGGGGGTGCAAAGAGCGGCGAGCTTTGATGTAAAAGCTGAAACTGCTTCCAATGCCCCTTCGAGACGAAACTCCAATCTGTCCACCCTGCATTTCCGTCAGAATTCGGGAGATGAAGAGACCCAGCCCCGAGCCACCGTACTGCACGTGAGTTCGTGGGGTTGCCTGTTGAAAGCGTTGGAACAAGAGCCTCACTTCCTCCTCGAGCAGACCAGGGCCGGTATCCTCGACTGTACAGTGAAGGTTGATCTCCTCGCCATTTCCCCACTCTTCCACATTATTGATGTCCACGATGGCCGTGCGTGGATGATCGATCCTATCAAAGTAGGGGAGGCCTCTTTTGGTCACCTCCGCCTCGTCCTTGGATGCGCTGAGGCTGACCAAAATACTTCGCTTCTCTCTGCCCTGTGTGAATTTGATGGCGTTTGTCATCAGATTGATGAGGACCTGTCGGAGCCTTGATGGATCAAGTTTCGCCCATTTGATACCATGCTTCTCGAAGCTGTCGTCGACTTGGAAGTCGAATTCGATATCATGTGCGATCAACTCGGCCTCGAACATCTTCAAGGCCCGTTGTACCACTCGCACAGGCTGCTCATCTACTGGAGTTACTGCCAGGAGGTTAGAGTCGAGCTTAGAGAGCGTCAGGATATCATCGACAATGCGCTTCTGGTGGCTTGCGCAGAGGTTGATGGTGTTCGCCGCGTCGAGACAGTTATCCAGCAACGTTTCCACTTCTTCTCTGTCTTCGTGGCACTCAAAGGCACTGATGTTGTTTGCAATCTGATCGGCACATTGCAGGATCGCTGACAAAGGATTGCGCATCTCGTGGCTCGTGATATCAATGAAGTTTTCCTGCTGCCGTTTGAGTTCCACTGCCTCCTCGCGACGCTCAGTCTGGACCTTTTCAGCCCATTTCTGAGAAGAGATATCCGTAATGCAGCCAAATATTAACTTGAAGCTGCCGTCACATGTCTTCTCTGGATACGCACTCATGAGGACCCAAGTGTCAATAGTCTTGTCTCCATTCCTTTGGCTGCACTTGAATCGGAATTCGACACATATCGTCACCTTGTCATTAAGGAGGCGGCCCCAGGCGGCCTCCAGGCAGGGCCGATCCTCGTCACGAACACTGTCCATCCAACTGTCCACGGAATCCTCTTCTCGAGAGTGTCGTGAGATCTGCCACCACATGTCGTTGCAATAACTGATCTTCCCGGCGAAATTGGCAATGAACATTCCGACAGGTGCAAACTCAGCCATTCGAGTAAACCTGTACTCACTTTCCACGGCCTCCTGTGTTCGAAGGTAGAGTTGCAAGGAGAGTTCTTGGCGGTCCAACGCAGCCAAGCGGGCCGCCTTTTGGCCACGCTTGATTTCATCCTCAAACAAGAGCACGGAGGCCATCGAGGTGGCAAGTTGTCGGGATAGAAGGTGAATGAAGAGCTTATAGTCCTCGTCGTAAGGTCGCCGAGGGTTCACGCCTATAATAATGAATCCAATGACAGTTTCTCTCGTTGTAGTTGGGGTGACTGGGAACACGACGAGTGTTTGTGAAGGATCTCCAAAACCTCTCCACTTCAGTCCCTGAATCAAATTCGAAGGAAGGGTACCAGCCTGCTGGGAAAGCACAATTGGGACGCCGCCCGCTGACATAGACTGTCGCATGTAAGGGGCGAAACCTTCATCGGACTGTCGTAGGTCGAGGTTCGATAATGCAGCAGGATGTCCATCGGGAACACCAAGTGAACCCTCCAACACTAACTGGTGCGAGTGGGCCATGCTCCCGGAATGCAGAGAAGACGCCTCGCTCTCGGTGTCATCCTTGACCGAGTAAATCAGTGCAAATGGTACATCATGTTCGTCATATTCCAAGCCCTTCTGCACCTGGGGCCAGAAACCACCAACAGTCGTAGCTGCAGCCGTTCTCTCCCCGATTTCACGAAGCATGAGCATCCGCCTCTCGTTGACTCTCCGCCGGGTATTTTCGAAGGCAGGGTTGTATAGACCAACAACCTCACCATCGCCGCCCACCAGAGGAACGATAGACCAGGAGAAGAATGATTCTTCCAAATAGCCGTGTCGGTCAATGAAAAGCTGGTTTTCGTGCTTCATAGTGGCTTGACCGGCCTCCATTGCGCTCTTGAAGACGGGCTCAAGTTCATCCCATATTTCGGGCCAGGCGTCCTGGTACATGGATCCCATGAGCTGTGGATGTTTCCGGCCGGCCATTTCCAGGTAAGCAGCGTTGTAAATGCAAACGAACTGTGGTCCCCAGTACATTGCCGCGGGATGTGGACTTCCCATGACCATGTTAGACATGGTCCTAAGATCGGCAGGCCAGTCGTCAATTGGTCCCAGGGGGGTGGACGCCCAGTCAACCGACCGGGCAAATTTGATGTGTTCGGGGAGACTATCCGTGATGGGTATCCTCGTCCAATCGAATATTGATTTTGCGGGTTGCGATTGGAACACCTGATTAGTGAATTCGTCAGGATGCAGCCTTGAATCGCCCTGGCCCATGACAACCTCCACGGCTCCGGAATCGGCATCATAGTTTCCGGCTCTGCTGAAATAGTCCGGGGCATCGATGATTTCGGTATCGGGGATCGCTGGGATTTCGGGTGACGGCGGTGCCATTGGTGATGCTGGCGGGGCGCTGGCGAAGCTTCCGTGGCCGCTAATAAAACGGAACCTCTTTCTCAACGATGAGAAGGTCCAAGTGATGCCAGCGTATACATGGGAGACTTGGCCCGCATCGGATGAGCCTTGAGCCTTGGTGGGCTGCATTATCCATGATTTGAAGCGCCCAAAGTCGGTGTCCGGGCTGGCATCTTCTTGGTCCACTGTTAGAGATTGCAGAACTTCGTGCGCCCCCCGGAGTGAGGCGTTGTAGTATAGTATGTGGAGCCCGGCGCGGCTGGCGTTGGCTGAGTTATCCAAGTCTATTAAAAAGGTAGGTCGATCATCCTGCTCAAGAAATTCGATCACACCAACACCCTGAAGCATTTGTAGTCCTGGTGGAAGATTCCTGCTCTCGGCACTTGACGAGTGCGCAGGGACATCCATTGAGGAGCCCCAGCTTCCTGGAGTGCTCTCCGATCGAGCTGCCGCAACAGCGCTCACACTGGCCCGGGGCAGTTTGAGCGTCGTTACACTTCCAGACGGATCCTCCCGCATGCGTGTAAGCATGGACGCCGCAACTTCAGCGGTAGGGAAACCCTGTGGTCGATTGACATGTCTTGAAGGCGTATGGGAGAAGAACAACGGAGAAATCGGCCCTTCCACCTGTGCTCTTGCGGATATCTGCAGACCAGCTGCTACAGATGGGATCTCGACCTTGCGGGGCGGAGATGCACCAGTGCGAGCCTTCTTGACAGGCGACGGATGCATCGCGGGATCCCCTCTCGTCCCAGCCGAGGAACGTTTCGTCGTGTTTTGAGCCTCCGCTAGCCCTCGACCGGGCACCGTGGGCCCTCGAGGGCTGGCGGCTGTGTATAAACTTGACTGGTGAATCGCACTGGTGGTCGAGGTCGGGGACGACGCCGCGTTGGTATTGAGAGCGGGCACGTGGGAGGCCAGGTTGGGTTGGCTAGGGCCATGCCTCCATGATGCTGCGGGTTGACTCGAAGGGCGCTCGTGTGCGAGGAAGTTGAAGGGGTGTGAGGTTGCCGCCGTGGTAGCCTGCGCTGCAACCGCCTTTGCTGCTGTGGCGGCCGCGATGGAGATGGCTCGAGTCGCGGGGTCCGAGGCCTTTGTCGCAGGAGTCGCAGAAGTCGAAGAAGTCGTGGGATCGATCGAGTCGGAGGCGGCTGCGACGGGGCAAGTGGGTGAGGAAGAAGAAGAGCGAGCGTCGGGGCTGGAAGCAGAGCGGTCGTTGCGGAGCTGCTGCATGAAGGCGCCGGGGGCAGGGACGGAGTCGAAGCCCCGGAGGGACTGCGAGTCCTATGCTCCAGATGGCTTGGGGCCTGCGCAGCGGCAAGCAGGAGATCGAGATGGTCCGAGGGGGGCGTGCGTGAGCGAGTGCGGCGGCAGCGGTGGTGGTGTATGAAAGCGAGGTACTCCGTACGGTATGTAGGTAGGTCGGTATGTCGATACGTCGGTCAGTTGGTAGGTATGTACAAGACAAAACCAGAAGGTAGAATGGGTAGGCGAGGTGGTGATGGGAGCTACTCGACGGACCCGGAGAGTGGAGCTGGAGGAGCCACGTCCGGGACTGGACTCACTGGAGAGCACAGTAGCCAGGTACTGGATACTGGACGTCCAATCCAGCGCGAACAGGGTATCGCTTGAGATGCGCGACGACGAGGAGGGGGTCCGCCTGAGTGGACGGGGGGTGGGAGTGGATGGGATGGGAGCAGGGCATGCCGGTAGGGTCAAGTTTGCTTGGTGGACCACGAGACTCGACGTGCCGGCCGGCGGGATTCGAAGTGAACGACTCGTAGATCCCGGGACGGACTGCAGACTTGCGGCGGCGGACTAGAGGACTTGCAGACTCATGGACTCGTGGGCTCGTGGAAACTAGGTAGGGAATAGGTAGGCAGTGTCTACCTAGGCACTGACAAGCAACACGCCGCAAAACCCCAGTCGACGGTCCAAAGTGCAACCCCAACGTTCTGGACTCGGACTCGACTGAATGAGTGGCCCGATCCGTAGCAGGGATTCCTTTGGCTGTGGTCCCTGCGGATTGGGTTTGGTTCCCTGGGAATCGACGGGGGGTCGCGCGACGGGGGACGGCAGGACGGGCAAGACGGGCACCGATGGGAAGGTTTGTAGGGCGATTTGTAGGGCGCCGGAAGAGCCGCACTGGACGTCGAGAACGTCGAGGTCATCAGGCCGTAGAGGTAGAGGCGCAGGCCGTCAATGCGCAGCCGAGGCCAGGTAGAGTCCCGATCGGCGCAGGTAAGGGAGTGGTCCAGGACAAGGGTCCGACCGGAGCCATCGGGGGGTATTATCGCGTGGCCGTTTGTAGCTATGCTTGCGGGTGGTGCGCGAGTGTATGTAAGTGTGCGAGACCGAGAGATGGGGGAGGGGGGGCTCCGTCGTACGTAGTCCGAGTTTGATACGAAGTACGGAGCAGTCCGTTGAAGGATGCCAAAACGGAGTGCAGAATGGAGCAGATGGAGCAAATGGAGCAGCGAGTGGACAAGGAAAAGCACTAGAACGCCAAGCCAAGGCCGGGGATGGAGATGGGTCCCGGCGAAAGAGTCAGGCAAGGCAGAAGAAGGAGTTCAGGTACTTAATAGCCAGACGATCTAAACATGGCCGCCAGAAAGAGGCGACAACGGGCCCCATCAGGCGAACCGGAAGACGGTCAGAAGCATGAGGTGCGTATAAGGCATGGACGAAAGACGGGATCTGCAGGGCGGCCACTTCGCATGGAGTGCTACCTTGTCTGAACAACAGGCTGAACGCACCAGTGACAGACTGGGTTGCACGCCGGAGACAACGGGGGAATGGCGATTGGAGGCTTAGTTAGGTACGAGTTACACTTCATCCGTGACGAGGCAGAGGCTACCAAAAAAAAAATCGACTAATAAGAACTAGCAGCGGACGCAAATCCTCGTCCGTCAGCTTGCAAGCGAGGCGAGGAGGATACGCAACAACCAAAGAGAAGTGGCCAACAGGCGGGCTGGGATATCCAGAGAGTCGCGATCCCGATCGGCCATCCACACACGGGATCCAGAACTCGCCAAAGCCCAGAGCGGCTCTCGTGCCAAGCCCACGAGCGCGAGACACTTTACTTATTCAGGCTCCAAAGTGGATGGGCCTCCATCGCTCCAGAATCCAGAACCCTGCCAGGCCAAACGCTCCACGCTCCACGCTCCACGCTCCAATGCTCCACACGCGCCGCCTCGCCTGGGCCCTTATTAACCGCTTGGTGGGACTGGGATGGCCCCCCCCCTCCCCCGAAAGGTCTAGAGGGAACGGATGGGACGGGCGGACACAGTCGGAGGGTCGGACAGACCGGACGGGCCAGAGGGCGCGTGGAGTCGTGGGATCTTGTTAGTGAGCGTGCGACCCAGTCGGAATGGGGAACGGAGGAATGGGATTGCGACGTCTGGGCATCAGCTCCTGTCTTCAGCGTTCAGAAACATGACATGAGAGCAAACAAGCTTTTTTTCCCCGGTCTGGCCTGGAGGAGCTGTCCTGCTCCGTCCCCCCCGTGGTCCTGTCGATCATCAGGCTTGTGCTTACTTCGTAGTAGCTGGAGAATTCCCATCAGGCCACGCTCTGTGCCAGATTGTCAGAAACCATGGGCCGCGAGGGCCTAGATGCTCATGGACCTTCTGCAGCACCGGTGGCGGACGCAAGAACATCAACGACACTTGGTACCACGTCTTGGCAATCATGCCCCAAGCCCACGGCAAGTCTTACGGTACAGCAGCAGAGCCAATGCGTACAGAGCATGTACGAAGCTCTCTAGCTCCCGCAGGGTTGGCGGTCCAGACCTCGACTTTCAACGCGCTGGACTCGTCGGATGTCGGGAACGCAGCGACCAATTTATCAGCCAAAACCCGCACACGGTTATTATGGGCGACTCGTCACACTGGTGGCGTTTACCATCGCCCATCCTTACAATCCCATAGTGGTGCCAAGGAGACTCGCGTTCTCGAGTTCCCCTTCTCGGGATGGCCCTGTGGAGACCAAGGTCGTCAGAGGCGCATTGACAGTTGCCACGACGGCGCCGCTCCAAGCCTCATCGCCTCGTCGGGTTTGGGGATTCTACGGCAATGGGCATTTGGCCATAGGCAAAGACGCGAGAATCGTGATGGAGGGGCGGGGCCGAGTCAGAGCAAAAAGTTCCCGATTATGACCGGAGCGCTGGCCAAAGGACGATTGGACAACTGGCGTCATACGTAGTGGGCGTCGGCACCGCAGTGTCTCTCGCGCCTCAACCGGACGCGGTGGAACCGGCCGCCCAGATCCAGAAACACCGATGACGATCGTCGTGGTCTAGAACGGTCCCTCGCGAGCGCCCTGTGCCGCCGTGGACACTCCGCAAGCCTGGTGCCCCTTGCCGCCTCATGCTCTGGGGGCTCCGTCAGTGCTCCATCAATGCTCCATCGCGGCTCCATCACAGAAGCCAAGCTCCCCAAACGTCTTGGGAAGACCCACGCCGCCCAGGAATCCTCAAGTGAGACTCTTTGCTCGCTGGGCTGCCACACACCCACCACGCGGCCCACTGCCTTCGACGGGATGCCCAGGGCCTTGGCTGTTGCGCCGGCTCCCACCAAGAGCGCAGACCAGAGGGCAGGCTGGCGCAGTCCGGCGGTTTGATTACGCGGGAGATTGGAGGCGTCCAGGGCGCTGATGCTCAAGTCCGCTCCGTCGGCCGAGTAGGACGCCTCGCAAAGTGACTGGCCCGCTGCCGACTCGCTTCGACGAGGAAGCATCCGCTCTGAGCCCGTGACGTTTCCGAATTCGTGGGACCGCTAGGACCAAGGCGGTGTGGGACTTGAGTGGCTGTTTCGGGTCAGGGAGGCTTTTTCTCCGTGCGGTTTCTTCCCGCGTCCGACCCGTTGATCCCGCGAAGGGCGGCCGACTGTCTTAGATAATTTGCTTATGGCGCGGTGATGCCATTTTATTATGACTTGTTAGTGGTCAGTCTTGTTGCCGGTCTCTATTTGTGGCTCTGACCGCACATGCTTGGTTGAGTTTTCTAGCGATGCCTCTGCGATACTGTTGGTCTTCCTATGTCAGTTAGAAACAACAAGACATTATAACGGGTTCTAAGGGGAGGAGAGACGGGAGTTACATCATTGCAGACTGATGAAGCCGATCGATGCTATAAAAACAAATTTCGGAACAAGTAAACACACCAGGGTTGAGACCCAATGTCCACGCAGACAGTTGTTCTCGTCGAACCGTCTCGTTGAGCAGACTCGACTTCTCACGTTGGGATCGCCACACGGGTATAGGGTAGCAAAATAAGCAAGAAGTCGTGAAGTTGGGGGAGATGGGGTCTCGCCCCACGCCTAGCTTCGTCTCAGCACAGGCGCGGAGACATTGAGACATGCATCAATGTTCTCGACCGCAATAACGACCTCGACGTCATCGGTCCGTGACCCAAATAGCGGGAAATACGTATGCTACACCGTAGAGTGGACGTGGGGGGATGAATGAGTGAATCAGACGGTGGTTTCAGTGACAACCAAATGCCAATATTGCATGCCGCCATGACAATGGCAGTATTGCAATGTTCCACTAGGATATTTTTAATCACAATATGACGAGCAAGAATGCCGAAAGCTCGCGTAATGATCCTGTACGCCCACAGACGTGAGACGGGAGGTCAGCAAGATGACAGCTGGGCGTCCATTTGCCCAGATAGGTCAGTCCCGGATATCGAGGCAGCAGATGGGTGGATATACGCTCCAGTGGCAGCAGTGGCAGCGCTAACAACGGCAGTTGTCGCTCCATCCCTGATCCCATATCGAATATGTTTAAGGGCCATGGTGTCTCTATGTGACACGATTTTGTACGAGACTCGCCTGACGGAGAGAGCACAGCGGCTAACGGCGTATGAGAGTGGCCAAGGGGCCTGTATGAGTGATCTCTACGAGGATGTGACGAGCGGCGGCGCCTAGCATTCGGAGGCTTCGGATACCGGGAGAGAAGACGGGATCTAAACACCCGCAGTACCGCAGTACCACGGCATGTGCAAGAGCCCAGCGCTGCACGCAATCTCACCTCACCATTTTACCTGCTCACGGCTTGGTTTTGGAGGGTAAGAGAGCGAGGAATCCCTGTTCGAGTGTGCCTCTTGGATGCGCCGCACGGCATTTCACATCGTCGAGCGGCTCTCCGGCGCCCTGATTGGCCGGCCCGCCACATACCCAACCACCGGCCGGGCCAATGGTGCGGCCCCTCTCTGCCGGGGCTCCCCAAGCTTCCCACCCGGGCGCTTACAACGCGGTGATGGCACACCTCCTCGGGCCTCTCATTGGGCCGTGGCAGGATGAGCATGCGATGCCATGGATCATGGACTGCTTGTGAGCGGCTGCGCGAGTGCCAGAACGGTCACGACGGGCGGGTGTTGGACGGGAGCCGGTTTCCCAGAGGCTACAGCGCTCACAGGGGCCCATCTCCGGCCTCTCACAGCGCCTCTCACAGCGCTTCTCACAGCGCATCTCACCGGGGTGCCTGCCCCATCACTTCCCCATTCTCCGCCCGGCCACATCATGGCCCATAAACGCCTTGCCCGCCCCCAACTGCGACCGACGGGACTGAGCCTCTTCACTTCTTCCACCTGGGACGAACTGATCGAACCCAAGACAAGACCCCAATAGGCGCGGCCTCCAACGACCGCTTCCACCTGCACCAACGAGCCCGCCATCGAACCTCGACGTCGCCCCGCTGCCTCTTCCCATGCGCTCTTGATTTACAGCTGCTCCGCCAGCAGCCAGCCAACCAGCCAGGAACCAACAACCAACCACAAAGTGACGCAAATCAGAGACTCTTGCCAACGACGAACGACGCTTTAATAGCGACGACGCCAATTCTACAGCCAACAACCGTTTACACCACCTAGACAGAGGTAGAACCTCCTGAATGAAGACAACCAAGAAGGCGTCCATCGCATCCCCGCCAAACAACCACCACGAACCACCCAGCCACCTCTACACCAACTTCAACACCAACACCACTTCCATCATGCCCATCACCGTCTTCAGCCGCAAACCCAAGGTACCAGGCACCACCAGCTACCACCTCATTTTCCGCAAATGGCCTCGCATCCCCCGGAGAGGCACCTGGTGGCTCATGCCGTTCGAGCTCGCCGGCACCGTCACCGCCCTCGTCATCTTCGGCCTCTCCCAGCCTAACCTCTACCGCACTGATATGTGGCAGATTGGCTGGGATCACAGACTCAACTCCAACCCGGCTATCAAGCTCTTCGCCTACGCCAACCACACCCCTCAGCCGCATATCGCTTTTGTGTGGACAAGGACGTGAGTTGCTCCAGTCAATCATACCCGTCGCGACCGTTCTGACTAACACTGCTCAGTCTCACCGATTTCAATGTCGCCATCTCAGTCCTCTCCCTCTTTATGCTGCTCAGCAAGCTCACGGCCAACATCATGAGAGTGTGGTTCCCCGTTCTCGCCACCTTTATCAACGTCGGCATGGTCGCTCTCTATGCTGTGAGCACCTACGGCAATATCGGCCCTGATTACATCGATTCTCGATATCCCGCTCCCTCCGCCTGGTACTTACGCAAGGGCTGTGACCTGGCCAAGCCCTACGGTCACTACAAGGCTTGCAGAATAGCACAGGCAGCCGTGGTTCCGTCCGTATATCTGCTGTGAGTATATCCATCTTGATGCCCTAGCTACAAGCACAATCTAACATTTGGACAGCACCGTTTACGTTCTCAACCTTGCCTTTGCCATCTGGGCCATGTGGCCCAACAAGGAAAACGACGTGGTCGACGAAGATGACGAGTACTCCACGACATCCGAGCCCAAAGAGAGCCGCAACTGGGAGATGCAAAGCATGAAGTCCCCCATCAGCTACAACCAAGCGCCCTTTACACCCCGCACGCAGGCCTTCCACACTCTGGACCGCCAGCTGCCGCTGCGGTATCAGCAGACCCGATGAGGCTGAGGCAGGAACCTAGCCCGGAAACAACGATGAGATGAAGGATTCAAAAGCAGCCGCCGTGGGACAGGTGGCCCTCGGATATAGCGCAATGGGAATCGAATATGGCCACTTTCTTTGAGTTATTGGGATTGGAGTTACGGATCTTGCGCATGATATACCAATGGACCTGTTGGGACGCCCAGAGGCCAATCGACACTGAAAGATTTCTGTCTTAGGACAACAACTTGACTTGTACATTTTTTTTTCCATGTTCATTATCTGGAATCTTTCTTGTGGACCAGAGGGTCTCGTGAGGTATTGGATGATGAGACCACCATTGGATGGATGGACGGATAGTTTCTTTGCCAGGGGCATCCCAACGTTAGTCAATGACTTCGTCATGACGAGCTGAACTACAAACGGCAGACCACACTCATAATAAGACAGAAATGAATATTTTCATTTATTATAAGGCTTTATAGTAATCCTTGTTTTAGATTTATTCTGAGGCTTTATACTAATACTTATTTTTATAATCTTGAGTTGGAGATTGATGTGAGGGTGGTGAGGTGGAGGGGGAAATAAAATAAAATGAAGCGATCAGAAAGTAGAAAACCCGTCGCCTTGACCCTAGCTGAAACTACATATCTGGCTATGGTTGTGTTTCCCAGGCTGGGTTTGATTTCTTGCAGACTACCCGTACGTTGGGTTTCACTGCCCTCCAGCCAGAAGGGTTCATCCACACAGGTATGGATATTATATGATACCCTCCCGGCCAGACAGGGTACTCATAATGGTCCCTTCAGCAAGCCACAAGGCCTTTAAGCTCTCATCCTCCACTTTTATTTAAGTTTCTTGTCAAGGTTTTGGGGGCAAATATCACGGGCACGCATGAATGCGTACTCAATGTCAAGGTATTTGGGAGTCTTTCCCCAAATGACCATGTTTTAGCCCTTTCATAGAACACCCAGAGGCCGGTCATGTCTGATATATTCATCATCGGGCCAGATGCAATCAAGTCGGCGGTGGCGAGCTGGCTATGGAAGGATGAGATACGGCTCGCAGATTAATTGGGGCGTGAAAGCGATTAACCAGACACTCCCTATCATCCATAGAAACCTTGGTGAATAGACTCAGAGGTTATGTATGCATCGAAGAAAGGAAAATGAAAAGCTTCTGAAGTCATTGGATCCATGAACACACTGTCCCTTGTCGCCTTGGAGTGTAGTGGGTGGCATCTGAGTCTCTAGAGCAATGGCCCGAGTTTCTCAAGTTCTCTCTCACTTGACCGCAATTGTCTTCTCCTCAGCCTGTCAAATTTGAGCCATGGACCTTCCTCGTCACATGCCCTTGCACTACTGTAGAGAGAGAAAAAAAAACTGAAGTCAATTGGTTGATGGATAACATCCATGCCATCTCCACCACCCATCAACCACCATCGTCCACCATCAACCAGAAGACCAGAAGACCAGAAGAGCAAAAAAACAAGCTTGATCGCGGCAGGGATCGAACCTGCGATCCTCTGCGTTTTATAATGTAAAGCAGATGCCTTAACCACTGGGCCACGCGACCGACTTGTTAGAATGGGCTCATATTAGAATATATGAGGCATTTAGGTGGTTTGGGGGGGGGGGGGGGGCTGGTCCATCTGGTCGTGTCGTATGCAAGCGAGGCGGGGCAGCTGGGTAACTTCGTGCGATCACTAGGCCCAATACGGTACACGGCCCAAATCTTACCAATATGTTAAATATGGGAGAGACTAATTTGGATAGCGATGGGATTTACCAAACGGTCGAGGATCTGAGAAAGGGAGGAGGGGGCTCCAAACGCAATTTGGGTTAGTAATTAGAAACAATTACCTTCAACCCCAGGAGAAAGCTGGACGTAATTTTGTAGCTTAACTTTATTTTTATTTACCCAGAAACTGCCTTGCCTTTAGGGACTTCTATGGACCTCGAAACATCTGCTCCTAATCGAAAAGGTCGCTAAGCAGCTGGATTCATTTATGGAACCCAGACGTCACCGAACTGGATCAATGTCCAAATTCGCGAGGTGACCGAGTAGTTGATTTGGAGATTTCAATACGTGTGCCCTGGTATTATTCACAAGAGCGGATGGAAAGTGAAGGATGTGTGGCACGTTGCGATGCCTGGTTGTCATACAGGAGGACTACCAAGAGTCGCTCAAGGGCTGGCCGTCACCACGCTCGCACGCCCGATTCTCCGAACAAGCTCTGTAAACTCATATGCTGATTGATTCAACGTTAATCAAAAAATGGGCGATGTGGCTCAGTGGTAGAGCGTCTCTTACAAACACGCAGTGTTACAAACACCCGTGGGATGTTACACGGGATTGGTCAGCCTTCTTTCGCAAGAAGTTTTCTTACGAGATCCGGGTTTTACCTCGTTCCGTGTGTTCATGAGAGAAGATCCCTGGTTCGATTCTAGGCATCGCCAATTCTTTTTTTTACTACGCTATTTGCTTCTACAAGGTGTCGTCGAGTGGTTTCTGTGACTAGAGAGGCCTGTGGTTTCTTTCGTGTTGGACGTTATCCACTCCTCGTCTCCTTACCTCAAGAGGAGACTGAGACACCTCTTATCGATTTGCAATTAGATTTGCTACTATCCCCAATACTGATATCGGCCGGCACAATTGATGATGGGGAGAGTCTTGGAGCCCATGATGGCCGGTAAACAAGCCGGCTGAAGCTCGACCCACCCGAAGGGGTACCTCACATACATGATGCATACGATATAACCAATCCCGGCGCTCTGCTGTGCATTGCTTCATGAGAACGCCATCTACGCCGCATGTTGACCTCAATTGATTGACCTGCGCCGCCCAAATTAATTGTTAATCGCCTGAGTAAAGCATGATATTGAAGCTGTCACTCAATGATAGCATCGGCTCCACCTCCGCACTGTAGATAGCCGGGCCGGGACACGAACCGGCACCGGATCTTGTGCCCCACCGAAGCTCTTTCCCCCATCGCTAAGACGTCACCCCGCTATCATCACAGCGGAAAGCTTCCACCTCTGGACGGCGTTTCTCATTGTTTTGCGTTGCCAATTGACTCTTCGCTCTGCTCCTCGGAACCGCCGCATCTCAGCCTGCAACCTGATCCTGCTGATCGTCATGGCACTCCTCCACCGCATCTTAGCTCCGTCGAGCAGAGGAGCTTTGCGACACGGCCCCGGCATCGCTCTGATCCTCGCCCGCCGAGCTTCCAATCTGGCGCCTCCCAAGGTTGGTGTTGATTGCTTCAGTTCAACCTCAACGAGATGCTGATAATTCCACAGCTCAAAGATCCTTCGTTGTTGAAGCAGAACGTGTGCTATGTCAACGGTGAATGGGTTCCGGCCAAGTCAGGCAAGACATTCGAGGTCACTGGTGAGTCTCGTCCCATGCGCTGCCCGTAGCTTCAAGCTCTTTCGCGATACTGACGCTTAGCCTAGATCCGTCCACGGGCGCCCTCATTGGAACATGCCCTGAGTTCGACACCAATGACGCCCAATCTGCCATTGTCGCCGCTGCCGATGCCTTCCCGGCGTTCCGTGCGAAGACAGGCCGTGAGCGCTCCAAGCTGCTGCGCGCCTGGTACGACCAGATGATCGATAATGCAGATGACATTGCTACCCTAATTACCTGGGAGAATGGAAAGCCGCTCGCAGACGCCAAGGGAGAAGCTACGTACGCGGCCAATTTCCTGGAGTGGTTTAGTGAGGAGGCGCCGCGAGTCTACGGCAATACCATACCCACCTCCGTGCCCGGAAACCGAGTCTGGACCCTTAAGGAGCCTGTTGGAGTATGCGGATTGATCACCCCGTGAGTCATAACCCATCTTGACCTCACGCTTCCAAACTGACCAGACGATAGGTGGAACTTCCCCGCGGCCATGATCACGAGGAAGATCGGCCCTGCGCTGGCAGCGGGTTGCACCGTCGTCTGCAAGGCTCCCGGCGAGACTCCCTATACTTCCTTAGCCCTGGCCGAGCTCGCTCACCGAGCGGGCATCCCCAAGGGTGTTGTTAATATTGTGACGTCCTTGGACAACACCCCTGAGCTTGGAGAGCTTCTCACTTCATCGCCTACTATCAAGAAGATCTCATTTACCGGTTCCACCGGGGTCGGCAAGCTCTTAATGAAGCAGTCTTCCAGTACCCTCAAGAAGCTCTCGATGGAGCTCGGTGGAAACGCCCCGTTTATTGTATTTGACGATGCCGATGTTGATGCTGCTGTTGCGGGTGCTATTGCCTCAAAGTTCCGCTCCTCAGGTCAGACCTGCGTGTGTGCGAACCGCATCTACGTGCAAAAGGGTATCTACGACGAGTTCGCCCAGAAGCTCACCGAGAAGGTTGAGGCGTTCCGCGTGGGCAATGGTTTCGGGGAGGGTATCACCCATGGACCTCTCATCCACGACCGAGCCGTCTCCAAGGCCGAGGCCCACGTTCAAGATGCCGAGCAGAAGGGCGGCAAGGTGACCATCGGTGGCCAGCGAATCACGGACCTCGGCCCGAACTTCTACGCACCCACCGTTATCAGGGACATGACCCCCGAGATGGACATGGCGTCCCAGGAGACATTTGGCCCTGTTGCCGGCCTGTTTCCCTTTGAGACGGAGGAGGAGGTAGTGAAGATGGCCAACGACACTAATGTGGGCCTTGCTGGTTATTTCTTCTCCAAGGATATTGAGCGGGTGCACCGCATCGCCGAGAGCCTTGAAGTTGGCATGGTCGGCGTCAACACAGGTCTGATCTCAGATCCTGCGTCACCCTTCGGCGGTGTCAAGGAGAGTGGCTTTGGCCGCGAGGGATCTCTGGACGGTATCGCCGAGTACCAGGTCACGAAGATGGTGACGTCCGGTGGAATGGGCAAACCCCTGCAGTCTTGAGCTGAGCATCAAGTGCTTGAGAGGTTTAAGTAGCTCCAGTAATCGCCATTATAATGAGAAGAGGAGATATGGGCTGGGTGTAATTACTATGGTTTGGATACCTAGAGCACAAATGCAGCTTTCTGATCGGTATGCCGTAGCGCGCGAAGGGAGTGCTTGTCGATTTATCTATCTTTGTGATTCATGAATTAAAGTATTTGCACATAGGTAATATCGGCACTAAAGAAAATGAGCGAATGCAACTTGTGACTATCACGGAGAAGCTGACATTGATAACTGTCTCTCGTCCCATTATACCGTAATGACCCACCAGCGCAATACTATGTATAGCTGGAAGAGACATGTAATATACACCCACCACCTCTCCACATCGTACCTCATACATAAGAAATCATAGTCCGTTTACTCAAACTGTTTAACCATTTGGGGTATGTTAGGAGAGCGTGCTGTTACCACCAACCTTAACACTTGTAGATAAACAATAAAATAAACATTTGGACTAGAAACCTTAGTCTGTCCGAGTGTATTGTTGATCTTTGAATGGACTGGGTAAATAGTCTGTATTGTTGATCCTATTGTTTGTGTTTTTTTTTACTGTTGAGCTTCTAGTCCCCCCTCTGGGTATGTGTGTACTAGGGCACCCTAACCTCTTGATAAAATAAACATAAAATATTTAATGAAGAGTAAAGGGGGAAAAAGGCAATAGGTAGCTGGGTTGGCGGCATTGCCAAGCTGTTTTCGGAGAAGGGTGCTGAGACTCGACAGTCTCCTGAGTGGAGACAGTCCTCCAACTTTAATAAGGTGTACAGCACACACCAACAGAACTTTGCCGATGGCCAAGCCAAGGCCCAGAGCACCAAGGCAACCGAAGAGTGGAAGGGTTCGGAGCAGGCGGTGAGCCAGAAGGCTCATCTGCACCTAGGCCCGAAGTCCCGGCGGAATGTCATGGAGCCCAAGATCCAGGCTCTCTTGAACTCATTCCAAGCCCGTCAATTAATCGCGATGGACCCGAATACGACCTCAATGAGCTCGTACCAGCAGGACGTCCGACAGACATTGACAAAGCTTGCCGGAAATGAACTTAACAGAAACCAGAAGAAGCATTTCTTGCGAGTTCATGCCGTTTCCGAGGTCCAACAGCCCCGTAAAAGGCTGTGGATGGGGAAGAACACCATAAACTAAATACTAAGTGAGGGCGGGGACAGGGGACACTAAGAACGCATAACCCACCCAAAGGCAGATCTGTGATGACCGCGATAGTGTCGTGACGGAAAGGGTAGCTAGGGTCGAGATCAAAATTCGGGTAGATGGACCAATTGAGTGATAATAACAGTCTTCTCAGCTGATACCATTTGATCAAATAGATCTCTGAGAGGTCTCCAAAGATTGGTTTAAAAGACTTTGTATTGAATGAGATACTAGAAGGGGTGATTCTTCCTAATAGATCTTGCTTAATGTCTCCCAATTCATGGTCCCAATGGGTCAGGCCACTGGTCCCTATCCGGCACGGTATTTCCTGTTGAAGGAAGCCGTCAGTCTTAGCCCTAGTCGCGGCAAGTATCTGATCAAATGAACTATATCCCCAAAAGACCGGAAATCCCCGACTCAATACCATAAACTAAGTGCTATAAGCTAAGTGTTATAAACTAAGTACCATAAACTAAGAACTATAAACTAAGAACTATAAACTAAGAATTATAAACTAAGAATTATAAACTAAGAACTACTAACGAAGAACTATAAACTAAGTACCATAAACTCAGTCCTACATAGTAAAACCCCAGTCAAGCGTCACGAGACTAATGGGCCGCCCTCCTACGATCCGTCTTGCTTCACTGAGACGTAGGTATATAAGTGATTTACAATTCCCTGTAGCAAGTTCGACTCCTGCTCCCTTGAAGGGAACAAGCCTATCCGCATAGTGCTTTTTTCCGGAGGGATTTCTTGAATGTCCTATGAACGAGGGTCTCAGACAAGAAAATACCCGACCTCTTCTCATGGCTTCGGAGCCCAAAGCTAAGGTTCATCTGGGTGGCCTTCTGGTTTACAGCTGACTTTTTCCCAGAGTGCCTTACTGCTTCAGCTTGCTTGAGAAAGTAGTTTGAGGTCTGCACCTCAATCCCTGCCATCTCGCAAGCAGCATTCCAGAGCAGGTCATGGTATGCCCGGAAGTGCATACCAGCCTCGGGTCTGTAGAAGTACTGGCTGTGGAAGGAGAAGAATACCACTTGCTTGATATCCTTGGTTGATTTGTCCCGCACCAGTAACAGGTATGGGTCTTCGCCAAACATTCTGAACGGCACGTTTAGCTTGACCTTCAAGGTTTCAAGAGCCCCGGATTTTGGCTCCAGGTCGAGCAGCAGGTTGAAGGATTGGTGGTTCTCAGATCCCACCACAATGATGATCTTTGACCTTGTGTTCAGCCATCTTTGAAGCTCGAGGCACTTCTGCTCTACCTGCGACCAGTTTGTGTACGCTTCGTTCCAGTCGATTCCAGTGGCTTGGTATGCCTCCCGAATGGGGATTCGGTTTGGGATTCTAACCGATAGGTTGGAGCTCATCCTAGCTTGCTGCGCCTTCAGAGAGGGGTTCGTCCGAAGCCAACGTCAACGTCGGTTCTGTAGAAATGGTAGGTGTGGAAGGAGAAGAACCATAAACTAAAAAAAAATAAAAAAAAAATAAGCTAAATACCGTAACCTAATTACCATAAACTAAGTAATGTCTGGTTTATTGATAAAAGATACGGTCCGTGCAAACCGGGCCGGAGACAGAGAGAGTCTGGGATTACCAGGAGGATTAGGTTAAAAGAGGGAGCCCGCTGAGACCAGCTAAAGGAATGGGCAAACTAGAGGATTGAAGCACTTGATTAAATGCTTATCAGTGCAGCCAAGAGATAAATTGCATAAATAATGCGATAGCTGCTGCAACAGCTGGTCTAAATCACAAGGCAAGACAGCCTTGTTCGACCTGGGGAAGTCATTGACATGGAATGCACAGGCAGGTACGTACCTCGCAAACCGTGGAGAAGCGCACCCCACCCCACACAAGCCAATTAAGACGGGTACGTAGCGCGGGCGTGAAACTTGGTGAACTGACGTCGGAAGCTCACACGCAAGGATTTCGACTTGATCGACAGACCTCACTTGCTCCCCGCCACAATCACAGCCATGGCATTCTCACGAGCCAATGCGCCTGCAAGGCACTGCCTGCGCCTCCTGGCGTCCGAAGGGTATGTTTTTGTCACATGGAGATGCTCGGCCTAGCGCTACAGCTCACGTCTGACGTCAAACCCCGACTGACGCTTCCTCTAGACCGGCTTTCCAGAGCCTCCCTCGACGAAGCATAACCGCCGCCCTTCCCACTCAGTCCACCGTCCGTCTCTTCAGCTCTTCGACGCCCCTCCTGAAGAAGCGCAAGATCGCCATTCCCACGGACAGCCCCAAACACAGGGATGCTGTTGCTAGCAATGACGCCCCAGCTCCATCTTCCAAGTCCTCCAAATCCTCCTCTCCCAAGGCTGGCCAGGCCAACCCCGAAGACCCCCTCGACTTCTCCATCGTGACTGACGCCTACGCACCCATCGACGCCCACTTCAAGGCCCAGCTCGCTGGCATGGTCCACGGCGGCCGCTTCAACCCGACCAACCTCGGCGCCCTCCCCGTCTCCGTCAAGGACCCCGGCGCCGATGCCGCCGCGTCCTTCCCGCTTAGCGAGCTCGCTCAGGTCGTGCCCCGCTCCGGCCGCACCATCTCCCTGCTCGTCAACGACAAGGACTACATCAAGCCCATCATGTCCGCCGTCCAGGCCAGCCGCGAGTTCAACCAGCAGCCTCAGCGTTCCGAAGACAACGATCTCGAGCTGCTCCTCAAGGTCGAGCTCGAGCGCAAGGATGACGTCGCTCGCCGCATCAAGGAGACCATGCAGGCGTACCGCGAGCGCATCCGCCAGGTGCGTTCTCGACATGAAAAGACGCTGAAGGACTGGAAGAAGAACGGCACTGTGCTGCCGGACGCTGTGAAGCGAGCCGAGAAGGAGCTCCAAAAGGTGCAAGACAAGAAGATGAAGGAGCTCGACCAGGAGGAGGCCCAGATGATCCGCCAGCTGTAATGGAGTTGCAGGTACGTATATGGTGTTATGTAGCTGTACGATCAAACAAAAGGGCTCAGAAGTTGCCAAAAAGGCATGTTAAGAGACTACAACCGCGAAAAGGTGGATGGGACGTTGTATATATTACTACATATCGTGACAAAAGTGTACACTGGTTTTCCTCTCTAGATCCCTCTCGATTTCTCTTTATTTATCATCAAGCGTTTGCCTTGGCCTTCCCTGCCGGCTTTCCTCCCCTCTTGGCCAACAGCGACGTCAGCTTGTTCTCAAACGCATTGACATCGTTGGTTGTGTAAGTCTCGGCGCGGAGGTGCCACGAGCGGGACAAGCCAGTGGGGTCCATAGCAAACTTGGGCGTCTCGTGCTGGCCCATAACGGCCTTTTCGAGGATGACCTTGCGGATAGCCTCCTCGGCGCCGGTGATGATGGGCGTGGGCGTCGCGGCCGGAGCCTCACCCTCGCCCTCGGCGGCCTCAGTGGTCTCGGCGGGCTTGTTCTTCTGTTGGAGGTACTCCTCGGCGACGGCCCGGGCTTGGGTGTCGGCGAAGAAGCGCATGCCGCCAGCCTCAATCTCAGCGGCGTAGTGACGGGCCTGGAAGGCCTGGGGGGCCCCAACGTGGTCGGCTGTGCCGAGGACGCTGAGGTTCTGTAGGACGGCCGCCGAATTGCCGGCGGAGCTGGAGGGTGCGACGGGCGCAAAGTCGGCGAGAGACTCAAGCGTCAGAGACGGGGTATACTGGGAGGCCACACCGAAACGGATGCTGTCGTCGAAGGCCTGCTCATCGGGATCCAATCGCGCAAACTCGTCTCCTCGAGTCTTGCGGTCCTTCTCGTCACCTTCCTGGCGCCGTCCCTGCATACCCCTCGCTCCACCACGTCCCCTACCACCTCGGCCGCCTCTGCCTACTCTCCCTCCTCTACCACCTCTAGAGCCTCTGGCACTGAAGCCACCTCGATTGCCGAAGCCACCCCGAGCACCGAAGTCACCTCTAGGGGCAAAACCACCACGGCCCCTTGAAGGACGGTCGCCCTGGGGGGCGCTTCCTCCTCGTAACCCACGTCCACGGAAATTCCCACGGCCACGGAGCGATAATCTAGGAAGGCTCTTCACATCGAGGACTCGGGGTCCGCCCGCCGGGCCAGAGGCCGCGGGGCCAGGTCGAACGGGGCTGCGAGATCGGGCGAAGGAATTGATCTCGGTTGTGGCAGCATGAGATCGGCTGTGGGGAGGGCGGTTCGCTGCGTGGCTGGGGCCATTGTCGTCGGCGGCTTGCAATTGCGTCGTAGAGAATTGGCGGATGCAGCTTCGAAGAGCATCGGAGGCCTGCTCGAGCTCGGGCCTTGTTCGGCTACACACCGAACGAAAGGCGTTGCGATGCATTGTTGCTTGATGTCGTTTGAGGTTGGTGAGCTGGAGTTTGCACCTTGCCATGCCCAATTTTCTGATGTCGGTTGATTGCATGACTAAGCGGGAATCCCCCACGCTTATTGGACAGTTCACTTACACCGATCAATTCGCCGTTCTTCATACGGGCATTTCACAAACCAATTCGTGCCAGCTGAATTCAATCAATAGCACCTCTGTGTATCTTATTGAGCAAAAAGCTATTTATTGTCTTTGAAACCAACGCGAAGCAAGATCCGAAGACTCCGGGCAGTACAACACCAGTTTGACACTCGTACATTAGCACTTCTAGCGAGACGTGGACTGCTCACTCGGCAGCCTCAAAGACGGTGCGATACATGTACATTGCGCCATGCAAGACGCAGAGCTAAGCCCATCTAGACTCCCCGGGGCGGATGCTGCAGCTATGTGGCGGCGACATGGATCTCGCGTGCCGAGTTGACCATTTCTGGTCGTTGGGAGGACAGTTACGTCTGCCCACTCGGATCAAGCCAAGGTCGATGCGGACCACCCCAACACGGTTGTCACCCCGTGGGCATGATAGACACATTTCCCGTGCTGAATAACCCTGTTTCCTTCGCTTGAAATCCTCCTAGTCGCAATTCGTTTCCCAAAAAAGGTCTTTCGGGTGTTGTCCAGTTGCGTCGCTCCAAACCACGGCGTCCGACTCTTCCTGGGTTGCCCTCGGATCGCCAGCCGTCTCTCATACGTATTAGAATGCTCCCAGTGAGGGGAGTCGAGAAAAATGATTCTTTGCTGGTGTTTCGTGACTGCATGCCATCCCACACTTATACGCTCTGGGGCTGAACCATGGCCGGCTGAGAAGGGTCAGTGAGTGCACATTGCAGACGGGTAACCTATCGACTGGCAACTTACAGGGCTGTTCAGCATGTGCTGTCGCTTGTTGCGACTCTTCTTGATGTGACTCTTGAGAGCTGTCGAGTCAAGAGGCTTAAGTAACTCGAAGCTGCAGAGAAGCTCGGCAGAAACCGACATGACGGCACCCCAGTTATCAAATTCGCCACAATACTACAGCAAGTTAGCAACGTTAGGGCAAGCAAAGGTGGGGAACGTACATTTGGAGCGCTGAAGACGGTGACCAGCACCCTGTCGTTGAAGAATTCGTATCCGTCCTCGACGACCATATGCGCGCGACAGATGAGATCGAAATCGTGAACGGCCAAGAAGTCGGTGATGACGCGTTTTCCAAAGCAGTAGCTGACTCCTCGTTCATTAGCTTCCCAATCTTGTTCCATGTCTGCAGGATCCGACCACAGGAGGTCGTTGAGCAGGCCGTAGTCGGGCACATCAGTCGGTCGCGCGATGTTTCGGATGTCGTCCATGTGGCTGAGGGCGGGGGAGAGACCTCCATGGACACAGAAAATCTTGCCAGCAACAATGGCGGCAATCGGCAGCGTGTTGAAACAGTCAACGAATGTCTTCCAAATTTTGACATTGCACCTCCGCTTGCACTCGTCGTAGAACCCGTAGACTCGGGTCACATTGGCGCACTCGTGGTTGCCGCGGAGAAGGAAAAAGTTCTCGGGGAACTTGAGCTTGTAGCAGAGGAGCAGCAGAATGGTCTCGAGCGACTGCTTCCCCCGGTCAACATAATCACCCAGAAAGAGGTAGTTGGACATGGGCGGGAAGCCACACATCTCAAACATTCGGATGAGGTCCGTGTACTGTCCGTGGACATCGCCGACGACCTTGACAGGGGCGTCTAGCTCCAGCAGAGCAGGCTGAGACAGGAACACCTCTCTCGCACGCTGGCAAATGGCGACAATCTCGGCATTCTTGAGGCAAACACTTTTGGTCACCTTTCCGGCGTAACCCGCATCAAGAAGACGCTTAATAAAGTCATCGAGGTCAATATCTTTGATGTCAGCCATGGCTACATTGGAATTTGTCTCGCCTTTGGCGTCGGGGTCCATCTGCTTATGGACGGGATTGATGGCATTGTCCCGCTTCACCAAGATGGATTGGCCCGGAGTTTGCATATGGGTGTTGACACCAGCATGGGCAGAGGGGGGTTGGTCGGAGACGTGGTCAACCTCGCCCGAGGCTTGGGCAGCGCTCACATCATGGTTGCCGCCCTTGGCCGAACCATGGATGGGGGAAGGCGGAGGTTGGTCCTCTTGAATCGCAGAGTCCGAGGTGGAGAGGTCGGTGGGGTTATGCTTGAGCGACGGGAGGTCGCCTCGGCTTAAACGAGATGCGCTTGACCTACCACTCCGGCCGGACCGCACTGAGGCGGCGTCGGTTTTGCTTGAATCATTTGTTGCATCGCCGTTGGCTAAAATGGTCGAGTTCCTCGGGCTGTCAGTCTTGCCGCTGCCGGGGATCTTGGATCGCAGGGAGCGGAAAGATCGCGACGAGTCCTTCGTGTCGGACCTGCTGAAGGACGGGTATGACTGGAGGGGCGGGTCGACAGCACCGGCAGAGCCGGAGCTCTTGGAGCCGGAACCACCGCTCTCTCTGGAATTCTGGTTGCCCATTGTGCCAGATCCCCGTGTCACTCAAGCGCGACGAGTGTCTCAAATGTCGCGTGGTGGCGTGGGAGTATAGTCAAGGCTCGCTGGCCGACCCTTTTCTCAGAACCACCCAGGAGTCGTTTCCGATGATCTGACGCTATGGGAAGCTGTTAAGGAGGATGGAATAATCGACCGAGGACAGCAAAGAAGGAGCCGCGACGGTGAGCTCTTGAAGCGTCCGTTTTGTGTGGTTTCGGCTGGCGCCCGGAGTAGGCTGACGAGGTGTCGAGGTCGGGTGTCGGAGGGTATATTTTGCGGCGGTGATGACGTCGTGGGGGGACGTCCTAACGCCGGATGGAGGCACGGAGGATGAAAAGCGCGAACCCGCTACAGTCGGAGATAGCGCTTGGAAGCGGAAACCCCGATTTGAAATCTAGACAAAAGCCCACGTCAGCCGGGCTCAGAAGCCGGTATTTTGGGCTGCGATGAGGGACAGAGGGCAGTTCTGCGGCGCATTCAAAGTGGTGGAGCAGGCTTGAAAAAACGAGACGGCTGTCGAGGCGGGAATGGAGAACGATCCAGCCAACGAGTCGTGGTTGTGTCGCAGTGGACATGGGATGGGGGGGAATTACCTTTGGGAGGGGAGGCTGAGATGCGAGAGAAAAAATCGAAAGCCAAGACGGCTTGGAGAGAAACGAGCGTCAACAAGGAGGAGGAGGCGCTGGGCGCTGGGTGGTTGTTGCAGAAGGCAGTTTGCGCAGGGTTCGTTGGACCGGGGTGCAGAGATGAGAGACGCTGGGCGTCGAGAGTGGTTCGCGCTGCAGAGACGTCGGTTCAAGGGCGGCGGGGAGTCGACTTCTGAGGTCGCAACGCAAGGGAGATGACGACGAGGCAACAGACGACGAGGCGACGGACGGGATACGGCAAACGACAAGTGAGGAGTAGACGATGGGGCGGAGCAGTGGATGAGGCTCAGCAGGTTGAGGTGAAGGACGGGGATTTGGAGGAGGAGGAAGTGGAAAGAAGGTACAAGGTGTACGAAGCACTAATGTACGGACGAGGCAGGCAAGGTATGTACCTACTACGTAGGTGTAGGCGTGCGAGAGCGTCGTGCTAGCAGCTTGTGGTACCGCCGGATAAGGTCGAAGGCGATGGAGCAGGTGTGGCGGGCGACTACGAACGAATTAAGGTTCCACACCCCTCTTCAGTCTTCTTGGCTTCTTGGCTTCCTTGGCTTTCAGGTGTCGTGTTGGCCTGTTGAATGCTGTGAATCGCCTGGGGGATGCGTGAATGATTGGGCGTTGTGTTTGATACAGCGTTGATGGTCAAAGCCTGCGTTGCGTTTTGGATGACGATGGTTGCGGTTCACTGCGGTTCACCTGGGTTCAGACGCCGCCATGGAGGGGAACCCGACCTGCGATCTGCGACAATGGACGTACGGCACTCCGGCGCCGAACTGCGTTGCGCGGTACGGTTGGGTCGGCGTGGGATTCGACAGGGGTGTCTCCGCGGTAGGGGGATTGGAGGGATTGGAGGGAGCAGCGATTGGATGGGAGCAGAAACGAAAGGATGAGGAGGCGTTGGCGAAGGGCAATGATGATAAGAAGTGGTGAAAGGGTTCAGACAACAATTTACAAAGGTCGCTTGTGGGGGAGGGGCATGGAAGCCACACAATGACAAAATGAGGTAGGCGACCGTGTGTCGATCCAAAATTCAATCCTTCCGCGTGGTCGGGATGGATTTGAGACTGCGGGACACGGGACACATGAACATGGACTCGACAACAGGTCTGGGATCTGGGATCTGGGATAAGTTAGGTAGGTACTAGGTAGTGAGTGATTGTGTCCACAAGCAACCTAAGACAAGACAAGCTGCTGGCGCACTGGAGAGTCGAGACTGGCCCGCGGCAAAGCCAAGACCAGGCTGGGCCGTTTACTATTGATAATACCATGCGATTACCTAGACCATGAGATTACCTAGGTAGACCATGCGATTAGACCATGCGATTAGACTGTTGTTAGTCCCTTCGAGACCCTCGACTCGACTCGACGCCTTTTGCATCCCGGGGACTCTCAATGCCCAACTCCCAAGGGTTAGGGAACCAATGCCCAACGAGGCCGGGGTGTTTTAGATTTGCAGACCGAGACGATGAAAACGGATTGCTTCATGGGGCAGAAGCTGGGAGCTGGAGCTGGATGAAGCGTCTCGCTCTGACTCCCACCCCACCGCTTTCCCACCTTTCGGCATCGCTTACCTTAACCCTAGGTAGGTACCTAGGTATGCACCACTCACACCAATACACCCAAGACTGGCTGGAAGCACCATTGGAACCAAACCGCGCCAAACTGCACCAGAACTGCACAAGCCCCCCGGTGACACACCATCGAACCAGCCACTGAGCGCCGCCACATCCGCATCGGTCTGCATGCGGCGGATCCCACAACGCCAGGGAGGCTGCGAGTTGCCAGGGTACGGGACCCAACATGCGAGCTTGATGGCACGTGCGAGAAGCTTGACTGTGGCAAGGCAATCAATCGATCAATCGCTTTCGCTTGGGCTTGGGCTTGGGCTTGGGCTTGTGTTGATTGTCATGCCCCCGAGCCAAGCCCGCGAAGGCGCCGCGTCCGGGTCCCTGCCTGCGCTGGTCAGGACACATGTTGGTCAGTCTCCTCGGCACGCGCAGATGACAAACGGCAAGACAAAACGGCAAGACAACTTACAAATGACAAACAACGGGCGAGTTCTGGTCTAGCCCAGGGGAAGAATGACGCCAAAGCTGGTCGCCATCGTACACGCGGACGTCTACCCGTGACCCAGCCCCGTGACTGCCGTTCCCTCACCGACGCCGCATGCCGTACGCCGCATGCCGCATACCGCATACCGCATACCGCATGCCACGCCCCATGTCCATTGGGAGCAGCGTGGGGTTCGGTGTCGCTCTCTACCTTACCTACATGGTTATACCGTAATTCCAATACATGCCTGCCATGTAACCCGCATCTGTGCGCCTCTGCGTACCAAGTGCCGCGTCAATGAGGGGCAGTGCATCGATTTGCTGCTGTGCTTGACACCCATCCCAGAAGCGCGGTTGGTCAAACAAGTCCCAGCAGAGGACCAACCCCTCCGGCCTGCAGCACGGCTTGAATGCGACGAATGACGTTAACGATGGCATGGGACGCCATCACTCCAGGTTCCAATAATGCATACAGCGGTGACTGCCGCCTCTGTTTGTCTGTTTGGAGGGGGGCATGTGTGATTTCTGCATGTACGTGTTGCATTGGCTGGGTTGGTTCCTCTCCCAGAACCAACTTTGGCTTGGTTGCTGTTCCTTCTCTTCGAGTCTGTCTTGAGAACCGTCTGGGGAAGCCACATTGAAAGATCTAGGCATGAATAGGCAGGTGGTTGATAGAGTTAGAGTTAGTCGTCAACTAGTCTCCTTGGCCTTTCACAGCTCAAACTAACTACTCCATCCGCCGTTCAATCATTGATAGTCGGGCGAATAAGATCCTTCAAGCCTTCCCCTCTCACTCACTCAACAACTGTCTCGTTCCGTTGTCTTCGCTCCAGCATCATGAACTCTTCCATTACCCTATTTTGAATATCGCCAATGCACCGATGCCGCAAGTCCTACAATCCATGCCTATATCGCGCCCAATTTTCCAAGCTCCCAAGCCGGCGAGTTACCACTGCCCAGTCCTAGGGAGTTCAAGAAGATTGTATGGATGTACCCTAAGATCTACAGCTAGCGAGTATAGTTGACATGTTTTCGAGTTCTCTTAGTTTTTCGTTGCCGATGGAAGTTCTCTGTGAGTATGCGACTTGTGGTGTCTAGAGGGGGAAGGGGTTGCAGAGCGTCGAATTCGTCATGATACAGGAGTTGCAAACAACAGGCGCACACAAGTAGCACCGCATCCCATACCGGAAATTTCACACAATCGGGTCGTTGCGCATTTACCTTCGCCTCGAGCCCCCGATCCAAACGCCAGTCTAGACAGCAGTAGCATGCGCAACGAAAACGCGGGAAGTGCAATCATTAGATTTCCCCCATCGAGGAGGGATCATATATGAATCTGAAGTCTCGAGAACACATGCCGTCCTAGTTTTCAGGGATGGTAAAGAGACTCTGTGAATTTAACGTCTGTGGATTGGATATGACGCATGCGTACAGTCAAATGTGTTGTGAGGTGGGAAGTAACGCACAGAGCGTGTGGTGATCATGATAATTCGCCGTCTAGGGTAGGTTTCATCGCACGCAGGGTGTACGCAGGGTGTTTAAAAACGAACCAGAGTCTTCCCGAAGCTGCGACCATAGCTTGCATCAACAATGTGTTTCGTTCAAGTCTTTAAAGCTTTACTATTTCTCTTGCAGGAGTTACAATACTGTACTGCCTGCGCAAGTCTCCTCGGTTCTCTTCACGGATGACTCCGTAACATATGTAGGCAGATCCTATACGGGTGATGTCACATATTCCCACATAGTTCTCGTTATCTTGAGCAACTCATTTTGAAAATATACCAGGTGCCGTGGAAAGAAACCTCGGTCCTGCTGATATTATCACACCTGTGCCAAGCTGGTCATACTATTAGGACAGGATGGACAAATAAGTCCAACACAGAGTTATAATGAGAGATTCTCTCAAAAAGTTCCCAAAGACTCCAGAGAAAAAGAAGGACGAGGGAATTAATCCCATCACTTTTGAGTTTCAGAATAGTTCAGTTGGGAAATAAATTCGAACACGACGTAATGCTCTGTTGGACCTTCCAAATGCTCACCCACCTAACCTGTAGCTGACTCTCGCGCGAGGGAGATCACTCGGTGACACCGATGGCCAAAATTCAATAAAATGTGCCAATACACGCACATGTGAGATTGAATGCAAAGGAGTCCTCGAGTAATTGATGCTATAAACCATATTGCAAATATTATCGACTAGTAGGAGTGACTGGTGACACAAATGGTACTAGAGGAGGAGATAAATCTTGGCCTCTGGCAAGCAATTCGAAGTGTTACAAGGGAGGACAATGCTTGTCCGGTTGAGTAGACAGTTACAACCAAGCTTGTAATAGGAAGAGCGGGTATAAAATGTGCAATTGAAGAGAGGGAATCATCAGGCTTCATGCGTTCAAAAAATTGACATAAAACATGCTTGTCTGGCTGAGGCGCCATACTGTTACTGATTTTAGATTAGTGTGATGCTAATGGGGATTTTGTGATAATTGCAGCCATTCGCTGATTCGGTGATTCATTCATTCATTCATTCATCTATTCATCTATTCAGGCAATGTACTTTTATCGGCCACCATAAATGAGATGGGTCTCGCTGGTGAGTTGACGTCCTGACTTAAACATCCTTCACGCGGGCTTGTTTTCCCGATCGCTGGGGAATTCCGGCCCGTCCTACCAGTGGGTTTCAATAATTCGGGTATCATATGTAAACACGGAACTTGCGGCTTCCGTATTCGATAGCCAATGGACATGGAAAGGGGTGGAAACAATATTGTATTCACCGCGGGCTTCTCAGAACAATGGTCCAACCTTTCTCCCCTCGGGCAGCACGTCAGCGCAACATCGGCGACTTACAGACCGCCCAGAGGCCCCGTTTCGGGCTTACGTACGCCCTACGTGAGAAGCCGTGGCTCCGTCGCTTTGGGGGTTAGAGGCCGTCAATCGGGGGGCAAGTGGAGGCAGATGCAGGTTCAGGCGCAAGAGTTTGTTTGCAAAGCCTCCGTAATGGACCGGGTCGACACCGACTTGCAGACCAAAGTTCTGCGGCCATTTACCGTGAAGGTGCGGAAGCACATGGGCATCATCTCAATATCGACGGCAGAGCAGCCACCACGTGACGAGTGAGATCAAATGGTGAGACAGCGTCGAGCGGCCGGGCACTAGACTGTAATCTCCATTGCTTATTCGTCTGCCCCGTCGACTTGGGGCTGAAGCTGGGCCTTGTTCGTCCCGGCCGAAGCCTAGACCGATCTGAGCAGTGCTAAATTGATGCTCACCAAAGTCCTTCCATGGTGCTGGTGAAGGTCCTGGGGAGATGGACAGGGGTAGTGGCAGTGCAGCGGCCCCGGAACGGAAGCATGTCGCGCCGGCAGCCACCGGATTGTTTCTTTTCCGTGGGCTGGGGGCTGGTTGGGCTGTTCTCTGGGAGTGGAAAGAGAGTGTGCTGTCGTTTCGTACGCGGCTGCTGGGCTGAGGCAGCATGGGCTTCTAAATTTAGGGGAATCCGCCTGGACGGTGCGCGGGGCTAGCAGTGAGTGGATGGGCGGGCTGGTGGGCGTGCGGGCTGTGTCAGTTCATCGCTCATTTTTATCCTTTGTGGCACTGGTGCTTCTTGGCGACTGAGTGTGTTTTCGCTCAGCCCTTCGGAGTGTGCGTCGTCGTCCTTCAGATCACGATCCCGTTTTAATGCCACTTGCCGTTGCCGATGGCCCATGCTTCACCCGCTCAAGAAGCTCGCATTTTGTTGCAGGGACAGGAGTCGGGGACAGGAGTCAGGGTCAGGGTCCATCGCGTCACAGTCTTTTGCCTTCAATTACGCAGCAGTACGTCAGTTCGTGTCGGTGACATCAGCAGATGGAGGGGGACGCGACAGCTGAACGAGATCCCAGAGGCGGGGGCGGGTTCGACGGTTTTACTGCTCCAATGACGGGTTGTGTCTCGTAAAATGGGCTCCAGTTCGTCTCTAAGCCCGGGTTCTCCCACTGTAGATTCATAAGCTCAGATTGTGCGGTGTCGCTGATCGTCTTCTTGTTTTTTTCTTCTTCTCTTCATGCTTCCCTGGCTGCATGTCAGCACCAGCAGATTGACATGGCCTATGGGGTTCTCACCATTATCCCCTGTGGTTTGTCGGCCGCAGGGCAAAAGGTCGATCAGACATAAATCTAAGGTCATCGGGGTGGGGCACTTCATGGGTCCTGGCCGGGCGTCGTCAGCCCCATAAGAGGCTTTGGAGGCCTGGTCTTGGCAAGGGCACGGGAATGTCTCAACCCAGACTTCTGACCATATCACCAGGGAGGTCATGGTTGATTCCGGCTTAGTAAAAGCATCGTGGGGGCTGATGAGCTAAAGTGAATGGATAGCAGGACTTGGCCAGGGTGATCAAGTTTGGTCGTTTGCGTCTCCCCGGCCCAAAGTCAATGGCTTGGGGAGTAAGACGGCGTCGACGCAGGGAAAACAAGTGAAACCGTCCATCTTCAGCCGGTCAGCAACCAAACCCACCTAGGATGGCGGGGGCATGCAGGTCTGTCGAGTGCTGCATTGCGCTCTGGTACCTCTAGTACCTCTAGTACCTGTAATGCCCGCGAAGTGACCGTGTTGTTGTGGGTGAGTGTGTGTGATGAGCATGATCCTTCCAAGCTCCTCCCCCAACGCGACGACTACTGGGCCAATGACCTGATCACCAGTGGATTTTGATCGTGGATGTTCCCGATAACCCAGGGCCATCAATAGGATGCACTTTGTCTGAGCGGAAGATAGCACCACAGTCCACAGCGTGATTTGGCCGTCTTGGGAAACAAAGCTGCGCCGGCTTGGGCCTGGACCTGAAGATGTGAAGGTGGCTGAGCTAGCGGGCACCTACTTCTCACCAGTGGGCCCCCTGCCAACCAGCCAACCCAGCCCTGTAGCCCGCTCGGTGCCCCGACACAGAGCTGCGAGCGGGCTACCGACCACCCAAGCCCGCTGTGAGTTTAGTGGGCGCGGCGGCGTGTAGTGCCGTGCCCCTCGCAGCCAGCGCTGGAGGGACGTAAGCCCGAGACGTGCAAGCCCCCTGGCGCCCTATAAGCGGCCAAGGCAGAAAAGGCCTCTAGCTTCGCGGTCGCCTCCACCATAGAACTGCCACACACACGTCCGCGGGCGACATCCACTCGGGGCGCTGCGCCACGGCAAACTCCACGTCAACCTCGCCTGGGCCGGGGGAAGCTCAGCGCCCAGCGCCCACCACCCACCAGCCCATGCACAAGCAGCTGAAGCGTTTTTATAAATCCACCGCCCTTCAGCTCCTTCCCCGTTTTGCTGACATCTCCTTCCCTCTCATCCATCCATCCATACATCTTTCCGTCGTTTCTCGTTCGCCGTCGTCTCTCGCCTTCCTCTTGACGCCTCGCTCGCTAAACAGGCATCCTCCTTCCCGGTAAAACACTCACACCTCGCTCTCCACACCTCCCACCGGCTTTACGTCATCGTCGACCCTCCGACCGACCAGCATAAACACACCCGCAACCGCAGCCGCCTCCCGAAAGCCAAAACGACACACATTCACATTCACAGCACGAGAACCAGCCACATAAACACAATGGGTGTCGGTCGCTTCTTCTGCGTCGCGCTGCCGTTCGCGCTCACCGTCGGCTCCATCATTTTCCTTCTTGTCGGTACTCTTGCTGGTGTCGCCGACAAGTCGCTGTACCTCTTCCGCCTGGATACCGAGGACCTCACCCTCAGCGATTCGAGCTTCGATAACATCATCGACAACCTAAGCTCCCGCGCTGTCAAGACGAGTAACATCACCGCCGCGGACCTCAACCTCGGCAAGTACTACGACATCTCTTTGTGGAGCTACTGTGCCACGTCCTTGAAGGGCAAGCGAACATGCGTCGACCCCAAGTTTAACTGGGCTGCCTCTGCTCTCAACACCACCTGGATTGAGCACTTTGGCTCTGCTGCCGGTGTTCAGGTCGACATTCCCGATGAGATCACCAGCGCTATCAAGGCCTTCAACAAGGTCACCAAGTGGACCGAGATCGCCTTCATCGTTGCCTTGATTGCCCTGGCTGTTGAGATCGTCCTGGGTATTTTCGCAAACTGCTCTACCATCATGTCTTGCTGTACCTGGATCGTGGCCGGCATTGCCTCCCTTCTCGTTTGCGCTGCTGCCGGTCTCGCCACTGCTACAGCTGCCGTTGTCGTTGGTGGTGTCGAGGCCTCTGCTAAGTGGTACGGCGTCAACGCTAAGATCAATACCACCTTCCTTGCCGTTGTCTGGATCTCTGCTGCCTTCGCCATCGGTGCCAGTCTCTTCTGGGTGTTCACCATCTGCTGCTGCAAGCCTGATCACCGCAGCAGCCGCAAGAACCGCCGCTCTGACGGCGAGAAGCTGCTTCCCACCAAGGGCTACGCTCCTCTCGGCGGCGACCATGAGATGACCAGCGGTAACTACTACAACCAGAACCAGTCTCAGTCTCAGTACGGCGCTCCCCGCGGCGCTCCTCGTTCTGACCTCGCTTACGAGCCCTACTCGCACCGCGCCTAAACATGCCAGGCGTCAGTGCTTGAGCTCTAAACGACACGACTGGTGACTTGTTTACCGACCTTGATGATTTTGCATTGCCGGCGTTGGGATCTTATTGGATACTTGTGAAGGATAGTAACAGAGAGTTGGATCGGCCCTAGCGATCATGACGAACATGACAAGGGAATGCTTTTTGTAACGACAAGCAGTTGGGAACGGATTGTAGATCCGGGTTGGGCCATGGATGGGAAGATGTCAGGAACGGCATGATACCTAAACTTGGGGGGACGGGAATGATTAAATATAGCTTCTTCTTCTTACTTCGCTGTATGATATAACCTCAATCAACGAAATATTTGTGGATTCAAACCTTTTCCGAGGGCAGTTTCTGAGCGACAAGAGAATCCTGGAACGACTATCCCAGTTGTGAGTAATGTAATTGTATGAGGGTGCACACGAACCAAGTAACAATTTTTTTTTACCACCGAACCCACTCACACCTTGAGCCGCCGCAACGCTTTGCTCAACCCTCACTCTTAAACAAGTGGTTCCCATGAAAGAGAGATCCGAGGCCAAACCAACGGAAGTATCTCATTAGAAATAAGCGGATGGCTCCTTGATCATCGCTCACTCTCTCATCGACCTGTTTGTTCGTCCCACGGTCATGGCTCAACCCCGCGAGGTTTGCCCCTCCCCCACCATCCCACCATCGTCAACACACAACTTACCTTGGCACAAGCTACACCTCGCGAGAGCCTTCTCCCAGTGCCCCATCACGGCCCTCGCCTTCTTCCGCGCCGCGTCATATCTCCTAGCCGGCGAAGATACTCACCTGGCCATCTACGACCTGCGCGCCGGCCATGTCGTCGCCCGCGTGCGCGTCTTCCCTGGACAGCCCATCCATGGCATCCGCGTCTTGAACGGGCGCGTGCTGCTCTGGGGCGCCGCCAAGATCGCGGCCGCTGGGGAAGATGCTCTGGAAGAACTCATCCAGGGGGGAGATCCTCATGCGCTGGCGTTGAAGAGGGTCACAGCCCCAGATTGGATCTACGACGCCGCCCTGTCGCCGTTTGACACCGAAACCGCGGCCCTCATTACGGCGCACAACGAAGTCATCCCGGTGCGATTTGACTCGCCTGATGGCACGCCCATACTCGGTGCCGTCGTCTCCCCGTCGCGACCCATGCTCTATGCCGCAAACCTGAAGTGGGTGTCCAACGACTGCATCCTCGTCGCTGGTGGCACCGTCTTCGGCGACATCCTCATGTGGAAGTACCACCTGAACCAGGAACAATCAGAAATGATCTCCGTCCTCGCCGGCCACGAGGGCTCCATCTTTGGCGTGCACATCTCGGACGAGCTGCCCTGCGCAGACGGTTCCAAGATCCGGTTGCTTGCGAGCTGCAGCGACGACCGTACGGTGAGGATTTGGGATGTCACGGATCGACAAGGGGAGAAGGTCGGGGGAAACACTCAGCACGAACTCGTCGCCCCGCGTGAGACAGGTTTCGGATCGACACCGGGACTCGGGGGCGCCGAAACGGAACGCCCCGTTGCAGTCGTCATGGGACATGCGTCGCGGATCTGGGGGGTCAAGTTTGCCCCGTCGATTCCAGGGGATGTGCAGCCAGCGAAGACCCTGGCGGTGTACTCGTTTGGCGAGGACTCGACCATGCAGCGCTGGCGGCTGGACTTGGATACCTCATCCTCAGGAGACGCGCGCGACCCGTTGAAGAGGGTGTCCGCCGTGATCAAACACCAAGAGACGATTGACGTGCACGATGGCAAGCATCTGTGGTCCCACGCCATCACAACCGTTGGTGGCCGGACCCTAATCGCTACTGGCGGTGCAGACAGCAAGATCTCTCTCCTGACAGAGTCGACCACGTTGACGCCTGGTTTCGGACACAAGCCTATTCATGAAACCACCACACTCAACCTGCAAGAGGTTCTCGGTTCCTTGCCCAATGCAAGTGTTCTCCCCCGCGGCCGCGGCCCCGAAATCATCGGGCGTTACGACTTCTTTTCGCAGGATGAGGTGTTGGCAACGACCTCGCTAGGGCGCTTGATGCTAGGCACGTTCGACAAGGGCTTACAGTGGCGGGAAGTCCATCTCGAGGACTCTATCGCAGCGGGTATTCGGTCCTGCTACGTTCTGAAGACCATTGGAAACGGGGCAGCGCTGTTAGGAACAAACCATGGAGGCCTTTATCATTACTGTGGCACGCAAGGGATGACATTTATCGGCACGGTCCCGGGCAAGGTCGTCAATATTGTATTGCTTACCGAGGCGCACGACACTTCCGTGGAGCTCCTCATTCACCTCCATGGAACTCCCGACGCGCAATTCTTCGCGTTGGACTGGCGCACAGGAGCCGTGCTGGCAACAGCCGACGTTCGTGGGATGGATCCCCGCTTTGTTGCCATGTCCGCGGCGAAAATCAAGGGGGGCTTGATCGCCATCGGATCCCGACACGGCTGGTTGTCCGTGTTGAGACAAGGCGAGGAGGGGTTCCGTCCCGTCTTGGACTTTGCGACGAGCAGCAGGGATGCCATCACGGGCATCGTCCCGCTCCCTGGAAACGATACCGATGGCACAGCCTCACCGTACTTCTTGTCTACAAGTCGGGACAGTAACTACAGGATTTACGAGATAGAAAACGCAGACTCGGATGTACGGTTACACTTGCGAAACGAAACGGCTCCTCCCTTTGGTTCCATTATCGAAGGCGGGTGGTTTACGCGGGATGCCGACCCGGAGCTCATCCTGTATGGCTTCAAGAGCAAGAAGCTGATCGTATGGAACGAAACACGCCGGGAAGAGATTGCGACCATCGAATGCGGAGGTGCCCACCGAACCTTTACCTTGATGCACAACCCGACGGACCCTCATCATCTCCGTTTCGGATTCACAAGAACATCCAAGCTTTTCATCTACTCGCAAAGCGGGTCGGTGCACCGGCCGATCAAGACTGGGACGCACGGGAGAGAGATTCGAACGCTTAGCTGCAACGGTCGATATATTGCTACCGGCTCCGAGGACACGACAGTCCAGATCTGGGAGTATAGCAGGCAACAGCAGGGAGCAGGGCGCGGACGAGAGATGCGGTGTCTGGCATCGATGAAGTTGCACATCGCTGGTATGCAGCAGGTGAAATGGCTCGGCGAGGATTACCTCCTGAGCAGCGCTGGCAATGAAGAGTTCTTTGTCTGGAGGGTACGGAAGCTCAAAAACACCACCTATAGGGGGCTGGGCGTACTGTGCGAGGCAGTCTTTGATGACAAGAGCAAGCACGGGGACCTTCGGATTATGGACTTCGAGGCTAGCAAGGTTGGTCCTAATGGCAATATCATCATCACCATGGTGCTGTCCAACTCGACTCTGAAAACATATTGTTATACGCCAGGCGCGTCCTTTCGGCTCTTGGCTCAGATGTCCTACACGGGAGCTTGCCTCACACAGGTACGCCACCTCGGGGTGGACGAAAACGGCCTTTCGGCACTCACAGCTTCAACCGATGGACACTTGGCCACCTGGGAAGCGAGATTCGACCATGTTAAGACCGTAAGTCATGTTTTGGTACATGTAGCCCCGGTACACCAGAACGGTATCAAGAGTCTGGACCTAAGGGCAACGCCGGAAGGGTTCCAGGTGCTGACTGGTGGTGATGACAATGGGCTTGGAGTCACGTCTCTGGCGGTCTTGTCGGACGAGGCAGGAATCAGGCGTTACACAGTATCTGGCAGGGGCATCGTGCGGAAGGCTCACGCGGCAGCTATTAACGGGGTAGCATTGATACAGCGCGGCGAGGCAACACTGGGAGTCAGTGTTAGCAACGATCAGCGTGTGAAGATATGGCAAATCAGTGCGGAGAAGACAGAGCTGGTTGCCGATGAGTATAGCGGTGTAGCGGATCCGGGAGGTGTCGAGGTGATGGCAAGCACTTCGGATGACGAAAACAGCGACAGGCTGATAGTTGGCGGAGTGGGTATCGAAGTCTGGACAGTTTAGTTGACTTCCGAGATGATACAAGACCAAAAGCCCAAACAATGCACATGTAATGGCCATGGGACATATAGAAAGAGATACCAACCAGGCCAGTGGTACTTTGCGTTACCCGAGGAGTTGAGCAAACCTGGTCAAGCTACCCTTGCTTCATCCTACTACAGGACCACTCGTTGCAATCCCGCTTGTGCTTCAAGTCAACTTTAGAGTTGGGTTTGGGCTGAGCGTCAATCAACTTTGGCTCGGTAATTAGCGCGTGAAGGCGCATGGTGTGCATCATCCCTTGCATCACGCTCTGCATCGGTCGGCGATGTGTTCTGTCAGACGGCACTGAGTTTATCGACAGGCCGTGTCTGTACGAGGAATTCCACTTACCCACCTGGTTGTTTCCTTCGTACAATTCGCATCTTCACAAGCAGCTTTGAAACTTTGTTTGCAAAATCTGAGACGGCCATACTCTGAAATTGGCGTGGAAGCATGGGCCATGGGAGGTGAAGGAGGAGTAAGGGAAGATGGTACGCAGTCAGCATCCTCGATATGACAGGGATAAGAGGGAAATGGAACGGGCGTCATTCTCCACATCCAAGGAATCGGAGTGCAGGGTCCCAACTCTAGTGGGCACACGGAGTGGTACTGTAATCACAAAAACTGCAAAGATCGTAGGGCTGATTTCTGTCCATCCGCTAGGAACAGGGTGATGGCTGTGATTGCTGCCACTGGACGGCATTGTGCGGCCGATGAGGTTGTGCGGTATGTTGTGCAGGAGGTTGCTCGTGTCGCAGGCTCGTAACCGGCGGCTAAGAGTTGAGGGCCGAGAGTTGATAAACGAGCGTCGAACGCCAAGTACTGTGCGTTGTTTATCGTGACCGCCCGCCCGCCCCGTCGCACCAGATACAAGTCGTCAAGCCCAAGTTCGGGATTCGGCAATGCCGCGAGTTGGTTGCTGTAGAATTGGAGTTTTTTGCCGACGCCACTGGCTGACAATCATTGGATTCTTGGGGGCGCCGAGGCGGGTACCTGTGTGTGGTGTCGAAGATGATAATCTTGAGACAAATTGCCATTTCGAGGCGAGCAAGAGCCCGACTCAGATTGATTGCTTCGCCTCTCCTCCCACTATCCGGGGCGTAGCTGTGGCGGAGGCCGTGGGGCCCGGGCAATCTGGAGGGCAATGAGAAGCAGGGCGACGGGGTGACAGAATGAGTGAAGGAGTGTGGACCCTGGTCTTTTCGATTCCTCCTCGCTGAGATGATGCCGAAGTGGTCGCAGGGAGTCGTAGGGACGTCGCGCTGAGGATGGGCAACGGGCAATAGTGGGCTTGTGTGGAATGCCTCGACCGCCATTGTGGCCCAATGTGGTTTCCGATATCGAAGTAGAGGCGACGTGAGCAGAGCGGTGGTTTGAGCGTGTCTCTCTGATACACGTTACGTCCGGAGGTGAGTAGGGGAACAGTGGTTGAACAAGGGTAACCAGGAACAGGCCCGAAGGGGTGAGCTCAGAGCCCCGCAGGCCTGTCCGTGGCATCTGCCGACTGCCTACCGGGGAAGGTGCAACGGACAAGGGATGCCTTGGAGGTCCCTGCCGAGAAGGGAATTTGAGCGCCCGACGCTCGTGGAATCGAGATAATTAAGGTAATTAGCGATGGGATGTACCTACCTCGCGCTGGTAAATAAGTTGGAAGGCATCCCCGATATGTCCCATCCTTCTCTTGCCCCCAAGGTTCGAAATCATCTTTGTCTCGCCTTACAGCTTTTGTGCTATAGATCGTGTGCTGCTCATCACTCTTTTTGACAGCAACGCATCACCGCATCATTCTCTTCACTAAGCCAATCGACTTGGCCACTTCTCACCTCAATCCTCACCACCTTCTCACCACATTCCCCTCACATTCCCCTCGCCTTGAGTCAATCTACGGAAATCATGATGATGAAGTGGACTCTCCTCGTGGCCGCTGCCGCTTCCTTGGTAGCCGCTGCTCCCATCACCCCCAACGGCCCTTGCGCCGATGTAAGTTTTGCAATTCAGCCGACGAGGTCTGTTGCTGTATCTGACTCTTCATTCTTCTACAGTCTAAGGTCGATGCCATCCTCAAGGGCGAAATGGATCCTTCAGAGTGCTGCTCTTACGGGGTTTGCAAGGGCGATGTGGTCGTCTCCGTTGGCTATTAACAAATGGCCGATAACGACGACCAGCTGAGCCAACTCTTTACGAAATGATGACTTTACGACCAAACGATGCGATATGCTGCCGCCCGTCAACAACACCTAACCAACACCATCTAACTTGGTGTTGTACGACGAGATTCAAATCTACGTGAAACAGATCCGACCACAAAATAACTTCATCCACACCACGCCTGATCCCAACCTCGGTCCTCTTTACTCCTTCATCTAAAAAGCCGCTTTATGGTTTGAGCTTTGAACATCGAAATCTGTCAGTGGTGGGGCCATCCCCTCTGCTACGCCCCAGAAACAGGGGTCTGAGCAATATGACGAGCCAACCGCGTTCAACCAACTTGACGCAGGGCGTGTCAGGTTTAGTACCCTCGATACAGGCGCTGGCGATATGAGGAAATTGACTCGATTGGCCCCTCCAGCAACGAGGCCTGCGATATGTGATATCAGATTCACCGGCCTCGACTTCTAGGTTTTCCTAGATGCCACATCTATCTTTTCTTATCTGGCAGATTACGTGTGGATACCGAAATGGAGAAGCGTGAAGGTGGATATGATCAGATAGACACTCAAATTGAGACCCATCTTGTGAACATGTTGTTGCCAAGCAACTTGATCATTCTGCCATCCCACTCGCTTCAAAATGACCCTTCCACGCCCGGCCCATTGCAAATCAACAAGGTGACCCTGGTCGCGATTCCGGCTTCGTATCGATGCTGACCATGGCCGACGTGCAGACTCGATTGTCGCTTACCACGGACCCATGCACAAAGACTGTCCGCTGACTGACTTTTATACGAGAGGAAGATCAATTGAAAAGGCAACCCCCCCACACCCATGTCAAGAAGAGGGGTTGCCAACATGCCAAAAACATCGTCACTTTGAGCCCCATCGCGGCCTCGGCATGCACCGTTGGACCTAACCTGCGGATAAAATCAGTAGCTCAGATTCCCTTTCCGAGAACACCGAGCCCATTGTCTAGCCCGATAGAGGTGCGGCGAATGCCATGAACCGACTACACCGTGCCCGGGTAAATGGCGTAGCCAAGAGGGGAAACCACAACTACCTCCTTCGTTGGGAAATGTCCGTTCATGTTCCTGTTGTTGACTCGCGTCGGGGTGATCGGGCGGGGTGTTGTTCCTCGAGCCGACGGCGTCCGGAGTGGGCGCGCACCCAATGCCATGCATGACTCGTAACTGATGTGGACTCCTCGGTTTTATGCGATTCCTGACCTGGATTACACAAGTGCGATATCGAATCTGTCTTGACCAGCTCCGGTGGGGTAATACCCCGTTCCCATTCCCGATGCCTCTAGCGGCCGGCGGGGTCAGACGTCGAGACTCGAGAGCGGTATCAGTCGCACTCGGTGACGAAGAGCTGAGATTCGTATTGGATTTTACGCTTGTGAATTTTGCCAATGTTTTGACGCCCTCGGCATAAGTCAATGGAGGAGAGGATGGTGCATTCAACCCCGAGTATCCTCTTGCAGGCATACGCCAGAGGCTGGAATAGTTTGAAGACTTTTAGTAGCAACTGTGGCTTTCAATCTAAGGTGTATCAATGCCCTAGGACGTAGATGTGAAGTAGTCGCATGCATTAGTTCTTCCCGCGAGGCAACACGGTGCAGATGACGGACAGCTGCTAAATCAACCACGAATACTTGCCCATTCCTGACGGGTGAGTGATGGCGTTAATAAGACAGTGCCACCATCCTCCCCATGATTCTGTCCCATTTTCTTGAGGAAGGGCATTCCGGGCATTTTCCATGCCCGACGGACTTAATGAATTTGGGAATGGGGGTCGTAAGGTAGGTTGTTACTCAACAGGTTGTTTGTGGCTGGCAACGTGCATATCTTCCGTTCTCATCCGAGAGGTGGCTTTTGGTGTTGTGACGGCCGAGCGATGCTGGTGCGGCGAAATCCGAATCAAATTCGTGTTGCAGCGAGGAGTGCGCCCTCTCCAGACTGACTAGACCAATTAATTCACCCACGGCCGCCGACTCGAACGGTGTCTCCCACATGGTCACGCGGAACCATGAGTCCTTTATTATTACTTCTCGTAGCCTACCAACCGAGGGACAAACATAGTCACCTGCCTTCCGATCCTTCGGAAGTACGGAGTCAATCAGTGTTGTGCAAGTCCGCCACAGTTGCTGCCCATTGGATGCCAACTCAAAGAGGCGTCTGGGTGTCCAATATAGCGTGAGAATAACAAGGATGCTGACCCGACGCCTACCGACTGTCATCCTTGCGGTCTTGGCAGGGATTCCTGGGCTTGATCATGTGGGATTCAGCTCGGGAATGCCATAATCGATTGACGAGAGTACTATGGCATGGTCACCAACGAGGGTTATCCATACTTTATTAGCATCTCCTCATTCTGAGAGAACTCTTGGAAAGTCGAGCAAAGCACCTAGTATGTCAGTCCATCTATGCGTCCAGTCGGTAAATCTCATGAGGGATATGAAAACTTCTAGAAGCAATGGTAAGTCCTTGACTTCGGAAGTCAAGGACAAGGTGCAATGGCACATCGCTCACTCAATGGGATCGAGACATCGGAATATCGCCGCCGCCACTACCGAGATCAAGAGACAAAGACTTAGCGATGCAGGTGCCACGAAGATAATTCCCAAAACTAAGAATAAATGATTCCTGTAGGTTGGAGCGATGCTTGAAGGTGCACCCGGTCAACATCGAGCCCCGGTTTCAGATTGAGATACTGTACCTCAAGATCACGCTAAGGCATCTTTTGCCCTGAATCCTTTATACTGTCATATGACCTGGAATCTTTGGGACAAGCTTCGTAAATCGCTCATAGGAGGAAGATGCAACGGTGTCGATGTGAACGGCGTAACTCTGAAATCCACAACCCGTTGCAGGCGCACCTATCCCCCACAAGATTCGGCTCTTTATGCGCTCGGCCACGAGACCAGTAGCCCCCGAGTCGTTGGGTCCGCCATGCCGATATCAAAAGAAAGGCAGACTTGTGCAATTGGTCCGGTTGGCGACCAAGATAGTGTCCATCGGTCCACTAACTTCCCTCGGCTCTGGCTGCCATGGTTGGCTTAATCGAGGATATATCAAGATGATAAATCGGGTGCCTAGGTTTGGACCCGCTACCACCCACGATGTGAGGTCCCCCATTCTTTAGCCGTACCAGTCAAGAGCCGTCCCGACTGCCCCAACTTGCTGCTAGTCCACTCGGCAGAATACCGGCGGCATTGCAGCTCCAGGCGTGCATGTAAGCCTTGTCCGTTTAGCCGCAGCCCAGGGTTGTAGACAACGACATCGAGAGATCTGGTCGGTTGAGTGTCGAAGCGCGGTGAGGCCTCAAGCACACACGCCGTCTCACACCATTGCCTATGAGGTGACAAGGCCAGATCTGGGCACAGGTCATGCTCTGGATCTGCATCAGCCACATGAGAAAACCGGACGTCTAACCGTGCCACGACAACTAGCGAACAATTGCTTTGTGCTGGCCATGGGGTGGCGTCTCGTGGTTACCGGGCGGCGAGCGTTGTGATTGGCGCGGGAGTTGAGGTGCGTCGGTCGTACAGCCTCCGAACTAAGTCCATCCGCTTTGAGGCAACCCCACACTACCATCAAGTGCGAGCTCTCCGAACCCTGCTCGCCCTGGCTGGGCGTGGGGAATTCAGATTCGCCTGCGACCAAACATATACCGATGGCAGACCGCATGACCCCCAAATTTTCCGTGGTAAGGACATGATTTAAAGACATCCGGGGGTCCTCGATTTGGCGGAGGGGGCTTTCTCTTTCCTCGATACCTGCTCCAACCTCGAACCCGCAGACTCACCGACTTCGGCAGCACCAAGAGCAGGCAACCCGGAGACCAGAAACCGCCCTCCCAACCATGAGCCCCTCAGCAACTGATGCCTCCGCGGCGGTGGTTGACGTCAAGTCATCGTTGAAGCCCAACATTGGTGTCTACACCAACCCCAACCATGACCTGTGGGTGACCGCGGCCGAGCCCAGCGCCGAGAGCGTCAAAGCCGGCACCGACCTGAAGAGCGGCGAGGTCTCTGTCGCTATTCGAAGCACCGGAATTTGCGGGTAAGTCGTGAAGATCCCTGGAAACCCCACTTGCACTCGCCATACTCACCCTCCCCAGCTCTGATGTGCACTTCTGGCACGCCGGTTGCATTGGCCCGATGATTGTTGAGGGCGATCATATCCTAGGCCATGAATCGGCTGGCGAGATCATCGCCGTGCACCCTTCGGTGACCAACTTCAAGGTCGGCGATAGGGTTGCTGTCGAACCCAACATCCCCTGCGGCACTTGCGAGCCCTGCCTTACTGGCCGATACAACGGTTGCGAAACCGTCGAGTTCCTGTCCACACCCCCGGTCCCTGGCATGTTGCGACGATACATCAACCACCCGGCCGTTTGGTGTCACAAGATTGGGGATATGTCCTATGAGGACGGCGCGATGTTGGAGCCTCTAAGCGTGGCCCTTGCCGGCATGCAAAGGGCCAACATTTCCCTTGGAGACCCCGTGTTGATCTGTGGTGCGGGCCCGATCGGATTGATCACCTTGCTCTGCTGCGCCGCCGCTGGCGCTGCCCCCATTGTCATCACCGACATCTCAGAGAGTAGACTGGCATTCGCCAAGGAGCTTTGCCCGCGAGTCATCACCCACAAGGTCGAGAGAATGTCGGCCGAGGACAGCGCGAAGGCCATCGTGAAGTCGTTCGGGGGCGTCGAGCCCTCCATCGTCATGGAGTGCACTGGTGTCGAGAGCAGTATCTCGGCCGCCATCTGGGCGGTCAAGTTTGGCGGGAAGGTGTTTGTCATTGGTGTGGGCAAGAACGAGATTAACATCCCATTCATGCGTGCCAGTGTCCGTGAGGTTGATATCCAGCTACAGTACCGGTACTGCAACACTTGGCCCAGAGCGATTCGACTGGTGGAGAGTGGTGTCATTAACCTATCTAAATTGGTCACTCACCGTTTCCAATTGGAGGATGCTCTTAAGGCCTTTGAGACGTCGGCAGACCCCAAGAGCGGAGCGATCAAGGTCATGATTCAGAGCCTGGAGTAGAGTGCGGTGTGGCAATGCAAATGGATGGTATTTGGGCGTAACTTGGCGATTGAGGCACGGTCTGGGAGTATACTGATGAGGCTGCTAGGCCAAGTAGATACAAGCCTTTCTGTCGGGGAATATAGAAACACGACGAGCATGAATGAAGCAGCCCGCGATATATTTGTGTGTGAGAACAGGAACCAATGAACCTGAAAGATGGATGACGAGGAGCGTATGCGTACATGGTAACGACAGAAGGCGCCGGGGTCTAGCTTGAGAACAACCTAAGGGAAGCAAATCTAGAGCTAACGATCCGGGTACCTTGAGGAATCCACACCTCAAGCACGTAGTAGGCAGGTACGGAGGGAGTAGTCGGTGCGCTCAAGTGCTGCGGGAAGTGAGGCGGATGGCAAGAGGTACCCGCTAGCTGTGGTAGCCGCCCGTTCGTCCAGGCACTACCGCGGCTCCAAAAGAGGACTAGCGCAGCCCGTCCTTCGGCTCCAACCACCACCTTGCGACTTCTCCCGAGCTTTTTTTCTCCCTCAGACGACCTCGCTCACGATCACGACCAGCACCACTCCATCAATTGACCACCCACCCTCGGTCCCATCACCCCCCGGACCTCCGATATCGAATTCCGCGAGGCCCTCTCCCGTCCTACGGCTCCCGTCCGCCGCCATGCAGTCCCTCGCCCGCCCCATGCTCCGCTCGCCGGCCCTCCGCCTGGCCGCCCGCCGCTTTGAGAGCTCCGCCGCATCCAAGGCCACCGAGGCTGCCAAAGACACCGCTGCGAAGGCGAAGGAGGGTCTTTCACGCGTCACCACTGCCGCCGGCCCTGCTATTGCTGGTGCAGCAAAGGGCCTGTCTAGTGCTCTGAGTGCTCTGGCTAAGATTGGCGGACCAACGGGCAAGATCATCGGCTTTGTTGAGCGTACGTGTGAAATCGCGTCCCATTGCGGTCTCCGGATATCACGGCACTGACAAATTGAACAGGACAAGTTCCCTTTGTCGTTTACTACTCCAAGGTTACCCTTGAGGTGGGCAAGATTGTCTTCCACGCCCAGAAGATGAGCCCTCCGTAAGTCTCCCTCAATTGACGCCTAATTGACGGAACATGCGCTAACCCGTCCTGATCAGCTCTGCGGCCACCTTCCAGACCTACTACCAAAACCTCCTCCAGTCCGTCCAGAACCGGTCTATCCTCCAGTCCTCACAGAACCTCATCCAGCAGGCCCGGAATATCGGCACTCCCCAGCTCGCCGCTGGTGGTGTCGTTCTTGCCGAGCTCCTTGGTTTCTTCACTGTTGGGGAGATTATTGGCCGATTTAAGCTGGTTGGCTACCGCGGTGAGACTGGCTCGCACCACTAAGCGACCCATGATGGAGCTGAAGTGGTCGAGGAAGGAGGTTAGACAAGGTGGACAGACCGTGATGAGTGGGTTATAGATAGACTTGGCCTACCCCCGGCTCGAGTACGCCTGGGAGGGGCCGATTGGAGAGAATTCGAGGCTGTTATCCTGGGAGATGTAGGAATACCCAATCTCGTTGGGACCTCAATGCTTGTCCTCTGCGAGCGCCTTTCTTTTGTAACTGTACATCAATCTATGCTGCAGTTGGTTCCTGACCGCTGCGGCCAATTCAAAGCTGCCTATTTACATCTCCCACCCTGACTAACTTCTGCGAATGTTGCCGAGTTCTTAGCAGGTACCCAATGTCCCAGGTCGTCTTGAATATACGAACAAGCCATTGGATCGGGATCCCTATTCTCGCAACCTCGGGAGCTCAGCTGTCCGATGGTGGTACCGCGATGAATCAAATTCCATCCTACTCCCTGTGCACCTGAACTACACAGGAGTTTAGCGGTCGATGCGTCTGGCCGTAAGTGACATCAGGGTCTATTAGCCAAAACCGACGCTGCGACTTTTGCCGTTGTGCCCATCACCACAAGACTGTCATTTGCCTCGGTTTCGTGAATGACCGGCAGTGCGAGCGCCAATGACACATTGAATGGCTTGCAATCACCCCGGCGGGGCGCTGGGGGACACAAGAAAGAGTCAGAATCAAGGGCAAGAACAAGAAGAAATGACCTCAAACAGATAGATGGGTCTGCTCGGTTCCTATCAACTCAAGTAGGCCTAGGTAGAGGCGATGAGCTCGCGTAATAAATTAATTATCGACTTATCGCGAGTCGCAGGCGCTGAACTTGGTTGCTTTGTTGACTGCTGGCATCCCATCGTCCTCGTCGACAAGAAATTAGAGGAGCTGTCAAGTATGCCGAACATCACCTCGTCTTGGGTGCTATCCTGACACGACGGGCTACAGGCCACGGATAATTCCACGCGGCTATGACAGGCCCTAGGGCTTTTGAGTAATAGCGGCTACATGCTTGGTGGACGCATAATTGAAGGTACAAAACATTGTGAAGATAAGCTACTCTCGCTGATTTGTTATTTATTATCCTCTAGAATATACTACACACTATAGTGTCGGAACCAAAGACAAGAGTGATATGCTTCAGATCAGGAATAAGAATTTCTTCTATGAGCAAACTCAATCGAGCGACTGTATTTACTGTCACTATCATCCATCTTAGACAAAATGATTTTTGGGTAGTGTTGAAAGCTGAGACTCTCTAACCACTCTCTTATCTCTAGGTTCCACATTATAAAATTCCCATCACGATATATTTTTGATCTTTGCGTCAAATCGTGATTGCCTGATAGCAGGGAGAGCATCAGTAATAACCGCACAAGTAGAAAGAATATCGTCTTGTCCATAGGGGGCGAGAGAGCCCGTCTCGTTTTCCATCCGCGGCTGCCAATTGAGGGCGTGTTAAACAAATATCCTTGCGATTGCCGCAGCCCAGCCCGCAAACGAGCGTTATTAACGAAGCACAGGTGATAGATCGGCTGATCGACGGAGAGCGGGTACGGAGTTAAAGGCCCGAATAAGACAGTCCCGATCCCAGTCTCAAGCTGCTGCATAGGAGGTCGGCGGCTAAATCAAGAACTCCATCGTCCTGCGCCGCGCACTTGTCCTTAAACTGAGACCAAGCGCTTAGCTGTCAGTGCGACAAGGTTCGAAATACGCCGCAAAGCCCGGTGATCCAGAGTTGTGACGAAGCTAATCGGTACGATCCATGTCCGGAACTGGTTGGTTATAGGCCCATGAACATGTTCATGCAACAGTCGAAAGACGACTTTCAGTCGGGAAGAAGGGTGAAAATAGAGTCACCGTGATCATGCAGGCCGGCACACAGAAACTATCCAGCACGCTCCTCTCCTTGACATGGCTTCGTCTGGCCATTTACCGGATGATTTCCATGTCGGAGGGTTACTTGTCCTCGGGCTTTCTGGCCGTCCAGACGTAGCTGCATGTTTGTTAGCTTCTGCATCGTGGCGGAGCATGCTTCGTGTGTTGAATCTAGGGAGGTACTCACATGTTGCAGTATGTGTGATAGCCCAAAACACATATTTCCTTCTTGACTTTCTCGCACAGTTCGCGGACATCCTCAAACCTCATCCCCTGCTTTTCGATGAGAGGCATCAAACTCAGAGCCTCCAAGCTGTGGCTTAATCCGAGATTGAACCACCTTGCAAGGTTTCGATCAGCCCTGTCTTCGGACCAGGGACAAACAGAAGCTTTAATGACCTCCTCTTTGATATCCGTGAAGCCTGCTGCCTCGATCATTTGGCGTGTTTCATGTGGCAGTACTCTTGCGCGTCGGTTAAACTGATCCATGCCGTCATAGAACAACTCGGCCCACTCCTGGAATGCGGACTGGGATGGTCTTTCTTTATCATCCCACCTCGGCGTCCAGTCGATTTCGACGTGCTCCATGTGACCAATACCTGGGGCCAAATGCCTACTCAAAAAGTTAGAGATCACTGTGATTCAGGTAGCGGACGACATACTCGAAGATCTTTCGATAGGTCTGAGGCCAGATGTCTGTTTGGAGGCTACCCAAGAGCATTCGTAGATGGATCAAATCGCAATCTTTGAACAGAGGACCCCATTCGGGCTCCTCAATGTCAAACTGCTGCGAGTTGACACCAACAGGGATGCTACATCGGGTCAGCATGTGGCATATGTCTGCTTGCTGACAAACTTACAGAGCCGGTTGAATCTGGTTGAGGTCCACGATCATAAGCTCAGAATCTGGGAAGCATCTACGGGAGAAAATTTAGCTAAAATTGTAGCCAACTGACTCAGATAAACTGAACATACTCTTCGGCGACAGAGATTGCCCAGATACTGGTCCCTGTTCCAAGATCCATGAACCGAGGAGCTGGGCGCACAATTGGTGCTCGAAAGGGCTTGTTCCCACGGGCGATGGAAAAAACTTTGTGGAATATGTCCAACCGGTTCAACTCTTCCTATTTGTGATAGTTAGGATATGGCATGGGGGTATAGGTAGATGGAATCGCCTTACGGAATCAATGGGAAAGAGATACTTCCCAGGCTTCCAGGACCCATAGAAGCGACCATGTCTCCAGTAGCCATCTTGAAGGAACTTTCCTTCCGGTTCGGGTAGGCTAATGATTCCGTTAGACCAATGGATGGGATACATAATAAGAGGTATGCTGAAAAGCGTACTTGACCTGAGTAGACATGACGACCATGGAAGATTTTGCACAAGGGGCTGAATGATTGGTAGGGTGGAATAGCGGAGAGTCGTGAGCTTCGAATAAAAGGCCCGAAGTTAACGAGCAGAGTGGCCAATAGTATCAAGTGGAGCCGGGAGCAGCACTGGGCGAGGGTAATCACCTAGGAAGAGTCAATATCAGATCTGAAATGGTAATTCCTCAAATATGAAGAACGGAAGCTGAAGCCAACAACAACACGTAGAAAGGAATATGGTTGGAGGTTGGACAAGAGGCGACAAATTGATCACTTAGGCGTCTCTTTATAGCGACAACGGATCTATCCCGAGTAAACCTCAACGGTCGCCTCGAAGGAGCCGGGACGTAGCGAGAGGTATAAGACAGCATGAGAGTTGCCATTCGATATGGCAAACACTGGCCCATTCGTCGTACAACACGCTCTCTGGTACTCCCTGTCCCAGCAAAGCACTCGCTGTCGGTGGGAGGATCCGGGATAGAGGGGCACGGAATATGAGGTCACCAGTGATAGGGGTTTCAAATTTCGCAAGCGCAGCACGCCGAGGAGCACAGGGCAGGACTTACAAAGATGGATCTGGACTGTATCAAGTGGAACAGAACGGGCCCGAGTAGAGTAGTACGGGGATTGGCAGAGAAAGGACACCAGGGTCTGGACCTAAGAGAGTTGGTAGGATTGGTTGACAAGCGATGGCAGGGCCCAGGATTCTCGGAAGAGGGGCGACGGCAGGGCTGGGTATGGTTTCGATACAGAGCTGTTCCAGAGAGGAGAAAGCTGTTGCGTGCTGGCGTGTTCGCACTTGGATATACCGGGTGTAGGAGTGATGGCGCAGACAGGAGTGAGAGTGTGCGTGTGAGTATGAGGGCGAGTGTGAGTGTGACGGTGGAGGGGGAGGACAGGAACAACGAGGTGGAAGGAGGGGTATTTTCTGAGTCCGGGTTTTTTTCCGTAGCTGTGGGACACAGAAGATGGTACACAGAAGTCGCAGAAGCAGAACTCAGAGGAGAAGCAGGCAATATAAGGTAGGACAGTGCAATGTGAAGACCATGGGGAAGGATGAGGAAGAGAGGAGGAAAGTTGGTGATTCTTATTGCCGGCCGGATGGGGACGTGAGAGGTGGGACATTGGAACATGGGACGCTAGGACGTGGGACCGTGGGTGTGGCTCTTTTTTTTCTTTCCGCATTACACCCCCGTCGACCGTTAGTCCATTGTTATGATGCGCCCGGACAGCTTAAAGTACGCCCCTAGTCCTAGGGCCTGGGGCATTAGAGGCGCCAGCTAGAGACAGGTACGTAAGGTAGGGAGGTAAGCAGGTCAGTCGGTCTGGGGTGGGAAGGGACGAGGGATGGAGGGGGGAGGTAAGGCCGGGTGATGGGGCAAGCTAAGGTGGTAGGGAAGGTACAGATGGTAAAGGGAAGGGGGCAACCAACTCGGTTGCTGGAGGCAAGGTCATACCTACCCACCAGAGGTCCCTGTCGAAGGCCTCTATATCGGGCTCAGATCCATATTAGGAGCCGGCGACGAACGACCTTGCTTGCTTCCACTCCATCCATACCTTGAGGCAAGTAACTTAGGTAGGTACGCAGTTTGGTCAATGGTGACCTCGAGAATAATACAAGAACCCTCTCATTCCGAGGTCTGGTACTCTGCGCGTTCGGTGTATAAAAAGTAAGTACATCCTGCGCTCCTCTGTCGGATCTTAGCTCCCACAGTGTGCGGCCGCTGTCGCTGTCAAGGTCGAATGCGCCGAGGCCGCCACCGGGCACAAAGCCACGGAGCGCGAGGCGAGCGCTGTTTAGGAACTCTCGTTGGCTTCCACTCCAGCGGTGGCCGCTGGGGGTCGGGGCCGGCCTGTTGGCCCGCGGGCGGGAGGTGGTGGGGAGGCGCCTGTGTTTCGGGGTTGGGAGTACCCGCAGTACAATGGACCGGCGCCTTGACGTCTAGCGACTGCAGTGTGGTGCTGTGGAACTTAGCGCGGGACAGGGAACATGGGACGATGGGCGATGCAGCGATGTGCGATGGATCATGGATGGCGGATGCGGATGGGAATGCCATTGAGGCTTGTTGTAGGGCCAAGGCATAATAGCGTGCTAGCACGGTGCGACGGCAAGGACACCGCACTCACAATGGCGCATCACTATTCACACCTGCCAAACAACCGCAAGAATCACCCGTTTGCTATCACCAATTACCTCCCTTACATTGCGCTAAGGTTCGCCATGGTCTGCCGTGTCCAGATTGGCTACCGTCGACGGCTTAGGTTCTGCCGCTTATTATCATGGGTGAATTGAGAGAACAGGAATGCGGAAACGGTCCTCCTACGGTATGGAGGTGATAGGGCTCCATCGGCAGTTGGCTACCTACCAGGCAAAGTCCCACGAGGTGCGGCAAGGCGAGTAGGTATACAGTAGTTGGGTTAATTAGGTAGGTGGGCAGATACCTACCTGCCTTACCTACCTTGAGTGGGATGGGAAGGGCCGCAATGCCCTCGCCCATGTGGGCATGGCTGTGGTTGTTGCTCTTCCAGATGCTCCAACCCTCACTCATCCTCCTGGTCGTCGTTGTCCTTGCACATCCCGTCTCGCTAGCGCACGTAGCCCAGCGTCCATCACAGCAGCGCAGCGCCCCGAAAAGAGCATAATCTAACCCAGTTGGCTGGCTCCGTGTACTTCGTACAGCACACCCCAAGCCAACCCGATGCGATGGATGGCTTTTGCTTAGTGCCCGCTCGCTGCTGTCGCGCGCCGCCGCCGCCCCTCCGCCAGACACCAAGCTCCGACAACTGGAAGAGCGCGGTCAGGGCCGAGGGCCCCTTCCCTTCCACGGATCCCGCACCTGCCCTGTCCTGGAGCCCCCCACCCGAAGCGTGCCCTGGCCACTTGGCCATCCGCACAAGCCAGTCGCTGGCGCCATGACCCAAAGCCCCATTTTCTTCCCGTCCTTCGTTTCGTCCCGTTGGTCCCGTTGGGGTTGGGGTTGGGGTTGGGCCAGGAAGGAGCAGTACGAACGTCCCATGCACTGTCCTGCACCTGCCTTCCAGCACTGGACAATGGCCTGGCTTCACAGGGGAACGGCGCAGCAGGCACACATTAGATGCTCGCACTACATACAGCACTACCTACCTAGGTACCTATAGCTGCACTACAGCATTACATCACTGGGTGCTGCATACCATTCCTGGCTCCTGTGGGTGGTCTCCTGTGAGTGGTCTCACTACGTAGTAGAACCTGCCAAACAAGACAAAACAGGGCCAAAACAAGGCCCATACATGGTGCCTACCGTATTCTCCGAAGTCCACCTCAGCTAATAAGTCTAGGTCTTGGATGGTCTTGAGTGGAATGGATGGATGATCCCTTCAGCCCATCTGCGCCAGCCACATCCCCAAAATGCTTCCAAACTCGGATCGGGTTCTGCCGTTGGCCTCTCTCTTCTGTTTTTTTTTTTGGGGGGTCTTGAGTGAGACAGTGTTCCTCAATTCCTTGCCGAGGCACCATCCCCATTGACCGCTGGAAAGGCCGAGACCACGACCAAAGTCACGGCCCGAGACGACTCCAAGACTGATAGGGTTGCCGCGCCTGCGTACGCACGCACGCATACACACACCCTCACACACACCCTCAACTCAATTCACTAAAATAATCACTCCGGATCCCAAGCACAGGGGTGCGTGACGAGCCCCCTCACCGCGCTCTGTGGCCGCCCTGCAGGCGCTGGCCTTGTGGTGGCGGCCTGCGCGCTCAATCCGGAGCTCTGGTACAGGAGGGTGCCAGGCTCTCCGCTCTTTGCAACCACACCCCAGAACTGCACTGCTTGGCGCAGCTTACTACGTAGCCCGGCTCAAGCCCGTTGGCACTGTGTCGTAGACTCGTGTCGGACCGCTGGTCGATCGAAATCATGGTCCTCGACAGACTATGACGGGATCGGTTTGGCCTCCGCCCGCCCTGCCCGTTGCTCTGGGTCCTCCCCAAAGACCTCACCCGCCCTCGCCAAGTTGGTCATGTCAGCCCTGGTAAGCTTGGCTGAGGGGGCGTCTGATGCGCGGCTGTCCCGACAGACACGGCCTTCTCAGGTAACAAGACGGATTGGACGACAGTTGACCAGCCGTCAATGCCACTAGTACTAGCAACCTCGCGATCTTCGCACTTCCATCGCCACCAACGCCAGCCAGCACATCACCAGCCCTGGGCTCCCCGCGAACCCACCTGGGACGCCCTCCTCAATGTCGCCCCCGCCGCCGTGTTCGTCCCGGCCAACAGCATGACAATCTCGGGCGTCACGCCCAATCCTGGGCTCCCCCAGGCTGGTACACCACCACCACCACCACCGCTGATACGCCCACTTGGTCGAGCCCGTCCCAATATGCGGCCGAGTAAACAGAAGTGAAACTCACCCGTCAATCGACAGATTGCTAAACTGACCAAATCACTAAGCCTGGCCGCAGGCTGCAGACGGATTCGCCATGTACCAGGGGACAAACAAAATCACAAGCCCATCGTGGGGCCTCCAGCGCCTAGAGCGAGGTGACAATGCTCCCGCTCAGCCTGGCCTCGTGTGCCAAAGCCACATCGCGCCGATAGCTACATGGTAAACTGATGGGCGCTATCAATCATGCGCCTCTGCATCGCCTCTCATCCGTGTGCTGGGCTCGGGCCAGGTACTCCTCATCGGTTGTTTCTACGCGGTGCATCCTGCAATGCAACGTTCTCGTTCGCCGCGGTTCCGTTTCAGAGGCCTCGAGATGGATTCTAAGATGTGGCTGCATGGGGCCACAGCGTTCGGCTACGTACCGTGCGCCCTTGGCTAGGGAGGTAGGTACCTACACACTCTAAAGCACTTCCACGAGACCGCTTTCCGCGCGGGCAGGAAACGCAGGGTTAATTAAACACTAGGTATGTACAGAACCAACACTCTTGTCGTCTCTGTTTCCACACTTTGTTCCAACGCTTCCTATTCGCCCATCTGCAAGTGGTCGGTCAGCCTCCAGCGATATGAGTATTTGGAATGCCCTTAGGAGTTGGCGTGCGTGGGATGATTTCTCAAGCCACACGGATCGAGTAAATCGTCGCTCTCGCTCGTATCCCGGCGATAAGCGTTGCCAATTGCGAGGTAGTTCGAAGATCCAACCCTTCCTTCGCAATGGTTCCTGATGCTCACCGTCCAGTTCCTAACCAAAGACGAGGAGAGCTAGCCTCAGTTCTTCTGGCCAGGCCGCTGCGCTGCCATGCTCCTCACCTTACGCAACTCATGCATGCATGCTCGTGGGGTGGGACCCAACCAACAGTGAACTACGGCGGAGAATCCGCCGTCCATTGTGGAGACCACTCGCCAAGTCCTCCTTTCAAAGCCATTTAGGGCCTGGAGCGAAAATGCATCTCAGTCCCCATGCATTGTCCGAAATTTGACCAAGCTGTGGGTGTCGGATGCAGCCAGCCAGCCAATGTATGTTCAGGATGCGCACACCGGTCCCCTAGGCCAGGTACATTTGGAACATGTGGCAGAAACATGGGGGGTCGGACATGTACCCTTGGACCGCCGAAATCATCGGCTCAATATCACTGTCTCCGAGTACGAAACAGTCCTCTTCAAGAGCCGTAAGCTCGTACAGTCACGGAATGGATATGAGTGCTATACTGTAGACTTCAGCTCCAGGTACAAAGAGGAGGGATATGTTGCACCAAAATGCTTACACGAGCTGGTCGTTCCCTCAAGGCGGTTTCAGCTACCTCGTTCTTGGTCACAAGGGAGCCCCGTCTGCGTCGATACGACTATGCACCAGAGGTGACAATGATCACAAACATGCATCTGCGAGTCCCCCAGACAATACCCCATCTCAGGCAATTTACGGCCTTCCGCCTGACCCAGTACCACTAGCTTGGGTTGACATCAGATCTCGGATCAGGGCGCTGACCTGTCGTCAGCCGAACACGTTGAGATACCGTCCGCATTTCGTCCATGCAAGTCGGTTGGAGTACGGAATACCTGAAATGAGGTTTCGCCCTGCCTTATCCCTGAACCCTGTCACCTCCCTCGCTATCCAAAGGGCTGGGTCGAAGCCATTCGCCGCAGATCCTGGCAGGGTTGGACAATAGAAGGCTTCTTAAGTATGGGTCCACATGTCTTGCACCACTATTCGACAAACGCGCCTCGGGCGAATCAATTGATATCCCATAAAAGCGGGCAATATCGGCAGATGCTGCAAAATCGGGGCAAGCCTCATTATCGCCGTCGTGAGTCGTTGCACCCTCAACGAAGCTACCACTGCACACAGTGCGCATGACTTCCGACATATCCTCACACTTCTGGGACGGTGGGCCCAGCCCTTTGGTCCGCGGGCATATCCCTTTAGTCTTGGAGCCTTTCGCTAAACTCCAGAATGTCAGGGATGCCAGCGCATTCCTGCTATTGGGTGCGGTCAAGTCTATCTAGCCCGATGACATGGGTTCACAAATGCAGCCGATCATCTCCCCCATGCGAGGGGGAATTCCCAACCATCTAAGAAGCAACACGTCAGCCAGCGAAAATGTGCTGGAGTCAACGCCTCCCGCGTTGGGGTATCATTGCGAGCAATTTGGTTGCTACACCCCATCGGTTCGTTCATTGGGGGAAGTGTGATAATCTCCATGCCATGCAATGACTGGTCAATCCTTTGATGAGGCGACTTGTCGCTCCCGGAATTCCCTCAACTCCCGCGATCTAGGGGCGATGCTAAGCTGACGGCTAGGACCGAATCGATGCAGGTTACTGCAACATCAGCAGCCACGAGTTGTTGATACGCGATGGGAGGGAACGAGAAGTAGCCTGACCCCTCAATCCTTCGACTAGTACGGGCGTATCAACCAGGCTGAACCATTCTCTCGGGACAGGTGTGTCAGGCGACCTCTCGGGGTGGAGGGGGGGATCCTGCTGCTTACACCCCCGGCTCCCCTCCGCCGTCCAGCTACGTACTGTCAATGGGCACGGCGCCAGCGGTTTTCGGTGTAGGCGAAGACTTGCTTGGAACTCACCAACCATGGATCCGATCAGCCTCTTTGGCCAATCACTACCAGTCTGCACACACTCGTCGTCCAGGGTGGACGACGTGCAGAAGTGATGGGTGTCCGAGCGCGGTGATATCAGCCGCTCGTCCAACCAACTGGGGGACTAGTGATTGGCAAAACCCTCTATCGCAGACCGCCTCGAGGTCCCATGGTTGCGACACATTGTCTGCAGCCTGGTCCTCTACGTGGCGTGATACCTGGCATGGAGCCGCTCAGCTGGTAAATTGCTTCTAAAAAGGGCGTGAATGTGACAAAATGGGTTCTAAAGCGGGCAGTACCTTTATCACACACATCACAATAGTTACACACACTAATAACAATGCCGCTCAATCTAATAGTCTTACGCCCTCGCTTCTCTCCCCCTCCATGGGACATTCGCCGCGCCTCACTGGAAATACTCCGAGACCGAGACATCACCCTGACCCCTGTCAACTGTGCCGCATTGGCGCAAATAGCCGACCCAGACTGTCGGGTCCAAAGTTGTGGGGCCCGCGAAATTACGGTGCCGGCGGCAGTTAGGGGCATGTTTCGTTAGTGGCATGAAAGCCATATCACTCTTGACTGGAGGACTGCGAATCCAACATCACATCGTCATGCGAAGCACGACGCACGCTGAGCATGGCACTGTCGCATCGCATTTTCCCCAATCAAGGGCCGCGATCCGTGTGCGAGTGGCTGACAAGGGGAGGCTGCTACGATTTGCGAGGGATGACGGAGGGAACGCCGCGCCGCAGACACCTGTTCTAGCAGTAGCGCAGGGATTCCATGCTGATCCTGCTAGGATGTGGCACCAAGAGCCAACACTCGGTGGCTGCAGATTCCAGCCCCGGGTCGTCCCTAGGCCGCATCCGGCTCTCCTTTCAAGGCGAAAAGACGCGGACCAACAGCGTCGCACTAGTCTGCCCCATATCCGCCGGCCCACCGCTGCCTCCCTCATGTAAGGGAAGGCCGAAACACGACAGGTCAGAAACCCGGGGAGCAAAACAACAATACCAAGAAGACTAATCTTGACCGGCCCGGGATAGCTGCGAGGTGAGCCGGCGTTGTTGACTCGGGTTGTTGTCTCTTGGACCCGAGGGTGCGGTGAGGCCTTGTCGAACTAGATGGCCCCTCACCCCATAACACGAATGAATCACTACTATACTGGAAACGACCACCGATGCATCGCCAGGTGTCAAGTATCAAGGCCCAGTATCAAACGCCACGATCCCGTAGCAGTGACGAGTCTTTTTTCCTAATTTTCTTACACTATACAGACGCGGCGATGGAAACACGCCCTCGATGCGAAAAAAGTTTCCTCCGGTGAAGCCCCGATGTGATTCAGTCTGTTGGCCGGTTCAAGCGACGCCTGTGACCCTCCCTTGGTCGAGACACGGCCGGCCGCCCCAACCCACGCAATCTTTCCGCACCTGCATCTCCCTCGGTGGTGTTGTGTTGTTGGTCCCCGCCTGCATCTAAGCACGGTCTAGATCTGAACAGGCCCTTACCACTCGTACTCACCCGTGGCCTTGTGGAAGACGTATTCCTTGCCGTTGACGGTCAAAACGCCGTCCTTGAGAGTGCACTTCCTGAAGTCGTTGTTAGTAAACAAACAAGTCTCGTACGTGAAAACGGGAAAAATGCACCACTTGTTCTTGACGCGCTGGACCTTGTCATACATGCAGAGCATGATGTGACCGAGGCCTTCGTCGTCCACCTCATCCTCGTCTCGGTCCTCATCAGGATCATCGAGGTCCGAGTTAATGGCGTCCTCGTCCTCTTCCTCGTCTCCTCCGTCGTAGGCAGCCGCTTGCTTGCCCTTAGACTCGGACCTCGATCTGGCCGCTGTGGCATGTCGAGTCGCTTCCTTCAAAGGCAACATCAACCCACCACCTTCCATACTCTTGGCCTTCGCAACGATCTGCTCGTGCAGCATCCGGTCAATCTCCACCCGACCCAGTTCATGGAGGTCGCCAGAGGCGCTTCGCTCCATGAGAACGCCCTCAAACTCATCCTCGTCACCAGCTCCATCCGTCTGGCCATTGTTGATATGGGACTGTCCATTAGCAGCCCGCTGCTGCTGCTGCTGCTGCTGAGCGGCCATCTGTTGACGGTACATTTGCTGTTGCTGCTGGGTCATGGCCTGTTGACCTTGTTGTGGCTGTGAAAGCTGGGGTTGCTGTTGTTGACCCTGAGCTTGATGCTGAGGCTGTTGTTGCTGATGAAGAGCATTGATAGAGCTCGCAGCCCGTTGTCCATACTGGGCCTGGAGTTGTTGAGCGGCTCGCTGAGCAGCGACATTCTTGTTATCGTAACCCTGATACGGGGGCGGCATGGAGCCGTTCGGTATTCCGGGCTCCTGCTTAATGCCTGGCTCATTCTTCACGTAGCCACCATCCAGCTTCATGCCATTCTGGCCGTGAGGGGCTTGCTGTCCAACATTTGGCAGGGACAGTCCTTGTGGGACGTTGTGCTGTGGGGCGAACTGAGGCTGAGCATGTGCAGGCGGCGCCGACACGGCGGGAGGTGCAGATTGTGCTGGAGGGGGAGGGTCAGGCTTGGGGTCCCAAGGGAACTTGGCCACATCCAACTGGGTCAGTTTCCGCTGCCATCCCTAGATGTGAAGCCATGTTAGTTATGAATATAACGAGTACAGCCGATGCAATACAATGTATGAATAATGAGTCAAGTGGCAAAGAAATGAGAGATTATGCAGGCAGGTAGGCAGGTAGGCAGGCAGGCAGGCAGGCAGGCAGGCAGGCAGGCAGGCAGGCAGCAAGGTTACTGTGAGTAACGCAAGGCTACAAGCAGGCAGTGTTATGCAAGTTGAGTGGGTGCGTGATGCCAATGGCGAGACACGTGAAGGAGGGGAGCCGGAGGTACCCAATCAAAAGGGCTGTTGACGGCGTGGAGTCACAGCACGAGTCGCGGCAGGGGGTTGGGGCTTAAAAGACCCAAATAGTGCTGCGTCGCCCCCTCCCGCAACCCGCTGTCTCCCTCAGCGCAAGGCCCGCCAGCCAAACGTCGTCAGCGAAATGGCTCGACTGAGCTCGCCATCAATGCTGCGATGCCAGCGGCGGGCGGCATCGTCACTGCGCTCGCGGGTGTCTTCAGGGAGGGACGCGAGCGATGTGGGCGGTTCTTGGCCGTTGTCCTCTGCGCCATGATGGCTCTGGGCAACGCGCGACATGGCACACCAGGGGGACGAGTCAAAGAAACTCAACGAAACTTGGTGCTCTTACCTGTCGCAGTTCCTCCAACACTGACTCTTCGACACCGCTCTCTTCGAAATCAACTCGCGAGCTGTTGATGACCTCGTCAATGATGGCCTGGTAGACGTTGCCGACCGCCTGGTTTGACATGATGCCGGTTGCGTTCTTGGATTCGCTAGTGGAGCCGTCCTCGTAGGCAGAGGGATTGGTCGCTGTGCGAGTCTGCGGGTAGCCGACGTCGCTTGTGCCGTGCGAAAGACAGTCCTTGCAGTGAGCTGTTGCTCAAACCTCGACTCGAGGCTGCGGTAGCTTGTCGCGATCGCAGAGTAAACGGGCCGGTGCTTGGTCGGAACGGTGTGCGAAGGCGAGACGAGGTGAGGATAGGCGACTCGGTGGGAATCCCCGATGCAGGTACTTGGCAGCGGCGGTTGCCAATAAACAGGCTTAAAGCACCCGAATGCGCAGCGACAAGAGAAGATGCACTCCAAGCAATCAAATAAATACGTAGGGTCTCTATTCGCGGACCTTCCGTCGATGGGTTTTGGTCGAGCTCTTGCGCCGTGCTGTCGATCTAATCGAAGGTCGTTGCAGTCGGTGCGCCTTGGTGATGTGCAGTGGGGAGAGTTGGTAGCCTGTGGTAGATTTGGACTTCTAGAACTGCGCTGGCGGTCACCTAGCTGACTCAGCAGCGGGCTCCCACCGCCTTCGGCGGACAGGCAGACGCCGTAAGTACCTACCTACCAGGTAGGTAAGGTAGGTAGGTACCTAGGTAATTAATGACAGTAATGACCACTAAATCCGTAAGCGACTACATCTCGTTTTCAGCAACATAGGTAGCCATCTTCCGTCTTGACAACAGTACCCATTGAGCTTCGCAAGAATGATTTGATCTTGTTGCTTGATTAAACTCGGGAGTAAACGCATTAGAGTTGACTACATGGGACCAAGAGTCAGACAGAGACCACATTGCGAAGGCGCTGACCAATCAATGAATGCGACAGCATATTTCAAGGAACTCTCATGATGCATGTTCGTGACGAGGAATGTTGAACCAAACACCACGGCTATCATGGATGACTCCGTCACTACCTGTAAGACACAGGCAACAATCTCATGAGCAAGATTAATCTCATTTAATGGCACACGCTCGCAAATTATTCGCAATCAACGCCCTAGGTAGTTCAATTTCAAAAACAAATATTACTCCTACACCGCTAACCATATTGTGGCTTCGTCCCCAAGGATATCGCATCATAGCTCATGACCATTCCGTTGTGTCGTCCCTGCGTGGAGAAGCGCTTTCATACCACGAGCAAGAGGAAGTAGACTCCCCAACTCCATGCTTCAATTTGCACAACTCCGAGAGACCCAAATACCAGTGAAAGGTTCATACCTACCTGACCCAGTTGGTACTGGCATTTCATTTATCGGATGGTCATCTGCTTAACCATGTCGGCCTTGCTAGAGGCGCCAGAGGCACCGATGCCAGCGGAAGCGCCAGCCTTCTTCTCAAAGATCTTCCAGAACTTCAAGCTCTCATCGGCAGCTAGAGCGTCGTTAGCAAGAGATTATCATCTAGTCATTAAAGTGTTATTCTTACCAGCAGTAGCCAACATCTGGCCATCGGGGCTCAGGCAGCTGTGGAGAACACGGCTCTCGTGAGCGGGAATCTCCACGTTACGGACGAGAGTAGGGTAGCTCCAGATGCTCAGGGAGTTGTCGGGGAAGCCGCTAGAGCTGACAATCTCACGCTGGTGGGGGCTCCAGCGGAGGGAGGTGACCTGGGAGCCAGTGTCGATGCTGTTGACGCGGGCGCCAGAGGTGGAGTTCCAGAAGTGGATGTGGCGATCGTAGGAACCGCCGCCAGTTGCGAGAAGGTTCATGTTCCACGGGCACCAAGCGAGGGCCTTGACGGCAGCCTTGTGGTTAGTCTTGGTGAACTTGGGGACGGACAGGGAGCGAGCGTCCCAGATGGAAACCAAATTGTCGTTGCCGCCGGTAGCGAGCTGAGCGCCATCGGATCGCCACTCCAGGCCGCAGACCTCGGAGGTGTGGGAAACGAGCTCAGCAACCTTGTGCTCAGCGATGCGGACATCGTGGTTGTAGACGAGACCACTTCGGGCACCGGTGGAGAGGAGGTGCTTGTTCCAGCCCATGACACCAACACGGGTGTCGTGGCCGAACATGCTGCGGATTTTCTGGCTCTCGGCGACGTCCCAGATTTGGACTTCGCCAGTACCGAGGCCGACGCTGACGTAGGCACCGTCCCCGGACCACTTGACGCTGCTAACATAGGTGTCAGGGGAGGTCTCGAGAAGACAGCTGACGCTACCTTCTTCGGCAGACCAGACGTAGACGTTGCGCTCGAGACCAATGGCAACCTGGTTACCCGAGCTCCAATCAAGGAGGTTCAGATAGTAGTCGTCAATCAGACCAGGGGCATCGAGGACGCGCTCAGGGGCGGTAGCAATGCGACGTCGCAGCTGAGCAGAGCTAGCACCGACCGCCTTGAGAGGTCGGTTGTACTGCTGTCGGAGGTCGATAGGCTTGGAAGACTCGGGAGCAGCAGGCTTGAACTCAAGGATACGGGTGTTCAGGCTGACACCGCAGGCATTCGCCAATGAATCTTGGTAGGCCACGGTGTTGGGGGAGGGACGGGAGTATGTCTCAGGCTCGTCGTCATCATCGTTGATGTTGAGGTTCTCAAGAGCAGCCAAGGCCTCGTCAGCAGCAGTGGACAGGACGGAAGAGCTCTCCGTGCTGTTGTTCTTAGATCGCTTCCTGTCAGCCAAGTCAAGCTTGCCGGAGCCGGCGTTGGCGATGGCAGAGCTCGCTCCCCGATTGGGAATGAAGCGGTCACCACCGTAGCTCACAGTCGTCTTGGCGGCCTTTTGTCGCAGGGGAGCCTTCTTGCACTTGGAACTGGAGGGGGTCTTGATGACGAGTCCGGTGCCGGTGAGAGTGAAGTCAGAGACGCCAAGCTCCAGAGCCTTGCGAGGGGTCTGAACACCTCGTGCGATGTTGGACTTGGGGGAATCGCGGTGGGAGCTGGGTCTGGAAAGGTGTGCCATGAGGTTACCGCCATAAGTGCTGGACTTTGTGGATGGCCGGAAGTCATTGCTGGACTGTCTCTCAGGGGTGAAGGGGGAGGAGTTGAGGTTGACAGGGATGTTGACCGATGACTGTCCGCGAGGTGAAGGGGTCAGGGGCATCCGTCCGCCGGCGGTACGGGAGGAGAAAAGTCCCTTGTGGGACTTGATAGGAGTCGACACAGTAGCGGTGGCCATTGTGGATGACTTTAGGGTGTGTCAGACGGGAGGTGAGAGCGTGTAAGTGGGATCTCCAAGCAAGTAGCACGCGAATGCGTGAACGAAATTCGAGCCTCGAGGATATCGAACGAGCTCCAAGAGACTCTAGCTAAAGGTTCCTGGTTATTAGTATTTTTGTATCGTGTTCAATGTTCGATAAAATCGAAATGTCTTTCACGAACAGACGGCGAAGTCGGAGGGCGATCAGATGGCGTCGGAGCGATATGATCTAGCGGACTTGCAAGATGTCTTTCGAAAAGCGATTGAGAGAAGTTTACAGCAAAGCCCAAGGCTTTGTGAAGGTTTGAGAGTCGTGGATGAGTAGAGGGATGCGGGTTGAAGGTGATGAGAGGAGAGAAGTAATCGGTAAGAGAGGCGATCCACGGGTTCCTTTTATTTACCTTGCGCCCCGCCATATTCCTGTCCGGGCAACCGCAAGGATGACGTCGGAGCGTCACAAAAGTCCGCTCCGGAATGGCTGCCCCAACCTTGACCAATCACAAAACGGCTCAGCCAACACGCCACACATTGCCTCAGGGGCCCTTGCACAACGCCACAGACGAGGCTTCCAAATTCTCTAGTTTGGGCAGGGAGCAGGGCCTCTAAACGCATCACCACCATCCCTCACCGACGACACACGACCACGCCTGCAACGCCCCGAGCCCGCCAACATTCATCTCTCGACGTGCTCTCTCCGCCATTCGCTTGCGGCCGCATTCTTCAGAGTCTGAGATGACCAGGTAGCGACCAACTCGCTCCCGGATCTGCGCCATGGCTCAACCTTCGACCCCTGGCCAAGCGCCGCAATCCATCTTCGGCGGGCCGATCCCTGTCGCTGGAACTGCCCCGTCCCAAGGCATCGTCAGTCAGGTCTCATCCGCCCTCACTACGCAGCAGCCAGGGCCGACGCCGCCCTCGGCTGCTTCAGGATCCTCCTCGTCGAACAACACATATATCATGCCCAACTCCCCCGCAAAAGGTCGCACAGCGGCCGATGGATACCGCCCCAAGGTCACCCGCACGCTAGGACAGAGACCCGCTTGTCTAGTCAACGCCTCCGTGACGTACTGTGGGAACAATCAGATCTATGCTTTTGGCGGTTTCGATCAGTACACAGATGAGGTCTATAACCATGTGCTGAGGCTGGACCTCGTCAGTCACCAGTGGAGTCTCGTCGACAACTATGGAGATATCCCGGGCGTCAGAATGGGTTAGTACCTCGTCCCGATCTCATGGTGTTAGTGGAGTTGCTGACCGGGCGAGCATAGGGCATACTGCCACACTATATCAAGGAGATAAGCTTCTTGTCTTTGGCGGCGAAAACGAACATCGAACGTACCTCTCCGACCTCATCGTCTTCGACTTAAAGACAGCACACTGGACCCAGCCTCAGGTCACCGGGCCGATCCCCAAAGGCAGAGCCCGACATGCTGCGATCCTGCACGAGGACAAGCTCTTCGTGATCGGTGGCATTACCGGCCAGAACAACTATGTCTTGGATGACATTTGCTACCTGGACCTCAAGACATTCACTTGGTCCAAATCTTGGCGTTTCGTCGGCCGGTTCGACCACTCAGCATACATCTGGGGCGATCGAGTGTGGGTGTTTGGCGGGCTGAGTGAGGATATGGACAAGATTGGTGATTTGTGGTGGTTGGACCTCAAAGGCAACCCCCAATTTGACTCGCGCCCTCAAATTGGTGTTTTTGATCGAACCCCGATCAACAGCAGGGTAAGCGGTTCGCCTCGAGCGCCTTACTCAATGGCACAAGCCCCTGTCGTTGGCGCATCTGGGTACGCCGCCAACTCCCGAACAGCTCAAGTGAATCCGCCATCGTTCCAACTCAAATCTTTGGCTCCCATGGCGCCGGGATCTATCTCAGCCTTAAAGTTCATGTCTGGACCAGCCATTCCAGCACAAGGGTCGGGAATCCACTACCACGCCTACTCTTCAGGGACTCTGCTCGACTTCGTGACACCCGCCGCCACGATAACGCCAAGAGAATGCTCGTTATCAGCCCTCGACCTAGGAACCCTTCGCTGGCAGAAGCTCGCTGAGGGCCGTGAGATCTTCAGAACTGGGTATAGATGGCACTATTGTACCATGAATGAAGATGGGACAAAAGCTTGGTTGCTGGGCTGTCCTACTGACCTCGCAGCAACAGACTTGGGTCCTAATGGCTATGAAGAATATCTGAGGTAAGGACAAGTCAAACCACGACGGGATATTTGATTAAAAGTGCTAACTAATGACCTAATCAGTGATATCATGGAAATTGACCTCCGAAGATATGGCTTCCTGGGAGACAACCTAGCCTCAGAGTCTCGCGCTGAATCAAGACCCTCAGCGACAAGGATACTTGATCAGCCTTCCAAGGGCCTTGGAGCAGATCTCGCGAAGCTCTTTAACCGACCTCCCGAGACTGGTAGCGGTACCGACTTCATCGTCACCGCCCTAGCCGGAGACTACGATGAGGACGATGCGCTCAGCTCCGGGCTGATTCGATCCGACGAAACACCCCGAGACCAAAACTGGCTATCAGCCGACACACCAACTTCACAGCCCATCCATGTCCATAAGCTTATCCTCCAAGCACGCTGGCCGCACTTTGCACGCCTCTACAACGCTCAGATGGCTGAATTCCACACCAAGAAGATGCATATTCCGGAACCATACACGGTGGTCAAGGCCTTCCTTTACTACCTATACACGGATAGCATTCACGGCACATCTGATGCGGACAGCGATGCGACAACGGGACTCTCCGAAGTAGCGGGCCTACTGGTGATGTCCAACATTTATAACATCCCTCACCTCCGACTCCTATGCGTCAACCGCCTAGCTAAAGAGCTTGACGTCGACCACGCTTGCGTCATCTGGTATTGCGCAGGCCTTGCCAATGAGGAGTGGCTTAGGAAGCGGTCCGCCAACTTCTGCATGACGCACTGGGGCCGCATCGTCCGTACACAGGGATTCCTCCGGCTGCCACGGTCTGCTCTCGTCGAGCTCTCTCAGGAAATCGATATGGAGGGTCGCGTCGTCGGAGGTGATGAGCTGGAGTGGGGCGGCATGTCTGGGCGCTTCGGTGAAGGCATGGGCCATGGCGCCCGCAAGGAGAGCATCAGCAGCAGCCACACTCAGATGCTGGAGTCTGAGGCTGACGAGGACGACGGCATGGAGCTCAACTAAATTACATGCTTTCCCATGAACATATCCGCACGCGAAAACGATACCCGTAAACTCCCAAGGAAACAGAGAGTGGTCTGCGGCCGGAACCAGACGACCCTGACCCGACCCGACCTGACCAACCCAACTTTGCCCCCACCCCCAACTTTGATGAGATCTCGATCTACACGATGTCACGCACTGCAAGAGCACACATTAGGCCCACTTGCTCTTCCATTTCTTTGCTTTTCTTCTCCTTACCAGGCCTCCTTGTTCGGCATACGCGGGGGGGGGCGAACACAGCGGCGCTCCTGCATTTGGTTTCGGCTAGTTTAGCCTAGTTGTCTCGCTTGTGTCTGGTGTCTATTGGCCTTTCGGCATATGTCTTCCTTTTATCTTGTTCTGTTTCTGGTTCTTTGCATTGCATGGCGTTGGCTGTCGCAACAGACTTAGTCCTCTTAGATCCTGGCCAACCAATGAATCTACCTTGTCTGCGACTTGTTAGCTTATCTGAGTGGGCGTAACTAGTCCTTGGCTCCTCTTGCAACCGACCTATGCAGATCGTAAGCTGCGTCGTCATGTGCGTGCTCTGCGGCACCTTAAACCCCTTGCTCTCTTAGCTCCTCACAAGCCTTGTCAATCGCCAGGGGGCATGCTGACGCGATGGCTTGATACGTCACAGTCGACAGGGCACCGAAGGAGCAGGCGCAGCGATGATCGTGAATCGACTTTCATGTGAACGTGGAAAATCAAGGGTGGGAGTTAAGCTCCAGTCCCCTTCCAGGTCTATTGATCAATCATAAACTTTCAAAAGCGAACCTGCAGCATAGAAGCCACGCTGCCCAGTCTATATATCCTTTTTGGCTTCGTCTTCTTTTAGATAGACGCTTTGCCGCCCCATTTTTGGAATCCACGCCAGAAGTGTCAGTCCGCAGCAAGGGAGAGCCAATGGCACAACCCGCCGAGAAACCGCAACCAAAAAAACAACAGGCAACTCAACAGGGAAAACAAAACAATAGCAACGGCGAACAAAGGCGACAAGAAACAGACAACAAAAGCGTAAAAGCAAACCACCGCTGTCTTTTCGGGGCAAACAAAAGGCTTTCCCAACAATCCATGTAAATGCCAATCTTCTTCTCCAAACTCGCAGTCTTTACGCACTCATCCACCTTCAATGAAACCAATTGGCAAAAGCGCGCTGTTCTGTCCCCATCCAGCTAGGCCAAGTCCGGCCAGCCGGCCAGCCAGCTGGCCGCCGTATCAAGACAAAGACAAGAGGGGTCGTGTGAGCTACCATACCTAAAAGTAGTGGCGGAAGTGTCCAGACATTCAGCCCTTTCCAAGAGAGGGTGTAACAAAAACGCATCGAGGGTGACATCAAAATCCCTCCTCAGCCCGTCACCCTCTTGATCCCACATTGGATCCGCTCAGCCTAGTGGTGGGTGGTGTGGCGTAGACAAACTCAAAAGGCGCCAGTGCCCTGGAACCGGGATGAAAGGCTGAGCCCAGAAAGGTACAGAGCAGTGACATGGACAAGATATCGCCGAGCGGAGACTTGGACAAAGTGCCATTAGAACTGATGCGGGTAAGGAAAGCAGCAGAACGGGTAAAGATCAAAACTTTTCGGGGGGGAGGGTCGCAAAAGGGAATCAATCATATCAAATCATGCGAAGGACCAGTTGTAGGTGGAAATCCGGGCAAGAGCCCTCCGATGCATCAACGCCTTTGCGGAATGCCGTAAATCGAGGAGGAAAACCAAAGAACCAAGGGGTATTGACAAGAAAAGACGGAGCTGGCACGATGCGGTCGGGTCGAGATCTCGCGATCCGGCACGAGCTGAAGCTGGCGACGGCATCGGTATCGGCATCGGCATCATAATGATGGAGTTTGGAGGGGCGCGAGTGGGGAAGTGACGTCGAGATCCCATCCCAGCCCCTCAAGCTTTCTCGCCGGTTCAGCTTGCGACGTCGCCGACCGGTCGTGCGTTGTGCAAGCGAGGTCCGCTAGTGACAATATGCTTCCGGCAGATAGTGGCCATTCCGTTTCTATTGCATCATCTGGTCTTCGCCGATTCCTGGGAGGTTCATTCCGGCAGCGAGCGCCTGCAGCTTGAAATCTGGATTGCAGGGCAGCGAATGGGCCTTGTGCTGTTCAGGGCGTTAGAACCAGTTGTGCATCTAGCCTCGGAAAGCGGGAACTCACGTATTTCAAACCGTTTAGGTTCTTGTAGCGCTTGCCACACGTCTCACAGCTAAATGGCTTCTCTTTTTCCATGCCAAGGGTTCCGGGGTAGGGTGCACTGGTCTCGGGATTGACGATAGAGAATGTACCATCTCCATTCTCGTGCAGCTGTTGTGTTTGATGGCCGTGCGTCTTGTGATATCTAAAGCAGAGCTGTTAGTATAGGGCCTGGCACGCGCGATGTACCCGTGTGGGCGAGGGGGCTTACTTCAGGCCGTTCTGGTTCTTGTACGCCTTCTCACACCCAATGACGGGGCATTTGAAAGGCTTATGCTCCTCGGGCATCATCATGCTCTGGAGGCGTTGCATGAGGGCCTTGTTGGCGGCCGGGTCGGAAAACTGAGCCTGGTTGAGGCCCAACTGGGCCAACTGAGCCTGGATAGAGCGGTTGGCCGCTGGGAATGCGCCGTTGGGACTAAATAGATGCTTTCCGGGATCGTTGATACAGAAGTTGGAATCGTTGGCGTTCTGGTTGCCACCAAAGTTCATGTCGCCGATATCATTTGTGTTACCACCCATGGGCATGCCGGGAAGGTCCTCGTCCAAATCCACCTGTTGGCCCCTCCCTGGTAGCTGACCCTGGTGGGTAGTAAGCGTAGGCGTATTGACGGATGAAACAGTAGGATTGTTCTGAAGGCCGAAGCTTGCAGCCGCGGGAGTTGGAGGTTGAGAGGTGCGCAGGCCCTGGGTGAGGCCGGATGTGTTCATGTTCAGCTGTGGTCGCTGTTGTTGCCCAAAAAGCTGTCTCGTCTGGTGCATCCGCTGACTGTCGTCCATCTCCATAGTGCCAACGGCGTCGTCCATCTCCATATCTGCCACAGCATCCATTTCGTCGTTGAGGTTTGATGTGTTGATATGCGCATCATTGACACCCGTATTCTGCTGCCCGCCCATCATCTGCATGGCTGACCCTGTGGTCCTACCCTGCTGTCCGAGCTGTCCCGTCGACTGGCCATTCCCGTGGCCCTGAGTTATCGAATTGGTCCGGGAGTTGGGCATCTTGGGCGCACCGGGCATGCCCATCTGCGAGAACTGAGTGAAGGCATTGTTTCGGGCGGTATTGGGGCTTGGTTGCGTATGGGCCTCCTCGTAGTGTTGTAGCAAGTCGTGCAGGTTAGGCAAGATCTTGCCGCAGCAAGTGAAGTCTCTCATGAAGTTGGCCTCGAGCTTGGGGAGGTACGAGGACGAGTGGAAGGAGGGGGACTGGTGGGTGCCGAAGGGCGATGTGCCCTGCATCATAATACTGCGAAGCCATAGTGTTAGTTTACTGCATGAAGACGTTTGACAAGAGGGCGCATCAGTTTGATATGGCAGCCGGTCAGCGCCAGTAGGTGGGCTGCTTGCGCCGGACAGCCACGGAGCCCCGGTCCCCAAAATGTCTCGCCACTCCGGACGGAACCCGGACGGATCTCCGGAGGAGGGGAGCATGGTGATGTTGCAGACGGGCTCAAAACACAACCGGCGTGAGGCAACAATATACGGGAGGGGACCGTCTGGGGAGGAATGACGGATGAAATGTGAGGTCGAAGGACGAGCGCGGGTGGTGAGGAGCAGCCCAAAAAGAGGGCACAAAACGAAGCATGGGTAAATGGAGGGACAGCATGTGAAGATGACTTACTCGTCGCGGACAAAGCTCCCAAAGGACATGCCGCCCCAGCTCATGCCGCCCATGAGGCTGCCGGCAAGGGACTCTCTTCGATTTCGGTTTACATTATCGCGGTTGGGGTTGTTGACGGAGATGGGCTTTGGGCCAGCGCTGACAAACGAGTCGCCGCGGGGACGACCCATGGAAGGGTCCAGCGTGGGACCAGTAGTCATCTTGAAGTCGTCGTCAAAGTCGATGTCGCGGCCGACGAGATCGAGATCGGGGTCGGGGTTGGCAAAGGGGTTGTAGTTGCTGGAGTGGTAGCGGCTGGTAGGCGACGACGACAAGGAGGGTATTTGGGCAGCGCGCGGGGAGAAGGCGGCGATGTGGATGGTCTTGGAGGAGGTGGTGCCAGAAGCAGCGGGACGACGAGTAATAGTAGTCCCAGCGGTAGCGGCAACGGTAGCCTGAGAGGCAGCGGTCGCGGTAGCGTCAGCGCCGGTGGGAAAGTGGCCGGTGGTAGGGGTCTCCGGCTGGGGCGACGGCGACTGCGTCAGCGAGGCCGAGTTGAGGGACCCAGGAGAGTCAGGGCCAGCAGCGGCGGCGAAGTGGGCAGTCGAGTCACAGGCGCTGTCGCTGGCGGTGGCGGCGGAGACGGCGGCGGAGGCGAGGGCGGGTGTGGGTGTGGATGTGCAAGTGGAGGCTGAACCACACGGTTCCTGAGCTCTGGTGGTATCGTTCTGGAACCACTTGAATGCGCTGCGCATGCTAGGGACGAGGCAGCGATACCAGACACTGGGCCGGGAGGAGACGGTGGTGGTTTCGAGAGCGGGATGTGAGGGCGAGGCTCTGTGCGAGGGCGAGGTTCTGTGCGAGGGCGAGTGTCGAGGGTCAGCTCGAGGGTCAGCTCGAGGGTGCAGGGCCAGTCGAGTGAGCGCTGTGTCGTGGTGTGTAGCGCTGTCCGTTGCGCGTTCTTCCAAGCCAGTCTGTCTGGTCGCTTGGCTGGATTGGTCAGGGCCCCCGTTATAACTTTGGGCGGCGCTGGAAAGCCGAGACGGGAAAGGCAACAAGAGGGCGCACCTTGTGTTGCACAACCTTTTGATCGGCCTCGCGGAGCCTATCTGTGTGCCCGGGCGTTTGGTTGGTCGGCACCTTGGTGGACGAAGCCTCACTCTCCCGTGTCTGGCCGTTGCTTCTTTGGCTGACGGTGTGGCGGCCTGGGGTCGCTTGGATGTTTCGCTTGCGTCCTTCGTGTTGGACAGAGCTTGGGCTCGGCCGCGCGGTTTGGCTGAAAGATGCTGGGACCTGATGCGATGGCTGCAGCCCCGGGGCCTGAACGCGGGAAGTGGGAAATTGGTGTAAGTCAGCTCACAGAGCGATGGGCGGTGGACGGATTTAGCAGCCTGTCTGTCTTGCCGTTGGAGGTAAGGCCGTGGTGGGCTCGACGTGTTAGATGATGGCTGGCTGATGTCGGGTGGAGGATGGAGGATGAAAGATGAAGGGTTAGGAGATAGCAGCAACACGCTTCGAAAACAGGCTGTGGGCCAAGGAGGAGAACGGGGGATCCGAGTTGACCGACAGTCCAAAGATGCTGTATAATAATGTAGGTCGCCGTTGGCGGTACGGAGATAGTCCACGAGATACGAGATGGGAGTGCCGTCGGGTCGAGGTGTCGTCCCAGTCGTTGTCTGATGTTTGGTACTTAGCTGGTACCCGTTTCGCTTCTGGACAGACGGCCGACGAGAGATAAGTCGAGAGAGGATGAATGGATGCAGTGACGGACTAGACGGATGCTTCTGCTTGATACGTACTGCTTTTGTCGCCGCTGTTTGTTGCTGTAGACTATTCCCTTACGTACCGTACCAATCGACGTCTGTCCGTGTCTCTTCCCCAGGTCCAGGGTGCTTCAAGCTGCGCGAGATGGTTCCAGGGTACGTACAGGGATGGGTCCCAGCAGGTGAGTGATGCTGGATGGGGGCAGTTGTGATACAAAGCATTGTACTGCAAGAGAGGCGCTATCACGATAGTGGACTAGCGTATCCTGCCGCTTTAACGGGGAACTTTGGGGACACAAACACCTGTATACCTACCCTTATACATAATAAGACAGTAGAAACAAAATACCTACCTACCTAAAGCAAAGGATTTTAACACGTTATTTAGCATTAACTACTTACCTTTTTATTTATCATTTGAATTTAATTTTCATCCACATTGGCTATTAGTGGCAGTGGCCTTGCATCCCCTGATAAAGCAGCATTAAGATGCTGGGCGAAAGTAGGATAGCCTTTGATCGAGAGCCTTGGTTCTGGATCAAAAACTAAACTGCATCCACTCTAATGGCTGAATCAAGGGCGTCGGGCTGGCGTGGGTGGGGTCGCTCAAGGCTAGGCAAGAGCAGGCTGTGGCAGGTGGTGGCAGGGAAAGGGACGCCGCCCACCACGGCCCACCACGGACATGCTGGGCAGGTAGGTACCTGGAGGTACCACTCGCAGCCCACTACCTTACTTGAAGCTAGTGAGGTTCAGGACGTCCAGTGCGTCCAGTGGGTGGGTTCCGTTCCAGGACCCTTTGACGGACTGGGCTAAACACAGCGGATCAATATGGAGTCCATTCTGTAGCACGGTAGGTGCCGTCAAAGGGTGGCACTGGGGGTGGGCAACAGGTGGTAGTTACGTGACGTTGGGGGCAATGGCGGCTGTGTCGGGGCCAGGGCACTTGTGAGGCTCGGGGCGTGGACCTGGAGAAGTATTATTAGAGGCCTTTGTCCGTTGCTCACCCCGAGAGTCGGGGCCTCTTGGCGGCACCGGCCAGTTCTGGAGAGAGCCCGCCGGAGCTGGTGATCTACAGTGAGCACCATGTCGGTGAAGAGTCGGGGGTAGAGGTACAACAGGCGTGCTACCGGTGCTTTGGGAAGATCGCTGGCCCTCATGTCTTCAGGCCAGCCGAGTCTACCGAGGTTGGCGAGAGCTGAGCTCGAGTCGGAGCCGGAACTCAACCTAGGACGACGACGTGGTTAGGACAGTGCGTGCGTGCATCGCAAGGTGGGTGCCCGGCTACTGGAGCTGGGCCTGGAGCCGAAGCTCTCATGTGGAGTGATCCACTGGAGTTGCCAAGAGTTCGGCCGGCGGCCCCTTTGCCGCTGCTCAAGGGCAATGCCCGGCATTCGCTCAAGGCTTTCTGCATGTGGTGTCAACTACGTAGGTAAGTACTCCGTAGAGGTAGGTAGTAAGTTATGTTCCCGTCCGTCCCTCCGTCCAGTCCAGGTAGGCAGGCCGCGTCTCCTCAGTGACGGCCCGACAGCAAGGTGCCAAGTACGGGTACCTTTACGTACGACAAGGCGGCGACGCTTCCGGACTTGGGCTGGCCATGGCTGGCTCGGAGGCTACTCTCTCTAGCGGTCCGGGAATCTATGGCGTCGACTCGAGGTTCTAGTGCGTACCACCAATGCGGCGCTAGAACCTCGCCGGAGCAGCCCGTGGATGATTTCAAAAGCAAAAAACGTGGCCAACAAGTCCGTCTCGTGGATGATCAGTGGATCCAAGGCCGTGGAGGTGCGACGAGCACGGAGGAGAGATTGCGAGTGGGCGAGACCCAAGTCAGATAATGAAGACGAGGGGAAGCGGAAAGAGAGTAATTACGTAGTCTGCCTCAGATGCCATCCATACCAGAACACGTAGTGGGAGGGGAGCAAAGTCCAAGGTTTGTTAGTCGCTACACCACACCATCTCATTCATCGGAGGCCGCGTTCGAGTCAGGTCACACTGACAGGAAGAGTTTATCCATAGAGTTTATCACCATCTCCGGTTTCGTATCTCATCTCATCTCGTCGCATCGCGTCCTATCCTAACTTGGGCCATTGTGGATTTACTATCAGATCTATCTGCTATCAACCGACAAGAATATTGTCAACTACACCGTTACGCGCTACCGTCACAGCAAATAGTGCCTGGGCCGTTTTTGTGCTCGCCCTATCCTCCCCGCCACCGACGGCGTTCTCAAAGATACGCCAATCATACATGTCAACTCACCACGTCCTTCGGAAATCGAAACCGCGAGAGATCCACGATTTTAGGGCATCGCTCAAATCAACTACGGCAGGGGACGTGGGTATCAGTGACATGCCTTTGGCGTTGGCTACCTACCTAGGATCTAGTGCCTAGCCTGAACGTCCCTGATGGAGTCGACAAGGTCCGTCCGCTTTGGACTGGATCAGACCTTGCGCGGCATTATGGGTATTCGTAACATTTATCCGTCACCAAACACACCGACACCTTACCGCACAAGTACACTTTATTGGTCCGACGGCTTGAAGCAGAAGGAGTACTTTTGCTTCAGATGTATCCATGGCTAACTTGAAGCGATGGCCCGAGGACGTGGAGAGGCTATCGCAAAGAGAGTTTGCGAGGTGTGTGACTTAAGCGAGCCACCTCCAGCGCAACCAGATCGGAACGATAAGCTCCTTTGGTGAGAATCCTGGCGATGCAGCAGCCCGGAACCTAGCCCGATCGAAAACTCCGTTTCAGGCTTATGCGCGCCTGGTCGTTAAGTAAACCTTCACTAGGATCCAGGTCACTAGGATCCAGGTTTGAATAATTGCAGTTCGCTTGAGGAAAGAGACAACTTTAGCTCGGGGGATCGATTGTTGTCGTCTAGTTGTGTCACATGCAACATCCTAAATCAATCCAACTCCATCAGCCCATCGCTTCTGCATCTCCCATCACCTTTGCCGCAACGGACTGGCTTGCATTGGCTCGCATCCTAGCCAACTGGTAAGAATCCCGCACCTCCACAACCTAGGTAATTACTCTGTGGGTGGGTGGGCAGGACGTCCAGGGTCGCGTCAGGGCGCCAAGCGCGTTCCTTCGCAGGGTTCCAGTTCCCGGTTTCCAGTTCCCAAAGGCCTCTCTGCTCTGTCTCACTCAGCGGCTCCTCAGCTCCTAGTAGAATGGACAGCTCTCCGGCACATGCGGGCCTCCCCTCTGACGACTTACTTGCACATGACCATCTGATACGCCACCAGAGCTCTCCACCACAGCTCCCAGCTCTGATGGAGCAAGCGGAGAAGACGCCCCTCCGACACCGCCAGATCTCGACCCAGTCATGGCCAGTTCCAAGGACCTGGTGCCGCCCTGTACATTGAATCCCAGGCGGTACTCCCAGCACGGGGACAATGTTGGCAAGGGTGGGGGTGAGGGCCTGGGGCGCCTCTCCATTGACAGCCGTCGCCAATGGATGTCCCATCAGTAGTCACTTGACGATCCCCTCCCAGCTCGGATCAGGGTGCCAGTCACGCTGAAGTACCAGCGGCTACACTCGCTTGGCCGACAGATCTGTTGCGACTCTCGACTGCATAGGCTGGGCGTCGCCCATGCATCGGCACCTATGGCTTCGAAGAGAACCTCCACGAGGCCAATTGTCAAGGGTCTTTGGCAGTTGCAAACTGACGTCGACAAAATCCGGTTATATGTACGTGTATGCACAGGCTAGTTCCAACATATCGCACTTAAGGTACCGCCCAATGCTACCTACTTGCATGGCACCGTCGCCTATTGCCTGTGACCGGGCCAGGCATGCATATCGGCTTTGTTCGTGGCAGAATCCTCGTCACCCACATGGTGGCCAGGTCACTTCTGTTGGGAGGCCCCATACTCTATGCTGCTCATGCACTGCTCATGCGTCGCTCATGCTGTTGTACCCGCTTGTGCTGCCTGACTCATGGCACATAAACGGTGCCAGGTGGTGTCGCCGGTCAGTTTTTGCCCTGCACCGGCCAACTTCATCAACCTTTGCTGGGTTATGCTGGATTCACGGAATAACTTCAGGTAACACGCACGCTGGCCTGGCCCTGCCCATGGCATTTCCAACGGCCCCTGCTCTCGAACTAGGTCGAATCTACACTCGCTGGCGCCCATCCTCATCCAAACCCGGCCCGGCTGGAAGGTCAAGTGGGCTCTCACAGGTGCCCTCCAAGAGCACAAGGGTAGCAGACAGGGTCCCAGGGCCCTAAAAGTGGGCACAGAAGCATCATGGAACAAATTGGCTTGGCGCCAGACCTTCCATTCCACAACAGCCGCATGATATGTCAGCCAGTCCGTAATCGTGTGCGCTCTGATTCCCTGGATTGGGGGTGAGCCAACGCCGCCTCGAGTCGCGGGTCACTCTGAGACCAAGGCGGCTCGTCGAGTACCTGGGAATACCTTCGGGACTTTGAACGCATCGAGGGTCGCAGCTCCAGCCCCCATTTTATTTGAGGGGCCCATGGCCTTCTCCAGGGATCTCCGCGCGGTCATGCCGAGGTTATGGATGGTCTCGTGACCAAATTGACATCTGCCCGGCGGCGGCCGAGAAGATGGACGAGACGAGAGGGAGCATCTGGAGGATGCGGAGAGCCCACGGTGTTGAATCGACAGATCGGGCTATTCTCTGGGCATGTAACGCTGACCAGATTCATCATCAGGACCATCTCTCGTGAATATCAGATCATATCTGCCAAGTTAACCCAACAGCAGCATAGATCACCGCTGTACGTCAAGCCTCCACGCCAGGCGTTGGGGGCACAGCAGCTGAGCAGCCATGAGAACCAATGTGCTGCAGGTGATTTATTTGGCGCCCCGCGCTGCAACCCGATGATGCCCGCTGATAATGCAATGCAGGCCGTCCCATCCCCAACGACATGTTACGCCGCCTTTACTGATTCAGTCGGTCCGCATCACATATCACGTAGAGGCGCCAAACACCTAACACCGTCAAGCATGGCTTTCTCTAAATTGCATGGCGAGCTGCACGCCTAAGCAGGCTAGCCAACCATTTGCCGGCGGGCTCCCACTTCTCAACGTCCGTCCACCCTCTCCATCCTTCTGCGTCAACGGCTCAAACCTTGTCTGGGAGGAGTTCTCGAATCGGGCATAGATAGCAGGTCCAACCGCCAAGTTGCCCAGGAGTGCGGTGCAGTCAGCGACTTGCAGCTCCATTGGCCTCGGTGCCAGTAACCTAGCGACGCCGAGCAACGTGCAGAGCAAGGCGGACCCAGATACGAAGCGGCCGGACATGGAAGTAGATCGCCTTGCAAGCCAATGGCAACGTCGATCACGTCCCGAGATGGCTTGCCGACGTTCCTGGAGAAGGCACCCGTCACGTCACCGACGAGGGTTTGGCAACCTCTAACTGCAACTACGGATAGATACCTGCACCTAGTTAGTCGTTGCATCATGGAGTCTTGAGCGATTCAGATGACAACTAGCCGGAACGGGCAATACGCGGATCCCGGCCCCTCGCGACACTAGGTTATTACGTGAAGCTATTTACGCACTCTGGTTTCGTCGGCATGGTGTGGATGCCGTAAATGGCTTTCACTGCCTCTCGGATAACCAACCAAATGACTCGTGTAAGCGCAGAATCCGGCACTCTTAGTCTTCCCACCCACGTTAATAATGCGCGTGCGTCCGAGCCCTGATATCGGAGGCTAGGAGGAATCCATATTCCCATCAGCGTTGTCCTGGTATTCCGATCTCGCTCCGATCTTGGTTCTGAGGGTCTCTAAGTTGCGCAGCACTGTATCCGACACAATGAGCCTAAAGTCCTCAGCGAAATGTTCATGATTCGCATGAAGACGGATGGAATTGACAAGTGAGCGATAAATGTCCCACTGGCCCACTAGCCCACAAGCAGCCCACAAGTCACCATCAGCGCCTCAACTCCAAATTCTCTAACAACGCGTTGTCTGACCAGAAAAAGGGTTATGTCGAGTAACCTGAGATTTGTTTGAGGGCGACATCGTTGGACCCAGAGCGGGGACATTGCGTCGTCAGGTTTCCAGATGAAACAGATTGCAGCGGAGGTGAAGGCAGATTAAGATGCAACCTGGCCTGCAGGCACGTGAATCCACGAACCACCAGACATGGAAAAGGAAAAGGAAATATACATATTAGCACAAGTAATAAGGGACCAGGGCGGCCGAGTCGTCGGGACGGAAAAGGGATGGGCTTTGTACTTCGCAGTACTCATGTCTGGAACGTCTGACGCGGCCAGTTATCCATCAGCTCCGAAGTTGTCGGATCAAACGCCGATGGACGGTCCCGGCAGCGGCGTCTCCGAAGGATTCCACAGGAGGGCCGCGTTCGCCATTCGGCGTCAGTTGCAGCCGACTTCGTGTCTTCGTGTCGTCGTGTCTTCGCTCTTCGTTGTTGTGGTTAAACCTAGGATGCCCTCGCCTTCGGCACATATCCCCTTCCCGTCTGAGGCCTCGTGCCTCGTGACCATGTCGAGAATCCCCTGGTCGTATTTGACGACGATGGGTTCTCAGCAGACTTTCATCAGGCCACAACCCCATGGCATAGCTCCCGGAGGACCCCGAGCGGTTTATCGGCGAAGGATTCTAGATTAGCGCCATGAACTGCCAGACTGATTGCCTTGCGCCAGATTGCTGCCGTCGTGCTCACGTAGGCGCTTCTCGTTGATCGCGATTCGGTTCAAACGGTCGCCAACATAGCGATGGCGGCTGTGACAGAGATGGCGCAGAGCCATTATTAGCGTGGATCCAGAGCCGTGTTGCGGTCGCTGGAGTTGACGATGCAATTGCCACCCGCTGGTTCGCTGTGCGCCGGGCCTGATGACGTTGAGTAGCCGTCTATCTCCTCGGAGAGAGCATTTGGCTCGAATTTAGGTGCCCGCACTCACAACCCCAGACCCGGGCATACCAAAGCCACGTCTCGGCGGATTCGCCGACCATCGAACCCAGTAAAAGTGACGCCACTTTGGCGCTCCCGCCCGAGCATTTGGTGTCGTGCGTGCCCTGCGGCGCGGCGACATCACGCCCACAGGGGAGCTCTTAGATAATCAAAGCTACTTGCGGCGGGGGACGGATGCCGCGTTGGCCGCATTCGCCGCACCGTCGCCCGCTGTAAACCACTGTAAACCGCCCAAATCGCTGCGGCGTCTGCGGCACAACTACAACAGCCGCACCAGGTAGCACGGGTAAAGTAGGAATCAAAGCGTTCTCTTTCTTTCTCGTTTTCTTGCTCAGATCAGCAGATTGTGTAATAATAAGAAAATAACAGAAAAAATTACGGCGGGTGGCTGCGAAGTGCCAAGTACAAATAATCCACCTCCCTGGAGCCGAGTCTGCCGTTGAGCCTTATTTCCTGCGTGTCCAAGTACAAACACAAACCTCCCTTGGTGGCTTTTTACCCTAATCCTCAGCTTCGGCCTTCGCACGGTAACGACGGGATTAGCTCGGCCTTCCCTCGCAACGGACGGCACCGGAAGAAAAGCACTTCAATCTGACATCATCAGCCGTCAGGGCCCATCAAACAAGATCTCGTTCTAAAATCCGACATATAACAACTGCGGGAGCGTATCTGCAGCAAGAAGAAGAAGCATCACAAACCATCCACTTGCACGGCATCCATTCATCAGCTCCATCCATCCAAAAAGCCGACTGTAATCCCGACCATCCGATTCATCGGCGACCGATATACCTGCGGCGATCCATTTTTTCTCACTTTTACTAATTGGGTGCCCGAAACCCGATACCTGACCCACAACAACCCGCACTGCAACACCTCATCCTCCATCATACGACACTTATAGCGCAGCCCTCCATCCAGCTTCGAGCTCGCCGGCCATAGAAGAACCCGCCCGCCTCGGCCCCGCGAAACTTCCAATTCCCCTCCACCATCGTCTCGTCCTCGAGCCGCCAAACCGGATACTCCCCTAGACACTTCCGCCAACATGAAGATCCTCACCAAGGAAGAAGAGGCGGCCCATTACGCCGTCGTCGTCAAGGGCGGCCTTATCGGAGGTACCCTGGGCCTCGCCCTCGGTGTCGGCGGTGTCATGTTCGCCTCGCGCCGCTATCCTGCCTTCCGCGGCCTCACCATCCCCTTCCGAACCTTCCTCGTCACGTCAACAGGCACCTTTGGCGCCATTGTCAACGCCGATCGCTGGTCCATCCACCACCAGCAGTCGATGAACCCCATGTACGGCTACAAGGACGCCACCCAGCGCGCACAGGAAATGAGGCGTCAGAATGAGAGCGCGTATCAGCGCTTCATGGAGTACGGCAAGGAGAACCGATACTCCATCGTCTTCGTCTCGTGGCTTGCCAGCATGGGTGTCGCCTTTGCCCTCGTCAGCCGCTCGCCCATGAACACCGCCAACAAGGTCGTCCAGGCCCGTGTGTACGCCCAGGGCCTCACACTTGCCGTTCTCATCATCTCCGCCGCCTTCGAGATGAACGATGCCAAGAAGGGCTCCGGCCGCTGGCAGACCGTCATGGTGCTCGACCCCGATGACCCCGAGCACAAGCACATGATTGAGAAGAGAATCCACAAGGAGGAGTACGAGGGCCAAGATCTCTGGAAGGGTACGTTCATCCCCAAATTCTGACATGCGACCTCCAATTGGATGACTTGAAGCTAACTTGCTGCTGAATAGATATGGTTGCTGCTGAGGAGAAGAGATTGGCTTCCAAGAAGACCTCCGAGAGCAAGATATAAGCATTATATATTTCCAAGGACACTGTCCAAGATGCCTTGGACACGACTCACCAAATATCCCAACCTCAAAACCACCACTAATAAAGAGGTCGCTATAACCCGTTGCTTGATTACCCGGGGCCATGACAGGAGGAGGAACCATGAAGACTGGTTGTGCTATTCCGGAGTTGATTGCCAATGAAACCAGGCGTTTGATTGAAAGGAACGAGCTTTAGGGAAAATGGAGAAAATCCTGAGATATTACAGTGCGAAGCTATAGAACACTCGGGAAAGGATGCCAGGGACCTGTAGGATGAGGTAGTCTATCCAAATTGATCCGAGAAATCGGAGATTGGACTGTATGATAGAATATAGAATATCCAACATCACCACACCTCGGAGATTCGAAGATAAAAACACCACTTCTAAAGCTTTACAAAATGACAATAGGCCGCCGACTCCCGTCCATCTCTTTTTTTGTCCCACTCGTTCTCATAAATTCATCTCTTACACCCCAAGCTAAATATCAACGCAAAGACGACAGACGTACAATAGCATTATGAGCCCAGTCACAAACCCCGCCCCAACCCCAATTCATACCTCAATAGTGAAGTGGCTAATCTGCGAGTAGTACGAGTGAACAGCTAGTTCGAGTAGCATGACGTCGCCAAAGACCTCGGAGCCGTCGAAGCCGCCGATGATGATGAGACGGCTATCGTACAGGACGGTGCCGTGATAACCGCGGCCGGAGGGGCCTTTGCCGTAGACCCGGCGCTTGTCCCAGGTCATGGTGACTAGGTTGAGCAGTAGGACGTCGTTTGAGTACTCGTTACCGTCATGGCCACCGATGACGAAGAGGTAGGAGCCGACAATCGTGGCAGTGTGAGAGAGGCGACGGAAGGCAACAGGGATAGAAACGGCCCGCCAGAACTGTTGGTCTACATCGTAGACCCAGACATCGTCAAAGCACTCGCCGCCATCGGACCCGCCAAAGATGATGAGTTTACTGCCCACCATGTTAGAAGTGTGATAGCCCCGGGCCTTGGGGCGGTAGTCCTTGGACCCTGGAGCGTTCTTGTCGGGGCTTGAAATTAGTCGCCACGACATCTTGTTCACGTCGCTGACATCAAGCCTCCAGATATCGTTCAGAGCCCTTACTCCATCACCTCCACCAAAGATATAGATTCCATTCTTATAAAGGCATGCTGTGTGCGCCCTCCGCTTAGATGGCATCTTGTCACCGATAATGCGCGGCTTGCTCCACCGGAAGTTGGTCGTATCCAGCACGTAAACGTCGTTGTAGTACTCTGGTCCGTCGCCGCCTCCAAATACGACGAGTTTCTTCCCCACGGCGGTGCAGGTCATGGCCCTCAAAGGGACGGGTATATCGCCGACGACATGAGGGATGGACCAGTAGAACGAATCGGCATCGAAGACGTAGAGGTCGCTGAAGCATGTCCGCGAGTCGCAGCCCCCAAATACGAAGATGTTTGATCCGATGAGAGTAGTTGTGTGCGCTCGCAGACTCGGGTGAGGGGAACCCGACGAGGGAGCCTTTGACCAGTACATGCCGGATGCTGGAGCAACAGCGACCTCCGGCGAGGATTTGATATCGGGGAGTGGGGGAAAGGCTGTGTGCTGTCCTCGGAGACGTGAAGCGGCTAACGTTGCATGTCGAGCAGCTGCCGCCGACGCAGTGTGAAGAGGCCGGCCAGCTATCGCGGACGTCGACCGCATGACGGGTGGACGCCGGGGATCTTTGTCACCCTCGCTCGAGGCATCGCCGCCGCCGTTTAAGATGGAGGGAGGTGGTTTGGAAGGCCTGGCGGCAGGACGGTGGGAAACTACCTGAGAGGCAGACTGGGAGCGCTGGCGAATGGTGAGGTCCGAGGGCTTTCGGCGGCTGGTATGGATGCTCTTGCTGGCAAGATGGCCGGGGGTATGGCTCCGGGGCAGGGGCGCTGGTTCGCTCGAGTCGTCATCGTCAGAGTCGGATTCGTCGGGGAGGTTTGGATTGGGCCTTGCAGCCGGTGATGCGGTGGTAATCTTCTGGGATCGCACGACCTTGGTCTTGAGGGGGGACTTATCGGTAGACCTGCCCAGATCCGCCATGGTCTCACGAGTCGTGCTTCATTGCCCGTGCCCGACACGAGGGAGGGAGGGAGGGAGGGAGTGACGGCCGAAGACGATGGCCGACGACTGCAATGGAGGAACGAGGAGGGACGAGGGGGAAGGGCGGCCTTCTCGGATGACGGGATAATTCTGGGCTGCGACAGATTATAGGCTCCGGGGCCAGGTCAACACTGTGAGGTCTGGCGGGAGGTATGCGGTGGTAAGGACGGTGGTGGACTGCGACGATGCTGGCTGCGAACACGGCTGGTTGGAGGGAGATGATGTAGGTAGTACGTAGGGTTCGCTGGGGTTGGCGGAGGTCCGGACGGGAGCTGGGGCATCTGGGTGGGTGCTAGCCTCCAGGGCTCTGGGCGCCGGGCTCGCCGCTGCACATGGAAGCTCCCACTAAATTTACAGGGGCCTGGAACTGACAAGTGCGGCGGGTCGACAACCTGAACCAACCCTTGCCCACCTGGCACAGCACCTTGCAAACGGTGCAATAGCCAACTGGACCCAAGTCCCTGCCATCTTCTGACAGCTGCAGCACCACGCCTGAACTCGTACGTACTACGTAGTACGTAGTACAGCAAGCTGAGAGCCGTCGGGAAGAGTGTTTCAAGCAAATTAGCAGAGGATCGCGAACGGCATCTGGGTGCAGCTGGGATCCTTGCCTTTGCCCGCGCCGCATGCATGAAGACATCGACGGGAGTCAATTGGGTCTATTGGCTCCCTGGGTATTTAGTGTTTAGGGAATTAAATGCCCGAGTTCTCATTGAGCGGCTCTGTCTCTCCTGCGCTGTGAGACTGATCGCCCGCCCGGCCTTATTCTTTACTAATTAGGGACTCAAAGGGCATCTCGTCCACTGTGGATGGAGGGGCCCTCATGAGGGGCAACAGGGCAACAGGGCAACAGGACTCCACTCAGCTGGAGCTTAGTGAGGGAAGGGAGGAGCCGCCCAGTTCCCCAATGGCCTGCACGGATACCTTCCTCGATTAGCGTGTGCATCCTTGTTGAATCGCCCACTCATATCGATATTTTTTTTTCTTCTCCACGATCAAGCTTGCAGCAGGCATTCAACCTCACGGAACCCTGCAGCAAGTTGGCAGAAAATAGTTCCCAATTTTTATTTTCTCATTTGACCTCTCACCAGGAGCCCTTGGATTCGATTGGTTCGCGTGTTGCCCAGCCGCGTGAGCAAACAAACACCGACTAGCCTAAGCGTCACATTGACTCTCACCACTCACCCCAGTACACCAATTCCACCTCCATCAACTGCAGTACACACATCCCGTATCTGCAGCTACATCTACATCTTGTTCTCTCCTCTTCCTTCAGCCCCTGTGCTGTTCAGGAAACCATGTCTGAGCAAGCAGACGTCAAGATGGAAGGTGGCTCCCCTCAAGCACAACATGCCCCACCAGCCAACGACTCAAGCAACGCACCTGTCGACGCAGATGCTGGAGAGAGGGCTTCGAAGAGACTTAAGACGGAAGATTCGCCCCCCTCTCGAGCAGCCCCGGCTTTTGAGGAGGCTGTCCCTGGCGAAGGCCAAGACAACGCGAACCCTACAAAGAGCGAGAATGGCCAAGCCGGAGATTCAAACACCGATCCCAAGCCTGACCATGTCGACGGGCGTGTCAAGGGTCTTGCGCCCATTAAGAAAGAGTAATTTACGTCCCCTACCTCCAAAATTGTACCTGGTTAACAAAACTCCAGATACCTAATCGACATGGGCAACCAGGCCAACCAAGAAGATGAGGCTTCCAACCAGGCTAATGACGATGATGCTGCTGAGGGTCGCGGTTCTACTGAGCAGGGTGACTCCAGGGATGACAGAAACTCCCGCAAGGGTGGCAAGAAGGACAAGAAGGACAAGAAGAAGAGCAAGGGCCAGAACACAGAGCGTAGCTTCGGCAGGTTTGATGACGCCATCCGCCTGTGCAACAGCCGAGCCTTTTACCCAGAATTCTCGCCCAGAGAGTGCAGGTTTGCCGAGCGATGCAAGTTATGCCACGATCTCCGCAAATACCTCGACGAAGGCCGTCGCGAAGATGTTGAGACGCTTGGTGGAAAGTGCCCTGTGTTCGAGCAACACGGCTACTGCCCGTCCGGATGGAAATGCCGCTTCGTTAAAAGCCACATGAAGGAAGTCGAGCACGAGGATGGCAGAAAGGAGCTCGTTCTCGTCAACAATTCCGCGGCTGATGGTAAGGACATCGGGCCTAAGGATGAGGAGTCCGAGGAGCAGCGCCCCGCCATCTCCAACATTGTCAGCATGGACAAAAAGATCGCCCTCAATCGCAAACGAACCGACTTTACCCGCTCGGATCAGTACATCCAGTGGCTCAACCTGGAGGCAAGGCTGAGCGAGGAGTTCCAGAACCGTCGCAAGTCGCAGGCGAACGAGGGTATCGAGGACCTTCGCGCCCGATATGTCGATCCTCCTTTCAAGCCCTCTGAGAAGCGTCGTCTTTACTTTGGGCCTGAAACTCCCACGCTGGCGCCCCTGACTACCCAAGGCAATCTGCCTTTCCGCAGACTCTGTGTTGAGCTCGGTGCTCAACTCACCTATTCTGAGATGGCCATGGGCATGCCTCTGGTTCAAGGCACAAAGTCTGACTGGACACTGCTTAAGGTCCACGATTCAGAACTCACTGCCCCCAAATTCAACCCCGGCTCCGTACCTGTCTTTGAGGACTATGATCATAAGGTTGACCTCAAGTTCGGTGCCCAGATCTCAGGAAGCAACTACTGGGTCGTCACCAAGGCCGCCGACGTCCTTAACCGTTATTGCCCACACCTCCGGCTCATTGACCTGAACTGCGGATGCCCCATCGATATGGTTTTCAAGTCAGGTGGCGGCTCCGCCCTCCTAGAGAACCAGGGCAAACTGGAGCGCATGATCCGGGGCATGAACGCCACATCCGGTGAGGTCCCTATTACCGCCAAGATCCGCATGGGTATCCGCAACAACCGACCTACGGCTACCCAGCTCATCGGAAGGCTTGCCTTTGGCGCCCGCGAGCACCGCGAACGCCTCGGTGCTCCCGGTTGCGCGGCCCTCACATTGCACGGCCGCAGTCGTGAACAGCGATACACCAAGAAGGCCGACTGGGGCTACATTGGCGAGTGCGCTGCGCTCATCAAGACTTACAATGCGGAGAAAGCCTCTCTGACCGACACAATTGCGGAACCTGACGCCAGCACTCTCCCCAATGCCAAGGATGGCCGGATGTACTTCCTAGGCAATGGTGACTGCTATTCTCATACGGAGTACTTCGAAAACATCGAAAAGGCGCGTGTCGACACTGTCATGATTGGCCGTGGCGCCCTCATCAAGCCATGGCTATTCGAGGAGATCGAAAAGGGCCAGTACCTCGACAAATCCTCAACTGAACGTCTCACCTATATCGAGAAGTTTGTCCGTTACGGCCTCGATGCTTGGGGTTCCGACGAGCTTGGTATCGGGTTCACCCGCCGCTTCCTCCTCGAGTGGCTCAGCTTCACACACCGATATGTGCCCATCGGCTTGCTCGAGCATCTTCCCCCAAGCTTGAACGACCGCCCGCCTGCGTATAAGGGCCGCGACGAGCTGGAGACGCTCATGGCTTCCACCAACTTCAGGGACTGGATCAAAATCAGGTACGTTTTTAACCAGTTCCTCCCTGTCCAGGAAATGTGTGTCGTACTAACAATGTGTCTTCCGCAGCGAAATGTTCCTGGGTCCTGTCCACCCGACTTTCAAGTTCCAGCCCAAACATAAGTCCAACTCCTACGAGGCGGAGGGCTAAGCGGGCGAGTATCGCCATAACTGTGGGGTGTAAGAAGGTCTCACGGATTTTCTTTTGCTATTATTTGAAGTCACGACCTTTCGGAGATGTGTTTGACGAGATGAGTTATATGTGAAGAAGACACTAAACAGAGGAAGTCTTTTGGCCTCATCACATGCAAATGGCTAAAGGGCGACGACACTGGGATGTGAACATTTATTCTAGTTCGAGGCATAGAAATTCACGGATGGAGTAGCTCTCTGCCTACGGTAGTCAGGTATTATGAAAATACAATCATCAAAGTCAGAATTCCCTGTACTGAGTTTACACCAAGCAACCAAGTGATAAAAAAAATAAAGATATTTAATACAAAGGAGGCCTGAAAGAAGGTACACAGGTATGTAGATATAACGTAGACATGTTGTCGGGACATATCCCCCTGGTATATAGAAGAGGCAACAACAAATAAACCTAAACGCTAGGGACCGGTTTGATCATGAACCATTACTCCTGAAGGATTTTTTTATAACCCAATGAACCACAAATACACCCATTTCCAATACCTGTAAACAGGATTTTGCAACCTGTCGTGTCCGCCCACGACATCATTGCCGTTCTCTCCAGGCATAGTCCAGGAGAACCAACACAAGTCTAGGAGTAGAAGTGGCTCCTCTGCATGCCATCAGCAGTTGTGTAATCTTTCTTGACCTCCTCAGGCTGTTCGATAGAGCTGGTAATGGAGTTGGTGCGGCTGCTATCACTAGGGGCGGCCTTGATCTTCTTCACCTCCTGAGTCGGGCGCTTTAAAACCTCGAGGTAGGTGGAGGGGAGGTAGCCTGAGCGGCCATCCCGAGATCGGCACTGCCACCACTCACTAGGGCTCCCGGAGGGGTCCTCCTTGCTGAGAACCGCAACCAAATCGCCCTTGCGGGCCTCAAGCTCCATGCCGTTGGAAGGCTGGGGGAGGAAGTCATATAGAAGGCGACAGAATTCGAGCTTGGTAGGGTCAACAGCCTGCTGCTGGAGGGCCTGTTGCTGGAGGCGCTTCTCCTCCTCCTCGTGCGACGCAGCAAAAGCCTTGATCATCTTAGACATCAAGAAGGGAAGACCAAAGGCGGCGACGACGAAGAAGAGGAGGGGCTTGCGGCTCGCCTTAGGAGGGAGCGGGGAGCCGTCAGGGCCGGTTGAGCGGCCTTCGAAGCGGGCGAAGGCGAGCGGGGTGAGGGCAGTAGCATCGGCAGGCGGCGGGCGGCCAGTGATTTTGGCAATGAGTGTTCTAATCCAACGCATGAGGGTGAAGATGCCGAGAATGGAGCCCAGGGTGTCTCGCAGGTTTCCGAATTGCTCGGCGACAGAGACCATGGCTGTTGGCTGGGTCAGCGACTAGCTGGAACACAGAGCAAAGTTGAATAGACTTACCAAAGAAGCTTGACTGCGTCGCCATATATGTGCTCTCGAGCATCTGGGCGAAGCCGCCAAAGGCCGTCACGATGCCCTCGAGCATCTGGAAGGTAGCCTGTGTGCTGTTGTTGAAGCGGTTTGTCAGGCTGTTGGGATCGCCCGGCATTCCCATGCCTCCCATGCCTCCCATTCCACCGTACATGCCTCCCATGCCTCCTCCATACATGCCACCGCCGTAGCCGCCCATGCCGCCGTACATGCCGCCTCCCATTCCGCCGTAGGAGCCAAAGCGTGAGTAAGGACTGGAGTATGGAGATGAGTAGGAGCTGGCCATGGAACCGTAAGGAGAGGTGCCCATGCGGCTGTAGGCGGCGGCATTCTGGTTGACAGAGGAAGCAAGAGAAGTAGGACGGTCAGGGAGCGGCGGAGCGGAGCCGGTGGTTGAGGGAACGGCAGTAGTGGTGGAAGCGATAGAGGGCGAGATTGGTGATACTAGGGTTGAAGTCGGTGAGCATGCATGCATATGCAGGAAATGCGGGAAATGCAGAGACGCATGTGCTGATAGTGGAGGGATTGGGGTAAGGGTGAGTGTTTATCCCACTTACCAGCTGCCGATGTTGTTGCCGCGCCGGGTTGCTCCCAGGGCTTGGGCGGGGACGCCATTGTCGCGGGGAGTTGCAGCGGAGGAAGGGTAGGAATCGGGGATTGAAGATTGGAACCCAAAGGCGGACGTGACGTAGAAAGAGATCCCGGCAGGTATCACAGGGTTTCGGGTCGGGGCGCGTCGCTGTTCGAGTGTCGACGTGGATGGTCGCTCAATGGTTGCGATCCGTGAGACTTTGGGGGTTGGTGGTGGACCCTAGGCCTCGGTCTGGGGAGCGCGGATGACGCCGGCCGAGGATTCCCAAGCCCGCGCACGCGACGGAGCGAGGCAGCGTCGTTCAGGGCGTGTCGCGAGGCAACAAAGGCGATGGCGGAGGGCAGGCGACGACGGGCGGCGATGATTAAGGATGAGGAGGAAGAGGAGAAAGGAACGAATGAAGGGACGGTGGAGTGGAGGAGATGGTAGGAGATCGAAGGCAGATGGTGGATAGCGGATTGCGGGTGGTAGGATTTGCAAGCAGATTGGGGAAAGGGCGACCTCGGGGGGCGATAACCTCTTAGCCTCTTGCCATGGCTGGTGAGAGGACGGCAAGAAGGACCAGGTGAGAGCTGCGACTAGCCGCTACTGGCTGCAAAAATGCAGAAGTGGGGAAGGGACCCCCGAGAGACGCAGAGAAATCCGGGGAGCCACGCCGAGGCAGGCAAACCAGGCCAGGCAAGACTCAGCGAGGAGGCGGCGGCAGGAGCGACTGGACCGGGGCTTCGACCGAACTGACCTCGGCACTCCGCACCGCCGCGCTCTTGCCCCCTTCTACCTTTTCCTGCATATTGAGATGTGACGTACAGCATGTACCTACCCCAGGTGCGACTGCTGCGTGCTCGGGAGAATGGCAATGTTCCTGTGAATCATTCCCGGTGGCGACGACTGTCGTTTACGTCCAGCTGCGCAGTGCAACAAACACAACAACGCAACAACGCAACTAGCAATGATGCCCGGGTCAGGACTCATCGCAGAGAGGTTCATGTCGCCGCCCTTCTAGTACAATTCATTACCTCACTAAGTATCCCATCGAAATCGAAATCCGCAACGGAGATTCCTCGGACATCTCCTTCATATGATCCAGAGAAAAACGTCGGAGCACGTACATAGGTAGTGCCGCTAATGTCCCACCGGCAAGACTCCTGGTAGGGTGATACCCGCCTGGAGTCCGTCCCGGTCCTCTGTTTTGCCATGTGAACGTGGATCACGGCTCGCACCGACCGCCACCGCAACGGCTACCCTATACTTATCATCCACGCCACGCCTCTGGAAATCATTAGGTCTTCCATGATTACCTCGTGACGAATGAGTTGATACAGTGCTGGCTTATGTGTAGAGCTTCATATAAGCTACTCTTTGGGATTGTGGCTTTCTATAGTCATTGGGTTATGCGCCCTTCGAAGATGTAGTCGAATATACAGATAGATTCTGCAGCCTCTTCTCTTTAGTCTATCACCTGCGCTGATCAACTCACATTCCACCTTTCTGCATCTAACATCATCTCAACAACGCTGCAGCACCATGTCGAGCAAACGTCCCCCAAGCCCTGACCTTATCCCGAACCCGTTTATTAAGAAACGCAACCTCGAATGGACTCTTGCGGCTCCCCACACTACTCTACCCACACCTCCATCGCCATCACACGCCAAGTCCGCTCCCTCAACCGCCGCTATCGAGTCCGGTTCTGTACAGGTCGACGACCACCTCTCTCACTTTACCACTCATCTGGCTGCACATATATCCCCTTCCTCACCGTCCCCACCCCTGTCCGTTTCATCCTACGCGTCTCTTTACGCTGATGCAGCTGGGAACTCTCGCGGCGCTCACTTCGTCATCCACCAACATGACCATCCCATCGCCGGTACCCACTATGATCTCCGCCTCCAGATTAACGAGACGAGTAGCGCGAGCTGGGCCATCATGTATGGGCTCCCTGGGGACCCAAACAGTCTTCGGTTGAACCGCAATGCGACCGAGACTCGAGTCCACTGTCTGTGGGTATTACCACCCACTCTATCGAATACCCAGATATCACTTCATATATCTGACCAGGATATTGCAGAACCACCTCATTGAGACAGCTTCTACTGCTACGGGATCTCTCCTAATATGGGACACAGGAACGTACACTGTCCTCCCCCGCAAAAGCAAGCACGCTCCCTCATCTGATCCATCCTCCCAAACGTCCTCCGCATCATCATCACAACAAGACAACTCTACCGCTACTCCCTCACCGACCCCGCAGAACCTTCTGCACGCAGCCTTCCAAAACCGAAAGATCCGCATCTGCCTCCACGGTTCCCGCCTACCCGACCCTTTCGTTCTTAATCTGCGCCTCACCAAGTCCGAGGACGCCGCAGGCAGGGCCCGCGGCGCCCGGACTCCCATGAACCGGCGTCGCCGCCACCAGGGAGGCATACCGCAACAACAGCCAGAGACAAGCGACGAGGAAGACGAGAGTGATGTGGCGATTGACGACGACGAAGATGTCCCCTCAAGCGCTGACGGGATTGTATCTGGGGAGAACCTGTCTCTCATGGAACGTGAGATTCGCGAGCTTGAGGACGAGCACGACCGGCGTACAAACGCCTACCCGGGCGCCCAAAACACCATTGGTAGTGTCCATCAGAGAAGGTGGTACATATCGCTCGACCGGCGGGCCTGCGGCTTTGTTAATAGGCGGACCAAAGGCCGCTCAGCGTGGGAGTTCGAGGGCCCGAATAGTGTCTCTCATGATGGGGGAAGGGGATGTCTAAGCACTGGCAGTGACCGCCTATCCTTCCCCTTCTACGTCCGTGGTACAGAATACGAACGCAGCGTGGTGACGGGACGGCGCGGTGCCGACATACTTGAAGACGAAGGCGTCAAAAACTTCGTACCGCGAAAGGGGTGGACACCCGTCTTGAACTGATCTACCCAGCTCGATCCCAAACTACATGGGAACGCCAATAAACACAGACTTATAATGAAAGAAAAACATTGTTGAAAAACATTATCTGAACGTCCTAACCATGGCCTATGACCCCAAATATACCCTGCCTTCCCGATACATGGCGATAGTTTTCCTCTGTCTCAGCGACGAGGCTCAGCCTACAGGTCCGGAAATCAACCAGTCTTCTCCAATTGCAAATCAACCATCCTGGTGAAACTAAAAAACGCCGTCCATGCCTAAAACACTAGCTCCCCGTGTTTCCGTAATGACCAACCTGGCCCGAGCCCCTGACCTTTTTAATGTCGTGTACATTATCTTGACAATTGCAACTTGCCGTAGCCCTGGTGGTTTCACAAGCACTTTAAGTCTTGGAATCAACGGGTGTTGGCGCAATACGCCTCTTCTTGGGCTCCTTCACATCCTCCTTCTCACTTTCGCTTGCATCTCTCTTGGTTCCGGCAATACTGCCGGAGGTGCTCTTAGGTGTCTCTGGAGGCGTCGTCATCGGCATCCCAGTCACCTTGCCAGAGCTGGCGGCAGCAATGCCAGGGACGTTGCCAGAGATCAAAGTAGGATTACTGATGACACCAGTTGGAACCGAACTGGATTGGGTCGTAATTGTGGCAATCGAAGACGTTGAATTTGAGCGTGTTGGGGATGAAGGGCGCTGGGAGGTGAGGGAGGCCGAAGGAGGCGGCGAAGGGGCTGTAAAGGAGCTCGCTGAGTTGCGATGCTGGTGATGCGAGCCGTTCGGGAATGGTGACGGAGGGGCAAAACTAGTTGTCGGAGTGGGAATTGGGGTGTTTTGAGCCGACAATGAAGTTGCGGTTCCGGCCTGTGTCTTGGGCCGGGGAATTTCGCCCTTGTAAACTTCACCTAGCTCACCAGGCGAGAAAGAAAGTGTGGAGCAGAACCCATCAGACGATGAAATCATTAGGGTCAGGCCATCACTCGACCTAGAATGAATTAGCAAGGACCTAGGTAAGGGGCTATAGTGAAACGTACCAAGCAAGATCGGTGAATGTTGCGCAGTGGAGGTTGCTCACAACACAAATGGGGGTCTTCTGCTGAGTATCGTAGAGTAGGACCGAATCTTGGGTCGCAACTGCGTACACCATTCGATATGGCAACGAGAACGCCGGCTTTGGGCCTGGTGTGGATGCGCCTGTCTCTACGCTCGCACCCTTGGATGAGACAGAAGTAGATTCCGCCGGGGTGGACGGAGCTGCGGGTGGAGGGGGCGGGTCCATGACCGAGGAGGCAGGGGACTGTTTTGAGAGGGGTTCCGGCAGGGACGGGATAGGATCCTCAGCGGAAGACGTGTCGATGGTGATATTTCGAGTTGTAGGCGGCGACTGACGCAAAGCGTAGAATATAGGCGAGCACTTGACCACCACGGATGGTTTCTTGTGGCCTGGAAGATGGGCGATCGGGGGTTTGTTGATACCGCCACGGGTATAGATATAAACGGTATTGATGATCTCGTAGCTAGGCTTCGCATCCTTTTCAGCCGGGTGTTGGTTTTGATATTGCCCAGAAGGTGTCAAGAGCAGGCAGCCATCTGGGGTAAAGGTGAGTCGCCGGAAGAAAGAAGTCAGAGTCTCGTTGGCGTAAAGATTGGCGTTCTTCACGCCTAGCCCTGTGCTGATAACGGGGGGCTTTGGCGAGGGCTCCATAGGCATGACGGCTGGCAACGGCATGGACGGCGCTGGAGAGACGGAGCGGCGAGAGGAGAAGGAGGATCGGCGACTGTGGCTCACGACGCTCGGTGGATTCATGGGAAGTGGAAATGAGGTTGGCGTCCCAGGTGCGGACGGCACTGGGGAGCCTGCCGAGGTGCCCGAGTCTAAGACAGAGAGTTGGGAGCGATGGCCAAAATCTGGAGGAGCAGGGCTGCTGGAGGAGATGCGTCGTGGGGGCAGATCGGCTTTGATGTGGCTGGCGAGGCGAGGAGGCTTATCGTCTTGGCTGAGGGTGTATTGGCCGTCTTTTGTCTTTAAGGAATAGACGTGAACCGATCGGTCGGATGATTGTGTCGCGATATACTCGTTCAAGGGATCCCAAGTAACGCCCTGAACGTAGTGACAGTGCTCGGCGATTTGGCGAACCAGCGTTCCTGCTGCAAGATTAGAGATTGTTGTGTATTAAGGGTCGAGTTGCGGACCTGAGTGAGCATTGTAGATGCGAGCAATGTTGTCCATGCTACCAATGATGAAGTGAGCACCATCGGGAGACCATGCCAAGTCATAGATCTCTGCACCGCTAGACCGACACATATGCTTGGCCCTCCATGACTCTTTGTCTTCTTGACCTTCGGAACCGAAGTTGGATTGGGGGGTCTCGCTGGGAACCCAGAGGATAACGTTGCCATCATCGCCGGCGGAGGCGAGGAGTTCACCTGGCAGCGAATATGGTTAGACGTGACAACCAGGAGACGGGGAGGGGAGGAAACCAACCTTTGGGAGCCCAGCGGACTACATTGACGGCCTGGTTATGTTTGGATAAGGTTGAAAGATACTCGACCTTGCGGTCCTCGCCATCGGATTGAACCTTCCAGATTCTGACGTGGTTATCACCACCCGCAGTTGCTAGGCGCCCTCTAGCACCGGGCTCGAAGTGAGCCGAGTAAACGGGGGCATTTTGGTCGTGCCAATTGATGATGAGAGGAGTGGCTTTCATCGCGTCGACGATGCAGAGACACTAGGGTGGTCGATGACGGAGCTGCATGTGGAGGCGCCTGGCGAGGCGGCGGGAGGAGAGGATCGACGCGACAGTGGGGGAGTTTTGGAGCTGTTGGACTCGAGGTTGAAGTTGAGGTTGAGGTTGAGGTTGGAGGTGATGTTTGGAGAAGAAAGAAAATGGCCGACGGGATCACGACTAAGAGGGGCGTGGCTCGGAAGGATGGGAACCGGGGAGTTGAAGTTGTGTACCGACTAATTAGGTAGCACCAAGTAAGTACAGTGGGTGGTGAATGGTTAGTGGGTGCGTGGTGAGTTGGGGGGTGGAGACCTGGAGCTGGTGTGGACCTCAGGCTGAGTCGAGCACTTGAGCTGCAGGCGAGTCGGCCCTGGACTGGGCGGTAATTAGTGGGCAATGGCGGAATGGGGACGGGATCCCAGGGGGCTTAGCGGGCAATCGGGCCTGCAGAGTTGGCGGACGGGACGATGGAAAACGGGTCGAATGTTGGATGGTGAGAAGGAAAAAGGGAAAAAGGGACAAAGGGAGAGAGGGCGGACACAAAGCGAGGGGAGAAAGGAGGAGCTGAGGTTTATTTTGGCGGACTCCCAGGAGCCCTAAACCTGCGCCAACAGCATTACGGCGCAGAACGTTTTGCCGGGGCGGGTGTCCGGGCGATCGTATCACGGGGCAAAAAACCTTGGTTCCGGTGCACAAAGCCTGAGCAGTCAGTGCAAGCAAGCCTCTGTAGCAGAGCAGCCAGGCTTTGTCACTTCCAGGTAGGCTACCAACCTATGTGAGAAGGTCGGGCGGGATGGATTCCAGCGGAGGTGGAGCACCTGAACCGCGCTGCCCCCAAAACGACACTGGATGCAAGCCTCTCACACGCCTGCAGCCACGGGGTGCAGCAGCTGCAGCAAAGGCTGCAACATCACCTACCTGGCGGCGCCGAGCGAGTGACGACGCACGCAGCAAAGCCCCGGTGTGCGAGTGGCACCCAATGGGCCCTATCCTATTCAGAGATGTGCATGCCGGCCGGAACGCCTGTCATCAATGCACTGGCAGCTAGGCACCGCCTAAGGTGCCCTGGCCAGCTGAGGGCACTGGCGCTGAGACGGCTGGCACTGGGCTGCGTCCGGCACAGGGTCTCTGGCCCCCAGCACACCTATCACCTGTAAGCGCCCTAGCGGACATTTTCTTGCAACCACCCGCACCACCCAAGACACGACCGCACACGTCCAGGTTGCCAACCAACGGGGTACGAATACAGGGCTCCAGTTCCCCGACGGATGCGAGGATGAGACGGCCCGGCAACACACCCGGCTGGGAAGTCTTGGACGGAGGGCCAAGGCTTGGTTGGAGCTGAGCCGGGCTCCAGTTACCATTTTACGAAAGACGGATCTAGAGACATGGTCTGATCTGAGAGCCTTAGGAAAAAAAGGAAATAAAAAAGCAAAGCAAAGAAAAGACAGAAACCAAAAAAAATCAGGGAGAACGGGATCCAGCCCTGCGGAACCGGGACCAGGATGAGGGAGCGATGATTGAAACATGAGAGACGGGAACTTGGATGGAGGGGCCCGGACCCAGAAGCCATCATTTCCGGTTGGCTGCAAGCCCATTCCATCCATCATGGATGACTGCTGTTCATGGTCACAAAATGCCCAGAGACAACTGCACAGATTGGGGTGACACAACGCCCAGGACGGAGGGCACAGTGATCACACATCCTCTCGATCGACATGTCGCCTCGAGTTAACCCGTTGGCTTTGTTGGCGTCTCGCGTTGTAATTAGTGACTCGCTGGCGTTTCTCAGCAGGGAACGTGTCAGTAGTGGTGTCAGTGTTAGGCTCGGCGTCAGCGTCGGCCACCAATCGCGTTAACCGTCTTTCTCATCCGTGGCACGGCATTTTATGGGAAGCGGCCTGGATCGACATACTGCGCAAGTCAGTAGTTGAAACCAAACCCAAGCACACGACTCGCCTCGCTCGCTCTCGGGCCCGGATTGAGGGACCCTGCGTTGCATGCATCAACCATGTATCATGCAATACGTATGTTATCCATCCCTAATTACAGACTCGTTCTCTGCATCGTGGCCACCAGCTTGTGGATAACTTCACTTGCACAGAAGCGTCATGTGCATGTGCAAGTATCGTCATGGTTGGGTCGTAATGACGAGTATTATTTTTTGCCTTTTCATGGCTTTCGTTCGGCCCCCCTTGGTTCCTCGCCCTCGGCTGGCCACCGCCCCCACAGCTCGGCGTGTCGTTGGCTTCGTCTCTCATGCATGGCGCAGAGACCTACATCTCCGGAACACGCAGAAACATGAAATACATGGGGTTTCCAACGAGCGGTGTAGGTCCAGGGCGGAGGTGTTGATTGCCACTATCCGCCCTGTTTGCGAGTCCGATGTTGCGCAGGCTATACGGAGACCAATTGCCGGCATCACAGCCGTCCACTCCGGCACGTACATGCACTCAGATCTGCAGGGGATCGGATCCCCGATGCAGTCTTGCTCCAAGCGGGATTTTGGATATATCCCCGAGGGACATAGGTGCGTGCAAGGGCTTATCAAGGGCACTCAAATGGGGCACTTCCGTGTCAGCTCAGGTCTTGTGATGGTCAAGAGTCTCACACAGGATCGACGCCTCTATGCAGCTTTGGTCTCATATTTATTCCTGCCATAGTCTAGGAGCGCCCAATAGCAACAGGACAAGTACGGGGCTATGGAATGCGAATTTGAAATGTATGTTAGAGTAGATTCACAAGGGTGTTATTCGCTGTCCTGGCAATCTCCTAGGTTTACCTACTGAACGATGTGGGGCACTAGAGTCGAAAGGCCAACTCTGTCCTGTTAACCGAGTTGTTGGGTAATGATAATGCTAATAAGAGTTCTATCCTTAAACTTTAAGTTCACAAAATCAGCTCTTAGACAAAGTCTGGAACACGTAGCGAGGTATGTCTGTTTGTGGCCGCAGGATGGAGGAGTGCATAAGTTCGCACCATCCCACGGTATTTGGTGAATCCACCAATGTGCTCCTGTCGCTCCCCTTCATGCGAAATGCTTCCCACTGATTATCGCACCGTAATAATTTCGATTGCCGAGAAACCCCAATATCACCGCGGCCTTGATTGAAGTGTACAAGGTTCTGTGTTCTAGAAAAACGCCCATCAAACTTATTAGAGAGATCGTACTTCGGAAGATCCGGTGGAAGACGAATGAGTGCACCCCTTTAACTTACCCGAACACGATGCAACTGACGCACTGTCCTCGGATAGAAATTGCCACTGTCACTAAACCCCGTTATTGTAGATAGATTGCTACTGTTGCCGTTTGTCCGGCGACTGAGGGCGTTCTGGACGCAAGGTAACCCTTCGCCGGCGAGTCGCGACATACATCAGACGGACGGCAGCGCCAATAACAATTGCTGACGGCGTAATGCATGGCTCTAAAGAAAGTGCCTAGAACATCGGAGATATCTCAATTATTAAAGCTGCGTGCTTGTCGGCCCTGTGGCTCCTCACCTTGTCGCTGGACAGGTTCCCGATGTAACTGTTCTAATTTCCAGTCTTGTCATGCCAACCGTAGAGTTAAATACGGGCTTCTACTATAGTCAAGAGAAATTCGAGAAAGTCAAAAGCCATTGTTTGTGTCATATTATCAAAGCCCATACTTGCGTTGTTTCGAAATACTTCATCGCAGCATGATCGACCAACTCAACTACAGCGTCATTCTCGAAAATATTAGATAGGGAAGACAAAATAAACATTAACTTTCCACTACCTAAGAAAAAGATTCTGGTCATTTTTATACATATTTTCGATTTCGTGTTCTGTTTCTAGACGGCAAGATTCTATTCATCAGTCCCAGGTCGTGAACCCAAACGATCGCAACAATCGAGAAATACACTAGATTCGACCAGCGTGGATCATATACTACATATTTCACCTATTACACGCCCCGCCTAATCATATGGGTCTGGAAGTGAACCTTGAAGACCACTCTTGATAACATATGGTCTCATTCTACTATCCGGACCCAACACTTGCCTGAGCATATTCATTGAGGTGGTGAGAAGGCTAGAGACGACTGTTCGTAGACGATTTAGGGAGGTTAGATGTGGTTGCTACGCGCAGCCAAAATACAGCCTTAACGAGTTTGAATCCATCATACATCTTGTCCAAACCTCAAGCGTCTCGTCTGATCCTGACGACTGACACCAGAGTGGTCAAGGCCGAGTGAGTTTGCGTCTATTGCCCACTCGGTTCTTGAAGATTCCAGGGAGCCCAGCTTAGCACCAAGTATTAACGAATCTCAACTTCGAATGAGGGTGAAGCAAGCCATCATCATCTAGCACAGACGGCAACCAAGGCGAATCTCATTGCACCGAAGAAAAGGATAGAATGAGTAGTGGCTGGTTTATACATGGGATATGTTCTTCTTCTCCCATGTGGATTTGTTCTTTGGACTACTAACTAGACTCTGGTTGCTATCCCCGTAGATCGAACATAGCATGTTGGTGTTCTGGTTTACTCTGCGTGTGCACCGACTCATGCGCTAATGCTGGTAGGTCTGACCCGAGCGATGCGCTGACTTGGGCTCTATTGTACCCAGCAGCCAACCATACAGGCTATGGCATTTTCGAGTGTTGTATCTTAATGCAAGTGATCGAAGATGCCAACTCTCGAGTAGCTCAAATGATATGAAACGACTACAACGAGTTGACGGCGATGGTGTGATTTTTCCGCTTCGGTGATGAAGAGCGCTCGCGAGACATGATATCGTGCTAGCATATTTGTGAAGGATAGCGATAGCCATCATATAAATTGGGGTTGAAGTTGAGGGTGTTGGCGATGAGCCCCCTCTGAGCCCTGTCCTCCTCGTCAATACTCAAGTTCAAAGTCAAGAGGGATGCAGCATGAGAGCTCGACACAGCCATGCATCTAAACATGAGTTCACTTGGTAACTACTTGTGGTTTGGAAAGGCTCTTTCCATGGTGAGTTGGTGAATGGTCTGGCAGAGGAAGGCTCTTGGTGTCAAGAGTACCAATCCCAGAAGCGCCACTCGGTCGTGTCTCATCATCTTGCAACAAATTCCAACTTCTCATTCCTCAATTTCTGTACCCCCCTTAGCGCTTCATTAATGGACGTGCTCGCGAACCGTTAATGGACATGCCAGCTTCCCCTCTTGGCACGGAGCTGCTTGAGGCACGCTTCGGGAGTTACAGAGCAGAAGTCTGGCGAGGACGCCATGTAGTGGGACACGTTTTATATAAGGATGATAGGATAATGATGACAGATAATGTTTGCGAAACAGTTCGACAACTTAGAGTCGTAGAATATGTTCGCGGGGTTCGTACATGGCCTTGACGGATTGATGCCCGAGTCTATGAACAGAGTAGGCCAAGGGGTTCCAAGTTCTTCCATTTCTACGGTGTAAAATGCTTGGTGCCCCGGCATTTGGTAATTTATTCCCGTTTTTCTGGGGACAATTGCCGAGCCAATGTTGACCGAAGACATGTGTGACGGGAAACGGGACACAGAACGGCTGCTGTCACGCCGGTCACCCACCACAATGATTTCGGTGAGTCACTTGAAGTTGTCTGAAGTTGTCTTTTCACTCATGCATGCTTATTTCTGGAAGAAGTTTCGCCACCCGGATGACAATCGGATAGACGTTCGGCCATTCTTATCACCCCTTATTGAAATGCGAGATGCATAGGAAGATTGGCCGGGAGCTGAAAAAAAAAACTGGACAGGGAGAGAACTGCTCAAACATGGCGTACAGTGTTGGCATGTACGTGTGTAGTGACTGCAGAAGTGTGTCATACTTAGACCTCTAAGGGTCGAGAAACTGAGTCATCTGGGAATAAGAATTGGACTTGGCAGCCAGGGGACGAGGATGCGGTTAGAGTTCCGTGGCTGCCCTGCCCCGGGAAGGTGTGGGGGTATCGATGGCGAGAGATCTTGATCTTTGCATGACTTGATTTATTGTAGACAAGGGCATTGAAGAGTTGGTGTCTTGGCTGGCTGCGCGTATTGAGTCGGAATGTCGACGTGAGGAGATGCCGGGCTGGTCGAGTGGTTCGTCGTTGCTGTACGCAACAATTGTCAGACCATTGAGCGCGTTATCCGTTCCACCGGCACGCACTCAACCGATGTGAAGGTGATTGTGAGAGAGACAGGGTCGTCAACCACATTTTCCCGAGGGCGGACTGACAGGGCTGAAATCCCCTCTTGGCAGGTGGACGAACTTGCGGGCGGGAATACGGCGATCAAGACGCTTGGATATGCAGGAATTGGGCCGAAGCGGTGTATGGCTATACCTTGTTTTTTCCACGGGTGTCAAGTGAGTCACATACGGTCGAGAAGGGACGAAGTATATGTAAGGTTGCGGCAAGGGTTGGCGATGCCTCAGAAACTGGTCCAATACGAGGCGAGTGTGGAAGTGAGGAGGCAGACGAGGCTGGATTGTGTGGGTGGGATTGGGTGTGCTTGAGTGTGGTCCAGTGTGGTCCAGTGTTGGGAGTCTAGTGTGGTCCAGTGGGGTCCGCCCCTTCAGGGAAGCCGGCGACATGGGTAGGAGCACTGATAGGACCCCCGGGCGCCCCTGCCGCCTGCACCCCCCGCCTCCTTCCGAAAACGTGACGCCGGGACGGGCGCGCTAAGCACGGTCCCTGGGCAATGCAAACCCGACGTGAACGTTGGGGGTCCTTTTGTCGTTCAATCCTTCATCTCTGACTCAATAATTCTTGATTTCGTGATCAATATGCCCCAGGTCGGATGATACGGCACCCGGGGACCCCAATCCGAGAAATATTCCGCTCACGGGGGTGATTGCTGCAGCCCATCGGTGCATTTCCCACATCTGCAGCCACCAGATGACACGATGAGCAATCTTGAACATGGTGGAACTCGAATGACTGGGCGGCAGAGACGAGTGGAGCACGGCGTGCAAGCCTCCTGATCTACGAGTGGCCGCACGGCTTATGGTGTGTCTCGGGATGGTGCTGTGTGCTGAGGTATGTACTCCGCGTGTACTCGGTTTATACTGGATCGTGTATTGTGATTAGCGATCACGGTCCCAGGCAACAATCCATCCATTCTATCCCGGCCAGACGAACAAGGCTAATCAGGAATCCAAGCTGCGGGGTCTTTGCCCGCGCGTTCCGACGCCAGAGCGAGATGCATCCCTGCAAGAGATATGCATGCATGCTTGCTCTGCTCCCAGGTTGTGACCCCCGGCCTTAAGCGCCCCAAGGCAACAAGGCAACATGCCAACATGCGCGTAACGCAGCGAGAAGCGGCGAAGCCAAAGCCCATGCCTCGCCGTCAGCCATCACCGCTATGGCTGATCGCTAGAGGAACTTTGCAAACGCGACGGGGGTGCCTGGTTTGGTCTCAGTCTGTCACCGGAGGGTTGCACGTCAGGACGAGGCCGACACTCGAGATTCGATATCCCACTGGCCAGATTTATCCTCCGTCCCGTGACAGCGGGTTCAAGGGCTTGGCTCTAGTAATCAAAAGATGGATCCAGCCTGTCGCAGTCACAGAAGCCTGCCGTCATTACGGGAGATGCCTTTGTGTTGTCTCCGCCACATCGTAATTTACCTCCGTTTTTTTCTTCTGCAGGATAGGGATAGGCTCCGTCGTACTCACAGAGCACCCCGAGGCGACTGGGGTATATAGTAGAAGACGTCCGTTGCGTCACTCGTCAGCCTCAGGCTTCATTCCATTTCTTCTCTCCCCGTTTTTTTCACTCGGTTACTTGCTACGTCTACTGGGACGGATGCAACTGTTGTCCGTGCTTGTGTCGGCGAGTTTCCTTTCGAAGTTGGTTTTCAACTTCAATCCCAATAGCTCTTGCTATTGTTTGTTGGCTTTGCTCGAATCTTGTTAAAAAGAATACGCGATACCCATTGACATCGTGATCGAAACGCCATCGACCGACGACACTCTTTTGGAGGGTTTACTTGGCGATCCGCCAACGCGCTTCCTCGTGGGACGAATCACTGCCGAGCCCATCATGAGCGAGGCCTTGATGCTTCCGCTCACAGGCGCAGGCCTGGTCGTTGTCGCATTATCTGCTTCGCCCGCTATCCTCGCTATTCTCACACAATTTCGTAATCGAACTCCTAAAGACAACTTCTATGAGGACGGCGATGGTAAGGCCACGCCCGAGAGTATCGCTGAGTTCTCGAACCGCAAGACCAAGATTGCAATTCTTCTCTTGTCGGCCGTTGGCGCTGGGACGTCCATCGCGATTTCTGTCCTCTCGACTCTCCAACAAGCTAAATATGGATTATTCTGGGAAAATTGGCTGATCACAGCTGCGTGGGTGAGTTTCCCCACTCTGGACAAGGGATGTGAAGAGGTCGTCCACTGACATGACAACCGGCAGTTTCTCATTTTAATTCATGCCATCTCTCTGGGCGCTCACCATTCTTCAGTGAGGTCGCACGACCTGGGATTGTGGCTCCTTGCCTCGACCCTCATTGTTGCATCTCTCACTATCCCTCATCTGACTCTCGTCGTGCGACAAGTTGCTAGCCACAAGGACCCTGTTGTCATCCTCCGCGCTGTCAACGCCATTGGCGTCATTGCTCTGAGCGTCGCTAGCATTCTGATCCCGCGAAGACCCGATGTCTTCTTCAAGGGCCGTAAGGTCGACCGTCAATGGACTGTTTCTGCGCTCAACAGATACACTTGGACCTGGGTGGAACCGCTCCTCCACCATGCTTCCACGAAGAACGACCTCGATGCTGTTGATATGCCCGTACCCGACCTCAAACTCCGCGCTGAAGATTTGAAGAACGATTGGGATGCTTTCAAATTTGAGGGTAGCTTGTTGCGCTCCTTGATCTGGGCATACAAGGGTGGTGTGGCCTTCCAGTGGTCGGTGACCATCTTCCGAAATTTCTTGGGTATCTTGCCATTTTGGATCATGCTGCGCATCATTAGAATTCTCGAGGAACGAGGCAAGGGCCATACAGCTACTCTGGAACTTTGGGCCCTCATCATCTGGATGGCGATCTTCAATTTGCTTGACGCGGTAAGCCCCTTTAGTTGCCCTCCTGATTTTTGCTACAAGAACTCACATTGTTATTAGTGGATGGAAGGATGGGTTTTCTGGTACTCCTTTGCGGACATGGCCCTGCCCATCCGAGCTCAAATGTCGACTCTCGTGTTCGAGAAATCGCTGCGCCGCAAGAATGTCAAGGCTGTCGAGAAATCCAAGGAGACGGCCGATTCGCAGGACGATGCAAACAAGGACGACTCGAAAGAAGATGACGACGCACCATCCGAGGACTCGAGTGTCCTCAAGTCCCGCCAAGCTATTGTCAACTTGGTCGGCGTTGACGCTCAGCGCATCTCAAATTTCTCTGCGTATCAATTCATGATCATAAACAGCTTCGCCAAGCTCACCATCTGCTCTACCTTCCTTGTGCAGCTGATCGGATGGATTCCATTCACCGTAGGCATCCTGGCCTGGGCCCTCACCCTCCCCGCCAACACCTACCTCTCCAAGATGCTTATGGCCAAGTCCGAGAATCTGATGAAGCTCCGCGACGAGAAACTGGCTGTCGTCAATGAAGCTCTCCTGGGAATGCGGCAGATCAAATTTTCTGCCTTGGAGGCGAAATGGGAGACTCGCATTCGCACGATGAGGGAGCGAGAGCTGAGAACGCTATGGAAGCTTTTCCTTGCAGACACTGGTCTCTTTGCCTGCTGGGTTGTGAGCCCGATTCTGCTTGCTGCCACGTCACTTGCTGTGTACGCCATCATCAATGGTCGGCTGTTGCCCTCGGTGGCTTTCGTCAGCATTGGAATATTCAAAGCACTTGAATTGACACTGGGAGCTCTTCCCGAGCTTATTACCATCGGAGTTGATACCCTTGTCTCCATCAAGCGAATCGAAGAGTACCTCAATGGGCCCGAGATGGAAAATACCCTTTCCGAGGGTTCTGAGGTCGGGTTTGACGACGCTACTATCTCGTGGCCTGTTGACGAGAAGACTACAGATGAGGACAGATTCATCCTACGAAACCTCAACTTCTCCTTTCCTGCCGGCGAACTTTCGGTCATCTCAGGTAAGACGGGAACTGGAAAGAGTCTTGTACTTTCTGCAATTCTTGGAGAGACGGACTTGTTGGAGGGTTCCATCCGCGTCCCCTCGACGCTTTCCCCCGCCGAGCGCAACGACAGCGAGGCACACCCTGGCAACTGGATCATCCCAGGCTCGGTGGCCTATGTTGGCCAGACTCCATGGCTAGAGAGCGCCTCATTCCGAGACAATATTCTGTTTGGCCTTCCTTTTGTCGAGGAGCGTTACAACAAGGTTATCGAGGTTTGTGCACTGAAGAAGGACCTTGGAATTCTGACAGACGGTGATAAAACCGAGCTTGGCGCCAACGGTATCAATCTGAGTGGTGGACAGAAATGGCGTGTGACTCTAGCCCGAGCTGTTTACTCTCGAGCAGAGATTCTGGTCATGGATGACGTTTTCAGTGCTGTCGATGCTCATGTTGGTCGCCACATCTTTGAGAAGTGTGTCGCTGGTGATATTTGCAAGGGCAGGACCCGAATCCTCGTCACCCATCATGTGGCTTTGGTTCAGTCCAAGGCCAAGTTCATCGTTGAGCTTGGTGAGGGCACCGTTATGCACGCAGGGCTGGTATCTGACCTCACGCGAGATGGAATTATGGAAGAGATTCGACTGCACGAGCAGACGGAACTGGAAATCATGGACGACGAGACGGCGGAAGCTTCCACTGTTGTCAACTCGGAGGCCCCCTCAATCACCGATCCCGTCGATAACGAAGAGAACAACGAGCTACAAAAGACACCTTCCAAGGACGCCAAGCAATTCATCCAGGAAGAGACTCGCGAGAAGGGTGTGGTGAAAAGGCACGTCTACCTGACCTACTTGAAAGATAGCGGTGGTGTGCGTCTCTGGGCCATCTCCGCCATCATTTTCTTTAGTTTCGAGGCAGGTATTCTTGGTAAGTTGAATGAGCACCCCCTGGTGGTGTTCGTTATCTAACGTCTAAACAGGTCGAGCGTGGTGGTTGCGAATTTGGACCGGACAGTCTGATGATGACCTCTCCAAAACCAGCCTTCAAGACGAACATGGTTATGCCTCTGCCTTCACTATCCAGCAACAGCCATTCCACTCAACCCCCGGTCTACACGCCACCGAGGCTCAGCACGATCTATCCTACTATCTCTGGATTTATATTGCAATCTCTATCGCTACGGCCGTTGTTGGAACACTGCGCTTCTTCTGGGGCTTCGTCCTGGCTGTCAAGGCCAGCAGGGCACTCTTCAACAAGATGCTCTTTACTGTTCTTCACGCTCCCCTGCGATGGCTTGACACAGTCCCCGTCGGAAGAATTCTGAACCGGTTCACCTCCGATTTCAATATCATTGACAACCGCATCTCCCTAGACATGACCATGTTCTTCGCCAACCTGCTCGCATTAGTTGGTGTTTGCGTCGCTGCTTTCTTCGCGTCCCGCTACGTCGTCCCCTTAGCGGTTCTCCTCCTGGGCGTTGGAATAATGATCGCAAGGAAATATCTCCACGGCGCCCGACCCCTGAAGCGACTTGAGAGCACCTCCAAGTCTCCCGTCTTTGAGCTTTTCAACGCAGCCCTCGCGGGCGTGTCCACGATTCGCGGCTTCCACAAGACCCGAGTCTATGTCGAACGCATGTACAGTAACCTCGACAGCTGGGACATGATCACATCGTACATGTGGCTCGTAAACCGGTGGATGGGCTTCCGTATGGCCATCGTCGGTACAGTGTTCTCCACCATCGTCGGAATCATCGTCATTCTCAGCCCCAATATGGATGCCGCCCTGGCCGGCTTCACCTTGTCCTTTGCGCTCGACTTTGCCGAGAGCATTCTGTGGACGATTCGCAACTACGCCGCCATGGAACTCAACATGAACTCGACGGAACGTGTCGTGGAATACACGGAGCTGGAGACGGAGTCGCTCGACGGCGAGAAGCCAGCGGCCGCTTGGCCCAGCTCAGGTACCATGGAAGTCAAAGACCTTGAAGTAGCGTATGCTCCTGATCTGCCGCCTGTGCTAAAGGGCATCTCCTTCACGGTCAACAACAATGAGCGCGTGGGTGTCGTAGGCCGTACTGGTGCTGGAAAGTCTTCACTGACCCTCGCGCTGTTCCGTTTCCTGGAGGCGCGTTCAGGCAGCGTTGTCATTGACGGTCTGGATATCTCCAAGGTCCATCTCCACAGCTTGAGATCGCGTCTGGCAATTATCCCCCAGGTAGGAATGCCTCCTTTTTGTTGAATCATCTACACTGTCTAACAATCCCACAGGATCCCGTGCTGTTCTCCGGAACTGTGCGGTCCAACCTGGACCCCTTCGATGACAACACCGACGAGGAACTCCGCGACTCCCTTGCTCGCGTCCACCTGGTCGACTCGCAGCCTGCAACACCAGTCAACGAGCCCGCGACGGCACCCGCGTCAACCGCAACATCGACGCTCGCGCCTAAGAACACCAACGTCTTCCGAGATCTGTCAAGTCCCATCTCTGAGTCCGGAGGTAACCTCTCGCAGGGCCAGCGCCAGCTTCTGTGCCTCGCGCGTGCCATCGTCGCGCGCCCCAAGATCATGGTCCTCGACGAGGCCACATCTGCCGTCGACATGGCCACCGACGCTCTTATCCAACGCAGCATCCGCGAGGAGTTTACTGACAGCACCCTCGTCGTCATCGCTCATCGCCTCAGCACCATTGCCGACTTCGACCGCATCCTCGTCCTCAGCGATGGCCGCGTCGCCGAGTTTGGCTCCCCGCGCGAGCTCTGGGATAAGGAGGGCGGCGTCTTCCGCGACATGTGCGAGAGTAGTGGTGAGAAGGAGAAGTTGAAGAAGACAATTTTCGGGGAGGAGCGCAATGAGTAAAAAAAAAATACGAGGAAATCAAATGAAAAGCCTGGATTTATCGATTGATTTTGGTTGAGACACATTGTTAGGATACTACGCTCGAGTTCGTCATGCACTGCATTCATGCTTCACTCTGAATAGGGTGAAGTTGGTCGATTTATTTCCCGCTTCGTCAAGTTCGATGCTCAATGGGAACAGAAGAAAAACACAATACATCACAGTTTTTCAAACGGTGGTTTCATTACTTGCAATTTGTTTGTATTCGTAAAGGTACCTTGAGTGATATCGTATCGTCGTTAATCCAACATGGGTCAATCTTTCCAATCTTGCCCAGAATCTCCAATACTCGGAATCATAAACGACAGGTAACTAAGCTAATATAAGAAATACACGCGCGAGTGATCGAGATACAATTTAGGAACTTTTGTGCTCTAGTCGCGGATGCTGTCCGAGTCGTCATACTCGTGAATAACGCCCCTGTCCTCCTCCCAGTCATCAGGGATAGAGGTCGTGATGTAGTCACGGAAGCCACGGCTCATCTTGACAACAGCACGAAGGTGCTTCTCCTCGAGGAGGATGCGGTCAGAGTTCTCTTCCTGGGAGTCGCTCTCTGCCAGGGCGAGAGCGGTCTGCATAGCATTGCGGATCTCGCGACCGTTCCACTTGAGGCTGCGAACCTCGCGGCTGTTCCAGGCGAAATCGCGGGCCGCAGACGAGATGTGAATGAGGTTATCTGAGTCGCGGGTGAGGCGGTCAAAGTTGTTGGTCCAGATGCGCTCACGGTCCTCATCTCGAAGGTTCTTGTAGTGTAGCGCGACGTGGATTCGGCTCAGGAAGGCCGGGTCAAAGGACTGGACGCGGTTGGTGGTGAGGAAGAGGACACCGCGGTAGTACTCGAGGGCACGCAGGAAGACAGATACGAGGCCGTTGCGAGAGATGTCCTTGGAGCGGCGTCGCTCGAGGTAGACGTCAGCCTCGTCGAGGAGGACGAGGGCGCCGTACCGCTGGCCAAGCTCGAGGAAATAGCTGAGGTTGGCCTCGATGTTATAAGAGTCAACACTCAGGTCACCACTCGTGAGGGAGATGAGAGGTCGGTTGGTCAACTCAGCGACACACTCGGCGGTGCAAGTCTTGCCGACACCAGGAGCACCATGAAGGAGGAAGATGCGACCCTCGCCCTTGTTCTTGACAAAGTCATTGCCCCACGGCGCGATGAGACCAGCGCCGAGGTCAGTGGCAAACTTGCCAATCAGAGCCTTGACAGTCAGCTTGACCTCATCGTCCAGAACGAGATACTTGAAGGCTTCCTTGTCTGTCACGACCGGCCTGAGAAGACCGAGGTTCAAGTGGCCCCAGCGACGATCGCCGAGGATGAAGCCAGGAATAGTGTTGCTGGCAACGAAATAGAACAGGTCATTCTCTGGAGGAGAGTCGTGGATAGGATCAAGGTCCTCGAAGTTGAGGAAGGGGCTGTCGACCTCTTTCGAGCGGTCTGTCGCACAGGCACGGCATCCACATCGAGGCTGGTTCCTGGGGAGATGGTCCTTAACTGGGGGTGCGGTCTGGTTGAGGGCAGGAGGTCGGTGGTAGCGAGCCATGCCGCGCATGCAATCAGGGCCCAAGTTATAGTAGCTGTCGAAGCCAGGAGCATCGCAGATGACACGGCCACGCATGAAACCCGTGGGGCCTCGGGATTGGCGGTTCCCGGATCCAGAGTTGACGAGGAGACCCTCGTATTCCATATAGGTTGGGCGCTTGAGAAGCTCCCAGTACAGCTTGCCTTGTTGGATGCACTTCTCCTTCATGGTGAGGCCGCCTTGGGCGTCAAGGTCCTCAGGCCAAAAGGCTGCGGGGATGACGCCGAGGCTGCTAATGGCCTGCTCACCGAGCCAGGGAGAGACGTTGAAGCTGTACATGTAGCGGTTGACCTTGGTTCCGTTGGTCTCGATCATCCAGCAGTTGACCTTGTAGACATCATACGGACTGTAGGCGTGCTGATTGACCCGTACACTGCTGATGACATAGGGGGCCCAGATGTCGTATCGCTTGGAGTAGATGACCTCGCCGGGTTTGAGAAGGAGCCAGAAGTACTCAAAGGTGGCCTTGGGGACCTTGAGACCATGGCGCTCCTCCTCTTGGCGAATCTCGTCACCAAGGTTCATATCGAGGAAGCCCAGGAGGGCGTCGATGTGTTTGGCAGTGGTGGCGGCGTACTCAGCGTCGTGAGTGGGCGGCTGGTTGTCGCGATAGTTGGCGAGCTCGCGACGGTGGTGGTAGAGAACGCGGTAGGGGGGGTTGATAGTGACCATCTTGCCATCAAGGTTGATGTAGGGGTAGTAGGCGACGACGGCCTTCAGGGCGTTGATGAGGTGCTCAGAATGAATGGTCATGAAGGGACGGGCCTTGTCAGGAGGGGTCGCCTCCAGATCATCCTCGTCATCCGAGACGTAGTCGTCGTAGCGGTAGTCGACCTGATCAAAGGTCTCGGTGATGGGGCGATCGGTCTGACCGGGGCCACCGCGACCACGATGACGGCGGCCGGATCTACGGGCGGCCTTGGCAGTGAAGACCTTTGTGATGATCTCGATAACGGGCTTCTCGGTGGGGATGTTGGCCTCATCCTCAGCGTCACCCTCGAATTCCGGGACGTCCTTGAAGGCCTGGGTGCTTTGGCGGTCTGGTTGGTTTGCTGTCAGCGAGAGGTCTTGATACCTGGGAGTGGTAGAATACTTGCACTCGACGACCTTGTCGTTCCAGCCAATGTACTTGAGAACGTAGAGAACATCCGGGACCTTGCCATCAACCTTGAGGACGGCCTTGGGCGGGGGGACGACTCTGCCCCTGCTTACGGGGAGATGCTCAAAGCTGACGATGGAGCTGTCATCGTCGATGTCTTCACCCTCGATGACTCGGATCTCGTGGACGCGAGCCTCAGGCTGAGCAGCGATGTCCTCCATCATGGCCATGAGGGTCTAAGAGAAACAAAGACCAAACAAGGAGGGCGAATTCAACTAAGGAGTGAACGAAGGCGTATAGGATGCAAGATGGGAAGAGAGGGGAGGAGTGTAATGGGAGAAGGAGGGAGGATGACCCAGATCTCGAAACAGGGACCACGCAGGGACAGCTTTATATCGAGGATAGCTGCTGAGTGCAGCGGACGGCCTCGTGCTATCTCAACCGGGTAAGCATCTCTCATCTCTAGCTCAGCCCCTTGGAGCCGCTGGAGGCAGCAACGGCGCCATGCCCAGGCGCTGACCTCTCGGAACCGGAGAACCGGGGTTGTAGAGCGAAAGGACCACCATGGTGCGTGGTACAGTTTCGCACGCTGCACGCAAAGTGCCACCGGCGTGTGCTGTGCGAACGAGGCCTTCTCCTAGCGCCCGCATGAATTCCAGGCGTCCCAGGCATCTCCCAGGCATCACAGGGACGAATGGTGCGTGGTGATTGGCGTCGATCGAGTGGTGAGGAGCCGAAGACGATGTAGGTCTAGAGTGCCGGCACACGAGAGTCGGTGGGTTGGAAGCCGGTGCCAATGAGAGACGCACAGTGGCTTCAGCCCTGTTGCTGCGGGGAAGCCCTGGGGGCACAGGGGAGACCAGTGGACCGCTACGGCGCACTGCCCCGCTGCTGCAGCCTAAGCCTCGATGAAGTGGAGGTCGGTGAGCAGTGAGCATGGGCGGCATCCTCCGGCTTCCACCTACTCACCAGTAGCATTTCTTCATTCTGGAGGACAACATGTGCACCTTCGCTCTATCACACACAGCAAAGTGCCAAAACTACGCACATGTCCAAATGCTACCATGTGAATTGCCATGATGTGCAATGTCAAACGATAATACATGTCATCCAGCCAGAGTCTGGGGCGGGGGACGAGCATCCACATAGCCATAAGGCGATGAGATAACATCATCTCGGCGACATTCACTGCGTCCTCCGTGCATATCTAGGCGCACTTTCAATCTACTAGTTGCGTAGGTTGTACCGTAGAGCACCAAGTGCATGCATATCACATCACCTATGTATGGCTCTCCGTAGCCTTATGGAAACCCTTGTCCTTGTCCTTGTCCTTATCCAAGCCCCTGCTGGGTCGCCCTGTGGTGAGCCTTGCGACAACCCAATTATTTTGTGTGTGGGGGCTGTCCGTCCTCCGTGAACTTTGGCACTCTGAGTCACCCGGCACGCTACTCCAAAGGTAGGTAGCTTGTATGAATACATAACCCACACTACAGATGTATGCGTTTGGAGACACTGCAAGTGATTGATAGTATTACACTTGACGCAAGGAATGTTGTAGTGCTAGTGCTGGATCGAAGGCATCTGGTCTCATCCTGTCTTTTGAATGAATGAAGCGTTGTGCCTCTCTCCCAGCTGGAGCATCATAATATCACGATTATCATCTATCCATCCCTCCTACAATCTCTAGTACCCCAGCAAACAGTAGGCAGTAGAAAGATATCCGGTATCTAAAAAGAAATAAAAAACGCCTTCCCTCCATCCGTTCCCAACTCCTTCCCATGTAATCATTTCATCTATGCTTGACGCACCTCATCGTCAAGTAGCCCCGTTCCTCGCAGTCGACGTCACGTTGCTCGCGTGTGCCAAAAGAAACTTGCAGCAGGTTAACGTCAGTTTGCACGCCTTGGTCCAACCATCGTCCTGCGCAATCCCCAACTTGATGCTCACATCTCCAATCTTGTCTCCGTCAATTTTGTACGGCAGGCTCAGTGGATTCCCCGTCGCTTCGGTTTGCCGGCGCACAAAAGCTCCTAGTTGCCGCACCAACTCGAGGAATCCCACCATGGCGTTGTCGAACCGACGGTGCATAAACGTCAATCCAAGGGGCATGTCCCCGGAGCTGAACAGTTCTAGGACGTGCTTCTTGAGTGGAGGCTGAACCATCCGAGCCCCGAGCCGGCTCGACGAGGGACTGGGTGTCTCGTACCGGACAATCTTGGAAGTGCTTCCCATGGGCTGTGGGTCATAACCATCAAACCTATATCCAAGCTTCTCTGCCACTGTCACAAGCAGGAGCAGTGCGTGACCCCACGCTGCGTTGATCTCGGGCCAATCCACTGGTTTGTTCGAAAGTCGCCCCAACCGAAGTCCGTTGATGGTCGCGAAGCTGCCGTCATGGCTAATGCAAAACGTGTCGTTGTAGACGTTGGATCGTTGAAGCTTCTCTAGCAGCTGCGAGTCGTTGAGGTATTTGGCGTTGACGCTGTCCCTTTCCGACTGGAAGTCGGCCATCTTGGTTGCAAACGCATTCCGTTCCCTCCAGAACTTCTCCTCTTCCTTGTCTAGCTGCCGTGACTCTTCCTCGAGAGCTACAATCTCCTCATCCAGGGCATCCTTCTCCCCCTCCAACTTCTTTAGTTCTTCCATAGCTGTTGACCTATCTTGTTCTGCCTTTTTCAGGGTAGCCTCTTGAGCCTTCACCTCCTCTTCGGTTGGCTGGTCCGCTTTGACTTCTTTCAGATGTCTGACATACGCATCTCTCTCTTTCGAAGCCACGTCCAACTTTTTCTGTAGGCCCTCCACGAGCATATCGGTGCATTCAACGCATATCGGATGATCGATGTCGGATCTGGCAGAAAGAATCTCAAACAGTCGGTTGATTCTGTCCATCTCGTCTCCCTTCGGCCCATCGGTGTCATCCCCGCCTCTGCTGGAGCTCGCGCGCCGGAGTTTGGGAGGTGTTGGCGGGGGTTCTACCGCTGGAGTTTGCGGTCCGCCCATCTGCGACTCGGTCAGGTAGATGAAGGACATGGCGGAATCGCGCGGGTTGCCGCCCTGGTTGCGCCTGAAGATGGGAGCGGTGGCATTTCGGGAGATTTTGTCGTAAAGGGACCTCCGGGATTGCTCTTGAGGCTGGGCGACTGGTGGACGGGGTACGGGTGACTTCTTGGGCGTCAGTGGCGAGGATGAAGCTGTAGAGGTGCAAGGTTAGCCAGATCGCAAAGCGAACCTGAGAAGGGATGCGCTCACAAACGAGGAGGTCGTAGGCGGCTGGGTTCAGGTCTTCAAGTGAGCCATCCAGCTTGAGAGGCTGGCGACACTTTTGGCAAGTCATGGCGGGAGCTAAAATTGCATGTCTTGACGTAGTCGGAGCGGGTTGTCGAGGAGAGGATCGTGGGTTTGGTCACCTGCAGGCCCGGCGATGATGTTGAAAGCCAGGCGAGCTTGAGCCCCACTGACGCAGATGACGTTGCTCCACGGAACCCACCAGCAGCAGCCTAGGCGGGTTGCCCACTGAAGCCGTGCGAGGTTGTACTTGGCACCTCACTTCAACTCTGGCTTACTGTCGGATGTTATTTTACTTTGATGATTCTAAGCTATTTTCAATAATATCTTTACTTTGACATATATTTTGGAAAATTTTCCATTGACCTTGGAAGCATTGACAGTGTTCATGTTAGGGTATATAAGGTACATTACTAGCTCTGCATTGTGGAGCGTTCCCTTTTGCACCTGGCGCAACAGTTCACCCACTGAAGCCTCCAGGAGTTCTTGCACTTTACGCGTGCACGTCATACCCTACCATGAGCGCGTCGTTTCGCGTTGCCCCTCCAGTTGCTCCTCCAACCATTGTCAACCGTCAAATCCGCCCACCAAAGCACCAGCGACAAGATCGAGCAAGAATCGCTCGACACCGCCACTTATCGCATGGCCTCCAATTTCTAGTTACGCCTGTCTCCTGCGCATGTCCTCCGGCCGCAATGGAGCCCCCGGCAAAACGACGCCGTCAGGGCGCTTCCACCTTCAAAGCCGACGCAGATCCCAGCAACGAAGCCGACATTGACGAGCTGGCGTCCTCCCCTCCTCCCCAAGACCAGGGCTACCAGCTGGCCATCAAACGCGCCCAGGCCGACCAAAAGCTTCATGCGACAATGGCGCACATCATTGAAAAGTACAGCCAGAATTTCGACGGCATCGGCGACGAAATCGACATGGAAACGGGAGAGATCGTCGTCAATAATGGTCATTTGCGCAGCATGCGCCACGAGGGTGACCTTGGGGGTGGCTGCGATGGCGATGACGACGATGAGGGCATCCTACTCGAGGATCTCACCGACGAATGTTCCGACGGCGACCAGGAGGATATCAGTGAAGTCCAGGATTCGGAGGAGGCTGACGACGAAGATCCCGAAGAGGAAGTCTCCAATGAGGCCGAAGGAGATGAGGAAGACCTAGTCATAGAGGGACGACAAATGGCCAGCGAATCCAACTCCATAATGCCAGTAGGTGGTCCTGCAGGATTCAATATGCCGGGCGGTGTCACCGGTGCTCAACTAGGCGCCATCGCATCTCTTTTTCCCAACGCATTTGGAGGAGGTCTTGTCATAGGTTTTCTCCCTGCTTTCGGAACACCCCCTCAGGGATTTGAGCCTCCCCAGTTGAGTAATGGTGTCCCTACATTCAACTATGGTACACCTCCCATCGGGCAGAGTCCGCAACCTGTATTGATGGGGCCCTGGGCCATGCCAGGCGTGCTTCCTCCGCAGGCCTGGGGACAACCGGATGTCCCCGTTCAACAACCACCCCAACCGAAGCAACACACCCCAAAGCGACATACTCCCAAGTCCAAGGGGGAGAGATACAAATTCCCCACGCAGAAGGGCGACACTTCGATTTGGGCCCCTCACTCCCGCCAGCAAGATGACGATAAACCGCTTGTCAATCGCAAGCCCGGTAGACCCGCCAAACCACAAGAGCCAAAGCCGCCTGCAAATGACCCATCGAGCCAAAATAGCAATTGGGAGGATAAAGATGGGCCAGAGAGTGGCAGCGGCGATCATGGAGCTCGCAGGAAGTCTGGCCGAGTCAGGAAGCAAGTCGAGTATACAGGGAAGGTTTCCTGGCTGGAAGCAAACAGACAACTGGAGCTTGATGCAAACACAAGCAGTCAACCATTAGAGTCGGGTGCGACAAGCCAGGGCAATTCCCAGAGAAGCGAAGAAAAAGCCAGCCAAGAAAGTCGAAGAACGCCGAAGTCAGCTCAAACAGCCAAGAAAACCACAAAACCCAAAGGCACTGCCAAAACTGATTTGGGGCGAATTATCCCAGATTCGCAGGACTCCGCAACACCTCCAGCAAGCAGCGCTCCCCAGCCATCCCAGCCGTCCCAACCATCCCAACCATTCCAGACATCACAACCCAAGGGAGACCAGAGCCACACCAACATATTTGACAATAGTGGCGTTAATCCTGCCTTGAATCTTTCCGACGACGAGGCTCCTCTGGCCCTCACGGGACACAGAGTTGGAGGAGCAATACACATATCAACAGAACCAGACCCGGAAACACAACCACCCGACGTCAGCCTGGACGATGGTCAGCAAGACTTAACCACAACCCCCAGTATACCAAAGAAACGAAGCCCTGGTGGGTCAAAGAAAATGCCTAGTTCCAAGCCCAACTCTGAGGCCAAAAGAAAAGCTGGTCGCCCGAGGAAGGTCCCCGGGTCACCTACCATCTCCCTAAGCAGGGATATAAAATGGCTGCAGAAGGCATCCCAGAACTCGCCCCAGGCTATGCTTACACCAGCTGTACCTGGCACGGCAGAGGCGACTACACAAGAGAAAGGTGCTGGATCCGGAAAGATGCTTCGATCGGCCAAGGCGAGGACTTCCCCCAAGTCTCGCAAGACTGCGGTAGAGAAGCCAAAGGAAACTCCGGACGCAAACCTGGCATCTCCGGCCCTAAAGTCAACCCTTGTGATACCAACGCCCAAGGATGAGGCATCCTTGGGCAAGGGAGACGACCCGCGGCCTTTAGCAGCTGAAAAGATACCACCTCCGCAAACATCAACCCCCAAGCGGAAGAAGACCCCCTTTCACGATATTTCGCACAACACCCCACAGAGGCCTTCCCCAACGCCATCCCAATCCTCAAAACCCCATACTCCTCGCCTCACTGCCATTCGCACCACCCGGGCCCCTTCTTCCCGCCGCTCTATCCTGTCCCTCGTCTCGGCAGACTCAGACTCCGAGAACGAAAACGACGAGCTCGGCCGAGGTTATTCCGCTCGCCCATCCATCTCCCTGCCGCGCAGCTCCGGTGCTTCGACCATCAAGACCTGGCGATCGAGCACTCTAACGACCGAGACTTTCCGTACGCCCATTAAGAAGCGCTATGGCGAGCCTATCAGTCCAGGAAGTGTGGTTAAGACGCCAGGGGGGACTGTCAGAGCCTGTGGGGTCGGCGGGTATCAATGCAGACGTGACTTTTGCTTCAGTTGCTTGTAAAGAGCGAGTTTACATGCGGAATACCTAGGTAGGTTGCAGGGTTGGCTTGTCACAATATCACACATCTAGCTCGAAAGAGGTGATACTCTGGAATAGTCGGAATTAACAGGTGGGCAATATGATGAATCGCTTGATTTTATTGGATTACATCGCTATTTCAAAGACTGCCCATAAAACTTCCAACCTCGAGGGAAAATATCAAGTCTGTAGTGAAAACATGTACCGGCCCTCCTTTCCACGCACCGTGTTTCCCCGCCCCTAGAACGCCGAAGACCCTGTCCTAGTCCATCGCCGAAAAGCCTTTGAGGCTGGAAATATCCCCATCCATCCCATAGCCACGGGATGAGAGGTTCTCGTGTCGAGGCCCAGCGAGCCGAGCCATCTTCAGGTCGAACCTCGAAATATCATCACGGAGCTGAAAACCCGCTGTAGTGTCGAGCCTTAGCCGGGAAGAGACCATGTGCTGTTGTGAGAGGGGAGAGAAAGACATTTATTTAGTTGGGTCTTTTCCGAGCAAGCGATCCTATCAAGGGTGTGAAGCCGACGAGGGTAGTGCCGGCGGTCCAGGGTATCATGGGTTAAGGGGGATGTCGGAGTGGTGGAAATCGCGGATGATATGCATGATAGGGAATAGGGGGTATGGGGATTCCGAACGCTTCTCATGGCTTTGAGGCGCTGCCGTTGGCATTGGCGAGGTGCTGCTTGAAAACCTCGGGGTCACGGACTGGGTCGAAGTAGGGGTGGGCCTGGGCCTCCTTCGCGGTCAAACGCTCCTATACACGGGTTAATAAAGTTAGTCATGGGAAGAAGAGGGAAGGGAACGGACCTGGTGGTCGTATCGCAGCAGCTTGTCAAGGAAGTCAATGGCTTCGTTAGTGACGAAGCGCTGGTTCTCCGAGTTGACAAAGCTGTGCCATGGCTTCTTCTGGAAACGCCCGAGGATGTCATCGTATTGAGCATCAAGCTCAATTTCATACTTGTCAAGGTAGTCGAAGAGATCATCGGTTCCCAGGACCTTGGCGATCTTGACCAGTTGATCCGCATTGCTGTTACCATGGAAGAAAGGCTCTTTACGGAAAATCATCGAGGCAAACATGGCGCCTAGGCTCCACATGTCAAGGCTGTAGTCGTACTCTTGGAAATCAACCAACAGCTCAGGTCCTTTGAAATATCGAGACGCCACGCGGACATTGTACTCTGTGCCGGGGTGGTAGAACTCGGCCAGACCCCAGTCGATGAGACGCAGCTGGGGTAGGTCAGTAACTTGGAGAATAGTAGGGGGAGTGGCTGGAGAAGGGCGGACAAACCTTTCGGTTCTCATGGTCGATCATAACGTTATGAGGCTTCACGTCTCGGTGCATGATGCCCTTGCTGTGGCAGAAATCAAGGGCCTTGAGCAGCTCGAGAATGTAGAATCGGACATCAATGTCGTTGAACTTGGGGTACAAGCTCCGGAAGTCGGTATTGTTGACATGCTCAAAGATGAGAGATGGTGTCTTACTCTAGTTGGGGAGGAAGATGGTCAGCAAAGGGGTGGGCGTTGGTTGAGGCGCTGAGGCGCTGAGGCGCTGAGGCTGAGGAGAAGGGCGCCAGGGAGGAGGAGAACAAACCTGTGAATCTCGGACGACATCGAGCAGGGCAACGACGTTGGGGCCACCGGCGAGGTTCTGGAGGATCTTGATCTCTCGCTTGATCTTCTTCTTCTTGACGGGCTTGAGGACCTTGACAACACACTTCTGGTAGTTGACAATGTTGATGCCCTCAAAAACCTCCGAGTACTTGCCACGACCTGGGCGCCAAAGGGTTAATAACTCAGGACGGAGCAGCGGGCACGGCAAGCGGGCACGTACCGATCTTCCTAACGACCTCGTAGTTCTCAAGGAGGCCCCAGCCTGGCGGGACGGGTTAGCGAGGGCGCAGAGGCCGGCGGCGGGCGCGCACAGGGTCAACTCACTGATGTTGACGCTGTCGTAGTCCCAGTAACTGCGGGGCATGTTCTGGTTGACGTCGGCATAGACCCGCGCCATGGTGACGGTCGGGAGGGCGTCGCGGGGCGGCGACGCGGACGAGACGAGGATCGAGCGGGTAGTGGTCGAGGCGGAGGACGGAGCCTGGCGAAGGAGAGGCTGCGGTGGGCGCAAGAGGGAGCGAAGAGAAGGCTGGAGATGGGGCCCGGGAGGAGGGTTTGGGCGGTTTGGTGTGGTTTGCGGTGGGTTTGCGGTGGGTGACGGATGCCAAAATCGAGGTGGGATGTCCCCAGCGTGCCCCAGCGAGTCGCAGCCCAGCCCGGGCCCACTCTTGGCGTGAGGGCGGGCCTGTGGTTGGCTGTATGGCTTATCGCTGATGCCCGATAAGCAATTGGCCGGCATCAGCAGACTGCACGACGACTCAGCCTGATTCTGTTTCTGGCGCCAAATGCAGGAATTAGGAATCTGCTAATTATGTCCAGCAAGGAATGGTACAAGGCACGGCGAATAAGCGCTGTGGCCTCTGGACAAATCAAGGCAGAGACACAGGTGCGGGGGTCGGCAGTCAGCTGTCAGCCGTCGGCCGTCGCATGGCAGGCAACCCAGTTCTTCGAGCGACCATTGCACAATTCACATTCCATTTCATTCATTACGGGATTCCCAACGCGTGTTCCATTATTGTTGGCCTTTGTTCGCTAGCTATCCATGTGCGAAACTCCAATAGTTGAGTATGCAGCCCTTGATATTTCCTCCGCCGCTCTGCGCGGTAGCAAGAAGCTAGGTGCCGAGGTGAGGAGGTGAGGTGAGGAATTGTCCCATCCATCCCCGTTTTGGCGCACCCATATCATACCATCCATTTCAACCCCCAACAACAAACGGAACAGCAGCCGTTCACGTGCTTGCATCTTTCCGCGTTACCCCATGCCTATCCAAACCACAACTGTCAGCAGCTTGAACCAACGAGGTATGCAGCACACATTTGACCATAGAGGTGTCTCGTAATTTTTCAGAGAGAAGATTAAGTGTTCGACATGTCACGACCGTCAGACGTCACCAGCAGCCGAGGCCAATGGATCGTACGTCTGCGGTCCCGATCCGACTAAGGATGACGATACGAAAGGTTTTCATCATGTTGAGACGACGGTAGAAAAAGACATATGCCAAACTCACATGTGCGTTGGATGCATCCATCCTAGCTGTGTTGCATTGTTCCTGTCCATGTCCTTGTTGGAATTTCGTCCAAGTCGGCCCTGGTTGTTTGGTATCTGGGGGCACTTGGATGCGCCGTGTTTCGGTTTCACCTAGTCGTAATCAAGGGAATCCAATCCCTTGTCGACAACGTCCCAGGTGCGTTTTCGCAGGTCCGGTTTTGGCTCTACCAGCCGTCCGCGCTTGGCCCCCTTCTTCTTTTTCTTTTTGTTGCCGCGGAGGGTGGACGGGAGAGTCGAGGGACCGACCGAGGGCTGTGCGTTGGTTGTTTTGTCGTCGCTCAGCTCCATGGCCTCGTCCGAAGACGTGGTAGCCTTGACACTCGATTGCTTCTCCTGTTCTTTGCGGAGAGCTTCGAGTTCCGAGTGGCGAAAGATTTCGATTTGCGCGTCCGTCAGGGTGCGCTTGACACCGTCTTCGTAGTAACCAAGGTCATCGTCTTCTTCCCAAGTATCGTATGTCATGTCACTATAAGACTGATGTTCTCCCGATCGGTCCATAAATGTCCCGCCGAATGAGGCGATAGCAGCCTGCGAAAAGTGCTTCTCGTGGAAGCTGAACAAGTCATCCTAGCTCTGGTTAGTGACCAGATCCGAGATTGGATAGTGTGGGAGGGAAACAAACCTCGGAGATTGTAGTTACGCCATACTTGGTTGCTGTACCTACATGATCTGCCTTGGGCATGTCTGGGGCTGGACGACAATCCTGTCGTTGCGAGTTCGCGCCTGGCAAGCTCGAGCATGCACGACGCGACTTGGGTCCAGAACTGGTATTACGTCACGTGCAGCTTCATCATGGACGGCCTCAGGTTCCACTCTCCATCCTTCCACCACCTTGAACAAAGGAGTTGAACAGGAAAAAGCCAGGCGGCGACAGAGTATTGTCGAGAATGCGGGAATTACATCTTCCATGCCAATATTATCAATCCTTCTGCCTGGCTGCTTGGCTGCAGCTTGAGCGATTCTAGTCTCCGCGGTCCCCAAAATGCTAGCCTCCCTCTAAATGCCACCCATTATTTGGACCGAAGAAGAGCCAATGCACTTTCAAATGCTCGCACAACCTCATCATCTAAATATGTTAGCATATTGTGCCCCACTGGATACTTGGGTGGTTGCACTCACAATGTTGCTGTTTTTGTGCCATATTTTCTTCAGATAGGTTTACAAAGCGCCGTCGCGTCTGCAAGCGCTTTGCTGCGCGTTCGTCATCGTGTGCCGACGCCGCAGCTGCCCAAACCTTGAAGTACTTGTCGGCTGTGAGCATAACTGAACGCGTTCAAAGAGGGGTCATCTCACCTTTGAAAGGGCACCCGCTTGCTTTAGAATCTCCTCCTCTTGCTCGTCCGCATCACGAAGAGCCTTGTCGTACCTTGCCTCGAAGTCTTCCCAGTCGAACGACGCGAGGGTCGCAGGTGAGCTAGGGGTGTCGGACCTCGCGGGCTGTTGATCCACTCCTGACTCTGGGGTCTTCGCATCATGGTGCGATTGTTTCTGTGAATCGAGCATGACGACTTCCTCCACGACAACGGGTTTGCTTTCGTCTTCAGGCTCTTGATTCTGGCCTGCTTCGCCGGGCTGGGACAGCTGCGCCGGCGGGGACGGTGGTACTGGCGAGGCCATGGTGGGTTGCGATCCACTGATCACGTCCTCTTAGATTGTCGACCAAGCAACCGGGACTGCAGGACAGGGTTGTGGCGGTACGGTACTCAGTCAAGGCTGATGCACGTTCAAGTACAGGCGGATTTCATGGCGTCATTGAAAACAATGGAGAATAACCCAATCCCCTCCAGGAAGCGAGAGCAGCCAAGCCCGTTTGATCGTAGAAATGCGTGAATGAATGGTTTCTGTTGGTTGAATGCGGATGGTGAGCCGTTGAGGTTGAATGATCAATGGTTCGCAAGGTCGTCAGTGCAGCAGGCACCCAAGGATGCCTGGTACTACAAAGTACAGGTACCTACCCCGAACGCTTCAACGCACCGCAGCGGTTGGCTGCCTGCGCCCCAAATGTGGCTAAATTGTTGAAACGCCACAGCCCGCGACTCGCCTCGTCCACCTCGTGACTTGGCGGTTCCAACCTCGAAGTCATCTGCCAGTCACCTTAATCATCTCAACATAGCCGGACCTACAATTATGTTCGTCAGCTCACCCGGGCCAGTCACTTTCAGCCACTTCATGTTGAAACCATCCATCTCCATCCCAAATTGAAAGCAGCACCGTATCACAGCCTGGTGGCGAAACCACAGGCAAGATGGACTGTGACGTCTGCAACCGCAGTCATGATACCAAGCGCCTGCCGTTTCTCTGCGCCGTGGATGCCAGGAATCATATCTACGAGGGCCGGATAAAGAACCTGCATCTCCTCATAGAGAACGAAGGCCTCCAGAAGCAGATCAGTGACCTCCTGGTGGACACTACTGTCCCATCCAAGGACCGCAAGGACTCGCTCCAGGCTCAGCAGCGGATGGCAGAGGATAGGACAACCCAGATCCTCGCTGCTGCTGACAAGCTTAGAAATGATATCAAAGCCGCCCGGGAGGAGATCAAGGCCAAGAAGGCTGCGCTCTCTCGTCGCAGATCCGATATCGCCGCCGTCTCGAATGGTTTGATGGAACGCAGGGTCAAGCAACAGAAGGAAGTCGAGAGGGCGACCAACATGTCCAAATACCGATGGTCGCAGACCGCAGAAGACATGTCACGAACTCGCTCATTTCTGTGTATGGAGGCGGCCCGCCTTTGCGGACTCAAGCGTGTGAACAAGCCATCTCCAAATCAATACGAGTATCATCTGGGAGGTCTCCCGGTCGTCGACTTGACCAGCATGAACTGTGAGTCCTGGCTTACGCTACCTTCGATCCCCTTGCTGACCTCGCTCAGCGCTATCACCCGAAGTCATCTCAACTTCACTGGGCCACGTATCTCACATACTCATGCTCACCTCTCATTATCTCGCTCTTCGCCTTCCTGCAGCCATCACCCTCCCTCACCGTGACTATCCTCGGCCAACCATATTCACTCTGTCTAGCTCCTACAAGCATGGTGATACGAGCTTTCCGAGTCAGACTGGAGTTACCACCCCTTCCTCCGACGCCCGGAACCCAGAATCTCAACATGTTCCGCGTCCAAGGCCGCTTTTTATCGACAAGCCACTGCCGCAACTTGCCAAGGAAGACCCCGCTACCTTCTCTTACTTTATTGAGGGTGTCACTCTGCTTGCATACGATATCGCATGGGCTTGTAGCACACAAGGCGTTTCCATTGGCGATAAGACATACTTTGAAGACATTTGCAACATGGGGCGCAACCTGCATAGTCTCCTCATTGATCAGGAAACCAATAGCGGCAACATGTTTCCGATACCTTCTACCCCCAAGAGTCAAGATGCAGAGGGCGGCGAAGTCCAAACCAACTGGATGGGTCGATTTTCCCATGGCACGACATTCTACTTCCTTGGCAACGCTGAGGGCACTGAGTTTGCGAAAAACTTCAAGTTACCAGGCCCTATGAAGCTTGCCGACAGACTCAAGAAGAAGCTAGTGAGTGAGGCGCCGGCGCCTGACTGGGAGGTCCTAGAGGACGACGCTTGGAAGATCGAGGACGTACCTGACAATGAAAGTAATGCTACAAAGGATAAGTTCACTGAAGGAAAGAATTCTCCTCACCGAGGGTCAAGTGGTTGGATGAAAGTGAAGAATAGATGACGTCAGCATGCATCTCATGGTCATTTTCTCTAAGTCATTCGGTTATATATCTAATCTACAATTCTCGCCACCATAAAGGGTCATGCGTGCTTTCTTGCTTCTACCGGTTCTTCTCAGTCGATTATACCAAGCCAACGAAGTACTCAATCATTCCTTTTCGTCCCGTGTTTCTTGCTTTTCAGCCTCGTGTGCAATTGCCGACGACGTTGAAGCAACCCGCACAGCCTCCCGCAGAGCAGCTTGTGAACGCGTCACTACATTCATCCGCGATGGACCCCCCAGTGTCTCATCTCGGTCCCTCGCTTGGGGGGGGCGCTGCACAGATCCAGGCTGGGACCTCGGAGATTCACGCAACGGTTGAGGTTGGTTGTTCCTTTGCCTCTCTTGTGTCCTCAATATTCTATCCAACTCCTTCTTCTGAAGATTTTCCTTGGGCTTAGGGTTCGGGGTAGTATCGGGTTGACTCTGGGTTGCGGTTGCCAGTTGATTGTTTGAGGTCGAAGAACTGTTCATGACGGGGTTCCCTCCAGGGAGCAATAGTCCGCCTCTTTCGATCGGTGCGACATAAGCTTTTTGCTGGGGTTTTTCCTCACGAGGCGTTACTTGAATTGCTGGCACGGGGGTCGTTGCGTTCCCTCCAGGAAACAAGAACCCGCCCTTCTTCATGGGTGTCTGGCTATTTGGCTCCGTATCCAGAACCTCTGCATCCTGGGCTATGCCTTCCGGTCCTTGCACTTGCGTCGAATCAGACTGAGGTTGCTCTAACCCACCAGTGACCGGCCACGTGAATACAATAGTTGATCCTGTATTCCCGCTAAGTGTTGTAGGCAGACTTGATGTCAAATCAGGCTGAGGTTGCTCTGACCCACCAGTGCCCGGCGACGTGAAGATAGGAGTTGATCCTGTGTTCCCGCTGAGTGTTGTAGACCCACCAGTTCCCGGCCACGTCCATACAGTAGTTGATCCTGTGTTCCCGCTGAGCGTCGTCGGCAGGCTTGGCGTTTGTTGGCTCGGAGCTGCTAGTCCCGCGACCTGGGTTCCCGGAGCTTGCGCCAAATGGAGGAGGCCGTGATTAGCATTGTTTGCCGGGGCGGCTTGTGGTGGCGGCGCTGCCTGGGTAACAGGAACGACGTTCATCGTCGCACCAATGAGGCTTTTGACGGCCCTTTTTGGTCGAGCAAGAATCTCCGCTGGTGTGTTCAACTTTCCCGTGGCTTCGGGGGAATATGCCTCCTTTTCTTTCGCCTTCTTTTCTTCCGCCTCCTTTTCGTCCACCTCCATTTCGTGCGCCTCATACGCAGCGATCAAATCTTTCTCTAGTTGTTCATTGAAAGTCATGTCGTGGCTCCCCTGGGGAGAGTTGACAGGCTCGCCTGGGGTGGCGTTGGGAGGTGCGGGTGGACTCTCAGTCATTTCAACATCGTTCTCAGCACCGGTGAAAATAAACAGACCATTGCCCTGGGTCATCACATGGTGCTCTGCTACCGGAGTATCAACCGGTGGTGATATGTGATGATAACTGAAGATATTGCTGCCGAGCCCTGGAACCGTCGTGTTGATGTTGACCGGATTTGCCATCTCAGCCTCCTGTGTGGGGGGAATTTCCATCGGAATATCCGTGGTACTCTCTGCAAGGGCATGGTTCTCTTCAACAGCTGCTTCTCCCATTTCCGTGTCCTCAATGCCCATGCCCACAGTCGTTGTATCTGGGTTAAATTCCGTGTTATCGTCATGATATGACCGGAGTCCCTCTTCCACCAGGGCTTCAAGTGCAGCAGATGGACTTTCGGAAAGAGCTGGCCCTTCATAGTTAAAGCCGGTATCTGGCTCAACCGAAAGAGGAGACTCGTCTATGGATGGTTGAATGTCGTCAATCACATCTGCATCGTCGTCAGCAGGGATATCACCTGCAACAGAGCAGCCGTATATGTCTTCGTCCTCTGCGTTAGTGTCGCTATCGGATATATCGTCACTCTCATCTGGCACGAAAGGGCTCGTAGGGGGCACGTAGCTCCCGCCCTCTTCCTCGGGAATATCGCCTGCGACAGAGCAGTCGTAGATGTCTTCCTCCTCTGCGTTATTGTCGCTATCGGATATATCGTCATTCTCTGCGTTGTTATCGCTATCGGATATATCGTCATCGTCACCTGTGTCGTGAGGATTCGAAGGGGGTACGTAGGTGCTGTCCTCTTCCTCGGGGACATCGGCTGCCACAGAGCTGCCGGCGATGCTCATTTCTTCCTCGGAAATATCGCCTGCGACAGAGCAGCCGTAGATATCTTCGTCCTCATCTGGGTCGTAAGGACTCGTAGGGAAGTCATTTATTGCTGGCAGCGTGGGCGTAGTTGGCAGAGCTACGTCTTCAATATCAACGTCGTCGGTAGCAGAATCCCTGGCATCAGAGCCAATGGATTCGGGGTTATTGACGCCAGTCGCATCTCCCTCCACAGGCAGGGATGTCATTCCCATTTTGACGTCAGAAATACTCCCGTCTCCTGCTTCTGTATCAGAACCATCTGGACTGTCGGTGTGGGTGGTGGGTCTGAGGAAAGGATTGGGGACGGGCCTGGCGAAAGGATTGGGGACGGGCCTGGCGAAAGGATTGGGGACGGGTATAGCGAAAGGATTACGGGTAGACTGAGCTTGGTTGATGATAGGCCTCTCGAAAGGGTTAACTTCACCTTGGGGTTTGTTGGAGAGTGAGCTCTGGGAAGGAGTAGGCGTGACCGAGGCGTTGTTGAGCAGGGAGCTCCCAGAAGTAAAAGATACAGCCGGGGCATCTTTGGAGGGAGAGCTGGCGGAAGGATTATAAGTATCCACGACTTTATATTTGGAGAAGGAGGTCTGGAAAGCACTAAGTGCATCCGGGGTGTTGGTAGACGTTGTCCCAAATTTGTAAGTCGAGTGAGGTGTTTGAGCTTCGTTGTTGGATTTAAGAGCCTCTGTGGACTTTGAGCTCTCAGCGTAAACTGGGGCGTAGATAGAAGAAGAGGTTCCGACTGTAGATGGCGCAACCTGCTCGGTGGGCTCATCGTTCCCGGGTCTCTTCTGGTCGAACACCTCATCTTGGGGCTCCAAGACCTCTGGGCTCTTGCTAACGGCATGTTGAGGCTCTGAGACATCTGAGCTCTGGGCGACGACCGGGGCGTGGGTGAAAGCAGGAGTTTTGACCATGGGGGGTGCAACCTGGTGGGTAGGCCCATCGTTGTCGGGCTCATTCTGGTCGAATACCTGATCTTGGGGCTCTGAGAACTCTGGTCTTTCGGTGGCAGCCTCTGGGTTTGGGGTAACGGCGGGGGCGGAGGTGAATATAATAGTTCCGGCAATGGGTGGTAGAGCCTGTTGGGTGGTCTCATCATTCTCGGACTCATTTTGGTCGAATACCTCATCTTGAGGGTTTTCGGTTTCTTTGTGGGGTTTCTCGGCAGAAGATCCGACAACAGGAGCACGATTTGATAGCATCTCCTCTTCTCGGGTGGGCTCCGACTCTGATACGCTCTCAGTATCCGAAACAATTGCCAACATGGAAATCTCTGCCGCAAGGGTTTCGTCGCTGAAAGAGTCCTCCTGGACATGGAGAGATGCGTTGCTGGCATTCCTACTGGTAACAGCATGGTTTCCGTCGGAGGGCGACTGGGATAGGCTCTCAACATTCGAAACAACTGCGGGGATGGAAGCCTCTGTAGGGGGGGGTTCGTCGTTGCGAGACCCCTTTCCAACGGGGGGAGATGCATTGCTAACATTCCTTCGGGTAAAAGCGTTGTCATCATCAGAGGGCGGCACTTGAGGGGCATTGTCGTCGTCGGTCTCTTGGGGAGCGGGCTCGTCGTGCTCGCGAAGATAGGCTCGCCAATCAACAGGAGATGTCTGTGTCCCTTGATCACAAATCGTGCTTTTCTTGCGTGGCTCGATCCTGATGTAAGTTCGAGAATTCCTGGCAGGGAAGAAGGGAGGTCGGACATTGTCTCGAAGGAATCGGTCAATAGGCCGCAAAGGTTTGGGTGATGGCATGTTCTTCCCAGACCCATCGCTATCATCGAGCAAGGGGCTGATTCCGGGCTCGTTTATCTCCACCTGGGTATTCTTTGGCTGAGGAGAGTCAGGTCGGATGGGAGAGTTAGGTCGGGCGGGAGAGTTAGGTCGGACGGGATCGCTGTCGCCACTGCTGCTGCGGTTCTCTGCGTTGTCCCAAGGGACGTCAAGGTCCAGAGTCACTGTGAGAAAGTCGGAGATATCCTTGATCAGTTGTCGCCGGTTCTTGGTGGTTTGTATGAGCGAAAAGAGGAAAACCGGTCCAAGGAGGAGATTCCAGACCGAGAAGATGTCATCTACGACAAATCCTGTCCTCTCTGTTGGGTGAGAAATGACCGAGCTCCACCGGGGAGGGCTGAGGAAGAAAAGAATCCAAGTGATAACCAGAGTCAAAGGGTCGAAGCGGATGTTCTGGACGACATGTTGGAAGTATAGTGCGAGTATCATCCACCAGATGAAAACAGGGCCGCTCCAAAGGGCCCACGCGAGGTTTCTGACGGTCCAGTAAACAATTCGGTCGTTAGAGAGCAAGGAATTCACGTAGATCATGATTTCGTTCGTGTCGTCTAGGATACCATCCCAAAGGGTATCCCAAATGGACGCCATCTTGCTTTCCACTCCAAGTCTTCGGTAGTGGGTGTTCAAAGTGGTGTGGGATTGTGAGTTAAAGATCAAATCAGAATAGATTTCGCCGTAACCTGAGACGGAGTTGTGGTTGTTCTCGGGAAAGAGAATGAACAGGAAGCTGGGAAGAGTGCAGGGAATGTATGAGAAAAATGAGGGAAGAGAAGAGAAGGGCATGTTCTCAGCGACCGCATATATATATAGATATGTTCAGTTGTTGACAGCTGGCAACACTTGCGGGCTTTGACAATGCCGTTGTTTGTTTGTTACAAGGTGAGCCCACAGTGAATGAAACCTGATCAATGGCAGCAGAAAGACAAACGAGCGGCCCGCCAGGTGAATGCGCGTTTGTTTGACAACAGCAAATAAAGACAAAAGGCAGGGCGAGAGGTTTGTTTCTAGAACAATCACACATCGCATCGCAACTCTTGTTCAGTGCTGCATCCGTGCAATTGGCACGTCACAAGAAGTCGCACGCTTTATTAAACCAAATTTGTTAAGCGCTGTCTAGCGCAAATCGCAGCATGCTAGTCATGCATGGCCTGAGCCCAATTCCATGTTAGACCAGGGACAAACACCAGACAGCAAACGGCGCAATCAAGTTTCAGCCCTATAAAGGACAAGGTCGTGTTCATGATATTCAGTACAGTCAACAAAGAGCTGACTGAATCCCTTACGTATACAAACAAGGTATCTTTCTTCCAACCAACGCCGTTGCCTCCTTCAGACGTGTTCCCAAGCCCGTCGTAACTCATTGTCCTATTGAATCCAAAAAAAAATTCCTACTTCCGACCCCTGGCAATCAACCTTCCGTGCAACTCAACCATTACGTCGCTCCACTCTTCCTCTCCTGCGCCGACGTGTTTACCAATCCTTGTGGTCAAGAACTCACTCACTTTTGACACATTGAAATGTTCCCCGTACACAACCTTGGTCTCGGGAGTAATTACAATCTCGAGACCGTCGGGTCCACTTTGGCCGCTCAGGTTCAACGTAGCTTCTACCCGAGTCTCAAGGGGGACCAGTAACAAAGAAGTCGACATCGCCACATTGGAATCAGATGTCTTCTTGACCGTTGTGGGGAATGTGACGTTGAGGCGGCTGATCTGAGACGAAACCCAGCTAGCCTTGTCCCAAGCAAGTCGGACCATGTTAAGCAGATGAGAGGTCTCTGTGCGACTCTGTGGTAGTGCCCGAATATGATCACGGATGCATTGGAGGAAAAATTCCTTCTCGATCGTCTTGGGAAGCGGGTCACGCTCCCTTGCGTCGGCGATGTACCAGAGGTCGATTCTCGAGTTGGGCTTATGAGTTCGGAAGGCTGCAATGTCAAAAACAATCTCGATTTCGCGCTTGTACGCCATGGACAATGTCGTGCCAGATATCCCAGTCACAGACCAGCCATGCTCTTTCTCAATTACATCGGCGCGGGCTAGGGTTAATTATATGTCAGCAACTCTCTTCAAGCGTACAAAGAGTCGAGGGAAGCATACCTTTGAGGCTGTTGACCTCTGTGCTAGTCCAGCCGCGACACTCCTCGCGAATGGTCTCGGACTCTTTGATATCCCCGAGGCACTGCTGCTTCTGGGCCGTCAAAGTTTCGATATCAGCCTCTGATGCCTTGAACTGCTCGTGAAGCTGAGCAATAAGCTTCTTCTTGTGTTCGATGTCGTCATCTAGAGAAGACAGCTCCTCACGCGCAGCCTCGAGTTCGGACGGATCGCAATCAGCTAGTTCTTGTGCGACCTCTTCGAGGTTGTTGCTTTCCTCCACAAGCGCATTGTAGCGAGTCTGGAGGGCAGGCATAACAGAGTCAAGAAGAGCCTTCTGCTTCTCGAGGCACTCTTGATCGACCTCCATACCTTCATCAATCCTCACGAGGCCGTCCTTGAGTCCATCTTGAAGTTTCATGCGCCACTCGTACCACATGGCCTTGCTCAGAAGTCGGGCGTGGGTCTTGACGTTCTTGAACTGGTTGTCCATAAGAGCTTTCACTTCGGGCGTAGCGGCCATGTACTCCTTAAACAGGGTCGGGTTCTCCTCGAACGTGTCAGTCTCAATCTCCTTGACCATCCGTCGCCCTTCAGAGATGTATTTTTTCAGCTCCCGGCAAGAGTGCTGGTACAGCTCCAACATGGGCACCGTGCAAGCACCAGCCACAACACATCGTTGAAGAGATAAATCGTCCTCGCCTTCGGCGGAAAAGCCGGACTGTAGGGTTCCAGGGACGGTGGTATGGCGGCGCTTCGTGGTGGTCAATTCCATAAACCGGATGGAAGTCATGTTGAGGAAGTCTTGGAGGTGAATACGCTCCCCATCGGCTTCGTCTTCGAGCTGAGCAGCATCCTTCACCGTTGAGTCCGCAAAGTTTACTGAGTGACTGGTGTGGTCGTCTTGGATATCCTTGAAACGGCCCTGGTTCTTGGGAGTCGTGGCTGGGCTAGATCGTTGAGGAGAAGATAGGGTTGGTGTAGAGCTGTTGAAATTTGGCTGGAAACTCTTTCGAAGTGATGTCGTGAGTCGGCCGGTCGTCTCAGCTTTGGAAGGCGGCTGCTTCAGTTTGACGTTCTTCACCGGGCTGCTCTGATGCCCCTTAAGCCTCTTGATGCCGTCATTTTCCTCTGCCTCGTCTTCGTCGTCAAGCTCGTTTGGTCGCTTTCCAAGGATTCCCTTAGCACTGCCAACGTGAAGACTCTTGCGGCCTTTCAGCGGGTGTCGCTTAGGACTCATACTATCAATCATCTCTCTGAGGTTGAGAGTAGCTTCCCCATCGGCTTCGCGTTCAAGGATTCTGCGTCGATTTTCTTTGTCCTCTTCATCTTGGCGCTCTTTTTCCAGTTCGTCCACCATTTCCTGAGGGTTCTGGAATGAGACCCCCTTCCGCCCAGGAACAAACGTGCTGGCCATGTCTCCAATTGAGCCTCTTCGGTCAAACAACGCGGCAACCTGCGGAGATCCCAGGCCAGCTCGATCGGCACCAACTCCAGAAAGTCTCCGAGTTTGAGGGGTCAAAACGACCGTCGGTGTTTTGTTGCCTGTCATGAGATCTTCCTGGAAAAGACTCTTCTTTCTCTGGGCAGATTTTACTGGTGAAGGTGTTCTGGTATTCGACTTTGCAGGAGATGGTCGCTTCGGAGATGCAGACCGCGAATTTCTCATCGAGGCCCTCGGGGTAATCTTGGTCGAGGAAGCTGAGCTGACCCGAGGCGTTGAAGGCTTGACAGGTGTTGGAGTCTTGGTCTTTCGTGCCCCTGATTGTGATGTCACAGAGAATTTCGCGGGAGACGGGGTTCGGAGTATCTCAGGAGACTGTTGTTGTGTTGAGACTTGAGGGCCAACACTGCGTCGCAATCCATTCCCATGGAAGGCTGAGAGGCCAGGGCTGATTGTCTCTGGCGAAGCCTCAAGTGTATTCTGGGCTGCTAGCTGCTTAGCAGGCGAGGTCTGGTTCACCGTAGCTATAACCGCCTTGACAGGGCTATCAGGCATATCAGCTTCTTGCTCCATGATCTGCTTCCCAAGGTTTCGTGAGCCATTCGCTCCATTGTTGAGAATGCCGCCGATAGCCGTCGTCATTTCCATTCCCATTGTAGCGTCCGCTTCGTCATCTTCATCGTCATCGTCATTGCCCTCGTTATCAAGAGTTGCAGAGATGATTCGACCGACGCCAACGGTCATGTCCATGTCCATATCCATTGCAGTTTCGTCCATCGCAAGATTTTTGGTTCGATTGATCGTCCTTCTTCGGGTAGCCGCTATGCTTGTCCTCTTTTGCTGTGACAACACGCCACCCATAACAGTTGTGAGCTCCATAGACATGTCCTCGTTGTCTTCCGATTCATCATCTTCGTCAGGTGGATGCCGGTGGATGCCGCCAATGGCGGTAGTGAACTCCATAGTTGCCTCTTCCATCGGGGCATCGTCGTCTTCGTCTTCCACCATAGGGTGTTGCTGCTTCTCGGTCCGGAGTTGGGGGAGAATGCCGCCAAGTACACGAGTGACATCCATGGACATTTCCTCCTCGGGTTCAAGTTCTTGAGCTACCGCAGACCTAATGATGCCGCCAACAGCTCGGGTCTCATCCATGACCATGTCCATGTCCATGTCCATGTCCGTATCGTCATTGGCCGGTTGGTGGGGTTGCGATTGCTGTGGTTGAGAGTGTGGTTGAGAGTGTGGTTGAGAGTGTGGTTGAGAGGACTTGTTTTCTTGGTCTTGGACTGCAGAATTCGGCTTGCTGCCTTGGCCCCCCCATCCAAAGGAGGGGATAAACTCTTCTCCATCGTCTTCTTCACTCTCGTCATCTCCCAAACGCTGGTTTCCAGCTGTCCGTGCTGCAAGTCTGAGGGCTGCGTCAAGGGTCGAAGAATCTCCGGTTTCGTCAACGGATCTGTCTGATGCAACTGTGGTGCCAGTAACCTCTTCCCCATCGATAGTCATCATAGTTCCGTCGTCGGAGTCGCTGCTTGAGCCCTCATCTTCGACATCTTCCACCGCGTCCGCAAGCTCGGAGTCATCGCTGTAAATAGTCGAGGTGTTGGTGTCGTCATCCGAGTCGTGAAAGTTGAGAGCCGGAAGCCCTGAGCTCCGGCGTTGCTTTCTTTGATGAAGCTCTTCCTCGTTGTTGGCAGGCTCGGGGGCATTTTGTGACTGGCCACGGCCAGCATTTCGTTTCCCTGCATTCGTCTGGTCTGGCATGTGCTCAATTTCATGAAATGTGTGAAGCGTCGCCTCGGCAGCAAATGATACTCTTCGGTTGGCTAGGGACTTGCGACGAGCATCGCGGCGATCTCGCTCCTCTCGGTCCCTGGCAGCGGCCTGTTGCTCCTCCTCCGTCCGAACAGCAACCTTTGAGCCATTGGGCTCCCCAGCTGCTGGCTTGGCGAGGGTTGTTTCTTTCGACGGTTCGCTAAAATCTATCAAGTCTGCCTGCTTGGGTTTCATCGGTGGGATCTCGGGGAGCGAAGAAATAGTTGGTTTGAGGATCGAGCGCGGGGGTTTCGCGGGCGCTGCTAAAGACTGGGCGGAATTAGAAGCTGCTCGAGAAATTAGGATATGAGCCGTCTTACTGCGCGACGATTACCGCTACCTTGCCTCAGAGCATCGAGTCCTCCAGGGCCAAGACTCTTGCTTCTTGATTTCTTGCGACTGGCAGCCAGCGTGCTAGTGACGTCGACTGTCGCATTCTCTTTCTCCATTGCCCTTCGCATGTCAGTATGCGAACTAATAGACTTGCGCGTGCGCCGCGTTGCGGGCACCGTGGCATCAGCTGAAGGTGCCATTTTGGTGGTGTTGTTTGATCTTGTCGTGACAAACAGTTCCCCACGCGGCGATAAAGTGATGGTGGGCTGTCTGTATATCGCGACCCATCCGTGTTTGTTTACTTTGGCGGCCAGCAACAGGGTCTGACCCACTTTGCCAAGCTTGGTGTCACCCACGCGGCCTGTACTCGAACGCCCTTTCACGTGATAGCGTTCTCGCGGTCCCACTCTTTGCAGATCACGTGCTCGAAGAAGCCACCCTCCAATCAGGAGGCTCGGCTACCTAGCCAATCCAAATTTTGCAAGCCCTAAGGCCCGAAAGTGCACGCAAAAAATAGTGTGCGATTTGCCCTACTTCTCCATCTGCGCAAAACTGCCCTCTATCATAGCCAATCTCAACCTCGCCTCACCCACTTACCACGACACGCCCTCTCGAAACGGTACCTGCCCGAGAAGGATAATTCAAGATGTCAGTCTTCATCGCGATCGATCTACGATACTCAAACAACCGGGTCGCTAACCTTTGCTCAGGGCGACCGAGTTGACCGTCCAGTCGGAGCGAGCTTTCCAGAAGCAGCCTCACATCTTCGCGAACTCGAAGGTCCGAACAAAGACCTCCCGACCTGGAAAGGGTGGCCGACGATGGTACAAGGAGGTCGGTCTGGGTTTCCGTACCCCCAAGACCGCCATTGAGGGCACCTACATCGGTACGTGCGACATGTCGACGATTGGATCGAGCTTGGAACGAACAAACGGGGATGTCCCATGTGGTCCCATGTGGTCCCATGTGGTCCCGGGCGGTGGTTGTGGTGGAATAGGAAAGGGCCTGGATCTTGAGAGGCCATGTCAAACTGGATCGAACTGGGTCGAACATTTGAGACGGAACCGTTGCTGACCTTTTGCGCTGCAGACAAGAAGTGCCCCTTCACCGGCCTCGTCTCCATCCGTGGCCGTATCCTGACCGGCACCGTCGTTTCCACCAAGATGCACCGAACCGTCATCATCCGAAGAGAGTACCTTCACTTCATCCCGAAGTACTCCCGTTACGAGAAGCGCCACAAGAACCTCGCTGCCCACGTCTCTCCCGCCTTCCGTGTTGAGGAGGGTGACCAGGTTACCGTTGGCCAGTGCCGTCCCCTCAGCAAGACTGTACGTCCGAGAAACTCCGAGTAACGATCATACCGAAAACAAGCTAACATGTATATCAGGTCCGCTTCAACGTCCTGCGCGTGCTGCCCCGAACTGGCAAGCAGGTCAAGAAGTTCAGCAAGTTCTAAATTGGGCTCCTTTCTGGCATTTTTGGCGTGATAAGCATCAGAGGAAATGGGACATTTCTACTGAAGGGTCGGGCACCGGAAGTTGCTTTGCAAACGATTGTGCTATAGATGCAATCGCGAATAAAAGGATTCACGAAGACAATCATCTGGGGTTCACGGTTCAGTTGGGCGTGACATGGCTAGCAAAAGGGTCTCCGGGGTCTCAAGATTACGTTCTTGTCTTTGACCGTTCGCATCCCAAACAATGACCAATTTCCAGTGACGATTCTGCTGCTGTGAGAGCCAAACTGAATTCATGGTGACCGAAAGCATGCGCACCAATCCAAGCTCGTACGCTCGGATTGAGCAACATGGAAATTCCATTTGACTTGATAATGAAACATGATGGTGTCTTGCGTCAGTATGATGTAGTTAGTTTTGTGTTTGTAGCAGACATGTCAATTGTGTAACCGCAGACACAAGCACGGCGAAAATATTGAATCGTACAGTGTATTGCACAGTGCCTCTTGTTTTTTTCGTACCACTCAACTCATCGCGGATCCATCGCGAGATTCCAGATCCAGAAGGAATTCCAGAGCTCCAAACTTGACTGCAACCTCCCAATCCAAACTCCGCCTCTCAATCCGAAACCGGCGATCGATTCCCTACATCCGCTACGATGGGCTGGATCTCATCGGTCCTCGGCACCGACAAATCGGAGGACCCTCTCAGAAAACTCGATCCCAAACTTCGCGAATTCCTCGAGAAAGAATCCCCCGTCAAGTACTCAGCAACCCAACACTCGTCGCCCACGACTGCTTCGCAACCTCAACCACACGACGATGGCAACGCCCCGGTAGCGGAGGCGGGAGCTCAGGGCCCCAGCGTACCTTCGGCCAGCCTGTTCCAGGACGGCCGGTATGCCAACATCTGGAAGACGTACCGACCGCTGGCGCAAATCGAGGCCGAAACGGCGAGCGACCATGATAAATTAATGGGCGTCTTGGAGGGCTACAAGGAGCGGAAGGAGGCAATTGGAAGGGCGGCCTTGGAGAATTGCGCGGAGTCCCAGGAGGAGTGGGTGAATTGCATGAAACATGGCAGCTGGGACGACCAAATACAGATGTGCCGGATTCAAGTGCGAAAATTCGAGAGGTGCTACACAATGCAAGCGGTAAGGCTACTGATGCCACGCCCCAAGCAAAACATGTCACGGTCTACTAACGAGTCTTGCAGCGATTCCTCCGTGCCCTGGGATATGGATCAGTTTCGGGGAGGTCAGCTTTGGTAGAGGAGGACATTCAGATGCACGCCGACTCGCTCTACCAACGAATGATTGGCCACGAGGCTGCCGTAGAGAAGGCCAAGGCGGAAGGCCTCCCGATCCCGGTCTTCGAGCCGGCCGTTCCCAAGCTAAAGGCCGACATGATCACGCCCAGCGAAGAGCTACAGCAGCAATGGAAGGAGAAGCTGGACCAGCTGCCAGTGGAGGAGCGTGCAATAGAAGAGGCGGCTCTTCGAGCGGATTTGCACGCCAAGTCAGTAGTTGCTGGGCAGGTGCAGGAGATCTGGGACACGCAAAAGGACGAGCGACAGAAGCGACAAGCCGCAGGCAACTCGACTTTCACGGACTATCTATCGACGCTATTTGGAAAGAGTGGGAAATAACGATGGAAATTATGATGTATCGATCAGGGATGGATGTACGATCTGTGTACGACATAGAATAACCAAGATATAGGTCTTGGGATGCTGGCGGATGCAACCATGAGATGGGCCAGCGATGTACTTGATTACTGTACACGAGGTTAGAGATCAAAGAACCAATCCGCTTACCATGCATAAAGACTGAAGTAAAAGTGACTATCTGGTCCAAGAAATATAAAACCCAAATAGCAAACATCAGTGTTTAGAGTAGTTACTGACCTGCTGCTCTGTGACAGGATGATGTTGCATCCCGCACGGAGGGGAGCAACCCCGCTACGAGGGCTCCAAACCTGCAACCAGCCCACATCTTGCAAGCTTCATATTTACATACAGAAGCCCAATTCTTCAACAAGTACCATAGCTTGGTTCCGTGGTCTAGCTGGTTATGGCATCTCGTTAACACCGAGAAGGTCCCCGGTTCGAGCCCGGGCGGAATCACACTTTTGCCACTCAGGAGCAAATCTTCCTTTTTGATGTTGTCACCATCATTCTACCAACAGCGGATCAGGACTGGATGCAGGTGTGTAATGGGTGAAGTAGCCACTCCTTGTGAGCCAAGTTATCATTTTGATATCTGTTTTCTCATGTTATGAAAGCATTGTCAAACAATATTGAAACGTATGAAGTACCTGACTCCAAGGTGATGATGTCACCCAAAGACCCCTAACTTACCCTATACAATTTTATTTTGCAACCACCAATTCACGATACGTGCAGTACGAACAGGAGGAGCTTCTGGGGACTATTAATAAAAGTGTTCGTGGTTCGTATGGCCACGTGAGCGGTAGGGGTTTGATCAAATCTGCGTCGAAGTTCAATCGAATGTTATACTTCATCATAGGACGAGCCATCAGGCAGTCGTGGCCCACGGATTGGTTCATCAACTACAAATCATGCAGGGGAATACGTGGAGACCGGTACGATTCAAGCACAAGAATGTATCTACCTGTGACTAGCGCGCGGCGCTATCTCTCAGGAGAGAGAGCTTTAACAGTTGTGACTTCACTCATCAATATCATGGCATGGACTTATAAGTAGGATATCATTTCTATTGTCAACAGGCTCATGCAGTGACAAAACTCTCATCCAGGACCAGCAAAGTTTCATAGCCCGCTTCCATCATCTTGCCATCTACTTCGATTTAAAGACGAGGCGCGTTTAGCAGCAGCCCTCCTCGCAGGCGCAGAGACCGCAGCAGATCTCGCAGCCAGCCTCCTCACCACCTCGCATGGACATGTCAGGCTGAGGCTCAGCAGCCTTTGTTTGTCAGTTTGGGGACCCGATATAAGATATACGATATCATGAAGAAGAAACTCACGGGCTGCTGGGAGACAATGGCACCGTTGTCGGCAGCCATGGGGGCTTGCTGGGTGGGCTCCATGGGGGCAGGCATCTTGGATTGGATGAAGAGGGAGGAGGTGTATCGTGGATTTAAAGTAACGTTCCGATTAGAGTTGTTGGTGAAGTGCAGGACTGGTCTGGGAAGAGACGGCTTCCAAAGCCGGGCGTCGTCTTTAAGTAGGTACTCGGCATTAGGTAGGGTCGGCGGCGGCTGATAGCAAGAAGCCCGCGTGTCCCAGGGGCCCAGCAGCTCAGAGGCCTCAAGCTCCAAGGGATTGTCTCACCTCCCACCGCCGCGGCTCGTCGCATCCCCTCATCCCAGTCCAGGGCGCAAAGAAGACGAGTATCGCGAGTGACGTATCGCAGCGGTGCCGGTTTGCCGGGCGGCCATGGTAAAGTTGGCCCGTCAGGTAGCCACTCCGGGCCACTGAGATGCAGCGGGCGAGCCAAAACAAGGGACCTGCTCAGCCTTCAGCTCCAACGAGGATCGAGAACAGCAAATGAAGGCCCATCCGGGGTGGCCGTGCAGCAAGCATTCGTAGGCGTTGTTAGCAACGTCAGCCATCTACGGCACCCGGCACCGCGGTCGTCGTGTGCAGTGCCGAACTTCCGGTGATCCACCCCACACGCTGCGACCCACAGGAGCCCGCCGCGACCGCTTAGTGTTAGCCAAACAGGCTGGATTGCCCCAGACAAGGAAGATGACGGCGTAGCAGAAGAGCAGAAGAGCAGAAGCAGATGATTTTGCAAGGAATCGTTTGGTTTGGTTTGGTGCTATCGAAATGTAAAGGGTGAAACGAGTAGCCAATATCATCGACGTCGGACAGAATCCAACGATTATGGCATCAGAGAGCCCATCGCATCGGTTCAATCTTGGAATAGCGCTGCAATGCGTGAGGCAGATGGAGAGCTGCAACCCATCGATTGTCAAAATGACTAGCGTTCCGGATCATCGCGAGTCTGAGTCTAGACGCGAGGGGTGACTGGGCTGATACACTTGGCCGTATTAAATGCACACAAGCCACACGATACAAAAGTACTACAACTCGGCAGGGTTAGCAAGTTGGCGAGGAGGCAGCCAACAGTCAACAGTCAACAGGCCCAAATCACGAATACCAGGTCACAGCAAGCCACTTGAGCGGAGCATGTGTCACCATTAGTCGATTTTCTGTATCGAATATCGCCCGCGGCATCCATATGCTTTTGTTTTTCTTTGCTTCTTTGTTTTGCCTTTGGGCTGTCAAGTTTCATCATTGTCTTGACAGCTTCGCCGCCTTGAAGCGACTAACACGCGCCGGTCCTCCATCGGCTTCGTCCAATGGCTGGATCGGAGATTCGTCTTCTTTAAGGAACCCACCTTCTCGCTGGATAAACTTCTTGCGCATTCGATGATATTCATCAGCAACCGCATCCTGTGTCATATCGTCATCAAACTCCCCCGTTGGTTGGGGAGCCGTCCTCGTATCGCGCTCAACTAGGGTATCAGCTATTGTCGTTCCCTCGGGACCTGTGGGCGCAGTCGGCCGATCTTGGTCTAGGAACCTCACTGGCAGGTCCATAGGACCTGGCGGGATACTGTCACCCGTCGCAGCCTCGCCTCTCGACTTCTTGAAGCGAGACGGTTTGCGATTCGCCTTGGATTCGGCCGACTTGGCAGGACCAGATCGCTCCACGACATCACTCAACGGCTCCACCAGAGGCTCGTCGTCTTTTTCTGTAATCTCTTTGACCCGTTGTGTTGCAGGCTCATCTTCGGGAGCGATGTCAAGATTCGAGGCGAACCGGACACCCTTCTTGCCGCTCGTCTCTGCAAGCTGCTTCTCCTTGATGATCGACTTTGATGGGACAGGCTGTGATGAGGACGATGGCGCCTCGGGACTTGGTTTCACAACAATGCGACCGATCCGCTCATCGTCCGAGCTTGAATCATCATCGTTATCGGCTGGTTCTTGGGCAGTGAAGCGAGACTTGATGCCCAGCTTCTTTTCCAACTCGAGCATGCGTTGGCGGTAACCATCTGTCAGGACACTTCCAGTAGATCGCCCGTATTTGTCTTCATCATCCTCGAATCCCTCATCACTGTAGTCAAACTCATAATCGTCGTCGTCGTCGGTGTCGCCTTCGTCTAGTTCCAACTCGGCGACCACTGCACCGACTTCGCCCATGCTATATGCGAGCATTTGCCGGCGCATCTCCGCGTCATCCTCATCCTCATCTTCGGGGATGACTGGCTTTTCCTCACTGAGGGTCTCCTGCTCCTTGGCAGTCTTCATGATTTGTTCGACGCGTTTCGCATTCTTCGACACTTGAGGCTTCGGATCGTCTCCGGCCTTTGTATTGGAGGTAAAAGAGACGGCCTTATTGGCCGGAGATTCAGATCTCAAGGGCTGTTGTATCTTCTTGCTCGCCGGCTGAGCTTGGGCAACTAGTTGTTGAAGGGTTTCCGTTTGGCGAGCTTGCTGCTGAGGGATCTGCTGCGTCGCGTTCGGTTCCGCATCTGGGATGTCCTTCACGCCTGCCTTCTCCAGGGCCTCCTTGACTTGAGACAAAGAATTGCCTGGCTTGTTTAGCTGGAATGAGATGACATTGTCATCATCGTCTAGCCGCTCGATGATTTCCGTGATGGGTTGGCCGTCTTCATCGGTGGCATCGGGTTGGCTGATGACGGTGGCGGCAGCGTACTTGTTTTCGGCAGCCTCAAGCTGCTTCTGCAGGGACTCGATGTTCTTGGTGACATAGTCGATGCGACGATCAAGAACATTCTTGATCTGATCCTTTGACCTGAGATTCTTACCGCCGAAGATGTCGTCAATCTCAAGTGGTTTGAGCAGTTCTCCCTGGAATGCATCTCTGATATGGGCGAGAGAGGCGGCGTTGGCTTCGGGCACGTCGTCGACTTCCTCCTTGAGTGTCTCATACTCAGCATCCCAGGTCTGCCAATGCTGCAAGTCCTTCTGCAGCTTCTGAACCTGCTCCTCGAGCTGCAGCCGGTGCCGCTCGAGGTCCAGGAAGCTATCCTTGACTCCCGACATGGCGACGATCTGCGTCAGCTCCCGCAAGGGTGCTAGCGAGCAGAGGAATAGAAAATCTGGCTGCCGATGTGCAACGGATCGTTGAAAAATCAAAGGACCTGCAAAACTTGCATGGGTCTGGCTTAGGCGTGGTTAACCCGGCTGAATATCGGCTAACGGGAATTCACAACTCATGCCACCATGGCTTACGTCAAGGATGATTGTTAGGTAGATACTGTCAACGTCAGCCAGGCCTTTACAAGCCGCCTGCATGTGTGCGATGAAGTCAAAGGCGTAAGGGCGTCGATGACATTGGCGGCCTGGATGTCGCAGATAGACATGGTTACTTCCTTAAAAGGCAATTGACTGCCTGTACACGCGGGGTCCTGAGTTTCCCGCTCCTCTCTGCCATTCCGAGTGACAACCTCTTTGTTCATGTTCACTCACTACCAACGGTTTATCACCATGACGGACTCTAGCAACACCAAAACGCTTGAAGCCAAGTGCTCGTGTGGTTCTGTCCACTTCACCGTCGACATTCCCAAAACATCACTACCTTTCCGTGTTCACCTCTGCCACTGCAGCTTGTGCCGGTTTACTCTTGGCTTGCCATGCGTCTTTCACACTCACCTGCCCATGGGCATCAGACCCAAGTTCGTGGGGCCATCGTCTGAGGCAAACATGACACACTACGTCGTTCCCGAGTCTAGGGGAAGTGTGAGCTTTTGCTCCACTTGCGGGTGTCACATTGCCTGTATTGGACTCGAAAAGGGCAATTGGGTGCCTGCGACGTCCATTTTCACAGACCATGGACCAGAGAACTTCCAGATTGGGATGCACATCTACACCAAATCCGTCAAGGACGAAGGCATCTCCAAAATGTTGACCCACATCGGGGGCCGTGAATTTGGTGTCTATAACCCACCCGAGGATAGTCCCAAGGCCAAGCTCCTCGAATCCGAACCTGAGGTTGGGGAAGACGGCAAGGATCGCATGCGCGCGCAATGTCACTGTGGTGGCGTGTCTTTCACATTTCCACGACCGACTGAGGAGGTCATCAACGACGAGTACATGTCCAAGTATGTCTCCCACTTGGACAAGACGAAATGGCATGCGTGCTTTGATGCCTGCGACGACTGTCGCCGTGTCAATGGAACTCATGTGGTTGGATGGACATTTATTCCGCTTGCCCTTTGCGAACCGCCCATCAAACCGGACCTTTTGATCGGGACTGCCAAGACCTATCAGTCGTCGCCTGATGTGCTGCGATCATTCTGCGGCACATGCGGTGCGACATTCTTCTACTCGATCGAAGAACGACGCCCGACAGACAGACAGCAAGTGGTCGATCTCTCAACAGGCGTCCTGCGAGCCCCTGAGGGTGGCATGGCGGAGAACTGGCTCACCTGGCGAGCTAGGCTGGCGTGGTTGGGCAGTGGGAAGAGGTTCGACAACGCATTCACAGAAGCGCTACAGGAGGGAATGAACAAATATGTTTTGGAGAAGGAAGGGAGAATTGAGGATTACAACATCGGGTGAAGAGTCCGAAATCAGTTTGGGGGCATCGGAGGGCCTCCGAGATAAGCTGTGCCTGTGCCTGTTTCGGCGTGCTATGAAAGGATATTCAACTGTCGTGGAAGGAGTCGAATAATTTTTGTATATTGTGAAACTTGGGTATTTTTAGAAAATACCTCCATACACGAGGAGAAATTCACAACAGGCCATGTTCTTTGTTGTTGGTGATGCTTCTGCGCACCGAAGCGCGGCCTTCGGGCTATCTTAGCGGCGTCCGAATGCCCGCAACTAAGATGCCGGGACCGTCCCCGACAGTATCCGGCGCCCTCGACTCAGTGACGGAGCTTAATTTTCACCTAATTAACCCAGAACTCCATACGCAATCCCCCGTGATAGAGCCTTAACTCCTCAAGATTATATTTTTTACCCGTCATTCCGGTTGCCATCTGCGGTATTCATCGGCATCGCGAGAAAACCGCCCAACAGCGTCAATCCGAATTAGCCGAGCTTTCTGCGGGCCACCAAACGACGAGTAACAATAGAGAGTTTCACCTCGCTCCCCGTCCGTCGCCAGTGGGAGAAAAAGTCGTGGACCTGGGCCATTTCGATGCCTCATGTATCGTGGCGAGCCCTCGGACAAATTGGACAATCCTTCAACTTCGTAGTCTCAGGACGTGCTGCTCTTTGCACCATGACGTCTCCGAGCCGCTCTTACAATGTGACGCATTCCAACTCCCGTCCCCACCTCCCTTTTGCGGCCGGATGAATGCGTTACTGACCGTGGCTGTGCGCTGTAGGACGCAATTGATGCGCTGAACTCGCTTCAGACGCCGTTTGATATCATCGAGGCCCGCCGAAAGGCTGGAATCAAGCCCGATGCAGTCTCTATCAAGGAGATGAAGACGTACCTAGGTCGAATTGGCTACACAGTGAGACTCATCTTGAAATGCCTCTCCTCTCAACCTCACTTCTGCTAATACATTCACTCAAGGCAAATGATCTGGATCGCCTCAATATCGTCCATGTGGCGGGAACAAAGGGAAAGGGTAGTACATGCGCCTTTGTTGACTCCATCCTCGCCCAGTACCAGCGCACCCTCGCCATCCCTCACAAGACTGGCTTTTTCAGCTCGCCTCACCTCATCGCCGTGCGGGAGCGCATCCGGATCAACTCGCAGCCTATTTCTGAGGATCTATTTGCGAAATATTTCTTTGAAGTATGGGACCGGCTTGAGCCATCCGCAGCAGTGGCGGAGGAGAACACCCTCATGGCTCCGCGACCTATCTATGCCCGCTACCTGACGCTCATGAGCTGGCATGTCTTCCTACAAGAGGGAGTGGAAGTGGCAGTTTACGAGACAGGCATTGGTGGAGAGTTTGACGCAACAAATGTCGTTGAAAAGCCAGTTGTATCGGGAATCAGCACGCTCGGGATCGACCACGTCTTTGCCCTCGGCAACACCGTTGACAAGATCGCATGGCACAAAGCCGGTATTATGAAGACTGGTAGTCCGGCTTTCACGATTGAGCAGGTTCCCGAGGCCGCAGAGGTTCTGAAACAAAGAGCTGTAGAGAAGAATGTTAATCTAGAGGTATTGGAGATTGACCCTCGACTCAGCGCCGTCAAGATCCGACCAGACGCTGCATTCCAGAAGCGCAACGCTTCCCTAGCCGTCGCCCTGGCAGAGGCCGTGCTGTTGAAGCTGGAGGTCACTCTTCCGCCAAAGTCAGAACCCTTGCCGTATGAGTTTGTGGCTGGCCTTGAGAAGGTCGTCTGGAGAGGTCGCTGCGAAGTCAAACTCGAGGACAAGGTGACCTGGCACGTTGATGGCGCCCATACGGCTGACAGCCTGAAGATGTCGGCGAAGTGGTTCAATGGCGAAATATCCGGCCGGTAAGTGAACCTCTCTGCCTGCCTCGCTGTTGCCCAGAAATTCTGACGTTACCCCTAGATTCGGCCCCCGTGTCATGATCTTCAACCAACAAGGCCGCTCCGAGGCCGTCGATTTCCTCGAGTCCATCCAGAAAGCCACCAAACGCGATGGCAAGCCTGCCTTCGACCATGTCATCTTCTGCACAAACGTCACCTACAGCGCGACAGGTTACAAGCGCGACTTTGTCAACCACCAATTCGACCCGGCTGACATCGACAAGATGACAGTCCAGCACCGCTTTGCCGAAAAGTGGGCATCTATAGACCCAGTTGCCACCGTCAAGGTCATGCCGACGATCGAGCAGTCCATCGACTACGCGCGGCAGCTTGGCGAGGGGCTTCCGGAAGGCGCATCGGTGCAGGCGTTCATCACCGGGAGCTTGCATCTGGTTGGCGGCGCGTTGGGGATATTGGAGAAGGCCGATGCCCTGTAATCCGTGGCCATCGTTTGCATGGTATATGGTTTGGGACAGGATATGGAGCATAGACGACAAGGCATATATATCTACAAGACTACAATAGACCCTCGGGCTCTAGGGCCTGTAAGATACCCCCCACAAGATGCAAGCTACCCGTCACCAATACCTTGTGATTTGGTCCCTCTCTTTCGGCGATTCGTCTCGCCTCCGTCACTGTATCCTGCATATTATCCAAAGCCTTCGAATCGCAGCCAGGGGCTGTGTTACCCATCAAGCGAGCTGCGCGATGTTGCACCTCCAAATTCCTCACTTCGCCTTCGGCAGGGCCTTGCTGATCGTTCCTCGTGAAAAGGGCATGCTTGAAAACATTGTCCCTCCCTACAGCCTCTTTAACAGCATCGAGAAATCCTGCGAGGAGCTCCGAGACATCTCTCTCCTGCTGGTTAAATACGAGTGTGGCAGTCTCACCAGGGCCGAGAGATCGGGCAAACCACTTGGCCACCTGTTGTAAGCTGTCTTTTGTGTGAGCACCATCAACACACCAACTGACAGGGCCGTCCTGGATGGTCTCGCATCGTCCTCGCAGCGTTGCCTCGGTGAGGCCCTTGACCATCTTCTCGGGAATATCCAATAATGCAGTCGCGGGATTGGTATCCATGCCGAAATATTCCCGCACGGCTAGGACAGCTAGAGCTTGGTTGTATTTCTGGAAATCGCCCGCCAGCTTCCCCTGCACGCCGCCCCATTGCTCGACAAAGCTATCGTCGAGCTCGACCAGGTTGGCGCTCTTCTCAGCCGCCCTTGATCGAAGAACCTCCCTGACGCCGGGTTGTTCGCCTATTCTCCGGACGAAACCTTTGACACTGGGCTTGAGGATCCCAGCTTTGTGCCAGGCAATCTTCTCGACAGTGTCTCCTAGCATGGCTACATGGTCGATGCCCAGTTGTGTGATCACCGCCGAAGAAACAGCTTCTGGTGGAAGTAGATTCGTTGCATCGTACTCTCCTCCAATACCACACTCCAAGACGACACAATCCACCTTCTGCTTCAAGAAGATATGCCAGGCCAGAATCGTCAGGAACCGAAAAAAGAAGGGTTTCGACGATGGCCCCTCCGCCTCAGCCGCGTCCATGCCCTCGCTCCTCGCCGCATCAGTGAAGCGATCCCACAGCTCGAAGAATGCCCCTGTGAACGCGTCCTGCGAAATCGCCTCCCCCTGGATGGCGATTCGCTCCCGGACGCTGACGAGGTGCGGGCTCGTGTACGTGCCGACGGTGCCATACTCGCGCAGCATCCCCGTCGCGAACGCACTCACTGAGCCTTTGCCCTTGGTTCCCGCGATGTGAATATGCCGCAAGCGTGCTAGGTCCTGCGGCGTGTATCCAGCACGGCGGAGCCAGTCACGCATCTCCGGGATGGCTGCAGCGTTGAGGTCTTGAGCTGAAGGCCGAGGCGCGGCTGGGGCGTCTGGTTTGTCGAAGAGATTGGTGATCTGGCGGTTTGAAGACAACTGGAAGAGGAGGCCGAGGGCCTTCGGATAGTCGCGCGCCATGGTGGTGATGAGCCGACGGCTGGTTTGTTGCCTCCTCAAGAGTGGCACTGTGACCCAGCCACGAGTCAATGAACCGCGGCACCACATAGTGTTGATTATTGTAGCATTCTGGCGATTTTAGACCCTTCTCATGCACCGCAGCAGGCACGCTACTCACAGGAATGTGAGACCCGGCCAATCAAGGTTCGAGAACGGAGGGTGGTCGAAGTCGATGCGAGCTTGTAGGGTTAGTAGTGATGGTGTGGCTGCGAGGAACTGTCAGAATTGAGCGGTTTCATAGTGGGGTTAGCTTAACATCTGCAATCGCAATACATGGCTACTGTAACTTTTAACACCACTGCCACTCAAGTTCGAAAACAAGATAAAAATACAGGGCTAAACTAGAGCAATGCTTCAGACTGGTTGTCACGCCCTCATTGTCTATTGCTATCTAATACAATACACGGGCGGGAAGCCCTCTCTAGACATGACAGCTCCAAGGCCCAATATACAGGACAAATGAAACCGTCTCTTAATCCACACGCAGGCTCTGTAGTCGCGCCTCCGTAGCAATGACCTGTTGAACCACGTTAGCAACTTGATGATTAATCGGAATATGAAAGGGTACTTACGTCAAGAGCTTGCTGAACCTCCAGCACCTTGCGAACCTCACCGAGCCAGTCTTTGCTCAAAGTCTTGGCCCAACCATCCAGGCCAGTCATCTCTCGCGCCGCAGAATCCAGATCGCCTTCCTCAAGGTACGTTTGGGTGCGAGTCAGGATGCTCTCCACGTCGTCACCATCAGCAAGACCCTGCTTCTTGAACATGACGTGGCTCAGAACCCAGCTGGAAGCATGGCTGGCCACACCCGCCTCGTCGGGAAGCAGCGAGGCCTTTCGGACCTCGTTGGCGACGCGGCGGAATCGGTCAATAAGCTGAGAGGAAGTAGGGACACCGCGCTGGTAGGCAGTAGGGTTCACCGATGCGATGGCAGCGTTGACGACGGGGTCGTCAGCAGCAATTTCCCGAAGAGCAACAAGCTCCTTAATGAACGGACGAGGGTGTTGGCTATCCTCCAGGCTAGCGCGCACAGCCTCGACGGCGACGTGCAGCTGCTGAGTCTGGAGGTTAGAGTCAACGACCTCGTTCCATCCGGTGGTGAGCTTCTCCAGGCCTGCAACAGCCGCCGACAAGTCGTTCAACTTGCCCAGACGGCTCTCACGCTCCTTCTCAACGTGCTCCTGGACCTCCTTGACAAAATCCTTCTTGAGAGCGACAGCCTGCTCGAGGAGCTGGTTCTGAAGTTTCTGCTCGTTGAGCTTCTGCTCACGCTCCAGCAGAGTCTTGACCCTGTCCTCGTAGTTCTCTCGGACCTTCTTCATCTCATCCTCAAAATCCTTGCGCCACTGCATCTCCTGGGTGACCATGGAAGCCTCAACCCGATCAATCAAATCAGTAGCGGCCTTGTCGAACTCATCGATCTTGTCTCGGACTTGACGAGCAGCCTTCTTCTCGAGCTCACCCTTCATCGCCTTGAGCTTACCACCGACCTTGGTAACCTCATTCTTGGCCTTGTTCACTGACGAGGAGTATCGACCATGAGCACCATCGGCGTTGATAACGAGGATAAGGTCGTTCACCATGTGGACAAGATCTTGGATAACGGGCTCCCTGGCATCGGCCAACGAAAGGAGATCAATTGGTTTCAGAGGTGGGCACTTGGAAGGCTCGTTGACCTCGGGGGCCTTGAAAGCGGGCTCGGGCTGAGGGGCCGGGGCAGCGGGTGCCTTCTCGACAACCGCAACAGGAGCAGGCGCGGCCTCCGCAGGCTTGGGCTTACGGGCAGCCGGCTTGGGGGCCTTCTCTGGCTTGGGCTCCTGGTGGGTAGGGCCAGCACTGGAGCGACGGGTCTGGTCCGCGACCCTCCAAGAGGCACCGCTCTGAGCGGGAATCTTAACAGCGGCGTCCGCATCCCGAGCCTTGGAAGAAGAATGGGGAGTATTGGGGAACTTCTTCTTGAATTCCTTCTCCTCGAGGTACAGAACGGCCTGCTCTCCGAAGGGAACGTACTGGGTGAAGAAGTCGTGGAAGTTGTCGCTAATGCGCGAGTACCAGACACCACCAGCGAACCCAACAACGCCCAGGAGGATTAGAGTGTAGACAAAGTTCCTCAGCCTGCGGAAGAAACCCTTCTTCTTCGGAGGTGGCGTGGGCGGCGTCGAGGGGGGCTTGGTCGCGGCCTTGACCTCGTCGATAGTCTTAGCTCGTTCAGATATAATAGTCTCGGAGGTCGGGAGCACGGCGGGCTTCGTAGGGTCAGAGTCGGGCTTGTTCTGGACAGCGTAGGATCGCTGGAAGGGCAGAGTCAGCACGTCACTCGATCAGTTGATAAGTTCTGGGGCGCGACGTACCTGGCCCAGAACGACGGCTCGCCGCGAGGCCGCGATGGGCCATTGACGGGTGGCGGAGGCCGCACCGGACCTGCCGCCTAGTACCCTGGCAGACCGAAGCGATGTTCGCAACATTAGGGAATGCAATGGCGAACAAAGCGCTGGTTGTGATGTGGTTGGATTCGGCTAGATGGAGTTGAGAGCTCAAAAACGCTCAGGGTAAAAGTTCGGCTAATGCCAGCTCCGGATCCGCCAACACGACGGAGCAAAGCACTAAACGTTAGTGGTGCGGAATGCACTGAGGACATGCCGAGCGGCAGGAACCGGGCGACGCAACGAATTGGCCTCCAGATAAGCATGAGATGACGGCAGAACGATGCCAACAAGAAAAGAGTACAATGATTGGTGTCCGGCAGAAGAGGTATTGATGCGTGTAAGATTGATATTAATTGCATCGTTATACAATATCTGGTACTTGAATTATGTTTGCTTAGCATGTCATCGATTCCTCGGCCCATCAGACGGCTGCCGCCAACACGCGCAAATGGGGGTTCTAGCAACAGCCATCTATTTAGACGCTGGAATCCATGGAAAATGCTACAGAGCGCCTCGTACAAAATTGATCTGATGTTCCGTCTCAAGAACCCTCTACCGTCTGGCGTGTCCTGAAATGCATGCCGACCCCGAACTAGCAGTCGGCACCCGAAGAACCACCCAGACAACCGCAACAAATTCAAGTTCGGTATTAAAACGTATGGACTGATCCCCTCCAAACCCAAAGACTCCAAGGAATATGTGACGCACCCCGACTCCACAAGGCGAGCCGGAGCCTGAATGACGGTTAGTCTACGCCCGACTTCACGCTGAGCACTCCGTTGTGATGGATTGTCGGAGCCCAACAGGACGCTCCCTGTGCTCTCGTACTCTCGACATTGTGAAAAATCTAGCAGCTGCAGGGTCCGCTCATGTTGGTGTTGTTGTTCTCCGGGGCCAGACTGACACCTGGTCGTTGTCCCGGGCGGGCGTGCCTAGGGCCGGCCTGGTCCAAGGGCAGTTTCTTGGCGATGGCTGTGAAGAGGTTCTGGACGTTCTCAGCGGTCTTTGCAGAGGTCTCGAAGAAGAGGAGGCCGGCCTCGCGAGCATAAGCCTCAGCATCGGCGGTAGGGATGGCGCGCTTCTCAGGTTGCTCGGTGACCAAATCCAGCTTGTTACCCGCAAGGGCGATGATAATGTTCTCGTTCGCCTGACGTTGGAGCTCCTTGACCCACGCCTTTGCCTTATCTAGTGATGCCTGAACTTGTGTTAGTATGGGTTGGAGGATACGGGGACTTGGATGAGACTTACCGATTGGGTAATGTCATATACAACCACGGCGCAGTTGGCGTTTCGGTAGTACATGGGGGCCAGGGACTTGTAGCGCTCCTGGCCAGCGGTGTCCCAAATCTCGAACTTGACTGTGGTGTTCTCGTCGAGAGAGATGGTCTGGGTGAGGAAGGCAGCGCCGATGGTAGACTCGCGATAAGAATCAAATTGGTCCTAAGGAAGTGATGAGCTGCAGCACAATGATGGAGGGGAATCAACTGATGGTTACCTTGACAAATCGTAGGACTATTGAGCTCTGAACGCATATGAGTTAGTTTGCTAAAAGTGTTGCGGATGTTTGTTGCGAATTACCTTTCCGACAGCAGACTCGCCTGTGATAGTCGATTAGCAACGAGAACAGGATTGGGAACGAGGCCGGCAAGGCAGACGGGGGAAGACGTACCGAGAAGAACCAGCTTAAATTGCGCGAAGCGGGTGTTGATGCCGCGGGCGCCGGCAGGGGGTGCTCGGGAGGCCATGTTGTTGGAGGTGGTGATATGTCGTGAAGGGATTCAGAGAGCTACCACGGCGGCAGTAGTGGCGGTATGGCTGGGTGTTGGGGAGTCGGACGTGGCCTGGACAACGGGGCGTGGAGCGCTCGGATCGGGAGAGAGGGGAGATGGCGGCCTTTGATCGCAGCGCAGCGCAGGGAGATTTAATCGGTCGGTCGTTGATGGCGAGGAGCGGAGCACGATCGTCAGGGAGAGAGGGACGGTGCGTGAGGATGAGTTTGGGGGAGAGGGCGAGTCAAGGGATCTTGGGATGGCGACGTCGTTGAAGAGACTAAGTGACTGCCTTGGGCCTTGGGTGGCTAGGGCGACGGACGACGGTGACTGGCTGGCGCACGAGGCACACGTCAGGTCAGGCAGGCTGCCTTTTGGTGGGCGAGGGAGAGCCAAGGTACCGGAGGTACGTACCTTCTGGGTCCCGTGCCCGGTTCATCTGTTCTAAGGTGCCAGTAATTACGGACTGCGGACGGACACCGGGTGTTCCTGCTCTGGCGGGGGCCGGACTGACGCACTCGCAATCTCTCTTGAGCAGGAGCGATACGGAGCACATGGCTGGTACCTCGACTGGTACCTCGTGGCGTCGAGGTACGTGCCTTTCACTCGCCACGAGGGCCTTACCTAATCTGAGACCCGCAGATCATCATCGATGTGGCTCGTTATCCCTCGTCTGTGGCTCTTCCATGGCTCAGGCTGTGGCTCGGGTCTCATTGCGACGCGCAACTGTGGATTCATGGTGACGTGCAGAGACGTGGCGGTGCCAATGTAAGCTTCGCTGGCCTCACCACACACCACACCGTTCTTGGATCAAGCAAGCATCACGGTCCGGCTTCACCATTCTCCCACCAACACACGCTCTTTTCCCCCCACCACAAGCAGCGGAGCTGGCTACCAAAACCCCCAGGGCCGCCCGCAACCAAGGCTCACCGGTCACAATATTCGCTTCTTAGAACCTCGATTTCCTGGCTCTCAGAAGCCAGCGTCCGCCCACCATGGCCCACATTCAAACATCGAAGCTCCCCTTCCGCGATATCAACGTGAAGGTCGCCAGCGACTCCTACACCTTCACCTCGCCTTCTTCCCCCGATGCGCCTGCTCTTGTCATTGACCGTCCCACGGGCGATGTGCGCTTGACTGAGGGCGCTGCTGGAACCGCCAAGCGGGCATCGCGCGTTTCCAGCATTGCCGGTATCTTGGGAATCATCCAACTCAGACTGGGTTTGTCACCGCCTCACCCCATGCAACTTCTACCCAGCACAGCACCGCTGACTACCTGTAGACAAATATGTCATCTTCATCACCAAGGCTCAGCCCATCGGCCGTATCAAGGGCCACATGGTCTACAAGGTCGTCTCCACCGAGATCCTCCCGATGCGCGAGCGCCAGATCCACGACCCCGATGAGGATATCTTTATTGAGCTCCTCAAGACTTTCATGGCCAGCGGTCCCATGTACTTCTCTTACTCCATCGACCTCACAAACTCCTTCCAGCGACAGGCGCAGATGGATGCCTCCCAGCCTTTGTGGATGAAGGCCGACGACCGCTTCTTCTTCAACAAGTATCTCCAGTCAGATCTGATCAACTTCCGCAACCGAGGGTCCCGATCTAACCCAGGCTCCCAACCCGGAATTGATCCCTTCATCCTGCCATGCATCTTTGGCATGCTCGAGATCAAGCCCACAACCTTCAAGAGCAACCCCCTGACGCTAGTCCTCATCTCCCGTCGATCGCGCCACAGAGGCGGAACCAGATACTTTACCCGTGGTGTAGACGAGGAAGGTCATGCCGCCAACTACAACGAGACGGAGCAGATTGTCATTCTCAATGACAGCAATAGTGGCATGGGAGGGTATGCCGGGAGCTCCGATATGCAGAGTGGCAAGTTCGGCGCGGGTGCCGGAAAGGAGATGCAGATATTCTCCTACGTCCAGACCCGTGGCAGTGTTCCCGCGTACTGGGCTGAGATCAACAGCCTCCGCTACACCCCAAAGCTCCAGATCCGGGGTATTGAGGCCGGCTTCTCAGCTGCCCAGAAGCACTTTGATGAGCAGATCCAGCTGTACGGCGACAATTATCTCATCAACTTGGTGAACCAGAAAGGCCGTGAGCAGCGAGTCAAGGAGGCGTATGAGAAGATGGTACAGATGCTCATTACCTCGCCGAAGCAGGGCCAGGACTCCGACCTTCTTACTGAGGAGAAGTTCACGACGATCCAGCCCCAGACTAAGCACCAAGAGTTTGATCGCCTGCACTACGTCTACTTCGACTATCACAGCGAGACCAAGGGCATGCGGATGGACAAGGCCTATGCTCTGATTGAGCGGCTAGCTGATGGCCTCGAGAAACAGGGCTACTTCCGAGCCGTCGACACGCCGTCGAATCTCGGCAGTAGCATTGATGCCCGCAACTACCAGACGAGCGTCATGCGCACCAACTGCATGGACTGCCTTGATCGTACCAACGTTGTCCAGAGCATGTTCGCGCGCCACGTTCTTGACCGCATCTTTGAGGATGTAGGCTTCATGGCCCGCGGAGCTTCGTTCCGCGACGAGGACGACGCCTTTGAGAACATGTTCCGTAACCTCTGGGCTGACAACGCCGACGTTATCTCCACTGCCTACTCGGGCACCGGAGCCATGAAGACGGACGTCACCCGCACCGGCACGCGCACCAAGGTCGGCGCCCTCCAGGACGCTCGCATCGGCGTCACGCGATACTTCCGCAACAACTTCTTCGACGGACCTCGCCAGGACTCGTTCGATCTCTTCCTCGGCGCCTACCAGCCCGGCACCACCAACATCGGCACTACCCTCGTCTTCACCGACCGCCGACCAATTCTGATCCAGTCCATCCCTTATATCCTCGCCTTCAGTGTCTTCATCATCTTTGTCGGCCTATTCACCCGCCGTGCGCCGGACGCCAGCATCTGGCCCATGCGCCTCTTTCTCCTATTCTTCTTCGGCGTTGCCATATGGGCCTTCAGCTTTGTCTGGGGCCACGGTATGCTCTATGTAAGCATCTCTCTGGCGCTATGCAGACCACTCCCCGTCTTCTTATACGAAGCCCAAAAAGCTAACTCGCTCGACTCTAGGTCAACTGGCCGCGCCTCAACCCTCGACCATATGCCGTGGAGGGTTACAACGAGCACTACACCAAGGCACGCAAGGACGGCCTCGTCGGCTCATTCGTGGCGAAACACGAGCGCGGACTCAGCACGGCGCGCTACCTCAACGCCGAGGAGGGCAAGAAGAGGATCGAGTAGGCAGGTCCTCGGGCGGAAAAGACTTATTCGTTTCTTCATTTATTCGTTCAATTGTTGGGTTCTTTGTAATGTTCAAGGTGTGCCCTCTAGCTCAGCCGAGAGCAGGATTTTGAGGAGAAGCATGTCATCTTTGTAATAACTAAAGTTAAGATAGTTCGCCAAGATGGCTTCATCCCAGGAAGGCATATTTTGTAATGGGCGGTATAGATAGGTACAAGAGAGTGAGAATAAAGAGAGATGGAAAAACTCTCCTGGCGATTAAATAAGTTACAGACATGTGAAAGAAAGAAAAAAACACCATCCCGTCAAAAGTTGTACACCAAGGCTATGCTGTCGCCGCGTTACGCTATGCCAATGCCAATGCCAGATGCCATGCTGCTTCCTCCACTCCCTTCCTCGAATACATAGGGGTATCAAAACCAGACTCCCAGTTGAGTGAGGTATCCAATAAAAATGAGAATAATGATGGTCGGGGTGAAGGGGACTACGAGAGAACGCATTCAACCCCACGCATAAAAAGTATACGCCCAGCAATGCGCCACGCTGTATCGCATGCTCATCAACTCGTTGCTTCATCTCCTCTCGCACACTCTCGCGTGCTCTACAACCATAGCAGCCACCTAACGCCACTCCATGCGCCTTGTCCCAGTCCCAGGATGATCCGGAAGATAGTGACGACGAACCAGACGTACCACATGAACCCGACGAGCACCCACTCAACAATCGACCACATGCCGCGGCGAAGCCATCTGAATCGTCTGCGTCGGTTCCGACTGAGCTCCTCGATCAAGTCAATAACCCGCTTGATCTTGAGCAACTGCCCCAGGGCCAGATCCTTGCCAGTTTCATCAGCTTGGTCCGCTGCCTCTCCGGTCATGCCCGAGAGCTCATCTGCAATGCGAGAGCGGACACACCAGATACGCTCTTCCAGTTTCGGCCGTGTTTGACCGGTGAAAGTATCTGACGACATTTGCCACCGCTCGACCTCTGTTTCAATTGCAATTCTTAGCGTTTGGCTCGCCAGGGGGTAGTGGTCGCGGTATGGAATCTCCTGATCAGACGGCAATGAAGCTTTGGGCGTAAGCTTCGCGATTTCTGCCCACGGCACACCTGCAATATTGGACCGTGCAGATAGGCCTGGAGCTAACAAACTACCCCTGGCGAGAGGCTTCTTGGCCTCTTGGGCTCGACGAGCTATTTCCATGGCCTTGATACCAGAGGTCAAAATAAGGGTTCGTAATCGGGCAATTTCTCGCTTTGAGAACTGGCCCTCTCCCGGGTGGATCTGATCGACAATCGACCACTTTCGACTCCTAAAGTTGTCGGGCTCGTTGAACCTGACCATTGGTGTCACTGTCTTGGGCATCTTGTCTCCAGCTCGAGAGCCGTCTGGCGCGCTTTCTTGGAACGACTCTGATTCTGATGCTTCGACGTTGGCGGCCAGAACTTCCTCGACTGTACGACGGGGTGCAGAGGCTGTAGTGTTCGGCACATCCAATCCTGAGGGCTTGATAAGATTTAGACGAGATGACTGAGCGCTCTGTATGCCGCTCTCCGGTGCCCGAGCCATGCTAGGCTTTCCATATACCTCTGACACAGGCTGGAATTGAGGCATCGTGTCCAGGAAATGCTTTTGGTTCTGTTGAGGCTCATTGTTCCGTTTGGAGTTTGTTCGAGACAGAGTGAGGGAGAGCCTTGCGCGTCCCCTTTGCTGCTCGCTCTCAGACTCATCGGAGAATGCTTCAGGTGGAGTATCAAATGCGCTGTCCTTCTTCCACAGCATGTCGCCCAGCCTTGAAACCCCACCACGGATCACTGTGTCAATCCGAGGTCCCTTGAACATTCCGCGCAATCCGATTTGATCGTCGCTCCTGAGCCTTACACTAGTACTGCGGTGATGCTTGTGGCCGTCCAGAGCGGGCCGGGAAGTGGAAGGAAGCCGTTCCGGCCAAGTCCTGCCCTCGACAGAGTTGGGCTCAGGAACAGAAGACCGGTTATCTGAATCTTCGGCTTCGTATAGTTGGGGCTCAGGGGCCTCCTCACGACCCTTCTCACGGAAGGCCCGCTTCACTTTGGAGAAGGGATTCCTGGATGGGGATGAGGCGCGGCTAGACGGTGCAGATAATTCCAAGCCGGGCGGTAGACCAGGGAGGGTGTACGGAATCGGGTTCAGTTCCGGGGACATTGGTTGAGGCGAATCAGCATCGTCCAAGAACTGTCTTGGACGTCTCAAGCCTCCGCTATCGACTTTCTCAAGTTGGTACCCGGGCAAAGACTCCATTTGAGCTCTTTCACGGAGAGATCGGTGGTCAGAATCACTTGGATCTGTAAGGGACCACTTCCTATTACTGTTTCGCTTCGAATGCAAACTGTGCTCTGGTGTTGTAGAGCTCCCAGCTTGCATATACTCGGCCTCGTTCTCGGTAACATGGGAGAGTCGTTGCTTGGCTTCTTGGGCAATCATCTCTAGCATCTGCTTCTCAAGCAGGTCGTTGGTGTGGCTAGAAATAGTTCCGGCTCGGGTTTGTCGGAACCGCTTCGGCTTGCCCTCGCTCTTGATTTCGTTGTCGCTACCAGAGTCAGAGAAGGAGTCTCTTCTCATCCGCAAGTGATGGCTGTGGGTCGAAGCAGAATGTCTATGGAAACCGCCACTAATATCATGGAGCTTTTGCTTCGCCCGTTCCTTTGTGCTACCCTGCGAGTGAACTGTGTCGGGTCTAAAAAGTTTTTGATCTTTTGGATCGAAAGTCGGCTCGGCGTCTTCCAGAGTGTTGGTAGGGAACGGGGTCACGCCGGTCCCAAGTTCATCTGTTTGCTGCGACATTGGCCGGCTCAGAACTGCCCCTTCAGGAAAGATCTTGAACCAATTGCGGTCCTCAATGAGTTGCTTGTGATGATCCCGTTCCACCCAATAAGCATCCGCTATCATGTCGCACGGCTCGAAGAACCAATCAACTCGGGGGCGGCGTACTCGAAGAGCTGCTTTAGGGGCAGAATCCAGTGACAGTTGAGACTCAACTTCGTCGGCAGAAGGAAAGGGGGGTAAAATGGAGCTGTCATCTCCAGAAAGGACCTCTAGAGTAGTTGCTCGCTGCGATGCCTTCTCAACCCACATCTTAACTGACTCAACGTCACTAAATCCTTGCGTGTCACCGTCTATGACCAGTCTTTCTCTCGCTCGAACTTTTCGGTTTCGGATGTATTGCAAGGGATTGTACTCTCGCCCACCAGACAGTATAGGCTCTGTCGACCCGAACTTGGTCAATTTTCCGTTAATAGGAGAGCTTGGTGGGCTAGTAGCCGAGGGTCGATCGGGTCCCATTTTCAGGGGAGGGAGAACCTCCAGCAGACGTCTGTACTGTGACATGAGCTCGAGATGCTCGCGAGCCTTTTGAGCTCTTGCCAGAGTTGATGTTGAGAAGTGGTATCGGTAGGGGCCTTCGTTTCCTGTGTCGAACGGGGGACGGAGGGGGCTGCTTGACCTGACACCAGAAAGCCGGGGGTTCAAAGCCTGGGGTGGCTTGGGAGATATATTTCGTGTCGTTTTTCGTTGTTGTTGGAGGTGGGCTTTGAGATTGCCTCCGGCGGGTGCGTCTTGTACCGGGGTCAATCGAGGTGGGTTGGTCCGGGTGATGTTGCGTCGCGATGCTATACGCCTTGACTCGCTAAGATTCAAGGCCATATTGACAATCTGGGTAGAGTCGACGTCGAGGGCAGTAGAGGCCTGCTGGGAGGCACGCGGTCTGCGAGCGTGGCCATCTCGCTTTTTGAGGAACAGCTCTTCCTGGGATGTATCAGGGGAAACAATCCGGGTCCGGTTCCTGCTGCCCCCAGGATTCATGCCCAGGCCGAAATCTCGGGGGGCGCTTGTCGAAAGGGGTTCCAGTGCATCCTTTGGCCTCTGCTGCGACCTGTTTCGAGGACGCCGTGACTGGTTATAATCATCGTCGCCGACCACGGCATCCTGCAGGAGGAAGGCACCGCTGGGTTGAGCCTTGTGGGTGCGCCTCATGCGTCTCGCTCGGCCAGCATTCTGGCCGCTGCTCTGGCCGCTGCTCTGGCCGGGGTCGCGGGCCTTGAGGTTGAAGCGCGGGAGAAGCTCGTCGTCGGAGAAGGCGAGAGGCCGTTCGGGGGACGTGGGAGCATTGAGCAGGGCGCCGATGGTGGCGGGCTCGGCCCTCGAGGCGTGGTCGTAGCTGAACCTAGTGGGAATCTCAGGCGTCACTGGGCCATCACGTCTCCCATACGCAGCGAGAGTTGACGGGCTACGCTTGTCCGTCATTGCGCGTAAGCTTCACCACATGCCAGTGTCGCGCTCGCTGATGGGAGGCAGGCTTTGTCGTCACTGGTGACCGGGAGAGCGGTGCAGCATTTTCTTGTTTCGGGGGCGAGGGCGATCTCGGGGGATGGGAGCCGGGAGGTCGAAGGTCTAAGGTTGAGCGAGACGGCGGGCGAGACCAAGGACGCAGGATGTCGAGGATAGAGGGAGTGAATGCCGGTCCAAGCGGAGAGAGAATCCCTCACGGACTCATGGCAAGTTGTTTGCGGCGCGGGGATTAGAGTGGTTGAGATTGTCGTGGATCTGGGTTTGGGAACTGGGTTCTGGAAATGGAACCTGTTGTTGTGTTACACCTTGCCGGCCGGCCCCTGCTTGGCCTTAGGTTCTGGTTGTCACGGGATGGCTACCGGGTGGCTACAGGGTCACGTCCAATGCGCGATGGTGGCGGGGGGGTTAGTAAGGGTACTGTGGGGTCCATGAGCGCTCGAACAAGGTGTTACCCAGGTGCTCAGTGTGCTATAAGGTGCTATAAGGTGCTATAAGGTGCTACCCAGGCGCTATAAGGTGCGACGCCATCCACGAATTGGTAATAGCCCGTGTGCCTAAACTTGCGCTGCAATTCGCATTAGGGCGCGCTGGGGGCGAAGAGTGACGCACCAGCACACCCACGCGGGCTCGCGGGCTGGGAATCTCTCCGTTGCAGCCCACAGGGTAGCCAACAGGAGACTGACGTACTCCGGCCGGGGCCCCGATTCATCCAAGCAGGGACAGGGACACTTGACAGCAGGATAGTTGTTTCGATATACGTAGCACGTAGCGGCATGACACCCTGCAAGTCCTTGTACCAGCCCAAGTGCCGATCATCATCATCATCACATGAAAAAAAAATCTCCAAAAACACCGCACCTGAGACACTTCAGCTCGGGTCACTCCAACTCAGCCCAGTCAGCCCAGCATGAACTCCATCACTCGCCGCCACGTCTGCGCCGCAGCCACCAGCTGGAGCGCATACAAGTCATGCGCTCGCCACTGTACGGCGTGCCTTTCCCAGCTCGGCGAACTCTTCTGTGCCACTTGGTGGCATTAACTTATGGGTTCGGCTTGCATCTGTCTCCGGCTCCATCGCTCAAGAATGCTTCTATTATACACTCTGCTTCTTACATTACATGACGAGAGACTGAGGGGTATATATCTATCTATACAAGTCACCTGCCTGACCCCTGACCGACTCCTTTCTTTGTCCAGAACTCACGCCCTCTCAAGCTGCAGGCGACGCACCAATAACTTCCTCGCATCGGTTGCAAAGCGCGTCTTCTGAAGGCGCCACGTATCGCCAGCACCGTGAACACTTGTCCTCCTTCGGGGGAAGCACGTGAACCTTCACCTCGGTATCCCGGACCTCAACCTCCTGTTCATAAGCCCATGCTGGGCTTTGGGGCACAGGTTTGTTCAACCCTACCGACGAAACCACAAAAATGGCCTCCAGCTCTTCCAGATATCGCTCTAGAACGCTGGCCACCTCGCTGTTCTCAACGGCAATGTTCACGGAACACTGTAGGCTGCTTCCCAGCATCTTGTCTCCTCGCGCCTGCTCCAGGGCCGCCTTGACCGCATTGTGCACTCCTGAGATCACAGCCGCGTCTTCCCGTAGCGCATCCTGAGAAAGCGTCAACCGCGCGGGGTCAACCAGGGCCGAGCCGTACAGTTGTCTAGCTGGGTTCTCCAAAGATCTGTTGATTGCAATTAGCTTGTGATGTTGGTTCTGAGTGGACAGGGTCAAAAACTCACGTGTCATCAGCCATCCACGCTGGCCGATGTGACCAAGCCTCCTCCACCAGAAGAGGTGTCACCGGCGAAAGCATCCGCAAGAATCCAATGAAGATGGGCTCCAAAATGCCACCACCGTCACCGCAGTAAAGGCGATCTTTGAGCGCCTCCAGATAGAACGCCGACAGGTCGGTTGCGACCCAGCGGTTGATCATACCAATTCCTCTGTGAAACTCGTAGTTGTCATAGGACTCCATGACCTGGGACATGGTATCCGAGAGTTGAACCAGCGCAATCTGGTCAAGCTTCGTCAGCGGAGCTTGTCGAGCCTCCTGGTTGAGCGACCCCAGAAGCATCTTGATGATAGTCCGATACTTGATCAAGGCAGTGTGAACAGGCTGTAGAATCGTCTGCCCGATGAGCACATCACTCGTAAAATCGGCACTCGCTGCCCACAAACGGACCGCATCGGGGCCAAGGCCATCAAACTTTTGACCTTGTCCCTTCCCCTTGCCCTTCACCTTAGCAGGGCCGAGAAGACTTCCGTCCATGACCTGACCAGGCTCGATTATGTTTCCAAGAGATTTTGACATCTTCTTGCCCTGTCCATCAAGCGTGAAACCATGGGTAATCAGCGTCTTAAACGGTGCGACAATCTTGCCGGAATGGTTCTCATCCACCTTCTGGGCCGCGACATATGTCAACAGGCTAGATTGGAACCAACCACGGTGCTGGTCAGATCCCTCGAGATACACATTGGCGGGACCTTCGGTTTCAGTCCAACTACTGCCGCTATCGAACCAGACGTCCATGGTGTCAGTGCCTCGACGATATTTACCAGTCAACGAGGGCGCAATCCACGCGGGATCATCGGGGCTATCAGAAAACCAGGCAGACGAGGTACGTTCCTGCATAACAGAGATGATGTGTTCGATTGTTTCTGCCGTCATAACGGAATTTCCGCTTTCATCATAGAGCGCAGGGATAGGGACTCCCCAAGACCGTTGGCGGGAGATACACCATTCGCTGCGGCCCTTGATGAAGCTCTCGAGGCGAACTCGGCCACCCTCAGGAACAAACCGAACATCACGGAGCGCCGCAAGAGCATCTTCCTTGATACTTCCCACGTCGGCAAACCATTGGGCTGTGGCACGGATCACGACAGGTCGTTTCGTTCGCCAGTCATAGGGGTATTTGTGACGCAGTTTGTGCGTTCCCAGAACATCATCTGCCATCAGGTCCAGTACAGATTGGCTTCCGCCGTCCAGGATGGATGGGGCAGACATCAGCTTCTCAGGATCATCAGGGTATGCCTCCTTAGTAAAGAAGCCGCCATCGTCGATTGGCGCAAAGGCATCAATGCCAAGCTTAGCGCAAGCTTCATAATCCTCCTGACCATGTCCAGGAGCGGTATGAACAAGACCCGTACCAGAATCAGAAGTGACATAGTCTGCATCGATAATGGGTTGCGGTGGTGCAGATTGACCTTGTAACTTGTTGCGATACTGGAGTCCCTTCAAATCAGAGCCACGGATCGAGTCCACCACTACTTCGAACGAAGGAATTATTTGCTTCATGGCTTCGACACGCTCTGTCGCTACCAGGAGACCCTCGGAACCGACGCGGATGACAGAGTAGGTGAGGTCGTTGTGCACAGCAATCGCTTTGTTCGCAGGGAGAGTCCAAGGGGTGGTTGTCCATACAGCGGCATAGAGCTTTCCCTGAAAATTGGAAAGCTCTGGGATCGAGGACCAGTCGGAAACGATAGGGAACTTGATATAGGCGGCGGTTGAGACGTGGTCGTCCCGATACTCCAACTCAGCTTCGGCAAGGGCGGTTCGCGATGATGCTGACCAGTAGACGGGCTTATGCTTGCGGTACACGAGACCCCGGCGGACCAGTTTCTGGAAGACGCGAAGTTGGCGAATCTCAAACTCACGGTCCATTGTAGTCCACCTCTTTTCCCAATCCGCCATGACCGAAATCGACTGGAAACCCTTCATCTGGTCCTTGACCGTCTTCGAAGCCAGCCGCCGCGCCGTATCTCGGATCTGAACCGGGGTCAAGCCTTTGGTGTTGCTCGACCCGAGAGCTTTCATTTCGATTGGAAGACCATGGCAATCCCAACCTGGTCTATATGTAACCCTCCGTCCTTGCTGCACCTTGACTCGAACGATCATGTCCTTAAGGATCTTATTCATGGCATGTCCGACGTGAAGATTGCCATTGGCGTACGGGGGGCCATCGTGAAGGGTGAATTTAGTGTCCTCCCGTCGATTCTTCGCCTGCCAGTCGTAGAGATCATCGGTAACTTGGCGAAGCCATTGTGGCTGGAGCTTGGGGTTCGGACGAGCACTTTGGCATGGATCAATTAGCCCCGTACATGACGCCAGATATTCCAGGAGGAGACCTACGGAAAGCTCGACCGAGGCAGCCTCAGAGTCGACTTCCAGGATTTGGACATGACTGAGCTAAGACCATGTCGCGAGGCACGGTACAGGCAATTCTGGAGTCGGGCCCAGTCGTCAAAGAGCGTGAAACTATCGGTATCACGGGCGGCTGAGGAAGAATTTTAGCGCTACGCGATACACCCCGCGGCTGGGAGCATCAGCCTGCAGACGCAGTGCTTTGGCCAGCTGCAAGGCTACAGGTCCACTGAAGATCTAGCGCCTCTGCGGGGCAATTCCAGCGGGTGGTTACATCACTGGCTCGCTCAATTGCACCGACGTCAGCCCTGCTCACTCAAACATTCACGCTGCTGCGACTCTGAATAAACAATCTGGACGACAGCATGGCTCCCATACGCCGATATCTCAGAATATCGAAATACTCGGTCCTTGAATGTCGAATTTACCTCGATAACCCCGCCCTAGCCCAGTCATGGCTTCTCAATTCTCGCAAACCGATACTCCCCCAAGTCATTGAGAGCATCCGACCCCTGGTGCTGCCGAAGCTGCGTGAAGAAAAGGAGAGGAGCAAGAAGAAAAGTACCAAGAAGAAAGTTATCAAGGATGTGGTAGCCACAGGTATCATCAACCAAGCTCCGGGCTTCGTCAATTCCAAACTAATCAAGTCCAGATGACTTTGAAGTATCCATCTTCCTAATGGAGACGGCTATCCGGCACTCTCTGCTTAGCAAGACCAAGCACTTCCGAGAAAAGCTACCTCCCAGGATGGAGTCAAACTCGACGAAACTCATCAGCGAGACGGACCGGACCGCTGTGGATGTCGATGCAGACGACTATGCACCCGCAGTACGAGTAGAGGAGGACGACGACGACATTGGACTGGCTGATATTCCCGCCGTGGATACAGTCAGACGGAGTAAGCGTCAGAGACAGAGGCCGGGCCGGGACGACGACGACGATATCGACGGCGATGCATCCGACGAAGATGAAACGGCGTCGGCCATCGAAATCGACTCTGATACGGAGGCACCCCCTCACAAAAGGCGCCGAGGCCGAGCTGGCTTATCCGACGAGACCCCGGACGAGGATGACGACAAGAAGAAGCTAGCCATGGACGTATCATATGAGGGGTTCGCAATCTATGGTCAGGTGCTGTGTTTAGTCGTCAAGAAGAGGGACGGTGGGAAGACACCACTTTCCAGCAATCGCGCCAGTGGTGCTGCAGCTAGTGGGAGTGTGAGTGGGAGCCGGCCGGAGGGCCAAGCAATGATGGAGAACTGGATCTCGTCTACGCAAATGCCTGTCGGGGACGAGGTTTCATGACAACGGCAACATCTAGGCGACGCATCAATTCAGCGGCAGGCGTCGGGGAATGGCCTGACCATGCACGATGAGGCTTGATCTCGGCGACGGCGTGCGGGTGCAGCCGTCGGGTCGGAGATTGAAATATCTTCGGGATCCTGGGATCCTCGGACCCTGGGCAGCTGGGCAGCGGGAGGCATCCATCAAACGGGACTGGACTCGCAATGCACACCTGAAGCATCTCGGCGGGAGCAATTAGAGCTGACTCCGCCCTGGACGGTGGACGGTGGCTGAGCCGACCAATTCACCGTCCCTGGCCGGGGATCGATCGCCAGGCAGCTGCTAATAATAATGGCGAGGGCTGCCTCGTGGAACGGCCGCTGGTCGTCCACCGAACCACACACTGACGGCCCGATGCTTGGCGTACATCCCACGTTTGATGGACGTATTCGTACGTACAGGGAAGGCTACCTACATTTACGGAGTGCGTAGTCGTATAGGTTGCAATTATTCAACATGGCCATGTTCATCCGAGAGGGGTCTTGGCACCCGAAGTTGATTCCACAGGCCCCAACAAAGGTGGAATTCAATTGAACCCACGTGAGGCTCCCCTGACATGGTTACGCTCCGTCTGATTGGCGTGACGCGGCTTGTACGGTGATTGCTGAAACTGACTTTTACTGTGATGATATGACGGACGACATGCTCCGCAGCAAAATGGTCATTCCCTTGAGTGATACTGATAGTGTTTGCTAGCTCCTAGTCTGTTTCCGGGGCTAGGGGCCGTTGCACTTCGTCATTCTCTGCTCACGGCAGCGGCACTAACCCTTGAGAGTCGCCCGCGAGAGGCGTCTGGCTCAGAGTCTAGCTCCCAATATTCCGGGCGTACCTTGTACTATCGACAAGCGCACTGCCCCAATAAGCCATTACGTGCGAGAGCAACGTGGACTGGGCTACGTTGCTTCTGCTGCTCCCCGCGAAACTCATCCTTCAGTTCGGTCGTCTCGGGATGCAACATTTGGCTACGGCAGCATCGGATGCCAGATTTGCCTTGCTACTTACCGTGCGCGATATGCCCAACTATCCCGGGTTACTGCCTCGGGAAACCTTGAACAACAAGGGCGCGCTGGGGGCAGCAGGATAGCGCTAGCATCGAGCAACCCCGCAACCGCAGCGCATGGCCCAGGATCATGGCGTTTGGAGTTCTTTCGTGAATGATCTTCCCGCCCGTGTGAGGGCGAGTGTGACTGAGACGGCGGCTTCGACTACGGCCACTGCGACTGCGACTGCGACTTGGTAAGCAAGTACCCAGAGTCCCATGACGCCAGCGATGGAGAGGCCCAGGACCGAGTACATGGCCGCCATGTACCTTTCGTGTTGGCCAGCGACATTCGATGAGGCCATATCAGGACCCGGGCCTCTCATCCACGGCGCACACCCTCTTTCAACCTTCGACCCCTCCTCTGCGCATGCAGTAGAGTCCACTCTCGTCGACATGTTGTTTGCCAGGCAATCCAGGCCCGCTTTGAGACAAAAGAACATCGTCATTCCGCCATCGCTGCCACTCGTGATTATCGCCTCGGGCACGTTGTCCGCCGTCTCTGGACGGAGCAATGCTCTCAACCCCGGCACCCAGCTCCCGTCAGCTTTGCCAGCTCCGCCAGCCGTGGCCAGACCCTCTTCAGACCCTCTCCAGACCCTCTCCAGGTCCTACCCCCAGCTCATCGATCGCATCATCCACAATCAAATCGCTCCCCCCCACCGCGAAGGATCAATGGCCAGGGGATTGATGTATCTAGACCGCCCGAGGTCCGGCAGGTAGCTGAATTCGGCTCCGACTTACGTCTCAGGCCGCTTCCCATCCCGACAGTCGATCATGGTCCATGATTCACGTCTGCATCACCCGCAGCAGCCACCTCGACGGGGACGCCTGTCTGCGCTGTAGTTGGCTACTTTGTATGTACTGCTGCACATAAGAGCTGTTGGTGTCACCACGTCCCGTGTGTAAGCCCGCAGAAGTCGGACGGCGGACGCCCGCTCAGCCACACCTTGCCCCACAACCCCGGGTAGCCTTATCCTTATCACCGCGAATGTCTTGCGTCTTGCATCGCATTGCCCGCTCACCGATACCCTCAGATAAGGCTGCAGCTGCAGTCATGTAGCTATGAGACCTTCACTGCCTTGTGTGTTGTCAACCGGTGTATACCTAGACGCTATGTTTTCTACCGTTTACCCGCAGCACCCGCGCATCCTGCAAGAAGCATGTATGTACATGTCAGCAGGTCGATGTCTTACTCCTCGCAATCACCAACTGAAGAAGCAAGCATTTGATTGTCTGACAGAAAGCGGGGAAGTCGCAAGGTCGATCCTCAAGTGAGACTTGATTAGCAACTATCCCTCAGCCTACGCCTCCTACGTTGTACTGTGGAGTCTTGATCCAGGTTGCAACAAGTCATGAGCGATGCTGAGGTTCCATTGGCTGAAGTTGTTTAAACAGTGGCATGCTAGTTTCCAAGATTCCAGCATCAGACTCAAGGGCAATCTGCCACTGATTTTCGGGAGATGATGATCCCGGACTGTCTCAGCCCGGGGGCGCTGATCAAGGTCTCAGTCGAGGGTGTAATCCCAGTCGTGGGTGTTGCTATTGCTATGCCGGATAAATGTAAGGATTGGATCGACACTGGATCAACACACCCTGGGCTTCAAACCCCCTGCATAGATGTCCTACGGCACAATAAAAAGAAAAACATAATCGCCTTCAAAATCATACACCGATAACAATCCTGGTAAAAGCGATATGCTTTTCCTAGTTTCGAGCCCGATTAGTGGTAATTGGCGAGGGAGGGTGGACTTCTATGCACACAAGAGCTAGTCCAGACAATCAACATAGCACAGTAAACAATATTAGGTCAGCTACCATGAAGAATCGCAGAGACGCGGTCGGTAAAGATATTATTTAAAAAAAATCCCCATCGTCATTGATTGCATGACCATTGATTACATGCACTAATGTACCGGGGAAACTTGGTCCTGTTGTTTGACGCTATCAACACAGGCTGTCTGGTATGCAGTTGTGGCCAGCCCTACCCGGGACTTGCACACAAATGTCAATCTTAAATAACTCTAATAAAACAACGAAGCATGTCTATTTCGGGCTGTGGGTACGGTTATCCTGATAATCCCCGTGCAAGTTTCAGCATTGTAGGACCAACAAATACCCCTAGGGATGAAATCCTGAGAATGAGTGAGTATCAATTGGTGGTTTTGGAGTTTCCGTGCCCCACACACCATGAAACGCGGAGCAGACATGTACAAGACGCCTCCCCAACACGTAGCAACTAATAACCCTTCAGATCATAATACGAACTCATAGATCATCCCAATTGATCAGCTCATGTGCATCAAGGATGGGTGATCTGCGCAAGGTGGTTTACCGAGTGTGGATTGACGCGAATGTCATGCAATTTACACCGGGCGGCTGAAACTGTTGAGATAATTGCATTCCTAAAATGGTACTGTATGTCCGCGAATGTCTTCTACCCGCGTCAAATGTCTTGCGGATGTCCAAATGGCCGAGGAATCCTAGCGAGATAGAGGTATTAGGTGTCCACTACAATTTGACAAAAGTCAACCCCACAAATGCCAGGTTCAAAAGAGGACGACAAGATGGTTGCACCGAAGGGAGCAGTGGCCGCTGAGACGTGTTTCGAAACTACATGCGAATGGGTGTGTACGTGCGCAACGTTTGGTTCGTTCCTACACCATTGTATCTGAGTAGGTGGACTGGGGCCGCGATATCACGGAGAACCTCCAACATGCATACTCGATTGGAGTCTCACTCGTATTATTGGAAATGCCAGTCTGCTAGTCTGGACACACAACGACGGTCGAGATTTGGGGGCGGAATTCTCATTTCCACGGCGGGATATTAGGTGGCAAGCGTGTCGTGCTACGTGGTATTGGCCCCTGGTTTTCACATCGGGCTGGGGTTACATCGTTCGCGCCAACTGCCATCGATACGATGGGCCGCCGCAATCTGGCGATCACAGGGCCTTGTGTTTCCAATAAAAGAAGGTTCAAGATCGATTGAGCGATTATTGGCCCAAGGGTCATGGCGTGCGCGGGCGCGGACGAGCGTCGTCGCCCAGGTCGCCAGTGTCAACGTCAGGCTCACATCATTTCCTGGCCAGGGGGTCGGACATTAGCAATGGCCTAGCCAGCGCACATCCCATCGCCGACCAGCCGCCCACGCCCTCGCCGGGATCATTTCAGATGGAGGCTGAATTATTGGATCGTCCCGTCGCGCTGTAGCGGGCGGCCGGCTGCTCAGCTGGGACTGCGCCGGTATCATCGAGTACCACGGGTCCTGAATGTCGAATGTCTGGAGTACGCATGCCGAGCGTCATGACAATGACAGACAGGCGGGTCCGCAGCATGACAGCCGACACGGGCCATGAACCCAATCGAGTGGTTCTCAACCGTGCGGGTACTACAATGGAGAACAACAATGGAGAATGCATGCACGCAGGACTGTGCTCATTGTGGGAAAAAAACACACTCAGCGTCTCAGCAGGATACCCGAAGCGTAGGCGTCGTGTTACATGTTGACGATGACACTTGATGACACTTCAACCTGGAGATGACCGCCGCAGCAGCACGCCACACCCTCCCTCTCCAGCTTTCAGGCCAGCCTCCCGGCCCCAGCTGTCCAGGGGAAGACGCGCCCCCCGGTTCACCACGTGGAAGAAGTAACCCAAGGTGCTGCGTGGCTTGCCGCTTGGCCACCACCCGTCTCACACCCAGAACCCCTGGTGTGGCTTGCAAATGGCTCGCCGCCCAGATGCGCCCACAGCCACAGCCACAGCCATCACAATTTCGCTCCCCTTTCTCCTTTCTTTGTGCATCCTCCCGCATTGCTTTTATTGTTTCCATGTTGCGCTCATCCGTATCGGGAGACACTCCTTGACTCCGCATTTGACCGGACCGGGGGCTGCAGGCAGGTCTCAGGCCAGTCGCCGACCTTGGCTCTGCCTGAGACATGGCAGTGACGCGATGCACCCACCGCTCTACGCCAGCCACATCCAGGCTGCGGCGGTGGTTGTCTTGACTCGGCGGCCAGTAGAATTGTTCCCAGAAGCTGAGATTCCGCTGCGCTGCTGCCAGATGCTACGCTGGCAAAAAGCACACATACTATGTATACTTGCTGTCATATTACTTCGAACGAGATCCTGCGGCTGAATATGCACGAACAAGCCTACGAGTCCTCTGCATACTCAGCCAGCCACCGTGCTGCAATGCAAGGACAAAGGGGAAAGCCACTATTGACGACAATCAGGAGTATTCGTACGCAAGTGGCCCGGCACCCATTGTGCATGAACCGAGAGTCTGGGCATGATCGTCGGGTCTGGCTGGCACGGGCCAAATATCACGTAGTCGTCTTGTCCTCGATGGCGTGCAGAACACACCGACCGTTTGGCGGCTTCTCGGTCTCACTTTGACAGGGCACCGCGCAAGCGTCAGCTTTCAGCTCATTGAGTCCATCCCCATCCCTTGTAGACGTGCTACAATGGGAAAACCGCTCCTGTCGCCGGCGTCTCCAGCCCCTCGGAGACGCGGCCCACTTGTCCGTCCGTCTGTCTGTCTGTCTGGAGAAGGTATCGACAAGCTAGCGACCATAGTCAGCACACTATCTAATGGGCAACCCCCAAGCTACGGCGTCCCCGTGGACCGGGCCCCTATCGCCCAATCCCAAACACGCTTGAGACGACTTTCGTGATCTCTGTCAAATACGACAGACTAGTCGTAGGGTCCGTCGTTCTCCAGCCTCGGCACGGAGTAGGGGTACCAGCGCAGCGGAACGGCCACACACCCCTCGCAGCCGGAGCCAGCAGCCGAGAGCGGTGCCTGCCCGCGGGAACACGTCGCATTCAGCATCAGATGACCATCTGTCTCAAGGGCTCTGGGGTTGAAGGCTGAGCCAAGAGGTGGTATTATTCCAGGGGGCCTGAACTGATTGATCGCCGCAGGCATGGGCGGCTTGCTTACAAGGGGAAGCGTCAGCAGAAAAGACGCAGTTGCAATCACACAAGTCACCTGCCAGACACACTTGCGACATTTCCTGTGGGTGAAAACTTGGAGATGTCAGCCGCCGTGGTGTGGTCACGTCAGGACCAGCGTCGATCAGGGGTCCTTTCTGGTTCTGGGTGTTTCCGGGCGCGCTGTGGCCGACAACGGCGACGATGGTCCGTCGTGTGCCTCAAATCTTTTTCATCCTTTTCAGATTAGGCCTCATCTCACGAGACAGTTGCGGTCTGGGACGGGGTCGTCTACTCAAACAGGAAATGACGCCTATCTGTGGACGGATTTCTAAGCCTTTGCCACTTCATTACTGTTCGCCCCTCCGAGTCGGTGAAGCGTCCCGGCGTGGCGGGTCAGCTTTTGACGATGGACCTTGCGACCCCAGATTAAAGAAGGAAGGGAGAAGAAAAGAAAAATCTTGCCGGTCTGCCAGATCCATCGTGGTAAGGCTCATCTGGAAAAAATAATAACAAGTGGTCTCGGATCTAAGAGTACTACGTCGAGGTTAGGTCCAGGCACCACCACCCTAAGGGCCGTTGGACCCCCTGGCGGCCGCTAGTTCGAGGGTTGCCACCACCCGTTCGCGCAGTAGTCAGGGGCAGGCGAAGACGATGGGGAGGCTGGGCTGGAGACCAGACGGACATTTTGACTCGTTGTGCAAGCCTGTGGGGTGGAAAGGAGGCATGAGGCGGACACGAACCGAATAGTTTATGCATGGCTGGTGAATTAATCTCCCAACAGACGCACAACAAAGGGAGGCCCGCGCGTTTGTTCCGTATGAAATTTGATCGTGCAGAAGCCTGTGCGCACACGGGCCCCGTTCTCCATAATGAATACCTACCTAGTAAAGAAACAAAGGAAAAAAGCCAATCCGAAATGGGTATCGAGACGCGAATCTGAAAGGACACGAAAAGCAAAATTTCCGTCCACACCCCCGAAAGGAGACGCCAGAAGTCCAAATTTGCCACCCAACCCTGGGTCTTCCCTGGAGCGCTCGGGGCATGGCTCTGGAAGCCTCGGCGAGGGTAGCGATGCTTCTGGCGGCTGGTCTCAGCGGAAAGCTCAAGCCCTGAGCTGGGCCGTGTAAGGGGCCGTCGGCTCATGGAGAGCATGATTCTGATGAAGTGGCATTGTGTACAACGCGATGTCAGGTTCCGGTATGTCAATGCCGGGTTCAAAATAGAATCACTTAATGTCCACATACGCGTCAGTAATGTGATTGTCTTAAGTTGTCCGGAGGGAGATTGAGAGACACTTGTCGGACACTGAAACTGAACTGCGGTACTTGATACTGTAATCAAGAAACACAGTAACGGGGTGCTTGTATTCTGTACACACATCAGTATGTTTCAGCATCCAACCTCCTCCCCCACGAATAGTACGTTGTATGGTGTAAGAGCAAAGGCGAGAGACAAAGCTTTGTGAGACGCTTGTTGGCCACAACATCCCAACGGGCTCCCTCCAAAAACAAAAATGCCGACCCGGGGGAGTGGGAGGGTGGGTGTAAGTACCTACCTAAGCACGGACAAGTCGTTGAGGTACGCAAAGGCCATGTCCGTGCTTCGGCGCCGTGCAAAAGACTACCTCTACCAGCCATGCTCCTGGGTACCTCTCACCTGGGTTCCCGTGCTCGGTGTGCAGACATCCGGGGCACAACAGTCAGCCGTGGGTGCGTGCATACTAAGGTACGTACGTGGATAGCCCTTGAAGACGCTTACGCCTCAGTATCTAATTAAAGAGCCGGCTATTCGACGACGCCTGTTTACCGCTCTGGTGCGGCATCGGGATGCCTTGTGTGTGAAGACATTTTCAGCGCCAACGGGCGGGATGGGGCTGCTTGGTGCCATCATCCAGACTTTTAGTGCGGTCCAAAAGTGCGTGCTTCCATTCTGCTACGAAGTGGAGAGCGCGCAGTCGGAATACAGGACGCTTCCTTTCGGGTGTGCCGTTACAGAATCCAGGGACTTGCCTCGCACAAATCATCCTCCATAATTATTCTGGGGGAGATTTGATCAGCGCATTCTACTACCTACTCCGTATACTTAAGCGACTGCAAACATTTTCGAGTGGCAAGCCGTGATGGAGACGGGAGACCCCTATGACTTCATTGCATTTCGCCATCGTCCCTTGGCATCGGGATGCCGGGATCCTTGCATCGTCACCGCTTCCCGAGACGCGGCGCGGTGAAGGGGAGTGCAAGAAATTTCAACACGATCAACAACTCAACGGCCCAAACGGCCCACGTAGCGTATTCGTACTGTATCATGTACTCCGCACTTGTGACTGAGAAACGCGGTGTAGTTGATGAGGGGATCCTGGGTGGGGGTTTTTGCATTTGTATTTTCTACACCGCTGAGCCTCGTCGTCTAGGGCTGGACCGGCGAGTTGGAGGCTGCAACGTCGCCCTCCGGCCGGTTGGGTCGGGCATCGTTGCTTGGACAAGTTCCTGCACCCCGATGCCAAAGCGGGCGCGTGAGTCATCGCGACCCCAGGTGACCCCCCGGCCTAGCATCGTGATGACTTGCGGAGTGTGAATTTGGGTCAAAATGCCTGCAGCTTGTGGTTGTTGGCAGGCAGGGATGCCGATCCAGACGCCGGCCAAGTGACCGACGAACCACTCACAGGACGCCCGGGCCGTCTTTCAACCCCAAACCCGGTAGAGGTGCACTCGCAGGAATAAGGCTGCAGCAAACACGGCGGTGCGTAGCGCTGATGGTGTGCGAAGGATGTCGGCGCAGGCGGGCTTTGCACAAAGAGGCGGCGGCACAGTCACAACTGCTGGGACCAATTGAACAAACCGACCACCGCACATCGGACGGGGTTGGCCAGAGGTTTGCTTTGGGTTGGGGCATTGCCTGCGCAGTGCGCACTGCTATTTCCGTCTCACGAAATCCCCTGCTCAACAGGCGAATTGACAATTAACGGCGGTGGCCACTACGTAGTAAGTGTACCAAACTCCCAAACACTCAAATATATTCGGCCCTCTTACGATGGTCTCATATTTACTTCGCCTCAGAAACCAAGGCGCCTCATCCGGGCGGGGCCCTCGAGCCCGCCGTGTCCCGGAGGCGATTTGTATGTGCGCCGGCACTCATTTCGGTCAGACGGTGAAGCCCGGCCGAGGTTGTTGGTGTCCTGAGTCGCCACAGCACCCGAATTGGGTAGTTTAGGCTTCGAACAAGTCGCGCTTTTTGGACATGGTCGTTTCATCCACACTGGAATATGCGCTGTGGGCCGTTTGAAAATCGATTTCTGCGAGGAAGGCGGCGGAGGGAGACTGCGCCTTCGGCCGAGACGCGGACGCTTACAACAAAAGGTCGTCCTGAAACGGACATGCACACGCATGTTTGTGGTGCAATATGCTGGCTGTGGTTGCTGTTCGGATATACACACACTACGTGTCGTTGATTATTTAGGAACACAGGATTAGCTTTGCAAATGATGGGGAATACCTGCAAGGTCTAGCCAACACATCGTCTGGATCCATAACCACAGGCGGCTGTGTGGGATCATCATGTGTATACAACGTAGTGTTGCTCTGGATCGCCTCATGGAGGGATGAACACATGCAACAACCCCGCAATGGGGCCCTGCCGTGTAAGTCTGGCCCTCTGGGTCTGAGTTGACATGGCCGCCTAGAGATGCAAGACCCAAGACATAGCTAAAATTGCTTATTTGGGCGGTCAGCGACTTGTGCCTCCGCTCATCACACGGCGTGGGCCATCAGTCCGGAGGGGATTATTGTTGAGCGGCGGCTTGACCCTGTGACCCTCTGGCCAAATTGGCTGTGCGACGGAGAGTGGACGGCGTTCAGCGCCTTGTCTCAGCGCTCAAAGGACTTACATGTACACCTACACCGCTGGGGCTGTTCTCCAGGCTCAGGGACAATGGTGGATGATTTTCCCAAGGCCTGGGCCGAGTTTCGCCCATCCCATTTCTTTTTCTTGTTCGGCTCTTGTTGTGTCCTTTGGACTCCGTCCTCCGTTGTCTTGGCGGCGCGCATCCACGCTGGTCCACGCCCCTCCAGGGCCCCCTTGTCTTGACAGGGAATGACAGGTCATCACCTGCGAAATTGGACGTCATTCAACTACCAGCGCCTAGCCTCCCCAGCCATTTCTAAGAGGCCCCACTCATCTCCCACTCCCCAGGCTGGGACGAGACCGGGCAGGCTGACCGCGAAGTCGATGGGAGAGGGAAATTTGACGCTAGGGTGCCTTCTACAAAGCTTCCATGCGTTCCAAGGCGTGGTGGAACCCCCAGAGCCCTGGAGCGAGCGGCCCCTCGCAGTCGGCCGCCCTCTGCTCGTTTTGGGCTTTCGGATTTGGCTGGCTGAGAGTTTCGCTCGCCTGAAGTCAACGGCTGCTGGGCGGGCCGGCTGGAATGGGAGTGAGACGACGGGAACTTGTCGGAGCTTCACGGGTGGGCGGTCGCGGGCCTTGTTCTGCGGAGACGATGCTGCTGCTACTGCTGCGTGAAGTTGCTGCTACTCCTGCTGCAGCGCTCGGCTCTGTGCCCTAGGCGGCGGCGTCGCGAATGCGGTAATGTCGATGTAATTCATGTACGCTGTATGACGGGCGGACTTGCATTGGGGTCGGCCTTGCAACCCTGCCCTCACGCAACTTGCCATAGCACTGCGCTAGGTACCCAGTCAGGCTGCAAAATGAAGAGCATTTCCACTATGGCATCGCATCGCAGCGACTAGTTGATGCGCGGTGCAGCGACAGCGCAAGTGCCAGTGCAAGCGTCAACTGCTGGCCACGTCCTCGGATCATCTCAAGCGAGCACTGAACAGCGCCCGGTCCAAAGCAACCTGTTCCCAGACCAAGCGACCAAGCGGCCAAGCCCAGCGAAAGCAGCCACCGCCGAATTTGGCTCTGAAATGGATCCCTCGCTGGTTGAGCGGTTGAACAGGGGTAACACATACCAGGGGGTACTGCGGTACTGAGGTACCTCGATCCCTCGCCGTCCTCACTCAGCGCGTCGCTCCTCGCTCAGCACAGCGCACTTCAGCGCACTCCAGGGGACCCCCCATGCGCGCTGACGCCTGTTTCAATTTCCCTTTTTTTGCGGTGGTCGAGGCCCACTGTGCGTCACCGTCTGAGAATGCCCATGCCCCCAAAACACACCCAGAGCCGACGCCCCCTCCCCCCCAAACAGACGCCCAGCCGGCGGTGTTCGGCCGGGTACGGGGGGTGCGGTACCTGCTAGACCGGCAAGTCTCTGCGCAGCTCCCAGGCCTGGCGGGCGTCTGCCCCAGGTACTTCGCTGCCGTGTACTACCACTGACGTATGTACCTCGTACGACCCACGCCCAAGAGAGCCCACCGTCCTTTCAGTGCCCGCCTTTTCCAAATCACACCCCACCCCACCCCCTCCCCCTGTCGACTCAGTGCCCTGCCCTGGGCGCCCTGGCTGCTTCACTTCAGATTGCCTTTGACTAGAATAGCAAACACCAGACCGGCCAGAGAATACATAAGGGCAGCGACCTCCCTCTTCCCCACGAAAGTTTGACCGATCTCTCTCACCATCAACTCAGCTCAGCATCATCTGGTTACTCAGTCAATTACTCTCGCCTTTGACTTACACTTACTACATCTGACTTCAAGTCTTACACCAAACCAACTCAACCTGCTCAGCACTCACCAACCTCACCAACAACTTTCACCACCAAGAACTGAGCTACTAGCCTTCAGTTCTTTGCCAACAAACATCACACCAAGCCTCACAAGCAACACCAACCACAGCCAACATGCCTGCTCAGCGACCCTCGCAACTCCCTCCCTGCCCTGGGCCTCCTCCCAGCCGACCTCTCCCTCCTCTGCCCAAGCGCGGGTAAAGGGTGCCATCAACTACGAACCTCTGAACACCACCTCTCGACTTGGATCACCTATATGTGAAATGGCTTCAACCTGTTATCACCCCCTTCGCTTGGCCTGGATCCGCCTTTGCAGCCCCGTCAGTTACACAGACTAGGATCGCTCGGGTCGGTACCATGGCCTTGCTCGCAATGGCGCGCGTGCGCATATGCACATGCGACGCTCGCGCAACCCCATTCTGCTATACATGCACCTAATCGCACCTTTGGTTTGGTGAGCTGGCCATGCGCACCCAGTCATCTGCTGCACCACGCCAGCTCACTCGCCATCGAATCATTCGCCTTGCTTTTACCCGATCTGCGCGACGCCTGGGGAGTTCTACCTCACCCAGCCGTTCTCAGCCGCGGTCGCATACCGGGCCTCGACAACAACCTCGCACATCACCAGTCCTGGGCTGGCCCGACCGGACCTCACCCCTTCACTTCCTGATGGCTCACTTACCGAGCACATCCTATACCGCTGTACCACTACAACATTTAATCCCTTTGGCTTCTCTTTTCATACGCAAACTTTTGGGAGGGTATCTCATCGTTCCTGGGATTTTTGGGAACTGTATTACTAGAGAGGCATTGTCACGGCGTTGACACATACACCACGCACTCTACTGCATCCGCCTATGCTTTTCGCTGCGCCACAACGCGGCGCTTGCGCGGGGATGACGGCAGACATGATGATGAATACGTCTGGTTGGGAATATATAGAATTATTGGGATGGGTATTTTACCGCACTAGTCGGATGATTCGTCCACTGAACATTCAGTGCAGACGACGGATATGGAGAAGATACCAGTTTATTTTACACGAACAATATTGATTTATCATGGCCACACACCAACTGTTCCTATTACCAATGAATATCCCTGCCCAGATCGTGCCTCGTGATCAGCGACATCCTTGTATCTCGCTTCTCCCTTGCAGCCCCTCGACACCACTCCCTTTCACTCCGGCTAGACAAGCTGAATGCCTTTCGCAGCATCGTGCGTCTTCGGTGTTACCAAGTGCACCGTCGATCCAACAGCTGACACAGTACGAGTGTGGAGGTCTCAAACATCCCGGCTCTGATTGTGACCGACGGCCTACGAGTGAACGGCTCACAGCCCTGTCGTCATCATCTTGACCTACCATGAAGCTTACGCCCGCCCGGCGTGGCTCTCTGTAATCAACGGACCCGCAAGCGTTGGCCCTTTTGTTATGTCCGGGCTTGGCCCGAGGAACTACGGGAAGTTCCTTGGTTCACAGCGAGGCCCTCGTTCGTCGAGATTCGAGGTCGAGTGTCAAGCGTCGTCCGGCCATTAGACTAGCTGCGGGGAAGAAAGGGGCCAAGAGAGTCAAATCGAGACCGCGGAGCAACAGGTCATTCCTTGGGGGTGATGAAACAAGCGGTCACCAGTTGCAAGAGTGAGAGTGCCCATCTTTGGCAATTTCGGGAAATGGTTTGATTGCTGCGTGGCGAAAACCCCGTTCTGAAATGCGCCACGGATAGCAAGACGAACGCCTGTTCCTGTGCCTGTAACTCCCCTTCAGCCCCCCCCCCCTCTCCTTGCTTTTGGGGGGGGTGCCTGAGCAGGTACTAGAGCGCAAATCAGGGACAAACACTGTTGCGTGTGGTAGCATTCCCACCTAGCACATGTTTCCCATCCCATTCACGTCCCATCCCAACGGGCAGGTTCAGGGGAACAAAGTTGCCACAGCGGATACTGGGGAACCGTGGGTGTGGCACCTGAAGATGGGAAAGGGAATGCCCGTCATCGATACGTAACTTGGGTGTTTCTGTAAGCGGTGCCCCGGGCTCTCAGTGTCATCCCCTCCCACTTGTCTCCCCTCCCCCCGGCTCCCGTCGTCCGAGGGGGTCCTAGGCTCTGAAATCGCGTCACGTGTTTGCGCGCTGTGGCTTGAGCCCGGCCGTAAGAGGCAACGGCCCAGGGCTTGGTCGTTAGCTGCACGCAGCGCAAGGCTGATGAGGCTAGTGGACTTGCGGAGAAGGTAGCACGGGGCCGATCTTCTAGGATTTCACATCCGAAGGGTCGTTATTGTTACGCCAGCGAAAAGGAAGCACCCGCGCACTTACATTAGCCAGCTGCCTACGTGGCCAGCCTGCAGTAAACCGGTGAACCGATCTGGATTTGGTGTGGGTGTCGTTTTGTCGTCTTGCCCTTTTGCCCTTTTGCCGTTTGGCCCTTCTGCGACTGTCATCGCCTGATCGCATCCCCGAAACCATGCTGGAGCTTCATGTCTGGGGCTCGGCGTTTGGCCTTCCGTCCTTCGACCCGGAGTGCCTCGCCCTCATCACATACCTGCACAACAGCCTTCCCGTCGCGGAATGGCGCCTGGTCCCCAGTAACGATCCGTCCATCAGCCCATCTAGTAGGACGACGTCTCCGCCGCTCTATGTCAACCTTGTCCGGCTGACCACCCCCAGATACTCTCCCCGCACTCCATCATGATGGTGCCTGGACAAGTGGCTACTGGTCCATAGTCGCCTACATTGTCTCCAACTCCCTTTGCGCCGAGTTGGATGCCAACTTGACTCCTCTTCAGCACGCCGACCGCGTCGCTTACGGGGCCTTCCTCGCAGCCCATGCTGCCCCCTTGCTGGATCTCTCTCTGTATGTGTCGGCCGCAAACTGGGCGGCCGCCACTCGCCCGGCGTTTAGTGCGCTGCTGCCGTTTCCTCTGACATGGACTGTCCCGCCACTCATACGCGCAGAGGCGGTCAAACGTGTTGAGCACCTAGGCTTCGCCGACATGGACAGCGACTTCGATCCCAACGGGTCTCTGCACCTGTCTGCGGGGAGGGATGCCCTCCCTGAGACCTTCCGCCGGCATCTTCCTGCGCGGACAAAGAAGACGGTCCAGGAGGAGATGACCCCCGAGCAGGCCGTGGCCATCAGACTGTACGGGTTAACCGAAGATTGCTTGTCTGTGTTGGACGACTTCATGAAAAGCTCTGATGACGAGAAGCCAATGGGCTTCTTCGAGACTGAGAAGCCTACGTCACTAGATTGTCTGGCATATGGTTATCTGGTTCTCATGCGTGATGCCCCTGTGCCTCGGTCCTTCCTGAAAGATTGGATAGTGACGAAGGCGCCGCGGTTATCCAAGTTTGTCGACGGCATGAAATCCAGGTCGCTCGCAAACACCGAGAGTCTCCCTTGGGTGGAATCTCAGCATACTACAGCCTTCCGTGTGGGTGCTCGTACCCTCGACTCCATTATCCTCAACGCTCCAAGCATCGGCGAGGAGTATGCAAATGAAAAGAGGCGGCGAGCCGAGGGGGGCGTCACAGGTGTCGATGGGAGAACGTTGATGCTGGCTATGAGCCTCATGGTTACGGGTGCGGCTATGGGTTTCGGTTTGCAATTGTACAAATCGCTGCAACCATTTGGGGCCCGCACGCAAGTCTGGCGGACGGAGAGGAATAAATCAAAGTTGAGCCAGTTCGGAGAACTCGGTTCGATGTTGGGCAGTGCCTTGGGAGAGTATCAAGCTCCCAGGAGAGGCCCAGGCCTGGCCTCGGGTGAACACCGGTTTGTTGAGACAGACACGGATGTTGACTGAGGAGTTGAAAACTCAATCTGTAATATCACTGTTCATGTTATCTGGATAGACAAAATCTCATGGACCACCAACGACGAATAAGACGCTATTAATGAATTCATTTTTTAATCTGGACTGTGTAGATTCGTTCATACGCAGCCACGTGCGTAGTAAGGACTTTCTTTTTATACATTGGATAATGATCTCTGATCCATCCCATCCTCCTCTTCATAGAGGTTGCACTAGATCTGACGGATCTCCTTGCCGATCATGTCCGGTCGGTCAATCTCCCACTCGTCTCTGAGGATCGCAAAGGTCAGATCCGACACCAACAAGCTCTGCCCCAGACTCCAGACCAATGTGATGGCGTAGAAGAAGTTGGCATTGCCACTTCCGGCGTAGATCCATAGGTGGTAGAAGGCCGGGCCCAGGAACGTGGCATATAGGAGGGTCGACGTAGTGACGAAGGAGTAGCGCATGAGAGGGAAGATGTGTCGGAATAAGGGAATCATGGCTAGGAAGAGACTGGCGTCGGCGAGAGACGGATATGGTTTGAAAATGGAGAAGGTCCCGAGGATGATGGTTAAGACGGCCAAAGGCTGGGGTCGTAGGCGGAAGCACAGGGCGGTGGGATAGGCGGCGAGGTGAAGCCAGAAGACGCCGAGGAAGAAGGCGCGGAACGAGTCGAACATCTCAATAAAGAAGTACCACCAGAGGCCAACGTTGGGGGTCAGGTCTGACAAGGTGAACTGGATGCCGTAGGTTCGAGCGAGGAACTCCCACGAGTTGCCAGTGACCACAAAGGACATGCCAAGTAGAACCGCAAGGCACCCCGCCACAACGAGGGCGTTGACACCAGCGAAATGGAGACCGGAGGCAATTCGACGCTTCTCAAGCTGGCGGTCGTAGGCCAGAAGGACGACTGGCGGGAGAAGGAGGATCGGGTACATCGAGAGGTAAGAGGCGAACGACAGGGCGACCATGGCCTTGAAGGGCGAGCCGTAGATGGCCTTGGATATGGCATGGAGGATCGCACAGGTGGTGAAGACGCCAGTCGAGCGTCCTATACACGTCGCGATAGTATACGGGTTTAACAAGAACCTATAAGATGTCAGCGCTGCTGTCGGCTGAGTCTCCATTAGGGCCTCCTTACGCTGCGGCAACGGCAACTCCGCTCCACTTCTTGGCCCGGCGGGGAGACGTGAACAGCTTCGAGCTGCCGGCCTCGCCGGAATTGGCAATGTTGTATAGGGCATCGGCGCTGAGCAGGTCGACGACGATGTAGAGGAGGTGGGTGAAGATGGACCAGGCCTTCACGTCTGGAAGGAGGGAGAACAGGGGGAGCAGCAGCGGGGCCTGGTGGTAGACGCCGCCGTCGTAGGGGGACACATTGTTGGTGTATAGGAACAATCCCTCTTGTACTGCAAGCCAGGTTAGAGCCAGCGCGCCCAAGTGGCTTCCCTTGGCTTCCCTCCCACTGAGGATGCGGAGAGGGGGAAGGGGAGTGGAGGTGCTTACATCGCTTGAAGCTGGTGACAGGCGTCGAGATCTCGACGCGGCCGGTAAGAAGATCCGGGAGACCGGGAAAGGCGAGAAAGAGAAAGAGTCGCAGCAGGGCAGCGCCGGCGTAGACGCTGGCTTTGCCTCGCAAGGTCATGGTGCTGGACATGGCATGCTTGGGGACGACGGGGAGCCAGTCGCAATCGCAAGTCGCGGATCGCAGGTCGCGGTCGAGAGACGTGGAGTTGAGTGTACCTGGCTAAGAATTACCCCGTGGCCACTTGGCGGCTTCAGGCTTGGCGCAGGAGGTCTCGGGAGAGCCCACTGCCGCGAAACAATGCTCTTGGAGCTTGCTCGGCCGAGTGCTGTAACGGTACCGCGGATGCACTGTAGGCGACCTGCCGACGCCCTGTAATGGTGCTGGACATGCACTGAACGAGCGCTGCAGTCCAGTGCCATTTCCAGGGCGGTGAGATGCTCATGGGCCAATTGGCGAAGTATCTGGTAACGCTAAACCCCCCGCGGAATTTGTCAAGGCGGTGCAACCTGGCATTAAAAAATCCAGCTGGAAAAAAAAGTTGAACAAGAGACGGGAAAAGTGCCCCGCCGCTTCATTGCGCAAGAGAGCAGACCAGCACCAACAGTCAACAACTGCGACAATGCCTCGGATAAAGAAGAAGGGCCAGGCCGGCGCGGCCAAGAACTACGTTACGCGAAACCAGGCCATTCGGAAACTCCAGATCAGCCTGCCCGACTTCCGTAAGCTGTGCATCTGGAAGGGAATCTACCCTCGCGAGCCCCGGAGCAAGAAGAAGGTCTCCAAGTCTTCGACCGCCTCCACCACCTTCTACTTCACCAAGGACATCCAGTACCTCCTCCACGAGCCCCTGCTGCAGAAGTTCCGCGACCAGAAGTCCCTCGAGAAGAAGATCTCCCGTGCGCTCGGCCGTGGCGATGTCACTGACGCCGCTCGTCTCGAGGGCAACGCTGCGCGACCTGAAAAGACTGGCAAGCCCCGATACACCCTCGACCATGTCATCCGCGAGCGGTATCCTACCTTTATTGACTCCCTGCGAGACCTTGACGACTGCTTGTCCATGCTCTTCTTGTTTGCGAACCTGCCCTCGACGTCCATGGTCCCCGCCAAGATGATTGCGCGCTGTGAGCGACTCGTCCACGAGTTCCAGCACTACCTGATTGTGTCCAAGAGCGTTACCAAGTCGTTCCTGTCCATCAAGGGCATCTACTACCAGGCCAACATCCAGGGAGAGGACGTTCTGTGGCTGGTGCCGTACCGATTCAACCAGCGCGTCGTTGGCGACGTCGATTTCAGAATCATGGGTACCTTCATCGAGTTTTACATGACCCTATTGGGCTTCGTCAACTTCCGATTATACACCACTCTCGGTCTCAAGTACCCCCCCAAGTTCGACCAGGCCAAGGATGAGAACGCTGCCGAACTTGGCGCCTTCACCCTCGAGGGCAAGACTCTTGTCGGTGCTGAGGAGCACAAGCAATTGGAGGATGCCACCCACAAGCCCGACCCCAAAGTGCAGGCTGCTGTCAACAAGGTCCTCAAGAAGCTCAAGACTACCGATGTCGATGATGAGGCAGCGACCGAGAACGAGGTGGATGGCGAGGAGCAGGATACAGGAGCAATTGATAAGTTTGAGCCTGCCGCCCCCGGTGGCGATGTGCTTCCCCAGCCGTCAACCGCTGGAAACAGCCCCGGTGCCATGTTCTCCAACTTCACCTTCTACCTCTCTCGTGAGACACCCCGACAACCCCTCGAGTTTCTCCTGAAGGCCTTCGGCTGCAAGCGCGTTGGCTGGGATGCCGTCCTCGGCGATGGTGCTTTCACCACCAATGAGCTTGACCCTGCCATCACCCACCACATCGTCGATCGGCCCCCTATCCAGGTTGTTACCGAGGAGGGTGGTGATGGCGAAGACAACCAGACTTCGCAGAAGCTGCCCGCCAACATGCGTGTTCCTGGACGAACATACATCCAGCCTCAGTGGGTTTGGGACAGTATCAATGACGGCGAGCTGAAGGAAGCTCACATGTACGCCCCTGGCGCTTCTCTGCCTCCTCACTTGAGTCCCTTCGTGAAACAGGTCCAGGGTGCTTACGATCCTACCATTTCCCTGGAGGAGCAGCAGCCCGAGGACGAGGCCCTCGAGGCCCAGAGCGACGACGAGGACTTGGCTGTTAAGGACATTGACGAGACGGTTGAGGGTATGGACGTGGACGACTCTGAGGGCGGAGAGGATGACGACGAAAAGGAGGACGATTTCGGAGGCTTCTCTGCCGATGAGGAGGAGGAGGATGACGAGGATGAAGACACCGCCGAGCAGCGACAGCAGGAGCTCGAGGCTGAGTTGACTGGCGCGTCTGTGAAATCCAAGCCCGTGAGCTCCAAGGCCAAGGCAAAGGAGGATGCCCGCAAGGCGCTGACCAAGAAGGCGCGTGATGAGGCCGAGGACCTGGATCGCGCCAAGGGCATGCTGAGCAAGAAGAAGCGAAAGCTGTATGAGCAGATGGTTTACACTAATACCAAGAAGAGCACCGAAGACCAGAAGCTGCGCGCCAAGAGGAGACGATTTGAAAAGGAAAATGCGAAGGGCAAGGGCAAGGGCACGGCGTAAAAAGGACTGTTTTATACCATTCAGATAGATTCAATTTACATGCGATGGAGCGAGCTTTATGTGTGTGTGGTGTTGTGAATGTGAAGGCTGTTGTTGTCGATGGGTACACATGATGTAAAATTGTGACTGGAGGGTGGCTGTATTTTTTTCACACCTTAGGCTGGCGTCGTAACTTTGGTCCTCAACCACCTCCTCCTTCGTACTTGAGCGGCACAACAACAAATCATGAGAAGACTGATGATGCATGACTGAATGAATACGGCTAAATTCTTTGAAATTCGTCAATATCAGCCTCTTCACTGCAACCGAACATGGAGGCTAGCTCTGCAAACTGGGAGCTGGACAGCGATGAGATTGCGTCCATCGCTTCCGAGGATCTTCACCAGCACCGGCCAAACCGCTGGACGGGCGCCAAATCGTCATGGCGCACTCTCACAGAGGAAGAGAGGCTGCTCTGGCAGTCGATGAAGCAACTGCAGGATCACGATTTGGCGGCGCATTTGTACAACGCGTTTGCGCTCAAGCGACGAGGCCGCGATGCGGTGACGGCGAAGGACGTCATGGTTCGCATGGTGAGTTTTGTTCCACAGCAACAGTTTTTTTTTATATCCCAGCTATTTCATGACTAGTGCACGCCTAAGTCTATAACTTCAAGTGCTTACGAATATTCAGGACAATAGCGAGGACGCAGTCTGGGCACCGCCCAAGCTCTGGACGGCGTGGCCACTTAAGCACAAACAAGTGCCAAAAGATGGTCTCATCAACAGCCAGCACGACGCCGACGAGTGGTCCACGTTTCGAAAATCAGAGAAACCCTTGCCTAGCACTGAGTTGGAGGAGGAGCTATCCGCAACCATTCTACGGACAGCCAAGCGGCGTTTCCGCCGACGGAAGGGCAAGCTGGCGCTGGCCTCGATCGAGTCCGCCGCCATGCAAGGAGAAAGCGACAATGACACTCCCGGTCCGTCGTCTCGGGAGCCATCCGTCAAGCCGGAAGCCGAGGACGAAGACGAGAAGATGCTTGATACGGATGACCCGACGCCGGTTGCGCCAACCACACGGTCAAAACCCAAGACGTACGAACCAGTGGTGTCAACTAACGACAAATTATCCTACGATTTGCTCAGACCGTCTGTTCGACACATTCTATCGCAGCTAGATGACACCCTTTCTATCCTACGCAACTCACGCGTTGCTGGCCTAAGCTATCTCTCCGATTCGTCTACCGAGGATGAATCCGACAGCCAGAGTGGCCAGAAGCGGGCTCGCGGACGGCCTCGAAACGCATCGCAGGGCACACCTGACACAAACCAATCTGGCGTAAACCCTCCCGTAACACCCAGCAAACGAGGCCGCCCGCGCAAAGTTCACATCCCTCGCGAGGGAGAGTCAGAAGAGGAGATGCTTCTCCGCATCGCCCGAGAGTCCCATCGTCGCCTTCCCACAACGCCCAAGGACAAGGACGCTGCATTTGAAGAGTGGATTCGAAAGGGTGACGAGACCATCGAGCGGGAACGTTCGCTGTCCGTCAAGCGAGAAGCTTCAGAGGGCTTGGAGACGGAAGACGACGACGGGAACGGGGACAGCAATCCCAACAGGAAGCTCGCACGATGGGGTCTGCGCGACTGGAGCGACGTCCTAGGGGCGGCTGCTCTAGCAGGCTTCTCAAGTGAAGCCATTGCGAGAACGACACAGCGCTGCGCAGACTTGTTCGGCGAGGGCATGGTGATGAGGAAGCTGAACGAAGCCCCCGTCTCGCAAGGCACCGGCATTGAAACCAGGGAATACCGCCCGGAGCCTGTCCGCCTTTCGCACTCGGACGCCGACGACGACAGCGAAGACGAGGCCGACCTCGTCCAGCGCCGCGTCGCCTCCCGCCAGGCCTCCCTCGCGCGATCCAGCCACGACCGCAGCAGCCCCGAGTCGTTCCGCGGCCGTCTCTCCGCCGCCCAATCCCCGGCGGCCTCCAAATCCTCCGGATCCCGATCGCGATCCCGGTCTCGCTCCGCGGCCGGCCTCGTCTTCTGCCCGATCCCGTCGTGCGACCGCGCCGCGCAGGGCTTCAGCCGCAAGGCGAATCTGCGGCGCCATGTGGAGCTCGTGCACCAGGGACAGACGGAGGAGATGGATAGTGACGAGGAGGTGGCCGGCGCAGTGCATGTGGATGGCTTCTTGCGGCCCATTGTGCCGGCACGGGGCTGGAGGGGTGAGGATACGACGATGAGGAAGAGGAAGAGGTACTATGGACAGAGAGCAGTGAGCTCTGAACGACATGATGATTCCCCTTAGTTGCATCGGTTGCTCCTCTGGTTCAGTAGAAGCAAGATTCAGCACTTATACAACTTCGTGACAACACTTGTACAAATCCCAATTGATTCAATCTCAATATATAATACTCTGTCAAAAGCCAAAGGGTATCAAAGTACTCAAATAACTCTGCAATGTTAAAACTCCCCAAACCACACCAGGGACCAACCAGCGAAGCCATGATCTAACCAATACCACCCCAAAACGCCCTATAGCCGCCAGGCAATTTTGCCTACTCCAGTCCAGAAACCAAGACTTTGTGCATATCAATTACGTTGAAACAACAAGAGAAGCCACAGAGGCATCTAGTTAAGCCTCGGGCTCTTCCTCCTGGAAACACTTCGCGAAAAATCCGCCAGCGGGAGGTTCTCGCTGCCCTCGACGATGACGCTGCTAGCCTGTTTCCTGGTACTGCGTGTGGCACGGGTGCTGCGCTTGAATAGCGGCATCGTGCGCTCAGCCGGCATGGATATGATACTGGCGCGAGGATCGAAGCCGATGCATCCCGTCGTCAGGTTGGGGTTAACCTCGCGGAGGCTCATACCGAGCAGGCTGTGGCCGTGGTCCGGGGCACTCACGATGGAAGTGCGAGGCGGCGCACGCGGCGGCGACGTCATCATCTTCTGAGGGCAGTCGAGATCGGCGAAGACGATAGTTGTATCCTTGTCGAAGCTGTCGGGATCTCTCGTCGGCGTGGGCGGGTCATCGACACGCGCAATGATGAGGTCGTGATCTTCGGTGCGAGGGAGATCGGTGGGGTAGTGATATTGCACCTTGGCTGGCGTTTGACCTGTGGATTGGTACTCTTGGAGAGCTGTGCTTGCCATGTGTTCACGGAGATTAGAGAGTGGTTGGCAGAGTTGGTCGCCAAGGGGCTCCAGCTGGCCTTCAAGATCGCCGAGGTCTGCGTCCATCTCCTCGCCCAGGTTCTTGACGCGCTCAAATGTCGACTTGAAGTGGGCTGAAATGTTGTCAAACGACTCCTCAACCGTGGTGGACAGGGCCTGGGCTGATTGCGTGTGAGTCTCGTGGTGGTGTGCGTTCTCCGACTTGGCACGAGTGACGAAGTCGTCAAGGGCTTCCATCTGGACATCCAGATCCTTGATCTGCTCGTCCACAGCGCGAACCGTCTCCGCATGGACCGACTTGGCCGTGGTCTGGATCGAGGTGCTGTGCTCGCTGGCTGCCGTCCAGTCGTCCTTGAGCTTCGTCTTGAGTTGGTCACGAGACTTCTTGAACTCGTCTAGCAGCTCGCCCTCCTTCTGATCCCAATCCTCCATACCCTGGTCATACTGAGCCACGGCCCCCTCAAGGGAAATGTTGGACTCGGCCACGCTCTTCTGGATTAGAGTTGCCTGTTCGACAAGGCGAGTCTCTTGGGTCACAGCATGGGTGTTGATCAGGCCTGCGATTTGGGTCACGAGCTTCTGTCGTTCCTCAACTGCCTGCCGACGCTCCTCTTGTAGGGCCTCCTGGATACGAGTGGAGATGGTGGCGTTTTGTAGCACAATGGTGTTCGTCGCGGCCTGCAGTTGGCGTCTGAGATTGTCTGACTCGGTGCGCTGGACAGTGATCTGCTTGATGAGATCCTCAAACACCACCTTGCAGTCCTTACCGAGTGAGCTGTATGAGGTGTGAAGCTGTACCGCGTTAGTTCTACACTACATTCCTGTTTCCAAGACCAACTTACCTGGCCGTGAAAGGCTGTCATCTCGCTCAACATATCGGCAGCTATCCTCTCTGCAGAGTGAGAGATGGCCTGCAGGCTCTCGCCCATCCGCTCCTTGACATTGTCGCGCACCTCTTTGATCTCCTCTAGGAACTCGTCCATTTCGTCCTTCGACTTTTGCTTCTCATCAAGCAGTTGTTTCTTAGACTCGACAAAGATATTGAGGTGTTCATCAAGGAAGGTTTGTGTTGAAGAAAGCTTGCTTAGCTCCTCGTCAACAAAATTCTCCATCCGCGCAGACACGTTGGCGATGTGTTCCTCCTGCTCCTGCTGGAACTCTTGAACCCTTCGTTCCACCATGGACGTCACGTCGGCAACCTGGTCTTGAGATGTGCCCCAAGTAGCTCGGTTCAGGGACTGCAGATCTGACTTGCGCTTGTTTTTCGCGTGCAAGCCGCCGACATCTTGAACCGTCTTCTGGAGCTTGTTGATGAGTTGACCGCCAATCTCTGTTAGCTTTGCCTCCGTCTTCTGATGCGCCTTTCTCAGCCGTGTCTCCTCGGCCAAGGTCTTACGAGTTGCTGACAAGACAATCTCAGTCTGGTCCAGAACCTCTTTCGTATCGTCGAGCTGAGCTTTGGTGCATTCGTGGTCCTTCTTCATGTCCATAAAAGTTGATACAAGATTGAAGAGCTCCTGAACTTTGTTGCGCAGGTTGCTCTCCAGGGTCTCAATCTTGGCCGCTTGCTCCTCAGTAACGATGCGACGAGACTCAGTCTGGGCCGTCATCTCCTCGTAAACCTCGTTCGACAGATAGACGCCGTTTCGCTGGCGGGTTGAAATCAATTCGCTCTTTAGTTTTTCAATCTCCATGGTGAAGTCTCGTAACAGTGTCTTTTTCTCCAGCATTGGATTGAGCTGGGGCTTGTTTCGAATGTTCTTGGCTCGGAATGCATAATCTAGGGTGGAAATGGTCTCTTCTAGGTTGCTTTTGGCGGGAGAAATGGTGGCGATGATGCACGTTTTGGTTCTACCACCAAGGGAGTCTTGGAGTAGGCGGGTCAACTTGGACTCTCGGTACGGGATGTGGGCGCTTTTGTCGACGAGGGCGTTGATGACTCGCCCAAGTGTTAGCAGGGACTTGTTGATAAGACCTGCCTCGGCGGCGCGCTTGTTCTCAGCTCCAGACCGTTGAATGTTCTCGCTGCCAGCCAGATCGACTAGGTTCAGCTTGCCGGCGCTGACGAGGGCCTCAACACCGTTCTCATTTGGCTTCTTGACGTAGGTGGTGATTGTGAATACGGTGTGTGAACGGGAACTGAGGTCATTGCACTTGGTCGCTGCAACCTGACGCTTCAAGCTACCTTCCTGGAGCACCTTGATGCCTTCGGTAGCGTTCTTGATATGCTTTTCCTCCATGCCCTGCACGACGGTGCTGGAGTGGCCGCGTCGTGATGTGTCGTCGTATATCTTTAGCTTGGCACCCTCGTCGACGGAAAGCAAATCTCGGAGCTCCTCGTTGTAGAGCTCGATGAATGAGCACTTGATGGTGCTCTCGGCGTCCTCAAGCTCGAGCTTGTTGAACAACTGGTATAACACGCGGGGGATGATACCAGCGTCGTCGGACAGAAGTCCCAGAGTATCGGTCATGTCACCGGACATGGTGTACGTCTTTCCCGTGCCCGTCTGGCCGTAGGCGAAGATTGTGCAGTTGTATCCAGCAAGCATCTGGGGGCGGTATTGTTAGCAATAGACGGGGTTGTTGGCGCACAAAACCTACCTCATCTAGTATTGGCTTGACCGTATCGTCAAAAACCATGTTCTGGTCGGCGGCCTGGGAGAAGACGCGGTCGAAGTTGTACGAGCGATTGCTGATGGCGTTGGGCCCCATCGAAAGCTCGACATTCTTGCCCTTGACGGTGTCGGTCCTGACGACGACATTGCTGTTCTCGCGAACCTCACGTTCGTTGCGGCCACGACACCGCACCACGACGTTGATGTTCGTCTCCTCGACGCCAGCGTCGGCGTCGAAGTCGCGCTCCTTGCGCTTTGCGCCGATGGTGTTCGTCGAAGCGATGGACGCGGCGGGTGACACGGCGCCGGCGCGGTCTATGCGCGTCGCCATGGCGGAGGCGTGCCTGGATGAGACCATCCTCGTGCCTTGCCTCACACTGGCACGGCTGCCGGTGCCGGAACGAAGACTCGAGCCCATTCCGATGCGGCTCTGCTCCCGATCGGAGCGCGTAGGGCGTTGGAAAGCCAGGATGGGCGGTTGTGGGGAGGGGTTGGCCTGAGCAGGCGGGTTGGAGATGGACGTTGTGCGTTACACGCCTTGTAGTCGTTTGCAGGAGATATTAAACAGGGCGTAAGGTGGAAAAGGAGGATGTCGCGTGTCGGTCTCACACAAATCCTAAATCTTCAAATGCCGTCCTTGATCCTGGCGGTGTGGAGGGGTTGCCTGCAGGCGGTGTTGTTGCAGCAGGGCTGTTTAGAGTAAATACACGCGGATGTTTCCATAGTGCGGGCCCGTGTGGCTGGGATCAACATGACATGGCGCTTGTCGCCACGGCAACCATGCTGTCATCCACCTGGTGGCTGGATCAAGCCAGGGACGACATGCTGTTTTGACAGCGATGAAGATGTCTAAATAAAAACAAATAATATGGCTATTGATTGTTGGGCATTTCATTCATAATTATCCCGAACATTTCTAAGCCTCTTTTATTATGTGAAAGTCCATCAATATTATAGTCTATGTCTGGTATTTCATGAGGAGGCGGGGTTTGTTTCAAGCTTCGATTTGCTTAATGCGTTGTCATAGCCAAGGCGTTGAGTGGGTGCCCCATTGCCTGCAGCGAATTGCATAGCACATAGTGGCATCATTGCCGTCGTGTGTGTCTCAGCCTCTCAACTGGTTTCTGCATGTTTTCGATAGCAGACAGGTCCCAGTACAAGCCCAATTATTTCGAGCTCAGAGACTATTTCGACACATCGCATCGAATGCCAGTGCTTCACAGCTTCAAAACAGCATCTATCATGTCTGGGAGCAAACGCCGACTGGCATTTTCTATTAGTTCCAAGTGAATCTATTGGTGGTACAATTCCAAAATCTGCCTCGTGGTATCATTCAATCTCATCGTGAGCCCTGTCCCGGCCCAGCCAGTCCCACCTCCTATTTCGTGTCCATCTTGTCGCCATCCTCATCCGGAGTGGCTTCTTCAGCAGAGACCGCTGCTTCTTTTTCCTCAGTTTCCTTTTCAGTGGCATCAGCATCGGCTTCATCCTTGTCTTTGTCCCCATCTCCCGCATCCTCCTTGGCCTTCTTTGAAGACTCACTCTCTAGGTCTTGTTCTGCCTCACGCTTCGTCCCTACGCTCTCTGCGCTAGGGCTCTTGGCTTCATTCCCACCATCCCCATTCTGTTCTGCACTCGTTTCTTCGTTATGCTTCCTCCCAACTGCTGCTTCAACGTCAATGCCCTCCATTTCAAGACCGTCCTCGCCGACGTAGCTTGTCGTGGTAGCCTGGAGGCCTGTGTCGTTGACGCCAATCTCCTCGGGCCCTCTTGCATGTGGCGTCTCTTCATCCTCTCGTGGTTCCCCATCCTCGCCCTCCGCCGCCTGAGTGCGCTCCTCTTCAGCCATGGCTTCCTGGGCGCGTGAAAGCTGGCTGACCGGGACGACTCCTGCTCGCTGCTCCTGTCGAAGGAGCTCGCCTTGAGTGACACCCCTTGCGTGCCCAGTCGACGGAACACCATTAACGCTCACAGAGACGGTTTCAATACTGCCGACGCCATTAGGGCCATCAATCGTTTCGGTGCTCTCGCTGTGAATCTGCGCGCCGGGTGTATCATGATTGGTCTCCTCGGGACTCCGTCTCGTCAGCCATGGAATAGGGGTCAAAAGAGCTCCTCCTAAGGCCTCGTCCGTCCCCAAGGCAGCTGTCGTGGGATTACTCCAGGCAACTGTTACAGCGGGGTCCTTGGCGTCCTCGCCATTGAGATGCATGGAAGACATGTCTGGGATGGCCGGGGGAAGAGGGTAGGTACTAATCCCGGATGTTACCTGGACCACCCTGTCGACGGCATGGAGGTAGGTGGCCAGCGCCCTGTAGTGCGCACGGGGCTGGAGGATCAGCTCGGCGAGTCGTTGGACGGTGTGCGGCGGGCATGTGTTGAAGGTCTGGAGGTGGGTGGTGATGTCGGTCAGCATGTCAGCGAGCTGCTTTGGAAGCGCGCCTGAGTCGACGGGTTGGGTCGCCGGCAGCGACTCGGTGGCCGCATTTTCCTTGTTGGTTTCTTGCGAAGCCTGATCCAGAGGTGACGATGGGAGCGGAGACACGTGTGGTTCGGAGGTGGGCCGGGGGGCGGCCTGGGGAGGAGGAAAATTGGGGATGGGGAACTCGTTGTGTGCGATCTGTTCGATGGGAGGAAGACTCTGTCAGTCGATGCGCTTCTTTGCAAGTCGAGCGGAGGGGACATACCTGTTCAAGTCGCGCGAGCATGTCACTGCGCAAGCCAGGCCAGGTGTCTCTGCGTCCTCAGGGTCAGATATGGGCCGGTAGATGGGTCTTGGGATGAAGTAGAACTCACATCTCAACTGGGGTGCCTAATGCGACTCTGCTGAGCAGACCATTGTCACTGTCTACCTCCATGGTGGCGATGTATGAGGAAATTCGGGGCTGGGCAGAGCACTTGCTGCGCGACTCTGAAAGTCGCGAACCACGACTCTTAGGCTCGGGCTCCAATCAATGGTGGGGTTGCAACTAAGCGGGTGGGAGCGGCGCTGTTGAAGACGGCGTGGCACCCCGCTATATGCATCACCCTCAACATCCAACCTCTCATCACTTGTATCGCACTCACCGTCCAAGGTCCATTCCACGCGCTATAATTGCTGTGAGCATCTCGGCCTGTGCCCATGTACTCATACCCTGAAAAACTGACGATCCGGCAATAATTTTGCTTGATTTGCCCCACGCGCGAGACGCACGCGAGACCCCTGTCAGCTTCATACGCAACAGAAGGATTGCAGACCTATTATCAGCCCTGGTTTGCGCCTCTTTTCTCCCTCGCTCTGCATTGAGAGCCTGATTTGAACAGAGCCGCAAGAGTGTAGAAATAGAAACTCCCCGCCGCTGTGACGCCGTGTCCCCCTTGAGAATTTGTCAACTTTATACAATCTTCTCCGACGCCTTGCTCTACACATCCTCAAAGGAGCTCGGCTCCCTCGACGTGCTTTTCTCTCTCTTACATCTTAACCTATGAATTTCGTGATGGGGTCGAGAATGTTCCTCGTCACTCTCGAGGATCTAGAATGCGACTTCACGTTACGGTCCTCGGGTGGGGGCCCGGGTATGACAGTTGGGAAATTCTAATTTTGATCGCAAGACACCCCTCGCATCGATGTAGTCTAAGGGGAAGTGGTACCAACTGGGTGCTTGAATATGTACATGCTAATAGGAAATCTCTCGGCACTAAAAAAACGAATACCCAGCAAGTCCAATCCTTTGTCCGCCTCCAAGTGTATTCACACACACTCAAACTTGATTGGGGTTGTACAACCACTTCGCGGCATCAAAAATGACCTCAAAAGCCACGGCATCATACGTTCCAATGGCGCAGCTCAGGTCGTGCAAGCCCTCCATCCCCGTCACGGGCAGGTCCTGCTCGGCGTCGGTCTCCTCATGCAGCGCCCAACCACCGGTCATGGTGCCGTTGCGGGTGAAGAAGATGTCGACCTGGGGCTTGGCCTGGCCGACAGCGCGGAACGTCATTCCAATGCCGTAGGTGTCGCCGCGGCGGAACTCGTCGGTGAAGTCCTTACCGCCCCAGCGGTCATTGATGTACTTGTGACCGTCATCACCGTGGACAGCCAGACTGCCGCGATGCCAGCCCGGCATTCGGAAGGACGGGTAGGGCAGAGCCGTGAAGCCGAGGCCTAGGAAGACGGTAGGGCTGTTGTCGCGCAGCTTCACCTCGTAGTAGATGGTCTTGGGGCGGCCAGAGCGCAGCGGGTCGTGCTGGGTGACGGAGTAGAGCGGAGGATACCCGATGATGCAGCGGTCGGGCGAGTTCTTGGCCGTGTAGCCGTCCCACTGGCCGGGCTTGAGCCAGGTGAGCTTGCCACTGAAGCCCGCAGGCTCCATGAGACGGATGTTGCCCGCCTCCAGAGCCGTGCTGGCGAGCTGGTCGAGGACGATGGGCCGCGTTAGGGGGTACCGCTCACACCAATCCTCGCCGGCGATGGCGTCGTCCTCAGTGGCGTTGCTGGTCGGGGACCTGTCGTAGCCACTGAAGATGGCCGGCGGCGGTGGGAATAGAGACGTATCGGGGACGGCTACCTCCCAATCATGCTGGGGCTGCTTCGCAGCAGAAGGCGGAGGGCCGGATGGAGGCTGGATCCAGTCGTTCGAGCCTGGCGGGGGACCCGGGGGAGGAGCATAATGCTGTTGTGAGGACTGTCCAGGAGGTGGTCCCGAGGGTGGTGCATACTCCTGCTGTGATGAGCGGCCCGGAGGAGGCCCAGGAGGAGGGGCGAATTGTTGCTGCGACGACTGTCCAGGGGGTGGCCCCGAAGGCGGCGCATACTCATGCTGCGGCGATTGTCCTGGAGGTGGTCCTGGAGGAGCATCGTACTGCTGAGACGACTGCCCGGGGGGTGGCCCAGAAGGCGGTGCATACTCATGCTGCGACTGTCCCGGGGGAGGCCCCGAAGGAGGAGCGAACTGCTGCTGCGACGACTGTCCCGGAGGCGGCCCTGGCGGCGGCGCATACTGGGCCGTATTCCGATCCGGCGGAGGTCCCCCCGGAGGCGCGTAGCTGGGCTCCCCCGACGACCGTCCGGGCGTGTTCTGCGGCATGTAGCTGCTGTTCTTGACGTCACCCATGGGGTGGCTCTGCGGTGGTGAGACGGGCCTCTGCGCCGGTCGCGGCGCGGGCTCGTCGTCGCGCTCGTCCTTGCTGCCAAAACACATGGCTGGCGATGTTGCGATGGGCTTCGGCTTCCTTGGGTGATGTGGGATGGAGCGCGAAATGATGATGAAGGTTGACAACTTTGTGGAAGCACCTGGAGAGCAAGGGAGGGATGTTGTTTCGATTGGGCCTTCCCTTCGCAATCACAGGCAGTGTGTCACAAACAGAGTCACAAACACGGGGCGCAACAGAACGGAACAAAGGCCAATTCACTGCCTATTGAAGAAACCAGGCAGAAAAGGCTAAAATCAAAGAGGCCTCATCGTCACCGCAACCGTCACCGTTACTGTCACGCAACGTCAGCAGGTGTTGAGATGGTCCGGCACCCGCGTTTTTGTGGCTGTGCTCGCTGGTCGTTGAGCTATCTTCCTCTCCACGGTCCATACGGAGTACGTTTTATTACAACGTGAGCTCCAGACCTTGGCGGATTGCCGCGTTAGGACCACTGCATGCGGGGGTGGCCTCTTTCAGTGGCTTGGCAGCAAGGGTTAAAAGTACACTTAATTTGACCATGTACGCAACCAACCTTGCTTCGGTCACTAGAGTAAACGTCCGAATAGTGAACACAATTTGACCTTTTGATGAAGAGTAATGCTATTCGCACATGAGAATATTGTGTTTCGCACGCATAACTACGTTCTTGACCCTACTAATAACCATACAATATCTTCCTTAAGAGTAATTTAGAAGATGGTTTTTTCCAAGAACTAGTATTTAGTATTTATTTTTATAGCAATGATATTTTATGTTATGTATTGGGTCTAATTTAATAAGGAAGACATACATTTAGTACTGTCTTTGACTAGGTATAAATTGACATCTAGTCTTCGTTATCACAACGCAAGGCAAACAATCACATGTATCAGAAAAACTGGAAAGGAAACATCATCTATGATGATTCCGTAAGGAAACCACCATAGCCATGTCATTTGGTTGAGAACTACCTAGTTATCTGGGTAAACATGTTACTCAATGCCATGTTTGGGCAATAACTTGACTCAACCGATCCACCAAATTTCTAGTTCGCCCTTAGATACCCTCACCGGTCATCATCTGGGCCGCGTCATTAACACCGTCCATCCAGGGTCAGGTGCGTGCAATGACGGCTTACGCTCCCCAAGAGCTAGCCTGGTCTTCGTCGGGGTAGTAAAAGGCCACGACACTGATGATCAGGTATACTGCACAGAGCAGTGCGCCCTCAAGGTAGTTACTCCTACCATCCAGGACCAGAAAGTTGACGATGAATGCCGAAACGAAGAGACAGACCGTCTCAAACAGAGTGAAGTACAGCGTCATTTCGCGGTCCATGATCCATCCCAGAATGACCACGAGCGGCGTGATGAAAAGAGCAATCTGGATTGAGCTGCCTACCGCAACACCAATAGCCAGGTCCATCTTGTTCTTCATCGCAACAGTGACAGCTGTGACGTGTTCCGCGGCGTTACCGACGATAGGTAAGATGATCAAACCAATAAAGATCTCACCAATCGACGAGGTGGCAACGACCTCTTCAATAGAGCCGACAAGGAACTCGGCACAAACTGCGACTAAAGCAGTAGAAACGAGTAGGAGAATGACGGAGCCAGCTCGAGACAAGTGTTTCTCCTCGTCATCCTCTTTCCCATGATCGGTGCCGGCACTGAGTGCCATCAACGGGACTTGGACAGGCAACATGGCGCCAGGAGGACGGAATTGATGCTGGTTAAGGCGGTCTGGGAGCGAGTTGGTGCGTCGAATGCCATAGCGAACCCGGGGAACATGGCCTTGTGGAACAGGAGGCGCGATGGCTGTCTTTGAATCCTGTCCAAAGACAGTGGGTGTAAGGTTCTTGATGGAGATCCCACGTAGAATGGGGAATGGTAGTCGGCCACTGCCTTCCGCTCCAGAGTCGAGCTCGGGAATTTCGGTTTGATCTTCGTTCTGGACAGCGAAATCGACACGTCGAGGCTCGCCATCGCCACCAGCTCGGGTATTGTTATTGAATTTCACCTTGGGTTTAGCGGGAATACCGTCCTCATTGTCCTCATCCAGAGCATTCTTCTTGCTCTTGCGATACCTGTGTCGGCGATGGCGGCGTTTGTGGTGGCGACGAGGTTCCTCGTCCTCGACGGCCTCTTCACTGCCTTCAACAGAGGATAATCGAGGGAACTTGGGCCGAGAATTGGAGGCTTCGGTGACAGCCTCGTTTTCGCGACTAGCAACGAATGAAACGGTACCAGTGGCCTTGGTATTGTTGGTATCGGTGGAAGAGGCGGTTGACTTGCGTCTGCGTCTGCTTCGAAGGACCTTCTTCATCTTCTTGCGCATAGTACCTTGAGAGTGATCAGAGTCATCGGAGGATGAACTAGAGGAAGAGCTGTCATCAGAGCTGGACGAGTCCAACCACGCGGCTGCTGGTCCCGGCGTCGACTCGGCGTCGACAATATGCTGAGGCGTGGACTCATACATGTACGCATGAGACTTGAGCTGGAACAGGAGGTAGACGAGATAGACGAGGAGCAGAATCTAGAGACTCATAAGCAACACGACCAAGACAATGACCGCAGATAGACTTACGACACTGGTTCCGCGACTGATCTTGAGCGATTGGGCATCAGCAAGCTTGGTGTCGCTGAAGGAGGCATGGAAGGCGGTCTAAGCACAATTAGAATATTATCCTTATGAGCGAAGGTTGAACAACGTACGGGAAGCACCAGACTAATGACACTCAGACTGAGCAAACAAGCGCTCATCTGGGTCACTGTGCTGTTGTAGATCTATACGTCACAATTAGCCAAGGCCATGCAGTCGGATAGGAGAGCGAAGTACCTGCTCACGGTAGCGTAAGCCACCCAAGAAGAAACCCATGCCCAGGATAAGAAGCAGGTTCGCTAATATCGATCCCAGCAACGAGGCCTGGACGATACGAATTTCATTCTGTGGTCAACTGTTAGCAACCATGTTGGGTCAAACCGTGGGACAAGAATGTACCTTGACAAGTGCAATGCTGCATTAGGTTAAGAGGACTCAGGTTAGCAAGAGGGAACATGACAAAACTAATGATACAAGACTCGATTGATATGATAATGCCTTTGTGGGCTTCTCGCTCTCTCTCGCCGAAACGGCATTTGCGAGGTGACATACATGCTAAAGCACCATGGTTAGTTCGTAGTCTTAGGGTTCGTGGTAGTAGGGCTGTGACATACAAAATGATGAGTTCCACAGCATTTCCAAAGGTGACATTGAGCAGGGCGCCGAGGGCGTCTCCCATCTCCCGGGCGACGGACTCGGTGGCAAATGCCAGCAGACCGGCGAGCGGGATGATGGCGACTGCGTTCATGCCGAAGACAATACCACCGTGGATACCGTCGATGGAGGCGACGATGATACCAATGGGGACAAAGATGAGCAGGGCATTGAGCCAGCTGTAGGTGACGGCCAACCGACCATTACGGCGGATCTCGTCGATGATGAATCTCATCTTCGTGGGTTCAGGGGTTGTGATTGTGGTCTGCTCCTCAGCCTTGGAGGGCGACTCTACGACAGGCCCCGACCTCTCAACCTGCGTAGACATAGCGGGTGGGAACTGGTCAGATGTCGTGTTGACGGGGGCACTGAAGCCGTTGATGACGGAGGACTTCTCGTCGAGACCGCCATCGTTGCCAGGGATTCCATTGGGGCTGTTGTTGAAGTTGTTCTCGGTGTTGTTTAGGTTCAAGTCCTGTGTTTGGCGGGATGACGTCGTCGAGTCAATCACGACCGCGTTGGGTGGAAAACGACTGCCATCTATATTGGGGGTTTCAGAGGAGGTTTCCTTCATCGAACAGGCTTTACGGACACAAGTGTCTTTGGGAGGTTGTTGTAAGAGGAGAAGGAAGAAAGAAAAAGTGTAGGTAAGACGAAAAGAACGGGAGGACCAAGAGGTTGGCTTTATGTGAATGGCGTGGAAGGGGCAACGCAAACACGAAGCACACGGAAGGCGGTGGCGGTCTCTGTACCACCCTGACGACAACCGTAGGTACCTCCGGAAGGGAAGCACAGCACGTGGGAGCCCGCCCCTCCCTGTGGACTCTGTAGACTTCGCTACTTACTGATTGCAGGTGTCCTGTGGATCAGTAGCGTAATGTGGCTGAAGACCATCTAACCAACGAGCGTGGGGCGCAGTGAGACGAGGTGGGACGCTGTCGGACCCTGTAAGGCGTCGAGCGGCCTCCCCCTGCGCTCACATAGCAGTCGATGATGCACTACGTACGTAGTGTTGACAGGGCAAGGCGCTGAGCGAGCCGCTAACCAGGTCCGCCAGAAATCTCCCAACAGAGCGATTGGCTGGAAGATTGGCGGGACCTGGGAAGTGAGGCTGTTCACCCCACTGACTCACCAAGTGCCGCGACAACAAGTTCTCAGTGGGCAGTGGAGATTCCCCCGAAGGCCAATATCCACGATGATCTGGGCCCTTCCATGTTGAGTCCTTTGCACTCGTGACCAAGTTAACTTACCACGTAGTATCTTTCGCCCTTTCGAACCACGCGCTGGTCAGATTTCAGAGTCATCGCCTCGACCCGCTTCCAAAGGACTTACAGGGAGATAGGTAATCCCCGGCAAACATCCATCAATCAATTGACTACATCAAACACGCTCTGGCACAGTCGGCCCCTGACTCTTCCAATGACGACATCTATGTTTGTAGGGACCGAGGTAGCTAGTCCCTTGGGACACTGCAGTTGGGACACCGCAGCAAACAGACACCCAACACTCCACTCTTACAAAATGATAGCATTCGATTTGTTTGTCAACCGTATCTCCCTTCCCTAATCTGCGCCAACCCCTTCACGATGACGTATATCTGAAACTTCCCCAGATAACAAACATTCCGTCTATGACGATGCAACGCAAGCCACGTTCACTCGTCACACATTCCAGTTGACCGCTCTAGCTTCACTTCACCTCGAGGATCGCCAAATTGGATCGGAACCAAAGCCTTCGTCCCAGTGCAATCCCACACCCAGCCTGTCCTCTACACTACAAAGGGCAACAATCTGCATTAACTTTCATGCTTCGGCTCCGAGTCTGACTTCCCCGCCGTCGAATAACTCACCCATTGCCAAGCACGTCAAATTATGTGCCTGCCAAGGGGCCAAGGAGCCAAGACGCTGAGAAACCAAGAACGCATCGTAGATCACTTGGCCAGGAAATTCATTCAGCAAGGCTGCGCTGACGTTCTCAGTCCGTACACTGTATTGTCCATTGATGACACAGATATCAATTATTCGTCTACAGTTAATCTCCCAGCCCCCCTCAAAATCATCACATGGGCAACGGGCCAATATCCAAGCAAACGCTTCACCATCCACAATGTCTAATAGATTTCCGTCTTCCCCTCGGGGATTGGTCTATGGCGACTCTTCTTCTTCTTCCATCTACTTCTCGCCACGAAAAGAATTCTCCATAATGCAAACACTCTTTCGAATCGCCTTCCCCAACCGCTCATTCTCAATAACAACTAATTTCGCTCCATCGCTAATGCCCGCAAGACAACCTAAACATGCGTTTGTGTAGCACAAAATGAAACCACAACCCTCTTGCGACGCTGATAAACTGACACAAGGTCATCCAGCCTCGTGTCCTGTTTTCCCGTCGCTGCTCATGACAATAAAATTCCACAGACTTTCCATATCGACTAAGGTATGTAGGAGAGAGAGTAAATGCCTTCCGGGACCACCACCTTAATTCCAATCTCGAACCCTTGCGCCGTGACGTGCATTGCGAACCGGAAACGACTGGCTACTTTTGTTGCCATTGGCGCCCTCGGATTCGTCCCTCATTATTGATAGCTGCTTGTGTGGTCTTGCACGACCCCGGAAGACAGGTAAAGATATTATGGCATCCAACTTGAAAAAAAACATTGGTGCTGAAACGTCCAGGTGTCAAGAATCTCGACTGTTTCGGAACGCCGCAAACTCCGGGGTGCTTCTCGCGCTATTCATCACCGATCCTCGCCGCCTCGGGCTTTCCCTCGTCTCCTAAAGAAGTCCATAACTCGCTTCGCGGCTCCACTGCTCCCTTCATGTCCTCGGTACTCGTCCTGGTCGTACGCATCTGTAAATCGTTTGTGATTCTTGTGTAGCACTCCTCGGTTTCCTTGACTGGAGCCAACAGGGCGTCCGTCGTACCCCTCAGACTCCGAGTAATCCGCCTGGTACACTCTAGGTCGGGGCTCGGTTGGGGGTCGTCGCATATCTACCGAAGACTCGGATCCCGAGTTCAGGTGGGCTCCCTGGACGTATGATGGGATTGCAGTGGGTCGGCGGTTATCCATTTGCACGGATCCATACCTCTGGTGGTAGACAGGGCTTGAGTTGGCCCTCTCTTGTGGGTGGTTCAGATCAGATACGGCATCAAAGTAAGGTTCGCTCTGGCGGGGCTCCTCATGGTTGCTGTAGCCCAATGGCGCATCGTTCCGGGGGTTTTGAATCGGGAGGTCTGCCTGAGAGTCCACTTCTGAGGGCGGGGCGCTGCCGTGATCCTTACTTAGCCCCATGGCCTTGGCCAGAGAGAATCGTCGGCCCTTTGACTTGTCTCCAGAAGCCTGTGAGCGAGGAATACTTCCACTCCGCTTCTTTCCAAGTCCGAGGGAGAAAGATCGGCGAGAGACCCTAGAGTCTATCGAAGGCCTTGGACCAGCCTCTTCACCAGGGAGCATCGTGTGCGACATGCTGACTGGAGGATATTTTCTCGACTTGTCAACCTGCGGCGGCTGCTCCGACCTCTTCTTACCACGACCACCAAACAGAGATCCACTACGACCCATGATCTTGGAGCCAAGGTCTCCAAGAGTATTGGATCGCTTGTGCCCCCTGCCGTCGCGCTTGGGCTCGCCCTGGAACGTCATCTTTGCAACCTTGGGCGGAACACTCCCAAACGTCTTGCCCATGTTCTCGTCGTCCTCGGCGTTGGATGGCTGTTGGATTCGTCCCTGCGCATTGGTGTCGGCGACCGCGGGAGGTACAGGCTGTCCATAGGTCGGACGGGACTGCATAGAACCACCTGTCTGAGGCCTTGTAGCCGCGTTTATGCCAGCCATATACGGATTCTCGGGAGCAGTGCGTGTATCTCGGGTCGGCCTGGACGGCGGTGTGCTCTTGTGCGCGCTCGGGGGTCGCTTCGGTGCCGTCGACTTCGGGGTGATGTCTTTGGCCACTGGCGGATCTCGAGGCAATGGCTTGTCGGTAGACAACGCGGTACTGGGGGAGTCGACAGGACCCTGGGAGTTGGATCGACCCCGGGATTTCGGAGTCGAGCCATCGGCACCGCGCTGCGTCTGGGTCGTGGGCGCCACATACTCCACTTGCACGGTTCGGCGCTTCGCATCCTTAGGTGTACGGCGGTCGGCGGTCTCTGCTTCAGGATCGATGTTACCATGGGTCTTGGCCAAGCCTCCCACGACGGGAGGATGAGCCTGCTTTTGTTTGGCAGCCTCGCGAACCGACGAGCTTCTGGCGACCATAGGAGCCTCTGCTGCATAGTCGGCGGGTGCAGCACTCGAATTCTGAACATCTGAGGGCAAAGTAGTCGAGCTGGTGATAAACTCGACGAGCTGGGCATATTCGCTCAACCAGCTATGACGAGCCACCTCGAACAAGTCCGCTCGCTTTCGGGGGTTGGGGACCAGGATTCGTCGTAGGAGATCTCGAGCATGTGGCGTAACGTACTCGGGGAAGGTGAGAGGAGTGGTCACGATGTATTTGTAGAGCAAGTTGATGTTGTCGCCTTCGGGGTTGGCTGGGTCGTCGTCAAAAGGCAGGTAACCGGCGAGCATGGCATACTACACATGGCCGTTAGCGCTAGTTCAACAGAACACAAAGGCGAGACACTTACCAGAATGACACCGCAGCTCCAGACGTCCACCTTTCGCCCGGTGTAGAGAGAATCGCTGACAACCAACTCGGGAGCCGCATAGCAAGGACTTCCACAGCTAGTCTGCATGAGATCACCCTTTCGAGATCCATTCGGCTTAATGCGATCCAGACCCATTCGTTTCACAAAATCCCTGTCGGTCAGGTTAAGCTCCTCCTCATCGCTAAGATCCTCATTCGAATCGAATGTGTTGGCAAAGCCGAAATCGGTAATGATTATGTTTCGGTTGCGGTCCAAGAGCAGGTTTTCGAGCTTGAGATCTCGGTGAACAATTCCCTTCTTGTGGAGGTAGCCCACACCAGAGACGAGTTGGGCGAACAAACGGCGAGCAGAGTGATCCTTCAGGTATCGGTGGTTGAGGATGTAGTCGAAGAGCTCGCCGCCCGACGCATACTCAAGGATGATGCCAATGTGCCTGTCGGTCTCAACCTTATCAATCAAGCGAACAATGTTTGGGTGTGAGACGCCGCGGAGGATAGCGACCTCACGGTAGATCTTGGCAAATCGAGACGGGTTGGTGCCAACACTGTCTCTCTTAATCAGCTTGATAGCAACCTATTCGCAATGGTTAGCAAAAAGAAAAGAAAATCTTAGACAAGAGGTACAAAGCGATTGCTTACCTGGACTTGGCTGTCCTGCTTCCAGCCCAGCTTGACCTTTCCAAACTCGCCCTCTCCAATGGTGTTGCCCAGAATGAAGTCACCAAACTTTGTATTTCCTTTGTGGTTTCGGTTGCTGTGATCATGTCGACTCCTACCACCTCTTCGCTCCTCATGGTCGCCGGATGAGACCACAGGGGGTGGTGCGGCATCGTCCTGGGATGCGACATGATTGCGGCTGCGACCGTTGACATCTTCGGAGCCTGCGATGACCTTGGAAAGGGTATCGGTAGCTTCTTGTGTCGGTTTCGAGGGTGTGCTGTGAGCGGATCGGATGGGCATGGTGGTCGTGGCTCTGCCATCCCGGCTACTAGATCGGCCTGGCGAATCCTGTGCCACGTGAGAATTGACTGGTTTTCTGCTCTGATGCCCGTTCTCGGCGGCCGCAATAGGATTGCCTCGTGAGCCAGACCGCGGGGGCTCCGTCTGACCGCGCCTAGGGGAGTTAGACATCTTATCGTTGGAGTAGTTGGCTCTTCGCGAGTTGCCACTTTGATGGTTGGATGAAGTCCTCGGGGGGGCCGTTGGAGGCATGTTGGCGAGTTGTTCGGACGAGGGCGACTGTTGCTCGGGGGATGCGGCCGTGTTGGCGGCCTGGTTCCCGAAAGCGGGAGTTAGATGATAGGTAGGCGAGGGTGCGTTTTCGCTCGTCTTGCGTGATGGAGGGCGTCTCGACGATGGGGATGCGGTCGAGTTCTGCTGAGCATTGTATGCCTCCCTGGACGGAGACGAATGCTGGGGCCTGTACTGGCGGCTCGGCGGCGACGCCAGAGGAGACGACGCCAGAGCGGTGTGCTGATGGGTGGCTGTTTGCAATGCAGCCGACATTTTCCACGCCCAAACGCGTTAAAAATCGAACGGGACGGGGTCGTTTGGAGATCGCGAACAGGAGGAGCGAAGGCGTCAGCGGACGAGAGTTTGGCAGTGGCGCTGGAAAAAATCAAGGCGGCGACGCGAATATGCAGGATGAGATATCTGGCCGTTTCAGACAAGAGTTTTTGGGCTCGCGGCGCCGGGGGGAAAACGCGGCCAGCGAATCGAGAACGGGGCGGTTGAGACGGAGACGGGGACCTAGAAAGTACCAATGAACCGGCCTCGACTATCTCATGGTGCGTGGAATCGGTCGGCGGCGTGCGATTTGTCGATGCGGTCGCTCTTGGTCCCAAGGATAGGCGGTGTCCCCTGACTGGGCGACGGGCAGGACGCGCAGGCGGAGGCGGACTACTGCGGTAGGGGGAGGGAGAAGGGGATTGGGGCGGCGGCGGGCGTGGTGTTGTTGCTATTATTGTTGCTGCGGCTGATGCTGCGGCTGGTGCTGCACACACTTTCGAAGCAGGACAACCACACAACGCGCACACGGGAGGGAGAGGGACGGAGGAAGAGGGAAGAAGGGGATCGGCCGGGGCAAGGCTGAAGTAGATGGAGTAGAGGTCCGACAAAAGGCTCTGGCCAGCCGAATGGGGTGAGAACGAGGTTGAGATGGGGGCGCCCGAGGGTGGAAGGGAAGAGACTCGGGCGCCAGGCGAAATTGACGAGATGAGACTTGGGCTGCAGCTGTGGAGCAGTAAATTGACGGGCTACAAGGGACGCTACGGGGGTGTGCCCAGGTACTGCCCCCCCTGGCCAGCGGTCCTCCCCAAGCGGCCACCTGCAACAACGAGGTCCAGGTACCGGCTGAGGCACAGCAGGTAAGTACCCAGCGGGCGCGAGGGTGCGTCGCTCCGCCGGCCTTGGGCGCTAGATTCAGGGGCGGCGGTACCTGCAAGCCGCCGTTCCTGCAGGTACCGGGGGAGAAGCCAGGAAGCCAGGAGCCAGGTGTCCACCAGAAACATCCATACCTGCGCCTAAACCCACCACGGGCACGCTGGCAGCACCACGCCGCCCCGTTCTGCGATGAGGAGGATGGATGGACATGAAGATGGACATGAAGATGGATACGGAAGACGAGGTGCTCTACTTGCGCCCTTAGACATTGACCTACTACGTACCCAGGTAGTACTTAATTGCCGGATATCGAGGTGGATGGCCCGTGACACGGTGTGGACCAAGTCTCAGAGTCCTCAAAGTCTCAGACCTCCAGTGTACTCATCCTCTTCTCCATCGCAAAGTACCTCATATAACCATACACACACACATGCCCGCACACACACGAATTCATCCGTCACGCTGCATCGTGGTCCGGGCTCATTGACTTTTCAGGGAACTGGGCGGTTTGTGAAATTAAGCCATGCAATGCCTCATCAGCGCCCCGACTGCACAAACTGGGCCATCAGCCAATGCGCCCCCGTTTGGTTCTCCGCAATCTCAGCGCTCCCGTCTCTCGTTTCCGTTTTGCCCTTCCCAATGGAACCTGCCTGCATTGGTAGCACATCAGCTACCGTCTGAAGCTAACGGCGACCGTCTTGTCTGACGTCGACTCCCGCGCCGGAATTGGTCTTAGGTCCATTGCACCTAAAACAAGCCCGGGTACGTACTAGACACCACGAAAACTTGACCGCCATGCGTGGGACGCCTCGATTTGGATGGACTCGGCACCAAGGGAGGAAGCAAGGGAAACAACATTTGGGGTTGATCTTCTTGGACTCTCTCCCTTCCCCAATTACCCCCAATAAACCAATAAATGATCCCTCTGGAAGGGAGACGCGGGTAGATGGGCTTGCTCCCCGTCCCTTCCATGAAGGAAGCACGTCCGCTCTCAACGGAGCCCGGTTTGTTATGGCCAGGCATTGACCAGTAATCTCCAGTAGTGGGCATCTTGACGGTGGTCTACTACGTAGTAGCTTGGCCCCAAAATGATTTACATAGCACATCACGATATATCGTTCGGTCACACCGCAGCTGGGGCCCAGCTTTTGTGATGATGCCCTGTGCAGCGCAGCACATTGAGGCGCCCTCCGAACAGGGCAGCACAGGGGCTTGCAGGGAGACGTAGAAAGTCTTGAGCCAAGAAATGGTGGAATCCGGTATATCTCAGCCATCTCTCGCTTTCTCGGTCAGGTATGGAGAGCGATCTGCAGGCTGAAGCAGGCTGATGCCGGAAGGTGTTGTTATTATTATGATTGATATTGCGCTTCCGCATCCCACCTATTCCCTCCCATTGGACCCAGGCTCAAGCTACTTCGCACCACCAACACTCGGAGCTTGGGTCTGCACATTACTCGGAGACACGTCTCAACCGACGCCGTCGCGTCGTAGTCCTCCCCTTCGCATCGCTCTCACCGAACCTCACGCGCCCAGCCGAGGAGCTCCCAGTGCTTGGATTTGCAAAGTGCACTTGCGCCTAGCCCGGACAGACATCCGACTGACCAGGTCTAACTCTCCAGCATCATGGTCCCCCTCGCATCACCAACATGGCCCAGCGGAAAAGCCTGTCAACCTGTATATTAGCGCTGTTCCCACCCATCGCCGGCTAGCATGAGCCCTGCAAAATAGTCCCGGCGACGTTCCCACTTCTTTCGAGAAGCCCGAGTAGAAGCCAGATTAATCATTAAAAAGTCCAAGCCTGGGAGTACGTGCACTGAGCCGTCCGCATGCGATGGGCGGAAGAAATGCATCTGGCATGATGTGGGTGATGGGTGATGGTGACGGGTAACAGGGGCCCCGGATTCATCTCGTCGTCGAAGTCACTGACTGGATCGAACCACTGCACGAGAGACGGAAGAAAGAGAGAGAATGTCCCTCGGAAACCCGAGACCAAAGACACGAGGCGGGACGAGACGGGATGGGATGAGATGAGATCCTCGTCGGGCCGTGATGCGCTGTACGTACCGGAGGAGAGATGGTCTTCTTTTCTTTTTCTCCTTCTTCTCTCATTCTGTTCTGACAATTACTCGTCCGAAAACTCGCTTCTGCTTACCATGGTACTATTGCCGAGCTGCATCTCGGACAGCGCACATCAGCTCTGCCTTTACCCTGGTCATATACAATATGTACGTGAGCTGGACTGGCCAGGTTCAGGGTTCAAGGCCACGGCCTCATCCCAATTGTCTCTCCAGTCTTCTGGACGCGGCCCTCCGTCCGTCCACACGTATTACACAGCCGACACTTTGCTTCTTTCTTCCTCCCTCCCTCCATCAAAGCAAGCACAAAAGTCAACGCATCCGTGCATACGGCACCCGCTCCCTACGTCGCAATTACGTCGATTGCTTTTGTGAGCTGGCTGTCATCTCGTGGCTGGGCGCACGTTCAGCCCAACCCGCGAGCGCCATGTCACCCTTTCTTTTTCCACATCCGTCTCCGATGGTCTCCGTAGGGAAGGCCTCTCCGCCGGAGGACCGCGTCAGTCGCATCCGGATCCCTCTTCCACCGTCCTTGGATCCATGGGAAATCTTCCCGGACCTGACCTCGCGGACAACATCCAATAAGCCTCGTCAGTGCGCTGGCGAGGGATCACCGTGCCCATCCATGCTCGTCCCTTCTCTTGGGACCTTGGTTTCCCTCTCGTCCACTCTCACAAGTAAGTACCTGGTCCGAGCCTTTTGTTTGCGAGACCCCCAAACGGCGAAATGCCCGGCTCCCTCTCAACCCTGGTTCCCTCTGAATCACGGGGAAATTTGCGCTCCTTTAGCCTTCCACTCGCCAGGGAGCGCGTGCCCCAGTCGCTTCGGCTACCCTGGTTTAGGTCTCCTTGCGATTACCCCGTGTCCCTCTGTTTGGTCAATCTTGTATGTTCTGCTTTGCAGATGGCTCGCTGGACTAATTATGGCTTTGCCATTCCAAAAGAGTGAATTCTCGTAGCCTCTAACAATTAGTTTCGATGGCCATCCCGAGACACTGGCCTTTGCCCTCTGAAACACCCTAATTTGCATCTCCAATGTTCCCACGCTCGCCACAGACCACCGTCATCCATCACCTCGGACCAGAAGAAATGGAGACAATAACAGCATGGGAATAAGAAAACAGGGAACTAGCGAGATCCTCGTATCGTCTCTTCTGGTCTCGCCACATCTGCGTACGATTGAATCGCGTCTGGGGCGTAATTCTGTGTTTGCCAGTTTTCGTCGCATTTGCATTTCGCCAAGCTTGCGGCCGACTAGCATTAAGGTCGGAGATGAGCTGCATCCGACGACAGGGATCTCGCTGACGTTGATCTGAGCCTGGGCTGCGTCGTTGGCATCCGTTTCAGACGTCATCTTCCGGCATCACCGTCTCCCGTTGGAAGACGGACCGGATCTACATGGCACGGTCCTTGTTATCATGCTCTTGGCTGATGGCCGACAGCTGGTGGCTGATGCTTGATGCCTAATGGGGTTGTTGAAACCACTCCGGCAGCATCTATCAAAGTGTCAACGGCGTACTACGCAGAATGACATATCAGAAACGTGACCAATATTGAGTGCTTGGCCGCTACGGTCCAGGATCCGAAGTCACCCGTCCATCTGTCACCATTTGCGCCGTCCCACTGCTTCTCGACCGAGGCCAACAGCTGCGCCACCGGCTACGATGCATGTTCATGCAGTTGAAACGGAGCTCACAGCAGCGTCGCATTAAAACGCGTCGCGTCCATCCCATCCCATAGGCCATTGGTTACAGGCAGTTGATGGGCCAACATTTGGTCCCAGCCAATCACGACTGTGCAATACAGATGTGTGTTCCGCGCATCTTGAATATACATAGCTCCCTCGCGATCGCATTGCATGTTATCGATCGTTCATCTCAGAATCTACAACCCTGGTCCTCACTTGCCATCCGTATCCACCCTCAAAACGTGACGGCATTGCTCGCAACTACCTCATGACTTGTCCGCTTCATCACGACGGCACCCATTGGCTTTCTGATCTCGGTCGTGTCGGTTCGCTCCTCCGGACAGCCGGGCCGTCATGCATAGGCCAACCCCCCGGGCCATCCGGGGCCGGGAACAAAGAAACTTTTAATGCAAGAGTGATTTGCATGTTGAATTCAGGCAGACTCCAATCGGCCGTGCATGCTCACACCCAGGCGTCGGAGGATCGCGGGGAGTCAATAGCACGCCACCAATATATCTCATGCATTTGCTCCTCTAAAGTTTGATGGAGATGTTGTAGTGATCTAGTCCCACGGCAAAGCCAGTAACAGTTGCCATGTACCCGACCAGTATCCCGATGGTCGTCACTGGTGTCACATCCAGCGTCCGAACCGTCAGGTTGACCAGGCCAGTCAAAAGATTAGCCAGCAAAAAGACGGCCAGGCCATTGCGGTTGTAGGCTCGCATCACCCGGCTTGTTGCCTTCTCATATGCCTCCTTCTCCGTTTGGGGGTCCGCGGCATTGTAAAATGCCGGGAAGAAGACGGTGTCGACTACACAGAACCCGAAAAGCTGCAGAGTGTTGAAGGCAACAACCCAGAGCACGTATGGCAAGTTCGCCATCCGACGAGAAACTAACAGCCCGAAGCCATAGGTGTAGTTCGTGGACAGTAGGTATAGACCGGTCCAGATGCCTCCCCACACAGCCATGGTCATCAAAAGGGTGTTCCGCTGAGCACCGGGACTGGCCTTGCTCCTAGGAGGGATGTTGCGGGGGATACAGAACATACCCGTGTCTTGACCAGCGAGGAAGATGGCCAGATATCCGAAGAAGCTAAAGATGCCCTCTCGGTTCATGGAAATGAGGTCTGTTCTTGGCGCAGTGAGGATGAACGCTTTGAGACTGGTCGTCTCAAGGAGGACCTGGTAGGTGACACCAACCAGGAGAGACAACGCCGCAAAAGAGGGAATCACTCGCAGAGCTGACTGGAAAAGTGCCACAAAAGGGGGCAAGAAGCCTAGCGTGAAGAAGAAATTCCAATGAACTCCGTACTCTGTCACATGCTCTGCGTAGTCCAGGCCCTTCACACTAAGGAACCTGATCACGCCCAACACCAAGAGGGGGATGGAGTGACGCATCGAGTATAAAATTCGATAAAGGAGCGGCGTTGCCCGGCCTGTCGTGCGACCTATCATCCTCTCCTTCAAAACAGGGCGAGCTGCAACGACGCCACCAGAGAAAACAAAGGACCCGACACCCAGGTCCATCAGGGAGGTGCCCCATGTCTCCACCTTGGCAAAGCGCCTAGGGAAGAGGCGAAAGTCGACAGCCAGAATTGCGATACATGTCACAATCATCATGCTACCGCGGTACGTTGTGAGGAATGGCTTGGTGGAAAGACCATCCTGGTTCCTCGAGCCGGATCTGGCCCGGGCGGTCCGGGGAACCTTGGGCTTCTTCTTTCGTCCAATCGAGTTTGGTGGGAGGGTGAAAATTAAGACGGCTGGCGCGATCAGGAGTAGAATGAGGAGGAGCGGAGAGTTCGCGTAGAGTGTCGTGGAGAGGAGGATGGCGCCGACATTGAGGAGGAAATCGACGGCAAAGGCGAGGATGGTGTACCGCTGAAAGAAGGACTGGCGGGCCTGAAGGACAGACCAAAGAATGCATGCGACCTGAATATGGATCAGCTTGACTCTCTCAAAGGAGCGGGGGAGGTGGACTGACGGCCGCGACGGATGTCACATAGTTGATTTCCGCGACGGAGCCCCCCGAGAGGTTGGAGACGAAGTCCTCCTTCAACTTCTTGTAGCTAGCGGGATCAGACATGGCCAGCTGTTGGAATCATAAGAGAGGCGTAAACTGGCACGGCATGGCCTGGTCACGCTGTCACTTAAAAAGAAGCGACGCAAGACGACACTTGTCAAAATCGACAAGGAGTGTGGAACTCAGCCTTGTTGGCGATGGTGGCCTGGAATAAGGACCGCGGCAAATGAGGCTGTCCAATGAAGAGCCGTCTTGCGCGCACGGCTGGTGCCCCCGATCACGCTATCACGTGCACCCCTGAACGACATCCCGACACACCCTTCACGGGCGTTCACTGTTAGATACAGGGCAATTCACGGAGATGACCTCTACAACAAGGTTCAAGGCTGGCACAAACGCTGCTTCAGCCGTTCGGCCACAGTGTGACTCCTCAGGCCTCCGGCTGCCAACCAAGTGGATTTGCGCCGGCGGCTGCACGCCTCTTTCTTTGTTCTCGGGTGTGGCAAACACGCACGCCCACACAAATCCGCAACGCCGGCGGCTTGCAAGCTTTGTTCTGTATTGCACGGCAAATGCTCTGAGGCCAGAGCACATCGACGGCGCAGTCGCCGCCAGAGTTTTGCTTCTTTGAGGACCAACGCCATTTCATTCCAGTGAATAAATGACTGCCTACCAAAGACTCAGGAGGGCACCCGTTTATCTTGAGTGTTCTCCTTTCTCCCCTTTGCCTATTTCCACCTCTTGGATTCCTCCAGTTCTCGCTCGTCTGCCCTTTCTCGGATCCCTTTTGTGAACCCAGATCCCGATCTTGCAACCATGGCTACCGCTTCAAGAGAGTCCCGGCCTCGTCCTGCCATCCAGCCCATCCGTACCACTGGACCTGGCCACAGTTACCAGACTGCACGGGCTCGGATGGCATTCAAAAGCCCTGCGTGGATGGCAACACCGCTGTCACCTCTGAGCCGTCCGTTGCCCATGTACCCGGACTCTGATGATGAGAGAATGAGAGAACACGACAAGGCGGCTGTGGAGCGTTTGGAGCTTCGCAGCCGCAAGTCGTCCAGTGCTGAAGGGTCTCCGCGGACCGTTGCCTTGAAACCCGTATCAGATTTGGCTCTCCCCACCCCGTTGTCGCTCGACGCTCGACGCTCTCCTCTGTCAGGCCCTGTCACGGGTCCCCTCTCGGGTCCCCTCTCGGGCCCTTTCATCCCGCCGTCCAGTCACCGAAGGTCAACCATTGCTGAAGAGTCGAGAAGCTTCTTGCTTCGGGAGTCCGAGGCAGATAGAACCAGGCCTCCACCTCGAGCCTTTGAGCGCAGAGGATCCGCTCCTCCCGGGGCGATCCTAGCGAGGAACATGCAACTTCAACGACAACTTGGGCAGCCTGGACGTCGAGGATCCATCGGTTCACATTCCCTCCGTGAGCCAGACCTGTTTGTCCTGCCAGTCGAACTCCGGCGACTCTCCACCATTGCAACTCCCAATAGCGATGGAGCCATTCCGTCGCCGTACCCCGTGGAGGGACGTCTCACCACCCGTGTCGTTATACATTCTCGAAACCAAAAGCCGCTTGTCTTGACGAGAACATTTGATCTTGACGAGTTGCGAGCTACCATCCCAAATCCAAGGCCCGTGCCGAGCGCTCAGTCCAGCCGCCGGTCTTCTGTGGCGACTCTTCGACCACCCACCAACACTCCTCAACCAACATCCCCTCCTTTGTCAGCTGCTCGCAAGGAGAGACGACACTCGACTGCTGGACTCTACGGCCTCGAACCTCATCGCTCTCCCGGCCTGGAAAGAAGGGCGGCTCGTCAAGTGTTGGCCCCTATTCCCATTCGTGAGTTACCCTATACCAATCACTAACATGGCAACTTCACCACACTTGACAACCCATTCCCCAATGCATCCTTCTTGTCTTGAACCTGGGACTAATAGTCTGTAGACCTCGAATACGCACGCACATATCTCCCTGTCCTCGCCGCTATCATCCTCTCTGCAATTGTCCAACCTGGAGATACAATCGAGCTTCCACTCCCATATCCTCGGGCATGGGCAGACACGATGGCCTACATTTACACGAGGCAATTTGTTCTCACCGACCGAATCCATGAGAACATAATATATTTGGGAGGAATTTAACGTGACAGTTTGTGGATTTCATGATAATGACAAAGTCGTAATAATGGTGTCTCGGGCAAGGAATCGAGTTTGATATTGCTGGGGTTGTAAACGAGGTTCCTAGCTTTTGATATTTCTTGTCATGCGTGGAGTTGTGTTACAAATTTGATCATGGAACGGGATTTTTTTTTTTACAATAACTTGACAAAATGGATTCAATGAAGGCAGAGAAAACACGCTCTTGATCTGGTGTTCTCTTTCCTCTCCATGTCTTACCTGGAGCACATTTTCACTTGAGACTGGCCCGGCCCGAGACAGAGTATACAACGGCCTATTCTGTCTCAGTGCAGCATAAGACCCCCAACAATTCCAGGCTAAACAGCAACTCTCGAATAGATGCGGATCTGTTGGTGGCAGAGTCTTCGTCTGCCATCCCTTCATCAAGATGCCCGGTCCTAACCGCTCCCACACACACGTACAGTAGTAAACTGGCTGTCTCAGACAAAAGCCCTTTTCTGTCTGTTTTGGGCGTCTTACTGCTCAACCAGAGAGACATGGCATGCGGACTACGTCCCCCGTGCTCTACCCTCTACCCTCTACCCCACAGACGACAGGCCATGGTCACAATCTCCGCTGGTCAACACGAACACCCCCCCGGCATCATGAGTGGTGCAGCGGTGCACTGGTGCCGTATATTCGCGCGATGGGGTGGGGAGACAGAACGGCGCTGCTGCACATCATGGATGCGCGCGCCGCCCAGACCCGCTCTTGTTAGTCTCGCATGCGGTCCATTTGGTCCATTTGGTGCGCTGCGTGTGCAGGCATCGTCAGATAGAGCGACTCCCCCCTTGCGCCCCATGTCGCCCGCGGTGCAAGCCATCGCCATCGCCAAGCCCGTCGTCGCCCAGGCCAAGCGTTCACACCCCCCCGAATCCCGGGCCGGTCGGAGGAGGGGGAGGAGGCGTTGCTGCTGGCGCGGCGGCGGCGACGGCGGGTTGTGTTGTGTTGTGTTGTGCACTGCGTCTCGCTTGAGTCAAGTCGCGAGGTGGCAGCAGAGGCGCCAAACAGAGGGACAGAATCATGGACAGGCCAATTGCTGGTGCCGACGGCTTGCAGCAGCATCGGAGTTCCGCCGTGGCCGCGGTGCGTAAACAGGTGAGGGCGATTGGGCGAGCGGCCAGCATCACGGCTCGCAGGCGTGGTCGCCTTTGGTAGGGGCCCTGTCCTGTCGGAGGGTGGTCCGGGCCGGCGGCTACTGCGGCTCGGATTGAGGCCAAATTCCTAGTCCCCGAAGGATCGCGCACACGATGTCGATATGTACGCAGTATGTACGCTGTATGTATGTACGCAGTTATGTACGCAGCATGTATGCTGGACGGGCGGATGGCCCACGGCGCCAGGGCTCGCGGCCAATGCATGCCACAGAACAGAACGCACGACGGCCCACGAACGATGGTCGACGGGCGATGGGCAAAATCAGGAATCCCTCGGCCCCTTCAGAGTGGCGGCCGCCTGCCTCCGGCCCCGATGGTAAGCCGTCATGGCCCATGGCCACAGCCCACAGCGACAGCCCACAGCGCTGCCTCCACTTCCATCGCGAAATACCACCCTATCTCCAACCTGCGCTGAATTCGTACGTAGCACTGCGCTGCTTCAACTTCTCGTCCAGCGTCTAAGCCGCGCACGTGACGCGCTATACAGGGCACTACACAGGGCACTACGGACACTACGGACACTACGGATGTAGCAACGGGCGTACCATGCCTCATCTCGTTTCGTCGCCCGGAAACAGAAACAGCCGTGTGCTAGGGTAAGGGTGCCAGGCGGGTTTTCTTGTTTTCGTCGTTGATGGTGCTTGCGCTCGATCCCGGAACCAACGTCGGTCGACTTTCACTCTCTGTGGCGGTATTTTCTTTTGGTGTCACAGATGACCACCTGCTGCGGCAGATGCAGCCATCCCATCGCATCCTGCAGAACCTCCAGGGTACCTCGGATATCCGGTAGTTGCATGCCGGAGAAGGGGGAGAAGGGGGGGGAAGGGGGGTTAAGTGCATTTCATCCGAGTACGTATCTCGGAGGGATTTTGGCTATGGGGATTGGGGGTTCTGGATGCGAGGATGGGATGGGATGGAGGGGATGGATGGCGACAACACAACAAAATGCTGCGCCGTCCAACGTTCTCTCCGTCTCCGGCCGATAGCGAGCTGCAGCTAGACGCATGGGGGTCGATGTGGATAAGTTGGACGGCAGCGCGATTGAACCAACTAGCCAGGGTCGAAGGCATCGGGCAGGCTAATTAGTTGGCCCTGCTAGAGTCGCCCTGCTGGAGTCGCCCGGCGCAGCACGGAACTGTGCATATGAACTGCTATCACGGGATGTTGCTGTTGGCAGTGCGTCCGTCCACGCATCTTGTGGTGGGCGGCGACGGGTTGCCGACAAGGAAATTGCCAACGCCAATCATCAGATAAGAAAGATATCAAGGGCCAATTGGCTTTTTATTGTCAATGTAACCTGGAAGCCTTCGCCATCTATCGCCTCCTCCCGATGACGACGGCCGACAGAAAAGAGGTGCTGCAGCAAGGGCCCCAGACAGACCAAAGTTGTATTTGCGGTGCAGTGGATGCAAAAAATCGTCAATAGCATCTGGTCCCAACAGGGTGGCGAAACACCCAAACGCGACCCTCAAGCAAGGCCGAACCACCTGCAAAACTACTGCAACGATGAAGGCACTATCGGACCTACTTTTGACCTGGTTGCTTTGCCTCTGGGGAGCGTTCCTTGACCTACCAATCCATCGACGACGACGCATCCGCATCTGGGAAAGCCCATCGCTCGCCCATCTACACTTGGCTTGGCCAACTTGCAGCCAACTCGCAGCCAGCTTGCAGCCAACAGTCCCCATGCTAGCCGGGGGGAGGCATATTCGTCAATGCGTTTCCCGCGACGCGAGCCGAGCCCGCCCGTTTCAAGCGGCTCTAGTTGTGATCCCGGCTCTTGGTCTGTGATGCGGTGCATGCAACCCGTGCGGTGCGGGTTTTCCATCCTCATCCCATGCCCCCATCCATCATCCCCCGGTCCAAAGCCAAGGCGAGAGCTGTCCAAATCCCTGCTTCGGCCGATGGCCGGACGGCCTCCTAGTCCCCCTCCCCCGACCAAGGGCCCAGAGCCCCATCAAGGACCCCATACTGTCTGTATCTCATCGGGGGGCCGACATGGGCGGGCCACCAGCAGGGGTTCGCAATGCAGAGCCGCCCATCAGCGGAGCCGGCCTGCCCGCTCTTCCGCAGCCCGAGACGGGCCCTGATAGCATCGTCTCCTCAAAGGAACAGCTCGAGGGAACCCAGTGACACGAGCCTCATGTGGGTAGTCGTTCGAGTCGTGGGGCCGCCGGAGAGTTTGGGTAGAGGGAGGGAAGGGGGACGATCTCGCGAGAGCAACGGTGATCGGCCTGCTTCGTATACACCAGGATTCCCGCGTTGGACGTAACTCTGCCAGATTCTGTCACGTCCTGCATGGCTCGACTCAAATTGAAAGTGATATTCCTCTCGCGGAGGGAGACCCCGGCTCCACTGGGTCGACATGTCGGCGAGACATGTCGTGATGGGGTGAAGCCTCTGCTGTAGCACGTCACGCCTCGTGGCGTCCGTAATTACAACACCACCTCGCTCTCTCGACCCGGACCTGGACCTGGGGGATTTGCACCCAGGAGTCAGGACCTGCATCAAAAGACGCCCCGAGAGCGCAACAAACAGCAAGGGGTGACATCCTCCATGTCGGCTCTTGTGGGTAGCCTCGCCCATAGCTTACAAGTCACAACTGACCCCCGACCCCCCCCCCCGGCTTTGCGGCGCTTGCCAGAGATCGCCAGTTGCACTCTCTCCACTCTCCACACCCTCCCCTGCGTAGACAGTAGCTATTGTCCGTTACCCATGCCGATAGCAACTGGGATTTCTTGGCCCAGCCATGGATGTATTGTCGATATGGGTTTGATGACCATGCAGGAGGCTAGTGACAACTCACCTTGAAATCAGCCGCCAGCCGCCAGCCACAGGCAAGTCTGGGAGATTCAGGCACCATGCGATGCAGTGCCAGGTTCTGGACCGGAGATCCCTACCTCTGAAGCTGGCATCTCTTTGGCGTTGTATGGCTGTGTGCCGAGGCAGCGCTGTCCCCCCGGTACGCGTATCCCGAATTGCCAAACCGGGCGATTTTTCGGACTCGTCTGCTGGCTCTCGACATGCGTGCGTAGGTCACGCAGCATATGCCAAGTTTCCCCCCCTCTCGGGATAATCAAAGTCCCACCGCAGCGCAACATTTCGAGAACATGCTGAATCATGATCGTGTGCCAGCTCCCACCTCCGAGCACCCACGCGGTCCAATGGCGGTTGGCAGGTTACATCCTGTCAGATGTTCCGTGCAGGCCATGCCTATGGCATGCCAGGACTGCCATGTCATGCCGGCGCCACCTCCGCCAAATGTTTCCTGGAAAACTGACGGGAGGTTGTCTCCGGCATTCGGCAAACGGGCTAATGAAATGTGCCACGACAACAACGCAACGGAGGGAACACCCGCAACGGACAGAAACCCCCTCAAAAGAGATCGAACCAGATTGTCGCTAGTCCCAGAGCGTACAGGGCTTAATCAAGTGGAGGCGGAGGCTGGAAACCCCGCGTCAAAACGAGCAAGGAAGAGGATAAGGCAAGGTGATGCCAAGAGGAGAGAGAGGCGAAGCTGGGCAAGGTACCGACCCCATGCATCTGTTTTGGGTGCTAGTTAGTTATTGAGATAACCTACCAACCTGTATTACGCAGTAGTGTAGTTTTTGTAGGTAGGTACCAGGTAGCTAGCTCCCCTTGACTCTCTCTATCTGGCCCAAGCTAAGAAGCTACCCTAGTTTACGTCTTAGGTCGAACATCAACAGGCACACTCCAGCGAGCTGCGCAGCGAAGTGCAGGCCCCCCCTCTGTTGAAAATAGCCTCATTACGTACCTCGAATCCGCCCCCGCTTCGGCCTGCCTCTGATGCTTTCATGGCGCCTTCTGGCGCGCAGTTGCAGGCTAATTACAGTAAGGGCCAAGGTAATCAGGCTTGTCTTGGTTTGGTCGACGATGGGGGTCGCCGATGGGGCCGCGGTGACGCCAGAGAGGATACCGTACGATGGGCGGGCGGCGCGACATTTCGCAATTTGCGGGGTTTACCTTGAATTGCGACGAGGGACAGCCAACGGTGCGGTGCATCCCTTGCCCTTGTCCTTGTCCTTGCCGTTCCTTGTCCTTGCCCTGGTCGCTCTCTCGTCTTGGCTGTGCGGCCTTGGCCCAGCACGAGTTGGACTAGCCTCCAACCCCTCACTCTGTGTCTCACCTCAGTGTCTCACTGTCTCGCCGTCTTGCTGTTTAGCTCCATACTACTTGCAACTCCAACTAGGCCTTGGGTTAATGCAGCTCATCATCCTGGGATGCAGTTCGCTGTCCCCGCTCGAGCTATCTCGTCGTGGTAGGTCGTGCAGTAGCAGTGATTAGACGGGGCTAGACTATTTTGAACCGCTACGAGGGAATGGGCATGTGAAATCGAAATCGAAATGCCCCGTGCAGTCCAAACCAGAGAGGAATCGATATGGGAATGCGGCTAGGGTCATGCAGAGCTGCCGACCCCGACATGAATCGAACAAGGCAGGGCGGCATACGCGGGACACAGAAACGCCTGTCCTGCGCAACTGTACGAAGGATCGAGGTCCAACCAGCTCCCTACCCAAGTAGGCAAGACCCTGATTTCTGTCCGTCTCGGCAAGGCGCGGACGAAAATACCTACCTAGGTACACAGCGGCCGGCAATAAAGTGTCCAAGCTTCTGCGAATCCATCGCTAGTTAATACCGAGATCCCGCTATGGACGCCTCCTTACGTAGCCACCAGCTCGTCGTTGGGGGTGTCATTGCCTATCTTCACGACTCAAGCAGCCCGCCCCCGGACAACCACCAGCGTACCATCGGGCGGGAATGCTACCGCAACTCGCTCCTCCACCAACGACTGAACGGAACAAAAACTAGCCAAATTGGAACCCTGCCGGAATAGCCAATCTCAAACTCGCCTTTGCGTGCCCAATTAGGAAACTCTCCAAACCCACACGATGGACGATTGTGTGGGGGATTGGGTGGTGGTTAGGTGTGCATTCGCACTACACAAGCACTTGTACACATTCAAATCACCATAACCCTCACCACACACTCTCACACGCGAGCACTCACACCTTTTGGAAGTTCTCGGGCAGATTCCACTATGGAAAAGCCCGCTCATCCAGAACTACCACCACCACCACCACCACTATCGTGGCTTTCTCCATCAATTCATTCACCACCCACTACCCACCACACACCACATCCCACACACCACATACTGTCCACTTGCTGAGATCCAATCCGATGCCCTGTTGGACTGCAACTGTCAAAGCCCGGTCAGCCACCCGCACCGCTGACCGGAGATGCCTCTTCCCCAAGGCCTGGACGAATCTTCTCCCGCCTGAGCAACACCTACCCAGTGCCACACCAACGCCCGCTCCGTCTGCCGTGTAACACACACTCGCATCATCGAGATCCGCATCTGCAACAACACAACTCATTGGTCCCATGTCCTGCCGTGTCCCCCCCCCCTTGTCGTCGTGGCCGTGCGTAGTCGCTGGACCCCTAAGCACATGCCTGACTCCAAGCCAACGTCTAGTCCTGCATGTCGTCAGCGTCATCATAGTACACCCCCACCACCACCAGATCACCATTCACATTGGGCTTGTTGAGTTGCGTTCTCGAAAATTAGAGTCTCTTTGGTTTCTTGTACTCCTAGTCTCACAATCTTGACATCGTCGCAGGTCCTGGATCCCATCCATCTGAGTCCAAGCCTAAACCATGGCCCAATTTCCCACTGGGCCTTCCGTTGCGACGGGAAATTCAAAGCATCCCGCAAAACCTATCCCCCAAATGTATCGCAGACGAGGCTTGCCCGGCCCGGGTTCCTGCATCAAGGGGTCCTGTGTTTTCCACAGCCCTGTATGCTTCCCTCTCGCAAATTAGGTTCGGGCGCCCGCACCAGTTGTTCAAGTGTGTCTGGTCCCCTGCTTTGGAAATGTCCCATTCCGCAACAGCAGACACCTCTTTTTCTTCCTGGTTCCGGCCGGCAAAGCGTTTTCGTCGTCCAATGATGGAAAGCAAAACTTTTTCAAACACCTGTAACACCCCGGACCTGGACCCTTCTTTCATCCCTCCCGGTCCGCATGTTCTGTGCCCTTTTTGTGTTTTTGGTGTAATGCGAGTGATGAAAAAAAAAGGCGAAGGATTTATTCATCCCAGTGATCCCTGTCGGTTTCTAGGAAAACCGTTGACGCGAAGGGAAAAAAAAAAAGAAAACGTTGCTCATGGCTCATCAAAGTCGTTTCGCTGGCATTACATTGCCCGGCACTCTCCACTGGCCAAATTTTCATTCGCGCGTAGTTTGGAGTCGTCAGGTGTCATTGTCAGCGGTGTCGGTACCCGTATCGGCATGTACGAGGTACTCGAGTCGTAGGCGGCATAGCCGCTCTTTTCCCAGGAGCCATCCTGTGCTCCCCGTCCTTGCGCCGGTCGTCCCTTCTGACGGGCGTTGTAGCGGATGAGCGATCCCTTTCCAGGGGGCGTCTTTAGCACAACGGAGGGTTGCGGGGCCGGAGCCAATCGCTGCGCATCGTTGGTGTCGCCATCAGCTCGGCTGCCCCAAGACGTCTGGATAAAATCGGGTCAGTCAAGTAAAAATTTGCATTCGAGGGAAGAAGCGTACCATATTAAGCGTCACGAGAGCATAGAGCTTCACGAGTCCGTGGAAATACCCAAACAGGATTGACACGGGGAGGAAGACGACGTCGCTGGGGTTTCGCAGGAACAGCCCCATCAGCTTGACCACCTTGGTGAAGGCGAACATGAAGACGAACTGAGACCAGAAGGCGTATCGGCGACTCTGCATGTCCCACTCCGCAGTCGCCCACCAGCATGAAACAAGGAGGAGAGGGTCGACGAGGAATGCCAAGGAGGTGAAGGTTGCAATGTGCAGCGAATAGGTGCACCACCATTGCTGCCTGGGTTAGGTGTTAGTAGTATTCTCAAGATATCGCTGGATGTTCTTGACTTACTTCCAGATGTACCTCTCAGTGACCAGGCTAGTCCAGTTGCTTCGCCAGTTGCTTCGGGCCCAACGGGAGCACTGGTACAGAAACTTGTGGCTGTTCTCTAGGGTGGTCTCGATCTCGCACTCCCGGTCGTACTGGATCCAGGTCTTCCACTGGTGGCTGACCAACCATCGAGTAACAAAGTTGTCGTCGTCCGCGTTGAGAATCCACTTTCTCCACTTCTCATTCTTAAAGCCGTGGAGGAAGTCGTGACTCGACAGAATCTCGGATCGATAGGCGCCAGTGCGCCCAGACATACAGGAGGTACCGCCGTCGATGTTGTGCGTGGCTGAGATCTCAAAGTTTCGGCGTTCGATATAAGCAGCTCCGAGCCAGTTCCAGGCCCGAGTGGCCCATGAGCCAGTGTGCTCTCGCCTAACTCTCTGGCAAGTTCCAACGCCGCCAATCTTGGGGTCTTCAAAAGGTGCGAGGATCCAGGGCATGAGGGTGGATGGCCAAGTCACATCGTCATCGGCCATGATGGTGATTGGAGTGGAAACCTTGGGAAGGGCCTCGCAGACTTGGAGGCGCTTGTTGGCGATTGGGGTGTCGAGGACGCGAACCTTTGGGTGAGCCAACGAGTCGGCCAAACGCTGCAGACCCTTTCGTTTGTCGTGAGTGGTAACAAGAATCAACTCGGCGGGCTGGCAAGCTAGGATGCTCTGAAGAGATGGTCGGAGTTCCTCAAACGCGTTATGAATGGTTGGAATGACCACAGTCACATCCTTGCTCGTGAAGGTTGGCTCGCTTGGAATGGGTTTCGACTTGTACGTCCAATGGCTGACGCACTGGACGAGTAAACGGAGGTAACGGTGAATCCTGCCATGGCGTTAGGATGTGACTGGGAGCATATGGAAATCGATATGCGGGTGACCGTCCAATGAGATGGTGATCGGGCAGCTGAGGGTGAAGGGAGTGGGGAGCGATGGAAGTGAAGGGGGGGTGAGCAAGTCGGCTTACCAGAGGGCCAAGAAGAGGTACACCCAGAAGGTGGTCGAGTACCAGAAGTCGAAGGATGGGAGCGAGAAAGACAAGAGCCCAGCGAGTCTGGAGACTGCGCTGTGGCTCATGGTCTCGTCCTCGGGATTGAGCATCTTGAGATGGAGGAGTTTGACGGGATCGAAGGATGCGAGCTCGCAAAGGGTGCTGTTTACCCCTCCGTGGCTAAACAGAAAGTGGAGAGGCACGGTGGCAGTTGGTTGCTACCAGTCAGGAAGTTCTCTTGTGTGAGGTTCCTGATCAGTGCGGCCACTGCCTTTGAGGGTGTTGGTGAGGGAGAAAAGAATCCAGCCGAGGGAAATGGTGCTTGGAATTTCTTTTAAAGTGGGAAAAAGAGAAAAGTCGGTTCTTGTGATCTCGCGTAGGTATGAGTAGCAGTGATTCACTGTTAGGGCTTGGGTTGCGGCAAGGTGAAGTGAATCAGAGACGCTGAGAACCGAAGCAAAACACGATGCGCCACAGACACACACCAAGAGGGCCGCGAGGGGAGAGGAACCGGAGGGGAGGGGGCAAGACAGTAATGTACAGAAGGACTGAAAAAGGACTATGTAGACACGGCCATGGGAGGATGAATTGGCCGATGAATGAGAGAGGGAGGGAGGAGAGGAGGTCGTGGCGATGATAGCAGTTGGGGCCAGGTTGGGGGAACGGGTCTAGGATATATACTTAGGACCGACCCCGTCCTACAAATGGGTCATGCATGAACATGGAGAATAGAGGGTCCCTGAGGCCAGCCAAGGCAACATGTGGTGGCATAGTTGATTCGGCCTGTACGTACAGACAAGCGCGCATCTTTTCTGTCAAGATTGATCTGGTCTGGACAACGGACAAGACGGCAGGGGTGCATTGGCCCTGCGCCTATTGCATTAGGACGGTGGGGAGCGAGGGGTTGGAGGGTTGGAGGGACCCATGTATGGCGGCGGCGGCTCGACTTGGAGCAGAGGGCATCGTTAGTAACCCAGTGAGGGAGGGGGTGTGCGTTGACATTGAAGACTGGGGCCCTAGAGGCGTTGCGACCAGACATCCAAGTCCGCTCAAACGCCGACCCCGGCCAGCCGGCCGCCAGGGTCTTTAGTTGTTTTGTTGTTGCTGTTTCTGCTACTACTGCGGCGGTTTCGCGGCTGCCAGGACATCCATGAGCCATCCATGAGCCATCCATCCATCGAGGCAATTAGGTCGGCTCTGCAGCACCGGCAACATGGCGGGAGGGTGACTTGCTGCAGACCCTTGTTGAATTGTGACGACTCCCAGGGCCGCTCCAGCATTTCCCTTCACTCCCTCGAGGGTCAGATGCGCGCTGTGGCGTGTACTGAACTGGCGCATGAGGGCCATGTCTCGTGCCAGAATTGCTCGGCCGACGGCGACATCGTACTGCGTAGTAGTCATCGTTGACTGTCGCCTCCGGGGTCAGAGGGGTTCAATGGCGTCGATGGCGACGGGCGGGAGAGGCATGGCCTGGCTCGTGTTAGCGAGTGGGACTTGGTGTGTGCGCGAGTGAGCGAGTGAGCGCCTGCAACTGGGGGGGGGGGACCACTGACGAAAGACGATGAGGCAAATCAGAGGACCAGGCGAGGCATCTAGTAATTAGTGGGGAGTGGAGATGGGGAGGAGAAATGGAAGAGAAGAGAGGAGGAGTGAGGGGAGAAAACAGTGGGCGACTCAGCCCAGCCCGAGACCATGACCCAAGGCAAAATCCACGCCCACTTACTCCTACGCTCGCGATGTGCAAAGTACATTTCAAAGTTTCAATTCCTCTGCGCGTCTGCGCCTCTCTGCTGCGGGTGAACCCCGTGGAATCTGGTGGACACCAGCGGATGTGGGATAGGATGCGGCCCCATGTAGTATCCTGGAGTTGTCGAGAGAAGAGGAGACGGACCCGACGCAATTGTCCAACCAGCTTCGGCAATGGAGAGAGATTGTCAAAAAAGCATTGGATGTTGCATACGACGTAGTACGACGTAGTACCTTAATTCGCATGGATGCAGGAACTGCCCCCCCAGCGCTTGCGGTGGGCACGTATGTTGAAGAACAACATCACACACGCTCTGTGGTGGCTATTGTGGCTATGGCAAAGCAAGGCAGCTTAGCTAGGTAGGAGGTGTTCGCGTTCGTTACTAAGGCACCTTTCGCGTCGTTCTTTCTCTAGTCAGTTAGTTGCCAACACCCCGTACTAGCCAGCTTGTCTTACCTCAGACTTGGCGGGCCTTACCTGGCTTGGATTGGGATATGCCGAGCTCTTCGGAGGGGAGGGGAGGTTGTTGTGGTTCGGGTCGTAGCAGTTAGCAATGGATCCGTGGCAAGGCTCGGCTCAAACCTGCTTTCCTCGCTTCATCCAGACTACCTAGGTACCTTCCAGGTTCTTGCCTTGAGGACCTCTTACCTTGCTTTTCAGTCGAGGTCCTTTGTAGCTTCGTGACTAGAGGAGGCAGGTACGAAGTAGGTAGGTTGGCACGGGAGTGACGACATATTACGCCTTCCGCCAATTGGAGCATCTAATTGTGCTTTGCCAGGAATCTTCCAGGCGCTCTTCATCTCCAGGCGCTCGAGGTACGAGAGGCCCACGTAAGGGATTCCTCTGGCACAGGAAACGCCAGAGACTACAATATGCGCCATCACATCACATCGAATCGCTCATCTTCCGTCTCGCTAAGATTGGATCGGCTCCAGGCCCGCCTTGAGACACCCGCCGCATTGCCGTTGCGCGCTGACTGGCAGGGACAGCGGCTGATTCGACTGTGGCGGACTGGCTGGCTTGCTTGGCTAGCATCGACGCATCGACGCATCGTGTCCTGGGGGAGGACGGCCAGCCAGCAGGCGAGCTACAGGCCAACCGCAGATCGTCCCCTCAGCAGCTCGGGCAGGGTTGCAAGTCGTGCGGGCCATGCCCTGGCCTACCTACCTCTTGATGAGATGAGGAGAGAGCGCCTGCATGCAGCATCTCTGCCGGACTGGCCACCTCCTTGGCCGTCTCTGGCCTGCATCCATCTGCATCATCGGAGGGCACGGTGCAACGCATCGCACCCCAAGCACCCCAAGAGCCACCCATGATCCATGATCTGTGGAAGAGGATGGGGCATGGGCCATGATGGGGCAACCCTCTGTGCGGCTTGGCCTGCCTAGAGCGCGAATCAAGCCTGCTCTTGGGTGGCTCGCGTCCGGCCCCCTGCCATCGCGAGTTCTGAATCTAAGATTGGATCCTCTCCACAGACCTCCTCTCACCCAGACAGCTAGACAGACGCAGCCTCATGCAGTTGGTTGAATAGTCCCAGCACGCCCGTTCCAATTGCTTAGCCGGCGATAGGGACAAATTCGCCCGCCTGTCCAGTGCAGATGGGCCAAGATGCCGAAATCACACCATCCCGCAAGGTCCAGCGCCAACTGGACGTGGAACCCACATCGCCATCGTCGTGCTGCTCAGTGGCGTCTTGCATCCCAGCGACAGGGCCGTTATGTAGTGCCATGTACGACAGCGACGGCGGTGCCACCAGCCTTGGCCTCAGTCCATCAGAGTCAGCGCCATCTCACCATGGGCACCACCCAGCCTGAAGCGCTCGCGCCGAGAAAGAGGCGCCGCACCGTCCTGTAGAAATGTCTCACCAACCGACCATTGACACACCTGTGCGAAATCGATAGCGACGGGTCCCTCTCTTAGTGGCATGTCAGTCATCACCTGCTCCAGTTGGTTGCGGGCGACCTAACTCCAGTAGCAGCCGCAAACCCTACCTTCCTTGATCGCCAACGAAACGGGCCACTTGCTCGCCATCCTGTCCTTGCGGTGCCCGTCTCCACCGTCAGCAGCTAACAATTGCTGCCAATTGTTGCTCCGCCGACGTCGTCACCCAAGTCGCCAGATCCCGAGCCCTTGCCGGATCCGATCTAGACAAGCTGGCCCTGGCGCGTGCGCTACAAACTTGGTGGGCAATTGCCCCCAGAGTATGGAGTACGAAATACGCACGCCCTGTCAGGATCCCGCGATCACTATCAGCCAGCACTTGTTGGTCCGTAGCCAAGTGAGCACCAGCCGGCGCGACGCAGCTCGACCGTTCGGGCAATGCCTATCAACTCCAGGTTTAATGCCATCGGCCATGTGGACCTGGTTGGTTAGTGCGAGGCCGCATCAAATCTTCATTGCAACGCAACAGCCAGTAGAGATCTCGCCCACTCTTGGCATGACGCTTGGATCAACGTCGAGAGAATCCATCGCATCCTTTCTGATTACTACTCCGTATGTCGCCACTCAATAGCACTCTGAAGAAGATCCAACGAGGACACAGACAGACGAAGCCCAGCAACGGAACCAATTTGGTGGCCTGTGGATTGGGGCTTTGATCGTTTGACAGCACATGGTCTGCGTCTGCAAAGCCTGCCCATCGACCTGAGTTATTGATCCCCACCTGCACTTTGACCCGCCCATTCTCCTCACCATGGTGCCAATTTGCCCCTCCCATGTATGGGGCAATCAGGGAGGGAGTGTCGGCACCTTTTTCAAGGATGCCTTCACGCATGTTTATCACTACGCTGCCGGTGAGAGCCTCCAAGCCGCCAGGTGGTGTTCATCCTTGCGCCAAATTCCAGCCACACAAACGCTTTAAAAAGGCTTTTCAGCCTCTCAGCCTCTTTTGCCCAGACGATGGTGGCATGCGACGCCCAAGCCTGGGCGATCCCAGCTCCCATGTAGCGAAGAAGGATCGGAACAGATCTAATGGCCGTTGTTTAACTAGTGCGCGAAAAGGGAACGAATATTGTGGAGGAGCCAGGATAGCCCTAGCTTTGCTCTGTGGCCAAGCTGATCGACTACGCAGGGGGGGGCACACGGACGGGGGAGCACGGGGCATCTACTAAAACGACGTCGAGGTTGACTGCCAATGGATGGTATGGAATTGCCATATCGCAACCAGCGTCTGGTTCGTCTATTACTTGCTTGCCTATTTTGATCGTCCCCTAACAACTTGCTTAACCTCGTTCTATCATCGCACAGCCCAGGGTATCGATAGACCTGATCACATCATTCGTATTATCCATGACATTAGAATTATGGGCATTTACCAGTGTGTCTTTTGATAATGACGAGCATTCACACGTGTTGTTGTTGAATAACACATAACTCAGTCGGTGGATATTGCGCTCTGAGCCTTTTTCCCCAACCACATGGGAATCTTCGAGTAAGAATTGCCCTTGCCAAATGCCGAGTGTCACCTCATTCACACAAGTCTACAGAGCATTACGTAGAGGTTCACGTATGGTCCAAAAACCGACAGTTACGAGCAATTGCTACCACGCCGGGACAGTCCCATGCAACCTGTGGGCATGGCCGCTTAATCACATCTCGACTTGGCTAAATCGGTGGGATCTGTACCACTACGTTACACCCATGGCAGTCTCGAGTCCTTATCAAGAGGTAATATACCCATGCATCCGTGGCTGACTGACACCATGTTGGGATTGTCCCACGCCCATGGCATCTCCTGCGGTCATGTGCTCCAGAACTTTCTTTAAAAGCCCTCATATATAACGATAGATAGGTTTTCTCATACCCCTACAGTCATATCAAACACAAGCTGTTCGTATTATTCAAGCGTGCTATCCATGTGCTACTAGATTTGTGAGTTTCTCGGACCACCGGGGAGTCATGAAAAACATCGCACATTGTTCATGAGCCTGGTTAGAGACTCGTTTAGTGATCACGATGGCTCAAATTTGAGTCACATGCGTGATTATTCATACTCACAGTTTCTTTCGATCCGATTTCTTGCATGCGACCTTTCCATCCACGACTCAATTTTCGGTCTTGCTTTCCACCAATCAAACAATATCCCAGTTGAGAGAACATCAACTCTCATCCCCCCAATGTCCCTGCTCAAAGTTGCATCAAGCTAGGCTTTGCATTTGCGTTAAGACCGATGGCTTGCCTCGGCTCCAAGTCCTTGGAAATGGAAACGTGGCTCAACGAAATACAAATCGATGGAGTGGGTTGCGCCTCTTTCCTACATTGCACCAGACTAACCCCCCTGATCCTGTCGTCATACATACGCAGGGTGCAACAGTACCAAGCCCTTAGTTTGAGAAGCCGTGTGGAGAGGCGGGTCGAGAGGAGGCCCGGGGATGCACGAGGTGCCGCCGGAGAAGTCGGCAGAACATGTTTCGCAGCTTCAAAGCACCTGCCACGGGTCGGACACTCCTGGACAGGTTCAGATGAACTAAACTCAATGTGCCTGGCGCTAAAACTCGACCATCTGCAGCTAGATATGGAGACACAGGGCATGGCCCATCCATTTACGAGGAGCGCGAGATGCAGTCCAGCGGCAAAGTGGGATGGATGGTCGACGTGGATCAACCAAGGAAACCCCGTGTCCATTTTGTGATTCGTCATAGCTTACTGGCCGCTACGCAGTGCCGGTGAACCCATCGTCGTCCGTCGAAGGCATCATCTCGTGCTTACTACACACCCTACGGCTTGTTTCAACCTCTCGGAATAAACCCACGCAGTTTAACGCAAAGCCCCACCTAAGCAGCAACTTGCATGCCGGGGTACGAGAGCTTGCACGTATCCTGGACCCGTCAACTACTCGGGCCAACCCTTCTCGGAGCTGTTGTTGACTCGTTCAGAAACTCTAGATTCGAAAAGACCACAACGAGACAACAAGACCATCTCCGTTTATGAATGTGTGACGAAATCGTACTGCGGATTGGCAACTGGAAACCTACCGATGGTACCTCGAAATGCCAGCGTGACCTACTCAATGGCCAACGCAACCTCTTCCATGAGACTTTGTCTATCGCAGAACCCCCATTGATCCATTTTGGGGCTTCTACACACCAAGACCGCGACGTGGCAAATCACAGCCCCTAGGGAGGGCCAAGGAGTCCAAAGCTTCGACGTGTCAACCTCTGGAAGGTGCACCGACTCAGATGCAAGTCGAGTTTTGTTGATGTCCAGTTGGTCACTCGTTTCCCATCACGAACGGACTCTAGGGTGGCAATTAAGGAGAGGTGCCCGAAATGCTGTGTCGAGTTGCATCATTTGACACCCCTTGATCGGGAGAACTAACCCATACTTCCCTTGGATATGAGGTAACTAAGGCGCAGATGTGAACCGAAATCTGGATGGGGGTTGGATTTGGCGATCTGGTTGGTACCGAGGCGGATACTGCAATGGGGCGTTGATGCTGATCAACCAACTGCAAGGACCACGCAAGACTGTGTTATTCGAACTCGAGTCAGTGATGTCTTTTGATACCCCAATGCGGAGACGAGGGAGAAATCGACACCAGAATCCAAGCCAAGTTCCCTCCTGACAATGACCGTTGTTCGATGGCGATTATCCGAGGCGGTGATTGCGTGGGTCTGAAAATATCTCAGAATACAGGCGGTCATGACTGGTGGATCACAGATCGCTCTCGAAAACGAGATATGTTGAATTCGCCTATCTGATATTGGAATATCTACACCGCAAAAAGTTCATGGTCGCGAGAAGCTGCGGAGTTGAGGTGTTGAGAGGGGGGATGGCGGTGAGTCCCTGGTGCGGAGAGAGGCTGAAGCTAGGGAACGGGCCAGGCCGTGCCTAGTCCCGGTCTCCTGGCGACGGAAATGGGCACAGACGTTTCGTGAGGGATGAAAGGACCTGGATATCTCAGCAACCAGTAACAACATGGCATCAGTCAACAAACACAGGCTTGGGATTCCCGTCCGGCAGCACGGACCTGGGGTTTGATTTCGCCTCGCGGAGTCGGAGCACAGGATAGTGGATCACGACCAGGAGGAGAACATGGAAGGCTCCGAGCAGGGGATACCGGCACTCTGCCTTCGCTAGCTACTAAGTAAATACTACGTTAATGCTTTAACAGAGCGGGTGAGCCCGGTACGAGATGAAGCATGAGCACGGCAACTGGCCGGGTATAAGTTGGGGCTTCGCGGCGTTCAATTGACCTGACAGAAGTCTGATGATGGCTGATAAGGCTCTTGGGATTGGAGGATCTGTAGAGCTGTAGAGAATGCGAGTGGATTCAATGATACAGAGTAGGGATGGCGGGTTGATTCACACCTCCCGCCACTCGAGCTGGGACTGAGCGGGGAGACCAGGGGGACAGGCTGAGGTCCGCTCCGATGGCCTTGTTTGCTAGTTCGTGTGCAATTGAGATGGAGAACTGGTCGGCAAGCTCCCCTCTCGCCAGCGGATATTGATTGGGGAGCCGAGGACCCTCACCCCCAACTCAGCGGAGAGAAGATGACGACGGGGGTGAATCAAATGGCACAGTGGCTCTTGGAGCAAGACGCAATGGCCGTAAAAACACCGCGCCTGGTATCCTCTCTCTGTCCTCTGCCATCAGCAGCATCACGTTTCGTTATCATCCCGGGTGAAGCCCACTTGAAAGAGGGGGTGAGGCGGCGGGGCAGAGGGGCAGAGGAGACGGGCTGCGGCGGACCGTGGTCAATTAGAAGTCCCGGCGGCACCGAGGACGCGGTGGCGCTGGGCGGAGGAAAGCCCGGCATGTACAACAGCACACAGGATCTCCTTGCGGGATATGGGAGCGATCTAGTTGGGATTGAGGGATTGTGCCGATGCGCGAGGGAATCGGTACCGGGAATGCCAGCCGCGAATTTGGAGCCAGTCATGGCTGCAGCGGGTGTAGCGCATCGCGTTCCGCTGTTGGTTCTCCCGCATCCACTGGCGTCGAACCAGAACCACATATTGCCAGACGAGAAAACGAGGAACCAGCCACGGGAAGAGGGACAAGGGCACAGAAGCGACGACAGGAGAGGCGTCTGGCTGTGCGGGCGTTTGTCGCGGTGGACAAAGGGCAATGCCAATCAATAGCCGACGCTCTAGGACAGCCCTTCCGGGAAGAGGGACGGGAGGGGGGTACAGAGGAGCCACTGGCTGCTTGGGTTGATAGTCTCGGAGGCCACGTTAATCGTGACTGATGGGTATTACTGACGGGTGATGTACATGCTTTACCACTTGTAGTGATTTACCACTGTAGTACTGATGATCCTCCTCCTTGCGGGTGTTTCTGATGGATGATGCGGGGTTCGAGTGAGAGATGAGACAACAACTGTCCCGGGTGGCAGATTTGTTTTTGCTTGATTGATCACCCCCCGCCTCGAGTCAGTCCTGCGCCTCTGCCAAGGCTGGATGGAAGTCATGTGCACTGGGACATTTTATTCCTGGTCTCGAATAAGTAAACATAAACTTTCCTAGTCCATATTCTATTTGATAATCGGTGCCTTAAACCAAAGCCCTATCCTCACCCGTATACGACACCTGCTCCTCTACATCTAACTTAACCATTAACCTGAACTACTAGGCCTGATTTTCTATCGCAATCTGCATCCTGAATTGCAGCTTGAAGTTGAATCCATCGATAATATGCGACTTCCTTTTCCGAGGAAAAGTCTGCTGTCTCAAGAGTGCGTGTGTGTAGGTAGTTACACGGCCTTGATAAGATGGGGTAAGTCATGTCTGAGGTGTGTGATAAGGCGGGGTACCGCTTCCGGTGCAGGAGAGAGTGCATTTCGGCGTGGGGTGTTTTGTCCGGGAAGCGGCCGACGACGACGGAATGAGACAAGATCATTGAGAAGTGAGGAAGGGTCACAGGCTATTGGAAGATATCGCCTCGTCTTGCACGCCGGCCTCTCAGCTGGCTGTTGGCGTTTCTCAGCTCCTCCGGGGTGCGCGGGGCTCCTGTTGTCACCACACAAGCCACAACGCACCGAGCTGCGCTTGTCCATACTCTGTACACAGCTGCTTCGCGCGCATCACACCCAGTCACTTGGTACAGATACAGGCGCATGCTTTTACCTGCCCGCTTCCCCGCCACGTTCCCCATTTCGACATGGCCGAGCAAGCAGGTAAACCTAACGTGATGCTCCTGCGCCTCGGGTTCCTGGCGTAATGCTAAAAGGCTGAGCCTTGCGCACCTGGGGCCTCTCGCCAGTTCCAACGGCGGGAGCCGTCCTGCGTTTCTAATTTTTGGAGTTGGGTCAGATTTGGAGCTGACGACGGATGATCGGCGTCTGGCGTCTGGGCCCAGGGCCAGAGCAGCCCGGGCAGGGTCGAGACCAACTGAGAGAGAAGGGAATACTTGGTGCCGAGAGTCAGTGAGGGGAACAAGGCCAGCGATTGGGACAACAAGGCGGCCCTTGTCAAGGTGGAGAGCAGAAGCGGCCAGGGTCCGGGGAGGCAACATGCCAAGCCCATGTCCATACCATGTCCTTATCCTTGTCCCGTCTAGTTCATGGTCTGAGCCTGGCTGATCGAGATGGAAACCCGCAAGCAGCACGAGAGCTGTCGGGTTGCCGTGGGCAATGGGGAAATCAACATCCATCGCCGGACTCGGGATGGATATGGTGACAGTGGATTGCGCCCGATGGCACCATGGTATGCGACAGGTTTATACTTGCTACAGTTTGAGGATCTACGGCTACCTAGTCCGGGCTGTGGTGCTGGGCTTATCCGGGTGCCTGGGACACGCAGTGACCCCCTCCATGACCAAACGGGCCGATGAAGCGAGCGACGAACGCGGAGAAGGTGAGTGGTTGTGTGGGTGAGATGGTGGCTGTGGCGATGACGCCTATGGCAAGGAGGCCAAGAGGGTTGTAAATGAGAGAATTAGAGTCCGAGAGGCTATGTGGGCGGAGGAGTGGTTTTGCCGACTCGCAAAGCCCAAGCCCTGGGCGTCGTCACCGTCGTCGTCCTCGCCGTCACCGTTCGGTGATTTCCAGTTGTTGATCATCAGGCGGCCAACGGACGGGGTTCGGGGGAATGAGTTCGTCTGTTGGCAGACGTTCATTTCCCTCTGTCTTGGCTGCTTGCTTGAGGGGCCTCGGCTGTCCGTTTTGGTGAATGATACGGCACTGTCGGCGCTGGGCGCTGGGCGTGGACATGGGGCCTGGGCGTAGGCGAGGCCAGGGAATGGGCGAGGCCTGGGCCGTTGGATGGTCGCGCCCGGCCAACCCAGAGTACCTCTGGTAGACGATTAATTGCCCTTCTGCGCCGACGGGCTGGCGAAATCCATCTACATGGTACATACGGATGATTACTGATTACTTACCGTGTTCTGGGTGCAAGTTGGCGCTGTGACGAAGCGGGATTTTGATGTCCCGTCCCAAACTGTGTCTCCGGTCAGTGCTCCCGGTCAGTGTTCCGGTCAGCATGCCCCCGGTCCACACTGTTCGTGCTCTGTACTATCTGCGTAAATACATGCGCACTGCAGGATTGTCAGAAGAGATGATTGCAGCCATTCTGTTTCCGGACTTCTCCAGAACGGCCCATTGCGCATCTGAATCAGAACCGGACAATACCCCTCTCACCTACTTATCCTTTGCCTCTCTTCTTTTTATTCTCGGGGTACACTGCATCGCCGGGGCAGACTTTTTCGTACCGGGCTGAGTATGAAGTACAGTGCAGTACTTATCTGCGGCCGCTTCCATTCTCGTTGTTGGGTGGGCGCAGGGGACGCCCACAGGGTACTCTACAGGGGACTTCTACCCACAGGGCACCTCACAAGGGTCCCCCTCGATACTTTCCCGTCGCAACCATCCATTCCCATTCCCCCCATTCCTCCATCCTTCGTCCTCTTGCTCCGTCCTGTCTGACTGCGGTGTGTGTTTGCTTTGCTCTGAGACAAGACGCACACATCCATTGTTTTTGATTGCTTTCTTCTCCCCTCGCCCGGGCCCATATCGACGCCCCTCCATTGTCGCATGAGACAAACAAGGACCGCTTTTTTGGTCGCCATCTACCATCGACCACTTACCATTTCCCCCGCCACCGTTATCGTCACCGACTTCGCCAGACCCCAGACCGTCCATCACCGTCACCGACACTGGGCCTGCGCGCAGCTATCCACAGACCGACGAGACCGCCTTTCGCCCAATCCCTGCGCCCTCTGCTCCGTCTCCTCCACCAAACCCCACGTGCCCATGCACACAATGAGGCTGAATCTGGCCTAGAACGTCTTCACATTGGCTGCTTTCTCGTGGCTCCGTCCTGTCCGTCCTGTCCGGCCCCAGGCTAACTCCTGTCGCCGTCGCCGTCGCCTTTCCCGGGTCCCTCTCTGGTCCAGTCGTCGTCGTCCTCTCATCCCGTCCTGACCTGTCTCGTCTTGACCTGTCCCGTCCTGTCTTGTCCTGCCTTGTCCCTCTCTCTTGGTGTCTGCATCGCCGCCACATAGGCCAACGCCAACACCGCTCCGCCGCAGAGGCCGTCGTAATCCTCTCTGGACCTCATTACTCTTCCTCTTCTCCATTTCGCCTCGCATCCTCTCTCATCTGACCCCTATTTGCGTCTCGTCCGACTCTCCTGGTCTCTGTCTATCCCGCTCTCTCATTTCCCCTCTCCCCTCGCCAACCTCGCTCAATCCCGCCCCTCCCGATCGCCAAATACCCGTCCATCCGTCCCTGATCTGCATTTCGTCAGCCTGTGCAGCACCGAACTGCGCTTTTGTTTGTGTCGCCAACTGCACCCATTTCGCCAATGTATCTCGTGCAACCCGCCAGCGCCCTGTTGCTCTGAGCGGGCTGGGGATCCTTGGGATCTTCAATCGCTGTCTCCGTGCAACGGCGACATCAACATCGGGCTCAACAAACCCCGCGCGACTCCGCCTACTCTGTCTTCACGCGGCCTCGTCGCCGTCTCTCGCATTCTACCGCACGGGTCCTTGGGGCTTTGACTGATCCGTCTTCTCCCCTCCCATATCCCCAGAGAAGGCCCGCCTGCCATGGCAATGGCCTCGTTCTCCTCTCACTCCACCAGCCACCTCCATGGCCCCCTCCACGGCCATGCTAAAATCACCAAGGCTCGCAGCCGCCAGGCTGTCAAGCCCATCCTCAAGAAGTTGCAGTCGCATTCGCACTCGGAGAAGAACTCCCTCGACCTTGACCGCAGTTGGGATGAGCAGGCTCGCTTTGGTTCCTCGTACAGCCCTGGTGGAGACGAAGACTACGCTGGCGCACCGTATGGAGCCTCGTATACGCCAACTTCGACAATAGCAGCTGGCCATATCCCCCGACCTGTTCGTGATGTGAGCTTCTCCCTCTCGGCTACCGATGTTAGCAGCGGCGGCACCCGCTCCAACAAGTACTCGCACACCCGCTCCACCAGCGGCACTTCGCACATATCTGTTGCCACCTCCACAAGCGGCCGCAACGGTTCCTTCGTACATCCTTTTCAGCAGACGCCTCGAACATCGACGCCGCCCCTGTCCTACGCTAACTCGCTCGCCTCGCTCGACAACCCAACAGCTCCTCGCGACTACTCCCCGACCATCACCGAGGACGACGACGACATTGAGCCCCAGGTCCACCAGACGGCTCGCTCATTTCCCCTGCCGCACTCCAGCTCCCAACCCCGGCGGCCTTCGCTCGCCAGCCAGCGCACCAGCTCTTTGTCCGACATCAATCAGTCACTGCGTGCTACCCCAAACCCCCATCCCAGTTCAATGGCCGCCGCACGGAGAACTCACCGCATCGTAACCAAGAGCCGCTCCGACCTCCACTTGCACACTGCCTCTACGACAGCGCTTGACTCTGCTTCGAGCGCTAGCCCCCCCGCGTCCTTCATCTCTCCACAAATGATGACTGGTGCCTCCTCTGCTTCTGCCATGTCACCTCTACGCACATCCCTTGACGTGAATGGGTTCCGCCTCCGTTCCCGAAGTGAGGTCGACACCGCCTCGCGCCAGGACCACGTCCGTGAGGCCCGACGCAAGTTTGAAGAGAAAGAAAGGGCCAAAGAGGAGAAGTACGCTCGCGAGCAAATTCGTAAGCAAGAGCGTGCCGAGAGCAAGGGGGCCCATCGACTGGCCAAATCTTACTCGCACGGTCGCAAGACTAGTTTTGGTGGTTCCCGCATCTCCTGTGATCGAACCTCAAGCCAAAGCGATATTCGGCCGTCGGTATCGAGGAAGAATACCGCCACCGGACTCGGCGACAACGAGAAGGTCGCCTTTGAGAGCCGAGGCTATCATTCTGTGCCCACAGCCTCGTCGCCGCGGGCCAGAACTGAACAAGTGCATTTTGAGTCTACCCGCAGGAACAACACAGCCAAGCAAAAAACCAATGGGGCATGGACGGCCTTTGTTCTTTGGTTCAGAACTCGGTTACTGAAGATGGGACGACGATAGGCAATGGCTGTCTGCGTGAGCACCCGACACCACCCTGCTTTACATCCGAATTTACGACAAAAACCCTACTCCACGACACCCGAACAACTACACACTCATGATATATACCCCCCACGGCGTGAAAGGAGCGATTCACACGAAACCTGATTTTGCGCCTCAGGATGTGGAGTTCTCTCTTTCATCCCCAACTACACGGATTACGGCCTCACAGCGTGTTTACGATTGGGACCCTCGAGTCTCACGGCCGGACCGGACAGTCGTTTTTTGCTTTTGCACGGCGTTATAGGACCAATTTTGCATGTCCTGGATTGCATCTTAGGGTTTAGGGGTTTTGGGAACCCGCTTTCGAGTTTTGCTTCATACTTTACTGGTGTTTTGATTTTTGATTTATTCATTTGGTTTCTGAGGATCCATACAGCATTTGGATGGGTGACATAGGCGCGGAAGCGTTTCATGTCTGGTCTGGAAAGTGAACTTTGGATTGAGTAGACTCGGGCAATACAGGACATGATTTCGATCATCATCTTCATTAACTGTGACTAACACAATCACTGCGTGGGTACTTCTAGGAGCCTGAGGACCCCTCTGGTCATATTCACATGACAATCTCACATGATGATCGAGGCCCGCAGTTGTGACGTATTTCTGGCACAGGGTGGGGCACTCGGCCCGTCCGATCTGGGGATTGTGGGGATGGAGTCATGCAATTGATCCGGGGGTACCGACGAGGTCCGCCCTGACACTAGTCTGGCAGTGGCGGAGTAGAGCCAGAGATATGCCTGTACGGCGGAGTTTAGCGTCTCAGACTGGAGATGGCGATGATGTGAAGCACAGCAGACTCGGGGCAGAAGATTTTCTGTGACAAGAGTCGCCCCGTGTGGCGAGGTTGAAGTATAGTGTCCCATCTTACATGCCTGGAAACTTTGACTTCTGAACAAGTCACGGATTTGTTTCGTAGAGGATTTGTTTCATACGGTAAGTCTTGATACATGTACATGTCACACCCCGTTTCAACCCCAACAGGGAGAACACTCAAGATGTTCGTTTTGAAAGCCAGCATCACCCCTGTTAAGACCGCCTATATCTTGGATTTGGGCTTCTGAATATCGACTGGGGTCCACCAGGGAAACGCCGATGGCGCATCACTCTCCATGGTGGCCTTAAAGTCAGGTAGCCTCTTCTCAAGAAAGCTATCAATTCCCTCTTTGGAATCTGGGCCCTTGAACAAATCGTAGAAGATCTTGCTCTCGAGGAGATGGGCCTCTTCGGGCGATCCGGGACCGCGATATATCATGTCCTTCATCACCCTTGAGGCTACCCCGCTAACGTTGGATGCACTCTCCTCGGCGATCTTGAGCGCCGTGGAGAGAACCTCGTCTGGGGCGACAACCTCTGTAAAAAGATCGTCAAATAGATGATGTGTGGCTGGGTAGACAGCACCCGTGGTAGTTAGGTGTAGGGCTTTGCTGGTGCCGACCAGCCGGGGTAGAAAGAAGCTGCTGCAAGCCTCCATATTGAATCCTCGGCGGCCAAAGACGAAGCCAATCTTGGCGTCACGGCTGGTAACGCGGATATTGGCGGGCAGCGTCATGGTGATGCCCACACCAACGGCCGACCCGTTGATGGCGGCGATGACGGGCTTGGCGCAACGATACACGGCGAGCGCGACTTGACCTCCAGAATCGCGATGGGCGTCACGGCTGGGTCCAATGCCATGCGCCGAGTTGAAGTCCATACCGGCGCAAAATATGCGATTGGCGGGGTCGGAGGACGTCAGGACGACGGCCTTGACGCGGGGGTCTGCCGAGAGCGTGTCAAAGGCCCGGATGATGGAAGCAGCCATCTCATCCGTGAAGCCATTGCGGTCGGCGGGCCGGTGGAGCTTGACGATGATGACGGGGGTGACAGTCGGGGAAGAGGGAGGGTGGTGAGAGAACTGAAGGGTTGGGAGGGAGAAGGTGTTGTAGTTATCTGGGAAGGAGGATGCTGACGATGCCATGATGGGCGGTTGGACAAATGGGAGCTGAGAGGACGATGCTGAATGTTGTAGACGACTAGAGCACCTCTTGCAGTGGGATGTAGGCAGAGTAAATTCAAGATGAATATCCTTCGATGGGTGTGTTTTTACGCTACAAACAAATGTGGCCGGGTCTTAGATTCCTTTGGAGTTGAGGGGCAGGGCAGACATGGTCCAGCCGGAGCCGAGGTTGAATGCCTCTTGGGGCATGTATACTCAGGAGTCATGATGATTCTTGTGCCTGTAGTCGATTGACAGCCCAAAATGCGCGATCATACTGTGGAGTTTCCATTCAAAGCTATTGTTGTGCCGATTACAATTGTCTGGAATTGTTCAAATTGGATGCATTGATATGAAGCGTTCCTCTGGTTGTCCATGGGCCACGAAAGGATGATCGGATGCGCACAGTCTGTCTTCACAGTCTGTGCCAGTTACACACACTGTTCCCGAGACCAGCATGACTCAGCAGACCACGACGACAACCCGAACGAAATTCAGGGCGCCGGAGTCGACCACCAACGCAGCTCCACACCCGCGCCCAGCCCCAACTTCCAGCCATTCCGACCAAAGACGCAGCGCAACGCAAGCACCAGGAGCGCAAGCGATGAGGTCGCTGCCACACCGTCCCGACCATGGTCTATGACTGGGATGTGCACCAGAAAACATGTTACCAGCTCTATATCGACGAGGGCCGGTCCCTCGAGGACATCATGGACCATTTGAGGGCCGTCTATAAGTTTACTCCTAGGTGAGTCATTACGCTGCTAATTTGCGACTTCGCCCTGCTTCTCACGGTTTCATGCTCCCGCCAACTGCATGCACCCACTGTATCACCCACCAACAGCAATACATGGCTGCTCTGCTGCTGCACCGTCGTTGACCCGCCTCTGAACGACCGCCCTTCTCTATTACTCTTCATTCCTGGTCGATACACTTTTATGGCGCGTCTCAACTAACATAGCCTGATGTAGTAAACGGGCTTTCCAAACCCAATTTCGTCGTTGGAATTTCCCGCCAAAGCAGAAGCCAGCTCATAAGAATGACCGTCTCGTCAATCGCGTTCGTGACTTGTGGGAGAAGAATCTCCCGCAGCGGGAAATGCTGCGCGTGCTCAACGAAGAGGACGGCTTTGACATCAAGCCTAGGGAACTGATGCGGGTCCGCACCCGGAACCGATGGCTACTGCGTGTCCCCAATGGAGACAAGTCGAGGCCGTTGGAGTCGAACTTTTCAATGCAAGGGACCTTGGGCGACTCATCTCCGGCTGGGGATGGGGATTCGACTCTTTCTATCCCCGAGGACCAGGGAGTGTCGTTACAGCCAGCTTCGGAAGCCATTGCAGACTCAGCCCTAGAGCAGCAACATTTCGAAACCTCAAATCCTCTTGCCGACAAGGACGGCAAAAAGAAGCGGACAAGGAATCGTCAGCCAACCAATCCTATGGGGTCGCCATGCCGGTTTCCATCGGAAACGACAATTGATGAGGCTAGGGTGATACTCAACCTCGAAGTTGGGGTCTATCGAGAGATCCGTTCAAGTTTCCAGGGCATTTGTAAAGAGGAGGGAGTCAGCAAAAAGACCATTGCTGGGGTCGACAGGTGGGATGCCGTCAAGGACCGACTCATTCACGAGTGCCCTCGGCTCCAGCAAGTCATTTGGGGTTCCGATGAAAACCTGGAGGCCAAGCGACTGGCACTAGATGTCATCTGTACCGACGTCACAAAGCGCATGCGAACGAAGGACGCCCGAATGACCCTCGCAGAGGCCAAGAACGCACTGGGGGTTAACCCTGAAGAGTCGCGTGAGATTCGCTTCGCCTTCCACCAGGTGCTCCGTGACGCTCAGTTTACGTGCAAGTCCGATGCCACACCACGAGAGTGGGAGGAGTTGAAGCGGCGTTGGGTGGAGAAGTCAGTACTAATCAAGAACATGGCGACATTTGGAACAGATCCGGCCTCTCAACATAGGGCTCGGGCACTTGAAGTTCTTGCGAGAGATGTGATGAAAAGGATGAGGGATGACCGATCTCGTAAGGGATCGATGAAAAAGGAGCTGCAGCAACTAGAGTTGCAGCCGCAACCTCGAGGAGAGCTGCAACAGCAGCATCAAGAGTCACATCATAGCACAACGCCCCCTCTCACTGCATATGGGATACCGGAGAGAAGAACTTCAAGATCAAGCCAAGTCGACACTTCGCCACAGACGGAACGTGTTGACTTGGGTGATGGGATGGGGAATAACAACTTCGACGCCATGTCGGAAGTGTCGCATGCCTCCCAGATGCCGTTTGCTCCCCCGGCTGGGTCTATTCCAACACATATGCCCATGTCGCTTCAGTCACAGTCGTCTAGCCTTTCAGACCCATCCAATGACCTTCCACAACCCCACCGGGTGTTGGGTTCATCAATGCCAACGGCAGTGCCCCTAGACTCTCAGATTGGGTCGTCTCTGTTCCTGGCAGCGAACACCCAGGCGGCATTTATGGACCAGCAGTATGTGCAACAACCGTACGCAACCGCAGCCGCACCGTCTAACCCGGTGTTCCATGCGGTGCCGCCGATGTCGTCGGCTATTGCGGTGTTCCTAAGGCTGCACCCATCGTCGACATTTGTGACAAACCTAGGGCTGTGGATCGCGACGTTGACATCGCAATCATTGCAGGAGCTACGGCACACAGCGGTAGAAAAGTTCCCTGGGGCGCTCTGCGTACGGATTGAGGGAATTGTCAAGGATGGCAAGGGCGCGGAACTACCGCTGCAGATAGAGGATGATCAGGAGCTGGGAGCATACCTAGCGCATCTCCAAGGCGGGACCCCGACATTTGCAGTTCAGCTGGTCTGGAAGACTTGACGATGGAGGCGACTGTTGCGGGCGGCAAAGGATGAATGACACAGTCAGGTTGGACAAAAACGGGCGTACGGAGTTTTCAGATTCGGTTGATACCACAGAGTGTGATTGGACGGAGAAGGATGTTGGGAATGTCAAAGGGCCGAGGAAATGAGGGAGCGGACTTGGACTCCGTCAGGTATTTGGAGGATTACAGGAACAGACGTGCGCGTGTTGGTGTACAAACAGCGAGCTAATGCACTGAAGCCAAGACAAGACTGCAATGCCGGGGTGCCTTATCCCTGTGAGGAGAGAAGAGGGGCCGACGGCCGGAGGCGGAACGGCGACGGAGGTGACCTCGGCCGCGGGAGGTGTGGAGGGGTCCTATCATCTATGGCGAACGTCACGTTGAGGAGATGAGAGAGGAGGAGAGAGTAGCAGAGAGAGCGGGATGCCGATGCGGGGAGGGATGGCTAATTAATAATTGCACAGCACTGAGCACGTTATGTGATGCCTCCCACCCTGGCTCTTGCGTGCTCTGGGGAAGGAATTGGGAATTGGGAATTGCTGCGAACGCCCACTTGAAGGGCGACATAAAGCCCACTTTGGGAGTCCGATCTTACACCGTATTCGTAACTAGTAACAGCGGCAGAGCGACAGACGACAAGAGCACGAATACTCTGGCTCGGTGTTATTCAGCCGCAGCAAAACAGACCCTTGTTTTGGGACCCTGGAGAGAGCCAAGAAGAAGGGTCCCGGGGCCGGCCGGGTCAGGGATATGCGATCCATGTACTGCTGAGCGTATCATGACGTTCAATCTCATAGGGCATGGGATCTGATATGTGGGAGTACATACAGCATCTACTGTAGACTGTAGGTAGGGAGCGCTGTAGGCAGCTCGGAGGTGGGGAAACTTCAGTGGGGCTCGGGGCTTGGGCACCGCTTGCTTCTCGCGGCGCTTCAACTCCGTGCCGAGAAATTTCCCAGGTTCCCAGGTTGCCAACCATTGCCGCGCGCCGCAAGCCTTAAGCAGCTCCGAAGCCGCCCAATTCTCATCGGCCAGCTCTCCAATACCCTCTCTCCTCGCCCATCCCGCCCCGGCTCGACTCCTGCTCTCCTGCCGCTCCTTCCATGCCCTCGATCCCTTGACCGAGCTTGCGAATTGCCCCCCCAATGGCGTCCCTCCAGCTGCGCGCCCAGCGGACGGCTCTTCGGAGCTTGCGGGCCTCGAGCGCCAGATGCCCTCGACTCCCCGCCCTCGTCTCCGTTGCCGCCGCTGCGCGCTCCTACGCCACAGAGATCGAGCCCGAGAAGCCCAAGGCTCCGCGCCAGGGCAACGAGGCCAAGCTCGGCCGGTCGTTCCAGGGCCAGGTCATGGGCAGCATCGGATCTCGGTTGCGGCGTGAGCGCGAGCAGCGCGAGCAGTACGAGGAGTGGCGCAACATGACGGATCCCTCAAGGAACTGGATGATGACGTTTGGTGAGTTCTTTGCCTCCTCCCCCCCTTGTCTTGGATTCTGTGGCGAAGCTGCTGCGGTTGGAGACTCAAGACGGCTAATACGTATCACCTCAACTAGTCTTCCTCTCCGGTGTTGGAATCTCATACTGGCTGGGCACATATTGGCCCACCGAGGCCGAACCCGTCTCGACCCTACCGCTCTCCAAGACTATAGCCCCGAAGCACAATACCAAGCTCGAGAACATGCAGGCCGCCTGGGCCGACTTCGTCAAGATTGTCGGCAAGGACAACGTCAGCACCACCGAGACTGATATCGACCATCATGCTACCTCTAACTGGTCCTCACACAACGCCCACGCCGACGACCGCTCCTTCTGCGTTGTCTACCCCAACTCCACCGAGGAGGTCTCAGAGATTATGAAGGTCTGCCACCGGCGCCGCATTCCCGTCGTTGGCTACAGTGGCGGCACCAGTCTGGAGGGCCACTTCACCCCGACCCGCCAGGGCATCTCCGTCGACTTTGGCCGCATGAACAAGATCATCAACCTGCACAAGGAGGACCTCGACGTTGTTGTGCAGCCGGCCATGGGCTGGGAGGCTCTTAACGACCACCTTGGCAAGGAAGGTCTCTTCTTCCCCCCGGATCCTGGCCCCGGTGCCATGATTGGCGGCATGATTGGTACAGGCTGCAGCGGCACCAACGCCTACCGCTACGGTACCATGCGTGAATGGGTGCTCAGCTTGACCGTCGTCATGGCTGACGGCACTGTCATCAAGACCCGGCAACGGCCCCGCAAGAGCTCCGCAGGCTACGATCTCACCAAGCTCTTCATCGGCTCCGAGGGTACCCTGGGTCTTGTCACCGAGGCCACTCTCAAGGTCACCGTGAAGCCTGAATCCACCAGTGTTGCCGTCGCCACCTTCCCTACGATCCGCCATGCTGCTACTTGCGTGAGCAAGGTCGTCGGAAAGGGCGTCCCCGTGGCTGCTGTCGAGATCCTCGACGACAACCAGATGAAATGCATCAACGAAGCCGGCATGACTTCACGCGCCTGGGCGGAGGCCCCCACCATCTTCTTCAAGTTCGCCGGTACCCCTGCTGGCGTCAAGGAGCAAGTCTCCCAAGTCCAGAGTTTCGCCAAACAGGCCGGCAGCCAATCCTTCGATTTCGCCAAGACTCACGAGGAGCAGGACGAGCTGTGGAGTGCTCGCAAGGAGGCCTTGTGGAGCACCATGGCCGTCAAGAAGCCCGGTGACCGTGTTTGGACTGGAGATGTCGCCGTGCCCATGAGCAAGCTGCCCCAGTTGATCGAGGAGACCAAGGAGGACATGGCCAAGAGTGGACTGTTTGCGTCCATTGTTGGCCACGTCGGTGATGGCAATTTCCACAGTAAGTCTCCCTTGAGGCGCCTTGTTGCGTTGTGACTGCTAGCTGACTTATACACTAGCTATTTTGCTCTACAACGACGCCCAGCGTCACAAGGCCGAGACTGTCGTGCACCGCATGGTTAAGAAGGCCGTTGAGATGGAGGGTACTGTGACTGTAAGCCCCGTCTCCCCTCTCCAATCCCCTTTTTGTCGAAATTCAAGCTGACCGCGACTTCTTAGGGTGAACACGGTGTTGGTCTGGTGAAGCGAGACTACCTTCCCCACGAGCTCGGCGAGACCACCGTCGACGCAATGCGCCAGATCAAGAAGGCCTTCGACCCGCTGTGCCTGCTCAACTGCGACAAGGTGGTGCGCATGCAGAAGCCCAAGAAGGGCGAGGTTGAAGAGTGGTAGAGCCTGTCCCCTGGAATGACAGAGGAAAGGACGGGGCTCCCACGGGATGTGAGTTGTGGAGTTAACGGGTACAGCTGCATATGCGAGTACATGTATGATGAGAGGGTTAAAGAGCGTGGAAGGATATTAAAAGGATACCACCTCTCACCGGGGCTATTTTGTGGATGGGGTAATTGACTTTTTTTGGGGCACACCTCTTGAGTTCCAAAAGCAGCGGCCTTGTTTGTTGCAATGCGATGGATTTATTCAGCTTTGCCCTCAGGAAGGAAAGAAATTGTCAGAAGAGTCTCATGTCTAACCAAACCCAACTCAAGAAATGAAGACTCCTAGTCCAGGCAATTCAAATGCCATGATTCAGATGTATACCCTTTAAAACCATAAACGCCTGTCACCAACAAGTTCAAATACCTCCCTCTTCCGAGGCCGATCACCCTACACACACACACTAAAACGCCGTTACTGCATTGACATGGCCGTTCTTAAGAACCTCAAAGACCATACCGGGGAATCCATAGAGCGTGGTGGTCGAGTCGCCGTTGGCCTCTGCACGGCGCGCGCCGCTCTCCTCCCAGCCGCCGAGAAACTCGCAACTGCTCCCAGGGCTGTCGCCCCAGCCGCGGTTGAGGACCATGCCGCGCTGGCGGGGTTGGCTCTCGCTGTGGGGAAAGACGGAGGCCCAGGTCTCGTTCATGCGGTCCTCGATCTGGGGGAACTTGGTCTCCGAGTGTACGGGGCTCGAGTTGTCGCTGGAGGGGTCTAGGTATGCGATCTCCCATCGGCAGCGACGGTGGCGGTTGAATTCATATGATCCGGGGATGTTTCCGTGGAGGACGAGCTTTGTGGCGACGAGACGGTCGGGGGAATGCGATTTGATGCCGTTCTCACCTCTAGTCTCGGCGCTCTGGTTGGCGCCCGGGGGTGGTTGCGACGGAGGGACGCGAGTAGAAACGAGGATGTCGAATCCTAAATAGAAGTAGTTGTAGAAGCACTCGCCAGTAGCGGCAGCCCCGATTTGGTCGTCGATGGCCTCTTCGTCGTCCGACACGTCGGACGCCGTGTTCATTGAGGATTGGTCTGTGTCGGTGAGGTCCTCGGGGCGACTTATGTCTGTGGCATTCGGGCGGGATCGCGTGTTGCTGGGAGCGCGCATTTTATGGATAACCATCTTCTGATCGTTCTTCCGGTAGATGGCGTTGGGAGGACCCAATTCCATAAGCAACTCCTGAGGAGTAGTCTCCCCCAGGGTGACCCAGAAAGAATTGTTGGTCCACTTGCGGAAGAGTTGCACTTTTCCACCACCGTGTAGCCGAATGAGAGAAATCTCGTCCGGGTACACGTCTTTGCCTCGAGGTATCACAGTGGTGGACTTGATGCTGGGGAGGGTCTCGGTCCACAGAGTAGGTCGAGCGTCAGCCCACGAATCGCCGCTGAATATGGCCATCGAGGTTGCAACCTGGCTCGTCGCCGATGAGAAAATGGAAACGACGTCCTTGTCAGGGTCGTACGCAGAAGCAGGTAGGGAGAAGTTAAAGGCAACGCCTGGGTAGGACAAGACGTAGATGCCATGTTCTTGGCCTGCGGCGGGAGGGATGAACTCGCCCGCATAAGTCGGACCAAGAAGCCGATGGTAGATGTGTCTAAACGTTGGCCCGGATGTGGAGTCTCCCGGCACTGGAGATGCGGGAGCCGATGCGCCATTGACAGGCTTGACTAGATCGCGGTCCTTGAAGGTGATGTGATTCTTGGTGAAGTCTGTAACCTCGATGAGGCGAAGGCGCTGCTCCGGTCCATCAAATCGCAGACGGACGCCGTTGGTGGGTAGTTCTATTCCGACGGGTTCGGTGACTGGGCGATCGGGAGAGTAGAGGAGTTCGAGCTTGGGGAAGCGCTGGGGTTCGGCTTTGAGGCGGGTCAAGACATCGTGGAGAGAGGCGCCGAGGACTGGGGAGCAAACAGTCGGGTTAGTGACTTCTCCACGTCTCATGACATGCACATAGATGAGAAATACTACCTAGAAAGCCCAGCGCTCGGCCGGGGTACAGTTGCGCGTTGAAGAGCGACATGATTGAGGGCGATGGCAAGACGCAGCTATCGCGTACTATCGCGGTTTATCGCGGGTTATCGCGGGGCTGTCGATGGCGGGGTAGAGCTGCACCAGCACGGGCGCAGCGCTTGATGTGCTTGTGATATAGGTGGAGGAACAGTGAAGGACAAGAAGCATGCGAAGGTGATGGAATGGTAAAAAGAGGGCAAGATTGCTCTGAGGCTGGGCCAAAACACCATGACAAGGTCACGGGCATGGCCGCGGCGTCGAGGTCAGCCGGATAAGGGTCCATGGAATCCATGTGTTCCTGTCGGCGGACTCGGTTTCTGAGTGGCTGGGCGAGATCACGTGAGATGGGCGTCGGACAGCTGGGGACGAGCGATTTCGCAAATCCGACACTGATGAGGTTGAACTGTTGACATCACCACAACCACGACCTATCCTCCCACCGACTCCATTGTACTCAAGGGCACCAGGAGAATGCTATTCCATCTGAAGGCGTCAATTAGATGCGACTATTTGTTGTGGGCGGAAGTTCCAGTCTTCCACAGCGCTGTACAATGAGTGGAAGCTGAACCTTCACCACTTTGAAGCCCATGATGGGCTGCTGGTCCAGTCTGTTTCCGTCGTGCAAGCATCGCACTACTTGTCGTGGACCTCTGGACTTCTGAGTTGTTTTCATGAAGGTCTGATAGATGCTGCTTGGGAGAATCATGGCGTTCTCATGATGTGTGCCTTCATGGAGATCGCTGAGGCATTATCAATCAATCACCAAGGTTTGGAGAATGCGGTAAGATCTGGGGCCTCGCCTCATCCTGGTCCACATATGGCTCGGCGCCAGTGCAAGGATCCGTGCCTACAAACTGCAAAGATCCAGAAACATTACGACACTGGTCCCTCAGGGCTCCGCCTTCGGCTGTGACAGAGAACTCGAAGCCTTGAACTTCATCTATTGCCGGACATTGCTCCAGATCAGGTTGGCTTCCTAGGAGGCATGAGGCAACTCTGTCACCCAATGCGCAAAAGGGTCTTCAAGCCGGTTTCATACTGACTCTAGAAATGAAGGAAGACTTATAGTCAAGGAAATTTCTTGTCTATAATGATAATCCATTCTCACTTCTCTCCCATCTTCTCATTACAAGTTCTCACATACGTACATACTGATTTCAAGAAGGCAGTCTATAATCACTCCCTTCCTCCGAGAATCACTGCCATGACGACATCTTAAGCCCTCTTGAGCGTTCCTCATGTTAGCTCTGGATATCAAGCCTAGGGCTCAATTGATTAAATTTACACAAGACAATGTCCAAGCAGCTTCGAGCTAGAATTTGGCGGTTGTAAATTGAAGAACCGAGGCTGCTTATGCTTGTTACTATCCTCTTCAGGAATGGACGAGCACGTGTGAACGCCCCATGGAGTTAGCGCTGTCGACACCCCAAGCCCAGTCAACGAGAGCCTACAGGCTGGAGCTGCAGGGATTACCACGCCGCGCGACCCCTGAAAGACGCCGTCGACAGCGGTTTTCGATGGATCTCTTTCCCCATCGCATCTCCACCAGGCGACCAGAGCTCTTTGTGCATGTGAGAAGCTCTCCCTCCAGCTGCGTTCCGAACTCTTCTGATTCCGTATCGTTTTTGGCAATACCGTTTTGCTACCTTGTCTAACTTGTTGGTGCTGACGTCTGTCCGAGATTATCGAGACCTTTCATCTTTGGATAGCTTCTTCGCGCCGTATTTACTTTGCTTCTGCGCTGAACCTCGGCTCCTCAAGCTCACCAAGCTCACCAAGCTCGCAATCAGTTGCCATGGCGCCACCAACTGCCTTCGCCGACTATCCGGAGCCCAACGAGGGTCCTGACACCAAGTATAACCCAAAGATTGACCAGAATCCCGTCCTCCGAGGCCTTCCGCTCGTTATTGGCGCCAACCTGTGAGTTGTACACCCCTTCTGCTCGTTGAGCGGCCACTAATCCCCACCAAGCATCTCTAGGGTTGGCTTCCTCCAGCAACACTTTTGGGATAATGCCAGGTTTGGCACCATCAAAGATATCCCAGAACTCGATGGAATTCCCTACAGATTCCATGTATGGCCATATCCTATTCTTCCGAATTCTGACATCGAGATGTCAGCAATGAAGCTGATGCTGACATCCGCAGCCCACCGTGACGCCTCTCGGCCCCACGTCACCCATGCTTGAATTCGACTCAGAGCTCCTCCAGGCAAAACACACTGAGTCAAAGACGCCCTACTACACTGCGAATGATTACCATGAGATGTACAAGTCGGGCAAGGTGACCCCATTCCAGGTCGCCGAGGCTCTGCTGCCTCTTATCACGCGCAGTGGTGAGCCCGCTGGCACATATCAGAATGCATGGGTCGACTCTCACGGTAAGGACCACCTCGTGCTCGAAGCTGCCAAGGCATCAACCGAGCGCTGGGCAGCTGGGAAGCCCCTTGGCATCCTCGATGGAGTTCCAATTGGTGTCAAGGATGATACCGCCGTCAAGGGTTATTCCAACCACAACGGAATGAAGTACAACCCGTCGGTACCCTTCTTCAAGGTGCAGGAGGAGTCAGTATGGCCAGTCAAGAAGCTTCAGGAAGCTGGTGCCATCGTAGTTGGAAGGAACGCCATGCATGAGCTTGGCTCAGGTATGTTTCCACTATCCGCTCCGTGGAGGACTTGGTTCAATGCTAACCTGCGATTTGTCTAGATACCAGTGGCTGTAATGTATGGCATCCTTCGCCTTCAATCTAGACCATTTCTAACGATTTCCAGGCTGTCCAAGGTACGCCCACAAACTTCAACAACAAGGCATACTACCCCGGCGGTTCCTCGTCCGGCGCGGCATCATGCCTGTCCGTTGGAGTTGTTCCCATCTGTGTTGGCTCTGACGCAGGCGGTAGTGCGCGAGTCCCGGCCGCCTTTAACGGCGTGTATGGACTCAAGACCACCCACCACCGCACCATGTTCATGAACAATACCATGTGTGTGACGTCGCCCCTGGCGGCTACAGTGGCCGACTTGACCATCGCCTACCGCATCATGTCACAGCCCAACCCCGAGTGTCCCGTTCAGAGCCGCTTTGCGCTGTCAATCCCACCTGAACCGTCGGCCAAGAAGGTCATGGGTATCTATCGCGACTGGTGGAACCAGGCTGACCCGCGCATCACTGAGGTGTGCGAAAAGGCCGTCGACTACTTCGCAAACAAATGCGGTTACGATATTGTCGACATCTCCATCCCCTATATCCAAGAAACCCAACTCGCCCACAGTGCCATATGCGTCACCGAGATGGCCGAGGCCGCCCGGCAACGGACTCCGGACTGGCTATCCCTGGTCGGCTCTGCCAACAAGGTCATCATGTCGGTTGCCACCAAGACACCGGCTGCCGACTTCCTCCAGTACAATGCCCTGCGCGAGCTCATCATGCGCCACTTGGCATTTCTCTTCCAGAAGCACCCTGGCCTTCTGATCATGACCCCCACGTCGCCCATGCCCGGCTGGCCAATTGTGCCTGGTGACGAAAAGTACGGCATGAGCGACACCAACAAGACTGTCCGCAATATGCTCTACGTCTTCATGGCTAATGTGACGGGGACTCCCGCGCTGTCGGCACCGGTCGGGTATATCGACCCGGTGCAAGGCGAGGGCAAGTTGCCGGTGGGCCTGATGGCGACGGGAGAATGGGGAAGCGAGGAGCAGCTTTTGGGATGGGCGCGTGAGGCTGAGGAATATCTACATGGCGGGATCGAGGGTGGCCGACGCCGACCGAGCGATTGGTTGGATGTGATGGGTACGGTGCAAAAGAAGACGAAGAGTGCCGAAGCCTAGAAGGTTTTCAAGTGTGAGAAGACGCCAATGGACTCAGCTCTAGTCTGTGTAGCGTGCAGCGATGTTTTTTTTATGCCTTCAAATTTACTTCCACGAGAAATTTGCGAAATAAAGATCCCGTTTTACCTATAGTCAATGACGGGATTCAAGCTTCGTCGTCATTCTTTGAGTCTTGATTCATCATGCTCCCCGTGCCATCGTTTACTTCATGAATTTGGAGGCCAAGCCCACCAGGCCACCCTGCTGCTCGCCCTGGCTCTTCAGGTACATCTTCATGGCGACCTCGGTGGCCTTTTGGACGACAGCGTCCTTGCTTGTGCCGGATGACACCTTGTCCTTGGAGGCTTTGTCGTCGAAGAGCTGGAGTTGTAGGTTCTCGGTTAGCCATTGCTCGATGTGTGTTTTAAGGGTGTCATGGATGTGAAAGGGAGCAGGGGAGACTAACCTTGCTGGCCTCTGACATGGCAAGACCAAGGTAGGCACTCTGGCTGTTGTTGCTGCTGGCTTCACCCTTGTTGAAGAGCTTTAGGGCCTGCAGAGCAGCGGCGGTGCCTAGGCTGTTCTCATCGGCGTCGTCATCGTCGTCATCGTACGTCTTCTTGTGCTTGTTGATGGCGTCTAGCCGGCCGTTAACACCGGAGCGAGAACAAGGGGCATGAGGGCTGCCGTCTTGGCTGGTGAGCGAGACTTACCATCCTCGTCGACATCATCGTGAGAGAGCTTCTTCTGGCTGACGGCGTGAAGGATGTTGCCGAAAAAGTCCTTGTCACCCGACGAGCCAGCGTTCTTGCTAGCCTCCTCCTTGGCATCGTCGAAGTCGAGGCTTCCGAGGAAGCTAGCGATGCCACCCGCGGGCTCTGTATTGTGTTAAGGGGGGTTTGTCTAGCGAGAGTCGGATGGGATGAGTGAGGATGGACTAACTGTTCGAGCCCGGGGCGGGGTACTGCTGATCTTCTAAGTACCTAGGTGTTAGCTGACGGGTCGCAAGGGGATTAAATAATCAATGGGTTGATCGTTTGAGGAGGCGACGAGGCATGAAGGATGAAGGGACAACGGATCATGGCGGGGTAATGATGGCGGGGGAGCTTGGGTGAGGGATGAACTGATGACACTAGGGACTTGACGCTTACCCTTGCGGTCCTTGTCGTCGTCGAGGAGGTCCTTGGCGCGGTTGAGGAAATCCATGATGGCGGAGTTTCTGGGGAATGAAAACGAAGATGAAGTTGAAGTGGTGTTGTTGATATGGTTGCTGTAGACAAGCAGCTACGTAGGTGGGGGAAGTGCTGCTAATAAAGGAGCTGTTGCTTGCTACCTACCTTGCATCACACAGGAGAGGGCGGCAAGCAGCCCCACGGCGGAACGCGAGACGACGCATAAATGGACAGATGCGAGACACCTGACTTACAGCGAGTGTAGCCTGTAGCCCAACTTACGGCCTGTAGCGAGTACCAAATGGAGCTGGGATGCGCCGCGACGTGGATCGACAGAGCTACCAAGCTCCCCCCAATGGCTTGCGGCTTGATGTACATGCGTCCAGCTACAGCTACAGCTACAGCCCACCACTTGGCCGGTCTTGTGTGGATGCGGGGGCCGCGTCACTAGCATGAGGACAAGAAGAAGCCTCAGCAGTGCTGGCGAGAAGCTATGACGCCTATCGTTAACGCACTGTGTTGTGCCTGCACATCTACGTCAGCAGCACCATCATGAATGCTCGTAGCCAGCTGAGATTGGCTGCTTCACGGCGGGCAGCCGAGGGGTCTGGTTCCAGATGGCGGGGCTGCTCTCCACCCGCCAGAGCCAACAGCTGAAACTGGTCCAGATGGGCGTCCCCAGCGGCTGGTGCGCACGTCTCAGTTGCTGTTGATTAGTGTCAGTGGTGCTTCAGCTCGATTGATCCGGGAACGAATCGACGTCTGAGAGTGGCAGTGCGGTCCATGGCGGAATCTGTGCATCATACACATATGCATGCTATGCTGCACGCTTGCGCCCTCGCATTAAGCTTGCCAGCCAGTGTCTCAGACTCCAGACTCTGCAGCTCGCAGCCAAGCATCAGGTGCGCCGGCTCAGCTGAACACGCACCGTGCCGGAGCCCCGTCCGGAGCCCCCGAGAAACTACTGCCGGCCGGCCCGGACGGTCCCCTCCTTACCCGCCTTCAATGCCGGCCATCGCGAACGCCGGAAATAATCTCCCTCGCCGTTACTCTACGGCCCATATACAGCCCATATATCTTTACCACATCCCCCGAAATGAAACGTCACTCTGTCATGTATGCGACGCAACCCCGACAGCCCCTCAGCTGTACAACATGCGTCAATATTTATGTTCGCTGGTGCATTCTAGAGCCTGCGCTTTTATCTGTTCTCGTGTTTCCCCCAGGTATTATCGTACAGCCGCAGTTTGAAGCAGAAAATAACACAAAACACACCTCAAGAGACTTCATCATTTGAGTCGTTAATACGTCGTGTATCCCCCCGTTGCCTTCAAATGCTTCTGGAAGTCAGCCCAACTCCTCATATTAGAAGGAAACCATCGCCACCATCCCAACTGAACTCGACCATTCTCCTTCTTGGAGCTTTTCATTTCCCCGCCCAAGCGTGCATCATCTCAAGTCATGGCGTGGTCAGGGGCCGGCGTCGGTTGCGAGCTCTGGTTGTTCAGGTTGTTTCTCTTCTTCTCCTTCTTCGCCCATCGTAAACCGCAAGCGTTGCACAGGGTTTTGGGTCCACTAGGCCCCTTTCTCCATTCCGGCGAGTCGAGGGTTCCTATCTTTGGTGAGCACTAATATGCCCAGACTGGACGAGAGCATTGCGAAAACCTACCACAATCCGTACACACGTACTCCTCCGACGTTTTGAGCTTCTTCTTCTTTTCTCCTGTCCGTGGATCTCGTTCCATCGGCATTGCGATGCCCGCGTCTCCCTTGATGAGCGTCGGGCTCGCATTCCCAGTAGTGATGCCGCGGCTCCGCTCCCCTTCAATGTACCGAAGCCCCGTAAGCATCTCGATCGTGTCGGCATGCGAAGTTCCCTCATAGCGCGCCATCTTATCACGCAAAGAGTCCGGGCGGCTACCGGCTGCTGCACCTTCCAGGTTTTCTCGAGTGAGAGCGATATTCAGGGCGTTGCGGTCTGCCTCTGACAGCTGATCCTTGCCTTCGGTGCGGTGGAAATTGCCCGCGGAGCCTTCAGTGTTCTCCGATGGAGTCACATCGGACCTTCCCTCTTGGTTCTGCACCCACTGCTTCTGTGCCTCGCTTGTTTCAGCTTCCTCCTCCTGACGAAGCTCGGCAATGCGTCGCTTCAGCCGCTCGTTCTCAATTTTGTGTTCCAGGAAGGAGTCAAGGAGGCCAGCATTCTTGGTCGGGTACGGGCGTGCCATCATGAAGACGGCCTGGCAAAAAGGAGACTGGTTGTTGGGGTTGGGAGCGAACTTGGCGCTGGCAATGTGCGCATGGCCGACAGTCTCGAAAATGGCGTACTCGCCGTCCTTCTTCTTGAAGCGATAAAACATGCGCAGCGGATTGCCCGAGGCGATGGACTCGTTGAGCTCGGACACGAACACGCCCTGATCATCCGGGTGGATGAGGTCCTTGAGAAAGGCGTCCTGGATCTCCTCGGTGGAGTAGCCTGTGACGCTGGCGATGCTTGGAGATGCATACTTGATGCGGCCTTCGGCGTTGAGGATCTGCAGGAAGTCCTTGATCTCCTCGACCACCTTTGCAGGCCAGTTCCTTCGTTTGGTGAACTCGGTCAGAGTGTTGCCAGTCATGGGACTTGGCGCACCGAACGAGCCGGGAGGAACGGGCCCGGCGCCAGGGACATTGTTGGCAGCGGTGTTGAACTGATTCTCGGCTCGGGCAATCGACTCCTCGGTGGTAGGGGCAGGGTCGGGGCCGCCGAATACGTCCGGCGTGAGGCTCGCGTCGTCGGTAGGGTCGATGGTCATGGGCACGTCGACGTCGGCCATGGAGGCGAACATGGATTGGTCCAGGAGGGCCATGAAGTCGGAATTGTCCTGTCCGTCAACACCCATCTGCGGAGAGTTAGCGGTGGCAGCTGGCGAGAGGCCATGGCGGCCTAAAGAGGGTGGTGGGAGGGTGAAAGACCTGGCCAGGCGTCATGTCACGGAGCGAACCAATGTCCAGGTTGGCGGAACCGAAGAGGTTGGTTGGAGGGGGAGGGGGAGGGGGAGGTGGAGGTGGCCCGTGGGACATGGTTGATGCGCCGCCTTCATGTGGCAATCTAGTAATTGCATTGGCGAAGCGCAGGGGCCGCACTGTGAAAGCCACGGGCGGGAAGGAGGTTGGCAGAGAGCAAGTCGCCTCAGAGACTCAGACCTCAGACCTCAAAATGACAACAACGGAAACGATAAAAGACAATGCGCAAAAAGTAGGTGCACATGGGCGAATAATATCGCACGTCGCCGTTGTCGCTCGACTACGGCAGAGAAAGGAAAAGAGAAGCGCCAGGGCCGGAAACAGAGCGCGCGTGAAATCTTGGAAGCCGAGGAGATGAAGGAGGGAAGATGTATGACGCCGTCTAAGCCCGGCTGGGAAAGAGAGGAGACGAGTTCCGAGACGGGATGACACAGAACGGTACAGGATTACACATAAATTTGCCTAGGCGAGACGATAGGCGAGCGACTACTCACGGGCCAGAGTAGAGACTACAGGCCAGAGACTATAGGCTAGACAGAGATTACGGGGCGAAAGCGCCAGGACAATGACATGACACAACACCGGCACAGCACAACACGAACAGGCACGGTACGGAGCGCCGCATGAAATGAGGCAAACGTTGCACGACCAACCCGGATGCCAACTACATCGACTCCGATATCCCAGCATGTCTGGCCGGAGGGCCGGAGGATCGTCAAGTCCCTGAAGATCTGTGGGTGAATCTGGCAACCACCATGGTGCCACAGATGGGAAAGCGGCCAAATGTCATGGTGGGATGCTGGGATGCTGGAAAATCAGAGCATGGCAACATCCATCTCGACGCTACCAAAACTTGTTTCGGAGGAAATACCCCGGTAAAAGCGGGTTGTCCCACTGGACACAAACGCATGGACATCTCTCTCCCTGCTCGTCGTAGTTTAACCGGGCTACGTGGTTGACGACCCCTTGGCTCTGTGTTTAGCGGTTCAATAGGAAGCGTAGTAATAAATTACGAGGCGGATTGGTAAGAGCGTCGCCCGCAGCTTACACGGCGCAAACATTGACTAGAGAATGAATGGGTTGGGTGAGAAGACGGACCTTTTTGGCATCTCTCTCCGAGCAGTCTAGGACGCGCATGCAGGCGGGCCAGTCAACTAGCGGCGCCGAGATGCTTGCATAGGTAACAGTACGAAAAGGGTCTCGGCCGTGTAAGCCCGGGATGCGGCATAAAGGGAAGTGCGCCACACTCTTTCCGAGCGTCTGGTGTCCAGCCTTCATTCTCAGTGACACCCTAAACTCGAGTTGTCATCTTTGGCTGGCTGGCGGCGGCTGCAGCGTAACAGAAGCTGCAACAACCCCATGGTTGGCACTGGAATGATTGTGGCGGTGGCGGCTGCGGCTTGTCCCTGGTGCCAGGGTCCAGCGCAGTACAAACACGCTTGGTTGACGCGAGCCCAGGGTCCAAGTTGGCAGGGCTGCGCCTTGTGCTGACCCCGAGAGTCTGCGATGCCCTCGGCCGGTGCTTGCTCCGCGCCATGGCAAACGGCCGATGCTGAATTGGCTGCCGGGGTCCCCCGCTCCACCAGGATGAGGGTGTCTTGAGTTTCGTCATCATGACAGAGTAGAACTTGAGATGTGAGTAATCACCAGCGCCCGCTGACAACTTGAGCGGCTTGAGTTTCAGAGTCAACCCAGCGATGCAAGTTCGAAATCGGTCAGGTGATAGTGGTCCCTGAATCCCCGTAGCAGTGAACCACGGTTACTTTGCTCAACATGGATACCTACCTATGCAGTCTGGTTCTTGTGCTGTAGGTTGGGATGTCACTGTAAGCGACAGCGTGGTAGAAGGCCCCGCTGGAACCACAGCTAGCGGAAAATGTGTCACGTGCGGACGCATCCTTCCCTGAGCTCTCAAACGCGTGACTGGCTCTCGTCGCGTCTGACAAGTTGGCCGTTGTCGCTGCCTGGTTCAAGATCCAGATCCACCCAAACCGCTCTCTCGACAACCACCACCTTTCAGCCCTCGTAGTGAACGGATTTTACTCCATGCACTCGCCCCATGCGGTAGCCGTCCACCATGTCGAGAATCGATAAGCTCTCCATCTCGGGCATTCGCTCGTTCAGCCCGTCCGTCCGAGAAGCCATCCAGTTCAACACCCCACTGACCCTCATCGTCGGGTATAATGGCTCCGGCAAGACCACCATTATCGAGTGTCTCAAGTATGCCACCACTGGTGAGCTGCCGCCCAACAGCAAGGGCGGCGCATTCATACACGATCCCAAGGTCTGTCTTGTTCCAATGTCATCGTCGTCACTAGCTCTGACACTCCCCAGCTCTGCGGTGAGAAGGAGGTCATGGCCCAGGTCAAGCTGCAGTTTCGATCCATCAATGACCGCCAACATGTTGCTACCCGAAGCATGCAGCTCACCGTAAAAAAGACGGCCCGTTCCCAAAAGACTCTCGACTGTTCTCTCGTCGTTGTCAACAATGGTGAACGCACCACCACCTCAACGAGGCAGGCTCAACTTGACGAAATGATCCCCGAACGACTCGGCGTCTCCCCCGCCATTCTCGATGCCGTTATCTTCTGTCACCAGGATGAGTCCCTCTGGCCGCTGAGCGAGCCTGCTGCTTTAAAGAAGCGCTTCGATGAAATCTTCGAGGCATTGAAGTATACCAAAGCCATCGACAACCTCAAAGTGCTCCGCAAGAAGCAAGTCGAGGAGCTTGGCAAGCTCCAGAACGACGAGGCACACAACAAAGTCAACAAGGACAGGGGAGAACGAGCTGAGAAGAGGATGAAGGGCCTGCAGGCAGAAATTGAGGCTTCCCGAGACAGCTGCGAGTCCATCAGCGCAGAGATGGAGGAAACCCAAGACAGAATTCGAAGTATCCGAGAGACCGCAAATACTCACCTTGAAATCGTTCACAATCTCAACAACAAACGTGAACAACTCGAGTACCGTCAGGATGCGGTCAAGGAGCTTAGAACCACCATTGATGAGCTTCACGAGGACGATGCATCTCTCGAAAATGACCTCGCACACTACGAAGACCGTATGCTCCATCTCCAAGGCGAGGCGGATGAAAACAAGACACAATACAACGATCTACAGAAGGCGTTAGGTCAGTCCCGAAGGGATCAATCCACGAAGCTCGCCGAGCAAGGAAAGCATCAATCAGACAAAGACAAATATGATCGCCAACTCAAGATGCGCATGGATGTGATCCAAGAGGCCGCTGAAACCTATGGTTTCTCGGGTTATGACGGTGATCTGAGCGATCAGCACGTCAAGAGCTTCAACGATCGGATACAAAAGCTGTTGAATGAAAAGAAGCGAGACCTCGAGCGAATGCAAAAGGAAAACTCGGTCGAATTGGACAGGGCTACTGGTGTTATTACAGAGCTCGAGGGTCGCAAAGCCGCTCGGACTCAAGATCGTGTCTCTGCGAAGCAGCGGATGAACGCGATCGAAAAGCGGACCAATGTGCTCCAGAATGAGTCCGGGATGATTGATGTGGATGAGGGTGCCAAGGCTATTCTGGATGGACAGCTGGCAGACCTTGAAAGCAGGTTTCAGACAGCCCAGAAAGGGTTCGAGGCTTCAGACTGGGACCGCCAAATAGCGGATGAAAACGACAAGTTGCACCAATTCGAGACTGAGAACGAAAAGCTCGGCCGAGAACTTGTTGAGTGCACCCGTATGGCCTCCGATCGCGCTCAACTCGACTTGAGGAAGAAGGAGCTGGCAGATCGCAAGCGCAAGCTCGACACTTTGACAAGTACTTGGAGGCCAAAGTTGGACAAGGTAATTGGCGATGACTGGCAGTCGGAAACATTGGATGCCAAGTTTCAATCTGTCCTGAAAGACCAGAACAAGGTCACCGCGGACGCCCAGAAACGGCGTGACCAAACGCGACAGAAGCAGCAGAAGGTGGAGTTCCGACTGAGAAGTGCGAAGGAATCGCTCGACAGAAACACAAAAGAGGCCGCGAGTTGTCAGCAACAAGTCATCGACGCACTTCAGACGGTGCGGGACAACGCCATCATCGAAGACTACGATGAAGAGGTCTCCTCAGTAGAACAGCAGGTTGAGGACCTCAGGAACGAGCTTAGCCTCTTCGATGCCCTTGTTGACTACTACAATAAGTGCAAACGTATGCTAGAGTCGAAGAAGAAGTGTCTGCTGTGCGAACGACATTTCGATGACAACCAAGCTGCGAGCCTGGATCGGCTCGGAAAGAAGATCGACAAGAACCTTGATCCGAAAGGAAAGGTAGAGGTCGAGAAGGATCTGAAAGAGTCCATGGCCAGCCTGGAAAAGCTGCGCTCCGTTCGGTCGGCGTACGATACCTATGAACGGGTGTCGACCAAACTTCCCTCCCTTCGAGATGAGTGCAAAGCTGTTGAGAGCGAGTACGACTCCCTTGAGAGGCAGATGGAAGAGCAGAACTCTATTGTCTCTGCAGAGGAGGAGAAGCAAAAGGACTTGGAAGACATGTCTAAGACGGTTATGAATATTGTCCAAACTGTCAAAGATATCAGCGATTCTGAGACTCAGGTCGACCGTATCATGTCCCAGCAGATGTCTAGCGGCGCTACTCGGAGCCCGGAGGAGATTCACGAGCTCCAAGCTAGTCTGGCTGAGCAGATGAGGAGTCTCAAGACACGTATCTCAAAATTAACCAACGATCGACAGCGCATGAAGGACCAGCTGAATGCACTAGAGCTGGAGAAGAGTGAGCTCAGAAACAAGATTAGCCGCGCCAGTGGACAACTTGACAAGAAGAAAGATCTCCAAACCCAGGTCCAGTCACTCAAGGAGGAGCAATTGCACCAGCGAGAGGTTATTCATCGCGCCGATGAAGAGTTGGAGAGCATTGAACCCAGCATGAACGAAGCAAGATCTGCCCGTGATGAAGTTCTTCGGCGCGGCAGAGCAAAGGAGCAGGTGATCGTTGAGGCTCGTGACGCAGTTGCAAACTCTGTCAGTGAGATCAAGATGATGGATAGCGATATCCAGGACTATGTTGACCGCGGGGGACCATCCAATCTTGCCTCGAATCAGCGGGCCATTGCCACCCTTGAAAAGGCCATTGCGAACACCGAAACGGAGATCACAGATCTCACTGTTCGCACAAACAAGCTCAAGCAGGATATTGACAACGGAGATCGGAAGAAGAAGAATATCAATGATAACCTCAACTACCGAAAACACCTTCGCATGCTTGAGGTCATCCGCCGAGACATATCCGAGCTAGAGGAACGCAATGCCGATGAAGACTACGAGCGGCTCCAGGCCGAGGCTCGATCGCAGGAGAACCAGTACAACCGCCTTCTCGCCGAGCGCGGATCCGTCATGGGGACTATGAAGACCAAAGATGAGGAACTTGGACGGTTGCTACAGGAGTGGGAAATGGACTACAAAGATGCCAAGAAGAAGTACCGCGAGTCACATATCCGCGTCGAGACGACGAAGGCCGCGATAGAGGACCTGGCGCAATGCAGCTCAGCTGTTGACAAAGCCGTCATGCAGTTCCATTCTCTCAAGATGGCTGAGATCAATCGTATTGCAGGCGAACTGTGGCAAAGCACATACCAGGGCACTGACATCGACACTATCCTTATCCGCTCCGATAACGAGTCGAACACCGGCAAGCGCAGCTACAACTACCGACTCTGCATGGTGAAGCAAGATACTGAGATGGACATGCGCGGCCGCTGTTCTGCCGGCCAGAAGGTTCTCGCCTCCATTATTATCCGTCTCGCCCTGGCTGAATCCTTTGGCGTAAATTGTGGCCTGATTGCACTGGACGAGCCCACGACCAATCTTGACCGGGACAATATCAAGAGCCTAGCTGAGAGTTTGCACATGATCATCAAGGCTCGCCAAGCCCAGAGCAACTTCCAGCTAATTGTCATCACTCACGACGAAGAATTTCTACGACACATGCGATGCAGCGACTTCTGCGACAGCTTCTTCCGCGTCAGGCGTGACGAGCGGCAGAACAGTGTCATTTCGAGGGAGAGTATCACAAAGATTTTCTAGTCGGACTATGTATGGATTGAGATGGGTTGACCAAATTGAGTCATGTTTAATGGACGGCGAATTAAGGGAGATCAGGCGTTTGGGGCGTCGTGAATGACGACGTTGAGCATGTAAAAGAATTTGTGCGATTTGATGGAGGCAGTCGCGTCTATTTCCTGGCGCTATAAAGTATCTTAGTAGTGTTCATGTGCTCATACCATGATGTTAAAAGTGGGCATGTCTGTTCATTCCCCGTGCTGCTGGTCTCATTCCAGTTGGACCCGGCACGTGGTGTTTTAAGTTCCACGGGAAACGTTGAGACGGAACCATTCTTGTTACACACAACAGAGCCTCAAGCACATGTCTCGGACATTGGTTTTGCAAGGGGCGACGTCCGAGATCGATCTGATGATCACGACTGACATGGCGTTGGGCCCAATTCCTGGTGTCAACCCTCCTTGGCAATGCCTGATCAGGAGCTCGTCGGGGCTCGCGGCGACCGAGATGATCATGATCCAGATCTTTCAGCGGTCAGGAGCAGTTTTTGCGGCGTTCATCGTGAGTCACTTGCCACGCAATGGCAGGGAGATGACTACAGATCTAGTCCAGGATGACCCGACTTTGAGGCAATCAGATGCAAGGACATGGTCTCCAAGGCTAAACAAACGAAAACCCATGTCAGACGGATGTCCGAGGGCACCGGTAATGGTGTCGTCCCCCACATGACGCAAGACGGCGCAGGACGGGCAATTCGGAATTACGAGCCGGCAATAATCCTCCCTGTCGCCCATGCTCGCATTAGACGATCCGTCTCCACCTCCGCTCTCCATAATCAGATCCCAGGCTCCATTTCCCTTACATAACCTCGCCAAAACGGTCCTAGGCCATGGAGAAACGACATTTGCCAACGTCCTTTTGGCTACCCTTGCCGTGCCGGGTAGCCGGTCCTCGGAGACCGGAGGAGTGCCTCTTGGGGGATTCCGCGTCCGCTTCGCGTCATCCAAACTCCGAGCTGAATGAAAAAAATCTCTGACGATGAAGGGGATGTCGTGGCCATGAAGCAATCATAAAGAGAAACTGTCTCCTCGACCCGTTGATCTTGCGGCAACTAAACTGAATCCTCCTCGACGAAGACTCAGAGACGCGGATTGGTAACTACGGCAAACGGCGCTCTCCGAAACGACGATCGTCGACAACTCCTACGCTGGGAGCTCTTCTTCATTCTTTGCAACCCCTCATCAACTACACAGTCCCTGAAGACCAACAACTATGGCTTCCTCGACAGAGAGGAGAACTAGCTCGGACAGCACGCTCGACATCGAGCGAGATGCTGCCGTCTCCGCCCCTGCCGTAGAGTCCATCTCCGAGGCCACCGCAGAAGACCCGGCCTCCTCTCCGCCCGCTACGACTCCGCCTCCGGGCTCCAAGCCGGGAGACCCCGAGGCCGGACGGACCCCCCTTCAGACGTTCCTCATCATGTTCGCCCTGTGCACGGCGCTCTTCCTCGCGGCGCTGGACATGACCATCATCACCACCGCCATCCCGACCATCGCCAACGAGTTCAAGTCGAGTGTTGGCTACATCTGGATCGGCAGCGCCTACCTGCTCGGCAACGCTGCCTTCGTCCCGACCTGGGGCAAGGTCTCGGACATCTTCGGCCGCAAGCCCGTCATCCTCGCCGCCGCCGTCATCTTCTGGATCGGCTCACTGCTGTGCGCTCTCAGCAAGAGCATGGGCATGCTCATTGCCGCCCGTGCCATCCAGGGCCTTGGAGGTGGCGGCCTCATTGTACTCCCCAACATCGCCATCAGCGACCTCTTCTCCATGCGGAACCGTGGCATGTACTTTGGCATCCTCGGCATGGTTTGGGCACTGGCCTCGGCGGTTGGACCCGTCTTGGGAGGTGTCTTTACGACCAAGGCGACCTGGCGATGGTGCTTCTACATCAACTTACCCATCTCTGCCATCGCCTTTGTGATTCTCATCTTTGTCCTGAAGCTGCACAACCCAAAGACCCCCGTCAAGGAGGGCCTCCTTGCCATTGACTGGTTTGGCAGCCTCCTCATCATCGGCGGCACCGTCATGTGGCTTCTGGGCCTCGAATTCGGCGGTGTCACTTTCCCCTGGAAGTCGGCAACCACCATCTGCCTCCTGGTCTTTGGCCTCCTGACCGTTGGCCTCTTCGGCATTTACGAGTCCAAGTTTGCCAAGTACCCTATCATCCCCATCCGTCTATTCCACAACCGAAACAGCGTCGCCGCCTTTGGACTCTCCTTTGCTCATGCTTTTACATTCATGTCAGGCAGCTATTGGCTTCCGCTCTACTTCCAAGGTGTCCTCGGCGCCTCGTCACTACTTTCAGGTGTCTACTTGTTGCCGTTTGTACTGGCGCTGTCATTCGTGTCGGCGGGGTGCGGTATCTTCATCAAGAAGACCGGCATGTACAAGCTCGTTATTGTGGGGGGCTTGCTCATCACTGTCTTGGGCTTTGGTCTGTTCATTGACCTAGAGTCTCGGGCGAACTGGCCCAAGATTATCATCTTCCAGATCATCGCGGGTATTGGAATTGGTCCCAATTTCCAGGCGCCCCTGATTGCGCTCCAGACCAATGTCGAGCCTAGAGACATCGGCTCTGCGACGTCGAGCTTCTCCTTCATCCGACAGATGGGCACTTCCATCTCTGTCGTCATCGGCGGCGTCATTTTCAACAACGAGATGGAAAAGCAATACTCCAAACTGGAGCGGGAGCTGGGCCCTGAGCTAGCCAAGTCTCTATCGGGCTCCAACGCGGCCAGCAACGTAGAGCTGGTGGGTAGCTTGACGGGCCATGATGGTCGAGTAGCCAAGGCGGCATACTGGAAGAGTCTTCAGACGATGTACATTGTCTACACATGTTTCGCGGCACTGGGTTTGGTGATTAGCATGTTCATCCGCCAGGTGAACCTTAGCAAGGATCACCAGGAACACCAAACCGGCTTGAAGTCACTCAAGGGCAGAAAGGATGATGAGCCTGTGAATGAGGAGCCTGTGAATGAGAAGCCTGCGGAGAAGCCTGCGGAGAAGACTGCAGAGGAGAAAGAGACTGGAAACTGATTCAACAATCAGTATTATGTGTTATTGCAAGATACCCGCAGCCATGGAGGATTGGATTTTGTTGCTTTATATTCCCCACTATTATTGTATTACTGTAATTAGGATCATGACTGTAGGCGACTAAAAATCGATTCAACACAAGGTTTTTTCTTCTTCTAGAAAATGCAAAATTTGGGCTAAGCCTATCGCGCTGCGCTCTGTAGTTATATCTTGCTTAACACAATGCTGGACAATTATAGCAATGTTTCAGCTTTAACTCGTAAACTCTATTCCTTCGTTAGGTATTAAGTATATACATGGAATTCATCATCGATGCTTCAAATCACTGCGCACTTCCTTCCTCGGACTTCTTCCACTCCTCGTAATCGAAGCCCAAATCCTTTAGTGTCCTAAGTTCGTGTCGCCGCTCTCCTACAGCGCGGCTGGCCAGCTTGATCTTGGGCACCCGCTCACGAATCCATCTCGTTTCCAGGTTCCAATACGGGGGCTTTTTTCCATTGCCGTCGTTCTCCAGCCCCAACTCTGGGGCCGTGGCAGCTGTCGTGCTGAGATCGTGGAGGCGATTGACGTAGTCTACATCCTCTGGAGATGTCATCACATGAATGGCCTTGCCCTCGCCCTTGACTTTGTGCTGAGCCTCAACCCAGGCATCCATCTCTGCTCTAGACGGCACGTTGAGTCGGCCAGACCAGATACGGCCGATGACGGCGCTTTGGGCCTCGGAGACTGGGAAGGGCACGATCCGCTGGGGCACACTGAGGAAGGCAAGAGTGGGATTTGCAGTGTAGAGAATGTGCTCCCAAAGATGGGCTGCGTGACTTCCACCGGGGACCACGATGGAGGGCTCAAGTTTGGCGAGGAATGGGTACGAGTAGTGGAACCCGGTGCAGAAAATGATGGAATCAATGCCCGACTCAACCCGACCGTCAGCGAAGCGAACACCACGCGTCTCCGGGAAGAACTCGACGATCTCGGGCACGTATGCCGCCCAAGGAGTGTTCGCCTGGGGCTGAACGACTGAGGGCTTCTCCTTTTCCGAAACAAGTACAGGGAGTGCGGCGACGGTGGAGAGCTGGACGCTCACATCGACTCCAGAGGCAGAGTTGCCTACCACGATGACTTTCTATGTCCGAGTTAGTGCGACTTAGGGTCCATCCTGGGCAGATTATCTACGTACCTTTCCAGAATAGTCATTGGGCCGGCGGTAGAACTTGGAGTGAGAAACAGCTCCGGGGTACGCCTTGTCAAACTCCTTGAGCCCTGCGATGTTGGGGATGAAGGGGTCGTTGTAGTGACCGCTGGCGACAATCACGGCGTCGAACTCACTCTTGGTGGTCTGGTTTGCCTTGAGATCAAGGACCTCGACCTGCCACGGCCCATTTGGCTGTGAGGCAGGCTTCTCAATGTTCAGCACCTGGGTCCGGTACGAGATGTAAGGGGTCAACTCCTCGGCGTAACCCTTGAGGTACTGCAGAACGGCGCTGTGCCGAGGGAACAGCGGGGAGCCCTTGGGAAACTCAGTGTCGGAGAAACACATGAGAGAATGAGGGATGTTGGTCTCAAGCAGGTCATAGATGGGTGACATGAACTCGACATCGTCACTATCTTTGGGCCGAATGACCTGGTCTGGGAGGGAGCTGGGCTGCGTGCGAGGCACAGTAAAGCCCTGCTCCCGTGCGAGGGGGGTGTAGTTCCATACACCTCCTGGTGTAGCCCGCTGCTCAAAGAGTTGGATCTTGGAGAACTTTTTCTCCGCCAAGAAGTATCTACATGGGCAGCCTGTTAGCTGAGGCTCGCAATCATGGGCCCTGGGTGACTTGCTTTGCAGCAGCTAAGCCACTGGGACCGGCGCCGATAATGGCGATACGCGCGACGTTGAGCTTATCTGCCAGCGCCATTGGAGGTTTGGGTATGGAGGAAGAGTTCGAGATAGGATTCGGTTATAAGTGATTGAGCAAGTTGGTGCGAAGGTGCTGGATCCCGATGGCGCAATTTGAGGGGAAACAGAAGCGAGCACAGCACATAAGTTACATGCATGCAAGAGAAGGGATTTAAGGGGTCCTACTACAGTACGCTAAATACTTGAAGGAAAAAAGAAAGACATCTGTGCATCGAGGATCATGTCAGAGGGCCCCGATGGATTCCGCAAAATAGCCTCATGAGCGGTCGTCTGTGTTAACGCGGCGCACTCGATGGTACGAGGCCGGGTCTCCGAGTTCGGTAATATCGGGTCGCGCGGAGGCCGACTCCGACTCCGGCTCGGGGGCTATCGGAGCTCGGCCGACTGAGGTGATAATTACTCGATTCGAGCAGGTCCATTTGATTGTCTTCTTGGCTCTGCTTGGAGGCCATCTTTAGACTACACTACACGAGCATGATATCACGAGCACTTCTCAACCGCGCGTTGATAAGGAAGCCACTGAACCAGAAACAAGGACAATCCAGCATGTCACCAACGTCTAGACTGACTCGCTAACGCAGGCCGCCAGGGTTACAACGACATGGTCCGTTAAAATGCTGACAAAAGGTTCGATCCGCGCCCGCATGCTGATACGCACCCGCGAGCCATGTTGCGAAGCACGCAATCTGATCCACTCTGCGAGACATGGCATCGCGGAGCCGCTTTCTGGTCGAGCTTTGGAGGCAACTAAGTCCTGTGCTTGCTGCAGTAGCTCCGCTGTTCCTGCTATTCTGCTTGCTTTTTTCTTCCCTCTGACGCATGCATCGCCGAGCAATTGTCTTATCTCGCTCTGCATGGCCGAGTCTTGTTAAGTCAACCCCCGCTTGAACTGCGCCGTCCCGCCTGCTGGGCCCCCGTGAGAGCGGCCTGGGGAGACAAACCTGGTGAGACAGTCCTGGTGAGAGAGCCCCAGCAAAGTCTCTCTGGTGGCCCAAAATGGCATCTGAGATGAAGGCCTCGATCCACCGCTTCCGTCTACGGAGGGTGTCTCCATCGCCACGGGATGCCGGTCGGGCCCGCTCCGCCTCACCTCCCAGCGGCCCGTCTCATGACCTGCAGCAGCAATCGTCACTTCAGCAGCGGCAGCCACCACTATCAACTCCTCACAGAGGCACCGGTTCTAGGGAGGTGAAGCCTGTACCCCCGGCGTGTGACCGCTGCCGCAGCTTCAAGAAGAAGTGCAGTCGCACGTATCCCGTCTGCTCGCTCTGCGCCGGCGCCGGCCAGCGCTGCTCCTACTCAAACCCCGTGGCCAGCGCCGAGGCTCAGGCCCACCAGCTGCGGGCGCGTGTCCAATGGCTTACCCGGTACATTGACGAGAATGTGCTCGTGCCGGGGCGGTCCAGCGGCGTGAATGCCGTCGAGACCGGAGCCGACTTGACGGCGATCCTGGGCGCCGGGCTCCACGCCGGACGGGATCCCGCGCACTCGGCCACGGGATCGTCTCCGTTATCACGGGTCCCTGTGCCGGTGACGCCTCCGCTGGAATTGAATACGGCTCGTGATGTTGCGGGACCTGTCACTTTCATTGGCGGGCGTGATCAGCTCATGGTTGACCAACAGAGCATCGACGGCCGCATCGAAGACCACGATCCAGGCAGTGTTGGAGCCACCAGCAGCCACGTCTCATATCAGAGCTCTACGGATGGGTCGAACAAGCGGCGCCTGGTTACGCACCAAGCCCTCCCCCCTGATATCCCCGCAAGCCGCTTCGTCGACGCCTACTTCCGCCACGTCAACCGGGCATATCCCTTTGTGGACCAGGCCAAGGTCCGCCGCGACTTGGAGTCGTTGGGAGACATATCGCAAGTAAATCGAGATCCTTCGGCAACTCTGCTGTATCTTGTCATGGCCATTGGGTGCACCACGTTGGAACGAGCTGGCCAAGTCCCTCGCGGGACGGGAGAGCGGTTTAACGTGGCCTACCCCAACATCATCCAGGAGTGTTTATGCCACGAGGGCATAGAGTCGGTCCAGATCCTCGTGCTACTGGGCCTCTACTCTCTCTTTGACCCAGCGGCCATCCCAGCATATTCTATCGTCGGCATCGCAGCCCGCCAGGCCATGGTCATTGGTCTAACACGCCCGGTGCCCGACGAGCAGGCCCTACCAGCTGGCGATAAGGAGCTGCGGCATCGCTTGCACTGGAGCATCTTTGTCCTGGACCGCATGATGGCCGGGTCCCAGGGCCTCCCCGTGGCACTCACCGACGAGAACGCCAGCGTGCCACTGCCGGGCCTGACCGTCGAGGAGTTTGCAAGCCCGGGGCGGGCTGTGTACGCTCGCAACTTGCAAACCAGTCGACACATCATCCAACTCCGGCAGCTCGAAGATCGCATCCTCCAGGGCGTCCACCTCCGCAAGCAGGCCGACGCCGTGGCGCTGTCGCCGGCAGATCGGCGAGCGGTGCTGAGCAGTCTCCGGGCTGAAATCGAGGACTGGTACAGCAACGGCTGTCTCATGTCGCCCATGGACGCGGACAACGTGCCCATTCACAGTAGCATCACCTGGCTAAGCTCACAATACTATCATTTGCTAGTAATTGCGTACTATCCTAACCACTTCAACAGCACCGCCGCGGCTGTCACGCGCCAGGAGCTGCTAGAATTTGCAAGAAAGCAACTTCAGGCCATCTCCGTGCTCCTCCAACAACGACAGCTGCCCCTCAACCGCGTGACGCTTTGCCGCCTTCTCCCTGTGTGTCTGCTGCTGATGCACGACTTCGTGGCGACGAGCAGAACGGCGGAGTGGGAAGGTCAGACGGCGGCCCCTTTCGCTGCCAGGGATGAAGTGACCGAGCTCATCGTAGTTCTCGAGGCGTTTCCCAAGGGCTGGGTCATCGCCCACCAGGCGGCGGCGATCCTCCAGCAGTTTGCTGGCATCATCGCGGGCGGCATGACGGCATTCTTTGGCAACCAGGGAGTGTTTCCTCTGACCAACAGCCTGGCCCACGGAGGAGCGTCGTCTGGAAAGCAGAGCACCGAAGAGCTGATGAACCCGTGCATTTCCCGGTTCAGCGCGCTGGTGCAGCAGATGTTAGGCAAGGCGACATGTTTCCAGTTCGTGTTATACCCGCCGGAGAGAAATGGAGACGAGCGGGTGGGCAACCACATCAATCTGGGGGCACAGCAGCCGACTCCGAACCCGCTCTTCTTCGGCGACACAGATGTGGGCGGTGTAGTGAACGATGAGGCGGTACTGGGCTATGGCTGGGGCTCGTGTTGGGATCTAGACTTTTTGTAAATAGGGCGGTTGATTTGCCTTGTTTAATTTCCGAGTTGCAAGGTGTTGTCGGCGGGAATGAGGTTCACAGGCGTTAGAGGAAGGCGGTTTACTAGCATATGATGGGCTCTTACGAACTCGCTCACGCAGGAACGTGTTAAATTACATGTTGTTCGCTATACCAGAACCAATTATTCCTACTCGTCGCCTTTTGCCCAGCAAGGGTCCCACACGTAAGGTCCAGCTATTCCAGTCTTGTGACGCTGTTTCCGCATATACTCTATGTGGCTAGGGCCCAGGATGACCTTTCTTTGTCTCACCGTCTTTCTGATAATCTTGTCTATCTTCTCGCGGGGATTGCATTTGGGGTGGTTGTCGAGACAGGACATGTAGGAGCTGACCTGGCTGACGGACGAAGCCAGGTCTGTGACGCTCTCCAGTATCTCATCCGCCGACTCGGGCATAACAGAGCCTCTGAATTTTGTCATGCCGTACCAGACGCTCCCCAAGATAGAGTAGTCGCACTTTTGCGACTCCTTCTTGCAGCAGACTTGAAACCCAAGCAGGTCCTTGATGAGAGCGTGGACCACGTCGAGGATGGGTTGGATGAGGTCGGTCTTTCGGAATTCACTTATCATCTCTACAGCCACGATTAGTGGAGATCGAGCAGCCATTAGATCAACATACCAAGCAGATCCGGCGGGCCCAGGTAGTCGTAGTTTTCAAGGCATATGCCGTCGGGCGTGGTTAGGCGGCCCTGGTCATCGACAGAGCTCCCAAGCAACAATTTGTTGATCATTGTGGTAAAAAGGTCCTCGTTTCCCATTTCCCATGCCACATATGTCAACATGGCAAGGCTACATCCATCCTCTTTCTCTTGGGCGTTGTCGGCAACCTCCATCCAACAATCGGCCCAGGGCTGCACGATTTCCGTCATGTCATACTTGTGAGCCAGCGTCAAGATGTGATAGATCTCTGACAGCGGCGGCTGCCTGGGAACAAGTATAAACCTCGTGTGGATGATGTTCAGAATCACAAGCATCGGGTCTGCTTGATCGTCCGGGAGCGATACGACCCAGGAGCCTTCGGCGGGTTTCGCTTCCTTGAACCCGCCATACAGCATGCTCTTCCATACCGGGGAAGATCGCCGCAGAGTGTTGGAACAGACAACGTATTCTTGCTCGCGCTCGTCGGCCTCGGCGCCAACACGGAGGACCAGATCGCCGCCGCTGTCTATCACCATGGGTTGGGGCGGAGACTCGCTCGGAGGTGAGGCGGGTCCGGAGGGTATATCCTCCAAGTGCTTGGAAGGCGGGGCCTCCGATTGCTCCTCGTCCAGTAGAGACATTGCTCTCGCGAAATAGAGATGTCGCTAGGGAGATGTGATATGTTTAGGAAACAGATAGGATTAAACTGTAACGGTATGATAGCAAGAACTCAGGCTAGTCGGGATCTATCTGGCGCATGCGATGGAGACGTGAGATTTAGGCATCAATCGGCGTATGTACCGGGACTATGTAGAGGAGGGGTTTGGAGTCGTTTCAGCTTCCAACTGCCGGCGACTTACATTGTCGTTTGTCTGGCCGAAATATGCAGTCCCCCGCCAATTTTTTCGTCGGCGAATCATGTGAGGGAGTTCTCCTGGTCACGCATCCTTCTGCCGAACTTGTGCGATGCTCTAACGCAGCTTGGTGCTGGAATGTGATTCGAAAGCTAGCGATAGGCGCATCCTGTCCAGTCTATCTCTTCTGCGGCCTGAGTAACTGCGGCTGCTGGTATTTACGGGAGGAATACACGTTCAATTCATTCAACAATATACAAAAGGTAGTCCCAGAGCGTCGTTGGCGGCGTTCTGTATTGATGTTCCCAGGTAATCCCTCATAAGCCGCTGCCCAATTTCAGCACACGGAGTCTCGAAAATGTCCACCCAGGGCATCTGGCGGATACCTGACATGATTTCATCCCACGATGCCGCCCTCGGCTCTCTCATTTCGTTGCCTATCATCCTCATCGCGGTCGCGAGGTCTTCCTCACTAGGTTCACTAATGCTGCAGAGAACGAGCAGCCAAAGTCGGACAAGCCATAGGCCAGGACTGTTCCAGACAAGTTCCGCGTTGAGCTCGCCCGACAGCATCTTTAGCAACGTTGAGATGCGTGCTTCAACTGTTCCGGGATAGGAGCGACATCTTCGCTTCACCCGTATGATCCAGATGATGGCACCGAGCCGAAGCGCCTCCGAAATAACGTCACAATGCGTCATTGGCTCTGGCGATCTTGTTGGTTGCTGATCGAGCAAGTGGTGAGTGACTGGGTTGATGAGAAAACCCATCTGCTCTTCATCATCCCAGATCGCATCACCTTTGGTCGCCAGCTCGAACTGGAGCAGCGTGGCAATCTCATTCAGATCACCTATGCAGGACATGACGCCCATGAACCGCGTATCCTGCTTGTTCTCGTCGATGAGGACGCTGGGTAGTGGACCGGGCAGCATCTCTAAGCCCGAGTAAGATATGCTTGCACTGGTCATGGCCTTGGATAATGGGAACAGAGGTTTTGTGTCGTGGAGCAATGCTGCAGTAATGTCCACCCTGAAGTGAGTTGTTAGTAGTCGTGTAAAATTCCACGATTGACGATTAAATACAGATTTCGTGTTGCGAGCCATACCATGAAATCATGAGCATCAGGTCCTGGTTGGCCTCCAAGGTAGAGATGCCACCTCTTGCCGCAATCACCATCCACATGCCCTTGACATGGATCATCGCCTGGTCAAAATCCAAGCTTGTAAACTTGACTCAAAACTTCAGCCACACGCTCAAGCCCACGCTCCCCATACCTAGAACTTACATTGTAGCAAACCATTGCCAGCACCGCATTTATTACACTCTCGGACGTCGCGCTACTTAAATCGGAGCTGGCAAGCCTAGATTCAACACACTGAATCGTCACTAGAGAGCGTTCCAACGCCAGAGATCTGAGCTCCCTAGCGGACCTCCGGTATAATGGAATAAGGACGTTGGGTGAATTGAAAATCTGTTGGTAGTGGTGAAGAAAGGCGGATTTTCTAAAGGCGAATGGGAACCAGAAGGTGTTTGTAGAGCGAGCTGTGTCATTGAGTTTTAGTAAGTGGTGAGAATCGACTTCACGGAAGACTTGTGGGGGGGTTCTTACTAGAGCTCATTGCGTTGTTTCCTGCGACCATGATTAGAGTGAATCCGTATGCTGAGAACCAATCCTCTCCCCATTCCTTCTCGAAAACGGATAATGCATGTAAAATGGGCGGCGTTGCATATGGTGCAGCAGTATGATATGGTGCGACTAAATCTTTCGCTGGAGCTTGTGCATGGTCATCTCGGATCTCTCGACTCGTCGAATCTTCACCTTGGCGGGTGTTCGATTGAGCCCTTGGCGTTTCCGCATGCCATACTAAAGTCACGAATGGAGAGGCTTTTGGTGGCTTCCTTCGGGACCTCCCAATGTCGGCCATGAGATGGCGACGCACCTTGGAGTCGAGCGACTGGCTGCGGGTGCGACGTTGAGTAGGATTATCGGCATGCAAGAAGAGGAGGCGTCTCTTCTTTGGGGGCTCCATCATCAACTGTTGTCGAATGTCTCTGAGCGATAGATGGAGAACGGATTACTCGTCATGTTTGAGTGAAGGGCGGGTGTTCGTTAGACATCTTCGGAATTCCGTTACTAGCTAAGGCCACATGAAGAATCGGCTCAGGGAACAATCGACAGTGCCTGACAATCACTCAAGACAACCAGTTACCTAGATACTGTAGGTGATTTCAAATCAACAGCCCAAGCAGATGATTGGTAATCATACCGATAAGTTTTAACTACGTACTCGCTGCAACATTGGTTCCTCGATCTTACCATTTTCGATGCACCATTGACCCTTTTCGGCGACTGGGCCAACGTGATGACAGTCTGGTCGTAGGCATTCCGATTGGCTCAAGAAAATAAACCGACCTGAAGCGAATGAATCGGCAGGGATGCAAGTAAAGGACTCACTCTTGTTTGCCTAAGCTGCTTTGGATACACCACGACCCTGTTGAGGCAAGGTCAAAACTTGAGCGACTTGCGATTGCTTCACTCCAGTGGCAGCTGGGGCAAAATGAATCGTAACGTCCAGTCGAAATGTTGTTCTGCTTGCAAGTTCGTCATGATGATAGGGGAACGAAATGCGTATAAATATGAAGCAAGAACCCGCCGTCGATAAGAACAACCAACACTTGAAAAGCAGATTCATCACACCTTGCGACCTCACTACTGGCTTCCGCACGACTTTGAACTTCTCGACAGCTTTTAACTCTATCGTTTTTCCATTAAATCACCCGCGCCCATCATGAGCACAGAGGAGAACATCACGCTCTATTGCGAGGGCACTCCCAATCCACTCAAGATTTCCATCGCGCTGGAAGAGCTGGGCTTGAAGTACAAGGTACGATTCCATCATCGCCCAATATCGTCAAACTCACGTTCCTTTGTTTGGGAAACCCTGACACAGTCCGTATGTAGGTACGCGCAATCAAGCTCTTTGAGCATGAGCAGAAAGAGCAGTGGTACCTTGACATCAACCCCAACGGTCGCATCCCAGCCATCGTCGACAAGGACGAGAACGGCCAGGAGCTCAAGATTTGGGAAAGTGGTGCTATCTTGCAGTATCTCGTGGACCGGTACGACAAGGACCACAAGATCTCGTATCCCCACGGCACTAAAGAACATTGGGAGATGACGAACTGGGTAAATCTGCCATACCTTTATCATCATGCTCTTTGAAGAAGTGACGACCTCTGACGGGATATGCATAGCTCTTTTGGCAGGTGAGCGGCCTTGGGCCTATGCAGGGACAGGCAAACCACTTTGAGAGTATGTTTTGAACTGCGATGCTACGGTTCCCCAACACTGCCCTGGCGATGGAAAGGAAAAGAGTTCTGACCTGAGATGACAACAGTGTCCGCGTTCGGCGACTATCCATACGCCCTGAATCGCTACGTCAACGAAACACGCCGCCTCTATCGCACCATGGACAAGGCACTCGCCAAGAATCCTTCAGGATACCTCGTCGGTGACCATCTCACTATTGCCGACATTGCCATCTGGCCATGGGCCACCGCGTACAGTAAGAGGAATATCCCAAAACCGCTCCGTGGCTAAGAAACTAAGTGACGGCGGCTTGCAGAGTACAGTGGTCTATCCCAAATCGACGAGTTCCCTCACGTCAAGGAGTGGATGTACAGGCTCCTATCGCGTCCTGGGTTCGAGAAGGGTCGGAATGTGCCGCAGCCTCATATTTACCTCCAGCTTAACAAGCTGCCGGATGAGGAACTGAAGAAGATTGGGAGAGAGAGGTCGGCTTGGATTCAGGAGGCTATGAAGCGCGATGCTGAAGCCTGATACGGAACATTGTTGCGTCGGACCGGGTCTGCTGTATGGCTAAGCTCAGCTCCGTAGTGAAAGTCTTGTTACACCTTCCCTCGGCTGTAAGGGAGCCAGGCCTGTGCTGTGGTCTCCAGCCTGGTGATTTGCTTTCATTGGCTTGGACCTGATCTTTAGATGTCGGAAGCTTGGCCTCGAACCGGCGATTGGCGCCCACAGCCTCGGACCTGGGTGGGCTCTGGAATTGCTTGTTCCTTGCCAGGATAACAAGGATCACGTTGTCCCTATGAAGAGTATCCGTACAGTAGATATTCCAATTGACGTGCTGCGTTTGACGATACTGAGATCTAACAGGGATTGAATTGAGCCGCCGAGTAGTCTTCCAAAAAAAAAAAAGGTCATCTCATGGCCCTGTTGCCAATTGGTGTACCGTCTGACCGCTTCGGATGATGGTGCTTCGGACGCTTCGTTCGTCGTCTGGGCCATACTTGACGAGGAAAACGACTCAGGAGGCGGTACTCCTGAAATCTGGAACGGAGGGCTTCAGAGAGCCATATTCTGTCTTGCAAAGATTCTTCTAATGGGAAGACTATTCATAAGAAGATTTTACTAATAAAAAGACTACTAATGAAAAGACAACACTATAGTCGATAAGGGCCGAAGTCCTTATATCCCGCGCCTTTGACGAAGGTCTGCAACCACGGACCCTGCGTCTTCGCCTCTGTGAGCTCCCAGAAGAGCTTGGCATGTGCCTCTCCATCGATCTTGAAAGCGGCCGAGCCGTCCGCCTTCCGTTCATCAACATAATAAAATCTACAAACTGTTAGTCACATCCACTCGGGCGTTAAAGCACGGCGGGGATGACATACTTGAATCCTTTCTCTTTGTATTCAGCGGCAGCAGCCATCATCATATGCGCAGACGCTGACTTGCCAGCGCCCGATTCCAGAAACTGCGGGAGGGGTGTGACGTTTAGAATGTTCCCCGTGAACATAAATACCCTTGGCGCATGGGCAGGGAGCTCCGCGAAGCCGAGGACGGCCTGTTGGGCAGCGACAAAAACACTGGTGTTGTTGACGGCCATGTCTCGCTTGAAAGCATCCAACGGGATCGCAAAGGGGTCGTTGGGGGGAGCGAATGTCGCGGCGCCGGCTGTGAATTCTTAGCAGGGCATTCAGCTAGAGTCCTCTCGTGCTAAGACTTACCGTTGTAGACGACTACGCTTGGGATTCCCAGCTCCTTTCTAACCTTTGTGAAGGCTTGGACAACATCGTCAGGGTTGGCGAAGTCGCTTTTGATGTGAAGTTGATTGTCTGTGCTGTCCACCTCCTTCAGCGACCGGGCTGCGATTGCAACCTTATAGCCTTTCGAAGCAAAGGCCTTTGCGGCTGGCAGACCGACTTTGGGACCCGCACCGAGGATGAGAGCGACAGGAGATGTTCCAGGCATGGTTTGGAATGTACGAGAAAAGTCAGACTGTGTGTGTGTGTGTGTGTGTGTGTGTAGTCGAGCAAGAAAGCAGGAAGTCTTCGCCTACCATTTATATACTTATCTTCTCGTTGAGGCAAAGAAGGGGGACAGGGAATAGTAATACCCAATCGGCCATCGGCCAAGCGATTCGAGGCGGCGAGATTTCTACTGGTAGCGTTTGTAATCAATATTGCAGTTCCGCTTACTCCGAGTAACGCGTGGCATAGATAGTAGGTCTCACACGTAGCGTGCGTATTTTCCGCTTTGATAGCTACAAGCCGACCAAGCTGTTCTGACTTTCAGGCTTGAGGATTGGCTCGGCCGTCCCCATATAGAGTCTTGCTAATCTAAGAGGATGCGGATCAGCCCTACAGCATTGCTACAGTAGCGTAGCGGTGTCCCAGGGCGTAGCGCGGGATTGCGTTCTACCGACAGCAGCTAAAAACAGGCATGTTCCTAGGCCTACTATACTTAGTCATCGCGGACCCGGACCCTTCGGAAGGTCCGAACTCGAATACACCATGCCCAATTCCGTTCGTCACCAATGTAGTTCTGTCTACGAGTCCTCCGCTCCGGCTGACTTTCTTGCCTTGTAGTTGCGTAAGCTTGGATATTTGCTATTCCTTGGCTACTTGAGTCCATTTAGTTGAGAGTCCACCTGATACAATACGAATCATCAAGGGATAACAAGCTGACAAACGTTGGCAATGCTACGTAGGAGTTCCATTTCAAGGAAAATAGTAATCAAGTTCAATGTGCTTTGGGCTGTCGGAGAGGAGGCGGTGATGCATTTAAAGGAGATCAGAAGTCCGTGATCCCGGGTCTATCTCGCGCTCTATCATCTCTCCTGGGTCTTTCATCATCAGCCACCATTTAAATCAATTCCCAAGCTTTCCGCCTAAAATCAATTTTCGGATAACTCGACACACCTTCATCAAAATGGGGGACATGAAGCCGATCAAAGTGTTGGGAGTCCACGGGCCTAACGCTGGCAAGGTTATTCTCCTCTGCGAGGAGCTAGGACTGCCATATGAGACGGAAATGATCCCGCTTACCGACGTCAAGAACCCCAAGTACGTCGCCGTCAACCCGAACGGGCGGCTACCGTCTATTCAGGATCCAAACACAGACCTCACGCTGTGGGAGTCGGGCGCCATTATCGAGTACTTGACAGAGAAATATGACAAGAACCACAAGCTAAGCTTCGTGCCGGGCACAGCTGAGGCCTACCACGCTCGTCAGTGGCTCTTCTACCAGACCACCGGTCAGGGACCGTACTACGGGCAGGCGATGTGGTTTATTATCTATCAGCCACTTCCCGAGGCGCGCGAGCGCTACGTCAAAGAGGTCAACCGCGTAACTGGCGTGCTAGAGAGACACCTGGCGAAGCAGAAGCCTGACGCGGACGGCAACTCCTGGTTCTTAGGTGGCCGGCTCTCGTACGTGGACATCGCCTTCTTTACATGGCAGCACACAGCTGAGCCGCGAATTCCGAACGAAGAGTTCAACGAGGATGACTACCCGCACGTCAAGAAGTGGTGTGACAACATGCTTGCGCGCCCAAGTGTGAAGAAGGTCCTGAAGCTCCAAGAAGCCAAATAGGCTGTGGCAGGTCATTGTTGTAGGGGTCTTTCTGCCTTACACAGGCGAGTCACTGCTGTGAGGGGGGGTAGAGACGAAGGGATGCTTGTTATTATCGGGGATAGAACTGTCTGTGAAAACTTCGTTCGCCTTCCGCATATCTTTCGTCTTTCGCATATGAGTATATTTTGTGTGGATCGGCGTCGCCGTACTGGTTACTGGAGGAGCTTGAGAAAACGTGGGTTGAGGTTTTATCCGGCTAGCTCAGACTGAGGTCGGGGCTACACGGTTCCTCTACCAGAATGCAGTGCTACTATATAAACCCTATATGGATTCAGTTAGATTGTGGACGAAATAAAAAAAAGTATTCTGTGTGTGTGATGCTGTCAAGTTGACGCTACACCAAGGACGCAGCCACTTACATATCAAGTTGCAAAACAGGACGGTGAATAAATTACTGCTGCCTTGTACGCCTCCTGCCTAATCTTTGATGTCATTGTGTTTCTTTCCGAGCACAGGTTGAACCTCAAGAAGGCTTCCCGGCTCTTAATGACTGGTTAGGGCGCATGAAGGCCAGTCCTGTCATCTCGAACGTCCTGCAGGACCGGTTTGCGGCTACAGAGGCCAAGTAAAAGCGTGTTCGGGGTCAAGGCAACCTGTCTAGCGGCATCCATCCTGCTGCTTGGGCGAGGTAGAGCATCCATAAAGTTGTATTAAAACAATCATGGTGGAATAATTATGTAAAGGACGCCGTAGACCTTAGACTGAAAAGTTGAACAGCCTTGTTTGCTTCATTGTTTAAGCTGTTGCAAGTTCGATGCATTCGTCTGAGTTCCTCGGATCGTGAGGATGTTCTTGGATCCCTGGTAAGCGTCTCCAGCAGACGTAGAAATGGCTTGACGAGATGAAGGTCTGAAAGTGCGTTTGATGACGTAGGGTTCTGTGTTAAATTATAGAGCATACTGCTGGCTGCAGCGAAGAAAGCGTGAAGAAGCATCCTAGAGTGAGTCAGAGAAAGAATTCTGGAAGGTTCTGGTTCTTAAGAGATCATTTACCAGACGCAAGAGCAGTCTCCTTGAGGGATGGCTTCAATGAGACGGATCGCTTTGCGTGACTCAGTGAGACATAGACTGCCTGGGGGTAATAATAGTTCAGACCGGCTGAGATCTTGATCGGAGGGAGATCGCGGCGTCGGGGGCAAGTGGCGATCAATCATTGTCAGGCAATGAAGATATGTGAGTCGAAGAACCACCTTGTGGATCATTTCGCCTGCCATTTGGGATTCTGACAACACCGCGGAGTCCTCTGGCGATTCCAGCTGCGCACTGGACTTCCAGTACGATAATAAAGAACTCAACTCTTGTGCCGCAATCGCCCTCTGTGTCTCCGATTGTCGTCCAGCCCGGATCGAGTACAACTGTTTGTACACCTGCCCCTGAATAACTGCAAGCCCTATGCGATAGTTGAAGAGGTCCACGTTACATGACTCAAGACTTGTATTTGATGGCAGTCGGACATCCATGTCATCATCATCCTGGCTGAAGGGTCGGCCCGTCCGTAGACTGATATCCTTGTCAAGAACGTATACCTTCCAAAACACCCGCCTCCGTGTCTCAGCTTGTGATTTCGTGAGGGTTGGGTCGGAACACTCTCTGTGCAAATTCATAGCCTGTGCCAAGCGCAGGGCGGCGGCTACGAGCATTGAGGCTGGCTCCGGATTCGAGGTTCCCTGAAGAATGCAAGCCATACCCACCAGAGCCTGGACGACGGAGAGGCTGCGGTCAGAGACGTTCAGCTCGGAGACGACGCTTAGGGCGTTTTGTATGTAACCAAAGGCTAGGGTGTTCTCATGCGTCGGGTCCAATGTGCGCAGGCCGCGGAGACGATGAGCTATCGACAGCACGACATTGAGACAGGCCCACCAACCAGCATCTCCAGGATTGGAAGTCGAGTACTTGAGTTGAAACTCTCTCAAGAAGTCCTCTTCATCAAAAAGCGGAAGGAACCTATTATAGTTGTTGAAAGTTTCCTTAACCAGCTCCAGAGCGACTACTTTTGTGGGAAGCTGCTGGCGCGTTGGTAGAGAAACTGGTCGTAACTCTGGAGCGGGATGCGGCCATAGACTGTCGGCTAGAGGGTCAATTATAAAACCCCCCAGCGCAGACAAATCAGGTTCGCCGTAGTCGTGTGTCCGGATTAACCCTAGATTGCTCGTTTGTTCGAGTGACGGAATTTGTGAGGCGCTCATTGACATCCATGGATTACTTTCGTTAGGGGATGTAATCAGTGCCGACGTGTCAAGCGATACTGTGGGTGTCGTTTGCTCTTTATGCGAACTGTTGTCAGGCACATTTGGCTTCCTCGAAGACTTGTCTCCTAGAAAACTCTCCAGTTCTAAAAGCCTTTCCTCGAGGTGTGCGATGTATTTGAAGCTGCGGAACGTTTAATAGACGCAAACTCGGTGGGCTGGAGTAGTAGACTAACCCAGCTGGTCTGCGAGGCTTCCTCCTCACTGCAATTGGCGTGAAGTGGCACCTTGTGCAATATTTGGTGCACTGAGCGCATCCTTGCGTGGTAGGCTCGCAACGGATCTTTTTCTTCCGGCACATGTCGCAAGCCTTATCTTAGAGTGTCAACAGAGGCGGGATGGCATTAAATTTCCGGGTTCACTCACACGAACAATGACTTGCCGCTCTACTTCCCTGAAACTTGGCTGGACCCTGAAACCCGTTTGTGACTCCATGAGTTGCGGTGCGAAGGTCGCCCCAGATTGAAAGGGTGTAAGGAGAATACCCAAAAAACTTGGACCTAATTGCTTCGCTGCTTAAAAGCGACGTCGAGGAAATTGAGGGAGCAAAGTCTTGCAAGAGGGCTCAGCTCTCGCGTCATGATCAGACAGGAGATTGATTATAAATCAGGCTCCTTGCATATCATCAAGTCAAGGGTGGGGTGGTAATTAACTACCCTTTGGCATTGTGAGGCAAGCCGCTTACTAACCTCGTTCCGAGATTGGTCCTATACTCCTTGTCATCCAGAGTTGCTCAACAAGATGCCACATTAGCCGTCTGCTCGTCACGTCCCATGTTACGGCTGGCTATCACGACACGGGGAGATCATTCTGATCAACTTCGCCACATCGAATGTGCGTTTCCATGTGGGTGCAGTAAAATCGGGTTTGATAACGCGTGCCTTGCATGCACATCGGGAGAGGGCATACAGAAAATCGTCGCTTTGAGCTTCTTCAAATCTCCACATGCTCGAACGCCTCCAGCACTGTTGCGAATCGTTCCATGCAACTTTGTTGTGGACACTCAAACCTGCCTAGGCTAGTTCGCCCATGACGGATGCAAATTCGGGAGAGCTACCATACGGTTGTTGGACAAGCCAATTGATTACAACTCTACTCCTACCCAACGAATATAAGTCATTTCAGTCGATCGCAAACCAAGACGGAAATGAGATAACAAACTCATTCGTATCTTCTGGAAACTTGCCCCGGCTATGCATGCTCTATTCCTTCAATCACTTGCTTTCGGGCCTTACACTTCAGACATCTGTACCCAATCCATTAAGTCAATCTTATTGTGAAATGGATGCCCTGAAATGAACTGCAGACATGCAGCTCAAATACTCCCCCCCGAGGCCTTTATAAGCGGTGTGACTGCACTCCCTTGAGCATCTACCGAATACCAGAGGATTTTGCGACCCTCTTATGCCCGTGAATTTGCGTCTTCTCCCACTGCGGACTCCCGTGAGACGGATGGGAAACCTCTCGTTCTTGTATCTCAAGATTTCTCTGCGGCCCAATCCTTCTATCGTCGCATGATCACATGGGAAATTTGTGCAGAGCTCCTTGAGTTTGAAGGTCTGGTCGGCATCATTGCCCGAAAGACTATCAACGCAGAGTTGCACATTACCCTTGGTATCTAGCCTGCAAAGCTTGATGTCAAACGACTTGGCAAGATAGACCCTTGGGCAATCTGAGATTTCGATTGGTTCAAGGTAGTTCCTATCTGCAGCGTCAGAATCGACCTCGGAGCGGCCGTCGTGGGATTCATTAGAGCTGCTTTGGCTCTCGGAGAGGTCAAATTGCACCCGGCGGTCTGATACAGAATGCGAATCGAGTTTGTCTGTGCTGAAAGCTAAATCTTTCAGGGTATCTGTTTCAGTCTCGGAATCCTCATATGCAAGGGCCCCAGAAGCCACAGGGCGGGAGCTTCCAGGTTCCTTGTGTTGGCGTGAACGGTCTTTTCGGCTCGTGAAATTCGGCGGAACACTCTCGTCTGTCTCTCTATGCGGCGCTCTTTGCGTTGGCTGGACTGGATTCTGTCGTCTGGTCTCGTTGGAACGTTGTGCCGCGTGGGTGGATGCTTCGTGCGTGGAGGTACTGGCGCTGTAGCTAGCAGTACGCTTTCTTTTCCTTTTGGTGATCCTCGGGACCTGGTCGACCTTTTTTGATTGTGTCGAGATGCACTCCTTGAGCTTGTTCAAAACGGGCTGCACCTCTTCTTCTCTGAGGCTTTGGATAGCTCTTTGAGTCTTTGTATGGCTAAGGTTGATCAGTTAGCTTCGACAGTTCCTGGGCGGGAGAGGTTCTTACCCAGAGTCTGTACGGGAGAGAACAGTGACGACAAATGCAACGTGCAGTGATGACTTGGCGTACTCCACGGCCTGAAAAAGATTTCTGATTTTCTCTGCGTCAATGGGAAAGAGATCCCGACGTCTCCGGTTCCCCAGTCTCAACCACCCATTGGATCTTTGAGGGTCATGGCCGTCCTTCTGGAGTGTTTGTAGAATTCCCCCAGCATCCTTGGTGAGCTTGTCGAGGTTTGACTTGCATACTGCCACCAGTTCTCTCCTTTTACCATCAACTTCGATAATAATGGCATCATTTTGTCCAGATCGGTGCTTGCAAATGTCATTAACAATCGTTTGAATCTATGTAATCTCGTTAGCCGTAGCGTGATCCGGGGTGTCAAAGCAGACAAACATGGATAATATTGTGTAGCGCGTCAATGTACCGCTTCCAATCGTCCTTTGCATTCTTGATTTTAAATTCGTAGCGCACAAGATTGTCAAGGACATTGATCAGATCTTCGCAGTCCACAACTGCGCCAGAGGGGCTCATAGCGGCTTGGTACACTGGGGTTGAAGAATGAGAGCTATATGGCAAGTGGTGGTTTAAAACCGAAATGGGGGCGTATGGGAGTCATCAAGGACTACAATTAAAGGGTTTTGGTCACACCACGGTTGTGGTTCATTGAATATACATGTATGCTGCGACATATCATATGGAGGTCCCTGTGATGCTGGTATGACCAGGTGATGCGCACACTGAGGGGTTGGGGACGCACAATGTAACTCTACGGATTACAACATGCTCGCAATCGTTCGCGGAGACAGCACCCTGCGGCAAAAGCCAAAGCCTTCAGAACGGCCAGTCTTGGTACCGAAATACGTGGCAATGTTTCCAGGAAAATACGACACTAAGTCCACCCTTTCGTCTGCAAGAATTCAACGCGTCGGGCAATAAGATCCAATAGACACAACGCCGAGTCCTGGATAGGCCGCCTTGAAAACGCCCGCATTACAATCATGCAGTAGTACGACAGCTGCCAATCAATCGCTTGGGATTTGTGAGGCGGGGTGTTGTGAAGTGCAATTATCTGGATGCCGGCAGAACAAATGACACACACAACCATCATTGTGCAACCCAGGTAGCACACCATATTCCTGCCACTGCATATTTCCCCTAGCCCCAATTGGCCAATTCCGGGTTATCTATCACTTACCACATATGATAATAAACCTTTCGGGTTGATATTGCATGTTAGGCCGTAATGCGTACTCCTCTCGACAGCCCTGTCGCGAACAAGTGCAAAGGTGACATGGGGCAATCTACCTCATTGGCCTCTATCAGAAGACACGTCCAACGCCCATGGGTTCAAGCGCTGGATAAGTTGACATTAGGGAAGTTAAACGATTGGGGACTCCCATTCGATATACACGATTCGTTCATCAATTGAAAGGACAACCCATTTCCGTAGATACGTGTTAGTGGGCCTTTCTTTTCGTGTAAGAGGATGACTCGATTCGTATGTTTGTACGGGAACACAACTTATGCGCATCATAAATATAGCGTGTTTTCAGACACAATGGCTAACTGTGGCATGCGATTCAATCACTCTACATGGAAGTGTTCTGAGACTGCTGGCAAGGCAAACATCTAGAAAGACATCAGTGATCGTGTCGACGATTCTTTAATGTGAAATATAATACATCTAAGACGGCATATCTTATTTTATGTAAATTGGAGCGATTTAGTAATCCCCACTCGGCCGTTACTCGGTCGGTTCACTGCACGGCAACTATCCTGGCCTCCAGGTATCCAGTCGCGTATCCTGCAAGCTGCCTTCACCAACAGCATGAACCTGATAGTTGATGCACGGTTGCATGAACATATTACAAGAAAGGTTATTTTCGCCGAAAAATAACCAACATGTTTCACGGCACTAGATTTTGTCAATTCTGACGCTGTCGCTTTGACCGCCGCACTCCGACAATGGCCTCCCGCAGCAGCTCGGATCTTGGTAGGGCGCCCCTTGCCAGGATCATGATCTCGAGGAGTTTGGATACAAGTGGGACGCAGGAAGTTTGAACCCGAACGCTTATGCCGTGAGAGCTTTACGAAGCATAATAAACAAGTATCTCTTGCTGCTTGAGAATAAGGCATCTTGAAAAAAAAAATTTGAAAAAAAAATATATAAAGACAAATAGAAGTGCTTTATTTTCTCTTACCCGAACCCTTATATATTAGCGATAAACTGTGCCCTAGTATAATTATATGAGTGACTTAGATGGGTACAGACTTTGTGCATCCCACCGCACAATCAAATAGGCGCCGTCAGACAGAGGTGCGAAGTGCATACGACGTACACCTCTTCTGGTCAATCGGCACACGACTACACAGATGATGGGTTCTATTAATTGCTGCGGTGGCCTGACTTAAAAATGCAGACATCTGCATAGTACGAGGCACAGAACGCACCAATTGCACTTCTCCTTCTTCACCTTCGGATTCAAAAAGCGGTTGCGTCTTCCCCACCCGTACCGAGGGAGACCACAAAAGCCCCGAGGCCTTGCCATATTCAGCACAGGGTGCTTGGGGTATACGCCATCCAAAACCACGACAGCGCATCCGTGCACATCTTGTCAGGGGTCAGGGAATAGGCCATGAACTTGGGGTTCCTGCTGGAAAAGGGAAAGGAAACCGCTCTGTTGGAGCACCAAAGGTTGGACGTGAGTCTTCTCCGATAGGGCGGTTCTGCTAAGGTTAACGCGGCTTACGCGCGTTATCGATGACAGAAGCTGGTACCGAGATGGAATGGCAACAACACACAGCATGTCTCAGAGATGGAAAACTGGGGGCGGTGTCTTTGCCAGTGGCATACTCAGTAACGAGAGTCTAACCGCGTAGATGCTACAGGAAGTTACCGCCAAATGCAAGCTAAAACAGCCAGAACGCATTGTACAGGCGTTTTAGGTCTACAACACACACCTGACCGACACAAGACCAAACCGGTATGATTCATGTGTGATTGACAGTGTGGCCTGATGACGGGATTGCGGATGACGTTGGGGTGCATAATGCAGAGTACCAGCACGCAGTATCCGTCCCATCCTCGCGAAGGAATGGCAGCCCTGTCCGTACTCCGTTCCGAGCTGAGGTGCATGCCGGTACCTCACGCTCAGTCTCCGGCCCGAGGATGGTTGGCAGCTATATTTATGTACGGAGGGTTGCATTGCACAGAAACTGTGCAGAAGGGCAGTTATTCCCCTTGCCAGGTTGTGTCGATCTGGTGTCTTCCAGGTTTCGTCGTTGCACCGACAAGGAAGGCAATCGACAAGGTGCGTCGGGCGGTCCGTATTGAAATCTCGGGATACGAGGGGGGCCACAACTCTGCACAACTGGGGATACCAGGCGTCCAATGATACTTTCCTCGCTGTCGGCATCATGCAGCCCGCGGGCTGGACTGGGCAGACTGCCAGCTGGCGGAAGCTTTGCTGAGGGAGGGCGAGTCTTGGGACGCACTCTGCATATTCTTGGTCGCATGGGGGCGGGCGAAAGGGCTTTGGTTCTGGAGCTATCGACCGCCACGTTGGGTAGCGGCGGTACAGTTCGCTCCAGAATCAAAGCTGCGTGTGCCTTGTCCATCACCCGTCAACCAGCCGGCGACAGGACTGCAGATGGACGGGATATGCCATGGGGAATGGAAAAAGGCTGGGTAGTGATGGCGGCCTCCGACATGAATGCACACCTCGACATTTGACGAGAAACTCTGGAGAGCAGTCCGCCTTGCATCCCTCCGTTCCCTGTGGACCAGGCTGTGAGGTGTGAGGCCAGAGCAATTAATGAGAAGAACCAGATGAACGCCGCATCGCTCCATGTGCCGTGATTAGCTCTGCGGTAATGCAACAGAGCCAAGGCCCTAGCGCCATTCAGCAGGCTGGGGATTGGGCAGATGCCGTCATGAGAATATCATGGGAAAGGTGTGGGCTTGAGTGGGCTTGAGTGGGCTTGAGCGGGCAATGTGACGAAGGGAAATGTGGCTGTACGAGTACAGAAGCGCTGAGCCCCAACGGCTCATTCCAAGCCCCACTGGTAGGTGGTAGCGGGTGTTAGGAGTTTTGCATATTTCACATGTGGAGCACTAACGCAGATGACTCGCGCTGAGCCTCACGCAAGACTCGAAGTGCAAAAGAAATAGAGTCCTCCTGCACAGCCGCACGCACAGGGCTCGTGCTGTGGAGACGGGTGTGGAGCGTCGGCGACCTGCTAAAAACAACACTTGCTTTGGCGAGCAAGGCAAGGGGGATTGCCATGGATAGGTACCCAACTGTCGAATGCAGTACCTGGGAACCGTCAGTCCTACTTGTCCTACTGCCACCGAGAGTGTACTGCGTACTGTACCCGCCCTCCTAAATTACAGCATTGTCTGAGTGAGATGGTCCGCACAGTCACACAGTCAGACAGACTGACGAAAGCGGACCCCAAGCCAAGGTTTTGGCTAGACGGCCCTCTCCGTCTCCCAAGGCTGAATGCTGCCCCGTGGCTTGTGCCTGTGGAGGTCGCAGCACCATCGCCCACTGGGAGGCCGTCCCAAGCAGCCATGCATGCCATACCGCCTGCAATGGTAGGGAGTAAGTTCCGAAGCACACAGGTTATTCTAGCGAGGCGCATCCAAATATACAACACAGAACCTGGGTGCATGCGGATGCTGATGTTTGTTTTAATTCGTATCCTTCGTGTCCCTGCACTCTTTTACTTCCGCTTCTCAGCAAGCCGCACTACAAATGAATGAAGCATCTGGCTTTCTTCCCAGACCTGCTTTGCTCTCTCCCTTGCCGTGCCGAACAGTTCCAAGCCCCGGAACAAGTCTCAGACAGCAACCCACAGCCTGACACTGGTCTCCCACCCCACTAGAGCCGCTGGAACCTTTCGGGTTTTTAGTGGCCAGCCTCCGCTAAAAGCTGCCTGCACCAAGTTCCCGCCCGCAGCGCCCCAGGCTTTCCTCTGTCCTCGACTAAACCTGGCCGGTCCTACAGGGCTTTCTTTCTCCCCGAGAATCAAGGCACCCATCCACCCCTGTCTAGCCGTCCTCACAACCCACCCACACGCTCATAACCCCTGCTTCACCCTGTCACCACCCTGCCATTTCTCCAACTGATCCTCTCGTTCCAATCTGTTTCAGCGGCGCTCAACCAAAACCTCGCCTCTGACATTTCTCTCCATATTTTTTCCCTCACCCCTGGTTTGTCCATCCAGCCTTCTTCTTTCTCCATCCTTCATCCACCAGCTCCATCCACCTTGCTCGGCCTCCGTCGCGCACTCCATCGACAAACACCTCGCTCCATAATTGTGTCGCCGTCTCTCGTTTCGTCTCCTTTTCGCGACACTCAGCTCTCCCTTGTTTTCTTCCGCTGCTCGACCTGCTACACATCGCGTGTAGCTCCGACCCCAGCGCCCATCGGCCGACACACGCGTCCCCGTATTCCACTCCACCTTACAACCACAACCTGCCTGGCCATTTTCATCAACCCCCGACGATAACATCAACAACACCATCCTCCTCTCCTATTCAGTCCGTGACTCCCGGTCGGAGTCAACACATGTCCAACGTGGCTACACGACTAGAGTCGCGCAAGTCGCTGCTCGGCACTGACACGGGATATGGCTATGGCGGTCACAGCTACAACCAGTCCTACGGTGACGGCGACCTCTCGCCGACATACGATCAACCCCCGGTTCCTCAGCCCTCATATCCCGACAACTCGCACACACCTGATCCGGCCTACAACCAAGGCTACGCCTATCGGGAAGGCCTCACCTCGTCCGCTCCCGCCCCGAGCACTATTCATGGCAGCATGGGCTTCATCAAGAGCAAGTGGCCCGCTGCCATGATGACAGTCTCTGTCCTCCAGGCCATCCTCTGCATCTGCTTTGAAGCGTACGTCGCCCTACTTGATCACAATGCTTCGCGCGAACACCCCATTAACTTGCATCAGATACATCTTTGCCAAATTTCAGACCAATCTCGGCGATTACGCCGGCAAGCCCAAGGTTCAGTCTCAGGTCAAGACTATCCCGACCTTCTTGACCCTCTTCATCTTCGGTTTCCTGTATACCTTGATCATTGTCTGGGATGCTCTCCGTCAGAAGAACACCATTCAGGTCATTGGAGTCTGCTTCTCCAACCTCGCCCTCATGGTCTACACCACCATCCAAGTCGATCAAATTAAGGAGGCTATCCAGGTTCTAACGAACAACGCCGCCCTCGCCGATAAAATCACCGCTCCGGAACTCTGGGCTGACGTCAAACCGTATCTCATTGCCATCCCCTGCATCATTGCCTTTGCCACCGTCTGCATGGCATTTATCTCGTGGAAAATTTACCAGGAATATGCCTGGGACATCCTCAAGACCATCGGTGCCGACTACCGCATGAAGAAGCGCTTCCTCCACTATCAGGTATGTTGTTCTTGGATCTCAGCGTTATGGGTTGGATTTTAACAGCGTTAAGATCTACATTGCTCTCTTGAAGTTCGATTTTTTCTTCTTCCTCGGCTTCATCGTCCAGTTCGTCGTCGTCGTTGCCCAGAAGAATGATCCCGAATTTGCTTTGACCATCGTAACGATCCCCATCACCATCGGAATTCTCCTCGGCGCTGCCTTCTTCACCCGCAAGGAGAACAAGGCCGGCATGTGCATTGTCATGATCCTGTACCTCGGCGCTCTCACCTACTTCATCTTCAAGCTGGTTCGAATCTATCAGCCTCATTTCAGAGGGTCCTACGAGGCCGTCCGCAAGTCGCTCACTGCCTTTGCCGTCATCACCATCCTACTCATCGTCCTCACCATTGTCAACGGCATCATCTGCATTGGCAACTTTAACAAGGGCCTGAAGCCTCACCTACAGTCCAAGCCCAAGGTCGTTGAGAAGCCAGACCTCAACTCTATCAACCTGCAAGATGTCAAGCCCCAGATGCCCAGCCGCATGACCATCGACTAATTCGGTTGGTCCTATCGCGATTGCCGACGACCCCAAATATCTTGGGCGACATTATTGTACAAAGAAACGAATTTACGAAAGGAATTAAAATTTCACCTTCAGAGGCACCGGTCAGACAGGGCAGGCTCAGGATCAGACGGTGACCACACGGAAGATGCGTGTGCAGAAGGCAAACCAACGATATCCCCCACCGACGTGGGATTTTTCTTTTTTATTTGATTTTCTGTCTCCTTTGTGAAGTTTGCCACATACCAGGCGTTGAAGACACCGTCATTCCTTTGAATGATCGACCTAGGAGTTTTTTTTTGTTTTACCTTTTTTCTGGTGATGAGTAGTTGGATGGTAGGTTGCTCCCTCTAATCGAGAGGAGATCCTGTTCGTTATGGAAGCTTGGGAGGTATTAGAACCAATAGGGAGCCCAGCTAGAAGGACTTAGTCTACTGTTTCTTAGTTGTGGATAGTTGAATGACGAATATGTGAAATCCTAGAGCTGAATTGGCCATGTTTGATGTATGTGTCTGTTTGAGCCAAGCCCAAGAGACTTGGTGTTGAAGCGTATTGAACTGTGCTACATAGTACATTCCAATGCTGATCTGATGTTAAAGAAAAACGACAAGGGTTGATCAAGCACCCACCTTCTTCCTAGATACCGAATGGTGCATCCCAATGTGACAGTAAACCGACTCCCGCTCTCAACTCTCCGTCCCAAGTAAAGAAAGGAAACCCCAAACAAAATAATAGCCCGCTGCATGATCCATATAGCCAACAACGCCGGGTCCGAATGGTGCAAATACAAAAGCAGCCCGAGATAACCGAAACAGGATCAGAGTGGTAACCTGGAGCGGACACCAAAAATGAAGATAGACAAGTCAAGGCTAAAATTTGATCTTAATGGCATCCTTGACGTGGCCCTCGGTGGGACAGTAGGGGCACTTGTACCGAGCGGCCTTGGCGATGTTGTGGAGGGAGTCGCGGCAAATGACGTGGCCGCAAGATAGCATCATCGCTGGGTTGTCCTGGGTCGTCTGCTCCTTGCTGACGGGGCAGACGAAGATGGGGTGGTAAATCATGGACTCTGGCAGGGGGGTTTCGAAGGCGAGTTCGTTTTCCGTAGTCCACTCCGTTTTCTTCTCACGCATGTAGGTTGTGTACTTGATGAGGCGGGGCAGGGCAATGGAGCCTGCAGTTACGGCCATGTAGAGGGGCGACTCGGCAGAGAGGCCAAGCAGGGAGCAGAACTCGCGCGTAAACGACATGGCGACATCTTCAAAGGCCGAGTCGATCTCGAAGATGTGGCGGTACGGCGAGGCGGTGAGGTTGGGAGAGTAGACCATGGCGGCACAAAGTTGCTGGATCTCGCGCAGATGGCGGGCCTGGAAGCGGGCGAAGTGGGCGCGGGCGTAGGTGAGAGCGCCGAGCTGGCCATTACGGTTATCATCGGGGAGCCCGTTGACGCTAGAGCCCTTGAACAGCCAGACAAACTGAAGCTTGCTCAGCTCGAACTCGAGGGTGCTGCCCTTGGCGTCGAGCTGGGCGCTGTTGAAGCGGGCCCACTCGATAGCGGCCACAAGGTTGCGATCCTTGAGCTGGGAGAGGATGCTATACATCTCTGAGAACTTGTGCTGGAGATCCTCGGAGTGGAGGCTGTGCATGTCGGCATCTTGCTCCTCGTCCTCTTCCTCGTCATCCTCCATGTCGTCATCGCCGTCTTCGTCGGTATGGGAAGGGGCGGCGTGGGCTTCGCGGTGGGGAGGGTGGTCGTGGGCTTCGTGGAGGAATGTTGAGGCGACGGAGAATTGGCCCTCTCGGAGGAGGTGCATGGCGATGGCGCGATTGATGAGAGCTGGGTGGTCGGCCATGGCGTCCGTCTCCATGGGCAGTTCGCGATGGGGAATGGCCTGGTTGCGGGTTAGCAAAAGCAAGTGATGGAAGAATCTTGCGGGCGACCGACCTTGTCAAGGGCCTTTCCAAAGCCTTTCTGTGCCTTTGTGACCTCCTTGAGGTCTTGTGTGATCGCCTCGAAGCGGGCCTTGACCGGGTTCTGTAGAGTGGTCATGGCCATGCCGATTCGATGGGAGTCGGGTTCTGGGACGAGTCAGTTGGGCCAACTGGACGACAGGTGAGCAGACTGACCTGAAGCAACCTGTTCCCGGGCTGCGGTAAGCAGATCTATGATTTGGTCGACATCGTCAATCGCCGAAGTCAAGTTGGACTTCCTCATGCGAGCCAGCTCGGCCATCAGAGGCCCAAACGGCGAGACATGGTCGTCGGATCCAGCCATGGCTTGTGTTGGTGTGGGCGGGTTTCCCGGTCGATGGAGCTCCCCGGGAGGATACGGTGCACAAAAGGGTCTTTAATTCAGGGTTCGAACGGATTTGGAAGCTTGGCCAGTGGCATTTGAGCGTGGAAGAGGGCGTTGGGGGAGGGAAATGGCTCGTGGAGAAGGTCGTCTGAGGTCCGATCCGAGTGACCGGGCTGGTGCTGGACGGGTCATGATAGCGCCGGGGCGTTGGTATCGATAACGATGATGGACAGAGGTATGCTTTTAAGCGGGAGGTTTCGCCCCTCGTCTCAATGAATCAAATCAACGGCGAGCAGCAGAGGAGGTACACAGCTTCAATCACGGAGCGCTGTCAGTTTCCACAGACCACGGCAAAATCCTGGATTATTTCCTTCTTCTTGGCCTCGACTCAATCCATATCACTCTCCTTAGCCGTGTAGTGCCCACCCCCATAACTTGTGCCTGCAACACCGAGGTACAGTGGGGACCCGGGGGGATTAGTGCCCCGCAGCCAGCCAGCCGAATGCCTGCTTTGGCGGATGACGCTGCGCCTTGTGCAAGCTATTGCATCACATGCGAGCTGGACCTGCAATCTGCACCAGACCAGACCGTGTCTCGTCCCACGAACCTCCCTAACACCAACCCTCGCCTCGCCTCGCCAGTCCTCCATCGCGACATCTCCCGCAACGCAACGGCGTGAGGATGTAGCTCGAGCTCGACTCGACAAGCTTCAGGGTCGTCGACGACGCCATGGCCTTCCTATTTCCCGCCCCACTCGATCATCGAACCCAGAGGCTCGACGACGATTTCCTCGCCGCCGCCGCCAGGGGTCAAGCCCAGCGCAGCACGCGAGCAAACCCTAACGATGCTGCTCTTGCTCCTATCCAGGGAGAATTCCAGTCTCCAGCTCAGCTGCAGGATGGAGCCGTCGAGGCAGTGCCTCCGCTCCAGCAGCTGCCTCCAATGCAACGGAAGCATCTTGTCTTTGCAGATCCAATCGCATTCCGGTAAGAATCCTGTCCGCTATTTACCAACCGTCCTCATGGGATCCATAATAACAATTTATTTCCGCAGATATCTAGAAGACGACAGTTCTGTGACAGTGGTCGAGCGTCGCGCCGTCCTCTGCGGATACGAATCCTACCTTGTCGAGCAATGGGCTTGCTCGCGGCATTCCCCGACCCTCGTCATCACCACATATACAGGCGATCAGAAACATTCCATTCTAGTCAGCGTCCTATCCGTCCCAGCGGAGGAGAGTCTGTGGCCTGTGAAACTGCGTGTCTATTTCAAAGCTATCCATAAATTCCATGCGCGACCCAAGGAGACATCGTTAGGAGCGCTCATGGTGACAAATCTCAGCAGCTTTCCTTCCGCCCTCACAGTTATCCTCGTTCCGGAAGGCGATATTCGGAAATATCGCCAAACATTCATTGTCAATGAGGATCTCAAAAGGCTCGGGTGCTCGGGAAGGTCAGGTCTGACGCTCAATGATCCGACAGAGACAACGCGAGCCAAGTTCCAGCAACTTTACAAAACCAGCGACCGAATCCCGTTGTCCCAGGCAGTCATGGAGTTGATCAAGTTGTGCCAAGTTGCGCTGTACATGTTTGAGAAGCTTGATCATGAGTACATCGACGGGTTGCTCTGTGACATGACTGAGACCGCCATCAACAATTGGTGGACCGAGGTTGGAGCTGAACACTACAACTTTGAGCCTACCGACGGTATTTTGGGACCCTCCACCGTCTCCGCCCTACTTGGCATGTTGATGGGAGCAAGGAACCGTCTCCACTGGTATGGAGTGCAGGTCTCCAAGGACGTCTTCGACATTGATAGCACGAAACGTGGCGTCGGCCACTTTCAAAAATCACAGAAGCTTGAAAAGACCCGACGGTTGGATCGCCAGACACTCCTCAGACTCTACAGCGTATCGGCTAAAGCGGCTGCGGGCGAAGGTTGGGGTGTCCAACGAGCTGTCAAGTCGACCGTTACCGAAATTGGTGGCAAGAGGGGTGAGCTTGTCATGGGCATCGTCTCTGGAAAGGACAAGGGTGGGCTTGCCGATATTGAGACCTTAGACATCAACAGGTTCGTTAGCCTGGCATATGGCGAGCGACCGAAATGGTTGTGGCATGGCAAACCAAGGCGAACCCCTACCGAGGTACCAAACCGCACACCAGAACTAGGAACTGGGATGGTCTGGAAAGAAGAGGCCGACATCACAAACCCCAAACGACTCAATTTGGCACCCACCGAGGAGGAGCCGGAGCTCAAGCGAGTCGATGAGTCTCCAGTGATCTATTCGGCGTATCCTCCTGGCTCCGCGATTAGTATCAGCAAGAATCCAAATGACAAGGATGCATTGCCGAAGACGGTGTTCAAAAGCGTCGCAGGCAAAATGAGCGATGCCCGTTCTGGACTTGGCCGCATCAAAGATGCCGTGGGAGGGGGCTTACGAGGCCACAATGCTCGACCATCTGTTTCTACCAGAGAGGAGTTTGTGGATGTTGCCTGCCCTATTGGCCCTGGTGGCACTGTACAGAACTCTTCCTTGGTGGTAAGTCCAACGCCTATGGTTGGTGTGAATAGGGCCTTTACATGGAAGAACAAGCCAGAAGAATACCTTGCTGCCATGAGAAGAGGCGATACTGATGCCGTCTCTGGCCTCCCCCAGACATCTCATTTTGCCTCTACTTCAACGGTTGATTTCAAGCCGAGCAGTGCGCCTGGTCTTGAGTCTCAGAAACGAACAGAGCAGGAGGGAGAGCTGGTCGATTTTAGCGCCGAGTTGCTCAAGGATGTTCTTTCCAAGGTACCATCCGCTGTAGGGTCCTTGGTCGACGAAGCCGATCTCCAAGGGCCAATACTTGAGGTGGAGGTCAAGGCGAAACCCATACAATTGGGACTCTCCCGGAGGCACAGCATCCATACTGCCGGGCCCCCGAAAAAGCACGTCCCAAACGAGAACCGCTGGCCTCGCCGAATGTCGTTCGGTGACGCCGAGGAAGCTGTCTTGACTTGGAAGCAGATCATTGACATCACCAAGCCTACGAGCGACCTTGCGAGTCTCGAGGCCTATGCCGAAATTGCCCAGTACTTCAATGAGCATATCAACAGCATTAGGACTGATATTGAGCCCTGGGTCTCCGAGAAACTCAAGGTTGTAGAGCTCCTCGATGAACGCTACGACCAGGACAAGGAAGAACTCCAAGCTCTTTACGAGCAACTCAACGAGGCCTGTCAGCGCCTCCGGGTTAGTGCGGACGAGGTCCTCTCAGAGCAACGAGGCCACCTTACTGAGGGCCTCAAGGAGGTTGAGGTCCTCATCGCCAAGCTCGACTACGAGATCAATGCCCTACTCCAAAAGGTCATCGATGTTGAGGACGGCATTATCACGTTTGAGAGACAGGTTGAGGACATGGAGCAGCGAGCTGATGCACTCAAGGATCAGCTCGAAACGGAAGGCTGGCTGCATTGGGCTTTCAGAAGCCTGACGGGCATTGGAACAGGGCCCGATATTACGCGATCGATGCTATAATTATCTACATCAAGCCATGTAGCACTCCTTGGGATTATTTAGCTTGGAGTTTTGTTTGGGGCGAGGGTCCAGTTTTCTTCAAAGGAGCAGCGTAGGATTAGCATAGGATACCATGGAAGGCGTTCTTCATGTGATGTAGACACATCTAATAGAGGAGGTGTTTTATCGTGACGGTCATGCCGCGGATCCGTATACATCTAGTTTTACAGCCCGTCTTACAACCCATCTTCCAAACCATAAGCCGTTCCAGGTCCCTGTCGATGCAAGCGCACGACGTCCCAAACCCAAGCACCAGATATTCGTACAAGGCTTCTTCCACTGCCAACCTCTTCGGCTCTATCATGTATTCATTTCTCCGTTATTCGTTTAGAACATGCCACCACCGCCGCTCTGAGCGCCAGCTCCCATAGCTTGGCCCTGTTGTTGCATGATCTCGCTGACCTTCATCGAGGTGTCGAGGAACTTGGCGGTGCATCGGTCGAGGCAGACGGACTCGCCCTTGTTGAGCTCGCCCTCGCGGTAGTCGGTGGGGATGCACTTGGCCTGGCACGCCTTCTGCAGCCTATTGAACATCTGCATTAGCCCTTCTCTCTTCATTGCCCCTGTGCGGTGGCATTGCTATCCGGTCGCCATATGTCTACCGGCAACACCCCAGGAAAGCACATACCGGTTGTAAGTATCAGCCATCATGCGCATCTCGCCCTCGACGGCAGCAATCTTCTGCTCCGAGGTAGGCTGAGGACGACCCATTCCGAGGAAAGACATGTTGGCGGTTGAAGTTGGGGGGGTTTTTTGGGTGGATGACGTGAAGGTTTGTTTGGTGGTGGAGAATTCGCAGTTGAAGCTGGCGGAACTTGGCCTGCGCTTTGGTTGATGATGCTGGCAGGTAAAATTTCCCCTTATCGATGGGGGTTGATTACGTGAGGCAGCCTTATCGGCCCCAAACTCAAGCCCGAATGCGGGTTACCCTATACCATTTCCTCAAGTCCTCAGTTTTCTTATACTGTGCACTTCACCGTTCTCTATATTTATTGCCACTGTAGTTGAAGCCTGGTGTACGATTTACGTGAGTTCGGCATTTTATTCCTCAAGTAGTATATCTCTAGAAGAAGAAATGCACGCGAAAGCGACCGATATTCGCTATAAAACACACAAGAGGACCCTCAACGGAGGCAAAATCACGATACAGATTTACACAAATCCGCTTCAGTTTGTCTGAGGATAACATTCCCGCTAAGCAGTCAAAATGGCATGATACGACAGACGTAGAAATGGCGTATAATCAACAAATTCCCGCATTACTCGTAGGAAATGAATTTGAGCAAAAGAAAGTCCTCAATGAAGGCTAGGACGACCAGTTGAAGCTAGGCACTTAACTAGACAAATAACGAACCACTCTCAGAGTCTCATGGACCAAACTAGACGTACGGGATAAATATGGCATTTGATTGAAACCCAATCTCCCACTTCCCCAGAAAACCCTAGTTCCTAAAGGTAACAGTCTTTGACCTTACCCATTCGCTCAAGCCAGCTGACGAGTTGAACCGACCATATCCACTAGACTTGGCGCCTCCATGAGGGAGACCACTCTCGTCATGAACCGACATGTTGTTGATATGCACCGCGCCAGTCTCAATCTCGCGAGCAATACGGAGGCCTCTCCGTAGATCCGATGTGAAAACAGCTGATGATAAGCCGTACTCGGTGTCGTTGGCGAGCCGAATCGCTTCGTCCTCGGTTTCAATCTCTAGGATGGAGACGGTCGGGCCAAATGACTCGGTCTTGTACAGATCCATGTCCGTTGTGACATTGCTCACAATAATCGGCCTGAGTCGGGTTTGAGTAGTCTCCTGGAGATCCAAATCTCCGTGAACAACCGAAGCGCCATTTGAGACCGCATCCTTCACAAGTGCCTTGTTCTTCCCAACAGCTGCCGCACTGATGAGGACTGGTGCGTCGTTTTCAGCCGAGAAGATTTTCGCAACAGATGCTGCCAACTTCTTCTCGAATTCCGACCGGATGGCTTTGTGTACCAATATCTTCTCAGTGGACATACACACCTGGCCTGAATTAATAAAAGCACCAAGAGCACACTGCTCTGCAGCCAGATCGAGATCGGCATCTTCCCAGACAATGGCAGGAGCCTTGCCACCTAGCTCGAGAACAACGGGCTTCAAATGGTCTCCAGCAAGCTTTGCGATGATACGTCCGACCGCAGTGCTCCCTGTAAAGTTGATCTTCCTGACGTGTGGGTTCTGTATCAAGGCCGAAGTCACTGCCGCTGCCGAAGCCCTCTCATTGAAGATGACGTTCAAGACACCATCTGGTAGTCCAGCCTCCTGAAAGACCGACGCGATGGCCAGCATTGTGCGGGGAGAGAGTTCGCTTCCCTTAAAGACGACTGTATTCCCGGTAGCGATGGGAAATATGACAGCCCTAGTGCCGAGAATGTAGGGGGCGTTCCTGGACACGGACATATGAGTGGAAAAGAACAAGCTGAGAGAAAATGACTTACCATGGTGCGATGGCCAGGACGACACCGTACGGCTCTTGCATGACAATTGCGCTGGTATCTGAGCTCATGGTAGTCGGGAATGAGCCTTCTACGGTTGCAATCCGTCCCGCGACATCCTTTATATGATTGATGGAAACACTCAAGTTGAAGTCAGTCCAGCCAGCTTCGCCACCCGTCTCATCTCCCATGTATTGACGTAATTCAGTGCGTCGCCTTTCCATCACCTCAGCGGCTTTGAGGAAGATATCGCGTCGTTGCTCTGGGGGAATTTTGCGCCATGTCTTGAGAGCCTTTGCGGCGGCTTCGACTGCGAGGTTGGCATCGTCCACCGAAGCCGAGTGACACCGGTGGACGACCTTGCCTGTGGCAGGAGAGACAACGTCAAATGCTTGAATAGAATGATGGCCCGACCCGTTTATCAATAAAGGGACTGTGTGAAGCGGCCCGTTGCTTGGGTGTATTCCGTTCGACATGATAGCGATGAAAGTGGGGGAAGTGAAGGGATAGAACTTTGAAATGCCATTTCCCCGGACGCTTTCCAGACAATCCTGGACCTTTAAAGGAATACTGGTGCCCCATAGCACAGTTATGTCTATCCGAGGCAACGGGCCAAGGCAAACCTCCGCATACGAGAAAAGTGGAAGTGCCGGGTTGTGGAGGGGATCACCAACATGGGGTTTCGGGAGAGCATAACGGCACCCGCCCGCCTTCGGATGATCCGGTGGGGGAAGCGCCACCACCTGCGATCTAGCGGAGTTATTTTAAGGGCCGCACAGTGCAGCGCCAGTTACTCTTGGGCGAATCGGCCATGTTAAACCAAAGAGGAATGTGCATGTTATAGCCGTAGAGTGACGCGTATGGCTCATGGTTCGTGGTGTGGACGCACGAAAATGCGCAAGGCTGTTGGTCGCTCGCAATGTTCTGTATTGGGTAAATTCCTCTGGCTCGGCGAGGAGGGACATGGACACACGAGCAAGCACATTTGGGTTCAATCGATTGAAACCTACGGCTTCACCCGTTGTCCAGAGATGTTTCGTATCTTACAGGCTGGTGTTTGTCGGTGCACAGTCGACCCACTAACCAAAGATCCGAGTCAAGACAGACACATCACTGTCGCTTCAATGCGGCGGGCTCAAGAAAAGGTTGAGGAACTGCTATAGTCCGGATCTGAATGGACTCTGTAATAATGAGCTACAGGGCCCTGTGAATGCTCTATGAATACAATATCAGCATACCTGGGTTTGGGACCGTTCCCGGAAGGGCAAACTGCACCTCAGACTTGGAAGTTGGAGAATGCACGTGGCTCTGCGAGGGCGGTGCAGGCTTGAGCGTTCTTTTGACGGGAGGGCGAACAGTCTTGGAGTCTGGCATGACTGCGAGTGGATGGTCAACGGGTAGTTGGCAGATGCGCAGGTGTGATGAATGGGATGGAAGATGGTTCAATTAATAGGCGGGGGTGAACGATTATCTGATTCCCCTCGACGATTGGTCGTGCTATAAGAACCACTCTTTCTCGAGTCTCAACTCGAGGTGGAGGGGCAAGCTTCAGAGATCTGACTAGGAATGATATCATGGAGATTAACCAAATGTGGAGAAAAAGCGAGAGCGAGACCGGCACCGTTGAAATTAGGACGAAGCATGTCTCGTCATGTCTCAGCCATTTCCTTTCCGCCACGGCTCAAGTTGTGGGGAAGCTGCCCTAGAGAAGGGACATGGCGAATCGTGGTGGAAGGAGCGACTTGTTCGGGGGGGACAGGTGCGAACGTGCTGGAACAACCTAGGGTCTGGCTCCACCCGGAGCAGGATGCATGCTGTGTGCATGGCAGGAGTGGAGAGGCGTTAATGGTGATCATGGCTTTGGGCGTTTTCCGTGTATTTTCCTCCGTCTTAGCGACATCTATTCATTGTTCTGTTGCTCGTGGCATGATTCTGGACATGATTCCGGGTTCGGTAGTACTTGCGCTTGTACCTTCCCTGAGTGATTATCGAGCGAACCACTCCAACATGGCATGGCGGACGAATCCCACACACACGTGACTGGCGTTCGCCGTCAACCAGCCAATTACAGAGCACAATCCCCCGCCGCCGGGTTTCCTGGCCTCTGTTTTCGGTACCCCCGCCCCAGTTGTGACTGTTTTTTGCCTGGCAATACTCGGTCGGCCGCGTCCAGACGCTAGCCATCAATCGAGCGACGGACGAAGGCGCCTTTTTCCCTGTTTACGTGCGAAAAGCAATCTTCACCTTGCAACAAAAACCGCCCTCCGCCCAAGCGCAAACCCCGGTGCCGCTTCGCTCCTCACCCCTCCGCATTCGGCCCTCGCCAACGCACCACCTTTTGGCTCTGCAACCACCAACGCACACCCCCCCAACATCGCGATACCGGCCATCCGCCTGCCTCCGTCTGTCTCCGTTGTGACCCAGTCCCGCCTTCTTGGCGCGTCCACGTCGCAAGGGCTCCTGCCGCGCTTGCAGCTCGATCGTCGAGTCGCAGCCGCAGCCGCAGTCGCCGTCTCCGTCTCCGTCGCCCGGTTGTCGGGTGGTGTTGCTGCATGGACGGCTCGACCATTGTGGCCGCTGGTGGGGCGGCTTCTATGAGCCCGACCAGCCCCGTGAGCTCTCGCCACGGCCACGGGAACGGCAACGGCCACGGCGCAATCAAGCGCAAGAGAAGCAGCATGGCGGGCATTGAGAGCAGTCCAGGAAGCATCATTGACGATGAACATGACCACGAGAAGAAGCGCCAGCCCGGCGTCAAGAGGGCCTGCAACGAGTGTCGCCAGCAGAAGGTGAGTCAAGCCTCTTCCTCTCCGCCATGTCCAGGTTACTCTCTAGACTACGCGCAGATCGCTGACCATGTATTTTCAATGCGCAATAGCTTCGCTGCGATGTCGTACAGGACCCCTTCCAGAGCTGCTCGCGCTGTAACCGTCTCAAACTCGAGTGCAAGATCGAGTCCAACTTCAAGCGCATAGGGAAGCGATCCAAGCACGCCGAGATGGAGAAGGAGATTGATCGTTTGCGCCGCAACATCTCCCGTGCCAAGTCACAGGGCTATGTCTTGGAGGTCGACGACGACGATATGAACTCCCCCATCGCTCAGAGCAACCCTACATACACTCACACTCATACCCGGAATCCATCATTGATGGGCTCCGACGAGGCTGTTTCCTCACTATTGCATCTCAAGCGGGGAGGAAACTACAATGTACCCCGATACACACACGAACTGGAGAACGTTCAATTGACCGAGGACAACGTCGCAAATCTGTTCCTCGAGTTTTTCAATTTCTACCACCAGTTCTTGCCGTTTCTCAACCCCCAACAGCCGCCCGATCAATATCACCAGCAACACCCCCTACTTTTCTGGTCCATTATTGCTGTCGCTGCCCGTCGGTTTAGCCCTCAAAACGTTCCAAATCTACTCAACAATCTCTCTGGCCCTTTGACGCGATTTCTGTGGTCAACCATAGGGGAGGTTCCTAGCAATTACTACGTGGTCAAGGGAATGTGCTTGTTGTGTACATGGCCCTTGCCGACCAGTACGACTTCATCAGATCCTACTCACATCCTGTGTGGTGTCATGATGAAGACTGCAACCGGTATTGGACTTCACCGACCCAATCACATTCAGGATTTCTCCAGGGTTTCAGTTGAGCTGAATAAAGAGCAGCTTAGTGATCGCGTAACGACGTGGGCAGTATGCAACATCGTAGCGCAATCAGTCGGCACCGGATATGGTCAGCCAGCATCGAGTCTTTATGACTGGACCCTGGCTACGAGGCCGGGAGACGATGGCTCGTTCCAGCTGTCGCCCGAGCTGGAGGCAAGACTCCAGATTGAGAGATTCTGCGACAAGGTGTCGAAAGAAATGTACAGCAATGCCAGCGACCCAAGAGGAGTTGCCGGTGATGAGCACCGAGCCATGTTGATGCGAGTCTATCGTCGGGACTATGCGGAGCTCCACGCCTTCACCATGTCCCAAGACTTGGGTCCTATCATCAATTTGCACATGAGGGCCGCGGCCCTCCACATGCGCCTAGCCGGCTTCTTCGACTCAAGTAAGACACCTGGATATATGGATGATCTCATGGGTCTCTGGCGAGCAACCACCTGTTTCCTCGACGACGTACTTGAGGTGGATAAGGTGACGAGCCCTCGCGATAGTATTGGTGGCACTATTCTTCTCTATGCGACCAACTACATTAACCAGATGATGGTTGCTGCTGGCTTCGCCCTTCTCAAGTTGATGAGGTCATTCTTCGCCAAGACCATCGACTTTCACCGCGGCCGCAACCTATTCCATCAAACCATTCGAGCCATTAGAGCTACGAGCGTCGTTAATAACGACTTGCAATGGCGACTGGCCGAACTAATGGTCCAGATGTGGAATGGAGCTCGACTTGATAGCAACCAGCAGTCCTTCAACAGCAATGACGACTCCCCGATCCAAATGGACGACAGCCTGCAGCTCAAGGTGCGATGCCGTCATAGTATGAGTCTGGTATTCGACTCAGTTTGGCGATGGAGGGAAGACTATCAGGCTATTGGGCGAGGGAACATAGACGGTAAGTCGCCTGGTATCCGTAATCCATGTAAACCGCTTCTTTCTCGCTCGTCTGTATTGCGCTGCTACGACATGATGCTAACTGATTATGAAATCAGCTGCGAAGCAACCCACAAACCCAGACTCCGCCAACGAATCTTCGGCTTCATCGACACATTTGGATAGCACCCTGATGCCGTCTAATACTCTCACTACGTCCAACATGCTCACCACGACCAACGGCGCCTTAACACCGAGTGCAACTGGCCTCTCGGTCCCACCGTCAGTACAGCATGGTCTGATGGGAGGAATGAATTACGGTGAAACGAACTACGACTTCTTTGACCCACAACACTGGATGTTGGACGGCCTTCTCGACTTTAACTATTCCTTTGTACCTCCCTTGGAAGGCGCGTAGCATGTATATGCTACTGCGAATGGGATTGCTGAGCCAGGGACCACTGGCAACATGGCCGACTAGGACGGGACGATATGTGACACGATTTCCCACGGCTAGCGGCACGATCGAGTTTGATTCAGATACCGGCGACAGCGTTCGTCAATGGGAAAATGCTGGAGTACAACGTGATTTGTACTAAACAAAAGCACAACAGCAGAGACGCGTTTTGATAGAGCCAATGCGCTCGTTTTGATTTTGTATTTTTTTCCTCCGTGTATCTTGAACTTGAGAATGGAGAATGCTCACTGAGGCACCTTCACCCTTGTTCAACCATTTGTTGGTAGGATTTTGGGACATATATTAGCTGACAGATCAGCGTGGATTGCTGGGATGGCTCGGGTGGTAGAAAAGATTTTTCAGATTTGTATGCAGCATGATGGAATGCGAAAATGTTTAATTACGTCCCTTCTTTAACTGGCAGGTGGTTCTTTGTTTACGGTTTCATGTTTCGTTTCTACATCGTTGGTTCTATCTAGTCTTGTGGAGAATGGTGCCGCAGCAGGAAATGAGAGGGCGGAGCTACATAAAGCTTCTGCGAACGTCACTGCGTGAAAGACGCCGGAGGAGGTGATGTCGACATTGACAATGGTTTCGAGTACCGGTACTTGGAAGTCTTGACCAACATGTAATGGTTGTCGAGCCGAGGCCATATAGTGGACCGTTTCAAGACCACATCCGCTTGCGAGATTGCGATGTTTCGAACAACGCACCGCACCGAATCTAATATTGCCTCTGTTGTATGTCGATGCGAGTGGGTTGTTACTGAGGCTATGTTCTCGAGACGTATTTCACTTACTGGCTGGGTCAATCGATGTTGTGGACTTGGTCCTCCGCGAGAGGCAATTACCCATCTGATAAGCCTCAGTGGCGGTTTGGAATATGGAGCGAAGCCGTTGAATGTTAGATGAAAGGGCGTGTTGGTTGACGGCTAACCCCGCGAATGCAAGGCACGGAAAACGATTGCGCCACAGCCGCCGTTGTTCCTTGCGGCAGACAGGCAAGAAGCTGTTCTGGAAGCGTTAGGGCCAACAACGAGTTGACATCATGCGAGGGACCAAGTTTCAGGCACATTGGCGGGGGCGCAATCCAGCCACGGCGTGATGGATCGGTGTGACGGGCGAGTCTCCTTGTACGGGAGGATCCTAGTGCTGCGGGAGGATTGCAGTCCTGGTTGGCGTCAGTCAATTCGTTGTTGGCCGTTGAAGTTGACTTGCCGAGGCCATCGCCGGCAGACCGAGAAGGCGGACAGCACGACCAACTCCACCGCCGGCAGTTTCTACAGATACAGATGGCGAAAGACGCCTACACGCCTACACGCCGACAATGGATGGGGTTCTCCCACGTCGGCCGCTGTAATGGCCGGAGGCGGTGGTAACACCTAGGTCGGCTATTGCGGCCAGGCCCAGGCCGCGGCCGCGCCAACGGTGCGCGGAGCGTCAAAGACAAACCAGAGCCTCACGTTAAGCGCCTTGGACGTACGAAGTGGAAAACATCACCACCGCTCAAGGCTGGGCAAGGCTGCACGAGGCTGAACAAGGCATCGCCCGAGAACGCCGTGGGCTGTGCCAAGGCAGCGTCGACGAGGCAGAATGGTCGCATCCGCAGAAGCCGGGTCACCCAGGGCAACTTAGATGGAAGGCCCTGGCGCGTGCAGTGTCGGAGGGAGAGCCACCCGGATTCCGGATTAATGTGGGATGAATAGCCCTAGGGCTTCTTCTTGACAGGCCTGGACAAGCCATGACAAGTCCGCACTGGCAGTTGGCAGTTGGCAGTTGGCTGGTGCTAACGAAAAGGCGAACAAGGAGGAACCAACAGCCACAACCCGCACGCCCCCCCTTCAGAGATGTGAAACCCGCGCCATAGATCTAAACCGGGATACGCCCTCCAATCCTTTCGGCGGCGCAAGAGAAAGAGTCGGCGCGCCGTTGCGAGATGTTGGTCAAGTGCCGGGAGGATGCGTGAAACCCGCTTGGAGATCTCTGAGGTGGTGTGCCAGTTGGCGGCAGTCGAAGCAACACGAGCCAGTGCCTTTACTCCTGGTACTCCAGGCACTAAGGCACTCCATGTACTCCACGTACGTCCCCAATGCCGATGACTCGACGGGCAGTGCTTTCAGGTCGTGTGTCCAGAGCGATCCTTGTGCGGACCAAGGCGTACCAAGCTGCGGTGCGGTTGAATGTTGTACAGTAGTCTTTGCGTACAGCGCATTGCCTCGCAGTAGACAGGCACCGTGATCCATCCCGAGAGACTGGGAATTGCCACATTCGCTGAAACTCGACAAACACGGGGAGGAGCACCGCGCCTACATGTCCTACTCGGTCCGGCTCTATGAATAGCCGTTCGCAACCTTTGGAAAGGGAACAATGCCGTCACGATGGCCCCATAATGCAGGAGACCGCAACGACCTGAAGTTACTTGGAATGTTTTCAAGAATGGGAGGGTTGGAAACAGTGCCTATAGGCTCTTGGTCATGGCGAAGGACTCCGCGAGCGTCTCCCGCGCGAAGCAAGTATCGGTGAGAAGAGTGGATGGACGGCAATCGGATGGAATGGGAGCTAGGGATGGATGGACGGAATCTCTTCCAGACGCCCCCCCTCCATCCCACCGCTCTCACAAGCCGAGACGAATGTCGGGCGTCAAACGCAAGAGAGGCGTATAGACAAGGTGCCGTGGTGGAGTTAGGCCTGAACCCCAAACCCCAACCTGCGCAGAGGGCAAGCAAGCAAGAACCCGCTGTGCTACATACGGAGCACTGACTGGTGCGTTCATCACGAACCGAGTGTGGTGTGCCCACACACACGTCGAGAGTGACATCCATCAGACGGCGAAGCCGAGGCCGTGAGGAAGCTCTCTTTTCTGAACTCAATGATCAAGGGGCTCGGGAAGAGATACGGAATAGGCAAAGGCCGAGGACAGTCTCTCCCTGTGGTAGTATGGGGAACCGTTGTAAACTGCTTGTTGACATGGCATCACGGTCGCTTAGTGGCTTCCCTGGACCCTCCGTTCTCCAGTATTCATTCCCCCAAGACACCCCTTTTCGGATGAGGGAGGAGGATACGCTCTGTTGGCCAACAAACTAATCTGCCTAACTCGATCCCAGCACCCAGCACCCAGAACACGTTTGCCCCGAAGGCCCTGTCAAATGTTGGCCCTTTGGAAGGGGTGGGGTATGGTCCAGTGGCGCCTGATGTCCAGTGCTGTCAATCGTCGAGAGAGCCCCTGGCGCCGTTTATTGGGGGGCCGAGCAAGCATCACCGCGCCATTGACGGCCACGAGATTGGCTTCTGACGAGGTGGTCCCCTGACGATGATCGACCGATAGATGAGCTTGAGGGGCACTACCTTTGCGGAGGAATCGAGTAGCAAGGCTGAGTCGCCCAAGGGTCAGTTCCTGTGGGGGACGTGTGACTTCGCCAGGGTGGGATGAGGGATGAGGGGGAGGGGGATTGACAAGCAGCAAGGAGTAGCACCCATAACAAGCAAACAAAGAAAGGTGCCGGCGTCTCATCTCTCTTGAGCCTCAGCCGCCGGCACTTTGACGTCTTAACGCCGCTTCTCGATGCTCGATGGCCCGGCAATAGAATACGCGACGTGGCCCTTTGGCAGTCAACCCACCACCACACAGCCCATGGCCTGCACGGAGGTGGGCTCTGTGCTTCGCCTGGAAGTGGTTGCTGCCCGCAACATACGAGTGATAGCGCAGGATCCTCGAGCCCGACCCGAGGGTTTGGTACCGCTCAATCTGCATGACGCTCCGAGGCATGACTCGAAAGGCTGAGGTATGGAGGAGGAGGAGGAGGATGTGGGTGGAGGCGCTTCAGGCTTCAGGGGGGCATATACGAACTATGTTGTTGGATCCTGAGACGACAAGCCGCGTCTAAGACTGCAGATGGTAGACGCGAATGGGTGTCTCCCAGGGAAGAGCGTGGTGATGGTGATGCATCGCACATAGCATGGGTATCATGGGGGGGTCGAGCTGGCCAAACGGCAGACGACTGATGCGACCTGGGCGCTTAGGAGTGTGTTAGACTGTTGGTGTGAACGGGGGGGCCAAGCAAGTTGCGGCCAACATGGCTGCAACCAGCAGCCATTCCGCACGCAGCTTCCGGTTTAGGTGAAGAAGCGCCGTCACCGAGTGTCGTGTCGTCCCGACAGTTTGGAAAATTAGGTGAATAAATGAAACAAAGTTGAGGGAAATCGAAGAGGAAAAATGGGCCGCGCTGCGCAAACGCCGGGATCCCAAAGTGGTCGGCCGAGCGGGGAGTGCAGAGTCACAGCCCTTCCATCCATGACCCATATTCCATTATCCATGTGTGAGCGAGCACGACCACGGGTGGTGTTCTAACTTCACGAGCGAGTGCCGCGAAGCGACGAAGCCGCGGGGGCGCGAGACCGAGACCAACAAGGCGAAGCCCGAACAACTGAAACGACCCGACGAGGCGATGGATTGTCACGTCACAGGGCTGCCGATGGGTTTCTATTTTTCCCATGGGAATCAGAAGGATCCGAGGAGATCTGCAGGAACCCCAGATCTGGCAGGCAGACAGACAGGCAAGGCAAGGCAGAGTGGGCGTGTGACGGGAACAGACCTGGAAGCAATTAAGTACAGGATGTGGCAATGCAAGCACGGCGCCGTCATCGAAGGATGCGGCACTTAGACGTGACCTGGTCGATCAGAGCATGGTGAGGGGCGGCCGGGAGTGGAGGGGAACAGGCGGCGGGCTGGACGAGGCGGAGGGTAACGGAGGAAGCAGAAAAGCACCCATCGCCAACAACTGACAGACAGGAGCGAGGCTGATCCATGCGGTGCGACGCGATACTGGAGTCTATCAGCGACGAGGACTGTGGCTGTGGACGAGATGTGCCCACTCGCCCACGCATATCCCGGCGTATTTGCAAACGGACCAAAGATCTGGCGAGTGAGTTTGATTGTGGAGTGAGCAGCAAGCGCACCGTGAGCCAAAAGGGCCTGATTGACGGATGGATGAATGGACCGATGGATCGATCCCGCTGAGCTGAGAGAGAGCGAAGCCCAAGACAAGACGACGGGGTGGACGACGGCGGAAAGTGGGCGTGCGGATACAGGACGTGGGTGTGCGCTGGCAGTGGGCAGTGAAAGTTCGCTTACAGCCCTGCCGGTACCCAATGGCGGCCCACTTCGCTCATCTAGACGCGCGCGAGCTTACCACATCGGGCATGGCGCACCAGGCCGGAGCGCACGCCCATTGGCCAGCAGACCCAACGCACATGGGGGGGAGGTGTGATGCGTAGCCCGCCAACCACAGGCCTGCGCTGTCCCCAGGCTAAGCCGCGCTAAGCCCAACCGGGGGGCCAGGGAGGCCATGGGTGGCTTGGAGTCCCCCCCGGCTAGGCCCAGGTGTGGGCGCAGCGGGTCCACCCCTGCTAGCGCGTCCCGACAGTTCGGTAACGCCAAGGCCGGGGCGGGTCGGCCAGGGTCGGCCACTGCGCCCTGAGTGGCCGGGGCCGGGGCCGCATTTCTCGCCCCGGGTACGTACCGCCCGTAGCGGTACTGCACCGCGAGGAGTCCGTGATCCCGCCGGTTGCCCTTTTTTTCCTCAGCACCTCAGCGACCAGCGAGCAACGAGCAGCAACCAGCGCAACAGAGGAGCAGCGGCGGCGCGCAGGGTCCCGGCTGAGAACTAAACACACTCACGCGCGCGTAGACACTCGCGGACGCAAAGCACGGAGACATTCGGACCCTGCACAGCCTGCACAGCACCACGATGTACATTTGGCACACGGAACTCCGTACCTGGCACCGGTTCCCACCCTCCCTGCCATGGTGCCGCTACTCCCCCTCCACCTTCCAAAAGCCCCTTGTCCCCTCCTCCAGCGCCATGCTGCGTGGGTTCTCTTGCGCGGCGACGGGTAGGCGATTCCTCCCTTGCCCGTATTTGTGCTCTCTCCCTCTCACTCTCCCGTTGGATCAGGCTGGATTGGACTGGGTCTGTCGGCCCAGTGCGGAATCCGTCCACAACTCTGTTTGTTTGCTTGCCGGCTTGTCTGCTTGGTCCGATGCCCTTGGTCCCGGCTCCTCCCTGAAAAGAGTGGACTCGGATTCGTTACGTTCTGCGCCGTACCGAGCACAAGCGAACGTAATTGTATGCCTGGCGCGCGACGCGACGGCTACGCTCGCCATGCTCAAGATTAGGTCGTTTCTTTCTCGGACCGACCAGGCGCGAGAGAGTCGCAGACAACGTTGATCGGACGGCGGCAGAGCATCCCGTCTGTTGGCTCCCTGGACCGCGCGAGAGGCGAGCGAGGGCCCATGGCAAACGGGCAGCAGGCATCGGAAGGCGGGAGACGGTTCCCGCGATACACGCCCGACCGACGCTATCTGGCTGTCACTTGATATTGATCGACTTGGCCAAACCAAGGTCCAAGAGACCCAGGCAAACCGGGGGAGATGGGTACGACATGGCAAGAAATCGCCTTCTGGAGTGCGCGGGGGACCCTAACAGGCTAACAGGCTAACAGGCTAACACGGGTCCAAGCTCTACTTTGTACGCTTGCGTTTACGTTTGCGTCTCGGTCTGTTGCGTCCTCTCTTCTCTCAGCACTGTGTCAGTCAGTCATGAAGAGTCAGAAGAGCTCGTCAGTCCGTCAAGTTGATTTCTCGCTGCGCTCAGTTTCTGGCCGCTCCCTGGCCTGGCCGTAGCCCTATCCTGCCTCGCCCTAACTCCAGACCCCTGCGCCTATTCAAGATTATGGCGTCCTCGTCTCTCTCGCTCGTCTGCTGAAGGTCGCCGGCCCTCCACTCACATCCCAGCACGGTACGGGACGTCACTGGCGCACCCTTTTTCCAGGCCGATCTCGAGATCGATGGACGCCAACGGCCCGCCAGAACACCTCCCGCATTCCTGGCTCTCGCCATTCCGCCGCTGTTGATTCTCCCTCTCCCCCCCCCCTGGCGAGCTGATGCTCGCAACTGTGCTCTGACGTATGGTCTCGCGGCGACGCCAATTGAATGCTCCCCGTGTCTTGTGCCGTCGTGGGCGATGGATTGACGGCGCAACGGCTGGCATCCCACTTCGGCCGAATCCTACCTGCTTTTCCCTCCTCGCTGCAGAACGCAAACCCTGCCCATCTCCACCTTGCCGCGTTCCCCATGGCTCAGGCTGGACGCCCCAACTAGTCGTCTGTCCCCTGTTTGTTCTTCATGTGCTCGTGCTGGTCTCTGGAGGTTGTCTTCATTCTCCCCTCCAGCCCCGCCCCAGCCCAGTCAAGCCCCGGTCGAGTTCAGCCCGCCCCTACTACGTTGTACGCAGCACGTTGTACGCAGCACGCTGTACTGTTGTAATTGACCCCCCCTCTGGCCATCTGTTCCTCTTCTGGGCCCTCCTCGGCCCCCATTTTGGTCTCTCGCTCAGCCTGTCCGCTGTGTCCAGTACCCGTTTTGCCTTCTTCTCTACCCATTTGCCCATGCTAGCAGCAAACGGGCAAGGCTAGTGGCGGCAAATGGAAATACCTTCCGGATCGTGGCGGGCCCCCCGGTCGTCGACTGTCAACTCCGAGAGCCCTGCCACTGCCACTTCCGTCTTGTTTCCAACGCCTCTTTTTCCAAGGCCCCGATCATCATCTTCAGCAGCAGCAGCATGGAAGCCTTTACGAAGAATCCTTCCGTCCTCGCAGGCCCTGCCACTCTCCTCCACTTGGCGTTTGGCTGAGCGAGTGCCGGTGGTGATAGCCACATATCCATCTCAGCCGCTCGCCATCTGCTCCAGCCCGCGCCTGAGACGCTAGCAATACCTCTCGGAACCGCTCCCGGCGGGACAAACTCAACGGATGGACAAAGGCACAGAACGCTAGATGAGAAAGCCCATCATAGGCGCAAATGAGGGATGACGAGGAGCCGTCCACGCAACCGGGCGCCGTCGGTGCTGTTTCCCTTCTCGAGGAGTCCGTATCCATCCTCCCATCCTCCCATCCTGCCATCCCATCCCGTTCTATCCCCATCCCCATCCCATCCCCAATCGTCACACGCCCTCTGCTGCCCGTTCCCATTCCCACGCCCTCCCACGCTCGAGCCGCGCCCCCCTCCTCCTCCATCCCGGTCTTATCCCCACTGGCATGCACGCCCTCTTGCTAGCCTCGACCATCTCAGCGTACGCAACGGACCTGGGCGGCTATCTTCATGCACGACAGTTCAAAGTACCTTGGGCCTGGTCTTTGCTTGCCCATCCTGCACCCGTGGCACTGCAAGCCAATCCGCCCCCAGGGGCCTGGGGCTCATGTTCTTCCTCCTCCCCGTCCCCCCCGGTCATCTCTTGGCTTCCCCCCTGGTCGAGTTCCAGACCAGGGGCCCCCTCTGTTCCTCGATCCCTGTGGACTTGCTAATATCCTTACTGTCAAGAAGGTTCAGGTACTTCCTTCGGCCGCGCTCGCTGTTGTCGACTTCCCTGCGACCTGCGACCTGCGACCTGTTTGCTCGGTTGATCTCCACTACTACTTCTTACCTCCAACTACCATTTATACAAAGAGGCCGGCCGTCTGCGTCCGTCTGCGTCCCCCACAAGGCTCTCTCCTCAACTCGTCTTCTCCCTTGGCCTCGAACAACGGACGCACTTGGTCTTCAAACTCGGTCGCGGCCAGGAAAGGCAGATTACTCCTTGATCTCCCCATCTTCTATCTGCCTCGCCGAACTTTGCTTCCATCTTTGAGCACTTCATTCTGGTCCATAAATGCGCCAGTCTGAGACAGAATCTCCCACCCGCCGCCACGACATCTACGACTGTCAAACACTTCCTGTCAAAGCATTCTGTTCCACCACCCCACTCCCTCCACGACATACTTGGACGTTAATAGTCCGCGATCCCGTCCCAGAGTTTACATGACAATGGTCGAGGAGCAGTACCTTGCCCAAGGTCTAACCCATACGGACGATCTTTCGGGAGCCAACAACCTGTCCGACGGAGGACCAACAGCCTCCGGAGCACCCCCAGCTTCTGCCTATCCCGATTTGACCCCCTACGCAGCAGTAAGTTTCTCTTTAAAAGGACGAGCATTGCGCCTCTCCTTGTTCTCTCGTGGCACCAGCAACGGCCCGACTCACAGCCAACCCGCAGGTCTCTTCTTCCCCTTTCGGCATTCAAGGCCAGTGCGATCCGAATCTCTTGACCCCCATCTCTGTTGCGGCATCTCCCCCTTTGCACCAAGCTCGCAAACTGGTGTCTCAGTACCCCCCTCCTCCAAGCACACCAGGGGCTCAGCAGCCCACTCCCCCAGGGAGCACCAAGATGTATCACCAACCGCAGTGGCCCCCATTCGAGATGAACGGCCAGTCCAGCCAAACCAGCTCGCCCATGGCTCACCAGGCGGCGGTGGCTCCAGAGTACATGGAAAACACCTACCTCTCTGACGAACGACGGACTCCGGGGCCTCCTACTCATTACCTGGGCGCCTTTGGAGTCTCGGAAGGCCCAGAGCCAAACCAAATGAATACGCCCTACTACATGGACATGGGACATCCAGTCAACCCACAGCACCAGCTCATGCTTCGAGATGACCACCAGATTCCAATGGGCGTGCACCACCGAGAGATACCAGGTGGCCCCCTCTTGAACGAGCCTCAATCATCCCATTTCCGGCCAGCGCGCCGGCCAAGCTCTGAAGAGCAAGCAGTACAGGCCTCCATCGACGGGTCTCATTCCGTCAACGGCTCTCCTCGCAGACGTCCTGTCTCAGCAGCCTCAGGGCGAGTCAAGAAGCGACCAGCCAAGGCCCGGGGAAGAAACACCATGCCAGATGACCCCCTCGAAGAACACAAGAACTGCTTCGGACAGGAGGTCCCCCCAACCCTGAAAAGCACCTGCCCCGACGAAGAGCGTTGTATATTTGAATCCCGCTGGAAACACCGCCACCAGAAAGGCCAGGACATGTGGGAAAGCATCCAACGCGACTTCAAGAACAAGTTCAACAAGTGCCCAGGAAAGGAGATGTTGCAGATGAAGTTCAAGCGTGGCCGTGCCAAGTACATTGAATGGATTCCCAAGGATGTAAGTTGCCTCGAACATGGCCCAATAAAGAATGGTATACTGATTCAGATTTGCTTTTTTAGGATGATCTGCTACGCGAAGCCTGGAAGCGAGTCGAGAAGAGTCGCTATCAAAGCATGCTCGAAATCTTCTTTGAGCTGGGGGGCTCCCGCAACATGCGCCTGAACGCAAGCGACATCGAGATCAAAGTGGTCAACGACCTGAACCTTGAAGAGGGGCTATACATGGACTTCCACGGGGACGCCAATATCCGCCGCCGCCGCAAGTCCACATCGACAAGAAAGCGAGGCACCGCCCGTGGCGTGGAGGAGACGTTGAGCGACGAGATGATGAGCGTCAGCTCGCACAACACGCACGAAGACGACGTAATCAACCAAGTCCACAGTCGCCGAGACGTCAAGGTAGAAGACGACTTGGGCGCGGGTCCAAACGACTTGATGGACGTCCAAATGTGGGAACAGTCGGGCGTGATGCACCCACGAAATGAGACCATGAGTCGCCAGGCATGCGAGCAGATGATGAGGTTGAGCCCAGCGGCTCCACAATACGGACGACGTCGGGCATCTTAGGGAAGGGATTCATGGCGCAAGGTGGAACTGGTTGGGTGGGAGGGTTATTTGATTTCTGGATACCGTTTTAGATATTGCTTCATCTTCTCGTCGAAGAGCTCACACTCCTTTTTTTGTCATCAAAAATTCCCCGTCTTTTGAGATCAGATTCGCAGTGTACGAGGACGCCTTCATTATACCCCAAAGAAATCGCATCTTTTTCTTCTTCAACATAGTTTAGACGGTCTCCTTCTAGTTGGTCACCCATCTCGGCACTTGTGACTGAAACACCCCCCTAGGAAGGCAAATAGGCAATTAGGCAGACAGGCAGGCAGACAAGCAGGGAGGTAGGGAGGCAGGGGAGTAGGAAAGTAGGAAAGTACAGTCACAATTGATCAAACCTCGGCCATACCTGTCACCAGGTAACCTGGGCGACTTTTGTTCAGCTCGACCCGACAGTCCGTCACCGCACTGCCCAGTAACGTTTCAAGGAGGAGGCGATGGAATGTACGGGCTTTGGTCACAGCCAGGCCATACATGCAGCCACCTGTGGCCTGTAGGCGACCACATAGCGGCCCCTCTCCGAACGAAACTCCTCCGGGGGTACTGCCTCTCCGATGAGGCATGCGCCGAGCTGTACGAACCTCCGCCCGCACGTGGAAAGTCAAGTGACCGAGAGTGGCTTCCTTCAAAGTCTGGGGTCAACAATAGGCGCACGGGTTGAGGGTCCGCCAGATTGGCGATTCTGAGCTGTGCTGCCTGTACTATGTAGTCTGTGGCGTGTTATTCGGAGGCAGGGGAACGGAAAAGGGGGCGGACTCGGCACAGGACGGCGTGCTTGAGACAATTGATCCTCGGCTTGCGGCTTTGCAGGCTTGCAGACAGGCTTGCAGACAGGCTTGCGTGTTCGTACTGAGTACTGCTACGCAGTAAATATGTGCGGTCCCGACAGTCTGGAAAATTGCGCTTTCAAGTAATTTGGTTTTCCTGCGACACGCATGCAGCTCGGACAAGGATGCTGCGGTTGCTCTTGAAGCCGGGAGGGTGTCGAGACAAGATTGACCCATGATTGATCCATAGTTGATCCATGATTGATCCATGATGGGGTTGCTCTGAGTCTAAACTAGTGGACCCGTCGGCCGATGCCCTAGTCGACCGCCAGGGATCATGCCTTAGACTCCGATGCAGATCACGCCGTTGACAGTTGGACAGTTGGAGAGGAGAGTTGGACCGTTCGGCAATAGGTAGGTTTCGGCCGTCGTGGTGTGTGCTTGCGCTGAAGCGTCGAGGACCGCCCGCCCGCCCGTCCGTCCGTCCGCCCCGGCCGAGTTTCCGCGCGGCTTCAACCTTTGCTCTAACGCCGTGGTGGACATGGTAAAGTCGGGTAGGAGGGTGTTTGAGGGTGCTGAAGGTTGCTCCAAAGATTGGCGCGAGGGGATACGATTGGGCGGATGGAGAGTGTTCGGTGTAAACTGTGCGTGTGTGCGTGAGTGTGCGTGCGTGCGTCGTGCGTGCGTCGTGCGTGCGTGTGGGGGCCGGCTAGACTGACGAGATGGTCTCACAATAGACGGTCGATTGTTCCCTCAAATGCGGAGGGAAGCCACCAATGCACAAGCTAGCCCTAGAGAAGGAGGCGTATACCATACTAGAAGGCTCGTGGCCACGCCCGCGCCAACGCCAGCGCCAGCGTATGTCGCCAGCCCATCCCCGGGGATCCGGAGTGGGCAGAACTGCCGCCCTGATTAGTCCTGATTAACCCTGAATAGACTGGTGCCATGCTGCCATGTTCCCACAGCATCTCTGGTGCTGCTGTAATTCCGCTGCGCCACGCCCACGTAGGTTTCATTGCAATGCAGCCTGTGGTCGTATCATTGACGGCCTATGTGGGCAGGGGAAAGTAGGACAACCAAACCACCGGGTCAGAGTGGGAATCTTTTCGGCAAATGAGGTCGGCGTCTTTGCCGACTTCGGATTTCCGACACGAACAAGTTTTTTGGGCGGCCGCGAGGCCAAATTGTGCGGCTTTTGGACCGACTATCCCAAGTTTCGAGGTAGACGTGTCGTTGGAAGAGCCATCTGAGACCGTAGTTGCTTTTTTGCGACTGACACCAGCCACAGTCAGACACGTCGCAGCGACACTCAGCCCTACCCGTACAAGCACAAGTAGACATGCGGAGATCAGGAGCCGATGCAGTGCCACATGACGCGGAGGCCCGAGGTACGCGGAGCATGGGTTTAGTGCTGGATAGTTCGTTCGACAGCTTCAAACCTCGGCCAGCTGAGCGAGTCCTTAGTCGAGCCAGTAGCATTGAGTAGCACTGTGCCGATCAACTCGGGCCACAACAACTCGGTCATGCCGATGGAGGCAATCTTGGTCCCCCGAGTGTGGCAATAGCATTGGGCATAGTCCCTGAGACTGGTGCGCCAAGGCCGCCGCCAGCGCCTTGACAATGAAGCGCCTCGATGCTCCGGCATGTTGTCCCTGATTGGCGTCACTTGTGCTGCCGCTGCGTCATCGGCCACACCACGGCATTGGAGTTGGTGTGATATACTACGTAGTAATGCTGAGGGAGGGGTCTCCTGAGGCGTGCGCATAGAACACCAGTTGCAGGTCCGACTACGTAAAAGTAAGGCCCCGCAAAGAGGGAGGGCATCTGAATGGTGGCGGTCAGCTGCTATCATTTTATTCCACCGTTGAGATCCATCCTCTCCTGGAGATACGGGAGGGAAGCTTCCGCCAGGATGTCGGCGATTTCCAGTTTGAGAACCACTTGGCCGTTTGGCATAAAAAGACGAAAGTAGCAGGTAATGGCAGGCATTCCCCAGGAAGGGCAATGCAAGGTCGGGAATAGAAACAAAGTCGATAAGGCTACCTACCACTGCCGCAGCAGCCGACTTCGAACAGACTCGGATGCCAGCTGGCAAGTGACATAATAGTGGTTCTGTAATCCGGGGCCGTGTGTCAGACTCGATGGCAATTCACCACTGGCCATCATGATTGGCAGCTGGGCATGGCTTGTAACTCGGCGGACGGTGTCATCACCCGCTTTTAGTTCGATGCCGCGACTCTGACTATTTTGGATCGGTTGAAGATGGTGGTGGAAAACAATGCAAAATGCGGTTGACTGAACGACGCAGCTGAACACTTGCACATCCACAACAGGTGCGATGGTGTGTACTCGAGCTACTCCCACCCACCGGGCTCCGCACCGCGTGGCTTGTCGTCGTTGCTTGTGTGCTCTTGTGGTGGAGATAATCAGAGGATCTTCGATGGAGCCTTCAGTGGGGCCTGGTCCGACCCAGGCGACGCTGTGCCGAGTGCGAAGTTCGAACGACATGTACTCGTAGCAGGTACTATTGCTGCGTAGTGTCATGGAGTGTGTATTGGTACCCTGTCCATCAGCTGCATCCGTGCAAAGGAAGATGCCACCCCCCCTCCCCGGTCCCCCCCATGCGGGCGCGGGTGCGGGCGGCTCCGGGGCACAACACCACGCAGGAGACGCACGAGGGGAACCGCCGCGCGTGTGATGAGGGCGACAGGAACACGGCCATCGTTGGGGGTTCGCGCTTAGATGTGCGCTTGGGTCGAGAACTCGATTGCCAACACGGCGTCGCATTCGGCTGCAGTGGAAAAGGCCTGCTTTGGCGCGGCGCGTGCTGTTAGTTGTTAGTTGAGTGACGCGAACGGCGCTGCACGTTGGCTGCGGGCTGTTCGTCCTGGAAGCGCTGTGCAAGGGCGGATAGACACTCCGTAATACAGCTTCGTACTAGCGCCGGGGGTGCAACGCACCGTTCGCACCTTGATCACTCGCTTCCCTGTCACGTCAACTCGACCGCTGTTCGTTTCGGGACTTTTACGTCGACTGAGACCGCCCCGGCACGCTTGACAACGACAAGGGCTTCGGACGAGCTTCGTTAGTGTCCACAGTGGACGTTGCACATCATGGATTTGCAAATTAGCCACAAGGGAAGAATACATTCCTGGGCAGCAAATCTCTCCGGAGAGTCCGGAGAATTCGGACAAGGCACCGCCTCACCCGGTCAAGGCGACACTTTGGATTTTCCCCTGAAGCCATCCGTCTTAAGTGGAAGCTTACTACAATGTGTGTAATCGAGGTAGACCTGTTAGCCCCATACCTTCCTTTACTCTCCACCTAAGGTTGCGCCGGATGTGACATGGTCGCCACTAGCCACATGGCCACCAGCCACACGCGCTCACCCACGCGCTCACCCACGCGATTCCACCATAATTGTGGCGCACCACAGAAGATGACAGCATCTCGAGATCATCATCATAGAGAGCACCCTGGTGCTGTCTTCCTCACGTTCCCGCGACCCCACGGCAGGCGCCTTTTGCGCAGCCCAATTCAAGCCGTGCTTCTGCCTCACCTACATGTGACCCTTCGCGCCCGCCTTCCTGCACCTCCGTCCCCGATGAGCCCGGCCGCTGCACAGCGCCGCAGCACATTGGCCACAGTCCTCCGGGCTCTGTCCCTATGAGGCGACGAACAGAATGTTGCTAGTTTCCCCCTTGCTGCTAATATGCGCTCTGCTGCCATGGGCAACACACGCGATGCGGCAAGACCGCCTGCAGCGGCTGCGCCAGGAAACGGTGGACATGTTCTATCATGGGTATAGCAACTACATGAAGCATGCGTTCCCAGACGACGAAGTGCGCCGCGCTCCATTCCGTTAACCAATCCATCATGACAACTTGCTAATTTCATCTGTGAACAGCTGCGACCCTTAAAGTGCGCCCCTCTGACCCGAGATCGAAGCAACCCCGGCCATATTGGACTGAACGACGTCCTAGGGAATTACTCCCTAACCCTCATCGATAGCCTGTCCACACTTGCCATCCTTGCCGGAGGACCCCAAGATGGATATACCGGACCCCAGGCGCTGAGCGACTTTCAGCATGGAGTGGCCCAGTTTGTGGAATATTACGGAGACGGCCGGCCAGGACCCTCTGGTCTTGGACGTCGGGCGTTCGGTTTCGATCTCGACAGCAAGGTTCAGGTCTTTGAAACGGTGATCCGGGGAGTCGGCGGGCTTCTCAGCGCACATCTATTCGCTGTCGGAGAGCTGCCAATTACTGGATACGATGCTCGAACAGAAGGCCCCCCCAGCAGCGATCCTCTGGAACTGGCCCCTATACACTGGCCCAATGGCTTCAAGTACGATGGACAGTTGCTGAGACTTGCGCTGGACCTCGGCCAAAGGATCCTCCCTGCATTCTACACCGACACAGGCATCCCGTACCCCCGCGTCAACCTCCGGCACGGAATCCCATTCTACACCAACTCGCCCCTCCACCGTGTGATGGGCGAAGCGGATCTTCCCGAAGTCCAGGAGGTCACAGAGACGTGCAGCGCTGGAGCAGGCAGCCTGACTCTCGAGTTTACCGTCCTCAGCCGACTGTCCGGCGACCCTCGCTTCGAGCAAGCAGCTAAGCGGGCTTTCTGGGAAGTCTGGGGCCGGCGAAGTGAGATTGGTTTGATCGGAAACGGCATCGATGCGGAGCGTGGGTCATGGATTGGTCCTCACTCTGGGATTGGTGCCGGCATGGACAGCTTCTTCGAATACGCCCTGAAAAGCCATATTCTGCTCTCTGGAAACGATATGCCAAATGTGTCGACGTCTCAGAGGGAGAGCAGCACAAAGTGGCTGGACCCCAATTCTCTTCATCCCCCTTTACCAAGCGCGTTGCATTCATCAGACGCATTCCTGGAAGCATGGCACCAGGCCCATGCCTCCGTCAAGAGATATCTCTACACCGACAGAAGCCATTACCCATACTACTCAAATGGACACCGTGCTACTGGTCAACCGTACACAATGTGGATTGACAGCCTGGGTGCTTTCTACCCTGGTCTTTTAGCCTTGGCAGGCGAGCTTGATGAAGCCATCGAAGCAAACCTCGTTTATACCGCTCTTTGGACACGCTATGCGGGTCTGCCAGAACGATGGTCAGTTCGTGAGAACACCATTGACGGGGGGCTTGGCTGGTGGCCGGGTCGTCCCGAGTTTATCGAGTCGACATATCACATTTACCGCGCTACAAAAGACCCCTGGTACCTATATGTTGGCGAAATGGTCCTCAGAGATATCAAGCGGCGATGCTACACCCCTTGTGGGTGGGCTGGCTTGCAAGATGTCCGGACAGGAGAAAAGTCAGATCGCATGGAGAGTTTCTTCCTCGGAGAGACGGCAAAGTACATGTACCTGCTGTTCGACCCAGATCACCCTCTGAACAACCTTGATGCGGCATACGTCTTCACGACAGAGGGGCATCCCCTCCTCATTCCGAAAAAGGCTCGGTCGAGATCGAGCAACGCGCCTCCTTCGACGAAAGCAGCCGTCGCCGTGTACCAATATTACGACGAGAGCTTTACCAACTCATGTCCCGTGTTTCCCGTCGCTGATCCGATCTCTGGCTCAGCAACCGCCGCCCGGCGAGACCTATTCCACGTCGCCCGCTTCACAGACCTACACAACACTCCCAACCTCCATGGCCCAGTTGAGACTATTGAAGTTGACGACAAGGATAAGGGACGGGTGACTCGATACAGGGCCAAGACCAACTATACCCTCTTCCCGTGGACGCTCCCCCCAACCATGCTTCCGCACAACGGCACTTGCGCAGTGCCTGTGGAACGCGTGCAGTCGTGGATCGAGTTCCCGGCCAGTGAAAATTCCGGCACGCTAGTAACGCGCTTTGGGTCCTCACTCGTGTGGAACTCTCACAAGGGCCCCACAGTCAAGAGCTTACAGGGCATGCGATTCCAGTTGGAACGACAGTATGATGAAGAGTTCGGGGATGAGGCGTGGAGGATTACTCACGCGGGCACGACACAGCTTGGGCGCCATGAAACCGTCTTCTTTCATGCTGAGCATGTTCGCCATATGAAAGACGACGCATTTTCCTGCATCCGGCGTAAGGACCTGGTGGAAATTGATCTCATCATGGACATCCCTCAAAAGCACAATGCCAGTATGCCATTACCAGCGGACGGCGTCAATGCATCATCTATCAAGGCTGGGGCCGAAATCGACCCCATGCCTAATCCCTCTGAGTCGCTTTTCAAGTCCCTTCTCCGGGCCATGACCTCCGTCTTTGAACCCGCATACACGGAGGTCCCGGAGTCGGAGACGGACGGGCCCGGACCCACCATCCTCCGTTGGTCCGCCTACACAGCCACCGGCCTCGGCGCGTTCCCCCTCCCCTCCATCCCTGACACTCCAATCATCGGCTCGCCCACCTACAGTGCCAAGAACCCGCTTGCAAACTTCCCTTGGACAACCGTCTATCTCGCCGGGCATGCCTGTGACGCACAGCTGCCCGACGCCGCACCACGAGAACACCAGGTCATCGTCATGCGCCGCGGCGGCTGCTCCTTTAACCAGAAGCTAGAGCGCATCCCCAGTTTCTCTCCAAATCCAAGCTCTCTACAGCTCGTCATTATCATTGACGAAGGCCCAGATAATGAGGAAGAAGGTGACAACATGATAAGGCCGCTACTGGCTGAGGCGCAACTGACTCCCAGTGGAATGAAGCGATTCAACGGCTTGCCCCTAGTTCTAATGCGCACAAATAAGGGAGATTATGCGCGATTCGGCGCGGCCAAGGGCGTGGGGATGCGTAGGAAGTATAGGATTGAAAGCCAGGGACTGTTCGTTGAGAACGCTATTGTTTTGTAACCGGTGCCTAGACTCGTCCGTCCGGGTACCTCATGCATGTCTCGGAGTTTTGTGTCTTGCATGTTTCGCGTCGCGGAGCCGCAGAAGCGCCAACTACCTGTTATATTAGTTCATCGAACGCTTGGAGTGAGTGAGAATACGGTCGAAATGACCGTCCGCTCCTTGCATTGAATAGTGAATTCTCAGCCGTGTACATATTCTGGCCATCGAATAATGGACAATACTATTTTGCGATCATGCTAGACGTGCAAAAGCTGCGACCGCGAACCTTGTGAAAGCAAAGAGGGGCAGTAGGACCATGAGAAACGTAATTATATGTTGAGATCTTTATGGTTATAGCAACGAACCCTCCAAACCCTCCTTCTATAGCTATGCGCGGACCCGGAAAGACTTTTGATATTTAGTAGAAAAGGACCATCCAAGAAAAACGCCAGTCGGTGCAAAGATGTCGACGGATAGGAGAAGACGATTCGCGAGAGAAAAACGGGGCCAGAGAGCCTCGGCGCAGAGATGAAAGGGCAAGACAGATTACAAAGATGCTGAAAGTCTAGCAGGTCCCCCGTGCCTGTGTCGCTTGCTGTATGACATTTGGTCAGAATTCGTCGACGGTGCTCTGTAGCCCGGAATCGGTTAGGTTTTGAGTGAGGATGGAGCGGAAGAGGTCGGGGAGGGACGTCGGTCGACTAGGCGTCTTCTAGGAGTATGGTCGCAGGGACGTCGCCGAGCTTCTCGCGTCCGTCCAGACCCGGAATCTCGAGGATGAACATGTAGCCAACAACCTCGCCCTTGAGCTGGTGGACAAGGTCGGCAGCGGCCTTGGCAGAACCACCTGTAGAAATAAAGCACGTCAGCAGAGGTCCCGGAAGCGCTATGCATGATGCAATGGCGGGTGTGTTGACTTACCAGTGGCAATGATGTCGTCGACGATAAGGACTTTCTGGCCCTCAGTGACGGCATCCATCTGCATCTGGAAGAAATCCTTGCCATACTCCTTGACGTACTCGGCCGTGGCGCAAGGGCCGGGGAGCTTGCCCTGCTTGCGCACGGCGGCGAAGGGAACGCCCAGACGAAGGGCGAGGCCGGGGCCGAACAGGAATCCGCGGGCATCCAGGCCAACGATGACATCGGGCTTGACCGGGAAGGCCTCAGCGCTTTGCAGCACGAGGGCGTCGATGAGGGTAGCGTGGGCGGCCGGGTTGGCGAAGAGGGGCATGATATCGACAAAGTTGATGCCCGGGATGGGGAAGTCGGGGAAGCTGCGCAACACCTTCTGCAGGCTTATCTTTGCACTGGCGAGTTCGGCGGAGGAGGAGGGCATGGCGGAGGGCTGTCGTCCCGAGGCATCTTGGCTGGTGGTGATGTTGGTGGAGGGGGTAGGAGCTGGAGCGGACATTGTGGAGAGAAGGGAAGGAGAAGAAGGAGGGAGGAGGGAGGAAGGGGAAGGAGGGAGGAAGGGGGAGGGAAGGAAAAAGGAAAGAAGGGGAGAGAGAAGAGAGGACGGAAGGGTCAGGGCGAGCGGAGGTCAGGTACAAGGAGGACGAGGAGGAGGGAGTGTAGTTTTGGTGCACGGCGGACGGTGGACTATGGTCGAGCGAGGGCCGTGGCCGTGGCCGTAACCGTCGGAGCAAAAGGCAAGCGGCAGCGGCAGCGGCAGCAACCCCGATTACGAAGGACGTGCTTGGTAGGGACGAGGTACGTACTGGGTTCGCACTTGGCGGCAGCAAGAGCGCACGAAGTACCTTGCGTAGCGGGAAGGTACAAATCTCTTACAAGGCCGGAACGAGCAGCGCGAGCAGGGAAGGCCAGGGCAGGGAAGGTACGCGGTACGATGGACGGACGACTTAGGCAAGGCGAAGAAGGCAGGCAGGGCGAGGCCAGGCAAGGCGGGCAAGGGAATTGGGTGATGGAAGGAGGGGTGGAGGGGTGCAAGAGCGCGTTACTTGGGTGTGGGTGTGGTGGGGGACGGAAGGAGCGATTGCGAGGGGGGGCGAAGGGCGGAGGGGAAGGGAGGGGGAGGGGAAAATTTTCTGGTTGCTCTTTCTTTTTTTTCTGCCGTACTGGGACTCGGCAGCAACCAGCGATCGGGATGGGTTAGACATTGGACTGCGGCTGGTCGGGGCGTTGTGGGCACTTCAGTGAGCAGTGGGCAATGGGTGGTCAATGCCCCAGCACGCACCGTCCAGGGCCAGCAAAGCAGAGTAGTGCCTAAAGGGACGGCCCTGCGATGGATGAGAAAGACTGGGGACGGGAGGTACCTGGGCAGGTACTTTGTGTGTCAACGACTCACTCAACGGGAGCGCGCCGGAGCTCATCAGTGCCAGCGCCGGGCCCATTCCCAGCGCCAGCGCGGATAAGCACTGCAACGATTATCGAAACCAAGGGCTCAAGGTCGAGGGAACACCCTGGCTGGCGCCGGGGTGGATGTAGCAGGTAGGTGCGGACACCAGTACGCAGCCTTGACTCGGGATAGAAAATCATGTGGAATACATCGTGGTGTTGGCGAAGCGCAAACAGCAATCCGAGCTGACGGGCAGGCAACACGGCTGGCCGTCTGACCGGCTCCAAACTGAGATAGGGAAAACGTGCTTGAGAGAGATAAGAAACGGATCGGTCAGTTCCTAAAGGCACGTCCGCTTCCAAGTAGGGAGGTCGGTCAGGGAACATGACATGAGATAGCGGTTCTCGACTTCCGATGGGAAGCGAGAAGAGAGCACCAACATTGCCGGCGGCCACGGCGGCGACTGTGGTAGTAGTGGAGGTGGTAGTGGTGGTAGTGGTGGTAGTGGTGGTGGTGTTGAGTGTGTGGGTGGTGATTGTGATGCAGCGAGTTATACAAATGGATAAGAAACCACCTCATCGTCCAGCACCCCCAACCCGCCAATCGAAGCGGCGCTGCCAACGTGTTTGCCTGCTTATATGATGACGGGCAGGCTCTGTCCCCCATTCTGCTGTCCGCTGCTGTCCGCTCCAGCCGTGCATATCCAACTTTAGCCACCATCCCGGTCGCTGTGCTGCCCGATACAATGCCAGACTGCATGCGAGCATGCTATGCGCAAGGGAGCAGGCCATGCTATGCCACAACTCAAAACTACTAACCAGGAATTCTCCCATTGGATCATCGCGTCGCCGACTCCAGGCACCGACCGACGACGACGATCGATCGACGCGCAAGGTGACGGAATGGCGGTTCACGCCATCGGCAAGCAAGGTTTCAAAGTACAAAGCAACTCGGGTATTTGTTACGTGTTGCGGCGACCGCAGTCATCCTTACGCGGACGGGTGCGTGTGAGCACGAAAAGACGAGAAGGTGCTGCTGATTGTGGTGCTGTGGACTCTGTACGGGACGACGTGCGGTGATGGCTCGCGGCGCGGGTCGGGTGGTGGGTGTGAGACGTCGGGTCCCATCGTGTTGGATAACCCCACTGCTGCTGTGCGACCACTGTAGGTACCTGGCCTAGGGAGGATGAATCAGAGCACCCCGGGTACCTTGAACGTATCAATCTATTGACAGGGCCAGCCCAGCCCAGCCCCAGCGGCGGACCAGCAGTCAACCGCCACCAAATGGGCCCCGTTGGGTGTTGGTTGGTCTTTGTGTTTTCCTTCTGTCCTATTTTAAAAATTTTCTATGCCATTCCCGCCCCTGCTCCGGACCACGGACTGTAAGTGCCTTAGCCTACGCCCAGTGGGTTCGTCTGGGGCCCGTCAAAATTCGTCGCTATTGCCGGACGGCCTTCCGCTCGCACCAACACACTGCTAGCTACGGATACCCTGGTGGCTGGAGAGCGGTGGCATGGAGATTGCACCCCAAACGTGTCTGGAGTGCCCCTGGAGTTTCGTGGACCCCTCCGACCGAGAAGCAGCCTGGCTAAATTACCTCTTTGGTTGGACTGGGACTGACCGACAGAGTTGACGAGTCGGACTGGGTTGGACTGGGTTGGCTGGGTTGGACTGGTTCGAGCTGGGATGGAACTGACGGCTGCTGTTTTATCCTTCGATCGATGGACCAGCCAACCCCAGCAAAGAGCAGGCCAAGCTCTTAGTGACTACATCTTACCATTCCGTCATCAACCTTTCCACTGTCTTTTTCTACCCCGGGTCCCGGGCTCGCTTTGACACCCGACGAGAGACGGCCCCATCCAGCCAAGGTTCCATTGCGCGAGCCGAGAGCAAGCCGCGAAACAAGTCTGTCCCCAACGGACGGGGCGCAAACCGCTAACAGATCAATGGCGAGTTCCCGCCGCACAATGTGCATGCCATGTAGTAGTCGCAAGCAAGCGACACCCAAGCCCGCGACGACGAAGCAAGTTCATGAGTCAACACGCACGCAGCAAGGATGTGTTGAGGTCGAGCAGCCAGCCAGACCTGCCATATTATTGAAGCGCTGTCTCCATACCTATCGACTAATGAGCAGGCTCCGCGGCGGGTTAGTGATACCTGCTGGGTACCTCCAGCAGCTATAGTGCCATGTTCGGCATCCATGGTCCATGGGGCACGCCAGGCTTCCCCACCGTGGCTGGCCGATGGCGTTTGAGTGACAGCCTCCATCATCCATTACGATTTCTCGCTCCAAATGACGACGCCGTAGAGGAAACACGACATGGGCTGACGATGGCTTTGATGGAGGGAAAACAAAAAATAGAAAAGAGGGGGGGCAAGAGGCGTTGAAGGCCAGGAGCTTTGCCCCGTTGGGACCGTTGGTGGTACCAGAAATGGCAAGTGTCTTATGGCCCAACTGGATGAAGTTTGATGGATCCCCATTTAGGCATGGCCGCCTTTTCTGGTGGTGCGGTCCCTGGACGGGATGTGCCTTGGATCTCGTCGCGTTGAGTGTTGAGTGAATCCGGCAAAGCTTTGTCTGCCCTTCTGCCTTCCTGCCTTCCTGCCTTCCTGCCTTCCTGCCTTCCTGCCTGGGTTTGCGGGCCCTTTGCTTCCTTCCCTCCTGCATCCGTTCCTTCCTTGGTTTGCCGCGGCGCTCCATGATCCGATAAGACTTCATTCGGACCCGGTCCCCACCACGCGCAAGCCGGGAAACCTTTCTGCTTTCTGCACGCGTACTCCGTAACACCAGCATTGATACAATGTTGACTGCAACACGCCCACGCACAGGCGCCCACACGTTGATGCTCACTTGCTCAGGCTCATGCTCTTACTCCTCTCATACCGTCCATCCCTCCATCAATGAATCAATCAAAACCTCCGTCACTCCCATCAATATCCACTCCATCCACTCCCTCCATCCGCTCCGTCCAGTCTCCGTTTAGGTCTGTCTGCTCACTCCATCACACTGCGTTACGTCGACAAGCCATGCGCCCATTGCAGGGCCGGCCAGCCATCGTCTCATGCATGCCATCAAACTCGTCCATCTAGTGGCTTGTCTGGTTCTTCTTCTTGGTCATTGTTGTCCGCGGGGTTGTCACTCTCTCGGTGCTATTATTGATCTCTCTTTACGCGTCGATATGATTCAACGATATCACCCAGGGAATCCAACGTGAATGGAACGCGGCAGCCGACGTCGGGCTTGTCTCGGAGTCAGAGGCTCGCCCTCGCGCATGCAACATGGCCATCTCGGCGGAAGTCTCCGCAACTCGAACGGTACGGTGCTTTCGGCACAGCTACGTATGTATGACTCTTCGCTTTGCACCCGGCGACCAACCCTCCTGTCATGCTCGTGCCCGCCCGTCTGGGCCGTCTCGCCTCCCGTTCCTGGCACTGACATGATCCACGGTGATCCACCATATGGCCCCTACGGCGTGTGTGTGCGACTGTGCGACTGTGTGAAACCTTGTGTGCAACCTGCGTGCGGCCCTCCGGATTCCCCTGCGTCCAAGCAGAAGGCAGCGGATCCCGTAACATGCTCCGTTTCCTGCAGACCGTGCAGAGAGCACGCCGTTTCTCCATACAAAGACATTAATGCTCTCGGGGGACTCCTCCAGGCGTCGTCGGGCCTCGACGGGGCATCGCTACCATATCCGCACATGTCTGGCGCCGTCGTGCTCCGTCGTGCTCCGTCTGACTCGACCCTGGCTCGACTTCTGGCTCGACTCTGGTTTTGGCGACTCCACCAGCCATCGATATCTGAGACCCGATATGGATCCCGCCGATGAGGTACAGCCCAGATACCTTCGCATTCACGCGCATGGCATCGCAGCTGCATCGCATCGTTCTCTTTTAGCCTCCCGCCCACCAACCCACATGGGGCTAATCCCTAGCTCTCCTCGACTCAGCTCTCTTCCATGCTCCATGCTCCATGCTCTGTGCTCCATGCTCTGCCAACCTCTGGAAGGAAATCAAATCATCCATCGCCTCTCACAACCCCAACTGCGCTGCAACCTTCTCGTCCAGGCCCCGGTCCCGGCCACCGGGTCTCTCGTTATTGTTGCGTGCACCCTGCATGTTCTTTAGCATCTGCTGGTTGCTGCTTCTGTTGCTTCCCTTTCATTCCCAATATCATGATACAATGTCAAACACACCCCCACTAACACTTCCCCTCCTTCCCCTCCCCACCATCCAATCTCTGGCATCCCCTCCCCTCCAAAAGACTCTCACCGGTTGCAAGTTTTCTTGCGACGCCGTCCAGATCCTCCCACCGACCGCATGCGTCCCTGGTTTTCACCGCTGTTTGCACCTTCAGAGAGGTGTGCGCGCCGAGGCTTGCATTAGCTGCTCGCGCGTCGTGCCAGCCTACCCACTGGCGTCCTGTCCGGGCTGTCCGGTCCAGAACTTCGCTCCAACCGTCTCTATTGATGATGATGATGCCATGGATGACCCCGGCACGGATAGCGTTCATTACCCCGTATGAGATTCTGAACAATCACCAACAACAACAACAACTACTCAACATAATGACGAATGCCTCTACGCTGCGCCGTTCTGGATACCAGTTCCACATCGTAGCCACTTTCTCCCTCGTTTTCCACCAATACTGACAAATGAGACCACCCGCTTGTTGTCATCAGCGTTGCCTTGTCACAAATCGCACACTTGTCGAAACGCATCAGACACAGTGAGCCATCCAGCATTCCGCTGCGGCCTGACGAATTGGTAAGATCTTGGCAAGACCCGGCCTGATGCCCCTGGCTCGGCGTTTCTTAGCCAGTCGCCCACTCTGTTGGGTACGATGCCAAGATGACGCTGTGCGTTGACAAGTGCCGTCCGATGTGATGGTGTGAAAAACTCTATATCGACGCCCCAATAAGCATCCCCCCGAAGACAATACACCACCCCTTTGCATGCCAACATGGGAGTAGATATGTGTCCAACGAGCGAAAAGTCAACTATGTATTCAAACAACCAACTAGTGAGGTATCTAATGCTTGGAGAGGAAAAGAATCAACTGGCTCTCTAAGAAACTGTCTAAAGGGGTATCAATCACCCTGTCTCTCTAAGAGACAGCGACTATCTATCCATGCATTATGCGTATGAATCGCTTGACAAAAAGCAATGCTTCAACAAGAGCAAAAAAAAAAAATTGCCACTCAACTCTCTCATTCCCACGATATGTCCCGGTGTGACGCCCCCTCTACCGGCAGCTTTGCACGGCCCGTCCCGGCCAACCTCTATTCTCCTACTTGGCCAGTCCCTTCTTGAAACTGCTCCACTCACCGAAACTGTAATCGGACGATCGAAAATAGCATGTTTTGCAACACATGGAGCATTACAGCAACACACGTTGGCATCAGTTCGGGCCAGACTGCCAGATCGAGCTTGCCCTCCAGCCCAATATCGACGCCATAGAAGAGACGGATCAGGCCGCGGACAGCCAGGCTGGCGACCACCTCGCAGGCCCACGTCACCATGGAGGCGTAAAAGGTGAGGTTAAAGTCATAGGGCCCATTCTCATCATCAAAGGCAAAGTAAGGGTAGATGTCCTTATTGGCGCCAAAGTGAAGCACCAGGATACTACCAAGGAAAGCAGCCATGGAGACGTTCTCGGCCAAGAAGCGGATGAACACATTACGCGTCTGCAGCTTCTGGTAGGATCCGTAGGTCTGCGTGTTGAGCCCCAGGACAGAGAGGATCTTGTGGACCATGGGAGTCATCATGATGGGGGTGATGATCACCAAGCCTGTTGACGAGAGGATCTGGAGGATGATGAACTGGGATGGTGAACGCAGTCGAGCATACAGGGCACGGACGTACGTCTGGTATGTCAACATAAAATATCTTGTTTCTCTTGTTAGCTTGAGGTTCATCGGGTATCGCTTCAGTCGGCAAAGTAGCACTCACAGTTTAAACACCCAGCTCAGGGGATAGCTTCCCACGCGTTCGCCCTCGCGGATGCCCAACACCCAACCGGTCAAGGCATCAAGGAGGTGGACCGTCACAACCCAACCGTAAACGTACACCACCGTCTCCAGGTTGTCGTGCGGTAGTGTCCGCAGGTAAATCTCAGCATATGCCTCTCCAATAACATACGCCATCAAGCCCACAAACAAGGCCACGCAGAACCAGAGGAACCGCACGAAGCTCGCTGGCAACCACCGTCGCCGCATAGCAACGCCCTGTGGCCGAGGGTTCGGCGCGGTCTGGAGTGTGTCGGGGTCGAAAAGGTCCCCGGGACGTTGCGGCGGCGCCCATCCCTCCTGAACATGGTGTCTGGCTCGCCGGTCCACCACGACGTGGTGAAGATGCGCTGGGTGTCGGAGAGCGAGTGGCGCAGTCCAACATGGCGCTCGTTGATCGTGAGGATGAAAAAGGCAATGGCGACGGGCATGGCCATGACGACGAAAGTCCATGTGATCCAGGCCGTGTTGTGGGCGGTGATGAAGCGGGTCGCCGGGTTGAGGTATACGGGGACGGGGACTGCGAGAGATATGATGGCGATGACGGAGACGGTGAGAGGGAAGCCGAGCGATTGCGGCCACCAGTTCAGGCTGTACAGATTGAATACTTTGGTGATCCAGATGAGAGCCGTGAGGTTGTAGAAGCCGTAGTAGACGAAAAGGAAGAACCAGAAGTTGACCTGCACCCTGGAGGCTCCATGACCGGGGGCCTTGCCTCCATCTGGCGTCTGCGGATCGTCCTCGTCTCTTGGGAAAGCGTACTGAGGGAATGGAACAGCACACCACGCAACGGCCTGAAGTTCCGTTAGCATATTCCATGACCGGATTGCAGAACTGGGGAGCTTGTCGTCTTATCAACATACCAACGCGGCCGGCATCAACACCAGGAAGCCATACCGACTCCACCACTTATCCACAACTCTCTTGACGGCGGACTGCCTGGGGTCGACCCAAATATCCAGCACCCACCGCTGCCAGGCGCGTTCCCACTTGGTCAGCTCGTCCTCGAGCTCGTCGCTGCTCGTCGTGCTCGGCGCATTATTGACCAGCGATGCCGCGAGGATGGCGCCGTACCCGACGTGCACGCTGCCGCGGCCGTTGCCCACGGTCCCCGCGAGCAGGCCGAGCTGGCTGTGCTGCTGCTGCTGCTGCGCGCTGTCCCCCGGCCGCGGCGGCACGGCGCGGAAGCGCCCGAGCAATGGTGCCGAGTCGTTGGGGCGGACGCGCGACTCGGTGCCCTGCGTGAACTGGAAGAAGCTCGGCATGGGACGTGTAAACCGGGACGGGCGAGGGAGGGCGGAGGGCGGAAATCGGCGGTGGAACGATGCGAGGCGACGGGTACTACATCGGTCGGGAAGGGCGTGTCGTGGCGCAGTGGTCCGTCGTTCGGTCGCAGCGCGTTGGTGTCGAGCTGCGTGCAGTTGCGAATTGGTCGCGGGCCTGGCGATGTTCTGTTATCGTGGGATGGAGGTTGGGGGACCATATCGCACTGACGTTTGCTGGCCCTGTGCCGTGCCTATCGCGGCTGATGACTTGAGCGGCTGCCCAGCGAAAGGCCCCTGTATCAGGGTCCCCAGATCGTTGCGGCAGGGGTCTCACCTCCACTAATCCGCTGCAGTTATAGTGGGGTGCCGGCAGACCGGGAAGTTGAAGTCACCGCTACTGCTCTCATGACTTCAAAACAAGACAGGCGGGTCATGAGCGAGCTTCTCTCAACATACAAGATATGATAGGTCAGATCCATTCACGGTTTAAAAGAAGCTGTTTTCCATTTCCCTAGATATGTTGTACAAAGTAATCATTTATATGTGCATGTATGTATACACTGGGCTCAGCCAGATCTATCATGTCAGTGGTCCTATTATGTCTATGCCCCATCTGATGATCATGAGTCTGAGTCGGTACTGCTCAGTGCCTCTACCAATGACGCATCATCCTTCTCGTCGACCAGCACCCCACTGGCAACGACATCGTCTGAGAATGCCACCGTCTTAGCTGACGAAGACTTTCCTGACGGCTCGAGCACATCTCCAGTCCATGGCTTGCACTCCTTGACATGTTCACCACATCGCAAACACGTCCAGCCCTCTCCTTCCTCTCTCTCCAAGCGCGTTGCCAAGCATACAAAGCAATAAATGCATCCACAGGGTATTGTCTCGTATGGGTTGGTAATGTCTGTCTGTGCCGAGCCAATAACGCCACTAGATGCCGCGGCGGCCATGACTTCTGTCTCGGTCGAGGCGTTGTCGTTCTGATCCTGGTAGCAGATGGCGCATGTCCTCTCGGGGAGAAAGCCATACTCGCCATTCGCCTTGTCTCCGTCCTGTGGTCCAGCTCGAACAATTTCCTTTGTTTTACGCCATGTTCGGGTTATCCATCGCCGCCATCGCTGGATGCCAATGAGCGGGAGCACGAAGAGCAGGAACTCGGTAAAGGCATGCCAGACGAGCTGACGGTTGAGATACTCGAACGAGACCTCGCGGCTCACTTGGCTTGTGGGGGGTGCCAGTCTCATCCTCAGGATTCGGTCCAGCAACGTTCGATATCGCCCTCGGAAAAGAAATACCAAGAATGAGATGCATGCTGCCCCTGAGTGGACCGTTGACAGGGCTGATGTCAACCGTGACAACCGTCGCAATCTAGGGCTGGGCTCATCATAGCCATCTTCGTGTTCCACAAGCCAGTCCTCCCATCTTGTCCAAGCGTAGTTCCCAAACACAGTCACCAATCCGTACAGGGACTTCTGTGTCTTGGACGGGGGCGTCAGAATGGGCCCATGCCTTCTCGCATCGGTAAATTGCAGGTTCTGAAGAGCGGCGCCGTACGTCGCATCGTGGTCCCAGACTGTGAGCTTGAAAAGCACCGCCCTCAGGGCCAGCATAATCTCGGCCGACCAGTCATCGTGAAGATGTCCGCCGCCAAAGTATTTGAGCGCCTCGCACACCTGGTCCTTCAGGATGCTCACCAGCTCCCCGTCCAGCAGCTCCGCATCGACCTGTCCGACGCGAAACTCCGGTCGCGTACCTTCTCTCGTGGAGACAGCGTCCCAGGCGGACCCGATTCGGTTCAAGGGGAAGGGCAGGCGCTCGAGGTTGGCGCGGGCTCGGGAAGCTTGCCGGGCGGCGGCGACGCGAGCCACAGCCTCGGTCTCGCGGGCCTGGCGACGCGCGGCGACGAGGCGCTGGGCTTGGACGAAGCTCGAGTCGGTCATCGGGGAGGAATCATCGGCGCAGTTGATGTTGAAGTCGAGATATCCACGGTCGCGAATGAGGAGCGCGAGGAATCCGGGGTTGAGCGGAGCCACATGACGATGGCGCTGACTTATGTTTGGCCTCGGTGCCACGAGCCGAGGTTTTGTCGGAAATACCTTGGCATCTCGCGCAGGCGGCAGGCGATGCGCCGCTAATCTACCGGGACCTCTTGCCAAATCAGGCAAAGCAACACGGATGGCAGGTGCCACCGATCAATCTAACAGCCCTTGCGGCTCTCGACTCAAGTCCAACTAAATCAACCTCGACGTTAATTGACATGATAAATCGTGGGATTCAACTGTGACAATTCTTCTAGATCGTCACCGGCCCAGCTACCCAGCTACCCGGGAGATGGAGGTACCTAGGTGAGCAAGCGTCTTGGGCGCCTCTGCCACCTTCCTCTTATGTGTCACAATAACACTCTTCACCAACACTGTTTGGTCCATTTCGGTGGTCCTTTTCGCTGATCCTTTTCGCTGGTCCATCATCATCGCACCCACATGACCACCTACTTGACCACCTACTTGACCGCCTACTTGACCACCCAGGCTCGGCATGAATGTCTTACAAAACTTCGCCGGGACACCAACATCCAATGAATTGTGTCTTTTAAATTCTCCTCCCTTCTTTCGTGGTTGCCCAGCTCGCCCCGTTGCCAATCATGACTTGGCCAAATACCAACCGGCTCCTCAATGTGCGAAACAAGCAAGCAGCATGGTCTTAGACTCTTCAGGTATGAGACACCAGTGCCTATTCAAGCAATGCATATTCCCGGTGACGACTCAATGCAGCCACCAGATGCAACCCTAAGGTGATAATGCGCCAAGTGCGACAACCCAGCGATCGAGACTCTGGAGGCGTCTTGGAAGGATGATCCTGTCCCTTAACGAGGTTAGCAAGTACAGTTGCACAGACTCTTGTCTTGCCTCTCTTTTCGGGGAGTCGGTCAACGACGAACGCATATCCACCAAGGCCGCACGCTATAAATCCCCCTATATCGTGAATAGCCAGTCTTCATCAGCCCTACAATATGTCACGAACGGCTTTCGGAAATGAGAACGTGCTGGCTTATCCAGGCATGAACGTATTTGGTTTTGACTTCGTTCCAACACAGTATCTGGAATATTTGATTGTGGTTTTGGACGGATTGGGCCCCCCAACTTGTTTTGGGAACCCAAATCCAAGCCACTCCATACCGGATCAACCAACACTCCCCCGGGACCCAATATTCTGTCATTGTTCTGGTTTGTAAATGCAAGCCTCATCAGCGCTTTCTTCCAATCAAAGCTCCGGCCAAGACTTCTCTTAGTCCTGGTGATCACGGCCTGTGCCGCGCATGCATAAGACCCGGCCACCAACATGAAATTCAACGAGGCTGCGCTACAGAGCCGTTGGTTCCATCCCGTGCATAAAGCCGGTCCGTCCATGTCGGTGTAAATTCCTGGCACGTTCCCTTTCCAGGCCAGAATAGCTTTCGGCCCTAGTCTGCCATCTTTGTGTTCTGTTCACGCCTTGGTACCGGCCAACAGATCAAGTTTTACGAGCCTCAGACTACATCCTCGCCCCTCACAAACCCGAATCTTTGTCTCTGCAACACCATGAGCGGACCGTCTAAAAATGACGGGGCTTCACGATCCCAGTCGAACGCAGGCCTCCCGCGTGCTGGGGCAGTTCGTTCTCGAGCCACGGTCAGAGCCTCCTTGGCTTGCGTTTCCTGCCGATCCAAACATGTCAAATGCGATGGCGGCTTGCCCGCCTGCGTACGCTGTCGGCTAGAGGAAAAACCGTGCTTTTATGCAAAATCACGCCGCGGGATTCGATTTCAGAAGAGGCCGGGCATGATGAAAGACGAAGCCGAAGCTCTCGCGGTAGATGGAGACGAGCACTCTGATAATACCCCCTCTCCGGATTTCGCAGGCCTCAAAATACCAGTTAATGTTACCAAGCCGCTTCCCGGAGGATGGGTGGCAGGTCCCCCGTCGCGAACGACTCGATCAATCAAATACTTGTTCGACCACTACTACCTCTATTTCCACGACTCACACCCTTGGTTGCCGCCTAAGAAAACGATGGGCCGTCTTGTCGAAGCTCGATCGGAAGATTTCGCCTTCACGATTACAATGATACTTTACGTTGGATCGATGTACACCAACAACGTAGATACCACTCCGCTGCGTGAAAGAGCATACGATATGGCCACGGGGCCTTTGCAGACAACAGTCTGGAGTGTCCAAGCATTGTTGTGCATCTGCATCGCAGCACTGGGAGAGGGACACATCAATCTGTGCGGATCTTGGTTCCAGAAAGCACTTGAGATGGCTTTGGAGTTGGGGCTTCAGAATAAAGGCTTTGCTGACGTAGAACCCGATCCCATTCTAGCCGAATCGTGTCGCAGAACATATTGGGCATTATACCTCCACGGGTCGCTGCGGACAGTACGAGAACACTTGGGTCACTTCCAACTCTACTGTACAGCAACAACAACGGAGCTACCTTGTGAGGAGTGGGAGTACCAAGCTGAAGTGGGTCAAATTAGCATGTTTTCGCTCCGCCCTCGCTAATGTCCGATCAGGATATCCCAACACCCGTGTCTCTCAGTGAATTCCGCCAGAAAAGTACCTCACGGGACTACTCTTCGTGGGCATACCTCGTCGACTTAGTTCGGATCAGCGGTGAGAGCGTGGTGCCACTCCTCAATGTGGGCTCCGAGGCAGATCCGGAGGCGATCGATAGAGCAGATTCTCGGATTGTGTCCTGGCTACTACAGCTGCCGCAGTGGAAGAAGGAGCTGGTTGATCCTGAGGGAGCAGTCGACATGATACTATATCACGCGGTAAGCTAGCTCGGCATCGGTGTCTTGATATTGAGACTAACATGACTATATAGTTAGGAATAGCGCATGGGTAAGTTGAGGAGTGCCACAGTCCCGTCGGCTAAAGGCTAATTAATATTGTAGTCTTCGGATCCGAATCCAACTCCACCTTCACGGCGCCGGGGTACACTTCCGAGTTCCTGACCTGGTCAGAGACGGTCCCATCTTCCGCCCCTCGTCTCTGCTCCCATCCAGCGTAACGACGAAATCGCATCCGTGGTTGTACGGATCAACGGCACTCCAGGGGTCGCTAGCCTTGGTAGGGCTGTTCAAATTCCACCTCCCACCGGAGAAGTTTTCCCCGTCCTGCACCCTGGGTCTTGAGAGGGCAGCCATGCCTCTTCTTGACGCATACCTATATGGTGGCATCAGAACACCGCTGCTGAGAGACAAGATCATGCTGTTGGCGAATGTCCTTGGCAAGGCGGGCGAGTTCTGGCCAATCGCAAAGGCTGTGTCTGAAGACATTATACAGGCCCTTGGAGGGGCAACGGACTCTGGCGAGCAGGAGGGAGGAGAGCACGATGGTTGGGAGCGGATAATTGATCGTCTTGTCCCGTCGGGGCCAGACGAGGAAGAGGTGTTCAACTTTGTACCGCCGATGACGACAGGGCAGATGAATGAGTGGGCTGGACAGATGCTGGGGTCGGGACCTGGGCCGGTGAAGGTCGAGGAGCCTTGGATGTAGCGCATTCGCATAAGCACGGTGTTGAGGCTTGGTTTTAGCCATTAGATAGTATGTATGTCACATTGAGGCAGATGCCAGTAGTCTATTTTGATTTGTGTTTTTTGCGTGGTTGCGTGTGTTTATTGATTTCGTTGACGTGGTGGTTGCAACAACCCGGTGGAGATTCTGACTAAATTGATACAGCTAAATGTACAAGCGCTGTATATGAATGGATTCGATGGCAATTACCAAGTGTCTCAGATGACCGAGCGATGGAAGAAGTATGAGAAGGGCGTCATCTGCATGGCATCCACGTGGTGGGCAAGCATCCTGTCCGATGTGTTGGCGATAAGCATGGTGTGCTGCTGTACTCACAGAGCCCGTTATTACCCTGTACCCTCTCCCAATCGCGAGTGAAGGTGTTCACGCGCCGAGGTCACACTGGGTCGTAGCGGGTGCTAGCGCCCGATATTCGCCATTGGCCGCCTGGAGCGTTATGCAGGGGCCCCGCGAGACCCGCTGCTAGTGGCCCCCAGGAGCCCCCAGAGCCACCAGAGCCCCTCCACTCTAACCCCCACCCGCTCCAGCCAACAGCTCCATCCAAACTCGCCGCCTACATCATCCCAAGTCAACAACCACAAGCGCCGTCCCAACTCGACAACGCGCCCAGGCACCCCCAGCGCACACGCCCTTCTGCTTCCGGTTGCCTTGCGACTCTGAGATGCGCCTTGCGCGCCCTGGAAACCCCCTGTTGTGAACTGCAGAACGCCGGTGACTCACTCGTTCGCCCCGAGTCTCGAAGACCGTGAATACCAGCAACCCCGGTCCGGCATTCAACCTCCCCCGGACGGCATCCACCAACCTAGCTACTCTACTACTATATAATACAACCCCCCCTCTAGGCATCGACCGATCCGCTCCTCAGAACTCAATCGATGCGGAGCTCCGTCCCGTCAACTTCTCTTTTCGCCACCACGCCGTAACGCGACGCGACGTGACACCATTACGGCCGTTCCAAACTCGCTTCCTTTTAGCTGTCGGCGAGACGAACGTCATGTCGTCATCGTCGCCGCGGCGCCGCCAACCCCGTGTAGAGGACTCGTGGCGCATGGTCGAAGGCGAAAACGACTCTTTCGACACCAATATCCTACCTTCTCTCGACGACTCTCCGCTCCTACCACCCTCGTCGGACTCTACCGGCCTGCCCACACAGCCCTTCTCCCAGGACGGGCTGAGTTTCGCCTCCCAGGACAGCATCCGGGACTTCGCTGCGCACCCAGACGACGAGCAGGTCATTTTGCGCGAGCCCTTTCGCCCTAGTCTCTCAGGAATCAACGTCAGCGCGAGCGGCAGCGGCGCCTTCCGTACACCTGATCCGGAGTTTCGCATGCCCCGTGTTGATATCGATAGCGAGGGGACTGGGAGTGGGAGGACGACACGGGGACTCGGCATTGGATTTGGCGGGAGAGATGATGGCGGGCCTGTGAGGAGACGGGGCAACGTCTCGCTTGGGAGTCCCTCAAAACAGAGGAGCGGTCGGCGGCGCTACGACGACCAAGACCGCGACTATCGAGGTCGAGAGTATCGTGAAGAGCGTAGAACGTTCTGGGGCCAACTTGCCGGGCCTTTCCCTACTGTCATCCTTGCCAGTCTTTCTTGGCTCTTCGGCGTCATTACTCTCGCCTTTCGCTATGCCCAGCGACCGCTCGCAGTCCTCTTGGCCGTTTACCTCTCCTTTGGCGGCATCATCATCGCCCAAAACATGGCCACCCGGTCCATATCAGCCTCGCTGTCTCCGCTTTGTCGCCTCCCCGGTGTTACTCTCTTGAACATCCCCTTTTGTCCGTCTAGGGATACCATAATCACCGACCCCAGCGGCCAACCTCCAGCGCCCGTCGAATTCGACGACCTCATGACTGTGCAGGCGCAGTTCGAACAGGTACTGGAGAAGAGCGCCGACGGAGTCTCGCTGCCATTTGAGATGAAGCGCTCCGAGACGGCGATCCGCGACCTGCGGAGCCTTGTCCGTCATAGCGACCTACAGGCTCGTGACGAGCTCCTCCTCGAGTTCGACGGTTATGTTGAGACGGCTCGTCGCACCGCGTCAGACTTGCAAAAGTTCAACACTCATGTTGGCTCTGCAGTCGACGCAGTTATAAGCATCAACCGTTGGACCTCCCGATATATCGATACCTTGGCCCCTGAATCTCCCGACAATCCAATCTCGCCCTCCACCTCCCTCATCGGCTGGACGTCATGGCCTTTCCACCCCTTCCAGCCTACCGTCGACCACATGTTCAACGAGCGTATCCTCCTTGACAAGTACATTGAGCACACAGCTCTCGTCTCGGAGCGCATCGCCACTTTGATCCTCGAGGCACAGGCCATACTCCGGCTTCTCACAAAGGCTGAAGACCACCTCGCCCTCATCTACGATATTACCTCGCGCTCGTCCGCCGACACCGCCCAACGCCGCGAATCGGTCCTTTGGACCATCTGGACGCTCGTCGGCGCAAACTCGGCGCGCCTCAACAGCCTCGCCCAGCAGCTCTCTCTCCTCCGTCAGGTCGACTCCCAGCGCTCCTCCGCCGTTGCGCAAGTCAGCGCTCTCATCCTCGAGCTCGAAGCCATCCAGGCCGGGCTGGGAGACCTGCGTGACCGCGTTGCCCAACCCGCCCTGCTACAGGGCACCACTGGCCCGTCTATCCCCTTGACCGTTCACATCGAAACCATCGACCGCGGCGTTGAACGCCTCGAAGACGCTCGCCGCCGGATCCGCGCCGCGGAGAACGATCGTGTTCGTGATGCCCTGGCCAGTGGCGGCTTGCGAGACGGCGAGCGAATGATTGACGCCCAGCGGAATTAAGACGAGCGTTATATATAAAAAATCAAGTCCAAGTCGGTTGAAGGAATATGAACGGAGGTAACGAATGGTTATATGAGGGGTGAAATATATTGGCGTACATATTTTGCTTGGCGTATTGGCGCATCTTGGGGTTTACGATACCAAAGACTGGACATTGAAACTGAAATGGATGTAATTTAAATAAACATTGGCACTTGATCTAAGTAAGGTATGGAGGCACATGAAACATGAGAGATATTTCGAGCTGTTTAGCAGCTATTAGCCGCAGTCTTTATGCATATCCTCGGTTCACTCTTCAATGCATTGGGTCATTGTACTCGCGGTGATGTGTGTATGGAATTCAGGAGACGCTGTTACGCGCTGTCTGCCTGTTCCGTATTCTTTAGATTTGCTTGCGCTGACTGGGTAGCCTCTTTTGGCAATACTCGCATAGTGTTGGTGGCTCGGCCCCTTGGACCCTGAGTCTTAAATGTCCGCGACCCCTGGAGCCGTTGCTGGAATACACAATAGGCTGGGATGTGCGCAAGGTACTTGTCCAGCTCATAAACTTAGATACCGCCTGACGAGCGGGTCCTCATAGCTCGATCTCTCACCAGTCTCCATGATAGTTATGAGACTCATCAGTTTCTCAGTCATGACCCAGTACTATCGCCACTCATCATATGTGCACGCCTCCTCATGCCCGATATGAAGAGGCCAAAACCGTCCTGACGCCAAAACCAAGATATAAAACCAGGCCACTGGTTCCCCATAATTGTAGTCGTGAAGGGCTCTCCCATTGCCCAACTCCTTGATCCAAAAGTCCTACCCATATAACCAAGAACGCCGTTGCCATGATTCGCGAAAAATGATGCAAGGATGAAATGTCGTCTAATGCCCTAGAAACCATACCCAGGCCGATTTTAGAAGTATCCGGGGAACACTTTTGATAATCCACGCCGCCCTGATTAAAGGATTAGAGAACTGCGCAAGGCGAACGCGTGTTAGGCTGGGAAGCACTTACATATTGCCCGTTGTTGATCCGGATCATCGAACGGGGCGTTTTTGGCTGCAATCTCCCGCATGCGTTCTCGAGCAAACGACGAAGGACTCTTGCGTCCTACTGTTGTTGATGTTGTTGTCATTAGTTCCGAATTCTCTGGATGCGTCGGGAGCAAATTCAGAGCTCGGGGTCGTGTTCGTCGCGACTTTGATATCCTTGCTGGGGTGGGTGAAGTTGTGTCTGTTACTGGCTCCTGGGAAATCGAGTCGGAGGCGGGGGTAGAGATCGCGTCTGGGGTTGCGGCTTGCTCCTCAGCGACCATTGGCGTTGATTCTCTTACTGGCTCTTCTTTGGGTCTCGTAGGTTTCAAGGTAACTAAACGGGTAACGGCGGTAGGCGAAGACACCGATGAGGTGCCAAAGAGTCGTTTGCTCCATCCTTTGAGCTTGCTGTCGTGGGACTGGTCTGATAAGTCATCAAAGTCGACCCTCTCTCGTAGACGTCGGAGAGCGCGTTCACGGCGAACCATTCCGTTGGTAATCTGGGGGCTGTATCCTCGAGGCAGCATACTCTGTTTGCACACAGGACAGAGGGAACTGTTCTGCGAGAGAAACTCGTCGATACATTCGGGGTGGTAGATGTGGCCGCAAGAAAGCTCCCGAATAATCGTCAGTCGATGATCAAATTTTACCAGACAAATGTGGCAGCTCGGTTGGAAGTTGGTAGCAGTTGAGTCGCCGGAATGCCCGACACTGCATCGTTTGCTCCGAATGCTGGTTGTGGATCTTATGCTGCGTTGATCCTGTCGGCGGCTGCTTCGCGAGGCTCGGGTGGAGAGAGGAGTTGGAGGTGGGCCCATCGTTTCCGGGTCGGCATTGTACGTGAATAGAGGGAAGTCTCGGATATGGGCGGGGGGGACAGTCATGCGCTTGATTCCCATGGCTTCGAGATCGACCTCGCCCGACTCAACGCGGCACTTCAGAGAGTGTCGACGACGTCGTTGGATCAAATGCATGGTCAAAGAGACGCCGAAAATGATCAAGAGGAGTGCACCGATGACGATGAGAAAGAACGCCCACAAAGGGGGGATGCTGGAATCGTTCTGGAGGGTAAGTTCGGTCCATATGCGGACATAATCCTTGGGGTTAGGGCCGTAGAGATCGTTGATTTCCTCGCCGTGGGGGATATCGGCGATATGACCTGAGTAGAGACTTAGTTGTTCCATCATTCCCTGGCCTTCCATGCCAGAGATGGCGAAGATGGGGAATTTGTTCGTCTTAACCCATGCTCCACCATCTTCGAGGTTCCAGACGGGGGAGTCGGCATCTTGGGGTTTGTTGGAGGAATTGTTGGGCTTGTAGAAGACGAATGCGCGAAGGGGGTCGAGACGCGCGGAGGCGAGGTAGGCGAGAGTACAATCGATGCTGAACCAAGGGGCGAGAGCGATGAGGTTGTAGTTAGTCGGGGGGAGATTGTTTCGGCGTGTGACATTTTTGGGAATGAAGTCGTACTGTGCGAGGTCGCAGGCGTCGTCATTGTCAAGATCCGGGACGTAGAGCAAGCCTTGAATGACGCCGTCGAGCGTATCGGCATTGGTAGTGGTCAGGGTGGTGATGTTGGACGTTATGCGCTCCTCGTAGGCTAGCTGGCTCTGTTGACGGGAGAGGCGTTAGTTAAGGACGGGAGGTGCCCGAGAGGGCTGCGGCGAGAGAAGTGATGACGCACCGACAATGCCGTGAGGTTGCGAATGATTGTTGACGGGACCGTACTGGCGCCGCTCCATACTGGATTGCTGAATAGGAGGCTGCAATGGGGTCAGTGACCTGTAGAGAAGAAGGTTGACGAGGAATCGCGGAGCGGGGCGCAGCAAGCAAGCAGCAAGGCGGAAGTAAAAGGATGACGACGGCGGGGAATAGTACGACGGTGTTGGACGAGGACGGTAACGCAGGCGGCGACAACACGGTCGGAAGAGGCAATAAGAGGCACTTACACGACATTTCGAATCTCGGTGAGCGCTGGGAAGACGTCAGTTTGCGGGATGCCAAGGCCGGGGCAGAATGGGACGCTTCTTGGCCTCACCACCCGCAGCAGCGGGCGGACGAGAGGCACGGCGACGGCAGCCGGAAGGAACGGGGGGCTCGGGCAGATCGGGAAGAGGGCGACAAACTTACACATTCTTCTAAAACATTCTCAATCATGGGGCGGTAGGCATGATACTGCGTGCACCGACCGCGCGAGGTTGAAGCAGCGGCCAGGGTGACGGTGAAATGGCGACGATGGGATTTCGGCGAGGCGAGACGAGGATGCGAGGATAGAAAGAGCAGGACGAGGACGGATGCTGGGCTCGCTGTGAGGAAAGAGCGAGGAGGGAAGCGAGAGCAAGATGGCCCGGGCGCTGGAGGAAAGAGTGGAGAGCGGCGAGCGGAGCGCGGCAGCGTGGAGAATGAATGGAGACTGGAGAATGGAGAATGGAGAGGGAGGAGCGACTCAGGCGTTCTTCTGAAGCAGAGCAAGCAAACAAGAGGGGGGAAGCGCCTGGCGCAGAGGCGGGAAGCCGGAAAGAAGGGGTGTGCAAGAGGTGGCGCGTAGGTGTGAGGTAACTGTGTGGGAGGCGCAGAAGGAAGGGGGTGCGGGCACCAATTTAGCAGTGAGAAGGCACTACTACGTTGGAAGGCAGGGTAGGTAGGTACTGGTATCGATTGCGAGGTACCTAGGGATGACGTGTGCGGGATACCGGACTGGTGCAAAACGGGACGAAATGAACACGCGGAAAGACTTGGGACGAGACGAACCGGTGCTGGAAAGAAGCTGGACTAGGACGTGCGACTAAGGAGGATAGGAATACGATCAAAACGGGGTCCCAGGGATGAATTTCGGCGGCGGCGTGGCTGCCAAGACGGACAGCGCCTCGACGCCGGGGGACTCGGGGGGGAATAGTGAGAGTGGCGGACGGACTGGTCGTGTACGAACGGGTCGAGTATGAACGGGTTGAGTACGGACGAGGTAGTAAAACCGATCAATCTTTTAACTGAGTCCAACCGTCAGTGGTATGAATTGTTGTTGATGTATTGTGAGCAATTCACGGGATGAGCGTCATGTTCGATGATTGACAAAAGACGCGGCTCGGCTGTTCCACAGTGAGCAGGAGGAACTTTAATGGGCGATCACGTTGCGGAATTCGGTATTGCCGGCATGGATCTGTATCGGGCAAATCGTCAAATGCCGTCTTAGCGATCAGAAAGTCTCACTTTGCTTTCTGCCGTCGTCGATATGAGGCCATGAGCCAACAACTGAGACATAGCTGAATGGGCCGCGATGCAAGTGGTTTTCCTTTTGGAGCCAGGGGGGTTTGCTAGAGGTGCGGTTGGGATCCGCACTCCGTACCAACAGGAATCCTGCGGTGACAGGCCCCGGGAGAGAGATTACAAGGCGTGAGTCAAGGGTACAGAAGCTGCAGCCGCAAGTTGCATTGGCAAATACCACCACTTGCTCCAACAAAATGCCCCCATGCTCGACTTCATCCTCCCCATCGAGGATTGGCCGGCCGATACAAGGGGGTACCTGTTGTTGATTCTCCCAGTCCCTCCTTGTTCGTCGAAGCTCTAATCGTCTTCTTTGCTTCTCCTCCCGTTTGCCAAGACCTGTGTGAGCAACCAGGGAGCAGCAACACTTATCCATGACCCCATGGCCCAACAGCGATCCCCCGGCCGGGAAAACCCAAGGCAGGCTGCTTATTCCCCTCCCCCTGCCCTCCCACGTCCTGCACAAACGGCATTGGACTGGTTCACAGACAATGTGTACACTCCACAAAGCCCTCTGATAAGCCTAGGTGAAGCTAGAATACTTCATGAACTTGTCTTAAAGCGGGGTCGGGAATATACTTGTTTGCGTGCCACAATCAGTCTCACTTCAACGTTTTGGCACCTCGACTTGGTGGCATGGATCCATCGGGTGTGAGTTTCGATGTCAGGGATTCCAGCCGAACAGGGCCATTTGGTGCATCCATCTCCACAGTACCCCTATCATTTAGGCGTCTCTCGCCAGTCACCGCTCAAAACACCCCGCAGAAGAGATTCGAAAATCGAGAATTTGGTAGGAAAACCGGACTGTTCGCTGAAGGGAGATTGTGCGTTCAAGAGCGCAACAGCTTGGTGTGTGTCTCGCGATTGCAGTGCTTCCCTCTTTCCTCGGAAGGGTGCTGCCATCTCGTATTTTGCCTGTTGCCAAACAACCCCGTCGAGTAGCCTTATGGCCGACGCAACCATGCCGATGAATGGTAGGTAGGGGAGGGGGAGTTGAAGAAAGCGAGAACGGGAAGCGAGCCGAATCGGATCTGCACTTCCGCCAAGCTTCTGCGCCGAAAAGCTTGTCTGCCGCGACATGCCCAGCTTTATCCAGGGTCCACGGGCCACGAGGCACAAACTCGCACAGAAAGGCGCAAAACCCACCCATCACCCAGAACTGCAAGCCGACGCAAACACACCCGCCAAGCCTACCCAAACCCTTGACCCCGGTGGTCCCAAGCCAACACCAGAAGGAGGCTCGCTCGCTCTTCCACGAAGCCAAGTCTAATGGTGATCATCGCTCCTAGCCCCAGAGCATCCTATACCAAGGATAGCGCAAAGGACCAGTCTTGACGACATGGCACCTATGTATGGTATGCCTTGCGAGGGTTGATCCGTCGATGATAACCTCGTGGGTGTGCGAAAGAATCCCTGTAGGGACAGGACCCTTGATTCGAGGAACCGTATTTGAGTGCGACCAGGGAACACAGCAGTGCCGCTGGGTTCCGCGGAACAAGGCCCGCCAATTCAAATACGACGGCGAGCGGTACAGTGGGGTGCGATGCATTGCGGTTGGCAGGCCCACGCGAAACACAAGAGGCGCCGCCGGTCGCCTCATTGATGGCCGTGACTGGGTTCACCACCACATGGCTCTGGAGCGGGACAAGGCCCCGCAGAGCACGGGTGTGAAGTAGCCAGTTGCTCCATGACATTCAAAGTCAAAGATGCGCCTAAGCCCTCCGCCTTCTGTAGACGAGACGCGATTGAGCACGGAGGCTGCGGCAGGCCGGCAACTCGGCAGCATGAGTCGCAGATCACGCAAATGGCGGCTTGCGAGAGCATAGCTCGACAAAGGACGAAATGTGCCACAATGGGGCTTGCCGGGAAAGTCGGAAGTCGGATAGCATCTTCGCAGGCAGAGAACGACCGGCTCCCCGACCTCCTCCTCCTCCTCCTCCCTCGTCTCGGATGCTGGGCCCCCTGCCCGTCCTGGTCCTCAGGCTGTGATACTATGTACAAAAAGGTCAGTCAGTCCCTGCGCGGGAAGCTCGGAGGCTTCTTCGCTGCGTGGCTGAGTCTGTGTCTCTCCATCTCCACAGCTGGGAGCTGTCAACTCCGCTCACTGGATCGGAGCGACGGGGCGACAGGCGACGGGCGACAGGCGGCGAACGGTAGCTGAGAAAAAAAGACTGGGCCGTCCTGGGGTCTCGGTCTCCTCACAGGGCCCTGGGAGGCCTCGACACTGTGCCTCGCAAAAGGGCCCTGTCTGGTGCGACGCCACTTGACGTAAAACATGGCGGCCGCGGAATACGCGTTTCGGTGAGTGAGGAGGGACGGACGGAGGTATCAACGTTCGCACTGCCGATACGTATCTGGCATTTTAGGCTCCTGAGGCAGCTAAGCAACTTAACTGCCGCCACATTCCCCCATTCTGTCACCCGCTGCTACCTCACACCCCCACCCGTATCGGTGCAATGATAGACACCCGGCGACTCACTGTTCGCAAAGGATACGGGACCGGGTTCCGTGCACTCTTTCGGATGCACTTTTACAAGTTCCATCGAAGCACTACGTGACTACGTGGGCCTCCCACACCAGCCGAATGACACGGCTGCACTGCTTGCACGTGGCATAAGTTGTGTGCCCCAGGTAGCAAACAGGGAGGTGGTGTTGGACACGGATAGTGCCTCTTCGACTGAGTCGGATGCTACGGTACACTACTGTGCGGATGGATGAGATCCGATTTCCACACGCGCCTTCTGGAACGAAACGACATCAAATACCACTCTGCGGCCGGTGCCAGGTACTGTACGGGATTGTGCAAACCTTCATAATTTGCTTCGCCATGCACAACCTCGGGTACGAGAGAGATCGTCAGGAATTGCGTCAGACCACGCTGCGATCGTCAGGCTGATATCAGACTCCCGCCTATCAGGGCTCATATCTGGTATCTCCAACCCAGCTACCTGCACCAGTCCTGTCCGAAGGAATCATCCCGCCCAATCTTGGGAAACAAGATTTAAACGTAAATTGCAGTAGAGTTCAACGGCAACCGGCGAGAGGCGAGACCCGGCCGTGTCTTACCCGCAATCTGGAGCCGCCGTGCGTCACAACGTCAATATCTCAACTTCAACTTTGAGAGTTTATCAACGAGACAGAAACCCAAGATTTTGTCCATAGCAAAGTTAAGCGAAACGACACATTTCACCCTCCTCACACCCCCTTCAGCTCCTTGGCCTGTTCAAAGGCTCGCTCAGCCCTCTCAGGTGACTGCAAGCATCGGACCACTGCAAGCATCCGTCGTATCGGAGGATTTCGGTCAGTTCTCGGTGACTTTTGGGATGCTTTGCAATTTCGTCCTTTATCGCCGCCTCATTATTGAAAGTGCTAGCCTGGCAGTTGCGGAAATCATGATGAAGCCGTGAACGGTCGGACGCTGACCTCTTAACCTGGTAGACCCGGAATTCAACACAACACTCTTATCATCCGATGATCACTGTCACTAACAGCTAAGGGCGAGCCCATAAGGAATGTCGACGTCCAATCCATATTTGCATACTAAAGTGATCATGGTTTTAACTGTCTTCACTAACATGTGTCTCGTACTCTAATCCAAATGATACTGTTGTGAGAAACATTTGACCTGAATCCCTGGGACATCCCATAAAATGAACCAGTATTAGAGGAAAGGCCTGGAGCAGGAATTATTAACATGTATCGAGTCACAAATAGCATTCAGTTATCTTGTAACAAGGCACCAATTCTTTTCCTAGAGTCTCAATAGTAGGCAATCTATTCTGACAACGTAGGCTTTCCCCCTGACAGAAGCATCATTTGTTTCAGTTCCTGGACACCAGTCGATCAAAGCTATCGACTCTTTACCAACGACGCTCGCCTCCGTAGCCGTTGCCACCGTTTCCACCATACTGACCGCCCTCGCCGCCGCCATAGCCACCACCACCTCCTCCGTAGCCTCCTTGGCTCTGGCGAGCATATTCATCGGCCTCACCACCGCCATATCCACCGCCCTCCTCGCGGCGCTCGTAACCACCGCCGCCACCATAGCCACCCTGTTCGGGTCGACCGCCGTACCCTCCACCATAGCCGCCCTGCTCGGGCTGGCCTCCGTAGCCGCCTCCACCTCCGTAACCTCCGCCCTCCTCACGGCGTTCATAGCCACCGCCGCCATAGCTCTGCTCCTCACGACGTTCCTCCTGACGCTGGTAACCGCCACCACCATAGCTTTGCTCCTCACGGCGTTCCTCGCGGTGCTCTTCGCGACGCTCGTAACCTCCGCCGCCATAGCCTTCATTGCTATCACGGCCGTGACGACCCTCGTTGCTATCCCTCCGACGGTGGTGTTCCTGGCTTTTCTTGCGGCGATGCTTGTTTTCATCATCATCATCATCGTTATCCCTGCGGTGGCCTCCGGAAGAGCTATGGTGCTCACGGCGCTCGGTGTGTTGCTCGTAACCGCCTCCGGAAGAAGAGTGAGTCTCAGTCCGCTGAGAATAGGAATGGGTCTCAGTTCGGCGGGAGCTCGACTCCTCGCTGCCACCGAAGGACCCCCCTAGGATCGAACTGGCGGCGTTGAGGAAGCCGCCAAAGCCACCCTCGTCTTCCTTCTCCTTGCGAGAGGATTGGGACATCTTATACCCAGTGTTCTGTTCGACTATGCCAGAGAAGGCACCAGTAGCACCCGAGATAATGGCATCAGCCGCAGCACCAGCAATCTTGTCCTCCATGGTCTCAGGACCGCCACCATAGAGCTTGCGCATCTTGAGCTTGCCTGCACATCCATGGCCGTGGCCAGTGTCATGGACACCCTCCTTATGGTTCTGGCCTTCCTGAACTCCCTCGCGAGTCAGCTTGTTGCGGTAGTCATCCTGGGATCCCTCGTCGCGCTTCTCGCCCCACCACTCCTTGACGTTTTCGTAGCAGCGACGACGGCCCTCGCGGATCTTTCCACCACCCGACTCGCGCTGAGCAGGGTGATGCATGATCCCATGTACGATGCCGTCCAGGAGCTCATCAACGTCTACGCTCTCATCGTCCATGGCGTCCATGAGCTGAGGAACAACCCAGGTCACCATGCCGGCAGCACATCGACCAGCGATCTCGTTGAGAATCTATGGCATGGTCAGAAAACAAACGTTTGGGTGTAGCCACGAACAGCTTAGGGGATTCTTTAGAGTCAAGGGAGTGCACATACGTTGGAGAAGTGATCCTTGGACAGCATGGAGTGTGTCGGGTCAGTCGAGTTGTCATCTTCGAACACAATGTGTTGCTCTCGCTCGCTGCTCTCAATGATCTCTTCGGAGCCAGTCTTGAGCTCGTTGCGGATCTGGTGGATGAGGGGGACAATGAAGGGAGCGATGAGAGAGAAGATGAAGACGGACAACTGCTCCTCGAGTTGCTCAATGACCTTGGGCAGGACGGGGATCTTCTCAAAAGCGGCAGAGATGCTCTTCATGATTTCATCGTGGAACTCGATGGCGGGCATCACCTGCTTGAAGACATTCTGGATGTAGATGGTGAACTCCTCGGGCTCACGGGGAGAGACGGTGGTGTTCTCCATCTGAGCTTGAGTTGCATTGGACTGGAGCTCGTCGACGCGTTCACTTTGGTGCTTGTCACCAAAGATGCCGTCAGGGATCTTGTCGAGAAGATCTCGGAGCATGCTGGTATCTGCCTTGCTTCCCTCCTGGAGGGTGCCCTCAAGCTCGTCAATCTCATTCTGGGTCAGCTTATCGGAGACTGCATCTCATTAGTGATGGTGTCGTAGGGAGTGCAATGAGAAAACCAACCTTCGCCAGTAACAGAGTGCAAGAAATCGACACCTCCAAAAGTTCCAGTGACAATGGGATAGACGGGACGACGAGCACCCTCGATCTCAATCTGGGTGTCACGTCCAACGTGGGGGAAGACATCGCGTTCGCCCAACTCAATCAGGGCAAGCTCGCAGTAGTTGCTGTGGGCAAAGAAGTCTGTAATTTTTGGTTAGTCTCGGAAACAATACATTCATCAACATGCTCGGAGATTAAAAGAAGATGCTGCGACTAGAGTGGGTAGCAAGCAGCTGATAGGTACCAACCTTCGAGACAGTGGAGTCCAGTTCCCAAGAGACGGAGAGCCTCGTACTTGTCGGACTTCCTGTCACTCTCCTTGTAGCGACGACCCAACTCAATAGAGCGAGAGAAGAGCTGCTTCACATGTTTGGCAGAAGTCATGATTCCGGCGCCCTCGTTGGCAATGTAGTTCTTCATGCCAGACTCGGGGTCAACCGAGAGCTCTCGTTGCTCATTGATGGGGCCTCGGAGGCGACGATCGTACTGGCGAGCATCGACATTCTCCGCATAATCCTTAGGGTTGTCAATGTGATCCTCCGGGCGGTAGCATCCAAGCCGATCGGCGGTAACCTCGAACTCGCCAGATCCGAAACCGAAGGTCATGAAGCCAAGGACACAAAGCAGGAGACGGATGGCCTCGGCAGAGACGGACTTGACAGTGCCAACGTCGACAGCCTGGGAGTAATCGCGAAGCCAGTTACCAAAGTAGACGCGGGAGACGGTGAGCTTGTTGAACTTCTTGCCGTTCAGGGCGCGGGCCATGGTGAGGGTGAGGAGAGCATCTTCGATATCGCCGTGTCGCCCTAAAGGGAGCTGTCAGCATGTGGGTTTGGGCCGATGGGTGATCACCACACTGGGACTATGGCTACGTACAGTTCTGGCCCTCGACCTTGGAGATGGAGGCAATGTTTCCGGCACCGAAGGCCAAGGCGGGAGAGGCCAGGCAAACGACGATGATGAGCCCCACCAGGAGGCCGTGCGACCTGAAGCTGAACATGCTTGCGTGTTCCTTTCTTCAAGTATTGGGACAGGTCCCAGAGAGAAGGAGATGGGAGTGACGATGCACAAGTGGTATATGTGATAGGCCCCAATCGAGCTAGCGAGAGGGGGATAGGCGAGGTAAAGGTCGAGTGGTTTGAAGGGAAGTGGAAAAAGAAGAAGAGAAGAAGAGAAGGGAGGAGGAAGAGTGCGAGGAGACGGTGGAGGTGGAGGAGGAGGGGTTGTCTGAGCTGAGGGGCAAGTGACGCAGATTCAGCTGGCGTGGATTGCAGCATGGTGCAAACAAGACATTTGAGCAACGCAAGCAGGACCACTAATTACCCAACGAAAACAGGAATCAAAGCACCAACATCAGCAGCTGCAACAGTAATCCGCCAAGGCCAGTGCATTCATTCCCAGGCCTCTCAACCCCCCGCCGTACACGATACGGGCTCCCTCCGTACCACGCTCCTTACCACCCTCTCCCGGTTTCTGGGGGACTTCTGATTCAATGCATGCGTGAGGCGCTGGTCCGCGCCGGCTCTTGGGGGCATTCCTTTGGCCACAAGCCTGCAATTCGTGGGCTAGCAGCTAAGCATGAAATCATACGCGCCCGGGGTCTGCGGCTGTTGGACAGTTGGAGGGTTGGAGGGGCATCCGAGCGTGACAGCTTGGAGAGCTGGAGCAGGGGCCCAGTACTCGGCATTGCGCGTTGATGCCATAGATCCGTCAAGTACCGCGCCCCTCCATCTCTGGTTTGAACGGGCTGCCTGATAGCAGGGGTCTGCGACACAAGTGGATGCTCCGGCGATCGTCCGTCATCGAACCAAAGCTTGCTGAGGGGCTGCCCCGCCGCGCGTTAGATGGCTTGCTTAAGCTCAGGCTTTCGGTGTCGGTGAAGCTTGTCGATGCTCGCGCAATTCATGAGCTGTAGGAGGCCATCATGAGCGAAGTAGACGAGTGCAGAGTCCACCACGAAGTAGCAGAGGGGTCAGTCATAGAGAAGGTAGATACTGAATGTTGTGATTCAAACTGTGCAGTTTACCGTATGACAAGAGCTGACAAGAGCAGACAGAGGGCAAGGCATCTCAGGCATCACGTGTTGTTTGTGTACGTACCGCCGAGCTGCCCCTCACCTCAAGACGCGTCTCGGAGGGGAGCTCTGGTCTGGCGCACCAGATGCCGTCGACAAGATGGAGGATCAATCGTCAACCCACATTAGGATGGATATGAACAATAATTTTTCAGGTGCGGAAGACCAAGGTCGCATAACTTCAAGATCAACGGACGAAGGACTTGCGCGCCTTTAATACCATCCTGGAGGCGGGGGAAGAGCTCCGATCTTGGTCGTCAGCCAGATGATTCACGTCTCCCAATCCATCAAGGTACCTCTCTCAAACCCAGTGGAACCAATGTGATGTAGCTAGGATGTACTGAAGCGATCTATATCTGTCATCTTCTCGCTTTATTATTTGTGATCTGTTTGAGAGAATTGTGAGGTTTGCGACTGTGTTGTTTCTGCCGGCTTTGCACTTTGTTATCCACCTGCACGCCACAATTGGGCCGAAAGATAACTACGTACCTCAGTGGAATCAGAAGAGATATTATCGTATCAAATGTGAACGAGATACCAAGCCACTTTAGCCCTTGTATCTCTTTAGGCCCTTAGGTTGTGCTTGGCTGTGGTCAATTTCTTACCGAATAATGGCAGCAGCATCTGTCATTTCTCGAGTTCGTGACACAAGTTCACAGAGATGATGAATTGGCGAACCAACACGGGCTTCTAAGTCTACGTCTGGTATAAAGTCGAGTCGTCCTGTGGAAAATTCTACTTTTACAGGCTGACTGACACCAGCAGCTGCACTGTCCGGAGCGGTCCGCCCGTCCCGTTGCGCGTAGCGGACATCATAGGCACGATGAGCGCCACCAGTGAGCAGTAGGGTTAGGATCGGGAAGCAGACTTCATGCGCAAATGGAATCGACCCGTATCTGGAACTGGATCCAACACGAGATACATGTTATTTAAAGACGACAATGTCAGGTGCGCGAGATTTGAATCGACGCGTTGGATCCATTTCACGCTGCATCAGGAGTGGTGGGAGCAAGCACACCGCGTGAGCCCTGAAGCATCCTGTAGAGACACCGACGGTCCCATGAAACTTGCAAGTCGGGCTCTGAGCAGGTAGGTAGCTGCCCTAGAGCCCGGCAGGTTTGGTGAGAATTAGGGGGGAATATTGTGGCAGCTCTTGCATTGGGGAAAGAGGAGAGCTGGCACGTCCAACCTAGGTGGTGGGTGGGCATCAATATCACTGAAAAACCTCAATGTGTCGGGCAAGTTTGGGCGGGCGAACGTGGGCGGGCTGTGGGACGGCACTTGAGCACTGTTCCTTGGCGAGACTGCCACAGAGCAGCGCGCTGAAGCGACGGGGATTGGGGGACTCTGGCTCAATCACCGTCGAACTTGGTCGCCGCTTTAAAGGATGGACCCGAACCCACTGTACCACAGTGTCATGTCTCCTGGGAGTGATTGACCCGCGGTCCTGGGGGGAGGGGGGATTGAAAACTGGAGGGCTCAGAGCCAAGCTGGAATACTCAGGAAGGGCAGGCTGGAAGGGACCTGGAGGGACCTGGGGGGAACCCGCTGAGGCTCTGCACTGCGGATGCCTGTTCTGTCGTGCTGAGATGTACAGGCCGAGGGCGAAGGCGCTGGAATGGCCCCGCCCGCCCAGCCCAGTACTGCCAGCGCATTGGGCACAGGCAGGGCCAGTGTGACACTGGCCTGGCTGTGTGCGGCCCCAATGGACCTGGAAGCTGATGGGCTGCTGCACAATCTCCCTAAGCGCCCTGGAGGGAGCATCTCCAAGGCGCTAAAAGCATCTCCAGGCGAGTCCTCCAGAGGTATCGCTGAAGCATCAGGGCCATGACGCGCTGGTTGGGGAGGTCTTGACCCAGGACTACGGGCGCTGCTGGGTCGCAAACTCGACATGCACCGAGAGCAACAACAATAAGGAAACAGTTGCACATGTAAAAACGAACGAGGCGACGAGATTGAAAAGTCGACGACCGAATCGATCCAGCAACCGCAATAGTCGAATACGCAGCAGATACAGAGCGATGACGTTTGGAGTGACAAAGTCCCAGTCACCATGCCACGGGCGCTGGATCCTGCAGCAGTAGTAGGCTGCGGGCGACGGGGCGGAAGAGCCTAGGGTGCCCGAGGCTGCTGGCCACTGACCAGTCAGCGACTGTCGGGGGCTGTGGGCTGGCTGCTGCCCGGCCTGGTCAGTTGTGGCCATGTGAGGTGAGGTGTGAGGCGGTCCGATGGGGGAGAGGAGGAGAGCTGTCCTTTTTGTGCCGTGGGTGATCCTGATACGAGATATGTTGCAAACTGAGTTAAAATGGTGTTGACGGAAAGAGAGCGAACAGACCGTGTTGCACCCGTGGACGTTTACTGGAAGTTGTAGCGAGGTAATTGGCGACCACCTGGAACAATCTGGTTCAGTACGTGGCTGGCAGGTCTGGCAGGTCTGGCAGGTCTGGCGCTGTGGCGAAATGCTCAGAGGCCCCAAGCTTGAAGCTCAGCACGAGTTCCAGCGCCGACCACCGAAGCGTCCGAAAAACGGCTCCCCAGTGAGGCTTGCTGAGATGTGCGGGAGGAGGGGAACGAGTTCAAGCGCCCCTGGGCAGGTCCAGCGCTGGGGCTCTCTGTCGGGCATTTAGGCCCAGGTTCCCAATTTTCCGTCGGGTCCCATCTGCTGTGGACGGCGCTGTCCCCCCCAAAACCGAACTGCCCCCGCTTGTGGGAGGCTGTGAGAGGGGGCCGAGGGAAAGTCGCAGGAAAAAAAACTCTGCGGTTGTGCGCTGGGCTGAGCTGGGCGGGGGTTACAGAGTTGAAAGGGCTCGAGGGGGGGAGGGCTCAGTGAGCCTGGCAGACCGGGCAGCCCACTGCAGCTGCCGCCAATGCGCCCTCCCAAGGTGCGTGCCCGGTCCTCCAGCTCCTCCGATCTGGCGAGCGCATTTTTCTCTGGAGGGGAAGGGGAGGGGGAGCAGCCGCTGGGGCCTGGGGCCTTGCGGGCGGGGGGGCCGTTCACTCGCTCACTTTTTGGGCCATGTATTTTTTTTTTCGGGGCCTTCAGGTCACCCACACCCACCCACTCACTGACTGATTGCGCGCGACGGCCGGCCCCTACATATTCAGCGCACCGCCCACCCCCAGCCCCCGAGTTGTTTTTCCCCCGAACTTCAGCACTCCCTCATCCCCTCAATTCCCCCCTCATCCCCCAAGACCACTGAATCCGCCCGCCATCACCATCACCACAGCGGACAACAGCGCTGCACTCTCCATCCACTGGAAACACTCTCTCTCTTCCATCCCAACATCGCCTACACCATCTGCCGCCAACGCTGTGAGCCTGGGAATAGTCCAGCAGAGGTTTCAAACGCCCGCCGCATCCTGAATTTCAGAGCTGCCGCAGCAAAACAACTGACGCCAAACGCGCCAGCGCCCAACACCACTCGATACCACTTCTTCCCCTCAGTTCGCACTCACAATGCCTCGCCCCAAGAAGTCAGCTGAAGCCAAGGTTGCCGTCGCGCCTGCTACTCCCATCGCCGCTGTCCCCACGCCCATGATGCCCCTTTCTCTCACCACGGCCGTTGTGCCTCCCAATCAACCCGGTGTTCCTCAGCGCCCTATCGACAATGATAGCTTCTTGCGCGTGCGCGACTCGGTAAGTCTTTGACTCTTACATCTTTGTCCCGACTACCCCAAATGCCCTGTATCCCCTTCACCTGCCTCCCCTTCGCCGTCACTCCGCGCTTGTCTCCAGCCGTTTCCGCGTGTCTCGGGACAAACCGCGACAGAGAGGCCTCGAGCGACTTGGCCTGGCTTGGTTTGCTCTGGTCAAGTGGTGAATGGGTTGAAAGTGACTTGGGTACTTGTCTCATTCACCCAGCATGAGCTGTCTGGGTAGTGCTAGACTCTCCCAGCGCCCTCTGCAACCACTGCACGATTAGGGGAGCAACAGCACAGGACCCAAGCGAGTTTATGTCTCAAAAAAAAAAAACGCGCCTGGCCAATTCTCCCAGCGCCTACTTGAGGGAATATATTTCTTTCTGTTCCACAAGAACCAAAGCCTGCTCGAGTGCTTGCAAGGCAAGACGCGCCGCGGACCGCCCGTTGTTGACAGGAGCCCCGCGCTCTGGCGGGCTCTTGGGCTTGGTGCCGCCGAGGAGCTATGGCCACCGCGACTTGAGCAGCTTAGCTCCAGGTCTCCCAGCAAGCTCTCCACTACAACTTCACTCCATTGCACATTGTTCCTCTTGATCTCTTCTGCTCTTACACATTGTCGCCTTGCTATTCTTCCCGCCTTCGTCATGAGAATGTCCTTGCTAACATATCCTCGCTTAGGCCATTGCCCGTCTGACTACCATTCTGGATCTTGTCCGCACCTTCACTACCGACTATGTTCGTCAGACCAACATGCTCCTGGGTGAGCCCACTCCTGAGGGTGTCCAGGGCGACATCCTCGCCAACTTTGAGCACGCCGCTGCTCACCTTATCATGCCCGTTCAGGAGATGGCTCCTCCCGTTGAGGAGAAGAAGGAGCGCAAGAAGCGCACTATTGACCCCAACGCCCCCAAGCGCCCCCTGACCCCCTACTTCCTCTACATGCAGCACGCCCGCTCCATTATTGCGAATGACCTCGGTTCCGAGGCTCCCAAGGGTGCTGTGCAAGAAGAGGGCCAACGACGATGGGCCCACATGGGTCCTCATGAGAAGCAGGGCTGGAACAACGCCTACCAGTACAACCTCCGTTTGTACAATGCCCGCGTGCACTCCTACAAGAACGGCAACCCCCATGCCAAGACCATGACCGATGAGGAGGCATTGAAGTACGCCGAGGACTACCAGATCCCCATGCCTGAACTCAAGGACGTTACTCAGACCGAGGCTCCCGCCAACGATCAGGACGCCATCGCTGAGCAGCTCCAGCAGGTCGCTGCCGCGCCTGATGATGAGGAGACTCCCGCCAAGACCCCCAAGAAGGCTGCCGGTACCCGTAAGCGCAAGACTGCGACTCCTGCTGCTGAGGTTGATGCCAAGCCCGCTCCCCCAGCCAGCCCTGACAAGAAGCGTCGGCGCACATCCACCAAGGCCGCTGCTGCTGTCGCTGAGACCCCCGAGGAGCCCAAGAAGTCGGGACGCAAGAAGGCTAAGAGCTCTTAAGCCACTCCCTTGTTTTCTTGGCGCTGCTTTGGCGTCCTCCGGTCTGATGACCACTCCTTGATTAGCTCCTGCAGCATCGCTGCCAGGAAGCATGATACCTGATGGGAGTGAGATGTGGAAAGGAGGATTCTTATCCTATATACTCTTTCGGTGTTTGGGGGGTCTCGTTTAGTTTTTCTGTGCTGCTTGGGAGGGTTTCACTTGGGGCCGTAGGCACCAAAAACACTGCGGACACGGCCATGGATGGGAGACTCCGTAACGGAGTGGGACAGGATGGGTTGCGGGAGGAGGTCCTCCATGTTGTGTACGTTTTCCGTCTTGGTCGCTGTATTTGTCACAGCTGAACTGGCTATGCCGTAATGAGAGCAACGATACTTGCAATTTAAATTTAAGAGCTTCAAATTCACCTTGTTTTCGTGTGTAAATAAGTTCAGGTCAAGCTTGATAGACCGTCGTGGGTCTGGATCTGCATGGACACCTGTCAGAGGTTGGATTGACTCCCTGCACGCTCGAACAGCCGCTCTATTAGGCTGGAGTTTCTCACAGGAGTGTACATCAATGCAATGCTTCTTTTAATTGGTAGATTTCACACTTCAAATTCACATATTCCCCGTTCCTTCGCCATTGAATTCGCAGTGTCAACCCAGCCTTCGTCAGAAGGGATATCCATTTCCCATCTTCCCCCGAGAAGCCCCTCCCTCTCTCAGCGACTCCCTTCCTTAGTACACATAGAACGCTTGCGTCAGCGGTAGAGTAGTCGCCGGCTCGGCCGCGCATACCTTGCCGTCGGCCTCGACAGTGTAGCTCTCCGGGTCGACGCGCATGCGCGGCATGAGGTCGTTGTGGCGCATGTCGCGCTTGCTGATGTTGCGGCACCCGCGGACGGCCTCGACGCGGCTGCGCAGGCCGTACGAGGCGATGGCGCCCGAGGAGATGGACGCGGCGGAGACGAAGAGGATGCTGGTAGAGGGGACGAGGGGGGCGAACATGGGGCGGGCGATGATGGGCTGGATGGTGGGGATGGAGGCGTTGGGATCGCCCTGGTGAGAGGTCAGTTTGGGATTCGTTGCGACTGGAAGGGGGACATACCATCTGAGCGCACGCGATGTGACCGCTCTTGATCACCTGGCTCGGCTTCGTCGCGAACCAGGCCGGGTCCCAAACGACAAAGTCTGCCAGCTTGCCCACCTCGATGCTTCCCACGAGATGCGAGAAGCCCTGCGCGATGGCCGGGTTGATGGTGTACTTGCTCACGTACCGCTTCACGCGGGCGTTGTCGGCCCCCGTGCCCTCGTCCTCGGGCAGGTATCCGCGCTGGACCTTGTTCTTGTGCGCCGTGTTCCAGGTGCGCAGGATGACCTCGCCGCAGCGGCCCATGGCCTGCGAGTCGGAGCTCATCATGCTGATGGCGCCGAGGTCGTGCAGCACGTCCTCGGCCGCGATGGTCTCGGCGCGGATGCGGCTCTCGGCGAAGGCCACGTCCTCGGGGATGTCCTTGGACAGGTGGTGGCACACCATGAGCATGTCGAGGTGCTCGTCGAGCGTGTTGCGCGTGAAGGGCCGCGTCGGGTTGGTCGACGAGGGGAGCACGTTGGGGTGCTCGACGACGGAGATGATGTCGGGCGCGTGGCCGCCGCCAGCGCCCTCGGTGTGGTACGTATGGATGGTGCGGTTGCGGAAGGCACCGATGGTGGATTCGACGAAGCCAGACTCGTTCAGCGTGTCAGTGTGAATAAGGCACTGGACGTCGAGCTCATCGCAGACCGTCAGGCATGCGTCGATGGCGGCAGGCGTCGTGCCCCAGTCCTCGTGGAGCTTGAGGCCACACGCGCCGGCAGCGACTTGCTCCCGCAAGGCTTCGGGAGCGCTGTCATTGCCCTTGCCAGTGATGCCGATGTTGATGGGAAGAGTGTCGCATGCTTGCAGCATCTGGCGCATGTAGTGTGCGCCGGGGGTACAGGTGGTTGCATTGGTTCCGGCGCTGTGAGATGGTTAGCTTTGGGTATAACCAGATATACTAGCTGAAGGAAACGGAGGCTATGGGATTAGTGGGATAACGAATCATGACGAACCTTGGACCAGTACCGCCTCCCAGCATAGTGGTGACGCCGGATGCAAGAGCCTCGGGGATCTGCTGTGGGCAGATGAAGTGAATGTGAGTGTCGATGGCGCCAGCGGTGATAATCTTGCCCTCTCCCGCAATGACATCCGTGCAGCTTCCGACCACCATGTTGGGAGCCACGCCATCCATAACATCTGGGTTACCAGCCTTGCCAATTCCTACAATCATGCCTTCCTTGACGCCAATATCCGCCTTGTAGATGCCCGTCCAGTCGACGATGAGAGCGTTGACGACGACCAGGTCCAGCGTCTCGGCGTCCGACCGCCCCGTGGCCTGGCCCATACCTTCGCGCAGCGTCTTGCCGCCGCCAAACTTACACTCCTCGCCGTAGACGGTCATGTCGCGCTCGACCTTGACCCACAGGTCGGTGTTGCCAAGCCGGACGAGGTCGCCAGTGGTGGGGCCGAACATGGTGGCGTACGCGGAGCGGTCCATGGTGAGGGTGTCGATGTGGCTGAGGTCGCCGGCCGGGGAGGGGGCGTGGGCGAAGCCGGCCTGCTGCAGCTTGGCGAGAATCTCGTCGGCGCGCGAGAGGTCGACAACGCCGCTGGCCAAGTTGTTGCCACCGCGGATGACGCGGTTGCCCCCGATCTCAACGAGCGTCACCGTCTTGGTGTCGCCGGGCTCGAAGCGGACCGAGGTGCCGGCGGGGATGTCGAGGCGGTACCCGTACGCGCGGATGCGGTCAAACTCCAGCTGCGGGTTGGTCTCGATGAAGTGGTAGTGCGATCCGACTTGGATGGGCCGGTCTCCCTTGCTCGTCACCGGCAGACGGGTCCTCTTGCGGTTCTCGTTGAGGGCGACCTTGGCCTTGACGGTGACGACGGCGCCGGGCTTCCGGGTGTGCTCGTACTCCTCGACGGGGGCCATGGGGAACAGCTCAGCATCCGGGATAGGGAGGAAGCTCCCGTAGAGGGCCTTGCGGAGGTCGCCATCGTCAGTACAGACGGGGTTGTGGACCGTCACGAGATACGTGCCGGTGGTAAAGGTGCCCTCGACCTGGATCTCATGGAGGGTGCTGCAAACGGAGGGCAGCACATGGCGGCGGCCCAGCATGGTGGAGCCCAGGGCCATCAGGTCGGCCACGCTGTGGTTTCCATCGCGGATGAGCTCATGGAGGTTGTTGGCGATGAGAGCCTGTAGGGTGTCGTCATGTCATAGTCAGCGCTGGTGGTGGTGTTGCTGCCCCTCAGTCTGATGAGAGGGCATGATGCTAGCTAGATACAGGCCATGATGGAGAAAAAAAAACACCGAAAAACAACGAAAAACAACGAGGAGCGAAGGCCGCATTTACGAATTGCACGTACCGTGGCCTCGGAATGGTTCAGCTTAACACCTCGCGCCAGACGTCTCTGAGCGAGGAGGCCCAGCTGGGAGATGACGAGCTTGTCGAGCTGTAGTCGTGTTGGAGAAGCACCCCCCCTGTTAGTCCGCAGTCCACCCAATGCGCGCCGAGGGCAGCGCAGGCGCAGTGAAGGCGACGAACCTCTTTGGGAACCAGATACATGGTCGGGATTCGAGCAGCAGCGCAAGTCGGCCGGCTCGCTTCGTCTCTGGTTGCGCGGAGAATGGGATTAGCGATTAGCACGGCCCGGCACAGTACGAGGAGAGGGATAAAAGACGCCTAAAAATACGCCGCCCTCCCCCGCTGTCGCCTGTCACTGTCGCAGTCGCGTGCCGCCGGCGGTGGCCGTGTGTCCGTCGTGGCAGACCGGCGGCCGGAATGCGGCTTGAGGACGACGCCCGATAAGGAATGTGCCCTTCTGATAGCGTCTATTGGTCACTGCGCCCGCGAAGTCGAGATGCGACATGTCGACGAACGGCCAAACATGGTGGCGATGAACGCAGTGTCAGGGACATCTGCATACCCATACTGCATCTTCTCTTTTTGGCTCGAATTTCTAACTTACAGCTGCTTCATCCGTGAAGGAGTAGACCGCTGACCGAGGCGGGAACGGCCGTCGCCTCTCAACTAGTGTCCTCGCCCGTCCCCGCCCAAGAACCCAGTGGATTAGAACCAAGAGAGACTCGGCCGAGAGTGCCCCGTCCATGATGTGCAAACATAGTGTTGAAGCCCGCAATACGCAGCTCTAGCTTTGATTTAAAAAACACGCATGCTATTCGTTAACCTTATTCCCCCATAAAACCAAATCCCAGTACTCTTTCAACGCCACCTCTCCAAACAAAAACAATTACGAGCAACCTAGACCCAGACCTAGACCCAGACAGACACTCGAGCCATACATACGCCTACCTCCACTCATTCGTCCTCTTCATCCCACTGCTCCTTTTCCTTCTTAATCAAGTCCGCCATGTCCTTGGATTTGAAAATGGAGCTCTCAGGATCCGTAGCTCGAGGGACTTTGCCCAAGCTCTCATCATCAAATACTGATCCAATCGTGTCGATCCATCGTCTCCGCCGCTCCATGAGCATCTTGGTCAGGTCACCAATGCCCGGCCGCGCCGTACCCGCAGCGCCGCCCACAAAGTGGCTACCTCCGCCAGCGCCTCCTGGCCGTTTGTTCTTCTTGCTCTTGCCCATAGTCCGCGTTCGCTTAAGATACGCTGCTTGGACTTGCGAGTCGAGATCCTCCAGGATAGTCTGGTATTCTTGATGCGCCATGCGTTCACGAACAAGGTCAGTCAGGCGTGATTTGCGTGCGCCGTTGATAAGCATCTGCTCTTTGAGCCGTGACTGGAGCAGGCGCAATCTCGCAGCCACCTCATCGTCGTAGTGGCCGTCGAATTCTGCCTCGAATCCTTCCAGTGGGAGGAATCCGATATGTCGAAGCTCCTGCTTGATGCGCTCGTCGACTTGCGAGTACTCGAGTTTGGGATGAGTTGCTTTCTTCCAGGCTTCTGACATGGACTCGGGCATATAGGTCGCCGGCTGTAGAGGATTTGACTTGTCGTCAGTGCCCCCAGTATGTTCCTCGCCGTTGGCATCGCCGTTCATGCTAATATCTCCGTTTGTCACGCCATTCGTAGTTGGCTTTTCCTCTGCGGGTTGCGCTCGAGCCTCGGGTCGGAACGTTTGCATCAGCCGGGCCAACCAGGGTCCGACAGAGAGCTTATCAGTTTCGCCAACGTCGTCGTCCATGTTCTCGATGCCGCCTCGAGGTTGGTTTGGTGGGAGCTTGTCGCGGCCTTGTTGGGGGGAGTCGACGGACATTGCACCATCCTCTTCAGCCCAGACCTCAGTGTAGTGTCGCTTGCCGCGCTTTGGCATCACAAATGGCATTACCCGGTCTCCCCGCTCTCGTAAGAATGCCAGATCCTCTTCAGAAAATGGCCTAAAGAACGGGTCGACGTAGGTTGAGAATGTCGAAAAGTTAATTTGACTACTCGGCTTCGCATTGCTAAAGTCCTTGTCTGGCGGGTCCCCAGCAATGAGGTCGGCAAGGTCGCTCCTGGGATAGGTGGCAACGGAGTAAATCTCTTTTCGCAGATCGTCCGGCATGCCAGGATACACAGGTCTGATTTCGTATACGGTCGGGTCGGGAAAGGTCGAGGGATCCTCGCCAAAGGTCTGCGACTGGGGTACCTCGCGACGGGGCGGCGCACCCTCGTCCTCGGAGCTTGATTCTTCTTCCCCCTCTTGCTTCTTTGTCTTGTCGTCGACTTCCATTGCGGATGGTGAAGCTGCTGCAGCGGGTGACAAGGACGAGCTGGCTGACTCGTTGCGTGTGTGCTTGCTCTTAGAATCTCGAAGAGGGGACGACCGTTCTATCGTGGATGCGTTAGCATGGGGGGGAAATCATGGTTGATTCATGTCAGCTAGCCAACAGTGCTGACAGCTGTCAAGCGCGCGAAGGAGAATTAACGCGCAAAATGTGGGTGGGGAGACATACCAACATTGCCATCGGGAGCAGCCAAGCTATCAGTCTTCTTACGCTTATGCTTGGGTCGCTTCCCCTCCTGCTCGCCCTCTGCGCGCCCGCGGTCGTAGTCTTCGGTGGGTCGTTTCTTGCGCTCATCTGCCAGGTGGCGCATGCCGCGGTCGTAAAAGGTGGAGCGCTTCTCCATGATGTTGGTGAGGCTCTTGAGGCGCTCAATCATGCCGTCGAGGCTCTTGGAGTCGGGGACGGTCGCATTGGACGCCGACTGGTCGACGAGGTCATCATATGTCAGATTCCGGAAGAGAATAACTCTAGTGTTCAGATAGTCCGGATCGTAGAATTCCTGGGGCGGGAGACTGGCTGTTCCAGCTGCTGCGGCTGTTGCGGCCGGGGCTGGCGTGGTGTTGCGGCTCTGTTTCTGCATGGCCGCGGAATTCTTTTTGCCGGTGCCCTTCTGGGCCGGTCCTCCTGGAGGCATCGTGGAGACGGTATAGGTAAAAGGTGCCTCAGCGGCGGATCGATTAGGGGGCGGTTGCGAGGGTCGATGCGATGGAGTCGGAGGATCTCGAGATGCGACAACAAGGAACGGAGGGATGACGGCGCGCTTCGGAGGACGTGCATCAAGGCGCCGCAAAGGTACGTACCTTACCTTTCACTGTTGCGGGTACGACGGCAGGTACCAAATGGGGGGTACCAGCACGTGTGGGACGGACCCCGATAGCTGGTCTGTATGCGTTAAAAGGATCCCCCTCCCAAGCTTGGTCCGTCCAATGCTAGCGTAAAATACAACTCTGGGCCGAGTGCACCAACCGAGATCCTCGCTTTTGTCCAGTCCGTCATCACCCACATTCGTCCTTCTCGGCCCTCACGCCCTCGAATAGCCACCAATTGAGCGCCGCTCCCGCATCCTCACAATGGCCTCAATTATGCGTCCCTCTCTGCTCCGGCAGACCGCCCTGGCTGCTCGATGGGCGGCCACCCCCTCCGCCGCGACCCGAGGCGCCTTCGTCAAGCCCAGCTTCCAGTCCCAGCTCATGGGCGTCGCGGCTTTCCACAACACCGCCCGACGATCCGCCATTCTGCCTCCGGGCCCTCGTACGTGTTGCGCAGAGTTCTGCTGCCCGCCAGAGCTTGCTAACCCGTGAATCCAGAGCGCATCATTGGCACCGTCAACGACCCTGCTCCCATCCCCGAGCCCAGCTCCGCCCACGGTTCCTACCACTGGTCCTTTGAGCGCCTCCTCGCCGCCGGCCTCATCCCCTTGGTCGTCACCCCCTTCGCCTCCGGTTCGCTCAACCCTACCACCGATGCCATCCTGTGCAGCGTCCTGCTTCTTCACTCCCACATGGGCTTCCAATCCGTCGTCATCGACTACATCCCCCAGAAGAAGTACCCTGTCCTCCGCAAGGTCTTCTGGTGGCTCCTGAACGCCGCCACTGTCACGGTTGGCGTGGGACTGTACGAGTTTGAGACCAACGATGTCGGTATTACCGAGGCTGTCAAGCGAATCTGGAGGGCCTAAGTGTTTGGGAGATGAATTGTCGGGTGGACATGAATTGCCGAGTGGACATGGATTGTCGGGCAGACAAATTGCTGCAGGCAACTGTATAGAATTTATTTTATTTTGTCAATGAAACGCTGGGTTGGCCGTTTAATCCATTTCTTGCATGTGAAGTCTCCAATGCGATGAGCTGGCAGCGCACGCGCCGAGACAACAACCCGCAGCGCTGATAGCGCAACAATGCGCCATTCGCCATCGGGACCTGAATAAAGAAAATGCATACAGATGCTTGCTGTCATGTAGTACTCTAGAAACAGCGGTCTTAGCGATAGCTCTTCTCATGCTGCACCAGTTTGCGTCAACAACCCGTCTCCCATCATAGTGGGATGCAATCGACGCCGGAGTGATTGCCGAGGATATTGAATTGGGAGGCCTGTGATTGGCCGGCCACATTCCGATCATGGCCGTGGCCGGGGCCGGACCGGCTAAGGATATTCCCAACTCCACATGCAGGAAGCGGGTCACCTCTAGAAGCTCGTTACTATGCACCCGAAGTTAGGTGTTCAATTATCCTCAAGAAAATAGCAAATTAATTATTTAAAATCCCAGCTCTTAATATTAGTATCATTGTATAACAAGAATTAATTGGATTTCTATTGATGTGCTAGCCCAGCAAAAGTGGAAATCCCCATGTATGGCAGTTATTGTGGTTCATACCTCATACTATAACACCCACTAACAGTTTCCCATTCCTCAAAATCGTCAGATAGATTAAAGACATACAGTTGTCGCAGACAATATTGGTACACACTTGGTAACATGCCTGATGCCATAGAGTATATTAATCCATGCGATAGACCTGTCGAATGCTTCTCTTTGGCTCCCGCTTTGAATCCAACTATTATGTCTCTAACCTAGGTGCTGGTGGGTAATAATCGTTGGACACATTCATCATAAATCAGTCAGTAGTTATGTGTATTACATAGGATCGCAGATACATTTGCAAACATCTATCTTCGGGTGTAAAAGGCGGGCGTGATCGAATAGGCTGCAGTGACTAATTGCTCATCGAGACAGCCGTCACAGCGAATAAGGCACAATAGCATGCGTCAAATTTATTTCATTTCGGCATCGCGTCACTTGTTTGTTTGAATTCATTTCCATCATGTCACCAAACTACTCCCCACTCCATTGTTGCATCAAGAACGAGCGTATTCCTCCACTTTCCAAGTTCAGTTTCCACCATTCCCTTCACCAATCCCCAACTAGATAGTCAGGCTACTGATCTCAGCGCCTCCTACCCGGTCCATCTCGGGAGTAGGCGGGGGCAGGTTCTCGGACTTGGTGCAAATCCAACAAGAGGCATACATGTTGACCCGGTCGATGCAAGCACCGTCAAGGCGGGCACCGTGGCGCTTAGGAGTGAAGCCGTGGCTCTCAAACTCCTTGATGTACCACGGGGTCAGAGCCGACGAGCGCAGGAGCACCCGGCCGCCCATCTGGAGAGCTCGGTTGAGCTTCGTGATCTGGGCACCGGCTGCGCGGGAGCCAGTGTCGAACCAGTCCATGCTGTCCATAACAACGGCAACGGTCAGGGTTCCGGGCGTGATGCGTGCGATGACTTCCTCAAGCTCGTCAGTGTGGATGCGGAGGCCGTCGAGTGCGTTGGGGCGCGAGAGCTTGGCATGAGCCTGGGGGCTGAGGTAGTCGGGGTGACACTTGCGAGAGAATTTCCCAGCAAGGCAGACATAGTAGTACGGGTTGTTCTCGGCGATGTGAGTCTCCTCAGCAACGGGGTCGAGTGTGTTGACCATGTAGTGCCAGATGGCGTGCGAGCGGTTGTTCTTGGCGGTGGGCTTGGGACCCTTGACCAGGTCAGACTCGGCGTGGTCAGCCTCAATCATGGCCAGTTGGTTCTTGGGGACACCCAAAGCAGCCCAGAGGAAGCTCTCCTGGGCGACAACGAGGTTGCAGACAAGCTTAGACAGCAGGGCGGGGCGGACTTTGTTGCGCCAGATCTCACGCTGCTCGTTGAGCGTCTTAGTCTCAAGCAGCTGCTTAACAGCGGACCGAAGACCGAAGATACGGGCGATCCAGCGGAAGACACGAATAGCGTGACGGGAACCGCCGGTGTCGTAGAGGCCGTAACCGCTGCTGTTCTGGAAGACGTGGATGTTCTTGAGCCAGTACTGGAAAGCACGGCCAGATAGATGAGGAGACAGTTTGGTGATGAGCAGGTCGCGGAACTGCGAGTGTTTTCCCTCGCCGAAGATCTTCCAGAAGTCATCATAGGGAATACCGGAGGTGTAGGCGGCGGCCTTTAGCTCGAGGAGGTGGTTCTGGGTGGGGTTGAGATCGACGGCGTGAACTCGGGCAGGGCTCTGAGTGAGGTACGAGAGAATGTTGTCACCGGCCGAAGTGATTGCCAAGACCTTGTCGTCAGGGCCTAGCTTCAGAAGGCGCTCGTCGACACGGGTATCCTCCCAGGTAAAGGCATAGATGTACTCGTCGTTGAATTGGGTGTGCTTCTTGAGCTGGTCGTCGTAGTAGATGCGCCAGTGATGGTTCTGGTAGAAGAAGGACGGCAGAGGGAGGTTGGACGACAGGTTCTGGACAGCAGTGAGGAAGGCCTTGGAGCGGATCTCGGGAGCGGATCTCTCGATAGCCCGGTTCAGAGCATCGCCCTGGTTGACAGGGTGCAGGTAAGGCGACTCAGTGGCGAGGGCATCGATGCGCTCAACGATCTCATTGGGAAGACTGGACGAGGAGAAGGGCTTCTTGTGGCATCCAAGCCAAATGTAGTAGGGAATGGCACCCAGTCCCTTGTTGCGAGTGTTGACGTTGAGAACAGTACCGAACTTGTACTCGAGGTAATCTCGGCGGCTGGGCTCGAGGCCAACGCGGTCGAGATCAAACCAGGAGCGCCAGAAGTTTCGAGAGAGGAAGTTGACGTGGCGATCGACCAGACCGCCGGTGTAGTTTCGGAAAGCGAAATCGACCTTGTTCTGGACGTAAAAGTCGACGACACCCATGATGCCCTGGGGGGCCAGCAGCGAGGTCACTGAATCGATAACTGAGTAGTAATCGGGCTAAGGTTCGCGGGTTAGTGCATTCCCAGGCCAAAGCGAAGTATTCCTTCTCATTTTGGAGTTGTTTCTGGCACCCACAATCATTGACAAGCTGTACGACAAGGTGATAAGATCCGCACCGCCAAAGTCGGGACGCGGCTTGCTGAAGTAGCTCAGAGCCGGGGACCGGGGAGGGGCCGGGTTGGATCCCATACCATGCTCGTGGTCCTCGAGGCGGAACTTGCGAGCGTCTTCACAGACGACTTTGACGTTCTTCCAGCCAAGTCGTTCGAATCGCTTCTTGGCCACCTCGCACAGAGATGGGGAGAAGTCGACGAGGTAGACGCTTGAGAAGTAGGTAGGGACGTCGACGTTCTCGGACATGGCCTCGATGTTGAAGCCAGTGCCGCCGCCAATCTGGTGAAGGACACGGGTAAATATTTGCGAGTAATCAATTTGAAGCACACTCAATTGCACTCACATCAACCCAGATCCGCTTGTTCTTCTTGTTGTTCTCGTTCTCAGCCTTAGACTTGAGCTGAGCGGCAACAAGCGCGAGCATGTCCTCGCGACCGCGGAGGAGGACCTTCCGCGTGGCATCGTAAGCCCCGGCTTGCTTCTTGTAGAAGCTCTCGAGGGCATCCTGCTGGTTGCCCTTGGAGTCGCCCTGGTGAGGCTTGAGGAAGGAAGAGTAAAAGAAGAGGAAAAAAGATTTGATCAGGCCGGGGGCTTCGTCCTTGTTCCCGCCAAAGACGGAGGAAAGGCAGAGTGTGCTCAATGCAGCTGCTACGATTCCACCGAGGAGGGTCGGGACAGAGCCCAAGGACAAAATGTTACCACCCTGGGTCAATTGATTAGCACGTGAAAAAGCAGGGGCGCAGATGGGGAGGACGAACATGAGAAGCCATGGTACTCTCTCATTGTTCAAGGAGAGAGAGAGGAGTTGTTGAAAAGGCGCTAGTTAGGAGAGCAGTGTTGAAAGCCGTTCACACGATCAAGTTGAAAGTTGGGATCAGACTGAGGGACACGACACGGCGAGCCAAGGATATATACGCCCAGGCACGAGAAGGTTGCCCACGAGACTCATCGAAGGCGGCACGGCACCTGTCCGGACCCCTCAGTCGCTCACGCATGATACCTCGACGACAATCTACTTGCTCGAGAGGACAATCGTCACTAGGGATCTCGTCGGACCCCACTGGATGGCAGTACCCCGCCGCCAGGGTCCATGGCCAGGAAGGGGGCACGAATCGACGACGGAGGCGTGAGCCAATGGCTGGAGCACATGCTCGAGCGCCGTGCGGCTGTAGGGGCGTGGTGAGGCTGCGCTCGCGGCGCACATGTGCCATGCTTGGCTATGAGCGGCTGCTTTGGCCACGGTAGTGTGGGTGGGGTTTGGGGGATTGAACGGCTCAAGCTCTGTTCATCGTTGAAGATCCGCGCCGTCTCGAAGCAATGCAAAATTAGGGGTTTCTGGACGGTGTGATACGTATGATGCTCGTACGAAAGTGGGATTGTGAGCTTCCAGTGATAGCTGAGAGCGAACCGACTTGATCCTACTAGCCTGGCTTGAGCCCACAGCGCCCTCGGATTCCCCAATCGAAAGGCCCATCTCATCTGCAACCACACGCAGCACAGTTGTCCTTACGAAAACTACCTCCAGCAGCTAGAAGCGTCATGGCCTCTTGCTGTTCGGCTGGGGTGCAGAGGCTGGGCGTGTTAGCGGGCTGTCGACGAACCATGCATTCCCTTAATAGGAAATCTCGTCGACCAATGAGCATAGAGTTACCCACCACATGTGGCTTTAAGCAGTCGTGTAAGGAGTCCATCGACCACGACACTTAGAACGAGCAGACAGGACAGCACAAGCCTGGCGTCCCAAAGGTACCTCTGGTAGGTGTACTGAGCACGCGGGCGAAGGTCAGTTATCTTGTGCGGCATTTTATTCTCGTCGTGCCAATCGTTTCGTCAACTTTCTAATGCGAAACCTCACGCCCATCCGTCCGCCGCACTCATACCGTCATGGTCTTGTGCAAGGGGACCACCAGCAGTAGCAAATCAGCAACGGAGCACGACAGGACCCTTGGACCACGGCTTGTGGGAACTCTGGGGTAGCAGTGATGCTTGGCTGTCATGGCACCTGTGCTTGACAAGCTCTAAATGCCGTCGAAACCCACCCACCACTCGGGTCTTTCAGGATGCCATGATACGGCCGAGGCTCTAGACTCAGTCAACCGGCATGGTAAACGGGGGTCACTTCAGGTCTGTGCCAACGTATCGCAACGTCAGTCCGTCAACCACATTGCCGCTCTCGGTGAACCGGATCCTGCACCGCACCACCTCAAACTTGTCGGTGACCGAGAACCGGAGCGACTCTTCTTCTTTCTGAGTTCGCACGAGGAAGGCTTTGCCCTCGATCTCAGCTGGGATTTTGTCGCTCTCAGCGTCCACGATGGCGTTCCAAGCAAGCAATCGCCCACCAGCAATGGAAGCGGGGCTGTATTCGGGCTCGCTAGATAGGCGCAGAATGATGGAGAGCTCGTTCGGGTCGGCCAGAGGCCCATAGAAGAAGTACCATACTGGGTACTCATCCTGACTCGGCCTAATGGCGGCCCCAATTGAACTGGGCCGGTTCTGCGGCAACGTGGCATCTAAGCCAAGCGTTGGGGCAGGAGAATCATGGCTCAAAGCCTTTCCAGCAAGCGTGAGTTGTAGAAATGTTGGGACGGGACCCAGGTTGTTCGCGGCGAAATGAGTCGCAATCTTGGTCCGGGTGCTAGGGTCCACCCGGCAGAACACGGCCTCGTGCCCGGAGTCGTCGGTGCCGAAGACCACCTCCGGAACCTCCGCGAGCCCGGCAATAGACTTGATCATTTCGGCATCCAACAGTATCCCTTGCAACTTAACGAGATATGCAGCAGCTGGCCGTGGTTTAAGGCCGGGTTTCTTCTTGGGAATGAACCCGCGCAGCTCATTGATCTTGTCGATCGCTTCCTTCTCGTTGAGGTCAAATAGCTCCATGTACTGTTGGATCGTCTCTGCCTCTGGTCCTCCTGGGAGAGGGTCGCCATGGGCTGAGGATTGAGCGAGTGATTCGAGTTCGTTTAATGCGTCCATGATGTGAGCATCACATTTCGTTTTAGATCGGTGCCTAGGTAGGTCGGCGGAGGAGAAACGTGATCGATGGCCAAGTTTTTAGCTTAGATGGTTTGGCACCCTTGTGGCCTTATGGCAGAGCTGGGCAGGAACTCGGAATTTTGAGTCATTCGGCAAGAGCAAAGCGTCCCTCACTCATTCCTCTCAATAAGGATCAAAATGGCGGGGAATTCTTAATAAAAATTGCTGAGTGGAAATAGGTGCTTGAGGAAAATGAGACTCGGTCATGAACTATAATTGATTGTATATTCGCCTCCAGAACAATCGTTTCACGTTAGTACAAGAGCCTGGCCAGCAGGTACCTGAGACCTCGACGCAGTGGTGGCTGCAGTAGAACAAGCGCCTGAAGCCAGGATAACGGAACAGGGGCTTGAGAGCACTTCAACAGCTGGAAAATCGCGTTCATGAAGCAAATACACACTCCACAAGAACTTGCATCACAATGGAATGCGAGGAGATGCAGCAAGCGAAAGGCATTCAATCCGACCTGTAAATTTATAGTTTGGGTGTTTCTGGTCGGGTGCATGGTTCTTCCGAACCCGGAGGTACGAATTCGAGATGCGTCTTGTCGCGGGGATTTTTTTTAAGTGACTTGGAGCTTGTGGACCGGGAGCTGTCCAAGGTGGATCGTGTGATTCGGGATTGCTTTCTTACGACCTTTTATTCCTCTTTCTCTGGGCGACCAATGTGAGATTGCCGGACATCCCTCAATTCCTCCAACCGGTTCCGATCGCCATGGCGTCTCGCGCAGCCCTATCGAAGCTCTCGAGCGCGAGACCAGTCATGCGCCCACGATGCCTCAACCCACTACGACCACTTCTCCAATTCTCCCGAACACGAGGCGTTGCCACTACATTCATCAAGAAGCAGAACGAAGGCAAAGAGCGATGGGAGAAGAGGGCCGAGAAGATCCAGACCGGAGAGCTTCCTCACGTTTGGGACATCCTCCAGGAGCGCGGCTACATCAAAGATGTCGCAGGGTATGTCACTCTACGCAGTACGGTAGCAATTCAACCAGGCCTGACGTGTGCCCAGCAACCCCGAGACGATTAAGGAAATCATGCGCACTAAGAGGATAGGAGCTTATGTTGGAATCGACCCCACGGCCGACTCTTTGCACGTTGGCCATATTCTGCCACTGATGCCCATGTTCTTGATGTACTTCCACGGCCACCCCGCCGTCACCTTGATCGGTGGCTCGACTGCGCGAGTCGGTGACCCTACCGGCCGACTAGAGAGCCGAGATATCATGTCGAATTCGGATATCTCCAAGAACATTACGAAAATCCACGTTCAATTAACCAAGATCTGGGCCAATGTCCAACACCTCAAGGAGAAGCATGGATACCAGAACGACTGGGCTGCCAAGCACCACCTTCTCAACAACAACATGTGGCTTGGCGGGCTGACGCTCTACGACTTTGTCAAGAGGATAGGCAGACACATTCGAATTGGCCCCATGCTAAGTCGCGATACGTGAGTATTCTCTCCTGTTTTATCACTTGACAGGTTGACTGACATAGAATAGCGTCAAGCGTAAGTTGACTGAGGGAGACGGCATGTCGTTTGGCGAGTTCATGTACCCCCTTCTGCAAGGCTGGGACTTCTGGCACATGTACAACAAGCTAGGCATCCAGATGCAGATCGGAGGTTCCGACCAGTACGGCAACATCGTCGCCGGATGCGACGCCCTCAAGATCATCAGAGAATCTGAAGAGGCCCCTCACGCCAAGATGCCCGCGGGCTGGCAGAACGACCCCATCGGCTTCACGGTCCCTCTCCTGACCGACTCCTCGGGCGCAAAGTTTGGCAAGAGTGCTGGCAACGCCGTCTGGCTGGACGAATTCAAGACCTCAGCCTTTGACCTGTACGGTTTCTTTATGCGACGAACCGATGAGGAGATTGAGCGACTACTGAAGATGTTTACCTTCATGTCCCTTGAGAGCATCCAACAAGTCATGGTGGAGCATCAAAAGGACCCTGCTCAGAGGAGTGCGCAGCACGCGCTGGCCTTTGAGGTCGTGTCGCTCGTCCACGGCTCCCAGAGAGCGCTCGAGGAGGCCAAGCAGCACGAATTCCGCTTCGGTGGCAAGCTCCCCCACGTCATCAACGAGCCCCCGGAGTCTTCGGGCATCATCACCCCCAACAATGCCCCGAGGAGTGACATCAAGCTCCCCCGGTCCATCATGAAGAAGTCCCCCGCCAGGATTCTCTTCGCCTCTGGCCTCGCCACCAGTAGCAGCGACGGCCAGCGCCTCGTCACTCAGCAGGGCGCGTACATTGCTGCCCAGCCTGGCCAGACCCGTGGCCTCGTCCCTGGCAATCTGTCGTGGACCCCCATGAAGGCGTGGTTTCCCGAGGATACGGCCCGGTACCTGATCGATGACCGCATGCTCATCCTGCGCAAGGGCAAGCACAACATCCGCATCGTGGAGCTCATCAGCGACGAGGAGTGGGACGCCAGCGGCGAGATCTACCCCGGCCAGCCCTACACCGGTATTGTCCGACGGATGAAGGAGCAGCTCAAGAGCGATGCCGAAGAGAGCGGAGAGGCGTTGACGGACGAGCAACTCGCCGCGATTGCGAGCCAGAGGCTGGTTAGCTCGTCACGCAGGGTGGCCAACAACTCGGGCATTGAATTTCCCAGCAAAAAAGAGGTGCGCGAGCGGGGGAAGGGCAAAGGACCCAAGTCACAATTGTAGGGGGGCGAGAGATGTGCGAATCTTGGCTCGACCACACCCTGTAAGATACACTGTACACTATTGTATTTTGGATGATACCATAGACTTGATGTAAATGATAACTCTACAAAAGTACACTCCTACTTTTCTCTGTCCTTCCATATTATCCGCTTTCATTGGTAAAGGACAGTCAAGTCGCCTTTAGGAACAGGTAGCGCCTTGAGCTTCTCCATGATTTCGCTTTCTGTGAGGTTCTGCTCCGTGATGATCTGTTCAAAGTGGTGACACCCATCCGTGTACTTTTGCAGAGGATCCCCTCCCGACATCGGACGGCTCTGGCCGGATGCCAGTGCGGCCAGGTACTGCTTTGAGACGACGTACTTGTGTACGCGGTAGAGGCAGCCCTTGATGATGCCGAATTGGACGAACCGGCGGACATCGACATACCTCAGGACCTCGAAGCCGGAATCCTGGTGGCCCTTGAGCCACTCCATGATGGTGCGCCCTTGTACGAAGGTGGACATGAGCTTGATGAGGTGGTAGTTGCTAACACGCCCGCGGCCGTGGGATACGTAGGCCGCGCACTCGTCGACCATGCCATCAACGTTTCCGATGAAGTCGTGAATGCCCGGGCGCAGTGCGTAGCAGGCGCCGAAGAAGAACATGTCAAGGAGGAGGATGGTATCGTAGTAGAGAAGGTGGCGGAGGGCCGTCTTGGCGAGGTCGAGTGAGACATTTGCGGCGTGGGCGATACGGCGGACGTCGGAGACGCCGTCGATATGGGAGATGACCCTTTGTAGGGTGAGGTCCCAGGTCGGGTCGACGATTTCGGTAAGCTTGGTTTTGGGGACCGGGACGTGCCAGCCTTTGACGACGGGGGGCTGGGGGTGGTGGGGGAATAGCTTCATGTTGATGGTGTTGGCCTCGTCTGTGGTGCGGTGTCAGTCATTATGGCCGTCTTATCAGGACTAGGGTAAGCTTACCAACGGGAATCATACACTCCCCGTAGGTATCCAAGTCCTCCTTGACAATCTGGAGTAAACTATCAATGGGTCGTCTCCCGCCGCCCCCAATGCCGCAGCCAAGAGGACCGCAGCCTCTCCCCTCGTTCTGGCTCAGGTACTCATTCTGCTTCTCCATCTCGGAGAAGGTGGATGCCAGGCGGCGGACAACGCGTTCATAGGGCATCTGGTCCTCGTCGGCATCGAGAACGAGGCCGAAGTTGAAGATGAACTCATTGCGGAGGTACTTTGTGTGGGGGATAACGACGGGATAGCCCAGGACGGCGTACTTGCCATCGGGTGTGTTGATGGTCAGGTAGCGGTTGCAGAAGGCCTGGCGCGGGATGATGTACTCTTGCAGGACGTCGAAGTCGATGAGGGGAGCTTTGGTAGAGCTCTCGACAGGCGTGATGCACCCGGCTGGCGACTGGGCGACGATTTTGGGGCCTGGATATGGTGTGAGTATTCAGGTTGGCGATGAGATGAGATGTGCGAGGCGATGCGACATGACGCAATGCGCAACCATGAAGAGAGCATCGCAGGTAAAGGCCAATTGGCAGGGGTTCTCACCTTCCTGGGGAAAGAATCTTGCGTAGAATATGCCTTGAATCATGGTGGGCGGCGATTCATACGGTGCACTTTCTCATGTTCGGGTGCCGTCATGAGCGGGCTCAAAGAATGGCATGCAGCGAGGTGCGTTACAGCGGTGTATGGCGCACCCCAGGTAGCGCTGTGTTCGCCGGGCCCTCGCAGCTATGCGCCTTGGGCAAATGAGACGCCAGAGGCTTTATATTGGCGATGCAGAAGTGCAGGTTGTGGCTTGAGTGAATGAGTTCAGACGGCCTCGGTGAGGTTGTTCAGGACCCCACTATAACACTATCGCAAATGCCAGCATCTTTTGTCATCCGCCTACCCTAGACAGCTGTTGGTGACAAGGTGGAAATTGGAGCATTGTAGCCGTGGCCAAAACCAGAATAATCAGGTATAATGAAATGAATCTTTACTTTTGCCATGGGCGTCTAAGCAGCAACAACTTGTGGATATGCATCATGTTAGCCGTTTGTCCGTTATTGGTTACTGATTGTTGGGTGACGGAATTGGCGACTTGGGCCGAGCCTACGGAACCCTGCGTCCGCCGGGGCAATGAACTATCCGAGATTGGTAGGTAATGGCTGGCTGTTGGGTGCTATCTGGCGAGAGAAGACGGTGGACGGCGATGGAACAGCGGATTGCGGCCCCAAAAGAAAAGACGACGTTTTGTAGGATGGCTGAGTATGGAAATCTTCGTCTTTAGAACCTCATTAATCGGCCAAAGGAGGAACAAGGAAAGAAAAACAAAAAACCGAGCCGCTGTATTGCCTTAGTACTTGGCCCGATCCCTCCCCTCCGGTTGTCACTGTGCCCGCTACGACTACGACTGCAACTGCAACTGCAAACGCAACTGCAAACGCAACTGCACAGCATCGCGTAGGTACCAGCTCCAGTAGCATCGGGCGCCATTGGAAGCCAGCCAGCGCTGCAGCTACTGCCCCACGTTGTGCTCACCAACCACCAACCACGGCCGGCGCATACGTATCTCCATCCATCGCCATCGCCAGCTCCCCGCCAGCAACTGCTCCAGGGTGGCACCGCCGCACCGCACCGCCAACCGCACCCGCCTCAAACCTCCAACGGCACCTCCCAGCTCGGCGGACTTCCCGACCTCGCCTCACCCCACGTTGCCTCTCAGCCTCGCCCGCAACCTAACCTTCGCACCAACATCGCCAACACCAGCTACAGCATCGTCTAACGCTACGTCCGCCGCCGCAGCTCGTCCATCACTGCGCTGCTGCCCTGCCACCCCTCCTCCCCCTCTTCTGCCTGGCAGCCTCATCCCTCATCTCGACAACCGTCCCCGCGCGATCCCTGGTCCCGCCATAACCTCTCACTTACCGCGTCCTGCCCGCATACTTTCTGGTTCCATCCCGTCCCGTCCCGTTCTGTCCGGCTTCAACACCCAGCCTCGGTCTCCTTAGCGCATCCCCGCTCTCCCTCCCTCACCCGTCGCCATGGCCGATAACGCCGAGTCGAGCGGCGACGCTCAAGTCACCTTCAAGGTCAAGACCTCATCTGACACCATCCACTCCATCACCATGTCCGAGGCTGCCACCGTCCTCGAACTCAAGACCAAGCTGGCCGGCCAAGACCTCGAGAACGTCCCGGTTGAGCGGCAACGCCTGATCTACTCCGGCCGCGTCATGAAGAACGACGACCCGCTCAGCAACTACAAGATCAAGCACAACAATACCATCCACATGGTCAAGAGCGCTGCCAGCAACCAGACCCAGCCCGCCTCCGCATCGTCTACCTCTACACCCCCGGCCGTGCCTACCAACATGGCCTCCGGTACTGCTAACAACCCCTTGGCTGGCTTGACTGGCGCTCGATACGCTGGCCACCAGATCAACCTCCCCGGTCTCGACATGTTTGGACCCGACGGTGGTGTAAGTGCACCCGCCCATCACGACTGTGTCACAATGCTAACCACCATCCTTCCAGATGGGCCCTCCCATGGACGAGGAGCGCATTCAGCGCCTGATGTCCGACCCCAACGTCCAGCAGTCAATGAACGAGGCCCTCAACAACCCCGACTTCGTCAACATGCTCATCGAATCGAACCCGATGCTAAGAAACATGCCCAACGCTCGAGACATCATAACGTCACCCTTCATGCGACAGATGATGAGCAATCCTCAGATGATGGGCCAGGCTATGCGCATGCAGAGGAACTTGCGAGGCAGCGAGGGGGGTTTCCCTGCTCCTGGCGCCACGGATACGAGCCCCGAGGGAGCTGCACCTAGTGCCACTGATCCTGCAAGCGCCAATCAGAACCAGCAGAACCCCTTCCTCAACCCCTTCATGATGCCCGGTATGTTGGGCGGCCAGCAAGGTGGAGATGGCGCCCAACCGAACATTGCCCATATGCTACAACAGCTTCAGGCCTTGAACGCGATGTCGGGGCCGCACCCATTCACAGGTCAAACCGCAGGCCAGACGGCTACTCCTCAGGCTGGATCAGGAACGACGCCCAGCCAAGGCACGACGGAAACACCGGCGGCGGCAGGAAGCACCCCCGGCCAGGGTACATCGAGCCCACCCGCGGGGAACCCATTCGCGGCACTGTTTGCCCCCCCAGGAGGTGCCCAGCCAAGCCCCTTCGGAATGACCCCCGAGATGATGCAGCAAATGATGCAACTGATGGGAGGAGGAGCCGCGCCCGCAGCGCCTGCAGACAACCGGCCCCCGGAGGAGCGCTATGCGGAACAGCTGCGTCAGCTAAATGACATGGGATTCTTCGACTTCGATAGAAACGTTGCGGCCCTGAGGCGCAGTGGAGGAAGCGTCCAAGGCGCCATTGAGCACCTCCTGAATGAGTCGTGAGGCGTGAGGCGGAGAGATACAAGAAGGAATTGGGCCTCGATATGGAGGCTTGTCGGTCTTGTTGTTGATGGCAAGGCACGCTTTCATGTCGGCGCCTTGTGGAAGCAATCAAGTCCAGGCAAGTTGAGTAATAACAGTCTGGAGCTGGGGCGGGGCCAGAGGCTCCTGGGCGAGAACAGGGCATACCTCGAGGGATTAGTATGATGCTGTTATGATATCAAGCATTGACGAGCAAGTCAAAATTAAACAACTCTTATAAGAACTGTGGATGTGCCTTGAGGTACGGCATAACTTGACTGAATGTGGCGGTGGTGTTTTCACCTCATCATGAGAAGCTGTAACAACGCCATCATGAGAGGTACCGTAGGCTAAACAGCGCTGTCGACTAACAAACAAGCAACCTCGTAGCTTGGATAATATTAACTTAGCTCCTATATGAGGCGTTCGCCTAAAGCATTCGTGTAACCCCGATTGCACACCTTGCAACGCCCGCCGCGCCGATCAGATCCTCCCCCACGCTGACGGACGCTGAGTGGCGCCGTTCGGCGCATAGCCAGAGATGCCTCGGCTCGCGCTGGGCCCCCCGCGATCTGAAGCGGTGGCTACCCCAGACGAACCCCGGATCTAAACAGGTCGGCCAATTCGTCATTGTTAAATGCCAGCATTCCCCCGGTTTCTGGTCTCTGTTTTGATTTCCATTGATCATAACGTATGCTGCTGAGAACTTTTCCCCGTTCAGACCCAAATTCTCGTAATTGATTGATTACTGTCGGCCTATCCTATTCTACCCGCCCATCATGCGTGGAATCCAGATCAAGGAATATGTCAAGGTCCGCGTCCAACCATTTCCCCTTGATGCCCGCTCATTTGAGAGATGGGATCCTATCCTATGTACCAAACAGCGCTGATGTTCGATTTTAGGGCCCCAGCGAGCTCAAGGTCCAGGACCTCCCTGATCCCGTCCCCAAGGGCGATGACTACCTCATCCAAGTCCACGCCGCCGCAGCCAACTTCTTCGACATCCTGCAGGTCCAGGGCAAATACCAGAGCCAGCCGCGTACTGTCCCCTTCACAATGCTCCCTCTTGCTCCGAGGTCTCCTCACTGACACCCTCCGCCACAGCCTTCCCCTGGGTAGCCGGCTCCGAGTTTGCCGGCACCGTCATCTCCGGGCCCAAGAACGCCAAGTTCCCGCCCGGCTCGCGCGTCTTCGGCGCAACGCAGGGCGCCTTTGCCACCAAAGTCTGCGCAAAGGAGGCGTCCCTGCTGCCCGTGCCGCCGGGCTGGGGCTTCCAGGAGGCCGCGGGCCTGTTCGTCACGGCGCCCACGAGCTACGGCGCGCTGGTCGTGAGGGCCGGCATCAAGAAGGGCGACACCGTGCTGGTGCATGCTGCGGCGGGCGGCGTCGGTCTTGCGGCCGTGCAGGGTAAGCTGATGGTGTTATGAGAAATATATATCTATATATGGATGTCATCAAGAGGGACCCGGTTCACGGCTGACGGTTTGATAGTGGCCAAGGCGTTTGGCGCCACCGTCATCGCGACGGCCTCAACGCAGCGCAAGCTCGACATTGCCAAGTCCTTTGGCGCCGACCACGTCGTCTCCTACAACGACGCCAGCTGGCCAGCCAAGGTCAAGGCCCTGACGCCGTCATCGCGGGGCGTCGACATCGTGTACGACCCGGTCGGGCTGGTCGACCTCTCGACCAAGTGCACGGCGTGGAACGGGCGCATCCTGATCGTGGGCTTTGCGGCGGGCAGCATCGAAAAGGTGGCCATGAACAAGGTGCTGCTGAAGAACATCGCGCTGGTGGGCATCCACTGGGGCGCCTACACGATCAACGAGCGCGAGACGATCCCGCGCGTGTGGGAGGGCATCATGGACCTGGTCAAGCAGGGCAAGCTGCGCGGCACCGAGTACGCCGACGAGGAGTTTGTCGGCCTGGAAAGGGTTGCGGATGCCCTGGTGGCCCTGGGAGGGAGAGGGACGTGGGGAAAGGTGGTGGTCAAGGTTCCTCAGGAGGGAGAGAGCAAGTTGTGATGTCTAAGTGGGAATAAAGCCGTATTAGACAAGCTAGATGTCTAAGATACGTAATGTTGACCTGTAACATCTCGCTCTGCAACTCGCCCAAATGGGTCACGATAGAGCCGACACTCTGATTCATACAAAACTGTTCACACAAATCCCTCGATATTCATGGTCTATTCGGTCATCTCGTCGTTCAATAGTTAACTCATCTTCATAATCCCACACTCCCTTGCGCCAATGCCCACCTCCTTCATTGCTGCTGCACCGCACTCGCCAGGGCCTGGAACCTTGCAATCAGCTCCTTGTCGACATTGGAAGCCCACTGCTCTTCAAACGCAGCATCGCCTCCGACGCGGGCCACCAAGTCCTGGAGTCGCATCTTTACGAACTCAAACGCGTGAACAGTATGCACCGGGTCCTTGGCAAGTCCCTCGCGCTCCGCCACGATCTTCGGGGTATCATACTCGCCCGCCTCTAGGGGGCCCCAGATCAGCGTGTCGGTGCCGTTGGCCACGCCGTCCTGCAGCTCCGAAATCGCATTGGTCCAAAGGTCAAAGTATTCCTGAAGCTTGCCCAGCACGAGTTCCTGCATCGGTGAGGGCAGTTCCAATAGGCGGGTGAGACCCAAGAGGAAGAGCTTCTGCCGCTCGATCTGGTCCATGTTCGACAGATATGAAAACCACTCAGCCGACAGCCAGCCCCAAACCTGTTCTAGAGGGCCGAAATTCGTCAGCATCTGCGCGAATAGGGTGGGTTCCGCCAGTGCCAGCCGTGCGAGGACCGCGAGGTAGTCTCCTTCTGTGACAGTGTTGAGTTTGCTGACTTTCCGGTTGGGACCCGTGGTCTGGTGTGCCTCCCAAGAGTCGTGCAGGTTCTCTAGAATCTTGTTCATGAATCCAATCTCAACCATGTCATGCATAATCACCGAGACGCCATTTGAACCCCCTAACTCGACAGCGGTCCTGATAAGGTATTCGATGCAAACCGTAGCAAGGCGAACATGCTCGCGACTTCTCGAGTCAAGCGCCCCTGACAAGGCCATTAGAGTTGGTCGTCGTAGCCTGTCTTCCAACATCGCACTGGGAGCAAGGAGGACATAGGATTCGATGGCGGAGAGGGCTTGTGATGCTGTTTCGGGCTGGTATTCCAGAAGTGGGAGCGCCAACTCGGCGAGGTTGATCACATCAGGTGCTAGAGGTGGATTGCTCTGCATCAGGATGGAATTCCACAGCTCCAGCGACTCATCGATTAGGTGAACATGCAAGTCAGATCCCCGACGTGCGGCTTCAGACAGCAGTGGCACCATAAAATGCTGGTAGCGCTGGGAGTTGCTACCCATACTCATGACCAGAGCGGCAAAGATGGCAATGACCGCTTGCTTGATCATGTATTCTTCCGTGCCAGAGTTCTCCCAGACACCAGGAAGAGCAGCCATAAGCTGGTCACCAAACTGAGATACCTGCTCTTCCATCCTGGTAACAAGGATTCTAATGGACTCGAGAATCGCAAGTTTGGTCTCATCGACATCCACGTTCTGGATGAGGTTGATGAGCTGGGCCAGGACATTGGAGGTGTAGGGTAGAAACGCGTCGACACTGAAGTCAAGCTCATCGGCAATCCAGCGTAGTTGCCGGGCCGCTGTGATTCGAACGACCAGGTCGTTGTTTTGGTCCTCCGGATTTAGAAAGTGTTGGAAGATCTGGTAGACTAATGGCCGACTGGAATCGTCTAGCTTGACAGGAGCCCACTGGCTGACGAGGATAGCTATCCGTCGTCGCAACACCATGCACAAACCGCCTTGTTGCTGAGCGTCGTTAACAATGGTAGAGGCTAGTACGGAATCAAAGTCGAAAACATTGAAGACATGAGCCGCTGAAAGGCCCATAGCTGTATACACCGCCTCCTTGGTGGCGATATCAGCCTGGGGAGCCTGCGCAGTCTGGAAGTACGACAGCAGAGGGGGGATTAAGAGGTCTTTGTAGTTTGTGAGAAGGTCAAGAAAGAGCTTCTCAGCGCAGGGGCGCACCTCCCATTCGTAGGCACTTCCCTCGCTCTGCTCCTGTTGCTCCCAATCTTCGGGATCCTCCTCCCAAGCGTCCAAATCCGCCTTGCGGAAGACAAAGAGATGAGTGATGATGGCGTTGACGATTTGGACGACAAGGTCGGGCTTCAGAAGTTGGGTCTTGATGATATCCCTGGCTTGTTCCTGCTCTGCCTTGGTCTCTGGGGTCCGGTATTTGAATGTTTGCACATGCTGGAAGCCAATCCTAACGCATGCTCGAAGCAGCAAAAGGCCCTTGAGCGCTAGTCTCTCGAGGAGGGGACCTTCGACCTTTGATTTTGCCGTGCCTGCTTCCCCAGAGCCTTGTCGAATGCCGCCAGACTTGTCAAAGACTTCGGCGAACTTTGCAACAAGATCCCAATATGCATGAACCAAGGAAAGGGAGTTGGGAAGGACGGCAAAGCTGGCAGCATGTGTTTCCGACATGTCGATGTGGAGTTTGGTGAACTGGAGGAGATGCTTGCCGACGACGTCTTGATATTGGGGTGGCACCGTTGAGTCATGGCTCACAAAGTTGAGGAGTTGACCGAACTGGTTCTGTGACATGGTCCAGAACTGCTCGACCGTCTTGTCTCCATGGGGCCGCTCGTAACCGAGAATGACTAGGCGGCGGAGAATCTTGAGAGAAAACAAGCTGTTCAGCATAGCTACATCTGCTTCGCCATTGTTTCCCTGTCCACCACTGAGGTAGCCAACCCATGCTGTAGACTTTTCGGCGTAAATCTCCGACAAGACATGGACTATTTCAGGTGTGACGGCTTGCAGGTCGGTTTGTGACTTTCGCAGCCTGGCGGTTCCGAGCTCCTTGACAACTCGTAGCAGGATCTGCAACACTCCATGCAGATGCTTCTGGCTACCATTTCGAGAGGAACGAAGAAGTTCGATGATGCTTCCTAGCGCGTCCGGCCACTGGGAGGGATAGTCGATCCTAACAACCTTGGCGACAACCAGTGCATTGTGTAAAGCGAGGTTCGACTCCTCCTCTTCGATGGTCCCCTGGAATAGGCGTTGACGGATGAGAGCTTTTTCCTCCGGCTTGATGCTGTTCTTGACCTGTGCATAAAGTCGCCAATACCGATCGATGCCGTTCTTGAGCTGGATGACGGCGAGAAAACGAATGTCGACGGGGAGGGACTTGTCGAGGTAGATGGCCTGTAAGTGCATTCGTCAGTCACGGAACACGGAAGCCCCCTGGGAACTGGAAACCCTACCTGTAACGAAGAATAGTAGCCAGACTGCAGCTCCCACGAGGTGAGTTGCTGGCCAGCGGTCTGGCGCTGTGCATAGTCGGATGAAGTGGCGGACTGGAGGGCCTGGCAGAGCGTCTGGAGGGTCAGCGGGTTCGCGTCGCCAGGAACCTCGATGGCGAAGCTCATGGTTGGTGCCGGGCGCCGTCCAGAGGGGCGGCAGGAATGGTCGATGGAACCAGCAACACGAGGCTCGCGGCACGAGGCTCGACTGCGGTACGGCGAACTGCAGACTGCGGACTGTGGACCGCGGAGTGATACAGTACGTCAAGTACGTGAAGTACGTGAAGAGTGGAGGGGAAGAAGAGGGATGGGCTGCGTTAGGGAATTTTGCCCCGTCCAGGCGTACTAGGCAGTGAATTCGGTATCGCTGTGGTGGGGTTCCGGGATCCTATGGAGGGGTAATACGAGATCCGTCAACATCACCGGCGAGAAGGGAGCTGTTGGGGGAGTTTCTGGGGGGAGATTTTATAGGAGACGAGTGAAACTGGGAGAGGTTTGATCGGCGAGTCTGTTCATTTACTCTACATGAAGAATTTGTGTGGTGACAGTGTGGAAACTCGACTACCGCAACGTCTTGTGCCGAAGGCAACCCGCCAAGCCTGCATGCAGCTACAGGTAACAACGTCGACGAGGAACCCGTGGCCCATCCAAGAACTAGGGTTAAGCAAAGCTATTCTAGCCTAGGTTTTCCTGGCTGCTGAGGATCCTGGTCTCGAGCCATGGGCATTGGGGATTTTCTCGCGGGGGATACAAGCACTCAACGTTGTGAGTATTCCATGCGTCTTTGTTCCACAAGCTCACTGCACGCTGCACACCGCTGCCACAAGCTGCAACTCAGTCAGCCCTGTAGAGGGTTGGTGCTTGGTGTAAGGGACCTGAAAAGCCCACCAAAATAACCATGACAAAGGTGAGGATATTTATTTGATGACACTATCCGATTACGTTTGTCTTACATACCGAGGATTGCGTTGCTCTGGCTCGTAGGCCGAGAGTTAGGTTGGTGCCGCTGTCATCAGTTGACGCTGACGCCTCCGTTTCATCAATGCAGCTGTCTTGTCAAAGCGCTAGGAATCGTGGAGGCGGACCCTGGCGTGCCAGTCCACGCGCTAGACCACAAAGGGAAACGAGCTTTGGCCGGTCTTCGTCCACTGCGACTTTCGCATTTTGTCGTCAAGATTGGCGATCGCTTCATGCCCCGTCATTGCAACATTGGCCGCCATTGTGGTCCAACTTGACAATGATACGCTCACGAACCGCCCGGTTGGCACTCCCGGCCTTACGAAGAAGCCAATGGACGTGTCCAGCTTGTCTGTCCTCGCGCCGCCCCTACTCCCAGAAGCCCGACCAGCGCGAACCACCTGATCATCGCAAACTTGGCCTCCAGCAAGAACTCTTCATCAGCTCCCTCTACAGCCCCGGATCTCCCATATTCCTCCCAAATGGCGCCCGAATATTCAACCGATTGGTGGATTTTTTGAGGAAGCAATACGTGCGGTATGGATTCGAGGAAGTCATCACCCCCACCATCTACAAGAAGTCGCTTTGGGCCAGGTCAGGGCATTTGCAGAACTATGCGGACGACATGTACTCGGTGACAGGGAATACGCCGCAGCCGAATGCAGACCATACGGGGTGCTGCGATGGAGATCACGCCAACACGGCCAAGGCGGAGGAAGAGGAAGAAGGCGACTATGGCTTGAAACCCATGAACTGCCCCGGCCATTGCCTGATTTTCGCTTCAAAACGACACAGCTATCGAGACCTTCCTATCCGCTACGCAGACTTCAGCCCGCTGCACCGAAATGAGACCTCGGGATCGCTGAGCGGATTGACTCGAGTGCGTCGCTTCCACCAAGACGACGGACACATCTTCTGCCGGCCGAGCCAGGTCGAGGAGGAGATCAAGAAGACCCTGGACTTTGTCAAGGTTGTCTATACTGTGCTGCGATTTGGTGTGGGCTACCGACTGGCACTCTCTACACGACCAAAGGATCATTACATCGGCACCGAGGAGGAGTGGTCGCGAGCCGAGGACTCCCTGAAACGAGCCCTGGATGCGTCGGGCATGGATTGGGGTGTGAAGGAAGGCGACGGTGCCTTCTACGGACCCAAGATTGACATCATTCTCAAAGACTCCGACGGCAAGGAGCACCAGACGGCCACGATTCAGCTCGACTTCCAGCTCCCCAAGCGCTTCGAGCTCGAGTACCAAGCCCCGGCCCCCGAGTACGAAGCCCGCGGCGAGACCACCGAGGATCCGGTACTGCTGGCCGAGTACGGCCCCGTCCGGCCAGTCATGATCCACCGTGCCGTCCTGGGCTCCGTGGAGCGTCTCATGGCACTCCTGATTGAGAAATATGACGGCAAGTGGCCGTTCTGGCTCAACCCACGCCAGGCAATCGTCCTCACCGTCAACACCTCCACGCCTGTGCTGGACTGGGCCGAGGAAGTTCGCGACGTGTTGGTGGGCCAGAACAAGAAGGTCTACGAACAGCTTGAAGCTGGGTCACTCCCTGCACAGGGCGATGTCCTGCGGCCGACCGGGCTGGCCGTGGATGTGGACACGACGGCGAGGTCCCTCGGCGCCAAGATCAGGGAGGCGCGTAAGAACGGCTACGGCCAGATCCTGGTGGTCGGAGACGAGGACGTCAAGAACAAGCAGGTTGCATTGGGCAAGGAACGGATGTCTCCCGAAGAGTTGCGCGAGCGCTTGCGAGGCATGGTGGATACATTTGCGTAGATAGGTGTACTTCCCTTCTCCCTCTTGGGGGGCCAACGTAGATACAAGTCCTCTCCCAATTGTCCTCTCTCCCCCATCCCCAGGAGCGCAGAGTTGCGCGGCGCGACTGTGCTTCGCCTTGTATCGCGCCGTCCCTTGGCGCCGCTGGTAGTGGTGGCGGGAGCGCGGGTGGCATGTCGTGAGGCCAAGCTGGTGCCCGATCCTTCATCCCTATCGTAAAGCGTTGGTCCGCAATGTCTAAGAGTTGATAGAGCCGTCACGATGCAGAGCTCATCCCCTCGCTCGGCTCTGGCCCGATCCCGCCTGCTGGTACAGCGCTCTGTGGCAATCAGTACACCATCCCCGGGGGGAAGTCATCTGATGACTCGACCGGGGTGGGCCGGCCCAACTCACCTCTTCAGCTTGTCGTCGACACCACCGCCGGCCTGCTCGATGCGCTCGATCATGGCCTGCCGCTCTACAAGCTGCTCGCGCATGTAGTCCACCGTGCGCTTGAGGACCAAGCCCTCGGAGCGGCCCTGGCCCTCCAGTCCAGGCACCAGTTCGGTCAGGCGATCGAAGCCCTCGCGGATTGCCTGCCGGCGTTTCTGCTCTAGAGGGTGCATTAGCACTCCATCCGATCCCTGGGTGATCGCATAAAACAGAAAACACGGCCACTAGGATGCAGAGCTTGCAGGGCCTAGGACGCTTACGCGCAGCGTACCTGATGCGATGTGGTTCTGCTTCTTCTCTTCTTCGGTGAGACGCGGTTTATCATCGGCTTGCGCGCCGGCGTCCCCGGCCGCGGGAGACTTGTGGTTTGGCGACGACGACATCTCTCGAAGCCGTAGCTGGGCTGCAGAACCGAGTGACGAGGAGAAGCCGCGGGGCCGAGAGAGTCTGTTCGGCGGGAGGTGGGAACTTTTAAAGGCGTGAGGAAATGATGCGCGCAAGGTAGAAGACGCGGCTTGTGAAGTGCAAGGATGTTGCCCCAGATTCATGTGAACCCCTGGTCCTTGCATGTGCTATGGCGGGCGACCTGCCAGCGGCGCTGCAGCTACATAATATCCGCACCAATTCTGAAATCTCCGATCCACCACCATCACGTTCCTGGAACACATGTGAATGTGACGTCCTCGGTCTGTAGTGGCTCCGTCTATGATTTCGGTGTCACAGTACCATTCTTTAAATGCCTCGGACCCGATCTGGTGATTTACACAGGCCTCGTAGGCGTTTCAGGAGCGACTGACATGTGCCTCTGGTTGCCAAGTGTCCAATTGTCCAATGCTTGCAGTTCAACCTACGGCACTATGTTCGCAGTCTTGGGTCGCGCAGCTAGTAGAGCCCCTAAGTTAATTCTAGATTTCAAATTTGGTTATATGTGCCGCTGTACATCGCAATCCGGGTTTTAATATATCCGGAACAATAAGCCCATGAGACGCCGGTCACCTCTATATGCGGTTCAAGGCAGGCCTGAACCAGGCCTGCCTCATCTTGGAGTTGTATCCGTCGAATGCCGGGACCCTAGCCTTAGTCGTCCTCGTCGAAGTCTTCGTCATCCTGTCTAAAGATGGCCTTTTCCGCAAGAGCCATACACCTTCGAACCGGCAGCCCGACCGCGTTGTCAATGGATCCATCAATTCTTTCCACCAACAGCATGCCTCCAACACCTTGAACGGCATATCCACCGGCCTTATCGGCTCCCTCACGAGTCTTAACATACGCCTCAATCACATCGTCCGGGAGTCCCTCAGACTCGGCCAAGAAGTAGACCTTGGTCTCTTCCGTATAGCTAACCAACTCGTACCCAGGATGCCGGGCATCATCCCTGGGTGCAATCACGGTGACGGCTGTCAAGACCCGGTGCATCCGCGTATCCCGTAGGTGTTTCAACATGCGAATGTGTTCAGCCTCGCTTCGCGGTTTCTCCAGGATCCGGCCGTCACGGGTGACAACGATTGTGTCGGCAGCAATGACTAGCGAGGGGTCGGGGACAGACTTGATGCTCGCCTCTAGGGCAGTGGAGTACACATCCACGCATTTTTGGCGGGCGGTGGCGGCAACGTATTCATCGGGTCCGTACACCGTCTTGTCGAGGTCTTCGGGCTTGGTGGAAGGCGTAATTTCGAGTTTTGCGAGACCGAACTAGGTGCTGTGAGCACCTCAACCGAAGAAGAAGGAGTTAATTGTGGACTGTACCTGTTGCAGAAGTGCTCTTCGTCGGGGCGAAGCGGAGGCGAGGATCACACGCTTGGAGTTGAGATGCTGGAGGATGGGGAGCTCCAGGGGCTGCGGGCCTTTGCGGATAGGGAGGTTCGGACGAGGAGGTGCCGCGCTTTCGTCCACCTTGTCGGTGTATGGAGGGGGGTCGCTCGGGAAGTTGGAATCCGCCATATTTCGAGGTGGTCTGCAAATTGCTACTCCAGAGAGGCGATGATGGTGGTGGATAGCGCAGCGCCGAAGCTGGGTTGGAGAATGAGGTCAATGTGGGGGGGGGTTCACCATGGACCGCGCCAGCCCGCCCCACGATGGCCAGCCCATCCCGCCTGTAGCTCCAATTACGGGCCCTCGCAGTGCGACTTTGCCAGACCTGGGGCTTATTTCGTGACATGCAAATGCTCATGTGTATCAATGGCCACCAGAGCAGATGTGAGTCGGATGAAGGGCGACTAGATCACGGGACAATTGTAGAGTCTGGCTGCAGTATGCTCAATTGTGGTTTGCTGCACGTGTCTTGACTTTACCGCGCTCTGCTGCGGTGCAGGTACTGCCATGTAGCGGCACTGGAGTTAAGTGTCCTGGGGGTCTACGCTGGGAGCACTACCAACTGCTTACAACTGTCGACTTGGGATCGATGCCTTTGTTCCAGCACAGGGACGAGACTAAGATCGACGTAATTTAAGATGGTGATTGCTTTAATGACCGTGTCTTGCATTTTTTCTGTGAACTTATCTGTGAACTTATGTCAACTCAAAGTCTCAAATGGCATCAAGTGGCATCTTCCCAGCAAGTCGTTCTGTTTGCCTTGTTGCCTTAGCGCTGTTTTCAGGCACGGCGATCAGCCAAGCGGGTACCTCTGCTCAGGTACCTCGCACTGCTGTGTCTTCGTACCAGCGCCACCACCTCACCTTTGGCCGCAGAACGAAAAGCCAAAACCCGACCTCCGCGACTTGACCCCAACGGCAGACCACCTTTCGCGCCTCGCAAAACAGCTTCACGCATTCGCAGCCGCGTGCAAGTGATTCTTGAAGCCCTGTAACATTTCGCAGTGACCTGTTCGACGCCCCTCCGCCGCCATAATCGCCAGCTCCAAACTGCCGAAATCCACCACGTCCCTGGTGCATTTGACGCGACCATTGGACCAGCACGCGTCAAAATCCACTTGAGCACTGTCGCGACGGCTTCGACGCTGAGATCCCGCGCGAACCCATTGTGCACCGACGAACGATCTTTTGAAAGAGCCCTGTATAGGCCTGTGATGCGCCTGTCTCCGCGACTATAGCGAGCACACCCAACATGGATAGCAAGCGCAAGGCCAATGGGGCTGCGCAGGTGGAAACCGATGATCGAGCCTCCAAGCGTCGCAAACTAGCTGTAAGTCCATCTCATTGTTTCCACCGTCATCAGATCAGTGCACTGCTTTCTTTGCTTGGACCGACCCCCCTTCGCCTGCGCGACTTGTTGACAGCGCAACCCCCAGTCCCGAGGCGGAAATACAGGAACCCGGATAGCTAACAAGCTCCCATCGCAGGAGTTCAATTTATCGAAAGGAGAGAGTCGAGACTCGACGACGGCGTATGGTTTGAGCTTCCTGGAACAGATTCGCCGAACCGCCGACAAGAGGTGAGCTGCCGGAGTCGCAATCGATACAGGGCCATATACTGACTCCCCCCCTCTATAGTGGTCGTCTTGTCGCAACCTACTTCGAGGAACTGCTGCCTCGCGAAGGCAATGCAGATTATTACAAGCAAACGCGCATGCCGATTTCACTGGAAACGATCGAGAACAAGCTGGACAAGGGTGAGTTTGAGACGCTCGCCGAACTGGAGAGCTACTTCAAGCGTATGATTGCCAATGCCAAGGAATTCTACCCACGATCATCCTCGAACTTTGACGATGCGGAAAGAATTCGGAAAGCTTTGAGCAACTATATGACCAAGACGAACCCCGCCTACCAGAATCGTGGCTACCAAGCTGTGCCGACTCCGTTCCCCGAGGACTCCAATGATGCTGAAGAGGACGAAGACGCAGAAGGAGAGGAAAACGAGGACGACGGCGATGAGGACGAGGACGCAGAAAATGACGACGCAGATGAAGACGACAAAGATGACGAACCCGAAGAGGATGAAGAAGAAGAGGACGAAGAGCCCAGCTCGAGAAAGCGATCCATCATACTCAAGCGACGAGGCTCAGGACGTCCAACTCGCGCAGCTGCTACTGCTACCGCTAAAACGCAGAGCCCGCGAACATCTGCTACACCCAGTCGGCCCGACCACCAATTCGAGAGCGTTCCTTACAAGGGGCTCAACTTCCAACAAGCTCAAGAGAAGATTGTCGAGGAACTTCTCAGGCACCAGGAGCCAGAGTATGTGGGCATCACTCCATATGGTCTTGGGTTACTAACGTCGCTATCAGATACGACGATGCCTACTTCGAGCCATTCATTAACCTCCCCCCTCGAGCTTTGAAGGATTACTACAAGGTCATCACCGACCCGCTCTCCATCAAGAAACTACAGAAGATGGTCAAAGGCGTCCACGGACGTGGTGATGTCGCTGGCACCAGCAATTTCAAAACCTGGGGTGCTTTCCAAGAGAAGTCTACCCTTCTCTGGACGAATGCATTCTTCTACAACGAGGAGGGAAGCGAAATCTACGCTTTGGCACAAGAACTAGAGGTCCGTTTGTAACCGCTGCTTGGATTTGCCTTTCATCTGACCTTTGACCAGAAATTCTTTACCAAGGAGTTGAAAAAGGCACAAACAGCCGTGCAAGAGCCTACCCAGGCGAAGATCAAGTTGAAAGTTAGCCTAGGTGCAGAGGCACCACCATCATCCAAGAAGATTACCATTCATGTTGGAGGTCGCGGAGGCTCTGCAGACTCACCCGCTCCCCAGACCACCCAAAGCACCGATGCGCCGGCCAACGGTCATCCTGTCAACGGGACTCGCACGTCAACTCCCGCTCAGTCCAATCTCGGTCCGCAAGACAAGACGGCTCGGAGCCTATCTGCTTCGGTTCCATCTCCAAGCCCGTCAACACATGCCGCCCTCAAGGCTGAGGATGCAGCGGCAGCGTCTCCAGCAGGCATTGCCGGCCCGGCCACCGCAGTTCCAGCGCAGGCTGGCCCTGGAGTCGGAGCCCCTATCCCTACGGTGCAGGTTCAACCTCCTCCACACAATCCTCTGGCCAATGGCTATATGGAACAAAGGCGGTTCCGTGGTCCTGGAAAAAGTGAGTTGAGCGAGTATGATTCCGAAGCGGCAGATGGCTAATGTGACCTAGATATCGACGATGCGCTGATTTCCAGTGTGAGAGTACAGCTACACCCGGCTGTTCAAATCCAGAGCCCTACAGTGGTGACTGTGCTGCCTCACCCTACCGAGATGGTGCAGTCCGCCACCTTGAACTTGCCAGCCCATCTGGCCCGTGTGCTCATCATCCCACTGCTCCCGGATTTACTGCGCACTCGGCAATACAGCCTCTGGACCGTGGTGAACAAGCAGGCCCTGAAGCCAAGCCACCAGCAAGCCCCAGGACAACACCCGCAGGAGCGTGCCTTTGAGGCGATTCTGCATCCTGGAATCAACGTCGTTGAGACGCATCTCATCGCCGCTATGCCCCGGGATGAGCGCGTTCCTGGCGGCCCAGAGGTGGAGCTGGAAGTGTTCACCATCTTTATCAACGTGCTAAGGAATTAGACATTCCCTCGCCACCAAAGGAACACCCAGTGGCTTCCTATGCCGACGGGGTACAAACCGGGATACTGATGATTGTAACACTGAAGGGGGGGCTGTCTTTTTTGGGCGGGATTGTTTTCGGCGCGTTATGGGACGTGGTGGAATGGGACGGTGCTATTCCCAGGGCATGGAACCGGATGTACGGGGTATTTCTTCAGTCGTGTAGCTTCGTCTTTTGGTTCGCAGCTGGCATGGATTGGGCGCAGCCGGAGGGGTTGGCTTCTTGGCTTGCCTTGGGGGGAAGCAATTGACTTCCATGCCGTAAGGTCGGGTTACATAGCCACATATAATCAAATCAATTGGCCTCATGTTCGTTCGCGCGTGTGTTTGATGTCATGCATGGGTCTAGGCTAGTGATTTCAACATTCGTAGATCCTTTCCTCTCTCAAATGAGCGCTGCGCGAGGGGAAGTTTGATTGGGAGCGGGTGTTACGCGTTTTGATGGAAGTCGTGATATTCTGAATTCTATGGTATCTCAAAGCAGAACCCAGTCCCGAGCGCCACGCAAAGTTATGCGAAATATCTCCCCGATGCCTTCCATACCACATTTCCGAACTAGTACACCTTGTTGGTTCTTTAGCCGGGCGCTGGTCGCTGTTTGATCTGGACTAGATGCTTGAGACCAGTCTGGATGCCCATGAACTTGCGCAACTTGGGGTCGTACCATCCCAGGACGTACACGGCCATGCAAGCAGTCTTGCCTCGCAGTTCTACTACTCCATCGACTCTGATGCAACCCCGGGTAGGAGGGCTTTTTGTGGGTTTCCAGTTCCGAGCAAATGTAAGCGAGGCGGCCTGTATGGCGGCCTGGACACGAGGGTCCAGTTGAGTCTCGCCGCCGAAGAGAGTGCCGATGATGTCTCCACTCCCAGTCGGGAACTGTCCCTGGGCAGGCCTTTCAGATTGTCCGAGTATCCGTACTGTTTGTTTTCCGGAGCTTCCAAACCCGTTCCCCTGTCCGTTGAGACGGTCTATAGTTACTGATTGCCATGTAGGTTCGGGAGGGTTCGGGTTGTTCAAGCCCAGGACTTTGGCGATATCCTGCATTGTTTGCTTGAATAGAAAGTTGATAAACGTCCATGTAGTCAATGCGACTGCCTTGGGATAGATGGCTTTATCCAAGTGGCCTGCCGCGGTAGAGTCTATGGGTCGATCGCCCCAGAAGAGGCCCTCCTCATCAACGATGAGACTGGTCATATGTTAGCTAGGCCATGGTGTGGTAACCGGATTGCTTACCCAGACACATAATGCTTCGGTGGAGGGGAGGGTGGATATATGATATCCAACCAGAGCTTCTTGACCTTGATAGCACCACCACCCAATAGCCGAACGAATGCTGGGTTTTTCTCAACTCCTCGTTTGATTTCATCCGCTAAGCCGACTAGAGCGTGTTAGCAACTGACGGCACACATGTCCATGTCGTCGACTCACATTTGATTTCCTTTTGGAGCTTCGTGTCCTGGTTCACCTTGACAAACATCTCCCATTCCGGGTCAGAACCCCGGTACGGCGGCTGCTTGACCTCCTTGGTGGTGAATGGGAACGGCAGGAATAACATGGGCTCGTCCTCCTCCATGTTCTGCACCTCCTCCTTCTCCTTGTCGGACAAGGCTTCCCATTCTTCGTCAGCCCAATCGAGTAGTGGATCGAATACGACGGTGGCAAATATTTGCCAGCAGGTATATAAGACAATGGTTGTGAAGACGGCTCGTCTGTATGATATGTTAGGACATTGGATTACTTGGAACATGGTGGGGTGAGGCTGCTCACCCGATCCGTCGACGGAGGCTCGGGCCATAGGACCGCCGTTGAACGATGGGTTTAGGGAAATAAACCGGCAAGTCTGAGGGCGACTTTTGTCGGCGCCATGGTAGGAATGATATTCGTCTCGTTTGTCTCGTTTGTTTCGCGAACGGTCGAAGTTGTCGGCAGAGAGCTCGTTGCACTGGGATTGTAGAGAGCGTCGCGTGCCGAGAGGCAACTTGTCGAGCGAACATTCCGTCTCTGACAGAGCCAGAAGGCTGGAAGAGTAAAGAAACGAACAGATGGTATAGGGGGAACTCGCCCTCGCCGTCTCGAAGTAACGTTATGACAAGAGAAGCATCATGGTAGTGGCGATTCTGATGGTGACGGATGTGCTACGTGCCGGCGACGGCGGTTGGTTCAACGAGCAAACGGCCAAGGCCATGGTGCGGATACAGAAGGCGCACTGTACACTCGCGCACGCAAATCGCGCACGAGCACACTGTATGACGGAACAACTGGGGGCCCCGAGTCCCGACACGTGCATCGCGGCAAGGGACTCTTTGGTGCCTGGAGCTTGCGACTGTTCCAAGCTATCTCAGCCTGGCCCTGCCAACAACCAAGCTTCATCACCCCCTTGCCAAAATGAAGCTCACCATTGGGCTCAGCGCCGCCCTCGCCAGCTTCGCTGCTGCCGCTCAGCACGCCGCCGAGGTCTACATTCTGCCCGCGCCCGAATCCGCGTCGTCGACGTCCATCTCCCCGAGCACCGCCCGCTTGATCCTGCTTCAGCGTCTTGCCTCCAACGGCAAGGGTCCATCGTTCAGCGATGTCCCCGATGACTCTGATCCCGAGGATCTCATGTCCTTGATGAACACGTTCGCAAAGGAGTCTTTCCAATTGTTTGCCGATGAAGAACGCGTGTTCCCAAACCAGCTGGTGGTCATGTTGGAGGGGATGACGGACGCCCAGTTCAAGGAGATAGGTATCGCGCTCGAAGCGCAGCCCGCTTTCACCATCCCGAACCCGCCCTCGGCAGATGCGCACGAGACACTGGTCAAGAACGACTTCTACAACGTTGGAATTACAAACGCGCACAAGTGCTCCCTGGACCAGGTCATCAACCCCCTTGAGGAGACCTGCTGGAGTGGCAAGTCCACTGTCGCCAAGTACGACGTGTCAAAGGTAATTGGCATGGCATTTCTTCCGCCAACCTGTTTTTACTGACTTCTCATAGGACTCTAAGATTCTTAACAACTTGATTGATAAGATCTCGAAGCTCACGAAGCTCGCCGCGTCCGGCAAAATGGAGACCACCTTGGTTCTTCTTCCCTCCTCCGAGTCGACCAGCCCGAAACAGTGGTCCGACAAGTCACAGGAGCTTCGACGCCGACAGGAAGAGGCTGTCATCTCTTCAGACGCCACTGAGTCTGCCCAGACTTCCGCTGTTAGCAACTCCCCTGCCTTCTTCACCTCGACCGGCACTATTCCTTCGTGCTTCAGCTCCTTGGACAGCTGCTCTACCGGCACTGGGAACTGCTCTGGCCGCGGTTCGTGCTTGAACAAGCATGCCAAACCGGACGGTTCCGACGGCAAGGAGGCGTGCTATACTTGCCACTGTCTCAGCACCGTCAGCAAACAGGGCAGCGTGATCCACTGGGCCGGCCCTGCTTGTACGAAGGAGGACATTAGCGTTCAGTTCTGGCTGTTTGCTGGATTCACCATTGTCATGGTTGGCGTTCTGACCCTCGGTATCGGAATGCTCTTCAGTGTCGGTGAGGAGAAGCTTCCTGGCGTCATTGGTGCCGGAGTTTCGAGGTCCAAGTAGAACGGTACGCTAGAGCGAACCTGAGGGTGCGATTGGAAGGGAGGATAGGATGTGGGAAGCGTATAAGCCGACTGCCTGGTTCCAACACCATATAACCCAGGGCGGCATGTACCATATCGGTGTATTGATATACGGGCGTCATAAGGCAAGGAGCTTGTATCAGGTGTCTCAGCAACAGAGGCTTCTTTCGTTAGACTGTGCAATTCAGTGATTTTGAGTACTCCCTGTCTCGTGTACGTCATCGCGGATGGCTCATCGGTAATTAGTCAATGCATCGGATCGTGTTGACGTACTGTATTTCGTATCCGAGGACCAGTTGACTTCTATCTTGCCCGTCTTGTCCAGCACGGCGTTTACTGGACTCTCCGGCTGGTCCAAGCTGATAATCTCAACTGAGCCATTGTCACAGCCTCAGAACATGTGGCTGATTCTGCCAATCAAGTCCCCTGGCATTCGACACAGCCCCGCCTAGTTCGCGTTTACAAAGTAGTACGATTACAACCGGACTTTATGGAAAACTCCGCCTCGACAACCATCTTGAACATCTGACGCCTTTTAAAGAAACGGCATGCATCCTCACCGTTAAAGTCCGCCGGAGTTGTTTCTCTTCTTGGCTCTTCTTCGGCTCCGACCTATACGCTTTCTCCTGTCCCCTTATCCGAATCCGGCCGTGTTCGCGCTGAGATGCTGTCAAGTGCCGACCGGCCCAAGCCAGCGACGGCTAAATGGGGCGCTGCCTGCCAACAGTGCTCGATAGCGAAAGCGAAGTGCATCAGGTCGAACACAGCTCCTTGGGCCAAATGTGACAGGTGAGCCAAGGTTTCGATTGCTCTTGATACGATTAAGGAGATGCCGAGGCACAGAGCCTCACATTTGATCATGACCCTGGTGCCGGTGCTGCCGAAGTCCGAGCCCAGGTGTAAGTGACCGGGTTGACCGCCGGCCATGCGCGTCGAGACATTTCCCTCAGCGTACTCTATCTGAATTATATGGGCTGACTTTCACAGATGCGAGAGATTGGTCAAGCATTGCGCCGAACAAGTCCATCGTCCACGAAAAAAGAGACAACCAAAGCCTTCGTAGGTGGCCCTTTTTCGGCGGCCTTTTGCATGACGCTGTGGACCTCCATCCACACGTGTCATGACTGGGGATGTCATGATGGCGTCAAGGGACTGACCATGCCCAATAGGAGAACGGCTCAAATCGAAGAGAGACTCAATGGCCTTGTCAATCTACTCAAGGCGTCAGGAGGATTGACAAATGCCGATCTGGCTACGGACACCACATGCATTCCCACTGAAGCAGACCCAGCTGTTTCCAACCAGCAGACTCCTTCAAAACGCCCTGAAGCATCCTTTGCTCCCAGCGACAACCCCTGGGCCATCCCGGAGATCTACAACTCGTACGCTCCGCCATCATGCATTTGCCGGCCAGAAAGCGGGGATGCACCCCCACCTCCAGACTCTGATGAGGTGCTACTCAACATATACCGAGACGAGTTACAGGCACTTCACCCTTTCGTAGTGATACCCAACAATGTCACTGCCGCGAAACTTAAAGCTCATAGGCCGTTCCTCATGTCGGCTATCCGAATGGTCACGTCATTTCGAAGCCTCAGATCCATGCGAGCCCAGATGTATTATCTGATGCAACACATCGCCGACCATATGCTCATCCGCTCGGAGCGATCGCTGGATTTATTAATGGGAATTCTCGTCATAGCTGCGTGGTATCAATACCACTGCTTCATGCATGCTCAATTAAACAACCTCATAGCTTTGGCTGCGACTCTTGTTGGAGAATTGGGCTTGCATCGCAGTCCAAGTCTTCTCGAGCGGACTAATCTCATGGTTGTGAAACCATTCTATCCAGAAAGAAGGACCAACGAAGAGAGGCGAGCGCTTCTTGGGGTCTGGTTCTTATCATCAGCGTAGGATTGTCCATACTACTTCCTTTCGGTTCATCGCTAACGCATGCTAGAATGTCTCTGGGATTCTCAAGAATTGAGTCGATGAGATATACCAAGTATATTCAAGAATGTGTCCAGGTGCTCGAAGACGAGCATGAATACGAAACGGATGTGAATCTCGTACATCTAGTCCGCATACAACACCTGACAGAACGTATTTCCCTGCTCAATTCTCCAGATAGCCCAGCAGAAGAGGTTGTCGGCGTCCCTACAGCTCCCATGTCGGCCTACGTTTCAGCATTTCAGGGCGAGCTTGATCGGATTCGAAATTCCCTACCTGCGAATCTAAAGAGTGATAGTCAGTAGCACAAACCCATGGTTCGCCTATATTTCTAACAACTACAGAAATCATAAATGCCTTCCTCAATACGGCAGCACTTCGCCTTTACGAACCCCCGGTACTCGATACCCCTCGAATCATCTCCATGTCCGAGTCTCTCACTTCTCCCACGCTAGGAGCTGCCTCTGCTCTCGACATTTTTTACCAATCGAGAAATGCGCTTAACCAATTCTTTGACAACTGGCTTTCGATCCCAGTCTCTGAATATTACCGCCAGACTACCCCAATCGCTGCTCAACTTGTGTACGGACTTACCATGCTCGGTCGGTGGGCCAAGTTCACCGTACCTATCACGTTGAATCAACAACCACAGACGCCAATGCCAGTTGACACAAGCGAAAATAACCCGAATCGGAATATGTTCAAGGCCGATTCAGAGTACGCTGCCAGTCTACAATCGGGGAACCCGACACCCTCGGAACCAAGCCCGAGCTCTCGTGACAAGGATTCGCAGGAAGTCGGACAGATCGTCCTTCGTGAAGGAACGGATCCAAGATTACCAGGTGCAGTGGCGGCGCTTCGATCGCAGATCCAGACTCAGCCCGGACTCTCCCTGGACGTGTCTGGATTTCTCACAGGAATCTGCTCACGATTCGAAGAAGCCAACGCGAGGTTCCAGGTCGGCCCGGCGGAGCCTGGGGCGTTAGATCACACTCTGTGGACTATGAGCGCTGTCAAAGTCCGGATCACTCGGGCAAAACTTGAACGATGGGCCGAGATTGTTGCAGCTGGGACAGAGGCGCTCAAGCTTCAAGACGACCACGAGCGAGACACTAACATGGAGGATAGTGAGAGTGTCGATACTAGCAAGTCTAGCATTGATGGGTCTGAGCCGTTCCTCAATAACAACGGTGACTTGGCTGCGGATTCAATGCAACCCAACTGGAACGCGACAACGCCATGGACCAGTGAGATGCTCCAAGGAGTCGACCCTTCCATATGGTTTGATGGTTACTTGGATTGGGGCGCAGTGATCATGAACTCAATGGGAAATCTAGAACAATAGAGGTTGGGACTGGGGAGGATGAGGCTGGGACATTGTGTTGTATACTTGCAATTAACGCACCTTCCGACGAATGGAAAGTAATTTTGTGACGTATGTTCATTACTGTGTGAGAGACTCCCCTTAAACACCTTGACCGACAGAGTGCCGTACCCGACAAGAACACGAATTCGCCGCGCTGTTGTGTTGAGACAGTAGCGTTCCGGACGTACGGCTCAAACTGCCGCCATGACCTCATTATCAATTCTTAAACAACATGATTGGATCAGCCGTTTTTCACCAAAATTACTTCGCTGTCTTAATCGGTAATCCAACCCTTGAAGAGAAATATCAAAGACTTTCTAATCATGTGTGACGTGGTTGGGATCGTGGCGTCGCTGGGTTTGCTCGGGGGAACGTCACCGCCTCGAATTCAGTGGTTGCCAAGGTTGTCATTGCAATGAGCACCCCCTGATGGAACCGTGCATTGCCTTTTGAGGAAAAAGTGAGGCGAACAGACCCTCCTTTTTTTTTTCTTTTTCTTTTTTTAAATAAACTTTTTCACTTATAACTCAAGACTCATATGACTGAGTGTAGAGAATCAATGCACCTTGATAGGCAAACTCCTGAAAACTGCTAGCACATTCTGGTTTCCACAAATGACAGTAGACTTGCTTGGACGTTATCATTCACTTACAATAGGCGAAGGTCGTCACAGCGGAAACCCTTCCGGGTAGAGCCCCAGCAAGGAGTGAGTTCAATGAGACATGCGCTTGCAACGGATGTTCCGGACCTAACCCACTCAGCTCAGGTAGGTATGTCGGTGTAGACTCCATGTGGCCAGCCAGATCTACTAATGCCAGATTTGTGGTAGTCATTTGTGAGACTTTACAGAATGCGGCCTAGGTTGCATAAGCGCCAACAACAGCGTGAAGTACTGCCAACAAACATGCAGCATGATCAGTTCAGCGGGAGCGAAATCGGGGGAAGGGGGGGTCGTGGACGACTGATTATCATTTACAGGCCTCAAGGCCAAGAGGAATGCAGCTGTTGGTTGTGATGCAGGATAGAGGTATCACTGCCGCTTCTTTTATGAAAATTGCATCGCCCGTCGTGTAGAATAGCGGGTGATGTAATAAACTACAAGGCTTCTGTGGAGTGCCGTTGTTTTAGTTGCCGAAAGTCTTTGAAGACGGCATGGCAAAATGTCACCCACCTATCGCACACCGATGTATCACTAGAGCGCACACCCACTTGGCCATGCGCTGGCCGTGTAAGCTTGTGACTCGACTCTGCAGATACACGGCCCAGGCTCTGCTGGTGGCTGTGAGCGGCCTCAGCTACCGGGCTTGCAAGCGAACAGTGCGACTCATGCTGGATATCACTGGTTAGGGTCTGTCACAAGACACAACCCTACAAACCATGTGATGAGATTGCTGTGCACGAATAACCGTTATCGACCGATCGACAGGGTTGTGGGAACCCAGCAGCTGGAGGTGCCAGCAGCCAACAGCCATCAGCCCCATGGCGATATGCCGTGTTAAGCCCCGGAAGGCGACGTGCGTACCCGGTAACTTTTCACCCGCAGGGGCTTCCGCAGCGTGGTGTTGTGCCACGAAGCCGGGTAAGGAACTCTGTTTGGGATTGACGAGGGTACGAAACTATCCTAGGGCGAACACAGTCTTGGGAAGCACAGGATTTGGTCCTTAATATCCGGTATCGTGAGCTCCCGATCCCTTCCTCCTGCTTCCACGACATGGAAATTGCGGTCTGAGCCCGGCCCCACACCGCCCGACCATCGGCCGACCGGTCATTCATTGCACGACGTCACGGAGTGTTAAGTTAGGTAGCGATGGTATATCTGCCGTATGCCGTATGCCGTCTGCCCCGCCTTGTCTTGCTTGAGACGGCGAGATGGTCCAGACCACGATGCAACTCCAATGCAGCAGAGGATTGGTCAATGGTAAGCGCCGGAGCAGCCGCCGCCTCAACAACCAACAGTTATGGAGGCGGCATTGAGGGTTTCCCTGGGGCTGGCTGGTGGTCTCGCCCTGCTCTTAAGGAATTCCTGGGACTCGAACGGGACTCGAACACAAGACTCCCTGCGGCAACTGAGAGGAGGGGGGGCTAGTAGACATTCTTTCTTTGGGTTGCAGGTCCGTTTGCTGGTCCGTCTTCGCCCGCCATCCCGAATACGGAGGACATGTACTTCGTCCTTTGTCCGCGAGCGCCGTGGGCCATACGGACATAGTGTAGTGTATCTGCTCGACTCAAGTCGCGAGCTGATCCCAGAGCCCGCAGACCGCGTTGCTGGGGTGCTGACCGACCACAAGCCTAGTAGGCCAGGGCCAGGATCAGCTAAGAAAAAAAAAATTCCCGCCCTTGTTTGGCGAGTCGTCATCCGTTGGGGGGCCGTAAGTAGACGCCTCGCTGAGGCTGCAATCGGCACTGGACGGCGGTGTGTACAGAGCGCCCAGGCCGAGAATGTCATGAACCAGGTAGCAAGGAAGTACAGGAGCCACAGGCAATTTTGACTGACACGCTGTTCAGAATGGGGGCATGGGGGTGTGTGATTGTCTCACCTCACAGCACGGCCTGCGTATCGTCGCCCAGCTTTTTGCATACCCCGAGCTCGATGGTGTTTGATGGAGCCAACGCAGTCCATAGCCGATCTACCTCGATGCTACCGGTCCTGCAAAGGCCCTAATTCAATATATGGCCCGGCGGCGCAAGGTCCTTGTCCGCCAGACAGCCCACACTCGTCCGCCCAAATCTCAAATTTGCCTTCTCGCGCGTAGAATCTGGGATTACGAACGCCTCGTTTGGTGCTGTGCCGCCCAGTTTTGAACACGTTTCCCCGGGAGAGACGACGCGGAGACGACGCGGGGACGACCCGGGTCCCGATACTGCCCTCGTCGAGCCTAATTGAGCGCAGCTCAGCCGGTAATTCGTCGCGAGAGGTAGCCATCCTGACAATTGTGGTGTGCAAGGAAAGGTCCATGTGACTGACAATGGAGCGCATACGTAGGACGTAGGACGCCTCCAGCCAGCCTCCATCCCATCAGCGAGCTTCTCGTTTCAGAATGGAGGAATCCTCCGAGCTGCTGCCAAGGACATGCGGCGGGCTCTGCCTCGGCGTCCATTATGCCCATTCTACCGAGCCCGATATTTGGCCTGATGGTTGCCTCGTCGAGGAAGCCCAAGATTTACTTCTCCCGGATCCCTCGCACCTTCGGCACCTTTCGCACCTTTCGCCTCTCCCGTCGCCCCCTTCGCCTCCTTTCCGCCTTCTGCCAGCAGCGTTCGAAGCCCCGCCACCACCACGCTTACCCGTGCCCATACGGGAGCTGCCCCCTCGCCGAAAGGTCGTGTGGATCTGGATATGCGTACGTGCCCAATCGATAATCGCATATAGATCGTGCCGATGCCAAATATATACATACACTTACAATCCCTCAAGTGTTGCTGTGGCCATGGTGGCATGAAAGTCAGTGTCGATCCTTGTCCCCACTGCGGTATTCCTCGTTGTCCAACCTGCCACACCCAACGCTTCAATATCCGGGGCTCTGACGAGTATCCAGAGCCCGAAGACGAGAACGAGATTCGAAATTGGTTTTGGCGCCTGGCGTTGGAGTCTTGTCTTGGTAGTCAAAAGTATGTCACTTTCTGGGGTTGGGGGTCGCTGGACGAAAACGGTACAGAACAACCACTTGTACTTGCAGATTTCGGTTATTAAAAAAGTTGAATTGGCCCGAGTTGGTGAAGACGACGTCGAGAAGAAAGTGAAGGTTGTGGTTGGGGCCATGCCCGGTGATGCGGTATGTCATTTTTAGTATGGTCTTGCACTGACTAGACTTGCTATATAGATATAGCCGCGCTCCTCCATATATCCCCCACGCCCTACTGCAGACGCCCCAGGGCCCCAGGATGATCGACAAGCCGGGGCAGTTCAAGTACGAATCCTCCCCTCCCCTGCAAGGCTGGGTGGCTGCCTTTTCCCAATGGCTCGGCGGTCTCAGTCCGATGCTTGGCGGCTTCAATATTCGGCCGACATCGATATCATAGCCGTGGATGAGAACCAACCGTTTATCAGATTCAACGAAGTGTATGACTTGAAGGTAGACGAGATACAGCTCTTCATGTCGTCAGATGTTTACCATACGCACTTTGGTAAACATCTCGTGCCGAGACTAAGAGAATTCTGCCAGGGAGCGGATGCGTTTCTCCACGACTTCGTGGCTGTGACTCCTCAAGAACTCCAGACGGAAATTGTGCCCCAAACAATTGCATGGGTATCGGACCGAAACTGGAATCCTCAAGAGCTGAACACTCCGCGTGACTACGAACAAGTGCTTTCCACTACCAGGTTGTATGAAGTGCTAAGGAACAAAGTACGTGAAATAGCCCCTCCCCAAGACGAGTTTGTTGCTATCAACCGGGACCTATCGTTGACCTAAGATTCGTGTTGAAGCGACTACCTGAGGATCGTCCTGTGGTCATTCCTCCAAGGCGAATGTACGTATCCTGATTCGATGTCTACGATTTGAACTGAAACTGACCTAGAATCTTGAGATATATTAATTATGCAGACGGACCTTCCATCCTGGCCTTGATTAAGACAGCCTCTTTATCACAAGCTCAGGGCTATCGGGAACTGTTCGCCAACTACATAACTCCGACGCCTAGAACGCGTATCACTCTCCGGGAATCTGTAAGTGACGATGTATTATTAGGTTCCTGAACTGAATTGTGACTGACATTTTATACTCCGCAAAGAACTGGTGGCGTGGATGTTTTATCCTTCTTGCTAATCTCCGGTACTTCGCTGTCAGCCAAAAAGACATTAAGGATGCTCGAACTATTGGGGGCACGCGACGACTTCGCCGCCGTGTCGATCTTTCCTTCTTAAACCCTCGGAATTTAACAAAAGAAGAGTGCGACGAAGAGCCAAACTTTCTAGGCCAAGCATTCCTCTATGAAGCTGCCTGTTCGTTCATGTCAACTGGAACGAGCGATTCATATTGGACGGCGGCTTGTCTCAATGAGGACCTTTTTGAAGACACTCCCAGGTTGGAGTTTGAGGAGGGCCTGGATATCGATGGGCTACTGGGAGACGAATTCGACCCGCTGATTCTCGAGCCATTAATGCAAACAACTCCCTCGCCAAGAACATACTTCCTCGTATTTTTGACAAAAATAGTTACCAGCATCGTGGGCCATCAGCAAGTGATTGAATGTTGGATCAGTGCTAGTCTAGCCCGCCATGTAAGTTGTCCCATCTTCTATTCCCTATCCACTGAGAGAGAAAGCACTTGGACCTTGTATGAATACTTTTCCTCGGGTGGGGATCACACGCTTGACTTGCCCGCTAATCGGTTTCTAGTCCCCAAATCGTGAGAAAGACTCACCCTATCATCTTTCCCCAGAGGAAGCAAAAGAATGGATAAAAATCTCCCTTGAGGTCCTGAGAACAGTCCTTGATGCTATTTCCCAACTGAGAAGGGAATTGGAAAGATTTCTCGAAGAAGAAGTTCAGTTCGGAACAAACAGAATCCCCAAGGGCCCGATGTTCGCATCGTTGAAGAAAGACAGACTGGCAATCATTACTTTAAAGAGTCTGCATAGTTTGCCACCCGAACTGCAGGCTGTTGAAGTTACGATGCAGGGCTACAGGAAGGATTTTGAGGAATTGAGAGACCAGGTAAGAGATGAGCTAATGTTCCGGGCTGTGACACACAGAAACCGATCAAGACATTCACTAACACCTGTATTCAGCTGCAGTATGAAACCGAAAATGAGCTTGGGGAGAAATTTGGAACCATGACACGGGTCTCGATTATCGGGTCGCTTGTAGCGCTTGTAAGCTCAGGTTTCGTTCTAGCTTGGTGGCACAGATATGCTAATATGCTAACGTATCCAAGTTCGTCACTATCCTCGGCGTGGTAGCCCAGCTCTATAGCAACACGGGCAAAACCATTATTCTAGGCATGATCCTCTCTGGAGCGTGTTTTGGCGTTGCTCTCATGGCGGCCGTGTTCAACGGATGGGGGCTCCCGAGTTTTCGGAAGCCGGCGTGGCGGGGGAAATCGGGATGAGTCTAAGCCCAATGGCGGGATAGCTTCAAGGCCAAGGCGACATTGACACCCAACTGGCGAAAAGTTTCACCGAGGGTGGTCACGAGAGGATGACGGCGTGTGACCCTCTGCATGACGAGGCAACCGCGTGCCAGCGAAGAGCGCTACGCATGCAACTCGACTTGACTCATGCAACAACATCCGCCCTACGTGAGAATTGGATGGGGGATGTGCATGGGAGATGCAACATGCAACATGGAGCGGGAACACGGGAACACGGGAACGGGATGGAATCATGGCAACACACATTGCACATTGAACATTGCACATTGCATATCGATAGTGCGACTGCCTGACTATCGGTCGAGAGAATCCGGCGTGCTTGGGCTTCGCCTTGTGATAGGAACATCACCAGCCAATCGCCCACGGCCGCCCTACCATGGCAGCCTGACACGGCCAATGACAACATCTGCCAGCGCATCCCGCAGCTCGGGCAACGCTCGATATCGCATGGTCACTCGCTCCCGCAAATCAAAGCCATGCGGCGAGATTATCAGGCTCTGGGCTCTGTGACGCATCGATAATGCATCGCCGATATCCTCTTGCTGCCCGACTCCAACCGCCTCGTCATCTCCGCTTCCCTTCTACTCATATTGAGTGGCCGCCCTCGAGACTCACATCGACGCCATCACGAGGCAACTGAATCTTGTCCTAGTTAAGTTTGTTTGTTTATCGACAACCACCTATCATCTATCATCCATCCTCATCGTGGCTATGGCGACGTGCACCGTCAACGGCCTCCAGGATTTGCTTGGGAAAGTAGGGCTGGACACTCCCGTACCGGAGTTCCCCGGCGGAGACATTGTGCATAATCCCCAGGACATATTCCGAGCCTATCTGGCCGATACACTGCAGAAACTGGTCGAGGTCGACAGGGTGGTCGCCTACGATGCCATCCAGCCCTCCAACATGACCGGAATGGGGGACCTTGTGATTGTCTCGCCGAGACTGAGGCTCAAGGATGTCAAGCCGAAGGATCTAGTCTCGGATCTCGCTCACAGAGTACGCTCGCCGAACTCGCACAGGAAGGTATCGTCAGCACTAACACGTGTCGTTTGCCATTAGCTGCCTCGATCGCCGCCCTTTGCATGCCCCATTCCAGACGGAATCCATTTGCGTGTCTTGTCGTCGCCTAACACGCTGTCGCGGCTTCTGCTGCCGTACGTCCATGACCGAAATACGTCATACGGGTACGATGACTCTGTTGGCTTGGTCGACGGGAATGCCCCGGGAGGTCCCAAGAAGAAGGTGATTGTGGAATTCTCGTCGCCCAACATGGCCAGCGAATTCCAAGTTTCACACCTGCGCAGCACCCTCATTGGCTCGTATGTTGCTAATATCCATGCCGGTATGGGGTGGGATGTCATCAAGATGAACTACCTTGGTGATTGGGGAAAGCAGATCGGCCTTCTCGCGGCCGGCTGGCAGAGGTTTGGATCCGAGGAAGAGTTTCAGAAAGCCCCGCTGCAGCATCTTCTTCAGGTGAATCACAAGATCGAGGAACTGTTCAAGCCGGAACAGGAGGAATGCAAGGTAGCCAAGGGCGAAGGAAAGGATGTTACCGAAATCGAGTCGCGTGGCTTGTACGCCGAGAGAGATGAGTTTTTCAAGAAGATGGAGGACAAGGAGCCCGAGGCCATTGCCCTTTGGCAGCGCTTCCGCGATGCGACAGTGGAGGATTACAAAGCGTCATATGGGCGGCTTGGTATTCAGTTCGATGAGTACTCCGGGGAGTCGCAGGCCAGCCCCGAGTCCGTCGAAGAAGTTGAAACGGCACTGAAAGAAAAGGGTGTCTACGAGGAGCACGAAGGCGCATGGACTATCGACTTTTCAAAGCATGACGCCAAAGGCCTTTCCACCGCCATAGTGCGATACCGGAACGGAACGACTTCCTATCTTCTGCGAGACCTCGCCGCTGTCTTGGACAGGTACAAGAAGCACTCATTCGACAAGATGATTTACGTCGTGGCGATGGAACAGGAAATGCACTTCCATCGACTCACCAAAACCCTCGAACTGATCGGCCGGAATGATGTGGCAGAAAAGATCCAGCATGTCGCCTTTGCCAAGATCACCGGTCTCCTAGACGAGTTCAAGGATGCCCAGTTGCTGAGCGACTACATTGATGGCTGTCGATCCGTCATGCAGGCTGAGATGGCAGAGGAAACGGAAGATGGAATCTTTGTGACCAAGACCGACAAATCACTCGAGTCCGTCGGGCTTTCTGGCCTCTTCATCCAGGACCTGAACCACAAGAGAACGACGGGTTATGCGTGCGACGCCAAGCGCATGACTGCCTTCGAAGGCGAGACTGGCGCAGCCATCCAAAACTGCTATGCACGACTCGTCACCACTCTTGAAGGAAAGACCGATGGAATTGACTATGACACTTTGGACTACTCTCAACTGGAGACGGAGGACTACTCCGAGGTTCTCCGCATCATGACGCAGTTTCCGGACACAACCTATGCATCGTTCAAGACGCTGGAGCCGACCACGGTTATCATTTACCTGGGGCGACTGGTTGATCAAATCATGATCACTCTCGATGACGATGACGAGCAGGACTGGACTGATCGAGAGGAGGCGACCAAAGCAAGGATGGCCTTGTATGAGAATGCTAGGCAGGTCCTGGAGAATGGGCTAAGAATGCTGGGTCTCTCTCCCTGGAGTGCGTAAACGCACAAATCAAGCGTTTTCACACTGATATCGATACAATTTTACGAACACGCAGCGATGATGCTTTATTTCTTAATCTTGGTTTGATCTAAGATTGTCTCCCGGTACTGGCCTGCGATTCTTCACGGCGGAGGGCAAGAATTGAAATTAACGGCTGGGGGCGTTTTGACCTTTTGGGGTGGAGGAGGGATGACGATGGTTTATTGAAGCTACCCAGAATAGCGTTGGAAAGGAAGAGAATTAAGTATTCTGGAAGAACGACAGATGGCCAACGAGCCTAAAACCCTGGCAAATTCTAGCTGCAGACACAAAGTGAGGAATACGGAGGAACAAAGATCATCCTTACTTTGGCAATGAGATATGAATCGGAGACTGAATGAGATATCCCATAAATTCACTAGTCGTACTTTGCATGCATGGAAACATAAGTGATACTGAACAGGTCTTCTGTCTGGGGGTTAGACTTTGTCTGCTGCAGCGGTGCTCGGAAGGTCGTGTAGAAACGTCATGCTACCAGAGAGGGATAAGCAAACAATACATTGACGTATAATTCGAACGCTGAAGATATCCGTAATCTAGGGAGAAGTATTCATAAACCTGTCTTAGGTACTTAAGTTGGTATAAACGTCGGTGCTGTGGGGCAAGTCGGCACTTCAAATAGCCAGGAGATGGTAGAACAGATGTTTAAAAGGATGATCATGGATGGTATGAGTAGCTAGAAAAGTAGAAAGGTTCCAACAAAAAACTAGATTAAGAAATCTTGAGGCTTCTCCGAAAATTATGTGCACAGTATTGACAGGTGTCATGCATATTAATGTTGCAGTTAGAATAGACGCAGGGCGGGCAGTGACGGTTTAGAGAGGTGCTGACGGAATCGGATCAATGGGTATTTAGGAAGCATTCGCTATGATGCACGAACCGTGCCGAACCGAGTCTTCTCTGGCATTAACCACTTACCTTTCTCCCTCTTATTGCAAATCCAGCACTGCTAGGTAATAAATACAGACCTACACATTGTGTCCTGCTAGAAACAGTCAGGAATCAGACGAGATGGCTTCAGCTGCCCCGCAGGATACCCCGCCATGGTGGACAGCGTTCCCCGAGGCACAGGCAACATGCCCCCGAGTGGAAGTTTCCGAGGTTGCGACTCTCCTCGAGGCCAATTCGGCGGCAGGCTCAGGTACAACGAGAGATTTCTTGCTGGTGGACGTCCGCCGGACGGACTGGGAGGGCGGCACTGTCGCCACCTCCATCAACCTCCCCGCTCATACCTTCTACCAGACTCGAGCCGTGATCTACCAGCTTTGCAAGCAGGCAGGCATTCGAAGAATCATTTTCTACTGCGGTGAGTGGTTGTTTGGCATTCGCAAACTTGGTGAGAGACTGCTGCTGACAATCCCCGTTGCAAACAGGAAGCTGTGGAAGCAGAGGCCCACGCTGTGCCGGGTGGATGCAAGACTACCTCAACGAGGTGGGGGAGACCGGCATCAAAGCCGAAATCCTTGCTGGGGGCATCAAGGGGTGGCAGAAGGCGTACGGGGGAAGATTGATGGACTCATACGACGAGAAAACCTGGGCAGAACAGGGCAAATAGGATTTGGTCGGGACCGGTCTGAGGGTATTCCCTTTCCTAGGTAGTATCTAGCAAGATAGACCTGAATGAATAGTCTCATGGACATGTCTCATTTCCGACCACAAACGCCAAGCAAGCATCTTAAACTTCCATCCTCCTCTCGTCCGTCCCATCGTCGTCGTTTATCGGTGGTGCGATCGGTCGTCGCCGCCGATTCGTTCCAGCGCCTCAAGCATGACCACGGAGTTGCCACGGATTACCTATCGCCAACATCAGTATCAGTACGGTACATCACATAGGGAAATAGGCGATCAAGGGAGACGCACGGCCATGCCGATTCGGACTTTCTCGCCGCCCTCCTTCTCCTCCACCGCTTCGTCCAGCACGAGGTTCAAGAACACCTGGTTCAGTCAGCCTAGCCCAGTAGAAAACAGGGCGCAATAATTCCATCGCTTACATCGTAGCCACGGAGGACGCCAATAACCTTGCGACTGCCGTTCAGTTGGACAAACAGTCGCTTGTCGAGGTACTAGGTAGAAAAGTTAGCATGTTGGTTTTGGTCGTCGGGTCGCAAGATTGGTTGTGGCGGGGGACTCCCCTGCCGCAGAGGCAGCGGAGGAACAAGTTAGGATCTGAACATGGAGGTTATCAATACCTTCTTTAACTCAGGTTGGGCGGGCGCCATCTTGAGTAGGTAGTCAATATGAATATCTTGGGCGCTGTCTGTTGCGACGCGATGGCGGAGCTTGAGCTTCTGCTTCGCATCCCCGTCAGAAAACTTTGGTCACGTGGTGATAAGATAACAATACTGCTGGTCAACAGCGCCTGGCGCAACTTTCAAGACTCGCAAGATTCAACCTCGAGCGCGCCGACTTGATAATTCTTTCGAAATGAGCTCTTTTGGGGCGAAGCGCAAAGCAAAGGTCATCAAGGTGGTGGATGACGATGAGCCTGGCGCAGAACCAGCTACCGCCAGCATCGGCGACGCGACGAAAGCTGGTGAGCATTCCTTGATTCCTCTTCGTGATTATTGCTGATGCAGATCAAGGCTGACTTTACGAATGATAGAATCTCCGAAGCCAGTTTTCGAATCTAAATCCGGACGAAAACCTTTCCGACAATCAGGCCTACGGAAGAGTTTCAACCCAGCCGATAGCGGCAGCCTTGGAGAGGCGATACCAGTCGACAATGGCGACGATGACGATGACGGCCCCGTCGTGGTTCGACCAGCGATCAGCCGGTCCAGTTCCCTGAAAAACAAGAAGCGCCCTAATAAGTCTTCGCGCCTCTCGTTTGGTGGAGACGATGCGACCGCGGGCGAGGAGGAGAATACCGAAGTGTTTACGCCGAAGAAGGTACCACTGGGTCAGCGAGCTCTGGAGAATAGCGCCATCAAGAGGGGGATATCGTCAAGGGGGCTTCCGATGCGATCGCTGGGCGACGATGAAGACCGGCCTAAATACAGCAAGGAGTACCTCGACGAACTTCAGTCTTCAACGCCCAATACCCCGCAGAAAGTCTCCACGATATCTCCTGACGAAGTCGACGCGATGGATCTCGATATTTCCGAACTCGACGGTGCCCTTGTCGTCGATTCTGCCGATCTAGGCACCTCGAAGTTTAGCACCACAATTCTCACCGACGCCGAGATCCGCGAGAAAAAGGAGCGCCGAGCCCGGTTAGCAAAGGAACAGGACTTCCTATCCCTCGACGACGATGAAGACAGTTTCGGTCGCAAGAAGAAGGATGATACCCGGTTGATTGCGGAGGATGAGGAACTAGGAGAAGGCTTTGATACTTATGTCGAGGATGGCGGATTGTCTCTTGGCAAGCGGGCTGAAAAAGAACGGCGCAAACAGGACCGACGACAAATGGCCGAGCTCATCACGGCAGCCGAGGGGCACACATCCGACTCGTCCTCTGACAGTGATGCTGAGCGGCGAATCGCGTACGAAGCTGCACAGACCCGTGCGGGCATGGATGGCTTGAAGAAGCCTCGAAAGGATCCGGGTCAGGATTTACTGCAGGTGCCACCAAAGATCTCACCTCTACCTAGCTTAACGGAATGCCTTTCCCGACTACAAACCACTCTCAAAGGAATGGAAGCGGACATGACGGGAAAACAGGCCCGAGTCGAGAAACTAAAGAAAGAGCGGGAGGAGATCGTGAAGAGGGAAGAGGAAGTTCAGGCTTTGCTTGACGAAACGGGTCGGAAATACAAAGAAGCAATGGAGTCTACCAAAATTGGGGACTCGGCTGTGCCGAACACCGCACCAGCTGAGTTGGCTGGAGCAAGAGGGTTAGAAAGTCTCGGGACTCCGTCAAGGAAACCAGAGGACGATGATGAAGTATCATAGCCTCGTGGGAAATGGCTTGACCGGACAAGTCATCAATATCACAAATTATGCATCGCTGTATCAGCGATGGGTCCCGCCACGAAACATCCCATCACATGTGCTGCACCGCTCCTCCCATGTAATACTACAGCTCCATTTCCCGATAGCCCTTCACAGGGCGTGACTATTGGCGCACTTGGGGACCTAGAGATTGGATAATTGAGAATGCGGAGAGCAAAGAGTTACAAGGGTTTGTGCGATGGTCCGTTACATACTTAGACAGCGAGATGGATAGTGAGGTACTCCTGCGATGGTTGGACCCAGGTAGGCCAAAGGCAGACTGATCCGAGGATATGTGAAAACATTAGTTGTCTCCTGCCTACGGGCAAGCTCGAGCTAAGAAGTATATACCACTCGCTATATGTGTGTCTATTTGTACAATCATAATGGCAATTTAAAGATTATGCGTGAGCAGTTTCATAACGTGCGTTTCGTGATCTTCACCCAAAAGTCCGAGGCAAACAAGAAGACAGAAGTCTGTGTCTTGATGGGCTGCTCGGCATTTAGAACTGCAAAGTCATATCGTTTCATCAACTGCCTCGAATTAGTTTGGGTCCTTGTCATCAACTCTTGGGGACTTTCTTTACCTCATAAACTGCTTTGTGAATCTCCATTAGAGCGATTGGCTTTCCGAGGCACGAGCATTTTCCATGGCCGAAATGCGTGTCTAGCGCGTCGACCATACGCTTCAGCTCGTCTCCTTTGGCAACCAGCCACCTCTCTGGCCGGAACACGTCAGCATCCTCGCCCCAGACGAGCCTTGAGCGTCCAACCGCGTAAAAACCCTGCCCAATCTGCGTGCCGCCCGGCACGAAGTAGCCGTTGATGGTGTCGCCCTCAGGGGGCACTTGCTTGAAGCCCAGACCGCCGACTGGCGGCCACATGCGCAGACCCTCACGGACGACGGCTTGGAGGTACGGCAGGGTCTGAGTCTCGTTCCAGGAAATCGGGGTGCTGAGAGAGGCGGCGACACTGCGGATCTCGGCAACCAGGCAGGTGTAGGCCGTGGGGTTGGTAATTAGGGACAGGATGATCATGCGGAGGACGTGGGCGGAAGAGTTGGAGCCGGCGATGCTACGGGTTGTCAGAACTATGTGAAGCCGCCATAGTATAGTACCCGTGACTTACATGGAAATGAAAACTTGCTGAATGAGCTCTTCTTTGGTCATGCCGTTATTAATGTGCGCCTGCATCATGTCTTTGACGGGCGGAGTAGTTGTAGCCAGTCGCCTCTCGACAAAATCCCTCGCGAATCTAAACACAATATGTCAGCGGCCTGTACAAGAGCATTCCAATGCAATGCTTGACTCACCCCATGAGCCGCCCGAAGCCGACCTGGTCCCCCTCTCGCGGCAACAGTAAACAAAGCGGCCACTGGTGGACAATATGTGTCAGCCAGGGCAGGACGGAGACGACGTTCATGACGGGGAGCGAGCTGGCGTTGATCTCGTTGTAGTTGTAAAGGTCCTCGTCACGCGCGAGGTAGCCGAAGGGCTCGCCAAGAGAAACATCGCCAATGGCGTCGAGGGCAAAGAACTGTGTCTTCTCGGCCAGATCTACTGGACGCGTGGTGGTGTCGGTGGAGATGTACTTGCGATCAAGAAGAGCCATGAAGTTGAGAAGCTGACGGTCCATGCCGGCCTCGAATCCGAATCCTTCATTTTCCTTGCCCGAGTACTATGGATGTGTTAGTTGTATGACCATGTGGACGAGGATTGGCGCTCAATGACTTACCACGGGAGCCATCTTGGCCCTCATGACCTTGTGCTTGGCTTCGTCTCTCATTGAGACCACATTGTCAACACCGGGCACGATCCTGCCGCTGGAGTAGAAATCGCCCTTAGTATACCTGCTGCGGACCGCAGACATGTTTCGCAGGACGACTGGGTCAGTGGAGAGCAACTCGTTGGGTCCAATACGTATCAGCGGGCCTAAGCCGTGTTAGTATCGCACAATGGCGTCAAGTAGGGCCTACGGGGTGTCTTACCGTGTAAATCGGCTTGTTCCTTCAGACGCTCATGATAACGACCGCTGAGGGCGGATCTGAGCTGCCACCAAGTCGACCATCCGGCGATTCTGGGGCCGGGGATGTGTCGCAGTCTCGACCAACGGCGCACTCTGCGCGTGAGGACGGCGGCGATGAGGCCGAGAACTGCGCCGACTACGAGACTGGACGACGAGGACGCGGAGCCGAGATGCACCAACAGGCCCATGGTGAACGGTCCAGTCGAAGAGGCAACGAATAGACCTAAATAAGGCTGGGAGAGATATTCACAAGAAGGAAAGGGAACAGCGCCCCAAAAACATGCTCCCAGCCATGTGGGGGAAACGACATTAAGTGGCCTTCCTTATTAGTCCTCCACAGTGAGTCGCAGAAACCCAGACTTCCAGGTCGAGCTACTAGGATCGACGCGCAGCGGCATGGCTTGACGCCAAAGCCCCATGATTAAAGCGCAGACTGCCCAAGGACAAAGAGCCTGGAACCAACAAACGGGCTCATTAGAGGCTAGCGTATCTCATCCCGACGATGTGCTGGGGGTCACCCGGCGACCAACATGCATCAGGATGAAGGCCTAGAAGGCATGCTCACCACCTTGGAGAGTCTGGATTCTCCAACGGGATGGATCGATGGACGGATGGATTGATCTCGGAACGGGCCCTAGCGCAGCGCGTGGGCGACATGTTCGCACGTCTTTAGCACCAAGTTTCCGCAAATGCAGCTCCCCAATATCTCGGCGCGGGTTGGTCGAGGAGCGTGGCTCGCATATGTAGGCTCTGAGCGGGCAAGGGTCGTTCCGGTGCTAACAGAGCCATCTGCACGGCGTGGGATGTTGCTCGCAGGTGTCGTCGGTCTCGTACAAAAGTAGCGTGTACATCCGAGTGTGGGAAGGCCATCAATCCCGGGGTTCTAGGCGTGGCCGCTGAATTGAATTAATTTGTTGGTGGCGTTCGGGAGGAGCAGAGATCGACCCCTCATCAATAATGCCTGATTCCACGTCTCCAACCTCCAACGGCGGCCGAGACGAATCGTAATCCATCTTGTACCCCACGGTCCCTTATCTGCGCAATATCACAGCTATGTACAGGTATTTTGTCATTCACATGTCCTTCTTGCTCTGCGCCTGGCTGTACAGCAAACCATCCGTGATGCTTCCAAACATCCATGCCCACATGTCGATCACCAGGTTGGTACGACCGTACCAAACGCCCTTGCCCGTCACCTTGGGTATCCTGTCGGCAGCCTTGACAAAGTAATTGCTGGTTGCGTCGACGGCCAACCGCTTCGGCTTGCCCTCCTTGTTCTCCATCACCGGCATTACGCTCGTCGAGCCCGTGCTCTCCATGTGCTTCATAACCCGCACCACCGTCTTGGTCATGATATCTGCGCCGGGAGTCCACGACTGCGTTACGTAGCCCATGACAAAGGCCATGTTAGGCAGGGACTCGATCATGCATCCGCGCCAGGTGTAGTGCGAGCCCGCGTCGATGGGTTGACCGTCGACCAGGGGCGTGACTCCGCCGAAGAGCTGGAAGTAGAGGCCGGTAGCAGTGACGATGATGTCGGCGGTGAGCTCGCGCCCAGATTTGAGCTGGACCCCATCCTTGGTCACCGTGTCAATCACATCCGTCACAATCTCAACGTTGTCTTGATGCAACGCCTTGAAAAAATCTCCATTGGGGCACATGCATAGGCGCTGCTGAAAGGGATTGTACTTTGGGTTGAAGTGAACGTCGACATCCAAGTCCTTGGGGACGGCTTCCTTGGTCATCTTGGTGATGAAGTATCTCCCCACGTCTGGGAATGCGAGCAGGAACTGCGTCATGAACACCTCGTATATCGTATCCTTCCACCAGGCGAACCAATGGACCCAAGCCAGCGGGAGGAACATGCGTAAGAAGTCGTCAATTCCCGACGAGGTAACTCGCGACACGACAAACGACGGGCTGCGCTGGAGCATCGTCACCATGCCCGCCTTCTCAGCCAGCGATGGCACTATGGTGACGGCCGTGGCGCCGGAGCCGACGATGATCATTCGTTTGTTGGTGTAATCGAGATTCTCAGGCCACCATTGGGGGTGGATAATCTCGCCCTGGAAGCTGTCCAGTCCGGGAATGACGGTGGGGAATGCCTTGTCGTAAGAGTAGTACCCCAAGCAATTAATGACGAAGTTTGCAGTGATAAGCTTGCGCTCGCCATCGGCTTCCACGTCCAGTCGCCATTGTTGCTCATCCGTCCGCCACTCGCACCCGACCATCTTGTGGTTGAATCGAATCGTGCTTCTCAGCCCCGCCGCATCGACTGCCTCCTCCAGGTACTCGACGATCTCGGTGGCCGAGGCCATCTTGTGCCTGTGCTTCCAGACGTGCCATTTGAAGCCGAACGAGGTCATGAACGAGTCGGATCGGAAGCCCGGGTATCGGAAGAAGCTCCATGTTCCACCGAGAATGGGTCGAGCTTCGAGGACGGCAAATTGGCGGTGGGGGAGGGACTCGCGGAGGACGTGCGCCGCGTTGATGCCCGAGATGCCTGCTCCCAGGACAAGAATGTCGTGGTGCTCGGCGGGTTCGCTCGTATCAATGGCGCTTGGGGACATGGTTGGCAAGCGAGTGGTCGGATTGAAGGGACAATTGGAGGTGAAAAGCTCAAGAGCACAGCTATCAACTACATTTTCGTACGATGTCTCCAGCCAGGACCCCTTGATCGGTCCCACAAATCTTCCCAACAGGCCAACCCCACCATATTTGGCCCATGTTTCCCTCAACGAGAGCAATCCCATGTGCAAGTAAGACTCTGGGGGGTCGTTTTGAAAGCATCCTCAGTTTTGATGGGCGTGGATCTACTCGTTGTAGGACAAAAAAGTTGTGTTATACGGACAGTTGTATTCCCAGGCAATGTCAAATTCGGATTGAGCCCCTGTGGAGCCTAGGGTTCCAAGTGCCGAGTGATCGGGTTAGTGGGTACCTAGGTTCGGTGGTACCCCTGGCGATAAAGCTTAGGTAGGATTTGCCTCGCCCCTACGAGCTTCCGGCAAATAATATCATTGATCGTCTTACACTCGGGACTTCATCCTCGGCGATTATGCCCCAAACTGGTGCAGATGAGGGCACCTCCACTCCGATGAGTCCTATTCGGCTAACGCTCCTGACCTTATAAAGTGGTTCCCCATGTCCACAATCTCCAATGAATCTGACGTCCTCCAAGTATAACCACGTGTACTGTTCCTCTGCAGAAGATGGGGTATTTACTTATGAGCGGTCTCTATTAAATTAATACGGTCATGCGTTAAAGTCTTCCACTTTTGGGGATTAAATGAATATTTCAGCCCGACAAAAGTAATTGACATTGTGTGCGTTGGGTACAGACTCCTAACAGCGCCGTACTAACTGAGTTCGAAGCGAACCTGCCAGTTTCTATTTTTGGAAATGAACACAAACTGGAGATCCGAAGATAAAACAAAACATTCGAAAAAAATTGTTGATCCAGGGATGTTAAATATCAGATAAATTGGAGTTAGGAACCCAATTCGTCTCGTGGACAAAGGCTTCCATTAGACTAAAGCCAGCATGCGACAGCAAGAAGGATACTTCGCGGTTCGCTAGGCATCGCTTGAGAGAAGGGATTCTGACAACGGTTGGAACCACGCTCGCGCATACTACCCAGAGGATTTAGCAGAGAATTCGAAATTGACTTCTAGCCTTGTATTCCATGCTACGGGAATGCACCATTCAGACCGAATCATCTCTTCGGCACGGTGTGTTGTGCCACAGCTAATAGAGTACTGCACCAGGTTGTCAATCGCTGGTATTGAATCAAGGCCTGAGTGGAGGACCAACACAGCCCTACAAACGCCACGAACGGCTTACCAAGGTCCGAATCAATAGCGCCCCCGATCTCTCAGCGCCTCGATCAAGACTGTACCAATCCCACCAAGGGCGGAGCGTCTTTTCCGGAGCGCTTACGCTGGGGCAGGAACGCCAGCTGGATTTGGAAGACGATGATTCTAGCGTGTGCACTATTGCCTTCTTTCCACCAACAGTGTGGCATCCTAACTCATTTGAGCCTGCTAACAATACACCCGACTAAGATAGACGATCGAAATTTAATGAAAAGGAGATGATACAAAGAGGATGAGTTCCGCCACCGGCGTTGTTCATCTATTCGTGATCATGCGCCACGCTTCCGTTGCAAGCCAATTCCCAACATGAAGCTATCCGCTCTCTTCTTACTGCCGGCTGTCTGCATCTCCGCCGTTGCGGGAGAGGGCTTTCTCGACAGACGCGCCGGTCGGTGTCAACCAAATGACATTTGCCAGAACGGTGTCGGCAACAGCGTCGACGTCGATCCTCCGTTAAGCAGTCGCCTAGCCGACTGCAAGGCCTTCAACACCATCACCGTCAGTCCTTACACAGTGTGAGTGGCATATTTCAACAGGCATTGGGCAAGCGAGGATTCTCTAACGCATTTCTAGGACTACAACTGTGGGTACTGGCTTCATCGCCGTTCGAATTCCCACGGGTCTACCCGTGAAGAGAGAGCCGCCCAATGCCAATGTCGTTGGCCGCGCTGAGCTCACACCCGGTGCCACTGCTACCACTATCACCCCGACCATGGTCCCGTCGTACGCCACGTATTGCGCGTCGGCAGCTGCATACTTCAGCGCCTGTTCGCGCGCCGGTATCACTGCAGTTACGACGACTCTGGAGACGCCGACGTCGACTGTGACAACAACCAGCGATGACTGCCCTATGAGACGTATGGTGAAGAGATCAGGCGAGGCCCTGGGCTACGAGTTTGAGGATGGTTGGGACCGTAACATTATGCCTGGAATTAGGATATACTAGTTGTATGAATTAGAGACTCGCTCAATTTATACTGAATATTATGAGACTGCCACGTCACGGCTACAGTGTGATTTGGGTAAACACATTAAGCTCGCCTTTTTTTTTTTTTACGAAGAGAAATCGCAGCGAGGGCTGTCCTTAATATCCAGCTAGGCTTAGCCGAGCTTTTAGGCTTGCATAATAACCTGAGACACCCTCAGCTAAACTTATAAATCCTTATTCTGGCGCCTGGAACCTAAAACCCGCCCATTACACCCATCAGCACCAGGCCTGTGACTTGATATCCGTGCTATTACAATCACTACGTGACTATTTACCCTGTTTATTGTGACAAAAACTAGTAATATCTATTACAGTCCCCATTAATCCCTGACTATAGCCGTAATGATAACCTGGATATGGGGCTGTGTCAAGTCTCTTGACATTAACTAGGTAGTTTTGGAGAGGGAAGGAGTCATTAGCACTACTCCTATTCACCGACAAGTACGCATGCAAGCTCCCGATGTCATAAGAAACTCTCCGTGAATCACGTCACCAACTCGACGACCAACTGCGCTACAGAGGCCGTAACGCCACCAACTCAATAATTTATTTCCGCTTCTTCACATCGCGTCGACGTTTTCCCTTCCCTACATATCGAAGTTCCCGACTCGGCCAACACATTCACCTCTGGTCCGCACAACCACGATCAGTCTGTGCGGTATTGGACAATTCACTATCTCAAAGATACTTTCTAGCGAGACGACCATACTATTTCACGCACCATGTCTTGCGAGAGCCTCGAACTCCAGGACCATGTGTCTCTCCTCTCACATCGACCACACATCCTCCTCAGCGCAATGATTACGATCCCAAATCCACCAGCATCTCTCGATACTGAAATCGACACTCAAGGCTCATCACTTGGGGAACTTGACATATTACCTACCGAGGTCTTATTCTTCGTCCTACAAGCACTCGATTTGAAGTCCATCTCCCGAGTTTCTCGCGTTTCCCGTCGGGGCACTGTGATCGTCAAGTCTCTTGCCGCATATCGAAATTTACTCGACAAGGCGCCGGAAGCATTAGCAGCCCTCAGCCAGACAAAGCTCTTGGGCGTCCATTCCGTCTCTCAGCTTCATGATACCCTCCGGGCTGATCGCTGTGCGACTTGTTCAGAGTACGGCACTTACCTTTTTCTTCCGACATGCGAGAGGTGTTGTTGGGAGTGCCTGTGCATCAATCCGGCATGGAGAGTGATTTCTCCTGGGCAGGCTGCAAGATACTTCGGTCTCTCCAAAAAAACACCCTCCGACAGCTACCAGTGATGCATACCATCCCCGGCCGTTACGGAATTTTTGAGGAGATCTCACGAATATCTCACAAGCTTGTGAGTGCGAGAATGGCAAGGGACCTGGGGGTTTTGAAACACGGTTCTGCAGAAGAGATGGCAAAAGCTGTGAATCCGCACAAAACTGGACTGGCCCTGGTCACAGTAAGATTCCTCCAACGCTCGACAACAGGTGCTCCCCGCCAGGACCCTTTGACTGTGCCAGATCAGGGGAACGTCCCCAACGACTACTTCTTCGGCATGGCAACTATTCATTTCCCCTCCATTCCAGCACCAGAGATTATTGAGAATGGACTTTGGTGCAGGGGATGCGAACTCACGCTCAAAGAATACACAGACACCTATTCGGCGACGAGAGCCATGTTGAGGAGAGTGCCTCGACCCTGTCCTCCTTGAGGAATATTGTTTGGAATGGCTAAAAGGGCAAGGTCCAGGGTGGACTTTTTGGAACATTTGGAGCAGTGCTGCTGTGCACAGAAGTTGATACGGATGAGGGAAACTAGTTGAAGGGAAACTGCCAAGTCACATTGATCCAGTTGGCTCGACTCTTCTCGGGGTTTAAAGATACAATACTCAACAGAAATCAAGGTTGACCTACGATACATCAGTACTCCATAACTATGGCCTGGGTTTAGACGGATCCTAGATTGACTATATATGTTCTGCTGGTTGAAGCCAGACTACGCTTCCAATAGGCTTCCAATAGGCCCTCGAGGTCCCTGAGCCTCTGCTGAAGGCTGAAGTGACCCTTCCGGTTACTGGTGTAGAGGTCGGGCCCCGGCCATTCATTCGTCCAGTTGTGATTCAGTGCCGTCTGGTCGTGTGGTTGTGTGCCGGGGTCCTAACTCCGCTGCGATACCAATTCTCACCACAAACTCACCACGAACTCACCTTCGGTTTGCGCCCTTGCGCCTGCGTTTTGATCCCAGGCCCGCTTAGGCTGCCTTCAAAGCCGTATTTGAAGCTTAAATTTCTACCTTTTGTCCTCTCCCATCTTCCTTCCTCTCTCATCTTCCTTCCTATCTCCTCTTCCTTCATCATCACCACCACTGCCGCCCCCGCCACGGCCGCTCTGTACATCGCCATCTGGTTGACACCCACCGCGTCCAACTTGACCAAAAATGTCGGTTCCCTTTCTTGGTATTACTGTGGCAATTGGGTACTGACATGAAGTGACCTAGTTTCGCCTCCATTCCTCTTTTCGACCAACGCCTCTTTTCGACCAACACTCAACATGTGCACCCAAATCTACCATAAATACCAGTGTGGCTGCAAGGACAAAGGCGAATGGAAGCAATGTGACAGATTGTTCGACCTTGGTTCAAATGTGCGATGTGGTACGACTGTCCCTCAAATCATGCACTCCCGCAACTACTGTTTCGACCATTCGCCAAGAGAGGACAAAGCGACAATTGAATACAGGGGTCGTCATCAGCGCAATGATTAGCACAATGAATAGGTGGTGCAGGCACGATAGTCTCAAGTAGTACCGTCCGTATCGACTCAGTCAATTAACCCTGAATCCTTCCCCCACTTATTTCCTTCCAGTTCTTTTATACCTAATGATTTAGGAAATCTAAGCCTTATAACTTATAATTTAGCTTTAGTCCATAAAAATAAGGACAATCTATCGAGTCGATACGGTATAACCATTTATGGTCAATCTGGAGTCTGTTTTCACAGTCACGTCTCGCTTCGGACGTCATCAGAATCATCAGGAACCCACCCGTCTTTGACTGGTAGACTTACCAAGTCCTTTTGTTCACTTGTAATGGGAAAGGCGCGACCAAGGCCCAAATAAGCTGTAGCGTCTCATGCTTGCCGAGGGATAACCTGCCAGGATCGCCGGCTGATTCCCGTCTAGGACAGGGATGGAGATATAGAGCGGAGCAGCATCCCCGCGAGCATTTGTCAGCTATGCACTCGCACACGGATTAACATCCGCGATTTCAAGCGTACAGGATTGTTTTCACCGACGTCACAATTATAATAAATTATTCTGAAATAACCATCATAAGTACTCCCACCTAACCCCTAGTACTTAGTCTTAAGGACCATTCTGTGGACTTATGGAACGTCCTTCAAGCAGCCAATTCTGGGCCACAGACTAGATGGGCTAAGGAACGGGGTCTAAGTCAGGCCAGTCAATCCCCATTAGACTACCACAATCGCTTAATGCGGAGGGTCCAAATAGTTCAAATGATTGGCCCACCCTGGGAGATCTGTCCGAGAATTATCGAGCGCAGGATGACTGGGCCGATGTAAAAAGAAGTCCCCACCGATCCTACCCCTCAAGATCTCGACATCCCCAAGCTCGTGTTGTTGTTTCAAATCCAACAATAACTTCCCCAACACGCAAACATGTCTTCAGATCAGATCGTCCTTTTCGACATTCCCAGCAAACCCCCACAGGCGGCGTGGTCTTTGAACCCTTGGAAGAGTATGACATTATCGCTCCACAGAAATCAGAGTTCCGTGAGTCACTAACCTCAAATAGCCCGGCTCCTCCTCAGCTTCAAGGGGCTTGATTACAAGACAGAATGGGTAAATACAACCGCTTTATAGATCTTGACGGCTTTGTTAATTGTGCAGCTTGAATACCCCGACATCAAGCCCACGCTGGAGCCCCAGTAAGTTGAGATGTCCAAAATAAGCACTTACATGTGTTGCAGTGACGCTAATGATCTGTTTCGTCATCAGCGTCCCTGCCAATCCAGCAACAGGAACATGGACTATTCCAACTGTCAGATTCCTCGACGGCACGTACCTGATGGATTCCCGCAAGATCGTCCAGCGGATTGAAGAATTACACCCCGAGCCGTCCATTCACCTGGATTCCCCAACCCTGGCCAAGCTAGAGACCATCATGCCCCGCCTTATGGAGGCACTCCGCGGAATTTACTTCCTCTCAGTCCCCAGAGAGCTTCTCAGCGAAAGAGGTATTGAGTACTGGTACAGCACGCGTCCACAAATGGCGGGTATGCCCCTGGAGCAGTTGGAAAAGGAACGCGGCGGTCAATTCGCTTGGGATGCTGGTCAGCCAATCCTCCGTGAGGTCGAAGCTCTCCTCAACGAGAACAAGGAGGGACCATTTTTCCTCGGCAAAACGGTCAGCTACGCGGACTTTGTGTGGGTTGGGTTCCTTATCTTCATGCAGCGCATCGGTGCTATCGATGAGATTTACAAGATTGCTGGAGACTTCCAGCTTCATAAGGACATCCTGGAGGCATCAGCGCCATGGCACAAGCGAAACGATTATTAAGTAAGCCTATGAAGCATACAATAGCTTCAAGTAGAGCATGATAATTCAACTATACGTTGGTAACTACCAAAATTAAATCATCTGAATTGACGGAACAATAAAAATCGATCAACGATACTCTCCCCCAGTCTCTCAAGTCAGATTTCAGACCAAGCTCGTGCCTCCCTCCTCATCATCCGAGCTGGGCAGTGCAAGGCCATCAGTCTTCGATGTATTGGAAAAACCGAGCCCAGCGTCGAACTGTTCGACCAACTCCTCAATCTCGGATGACTCGCTTCCTCCAGCTTCTACCTCACAGTCCGATTCCGGGTGTGACACAAATGTGTACGTATTCGAATCATGCGATTTCCCAATTGGCGATTTTTCCTCCAAGATCGAAAAGGCATCATTCCGAATCGCATTGATCATCGAATTGAAAATGGTCTGTCGTCCTCGCATGCCCGCGTCCCCCTGGACCGTGGTCAAGTCGGGGAACCTCCAGCTCGTGTACACGTTTCCGTGAGCAGGGCGCACCTTTATTGGGCTCGGGTGAGCTTCGAAGTAGTAGTGGCATAGTTTGCATGGTCCCTTGCTGGTCCCGATGTACCTCCATTTCTGGAAGAAGATCGGCTCGATATACTTGACCAGAATCCAGTTGAGGAGCAAGACTTCGCAATGCACGATTGGTCTGAATCTTCTTTTCTGACACTGCTCTGCAATTCGATCATTTAACTGGTACGGCTCTGCCTCGAGGTTCCGAGAGAGCCCCCGATACTTCTGAATTGTTCGAATGTCGGAAGACATGCGTCCGATTATGCTTTGCGCGTCCTCGCTCTTCTTACCCAACGGGTTAACGTCTGGACGGCTGGAAATAACTGCCTTGACCTCTATCTCCTGGAACAACTCTGGCCATTTGGCCTCTGTGGCAACGAAGATTGCCACAGTTTTCTCGTAGGCAAGTAGGCGGGTCAGGTTGTGTCGCAACTCCGCCCAGCAGAACATGGTCCTATGGTCAGGTAGGCGACCTTCGGTTGCTCGCTCGTCAATGAAGTTTTTCATGGGAGCCTTTCGAAAATCGTTGATTCCTCGGAGGCAGCGCAGGGAAGAGTCAAGGTCTGTGCATTTTATTTTAGTTGCGTTTGATGTTACTCGGGTTGGCTCAGCATACATTCAGCTTCAATGGTCTTCTTGCCTATGCCGTCGCCAATAGACCTGTGTAGCTCTTTCAAGCTTCTCTCAATTTGTGAGACTATGACGAGCATTAGTTTGCTTAGAATGGGTGGTCTATTCCTGGGTCTCGCTTACTGTCATCGTATTCAATGTGATTGCATGATTTGATGCAATTCTCCAGCTCTTGCAGCACACTTCTCATGTAGCACTCAACCCTTGGTCGATTGAACGCCAGAATCAAATCCCGGATGTCCTCCCCAACTCCAATTGTCTCAGCCGGCTCCAGGTTGCTGAAACCCTCTACCTTTTTGAGCAGCTCAAGCACGAAATTCTTCGTTTTCTCAAGCCCAGACGTTGAGATTTGGTTGCAAGCGAAGACGTAAGTGAGAACATCCTCCTCCTGGTCCAGAACGGTAACAGCCGTGACCGTTGAGCCACTCTTTTCCCGATCGCAAACGAGAGCGAGTTTGTCGAGAAACAATTGAAACTTCTCTTCGTCCGTCTTGGGGGTTGGGGAACGGTCTGGCAATCGAATCCTACCCCACGTACGTGAGATGTCGTTGAGGGCTTTGAAGAGAACGACGGGTTCATAGAAGCGACGGAGCTGTTTAGGCTTGAATAGAACCAGATCTGATTTACCATGCTGGGGCGAGGTGGGAGGTGTCAGGTCCATTGCATCAATTGATTGAGTAAGCAAGTATGATCTCGGGGAACAAAATGTCTTGAGGCAGATGGGTAGATGTGTTCTCAGAGCGCTGGGAGGCAAAGTTGGTTGAGTGGCTCTAATTACTCCTTTCTTTCCCCAGCCTTCTTTATATATATCCCAGCTCCTTCATACTCTTCAAACGAGACGTTTTCTCATCCACGCCATCGGCCAAGGACCGGTTCGCGCAATGCCGAAACCCCCACAAGAGGCCCGTCAGGAGGCTCAGAGGCTCGGAGGCCCATCACCACGAGCGGGGCATCACACCAACAAACCCCCCGAGAACCCAACCGACGGCCTCAACGTGTCTCTCTGTTTCTGAATCAGGGTTAGCTCAATGCCTAATGTTTCAATGTCACGAATCAGGCATCCAACCAGTCGCCGTGTTCTCACCGGCTGTGGCCTCAGGCCAGGTCGCGGCCGCAAAGGCAACGAGGCAGAGCGGCGGGTAAGCCTGAAGTCATCACCAACCAACGCCAAGGCGTCGTACGCAATTGAGCAACGATATCCACCCAAGTTTCTTGAATGTTCTATTCGTTCTCAGTGCTACCCTTTCTTATCTCACGCCGGCTGGAATTTACAATTCCAATTCCAGACGAGGGCCTCTTGCGGCCTCCGGACGGCCTCTCTGCGCCACCGGAGATACAGAAGCGCTATAAAGGAGAGGAGCTTTCTCTAAAAGACGAACTTGCTATATCTCACCTTCACTCACATCAAGACTGAGTTTCCAAGACTTTTCTCATCTTCCTCTATCCAGCCAAAGTCGAGAAAATCCGTGCTGTTATTTGGTGCGCCAACCGAGCCAATCCAGTATGTTACCAGGATCTTGGGCCAACCATCTGGTGAAAAGAAGACAAGCCTTTGCTAATACAGATCTCTCCTCAGTCTCATCAAGATTTCCTCCAGCTTTTTTTGTAAATATCGCCTTGGAATGCATCTACGACCCTCTCTTGCTGACAAGGACGACGCAGTTCGTAGTAACTCACGAACGACAATATTTGTAACCATGGGGAAGAAGGACGGCAAATCCGACAAGCGCAAACGGTCTGGAAAGTCCCGCCAGACTCGCGACGACGACATACCCATCGACCCTAACCTCCTTGAGTACCAGGGAGAGACGCCGTACCCAAACACCTACTACACGGCTGAGCCAGGGCCGTCTGGCCAGGATGATCCAAGTCAAGACCAGTAGCGACGAGACCGCCGGTTCATGACCCCCGACCCAAGCACATTTGTGGCCGGGACCAGCCAAGAGCAGCAGGACATCCGTGATTATTACAACAGCCTCTCAGACCAGCCAGCCACCGTTGACCCATCGACTCTCTTTCATAACCCTGGGCCAAGCTCTGCTGCCCAAAACTTCACCAATTATGGTTCTCCAGATCCTTATTATGGTGCGTTTTCTCCCTTCTTCACACTTTCAACAATTAAAACATTAACGCCATGACCTCATATCAGACCAAGCCCAGCCATCTGCGTCTTCAGCCGCGCCCAATCGACTAGAGTGCAAGAGAGAAGATTGTAACCAATCCTTTGAGAGACCAACTGAACTCAAGTGCGTTTACTCACCGCGATTTCCTCTAGCCGAGGTCATGAGCATTGCCAGTAGCTAACCGAGTTCTAACCCCAGCAAGCATATGAAGACCCATGACAGACCTGTCAAGTGTGAGGCGGATCCAACCTGCCAGGAACGACGAGCTGAGCAACGGGACATGGACCGACACTACAGCAGCGCTCACAAATCGTACGCCAGACTCATGGGGATCCCCGATGACGATTACGTCTGTACGGTGTGTAGTACGACGTTCACGCGCCCTGACAACCTCCTAAAGCATATGAGGAACCTGCACGGCTATACGTAGTTGCTCGGCTGACTCGGGCGCCTCAGTCCCAGGGGGTTCCTAGCCTTGTTCATTATGACGTCGAATGATTTCTTCACTAGACCGGCTTCCCCCTGCTAACGGTGGCCAGCCGCTCGGGCATCATTTTGACAGGTGCTCGGGACTCTCATCTCTTTTACATTTGTACACGGGAAATTGATGGGCTTGGCCGAGGTTGACGAACTGGAAATTACTTATTTCATTATGGATCTTATTTTGTTTGGCTTATTTCCCTGATGGCTTCACGGTTGGGATGGAGTGGACACTCGTTGATCGAAGCAAATTATTTGTATTTCCTTTCCTCATGGTATTACGAGGACAAGTTCTGTAGGTCATTTTCGCTGTTTGCACCCGCCCTCCGCGTTCGCCTCTAGGTTACCCGCTCATTTCGTTGTATAATCCACAATGCCACAATACCCTCAGGCCGTAATTTTTAACAATAGTGATGATGAAAAACAAGAGATAGAAAAATGGCCGAGAATCGAAAGAGTACATGAAAAGACGTAGCCCAATACACACAAACTCCAATCAACTCCCGAAAAAGCCGGTGCCCATCCGGAGCCACCAACAAGACAATAGATAGCAAAACATAAAGCATTATCTTTATTTGAAGGGGCAGGCACCAGCGAGCGAGCTCGCGCCGCTGACGGGGCAGGCAGCTTCGGAGCTTGAGGTTCTCGGCCCAGAGCTGCTGTCGCTGCTAGAGATGATGCTCAGGTTGTCAACCTTGAACTCCATGTCACCAGTGCTGAAGAGTTCAAACTTGATTCTGGAGGAGTCGACCTTCTTAGACTTGAGGTACTCAGCCATCTCAAGCATAAACTGCTCAGGGCCGCAGACATAGTACTCAGCAGAACCGTTGCACAGCCACAGGTCATCCTTATCGACCTTGGCGAGGTCCACCCGGAAGTCGTGATCGTAGTTGACGCCATAGACATCAGATTCGGCAAGGTGGGTCTTGAAGATGTTGCAACGGAAGTTAGGGCGGTTGCGGGAGATGCGGCGGATCTGGTCGTAGAAGGGGACAGATCGACGGGATCCGTGGATCCAAGAGACGGGGCGGTGGGGCTGGCGCTCTGAGACGGTGTTGAGGATGGACATCATGGGAGTGACACCAACGCCGGCGGAGATGAGGACGATGGGGACGTTGGAGGTGTTGTTGGTGTCGAGGAAGAACTCGCCGGCGGGGTGGGTGAGCTCAACGAGGTCACCTTCTTCCTTCATGTCAATGAGGAGGTTGGACATGACACCAGGAGTGAGGGCGGCACCGCCCAGGAAGCGGCCAGAACGGCTCATGTGGATGCCTTGGTCACGCTTGACGGTGATGCGGTAGTAGTCAGGTCGGGGAGCGTCACTGAGAGAATACTGGCGAGACTGAAGGTAGCCCTTCTCGGCGATCTTGACCTGGACGGAAACATACTGGCCAGGCAAGAAGCTAGGCAGGCGTTTGCCATCAACAGGGACGAGGTAGAAAGAGTAGATGTCCTCAGACTCCTCAACTTTCTTCTCAATGCGGAACTTGCGGTAGCCCTGCCACTTATCGAAGTCGCGGTAGAGCTGGGCCTCGCGGCCGATGAGCATCTTGGCGAGCATCCAGTAAGCCTTGACCCAAGCTTCTCTCGCTTGGGGAGTCATAGCAGCTCCGAGAACCTCAGCGAAGGCGGCAATCAAGTACTTCTCTACGATGGCGTAGTGTTGGGGCATGATGCCCAGGGAGCAGTGCTTGTGGCACATGCGCTCCATCTTGGGGATGAGCTCGGTAATGTGGTTGATGTTCTGGGCGTAGCTGAGGATAACAGCAGTGAGGGCACGGGGCTGACGACCGTTGGCCTGGTTGACGGTGTTGAAGTAGTCGTTGAGCTCGGGGTGGTCCCTCAGCATGTTGCGGTAGAAGATGGTGGTGATACGCTCTCCATGGTCGGTGAGAGCCGGGATGGTGCCCCGGATGAGCTTGCTCTGTTGGTAAGACAAAGCCATTGTGATTGTATGTGATGGAGGATCCGAGGGTGTTGATGGAGGAGATGAGACGGAGTAGTTATACTACAGCAAAGACTGATCTGGGGACTCTCGTGCAGGGATGTAATGTTGCAATTGAGATGTTGATGGTTGCTGCTCTTATTAATGACGGCCGGCCGAGTAATACACCAAGAGAGTATGATGATGAGAACAAGGGAGGGGGAGGTGGTTTATAAAGAAGGACTCGACTCGGACAGGATACAGAAGCAGAATCGACACATTGAGCGTCCTCCCCAGATGTTTTATCCTCGATGGCATCCATGGTTCCGACCCCCCTGGTCAAACTGGACCTGCAGGCATCGAAGCAGAGATTGAGGACAAAGAAAAAAAAACTTCTCCTTCTCCACAAGCCGATGATTCCTCGTGGCTGTCCCCAAGCCGTCGCGAGCGAGGAGATTCCTGGCTGTACAGAAGTCGTACGATGGTAGGCAGGGGCTCCTTTGCTTTTGCTGGGTTTTGCGGACACCCCGTGGAGTTGGCGGAGCTTTCCTGTCGTCACTCGACGCTGGTCCCGGCGTTTGTTGGAGAAAGGTGGGTATCAGCCCAGCCTTGTTGTGGGGGGGGGGGAGTAGGGAAGTCGAGGAAGCGCGAGGACAGGGTGGAAGAAGACCTGTCATGTTCCCATCACGGACAAGTCGAGACCCGCGAAGACGAGGGCGAGGAGAAGAGAAGACAGACAGGGCAGGGGCCTGTGGTTTGGGCGGCTGCTCTTGATCATGGATCATGGGTTTATGGATTCATTGGTGGGTTCACCGGGATCGCGATGGTGGACTGGACTCGTGAATCAGAGAGCGAGCGGCCTGGTGGAGGAGGGCGCCCGCCGCATCACGCATCACGCACCACGCATCACATCGCATGGCTCTCGCGTGTAAGGGCGAGGCTAATTGTGAGATGTGACGAGCCTAGAGGCCGCAATGGGCCGTGAGGGTGGTGTTGCGAAGGCCCCGCGAGGCGCCGCCGCGAACGACTCAGCTCGGGGCAAACCGTAGAGGGCGCATCCCCGTGGAGCGTTCGGTTGAGTAGCCGTCGACGAGAAATTCCGAGTTGGCGGGATGGAATGATGCAGCGGCGGAGTTGAACGGTCGACCCGGCTGGCCGGCCGTGAAGAAGCCGTGTTGCTTGTGCGCGGTGGAATAACCCGATGGCCCGTACCCGTACCTGCCATGTAAGTGCGCGGACAGCCGAATATCGGTACCCAAGTACCCATACCTCTTCGTACCGCGGTGTAAGTGCGTCGGCAGTAGGTACGTATTGCTCCATAGCGTGGGTTCGGATACGGATGCCTTCGCATGCACTTACCTTGGCTGGCCGGCTGGCTGGTGGCTTGCCTGCCCGCACACGGCACCAGATGCACTGACTCCTGTGCGTGCCTGACCATCCATGATCCATCCCCAGAGCTTTGGGCTTAAGCGTCGGCTTGGGCCTGGCGCGTTGGTGTTGGTTGGGGGTGAGGACTGGCAGAGGAGGGTCCCGGCCGTGGGAATACGGCGGCGTCGTCGACGAAGAAGAGGCTTCAACTTGGGCCCGAGTGGACGACGCTCAGCGGCACCCTTGCACAAACCCACTCCCTGTCTCCCACATTGCCAATTCTGTCGGTAGCTAGCTCGGTACGTGGGAAAAAGCGCCGTCGGCAGAGCCAGCGGGGACTACGCTGTGTGCGGTGGCTGTCAGGAACAGGAACGGGCACCAGAGGGCGACCAGGCCGTTGAATTGGGCAGTGGGCGCCCCTGTAGGCCTCCACTCCACCCCGCTGGCGGCCCTGAATCCAGCCATGCCCTTGCGAATAAAGTCGTTTCCATTGCCAACGGTCCGGGTGGCGGGCTGGCTGCGTTGGTACTACGCAGGCACTAAATTGCGGTGCTGCTACGGTGCGGTACGATCCCACAGTACGGAACCCAAGGGCGGTACTCAGGTAATATCCTCCGCCCAACGGGACTCGCAACATCCCAGCAACTGGGTGTACCGAACCAAGATGATGGCGGCCGGCCCCTCACACCTTTTGCACACCTCACGCGACTGTCACTCACCGGCCAGCCGCCAGTCCGGGGGGTCGTCCCAGCCATTTCACTCGTCGGAGCACGCACTCGCAGCGCCCAAAGCATGGAAGAACCGCCAACGGGACAATACGGACTGCCCAGCAACGCATCAGCGGAAATGAAGCCCCTTCTTCGTGTGCTGTGCCCGCGGGCCGCCGCCACTGCAGACACCCTCATCTTCTGTCCTGGGTCATCCCGGATGTTGGCCGTGTAGGCTTAGGTGAGGCCCGGGCTCCAGTGGTCCAATGCCCAGTGCTCAATGCGCTTTGCTTCGCCGCTTCCAGAAAAATGCGAAACTTCCTCGCTGTTCCAACTGCGGAGCCCGCGACAGCCAATAGCGGCGGATGGCATCTCGGTGCCCTGTGCTATAGCGCCTAGTGCTCTATAGCGGCGCCCTGTACCTGGTTCGCCCAGGTCTCATCTCGTCTTTCGTCGACGTCGCTGGTGGATGCGATGCCAAGACACAACATTACAACATGGCATGGCATGCGACATGGGCTTATTAGCGCTGTGCAGTACATTGGACAATGCCATGGCAAGTGGATGCCGTTCCTCGTGAGAAATCTCTCACACGGACGTGAAAAGCCCGGTCCGCACCGGGCCACTGGGCTGGAGCTGTGCTGTGCCACAGCGACTCGCTCCCTCTCGCCGTCATGACTGCTGCACGTTATGAAGCACGCATGCGTTTACGTCAACCACACACGATTCTCCGTGTCCCCATAAGAATCCCATTTCTCCATCCGCTGATTCTCCATTATGCGATTCTCCCTCCATGTTCCATGCTCAGTCCAGCACCAGCACCAGCCTAGAAGCCATTGTAAATTAGGGGACGAAGAGGCGGTAAGAGGATATGACCAGTCGGACTCGGCCAAAGTCGGAGTAGGCGCCGTTTGGCACTCTCATCTTTCGTTGTTCCGCCCCCATGCCTGCCCTGCCATGCCATGCCATGCGCCTGGGGCTATTTTCTTTTTTCTTTTCTTTTTTCTTCGCCTTTTCCCACCCATCCTAGGCCATTTTTGCATTTCCCGCAAGGGGCGGGGGATAGGCACATTCTGGCGTGCCCGTGGCCTCAAGAGGCAAGACGCAGCGGTGGTTTTGCTTTTTGGTCGGATCAGAGCCTGGGAAAAAGACGTGATTTATTTTCTAGGTACCCTCCCAGTTCATGCCTGCATCGACCTTTCTGGGGGGTGGCCTGCCGTTGACATAACCATCATGGGGCCAAAGGCCCAGGACCAAGGGCCCAAGATGCATCCTTCAACATGCCACACCAACAGAGTACGGCCACCCAATGCATGTGACGCATGCATCTGCGGCGGCTGATACGCGATCCCTCGCCTCTTACAGGCTGTTGAAAGAATCCCATCAATGCCCATCGAGCAAAAGGCTCCCATTGTCCCATCCTGTCCTCTTCCCGGCCCCGGCCTGTCATCCTCCCTACCTGGTGCCACAACGTGTAATCCCGTCTGGCCCTTGCTCGATAGCCGGGCGTCAATCGAGCGTGGAATCATCTCGGCGTCGTCGAGCCGGAACGCGGGATGCCATGGACCGGAGGTTTCGGGGGTGGGAGTACCGGGCTGCAGTTGCAAGTAGTTGCCGTTCGATCCCAGCAATGCAATCCTGCATATATGTGCCTGGCCCAACAATCCGATGCCGCGGGATGAATGGACAGTTGGGGTGTGATGGTCAATGTAACTCGCATATAGGCCGCACATGGGCGGCCATCCAACTGCATAGGCCGAGCCTCAGCCCCAAAAGCACTTATCAGCCTATTCCAACAACATCCGAATACGTCGGCCACCAACCAACAACACGATATGTGAGGCGTGAGACGGTTAGATGACAGCAGAGGCCGGTCGCAGCAGCTCCGCGACCCTACCCGGTGTCGATGCACACATGAAATTGGGCCGGGCATGGGTGCTGTAGATTGCCTTGCCTTGCCTTGCGTCGCCTCGTGCGCCAAAACGAACGCTTGCCGGTCCCTGAAAGTAGAAACATGATACATCACAACTTGTGAGTTGCCACTCGACGCCTCTCGTCCAAGCGTCGTCCCTCAGCGTACCATTCCTCACCAACCCTCTAAACCCCAAGCTACAATCCCTCGGCCGCCATCGCGAAATAGAGCCTAGGCCAACGCCCCCCTCCCTCAGTTAAGTTGAGCAACGACGCCTAGTCAAGGGCCAGGCCCGTTTTACCCCACGGAGTAATGTCGCTCGCGCTGCCCATGATCGTCCGCCCTAGGCCCCTAGCGATGGCCATCTTGTTAGCTCCCCGGAACACGCAGGCATGGGCCAAAAACTCTGGATCATCAGATTCCGAGACGCCATGTCCTCCATCCTGCTACACCCGGTCAAGGACCCTTTCTTTTTCTTCACTTTCGTCATTCTCATCAATCAAAGTCACCGGGCCCCCTGACAAAGATTAGCAGGGCTCAGTTGTCTTGATCCCTGGTTACATACAGAGAGAAGGCTGCCTCTCCGGGTTTCCCGTCCCGGCTTCTGTCACGCCTCCAGGGATTCCGTAGCTGGTCCATCCTAGCAATGGTCTCTCACTCTCCCATCCCGTTGAAGGTCCAAACCAACACACGGACACACACAGACACACACACGCACTTAAGCACCGAACGAAAATCCAAATATTTTCCGCCGCCCCAGGTCCGATGGGCCAGGTGGGCCAGGACCACACTCCAGCGGGCTCCTGTCACTCGCCCCAACACCAACACCAACACGGGTCGACATTCGTCGGAACACGCCCGGGTGTGGTGCCGGAGCGGCGGCGGCCGGGACCTCCGCTGGCACGAGCTTCCCAGCCACAGCCTCGGAGCTTTAAAGCTCGACGACGACACCGCGTCCAAGAGCGTATGTAGGCGACGGATGTTGCAGAAGATGACGATGATTCCAAGGCTTCCTTCCTTCTGTGGCATCTTCTGGCCTCAAGTTAGAGCTCGAGCAAGGATGGGGCCTGGAAGAGCATCGTGCTTCAACCCCAGTATCGTCCATCCATCCACTATCCTTCGTCATCCTGCGAGGCCCCAGGCCTAGACTCCAGAGAACAAGTCGTTTTGTGATGAGTCGGAATCAAACGTCCCACGGCATCTCATCTCATCGATTGTCAGTGCCAGTGTCGCCATTGGTGACACCGCTGCAGTCAGGGATTATCTTCAACGCAAATGCAGAATCGTGTCCCGTAGCCCCTTGGCATCCCCTTCCTCTAGCCCCAGCCCGTCGACTTTGTCCTCTGTGACGTATATAGTACCGCCCTTGGAAAACGACAGCTTTGTCCACCCCACCGCGTCCCGACGAAAGGGGGTGTGAGGACTGCCGAAGACTGCTGAAGATAATGAAACTAAAAAGAAAGAAAGCAAGCCCCAAAAAGCACATGTCGTAATTCACTATTCCACGGCGTCGCCGCCTGCTACGTCCTGCTGCAACGTCCGGACCTCCAGTCCTCCACGACTGTTTCATCACCGACGATCTCGATCTCTATTCGTCTCTAGTCGTCGCTTGTTGTCGCTTGTCAGACGAGATGGAGCCGGACGGATTCGTTGCTGACCAGCCTCGGCCGGCCGATGCCACTATCCCATCGTCACGGGCGGGTGTCACATTCCGCCATGTCCATCCCGTCGCATCGCCCCGTTGCCGCCCACTTTGGCTTTACAGCGTAGTAGTTTTTTGCTTTTCTTTTTTGCTTGGGGAAACACGCATCCTTTTGCTTTTTCCCCCACCCGTCTTCTTCATGCCATTGCCCTCGCTTCTGCTAGCCTGCCTCATCTTGGCAGAGGCCTGCAGCCGGTCGAGCCCATCGATGATCAGTCGACGGCGAGGCCCAAATAACCGCCGCCACGCCGCCGCATGCGTTGGGAGTGTGTTACACACCTCGGGTCGGTTGGACGCTCGGCATGCGTTTCTGAAGCGGGAGGGTGTCCAGCGCGCAGAGCAACGCGGAAGAAAAAGAAAACATGGCGCGGGACGAGCAGGATGCAGAAAGACGCCAGCCCCGACAAGACGACTTGTCGCTTCTTCAGGAAAGTGGACTCATCAGCCGTTGCAGTCCAGGCTTCAAAGAAGCAAAAAACGGCCTTGGGCGACGCCATCTCCACTCACTTGCCCTGAGTCACTCCCTCTTGCGGCCAAGTGCCGGGCATTGTCGCGATGCTGCGGATGCACCGATGCGCAGATACGCAGATTGAACATGCACAGTCGTCCTTCCTGCCTGCTTCCCATGACCAACCCTGCCCCGCGATTTGTCGACTATTATCGACTACTCGGGAGTACCATGTTTTCTTTCGGCTCGAGACCGGCGCGGCTTGGCAGCATGTCACCTCATTCTCCAGACCAATGTCTTTTTTATTTAGGGTTTTTTTTTCTTCGGTCCTTTCTTTTTGCTTCCGTGGGGGCATTGTCTCCATATCTTCTGTTCTCGTCGTCTTGCATCGCCTTTAGCGTTGGCGTTGGCGCTGTTGCCTCGCCCTCTTCCTCGTGGCTTTTCAAACGTGTCGTCCATGTTCTCCCACGTTCTGCCCCTGCGTCTCCGCGTTGCCGTCCTCGTGCGCTCCACGTGTCGTTCACATCGTAAGCACCCCGGGTATGACCTTGACTATTGCTGCTTGTTGCTTGTTGCTCCTTATTAGTCCGAAAACGTACATCCCGCTATGTCTATGTGCATTGTTCTTTTGTTGCCAGCTCCCCGATCTGGCCTCCATGTCATAGCGCATAACTTAGCCGAAAGGCACACCTCAACTCCCGCTACTTACACGCGGATGCCTCGTTTTATCCATTGTATCTATCCACCGCCCATTACTAACTAGAGTCGCTACACAAGTACCTGAATGGGCCTATGCGTATCTGTACCTCCGTATCCATTACAGTTAGTTGTACAGACTAATAGACTCTGCATCTCCCAATTTGGCCGACGGCAGAAACGGTGTCATTCCTCTTTTCCCGCCCCATTTCAGCATCAGCGGCGTCTGATACCCACAAACCATTGCCAACCACTACGCGACACTAAGGCAAGACGCGAGACATAGTCACTTCTGCACCGTACCTTACATACGCAGCACCCTCGGAGACGCCCGCGGTCTCTTGCAGCGTGGTACGAGTCCTCCACGGCGCTGCTCGCCGCTGCATTCCGCTGCTGGTCAACTCCATCCGGCGCCGCATCCACACACACACAAAGTCGCGTAAATGTTACCGTGGCTTGAATGGGTTCATTTCTCATTAGCAACCATCCACCTGTTATTATGTACACGCCAAGGGTTCTCAGAGGTTCGCCAATTTCAACTCGTAATCTCACAAATCCACGTCCCTCGTTTCCCGTGCAACTCCGCGGAAGCACCTTCAAAGACCCATCCTCGCTATTTCCCTTCACTCGTTTCCAACCATGAAAAGGCAAAGTCTCCGCCAGCTGCCTTTTATCGGCCAACGCGGATCACACCAGCAGCCATCAGCTTCTGGATCTTGGACCGCACCTGGGGGTTTCTCATATGCTCCTGGAGAGCAGCGGGATCAGATTGAGCCTGCTGCAGAATTGACTGCATCACGGGGTCTTGCATAACACTCATGATCTACGTGAGGAGGCAACGTTAGTAAGAATGTTCTTGTCATTACGTTGGAGACTGTGGTAAAACTCACCTCGGGGTCGTTCATCAATCGCTCCCGAGTCTGCTCCTCCGTCTCGTTGTCACGGGCGGAGTACATGGCTGAGAAAGCCTTCTGCTGCTGTGTCTCAATCTCCCGGGCGTTGGCGCCGTTGTGGTGCTCTTGGTCAACCTCCTGTGCCTCGGTGCAGGCATCCACGCAGTCCGAGTACTTGCGCATGCCGAAGTAAGCTTGAGCCTTGCGGATGTACGCTCGGATGAAGGAAGGATCCTGCTTGATAGCGGCGTTGCAGTCATCCACCGCGCTGGGGAACTCGAAGAGCTTGACAAAGGCCGCGGCTCGGTTGCTGTAGCCTCGGGGATCCTTAGGGGCTCGCTTGATCATCTCCGAGTACGCCGCAACGGCGCCGGGGAAGTCCATCTCCTTGAACTTCTTGTTTCCCTCCTCACGGGCCTCCTCAGCCTTGGCAGGGTCGACGTAAGCCGTGCGCGCAGCCTCAGTCTTAGCTCGCTCGGCAGCGCGGAGCTTGTTAAGGACCTCGGGTGTGCGGTGTTCCGTCAGTGACTTGTTGTAGTTTTCCACGGCCAGGGCCAGATCTCCCTTGCGCTCGTAGGCAGTTCCGATACGGGCGTAGCTCTTTGCGATGACCTTGAAGTCAGCGTAGATCTCGCGACCCTCCTCGATAGCCTGGGTGCATGACTCGATACACTTGTCAAAGTCTCCCTTCTCAAAGTAGGCGGCGCCCAGGTTGTTCAGGTAGGTGATGTCCTTGTACAGTTCCCACGCCTTGGCGTAGTGCGCAATAGCGTCGTCAAAGTTGCGCTTCTTGTAGTTCTCGGTTCCCAGCGCCTTCTCCTTGTCGGCGGCCTCCTTGGCCTTCTTCTTCTCAAGAGCTTCCTCATCTACCTCCTCTTCCACCTCCTCCACAACCCGGGGTTCAGGAGCGGGGGCCCTCTGAGTCGGCTCGGGCCTCTTAGGCTCGGAGGGGGCATCGGGCATCGGCGAGTCCTGGGGAGCGTTCGGGTCGCTCTCCCTAAGCTCCATATCCACGCCCATCAACACACCCATCACCGTCAACATCCGTGGGTCGGAGAAGAGCATCTCGCCGTCTTGAGGGTTGTTCTTCACAGCCTGGAGCTTCGCCATGAAAGCGGGGTCGCCGAGGAACGAGCTGGTCTTGGGGTTCGAAGCGAGCTTCTGGATCAGGTTGGGATCGTTGAACATCTGGCCGAGGCCGCCCATGGGGTCAGCTCCGTTGCCGGGAACGCCGCCTTATGTGATCTGTCAGTAATCAAAGCTCTCTGCAGAATCGGTCGAGGAACACAAACCACCAACTTCGGCCTCCATGGCTTTCTGGACCGAGGCCAGGCCGTTCTTAAGCTGAGCGTTGTTGGCATCGAGCTTCAGACCCTCCTCGTACGCATCATTGGCCCCGAGCAGGTCACCCTTTCCGTGCAGGGCAGCACCTTTTCGCCCCCAGCCCTTGGCCCAGTCGGGCTTAATCTGTGTCGTTTGCTCAGCATCATGAAGAGCATTTGTCCAGTCCTTCTTGGAGGCGTAGGCTGCAGATCGGTTGCTGAAGAGGATGTGGTTCTCGGGTTGTAGGGCAATGGCCTGGGTGAACTTGTCGCTACGCAGCTGTTAGCTTTCTCCTTCGCAGTCCATCCTGGAGGTGTCCCGCCTAAACATACACAGCCTCGTCGAAGTTCTTCTCGGCAATAGCCTTGTTGCCCAGAGCCTTGAGCTCGTCTGCGGAAGACATGACGTAAGTCGCTTGTGGAGTTTCGAACGGGTCGGTAGCTGCAGAATCAGTCTCGTCGAGGGCGAAAGCGTGCGGTTTGTTCAGAGTTCAGTGTCTCCGGATTGTGAGGAGATCAGTCGCCGCCTTAGGAATTGCGTGGTGGGGAAAGAAAAGGGCCAGAGCTGATTTCTAGCTCATTCGATGGTCGACCCCGCAGCGACCTGGTAATTGGCCCGCGTTGGTCTGTGCACCACCAGCTTCACGAGGCTGAAAGTGAGAAGCTTCCAGTATGATCCGGATGCGTCGTCACATCGTCTAGGGTAGGAGTAGCTGAATTATGGTTGGAGCATGGTTTATCACCTGATGTGTTTGTGCAATAGGACCCAGTAATCGGTTTCAAAACCACGGGGAATATGCATCCAAGAGCAAACAAGTGGCATGTGGCTTTTTTTCATTGTGGGGGATGGTGGTGTTTATTCGGAGTCGTAGTTGGGGTCACCTCAAAACTATGACAATAGTTACCTTGATTGTGACAGTGAACAACCCCCAGAAAATTTTACTAGCTCTATGACAGAATCACAACGTCACTCATGACAATTTATTGATTCATACAATTTGAATTTGAGAGTAAGCAATACGGAACTTAATTCACGACACCTCAGGTGCATCCTAAATCAGACAGCCAAGCAGGCGGGCATCCTAAAGGTAACGAGCACCGACAGCGGGCCAGGTTTAATACATTATTAATTCGAGTTCAATTTCGCTAATCTATTCTATGCAACGCGTTAAAGACCAAAAGACTGTCCCTTGACAGCCACCGTGGACTCGGCAACAATATCAGTAGCCGACTTTCCAATCATAAACTTGTAGTCTCCCTCCTTGACAACCCACTTTTGTGAAGCAACGTCGAAGAAGGAGAAATCGCGGGCGCTGACAGGAATGCCAACGGTGGCGGTCTCTCCAGGCTTGACAGTCACCTTGCTAAAAGCGGCAAGCTGCTTAATAGGGTTTTCCTCAGCAGTCTCGACGCTGCCAACGTACACCTGCACAGCGACGGCACCGACGACGCTGCCAGTGTTGGCAACTTTGACACTGACGGCGAACTTGTCGCTAGACTCCTTGACCTCGAGGTCGGAGAAGCCAAAAGTGGTGTAAGACAGGCCGAATCCGAAGGGGAAGTTGACCTTATCAGCGGACAGGCGATCAAAGTGTCGGTAACCGATAAAGACGCCCTCCTCATAAGTAACCTTGAGCTTGCCGTTGACGTACTCGCCGGGGAAGTTACCGTGGGCGGGGCAGTCTTCAAGCTTCTTGGGGAATGTGCAAGAGAGATGACCCTCAGGAGTCTGAGCTCCAGTCAGGACGTCGGCGATGGCATTACCGCACTCCTGGCCGGCGAACCAGGACTGGATGAGACCCTGAACCTCGCCCAACCAGGGCATGGCAACGGCCACACCGGTAGAGTTAACAACGATGGTCTTGGGGTTAACAGCGGCAACAGCAGCGATAAGTCGGTCCTGGCTGCCGTCCTTGGGCAGGTTGAAGCTTCGCTGGTCCTCACCCTCAGTCTCCCAGAAAGGCTCGTGGCCGGTAAAGATGACGGCAATATCAGCGGCCTTGGCCACCTCAACGGCCTCAGCGAGAAGATCCTTATCGTGCTCGACCTCCGACATGTGTCCGATTCGGAGACCAACTCGTCCTGCAAGGATACCAAGATCCTCCTCCTCGCTCGCATTCTTAGGAGCGGGTGGAGAGGTGAAGATCAGCATCTTGTACTGCTTTCCTGCCACAAGAGGAACCTTGATCTCGGGAGCGGGAGCGCCACCGAAAAGGAAGCCCATAGCGTCGCCACAGTTCTCAGTCTGCTCGTAGATAATCTTGTCATCAATGACCAATTTGCTGGGTCCGAGACCAGAGCAGGTGAAGTAGTAGGTGGCGGTTTCCTTAGGGGTGAAAGTGCCCTCCAGCGACACGTTCTTGTTGCTGAAGCCAAAGCTGCTAAGGACGTTGACATCGGAGTCGGGGTGTCCGTGCTGGGTCTCATAGGGCTCAGAAGAGCCGGGCTCGTAAAGCTTATAGGTGTATCCTGGCTTGCCATCGAGACCGACGACATTGTCACCGGGGATAGGAGGGAGAGTACGGAAGGTATGGGCTCCTGTTCGCTTATTAGCCGATGACTCGATAATGAAATGCTGCAATTGAAGTAGACTAACCCTTAGCATATGAGAACTCGACACTGTCGCCAAGGGCAGTGTGCATGGCGTCCCAAGGGGTAACCTTATAATGAGCGTTGAGTGAAGCGCTGCCACCTCCGTGGGCAAGACCAATCTTGGCGTGTCCAAGCAGAGCAATCTTCTTGCCCTTGACCTTGTCCTTGGACAGAGGTAGAACTTGGTCCTCGTTCTTCAAAAGAACAATACCCTTGGAGCCCGCCTCGCGGATAAGAGCCCGGTGCTCGGGCTTGTCAATAGCCTGCTCAGCGGGGATGGTGGCATCCTCGAAGCACTTGAGGCGCTCGAGGAACTTGAGAACTTGAGTAGCTCGCTCATCAATAGTCTTCTCGGTAATCTTTCCCGCCTTGATAGCAGCAATAACATCCTCGTACTTCCTCCAACGAGTAGGGCCGGGCATCTCAAGATCTAGACCGGCATCCAGGGACTCCGCAGTGGAGTTCACACCACCCCAGTCGCTCATAACCAGACCGTCCCATCCCCATTCTCCACGGAGGACCTGCTTCAGGGTGAAGGGGTGAGAGTCAGCATGGTGGCCGTTGACCATGTTGTAGGCAGTCATAACAGCCCAGGGCTTGGCCTCCTTGACGGCAATCTCGAAGGGACGGAGGTAGAGCTCTCGAAGAGTCCGTTCGTCGACAGTCTCATCGACAGTCAGACGGTCAGTCTCCTGCTCGTTGACAGCGAAATGCTTAACAGTGGCAGCGACGCCTTCTTCCTGGAGTCCCTCGACGACGCGAGTTGCCATCTTGCCGGTCAGGAGAGGGTCCTCGGAGAAGGACTCGAAGTTGCGACCACCCAGGGGATGACGGTGGAGGCACATGGTAGGGGCGAGAAGGCAGCGAGCACCCTTGGAGTGAACCTCCTCAGCTAGGGCACCACCAATTCGCTTGGCCAGGTTAATATCGAAGGTAGAGGCCATAGCACTGGCAGCGGGGAAGCAAGCAGCCGTGGTGCCACCAGTGAAGGCGGCTCCTCGAGCACCGTTAGGTCCATCTGAGAGCTTGACTGCCGGAACACCCTTGGAGGGGATAGGAATGGTCTCCCAAAGATCCTTGCCTGCGAGGAGAGTGATCTGAAAAGGATGTTAGCGTAGAACAACATGAGTATGAGGCGAGGGAGTAAGAGAACCTACCTTCTCCTCAAGGGTGAGGGTGGAAAGAATGGCTTTAATGTCGATGGAAGACATCTTGACGGCAGTTACACTATGGAACCGAAAGAGCCAGAAGGAGGATAAGGAGATGGGAGATCATCCTGTCAAAACCGGGAAGAAGGACGCTTTTATGTCCCCGAGTCCAACATCGTGGACCGCCTCCCGGCCGACGGCTCGTCCGACTGGGCAATGCCAACCGCGATTCACCCGGCCTAGACGACATCGAAGGCCATCCCATGCCCACTTTTTGCGGAGGCCGGGTGAAAGCGAGTACATGCGGCTTCGCGTGGTTCGCCTGTAAATGTGGAGGTACCTCCGGGGAAGCCTGGACTTAGACTGGAGCATCTGGGGATGGATGGTGTTGGTGTTGCATTCACCCGATGTTGAACAGCGCTTTTGCCGGGGATCAAGCGCGAGTTGCCTGACAATACCCGGCATTGAAGCGGTGTTCTCCCGGTGATTCCACGGTCTTTCTCCATGAAGCAGTTTGTAACGGCGTTTCTCCACCCCCACAGATCCAGATCCAAGCATGTCGCTGGGCTCTGTGACGGCGGCCGGGCTCCTCCTCCGGGCTGCAACCGGCTGTTCGGGGCGACTTGTACCGATTCCGGGGATTTGGCAGATGCAGGTCCCGATTAGCGACGGTCCCCCCGACAGAAGATGGTGGTAGTGATAGTTCTAGAAGAGCTAGATTTATTAATTAGAAGCGAGTGATGGAAACATTACAGGGCGGTATACCACCTCAAACGAAGAAATATATAAGCTTATCAGGGAAAGCCAGCCATGCGCTGAAACCATGACCTGAGACAACACCCTGGCCCTTCCAACGCTCCAACGGGAATGAGGGTTAGAGGGCCCCTCCTGATGGGTGATCATCCAGCGGCCACACGGGTCCTCACTCACTACGGGGGTGGCGTCATGCATGCGCCGTACGTTGACAGATTGGCCGACTTTGAAGATGTCGATTTTTGGTGGTGAATAGAGACCGTCAACAATCGCGTGGCTTTTTCTCCCCTCGTATTTACACGGCCCTTGACATAAACTTTTGTCAACGAGACGCGCGTGCCACCGCCATGACAAAGTCAGGATCCCGGTATCTTCCGAGGATTATGCGCACCGCTGCAAACAGCCGCGGCCAGCTGTGACGCAACAACGTTTCGTTCTGGTGTCCACAGTTCAACCCTGACGGCTCACCTGCAAAGGCTGCAATCGTGTCCTCAATCCGCCATGAGAACTCCCACAACGTCGCATCGATAGGGATTCAGTCAGCTTCAAGATGAGCGCCTTGGATGAGGAGCCCCGAGGTGCGTGTGCCGAACCATCCACCTCAATCCCCTATCCCGTCTCCTTTCGCTGACCCGAGGTGGGCTGTTCCAGGAGAGTCGTGGACGTCCATTCCCACGCATCTAATCCTCGCCGAGCTTCAGCGACGAAAAGCGGATGGCGAGAAGCCGCAGTGCGGTTCAAGAACCAAGGGAACCTACGATACGTCGGCGCACGTGTTCGCCTTGGTTCTCATCCTCGTGCTGAGCACCCTAGGTACGTTGCTGTTCCGCAAATGCCCCCGGCGCACGGCGGCACATGCTAATGGACATGGAAGCTTGCGGATTCCCCTTGATATCACGTCGCACTACGACCGGCCGCCGGCAAAGGACCATCATCTTTTACTGCCAGCATGTCGGCACCGGCGTGCTCATCGCAACGGCTTTCGTCCACCTCCTCCCCACCGCATTCGAGTCGATGACCGATCCATGTCTGCCGTACTTTTTCAACGAGGGCTACCCGCCTTTCCCTGGCTTCATAGCCATGACCGCTGCCATCATTGTTGTTGGTGTCGAGTCGTACCTGACGGCCCGAGGAGCAGGACACTCCCACGCGCACAACCATTCATCGTGGGACGAGCACGACGAGTCCGATAGCGATGCGACCCTGCAAGAGACGATCGGGTTGGCGGAGCGGAGGGCTGGGTCAAGGCCACCCGACATTTGTTTGGATGATATTGAGACTCAGGGACTGGTTGCGGGCGTGTCGCCGCTTCCATCATCTACACCAAGGGCAGGAGAGACGACGAAGCTGACAGAGGACTTCAATGATGAAGATTCGGACCTTGACCTGGACGTGGATGAGCTTGACCCGGGCTCCTCTCACAACTCGCAGCGCCGTGCGTATGCGTCCCTCAAGCCAGAAGACATGCCCCGGACACCCATGACACCCATATCGCCTGGGATGCCCAAGACTCCCGAGGAGAACAAGCGAATGATGCTGCAGTGCCTCCTACTTGAGGCCGGGATTCTCTTCCACAGTGTGTTTATTGGCATGGCCGTTTCCGTCGCCACTGGACCGGCCTTTGTAGTATTCTTGGTTGCTATTGGCTTCCATCAAACCTTTGAGGGTCTGGCCCTGGGTAGTCGAATCTCGGCAATCCAATTCCCTCGCAAATCGATTCGTCCCTGGTGTATGGTCATGGCCTACGGCCTCACCACACCTATTGGACAAGCCATTGGACTGGTCGTGCATCGATTGTACGATCCCCAAAGCATGGGGGGACTTTTGGTCGTTGGCTTCATGAACGCCATCTCCGCAGGCCTGTTGCTCTACGCCGGTCTGGTCCAGCTGCTGGCGGAGGACTTTTTGACGGAGAAGAGTTACAAGGTGCTGAAGGGCAAGAAAAGGTTACAAGCATATCTCAGCGTGGTCGCTGGCTCGATACTGATGGCTTTGGTCGGCGCTTTTGCTTAAGAAATTATGGCAAGCCCATATAAATCTGTAAATCGCATGTGTTGTTACATGTCATGGGTGGCGTTGGCAAGATTGGGTCTGGATTCAACAGCAGGTTGGGTTGTCAATTCTGGTGTCGGCGATTCATGGGAAACAACTGGAGATAGCTTCTGGGCCATTATGGCTGTCAGTGTATCAACAAGTGTCACCTAGACTAAGTCTGGTCTGGTCTGATTTGTCTCCCCAAGCTTGGATGGTAAAAAAGAGCCGGTATTGAAAGCGATTCACTTATATAACATGTATCTACATCCTTGCGGCACAGTGAGAACTAAGTAGGTAGCTAATTGGCATGATATGATGCAATGCAACGGCCCCACGAGCTCCCGAACACCCTCGGATGGCGGGTCAATTAGCGTCCGTCTTCTGGGTCTGCTCGGAGCCTTTTGGCCTGCAAAGTCCGCCAGAGTCCGGGCTGTTGCATGCTCTGGACTCTGCGTGCCAATCACCGAGCCGCTTTTAATCAGCCAGAGACCATGAGAGACCCTGGTCCCTCGTCCCACACCAGCTCCAGGCGTGTGAAGGGCCCAGCTTGAAGCCAAGCTAAGCCTGTGTGAGACTGGAGAGTTACATGACGAGCTCCGGGGAGCTGCGAATCGAACCATCGCCTGTTGTTACAGTGGCTGTTGGTGTCTGCCCCTCCCTGCCGATATATCTGGTCCGCCTCATTCGCTTTCCTTCTTTTCTTTTCCTCTTCTTCCGCTGTTGCCATGTCTCGCATACGCATCGTGATTTTCTTCGCCATACAAGCCATCATCGCAGCTTTGTTCTTGAACCGTTCGCCGTACGTCATGACGTCGACAGCCCCAACCAAGCAGTGGGCCGATGGGCCCATGAAGCTTGTCATCACACCTCAGTACCAGACCAAGAAGGTGAGTTCTCATGATGCCACGATTCCGTCTTTTGCAATGGAGATACAAATATGTGTACCGAATGTGGACTTATCGAGATGGCCCTATTTCACAGACCGACCTCTTCACGACCGGTGCAACCCACATGTGTCTTCTGCACAACGCCATCATCCGCGGCTTCAACACCATCTACCTCCAGGCCCCGCACATTCAAGACGCCGACAAGGCCGCCTTCATTGGATACTCGCAGACATGGTTCCGCTTCGTCAAGTCGCACCACGACGATGAGGAGGATAATTTGTTCCCCAAGGTCCAGGATCTACTGGGTGATGATCCTGTCTGGACCGCAACTCACGAGGAGCATGGTACGCTATTATTCCCACACGTTGCTTTTACAAGCGTGACAACTAACATTGTGTCATTTTCACAGAATCCTTCCTCACTGGCCTTGCTGAATTCAACACCTACCTCGATACCCTCGACTCGCCTACTTCTCTCGACTCCGTGAAGCTCATCAGCATCATGGACTCTTTCAAGGACAACTTTGAGAACCACTTCCACAGCGAGATTGCCACCATCGCCGCATTCGCCGACCACCCCAAGGCGCCTAAAGTTGATACCCCTGAGGCAGCTGTCGCTTCCGAGACTTTCAAGACCTGGGGCAAGAAGACGGTCACCAAGGCCGGTATGCTTGACGTCGTACCCTTTTTCCTGCTGAACCTCGATCACACTGCTGAGGACGGCCTCTGGGCCAACTGGCCGCCCATGCCTGCCCCCGTGAAATGGGGCATGACAAACATTGCTGGGTCGTGGTACGGCGCCTGGTGGAAGTTTTCCAGCTGCGATGCTCAAGGACAGCCACAGGAGTTATATGCATTGCGGAATATTTGAGGCCAATGCTTAGTGTGAACCGGTCAGCGCAAGGGAGGCTATTGGAATTTTTATCATCCGCATGTAATTTTTGGGAGATTATACCGGGTTGTATCTTAGTCCATAATTTTGGATTCGGGAATGGGCGTAATGACATCACGAGCACGCAGAAGCAGTCAAATATGGATTTACTCTCCCTAGTTTTGGGAAATATACCGTGACTTCCCTGTTCATTTTAGCTGCTAGCCATTGATTTCAAGTACATCGTCTTTGAAGTTGAGGTTCTGTTGACTGCCGCACATGTGTCATAAACAATTGGTTTATCAAAGAATCACGTCCAAATAAACACGCAAGCTAATGCAACTACAGCGAAAGGTGAACAATAGAGAATCAGTGAGAAATTCTTGGACGAGTGTGCTTGGGTCCATTGTGGCTCTTTGTTCAGATGTTCATGTACTGTTTTCCGTCTGAAAAAATTGGGTTTTGCCCTTAAGCTCGCATATATGAGCTCTAAAAGCTCAGCCACGCTGCCTAGTAAAAGTTAACCGCTGATTTCATTATCTATTCCGTGGTATCGACTGAATCGACTGAGGTGCCTCCATAGCGCATCATCCATCAATATCCCCTGGACCCAGCACAGCCGGTCATCACCATGGGTTGTATGCATTCCATGCCCAAGCGCTCCGATTTCGATTCCGATTATGATCGCGATTCTCTATATCACGAAATCCACCCTCTCAGTACTCCGTCACGCCGGCAGCGAAAAGACGTCATGATGGGAGGAGGGGCACAAATGCCGTTACCGCCAGCACATCATGCCCGTGGCTTCGCCGCGGATTTCCACCCATTCGAGGACTCTAGACCTTCTATTCGCCGCAATATGGCTTCGAAAATCAATGAGTCACTACGTTCAGGCCCTTATCCGAGAGTTGGTAGGGTTGCGGTGCCAACTATGTAAGCTTACCTACAGTGAATATCCTACGATGAAATCTTCTAACTATCAATAGCATTGTAACCAGACCAAGTGCCAATGGCAACACGAATCATCTTATTCGTCCCTTTTAAAATAGGGAGGTTATGACATCCTCAGGGCTGATCCCTCAAAGTTGGAGGCACCTATGCCGGCCTAGTATCAACACACCGTCGCACACCTTCTATAAGCGGTGGAACCACCATGGATATGGACGATGGGCGGAATAAATTGGTCTTCTTAATCATTCAGTCACCAGCTCGGAGGTCGGAGGGGAGCTGCTAAACCCTAGATCTAGAGAGAAAGAGTCGTCTGAAATGAATGGTCGAATAGTGAACCCAATATTCTCTCTTCCTTTTGTCACCAAGTATACCAAGCCTCAGGCGGAATTTTAAGTCACTCGAGAACATACCAACTGTGATTTACTTGTTGCTCAATCTGTGGATCACGATTCAATGAACCGCAAGGTTCTACAAAAGACCTGGGCACGACCAATAACATCAGCCTACACGCACTTACCACATCACTTCCACTTTTAACAAACTCTTTCTACTATTCAAGTCGCCTGCCATGGGCTGCACGCCAAGCAAGGAAGTAACACGGGATCCAGCGGCGATTCAAGAGGGGTCAAGTTATAGCAACGCGTCCTGTCCACAAAAGCATGCCGCTGAAAGAAAGATTTCCCAGGGATTGGGATGGAAATGGCGAAAAGAAGAACAAGAAGAAGAATAAAGAGAAGAAGCAACTAGCCTTCGACGTCTAAGAGCATAACCACTAAATGGGGAGCAAGAAACTGCCAAACAGGAGAAAGCAAAGTCAACCGGCAGTCAACACACTTCCGTAAAGGGATTGAATCTCGATCTAAACTGAAATGGATAGTGACTGCTCTTTGGTGGAAGTGGGTGTCAAAGGCAAAGCGGCAGCTCGGAAGACGGGATCATCGGCCATCACAAACATGGGCCTAGACTTGGAAGTGAATATACGTCTCTTTCAGTAGAGCAACGGACTAGAGGGTATAAAAAATCACAAGATAAAATCTGCATTTCATGTGTTGGCCTCCTTCACTCCATATTCATGTTCATGGGTGCGGAATATTGTGCCGGGTTACTACAGAGGTCTGGGCGTATGAGCGAAATGCCGCCCACTAATACCCCGCGTCACGGTGCTACGGCCGCCGACACATCACCAACCCTCCAACACAGTACAACCAAGTGCATTCACGTTCTTCCAACTACCGAAACAATGGGTTCCCCACGCCATGTTCTAGTCTTAGGCGGTAACGGCAGGATCAGCCGGGCCCTCACTGAGATTCTGCTCAAGAAGTCGTGGTCAGTGACGAGCGTTATCCGGACAGAAGAACAGGTCAAGGATCTAGAGGCTTTTGGCTCGGGACTGCCCGGAAAGCTGAACGTCTTGGTCCGGGATCTAGAGAAAGTCGACAGTCAAGAAAAGGCCGCTGCAATAATTCATGAAACCAACCCCGATTCGGTGGTTTGGAGTGCCGGTAAGACGGTTGACGTGTCACTGGGGAACCGCTACCAAGCAGAATATAGGTGCCGGAGCGACAGGTGATCAAGACAGAGTACATGGCACTGTAACATTTTCGGCCGATCTCAGCTAATGATAGGCTAGGTCTTCCGTATTGACCGCGATGCGGCAGTGTACTTCATCCAGGCTGCCGTTGCGACACCCACCGTCACTCACTTCCTCATCGTGAGCTACCTCGGCGCCCGCCGGGCCAACGCTCCATGGTGGACCGACGAGGACTGGGCAGGCTGGAACAAAATCAACTCGACCTTTTTGGCACGCTACTACGAGGCCAAGGTGGCTGCGGACGAGGCGCTTATTACAGAAGCGAAGAAGCGCGACAACTTCACTGCCGTGTCAGTCCGGCCTGGGGGTTTGACGGACAAAGACGCTGGAGGTGTGATGATGGGCCAAACAGAAAAGGCACGAGGCATGACGAGCCGAGCAACAACGGCCCAGGTGACGGCGCTTCTTCTCGAGGCGGAGCATGTGAAGAGTCGGTGGTTGGATGTGCTAGATGGTGATGAGGATGCTGGAGCGGCCGTGGAGAGATGCGTCCGTGAAGGAACTGAATGCGCTGAGGGCGAGACTGTTTACTCTGGATAAGTCTTATTTGAAAGTAGTGGCAGCTTTGGGTTGCCGTCGACGACTTCAACAAACCATGGTAGTGTCATATTTTGAATGACAAACCGCCGTGACAGCGCTGAATTGGAAAGTGCATTTCTGTATTTAATACAAGAGGGTGCTCCTGTTCCTGGAGGTCTCCAATTCTATATACTCACAACCGCTTCTGGTACCTAGCATCGTGGCAGCCTACTATAAGCAGTCAGCACTAAACTCCGCGCCGAACCCCACGCTTAATATATCTACCATCATGGGCTGCTGTGAGTCGACGCCGGAACGGAGTTCCGGGGATAGTAGGCGTCCCCGACCAGTGAGCAGCCGAGGGAGCCAAAGGTACGTTTTTGGCGAAACCAGGCCTCAGCCTTTTGTCAAAGTTGTTTAAGCTCTCCTTCTGAAACTACAGTAGGCCTCGCCGCGTTTCTCACCAGTCTACCGGTAGCGGTGACTACCGAGATAGAAGTATTCCCCTTGCTCATTTGCCGGCAAGTAGACTAAGGCGTGATGAGCAAGCCATCATTCGGGAGCAGTACGGCGGGATATGGATGGGATGATGAGAAGAACGATTCACGCATAGGAGTGGCCATTTTACGCTATGCTAAGCTAAGTTACAGTGGTTCACTCTAGTTAAATGATTCAATGACACACGAGTTATGAATGTGATTCGTGTTTGCTGCTTAACATGATCCCGACTGACGATGTGTTATCATGTTTGCTAGCATCTAACAAAGTCAAGTATCTGGTGACTCAGAATCGGTTTCCGCATCACAGGTCTAAAAAATTGTGTCAATTTGGTCAAACAGTTCTTGTTGGCAACATGGCATCCAGCCAGTGACCGATATGCCGATGTCGTGAATCACAATAGTGTCCTGTCCAAGTCATGGTACTTTCCGCAGCACGACATTCAATCCTATCACTCGAGAGCCCATAAATTACCTACATACCATCGCAAAATTCTCTTTCTTCTTCATTAAAAACGACCTTTGCTCATTCTCCGCAATATGGGATGTTGCAAGTCTACTCCCCGAGTCCCGGGACAGCATGAGAACGGCTTCCAGGATATGGGGCCTCGGCCTCACAGCGAATCCCCACCACCGTACGAGAGCTATTACCCTTACCGTGTCTGCATTTTAGGCTGACCTTTGAGATTAGAGTATCCGGACACCACAGCCCCCAAAACGTCCAACTTGCCCAGGGATCAACCCCTCCTATGATAGCCGATCCGAACACCGGGAGCGGGCCTCCTATCGTTTTTGAGCCGCCCGAAGTTCGTACCGAGGCGAACCCGATTACACCAGCATCTAGCGGGGGTATTGATGAGCACATGCAAGAGCCTCCTGCGACTCATGGGGGGTTGATGGCAGAGACCAGGGAGGAACCCAGGGTCATCTCCAACAAGCAGGGTCCGTCCGGCTCGAGTTCCAGTTCGAGCTCAACCTCCAACTCAAGCAACGCTAACAACAGGGGCAAAGTCTATGAATGACGAAGCCCTTTGTTGGCTGGGAGGAGTTGTCTTTGGGCAGCGAGAAGTGAGTGACTGTGGGAGAGTGCGCACACAGCAGAGGGACATTTGTGGCTAGGTCCACCGAAAGCAAACAATGAATGATGAGGTTGGCACATGGAGTTACACAAGTGGTTCAAAACGTATACAGCCGCCATGCTGTGCAACATGACGATTCGGCTGGGACATGATCGCTTCGAATCACTGCCGTGTACATGGATATCTAGACTTGGCAACTGCGCTTCTGAAACCAAATGCAATCCTACACTCCTGCGCACCCTAATGATAAATATTCCGCCTCACGATCCCTGCAGGACGTAACCAGTGTTTGCAGGCCGCGCAGGGGTCAACTCTCAAGGAGCCAAGCCGCAAAAGTACGAATGAAACGGCTTTGCCAAGGTGAAAAGCACAATTTTAGATTATTCGGGCGACTGATCTTGAGGTTGTTGTCTCTGTTCGCAATCGGTGGGGTAGTGGCGTCGAAGTATTGCTGTGTGTTGGATTGGAGGCGTCGGCTTAAAGAAAAAAAACATACGATAAACTTGCTCAAGTGCCAAGACCCCAGACCAGACAGAGGAATGGCGCATGTTAGACTGCTCTGGTGATCAAGTGGCTTGCTCTTAGCTGAGGGTTTAACTCACCTTTCTGTGGTTGATCGTGGCCGTCCGGGTATGAGGCTTCATGAGTGGCAACAGTGGCAACGGAGGGCCAAAGTTTCCGAGAGCAATTTTGTGTTTGCCTGGGATGCCTCAGTGAGTAAATATACGTGTTGGTGGAACACGGGAATTGGTTTCGGAATTGCGTTGTTGTGATGGTATGACGGTCGGACGGTGCGATGGAACCCTCACGGAGACTCTCCCAATTGTGCTCGCTCAACCGAGTGGGCAACGCGGAATTTAATAAGAGGAGGACCACGCAAGACCAGGCAGCCCTGTCCAAAGAGGCTAAAATTCGCGGAAACTGTCATCTCGATCTACCTTATCGGGTCGTGACGACCAAGTTCTTCTGCCAAGCTTCACCTAGACCGCACCCCAGCCTCACCCGTGTGAACTGCCCATGAGCGACTGGTCCATTAGTTTCCAAAACCCAAGATACACAGGGCCCCAGGCCAATCAGGTATTCTTCGCAGTGGATCGACCGCTAGGATGCTCTGGCACAAGGGTTCTTTCAGCAGCCAGGGTCGAGCAGCTGGCAGCCCATACAAAACTTGCTCAAACCGACGCAGTTGGGCCATCTCGACAACGAAAACGGGCGTCAACGCTCGCCGGCTTGCGCCCATTTTCGCTACTGTCTCTCCACCGAACTCCACGGTTCGTCTGCCATGCACGGGGATTACTCGTTGCAACCATGTCGGCGTCGCGAGTTTGAGGCACTTGACAGCTATTGCCCATGCAGGCAGCCAACACGGCATGCGGCGGGCCTGTTGATCCTTCAGGGTAGAAATAGTCGAGGGCCGCCTCTACCTTTTTTCCCTTACCTTTATAGAAGCAGTGCTCTCCGGGTCTTTTTTTTTTAAAAAACCCAGGGATTTTCGACTATAAAATCCCTTGCATCGCACCAACTGCTGCTTCACCTTCACATCAACAGAAACTCACTGCTCCAACACATCCTCAACCAACCAACCACCAACCAAACATCAACTGAACCAAACAAAAGCTTCACAATGGAATCCATGGATATGTCTACTACGGCCACTATGGTGATGACCGGTACCGCGACTATGGATATGTCATCCGCCACCAGCACTGCTGCCGCCATGAGCATGGGCGGCTCTGGTTCCAGCTGTGTGATCTCTGTATGTGCACCCCCAAGCCCTCGAGCTTTGTGACTGAGTTGGGTTGAGTACTGACTGTGTCTTTTCTCTCACAGATGCTTTGGAACTGGAACACCATCGATTCCTGTTTCATCTCCCGCTCTTGGCACATCACCTCCAAGGGCATGTTCGCCGGATCTTGCATCGGCGTCCTCCTCCTTGTCATGTCCCTCGAAGCCCTCCGCCGCGCCGTCAAGGAATTCGACAGCTACATCATCCGCCAGCACATCGCCAAGTTCGAGGGATCTTCTCCTGCGGTTAGCAACAATGGAACTGGCTCTGATGGCGGCAAGGCCACCGACGGCGCTACCGCCTGCGCCGTTGGCATCCCTCCCTTCCGCCCCAACGTCGGTCAGCAGGCGATCCGCGCGCTTCTGCACATGATGCAGTTCGCTGTGGCTTACTTTGTCATGTTGCTCGCCATGTACTACAACGGATACATCATTATCTGCATCTTCCTCGGCGCGTACCTGGGATCCTTTGTGTTCCACTGGGAGACCCTGGGCGGAAGCCAGCAGACGAGTGCTACCAAGGAAGCCACCGTCTGCTGCGGTTAAAAGAGTGTGGCTCTGGAGAAATACTCTCTGGCATGGGTGGTCAGCGGCAGTGGTGGTGACGGTGTTGGTGTTACGTTTCATCGGCATGTGAGGAGCGGCGGCTGGGAGACAAACTCTCATCTAGTCAACTAGTTGGCTGCTGTCGTACCTGAGGCGCTGGCCATCATCCAGAGTTGGCAAGATGTCGCACGAGTTGAACTTGGTCAGTTGGAGATGAACAGAGGCATAACTGGGAGGCGGCTGGCATGGGCTATCGCATCTAATGACACGTGTGTTGCGCAGGAGCATGTCCAGTCAAACTACTCAGTTAGCCCGTAATAAGATACCCTCTTCGTACTCCTCGTGTGATACCGTTGCCCGGTGAATGAATGCGGTGGTCATAATGCATGCCTCTTCTGATTATCGGGTACTCAGATTGGGTATATGGCGTTGGATTGGGTCAAATCTCGGCTTTCATGGATTGCGTCTAGGGTAAGTCAAGGAGACAAGGAGACAAGGAGACAAGGAGGTTAATAAAGGTGGATGGGGATGGGGATGGTGGGATGGTGGGGTGAAGCGCCCCTGCGATTGGGCGGATCAATGGTACCTGGAGCAAAAGCCAGGCTGGGGCGACGGCTGCGGGCTGACAAATTAACCGTAATGTACCTGGATCCGCGGAGCTCATTGCTGTGAATGCTTAGGGTATGCTTGGCGATCATAGCATGGTCCCTCCTGCGGTCGGCTTCCCTCCTGCGACTCAACCTTAATTGCTCGGCAATTCGTTAGGCCAACTGACTGCGCGACGACAGCATCAGATCCCAATCTCGATCCCGCATCACCAATCATCACCAAGCAACACCAAGCACCTCCCCCAGGCTGGGCATCGAGCCGCCATGTTCCGCCACCTCATGTCCGCCAAGGTGCGCTCCAACGCCGGCTGCTGGACCTGTCGGCTGCGGCGCAAGAAGTGCGACGAGAAACGCCCTGTTTGCGACGGCTGCAGCGCCCTCGAGATCACCTGCCACAATGACGAGGCCAAGCCCGACTGGATGGACGGCGGCCCCAAGCAGAAGGCCATGGCCGAGAAGATCAAGGCCCAGGTCAAGAAGCAGGCGTCGCAGCGCCGCGATCGCAAGTACATGGAGATGCTCGAGTCGGGCACCCGCGACGTCAACCTCGACGGGCCCGGAGAAAATGGAACCGCCGAGCGCACAAGCGAATACTCAAACGAACGGACCAGTCTGGGCCACGAGTATCACGACACCGTCATCTCCAACTCCGATACCGACCCGCCGTCCAGCCAAGACCCTGGCTCTACGCCCGCCTCCAGCAACACAAGCGGTGCTTCCCCCCCCGAGGTTGCGTGGCATAGCCAGTTCCTCGTGCGCCCCGAGGACACGACCAACCCTATCGGTGTCAACACTGAGGTGCACTTCATCATGATCTATCTCGACTACGTCTTCCCTCACCTGTTCCCCTTCTACCGCCCCCCAATGCTAGCCGGTGGTCGCGGCTGGGTCCTCGATGTCCTGCAGAGCAACAAGTCCGTTTGGCACACGGCCATCTCACTCGCCTCCTACTTCTTCAGCATCGTCCTGGCCAACGGAAACAAGGATCACGAGGAATGCACCAACCGCATGGTGCACCAGCTGCAGTCCCAGCTCGAGATGGGCTTGCGCGAGCTTCAGCGGGAGATGAGCGCCCTCAACACTGCTGGAAGTCTTGCAGGCCCGAAAGAAAAGCTGCAAGTCCTCCAGGCCATTCTTCAAATGCTCATCTTCGAGGTGTCAACTAGCAACAAGGAGCACTGGCGGATGCACCTAGACGCCGCCATCGCCATGTTTTTGCAAATCATCCCCTCCCCCGAGATGTGGACCGATATTCTGCAGAGTCTCTACAGTCTTAACTGGCCTCCGCCTGAAATGGGCATCAGCCGGCCATTCAGTACGAGCCAAGCCGCCCTGCGTTTCTTCACTGCAAATATTATCTACGTTGATGTTATGGCCAGCATCACCCTCGAGCAGGCCCCACGGCTGCAAAAGTACCAGGATCCAGTTATTCCCGGATGCAAACTGGCAAAAGAACGAATAAGTGTTCAATCGGCTGGACCCCTTTTCATGGAGGAGTTCACTGGACTCCAAAATTGGGTGGTTCAGATCATTGGTGATATTGCCGCGTTGGATGCTTGGAAGAAGGACCAGAAGCGAGCGGGCTCACTATCCACAACGGAGCTGGTCCAGCGTGGAAAGATCATGGAGGATGCTATCAAGGCGGGCCTCGAGGCCATGGAGAGCGAGTTCCGGATGAGGGTGCCTGCTAACAACCCCGTCTATGCCGTCCTTGGAAACAATGTGCATCCATCACAACCCGGCATTACGGACCAGTCCCCGCCATTACTCATAAATAACGTCATCTGGCTCCAAGCTGCAATGACCTACCTTTATGTCGTCATCTCAGGATGGCAGCCTTCATGCCCCGAGATCAGAAACTCTGTCTCTCAAATGACGGCCCTCTTGACCGAGCTGCCCCAGGACACGGGTCTAAGGACCCTGGCCTGGCCGTTCTGCATTGCTGGCTGCCTTTCCCCTCCAGAGGATGAGTGCACGTACCGTGCCATGGTCCGGCGGATGGGATCAGTGAGTGTGTTTGGAACGGTCAAGGCAGCAATGGAGATCATGGAAGCAGTTTGGGCTCAAAGGAGTCAGATTGACGAGAGTTGGGACGTGGCCAAGTGCATGCGGATTTTGGGACATGGAGTTTTGCTGATTTGATACCCTGGGATACGCCCCCCATTCCTACACTGGCGAGCGGATCATGGGGTGTGATTGACGGCAATTATATGTCTGATTTAGGCGTGATTATGAGACACGGTTGGACTGGATGACAGCAATACTTTGAAAGCTTTGGCGTAACGAATGACTGATTTTAGGGGTAACTGGTTCGGTAGTAACTTGAAAGTTGTCATTTCGCATCAAGGATGGGAAATGATATTATCAAAACTCCTCGTATTTTTTTCTCATGTTTTTCTAATTATGAAAACCAATCTAGCCAGTAGACATTACCCATGGTTGTGAAACCCAAACCGAGACCCAGACATAACCCCAAAAATCTTCAACGTTCATTACATTCCCGTGCAGACCAAGCTGCCCAATTTCATTTTCGTGATGCTCCTCCACCAAACAAAGTGTGTCTCTTTTCGAGAATATCAAGATCCCACCATCCTTCGAGGGCTTGCATAATGGTTCTCCGCTTAGACCTGACCCTCTCTAGGAGCGGACTGCGAGGTCCGTCTGAGAAGGCCGGCGAGGGTGGAGGGAGTAGCAGTGGAGGGACAGGCGGCAGAGGCGGTATTTCTTCCACCGGCCTCGCCACCTCCCTCATGCGCACCCTCTTCTCGCGGATAGGTGCCGTGGGGGGCGGGGGATACCACGGTTGGCGAGCGCTGTCCGAGTCGGAGTCGCTATCGAACCGCTTCTCACGCTGCGCCATGGCCGTCGTCCCGAGACTTCGGCTCCGGCTCCGGGCCGCGATGGGCCCGGGACCGGCGGTCGGCCCCGCCGCAATCCCACGGCCGCACCTTCAGTAGCTCTCGACGTCCTTGGGGGGAGGGGGGGCGCCCTTGGTGCGCTTCCAGAGGCAGATGGAGGTGACGGCGGAGAAGGCGAAGAGCACGCACAGGGCGATGCTCAGGCCCCAGATGGCCTTGATCTGGTAGCACGAGGCCTTGTCGGCGTCGACCCACTTGAACGTGTTGCTGCTCGAGTGGTAGACGTTGTGGAACAGAGAGTTGATGAAGTTGGCCGTGTTGCCGTTCGTGGGGAACTTGGGGCACGACAGGTAGCTGACGGGCTTGCCAACGGTGCAAGCGACGACGATGCATGCGATCAGGATCATCGAGTCAGCGCCGGTGGCAATGAGGAGAGGGAGCATGTAGTCCCAGTAGAGGATGTAACTGATGGCAATGTAGAGAGTTGCGATGCAGGACTGGAAGACGGTGTTAGTTGACGGGGTCCAGTGTTGAAGACGCCACCATGTAAGTCCCTATAAAGAGCAGAGACTCTCGGAAGAAAACAAGAAGCAAGCGGAATCAAACTTACCACAACCAGTGTGCCGATGAGGGCCGAAGGAGCGGCATAGTCGGCCATGACCATCTCGGAGATGAAGTTGGAAGTCAAGCCGATGATGGTAACGAGGGAGACGAACTGCATGGCTCGCATGGCAGTCCAGGTCACGCCTAGAGCACCGAGGGAGGGAGGAGAATGCATCTTGAGAGTCTTGGGAGTGACGATGGAAAGGCGAGGGCGCGACGAGCCGGCGGTGCGCAGCGGGAGGCGGTTGGAGTAGAAAGGGACGGAAGGGGCCGGGGAGGAAATTTTGTCAATGGTTAGGCCCGCCTAAGGAAAAGGCGAGGAGGAAGTTGTTGGTTTTTTCGTAGTGAGGAAAGTAAAGGGAAAAGGCGAAGAGAGTCGTTATGATTTTTGAATGCTGTGAAGCTGGAAATGTTGAACGTTTGCGAAGGAGATGCGACCAAAAACCCAGAGATAGAGAGAAGGGTACAAAGGAAACAAGGAAAAGAAAAAAAAAAGAAAAAGGAAAGAGATAGGAAAGGATGAGATGGAGTGTAGTGTTGTGTAGTTTGATGAAGAAGAGAAGCAGACGATTGAGGACGACTGGCGGTCCGTCTTTATACAGGATGGCTCATGGCCAAAACACACGGCGGAAGGTTGACGTCGAACCACAAGCAAGCCGCAACCACACACAAACACGGCCAGACTCAACGCGGCCTGGATGTTTCCAAATTCAGCAGCCGCCCACGACGGCCATCAATCCATGGAGCCTCCACTCGCGCAGACGACCAGCCGCGCCGTGTTTCACCGTGAAGCCCGCCCAGCAGCCGTCGCGCGCCCTCATCCGCCCGCCGCCTGGAACTTGACACAGACGGGCCCCTGCAAGTGCCTCTTCTCTCCACGCCGCCCGCCCAGGCGCGTGGAAACCGCAGGCGGCCAATGGGGCGGCCGGCCGTACGGTACTGGGAGGGTCTATTTCCCGTTTGCCGCACGGCGGATCCCGGCGGCGCCGTGTCATTGGCGCGGCGCTACACGGCAGGGATGCCGCCATGTACAACTGCGATGCCGGGGGTGGGTTTTGGATAGCCGCGCAGATGGAGACGGATGGGCGTCCTGGCGATCATCGCCCTGGACGGGCCCGTCGATTGGACCAGAGGGCTTCATGATGGCGGACGGCGGACGGGGGGGTTGGTGGTTCGGGTCAAGATTGCGGCCGGGCTGGTTTGGTTTGAGGCCCGGCCGCAGATGGGGCGAGATTGAAGGTGAGCGAGCCTGTCGTTGTTTGCTTTGCGCGAGCCCCGGCCATGTTATGGAGTGTTCTTTGTTTAGATTCCGGTGGCTTGCTTGTTGGTCGTGCAACTGCCGCTGCTTGGACCTGGCCGTGAGGATGAACGCAGCCTCTCTGTCTACATCCCAGTCATGTGCGCTCTGGCCTCTGCGCGCTGCCTACATCTGGGATCGGGGAGCAGGGTTCTTGGCACCCACGCATGGGCCGTGGCTTGTTTGGCCGTGGCCTGCATTTCGTTGAGGGTGCCGTTCGTGAACTTGGATGGCCCGCTATGTTTAGAGGACCAAAGGCCTTAACATGGTTGTATCCCTGGAAAGGCGTCGCTGTTGGACGCCGTCGTGAGATCAGACGCGTTGGGATGGCGTAGCACAGTTCACCAGCACCAAGACCTGGATCAAGACCAAACTGGCATGACATGTCAGTTCATTTTTTGCGCCAGACGCCTATCTAGGATCCTATCATCAAAATAACATGCTTGTCCCATTGCTTTGTTATCCATACATTCTTAGGGCCACCCCATGGCACCCGCTGGGACATGTTCCTCACGGTTACTTTGAACCAGGCCCGTCCCAGTCTCAGGTCTAGGTGGTGGCTTGTAATATTGGACATTCACGTACGTTGCTTAACCAAGAAGATCGTCCATCGCAGATCCGCCTGTCTTAGGAGCAGGTGGCTGTGAAGACCCGCCAGCAGGGGCTCCCCAGATGCCGGCAGCGCTCTTCTCCTTGGCGAGCTGGCCCATCGTGGGACCAGCGGTAGGGGTGTTGGGCTTCTTCATGCCCGCGCTGGCCTTGCCCCACAGGGCTCCAAAGGCATCGCCGCCAGCAGCAGCCGCAGGCTTGTTCGCAGAGCTGGTGACGGGCTTCATGTTGCCCATGGTAGTCGGCGTGTTGGACGCTACGCTAGACATGCCTGGCAAGCCAGACACATGTGGAGCGCCAACGGGTTGAGCCTGGACGGTACCAAAGTAGTTGGGTCCGGAAGCCTGGAAGGCAGCTGGCTTGATGGGCTGGGCGGCCGGCGCAGCAGCAGGGGCGCTAAAGGCAGAGTAGTTGATACCTGGAGTGCCCGATGCGCTGGGAGCAGGCGAGATGGATGACATGCTAACCATCTGGTTGATGTCGGCCTGCTGAGGGCCGGATCGGGGCTGAGGAGAAGCGAAGTGGGCGGTCGAAGAGGCTGACGATGTCACGGGAGCCATGGCAGTCTGTCCAAAGGCACTGGGAGCCGCGGGAGTGGCCTCCTGGAAGTCATCAAACTCATCGTCGTCGTCGTTGGCGGAAGCGGAAGTGCCGCTCGGGGCTAAGGGAGCAAAGCCAGACGAAGAAGCACCGGGGGCTGCAGACGAGGATGACGGCGCGGGATCGTCGAAGGAGAACAGATCAACCTCGGGCTCCTTCTTCTTAGGAAGCTCGGCTGTTGTCTTCTTAACACCGGCTCGCTCAGGTCGCTTTGCGGTTCTGGTGGAGCTCGGTGCGGGCCTCTCACCCTCATCGAACTCGTCGTACTCTTCGAATCGGTCGGCTCGGCTGCTGGAATCCTGCCACTCGTTTGTTTGGCCTCCGAAGCCGCCGCCGTCGCCGTAGACGCCTCCCGAGTAACCACCATAGCCTCCAGGAGCACCACCCCCATCGGCGCTTTCGCTGCCGAAGCCGCCATACCGGCTGGAGCTGGCACCGCCGCTGGAGAAGCCGCCGCCAAAAGTCGCGCCGCCCTCCACGCCTGTGTACTTGCTCTTGCTCGCTCGCGCCTTCTTACGCTCGGCCCGGATGCGCTCGACGTCGCCGAGAAGCTCAGCGAGTTCCTTGGCTCGGTTTCGAACGTTGATGCCCTGGTCCTTGCCATTCGCGTCGATGAAGTGGAACTGGCGGAGCATCTTGAGGAGGGAGATGTGGCCCCGGGCGTCGTCAATGACGCGCTCAGAGCCGTGCTTGATGAGGAACTCGAGTAGTTGGAGGGCCTTGTAGATCTGGCGCCATTCCTCGGCGGCCTTTTCTGTGAAGCGGCGGTAGATCATGGGCATGATCTCATTGAGAGTTTGGCTGGTCGTCGGTCAGCAGATGGGCGGAAACATGTGCGAGGACGTCGGGTTGGGTGGCGTACTAGTTGAAGGTGCCGCTCGCGATCTCCTGCATCAGAGTCGAGGATGCTCCCCAAGGCTCGTTGTTCGTGGCCTCTCGCACCTGTAGACCGACTGTTAGTGCCTGGCCCTGGATTGCTCGCCGTCTCTGGCAGACAAACGCACCTTGGACTCCATCTCCGTAAAGTTCATTACCGCTGCGCATCTCTGTCAGTCATTGGGCGCAACGGACGAGAGCGCTCAGGGGGTACCATTTTGGGCCTTCCTGAACCCGGCCTTGATGTCATACAAGGACAGGTTCGAGACGGTGGACTTCAAGTCGTTCAAATCCATGGTTGCGGGGGATCCAGGGGGCTAGACACCGTGAAGATGATGGGCGGGCGGAGGAACAGGAGCGCGCGGCAATGCTTGGTGTTGTGCTGCCAGCTTGGATGGTAACTATTCCAACAAGATGATGTCAAGTTGCCCCTTGCGCCAAAGTCATCTCGGACACCTGGACTTTCCGGCCTCAGCTGTGGCGAGCCTAATGCCAGCGTGGAGGGGAGTCGAATCACGTGATTACCCACTGGAACATGGCAAATAAGCTACAGAGTACATGGCCTGGGCGTTTGCCAGCACGCAACGCTGGGGGTTACGGACAAGCGAGCGGCACGGGAGGGGAGAGAGGCCATTCGCGATGGAGTGATGGGTTCATTGGCATTTTGTCGAGTGGCTTATGGACATACATCTCGTACAGCATACGCCGCTCCCTACAGTAGCTAAAGTGGGAGGGACCTTAGCTTGCCCAAGAGCCAAGCGTGGGCGTACCTGGGTCCCTCACCGCACTCGTCAGTACCTGAGACTTCAGGCTTGAAAACAGCAGCTCTCTCCGACGACGTTTAATGGCCGGCTCAGCTGGCCCAAAACTTTTCCCCCTTCCCTTGAAGACCAGTCCAAAGGTTTATCGACGACACGTACATCTGGGCCATATTCCCTGTGTATATCTCATCTGCCTGATCCTCTTCTCCCTTTGTACTTTTACCATTTAAGTGTATTACTCACCACAAGGTACGTCTGGTTTGGATCCTACCGCATCACCGCTATACCCGTCATACGAAAGATCCTGGGGTGGCTCAGCTCGCTCATGGGGGGCGAGCAACGCAAGCAGACCGATTCTCAAGGCATAGAATGCAATGGCAAGCGACGGGCTCCAGTTTCCAAACTGTGCCGTCCAGCACCAATTGGCTTCCATGGAAAAGTCGCTCACCCAAACCCGGGCATTGCCGGCATTGGCCCAGTTCCATGCCCATCCATCCATCCATCCATCCTTCTCTCCAGCCGTGGCCTTGGTCCTTGATCCAGCCAGCGAGCCCAGCCGGCTTTGCGGAGTTGCCAACCAGCAGCAGGCTTCCGCCACCGCGAGTCTGTGGCCACCACGGGGCCTTGGACTGGATGAGAAGTGGAGGGGGGGCGATGTGATGATGAGAATCCACTGCGCAGCCCGTGTCCCCAGATCCCTCCAATGGGCATTGGCCTTGAGGCAAAGCCTGCAGCAACTCTGCTGCATCGTGCCACTCAATGGCCGTGGACGAAGTCGACTCGTGTCCCCTGGCGGGCGTGGGCTTGGCCGGGCAACCACCACCTCAACAACCGCCTCAATGCCCCCCCCATTGAAGCTGCGGATGAGGGAGCATTGACGTGCAGAAGGCGCTCGTGGCTCCTACCAATGTCTTGCTTCCAGCACCGGCACCGGCGGCTAACAGGGGCTCCGGCGATGGAACAGCGCTGCTTTGCATCTTCCGCTAGCAGTGTCAGCAGAAGCTTCCAAGCTCTCGCGTCGACCCCGCCCTGGCCACGGTGACCTCATGCGAGGGACAGCGGAGCAGAGCTTCACTGCCAAAGTCCCGCCAACCTTCCCCTGCTCACTTCACGTGACCCGCATTCGGGCACATAGCCCCACCAAAACACTCATTTCCGCTGCTCTCATTGGCCCAACGGACGAGCGCTAACAATTTGCCCCTCTAGCTCTCAAAATGAGACCAACCCTTCTCCGACCCCTCCTACCCCGCCATACCTCTTCCTGCTTCTCTGCCCCGAGATCTTTCTCTCTTCCTCAACTTGCAAACTCCTCCACCATCATAAACGCTACTCGATTCTTCACAGCATCCGCAATCATGGGTAACAGCAAGGTGTAAGCTCTCCCGTTTTGGTCCTTGACAGTCGTCAATGGTATCCTCCTTGACTCTCGCTCTTGACGCTGACCTCGTTCAACAGCTACTTCGACGTCACCTGGGAGGGCCCCGTCATGCAGAACGGCAAGCCTACCTCCACCATCAAGAGTAAGTCCTCAACCTACCCGAATTCATCAGATTCCATCAAGCCATACGCTCCTGGCTACTTCCATGGCTGTGTCTGGCCCTCGCAATCGCCCATTGCATCGTCAGCCCGTGTTTTCGCGGTATTTGTCATGTCAACATGGCGGCCCCTCACCCGCGCCTGCTGGAATCACCTCTTTGTTGTTCTATCTGAGCTGACATCTTGTTTCCTCCCGCACAGGCCAGTCCGGTCGCATCAACTTCAACCTCTACAACGATGTTGTCCCCAAGACCGCCGAGAACTTCCGCGCTCTCTGCACCGGCGAGAAGGGCTTCGGCTATGCTGGATCTGCCTTCCACCGCATCATCCCCGAGTTCATGCTCCAGGGTGGTGACTTCACCCGTGGCAACGTACGCCATTCCAATACCCCACCCGCAAATTGAAACCATAACTCACATTTTTCAAGGGCACTGGTGGCAAGTCCATCTACGGCGAGAAGTTCGCCGATGAGAACTTCCAGCTGAAGCACGACCGACCTGGTCTGCTGTCCATGGCCAACGCTGGCCCCAACACGTAAGCTACCCTCCACGGCAACCGAACACGCATCATGTCGCTAATTGAGCCACTTCACAGCAACGGCTCGCAGTTCTTCGTCACCACCGTTGTTACCTCGTGGCTCAACGGCCGCCACGTCGTCTTCGGCGAGGTCGCTGACCAGGACTCCCTCGACATTGTCAAGGCTCTTGAGGCTACCGGTTCCGGAAGCGGTGCCGTCAACTACAAGGAGAAGCCCACCATTGTCGCCTCTGGTGAGCTGTAAACGCTTCCTTGGCTTGTACGTACTGAGTAAAGGTGATTTGGGATTTTGGAAGTACATGGCATAAAAACCTCGGCGAGGACTAGCAATTGCGGCTGGTGATTAACAAGTTGACCGGCCCTTTGAGTTAGCTACTGAAAATGTCAACTGTTCAGACCCCACTTTTGAAGTCCCGTATCTACCTTTGATGATGTAACATTGGCTTCCCTTGATGTGTTTTCTCAAATGATGATGAACCTTCACGACGACTTTCCAGCGCGATTGAAGAAGAGGAATAATGTGATGTTGCGATGGGTAGTGTATATTCATTTATGCCTACCTAGGTATCTCGCTGAGTGACTCCGTGGGGTCATGTTGATTTTTTTTCTATGCCTGCGCCGCTGCTATGCTCTCCGGAAAAGACGAAAACCAGATCCAAAAACTCCGTTCCCCGCCAGGTATTTGGTGACCACACTCGTTCGCTTCCATTGGCTCTCAATGCCGGAGAATCCAATTCCTGATGTTATGTTCGCAATAGGCAAGGAGACTAACGCTCACGGGTCTTATTCAACCCCCAGCCATGTCTTGAAGTACTCACAGTTACTGGGACCAACGGGTCCGCCTTCTTCGCAGAGGTCAAACACCGGGCACCGACCACAGGGTGCCTCTGTGAAGGAGCTCATGTGCGACTCAGGGCCGCCTTCACGCCCCGTGGGATCTTCGCGGCCAGCCCAGCTTTCGATGGACTGCTTTGCGATCCGGGCGACACGGTAACCAACCTTGCCGGCGACCTTAACTGGCTCGATGAGGTTGTCCCAGACAAGGACGTCAATGAGCTTCTTGACGTCGACTTCGGAAAGGATAGTGTTGTGGGTGATGCCGCTGGTGGACAAGAGACGGGCGATGTCGCGGACGGTGGGATAGCCTGTGTAGCCTGCAGGGAGGGGCAGGAGGGCGTCCTTCTTCGGGGTCGCAGTCACAGAGGTCTTGATGGCCTTGGAGGGGGGTTCATCCAGTTGACCGGCGTCTCGTTTCTTGCCCTTATCCACTGTACCCTTGACAATGCCCTTCTTGGGTACCTGGGACCGGGTGGCGCCCCCTCCGTGGGTGGAGTGGTAGCTGCTCTGGCGCTTGATGAAGTCGAAGACGACGCGCTGCAGGTCCTCAATGAAGGCCTCATCGAGGTTCTGGTCCGTATACCAAGGTCCTCCGGTGGCGCGGTCACTAGGACGGATGGAGGCCTTGATGTACATCTTCTTGTTGGGGTGCTCGACATTCTTGAACGGGGCGATGAGGCCCTTGGTCTGAAGCTGCTTAAGAGCATTCTTGAGGACCGAGTCGTGCATGTTCAACCGCCTCTGGAGGGTTTGGGACCAGATTCCATCACCGCCCGAGTCGTCGATAAGGGAGTAGACCATGATCTGTTCGTCGGTCGAGCACTGCTTATACCTGGAGAGGCAGGCTGTCAGCAAGGCATCTTAAGGTGCGAGCCGTCGCAACATACTTGTGCGCCTCCGTGGCGTCGCGCCACTTCCACAAGACCTGACCCGAGGCCTCGCGCATGGTAATGAAGAGCTTGTCATCGCTGAGGGACTGGACGACGCGGGCGAGCAGCATCAGGTCGCGGTTTGGGATGACGTCGAGGCGGAGCAGGTCATCCTGGGAGAACATGTCGACGCCGGACTCGCGGCAGCGGTCATACAAGGCCTCCTTCCAGACGGACAGCTTGGCGGTGGCGGCATCGCCCTCTGCTGGGGGGGCGGGGGTCGGCATGGCCGCGATGGTGGTGATGCGATGGAGGTCGCTGATGGGCGGGCGGGATGGAGGGGTGACTCAAGCGGCAGTGCGCAGCCGCTGCGGGAGGGGAGATTGCACGTCACGGGCTGGCGATGGCCGCTGGAGGAGAGCAGAATAGATATGGAAGTTAGTGCTACATTGACGGGAGCGATTGGGGTTGTGGGAGGCCGCTGGGTGTTGCGAGGAACGGATGGATAGAAGGTTGATGGTGGGATATCGCAGTTGGGAATAATTATTTTGAGTCTTGCGATTGGCGCAGACAAAAGTTGTCATGGGCACAGACAAAATCATGTGACCCCACTTTTCCTGGCCCCGCATCGTGTCTTGCTCGTCAACTCCTCCACATCAAATCCAGCATCAGTCTGAGCATGGTCTGAACAACGCATATGTTTCGTTGTACCAAAACCATGTTATCTTTGTGCTCGGTCTGGTTGATATCCCGGCTGCAACGGCAGTCACCGTTTGGGTTGCTACTTGCAGCTGATCCTGTGGCTGCAACAGTAACTGCTGTCTGTCTGGAATATCCTCCTTTGCAGCTAATGACTGCATGCTGATGACCCTGATCTATTCGCTACTCTCTGGTCTCATCCTATCCCTGTTCTTCCGCCTCTACTAATCGCTGCATCGAGGGAAATCGGCAGAAAGGGGCCGATGCTCTTGGGAATTGTTACAGTCCACCATCTTTTTGTGGGAGTTTCTAGCTTAGGATACTGCAATATCACCGTACGTGCCCAAATCCAACTGCACATCCTTGTAGAAACACATTTTGTTGTTACAGGTCCCTTTACCCACCCAGTGACAGTTCTTAAAGGGAGCGTCTTCGGACAGCACAGCCCCTGGCTTGTACCTACCTGCGATTTCCACCGCGATTCTAAGCTACCTTGATCGTACCGCTGGCGGACTTTTCACTGCACTTGGTGTGTTTGCACGCCTTGCATCTAGGTCTCGGCCGAGCAGCAGAAGGCTTGCATGCCGGAGCGCAGGCAGTTCTCGGTGGTGTGACGGGAGAGTCTAGCGGGCAGTAACTGGTTTAAACTTGGCCTCTCCTCAGGTAGTCAAAAGAGAAACTGGGCCTAAAAGTGAACGCAATTATATTCCATACGCTATGATCGAAATCTCAAAACAAAAAATCCTCAGGCAGGACGTAAAGGACCCCTCGAGCGAATGAAGCCGATGTTCACACCCCTCTCTGCCTTGTTCATTCCCCTCCCTGCCGCCCGTAATCCTACGCCTGGAACGCCTCAGGCCACATCTTACCACGCTATAGATACAAAATGCTCGAATTCAGAATGCCTGGAAGCTGAAGCTCTCGGGGTCCTAAAAAGTGAACATAAGAGGACAAGTGCGGGACAACTTGCGTTGAGAACCAGCAGCATGTCGAACCGAGTCGTACACTCAGAAGCCATGGTAGCTATCCTAGTGCTCCGGGCTTTTGCTCTTCTCGTTTGTCTCCTCAGGCTTGTCCTTTTCGGTATCGACATCCATTGCATCCGCAGGTTGCTCGTCCTTGGGCTTCTCTTCGAAGTTCTCAGTAGGCTTCTCCGAAGTGTCCTCGGCAGGCTTGGACTCCGGCGTTGGGTCCTTGGCAGCCACTTCGGGTGTGGGATCCTTGGTGGCAGACTCGTTGTCCACTGGCTTCTCAGTCGGCGCGGCCTCGGGGGCTGCCTCGGGCTCGACTTCCTCCTTCTTGATTGTCGTGGTGTCTTCTGCTGGGGCAGAGTCCTCCATTCCAACATCACCATCGCCGTCTATGTTGCTCTTTTCGGGTTCCTTGGGGGTCTCCTCCGGCTTTTCAGACTCCTTCTCAGACTGCTCCTTCTCATGCTGCTCCTGTGCCGAAATGTCCTCGATGGTGTCATCGTTGATATCATGTGTCTCCTCGACTACTGGCTCCTCAACGGCGGTGCCGTTCGTACCGGGGGCAGGAGAGACGTCGCCGCTGTCGATCTCCATGTCTCCCTTTCCGAAATCCGTGAATGGTCGCTTGTTATCGCTGATTCGTGTTGCGCCATTGTTGCGAGCCATCTCATCATCATCACTGGCCTCAAATTCGGCATCGTTCTCAACCCGCTTGTCCCATCTGTGCTCGGTCATGCGGACATCCTTGTTCTCGTCTTCGTCGAGGTCATCGAGCTCGGCCTCTTCCTCGTCGGTCATTCCTCCAAATGGCTTTCGAGGAACATCTTGCATCTGGACTGAGGGTACCGGTCCGGTTTGTCGAAGGTTGTCAATGACGGCAGCAGTGATCTTCTCGAGGTACTCTCGGCTATTGGAGTTTTCCATGTTTGAAGAACGAACGTTCAATTCAAAGTCAGGGGCATAGTACTTGAGATGGTCAGCAGAGTCCTCACATTGGGAACAATTTCGCATACCTCGTAATATTCGTTGTACGGGAGAGTGCGGTTCATCTCCTGTCCAACAAGAACACCAGTCTCAAATGCCCAGGTGCGCGCAACATTCCGCATGGTGTAGCCACCGCCGCCCAGAACAAGCGTAGGAAGGTTGAAGCTCTTGACGTAGTTGACGCAGTTGGCGTGGCCGTCCATGCTGAGGTTGAAGCAGCCCAATCGATCGCCCGACAGACTATCTCCACCACATTGCAAGACAACCGCCTCGGGTTGGTAAAACCTCATGACGTTTTCGATGACCGGCTCGAAGATTGACTTATACGTTTGGTCGGTGATTCCGTCGCGGAGCGGGAAGTTGACGGCATAATTCTTTCCCTGGCCAATGCCAGTATCTCGAAGCTCACCGGTTCCAGGGAAATATTCGCCGTACTTGTGGAAAGACACGGTCATGACACGATCGGTCGTGTAAAAGGCTTCTTCGACACCGTCGCCGTGATGAACGTCAATATCGATGTAGAGAACTCGCTTCTTGAACCGGAGAAGTTCAAGGATTCCCAGAACGATATCTAAAAGTTGGTTAGAGTGGCGTGGGAAAACGTCCTGGAATTAGCCACAAACCGTTGACGTAGCAGAAGCCACTTGCTTCACACTTCTTGGCGTGGTGAAGACCTCCAGCCCAGTTGATGGCAATGTCGCACTTCTGACGATTCAGGCGCGCGGCACCTTCCATGCTGCCACCGGCGCTGATGCCGCAAAACTCGAAGAGGCCATCGAAAACAGGGCAATCGTCGCCGACGTTGTACTTGCCCTGCTCGCGCATGAAGCTGTCCATGTTGTCGGGAGTGACCTTTTGGAGAAAGTCGATGTAGTCGTCCGTGTGAAATTGTGTCATTTCCCCTCTAGTCGCGGGCTTCGCACGCTGTTATTCGGTCAGCAAAGGCACTCTAGCGCCAGGCTGTCATAAGACAAGGCTGGCAGCGACGCGAGGCGACTGACGTAGATTTCCATCTTCTGGTAGAGGTTGTACTGCATAATTAAACTATGCGCCAAGCGAATACGGTGAGGCTTCATGGGATGGCCGGTGACATATGCATAGTTACCGATGTCGGAGTCGTAGAAGTAGGCGACCTTCTTGGGTGATGAGCCATTGAGCGCCGCCGAGCCGAGATTCACAGTGATGTCTCCCATGATGCTGCTGGACGGTTGGCGTCGCGAATCGGGAGGTGAGAATCGGCAAAGTGAATACGATGGAATTCAAAAAGAGGCGATTATCCGTCGATATAACCAGTCGAAGTCAGCTCAAAGGGAGCTCGACATGATCGACTGGGTGGGGTGAATGATCGGGAGAAGTTTCCAAGTCAAGGGAGGGTGAGAACGAACTACACGAAGGGAGGCTGCGGAAGCGCCACAGCGCAAGGTACATCGCGGATAAACTTTGGTGCGTCAAGGCTGGCTAGTCGCATGCGGCGGTGCCTGGGCATGTGTCGTCATTGGACCAGCCACAGAGCATCCACCGCACCACCCTGGCGACGTCCGCAAGGGTCCCTGCGAGGCTGAACCACGCCACAGTGGCAGTGGCACGTGACGTGACTAAGCTCATGGAGCTGTGACTTTCTAGGCTCCCGGGCTGGCGTCAACGTCAACCACCTCTCAACGCAAGCTCCGATCACGACGACCGTCCTCCGCTGTCACCCTCAACCACAGCTCCCCTACCCCATATCTGTCCCATTTCCTCATACAAACTCTCTGTCCGACCCCATAAAAGATCATTTTCAGCACAATGGAGCGCTTCCGGAACCTATTAGGTGGCGGTGGTATGGGCCTTGGAGGAGCTGCCCATGGCACGGTAAGCTCTTCTCCAGCCATTCAAGCTCCCTGCTTGGATGACCCAGGTGTCTCGAGACATTACTAATGTACTGGGATCACAGGACAACACAAACCTGATCGACAACTCCGAAACCGTCTACATTTCATCCCTGGCCTTGCTGAAGATGCTTCGGCATGGTCGCGCAGGTGTGCCCATGGAAGTCATGGGTTTGATGTTGGGGGAGTTCGTGGATGACTTCACCGTCAAGGTCATGGATGTGTTCGCTATGCCTCAAAGTGGTACTGGTGTCAGCGTCGAGGCTGTCGACCCCGTTTTCCAGACCAAGATGATGGACATGCTGCGGCAAACAGGACGGTACGCCATTGCCTCCCTTCGATAACTACATGTGTGGTGTTCATTGGCTGACCTGAATAGACCCGAGTCCGTTGTCGGCTGGTACCACTCCCATCCCGGTTTTGGATGCTGGCTCTCGTCAGTCGATATCAACACCCAGCAGTCCTTCGAGCAGCTGAACCCCCGAGCCGTCGCCGTCGTTATCGATCCCATCCAGTCAGTCAAGGGCAAGGTTGTCATTGATGCATTCCGTCTCATCAACCCCCAGCTCTTGATGATGGGTCAAGAGCCCCGCCAGAGCACGAGCAACTTGGGTCACCTCAACAAGCCTTCCATCCAGGCTCTTATCCACGGTTTAAACCGACACTACTACTCGATCGCAATCGACTATCGCAAGACGGCGCTCGAGGAGAACATGCTGATGAACCTCCACAAGCACGTCTGGACCGAGGCGCTAGAGATGGATGATTTCAGATTGGAGGGATCGAAGAACAAGGATAAGCTTCAGCGCTTGGTCGCCCTGGCCGATGGCTACGAGACCCGCGTGAAGGAGGAGACTGAGCTGACTAAGGATCAACTCAAGACCCGATACGTCGGCAAGCTTGATCCGAAGAAGCATCTCGAAGACGTGGGCCAGGAGCTCATCGAAGACAATATCGTGTCAGTTTCGCGACAGATGATTGACAAGGAGGCGACGATGCCCAAAAAGGACAGCCCAACGGGATCCAAGGGACGAGCGAATGGTGAGCAGATGGATGTGGAGGAGGAGCTATAAGGAAGCAGAAGAAACGGACATGCGGAGGCTTCGGAATAAACTTGTAAGATTACGGGGCGTTGGAGTCGGACGGGACGGACGATATAGAGACCATGCTGTGTTTACGAATTCTTGCACGAGGCAGGATCGGATCCACGGTATTAATTTCTTGCATGATGCGTCTCCCGCCTGCCCCTTTCCTGGCGCGTCGGCGCGACCGAACGGTTCCCCGCAGCCGCGCAAAAGGGGCTGCGGCGCGTTAAGCGCAGAGTTGAACAAACCCCCAACAAAATCGAACAAAGCAGTAGCTTCACAAAACACATAGGAACAATAAAGATGTTCAAATCCGTTCATTTTCTTTATATTATAAGTTGCGTGCATGGTCCATGTAGTTCTTTTGTGGGCTCTGCAACTTCACCGCTAGACTAAAATTGCTTGATCTCAATTCCTTGCCACCTAAGCATCAACAGCCCGATATACTAGCACATTACGCGTACTAGCTCCCTCAGAGACAACTGCTTCCCAATACGACTTCCAAAACAGTAAGGGAAGCGAATTTATTTTTTATCGTGGTCAATACCCATCATGGGCTTTGGCTCATGGCTACGCACCGCGTTGGGCCTCTCTCCTGATCGCCCGGACAGAGCCCAACGAACGCGAACGCCAACGCGAACGCCAACTCCAACGCCAACTCCCGCTTCTCTACGGGCGTCCCAACGCGCCCGGCACGCTTTAAAACCACCTCGTCAAGCGCAAGCTCACATGTCGCTCACGACGGAAACCATTAACAGCCCGGCTTCAGGCCGGAGTCAACGGCGGCGCCCGCGTCGCTCAGAGGCTCACATAGCGCGTCACCGTTCAGACCCAATTATGCCTGGGATACAAGCCGCGTTCCCCCGGCCCAACACACCAAGGCCTTCATTTGAGCCTCTTAAGAACACGGAGAGGCAACTCCGTGATACATCTCGGCCTCCAACGCGAAAAGACAGCACCAGAAAGCCGCGTCGGCCAAAATCAGAGGGTTCAATCACCACCCCCGTGGCGGCTGAGTACCGGCGGATGGACCGCGCCGCCGTCCGCGAAGCCATCACCCGGATCGCAGAGTTGTTCGGCCATATTCCCTATGTGGTCTGTGGCCCTGCTGCTATGCTTTACTACGGCTTCGAGGGCCGTCCAACCTCACATATTAACCTTCTCTGTCCGGCTCACTCTCGAGAAGCCATGAGAGGTTGGGCAATAGCACAGGGCATGTACCCCATGCCCAACCGGCCAGACCACTTCGGACTGGTAACATCTAATGGAATCATTCGGCAAGTTCATGTCGACTACATGGAGGAAGGGTTCGAGGACGTGGACGCGATCCGTTCCGGCAAGACGCGTGCTCTGGTGCTTTCGCTGGCGGGCCTGGCGGACCAGATCGCCCAAGGATATGTCAAAGAGCTAGAGCATTCCGCTGGTCGGGACCAAAAGGTCTTTGCGACTGACATGTTCTGGGTTCTCGGGAAGATTGCTTCCCTGTCCCGCAAGGAACACCATCTCACTCCACGGCGAGCCCCTCATATCTGGCTCGACACATTCTGGGTGCCCTTTACGCTGTCCTTTCCAGACTCGGTACCCTTGTTTGGCGCAGCGGGCATCTTGGTTCAGGAGATGGGCGAGCTTCCTTCTCATGAGCCTAATGAGACCGCAGCCGCCGCGGTGAAGAGGAAACGGAAATCGACCCCGAGAGCTCTAGCACTCAGTCGATCTCCGTCGAACGGCCGGTCTCCATCGAATGGCCGGTCTCCATCGGATAAACGTCGATCTTCGTTGCATGATCGCTCTCCTTCGAGTGCTCGAACTCCGTTGATTGATCGATCTCCATCGAACCGTCGGTCTCCGCTGATTGAGCGGTCTCCATCGAACCGACGGTCTCCGTTGATTGATCGGCCTCCATCGAATGGTCGGTCTCCGTTGCATAATCGATCTCCGTCGAATGGCAGATCTCCACTGAGTGGTCGGAAGGGGGATGACGAATACATGGCGACGCTTTAGCCCAAATAAAGAGGCGTTCGTTTTACACGGTTGATGATCAATGTTTAATAAGTATGTGTGGATAGAAGACATGGAGAGAGCCATGTTTGATTCAACCTTACGATACCCTTACGACTCAGTTCTTGTACCATTATCTCTCCATTTCAACCCTGTTATTACTTTAGAAGGACAAATTTGAATTGCACTCAATACCACTCCAACTTAGCTGGTGACACATGTTTCAATCAAGGGAGCACATGCGGACACTCCATTGCACGAACACGTGGCCCTGACTTCAATGTCTTGCACTGAACGACGTGAAGTTCTCATGACCTTGCCAGTGTAACATGGCCGGGAATTTTCCTGTGGGTGAATTATCTATCCGGTACCAACTACGACTTAAAGCTCTCTAGGTTACATCCTGAAATCTCTCGTTGGGTGAGTGGCATTATTCAACCTTGATCTCCCCCGTGACTATTCAAGAATCGTCCTCATCATCGCCGAACGACCGTAGCCAACTAGAACACAAAGTAACCCGCCATATGGCTCAACCAAAGTTAGTAGTCCAGCAAGTTGCCGTTTTTAGTACGAGTGAATCATGGAGAGAACGAAGTCAACCGCGGCATCGCCCCAGTTGATGACATAGCTCATGTGGACGGCAAGACTGTCGCCACCTTTCTCACAGAACATGTCTCCTGCATCGCAGATAGACATCATCTTGTGATCGACGCACTTGCATCCATCGGGGTTCAGGCGAGGGAAGATCTAATAATCTAGTTAGTATTGAGAATTAGAGGGAGTGGAACGGGTACTTACACCACTGCCATGGCTAGTTCCGACGTTGAATGGCTGACCGGCGGTGAAGGATGGGTCACCCATCAAGACAACCGCAGCGACTATTCAAGTTAGCCAAGTGATCGATTCCAAAATATTCATTCGGACTTACTCTTATCAGTTACGGTCGATTGCTGGGGCTTAGTGGCCGGGAATCCAGTTTCGCTGGTGCCGCACAGGACGTCAGAGGTGACGTGGGCGCCCTACACTTGTGAGTATCTTCCAAATTTTGTACAAAGAGGGTGCTTCAACTTACCTGAGAATACCCCATGAGAACCATCTTGGTGCGAGGGCACTTCTCGGAGTACTTCTGAATCAAAGTGGTCAGATTGGCGACTCCAGCCGTCTGAGACGGAACATAGGGGTCCAGCAGAGCCGGGTAGTCCAGAGACTCGATGTCAGATCCTGGGATGCGTTCGAGGATCTTGTTGGCTACCTGGCCCATGATTCCGGGGCCGGGAGCTTCCTGGCTGGCACGAGCAACAATGACGTGGACGCCAGAGGGGCAGTTCAAGTCCCCTGGGCCTGGGGTGCTCTTGGCAGTGGCCAAAGCAGCCAGGAGAGTGAGACCAGCGAGAATGGAGTGCATCGTGAAGAAGAGTTGCTTTGAGGGAAGCTGAAGTGTAAGCTGGATGGTTGTTGAGATGTGTTGTGATGGTGTTGATGTGTTGAGGAGAGAGTTGTCTAGACCGAGACCTACTCGAGACTTATGCACCAAGTCCTCGAGTGTACGGTGAACTCAGGCGTAACAAGGCCGAACAAAGGCTCATGTTCCTGAACACGCAGCAATGGTGGACCCGGAGTGTTGTTCAGCTGATTCCGGCCGTTCGCTGTGGGGGTTAACTAGCTGCCGGCCCGTCGGGTATCCAAACTCGCCTGCGTTAGCCGCGCAGTAGGCAAACAAGTTTGAAGAAATGACCCTTGTGAAGAAGTGGGATATCCAACTAGCCCTGCTAGCAGGATTGGGACCCTGGGTGACGCTGGTTGTGGAGAAGATGCAGGAGGAGGTGTTCACCAGACTGGGTCGGTGTGCGTTTGCCAGCTGTGTTAATGGTAGGTCATAATACTACATACATCACATGGGACTCTTGTGCCTCTTGTCTAATATGAAGGTGATAATCAGCTTGAATGTGCGGTGACTTGGGTTGTATATTGAGTGTGGTGAGTAAGATGCTGCCGTGGAGTCACATTGTGCGGGTGGTGATTCACACCAAACCACTACTTACGCAAGCTTCCGTCCCAGGAACAGGATCAGATGCGATTCACTTTATTATGTACTCGCCAAAAGCTTACAGGAAGAAGAGCAAAAATAAGGTGGGTAGTCTCAATCATCTCGTGTCTGCGACCAGGATACACCCATGTATCGATGGGGTAGATATGTGGCTTATGTGGGTATGATGCGCCGTCCCGTCAGTTCCCAAACCAGGGCAGAGTCGCGAGAATGAACTGGACTAAGCGTCCCCATGAACAAGCCAGCCTGCACTCACAACGCAGAATATTAAACCAATCCACAATCGTTGCTCGAAATTCCCGAATTATCCCGCGTCAGTAAAATGAATTACGGAATGTCCCAAGCGGCCCTCGACGGGATGATGGGCGCCCCGGAACACCAAATCCGCGCCATCCTGCTGGCCCTCTGCGACGATACGGCGGTGCGCCAGCGCGCGCTGAAGCACTACGCCGCGTTGCAGTCGTTCAACAGCGAGGCTACAGGGCTCAAACGCAAGGCTGCAGGGGACCTATGCATCTGCGTGCAGTGCGATTCCCCGTTTTACAAGGAGGATAACGTGCAAAGGGCCTGTCGATACCATCCCGGTGGGTTTACTCCCCACACAAGCTGTCGGTGGGGTTGGGATATTGACCGCTAACGGTCGGAGTAGGGAATCTCGAACACGACGTCGACTCAGACACCTGGATTGACTGGGACGAAAAGACATTCGGGCTTGAGGATACGCCAGAGAATCGAGAAGAGTACCCCGAAGGGTTCATGTGGACGTGCTGCGATAAGGCCGGTGATGCTTCGGGTTGCACCAAGGGCAATCATGAAGCTCACCCTGACCGGTCTAAGAAGGCTACGGGCGATCGTGCCGGCTCAGGGAGTGGCAATGCAGACTATATCACGATTGATGATGAAGATGATGGCGACGATGAGGAATGAAATTCGGCGTAAGCGGTGCAGGCGGCTTCATGTCATTTGCAGAGTACGGTCTGAATATCTCTTCCTCCCTGCTACTGTACGAGCATGACCAAATCAAGAACCTCCATCTTCAATTATTCCCCTCTTGATCTAAAACACACAATTGGGTAGAATCTTCTAGATTCAACATCAAGATCTCTCTTCCCCCCCGGACATTCTGTTGTCCCGGTCCGCCAGCCTCGCCGCCCTGCCGCCCTTGCGTCCTGCCGCCGCAAATCTGCGGGATGCGGTCGAGAGTTACAACAGCACCACATGCACTACAACAATGGAGCTTCTGCTAAACCATCAACTCGGCCCTTTCGGTCTCGATTCATACTCACATTATGAGGGAGGTGCCAATATGTTCGGGATCGATTGGAACGACCCAGTCAACCTCATGGTGGCCATGGGCGGGCGTATGCCAGAGTGTCCCTCTCCAGCTGAAGTCAAAGAAGAGGCAAAGGAACGGTCAAGCAAGATTTTCTCGACATACCGAACATTGAACAAGATCCTTGAGCGCCATGAGGCCACCATTCAAAAGCGATGGTCCAAGAAGACTCGATCGCAGAGGCTTCGCATTCTCCTCAACGCCTGGCCGGATATGCCTGCCTCGCATCGTCCCGATTTCGAGGCGTTCCGCAACGAGCCGTCTAAGAAGCGAAAGAGCGGTACGAAGCATAGGGGTGCATACATATGGCCCTATATCAACCAGGAAGACCTATCGCAGACTAGACCACTGCCCTTGTTGCTCAACGCAAGAGGCCGTACTCCCCCGACCACTTTCGTGGGTGCCGACCACAATGCAATGCAACTCGGCAAAACGAGCTTGGCAATAGTCGCTATAGCTCTCGATGAATACACCGTGGTACTCAACAGGGCCACCTCCGAAAAGGATTATGGCGAGATGTTGGATTGGGATACTCATCCTGATGCCTGTGATTGGATCCATTCCCGTACAGAATTCCTTCCTGGAGAGGCCCTGCTTATCCTCGAAGCACAAGAACGAGTGTTGGTTTTTCTCGTGGAGTGCTGTCAGGAGCTTCTCCACGAAATCCCGGCGGACACACTCACCAGCGATGAGTTCCCTGTCCAGCCAGAGCCACGAGTGAAATCAGAGAGTGACGCTTCTGGATTTGAATCCCTGGCCGTGTTGGCAGCCGAGGCGCCATATCGGGTGCCAGGACAGCTTGACCTGGGTCGAATGGAGTCGCTTCTTGAAGCTAGAGTGTCAGCCGCAGAAGATAGGCTTTGGATCCTTCGAGAAGATCCGTCATACTTTACGCAACGGCTTCTGGAAACAAAGGAACATCAGCAAGAGCTGATGCGGGACACCTTGGGTCAGTCTCATCACACCGCCTGTACAGGCCGCACCGCTACTCTCTGGTCTCGCATCTTAGGCAATGCTCTCACTGACGCTTACTTGCCCCTTGAACTATTTTCTGAGCTTCACAAGCAGGTGCAGATGCTTCAGCGGCTTCGGCAAAAACACGCTGAAATATCACTCTTGGATTACTTGCCAGAGGAGTACTTAGTTGCTCTTGTCAAGTTCCGTCACTACCTCATTCAAGGTTCACGTGGCATGCTAAGCAATCTCGAAGCACGCGTCATGGCTTCGCCGCCAATGCGTAAGTTCTATGTGCGCGAGCCGAGTGATGGCAAGTCGAAGATAGCAATCAGACCCCGAACTGGGGTAAAAATGACAAAGGTCGAGGAGCACCTCATCTGGCTCCTACATTCGTTGTGGGATTATGAAAATCGGATGTTCTCGGAGAGCCACTCACTTATGCTCGACGAGCTTGAGCGTCTGATACAAGCAGAGCCACAGGCGCAAGCCCTTATATCCAGCCCCGTCGCCAAACTCATCAGTGACGCTTCTATCATCTTTGAATGTTTGAGGCAGCTAGATCTCTACCGCCCATGGGCTTTGCAATTTGATCAGGCTCTTCAAGACCGAGGACCCGAGATCGACCGAGGCTTTATGCAACTCTCTGAGCCATGGCGCGAGATGTTTCTTGCCCTCGACGAGCACAACCTGAATGTGTTCGCCAAGCTGAGTGACCCATCTAGTGGAAACTTCACCTATCCTTTCAGTAAGCGCCGGACAAGGGAGAATGTGGATGCCCTAAGACTGGCTGAGGCCAACCTGGACGATGTGTGGGCCAGCTTTGACCGAATATTCGAGAAGAAGGATATCCAGCTAGACCGAACAGCGGCTCAGCACCTTCTTTCGCAGCCGCGCATGTTGCAGAGGACTCCGGAGTGGGTTGGAACGGCAACAGCTGCCAAGGACAAGCAAGCTGCAGATCCCGATGTCGAGGCCCTTGTTCAGCCTTTCTCGGCGGTGTTCTGTAACCGTTTGAGTACTCTTGACGATACTACGCAACGAAAGACAAAGGCAGAGACAAAGGGGACGCCATCCAAACCAGAAGATGACTCGACTGAAACACCCGAAATCGCACAAATTGACCATCGACCGACCGTCCCCATTGACGCCCGCTCGCTAAAGGTCTTCCGCACCCTCTTTTTCAACCCGGCAGTATCGTCATCGCCGGGCGACGTGCCATGGAATGAGTTCCTTCACGCCATGGCCTTGACTGGGTTCAGAGCTGAGAAGCTGTATGGGTTCGTCTGGCAGTTCTCCCCGACCAAGTTGAATGTCAAACGAAGCATACAATTTAATGAGCCTCATCCGAAGGGCAAGATGACACTTGAGGTGGCCAGGCGATTTGGACGGAGGCTTACCCGGGCATACGGCTGGTCTGCGGGTACGTTTGTATTGAGGCAGAAATAGACACTCCTTGAAGTAGATGGCGTGAATCTTTTGAATAATGTCATGTTGGGTACTGGATCAAGTTATTTGTGCTTCTGACACGGATCAAATATGTGCGTTTCTGGCATTGCCACCGTAGCCTATGCTCTTAACAAAGGGGATAAGAAATAAACGACAGCCCACCCATACGAGCGGTTATATATAGGTTTCTTAGAGCCATATGGTTTTCGCTATGATAAATGCTACAAAAAGACGCCTACCCGTCTGGGAGCATAATTCTTGTGGAGTGGAACGCTCACAAGTTATCACAAAACATGCTCGGAAAGGATCATCTTGATCATTGTCACGACTAGGGACGGACAAGTAGGATTGAGACTGAAATAAACAAGCCCCTCATCTTCACACATCGGATCGAACAGCGTTTAAGTATTTCCCAATAACTCCCAGCCCATGGATGGATAATGTTTCCCAAATCATCTTGCCACCCCCCTTCTCTCTCCCTGGCACGAGAACAGAATCAAAACAAGAGCCCCCAAAGCGGGATACCTCAGCTCCTGAACAAAGATACATTGAACAATTGACATGAAAAGTCGTAAGATCCCCTTGGACACGGGATGTCCAACCTGTGTTGCCTAGTACTCCATGCGCCTGAATGCGTTTGCCGTAACACCCGCTGACAGATTATTGCTCAGCCAAAAGCCCCCACTTGGTCGAGAATGAGAAACTGTGGCGCGGTGGAGATGACTAGACCGCAAGTGTTATCCGTCATATGTCATCATCCAGTACAAACTGAAGCTCATCCGTGAAATGCCGACTGAGGAATGGGATTTTGGGTGGTGGTGGTGGTGCCCCGTCAACAGCGTTCTGCCCCATGACAGTTGTAATATTCCTCGAATCTACATCACTGGGCTCCTACACCCCCATGATAGGTATCTTCTTGTTGCGCTTGCCCAATAGCGTGGCGTTATCCAAGTTGAGCTCGAAGGCACCTCGGCCACGGTTGCGGTCCTTCACCTGCTGCCGGGCCGCTGCCGTCACGGCCGCAGAGTGTTGGCCGTAACCCCTGTCAGTCGTGCGTTCGCGTTCTCGGCCCCGAGGCTCGTTGTCTTGATCCCGGATGTTGGTTTTTCGCATGCTCTGCTCAAGTGCGTTCGTGGCTGCGTTGGGCTTTGCCCCAGCATTAGGGTCTTGGCCATCGATCTGCATGCGATCTTCATCCTCCGTCTCCTCCTCGTCCTCCTCGTTGAGGCCGCCGAGGAACCTTGCAGGCCCACCCTTGGCACCCACCGCCGCTCTTCGTTTGCCCTCCTCCTCTTGGCGATGCACAGCGTAGCTGACATCGAAGACCTCGCGCAGGTTGACGGCTCCAGGTGATCGGAAATCATAACGCTTGCCTGGCTCCTCGAACTTGGCAGGATCAAAGGCCCGGATCATGCCGTCGGGCTTCTTCTTCTCCTCGCGGGGGGTAGGACCATTGCCTTGGACCCACGGGTGAGCCAGAAACTCTCCAATTGTGTACCGTTTCTCGGGATCAACCGTCAGCAGGTGGCTGATGAGATCCTGGGCGGACTTGGAAATGTCATCCCACCACGGAGACAAGAATGTGTACTGGCCCTTGGCGACCTTCTCGGTAAGCACCTCAATGCTCTCGTCATAGAAGGGAGGGAAGCCACAGAGAAGGGTGTACAGGACACAGCCAAGTGCCCACATATCAACAGACTTGGAGTACCGCTCGTCCTTGACAATCTCGGGCGCCGTATACCCAACAGTGCCACAGGGGGTCATGGTCTGGTTGTCCCACACAATCTTGGACAGGCCAAAATCGGCAATCTTGATCTGACCAATGCCACCGGCGCCCTGGCCGGGCATAAACTCACCCTCGTCTGCTTTGTCTTCATCGCCAGGCTGCGTCGGTTTGGGGTTCTTAGAAGCCACGAATGGAATGGGGTTGTACAGGATGTTTTCGGGTTTGATGTCACTGGCAAGGGTCAGCAACCGTCGCCGTGGGATACAGGGGCGAAATGACGTCAGGAGGGGCATCATCGACACCCAGGATCTGCGTAGCCTTGCGGCATCCGGGCGTTGGGGAATTAAACTTACCGATGAACAACACCTCTCTCCTCGTGCAAATACTCGAGAGCCTTGGCGACCTGGACAATGACGTGTCGGGAGAGCTCCTCGCTGAAGTAGGTCAAGCGGACAATCTGGTGGAAGAGCTCGCCACCAGGGGCCAGCTCGAGGATGATGTAGTAGTATTGTCGGGACTCGGAGAAATCGACGAGTTTGATGATGTTGGGGTGGTCAAGCTGGCGCATAATCTGGACCTCCTTCAAAATGTTTGATCGCTGCGTTCGAGTCAGTATGTTGCTTCGCCTAGCCGCGAGTATGCAGGCTCTCCTGTAACTCGACAAAACCGGCGAGCGCGGCAAAAGAAATCACAAAAAATAAGGAGACGCAGACTAAGGAAAATATTGTCGCACCTCTGCAGCCTTCGGGACCTTTTTGAAATCCGGATGTAAATGGTTGTTTCCCTAATAAGGGGGGCAACCCCGTGTGTTGGTAAATGGGGACGGAGAGACGAGATAATGCGAGCGATGACAGAAAACAAAAGGAGACGAGCAGCGTTGACATAACGGCCCAAGCAAACTCACCTGCATGCTGTTCATTTCGTATTTGCGGACGACCTTAATAGCGACCTCGCCTCTATCACCCGTGGTATCACGGGCGCGGTAGACGTTGCTGAAGGCGCCATCGCCCATCTTGGCGACGAGCTCCCATCGCTCGAGGCCCGGGTATCGTGGGAACTTGCTCTTGCTCGCGTTCTCCTCGGCGACGATCTTGGCGAGGTTGGCGTCATCGACACGCTTGGCTTTTGTGGACTTGCCATGGCCCTCGATTGGAGCTTCCGAGTGAGGGTCGGCTTGAGCGGGAGCGTGGTGGCCTTCCGGCGCGCTATGGTGGTGGGCGGGTTGGGCAGCTTGCTGAGGAGCGGCCTCATTCTTTCGCGACTGGTCTTCGGCGGCACGGGCTTGCTTGCCTGTGGTACATGTTAGTCGGGTCGCACACATTGTCGGCCAAAGGATGGAGACAGGAGAAAAAAATTACATACCGTGGCGGATGAAGTTCTTGAGCTGTTGAATGGTCGACATGGCTGGAAAAGGTGTCGCTGGGGCGCGACGAGCCACTTGAGAGAAGACGGTGGGGGGGCAGAGCTCTACAGTGATGCTAGATGAGACGGATGAAGGACGCCTCTCCTCTTGATACTCCGGGGTCTGTAGGCGAGGTTGTTTCTCGTCGTAGTCTAAATCGTCGCAGTCGAGATCGTCGCAGTCGGAGGCTTCGTTTTCGGGTGTTCTGGTGTATTTGTAAGAACTGCAAGGACGGAGGAGCGGCCGATGTCGTCAGGAAGCCGGGACGAGACAGGGCTGGTGGACCAGGGCTCAAGAGGCGGGCTGGCGCGAGTTGGCTTGCGTGCGGCAGATGTGCGGGGTTTAACGAGTCTCAGGACGGAGCTGAGGAGGGTTCGTGCGCGGGACTCGGTCGTACAAGGTGCGTGCGATGGGAAGCGAGGCTGACGGAAGAGCCGGAGAGGGAGGAATGAGGGAGGGAGTGTTTGGACGAGAGAAGCGGACGAAGTTGGGAGAAATGCGGAAGCGGAAGTGGAAGAGGAGGAGGAGGAAGAGGCAGAAGAGTTGGCTGGTGGGAATGGAGAGTGCGAGTGCAATGGAGTGCAGGTGTCAGTGCCAGTGGGCGGTTGACAGCGGACGGACAGTGGACAGTGGGTATCGTCAGTGGGAGAGATTCCCTGGCGGTAGGTGGCCCGGCGGGGTGAGGAACCTGGAAGTGGATCCGCCTCAGTGAGGTCACTGAGCTAGGTACCGAGCTGAGAGGTTCTGGGCTCGCTGCAGGGTGGAGTCGACAGCCACTGTTTCGTCTAGCACCCGACGCCTTGCTGCTGTGCACTGCACCTTGACGCAGCGTTGTGATGGTGATGAGAGAAGAGAGAAAAACACACCAGGAGCAGCAGAAGACAGCGACGGGCTCCGGGAACGAGTGCGAGAGGGCCGGGCAGTTTAGGTTTTGGTGTATTTGTAAGGACCAGCATGAGTGCAGTAGCTGGTCATTGGATCCAGGACGGGAGTGGTCGGTGCAGTCTCGTGGCTGGCTCGTGGCTTTATTCGTTCCCGTTGGACGGGCAAGGATGAGAAACAAGAAACTAGGTACGATACCTCCATACATACGCACATAGGCACGCACATAGGTACGCACAGCACATACGCACTACGAGATATTGTCATGCACCTGCCGCACCCAAGCACCCGCGCAAGAAGCTGACCAGAAGCTAAGTTAGGTATTGCGACAGTGGAGGTGGAGGTTTTAGGTACCCGACCCATCTGGACGGGCAAGGTAAGGTATGTATCCATCCGTCTCAATGGAGCTAAAAGACGGCGTCCACGGCGGGAATGACAGAAACTAAAAACACGCCGCCAAAGCCGCCGCGCCCGCCGCTTCGGCGCGAGCTGGCGAGGAAGAGAAGAGAGAGAAAAAAATACTTGAAGGCATCCCATCCCTCGGCCTGGGAGCCGGCTGCTGTCACATCTGAGGTGTGTGGGTGTGGAGGGGTGGCAGGTGGCATCATCGCTTTCATCATTCACCGGCGTCGTACCTGGGGGCTTGATGCAGTCGTTAGTCAGCGAGGGACGATCTCATTGAGAAACGCGGTGATCCCTCCAGCTGTCAGCTACGAGAGTACCTGGCATCCTGGTGAAGCTTCCCGTCACAACGGATAGCAGATGCAGAACGGTTCCATCGCAAGAGGCCGATCGAAGAACCGTGCCATGCCGCCAGGCACTGCAGCGTCCTGCAGCACTGCGCACGTCCGCCTCTCCGCAGAAACGAGCCTGCATCGACCAAGATCTCGCTTGCTTGCTTGGTTGCTTGCTTGGTTGCTTGCTGCTTGTCAGCGTCAGCGTGGCCATCATCACCATCGCGCAGCCAGAATGGAGCATCCCCACCCCGCCCCGTTATGACGCTGTGGACGACGTCATCATCCCCCCCGTCCACTACGTAGTAGGGGCCTCCACTGGCCTCCAGGGTGGCCCCTCGGCGCTGGTGGCCGCTCTGGGCGCCGTCTGGACTCCCCGTAGCCCGGTCTAGAGGCCGCTCCGCCACCAATCACCGCCTCCCAACGGGCCCCTGCCTGTGCCCTTGGCTCCTTGGCCCTGGCTGCTCGGGATGATGCGCCTTCAGTGGCTACAGTAGGCTGTCCCACAGCGCCCAGGAGGCTTTCTAGTGCCGGCTCCAGCGCTCTCCACTCGGGCTCAACGGGCAGCACCGCGTCTCGGGGCTCGCGAGTCATGGAGCTCCCGATGGGAGGCATTACTCAATGATGACATGGAGACGGCGTACAGATCATGGCGGCAGACATGATCGTTGGGGATTACTCTGCGATATCACAGATTTGCTGCCTCTTCATGCGTGCATACCAGCAGCAGAGACGGCCGCACACAAGCCAGACTAAAAACCGGCTTTTGGCTTTCCGTTTGTTGGGCGATCCAAGTCTAGACCCTGGCTGCATACTTGCCCAAGAGGACCGTTTCTCTGTGCCATCCCATCAATGGCGTGTCTCCTGCAGTCATTGTCTCTGTTTGAAACAGCCATGAATGCTTTCAGTCCCTCATCTCTTGGTTCATTCAGTAGCTTTGCCCATTGCCCTATGACCCTGTCACTCACTCTAGGACTCAATCCACCCTCGACCCTAGAACCTAGGATCGTAAGACAGGGCCTAGCAAGAGTCCAGGATCCATGCTCCATCTGCAGGCTTGATAGTCTCTGCCATCAATCCCACATTTCTCAACCCTTTTCTCTATTGACCTACTGCAAAAACATTCTCGTGTCGCATGCTTGCTTCTTCCCACTCCGGGACGCGGCTCTGCAATGGCGCTTCCCCGGGGCCAGTCATGTCGAGTCACGACAGTTAGCGGGCCGGGAGCTGACACGTGCAGATGCCATCCAGCTCTCAATGTTGATGCTTGTCTCAGCCTCAAAGTGTACATCGAATCCTATCTCAGACTAGCAGGTAGCAAGTCCTAGCCAGTGTTTCTTTGGATCGTCATTTTTGCAATGGCATCTACCCGTCACCACTTTCCACTAGCTCGCTACTCGCAGCACAGAATCTGATGCTCAGGAGCATTCCAACAGCTCATCTCGATGGGTCATGATTGCGGAGTCAGTAAGCAAAACTTCTGGCCTAGGGAGCTCAAGCGTACACACAAAATCCCCGCTTCCAAATGGACGGGACATCCTGGCTTACCATTCGGCTGGGAATGTTTTATTAATTGTCTCGCACTTGTGGATGTAACGACCTCCATAGTAAACTAATTAGCTAGGTGCGAGAAGCAGATTTTCTCCCAATCTACCTGGTAATTGTACTCAACCCAAGGAGCCTACAGCGGGCTGCCTTCTACAGGAAGTTCCGTCTTGAATGGCCCAATTAAGTCAGTCTCAGACTTGCGGGTGAGAATTTGGGACATGGACATGCTTTGCAGACCGCCCAAGTTCACAAGCAGATATATTCATCGGTATGCTTGCTTTATTTATAGCATTTTGGCTCATTATTGCGGCATTCCTTCGGGAGCCAGTTGATCAGATGACGCAAGTAGTGGTATCTGTGATGTTCTTGACTCTTTGTTCATTTATATGTGCTCCAGTCTCTGCCTTCCCTGCTGTGGCGGACATACTGCCACACCCGTCTCTATCAATCTGCCTTGGGGTGGATTCGAGAGACTGAGAATTGGACAACCCACCCACTCACACACTAATATCTTTCTGTGAATATCTTGATCGAAGCCATGTCGATGGTAGTGAGAATAAGGAGACGATAGCGAAAGAAAAAGCAGAAGGGGAGAAAAAGAAGGGCAGGATTTGTGGGTAAAGCGATGCCCGAAAGTATCCATACAAAAAGTGATCCGAGGAACCATAGGGACTTCTAGACAGTATTAATTTACGGTACAGGAAGACGTTGTCCAGAGTAAAAATCAACAGAGATGAGGTGTTTCCATGTTATTTTTCCTAAATATATGAACATGCAATACTGATTGATATCAGAAGCAGCCCCATGCCTCACATAAGACTAACCCCTGGTCTATGACATTATGAGCTAAACTGGGCACAAAAATCGTTGCACTTGCTGATTTCTCCAATTTCATCCCAGCCATGTTTCCGGACAGTCTTCTTTCCCATCAGTGTATTTATAGGAGTTTTCATCCGCGCAAGCCCGTCAAGCTCCACCAAATCCTATACAACTATTGTTAACACATACATCACTGACAGTTGTGTAACAGGTAGGCACTCATTGCGGAACCTAAATCAAGACCAGAAGACCACCAGACATTTGATATCGCAGCATCGCCCTCCGTCAATTTTGGGTTAAGTTCGCTGGATATACAGACTTTGAGGGAAGATTTCTCGATTCAGCAACCCGACCCCAAATCCCATTTGACGCCTTTGTCAGAAACACATTACTTATTTGGAAGACATGGCGTGTTCCACAGTCTTGACGACAAGATTCTTCCTTCAAAAGGGTTGTTTATGTCCATATAGCGGGATAGAGTCCATGTCCGACCACCATACGGCCCTGGGGGCCTTGGAAAGTCCGAAACTCCCATTAAGCACACGTCCAGGAGTCGAGATGCGTTTGATGCGATCTTTTTAGGTCTATGCTGAAGATACCTTCAAATTCGACACCAACATGGCCCAAGAGTTGGGAACTCAGTCGAGGAGAGATGAAAGAGCTTTAAAAGACGAAGACTTGATGAGTTGGTCACCTTCATATCAAAGTAAGCTAAGAATGCATATCATAGCAAACCAATTCGCTAGCTATCTACACCAGACATTCATGTGAAAGCTGAACAGCTCTATACTCCATTACCCGGAAACATCCTTGGCCCAGTAGAAACGACTGTAGGCCTCCCTGACCTCGTCATGACCTTTTCAATGGCCTGGAGGAGCTGGAAGTCCCTCTTGGGCGCAGCGACAACATTGGCCACAACAGGTAGGAACTCCGTCTTACCACTAATTCTAGACTCGTAAGGTACGTCGCCAATTGGGATTACCACGTCTGGGGCGCCTAGGATGGGTTGCAGGAAGAGCTCGTCCAAGGCGGACTGCTTCTCGGGTGAGGGTGAAATCTCGTCTCGATAATTCGGCGCCGCGTTGGCCACAGGGACTACAATGAGTGTTTCGGTATTTGGGTCCGAGAAGAGGGTGTCGAGAAGCCACTGTTTGTATACAAGCATTCGTTGCGTAGCATCCTGGTGCTCTGCAGTCGACACACCTGCGCCTTTGGCCCACCTGCGCTGCACGAAGGGAATCACATATGGCGTCTGCCCATTGTGCGTTTCGGAGTAGGTCTTGCGGAATGCATCTGAAGAGTGGTAGAACTGGTGGTAAAAGGTGCGAGTTACGACATCGTCTAGGTACTTGTCCACGTCGTCAGGGGTTCCAGGAGGATGAGACTGTTTCCAGGAGTGTCGAATGGAAAACTGCAGGACTGTGGCGGGAAGCAGCGTCTTCATATCATCGATAAAATGCTCAATGAGTTTCATTTGATCGCCGTTTTGCACTGGCAGGTAGTCGACTGGATATACGAGCTTGTATGCAGGTGGTGACGGGTCTCGAGTAGGGCTTGGTATCCAGGTTTCGACAACACGCCTAAGGGTAGAGAGGCTTCTTGTAAAGACGCACGGCGTATCGAACAGAGGATAGGTTGTAATCATTCCCCTGAGTGACGTTGAGTCGTGGGAGATCCGAAACTCCCAGACTCCGTTAACCAGGGCAGGCCGTCGGCCGCTGCCACTAGTGTCGGTGCCAACACCACAGTCAACCCAGTCATACGCAGCCACTGCCGCAGCGCTCCCACTACTACTCCCAGCTGGAGATTGGTAGCCATCTGCCCGTGGGTTGAAAGCGGTGAGGTAGTCTACCGCATCCATTGGCTCCTCACGAGCGATCATGGAGCTCAGCTTGGTCAACCCAAGGATGTGGGCACCGCTGGTGACCAGAGACTGTACAACATTGGCCGTGAATGGTGCTGCTTCAGCTGTTTCGAAGTATGCCCGATTGCAGAGTGAGTTTTTGAGACCCTCGAGCCAATAGCAATCCTTCACAACGACTCGGAGCCGTGGGAGACCGTTGGTGATAGAGGCCGGTGTTCGCGGAGGGACTGCGATACTGAGGCAGTCATATGATGCGCCAGCGACCTTGAGTTGCAGAAAGCCAGCCGGCTCGGACCTTGAACCAAAAGTTAGCGGTTATCAATCTATCATGCCATCATTTGGAAAAGATCTCACGGTCCGAGTTTGGGCTTCAGAGCCGTCAAAAACGCTCGCTGTTCGTCATCGTACAGACGGCACACGGACTTCAGGGCATTGTTTTGGAAGACGTAAGGGCCGGGGTCTAGCGCTTGTACCGGTCCATCATCAAATTGGAAATCCAGCCACTGGTTTCCCAGGGAATCGAGGTACTCCCGAAAATCCGAAGAAATCTGTCCCGTCTTGAAATTGGTTAGGATCAGCCCGGCCAGAAACGGTCGCTTCTGATAAACATCGCACTCGTCTAGCTTGTCGAGATAAGTCTCTAGCCACGCTTTGCTGAGCTCAACTCCATTTTCAGCAGCAACCAGAGTGACAAGAGAAGGCTCGTTAGGTGTCTGGATACTCGGCTTGAACTAGATTTGCATGAGCATCAGGGCACCAAGGGCGAGCGGCACTTGACCTACTGGAGTAGCGCCCAAGGCAACATACTACACACCCCCGACCTCAAAGGGCATTTTCAGGTTGGGAGTAATTGCCTTTGGGTGGAAAGTGTTGTGGAAGTGTGGAAGTGTTGAAGTGTGGAAGTGTTGAAGTGTGGAAGTGAAGAAGTAAAGAAGGGTAGAAATATAAAAGTATAGACGTGTGGAAGTGTGGAAGTAAAGGTATGAAAGTGCGAGAGTGTGAATGTGTGAAAGTGTGGATGCGTGAATGTGTGATGATTTCCTTTGTTGACGCCCGTAGGGACGTAGTTGCGCTGCAGTCCATCAAAGACGTCGCGCCTATTTGAGTTCTTTTTTATAGCTTTACTCAATATCATCAGATAGATCAAAGCCATACACATACAGTATTCTCAAACAGTAGAAATATACAGTAAATGCTACACACAGCACTAGAAAAAACAGTAGCTAAACAATAAAGTTGTTACACGCTGATCTTTGCCTGAAGCTTCACTTCAACCCTTCTAACTTCAACCCTGCTGTCTGCAGTCAACGACCTTGCTGTCCGTAGGTAACCTTGAGATAGAAACCTTATTCCGAGCAATAACATATAAGAGAGACGTCTCCCATCGTCAAGAGACCAACTTCCCTTCTAACAATCATCAAATTTCTTCGTCTTTCATGATGACGGACGTCGCGCCTATAACGAAGTATTTACCGACCATGGACAGCCGTTTCGACATTATTCTATTCTTTCAGTAACATCTCTTAATCACTCCACCCGAAATGGTCTAGACGGGGTGTGTTACATACTTCTTTGTCTATCTCGCCCCTTTGGGACCATATACGACGCCCCATCTACTCGCAGGCACAGTGCATTCAGTTTCCTCATATCTATTGAATCAAATGTACTTCGGCATATCAGAAAAATATACAGCTGCTACTGGGTATCCAAAATAACATCAACGCCCAGATCCACCCAGGCTACCTGTTGTACATGCATATTTCTCATACAAGTCATAGAAGAGTTCAAACCGACTCCAGTTCATTGTTATCAAGCCGGCTTCTCTGTTGCTTGGAGGTACGTAAAAAGACTAGGCCAGGTGATCTACAACTTGAAGCACCTATAAGGCACTTCTTGGCTCTCCGCATACGCCTGGAGGCGGCGATTCTTCCACCCATAAAACACCCTGAGACCCAGAGCTACCACAGAGACAAAGAGGAGCAGCGCTGCGTTGGTCCAGTGACCCGTCGGGTACCCTTTTTCTCGCTCGCTCGCTTGATAGATCCAAACTCCCGGGATCTGCCCGAGGCCGCCACCTAGGGACACGTTGATGGCGATAGCGAGACCTGTGGACGCCGTCGTGAAGACGTTGGAGCTGAGCCATCCCAACATCGGTGGGATACACGCGAATGAGCCAGCCGTGGCCATGATAAGACCGCCATATCGCGCTGCATACGCATCCGCCGGGAGCGCTGCAGACATAATGAACCCAATGGCACCGACTGCAGAGGCCGCGGCTGTGTGGACGCCTCTTGCGTTGAAATGATCCGCCGACCATGCCACGAGAACCTGGCACACTGGGGAGTTGTTAGAACGTCGTCCCTCTGGGGTTTGGAAAATCCTTACCGTATGCGATGGCCCACGGAGGCACCGTCATCAATTGCGCCTGCAAGTCGAGGTATCCCAGCCCAACGGTGATGGACGGCGAGAACAGACTCAAACTCGCAAACGCCGGGCTGGCAGCGAAGTAAATTGCGTAGTGCGCATACAATCGCCAGTCAGTGAGCGTCTCCTTGGCCTCCTCCCAGTTCATGGTCGGATGGGAGACCTTGCTACCCTCGTAGTACAGTCGCTGAATCGCCATATCCTTCTCCCCTTCAGTGAGCCATTTGGTGTGCTCGGGGTAGTCTGGTAGGAAAAAGAGGACGAGGAAGGCAGAGAGACACGACGGGATGCCCTCAATGATGAACAGCCACCGCCAGCCAGAGAGACCCGATGTGCCGTTCATGTGGCCGATGCCGTACGCGATTGCGCCGCCGAACTAGGTATTTGTGAGCAGAGCGAGAAGAGACTGGCAACGAGGATCACTTACTGCGCCAGCCAGAGTGGCGGATGCGAGGATAAATGCGACACTATTCTTTGATGAGCATGACTCTTGCGACAACTCGGACAACCATTGCGAAACTCACCGCACACTTCGCTCGTCATGCTTGTACCAAAAGGTGAGATAATAAACCAATCCCGGGAACAAGCCCGCCTCAAACGTTCCCAGCAAAAATCGAACCGCCGTGACGCTCGCAAAACTATTGGTGGCGGCCGTGACGATGGTCATTGCGCCCCAGCAGAACATAAGGAATGCGAGCCATCGGCTGGGCCGCAGCTTCTTGAGCAGCATGTTGCTGGGGACCTCGAAGACGGCGTAGGAGACGAGAAAGACCATGAGGGAGATGATGAACTGGGAGTTGGTCATGTTGGTCTCGTGCTGCATGTCGTTGTTGGTCGACGAGTTGAGGATCATGGCGTTGCCGATGTTGGTGCGGTCGAGGAAGCACAGGAAGTAGATGGCGGCCGAGAGTGGGATGATGCGCATGTCCTGCTTCCAGAGCAGGCTCTTCTCCGTCGGGCTCATCGACACATCGTACACGAACGCCGGGTCCTACAGGAGCACGATGGTCAGGCACGGGCAATCTACAGGGCGGCACACAGAGGAAACGAGAGGGAAGTTTACATCTTTGATGATGGTGGAGTCGACATCGTCTTCGGCCACGGGAGGAGGGAATGGCCGCGGTATCTTTTCCGCAGGCCACGCCGCCATGTTGAACGCCTGCGCTGGCTCTCAGCAGCGGCCGCGGCGCAATTCAGAGTGATATGAGGCAATGGATACAGCGATTCGACGGAGGGCGGAGCGTCGGACGATGAACGAGGCGCGATGCGATACAGCGGCGGCGTCAAGCGATGGATGTTTCACGACGGTGCGGCAACGACTGTCCAGGAGCCAAGACGAGGGGAAGGGGCGTCCGCCAAGAACAGAGATATCGTGATGACGGGTAAAAAAAAAGCGAGAGAGATGGGAATGGGTTTTTGCTAGGCCAAATCAGACCGCCGTCTCGGGACGAAGAAATGCGGGGGAGAAGTCGGCGGCCTTTTTGTCGCAGCTTCGCTCGCCAGGGCTCCACTGGCCGATCAGATCAGTTCAACCCTCCCACCCCGTAATGACTCGCAGTGGCGCCATGGAGGCCTGGATGAGGGAACCCGGCCGGTGGTTGACGCAAGGGTGCGTTGCGCTGCGTTGCGCTGCGCTTTGTTCGTCTGGTCGGCGTAGATGCGCATGCGCCGAGTTGAATATCTCCGGCGGGCCGCCCACTCTCGCCGCGATATGCGAGGTGACGATGCAGATTCCCATGTTTTCGTACTCTCCCCGACCATCCCAACGACGCAGGGCACGCGACACTTGGTCCCTCGCTTTGCTTTGCTTTCTGCCGACGGGTCCGGCGCGGAGGGGACGGCCATGCCTCGCAACATATGACACGCTGCGGTGGCTCCGGAGACTACGGTCGCGAGCCTAGGGTATTCATTCAACCGCTCCCAAGCCGCAATGGCATTCCCGTCGCACCGAGCACGCGACCCGAAAATGCATCGTAAAAGCGACCACGCGTCCCTCCCTCCACTCGCCAGAAGGCCAGGGTGGGATCCGATAGTCCAATTGTGGGAGAGAACTGCGAGCCCGTGGTGGGGGCGCACTCTGGGAACAGGGAACAATAAGAGACGGCCAATGCTCGAAGTTCGCCTTGGCCGTCATGATCCGATGGTCCCAGGTTTTGGGTGCCTCCCTGCAAGCACTACAACGCCGGCACAGATCCCCCCGACGGACTTTATTTCTTCTCGTAACTGCCGACATGCGCAATCGAGTGCTTGTGATACCCGAATCTCCCGTCCAATTGTCAACTCGGACTGCTTTGCCCCGGCATGTCTCCGAGCGCCCCGGGCCGGGGTGGACCCAGTCTCGGGTGGCTGGTGCGTGGTCCTCCGGTGCCGGCCAAGCCCTCCGGGGGGCCCTGATGACGCAGTTCGTCTACGATCGACAGGCTAGATTGGCTGCACAAGTTACAAGGAAATCGATTGTAAATTTATCTATTTACCCAGGCGATGAAACCGAGGCCCTTCTCTGTGTCTGCCCAGATTGCCAGATAGGGTCGTTTGTGATTAACAGAGCCTGTGTTCCTACCCGAGTGGAGACGGACGGTGTTCAGTGCCTGATTCTCAACGATTAGCAGCTCTCCCAGTTGAGTCACGTCACTCCTGCGATATCGCTGGGATCTTCATTGTTTTGACCGCTCTGAGCACACCCGTTTATCTAGTTACGCGGAAATCAGAGCCCATCGTCGCCTTATCACCGACGCGAAAAATCCATCCTGCACCAATCGGATTCCAAGTCCTCGACAGAAGCCCAATTGCACCAGCAAGGGCAAATCCGATGCCCGCAATCACACCCCGTCTAGTTGCGCCGTCTCTCCGTGTCTACTCCTCCCACTCAGAATCCTCCTCGGCTGGCCAGAAGAACCAGGTGACCACCATGCAAAACTTCAACCCAGCCGCAAGCCACAAGGCCCCGGCAATGCCCACAGAACTGTTCGCAAACAGCCCACCCAGCACCGCACCTAGCACAAGAAGCAGCGGTGCAACGACCCGGCGGTTCCGCCCCACGTTGTGAAGCGCGAACAGGTCACGGTCCGAGAATAGGTCGCAGTAAATGCTCGTCAGGACCACGCTTATGAATGCGTTCTGCCGGAGCGCTCGGCTCGCGACCGCCTGTCCGCAGCTCTGAAATGCGATCAGCGCAATGGGCACCAGGACGTTCCACGCGAAAGGGTCTTCATTCCCGGTTGGTGGGTACGTGGTTGTGATGAGCGCCGCGGCGATAGTCAAGAGCGCTTGGGCTGCAAACGATGCGCACAGTACCCAACGGCGCCTGGGTGAGAAGAAGCGGTGGAATCGGGCGAAGAGGAACGATCCAACGCAAAAGGAACTGATAGAAACCGCCGACTTGAAGAGACGTGGTGATGTCGTAGTTGAAACCAGGGATGCGAGTCCCAGCCCGACGTAGACCGTGTTACCTGACTGCGTGTTAGCACTGACGGCGAGTTGCTGGACTCGGAGCGCAGTTCGTGACTTACCCGTCTGCATAGACACGAACGAACCCCAAACTTGGATTGAACAACTATCCAAGAGTCCCGTCACCAGATAGCAAGCAAGCAGAACCGCATCTGCCCATGAGCAGGATACCTCGGCTCCCATCCTCGCACGCAAACCCACACGCCCCTTGCGTGGCGAGGATCGTGAAAGCAGCGGCGCATTCTCGTCGACTACACGACCATTGTGGCGGCCGTTGCCGGCGGTGCCGTTACTTAGTAGACCGGTCATGATAACTGGAGTCTCACGACGCGTCTTTCTAGCCGAGGAATCCAACAGACGAACAAACGGGACTCTGACGAACTTCAACTGTGTTTATGACAGAGCGACATTTTGCTGGTGGAGACTCTGAGCAAAATAAGTTCAACCATGGAGTTCGCGCTAATAAGCGGCCACCCACTAACACGGCAACATTCCCAAGACAATCACAAAGTACACCGCACTTTCACACTGGGGCGGACGAGTTACTGTGTTTGGCGTAAACAGTGGAATTAGTGAGAAGTGCCCTATCATGGTGAAGCAAGAGAAAGACAACTTTATTCCTGGCCTAGCTTGTTGGTCTGAGTGTGTGGTTCGTCAGATCATGCATGCTCTGGGCTTGGCCGTGATATCACAGGCTCACCGTTCACCGGGTCATGCACAATTTGGCTCACCTTAAAATAAGCACAACCATGCATGGTTCACATTTGTTTACTTGATCCAGGTTTAGAAGCTTCATAATTGTTTTAAAGTGGCATAAATTTTGAATTGCGCTATATGCTACCCCCTGGGTTTTTCTACACCAGTTCCTCAGTGTCCCATAACCTCGTTCATTTAGACCTAGATCTGATGGGACCTGCCAATAAATTTGCTATTCACAAGAAGGTAAAAATAGAATGAAGGTAAAATCCTAACGTCTCCGATCACATCCACCACCTAGAAACATTTCCCAACTAACATCTCCTCTTCGGAAATTCTCTGCTTAGTAGCCCCTGTGAGGCACGGCCTGGGGGGTCTGGGTGACGTAGACGGTCTTGACCACAGTGTGGGCAGAGCACACCTTGGTGTTGTTAGCACCAGAGGCCTGGCCAGCGGTGCGAGTGCGAGTGCTGCTCTTGCGGGTCTTGGTCTTGCGGGTCTTGGTCTTCGTCTTGGAGACCTTGGTAGAGGTGGAAGTAGTGGAAGTGGACTCCTCCTCGTCGCAGTCGCCCTCATCATCATCGCCAGCCATGGCGGTGGTGGTAGGCACAGACGGGGTGATGGCAGAGGTGACGGCGTCAGTAAGCTGAAGGGCAGGAGTGGTCTCAGCGGCGGAGGAGGCAGCGGCGGAGGTCACGGCGGCGGCGGCCGAAGAGGCAACACCAGAAGAGGCAACGCCGGAAGAGGAGGGCGCGGCCAGGATGTTGGACACGGACTCAGAGAGGGTGACGAAGGTAGGACGGGGAGCATCCGAGGGCAGAGAGGTGGTGGTCTCGGCGGTCTCCTCAACGGCCTTGACGGAGCTGGACACGGCAGCGACGGTGGACTGGACGGCAGCGGCGGAAGAGGCAGCAGCAGACTTGGTGGGAGCAGCAGACGAGGCGACAGCGGACTTGGTAGCGGACTTGGTGGCAGCGGCGGAGGAGGCAGAGCTGCCAGTACCGCTTCCGTTGCTCATGCAGGCGAAGGACATCTTGCTAACGGCGCTGCCAGTGGTAGGGCCGGTAAGAGACCATGCCATGGAGACGTAAGGCCAGCAGATACGGCCGTCGGACATGGTAACCATGTCTCCGGCAACGGTGGTGTCAGTGGAGGAGATGGCCTCACCAGACTTGGCGCCAGTGCTGTCGACAAGCTGGAACTTGGTACCGGCGAAGGTACCGCGGCAGCCCATAGCATCGAAGTCGCAGATGGGGTTGGAGATCTCCTCCCAAGAGACAAGGGCGTTGGTACCATCGAAGGCGGCAACGTGGGCGTTGGAGCAATCGTTGGAGCCCTCGGTGATCCAGTTGACCTGGCTGTCACCGTCCTCAGAGCCGACAACGGAGGTGGCCTGGGATCCCTTGAGGGTCTTCTTGTCGGAGAAGAGAGCGATGGCGATGTTTCGGTTGTTGGTGCGGTTCTGGGAGGTGGTGTAGCCGGCGCCCATCCACGAGTTCTCGGTCAGGTCAATGGCACCACGGGAGACCCAGGAGAAGATGTACGAGTCGGAGTCGATGAAGCGGGCGAGGACACTGTAAGAACCGCTCATTCCGCCCATGGGCTCGTTGCTGGCACCGTTGATGACGTGCTCGTTGGAGACCTTGACACCGTTGTTGCCCATGCCCTGGGTCTCGGTGTTCAGCCAGATAGCACCCTGGTCCTCGGCGCAGAGGGACGCGAAAGGAGCCTCGTCAGCCGCCTCGAAAGCAATACCGGTGTTGTGCGAGCAGCCCCAAGAGGAAGAGGCGCCAGCGATGGTCTCGAGCTTGCCGGCCTTGGTGATGTAGCGGATGGCATCACCGAAGTGGCCGGAGGCGGAACCAGAGTAAGAGGTGACGACGATGTAAGCAGCATAGTAACCGGCCTTCTCAGAGTAGACAAGGTCACCGTTGATATCAGGGGAGGCGAGAGAGTCGGAGGCATCGATATCAGGGCCACCGAGCAGGGTTCGGAAGGTCTTGACGCCATTGGTGTATCGGTACAGAACGGCAATACCAACACCGTCAGCCTGACCACTTACGACCTCGTTGGTAAGAAGAGCTTTAATCACATTAGCATTGAGGTCCGTCACAGTTGAGTTGCATAGATTGGTGTCATACCGAAACCGTCGTCGTGAGCGACGAGGCCACCGGCCTCCAGACCGCCGGAAATGCTAACGGCGGTGCCAACAGCCGCGAAGGTGGTGGGGTCAACACCCTGGACGTGGACGCCAGTGCCGCTGGAGTCGAGGTAGGCAAGGAAGGCCTTGGAGCCATCGGGGGAAACGGCGAAGGGGGTACGGCGATGGTGGGGGTAGCCGGTCCAGTAAGCCTCCTTGATGGGGTTGAAGGAGCTGGTGAGGCTCAGCGAGTCGACGAAGTTCTCGAGCGAAGAGGTCGAGATCTTGGCGGCCGCCAGCGCCAGGCCAGCGGCAAAGGTGAAGAGGTGTCGGGTTTGCATGGTGAACAAGTCAGAGAACGAGAGAATCAAGATATCGCGAGTAAGAGAGTGGACTCGGTCGATTCGGTAAAGATCGTGGAAAAGAAATCAAAGAATGTGAAAGACCCCAGGTCAAAAATGCAAAGCCACAAAACTGGTTGATGAGCTTCCAGAATCCAGTGTAAGCCAGGCGGCGCGGGATCTTATAAACAACGGCGGTGCCTCGCTTCTCCCCGGACCCACGGGCCGTATCTTGTAAGCCGGGAGCGACGGCTTCGGCCAAGCCTGACCAATGTAGAAGTCCATCGGTGGAAAAACTCCAAACGTCCATGAACGACTAGGTTTTCGGTTATGGGGCCTGGACTTTGCAGGCGCTCATTTTACATCAGACAGGCAACAGGTGAGGGGGGTGTCGATGCTGGGTTAAGGCGTTTCAAGCCCCGGTCTCGTTCTGACAGGCTGGGATGGGCCTTAGCTTTGATTACAATTCTCTGTATTTGTGAGTCCACTGGGGAAAATACAAGGCCAGAAGGGAAATAAAAGAATCAAATAGTACATAAAATAGCAATACAATAAGATAAATAGTGTAACGTGAGTTGTGAACACTCTGTAGTGGTATTGGGACACTCCTACGGCGGTGTACTAATATGTGGTGTAGTCCTTACACCGATTGAATAACAAGGGTCATCAGCTCACCAACGACCCCGTCTGCCGGGGCCGAACACGAGGTTAGCGGATGGACTCACTGGTGGAGCATCAACGGCCGTGTGCCTAGCCTGGGCCTAACCCGAGCGTGGGTTCGGGGAACGATATGGATACCCACGAGGGATGGTTTCGAAGTGTCAGGCAGTAAACGAGATGGACCCAGGAGCATCTCGAACAAAACGGGGCCACCTCAGAAGGTGGGCGGTTTCTTTCTGCGGGGTACAGTCCCTAATTTCACAGAGCTCGCAATGGCAGACAGGGCTCATGCAGCGGGTTCTCACGACAAGTGCTGCCATGTTGTTGGTTTGGCGCCCCACGGCTCATGATCTTAGTGAAGACGCCATCTCGGTTGATGCCGAGGAGCCCCTTTCCTTTCCTTTCCTTTGTCAGCTAATCAACAATTGCCGTATTCCTAAATCACTTTTCGCCTTCGAGATTATGTTGAGGACAAGTCGAGTCCGGGTGGTCGGACCACAAACACCCAGCCTCTGATAAAGCCTTGGCCAAGAGTTTTGTATGCTTGCCCCTGTTTCGAGAGGTTTCGAGACCATTGCGTTGCCATTGGCCACCTGCTGATCAAAACATCAGATCCATCGTAAGGCAGGGAGGGATCATTGTTGACCGCAGAGCCTCTCGATCGGCAGAGACTGTTCAGAAAGTATTTATTGAAGGGCGACTCTAATTCGTCGAACCCAGGACGACAGCAGCTTAGGAGGGGAAATAATGGCAACGATCAATTAGGAATGTAAACGCGACCAGTCACGCGGCTCCAGGAACGAGGCACACCGGGATCAACGAGGCAGCGCCGGGACTCATTCGATCTGCCGGGAAGCGAGGCGGATCATCAAGATGTAACCCGCCAAAAAAGCGAGACCGAGTGTGTACCCTCTGAGGAGCCTGAAATCACGTCGTATTCCAGGTTGCATTGGCGCGTGGCACAGAATGGGATGAAACGCTGCTTGTCTGGCCCACCTTGGTTGTTCCCTCTCTTCTCCTGGCCACTCGAAAACAGATCCGGACAGCTAGCTCAATTCACGTAAGCCAAAGTTAAGTATATTAATTAGAGACCGCGCCTCTGCAGCAGATACAGTGATCGATCCGGTCCTAACACGAGCCTCATCGGGCGGCGTCTCAGGGGGCGACTCCCGCCACGACGCATCTCCGCGGCCCCTAAAAATGCCAGCGCGGGGGGCCGGCGCCTACAAATAGTCGCCATTCGCCCCCTAAAACTGTCCTGAAAAAAGGCCAAGCCCCCCAAAGTCCCCTCTCCGTCCTAGTTAGGCCGCTATACGCAGAGTCGCACCTGTAAATAGCTGGAGGCGGCCGCCCTACAGCTGGGCTATGCCGGTTCCGGCGCCGGGAGACTCATTCGGGCCTGAAGGATTGGCTGTGCCTCCGCGCGGAACTCGTATAACAGATGTGAGGCAAAATATGTATCGCGTGTTGATTACGAGAAGATGCCTAAGAGCAAACCTCCCATACATAGTTATTTGGTTCATCTTGCGACCGTAGCCTCCATGTCGCATTTTCATCTTTGCTTCACCGTCTCGTCGCCCAACAGCACGTTCAGCATCAACTCTCCTCACCATGGCTGGACTTCAAGGCGGACCCTGGAGAAATCAGCTCTCCAACGCCCTCAATGCCGTGGCCATCCTTGGCGGCGTCATCGCGACCCTGTTGGCGCTCATTGTATTCACCGCTGGTACCAGCCGCAGCGGTGACCACCTAATTCTGAAGGACCTGGCGTTTGTCTCGGTATGATTTTTTCCTCTAAGCGACCGTACGACTCAGCGTTTCGACGTTTCGAAGTTGCGATTTTCAACACGTTGGCTCTTAGCGTCTCGACGCTTCTCGCTCTTCCGCATGCTAACCTGAAGTCATCTGTAGTTTGATGGAATCATTGCCAACAACGATTCTTCCGAGTTCCTGGTCCACCTACACTGGTTCGTCAACTCGTTTTCGTGGGAATACCCCACAGCTCCAGAGGGAATACCAAAGGCTGGCTTTGCATCCAGAGGCCTTCATTTCTCCTCCAACATTGGCTCCGACCTCCGAAAGATCGCCGCAGATCTTGAGCTTCCCCAGAAAAGCTACGACTGCCCCAGCCCCGGTCCCTACGGAAAGCCCTGCGAAAACGTCTTCTTCGAAGCATGGCGCTCATTCGCCACCGTCAACGGCCTCCCTGTCTTCGGCTGGCTAACCTGGATCATGGTATTCTCCGCCATCGTGATGTGCACCCTGGTTATTGCCCAGGAATGGATGATCCGGAAACGGCCCTACTGGATGAGGTGCCGATGCTTGATTGGGAAACGATTCTGCCCAAGCCCGACTGGCACCAGGGAGGAGATTGAGCAGCTCGATGACCACGCGTGGGACAAGGTTCGTCTGGCCTACTGGGGCCTGACGGCAGCATACTTTGCGCTCCCAGCGGTCCAAGGCACGCTCACCTCTATATTCCTTCCGCATTTCATCGGCTACATGGAAGAGCGACTGCCAGAGGGTATCAGCATGAACGTCAAGAGGAATATGACGGGTGAAATGATGCTGTGGGGCGCCTACGTCGCGAGCCAAGTCAGCGCGCTCTGCATTGCGGTCAAGTGGCTGTTGAGCAGACGTCCCAAGGGATGGATGGACGGGCAGAGTCTGGGCGACTTGGAGCGGTCATCAGGGGATGAGCCTGATGAGACTATTCCGTCTGCACGGGGAGAGGCTGATAGTAACGCGAGGTACACTGACTAGGTAGGGCTTGAACAAATATTGCATGTAGATACTCAAAATAATACAAGGCATGTAAAACTGAGATGTCCATCATTACCACCCATGGGATTTAGCCCAATTAGCATGCCCTGCCCTGAGGCTGTCCCCAACAGTGGTCATCTTCATGCCAATAGCCCTCCCCGAATGTTCCTCAATTGGGCATTCGTACCACATTCAGCCCAGCGCGCCAACTCCCCACACATAACATATGGCGAAAAATGACCATGACCTAAATATTTTGTTACTAATAGCATTATATCTTGACTCGCTAGTACTTGCCTCTTCGCTTGACCGAATGGACTTTGCCAGATTTGTCATGCACCCCGCAATCCGGAGGTCCACACGACTCATATCTAGGAGTGGTTCGCATCTACCGGTAGTCTATCTCCAAGCGGGGGAACCGGCTGCATATCTCAGAATGATCCGGGACCGGCTACGGACCGGCGCCGTCTCAATGGCTCTTTAATGCGACCTCGCCCCTTCGATGTTCGTTCTCTGGCAGAGGAATCAACCCAAGCTACAGTCCAACATGTTCTCTTCAGCCACTATTAGAGCAGCGCCGCTGCGACGGCTTGCGGTCCGACAGACCATCCGCTCCTTCAGCCATATCAACCCTCAATCACGCCTCATTATTCCCTCTCATCAAGCCTCCCAGCGTCTCGTGAACCAGTCCAAGCCTATCAAGCACTCTGCGTCGTTCGCTACCAGTGCCGAGGCCGTTGCGCCGGCAGCGGAGCCCGCCGCCGCCCAAGAAAACCAGAACTTCGCTGCCGTGGCCACGGGCGGTATCCCGTACCCGGGGATCCCCAAGATTGAAGACCCGTACCAGAAGCGCCAATGGCAACTCGAGCATATGGCGGGTGCCTTCCGTGTGTTTGCGCGGTTGGGCTTCACTGAGGGTGCTGCGGGACACATCAGCGTCCGTGACACTGTTGACCCAAACACATTTTGGATCAACCCAATGGGCAAGCACTTTGGCATGTTGAGGGCCTGCGACATGGTTCACATCGATGAGGATGGTCAAGTCATCGGCGGCAACCGCGCCGCCGTCAACGCCGCCGGCTTCATGATCCATTCCGCCATCCACAAGGCCCGCCCCGATGTCCACGCCGCATGCCACGCACACTCCAAGTTCGGCAAGGCGTGGTCGACATTCGGCCGGCCGCTGGACATCATTAACCAGGACGCCTGTATGTTCTGGAACAACCAGAGCGTGTACTCCAGCTTCGGCGGAGTCGTGCTGGCCGCCGAGGAGGGCGAGAACATCGCCAAGGCGCTGGGCCCCGTGAACCGCACTGTCGTCCTACAGAACCACGGGCTGCTTACCGCCGGCGGCACCGTTGACGAGGCGGCGTACTTGTTCTCGTTGATGGAGCGCTCGTGCGAGGTGCAGTTGCTGGTGGAGAGCGCCGGGTTGGAGAAACAGGCTATTGGCGAGGAAGAGGCCAAGTTCACGTATGAGGTCAATGCTGACCCAGTAAGTTGCCCCCGATGCCATGGTCTTGCTGTCAGTACTAACTTGGCATAGGAAACGCTTTATACCGAGTTCCAGCCTGACTTCGAGTATGAGATTTGGAAATCCGGTGGGGAAGTTACGAACGGGCTGTAGAAGGATAGGAGCAATCCGATGCCAAATTGAATTCATTGTTTATATTGATAATAGGACGGTGCAACATTTGTATTCTATGCGGATCATTGCACCTAGTGATGTGCGGCGCGGTCCCGGGTACGAGCTCGGAAGTTCTGAAGTATAGGGTAGCTGCCCACGAAATCGTCCATCCCAGATTTACAATTGCTATTAGAATTTAGGCATCTTATGTTCTAAAAAAAGACAAGAAATTTTGGTAATAATTCCAGAGGATATGTCTAACCTAGAGTAGGATTACTGATTCCGCGATTATCTTATGAATTAGGTTTGAATGTAGATACCGCTTGAACCCGGCTGCAACCTGCCTACCTATCACGATTCTCCGCATGAAGTCATCAGCGGGATCGGGAGCTCCCGTTCCAAAGGCACCAAGTCCATTCATACAGTGGGATGCACAGAGTTTACACCCGATCTAAGTCACTCATATAGTACACTAGTCTATCTTAGGGTACAGTTTATCTCTAATACAAGGGTTAAGGTAAGGGTTATGGTAAAGCATTTATATTTATATTTATTTTATCCCCAAAAAATACATCATTATAATGCCGCAGCAGATAATCGCCTGCCTGGTCAGGCTCTCACGGTACGCTTGTGCTTCGGCGAGGCTGAGGTGTTGTCCATGCCTGAGGCAGGCAGCCCACCTACCTGCCCGACATTGTCACCTTTCAGCCAAACCACAATCTCACCAAACCACCACGTTAGCATCCCCACCAAACTTCTAGTCATCTCTCTGCTCCACATCATGGAGAAGTATCTCGGCTCCGTGCTACCATTCCTCAGCGTGGTTGAGGCCGTGAAGACCCTGCCCCGCACAGGTTGGGGGCTCCGAGGCGTACCAAATCCCGAGCACGTCGGCGACCATATGTATCAGATGGCTATGCTCTGCATGGCGTGCCCGAACGTACGTCATAGGAACAGTAACTTTCAACAGTTCCCTTCCGACTGATGGTTTCGCAGTTCGAAGAGAGCGAGCGGCTGCGTGCCGTTCAGATGGCGGTCGTGCACGACGCCGGGGAGGCCATCGTAGGAGACATAACGCCATCTGATGGCGTCAGCCGTGGTCAGTGTGGGGATCGGGGGTCTACCCCTTCTCTTTCTATCACCTAACGATTCGCAGAGGAAAAGGCGCTACGGGAGAACCTGGCCTTCAAGTTCTTCGACTGCCTTCTCAAGCCGTCCAGCCCTGGATTCGCCGCGGAGTTGGCCGGCCTGTGGAGGGAGTATGAAGAGAACGAGACCAAGGTCGCTCAATTCGTCAACCAGGTGGACAAACTCGAGTGCATTCAGCAGGCAGCCATATACGACAAACGCACCCACGGCAAGATTTCCAGGCTTAATGAATTCAGGGCTCTCCGCGCCAAGATCACCGAACCCTGGCTGTCTGAGCTGGCGGATCAAACCCTCGCGGAATGGGATGCCGCTAAAGCACGGCGAGAATCGACAGCTCCCATGATCTTCTTGATTGGTATATGGCCGCCTCGCCTCCCAAGAGCAATTACAAGTTCGCTAACACGCAGGCTTATAGGCGGTCCTGGTGTAGGAAAAGGAACTCAAGGGGCCCGTGCTGCGGAAGAGTTCAACTTTGCGCACATCTCTCTCGGCGACCTGCTACGCAAGGAGCGCGGGGAGCCTGGTTCTCTCTTTGGCGACTTCATCGACGAGAGCATGAAGAATTCCATCATCGTTCCGGCCTTGCTGTCGATGATGCTGCTCAAAGGTTCCATCGAGGCTGCCCTGGCAGAGGGAAAGGCTGGGGTGCTGCTTGACGGCTTCCCGCGAAGCGTCCAGCAAGCTACCGCATTCGAGGAGGAGGTAAGCATCATCTGCGACGGCGGCCTATCCAGTGCGCGTTTCCAGGCTGACTTTGTGTGATTGTCCAGATTTCCGACCGATACTCGACCTTCTTCCTAGACTGTTCAGCAGAGGACATGGTAGCGCGAATCAAGGGTCGAGCATCATCCTCTGGTCGGACGGACGACAGCCCCGAGGTCGTTGCAAAGCGACTGGAGACTTTTAACGCAACCAATGAAGGCGTCGTGAATCATCTAAAGAGAAACCCGCTTCACCGTGTAAGTGACTCATACGAAAGAAGCGGCCTGAATTCATGCTAATTCTTGATTGATAGATCGACGGCGCCGGATCACCAGACGAGGTATACATTGCTATGAAGAAGGCTATCGAGGGTATCCTCGGGGATAAAACGACAGCATGATGATGTACCTACTTTCTGGTCACCCAAACCTTGCTCTTAAATCACCAAGCACATCAATTTGAATTGCCCACAATACTGCCAAAAATGCTCTATTGGTCCCAGAACGTAGACTGCTGAACCAAAATCTCTCCTTCTATGTGCCGCTTCCTCCCCTACGTATCCCTATGACGTAATGCTGGTGAGCCCTTGGAATGCTTCAATTTCCATCCTCCTTTTCTTAAGTCCAGAATTGAGAGCCGATAGCATAAATGCAATCTTCACAGTTGTCTGCCATGTCGACGGGCAGGAAGCCATCTGGGCTGGCGTCATTCGCTGCGGGAAAGTCGGCCGTGACACGAGTCTCCAAGTTTGTGACAATGCTCCATAGGTCCGGCTCTCGCTCCACAATGGACTGTGGCTCTTCGCGCGGCAAGCTACGTAGTAAAGTCGTTAGTTGATCTTGGTGGGGGCGTGGAGTCGGCGGGACCACGGGCTGCAAGTGGTTACTTACTTGACTGTATGAACCTCGACCTCAATAGCGTGTGGCATTGGGATGGTGGGTTCTTAGGTTTTTTATGCAAATTAATCGAGCTAAGAATAGGGAGCTAAGCATAGACAGCTTAGTATAAGAGTAGACGTATTTGCGAGAGTGTGATGGCTTTCGGCGCAGTCCTAAGTTTGGAGACCCATGGGATTATGGAGCGGGAGAGGCTTATTTAAGTCTCCTCCTGTTATGCCCAAAGCCTTTTAATGAAGGAATTGAAAAATTGAACCATATTCTAGGTGAAGATCCGTAATTCATAGAGCCTCACGATACCTCACCCAAAGACCGCATAAACAGACCCCGGGGTCGTGGTAGGCGGCCATTGAGATGCGGGTATGATTGGTTAAAGGTGTCGCCGCCTAATGTCGCCCGGGGTTGTCTTTAGTCGGCCACCCACAAGGGTTTCCATTTGCAGGGCCCTCCTGCTAGAGAGTGCCCAGTGTGATGTGATGGCGATTCTGGTTTGTTGGCAGGCGCTTCCCCAAAGATCAACGCGACGAATGGATGGCATCAACGTTTGAAGAGGCCCGCCTCACTCCAAGCTCGTGCAATAAAGTACACAGCCCGTAACTTAGTTGTTACCTCCGTAAGCGGGAGATTCCTCCACGGGCCTTCAGCCATTAGCATTTTCGCCCGGCTCAGTCTCACTGCAGCACACGTCGCCAAATACGCCACTTTCTATTAAATTGTAAGGCGACCAATAATAGCTGGCGCTCGCCTCGGAGGCAGCGGTGATAGCAGGAATCGAGGATGGAGACGGAGGACAGGTAGTAAATAGGTCGTCAGGCCGTTCCCCGTTCCCCTCCTCGATTTAGAGTCGACCCTAGTTCGTAGTGCGCTGATTATCATCTCCACCACGGTCCACGATGGATCCATGTCCAGACTATGGCGATTTTGACCCCAAGGCCATGAACGGGTTGACCCGCGCCGTTAGTGCCGATGCCACTAACGGCCCCGCAAGCGACTCTCGATCCACATCGATCCCGTCAACGGACCACATCCACCGCAACACATTCGAGGGGCAAGAAGAGCTGTTTGCCGTCGGATCCGGCAACATCGATCCCGTCTTCTTCGACGAGAACCTTCTCTTTCCGCCGCTACCTGCCAACCCACCGCAGATCCCATTCGACATCCCAGTCGACGTGCCAGTCGACGTGCCATTAGACGTTCCCTTCGACTTCCCCTTCGACCCCTCCTTCGACCCCTCCTTCGACCCTCCATTCCTCCATGCTCCATTACTCAACGCCGACACGGCATCCTTCAATTCGTTTCCCGCCCTGCCGCTGGTATTGCTCCCGGGCGACTTATCCAACCATCATCCTGCCATCCACGACCTCAGCTTCCCGGAGCTGACCCCGCCTGCCGCCTTCGACAGCGGTCCTCTGTACCAAGACACGTCCAGCTTTGGAAACGTCGGCGGCTTCGCGGACTTGCTCGAGCTTGACCCCTGGTTCCACCCCAGCGATCCAATGTTCTACACCTTGCCAGAGTCGAGCGGCGGCGAGGCGACATTCCCTCCACCACGGGTGTCCGACCCCGTACCTCCCGTCGAAAGCCTGGGAGAAGGGAGTAGCATCCATGTGGCCCTGAATTCCCATCTTGCACCAACCGACGACAATGAAGCAAATATCGTGGCTCCTACTCCCGTCGCAGCTGCCGACTCTCGCGCGTCGACATCGCACGTTGACGTTGACCGACCTCAAAACGCCCTGCAGCGCATCCACAATAGCAACAAGGTACTGAGAGGCACTGCTTGCAGTTTCTGCTATCTCAACAAGAGAAAGGCAAGTATCGCGCCTAGAATAACGGACCTTGGCCGACTACTCTTAAAGAACTGATTGAGCTAATTGTTTCCGGCGCAAATAGTGCGACTCTAACCCGCGATGCCTGCAATGCATGCTCAAGTCAATACCGGCTGATATGTGCGTCCGGGTCCGCTTTACCGAAGAGCCCATATTCAAGAAGTGTACGTGTGTTTTCCTAGCTGACTTCACTCGTCAGTCAGCCGTCATCCATGAATTACTGACCGCTGTGCGTAGGGAATGTTGGCCTCTACCAATCAAAGATGCGATGGGGGCAACTCGCCTGGGTTCCCGGGCAAATCACTATGAACTTGTACCACTTCGACAATGGGCCAGCCATCCTAGTCAAGTGCCGCCAGTTCATCCCTGACAGTCCCGAGCAGTGTCAGGTTTGGGGAAGGACGCCCGGTGGCTGGAGACTTGAGCCAACGGCTGCCTTTGGCCTTGACTCGGCCGTCTCTGAGGAATATGTCGCGCAATACATCTCCGAGTGCGTTCCGTACTGCGCCGAGGAGGCCGCTCGAAACAGCCCACAGCTCCGCACGATTATTCAAAATGCCTCGCGACAAGACAAACTACTTCCCCTCGCCCTCCAACTCTGGACTGCGAACCGCCTTCTCATGAGAGGGTGGCAGGCGAAGGAAGACCCCGCACTAGGTATCTGTCGAGTCACCGACCCCGAAAGTCCCTACTACAATACCACAATAGCGCCCCGGGTTTTGCAGAACCAAATTGACAGCAGGGTTGAGGCCTTCATGGCTCGGGTCGAGCTTCAGCTTCTCAAAGACCTCCAGAAAGCCATGAAGCAGAAGACGTGTGGCTGGATTGAGATTTTCTCGACCGTGTTTCTTATACTGCGCGTTGCCGAGAAGGATATTTGGAGACTTATGTATTGGCTGCGGCACGAAAACGAAGTGAGTAACACCGTCTGTGCCATGGGAAGTGAACTAACGAAGAAACCTGTAGGCATACAAATGGAAGCACCCCGAGTCGGCCAGCAAGCTCGCCCAGAGGAGCATATTCTGCTGCAACCTCCTCCTGACGTACTTGCACAACGCGGGCTCCGTACCTATCGAGTTCACGAAGTCCAACACACCCTGTACGTGCCCTATCCATCTGATGATATGCCTGTTATTCATTAATTCTCACTGCCCTTCAGCACTTGACCGAATCGGACAGGCGGCGACTCTATACGAGGAGATGAACGACGACAGTGTGGATGACACACTCAGCTCCTTGGCTTTTGTAGAGAACTGGCAGGAGGGAAATGCAGTACAGCCAAAGGAATTCGGTTGTAAATGAGCTTTCCCAATTGGTGGTACCTGTGGAAGGGGTGCTGATGGGCTGGTGTACGCAGATGAAAAACCAGATTGCAGATGCGGAAGAAGTGAAGCATGGGTGACACGGAGAGGAATGATTACTAACGCGAAACGAATGATGCAGATTAATGAATGATATTTCAAAATGGGGTACCTGAGGCAACTTTCGGGTGCGCATATGATTGTTTTCCCAACCAAGTTTGGCTCAGCACCAAGCTCGACGAATTCATCGTGTTCAGCAGGTCAACAGCTGCCACTCCCAGTCATATAAGCGACAGAGGCCTTTCGGCGAAATCCAGGTCTGTACCATGATAAACAAATAGCTGGATCATTTCGACGAGGCGTCAATCAACCCTTCCCGCAAAACCTCTTGTATACCAATACCCAGCTGACAGTCCACACTGGGTGCGGTTTCATCAAGAAGCATCAGTGTAGAGTTAAACATTAAAAGAAAACATAGTGATAGTGGTAGTGAATGTATATTGCTATTGTATGATAGTCCGGAGTATCTGCCCTCCAAACGTGATAAGCAACCACAGATACAGTTGGAACACAGCCTCATTGGGTCTGCGGAGATAGTAGAGAAGCTGATAGAGGCTATTCGGTATACGGAAGATTTGTGTACAACCCTATTCGTCCTCTTACAAACAAGCTACCGTCTTATAACCTAGGAATCATAAGATCCTGCGCGACTGGTCGCATCACGCCCAGAACTTCCTCAGCACCCCGGCTTCCTGATGCCAACGCACCCTCAATCTGGCCTCTCCATACATGACTAGTCTCGGAGCCCACGAAATGTAACCTGTCTTCAATCGCCCACTGGTCCTGTGCGAGGTCACGCACATAACAGGTGGGGAGAGCAGGGCAGGGGACGTGTCGAATCTTGCTGTCAGGTTCAAATCCGGACCAGATTATTTCCATGGGGTCCGGGAAGGGGTTAAACTCGCTGAATAGATCGCTGATATGGGCTACGAGGGTCTCGCGGCGTTGGCTCTCGGACATATTCCACAATTGGCGGCCGGCTTCGCCCGCAACCACGCAAGTTAGCGAGTACAGGCCAACGGCATCGCATGATGAGTCCCGCGTCTCCCAGACGGGGCCGTCGACGCTCTGGGCGAAGCCATTGAGTCCTTGTTCGCGCCACCAGGGCTTCTCATAGGCCAGGACGACCTCGGCATGGAAACCGGACTGCTTAAATTCTTGCATCCACTGCTTGTGCTCACCAAGAGCAGGGCTGAAGTCAATATTGCGATATGAGGCGGTAGGGACGGCGAGGACGACACGGGAGCACTGGAAGACTTCGCCAGCTTCGGTGGTTAGGACAACCTTGTTGCTGGAGGTCTGGTCGATCCATTGGACGGCCTGGGACAGGAGCACGGAGCCGGGCGCAAGGCGCTCAGATAGAGCGTCGCAGATAGACGGGGCACCAGCGCGGAAGCGTAAACGGCGGCCAGAGCGGGCGGGCTGGCCGATGGCGTTGAGGAAGCCGCCGGCGGTCTTGCAGACGAGGAGGAAGTAGAGGGCGGGGACGTCTTCGGCAGTGAGGCCGAAGATGCTGGCAGTCCAGGCGTCGGCGAGCTTCTTGATAACGGGCGTGGCGCCTTGTGAGACGACGAGCTCGCGGACGTTCATGGAGCCGAAGTTGGGGAGCCATAGAGTCGGGTTGTTGAGATCGACGCGCTGCGAGAGGCCCTCGAGGTTGGCGCGGACACGGGTGTACGATCGTCGGTCATCCTCGGAGAACTAGACGCAGAGCCAAGAGGGTTAGATACTTGAGAACAACATGAAAGTGGACATGGAAGCTAGCATTTTCAGCACATACGTTGGGAACGCTGCCATGCTCAAAGCTCCCGGCGCCCTGGACGACGCTCTTCCCAGCGGCGAGCTTCTCCTCCACCATGTCAATGCCGAGCCTGCGAACCAGGTTCCAGGCGCGGGGCTGGTGAACATGGTCGATCCAGGCACCGCAGACGCCGTTCCGGAGACGACCGCCGAGGCTGTCGTGGGCGTCGAGGACGAGGCACGAGATGCCGGCCTGCTGCAGCTCGTGGGCGGCGTTGAGCCCGCTGAGGCCGGCGCCGACGACGATGACTTCGGCGGAGCGCTTGGGCTGGGAGGCAAAGCTCCGGTTTCGGGGGGTTGCGTTGAGGGGGGAAGTCATTGCGGTTTCTGTTCGGAGAGGTCTATCGATTTGTGTTTCCGGATTCGCAGTTGACGTCGTTTTGGTAGGTTGCCTGCTTTATTGTTGAGTGGATAGCTTCAACTCGTTGATGGAGTGGATGGACCAAGACTAAGGTGATGGAGGAGTCAAAAAGCAGGGACCAGCCAACAAGGGAGGAAACCAATTCAAGGCGAGGGAAATATTTTGTCTCTGCGTGGTCATATTCGTCTCAGCGTCAGCAAAAAGAAAGTCCCCAATCCCAATCCCCAATCCCAATCCTAGTCCCACGTCACAACCAACATCATCTCCACCAGCTCCGTAAAATATTCACACCAGACAGCTTCTCTCCCCCACTTGGCCGCGGCCCGTTGTGATGAAGCCGCCCAATCGCCTGACTGCCCATGTTCCCAACTCCACCTCGCTGGCCGCCGTAGGTTTCCTAATTCTGATCCGTTAAATCCAGATCCCGATGCTCAGGTACTTGCCTGCCCACAAGATCTCCGAGCCTGCCCCGCGGTTCTCGGTCTCTAGGACGGAAGGGGAACCCGCACTGCTCCCGGCCATCGCCTCCCATCGCCATGTTTGGCTAAAGCCTCATTCCGGGTGTCATCCCACGTGGATTTTGACAAATCTTACATCACCCGCTGGTATTCTTTTTATTTCAAATTGAAGCGCCTAACAAATCTCACTGGCTTCACAAATACTCTCATTGTCGTGACCTGCTATTGATTGACCGTGTTCTGACTAGCCAGGTCCCCGGCTTCTCCATACCATGCACTCCGCGACTCTTGGCTAGCCCATCTGGGGAGATACATCGCATGTTGTGCGTGCAGCTGATCTAAATGGACCCAGTTCTCAATGTCGACTACAACGGGCCTCGAAGCCGGGGTCATCCCGGGCCACTATCAATCGCAATTGATGAAGCCACCCAAAATTCTGGAACGAAAGCTGCTTGATATGTTCACTGTTTACTTGCAATTTCCTCACTTTTCTTTTATTTAGCCCCTATCCATGAAACCACTCTACAGCGAGACTGTAAATTACTATATTTCGCCCCGTACTACATCTCAGTTGTGGACTTGAATCTCCGAGCTGTTTCCGAAGAACCCCGAAGTCACCGAGAACTACGACATCTGGTAATTCGTACACATCACGTTTCGATTTGCTGGGCATCCGACATTCATGACAAATTACCAACAAACTGCCACCCGCCTTTGATGACCAAATAGTTTATTCGTCACACATGCCATTTTCGGCTTCCTGACCCAAACCCAACACTCACAATAGAGTCCTTCGCCACCACTTCTCCTCCTCTTCCAACCACAACCTCGCATTCTGAGGCTGCGAAAAACCATGACCTTCCTCCGGCGCCACGATTATCTCTACATCGCCTCCCTTTGCCTTTATAGCGTCCGCCATCTGTTGAGCCTGGTCAATTGGCGTCACTCTGTCCTTCGCACCATGTAGTAACAGCAATGGCGACTCAATCTTGTCCACGTGATATAGAGGGCTCCGGTCGCGACAAATTCTCTCTTTATCCTTCTTGCTCGAGCCTGAGGGAATAAGCAAGTGATCCATGTAGTCTGACTCAAGCTTATGTGTGGACTCGTCCAGTCTCTTGAGGTCACTGATACCGGAGAGGCAGACACCCGCCGCAAATGTCTTCGGATGACGCGTCAACGTCCGAAGTGTGTTGTAACCACCTGCACTGACGCCGGTGATTCCCACTCCACCGGATCTCACTTTTTGCGTCGTTATCAGGTATTCTGCAAACTCCGCAGCGTCGTTCGAATCCAGCAGTCCCCAGTTGCCAAACAGAGCCTCGCGGTACTCACGCCCATGTCCACTCGACCCACCATGATTGAGCGCAAGGAGAGCATACCCTCGCGAGGTAAAGTATTGGGTCCGCAGTTTTAGGCCGGGGCCTATGTAGGACGTTGGGCCTCCATGGACCACCATTATCAGGGGCGGTAGCTCGCCGTCCGGTGCTTCAAAGTTTGGATTGTGTGGCGGCCACAGGAAACCGTGAATGCGTCTACCTGACGATTCCCTTGAAGTAATAACCAAGGACTCTGGTTTTGAGTAGAGCGATTCTGGAAGTTCTTCTTCTGTCGACTTCCGTATAGCAGTGATAGTAAAAACATCTCCAAGTTCGCATCGATATAATGTCTGAGGACTGGCCGCCCCGCCTCCGATGACAAGGAAAGACGAGTCATCTAGGCGAGCCACTGAATCCAACATAATTTCGGATAGCATTGATGCATCTTCAATTGTTGTCCATGATCCTGTGTCCAGGTCGACGATATTCAGCTGGGACACTCCGGCGGTGACGGGGCAAGCCACGAGATATCGTTTCGATAACGGGGCATATGTGTGACTATACGACATCAATTGTTTGAGTTTGCTAGGCACCATCGAATCAACTCACCTCCCCTGAAACCAGCGAATCTCACCAACTTCAGACTGGCTCAGCTCATCAAACTGGACCTCAACAGGTACATCTTGGCCAGGTGGGATCCGGAACAAGCGACGATACCCGTTGGGTTCCTTGCCGAAGAACAGCGACCCATCAGGGCCCCATCGCGGCTCAGCAACGCCTTCGCGATCTTTTCCAGCAATTAAGTGAATATCTGAGATGGCACCGTCGGCTTGCCAGGTCGCAGAGCACAGCTTCGCTGCATCGAAAGGGAGGTCAGGATGGTTCCACTCCAGCCAAACCAGTTTCGTCCCGTCGGGACTGAAATACGGAGTGTAGTAGAAGTCAGCACTACCAAGAATCCTTTTGACTTCTCCTGTTTCGGTATTGATGGCCACAATGTAGTTCCTGACTCCGTCAGGAGTGTCGTGCTCGTGATCCTCCTCGTTGGCCAACACCCAAGGATGAGCCGGATGAGCATCAAAGTCGGAATACCTCAACTTGGGCGAGCCTACGAGAAGTGAAACCTCCTTGGTGTCTGTATTTAGGGTGTGGACTGTGTTGTCCTTGTGGGAAAAGATGATGCGGTCGTCGGGGAGCACGGCATATGGCGAGCCTCCATACTCATAGACTGAATTACTTGCACTGTACTCGGCGGGAAGGATATCCTTCAGTCCATCTTTGGTGATTTCGATAATCGAGATGCCACCAGCTTCTCGACTCTCAGTGTAGAAGGCCCGTCCAGATTTAGCCTGCGCCCTAGTCAGCACGGCCAGTCAATATCCAACATCCTGGCTTCGGGGGCTTGTACACTGGCACGAGGAGACGAGAGCTTCCAGCTCTTGGAAACAACAGAGTCGACAGATATGGGCGACTCCCATGAGCCGTATGGGGCGGTTTTCTTGAGCGCCATGGTGGTGAGCAACGAGACACTGTGAAGACAAGAGATGGATGTCACGGAAATGCGGAGACAGATTTTGGAGTAGTACTAGCTGACGAAGCGGGCCATTGGTCGCTGTTACACAGTTGTTTTAGGCAGGTACTGGAGGCTCAATCCCACTCCAGGGGCTCAGTGGGGACGTTAGCGCTGACTCAGTGGGGTTGGCGGCGGGCTCCCACCCGTCCCTCCACCATCATCTTGCGCCACTTGAGTGTCAGTTCTCATCATTCCTCCCAATTTGTTCCATCCAACACAACCCCTCCTGTATATTCCAGGTCGATTAGGGCATGGGGAAAGGAACAGTCACGCCTCTTCAGAGGCCTCGGCGTCTGGGAAAGCCTTGGTGGGTAGTACCGGCATGTTTCGCGGGCTTCATCCTCCTCTCGGAACTCTTTAATTGGCACGTGAGGCGCAGCCGTCGCGAGCAACACGATGAGGTTGAGGGCGTCTATAGCAGATTCCCCAAGCACAACGACCCCTTTCGCTTTCTTCCCTGCACCAACGCGACTCTGCCGCCCGAGCTCGACGACCCAGAGCCAGAACGAAGTTGGAAGGCGCTGTATGAACCGGATCCAGACCGTTGGAGCTGGGAAAACGAGGTACGCGAAGGCGTGGATCATGATGATCCCTACGCTGGACGGGGCATCTACCTCTGTGGATATCTTGACGTGCCTCTCGACTACACCAATGCGTCTGACCCTCGCATCGTCCGTCTAGCTGTTACCAAGCTCCAGGTCTCCGGGCTCCGCCGAATTGACGGCAACTCTGCCCCCAATGCGGGACGTGGGAGCAAGAGGACCATCGTCATCGAACCTGGTGGTCCTGGCGGCAGCGGCACCTCTTATGTATGGCGTGCCGCCGAACTTATCACCAAGCGACTTAGTGACGGTCAGTTCGATGTTCTAGGTTGGGATCCTCGAGGCGTCAACGCTTCGCTCCCAGCCATGTCATGCTTTCCCTATAACGCGGACCGAGATCGCTGGTCTATGCTCGCCGGCCAGTATCGGGAAGTGTCACCTTCACCCAAGGCACAGCTGGAAGTCGTCGATGCTTTGAATGACGCCATCTTGCGTGCTTGTTGGGAGAAGCACGGTGATCTTCCGCGCTTCGTCTCCACGGCATTTGTTGCCCGTGATCTAGAAGAGATCCGGAAGGCGTTAGGCGAGGATGAGTTGACGGGATATCTTGTCAGCTACGGCACTGGCATCGGGCAGACGTATGCCAACATGTTCCCTAACAGCGTCGGCCCCGTGATCCTTGATGGCACTGAATATGTCAGAGATCATCGCCTATTGGGCGGGTTTGGCTGGACGGCCCTCGACAATGTCACCGATGCTTGGACAGACGGATTCCTTGGCGAGTGCATCAATGCTGGGCCAGAGCATTGCACGCTCGCAAAGTCCAAAGATGGGCATTCAGTCTCCCTCAAAGACCTCGAGAAACGCATGGAGACACTAGTGACATCCCTTATTGAAAGACCAATCCCCGGATACACCGACTTCAGCGGGCCCTCGATTGTCACGTACTCTTCCCTTGTCAACGTCATATACGCCTCTCTTTACAACGCGCAAAGTTGGCCTGCGTTGGCTCAAATGCTCTCTGAGCTTGAAGACGGCAACTCAACTCTCGCAACCGCGTTTCTCGAGCACAATGCCTGGCAATACGATCCGACACTGCCTGCCCCTCCTTCTCGGCGCCCATCATCTGATGAGCTTACTACTCTCGTCATCTGTTCGGACGGTTACGATGCGCCGCTCCCTCCTGATGACTTGAATTGGTGGGCCTCGCTCTGGGCGAACATGACTGCCAAATCTTGGATCGCAGGCAACCCGCGCTTCTTCGATGTCTTCCCCTGCCAGCACTTCACCGACTACTGGCCCAAGCCAGCGGAGGTCTACCGGGGTGATCTAAACAACACTCTAAATTTCCCAGTCTTGCTGATTGCTGAGACATATGACCCAGCAACACCGTTGCGGAACGGGAGGAGACTTCTGGCCGAGATGGGTGACAATGCGAGGCTCGTTGTTCACCATGGATATGGTCATTCTTCGAGAGACGCATCGAATTGTACGGATGCCATTGCCAAGGCCTATATTATGGGGCGCGAACTGCCACAAGAATCCGAGACAGCATGCTATGCCAATGAAAAGCCTTACCTGTATGGTGTAGGCAAGGACGGAGTGTCGACAGCAGCCAAGGAACCTTGGGACCCTGTTGCCGAATGGATCAAGCACACGAAGACGCCAGTTTAATAAACCCGGCACCAGCGTTTTCGTGTGTTTTATATTATTACCATAATACTTGACAATCTCGAACAGTTTTGCTTTTGTTTCTTGCTCTACTCAGTACCACCAATACATTGCTTTGATACATCTGAAGATATTCAATAAAGCTGATGTATATGATCACTGCCAAGCATCATATCATTTACAGATAAATAATCTCATCAGTGCTGTTTCTTCTTAACAGGCCTTGTCCATACGTTTGGTCTTTTGTGTCCAGATTCACCAAGCTTGCCCTTCACCAACTCCGACGCTCGGCAACTCATGTCGGATTTGTCCAGTACAGCTAATTCAATAATAAACCAAATTCCCAATGTAAAGCGCTTCTTAGCCATACGGCGCATATTCTTCGTTTATCATCGAGGTCTCATTAGTAAAGGTGTGTCGGATGCCACTCCGCATTGTGGACGATTCACATCTAGACCACGAGCCAGAAAGCCATTGCGAAACAGCCCAACCACAAGACCAAAGACATTCTCTCTACCTTGAAATCAGAGCCAGCATTCCCAGGAGGTGCCGCTCCAGTAGTAGATGCCGTGCCAGTGGAGGTGGTAGTGGTTATCGCCGCCGTCTCCGATGTTTTGGCAGTCGTTGTCTCTGCCGCCGCCGCCGCCGTCGCGTTCTTCGTCAAGCACTTCGCCATAGGATCCGAATCCCCCTTACACCCCTTCACGCACGCATCCAGCTGCTCGCCCTTTTTTCGCGGGAACGGTACATACGGCGCTACGAACTCTGTCTGGCAGTCCTGCAGACACGGCACGGCACTGCACGGCACGGTGTAAACATACTTTTCAATGCCGTAGTCGGCCGACTGATACGCGAAGTCGGACCAGTTGCCTGTCGCACCCGTCAAGTTGAAGGTGGTGGCCTCGAAGATCGAGAAGGTCGGTTCCAATGTCGAGATGCTGCCGTTATCCAGAGGTGTGAAGAGCATATAGTCCAGGCTGTAGGGATAGCCGTCTGGGAATGAGGCTTTCGGAATGGTGGTATTGAAGCTGGTCAAGTCGGTTGACACACAACCCTCAAGATAGCCTACGCCAAGTCAGAGAGGGAGCAGCATCTCATAGGTTCAGCGAGAGGTACAATATTGGCGCCAGATAATTGCCGGACCCCCCCGATCCGTCATGGTTTCATATGTCGGATCGCCCATCATATACACCCTCAGATACTTCATATCGCATCTCCCCGGCCCCTGGCAGTCCGGAATCGGCCAATGAGCTGCGGCAAGGTTGGTGAAGATGGTAAAGGGTTCGCCCGCTCGCACGACATTGGGCGTGTTCAAGACGGTGTGGTCTACAGAGGCGGACACAAGAGCCGCCAGATAGAGAAGTATGAGAGTGAGCATTATGTGTGCAGTCGTCGGCGATGCCGAGATCGTCTCAGTGGTTTGGCTGGCGATGCAGTGACCTGCCAGTTCAACTACTGTACGCCAGTCGACTTGAAAGACGAGGAAATCGCGAGTGCACCATTTTTCAGAGAAGGATTTATTATGTAGCAAAGGATTATTCCCCGCTGCGCGTGTCGGCGCTGACTTGCTAAATACCCCTGCAATCATGCCGCTTCTCCTAGGCATCCTTGCCGAAGCTCGCTTCCCAAGGACTTACCATCTCCTCAAGAAGTTTACAAGTGAAGCTGTTCATGATTATAGCTCAATACCTACCAGAGTATTACATCATGAGCTCGAGGCGCGATGGCTACTGTTGGGTGGAGCGCAGTCTGACAATTAGTAGCAAACACGCGACCAAGAGACACCACGCAGAAGTCGTCTGAACAATAAGAGGAATGATGAAACAGGAACCAGTCCAGAGAATGAAACAAGTACGTCATTAGCCAAGTCGTGTTTGCATTCGGCTCATCCCCTCGTTCTAATATTATAGCAGTACGGGGTCTCGTGACGTGGGAGTCCCGATATGATGTCGCATGTCAACACCAAAACCGCCTGACCCACGTGTCGTGATACTTACCGCCACCCTCCAGGTCACGGTACCGGAGCAAAGAACAATCAGGCGCAAAGAGTATTCACCAGAATATCTAAAAGCAGGGCCGTTTCGCTTGAAAATGACCGTTGGAAGTGGACTCGAGTCGTCAAGACGTCAAGAATGACCCGTTTCGGGTAACGAGAACAGAGTAAGATGTGAAAATCATTAGTGTCATAAGATACAAATATGTACAGCTTGCTTGCTCCACGTATATACAAAGCACCCTGCCACCCATCATGCTAATCCAGCCGTCTCCTGCCTCCCGTCCGTCTCCGTATGGGATCTGGCATGGGCTTCTGGACCTTGCTGAGCGCTTCATCAGGACTTCTCCGGATCTCCCGGAAGGAAGAACCTTGGTGGCGATGTGCAAAGTGGTGTTTTGGTGAGGGGGAAGGTGAGCGTCGGTGAGGGGAGGGTATCCTCCGCGACACCACGGACTTGTACTCAATATAACAGGATGCGATAGTTTCTTGTCGAGGGGTAGGAGTGTCGGAATCTAGGGTATCGTTATTGAAATCGAACGCGTCGAAAGCATCTTCGGGAAATTGTGCGGCAGGATATTCGTCCTCGAGATCTTCATCGAAGCCATCGTGAACATGTTCCTCCTCAGTGGTCTCATCCAACGACGACGGGCTCTCTGCGCAGTCGGAGGTGGCGGCGCTCTCGCAATCGTCCGATTGCGAGGTCTCATCGTCGTCGTGGACGTGTGACCGGGTCAAGTCAGGTCCAAAAGGACCCGACTCCGAACCAGAGAAGGACATGGAGCGTGATGGAGGATTGGAAGAGTACTCGTGAGGCTCCAGAGTCGGAGCCGGGGATGATGCACAAGAGTCGGAGTGCATCGCCTCCGAATTGGGAGGTGAAAGAGGGGCCTCAACAACATGAGAGGACCTGATATTGGTGTGAATAGAGAGGGGCTCCTTGGTCATGACGACCTCGTCATCATCGCCGAAGAAACTAGGAAGGGAGGCATCGTCGACGCTGCTGGCCGAGGTGCTTTCGGTTTTGACGCTGTTGGTCTCGGAGTAAGTAGAAGATGAGATAGAGACAGTGTCGTGCTGATCGAGGTAGCTGTCAGGGAGATAGCTCGCGAAGTACCGGACGATTGAGTCAAAAGACTTGGTCCGGAAGAGCTGGAGAGCGTATTGCCAGTGTTCCGAGTCCATCAGCTTGGGGTTGGCGATGATCTCCACGGCCAGCGACTCGAGAGACTCATGGAGCTCGGTCAGGCGCTGGCGCTGGCGATCGGCCATCAAGCGATGGAACTCGTCAGGGGTATCGGCATCACGGGAGATTTCGTAGACGTCGTGGTGGAAGGCCTCGGGGTCTTGGATGTTGAAGGAGAAGGTGTTGTACTGATCGTGGAGTTTGGTAAAGAGGTCATCCCTCTTCATGCCAAACTTCCAGGCTGGCCAAGACCAGCCTGGTTCGTCTAAGTCTGGCATGTTGAGGTCACTGTCGGATGGGTCGGATAGGTGGAATCGTGGTTTGTTTTGGGGGTTGTGAGGAAGGGAGTCAGCCCAGTCTGTTGCACCGCGTGGTTCGTTCAAAGCTCGAGTGAGCTTTGTGATCTATTTCATAGCCATGGCGGAAAAAGTGGAATCGGCGAATGCTCAGCGGTCTCGAGGGAGCTGGAGCAGTGCGATCGTTTGTTTTTGGGAGGATTTGGGTGCTGTGTTGTGCGGTTCGGGGGGCGGGTTGGCGGTGCGTGGGCGTGGTGACAGTAACGAGAACAGGATCGCTGGTGGTTTGGGGTGCGCCGACTAGCAACATAATTCGGATCGTGCTCGCCCCCAACCCAAGGGAAGATGTTGTGGCCTTAGGCAGAGATTGTGGCACCGTAACGCGATTTTAATTGGATGCATTGTCGGAAAGTCGGGCACGCGAGACTGCAAATGCATCACTCCGCCACTTGTGAAAGCCAATCAACGGCGCGTAGGGATGACGATGTCCAATCATCAAGTTTGATGTGGATACGTGCAGAAATGGGCTCCACACAGCTGGCGAATGCGTCCAATTGAGAACAGGGTGTCCACACCTGCCGGAGCTAAGGGGGCCAAGGGGGGCAAGTGCTGACCCACTCACTGTGCATGTGTGGATTCGCCACTGTATGAACGCCAGATGTCCGAAAATCGCTGCCCAGTGCTCGTCACCAGTGCTCTCGGTTTTTCCTCGTTGTTGCTTACCTACACATACCACCAACCGCTGCTCTGGTACAAATCAACTGCCTCACTGGAGCCGGGCAACTGACCCGCCCTCCCTGTCACCCAACCCGTCTCCGATTCATTTTGGTGGTCGTCGTGACAGCCTCACGCTGAGACTGGAGTCAGGCACCGTACACTTTCGTCTGCACTTTACCCTCCTTTTCGGTGGTCGCCTGGTCGACACGGAGATAGCGTCACTAACTCGATGCCCATGGAAGAAACTAACTTGCAAGGGCCGTGATGCCAGATCACCTGGTTTGTCTTTGGTCAAGACGAACCCTTCCTCAGCCCCTCGTGTCAGCCTCAGTCGAGGCCTCATCAAACTGCACAGCCGCCGATATTCTCGGCGTACGATAGATTAGTGTGGCGCAGAACATCCATCTGCTTCTCTGGGGTTCAGCACTTGGTGATGGAAATCACCCCTGCAAGCGTTGGCAGTCGAGATACCCGACTATGGACTCGGCCCCCAAAACCACAGCCACGCCGCTAACCAACATCCTCCACTCTGCTTGGCCTTGTCCAGCCCTACCTCGCCCACAATGCTCCTCCAGATTCATTGTGCCACACTTCGCTGTCCGAGATACCTGGTACCCACCCACTCGAATCGCCAGCGCAAAAATCTCGGGTAGAATCTGGCAGTCTGCTCGCCAGGCTCCCATAGCCCTCCACCCCAGGACCCAGGCACCCGCTGCGCGCCGCTCCTCCCGTCTGGCTGCCGTTTCTGCTGCCTTCTCGGCCTGGGATTCATAGGCCGTCACAGGCTATCACAGGCTACGCGCTGTACAGGCTAGGGCAAGACAGGCCCCGGCCCCATGGCGAACCAGGCCGGGGAGGTACTTGTATCTGGGTCGTTGAATGACGGGGTCAGTTCCTCGCTGTGGAGGCTGAGACGAGATGGGACTCCATCAGCAGGCCTGGCGGTTTCCCTCTCTGTCCCCATCAAAAGACCCCGGTTTGCCCTTCTGATGTGTCTGCTTGGCCTTTCGCGCCCTCTCGCCCCGGAACTGTCGATTTCTGTCCTGTCCCATGTGCCGCTCTGGTTCCTGCTTTTGATTACATACGGAGCGTACCCAACAGAGCTACTTACCTATGTATACTGCGAGGCGCCCATTCATTCATTACCTAGCCACAGCCCACTTCTGACCCCCCTTTTACCCTCTTCCCCTTGTCGCTACTCTGCTATAATTATCTGCCTCGGCCGAGCTGAGTCGAGCTGATCCGCCGTTTGCCTTGCCGACCGCCGCCTCACTTGCCCAATCCCACTCACTGGGCTCACCCACCCGCTCATAACTGGACACAATACAACTCAATCGCAGCCTGGCACAGCACAGCACAGCACAGCACAACGCAACGCAACTCGTGCATCACCACCTTTGTCTCAATCTACATAGGCTCTTACCCTCACTGCGGCTGGGATCTTTACCTGAGCCGGCTTGGTTGGCTTGTCCCAGAGGTACACTCACTCATCTTTTTTCACTCGTCATCCTCTCAGCCTTCCGCCATCCCGCCCTTCCCGTTTGCTTACCAACGTCGCATGGGCCGTTAGGCACGCCAACCTGATGGCCGATCCTAGGCTGGTGCTCTCCGAGGCCATCTCGGAGGAGCGCACCGAGCCGTTCTCACAGACCCAGATCGATGCTCTCTTCAAGGGCATCCGCGTTGAGGAGCCAGTCCCCTCGGCTGATGCCGGGTCCGTCCCTCTCGACAACCTCCAGGTCGAGGAACACCACCACAGGCAAGGCATCCGCATCCTCGTCCGCCCTCTAGCCAAGTTCCCCAACTCACGGTCCGTCAGTCCTGGCAGTGACAGTTGCCAGTGGCTTGCGCTCCGTGCTGAGGTTGCTTCCGCTGAGCAGCCTGAACACAAGGTCCTCGCTGTGACTCAGACATCCAAGGATATCAAGTTCTCCGTCCGCATCCCCGGCGAAATCCAGGACGAGTCTCCGCGACCTCCGCTGTGGTGCGAGCTGTACTACGACCCTGCCAGTGACAAGGTGATCTTCCTAAACAAGTCGGATGTGCCAATATCCCTCTCCGGCGTCACCCAGACCCCGTTGTCGAGCCCTGTCCTCGCTGAAGCCCTCGTCATTAATCCAGGCGTGGCAAGGGCCTTGAGGCCAGGAACATGGCGCATTGCTGTTAGGGATGTCGCCGTGCTGGACTTTAGGATCCTGGAGAAGCGCCCAGTGACGCTGTACCAACCCCAAGCACCCACCATCGTGGAGGAAGTGTCTTCATCGAGCAGCTCTAGTCAGGTCATTTCAGGCGGAAAGCGAGCCCTGACCCCAGAAGTTGATGTAAAGAGGGTTAAACGCCGCGTCTCAGATCCGGATACACCTGGGGATGATGGCGTCATCATGTTTCTGAGGCCTGCCGCCGACCCTCTTGTCTTCCCCCTTCCCAACGGCCGTGAGACCAAAGAGTTATCTGCTATCAATGGCCACGCATTACTTGACACCGAAAAGGGTCAGACGATTGCAGTACCAGGAGTTTGCGAGCTTGATGAGTACCAGCTTACCAAGCGGGAGCCGATTGCATCCACATCGCTGTCGGCCGTCTACACTGCGGACCATTCTCATGTGCCCGACAACATCGTCACAGTCAAGGTGCTCAAGACCCGTGTCGCGAACCCAAATGACAAACCCCATGTGCACGAACGGAACGTTATCCGTCAAGCTGACATGTGGTTGCGTGAGTGTAAAAGTCAGGAAGAACTCCAACACGAATCCATTGTCCGATACTACGGCGGAGACGCGCGTTTTCTCTCCCTGTACATGGAGCATGTGGACGCAAAGGATCTGACGGCCGCTCCTCGATGGAGGAACAAGGCAAATGACGAATTCCAAGGCGATCGGAGTGATGCCTTGAGGATCCTTGCCGACATTTCTGGCGCCTTGAACTACATTCACGGTCGCAAGCTAGTTCACAATGACATCAAGCCCGCCAACATCTTGTACTCTCCGGAGCGTGGAGCCGTCCTCTGCGACTTTGGACTCTCAACCTTGGCAAGCAACTCGCCTATGGGCGGCGGAACACCGTACTACGTACCGCCGGAATTTATCGGGCGCAAGCTCCGTGGTCCTGCGTCGGACGTTTGGGCTGTTGGCATCACCATGCTTTATGTCCTACGCAAAATTCCGTTCCCTGATTGTCGCGCCCGCCGCCACCATCCCAAGCCGCTGTACTGGCAAATATCCGGAGTCAACAACCCCTCAACACCACACAAACAATATGGCAATGGTCAGCCTGCGATCAACCAAATGCGCGACTGGTTGACTGAGATTTACGATGCTAGAGAGAAGCTTGACAACAAGGATCGACTTGAGCGACTGGTCAAGGAGATGTTGACCCCTAATCCGCAACAACGTATCACCATGGCGAGAGTGTTGCAAGAGTTGGCTGTTGACCAGACCTCGGCTGCAAGTTGAGGACAACTAGAGGATACGAATGATTTAACCAAAGGATATGTCCTTGCTTTTGAAATTTCAGGCGTCAAGTTCGCTTTCATTATGGAGCTTCGATGGGATAACATGTATTTTGCCGCGAGAAGCGGACATAAGCCACGTCTCCAAGTTGACAGGGTGAGTGAGCATGGTCGAAGGGGTGAATAGTAGAGGCTAACATGGTCCAGATTGAAACATACGACATAGATGATCACAGACGTCTTGGAGCACTTTTTTGCATGGGCCCGAAGCAACGGGAGCATTTTTATCCGTTGTGTATTATAGAGCATAGAACGTCTACATCGTTCATTCGTGGGCTCATGAGGGTCATTCGCACCTCGTTCATTACAATTGCCTTTGCGTTCCTCGACTCTCTAGCCACCATTACAGACCGATGCCCATGACGAACGCAGCAGCAAGTGCCACAACAGAAGTCAAGACAGCCTTGTTCACGTTGAGAACGCCCGCAGCGCTGTCACCACCAGTCTCGGTCGCTGAGTCGGCCGAGTCAGTTGAGTTGGAGCTGTTGCTGCTCGTCTCATCCTCATCCAAAGTAGTCTGATCCTTGACGGCGAAGTACTCGACTTCGGAGGTGCAGTTGCTGGGGCCCTTGGCGTCCTTCTTGAAGCGGATGTCGGCGCAGTTGTACAGGGCGTTTCCGCTCTGACCACCCGTGACGACCTGCAGACTAGCTAGGTCGCCATCCTCAACCTCAATCGGGAGCTCAAGCTTGTCGACGCACAGGATGCCTGGGCTGGTGACGTTCCAAAACTGCGGGGTCAGGGAGATGTTGAAGTTGGTCGAGTTCTCGCCGAGACCGAGGTTGATGAAGACGTAGGTGTACGGGTGGTGCAGCTCCAACTTGATGGCGCCGCCGTCAAGGGGCCAGTCAGTGATGTTGCCCGCGCCGTAGTCAGCACCAGCGCCTAAGGGAGATCAATGTTAGCGTGATGGTCGATGGTGAGGCAGGTTGTGAGCAAGAGGCAACGTACAAGGGTTGGTCCACTGGCTGTAGACGGCCTCTCCCTCCTCAGAGAGGGTGTCCGCTCGCCACTCGGGGAAGACAAGGCCGAAGTGGGCCGTCGCAGCCTTGGCTGCGGCCAAGGCAAGGAGGGTCTTGGTGGCGATCATGTTGCTGGTATAGGTGGAAAGTTGAGGAGTTGACAAGAATTGCGGTGCGGCAACGATGTGAGTGTTGCGGGGGGGAGAAGAGGTGAGGTGAAGGTGAGGAGGTAGCTGCAGAGAAAGAAAGCTCCTGCAGCCGAGGAACTTCTTGTTGTCTTTATACCTAGACGCGCAGAAGTGGCTTGCAGGCGTTTGGGCCGGGGTGATGTGAGATATGCTTGACTGGCTAAGCATAACTTAGCTCCGAGGGAGTTGCTAGCGTGAGTGAATTTGCTCTTGGGCTGGGTTGGCAGCTGAATTGGGCGATGCTAGTCGTCGGATGGACGCCTGTGAATGATACTGTCCGGAGCGTTGGCCGGAGTATCGGGACCGGGTGCCAGAATGGCGGGAGCAAGTGGCCGGGTTGGGATGGGACAAGGAGCACCAGCATCTCCGTACTTGGTGAAGCAATGCTTAATCTTGAGTAGCCATCGGAAGCTTTAATAAATCCACTTCTGTACTTATGTGCTTGATTCTCTAATCTTCTCACCTTCATCCAGAGTCTGACATGCCGCCATTCCTCCGGATCTCACGACGATATTCACACCCGCTGAACCAATACACGGACTTGAACATGCGGGGGTGGGGCGCGCCACATCCAGCCCCGTTCCGCACCAGGAGGTTGAGGCCGATATAAACTTGCTCAAATGGCCGCACGATCCCTGCCTTCGGGGAAATATCTCGCAAGGCTCAAGGATTGGTTAGGGAGAGGCGGTCTATTGGTGTTTAGATGGCGGCAAGCGAGGTAGATCCTGCGAATTTGGTTGGCGTACATTTGTTGCTAGGGAGAGCAGAGATCAATTGGGAAGCTGCAGGGTAGGCGTTGCGGCAACAACGCAGAGCAGACCGAGGTGACCAGGGCGTGGAAATGAGGAATAAATTACTATGCTATTAGTCTATTTTTATTGAATTCTAGAAGACGGTACTATTACTTCGATGATGTTAAGTGGTGATTCTTGCACACACACTGTTGCACTTGTTTTGTCCTCCAATCCTTCTTCGACGCTGTGAGTGTCAAGCATTGGATGTTGCAGCAAGGAGTGATCTTGCCATTCTTCAGAGAGCACATGGCTTTCGGCATGTTAATTTGGCAGTCGACCTAAATTTGAACCGATGTATGAACGCCCCAGGGATATCTCACTTCGGTGTCGGATTTGTTGCTTCAGCTTGAAAAGTTGATTAGGGTGCACTTCTCGACGTCGACGGAGCACCGAACGGCTCTTACCATCGGAGCCATTAATAGCTAGCATTGGAAACACTGTAGGACTCTAAAAGCAAAAACACTCACTGTATCACTCTATGTACAGTCTCATGTTCTTATTCCATGTTAATTTCAACGACGGAGCAGTGGTATTGTTGCGGCTGCCTACTTAATGTTCAATATCGCTTACCTAATCATCGAACTCACCAGAGTTCAATTGGACGGCTTCCGTAGCTCAGTTGGTTAGAGCATCGTACTAATACTTCAATTGCCAGTGTTGGTAATGCGAGGGTCGCAGGTTCAAGCCCTGCCGGGAGCAATAGACTCTTGATGCCATCCAATCTTTTTGCCACCTGTTTTGGTCCACTCTGACTGAGTCTGTCTGCCTTAACTTTTTAATCTTCAGTCTGTTGGCTCTACCTGGTGCGGGGTGTAAGTACTAAGCCACGTCGATGCTGAAGAGCATGCTGGATTGTCTCCGCGGTCGACCAAGAATAAACACCCCAAGCCTCACTCGGTCAGATAGTTGATTGACAAAACAACCACCTGGGATGGAAACGAAATTGAGCAGTATATTGCATATAACGTACAGCAAAAACTAATGCGTCGATGCATTACGTTCTCACACCACGTAGTCTCACAATGTCCTACCTAAATACCTACTTGAAGACAGAACTGTCCGTTTGAAGGACCACCATCACCTGACGGCAACGATGACAATGAATGGATCGCTTCTGAGGATGTCTACATCATACCCAACCCATATCATTCACCCATCTATGTCATTTGTGTGCACCGCTGAATCGTTCTCCGTGCCCATGGATGCGTCACGTGATGGGTTATCGCTGCTATTCGATAACGTTTTTCGCTGGTTTCCACTTTTTCGATAAGCTTTTGATGTTGTTGCGCCTACCATCACGCCAACCTCAACTTGCTGTTTCTCCTTCAGTCTCAAGAAATCATGGATCCTGGACGTCGAGCTTTGATCGCGGGGAACCGATCTCCCACGCGACGGGATGTCACCTCGCCCAGGCACGACCCGAGCACCCGAATCACTAAATCTACCCGCCCGCCTCCCCCCAAGAATACTGCGAGGTACCTGTCCCAGGACGAGCAGTCGCGCCAGTTCGTCGCCGACGAGGACAAGTTCGTTCTCAAGCAGTCAAAGAAGAAGGCCGATATCCGGGTTCGAGAGGGTCGCGCAAAGCCGATCGATTACCTTGCGTTCAACCTGAGATACATCGACTCCGATCGCGACGTGTTTGACGAAGATGAAGCCGACCTAGAGATTGACGTCCCTGCGCCTGCAGATATCATCAAGTCTCTGGACGCAGCTCAAACCGCAGAACTCGACTCCGACATTGCATCATACCACGTCTTGGAAACCAACGCAAGGAACCGGGAATATTGGAAGGCGCTCCAGACACTCTGCGCAGACCGGAAATCGAAGCTCAACCCCCTGGGACGAGAAGAGAGGGTGGTGAGCAGTGTCTCCGATGACATTGACAAGATCCTTGCTCCGAAGACACACGATCAACTGGAAGGGTTGCAGAAGCAGATCAAGGCCAAGCTCCAGTCGAATGAGGACATCGACACGGACTACTGGGAGCAGCTACTACGGAGTCTCCTAGTCTGGAAAGCTCGAGCTAAGCTAAATCAAGTATACGAAGCAATTAAGACGAGCCGGATCAACCAACTGAAAGAGATCAATCCGACAAAGGCGAAAGCACTGGACGAAGGGTTGCCCACCACAGACGCCTTGTCTACCTTGCATGTGCCTGTATCTTCAACCTCGAAAGGGGAGGGGTCTAGACAAGTTGCTGCTTCATCTTCTAGCCGCGAATCAGCCCCGCCTGGAACTGCACGCTTCTCTCAGGCAGACAACGAAGACTTCTCTCAGGCTACTAAGGCCCTGTACGATCGTGAGGTTGCTCGAGGCGTGGACGAGAACGAGGAGATCTTCACTAGTGAGGAAGCAGTCGTCAGCACGGGGTCATCGCAGTGGTCGGACAAATACAGACCTCGAAAGCCTCGCTACTTCAACCGTGTGCAAATGGGATACGACTGGAACAAGTATAACCAGACCCACTACGACCACGACAACCCTCCACCAAAGGTCGTCCAAGGATACAAGTTCAACATATTCTATCCCGAGCTCATCGATAAGACGAAAGCACCGACATTCAAGATTATTCGAGAGCACGGGCGAAGACGGGGAGAATCCTTTGCTGCAGCTGGGGAAGAAGACACGTGCCTGATTCGGTTCATCGCAGGCGCGCCATACGAGGATGTTGCGTTTCGAATCGTCGACCGAGAGTGGGACTATAGCGCCAAGAAGGACCGAGGGTTCAAGAGCTCATTCGACAAGGTATGTCGAGATACCCTCCTAATTGTTTCTCCTAAAATGGAATCACGGGCATGTTGAAAACCCACGCTACGGCGGCTGTTGCAGGTGTTTGTGCCCTCGGACAGCCTCACCTGGCGGGCCACTTTGACCTAAACACCAAGGCGCTGGGGTGGGAGTCTGACCGCTCTTCCTCTATGCATATCTAAGAAAACACAAACTAATTCTTACACCTTGCAGGGCATCTTGCAGCTGCACTTTCAGTTCAAGAAGGTATGTTCCTACACAATGGTGGCTGCGATGTACTCGATGGTCGATACTGACGTGTCACGCCCAGATCTACTACAGAAAGTAGCTTCCCGTTTGCTTCCTGGCTTGCTCACCGCCTCAAACGGAGTGTCGTTAGACTTGTTTTCGCATTACGCCGACAAGTCATCGGCTTGTTCTGCAGCCTGAAGAGAGGGGGAACTTGAGCTGACTGAATCAATGGAGGAAACTAAGTTGGTCTCGGAGACAACAAAGGAGTGAAGGGTTACCAGTGGGATTCACTGACAGCGGCGCGGATCGTGTTGGATGCCCATAGCTTCTCCCTAGATCCTCGATTGGGTAGTCTTGTCCCTTGTCTTGTCCCTTTGATTGGCATGTTGTGTCACCGCATTAGGCCATCTGCTTCAGTCGCCCGCAGCAGGCTGGTTCTGAGATGGGCCCGTCTACTTCTGCGTTGTATCGTGTCCACACTAGCAGGTATGCACAGGCACAAACTTACGTACATACACCCACACCATCAAAGGGACGGCACGACGGGATGGCCGTCTGTCAGTGGCTCACGTGGGAGTCAAACATGGGATGGCGAAGGCCTCGAGCATCTGGACTTCTGGACTTCTGGACCGGTCTGCACTCGGAATACGAACAGGATTTGCGTGCAGGGCAAAAAAAGAAAAACCATAGCAATCTGCATGTATTTGCTAGAGGGTTGATTGTGCCCGAGATGCCAGCAATCACAATGGAGGATTCTTGCATCCAGCTCGCCTCACTCACATATTCTCCAGTATTCTCCAAGCCTCCAAACCTTAGCTGTCATACGGGTAGCCGGCGGTGAAGTTCGACATGTCGTTCCATGCACGACTATCCAGAATTGGCCCGTACTGCAGTGATGATTTGGTTTGACCAGGGTCCGGCCAGATGCTTCTACAGCTTCCACGTCGACTTGGCAGCGCGGCTCCGGTAACAAAGCAGCACCCCAGAGCAGGACTCCAACCAAATACGGCCGGGGCGGGCGGGACGGGGGTGACATGGGGAGTGAAACGGGGGAGTGGAATTGGGAAAGTGAGGAGTGAGAGGAGTGGAACGAGCATGATTGGCCTCCTTGTTGGTATCGCCTCCAGATGCAAGCTGCCGTTCCAGAAGTCTACCTCCCGCGGTAGGACGGGTCCCAGAGAGTACAAACCGGCCAGACTGCCGTCAAGTGACTTGCAGCCTGGTTTGGCGAAACGACATGTACAAGGCCCGATGCGACAGTGCTCCGGCTGCACACCAAACGCCCAAGATGGCCCGAGAGGCGCCGGTGGGGAGACACGACGTGAATGACAGGCAGTCGGAGAGAGACAGAGAGAGGCAGACAGAGAGAGGGCCAGCAACGGTGAGTGAGTGAGGCTCTGTTACACACATTTGGTAGGGAGGTTCCAGGGCTTGCAAGGTCGGTAGCTAGCCAAAAAGGGTGCAGTTGCCAGCCTGCAAACCAGGTAGGTGGTAGGTAGTAGGTACTAGGTAGGCAAAGGAGGAAGGTACTATGCAATCCACAACCAACCTACAGCCTACAGCCTACAGCCTACAGCCTACACCCACAACCCACAACTCACAACCCACAGCCTGCATCATGCACCTTGACCGACCAGGGTGTGTGCATCTAAATCTGGTGCGCGAGGTACTCCGTACATTTGCACATCTACGCGGGTCGCTGCTTCGAGAATCCACGCTGGCTCTGACAGGAGCCAAGCAAGCCACGCAGCCGTTTGGGGACGCCGTTTGCGCCGTCGTTTGGCTTTGGGTTGCCGGGGCTTGTCTTGACGATACCGGACCATCCTGGACAAGCGCGCACGCACGCACACAACGCGGGAGAGCACAAGACGTTGGGGGGCATGTATGGATACTCTATGGATACTCTAATGCTGTATGCTCGACAGAATAGGGCCATGCCGCCCGCGAGGGCGTGTGTCCCGGCCACTACCGTCCCGTCGTTTCGTTCCCTAGATGCCGCCCGCCCTCTCGTTGCTTTTCTCTGTTCGCCGTGTGGTGCTCGCTGTGACTTGGGCCACGCCTTGGGGCTTGGGAAACACGCCTTGGGGAGCTTGGGAAACACGCCTTGGGGAACTTGGGAAACACGCCCCCCTGTACGTACGTACGGATCGGTTTCTCGGGGCACCGTCCCTGGGCCCCGTTCCCTTTCATTGCCCGCAGACAGACCGGGTAGTTGGGATGATGGGCGTTGTTTAAGACCGGGGGTGTTTCTGGGCTTTCGGGTCTTCTGCAGCTGTCTACTGCAAGCCATCCTGCCCCAGCTGTTTATCAACGGCGGCTCGCCCCGTGCACCTTACACTCGAATGGGATAGTCTTGCAGCTGCTGCTTCTACCTCTCTCCCTGCCTCCCTGCCTCCCTACCTCTCTACCTCTCTACCCTTGTCCACACGAGGAGCCCCAAGTCTTTCTTGCGACTTCAAATATCGCTGGTGTCCCATTGTTTGTATTGTGAACCCCAACGACGTCCCTCTTGTCTGGTCGTTCCCACTTCTTCTTCCATCCCATCCCTTCTTCATCGACCTCTCACTCTCTCTCACTCACACACACACACACAACACACACACACACATACTCTCTCTCTTGTCTCCCCTTTTCAGGAAAACCATCAAACCATCATCACGAGACCGGACTGTGCTTCCTCTCCAACAGCCCCTTCTGACTTGTCTTCCGGCCATGGATCCACCATTCTCTGAAGGCGAGCAACCTCCCAGGTACACGAGCGGCCTGGTTCCCGGAGCCGCCCAACAATCAAGTTGCGTGTCAGAGCTTGCCTCCATGGATACTGCATCCTACTACACGCCATCGCCTGTGGCTCAAATCCAGTCGCCGCACCCTTCAGAAGCTGCCTCTCTGCCCTCAACTTCCGCCTCGTACGAAATTCACTATTGCCCGTCTTGCCCGTCTCCTACTGTGATCATCGACGGATACACAACGTGCTTCCCGTCCATGACTTCCAACCCTCAGCACTTCCCCAGAAGCCACCATCACCACGCCTGGTCGTCGCCTCCTCCAGGATCAGACGAGTTTGACGAATACTCTTACCACGCTTCTCCCACCTGCGCCAGTAGCGACACTTGCTACAACCCTTCGCCCGTCTCACCAACCTCGTGGCCGTCCCCGCAGTGCCCGCACCATACCCTTCAGCAGCCGCTGGACCAGTTCCCTTCCCAAGACTCCTTCAAGAACCTACAGATCTGCACCCCAACCTCTACAGACAGCTTCCCCCTCCCCACCCGCGGCCCCCAGCTCGCCGCGTCTTACACGGGGAGTTTCATCGACCGCTGTCTCGACGCGGACATCGACGGACTGCCCCGAGATAACACCTCCGGGAGGATTCAAGACTTCCTGAGTGCGAGTCTCCCTGCCACACCCTCGCCCGGCGAGTTTCCTGCAGGAACTCCCATCTACATGCCCGCCATCAACCAGGATGACGCCTCATTGGGCGGACCGCAGAACCTGGCGAGCCCAGATGGAAACCCCATCTTCATGCCCGCTACCAACCCTAATGATGCCTCACTGGGCAGCCCGCAGAATTTGGCGAGCCCAGATGGAAACACCGAAACCAGAGAGCCCAACATTGAGGACACACCCATCAGAGATGATGAACCGTACGCCCAACTTATCTACCGCGCCTTCAAGAGCCGGGACGACCACACCATGACGCTGCAGGAGATCTACTCTTGGTTCCGCGACAACACCAAGAAGGGCAACAGCCAGAGCAAGGGTTGGCAGAACAGCATCCGCCACAACCTCAGCATGAATGCGGTAAGTTGAACGTGACCGGGGGGATGTGCTGCTGGGATCCCTGTTTCAGATCTCGCTTGCCCCTGCAGGTCGTAGGGTTGTCGTGCATACACCACGATACTCCGCACATGTGAGCCAGAAGCTGACAGTGTACCCGATTACAGGCATTTACGAAGCGAGACGACAAGACATTGCAGACGGTCATCCTCGTTGGCAACCGGGCGTCGCTGCCCACTGACTCCAAGCGATCCACGGAGTGGGTGCTCGCCGACTGGGCCATCAAAGACGGAGTGCAGAGCACCACACGCTATCGCAAGGGCAACCCAACACGCAGCAGGGCTTCTTCCCAAAGCGGAAGCCAGCAGACCGATGGCCAAATCTCCACAAGGGCCATTTCCGGCCGTAGAGGCGGAAACGCCGCGAGCCGCGCCAGGTTGCGCAGTCGCCAGAACGCCCAGCAGACGTCTATGCCATTGACTCCCGCAACGGTACAGCAACTGCCCTTGCCTATCGGGCCACCCTTGCGGCCGGCGATGCCCTCGAGCATGTACCCATATGGCGGTGATGAGATGCTTCAGACGCCTCTTCAGACGCCGCCGCAGATGGCTATCACGCAGAACCCAACCTACTCGCCGCTTACCCCGGAGACGAATGCTCCAGATTCGTTCTCTCTGGTGCTTCCAGAGGCGAGCCAAGCACACCATGGCGTCAGTGCCAACCCAGCCGCTGCATATGCGCTTGCAAGTGGGAACCAGGGATCCTTGTACAATGCGCCATCCCCATCCGAGTTCCCCTTCAGCTTCAACGACATCTCCGGCATGTACCCGGGCGAATACTCCCAGAACAACAGCCAACACATCGTTGGCGGGGCTAGTGGAAGCCTGTTTCCCATGAACGGTGATGCCGCTTCCTACGGATGGGGCAATGACGCGCCTTAATTCCCGGGTGGTCTCCTGGGCAATCCTCCAGCGCCACAGGGTCGCATCGCGTGCCCCATTGTCTGTCTGCTGCTTGGACGACAAGGAAGAGGTGTTGGTTTAGACCTGTCGACAACGACTATTCACAGCACGAAAGGCCAAAAAAAAAAAAAAAAAAAAACCCTCCCAAAAAAAAAAACGAGCAGAGGAGTAGGACACAACGAGTGCGCAATTTCGGAAACAACTTTACTCCTATTGTCGTTTCTTTGCCAATCTGTTGGTAAGGATGCGCCCGCAGGATTGAGGTGATGAACCAACAAGATAATTCCAGGGTGGATGGACATTGGGTGGCGCTGACAGCCATCACGACAATCCCAGTGGCCAAGGGAATTGAGCTCACGGGGCATTGGACTTTCTCGATTGGGCGAGACTAGGAGCGCCTATGGCGCTGAATTGTTGGTTCTTCGAACATGGGGTTCCGAGTTTTCGGGTCAGGTAATATGCGAACGCGTCTTTTTGATGTTACTGCGGGCTTTAGGTCATACATCGGCGCATTTACTAAGGACACTTTGGGAGGGTGCTTTGATTAGAGCTGAGCGCCTTTTAGCTCCATTGGAGAAGAAGGTATCACGATATTGATGTCCAGGATGGATGGATGGATGGGAGCTTGGAACTTGGGCACTTTCCTTTATTTTTTCTTTTTTCCTTTTTCTTTTTCTTCCCGTTAGGGACAGGGGAGGCTCTGAGTCTGTCTAGAGAGGGTGGTAGTTGTTTCCTTTGGTCCTTTGGAAGTTGGGGAGGGCGTCACCGTCGGTGCCGTCACCTGACGGCAAAGGCGAGGGCGGTCCTCTTCAAGCGAGTTTTTGTCATTTACGGCCTCCTGCTATTTATCTTCGGATATTTGTCTAGCTTTTCAGAGCAGCCTTACACAAAAGCACATGGTATCAATAGCACTAAAAGTCTGATCTTTGCAAATTTTAAATCTATGCCTTGATTCATGCATTGCCTAATTGTTATCTTGTTTTTGCGTATTGAAGGCTGCATCTTACGGGTGGGTGGAGTCCCGTTGGAGGTGCCTTGTGGTGGGTGATGGTGTGGCAGTTTCCGACGCTGATGATGGTTTTCTGATAGCTCGTCCCCCCCCTGCACCTAGTCAATGCAGTCAGAGCACAAGGATCAGTGATTTAAGGCCGAACAATTGCCATTCCTCTCAAGAGTGGCTCTTTCGGTGTTACGGTCAGCTGCGCAAGTGACAACGCTGTGAAACGGGGGGGATGGGCCACGGCCTCCCCCCCCCCCCCCCTTGAACATTAAACCAAGTCATTGTGAGCTATTACGATGCCAATTGCAAATCCCGTGCTCCTACAGACATGGATGAAGCAATTCAACAAGGAACGGCCGCTCATTTTTCGGTTATCTTGCCAGTGCTATTGGGTTCCTCCCCATCGGGTCGACCGCGGAGCCAGATCCGGGCGCCTTTTAGGGAGGTGGTAGGGCCATTCCTCGTCCGCAAAAGAGGGCTAGCAAAGGGCTGGACAGACCCCTCTCGAGAATCCTGGACAGATGGGCGACGAAAGGGCTGCCTGAGAAGATGGGGGGGAGGGGGAACTGGTGCCCTGTGGGTGTGAACTGGCGTACCGCGGGGGATGCTTCTTTGAGCGAGGCCATCCCTCCCGTTTGACCGCAACCCTGCGCAGATCTCCTCGAGACGGGGACGGCGCGCAGGGGGTGAGGTGAGCTAGCTGCTGCACTGCAATTATGCATGTCGACTTCGCGGCGGTCCGTGAGCCATCCTCCTCCGCCCGACTGCTGCTTCAGACTGCGGGAGGCAAGCTGACGGCAGCAAAGGTCGTTTGGGCAAACGGCAAACGGGGTGGAATTAGGAGCGCGGGCGAGGGGGCTAAAGGCTCGCGATAGGAAAGCCACATCTTAGGTGCGTCAGTGAAGGCGTTGACAACGTGGGCCGAGTCTCCGTCGTCCCTAGGCTCTAATTAGTTGGAGCCAGACTCCACGCAGTAAGTTGGCCAGTACGAAGGGGGATGATCGACGGCTTGTAGCAACTAGCGGCCCTTGACCAGGGTGCCCCTTGTTGGATCTGAGCAGGCGATCAGCCAGGCTATCCTGCATTTCATCCCGCCCATAGCGTATTTCTCGGTCTGAAAGGTGGTGTGGAGCAGAGAGAGCAGGGAGAGTAGAGAGCTAGAACAAGGCTCACCCCCCTCGGACGTAATCACCAACTCTGAGGAGATCGGGAGGCGCCGGCCCAACTTGGGGGCAAGCCGCAGCCCAGGGAGGGGATCTGCGACGCCCTCTCGGGGGGTCAGCAATGTGCAAGCTGTGCAGAGAAATCCAGAGTAGATGGATGGACTTGACAGGACGTGGAGGTGAACGGGGTGGATGGGGTGGCATGCAACAGGGGCCATGTGTCTTACATACGTAGCTGGGCATGACGTGGATTTTTCTGGTTAGTGCTGTGCTCCGGCTCGAGTCCGTCGAGGCACCACTGCAGGACTGATCTTTTGACAGATAACTGCCTGCCGCAGTGAGGCACAGACTGAGGGCTGGTGATGGAGGGCGTTCCATATCTCCGTGGCCGTAGTCTCTCATCGAGCAGCGCAACGCCAAGCGCTCCAAATGCCGAGAGAAGCGAGAACAGAGGCCCCGAACTAAAAAGACGATCACAAGGGAGACGGGGACAGCGAACCAGCCCCCTGCAACAGGCGAGCACATCGGTCTGGGTGCATGTTGCGCCGTTGACGGCTGGGCTAGTCCCACACTTGGCTGCTCCAGTAGGGGACGCCACAAGTGCCAGAGTGAAGAAGTCCTTGAAAGAGCGGACTTGGACTGGACAGAGGGAGGGCTGCCGGATAGTCAGAGCCTCCCCCCAGAGCTTCTGGAGGCAGTCCCTCACTCCATGCAGGCCGTGTTGGATGCCACGAAAAGGTAACCTTGACTGGCTAGTCCCGCTGCGAGCGAATGCCGGCATCCTTTTTCGGTGGGCTCTCTCTCGCCTGGAGACGGGGCCGTGTATTCTCGTTTTCTCAATTGAGGAGACGCCCCGATTCTGATTCGCCGGCCAGTTTCCCTTCCGGAGCGGTACGTCGCATGTACTGTACATGGGAAACCCCGGACGGAGAATGCGTGTGTTGCAGTGCGTTTTGGGGGGCTCCCGTCAGCATGGAGCCTGAGTTCGCAGTCGGGCGCATATTACCATGGGATGGGATGGGGTGGTGAATTAATTTATGCGTACATATGCAAAATCGATCGGATCGATCGTGGCCGAGATCCAAACCAGCACAGATCGGACGAGATGCTACCTCAGCCCCTGGGAGAAGGCGTAAGGTAGCGTAGGAATTGGGAATTGGGAATTGGGAATTGGGTGAAGGTGGTGGACGAGAACAAAGAGCAAAGGAACTTCCCGGTTCCTGATCCCCGTCCGCCAGCTGAGGAATCAACCATTTGCAATTGGGCAGGTACGTACCTATCTGAGCTCGGCCACCTCCATCAACGCAACTTGTTGGGGGGCTGAGCTGAGTCGCTCACACCCGTTCCTTCCTGATTGGCAGCCGGGCCACTCACTCCCATCACCACCAACCAACACGGGCGGGATGTCCATCCATCCATCACCACCCAACACAGGCGCGCTTTCATCAACACGGGCGCGCTTTGAGCGGGATTGCGAAACACTTTGGTCGGCCGACTGCTGAAAACCGAGCTGAGCTGGATCGATGGACGGAGGTCCTGCGTCAAAGATACGGCTGGCGTTGCGTAACAACCGGGGAACCTGGACAGCTGTGGCAGCCTGCAGCTCTCCACCTACTACTCCGCAAGGCATGCAGCGACGACGACGACGACGACGACGACAACTACTAAACGAAACGCCCCCTTGTCAACACGCCCCGAAGGTGAGCCAGAACCAGGCTGTCATATCTCACCGTTGCTTCGGGCCACACACACAAACCACACACCCCATGGGCATCAACGCAGTCCACACCGTCCAAACCTGCAGAACATGGGTCACGAGGAGGTCGCCACACTATCGAGATGCATCGCGATCCCATCTTGAGGATCGCAACTGATACCAGGTTCCTGGAATGTAGTGGAGGCCCCCAGCATCCACGATGGTTCACCAGCACAACCGCCTGTGAAAGCAGACGCCACCTCCATGACGTACCATGGAGATTGAAATACCCAGGCTGCGAATTCGAAACTGCCTACGGAGCACCTGTGATTCAGACCGCCCGCTGAAATTACCCATTGCCGTGACCCTCTCCGCTCCCTTGCCGGGACTAACAGGCCGGTACCGAATACATCGCGGGTCAACAACAAACCACCCAGGACACAGGATGACATTTGCGGTCTGGGAACTCTATCCCAATCACCGCCCATGCTCGCTCGTAGTCTAGATCCCGTCTGCAAGCACGTACTCCCTAAGTTAAGGCTCACTGCCCTCGCACAAGTTTGCCCAGACGAACACGAGCTGCTGCCGGTGGCGATAGCGTCCCGTCGTCTTTTCCAAGTTGAGGAAAAGAAGCATGAGGCTCCCGCCAGCCGCCCCCCCTCCCCACCGCTACCAGATGGAAGAGCGAGGTCAGTCCACGTAGCAAGATCCTTGCTGCAGAAGATGCGCAATCCCACACCGAGGCAATTCCGAGAGCTCACGTTGGTCGCCCGTTTTGGGCCTCACTCTATGGCTGGCTTGGCACCGCACTAGAAGGTGTAAGCGCAATCGGATTTGGACTTGAGCGTCCTGCTCAAGCCACGGCCAAAGCGAACGGGATGGAATAAAGGGTGGCGTTTTCTGTTCATTGTCACACGGCGCCCCGTCCCCTCCGTCCACGGCACGTAAATTTGGGGGTGTGAGGTGGAAGTGGAGGAGGAGGAGGGAGAAGACGCCCCTAGCTCATATACTCTTCTGACCAACAGCTCTCGAGCACACCCGCCCCGGAAACGCCGCCATCTTTCAACGCCCCTGCCTCTCAAATCGTACGATCCTGAGACCCTGGCCCGTGTGCTAGATGCAGAGCTGCCACCCAGGATGAGCTTGGCCTAGAATGCGGAGGGCTTTCTGCGTTGCTTGGTCGGGCACGTTGACGAAGCTCGCCCGGGCAGAGGGCGAGCTAGCAATAGACCCGAAGCGTCGCAGGGATCTCGGGGGGAATATCATAGGCTGGAGCCTCCCATGCCGGTTGACGTGGGCACGATCCGATTTGCTGGCGGTGGCGGAAGGGTCAGATGTGACGACGAGGCTGGGGGAGATCCCCCGCCCGCTACCAGGCGCCGTTTGCGATAGCCGCTGGCGTGACAGCATCAAGTGCGAACTGCCGGGACTGCGTGATAGAGCTAACGGAAAACGTTTTGAGCATTGAGATGCCGAAGGCCACTAGCAACCGTTGACTGATCACATGAAGCCTGGGTTCGCCATGTTGAAGGTGCCCTTGGCTGGCTTGTGGAGTTTGGTGCAGTTCCTGGTCATCGACTTCGCTTTCCGAGCAAGAATCGAGTGTATGAGACTAAAAAGTCACAAATATCGACATGTCAAGCACCGCTGTCATCTCTTGCCAGTCTCCGTATTGTCGTCTCCGTATTGGGACCCCAGACACACGAGATCGACGTAGATAGAACTGCCATCGAATGAATGGCTTCCTTGATGTCGTGAAGCAACGACCATCCACCATACTCCAGTTCACCACGGTGTCACAAATCTGTCCTTGCTCGGCGAGCACAGCATGAGCAATGCAATGTCACCTTCCTGCTTCGACTGCACACTTGGAGGTACTAGACTGGCGACGATCTATTCCTAGCTTTGAAATGCTTCGTTTCCAAGTTCCCAAATTTTTCCTGTACTTGTAAATCCCTTTCGTTCACTTCTCTTCCTGACATTGTCATCTAAATCCTTTCCATCGAGGAATACAAAATAGCACCGAGCAGTTACGCTATATAGAAACCCACTGGCCTCATCCTTGTTATCTGTGCCTTCCAAGTTCTGACAAAATGAGAAATGCTATCTAGAATTTTCGCTTCTTCTTGACTGGACCAGCAGCCGCTTTTTTCTCCAGTTCCCTCTTCAGCTCCTCTCGCTTGCGATCTGCCCTCTCTTGAGACGTTTCCCTAGGTGTAGCCTTTGATGGTTCTTCCTCAACCACTGGGCCCCGACTGCGACCCCTACCTTCATCTGCCACCGGTACCACAGGACCGGTGTCACTTCCTTTCTTCTTCCCAATCATGCCCAATTTTCTGGGGGCGGGTCGAGTGGCGGGTTGTGCAGATGTCTCACCAGCATCCGGTTCATGTGTTTCGGCTGGTTCCATTGCAGGCTGCTTGGCTTTGGGACCACCAATGCGCCCCAGACCAAGGCCGCCTTTCTTTGGCGCGGGCTTTGGCGGTGGCGGTGGCGAAGACGGGGGTTGATCGTCATCTGGAAGCGAGGCAGTTGCACCATCGTCCTCCGCCTCAGACGCTGTCTCGGAGTCATCAACCTTCTGGATCGCACCCCGCGTCTTTGGAGGGCTTGGTACGGGGCTTGGGGCGCGGGCCGGAGGCGACTGCTTCTTTCGGCCGAGCATGCCTAGCCGTGAGGCAGGTTTCTTGGACTCCGGTTGCCGTGTCTCAGAGGGGATAATCCGGGTGTTTCTGACCGGCTCAGGGGAATCTGGTTCCTCCTCCGTGGATACATCGTCCGGCAGAGGTTCTGTTTTCGCTATTGTCGATTTCCGTCCCGTCGTGAGGCCAGGTGGGGTGGATTGAACCTGGAAGTCGTCGTCGTCAACACCCAGGGACCCATCTGCGGGTGGTGGAGTGGTCGCTTTGGACGCATCGGCCTTTTCTTGAGATGGTCTTGGTGTAGATGATACACCAAGGAAGTCTTGCCACCATTGATCCAGCTGAGCCGGCTGTTCAATAGCAATGGCGGGTTCAAAGTGTAGCCCTTCGCCTCCAAAGACCGCCTTTACCAATGATTCTGTGTCGCTTGGGTCGTCACCACTCTTTGTTACATCGGATTTCCAACGTCGGCGGTTGAATGGGGCGAGACCGGGAACCTTGTCTGCAGCTGCTGTCCTAGACACCTTTTTCTTCCCAGATAGGGGGTTGAACACATGCTCCAATCCTGTGCCCATGGCGTCCAGCTTGTCCAGTAACTTGTTGAGAACTGCGTCTTTCTGGTCAAGCATCCGAACAAGTGAGTCCACCTCCTGGTGTCTTGTGAGATGGGCTTGGACCAAAGGGAGGACAAGGTCTTTTGCAATGGCAGAAGAAGGAGATTTCTTCAAATGCATAGGCCATGTTAATGGCTGCAGCCCCGGAAGCTCACAGGTAATCTGCAGAGTAAGCCCTTCATCTCCTGCATCGGACTTGGAGGCCCGGTTCAAGCGTAGACGCGTCTGGTCGTGCCCCGGCTGCGATGAATCCAAGGCGCTTTTGATACTAGTCAGGAACTTGACCATGTTGTCCGGCGTATCACTGGGGTCGATGCTGGTATTCTCACTCCAGCCCCGTATGCAGATGGCCTTCCGATCGAGGCTCTCGGTCCACATGTTCGCCATGTCGGTGACATGAACCGTGTAGGCTGCCGTGTCGATATCGATAGACACGAGTAGCACAGGCATGTCGGATGAAGAGGGTAGCGGCAGTGGCCGCCATGACTTCGTGGGGGACATGTCCGTTCCGGGGCTTAGGACAGAGGAAGTTCGGGGTTGCAAGTTCCCAGGGTAATAGGCCGAGCACACTTCCACAGGCCGCGACGTTGCCTGCGCAGGCGAATGCGACGGTGATGTATGAGCTAGCTACCCGGCCTATGTCTCACAGAGGGGTGCAGAGACGTGTTGATGATAGAATGCCGCAGCCTCCGGGGTGGCGCTATAAGACCGCCGCGGGCGTGCGCGCGGAGCTCGAGGCAGGATGTCCTGAACTGGACCGGGGAATTTCCAGTTGGAGGCTGAAGACCGTCTTGGGCTATCGGCGTTGTCTCAGACAGCTAGATTTGCCAGGATAACGTTATGATCCGGAGAGGTCACTTAGCTAGGTCTCACAAGCCATGTGGACTTCGGACGCCTCGTTCAAAGGGGAAGTGCACCTAGGTCGGCAGCCGGCACGGGGTTGAGTGGACCGATCAGCGCCTTGGTGACGGCGGCTACACAGGAGATTAATGTCGGCAAATGAGTCCGGTGTGACGGTTCACCGCGTGTGTCGATGGAAGATCTGTGGTGTTCTCGAAGCGAGAGAGAAACAGTCCAGGTTACCATGCGATTGTCGCGACTGAGCCCAGCGTGTTGCCGATTGGCCTGAGTAGTGCCTGAGGCCCGGAACAAGCGCCTGAGCAGCAGTCTCACGCCAAACCTCATCCCAACTAAAACAGTTTAGACACGAATTTCACATGCGAGGGGGGGTTCTTATACCAAACAATTGATTGAGTAGACAAACTCTATCATTTTTTTATCAAATCTTTTATTTGTGCCAGAAAATATTAAAGTAGTAACTCAAACGGGTTGAACAATGAGAAGAAAACCACAGGCAGGTTTCTGGCCCTTGGGCGCTAATTGTACCATGTGCGGGGTACAATCACCTACGAGATGCACTGAACGTGAACAGCTGCCTATTGCCTAGGCTGCACAGTTGGGGAATGCACCTTCAACAGCCCGCCAATTCTGCAAAACAAGTCGACAAGACCACCTAGTTCATGTTGAATTCTTACGCATCATCGCTCTCAATGCCATCTTTGTAGGCACTCAGAGCTCGTTCTCGACAACCCTTGTGATCGACAATCTGCTTCGGATACCCCTTCTTCTTTGCCTTCGGTCCGGCACCTCTGTTGTACGGGTCATGGATTTCCTTGGAAGTTAGATCTTTCAGCTCAGGAACCCATTTGCGGATATAGTCTCCGTTAGGATCGAATTTCTCGCTCTGTAACAGAGGGTTGAAGATCCTGAAGTACGGCTGAGGGTCGACGCCCACACTGGCACCAAAGCCCCATCCACCACTGTTGCTGGCAAAGTCGCCGTCGATCAGGTGCTCCATGAAATACTTCTCCCCTTTCCGCCAGTCGAGTAGGAGATCCTTTGCCAAGAAGGAGGCTACAATCATGCGGCATCTGTTGTGCATATAGCCCAAGTGGTTCAGCTGCCGCATGGCAGCGTCAACAATAGGAAACCCGGTGCGGCCTTCGCACCAAGCGGCAAAGTGTTCCTCGTCATAGGACCAAGTAATATTGGAATACTCGGGCTTGAATGGCTTGTTCATACTAGAGATGGTCAATATTCGGTATAACATAGTCAAAGCCATTCTAACTTACCAGACGTAGGGCCAGTGAACCAAAACGTGCCTGTAGAAGTCGCGCCAGGCAACTTCGCTGATCCAGGTCTGGATACCGTCATTTCCCCCATTCAGCTTCTTGGTCTTGTTTCTGTCTCGGGCGACTCGCACGCAGGTCCTGGCGCTGATGGTGCCGGAGGCCAAATGGACCGACAGACAAGAAGTTCCGTTGTCTGATGGGATATTTCGTTTATCGTGGTATCCTCCAATTCTGTCCTCGCAAAACTTGTCTAGCCGTTCCAGTGCTTCATGTTCGCCACATGGCCAAAGGGAGTGGAATCTCTTCTTCTCTTCATTAGTCAGAGACTTATTCTTGGGTGCTTCCGGAATGAGTCCCCCAAACAGCGTCTTGAACTGCTCACGGGCGCTGTCTGGATTCTTCGCCGGCGGGTCGAACAACTCCAAGAGGTCAAGGTTATCGTGGATATGCGCGACCCATGATCGATACCATGGAGAGTACACAGCGTACTGCTTTCCGGTGCCGGTTTGCAGATCCCCTGGGGGTACAACGCAGGTGTCGTGAACCACTTCAAAGGACTTGCCATTTCCCGCGAAGTCTCGCACCATGGTTGCCTCGCGTCTCAATTCGTCCACTTCGTATTCCATGTTGGCGAAGAGGTGGCTCGCTCCCCACTCACCCATGAGTTCTAGGATACGGTTCGGGATGTTCTTTCTCTTCTCGGCAGTTTCGACATAGAGCGGGATATCGAGCTTCGCAAGATCCTTTTTGAGCACCTCGAGCGTACGCAACGTAAAGTCGACCCTGACGGGCGACCTCAAGTGCGCCTCAAAGTCCTGAGGGCTCACCATGTACATGCAGATCAATGGAACACCAGCCTCGCGGGCTTTGTTGCTGGCCAGCGCCAATGCCCTGTTGTCAGTGTGCCGCAGGTCCATCTTGAACCAGTGGACAACTGCATCCTTGACTTCAACTCTCTTTCTCTCCCGCGCCGTCTCCTCCAAGGCGGAAATGAGTGCCTCGATTGGCCGGGCAATCTCGTTGTTCCTGTATGCGCGTGCGCGTGCGTTGCTCATCTCGGGTGGATAGTAGTTACGAAGAACGATGCCATGCTCCTCGGCATGCTGGGCGAAATGATGTGGTTGGCGCAGCACGTCGGTGAACTTGGATTTGTCGACGGTTTTGGTCTTTTTTGCAGCGTCGGTAGACTTCGGGGGAGCGGCGGACTTGCGCTTGGGAGCCATCGTGGAGAATATCGATGTGGAGGGCAATCTCGAGGGGGAAATCAGGCTGGCCCGACCGAGATGGCTAATCGATGGTGAAGTTTTGGTCGAGATGCTTCGTAATTTTTGGACACTGGTGGTAGAAATCCGGATGAGTGCATGCATACAAGAGATTACGAGAAGGTTGTTGATTGGGAGTGGTCCGTTCAAGAGGGTTGTTGATGAAAAGGAGAAGATCCCTTGGCTGATTTGTTTGCTTTTCCATAAGTGGTGATGACATGGCTTGTTGAGAGTCGATGGTAAGTGCTCGATGACGTCCCTGGAGATCGGACCTACACTACCGGGATCTCAGATCTCAGATTCATAGGGCGCTTTGACTCGGGGCGCTAGATGGCCCCTGCGGTATGATTCACCTGAGGTTTGTTTGGAGCCTGGGGCGGGTCATTTTGGACGCGTCAAGATCACAACTGGGTCAAAGAATAGGTACTTATCGGTCTGTGTCCGTCCAGATTCGGTTCAAACAGAGGTAGTACCTTCACGGGAGAGAAATGGCGGCAAATGGCATTGCGAGCGGTACATCCCGATCGCGCTACTGTCACTTGTTGCTTCGGTGTGCTGCAGGCTTTGAACGCCGTGGCTTGAATTGAATTGCGGACGAATTTCATCAACAAGAAATAAATCACATTTCGACTTCTTTCCCAGTCAACGCCCCAAGAAGCAGCTTTTTGTATCCTGCTTCCGCTCAGGGCCAAGTACTGGTTATAGGCCGGCTGCTCGCTGGTGTAGGCTACACCCAACAACCTCATAGCCCATCGTGACACCTGATGCTCAATCCCCTCCTCGCCGATCCTTGAACAATCTTCATTTTGTTCAGAGGCTTAAGAACAATGCCAGGCTTGAGTCTGAGTCGAGTTGGAATCGCCTTGACAGGTTCAGTTTCCTCACTGAACACTCCCGCAGCGAGGAGAAGGGGGAACACATCCGCCCAACCGTCGTAGTATCAACTACGTCAAGAGGCACGCAGCCCATCTCATTTACAAATCGTGGACACAATTAACCCTTTAATGGTCACGGTGTAATGTCTACTTCCCCTCCCGCTGGAATCCTGCATACTGTATAGATTAATGTTCACTTGGCAAGCACCATCACAATAAGTTCAATGATTTTATGTTTGACCCGTATCTGTACCATAGCAAAGGACTTAACTGCCACAGCTTTTTCCAGGCCAGTTCAATCTGCGGCACGGAGACCATCAAAGTAGTCCCAGAATCCCCGGAACGGAGGTGACCTCGTGAGGTCAATCCGAGGAGACTTCGCTAGCCGGGAGGGTGCATGTCACCACCTGTCACATCGTCGGAGGCAGAGTCGGATATCGTTGTGTTGTCTCAAAATCGAGCCGAACGCCTCGAATTGGATTTGCTAGATGCAGCCAACCCTAAGTTCTTTCACCCATGCCTTCATGCCCGAACCAAACCCTAGGGTCCTGTCAGAATCCCTATTTTTGAGAGACCCATAACCACATGCCAAGTACCTTGCCGAGTTGGAACATTTATCGCTGGGCGCTCCAGACGCTCTTGAGGAGGCCGTCTCGCTGGGCCAGTCGGTTCATGGCGTCGTCGCTCTCGCCCATCGCTCGGACGAAACCGCAGAGGGCAAAGACGTGGTTCTCTCCCTGGACGGCACGGCCGTTCTCGTCGACCTTCGCGATCGAGATCTGGACGGAACCGTGGTCCTTGGCCTTGATGATGCGGTTGGTGGCGCTGCACTTGCGGGGGACGTAGCTGGTGATACAGCGTCAGTATTTCGATCGGTTGAAGCGTACGGCTCGGTTGAGGCTTACAGATCGACGATCTCGCCACGGTCGTTCTCCATCTTTGCGGTATTGAAAGGGGGGGTGTGAGGGTGGTTTGGGTGTTGTGTCGGCGTGGGTTGAAGTCGTCGCAAAGGCTTGGGTGGGATGCAAAAAGTTCCATGAAATTTGGTGTGGTTCGCCAATTTCGTGGGGCACGAGGGCTTTGTGTGCGTCATGTGCCCAGTCATGTGACAGCGCGGCATTGACGCGCCCCAGATCTTGCCCCTCCAGCCCGCCCGCCCGCTACTGGCGATGGGTCATCGTTAATCCAACCAGTCGCGACGCTTGGCATCCGTGAAGAGTTGGAGCTGGCGTGTCTCGACAGCCTCCTCGACGCCACAGCCATTCTGTTGCCGACCAGAATCCTGAGATGCGCGGCGCGCACTCAGTTTTCTGCCTTGGGAGCAATGACATCTCCTGATCCGTTTCGAGCATCGCCACCTGGCACACGACGCGAGCGGCTTGTCATCGGATCCTCGTCCCCAGGTCTCCCCCCGCTCCAGGATATTCTGTCTCAAAAGTCCGTTCGACCCCCTTTGCGAAGCGGTAGTAAAGCTGCACCGATTCCGGATGATGCCCCGACGAGTTTTATCTCGGCACGAAACCTTTGGCAATCTACGGAGACTACGCCAGAGGCACCACAAGCTGACCAACCTGACCAACCTCTTATCGAAAGGGCTTGCGACGCCGATGTATCAGTTTCAATTGTCGAAATCCCGCCAGAATCTCGACCGAAGCCTCGAAAGCCAAGAGCCCAGAAAGGAAAGGGGAAGAAAGTGGATGGACCGAGCGAAACGACGGACGAATCCAAGCCTGCCAAAAAGGAACGAATTCGGAAGAAGCCACAGCCCAAGGCCAAGAAAATCGAGCAAAAAGATGGCCACACAGAGGTTGGAACGAAATCCGGGAGGTCAAAAGCAGGAGGCAGTGGCAGCACCGGCACGACGAGTAAACACTTTGAATCAACGACCGATCCCGATCTATCGGCAAAAGTGAAGGAAAGCCATGCAAATGAACCGCTGGAATTGGAGTTTGCGACCGCTCGGAAAGCGGACTGGACGCCCCCCGCCCAAAAGGTCATCATCAACATCGACTCGGATTGCTCAACCATCAAAAAGCTAGCGTCAGATGGTAACGGCCAACAGAGCCCGACATTCAGAAACCTCCTCAAAGATTACGCGTGCCCAGATGAAGCTCCCCAAACCACCTCGGCACCTTTGGACGAAGACTCAGGCTTTCTCAAGAAAAGGAAACGCATTGAACTTGTGAAAGATGCAAACCCGCCAGAGCCAGAAGTCCCCAAGAAATCACCAACCAAAAAGAAGGCACCTAGGAAAAAACCCAGAACAATCACCGAGGTTGCAACTGCGGCCTATAAAACACCAACGCAACCGGATCCTGAACCCATCGACTCAATTTTGAACCATTTTCCATTGGATGCTGGCCCAGCCCCTCCTGCAGTCGAGCCCGCAAAGAACGGCAAAGGCAAACCAAGCACTCGGAAGAGGCCTTCTAGGGCGACGAAGAAGAAAGCCCCACCGCCAAAGCCCATTTTGCTTTCGCCTGGGGCAGCGCTCGACCAGGTTGCGAAACAAAATTTCCTCTTTGGAACATCAAGCCAATTAGCAAGGGAACCATCGCCGACGGTTCTCCGGGACCTTCAAGCTGCAATAAAGCGGTCTTACCAGGATGACTTTGACGATTTTGCCACGCCAATCAACAGCGATGCCATCGAACCTCTAGATCAACGACCCAGGTTATGGGAGGCAGCGGCAAGGGATACTGAGGGTGATCTCTTTGATATCGAAGTCATTAACCTTGCTGAGAGCTCGCCGCAGTTACCTACCACGCGCGCTGTTACTGACCCGTTTGGATATTTCAGAAACGAGGGTCAGGGTGTTGTACCTGCTATTGCGACAGGAGTTGTTGCGTCTGAAGGTGCTGATTCATTCGTCAACTTGTCTGACATTCTACCCTCACCCGGCGGGATACCAACGCAGGTTGAAGAGGGCGAGTCTCCATTCTTCTCTGGGAGCGATGGCTCGGCCAACACCAACATCCGGGAACAGGCACCCCCTCACCGCTCCCTCATAGCTCCCGCGGATCAAACAAGTGGATCACGGCAAGAAATTGCCCCCCTTGATCAGCCATCACGACCGAAGTACGAGCTTTTGACTGATATTCAGCTCGCAAAGGAAGTCAAAACATACGGCTTCAAGCCAATCAAGAGACGAAGTGCCATGATCGCCTTGTTAGATCAATGTTGGCAAAGCAAGGTTCGAATAGGCCAAGCCAGTATGCACACAAGCGCTACTCTGTCCGCGGCCGCTTCTAAACCTTCACAATCAAGCAATCTGGCACTGGTTTCCAGCCCTGGAAAGAGACCACGAGGCCGGCCGAGGAAGAACAGTGTCAGTGCCTCGGAACCGCAAGAGCCACCGCCATCTGCACAGCCACCAGATACTCCAAAACGACCTCGAGGTCGGCCGAGGAAGGATAGTGCCAGTCCGTCGCCAATCGCGAAATCTCGACCGAAGCCGAAGTCAAAGTCGCCAAAGAAATCTGCGATCTCCCCAAGGCGTAAGAAAGCTGATGCCAAGGCCGCCATCGAAATTCCCGACTCTGCTTCAGAAAATGCGACCGACTTTGCATCTTCGCCTGACTCTTCGGTCGAGCGAATGTTTTCGTCGCCACCGCCTCTTGATTTATCGCTTTCCATGGCGGATGACACAGAGCTTTCTCTAATGGCGTCCCAGACTGATCAACAGACAACATTGTTTGACCACGTCACAAAAGCAATCAAGTCAACTCCTCGGACAACAGACCCCGCGAATCCCTCATGGCACGAGAAGATTTTACTCTACGATCCCATTGTCCTTGAAGACCTCGCGGCATGGCTAAATTCGGGCGAGCTAACTCGGGCTGGGTATGATGGTGAGATCAGCCCAGGAGAGGTCAAGAAATGGTGTGAGTCTAAGAGTGTATGCTGTTTATGGAAGGTTAACTTGCGTGGGAAAGAACGAAAGCGTTTTTGATATGATTTAGACGAGCGAGGCGTTCGCATTGCGATGGAATTCCGCGGCGTTATTCGGGCTGTATCAACACAATGATCAGCAATTTTATCAACTTCGTTTCCTTCAAATCTCCTTACCACTCTGATGCCAGGGAGTGACCATACTCCCAAGCTTCTACCTCCTACTAGTCAGAGGCTGTAGATCAGGAGTGTATGCATTATTGAACTTACTAGATGATACTACCATAGGATAGGTCAAGGCGTAAGCCCATTCTGTCGATTCATTTAAGGGAACTTTTTTTAAGGTCATACCTTCGTGATAAAATTGCTCAGCTATGTGCTATGTGATTATCGACAATCTAATGAACAGACTAAGAAACCCCCGCTTTAATCCTCCGAATCACGTACCATCGCGCCGGCACTGGATACAACGAACCGCGGAATCAGCTTGAGGTCCCGCCCTCTGGGGTGTCTTCCTCGCCATCGCCATTTGATCCAGCCCACCTGTCGGGAAGCTCATCGGGAGCCTTTAGATAGTCGTCGAGCGGTGAGGTGCTATTCATGTGAGCCTTGTTCGTCGTGGTTTGGAAGCTGCTGATACTTACACCGGATCAGGATTGTTATCGTCCGGCATATTTGGTTGTTCAGTTTGTTTTCGCTGTCGAGCAAAGTTTGAGATTGGTGGTTTGAGTGTTTGAATTGGTCGCGATCTTCTTTGCTTGGAGCATCATGAGTAGCACAGAATTACGGATGGTCACTTCGGTGCTGGAGAGGTCTTATATATCCTTGAAAGCTCCCCCGCTTCATAATCTACCAAGATCTTACTGGCACACGGAGAAGAAGGATCCTCTGAGGATCAGTCACCAGGTAAGCTCGATCCACAGGGAGTCTCATCTCGACGCCAATGATAGTACACCACATCGCTCAAGCGGCTCTGCTAGATATCTTTCACTGGCTTCTTGGGAACAGCATCACACCACCCTCGGGGTGGTGGTCCATCCCGTCGGTCACTCTCGAAATGGACCTTCCGCTGGTGACGGAACGGGGACCCAACGGGCCGTTTAGATGACGTGCCAATGACGATTTCGGAAGCTATCTCGTGCCGCGGAGGACACTAACCTAGGGCACACGTGTCGAGATATACAGAGTGGTGATGCGGCTGGGGGGGGCGTAGCGGTATCCATCGCGGAGTGGACAACGGTTGATCCCGGCATCGTTATGATTCCCGTGACCCTCGTGGCGGGCCAGTAATGGAAGAAGATGTTGACCGGTCAGCGGGATCTTGAATTTTGGCCCGAGGGCCATGACAGCGCAGTCTGCATCTGGGGACTTGGTCTGGGGTCCCCTTGGAGATGCTGGAACGGGTTGCGATTCGACGTCACCACCATCTCCCAATTCGTCAAAGCTCGATGGAGATGGATGGCCTGGGGTAACGGCATCCCACGCCAATTGTTTGGTTACATCCTTTATGCATCTTGGGTCACGCCTCCATGTTCGCAAGGTATGGAGGAGCGAATCGTTCTCTAACGCACATGTGCGTTAAATTGCCCCGCCAATGGTTCGATGCGAGCAAGACCGAGGGCTGCCGTTGCGGATACCCGGGGTGTTGAGATGCATTGCATGCACCAGACGCCGTATCAGCCCGTCCTAATCATCAGGTGCCATCTTATCCTGGCGCCACGTACACTGAGGGACGGATTGGGAAGGCCTAGAGCTCACGAAGGAGGGGATGAGGCTCTGCCTCCTCTCTCTGGCCCTTCAAGACTCACTATCGAGCAACGGGGTCGAAGTATGCAGCTGCGTTGTGCCGCGGCGCGATACGGCTAAACTACTTGTCGGCACCTCACTGGTCGGACCTTGGTCGAGTCAGGGTCTCGTCGGAGACCCTTCCCTGTCGACAGAAGGCCGATGTCGTCGGTGATTGAACGAGGCATGAGGTGCGCAGGCCAAGGCCAAGAGCTATTGATCTCGGTTCGAAATGCGTGCCGTCTTACCGCGTTAGCCTTTGGGCCTCTGAGGGGATCCCAAGATGTTGGTGGATGCGATCGATGGTGATGATGATTTGCTCGGGGCAACGGTCACTTGCGGATGATATCTCGGTTGTGTGATGCGATGCTCGGTAGAGGAAGGCGAAAGGACGTTGTTATATCAGTGTTACTGGACCACGCGGCTGTGAATCTGTGGGCAGCCTCGTCGGACCAAGGGACTCGGCGACGAGTGGTGGGGCGTACCGGACACTTCGGATGACGGAAATCCGGTCGGTCCCGGAATAGTGAGTGTGACCCGGGATTTGAGTCATCGGTTGAAATATGGTTTTATGCTCCTTGATTGAAGTCTAGACTGTGGTTTATTTGTAGCCAAGTGGGTGTGAAGGCTGACGATGCCAAGGCGCAGTGTGTGTGTGTGTGTCTGTTGGGCTCTCCCAGTTACAAGATCCAAGCTCACTAATGAGAATGGTTCACGGGAGGCTTCAAAATCTCGACTAATCAAGTCACAGAGATGGATGGGCCTTTTTGCCTGAACTCTATCTTCCAGCACTCGAGTCTGATATGCTGGGACGGTTTATTGGTGGAGGGACAAGGCGCAAACCGTGGGGGAAAAGTGCAAACCATCCCGGTGGTTTGGGTGAGAAGTGCAGTTCCAAGTGCAACGAACGAGGATCATCCATATGCAGTGGTAGGCGCATGAGCGCCACACGTCTCTTGAGTGGTAATCTCCAGATTTGGACTCGTGTCGTGGAGGGAAGCGGCTTCACTGCTTTGGTGTGACGGTGTTTATGATGTATCAGAAACATCCATGCAGGGCAGACACGAGGCTGCTGTCGAGGGAGTAAGTATGCCTCGCCAGTAGCCAACTACCTCACTCCAGCGAGGCTGAGGATGCGAGTACCCATGAGTGGCGATCCCTCAGTGGCGAGCCAACTAACTCTTCTTCCGTCGAGGGAATCTGCTAATGTGGAGGGATCACGGGATTCGGTTCAACGTGAGCCACAACAAGGTAGCAACAGCGGATTCGCAACCACGCCCTTGCCGGTACAACCGACGTCGGAGGTTGGACGCCACAAATTCCCAATAGTCCCTCATTAGTTGATTGGCCGTCTATCCAAATGAAAGGATTGCCTCATCGCGCCCGGATGTCTTGGAGTAGTCTCTGGGAAACACTGTCAACCAAGAGACTCAGAGTTGGCGCGTCCTGACAATTACGCGGCCATAACTGACCCTGGCGAAGGATTCGTGAGCGGGGATGGTGAGAATTTAGAACCAACAACTGCTGTGCTTGGTTGCACGACCCAGCTGTCCCACAGCACAGCAGCCATCTTCCACCAACGTCAACGAAGCGTTACCTGACGTATTCGTCGCGGTTCACGGATGCAAGAAAAAACTTCGTGATGCATACGTGGATTGGTCATCAACCGGTGGAGCTCGAAGGCCCAGGCCCAGACTCAACTGCATATCATCACGATAGCGCACCGCCCAGAGCAGCGAGGATTTACTTAAGCTTCTTTTGGATAAATTAGCGGTCCTTTTTTCTGGCGTTTTGGGGTATCAGCCCCGCGGGGTGAGATAATTAGGCCTTTAGGCGCTGAAACCGGCTCCGCCCATCGTGCTCCGGGCCCGGGGAGGCCCCTAATAGCCGGCGTAGGGAAAAATATGACGAGTGGCCAACCGCTGAAGGAGTCACACACTACGCCTCAGCAGCGTCATAGGCGGCCAAAGACATGGTATTAGCGGTCGTCTTATCTCCAGGCGTAACAAAGCGATTCCTCTCCAAAACTCCCCCACTTTCTCTTTCAACCTCATCCGTCGGCGCCTCAAAACCTTTCGTCGCTTTGCCTCCCGACACGGTCTCCCCATGATTCGCAAGCTGCCGCACCAGTCGCAGGTCCTCATATCTCGTTGATGGCTTTCATTGCGCCCAGCCCCGCGTCCATCATCCAATTCATCGCTGCCTAGCAGACGTCTGGTCGCTGACAACCCCCCGCGCCACCATCACCACTTTCCGATCCCGACGACCCCGACGACCACAGCGCCAGCATGACGAGCTATCTTGAGAGTCTAGCCATGACCTATGACTTCAATAATATGACAAACGGAGCTGATCCGGCCGCGCACCACAACGATTCATCGCCGTCTGCCACCCACCAAGAAGGCACCCCAACACCCAGCCAAACCTCGCGCTCGTCCGGCAATGTCACCGTCTATCAGACAACCGGCCCCGACGCCCACACAGGCCCGATTCCAGCCGCCGGCGGCTCCGGAGCTCCCGCTATAAACCCCAGATCATGCGTAACTTGTCGACGCCGCAAGGTGCGCTGCGACAAGCAGATGCCCTGTTCCAACTGCCGCCGCGCCCAGATTCCCTGCGTCTTCCCCGCCCCCGGTCGAGCTCCGCGCCAGCCGCGCCCCAGAGACCCCAATGCGCCCCCAAAGAACTCGAGCCAGCGCGAGGTAGAGCTCGTCAAGAGGCTGAGGAAACTGGAGGGAATCGTCGAGGAGTTGAGCGGACAGATCGAGGTCGAGTCTGCAGGCAAGGGTCCTTCGTCGGCGAGCTCACCTGATGTGGTCCACAACAATGCGCTGGCCGCGGGATCCGACAGGTCAACTACCTTCCCGCCAAGGCAAGCATCCAGTGCGAACATGTTTGGCTGCCATAGCGGCAGCCCAAAGGAGAACGAACCCGCTGGCGATGTCAACGACGCAGCGCAAAAGAAGGAACTCCAGAAGAAATTCGGGCGTCTTGTCTTGAATGAGCAGAGCGGCGGCCGAAGATACGTCAGCAGTGGATTCTGGGCAAAGCTCAACGACGAAGTATGTGCTGATCGAGTTCGCACTGGTACGCAGTACAGCTGACATTTAATAGCTCGACTCGATCCGCCAGGACACGCAAAAGTTGACTGATGAGGAATCAGACGAGTCTGACTACGAAGCAACACCTGATTTCTCTCCGGCCAGTGCTCCATCGGTAGACCACCATGCTTTCATCCTCGGATACCGCTCAGCGGATGTCAACCTTGCCAAGTGTTACCCGCTACCCTCTCACGTACCGTTCCTATGGTCCGTGTACCAGGAAAATGTTGAACCCCTCGTCAAACTGGTGCATGTTCCGACAACGGAGGAACTATTCCGTAACGTGAGGAGGAATCAAAGCCAGCTCACCCCGGGTCAGGAATGCTTGGTATTCGCCATCTATTACGCCGCCATCAACTCACTTGACGCTGATGAGGTAAGTCGAGTCCATCTTCTGTCAAACCAGTCGACTAACTATCAGGGCCAAAGGTTCAAACCAATCTCGGTGCCACCAAGGAAGAGATTCTCATACAGTATCGCTTTGCCGTTGAGCAAGCCCTCGCCAAGGCGAATTTTCTACACGCGTCAGACTTCATGGTTATGCAAGCGTTCACGATATTCCTCGTAGTGGTCAGGTGCGAGGATGACAGTCGGTTCTGCTGGTCCCTCACTGGCCTGGTGATTCACCTTGCCCGAGGAATGGGCCTCCATCGTGATGGTACCCATTTTGGGCTGAGTCCGTTTGAGACGGAGATGAGAAGGCGAGTTTGGTGGCAGTTGCTCATCCTCGATCTTCGGTCTGTCGACGAGCTAGGAACCGATCTTGCTATTAGCGATCGCGCATTTGACACAAAAATGCCAAGCAACATTAACGACGCAGATATCAGCCCAGAGTCGACGGAGTTTCCGGAGCCGAGGGAATCACGGTCTGACTCTGCCATCTCTCTTGTTCGCTACGAGATATGCGCTCTTAGCAGGCGCCTCGTGATGGCCTCGTCTGCATTGGCGTCCTTGTGCCCAAGGGGAATGGCCCTTAATGGTACCAGCCTCCCGGACAGGGAACGAATGCTTATCGAGGTTTACCAAGGCGTGGAAACCAAGTTTCTCAAGCATGTCGTGATCCATGAAACGGACCCGTTGTACTGGATGGCCGCCATGATAGCCAGAGTGATCATGGCCAAGATGTGCCTGGTCATCTACCAACCAATGCTTTTCCCGGGTTCCGATGCAGAGCTTACCGACGAGGCTCGGCACCGCGTATATGTTGCGGCTATTGAGATGATGGAGTACAGCCACATCTTGAATACGGACCCTCGATGCAAGCAGTACAAATGGATATTCATGACATATACCAGCTGGCATGCGATGGCCTACTACTTGGTCGAGAGCTGCCGGCGCCCATGGACAGCCCTCGTGGAGCGTGGGTGGCAGGCCTTGCATGGATATGGGTCACCTACTCAGCTTCCCAAGAACGAGGACCACGCGGCCATGATCCTACCGCTAAGGAAGCTCTCCCTCAAGGCCACGAAGCATCGTGCCTCGGAGATTGCTCGTCTCAAGGCGGACCCTGAAGAGGCCAGCCGACTGGACTTTGAAGAGAGGATGAACCCTACGCATGCCCGCTTCGGGACGGCTCCAGGCGCCGAAGGCAAGATGGAGAAAATCAGAGATGCATGGCGCGTGATGGTCCGACCTGAAGGGCCCGCACCATGGGTCTCCTCGACTAGTCAAGATACCACGACATCTCCCACGATGTCTCGGCGTGACCTGTCTCAGCCGCGACCTGGACCTCAGGTGAATTCACCGCCTCAAACACCGAGCGGGAAAGACGTCCCATCCAGTATTGAGCTGTCGGATGCTGCCATGAACCTTATGACAGATATTATGAATCAAGATGTGGCGATGCCCTTGACAGCATTCTGGCCCCTCAACGACCTAGGCAACCATGAGATGAAGAATACCCCCCAAAATACGAACAGCGGCAGCGCTCCGGGCCCAACCCCCCAGATGCAAAATAACACACTCGGACAGCAAATGCCTCAGCAGATGCCTCATCCAATGCAACTCCCCAAGGATGACAACCTGCCCCCCTACTTGTGGTCGGATCCGTTCACCTCCATGAACGCTACCTTTGGTGATATGGGTGGGGAAGACACCGACATGTTGGGAGAGGAGTTTAATTGGCAGGATTGGAGCCAGAGCATCCGGGGCCTGGAAATGGAGAGCAATCAAACGCAAAAGAAGTGGTGATAAGATAGATGGGAAGGGCGGGCAACTGGTAGACGGTATGGTAGCCACGCTTGAACTTGTGAGCTCTTGCTTGTCGTTGTATGATACCCGGTGGAGTTTCAAGGATGCACATAGGACTGTAGATGAATAGTTCCACTCTCAATGTATATTGGCGTGATTTCGCTGCTCAACTCTCTCATCTGGTTTATGGAAAACGTGCGTGTCCAGGGCATGTCCAGTCAAAAGTCGTCGCCACAGAATAGATGCCAGACTTTTTGGGCATGCTCTATACAAGCCTATAAGCACAATTCTATATGCCACGCCACTCTATAGTTTCTGCTCATCCGTCTTGCTCTCCCGCTCCTCTTCCAATATTTCTTCTCGTCCCCGAATCTCCACATTCGTCGGTCCGCCCTTGCCAAAGTTGACCAGAACCACTCTTGACCAGTCGCCGCCTCTCCCCGAGTCTTTGAGCTCCGGGCCCGGCTTATCCAGCGCCAGGACAACTCGTTTGTCGCTCTTCCGCACAAACAGCGTGTGCGGGCTCATAACCTTATCACCCCAAGGAATGAGCGCCGTGTTGTGCTGCTTGCCCTTCTCCGTCTCCGCCGTAGGGACGCTCGAGAGGAACGCCAGCAGCTTCTCGCGCTGTGAGGCGAGGTGCAGTGGGCCCTCTTCTGGGGACGCGGCCGTGCTGCTGAAGATGTTGGCGACGAGGCGGAGGAGGTACGCCTGCGGAGGGAACAGGATGATGGAGTTGGTAGAAGCCCGGGATAGGAAGGTCTGGGCTGGGGCGAAGAGGGCAGCAGTGTGCTCGACGCCGTTGTCGGGCGTGGGGATGAGCATTTCTGAAGGCATTTGGTTGCGGGTTAGAGGTAGCAGGTAGAGATACATTTGGGTGGTGAAGCGCTTGATGTTGATAGCGGGTGTGATCCATCTGGTGAAGGGAACCAAGCCGTCTTGAATGGGAGTTAGCAACAGCCAGTCTCAAGAGATAACTTGATCTACGAACCAGTATCTGGCTCGGCGCCTAGCGATTCCAACCAGTCGAGAAATCTGGTTTGGTTTCCATGTATCTTCTTCCTCGCCACATCCCTCTCCTCTATGCTTAGGTTAACCAGCTCGCCATCCTTCTTGGCCAACAGGATCCCCGTCTCCTCAAACGTCTCGCGAATAGCCCCAAGCCGGTACGCCAGCCCGTCCTGATGGCGGTCCGGTGACCCTACGGCGGGGAGAGTCCCATCGTGGAACGCATCCAAGTTGCCGCCGGGGAAGACGTGCGCCGACGCAAAGGACGTCGACGTCTGCACGCGGTGCAGAAGCAGGACCTGGTTCTGCGGCGAGAGCAGCAGCACCGAAGAGCTTGGTCTAGGCTCGCTGGACGGGCGCGTGCCCTCAGCGGAGGATGAGTAGTTGATCTGAGGAGCCATGGCGTATGTAACGGGTGAGATGTAGGGCGAGAAGCGGGAAGGCCGTCGCACTGGTCTCGGCTTACAAGAGACACAGCTGGACACGGTGGCAAAGCTGCGGCGGAGAAGATGGAGATGGGACAGGGACCTCCCAATGGCGTTGAGCGAGGGAGTCATGGGGCCTGCTGAACGACCTTCACTGAGAGCGTAACTGACCAATGTGAACCGCAACAGACGGTGCGGTTCGCCGTGACGTCGTGTGGCGCGTGGGGACTGACGGTTATTGACGTCCAAGCCGAGGTCCACTTGTTCGGCTCCGTGAAGGCGGACGAGACGCCGGCGCGGGGAGTGCGGGGGACACGGAGGTAATGTAGAGAGAGCCGAGAGCCGAGAACCGAGATAATTGGTGCGTGTCTTACTTGGAGATATGGATCTTGTTAGTTGATTGTTTCGTGTGTCCTGTAATCAGGAACGGTTCAATGCTTGTGTCTTATTCGCTGATCAGAGTAGGGTGCGATGCGAACATGCGACAAAAGGCTAACGTCGGATGAGCAAAGCCGCGCAACGACCAGAAACACCACTAAGAAAAGCCCACGATTTGTGCCCAATGAATGGCCTCGTCAACATATGAGACAAATCCCCTATCCTTAGACAAGAAAAGTCCCCCCCCAACTCATGAGTTTCCCCTTCGCCATATCATAAACCATACAAAGTAGAAACAAGGTGTAGGGTAGTGCTATTTCTTCTTAGTGGCGACTAAAGAGAGGCCCACCATGTTACACCATCGACAATACACCAGCGATGACATAAATTTTCCTCCTCTTGCAAGATCATAATGAAGATGATGTGAATTACATGAACAATCCTTCGCAAACACACAAGTAACACTGCTTCACCCCCCAAGTACCATCCATCCATCACGGAAAAAACTTCACCGTCGAGAACGGCAAAAAAAAGAAAGCACTTCTCAATCATGATTATAGTGTGTTATAGGAACAGCCCGATGCGGGGGTCGAACCCGCAACCTTGAGATCGCGCACTCGTAAGAGTCTCACGCTCTACCGATTGAGCTAACCGGGCGTGCTTCGCACGAACTGGCGCCCGATGCGTTGGAGGAAGCGCGAAAAAGACGCTTCATGAAGCAAGCTGGTGGGAGTCAGGGCTTGGTGGGATGCTCAATCTTGTGTCGTTATTGGAGGGGTGCTTTTGAGGGTTGTGCCTTTGGATCCACTTGGCGGAGTTACACGGGCCTGGACATTGTCGTATTATTGACAGGCGCTGAGGGTTGTGGCTCACAGAATGGCCTATTTTCTGGGTATTTTCTACATAAAAATGGCAACTGGAATATTGGAAAATTTAATTAAATACACATACAGGGTCCTCTATATTTATTTCCATTCATTTCAACTCAGTGAATTATTCACTTCGTGTAGGACCCCCTTGGCGGGCCACAGTCATTGAGTGAGCGCCCGTCCCTCTGATTGGCTGTGGACCCTCTGGGCTTTCATGTCGTTCGCGATAAGCGCCTTATCGTCACGTGGTGGGTCTTCGCTTCCCATAGGGTTTCTCACCCCACAGATCTCATTGGGAAAATTTCGCCTGAAAAGCTCTTGTTCACGACGGCATCTCGAGACTCGGCACGGATTTCTAACGAAGTAACGCCACACACACTCCGATACAATGGCCAAACTCTCGTAAGTCTGCCTCAGCTCTACTCATTTGCCTCGAGATCTCTGCCATTTCCGTGACGGGACGGTCGCGCGAAACCTGGATTCGCCGTGTTGGTCATGGTGGCGGGGGACGAAATCGGCCGCGCACGAAACGACGAGCAACCTCGATCACCGACGCTCTACCAACGACCACGTCTGCTTCTGCTTCTCTCCCGCTCGATGCTCGCTCGTTATTCTCGACAAAATTCGACCATGATGGACGACGGACAATTCGCACGCAACCCCCCGAACATGGATCTGGCAGAGAGAGATTCAACCGCTTGAGATGACTTCAACGTGGACCGCACACTGACGATAATGCGTATAGGCGTGGTGCCCCTGGTGGCAAGCTTAAGATGACCCTGGGTCTCCCAGTGTACGTCACCTCGAACCCCTCCCGAACCGATCTTTCGACCCTGGTCCAACTAACTCTCGCTGCAGTGGTGCCGTCATGAACTGCGCCGACAACTCCGGTGCCCGAAACCTGTACATCATCGCCGTCAAGGGTATTGGTGCTCGCCTGAACCGATTGCCCGCTGGTGGTGTCGGTGACATGGTCATGGCCACCGTCAAGAAGGGAAAGCCCGAGCTCCGAAAGAAGGTCCACCCCGCCGTTATCGTCCGCCAGTCCAAGCCCTGGAAGCGATTCGACGGTGTGTTCCTGTACTTTGAGGACAACGCCGGTGTCGTATGTGGAATCCTGTCCCATTTGTTTTCCCGTGGTGGGGTTGGTGTAGTGTGTTGTGTGTACAAGTGGCGCAAATCATCCTGCACGACATCCATGTTTGGGCGAATGGCTATTGCGTGTGGACTTTTGGCTGACTCGAAATTTGGCAGATCGTCAACCCCAAGGGTGAGATGAAGGGATCCGCCATCACTGGCCCCGTCGGAAAGGAGGCTGCTGAGCTCTGGCCCGTAAGTCAATTTCCAAATACCATCAGCATCGTCCTGCAGCAGCTAACCCGCCTCGCAGCGTATTGCCAGCAACTCCGGTGTTGTGATGTAAGGTGCTTTTGGGAGAGGAAAGACAAAAGGCGTGGTTCTGTCCCCATGCGATCAAATAGAGCGCGAAAGCCCCTTCTTCCTCATATTCGGGGATTCGGCGGAATGGGAAGTTAGTCGCTGGATTGGCAGGCTCTGCATTTCGGTTGCGGCGTGTAAGGATGATTCATACCAAGGCATCACATCAAAGGACAAAACAAAATCACTTCAAGGCCCTGTGACCCTTTCTCGCCGTGTTGTTTTGTAAAGTTCGAGTGTGTCTGCTTGAACGTAATGCGTTGTACCCCCATTGTTCGATTTCATGATTCAGGATAATTCGCCCTCGCTGGTCTTTTCGTATGTCGTCTGTTCTATGGGAAGTTCCGTGGGAAGTGCCGTGACCAATACGGCCAACAGCCAATGACTGATTACAATGCCCTTGGCGAGGAGAGAGAGAATAATTGCAAGGAATTACAGATTTCTCAGGTTGTGGTCTAAGTTTGCCATGTGGGTCAGCTGCAGAGATAGATGTCTCCGAGTACATACTGTAGTATTCGTACCCTGTATTTCGCACACGAATGCTCTTAAAGTGTGTTTTATTCTTGGAAATGACAATTGTTAACAGTCATGATTTGAACATGTGTGTATGACCGGTTTATTCAGGCCCATTCATTTCTAGTTTTAATTCTCAAAGCGTGAGCGGTAAATTTGGTAAAAAATCATGTCGTCTACTTCGTACGTCGCTCGCAAAATCTCGACTCACTCTTTGGCTAGCGGTTTAGTTGGTAAGCTTAGTGCAACACCCGTTTCAATTCACCAAATGACGTCAGGACTCAAACATTGAGAAAATTGAATTACGGGAAAAGTGTGTATAAACCGATATCGAAGGCTCATTGACCTTGGCGGTACACAGTTCCCCAGTGCTAAAGCCCAGAGACGGGCAACACACCTTCCACCCCCTATGATGATGCAAAAGCCAAAAATAAGCACAGAAAAGCAAAGAAACCAATCGACGGATGCGGAAAAAGGAAAGAAAGTCGATCTAGTGTACAGGCACGTGAAACATCCAAAACCCTCTGAATATCCATAGTATACAGAGCGGCTGTATGTACTGTCCCCCGTTCATCTGATGTGAATGCTACATAGACCGCATTGAAGGGCACGCCCCTCAGAACCCAGTTTTTCGTGTAGTGTCTGGGAATCAACTCGGAAGGAAGAAGGGATGCAAATGTAGATCGAGAAGGACAGCCGGAGTGCGATGGGCATTTCCCTCTCACATCTGTTGATATGGGTAGCCCATGTTAGGCATGCCATGGACGAAACCGGGATTTCCACCCTGGTGTGGTGGATGTTGTGGGTGTTGCTGGTGAAGATGCTGCTGCTGCTGCAAGTGAAGCTGTTGTTGCTGTTGTTGCTGATGCTGCTGTTGATGCTGATGCTGCTGCTGCTGCAACTGCAGAGCAGCTTCTTTCTTCAACGCTGCCTTGCCCTTGGGTTTGGGGGCAATCACTCCCAACTTCTGGTCTGCGGCTGCTTGGGCAGCCTTCTTCGCAGCAAGCGTCGCCTTTCGCTTTTCAACAGCCCCGGCCATGTTGCCATTTGCCCATCGGTCTAAGAATCGTTAGAATTTTGTTCCAAATCGGAGGTGACATACGGGACGTACTCTTCATAGATGCCGACATCTTCTCGGACTTGGTCATCGACTTGTAGTCTTTCTGAGGCTCCTCACCTTCCTCACTGGCAGGTGGCACGCCATTCCGGTTCTCTGGCCCAGACCGCACAACCTTGATCTTATGTACCTTGCGATTATTGGGAGTCAACGACGGCTCGGAGGTAGGACCCAATGACGAGGGAACGGGCCCATCACTGGAGGGTATAACACCACTTGCTCGCTTGCCCCTTTTCTTGGGAGGGGCCTGAGCAATCTCTTCGCTTCCATCAGGGTCATCGCGGAACCGCTTTTGCCGTTTAGGTCGGAACGAATATGAAGATTCGGCGGTGTGCGAAGACTCCTCCGAAGAAGCCGTCGATGGACGGGAGTCTCCATTATCGGTGATGGCAGAGGAAGGTTCGCTGAAGTGTTTGCCTTTTGGGATCTTGAGGGTCAGGAGATGTCGTCTCGGCTGCTTCATTTCCGGCTGGGGCTCGTCTTCGACAAACTCATTGGGGTCCGCCTCCTCGTATCTAATAGCCGGCCTTCCCCGCCCTCGTCGAGTGGGCTTTGCGGGCTCGTAGTTATATGCAGACTCGTCTTCATCCTGCTCTGGAAGAAGCTCCTCAACGATGCTAGGCACAGCTCCTTTGGCTCGCGGGCCACGCCTGCGCCTGATCTTTTGAGGTGCATCCTCGCCATCGGAAACAATGTCAGTGTTGAAGCTAGCATTGGGGTTGGATTGGGTTTCCTCGGCATCACCATTGGCATTCTTTCGTCGGCGACCCCGGCCAGTTGGAACAGGAGTCGAACTTCGGCTGACTTCTTGCGCAGCTGCTGGGTCAAAAAGTTGAACTGGTTTCCGGTTCCGCTTGCCCGTTACCTCATCCGTCTCAGTGGCCTTGGCGGTTTGTCTCGGCTGGTTGCGCAATGACCGCCCGCGTGTCATGATCCCGACCTGTTGTGTCTCTGGATTTTGCCGACCAATCTTGGAGGGGTGAGGGTCGTATTCAAAGCCGTAAGTGGCAGCCATGATGCGGTCTTGGGCCTGGAGGTAGCGAGTTTCGGTCATGCCTTCCTTCTCCCGGGCCTTGTACCCCTTGACGCCAAAGTCTGGCTCCTCGTAGTTGACACCATGCTGGTGTAAGTTACGGGTCCTAGACTCGTACTTGGTGTCTGCGGCTCGTCGGCGCAGTGCGTTTTCATAGTCGTCTACCACCTTGCCCAACCCAGTCCATTCCTGCTGCCATTGGCCTAATGAAACATTGATGGCTTCCAGGATCTCGTAGAGATCTGTGGTGGACATATCTTCGCAGTTTTCAATAGCCGAAATGTACTCCTCAGGGTCGCGAAGTTTGCGGTACTTGAAATACCGGCGCCTGTCGGGAGGCTCCTGGGATTCAGAGACGTCGGCATCATCTGGGTCCTCTCCACCCGGAGCTGGCGAGTTGAAAGCAGTAGGATCTGTCGAGTCAGGAACCGGCGAGCCCCGAGTAGGAGTGTTGAGAGCAGGTGTTGGCGCTTCTAGTGCTGTGTTGTCATCGTTGTCCTCCACCATTGGTTCCATGTCCATGCCTTCTCGATCGGTGTCTTTGCCGTCGGGAGTGGGCTCGTCGGCAGTAGTATCCTCTTCAAGACGGCCTTTCTTTTCGGGGTACGAAATATACTCTCCATCGACATAGGGCGTGAGATGGGACCAACGGCCAACAGGGGTGGGTTGTGGCCTTGCCATAGTTGGCCGAGGAGGTGCGGTCTTGCGAGGGCTTGACTTCGGTTCTGGTTGTATAGAAGGAAGACGCTCGCTCGTTTCTACTGGCGGTGGAGGGGTCGATGCCTCAATTTCATTGGGGCTTGCGCTAGGTACCGGGCTTTCCTTGGTGAGTAGTTTCTGAGGTGAATTTGAGGACTGGGTTGCATCGGGCAACGCGAGGGCTGAATCTGATGCTTTGTCATTTGTTGCGTCCTCTTTTTCCTCTGGTTTGCTTAGGTCTGAATTTGCGCTGGTCACTTCAGGCAATGCAGGAACATCGTTGGGGATCTCTAGAACGGGTGTTGTAGAAACATCATGCTCCGGTTCTAGGGGTTCAGACCCTGACTCAGCCATTTCAGTGTCTTGCGCAGGCTCCTCGACTGGATCAATGTCCATTTTGTCTTCGTTGTCCTGTATGCTTTCGTTGTCCTGATTGTCTTGAAGCGGTGACACACGGGTGGTGTTGGTAGTTTCCACCTCGGCTTCTTTCTTGATACTGCTGGAAGGTTCAAGGCGCTCTTCGACAATCTCTTTGGGACTTGATACGAATTCACCATTCAAGTGCGTTTCGATTGGTGGCGGGGTGGATTCACTGACCGAAGACTCAGCGGCAGTAGTTGAGGGAGCATCCGTGACAGCGTCAGTAGCTGCAATGGACTCAGTGGGCGCAACGACCTCAGTGGGCGCAACGACATCAGTAGTAGTAGCTGTTTCAGTGGGCGCAGCGACATCAGCAGTTGCAACACCATCAGTCGCCGCAATGGTATCAGGTGTAACAACATCAGCCGTCGCAAGGACATCAGCCGCCTTAACGACATCAGCAGCGGCAACAATATCTGTAGCAGCAATATCCGTAGCGGCAACAGCATCCGTGGTAGCAACATCATCTGCAGTCGCAACATCATCCATAGGCGCAACATCATCCGTAGGTGCGACATCATCCGCAAGTGCAACGGCATCCGTAGGTGCAACGGCATCCGTAGGCGGAACGGCATCCGAAGGCGCAACGGCATCCGAAGGCGCAACCGTAGGCGCAACTACATCCGTAGGCGCAACGACATTCGTAGGCGCAACTGCAGCGGTAGGCGCAACGACGTCAGCAGTAGGAGTAGGGGTACGCGGTAAAGGTAGCTCTTCGGCTGTCGTTTCCACCTTTGCAGACTCACTCTTCAACTGCTCTGCAGGTTGAGAGACAGACTTTTCAAGAGGGGCCTTGGAAAAGTAGGAGTCAAGAGTAGTCTGAGGAGGTGGCCGGGAAATCTGAGTGGCATCCTCGATAGATGGACGGCTTTGATCTTTGCTTTGATGATTGCTTTTTGCCGGCGGGGCTCCATTCTCGGGCACTGGCGGCGTTTTGGCGGGTGATGAATGATTTGAATAGCTGGGCTCTTGAAATTCTGTTTCATCGACATCCGAGTATGAGATGCCAACTTCGATGGTGTCTTGGACATCGTTGTCATCTTCCTCAAAGGGCTCGCGGTATGCCTTCATCTCGCTCGACTTCCGCGAGGGGTTTCTCCGGCGGGTGGATGGGGTATCGGCACCCATGGAAGCACCCCTCCGCTTGGAGTCTGTGCCGTAGAAGTCCTCAGTATCGAAATTGACATCAGGCCTGCGCTTTCTACCACGGGCTGAGGAGCTGGAGTTGGGGACAGTGACATCGTCCTCGATGTGCTCAAAGGTGTAATCCACGCGTGCGCGCTTCCGAAGACTGTGACCACCCTTCTTGGGGCCATCCTCATCGTCATCAGCAATGGAGTAGTTGTCCATGATAGAGGAGCGCTTCCTCAGATTGAGGCCACGGTGAGGGCCCGGTGGGGAGAAAGTGAAGGCGCGCTGATGAGGTTTGCTGGAGCGGCGACCACCCGCACTGTGAGCGGACTGGGGCGTGGTGTTAATATGCGCGAGCACGGGGCTCGTGGATGAATTGAGATCAAACGAGGCTTCTGAGGCAGAGACAGGAGATGCAGAATCCCCTAGCTGGCGGCGGCGATGAGTTGTGCGGCGCGACCGGTCCATGGTAAGCTGAGACGGGCTGGGGCTGGGAAGTACAGCAGCGACGTGTAGCGGCCAGCCAGGCCCGCGAGCGGCGTCATGCGGGGGAAGGAGAAGACGCGCAAAAGAAGCCAATGATTGAGAGGGAGACGACTAATGAAGAGAGATGGCGCAGAAGGTGGTCTGCGTGGCGGAGGGCTTGGGACGGGGAGCGTATGAATGGGAGAGAGGCCGCGATGAGGCGTGTTTGAATGAGCCAGGGCAGCGAAAGAATTTTGAAAGACGGGGGGCAAACGCAGGGGCAACGAGCAAGGGACAAAGAGCCGTTCAGGCGGCGGAGGAAAGACCAGCCTCCTGCAGAAGAGCGCGATGATGGTTGGGGCCAAATATCAGAGACGCGGTGATGGGCCGTCTCCTTTGCCTTGATGTGGTTGCCGTCGATTTTCTCGAGGTGTCGTGGTTCGAATAAGCCAAGGCCTGCGTCGCTGTATTAGCTGTCCGCGCTCCCGACCAATAACCTAGGCCGGCTGGTACGTACCGTTGGCACCTTCCCCCCGGCCAGAGCCCTTCTCCGGGGTTCCTCCGCCGGGCGCTGCTGGCCAATAAGGAGCGCCAGCGCGGGAAGACACGGGCCTAGGCCATGTCGGGCTTGGGGCAGTCATTCCGTGGCTTCTTACTGGGCCGCCACGGCTGTTACTGGATACAGCGCCTGCTGGGCCCCTAATCACTGGCTATTTATGGGCGGCTTGTCGCTGCAGATTGCGATTTAGGGACCGCTGCTGCTGGCCCCGATCGGTACCTTGGATGTACTTTATGCATGTCCCACGTTGGGTGACATCTCCGCAGTGGATGATCGTAGCAGGAGTACCAAGCGTAGTACCTGACCCCCTCCATTTACACCACATGGACTTACAAGCAACTGCACATGTTTGTGATGCATCTGTTCTTCGCTCTGAGTCTGCATGTTAATCATATCTATTCACTCCACTTGAAAATAATAATTCCAAAGTGCTGAGCATTGATTCCAGTATTGTTGCCGTATCCAATTCGGTTGCCGCGTCATGGCAACCCAGCGTTGCCCTCTCACCAGACCAGACACCTACCCTTGTTTGGTTTGTCGCTAGGGAGCTCCTAACCCAGTGTCACTCCCTAAACTGCCTTGCCGCACCTGTGCCAAACAGCCTTCCGACGATTACGTTCGTACCTACACATGATACTTGACCTCTTCCTCTCAACCACGTAACCCCACCCATCATCTCATCAGCAACGCGTCCGTCACATCTACTGCACTTGCAGCCAAAACCAACCACCCGCCATCGTCGTCTTCCTCTGCGACTTCTTCGACCATGGCTTCAAAGAAGACCAAGGCCGTCGCCAATGACGACAACCTCGACGACCTCTTCTCCGGCATCGACACCAAGCCCAAGAAGCCTTCCACTCACAAGTCCAAGCCCACATCGGCCGCCTCCAAGGCCATTGCGGACCAGGACATTCTCGCCGACCTTGAGTCTGAGCTGGCCTCCGAGCAGCCGTCCCGCCCGCATACACCCCGCCTCAAGGATGTCGCCGCCCGACGCTCTACTGCGACGCCTCCCGCTGGTGACGACAGGGCTGCCATGGCTAGTCGCAAGTCCACCGACAGCGCCAGAAGTCTGAGAACGACCTTTACCCCGAGTGCCACGAGCTCTGATGCCCACGAGTCAGAGAAGAAGCCCGCCGTTGAGCCGGTCGTCGAGGAGCCGCCCGCTCCGTCCACTGGCGGTGGATGGTGGGGTGGCATCTTGTCCACGGCCACGGCCACAGCCAGCCTTGCCATGAAGCAGGCTGAAGCTGCCGTCAGTCAGATTCAACAGAATGAGGAGGCTATGAAGTGGGCAGAGCAAGTCAAAGGCCTCAAGGGAATCGACGTTGGTAGCCTGCAAAAGTATGGTATGTACTATCATCTGCCTTCCCCTTTGATGATGAAGCTTACCCACAACTAGGCGATGAACTCCGCCACCGCGCCCTTCCCACCTTTACGAACATCCTACATACCCTCGCTCCTCCTATCAGCTCCCACGAGCGCCTCCTTATCCACATTACCCACGACATCGTTGGCTACCCCTCCCTCGACCCTCTCATTCATGGCGTTTTCGCCCGTGTCATGTCCCAGGTCGAAGGTGGTGACCTCCTCGTCGTCCAGCGCGGCCAAGAGAGCAGCTCCCGCCGCAACAACGACAGCGCTGCTGGGTGGCGCGATGGTCCATGGTGGAGACAGGCTGACTCTCCTCGCGAACTCGGCTTAATCAACGGACTGCCTGAGGGAACCAAGTTGTGTCGTGCCAGTGCCGAATCGTACGCCAACGAATACTTTGCCGCTACCGGTGGATTGGAGCAGGCCAAGCTCAGAGCGACGGAAGACCTGAGTGAGACCAACCCGGTCAGAACCTCCGACCTCTTCCTCTCTGTCCAAGCCATTTGCATTGACGAGGACGATGCTCTGTTCGCTCGCACTGCTTCTGCCGAAAAGGAGAAGGAGTCCTCGGATGTCAAGGACCAGGAAGAGACTGGGGAGATCATCTGCTTCGCTATCTTTATCCTCGATCCTGTTCATGGTATCGAGTTTTCTACCGTCAGCCAGTCTGTCCCTGCTCGATGGGTCCAGTGGCTTGATGCCCCGGCCCCGTTGACTCCCAGATCCAACGATGAGGGCCAGGATATTCCCGAGGTTATGATCCCGGAGGAGATCAGAGATATCATCGAGAGTGGTGGTGTCGATCCACGGGAGTGGGTTGCTGAATGGCTGGAGGAGCTCCTTGACCTCTCTGTTGGCATTGTTGCCCAACGATACGTTGCGCGCCGCATGGGAGTAGGTGAGGGTGGCTTGGGCAAGGGCAAGCGAAGGATGGAGGACCTCGTCGAAGACGGTGGTGGCGAGGCTGCTCGGGCCGGCATCATCTGAACCCCCCTATCGTGGCACCAACCCCAGGGAGGTGGTGATCGCAATGTTGGGCGGCGTTAGGATTCGGCGACTCTCGATGTAATGTTCTTCCTCTTGGAACTTTCTGGCAATTCTTAAGGGACTTTTTGAATACGGGCTACGTCTTGTTTGTTTTTGTTCATCTCCGTAGTGTTAACCAATACATACTCTGAAGGCTACCTATAAAGCTACACATCTAAATGAAATTGCTAATACTGTACTGTCAAGTCTCTATGTCTCCGTGGAGAATGTTCCCGCCCTCTTCAACTCTCCTCTTGCCGCTCTGGTCGCACCCTCCATCTCTACAAACTTGAGTGGCCTATATACCGGATTCCACATCTGCTCTCGAATCCACTCCTCCAGCTCCTCCTCGGATGAAGGGATGTCCTCTTCCATCGCTTCACCCTCCTCGATGGCCGTCTGGATGACATTCCGCGCGATCCTGACGCTCACATCACGGACGGAGCTCACGTCTGGCAACAGGGGCGCCGTCGAGTCAGTCAGAGCGGGACTCAGTGCTGCGAGACCCTCCACAGCAGCAACGAGCATGCGATCCGTAAGGTGTGCGACGCGGGCGAGTACACAGCCGAGGCCGATCCCCGGGAAGACGACCGAGTTGTTACACTCGGCAATGTCGATCGTTACATCCGCACCCGACTCGCCCCACGGCCCCGTGACCGGATCGAAGGGCGAGCCGGTCGCCACGAGGGCTTTGCCATCGGTCCAGGCGAGGAGGTCGGCGGGCTTGGCTTCGTGGAGGCGTGTGGGGTTGGAAAGCGGGAGGATGATGGGGCGAGGCGTGTTTTTGGCCATGGCTTTGACGATGGACTCGGTGAAGGCGCCTGGGACAGTGGATGTACCGATGAGGACGTTGGGTTTGATAGTCTCGATGACAGACTGGAGTGTTGTGTCTTTGTATTTCCACTCCAAAGCGCTTTTGGCAAAGCCTTTCTGGGCGTCCGAGGTGTCGGTATCAGTTGTCAGGAGGCCGGGCTTGTCAATCAACCTTTCCATTGATTAGTTGAGTTCAATGATAGCAGGGATCTTGTAATCACCAAATCTGCTTTGCAGCCTCATCATGACTGATACCTCCCTCGGCAGCTATAGCGTCCCGAACTTGGTCTGCGATACCCACGCCAGCGCTGCCAGCTCCAAAGACAACCATGCGGATATCGGGCAGCTTTTGGCCGCTCACATGCAGGCCCGCCATTATGGCCGCCAGAGTAACGCAGCCGGTGCCATGGACATCGTCGTTGAAGCAGGCGAACTCAGGGCGGTATCGATCAAGGATGCGTCTTGCTGAGATCCTGTTGTCAGTTACGGTTTGGCCACCATGACGCACCAAAAGGGCTCACCATTGCCAAGACCAAAGTCCTCGAAGTGGATATAAGCCTGTGGGTATAGTTTTCGCGCGGCACTGACGAAAGTGTCGACGAAAGCGTCATACCTCTCACCTCGAACGCGCTTCTGTCTAAGGCCTAGGTACAAGTCGTCGTTCAGGAGGTCCTCGTTGTCAGTCCCGCAATCTAGAACGACGGGCAAGGTGCGATTTGGATGAAGGCCGCCGCAAAGCGTCGTCAATACGAGCTTGGCGACGGAAATCAGGACACCGCCTACGCCCTGGTCACCAATGCCCAGGATTTCCTCGCCATCTGCCGTTTACTTCAGTCAAGGGTTTTTAGTGGAGTTGTTATGAGGACGAACCGGTCACGACGATGTAGTCGATATCCTCTGGCTTCCCCCATTGAGCTAGATCGTGAAGCACTCTGTCCTGGTCATCGATATTGAGAAAACAACCCTCCGAGCGTCTGAATAGTCGAGAGTAATTTTGGATGGCATCGCCTTCAGTTGGAGTATACACTACACTCATCATCTCCTTAAGATGGAGTTGCAACAGCTTCATCCGGTAAGCCCGGAACAACGACTAAGTTAAGCTCTAAGACCGTGACCTACCTTGTAGTATAGGACCTCATTTTGATCATTGAGAGACGTGAGAAATGTGTTCTTGGCCAAATCATCCGCTCGTGTCGAATATTGCTGGTACGCGCGCTTGCATTGCTGTTCGAGTGTCTGGATACCCTGGGGGAGCAGGCCGGTGAGATTGAACTGACGACGCTCATCGGCTGGGAATGCAGAGCCCTTGTTCAAGTAGGCCGAGTTGAGAAGGGCAGCACCTGTCAGGGCGCAGTCAATGGGACCGCTAGTGCTAAGTGGGAGGTTGCGGAACTTCGGGGTTGAAGAGCTTGGAGACATGGTTGGGTTACGTTGGATACAACGCGGATGAGCTTTGGGAGATGTGATAGATGACAAGCATTCACCAAGAAACCTGGTTGATCGAGTGTCGCCAAGGAGGGCGTGATAGGTATATACGTATGGTCTGATTATTTAGTCGCCTACATATGCCAGGTGACGTATGTGAAGATTAGTCTGCATGCAAAAGAATATCCTGTTGGCAGTGTGTACATGTACTTGGTACCACCCTCGAATCCGAACATAAGGAATCGATGCCGTCATCACTCATGCTACGGCGATATGCGCGATGCGCGGCTATCAAAATACGCTGAAATGGGAGACAATATTCATGTGACAGATATCAAGAGAATTTCGGTGCTCTGGGAGCCACACCCGTGTAGGATTCTGTCCATAAATGGATACAACGGACGTGGACTATGATGGCCCTTTTGGTCTAGCAGCTACATCAAATCTTCCCCCGAAGGGAGAGACTTGCAAAACCCCAGCCTACTTCACGCGAGCAGTACAAAACGCATCGCTCGTGGAAGACCTTCGCGAGGAAGACTCGTAGATAGATGAGTGGCTGGAGAGAAAACACTGCAGTCGGAGGTGGCCCCGACGCGGAAAGAGGACAGAGGACAAAGAACAGAGGAAAGGATACCTACCGTGGGTGAGAGCGCAATGAACGTATTTTGATGGTTTCGTCGTGCTCACGGCCGCACTTGCGGCGCGTGGAGGAGATCGCACCTGAAGACGAGCGATTCTTGGTGTGTTGTTGAATGAAGAAAATTCTCTCTGCGGTCCTGGTATTAAGGAAAATTGGAGTGGAGACACCGCCCCAGCCACGAACGGCTAGCGGCACCTGTCGCCAAGTACAGGGTACCTCTGATTCTCCTCAAGCTGTAAACTTGACTTTAAATACACCTTCAGGCTTCAGCGTTCTTTTTGGGTTCCAGAGCTTAAAAAAAATTAAATTCTTGGTGAAGCATATGACAGAGAAAATTCGACATGAATCTCTTGGTCGGAATTTGGTTGCGTCGGCTAAGAAAGGGAACATGTGGTTATTGAAACAACTTGTTTGTCGAAACTTGGCCGTGTTCAAAAAATGGGGTTTCGGTTGTAATTGAGAGAACCTAGACATATATTGCAAATTCTCAAGTGACTCGATCATATATCTACTTAGTGTCAGTTGCGAAGTCTATTTGCCCTAGAACTAAGAGTCACTCCCTAATCATCCAGGAAGTACCGGCGATATCCCAACGTCAAATGCATAATTTATCGACCAGGCTCAACATCCTCATGATGAGACGGTGTAGGAGAGTCGATTTCCTCGGACTCTTGCACAAGTCTCTTCTCAGCCTTGAGCGCATTGTTCTCCAACTCGAATCCCAGGCCAACATCTCGTCTGGCCTCCTCCAGCATCAGGGCATCCTCCTCACCGGTATGGCTCCCAAAAATACGGTCCATCTCTTCCAGAGTTGCACCCTTGGTCTCGGGGAGATAGAAATGCACCCACAGAATGCTGGCAGCCAGGAAGCCCGCGAAAAAGATGTACGTTCCCCATTCAAGCGTCTCAAACATGGCAGGGACGTAGAAGGCAACGGCAAAGTTGTTGAGCTGAATGGACATGTTAGCACTTTGTCTCGATACTCCAGACCAACAACGATGCAACTTACCCAGTTGCTGGAAGCACCAATTGAGGAACCCTTAGATCGGATAGACAGGGGAAAGATCTCGGCCACAAGTGTCCATGAGACAGGACCCCAAGTAGCACCGAAAGCCCCCACGTAGACCCAAATGAATGCCACAGCGGTCCATCCCGCAGCCACGTGGGCGTTCCAGTCGTGGTGGTACACAGCAACGATGATGCCTGCGAGAACCATGGAAATCCACATGACCACCGATCCCACGATGAGCATTGGCTTTCGGCCCACCTTGTCAATCACGGCCATCGCCGGTAGTGTACTGACGAAGAACACGACACCAGTGACACCCGTAGCCAACAGCGCCTGAGTTCCGCCGGTCAAGCCTAGACTCTCAAAGACGTTGCTAGCGTAGTAGATGATGGCGTCAATTCCAGACCTGTATCGTTGTTAGCATCATGCTCATGCAGTTCTTTGATTGCACATTTACCATTGCTGCCAGAACATGACCAACCAGGCCGTCGCAACTCTCTTGAGGTTATCCCAAGTTTTGACGATCTGGTAATATCCAGCAAATTCCCGGATCCATACGTTGCCCTGCTCCTTGGCCGCCAAGTTGGGAAAAGATTTGGCAAAGTTTCGCTGTTCAAAAAGACACTCCGCTTTGATCTCCATAAACTCAACTTGAATGAGTTCATGCTCCACAGGAAGCTTTCGAAGATAGGAGAGAGTCTTGAGTGCCTCCTCATCGCGGCCCTTCTTGACGAGCCATCGGGGGGAGAATGGCAACCACCAGATACCAAAGGCGAGGAGCACAGCCGGGATTCCCTGGATGATGGAAGGAAGCATCCATGCCATGTTGGTCTGCCCTTCGCCGTGACCACCAATGTAGTTGCTGCCGTATCCAATCCAGAAAGACAGCATAATACCCAAGATGGTACAGAATTGGTAGAATGAGACGAGGAATCCGCGTAGTTCGGGGGCTGATAGTTCGGCGTTGTAGAGAGGACTGCAATTCAATGTCAGTTTAGGCATGAATGGCAAATGAAGAATGAACCTACCCAACACCACTGAAGGTTCCAACACCAATGCCAGTGAAGAATCGTCCCGCGTACAACATAGCCGGGTTATGGTACGTCGCGCCGCAGTAGAGATAGCTACCCAGAATAACCCAGCAGCAGGCTGAGAACATGGTATACTTTCGAGAGATGACTTCGCCCAGCACACCGGCGGACAATGAGCCGAGGATACCTCCGAGTTGGAGAATTGAGGTCAGCCAGCCCGTTGCGCTGGAGGAGGCTACAACTGACGGGAAGTTGTCCTTGAAGCGCGTCATGACCAGGGACTGTCCTAGGACACCCTGCTGGTAGCCATATTCGAAACCACCAAATCTTCCAAGCGTGTTAGGACGCAGCAGGAGTAGGTAGGATTTGGTACTCACGAAGCAAAAAGCGCGATGACGATTAGTTTGGGATTGTTATATATCGTCTTCCACCGGTTCTTGTAAGCGAGCTTCGTCCGCTCTTCTGCCATTGTCTCCATGATGACGGCTCTGAGGATGAAAAAAAGAGCAATAAAAGCGCAATAAGTGCAAGACAAGAGATTTCTTAATCCTACAAGACTACTGCGACATTACATATATTTATTCATTGCAGATCTTTGCTTCCTTTATACTGCGGAGGATGCACGTTTCCCACTTCTCCACAATTCTCGCAAACACCCCAGCTGGAGTGTTCCCTGGGGAAAAGTATTCATTCACCAATCCGGGGACCCCAGACGGGAGTCTCCAGGTCGCCGTCTGACTGAACCGACCATCAGCTTCGTGGTTGGAATAACCCACCGCGGAATGAGGACCTAAATAGGCAATCAGAAGCACTTTTGTCGGTCGTATGGATGTTGTGTGCTCCACGTTGCATTCAAACGTGGAGTCGACCCTTGAGATTCGTGAAAGAATTTTCGCTACACCTTTCCTTTCCGAGACGCCTTTGACGTTATTTCCGACCATTCTTGACTAAAGCCTCTCGCCATGACGCCAAAGCGGTTGCGGCGTGATGGAGAGATCGGCGTCTAGGGTGGATTCGGGCTTCGTTGATGTGACGTTAAATCCTGGCCCCACGTTGTTTTGCTCACGAGATGTGGTATTTTGAGCCTAAATAGGGCCACTTTTATGAGAAGGACCGACGGCGGAGAAGAGAGACCCAATGAACCCGCGTATTAATAAGGGTTGATGTTACACCGCACTTCTTTTAAATGGCTGCCTAGAGTTTGGGGCCTGGGTAGGTCTTCATTCTTCAAGATGCATCGTGCCAGCCAGGACTAGGCGCATGCTCTGATTCTTGGGTTTTACAGATACTGAGACCTGAGTGCAATGCCAAGACTACCTTATCAAGGAATTCTACCGTATCTCACGGGAGGGTTGCCCTGCGCTCAATTAGGAAGTCCTAACCATGTCAGCATCACTGCATCAGAGGCCAGCCGGCTAAAAAGCAAGAAAGGCGTTGAAGTATGAACAGTTCCCATCAAGCCAAGACACGGCCGAGAAGCCACAGTCGATAGCACGGTTCTCGCCCTACGAGACTAACGCCGTTTGGTCCGCCGGTTTTTGATCCGTATGGAATATTGATCAGCGTTTCAAGAGAGGGGCGGGCAGTGGAGAAATCAAGTAATTCGACCAAGGGTCCCTAGCCCGTTTGACGACTCATGATGCTTCAGTAATTAAGAATCCAAGCACCAGTCGTCTAACTCAAGCCATATCTCGCTAGATCGTGAAGCCTTTTGGGCTGTGAGAGTACACTGAATTATACTTTACTAATCATCAACAATTAATGTATCGACTCGTGTATGTATACGATTACTCTGGCCATGCTTGGATTATATGTCCCATCTTAATTATACGGATAAAAGCAATAAAACATATCTGAGCACGTACCGCCGCCATCTCCCCACTGTACTCCACGAAATCCACAATTCAGCATCACGCCTCACAACTGATTTCTCACAAGAAAAGAAAACGGGATATCCCAGCTTTGCAAATGTTTTGACGCATACTACGTAGTATAAGCATTCTTGTGACCAACCTACACGAGATGAGTGTACGTGAATATTTGTCAGGGATTACTGGGGAGGATGGTCCCACCAGGTCGTCCGATAGAACCCGGTAGTGTCGTCAGAGTCCTAAAACTACGGCGGACTAGCCTAGTCGAGTGTCGCTATTTGCAGCAGTTCAGCGGAGTGAAGAATCAGAACAAACCACCTCGAGTGGTCGCGGCTAACTCAGAAACCGATCATTATAGAACTCCACATTTACAATGCTCCTGGAAAAGGATTTTACCGGGGATACCAGCAACACGCAATTACTAGACTGAGAAATCCACTCCAAGACGTCATATATTTCATTCTGTCAACTTGTGCTCTCGGGGCCAAACAAAGAAACAAACCCAGACCTCCCCCTTCCCTGCTCAGTAGCTTATTGACTTCCGCCTCCTTCTCCGCTAGAAATAAAGCGCTCATCCGTCCTTTATCATTCATCATCCATCGTTGCAATTTCGTCGGCTGGCAAGAAACATTTACTGCGAAGAGTTGTCGTTGTTGCCAATCAAGTTCGGAGAGCTACGGAGAGTGCCAGTAACACCGTTGGCGGTACCCGCCGACTTGAGCCAGCTGGTGACGCCAGAGACACCACTAACACCCTCGACGGACATGCCGTAAAGAGCAAGGCCAGCAATGTGGGGAGAGGCCATGGAGGTACCGCTGAGGGTAGCAGTAGCTGAGTTACTGGAGTAGTAGGCGGACAGGACGCTTGAGCCAGGACCGAAGATGTCGAGGGAGGTGCCGTAGTTAGAGTAATAGGCGATGGCCCAGGAGCTGTCGATGGCACCAACGGTGATTGCACTCGCTGCCGAGGCAGGAGACACATTAGCAGCGCTCTGGGCCTCGTTTCCAGCGGCGACGACAGTAAGGACACCGGAGGAAGAGGCAGAGGCGACGGCGTTGTTGAAAGTGGCAGAGTAGTCTCCACCGAGAGACATGTTGATGACAGCCTTGGAGGCTCGGCCGTTGTTGACAATGTGATTCACAGCCCAGTTGTAGCCTGAAAGGATGATGGAGGTTGTGGACTCATCGCCTTGGAAGACCTTTACGCCTAACAGGGTGGCCAACTTGGCGACACCATAGGTCTTGCCGCCAATGGTACCGGCGACGTGAGTGCCGTGGCCGTTGGTGTCCGCGTTGTCGCCACTGAAGGCAGACCATATAGCCGTGGCGCGGCTCTCGAACTCGTTGTGGGTGGCACGGATGCCAGTGTCAACGATGTAGGCGTAGGTGCCCTCTCCAGCAGCGGTATCGTATATGTAGCTTGTATAACCACTGCTGCGATGAGAGACAGTTCCAAGACCCCAAGTAGAACTGGACTGGGTAGTCAAGGCCTTCTTGGCGATATGAGACAACTCAGTCTCCTCCTTGATGTATTGCAGCTTCCAGACTTTATCCTCTTCAACGAGAGCAACCTGCCAATATGTTAGTATCTATTGAGGGGTAATTGCGTCCAAGCTTACCTCAGGATTGTTCTTGATCTCTTCAATGGTATCGGAATCAAAAGAACCAGCATAGCCATGGAAGCCGTAATCACCGTCATAAGTGATCTCAACACCCTTGGCTTGGCTGTCACGCTTGGAGACACTGCGCTTGTGGACATCGTTGACCCAAGTCAAGTGGTTCTCGAGGTCATCAGTCTTAAGCTCAGACTTCAAGGTGATGATATAGCTGCCTTTGACAACACTGCCACTGTCACGCTCAACTGGAGCGCCAATAGCGTACCCTAGGAGGGTAGTAGCAACAAGAGCGAGGTTGGTAAAGTTAACCATTTTGCAGAGATAGTAGATGGGTAGCGAGATGAAGAAGATGCTGAAGTCGTTGAAGTGACTATGAAGTATGCATAAATATATAGAGGATGTAAGACTGTCTTATATACCTTCTTGGCCTACAGCTTACCCCCCTTATAGATGGCATCGTGACGTTGACGCCTGGTTTCAACGAGCCTGTGGCAGCTCTAGGCTAAAGAAGCACTGATGTCGTTTGCAGCTAGGATGGCTGCATCATCTCCGGCGACACTGTAATCAACTTCCTGTTCAGGGCAAGATGAGTTACCCCATGTGCATTGATCGTGCGGTTGTCGATGGGAGAAAACGGAAGGCAAAGATGGATGGCGTGAGAAGACTGGACTCAGGAAGGCAATGTCACGTAGATGAACGCACAAAAGTTCTCGAGACTGTGGACGCCCGGGGGTAGAAGATGTAGCACTGTAGCCTCAAACGAGATTCGACCAGGAACTTTGGAAAGACGGTTGGCCTTGGCGATGTAGCAGGGGCTTTATACTGGGATCCATTGGACATGTTGGATGGCTTCTAGCTTAAGGGTTGGAGGAAGCAGGAGACAAGGGAGTAGAGAAAATGCAGGGTGGATAGACTCGACGGTTACAAGCGGACTCTATCGGAATGCGATGTAAACCGAGGGCGGAATTGATGACAAGTGGTTGACTTTACTCTTCCAGAAGTGTGAAGATCAGCGCAAGTCGACTGTTGATAGGTGGACTGTCAATCAAGCTTTGAGAAAGCATCAACACGTAGAGACCGGGACCTAGCTAACAAACTTCATATCATCCTCAACGTAGAAGCAACGGATAATGAACGACCTATGAAGGACGGCGACGGTCGAGATTTCGGCGATTGGAGAGCGGGTTTGAGGCCAACGCCGTTCGGAGGCCATGTTAGAAGCAGGAAATGGCGCATAAACCCAAGCGTGTTGCGGTTGTCGTCGATACACCAAGCCATCGGAGTAGTTGCTCTTCTCCCCAACTTGAGCACGTCAGAGCTTCTTGGCGGACGAACCCTTGAAGGACTAGGCTCGATGGCAGTGAAAGCCGGCCGGGGTTGGTTCCACCCTTAATCCTCCGGTGTCCCGGTCAAGAGGTTTCCAACTTCCCTTTTGGGATATTGCGGCCGTCTCAAGTGCCCATCATTGCTGGAGGGGCTGTTCAAGAACGCAAGGTTAGTGAGGAAATGAGATACAAACACTAGGCTTGAAGGTACTAAATTTTAAAGCTCAGGGTTGTCCTTGCTCCGGCCGGACCATATGAAGGCCTCTCAGCCTGAAGGGAACACATTATGATGTGACGGAACTGAGGCTCTAGTCTGCTCGGCCGTTAGGATGGTCGCGAAAGCCACCGTTGTTGATTCGTACGCGAGTCCGACGGCAGAAAACAAGATTAAGCAAGGAGGTGTCCCGCAGATTCCCGGAAGCGTCTGTTTTGTTTCGTGGACGGATGTCGTGATCGAGGGCCTGGTGTTGAGACTCGAAGGCGGAATGTGATCGCTGGCAGGGGCGATTCGAAGGATCGGCGCCTGGAGATAAGATTCAACGGGTCGTGGCCGGTAGATTTAGTGGGGTAGAGATAAGTGAGGTGCTAAGGTACAGCGTTAAAAGTGCTGAGACTGCCTGGAACGGCTTGGAACGACCCACTGAAGACTCGGGAATATAGGCCTGTTGCAGATGTCGTGGGCGATCCACCTCGGCTGCGAGACAACCATGCTCCGTTCATCCTTCATCCTTCATCCTTTATTCCTCATCGTCAACCTGTATTCGCGCCACGCTTTCTTTGTCCGCCACTTCGAGCCAGACAGATCAGGGTTCGTTATCAGCGCTGCATTCTTGCAAAAGTTCGCCCGGTTCCTTGGCAACATCGGCAACATTGGCGTATCATATCTCGGGCCGCCCCATGCACCCTGGCTGCTCATATGCGGCATGAGCCCGGAACCACGCTATGCAGTCCCCCCACATCACGACAATCCTTCCATGCTATGGATATGGATCGAAGACCTTTTGTTTGTCGTGACCCCTGACTAGGAGTTGGTGATTCTAGATGCCCTAGAATGATACTGCTATTGGTTTCTGCATCGACATCGACTTCTGTTCTGATCCTCCCACATACCGAGCCTACACCACAGGTTTGTCTCGGCCCGCTGATCCCCCCTTTAGATCTCATTTACTGTGACCAAGCCTTTCTCTTGCCAAAACCAGCAGAAGCTGAGGCCAAACGAGTACAGTCGTGGCATCAGAAATGGCAAGCCCATCTATTGCTACCCAAGGTCCTTCGTTGGGGAATCCTTACCAACAACAATGATGGGTTCCATTTGTCAAGTTTCAGTTTAACGGAAGCAGCACCTAAAAGGAAGAGCTGGATGCGACGTCACTAAAGAAACACACCCACCCTAACGTTTAGACTGCCCTATCCCACAGGTAGCCATCGGACCATGGGACTGGTGTGGTTGTTTTTCAGAGAGGTGTGTATCATGAGACATACAACTCTAGCTTGCTAATGGATCAACAGAAATATAACGGATGGCACTGACAACGGGTCGGTCTAACATGGACTCCACGGCCAGGGACCCAACTTTGGCAGTGACTGGCGTGCCACACCCGCCATCACTAGAACCTGCTTGTCAGCCCCCTGACCCCTGAGAGTATCCTAGGCTTTGTCTTAGGCGGTCTTTGATCGTCTAGCCCTAGTTCAGGAACTAACTACCGAAAACAGTCGCGTGTATGCCGTGGCTGCCGCAGCCATTGGTCCTACAAAAGTCCATGCAGCTTCACGCCGGCGCATTGGCCTCCTTCCTAGACCGTTGCTGCACGCAGGGTTGGGCATGGAACGACGCACTCTGGAATATGAGATCGTCTATCTATCTCTACAGCGTGGAAACAATTATGCACCAGTCCAGGCTCAGGATGCTATCCCATCGGCGCTGATATCGTGCGGTAGCCAATCGCTTCAGAAGTCCGCTGTGTCAACGGGCCGAGACGCTGCCCGGCGGCGGAGCTCAAAGGAGAAAACGGCTATCTGCTACCTTGTATCGAGCCTGATTTGAACTCCTCGGCAACTTCAAGTTTAACTTGATGCTTATACTTAAGCCCATATTGGTTGTGTCACATGCAGATTCCGTCCCCGCTAACACAAGTCCTCGCGCCGGTTTCCGCACCAGTCTCTTCAAAGAAGGACCTAAATTTTAGTCGATGTATAGATTTAAAGTTACTCAATTTTGGAAATGATTTTCTCGTGCTGAGATGATGCAAGTTCGTGGTATGCCTGAACAATTTTTTAGGACCACACCTCAACGGTCAAGGCGGTCTCTATCTCTTTCTGACCTTAATACCTTATTCCTCGAGTTTTTGCACCACAAGGGCTGCGGAATTAACCTGAAACGACTGGTGGGAAATATGTACAGACCTCTACTGACAGAACCCGCTGCTGGGCGCCACGCTCCTGCAGGACAACCGACACTGAACCGTACTGTTCCCAACACGATGACAACTCTAGAACCGGCTCTGCAAGTAATATCGGCATCTATGACGTAGTTATACCTGAATTGATTAGTATTGAAACGGATTGGGAGTGAAACATGGCCAGACTGAAGATGATCAACAGAACCGGGGCTTCCCACTTCTTACCCACAATCCTATCCAAGTTTTTGGTGAGACATGACATAATCTTTGAAGCACGGCTACGCTATCTAAAAGCACGTCATGTGTCGATATTCCAAAAATGAGTCGTACCTTGGCCAGATTCATAAATGAGTGCAGTGTCAGCTTCCCTGGGAGGATCGGACTTTTGGCTCCGTACATCACTTCGGCGATAGTGGGGCCGTTCCGTCCCCGGTAGGCTCAGAACTTGGCCCCGCTCCATCCGTGCACATAATAAGTTCTGCTGGCTATCAAGGTTGCAGGAGTTTACAAGTTATAGAAAAAGCTATTTTATTGAATCTTTCAAGAGGTGGCCTCTGTCAATCTCATGGCCTATCTAGGTTCCATAGGAGACTCCACATCCAACGATATATGGGCCTAACTCATCATCCCCAAGTACTGCGTCGTGATGACAGTTCCTTTTTTGGTACCGCTCACACCGACGCGTACTACTTCGCCAGGAACGATGTCAACCAAGTTGTCTTCGAACTTGACGTCGTCATCCTCGCACTCCAGCGCCAGGCCCTTGACGGGCACCTCGGCGCTGACCTCTACAGTCTTGCCGTCGTCGGCCACCTCGGCCCGGAGAGACTTGGGCTTTTGGAGGTGCAGATACTTGAGCGGCTCAGGCCAGTTGACATAACGCGCAATCTGCTTGCCTTCTTGGTAGAGGTAGGCAGCAACAACGGTGCGGCCCTCAAGACCCGCGTTGGGCTTCTCAACGGGGACATCGAGCACCGAAATCTCGGTGGAGCGGTTCTTTGGCAGTAGGATGGACGGCGAGACCGTTTGAGAGAAGGTTTCCTTGCCAGACTCGACATCCCAGGCCTTGACGACGCAGTCCGCCGTCAGGTTTTCGAGCATCAGGTTGCTGCCCCAAATCTCAACCTGGACCTTGGTCTCGATGTGAACGCGAGTATACTTGTCCTTGGGGTGCTTGTGCTCCTGTCGCTTGATTCCGATGGAAATGGGTGCCATCTCTCGCTTCACTGTGAAGTAGGCGTGCTTCGGCCTGAGGTAGTAGTCGCATATAGCCCAGGACGTGACGGGCCAGCAGTCATTGATTTGCCAGACAAGCGCACCACCGCAGTACTCTTTGCCGGGGCCACGCCACTCGCGCTTCCAGAGTCTGTAGGCTGACGCAAGACACTCGGCCTGCATCAGCTGGGTGCAGTAGATGAAGTGCTCTATCGGGTCAGGGGCATATCGCATGTTTTCTACGAGATAGAGGGCAATGCGGCGCTCGTGGCCATCTGCCTTGTTGTGGAAGTCGACAGTCGAAGATTGCGGGAAGCGGTCCGGATCATCTTTGCCCAGTGGAAGATACGCATCGATGGTCTTGATGCTGGGGAAGGCCTCCATGCCGAATTCAGACACAAAACGACCGACAAGCTTGTCGAAGTTCTGGTACTTTTCCTGGCTTCCGTGCCAGACATTCCATTGATGGATATCTCCAATAGTGGGATCGGTCGTCTTGTTGCCACCCCAAGGACTGCCATAGTGGTACGTCGTCTCAGGGATGAGGTCCTTGCACACGTCCGCAAGGATCTTCTCATAGATGTATCGAGCCGGGAAATCCGTCTTCAGCCAGCTCTCAGCATCTTTGTTGTCAAAGTCGTAGGTGAGATTGTCGCTCTCGGCCACCTGATAGTCCTCGTTGTTGCCAGCCCAGATGGCAATGCTGGGGTGATGTCGCAGGAGCTTGACATTCTCCCTGGCCTCGCGGTCGATGGACTTCAGCAGCTCTGGCCAACAAGGGTAGTTTCCGCAGCCAAACATGAAGTCTTGCCAAACCAGAACGCCTAGTTCGTCGCAGGCGTCGTAGAAGGCTTCCTCTTCGTAGATGCCGCCACCCCACACTCTGATCATGAATTGATTGCCATCGGCCACTAGCTTAACCCAGTCGTAATATCTCTGCTTGGAAATACGAGGGATGAAGTTGTCTGCGGGAATCCAGTCGCTGCCGCCACAGAAGATCGGGATGTTGTTGACCTCGAAGAAGAAGCTGGTGCCGGGCTGCTCCTTTAGCGGTCGCTGGACAAGCTCGAGCTTGCGAATGCCAATCCTCTTCGACACTGAGTCCACTTCGACAGTCTCCGAAAGTAGAATGGCCTTGACCGTGTACATGGTTTGCTTTCCGTGTCTGACTGGGTACCAAAGCTCTGGGTTCTCAATCTCAAAAGTCGACTCCGCCTTGCCGTCCTGGACATCTGCGGTTTGGGATGCAACTTCGGTACCATCTAGGGAAATGCTGAATTGCACTTTGGACGCTGTGCCCTCTGTCGTAGCGCGGGCCACCACCTTGGCGCTCTTTAGAGATTCGTCCACCTTGATCTCGTTGTGAAGATCGGAGATGCGAGAGTCATATACCTCAAGGGAAATGGGTCTCCAAGGACCACAGGTCAAGAGGGCGGGGCCCCAGTCCCATCCCTTTCAAACTGGTCAGCATATTGGAGAAACGAGCGCGTTGAAATGGTATTCGAAAACTCACCCAGTGATATTGCGCCTTGCGGACGGCCAACCTCGAATCATCGCCATTCCAGCAGATGTACTTGTGGTCCGGATGCTCCTCAACAAGCTTCCAGCCGCGGAGGTAGGCACTGTCGAAAGTAATCTCCAGTTCATTATCACCATCCTGTGCTAGCACATCTGTGACATCCACACGCTCTGGAAGAAACATGTTTTCCGCCTCCAGGATCGTCTTGCCGTTTAGGCGCACCGTGGCGAAGGTGTCGAGGCCATCAAACGCCAGAACGGCCTTGGCGCCTTTGGGCACTTTCTGGCCGGCAAAGGTCGTCTTGTAAACCCAGGCAACCTCGCCGATCCATTGAACATCAAGCTCATTTTTGCCAATGAACGGGTCGGGGATCTTTTTATTGTGCAGTAGGTCAAGGTGGACGTTGGTTGGGAACTGGCCGACGGGCAAGTAGGTGCTGTCGTCGTGGGCGGCCTGCCTGAATTGCCAGTTCTTGTCGATGGCCGTGACGGTGCGAGGAGCCATGGGGAAATAGTGAGGGGGGACAGTGAGGATAGATTATGCTTGGATTGCAATAGGAGGAAATACGTTTGTTTGGTGAAGATGCCAGATCCAAGCTTGAGGCGGTCTTTGGGGTTGCTGCGTATTCACTGGGGGGTCAGCTGTGGCAGGCGTGATGCCCCGCGACGCATCAAGATTCAGTGAGGGGTTCGAAGATGAGCCGAAAGTGAGATTCAGTTTACAAGCAGTAGGGAGCGTATCGTGCGATGCCTCCTCTCTCGGATAGTCCAGAAGATCAACGGGAAAGCCACCCGGGACGATGCCACAGCTTTTATACCTTCTTTACACAACCCGGTGGTTGCTAGCCGCTGCACACGCGCCGACCGCCGGCCGCAACGTCGCACCGTGTTTCCGAAGCCAATGCGGGACAAGCTTCTCAACCTGGTAACCGTGGCACATGGCGTGTCTCTTCCCCACTGTCATTGTTTGTCAGTTCGTATCAAGGGCGTGTAACTCGCTGCCGCGCAAGGGTCGCGGACTCGCGGTGCACTGCCTACTGTCCTGAGCCTATATGCGCTTGTCCGAATCCGTATGGCCCAAGCCCGGAGGGAGACGTTCCGTCGCCAGATGGAGTCTCGTGAGAGCCTCAACCCTCACCTGGTCTCCATGACCCCGTCGCCATGATGCCATGTCTTCTGTCTTCCGTCTTCTGACTCCGTCCCCCGTCTTCCGTTTTCCGTGCTCTTCTCGGCGATCACCAGGGAAGTGTGCCGTCACCCCGACTCCGTTATTCCCCGCCGTCAGACCTCATCTCATCACCATGACACGTTGCAACACCACCGCCTGTTTCTGTTACAAAATATGACGGACCACAGTCCGTTTCAGCGATTGTTTGAAATTATATACGTGGCCTAAGCCCGTATCTATGTACCTTCAGCAAGCGAAGAAGAACCAAAATCCAGATCGGATCCATCTCGACACCTACAGTCGTCATCTATGCCCAACGCCCCAGACGCTTCAAGAACGAATGCTTCCAAGTAATATCCCCAAACACTGTACAGCCAAGGCATACCACCGTTTCCCGCAATGACCCGTCCCAGACCCCTTGAGCTCCAAACATGAACGGAACGAAAGGAAGAAGAGAAAAGAAGAAAGGAAGAAAAGAGTCCAAAAGGAAATCATTAACAACAGTTGCCACCCCTCCTCCTGTTGCTCAGGGTGAAGACCTCTTCCCATTCCCGGATGCCCCAATTCTGCGGGCGATTCTTCGCCTTTCGTCTCCTCCGAAGCCCGGCGAGGCCATCGTCAACCGTGGCGCCCGTCATGGAGCTCTTGATGCTGCCTCCATCGCTGGCTGTGTTCCAACCTCCACTGTCGCCGTATTGGATTCCGCTCGCAGGGTCGTCCGGGTCGATCTCTCCAAGCTCAATCTTGGTAAGAATCATCCTCGCCAGTCGGCCAAAGATCTCATCCACGCCCTCCCCGTTGAATGCGCTGGCTTCCGTGACGACCGAAATGCCTGCAGTGCTTGCCCACCGACTTGTCTCCGCCCTCGTCACCTCCCGGCCTTCCGGTGCGATGCTCGCTCTTTGATGTGCACTGGCTCCGATCGAGGCGCCACGATCCCTAGTCGTAGTTCCATCGGCATTTGTCGATACTGAGGTAGAATATGAGCTTCCTCCTGCGCCACCAGCCATGGAGGAGACGCTATTTGGGGTCGCTGGTGGCAGGCTTGTGTCGATCAGCGTGTCAGTCGCAAGATCCAGCTTGTTCCCAACGAGCATGACGCTTAGGTTCGGAGACGCGAGCGCTCGGGCATCGTTGATAAATGGTTGAAGGGCGCGGAAGGAGGCATGCGAAGTGAGGTCGTAGACGAGAATAGCGCCAGCAGCGCCTCGATAGTACGAGCGAGAGACGGATCGGAAACGTTCGGTACCGGCGGTATCCCAGAGCTATCGGTCCGTTAGAATTCCTCCTCGGTGGCGGCATGGTAGGAATGGTCATTACCTGTAGCTTGATGCGTTTCCGCCGCGATCCGGTGCCCACTCTGATAATTTTGCTCGCAAACTCGACGCCGATGGTCTGCGACGACAGGACCCTCCACTCATTCTTGACAAAGCGATGCAGGAGACACGACCTATGCGCCAAATATTCAGTCAGTCTGGGTTCCTCATGCGGTCGCCGCGTCAGGGACGTTGCGTTGCGCTACAAGACGGTGAACCTACTTCCCCGTTCCACTAGGGCCCAACAGTATGATCTTGGCCAAGTAATCATACATGCTCCCCAGCTCCTTGGTCAATGTCAGCGGGCCTATATCACCGCGGCTGGCAAATCTGTCGCGTGCGTACCTGCTCCCGGGCGGTCCCTGAGCTCTCTTCGCTCGCACCCGACGACCGGCGTGGTCTCGTCATTGCGGTGGTCGGACGTCGCAGATGGGTCCTGCTCGAGGGCTCGAATAATGCTGCATGTACGGGTCGCGTCGCGGCGTTCGGAGGGGCGCGACTTCGAGAGATGCGTCGAGAACAATGCTGACGAGCAGGGAGATGGCGGATGAATAGAATGAGCCAGGAAACCGGGGAAAACTTGGCTTATCGGGGCATGTGTGGGCTAGATTGCGATGATGTACGAATGTATCTCAGGTGGGACGCATCACCGACTTGGCTGCTGCCCTTGGCTGGTTATCGGGAGGCCTGACGACAGCGACAGGGATGGGCCGCCTGGAATCGCCCTATAATATAGCGCCGTGCGACCCCTGCGAAACGGGTGGGCCACCGTTGGCAGTGATTACGTGAAGAGGTGGCGCTCGAACCAACCACACAATGGGCACCGAGTAAGTACGAAGTACGCGGAATCTAAATTCTGGACGTCATTTCGCTGAGAGCAGTCTACATCATCAATCACCCAAACTTCCGGAGGGGATCGTGTCGAACCACTTATTTATCCACACTTAACAGTTGAAATTGCACACATGGGACTCCATCTTCAACCTCGGCTTCAACCTAATCCCAACTCAAGTCTAAATATAATACCTGCAGCTCACAGCCCTTGTGGTGAATAGTTCCTTGTTCCTCTAGCAATTGAAATGCATTCCCCTCAAGCATGTCCAGATGCGGTACTAAGTGAGTATCGATCGACCGAGGTCCTTTTTTTACAACGCATCACGCCTGTGTTTGATCTGCGTTTGGAGACATCTTAATGTCTGACTAGGGTCCTGGGGTACACAGACCAAATGAAACCCTTCACTAGAATCAACGATTCGTCGGACATATTTTGGAGGTGATCTTGAAGAGGCTGAGGTCTCGTCTTACACGGGATTTACCCTCACCCCATGGAATCACGGATAGATGTAGGTACACATGCTACCTCATAATACTACTATCTGAAGTCTCGGGTTTAAGCAATATTTTTTATATTATTTCTCGATTTATGTAGTGATTCAAGCAATTGATGAATAATGTTGATGTTGTGGTTGAGCGGCTGACCTTTGCCGAAATTGAGCCTCGGCCGCCAGCCACGACGTCTTGATCCGCCCCGCGTGTCTTAAATAATTCGGAGATTCCACCATCAACTCAGCATCTAAGCCATCGCCATCTTTCACATCCCGTTAGGGCTTGTAATTTCCCATCAGCCAGTCAGGCATTACTCTAAAATGAAGATCGAGGGCCGAACCTTCATCGTCTCCGGCGGGTCAGTATTCATCGGCTCTCGCCGTCGCTTTCACGTGCTGACATCATCCCCAGCGCGTCTGGCCTTGGGAGGGCCTGCGTCGAGGAAATCTGCAAAAATGGAGGCAATGCTGCCATCTTCGACATGAATGAGGAGAATGGCGAGGAGGTGGTCAAGGAGTTATCATCCTCTGCCAAATTCTTTGTCTGCAACGTGCTCGAGACGGAAAGCATTGCAAGCGCCGTCCAAGGCGCCGCGGAATGGAGCAAACAGACGAACAAGCCCTTGGGAGGTGTCATCCCCGCGGCCGGCGTTTCAACGCCTGCGACTGTATGTGATGCATCTTCTGGAAATTCCAAGCCGTGAGTGAGAACTGATTGATGTTGCTGTTAGATGCTTGATCGGCACGGAAAAGCCTTCAGTCTCGACGACTTTGACTTCGTCTTGAATGTCAACCTGCGCGGCACCATCGACCTTGTCCGCCAGACCCTTGAGCATCTCGCCAAAGCTGACCCGGTCGGCCCAGACTCAGAACGCGGCGTCATCATCATGGTGGCATCGTCAGCTGCCTTTGATGGACAAAAGGGCCAGGTGTCGTACTCTGCCAGCAAGGGCGCTGTGACGGCCATGACGTTGCCGATGGCGCGTGACCTAGCGCGCTATGGCATCCGAGTCGTGACGATTGCGCCTAGTCTGTTTGACAGTCGGATGACGAGCATGATGCCGGAGAAAGTGAAGAAGAGTCTTGAGGGTGCAATGGAGTTCCCTAAAAGGGCGGGTCAACCGGCCGAGTTTGCCCAGTTGGTCCGACAGGGGATTGAGAACGTCATGTTGAATGGGGTCGTCATCAGACTGGATGGCGCAATGAGGATGCCGAGCAAAATGTGACACCAATACAGTAGATATCTTTCACTTGAATTAAACCAGGGAATAAATTCAATCCCCATACACTAGTCCTAACATTTTTCTGACGTGTGGAATAATACCTCGGAAGATCGAGTTCGTGATCCTACTCTATGGGAGAAATCGGCTTCACTGGGCAGCCGCGTAACTTGGAGTCGGCTATTTCGGCTAGACACGATGATGGCCATTCCGAAAACCGGGCGATTGGTAATCACCCCCTCAAACCCTATAAACTGTCGACTTCATGATTGAAACTCACGTTGTAATAATTTTCGGAGTGAGATGATAGGTAAAAGTCGTCAACTACTTGACCAACTTCGTGGTTTGCACAGTGTAAGTCCCACGGGAGGTGCGTTGAGTTACTGTGCAGGGTAACCGTTTATCCTAGCTCCGGCTGGGTTATTGTCATCTCAGAAACTACACCATCACCAGATCATTCGATATTCGCACCATGGCTCCTATCAAGGTGGCAGTCCTTGATGACTATCAAGGCTTCTCCGATCCTCACTTCAACAAATTAGACTCGGCCAAGTATGAGGTCACCTCCATCAAAGACACCCTCCTGCCGTACAATCAACCCGATACGCCACAGTCAATCAAGGATGCCCTGGTCAAGCGGCTCGAGCCTTTCGAGATCATTTGTAGGTATCGAGTCTGGATGTTGTGAAACATAAGCTGAATTATGTCACTCAGGTTGTATGCGGGAGAGAACGCCATTCCCCGCAGATCTGATCGCCCAACTGCCCGCGCTCAAGCTCTTTCTTTCCACCAGCGTGCGAAACAAAGCACTCGATTTGGAGGCATTCAAAGAGCGTGGAATTCCAGTTGCCGGCACCGTAGACAAGAATCGCGCGGACACGAAGGCGGCGGGGACGGACAGCACTACGCAGCACTGCGTCACCCTGATTCTGGCACTCACTCGAGGCATTGCCAGAGATGATGCGGCCGTGAAAGAGGGTGCTTGGCAGACAGGGTTCGCCACGGGCCTCAAAGGGAAGACTTTGGGCATTCTTGGACTCGGCCGGTTAGGTGCCAACGTCGCGAAGATCATGAGCACCGCGTTTGGCATGCGTGTTATTGCATGGAGCACCAACCTTACCCAGGACGCTGCGGATGAGAGGGCCAGGGATCAAGGTCTGCCGGTGGAAGACGCAGATGGCGAGAAGACGTTCAAGGCGGTAAGCCGAGACGAGCTCTTTGGCGCGGCCGACGTTATTTCCGTTCACATCGTCCTATCAGACCGCTCTCGGGGGCTGGTCACGTCAGAAGACCTGGGCAAGATGAAGCAGTCATCTTTTCTCATCAACACGTCTCGTGGCCCACTGATTGTGGAAAGGGACCTGCTCGACCACCTCAAGGCGGGTCGAATCCGGGGAGCTGCATTGGATGTTTTCAACCTGGAGCCGCTGCCGGCCGACAGCGAGTGGAGGAACAAGAACTGGGGTAAGGATGGGTCGAGTGAGGTCTTGTTGACGCCACACACGGGCTACGTGGAAGAGGCGACGCTCGGGTCGTGGTATGCGCAGCAGGTCGACAACATCAACCGCTGGGAGGCCGGAGAGCCGCTGGAGACTCCCCTGATCTAGACCCAGGCCGGGGTCAGTGCTGGCATCGCATTATTTGATAGAAAACGACTAGATGATGACGAGCTAGGATCGATAGTCTGTGATCAATAGTCCGAGGACCCTGGACGAAGCGGTCCGAGCCGTATTATCCGCTGCCCGCAAACCTCGTAACTGATTGAAGTGTTCATCCCTACTCTCAATCGTTGTGTTAGAAGCCCTGGTAGTGTTCTCGACCCGGCTTCTTTTCTTTTTTCTTTGTTTATTGGGCATGGGTCCCCTCGTTCCCGCCGGCTCAAGCTAGCGTTGGGATGTGTTCGTCTCCTCAGCTCGCCACAGGGACGTCTCGACCTCTAACCTATCCGCTTTTGCAGGTGATACATGCCGGTAGATGCGTGACTACGGAGTCTGAGCGCTTGTGACCGCTGAATGCTGGGAACAGGGATGTCAGCTCGCCACTAAGCGATCTCGCACCCGCATCTGGAGGGTACCGTATTTCGAGGAATATCCCGGCGTTGGAGTTTGAACCGTTTGATCGACGGTGCATTGACAGCATCCCATGTCTAACAGAGCCTCCATACCCTGAGATGTCGCGAAGTATGCGGATGCACACTCTTAATACCTAACTCAGGCTTCCGAAGTTTTTGAGGCCCCCCAAAGCCTTAATTGGCAAATCCGGCGACCGGCGAGCGGATGGCACTCCGCGAACCCCATGTTCCATTGTAGTGCAGCTGCTGTACTACCCATTGATGACGACACAACTCACTCTCACTTATCATTTATCAATCCTCACTCCCCACCCAAAGCGTCGCCCTACGAAATCAACGTAAAGCCAATCCTTATCATGCCGCCTAGTCCATCTTCGGAGAAAACTAGATAAAGTTCGAGTCTGCAGCTGACCATGTACGTGATCTTTACTACGGGACGGCACAGTTGGGAGGCGGGTGAGTTGGCGGGTGAAGAGGAGATATTTGTGGAGGGGGGGTGTGAGACATCTGAAGTCGAGGTTTGTATTGTGACATAACCGAAGCAATGGAATTTACTTCCGCATTACTTTGAGGGGAAGACGGCCCGGAGATTAAATAATTGTTTTTGTCGCAAGGGTCTTTCTGTTGTCTGATGTCCTAGCGCATTGTAGGTCGACTGTCATGATCTCACAACCCCCGATTTAAGAACGTAGACGCCACAGAGATCCTATGTACGTACGAAATTTGTCGTACAGCCACGCTACAAGCACAAACACAAGATCGTGCAGCATCGAATTGCCGCGTTGCCAACGATATGGTCATGACCAGTAAGTACTACGTTCAGCACCCAACTGAGCTATGTCCCACAAAGCATCCTCGCCACTCCCGTTGGGCCCGCAACTCACTCGCTGGATCCGCATCTGTGCAGTAACGTACGCTCGCCATGAGGCACCGAGTTGCAGCAGCGTCGTCCCATCATCGTCTGGTACCCGGTGTCTCCGTACGCGTGCCGAGTGCCAAGACGAGTTGCCGCTACGGAGGGTGCTCTCCGGGACTCGCACCCTCTCGAGTTGAATGAGCGATGGGCGTTCCTTGGCGCAACTCAAATCATATGAAACCTCCAATTCATCCGATCGCTCCACCAGTTCAATTGAACCTTTCGGCCTTGGAGATGTTATTGTCCGCGGAGGGAGGGAGCTAGCACAGAGACTCGAGAGCTCCCCGAGTTTGTTACATTGTCTCGGCCCTATGCCTCAGTCGTCATACATGGAGTGTACCCGTATCCGGGCGTCACCGGTGACATTTGCCTGGTCCACAGTCAGCTCGTGTGTGTGCACCCCGTGTACGGGCAGGTGAGTCCACGGAGCGACGAAGGCACCAACACACATGTATGACACCTCCCTTGCGTGCGTAAGACGCCGCAAGGTCCGAATAGCTCCCTGGGCCTGATTCGGCCTAGGGTGACAATTTGGAGGTGCTGAGAAGTGCGTATGCACAGCCGAACTATATGGAAGCCATCCCCAACCCGTTATACCCTAGCTGACGCTGGCTGATACTGGCTAGTATACTTGGCAAAGGCACATGTTTACCGCGGTGCTCATTCGTAGAGTATGGTCTGATGTGGGGATGTCTTTCCAGCAAGTCAATTGGGCTGGCTGAAGCTGGGCTGGCTGAAGCGGCGCCGGCAATATCGTGTATTTTTGTTCTGGACTAGCGCGTCGGCTCCGAGACATTCCAACGTTGGCTCCAATATCTCTGCATTCTTCAAAATAAGATGGCCAGGTCTCGATCTAGCTTTGTTAGATCCGGAGTCAGCGGCTCCACTGCGGCAAGTAAATGGAGTATTTGCATGGACAATCCGTTTTCGATGCCTCGCTTAAGACGATCCACAGTGTGCCTCGTGGAGGAGGCGACATGATTCGATGTGTGGAGTCGCTTATGCTTTCATACTAGCGAAGAGGGCATCGTGAACCGTCTCCTAAGGGCGCCGCAAGTACGCCTCCCTCAAAGTCAAAGAGCTCTTTGTTTGGTACAGTGTGAACACCGGATCTGAGCTTTTTCACACCGCCGAATCGATCCCGAATTTTTCTTCCCGGTGTTTGCACGGAATCCTCGTTGTGAATCTATTCCGGATAAAGACCAAATACCCTGCCCCCAGAGTCCGCAAAGAGACTAGGGACAGCATGTGGAAAATATCGATCATACCCCGGTGTGATTCCGTGTTTCGGGGAAGGGCCATGGGTGTGATGGCTTGAACTTGCATCTCGTGGGTAACACCACCGTAGGAGGAGGGAGTGGAGGAGCTGTGGTTCACTGTACGTAGTACCGTCAGGGCTCTTATACACACCCCCAGCTTGATCGATGGCCTCAAGGGACTAGCCCTCTTGGTACCAGCCGGTCTACATACAGATGGAGAATGACGAGCACCTTTACTTCTCGTCCGAGGGTATATTAACCCTATCGCCGTCCCTCCAGAGGTGTGGTTCATCGGCAAGCAACCACATCTCATTGACAAGCCTTCACTGATACCCCAGACTCCCTCCCTACATCACCACTATTCCAAGTTCCAAGAGTGAATTCCCCTTCTGCAATGTTCAACAGACATCCAAACGGCCAGAAGGCCCAGACAGCACCTGGCGGAAGCCGCCATTCGGTCCATGCCTCCGCTAGGAATCTTGTTGTTATTCTCTTTGGAGAGTTCTGTGGAACATTCATGTTCCTTCTTCTCTCCTTTATTGGCACCCAGACTGCTCTCCTCACCAACGATCCCTCAGACCCAAACGCACCCCTGCTGCCCTTCAGTCTCATGTACATTGCATGCTCCTTCGGAACTGCCTTGGCCGTCAATGTCTGGATCTTCTATCGCGTTACGGGTGGAATGTTCAACCCAGCTGTAAGAAAGGCATGATATCAATGAATGAATCGAGTGGCTAATGTTTTGCGTCTTAGGTCACCCTAGGTCTAGTCCTTGTCGGTGCTGTCACGCCTCTTCGTGGCCTCGCCATCGTTCCCACCCAACTCGTCGCCGCCATCGCCGCCGCTGCTGTTACCGATGGTCTGCTTCCCGGCCCCCTCGGTGTTGCCAATAAACTTGGAGGTGGTGCTAGTACGGCACAGGGTCTCTTCATTGAGATGTTCCTCACGGCACAGCTCGTCCTGACGGTCTACTTCCTTGCCGTTGAGAAGCACCGTGGTACTTTCCTTGCCCCCATTGGCATTGGTATTTCAGTCTTCATTGCCCACATCGCTGCGACCAACTGGACTGGCACATCCATCAACCCTGCCCGATCTTTCGGCCCTGCTGTCATCACTGGCTTCGTCAATTACCACTGGATCTACTGGCTGGGCCCCTGCATGGGCTCCTGCTTAGCCTTCCTCGTGTACACCACCTTCAAGTGGCTCGAGTACCAGAATGCCAACCCTGGACAGGATTCCGACGTGGAAAAGGCAAGCAGCTTCCACATCCGACCTGACGAGAGGTCGATGCCTCCCGGCGCTCGTCTTGATGACGTTCCCAAGCCTAGGTCTCCCCACCGGAGGAACGACAGCGTTCTTGACGGCCAGATGAGCCCCACCATGTGAGTGGTTCTCGGCGGAGACCACTACCATCAAGGCCCTTATCGACATGCATCTGACATGCGAGCTGGCCACGCTCTCGAACGAAATGTGAAATTTGGTATATTGTGGTTCTGCGTAATATGAGACCGTCTCACTGCGCAATGCATAGCATCGGAGGGTCAGGGACACGGCAATAACGGATAAGCATAGAATGAAAGGAGGAAGGAATGGGGTTTTGTTTCTCTGGTGGAGTGGTATACCTTGAGGCCTCAAGAAGATGGCCAACTAACAATCTTTATAATATACAATGCATTTAATCTCAGTTGCGTCCCATGAAGCCCAAGCTGGGCTCCTCTTCATCTAGGTCTAGTCTAATACTTGGTCCTCCTGCAACCCTCCAGAATGCCTTGGCTCCCGTCCAGAACAGCCAAGCCATCAAGAACAGCAGATAGAAGGGGCCGAACCACACAATCAAACCAGTGAAGATGGACGCAATGATGCTGCTTTTGGCAAATGCGCCCACGATCCCGCCGATACGTCCCGCAAACAACATATCGCCGACGCAAAGCAAGACGACGCCTGAAAGGTTGAAGAGCCAAACTGTGCATAGCGCCACCAACACCCAGGATCCCTCCTTCGACTCGTAGAAGAAGTCGTGCCATTCGGTTGTGCGAGAGGTGGTTTTCGGCAGGTAATGGGCCAATTTGAAGAGGAGAAAAAGCTCCATGCTGAATGACAGGGTGTAGTGTGGGATCGTAACCAATAGATTCTGCGTCCAAGTTCGGTCAGAAAAGCTGGCGAAGAGGAAGGCAAAAACAAAGGCCCAGAGGCCGAAGCCCGTTGCTCTCAGGCGAGTGTTGACTTCCGCCATTCTGAATTGCCGTGTTTTTTGGTGAGCGGGTGATGCCAAGAGAGAAAGGAGAAAGGAGAAGACGCGCGTTTCCTGCTCAGTTCTTGTTGTTGGCGATGGTAATTATACAACCCCTTGATGCAACATCAATCCAGGGGCCATGCCGCAGCCACTAAGCCATGTTTGGCGCCCACCCATGCCCTGGCCAACTTTCAACCAACACCTTAAGTTCACTCATACGTTTCAGTACAATAATATCACACTGGTCGTTGAGTAATTTTTATCCTAATTCCTCATGTTTACCCAAAACAATGAGGCGTTTTCATATCCTGAGCCATTCATGGCAAGGTGGTTTCTCAACCTTAATCCCGGGCAATGCAACGCAGCACAGGCATTTAAAGCAGTAAAATAATCATCGGGTTCATATTTAGAGACCTAAAAATGCAAGCTGTACTAATCTTTGAATGAATCCCGATAGACAGATATGGGCAGATACTGCAGACTCGGGGATTAACTGCGAAGGTAAGAAATGCACAGAGCTGTATCAAATTCCATGTCCCTTTACGCGTCCTGGATATTTACAACATCTCCGTACCTATCGACAGCCAAAATCTTCTTCGTGGTTGACGTCTTGACAGGATTCTTTGCCGCGAAGATCTCGTCAAGTTCCTCAAGCTGTCGGGTATTTTTATTAGCGTGTGCGTCAGAGGAAACACCAAGATAAGAAAACTTACAGTACGACCCTTGGTCTCGGGAATCAGTACGTAAACCACCAAGACTTGGATTGCATCCCAGATAGTGAATACAATGTAGGTCTTCCAGCCAATCTTTTCCATGGAAACAGGCCAGGCAAACTGGTTTAGGAGACCAGCAGCATTGACCGCCAGGTTGGAGAAGGCCATGCCCTTGGCTCGCATCTCGAAGGAGAGAACCTCGACAGGGTACAGGGCCTGGAGGGGAGTAATACCGACGGAATAAATCGCACCAAAGATGAAGATCATGGCCAAAGATGCCTTGGAAGCAGCGTGGTTGGTGTAGATAGCCTTATCATTTTCATCAATTCCTGCGTAGGATTTGGCGAACTCAGATGACGCGATCGTCATTCCAAGCCACACGACGGTGCATCCAGTGAAGGAGAACAGAAGCAATGGGCGGCGGCCAATTCTGTCAACCAGACAGGCTCCGAGAATAGCAAAGGCAAACTGTTGACAGTTGTTGATAAGAGTGATGTTGGCCTGTGCGATGCTTCCAGTGTAGCCGGCGGTGTCGAGAACCGATCCGAGGAAATACGACAGCACGGCGTTTCCTGCCCACTGACCGAAGATGGAAACAACAACGTTGCAAGTCAAACGGTATACGGCAGCTCGGTTGCGGAACAACGCCCGGTAATCCCACCAGCGCTTGTCGGCACCGTCCAGGTCTAGACACTCCTCGTACTCGTGAAGCTGGAGCTTAACCCAAGCAGACTCGGGGTTTCCTTCGCCGTGATACTTGGCCAGAACTGCCTTAGCCTGGTCCTGCTTGTTGTTGACGTAAAGCCATCGAGGAGACTCGGGAATAAGCATGCAGAGGAGAACGATTAGACCAGAGAAAAGAGCCTGCAGCCAGGTGATAAGGCGCCAGGAGTAGTCTCCTCCTGTGTTGAGACCGCCTCGAGCGGAACCAGCAGAAATAATGGCACCACTGAACCAAAGAGTATTGTACATGGCTGGAAAAGATTAAACATGAGCGTGTTAGCAGATCCATGCATCACAGTAAAAATGTTTACTGAAGTAGATACTTACCACCGACAACACCACGGAATGCAGGGTGGTTGATTTCAACGACATACATGGGACCGGCCGAGGCTGCAATGGAGACACCAAAGCCGAGCAAAAAGCGACCTCCCATGAACTGACCCATCGAATTCGATGTGCCCTGGATGATGGTACCGACAATGATGATGAGAGCACCAATGAGCATACCTACGCGACGACCGAAGCCATCGATGGATGGACCGACAAAGGGGAGGGCAACAACACCACCGATCTGGTACATGGAAGAGACAATGCCGGCCCAGAGACCGTCATTTTCAATGTTGTACGTTTCCTTGAACCATTTGTTCTGGAGCAGATTGTTGATGAGTGAACCATCGTAACCGTTCATGGTACTGCAGAAGAATCCAACGACGGAAAAGGCATAGACGAAGAGCTGGGCTTTAGACCAAGCATTCGGGGGCTCCTTAAGCATGGCCTCGTTGAAGGCCTCGTTACCCGTGACCACATGGGTCTTCACCTCCTTCTGTAGAAGGCGTTAGAGTTAGAATCTCAAGTGATGATGGGAGTCATCCAGCGTGGAAGCACGTACCTTTTCTCCATCATCATGGACCGGCTCTAGATTCGACTGGGCGATTTTTTCAGACATGGTCCTCGAGGATGTTGGCTAATCCGCCGGGTGTCTGTGTGTGGGATGGGGTGCAACGTTGCAAGTCGATAGAACAACCAATCTCAAGACCAACTGGTGCGAGATGGGAGTGAAGGTTAGAGGTGCTCTGGGAGATAATAGAAGAACAATTATGGGGGAGGGAGGAAATTATTTATCAATGAGTGGCATCCTGTCGATGCAGGGTCGTGAATGAAAGTGGAAGTCGAGACGGAGGTCGCTTCCGTCCAAGCTCAAGCCACAGGAACCTTGTACTTCCGATTCTAATGCAGCGCCTGCTAAGACTCATTTGTTGCTAGCAGGAGCAACGATTGTGACACCGTTGGCGGAAATTCGGCAGGAAGCACCGACCGTCACCTCATAGCAGGTAGCCTGGCGGCTGGGGTCCCCGCACCACCGCAAGGGTTGCGGCAGGAGCAACCCCGCGTAGATCAGTTAGTCGGGTGGGTGGGTTGGGTGGTCGGGGACCAGTATGGACCCTCCTTTGAGAGAAGTACCATGCACATTTGGCCTAACCTCGTTGAAGAGAAGGCCGGCTCCGGGGACTGCTTGATCGATGCTTGGGACCACAGGCAGGGGGGGTCTTTCGTCCCGAAACAGTGGTTCTACGAAAGTGTGATCAAAACACACGGGTGGAGAACGGATGTTCCTGAATTAACTGCGTTGTCTTTGCCATTGTTCTGCATGAAAGACAACGCAAGCCAATTCCATAACACAGCAAGGGTCACACAGTGTAAGTTGCGGTGGTGACATTCAGATCTCAAAATTCCCAGTCTCACCCAGAGACGATGAACTGGATGCGAACTCTAGCCAATGATGAAACAAGGTCACTAACTCGTGGAGATGAGAACCTCTGGTCCACACAGTGGACGCACATGATACCTTTTTTTATGATCCATCGCGGCAATCTCATCCCGTAGTGTAAATTCACTAATCGATGTGCTTGAAGTGGTGCACATGGCTCCTTTCTCAACTAGGCCACGGGAGATGAAGTTCCGAGCACGGAATGTCCCAATGCGGAAAGGCGACCGGGATGAGTTTGGTGTGAATGTCGATTTAGACGAGGTTACTCGAACAACAATCAACAAGCATGTGGGGGATCAGGTCATCGGAGGAGAGTACTGTTATTGTCGTAGTGGACCCATGTCTGCCGTTGAGGGAATGAATATTGCAGCATGCATGTTCAATTGTGCCACCAACGGTGAAGTACTACATGCGTTGGCCGTAATGTCGTGTTTCTAGCATGCATCCAGTTGAGGAGAAGAGGGAAGTGCCATTGCATTTAGCCCCCACAGATATTTCGGGATCTGAAGAGCCTGGCCATGTCCAGACATCCTTCAAAGATCCCCGAGATGAAGGATGAATAGCTGGGAGAAGATAGCGAAGGCCTTCTGTCGTCTCCCATTACACCGCATATCGGGGTGCATCCATGTGTGGAGTAAGTACAATGGAGTGACCCCGCCAAACAAGCTTGATAAATGGGTCCGGGGTTAGAACAAACGCCTCGTCGAGCTACGGTGATAGACAGAGGAATACGGGCTGCTGAGATGGATTCATTTGCCGATAATCATTCCCCGGTTTTACAGCATGCACCAGAGAGGGTCATATGGGGCGAGTCTATGCAGCCAAACGTAGCGACCCGTGGTTGCTTTATTCAGCTTTGATGGAACGACGTCCAACTGGAGGCGTCGACCGAGGTTCAACGACCAGCATCCCGAGCGATTGTTGGAAATGCATGTCATCTCACGAAAAGGGATTACCTCGGCCGTATTCCGACGGCCCGGTAAAGCGGTTGGTGTCGCTGGGCGATGTGCCATTCGTCACCTCCAGACATGGATAAGAGGAAGGGGTGTGGGGTTGCTGAACGTAGATAGTAACTCGTCCTCGCCGCTTGTTGGTAGATGGCCCTGACATAAGAGGGCGATGTTGTCTGGAAATTCGTCTGCACTGGATTGGGATTATTAATTTTAGGTTCGGTACTCCTTCTTAGCTCGATACTGAATAGGCCGTACTCCTATGAGCAATCCGCGCAAGCCTCGTTCATTCCAGGCTCATTGAAAAAGAATTCCAAGTACCTGTGAGCCTTACAAATCACGTAGTCTTTCAAAGCAACCGGGTGTCATGTCTTAGTACTCATACCCCAGCGGTCTGTCGGGTTGGACGGATTTTATCCCGAAGTCGTTGGCTCACTCGCTCCTTGTGCCTCAAAACGAAGCTGTCGACAGCTGCAATCTGATCCATGATGCATATATGATCACACGGTCTTAGGTCCAATGAGCCAAGATGGTCTGTACGCCTCTCGAGTTTGCTTTGCGCTTGCGCCGACAGCCCTGCTTGGAGGATGGTGGCCATGGGCTCAGCTTGCGGACGTGGCTGGGCTGGTGGCATGGGTTGAGCACATGAGAGCCGGTTGGGCTGCATTGTAGACCCGCCAAATGCCGGCATCTGCTTCAAGGCCGGACCATGCGTTCCTAGACTCCGGGGACAATTCACGGGGCGCTACGGCGCCGTTCTCCATCTCTTGGCATGTCACCACGTCCGCGGATGAGTAGATAATGATCCATCCTTTGAATCCTCGAGACAGCCGATTCAGAACGTGGCCAAGACATATCACCACCGGTCAGGAAACGCATTTCTGGGCATCATGCCATGCATTCGGTCATGAGGAGTATCGGCTTACAACTCCGCAGCCGAAGGGATTGAGGGCCACGGGACAGGACGAAGGACGGAATCTCGACCCGACGAAAGAGAACATGACAGTGCTGTGACCCAACGGCATGTTCGTGGCGATGGCGATTCGACCAAAGTAAGCACTTCAATCCAGCACACGATGTTGGCGCCAGCTGATCTAGAGAAAAAGTTATTGGCGCGGTGATGCCCTTTAGAGGCAACGAGCCACGTGATCAGACACAGGCCATGACGTACTTGTCCCACGCTTTGGATGCCATCCAATACCGTCAACCCCCAATCAGTGCCTTTCTTTGCTTTTGCAATGTCGAGCGCATGCGGTTGGATTCCACTAAAGACGGCTCACAACCACTGCAAGACTGTGGTCACAAGCTGGGTTGCTTCTTTGGGCGCAGACGCCGCAGAGACTACGTACCCCACACATCCGTTCGACCATTTGACTGGCGTTTTGTCGCCAGGACCAACTCCAGGTGAACCTCGGCTGTTTAGGTCAATACATCGCGAGACGGGCCACGAAACAAACCGGATGAGTCGAATTCCCGTGCAGTCGTCCACGTTCTAGGAGTCGTGTCGCATCAGGCGACGACTCGCAAAGCGGCAAGCCGAAAGCCGTTCTCGCACAACTCCAAGACGGTGCAACGCTTGAAGACGGAGCTGAGCGGCGACTGAAGGCGTCCGCGTTCCTCCGAGTGGGGCCTGATCTTTGACGCACGCGGGGAATTACCTAAGGCTCGTCGCTCACAAGTCGCAGCCGTCAGGTTTAACATCCTAGCACAATTTCTCTCACGAGACCAAGACCAGGACCAGGACCAGGACCGAGACCGAGTCTGAGTCTGTCTGAGCCGGAGAGACGCCCGTGGCCAAACATGTCGTCGGTCAAGGCCACCAAGAAGAGCGCCTTCTCGTGCGAGCCGTGCCGCAGACGCAAGGTGGATCCATCCTCGCCGTGCTCTGCGCTGCTCCCTTGTACCGTTGCTGACTCGCTTCCAGGTCAAGTGTGGTGGTGAGCAGCCCATTTGTAACCGGTGTTCTGCGAGAAAGGACGATTGTGTATACAAACTGTACGACTCCCGCTGGCCTTGTATCAGGCCGCTGTTCATGCTCGTGATGATACTCGCGTGCCCTGCCCGTCTCCCACCAAATTACTCACACGCCACAGCAACCCAACTCTGTCCTACACCCAACGCCTCGAGGAGCGTATCAAGGAGCTCGAGGACCAGCTCGCTTCCGCCAAGTCTGCCCCTCCGTCTATTGCCGCCTCGAATCACTCCAGCCCCGGCGTCTTCAATGGAGACTCGGCCAGCCACAATCGCAACAGCGCCCATGCCGATGACCATGGCATGACAAGGAGCTTTATGGGCCTCAAAATTGACGACAAAGGTGGCATTACATACCATGGCCCGACCAGTCTATTCCATCTCCCCAGTGACCGGGACACGACCCAAAATGACTTGCTCTGTTCCGTTGACACGGACGCTCATCGAAGGGAGCGGCTCGTCACCAACGCATGGCATCAGCGCGCAATGGAAAACCTCTCCGACATCCCAGTATGCTCTCTTTGCATGACTCCCGTATATGCTAGCTTACCAAGTACCGCAGGAACCATTTCAATACCTTCTGAATGTGCATTGGTGCTGGATCCAGCCTCTGTTCAATTTCATTTACAGACCTGCTTTCACCCGTATGCTTTCCTCAGTTGTACATCTGAAGCCGCTGAAGATCTAACTTGATATAGGCGACATGCAATCGATGGGCCCTTACTACTCGCACACACTTCTAAATGCAATCTTGTCACACTCCATCCGCTGGGGCAAGAGTGATCCCTCGACAAAACGGCTGCTGGATCAGTCCTACGATGGCGGTGCCGTATTCGCGAAGCATGCCCGTAGTATGCTGTTCGATGAATTGAACCGAGGTGTTAGCACTATTCCGACAGTTCAGACACTTCTCCTCCTCAGTGCTCAAGAATGTGGCCATGGAAACACCACACAGGCGTGGGTGTACAGTGGCCTGGCGTTCCGCCTTATTGACCATCTGGGAATTTGCGTGGACGGTCAGAGATACCCTGGTTCGGTTCACTTTTCCGACGAGGAGGTCGAGATTCGCCATCGCATCTTTTGGAGCTGCTACTTCTGGGACAAGATGATTAGTCTGTACCTTGGCCGCTCCCCATCCCTACAGCACTCATTTGTTTCTCCTCCCCAAATCATGTGTAAGTCCCAGTCCCAAACACCGGCTTCCCCTGCTGACAATCTCCAGTGGATGATTCTGCCGAGAATGAACTTTGGGTTCCATTTGATTCGCTTCATGGCGGGGATTGGAAGTATCCTCCCGCTACCGCACATTCGACATCCTGCTTCATGAGCACGTGTCGGCTGTCGGTTATTTTCAACGAAATTCTCATCCATATGTACGACCCATTGATGCAGAATACTGATGCCGAGATGCAAGAATGCCTGCAGTACCAAGATCCAGCCCTGAGACTGTGGTGGGATCAACTACCCCCTCACCTGAAAATTGATCCTCTTGCTCTGCCGGCCCTAGCACCGCCTTCGCATATTGTTACCATGAAGTAGGCACCACGTCCCACTCCTCAGTTTTGTAAACGGACGGCTAACTTATTGGACAGCGCGCTGTACCATACGTTTAGAATCCTCTTGTTCAGGCCTATGCTTTCTCGTCAAATACACCCTGAAGATGATGGGCCGCACCCGATTCAGAATCATCTTGTGGAATGTGTCACGTCAGCCACGTCCATCATCGCTATTTTCGACCTCTTCTGCAGGACATTCACAATCAATCATTGTGTCCTGTCTCTGTCGTACAGCCTTTACATTGCGGCGACCATTTTCCTCTTGCAGGTGCAGGCATCTCCAGAGGATCAACAAGCACTTCGCAAGTTGAGCTTTTGTATTCAAGCATTGAATCAGGCAAAATTCGTCAACCCAGGTAAGCTGCTTGGAATTGGAGAAGAGCCCAAAGTGCTAACGGAGCGCTAGTCATCTCAAGTGCTCTGTCTCTCATTACAAGAGAAGTGACTAGCCTTGGAATTAATCTAGGTGGCGTCAGTCAACAACAACAGCAGCAGCAGCAACAGCCGACACCAACAACTCCAACTGTGTCTCCCGATGTGCCCCTTTCCGAGTCCATATTCCAAACACCACTCGATGTACCCCTTCAGCAGCCACAGTACTCGCCAGGGCAGCTTTTTCAGACCCCATGGGCTGACAACCTTGACCCCAACTCTATGAATGTAGACCGTGGTGTCTTCGAAGCCTTGTCATCCTTTCAACCTCTTAGCGTTCGTGTTGGTGCTATCCACGAATCTGACAACCAAGCACCTTTTGGATAAAGGGATGTCTTTTGTCCCCGGCGGAACAAACACTCGCCATCCAGCTCGGATTTGGTCACTGCCTTGTTGGCGCTCACAGCAGGGTTCCCTCGAGCCTGCATCATCATTCGCCTCGACTAACAAAAAAATCCGACAATCAGTAACCTCGTGGGTGCTGGGGGGTTGCTACCCCTAAAACGATCAAGTCGGAAACTGAACCAACTTGCTCCTAGCCATGAGGGGATGTCACGGATTACGCCGTGTTCGGTGGTATGTTCGCAGCTAAGGAGCCTGCTACTGATGCCAGGCGAGAAACAATAGGCCAAAATCAGCCATGGCAACCTTACATAAGTTGTCGGAGGATGTAGATGTGGTGAAGGTAACGTAATGCGCCCTAGTTCTTACAGGCAATTGATACAAGCTCTTCCGCCGACATTCAACCCCTCTATTCTGACGACAACCCCAGTCATCTTCACGGGAACCCTCCGAATCTGTGGGATATTTGCCAGCCTGGAGCTTTACCCTTACGCTGCAATATGAAAGCTGCGGTCTTTCCGTGTGGATTGCACTGGGACGCTGGCGGCCAGGCAATATTCGGTGGAGAGCAAAGATCTGGCCCTGTGGGTTCGTCGAGGGCAAATTCGGATAATCCCAGAACACCGGTCGAAGCTACGATTGTCCGAACCTGTCCATCGCATCATGCCCTATAGTGCAAGAAATGGGACGGGGTGTTACTACTCAATCATGGGGTTCTGCTGGACTGCTTGGGGGCGGACTTGGGAACATGGAGACGCATTCAGAAGCGGCAACAAACAAATCAAAAGATTACTTCACCATGTGCGCGTTGAACACCAGGCAGTCATCTGTGCTATACAATGTTCGATAGTATAAATGAAACAAATAAACCCCGCCACGCATCAAAAGGCGTTCGAAAAGAGCCAGGCAGCTGCAATGGCGACGAGATGCAGACATAAACCCGCAACAGCCGACTTAGATTCGTAAGGGGTGGGAGAATTTCGACTTGTCACACGTACTCCACATTGCTAGCGGGGTATCATAATGATCGCTCTGATTAGGACTTGACATCGATAAAACCGTCCTGTTAAACCTGAAGAGAGTGAGCAATGCATGTGGATACGGCCAGACATTCACTCTCATAGCAACAATTCCGTTAGTCTTCGGCGCGGCTAGGTTAATCCTACCATTAAGAAAGATGCATGAGTGAGTCTAGATCCACCACTATTGTGTCATGGCCACTGCTGATGAGCCAGTAAAGTGATTCTAATGAGTGACAAGTTACACTATTGGTGTCATCTAAAGCTATAATAGGAGAGCTACCCCTCTTGTCGCATGTAGCTTTTTCAGTGGCGCCCTGAAAGTATCGACACAGAACTAAGCGCGTGACTTTAGCAGGAATAAAATGAGTAAAAGTCCGGGTATCGGCCTTCATGTAGAGCAATTGTCGGAATCGATGGTTATACCACGGAGATTACGAGTTATGGAAATAAGAACAGAATTTTGAGGACACGACATGTATGAAGAAGAAGTTGTGGGGAATGAATATAGGTAGAAACCAGGCGAGAAAGCTGTTGGCCGCGTCGATGAACGGAGCCATTTTGTATCCGAATATGATACCACCACGCTCATTAGGGCGAGAAAGGCTTAAGCTCAAACTGAAACTCTGGTTTGATCCGCTGCGTAACTCGGATATCTGTGTTCTTGACAGATCCGATCGGATTCCTATCGGGGATTCTAGCTCCCCCAGTTAACCATGTGAGGTCCCCGAAGCTGCTTCAATCGCCGGATCCAAGCTTCAGATGACAAATTGGTCAACTTGAGACACCGGATACTCCGGGGGCGAATTTGTTCTAACGAGATTCTCTACAAGGGTCAAGCATTGCTCATGAGGTTGCTTTTGGGAAACTCAAAATTTTGTTCCAACGATAACATGAGATAATGGGCGCAGTCTCCCTTGGCATTATTTCGGATTGAATCGCGACTGATACGACAAGAACATTAACCTTCTAGACTTGGGATTCCCAAAGGGGCAGGTTGCTTGATATCATTCTCCAGAAATAGATGTATGATGGCTATAAAACAAAGAGTTAGTCATCGCAAAGAGATATGGGATAACCCAATTCACGCTTACAACACATCTTGATTATTCTATCTCTACCACTGCTCTCGAGTCAGTGCTCTCTTTGAAAGATGAAGTTTACACTTGTCTTTGGCATTCATGCCTTTCTTCTTGTATCCGACGTATTAGCCTCGCCCATTCCACAGGAAGAAGACATATGCACCGCCGAGCCACTGACTTCGGATACATGGTAAAAGCTAGGAATGGAAAAATGGCTGACCGACTGGGCTACGAGCGAGCTTGCTGATAACCCTATCGACGGAGTACAGAACTTTGCTAGTTCTGTTGGGGCCCCAAATTTCTTCTGGTACGCTTCTGCTGTATCGTCTGCATATTATCACGTTGAGTTAATAATGTTTCTTCTAGTGGGCTTAACAGTTTCTGCAATGCTGGCCAGGCTTGCTTTCCCATTGACCTGCCCGCTTGGTATGTTATGTCCCACAATCATTCCCCTCTGTTCGTCTTGCGGCTACAGACTTAACACACGCAACATAGGTATGCCTTGCTATCGGTGCAGAATTGGAACACCTATATGAATACGCTCTATAATGCTGTCTCTTTGGCGGGCAATATCATCACCTTGACCCTTCCAGGAATCGTGACTGGTGTCTACCCCGATTCGAAAGATGATGTTACGGTTTTGAAGCTCTTTACACGAGTCTTTGGTGGCACTCTCGGCACCATTCCGTTCACGGAAGCCCTTGGTGGCGCTGCAACAGTGGCTTCGGGGACTACTATGCTCGTATCCGGCAGTCTGATTCCTCCCGAGCCCGAGGACAGATTTCTTGCTTGGACCAACGGCACCAGTTCCATGGGAATCTTGGTTCAGTCTTTGCAAAGCAGCATCTCATCCTCATTCCAGGATATCATCGAGGCTCAGGCAAGCGCTGCAAACGGAATCGTGCCTCTTGTTAGTGATGGTAAATTCCTGGGCACAAGCCAGAACGTCACGCAGGCAGAAATGCAAGAACAAGCGGTCAAGTCTCTGGAGCTCTACGCCATGGGACTTGCGCTTCAAGCCCAACGGGCCTTTGTCTTTCGAAACCAGCTTTAGAGAGAAGACATCGGGTGCAGGGAAGCCGGGCGGGAGACAGCGTGCGTGCAGGAAGAGGATGGCCAATGGAGAAGCTACTCCCTCGTGACGGCCGGAAAACGGCGACGAGGTCACGACCATGGAGGATGTTGCAGCAACGATGCAGGACAAGTACGGCATGACGAAGCAGCAGATGTTCAAGGATGTTTCTGATTGCTTCGACGATGCTGGCGGGGTGCAGTTGGTGTACCCTTTTGGCGATTTTCTCCGGCTCGACTCATCGCAGCAGTGCATCTTCCATCTCCAGGTCTGTACCAATATGTTGGTGGATGACCAGAGCATCATGGAGCAATGCAAGGATTAGGGGCTCAGTCTGTGAGACGAAGGAGTTAAGTTGGTCGACTGCTATTAGGAGTCGAGTCTTTTATCTATATTTCCATTCTTATTTTCTGTTCTTATAGACTTGGTGTGGCTCTCTGTACGCATTGTTGAGACGATTTAGTAGAATAGTTTTAGAAAACCTCCAGGCTGGCCTTGTACCTAGACAGCTCCCCGATCCAGTTTGCTCATGGCAACTCACTTTCTAAATGGTGAAAAAGTAGTAACAGGCCCACTCAGTCCTTCGCAACATCCCACAGATCCTCGGCGTTGCCCCTGAAGAGTCTCTCGAGGAGCACGTCGTCGTCGGCGCACCAATCCAGCACTGTCTCCATCCACGGGCGAATGTCGAGTCCCTCGAAGCGCGTGTGCGGCCAATCTGTTGCAAAGACGATGCGAGTCTTTCCAAACAACTTCAGCAGTTCCTTTGAGATCGGTTCGAGGTCGCCGTAGCCTGGAACCTGGCTGATGCGATAAGGCGCAGAGAGCTTGAGGTACGTATGGCCGTCCTGCAGAAGGCGCACGAGAGAAGAGAAGCCAGCGATGTCGTAGGGGTTGGAGCCGGAGTGGTCCTTGAGGATTGGGTGGCCGATATGGTCGATGCAGAAGCGCACGTTGAGGGTTGGGACGATGGGCTCGAGAAGGGGGATAAGAGGCATGGAGATGTAGACTTGGACGACCCAACCGAGGTCTCTCACGGCGTCGGCGTACTGGTGCAGTAGAATCGACAGTTCTTGGGCATCAACTTCGCGTCCATTCGACTGAATGTTGAGTCGGACGCCGCGGACGCCCAGTTCATGCCATTCCTTGAGTAGTGCTGGCGATGTCGTGGCGGGATCAAACTGCACGACGCCGCGTCCACGCTGGGGGCCGAGCTCACCCAGGGCATCCAGCATGCATGCGTTGTCGACGCCATAAATAGACGGCTGCACGATGACAATGTTGCCAATGCCGACCGAGGCCTCGAAGGTGAGCGCCTGGGCGAGGGTGAAGGTGCTGGGCTGGTAGGCCGCATCGGGGTCCAGGGCGTAGTTTATCGGGTCGATGATGTGCATGTGCGAGTCCCATGCGCCGGCGGGGATGCGCGCGGCGAGGCCGGAGTGAGGCTCCTGATGGGCCATTTTCACTGCTGTTACATGATATTGCCGGAGGTGATGTCGATCGGCGGTGGTGGGCAGTGGGTTTTGTAGGTGCTGAGTTAATCGAATTTGGACGGGGTGGAGATGGAGATGGAGGATGCCTCGGATGTGATTCACCGAGGGCCGCCGGGGCGGTTTAGGAGCGCCAGCAGAAGACATCCAACAGATCCGTGCAGGAGAGCTCGGTGAATCAGGACATGGTGGAAGTCGGCGTCTAGGGTTCCATTTCTAGGGTTCTGTCAGCTGCATGATACCGAGTTAAGGTCAGTCTGAAAGTCAACGCCAATGGGATTAACACGGAACTTGTCCGAAATACAACATATAAGTGGGATGACGGGTGATGTTGTGATGCTCCAATAAGTATTACCAGCCATTACTTTAGTTTTCAGATACAATCTGCTCAATTGGCTGGGTAATTATTCTACGTCATCCATGCGTGCATACAAGGCAGCCGATCTTCCAATCTGGTCTCCCTTCACCATGCCCGTCATCTGACATATACAACATGTAGCCGTTTGGTGATATGCGCACGAACACGAAATTATTGATGACGAAATACAAAATGGTTTACTTTTAATATTATCGGTGCCCTTTAACGACACGGCCTTGTTTGTTAGTGTCACGCTCAATTGAATGGGTTTGCCAACACCGCCGTGGCGACAAAATACCTATACACCCTTCTGAATGCTCCTCACAATACTATAACTAGAAATTCTCCATAAATTTATTAAATCCTTGTAAACTAGATCTCGAAAATCCTCACCCCGGAACAGTTTATGCTGCACAAAGGTGGGCTTACATCCTCACCCGGGCCGTAGCGCCTTTAGCTGACGGATGGCTTATACCAAGCTCAGTGAAACGTCTCCAACTACACCAAGCTCCTTGGAAAGTCGAGGTGGAATCATTCATATTTGAGAGATCTAGGGCCATCCATCCAGTGACAAGACCAGCGCAGTCCAAGGCTGATCTTGCATTCCCGTTATTTGTCACGTTGGTCATTTGAACTGGTGCGCCTCAAGTTTCAAGGATGCTAAATAAATAGCAAGCGATCGATGGAAGCGCTCAGCCACACAGCACGACCCCTAATTTCTACGTCACGTTCCCCAAGCCTCGTTGATTCCAAATTCCCCCATAACTCCCTCCGCAGTCTGTAAATTCATACCCCCACCTTGCAGCCGGACAATTGATTCCAAAGACCTACAGAACCATCCACCAATCGCGAATAGCGCCTCCCAATGGAAGCCCGCCCCCCGCTGAACCACAGCCGAATGTGGCAATTCCCCTCCCCCCCAGGTACCTTTTTTCCAATCGTCATCAGTACCATCGGTGACGCAGCGAACTCTCGGGATTTGTCACGTCCGGCTTCCGACAGAGCTTCGAAACCTATCCTCCCTCACCGCAGAAGCGCAGCTGAGCTGCCTTGCTGGCTATAACTGCTTCCTCGTCCCCTTAGAAGCGTTTAAGCACATCACACACTTGCTCGAAGCAGATCGCAATCGCTTCATCGAGAACCCAGCAATCACCCCGCTTCCCCGGCATCCGATCTCCGTCGCAACATCAATACTGCCTTCGAGCCCACTCAAGAAACCACCACTACAACACCAAAAACTCGTCGCCAAAAATGCCATTCTCGCTCCCTCCGTTCATCGCCCGCCTCGTGCGCCCGTCCACGCAATCCGCCATGTTCTCCATCGCCCCCGACGCCGCCGCCTCCTCCCCCCCCGCCGTCCCCGCCAACGCGCAGCTCTGCACCGTCGCGGCCGGCTGCTTCTGGGGCACCGAGCACCTCTACCGCAAGCACTTTGCCAACAAGGGCCTCATCGACGCAAAGGTCGGCTACATCGGCGGCGACCTGGAGAACCCGGCCTACCGCGCCGTGTGCGGCGGAAAGACTGGTCGTACGTCCTCCTGTTTTCGTCCTATTTTCCTGCCTGGGGAGTGTGATCTTGACCAACTAACACTTTGTCGCAGATGCTGAAGCCGCGCAAATCATCTTCGATCCAGCCCAAGTTTCCTACCGCCAGCTCCTCGAGTTCTTCTACAAGATGCACGACCCCACAACCCTCAACAAGCAGGGCCCCGACACTGGCTCGCAGTACCGCTCTGCCATTTACTTCCACAACGAGGAGCAGGAGAAGATTGCGCGCGAGGTCACTGCCAAGGTCAACGCCCAGTGGTGGAAAAACGGTGTCGTCACCGAGGTTGCGCCCGCCGGCAAGTGGTGGACCGCTGAGGAGTATCACCAGCTGTACCTCGACAACAACCCCATGGGCTATGAGTGCCCTAGCCACTTCTTGAGGCCGTTCCCCCCGCTGGAGTGATGGTGGACCTGAGGTTGTGTAAAAGAAGGAAATGGATAATTAGACAATACGGACAATGTCAATGATGTAAATATCGACGTGCAATGATGGCAAGCTTGGAGCATTGGCAAGTCGCAGTCAGCTATGAATACAAGGGGGTCAGTATAGCATTCACGCTTTAAGTGGTCAAATCATGATGGCAATAATGGATGAGTATTGCTATTCGCATACACTCAAAATACAACTCGCACACTTAAATATATAGACTAATTTCACCAAGAAGTCTCAATAATATACCTAAACCTAAGAAAATTAAATAAGTTTTATTTTTAAGTATTTATCCTCTAAGTTCTACTTTTTAAATTTTATCTTTTAATTTATTTTAGAGTAGAAACTGGAGACTCTTTAAAATAAGATACCTTAAGGCGGGCGCGCAGTCCAGGCATATCTTAGACTATCTAAGTTTAGTATAAAAGCTTGTATTTGTATGCGATTTGTATTTTGAATGTGTGCGAATAGCAATACTCTAATAGATATGTTTTTAGAAGTTCTTCTTTTTTTGGTATATCCCTATCTGCTACAAAATGTGGGCGCATCGCCAGCAGGCATTGGCCAAACCAAGGAGAGGAGTTTCATTAGCCTCTTCAAACACTATTCATTTCGCCAAATAATACACGCGTTCTTCGCGATCTACTACAAATGACCATTCGCTTCCATTTACTTTCGTCGGTTTTGCTGCATCATCAGGATCTGTACCATCCGGATGAAGATGTTGAGGAAATCGAGCTCCAGCGAGATACTCTCGTTGACGGGGTCACGGCGCATAACACCGGCCTGGGCCAGGCGGGCGTGGGACAGCACCTTCTGGACATCGTACAGGGTGAAGCCGCCAAAGACGGCGAGACCACCGTACAGCCAGAGGTTCTCAGTGAAGGCCAGAGTTCGGACGGCAGTGGCGGGGATGAGGAGGGGAGCAAGACCAGAAGCGGCGACGATGGCAGCACCGGCCAGGAGAGGACCACCGATGTACAGGTACTTCTCCTGCTTAGCAGTGGCGCCGACAATAGCCAGACCACCCATCATGGCAAAGGTGTAGAGACCGGCACGGGCGAGGAGGGCACCGGGGACGAAGGCGAGAAGAGGGGCGACGAAGGCAGCCTGGGTGGCGTTGAAAGCGGTCCAGAGGGCGTACTTGGGGATGTAGCTGTCAATTGTTAGCATATGTTGATTTTGCGTCATTGAATCGCATTCGGGACTCACTTGTCAGGGGCGATGGATCGAGTGCCAATCATGGTCGCAAAGCTGAGCGCAAGACCACCAATGCCAACAACCCAAGGGTTGGTCACCATCAATCGGTACACGAAGCCGGTCTGGACCATCTGGCGGGCCGTCAAGCCAATGATTCCGATTCCCAAACCGGTGTGCAGGAAGGTGTTGTTCAGGTACTCGCGCTCGTAGATGGGCATGCCGCCATCCTCACGGGTCTCGCGGTTGAAGACGGCATTGATGGCGACGAGGGTACCGCCGAAGATGGCGCCGCCCACGAGCAGCTTGCGGGTGGTGGTCGAGCTGGCGGCGGCGGCCTGCTGCTGCCGCGCCGTCTCCTGGTAGTACGAGCGGGCGCCGGAGCCGCTGAATCGGTGGAAGGCGCTGCGCGTGGTGGCCGACGAGATGCGCGAGGAGAAGAAGCCCGGTGTCGGCTTGGCCGGGGTGTGGAAGTTTCGGACGGGCGCGGCGGATCGCAGGGCCGTCTTGGAGAGCTCGGGCAGCCGCTGCGCGAGGCGCGCGGGCCCCTGGCGGATGGTGAGCGTAAACGACATAGTCGAGAGCAACGCTGCAGAGGGGGTCGTTGTGTGGTTGCGAGGTTGACAAAGGAAACGCTTGTGCGGGGGACGAGAAGAAGGACGGCGGACCGGGTATATTATGTGCACAGAATCCCGAGGCGGCGAGCATGACGTTGGTTCGGGCGGTGGAGCGTCGCTAAGTCCGCCGTCACGTGTTGGAACTTGGTGGAATTTTCCGGCGTCTCTTGGTGACTCAGTTGGTCAGCGGATGCTGTGCGCCCCGGAAGCAGTCTCCAAACTCCAGCGGATCGCACTCGGACTTAACTATGGCAGCCGAAACCATCCCGGAGCAGCGACGAGAACCCAGCAACTGCTAATAATAATTACGCACGAAATCCTTCTACGCCCTTCTCTCAATAGATTCTTCGGTTCAACATTACTATGTGCGCTATTATGGTTCAGCTTCCGCTGCAGCTTCATCGGGGTATCTTGTCATGGATGTCATGTATGTATCCCTTCCTCTCTACGGTGCACCTGCACACCACCCACAAAAGATGAATCAACCAACCATTCATGTTCCTGCTCGCTATTCACACAAAGCCCCAACATGAATCCCATCAAAGCAAAGCAGTGTTCTCCATCACTTGTGACGCCGGTGTTGTATAGTCCCCATGCTCTCATGCACCTCCCACAAAGACTCCGGCCTCCTGAAAATGTGCCTGCAACATTACTCCCTCGTATCATCGCAACCCACCAACTCCTTTCTCAATCACAAATCTTACCGGCCGTCTGGCCCTCCTCATTCGCAGCCCAAAGGCAGACCGTGGCATGAATCTCTGCGTCGTCAACATGGCGACGCTCATCGTCTTAGGCACCCGAGCTTCTTCCTCGAATGCTTCAGTAAGCGGCACACCCTCCTCTGAACTCTCGCTGGACACGCTCTCAGCTGGGGGGTTGCCGGCTCGATCATCGAACCCATAGTTTGCAACGCCTCCTCCTCGCAGCCACCCCTCCAAATTGCGGCATTGGCTCACATCGATCCAATTGAGTCGTCCACAACCATTCAGAACATTCTCCACGCCTCTGCCTGTGACCCGGACACAACCGCGGACGCTGAGAGCCTCCAAATCATTCAGGTGAAGCGCTACGCTTTCCAAACTTCCGTCGCTTACCGCGCTTCCGCAAAATGCTAGGCGCAGTTCCCGGAGTTTAGGGAGGCGAAGAGCCACAACCTCTGTGGCTGTGTCAGAAAGAGCGCAGCAGAATGATAGGTCGAGGTGCGTCAGATTCTTTGCCGAGTTGACCAAAGCCACCACTGCGTTGTCCGACAGGTACGTGCAGTCCGCGAGACAAAGCCGAGAAAGTTTCTCGAATCGAAAGGGGGCCCATGACTGGAAACCAGCGTCTGTGATCGATGTACACCGAGTGAGTTGAAGGGATTCTATGCGGTTCGATGCATGGGCGGCGAGGTGAGCCATTGATCTGTCTGTGATATGTTTACAGTAAGAGAGATTCAGGCGCTTTAGCTTGGGGCATCCAATGACTGTTCCTGGAGGGGGCATGTTCTGCGCCCTCTGCTGCTGCTGCTGCTGTTGCTGTTGCTGTTGCTGCTGGGCCTTGCTCTTGGACCTAGTGGTTGAGCTCGAGATAACAACCTGTTTGTTTGCTGGTGCCGGATCGGGTACAACCCACCCAACCACACGGCCAAGTAGGTTATCCCCTACCTTGCGGCAATTGCTCCAGTCTACCTCCTCAAGATCCTTGGCGGTCTCGCTCATCTCTAGGATCTGATTGGCGGAAACGTCCCAGACTGACTTCATCTTCCAATGGGTGACATTTTTACCACATTTGCGCCATAGGGCCGCGAATCCCACATCCGTAATGTGGAAACAGTTGCTAAGGTCTATCGTCCGCGCACGAGTTCCCACAAAGGGAGCAAGAACTTTGATGATGATCTCATCGGTGATTGTGCGGTTGTAAATTGCTAGGTTGACGTACTGGCAGACCTTTGGGGATGTGGTAAGAATTTTGCGCCAGTGAGAGCTGACGAGGCGTAAGCGAAAAAGCTCTCCAATATCGGCGTGCTTGAAAATGTAGGTCAGAATCTCGTCGGAGAGAACAGGCTTGCTCAGGCTAAGTGGTCGCCGAGGCAAAACCTTAACTCGCTTGGCCGGGAGGTCTTCCGGGTCATCTGGCGGGGGAGACTGGGAGAAGGCGAACTTGATGGGCGTTATCTCTGCTAAACGAGATCTCACTCCGTTCGTCGTCGATACTGAGCCTTCGGTCTGGGGAGTTGGTGGAGCCAACGAATGACGTCGACGGTTCCTGAGGTTCTCCATGTTGACACTCAAGAACGGGTCCGGGTCCTTGGGCTCCATGTTGCCTCCTGAATCCTCCTTGACTGGGGAGCTAGGTTTTGATGGAGTAGAGAAGGTGAGACCAGGTAATGAGCCTCGTGTCGGTGTCGTCGGGGTCGGAGGATCGGATTTATTCGCCTTCGCCTTTCCCTCTACATCCATCATGTCGATATCGTCGTTTTGTGTTTGCAATCGCAGGCGCGCCGTCTCCTCAACCTGAGACTTGATATCCGGTGGGCACCGTCTCCACAACTCGTCGAGAACACTGCCAGTAATCATGAGGCACTCGACCGTGGTGATAGATCTCACTGTGGCGGTTCGGCCGCGAGAGAGTCCCAAGCTCGCCACTTCTCCAAAATATTGGCCTGCTTTCAGCCGTGGTCTCCTCTGAATCGATCCGCTCACGGCCTGAATTGGCTCATCGTGAATGACTTCTGCTTCGCCCCGGACGATGAAGAAAATTTCGTTTCCGGGAAGACCCTGACGGACAATGTCTGTGAAAGGGGTGTATGTCCTGGGCTGAACACTCAAGCCAAGGAAATGTAGGATATCTACAGGGAGCGTGGAAAAGAGAGGGAGTTCTTTCAAAGTCTTGCGGATGTTCACCAATCCGCTTCCCAAAGCGCTGCCGGCTGCGGGATCTTCGATAATGCCAGGGCTAGGGGACTTTCTCTTCTTTGAGTTGATGACTGCGCCATCCTTGATGACGCCCGTCTCTCCTGTCGACACCTCGCCGGGGGCGACTTCTCGGGTCACATAATCCATTTTAGGAGACATGAGCAGCTTGCCTCCTTCTTGGCGTCGTTTCTTGAGGACGTTTAGACGTTCTTGCGCCTCTTCACGGATCGCCTTCTCCATATCGGGGAATGCAGGCATCACGGCCTGCAAATCCTCCTTCTTCAACACGAGGAGCAAACACTTTGTCCGGGCAATGATGGTGGCTGTTCGTGGCATTTGCATAAGAACGCCAATTTCGCCGAAGAAGGCACCAGGTTTCAGCTCCGCATAAACGGCCTCGCCATCGCGAGACGTGACGGCGACGACGCCGCGAACCAGCCAGTACATGGCCTTTGCGTCATCGCCCTCGGTGACGATGTGGTCATTTGCACCATGAACCTGGGGCTTCAGGTTGTTTCCGATGGCAATAAGGAAAGCCTCGGGAGCGGACATGAAAAGGGGAAACGATCTCATGCGATCAACCAGATCCAAGGGCATGTCTCTGATGGTAGAAGCCGTGAGCGGCGATGGCCGCACGGGCCGTGTCGGGTTGTTTTCGACATTAAAAGATCGAATAAGTGAGACGGAATCGGACGAAGTGCCAGCACCCGCGGCTTGTTGATGATGGGCCAGCGCCCGATAGGGCGAGGGCGAGCTCGGAGAGCGGCCCCGCCTCATGGTCACAGGCCGTGGAAAGGCTGAGGTTCCTGAGCGCCGACGTTGATGCGCCAGCAGCAAGGCGGGATATTGCCTCCCTCCAGCAAGCTGTCAGCCGCAGCTGCACCAAAACGCCGGGGATGGCGTCCTTGTCTCTCAGGTCAACCCTCGTCAATGGGTTCTAGAAGGCGCGCAGGCGAGCGAACAGGTACAGAATAGAGCGGGGACGGGTCATGCTCTGTTCGGCGGGATTGGGGGCGGGAACGCCCACGCTGGGACAGCCAGGCCACTATCTCAAGGTGGGAGACGGTATCTAGGACACGCAGTAGTGGGCAGCGTTCACAGACAACCCAAGGACGGTTGTTGCGATAGTTGAAGGGCAGCTCCGGGGCTGGTGGCCGCAACGTGGGAGGGACGTCGATGGGCTGGCAGCTATCAGGCTTGCAGGTTGGACCAGATGCCAGGCCGGGGTGGGCGGCTTTGTCGTCGCACACGGAGGCTTTGTCGGGATCGCGTGAGCGTAGAGGTCGGTCGTGCGAGGGCGGTTGCGCGAGGGTGTCACGGGCGGACTTTTCGAGCCTGTGAGCGAGCGCGGTCGGCGACAAAGGCGGGAGGAAAGACGGTGGGAGGCTTACCAAGAGCCAAGGCGGGAGCCGGACGCAAGCAGAAGATGCGATTGCAGCAAACGGGGGGTTGTCGATGGAAACAGCGAACGGCAGGCGACGGGGTCCGGAAGGGATTCGCGGGGGGGTTGCGACGAGAGAACAGTTGATTTGTACTGAAGCTGCGGAAGCTGACGACCGGTTGAGGAAGCGTCAGGATTCCGAAAGGAAGAGAGATAGCTGGTTAGCTGGATCCGTAAAGGAAAAGATTCCAGTCGCGGAGAAGCGTCGACCGCCACACACGCCCACAAGACACAGCACACAGAACCCGCAACCCACAAGCCGCCCGCCCAGCTCCCAGCTCTCAGCGCTCAGCGCTCACACGCCCAAAGCAACCGGGAAAGCAAGCTCGATGTGGGGTAACGCTTTTTTTTAGGTGGGCGGGCAGTGCCGTCACAAACAGCAGCAAGGGTCAGCAGGGGAGGGGGCGGCAAAGGGCTAAGGCGACATAGTACCTAATGTACCTAGGTAGTAGTGTAGTAGAGTAGTGGTGTAGTAGTGTAGGTAGTAGTGCTAGGTACGGGCAGCGACAGTCGGCGAACGGCAGCGGGCCTTGATGACGATGATGGAGATGGACGGTGGAGCTCCGAGCGCACACAGCGAGCCGATGGAAGCAAAGCCGATGGGAGGCTCCTAAGGCGTGCTCCGATCCGTATAGCGACACAACAAGCACCAAGCACCAAGCAACAAGCGCGCACTAGAAGACGGGATCAAGGACCGGAGCCCAGCCCAGAGACACGCATCTCTCTAATCAACAACACACGACCAGATTCCCGGCGACAGCCGTCCGCTAAAAATCCAGACCCGGCGCTCTGGTGGCGTCGCAGTGACAATGGCATCGCCCAGGGCAGCGTGCGGGCGGTGCGTTGCGCGTGTCACTCGCGCGCCGCAGTGGGTGCCCGCTGTATCTGCCCGTACGGTGCCCCCTCCGTACAGCGCCCATGTGTGCCACCTACCGCATCAGTACGTGCTGCACTCACCACATACGGCCCTCGCTGCCCTGGCCACTCGCTGTTCCATCGCCGCGCCCCTGCTAGCGCCTGGAGGGCTGCTAGGGAGCGGCCCCAGGCGCAGATGACCGAGCGCGCACAGGGCACCCCGGGGTCCTGCAGGCTCTGAAGTCTCCCGGGGGGGTCAGTGCACCAACAGCCGGGGACCTCAGGCACACATCGCACACTTACGGCGCGGCCCTGGAGCTGTGAGGAGCTGGAGCCATAGGCGGCGCGCGCCCTGGAAAGCTGTCTGCTGGGCGAGCTCCACTCAGACGGGAATGGAAACGTCTCTGGTGCGACTTGGCCGCAAGGGACCCTGCCGTGCCAGCCCTGCTTCATATCCAGCAGACAATTACAGGGTCTTTTCCTGTCTCCCTCTGGCCCTGAGTGGTCGTCCTGTTCGGCTGTTGCCCCCTCCATGGCATGCGTCGGGCCTGCGTCGATCCTGATCGTCGGAGATCCGCAACCCGTTGATCAGAGACTAAGAGGAACACGCCCCCAGACCTTCTCCGGGAGAGCTTTGGTTGAGGTTGGGAAAGCATACACTCCCCCGTCCAGTTTCAAGGGGCGTCCTCTGCAGGCTTCTCGGCAATGATTTTCCACGTCGAGGTCATGTCCTGCCAGAAGTGGCTGCTGCAAGCTGCAGCTGCACGGCGCGCGCTATGCGTTAGGTCTGTTGTTGAGGAGATGGAGTCCGCCGCCCCATATCTGGAGATGAGAGTGAGACGTTTCGTCACTGCCCACTGTACTGCATCCCTGTTTCATCAACGCTCCAAGACATCATCCAAGAACGTACCTGGCATTCGCTGCGGGCCACCGAACCCGCTGGTAAGCACTGCTCGCTGGTCAGCCCCCTTTCGCAGCCCAGCTCAGCGTGTCTGGAGGTTGTCCCGAAACCCCCGGCTGCAGCGTAATTTACAGCGTAATTTACAGCGCAACTCCCTTATCCTAAACCATCTCCAACCTCCAATCAGGGACCAAGCTAACCTCATGCCTCCGTATCTTAGACACACATGCTGCATCTTGTAATTATCTCCCACCAACACCCGTCCCAAAATAAACACATCCAATCCTGAAACCTCGCCAAAAAGGTGTCATCTGCTAGATGGTGCCTCTCTCACGGACCACTCGGAGACGGAAAGACGCCATGGTCCAGGGCCAGGTCAAGCCAAGTCCACCCTGCCCCGGCCATAGAAGCCCGCTAGAAGACGCTACGTGAAATTGCCATGTCGCCTTCGACGCCCTTCCTTTTGGCTCGTTTCCTTTTTTCTTTTTTTCTTTATTTCCTTCCCCTCCAGCCGCCCTATCCCGGTCCCCGACACCAGTCAATACGACTCTATTAGTAGCAACTAACTGTCTTTGGCTCCGAGCTCGGTCCCCAGCCAAGTTACGTTACACAGCACAGACGTTCTTTTAATCTACCACTCCCACCCCCACCCCAAAGCTGATTAGATCGAGCCCGGCAGTTCGTTATCCTGACTTGTTTTTTCTGTCACTCGACGTTGCTTCTTTTCAGTTCTATTCATCTGGTGGGGGGCTTGGTGCCAAGGCCATCTGTCTCTCCTGAATCAGATTAAAGGGCGATTATGTGGAACCAGGACCAGAGGCTGGGCTAACCTGTACATTAGATTGTGTGTGGTTCAATCCCTGTGCATGTTGGCTTTGAAAGGAATAACCTGCATTGTTTCTGTTCATGCAGTGGTTCCAAAGGTTACTCAATTGATCCCAGGCCGTTGCCGAACTCGCAACGACCGGTTGTGTCTTGTCACGAGCAACAGTGTCTTCAACCTCCCTATGCACTTTGCTTCCCAAATCGCTGCGCGGACAGACATACCACAAGCACTATTAAATACCCAATCCATTAGCTCGTGCTCCAACAGCCTGAGCACCTTAGGGATGCCTCCCAGAGACAATACTGGCAGAACCTTATCACGTGTAGCCGCTTCTGGACCATCGACTCGAGCAACACAAGGTGCTGGAATGACACGTCCGTTTGGCAAGGGTGGAAGACTCTCTGAGGAAGACGCCTTCACTTTATTGCGCCCTGCTTCTACTTGCGGTCTTACTCTCAATAAAGTCAAAAATGTGAACCACAGTGTTGTCTTCATCTTTGCACAATTTTTGCTACCTTGGGGATCACTAGCTGGTCGTTGGTCTTCTCAAGTACAACCCAAATTTAGACGACAGGAACAACATTACGAGACTTATCTGCCCTGCAATCTTATCAGTGACGCTGTAAACGTGGGTTTTGGTTTAGTACATGCTGGAGTGCCCCTTAGTGATCAGAGAAGAGAAGCAAAACGCCGTTACACGTTGCTGTGAGGATAGATCGGCGTGCCACTTTTCGCCTTCTGATTCAGGGAAGGATGTTAAGGGGATAGGCATGGCTCAATCGGACAACAATCTTCGTTCCATAGATCAAGTTAAAGGAGGAGTATATGATGGCCACGAACCACTGGATGGAATGAATCAGAAAATGAAGAAATTTGATGAGATATTCCAGCATCTCAGCACGCCTCTTTAATCTTGAAAGCTTTCCTAGACTCAGCTTCACTATGGAATACAAGACCCCATTTCATCTGTATCGACAATGACATTTGGCTACCATCTTCGTCTACCGCCATCTTTGAGATCATGGCGAGAAAAGCCTGGGATTTATCAACAAATCCGGCCCTATCTAGGGAGTAATTTATCTTGAAAATGGCGAATGTGTCGAACCATGGGAAACAGTCCAGGATGAGAAGTATATTGCCACTACTGCTACTACCGCGGCTTTGCTAAGTACCACATATAACCAGTAATCCGTGTTGTGTCAGTCCAGCCAGTCCTGTCAACAGTCGCCCCTGAATCTCGGGCCTTCAAACGCGACGCAGCTCAGACTATTGCCACAATCGCTGGAACAACACAAGTAAGTCATATGTTCCCAAGAAAGAGTCAGGACGATTCAGAGTGCGTAGTTTTTTTTAAAAAAAAAAAAAATAACCCCCATGAAATATCTCCTAATGTCAGACAGGAAGCCATCAAATAACAGGATGGGGACATTACGCCAACTTTGTTCCACAACTTCCCAGAACTTTATGGAAATAGCGGTCAACATCGGGGTTTTTTTGGCAGGAAATTGAGTGTCAGAACAGGCCTTGTCCTGCTCAAGGTGTGGGACGGGACTGGGAGGATGGGAGGGCATATATGTGTCTAGCCTGGCTGTGGTAGCCGTGAACTGAGAATCATGGTAGATCATCCTTTCGCCAACACTCATGTGCAGACAGAATGATTGATTAGAACCAATCAAGGCTCGAAAGGTGATGCCTTCGGGTTTTTCGGTCTCGACGACAAGTACCTAGGTCACATTCTTATGATCAATGAAACTCCACTTCGCAAACTGACATTATATTTGTCCAGTTCTCTCGGTACCCACGTCAATTTACCAATCTATCTGCACTAAAACAATACGCTGAAATGAATCAGAAAATATGGCCTTTCGAAATTTCCCCGTTTTTCCAAAACGCCAAATGTTCAACCAGAACTCGAATCTTCTCCCACTCTCTATATGGCTCACTCACCCCCCTGTCTCTAAGTGCGCAAAAATGTTTTAAACACCTCCGAATTGGTGCAATCCTCGTAAGGATAGCCGATCCGGCGCAGGAACTTCTCAAGCTCGGGGACTTCGTCATCGGGGCACAGGATACCCGTCACGATCTTGCCCACATCACCACCGTAGTTACGGTACTGGAACAGGCTGATGTTGAACTTGACACGGAGAGTTACCAGGAACTTCTCCAGCGCACCGGGCCGCTCGGGGAAAGTGAACATGTACAACCTCTCGTTTGGCACACCAGATCGGCCGCCAACCAGGTATCGGATATGGCTCTTGGCGAGTTCATCGCCGGAAAGGTCTGTCACCTTCATACCATCAGACTTGATGCGGTCCATGAGATTGCTGAGCTCCTCGGATCGCTGGTCAGCGGGGGCCGTCAGAGACAAACCAATCAGGATATTGGCCACGTCGTCACTAGCATATCGGTAGGAGAACTCGGTAACAGCATGTGGCATGATGGTGGTGACGAGCTCGGAAAACGCGCCGGGGCGTTCAGGGATCTGAACAGCCAGGAGAGCCTCCTTGCCCTCACCCAGAGTCGCACGCTCAGCAACGAATCTGAGGCGGTCAAAGTTCATATTGGCACCCGAGGTCACGGCGATGAGAGTCCTCTTCGAGTCCCTAGAAGGGTTCTGGGCAACATACTTCTTCAAACCGGCAATGGACATGGCACCGGCAGGCTCCAGGCCTGAACGGGTGTCGTCGTACATGTCCTTGATAGCGGCGCAAATCTCGTCGGTGGTCACTTCAACGACGTCATCCACGACCTCCTTGGCAATGCGGAAGGTCTCCTCGCCGACAGTCTTGACGGCAGCACCGTCAGCAAACAGGCCGACTTCCTTCAACAGCACCCGCTCGCCCTTTCTGAGGGACTGGGCCATGGCATTGGCATCATAGGCCTCGACGCCAATGATCTTGACATGAGGAGCCATTCGCTTGACGTAGAGGCCGATTCCTGCAATGAGGCCACCTCCTCCGCAGCAACAGAAGATAGCCTCCACCTTGGCCATGTTGACCTGACCGAAGAGTTCGTTTCCAATGGTACCTTGACCGGCTATGACATATGGATCGTCGAAGGGAGGGATGTTGATGAGTCCATCCTGCTTCTCCCGTCTCGCGCACTCCTCCTTGGCAGCGTCGAAGTCGGCACCGTGCAGGACGACGTGGCCGCCTAGCCGGGCAACGTTCATGTGCTTGATGCTCGGTGTGGCCTCGGGCATAATGATAGTGGCAGGGATCTTGAGCTTGCGGGCGGAGAAGGCGACGCCTTGGGCATGGTTACCGGCCGAGCAGGCGACAACACCCTTCCAGCTCACGGCGGGATCGAGGTGGGCCATCTTGTTGTAGGCGCCGCGCAGCTTGAAGCTGAAGACGGGTTGCTCATCCTCGCGCTTGAGCAGGACGTTACACTCGAGGCGGTTGCTCAGGTTAATGGCGTGAGTCAATGGCGTGACCTTGCAGGCCTCGTAGACTCTCGAGGTAGCGCTGGCGATGAGTCGGAGGTACTAGAAGGAACAAAGAACCAACGGGTCAGCCACACAGGTCATCTTTAGGAAGTTCTTTTGTTAGGCTAGCATTGCTCACGTCGGGGTATCCTGTGGGCAGGAGAAATTCTTCGGGGACAATCTGCTTGATGCGAGCGCGCTTCTCCTCGGACGGCGTCGACGGGTTGGCGCTGTACTCAGTCAGGGCCATAGTGCTGGTGGGTGTGTGAGGCCTGGTTTCCACTCCATTGGTGCCATTGACGGCGCCATTGGTAGCCACAGGGACCACGGAAGGGTCTTGAAGTGAAGGCATCATAGGCGGGTGATGTTTGGTTGTTGATGGGAAGATGAAGGGAGAGAGTCACCGCCGAAGAATCGGACCTTTAATTTTTGTTAGCTTGGGGATGGCACTAGGTGATAGCCAATTCGCACGTGCTTGCCACCTGTTTTGCGGTGGGAGTCACTGCAAGTACTAGGTCTCTCACCCGGTGCGGATATGCGAGACACGGCCTCACCGACATGGACGCATTCGCGCCTAACCGGTACAACCCGTGTTCCAAATGGGCTGAGAAACATGACACAAAATGTAACATTATCGTAGTCCCAGCCGGCATAGGAAGTGGTCTTATTTGTTGTTGTTGTCGCCCGTAGGTGGGCTATAGTGCGGAATTCCTTATCAACACTACCACGTGGAAATGTCCTCTCAATTGATCTTCCGGTGCACTCCGGTGGCGGGGTCGGTACCCCCCAAAACGTAGCGGGGCTTCGATATCGGAGGCCAAGTGCGGCGTGTGCAGCAGGCGCCCTGAAGCTTGGGCGCCACTGCTGCAGGGACCAGTCCAACCACAGCCACGTCATTTGTTTTGTCGCAGTTGTGAATGAGGGAAACTCTAGATGATCATTCTCAACAATCGCTTGACAGAATATGAAACTTTTGATTATTTGGTACTATCGACTCATGGCTCGTCTATCCCAGGTACTCCAAACTCCCATCAGAATCAATCCCAGCTAAACCGCTCACGACTTGTTCACAACTTCCTCGTAAGCGGGCGGTGGTGCACCCTCAAACTGGTGACGAGGATCGCGGCTGGCGGGTCCCGCCTCCCGACTGTCCAACTCTGATGCATACACATGTGGACTCTCTAACTCCGGTGTAAACGCCTCTCGTCGCTGTTGAGATCTCATATCCCTCATCTCATAACCATTCGGCTCTCCCGAAAACCTTTGACCACTCGCAGGAGCCCCTGGCATTGATGGCCCAACGGGCACCGGCATGGATACAATGTGACCTCGTCGCTCTGCTTTCCGAAGGTCCCGGTCTACCTTATGGTCGGCCCGTTGCATGCTTCGCTCGGCGCGGCGGTAATGGCGCTCGATTCGGCGCTCAGTACGGTGCTGACGCTTTGATGAGAGCTGGGGAGTTGCGTAGTGGTACCCCCCATTAATGACCTGCGGTTGATGGCAGTGGTGGGGCGGGTTGTGATGGAAGTTCTGGTGAGCGCCGTTGTGGTACGGATCATGGTAGTAAGGATCTTGGTGGCGGGCATTTTGTTGTCCTTGGTCGGTATCTCCCATGAGAGGCCCGAGCCTTTGTGAGATGATTCTGCCGATTAAACCCATAGTGAGTTTGGAGTTGTTGTACTTCTTAGTTGAAAGGTTGCGAGTCTAGGGTAGAGTGCAAGCAAATGAAGCTGAAGAAATGTCTCGGTGATCTGTGAACTTGTGATAATATTCGGAAATTAATCTTTCGTCCCCTCGTTCTTCTCCATCCTTTTGTACCTGAGGTGCCTCCCTCCCAATCCTTCATCCCAAACCCAATCGAGGTTTCCATTCGAGATGCAGATCCCAGCCCCAGATGCGCAGCCCCATGATTGCTGGCAGAGCTGACTGCATCTCGAATCAACCCCCAAAAAGGGCTTGGCGCGAGCACGGAAGCTCCGATATTGCCCCACTCATTGCGGCCACCCAATCACTCCGCCGCCCTATCACTGTCGCACTCGCACTCGCTGATCGTGCCACGGGCGTGAGAGTGACGTTTTGCGTTGATGAGCCGCCCGGATATGTGTGCCGTCCACTTTACAAGCATGAAGAATGGCCCTACGAAAGTCCTTAGCGGGCGAATTAGGCACTGCAGCACCTGCTATAGCCTCTAGGACACTAATCAGACCATGCTAACTTGAAACATATGTTGTGTATTGAGGGCGTCTTGCCCGTCTATCTGAAAGATCGTCTATGTTACGCGCGTAATCTAGTGGCTTGATATCATGGCTATGTATTTTCGTGAAACTCCGTGCCATCGTCAGGTTTGAGAAAGCTCCCAATATGCTCTCAGCAATGCGAGACCGCCAATTTGTGTCTCTACCGTTCGTCCCCGCCCCCGCTCATTTGGATCCTGAAGGCTCCGTTTGCTCTGCCTCGTTTCCCCGGACGCATACCCATCTCTTAACCCTTGAGCCTCCTTCATGCCACCGAGTACTTTCTGACCTGTCCCCGGATCTACCACGCTCCACCGGCCTGTTCCGGGTAGCCATCGATGGAGGCCTCCCCACGTCTCGTCCTCCGGCGTTCCCTGGTTGCGATAATCGGTCGTGTTCTCCGCATCGTGGTTGATTCCATCGTTGTCAAGTGTGACGACCGCATCAAATATCCCGGCGCCCCACCACATGCCGAAGCGCCCCATGTCGTCGCGAGTGCCTAGAGCTGCGAGGGCGTTATGCTTGATCCAGCTTACGTAGGTGCTGCAGGCAGTGATATGAGCAGTCTTGACTCGCCGATAACCTCGTTTATCCAACTTCATACCCTTTGCAACCTGGAGAGGGTCAAGAGGCGTGCAAAAAGAGGTGAGGTGATGGAAGAAGACGCCCTTGAAGGTTTGTCCGTCCTGCGAACAGGTACCGCTTGCATCGCACTGTTCTTCGAGAATTCCTCCGCGGCCGAGTCCTCTCCAGGGTGGTAATCGACCAGATGGAACCGACTCCGGATCATCTCTGGCCTTATTCTCCTTAAGACTCCACCCAGTGGCTTCAATGACGGACTGGATCAGCACATGTCCTTCCTCCAGAAACGATGCACCCCCGCTGACAGTCCAAAGCCCCCGCTGACCCGTGAGCAAGACACCTTGGTTGTACGTGTACACCATCTCGTCACGAAGGTCACACTCTGTGTTGCCAGGCCTCCTTCCATCGATGTGATAGCCATCCACAAACAGGCCGTGATGATTGGTCATGTTGACGTCCATCAACCATTTGTATCCGTCCATGGCGGCCTGTAGGTGTGCAGGGTCGTTGGTGGGGAACCCGGCCGTGGCAAGCCACGGTGCTGTAAAGTTATCGCCAGGAAAGTGGCGATACATGGAGATGGATGTAGAAATCCAGAGTTCGTTGGTAATGGCATTCTTGTATGGGTTGAGGCGAGGGTTCCAAACCATACCCCCCTTGCAGAATTTTGTTTCCCAGCCTCGAGCCCCCAGGTTCCAGAAGATTCGTGAGCGGTGAGCGAAGGACGACAGCCAATTATGGCCATGCCACGGTATCGAGTCCATGATATTTTTGAGTCCGCTGCCTGGAACAACCTCATGGGGTCCGGACCTTGGGTAGTGCAGTTCAGCGTGAGTCCTCACAAAGTTGATGGCCTCAATCCAGCCGAGGGCCACCCAAAGAATATCGTCATAGGCCTTGATAATGTATTAGTACGACGAAAGTCTTTGACAAGTTAAAGCATCTAACCTGTCCTCTGATAGATAGGACATCCTGCCCGTAGTATGACCCAACCAACTGTGCATAGTAGGATGAGATGAGGTTTTCCTTGGCCTTCCAGTCATCCACGCCGTCGAGCTGGATGGTAGCCAAAGACTTGGACAATGTAGTTAGCGTGCCAGCAATTACAGTGCCTGCAACAGCGGCCGTCCAGTCTATGGCAGATGGCCAAGTCGCATAATCTGGGTGGAAATACTGATCTTGCAAGACAGCCAGGGCTTCGACGGCATACTCGAGAACGACGGAATCCACGGGAGGAGGCGCTGGTGACTTGGAAGAGAATCCCAGGAAGGACTCGGGGAGAGGCTTGCAGTTCCTGGGGGGTTCGGCATAGAGGATGGGACAGTATTGCCTTGTGTCGTCGTTGGAGGGAGCCGCGAGCGCGGTTTGAAGAGTAAGAAGGCCGAAGAGGCCAGCCACGACAGATAACCGAGCCATGGCGAAATGCGATACGTTGTCGAATGTAGGCGACGGGATCGAGCTTATCGTGGGTTCTGCGAGAGTATCATCTGGTCACAACGCGCGGTTTTTACGGGATAGAACGATCCATGTCGAGGGCCGGCTCGATGCGATCTCGGAGTGAGAACAGATCAGCGGTATGGGCGGCTTGTTGGTTGGAAAAGCGTCGGAAATGGCGAACCCGAGGGATCTATGGCGAGGTGTTGATCAGGGCAACACTCTATGCCAAGGACGGAAATTTGGGAGGTTCGTAGTTGAGTGAGTGAGGTTATCAGACACGACGAAAAGGCGGGCGACTGGGGGTTCGTCTTGTCTTGAGGATGAGGGATGACCGCCAAGTGCGACGCTTTGCCCCACCACAGATAGTTCGTCGAGACGTTCGTGGCGCAGGCCCAAAAAAACAAGTGGGCCACGAGGATTGCGACAAACCGGTAGAGACATGACTAGGATTCTGGGTCTTGAATGGACGGTTCCGGGCGGGAGGGTGGATGTGAAGAGCACGCCAGGCGTTTGGTGACTGGCGCCAGCGGCATTATTGGTCACGAGATGGTTTTCTCTCTTCTCTCGTACCCGGTCGTAACGAGAATGATATTGGCCTGACGCCGTTGTGCGACCCTCCCGTCTATCTTTATCGTTTATCGTATGGCATGGGGATGATGCAAGAGATAGAGTTGCTGTGTGGGTGGCGGGAGTGGGAGGGAACCCTAATAATCCTAGGACAGAGCGAATGCGGACGTTGAGAGGACTACCACAATAGCTTTCTCGAAATATCTTTAGCATAAAGAATGAGAACCTCTGATTAAGAAACTATTCTGCATCTAGCCCATGCCTCCTTTTGTCGTTGAGAAATCTCTAGGTACAGTATCATTGCATGTTCCTAGTATCATTCATGTACACCTCATGCGAGGTGCGCACACATGAATGGACAGTGAATTCCTTCCCCGCCGCCAATTGGCCCCAGAAAGACTCGTCTTCAGTGGGCGAGCGAATCCTACAGGCTGGTTTTTAGTGGCTCCGGCCTGTTAGTGGGCTCTATCCGTCCATTTAGTGGCCTCTCCGTCGTCTTCTAGCGAGTGGTGAAGCGGGATTTCAGTGAAAGTGGGTCGCTTGGGTGCTTTGTTTACTTTCAACCCAAAACAGACACCAACATACCCCGGCACCTCTTTACCTTCCCGCGACCACAACCCACGGTCCACAACTCCGACTCTCTTCCTTCTCGCAGGCCCAGCACCAACTTTCCAGTCTTCAGTCCATGTCTATACCGTCGCGCAATCCTTTCTCAGCGCGTCACGGAACTCGTCCCTTCTACCATTGACTAACCCAGCACCCCAACGCGAGCTTGCCCCTTCAAAACGCGCTCACTGGGTCCTTCCGCCCGCGTCAATTCCAAGGCCTCACCCACCACCACGCGCCGTAACGCGTGAAAAGAGCCATGGAGGCCGACGCTGTTAGCAGATATCGCTCCCGCATCCTTAGAGAAATGAACGCCAACCGCGAAAACCCTTTCAACTCACCACCCTCTTCCACTGGCTCCCACGGCACCGTCAGCCCAACTCTATCATCCGTCTTTTCAGATCCCGACGGCGAGTCCACGCGAAGACTCAACGAGGATATTGCCCGCGTTACCGCCCCCCGCAACAACCCGCCCATCAACTGGGAGGCTGCCCACCGCAAGTGGCCGGAGTTCTTTGGCATGCCCAAGTCCCGCAACGCACCCATCTTCGACGACCACACCGACACGCGACCTCTGAGTGCAGAGTCTAAGGAGAACAAGCCCCCAGCCGCGGTCGTTAAGTTCGCCGCCGACGACTCTACGCAGAATATCTGGACGGGATCCAACCGGACCCGCGCCGAGATGCAGCCTAGCGCCGACACCGAATCCGACCTGTCCTCTATCCTTGCCAGGTCTCCCGTCCGAACACTGTCAAACGCGGCCTTGAAGATCACTCGCAACCCCAGCCCTCTGGCCAAGGTCCAGACTCGCGTCCCTTCAGACACCATGAAGGAACAGCAACATCAGCGCCAAGAGTCCCTCTCGGATGCGCTTGAACGCCTACGCAACGTGTCGCAAACTCCCAAGAGCTACGAGCAGCAGGAGCCCGCGCATGATCGTCCTTCCCCCCAAATGTCGTCAGCCAAATCGAGTTTGACGGCTGTCCCTCCTTCACCAGAATCCATGCACAGCCCTAGTCACAATGAGACTAATGCTCGGTCATTCTTCATGCCCGATGTCTCTCACCTCGGTGACTTTGTCACCGGCACTCTTCGATTCAGTGGTTCGATGAGGAACGGTGTTCCCATCTTTGTCAAGAACGGCAAGGTCCATGACCTAAAGGACAAGTACTCCGTCAACCACCATGCTGAGGTGGACGGACTTGAGGTGCCCGAAGATGAGGAAAAGATCTTTGTGTCCATGGATATGATCCGCGAGGAGATCATCTCTCTGCAAGAACATTACGACAAGGTGCAAGAATACGCCGAGAATCTCCAACAACAAGTTGAGCAACTAGAGGCCCAGCTCAAGTCCCGAAAACACATCCACGATGATTTTAGCTCTCATCAGAACGAGCAGCTGATGATTCAGAAACACCGTGAGTAAATGTGTTATGCGCAAGAATGCACACAGCTAACTAGGTGTAGGATTGGAGGTTGAGGTGTCCACGCTGCAGTCTCGACTGGAGCAGGTCTCACGAAAGACCAGTCTTAACGAGATTGAAAACGATGCCGTGTCCCAGGAGAGGGATCGCGCTGTACGAAAGCTCCAAGAGGCGTGTGAGGATATCAATAAGCTTACCCGCAAGTTGAGCACTAAGGAGAAGGAACTCGAAACCACTCACCGACAACTCGAGTCAACAGAGCAAATTCGGCACGACAATGACACCTTCCGTCGGGATCTCATGTCGTTGAAGCATGGCCGAGATGCCCTGGAGCTTGAAAACACGTCACTCGAGGCAGCTAACAAGACTCTCCGACAAGAGAACGAGAGTCTCAAACTGGAAATCGAGTCATTGCGTTCCGGCAGCAACAAGACCCGCCAGGATCAGGAGTCTCTGATCACTGAGAACCGATCACTGCGGTCAAACAACAAGACCTTGATTGAGGAGAACGAAGATCTCCGAGAGAATCTGGACGGTGCTCAGCATGAGCTTGATGCCGCTAGAGAGGAGGTTGAGACTCTGCAGCAGGAGATGCAGAACCATGGTCAGGAGAAGATCTCGCTCCGCGAGGACAACGAGAGTCTGGTGCGACACAACGAGAAGTACTTTAGCGAGAACAAGATCCTCCGTCGGGAGAACTCTGGCTTCGAGCGTAGTATTCACGATATGCACGACGAAAACGTGAAGCTAAAGGACGAGGTGGAATTTTTGAAGCAGCAACTGGATCATTGCCGACCTATCCCTAAGGAAGACTTTTCTGCTCAACTTGACGAGGAGACTGAGGAGAACATGACATCGGCATTTTTTATTCCGGATATCACGATCAACACTAATGACACCAACCCGGTTGAGAACACTGAGACCAAGGACCTGCCAGAGTTGACGGCCCAGAGCACCAAGTTGCCGACCATCCCTGACGTTACCGAGCAAGAGACGCGAAATACGACCAAGCGCGAAACAACATCCCATACCGAGACTCGTGAGATCCAACATAAGTCTCGCAGCAAGAGCAAGAGCTCCTCTGCGAAGACCGGCCAAAGCCAGAAGGTCGCCTTTTCGATACCAGAAAAGTCGTCGAATAAGACCAGCTCCAATGTTGCGAACCAGGGAAGCAAGCGTCGCAAGGACTCGCAGACCAGTCGCCGGGCTTCGTCCAAGGGTGCCACAGTTGAAGAAGTCGACCAGTTTGATGAGAATGATGACACCACCGGCCTGCAGTCCGTGGATAACACCACTCAGACTCAGGACTACTCCATCCAGCTGAACGTGGTCCCCAAGGCCCGCAAGGAGTTGAAGACCAAGGAGCAGAAGCAGGCTACTCAGGATTTGACCAGCCAGAGCCAGAAGTCACAGCACGTCCGCTCTCAGTCGCGATCGTCTCAACGACACACTGTTGTGTCCGAGTTCACCGCCGATAGCATCAGGAGCGTGGACAAGGACACCTGCGCCACCCTCTCCATTGATGCCCGCCGCGTCCTGGATGATCTGTGCGAGCATAACTGTCGCAATTGCACTGTCTGCAGCCGCATTACTTCCCACCGCGGCATCCTGACCTCGGCGGACCTGGCTGTTGGCAAGAAGCGTGTCACCGTTTCCCGACCGGTCCCTGTCACTGACCGTGATATCTCCACCGAGGACCCTACCATGCGTCCCGCAAATTCTCCTGGTCACGCTCTCGCGATGGTCATCAAGGGCCTCGAGGATGAGTCTCACCACCTGCAACTCGAGCTCTCCCATATCCAGGCACAATACAACGGCCGCGACAAGGCCCTCGGTCGCCGGGAGCGCATCAGTCTCGCTGAGAACATTCGCACCCTACTCAAGCGCCTCGAGGCCAAGAACGACCAGATCTATAGCCTGTACGACGTCCTTGAGGGACAGAAGGCCGCAGGTCAGGCCATGTCTGAGGAGGAGATTGAGATGACCGTCCTCAACATTACGGGCATGACCGTCCGAGATGTCACCCGTGGTAGCGACCAGCTCACCTGGGAGGGAATCCCGGAGCTTTGAAAACTGATGCGGAAACGAATGTTTGGGAGCGGAAGAGGCGTGCTTCAATTGGAATCACCCAGTAACTCGGCGTTTTTTGGGTTTGGATGAGGCATCCGCCCTATTTGGATGTTGCGCTTTTTTTGCAAGGGGCCGTCGCAGGCTGGATGGCATTTTCGGGGAGTTTGGGAGATAGGAGTGTTTGTATCGTCTCTGTACACTTATGGCTCGTCGTACTGGAGCTGGGAATGACCTTTGAAATGAATGATTAATTCACATCACACCAAAAGATTTTGCTTTGCCGTTGTGACGATGCCAACATATGCTTTAAAGTAAACAGAGAAAAGGTAGGTATCCTTGATTCAGCTCTATCGGGCGGAAAATCACGCCCATTTCTACGTACAGACCAATTATTGACTTTTGATTTACTCCTCGTCATCCTCTTCATCCTCATCGTCGTCATCGACACTGTCATCCTCCATATCCTCATCATCTTCCTCCTCGTCATCGTCCTCGCTGTCGATCACGTCTTCGAGATCTGCCTTCTCATCCGCCCTCCGCTTGCGGTCATCCTCACGCCTAGCCTCCTCAAACAACTTGACGCGCTCGGCGCGGGCCTTGCGCTGTCCGACAACGTAGGCACCGAGGGGGGTCTTGGCGAGGTCAAAGTCGCGCAGGAAGGCCTCGACCTGGGAGCGGTCCCTGGGGGCGAAGTCGACCTTTGCGCGGCGCTCCTCGATGAACTTGGCGTTGGCCTCGAGCTTCTGGACCAGGAGGACGAGCTGGCCGACGAGCTTGGCGTTCTTGTTGCCCTGGGTCCGGTGGCGGGCCTGCTTGAGCCAGCGCTTGATCTGGATGTTGACGGGGAGGGCGAGCTCCGGGAAGGCGATGGAGGTGGCCCAGAGGAGGAAGTACTCGCTCAGGAGCTCGACGACCTGGTCGCCGACGCTGTCCTGGTACACGCGGGTGCGTAGGAACGACTTGGGGGCCTTGTAGGCGACGGCGAAGTCGAATGGCTTGATGGAGGCGGCTTTCGGGGCCTTCTTCATCTCGGCCGAGGTGAGGACCTCGATGAGAGGAGAAGCAAGCGGGATGAAGGTGCCGGTGGAGCGGGAGATACGAAGAAGAGAGCGGATGAGGTGGAAGCGGAGCGGGAAGTACAGGGCGGTGGGGATGAGGCGCATGGCGCCCATGGTGACCTGGACGAGCGGGTAGATGAGGAGCTTGAGCTGGCTCTCCTTGCCGGACTCGGCCTCCTTGAGGGGGCTGCAGTGCTCAGCGAGGACGCAGGACCAGAAATCGAGGGAGTGGGTGTACTGCCAGTTGTAGACGATGCGGAAGGCGTCGTTCTTGTTGTGCACAATGCTGTTGCGCAGGTGGATGGCGAGCTGGCGGATGAAGGTGAAGGCCGTGGTGTACCCGACAGCCTGGTCGATGCCCCAGAGCTCGGCGGCTGAGTTCTTCATCAGGTTGATGCCCTGGATGGTGTTGGCGTTGGTGACACGGCAGCCCTGGATGAGGCCTTGGTAGACGGCCTTGAGGACCGTCTCACGGATTCCCTTGTCACCAATGACAACAAGGCGTCGAATGACGAGGAAGGCTGTGATCTTGGTCGTCTCGGAACTGGCGGGCTGCGCCCAGAAGCTGACGACGGCCTTGGCGAGAGCCTTGATGAGCTTCTTGAAGGAGAGCAGGTAAGGCAGGATGGGAGTGATGGATGACAGGGTGAGCTTGAGCGTCCCGTCGTCCGAGAGGGTACCGAGGAGGTGCATGATGGACGACGTGTACGTCTTGAGCAACAACGATAGGGTGCGGAACTTCTTGGACTCGGTCTGGACGTGCACCTTACCCGATGCTGACTCCTTGACGGGGAGGTGGTGGTTCATGACGACGGGGATCTCCTTGAGGGCAAGGATGAGGATGTCGTTGTAGACCTCGGGGCTGTTGATGGTATATCGCTGCTTTACGTCATCGTCCTCGTCATTGAGTAGAGCGGCACAGCGGAAGGCAAGGACGACTCGTCGCGCCGCCTTTAGAGACTTCTTCTCGGTCATGGCTTTCCTCCATGAGGCGACAAGCTCGCGGGTCAATTCACTTCCTGACCCAACGGGTTCGGCCTCGTCCTCGTCCGTCTTCTTCTCCTTCTTCCGCTTCTTCTTGGGCTGCTCTTCTGACTCCTCGTCGCTAGCGCTGAGCTCGTCGACTTCTGCCAGGTCGGCGTTGTCGTCAAAGTCTAGGGCCTCAGGGTCGTTCTCGACGAGGAACTTGTAGAATTCGGGGTCCTTTTCGGCGAGGTCGTCCATGGTCTTCCTGCTCATGCCCAGGTCGTCGTCGTCCTCTCCTTCGTCCTCGCTGTCACTGGCGACAGGCTGCGCGCCGGCCGGCTCGTCAGAGTCGCTGCCCTCGCCCATCTCGACGTCACCCTCGGGTCCAGCCCTCTTGCGCTTCCCAAGCTTGCCGTCCTTGCTGACCTTGTTGTCGATAATGTCGTCGAAGCCGCCCTGGAAGAAGTCGTCGACGCTCATTTCGTTGATCTTCTTTCCCTTGGGGGCGGGCTTCTTGACCTCGCCCTCGGCGCCATCCTTGGAGCCCTTGTAGAATTCCGAGTCGGTGGCTTTTCGGAGCACCTTCTTGTCCTTGATCTGCTGGCGCTGCTTGACCTTGGCGTTGGCCTTTCTCTTGTCGAGAACGCCGGTGAGGCGATTCTTCTCGAACTTCTTCGTCGCCTTGAGATTCTTCTTGCCAGCCCCCATTGTGAATAGCGGGAGCGCTCTGGCTGGTGAAGAATTGGGATAATTGGGTTTTGTGAAGGAGTTGGGGCGTTGGCGTTGGCGGTTTTCGTCGCAGCTCTGTATCGATCCAAAAATTTTGCGGCGAGCTTATCGATAACGCTGCGCGTCTGAAAAGAGCAGGCGGTGGGGGAATTCTGCCGCGTCCCTCTACGTAACCGTCCAGGCCTCCCACCATCCCCCCTCGAGCTTAGAATGGCCTCCCCGGCTCAATGAGCAAGCCAATGCCTCTTCCACCATGATACCGCGACAAGGCTATGCGCCAACGCCGCACAGCTATGTTCCGAATACGAGCCTATCCGCGACTATAAACCTCGACGAGGTGCGCTCAATCTGACCCCGCACCGCCTCAGTGAACGCCGTTGCTAACCGTCTCATGTAGGAGGTCAAACTGACTGAGACACGTGCTGAGCGCGATCTCCAAGACTCCCTCGGCGAGCTATTCAGCATCATCGTCACTCTCGACGAGCTTGAGAAGGCATTCCTCAAAGATGCAATCCCGGAAGCCGAGTACACCGAGATATGCGAGCGATCGCTGAGGCAGTACAAGGCGCTCCTGGCCGATGAAACCATTGCAAAGGAATTCGAGGGCCTGGAGGAGTTCAAGGCCAAGTGGGATGTATGTCCTCTGCCACATGAACAGATGGAACCGGAATCTCATGCTAATGAGTCTGCAGCTTGATGCTCCTCGTGCTACTGAGCGCCTCCGCGTCGGTATGCCTTCGACGACCATGACGGCTGCCTCCTCGGGTCCAACCCCCGCTCCCTCAGCGGCCAACAATACCAGCGGCGTGCTGATTCTTGAAGCCACGCAGGAGTTTATCACGTTCCTCGACGCCGTTAAGCTCGGCCTGCTCTCCAAGGACCAGCTACACCCGCTGCTGTCAGACGTCATCCAGTCGGTCAACCGCGTCACAGACAAGGACTTTGAGAACCGGGGCAAGATCGTGCAGTGGCTCATCACCCTCAACCAGATGAAGGCTACCGAAGAGCTAGGCGAGCAGCAGGCCCGCGAGCTCGAGCTGGATATTCAGCAGGCGTACCAGGGCTTCAGACGGACTTTGACATGATTGTGAATGATACAAATTGCTTGGTGTGCTTGTCGGGTTGGTTATTTGTTGAGCGAGCGAGGTGGAAGTAGCCTGGACCTGACCCGCACTTGATGTAAATATGACATGACGCCGGACGGGATTGCCTCCTTTTTAATATACCCATAATGACCACCATCCTACGCCATTATACCAGGAATGTCCAGAAACTAGGATATACAAACTCCTCCTCGAAGATCCTCCTTACCTGCTCCAGCACAAACCTCTCAACCTTGCCCACATTCTTGAGACTCTGCTTGCGCCCGTCCCGCTCACCAATCTCGCTCTCAACCTTGATCTCTTGCAGTAGGCCACCGAACCTCGGCTTGGTGTGTTCGTGTTTCGCGCCGGACTCATCCTCCTCTGCATCTGGCCCCACGGCGGCGAGCGCATCGTCCGGACTGAGGAAACAGAAGTGGACGCGCTTGCGGATGTTCGCCAGGACGCCGACGCCATCAAACGACATGCCCGTGATGTTGAGCTTGAGTGGGATACCGACAAAGCTCGGCATTGGGTAGTCTAGCAGGATCTCTGCCGTTAGGTTTAAACGTATGTCGCCGCGGTATGTGATCCTGAAGACCGCCTGCACATCCTCCACCCGGGGCTCGCGTCTCGGCTCCTGGCCCTGCGGATCCTCCTCGTCGTCGTCATCATCGACAATGGCCGAGCCGGACATGGCCGTGACATGTGCATCCCGGGTGGGCGCATCCCGGGTGGGCGGCCGCGACGTGCCGACCGACGTAGGCGCCAGGGTCGACACGCTCGACTTCTCGCGCAAGTTCTGCAGCGGCGGAGCAAGGCTGGCGCCGAAGTTGTCGACTGAGATGCTGCTCTGCGACGGGTTCCGGCTGTGGCTGGGGCTCCGGGAGTCGTAGTGGTGAGCGATCGGCCCGCCCATCCAGCTGTTGCCCAGATGCGCTCCGGCGACGGCCGCGAGCGGCGTGTGCGTGCCTGTTCCCAGATGGCCCTGGAAGTAGTTGAGCCCCGGGCCGCCGAGGAGGCCCGGCGTTGAAGTCCCTAAAAACGGACTGCCCATATCGTGGCCCATGAACTCGTGCCGCAGCAGATCTCTCCTCAACCCTCCAGGCCGCTGCCTCGCCCTGTCTCCCTGTCTGGGATACGGCCGCTCCCTGGCCGACACGCTGGCAACCTCCGGCTCGGGCTCCTCATCCTCGCTCTCGCTCTCCTCGTCTTCAAGGTCCTGGTCGTAGAAGTCCGGTAGCGGGTCCGTAATGTCCTTGAGGTCCAGCTTGGGCGGGATGGTGCCAAAGTCGAAGCCGTGGACGTTGACGGAGCGGATGAAGCGCGGCAGTGGCACCGTCTGGAACTTGTCGTGGATGAAGGTCCGGATCCGCTCAGCGAGCGCTTCGCCGTCGGGGCCGCTGGTGAGCGTCTCCCAGTTGAGATCGATGGACATTTGCGCTGGCCCTGATGTCCGTTGTTTGAGATGCGACGCCCATTGTTGGGTTGATGAGATGGCGCATCGTCTTCAGTGAGTTAGTGGAGTGGAGGCTCCCAGCGGTGTGGCGCCTTGAAACTACGGCGGCCTTCAGAGGGCTTCAGTGGGCTCAACGACCATGAGCACCACGCAACAGGCTGATTATGTACCTATGCATCACTAAATCACACAAGTGAACTGACTGACCAGATATCATCGAAACCATCTAAGAAGTCGTTTCCATAAGGGTATCTAGCTAATGGTATATCTTGATCCGAAATCCTCCACAAATAACTGCGTATTCCTCTCATCTAACGAATGCGATAGGTAGACCTTGCTCGCTTGGTGGCAATGATGTGTTTGACGGAACAAAAGCAGACGCCCCCAATATCAGAAAGCAATCATTAATAATAAACCAATGCGTCTCGGCCGTTGCAAATCCGTGCCTTCCATTATTCATCTCGAAGTTGATTCTTTACATCTCAGGCTCTTCAAACCTGGCACGCCCGCCGTAGTGAGGGTATTGAGGGTTGTTGAAGAGATGCCAGCAGTTGGGCGCTTGCAGGATATATCTACAAGTTGATACGTCAGCAAAGTAATTGACTTCATCATCAAGCTGGAAAAACATACCGTGCCATCGCCTCTCGGAAGCGCGACTTATAATCCTTGGGACTTGTCACAGTCGGCCGGTTGCGACCTCCGCCCGCAAACCCGCGATCTTTGATCCAACTCTCCAGTTTCTTGTCCCAGGTATAAGTTCGAATGCAGTCGATGATTCCAACAACCAACTCCTTTCGCTCCTCGTCCACGGCAATCATGAGGGAGTAGTCCATGACATTTTGCCTCGCCAGAAACAGCGTATCGTTCCAGACCGACGCCCTGAGGAGCTTCTTCGAATGTTCACGCGCGAACAACGGGGACTCGTAAATGTACTCAACCATGTTCTCGTCGAGAAGCACCTCGTTTTGTTCTCCGGTGGACTGAATCTTGCGGTTGCGCATTGAACCCTTGAGATCGAAGATTCTTGACGCCGAACGGTCGTAGAACAGATTCTCCGTCACGAGCAAGTCTAGCTTGATATCGGTTCCAGTAACGGGGTTCTTGATGAAGACCTGGAAGAAGCCAAGCATCTTAGCAATCACCGAGGGCAGATCATGAAACAGAGCCTCGGCCATAATGTTGAAGTATCCCGGTGCAAATCGGAGGAATGCCGACGTTTCGATAGGTGACAGGGACTTTAATACATGTTAGCTTAGAATAGGAATAGAAGCAGAGGCAATCTTACCTTCAACACTAGTCGATCATCGAGGGTCTTCAAGAAGACGGACTTGGTCTTGCCGCCTTTCGAATCCCACTTAAGGCAGCGAGACAGGGACTCAATGATACGCTCCGCAACGCCGCACTTTCTCCTCAGAGCGTCAAACTGCTCAGCATAGAAGATCTTGCACGTCATAGTGGCTGAACCCTCGCGGAACTGGTACTTGAGATGTGTGCCCGTGACCCGCAGCAAACTCTTCTCCAGCTCACTTTCCGACACCATCCAGTCCGCGCCGTCTGAAGTAGGGAACGATTTGGGGTCGGTATCCCCACCGCTTTCTGATTCCCGCTGCATCATCTCTTGGGCATCCCGCCGAATATTGGCAAGTTTGCCTTGGTAATCTTCGCTGCTGAGGGCGAGGGCCACCACAGAGCTGGGCTCGTCCTCTCTCACAATGATGTCAGAGTCGACAAAGATGTGGTCAGTTGGATTGACGGGATAGTCCAGTGGTGTCCAGCCACTCGCTGAGCGTTCAGCCCAGAAGGTTGTGAGGTACTTCATCAGACTTGTCCTCTGGTGCTTAGGGAGCTCGAGTGGAATGTCGGTGCTTGGCTCAAGCGAGTCGGCGATCTCCTTGATATCGGGCAGATACTCATCTGGAACAGAATGCTCTTGATCGCTTACTCCCCCCTCATCGTCCCAGAATCCCTGGCTAGTGTTGGCAGTGGTAGCCTCATCGTTGTCTTCCTTCGGTTGATGCTGGTCCTGCGGGAAGGTTTGCTCCACAGGGGTCGGGGGTTCGGTTGGAGGCTCAGTCCTCGGCGCTACCTCAGACTGTCGAGACGTTATGCTCGCTGAACGTTGCTTGCCATCGCGATCCGCAACACTGTCAGTCGGCGGCGAAGGCTCTTCAAACGCCTCGTTCACATCATCATACACCTCCACAATGGCCTTGGTCGTGGTTCTCGGCAACATCGCTCGGGGTGCACGCATGCTGGCAGCACGCTTCTTGCGATCCCGAATGCGCTCCTTTTCAAACTCACGACTGAGTTGTTCGAAGTGCCTTGCCAGGGTTGAAACCTTTGATTCTCTTTTCTTGTGTATGAACCGAGGGATGCCTGATGTGGTTGCCTTCCCACGGTTCTTGAGGCCGCTCAGGCTTAATCGATCGGAGAGTTTCTTATCCCCTCTGATCGAGCCTTCGACAACTGGTTCGGGGCTTGTGCATTCCAGGGGATTTGTCTTTGATTCCTTAAGCCCAAATGACTTTCCAATCCCAGACTGACTTCTAGGCAGCTGCCGAATAGGATGGGAGATGGCTCGCACCATCGGTGGCGACACGGTCTGGCCGGATTTTCGGGATGGTGCACGCTCAGTCACAGGACTTGATGGTCCAGCAGATTCGTTAGAATGAGTTGGCCGAATACCCTGTTCGCGACGCATCTGATCAACCTTCTCAGTCAAGGTTTGACCAGAGGTTGGCAAGGAAGCCGAAGGCAAAGGAGCAACTTCGTCCGTAGCCTCAGCCAAGGCGGCATTGTCCAACTGAGCCTCGCTCGAACATTCGTCAACCGTGGTTGGCAACAGCGGTGGATCTACCGGGAGCGCATCTTGAGAGGGCACAGAGCTTGGTGCTTGGCTCTTCTCGTCTGGCTGAGGCTGCTCCGCAGCATGAGGAATTTCGGCAGCGGGAAGCACCAGATCAAGATGCTCCACCCTCTCGATAGCACTCTCGGGTGGGCTTTCGGCCTTTCTATCATCACTAGCCGAGTCTTTCTCGTGACCGGGTTGAGCTGAAGTCATACTACCCTCCATGCTATTGTCCGTGTAATCGGTAGGTTGAGTGCTCTTTTCCTCCGCCTCTGTGAATGTCTGCGAAGGTCGCTCTTCGCTGTCGGCAGTTGACGGTGTCCCTTCGTTCGACGCAAGTGATTCCTTTGACTCATTGTCTGTGAACATTTTCTTGAGTTGCATTATTGTCAGCTGGCGCATATCTTTGTCGCCAAGGAAGTCTGCCTCAAACTTGGTAAAGGCTTGGTCCCATTCACCAGCCTTCTCGAGCATCTCCCGTACGATACTGTTGAAAGGCACCACTTCGTAGTACTTGGAATTCATGTAGATGTCTTGCAGCCTTTGAACCATGGCAGGTTCGTCCTCGCTTGCCTTTGCGATCAAGTGGTCCACTTCTGCCTTGCAGAGATCCGCCTTTTCGGGAAGAACACTGTCGATCCGGATACTCAGAAGCCTGGTGTTGACAGATGACATAAAATTTTGCCAACGTTCCTCCATCTTGCTGAAGATTTCGTTTTTGAGCTTCAAGTCGTTAGCAACCTTCCAGGTTATTCTGGCTCGGGGGACAACGATCTCCAAGAGATCGATGGGGTCCCAGTGAATTCGAATTCGCGCGTGTTCAAGGCTGAAGTATCGAACATGATCGCGATGGTGGTCGTGAGAACAATGGTGAGCATCCTTCATCCGCAGGCCGTGACCCCACAACAGCAGTTCCAAGTACTTGCCGAACGAGTACTTGAACGTGGTCTCCGACATAGCTGTCTCTTCCGTGTCCTTCTTACAGGTCTTGCAGTATGTCCACATCGTAATGCCTTCGCTAAGCTCGGATCGTTTAGGGGTAGTAGCTGGTACATGCTCAACAAAGACTGTGATTCGAGACTGGTCATGAACGTAGGTTCGGTGGTGTTCAACCATCTTGCGCTCACAACCATTGGAGTTGCAGACGTGATCCATCGTGTATGCTAGATCCACAATGTACTGTCCCAACGTGCAATCGGGGTCCATGCCAGTATCAATATGCTGTTCGTCATAAAAGTTGATGGCAACCAATGACGGCTCAGTGCAGGGGATCTTCGTTTCTGTACAGATGACCGAGTACAGAACCACGATATTCTGATGCGAATATGGGTCGAAAAGATCGATGTTTCCTTGGATGTAGGTCTCCCACTGGCGCGTCTGGGTTTGGTAGTTGTAGAGTGCCTTGTCGTACTCGGCATCGTGGACGGCATGCAGAATCTCCATGATCTGTCTCGGAGCTTTCTGGCCGATCTCATCGACCATTTCCGGTTTGATGAGCTGGAAGAGTTGTGGTCCTGCCTTCTCCGGATCCTCCTTTTCTTCGACTAAATCGTGATCGCGTAGTCGACGTAGGTATAGGAGTCGTCTTTCTTGCTCGCGTGCCTTCATCAAAAGATATGGTTGCGTAAACTTGACATATGGGGACGCTGAAAGAATCTTTGTTTCATATTTAGACACCATATCGCTGTAGAAAGTCGGCATCGGAATATCGTCAGGAACTTGGCTGTCTTGATCTTGTGCAGCATGGGTATGACTCTCATGAAGGGAAACCACCTTTGGACGTTCCTGAACAGGCTGCTCAGGCTGGGATAACGACGCAACGTCATCTGTCTCGGCAACACTGGAGCTATCCACAGTGGTCTGGGACGGCGGTTCACTCTCGCCGGGGGCTTGGTTTATTACCACGGCAGGCGCATCTTTGGAAACTTCGACGCTGGCGACGCTCAGAGACCTGATACTATCGTTCAAAGCATTGAGCGAACTGGTCATAGAATCGCCGCCTTCGGGGGCCTCGATAGACTCGTCCCTGAGGAGGCTAGACTCTAGTTTCAGGTTGTAGACGACGTAAACCATGAACTCCATGATGTGCTTGATCTTTGCGAGTACCATGTTATTCGCGCCTCGCATAGTGATGGTACAGCCCAACTCCGGTGTGCAGCCAGATAGGAAGATGTACGACTTCTTCCTGCCAGGGTAATCGTTGTTGACAAAGGTCCTGACCTCGAAGGCAGTGCATCGGCCCACTTGGACGGGCAAGGCGAGCATATCCAACGAGGATATAATTTCGGTCTCCGCGCACCGAGCGACTGCCTCAATGACCGTGTGCTTAACATTGTAGGCCACAGAGATGTTCGCTTCGGAGAGGTACTGGAGTGCTACACCTGAGACGCTTTTCTCGGCGAGCAGTACTTGAGGGCGAAGGTTCGTTATCCTTTGGACAACAACTCGAAGAAACTCCTTCTCCTGTTCAATGACGGGTTGCAAGCTCATGAAATGTTGTTGATGTCGTTGATACTCGATGGGGAACGTAACGAGCACAATTCGTGGGTTTGCGATCCGACGCGGCATGCTCTTCAATGCCAAGTTCTTTGTAAACACAACTCCTGAGATGTAGGATGTGTCGCCAGGTTTACCACCCGGTATCCTTTTCAGTTTGACATAGTGCCTGATGTCCATGTCTTCTCCTTTGGCAACATCGGGGTCTACATCATCGGTTGAGCGCAACAGAATGGGTACAAGCGCTTTCTGCCATGCTGGAGGATTCGGGACTTCGGCATCCTCAAGGAGTTGGTGCAGGAGCTTGTCGACGTGCCTCAAACTAGATGCATTGAGCTCAGCCTTTGGTGCCTTTTTATGCTGCAATGAATCACTCCTGGTAACCTGCGACGCGCTTTGGTTTGGCGTGTCCATGGAGAAGAGCATTTCAGAAGATGTCGAGAATCCTTTGTAAACACCAGACTTGGGCCGTGGGGACGCCAGGTGGTGCATACTGCCACTAACATTGCTGGTATTGCGCCGCCTGGGTGCTCGTCGATGCCCAGCTAGACCCGGCGGTCCGCTCAACTCATCATAGCCTCCTCTGCTCACGAAGCTCACGCCGCTGATGCTCTTTTCGCCTCCCCTATGGCGATACTTCCTTCCAGCGTTCATGAATGGCGCAAATTCGGATTTGTCATTGTCAAAGCTCGCAGGTTGTAGATCACCCTGAGACATGGTGGCAAAGATGCTCATCTGCTCATCCTCGCTCGATTCGTCTGACATGTAATCGGCCAACTCAGGGTCAATGATGTTATCGTCGTGGAAAGCTGGGAATTTTGGCTTTTTGGCATTCTCTGCATCAATTCCCCGTCGAAAAGGCGCTCGTTCCTCTTGGGCAGGCTTGAATCGTCCCAGAAGGCCATGTTTTGAGTGATGCCGTTTGTGTCCCGCTGAAGAGTGCGGTCGCCCGCTCAAGGACTTGAGAGATCGGGATGAGCCAGGTCTGCTCAACTGAGGTGCGTCGATCTCAAGTACGGCCGCCGTACGACTCTCCCCAACACGTCGTGTTGCAGCTATAGCCATCATTGGTGTTGATACAGGTCGAGAGTCCTCTGAGCCTTCAGACCCTAGCCCAGATTCTTGCTCCCTAAGCCTTGACTGACTAGCATTGCTAGGGCTCTTTCCGTGATTTCCCCCGAAGAATCTCGGCATGAATGACTGCTCATCTCCAGAGTCCTCGGAAGCACTTCCATCAAAGCGTCTGCTAATCACCTCAAGACATCTTTTGCAAACACGGAGGGAGCCCTGCACACCAAACTTTTCCCCGGAAATCACAGTCGTGCACTTGGAGTCAAAAATGCAACCACACGTACGACAGTGATGCTTTCTGCGAAATGCTGAAAAGGGAGCCTGGCAGAGGAAGCACTCTTTGACAGTATCATCCTTCATCCAGAACTCCTTGTTCAGAACTTGCTTGCGCATCCTGTCAAGCTGTGCGTTGACCTGCTCGGATGCGTCGTCGTTGCCCATAACTGTTCCTGGTATCCTGAGACTCCCGGATGCCATCGTCTGCGGTTGTGGATCTTGAGAGAACGACTCATGGCATACGGAGTTGTGGGCAGAGGTGTTGACTGGACTCGCCTCGGCAGTTCCGCGGTCCAGGGACGAGTCTCTAGATCCCGGGACGCCAGGTGATCTTGATCGACTAATTCGATCTATGACAGTGGGTCTTCGTCGAATACTATCAGGGGAGAGGAGGGAGGATGCTCCGGAGTTGCTGCGAATTCCACGAGTTTGCAGAGATGTGACTGCGCGAGAAGGGCCCTTGAGCGGGCTAGATGGAGTGTCAATACTTCCCTCGATGCTAGAAGTATCCTCTCGCTTGGACCGGGGTGGCAATTTTCCTTCTTTCAAGTCGTACAGATTAACCGAAGGGTCGGTTGTCGCAAGGTGTGCCTGAAGATCTGCGCGAGTGATGCTCTTTCGACTAGATCCTTGGCCAGTGCTATCCTCGGTGCGTATTGTGCTACGACTGGCATCCCGATGTACAGTAACGGGGGCGATGGTGGGGTCGGCAGCGATGGAGCTAGGGGCTTTGGGCGCCTGGTTTGACTTGCCTCCAGTCATCAAACTGATTCCTGTGGCTTTGGATGTCTGAGGTTGCTGTTGTCGACCATCGGCGGCTCCGGCCGAGACAATGGGCGGGGCGACATCGGTTGTGAGAGGTGGTTGTGATGTAATGGTGGACAATGTACTGACGGTGTCGACACGACTAAGCGAGCTTATTGAAGCCTTGGAGGCATGACCACTGAATGATGTTCTTTTTGAAGAGGCTTCTTGTTTCTCTGCCGCATTCTCCTCCGGTATTGTCTTGGATGAACTCCCCGCTCCAACCGCCTCTCTGAGTCGACTGTATAGGCCGCTAAGACCCTGGTGTACCAGGTCGCCAGCAGCTCCTCTGCTCTCGGAGGCAGGCGCAGCACCCGGGGCAGGGGCGAAGTCGTTGAATGTTGTGAGAGAGTCGCACTGGCTCGCTGAGGTGTGTATCTTGTCGAGGGTATGGGCGAGCTGCTCCTTGTCGGTGATGGAGCTGACGGATATCGAGTTTATGGAATCGCGACGGGTCCGGAGGGGAGAGCTCACAGACCCCGAGGCCGGAGAGTCGGATGTGAGCCTCGAGACGTTGCTAGCCATAATAATATATTATCGAAGGACAGCAGACAACAGGCAGAAGTTAGGCCTGAGTTCGTCTTCAGCCCGGTGTTGTGCTGGGTCGTGGGACGATAGACAGAGCGTAGGCGGTCGGCCGGCGATACAAGTAAGCGGTAAGCTCGCGGCCCACAGTGTGGCAAGCTTAGTCCATGAACAACTAGCTTTCTCGTTGCTCAAGCAGTCGAGACGAGGCCCGGTAAACGTTAGGCCTGAGGTTTCGATGCCATGGCGGTTTCTCGTAACGTCGAAAGGGCGGGTAAGGTCGTCGTCACCGATAGGCCACTGGCGCCCAAGGCCGATCTTCAGGTTTCGGTAATCAGCAAGGCTCGGCTCAAGGCGGGTTTGCAGGACAAAAAGCGTCGTTTGGTTTCGAGAACGGGAAAAACAAGCACGACGATGACGAAAGTGCACCAGGCAGCCTGGAGGGGCACTGAGAGGAATGCTGACTTACCGACTAATCACTGCTAAGCGTCTTGAAGATCGCAGCGGAGGGTAAGCTTGGGAGGGTCGAGTTCAGAGGCACAATGTCGTCAGACCCAGACCATACGGCGGGCGCTAACTGAGCTGAGGTTCTCGCTACTTGCTAGGGACTAGGAATGCCCTGCAATGTTGGTCCAGGCGCACCAGGCACGGAAGAGTACTTGGTACTTCCCGTTAGATGCTGCACAGACCAGCCAGCCACACAAGGGCATCTGGAACCAGACCCCGCAGTCTGGGGACGCGACTGCCAATCTTCGCCGCGTCGCGCCGGCAGACGATAGTGACGTGAAAATGGTAGGAGGCCAAAAAAACGTCTGCATTTCTGTCCCAAACCACCGGCCATCATTTTACAAAGTCAACTATCACCACAGACGATCCTCGTCGCATCTCTTAATCCCTGGCCCGTTATTTCGTTCCATCCCTTCTCTCCTCGCGGCCGCGAGCTTCATCCCTTCATCAGTCAGCCTCAAGCAGATGTGACGCACATCGCCATTGGCGTCGGGGCCTTTGTCGTCATCCAGATTCATTCCCATCCAATGTCTCTAGCCTCATCCCCTCCGCGGGACATCATTGAGCTTCTCGCGCGTCGCAACCTCACCAGCATCCCCAAGGACCAGCAGGTGCTGCTGGATAACCCAGACTCATGGGCGATTGACCTGAAGGGTAAGCCTCACGGGCTAGTCAACGTCCCTGGTCATGTCTTGGAGACGACCAAAAAGGCGTATATCGCCCAGACATCGGCAACAACAGAGCCTCAAACACAGCTACAAGTACAGTCACAAGTACAACTGTCATCACAGTTGCCACTGCCGTCAACGACAAGAGACAGCAGCCCTTCAGGGCCAACGAGCAGTCACGATGTTCAACCCACCCAAAATGGCCACTCGGAAGACCCTTTAGAACTGAGGGAAGAGTTCATCGAGTGGTCAGTATCGCCGGAGCGGGAACCTCGTCTCCCCCAACTCCCGCAGATACCCGTCGAGTCCTCCATCGTTCGTGAAACACCAAAAGCTGCACCCATGGCCCCTCCACCACGGCCAGCTCTCCCCTTCAGCTTCCCTTCCTCGGACGGGCCGGAGGAGGATCTGGAAGTGGATATCCCCCAACCCCAGCTTCTCCAAGATACTCCTGTCAATCGGGCAGCTGCTCGCCTCCAAGCAACTGTGGATTTCCCAACCCCCTCTGGAACCAATCCCATGGCCACTCCGCCATGCGCACAGCCAAGTCATCCCACGCAGCCTACCATTCCGAACACTGTTGTGGCGGGCAAACCTGCGGCTGAATTTGTTCCACCGGAACAACGCCGCGAACGCCGCATGAAGGCCATCCAATTCAATGACAAGACTCCAAGGAAAATCCAACCTGGATTGAATAGACTCGCTCCAACCAAGACATTTACGGAGATCGAGAGCTCTGATTCAACATCTCCTTCCTCCATCATTCCTGCCACATTTGAAGAACCCCCAACTCAGGGCTCTGTTCTACAGTCCGTTGAGACCAGCAAAGACATGGATATGGACGATGCGTATGATCAGGAGGAAAACGACGACATGGAAGTGATCATTGAACAATCACAAATTCAGGCACCCGTATCTGGCTCCTACCAATCTGAGCGAGCTTCTCAGCACTTCCCGCCACCATTCCCACAGATAACCCTTAGTGGGGATATTGAGCCTTTCAAGGTCTTCACAATGGTATATCCAACGTACACGGAAAACCATTCGGGTACCCTTTGGGATTTTATCAAGACTTGTGTCTATCTCGACTGGCTCCGGAGGCGCCGACAGCTCCGGGACTACCTTTATGATGATTTCATCCGAGCATTTGCGAACTACCAAGTCTACGTCAGGAATGCCAGGGCAGGACAGGAAGCGCTCGTCGCCATTGAATGGTTCAACAATTTGTCCGGGCCGCCGGTCTTCAACAATATGGTGGTAACCAAGGAAAACCTTAGCTACATCCTCGATTCATATCCAAAGGAAGTGGCCAAGGCCAGCAAGCTCATTGTCGAAGAGGACGGGTCCGATGAAGAAGTTATTGAGACAAGGCAGGCACCCCTCGGCCTAGATGGAATAATGGACGTTGACCGCCGTGAAACGTTGCGGCGACCAATCTCAACACCAGCATTGACGAGTGCATCACGACCTCGTGGGATCTTAACTCAGGCTCCCCCACCCCCCTCTCCCTCCTGGAACTCAACCGCTCTCCCGTCGACGGTTGCAACGCCTGCCACCAGGACCAGACCTTCTCGTGCATCTCAGTACTTTGGGAGACTCGCATCAGGCGTCAATTCGAGCTCGACCCCACGAAGGCGCACCGTAGAAGAGCGTGCAAAACTCAGGGAGCACTTTTTGAGGAGGAAGAGCGCTGACTCTCGGAGTGTGACGAGCAGCAGGTTTCGACAGTGACAGGACGGCGATACTTGTAGAGAGTGGGGCATGCCTAGTGTCATCTTGCGTTTTGGCGTTTATAAAGCTGGAGAGCGTCTCGGAGTTTGTAATACTATTGATACCCGGTATAGCATTGCTACTTGTTATTCTGTCGAGGAATCCTTCAGGAAAGGACACGGAGTGTGGGGCTAGCTTGATACGTCTCCGTTGATAGAGAAGAACAATCAATCAATTGCACACGGCTCAGTAAAAAGCATTGGAAAGACCGGTCTATTGTGCGTGGGCAACTTGTCTATAATAGCTAGACTGACTGACTGCCTGCCTAACTTCGGTTTGAGAGCCTTGTTGCCTAGGATACTCGAACATTCCATCTCATGCGTCCATCTCCCTGAGGAGCGCGTGCCATTCTACGAAGTACTGTGTTTTGCGAATCCGACTCGTCCTCGACGTCATTTCCCTTCTGTGGCACTGCGGCGCGACCTTGTCGTTGCATCTTGGAGCGACCTGTTGTTTCTTGCGTTTCATTCTTTCCGTTTCCGTTACAATTTTTTCGTGGTGGGTTTGGTAAAATCCGTTACTGGTTCCGTTAATCATCATGAGGCCCCCGATCAGAGAGTTGTCGGGGGTGTTTGGTTTGGGTGCCATGTTCAAGTCTCGGGCTCGGCTTCCTGGGCAGCTCGGGCCTCGGCCCTGAGAGCCTTGGCTTCGGCTTTGGCTTTGGCCTCTTCATCCTTCTTCTTCTGATGGCGCTCCTCCTCGGAGGGAGTCATGGTGCGGAGCTGGAGGGCGTGGATTCCGCCCTCGAGAGCCATCTCGTCACGGAGCAGGGCGTAGACCATACGGTGGCGGGCGGGCTGCATCTTAGAGTCGAATGCATCGGAGGTGATGACGAGACTAGAGCAGTGTTAGCGGGGGTGGACATGAGACGGTATTGAGGCAGAGGTCGAGTTTGTGCGAGGTTACAGTGACAGCAAGAGTGGGGATTAGGGAGTGGTGTGAGGCTCGGCGATGGAGTCATGGGGATGCAAAGGGATGGGGTGAGATGCCATTGAACAGTAGACGCCGTCTTTTCGGAGGACTTACCGGAAGTGGGTCTCCTTGGAGGTGCTGCCGGCCATGGCCTTGTGGTGAGAGTGCAGGTGGGAATCATTGTAGATCTCAAGAGTCTGCGGGTTGAAGGCGGCGGTGATCTAAGCGGACGGGTGTCAATCTCGGCGAGTCATGGCGGAGGGCGAGGAGCAGATACATACCTTGGCCCTGATGGTGTCCTCGACTGGAGTGTTGGAGCTCATGGTGGAGAGCTGTCGTCCGACGCTCGAAAAGCCGAGCGCGTATCGTCGAAACATGAGGTAGAGTGCAAGTGGTTTAGGTGGAACGAATCGTGAGGTCACGTCCGTGATGTGGATGCGCCGTGGTGTCGACGGGTGTTGATGCCGACGTTGAAATGGTTGGTCCCGTCGCGGCGCAACAGTCGCTGAGAAACGGGCACCGTGTGCAGCACGTGCAAGGAAGCAGAAGAGAGAAGAGAGAGGATTGGTGTGGATGAATGAATACACGAGGGTTGGGAGGAGAGGTGAGGACGAGAGTAGCCGGGTCGAAGTGCGAGCGGTAGACGACGGGATGAAGTCGATAAGAGAAACACGGGAAAGGCGGAACAAAGTCTAGTTCGGTTTTGATTTTTTTTCTTTGGACTTGTCGATTTACTCAGCTGCCCCCAAAAAGCCACTCACGAGGAAGACGAGACAACAAGAGCAGAGATATTTTAGTTTCGGGGGAAGAGGGGAGAGGGGATGGAAAAAGAAAGGAAGCAGAGGAGGCTGTTGAGCGGGAAGTGACAAAAACAAAAAAAAAAAGAGGGTGTGATTGACCCTTGGCAGCGTCTGCTTTTGCCGGGTGGCGGGTGACGGAGAGAGTTGGATGGACCGGATCTGTTCGTTCGTTGGCGTTTCGGTGTGAAGTCGGTGAGCGCCGCAGCACGGCCAAGTTACGAAGTACAGCGCATTTCACACGCATCCCGCACGACGCACGCTGCACGACGCACGACGCACCGCGGGCTTGCGACAGAGCACGGCACGCGCTCCAGCAAAAGCAAAAGCCAAAAGGGAAAACAAGCCAACCCAAGGCCGCGTTTGTGCGGATCCCTTGCCTGGCGGGCGTGCAGCGTGCAGCAGAAGCGCAGCTCGAGCACCGCCAGGTTTCGTTTACTTGGAGTGAGGTTGGCTGGCTGCCCGCTGGCCGCTGTACGCTGTACCAGACCCCCCCCCCCTACAGTAGCCCCGGTGGCCACGCTCCGGCTACCGCCCACTGCTTGCCAACCGTCCAACAAGGGCCCTTGCTGGGCTGCTGCTGGCGGGGAGAAGCAAAAAGCCCAATAGCAGACCGCCCAGCAGTGGGAGCGGTGAAGCCCTGGGAATGCCGGGGACCTGGGCACCGGGTTGCCCCTCGTGGGCCCTTGTGCCCTCCCGGCGGTGCAAAAATCCATCCCACGCAGCAGATGAACTAAGATGGTAACTACTACGTAGTGAGTAAACTGTGCAGTACAGTGCGGGCATGGGTGCGCCCCGGCTTTGCGCCCCGGCTTTGCGCCCAAGCACCGGTAGATGCCACCATGTAACTATGTACGAACTACGAATAGATGGCCCTTCTCCTTTTTAGCGGGGAGACGCGGATTGCCACCAGGGAGGGCCGCCTTGGGCCGCAATTGGAACGGCCGCCCTCTGCGGTGTGGAGTTTGCTCCGTGTCGCTGCCGTACAGTACAGTAGTTTGCGTGGTGTTCTGTAGGTACGGCCCAGACGGGCGGGATCTGGTGTGGCGCCCTTGCGTTCTGGCGGTATGCGGTCTGCGTGTGCCGGGATCATCATGGATGCCCGCCCACCACACCACCGGAGGGACAAGTCAACCGCCCCGAGCAATTGGTCCGGGGAGACCGGGGCCCGCGGAAAAGAGACGAGGAGCGTCCCAAACGATGTGACAGATGACCTGCGGGCGTGGCCTGGTCAGGGCCTGGTCAGGGCCCGTGTCATGGATCAGACCGGTATGTATCGACTTATCAGTCATGATGCCGCACCGCAACTCAGCAGCGGCACCGCAACACCGCAACATCAGAGCCCGCCCTGGTAGCCATGGAGCCTACCGCCCTACCGCCAGCACACACACACACTACGAAGACGGTGTGACACGGTGGAGCACACCCGCAGGGGCCCTGTGCTGTGGCTGGACGCACAGAACCTTCCAAAGAAGCATCCCCTGTGTCCATCCCAACCCTCGTGCCACCCACCGCGGGATCCCCCTCTTTGCCTCTCCCACTATCGGAATGGCGGAGAGAGAACCTGCACTGATTGACGGTCTGCCAGCAGGCCGCTTGTCCCCCCTCGCAGCCCCAGCATGTCGTCGTCACCCCACCGCCGCTACTCGCCCTAGAGCAGAGTCCAGCCCATGGCCCGCTCCCGACCTCCCGTGCCGGAGTGTCCAAGCGGGCGTGAGGGAGTCCAAGAGAAGGAACCTGCTCTAGCAGCAAGTGGCTGCTGAGCCGTCCCGCTAACTCGACAACACCACGACGCTCAGACATACACCCCGGTACTATACAAGATAGGCGAGGTACGTAATTGCACTGCTGGCAGTTTATGGCTCCAGAGTGTGTCAAGGATCGTAGGCTGTTGGGCGCCAGCTTGTCCCGTCCAGAGGCAATCCCCCCCAAGCCACTTCGCCTACATCTCCCGCCGAATCACAATCTAGACCTGATCTGCAGGCCTATACCATCACGTGCAAAGGTAAGCCAGGGAGTTTGGCCATCTTCCACCTGTCAAAACGATTTGCCGTTATTTTTAGTATCAAAGATGGGAGTCTGGATGAACCATAGGCGCTCCGTGGTTTCAGCTTCGAAGGATTCTGTGCAGTCATCTGGACTGAAGAGTATAGCGTCAATTTATCTGGGGGATGAAATGCAACAGAGAGGCCCCTACAGCTGCCACCCGACTATTCATGCAAACAGCTGTCGCAGCCTTGGGAATCGGACTTGTAGCTGGTCAGACGACGCCATCCGCTGACTCCGGCGTAATGCTTCTTTCGTCGTCAACACATCCTGCGCCAAATGAGATGCCCCGGCGGCAGCAAAGAGAGGACCAGCGACCGGAGCGGCCAGACCCCCAGTCATCACCATCAGTCCACCAGCCGCAGCCATCGTCATGAAGGTTGCTGTACGACCTGATGCCTGTCGCGGCTTGGTGACCTCGGTCTCTCTCAGTTCATCCCGACGGCGCATCAAGACGCGACAGATGGACACGGCACTCTCATCAACGAGACAAGCGAGAATGATGGCGAAATCAGCGTCGTTCCACCAAATGTTGAAATACTCCCAGTCCTCTCGAAGCTGATTGTAATCTATGTGGTCATTAGCGATTTTCTAACAAATCCTGAAACCCAGTACTCTCAACAATCTAAGGTTTTAAGGTTATACTTACGGCTTGTGCAGGTGGCCACTGCGTCACCATCGGAGTCAATGATGCCAAGTTCTTGAATAGCATTGATGTCCGAAATTCGACTTGGCGGCCAGGCAACTGCTCTCGAATTATCCGGTTCGTCGCCGGAGTAGTCCCAGAATACCTGCCCGTCAAACTTTTCCGTGAGAGTTTTGGTCTTCGATTCCCAGACTCCTTGAGGTACGAGGCACAGGGCAAAATGTCGTCGGAATGCCAATGATGCTAGCATCGGCGGGATGGAGTCCGGTGAAGTCGAGTTCCACATAATTTTCTCCGATCGGTCGGGCGCTGTATGGAGATGATCGCTCACTGGTCCATAGATATGAACCGGGGGTGTTGTGACTAGGATTGCATAATATTTCGTATGGCGCAGGAAGGTTCCCTTGGATTTGGTTGTGGTGTCTGTGAAGTCGTTCGTTAGGCCGGGTTTGACCCAGGGCAACTTTTTCGGGAAATGGTGCAAGTACCTGAAGCCGTTCCATCACTCTGTGGCCATCCGAATCCGAAAATGCTTGCAAGCCCAACGACAGCTCGGGTGCATGTGGTTCCAACCGATTTGGTTCCCCAGCTTCCCAAAGCACCAAGTGCCTGGTGCCAATACAGCTCTATAATAGTGGAAATGGCACGGTCGTTGTAAATACCATGGACGAGCCTCCTTGTCCGGGGAGATGTTTCCCAGTGCTGGTAGCCATACCACGCCAGCCAGGTCAAAATAGCCCATGCAGAAAGATTCCGCAACAACACCAGGGGCTCTGGCGTGAATATGATGTAGGCCACCAAGACACTGGCCAAGAGCGTGAACTCAACCTGACCCAGCGCCATTTTGCTTGGAAGAACACACAGATGAGGCGATTTTGGATTTGCGAGTAATAGGTGACGGCTCAGTTGTTGATCTGGTGAGAGCATCCAGCCTAATGTCCGTCTGAGGATATGACTCTTATTCGACGGTTATGCGATTGCTACCTAATACCCCTCAATAAAAAAAGCGGTCTGCTCGTCGGGCTTCAACTTGCCAGCTAGGCATGATTATGCACACCAACGTGCACCAACTATAATGTTATGTCTCCATCTGAACCGCACCTTGCTGGCGTGCCTCGTTCATTGACTGGGTGTAAGCTAACAAAGTCGAGATGTATAGGTCGACAGTCGGTCCAAATCCACTGGTCCACCTTATCATCAAGGCGCAACCTATTGCAAAACCCCAAGTTCCAAAATAACGAATTTTCCTCTTCTGAGTTGTGCAGGCCATCCTATGAGATTTTAACACGCTCAGCGCGAATTTGAGCTCCGGGTGTGCAGGAGACATGTCATTTGAGGCGAATGGATGGATGGATGCCATACTTGAAGCCCCGCGGCAGTGGATATTCTCGATGTTCTTTCTCAGAAATGGAGAAAGAACACCTCGTTAGAACCTCTCGTCAAAATATCCGACTAGATCCCTCCATCTTATGACTTGAACGAGACGAGACTATAACTGTCTTCGGCTTAGGATAGTATTTAACCCACCTGGTTTCGCACCTACATCTGGATGCCGATCGATCACTCTCGGCCGAAGATGGGCCAAGTACGTACCCTCAGCGGAGACCTGGAGCTCTGTAGACCCAATTAGCAGCGCCCCGCGGCCCGTTACCCGACGTCACCTACACCAGGGCCAAACAGATCTACCGCTCCAGTCCAGGATCACGGATCTTCCCCATCACCACCCATCCATCCATCCATCCTCCCATCGTCGCCTCGGCAAATGTGCCCCCGGACCGGACTCGGCGTCGTCGCGTCTCCGCCCACGCATCCTTCCGACTCCAATTGACTACCCCCTCCTCCCTCCGTCCCTTCTCCCTTTCCGGTTTCACAATGTCCCTCCTCCGGTCGCTTCTCTCCTCCGCCGTCCGGCGCCCGCCCTCGTCCGTTCCGTCTCTGACCTCGCCCTTTGCCTCGCTCCGTCCCGCCGCCAGAATGCTCTCCACCCTCCCGCGCCTGCCCCTCTTCGAGGCCGTCTCCCGCCACGACCCTGACTCCACCGCCGTCATCCACTCCCTCTCCGGGCGCACCTTCAAGTACGGCCAGCTGCTCGGCGATGTGCGCCGGGCCCGCGATCGCCTCTCCCAGGCCGCCGGTCGCGAGGACCTCAATGGCGAGCGCATTGCTTTCCTGGTTGAGAACAGCTATGACTACGTCGGTGAGCCAAGCACCACCACCCCTCCGCGCCCTCTCGGTTGTTGGCACTGACGCCGAGCTTCGTAGTGACCCTCCTCGCCGTCATGGCCGCCCGGTCCATCGCCGTACCCTTGTCTCCCGCGTTCCCGGCGCCGGAGCTGCAGTATATCCTCAACCAGAGCGAGGCCTCGTTGCTCGTCTCCTCAACCAAGTTTGCGCCCAAGGCTAAAGAGGTCTTGGCCACTGAATTGAAGTCTAAGCCTGCTCATCTCGAGTTGGCAAAGCACATGGGTGGAGGAAGCCATGAGGAGATTGCGCTTGGTGACTCCGACCCCGGAGAAGCAGGCATGATGCTCTACACCTCGGGAACGACCAATCGACCGGTAAGATAGAAGCTGCTCATGAAAGTGATCTCGTCTCTTTGCTAACCCCTGACTTAGAAAGGCGTTTTGCTCCCCCAATCCGTCCTTACGGCCCAATCCCGCTCCCTCCTTGAAGCCTGGGAGTACTCCCCCTCTGACCACCTACTCCATGTCCTTCCCCTCCACCATATCCATGGAACTGTGAATGCCATCCTCACCCCTCTTCTCGCCGGCTCCACCATTGAGTTCATGTTCCCCTTCAACGCTGATGCCGTCTGGAAGCGCCTCTCAGCCCCTTTCCTCCCCGTCGCCAACCAGGCTACCCCCAAGGACAAGATCACCTTCTTCACCGTTGTTCCCACCGTCTATAGCCGTCTTCTCAACTCTTACAAGTCTCTCCCCTCGGATGTTCAAGAAGCCGCCCGCACCGCCGCCTCACCTGAGCACATGCGAGTCGCCATCTCAGGCTCCGCCGCGCTCCCCACGCCGATCAAGGCTGCATGGAGGGACCTGAGCCACGGCAACGTCCTTCTTGAGCGATACGGCATGACCGAGGTTGGCATGGCCCTCAGCTGTGGCCTTGACTTTGGGGATCGCATCGACGCCAGCGTCGGCTGGCCCTTGCCGTCGGTGCAGGCTCGCCTTGTCGACATGGACACGGGCAAGATCATCGAAGAAGGCGAAGAGATCGACCCGGAAACGGGCCGCGAGCGCTCCGGCGAAATCCAGCTTCGCGGTCCCACCATCTTCCGCGAATACTGGCGCAACCCAACCGCCACGGCCAGCGAGTTCGTCGAGGACAAGGACGGCCAGGGCCGCTGGTTCAAGACGGGAGACGTCGCCGTCCGTCGGCCCGTCCTATCTGCAGGCCACAATGCCACGCAGCAGCCCTGGACCCGCGGGCCCCTCTACTTCATCCAAGGCCGCAAGTCCGCCGACATCATCAAGACGGGCGGCGAAAAGGTCAGCGCCCTCGAGGTCGAGCGCGAGCTGCTCTCCCTCCCCGAAGTCGCTGAGGCCGCCGTCGTCGCAGTCCCCAGCGGAAATTGGGGCCACAAGGTCGGCGCCATCCTCATCCTCGACCATGACGTCGTCACCAAGTGGTCGCCCCTGGACATGCGCCGAGCCCTCAAAAACCGCCTTGCCAACTACAAGATCCCTCAGGTCTTGCGTATCGTCGACCACATTCCCCGCAACGCCATGGGCAAGATCAACAAGAAGCAACTAGTCAAAGCCATTTTCGCCGACATGAGCGGTGACGAGATGTAAGGGTAGAACTACAATTACCCTCTCCATGTGTATATGATTCTGTGGGACGGTGGCATAATAAGAGGAAAACAACACCTAGAAATGTAGATGTGTAAGATTATACGTATTGTGATTAGACATGGGAAGCCCAGGTTGATTAAGGGGTTTAGAACCAGGATATACATCATCGGACACTTTCCATGACAAGTGAAGAGGTGGACCAAAATGTTGAAGTATTCTATTTTTTTCCGATGCCCTGGTGGCCAGCTCGTCATATTCGTACTTGCGGTAACCATTCGACTGAAGGACCTCCCTAGCAACGCCATCATAAACTCGAGGGAAAAATTTGCATCCGGCCCTAACCGTGACCAGGCGGGAGCTAGATCCTTTCGTCTTGATCTCAACTCCCTGCCTCCTTGCCTTCCAGTAACCTCATACCACTATTTTTCCCATCTGGCCATTATGAGGGGTATGACATGACAGGTAAAGGATAAAATGGACCTGGCATGTTACTGGGTATTTTGCTAAGTCAATAACATCCCTCCTCATCTGCAAACACCTCCACTTAGACAACGTGCTTGGCCTTGGCCCTCGTACTTCCAGAGTGAGCACTGTCGGTGTGACCAGAGTACTCAACCTGCTCCGTCGCGGGCAACTCCAGAACCTCCTTGAACCGACGGCCAATAGACATCAAGATATCCTTACCCTTCTCGCTGGTGCGGCCCTTGCCACCGGCGACATCGCCATCGCCGCGGCCTGGAATGCTCTTGCCAATGGTGCGAGTCCAGACACCAATTCGGAAAAAGGCCTTACGGACGTTGACAACAACACCCATGACCTCACCATCTTCCTCGTCCTTCTCAAGGGTCTCGCCGATAGCGGCCATCATGACCTGGAGCCAAAGGCGGTCCACGTCGACGTTGCGCTTCTCCTTGTACTGGTACGACCACTTGCCACCGTGCTTGTTCTGGGGGTCTTCCCACTCGGGGCGGACACCGGCCTTGAAGAGATGGTAGTCGGACTTGAGGGCGAGCTCGGAGACGGGGGAAACGTTGTTCTAGTGAATGTCAGAGGGAGGTCGGAGACAGGTAGTATGTAGAATGACTCACGTAGACACCCCAGAACTCCTCAACGGAATCGAAGGTGATGACCTCCTTCAGAAGATCGTTCCAGTTGTCGCCCTGCGTCACTGTCAACATGAAGTCCAGCATGCCCGAAGCTAATTCGCCATACCTTGCCGCTCGGGGGCTTGGTGAACCAAAGAGTCCACTTGTTCTGGAGAGGGTGCTTGACGTTGAAGTTGTCCTTGTCGTGGAAGACGGTGACGGTATCGTCGCCACCCTTGCTGTCGGAAACATCCTCCTTGCCGTTGGGGTCGATGGGGATGGTGGAGAGGTCGACCTGCTCGTCCATCTTGGGGACTTCGGTTGCGGTAGCGGCCATTGTACTTGGTGGCGCGTGTGCTGCTGCTGGAATTGAGGTTGCGACAGGCGGGATCAAAGATGCGTCGTGCAGGTGTGATCGCGGGGCACCGTTGGGAAGGATAGCGAAGGGAAGGTGGTGGGAGGCGGAGAGGAAGTGGGGCGGCGGAAAAGAAATAAGTCGAGCGGTTCTTTCCGGTTGAGCTTTGCGTGTGTGACTTTGCGCCAGGCAATAGTCGGCGGGAATGAGGTATTGGAGAGGTGGTGATTGTCGGGAGATGCGAGTGTTGTCGTGTTTGAGGGCTGTTTCGACTCGTGAAAGCCCCAGCCGCAAAAAAATATCGGTGCTGACCTAAACTAAACCATACCTCCGTACCTACCTACCTACCTGACTGACGGTCGTGCTCCGTGCCTGCCACAACGGGGTGCCCGAGGTGTGTGGCCCGATATTCATGCCTTGTATGCAAGGCATGCATTCAGGCATGGAATCTACCCCCAACCTGAACCGAAGGAGCTATTCCGGTGTGCCTCCCCTACCCTGTAACCGTGAGCGGGCGAACGGTGGGGAAGAATATAAGGGGCCGTCCCAGGAACGCGCCTTTCGAAACACTGGCTTCTGTGTCATGACTACCAGGTAGAGTACGAGAAATGGCAGTGTACAATGTACTTTCGAAAGCTGACAAAGGGGTGTTGGGTAATTACTCTCATCTTGGCAAACTTAAGAGTTGTGTGGTAATACAATGAGAGACTTCTTCCCGTTTTCATGCACTTACAGCACCTCTGGGGCTCAAACTACATACTTCAATCTGGGAGGGCATCATCTTCTGGATTATTCCAGCACATATAGGTAGGTGCGTATGCGGTTCTCGCCGGAAAGAGGATAGCAATCTCCCAAATCCGGGATTGCCTGCCCGAAGTTTACATGCTAAGGAATCCCTCCTCCACCTGCTGAAATACTGACTGGCCACCAAGCATGCAGTCTTTGAGAGCCAAATTGCCAAATTGCCAACTGCCAACTGCACTCTCGGAGAAAAACAAGGCAGAATTAGAACTATGTTGCTACGCTGAGAACGAGCCAGTCTCCTCGTGTCTATGCATGGCCATGCTAGGTGAAGTGAGGCCATTTTCACACAGCCATGATCATGGTCTATCTGAGCTTAGTTCCCGAGAGAGGTGTGTTACCCTCAGTCATCCATGATCTATCACGAAGACCCCCATCCAGGCCTCCACCTCAACCCACGTTTCATCCAGCGACTCGAATGATTTGCTTTGTGACCATGCACGCAAATCCCCGAGCATTTCCTAAGTTGGATGACGGCCGTGATGCGCGGCCCAACGGATTACGCACTTGGCCCCCCAGAAACACAACTTGCCCGCGGCATGGGCCGTCTCACACTGGTTCGCCTCAGCTTTTCCAGTGTCGCAACCACGTTGCCGCCAGCGCCCGCAACGTCTCCCTTGTGATGAATGAGGCGCCGTAGCGGCAAGTTAGCCTGCCCTCCCAGTTCCCCCAGCGCGGGATCTCCCTGGCCCAAGCTGCCCTACGGCCGAGTGGTCAGGTTCGAGTGTCCACGGGATCCACGAGCATCATTACGTATTTCTGCCGTGGGACTCCCAATGATCAGCAAACCCACGTCCCATGCATGAGGCCACGGATCTGGCTATACCGTTCTGGAATGTTGTCGCGTCTCAACTCCATTCCATCCCACGCTCACGACCCCTCCATGCCCCTCAAAGGTTATTCCGCAGCATCAGCGTGATGTGTGGCCGGCCTGGAATGCCGGGCCTTTGTGTCGGATACTTTAATAGCTACGCCTCACCCACAGAACAAAGCTTCCCATCCCCCCAAACACCTCCTCCTAGCTTCCACAGCTGATTCTTTGATTCTTTGAATTATCTACTACACGACCTCTCTATCACTCCAGTCGAGTTCCCCAGTCACCAGACACAATGGACCACGATACACAGACCACTTCCTTTGAGAAGGACGCCGCCAAGACAAAAGACTCTGCCCACAAAAGCAAGACCCGAAGTAGCTCTCTTTTGATGATAAGTTCGGGCATGACCTTCCTGGCCGCCATCCCCCAAAGAGCCGGCACGACGACGTCTATGAGATCGTCGACATCTCGCTGAGATCAACTACTATTCTGGATCGCTTTCTTTCGTCGCTCATTTCGTCGCCATTTTATCCCGGTTTTCCCACTTATACACACCCGTCACCCGACCAATACTCGTCCTGCCACCCCCACCCTCGCTGAAAGGCTACCGCCGGGAAAGGATATTGATTGTACTGTCCTTATCGTCAGCCAGGAGAGATGAAGGAACTCTCACGATTCCGCCCTAGCCGGCGCTCCCTACAATTCGAGCAGTCGCTCCAAGACCACCCTGACGAGTTCTACGAGCTCCACTTTGCCAATCTCTTCGTTGAAGTCAACGTCCTCGTTACAAAGGCATTCTGCCAGCCCACCAAACCCAAGTCCGCACCATGGTTACAAGAGCACCCAGGCCAGTTCATCAAATACGTGGAACTGCTGGCACGCCCCGATCGCCACGCCGGAAGATGGGATAGGTTGCTTCGCGACAAAACGGAACGAGGCTTCCTCCTCCAGGCCACCCTTATGAAGATCATCGACGCCAAGGTCTTCTCAAGTCTGCTTTTCGGTGCCGATCCTGAACACCTGAGCATTCTGCAGTCGACCGATGCTTCGATGGCTAATGAAGAAGGTGTGTTTGCTCTGTTACACGGCATGGCGATGATGAAGCTAACTGGCTCTAGGATTCAAACGGAGCATTGATCGTGCGAAAACAAATCGCGTGTATCTGAACGCAAAACGTGGACAGCCCCCCCTCTTTTGGGAGGACGTCGACAAACTATGCACCCAGGTATTGGCCCTCTTATTGCCCACGTTTACGTGGACGAGTGATACACCAGAGTCGCAAACACCTTCGGTCCAAGTCCTGTACCAGTGGCTTCACGATGTGATTGCGTACGCCGGCTGGCTCAATGTCTGTACTCGGTTCTCACCTGCCATCCTCACATTCGACTGGGTCAAGCCTGGTGAGAGGTACCACGTGGACCAAGTCAATCTCTCCCAGGAAGTGTTCGAGTACTCCAAAGGCAGGGCACTGAGTTGGGCCGCAAAGCGGATGCCAACTGGCAGCTGTAAGATGACAGCGCGAGTAAAAATCTCAGTGTCACCCGAGATCATTCGCTACAACCCCGCCACGGACGCGTTTGGGAGGGAAGGAATAGCGAATTACAGGATAATGGGGCCCCACGTCGTGTATTACCAAGGACGGGATCTAGATCGGGACGAGGACAGAGGGTATACAAGCCTTCCGGAATATATCCACCGGCTGCGTGATCAGAAGACAGTTCCTCATGGTGCAGCCTTGGTTATCATGTTGGTCGCGATACTTTGGCTGTGGGTTCCCCGTTAGTTCCCCGACCAATTTGCGTGGTTAAGCGGCTTGCGGAGCATCTGGTAAGGGTTAAGCCCGACGTCGGAGTCGGGCCAAGAGCCTACCTACGAAAACCCCGAGGGGGACTTTTATTAAGCTACGGGGACGGGTTGGTCTGAAAGCGTGGGGGTTTGCCGTTGGGTTGATGTGGTGCTGCTTCCGGCGTTTTGTTGTTCGTATAGCGCGTGGGTTCAATAGATTGATTAGATTGCGTCAAATATCTCCGATGCATAAGGCCATGTAGACCATGACGTTAATATGAGGAAGAGTTTTCTCGAGAGAACAAGTGACCGGGGTTTTGGGATCGTTAACTGGATCGATCGTAGAAACTGTGGAAATTGACGGAAATTCTGTCACAAAGTCTGTCACTTCGTCACTTCGGCAGTGCGTTCGTTGGATGAATCTTGCACTTGCACACGAGTCAGTTCCACTTAAACCAACTCCGCTTTGGGAATAGGTTCATGAGATCCATTCCCGGGCTTTGTTTCAACAATTGGACGGCTTCCGTAGCTCAGTTGGTTAGAGCATCGTACTAATACTTCAATTGCCAGTGTTGGTGATGCGAGGGTCGCAGGTTCAAGCCCTGCCGGGAGCAATAGACTCTTGATGCCATCCAATCTTTTTGATGTTTTCATTGATTTCGTTTTCTTTTTGCAGTTGAAAAATATGTGTGTTTTCGACTCGCCAGTGTGGAGGCAACTCCGACTCCCCTCGTATCTCCATGATCGTCTGAAAATGCATTTATTTTCGTCTATTTATCTGCCACCACACTAACTACACCAACTACGATGAACATCATCACCCTTACTTACTAAATGGAACACTTTGGTCGTTGACGATTTCTTGTCTTTGTTTTAAAACGATGAGACAGATTTGTATGTCACTTCTCTCGTTACCATGCGGCTCTCATATTGATGGAGCCTTCCTTCGTCTTAACAGCTACCAATTCGAACTTATGATGTGAGAATGGCATTGAGTTCCGTAGGTCTCAGAATGTTTCCTCCCCGGACACAAAGCAATGCGAGGCTAGACCTTACGATTTTACCCAGCCTTATACCAGGCCCCCTCCTAGTTAATACTGTATTGTGCCACGTTCCCCGTGTTCTTGGATGCTCAGGACGAATCCATGCCATTGGCTATTGTGCGTAACTATGGAGTCTGTTTCACAACAATTCTGCACTCTAAAATACTGCGCCCACAGTTAACGCATATCTGTCATTGTACGTAAAATGTGCGAATAGCCATTGGGAGAGAGACAGGCACGTTGTTGCTCTACTGTTGGGCCACAAGCATGGGTGGCATTTGAGTTGATTGTAGAACCTCCCAAATTGCTAAGCAAACTCAACCTGCTTGTTCATCTGTCATTAGAGTATTTCGCTTAGGGACAAACCTTAGCCTACACAGCCATCAAAGTCAAGCTTGGAATGTAAAAGCCTGTGTATTCGGCCGTCTACATGCAGAATAAGAAAACCATGCATGGGAACCACGCACGGCAGGTGGCGAATGTGATATTTTGATATTAACCTCGATTATATATTGTAGCTATTTCCCATATTTGGTTCCGGTTCGTGACCACAGAGGCAAGGTCATAGTTTAACACCAACGCATCAAACCACCCCGACGCCAACATGCACTTTGGGATGCTCACTATTTTTGCTGCTGCACTAAGGGCGTGACAAACGGCAGCAGGGCCTTCCCCAGATACATTGTCAATGGACATCGCGCAAGTTGATCAGTTAACGGGGATGGCATCAAGCTATCTTCAGCGCCTTAACCTATCTAGAAATAGTGGGACTAGATACGCTGAGGTATATAGCCCGAGCTTTAGGACTTCAGACGTAGACAAACGTTGATCGTTTAATAGGGTCTTGGGACTGAATTTGCAAAGCTGGCCTCCGGAATTCAGTGAATGAACCAAGAAAACGCCGTAGTTGAGGATGTATCGTTCCAGCTTCCACAGATAATCGTATACTGCCCAATAATTTTCAGGGTATATTATGCCATTCTTACACGCTTCAGCAACAACCGTTCTTCGCTGACAGAAGCTAGCTGATTTACACCGAACGGAATTTCATGAATAATCTTGGCATTATGGACAATGTCCTTGCCGATTCTGGCGTCGGCAAGCAGACTAGAAGAATCATCGATTTATATGGGAACGAGATGGCCAAGTTCCTGGACGATGCGATGGGGAGGCTGGACTTTTGCAGCGATCAGCTCACCTCGGCGAGGAAGTTTCCAGCTTGAGTAGGTGCCGGCTTGAGGAGGGGGAGAAAAAGAGGGCGCCTGATACGGGAGTTTGTTTGAGGGGGACTCGAGATATATTCCATTGTACTCCGTAGCACACCATTATCAACCCACCCATTCATCCGGTGTATGGTCCCTGGTGTCCTTGTCGCTCAATCTACGACATTGCGTGGCTTTTCAATCACAGCATATGCAAGCACTGGGCGGAATGGACACGGATGCTGGCATGCGATACGGGCAGCCGAGCAATGTGACAGGTCGGCGGCAAACGTGGGAACGCTGCAGCCGCTACACCGCACATGCACGCAGCCATGATCCCGTCAACTGATTGATCAATCACCAAACCGCCAATAATGGAAGCCATTGACCCACACGTTGCCAGCAATACCCGGCACAAAAAAAACTCATTTGCAACGGAGACTGGCCCGATCGCACTGCATGAAACCGTTCGCTTCCAGCACCTTGTTTGGAGGAGGCTGGGAATGATGTCAGCCCGGCCACTGAGCGACAGGGGTCCTTCGACGGGCGCGTTTTTCCCTCGTCTGTCGAGGGACTGGATAACTAGTTGGAATGTTAGGAAAAATGTCAGACAAAGTAGGTTTGGTTTGGTGGCTCCGGGCCATCCCGCCCCGGCGCCAACAGCTTGGAACCAAACCAAAAATGGGGACTTTGGTGGGTTGTGTGCCACTGTAACTCAAGACATCGTCCACTGAGCTGCAGCGCAAAACTTCTAATTCAGGACGGAGGAGGTACGTACCGAACTCAGTTCATAGAACCATCGACATGATATCTCAGGCCATCATATGATGCCAATGCCAACTTCGACTGGTGACGATTGCGTCGTTCTGTCGCCATCCTTCCCTCTTTTCTTTTTGCAACAGGACTTGGCAGAGATCCCATCTCCACCTCATCGGTCGTCTACCACGTACTTTTCCGTCTACGCGGAGCTACAGTACGTCGTCAACTTCTTAGCGGCCACCCGTTCCTTGCAGCCCGCAGCTCCGCTCGTGTCCGCTTCGGTTGATTTGGACCACCACCAGCCACCGGATTTTTTGCTGGCCTCTCATCCACGCAGCCTAAGCGTTTCTCCAGCCTCATTGCATTGAGCAGTCGGCCTAGCCCAAGGTGGTCGGCTCAGCCCAGCCTGGAACAGCCCAACGGAGGGCCGAGAAAGCTCCCTCTGCCCCGTACGCACGCACGGCGCACATAGGGTCCAGCTCGCCAGCTCTTAGCGCCTCCCCGACCGCCTTCTTTTCTACGGGAGTGCTAGTCCCAGCAGCCGGGCGGGTACTTGCAGGCGTGTTTCGCAGCCTCCCCCGAGACCCCGAGAAAACCTGGAAGGCGACCGACCGACGGGGGCCATACGTAGGATTCTGGAGGGTCTGCTGCTCAGGGCTGCGCAAAGGGCCGTCCAGCGCCAACAGCCGCCCAGCTCCGAGCTTACAGGTGGAGTGGACGAATTGGCGGCCCAGCCCCGGAGTATCAAGGAACAAGGAAAAAGGAAAAAAACCAGCCAAACCAGGCTGTGGTGGAGAGCACAGGCCAACACCGTAGCTTGGAAAGCTCCCCGGATATCTCACATCTGCCCACGAACCTCCATCTCTAGTCCGTGCCATACCGTTGCGACTCTCCGTCAACCTCTTCTTTTCGCGCTCCCTCCGTGGCCCCTGCAAATCATCGAGCGCTTTCCCGGCGGTACCTGAACCCGCCTGCGTCGCCTGTGTTCTGCACAGCATTGGCTAGGTCCGGCAGCTCGCATGAGCCCTGGACGCCCCGCCCCGCCGTCATCTCCATCTGCGACGAGGTGTGCCGACCGTACAAACTAGCATCCGCCCAGATCTTCTCTCAGCTTGCCCACCCCCGAAGGCACAAGGCGCGAAACACGCCCCATTCTCCATCCCCATCGCCTCCTGCTAGACGCCCTCCTGGACGCCATCGCCGAATCGACGCCCAACCACGCGCTCATCGTCGCCCTCAATGTCCACGCCCTACTGGGGCCAGCTGCCGGGGCCCAAGGTCGCCCAGGCCACGCATTCTAGCCATCACCGCCGCAGGTCTGAGTCGGATGACTACACCTATAATGCTGACCGCAGATCCTCGCTCGACGTCCCGCCTGTTCGTAGAGCTAATCGTGCTTCTGTTCAAACTCAGGCTACTGAGGCGCACTCCGAGTCTACCTTTAGTCCTCTCGACTCGCCCACATCTGCTAGCTTCGGTGCTCAAGGCCTAGCACCTAGACCGCCTTCCTACCAACGTGGAGCTCCTCGCGACCCGGCCTCAGAACCTTCCGACTTCAGAAAAACCCGTCGTCCTAATCGCAACCAGGAAGACTTTGACGACGTCGACCCGTCCTTCCCCGAGGCTCCCGAGGCTTCTCGAGGTCCCCCAGTGAGCTACCGTCACCCATACGGCAACGGCGGCCTTCCCTATACCCACGCCGCGGCCGACGCACCAGCAGAGTCTTCTCAATTGGCCGACCCTGCCCCCTTTGAGGGCGAATACGACGACATGGAGCCCGAAGAATATTACAAGAGCTCTACCGGTAGGGCCGGGGGCTCACAGTACCCCGGGGGAGCTCCTGGCCAGACTGCCAGACAAGACTCCAGCGCCTCCGCATATGACAACCCGCCGCTGTCCAGAAGGGCAACGACTGGGACATCAAATCGCCGAAAAACGTTCGCAGACGACCGATCACCCCTCCAAAGGCTTGAGCTGACGCTCGATAGCATCACCAAGGAGGAGAAGCGAGCAAGAGTTGAAGCTGCCGAACAGCGTGCAAGAGAAAGAGCGGCTCGAAGGGCCGAAGAGGCTGGACACAAACCCGTCGACCACCAAGTACGATTTGACCGACAACCTTCCATCAGTCATGAGAGGCAGTCCTTGGCTCCCGCTCCGCTAGCTGTTAGGCAACCTCCGGTGCAGAGAGAAGTATCCAGAGAAGCTCCCCGAGAGGTGCCGAGAGACGTACCTCGAAAAGCAACCAGAGAAGTGGTGAGGGAGGCACCGAGAGATGCCCCAATCCAGCGCGACAACTCGACTCGTCGTCATGGCCCGCTCTCTCAACATCCACCAGAAGACCAGGACTACTTTGGCTCAGGAGCGCTACAGGAACCAGAAGACGTCGTGCCCGTTCAAAGACACTTGGAAGCGGATTCTGGAATTCCAAAGCGCAACCTGAGCTTCCGTGAACGTGCCGTTAGAGATAATGTGCAGTTCGCCCAGCCGGAGGAGCCCAAGACAGCGCCGCCGCCTCCGCCCAATGGAGGCTTCTCTCTTACGAGGAGCGGCAGCAATAAGTTGAAGAAAGCACCTCCAGGAGATCCTTGGTATCATCTGAAAAGAGACCTGGCCGCGAGCTCAAGTAATCAATCACAAGAACAGCCGCGCCGCGAATCACGAGACTACCCGCCATCTGCCCGAGATAAAGATCTTTCCGCTGCCCCATCCGACGGTCGCAGGCCATCCGTTGATGCTGGCAGCCGAGGCGCCCAAATACCAAAGATGGCCGACAGCCAGGGCATTAGACGACGTGCCACCGAACCAGTTCCAAGGGCAGAGTACGCCTCTGACGAAGAGTATATCCCACCAGCCGCACGCGGTAAATCATTTGGGAAGGCAGAGCAAGATGACCGCGCTTACCCACAGGATGCGGCAGCTGGCCGAAGGCGTGCGGAGAGAGCAGATAGCTTCTCTTCTGATGGTTCGCATCATCACCGCTTCTCCAACATGGTATTTAAGCGTCGCGAAGATATGATCCCAGGCAATGGTTTGTATAAGCCGCCTCAATGGCTTGATGAGTGGAAGAAGGCAACCGTCGGCACCTTGGCTGGTAGCTTGCTGGACCTCCAGGAGAGTCCGAAAGAGAGCAACTCCCCTCCTACAGATTCCAACAAAGCCTGGTGGGAGCAAGACGGTCGCCGTGGTAGTTACCCTTCCCGACCACGCAAGGCAGAGGCATTCGATGGCGAATACAGCGAAAATAGTAAGCAGCCCTTGTCTACGGGTGGTGGTTCTATGATTGGTGCTTTGCTAACGCTGTCCCCTCAGCCCCTACTCGATTTAAGCCTCCGCTGTATCTGAAGTGCGGTCCGTTGTTAAGATACTGTGGTATCCGAAGAGAAAAGGCACCCGTTCGATCACCACGAGGCAACGCCATCTCAGAGCGAGAGGTTTGGAGAGGCAGTGTCATGATTGTTACTCAGGACTCAGGCTCTTCCTACGAAATAGCCCCTACGCTTCGACTCTTTGTCCAAGGTATTGAGTTGTTGCCCCCTCCCCCGCACCGCGTAAAGGGGGACCTCTCTCCAGAATATGTTGACCCCATTGTGGGCCACCCGAAACTCGGTCGACGGGGAGAGACTCTTTACGTTCGACCCGTGGAGCACCTGGAAGAGGCAAAGGACTTGTCTCGTGACGAGACAGACGAGGGCATCTTTGAGGAGAGCCGGAGCCCACCAGATGTCCCACCCGCTGATGGCTCAACGGAACTTCCGGGATCATTCGCCGGCCGCAGGAAGCGAGTTGGCATTGACGGCGAGAAGGTCCAGAAGTACAAGGAAGTCAGAGGCTTCCGTCTCCATACCGAGCGAGGATGCACGTTCTGGCGTTTCAACATTGAGGTTGAGCTGCGCGAGAAGCAGCAGCGCATCGCCTACCGCATTAACCGTGGCCCGGCCAATGGGTTCTGGGTGCCCGCTGGGGGACAGACGATGAACATGATGTTCTACAGCTGCAACGGCTTCAGCACGAGTGTCAAGACTGATGAGTTGAGCGGCCCTGATCCCATGTGGCGCGACGTCCTGAACAACCACCAAACCAACCCCTTCCATCTCATGATAGGTGGCGGTGACCAGATCTACAATGACTGTAAGTTTTGCTTGGCCTTGCGATATTGATCCCATTACTAATATGGTTTAGGTGTCGCGAACGATTGCTCTCTGTTCCAAGAGTGGTTGTCAATCCGTAACCCTGTTCACAAACATACTGCTGCCCTCACGCCTGAGATGCAAGACCAGCTAGAGACATTCTACCTGGAGCGCTATTGCATGTGGTTTTCTCAGGGTCTCTTTGGCTTGGCCAACTCGCAGATCCCCATGGTGAACATGTACGATGACCACGACATCTTTGATGGGTATGGATCGTACCCTCACCACGACATGAACTCACCCGTCTTCCGTGGCTTGGGTGCGGTGGCCTTCAAGTACTACATGTTGTTCCAGCAGCAAACGATTCTGGATGAGACGGAAAAGGCCGAGCCGAGCTGGATTATGGGAGCCAAACCTGGTCCCTACATTGGCGAGCTTGGCCGCAGCATATTTGTGTCTGTGGGTGCCAAGGCTGCCCTGGTTGCAGTCGACGCCCGCATGGAGAGGACTGAGCACGATGTTGTCTCAGATCAGACATGGGAGAAAATCATGAACAGACTCTATGCGGAGTTGCGGCGTGGCCAAGTTGAACACTTGCTGGTGCTCCTGGGTGTCCCGATTGCGTACCCGAGATTGGTCTGGCTAGAGAATATGTAAGTGACTTGCCACAACAGATGGCGAAATATCAGTGAACTAACATTTCGCAAGTTTGACTTCTAGACTCATGAACCCCGTTAAAGCTCTGGGCAGAACGGGCGTCTTTGGAAAGGCGCTTAACAACATCGACGGTGGTGTGGAAGTTTTGGATGACTTGAACGACCACTGGACAGCCAAGAACCACAAACAGGAGCGGAGTGTTGTGGTTGAGGACCTTCAAGATCTTGCTATCGACAAGTCGGTCCGTGTCACAATTCTCAGGTACGTTGAAACATAATTGATGACCCTGGGAACTAGTCACTAATTTGAGTAGCGGTGACGTGCATCTGGCTGCTGTTGGACAGTTCTACTCCAACCCCAAGCTGGGACTGGCAAAGCATAGGGATCCACGGTACATGCCAAATGTCATCTCGTCGGCCATTGCAAACACACCGCCACCGGACCTCATGGCCGATGTGCTGAACAAGCGGAACAAGGTGCACCACTTCGACAAGCAAACGGACGAGGACATGATTCCCATGTTCCAACAAGGTGTCGACGGCAAACCCAGGAATAACAAGCATCTTCTGCCGCATCGCAACTGGTGCTCCATCCGCGAATGGGCCCCTGGCAACACACCGCCGCCAACCCCGCCATTATCAGCTTATGACAGAACCCCGAGCCCACCGCAAAGCAGCAGCGGGGGAGGCGGTGGCCTCTTTCGGAGACTTTCCCTGTCGAAGAACCGGCCGTCTGCAGAGCCTCAGCCTGAGCAGTCCAGAGAGTCGGTCCGGGGCTCCCGGCCACCTGTTACGCGGGGCGCCGGTGGGCTGTTCCGTAGCTTGTCACGCCGGAACTCGACCAGCAAAGAGAAGCCCAACAAAGAGAAGCCGGCCAAGCTTACCCGGTCCATGTCAGTCGACCACGGCGACGCACCCAAGAAGGTCGGTTTCTTCAGCTTCGGCCGTCGCAGCAGTCAACGTCGGGCTGACGAACGCCCCGACGATGGTGGTATCAATGGCACCTGGGGAGACGAGCCCGATTACGAAGAAGAATACTGGGACGAACCTCCATCTCCTCGGCGACAGCGCGGGTCAGGACTTCGTGGCGGCGCGGCTTATGACGAGTACACGGTGGGCGACGATTCGCACTTCATGGCCCAGCCCCCACGAAGAGCGCAGACCACAGGCTCCCAAGGAATGGGTGGAGCAAGGGTTGACATTGAAGCACCTCCAACACGGCCGTTCCACCGGACGCCGACCGGGTTGTCGACAAAGCAAAAGAAGCACGGCGACAAGTATGAAGTGGACCTTGAGGGTGGGCTTGACATTTGCCTAAACGTCGAAGTAAATCCCAAGGATCCGGCGGGTATTACGGTACCTTATCGGCTACTGGTACCGAAACTGCTGTACGAGTACAGCCCAGAGGTGGATGATATCCCCATCCCGGAGGCAGAACCACGGGCGTCAGCGGAGCCGAGTGGCTTCAAGCGTTTGTTGAGCTTCCGCAAGAAGCCCGAGAAGGTGCGGCCTCGAGATGAAGAAGAGTACGATAGCGAGGAGGATGATGATCATTACCAGCGCTAAGGAGATGACGCTTCAGAAAGACAAACAAAGAGGGAGATCTCTTTGTGGTGTCTCACGCGGGGTCTCAGTGACACGTATGAAGGACTCTAATGAGATTGTCGCGACGATTACGAATTAGGTTTCTGAATTTGCTTTTTGGATGTAAGGGTCGGGACTGTATATATGACGGCCAAAGGTTAGATTGATTGACATTTCAAGGCGCAGTTGGGAGGTAACATGGGAGGGATATTTAGCAAAAGCACTCTGACAACGGTTGTCGGATTGGATTACGAGCCACAAAGAGACACGATTGGATTGTTCAAAGACTTGAAAGAATGACGACCGACACTGACATATTGACATATTGACTGAACAGAGAGGTGATATTCCCCGCGAAGGCGATGGATGGAGCCACCTCAGTTCTATAATTACACCAAAATGCAATATACCAAGACGGCTATTTCGGCACCAACGATCCTTCCAAGACAGCCCTGGAACTCCCCTGAAGCAACCCCCCGCGATAGAACCATAACGCCCTGTAGCGGGCCGCTAAGGTGGCCTAGAAAGGCCGCTAAACACGCCCCGGGAAGCGCCCGACACGGGGGTCAGAAATGCAGCGAATCATTTCGGCCACGGGTTCGAAAGGAGGCATCCACTCTGGACCGTGGCTGTCCGCTGGCGACTGCCCACCTCCGCTACCACCTCCACTGCAGCGTACCGAGGAGCACCTTGAAGCTTCCTCCTTTTCCCTCCTGTGCTACATTCAAGGAACTAGAAACCGCCACTCGACCGTCTCGACAACGGAAGCCATTCCATTCCCTACCTTGCAATTGACACAGCAGCCTCGGCTGAGACGGGACTCGATACTTGTTGCGCCACCGCACAGCCAGACATCCGGAAGGAGGGACGTTGAAAGCGGCACCGGTCCAAGTGGCGGCACGCGAGAAACAACAACACACGACACAGCAGCGCAACGAGACGAAATCGACCAGCATTCTACCGTCCGCTAACGAATAGGGGACGGTTCATGAGCAAGGGCATGGCCCCATCATGTCGCGCATCCTCTATCAGCAGCTCAACTCCAACAGCAAAGTGCCCTCGCAGCTGCAACCCATCGCCAATGCGTTGAAGGCCGGCTGCCGGCGAACCGCCCACATGTTGAGCGCATGGGTGACAGGGCCCGGACGGCACCTGGCGACGGCCGTGGGTGGCCGAGTGGTTCGGAGGGTGCGCGCAAACCTCTCGGCGAGGCGTGTATTGAGCTTCCCGCACATGCTGGTGCTGATCTGGATGGTGGTGTTGCTATATGGAGAGCGTTGGATATTCGATAGCAAGGTCGCTGACTGCGACTGGGCTAGCTGGGAGAAATGGGTACGTTGAACGCAGAGGAGAAAGCAGAAGAGAAGAGGATATGGAAATGACATGTCGACTGGGCACAGCAGAGACTGACCATCTTACAGCCCAAGGGAACGAAGCCTCACCACCTCATCTTCGTCGCCGACCCCCAACTCATCGATCCGCACTCTTACCCGGGCCGCCCCTGGCCTATTAATCCGTTGACCGTCACCATCACCGACAACTACCTCCGCCATGGCTACAAAGCCCTCCAGCGCCACTTGCACCCGGACAGCGTCTTCTTCCTCGGCGATCTCTTCGACGGCGGCCGCGAATGGAAGACCCGCAAGGGCAAGTTCGTTGACCCTAAATGGGGGTACCCTCGTCACAAAGACGAGAAGGCCTGGGTCGAGACCTGGCACAACAAATACGGCGAGGAGTTCTGGATGGAGGAGTACGAGCGCTTCGCCAACATCTTCTTTGACAACTGGAAAGAGGGCAACGAAGCTCCGGGACCGTGGCAGCGTGGGCGGAAGCTCGTTGCGAGCCTGCCTGGAAACCACGACCTTGGGTTTGGCGCCCAGGTCCAAGTCCCTGTCCGGGACCGCTTCAGCGCCTTCTTTGGCGACGTAAACCGGGTCGACATTATCGGAAACCATACCATCGTGTCCGTCGACGGCCTCTCGCTGAGCGCCGGCACCTCTTCATACAGGGACAAGCACGACCTACGACCAATCTACGGCCCTGTCCATCAATTTCTCGACGACGTCAAGGCCATCAAGCGGAGAGCCGTCGAGGGGGAGCTGAGCTTCTGGCACGGGACCGAGAAGCACTTCGCCCATGAAGTCGAGGAGCTGAACAAGGCGGACCTGGGCCGGTTCCCCCATCCGGATGTCAGCGACGAGGCCCCTGAATTCCCTACGATTCTCCTCACCCATGTCCCCCTGTATCGCAACCCCGGCACCCCGTGCGGACCGCGCCGCGAACACTGGCCGCCGTCGAAGCCGCCCAAGGGCCAAGAGGGGCCGGTGAACCCGGATAACCGTAACGCTATCAGTGTCACGGGCGGATATCAGTACCAGAACGTCCTTAACGAGGTCGATTCGGTTAAGCTTATCAAGGACGTGGGCAACGTGATCCATGTCTTCTCCGGAGACGACCACGACTACTGCGAGGTGGTGCACTCCCCGGCCAAGGAAGGGGTGCGCGAGATCACAGTTAAGAGCATGAGCATGGCCATGGGTGTCCCGACGCCGGGCTTCCTTATGGTCAGCTTGTACAACCCCGTCGATGCGGAGGGCAAGCCACTGCCTGACGCCCCGGAGGCTACGCTCCAGACACATCTGTGCCTCCTCCCCAACCAGATCCACACGTACATGCAATATATCGTGTTTGGCATTGCCACGGCCGTCCTCCTGACGGTTCGCGCACTGCTGGTTCCCGCCATTCCACTCACACCCTTTGCTCTCGAGCCCATCAAGACGCCTACTATCCTGCCTGTATACAAGGACAAGGTGGAACCTCCCGAGTCCTTCTCTGGTGGTAACCGAGCGCGTAGCACGTCGACGGGCGCTTCATCTCATTACATGCCGTCACGGCTCTCTGCCGCTGCGCCGCGTGGGGTCCGGAGTACATCGCCACACTCCTCACCAGCGGCACGGTGGCAGGCTCGTCGGGGCGGGCGCAGCTCGAAGCGGTGGGGATGGGGAGACGACGGCGGGCCGCGGATCCATCTCGACACCAACCTGTACGACGGAGCGAAGACAGACCGACGTGTTGGTAGCCGGAAGGCGATCGGCATCGTGGGACGCGAGCTGTGGACGACGATGTGGCGCGTCGTGTGGATGGCAGCGCTGTTCTGGGCTTATCTGACGCGACAGGGCTGATGTGTGAGGATGTAAACTGAACCGAATACTTGGACCTTTGTATATAATCACATCATTTCACAGCATATTCATGACGGAGAAACGGAGAAAAACAACGAAGGAGAACAAGACAAGCCGAAAGGGCGGACACTTGGATACAGGGACCGGTGCATTTTGGGGAATCGCAAGTTGTGTTTTTTGGCTCGAACCTTGAGTCTATTTATTATGTGTATATAGGGAATAATGTGTGGACTGGGGATAGACTGAGGTGTAATTGTACTCGACAGTGAGCGAGGGATGAAGAAAGTGTTGTGTGAATCAGGTTGTCATGATGGTTATGCTTGAGTTTGTGACACCGTGTGATAGATAGTATCAAGCCATCCAAGCCATCCAGGGACTGTGACTGTAACCTATTGCGGTGTCTAGTCCAACAGCGATATCCAACAACCTCAGCCTTGACCGTGATTCCCGAGTATCCTCTCAGCCTCTCAGCCTCTCAGCCTCTCAGCCTCTCAGCCTCTCAGCCTCTCAGCCTCTCAGCCTCTCAGCCTCTCAGCCTCTCAGCCTCTCTCTCACCTCCCGCGCCTCGTGACGCCGATCCTGTCGTCGCGCGCCCTCCTCACGCGCGCCTCGGCATCGGGACTCGCCTGGACGCCCTCCATGCCCGCGGCCTCGGCGGCAGCGTGGGCCTCGGCGGCGGCGGCGATGCGGGCCTGTTGCGCTGCGACGAGGGCCTCGCGGGCGCGCCGGTCCTCGTAAGCGGCGACGTCCTCAGAGGTGATGTGCAGCGTTGTTGCGGGGCGGCGGAGCATGTTGGTGTGTCTTTGGCGGGTTGTTGGTCTGCAATGATGGGTCTTTCCTTTTCCTCTTTCCCTTTTCCTGTTCCTTTCTTTTGCAGGGGCTTTGAGGAGCTGTCTTATCCTGGAGGCAATCGCCGAAAAGCAGCTGTTGACTCGGTGATGGTGTTGATGGTGATGGTATTTAGCAGTGGCGGCTCTGTCTTTTCGCTGCCCCGCCTTGTGGGGGGTTATAAGTCGGTGGCGGAACCGGAATGCGACGGAAAAAGGATGCTTTGTCTGTGATGCGACGTGGTGCGACGTTGCTGAGATGCAAGGGCGAGTGTGACTGTGAGAATCTCTGACAAAACGACGTGCTGGGTGAGACCTTGTTGGTTGATGGCGTTTGGCCGCGCCACACGTCCATCTCCGCCACCATCGGAGCGGTGGAGCTTCCCGGGTCCCGATATTGCAACACTCAATTAACAACCAGATTTATATCCTCGAGATCCAAGTGCGGACACTCCCTCGCATCTTCATAATACATCCCTCCAAGTTGCTCAATCAGCCGACACCGCTCCTCCATCGTCGCGGCATTGGAAATCCTCCCCAGCCCCTTCCGGGACGCCTCCCAATACGCCATCTTGACCACCCACACGCCGCCGCCCGCCGGCCACCCGACGTACAGAACCGGCGAATACAGATCGATGACCTCGGAGCCGTCGTCGCTGATCCTAGACCACTGTGCTCCCAGTTGCCGCATCCGTCCGCAAAGCGCCTCTTCTTCCGTCGCATCGTACGAGCGCTGCGCCGGCGTGAATCGGTCGAGGCCCAGGAAATCCAGTTCGAGGACGGAGCAGTCGTATAATGTGTACCGGCCTCCCTTGTTCGGATAACACATCACAGTTGTGCCGATTGAGTTTCCAAAGACAGTCCGGGCATTCCGTCGATCCTGGATATCGTCCTTGTCGGCGTCCTCGTCCTGGCTCCCGCTCCGGTTCTCGTATAGGCCTGCGCTATAATGGACTGGGAGCTCCGAATCGTCTGCGGTATCGTCATCTAGCCAAAACATCCGCGGTGACGGGTCTCGATTGACGTAGACTCGGACGAGAAAAAAGGTCGCCACCGCGATGATGATGGCGACCCGAATGAACATGTTGCTTCTTTCCTGCCTTGACCTTTGTGAGATTTGACGCCTTGTCAGAACACTGAGTGCAATATCAAAACACCAGCCATGGATGCAATTGTTTAGTTAAAAGTTTGTCAAAAATCCCCCATCGTCTGAGCCCCGTCTTATAGACTGGCCGACTCGGCCCAGTCTCGACTGATGCTCGACGCAGACCGACTTCCCAATTCAGCTCGCTAATACTTGGGCGGGAGCCTCGCTCAGGCAACACCCAATGACCCGTAGGCTTCCATATAATTATACACAAGTCATGGGGAGAGAATGATGTAACTCTCGATTCCAGTGTTCCAGTGTTATTCATCAATATTATGCGCCGCAATTTTTGCCCCATCCAATTTATCATGCTGTCAATGTTGTCGTAGACGGTATCCGAAAGAGCGCCGTTCTAGGTATATATGATCCCCGCTCCCAATCCAAAATAACCAGACCATTAACCTCATCAATGCCATGTCTCCCATGCGCCGTAATCGTAAGCGTAACAAAAAAAAAAATTGCCAAAATAACGAATGTCCTGTTTTCAAGGCGAGTCGCAGAACCCATTTACCCAGACGTTCTCCGCCTCCCATCTCAAAAAGTCTCCCAAGTCATGATGCAGGTTGTATCCCATCGGTACCGGCTCCGCCGCCTCATCGCCACTTATATCTCCCACCGACATCACCAACGGCAGCATCGGGCTTGGTGGCAGGCTGTCCATTGAGCTGCGTGATGTATATTTTTTCGGCCGGCCCTCGCCCATCCAGCGCTTCAGTCCCGAATTGCTGTAGAATTTTTCTTTGCTGGCACATTGTCCGGATGAAGAATCGTTCCAGAACCCAGACGGGTACTCAGACCCCACTGGGATGGGGAGATCCATGTCCATATCTATCGTCGAGGGAGTCGATGAGATGGTGCTCTGAGACGAGGTTCGGAAGGACAGCGCAGGCACATCCTCCGGGATCATCTCTCCATACGTCTCGAAGCCGAACGAGTCGAACCAAGTCGTGATATCCTCGACCTGTTTGGCATCCTCCTCAATAGTCAAATCCTGGAACAAGTCTCCGGCACCACACAGGATGGCCATCTGGAACGCCGTCCAGTCAAGTGTATCGTCCATTGCCACGGTCTGGTGCGCCTCGGCCTTGGGCAAGGTTATAGAGCCATGTCGAAATTGCGGTTGCGTCAACGTGAACGGGGTACTCTTGAGATACAGGACTCCATCTTTTTCCTCGGCTTTCAAGTTGGGTTCACACTGGTCTCGGACCCTCTTTGGAGCCTTCAGTGGCGCCTTGGGTCGAGTTGCCGTCTTCGTTTTAGGTAGTGGTGGTAATGGTCTCAGATGCGGTGGCGTTCCAAATCGCGCAGGGTTTTTGGGTGGCGGTGGAGGAATAGGAGTCTCCGCAGTGAGCCAAGTATCGTTCTCTTCGGGGCTCTCCAAGGACCCCTTGTTCTCTGGCGCATCGATACGAATCGAAAAGTCTTCGTGGGTGACATCCTGATCAGAGAGGACGGAAGGGGGTATTGGTTCCACAAAGGTTGTCATCGCTTCTACTCCTGCCGCCCCAATCCGCAATGGTAGGTCCTGGAGGTGAAACGGCTCGATGGGGGTGTCAGGACTATCCAAACTTAGACTGCAAGTCAATTCGGTTGATTCTCGAGCCTTCAGCAGCTTCTCCTCCTCCTTCTCCTTTTCTAACCGTGCCTTTTCCCGCCTAATCTTTAATAGTTCGAGACGCTCTGGTGTTAGCATCTCGTCGGCTTCGATGCGCTTGAAGCGCTGGCCGGTAAGAATGTCTGTCACATTCCCTGACAGGGCCCATCGTGAACCATGAATCAAAGACTTTCTCTGACGGGGCGCACTGAACGAGGACTTCAGAGTGGCCTCCTTCTTTCTTGGTTTCTTGACCGAGGCCTTCCTTGCTGGTGATGATGATAAGTGACATGGGGACGACCTCAGGTCCTTGTTATATCTCAACGGCAAAGGCATCGATTGCGAATGCTTGTACGTGAGTGATAGAGGAAGTGGTAAAGTAGATGTATGTGTAGATGTTTGTGTAGATGTTGGTAGTTGCTCATATGTTTGCGATGTAGGTCTGATATCCTGTAGGGCGCTTCCAACGGCTTTGAAGGCTTCCTCAGTCTCCAATATTAAATTTTCGTCGACGATCATTGACCCTGTTGGACTTTCTTTGTCGAGTGACACATGGCAATGAAGCCTGGATTCGGGATGTTCAACGCCAGGAACGGACAAAGAGAGCGATGGCCTCAAATGAGTCTGACTCAAAAGAACTTCCTCATCCGGAGAGCTGAGCAGTCTATCCATTGGTCGTGAAGGTGGTTGGGGTGTAAGGGAATGTCGGTTGATTCGCCCTTGATCAGGGAGACAAAGAGTGGACGCAGCCCTTCTGTGTTGCGGCGGGGTCCCAACGATGACGTCTTCCTGCGCCGTTGAGCCGGGCAGCGAGGTGTGCGAGGAAGAATATGGACGACTGCCGACGGCAACGTGAGGCAATGGACTCGAGACTCGGTGGATGCTGTGGACCCTCCGGATATCGATGGGAACGGTCGAGGAGTGTTTCTTTTTGCTGGCCGGAACCCATGATTGCGTGCGCTGCTTCTTTTCTGAAGGTGTCTTGGTAGATCGATCATCATCATTGTCGCAAGAATCGGCCCCGTCGCAGTCGTTGTTCGCCTTCGGGCGATTCGAGCTTATAAGCCGACGTAGCAGAGATCCTGCCATGTTGAGTAGAGCGATGCACAGCGTAAACGCTGCAGGGGACTAAATGAAAAGAATAGAGGGAAGGAAACGTTTCACATGGCTCTGGTGAGGAATAAGAGGTAAAATAGGATGATGGCGACTGGTGTAGCACAATAGGCGGGACTTTGCAGGTAGGGACGCATCCGAGTGAGTCGTGAACGTCGATTGATTTCTCCAAGCTTGAAAACAGCTCAGGCTGCGGATAGGGCAGTGAGAAGCGATATGAACCTGAAATCGACAGCACCAAGACATGGCGTAGGACAAATCAAATAGCTTTGAGCGCACACGGTGCGGGCGTCTTGCGAAGGGAATATTTGGGCAACTAGAGCGCCCATCGCTGCCATCATCCATGTAAGCGGCTTCTAGGATCATCGCGCGACGGATGCGACCAGGGCCAGGATGCGGTGTGGAGTCGCAGTACCGATAACCCTGCACAGCATGCGGGCAGACTGACTGAACGGGGAGGTGCTGGTTCGGACCCGGGCTGTCATTGGGCACCTGCTATCGTGGCTGTTGCTATTCTGGCTTCTACGCAGAATGCTTCACCGATGGAAGCCCGACTTCGTATCGCGGGAACCTGGGTCAGCCACACTCATCCCCCACTGGGTGATGCCGGTACTGTCCTGCAGAGTTTCGATGCACCCTCTCCCGGAGGGGGCGGGTTGGCGCTTTTGCCACCATGGGAGGAATGCTCGATCCTCCAGATCCTTCAACGTTGGTTCCAGGGAGGGTGTTCCCGCTCTGCCTCGGCCAACTGGTGAACGATCCGGCAATGAGGGATGGGTCCAACGCAGCACACACAACACACACAACAGCGTGACAGTCGAGCGCACAGCCTGGGGAAGCGTCCGTGACAACAGTGCGGTTGGTTAAACTTCAAGCCACTGTCGTCGGTTAGCCGGGAATGACAACTCACGGCGGACAGGAGTACAGGATAAGACAAGGTAACACCTAGCATCGTGACACGAATGAGACTCGACGGGCAGCGTAAGACTTGTATCACCACGGCCACCCAGCTGCCAGTGATGGATGCCCAGGCCTTTTCAACCAAGTCCGTAGTCGGCGGAGTCACCGGCGGGCAGCTACATAAGTCTGATAGTCGAGTCGGCGACCGAGTCACTTGTTCCTCGCTTCTCGCCATCCAGAGCCGTAAAATCGCCATTGCCAGATGGAGACCAACGCTCAAGACCATCCATGTGGCCCAGCCCCGCGATTGTGGAGAGGCGGAAACGTTGTGCACAGATGGTGAATGCCGCACTGCCCATCTTGTCCAGCAAGCAGCGTGCGGCAAATGGCGTGCATGGTCCTCCTTCCATTCCAAGGCTTGGCCGTACGCCTGCAGGGAGGGAATGAATCGCCAAAAGGCCCCCAAGGCAGGGTTCACACGGCTGATCGCTGCATGCGCGGAAGTGGCTACAAAGGGCCAGTGCCTCGGCTTGCACGACACTCATGAGCATGGTTCCGTCGGGTGGATGTTTCAGAACAAGGAGCCCAAGGCGGAAGAAACATTATCGTCAACTCGGAAGCGAGGAACTTCCGGATGTCGGGGGCCTCTGCACTGGGCCGGAGGAGATGCGCTCCGGATCCTTAGCGTGGCGTAGGAAGAAACAGATGGCAGTATGGTACTACTCTGGTGTATTTGCGGATTGTGGGCAGGCCTGTTGGATGGTGTTGTGGAAACAATGGAACCTCGCTCAAGGGGGAGGTGTGGCTGGTGGATTGCAGAGGATGGCTGTGTTGGTGCCTCAGTGCATGCCTGAATATGTATGTTGCACGACACCAACTGCCTCATCGAGACTGAGTTGCCCAACAATGCCAAGAGCAATACTGGAGCTGTTGGTTGTGCAGAGACGTCCAACGTTTCATCACCAATAATGACTTTTCGATGGTTCGACTGAGCTATTCGCGGCCGTACGATCGATTGAATCAGGTCACAGGCCTCACTAACATGCCTCAAATCACATCTCGCAACCCACGTGCGTGCCGCACTCTCGCAGGATGCCTCGGGAGAACCTGATGCCTCAATTACCCGGACCTGCATCCCAGCGGATCCAAATAAAAAGTACCGGTCTGGGATTTGATGGCCGTCGTGTAGAAGATAAATACAAAGACTCTGGCAAAATCCTCTCGGGAGTAGCTCGCTCCGGGCGACCCGACCCCAAATCTCCATTGATCTCGCAGAACAGACCATCTCCACACGTCTAACGCTCAGCCGTCTTGGACGCCCGGGATAGCTGCAGCGGCATCTATCCGTCGCTAGGCAGGCTTAGACGTTGCCCTGAAACCATGATTAAGCTCGTAACCGCGTAAGTGATGCATGTCGACTGGATTCCCATGCATGGGAGCGGACTAGAAATCACTGGCTGAAAGCTTCGAAATACAGTGCGAACTCTATCAGATGGCTGGCGGGTGCGTGCGTAGGGCCATGGCCATGTGTATGAGCCCACCTATATCTCTATGCTAATGGAAAGACGATGAGCAGACCGTACAGCAATCGTCCACGTACTGTGTGTTGTTCTGGGACCAACCCACTCTCGTCTAGGCGAAGGATTGCCGGCTTCTGCAGGCGGCCCGCCACTCACTACACGGCGAGAGCATTGGTGGATTCTAATTTTGGCACGCTTCAGACCAGACACAGGAAACAATCAACAGCGCTTAATACAATCCTATCTTCGTTTCAATCCTGAACGGCGTAGAATATGTTATCTGATCGAAACCTGTTCGACTAGAATCCCAAAAATAACTCCAAGCGCCTAGCCGCCCTATGTCACAACCCGCCCCCAAGTATAGTCAAATTGCGAGAACGAGAATATGATCCATGGCTTGGTCTAAATATTGACCAATCCAAATTGTTGCTTATTTTGTAGTTTGTCGTATTCGTTGTGTGGCGGTCGCAATTATATTCCATGTCCATTGCTTTGCCGCCGATGTCATCCGTTTGTTTCGTCATGGTTCTTGTCGTCATCAAGAAGCTTGGTCTTGATCTTGATCGTGGTCCTTTCGTATTCGCAATCAGGTGCCCAACTAGCGCAGTCGGAGCATCTCATTGCGTGTCATCATCGCCCTCGATGTTGCCGTCTTGAGAAACGACGAAGCAGCATGTTTCGGCACATACGGCTTCGTCTCCTCCAGCAGGGGCTCTTGGTCATCGTCACGAGTAACTGGTTCTGGCTGGTTGACGAAGACCATGGCCATTAATGACTTGAGTGAGCACAGAGCTCGGCCTGACCAAGCTGATTCTTTGGTCTCGCTGTCGAACCTCTGTCTGCCAGTCACCGCCATCTTGATGTTATGTGAACAGTCCATTTCGGCTGAAACGCGCGGGCCAAGTAAGAGGCTGCACAACAATAGAGAGAGAGAGAGAGAGAGAGAGAAGAAGAAGAAAAAAACGAGAGATTACTGGAATAACTGAATGACTTTGTGATTTGCAAATGAATAAAAGCAGCAGCGAGTGTAAATAAATGGTCGGTCGCTCGAAATTCCACGGCGTATGCTCCTTTTAACAATCCAACTCACACCACCCATCCATTCATTGCGATGCACACTGAAACAAAGCACGGCTGTCATTCCAAACACCCCTTTTCATGATTGCTTCCTTGAGTTCACTAGTGTCAGGTTGAACAGCCACCTCGGTGTCGTTTGAATTCCACCGGCCGATCAAAAGGGGCCTCACCGCTAAACGGTTGGCTACGGCCATCGCAGGCTGCGACAGTCTCACGTGAAGGTTGGGCCCCAGCCACCATGGAGCGACGCGGCCTGCCATGCATCGCTTTTTGCTTCGCTCTTCTCTCAATCAACAAGCGCCCGTTGCCAGTAGTGGCGTGATGCTTCACCCTGGCGATCCACAAGTCAACTTACCATTCCCCTCGGTGGGCGGCTACTGTGTCTTTGGCGCAGGGCTAGAGTGCGAATGGCATAATCGACCGATGCGACCTCCTGGAGTTTAATTGGGATAAAATTGGCATGTCCCAACGTCAGCCTCTTCGTCATTCGCCCGTCAAGTAAAACACTACCACTAAAACTCTCCCAGTAATGCGCATGGCCGGTTCAAGGGAGAAACAATGTATTTCTAGTCAAGGCATAGACAAAGGATACTAGGCCGTGTCTCAACCACGCCACTTCAATCCTGGTCCTCAGCCTCGTCCTCATCCTCGTCATGTTGAATGAACGGAACAAACCGAAAGTCTAAGAAGCTCCTCTTGCCCCCTTCCACATCTACCATGAACTGGAGACTAAGCACCCCCTGACCATCACCTCTCAAGCTGACCTTGTTCGCAATCCGCATCGCCTCCGTGGAGCTCTTGATAAAGTCGAACTTGTAGCATTGTGACCATCGGTCCTGAATGCTGAATGTCTCGAGGAGATCCTTGCCACGTGCAAAGTCCACTGTGGAACTGCCAAGGTCCCCAGAGCCAACGAGGGCAAGGTAGGGCGACGTTTTGGTAACGGTGATTGCCAGTTTTGTAGGAGCCGTTGGGGAAATCTCAGCGAGGGCATCTAGGAGAGAACGCGACTGCATGATAATCTTGAAGGAGAGGTCGTTCCGATCGAAAGGGATATCCTCAGGTGCCTCTGGGAGGTAGGTGGTCAGGGCGGCCGTGGTCTTGACTCCAGACTCTTCGATTGTGATTTTGAAAGGGTCCCCTTCTTCTGCATAGAGAAGGGTACAAGTCCCAGATATTCCCAATGTTTGGTTGCTAAATGCATCTGGTCGATAATTCCGGAGGTTGCTGCGGTACGGGTCCTGGTCCGCCTTTTGAGCCCGCGTTGCCACGTCGACGGCCCCAAAGATCTGAATGACTTCAAGAACAGATGACAAGGAAATTTGAAAATTGGGAAGCTCATTGGCCTCATCATCCTCCGAGGTAGGTAGGTTGACAGTGTAAGATGAAAAAAGAGCCTTATCAAGGAAGGCAACCCCTAAGCCCTAGGTCAGTGTCATTCCCAGGCCTGGCGCATGGACATGTTCAAGCCTTACCTTGCATCACTCTCGCATGGTCCGCCGCGAATCTGACACCATCCTCGGTGATCTGAACGTGGACTCGGGGGGCAAAGTTGATGCATCGCAGAAGCTGGTGAAGGGGTCTCGTTGATGTGGCGACGGCACGAAAGATGGGCTGAGCCTCGGGTGCCATCTTCAATACGGTGCGAACTGTATCGAAAACGAGTGAGAGTTGCGCGAAGGGAAAATATCAAGAACTGGCAGAAATACAACGACGCTTAGTGGCGCCTTCTCTTGTTTGGTCCAACTAGTGTACAGAAAACCGATGGAACGGGACTTTTGAGGGGGTATCTTAGACGTAGACTCCGACAGCACAGAACATGTAAACCACTCCGAACCTGCGAAAGTCAGCGCCATAATCGGGAGGGCAATTGTCGACAAGGGGGCATACGCAATGGCCAGAGAAGCAGGAATGCCGAGCACGGGAACGTTGATGAGAGATCGGTCTGCGGGATGGTCAGAAGGAGGGCACAACAGAGCGAGAAACGGTCTCGTAAACATACTCAGAGCAAAGGCACCGGTCAAGAAGATGCCCAACACCAACAGCAGGAAGCTGATCCAGAATTGGCTCCCCTTGTTGATGGCAGGGTAGAATGGACTGCCAGCAGCAGCTTGCCAAACCTCATGCAGCGAGGAATCCATGTGCTAGGCTTGTAGGGGAATGTCGCAGTGGGCGACGGAGGAGTTCGGTCGGAGGAGATTCGCTCAAAGGTTTGCGATGCGGCGTTTGCGGGAGGGAGGCGCGGGTGTGAGATGGTGGAATTGGCTTGCTTGCTTGCTAGGTTCAAGCTGCAACGTTGACAGTCTGGAGGAGCTTCACGAGCTTACGATGCGCAATCGTGGCCGATAGACTAATGGGGTTTAGTCGCGCTCCTTCCCCTGGCACCGCAGCGGAGTCTGACTTGTGTGGTGCCTGGAATGACATAAGCAGCGCACGGGCCATCTCCATCGCGGCGACTGTCCACCATCGATGATGCATCCCCAGACGCCAACCCGTGTAGACTCGACCACGCTCCCACCAACATCCACCAGGATCAAGTGGCAATTGCACAATCGCGAACATGTCAGAAGAAGGTCGGCTGCCCTCCGCGTACATACGCGATCAAACCCGGACCCCGAGCTAACATCTGGCCCCCAGGCGCCAACAAGCGCAAGGCCGAGGAGGAGCCCTCGTCTCCCACCCCATCAAAGCGCATCAAGCAAGATGAATCCGTCGAGCCCCCAGAAAAGAAATCGGCCATGAAGCCCATCCCCTTCCCCGAAAAGGTACAAAAAAACCTCGAGCCTTTCGATAGCGACCTAGCTAGGTAGATTGCTAACAACACGCCACTAGCCCGCCGTCATCGAAGAGCGCACCGGCGAAATCGAGTTCCGTGTAGTAAACAACGACAACGATCGCGAGTCCCTCATCATCCTCACCGGCCTGAAGTGCATCTTCCAGAAACAGCTCCCCAAGATGCCCAAGGATTACATCGCGCGCCTTGTCTACGACCGTACCCACTTGTCCATCGCCATCGTCAAGAAGCCCCTCGAGGTCGTCGGCGGCATCACATACCGTCCCTTCAAGGGCCGCCGCTTCGCCGAGATTGTCTTCTGCGCCATTAGTTCTGACCAGCAAGTCAAAGGTTACGGCGCGCATCTTATGTCCCATCTCAAGGATTACGTCAAAGCAACGAGCGATGTGATGCATTTCCTGACATACGCCGACAACTACGCCATCGGTTATTTTAAAAAGCAGGGTTTCACGAAGGAGATCACTCTCGATAAGAACGTGTGGATGGGATACATCAAGGATTATGAAGGCGGAACCATCATGCAGTGCTCTATGCTCCCGCGGATCCGCTACCTCGAGATGGGTCGCATGTTGCTCAAGCAGAAGGAGTGCGTCCAAGCCAAGATCCGCGCCTACTCCAAGTCCCACAATGTCCACTCGCCACCGAAGGAGTGGAAGAACGGCATCTCAGAGATCAACCCCCTCGACATCCCCGCCATCCGCGCCTCGGGCTGGTCCCCAGACATGGACGAGCTCGCCCGCCAGCCCCGCCACGGACCCAACTATAATCAGCTCCTCCACCTGCTCAACGACCTGCAGAATCACAACTCAGCATGGCCCTTCCTCGTCCCCGTCAACCGCGACGATGTTGCCGATTACTACGATGTCATCAAGGAGCCCATGGACCTCAGCACCATGGAGAACAAGCTCGAGGCCGACCAGTATGCCACCCCCGAAGACTTCATCCGGGACGCCGGTCTTGTGTTCAACAACTGCCGCAAGTACAACAACGAGAGCACCCCCTACGCCAAGTCGGCCAACAAGCTGGAGAAGTTCATGTGGCAGCAGATCAAGGCTGTCCCCGAGTGGTCCCACCTGGAGCCGGAGAGGTAGGTCTTCGCGCCGAGTTCCAGGCGGAGAATTCAGCCCTGATAGCCGTCATGGAGGAGGCCATGTGCTCAAGGGGGCGCTTTTGCATTTCTGTTTTGCTGGTAGTGAGTGTGGGGGATGGTTTGAAGCGTGGCGTTTCGGCTCTTTCGACGGGTCTTTTGCTCTTTGGGTTTTTTTGTACATCATCCACTGCTGGAATAGCATTATGAGGGGGAACGGTCTGGACACAAGTCAAGGGGCTTGCACGGGCAGCGAGTGACGATGACATGCGATCTGCAGGTAGTATAAAAGATTGCCTCAACAAATTATAACAATTTCTCAAAACGCATGACCTGCATGTTTCACGATCAGGGCGTGCAATCAATCTGGTGTCGCTTAATGACAAAAGCCAAAGATACAGTTTCACCATACAGGCTCCTGTTTGTCGGCTATCTATCTCATGCCAATACATAAAAGTGCCCAGCACATAAAGGCAGGGATATAGCACAAAAGAAGCACAACGCTTTTCTGCGAATTCCTCTAGCCGGGAAATCCAGCGACCAGGGACGGGCAATTGCAGTCCTATGCCTCGAGGCGTGTCGCTGGTGGCCCTAGTTCACCCATTCACCTTAAGAATAAAAATCAACCCAATATGCCCCGATTCCTAACCCAAAGTCCCCCAAACACCGTCGTCCATTCTGGAAAGGGAGAAGCAGATATGAAAAGGGATGCCGCGCCACCCGAGGCCCCGCCAATGCTTGCATTGAGACAGGGCGAGTAGCGACGACGGGAATCAGTGGGCCGTATGCGAGTCTATGTGTTGCGTGTGCATGTGCGAGTGCTGGTGTGTTGCGTGTGTGCTCCGGTGCTGTGACTGAAGGGAGGCTGACCAGTCCAGCGATGTGTCGTGTCGAAAATGGTGTGCCGTAAAGGGGAAAGAAAAGGTGATGTGACGGGTATAATTGTTTTAACAAGGGCAGTGGTCTCTTCTTTTCATGCTTTCTTGGTCTCATTACTTGTCGAAAGTAAAAACGCCAGCTTCAAGGCCCTCAGGCAGCGCGATGACCAGGTCCTGAATCTCCGACCGGGAGGCGGAGGTCCGAGTAAGTGCGGCGGGGCCAGGGGACGCGGACTCGGCGCTGCTGCTGCTGCTGCTGCAGGTCTTCTCGCTGCATTTGCGCCACCTGTTGTTGCGCTTGCTGGTATTGCTGTTGTTGCACGCGATGTTCTTGCGCCTGCTGCACTCGCTGTTGTTCCTGTTGCTGCGCTATCTGTTGTGGCGTCAACAGATGTTGCGTCAGCTGTAGTTGCCGTTGTTGCTGTATATGCGCGAACTGTTGTTGCTGTCGTTGCGCCATCTGTTGTTGCCGTTGTTGCTCCAGTTGTTGCTGCTGTTGCGCCCGCTGTTGCTGCTGTTGCTGCTGTTGCTGCTGCTGTTGCTGTTGCTGGTTGATAAGGTGGCGGAGAAGCCCGCTAGATGTGCTCGAAGACGAAGGGATTGGCGGCTCGGCCAGCGGGTGGACCTGCTGGGGGGTACTGTTGCTGGAGCGGTTCTCTACCTCCTCTTGAAGGGTGTATCGGAGCATGGGTTGAAGGAAATCAGGAACCTCGCTCCACTGGCCCGCCCGGGCGGCACTGACGATGCTCGTAGGGAGCAGTTCGGGAGAAATATTGGCATCGTCGCCGCGGCGGAAGAGCTCGCCATTCTCAATGGCGTTCTTGAGCCACTGCTCCCATTCCTCGTCAAGTACAGCCGTGCTGTCCCCGGCCTCCCTACGAGCGGCCTGCGCCCGTAGGCGCTCGTTGAGTTCAACGCCAACGCTGTCGATCTCAGGCTCGCTCTCAACGTCCATCTCGCCGTCGTCGAGGTCGTCGAGCCCAACATAGCCTGCGCTAGCGGGGTGGCTCTCAACTCCGCGAGGGCGGTCCTCAATCTCAGTCCAATCGGGGAAGCCGTCGGCGGTGGTGTCGCGGATGATGATTCCCTGCTCTCTCTCGAACTTCTCCTTGGCCCATTTGGTGCCCTCCCATTTAGTCAGGCCAGCGATTTCGGCATCGGTGAGGCGGAGGCCGTCGAAGGCGCGGAAGAGGCGACGATGCCACGGCCAACGAGCGAGGCGAATGCGGTGGGTGCGATGGGTGTAGTCGAGGCCGGGGTATTTGGCCTCGTGGGTCTCGAGGTGGCCGTAGAACGCGTGGGTTTCCTGGCGGACCTCAGGGATGAGGTTGCGCTGAAGAAGGGCGTGGAAATTCTGGGGGTCGTTGCTCTTGGCGCGAGGGAACATGTAATCGTACACGATCTGGTCGACGGGGCGGCCCTTCATCTTGGCGATGTTGCTGGGAGACCAAAAATCCGGAGGATGTTGGAGAATCGGTGAGTGCGTAGCCTAGATTAAGAGGAAGCGTGAAGTCGAGATGCCAAGGCGGAAGAAGAACGGCCTGGGGTCAACGGTGAAAGAAGCTGCCGGAAGAAAGCAGGTCGGTCACGTAATCGGGGCGAAGGCGGCTCGAGACGAGGTGAATGAGGGACAGGACCGGAGATAACCGTTCACCGCAGTTGACTTGACGAGGCGAAGACGGTCTCAATCACGGACGCGGTGGCAGTCGCAGTTGCAATCGAGGGAGAGGAACAGAGTGTCAAGTGAGGAACGAGGGCGGGCAACCGACCAGGAGACCAGCGAGCGAGCGAGCGGCAGCAAGGCGGAAGGCGGAAGGCGCCTTTTTGATTAGGTTGTCTTGGAGGTCGGGCGTTCTCGGCGGGGGTGTGATGGCGGGCGAGAGGGTGTGGGCAGTGACGGTCAACGAGTCACTGGAATCAGGTCCACAGAGCCGGGAGGCCTGGTGGCGGCTTCCCTTGAGGAGAGAAACACGCACACGCAACGCTCGAGGCAGTCACGACGAGAGAGGGCCAGGGCGAGGAACGGGATGTTGTTTCGAGCTGTTCTGTGTTTTGTGTTGTGTGTTTGTGAAGAGGAAGAGGGAAGAAAAATGTTGGTTGGGTTGGGTTTGGGGGTGGGCGCTGTACACCGTACGAGCGAGAAAAAGGCCCACGGGTCGGTCAGGTACAGACAGGTTACTAGGTATGTGACCTACAAGGTCAGGCGGCAGCGGGAGCCAGGGCGAGGGAAGAAGGAGGGGCGAGGATAGGAAAAGAAAGGAAAGGAAAGGAAAAATGCCCCGTAGCCGCAGATACATCCACTGTAAACCGTACGGTCAATGCGAGTCGCAGACAGCCAAGAGACGGTGCTTGCCGACAGCTGTGCTTGGTGCACTCACCTTTGCCAGGGTAGGTATCTATCTATCTGGGCACTGGGTATCCATCTTGGTATCCATCGTGGTATCAATCGTGGTATCCATCGAAGTATGTATTTGGGCATCTAGGTCTCGCGGTATGGGTTAGGTGCGCAATACTACTGCACTCACTACCCCTTGCGTTGGATGCAATCCAATACCACCACCACAAGATGCCACCAGCTGCGCCAACTGCCAATGATCAGCGTAAACAAGGCCCAGAAGCCAGCCCGGTCAGGCCTCTGTCCAACCCCAGGCCCCCCCAAGCCCGCAAGCCCGCAAAGCCCAGGCACCCAGAAGCAGCGAACCAGGATGGTCAACAATAATATCCCGGCGTCTGCTTACACAGTCTTCGTGCGCATCCCGTTCATGGCTGCTCCTCATAGGCTCCCCCGTTCTCGCAGCTGCGGCAGGCCCGTGCGCCTCCGGGGAGGGGTGGGACGGGGGCAAAACATCCGCTGGAAAGCGAACAGCGCAGGCGACAGGTGATGGTCATGACGGCGATGACCCCTCCGGCGGCGGGTCCCAGCACGCAGGAAACGCGAAGGCATCTAGTATCTCGTGGAGAAAGACGACGGGTCTTGTGTCGAGTGGACAGTGGACAGTCTTGTTCTGTTGACCTTTGCGAGGGAAACGTGGGATGGCTGTGGGGACTAGATCACTATCCGTACACCTCCCCCACCAACCCAGCCAGGTCGAAAAGACCCTGGCCACTCCCGAGCATTTCCTTTTCAGCCCGGAGAGGATCGCCGTCAACGGAGCATCAGTAGCAATGCCTCAGGTGGGCTGCGTATCCCGTCATGGCCCTGTCCGTTCGAGTCCGGGCCCCCAGCCATTCACGCTATAGTGAGTGCGCTGTACAACGAACCCTCCCTTCGCACGCTGTCGGAATGGAAGGCCAGCCGTCTCAGGCGGTTATACGTCTGGTATCTGTAGACGTCCGTACCCGAGCCTTGTCGTCAGCTCCCAGAGCCGAGTATGTCTCTGCCGTTCCGATGAATTCCTCCGTATTGGCAAGATACACATCCTGCTGTACTGCATGTGGGCGGTTTATTTCCCTCTCTTAGACCTCTTCTTCGTACCTGATGATCTCGGTCGCCTCCGGGGCAGAAACAGTCTCCGTCCTCCGTCCAACGTCATGGGTCACTCTGCCGGAGTCCGCTCACGAGTCAGCAGCCGTCGGCTCCTAATATCCCACTCGCTCACTTACAAATCTCTTTGAAACCACATGGCAGAAAGTCAATCACCTCGTTCTTTTTTCTTTCTTCGCCATGTCACGAGCTGCTGTTCCTCTCGTGTCGTCTCGAATCCCCTGGCCTGACTTGGCGCTCTTGGTCATATGTCATGCCCCCTCCACGTCTCCCCATCCATCCCCCTCATCCAATCCCTTCCTCCCATCACCCCGCGCCTCAATCACTCAATCAGTGCGCAAACACCCCTGGCCCAGCCCAGTGACCCTGGCTGTCTTCTTTTTTTACCCTGCGTCTCCGTGGCCGAGTGTGGACCGGCACCATGCCGGTCCCGGTGACTGAACCGGTCATGGACTCGGCCTAATCGAGTAATTACACTGAGACGGGACCTCACTTCGGAGTCGAGACCTGTCAGTACTGGGTATGTAGGCATGTACGACAACAGACTGCAAACAGACTCAAGTGTTTCCCAAAAGCAAATTGCTCAAGGCCAATTTTGTATATTCACCAACCACTCGAAACTCCATGGATTCCACCTGGGCCTATGTGTGTGTTCTCTGATTCACGTCTCCGAGATGTCTAGATTCACGTCTCCGAGACGCCTAGAGAACCCTCACCTCCGGAGCCGGCTGCGGCGACTTGTCAAAGCTCTTCATCGGACCCAACCCCCACCGTCCAAACATGGCCGCGTCCTCGTCCCAGCCGTTGCACTCGGTCGTCAACATCTTCTCACCCGTGAAGATGGCGTTGGCACCGGCCATGAAGCACATGGCCTGCTTCTCCTCCGACATGGTCTTGCGCCCCGCCGCGATTCGGATGATGGTGGCCGGCATCACGATACGCGCCGTCGCAATGGTCCGCAGCATGCTCGTGAACTCCACCACCGGCCGGTCGCCCAGCGGCGTGCCCTTGATCGGCACCAGGGCGTTCACGGGGAAGCTCTCCGGGTGGCTCGGCAGGGTCGACACGGTGTGCAGAAGGCCGACGCGGTCCTCGGAGGTCTCGCCCAGACCCAGGATGCCACCCGAGCACACGTTGATGCCCGCGTCGCGGACGTGGCTCAGCGTCTGCAGTCGCTCGTCGTACGTGCGAGTCGAGATGACGGATGGGTAGAACTCGCGGCTGGTGTCGACGTTGTGGTTGTACGCCGTGAGGCCGGCCGCCTTGAGCTCCTTGGCCTGCTCGGCGTCGATCATGCCCAGCGTCACGCATACCTCCATGCCCATGCCCTTGACGCCCTGGACCATGTCCTTGATGTTCTTGAGGCTGTTCTTGCGGCCCCGCATGTCCCGCCAAGCAGCTCCAAGGCACATCCTCGTACTGCCATTCTCCTTGGCCACGCGCGCCGCCGCGAGCACGCTCTCAACCGTCTCAACGCGCTTGGCTTCAAGGCCGGTGCCCTTCTGGTAGCGAGTCGACTGCGCGCAGTACGAGCAATCCTCGGTGCATCCACCCGTCTTGATGTTCATGAGCGTGCAGAGTTGCACCTCTGCCGGGTTGTGAAAGCGACGATGGACGGTACTCTGTATGGGTGGTCACAGATGGTCAGCCAATCATGACGCCGCTGATTCTCATACACAGGCCATGTCCAGCACGGTAAGAAACCCGGCTCTTGGCCGGCATCGAATGAACACGGACGCGGGGTCATTGTAATGGAGAAAAACATGATAGATACTCACAGATTGATACGTCAGCTCCATCAGAGGCTGGTAGTAGATGGCGGCGATCTCCTCCTTGGTCCAGTCGTGACGGGGTTGAGCCGCCGAGACGGCATCGCGCAGGATCCGCTTGGCCTTGTCACTCCGCTGCTTCTCGACAGTCTCATGTGTGCCTGTCGGCGGCGGCGGCGGCTGGGAGGGCCGTCCAGCATAGTCGACGACAGTCGACATGGCACGCACACGTTGATGCCATCCGGCGACGGCGGGCTGAGCCTGTCGTCGGAGCAGCACGCTCGCGGGGCTGCTGGTGAGGCGCTGAGGACGCAGGGCGCCCAGACGGAGCGGGGTGGCGGCCTTCATGTCGTAATATGCGGCGTGTGTGTGCAAAATGAGTGAGGAGAAGCAATGGGTGACTTGCTCAAGTGAGTGAAGGTAGCAAAGGTCAATGAGGAAGTGAATTGAGCGCAACACCATCCCCATCCATCCAGTCCCCCGCTCGGCAATCACTAGCACAGGCGGCGCGCTGCGGAGGGCTGCCAACAAACCTTCGGGTAAGACCCGTAGAGCCGCCTTGTGCTGCTAACCGTCGCAACCCAAATCTCGTGGCTGCGTGGCTGCGCAGATCGAATGCCCGCCAACCTCGGCTGGGGGGAAAACCTCCATCAGGGAAGCGATGAGTCCCAATTGCTTAACCCTCTTAAATCCGACCAAAGCCGGCAGACGCAGGTGCTCACTACTGCATGTTCTGCCGTGTTGAGGGCGATCGAACCATGGCCCCGAGTCCCCAGTTTCGATCGTCCCTTTGTTGGTGGTGAGAGAGCTCTCAACATTAGACACATCAGAAACAGCTAAACAGCTCAAGGCTGCGGCGCGGTGGGCCGGGGCGTAGCTCCCCCCTCCAAGAGGTCTCGGCCCGTCGTCCAACTGGACCCTGATGGCAATGCGGCCTTTCTCGTTGGCTGCGGCCAGACCGGAACCTGTCCGTCGACGGAGGGCCAAGCTCCAGACACTCCCTCAAGCGACCTAGTTACCTACTAAGTATACGTAGTCGAGCTTTGGGGGTCAACAGAGCTCGACAGTACTCCGTACAGTACCACAAGATGCGCGGGGGCGACAAGCCGGGGGTAAGCCGAAGACCGAAAAATGGCGTGCGGCTACGGAGTACCGACCTCGTCATTCCGGGGTTGAGAATGTTTTGTTGTGTAATGAGCCCACTTAGTCTTTTGGCTTTGCAGTCTAGTTGCATGGCAATTGAACTACGTCTGACCCGATGTATAATATCCTCATGAAATATAATATCGTAGCTAGTAGCTAGTAGCTATTTATTGACTCATCGGTGTTTGGGCTGGCCTTGCAACTCAGATATCCGACATATGGCTTGTCATTACAATCCACCATTTCACTCATGTAACAACATAAGAAGAAGCAAAAGGAGACACCAAGTTTAAAAATCAGACCTCATCACAAGTTCTCATATCGTGTATTCATTCATCGCTCTGCCACCTTTCCTTCCATAATAAAATTACCAGGCGCCGTGTCCTATGTCCAGATCCGTCTCTCGACAACTCAACAATTCACCCTCATGTCGCATGCCTACTTGTTCAAGATCCCCATTAAACGCCCAATCATTTGCTCACCCTTCGACTAGCCAATTCGGTCTCGTGCCAATTGCCTGCATCGCTTTGAAAGACCGACTGTTGCGTGGTGGTGACTTCTCGCTTTGTCCACATCATACGTTCTCCGTCCAGTGATGGTGACTGGACGTTCTCATACCTCTCCCTCTTCTCCTCTTCTCCTCCCTCCTCTTTCGATAAAGTGTTCTTGCATCTGGCATTCTCCACAGTGGATCAAAATGTGCCGGCCTATCATGCGTGCGAACAGTAGAGGGCTTGATTGTCCGATTAACCGTCCCAGCTTTCAGTCTCTAGGTGTAGGCCGGCTCGGGGTACCGTCTCCCTGATACTCCGGTCATCGGGCTCGTCCCTCTCTCGTTGTTGGGCGGCGATCGTCTGTCCCATCTCTTTCTCTCTTGTTCTCGGTTACGCGGGTCAAACGATGCGTGGTCACGTCGTCGATCCATGTCAGCGTGGCTACTCGTCCGTCGCTCCATGTCCGGCCGGCGCATGTACGCCCGCCGCTCCTCGTCGCGCTCCCGATCAAAGTCTCTTGGTCGACCTCTGTCCCTCTCACGGAGACGATCTCGTTCCCGACTTTCTCGGTCATCTCGCGCCCTCTGCCTCCGTTGGTAGTCGGCCGCACTAATCTCAGGATCTGACGAGTTGTCCGAGTCCAGGTCGGAGTAGCTTCGGTTGAGACGAGAGGGCGGGAGGTCACGACTTCGGCGCGTTCGGGACGATTCGTTGTACGAGGTGGGTCGAGAAGTGGTGCGTGGCCTGTCTGGCACAATTCCGTTGGGAAGGATGTTGGATACCTTCTCCGTCAACTTCTCCCGTAAACTGGAGTTAGTCCCTGCTCGTCGCCGAGGCGCCTCTTCGGTTCTGATATCGGGATGATGGCGGTATGTTTGCGGTGGCTTAGATGTTGGGGGTTGCGGAGCGCATGGCGGGCTGGTATCCTGTCTTCGCTTTGTCCGGGGCGGGGTGGGATCTTCGTCGGACGAGTCGGAAGAGATATGTCTCGGCTGGCTATGTCGACGGGTCGGTTCAGGCCGCTTGGCGTTCGTGTTGGGATCAAGATATGGCGATCCGTGGGAGTGGGATGCGGGTTCGGGTTGAGGTGGCATCTTGTAGTCAGAGAAGCTCCTCCGCCTGGCCTGCTCCTCGGCGTTTCTGTCCTGTTGATATCTTTCAGGCGATGCGCGGGTCGGCATTCGTCCACCGTGTCGGCCGGGGACGTGGTTATACGCGACGGGTCGTTCAAAGTAGGCGGGGTCAGCGGGCCGCTGTCGAGCTTGGAACGGAGTCTGGAACGACTTCCGCACATAGGCAAACTTTGGTTCGGGGTGATCCGGCTCAGGTGCAGCGCCGGAGGCTTCTCGCTCCTTGGAAGCCTCTTTTCTCAGCTTGTCGGCGCACGACTTGTGCCAGCGGTCGACCTCTTCGTCTGCCCCGGTGGGAAAGACGGTCTTGGGAAGGTCGGGCGGGAAGTCCTGTCCGGTTTCCGGGTGCTTCAGATGCCAGTTCTTGACGGCGTATTGAAGGAACGGGACATGCTCCTCCGGACCAAGCAAGATCTCCAGCGACTCCCATCGCGAGAAGCCTCTCGGTGTGAGCGCCGGGATGGAAGGCCTGGCGAAGTCGTCCGCGGTGGGCTGAAGGGTGTGCTGGCAGCCGGTGACCTGCCAGATGTAGGAGATAGATTCGTGGGGCATATCGACGAAGAGGGCTACGGCGGATTAGCAATGCGCGCGTCGTATAAGTTGTCGGCTTGGACTCTACGCACAATCATAGTCACCGCCAACAGCTTTGTAAAAGGCGGCCAGTTTCTTAGGCGTCAGTTGACCGACGTCCTTGTCGCCAATGTTGCAAATCTGTGAGATTCAATGTTAGTCAGTTGCGCTGGCGGGGTTCCTCTGGGTGGCGCAAACATACCACATGGCGGCTGATGGCCCTCAAAAGGGCATAAAGCTGATCGCTTGGGCTCTTGTCTTCTTCGTACATGTAGCGATACTCTATAGGTGGCGGCGAGGTCTTGCCCGGCGGGGCATCGTTCTTGGGCGGCGTCGCCATGGCGAGGAGAGGGCGGGTTGAGCGCTGTTCTGTGGCAATGAGAGCCTCACTTCCAGGGCGGATGGCGGGGAAGATTTAAGGCAATCGGCGGTCAGTGGCAGGCGGGAGACGGCGCCGACGGATTCGGAGAGGGTGAGGATACCGGCAACGAGGCCGCATGCGAAGAGCAATAAATGGCGGAAGACAAGAAAGTCAAGGGTATTGACGTTGGGTGCGGTTGGTAATAAATCGCGAAGGATCGGGACGAAAAGAACTTGGGAGCTGATGGATAGATGACAAGGCAAGGGCAGGCAGGGAAGCTTGGCGTGTGGGAAGGCGCTGGGCTGAAAGAAGGCAGCGTTGCTGTGCTGCTGCGCACCCGCGTATCCGTGGGTCAGATCCAGGTCAAGGGCACGTCAAGGGCACGTCGGGGAAGATGATGGCATGGGTGACATGGGTGTAATCTTGTGCCTAACGCGAGCCTGGTGCTTTTTTGTTGAAATTCCAGACGAAAAACACAAAAGAGGCTGTTGCGCAGGCCGGGTTACCCTTCGCTCGGGGGAGTCGGCTGACTTGCCACTGTGCTCCTAGTGGTGTTCTGAGTTGTGATGCGCATCTGCCTGTAAATTCCAAGGGCTGGGGTCCGATAATTAATACACAAAGAAGACGCAGAAACCGGACTGTCACCGTTTGTCCGAGCTCCTCCTTGTGTGCCTGCGAGTACTGGCGATCGGCTCGCAGAGAATCGCATACAATGGCATAGAACAAGGCACAAGCGGCTGTGCATCGAGATTACGATATCACGCCGCTTTGTCTCACGCCTCACACCTGGCGCCTCGCGCCTGACACATCATATCATTGCTCCAGTCTCGGTAGTCTGTACGCCTCGTGCACATCACTCATCTCGCCGTGCGTTCTCTCCACTGCCGACCAGCTGGAGCCTGACACGTGCATCATCGCTGTAGGTCCCAGAGTCATCCAGATCCATCCATGCCTTTAACCTGCCTTTAACCTGCCTGGAAGGTGGAGTCCCGCCAGAGTCCCGCCAGAGTCATGATGGATGAGCCAGGGTCATGATGGGGTCTGTGGGGAAAAAAGGCAAGCCATCGATCTGTGCTATTCTCACCTACGGCCTCCCAACTCGAGGCCTCTGCCAATCTGTATTTTCTCGCTATAATTATCGGTTCGCAATCATCCCTTGACCGACGTTTCTGCCATCAGCCAGGACTGTGGGGATCGGGCCATGCGCTACGCCGATTTGCAGCCCACCCTCAGCGGCCAGCTGGAGGCTGTGTGACACGAAGCGTGGGATGGGAAGGAAGGGCTGCCTCCCCGCTCACTCAGCCACGAGACGGTTACTCAGCGGATTACGACACGACGAGGGAATCCCATGGAGACGCCCAGGAACAGACCAGGAACAGGAACGGACACTGGAGCACCGAGACACCGAGATTCCGACTCGGACGGCAAGGCAAGGAGCGGCCCGGCTGGACATTGCGACGGGGGAATCAATCGGGGACAATTGACTTTCCGCCTCCCGGTGCCAGACTGTGAAGAGAATGCAACGGCTGCGTCGGGTTGGGTATGCCTTGGTTTCGGGGTTATGGATGCGCCCAGGGGACCGGGATGGAGATGATGATGTCATTGCAGACATGTGCAAGGAAACCCGTGGGCCTTGGGCGCCTATCCCACACTCCTTGATAGAGGTCTAGGGTAGCTTGGCCGGGGAGGGCGGGAAGATGGCCGAGGCTCATAAGGCAGAGACAAGAAAATAATCGAACCAGTCGACAAATTTACGGGGCCAGCGCTTAACCCTTTTGGGAAATATGCAATCATCCGCCTAGTTGGCCTCTTTGCGCGTGCAACACCACACCATCACCACCAACTAGGTTGCCTTTTTTGTTTCTTTGTACATTCACTCCTTGGGCTCTTCGTTTCGTGTTTCCCACCCCCCCGTTGAGCCCTGTTCCGCCTTGGCTCGGTTTCTTCCTGTCTTAAATTCTGTATACCAACCAAGTACAATTCTCAACGCCGCCATGGACGCCCTTCGCTCCGCCATCCAGCCCATCACGCACAACCTCCCCGCGCCGATCCGCGACCTCGGCGTCTCCATCATCGGAGAGACGTGCTACTCGTCGCTGCTCCTCGACGTCAACTTCGAGGATGTAGACTGCATCAAGCTCGGCGTCTCCAAGGGCCTTGGCATCGGCATCATCGCCGCCTCGTCCATCGTCAAGGTGCCTCAGATCCTCAAGCTGATCAACTCGCGCTCTGCCGACGGCGTCTCCTTCCTCTCCTACCTCCTCGAGACCACCGCCTACATCATCTCGCTCGCCTACAACATTCGCAATGGCTTCCCCTTCAGCACCTTTGGCGAGACGGCTTTGATTGTCGGCCAGAACATCATCATCTCCGTCCTCGTCCTCAACTACAGCGGTCGCGCTAGCCTCGCTGCCGTCTTCGTCGCGGCGCTTGCCGGTACCTTCGCTGCTCTCTTCGCTGAGAATGTTGTCGACATGCAGACCCTGAGCTACCTCCAGGCTGGCGCTGGTGTCTTGGGCGTCGCGAGCAAGGTTCCCCAGATCCTCGCCATCTTCCAGCAGGGCGGTACCGGCCAGCTCAGTGCCTTCGCTGTAAGTTGTTCTCACCAATCACCCACACCAGTCTTATGGCTAACATGTTCAACTCAGGTCTTCAACTACCTCGCCGGTTCTCTGTCTCGCATCTTCACCACCCTCCAGGAGGTCGACGACAAGCTCATCCTCTACGGCTTCATCTCCGGCTTCGTTCTCAACGCCATTCTGGCTCTCCAGATGGTCTTCTACTGGAACGCGCCCTCCGAGAAGGCAAAGGGCAAGCGCAAGGTCCCCGTCGAGGCCAAGCCTGTGGCCACCTCGACCGCGACCTCCACCCCCAAGAAGAGCCCTACTACCCGCCGTCGTGGTTAGAGGGTTGTCGTACGATAGTTGCGAGTGTTTAAGTAGAGATATTCTTTGTAATAGTTCGCATATTACCTTAATGAAACTCCCATCGACCAACGGACTCAAGGATCACTTGATTGATTTGAGCATTCTGTGTCCTATCCTCAGGCGTAGCTCCGCGTCACTTTGACTTGTCCATCCTGATACTTGATATAAAAAAAGATTTATTTAATTGTCGATGGTGACATGTTGACACCTATTGAGTGTTCCTAAACTACCAGAAAATGCTATACCGATCCATCCTGAAGCTCCCAATTGGTATTCTTTATCTCTCCGTGAGATGTCCCAAACGCTGAAACAATCCAAAAATTCCAGTCAAGTCCCAAAATCAATACGCCTAATATGGACATCTCTTGTCTTCTCACGGGACGTCTCAACAGATAGAAACGCCAAGAGTTGGCCAGTTAAGTACTCCTTGTCGACCGGTGCACTGCATACTGTCGACATCCATCTCATCGCCATTGCCACTGGAATTGCCAGCACCGCTATCACGGCTTGAAGGATTGGTAACGGGATGCATAGATGCGGGTGATGGGGTCGGCATGGATGAGATATTCCAGAAGCGGTGCAGGGATTGCTGGTTGGCTTCAGGCTGGGCTGTCTGCCGGGGCTCTTCCAGGGAAAGGAGGGTATCATCGTGTTGCTCGGGCTGGTGCTGGGCGGAGTACAGCATGTTGAGTGTACGCTCTACCAAGACGTGTGAGTGATTGTTCAGAAAGGGGCGGGTGGGTGACCACGAGTAGAACTTACGGTGGACTTCGTTTTCTGAAGGTCGAGAGTCACGGAACCGCTTGAGGGTACGACTGTGCAGGTGGATGGGTGTCATGTCCATAGTGGCAAATGGGTTCCTGATGGCCGCTCCATGGGGAGGCGAGTTGAAAGAGGACACGGACGAGGGCGAGGACAGGAGCTCGGAGGCAGAACGCTTTCGCTTGAGGACCATTTTTGATGATGAGAGTGAAGACGAGTGTGAGGAGTTGAAGCAATTGACGAGAGAGACCTGAAGAGTAGAGCCGGTGCTGGTACTCGTAGTCGTGGTAATGTTGATCGTGTTGATAAAGGTGCTTGGAGAGTGTGGTTCGAGGGGAAGACACAGAAGACAGAAGGCAGAAGTGCGAGTAAGCACGAGACAAGCCGGCTATTTGGAGGTTGGCGGGAGCGCGCTCATCTCGCGTAGAAGTGGGCGGTTCATCTTACAGGGGCCTCTCAGCGCGTAAAGAGGTGTACGCGACGTGATGGCTCCACTGTTGTTCGGTTGGCTAGTGGGATCACTTGCATGGCGAGGATGAGCTTAACACCATCAGATAAGATGGATTATGTTCTTTAAATCGCCATTAATAACTATTAAATTCACAAACCAAGCAACTGAAATCATACTCCTCACATTACTCCCCAAATTACTCCTTCGCAATCCGAATCACCAACTTGCCCAACCCTCCCTTCCCCGTCGCGACCCTCTCACACGCCTTGCGCACCTCATCTACATCCTCCAACTCAACCACCGTCATCACCGCCTTGATCTTTCCCAGTGCCAATATCTCCCCCGCGGCCTCCATGTCCTCCCGGATGTTCGGACTCCCAGACACGAATTCATACCTGATGGCCGTGCCACGGAGCTTCCACCGGTACCACAGCTGCGACACGTCTAACAGCCAGCCCACCCACGACGGCATCTGGTCGCCCAGCAGCCCCCGCGCTGTCTCCTTGGTCGGGATGCTCGCGATGCTGACCAACGTGCCGCTTTCGGGCTTTAGTAGGGCGACGCTCTCGTCGAATGTTCCCCATTGCGTACTCAGCGCAAAGTCCACCGTTCCCTTGCCGACAACCTTGCACACGTCCTCCTTCTGGTAGTCAACAAGCTGGTCGATCATGCCCGGCAAGTACTGCTCCACGAGCGTCATCTTTGGCGTTGATACGGTCGAGATGACCTTGTCCGCACCAAACACAGTCCGCGCCACCTGCACCGCCAACGACCCCGACGCGCTCAGGGCTCCCGGGATATACACAGTTTGGCCTTCAAGACTCTCCTCGCCCCGCAGCTGCAGCCCGCGCCGGATGGCCTGCAGCGCCGTGATGACAAGCCCCGTGAATGACGCCGCTTCTTCGAACGACAGGTGAGCCGGCTTATGGATTAGGAACCGCTCCGAGGCGATGGCGTACTCAGACGCGAAGCCCGCTTGCGGGTTAGGCGGTACTGGCTTATCCATGTTGAAGCCGTAGACCTCGTCGCCGACCCTGAGGTTCTTGACAGCAGACCCAACTGCGACTACAACACCAGAGCCTTCGATAGCGAGTTTCAGTGGGTATCTGTCGTTGTTAGTTCTCGGCCGCTCCATTGAAGGGGGGCCTGGGGCACTTCTTACTCTTGCTTCCGCAGCATATCCATCATTCCCTTGGCAAGCTGCGTGTCGCCCGTATTTATAGTAGCCGCCCGCATTCTCAATAACACCTCTTCCGGTCTCTTGATCATTGGCGTCGGCATGTCCACGACGTCGTAGTCAACTGGAGAGCACTTCTTCGGCGCGATCAGAGACCGCATTGTAGCTGGGATAGTCGTCATATCCGCGCTTGCTCGACTCTTCGCCTGGTTCTAGGGTCTATGGGATCAAGTTCAATCGAGTGAGCTGTAGTCTTCCCGGGGCCAAGTGTCTTTTATGTCGTCAGGGAACACATCCGGCGGCGGAGTATACGAGTTCGGCGGTTTCGGTGGGTCCGCTCGGATGGCTCCACCGAAACCGCCGAACGCCGCGCCGGCCACCAACATTCGGGCTTCGAGGCTTGAGGACTTCAAACTCCGCCAGCGGAGTTCATTTCGAGGCTGCTATTCCTTGGCTCGTGATATCCATGTGGTTATTTGTGAGGACGTGCGTTTTGTAAAGTGTATGACCTATATATGTAAAGTGGCCAGACTTGGTGTAGTGGGATTATGTTGCGTAGACACACGGTCCGTTTAAAAAGACCGCAGTTGAGAAACAAACAATATCGGTTCATCACCATAGTTGTTGGATTATCTACGTAAATCCATTGGGACTTCTCCGACCTCTTATGTGCTGAAACCCGCTGTAGGTCACCTCTGACTTTCCGGAAGTACAGGCCTAGGGTAGCACAGTATCATCAAGCATGTTTCTCTATGCCACGCACGATCTTCGTGGACCAAATCTCAAGGCACCCTGTGACTCCTCTGGTAACACAATCAGGCTGAATAGTTGTTAATATGTATACGTTTCAATCATGATATCATAATGGTTTCCCGTCCTCCCCGGCTGGTTCAGGTCATACCTGGGCAGGGTCTACTTCCCTCAAGTGTAGTACATCAACTCAATGGCTGGGAGTCTCAACTTAGAGCCGCACTACCTCATCTTCCTCGGCTCAAATGTCGCAAATACCTGAACACACGGGCATAAGACCGTCAATTCCTCATGGACGTTACTATATTGAGCAAGTGGTGGGCAATCAAAGCCACCGTCTCGAGACCCTTGCTCGCCACAAATTATCTTACCGATCTTCCTAGTTCGACCAACCTCAACCAGAACGACGGCTGTTGTAGGCGTTCGATCTCCCGTACCATCGAGAGTAACTCGACTCGTCTGCACGACCCACCAGGTCAGTCAAAATCTCACCACACCAGACAATCTCTCCACATACCTCTCACGCGGCTGATGCCCAACTGATCTGCGACATTCACATACCCCTCCTCCGAGTCACCCGCCTCCCTGCGAACCCTCTTCACAGCGTCTTCATCGCCCTGCCACAAGCTGCGGCACATTGGACAGGTGACGTCATTGGACTTGGTGCGTGCCCACATACTGAAGCACTGCTCGTGCATGTTCTGGCCGCATGCTGCACGACACCAAACTACAGCTTCGGGGCTCTTAGCTTCGAGCTCGCTGTAGCAGATGGGGCAGTCGCCCTCAATGGGTTTGCGCTTATCAGATTCTGCCTGCTTGGGTGTTGAGATGGGGGGTGCGGCGGTGAAGATGTCACGCAGTTCGGAGTGGAGAAGGGCGAGTTGGTAAACCATCTCATATGGGGCATTGAGCACTCGTTTGAGCACCTGATCAGGTTAGGGGAGGTCCATACGCGGAAGGACGGACACTTACATAGAGGATGTGTTTGCACTGGTTCCCCTTTTCGGCATGAGGACAATTACAATGTGGTTGCTGCGCAATGAGAACCGTGTAGATATTGCCCGTCGACCCTGTCATTTCCACGACCTCTTCGGGACACTCATCAGACCCGCCTCTTGTCCGGCTGAGGACATAAAACCGTTGGCTCAATGCCCGCGCATAGACATCATGAAACGGCTGGGGTGGATTTGGCCTGAACTTGCGCAGCCGCTTCTCCGGCGGGGGCTGGGCCGTTTCTACCTTGAGTTTCTTCGCAGAAGCGGTCAAACTCTTCGAACTCTCGCCAATCTTCCGCTTCTGAGATGGATTGGATGAGGATTCGCCAGTGAGGTCGATAGGATGCTGGGGTGTTTGGCCCGCTCGTGCTGCCGAATTCGCTTTCTGCGGGGTTCTGAGCTTGCCCGCCGGAGCAGATGCAGTTCGGCTTCTGGACGGCTGCACTTTCGATGAACCCATATCGAAGACGAAAATGGGGTGGTTTGGCGAGAAAGATGTAAAAGTTGTGTCCACTGCCCAGAAATCCCATGTGCCTTCCTTTAAGGTTCCTTGACGACTTGCAAACACGCCTGCGACAGGTATGAAGTCACGTGCAAAATACTTAGGCGCGCTTCCCTCAGATTTCTCGTTCAAGAAGGTACCCAAGTACCTCGTTAAATCAATAGATCCGTCAAGATAAACAGGATAAAATAAAGCCCATACATGCGAGCTATTTTAGTTCTTACCTTAAGTGTGGCGAAGCAGGCTACTAGATCGGCGATCCACTCCTAGGCAGATGGAGGCATTGACTCAGACGACGTCACGGATGAGAAGGACCGAGGAGTGAAGCAATGTAAGGATCTTGCGTGTTGGAATTCTGTTGTTCCTAATTCTTTCAACCACTTATCCATCTCTTTTTAACTTCCTCAACTTGGCCTCATATCGCTCATGGTAGCCCAAAAGAAACCAAACCAAACGCCCCGGAGCGTGGGAGTTTCCCTCATCCCCGCCCCCCAAAGGGTACATGTCCACATGTATGACCCCCCATTATCCCGTCCTAGATGCGCCCCCTATATATCAAAGTTACAAAAGAAAAGAAAATCGAAGCGTGTGTGTGTAGTAGATACAGGCCGTGCCCTCTAGCAGACAACGGATGATGAAGCGGTCAAACGCCGAGTCTATGTGGTGACTGTGGTTGAGAATGTTGGATGTATTAGACAGGAAAGGAGATCGAGTTGTGGATGTCGCGACTCGTCGAAGCGAGAGTATCAGGGGTATCGTGGTACTTTCATCGAGGTCATCGGAGTTTCGTGGCCAAGCACGTTGTTGTCGACGACTCTGATGCGTCAGAATGGAAGGCTGACACATCAGGTCGTAATAATGGTCGGGTAGGATGAGGATATGTCGAGCAAGCAATCGTACGCTCGCACTCAAGGGAGAGGTCGTCGATGGCTGGGATCGCGGGGTTGATACCGCCGGGACTCGGCCTGTTGTTGAGCAGCCAGCCACTCCGCGGATCCAGTCTGTCGGCCAGGTTGCTCAGCAGGCACCTTGGCGTCGTTACCAGATGAGGCGGGGGGTCGGCCGGCGCTTGCGGAAGAGCTGGAGCCTCCAGGGACAATGGAAGTAACGGCCTGGGTAATGGAAGCCACCACGTATCCTCGGAGCTCTTGGTCTTCCCGGTTGTCCTCCCTCACGAGGCGGAACCGCTCGTCTTTGCTCATGTTTTCTCGGCGGATGTTCTTAATCTCCTGCATGATGTAGAGGAGAACCTCCTCGGGACACCGGTTGCGTTCGGCAGCAGCCTCGTTCTTGCGCACATATCGTCGCGTCACATCGGTAGCGCCGTCAATGGAGAAGGCAATGCAGTAAGACATCTTCTTGCCCCATCCGTTCGAGTAGAGCCGTGGGTTGTCCCAAGACTCCTCGCAGGCATCAACATGGACCCATCGCTTTTGGTGATCTGAGTAGACCTCAGTCCACACATGGTCTTCCGAGTTCCAAATCCATCTCACTCGGCCGCCAACAGCACGGCAGAGCATGCTGAAGCAGTTGGCCCATTCGCCAACTCGGCCCCTTCGGGTTTGAAGTAATCTCCAGACATCGCCGTATCGAGGGAATCGCTCATAAGCGCCGCATGTTTGAACAGAACACCGGTAGAGCTCAACTCTGAGGGCACCACAGGCGTTCTCCTCTGGTGATGGGGCAGTCATGCCTTGGGCAATGGTGGGGGAGAGGCAGACGGGGCAGGGTGGGTTGTTGACCCAGGTGAAGAATGAACGCTTGAACCATCTGAACATCGCGTTAGTATATGCATTATGGCAATGACGAGTATGACCAAACGACGTACCTGAGGAGTGCTCGGATGACACAGTCTTGGTAACCCCATTCTGGTCGCTGTCCGCCACCCATGCTCTCAGCTTGAGCGCGAAATATTTGAGTCTCTTCCTCAGCCTCGCCGTAGATGCGATCCAGAGGGATGGTCTGGAGGGCCTCATCCAGTAAACCAGGGTTTTCGTACTTGGTCGGGGTTAGGGATAGGCTGATGAGGAGGTTTCGGAATTTTTGTGAGTCGCGGTCGCCAACATCGGGAGCAGTGGGCATCATGGGAAGGTGGCGGAGGGCGGAGTACGAGGGCAGAGCTTGGCCTTGAGAAGTGGATGGCCGGCTGTTTAAACTGGGAGACGCAGGAGCACGCAGATTGGAGCTTGAGGCTCGCTCTCGAGGGTTTGGCGAGCCTTGTCGGGATGACATGCGAAGGTCAGTCATGCGCTTGTCGCGCAGCAAGCCCTCAAACTTGACCCGAAGGTCGTGAGCCCATTCCTCGCCATAGTCCTCGCCGCGGGACTCGGGAGCAGGACTCGAAGGCATGCCTCGACCCGCCATGTTGAAGAGAAGGAGCGGGTAGTTGGGGGTTTCTGGAGATGCGCGGAAGGAGGGAGCGAAGGGTCAAAGATGTGTCGCAAGTGGTGGAAGCCCGAATGCGAGATTGGGTGGGGGGATTGAGAGTGAGTTCCGAGTTGATAGACGAGCCGGTGGGATTAAATGAGCGAGTCACTCGGCGTTGTCCTTGTAAGCGATAGGCAATCGTCGTCGAAGTCGTCGTCGTTCGGTGGTCGTCGTCGTCAGCTGGAGGTTTGCGTAGACCTCACAGGCCGTCGGGTTGCCACAAGACACGCGGGCGCCTAGCCGCCTGGCTTCCTTCGAATGTTCGATTCGCTAGCGTGGTCCTTGAATGGAATGAAGTCGCAGGAGCCGGTAATTCCAACGATGCCGTCTTGGTGCGAATTCGTCGTCGTCGGGTTTGTCGTCGTTGATGGTGTTGCTCGTGGGTGAATCGATGCGTGGTTGGAAGGAGGGAAGTGGAAGGGATGGGATTACGGTTGGTGGATGGGCGGGATGACAAGACGGACAGACGAGACGGGCAGCGCAGAGGCAGCAAGAGAGTCGGGGTGGACCAGGGGAATAAAGGGACGGGGTGTCTCGGGAGGGTGTGCGTCTCGTCCGCTCCTTCCCACTCTGGGCCAGGCCTACGATGGCAGTTTACGCGTCAGCCGTGAGCGCCATGGCCAATGGGCATGCCCAGACGAGTCAGCGGTGGGGGCCGCTAGGCGCAGGAGCACGTACCGGTACGACGATGCGTGTACCTCTTCGGAGGGACTTGCGCTGACAGTTGCCTGGGCCAGTGGGCAGCTGGCGACGGGGCGACGTGTTGGAGGCGCTGGTATCCTCTGATCGGCTCTTGTTTAATTACCAGGCCGCGACGTTGACGAATGCCTCTGGGGACGCGGATACTGTGAAGCCTTGGCGCTGGGGGGATCTGGCGACGGCGGAGCGACTCTTTCGGAATGGCCTGGCGAGATATACGGGCAGTCTACGCAATTCGCTTCAATTTATTCTCCGTTGGCGAAGCCATTTCGCCTCTACTACGTGGGTTGCTACGTGGGCGTAAGCGTGTCGTCTTCTTGGCTTCTCCATCTCAATCTCATTGCAGTCGTGGATAGACGTGCTTTCGCGGACATGAGGTATTAGGCGTCAGCAATCACGGGACAATACGAGACCTAGGACTTTGCAGCAGCTCCGTACAGTACGGATGGCGAAAGAGACGACGTCAACTGGTGGCGTCGCCGCATCTCAGTCGTCATCCGGCGATAGTGGCAGTCCCCCAACGCGACAGCGCCCCGTATGTACAGTGATTCCCAGGCGTACCGGTCCTCTGTCTCCGGGAATGGCAGACGCACCAAAATGGAGTGCGTTGACAACCATCGAAATGACAATCGCCATCGCGGCATGTGGCAAGGACGGAGATGACGATCTTAGCAAAGATGGCAAGCAAACGGGTCGGTTTGACTCCGATCTATCCCCGCACCATCCTCCGCCCGACTCGAAGCAGATCAGCAAAGAGAGTGCGAGCTACCAACAGCTAAGCCAGCTGGAGAATACGTACGTACGTACACCAGTTGCCTCCAATGCCTGGGCCTGGGCGCTGAACTCCAGTGGGGATTAGGAACCCCAGATCGTTCGGCCTGCAAGTCACAGCAGTCACTTGACGCTGGGGGCCTCGAGGTACCGATACTTTGGCTGGGGACGGGCCTGTCGTCGTGGTGGGCGATGACGAGGCACTGGTACTGGGGAGCCCAGTGTGGCACAGCGTGCAGCAAAGCCACTGGGCTTTGCCAGCGCGTCCACACAGCGTTCAGCTTCAGTCCTTCGCATACTGCCGCCCATGCTGCTGGACCGTATTGCCCTTTTCCATTCCCTGTCTCGCTCTGTTTCGCACTCGCTCGCCCTGCGGCACTGCCGCCGCCGAGTTTTCGCTTGACGCAATGATCTTTGTTCCATTTCCCAGCGTTTGCTCCCCTAGTACTGTGCAGACCCGTACGTACGGCATTCGCGGCTGCTAGTCCGCCTGCAGTATCGTGCATCCGATCCCCCCAGAACGAGCCAGCACCGGGGTCAACAGCCAAAGGCACTCCAGCCAGTCTCTCGGGAGCACCGACCCTGATCAGTTAGGGCGTCCGCCGCTCATCTCCAGCCACAGAACTGGATCTCCTCCCTCGAGCGAGCTCCACTCTCCACTGAAGTGCTGGTTCTGAGCTTCTGTGCCGTGCGATCGAAACGCACAGGCGACTAATGAGGTACGTACCTCTATTTCCAGTTCACGCCCGCCGTCGCAGAACGCAGGGAACAATCCACAGGACCCACCTTTGGGAGAGGCGACAGGAGTCTGTGAAACTGGCAGACGCGGCCTTCTTGGCTCGTGGGCATCTGGTCCCTGCGAATCCATCATCTCACGTGGAGTAGTCTCCCATCATCACCATCATCGTCCACTCCATTCAAGGTGGATTTTGAACTTTCTGGATGGAGGCAGATCCATGCTTTCGTCCTGACTTCCCGAGAGGAATCTCAAAGACTGACCACCACTCGACTGCAGCGTGCGTACCGGTTCAACGTAGTACTCATCCTGACCCCGATGGCCCGGTGCATCTTGGTCTTATTGTGCTGTGCCTCCGCCTCACAGCAACGTTTCGCTGCTCAGCCTGCCTGGCCTCTGACGCCTCACCTTGACCCCTCTCTCCTCTCTGGACATGTGCTCGGCACCGCACCCGACCAACGATGCGCCCGGGGCAGTTGCTTAATTGCGAGATGCCTTCAACTGCCTCGTTTCGTCTGTCTCTCACGCACTAGCTCACCAACTTGTGTTGGGCCTCTTGGCTGAACCGAAACTCGAACCCGAGGCGCCATGTTCGTCTCGGACACAAAGAAGCTTAACTTGGTTGGCGTGTGCATTGCGTGCGTCGCCCTGCCCCTGGATACGGATGGGTCCGGTCCCGAGACGATTACGCAGCGCCAGCCTTGGCTAATGGATTACGATCCCAGCGAGTGTCGAGCCTCATCACTGTCCAAGCGTGCTCTTTATTCCGAAGCTCCAATACTTCTTGGCGGCGGGAATGCTCCACACAGGGAAGGGAAGGAGAAATCAATCCCGTGCCTCATCAAAGAGCATTCGGGTCGTCTAGCCGCCACCTGTACTCGCCGTTTCCATTCTCCTTGCCAAACGTCGACACGTTCCACTCTTGGTGGAGCACGTCGCCAATCACGTACATCAAATATCGGTCCAGGGCTCCAACACCGATTTCTTCCAGACACGACCAGGGAGGGGGTGGCCTGTAAGACCCTAGAGGCCGCGTCATCTGGCGACGGCTTGCGTACTGCCAGAATTCGACCACTTGCCACCACCCCACACTCCTTTGGACTCTCTGGGCTCTTGGCCTGCCAATGACAGCCCGGTTTGACGGACCCTTGGATCCTGTCTCTGCCACGGAGATTGTCACTGAGGCTCTAATGCTGACCCTGCCAATATCTCCAAACCTCCATTCGCCAAGCTTCCCCTAGATCCCGGCTCTTGGCTCCTTTTTTCCCTAATTCAAAATTCAGACGAGACTGTGCGTTCGGGTTTTTGATGTCTTAGTTGGACCGAATATGCCTTCTTTACAGACCGAAAGTATCCTGTAAGAGTGATCCTGATGACTAAATATCCCAAGAATCCGTGTCATTGGGCACGTCACTGAGGTGGTAGCGGATTTGGCTGCCCCGTTCTTTTCTCCAGATGCAGCATGCATGCAGCCTCAACTTATCCACCTCACAAGACTCACTCTACAAACTAAGACCTTTTCCTTCCGCTTCCGCTTCCACTCCCTTTCTACTGTTCTCGGAAACAACTCAATCCAAGATGATAGCGGTTGGGATATTAGTCCATGAGTACGAATCTCCAAAAGCAAACGTCATGCAACCGAGTGTCATTCACCCAGTGGGCTATCAAAATATCGTGTTGGGATATCCATGCCGCGTCCCTCTAGGCACCGAGTATCAAAACCCTTGATGGGGCTATTTGAAGATGCTTCGTCGAATCATACCAGGCCTCTTCTCATCGTCGGCAAGTTGCGGAGCACGGACGAGACCACCATCGACTTACTTGCCCGAACGAGCAATTTTCGCAATGGCTTCCTAGTCAACTCTGTGAGTCCACCTGCCATGACTCCCACCCCAACTCGCCCGCTTAAGTGCCCGTCCCCGCAGACGTACTCGCTTGGACACCCTTCGTCGGCCTCTCCAGAGGTCGGGACGCGCGTTTCCTCGGCGGATCCCCTCCCAACTCGCAACCCTCTGGAGCCCCGTTGGGCTTTGCAAGCATGGGGAGGGGTAGGGGTTGACGGGAAGCCCGGTATTGTGGCCGTGAGCCGTGGGCTGGTGACGCAAAGCCACACTTGGGACGGGCCGGTATTCCTTGTTCTCGAGGTTTGATGGGCGGTGAGTTCTGAGGCTTGGGGAACTGGCGTTGACGTGTAAGCCGCTACCGAGACTGGGTCCTGATAGCCGTACCCTACGGCCCCTGTGTAGAATCCGCAGAATTCCGTGCTCGATTGTTGGATAAGTCAACTAGCCCTATGAAACACGAATTAGATGACTTTCAACGGTATACACCCTGTGAGCGTTATCTGTAAGTTATATCGGAGCTTGCCCTTTGGGGCCGAATGTCAGTGTCACCATCACTAACTTCACAAATCACAATGTTGGATGTGGACTGGGGGAACATTAGACCCATCATTCCTGAGGAGAAAAGTACCCACGTTCGCATGGATTTGTGCATCCGAGTATAACCATTCAAGAAATTTACAACCCAGGGCTGTCGTCCGGTCCAGACCTTTCCATACATTGCCACTAACACGCCTCGTTTTCGTCTTCCCGACTCTGCGCCGACTCTCGCTCCCGTCCAACATCTCGCCGTGTGTAACCTCCAACTGGGGATAAATCTACCTTTCCCACTGCTCGAGGCTAAAGTAGCTCTCCGGCATCTCCACATCCCATGTCGGTCTCTCCACCAGGGCCACCTCGAGGTCCTGGTCTGGCGTGCTGAGGGGCACGATACCGAAGATGGGACGGTACTTGTAGGTCATCCACCAGCTCTTTCGCTCACCGCCAGTCTCTGCGACCTCTAGGCTGGATTCAGTCTCGTTGTGGTTGCGCAGCTGGGCAAGTTCGCCGTCTGCCTCATCCATATCGTCATCGCTGTTAGCGTCTTCGGTCTGGGGCGCGTCCTCCATGTCGACATCCTCCCACTGACCCGCCGTGTGCTTGAGGACCTGGGAGGGCGCGAGGTTGCCTTGCTCCATCCTGCCACCGGCACCACTACTCGGGCCGCCTCTCTTGCGTTTCATGCCCTGCTTGCCAGGGTTCTCACTTGCGTCGGCCACAGGAGCCGGCTTGGGGAGATCCTGAGCCATATCGATCATGAGAAGGAATGAGACACCGTAGATCCATGCGCGGGGACCCTGCCAGAGCACACCCTTGGCCAAGTCTAGGAGATCTTGAACAGCTGTAGGGAGGGCATGTCGGGGATGACGACGAGCCCACGGGGTCAGGGAGCCTTGCAGGGGATGGAACGTAAAAAGGTTCCACGAGGAGGTGATTGCCAAGAGGGTATAGTCGTCGGCAACATCTGACTCAACGTCCGCCCCGCCGACAGAATTTTGGGTCTGGGGCACGTCGTCCGAGAACGACAGAACCGTGGCAGCAGAAGGGAGTTTGGGCAGAAGTTTGGCGTTGGGGTTACGAACCCATTGGTCACCAGCCTGCGTGACTACATCATCTTCCTCTTCTGAAGAATCGCTCTCTGAGGATGAAGACGCGTCACCTTCTGCCTTAGCTCCATTCTGCAGGTGCTCTTTGCTGCCGCGTAACACCCAAGTATCGAGGTATCCCGCCAAGTCGGAGGTTGCGAGCATATTCGAGTCAGCAGAGAAGGCGACATGTGTGATGGTCCTATCGTAGCTGCCCAGTCCACCATTGAGAACGTAACGTGGGATATGTCGTCGCAATCGGGTAAGCCGTCGTAGTTGTGGCTGGAAGGTGATGGGGGCATCAGAATCCTTGAGGGTGTCGACCTTGGCCAGCAAAACTCGAGAACCCTCCTGCACGGCGCAGAGCCACTGACCATTGGGAGAGAGCTCGACTTTGCTGGCACCGATGCCAGTCAGCTTTTGCGGGACCTGGATGCTGGAAAGCTTGACGTCAGACGGCTTGATCGGGTCTTGGTGCTCCAGCTTGAACGCCTTGACACTGGCTGAAGTAGACACCACAAGGAGTGTACCATCCTGATTGATGGTTGCGGAGGTGATGTTAGAGTCTCCCTTAACCACAATCGTCTTGAGGAGCTTGCGGTTTTGGTTGACATCTACATCCTCGCCACCAGCCTCGAACATGGCTGTTGCGGATTTCCGCAGAGCCCAGACATGAACCTCCCTCTCCCACCAACTAACGACGAACCGTGCCCTGGCAGCACTCAAGACAGGAGGCTGTTGCGGTAGGCTAGACATGATTCGGTGGTTCTCGCGTCCCATCTCCTTGAGAGGAATCACAACAGGGTTGGCGTCGGGGCCTGGTATTCGCGTTAGTGGTTATTTCAGGATAAGGAGTTGGATGTCTTACCTCCAGAGACGACAACGCTGATACGGCCACTCTCGAATGAGGCCATGGACTTGACATCATGCTCGTGATACCGCCTGCCCCAAACTTTGCTCCATCGGTTGCCCGCGCCGGTGTTTTGCTTGTAAAGAATCGTTCGTCGGTCCATGCCTCCACTGAGGATTGAGGTCCCATCTGAATTGGTTGCGAGACTGAGCACATCTTGCTTGTGACTTTGCATGCGCTGTGTTTGCGTATATGTCTTGCCATCCCAGATGCAGACCTGACCGGTAGAATCGCCTGAGACAATGTTGCCTCCGGGGAGACACTTCACTGACCAGACGATGATGTCCTTGGAGCCACCAACGAGGTCAGAGCCCAGTGTCATCCTTCGCAACATGTGGCCCTTGGTAATATCGTACGCTCGAATTGTGCTATCGGAGCAACCAACAATGGCGACCTTGCGGGACTGGAAGGTAATGCTGACCATTTGTGCTTTCCTGGTGGGAGACCTCAGCAGCACTCGCTGAAAGCGCAAGTCGTCATCCTCAATGGAGTACATAACCAGCTCGCCGTCAATGGTTCCAGCGATGAGCTTGGTGGAATCTTGAGCATCTTGTCCGAAGCTCGCCTTGTCGGTGGCAGGCGGCTGGGCGGCCATGCACCAGATGTCCCCATGCTGACCGCTCGCGTGCCTCTTGGGTACTCCCTTCTCAAGATCCCACTCGGTAACCGTAGAGGTGTAGCCGATGCTGAAGAGGCGCAACTTGCCAGCAGCAACTCGGCCATCGCCGAGGTCTTGGTCAGGCTCGTTGACCCAGACTAATCCGTCAACGCTGCGGTCCTTGCCTCCGGGGATGACGAGTTCCTGGTTCCAAGACCCATTTGACGGGTTCCAGATCTCAATGTCGCCATTGGCCCTTCCAATTGCCAGACGCGCAAGTGAGGCTTGCAGCGCCGACCTCGTCTTGGGGTGCGAGAAGGCGATGGCGTTGATCGCGGAGGGTTTGTAGGGAACGAATCGGCAGCGGTGGACGTCCATGATTGCGGATAACTTGTCGCCTTGACGCGTTTATCAGTCGGCTTCCGTATTTCGACTTCGTCACGAATTCGTAGCTCGTCTCCGAGTGTCGCGCGTAAAACCTGTTTAATGCCGAAGCTCGCCGCCGAGTAGCCAGGCGTCGAGGTCGAGCGAGACTGATGGAGAACAAAAAAAAGCTGGGCCGTCGTCCAGATTTTTTTTTTCTGAGCAGCTCGGTCCGCTTGGGAATTAAGGTGTGGTCAGTGCGCCCAAGTGCCCCTCCACCCCACCATGGCAACGCAAAGGCAGCCTCAAAGAAGGAGCGACTGACCCCTCACTGCACAGTTCTGGCTCAGCCGTTTTTGGTGCATTTTGCGCCCATAATTAGTCGCGGTGGGGAGCAGTGTCCGCTGTAACACTTACGGAAACGTCACTGACGTCTGCTGTGACTCAAAGAACTCAGCCAAAACACAACTCGCGCAAACTCAGCTTCACTTCTCGCGCCGCACCACGGCCTCGATCGCTCAGACCACTGCCATTGCAAGCTCGTCGCGTTCCGCGCCCTCTTGAGCATTGCCTCTTGATTATTTGGCACGAGGTATATCACCATCACCGTTCGCTACCTTGTTGGTTTGGTTCCCCGCAGGAGACCTTCTGATCCTGTCGGCGTCTCCCGTAACGTGACGAAACGGACGCGCCATCGCCCCCCAACTAGCTCCCGACCCCAGCTCCGGATCTCCGGTCCTCTGGCTCTTGAGCTTCCAAATCACCCACTAGCCGTCCCTTGGCTTCGCTCTTGCACGCAAACCGCGCAATCAACTCCCTAGAATCCGCTTCATAGTCGCCCACCATGGACTTCAACAGCTCGTCGCCGTTCCCCGAGGGCGTCATCTCCTTCCTCGACACGGACTTGTACAAGCTGACGATGCAATGCGCCGTTTTCAAGTTCTTCAAGGACGTTCCCGTTACCTACGCCTACACGAACCGCACCCCGGACAAGAAGCTCTCCAGAGCTGCCTTTAAGTGGCTCGAGGAGCAGATCCGGAGTATGCTCACGCGACTGCCCCTGCAATCGGTGTGTTGACAGCTAACCTCGTTGTCTAGAGCTCGGTTACATCTCCCTCTCCGCCGAAGAGTACAAATTCCTCGAAAAGAACTGCGACTACCTGACGAAGGATTACCTCAACTTCCTCAAAGAGTTCCGCTTGCGCCCAAGGGAACAGGTTGTGCTGACCTTTACACCTATTGGCGAAGACACTGGTGCCGACTCGGTAGTTGGCGATGTCGATATTCAGATCAAGGGCGCTTGGGTTGAGACCATTCTCTATGAGATCCCCATGCTTGCTCTGACATCTGAGGCCTACTTCAAGTTCATGGACACGGATTGGAATTACGAGGGCCAGGAGGACAAGGCCCTTGACAAGGGCATGCAACTGCTGGAAGCAGGATGCATCACATCCGAGTTCGGAACTCGAAGAAGGCGCGATTACCATACCCAGGCCCTGGTATTCCGCGGGCTTGTCAAGGCATCCAAGGAGGCAGAGAAGAAGGGCTTCCCAGGCAAGTTGTCTGGAACGAGTAACGTCCACCTGGCCATGCGGTTCAACATCCCTCCCGTCGGCACCGTCGCCCACGAGTGGTTTATGGGAACAGCCTCCATTGTTGGCGACTATAAGAAAGCTACCGAGGAGGCCCTCCGACACTGGGTCGGCTGCTTTGGCAACAAACTCGCTATTGCCCTGACTGATACCTTCGGCACACAGGAGTTCCTTCGATCCTTCAGCTTGCCCGTACGCCCTGTTGAGGGCGGCTTCCCAGCGGAGACTTTCCAAAAGGAAGACGGAACCATGAAAACCTATGGAGAAGTTTTCGCTGGAGTGCGGCAGGACTCTGGCGATCCGGCCGAGTACACCAAGATGATGCGGGATTATTACGACGAGCAGGGGATTAAGGATAAGAAACTCATCGTCTTTTCCGATTCGCTCAACATTGATCGCTGCTTGGAGTACAAGCAGGTATCCGAGAACCTCGGCTTTCAACCTACCTTTGGTGTGGGAACCTTTTTGACAAACGACTTCACCCACCTTAAGACGGGAACTAAGTCGGTCCCCTTGAACATTGTCATCAAGCTCAGCTCAGCTGCTGGACGTCCTGCGATCAAGATTAGGTGAGTAACTATCAACCCTTTGATTACACCCCCGGAAGGACTTTGCCTGACTGTGAGCAGTGACAACGCTGGCAAGAATACAGGTGATAAGGAAACCGTAGAGAAAGTCAAGAAAGAGTTGGGATATGTTGAGGTTGAGTGGAAAGAGGGTGACGAAACCGCCCGGTGGGGAAAGGAAGAAGAACCGAAGGCCTGAGCTGCCTTCCCAACGCCTAACCATTGATGACTGCGAGAGCGACAGAGAGAAACAGCGCAAGCTCACTGGCTTTACCTGGCGTACCTGCGATTCTGAAACTGAGAAAGTGGAAGGCTGTTTTCAACAAATGATTCCCGAATAGATTGCAAGCGCTTTAGACGCTGAGTTGATGCAACTCGTCTACATATTCCAATACCAATGCGTATTACCTGGAGGTTGAGCAAACGAATGCTCACCCGCCTGTTGTTTTGATTAACTCAGATGATTAGGATATTCACTCGTCACTCATCTATTTTGAACCTCATTTGGATTGGAGGATTTCGCTGAGCCTATCTGAATACGCCCATGGCCTGAGATGGAAGCATCTGGGGGCGACTCCTGCTTGGTCAATTCTGGACGGCAATAGCGACCACTAAAAGAAAGTTCCTTCCGATGAAGATGGCTACGGAGGCAACTATGGATTATTCTACTCAAACGGCAGGAGTGAGAGGCATTCTCAATGTCTACTAGATCCCCCTCCCAACTGGTTTTACTTCCCTTTCTCATCATTCACCTCCTTGCGCACCACACTACGAATTCTTCGCCTTTCTTTTTGGGACCTCATTTTGGCTCGTTGTCTTGGAACGCATACTACCTTTCTTTACTTGTGTTTGTTGGGACATCTCCAACATGCCGTCCCTACATTCGCTCACCCCAGACCGTCGAGCGCCGTGGACCTCGACAAGACGGACCCTGGCTCTTAGCCTTGCATGCCTTGCATTCCTTGCCATACTCATTTTGGGAATGGCTCAGTTTGTTATTGATGCATCGTCCGGACCGAAAGATCTGTTCCTTTTCAAGAGACAATTCCAACTTGGTAGCCTCTTAGGTGGAGGGGCCGAACATGTGAGTTAGAGGTTTGCGGTGCATAAGCAAGGAGTTTATTGACAAGACTACAGCAAGGAATTCCTATGATCTCCGCCGCAAGCAATGTCCAGAACCTGATCCCTACGGACCACATCTCTGTTGAGTCGAGTGCTGCACCACTACAACCAGCGCCCTCTGGACATGTCGCAGACAACCTGGAAGGCAATGTTGCAGGGCTCTCTGGAAGGCTGGAGACCTTGTCATCCACGAATGCACCAGCCACTGCCGGCTCAACTGGGCAACAAGAACCCCCGAACACGGCGTTCATGACCCTGCAATCTCTGAGCCTCGGGCCTAACCCCATTCTCGAATCTACTTTCCGCAGTGTCATCTATGCCACCACAGGCGGAAGCATTGGAGCAGAGGTTTTAAGCACTCCATTGACCTCGAATCCGACACCGATCCTTTCAAGTGATTTGGTTGGCGATGCGGAAGGACCTGCAGCCCCTGGCCAAGAGACTGGTCGCATTCCTTACTTATCTCAACTCGGTGATATTACCAGACAACCTTCCGGTGTCGATACTGCGTTTTCGAAGCAAACGGCGTCTCAAATCCTCCCAATGGCTGCGCCAACTCCTTTGAACGCGGCTGATATCCTGGATCCAATCACTCCTCTAGTTGCAGGCCGCCTTTGCGAAACGGTTGAGGGGTATCTTCCTCTAAACTCCCCTGCTCAGGCTAGAAGCTTGAGCATCGCGATTCATGATGGGAGTGACATCAGCAAACACATGCCCAATTCCATGGGTGACTCGGCCAACTCAGTTAATGGGCAACTTTGTGTCGTCAGACAGATTGTTGCCGGTGTGCTCCGAGAAGTGATTACGCCATGTTCAGTTGCGAGAGCCAATTCTGCATCACCTGACACTGATACTGCACCGAGCGCCGGTCAAGAGGGCTCAGCGACTGGCTCAAGTGGTAATATACCCGAGAATGCCCCTTACCCAGCTCCAATTTCCTCTGGTCAAATACAGGCCTCCGGATCACCCACTGTGAAGCTGCCAGACTCCGGAAATGTCCGTCAAGATGGATTGACATCCCCGCTAAAGTGGGATGCCTCCGGACAAAGCACAAGTGGTGGATCTTCGGGAGTTGACCCAAACTTGGGAGCGGCACGATTAGGCGGCCCTGGATCATTGAATGGTTGGAGTGATGCTGGTGAAGGTAGATGATTTCCTGCCTTCTCAGCCCCCTTTGTGCATGACTGACTGATGGATTAACGCAGAGACACCTACTCTGGGAACTCCCACCGCGTACAATCGGCTAGGCGACCAAACTCAAGTGTCGGGGATACTGGGGTGCCCAGCTGTCGATCCGATACCATGTCCCGCATGCCCGACTTGCATCTCTTGTTCCCAATCCGACAATGTCAACCAAGCAGGCAAGTCAGATCTAGGCCCTTGTCCCGAAAGGGGATTTCATTGCGCAGAATGCCTAGACGGCTGGTTCTGTCCTCCGAGAGAAACGCCAGCACAGCCAGTGCCCTGCGGGCTGGGATGGCCATGCTATCATTGTCAATCAGGATGGTTTTGCGAGCTGGTTTTTACGCCCGAGCCCACAATCACGCCCTCGGAACCGCGCCCCAATGGAGAGAACGTTGGAAGTCAAGGAGCCAACGATGGACCAATTTCTCACGGTGGTTCTGGCGTTGGAAGTGGCTCACCTCCAGCCAATTACCCAGTTCCCGGAACGAATTCCCCTCATCCCGGCAACCAGCCAGCTCCTGGGCAAGTCCCGGGCATGGATCCGATTCCAAACGGAGCGCCGATTCCAAATGACGGATCCAATTCCAGTCCAGGTTCATCCCCCAACCAAGGTCCAATCCCGGCAAATGGGCAGGCTCCTGGGGCGCCGGCGACTCCAACAAATAGCTTGATTCCTGGAACAGTACCGATTAACATGGGCGATCATGCTACCACCCCCCTGCCAATCCCTGGAGGCGCACCAATTCCTACCCAACTGCCTGTCCCACCTATCTTACCAAGTTATGGAACAGACCCTGCTCCCGGAAAAGAGGTGATTCCTGGAGACAACTCGGTTCCCAATAACAACCCTAGCCCAGTTGTCGCGCAACCCCCCAACGCCGAAAATGGCGGCATGCAAAACAACAGAGAACCAATTACTTCGGGCTGGAACAACTTGGGTTGTTTTCAGGATTCTATTTCACGAACCTTGCTTGGTGCGAAGCCGGCGGATTATCTCCGAGGGGCCATGTCGAACGATTTGTGCATCCAGCACTGCAGCTCAAGAGGGTATTCAATTGCCGGCACAGAAAATGGCCAAGAGTGTTGGTGTGGAACAACTATCCGGGAAGATGCCATCAGACTTCCTGAGAATTATTGCGGCACTCCTTGTCAAGGTGGATCTGGAACGGTCTGTGGCGGAAGTTGGGCTGTGATGGTGTTCAACCGTGATGATACAATCGCTCAACATCCATTTCCTCCCGAGTATGGGTTGGTACAAAGAGACTCTGAAGCCAAGTGGAAAGAGTCTAGGCTTGCTCTGAGACGGCCATTTCGAGAAAGGGCCTTGGCTAGACTTGGAGAAGCCACCCACAAGATCGGAATCCGAGAAATGAGACATAGCAAGCGGCGTGGTGCCTTTTTTGCTGGTGAACACCCAGCGTTTGATGTCGGCGATTCGACTGAGGACTGAAGAATAGATGAATGCGGCATGTTGGGGAACAATGATTACAAACGAATATGCGATAACTATGGGTTAATGATTTGTTATGACGGCAATGGATCTTAGAGCTTGAGAACCCCCTTTTTGGAACTTTTTTTGGAACCTCCTCTTAGCTAATTGGTACTTATCTGAGGAGGAGCATGCAGTTAAAAGTAGTGAGCAACCGAGTAATGAAGCTGATGAAATTGTATTCAATGCAGTTAATGTATCGATTTGTTTATTCTGGAACAAGGGGCAAAACCCCATCAGAGTCGCACCTCACACTATGTGAGTATAGTACACAGCTGATTTCGAAGGCAATGCTTAGGAGGAAGAAGCCGCAGCTTCAACTCCCGCCGCGCGACCGAAAACAACACATTCCAGCAAAGAAGACCCTCCCAACCGATTGTCACCGTGAATACCGCCAGTGATCTCGCCAGCAGCCAACAGTCCGGGGATGGGAACCAATTTTCCGTCGCGCTGACGCAATACGTGACCTTGCTCGTCAAAGGCGACACCACCCATGGTGAAATGGACAATGGGAGTCACACGGCCAATGTAGATATCTTCATCGCGGTTCTCCTCGCCGGCCTTCAGCGTCCATCGACCGTACGTGCTACGTCCGAATTCGTCTTTAGCACCCTCGGCCACGGCCTTGGCGTACTTGTCGACTGCGGCGATGACGGCGGGCTGGAGGTCGCGGACCTTGACCTTCTTGAGCAGGCCCTTCCACTCGTAGAAGCCGATGTGGTTGGCAGATGCCTCAGTTGCGCCCGGGTCGAGTAGCAGGGTCACATCCCACTGCTGGATAATGCCGTCACCGTCGGTGCTCTGCGGCAGCTTCATGACGGCAGCGCTGACGTGCTCGCGGGTCTCCATCTCGTTGACGAAGCGCTCACCAGCGGACGAGAGCAAGATGCCACCCTCGCCACGCAACATCTCGGCAGCGAGGAACTTGAGCATCGTGTTGGGACTGGCGGGGTCCACGAAGCCGGTGGGGTGGATCTGCACGCTGTCCATGTCGAGGAGTTCGGCGCCTACGGCCGTGAGGATGCTGTGCGACCCGGGTCGCTCTTCGTTGGTCGAGGGGATGCCCTTGAGATCGGGGCGGTACTTTGCGAGCAGGCCGGTGGCATCGCCTGCGAAACCACCACTTGCGAACATGACTGTTCCTTCAAGCTTCTGCGTCTGGCCGTCAAGGACGTACTCGACACCCTTGACGGCGTCACCCTCGCTCAACAAGGCCTTGACTTCGGCTAGGTTGGTGAGAGTGAACTTTTCGTTTTCCTTGAGTTTGCCGAGCAGGGCAAAGACGATGGCAGCGCCGGGGGTCATCTTGCCGCCGCCACGGTGGGTGCGAGCGATGCTGTGACCGCCTAGAGGAGCGACGACGCTCAGGTCCACGCCGATCTCATCGACAAGCCAGTTGACAGCTGCGGCGGACTCTGCTGTGAGTTTGGAGACGAGGGCCTTGCGGTCGACGGGCGGGCTGGCATCGCTGAAACGGGCGCCGGCGGAGCGCACCGTGTCGCTGTAGAAGAGGTTATCTTGGGCGATGCCCTGTGCGATTTGGAACCGCGTCCCCGCGCCGTTGATGCCGGACGACGCCTTGATACTGTTACCGCCGGGCTTCGGCGCGCGGTCCAGTAGATGGACGGAGGGAGCGCCACGGGCGAGAGCCTCGTACGAGGCGGAGAGGCCGGCGAGGCCGGAGCCGACGACGATGACGGGCCGGCGAGCTGCTTTGGATGTAGCCATGGTTTTGGAGAAGGCGAAGCTGACTGAAGGGCGAAAGAGGTTGCCGTAGAGCATAGCAGTTAGAGCCACTGCGATGCCGATGCAAGAGAGGAACAGGATCCGTGGTCTGCTCATTGTCCAGCGGAGGATCCGAGGCATTGAAATGAGGGGGATCGGAGATCGGAACGCGGAGAGCCGGGCGGTATCGGCCGTTCTTTATACCGTCGTCGCGGTCGTCATCAGCGCGCAGCCTGCAGATACTCAGCTCAGTTTGGCTTGGCCTCTCACGGTGTGCGTGGCCTGGTTATGGCGCAACCCGGCGGTGCAAGCAGGACGGAAGTCGAGAGAGGCCAGAAGCGTGGGCGGACTCGTGGGCGCGGTATCAGGCGATTCCTGTGGAAAGTGGGCAAGCCGGGACCGCATCGTACGATGGGACGATGACGCATTGAGCCGAAACTTCAGACAGACACAGTGTCCTTGGCTTGGGTGCACGCATGGAGGGCAGACAGGAAAAAAAATGACACAAACAGGATGGGAAAACATCATGGTATCAACTTACAAAAATAAGATGTTCCGGGATATGGATCGGGAGGTTAGAGACTCTCCGTGGACTGCCGGACCCCCCCCCCGGCCCCGTTGTGGAGGGGCGGGCGCCGGGAGGTGGGCCGATCCCGATATGACGCCAGATCCCGGCCCCACTTCGTCCCCCGGTACCTGCGGCTGGTACTCGGAGCCTCATCTCGAGCACACACCATGCCAGAAGCCTCATGTTCTCTCGATCTCCGACCAACGCCACGGAGATCGCGTTCTGGACCGAACGCGCGCAATAAACCCATGCTTCATCAATCCCACCCCTGTTTTGGCGTCTGGCCCAACGCCGACGCCAAGCAGCGAGGTGCCCACAGACGCTGCGATATCGGTCGTCGACTGATCAGTGGAGCAGGGCGACTCGACTGCATGGCGTTGTCCCCGGCAGATATAAACGAACCGGCGGGGGGGTATCGATCGGTAGGGGCCGCAGCAGCTTAATCGAGACCTTCGCGCACTCCGATGGAGGGTGGAGCCGTTCTCAGCTTTTCCCTGGCCTTGCTTCTATTTGGTCTTCCATCCTTCGCTTGCAGATAACCTGTTCGGCCGCGTCGCATTCAGTATCCGCAGCTGACGAGCGATATTACCGTGGCTCGGCGAAATACTTGGCCCTCGTACCACGCAACGGGAGATTCGGTCAATGAGAGCCATCAGTTATCAGCAGTCATCTCTTTTTTAAGTTTGCGCAGAAACGTAGGTACAATCCCAAGCCGATTAAAACACGCTATTCGCCGCCAATATACCAGCCGCGCCCGCAACGGCAGCGGTCTTAAGATTTATAGAGAGAGGGAGAAAAAAGCATCAAGCGATGCAGGCTGGTGAAGGAGAGAAGCATCCAGGCCCTAACCAAAAATTCCTCCACCAGTCCATAGTCGGGCAGTCCGATCTTATCTATTGTTGATTTCGAGTCATAAGCCGTGATAAGAGAAGGCGTTGCACGTCACGCGACAAAACAATGCCGTCACGCGATTTATGCCAGGTTACGCTCGGTCTTCTGCTTTCGCTGCTCGTGGCCCTTGTCAGACCAGGGAAAGTGGAAGACAGGGACCTGGAAGAAGGAGTTGCTATGAGATAACATGTTAGTGGGTGGGTTCCGTGTGGATTTTTTTTCTTTTCGGGCCGGCATTGCGGCGGGGGCTAAGGGGCTGACGAACCTGCTGTCCTGAATGCCAGCCAACGCATTGTACCAGGCCATGAAGGCCGCTAGGAAGCCAAACAGACCGGCTGCTTTCTGGAGCGCAAGTCTGGCACTCTCATTGCCTAGGTCGTGCGCGTAATTCTCGCAGGCGAGTAGGAGGAAGCAAATGTCGAGTGTGAAGAAGAGGAGGAAGAAGGCGACCGTGGATCTGAGGGTGCAGATGAGCAAGAGGGTAGTGAAGATAAACCAGCCGGTCAGGAAGAATCCCATCACGGAGCCAGTATCGCCTGCGTAGGGGCCATCCTCCCCGAGAACGTTCCAAGTCGGCGTGAGAAGAAGGCCGTAGGCGATCCAGAAGCCGCCATACGAGGACAGGGCAGTAGCACCAAAGGTGTTACCGACAGCCATTTCCCTGGGAAGCGCATTAGTCGGAGAGCCTCGTCGAGACAAAGCCTCGATACAACATACCACATGCCAGCAAGAAGCTGGACGACGCCGCCATAGCCAAAAGCCAAGGGCACGGCGATATTGGGAGCGGATACGCCACGGGCGTGCATGTTACAGCAGGAGAGGACAAAAGTGGTGAGGGCGAAGGCACTAAGACCCAGGGGTGCTGGGTTGCCGAACTTTCGGTGCTCATAGGGCTTCCACATGCCAGGATGGAGGGAACCGCCCGCAGCTGGAGCCCAATCTGGGTTCATCTGAGGGTAGTCATGGTGGTGGTGATGATGTTGGTGGACGTCGTTGCTGTGGCGGTCGAGAGTCTTGTCCGAGTCGCTGTGGGGGTCGTGTTGGATGCGGTCGGCCATTGTGAATGTGTTGCAGGAAATATTTGATATCAAGTGGTGGAAGAAAGTTGACGGCGGTTGACGGAATATGGGTTGTATATATATAGGTTGGCGTTGGGGAGGGCCGGATGGGGTGACAGCGGAGGAGCCCGACCAGGGGGGCACGGAACATATACGTAGTGGGGAGACAACCTCACAAGGGATGAAGACAACAAACTTGAGGAGGAAGAAACAAGATAGTGACGCGGAGAAGAAGTCTGGGGAAAGGGTGGGGAGGGAGATAGGGTTTTAAAGACAGTCCCAAGCTGCGGACGGACCCTTTCAGACAGAGATTTGGTGAGATTTGTCGTATGCAGTCTGGGGAGGGGAGCCCAGAGAGAGGGACCAGGCCGAGCAAGGGGAACGCGGTGGCCGTCGTTAGTGTCTCCAGGAGAAGAGGGAGTAGGAGGAGTGGAGGCTAGGTGACAGAGTGGAGAGGAGATGTCGAGTGGAGGAGACGAAGTGGGGAGAAGGGGAACGGAGGAGAGCGGAGGAGGTGGAGAAGGAGGAGGGAACAGGGATTGGGATATCTCGTTCTGGGGTCTTTTTGGGCAAGGCTGCGTCTGGATGAATGGATGCAAGGGTGTTTGTGAATGTTGGGATGGAGGTGTACGGCACGGAACGGCGGTTAGCAAGTTGAATTGGCCATGGCAGGGTCATGGACCGTGATAATCATGGAGTATTGCATGGAGATGGCACGAGATGAGGGGGAAGGACGGGTCAGACGGCTACCTCGACGACGCGGCCGCATGGAAGAGGGAGTGAGGATGGATGGGTGAAGCGGAATCGACGGGGGAGGGACAGCAGAGATTTCACAAGAAATGCAGAGACGGGAAGAGACGGGCATGAGAATCGTCAGAGACGGTCAATTCGGTGTCAACCACAAGTATTGGCCAAGATTCGGGGTAGCAGACGTCCATGGACGGGGAAGATTGGAGAGGCGAAAGGCCGAGCATCAAGAAGTCCGCGGGGAGCGGACAATGATGGGATAGGTACCACTAACACGACCAAGGCACCCACCATAGTGGCCGTATCCGTCTCAACCACAAATTCCGAGCGCCAAGTTGAGGTGGCTGCGTATGCTAGAGACGGTGCGTGCACTGCTCATGGCCATAGCCGTAGCTTGATGGCTGAGGGCGGATGGGCTTGTGGATCCCCGGATGGTGTTGTCACCGAGTGGCGGATTGGGCTTACCCCAGTATCCTCCTTCCGGGAGGGGCGTACATGGGCAACAAGAAGAGGGCGGAGGCAATGTAGGCTTCAGTTGGTGAGAGGCAAGACCGGCCAATGGTTCGGGATATGAGGTCGGTAAGTGGTTGGGGGTGTATCAAGCGGGGGAGAGAGGTGTGATGGACAAGAAGAGTAAGCCTGAGACGCGGAGAAGAGGAGATCAAGACGGGGTTGCTGATGAATGGGCAGTGTCTGGTAGGATGGGGTACCTCTGTGACCCGAGGACAGGCACCTGGACGCGGGGAGGGAGATGCGTGCAAGGCTCCGCATCCTGGTCATGATGCTGGGTTTGGTGAGTAAGAGGGCGAGAGGCGAGAGGCGAGAAAGTGAGGCGGAGGCAACAGGCCAAGCGACGAGGAGACCACACACGCGGATGCAGGCGAATGTATGCCTGTGCGTGGACGCCTGCCCAACAAAGCTGCCGGTTTCTGGAACTATGTAGAAATGGCAGATTTTGTCATGTTTTGCCCTGTGGAGGAGCAGGTCTCCGGAATCTGCTTCTGTCCGTGGTCGAGAAGCTGGACAAGATGTGCGGATTGGTGTGTCAACAGAGAATGGCGGCCAAGTTGACCACAATTAACTACGAGATTTTGTTCAGTCCTGCTTCCAAAGCCTTGTCGTGGCGGCAGGTACGGGATCAAAATTACATTGTAAGCCCGGACCAATCAGATGGAGAGAACCCAAGCTTTAACCATTCCCTCACGCTTGTCTCAGCCATCCCGTTGAGTCAAGCTGGCTCCATGCTGACCACTCGGTTCATTCGACTTGCATAAATGGTATGGAGAAATGGACACAAACAGCGTCAAGAACGATGAGGATAAGAGAAAAGGAGGAAGAGAGAGCTCGAGCTCAAGGAGGGGAATGGTCCATTACCCCAAAAATGGGAATGGCCGTCCAGGCCTGACCAGCAGGGGTTGGCGAAGAGGGGAACGCAGGTGGCTTAGAATTTGTGCAGGCGACAGATTTGGGGGCAGTGAGGGGGACATGGGAAGAGAACCAAATAAGAGGGAACCGAGGGAAGAGGGTACAAAGAGATGAAAGAGGAGGATGACGAGATACCAGGCATTACTTCGTACAGATCCTCGGTAATGTTCCCATGAGATATCCACATTTTTATTCTCCAGCGCCGGACCAAAGGCAACCGGTCTGCCCTGGGATCACTTTGTCCATCATGGAGCCCTCCATCGTTAAGTTCCCCTTTTGGGCCATCCTCTGTTGATGCGCGCGGAACAAAAAGACCGGCATTTGGGCAATTTTTGCATCTCTCATTGTCCGTGGGCTCAATCTCGCAGGCCACTCAAGGCTCAAGACCCAACTCACACAACTCGCAGGCGTCACTTACAGACGTAAGTCCCCACTACGGTGGGCTGGGTGGTTCTTCAGGTGGAGATGCAGAGTGGGGGGCCGAGGCGGAAGAGAGAAAATCGCAGCGCGCTGCAGCAACAAGAGCGTAGGACGGGGGCGTCACTTCAGCGCCTCACGCCGGATGTGACGCTGATTGACAGCGGCTTCAAATCTGATTGGACGGGCATACCGTTTCGGGATTTTTGCAGCGTAGGCAAGGATCACGTCGACGGAGATCGGCTAGGTACCGCAAGGAGAGGTGAGGAGGAAGCAGACTTGGTGTCGTCAGCGTCGAGACCTGTAGCGGTTCGTGGCAACAAATGCTCTCTCAAACCACCACAGGAACTGGATTTATCTGACGATCTGCGTGCTTTGTCCTGAACTAGATCGACATCATGACGATGATCAAATCGAAAGTATTGTGCTACTACGGAAGAGTTTGTTCGATTGTTAATCCCAAAAAGTGGGGGTTGTCAGTCTGCTGTTCGTGCGGTTGTTGGAGATTAGCCCGCAGGCGTCCTGGACCGCGCCGACATATCCGAGTTTCCTTTGCCATCGGCTCCGCTTTGTGTGTTGCCGCGTAAGGGATAGGACAGTCCCTGAGACTAGAAGAAGGGCATCCATTTGGTGGAAATAGCGATATTCCAGAAGGAATTGTTTCCAACCGTCACGCCATGGCTGCTTCGCCTCGGCCGACGTTGAATATGTGACGTCGGCTTCCCCAAAAACCCAGCGAAATTTGGAGAAGTGCTCGGTTGTCTTGGCAAACTCTCCTCTTCTCTCCTCACGAAATTTGGAGATGGCTCTCCCTTGTCCTTGTCCAGCCTCCCGCCGCGGGGTTCACACCACCTTCGCACTATTGAAAACTCTCCGGCGTGGTGAACAGGTAGACAGAGAGGGCGTAGAAAAAGAAGGATTGCGGTAATAATAGGTTGCAACCTCCTTGCAGCTCATGTGTGTCTCCCCATCAGCTCAGAAAACACGGCTTTAACGGGTGCCCACGAGAGATTGCCGTCGGGGCCGCAACGGCCTTGCACCAAAAAACCATGTGGCAAGCAAAGGGATTGCATGGGTGGCGCTGCGCTCACACACATGCATCCGCTCAGTGCGTGTTTCGCGCATGGTGGTCTGATCAGACAAGCAAGGGAATGCCTGGCTTTGAGTTTCCCATCGCCTCAAAACTCGTGTAAGCCGTTGTCAGGTTGCAGAAATGTTGCCCCTTGGCAGGAACACACAACTCGTAGACCTGAGAGATGAACAACGTGATCTGTCTGTGTCTTTCTCCCTCCCTTGCCAGAGGGCCTTCTGGACACCCCTGCGAGCTGGAGTCCTGGATATGGAGTCCTGGATACAAACCTGAAGTCAACAGACACAGACACAGCCTGAAAGTTATCCTCGGTAAACGGTCGGTCTCCGGCTCTTTGAACACACGGACATGGGACCTGGCGGCTGGGACCCTCTCGAACGGAGCCGCATGGCCAGGGGTTGTACGGTACGACGTCTTGGCGATGACGCTTGTAGGGCCGGTCTGTCGGTCTGTCCCTCTAATTTTTCACGCCTCAGTCTCGTTGGGCTCGTTGGGGGCAATCCTCCTTCTCCAAAACCCCGATGTCGGGAGTTTTGGGGGAGGCAATTAAGAGACGGTCACACGGTGGAATCATTACGTAGCGTAGCAGTGCCCAGCATCATCGGACCGGATTTCCAGTTGATGACGCCGAGAATGAGGCGTTCTGTCCAGCCAGGCTGGCGGGCCGCCATGGCGTTCGCCGCAGCTGCGGCTCTTTCCAGGTGACGGGAATGGGGACGAACTAGCGACCACGCCACTTGATGCAGGCGCCTCACTAAGGGGCTGCTGAACGTATTCCAGAAACAACAGGTGCAAGGAGCCTCCTTGGAGCCTGTTTCCCATTTTGCGCCCGGAGCCAGTGCAGGGAAGGCGCAGGATAGGTGCAGGACGCGTCCAGGGCAGGTACCAACCCGGGTTCAAATGCAGGCAGGTGCAGGAACACTGGGCGCCGCCACCCGCTATCGCTCCTGTCTGCCCTCTGCCTCTATCTCGGCTTGTTTCCTTTCTGCACATCTGCAACCAACAACGCACACCAACAACCTTGTCTCCAACCATGTCCCAACACGCACTCGCATCGCTCTATCCGTATTCCCGTCTCAATATTTTCTCTTAAGGTCGTTCCGCTTGGAATCCGGCGTTGGTCAGTCTCCATGGACACTCCTCGACGGAACACAAGGTTCATCAATCAACCCCTGCCGCAGCCCATTTTGCGCCTCGAACGGGATAATTATCCAAGTCAGCGCTAGCTTTGTTCTCACCACTCTCTCTCTTCCAGAGATCGTGCGAATCGACGCTGTCGGCAGCGCTAGGAGCCCACACGCGTGGTGACGGGCGACGGACCCAGAAAGCTCCACTATCGTATGAGTTCAGCTCCGCCGTCATTGTCTCAGCCAATTCCGCCAGCGGAATCGCCGTGTCACACTCCCCGAACGAAGTCCGTCACCGCATTGCCATTTCGATTGCGGCTGCTGCCATTATTAGCCCACGCGTTAGGGTGTGCCCCGGCACTGAAAACAGAGGAGCAAGTTCAAAGCGTCCATCTGAACTACTCACCATCGCCAGGAGTGTTCTCTTCTGACTGTGACAAAAGCCCTCTTTGACTTCGCTAGTAGTCACGTTGAAGCTGCACTCACTACGCACACCCGGGCACAAGCGCAGGGACATAAACATACGCCCCATGCCAGCCAAGACTTGAAGAGCCGCGAGGCAAAGTGCCAAGTGCCAAGGGTCAGGGGCCAGGGTTGCGATCTGCTAATACCACGCACATTGCCGTTAGCCTCCCACCCATGCAGCCACCGCCAGACACCGATGCGAGCTTTTGGAGATACCCGGACTTCAAATCCCGGAGGCCAAGCAGCCTGCAATGAGGAATCCTCCAAACCATCGATGGGTAGGCATCCAAACCACTCAGGTTTGGCCTGAGATTCAATGCCCTTGGCCATTCTTCAATCTTAGGACGCTCGAGTAGATTCTCTGTGAGGGTGCACTGAGACTAGGTCTAGTAAAATTCGGCTCCAAGCATCCGTGAATCCCGAGATATGAAGGGATCCAAAATACACGGTGTCTTCGTTTTCTCGCTCTCAAACCACTGCCCCGTCAATCTCTGGTGGATTAAAGGTCCGTTCCAAGTCGCTAGTAAAGACTTAGCTCGGGTTGTTTGCCGACCGCTCTTTGGCCGAGATTTCGTCAGTGGGTGGCGTGAGCATGTTATCCTCGGTCCATAAACATTCATCGTCACTGTTGCGTTTTCCCTGCGGTAGCCAGGGGGCTTAGGCAAGGAAGGACAATTTTCCTTATTGGACCATTCGGGCAACTTCCTTTGAACCGAGTGCTGGGTTATGTTTTATGAACGTGCGTGGGTTTGGGGTGAGACGGGACGGGATGTAATCTATCTCGTCGTGGATCATCGTGGGTCACATCTCACATCTCACATCAACTGACTCCATATATTCTCAACCTCGGTTATGGCAATGTCTGGCTGCAAACGGTTCAACCGAGCATTCTGTACAAGTGTCTTGATGGGTAGACGTGGTCGACGTTGAGTAGCGCTCTGCGTTCAACGCCTGCTGCAGGATGAACACTCCCCTATCCATTTTGACAAATCTCGACCACGGCTATCCATGGCTTGCATTAACATTGTCCGACCTTGCTCTTAAGCTTGATCTCTCAGCCTGTACCAAATGGTTGGGGTTGCGGATGGCTCGCAGGGAAGACCTCGTCGGAACAAACGGCAGTACGGGTGTGCATCCTTTGCAATGGCCCCCTTAAACGGCCTCGATCATCAACAAATCGAACTACTGGTTGCCAGCGACCAAGACCAACATGCAATCTGCGGTTCCGCACCGTAATCGACTGACTATTGCGTAGAATCATGGTGTCTGTAGAATCTCAGGCTCGGGATGTCGACAATGGATGACTTGGATCCCGAGACTCACGAAATCGCAGTCGGCAAATGCTCTCACTTGAATGCCGAGATTCGCCACCGCTGCGCCGGAGTAATCAGCCTTCCAGAGCCAGATTCTGCTCCCGTAAGGAGCTGCAGGCCGCTGGTGGCCACTGTTCAAGCCTTACCCCTATTCCCACTGAGGCCATCACCAAATTGATGTCAGGGCATGCCTAGACCTTATCCAGCTTGATGAAGACTCCTGAAGATGTAAAAAGTAACAGAGTACCTCTACTGCAGCGATGATCTGTCATCGCAGGCCGTCAGCCCTTGAGCGAGGGAAGAATGATCCTTTCCAAACGGGGAGTTTGCGAAATGTGCAGCTTGACCCCCTCGTCCAGTCCCCTAAAAGATATTCCTAGAGGCATGTAGACTATAACTTGGAGTCACAATTAAAATTCCAAGACGACTCCCAATAATTGTATGCTTGAAGCCCTTCTGAAAATATGAAATCCTCGTGGGCCGGCGATTGATGCATCCAAACAACACATCGCCACTCTCACCTCAGAAGTTTCTGGACCATTTGGCCCACTCCCGGCCCATCACATCCCCAGAGAATGTCACGATCATGGGCCGCAGAGATCTCGCCATTATAAAGCTCAGATATTACCCCATACCCACAGGGACGATGTGGATGCCTGGAGCACAGATGAAGCCGGCGCAACTATCCCCACGGGGTCGCCCCAGAATCCATCCAGATCTTATCTGAGACCCTTTTTTTCGTTCGGTATTCGGGAATCTGGCTCCACTAGTAGATTTCAACGTCGTGGCATTGAAACTGGTAGGTTTTGGTGGTTACCCCTGAACGCTTCTGAGGTGCAACACCACGGCGCTGGAACTCAATCGTTTGAAGCCAGCATTCGAGACCGGTTCGTCTTAACATGGCTCAAACGTAGTCTCGTATTCTTAAATATGGTTTTAACGCGGTATGGCAGTCATTTTCGGCCTGATGCCTCATCAATCAAGCTAGGTGTGCAGCCCTGAATTTGTGTTACCCCTTGAGCCTCCTCGACCACGTCTTTACCACAACCCTAAGCCCTTAACTAGTAGTTGGATATTTTTTTTTGATTATGTTAAGGTTAGACTTACTATACTGTTTATCATTAACTTCGATCCTAGTTTGTGACACCAAATGTGCGAAGCTGCTCTCACTTTGTGAACCGACACTTACCCTAGATTGTTTTGTCTCGACATCCAAACTGCACGTAAATGGATACAGCAGGTATTCAATGATTTGCAGTTGTCTTTAAAAGGTATTAGTGATGATTTCCGTTATTTTATGCATTATGTTCAATATTTGTCTGATTTACGTAGCACGGCATGGTTTTGTCGCAGGAAGTATATCAAATCCGATCAGAAAGTAGAATTTGCGCTTATATCGAAGTATCACTTGTCAAATATCAAATCTATCACCTAAAAGTACTAGTTATTGGGCAAACAATAAGCCTAGTGAACTAGTACATACCATCATCCATAGCGAGGGCTGTCCAAGAATGACCTAGGAGAGTAGAATCCGCATCTCGTGGCCCTCACCCCAGAGCCACCCGATCTCGTCATCGGGGCCTTCCTCAACATCAGCTACTCCATATCTACCCCACCTTCTATCGTAGAGGGTGAAAAGAGTCTTGAGCTCTAGGAGGGTGTGGAAGTACCCAAACATGATGAGTCCAGGAATGAAGAACATGTCCAGAGGATTTTGTACCAAGACTGGCAGTGGCTTGATCAGCTTGGTTAGGAAGATTCCTGCAGCGGGGATTGCAAACATCCACGGTGCTTCCGTTGCATACCAGGTGAACGCAAAGGATGTGAGTAAAGCGGCATCGCAGAAGAGTGACAAGTTGAAGAGGCCCGAAAGGTGAATGGCGTAGGCACCCCACGGAAAACGCTTCCACGCTTTCGGGGTACAGAAGAGCATGGTTGCGTGGGATCGCCACGAGTTCCGACCTCGGCGATCGCAGTGATCGATGAACTGCGAGGCGGTGCGGGTAGGGACTTCAACGCATGAGTTGGTAGTTGACTGAAACGCAATGTGCCAATCGTGTTGGATGAGCCACTGAGTGATGAAGTTATCATCGCCAGCGGCAATAGGTCCATACTTACCAAAGAAGAAGCACTCGTTCTGGAATGCCTCCACAAACTCCGGGGCTTGGATGATCTCTGTGCGGTAGAGGGCAGTCTGGCCTTCGATGACCTTAACAGACCCGTCGATGGCATTGGTAGCTCGCGTCTCGTAGTTGAGACTCGAGACATACACACTTTCAATAAAACCCCAGAATGAATTCCAACTAAATCCTGTCGCCTCGCGGCGGATACGCCTGTTCGTAAAGACGCCGCCAACAGCCTCGTTAGTAAAGGGGGCGAGTGCAGCAGTCAAGAACCGCTCATGCCAGAAGACACGATCGTCGGCGAGGATTGTAATACCAGTCGTCAGTTGCGGAATGGCGTGTGCGATCTGGGAGCGCTTGTTAGCCTGTGGCACTGCACCAACGTGAATTCCGGTACTAGGGAACTCAAGCCGAAGCTCACGGATGACATCGTAGAGACGATTTCGGCGATTTCTGCCCACGGTGACGAGGATGAGTGCATAGACGCGGTTGCTCAAGATTGAGCGAATACACTGCTCCAGATGCGGGTTGTCGAGGTCGACGATGGGCATGATGACGGTACAATCTCGATGAGTGATGGCAGGGTGGGCAGGAATTGGGAACGGATGGTAGCATACTGCACCAATGAGATTCCCCATAAGGCGACAATATCGGAAAGAGACCAGAACCACGAAGGCAATGAGGGCAGCGAAGTGGCCCGTCGAAGAGGAGTTGGCCTCCATGGCGAGAGTGATGGTCCGCTGAGAAGGCCAATGCTAGATGGATTATGAGAATTGAGGGGTATAGAAGAGATGGGAGGGAAAGAGTTGGTAGTAACCTGGTGACTGCATTGGCGAAGGTATAGACATATTGAGGCACTCACCCGAATCCAGATGATTGCAGAACAAGACATGGTTCATGTGTTCATTGCAAGGTGTTTGGATATTCAGGACCAGTTGCTTGGGACATGATGATCTATAGCAAAAGTGGTCTTGGGTGGCGGCAAAGTCGCATGAAACCTGGGTGGTTAGTACCACTTCTCTCCCATCTTGTCTTGACGCCATATGTTGGAATTCTGAGTTAGCCACTCTGAGTACTTTGTCATGGTAGAATCGAGCGACGGCCAAGTTTGGGGCTTCTATTGAGGTCCAATCAAAGGCTAGGAGACCTTGTCCTTTGCTCAATCATGAGGACCGTGCCACGGTGCTAAAAACACAGATTCCTTCCTGAACAATGCAATAGCCGACGCTAATAAGTGCGTCAGCCGGTTGGGTTGGGTTGGCGCATGCAGTTCGTTAGTGGTTCCGCGGTTTGGAGGCGTGGCGTGGAAAGGTTTGTGATGTGGTTGGCTGGTTTGGTTGGTTGGCCGAATCCTGAGAGAACGTGACGCCTACGGAAGGCAACGCCCCCGCTTTATCCCCGGACTATGAACAGGAACCGCAGCTAAACCTTACAAATCCACGTTGCAGACGCGGTTGGCTCTCCAAAGACATGGATTGTGACGGGACTTGCGGGAGGCCGTTCTTCCACGTGGATTGTGAGACTCTTCAATCAATGTCTCTTCAGCGTCTGGTCAATGTATCCGTCATGTCATGATGCCCTCATCGTGCGGCTCCCCCTCTCCTCTCCTCTCCTCTCCTCGGCTTCCTCAAGCCACCCAGGGAACGTCGGGAGGCTGATGCGACGCCAACCGAGAAAACCGAACTAACGACGCTCCGTGCTATCCCCGACACCATTTCCGATCCTCGGGGTCGATGATTCGATGATCCATCCACTCGATAATGGAGGAAAAGTGGCCCAGCGCCCTCCCCGAACCGACCAGCATCCACCCAGAACCGGGGTCACTTGCCGGCCTGGGATAAAAAATCTGGGGCCCGCCGTCATGTCAGTCATAAGGAGAATTTCTATCTGTTTAGGCATTTCATCCTTTCACCTCCGCTCACCAAGGCGTCTATCACCATCCTCACCGGTTGTCTCCCACGGTATTATCCTCCGCCGTCTTAGGATTCCCTGCCAAAGCTTGGAACACCTCTGGCCAATTGCTTCTTCAGAGAGGTGAAATGGACGAGAAACGAGATTTGGCGGATCGGTACCCCGAACGCGACTCCGGCAGCCCAGACACGTCAACCTTGAACGATGGAGATGCAATAACCGCCATTCGAACAACCGATAACCGAGGCTCGCCTTCCGACCTTGACGAGGGATCCCCTGCCCAAGACAATGGACCTCCCCCCCCGCCCAACGGAGGCTATGGTTGGGTTTGCACAGCTAGTGTCGCAACCATCAACGCACATACTTGGGGCCTCAACTCCAGTTATGGTGTGTTCCTTGCTTACTACCTGAAGAACAACACCTTCCCTGGCGCCACATCCCTCGAGTACGCCTTCATTGGCTCACTGAGTGTCAGCTCCGCCCTCCTCATATCCCCTCTTGCCACCATTGCCGTCCGCGAGCTCGGTACCAGACGAACTCTGTTCATCGGCGTTGTCCTTGAAACCGCCAGCCTGATCTGTGCCAGTTTCGCCCACAGGATCTGGCACCTTTTTCTCACCCAGGGCGTCCTCTTTGGCATTGGGATGGGATTCCTCTTCGTTCCAAGTGTTGGCATCGTTCCCCAGTGGTTCACAACCCGCCGATCTTTGGCCAATGGCATCTCAGCTGCAGGATCCGGCCTTGGCGGACTCCTCTATTCGTTTGCCAGTGGCGCCATGATTAGGAACCTCGGCCTTGCATGGGCATTTCGGATCCTCGGCATTCTTGTCTTTGTCGTCAACACCATCTGCACCCTTCTAGTCAAAGATCGTAACAAGATCATTGGCTCCCGCCAAGTAGCATTTGACACTGCCCTGTTCAAGCGTGTCGAGTACCTCTTGCTGCTCGGCTATGCGTGGTTCAGTATGCTAGCTTATATCGTGCTCATCTTCAGCTTGGCAAACTATGCTAACGAAGTCGGGCTCAATTCCTCGCAGGCCGCTCTTGTCAGCGCCATCTTCAATTTGGGCCAGGCTTTTGGCCGACCATTCATCGGGTACTTTAGTGATAGGACTGGTCGTATCAACATGGCTTGTCTGACAACATTCATGGCCGCAATCTTTGTCTTTGCCCTCTGGATCAACGGCAATGTCTACGGAGTTCTGATCTTATTCACTATTATCGGCGGTGCTGTGGGCGGCACCTTCTGGGCGACCATCGCCCCAGTCACGGCCGAAGTGGTTGGCTTGGCGGATGTCCCTTCTGCTCTCAATCTCGTTTGGTTGGTCATTGTACTACCGTGTACTTTCAGTGAGCCCATTGCTTTGGAAATCGTGGCGAAAACGGGCAAGTACATAGGCGCCCAGCTATTTGTCGGCTTCATGTACATTGTGGCTACAATGTGTTTGGTTGTGCTGCGGGGATGGAAGATTGGTGAAATCGCCGAAGTTGCTCGAGTGACGCACCAAGCGCCCGAGAATATCGACCGAGTCATGACTGCCAACAGCGAGGTTGTCAGTGTCAAGAGCAAAATGGTAGGGCGAAAACGGATGTTTGCTGAGTGTGGGAAGCCTGGAAGAGTCTGAATGATACGGATGAAGGTCTGAATGAAAACTGGGAATAAGCACACCAAATTACCCTGAATGTTTAGGTAATACATAACACCTAATACATAAAATAAATAGTTATTTTGATGAGAAATAAATAATAATTAGTTCTCTAAAGTTATAAGACCTTCCATCCCCTTCCTCTTGTATCTGAATCCTTATACTTGCATGCATAGGGCCAGATACATAAATTCAACAGACATAATTTGTTAGTAAGAACGCGGGTCCGCTAATAGCAAGTTAGGGACGGATAAGTCAACCCAGGTTAGACCGGGTCATGGAACAGGCATGCTATCATCTGGGAATACTTGATACAGTGCTTCCTGATAAAGTTTCCACTCGACCTTTGCCATATATTATAGGTGTCAGTTGCACTATGCATTAGTGGAGTGTTAATTCCACTTTGCCATTGTCGTCAATGCGATATCCCTGAGCCTACCCAGACGGCCCTGATGTCCTTCAACTCTTTCACATCAAACTCCCCACCAAGTCCACCCAAAGACCCTGTTCCCATCCTCCAATGTTCCCAAAATTCCATCGTGTCATGGCAAAACTTATTATTTGAGGATAAGATCGACACCCCGAACTTCTGGAGAAGAGTCTAAAATAAATTGTCAGTACAAGTCCCCAAGATGGACTCTATCAACGTGATCCATTCACGTAAGTTGCTTCTACAACTAGACTAGAAACACTGATGCATAAAGGGTAAACGGGCAAAACACAACTCACTTCTCTCGTTCTAACCCTCAAATTCGGTTATCGGGCTGCCTTCTACACCCGGGGTGATGTCACCATTTCTCCTGTCTCTATATGGTCCTCAAGGTGCTGGCATTACTATGTGTGCAAATGATTTCGAATGGATCATGGGGGTGCTAGAGCGTACCTCCTTAGAGCCTGGCTACATAAAGATGGCATTAGAGCAAGCGTTATCTGCGTGGGACGATACTTTACCTCCAACTCGGGTTTACTGGGCTCGGAGGTCCCAGCCTCCGCCCCATTCGTCATCTCCCTCACTTTGGACACTTGACGGTTCTGTAAAGTTGATTAATATTGCACGATTGGGGAAGCACGGAAGAAGGACTGACGCACGGCTGACGCCACGGCTAGCAACACGGCCGACCTAACTCTTTGCCTCTCTCATAGAAATTGACTTTGGCCGGCGACGGAATGAGTTTCCCAGATAGGAAATATTCACTACTTTATTCAAGAATCCCCTGGATCTCCTCGAGCGGCTTTTGGACAGCCTAACGGAAACAATTAATAGCCCCCAAAAGACCAGGATGAAGAAAGGGATGTATGGTTTTGTAAGATATCTGGGAATTGTCCAGGTGGCCGAGCATGACTCTACCCGGCTACTACAGATTCCTCAAACACACAACTTTTATACTCACAACTACGATAGATCGCCACCATGAAGCTGTCTTTCTTCCTAATTGCAGTTGGTGTGACCAACGCCCACACGATCTTTCTCTCATTCGAAGTTGATGTTGACAATGAGATCTCCTACAATGTCCGAACCCTTTCCTATGACGGCCCCCTCACTGACGTCGACTCTGAGTCGCTTGCATGCAACGGAGACCCGAACCTGACCACGTCCACTAAGACGATTCTCACCGTCGCCACTAGCTCCACTGTACGCCCTTTGGCGACGTGCCCTCTACTCGGGGCCGGAAGACGTCATGGATGCGTCCCACTTCGGTCCTGCCGTGGCTTACCTCAGGAAGGTCGATGCTGCGGTCACGACTGTGGGCACTGGAGTGAGCGGTTCAAGATCCGGGAAGTGGATTCAATAAAGGGGCCCGAGGCTAGCATGGTTATCCAGGCTCAAGGAACATACCCGGTCACCATTCCTCATCTTGATTCGAGATTCGGACGTGGACGTACACATCTTTCCAGCCTTTCCTGACGATCAATATATCCCTTAAATTAAAACACTCATTGACTTCCGTGGATAATTGTGGTGCAAGTATTGCGAAGCAATTAGACCGCACTTATCAACCAGATATGATTGCTGCAGGGACACAATGGACAACGGCATTTCGCTGCCTATTGGCACCGCGCAGTTCTCTCGGGGTGTTATATTTCCCACATATTGTCCTTGACTTCAGTGAGATGCGAGCTTACTTGGAAAATATATGAATCTGGCGGCGTCTCCGCGTCACTCGCCTTTCCAAAGCAAGTACCAAGCGCCGCCATTGCGTGTACCTCTTAGAGGTTCAAGTCCATGCCTCGTAAGCCAGGACGCCAATATCTGGCCCATCGTAGACACAGTTTCAGGCCCCCTTTAAGTGTTCTGCAAAAGCGTAAGGATCAGTCTAGCTGATTACTTTCGACCCGGGCACAACGTAGTCCACGTGCCATACCTTGCCCCAAGAGCCGATTTCGAGGAATCTGCCAGAACTGTCAAGAAGTTCACGTCCGCTGTTTGAGCGGAAGAAGTCCTGGGAGTCTTTGAATTCGGAAGTCAATGATGCATAAATGCTTGACTAGCGCAAGGCCGTACGAGGCAGCTCTGGCAAGGCATCCACACTCGCCGTCGCTGTTGTATCCGAAGCGGTATTCCCGCGAGCCTAGAGGACGATCTGGGTTGGGATAGACAAATTTTGGATCGAACTCGAGCGAGGAATTTATTGGTTTCCCCGACAAGATGAATCACGGCCACGCGAACCCGGCTGGCACAGAGTAAAGTCAGTTTCGCATAACCCTGTGAAGGAGTTGGTACTCCACACTCTTCGAACCTTGGTATACCTATGCAAAGTTATTATGAAGGATACGAGGACATACAGTCTGAGCACCTCGAGAAACCAATTCATACCTTGGTAAGTTGGCATTCAGCATGGTGTCTCTCACAAATGTCAGTTTGGGTGCCACGTGATCTGGCGTTACTCCTTTGACGCGCTCCTAGGCCCCACTAAAGTTCGCGACGCTGACCTCACGTCATCGGCTTCTTCCTCTATGACTGTGAGCGACCTTTCGCCGTACTTTGACCTCCGGAGATGTGGCTCTTGGAAAATGAAGAGGCCTTTGATGGTAAGAGAGAGAATCTCGGAATATAACCGCCGCCACTGACACTCTCCTTAGGCCGTCGGTTGTGGTTGCGACCAGGCAAGACGTACCTCTTCGGCAGGACCGCCGCAGAGCGTGAGCGACCCAGCACCACGATTTAAACGCTAGACAGCTAACATGCCACTGACAGCTGGCCAACTCGCAATCTCACATAATACGATTTCCCGGAAACACTTGACGATTACTGTCGATAAGGTCGAGGATGGACGATCGCAGAGCCCCAAGCATCGGTCGACACTCACGATCGAGGACTTGAAGACTAAAACTGGGACTGTTGTCAACGGAGAAAAGATCAAGGGCAAGAAATATGAGGTCACGACAGCGTCAGCGGATATTACTATGGGTAAATGTCCCAACAAATTTCGGTAAGGATGTCCGTACATAACACCAGGACTCTTGCTGACCGACCCTAGCATTACGTGGAACCCAGTTGTATTCTCCTTTGTCTTCACGAGCAAGGAGATGCAGACCAACCCCTTAGTGCAACTTCAGGAGAGGTTCGAGCAACTAGATGTTAAACTCGTGACAGAATTCACCAGCGCCACCACACATGTTGTCTCGAAGAAACGCAACACAGCCAAAGGGCTTCAGGCGCTGATTAATGGGAAATACATCGTCAACGAGACATTTCTCAATGCAGTTGTGGAGGCTGCAACCATACCTGAGGGTGCCGATGTTACCGAATCGAGTGCCCTAGAGAAAGATTTTGATGCACACTGGCCGACTGCTATGGAGCACTTACCACCACGAGGCGGAGAGCCAGTGCAGCACCCAGACTCGACATATAGTCCCGATCTTGAGAGAAACGAGATTTTTAATGGGTATACCTTCATATTTTACGACAAGTCACAGTACAACAACCTCCTAGCGCCAATTACCAGTGGTAGTGGCAAGGCTTTACTCGGCGACGTTGTCGCCAATCAGACTGAAGTGGACGAGTTCGTCCAATATGTCAAACATGTTGCAGGTGAGAAGGGGCTGGGCGCTTTTGATGACGGAAGCGAGGGCAAGGGTGTTGTGCTGGTCAGATACTTGCCGTCCAAAGGCTCTGGGGTCAACTGGTACACCGAGTTCATCACGGCAGTGTCATTGCGATTGGATCACCGCCCAATCGAACAGAGCGAGTTCTTGGAAGCAATTCTAATCAAGGACGCGAGCATTCTCCGCCGGTCGCTCGAGGTCGAGTCGACACAGAATACCCAGGACCCTCAAGGAGCCGCCCCAAGTGTGCAGCCAGGCCCTGCACCACAAACTGCCAGCCACGATGTTGAAGCAGAAACGCCAGCACCCGAACCTGTCCAAGAATCGCAACCTGCCCCTAGAAGGGGTAGAACTCGGCGACCAGTGAAAAGGCGGTTTGCAGGCTTTGACGATGACGCAGACATCGACATGGACAATACGCCGCCGGTTCCTGTTGTTGAAAGCCATCCCCCAGCCGAGGAAGAAGGCGGGCTGTTTGTATCACAGGATCCTGACGCTCCCCCCCCCAGGAACTTTCAACGAACACCCGACGATCACAGAGGAAGCGACATGCATCTCCCCTCCCAGAAGATGACCTAATGGAGGGTATGGCCCCAGCAGCGGCAAAGTTCAAGCGGCAGCGGCTGGAGCGAGGAGAGGACCTAAATCCACCCACTCCAGAACCCGAGGAGGCTGCTGAGACCGCGCAACCAGAGCCAAAGAAGAAGATCAAGAAAGAATTTGACATTCTGGCGATGGCGGCACAAAATCGAGAACAGGAGGAAGCCAGAGCTCGGGCAGAGAAAGAGGATTTGGCCAACCTCCCCGATGATGTCGATCTTGCTGAAATTCGCCGGCTCAACATCGTGGAGGAAATTGAAGTGCGGGCCCCGGCCTCACAAACTAGGTCGCGGGAGCAAGACGTTTTGAACGGCCGATGGAACCCGAAATGGAACGGCATGCAGAACTTCAAGAAATTCCGGAAGCGTGGAGAGACGACTGGAAGACCACCCGCAAGGGTCATCGTGGCCTTGACAGAAGTGAAGAACAAGGAGTTTGGCGTGGGTGATGATTACTGGCTCGAGGACGAAGACAGCTATGGCAAAAAGAAACAGACAAGCCAGCCTTCCGGTCTCGAGTCGCAAGGCTCAGCGGCGACGGTACCACCTCCACCTCCTCCCCCGAAGCCTGCCCAGAGGCAAGTTGTCGGAGTTATACTCTCAGATAGCAGCGACGATGACAACGGCAAGACCCAAGAAGCGGAGCCCGCGCCACGAACGCGAACACGAGCATCTGCCTCGCAGTCTCAAAGTAACACTCGGAGCCAGTCATCGAGGGTGACTAGCCAGGGGAGCAAACGTACTGCGCCTGAGCCAGCAGCAGAGCAACCACCGAAGAGACAGCGGCCGGCACGCAAGCCAATAACGACGATTGCGGACAGCGACGAGAGTGATGACGAACTCAAGTTTAGGTTCGGGAAGAGACGGTAATGGATCGACCTCTACAATTCGGGGTATCTTTCTAACTAGTGTACATCTAAATGGTGGTTTCTACCCACGCTTGAGCGCAAGGGCGCCGTGCTAATATACCACAATAATCATGGTTTCAATGCCGGATAAATGCCAACCCGGCGTCTACGTACCTCTTACACGTCTTAGTTGTAAATTATGTCTAGTCCATCTGGTCCATCGCGCTCTCCCCGGTGCCCTCAGGCTCCTCAACCAAGAGACCGACCAGACAGGCGGACAGCATGGTTTCGTAGTTGACCCAGGGGTGGATCTCGCCAAAGAGCTTGGTAGCATCCCGAGCCGCGCCGCGCATCAACTCCGGAACGCCACCGGGGTGGTAGTCAGCGTAGGGAGTGACGTTGTAGACCTTGCCATTGAGGGCCATCCAGGCGTCCTTGCCCTTGCGACCAGTCATACGCTTGAGCATGGAGGGCGTGACTCGTAGATAGGATGTGGATGGTTCAACGCCACGGAGGTCAGCATTGGGACCGGAGATGCGAGCCCAGTCAAGAGGGGAGTGGCCCGGAGTGAGGAGGACCTTGCGATTGGGCTTCGAGGGCTTGGAGGAGTGGGAGGGAGGCGGCGCGAGGCCGGAGGACGTGGGAGCACCACGGTTCGGGGTCGGGCCGCGAGCGCGCTGGGCGGAGTTGGGGGCCGGGAACTGGGCGAGGGACGGGGGACGGCCGGCCGGTGGTGGCATGCGTCCGGGGGCCGGAGGAGGGGGCATCATGGAGCCTAGGGATGTCGGAGCGGTGGCATAGAGAGTGGGGCCTTGAGCACCGGGGGCCCGAGCGAGAGCAGCAGCGGTCGGCCGGCTGGGAGTGGAACTGAGAGGGACATTGTCGAGGGAAAAGCTGGGTACGAGGATCGAGGGTACACTTGCTGGGGTGGCCTTCGGGGTGGTTTGTTCGTCAGGTTCGGTGATGGTCGGGGGTTCGATGAGGGTTGGAGGTTGGATGAAGGGCGGAGGCGGCGGCGGCATGGAGACAGCATCGCGTAGCTGTGTGGAGGAGGCTGAAGAGCCATCGCGACGGCCGAGAGGTACCTGGCGTTGATGTTGGTCACGGTCGGACGAGGCAGGCGTGGTTCGGTTCTTGAGCTGAGTGCCCGGTTCAGCCCGTCGACCCGGTTCTACCCCGTGATGTGACCCTTGATCACGGTCATCGGCCTTTGCTTTTGCGTCAGAGCCAGTGATTGCGCCTGCGCCCTTCCAGCGCAACAGCACCTGGAGGGGAGTCAGCCACGGGGGCGGGCGGAGGATGACCCAGACGACGGAGGCGACGATAAGCGATATCCCCACGATGCCCATGGCGACGGACGAGGCGATGGGCGATGGGCGCGGGGGAAATCGAGCTGAGGGATCTGGGAGCGCAGAAGGGCAGCAAGCGAAGGTCAGGCTCAGATCCCAGGGGGTCTGGGCGCTGGACGGACGCCTGGAGACGCTGGGAGAGTTCGCTGGGGGGCTGCTGTCGGAACGTCGATGCGGGATCGCGCGGTGGGTTGTGGACTGGTGGTTGCAGGATCATCGAGCCACTGCTGCGGCGTCTTGAGATGGACGGGTTGTGAACTTTGTGCTACGTACCGCTAGTGCCCGGCGTCCCGGTGCGTCATATCTTGCACGGATATGTCAGCGGGCAAGTGGCTGTGAGACGCGCTGGAGGCCGAGAGACCGGGACTCCGGGAGCCCTGAAATTCAAGGCGCCGGCGCTGGCTGGCCGGCTTTTTCAGTGCCTGGAGCCAGTGTAGGTTTGCGTGCCAGCGCCTGTGCCAAGATTGATTGTCGACCGCTGTCGATAACGGATGTCAAATTTGGCGGGGGAGGTTATTTTTGGACCCCTGTTTTGGCGACTCACCGAGTATGTGCGCAGTGGTCCTCTCTAATTTGGCATGATGGCTTAACAAAGCTCCGTCTGCCCCCGGGTCTCACGAGTCCGCAGCGTGTGGTTTTGTTTTTTCTTCCTAGACAATTTCTTTTCACAAGTTGGCTCACTAACAAGAGGCTGCGAGCTGAGACTCGGTCACGCAAGTGTGGGTGGTGGCGTGGACTCGGTGGCGCTGGCGGCGCCGGCGGCGCTGGCGGTGTCATGCCACACCGGCGATCGACGGGTGGTGGCCGTCTCGAGTGAATCCCGGGACGAGACTCCATGTGTGGATCGTTCCAAGCATCTTCCAGGGAGGACGATGGAACCAAGGGGCCGCCGGGAGCACCCACTGGACTGTGGAGTCGAGATTGCGAGCTGTCGAGGCGGACGGCATGAACGGGCAATCAGCAGAGATGACGGCCATGAACTCGGCATTGGGAAGCAATTGAATAGTTTGGTTGGGCTCGCGAACCGCATCAAGGGTGGACCAGGACCACGTCGACACGGACCTTGCAGAATAGGGACGGAATGCCAGATGCACCGGCACAAGACGGCGGAATTGGGCAACCATGAGCCATGGTCGGGTCTCAGTTGTGCTGTTGTTTGTTGTTGTCCAGTCCATTCCGAGTCATCCCCGCCAAACCAAATGAATCAATGCGTGCCCGGATGACCTTGCGAGACACAGCTGGGTTTCCCATTCCCAGACATCATCATGCTGCGTCGTCGATAGCATCAGCTGGCTGTAATTATCCATCTGCTCCCGGGAACGCCCCTAAAACATGCGTGAACCCGTCCCCCGTCCGCATCCCTGGGCAGATGATGGAGGATGACATGGCACGGCCGGGGCTGGCCTCGCATGGCAGGGGCCCAGCGACTCGGCCGCCAGCCCGCCATGGATTGTGGGCGCGGATGCTGCAGTTTGTGTGGTTTGTTCGCTTTGTGTGGGCGCGCGGATGTGAGATGTGGGTTTGCTCGACCTTGTCAATGGCGGTCAAAGGTCAAGGCGAGGCATGGGCTCCATCCTTTTTGTCCCTTTTTTGCCCGGGCATCCAGCATTCAAATCCCCTCGTCTCCCTCGTGCTCTCCTCCGCCTTCCGGTCCTCTTCCTCTTTTCTGCCGCTCTCGTGCCTCTGCCCTCTGCTGTGATATTTCTTGTCCCTGGAGGAGTCTTGCAATTGCCCACCGGCCCTTGATACATCCGCACTCCCGCCAGTCTATCTCTCACCGCCCACCCCGCTACGACTCCAGTATTTTTTTCCTTCCGCCTGTGCCAGCGCCACACTCCCGGCCTCCAAGCCCCCGGGTCACTAACGCCCGCTATCCTCCAGCGCCCTTCAGCGCCTCAGCGGGAAATCCCTCTATGGCTCCAGGGGATCTCCCCCTAACTTAAAATTGTTCCCCCCCAGCCATGCCGGCTAGCCAGTAAAAACACGCCTATCAAATTCGGGACTGCGCACGTCTCCGTGCTCCCGTCCCCGTGCCCCGTCGTCAGGATGCGCACTCTCAACTCATCGGCCATCAACATCAACAACTCAACTTCGGCCTCGTCCTTCGACACACCCTCCTCGCGATCTCCCGTTCCCGCCCTCACCTCCCACAACGGCCGCTCCGCCACACCGTCCGCCAGATCGCTCTCCGCCTCCTCTGCCAACAACACAAAGCGTTTCCCCGCTGCCAAGTCACCGAAGTCGCCCGTAACGGCCACACCTCAGATCCGCGCTCGGTTCCCCTCCGCCCCCGTCATCTCCTCCGACTCTCGCTCGCCGCCGCTCGGCTTCCACGAACACAAGCAGCAGCAACATGTCCTGGCATTAACTACGACCACGACACGCTCATCCTCCTCGAGCGCCTCCAAAATGCCGCCGGGCGACTCCAGGCCCCGGCCCCCACAGCTAAGCGCCGCTGCTCTCAAGAATGTCGGACGAACGCCCCTTACGCCTAAGATTGCTGCCAAGGGCCTTGCGGTAGCTCCCCCCCTTGGACGACGGTCGACACAGAATCGAGATGACGGCTTCGTAAACTCTCTCACTCCTCGCTCCGGTGGCCGCCAGAGCCGTGGCGAGAGCACAAACACCACACCTAATGGCACCCCAAACCCGGAGCGAGGCCACGATGGCTGGGACCCACGAGCAACTTTGGCAATTGACGGCGGAAGACAGTCTCTTGCCGCGGCTGATTCTCCAGGAGACTCTGTAGACTCCAAGTTCTTCTACGCCAGCGAGGCCCGGCCTGTCCAGCAACCACCTTCCCGGCCCTCCACCGCTGCCACGAAGTCGTCCAAGACTTTCTTCTATGCGAATGGGGCCACCGCCGAACCCAAAAGGGCCATGAGTCCTCCCGTGAAGCCAGCCTTCGCCCCGATGCTGGCAACGCCTCCTGAACCCGCAACCTCCAAGTTCTTTTACGCCAGCGGCACTCCCGAGATATCTTCGAAAACAAGTCTCCAATCCTCTGGCCCGTCGTCTAGCTCAAGCTCGAGGGTGGCGGCTGGACGCCCGAGCACGAGCAGCTCAGCTACTGGCCCTGGGCACTGTGTGCCTCAACGACCAATGTCTCCAACAAAGATACTCCAACAACCTCCGCCAATCCTAAAAAACACGACAACACCCGGCCTAAACAGCAGACCTCCGTTAGCTTCACCGCCCCCTCTGGCACCCTCTTCGAGCGCCAATACGAAGAGGCGAATCAGCACTGATTCGGCCCCCAGGTCAAGGGGCCATTCGAGGACCGTGAGTGTCCCTACCATCGACTCGCTACACTCTCCCAGGATGCCAGTCTCGCCGCCTCAACAACCCTCTGAACCGTCGTCTCCCCCTGCGAGCCCTATTGTGGTCCAGCCAGCTATGACCATGGCATCCATCCTCCAAGCTGTCGAGGACTTCACCGAGGAGAATGATGAGGACTCATCTCCAGAAGTCCAGAGCCCGACAAAGTCGACACACCCCCCGGACCCTGTGAATGATGTGGTGACCAAGGCCCGGAGAGAGCGCAAGGTCCAGGACCTCGAAATCAGAAACGGTTCGCTCGAAGCCATCAACCGAACTCTTGAGAGACAACTACGAAAGCAGACAGCCGAAATTCGCAGGTTTAAACGCATGTCTCGCATGTCTCTTGCCTCAGCAGCCTCTAGCCGAGTCCCATCCACAACACTCCCCGATATTCAAGTCAACCTCCCCGACCTAAGCGAGGAGGAGGAATCGTTCATGTCAGAAGAAGAAGAACCGGACTCCCTTGACGATTCGGACCTCGAAAGTCTCGATCTCTCATCTGATCCTCTCGAATCCAATGAGAAGCTGACAATTCGACGGAATCGAGACGAGCGTCGCTTACAGCTTGACCTCACCAAGCACCAGGAACTCCTCGTTGATAGCCAGAAAATCAACCAAAGCCTTAAGCGTTGCCTCAATTGGACAGAAGTTCTCATCAAGGAGGGCCAGAAAGCGCTCGAATACAGCGTTCGCGTATCCGACGTTGACTTTGGTGGCCACGTGCTATTACCTCCGGACGAAGACGATGCATCTCATCTCGACGATGCATCTCATTTCGACGACGCATCTCATTTCGACGATGCATCTCATCTGGACGATGCATCTCATTTGGATGACCAACTGCTAGAGGATGATGACCAGCTACTAGAGGATGACCAGCTACTCGAGAGTATAGACGCTAGGTTAGAACCGCCACCGCCGTGGGAAAAGAGCTCCCAGGACCGTGACAGCGGCATTGAACTCCAGGCCGAAGGAATGTGACTGGGATTGCTCCCATCGATCCAAAGCCACCCGCAGTCTTGAATACTAACGACCGACGGCGGCCTGTAGCCGTACACAATCACCACTCCCGGCTTCCCCCTTACAACTTATCACCACCAACTAGCCAACCGACCATACACGCATGGCACACGCACTACATACACATACGCATAAACAAAAGGGGGGCCACATGCATACTGGGCGTTGGACGACAGGCGTTTTCTCTCTTTTTTCTCTTTTTTTCTTCTCCACTTCCCCTCAGCGACGCCGCTGCCCACCACGCTACCGTTTCCTTTCTCCCGAATCTCATCAAGTCACATGCCTATAATGACCAGGACGGAGGTTATCGTCTTTTGTTTCACTGATCGAGAAGCGGGTCGGATATGGATTGGAGCCCTATCACTGGGGCGTTTTTTTATAGCTTTCTTTCGCTTTCTTTCGCTTTTTCATTTGTGTATTTGGTTTTCGGATTTGTATAACAGATACCCCGTGATAATTCACGTACCGGCGAGTCAGAAAAAGAACGGAAAGGGTGATTGGCGGGATTTTCAAAGAGGAGGTGATATGGATATCAATCAGATGGCTCCCGTGCTTGCTCTTAAAGAGATAACTGGTAGAGACTGTGGGAATTTGTGGATAGACCCCACGAGAGAAATATCAAAGACATGTTAGAGTCAACCTGTGCTTGTGATTTTGTTTGATGTCTGTTGACGCCTCTGCTTTGATGCCGTAGCTAGTGAGGCCCTGAACACAGGAATGGGTTGGGGAATCATGATATAAGGGGGGAATGGGGTCATGAGAATTATGTCTAAAATCGTCGCCGGCCGTTTGTGTCTCGCATCGCTTTCTATGTCGTCTCCTTCCGACAGCCATCGTCGTATCTCACGTTCCCTAATATACCCCATTGCGTTATAGTTCAGCCATCGCTCATCACTTTTCCTCCTTAAGCCTTGGGCACGTTGGGCGCATCAGCGGCCACGTCCTCCGCCTCCTTCTTGTGGCGGCTCTTGTGGTCTTTCTTCTTCTTACCCTCCTCGTCCTTGTCCTTCTTAATAGCAGCCTCGGCGACGAGCTGCTCGAAGACGAGGTAGTCGCCCTCTTCCTCCGGGGATCTCTCGGCCTGAAAGTAAAAGAGTCAGTTCATATGTTCGGATGGAAGCCCCATTGGGCACGGTGTATTGTAATGTAACGTACCTTGTTCAGGATATCTCCAATGAGAACCAGGGCCTGGGCGCGCTCTAACCGCTTGGAAAGGGCAACCTTCTTATCGTTGAGGATGCTGTCGCACACCTCGCGCAGAACGCTCTGAATCTCAAACTTGCTTCCCCTCCAGGCGGCGGTGAGGATCTTGCCGGTGACACGGCGCTCGTACTCGGAGCGCTTCTCGTCGGTCCAGTCCTCGCCACCCTTCTCCTCCATCTTGGCCATGTCCTCCATGGTCTGCTGGGCGTCGATGGCGCTGCTGATGGTGTTCCAAGTCTCCTTTACGAGGGTGCCCTTGTCCTTCAGCTTGCTGAAAAAGCCACCAATACCGAGGAACTTCTGGCTGCGCAGCAGAGTGGAAGCCTTGGAGACGTAGGTCTGGCCGATGGCGTGCAGGATATCGATGCCGAACGACTCCATCTTGAGTTCCTCGACCTCGAGGCGCATCTTCTCCTGGAACGCCCTGGTGACGTCGGCACCCTTATCCGTCTCGGTCCACACGCTGCATCGGTCAAGCAACTTGCTGACGAGGTTGTCGACACGCTCCTGGCGGATGCGGGCACGCTCCCTCTCGTACGCGGCCAACTGCTCGCGCTGCTCCTTGGACAGGCTGCCCTTTTTCTTCTCTTTCTGCTTGAGCGCCTCCTCCGAGAGCTCGCCCTCGGTATCCTCGTGGGACTTGTCCATCAGGGCCGGTCGAAGGGGGATCTGGGTGCGGTTGCCGGAGCCGGTCGAAGGGGCGGGGGATGTGGCTTGGGATCGAGGGGGAAGCGACGGCGGCGCATCGGCAACGCCTCCGGGAACGGCGGCGGTATGGGGTTTCTCGGACGACTTCTCCTCCTCGACCACGACGGTGGGCGGGGGTGGTGCCGAAGGGCCTGCGGGCGGTGCGGCGCCCTGATCCTTCATGCTCTGCTTCAAGGCCTCATCGGTACCAGGGAAGTCACCATCCTCAGCAGCCGCAGCTTCAGCAGCAGCCGCCGCCGCTTCCTCCTCCTCCTTCATGGTGATGTCCATGGTGGCCGTGAGGTCCTTCATGAGACTGATCTCGCCGATCCAGTCGAGGAAGGCTTCGCCGCCAAAGATGGAGGTGAAGAACTCGGCGGGGTCGGCGAAACCCTCCTGAGGCTTCGCATGATCCTTTCCGAACTTATCGTAGGCCTTGCGTAGGTCGGGGTCCGATAGGACCTGGTAGGCTTCGCCGATGGTCTGGAACTTTTCGTGGGCGGTGGGATCGTTGGGGTTCTTGTCTGCGAGGGGCTCTCAGTTAGCCTCGACGAGTTGCATTCCAACCATGCCCGCTGATCGGAGAGCCTAGGCATGGAGTTAGAGGAACTCACCTGGGTGGTGGACGATGGCCATCTTGCGATAGGCCTTCTTGATTTCCAGCTCGGTGGCTGTGGGCGCGACGCCCAACGCATCGTAATAGGCGGTATCGACGACCATCTTGGAGATCTGCCGTGTCGGCCTGGTCGCTAGGGCTTAGAGTCTCCGCGTGGGATGAGACGGGAGGTGGAAGGGGGAGAGAGAAGGCTCGCGGGTGAGGTATATCTGCAAGGTCGAAAAGTAGAATGTTCAATGATGGCGTCGGGTGTCACCCAAAGCGTCCAAACCAAGTCTCACGCCAAGGCTACGCCTACGCAACAACCCGCCGTAGCACGCACGGTAGCAGGGTAGCACAGAGCCACATCAGCAGATGAGCCACTGGAAGCCACTGAGCGTTAGGGCGGGGTTTTCCCGGCTTCAGTGGGCTTGGGCGTCGTTGCCCAGCCGTGGATCCTCTTACCCCCGCCACTTGGGGCAGTTTTTTTTTCTCAGAAGCTGAAAGGAGGGGAGGGCGCCTACGTAATGGCGGGGCAGGGTTTCGCTGAGTCCGAGACTGCCACCTCGCGCAGAGAATTAGGTCATCTTGCCCAATACGTCACGGCGCTTCATGACGTCTCTCGCACCCGTGGACCCGTGGACATGTAGATTTGAGCTGCGCATCATGTGGCTTTGTTTCTTTGCGAGAGTTTCGCAACGCAGGCAGCCATCGATGCTGTCGTATTCGCGTCCACAACAACTCCCTGCTCCGCGCTAACAAAGCTGGTGGCATCATCCCGACTCCCCACCCAGTCTACATCCCTATAGCGATGCTCCCTGGGAGTTTTTGGATCGTGCGCTGCGTAGTAGTAATAACAACTCTTTTTTACTCTGGTCTAGTACGACTTTCTTGAACACCACCAGTGTCTCAATCCAACTCAAATCGTCTTCACACTCTATACATTTCTGTCCCAGTCCCAATTGCCGTTCAGGGATGGAGTGCACTTTGACTGTTTGATGCGACTTTTGGACTCAAGGCTGTCTCATGAAGCATAGGACCGGGAGTGATTTATCATAGCCGCAGTGTTTATGTTCCTATGAAATGATAAGAATAGTAACGTTATTCGCAGTCGAAGTCTTGTCATTGGCCGCCGATCAACTCATACAAACTGTGGGAAACAAGAAACAAAGTTAAATATATATTCACTTCATGCTGATTAATTTGAAACGCCGGTCGCCTCCATTCCCGAGACTCTAACGGTGAACAGTGGTGTTCATCAGAGGGCCCGAGACAGTTTACCTTGTGAGGCCGTCCAACTTATTCCATCTGGTGGCACAGAGCTCCAGGTTGCTTGCGCTTCTCCACAATCCGGGCAGAATTGCTAAACCACAAGAGCCGCATCATAACCTTCATGTCAATCTTCAAACATTCCTGCAAGCCATTCCAGGGTTTCACCCATTGCCATGACAGCAATGCAAACAGGCATCCTAGAGGAAGACGTGGCAACAGGATGTCACATTCCGCTTATTGGCTCGCTTCCCAAATGTTGAGAAGATTGAGGCGCAATTTCCCGAAGTCTGAAGCAGAGAGTGTGGGGTTGGGATAAATCCGGCTGAGCGGTGTAGAGGCCCGGCTCGGAAAACACCATACATTTTTATGGGGGTCGAATATCGCTATATGGGAGGTTTACCGTCCCCCAGATGCACGACGCAACCACGACCCTACGTGCAGGCATTCCCCTCATCTGAAAGATCGGATGGTCATGGGCGGAATCACATCGAAGACGAATCAGCTGGGGTATTCAGGGCTAACGCTAGAATATTGGGTCACAAGCGACTTGACTCAAGCAGCAGATACCCGTAGATACGGTGGCTGCGGCAAGACGGGGCGACGACCCGGTGGCCTGGACCTACGTAGTATGAAGACGGCCAACCGAGCAAGCGGAACGTGGCGTCTCAGTTCACGACGCCGAGCCTGCCGACCTCTCACAGGAGGCCCATCGTTAAGGTTGTACGTTCCCACGAGTCGCAGTAGAGTGGAAAGCCAATTGAGCTCGGTGACCCCCGACTCATGCAAGTGAGGCCAGGTGCTTTCGTAGTTAGCAATACCCACGCTTCTGTCAGAATGGTAAGATAGACTAGCCGCGCGCTAGCCGTCGGGTTAAGTGCGCGTTGGCTAGGACAAGGAGGGTGGGCGCTGCAACCACTATCCCTTTGACTGTCGTAAGCCTCCACTTTTGTACCTTGTAGGGATCTCAGCCAAGCAGAGAGCATCAAATAAAAGGTACATTGATTCCCACCTAATTTTCGTGGTGCCACAAGTCCCAGCAATTCCTAGATCTACATAGAGCTACATCACACTCTTAACATCGGCGGGGTTGATTCTTACCATATGATGTCACTCTGGGTATCTCAGCTGTAGCAGGAGTCTCGTGGGTCCCGAGACCTAGGTGGAGGCTTACGACAGTCAAGGGGATAGGGCGTCTGGCATCTGGTAAACAATTCGCACCACTTTAGCCATCGCCTCGGAGCTTCGGTATGCTAACTGATCGGTACTATCACAATCAGAAAATGCTTGAGCCCTTCCTGGAATGCTTGCAAGGTCCAGTCTCGAGAGGTCTGACAACAACAAACAGCTAATTGCTGGAAAGGCCCAGAGCCAAAACGTCTGGGCTGTGCTGCGTTTGGCCTTGATTGCCACTACCGAAATACCTCAGCTCCTTAAGTTAGATCACAAACTCTCTTCCCAGATTAGCGCGGTCAGTATGCCGTATGTTCCGCAATACAGTAGGTCTTGTACATCGGTTAATCAATTTATCTAGAGCGTATGTGAAATAATAAGAGCCGAATTATCCATCTATTGGGTTGGTAGAAGGCTCACACAGTAGACTAATGACTCAGAGAGTCGAGCCGTCATCACTATTGCAACCTTATTATACCTGAGGTGCACCACATAATCCGACTAATCATCGCTCGAGATCAAAATCAGGTCCTTATGAGGACCCGTTGGAAGTTGGACCTCAAGATAACGAAGGAGTGTATCAGTGACTAGCGCTTCAAGCTCCTGCCGTCGACCCGGTGGGGTTTTTGTCTTGATGGAATTGATCAACATTACAGGTAGTGATTTACCAGTTAGTCCATGCAGACTTGCCTTAGCCGAAATTCACAAGGAGAGAAGGCCGTCTGCATGTCCACGCCAATTGGCGGACAGACCCTGCAGGCTTGGAGAACATCTGGGGTCGGGGATATTCTCCGCGTGGGCCGAGCCTATATTCCAGCATTGACCGAGATTTGATGTGACGGCGGATAGCATGGCGGCCTTATTGTAATAAGCGATCCATTAAAACGACATCGCGTGCACCCCGGTTGCTGTGCCGATGCATCTACAGGGGCTGGAACGCATCACAGCAATCGGCAGATCGCTGTATCCGGGATCGGGAGCATCCAATGCAGAAATGAGCACCTGCACTAATGTGGATTTACCCGGAGCGGAGGGCACTCTGTTCTCTTCTTCTCCTCGCAGTGACTGCGAGCGACAACAAAACGACGCGTTCCAGCAGATTTCTCGGTTGCAATTGCCATAAATCTTTGCATCCTTCCATCTTCTGGGCGTCTGAGTTGACTTCTTGCGCACTGTCCATCCCTGATACCCCTTGCTCCGCCGTTTTTTTTTCTTGCTCGTCCCCGCCCTCACTCGAGCGCTCGTGCAAAAATGGGTGCTCTCTACTACCTCTTCCACCCGAACCAGCTTCGGTCCATCATTCAATGGTATGTTGCTCGCTCCTGCAGTCTTTCGCAGATCTTGCGCGACTGACGCTTTTGCCGCAGGAAAGTCTGGCACGACCCCGTCCACACCCGTGACCTCAAGAACGAGTCGCCAGAGCTTCAGGAATGCTTCCGCTTCCTCAACCTGACGAGCCGCAGCTTCTCGGCCGTCATCCAGGAGCTTAACCATGAGCTTCTCGTCCCCATTACCCTGTTCTACCTTGTTCTCCGTGGCTTGGACACAATTGAGGATGACATGACCCTCGACATCGAAAAGAAAGTCCCTCTCCTGCGGAACTTCCATACCACCATGGTGCAGGACGGCTGGCAGTTTCACGAGAGCAAGGAGAAGGACCGCGAACTCCTCGAGAAGTTCGATGTCGTCGTCTCCGAGCTCAAGAAGATCAAGGAGCCCTACATGGAGATCATTAAGGACATGACCCTCAAGATGGGTAACGGCATGGCGGACTACGCCCAGAACACCGAGATGATCGAGAATGGTGTCCAGACCATTGAAGAATATGAGTTGTACTGCCACTACGTGGCTGGCCTAGTCGGAGAGGGTCTGACGCGCCTATTTGTGGCATCAGAGCTCGCCAACCCCAAGCTCGCCGAGCGACCTTCCCTGACCGAGTCCATGGGACAGTTCCTCCAGAAGACCAATATCATTCGTGATCTGCACGAGGATTGGGTAGATGGTCGAAGGTGGTACCCCAAGGAGATCTGGGGCAAGCATGTCGACAAGTGGGAGGACCTCTTCGACCCCAAGCAACGTCAGAAGGCCTTGGAGTGCACTTCAGAGATGGTCCTCGACGCCCTGAAGCACACTGAGGAGTGTATATTCTACATGGCTGGCATTAGAGACCAAAGTGTTTTCAACTTTGTGGCTATCCCCCAAGCCATGGCCATTGCCACCCTCGAGGCCGTCTTCCGAAACCCCGCGGTGTTTGAGCGCAACGTCAAGATCTCAAAGGGAGATGCCTGCCAGATCATGTTTGAGTCTACTCAGAACCTCGTCGTTGTCTGCGAAGTCTTCCGAAAATACACCCGAAAGATTCAGAAGAAGAACGATCCTAGGGATCCCAACTACCTGGCCATTAGCGAGCAGTGCGGCAAGGTAAGCCTGCCACCGAAACAAGATGCTTGCCTCCAAACTAACGAGCAACAGATTGAGCAATTCATCGAGACCTTGTTCCCTCGACAAGACCCCAAGAAACTCGCCGTCGAGACCAAGCAGAAGGCGAACGACCAACCCACGATGGACCCTGGCGAGGCGGCGGTCCTGTTTGGCGTTGTTATTTTTGCTTTGCTCGCTATCTCGGGCATTATGGTGCGTCGCAATCCCCATGCCTCACTCTTCCTCGGAAGCTAATATGTGTATAGATCGGCACTGCCTGGATCTTTGGCGCCAGATTCGATAATGTCTTCAGTGAACTCAGCGTCTTCCTACCAGGAAGCGAGGCCAGCAGCCAGGCCGCCAAGCCCTTGATTACGGGCCATGACGAATTGTAGCACTATTCACCTGCTTTTGGGTTTTGTTTCTTGTCACTTTTCTCACGATATCCTAACGTACATAACTCATTACCAGCCCCTCCTCATAAGGAGTCGGCGGCCCAAGCCTGATGAACATGGCGGGCTATATACTCTTGTTAATACAACCAGCAGACAGCGTGGCACATAGCGGTGCCACGGTGCATTCAACGTGTCCCCGGCGCCAACCCTTTCGGTGCCCAGCGCGAAGAGATTTGGTCGCTCTTCCTGCGCATGTAATCGACCAATCCAGCACGGATGTCAAATTGCAATTCAGTCCTATCATGACTGTGGTTGTGCCGAAGAAGTGCTTATATCAACACCCGTCGCTCACTGGCTTCCGTCTCCGTACGATGGCCCGCTGCGAGTCCGTCTTGACCTCACCTGGACGATGGACTCAAACGCGGCGAGCAAACATGCCATATCCCAATGTCTAGTGTGGATAGTTTAATATACTCGTGACGTTTCTCCCGCAGCTTGTCCCCCAGTCCTATACCATGACCAGTATATCCGTACACCTAGTATATCCGCACGGTCTCCATGCAGAGCTGTATGTGAGGCTTAGGGTTTCATCGGCGCATGCTACGTTGGGTTGCAGCTGTTGCCTGCAAGGATCGACGTGCCTATCATCTAGTGTAGTGTACGTACATGGTCTCACTAAACACGCCCAAGATTTCGTACTGTGTCATGGCCGGGTCGTCAACAAGCAGCCGCACGATCAATGCCATGCCTTCGACGCACGTTGAGTTTTGTAGCCATGAAAGTCACCCGCGGAGGATTTTATGTGGGAAGGATGGCGGGCTGGTCGAATTGTTGGTTCATGCGCTAGACGCCAAGAAATATGCTCGCAGACGCTGCGTTGTTGGTCTTGCTGACAATTGTTCCCACGATTTGCGCTGTCAGTTCTGCCCGTTGGTTGCCTGCTCCTCGTGGCTGTGTTTTGATCTTTCGGGGCCGGATCAGCAACACCACGTCAGTACTAAGTTGATATGATTCCTAGTTTTTCAGTATCCCGTCTATCTTGACATTTTAGCATTCTCACATTTCCGCATTTTAAAAATGGCTTATCACCCAGCTCTTCTCTTCTCTTCGCTATTCGCATTCATATCACTTGTGGGCCTCCTGCCCCTCGTCTCGGCATGGGATGGGCCTCCATTGCAACCCACCATCCCCGGCATTGCGTTTGGGCTCACTCCTGACATCGGGTATGTTGCTAGTTCTGTCTTCCGATCGTAGTCCGTGCTAACCGGGCATAGCACGATCGCGATACACTTCCCGAATGGCACGGTTGTCCAGATAGACCGCACTGAATGGAAACAGTCGCAGTCATACAGAACCTTCATGAGGAAACCCGACGGCCTTGCGGCGGATGTTGAGCGATGCAACTGGCTGCCGTCAAACTCTACCGACTATGACAGAAATGCCGACTTTGAAGTTGTGAAAGCTCTCTTGACCGAATTCAAGGCTGTGGTCGAGGCAGTGCTCGGCACACAGATATGCTTCGCCGAACTCGTCATCCCCGACCTGCGCCAAAGTTACCAGCGCCGTGTTATCGAGGAGGCGCTTGTTGCGGTTGGTCTGAGGCAGATGCTCAGCACTTCAGACGCCCCCAAGGCGGCGCTTTATGCCAACGACATCGAACATCCGGTCGTCGATGATGAGCAAGTCGTCCTGGTTGTGGGCTACAGCAAATCCCACCTGAACCTCGCCCTCTTCTTAGACGACGAGGGCCTCGTAGAATCCATCCGCCAAGACTACCAGCAAGGTCTCGGCGCAGACGACGAGCCGCGCCAGGAGCACTGGCCCGACGTAGTGGTAGCCCTTAATCAGATCTCGTCGCCGCCGTTGGGAAACTCGGAAACGGGCAGCTCTCTGCCGCGGAACATCGAAAAACTCGTACTGTACGGGGACGCACTGGAGGCGAAGTTTCTCGACGTCTTGAGGTTGGCCGTGGGTGCGGAGCTCGTGGACAGGGCGCACGTCTACAGCTCGGCGGGTGCAAGTACCGTGGGCATGGCGCAGATGGCATTCAGGCTTCAGGATGGGAACGAGTTTAGGGAGGCGGCGGCAATTGGATGCACAGGGCAATCTAGACTATAACGTTGAAGGGCCCGCGACGAGTTGTAAGTAGTGTTTCTCCCAACTTGTTCTGGCTTGAGCACTCCCCTCGAGAAACCAGTGCACAGGATTACATGGTAGACACCTTACGCTTGTTCACACATCTCAACACCATAAATCCCTGGACCGAGGTTTCAAATGCCACCATTCTATTCTCGGTTTCCTCGTGCGCTGGCCGTCGATCAATATATTTGTAATAACCCTTTCCGAACTCCAACGACTAGCCCTCCCGGCTCAAAACCCCCGATTCGAATCCCTTCACCGCACGGCCAGCCGAACCAAACATGCGAGATTCCTCAGCTTGTGCCTGCATATTCACGGCGGCGACATTCCCCCCGGTCTCCGTCCCCATCCTCATCCACCTGCGGACGGGGGTCTGCCCTGCGGCCGCGTCGGCCTGAGGGGTTACATCGCGGCAGTGAGACTCGGTCTTCTTGAAGAAATCTTCCGACTCGTGGTTGTGGTGGACCGGCCCCTGACAGATCTTGTTTCACCATCTTCGGGTATCCGTGACTCGGGCTCTCTTTTGACCGACCCACCTTATACGGAATCGCTTCAGACAAATGTTGAGGCAGTCAGGGTCTCATTCGTTTCTCTCGACATGGTGAAAATAGTCCAATAATATGTACTGTCTATACGTTCAACCCGCTTTCCTTTTCCAGCGAGAAAAACTCCCCGCTCAAACACGAAGGGGGCCCATGAAGCGAGGTGACACAATAATGTCAATAAAAGGCCCCCATTCTTTCTATATTACATACACACTAACACACACATGAATCGAAGATTCCACCCTCGTAGGCTAGCCAATCGTCCATTTTGGAGCGTCTCGAATTCCTTTCATCCCGTTTCCTCGTTGACATCTATTGGTTTCCATTGTTGGCGATGAGGTCGGTCGTGCCGTCGACATTGTTGACCACTTTCGAGCCAGTCTGTGTGGCGAGGCTCTTCATGAGGGTGACAACCTCGGCGGGTTCCGTAATGCCCTGGAAGGCCATGAGGTAGGCAGCAAGGCCAGCGACGTGAGGAGAGGCTGCGAATGTTATGTCAGTATAAATTCGGAGTAGAGCCGGTGAAAAGTGAGTGAGGCATACCCATGCTAGTACCACTCAGAGTAGCCTGGCCGACGTCAGAGTCGATACCAACGCTAAGGACTGCTACGCCGGGAGCGTAGATATCGACGTCGGTTCCGAAGTTGGAGAAATCGGCACGCTCGTCAGTCGTTGCATCAATAGCACCAACGGTGATGGCATCGGGCGCAGAGCCGGGGGAAGTGTTGGCGGTATCTTGCTGTCATGGGTGTTAGCCAGTGCACGTGGTACGAGCTCAATTGCCCACTTACGTTCTCATTACCAGCAGCGACAACGGGAACAATGCCAGCCTTGAAGATAGCAGCAATCGCGCTGTTGATGGCCGCGGAGAAAGATCCTCCAAGAGACATGTTCATGACAGCCTTTCCAGTAAGTGTCTTATTGGCCACATCATCAATGACAAACTGCATGCCCTTGAGAACACCTGAGTTGCTGCCGCCGCCGTTGGCATCCAGAACCTTGACTGCAACAAGGTTGGCCTTCTTAGCGACTCCAAAAGTGGCACCGGCAATGGTACCAGAGACGTGGCTGCCGTGACCGTTTTCGTCGTCATTCTATTATTTCCAGTTAGCCTGTCTAATCATTCCCGAGTGTCAAGAGAAATCGAGTCCCACATACAATGTTATCGACGAAGTTAGCACCGAAGGTAGCACGGCCCTCAAATTCGACGTGGGTGGTTCGGATACCAGTGTCGACCACATAAGCCGTGATACCCTCACCCGCGGAGCTGTCGAAGACGTAGGTCTCATTGTTGGGCGCAGAGTGAGACAGGCGGTTGAGCCCGGGAGTACCATTGGTCTGGGCAATGGTGGCAGTGATGTTAATCCTTGTATCGGCCTCAATATATGCAACCTCTTCAGCGTTGTAGAGATCTTGCACCATATCGTCGTCGGCATCGAGGGTCATCGCGCGCCAACTGTTCATCGAGAAGGTGTTGACCTCGGTGGACAACATGTGACCCATGCTACTTCGCTTGCCGAGGTTGCGCTTCTTAACGGCGTTGATCCAGCCTGCCTGCTTGATACTGATGGCATCATCGTCAAAGGTGTCGTTGTAAACAACAATGTATCGGTTGGAAATAATGTTGGCGGCGTCAGGGTTGGAAAGCATGGGCCGGAGGAAACTGCTGATAGTGAAATCGCTGTTGGCAATCGCGTCGGTGACGGTGTCGACCATATCATCCAGGGTCTCGGACAGATCACCGGGGATCTTGGGCAGGTCCATGGGGGCGGCAGCCACAAGGGGCAAAGCCAGAAGGAGGGAGGCGAAGAGTGACTTGAGAGGCGCCATTGTGGTCGGTATTTTGGTTTTCTTTTGTGGTGTAGGTAAAAGAGTTATTGAAACAGGAGTGGTGAACCAGGTCCAGCAGTTTCACCGTATTTCTCGATGCGTCTAGCAAGATCAGGTTCGAGAGGTAAAGTGAAAGTAATCAGTCGTGAACTGAGGTTGGAAAATCGAATGAGTGATAACTCAAATGAGTGGTAGCAGAGGAGGCGGGCGATCAACGCTCCTCTCGAATAAGTTATGAAGACAAGGAATGTCGTGAGTATGAAAGGAGGGTGATTAGGAGACTGGCTCGCAGTACACAAGAGGGAAGGGGAAGGGAAAGGATGGAAGATACAGAAAAAGGAAGAATAGGAATAGGAAACGAATATAGAAAGACCCAAAAGGAAGTCTTTCACAATGGAGCAATAGAACAAAACAGCCGGGCCAGCAGCAATTTGAAGGCGGGCGAGCTGGGTTAAAAGGAGACGGCGGCCCATACGGTGAGACAGCAGCGTACAATGCAGCGGGTGGCCTGGCATCTCCAGACAAGCTGGTTTCGTGGCCTGTGAGTGGTGGCATCAGAGCTTGCAGGCCAATGCCAATGCTAACGGCCCCAGTCGGCGAGACCCCTGTAGAGAGCCGCAAGATCCATTCTGGGGACGAGGTTTGCAACGGGGCCGGGGTCAGGGGTCAATACGGTTACCAGGGGGTGGGGATATTTAGTGTATCAATGCACTGGACCAGGTCGGAGAATCGCTGCCAAGTCAAACGCGCGGGCCCTGGTACCAGTGGCAGAAGAGTCTAGAGGCCTCGCACAGCTCAAAGTTTGGCTCGTCTGGTTCCGATCGGTTGTGTGACTTGGAAACTCCTCGCAAAGGGATCCCAAACTAGGCCACTACCAAGCAGCCCAGCCAGTGCAGCACTGGGGGTAGCAGCTGTGTTGCTGACGAAACTGACGGGACTTACGAAACCGCAACTGCTTGAGCCACCGTGACCGTCTCGTGTGCGATGTCATGTTTTGTTCAGGAGACGGCCACCGCTGATTGGCCGCCGTGTGTGTGTATTGCAGTTTTGGGCAGCGCGTCGTCATTGAGCAACGCGGCCGGAGTAGAAGGCCGCATGGAAGCCAGGTCCACAGCGTCGGATCTAGCCAGTACCGAAAACTCCCCGTCGAATACGCCAAGCCAGCAAAATCCTTTGGTCCACGGAGGTCGCTGACGCTGCTCCCAGCCGCCGCATTGTCAGTCATTAGCGAGGCAGACCAATACAACACCTCAATTACCCATCATGGCCAATGGGCACAGCGCTAAAGACCTCTCTCACAAAAATCGATAACCAGTCGAACCGAGGGCGGTGACTCCGGTGATGTCCTAGGTACCTAGTCAGGGCAAGGGGCGACAGTCCTGGCTTGCCTCTAGCCCTGTCAGGCCCCTGTCCGCCACTGGATGCTGTGTGTGTATTGATCTTCAGTTAGTGTTGGTTTCTTGATCCTTCGAGCTAAATCGAGCCGACCCATGATGTTTGTCGTTCTGGCGCAACAGGATCAACAACATGCAATTCTAACCTCAAAAGTAAGCTTCTAGGAGGGTGTGTCTCGATGCAGTCGCGGATTGAGAGACGCTGGGCAGACAATTCATGCGGTGACAGAGCGCCTCCATGTGCAGCTGAGCCCCTGGTTTCCATCTGGTGCGCTTGGCGTCCAGACTCCAGTAAGCTTAGCACCCGCGAAACCGAAGGTGACATCGTAGTAAGGAGATCCACCGACTGGAAACCCGCCCAAAAGCGGTGGTGGGCACTGGTGGCGGCCCCTGGATTCTGCCTCCATCTCCATCCCGTGTCCCATCGCTGTCAATGGTCCCGTCAGTAGCCTCGCTGCCCGATGTGAAACGGACGAACCCCCGCGGTCCAGTGGTCATTGCCACCGCGTCTTGCATAGCGACGTACCACCTTGTTTGGCTGGCTCTCACTGGCCCTTTGCCTCTGCGCATGCCCTCTAATGTCCATCGGAAGCACATCGTTTCTGTTGAGAGGTCAGCCATTGCCGCCGCTAGGACCATCGTGACACGCACGTCAAATAGCCCTTCCGCATATTGCTTTGCATGGCGCTCAACGCATGGCAAGCCGAGGAACATGTTCTCATTCTGCCCAGACTTCCACGGGACTATCGGCAGCCCTGCCCAGAGTCATCTACCCAGGGAGTGTTTGTCCAGTCCCAAACTGGTCGACTGCGCCGAGTACAAAGGACGACGATATTGCGGGGCCCTCCGAAAACCCGGCCGGCCGGGGAGAAGCATACAGGAGACGGAACGTGCGTGTGTCGAAGGAGCCGGGGATCGATGGGGGTGAGTGTGTCGGATTGTGGTGTGGCTCTCGCCAAGGCCATGGGCTGGGAGCATGGGAGGCCCTACTTCGAAGAGCCCGGGGACGGAGGTCCCGCTGGATTAGGATGCGTGACATGAGCTTCTCCTTGTTCTCGTCCAGGCATCGTCTAGGTATTCCGTGCATCTAGACTCCGTAAACAGATTACCCATGATGGTGTAGGCCGGCCCGTGCCTTGAACCTTGTGCGTGCAATCTGGTTTGTCTAGTCATGCGAGGATGCAAAGACGACGCTGCACGGGTGGCGGTCAAATCATGGGTCTCCGTACCAACCGAGTAACACTATTAAGGTAAAGAAGAAGGTAGAGTTTTAGGTGTGTCGATGATCCCGTCTAGTTGGTGTTTGCTTGCACATGGCTTATTAGGTTCTATTCTAGGAAGGCAGCTCCTGCCTCACCTTCCTCACCTACCGGTTAGGGCTGCAGGGCTCGCCGTACTCCGAACGAGCAGACGATGGAAGGCTTGGCTGCACGCCGATTTCATGCCAGATGGAAGGTGCATAGGCATAACATGCGCCCCCCAAACATCAAGATCTGCTCTTCACAGCTCTGAAGTCTTTGGTGTATGCCGTCTGTATTATGATCTAGTAGTGGGGTTCGCTCGCACATGCAACAATTCGTGATTCCCGACTCGTCGTCAGCGAAACCCCAAATCCCCGAATATCATGCTTCATCAAGATCCAGATGAGATGCGGCCCATCCCTCTCGCCCGAGGTCGTCTCACATCGTCTTCCCCTCATTTGAAGATGGCACCCACGACGCATCCAGCAGTGGACGGGTTTTCTTCCCCTCCTTGGTGTGGTCTCAACCGGGGCCTCGTGGACGCCGATCAGTTTCGGCATCTCTGTTGCGCCTCATCTTCATCTCAGCTCATCCCCAGCCTATTGGCATCTCAATAAGACGCCTTTGGTAACTACACAGGCGTTTCACGGGCGTCTCATGGCCAAATAAATCTTCTCCCCTCCCTTATTGGGATCTCTATGCATGTGGATCCCCCGCACAGGTATGTATGAGGCAGGGTGCTGTCACAGGCTGCCTCCTGGCCTCGTCTCCGAACCGAACAATCTGGAGGCGGATGTTGTTTAGATGCCCAGCATTCTTGTTTGAATCAGAATCCATATCGAACGCATCTAACCTAATGTGCACGAAGCGAGCCTATTGGAGGCTGACGTTGTTGAGGATGGAAAACTCTTGTCTCAGCCGTGGGTGACGTTCCGACGCTGACGAGGTAGATTCGTCAGTTTGCCGCCCACTAAGACTTGAGACTGGAATGAAGCTTTGAGTGTTGGCAAAGCAAAGCAAGGGATCCTTACCAAGCACAGGATTTCTCCCTTATTACTAGCTTGGAGGAATTTTGTCGAAAGACCACGATCTGAGCACCTAACTGCCCGCTATAGGGGATGAGGACTAATGAGAGTTGACGACTAAGCATGCGCTGCCTGATCTAGGAACGCATGTTTTGTCAATGAGATCGTGAAAGCAAGGTCGTGCAGATCGTCGATAATGGCGCAGCGCTAGCAACTGTAGACGAGGCTGTCTCAGGGTCTTCGCCCTTTAGTAGGCAAACCATCAGTTTTGAGGGTATTTTGTTGCCACTAAGGCCAAAGTAGGGGTGCCCAATGGCTCGCTGTCGGACCCGTTCGCTGCGGGTGTCCCGGTACTGATGTTGATAACGCCTGTTGACGCCCAGGTGCCCAATCGCCTCGCTCTGGAAGATTGTATCTTAGACGCACCTGTAGCGTGCATGATGCCCTTGGTCAGCTTGGCCATACTAAGGCGTACACGTCTCTGTGCTTGCCGCCCAGAGCGGCCAAAGTGGCCAGAGTTTCACGGGATACTTCATCGTCACCAACTTGCGAATTTATTTCGTCTCGACTCTCGGACGGTATCGGCTGCCAACGCAGCTGATATCCATCATCCGCCTCGAAAGAGTCTGATGATGGCATCCACGCAACCACATGCTTTGCGTGCCGGTACGGGAGTAGCCTGGCCTTAGTTAGGATCGTAATCTGCAGCCCCGCCCCGCCGCTGGCACGCGACCCCCAAAACCAGATTGCCGGCACCCACATTCACGTTTACGGCGTGGAGTCGTGGCAACGCGTAAAGTGCAACCGCATCTAATCTCTCTGCCCAGCCCATCATTACAGAGGACCGCAATGGTACCTACATACGTGGGCACCTGCGAGGAGGAAATTATCATGTCGGAACGAGGGACATAAGGCAAAAAGCATGCGGTTAGGCACGTCGTTCACTGCCCACTGCCGCTGGCTCGGCCACACACACACGCAGCTGCCACTCACAGACCAGAGCGGCCCTCCACCATCGATGATGGATACCAGGCTGTGATATCACTGCCCCCGTCGTCACTGGCCGATGCAGCGTGCCGCGACAATGTTTGGCACAGCAATTTGCTTGTTGGGGATCTCAGGGCATCGCCGCATGGAGGGAAGATTGATGGGAAGGGAGCCCAGTGCCAAAGGGCGCATGAATCGCGGGTAGAGCGACAGACAAGCAAATACCGGCAGAGTCAAGCCAGTAGAGGGGAGAACCAAAGGAGACAAACAGCAGTAAGAGGGGGGGCGAATGAGTGCTAATAAACGCCTCCCACTCTCCTTGGGCCGTGCCGTCCTGCGCTGTACCACTACGGTTCAACCCTGGTTGCGTTCGGTGCCGGTTTTGATTGCGATTTCCCCTCCCTGGCACTGGCGACCCGACAGTCACCTGTTTCTGATCCCTCCGCTCCGACTACGTTTTAGTGATTCATTTCCCTCTCTATCTTGTCCCTCATCTTCCCTTGTCTTGGGCAGTAATTCGCCTCAGCCGACCTCGTAGTGCATCCATCCTCTTCTTACCTCATCAACTCCTCGTCATTCTGGTGCCCTTCGCCCGTGTCGCTTCATCCCTCCCATCCCCGTTATCCGGCCGCCGCCTTGAAATGCCCACCGAGCCGACGTCAGCGACGTTTCATGGAGTGCCCTGAACCGCCAGCCGACCTCAACATGGCATTCTCCATGGGCGATCCCATGGATATTGGCCACGACGGCCACGACGGCCACGATGTCTACGACGCCTCTACGACGCCTGCATCGACACCCTGTATCGGTCGTTGCGCCGCCCTACTGCCCATCCGTGACGGCTGCTCCGACCTTCACGAAAGCCAGGAGTCCGATGACGAGTTCGCCTCCATCATGGCCTCCTCTATGGTCACCAGTCTCCTAAACACCACCTCCAACCCCGTTTCACCGGGCTCCTCCAGCCCGCCCCTCGACCAGTCCAAGAGCGCCGACTTCGTCCCTCCCACCAGACCCAGCAGCACTCCGTTCCCACATCCCGACCACCGGCACTCGAAACCATGCTGCCTTACCGACTCCAGATACGGCGACGACTGGCAGCCCTCTCCCGAATCCCTCGCGGTGTCCGACAGTGAGCCCCGCCCGCTCCCTCTACCTATCACGGATTTCAACCGGCTGCCCATAGAAGTGCATGAGGCTATCTTGGACCACCTGTTCGGCTACCGCGTCTCGGCCACTTCCCGGAGCGCTATGAGCGTCTCCTGTGTCACAAAGAGCTGGGGCACGGCGCTGCGCCATTCGCGGAGGAGGGAACTCACCGAGTTGGCGAGAGTGAGCGAGGTCTGGCGCGTTCTGGTCCAGCAACGGCTCTATCGCCATGTCAAGCTCAAGGCCACTGTGGATTGTCTCGAGGATGCGATGCTCCATTTCGCACAGCACGAGTATCTCCAGTCGTATGTTAAACACATCGAGATCTGGTTCCCCGTATTCCAGCCCACATACGGCCCGCTAGCGCTATCGAATACCCTGTCGCTGCCCACGGTTACGATGGAAGGCCTGACGAACGCAACATACACACTGCCGGGCAATAACTGCACTTTGGAGGAGGTATTCCATTTTGTGGTACAAGCGTTACCACAAGCAAGGGTTTTGACACTCGAGGGTGGAGAACGACGAAAGGCGCCAAGGGTCCTACACTTCCACGAGCAACGAGCTGATCCGACATTTCACAAGGCCCTCCCGATTCTGGAATCGGTGCAGACCCTGGTGACCCGTGGTCAATGGAATTTAACGAGGGAAAACCAAGACTTCTCAGCAGTGCTTAATGCCTTGCCGTACCTCGCAGAATGGCAGAGCTCATACAGCAAACCCAAGTCGAAGAGTTACATCACCATGTCCGAGTTCCTCCCGCAACTGCCTCACAACATCTCCAACCTCAGCCTCTGCCTCGAGAGTGACTACCGGCGCGAAGGTGTAATGCCCGCCTTCTACTCCAAGGTGATTCAGAAGACGCACATCTGTGTCCGCATGGCCGAAGCACTGCCCTCGCTGGAGCATTTTGCATACACTGGTCGCGTCTGTCATCACTTTTTTGAGATGGCGATGCGGTCGACGGACCCGCGCACATCAAGACTCAAGTCTATCGACTTGACGGTAAAGAATTGCTGTCGACACAACGTGAGCTTCCATGAGTCGGGTTCCGGAATCCAAGACATGGGGTTCATCGATGCGTTTGAGAAATTAGTCATCTCTGGGATTCGATCCATGGAAAAGCTAAAAGAGGTGGTGTACTTGAGGATTCGGTTTGTAGACCTTGGTAAGTCGTTCTGGCTCAGCTGTACATGACTCTTCTGACTTGAATATAGACTCTGTACTTCCACCTCTAAATCCCTTTTTCCTCATGCGGAATGGGGTATGTTCCGGTGTCTGGAGCGACAGGATTCTGACAGAGATGGCACGAGTGAGGCCTGAGACATCCTTTACAGAACTGAGCGAATCCTTCGGGAATATTGTCTACGGCAAGGAAGGGCGAATGGTCATCACCCCGGAGTATCCACGGACACGGATTACGTCACTAAAATTGACAAACTACCGGTCCCTTGCGGCGGGCATCACAATTCAATGAGAGCATCTACAATTGGGGGCGTCGGCTTCAGACCAGGTTGGAAAAAAACGAGCAGGTATTGACCAGATCTTACACCTGCTCTCCCGGCTCGAATTCGGTTACATGGACAGATGACGATGATTTTATTTTTGGCGGGCGTTACGGAAGTGGTTCAGGAAGGCGGGGAAGCGGCATACTATTGCTGATAATCTGAATTTCATACCCAGGTACTGGGCGGCAGGGACCTCTGCAGGGAGTTTATGGTTGCATGGATACACAGGACTTGAGGAGAACGCTACGTATCACAAATTTGCTTGGGCTATTTACCCTAGACTATAAGGTCTAAGAGGCCAGGTTGTTAGTTTGAAAGGGTCAAGACCGTGAGATACCCTCAAAGATGTTCTGAAAATTTAAACAATAATGCATGCTTTTTTCCTCTCCGGGATTTATGGTCAAACGTGTTTGGGCACGCCTTGTACACCTTGCAGTTCATTGTTGCATTATTACACTTTTTTACGTCGGTTCGTGAGGCGTCAGTTGTAAAATACCATGCACAGATACACATTGAACTAGTGTCTGTACTATTAAAAAAACACGCCTTTACTCTACATGCCGTTTCTCCCCGACAGTCTTGCATCGAGTTAACTGTGCCCCGTCACCAATAATTATACCCAATATCCAACAGTTGGCTAGGAAGAAACCTAGCGAGGCGAGCCAAAGTCCTGGGAAGAATGTGCTAATTCCAAGGAATTCGAGTTGGTATCCTTGCTGCAGCCAGGCGGCCTGGGAGACAACCCAGAGCAGCAAAGCCGAGATACCAAGCTTGGGGTTGCGCAGGAGTGATGAGTAGGGAAGATACGTTGGTAGGAAGACCATATACCAAAGGAAGTACTGGGATATACGCGTCAGCAGCCGAGAAGAATAAGTCTGCCAAATAGAAGTGCCACAAACGTACCTGAGACGTGCAGACCTTGTTAAAAGTCACAAACGCAAAGGTCTGCGCCATCATGGATGTGGCTAGGTCTCGCTTCGCGAGGGCAAGGGGGATCAGGACGCAGGAGAGGAGCAGCTGGGGGAGGAAAGCCAACGACTCAATGCGAAGGGATGATGCTGAGGGGACAGCGGAGTTAAGATAGAGGAGAGTGTTGTAAGGTGAAAAGTTGTGGCGGTGGTCGATACGGCTAACGTGATGGAAGTAGGTGTGAATGAGGAACGGGGTGCCATAGCTGGACAAGTTGGTCAGTCGTAGGCTCTTTTTCGTGAAATTCGACGTGGGTGTAGAGGTGCTTGGACAACTTACATGGAATACATGAGTAGGTTGAGCCCCATGAAGGTCGCGAGACTGATGATGGCAAGCTTAATGCGCTCAGGAGTTGCGAAGCGCACCAACGCCGCCATCGCCGACGATGGCTTTTCCTGTTTGGTCGTCTTTCCCAGGCGCTCTGCATCCATCCACCACACGATTGCAGGCGCGTAAATAAACGGGTAGATCTTGAAGTGCACGGCGAGCCCGAGGATGACGGCGGCCAGGCTGACCCTCCTCCGCTCGACAGCCCACAGCAAGCCCATAGTCAAGACGCCCAGCAAGCCCTCTGAACTTCCACGCGTGCTAATGGTCGCAACCATCGGGTTCCAGAGCCAAATTGCCGCAAAGGCCCCGGCGGTCGTCTCGGGCATGCCCCTCTGGCGCAGCACGCGCACCATGAGCCAGCCGGCGAGCAGGTCTGCGGCGGCAAAGACGAGCTTGCCGAAGGCTGCGAAGTGGACGGTGGGGAGCATCATCCAGGCGAGCAGGGGCGTGTAGCGGTAGGTGTCTCGGGCGTAGGGGGAGTCGCCGGCAGCTAGGAAGCGGGCGGCATCGGTGAAGACGAGGTAATCAATATCGGTATACTTGAGGGCCGAGTTGGCATCTTGCCAGAGGCCGTAGACGAGGAGGACGAGGCGGAGGAGGGTGGCAACGAGGAAGAGGGGCGCGGGCCGAAGGAGGGGGGATATGATTGTCATGGTGGCGGGTTAGCCTGTGCGCCAGACGTGTCGCGACCTTGAGACGACGGGTTGCGATGCCAGAGAAGCTGTTGATGAGGACAGCTGGCGATGAGATTTGAGATGAGATGAGACGAGCCTCAGTTATGGCACGATGACGATTAGAGTTTGGGCGGATCCGCACTCATGACTTGAAAGAGAGACTTCTCTTTTCCTTTTATCCCTTTCTTCCTCGTTCAGACCTGCATTTTCGTTGGTGGCGGCCGCTGTTGTAGTCTTATACCATGAGCTTGGCTGATAATCTGCAAGTTAGGGGTTCCAGATTTAGCACAGCGTGCCACAACCAACCGCTAGAAGGAGATGGGGGAACTAACAATTTTCACCTGAGCCAGCCACCCCTGCACAAAATGGGCCCCGCCAAAGTACCTTGTCCCATCCTTCACATTCACCACCAACATCGGCATCCAACAGCATCAACAACCAACCCCGGATATTCTTATCTCAACGACCAGCGGCAGCTACCGAATCCCCACAATGTCCAGCGGCGTTAAGAGAGACCGCGACGGTAACGCGCGGGCCAAGGCCAAGCCGCCAACAGGGCCCCCTGGGAGGTTCCACGCCATGTTTGAAGGTTTCCGCAACGAGCTGGATGAGCATCATGACCGCCGCGAAAGGATTATCAAGGCGTCGCGCGACGTCACCGCCCAGAGCAAGAAAATGTTCGTTCACATGAAATACTACATATTACGGGTGTGACTGACATTGATGCAGTATTTTTTCCTTGCAGAGGTAGGCATTGCTCTCAAGAAGCTGCATTTGAGTTGACTTGCTTACCCACTCACCACCCACCATAGAGTCAAACAGCTGAACCAAGAACCCCCTCCTCACATTCAGAAGGACATTGACACCCGTCTCGAAGAGATTTCTAAGCTTCTCAACGGCATCGCCCCAGACCTGCAGTCCATCAACCGTTACCGCTACACATCGCCCTTGCGTTGTCTGGAGGAGTTCATCGAGGCACTGTCCTTTGCGCACTACCTGCGCCACCAGACCCTTATAACACCAGAGCAATCACAGGCCTCCATGCCTGCGAACATCATTCTGACGCCGCATGACTACATGTACGGCATCTTCGACCTCTTCGGCGAGCTGATGCGTTTCGCGACGGTCACGACGGCGCAGACCGGCGAGCTGGCGGGACGTGAGGGTCGCAACATCTTACAGGACATCCAGGAGCTGGGATGCGCGTTTGAGATGCTGCCTGCGGTACCGACGAAGGATTTCCGTGGCAAGATGATCGCCGGTCGCCAGAGCGTTAACAAGGTGGAGAAGCTGGGGTATGGGCTCGTGGTGAGAGGCAGTGAGCGACCCAAAGGGTGGGTGCCTGACATGAGAGACGATGCTCCCGAGCCCGTGTCACCGATTTGAAGAATTGAGACATACTTCACTGAGTGGAAAACAAATCAGCGGATGCCATGGAATGCCTGAATTTGACCGCGGGCCAGAGAGGGGGATACCGTGTTGAACTCTCACCTCTGTGTTTGGACGCACAATTCCGTGTTGTGTAACCGAAATGGACACCGAATGAAAGAAATTACTGCTATCCATTGCCTTGTGTCCAAACTTTCTACCATGGCTAAATGCAGACTGTGGTAAGCTGCAACTGGATTTCTACACAAACATAAAGTCGCAAACAAAAAGCATCAATCTAAGAGGAACGGACCTTGCTATCCTGCTGATTGCAATGCCTTGTAATCCCGACAAGAGCGCTGCGGGTTAATTAACACCGTAAACAATGACCACATGTCTTTATGCCGTGTTGAGCATTATATCAACTGCAAACAAATTCGGCACCATAGCTAGTTTTCTCCAGCTTGAATGGCACGATCACGCTAACTAGATGCTAAACTCAACTTTCAACACTGCTGAGTGTCTTCTCAGCGACACTATGTGGGACTATGTGGGAAAACGAGGGATACGCCCTGTGCTGTGGAAGGACAGAGACCGGTGGCTCAGCGATGCGCAGTGTTGAAATAATGTGGGATTGTCTGACTTGTGTTGGCTGTGCAAGATAATTTGTGAATGATCGCTGACTTGTTACACACAGATTGACGGCCATGAGTGATTGGAGGAAGTCCAACATATCCACTCTTCACAACCTCAGCCCTGCACGCAGCCGCGAATGAGAGTGTACAGGTAAGCGCCGACGGTCTACCGAGATAATTCTACAGCGTCAAAACCAGACTCTCTATATTTAGATGGAAATCGGGGTTTGCCAATCCAATAAAATACTCTTATTTTCGGCATGTAACACAAGTTGCGCTCATTACTACTAGGCTACTCCGTTGGTCCAGACCATGTCTCTCAACCAACACCGCCAAGACTTGCATCGCCCGAGGCATATTGGAGGATGGTTTCGCTTTAAATGGATTATTCCCATCCTTTGATCCTTTGGTTCAATCCTGGAGTCAATATCACATCGCGCTACCAGTTGCGTCTCCGCTCAGAGCATGGATTTGTACGAGCGACCATTGTTGGGCCGCGACACCCACCGATACCAAGGCGCACTTCAAAATCCTGGCCCTGGCTCAGCCTCGATTGAAAGCCTCCCCGGCAGTACGCTTTATTCGAGATCCGTGGCGGAGGGCCATCATCCCGAAACAGAGACAACCCGCGACATTGACTCTTCAATCCAGACCGACCTGGGATCAGAACATGCTGCGCCGCAGGACAGCACATATCCATCACTCCTGAAGTCCACAGCAACTTCAACGGGGGAGAACATTTCCGAAAAACAATCGCAAAGTCCACCATGGCATCCATTTTGGCTGCGGCAGGTCATGCTCGGCAGCTTTTGTGGATTATTCATGTGCTGCACCATAGCACTCCCCGTCATGCTGTCTTTCTCGAAGCGCAACAACGGCCTTCTAGAATCTGGGCCAAATTATGCGTACGTGTGGAGGTTTAGCCCGACTGCCAGTAAGTTGATCCACCAACCATCATTACTCAGGCGCCAGACGCATCACCTAACATTCGATTCCCTAGTCATCACCATCATCGAGATAATCTGGGCCCGAGTCGAGTTCCAAACTCTGAGATATATGCCCTGGATGGCAATAAAGTCTGGAAAGCCCCTAGGTCCAGCTGGGTACAGCCTGGACTACACCCAGATGTTGTCTCCGATGATCTTGATTCAATCTTTTCGACGAAAACACTTCTTCGTTTTCCTTGTGGCTACCGCATCGATAATACTGAAAGTCCAAGTCGTTCTCTCGCCCAGTCTTTACCAGATACAAAGCACTCGGAGTTCACATCCCGTTGAAGTTGACGTGCTGGACTTGTTTGCAGTGACTGATGACTTCAGCAACGTCACCGGTACTGCTCCCTATTATAACGCCCGGGCCCTTGACAACTTTGATATGATGTTCCCCTTCGGCGTCACAAAAGAAGGCGCGTACCAAACTTTCAGGCTGGTAAATCAAGGTACTGCAACTCGTGGCGCTACCGACGCACCTTTAACGGTCACCGTGGACGGAGTTTTCACGGACATGAAATGCCTAGAATTAGAAAGCCACTCAGTTTCCAGGCTAGCACGCGTTGGCAGCACATATCACAATTTTGCGATCGATCTCCAATTCGAAAACTGCGAGCAATCAGTCACTATACAAAATAACATCGAGTGGGTATCCCCGAACGAAGACACCGTCCAGACCTACTGGGCAGTTGATACCCAGCTTGAACCGACATACCCTTGTTCTTCATTACCTCGACAGAACACAAACTTCCTTTATTTTGCGGGATACTACACACCGTCAGCGCAGAACGTGTCTCTACCACAGCTAAAGACTTGCGCCGCTGTGATCTGCTCGCCGACTGCATACACCTCGAAAGTAAAGATTGTCGACGACGGCATTAGTCCGAAAGTGACGTTATTGTCAAACCAACAGAAGACGACGATCGACTCAAACCCTTGGGTCATGCTACAAAATTCGGTCCCCGACATACTTGGAAGAATAGGCGTCTCCACAGCAAACATCGTCAAGGGGCCAGTTGCAACAGCTTTCGGGTTCCGGGGTAAAACCCCAAATGCGACTGATATCTCACTGTATCAAAACGAGATGCTGACCCAAGCCATCATGAACCTAACGGAGCAAATCGGCCCTATGGTTTCTCATTACCAACTCCGACAACCAGAAAAGCGTCAGATTTCTGGGTCGATTATTGTGGAAACATACAGACTGAAAGTGAACGAATTTGTCTGCCTTTGGATGACGGGACTGTTCGCTGTCACTATGTGTATTGCTTTCTGGGCAATATTTCAATCCAGAAAAGTGTCTCACATTTGGCATCGGGACCCGGCTACAATACTCGGAACTATGATATTCTTTCAAAGCAAGACCAGCCTCAGCACCGACATTGTCAAGTGTGTATCGGGGGAAAGGGCAAGTAGGAAGGCCGAGTGGGAGCACTCTACCCATTCCCCACTCGTCCTTCGGGCTTGGGCTCGTGCAATATTCACCATATTTGTACTAGGCCTCATCGATGGGCTCGTCGTCACACTCAATATCTCAAAGAAGTCGGACGGCTTGGTGACAATCGGTGAAGAAGGCTTCATGCCTCTTTTATGGAAGTCACTCCCAACCCTGGCCATGCTTCTGGTCTCGTTGTACATCAGTCTGACTGATGTAACAATGCGAGACCTGGCCACACTGTCCAACCTTTCTATCAGACCTTGCGACTCGTTGGAGCTGGACATGTCGCTTTTGGACATGCTTGGGTTCCGAGCCTTGTATCACTCGCTTCGGCTGAAAGCTTACGCCGTCACTATTTCGCAGATCCTTGCTACTGTTTGCGCCTTCTTGACAACTATAGCGGCAGTTCTTCTCACCACCCAGATTGCTCCGAAATCCACAAGCACACAATTCCAGCAGGAAAGCTGGTTCGGTTCTCGACAACCACCGGCGATTTCGGCATACATAAATGAATACAGCGCCACTAGAGAGGACCTAGGCAGCCTACTTCTAGCGCGAAAGCTGTCCAACTTCACATATCCACGGAATACATACGCTGATCTCGTTTTTCCTACTCTTGGGATAAACGATACCAATTGGAATGCCAATACATCAGCTCAAGTCCGGACTCCGGCTGCAAAATTGCTTCCTAGTTGCGTTCAACTTTCTGAAGACGATGCTAAGGTGTCAGTCCACAGCAGCCAGTTCACAGAAAAGTTCTATGCAGACATCACCCAAAAATTCACATGCCCCAATGGCTCTGCAGCTTATCTTGTCAACTTTCTAGACCTAAGGGCAGCAATTGAAAAGCCTGGACTGTCGTTCACTGGGGAGATTGTCCCATCTCCGGGCAATCTGTTTGCAATCGCCGGTGCCAGCGCCTGTGACCTCGACCTTGACGACAATATTCTGATAACAACCCCCTGGAGAGTTCAAACGTACGTTTGGGGAAAGTTTGTGGCTTCAAAGATGGAATTTGATCATCTTTCCATCTGGCGGTGCAACTACTCCTGGGCTGAGGTTACGACCGACGTGAGGTTGATTTGGTCAAACAATACTATTCTACTCGACCACCAGAATCCTCCTACTCAAAACAACTCAACTGTAAGGCCATGGAGCCCGGCATTTGGGTTTCCACAGCTTGGCGGTGGGGGCGACGGGCTGGGCGTCAGTGACGTCTTTCCGGATGTTGAGCTCACAGATCCTCGAGCGAGCTCCTTCTCTACCCAATTCATCTCAATTGCAGAACCCTTTGGTCCAATACCGGTTGAAAGCTTTGGTAAACCAGACCAAGATGACGAGATCCTGGAAGCACTTCACTCCAACCTTGGGTTTGTTAGTGCCCAGCTTGCAAATCTTGAGTATCGCTTGGGCATTGATGAGAAGTCGATAGCAGTCCCGGCCCATCATGGAGACCTTCCACTGATTAACGCGACGATAATAGACAGTGGAAGACGCCGATTGGTTCAAAATCCAACAGTAACTTTTATTTTAATTGGGATTTTGTCGTTAGTTGTTGCAGTCAACTTGTGGGCTTTGGGCCTGATAGGTCTACGGCGCATACTGAGCGATAGAGGTAACTGGCTGCTGGATATGGACTTGAAGGGCCTGGCGCCTAAGGGGTTCAGCAGCATTGCTATGATGGAGTCTTTGATCCATGGTTCAAACTTTCTCAAGGACACACCGGAAGATGTTTGCCAAATGTCTTTGAATGATCTTCATCAGTGGTTAGCTGGGACAATCTTTCGGATTGGGTGGTTTCAAAGAGATGGGACTAGAGAGGAAGAATTCACTATTGGAGCATTAGAAGATGAGAGTTTTCCATTCTTAGGAGACAAGGGGGATGTAAAGAAAATACGGGAAAGTGTAGAAGGAACAGAACTCCGTACTGTCACAGGCAACTTCATCTAGATGGCGCCATTAGCCAAATATAGAATCTCATAATTCAAGAAGCATCGGACTACTTGATCCTCCTTAAAGTTGCAGGCACTTATGGGCTGCAATTGTACAGGACTACAAATGACAGTTATTAACAGGATAAGATGATCAAATGATGACGCATAGTTGCAATTACCTTACACCTTACTCTGGATTGGTCCTGCATGTCCAACACTTCCGTCCGATGTCCTGTGGATACAATTATGAACCCCATGGCTCAGTCTTAAATACTGGACTTAACTGAGGTGATTCTACCTTCGTTTAAGTTCAATTTCTGCCTAAAGCTTTTATAATTCTTGGAGGCAGACGGCATGTCTCCTCTCAAAGGCTGTTTGCTTTATTCCTAGAACCTTCGATCTGAACAATGGCTGAGTCGCAAATAACAAAAGGAATCGGTGTTGGCCGAATAAATACTGTTTTTTAGAATCTTTGCTCTCTCACTCCCATTCATTCCTGTATTTTCCACATTGTGTGGACTTCTTCACCCATTTATTGAATCCGGCCACCAAGTCATCGTGTGTTAGTTGATAATTACTTAATAATGACGACTCCCACCGGCTTGTTCGGCAAGGAAACCTTGCGGTACCATGCGTTCGAGCCAGCACCGACAACCCCGACAACCCCTCTCAGGCCTAATCTTGGTACCACTGGAGTGCCGCAGAGTCTTTTCGCGTCCCGGAAACCAAATGAAGTCACTGGGCTGGAAGGAGCCGGGTTCAGAGGCGGTACCTCACCTCCTTTAGTGTCCAGCAGAGGATCATTAGACAACGACGGGCTCCACGTCGCCGAAATAGAAGCCGCCGAGGAGAGACCCAAATATCCCAAAAAAGTCGATCTTGACTATGTGCCTTACAATAAGGCGATCGCGAAGCTGGGGGGAAACGAGAAGAAGCCTGAACGTGTTCAGTTGCTTGAAAGCATTCAGCTGAATATCGGCCTTGCGTGTTACAGTACCATCTTTCGAGACACTGTGCCGACGTTGAGGCCGAAATGGTATAAAAAATATTACGAATATCGAGGTTTCTATGAAGCGGTCAAGAATGATGACCTAGTTCCGGACATGGTGGCGGAGGGCTCAAGAACCAACACACTCGGCAACTTGCAACCCGTTGAGAAAATGATGCTGGCGAGTCTCAAAAATGAACTCCCCAATAAGATCAACATGGCACTTCGATGGAAAATGATGGCTTGGATGTGGGACACAATCCATGACCACATCCTCATTGAAAAGGGGCGCATTCCAACCCGACTTCTCATCCGCAATACTGCGGAACACATGTTGGGTTCCCTTCGGCCCTTCATCAACCATAAAAGCCAAGAGCCAATACTTCAAGAATGTCTCCGTGTCCTTACCACAAAGGCGATGGGGCTGAAGGAGCTCCTGACCTCTGAAAAGGCCGTTCGATACAGTCTCTCACTGTTCGACAATACAAAATCGATGCGCGATAACAAAGCCAAGGGAATGAAGGTACTTGGTGTACTAGGGGCCACACACACAGATGACTCGCAGGATGTCATTCGGATGGTGCTGTTTGGCCCGATGGTGCGCTACGTGAAGGACGAATATGGCCATTGGTTCGACCAGATGGAGACAACAGCAGGCGTGGTGACATATCGGCCAGAGAAGAAAAAAGAGCTAAGATGGATGTGATCATTGAATAAGAGAATGAATGAGTCATACCTTGATGGTATAATTCCAGCAACAAATGAGTCGACGAGGAAAACACCGAAGAGGGCAATGCAGCAGGTCAAACATCCATTTACAGAGATGGTTCTGTCATGAGGCTTCCATGAGATATGTTAGATTTTGGAAAGCGTTGATAGACTTGCTATCTACAATACCATCTTGTCACATGTTCCCATCATTGTTGTGAACAATTTCACTCCCCGCTCAGTCCTGATCTCAGTCGATCATTTATCCCTGCACAACATCAACTCCAGATCTTGAAAGAGAAAGGGGTCAACCGCAATTATGCTTCAATGCGAGTATTGAATACACCCCTCTAATGCAACCTTAGGGTACCTAACAATACAGCGGCGTGGGCATCGTTGAAGGCACGCCGACTCCCCTAAAGCGCGCGTTGACAGCTGGCTCGCACTCGCCACAGGGGCTGCCCCATTGAGCATGATTCAGTGCTATGAATAAGGCTCCCTAAACCCGCACCGCCTGTTGTGATGTGCCTCCTGACTTCATTCTTCCATCCTCATAATTTCCTCCTTCGGCCTACCTTAACCCATTGTGCGCCGCCCACGGGCGCCTCTCGCCATATTTCGCGATATACAATACATACCTTCTTCTTTCTGACTTTGGGTTCTATTGATCTTTATCCTCTATTACGCGAGCGCCCTATCTTGACGCACACTCTCTTCTCACTGATTTCGGAGGTTCGTGCCCTAATTCTCCCTTCACATCTTTTCCCTCCTCCCTCCTCCCCCCTACACCCTCCATCTCTCGCCGACTCCGACTCGCCGACTCCGGGGCTGCACCCGTTTTATCTTTCACATCACTTCCATCCTTCCATAGCGTCGCGCTGAAGCTTTGGTACGCTGACTCTTTTACCCCGGCCTTTAGTCTCATTCACTGGGTTCCCAAAGCCTCCTAGGCACCGACCTTGGACGCCAACGACGACCGTCGAACATTTCCGCTCAGATCTTCCGACAGAAGAAGAATTCCACGTTACCTCCACGTAATGGACAATCAGAAATACAGAGCCATGGATCCCGACGATCCTGGACCCTCTTCAGCGCGTCCCCCTTCTACTTTCGGTCGCCCAGTCTCGTCTCAAACCCCGCCTCATGACAGCACGATGGAGTTTGACGAGGATGAGGATTCTTCTCCTTCTAGCGCTTCCGGAGAAGCCTTTTGCTCTCGAACAACATTCTTCGTCAATGCCGACTGGCGCATGGGGTCGACTCTCGCAAATGCAACCACCATTGTCGGCCAAATGTACGTGGAGCGCCTGGATCCTGTTAAGAAACTGCAACCCTACCCTATCATCCTTATTCACGGCGATTTTCATACCGGTCAGGTAGGTTGAGATCTCCCTAAGCCTCGAACGAACTATAACTAACTCCATCTCTAGGTCTAGATGGCCAAACCTGATGGAAACCCTGGCTGGGCGTCGTATTTTGTCCGACGAGGCTTCCAGGTCTATGTCGTGGACCTACCTCCATGCGGAAGATCGAATTTTCTGACTGCCGCCCATTTCATCCACCGAGACCTCAGTCGCGTATCCCACTCACTTGCGGCTTCCGTCGTCGAGAGTGAACTTACCGCTCCAGGTAAGGAGCCTGCACACGGTCAACCGCTCGTTCCTCTCAGACACTCGCGAGCTGGTATGCATAGCAAATGGCCTGGAGTGAGTCCTTATCCCTATCCAACCCATAAAACAAGGCTAACATTTCATAGACTGGACAGCGAGGTGACCCCATCTTTACCAACTACTGCGCCTCACTCGTCACATTGCACCTCAACAAGATTGAACGGCAGTCATTGGGCCAGAATGCCATTCGAGCTCTGCTTCACAAGACTGGGAAGGCTGTTTTGGTGGGCGAAGGCTCTGGAGGAAACATGAGCTGGTTAGCAAACGATGTCGCGCCGGACTTGGTGGCTGGAGTGGTGGCTGTTGAGCCAGCAGGCCCTCCCTTCGGAACTGCCATGCCAAAAAACGGCCAGCCTCGAGTCTACACCCAGTTCATTCAACTGGACAAAGGAAACCGGCTGTATGGATTGACAGACATACCCTTGACCTACGATCCTCCTACCCACCCTCACGATGGATTTGAGAGACCTGCGAGGGATCCCCTAGACATTGTGCGAGCATTACGACCCGACCGCCTGGGCGCTTGCTTCATGCAGCAGAAAGCCGAGACTGATATAATCGAGGTCGGGTCTGATGGCAAGCCACTACCTGGACAGCAGGTTCGGCAACTGATCCACCTCAAGAAAGTTCCCCATGCTCTCATTACTGCGCATGCCAGCTCACACACCGTATTTGACTGGGCCACAGTGGCCTACATGAAGCAGGCTGGGGTCGCTGTCGACTGGCTAAGATTGGAGGACTTCGAAATTGTCGGCAACGGTCATTTGATGTTCCTCGAGACGAACAGTGATGAGGTCGCCGGTGTCATTGAGAGATGGATCCAGAAGAAAGTTACCGCCGGTTCTCAAGTCGCCAGTCCGACCACTTCGTCCGAGTCGCGGAGCATGGTTACTTCGGAAAATGGAAGAGCGAAGAAGAGTGAACAAAGCGGCAATTTGAAGGCCATTCCGGAATCGACCCCGGTCCTTTCTTCAACGGGTTCCATTAGGAATTCCGAGTCGGCACCACATCCACTTCCGGGTAACACACCCCAAGTCCAGGTGCAAAATCAGAAATGGGGGCCAAGAGCTGGGTGTCAATCCAGTGGACCTGGTCAACTGACTCAAGACAACGGCAAACGACCGGCTGAACAGTCCATTTCCGGGCGTGCTACTGCTTCTGAGACGCTTCGAGGCATAGGGATTCGTCCGGAGTCGCCTTCAACGCAAGAACAGAAACGGCGCTGTTTGGGTCAGAGTGTCAAATCTACCTCGATGCCAATGAGCACTGCTTCCGGAACGTTCCCTATTCCTCAGCTCACTCAACAGCAGCACATTCGTGCCTTTCAGAATATGCAGGGACAAGTTCATGGTAGAAGCAACCAGCATCCGCCTCCTGAACAGAGCATGATGCGATCCCCAAACCTGTGTGGCCCATCCCAGTTGAGGCAACAACTCCAGCCGATCACCGGAGCTGGTCCTACTAGCCCTTATCACGCCACCGCGACGCTTCCTCCTATTGCACGACCTTCCACTCCTCAAGGGACCCCGCTGTATGCTCACCTTTCAGGAAATTCTCAGCATGCTTCCCAATCTAGTGGGCTGGCCTTGGTGGCTGCGACAGAAAGCGAATCTGCCGGGCACCTTCCCCGAGTGTTTAGACACATCACGTTTTCCGATGAGTCCATCAAAGCTTTGGCAAGCACACCTCCACATCGCATTATCGGCAACCCTGAGCCAACTCCTGGGTCATCGGGTCATTTTATTGCTACCGCGGTTCGTCAACAACTCGACTCCCCGGGACAGCCACGAATGAATGGCTCACTCGTCGACCCTCGGCTGTCTCAAGTTTCGACACCGACCAATCAACAAACTTCTCCTCGGGCCAACAATGTTCAGATAACCCCATCGGGCCATGGAAATATGGACTTTGGCGGCTTTCGAGTAACGGAATTTGGCATGTTGCCTGCAATGACACCCCCAAGCCCATCCCCAGCTCCACGGCCTGTAGTCAACCAGATGCCTTCCAACGACATGGGCATCCCGCCTGCTGAAGAGCAGCCTACGGCGCAGTGATTTGGTTTTGGGGAGACTTACCCGAGGGGACCCTACCGGGTGGATCTGGTTTCTGAAATGTGAAGGGTTTGCATCTAGAGGAACACAATGAGGATTGACTCTAAAACTTGGGGTGTTCAGGGGTGGTCTAGGGTAGGGGCGCGGGCATGGGAGACGACAATAGCTACCGGTGGGGGCCCCAAAGCGAGGACATGGTTTGGGCTTGAACAGACTCGCTGGGTGTGGATTATTCTCAAGATGAATAGATGAATCGCATTTGATACCTGTGGAGCAATGAAATGGGAGTAACCGTCACGACCTCACTCCCATCGTTACGGCCTCCGCACGGTCCTGAGCACATTTTTACATAACACTTAAAGATTCCAAACTAAACGAACAAGGGAGAGAGAGATTCGGGGAAAATAGGAGACATATCTTTCTAAGAAATCGCTTTGACCTCAGTGATGTCTTTAAACTTCGGACGATGTGTGTTGCTCTCAACGTTGACGTCCTCCTTGACTGATTGGCCACTTTGATAGCAACGCCCCACTTGTGAGCTAATCGCCCATTGCCGCTGACTTCAACTTCAACTGTTCGCTTCTTCTCCATCAAACGAATAGATTTAAAACATTAATCATATCGGATTCATTATATATTCCTAAAAGTATGGATGCAAATACTCTTAACCTCGAGTCGCCATTTCCATTCATCTCCCTCTTCGACGACGACGAATCTCGCTGGCAAGCCGTCGTCTCCCGCAACGCCAACGCCGACGGCCTCTTTGTGTACGGTGTCAGAACGACCAAGATCTTCTGCCGGCCCATCTGCAAAGCGCGCCTCGCCCGCCGTGCCAATGTCTCCTTTTACCTGTCCGGTCGCGACGCGCAGCAATCCGGCTTTCGCGCGTGTAAGCGCTGCAAGCCCGAGCTCGCGGGCTTCATGCCTGAGGAGATGGCCGTGCAAAAGATCCGTGGCTTTGTGGGCCAGAGGATCTCGAACGGTGGGGATGATGGGGAAGCGATGTTGAGCTTGAGTCAGATGGCTAAGCAAACGGGCTTGTCGAAGTGGCATTTCCACCGCGTGTTTAAAAAGTGCGTTGGTATGACGCCGACAGAGTACATCCGAGACGAGCGCCTGAGGCATAGCACCGCCGAGGGTCAGCTGTCAGACAACCAAGCGAGCTGGCTGGAGAGCCTCGATATCGAGAACTTTAATGCTGGACTCGACTTCTCCTGTTGGGACGACGTCATAGGCTCGGCACAATCTAGCACGGAAGCGTCCTCGGCTGCGGCCAGTGAATACAGCCCTTGGAATTTGGACGACCTCGTGATATGGCCTGAAGAGAGGAACCAAGGGTCTGCTTGAAGCGGACGCTGAGTGTCAATGCCAACCGCCAGGAACAAAGCAACGTTTCTCGCACAGGAGCGATCAGCGATGAAGCTGCGGTCCCTACGGAAGTCCAAGCGTTGATTATTCATTCAGTACCGAATGCCTGGCACAGTCCGAAACAATACTTCGACGGGAGGATGCAACGCCACGGACCGAATAACCGATCCCCGCAACCACAACATGATCCACGCGAGCCACACGAGCATGCTTATTCTTCACGTCGAGGTCATGCTGGCCCAAAAGGGATATTGGGGAATCCCGTTACGAGTTTTCGAGCGTGCATCGGGGAGGTTGGGCAAAACTAGCTGGGTTTTGAACGTGTCTCGGACACCACAACCCCTGTTTGATCGGAGCCGCGACTATTCTAAGCGAGCCTCAATCTAGATCTAGCCGCTCGGGAACTTCTACTGCCGGCCTCGTTGAAGCAAATAGCACTGGAAAGCAAATTTGGGGCAATTGCATTGGCTTGCCTTTTTTGAGCTGGGCATGTCGGTCTGCTCGGCTTCGAGGCCGCAATCTTGGCCACCAAACTGCAATATGCGGACAAGAATTCTGGCAAAATCATGAACCAACTAAGACTTTCCAATGACCAATTAACTACGCTTACCGACTCTTCCTAAAAAAAAAATAGGCGCCCAGAACGGTCGGTTCGTCGTGGCGTTGGGGGTTGCGGATGGTGATACACAGGTGTCGGGATCTACGCTTCCGAGACTCTACACCACCGCGACACCACCACCGACCTTTGCGACGACTAGGGTTCAGGTTCTAGAGGATATCAGATGATTCTATTGATGGAATTGCCTTTTGTCGCAAGTTCCCAACCGTCTGGCAGGTTCCGAGACGCGGAGCAGGCCGAACAGGTACAAGCGAAGATGTCAGTGACACAAAGTTGCAACAAACAGATCGACACGGAATGGCGTCTAGTTTCGTCCTCGAATGATGGGAGATTATCGTGCAGATGCGAAGAGGGTTGCCGGTTAGCGCCGATGTCCCTGTATCAGGTCTCTGTACGACCGTTTAGATCATCACGTCAAGCCAACCTTATATAAGATGGTTCGTCTGGTCTCAATAAGCTTTCAAATCAGCATCCAATCCAAGTCTCTTCTCAGTTCTTCCCTACTACTCTTAGCTTTTCTTTCTTTCTGCTGTTCTGTGAACGCATTCGTTTCAACCACTCCTTCAAGATCATTACAGTTCACTCACCGCCAGCCGGTAGCTTTAATCCTTCTTTTATCCAACTTCCAACTTCCCATCAATTCACCAACCAAACAGCAATCATGTCTATGTTGAAGATTACTTCTCTCATCACCCTTCTGGCTTATGCCGAGGCTCGTTTTGGCCAGGAGCAGATTCCTGTCGCGGCTGTAGCTGCACTTGGTGATGCTGGCTTTGGCGACCCTGGTGTTGCTGCCACTATTGCTGGAAGCATCCCCGGATCCCTGTTGGCCGCTGCCAGCCCGTGTCAAAAGGTAAGAAAAATGAGGTTTTTGTTCCAATACTTGACTGACACATGAGATAGCTCACCATCGCGGACCAAATCATCACCGAGCTGGGAACCGACCAGCAAGTTATTGACGCCGCCATCGGGCTCGTCTCCGCCGAGACCAACTTCAACCCTTTCGCCGTCAACGTCCCCTTTGTGTGTGCGGATGCGACGCTCCCGGCCAGCGCACAGCTGCGCGGCATCGTCCCGCTTGTCGACCCGGCGGTGACTGGATCTGATGTTGAGAATGCCAACTCGGCCACCTCGGTCACGACTCCTTTCGACGCCGCAGGCCTGTCCCAGGCTGAGGTGATGATTGCTCAGGGGTTCAGCAACTTCACCGCCGTTGCAGGAAATGGAGACGATGTGGTTCTTGGTGGCCAGGACGGCGCAGCGGCCGGCGGAGATGCCGCTGCCGGAAACGATGCTGCTGCCACTGATGGCACGCAAGATAACAATGCCGGAAACACTGCTGTTGTCCAGCAGCCTACTCAATGCGGAGGAGGAGCGAGCAACGCCACCCCTACCAATAATGCAGGCAACGGTACTGCGGCGGATGGAAACAACAACAATAACAACAACAACGATGCAGCAACCGGCGGCGGTGCAGCAGTTGGCACCTCAAACCTCGACTTTGGCCTCTGTCAACCAACAATGGCTCGCGTGCCTGGACTCAACGGCCGAGCAGCAACCGAGTTTACTTTCATCCCTCAGGATCCTCTCTGCGCCCAGGGCCAGCAAGAGGCTCTCAACCCCAACATCATCACCAACCGCATCTGCGACCAGCTTATCAACGTGTGCGAGGCCAGCGATGAGGCCATCGCGGCGTGTGACGACGCCCAGACGCAGATTGAGGCCCTGGGCACGCGTGATCAGAGCACTGCCGACACCTGGAACGCCCTGCTGGGTTTTGCTGGTGCGGACTCTACCAAGGCAACCCTTTGAGAGTCGGTCGTGGCTCCTTTGAGGTTGAGTAAATGACGGGATACCATTACTCCCTCCTCATGTACTAGTAATAAGAAATTTGGACATGCCTGGATGTGTGTTTAGGATCTAGTCTGTGGTGAAAAGAATAATAAATATCAGCTTGTTCCTGCATATACCATTGCCATCAATCGCCTTTTTCTAGCTGCATGAATTCAAGTGACAAGGATACCTCGGCTCTACTCGCAGCTACCACTGTCCCATCAATTTAAACCCTGTGACTGATTCTTGGCTCAGGGTTTTAGTGTACGAGTACAGACTCCAATCCCTTGAATTGTATCATTTCTTTCCTGTCATCCATTCAAACGGCTTCTGTCTCTCGTTTATTCACCTGCATCATTTTCACTGTCTTATAAGCCATGGAAAGTCGTAGGATCTGGCACAACCCTGTGGTTGGGATCTATGGCAATCTGATCGCCCCTGGAATTGGGTGTCCCGCAAATGAAATCGGCGATGGTATCGGATTAGATGTATATGGTTTAGTTACCGTCGCCGACTGGATGTCTAAATATTGCTTGCTCGGCACGCGCTTCGGGATCTCTCCTCCTCTCGTTTAGGTCTTATGCTTTATTTCCCCCTTATGTTTTAGGTCTCTTATGTTTTATTTTTCCCTTCTGAAAAAGTGTGAAGAAAAGAAACGAGATAAGCTTTAATTAGGGGCACACCATCTGCCGTGAATTTTCGTATGTCCATCTTCACCCCTTCAAGAATATTGGAGAACAGCGTCAAAGACCAATCATTTTCGACCTCCCTCAGATCATGATGCCGTTCCTCTTCGTCAAAGTTCAGCTTTGCTCCTCTTGAGACACCAAAACACGGTCTACTGTAAGTACCCATGCCAGCTGAACCAGATCCCTTCCCGCCAAGCCCCGTCGCGGCGCTTAAGCCTTAGAACCAAGATGCCACTCCACTCAATGCCAATCGGGCCCCTGTATTTCCGTCTTGCTGGATGCATTTAAAGCAGCGCGAATCCCTAAAGCGGCCGGGATTGTCGTTGTAAGTGCCTTGCAAGCTGCCCCGGCGCCTGGTAGCGGCACCAGGCATGTATTGACCCTGGGGAAATTTCGCGGTGTGGGCTATCTATCGCACGGAATGGGAACGCGGAAAGGTACGTTGAGTAGAGAGAGAGGGCGGAGGAGAATATTTGATGGGCATGGCTCCCTCGCTTGGTGTATTATTCTGTGGTTATTCTTGGTCTCATTCCATCTTTGTGTGAGTGAGGCTACTCTAATCCGTCTTCGAGACAATATGTTTAAGCGCGGCGTGCAGCGCTCAAAGAGCGAGTTCTTCCTCGAGCTCCTCGGCGTCGGCGAGTCCAAATTCCTGAGCATTTGGTTTCTGATTGCCATTCTGCGTAAGTATACACCCATCCATTAGACCGCCAGATGGGCTTGATAGACATCCTTGAAGACAGAAGATAAACCATCAACTAACAAGCAACACCACAGTCGGAGTCGTTGCAAATATCACCGTCCTAATCAGCTGCATGTCCGCCAGTACCCGGACCGTATATCTCTTCCGCGTGAGCACTGAGGATCTCATCAACGCAGCCACCAACACGACGACCATCTCGGCCGCCGACCTTCGCATCGATGGACTGCCGAATCACTGGTACTGGGGCCTCTCTGGTGCGTATTGAGCCCTATATTGTTGAAGTCTCCTTGCTGAAGTCTTGACTGCATAGGCGTGTGTACCGTCCACGGCAACACGAGCGATGACAAAGTCTCGTGCAAGAAGTCGTTCCCTCCGACCATGACCATCGAAGACATGATCACCTTTGCCGTTACGACCCAATTCGACGAAGACACCTCGTCCGCTGTCATCGCCAAACACATCAAGCCCTGGACGTCGGCACTCGCCCAAGTCGAAGACGACCTTGCTCCGGCCTCGCAACCCAAGACGTACTTCAAGGCTGCTGTCGCGCTGACTCTCGTCTCGACTATCCTCTCGTTCCTGCTGCTTCCCCTGGGCATCGCCTCCATAAGCGTGCTGCGTGGTAGATTACACCGCTGGATTCTCTACGGCATTGCATTCCTCTCCGCCATGGCGTTTCTCGGCGCGGGAATCATAGCCATATATGCTATGAACGACGGCCCGCGAGGGCTTATCCAGCTCTCAGGCATTGACCAGGGCAATGAGCGGACGTTTATCGGACCGGGTTTCTATGTCCTGTTCGCGGGCGTGCTATTCACCCTCATCTCCATTGGACTGTTCTTCTGCGTGGCTTTTATTTTGGTGATCCTGATCGTCTTTGCCGTTATGGCATGCTTAAGCAGCGTCTGTGGCGGTGGCGGTTCAAGGAAGGGAGATACAAGCTACAACAACTACGAAAATCATAATTATTACGGCGGCAGTGGTGGTGGTGCAGCAGTGCAAGAGTCGAGGCACAACCACTCCGAAACTCATCCCAATTATTATAGCAACTCTAATTATTACAACACTCGCAAGTGATGGGTTGAGATACAAGAGGAAGGGATGGGGATAGATTGGGTTGGTTTCTGGATAATACTTGTGTACATGGCATGAAGGCAATGAAGCGAATTGTTAATACAAGCGGAGTGAATGAATTCATCAGGAATATGGAGTTGATGCTATCCTGCTGTGATCGTCTTCATATTGCCGCTTTGCCAGTTAATGCGTCAACAGAAGTGGCTGGACCTGCGGCCAGTGACCCTCACATCGCTATCGGCGGAGCTCTCAATGGCAACCGAATGGATGTAAAGTTGTTTCTAAACATTACGCTCTAACCACTGGAATTTCCTTTACCGCTCCATTTTGAAACCATAATGCATGTCTAATGTACACTTAACCGCCTCCAGTGATCATGTTCTCCCCCTCGCCCCTCGCCGTTTGCTCCGCACCTCCTAAGGGATACAGAAATCAATCCAGCTTCCGAGGTACTCGAGTCGATTTCCTTGCTGCTCCTGGCCCTTGTAAATCGCCTCGAACTCGTCGAAACTGAGCTTGCCCCAGCCGCCTCTCTTCGTGGCCTTCGCCTCAGCAATGCCTAACCGCTTCCATTGTTGGAGCGTCTCTGTAGTGGGTTCGTCATCCGTTACGGGTTCGCTGTCAGACCCACTCTCCTCGATGTCCGTAGTGGTAGGTGTTTGGTGGGTTATGGGATACCATTCATATAATCCAGAGTCTTTCATATCTTCCGCAGTGTTTGGACGGAATTGTGGGAGAGTAGGATCTCGGTAGTCCTCCGCAACGGCCTCGGGCCCAACAAGGTCCTCTTGGGGCTCGGCATGATCCTCCTCGGGCTCATCTTCATGGATGATCTCGACAGTGGTGTCGATCTCGACGGCATTGCGTCCCTCGGGTAGCTCCAGACTATATCCAGTCTCGCGCAGCAGGTCCTCGAGGGACTTTTCCTTGGGAGACTTGATCTTAGAATCAGCGTCCTTGTTCGAGGATTTCAAGTCATTAAGATCGATAGCATCAATCGAATCCTTGTGCTTCTCCCTCTGTTGCTTCGTCTCTGCGGCTTGGAGGGCGAGATCCTCCGAAGGCTTAAAGATTGTATCAAGAAGCTCGTTGAAGGCTTGCTGAGTGACCTGATAGAGGATTTCCTTTCCGGCATCCCTTTCGGCTTCGGGAAGGCGTCGGGGTCCCCGCTGCTCGGGAACACTCCTCGAGGATGACGAGGCGCCAGATAGCATCTCAAAGTCGTCCATGCCATCTTTCAACCGACTCTTGGAGCTCGAGGGAGATTTTGGAGATTGTGACTGTTCCTCGGCTGACTTGGAGCTCTCGCCCATCTCACGGAGATCCGCAAGGATGTCTTCATTGTGCTCCCAATCCTCTGGAGCAATGCCCCCTTCTTCCTCGTCGAGGTAGAATTGCCTTCTTCTCCACCGCTCATGCAGCTGCTTTCGGGCCATATCTCTTTTCCGCTTTTCTAGCCTTGGAGCTCGCTGTCGATTACTGCTGATAACTCTGGCTCGGACCTCGCTCTCTGTGGGCATATCGTGGGCGGGGTGGTCGCCGCTTTCATGAACTCCATTGACACCATTTGGTTGGTCACCATTCCTGTCACGGCCCTCATCTTCGCTATCATCAGATGCCTCCTGTATTTCTAGGGTGTGGTTCCCTAACAAAATTGTGGGTAAATCGTCGACGTTAGCAGGAGGCTCGAGCAGGGTAACCCAATATGTGCGCTCATCGTCGTTTCCACTAAGGCGACGCACTGTACGCCAATTGGTATCCGTATCACTGCGAGTGATGAAACGTCGGCGAGAGCGGTGGTCGGTTTCACACGCAAATAAACTGGTCAGGATGTCTTCACGGTTGGCTGTGTCTCCCCGATCCTGAACCACGACGCTTTCATGACCGTCGGTAATTTGTATGCTTCCATCGCGGTTGTACATCTTGCCCTCATGTCGCAGTCCTCCGTCGCCTTCGGGAACTCTGCCCTCGCGACCAAAGAGACTGCTGAGCGGCTGACGACTGGTGACTAGCTGCTGAGCTTCGGTACTAGCAAGAAGCTGGTCTTCTAGCCCATCCAGTATGTCCTTGTGCATCTGTTTGTAGAGGACATAGTACGCACGGAACATGCGGAGAAAGTCTCTCCGGTCCACGTAACCGTCGCCGTCGACGTCATAACCGGCAAAAATCTTGCGGAGCTTGTCCTTGCGCTTTCGATAGGATAGACCATGGAGAAACTCGGTGAAGCCAATCAAGTCATCATTGTTGGAGTCGTAGAAGGAGAACATTCGATCATGAATGAGGTTTGGAGCGGCGTGGCGGGAACCTCCGGTTGGTACCAAACACCGCTCAAAGGTCTTACGGTCCATGGCAATACCGAGTTCATCCGGGTCGTCTCTCCACTCCGAGTTGGCCATGAAAGTCCACTGCTCCCAAAACGCTTCCAACTCTGGGCGTTCAAAGCCCGTGTCCCTCGACAACTTGGGAATCAGTCCGCGAGGCAGGTTTCGTCGACAAGTGTCTGGATCTCCCGTATACCAGACTGGTTGCATCTGTCGAGGACCGAATGGAGGCGCGGGGACACGGATTTTGTAGAAGATGTGCGTTTTGGTATGAACGCCTTGGGCCTCGCAGGTCTCGCAGAGGTCAAAGTCGGCACAGTTGGCGCACCGGTAGCGAACCCCACGGATGGGCACCATACCGCAGGCATTACATTGACACCCGCGGTGGACACATCCGTTGCGGCGCGCATTATCCTCTGAAACTCGAAAAAGAAGGTTGACGATGTTGTGGCCAGCGCGCTGGTTCGAGGGATAACCGCTAGGTTCGTTCCACCAGTCGTCGACGCCGCCTTCAACGATGGTCTCACCATCACCGGTGGGGCGCAAGGTGTCGACATCGACGTTCTCGTCGCCAGGGGCCTCGGATGACGAACTCGAGCCGGCTTCATTCCTCCGGTTCCGGTGACTTCGGCGGACAGCGTTACTGCGGTGCAGACCGGATCCTGGCACGGCGCCGTCGCGTGTTATGCGATTGATGTATGCATAGTATCCAATCGAGGCGGCAGCGAAGGCGGAAGCGATGGCCACGGCCAGTCGCGGCCGGGTTATGCTCTCGGCCGAGGGTGTCGGCAACCACATGGCAGGCTATATGTGCAGCATGGTGAGGCCGATGCCTTGGGCGTCAGGAGAGGTGCGTTGTCGCGGGGAAATCCCTGGAGTCGTGGGAACGAGTCGCTTGTGGGGGTTTGGAGGGGCTAGTTGATGGAGGGGGTGGTCGTCGAAGGGGGATTCCGTGGGTTTATGTATGCGCGAGTATGTCTTGTGCTGGCTTGGACGCGTGTTGATGACTGTTAAGTTAATGCGGCGTTGAAGGATGCGATGACAAAGACAACACACCGTAGGTAACACGACCTCTGGGAAGCTCCGAAGCTGAAATGGAAAGCTGGAGTTTAGAGGTCGAACCTGGACCTGGTCCGTGCGATCCCAGTCAGATACGTACCTCTCGTCTGCTCGTCCATGACGCTGACAGTGGTTAGCGGGGGCTCTATTAGCGCTCTAGCGCTGTACATAGCGCTGTAGCGGCAGAGCGGCGGAGCGAGGGACAAAATCATGATGCTTGTCATGGATGGATCCCGCACTCGATATCGCCCGGAGCTGAATTTCCTCAGCCCACTTCTGTCTCCTACAACTCCAAAACCGTCTCCCAATTGCGACTCCAACACCACCGCTCACCATGGTTGACGGTGTGCCCCAGATTCCAGGGCCTTTGCCCTCGTCCTTTGACGGCGACCAGTATGCTGCCTCCCCGCTGTCGCCCGTTGCGCAATCGGCACCGGCCTCCAGATCCCCACTCACGCGATAGACAGGGAACGCTACAACGAACGCCCGCTCCAGAAGGTCTTCCGCAAGATCAAGGAGGAGCCTCTGATTCCTCTGGGTAATAATTGAACTCCCCAATGTCCCCAATGTCGCTCTACGCAGCAGCCGCCCGCTCACACGCCATGCCGCAGGAATGGGCCTCACGACTCTGGCCTTCATCAACGCCTACCGAGCTCTCCGCCGCGGGGACTCCAAGTCGGCGAACCGGATGTTCCGCGCTCGAGTGGCCGCCCAGGGATTCACCGTCATCGCAATGGTGGCGGGCAGCATGTACTACAACAAGGACCGCGAGAAGAGCAAGGAACTCCGCAAGCTCAAGGAGGAGCGCGACGCCGAGGAGAAGCGCATCAAGTGGATCCGCGAGCTCGAGGCCCGAGACGAGGAGGAGAAGGCCATGAAGGCCCATTTGCAGAACCGGAGGAAGCTGGCCGCCGCCCAGACGGAGGAGCCGACTCCCCAGAGCCCGGAGTCGGAGCCGGCATCGAGCGGGACGGGGGGCGTCCTCGGCCGGATGGGACTGTGGCCCAAGAGCGAGAACAAGGATGCAGTGGAAAGTGCGGTGGACGAGGCGGATGCAAGCGAAAAGCAGGAAAGAAAGAAGAATCCCAAGAGCTCGCTTGGTGATCTCGGCGAGATCATGTCCACCAAGAAGAAGGACGACGCCGAGTCCAAGAAGGAGTAATCCCGTCCCCCGATACCGAGACTATGGTGATCACGAGGGACCGGTGTAAAATCATTTGTGTTAGTGGCAGGGTCACATAGTGTACGATATCGGGCTGCCAATTGATGGCGGCATGGCTCTACTCATTAGATCGGTGTTAATATGATCAGCAATGTCATGAAATCATGCAATACGAATGTGAATATTCCGCCCGCAAATGAGTTGAATTGAATTTATTCCATCATACACACTTACCCAAAGAGAAACGCCGTGAACATGAGCAATTTATGGCCAGGTGACACAACTCCAATACTACCCCATGGAACCTCCACTCCGGTTGGCTCCGACCAGCCCAGCCATCTCCAACAAGGCCCGATCTGTGTCAATATCCCCAGTTCCAAGGTTGACCCTGCGGCGGGCCTCGGCTTCTTTCTCTTCCCATGCCCATCTCTCCGCCTGCGCTTTTGCCTCTGCGTCTCCGCCACATCCCCAAACCTCCAGGTTCTCGATCTGGAACCGATCCTGGAAGTCAAACTTCCTCACCACACTTGTGTGGAAAGCCCCTCCTCGCGAGGAGTAGTCGTGGTTGAAGACACCAAACTCGAATGAATCGTCGAGAAACAGAGATGTGGCTCCTAATCGATGAAGGTCGGCTTTCCGGTGCGCCTGCGTTGGCTTGGGATGAGGGCATCCGACGGCGAGCATTGGGTGGTTTGCGGGAGACTTGGTAAAGGTAACGTAGTCCTTGTTGATGGTCGACGCGGGGAACACGTCGTGAATGGGCTCCAGCTGGAACAACACCGTATCCGAGTCTCCGAAGCACTCCCTGTGCGTGTGTTTCCAGTGCTCTCGGATGTAGACTCCGAAAGTGAGACGATCTGACTTGCTGCCGTGAGGGAACCTTCGAGATGGAAGAGACGCCGCGAAGGCTGCCTCTTGGCCACCATCTGGGACGTCCCCGAGGCGCGTTCCGCTCACCAGGAGCAAGGTCGGCGCCTGCCAGTTGAATACTTTGTTCTGGAAACTTCCCATCGAGAATCCCGCATCGTTGCCGGAATATAGCAGCCTGACTCTTCGAAAAAGATCCGAACCGGGGAGGAAGAGCGATATCTGGGACAACGTGCTCGCATTCAGAATCTCACCACCCTCTGGCAGCAGCGGTTGCGCTATCTTTGGGGCCTCGACTTTTTCTGCGGCACCGCTTTGATGTTTCGAGAAGTCAAGGTTCTTGGAGAAGAGGAAATGCTCAAACAGGCCGTTGAAACCACGGAATAGATGGGGAGATATCACGGGAATGATCGTCTTGAATTGGTTGTACTTGATCCCGGGTGCCTTTTCGGCGTTGACAAAGGATGATAGGATGCATTCGGCCGTTGAACGGAGGCAGTCGAGCTCGTCGCCAACGACACGGCTCGAATATAGCGAGAGGCTCTCTTGGGGGTCAAGCGGAGCCGCAAGCAACAGCAGCATTAACAGCTTTCGGAAGTTGTCGGTTGGAATTGTCGCGCCATGGAAGTTTGGTGCATGGCCCTGGTCCACAGCTTCTTTGATATCAAGCAGCTCGAATGCTGTCAGGACCAGATCGTCGTCCTCGTCGTCCTCCTCCTCTCCGTCTTCTTGGGCCTCGTCCACGGCGAATCCAGCGTGGGAATTGCCATTCTGCTTCTTTTGCGGAGCTTCATCTTCCGGCGGATTGATCGCAGCGTCGGAAGGCTTTCGGTCGTAAACGGCCATGCTCTTGAACAGCAGCTTTGTCCTATCTGTGGAGCCACGAGCCAGGACCTTTTTATACCGCTCCGTCATGATGACGACAACCATAATCAACTGTGGTAGCTCCAATACGGCCGGCGCATCATGGAGAAACGGAAAGGCGCCAAGGTATGAAACCATCTGGAAGATGACAGGCGACGCGTGGAGGATATCCGGTATCTCCAGGTATCGCGCGATGGTGTCCTCCTTCAGGTACTTCATGGTGTCCTGGTGATCGGCAAGGGACTTGAAGACATCCTTGAGTGAGTAGAACTCGAGAGAGGTGAAGCATTTGTCTTTGAACCTCTGTGCCTGTTTCATATGGTCAGTCAATTGAACTTCAGCGGTGTCCGTGTTATCATGAGCCTACGAGTTCACGGCTGAGTTCCTCGTTCGTCCGCCGGCGCGGTTGTTCATCCGAAAGATTCTGGCCCATCTTGAGAGGCGGCCAGCTCTACGCTCATCCCTTCGAAGTCGTAGGATTTTCTTGATTGCAGTAGCTCTGACAATTGAGAGGCGATGATGTGATATAAAAAAGCTGGTAGCCTGGGAGTTCATGACATCTGGCGGCGCTGACATAGTCCGACGGTACGTACCTCGATACGTACCCTCCGTCTTGGCGTGTCATGATGCACGTGGATCCGGGGTCATCATCGGGCCGGCGATCACCGGAGCCAACAGTAATACCCCAGAAATCTTAGAAAAAAGGAAGTTAGTTCAAAAGAAATATCTAAAATAAAGAAGTTAAGAGTGGGTAGGTGATCCAAAAAGTGAGTTTTTTTCAGTGCCAAATTTGCGGTGATTCTGGGGACCAATTGTCTCCCTACCTAGATACTTGACCGTCCAGGCACAGCACCCGACCATGTAGCGACGGGAGATGATGTTCTAAGATACCATTTTTCGGTTGAGATTCCTGCTGCTCTTAACCGTAACGTGCCTTCTACAGCAAAGCAGACCGACACTTGTACACCATCTGCGGAGATCTCGTAGAGGGGGATGGTGACGTTGCCAATGATTTCAACGATGCCAACAAGCGCAAAGCCAAATATCAGATATTTGGGACCCAACCTGCCAGTAGCCACCTCCAGGTAAAACGGAGAATGGTGAGAAATTCTCATCAAAAATGGACATCCTAACTCACACTATGACAAAATAGCGACTGGTACTAACGTGTGTGTGTATCTTTATTGAGCCCGTATCTCAAGTGAGAATCGGACGAATTATGATTTGCCAATCCACAATTTCATGGTATAAGGACTCGACTACCACATTATAAAAGAGTGTAATTGCTATGTTTCCTAACCCCTAAAGAAAGCAAAAACAAATCATCATAACATCCAGTTGCTCACAGCTGGATGAGATTGTCATCATGAACTGAACAAATGATTGATCCCGCCAAGCGAGCCGACGAACGGCAACTATGTCGAAACGCGATGGAGGAATATACTATTGCTCAATGCCCTGAACCCCCAAACCGTGAACGGTGAACTTCTGACTGATTGAAATTGTATGTCAGATAAGAGGAGTGCAATGTGGGATGATAGGTAACATACGAGTAAAAGGACTTTTGTTGGCCCAAGGTCACACTTAAGGTTCCCGAGCAAAGACTTGAGGGTCCACAGGCTCAGGATCAGCCTTGGGCTCGGGATCCCGCGCAAAGACTTGAGGGTCCACAGGCTCAGGGTCGGCCATGGGCTCAGGATCCCGACCAAAGATCTGAGGGTCGACGGGGTCAGGGTCGGCCTTGGGGTCGGGGTCACGACCGAAGATCTGAGGGTCGACGGGTTCAGGGTCGGCCATGGGCTCAGGATCTCGACCAAAGATCTGGGGATCAATGGGCTCGGGATCCCGGGCAAAGACCTGAGGGTCGATGGGCTCAGGGTCTCGACCAAAGATCTGAGGGTCGATGGGCTCAGGATCAGCCTTGGGCTCGGGATCCCGGGCAAAGACTTGGGGGTCCACAGGCTCAGGGTCGGCCATGGGCTCAGGATCACGACCAAAGATCTGAGGGTCGACGGGGTCAGGGTCGGCCTTGGGGTCGGGGTCACGACCGAAGATCTGGGGATCCAAGGGATCCCGTCTTCCAAGGGGTTCCGGGTCTCGCCCGACGATGGCGGGCTCAGGGTCCCGGCGCATGACGGCGGCCGAGACCAAGCCGAGCGAGGCTGGCAGGAGGAGGATGTGAGATGGCTTCATGATGGATGGTGTGTTGGTGTTGTGATGGGAAGATACAATCGAGGGGGGGGAAATGCAGCGTTTTATACTTGAGATTCTGGGAAAGTGCCACGCCGCGTCTCTCCTCTACTGCCCCAACATCCTTATCTTGAGGGATTTCTACAAGCTTCCTTCTTAAGTCGTCCGGAAAGGTTCCTTCCCAAAGGATGGTTAGTGATGCTACTTGCTTCGACCTTAATATTGTCCAGATCACCCGGTAAAGTACAGGTGAGCATGACAATTGTCCTGGATGTACCCAAGGGAAATCTTGAGATTGAGTGGCATACGCTCCAGCTGCAGATATCACATCGTCATCAAAACTTTGCTCACGTCCAAAAGGTCTGGACGACCGAGGAAGTCCCGTCCGCGTTATGTCGCCGTGTTTCGATTGAAAGTCGCATTATCTTTTGAAGCAATTCGCAACTTTCGCAGACCCCCTACTTGTCGTATGATTACGTCTGCGGTCCAACTCAAGCCACAGTATGCCTCAGCCATGCATGGCGACTGCATATCTCGCTTGAGCAATTACGCGGCAAAGTTGGTTTACCAAACGATGCAATCAGGTTCAAACTTACGGTCAGTTAACTCTAAGCCTGCTTGGTCAACTTCAGGGGAAATTGAGGATAATTTACTACGGCAGAAAACATGGCGGGCACAGTGTCGTTGCAATCATAGAAGAGAAGTAACTCTTATTTCTTGACACGCACTCCAATAGTGGCGATATGCTTTTTTGAGACCGGAATAAACTGGATCACTCTCCCGCCTTGGAGCTCCAAGGATGGCATCTCGATGACGGGGCCGTTGTTGTACATATACGTCGTTTTCGTCTCTGACCATCACAGACACGAGTTGAAACTTGGCCACCCACGTTAAAAGACCATTGGGTAAAATGGTCTTCTAACTTCCATTGGACAGGAGACTTCACAAACCTACATCGTAGTGGACCCGCCTTGTAGAAGATGCAAGTGGTGGTAGTGCTGATAAAAGGTGCATTAGGCCAAGACTGCGCTTCAGTTGTGGCTGTAGTGATCGTCCCAGGCTTCATGGCGACAGCGATGCTGCTATGGAAGAGTAAGATACAGATTGCAGGCTGCTTAGCTTTCACCAATTTAGAGGATTCGCAGTACTGGTAGCTTCAAACACGGTGGATTGCTTTGCACCGCCTCGATGGCCACGAAACATTCCGATTGTGCGTGGTGATGCGTGTCGATGCCGTCATATCCAGGTTTAGTAGGACGATTGTGTTTGACATTGCACCAGGAGGTGTTGTGTATTTCTATGCATGATTGGTTATGGCCTGCAATGGTTACATAGTTCATGTGAACGCCATGATGAATACACGCAGTGATTAGGGATGGGTAGATCCGTGGTCAATGATTACAACTAGGCCTGCTTCAAGAAGTAAACCCAACGTGAAGAATGAGAGCAGAAGTAAGTTCTAAAAGTCTGGCATTTCAGAACTCCAGGCCATTCGATCCATGTGGACGTACAAAATAGTCCTCGCTCGAGCATCGAGCTTCCAAAGTATCACTGCGCCAATCCTAAAGCATAATTTTCCCGCTCCTTGCTCCGTTCTCGCCCCGCCATCCCATCCCTAATATAATTGGACCAATCAATCATGAAAAATATGTACACAATATATCAGCCTCCAAATCGTGTCCCACCGTCTCATCATATAGCTTCTCTATCCTTTGCAGCCACTGAGTTGATCAGCCGCTGGTACCGGGCTTGAGTCTCCTGTTCCTGGTCTCGGGGCGGTCTGAGAGAGTGTCCCTCGATAGGTGGCGTTTCTGATTTGCCTTTGGTAGCCCAGAGGACCGAAGACTTTGGTACAATCTTCTGTCCTTGAGCTGGCTCGTCAGGCTTGGGGGTCGAGCCATTTGTCTTGAGCTCTTCTGAGCCGAGTCCATCGTTATCGCCATCCTTAATGGCGCGGGGTAGTCTCATGGCTAAGAGGACGTACTCGGCACGTGTCATGTTGTCCATCACATCATCCATATATCGCCGCACTTCATCTTGCGGAGCTACCACCCTTGCCAGGTTCTCCAAATGTCGGCCAGTCTGCGTATAAAGCCGAATAGTGATGGGTTGGTAGTAGTCAAGCTCAGGGTCTCCCCCGTACTCCGAGGTACTGCCCTTGCGCACAATCAGAAATGATGCTACAACCTGCTGGCCTGAGGAAGTAGGTAGATACTCCAGGATGCTGAATTTGGGGAAGAGATAACGATCTCCGTTCCCGAAATCTAGTACGACGGCCGAGATATCAGGTTTTGGAGTTGGCGGAGGTCCCTTGGAACGTAACGCTTGGGGGTTGTGTTGCGATACAGTTTGGGGAGTCGGAGTCCTCGCATGACCATTCGGAACCCCATTTGGCGTCTGCTGCCGTATTTGAGATGGTGCGGGCGAAGGACGTGGGACAGCTTTCATATCTCGGTGCAACTTGTCGAGAATGTCTTTGAGATCCGTTGCATCGGTGAAACCCGGCCGTCCTTCGGCAATTCGCCGAATCATGTCCTTCGTTCTCAGGTCCTCGAGTGCCGTCCTGACCAACAAAACGACCAGAGGGTCGCTGCGGGGCGGTGGTCGGAGCTCTGACGATTTCTGCATGGGATTTGAGGCGAGGACAATGTCGAGAATAGTTCGGACCTCGTCGGCAAAATACTTGACTGTCCTGCCATCCACAAGGAGTCTGTCTGCGGATGGTCCCTGCTGGCCTCCCCTGCTTCGATACTCGGCATTTAGCTGGTCGATGATCTTTTGAAAGTGCGCCAGTTCTCCTTCTTTAGCTTGGCCTACAGCCACTCTCTTCATCAAGTCGCGAAGCTCTGCGTCTCCAGAAGCTTTTTGTGCGAGTAAAGCAATAACAGGGTCATTCGCTGTGGGCTTCGCAGCAGGCGCAGCAGGCGCAGCAGGAGCCGTTGTAGGAGTTGCCAGTTTAGCTACACCAGTCGTAGGCGTCGCATGCGCACTGATGGGCGGACGCGGAGCTGGCGATGCCCTTGGGGCTGCCATCGGAGCCACGGGTGTTGAGGGCGCTGGAGCTGGGGTAATTCCGGTAGAGTGCGCGGGTGCTGAGACACCGCCATGCGGTGGGGGGTTGGACGGTGCCCGAGGCATTTGGGGAGGCGTTGCAGAAGGTGCCACAGGTGGTCCAGCCACATGTGGTCTCGGTGGGTAACTCGGGCTCAGCGAGGGAGTGGTGGTGTTCGCCAAAGGAGGTGCCACGACTTTAGGAGAGGGTGTCGGAGGAGCAATTTTCTCCGGAGGGGGTCGAGATAGCGACTGTGGTTGTGCTGGAGACTGTGCTGGGCTCTGGGACACCGGCTTTGCAACGGTTGCGCCGCTTAGTGTTGGTGTAGCGGTTGCGGACGCGGGTGCGAGCGGGGGAGGCATCGAGCCGTTCGGGGGGCCATATTGGATGATGGGACGAGGCTGCTGCTGAGGCTGCTGGGCGTGCGGAATGGGCTTTGGCTTTGGGTCCTTGACCACATACATAGTAGCTTCTATCATGTGAGGCTCGATGGTAATGGTGACGGTGCCGACCTTGGACATGCTGTCCTTGGGGGGGTTCTTCGGGTCCTCATTCAGAACACCCTTGCGCTTGTGCGGCTTCGTCCAGTATTTGGCGAAGAGACCGTCGCTGATCCATTTATTCCGAGATCGAGAGAGAGACTCGGCGAGGACACCACTGGTAAACGCGTCTGTCAGTACGTAATCTAGCTACGAAGGTTGAGCTCATGCCCATGTTGCGACTTACCTCTCGCCCACCGACTGATACTCCTTCACTGACAAGTCGTCGGTCTGCGCAACCTCGACGGTAGGCAACGGCTTGCCAGCTTGAACCGACTTGGGCAGCGGTGGTGGCGGGGGCTCTTCAGGCGCCGGGGGTGGTGGCGGGGGAGCTGCAGGCGTCGCGGAGCGTTCTCGAGGCGTGATGTTGCGCTTTTTGGCGACCTGCTCGCTGCGAGCGGCAGCCCGAGCCGGCAGCTTGCGCTTCCTCTCCATGGCAAACGAGGGGAGAGCGGGGAAGGGTCAAAGTGGTCACACGGTGAGCGAGGAGCAAAGCATTATAAGGATGTCATCCAGGAGCGCGTCGCCTGGGCAGGGAAGGAAGATCGAGGCGGGCGAAGAGCTGCTTCGGAACGAGAGGCCGAGGCCGCGGAGAAATCGACGGGGGAGCTGCCTTGGTCGTGGAGCTTGCAGAAGGCCGGGGAGCGAAGGCGAGCGAAGATGCAGAGCGGATGTGAGGGGGAGGAGGAGATGTTGCGAGGTGGAAGGCGGAAGGTGAAGCGAGAACGACAGTGGGAATGGGAACTTTGTAACCGATGAGGTGCGGCGCGGCGGCACCAAGCAGCAATGCCGCCTGAGCCACAGCGGCCAGTGCAGAGCGCGGAGAGAGGTGCAGCGCTGCCAGATGGAGCATGGAGAGAAAGTCAGGGGCCCTGATTGGTCCGGGGCACCTCGAATGGCGCGCTAGGGCGTCGTGCGTAGTGCGTAGTGCGTAATAGTGCGTAGTGCGCCGGGCAATGGAGTGCTGACTGCGCTGCACTGCACTGCAACCAACAGGCACAGCGCAGTGGTTGAGTGGGTAGCTTGACTTAGGTGCCCAGTGCAAGCTGCTCGGATACGTAAACGGCACTTCGGGAGGCCCAACCTTGGGTATTCCGAGAGGAGACGGAGGCCACAGAGCGGCCCAGTGGTGCAGAAAAGACAGTCCACAGGCGCTGGGTCCTCCTACGCTGTGGCCCGTTGGACCTGTAATAGCCTCTGATGGCGCCTCGGTAGGTAAGCCTACCCGAGGAAGCCCAGAGAATGGGGAACACTAGCAAACCCAGTCGCAGGCGCTTGGAGGCAGCGCCCTGGACGGGATATCCATCGCCAACCTAGCCTGCGTCAGCTTATATTTATTCCCATCCTGTGTCTCGATGCATCTATGAAGCTAGCTCCAGGCGAGTCATTTTATTTCCTCCGTCACTGCCCCAACTCGCCGTGGCGCAAGATGTGGCTCTCCGTCTGTCGTCACATCCACCCTGCCGGAGGTGTTGGCGGCTCTGGTCTTAGCGGACGATCCAGACTCGCCGGGTGGGCCTGCACCTGTTACAGCCGCATTTCCCTGCTGCAGACCGCGGCGCGACGCGCGTGCCCTAGCACAAGTACTTCCCCAGCCGCCGCCATCCCCGCGCATCGCAAGGTAGATCTGATCCGGGCAACGGTATCTGGGCCTGGCTTAGCGCGGCACAGCGAACGTCTGATTCAACCTCAGGCCTCGGGCTCAGCGCCGACGGCTGCCCATGACGCGGCGCTGCTGATCGCGGGTGTCTCGGTATCGACTCTCGCCCGCGTTTGCTTTGGTTTCGCTTCGTTGCATGTAAATCAACCTTCGCTCTGAGGCTTCCCAAGTCCATCATGACAGTCCCGCTGCACCCTGCGCTGCGTTCCGCCATCATCGCCGTGGCCGCTCCCCTTGGCTTGTATTGCCTCTTCCTAGGCCTCGGCGTCATTCCATTCTTCCAGAGACAGTACGGAAGCATTCCTCCAGACTTGCCAGTCATTTCTTTCTGACATGGAGGTGATAGCTTCCTGTATGCACATAAGATTAATACCCTGTGGTGGACCGATATCAACAAGCCAGAACAATGGGGCTTTGCCAGTTTGTCCAACCCTCCGTCCCGTCACGCGCAACGCAGTCCATGTTATTGACACACACTGTTCCCAGCCAACCAAGTGACACCATTTTCCCTAGACACGTCTGATGGAGAGACCATCTACGCCTGGCATATATTGCCACTGCCCCTTTACCTGCAGAACGAGGCATCCCTTGCCACTCAAGCGCCAGGTTTTTCAAAAGACTTCACTCAGACAGAGTCGTTTCGTTTACTCAAAGAGGACCCAGAATCCCGCTTGGTTCTGTACTGTAAGCCTAGTCTCGCTTCCTTATTTGTGACAGAAAGCTAATGCCGCAACTAGTCCATGGCGTAAGTCGTGAACATAATTTCAGAATGGCTGTTCCTAATATTTAGTAGAACGCAGGCCACATTGCCCAAGGCTTCCGACCCGATAGTTACCACACCCTGACAGATACCTCATCCTACCACGTCATCGCCATCGACTATCGTGGATTTGGTCACTCCAGTGGAAGTCCGACTGAAGCTGGTGTCATTCACGATGCCTCTACACTCGTCGACTGGGCCGTCGGCGTTGCAGGCGTCCCTCCCAGCCGGATTGTTCTACTCGGCCAAAGCCTAGGAACGGCCGTCGTCAGCGGCGTGGCCGAGAAGTACGCCCTACAAGGTGTCGAGTTCGCCGGCATCACTCTCGTTGCGGGCTTCAGCGACTTGGCGTCCCTTCTCACTGGGTACCGCATCCTGGGTGTCTTCCCCGTGCTGGCGCCGTTCCGTGTTTGGCCGTGGTTGGTGCGCTCGTTCAATCACTTTGTTGTTGACAAATGGCATTCTGCCAATCGTCTTGGCAACATTGTCCGGCACACCAAGACCAGGCTCAGGATCAACTTGGTCCACGCCAAGAATGACGCGGATATCCCCTGGACCGAGGACAACAAACTATTCCGAGCCGCAGCCAACGAGACAGTCGGCATTCTCGACGATGGCGAGTTTGATGCCTGGAAGGAGCAGCGCACTGTCAGAAAAGGGAAGGACGCCTTTGTCACGACATGGACTGCGGAGCCGAATATTATTATCCGACAGGAACTGTTTCCTTATGGAGGTGAGTGGATTCAATTCGGCTCGCTCTTTAAAAATCCGCTAACCAAGGCACAGGTCATAATGACATTATGGGCTACGCGCCCGTTGCGCTCGCCATCATGAGATCGTTTGATCTGCATGGTACTACTCACGCCGATGCGTAGTGGTAAGATATAAACCAGGATAGAAATAGAAGCTCAGCGCATTATTTACCAGAGTCATTGATGATTCATGAATTTAAGTACTATTGCAATACGTCCTAAGTAGGTGCAGATTATACTATCTGATTTGTTTGTAAGATAAGGGAATTATTTCATTTTTTTAAGGGATGTTGTAATTCATAGATAAATATCAGGGTCATGTAGATTCCTCTTCAACATCACCGATTCAGTCATACCCGGTAAGACACAGGAAACTTTCCGTCTCCTAGAAAAATTCCCTCGGGAGGCTAACCTTGGAACCTCTTTCTTGAGATCAACGCAGTAGAGGCCATCGCCGCAGACCTATGCTCGCTGCCAGGACTCTGGCCACCACCAGTCGAAGTATTACAGCGTATTTGGGTTATCCGAGATTGAGTGCTCTGTGGCGATTTTACTCAGTTCTTCATCTCGCCGATGATTTGCCTTAGGCCGAGTAGGAGGAACCCGTGTCTCCCTTGCTCTAGACGAGGTGCTCGTGGCGTTTATCTCCGAGAAAACCTATTCGCAACGTATTGTTCCCTTAGGCCTGTTTTAGAATGTGTCTAGGATTAAATTCTTCCACGAATAAAATCGGGCTTCTTTCAAGGTATCATAATTGGATATCAAAATAGTGCCCGAAAGAGCCTTGGACACTGCTGACTGGAAGTGGATGCTCTTGAAGTCTGCGCCAAGCCCATGTAGTTTTGCTTTCTTGAACACTCCACGCATGTTGCCTAAACTGTGCAAGTGAAGTTTACTAGAGAGAAAAAAGAGTGTTCTGGATCCTTGGTTCAGGAACGGCCACGTGGTAGTGAAGATAGTTCCTGTCTGTAGGTTAGCTACCAAGGAGGTTTGCTTAAGAGAGCCTGTTTGACTGTTTAGGACGAATTTCACAAAATAGTATATAGTTTAGGTATCATTTTTACACGCCTTGGGTTAGTATCCTCGGACAAATTAAGGTCATCTAATTGTCGCACAGTATTAGCACTCAGCCGGGCGCTATTCCCACGACGCAGGTACAACAGAAGACATCGGGCCCAGCCATTCCCGAGTTCCAGTCTCCAACCTCTCTAGATTGTAGACTAGAGTAATGGGCTATATTAACAACTTCTTTGTTGGTAGACTTATGCAGAATTCGGTAGTCAAGTGCCCTCACCTGTCTTTGGGTAGACAGCCCACCAGAACTGGCCGAGCCATTTGCCCCTCATTGCTACCTCTCTGAAACAACGGCCCGAATTACAAGACCTGAATCACCGTCTCGAGTGCTTTATAAAATTAGAATATCTGGCAGTATTCACTGTGGACAGGTCTACCGTAAGAGTCTCGGTGTTGCCTGACCTTGTGGACAAATCACAGCGAGGCCAGGTAATGGTTAATCGAGCTGCTGTCAGTGCAACCCCGCAGTCGTGTGTCTGTGAATGTTACCCCACCAAAAGAGCTCCCGAGTTCTAGAATTCCAGAACCCAAAAGTCGGCCGCGCATTCGCACTCCTCAAACCACGTCCAACTTGCACACAAATTCGCCGCCCACAATGCCGCCCGAGGATTCCAAGCCAGTCGAGCCCGTCGTCGACGACAAGGGCAAGCAGGTCGCCGCCGCCGAATCCGAGTCCGACGACGATGAAGAGCCCACCGCGGGCGACGCCGCTCCCGCCGCCGGCTCCGCCGCCAAGAAGAAGAAGAAGCGGTCGAAGCGCAGCAAGGTCAAGGAGGCCTTGACCGGCAAGTCGTCCGAGGACGGCGGCGCCGAGGCGGACCTGAAGAAGGCGCTGTCGTCCCTGACGCCGCAGCAGATCCAGGAGTTCATCGCGCTCAACCCGGCGCTGGCCAGGGAGGTGGCAGAGAGTTCGGGCAGCGCCAACCCGTCGGCTGACGAGGCCGCCACGCAGTTGCGCAAGATGAACCTGCAGGACATCATGACCGGACTGGCGGCCAGCGGCAAGAATGCAAAGGACATGGGCTCCTACAAGTTCTGGCAGACGCAGCCCGTGCCGCGCTTCGGCGAGGAGGGCCAGCTCGAGGAGGGCCCTCTGCGCCTTCAAAAGGTCGAGGATGTGCCTACGGAGCCTGGCCCGCTGGTCGCCGGCTTCGAGTGGGTGACGATGGATCTGACTAACGACGATGAGATCAAGGAGGTGTATGAGCTGCTCAACGGCCACTACGTCGAGGACGATGAGGCCATGTTCCGATTCAACTACTCCCCCTCTATCCTTCGATGGTACGAGCTCTGTCCCTCCTCTACTAGAGCACTACATCTGTCCTATCAGTCTCACTAACACGATATAGGGCCATGATGCCTCCCGGCTGGAAGAAGGACTACCACGTCGGCGTCCGCGCCACCCAGTCCCGCAAGCTCGTCGCCTTCATCTCCGCCATTCCCGTCAACCTTCGCGTCCGCAACAAGCATGTCATGTGCTCCGAGGTCAACTTCCTGTCCATCCACAAGAAGCTCCGCGGAAAGCGCCTCACCCCCGTCCTCATCAAGGAAATCACCCGCCGCAGCAACCTCAACGAGATCTGGCAAGGCCTGTACACCGCCGGCGTCGTCCTCCCCAAGCCCGTCAGCACCTGTCGTTACTACCACCGCGCACTCAACTGGCAGAAGCTGTACGAGGTTGGCTTCAGCCCGCTTCCCGCCAACAGCAAGCCGCAGTACCAGGTTCGCAAGTATGCGTTGCCCGATAACACCAACACGAAGGGCCTGCGTGCTATGGAGGATAAAGATCTTGATGCGGTCATGAGTTTGTACAAGAAGTACATGGCGAGATATGATATGGTGCCCGATTTCACTCGCGAGGAGGCCTACCACTGGTTTGTGCCCAAGATCGAGCCCAGTGGCGAGCAGGTTGTCTGGACCTACGTTGTCGAGGTAAAGCTGCCCCTGAATCCTGCGACCCTTGCACATTCTAACACGAGTCTAGGACGCTGACAAGAACATCACCGACTTCTTCTCCTTCTTCAGCATCGAGTCCTCGGCCATCGGAAACGCCAAACACAGCGTTATCCGCGTCGCCTACATGTTCTACTACGCCAGCGAGGTCGGCCTCAGCACACCATTCGACAAGTCCACCCTCAAGACACGCCTCAACGAGCTCATCCACGACGCCCTCATCCTCGCCAAGCGCTTCAAGTTTGATGTCTTCAACGCCCTGTCTCTCATGGACAACGCTCTCTTCCTCGAGCAGCAGAAGTTTGGCGCCGGCGACGGCCAGCTGCACTACTACTTGTTCAACTACCGCCTGAACCCCATCGCCGGCGGTGTTGACAGGAAGAACCAGCTCGACGAGAAGACCCTCAGCGGTATTGGCACGGTTATGCCCTAAGTGCAAGCGTGAGTGGTGCAGAAAACAGACGGGACGCAGGGGCGAAGGTGGCAACATCTAGGTTTTGGAGAGATGGGACGTAGAGATTGCAGAAACCCAAGGGAACCAATGCAAAATGAAAATCAATATCTGTACGAAGAGATGAATATCCAACAGTCGACGATGATGACCAATTATATACGCTCGGCCGCGGCCCAGATCTTTAAGACATCCCATAAGCCTCGTGAAACCCCAGTTCCTCTTCACAGCCTGGTTTCTCATCCTGCATCCTCGACTATAGCTTATCCCAAACTCCTAGCCTCTCCTCCAGCAAACCGTTGAGCCACTGAGCCCGCTCCATGGGAGGCGCATGGCCCATGCCCTCGACGATGAGGCCCACGCCGGGCTGCATCACTCGGATCAGGCGCTCGCCGTTAGGCAGGGCGATCATATTATCTCGAGTGCCATGCATAATGAGAAGGCGGTCGCGGCCGACGGCCTCGGCGATGGCGGCCAGCTGCTCGTCCGTCTTGTTGTGCCAGCCGGCGGCCACCAGTTGGCACAGCAGGCCCTTGACCGAGAACTCGTCCGCGTTGCGCCGCTTGACGAGCTCCTGCGCCTGGAAGCGCTGGAAGTTGGAGTCGAACGTGCGGTACTGCGCGCCGGCCCCCGGCCCCGGCGGCGGCGGGATGCACCGGGGCGTCTCGCCCGGGACGGGGAGCTCCTCGGCGTCCGGCGCCGCGAGCCACTCCGGCGTGAAGAGCTGCTGCGCCGTGTCGGCAATGGTGCGCTCCATCGACTTGGGGACCAGGAAACCCATGCCCTCGAACATGGTCTCGGTGAAGGACTTGGAGCTCATGATGGAGCCCGACGAGCAGAGCAGCGACAGCGACTTCAGGCGGTGCGGGATGGCATGGGCGATTTCCTGGGCAATCATGCCTCCCATGGAGATGCCCACGACGTTGATCTCGCGATCGGCGGTCCAGCCGACGTGGTCCACCACCTCGATAACGTCCTTGGCCATCTCGCTCGTCGAGTAGCGCCCCAGCGGCTTGTCGCTCCCGCCCATGCCCCGGTTATCGAGGATCAACACCGAGTACTGGTCGCCGCGGTCGTGGCCAAAGTACTTTGTCTGCCGCTGCCAGGACGCCTTCACGCCGGCGAGGCCCATGACGAGCTGCGCGGCACCCGAACGACCATCAGCGCAAGTCCCTTTTCCAACACAGGCGTCAAGTTTGCACGGAGTCTGGCTCGCGGGTGTAGTCGCCCGCGATGGGGAAACAGAGCATCAACGTACCACGAGCTTGATCGGCCCGGAGCCATGCATCTCCCACGCGATGTTTACAGGCCCACCGCGGTCCTTGGCCGCCGCAACTTTGCCCTGCTGGTGAGGCTCAAGGCCCCAGACCGTCCCCGGATACGCCAGGTGGTTGACCGTCTCCTCCGTCGAGGGGAAATTCTCTTGTCTGCGGCGCATCGCTGGTCAGTTGGCGGTATTCCCGCGACAAGATGATTATACGCCAAAGCACAAACACCCCGAGAATACGGCTGCGAGATAACAATCATAGGAACAGAGAGAGAGATAGGAAATTGTGCGACGCCTTGAGACTTACCCAGTTGCCATGATGTTTGCTTGAGCTTCGGCGTCTTCCCAGTGCGTCCAAGCCGGGGTGCAGGTGACAATTATTCCCCACACGAACGGGACACTTGAGTGGGGTATGAAGCCAACAATTAGCTATTCAGACGTCTAGAATTGAGGGTTATTGTGATTCAAAGACAGCAAAGTCAGGCACAAGTTCAATGGCTGACAAATTTTCTAATCAAAGACGAGGGTTTACATCCCACACCATAAGCAGCATCTCCCACAACACGCGGCGGAGTGTCCTTGGTGGACCGAGGACCGTCCCCAGCGGTGACGTTGCTCCCGCACGTGCCGAGCTATTCCTAGATGGCAGCCAAGACGGGCAGACGGGAAGACGGGTAGACACGCAGGGGGTTGCTTCAAGTTGAAAGGGAGCATGCCTCCAAAATTCCATTTTATTCCATTTTAGCCGGCGAAGTTCTAGCTCCTCGCATTCGCTTATTGTACATCATATACATGGCCCATCGTGTCGTGGCCTCAGCGTCTCTCAGCGTCTCAGCGTCTCTACGCAGTCTCCCCCAGCACCGCACCAGCCCATCCACAATTGTAATTGAAGCCGTCATCGGCACCGTCTATCAAAGAACCCCAACTGTCTGGATCGTCTCTCTCTGGGTCCCTCATAGGGTCCCTTACCTCTCGCCAGCGAGGCGTCTGCCCTGGACCTCGCTCAGCGCCTTGGTTCCGCTGAGAAACGAGACGACGCTAAGGACAAGGACGACGGGCAGGATTTGGAACAGGTTCCACGCGCTGTAGTAGAGGAAGAAGGCGCCCTCAATGGCAATGATGGATCCGAAGAAGACAATGTGCGAAATCGGCGCAGTACCGAGGGCCTTGGGGATGTGGTTGACATTAGCGCCCAGAAAGAGCCACTGTAACACCAAGTTAGCAATTATCCTACCAAATAGGGTGGCATAAACACATACGCCGGTGAACAGAGGGGGGACAGTGCCCAAAACAGCCAGCACGAACACCAGCGAGATGAACATGGGTGGGCTCTTAGCATCTTCACGGAAGATGTGTTGAATCGTGGAGCGCTTGCCGTATCGAACGGGGGCCTTGTAGTCGGGTGTGGGCGTGTTGGGGTCGAGTTGGATCTCGATGTCGAAGACGGGGGAGATGGATCCTTTGGAAGATCCAAAAGAGCCGAGCACGATGCTAGCCTTGAGGGGGGCGTCGGACAGGAGGAGCTGGACAGGGAGGTCCTTCTGGGTCTGAGGACTCGTCAGCACATGTCATTGCGTCGTCTCGGGGTGCGCAATCACTTACAATTTCGACGCTGCCCTTTCCGGATGCCTTGATGGTGAGAGGGTAGGGGGCCTCGAGGCCAGTGGACTCCGACAAGATCAGGAACGCCTGGTGCGGCCGCTTGGCACTGGAACCATCCTTAGTGGTCAACGACACCGTGATGGTATCCTTATGGCCCAGGACGACGGCATTTGCAGCATGCTCATTTGCGCTAAACCTGCAGTGCTCATCCAGTCAGCAATTGAACCCTCCATGTACCAGATCCAGAACGCAGCTAGATGCTTCGTTGCCGCGCGGTGGGGACAGCTTTCGCGGGAGCTCACTTCTGGGTGACGGCGTTGGCCTTCTTGGAGCCGACGGAGACGGACGCGTCGGCGAAGCCCCATGAGGAAGAGGCGTGGGCGGCGCCTGCAAGGAACAGCAGGGACGATGCGATCGAGAAACGCATGGTGGGCGGTGGTGGTGGTGGGAATTTCGAGGGACGAGGCTGACGGATGTGGACAGCTTGGAGAGACCAGATAGTGCGAGATGGACTCCCAGACAGTAGCTCTTGGAGGTTACGTGGTAGCAGGTGGAGCAACGCTATTGGCCGAAGCTGTCTGAAGTTGGTGGGGCCGAAACGAAGTACGTACTCCTCCCGATGTACTGGGCTTCTTGGTGGTGTTCTAGGGTAAGTGGATTTGTCTCGGCAGAAGTACTCGTGGGGATGTTCCACCACTCTCATGAGTGCGCATTGCTGAATCCAACCTTGCTATTGAGCGTCTCTAGTAGATGGATTCAGGATAGGGTGGTGATTTATACGCAATTCAATCGACATATTGACAGGGCGATTTAATCTATCATATTTGTCAGTTCTTGAATTGCGTAAACCACCAATTCTCCATCTCATGTAAGTAAAGTCTATGCAGCCCGCGTGTCAGGAAGCCTCCCAAATGCATCTCGGTCCGTCAAACCTCCCGCTTTCTATTTATATCACTTTGATACTTGAATCTCCGTTGCATGCCCCTTGATCGACTGAGTTTCTTCTTCTGTCAGTTCAATGCCAAACCACTCCTTCAATGCCTGTACCCGCTCCTCCTCCGTCTTACACTCCTGCACCACCTTTGTCTTGCCTCCGGGGTTCTCCTTGACCACGTCGTCCACCAGCATCCGCTTGCCGTACACTTCCTGGCCTCCCGCCGCCGTGGCGCACGGTCGCCGGAGGAACTTGACGACCAGCACCGTCCATGTCTGGAAGCTGCGGGGACTCGTGCTGGTGAAGTGGTTGCAGACCTCAAAGTCTGCCGGAAGCCACTCCACGGCGTGGCTGAAGGCGTAGTAGCTCACCCACGGTTGGTCGGGCGAGTTACGGCACTGGTAAATCCACAGCCGACGGCCGGGCGTCAGCTCCGTCTGGCCCGGGATGAAGTCCTTGATGAGCCGGGCATCTTGCGTGCCCATGTTGCGCCACTCGGAGCCTTCGACCAAAGCCATCGGCTGCGTGGGGCCGTCCCCGCCGAAGCTGACGTCGAGCACCCACCGCGAGTTGTCAGCCAGTGTCACAATGTTGACAATGTGAACCCTGATCAACGTTAATTAATATTGGTGTTTTGTGAGAAAAATGAGACAAGGAGACCAACCAGCCGGGGAATGGCCCATACGGAACGCCGTCCTTACGCGGCCGCACCCGGACACCGACAGGATACACCTGAAAACCCAGCGCACGCAGCATGTGAGTCAGCAGGATGCTATTCTCCATGCAGTAGCCGCCACGCCCGCGACCACTGGCGATGAGCTTGAAGTACACCTCCTGGGGATCAAGCGTGATGCTCCGGTGGTCGGAGTAGTGAAGCAGCAGGTTCTCGTAGGGGATCCCAGTGATCATGTGCTTGTGGATCGCGGAGAGGAAAGCATGGTCTAGGATGGGCTCGTTGCCGATGTAATACTCAGCCGGTATCTTGAGGTGAGAAAGGAACTTGGCTACCTGGGCCTCCGAATAGATGTGAGCCATGGTGTCGTCAGTTAGGCGGTATCTCGAGTGTAATAGTGCTCTTATCACCCAGTGATGGTCAAGGTATTTAAGCGTGGGTGTAACGCCAACGGACCGGGCAACCTCGATTCAGAGCGACCACCAAGTGAGACGAGAAGATGAACAAAAGATAAAACAAGAAAGAAACAACCGAGTCATGAGTAGAGCCCGCGAAGTCAGGTCATCTTAATCTAGAGTCCGTGGTATGTCCCGCAAGGCCGCAAGGGGCCCATGAGATGAGCGTCCCGCCCCGGCTGCCGGGCGTGTCAGAGAAAGGGCGGTCCGAGTGTGCGAAACGCATGTACATGAACTGCGCCCTCCGGGTATCCAGTCGTAGAAGGCGGCAGCTGCACCAGCAGCCAATCAGTGGAATTCTGGCGTTTACTTCGGGAGCGTGCGTATATTCGGTATCTTTGTCGGCTCATTTAGTCTGGCGGTTGGCGTCTAATGACGTCTTAGCTCGATGTTGCGGACCCGGAATAAATGCCTCTCGCTGGACGCGCTCCACGAGGGCTATCGTGGGGTATTCAACGGTGCTCATGGTTGGTCTCAGGGGCGGCGAGAGGTTGAATCGCATGCGTGACACCGAAAGCCACGAGGCAGAGGCCAGAGTGCATGTGTACAGTACTGAAGGTGTGTGTGGGTGCTTATCATTTGTTGCTGTAGACACCGATTTGGCCACCAACTGTTGCGCCAGTCTCGACGGTAAGAACCAAGAAGCAATACTTCAACCTCCGCCCATACAGCAAATCCTCACGATACCCGACCCGCTGATGCATATGACTCTATCTGTATAATGACATTTGTCCACCTGAACGCCAAATCTCCGTTAATCATTCGCCTTGCTTGATCCAATTCATAACTCCGTCCGTTGGCTCGTCGTCTTCACCGTCGCGCTTCTCTTCGCCTTGGTCACCGACAGCTTCGGCATCTGATCCTGGATCCCCATCCACTCCACCACAAACGCCGTCGTGATCTTCGCCCAGTCGCGCGTCGTAGGAAGATCCAGATGTTCACCATCGTCCTCCATCTTGTGCCACACTTTGGGGAACGGTGAGGGGATGATGTGCAGGATGTCAACGCCACGCTCCATGAACGGCCTGTGGTCATCATCTACGTAGCTGCGAGTAAAGCGGCTGGCCTCCTTGTCTGATTCTGGTAGGAAAGGGCTGGCGGGGTTGGCCTCGAGGACGCCCAAGTCACGCATACGCTTCTCGAGCAGAGCCATGGCCCTGTAGGCCCAGTGAGTCGTCAGGAAGTATGACGGGACCCTGGGCTCTGAGGTTCCGAGAAGGTCTAGCAGCAGGAAGAGGCTGATGGAGTCGAGAGGCGTTCTGTAGGTAGACATGGAACCGTGGAATTGCGAGTCCCAGTCTTCGGCAAGTGCTCTAAATAATTGTTAGCAACTCTCCCTTGCTGTCGTACAAGTCGTTTCATACCTCGCCCCGTACAGGGAATCAGTGTCCGTCCAGTGCAAAAAGGCCTCCTCGCCATCTAGGAAGAGGATCTGAACCCCCTTGGGCTCGTCCAGCCCATCGTCCAACTCCCACTTGGCCTTGAGCGCTTGCTCGATGCTCCTCGCCACATGCATGAGCATGGCGCATGGCGCCGCACTGTCGGTTGCGCCGATAAAGCCTGTCGGCTCGTATTTGCTGTCATAATGCGCGACCAAAGTCAACCGGCCGACTTCGCCTGGGTTCGAACCGGGGGGATCTCGGCGGAAGATCAAGTTGGAGAATGGCACGTCCTTGTCGCCAGTAACGGGCGTCTTGGACGTCGTGTTCTGCCACTGGATGGTCCACTCGGGGAGGTTGTCGCGGAAGAAGTCGACGAAGTGCTGCTGGGCGCGCAGCGAGCCCTCGGTGCCGGCGACGCGGGGGATCAAGATCGGGGCGAGCAGCTTGCCATTCTTGATGTTGAAGTCGTCGCCCGGCGAGGGAATGTTACGCAGGTCATCGTCGGTTAGCGTCATGGACCGAACAGCCGGGGCGAGGAGGGCGAGGAGGAGGGCGAAGACGGAGACGAGGATCGCAGATGGAGGCATTCTTGCTGAGGTTTGTGGCTATCACTGGGAACAAATTGACATTCTCGTGGGTACGGCGCTAGCTCATTCCGCCCGCCGCTACGCAATCAAGTCAAGCAGAAGAATATGCTAGAAGATAGGAAGCAAGCGTCGGGTGGATGGATGTACGGATAGCTGTTGAAAAATGGTGGATTCCAGCGACGGACGGAGGCGTTTGATGGTGGTTGAGTGGATGCGACTGACGTCGTGGCCTCTTCCAATGATCACCAGCAGCCCCTTGTGTCTCCCCGTGCCAGTTCATTAGCGGCTCGCAGCCAGGACGTGGGCAACTACACGCTAGGAGATAACGCTTCGTTAGTGGTTGCAACCCCCACAAATCCAGGTCCTTCAGGGGTTCCAGGCACTAAAGCTTAAATGGTCTCATGACATCTCCGTTGCTCATTGTGTGAACTGGTGCTATGCTCTCTCTGGCGACGGGTGAAACCTGGGATAGGGCCATGGTAGACTTCAATATTGTTAGTGAGTTTTAAACACATCGCATAGTTCGAAAAGGCTTTTAAAACGTCCAATACTTGGTTTGGCGGGCATCATGGTTTGGTTAGTCGTGATCTCCTTCTCATCGGGAAGGTATCCCATGAGACCACGCTGAACTTGCCTAGGTACCTACGGTTGAATCGCTCGGCGCCAGGAAATCAACTTATGGAGACTCTACGCAGAATGGTGTTTGAAACAGCAGCTCGGTTCTTTGGGACGACTATAAGCAAATATCACGTCAACGCCAATTCAAGAACAATTCTTGCAGTAGCATGAAGCTAAAATGACATCCGCTTTGTGCATGCCCACAAGGATCCAAAAATGTAGATTTGTAACACACTCAAGCCAAGGTACCTTATGCTCCTAGCAAAATACACGGGGGAAGTAATAGGAACTAAAACCTCCCTGGTGTTTAGGGAGAATGCCTAAGACCTGCTGCAATTGAAACTGCTACATGGTGCTAACTGCTACGAGGAAGAGATGTGTGAGTGACTGAGGATGCTGCCAAGAACATGTTCAATCCTCGTGGACTGCCGTAACAGTAAAGAGAAATACAAATTTCACATGCCTTTGCTATGCTTGTGGAGGAGGCATGGAAATAAGCTTACAACAACCAAATGTATCCGTATACCTGGAGCCAATCGCCACAGCAATGACGTGTAAGACATTGATCTGCACACCGTTTTCATTCAATCTCGTCATGCTCAACATCCATTCTAAAATATCACAAGTTAAGTAGGTGATCAGCAATCAACTTTCCATTACAGTGGTTACGTTAGGTTCATCCTCGCTCACGACGCAGAGCGCCTAACGCCGAAATCTTCAACCCCACAATGGATGGATTTCGGCGATAGGAGAACTCACCCTGCTACTCGGCCTCAATCATATGTCGAGTTGGAGAAAATAACTAGACTAGCGGGGTATTTCCATGTTCGGATATTTCGGGTTCAGCGTATGGTACTTACACCACAGTCGACGTTGCGAGTGTTTCCGATGTTACGACGCGCGTGTAAGCAATGCATGAGCGTTGCGCCAGTGCCTATATAAACCCTTTCTCCGTGACCAAAAGAGGCTTTCTTCTCATCGTAATTCCTTTGACCATCTAAGGAGACACAATCAAGAAGGCCTCCATTCCATTTCTCAATTACATTATATCACAAAGCACGAAGCCGCAGTTCGGATACCTTAACATGGCCTCCCCAATCCCCGTCTGGTTCATCACTGGTGGTAGCAGCGGCTTTGGTCAAAGCATCGCGATGGAAGCCCTCCGCCGAGGCCATCATGTCGTCGCCACCGCTCGTCGCTCCTCATCTCTTACCGCCCTCGCTGAGGCTGGCGCCCAGATCCTGGACCTCGACGTCACCGCTACGGAGGACGTCATCGAGGTCAAGATGAAACAAGCTCATGATTACTACGGTCGCTTGGACTACATTATTAATGCTGCGGGTTATGTCCTTGAGGGAGCTTGCGAGGAAGCTTCGTGAGTTCACTTGAGCTCCTCTGAAGTTAGGAACGCACTAACAAAATGAACAGGGAAAAGGAGGTCCTCGACCAGTTCAACACCAACGTCCTCGGCGCCATCAAAGTCACTCGAGCAGCAATTCCTCACCTCCGGGCTCAGCGCTCTGGCGTCATCGCACACTTCGGCTCCCTCGCTAGCTGGAACGGCAACCCGGGGACGGGCTTCTACAACTCAACCAAGTGGGCCATCAGCGGCTTCTCCGAGTCCATGAGCGCGGAGTTGGCCCCGCTGGGTATCGCGACTACCTGTATCGAGCCGGGCATGTTCCGCACGGGGTTTCTCAACGCCGGGCGTCGGATCGGCACCGAGCGCCGCCTGGGCGACGTGTACGGGAAGGTGGAGGAGGTACGCGCGTTTCTGGATGAGAAGAACAATAGTCAATTGGGGGACGTCGAAAAGGGGGCACGGGTCACAGTTGATGTGTTGACGGGAACAGGCGTGGGCGAGGGCAGGACAATTCCTGTGAGGTTGGTGTTGGGATCGGATTCTTTCAATGTGATCAAAGGAAAGTGTGAGAGTACCCTCAAGCTGTTGAAGGAGTGGGAGGATATTATTGTGTCAACCGATCATGATGACATGAAATAATATTGTAGATAGTGGAGAAGGCAGCTGGTCCACTGTATGCTTGTTAAGGCTCGGTATCAGACGCTGTAATACTGTTGAAGGGACCAGGCGTACATACTACCGTATCGACCCCTTCCCCTACTTATTGCTTTCGGGCTTTATTACACCTAATGATTTAGGAAATCCAAGCCTCACAACTTATAGCTTAGCCTTAGTCCATAAAAACAGGGCCAATTTATCGAGTCGATATAGTATTGTCCGTTCTGTTACACACCGACCCCCAATACATGCGACAACAATAGACAAACCCCACTAACGATCATAGGTAAGTTTTTATCTATTAATTCTTACTTTCAGTGTAATTAATTTCGTCTTGGCGATAAAATTTCTCGACCCGGAAGCGTTATTTTTACCAGAATCCGCAATTATTGTGTAGTTCTGTAGGAATTCACCATAAACAGAGGCGGGCGATTTTGGGACTTGGCATCCCAGATTCAGGCAAAGGAATGGGAGATTATTGTAAATGAGGAACGGTTTACCGTGGAAGAACTGGGAAATGATGGGTTCAGGTTCCGGGGCCAGTTTATGGCGCTCGTCATCCCATTCTTGGGGGTACGAAATTTGCCTGGCCCGGTGGAAGGATGAACTTGAAAATACCAGCGTCTAGACACAAGGGTTAATCAATACAATACAGCGTTCTAATTCCGGCATGTATATTCGGTTATTTAAAAATTATCATCTGCTCCACTTTAACATGGACCTACATGTCTATCTTGGGATGAACAATGTCCAACACCGAGATAGCCAGATCGTATCCAACATATATAGGCTTGAATCAATGGTTTCCGCCAATGCATCATGCTCGTTCAATTCTATTAAAATCAATATGTCATCATTCCCACGGGCTCGCGCTGTCTTGCGCGTCTCTGGGCGCCAGAAAGAATGCGCGTATAAATGGAAAACCCAACGCCCATCATGCAATTTCCCTCCGCCTGTGATGGAGATCCGCTTTAATCTGGACCCGCCTCCCAGAACTGAGATGCTCCGATTCTATAGGTTGGTGTTCAAACAGGCCCGCCCTTTGCCGTTTCCATTCGTCTGTGCCTCCCAAGTTCCTCTATAGTATCATGTCGTAAAACGGCCAGGTGGGCGAGGATATGTATGTCGTGTCCCGATATTAATGGAGCTTCGTAGCGTCGCGAGCCAGCTTGTTGGCAACCTGCTTCTCCTTAGGAATGGTGAGGGCGTTGATGCCGAGATATTCGCAGATGCTGCCCACAACGAGGAAAGCCCAGCGGAAGTAGACAACAAGAGCAAAGAAGAAGTAGCCCCACAGGTAGTTCAGTTCGAACCGAGCGCTAACCTGAGAGAGGCCAAATCGGGGCAGGTTGCCGAGAATAGCACCGCCGACGAGAGGCCAGAGCATGACAGTCCAGTAGGGGAAAGGCTGGTGCGTCAAGTGGGCGAGGATCATCTTGGTTGTCATGCGACCAAAGACGAATGCCAAGGTCAAGCAGAAGAGCATAAGATGGTTCTCCTCCATGAGCGTGCTGTAAGGAGAGAAGACCCACAGACCAATGGAAATGGTATATACGGCCATAGGAGTCCACTCAAGAAAGACAGGGGCGACGGGGAGGCCGTTCTTGCGTCGCGCCTGGACGACGTTGTACACGCAGAAAGGGATCTGGGTAAAAACGAGAGAGCCGACGATGAGGCTGATCCAGATGTCTCGGAACGTGGTCTCACCGAGGAGATTGGCCAGGCCGGGCAGGTGCTCGCCCAGGAGGTGGTTCATGGGCTGAGTCCAGATCCCAGGACCATAAATGCCAGACATGATCATGACCAGGCAGGCAATGAGCAAGCCTTCGGTGGGACCGTTGATAACGCCCAGGTAGAGTGTGTGTGTATGATAGGTTTCCCAGGTCGAGAAGAACATGGGGAGGCAAGGACACAGCGCGGTGAAGACACCGGCGTGGGTGGTTCCCAGACCCATGGCGGCCGTCTCGAGCAAGCTGGCGAGAGTGCAGTTGAGCGAATCGATACCGTGGTCGAAGAGTTCGCCGAGACCGCTCGAGGTTCCCGTTCGGCGGGCTTGTTTGCCATCGACATTGTCCATGGTCTGGTACATGAACAGTCCGAAGGCGAAGCTGAAGTAGATCCATGATGGTCCCTGTAACATGGGCGATGCTGTTAGCATTTTCGCATGCGGTCGGTTGAGTGACGTCAACGTACCGGTCCAACCAAATCTGGCATGAAAATCTCGAGTAGTATGATGTTACCCAAGATGAAGCAGAACCCGAGGAGGGTAACCATGTTTGGCGCGAGCCATAGCGGTAGCAGCTCGACGAAGGCGTTCCACTGGGAGAAACGCGCAAGGTCAGCGGGAAGGTCTCATGAGGCAGGCGTCCAGTGGGACGACGGAGCGGGAGCTGCGGGAGCGAGCTCAAGTGCGTCTGGGAGGAGGTGGACGTACAAAGGGGCCGAGGACGTATTTCGAGACCGGAGAGAGGTCGACGCTCGAATATTTGTACGTCTTTAGATGGACAAGGGCATCGTCCGAGATGCACTCGGCAACCGCGCTCTCTGTTGGAGACAGTCGTCAGCCACACGATCTCGTACGTCATCGGGAGTCGTAGAACAGAGACACTTACTAGTATTGGGAGCCATGTTCCTACCGCTCGGGTTGGACGAGGTTGGATTGAATAGCGGTAGTGTTTCGCCTCCAGACATGGTGGGAGGGGAGGGGCCGGAGGGCGGAGGGGTCTGCGAAGGGAAAACGGGGACCCTTTAAAGGCGTCAGGGGAAGCAAAGCTACGCTGCACGGCGCCTGGCGCTGCGCTGTAACGGGATGACGGTGTGCGGCGCGGCGCAGGTTTGACACACTCACACAAGCGCGGGCTGGGGAAGGGAAAAAAGAGGAGCTTGTTGCAACAGTGTTGGGCGGTTCAGCCTTCATGCAGCGGTCTCGATCTGCCTTGTTTTTCGGGGGTTTGCGTGAAGGGGGCAAAACTGGTTGAGATGAGCGAGCTCTGGCATTGGTGTTTTGGGAAAGGCGGTGCGTCAGCCCCCTGCAGCCGCGTGCGCTGCGACCCACTGAAGACCGCGAGGCCACGGATCTTTCAAGGGACCACGCAGTGCGTTGCTCCAGTGCAGCTGGGACACAACCGGTTGAAGACTCGAACTAGACGGTGGCTTTCAGTCCCCGACCAAGTCATAGATTACCGGACCGGGGGGCGGTCAACGGCCAAGATTAGCGCCTGTCCTGTCACCATTCAGAGGGCGTCCTTGGAGCCTCCCGGAGCCCCAAGATGCCCACTATGGGTTCAGCCAATGCTGCTGGGCGAATAGCTACACAAGACCTGCAGGCGATGCCAGACATTTACTCAAACTCAACTCGACTGAAAAATTTTCAACTTTGCAGCTAATCTAATTATCAATATCCCCCCCAGAAACTGAGCCCCGCTACCTCTAATGATCCCTCACGGCATATCCTCCAGATGTATCAACCGCGTTATCCCCGAGACACTGTCGTCACAAGAGCCACGAGCGCCACAAAGGCAAGACATGGCTCACGAGGGCAACGGGTAGCTCACGACAAGTGAGCACATGAGACGTTTTGTCCGTCTGGCCGACGTGGATCGATTGGTTGCGATTTGTTGGGGGCCGAGGATCCTTTCGTGCATAATGGCATGTGCCTGTATCCACGGAGCCAGCGCTATGGATGCAAAGGCGGTAGGGGCTCCATTCCCCATTCGCGGCGAAATCAGGGGAAGCGGGTATGCTGAATCGCCAGTCTAGTTAATCCGGACGGCGACCGTAGTGCCGACGTAGGAATGCGTTGCAAGGCTGAACGATGACAACCCGAATTCCACGTCATTTCAGATTCACATACAATCTTCACAATACACAGCCATCAAGCTTTGGCCAACAAGGTCCAATATATTATTCCAACCCTTCAAAGTAAACCCCAACTCGACTTGGAAATGCAAACTGACGTCTCAGAGGTGGGTCGCAGGTCTCGTGCCCTCACATTTTCTTCCTCCATCTGTTCTGTTCTGTCTCCTTGGTCTCCGTCTCAAATCATTCTCCCCATCCATGCTATTCTTCCGGGATTATTAGGAAGGGATATGCGAATCCCTATAGTCGAACAAAAAACAATGCTTGAAAAGATTATGCCCATCCACCAACACCCAGACGTCCAAGGCTCTTAAAGGAATGAATCAGAAGACACGCGAAAAAGATGCAACCAAATCAATGTGTTAGGTCATCCACTCCCTGAGCGAATGACGGAGCGAACAAGCCGTATAGCTGCTTATAGCAGGGCGAATCCAACGAACATGCTGCCCATAACGACAGCAAGACCCCACTTGCGGCCGGCCTCAAGAGCAGTAGCCGATCCGGACTTGTCGCTCGAGCTGGAGCTGGAGCTGGAGTCGGAGCTGGACGAGTCGGAGCTGCCGTCAACTGAGGTGTAAACAGTGTCGGCGTCATCGGTGGCCGAGGCTGTCGCCTCGGCACCGGTGGCGGAAGCTGTCTTGGTGATGTTGTACTTCTTGGGGTCCTGGGCACCGCAAGGGTGCTCCTGACGGCACGCCGAAGCGCAGTTGTTGTTGCCGTTGCAGTCGGTGACACACTGGTTGCCCCATTCGGTGCACACGAAGTAGGGGAGAGATAGGGAGTATTCGGAGACGTTGGGCTGCTTGCCGTTGCCGCAAATGCAGCCGTAGGTCAGAGATGCCTGAAGATGATGAGTTAGACGGTACGCAGAATCAGGTTGGCGGATGGGGGGACATACAGGATCACAATCATTGACCTTGGTGGTTCCGTCACCAGTTTGTTGGCAGATGAGGGGGCAAGTGTACTTCTCGCTGGCACACCAGGCCTCTGATTCACCATCAGTCTCTACTTCTTCGTCTCTTCCATTGTTAGGAGCTAGACAACTCACGTCGCTGGGACAGAGGCACGCTGTCGGGATCGATCACGTAGTCGGCCTGAGCAACGGCAACGAGAGTGGCGGCGACGGCCAGAACAGTGGAGCGGACGGAAGGCATGGCGATGTGGTGGAGGAATTAACGGTTCGAAGAGGTGTTAAGGTGAATGATCCGAGTATCGTGAGGAATGGGACGAAAGACTGTAGATCTCGGTGGTCAGCGGGGTGCTCTTGAACTGGGATTTGGCCTGTCAAGTATTTCAGGACGCAACAAGTCTGAGGACGGTGCAGGTAGTCATAGAAGGTTGGGTCGGTATGCAGTATGATCCCCAGGACAACAGCACATTTGAATGCGGGCTTGGGTCGTGTGGCGGGTGGGTTCAGGGTCAACTCACACAATTATTATGGGTGGGCGTTTGTTTGTATGAACGAAGGTACAAACAAGACGGCAGCGAGAGATGAAAAAGCAATCCGCAAACGAATGTCGGAGGACTCAAGCGAGAGGAGAAGTGGAGGATCAAGAGATGGCCGGATACACGGGAAGAGAGAGGAGACCGGGAGGAGAGAGGAGGCGACAGGACGGAATAGCCTTATGCAGAAATGAGCCAGAGCCGGGGCTGAGACCCGCGGCTGGCATTATCACGACCACCGGTGACTAGCAAACCAGCAACATCAAACAGGCTTAGCCCGTGGCCGAGGCACAGGCAGCGTAGCATCGCAAGCTCTGGGCGTGCTGGGCCGTGGCCCCGTGAGGCTCGGGTAGGATCCAGCCTGGGCGGTACGACCCACCGCTCGGCGCGATGCGAAGCTAGCTTTGGCCAGGGATCGCTAGGCGGAGGTGCTACTACATTATACAAAGTACGGATTTGTACCATAATTAATTACATGATATTCAGCCCGTAGGCCGTAGGGAGCTTGCATAGGTACAGTAGCTACCTATGTTGGCGCAGGTTGGCTCGCCGGGCTAGCAATTTGGCGTGAGCGCCAGCATGGAGCTTGGAGAGCTTGCGGACGCCACTGGTGTGTTGCTGGCGTGCATCTCCAATTTCCAGGCAAGCCAAGCCGCTCCGAGATGGGCCCTCGGGGAAAATGACCGCTGACGGAACTCATTTTGCATCTGCCATTGGCGTTAATTGCTACATGCCGTTCTTGTTTTTGTTGCCGTTCGTTGTGATTGTCTCTCCCCAGATTATTGGCTAGTATGTCTCAATAGGTCTCACTACCGCGAATCAACTCGGACAGTTCTCTCCACTACAATGCCATCATCGGCTACGTCGGGTGATAAGCTCGGCCAGGTCTCCATCTCCCCGTCCCACAGACCACATCCAAAATGATCGTATTCCCGCTCGCCTCCCATCTCCTCATTGCCTCGAATACAGCACCTCCAGCACCTAGCCCTGGGCTGTCGCAGGTGTTTCGCCGGTCGGTGGCGCCCACGGCTCAGGCCTCGATTACAGGTCTCACTCCGCCCGCGGGCGGTCGGCCTTTCTCGTGTAATGTATTCATTGGTTGTGCATGTGCAAAACAAAACACGGCCGTCTGAGAGGTTGAGAGGTCACTGCATTGAGTAATGACTGCATCATCCAGGCCGGGCCGCGACACGACACTTCGCATATCCCACTTGTCCGTCAGCAGTTGGTGGAACTTAGTGCATCGTGAGGGTGTCCCGCCTCCGACCTTCCGACCCTCCGCCCCAGCATTACGAGCCCACCCCATTCCTGTCAGAAGAGTTACTCCAGCATAGGCGGTGCGGCAAAGCAGGTGAGTGGCCAATTGCCCACTGTTGACTCCCGCAGAGGCAGGTCGCCAGGTGCGAGCTCGTATTTCTTGCATATGATGATAGTAGTGCCGAGAGTCCGCGCGATGCACGAGAGCAGTCGTGGGTCTGATCATGTTTGTGCACTGAACCAACCGGGCTGACTGAAAGGTGACGCCGAGACGACTCTGACGGCAATAATTCCGGGCGGTAGAAGCCGAGCACACTGATCGGCCTCCTTAATAAGGTTACTGCACTAATAGACAAGGGATCGGTTGAAAGTGCGGATGGCAGAGTAAAAGGAGGCGCCGCCTACTAAGTAGCATGAGTCCGGGGTCTGAGGGGGAATTGTCCAGGGTCTACCTCCGTGCCGTCAAGTAACATCGCAAGCATCAGGTGGGTGGATGAATGCCAAGCTTTCCAAGTCTCCATGGCAGTCCAGACTCACGTAGCAGGGGCTGCTTATGCGGTCCAGGGTCGACTGCAGGAGGCGTGCACAACTCACACCTAGAGGCACGGCTTGGGTAGCCAGAGGACAGATAGAACAAGTGACAATATAGATGGGTCTACTTGCTTTGACTCACCTGGCTCAATACATTGGCCTAAAAGTTTGGATGAACGAGAAGTCTCAAGATAGAGATTATAGAGCCCAACTACATTAATGGCTGGCATCCCGTAGACCTGGTCCTTGTGTAGGTAGTCATAAGCTTGCACCACCAGGAGACCAATCCCACCGCGTCCACCCATGGCGAACCACTCCATTTATTGTCTTACGATAGGCCCTCCCCGCTCCTTAGTCGGCATTCCCTTCCGTTAGGCTCAGGACTGCAAATATTATGCTGGGGCATATCAGTCGACTCTATAGATATGAGAGGCAAGCCGCCCCGGCCGAGAAAAAGATCCTGTACGCGGATAGATGCCCAAATCTTCGAGACATGGCCCCACCTGGTGGCACACAGAGAGGTGCATAGCGCCGGATCTTGTTGGCTCACCTCCCTTTGAATCCCCGTGGAGGGCCGTGTCGGTTGGCCTGACGGACGGCACGGCACGGGTGCTCACTCGGGGGCCGGAACGGGCATTCGCAGATTGATGGAGAGGCCGTCATCGGAATGCGGCGGCCGGGATACCGGCGTGGATGCCACGGCGGCAGTAGTATGTGCACAATCTTCCCACGGGTACGGGATGTCACGGTAGGAAAGTCGTGAATATCCACAGTAGCATCACCGGCAACGCACCTAACCCGACATGACAGCAGAACTACCGGTAGGCAAGTCACCAATTGGAAAATAGCATCGGCATCGGTATCCAACAGCGCCCGATCAACGTTATTCCAATCCAACGTCCCGCTCCCCGGAGCAAGCCAACGCCGATGCGTCGAGTTTGCGCCAGCCAGTGGGGACGGGCGGGAGCCAGCCCAAAACACGTTCCTCCTCCGGGACGCCGCCCGCCCCTCTTCCGGCCGAAAGAAGCATGATGCCGACATTCTCAACGCCGGCCTTCTTTTGCATCACCTCAAAGCTTTAACCACGCCATCGGTTGCTCATCCGCGTATAGCCAGCCGCGCAGCCCTTCCTTCATTGGCCTTCATTTCCAGACACGTTATTACAGTTGACGTGCACCCTGTCCCTCCCCATCACGCTCCCTGCGCAGCGATATCGAACCCCTTGGTGATCCAATCCTTCCAACTCGCAATTCTTCATCACGGACGTCAACCGCCACGACTATCAAATTCCATCATTCTTGCCAGCAGCAGCAACGACAACATCTCCGTCGACACCACAGTTCCTCGGGGGACTCAAACGATCATCCTACTCCCACCCCGTCTCACACCAGACCCCATCCGCCTGGGCATCAATCGCAACACACCACCGGCCGTCCCCTCGTCCGCCGCGTGCGACTCCGATCTCCGAATCCTTCGAACCCACATGCCCTTTCCACTGTCGCATGGCTGAATGGCGCCGGCGGTAGATCGAGAGCGTGCCAATGGCAGTTGGACGGGCACCGCATCTCCCGCGAGACCGTCCGATATCCCTTCAGCGTCCGTCGAGGAGTTCCACACCCCGCAGTCGTCGCTGCACAATGAGGCGCCCATCAGCATCAACCACCGCGACGAGGAAGATGCCGTCTCTCCAGTCGTGTCCCCCAGCTCCGTCACATCTCCGCCGTACTGGGTCAACTCGCATGGTCACCAGCGCAATATCTCCAGCGTATCCGTCGAATCCATCCTTCCCGCCGGAGCCATCACCCTCCGCGACAACGAGATAAACGACTACAACGACCGCAACAATGCCTGCTGGGCCAAGAGCGTCGAGATAGCCGACTACACCATCGTCAACGGCAGCGCCACCAACATCGGCGCTTTTGTTGTGTGGAACATCCGTGTCGAGACTCTCCATGTGGGTACTCTGCCAGCGAGGTGCAAACTGGGGACCGAACAGTATGACTAACCAACCACCCATATTTTTAGGGAAGTTACATGAACATCCGAAAACGGTATTCGGAGTTTGATGAGTTTCGACATCAACTAGTTTTGACCTTCCCCGGGTTCGAGGCGGCAGTTCCGGAGATTCCGCCCAAGAGCGTCATCTCCAAGTTCCGACCCAAGTTCTTGGAAAAAAGACGAGCTGGTCTCCAATATTTTCTCAAGTAGGCATCTCCTCAATATTGACTTACCGGATGTATGCTTACCTGATCTTCAGTTGTATTCTCTTGAATCCAGAGTTCTCCGGCTCGCCGGTTCTCAAGGATTTCCTCTTTGCATAGCGGCTGCATTCCCTTCATGACTTCACTGGATATAGTTCACTATCGGCCCTCAGGGAGGGCTCTTTTTGTACAAACGACATGCCAGTTTCTGCCTCGTCAATAGGCAGCAACGCTAATGATAATGCCTTGGATGACGCACATATGCGCCTCACTGCTGCTATTTTCGTACATGGTTCAATAGTCAAACTCGTACAAGACATATGGATTGCTGTCTTCCTCTCGTACTTTTCTCCTTTTGCCAAGCCGGCTCTGTGGTCCGCCGCCAACCCTCAAGCGCATGTTGGTGGGTATGCCTAGAGGGCTGAGCGGCGTCTCACACAAGCCGCCATATTCCATTCATTCCTACGCGCGGACCTATCGAATCTGCAACTAGAATTGCTTACGCAGTGCCAATGCTGTTTGCCGCGATGCCAAGTGCCGGCTTTCCGTGACAAGATACGGGACATGGCTGGGCGGTTGCCTCCTTGCGTCATCCGCGTCCATCATAAGAACGAATAGATCCGACACAGATTTACTAGACAGCAGAAGGCGAGGAGAGCATAATGACCTGTTTCATGCCCTGTTTGATCGGTGGCAATTATCAAGTAACTGCTTTAAGCGTTTGATGGTCTCGCATCGTCATACGCCGCGGATTCGCTCCAGGCATGACGCAACTCGAGCTTCTAGAAGCCTGCTCCTTGCCGGTTTTGGCAGAGACCAGTACGACCCCACCATCACGACACCCCCTGGGGCGCGCCAACTCACAGATGTCCGTCGTCGCCACTTCATCATCGACTGTTTTTCGCATTCCACGCAGGACAAAGGAATACATGGATTCCCTAGTTCCTCCAACGGCGGACGGCTTCGACCGTATCGCATCCGTGCAACAGGGACACGAGGACGAACAGAAGCGCAAAGCCCGAGAGCTCAGGCGCCAGTCGCTAAAGTCGCAAGCGCAAGCGCAACATGAGCGCAACGGGAGCTCATCAAGCGGTGGTCAGGATGAGAGGGCGCAGGCTGCCCGGTTGATCCAGAAAACCTTTCGGGGGCATCGCGCAAGGCGGGAGATGCAGGGATTCGGACTCGATGCGGGCACTCGATGGGCCACGGCAATCCGCGAGGCCCAGTTCCGGGAGGTAAACCGCCCAATGTCAAGGGAAGAGAGCATGTCCAATTCAGGGACGGGCAGCCCAGAGAGGAAACGACGCTTGATGGCCCGAGAAAAGTGGAAGAAGGCCAGCATAGTTGCACGACGAGCAAACCACGACGATCTTCCCTCAGACTCGTCATCCTCAACGTCTTCAGACGAGGAGGCATCGCCAGAAGAAAGGGCTGCCGCAAAGGCACGGCGCGAGAAGGAGAATGCCTCGCGCAGAAGCGATGCTCGCGTTATGGGTCTCCAGTACTTCCTCGAGATGGTAGATCTCAAGCATCGCTACGGGAGCAATCTGCGCATGTATCATGAGGAATGGAAGCGGTCCCCCACGAAGGAGAACTATTTCTACTGGCTCGACTACGGCGAGGGGCGCAACATCGAGTTAGATGCCTGCCCGCGCGATCGTCTTGAACGAGAGCAAGTCCGATACCTCTCGCGGGAGGAGCGACAATATTACCTCGTCAACGTGGACGGTGACGGGCGTTTGTGTTGGGCCAAGAACGGGGAGCGCATCGACACGACGGTAGCGTACAAGGATAGCATCCACGGCGTGGTGCCCTCAGATGACCCGACGCCGGCCTTCAACCCCATGGTCGAGTCAGGACATTCACGGAACTCGGTCGACACAAGCAGCTCGGACTCGACACTGGAGTCGATACGGGAAGCCGATCGGGCGGCCAAGTATGCGACGCCGGAGTTCGATGACAATGGAGGCTTCAAGAAGGTGACTCACCTATCGGCATCGACCGTATTCAACAAGCTGCTCCGCAAGTCGGTCAAGAAGAATACCTGGATCTTTGTAGCCGACACATCATTCCGACTATACGTGGGCATCAAGAATTCAGGGGCATTTCAACACTCGTCGTTCCTCCAAGGCGGCCGAATCTCAGCAGCCGGCCTGATCAAGATCAAGAACGGGCGGTTGCGATCACTGTCGCCGCTGAGCGGTCACTACCGACCTCCGGCAGCCAACTTCCGGGCGTTCGTACGGAGCCTGAAGGCGGGAGGCGTGGACACGAGCCACGTCGCCATCAGCAAGTCGTACGCGGTGCTTGTCGGGCTAGAGGCATACTTGCGGACACGGCGCAAGGGTAAGGAGATGCTTGGGAAGCTGGCGCACGGGAAGGACAAGATCCTAGCACCGGAGGAGACGGCACAGCGAGAGGAGGATGCGCGGGACAAGAGTGAGAGCGCCGAGAAAGAGAGAAAGGCGTTGGAGAGGGAGGAAGCCGAAAGGGATGCCGAAAGCACCGGGGTGAAGGTGATGCAGAAGTTGAGGATTTCTACATCGAGACTTAATAAAGGGGGGTAGCGTGCTGCCGTGACGAGTGGTTGGTATCAGACGGCATGAGACTGGCTGTGGCGGATTCTTAATACCCCTTGAGTGATGGTTATACGTTAACGACTTATGAATATAATCAGCATTAATGTCCATACTTACAAACCCCGGTGTTCTTGCATATAGCCAGAAGTGGTCGCCATGAGAAGCAGTTCTTCCGGTTCACGACTAGACTTACTTCCCTTTCTTAACGTTGTCAGGCAGCCTCGACATCCGGTCGGTTACCCTATAGCGAGCACCAAATATGATGGGGACTGATTTCTTGATGAACGAGGCGTGATTAATATGGATAAAGTGTTCGACTGTTTGGACTATTGCATTTGATTGTGTACGGGTGTTGTCGACGGATTTCATAATTCGGCGCTTGCTTTGTTGCCATGAAATGTTTGCTTGTTATTGTGAATCTGGACCATTGCCAACTGCATTGCCAAGATGACAGACGAGGTCACAATCAGGCTAGGATAGCTGCGGAAGGCCAAGTACGTACCCATCTCGTCATAAAATCACATACGGCTCCAGACACTGCTATTCAACCAGGTGCTTACCTGAGTCACATACAATCTTCAAGTGTCTGTTTGGTCGCGGAAAGTCGAAAACCATCGGCTGCTCTCACCTCCAAACGCCCAGCGCACTGGCTTGGGGTGCACCTCGCTGGAAGCGCCTTGGGCACGGGACTCCCACAGCGGGCAAGTGCCCTGTACGGAGTGCTGAGGTCAAGGCGCTCTAGGTGATCCGACAGCGTCACCCGCCCCTAAACCTGCCCAAATAACGCCAAACGCCAACGCCACGAGGAAGGGAAGCACCACCCAAACGTCTGGTCAGTCGCACGAAACCGGTCGGGATATCCATCGAAAAAACATCAACAACGAGCGCTCCCATCGCGACAAGCCCGAGCCGGGCTCCGTATCCTGCAATCAGCCACCGAGACCGAGAACCATGCCAGGCTTCCTCACGTCTGTCAATGGCCTCCGTCACCCGCTCCACACGGCGCGCTGAGGGTCTTCACCCGCACCACCACGCCAGCGCCCACGCCCATCACCTGACGCCCTCAGCCGCGGCCAGCGCAGGCCTCTTCCACCAGGCTGCCCGGAACAAGCGGGCGCTCGAGGGCCCGGAGCGCGACTTCGACGTGATAAAGCCAAAGAGGAGTCGGATCACCGTCGAGATCCTCGCCAAGGGCTCACAGAACCTGGCCGACGCAGTACGGGCGCCGCCTGCACCTGTATCGCGCCCGCGACTGGCCTTAGCCACGGTGAACCCGCCACCTCCGCCCACGACGACGACGACTGCCGCAGCCCCCGCGACGAACACCGACCAGAACCTGACAAAACACCAGGCCAAGGTGATAAATGGCATCAAACACGAGCTGGACAGGCTACAGCCGCAGTCCAAGGACACTCGGGAGCAGGGGCGCAAGCTCCGCTCGCAAGAAGCCACCAGATTCAAAAGCGAGCTCTCTGCATACTTCCCCGAGTACGACGAGGTGATTGGGAATGACCCCAAGGAGCATCGTACGTATAGAAAAAAATTCCCATCGCTCTCTAGAGCCTCCTTTTTGCGCCAATCTGGTTACTGACCAATTTCAGATGTGTTTAACGTCGAGACGCCGATTGTCGTCGTTGACTCCGACCCCCGACGCGCTGCAGCAAACTCCCAAAGCGCGGTGCAGCGACCCCACCAGGCTGACCAATACCCTGCACGAGGATATGGCGATGCCCTGTTCAACGACGTGTTTGATGCGCAGCGCATCGATTTTAGCTTCCTCGAGGCACAGTACAAGAACAAGGCTCTTGAGGACCCCTTGCCGGATAAGCTGTTCCAGCCCGTACACAGGCGGGCAGAGAGGCTCGAGCGGTCGATTCGCAATACCGAAAAGGGACGGGCCCAGCATGAAAAGGACCAGATCATCCGGCTCCTGGAGGGACTTCAAGGCCATGACTGGTTGAGAATAATGGGCGTCAGCGGCATTACCGAGACCAAGAAGAAGACGTTTGAACCAGCGCGTGACCATTTCATCAAGGGCTGCCAAGCCATTCTTGCCAAGTTCCGTAACTGGATTTTAGAAGAGAGGCGGCGGAAGATGGAGAAGGAGAAGGCGCTCGCTGAACGAGCCGGAGAGGATGATTCGGATTCGGCACATGCCGAGGAGGACGGTGATGACGACAATGCTGCCAATGACGACAGTAGCGACTCAGCATCGCCGGCCAAGCAGCTCCAGGAAGAGGCTATGGCTAGAACCAAACCACCGACTAAGGGTTCCAAGAAGCGGCGAACAACGCCTCAGCCACCTGCTGCAAAACAGCCGGCGGCCAAAGCACCAATTCCCAAACCGGTCAAACCTCCCAAGCCCCCCGAGCCGCCCAAGGAGTTCAAGTCGTTCTTCAGCAAGAGGTACGAGCGGGATGGGGCGTTGAATCGCCATAGGCGGGCGGGAAGGAAGGTGATGGCATGGGGACACCCGGTCCCCGAGATACCCCCAGTTGATTTTGATTTGCCGGAAGAATTCCTTGATTCAGATGCATTGAAGGCCCGGGAAAGGAGGAAGCGCCGGGACAGGCGAGGCAGCAAGAACTGAGAGCGAATTAGCATTGTGTTCGTTGCCTGTAATAACACTAAAGGGATATGGAGAGAAGGGCATGAAGGGAATCATTTCGGAATGGCGTTAGGGAGGTTCTCCCATCATGGAAGATGAGGATTTGTGCGGACGGGCCTGTGTACGATTTGTAGTAGTTAACTGTGCCCACGCTTTCAGAACATACACGTGTCTTTTGCAAGTTGATCGATCAATGTCAAGGTCGTCAAGGTCGTTGAGGCCGCCAAGGTCGGCATGGAGTTGTCCCTTGTGAGCTGTGAAAAGGCGGATTAAGCTGTGTCGGATGGCTGGCTCCTGACCGAGTCAAATTCCGGATGCACCCGCCACGACCATGGCACAGCCGCGGGCATGGATAGAAGTTCGCCAGTCCACTGAAAAGGAGACTGCGTGCCTTGGAACACTCATGTCGGTGGTGCTGGACACTATCATGTTGCGCACTGCCGGCGCGGTTGAGAGCTTGCGATTCTTGGATGCAAGTACACAAGGCGTAATGAGGCGCAACGGCGCAACGGCGCTGCGTACTTGGTTCACTCATCGAGTGTGGGTGAGGCTGGTTGAGCCGCATGTGGCCCGTGCGCCACAGCTCCCAACGCGCCTCCGAGCCGCGACTTCGTTTCCTTCCCGTCAAGGTGCACAGGCGAGCGATTGAGGCACGACAGCCCAGTGTTTTCCTTTCGGGCGTGCACCCATCACAATTTCTTCTTGCCACTCTCTCGTTCTAGACTATTTCGCGCCCTCTCTTGTTTTCCCCTTTGCCATCGCTCTCCCGTCACGGACTTCTTCCCCCTGCTGCTGCCTTCTGCGAACCGTCTCCGCAATCTACCGACGTGCGCTGAACCACCGAACAAAGGTTATGCCTACGACCACAACCACGACCTAGGCCGAATACCTCTTGCGCATAGGCGTCATCGAAAGGGCCTCTCGCGACGACAGGATATCGAGACCTCCGTCTTCATCGATGCGACATACATAAGCACTGAGCTCGCGGGGGCCTTTCGGCCTTAGTTTTCGTTCGACCCTGCTCCCGACCGTGGAAATGGCGACCGACGGCCTGTTGCACGATCCCATGGAGGAGACGCACCCGCTCTTGGGCCTAGATGATGGCCTTCCACCCATCGAGGACTTGCCGATCCTTGAGTATTTCGTCATCAAGCAGGAGGTGAATCTTGAAGTCAACTTTCGCGACAAGCGCATCGATGGCACGACTGACGTAATCCTCGCCACCTTCAACGATAAAATCGAAGAGGTCGCGCTCGACGCCGCGAACTGCGAAATCGACACCGACAATGTCTACGTCACCGAGCTGCGCGAGGTCAACGGGGAGATCGTCGAGGGCCTGAAGCGCAAGACCACCGCCGTGTATACCGACCCATACGACAAACTCTCACACCCCAAAGGCTGGAACTGGAGAGCTGAGCACCATGATCTCCGCCGAATCAGAGCGCGCTCTTTGTTTCATAGCCGAAAGGCCGACGTCCCCGCCGAGAATAGAGAATTCGAGGGCTGCACGCCGGTCTATGGGTCACTCAAGGTGAATCTGCGTGGGAAGGCAGACCAAGATCGTCCGAGGCTCATCATTAGGAAATCGACGGGCCTTGATACGATGGATAGGACCAACAAGCAGTTCAAGCTCACCATTCCGTTCACCAATACGAACCCTCGAGATGGCATTCAGTTCGTTGGAGTAGACCCCCTCGACAACCGGTTCACCCACATGTACACTCGAAGCTCCATCAACCCGGGGACTGCTTCTTGCATCTTCCCATGTGTCGATGATCATGGATCACGTTGCGATTGGCGGATATCCATCAAATACCCTCGAACACTCGGAGATGCCCTCCAGCAGGCCTTGGCCACACAGCGGAATGGCTCGGGTGGGGATAGGATGCAGATTGATGGACAAGAGCGATCACATAACCTTGCAGAAGAGGACAAACTCAGAGAAATGTCCGTTGTCTGTTCAGGTTTCCTTATGGAGGAGACTGTGGACCCAGATGATGACCACAAGAAGATCATGACTTTTGAGCCGGAGAAGAAGGTTTCGGTACAGAAGCTTGGCTTCGCGGTCGGCCCCTTTGAACATATCGACCTCTCATCTGAGTCCCGAACGGAAGAGGATGAGGTGAAGCTGGGTATGAACGCGCTCAAGGTCCACGCTTACTGTCTACCGCACCGAGCCGATTGGGTCCGCAACACATCTGCTGCTCTGACCATGGCAGCCGACTTCTTCACATACACCTTTGCTAGGTATCCCTTTGGAAACTTCAAGTTGTGTTTTCTGGATGACCTGGTAGAAGATACCGTGTCTCTCTACTCGATGGCATTTGTTAGCAATCGGCTGCTCTTCCCAGAAGACATCATGGACACCGAGATCGATGTGACGAGAAAGATCGTCTACACTCTGGCTAGCCAATGGATCGGGATCAACATGATTCCAAACACCCGGAACGATCTGTGGCTCATCATCGGCATTGCCCACTACATGACAGATCTCTTCATGAAGCGCCTGTGTGGTAACAACGAATACAGGTTTCGGATGAAAATGTTGTCAGATCAACTTGTCGAGGTTGACAACGAGCGGCCATGCTTGTATGACCTCGGACCCCATCTCCACCTGGGAGAGTTCGAGATGGATTTCATGACCCTAAAGGCTCCCGTCGTTTTCTTCATTCTGGACAAGAGACTTATCAAGGCCTCTGGCGGCCATGGTTTGACTCGAATATTGCAGAAACTCCTGACCAAGGTCCAGATCGAGAGCTCAGACAAGTCAACAATTCTCGAAACGGAGAAGTTCAGGACGACCTGCGAGAAAGGGGCTAGGTACCGACTTGAGACCTTCTGGAGCCAATGGGTTTACGGGTCTGGATGTCCTCGGTTCGATGTCAAAGCCAAGTTCAACAAGAAGAGGCTATGTGTTGAGTTGACTCTGAATCAGATCCAATCTCAGATCACCAAGAAACCCCAGCTGGAGAGGTCTGACTTCCTCCGAGTTATCAAGGAGCGCCGTGCTGGAGTTAAGCTTGGTGAGGTGCAGCCGCTTTTCACTGGACCTATGACTGTTCGAATCCACGAAGCCGATGGAACCCCATACGAGCATATTCTTGAAATTCGCGAGGATGCGACACGATCCACCAAATTCGAGATCCCCTACAATACCAAGTACAAGCGACTAAAACGTACTCGGCGTATGAAGGAGAAGCAAAATGTTGGAGCCAGCATGGACACGGAAAACCTCGACGATACCCTCCTCTATTGCTTGGGTGATGTTCTTCAAACCCCAGAGGAGCAACGGGACTGGGAGTTGATTGACTGGGATCCTGATACCGAGAGGAAGATGGACCAGGAGTCCTACGAATGGATTCGCGTGGATGCTGACTTCGAGTGGGGTTGCGATATGAAGCGGACCCTCGAGCCATACATGTACGTGTCTCAACTTCAACAGGATAGGGATGTGGTGGCTCAGCAAGATGCCATGCTGTACCTTACTCACGGACCCCTTCATCCAATTGCCTCTGGTTTCCTCGTCCGGACGCTTATCGACCGACGCTACTTCCATGGTATCCGGACGATGGCTGCGGAGGCTCTTCCAAGGCAAGCCAACATCAAGGACATTTCAATGCTTGGCCTTCGACAGCTGATGAAGGCTTTTACCGACATGTTTTGCCACAATGAATCCAGTCAACCGAAGCCAAACGACTTCTCAGACAAGAAGCAGTACAACGTCCGTCGAGCCATCATCAAGGCTATTGCACAAGTCAGAGACGCCAACACTTACAAGTGCCCGCTGGAGGCTCGGCAATTTATCCTCGACCAGCTACTTTTTAACAACAATGAGGATAACCCCTACTCGGACCACTTCTACATTTCCCTTCTCGTTGAGACATTGGCCATCTCTCTCGTGCCCTCGAAGCAGGACGAGTGGTATGCTCGTCAGAACAAGGTGCCGATTGAAGAGGAGAGGCAATTTCTCGAGAGGGCTCTGGAGCAGATTGAACGTGTTCTTAGACGGGATGAATGGACAAACTCTTACCAGAACATCTGGACAATTGCTGGGTTGGAAGCAAAGCGGCGGCTGATGAAGGCAGAGGTCATTCCTAAGAGCTATCTTGACTTTGGGCAATATCTGCTTGATGGAACCCGAGATCTTATTCGGATCAAAGCCTTCGAGTCATTGGTCGACCTTGGGGCGATGATGGATCCTACGGTATTCACCTTTTTGGTGTATTCTCTCACCACAGATCGATCACCCTTTGTCCGCACCAAGCTCATCGAGGCAGCGGCTTCTGGTCTCGCGGCGATCGCGTTCGGAGAGCATTCGAAGGCTGTTAAGAACGAGCCTGCTCCAGATGAAGGAGACGCGCTTTTGCTTGTCCAAGACAGTGCCCAGGAGATTGAGGCTCGAAAGGAGATGTTTGCAAGAAAGGAAAACCTGGACGCAGCCCTGAAGGCTCTGCGAAAAGAGATGGAAGAAACATACGGCGGGGATGAGCGACACTACAGCACGGCGATGCGCAAGGCCCTGGACCACCCTGGTCTAGGCCGGGCTGAGCTGGAAAGTATGCTTGATTTGGCGGCGATGATGTTTGAGGAAGCAAGCGACTGGGTTGTCACGGTTAACCTGCCTAAGGCTTGGAAGGCTGAGCGACTGGCCCAACAGCTTGCCAACAGGGTAAGAAACCCAAGAGCAATGACACAGGATACGCATACTAACCGCTCGCAGTTGACTGTCATGTTCAAGTCGTATTACAAGACGAAGCCCAAGGAGCCTATCCCTCAGCCACCACCTCCTGCACCAGTCCCCGCACCAGCCCCGGCGCCGGTGGTTGTTCCTGAGCCCAAGCGACCTATTCCCCTCCCGAGAACTTCATCGATCAAAATCAATACCCACAAGATCTCTACTCCCCAGCGGCCAATGTCTAATCCTCCCCCGGAAAGGGATACGATTGTAGCGTCGCCGGTGGTTTCTGTTTCTCGCCAACCGAGTGTTTCATCCTCATCAGCCTCGAAATCTTCTCGGCCGCCAGAGCCCTCTTCTGCCTCTTCAGCTAAGCGACCTCGTCCGGAAAAGGAGGAGCACCATCCTTCACCGGCTCCAAAGAGACCCAAGGTGGAAAAGTCACTAACTTCGGAGTTTGGTGGCGAGCGGAAGAAACGTCGTATGGTTACTCTGAAGACAAGAAATCCTAAACGTCTTGCTTTGATCCTGGGCCACCATCCCAAACCGATTGCCAATGGGAGGACGTCCCTACCTTCAGGGAATCGCAAGGAATCCTCGCCCGCTTCGTCCATCAAAGATTCTATTACTGCCAAGCCTGCAAGAAAGCCTCTGCCTTCGGGGGAGCAGCCCGTTAGGAGAGCTTTGCCAGGAGGCCCAGTCTCCTCGTCACACCCCCCTACGCCGGGCCCTAAGATCTCGCTGAGTGCCCATTCAGCCTCAACGCCAAAGCCAAAGGTACAAAGCCAGGCGGCTTCCACGCCAACTACGGGGTCTGTGCGACCGAAGATCAAGATTATTCGCAAACCTCATCCACCACCGCCCGCTCCTTAGAAAGAACCAGGGGAGCCAAGTCGGAGACGTATGGAGAAAACAAGCAATGAAATTTGGGCCGAGTCAACATACGAGAGCCCGAATTTCATATCACAGAGAGAGGAACAGGAAATGATACACAGTGGCGTGTATCAACCCAACGATAATGGTGAGACGAGGACGTCCTTTGAACCTGTCACCCCTCAGTCTCTTCCATCTCTCCCAAGCGAGACTACATCTGAGAGTGAAGTGAGTGGAGAAGAAAATGGTCGGACACAATTTGGTGTTGAGGTCGCGGCCAACGACCGCGAAAGGACTTTGATGACCCGTTGAAAGTTGATTTTGATGTTTGAATAGATGCAATGGCGTGTATTGCATTACATTTGGCGTTGGGCGCGAAGTGAACCAGACTGCCGGTGGGGTTGGCGTGCGGAAGGGAGTGGTAATGACTGTACAGTATTCAGAACACAATGCTTTAGATATCCCCTTTGAAGCCATGCCAATATCTTTTTATATATGTCTAATGTGTTGTCAAGGAGTTAATGCGATGTCATCAAAGTGAGTATGTTTGTAGTCGCTCCACGTTGCAAGTAGCCCACGACCTCATGTTCGGTGCTCTGATTCTATACATCACGTGTTGCACGGGAGCATGATCCATGACCTTCTAAAGTCCCTTGTGACACTCTGCGAAGCTGTGGTCCAGCAACTTTGAACTCATCCTTCCACCCGAACCGGCACCGAAATAGGACAGCTTCAGGTTCTCGGCTCCGGAGTATTGATTGTCCTATGAGATCTGGGGGATTTCTAACGTTGTCCCCACCAGCCAAGGTTGCCTGGGGCGATGTACACGCTGAAGAGGGTTCCAAAGCGTTCCGAAGGCCAGAAAAATGGAGATAAATTGGTGAACCATGGACAGCGAAGATTACACGGAATAGGCTCCAAGTTCATTGTCCTTGGGGGCTGCGTACAGCGTCGTTCCTGAGCCGCCAGCTGGCTTTGTTTTCACCCTTTCGGCCGACGTCGGCCAGTGGCTGGGGATTCGTAGTGCCGCCGGTTGCCGGTCCAAAACAGAAAACAGACAGCATGAGCAGCTGGCGCGCGACGGCCACACTCCGAGATAAGCCCGCCGCGGGCCAACCTTATCACCACGTGATGCGGAATCTTCCGCGCGCTCCCAGCCCAGTGCGATCTTCGTCCAGATCTCTCGTCACCCGAGCCGGAGGAGCTCTTTCGCAAGTTTGCACGAAACGCTGGAATCCCGCCCTGTCGCCGTCTTTTCCATTGTTCATTCTATCCCCACGCCCCCAGAACTTGTCCAGAGGACGTCCGTCTCCATGTAGAGGCCTGCTGGCGCTGGCGTTTTCCATCCGGTGTAAGTTGTCTTTTTTTTCTTGCGTCGCGACCGGCCTCACTTTCTCCTGAGCTGTGAGCCGCCTTGTTACGCAGCGTCCCGCCACCTCCCAACGGCTCCCCTCGCCCGAAACCTGGCGCCGCGCGACCTCACAGCAGCTCTAACGCTGGATCCGAGCTTCACTGGATGGTTAGGCTAACCGTTCTCCCCCCCGCAGATCAGCATGAATAGCCAGAATCTTCATGGCGGCAGTGGCCCTGCGGGATACGATCGAGATCGCGAGATGGACGAGCAACGACACCGGGCCATCCAGCAGCATGAGGAGATGGCACGGCGAGATCAAGAACGAGAACGAGAACGGGAGCGCGAACGCGAGCGCGACCGAGATCGGGAATCCGGCGATCGCTACCAATCGACGCCTCATCACAGCACCGCGGGCTCCATCCCCATCCACCAGCCGGTAGCCTCCCGCATTTCCGGCGCGATCCATAGCCCAGGCGGATTACTGGCAAACCACAACGGCAACGCACCCCCGATCCCTCTCGGCGCGCCGCCCGGAGGTCCTTTGGCCAACTTTGGCGGGCCGTTGCAGAACGAGCACAACCGCCCGATCCAACACGGTGGACAAAACAACGCGAACCCGCAGCATCAGATGTTTGCGCCGATGCCGCACACAACTGCTCCTCCGGCCTCTTCGCAAGCCGTGACGAGCAGCGTAGCAGCAGTATTTGGCGGCCCGCTGCAACAACAAGATGGCCAGCGTGGGGCTCAGCAGGGCGCGCCTTTCCCCCCAGCAGGCTCTGCTGCTCATCAGATCCCCGGTGGCATCACCCAGGGGCAGCAGCCGATTCTTAATGTGAGTACATGCCATTTTTGCTCTTTGTTACCCATCAGGTGGGGGTTGTTGGTGGCGCGAGTTGTGTTTGTTCCTGGCGGGCAGCCGAACCTGAGCTGGCCAAACCACAAGCTCAACACCATGGCGGTGATTCACGCGCACACTTGCTCGATAACTCGGCCGAGCTGCTTTCCACCTCCCTTCACCTTTTCTCAAACCCTCCCTGCTCTCTACGAGATATCTTGTTGTGCGATACAAGGGCGCATATTCTTGAACGTCTTGCGGCAACTAGCACCACAGTGGCCCATTTCAAGCAATGGATCTTAGCCTCTTACTCGATGTCCCGACGCTTGCGGGAGACTTGGTTGGTGTTTTCGGCAATGGGGGAGAAGGGGTGATTATTTACTGTGACGGGAATGCTTCAATGTGGTGCAACTACCACAGCTACATCGTACCGCACATCCACTTGACCATGTTCAACCAGCGATAGGAGAGGTCAAATGCTAACAAGTCTTGTTCTAGGATGCCCTCACATACCTCGATCAAGTCAAAGTTCAATTCCACGACCAGCCCGATGTCTATAACCGGTTCCTTGATATTATGAAGGACTTCAAGAGTCAAGCGTACGTCCGAACTCGCTTGCGAAAGAGGAACATGTATTGACAAAAGTAGAATCGACACGCCTGGAGTTATTAACCGCGTTTCGGAGCTTTTCGCGGGTCACCCGAACCTGATCCAAGGATTTAACACCTTCCTGCCTCCGGGCTATCGGATCGAGTGCGGTGCCGGCAATGACCCCAACACAATCAGGGTTACAACTCCTATGGGGACCACGGTCCAGTCGATTACTGGTCGCGGAAACCAGCCTGATGGCCATGGACCCGCGGGGGGCAACCAATCCCTCTTCCAGGAACGCGGTGGACAGTGGCAGCAACAAAGGCCTCAACACAGCATCGAGAGCCCAGAGGCTACATTCAGCACCCCCGTGCAAAACGGGGCCAGCCTATTTGTCCAGGCTGCTGCGCAAAACGCTGCCTTTGAGAGCGCAAACTCGCAGCGTAGTCGTGCTCAAGGCACTGCCGGCCCTGGTGATACACCCAACACCCGCCATGCTTTGACCCCTACCCCCCAAGGACAACCAGCAGTAAACGGCAACGCGGCTAACCAAGCAAACATGGAACGCCGCGGACCCGTGGAGTTTAACCATGCTATCAGCTACGTGAATAAGATCAAGGTACGCCCCGCAGCTTGAACTCGGTCAGCGTAGGAATTTATCAGCTAATCACATGTGTCAGAACCGATTTCAGGACAAGCCTGAGATATACAAACAGTTCCTTGAGATCCTTCAGACATATCAGAGGGAACAGAAGCCCATCCAGGACGTTTACGCTCAGGTTACGACTCTGTTTAACTCCGCCCCTGACTTACTGGAAGACTTCAAGCAATTCTTGCCGGAAACCGCTGGCCAGGCTAAGGCGACTCCCGGCCGGATGGAAGATGGCACGCCCACGGGCCCCAGTCACACTCCCCAGCCTGGAATGAGAGACGGGCAAAAGTTGCCCCCTCTTGGAAGCTTTGCGCCTCCAGCAAGTGCAAGCAAGGACCAGAAGAAGCGACCACGTGCCGATAAGCAGGCCGCCAACGCAGGAGCTCTCCTTGCCGAAGCAGCAGCGAGCTCTCGAATCGCTCCTCCCAGCGTGAATGGCAGCAAGAGACCCAAGATCAACCATGTCGCTCGACCCCCAGGCGACAACTCTGCGGTTGAGCCAACGCTAACTCCCGTGATGCCTGAGCCGTACCCAGCGCGATCATCGTCCACCTCTAACCAGGATGAGATCGCATTTTTCGAGCGCGTCAAGAAGTTCCTTAGCAACCGATCTTCGATGAATGAGTTCTTGAAGCTATGCAACCTGTTCAGCCAGAACATTATCGACAGGAATACCCTCTTCCACAAAGGTGCCCTCTTCATCGGCGCTAACCCTGACTTGATGAGCTTCTGGAGGACTTTTGTCGGAGTTGAGACACAGGATGTGGTCATCGACAACCGCCCGGCACCTCCAACTGAAAAGGTTTCGCTGAGCAACTGCCGGGGATACGGCCCAAGTTACAGACTTCTCCCCAAGAGGGTAAGCGGACTATCTTGATATTTCCATTGTATTTTACTAACGTGTGTGGAAAGGAACGTCTCAAGCCTTGCAGTGGTCGTGATGAGCTCTGTAACTCGGTATTGAACGACGAGTGGGCCTCGCATCCTACTTGGGCATCTGAGGACTCTGGATTTGTCGCCCACCGCAAGAATCAGTTTGAGGAGGGCCTTCACCGCATCGAGGAAGAACGCCACGACTATGACTTCAACATCGAGGCCAACCTGAAGTGCATCCAGCTTCTGGAGCCCATCGCACAACAGATGCTTGCCATGTCTCCATCCGAGAGGGAGGCATTCCAGATGCCTGCTGCACTTGCCGGACAGAGCACCTCGATCTTCAAGCGTATCTGCAAGAAGATTTACGGCGATAGGGGCATTGATGTTGTCAACGACATGTTTACCCATCCCTTCGATGTCGTGCCAGTTCTCCTGGCCCGGATGAAGCAGAAAGACGAGGAGTGGCGATTTTCTCAGCGTGAGTGGGAGAAAGTCTGGCATGCCCAGACTGACAATATGCATCTCAAGAGTCTGGACCACATGGGTATCCTTGTCAAGCAGAATGACAAGAGGAACCTGACTGCCAAGCACCTTGTTGATGTCATCAAGACGAAACATGAGGAACAGCGCCGAGAGCGAGCTCTTAAGGGCAGGGCGCCTCGACACCAGTTCGTTTGGGATTTTGCGGACAAGGATACAGTTATTGATCTTCTCCGCCTGATGATGTTGTACAGCTTGCATAGCGGTCAGCACAGCAGTCAAGAAAAGGAGCGTATCCTCGACTTCTTCGAGATGTTCATTCCTGCTTTCTTCGACATCCCTGACGAGCACATCCAAGACAAGCTCCCCAAGATTCAGCCCGAGTCTGGCGAGGAGGAGATGGAAGACCATACACCCGCTGAGCTCACCAACGGCCGTAGCCGCCGCAACGGCAAGAAAGGAGATCTGCTTAGGGGAGTTCTTGATCCTGGCCGCAACGGTAGCAAGACGCGAGGCCAGAAGGAGGACAGTGCAGCATCTGGAAGCAAGGAGACCACTCCTGATGTTACATCGGCGAATGAAGAGGAGATGCCCGACGCATCCGAGGACGCTGCGGCGCACGACATGTCCAACGAGCGGTGGATGCCTAGTATTCCCAAGCCGGTGGTTGTTGGCCAGAGCGACGCCCTGCTCAATGCGGATGGTGAGCTGAAGGCTGACGGGTTCTTCACTCGACCGTGGTACAACTTCTTCTGCAACCAGACGCTGTTTGTCTTCTTTAGCATCTTCCAAACTCTGTACCAGCGTTTGCAAGATCTCAAGGACAGCAAGGAGACTGTTGCTAAGGAGGTCGTGCGCCTCAACAACGAGAAGCCAGCTCGGGACATTGGCTTCACCGAGAACCATATGAAGTTCTTTGACCTTAGCGACGACCCCGAGACTTACTGGCCCAAGACACTCGAGCTCATTGAGGAGTATATTACCGGTGACGTGGACGAGAACCGGTACCAGGATGTTATGCGTCACTACTACCTCAAGACCGGATGGAAGGTGTACACGATCCAGGACCTGCTCAAGACGCTCTGCCGATTGGCCCTCACCTGCAGCAGCACCGATGCGAAGGAGAAGACACCCGATCTGATCCAGCAGTACCTCACCAGTCGCGACAAGGAGGAGACGAGCTACCAGACCGAGATTAGCGCCAGGAAGTTCGCCGAGAAGTGTGTAAAGGATGGCGACATTTTCGTCGTTTGTTGGGTAAGTCAAAGTCGTGCTCTGTCTCGGATAGAAAACTAACAATGCTTGCAGTTCCCTGGCAAGTCAGAGGCTACGGTTCGATGGCTGCAGCGAGAGGAGACGACGTTCTACATGGACGAAATGCAGCTCCGCGAACGTTGGCAGTACTACATTTCATCCTTCATCCGCGTGGAGCCTACGGAAGGAGTCCCACGATCCAAGCTCCAGAAATCGGTGCTAACGCGCAACTTGCCCTCTGGTGACGCCGACTCGGACGACGACAGCACGCCCAAACCCGTCTCGTACAAGGAGAACCTGACCATTAGCATCTGCCTTAAGAGCTCCAAGATGGTCTGGGCCCCCGGTACTTCAGAATACGTCGTTTACGGCCAGGCACCTAAGACGCGCGATCAGCGCGAACGCCGCGAGAAGTTCATCCGCGCCCTCACAAACTACCGAGAGAGCAAGCTCCTCGAGAAGTGGGTGCACAACCCTTCGTGGACAAAGGATCTCAGCCCCGAGGAGGTTCAGGATCAGAACAAGAACTTCCGCCGTTGGATGGACGAGGGCATTGTGCCTCCAGGCGCTGCCGAAGAGGACGCGGAGATGAACTAGACGGGAAACCTGCTCGCTGCCCTCTCTCTACGGAGAGATAAAAGAGGCAAAAGGGATGGAGGAGGAGCGGGATGATGATGTTGTTTCAGGTACTCTGCGGAAATGGGAAACAAACTTGGCTCACCCGGCTTGTGGATTTGCACCGCACCGGAGTAGGGACCGGATTATGGCCGGGGGAATCTCACCAGCGCTTGTTTTTGTGTGTCGCGGTTTTGTTTTCTAATTCGTTTTATTATTATTGCGCTCCTTTGTTTCCCTGTCTATTGAAAGGCGTGGAAGCTGGATTTGCGGAGACTCTGCTCTTTCTCTCTGCGTTGTAGGAGGAGGCGATCCAGGTATTGCGAGTCTCCACCAAAAAAGGAGGGGAGGGGGTCCGGGTGAATATGAGAAGAGGACATTTTCCTCTCTCGCTTGTACTCTAGATTATATAGCCCTTGCACGTCCGTCCATATCTTATAAAGTGGCTATTCCTACTCTTTGTTGTGCTGTGTCGGCGTCAACTTGCATGTGGTGAACTGGGTGAAATCATGAAATCATGTTTATTTTACTTTAAATTAGATAGATCTACTAGATATAGATATAGAGCAGCAACGATTTGAATCGTCAGCGATACCAATATGCATTAGGTATAGTGACGCGCTTTTTTGTATCCTCGTGCCGTATCCCATTCATGTAAGTGGCTGTGCGCCGTTAAATATGTCATTTAAGTCGTTATGTTTTGCGTCTACTGCAGGTTCTCAATGACCATGGCAGAGGCACCACCACCGCCGTTGCAGATACCGACGGCACCAATCTTGGCCTTCTTCTCCTTGAGGACGGAGGTGAGGGTGGTGACGATACGGGCACCGGAGCAACCGAGAGGGTGGCCAATGGCGACGGAACCGCCATAGACGTTGACCTTGTCAAGGTCAAGGCCAAGGATCTTGCCATTGGCGAGGGCGACGGCGGAGAAGGCCTCGTTGATCTCGTAGAACTCAATTTGCTCGGGGGTGAGACCGGCGTGCTTGATGGCCTTGGGGATGGCAAGGGCGGGGGCAATGGTGAAGCGCTCAGGCTCGCGCTCAGCATCACCCCAGCCGAGGATCTTGGCAATGGGCTTGAGGCCAAGCTCCTTGACCTTGGCCTCGGAGGCGAGGACAACAGCGGCAGCACCGTCGTTGAGGGGAGCGGCGTTGGGGGCGGTAACGGTGCCGTCGGGCTTGAAGGCAGGGCGCATGGCCTTGAGCTTGGCCTCGTTGAGGTTCTTGACCTCGTCATCGGTGGTGATTTGGACCGGGGGCTTGCCTCGGCCGCCGCTGACCTCGACGGGGACGATCTCGGTGAAGAGACCAGCTGCGGTGGCAGCCTGTGCCTTCTTGTACGAGTTGATGGCGTACTCGTCCTGAGCCTCACGGGTGAGCTCGTACTCCTTGGCGCAGAGTTCGCCAGCGAGGCCCATGTGTTCCTTGTTGTAGGCGTCTGTCAGACCGTCCTTGAGGACGCCGTCGACGAGGGTCTGGTCGCCGTACTTGGCGCCGGTTCGGAGGTTGGGGAGGTAGTGGGGGGCGTTGGACATGGACTCGGTACCGCCGGCGACGACGATGTCGGAAGTGCCAGTCATGATGTTCTGGGCTCCGAGGATAATGGCCTTGAGGGCAGAGGCGCAGACCTTGTTAACGGTGGTGGCAACGGTGGACTGAGGGAGGCCGGCGCCAATGGCGCACTGGCGGGCAGGGGCCTGGCCGAGACTAGAGACTGTCGGTCAGCATGCGAGAGGTTCTGCGGTGTAGACGACGATGCGACCATGGAGATCTTGGGCGTAGAGGAGAGGACCGCAAGATCAAATCCCCAAGGCGCAGAGGCGGGACAGGCAGAGAAACAGAGGGATATTTGGAACGTACCCAGCGGAGAGGACATTGCCAAAGAAGACCTCGTCGACATCCTCAGGCTTGATGCCGGCTCGCTCAACAGCACCTGGACCGCGTTAGCACCCGAAAGCTCATAGAACCAAGGATCGTGTAAGTATACCCTTGATGGCAGTGGAACCAAGCTGAGTCGCGCTCAGGCTCGATAGAGAGCTGTGATGGTCAGTATCGTGATGGCAACTTTGAGGGCATGGCGGGGCACCACGGAGCTATATCGCTCTCATGGCTTCATATGTCCAACGCACCCAAGGAAGGAGCCGACGGGGGTACGGGCCGCCGAGACGATGTAGACGGTAGGAAGGCCTGACATGATTGCGGTTGTTTGGAGAGATGTCTTGATCAGAAAGAAGACTTGAGATGTTGGACAAAGGAGGATGGAGGAAGACGTGGGAGATGAGGGAAAGAAGGAGGGATTGCGGAAATTTTGTTGAGGGAAGGAGCAGCTGAGCCCGGCGTAAATATGCTAAGGTAGGTAGGTACCTCCCAAATGAGGTAGGCAGCGACAATGAGCAGTAGCGATTGGAGATTGATAGCCCAGGAGCCCGCCGGGGCGTTACGTATTATGGCCGAGTGCCCCTCCTTACTGCGCCTGCTTGCGCGCGCACTCTGGAAAATCGAGCGAAATGGAGACCGCTGGAGACCACAATGGACAATCGACACCAGAATGGGCCAGAATGGAGGGGCACGGCTGTTGGCAGGCGCCGCTGTCGGCATCTGCAACCCTGCCCACCGCTCCTGCCCCACTTGTACCTGACCGCCCGCATCCGCCAATCACCGCCAATCACCTCCATGCAGCGCGTAGCCTTGCATATGCCCACGTGACGCAGCCTCGCCCGGTCCATCGAAAAAGTTGCCGGCGCCATACAGCACCGACTCCACGCGCGCGAGGCAGAGGGCGAAGCTTTGGGTGAAGAACGACAAGAGAAGCTGCATTTTTCCGAGTCCGTCGCCCGCGCAACCTGATTGACATTCTGCGCTTCGCTGCACGGCCAAGATGGATGACCTCTACGACGAGTACGTGCTCGCTTTCTGACTGTCGCTCCACGACTACGCGCTAACACACGGCACTGCAGGTTCGGCAACTTCATTGGCGACGAGGCCGGATCCGAGGAGGCATCTGAGGCCGGTGTCGAGGCGAACGACTATGTCTACGACGATGAGCCCGAGGAAGCGCCTGGCGTCACAGGGCAGGAGCTGATGGAGATTGATGGTACGTGTTGCGCCGCGCGCCGTGGAGCTAGCGAAGCTCGGAAGCTGACCTTGTCTTGCGAATCTATAGATGGACCGTCGAATGCAATTATCCTCCACGAGGACAAGCAGTACTACCCGACGGCCGAGCAGGTATATGGCGCTGATGTCGATACCCGCGTCGAAGAGGAGGATGCGCAACCTCTTACGCAGCCCATCATCGCACCCATCGAGCAGAAGAAGTTCAACATCGAGGAGGCCGACCTCCCCCCTGTGTTCTTCGATCGCGAATTCATGACCGACTTGATGAACTTCCCCGATCAGACCCGAAACGTCGCTTTGGCCGGTCACCTGCACCACGGAAAGACGGCATTTATGGATATGCTGGTCCTCGAGACCCATGACATCACGGACCGTTTGGAGAAGAGGGTTGGCAAGAAGCGCGACGAGCAGTTGAGATACACCGACGTGCACTTGTTGGAGAGGGAGCGAGGTCTATCGATCAAGTCGGCGCCAATGAGCCTGGTATTGCCCAGCAGCAAGGGCAAGTCGCATCTGGTCAACCTCATTGACACCCCGGGCCATGTCAACTTTGTCGACGAGGTTGCGACCGCCTTCCGTTTGGTTGACGGTGTGTGCCTAGTTGTCGACGTTGTTGAGGGCGTCCAGGTCAACACGGAGCAGATCATCAAGCACGCTGTCCTCGAGGACATCCCCCTGACCCTCATCATCAACAAGATGGACCGCCTAGTCCTCGAGCTTAAGCTCCCCCCCAAGGACGCCTACTTCAAGCTCAAGCATGTCATCGAGGAGGTCAACACCGTCATCACCAACACAGCCCCTGCCACGGCAGCTTCGAAGCGGATAAGCCCCGAGAAGGGCAACGTTCTCTTCGCCTGTACAGACATGGGTTGGTGTTTCACTCTGTCGTCCTTCGCCAAGATGTATACCGACACGTTTGGTGATATCAACACGGATGAGTTCGCGAAGCGGCTTTGGGGAGATGTATACTACAATCCCAAGAAGCGCAACTTCACGCGGAAACCCATCGAGGAGCGCGCGGCGAGGTCCTTTGTTCACTTTATCCTTGAACCTATCTACAAGATCTTCACACACTCTATCAGTGACAGCCAAGAACAATTACGACCGGTTCTGGCTTCGCTGGGCATCGAGCTCAAGCCTTCTCAGTACAAGGCCGATGCAAAGGTGCTGCTCAAGTTGATATGCGAGCAGTTCTTTGGCCCCTCGACGGGCTTCGTCGACATGATCGTTGAGCACATCCCCTCTCCCGTTGAGACCGCCGAGCGGCTCTTGGAGAGGTACTATACGGGCCCTACGGATACCAAGATCGCCGCATCCATGATGGCGTGTGACCAAGATGGTCCTCTCGTTATTCACGTTACCAAGCTCTTCAACACCTCAGATGCCAAGAGCTTCCACTCCTTTGGTCGTGTACTCAGCGGTACAGTTCGACCGGGTATGCAGGTTCGCGTCCTCGGTGAGGGCTACTCGCTCGACGATGAGGAAGATATGGCCATGGTATCCGTTGGGGAGGTCTTTATTGGCGAGTCTAGATACAACATCCCCACTGACGGCGTGCCCGCCGGAAATTTGGTGCTGCTGAGCGGCGTGGATAACTCCATCGTCAAGTCGGCCACCATTCTCCCGCCCAAGCTGGAGGACGACGAGGACGCCTACATCTTCCGCCCTGTGACGCACTTCACCGAGTCTGTCTTAAAGGTTGCCGTCGAGCCTATCAATCCTTCCGAGCTCCCCAAGATGCTTGATGGCCTGCGCAGGATCCAGAAGTCGTATCCTCTCATCAATACCAAGGTCGAGGAGTCGGGCGAGCACATCATCCTCGGTACCGGCGAACTATACATGGACTGCGTGCTGCACGATCTGCGGCGCCTCTATGCCGACATGGACATTAAGGTCTCAGACCCCGTCACACGCTTCTGTGAGACGGTGGTTGAGACATCTGCGACGAAGTGCTACGCCATCACTCCCAACAAGAAGAACAAGATCACCATGGTAGCTGAGCAGCTCGAGAAGGGCATCTCGACCGACATTGAGACGGGGGCCGTGCGCATTCGAGATCCTATCCGCAAGACGGCCAAGTTCTTTGAGGAGAAGCATGGCTGGGATAAGCTGGCGGCCAGAAGTATCTGGGCGTTTGGACCGGACGAGTCGGGGCCGAACATCCTTCAGGATGACACCCTTCCCACAGAAGTGAGTCTAGAAAACCTTGCCCTAAGGCCCAAGCCCCGTGGTTGGACCACTCTACGGTGTTTTTGAGAGTAAATGCTGACAGCAGGTGTCTCAGGTCGACAAAAAGCTGCTAAACACCGTGAAGGAATCGATTCGACAGGGTTTCAGCTGGGCAACCCGTGAGGGACCCTTGTGTGAAGAACGTGAGTTGCAACCCCTTCTTTTGCCTCCCAACTCCATCACGTCGTCACCTCTCTCCTTTCTTCTTGGCGTTCTACGTCGCCGACTACAAATGAGGCCGACATCGCCACGGGCTCCAGTGAGCCTGTGCCGCCCTCTGACCCCGGCTTCATGTCTCGAGCGCGGTGGACCTTGACCTGTCAAGGGGCCGACCGCTGCAGGATGCTGTGGGGATTGAAGCCTCCACCCCTGATTGCACCATCACTGCCGCCCTAATGCAGCCTGCAATCCTGCTCTCGCGGCCGGCATGAGACCGCGGTGTTTGCTGATGCCGCTTGGTGCTCGTGGCTGGTAATGACAAGCCCATGAACATGGGGTCGATTTCACCGCTGCGGGCCGGGTGGTGGGGGTTGGGTTGATTGACGATCGCTCCCTTGATCGCGGCAGATGCGCTTTGCGCCTGCATGTAACCCCAAGGACGCCAGGTTCGTGTGGCGTCAAGAGATAATCAAACACTGACTGGGACGTGCAGCTATCCGCAATACGAAGTTCAAGGTTACAGACGTGCTCCTGGCCAACGAGGCGATCTTCCGGGGTGGCGGCCAAATCATCCCCACATCCCGCCGCGCCTGTTATTCATCCTTCCTGATGGCGTCCCCGCGTCTGATGGAACCCGTCTACTCTGTGTCAGTGACAGGTCCCGAGGACTCGTACATGGAGGTCTACAACGTGCTGTCACGGCGGCGCGGTCACGTCCTGTCGGATGGCCCCGTGGCCGGTACACCGCTGTACCGCGTCAATGGTCTCCTGCCCGTCATCGACAGTTTCGGTTTCGAGACGGATCTGCGCATCAAGACCCAGGGCAGCTCCATGGTGAGCCTCGTCTTTGACAGCTGGAGCATCGTCCCCGGCGACCCACTGGACCGGGAACAGATCATCCGCCCACTGCAGCCTGCATCAGCACAGGCGACAGCGCGCGACTTCGTGCTTAAGACACGACGTCGCAAGGGGTTGAGCGAGGACGTTAGCGTCAAGACATTCCTGGAGCCGGAGTTCTACCAGAGCCTCATGGAGAGCGGTATGCTAGGAGAGATTTGAAGCAGCAATGTGTCACGAGGCAGGAACCAGGAGCCACACGCCAACCAAACGGTTTGGGGTAACTTGTGCGAGGGTGCGAGGAGGGAGGGCTGAGGACGAGGGCGGCTGAAGAGAAGGGGGCTTGCGCACGGAGGAAATGGACGGTACCCTTGGATCCTCACATGGATGATGATGATAATGGCCAGTGCGAGGGCCACGTGTACAAGGATAGATGCTGCACCATTTGGGAAAAAGGTTCTAAGTAAGTTACATTGCGATAGTGTTAGCAAGAAAGCATCCAGGAACCACGGTGTATGTAGATGAAAGACGATAGAAGCCTCGGCGAAACAAGGGCCCTACCATGGGAACCAGGATCTCGGACTCTGGGCTTCTACATCTGTATTACTAACACGCGTATGCACAATCCACCTAGTCGAAGGAATGAACGCCTCGTTTGCCTCTAGACCGTCCACGATTAGAGTTGCCTGTCTGCTGGAACGGTGAGCCAACCCCCCCCCCAGGTTGTTGGACAGGACGGGGCCGTTTTTCTCGATGATGACGGTTCCACAAGGACGGGAGGTGCCACTCAGGGGACACCCTGACAAGCCCAAACGCTGAGGGTTCCTTGACGGCTTGGGGTCGGCGTCACGGGGGTGCAGCGTTTAGCAACCTGAACTACTCTCGACGGCTGATCCCGAGGCGAAATCCCACGAGGTGAAATGCGCAAACCGCCGTTCCTTCGGCCAACGTCCGGCGTGTGATGCGGCTTGCACGGTGGCTTGCGGGGAACGCACCGCAGAGGAGGCGCGTGAGGCCAAATCCCAAAGAGAGACCGAACAACCCCTCATGTCGAAATTCCGGAGGAGCGGTAGGGCGTTCGATGGGCAGAGCGACAGGAAGCTCGGGTAGTGGTGGGGAACAATTCCCTACAGGGGGACTCCTGGGCTGTCGAGCGGTCGAGTGAGCAAGCAGCAGCAGCAGCAGCAGCAGCAGGTTGACTAGTCGCAGCAGGGGGGAAGGGGTTGTAGGGCTTTGCTGGGGTGTGTGTTTTGTGATGGGCGCTCTTCTAAGGCCATTGGGACGAAAGAGCAAGAAAAAGCCATGCCGGAATGCGTAACGGCCATGGAGCTCGGCGCGGAAGCTTTGGGACACGGCATGATGCATCCCGCCTTTGAGCTAAAGATGAGATGAGATGTGGCTGGCATCAGTATCCGCCGAGTAGAGTAGTGCCATCGGCTCGGGGGAAATACTCGTGCTATGTGAAGGCTAGCGGAGCAGAGGTCGAGTCCGAGGTCCCGTTTCGGAATGCAAGAACCCCCCCATATCGCTTATACCTTAGGACGTTTCGCTGATCCCAAACACTAGAGAGAACTGTCTCTCCTCTCATGTCGGGGGGGACCACGGGAGTTGAGGGAGAGCTGCCCTGCTGCAGCGACATGGAGGATGATGTGAGCCACCAACAGGCGGCTGCAGCATGCTCCCCCAGACTGACAGCGACCCAAGCGGCATATGCAGGTGTGATCCCCGGTGCCCAGGAAAAGAGCGCTCCCGAAAATTATCGGGACCGCGGCCAGACACCCGCACATTCGAAGCTTCACCTCCAAGCAAGCTTGAGCCAGGGGTGTGTCGTAAAGGCGTCATTTTATGAGCTGGACCAGGGCGTCGTCGACCAAGATCATCCTCCACATCCACAATCGAGGAGCCTGCTGAACTCTCGCGCGTGCAAATCGACCGGGGCCTAGCTCGAGTAGCAAAAGTCAACTGGACATGACATGACAGTCTTGCCTGGGGCCCCGTTTACCAAGCCGGCTAAGGTCGCCCTCCGCTGGCTTGGCACGACTTGTCAACTTCAACCCCATCCTGTCGGTGACCCAAGTGCACGGGAAGCGCACAAGCCCCATCGCTGTGATGGTGATGCTGGCTAGGTGCGCTTTCGCTTTCTGGGACGACCACTCCAGGGGGGGGAGGGGGGTGTCGACGATGGGTTGGATCCCCCCTCCGCGGTAAATTCCGCCTAAGAGTTGTAGCCCAGCAGCTACTGGCCAGCAAAGAACCCTGAGATGGGGCCAGATTGAAGACCGGGCGGTTTGGAATTGCGGCGACGGGAGTGGGGGATGCTGGTTTAGAGCCTGACAGGGGCACGAAAACGGAAAGCAAATCGCAGGGTTGGCCATTTGGCCAGAAACTTGACAGCAGATGGAGCGCCAGCACATTAGTACGCTGTAGATCTGGATCATGGTCGAACTAGACCCAAGGAGATTGACGTTGCAGTGTAAGTCACAAATATGACAAGGACCAAAGCCACGACCCCGGACAATCGAGGCCTGTCAAACGCCTCGAATTGATGAAAGGCCTGGCCAAGTCGATAATTCCGCTCAGTCCACCCGTCCACCCAGGCCATCAGCATGTGACTGTCGTAGCAGGCGTACGATCCTCGGTACTGCTCCGCGGCAAAAGCGTGGACTTTTGCCGGATAACGCCTTGGAGATGGAGGGTCCCCTGTTGTGCACTTTGTGGTGTGGCTTGTTCGCGGTTGAACTTTAACCAGATCCATCTGTCTTTGGGGCCAGCCCCCTTGTCAAAGACCAACCCCTCCAATCAGGAACCTTTGCCATTTCGCCCAATTGCTTCCCATTCCAGCTCGACTCGATAGTCAAGTGGTCTGCTTGCTGCTTGATGCTGACCCTGCAGACCGCCATGTCACCAATGTTGGGGAAAAGCCGAACCATCATTGCATATTCAGCTTGAGTTTCATGTGATTTCTTCATGGTTGTTCGATTGACCATACATGCCGCCGATTATAATCGGGTGACGGAATCGTCAAAGGCCAAGGGGGGCAGGGGACTATCCTTTGCGAAACGCCGAAAGAGGCAGCTGAAATCCCGTGTAAGTGCTCAAGCACACGTCTCCAACATCTTATCCAGGACTCCCTTCAGAGTATCATTTTCCAATGCGGCAGCTACTCGCTCTTTGTCACCAAGCTGCTTGTTCACCTGGTCGTCCTGGTTATGGCTGTTTTCCTTGCAAGTGACATCGACCCGGTAGTTGGGAGGAAGAGCCTGCTCCAGTCGCACCCGAACTCCCAGACCAATAACTGTCGCGAGCGAGCAGTGCGTGATGGTCGGTGTAATTTCCACAGCAACTTGAACAATAGTGTTGGGGTCTGGAGCGCCCAACGAGGGAGAGGGAGAAATGTGAATGTCACAGAGGTTAATGACAGAGAGCTGACCCAGAGACACCGGATGTTCAGGGTCGGAAATGGTTGAGATCAAGTCTGCAAAGCAACGTTAGCACTGAATACTTGTTTGAGAATCCAGCGGAATGAACGCTGTTGCCACTAGGGACTGGTTATGGTATGTAGAACCGGACGCATCTAACAAGCAACTCCACAGTAGAAGCCCCGTGGTTCTTGGGGTTTGATGGTGGTAGTTTGAGCGTCATGCAAACTTCTGAGAAAGGAAATAGGCAACCCAAGTGGCAGAGATAGTGTAGTGAGGTGTCTCAAGTTGAAACACTTCTAGTCTCGACTCCACTAAAATAGCAAGACAAAAAGAGATCGACATACCGTAAATTTCCTGTTCATCGATAGCTTCATCGGCAAACTCGTCGTGCCAATCACTAGTGCGCGGCCAAGCAACCGCGCTCTGGCTACAGAAAGGCTGGGATAGGTACGACGGCTTGGCGAAAACAATGTCGTTGTACCTAGATTCAGGGCCCTTCCGGGGAGCCAGCTTTGCCTGGCGCGTGGGCAGCTGGGATGCGCTCAGGATGGTAGGGTTCGCATTGTCCAAGGTGGCCATGGCGGCCAGAGAGGGACCGATAGTCGGCGCTGGGATGCTGGCAGGCGGGATACAGCGCGAGCGACGCAGGGGGCAGAGAGGACGAGCGTCGTAGAGTGACCGGCTCAGCCCGAGGAAAGCTGGATAGTGGAGATGACAAATGCGCCGCAAGATGCTAGCCAAAGGGTCGCGGACTCGTGATGGCCAGGTTGTTCATGAGTTCGTGTTGCACAAGGATGGTGGGATGCGGGTTGTGGGCGTGGAGGGGAAGATTTGATCTCATGACGCCACATTTGATAAGCGCGGAGAGTTCGACCGAGGCAGGAGGCTTGAGGGAAGGAGGGGGGGGGGGGTGAGGCGCAGCACAAGCGAGACTCGAGACCACCGCCACTGAGCTGACTAGACTCGCACTTTTGGCCCTTGGGCAATCAATCTAGTTTCTAGCATCGCAATACTCCGCATGGCAAATCGTCAGCTGGAGGCGCTTGTGGTGGACCCCTAGAGAATGACGCACGCATGACAATAGGCACATTGCGATGGAAACTTTATTGGCATCGCATCGAACTCCGTGCGTACATCATCGGCATCCATGCCGAGACGCGCCCGCAACAGGGGCCCTGGACGGCTGAGGATTAACTCTGCAATGCGAATGCACACTGGCTGGGCACACGTCGTCATGGCTGCTGTCGGAATATGCAGGATAATCGATAGTGGCCTCGAGGAGGACGCACGTATTCATGCGCTGGGGATCATTGGAGATGATTGCGGTGTAAGACCAGGGGTAGCAAACGCCACGAGACTCCGGGTGAGAGCGAGATTTGACTCAATTGATGGCGCTCGAACTAAGAACAAGCATTCCACACTCAATAATCTAACGTGGCAGTGGGGGCTGACCTATTTTGAAAGATTGGATGGGGTCGTGACGTCCCGGCCGAGAAGGCTTCTGGAATCTCCGTAGAAGGCGTCAATGGGCGGCGCGGTTGCCGGCACCCCTGCAACGAAGATCCCCAGAAGCCGCCCAGAAGCCGAAGGTTGGTCGAGATGCGCCATGGGTCTTGCATGGCTTGACAACCGGTCCCAGATCGTGGCGGACGCGGATTCCGTGGACTTCGGAGCAGACTACCAGAACGGGTCAAACCAAGGTCCGCGAACCCCCTTGGGCTTCGAATTGAGCCAGCCGGAGAGTCGTCTGCCGCAGAACGTCTCAAGTGCCGACGCAACCAACAGCTTATGGCCCTAACGGGCGATCCGCGGCCCTATGCGTGACTCCCTGACGCTTAACGCTGGGGGCCGATTCAGTTCTGGTGTGTTGGATGTCGGAGGGCATCGGATCTTGATTGGCATTAGTAAGAACCCCATCCAAGATTGGTATCTATGTGTAATCTGAGCTCAGCAGAAGATGCCGGCCGACGGACCCAGCGGGACATGGGTATCGCGGTTCCTGGGATCGCCGGACAGGTTGAAATTGCTCCTATGGCTACGACATCCTATAGTTGTGAGGATGCATGCAAGGGCCTGCCATGATTCTCCCAGGTCAGGGGGGTGGGTCATCGTCATCGTCTAGGTCGTCCTTGGTTCTGTGCCTGCGGCGAACCCTACAGCGGCAAGGAGGGCGATAAGTTGTCAGCTGTCGCCCATGAAGCACCCATGAAGCACCCAACCTTCTTCTGCCGCCTTGTCCCTGAGGCGCCGGCCCATCTCGTCGTGCCGACACGTTGCACCTAGTCCGGGGACTGGAGCTCGCGCTGGGCACTAGCGGTGGCCTCACCGACCAAGCTTTGTGGCGGGAGCTGCGCGCTCCGTGGTCACTGGTAGGCTTCCGCTTGCCCAAGCGAGGACATTGACTTTGATGAAGGGAATTGGGGGTGTTGGCCCCGTCGAGGCACTGAAACCACCATTGCGTGAAGGGCAATTTGATTGAGCCCTCGAGCCCGGAAAGTGGGCTGCGGGTGCGTGGAGAAAAACCGTCCCCTCTCTCTCCCCACCTACGACTGGGCTTAACGTCGCTGTACCTCGGCATCTTCCACGCCGCCTCCTCCTCGCTGCCCTGAGCGTCACCGAACCGACAACGACGGCCGACATGTGACAACAGTCAACATCTAGTAGGTACCTACATACGGCCCAGCGCAGCCGTACCACCTGCCGGGAAAACACAGCGCTCCCCTGACCCTTCTCGGCTCTATAGGGAGCACAGGACAAGGTTTGTCAAGATGCAGGTGGTACACCTCTTTCATTTGCGGCATTGTCGCCAGTCTGAGAAGGGCGGATTCGCCCTCTAGTACAGTGTCAAAAGGCGCCACTGAGCGAAGTTTGCGTCCTGTCTGGCCCCGAAAGTTCTAGCTCGTGCGTGGGAGGCGACCAGGGGGTGTCTGCCAAGGGGAGGGGGTTCCAGGCTAGATGTCGGCTCGGATCCTGGGGTGTTGACGTCGATACGACAAGTACCGTGGCGTGCTGGAAACATCGAGGACCCCTGGCGCTTGATGGAGACGACCAATTGACCCTTCCCCGAGCTAACAAAGGAGTATCCGTGCGAGAATCGCGAACCACAGAGAAGAGACATCACCGGGTGAAATTGCGAGGCGCAGGTAGCCCACCAGTTGCGGATCGAAATGCTGCCGGAGCTTTTTAGGATCGAGCGGTAAGCTTGCTAACAAGCTATCGTTCGCCTCCAAAGCTACAGATCCCCGCGATGACGGTTCAATTTTCCTCCGTCAATTACCGAATACCGGCGAGGGGAAGTCGCAGGTTTAGGCGTTTGCTATCCTTGAGCCTGCTTGGCTGATCGCGTCCGAGTACGACCAGTACCCGCCTCCGGGGCTATACTCGGACTGGTCTATCATAGCGACGGTTCCTGCATTTCAACAACAAACAGGTATTCGCAGTTGCCAAAGGTGGCATGGCATGTCTCTGGTGGACGCACTGTGCTCGGTACATGTTTGGACGAACCAATCTGGGGAGGCAACGGGCCATACCCCAGGCTCACCGTCGTCGTCAGCGGGGATAGGCACTTATCCAGGGTGTTGGTCGCTCAATTAGCCTTGGGAGGCAGAACAAGACCTCATTGACGGGACTCACGCGCTGGCATGCCGAATACTGCAGCTGCAATCAAATGCCACCCACAATCTTCATGCGGCTTGTTTCTCGTCGGCGGGAGGGTCGCATCCAAGCCATCCAAGCTCCCCTCGCCGTTGTGACAACCTTGACGAGCAAGTGCGGCCCCTGCCGAAAGTCAGCCAACGGGAAGCCGGGGGAGGCTCAAGAGCAGGAAGATGGAGAGATTCCATCAAGCAGAGGATGGTGATTGACGCGCGTTGGGCTGAGCTACTGCAGGTCAGGATGAGAACCGTTAGCACCGTCTTGGGTTCCTTGGGAGCGAGGGTGGATCCCGCGCTGCCAGTGGCTCGAGGACAATGAACTGACCGCCGTGGCGCACTTTGGGGCCATGGTGTCGGTAACCGTACTGGGACAACCCAGCTCTGCCAACCTTACCAGCCAGCCGCTAGCCAGCCCATCATATATCCACGCACATACATAGTAGGACTGCGAGGCGGGGAGGGATGGAGGGATGAAGGGATGGATGGAACCCGATACCGACACCATACATGACGGCAAGTTTACGGGCCTAAACCGGCAAGGAGCAAGACGATGGGCAGAACAGGGGGTTGCCGCAAGGCCCGTGGATCGCAGCGAATGATTATGACGCGCCAAGGCAAGTTCCGCGCTGTGGCACGGAAGTCGATGTATGTGTCCGGGGGACTCTTGGATGTCCCGGCTCTTGAGTGGAACATCTGGACGCATCTCGATGTCCGCGAATGTATCTTGTCGTCCCTGGCATTCTGGCAAGCGCGTACACCGCGAAGATGTCGAGGCCCCCTTAGAAGAACCCAAGCGGCAGCCCAAAGTACTTATCTGTACGAATGCCAATGCCTCGATTAAATGGGCGAATCAGCTGGTTTTTACTTCAGTATCAGGTGGCCGAAGTTTCTTAGAAACCGTGGCCCGGATGCCGGTGAGGTCCGTGTTGTGGCTGTGGCTGGCATTGTATGTAGGTCCGGAGTCCGCCGCACCGCACTTGTTCGTCCATCTGTCATTGATCTTCAAAGGCACTTACTTTCTACGAAAACCTGCCTAGTCGAATCCAGGAGGTCGAAAGCGGTGGAGTTCACTCCATGAACCCAATAACACCCGTCGATATACGACGGTGCGCAGCGACCTGGGACGCACTGTGGAGCGGCTTGTCCCCTGTTGTTCGGTGGCAACTCCACTGAAGCACGCAGTCGGCAAGGTGCCGGGCTGAGTGCCTTGACCCAGGCGAGCCTAGTGAAGCAGGTGGAGAGGCCCTGTCTGCCAGAGGAACACACATACTAGGACGAGGCTAATGCTCGAGACGACTACGGGAGGGATGGGGACAGCGAGCCAAGAGTCCCGGGGGCGGTGGCGGTGGGTGGCGTGGTGGTCGCCTGCGAGTGCCGTTCTGTCGTCAACGGGCATATGCTAGTGGACATATGCTGGTGGAACGTCGCCTTAAACTCCTCCCGAGGCGACCAAAGACATCAATCCACACTGGCGCGGTAGACGGAAGCCCCCCCGGAGTCCAAGACAGGATGCGGACCAGCGTGCGCACCTCTCTCAACATAAGTACCTACCCTACCGCGGGTGCTGGTGACACGACGCCTCCTGATCGGGCTCGAGGGCGCGGTGGACCTGAGCGAAGCCCATCTTGCCATGGTGCAACTCCTGTGCTTGTCAGGCTAGAGCAGTGAGGAAGGTGAAGGAGACAACAGGGACGCAATGCCAGCGAGCGGTCAGCGCGGTTGCTTGCTTGGCCTGGACGATCTTCTTGGTCATCTACTACGTAGTATTTCCCTCTCTTACACAACTATAGATAGGTACGTAATAAGTAATCAGGAGTCCATTCACCCGGCGAATAACCTAACCCACAGCCTTGGGCCCATTACGAGATGACGGCGCCTGGTCCTTGGAGCCTCATCGTACATACCTCACCGCCGACCTCCACTGTAGATGCAGCGCGGTGCAGGCGGATGGGCTGGGTGGGAAAAGCGAGATAGCGCACCTCGTTGACCGGCCTAATCAATTGCCTACCTGGACTGCGTGCAGACCAACCATTCCTCCCGTCGCCTGCCTACCTTAGCTCTGTGCTACGTGGGAATGCGAAAGGGAGGCAGCGGCGGGTTTCCTGGTATACTCCGTATGTACGTGTACGTACGGCTGCTGTGGCATGGAACCAACCGCTCGCCATTCCTTGGCCTGAGCTTGGGCTTCTGGTTGAGCCCTGCAGCGCACCGCCCAAGTGGGTTGTCGCACAAAGCTGTAGGTATCCCCAACCCAACTGCAGGTGGTCAAGGTGCAGCCTGCAAGCCTGCAAGCAGCCCAGCGACGCACCCGCGTTTGAGAGCCTTGCAGACTTGCAGGAGGGGGTTCCCTCCAGTACCTTCCTTCTTTGCCGACCAGCTACCGTGATTACGAAGCCCCGAGTTTGAAGAGATATGCAGGTGACCCAGGAAGTGCATTTCTTTTGGCCACGCTTTGGGAAGGCAGGTACGGAGTTGGGGTCTCGGTGCTTTGTGTACTTGGTACGGTACTCCGTACGTCGCCATGACCCGCGTCCTTCAATATCGGCCACGGCTCTCGCTCCGTCCGCTGGTTCCAGCTCTCGTAAATTGCACTTGATTCTTCTCTGTCTGTCTATCGATTCGGACGTCCGACTTGATGCCGTACGCGTACCCGGCGTTGTGCAAGACACGACAGGAGTGGCTTAACGCCGTCGTCTTCCATATCCACGCTTATATGGCCCTTTTCCAGAATGTCCCACGCCCAGAAGGCGGTCTCCCACGTCGATGATATCCCATATCCACATCCATACCCACAGTCGAATCCACGCCCCCTCCGTCACTAAAAAAGGCCCTACTCACTGATTCAAGTCGAGGGATAAATCGTCGTCACCTCACAACACACACCCCCGACACACCCGTTTCATCCACAGTCCACACCTTGGCTCTTGCGCGCAGGGCCGCCGACAAGACACCGGGCAAGCAGGCTGCTAGACGCGCTGGGTGTGCCATGCCATGCCATGCCGTAAGGTATCTCTGGGGCTGACTTGACGTACACGGTACCGCGAGGCCAAGAGCTGGGCTTGGTACGTATCCTCAGGTCGACCTCTAGTTCGTGATCGTACCGATCTTGGCGTTTGTTCTGCTTCTTCTACATAGTACTTGGACGGAAAGACGGGCATTTTCTAAGTACGGGTATGACAAGTCCCCTTCCGGCCCATCCATCCGCCATTGTACACGGCATCGATCATCACTCCACCTCATTCGCAAAGCTGCCGGCTGTCGGCCTCGATCATCATCTCATCGCATCGACCGCACCACCGCCACCCTCCACAAACTCGCAAAGCCGTAAACCCGCAAACCCGCAAACCAACCCGCCACCTCGTCCGTTCTCCGCGCACTTTGGCACCCTCGCCGCAGCTGCCAGCCTGCAGCGCCCTGCAACGGCTGCAACGCACCCTCTGGCAACTGGAACAGTGGCCTAGTGGAACAGTGGAACAGTGGAACAGTGGAGTGGTGCTCCCACCAGACACCACCTGGACAGCCACCTGGGCCACCACCTGGGCAGCCACCCACTCGGCCATCCACTCGGCCGCCCCATCTTCCACGTTCTGACGCCCACACACGCGCCGCCGTTTTTCCTCACTTGCATCACCCTACACCCTACCACATCGCACCCTGTCGACGCCCCTGTTGTCGGCCCTGTTGTGATCCCCAAAAATCCCAAGCGCAAAACCTTCCGCCGCCCCCCCAAAAACGCCAGGGCCAGGCCCGGGTTCAAGGTCAAGGCCAAGGCCACACACGCCAAGGGTCAGGACTCCAGGGACAGGACTCCAGCGACACCCCATGCCCCATCCCATGCCTCCCATGCCTCCCATGCCTGGCATGCCCCAAGCCTAAGTCCCCTGTCTTCGTCGCCTTCCCGTCTCTGAGAGCTTGAGGCTAGAGCCACTGGAAGCAGGCTACTGTTCTACTGAGCCCTGCAGCTTCAGCTTTAAGACCATCCTACAGCACGCTCACCACCCAACTCGCCCACTCAGCTCGCCTACTCAACTCGCCTGCCGCCCCGCGCTCCCTGACCTGTCCATAATAAGCCTGGACCGCCTCCTACGCGCACCGATCCGCAGTCCGCATAGCTCTCGTCCCGTCTCCCGTCTGTTGCACAGGAGCTGCTCTGCTGTGTCGTCAAATCCCCGTCTCCGTCGCCGTCGCCATCTATCGTTGTCACTCGCCACTTTTCGCCACGCCGACTGAAAAGTGTTCTTTTCCTCCCACGAACCTCGCGCGGCTGACGTCGTTGCTTTTCTCACTCTGCCGCGACATCGGAGCTTCCGAATCTTGTTCGACTCTTTAACCTTTGGTCCCGCCACCGCCTGGTCTCGATACGTCGCGCGCCGACTTGATGTTGGCAGCCAGCACCCCCAACGTCTGACCCTCCGGAGGCTGTGACCTCACCACCGCGTCGCCCACCATGTCCGAAAACGACGCCTCCGTCCGTCGCATCCTGCCCCAGAACTCGCAGATGAATTCCTTTAGCTTTGCGCCGCAGCAGTATGCTCAGCGCGAGACACAGAAGAGTGCGCCATCCCACTGCGAATTGGACCCCGCCTCGTTGTAAACCTAACCACTGACCCCTCATCATAGACTATGTCTTTGTCGACGAGCACAACCGTCACAAGCGGTTGAAGGGTACGGCTCTATCGATTTGCCTGTCTTGATCGCGCACGCCCCCGTGACTAACAACTTCCTTCTAGTTATGAGAGCCTGCGAGGGCTGCCGGAGACGGAAGATCAAATGCGACGCTGCGACGACCAACACATGGCCATGCTCCGCCTGCATCAGACTCAAGCTGCATTGCGTGCGCCCAAATGGCTACGACGGTGCCACTGACTCGACGACTTATGACCAGCCCCAGATGAACCCCTCCGATCACTTCCAGCAGATGTCCATGCAGCAGCAGGTCATGCACACGGCCAACAAGTCGCCTGGCTCCTCCATGTACGCAGCGCAGCAATATCCCGACGCAAACGCCGGCGCATACCAGACAGTTCCCTATGATGCGAATCAGCAGCAAGGCGGCATGTCATATGCCAATGTACAGCCTCCAGTGAACATGATTGATCACTCGTATGCTGCTCAGAATGTATTTCCCACCCCGCCGATGCAGCACCCGCACTCGCATCGCCAGGAATCCTCCCCGGAAGCATATTCTTCCCCCGGCGATTATCAACATCAAGACCTCGCCGACTTACTCGGGACTCTGAAGGTGAATGAGGCAGGAACAGGTAAGATGCCTCCGTGGCTTGCCCTTGAGGTTCAGACCCGACTAACCACCCTTGCGCAGCGCCATATTTGAGGAATAAGGCATCTTTCCGACGTGGGGAAGAGCCAGTTATTGAGGAATCAGATGACTACAAAAGCGCGTTGCCGCCGATGATGCCTGCTCCCGGTCTAAAGATTCGTATTCCTCCGGAGTTGATGCCCGATGACGAAACGGCACTCCATTATTTCGACCTTTACTTTACCCACGTTCACGCCTATGTCCCAGTTCTGTGCAAAACAATATTCTATCAACAATGGAATACAGACAGGGAATCGATATCTCCCTTGATTCTCGAAGCTTTGTTTGCCATCGGTGGCCGGCTGGCCGAGGACCCAACTGAGGGCCAGCAGTGGCTCGCCCTTGCTACGAGTACGTGCATAGTCCCTGCTTAAACGCGATGGATATATACTTACTTTGATAGGACACGCGGATTCGTTCATGGATGTTCCGCGATTGAGCACTCTCCAAGCTCTGTTGATGATTCTCAAGGCGCGAGAGGCAGCCCCGAAGCGAGGATACTACTACCGTTCTTGGATGACCGTTGTGCAATGCGTTCAGATTGGCAAGGATCTGGAGCTGGATGAGCATTACGAAGACCACCAAGCAGGCAAACCTTGCGAGTTCAACTCGGAAGAGTGCCTTCTCAGGACTCGGATCTGGCAAGTCGTCTTTACTTGCGAGGTCATGGTTGGAACTCCCCAAGGTGCGTTCCCCTAACACAAACAAACCCCGGCAGATCCAATGCGACAAAGACTAACACGCCCCAAGGCCGACACGACCTGTCAGTTCACGCCGACTCGGTCGACTTTAATGTGCCAAGGCATCTCCCTGAGTGCGAGGAAAGCGAATTTCATGTGTGCCGGCATTTTACGTACTTTGCTCGAGTGGTACGAGGCGTGTCTAGTATGAGCAAAGTCTACGCCCGCCTTCGGAAGCGCAAGGATTGGGGAATCGACCCTGAATTCCAGCAGCTGAGCCAGTCATTCAACTCGTGGCTGACAGAACTGCCCCCCGACCTGGCTATAACCTTCCCAGCGGATGGCTCCCCTCCGTGGGTTCCGTCTCACTTCTTGGGCAACATGCACGCCTACTACTATCTCACTCTGATCCTCTTCCACCGGCCACAGTTGTCATTCTTGGATCCCAACGCTCCTGATGGGCAGTGGAAACGCCACATGATGATCTGCTACAACTCTGCCAAGGCGCTCTGTCGTCTACAGGAAGCCACCATCAACACATTTGGTCTCACGGGCCTCCAGTGTATGCAACGTGGCTACAGTTTCGTTGTCTATGCTGGATTATCTTGCATTGTCATTCACTTGGTAGGAGCTGGTTTTCTTTTCTTCTGGGGTGTTTATGCGGAACTAACCCAAATTCACGTAGGTGGCAATCGTCTCGCCTGACCCGGACTTGAACAACGATGCTCGAGAGTTTTTTACCCGACACATGCGGATCCTAGAGAAAGTAATGGATGCCTGGGAGATGCCCGAGTTGGAGAAGCAGATCAATGCTCTCCGGGAAGCCTTCTCGGCTGATCCGAGAAAGTCCTTTGTGCTGAAACCAACTTTCCCCTACGGAAGCCCTCACCCATCAACCCATTCAAGTCCGCCCCAGGTCACTCAGGGATACCGACCGGCAGTTCATCGAACGGGATCCATGGATCAAGCCTTGGACACACATAGCACTCAACAAGTCAGTTATACCAGTCACCCCATCACACCTCCCATCTCTGCCGGCCCTGTGGACAGCAAGAGTGACTCTCCAGCTGTACAGTCACTCGTTATGATGTCGCAAGGAACCCAGGGCCCGGGCATGGCACAGAGCATGCCACTTTCGGACCAACCTGGGTGGAACCCTTCGCGAATTTTTGAGTAAGTAACCATCTCCTATGCGCGAGTCGCCTGCACCTGTGCTTTCAGTGCTAACTCGACTATTAGACAATGGAATACGACATTTGGTACGCCCGCACAAACACAGCCCAGCTCCACCCCTTCACAAGCCAGCTCTCTAAACGTTGCGTCTTCGGCAGGTGCACCCGAGGTTTCGACACTCCAGGATATCCAAGCAGTCCATGGTTCCTTACCGACTGGCTCACAGCAGCTTTCTCCGTCGCAGTACTCGGCCGCACCCGTGACGAGCTTTGTGACTCCAGCCATGTGGCAAGAGTCCGTTGCTAGTGTCTACGAAGGTGGTCTCAAGCGGGCTTGGGACTACGAGGGCGGACCGGTTATGAAGCGTCATTGAGGCTATTAATTTGACCTCATAAACTAGCCACAAACTGGGTTGCAGGGCAATGCCAGGGGAAAGTGGTTGACTCTAACAGCCGTCCAGGCACAACATGGATGAGAGAAGGGTGACCGTATTTTCGGTGTATATTTTGGTCTAATGGCGGTTTCTGGTGTGGAGTGATCAGCAATTTGCATGGTGCATATTTCCGGGGACCCTCCGAAGTGGCTATTCGTGTAGCTATGGCGACTGGCGTGGGGGAAGAGAGCAGCTACAGGGAGATGAAAAGGCGCTTCCCAGGTGTAGGGATGGCGGCTGCTAGGTGTGGGTTGAAAAGGAATATGTGACGAGCTACGACCGAAGGCGTTTTTTTTTTGTTTGGGCTTGCAATGACGACTTGGAGTCTTTGTCCTTGGATGGATGGATGTATTACTATATACGTACGCATTGATTTGGGTGGTTGGCAAGGCAAGGCAAGGCGATGACGGCCTTTTCTCTTGTCCAAAGGAACCAATTGAGTGGTCCTTTGGAGGCGTTGGAAGCAAATAAGGGGGCAGCGCATGTTTGGCGTCTTGTGTTTCCAGGGGTGGGGGACTTGCATAATATCGACTCTTTTATTTGTCTGCAATGTTTTTACGTCTTGGTGTGATATTTTGACCAGAACTCACTCGAACAATGTCCAGCTTGGAAGTATTATGTATGTGAGGAATGAAATTAAGAGAGGCTAGGGAGGAGCTTTGAAGGTAACACGGGGGCTTCACGTTGGTTGCGCAACTTCAGTATGTATGGCGCAATTCGCTAGGTCGCCTTGTTAGTGTCTTGATAGGCTGCTGGTAATTAAGCTTAATTAAATCCAAGGTGAAAGAACGCCATCGGATACGTCTCTCTTGCTCCCCGCGCCAAGTGCCCACGTGTGGCATCGGTGAGCTGGACTGGCAGCAAGCTAACCGACCGGGGTAGACTAATGAGTCAGAACATGTAACCTTCAGTTTCTGCCCTTGCCTTCTTTGCCATTTTTCCCTTACTACATTCACTGCAACCTAGACCGTCTATCTCTCCTCGTTGCTTGTAACCAAGCACTGCGGCTTATTGGATCATGGTGCTGGGAACAGAGCGCGGGTGCGTCCCCGTCGAGAGACTGGGGAGCACGGTGCGGCAGAACTGGCACATGGGCTTTACGTCGTTTGGCGGGCCGCCGGTGCACTTCAAGATTGTATGTACTCGCATTGCTGTGGCCGTTTCTGGTCCTTGCAGTGCGGCAGTGGGTATCGGTGTGGTTGTAACTGATTCTCGGCAGTTTTATGACAAATTTGCGGTTAGACTGCGGTGGTTAGATGAACAAGTGGTGAGTTGCAACGACCAGATATGCAGAATGACTGTCTTGCTGGAATGGTTGCTTAACGATAAAACAGTATCAAGAACTCTTTAGCGTGTGCCAGGCGCTTTCAGGGCCGGCAAGCACCAAGATGCATTATTGCATCAACCTCATCCACGACGGCTTTCTCTCTGCGCTCATGGGTTTCTTCATCTGGAGGTACATTTTTCGCATTCAGCACTTCTCTAATATTGTACAAGGCAAAGAGCTAAGCTACAGCATAGTCTTCCCGGCGCCATTGGCATGTACGGCCTTTCCGTCGGCGTATCCAGCATCGGCGAGACGCTCCCGCGCCAGGTCTACGCGCTGCTCTCCGGCCTCAACGCCGCAACGGTGGGGGTTATCCTGCTTGCGGCGGTGCAGCTGTCGGAAAAGGCCATCACGGACCGTATGACGCGTGTCATTGTGTTCCTGAGTGCTTCGGCGGGGCTGATGTACAATGCGATGTGGTACTTTCCGGCTCTGATGGTGCTTTCTGGCCTGGCCACGGTGGTGCATGATTATCGGTGGTTACATGGCCCGGTTAAGAAAGTGTTGGCGATGATCAATCGACAGAGGCAGACGGTTGAGGAGGAGTCGGGGATAGAAATGCAGACGCGGCAGCCAGCGGTGGCGGGCTCGTCGACTGAGGTGCAAGATTCCAACACGGCATCCGCCGAGGACGAGCCCCGTGTCATCCCAGCTGGCCGACGTCTCAATGTCATGTCGTGGAAGCTGGGTCTTGCCCTCATCGTAGCCTTCTTTACGAGCTTCCTCGTGGTCATGGTCCTGCGCGGGACGCTTCCCGACCTGCCACTCCTCTACAGCCTCTTCGCCAACATGTACCTGGCGGGAACCATCATCTTCGGCGGCGGCCCCGTAGTCATCCCCCTTTTGCGGGAGTACGTCGTCGCCGAGGGCTGGGTGAGCCCGCGAGACTTCCTCATCGGCCTGGCCCTGATCCAGGCGTTCCCGGGCCCCAACTTCAACTTCGCTGTGTACCTCGGCAGCCTGACGGCCATCAACGGCGGATACAGTTCTGCCGCCGGGGCGATTCTCGCGTTTGTCGGCATCTTCGCGCCGGGGATGATTCTGGTCCACGGAACAATGGGGTTGTGGAGCGCAATCCGCGGGTGGCGATGGGTTAAGGCGGCGCTGAGGGGCGTGAACGCGGCGGCAGTTGGACTCATATACACAGCCGTGTACCGGTTGTGGCAGATTGGGTACATCGACGAGGGATACCGCAACGGGACGAGCTTGGCGGTTGAGCCATGGTGGGTGGTGACGACGGCGACGAGTTTCTTTGGGGGGATGTGGATGGGAGCTAGCCCGCCGGTTTCCATTGTTCTTGGAGGTGTTATGGGGATGATTTGGTATGGTGTGGTGACTGCTTGAGTGTGATGATTTCGCGGCTGGGAAGGGTGAGGTGAGATGTTGGATGTGGAGATGATTAGTTGTTGTATATGTGAAAGATGTAGTGTTGGTTAGGCAGGGCCGGCCTTCTTGTCGAGCCTCTCCTTGATAGCATCCCAGATCCAGCCATCGACCTGGTCCTTCTTCTTCTTCTCGTAGCGGACCCTCCTAACGGGGCCCTTCTCCTGGACGTAGAACTTGCCGACGGCGCGGAACATGTACCAGCTGCGCTTAGCGTTCTCGGCGTCGGTGTCGCGGACCAAGTTGACGAGGCCGAAACGACGGCGGGTGGGGGCGAGGTCGCCAGCCTGCAGGGAGCTGTAGCGGGGCTTGGCGATGAAGCTCATGGTGGTGAGGGTGAGCTGGGTGTTGGGCGGCAGCGTGCGGACGAAGCGCTCGAGGATGGGCTGGGAGGCGCGGGCGTAGGCCGGGAGGTGGATGTGTATGTGGGTGACGAAGGGGGAGGTGACGGAGGCGACGAACAGGATGGGGATGATTCCGCAGAGGGCGACTACGTGAGAGGAGGTGTTAGTCGGTTTGAGGTTTAAGGTGTGTGTTGTTCAGTTCATGATGGTCCTCATGTATTCGAAGGTGAGAGGGAGAGTGACTGAGAGAGTCATGATAGAACATACTACCAGCTGTTTCCCACACGGGCTTTTCGGCTTTGATATAACCCGGCGCAACGACAAAACAGAAAAAGCATCCGATGAATAGAGTCGTGACTTTGACCATGGCCAGAAACGTGGTCCGTCCGGTGCCGGCATGATAGATGATCAGCCGCTCAGGAAGCGCTGCAGAAATTGTCAGTCTTTGAGATCAATTCAACCCAGGGACGGGGTACGTCATACCATACTCCTTTCCATTCTTAGAAGCTGCTCGAGCTTGCCTTTTAAGCTCCTGCTCAACCCGGGACGGCGTCTTGGGTACGGGCAGTGCGTACCATCGCCGGGGCTGCTGCTGGAGAGATTTCTGCAGGGAGCTGCGGAGGGTGCGGCAGAGGGATGCTGAGAGGGGGGAGCTTGGGGACAGGGGGGTCAATTGGATTGGCCGCAGCCGGGGGATAATTGTTCGGAATGAAAACATTGCTTGTAAGTTGATTATAGTGGTCTGGGGTTGGAGCGTTGTCGGGAAGTGATGCTAAAAAAAGTCATGAGGGACGCGGCTTAGGGACGCGATGCAGCCCTGTGTGAGGGGGTGTGATTGGCACGTGGTGTTTTACAGATTGACACAGCCGCTTTCGCGGTGCTGCAAGGCAATGGAACGACTGAACTTGAATTTTTGCGTGGTATTTTCACAATTGAATTACGATAAGACATTGACGAAGAGACTGATGGCAGACGATTACGCTGCTTGTATCTGATTCGATCAAGTACATAGCTGTGTTGACACAATGCCTCTAGACAACATTCTTATCGAGCCACTCGGTCCACTGCTCAAGCGTCCACCCAGAACTGATGTCCTGCACAACACCGTCATACACAACAGTAGGCGTAACGTGGACGCCAATCAACCGGTTCATCTTGGTGACGAGCTTGACGTCGACGGTGACCTGGTTCCCCGCATTCAGCGCTCCGTCCGCACCCGGCTTGTCGGGGATGACCAGCAGGCGGTAGACCTCATCCTCGTCGACGCCGACCTTGGCGGCCACCTTGGCGAGGCGACGGTACGTATCGTTGCGCGTCTCGTTGACGACGTTGACGTCGAAGAAGGCCGCCTGCTCGTCAAACAGCACGCCGCTGAACTCCCAGAAGCGCTCTGGGGCGATGCGCAGCACGGCCAGCGCGGCCTCGTGCATCAGCGTCGACGACGGGTGCCACGGCTGGATCTGCTGGCGGAAGACGAAGGCGATGCCCGCCGCCCACTTGGGGTTGGCCTTGATGGCGGGGACCACGGCGCTGGTGAGCGTGCGGAAGATCTTGGCGGAGAAGGGGCAGCAGTAGTCCAGGTAGAGCTCGGCCGTGTGCGTCGTGTGGGCGACGGCCGAGGCGGCGGCGGGCGGAGCGGCGAACTCGAGCTTGTGGCCGGCGAACTTGGGAGGGAGAGCCATTGCGTGTGACTTGATTTGTTTCTGACGTGTACTTTTGACGCGGGTTTGTTTGTGATGGATGTAGATGTTGGCGTTGATGTGTCAGCTGTCAAATCTCTCACAATGTGAGTTTGTGGTGTTGAGGGGTACAGTCAGGATGGTGGCACAGCCAGTATCAGCGGGGAAACGAAGCTGCAGATGATGTCGACAAATCGGGCATATTATAAACGGACATCAACATATTATGTTTTATTACATTTATAGCATTAAGAGCACAGCTTCCGTAGGAGACAAATGCTACTATCAATTACCAAGCAGAGCACTATCCAACGAACGATGCTGGAATGGGAGCTTACCCCGTGGATAAAGCAATGATGTCAGCTTCACGTGGAATCACGACACAGTTCACCACCTCGCCGGGCTGTCGGCGAGCTGTCAGGATGGGGCATTACTAACCACGATAAGGCGAGAGGGGGACCCTTATCGTGTGCTTCGTATTGCTAGGTACGCAGGTGTATGTTTGAGACAGAGAAACGCACACCGACAAGGTTGCACTTGAAACTTAAAATAATCCCAGTACATGAATTCGCTGCGAGATGCTCCCCCGCAACCATTCCCATCCTCTGGCCACTGATGTGGCGCGGTATCTACGGTGTGAGACGGACGGCAGAGATGCCGACGCCGGATCAACTACATCCGGGCTGAGATGACCAAACTGCAGCACCTGCAGATGTGATAACATGCAATCCTACATAGTCTAGTCTAAGAGAGGAGGGAAAGGAAGAACATCTTCTCGCCAAGATCTTGTCAGCCCGCCCAGCCATCTCACCGAGTCCGTCCAAGCCCAATGCCCAGGCTCAACATGCAGTGCGGCCAGTCTCTGACCTACAATGCTAGCGGGACGTGAGACATGGAATGCAGCCAAGCAGCAAGCTTGCTTCTCGGAACCCGTCCGATATACGCCATGTCGGTTGGTAGTGGGCACCACCGATGCCGTCCGATATTCGTGCGCGCCGCGTCTACACGTCCTCGGTCCCGTACTTGCATCTCCAGGAGTCTAGAAGCACTTCTAGTTCCCTGCCAGCCCGTCAAGGTGCTCCCGGATCCGCACAGGTGCTGCTAGCGAGTGCTGGGCCCTGGCAAATTGGTGCTGGGAGCCCCGCGAACCCAGCCGCAATTCGATGAGACCATGGCCAACCTTTTAGTCACTGAGGAGGTCATCAGGTGGGAAAATCCGTCGACGGACCTCCGATGCGGGCACCGTCCGGGGTTGATTCCCGGGCGGCACTGCAGCTGAGCTTGGGGGGTACGAACACACACCGGGTCCCGAAGGCAAGCGCCAGGGTACCGCCTGCCGCTGTACCTCCTGCAAGCCGCTGCTCATGCGGGCGAGGGAGAATGCGGAGGCAGGTACGACGGGGGAGGGTACTTTTCATGTGCAACTCGCGGATCAGGATCACGCGGGCGAAACCGGGGTTGCGGTGGTCCGAACCTGGCTTCTTTCCTTTTTCGGTGGCGCACCGCCCGCCTCCTGGTCTTGCCTCCTGGCATAGCCGACTACTAACGGTGTTCGATCAGGGTGCAAAGCCAAAAAGGTGGTTTTAACCTTAACGCTGATCCTTAAATCTGTCATCGCAACCATTGACGACTGCAGCGCTTTCGACGAAACATCATCCCCACTGCACCCTCAATTGCAATTGCGATTGAGATTTAGTTGTCACTTGGTGAATTCGCGTCTCATACCAGCTCCAATTCGGTTTCACTCGGTCCAACCACCACTCATCCACACGTCGATCCATCAGCGTCACCAGCGGGTGCCCGTTCCCGGCCCCATCAACCAGAATGATCTGTCTCTCCAAAGCAGACGAATTCGTCTTCAGGCATCTGTCTTGGAACCAGAGCCCTTCGCCCCTGGCCGCCGCCCAGACGACGCGTCAGGATCTTAACGGCATCGCCAACCTCCGCGAGCATGTTGACGCCGACCAAGATGATGGCAGCGGAGGCTGTAGCGGAGGATCGCTAGGCACTGGTGATGAAAAGAATCATCTGGGGATCCAACCTCCTGAGCCCAGCCACGGAGAGCTGGCAGATGCGAGACGACTGTCCCGCTCTGCAGGTATTTTCTCCCTTTTTTTCTCCCTTCTTCTCCAACCACTTATATCCTCTTACCCCACACATCCTTCGAGTCACATGTCCACCTCTTATAATAAACCACTTGAAGGCATGTCCACTTACTCTGACTCTAGGATTGTCCTCGTGTCTGAAGACGGTTGATGGTGGTGATGACCATGACCGTCTTTCCCGAGGCACGGCCCCGTCGTGTCTCTCTCGCGTCTGGAGCTGGGCCGCCTGGGTTCTCTCTGTTCTTGTTGTTTCTTCGATTATCTCGTCTTGGAATTCTCCCAATCCCGTTGCCGTCTCGTCGCCTCTCGTTCAGCGATCCTTGCCCCCAGTCCAAGCCTCTCCCCTCCGTAAGAGGTCCACCTGCGATGCTGGGGGCGTAAACAAGAATGATTACAACACCGGGCTCCATGTCGCGGCTTTGTTCATCATCTTGTGTGTATCGACACTTGCTTGCGCCTTTCCCATCTTGGCTGTCAAATTCCCGGGTCTGAGAATTCCAAACCGTTTCTTTTTTGCCGTCCGTCACTTCGGTACTGGCGTCCTCATCGCCACGGCCTTCGTCCACTTGCTTCCCACAGCCTTTATTTCCCTGGGCGACGCGTGCCTGGGCGGCTTTTGGACTAGCGACTATCCTGCGATTCCTGGTGCCATTGCCCTGGCGGCTATTTTCTTCGTCACCATTATCGAGATGGTCTTTCATCCTTCCCGGCACCTTCCTACCAACCAGATGGGCCCTTCCTCGGGTGATGCCCCCTCCGACGACGAACCTCGCAACCACGGTGGCTGCATGGGGAGTGTCGGTATGCTTCCAGTCCGCGACATGGGCCCCCTCCGCGGCCGGGCCTCGAGCATCGGTCACGGCTTGACCAACTTGAACAACCGGGAGATGCCGGAGGTTGCCGATGGAAACGAGACTGGCGGCCAGGAGGATAGCACTCAGCCGCGACGAAAGCAGAGTTTCGAGGAGACAAGCCTTGAGAGCGTGCATGTGATTTTGACTCCAGAGCAGAAGCAGCGTAAGGAGCTTCTTCAATGCGTCCTTCTCGAGCTTGGTATTCTGTTCCACAGTGTCTTCATTGGGATGGCTCTAAGTGTATCGACTGGGAACGAATTCATCATTCTCCTCATTGCCATTGTCTTTCATCGTAAGTTAGACAGCTAGTTATTGCTGCCGTTGAAGTGATTACTGACCCCTTGTCACAGAGACTTTCGAAGGTCTAGCACTCGGTTCTCGAATTGCGAGCATCAAGTGGCCGAAGGGCAAGATGCAACCCTGGTTCATGGCACTTGCATACGGCTGCACGTAAGTATTCACCCTTCGTCCGCCCCATAATTAGGCAATTGCTCATGTCAATAGAACTCCCCTTGGCCAAGCTCTCGGTCTGGCTACTCACACCCTCTACAGCCCCGGCTCTGAAGTGGGCTTGATCATGGTGGGAGTGATGAACGCCATCTCCGCCGGTCTGCTTACCTTTGCTTCTCTGGTCGAGCTGCTCTCGGAGGATTTCTTGAGCGATGAGAGCTGGCGTGTTCTCCGTGGAAAGAAGCGAGTCTACGCCTGCCTCCTCGTCTTCTTTGGTGCCTTTTTCATGAGCCTTGTCGGTGCATGGGCTTAGGTGCCATGCCGCCAATGGGTCTGAATTAACGCCTACTGCCTGGCAAACGCTGTACATGAGGCCTGCCGATGTGGACATACCAGTTACTTGATGGCCGAGCACATGGCTTTGATCTTGATATAGGAGCCTTCTTCTTCTCTTCTATCGTCGGATCCGGATCCGCCTCTGCTGATCTGGACCGACCCTTTCTGCAAACCTACCCAGGTTACCCCTCCACCGCGCGCTCCCTCTCGCAACACAATGCGAAGGGTCTGAAGAATATTTTACATCTTCTTCACTTTATGTAACGACATTTCCAATATGTGTTGCATCAAGCTTGATATTTCACACATAGATAGCTATCTACAACTAGCAAATTGACGCTCATTTTATACAAACGATTATTGCTGGAGCAATAGCGATACACCTTCAGCATCCCCCATAGCTTTCATAGTGACATGCATTCGTTTCGGTAATGGTTATCATTTCTATCATCATTGTAATTTTTTACCCCATCATGAAACGGTATTCTTGGAAACAATGCCCCTCGCAAACTCTCCAAAGGTGAGATGCTGCTCAATGTCCACCTCCTCGCCCAAGTTAGGCTGGGTAAAGACAGCAAGCGTGTTCCTAGCAATCCTTCCACCACTAACACTAGCACGCACACCCCGGACAAAATGAGGGACGGCCTTGAAGCGGCCAGCCGTGATGCGTTCAAGCGCCTCGCCCGTCTGGAAGGCGATGCAGTCGCGCGGGATCTTGACCTGGAAAGTCTCGCCGGAACGGGACTTGATGTACAGGCCGGCGGAGGGGTCTGGAGACGCGGCGAGTTCGTTTAGGAGGGGGAGGGATTGCCCCGGTGCTGCAGAGGAGGGAACGGCCGGGCTGGTGTCGTGTTCATCGATGAACATGGCGGACGTAAGACCGGTCAGACAGCCGTGATCAAGATGCGTGGCACACCAGTCATCTTCATCAGCGTCAACGCCGGCAGCGGGGTCGACGTCCTGCGGGTAGTAGTGTAGCAGGCGGGCCTTGGTGGTGCTGGACGAACTAACGACGTGCTCCAAGTAGCCTTTGGGATATCCCGGAATGTCCTGTTCGGCGAAGCGGTCGCAAGCGCGGGCGACGAGGACGCCGACGTCGATAATCAGGCGACACAGATCCGTAACGCCGGGCTTGAAGCCAGGCAGGACAGACTCTGGCGGCCAGATGTTAGGCGACAGGTACTCAGGGAATGTTTCTGGGCTGAAGGCGTCGGTTGGGGCGGCGCACTCGAGGGACGGGTCGATGTAGAAGGCGCAGTTGGCGTAGTAGGAGCCCTTGAAGGTGTCGACCTGCCCATTTTTGAGCGTTTCTTTGCCGAGAGACCAACCGGTGAGGTATTTGGCGTGGGAGTTTTCGAGTTTGTCTGTGCAAGTGTGAGTAAGAGACAGTAAGAGGCTGGAAGGGAACATACCGAGTTCGTCCTTGGGCAGGTTGCCGAGGTATGAGGCGTAGGAGAGGGCTTGGTGTCTCAGCTGGGGGAAGTCCTGGGGCACATCTTTGATGACCAAGATGCCGAGAGAGTTGGGGCCGAATGCTTCTTGAAGGGTTTCGAAAGGAATTTTGCCTGTGTGTTGGAAGTAAATGGGGTGTAAGTCGTAAATCCTTCAAGACATGGTGAGTGAGGCATGACGTCTGGTGGTACGTACCTTCTTTGAGGTCATGGAGCGACACGGTGACGGCTTGTGCCTGAGAAGTCATGTTGGCGAGGGTTTTATGTAATTGAATATATGTAAATACAGGAGACTCAAGAAAGGCGACTGGATTAATGAGAAAATGACACGCATTATCTGGGCTGTCGTCTCTTTATCTCTTCTTGGAATTGAGGATCCCGTGGTTGGACGAGCGCATGTTGCGGGGGGAGGGGAGATTACATAACCAATCACCTTCCCGAACGGTGATCCTTCCGTGTGGAGCTCGCCGTCTCCCGGGGCGGACTTCAGTGCCCTTGCCAACAGAGCCTCAAGCGTCGAGCACGGCATGCGACCTTGAACCGACGACTGTTGACCGACGCCAACCGAGGACGGTTTTCCACCATCATCTCCAACGACAACGGGTCTCAACTCTCAACTCGTTCGACAATGGTCAAGCCGCTCTCCTTCAAGGGCGACAAAAAGGTCAAGAAGCGCAAGCGCGCCGACGCCGACAAGCCGCCCCGCGACGCCGACTCCGAGGCGCAAGACGCGCAGGTGCAGAAGCAGAACCCCGGCGCCGACGAGCCCGATAATGACGACAGCTGGGTGTCGGCCGAGGGACTGATGGATGTCGTCGGACCTGTCATGATCGTCCTCCCCACTGACACGCCGTCGGCGCTGGCGTGCGACCCGAGCGGCAAGGTGTTTGCGCTGCCAATTGAGAACATTGTCGACGCGAACCCTTCCACGGCCGAACCGCATGATGTGCGCCAGGTTTGGGTTGCGAATAAGGTGTCAGGAACGGACAGCTTTCGGCTCAAGGGCCATCATGGAAGGTGTGTTTGTGTTTTAATGTGGATGAACCGAACTGGGCTGACATGATACACGATAGATATCTTTCCTGCGACAAGATCGGGTTGCTTTCAGCCATGTCCGAAGCTGTCTCGCCGCTCGAGTCCTTCAACATGATCCCCACATCCGACACGCCGGGGACCTTCCAGATCCAGACGCTGCGCGACACGTTCCTGACCATTAAGCCGACGACGTCCGCCAAGGCCGGCGGCGCAGCGGGCGCCGAGGTGCGAGGTGACGGCGACGCCATCTCTTTCAACACAACGTTCCGGATCCGAATGCAGGCGCGGTTCAAGCCGAGACTTCGAGCGTCCAAGGAAGAAAAGGCGCTGGCGCGTATCAGCCGACGGGAACTCGAAGATGCGGTGGGGCGGAGACTGGAAGAGGACGAGGTGCGGAAGCTAAAGAGGGCGAGGAAGGAGGGAGACTATCACGAGCGGTTGCTGGAGTTGAAGGTCAAGGGGAAGCATGACAAGTATGGTTGAGTGGAGTGCCTGTGAGAGGTTGGTAGTGACAATTTGTGAGGCAAGATGGGTATACAAGGGAAACACAAGTCAAGAGAGCGAGGGTGAGGGTGAGGGTGAGGGTGAGAAGATATCATGGACAAGGAGTGAAAACAAAGCTTCCAAACTCGAGGGAGCAATTGTACAGAGAGACCCCGACACGTGACGGGGCACAAGCTGGAGAACAATGAACTGGTGAGTGTGTGTTCCCGCATGACGGTGGCCACCACCTTAATGACCTATTGACGGCCCGGACTGACGGAATTTCCCCTGACAGCTGGCACGCGGTTTAGTTCCCAGCTAACAGCTGCCTGCCACCTCGCGCCAACTCCCGCCAATCCCGCCACCTCCCACCAACCAGCAAACAGACCGAGGAAGCCTTATAGATCCAAACAACACAGCCCTCTTCCATCCTTCAGGACTCGGAGTGTGCTGGCCGAGATGGGGCGGGGGTGCGCCCAAGCTTTGACAGGGGACCGTAGGTCCTCAGTTCGACGTCACTAGTAGCTTCTCTTTTTTGCTGGTCCTTTTTTGTCTTGGGGGCATCGTTGGATAGAGGCTGGGCTATGGACCTTGCCTGTTATTTTTTGGTCGGTTTTGAGCTTCATTTGCGTGCTGCAGTGTGAGTTCTGTGTATATTTCTCATGCTGCTGGCTGTGGTTGGGGTGAGGCTCGTGGTGGTGGTGGTGGTGATGGAGGCTGAGTGTGGTGTTGTGGCGCACCCATTCACACTACACTACCACTTATACACTTTGACGCACACGCACATGAACACACGCAAACACACAGATTCATGTTCTTCATATCCTTTTGTTTACTCATAACCCAATCTAAATTAAGTGCTCGGCCTCCACGCCTTGACGTTGCCATCCTCGCCCGCCGTAAACACCACGTGCTCCTCGTCGAAGAAGCAGAACGACCGCACAATCTCCTCCCCGTGCGCGCCGGGCAGCCCGACGCTGTTGTCCCGGTCCAGGGCCCAGCCTTGGCCGTTGGGGTTCTTGGCGAGGAAGACGAGCTCGAACATTTGGCGGCTGGCGGGTGTTAGTATTTCTTGTTTCTGCGCTTCGGGGTTCAGTGAGGGAGACGGCTTACTCCTGAGATCCGGCACCGAGGATAGCGCCGCTTCCGTCCAACTTGGGCGTCACGTCGGCAACGTACTGGCAGTCCAGCACGGTGCGCAAGTCGCCAAAGTCCTGCGTGGCGTCGCCGGTGGTGCGCTCCTCGGCGACGTCGTACAGCGCGCACCGCTCGTCGTGCGACAGCGCGGCCATCTCGGTGGGCGTCAGCCACGCGGCGCGGTGGACCGAGGCGTCGTGGTTGCACGTCTGCAGCGTCAGGTCGTCCTCGTCGGCGATGCGCGTGTCGTAGACGTTGACCAGGCCGTCGGTCGAGCCCGACATGAGCAGCGCCGCGTTGCTCGGGTTGAAGGCGAGGTCCGTCACGTCGTCGCTGTGCACTTCTTGGTAGTGCGCTCTGGCCGAGGGGTTGGAGCGGACGTCCCTGGGGGGTTGTTAGGAGGTGGGCGTGAGTGGTTGGGTGGTGCTGGGGTGTGGTGTTGACGGGTATAAGAGGGCGATGCTTCACGCAAGATGTCATGACGTACCAGAGGAAGATGGAAGCCGTGTGGTTTTGCAACTCAGTGCCCACGGCAATCGTCTTGGTATCGGCACTGCAGGCCATGGACAGAATAGGCGACTCGCTGGCTTCACGCGCACTCTCATCAGCCACCGCGTCCTCATCATGACAAGCCTCACTTACACCGACGCCATGCCATCATCTCACTCCGGCAACTCACCTTGAAACTGCGCCACGCGCCCGCCCTGCCGCAGATCCCACACGGCCACGGTGCCGCTCTCGCCGGCGGTGCACACGAGCGCAGCATTAGCATCAAAGACGCGCAGCGTCGTCAGGTTGCCGTGGTCGGTCTGCAGGCGGCGCACGGGGCCCTGCGACAGGCGCGCGGCGTCGAGCAGCGCGAGCGACTGGTCCGAGGCGATGGCGGCGAGGCCGGCGGATGTGCGGTGCACGTCGAGCACGTAGACGTCGCGGCCGAAGTGGAGGCCGTCGGCGCAGGTGAGGGAGTACATTGTGGTTTAGTTGTGTGCTGCGTGGTGTGGGTTGTCAGTTTGTCGGTTGTGAAGGGTGTAGAAAAGTTTTGAGATGGCGTCCATGCCGATATTTAGGATGGAGAGCGGTGGCCAGCATGGGATATATACCTCTCTCCAGGAACAAGACGAAACAGGTTGCAGAGACTTACACTAAATCTATTGCCTAATCGTCACTTAACAAATCCTCGCATGCGCAGTTTGTGAATGCAGAGTCAACCCAACCCAAAGTCCAACCGGATATTCACCCCCACTTGAAAGTCGAGACTTGCGATTGGCCTCGTTAACTGAATATCCCCAACTACCCACCTCCCAGCTCGACGACGCCTCACTCAGCTACGCCCGCAGACAGAAAGAATACAAAACAATCACACATAAGCGCATGTATCAGACGATTCATAGAAAGGGGATCGTGTCCGCTGAGTTTGATTCTTCTCTCGTATTCTTACAAATTATTTCGTCTATCTGAGTTGTACAGTGTCATACGCCTGGTCTAACGCTCGCAACAGTCAAGGGGCTGTAAAGAAGAGAGTCGCCCTCGCCGCCAAACCTCCAAGTCGGGGTTCCTCAAAACGCCGGGTTTATGCAAATCCACCAGGTCTTTTCTCCATCTTGCTTCTTTTTTGGCTTCTTTATGTATTTTACTTTGTTGGTACAGGTCATTGCTGACCGTCTTGTCGAAGTCGCTTGCGCTCGTTAACGCCGCGGAACGCCCGCTTGCCGACTTCGTAGCTGCTGATCATGATGGCGCACGCAGGTGCCACCTTGAGCGTCCGGGGAATCCATCCCTTCCACAGGCCGGGGATGCCCTCCGTCTTGAAGATGTGCCAGAGGAGGCGCATCATATTGCGCTCCTCAGCCACCGCCGCGCCGGAAGCCTCGTTCTGGTAGATCTGCGTTCGTGTCTTGCCAACGTCGAACGGTGTTGTTACGATGGACGCAAAGGTACCAGACAGGGCTCCGGCAGCAAAACTATCCACAAAGGTCTCGGTGTGGTTTTCGTGGCTTTGTGACCTCCGCCTTGCCTCTGAGAGGTCGTCGTCGACTGACAGCACATGTCCCTGACGCTGCTCCCGTAGATCGGTGAGCCTCGACCGTATTGACTCGTATCCCAGCCAGTAGAGACCCGAAAAGGGCACATCTCGCCAGAGCGTCAACGTCAAACCTCTCCAGAGGGCTGTATATCCTTGGGTGCCCACCATATCCTTGACACCCTTGAAAGTCTGGACCAGGTGGTTGGAAGTCCCAGTTCCCGAGGCCGCTTGCATTCGTGTACGGACGAGCTCGATGGGACCCACGGCTGTCGCTGCGAGGATACGAGCGGCCGATCCGGCAGTGAGGGGAGCGGAGGCATCAGAGAAGTGCGCAAAGGGGCTGCTGGCATTGTATCGCAGCCAGTCATAGCCGGTAAAGTAGATGATATTGGCGGGGACGGCCATGACGAGGGTGGGCGACAGGCCTCTCCAGAGAGTGGTAACGCCCTCGTTGCGGGCAATCTTGCGGAGACCATCGATAGTGGTGCTAAAAGTGCGACGCTGCACCTCTTCGACGGCGCATTCGGCGGGCGGAGGCGCGGGAGATATGCCTTCGATCCGGGGCGCGGCGAGGCAGAAGTCAGCATTGCCACCGGCGAAGAAGACCTCGCGGCAGCATGAGGTGACGCCGAGCTCGGCGGTTTGGGCGGGGGTGAGAGAGGTGGTGGTGAGGGCGAGCTTGGAGAAATCGACGGTCGGTCGGGGGACGGCGGTTTGGGACTGGAGGCGGACGCGGACGACGTCGAGGGGAGTGACTGGAGGAAGAGAGTGTTAGCAGGTCGCAATCTAGATGCTGGAATATCAACATGGACGTACCAAGCAGCGAGGTCAACAGACTGCCCGACATGGCCGAGATCATCTTCTGGGGAGCTGTGATGTCGACGATATCGTCATTGGCGGGGGCCGGTGCTTTCGAGTTGCCGCCGCCGCTGGGTCTCTTGGCGTCGACCATGTTGGCGAGGGTGAACTCGTCGTCGGCGTTGGGATGGTTGTGGTGGTTGCTATCGAGGCCACCGGAGCGATGCACGTTGCGACTCATGGTATCCGGCTGGTGGAGGGGTGGGTAGCAGAGGACGAGGCAGCTCAGAAGATGGATTTTCCGAGCGAAAGCCACGATTGATAGCGGTGGAAGAATGAACGGGCTGCAGCGGATGGCGTCGATGGTCGATGACGATGACAAACGGTGGCGGCGTCCCGAGGGCTGCGCGAGTCACAAATCACGGCGAGAGAGCGAGAGCGCCGATGGACAAGTTTCGATTCGGCCGTCGATCGTTGCGAAGTCTCCAAGTTAGCGCCTTCAGCCAAAGCACCGAGGCCGGTCGGAGTCGGGCGATCGGTCGGTCGGCTACTATCGTGTTTTTGTGGGCTGGGAAAAGAAACAAGACCTGAGGTGAATCGAATCCACCACAAATCTACGGGTTGAGATTGGCTGTCGTCAAACAATCCACGTCGTAGCTGCGTTTTCAGGGTGGATTCCCTTCGCCTTCGGTCTTTTGTCGTGGTTCACGTTTTTTTCAGTTCAGCGACATCGCCCGCATTTCCAGCGCACCGGGGTCGGAGCGTCGGCGGCAAATTTCGTTGGTTCTCTCGGTGGCGTTGGGGCGGCCTGTGCCTGCTTGGCTTTGGGGAAGAGCCGCGGCTTTCCGGGCGTGATGGTATGAAGTGTTGTGATTGGTTGGTAGAGGGCCGGTGAAGATCAGATAATGCAGCTTCAGTCGAACGGTGATGACGGAGGAATGCAACGGATGCAACTAATGCACCCCGTTATTTACGTTGCATTCCAATCCCCCCCCCCTTCCATTCAATACGGTTTACCTACATACTCCCCCCGTCTGACTCTTCCCGGCGAGTTGGCGACATCATCGACGCTCTCTCCGGATCAACACCCGCCGCCCAGTGGAGGCGTCCTCATCCTAGTTCCCCCTCCATCAACCAATCCCCGCCATCCGTCTCCAACCTTGCATCACTCCTCAACCTTGACATGCTGTAGTAACTTGTCTCCATCTGACTCGAACGGCAACATTCTTAACTTTCCTTTACCGCCTCGCCGTCCTTCAATATCCTCCATCGCGCACCAGCTAAATACCTCCTGTCCCTCCTACGTAATCATGAACTCGCTGTAGAAATCGCAATCGTCCCGTCGCCTCTCCCCGCAATCCCGGCTTTTCGGACCTATCGGATATACCTAATCTCTCCTCACAATGTCCTCATCCCCGTCATCCTCCGCCAACAAGGGCGGACTCAACTCGGAACTCGAGTCGTTCCGCCAGCAATGGATCTCAGATCTCCAACACCAGACTCATGATCATGAGCCTCAGTCTCAGAGTCGTCATGACGCCCCACGCCCCGCGGGCTCAGCCGTCGGCCCGTCTCGCCGTCGCGGCCCGTCCGTCTCCGTCTCAGCGCCGCCAACAAAGCCGGTTGCGACCGTCGATGAGAATGAAGACGACTACGTCCAGACCCAATCATTTGATGAGCCCCCGTCCGCGACTCGGCCTGTGCACGATGTGAACGGCGCCTCGTCTCGGAAGAAGCTCGTCTCAGCCCTTGATCACTATGAGGAGGCCATGGCCAAGGAGGCCCAGGGCAGCATGGGTGATAGCCTGAAGCTCTATCGCAAGGCCTACCGAGTATGAACCTCTCTCCAATGTTGACATTTGAACTCAATGCTAACGTCGCTGCAGCTAGACAATGGCGTGGACCGAATATACCGGGAGAAACACCACCCCAAGGCCAAGCCAGCAACTCCTCCCGGCCCATCCACCATCACTAACACCACAACCGCCACAACCGCCATCACATCACCATCGCAAGCCGCCCCTGATGCCACCCCCGGACCTCAACCGCAGTCCATTGGCGACCTCATCGCCAGCTTTGCCGGCCTCAACATCGAGCCCGCTCCCCCGGCAGTCGAGGGCATGCCGCCGCCGCCCTCGCCGCTGGCCGACCTCCCCGAAGAGATCCTCATCCACATCCTGCGCGACCTCGCCATCGTCGACGTCGCCGACTTTGCCCGCCTCGCCCGCGTGTGCAAGCGCCTCGCCTACCTGGTAGCCTCCGAGCAGCGCATCTGGCGCCGCGTCGCCCTGGGCAGCGAGGTCGGCTTCTCTGCGATGCTGTATCGCTTCGAGAGGGGCATCGAGTGGGACGAGCTGCCCGAGGAGGAGCAGGAAGGCCCCGAGATCGTCGACGGCGTTGTTATTAGCCCGGCCGAGCTGGCCCAGCGCCGTCGTGATGAGAGCTTCGCTCTGACCGAGTCCCTGACGCCCTCCGTCTACCCATCTTGGAAAGATCTCTTCCGCTCACGGCCGCGCATTCGCTTCAACGGCTGCTACATCAGCACCGTCAACTACGTGCGCAGCGGCCAGGCCTCGACGAACCAGACCACCTGGGACAGCCCCATCCACATCGTCACCTACTACCGCTACCTTCGCTTCTTCCGCGACGGCAGCCTCATCAGCCTCCTCGCCACCAATGAGCCCTCCGCCGTCGTCCACCACCTGACTCGCGACGACCTCAACGCGCAACGCACCGCCCCCCACCCCCACTTGCCCAATGCCGTCATGGCTCTTGCTCTACGGGGCCGCTGGCGCCTGTCCTCCGCCGATGACCTCCGTGACCCGGCCTCCATGGGCCCCGGTGCCTCACGGGGCGGTGTCCGGGACGACCCTGAGGGTGACGTCTTCATCGAGACTGAAGGCATTGGTTCCAAGTACGTGTACCGTATGGACCTGTCCCTTCGCAGCGCTGGAAAAGGTGTCCGTAACAACAAGCTCAACTGGCGAGGCTTCTACAGCTACAACAAGCTGACGGACGATTGGGGGGAGTTTGGCCTCAAGAATGACAAGCCCTTCTTTTTCAGTCGGGTCAAGAGCTATGGATTTGGAGGGTGAGTTGTAGGAGTGACTATCCCAACGGCTACAAGATGAATACCAGACAGGCGTCATGACGGAATAGATTGGCGTTAGAATAAAGACGCCAAAGTATATCTAAGTTGCATCTTATAGAAAGACATAGACAGATCACATCCATCTGCTTCACCAAAACTACCTTGTCCCTCGCATTGATGAGCCAGGCATTATACACGAATCTCGCGAATGGGTTACACATCCAATGGGTGACGGCCGCTTTTCCTTACGAGACACCAATGTATCAAACATTGTAGAATCGTTGCAGCCCAGACGTCTGTAATACAACAAAGATTACATTTCTGCATATATTCATATCATTACTTGTTGCCTAAACCTTCTCTTATATGCCACTTGCCAATCCTCGCCCCTGATTCCCTCCCAAACCAATATCTTACACAATCACAACCGGCCCGAGCACTCTACTCCTCGCCGCTGAAACCCAAGCCCCTCAAACGCCCACGTTCTTAACTAGCCAAAGCAGTATGCTGATAGATGCAGCCAGGTTAGTCAAGAATGTACATGCTGGTATATGATGATTAGATACAGCAGCAAGACTGGCTGCCTGCTGGTCCTTCCGACATGTATTCTCAGTCGTAGGCCGAATTATGTTTATAATATTGGGTACTATCGCCCATTGGCCGCTGATAGTAATGCATATTTATAGATGCGGTCGTTGGTGCGCCAAATCAGGAGATTCAGTTCGCCGGGTATCAATTCGCAGAAACGACTCGTTCGCGCAAAGAATCGGAAGCGAAGCGTAAACCCTACGCTTCAAAGATCCGAGGATGGAATAAAAATATGGGTATCCGCACATGCTATCCAAGACTGTTCACTCACTGCAGCCTCATCTGAGCCGCTTTCCATCCAGGAATTTAGGGCTTGTCTCAAAGTACTGCTGGTTGGCAAACTGGTTGTTGTATTGCATGGCCTTCCGTGCTTGGTACTCTGCTCGCTCGTCTTCGTCCATACTAAACGCCTTCTTCAGCCAGCCAAGAGCGCTCTTCTTTTTCTTGAGGCGTTTCCCTCCAGCTTGAGTAGTTGCCCGAGAAGCCAGAGTGGCCGTATCATCATATGTTGCTGAAGTTACGCTGCTTAGAGTGCTCATGCCGCCCACGCGAGACGGCTGCTGGCGCACATGGCCAGGGAAGTATCCATCCCTGGGGTCGGCAGTGTGAGGTCTTTGCTGAAGAGGAGAATGGGGCGATGCGCGAACGGGGTGGTAGAATTGCTGGTGCTCGGAGTGGGGTGTCGGCATGAGCTGGGGTCGTGAAGGAGCGCTGAAATCCGCGTGGGAACTTGCACGAGGGAGGCGGTGCGGTTGACAGACTTCTAAATCGGAGGCGTACGTAGAATCGGGAACCTGAGACATGCGTGGTTGCTGCATGCTGGTACTCGTTGATGGACGGACCGACATTGCCTCTGCGGCGTTCCTTGGGGGGATGTGGATGGACTCGGGGGGTGTCGTCTTCTGGGACACACGCTGGCGCAGAGACGTCTTCTTTTGTAGAAATCCTTGCCCCTGTGTCATCTGCGGTGACTGTGCCTGACTTTGAGATCTGGATGACGGTCTTGGTGGCGGCTTCGTTTGAGATCGAGACTGTGGCCTCATTTGAGAATCCCTAGACTGAGGCATCATATGGGGATCTCTCGACTGCGGCCTCATTTGCGGATCTCGAGACTGGGGTCTCATTTGAGAATCCCTAGGCGGAGGCATCATATGAGGATCCCTAGACTGGGGTCTCATTTGTTGCTGGGTCTGTGTCTGAATCTGTAACTGCGGTGGGCTGTTCTTTACCATGGGTGAGGGAAGCGGCTCAGGGAGTCTCGGCGTGTATGTCCGTGGCTGAAGAATAAATAGTGCGTCATCGAATGGTGATGCCTCAGTTTCAGGTTCCTCGTGTTTCGGCACGTCCCTTTTAGGTTCGCTCGGGGTCAACTTGGGCTTGCCGTCATATACAGTCGGAGACAGTGTGGGCTGGCCGTCGTAAACAGTTGGAGACAAGGTGGGGCCGTCATAAACAGTCGGGGACAAGGTGGTCATGACGGTTGGTTGCGGAGCCGCGAGTTGGAAGCTCATGCGAGGGGGGAGTAGAGGGGTAGATCCAGGAAGAGGGAAGTCGCTGAGAGTATCAACTTCGGGGTCTGCGATTCTCTTCGGGGCATGGAGAGTGGATGCGGAATCTCTGCTTCCAACGCTCCCAACCGGGGTAGCAGACCGGGCGCGTGAGCTCGTTGGTGATGACGGAGATTCAGGATCATCAGTTTGTGAGGCGTGTATGGGAAGAGTGAATGGAGGGATTGTTGCCTATGGGTGTTAGCCTCGCCCTTCTGGAAGACTGAACATGATATCAAACTTACCCAAGTCTTTCGGCTCACCTCACCAGCCGTCTTCTCCATTTCAGCCACAATGGTCATCAGCTTGATGATCAAGCCGTTCAAGTCCTGTGCTTGGTTGTTGAGGTCATCAAAGGCGTTAAGCCAACCGTCGGCATTGCCCTTCATAGCTCGGGAAATTTTGCCCAGGTCCGGGGAGGCCTCAGCCCATTCGGCATCCTTGTGCTCGTTGAGCCAATCCATGAATGCCTCACTGGACCGGAGGCCAGCGTCGATGTCGTCGTCCCACTGCTTCATGGCAGCATTTGTTCGAGCCAGGATGTGGTCAATCTTTTCATTTCCAGCAAGAATCTGGGCGCGAAAGTTGCGATCCTCAAGCATCCCTTCAAAGGCATTTCTATTGCCCATGGGCAGCTGAAGGTGGGCGATGCGCTCGGTGAGATCTTGGTGAGCTTGGGCAAAGTCCTCCAGCATCACTTCCAGGAACTCATCCACCTCATTGATATGGCCCTGGAGAATGCTGACTACCTGGGAGTCGTCTGCCGCCAGTCCGTTGAGTAAAAGGTAAACACCAAACGTGATCTGGGAAATCAACTTGTACACCTCATGTTGCTCTTGGCCAGGTCGGTACCGCCAGGTCGTATCGAAAGGTTCGTCTTGGGCGGCTTGCTCGATAAGTTTCTCTCTGCGGCCCTTTGCGTCGAGCTCCCTCAACTTGGGCTTTCCAGGACCATCTTGACCATTCGTCACTTCATGCAGAGACTCGGCAAAGGCCTCCTGCATAGACGGGACTGGGTGGACCGGTATATTCTGGTCGGCAGGTGGGTGCATTTCGGATAGTAGACTCTCATCGTCGTCAAGCTCGGATCGTAGATTATCTGAGATGGTTATATTCGTGGCGGCGTCTTCGGGGGTCGGGACGAGGACGATACGGAGGTCGCTGGGTTTGTCGAAGGTCAACGGGGCGAGGGTGGTTGGAGGCATAGTGGCGGTGCTAGTACCGGAGAGTCTGATTTTCGAGACAGGTCGAAGGGTCGGTAGCATTGTGGCGGGTAAAAAAGAAGGCTGATAGGAATGAATTGAATCGAGGGGCTGCGGGGAGCCGTGTCCTCGTTGGACAGGCAGGCAGAGGCGGTCACTGGATGTTGTGCGACGGTGACGAAAGTTTGGTGGCGTGTCTGCGACTGTTGGCGCCGCGGAATGCAACCAGGCGATGAATGGAGTGGAAGATGTCGGACCGGGGAGAGGGCTGCTATCGCATCTCGGGAGCCGCCAGGAGCCAGTGTTTAGAGGACGGCGAGCGCCATGATACTGCCAAAGTAGTCACAGGGCGGTCAACTGGAGCTGAGAGCGGTAGCAGTGTTGCCCGCGACGGTTGCGATCCCGAGTGAGTCGAGTTGGGCTGAGGCTCGACGGAGGAGGGAGATCGGCGGGAGGTAGGCGAGAGGTGGATGTAGGTGGACAGAGCTGAGAGCTGTGTAGTTTATCTGTAATCCTCGGCTGCAAAGGGGAGGATCATCAGCTGATCAGGGACCTTATTAGGTCCCAAGCAGGAGTGTCGGTTGGCTCTTGACAATCCGGGGTAGCTGCAGACCACGAGAAGGATCCGCTGCAAGGGGGATTCCCGAGCAAACTGGCACTGGAAGGGGAGGAGGAAAAGCCAACGACGAGCTGTTATTAAGGAGGATGAGGGTTGCAAGGTAAGGATACAATGGAAGTCGGGAAGGGAAAGAGAGAGGGGGAGGCGTGGGTTCGATGGGACAGCATCCATGACAATGAGTGGCCTAGGGCGCCGCAGGGTTACGGAGGCGTTCCTTCCTTGGGCCCTTTGGTCTTTCGTCCCTACCATGACCGTTCACCCTCGTCCCCGTCCGCTCCTTCCGCCTGTGGTCTGTGGTCTGTGGTCTGTGGGCATCTCCCCCATGCGCCATGTAATGTACGTGCGCTTAACTCCACTGCGTCTGTGTGTGTGTGTGCCTCCCTCCTTCCTCCCTACTGTGTGTGTGTTCTCGCTCGGTCGTCCACTGCATTCGCTGAATCCCCTGAGCCTGAACCGCGCCAGCCACTGGCTCGACGAGTGCACTAAACTTGACTGAGCCCAAGTGCTCTCTCCTGTCCCTGTGGCGGCCCCTCGGCCCATGCAAATTCCCCTGCGCCATCTCCCCGCCAAAGGCCAGTGAAAGCCACTGAAAACGACGTCTGCAGCCCAGTGAAGCCACTGCAGGGCCAGCGGGTTGTCCGCCAGGGGCCACATGAGCCACCTGCACTTGGGCCACTGAGGCGCCAATGCGACCCGGCCTTATCCAGTCCAAAAATGATGCTAGTGGGCTAGTAGTCGCGCCCATGGCTAGCCCCCGATGCTGCTTAATACCAAATTCCACCAAATCTGCCAATTCTTTACGGATGCCAATTGCAATTGCCCAACTAGTGGGGCCGAATCCCGAGTCCAACCCATCCATGGCAGTGATGAGCGATTCCCTGGGCTGGGCTGGGCTGGGCTGAGCTGGGCTGGTCCCGCCGTCCCTGGCGGCTTGATGGACGGATTGCTAAATTGGGAACGTACCTCTATGTGACTAAGTCAAGTCAAGGCCCCGCCAGAGCTTTGTGATCGAGGCCCGGGGCGGTCCCGGGATGCAGGCCTCGCGTGCGTCTGCGTACCTGGGAGGAGTGAGTGGGAGGCGCGGGAGGCGTGGGAGGAGGCATCCAGTACAGAGTAGGTAAGGTATCGAAGTATGATTTATTACCTCTACACGACGACGCGGTTTTCAGGGGCAAATTGATTGGAGATTGGGGAATGGCCTGAAGATGTGAAATGAGAACTCGCAGACGGGATTGGATGGACTTGGCAAATTCACTCCCGCACTCTCGGAGTCATGATGACCACCCAATACCCGACGAAGGGGAATAAAAAACAATCATGAACCGGGGAAACACCAGTCAACGACGAGAAACATGGATCTAGATCTACCGAGGTTTCTTCTGTGTGTGTGGTGTGCGGTGGGTGTAAATTTACGCGTGGGTTTGTAGGTGCTTGTGGGCGTCCAGTGTGTGTGCGACGTAGTACGGAGAACCGCCGATGGGGATGGTGTGGTTACGCCAACCGCTGGATTGGGTGTCGAGGTGTGAACCACAATTCGCAATACGGCCAGGGCAAATTAGAGCCAGCCGAGACTTTTGACTCTTTGGGTGATCAGCCGCTATCACGCGCTGGAGTCTTTAGCTCTGCGCACTGCAATGCAGGACAAACTGCCGCATCTGGCCTGGCTGGGCTGGGCTGGGGCGGGCGTGTCACCAACAAACATCACCCATCCCTACGACTCCGTCCCGTGGGCGTCAGCACTATCAACACGTCCACGCCGCGATTCGTCTCGGTTGTGAAGGTACCACGCCGGTAATCAAATGTTTGTCAATTCTAAAAACGAGATACGCGTGCACATCCAATTTTGCTGCAATTTTCCTCCTCTCCCAATCGCGCATACGCACTCGAGGCCGTCCTGTTAGCTCAGGGGCCTGCAGATGCACACACAACCTGATCTTGGACGCCCCCATGTCGCCTGGTCTGGCCTGGTCTGGGTGTCTGGATCCCGCGGCCCCCCCTGGGCCAATCTTTTTGCTGGCCTAGGCGTCTCTAGAACCGCAGCTCCCCAGCGCGAATAGTCTGGGGTGGCTTGTTGACGACCTCTGGGTCCAGCCATTCGAGGCCCCAGCATCAAGCACGACGCCCTGGACAGGTCCATGTTAAAGTAGGACCCATTTGGTGCGCGGATCGGGCAGCTTGGCGCTTGTCAAAAGGGAAAGGGGGCTGTGATCGATCGGAATTTGACAGTTGGACTTGAAGACCTCATTTATTAATACCCGTTATCCGTCATCCGTCATCTGCAAATCGCCCACTACGGGGATGCATCGTCTGTCGTTGTCGACGCCTCGCCCTGGCCCCCTGCCTGGAGATGGCCAACTGGGGACCGCGGACTGGGGACCGCAAATGGAGCCCAGGCTCTAGGGGACGCCGTGATCCATTGAGGGGGCAGCTACTCGGTGACAGGTCAAGACAACCGCCAGGATGCGATGCAATGGGTCAACATGGGATACTGGTCCATTGTGTCATTGACAGGGCCACGGCGATGGAGTCAATTGCACGGTTCAATCCGGTCGGGAGGCCCGCGCCAGTACTGTGGCGCACTTCGCACAGAAGCTCTTGGCCTCCAAGGTGGTTTTCGGTCTGCATTCTGCGTCAGGGGGGGGCGCGGCTGAGCCTGGTCCGCGATGGAGTCGCTGGACCCTTTTTCCATACCAATCTTGAACCCGCCGCTTCATTTGCGGCACAAGGAGATGCTTCAGATTGATGACTTCTTATATCATGTGTTGACTGCTGGCTAACACTCGCTATTCTAGAGCCTATGAATGACCCGTCGACAAGCTGAGGCTGCAGAATAGAGGCTAGCATCGTAAGAACGGCGGGACCGTGGCAGTTGTAGGTTAGATGCCAGGACGCAAGACGGATACGCCGTGGCCCGTCCCTTGTCGCCGTATCCACCCTCTGACTCGGCCATGTCCACGAATCTACATGGCACAATTGTTGCTGGGACGCGCAAGCAAACGGCGACGCCAGCTGCTTTCTGGCACAGCCGCCGCCGTCAGTGGCCATTGACGCGAAGGCACCGAGGATTGGTGGTGGGCGGCGAGACGCAGCAACGGGGATGGAAGCAAGACTTTGGAGTTGAGAAACAAGCCGGGAAGCCATGTGCCGATGCCAAGAAACCAAGGCTCATAGGCCAATACGGCCGTTGCGACTTGGCTCCATCGCTAGCCAAGTCGACAACACGGCCCACGGCGCAGCAGGATCGAGGTGAAGCTCCGAGGAGGCGTGGCCGCGATGCCACCGGGAGTCGGCTCAGCATTGACGGACGGGGCCTGTGGAATGAAACCAGGAAGTCCACAGTCCACTGCAAAGACCGAGAGGCTCGACTTCCGCCGCTACGCGCAAGACTTAATGTTCCCGTCCCAACGTGATCACTCAATTCCAATTTCCATCCGTTTCTCAGCTACTCGCAGCCAACTAATAATCTCTGGCGCCTCTATCACGTCACTCGAGTTGCGCCTCCAACGTTCGGCGCTGAGTAGGCCAAGCCACATCATTATTGCCCAGCCCATCTTAGCTCGCCAGCGCACACTCTGGCCAGCACACCACCGCGACCAAGAGATCGCCCAGCCCACTTCCCCAACATCATCGGCATCGGGCTTTTTTCTCTTCCGCCCACCTCGCTCACCCCTATCGCGAGACAGCTCCTCCGAGCTCTTGGGGACCGCCGCTCGCTACAATGGCTCCGAATAACCCCTTCAAGTTCGGGACCGACCTCTGGGACACGTCCAATCGCTTTGAGACGTCGTGGTTGTTGAGTCCCTACTTGCTTTTCGCTTGTCGCGCCCTCATTGTAAGTTGCTTCATACGCGGTTCCCTCAGTCGCATCAAGCTTGTTATACGCAGTCTGTGTATACACACGTCTCCCCTTCTGTCGCTAACACATTCCTCAACAGTCCCTCTACGCCTTCGTCACCCGATTCTTCATCATCGGCTGGACCTGCACCCACGACTCCCTGGGCGGTTGCTCTGCAGTCCGCCTCTCGTTCTCGTATTTCACCATCCTGACGTACTGGGGCATCGCCTTCTACTTTCTCTTCGCCGCCATCCACACTCTCACCTACGCCATCCGCGGCCGCCCTCTCCTCGACAGCTTCCCCCGTCCGCTGCAGGCCCTCCACGCCCTGTTCTACTCCACCATCGTCACATACCCGTTCCTCGTCACCATCGTCTATTGGGTCGTCCTTTACGATGGTCCCTGGTTCACCGTCGAGTTCAACGCCTGGTCTAATATCAGCCAGCATGGCCTCAACAGCGCCTTTGCCCTGTTCGAGATCATCATCCCCCGCACAAACCAGCCGCTCTGGGTCAACATCCCTTGGTTGATCCTCATCCTCGCCCTGTACCTCGGTCTCGCCTTCATCACCTACGCAACACGAGGCGTCTATGTCTACAGCTTCCTCGACTACAGGAAGAACGGCCGGGGTATCGTCGCCGCCTACATCATTGGCATCGCGGTTGGCATCGTCATCATCTTCTGCATCGTATGGTGCCTCATCTGGTTGCGGAAGTGGGTGACTGAGACGAAGATGGGCAAGGAGGGCAAGTTTGCCGCGCCGCCCCACGACAATGACGTTGAGATGAATCGCATGGAAAATAAGCACGCCATAGGAAGCAACTCCGAGACGCCTGATCGGTTATACTAGGCCGCCTGGTCCCCCTGTTGACAAATCTTGCAGCGTTTGACAGAAAGTTTTTGGAGACAACCGTAATATGCAGAGTCCGAACTGGATAGATCGAATCATCAAAATACCCCAAATATGATTAGTTTAGTAGCTTAACATAATGCATAATTCCTAGCACAACATCCCAGTGTGATATCATTTCAACAAGCCTTTCCATATTGCCATACATCTCTCATTACCACATCCATAACTTCTTGTCGTACCATTACAATTATTCTGGCCCAGTCTATCGGGAACGCGTGACACAAACGCGGTGGCGATGCATAGATTCTAACACTTGATCATAATTCCCCGTCGAGCCTCCGATTCACGAACCTCAAACATACATTGAACCGCCACAAAAAGGGTCGTGAAGGCGGTACAGAGGAAAACGAGACCTGCTCGGAGCGTTAGTTGCTATGATGACGGGTTCAAATGACGAGGTGTTTAACGTACCAGACCAATCGTGCAGGATGCTTTGCAAGATGCTCGTCAAGCCATCCAGGCCAACCGCAAATCCAACCAGGTTGGCGGCAATCATCATAAAGGTGTTCAGCACTGATCCCACTGCGCATAAAAACCGGTATTCAGTAGGTCGATGCTCCCAGTTTCGCTTAGGGAAGAGATAGGCAGCCGTCCACTCGGGTATCATGAACAGAACAATCAGCCATCCCCAGATCAGGAGCCGTAGCTTGATGTCATGCCAGAGGGCCACAAAGGTGAAAACGACTAAGTAGGTCACAACGGACTTGGCCATGGCTTGCCAATTGCGGAATGAGGAACCTCCCATCGGTACGTAGAGGTAGCGGATCAACCAGCGGTTGTATGAGCGGTGCCACGCACGCCAGAAGCCCTGGGTGCTGTAATTGTTGCTGACGCATCGGACCATATTCTCAGGCGGATCAACACCGTCGAGGAGTGACCAGAGTCGGAAAAGGCGCCAGGGGAGCAGAAGCTTCAACCAAATGATATGTAGATTGAAGAAGGATAAAAGCCCCAATTGAGCGGCAGTATAGGACCTCCACTCCGGACCGGCCTTGCTAATTGCGCCAATATAGTTGAAGTGGAGGACCACCTCCATTGCTAGGAATACCAAGAGGAATCGGATACCATATCGAATAGTACGCGGCGTCTCAATCGTAGCAGGACGGTACTTTTGTTGTGAAATATAATCGTTAAATGTGAGAATCGGGCCGGCCAGGTATAACGGTGCGTATACGGCGTAGGCAATGTAGTTTCGGAAAGAAAAGTCTCGGAGATCCGCGGGGATGGAAACACGGTCTTTCTCGGAGAGGTTGGAGGGGTCGAGTTGCTTCTTCTTTGGCCTATTAGAACGCAGACGGGGGAACTTGTCAATCTAGTCGACTTACCTCTAGCGAGTTGGAGTTGCTTCGGTCTAGACTCCAATAGTAGTCGAGGTTGAAACTGACGAGGCGCAGAATAGTAATATTAAACAGAATCTCCCACCGGGCCAGGATGCCTCTGAAGCTGTCGAGCCAGTTGCCAAACTGCATCAGGTCTGAGTCAACCGTCTTAATCCCATTTCCGACAATAGCCATCACAGGTGGGGAGATGTAGCTGGCCATAGTTCTAAATTGGTACCCGTTCGAGAGCTCGTTTGCGAATAGAGTACAGATATTGAAAATCCAGGTGCCTGCTGGAACGTATTTCCTAGGGAGCTGTGTCGCCACCTGGTAGTTCATATAGAGAATAAACAGGACCTTGAGAGCTGATATCCCGTGTAGCGCTGCCAAGAATATGAATGCGAAGACGTAGTCGAATGTGGCGCGCTGGTCGAGGCGGCTTTGGGGGGATTGCGGTCCGCTCTTATACACGGCGTTCCACAGCCTGCGCAGGAGTGGGTGGAAGACGAGGAGCGAGGCCATGTAGGGGAGGTTCTTTCGGAAAACGTAGTACTGGTTGTCGGAGGCGTCGATCTTACGGCCGGGGATCCAACCTGGGGTCAGATATTTGCTGAACTTGACATATCGTGGGTCAGACGCTAAGAAAACCATCAGCTTCCAGTGTCACGCACGCAGCGTCGCAGACAGGGACGACGCACGCCTCGAGACCCCATAGGCGATCCAGAACATGTAGGGGATCATGAAGGCGAGGAAGCCGAGGTAGAAGTAGTACTCGGGGGTTTTCCATTTCGACGGCTGCCCGTGGAGTCGCGGCTTGTCCGGAACGTCCTTCTTCAGGTCGGCGTCGGCATCGGCGCGCGAATCGACGACGGTTTGGTAGGGGACGGACGACGGGGTGGTGAAGCGAGTGTCGAGGGTGTCGATGTCGTAGAGACTAGAGGCGTAGGAGAGGAGCCCCATGACTGCGGATTCGGGTCGGAGAGGCGAGGGCGCTCAGCTCATGGTTGGCTAGGGAAGGGAAACGACAGGCGCCCGACGGGGAGGGGCGGTGATGCGCGGGGAGGTGCGCGCAACAGCTACAACCACGGGCAGAGGGAACGAAGCTTTGGTGGAGTTGAAGGAGGGGAAAAAGACGAGGATGTGGCCTTGCCGTGGGGTGCTTTGGTGGGCGGGTGCTGGTATTGAGGCCGGGGAAATCGATGGGAACGGGGATGTTGGATCTCCCGGGAGTCCGGCTCCAAATTCAGGGGTCAGTGCTGGACGTCGGTGGCTTGTTAGGCATGTGAGACCCCTGGGCGCAGGGCTAAAAGCAGGCTGGGGGCTTCGTATTAGCGGCCATGTCACTCGCCCATCGCGTTGCCGCGGTTCAACTAAAAAGTCCGTTGCCAATTAGGCACATGTGCTTATTGTCGTTGATGACTGTTGGTATTCGCACGCATACGTATTCCTATTTACACGTATCTGATATGCTTTGGGTATCTACCATCTTAGTGCTTTCATCATAGGATTAGGATAAATACATATGTCCATGTGTTTTTTTGTAACCACGAGATTCGACATTCTCGTCTTGCGGCTTATTTTCACATTCCTGCTCAATCAAGGTACATTTCCCCCGGCAAAAGTGTCTAGGTTTATCTGCATACATACAAGACACATCATGTCGCGTGGTGTTCTCATGCAAGCCGCTGTATGTTGTGCGTGTGAATAATAATTGGCATGTGTCAAGTACACAGGTGAGATTACCCTAGACCCGGAAGTGGCAACCCTAAAAACATCCCATCAAGTTGTCGCCTTGAATATAAACTGCAATTAATATTAATTTAGTTGTAAGGTCGAGAGAGATCAAATCAGATTTCATCATCTGAGGAGTTGGTCTCTCGTTGTTTGTCATAAGCTTTGCCATTGAGTATCTCCCAACAAAAATGCACCCAAACTTCGACCTGTCTTCCCGATGACGCAATCTTTCCATCCTTTAAGTTAAAACGCCAGCCAAGTCCCAAGGTATCATTCCCGTGCTATCTTCTGATTATTTTGGCCTTCCAAAATGCACCTATCTTCACGCTTATTGGCTACACCGGCTTCGGATCTCTGCATTGAGGTTCTGCATTGCCCGAACTAAAGGGAAAATGTCGCTCTGCCCCTTTGCCAACAACTCTGCCTGGTCGCCAAGGCGTTCCAACGACTTGACATCTGCCATGTGCTGTCGGATATCCGGGGCACGTAGCAGCGTGTTGGTTAGATATGAAAAGGCAATATAGGAGCGGTATGCTCCAAAAAGCGTTACCATGGTCTCCACGTAAGGGATCTTGACCAGTATCTGACACAGGACATCGATAATACTGCGGGCTGCATCAGTGACGACGGGAGACTCGGGAATATCGAGCTCAGTAGTAACGGGCTCGGGTGAACTGGAGTCCAGAACGGCCATTTTGCGAAACATATATATGATGGCCGTATAACCGGTGAGGAGGACATCGGCAACCTCCCAGAGGTCTGCCTCTTGATCGGGGGCATTCGCCAGCCACTCATTCTGTACGACTATTAGACACAATTGTAGAAAATTGAAAGCGAGCTCTTACTAGCTGCCACTCGGCGGGTATCTGTAGGATTTCGCGCCCGAGATCCTCGGTCTTGGTCATTATTTCTGCCTTCGTGTCTATCTCCGGATCCTCGAGGAGCGCAAAGAACCGAATGATGACAAGAGTGATTCGTGAACTAGCCAGAAATGCTGTGGCGCGAATGCCATCGGGAGGAGGCTGTGAATTTGCGTCTAACCAAGGCAAGTTGACACTCCATGTGTTTCTCGTGAGAACGGGGGGTTTGTTCAGTATCAGCCGAAAGTAGAGATCAGTTTGGAGTACCTCCCAGAACCCCTTTCGATCGTTATCGCAGTCGCAATTGGTATTGTCGTTCTCACGATAATCCGCGCTGTCAAGCTTATGCAAGTTGAGGGCATGGCAATACTCGCAGGCGTGCCTGAACATTTTCCAGGCAAGCTCCTCGTCAAAGAATTGATGAGCGATACGGGTCTGAGGTGTCAGTTTGAGGATGGTTGATGACCATAAAGAGGAGCAGTAATTACCAAAAAGAGAGCTGCTATGAGGTCCGTCATAGTTCCAGTTGCCTCTCGCTGCCACCCGGGAATCGCCCGCATGCAGGCCGCATAACTCAGTCGAGCGTAGGACATGCTCGCATTCGAAGATTCATTGCTGGCTCTGAGTGTGCATCCATGGTAGAGGATGCAGTAGTAGATTACTAGAATTCCGGGGTCGACGTGGATGTGTGGGAGGCCGATGATGTCAGGTATGAGCTGGATTGTCCGCTTGTCCACAAAACTGAGAAACATGCAAACCGGCATGTGATCTAGATAGTCTGAACAGATCTGTGTTAGCCCGAGCACAAATAGGATGAAGGGGCTCCTCTTACTACGAATCCAGAACCTGGCGAGGTCAACTGGAATGTCAATCACATCAGTGATGACGACCGTCGCAAGTCCCCGCAGCCTCAAGTCCCGGACCTGATCGACGGCATTTTTGAGAATGGCGGTCGCATCGATCCTAACTCGGAGAGGAGTATCGCACGCGTCATGATAAGCAGGAGTATTTAATGCAGTTGGAGAGGACGAGGCCGGGGAGCAATTGGCTGTGCACGGTGCGGTCCGAAAGCCCTGTGGAGCGTTGATGGCAGACTGGGCTTCAAGGCGCTGCAGTCGGTCCAGGATGGTGGACAAAGCAGCCTCGGAGCTTGCAGGCCTGTGATACCCTCAGACATCAGTCCACATGGACGGATATGTCTAATAACGGAGGATAAGCTTACATTGGCTGGTCTACTCCTAGTGGACGAGCACTTCTCCTCTTCACCCGGATGGGATAGACGCATTCCGCATCGTGTGCCTTGCACCGGCTGCACTCGGGCATGACTCGATTGCATCGCACCTAACAAACGAAGAGAATGATATGTCAGCGAGACACAGGCCACAGGTGGCGCTTGGGCACATAACGGACTTTTCGTTCTTTGCATCTCGAACACTGCGCATCATCAGTTAGTGGCTGGACCAGACAGAGCACAGGCGTGTGTGGGACGTTGGGCGGGGGGCGGCCCGCGTACCGAAAGGCGGTTAAGCTGCTCACGATCTGCCATTGCTCGATCTAAGAGATTGTGCTACGTGAGCACCAGCAGGGTACAGGATGGCAGAAAGATAGCGACGTCTGGTTGCGCCTTTGCACGAGGGGGATGAAATTCTTGACGTCGACTATGGAGAGAGACGGACTAAGACGGACTAAGACGGACTTTGGGGGCAAAAATCTCCGCTACCAGAAGATGACCAACCATCAGCACGGTTTGAGCCTCATGGCGTCTTTCCAGGCTTCAGTTTACGCAATAATTTGCGCCATCTCCCGCTGCCCCAGATATCGCTACGGGGTATTTACACATGGGAGTCAGACGGTAAAGAAGTGGTCGGCTGTTGGATTAAAGTCAGGGTTGGTAATGAGGTGCAGCCAGCAATTGACATGAGCCGAGTGTTGACGAACACCCAAAATGCATGCCGTATTCCAATCCCGTGGCGCTAACGGAGCTTGGCAAATCCGCCAAAGACCGAGGGGCGCTTCGAGGGTCTGAATAATCGAGGGTTAGGGTTATTGACGAATGAGTTTAGCAATATTGTGACGGGAATTCGGTCTTTCAACCACCGAAAGTCCGTCGTTTGGATCCACCGACCCTCAACAGATCCACACTCATAGCTTCGACAACGTCGATGGCCGGTACTTTTCGCTTTTTGGCATGGATACTTACCGAGTTACGTACCGTATTGCTTTTGTTTGAACGAAGAAGAGTCATCTGTGAACCTTGGGTGGGACCTTTCTGATTAATCTTATTGTATGCTTTACGTTTCCTCACCCTTCCCACTATATAAGACCAGGCCAATTGTCAATTGTCCTGGTCTAGTAAATTCAATCAATCTTCATCGCCTTCCACCAGTTACTTCAGGTGTGGAATTGAATCGCGACCCAATTGAGTTCGCCAAATGGCAAACGGTGCACAGGGGGGCCTTGAGTCCGGGCCCGCGACTTACACGACTCCGAGTCTCGAAGAACCAAGTCGTCCTCACCATCACTTGGGTGATTCGTGCTCAACATCGATAACTGCGCCGTGTGAGGAGAAATGGCCCTCTGAAAGGGAATCCGAGGACCAAGGAGCCGACAAAAATGAAGAGATTCTTGACTTGGCGCGTCGACTCACAACCCAATCGCATGCAGCCCCGGGTACCTTGTTCCCACTGCCATCAGATGGGCCGCTCAACCCACATAGCCCGGATTTCAACGCCAGAAAATGGGCCAAAGCATTTTACGACATTCGAACTGACACATCTGAAGGGAACCCGCCTCGAACAACGGGCGTGGCGTTCAAGAACCTCAACGTGTACGGATTCGGCACCGACACTGACTTCCAAAAGAGTGTTGGCAACATCTTCCTCGAAGCTGGAACTATGATCAGTAAATTGCTGCACGACTCACAAAAGCGAGTGGACATACTGCGAGACATCGAAGGCGTCCTCCACAGCGGAGAGATGCTGGCTGTTCTTGGACCTCCTGGCTCAGGCTGTTCGACGTTCCTGAAGACAATTGCTGGTGACACCCACGGATTCCACATTGACGAAGGGGCTGAGCTCAACTATTCTGGAATCCACCCCAAGGAGATTCGGACAGCTTTCCGGGGAGAGGCGATCTACGCTGCCGAGGTTGATCAGCATTTCGCTCATCTAACTGTGGGAGATACACTCTATTTCGCCGCGCGTGCTAGATGCCCCAGGAACATCCCTGCAGGTATCACACCTAAAGAATACGCAGAGCACCTGCGCGATGTTACAATGGCGATGTTTGGCATCTCACATACCAGAAACACCCGCGTGGGAGACGATTTCGTAAGAGGGGTTTCTGGTGGTGAACGCAAACGTGTGACAATTGCCGAGGCTGCATTGAGCTACTCGCCGCTGCAATGTTGGGATAACAGTACCAGAGGACTGGATAGCGCGAATGCTCTCGAGTTCTGCCGGACTCTAAGAACGCAGGCCGACGTGATCGGTTGCACTTCTGCGGTTGCTATTTACCAAGCATCCCAGGATGCCTACGACGTAAGTTGAGCCTGCCAGCATTGATTGATCAGTACTCAATATTAACATGCACACAGGTCTTCGACAAGGTACTTGTGCTTTATCAGGGTCGGCAGATATTTTTCGGCAAGACAGGCGAGGCCAAGGCCTACTTTGAGAGGCTCGGTTTTGTTTGCCCTGAACAGCAAACCACAGCCGATTTCCTCACGTCAATGACTAACCACCAAGAGCGCATCATCCGACCAGGCTGGGAAAACAAGACCCCGCGATCTCCCGATGAGTTTGCGCAGGCTTGGAAGAAGAGTGCTCACCGACAACGTCTCTTGGTCGAGATGGACGACTACCTCGAGCGCCACCCGTTTGGCGGTGACAACTACCAGAACTTCGTCAAGTCTCGCAAGATGGACCAGTCAAAGTCTCAGCGCGCCAAATCTCCATTCACTTTATCATATCTGGAGCAGATGAGCCTTACGCTGGGAAGAAGCTGGTCAATGCTTAAGGCGGACCCGAGCGTTACTATCACCATGCTCTGCTGCAACCTCACGGAGTCACTGGTGGTTGCGAGTATCTTTTACAACCTACCGGAGAACACCGGCGCCTTCTTCAAACGAGGATTCTTGATCTTGTTCATCATGTTGATGAATGTTTTCAACAACGTCCTGGAAATTCTGACCCTCTACGCCAAGAGAAATATTGTCGAGAAACATGGGCGGTATGCTCTTTACCATCCAAGCGCAGAAGCACTATCTTCTATGATCGTCGACCTTCCATACAAGGTGTTCAACGCGATAATGATGAACACGATCCTTTACTTTATGGGAAATTTGCGAAGAGAGGCGGGGGCTTTCTTCTTTTTCTTTCTCGTGTCGTTTGCGATAACAATGAGCATGTCGATGACTTTTCGTCTTATCGCATCGCTGACAAGAACCATTGCTCAAGCTCTTGCTCGTGCCTCAATCCTTCTTCTGGCTATAACCCTCTACGCTGGTTTCGCGATACCGCCGCAGTACATGCCCGTATGGATTGGATGGATCCGGTGGATCAACCCGGCGTATTACGCCCAGGAAACCCTCATGATCAATGAATTCTCTGGCCAGAGATTCCCCTGTTCGGAATTTGTACCCCAAGGTCCTGACTACGAGTCCGTCACAGGACTTGCGAGAGCATGCGCAATTCAAGGTTCGGTCCCCGGAGAGGACTTTGTGAGTGGGTCAGCATACATCAAGTCCGCATATGGATATGACGACTCACATAAGTGGCGGAACTTCGGAGTGATTGTTGCCTTTACGCTGCTTTTTATGGGATTGCATTTGGTTGCTACCGAGTACATTACTTCTGAACGGTCGAAAGGAGAGGTGTTGGTCTTTGCTCGCAACGCCCTAAAGAAGCATTCTCAAAAGCCTAACAACGACGAAGAGTCCGGAGAGGCCAACACCACACAGAAAGATGGCAGAGACGACTCTGGTGAGTTTTCAGACGTTGAAAAGCAAACTTCAGTATTCCATTGGAGAGACGTATGCTATGATGTCAAAATCAAGGGCGAGGATCGCAGGATTCTTGATCACGTTGACGGCTGGGTGAAGCCAGGAACGCTAACTGCTTTAATGGTATGTACTCATATAACAATTAAAGGCGAGGGCTAACAAACGAATCCAGGGTGCATCGGGAGCTGGGAAAACCACATTATTGGATGTTCTCGCTAGCCGAGTTACGATGGGTGTTGTCACCGGAGACATGTTAGTTGACGGACGACTGCGCGATGACTCCTTCCAACGGAAAACTGGCTATGTTCAGCAACAAGATCTCCATGTTCATACTTCAACCGTCCGCGAGGCCCTCAACTTCAGCGCTCTTCTTCGTCAGCCTTCCCGCTATTCCCGAGAGGAAAAGCTCGCGTATGTCGACACCGTCATCAACCTTTTGGACATGGAAGAGTATTCAGATGCGATTATTGGAGTGCCGGGCGAGGGTCTCAATGTGGAACAAAGAAAGAGGTTGACGATTGGCGTTGAGCTTGCTGCCAGACCGCAACTTCTACTGTTCCTGGATGAACCGACCTCTGGCCTCGATAGCCAGACGTCTTGGTCCATCTGCAATCTGATGGAGAAATTGACCAAGAACGGACAAGCTATTCTCTGCACGATTCACCAGCCTTCTGCGATGCTGTTCCAACGATTTGACCGGCTTCTGCTGCTTTCACGAGGCAGGACCATTTATTTCGGAGATGTCGGCAAGAACTCCAGCATCTTGGTCGACTACTTCGTCCGCAATGGCGCTCCTGAATGCCCACCTGGTTCAAATCCGGCTGAGTATATGCTGGATGTTATTGGCGCGGCACCTGGCTCTCACACGGATGTTGACTGGCCTGAGGTCTGGAAGGTGTCTCCTGAGCGTGGCCAAGTCCAGGCCGAGCTCGCGGGGTTGGTTTCAGACGGTAGTTCGCAGCTCAAGCAGGTTGGGGATCAGGTTCCAACGACCCATAGCGAGTTTGCCGCATCTCACAGAGAGCAGTATGTTGAGGTCACGAGGCGGCTCTTCCACCAATACTGGCGCAGCCCATCATATATCTATTCCAAGGTGACCCTGTCGGGTGGAGCTGTGAGTATTCGGCCTATTAACCTGCTACACTAAATGGAAACGCTAACTATATACTCCAGTCATTGTTCATTGGCCTTTCGTTCCTCAATGGAAAGAACACGGAGCGTGGCCTCCAGAACCAAATGTTTGGCGTCATGATGTTTCTCACCATCTTTACGCAAGTCATAAATCAGATGCTACCTGCCTTTGTGGCCCAGCGTACCATGTACGAAGCTCGCGAGAGGCCTTCGAGGACTTACTCCTGGAAGGCATTCATGGTTTCGAGCATGCTTGTGGAAGCGGCGTGGAACTCAGTAAGTGCCCAATTATATGGCTTCTTTGAGAATATTGGAAAGGATACAACGCTGACCTTCATGTAGCTTATGGCTGTGCTTTGCTTTGTTTGCTGGTACTTCCCTACCGGTCTCTATCGCAATGCCTACCCGACCGACTCAGTTGACTCACGGGGAGTCACTGTGCTACTTTTCATTTGGCTCTTCCTCATGTTCACGAGCACGTTTGCGAACATGATAATTGCGGGATTCGATAGTGATGAAGTGGCCGGAGGTCTTGTGACTCTTATCATGGTCATGATTTTCTCATTTTGCGGGTATGTTCCATCAACCTTTTTCAGCCTCTCACTTCTAACAGCAGCGACAAGCATTCTCTCACCACCCCAGGACCTTCCGGGTTTCTGGATGTTTATGTACAGGGTTAACCCCTTCACCTACGTAGTGGAAGGTCTCCTGAGCACGTCAATGGCAAACGCCCAAGCCTCTTGCGAATCGAATGAGTTCATCAAGTTCACCGCCCCCAACAACACGACGTGTGGTGCTTATTTGAAGTCGTACATCGACACAGCGGGTGGCTACGTGAACAACCCAGCCGATGGGAACGGTGCTGAATGCCAGTATTGCACAATTTCTGACACGAATACTTTCTTGTCTAGTCTGGGAGTCAGTTTTGATAACCGTTGGAGGGACTTTGGATTCATGTGGGTGTACATTCTGTTTAACATTGCTGCGGCGTTGGGAATTTACTGGTTGGCGCGAGTACCCAAGACAAGAAAGACGAAGAAGGAGTAAATTGGATAATATTTAATAGGCCAGGTATTTAACGCAGAAGCAGACCATAAAAAATAGACTGTAGATTCACGATTCGAAATATTGCGACACATTGTCACAAGATCTTACGATACTGTAGAGCTGTCAAAGGATTTAAGAGATTAATTAGTATTGAACTACAGTGGGATGCAAAAGATTCAGATCTCATATTGTGCTTTAGGCCTTGATCCGCAGTCTCCTTAGACCTTAGACCTTAGAGGTACATCCGGCTCTGTTATGCACGCCGGAAGTACCTCTAAGGTCTAAGGTCTAAGGAGACTGCGGATCAGGGCCTTAGATCTGGACCATTTGCATCCCATTGTGTTTGTACAATAGAAACAAAGAAAGAAAATTGAACGAAAGTACGAAATACTTTAGGTTTTGTGATGTCTAGACTTTCTAGACGACCTGAAGGCCAAATTATTGTGAGAAGATCTCCTAGCATTACTGCTGAGGTTGTAGCCTGTTGTCTGTCTATGGGGAGTAATTCCTGAGACCACCATCGGATCATGTCGGAACTTAAGAATCATGACTATGACGTAAATAGCTTGGTTGAATGCCTAACGGAGGACGCACGGCAGTAAAAGCGTTGACCGATCTGTAGAGTCATTCAGGTCTAACCTTCCGGCTTTTACCGAGTGCTCGCTAGCGCCCAGAACCATCTATTCCACCCTTCGCCAATTTGGTACTGATTAGGCGTAAGGTGAGTGAAGGAGATGTGGCCAAAGGGTGCTAGATGTGGATGTCTCAGTCTGCGCCATCATGTACCAAGAGCTCTACTTATTCGATATGGAGAAAACTGATTACGGGATCGTTACTGACAACACTACAGCACACTAAATCTAAAACATTGCAGTTTTCAATCAGTTAAAACAAGACTATCCAATTTTCTTCCTGATCTATGTCTAAAACGTCGACGCTTTTACGTTGCGCATCTTCAGGTAAACCGAAATCTCAAAAACTTCAAATCACTCGAGCCAACATCGAATTTCTGCAACTAGTGTTCACGACATTGCCAATTCCAAAACCCGGTATAATTCGAACCATTCGCAAGGGAGTAGCAAAGGACAAATGATGCCGAACCATGCTGAGGCGTTCACGGACCGGGAATTTGTATCGTCTGTTGCTCAGGTCCAAGCCAAGGAGATGAAGAGGGGTGCTGACAAGCTGAGATGCTGCTGGCATTATTATCTGGGCTGCCCGCAATCTTGATTCCTCCGAGCTGAAGACAGAGAATGGGGCGAAGTTTGGCAAGGACACCTGGGATAGCTTGGGGGCAATCCAGGCTGGCATGTTGAATGAGGCATATACTGTGACGGCATCCCGAGCTGTAAAGAGCAAATAACTCATTAGCGGTGCTGGTGATTTGCTCGCCAGCCCGGCAAAGTATCCATCCTTGTAGACACACAGCCCGGTGCTGACAGCGGCCGTAGCAAAGAACTTGGAAGACGTGGCAGAAGTCGTGGCAGGATCTGCACAGTTGTTTTCGGCGTATATAGAATCGAATAGGTTCGCGGTTGCGTAGGTTCCGAAATAGACCAGGAAAGGAAGCCACATGGCATTCAGAGATGGCTTGGGTTTGGCGAGCCATGACTGGACGCAAGACGTCAGAGAGGCGTTGGTTGCAGCTCGATAGTAGACGATCCTGTGGAAACGAGAAGTTAGATTGCAATCTTTGACACAACAGGAATTTGGACTGAAAGCGAATTTGAAGTTCAATGCAGTCATCATCAATAATACAGAGAGGTGAATACGTACTTATCGATTGCCGTCACCCATGGAGAGACAAAAGCAGAAGCAATAGCGGCTGAAAAAAGATCCGCAAAGCACTGCCATGTGCAGCGCCGCTGGGCTTCGACACTCATGAATTCAGTCATTTTGGGATTCCGATGAGGAAGGCTTAGTTGAGAGATCCGTGATTGATTCCAATTGCATCTATTTAAACGATTCATTCCCATGGTCAAGTACGGTAGGTCTCGATCATGGCGTACGTGGTCGGGTGGGGGCTGGCTCCGAGGATAGCCGGGTGGCAGTTTGAGTCACTCTCGCGTGCCAACTCTCGCGTGCTAGCGGCCGTAACCACCCGAACTCAACAGGCAAGACGACGCTGATTTCCCCAACGCAAGCCGTGATTTCGTAATGGTCTCTCAATACTAGGATTAGCCCAGCCATTCGCCGGGATGTTGAAATGGCGATTGTGGGGCAGAAAACGATAGAACGCTCTGGTTGGAGAACCAAGCGGCTGCGCTAGCCTCACCACAATCCGTGTTACTCTCAAAGCGGTGATGAGACGCGGGGACTGACACAGGGGAATCGGCTGCCCACACTTGAATAGCTGACGCAAGGTTTAACTTGTCGCTATGACTTTGCTAGTGGCGCGGGGATGTGCTAGCTCTTACTGGGGAATATCTCAACCTACAACAGGGGCGGTCAAGTTGGTTACCATTGAGCGTCTTGGAGGGGAGGGTCAACCACGCGAATGCAACATCGTAGACCGACTAGAGCCGATTTCTGCAGACAAAACCAAAAGCATAATTCAGTCTAATGCAAGTCGGAAAGTCTCACGATTCATTTTCTGCTTATTGTGTCTAAAGTCCAGTACGAAGTCCATGGACTTTCATGCCCCATGCGTGATCAACATCTTAACGGAGCGTTTGCTCGAATAACTGATATTGCACCTCAATTTTGCTCAATGGAAGAGGTCATGAGCTTAGAAGATCACCACTTGGCTGAGACCAATCACACCGATGACTTCACCTGGTTGTAGTAGGACGCGTACATAGGGGATGGGGTATCATGGTATGTAGGCTGAGTTGGGGGTTAATCGCTATGCCCCAGCTTTGCACCGCCTCGATTTTTAACTGTCAGGTGAGAGGATTAGCCTTTTCTTCTGAGCTCTAGCGCTGCATGGTTATGTCTACAGCCGGATGAAAGGATGATGATGGAGGCAAGCGTCTGCCCCTGAGTTTGGGACCAAGACAATAACTGCTCCGCAAAGTAAGTTTCCACATTTGACATGCTATCTATGTACTATGATGCATCGCCAAAAGGTTAATGAGTCGGGGTTTTCCGGTCTTTGGGGATAAAGGTCATCTGATCGGATGCTTGCAGCCACAAGGGCTAGGATTGGTGGGTTCCTTCAACAGGAAATACCGTACCGGGTAAGGACCAGTAGCCTGACCTATTGGGACCATAAATTGGGAAGATCTCAGACAGGATCTGTTAGCAAGAATCATCCCTTTTAGCATCTCATTCAATTGACAGTCTTTTGACCTATCCCTTTGAGACATCTCAGAGATCCATTTGATCAAATGGTATCAGCTGAAAAGGTCATATATTTTGCTCGATCAAGCTATTTATCCAAGTTCTGAACCCGACCCTATCCAACCTTTCCGTCACAACACTATTGCGGTCATCACAGCTCTGCCTCTGGGTGGGTTGTGTGTTCTTAGTGTCCTCTGCTACTCCCTCACTCATTAAGCATGCATTTAAATACAAGGATATATGAACGAAGATCTAGAGTTCTATACCACTAACATCTTCCTCGTCAATACGCAAGATTATTTCGATCACGTCAGTGTGTGTGTCTGCACTGTTCATCGTATCTTTATAGAAAGCCACAGCCTCAGCATAATCTTCCGGCGCAAACTTCTTATATCCTACTGCATCTTCTGTAATGCTCTCAAGTACAGTTAATTTTTCGATCATGCCATCTATCACCTCCCCGAAGATATGACAGCGCACCCATATCGCATCACCGAACCTTCCGTCATGGACAGCATCGACATACAAGGTGGCCCAGGGCTCGACAGCGTCAACCCCGTTGCCGTGGAGGACTCGTTGCACGGAGATGTCAAGGAATAATGCCTCCGGGGCCTGGGCGTCGCTTAGATTCATAGCTATACGCATGTTATCATCGCTGTCTATCAGGGAGACGAAGTAAAATAAAGTCTGATGTGAATACCTGCGTGTTCTTAATGTAAAATAGTAGTGGAATGTAAGATTTATTGACGAAAGTTGAGTTCATGTATGAAAGCGAAGAATACAAGGGACAGAAAATAAAACCGGGCTTGTTGTGTCACGGCCCGGGACGGAACAGGCGGTCACAATCGGCAGAACTATAACATACCCACTCTTTCTGCACCAATAGTTATTGGATTGCAATTGGCATTCCGTTTCTCATTGCTCAAGGCCTAAGAACGTATGATTTATTATGGTGGAGTTTGCGAATCCCGCAGTGCATGTTGCTGTCCTAACCATCTTGGTATTTAGTTGCAATTTTTACCGAAGAGCATGACGCTAACCGCCAAAGTGAACCTGCATTATGGTGACCCGCACATCTCATTTGAGCTAAGATCATCATCCATTCTAGGATATATAGCGCCCTTCAAGACCCAAGAGGTCTCCAGCACATTGTACTCATGGTATTTTTGATTCCACCATTCTTAACTTCCACATTATCTCACCACTCTCCTCAACCCTACTCATTTGACCACTATGGCATCTCAAAGCACGCGCCCGCTCACGTCATTTACAGCACTCTCGTTCGATGTTTACGCAACATTAGTCGACTGGGAAAGTGGCATTTACACCGCCTTAGGACCACTCAATTCCCGCCTGTCGGCGACTCATCCCCTCAAAAACAATAAAATGGGGCTTCTTGGGGTATTCACCCGACATGAGGAGATATTGCAGAGGAAATATCCGGACATGGATTATGCTCCCCTGCTTGGGATGGTGTACAACGAGATGGCCCAGGAGCTGGCGGTCCCGTTGGAGCCAGATACTGCTGAGCAAGAGAAAGCAGAATTTGGCGGTTCTGTTGGACTCTGGCCAGCTTTCCCTGACAGTGTGGATGCGCTGAAGAAGTTGCAAAAACGGTACAAGCTGATCGTTTTGTCCAACGTTGATGGAGAGTCTTTTTCCCGTACCCTGGCTGGCCCTTTGAAGGGCGTACATTTTGACGCTGTCTACACGGCCCAGCAGATCGGGTCATACAAGCCCGACCTACGGAATTTCGAGTACATGGTTGAACATGCCGAGAAAGACTTGGGCGTCAAAAGAGACGGCTTCTTGCACACAGCGCAGGCTCTGAAGCATGATCATGTCCCGGCATACAAGTCGGGACTCAAAAGTTGTTGGATTGAAAGAGCGGGAAAAGACGCAGCGATTGGTGGCAGGCCGGAGGATTTTGGTGATGATTTGGACTTGTCGTTTACATTCAAGACACTTGGAGAGATGGCGGAGGCGGTAGAGGAGGCATTTGCTGATATGTAGAGTCTCAGTTGCGACCAAGCACCGATTCCCTCGACCGATTGTTACCAAATTATGCTTAGAAGTTCGGATTTTACATGATACCCTTGAGCTACGACAGTGTGCTCGATTCATAAGGCTCTGCGTCATTTTTGACCTCTGTGATTCATTTTCTCATCGGTTAGGCGTTCTGTTCATCACCAAATCTAACACAGATATGGTACCAAGAATATTAGCAATCATGTAGCGAGCTATGTCGGTCCTCGAAATAGATTGGCCCTTCTTCGAGCTTCGAAAGAGCGCAGGTATTTGCGCCAGACAGTTGTCTGAAGGTATCACTCCAGGACGCTAACGGAGAGGTGGGGATACACAATCGACACCTCATGATCCAAATTGGGAACAAAAGGTAGCCCATGCCGAGCTGCCGGACTGCTTTTCCCCACACTCAATCGTTCTGACTCATTGAGATAACGCACGTCAAGCCCCTCCCCGCGCAGATCCACCTATATAGCCCTGCAGTCTGGCGTGAGAAAACCAGAGCCGCAGCCCGATTGCCTAGAAGATACAATCTGTCGCTCTTCGCCGAGCTGAGGACTGGCTCTAGAGCTATGGTCCGTCGGCGTCATAGAACATTCACTGTGCGTAGATCCCTGCCTAGCCTCCGGCGGTTCTGCGGTGGCTTCTTACTTCCAGGCTCCACGTACAATCTAGTCATATCTGGACACCGGATGATCCCAACCCAGCTAACACTCCAATTGCGAGCCAGGGCTGCTGGAAATGCAGATCCAGAAAAGTCAAGGTGCGTCAGGTTCTCGTTTTTTCCAGCCATGAATGGTCTTGTAGAGGGCCCTGCTTACACTCCCCGTCTGTCTAGTGCGATGAAACGAAACCAGGATGCTTAGCATGTCGACGCATCGGTGTCAGTTGCACTGGCTATGACGCTAATTTTGTTTGGGTCGAGGATGATGGCCGAATCAACCCATCTCAAGGTCGGCGTATCCTTCCATGTGGTACGTGTTCGGAAAGCCTTGTCGCAAAATTGCCACTCCTACGCTTCACCCGTGGTTCACGCTTACATGCCTTAGCATCCACCTGGAAGGGCGTTGAGGTTCTACCCTCGGATGTAGTGGACCTCTTGATATCCCAGTATGACGAAGACATTGGCGTTGGACAACAGACGACCCAGCCGTACTCCGTATCTTCCCTGAAGTCGGTGAGCCACAATCCCTTTTTGGTGTTCGCAGGCATCCCCCCGAGGTCTCGGCAAAATCCCGAAGGAGCTTCAGCAAGCCAGTTGTCAAAATCCATACCCCAGGCCATGGATAGCTTCCCGGACTCGACTTGGGACGAGGTATTTTTGTTTCATCATTATGTAACACACGTGGCTATCATCATGATGCCTTACGAGCACTCACGCAATCCGTGGAAGAGCCAATACCCCGTCGCAGCTCTGGAATTAGCGTCTTCGGGACAAAAGTCCCTGTATAGTGCCATGTTGGCACATGCCGCTTTCAATGTGGCTCATCTACGAGGAATTGACAAGGAGATGGTGCGCCTTGGCTCAAAGCATTATGGCGAGGCCATCCAAGAGATGCTCCAAACCATTTCAGGAGAAGAGCTGGATTTCCCTGCTACTATGGTGTCGATGATGGCCCTCATGTTCGCCGAGGTATGGTATCACTGCGTTTGAGGCGTCTTGGCGAATTCGACGGGTGTGCTAACGAAAGCAGATCTATAGTGGGCCATCTGGATCATGGAGGCATCACTTCGAAGGCGCATGGGCTTGGCTGAAGAAGCACTACGATTCTGAGCCCTGGAAGTCTACAGGCCTGATATTCAGCTCTCTACAAAGTCTGAACATTATCAAAATCATCGGTGATACTTCAAAGGGTGGGCTGGTGCTGGAACAGTCTGAAGTACATCATCAGCACAACGTTACTGATTCCACAGCGGTGGCCCCAATGTTGTCCACCTCAGATTTTGGATTCACGATTGGCGCTCCTCGAAATGTACTCCAATGTATTGCGCTGATCACCGATTTTCGAAACAAAGCACAAAGCGACTCAGAAGGTGAGGTCGATGCGTTGCTTCAAACCCTCCTTTCACGTCTCGAGATCCACAGCAACCAGGACGATTCGCGCCGCGTCTTCGACGCAGAGTTGGTTCCTGAAAGCACTCCTGATGAACCTCCCGGCAATGAACAGTCTCCACCAGAAGCTTCGGACCAGATTGAGGCGTTTGTCAACGCAACGTACATCTATATGTACCGTTCATTACTAAACGTTCCTCCTAAGACGGTCCGGCCGTATGTCAAAAGGACATTTTCACATGTGTCTGCTTATTTCGCCATAAGCAATGGCAACTTTTCTATCTGGCCAGCTTTCATTGCTGCTGTCGAGGCATACTCGGAGGAAGATCTCGTTGCAGCGAGGGAGTGGCTGGATTGTGCCACGTCGTTTGGGATCGGAAGCCGAAACTCGATGAGACTGGTGGTGGAAGAGGTATGGAGTCGACGAGAGGCAATATGCAAGGCATCTGGAATGGAACTTGGACTCATTTCTGTTGACTGGAGGAGTGTGATGCAAGAAGTCAACTGCGATTTGTTGCTAGTCTAGCCATTGCATATTGAGTGTGCGCAAAGGATATGCCCCTGTTTGATACCCATCTTTAACTAATTTATGGGAAGAGGGATCTATGCGCACTTTAGAGCACTTCGGTCATTTCAGCAGCCCATTTCGGCTGGATAAACAATGCCTTTGCTTTGACTAAATCACGACCATCTTCTGCGTCAGACATTGTCGCTTCCACCCAAGCCTTCCGGCCTTGAACCTCCTTCGTATCAGCCTGGATGAGAATGATGCTGTTGACAGGAATCGGGCTCTTGTAATCCAGCTCGAGCCTCGCTGTCACAGCAATTTTGCCAGGCAAACGTGGAAAGCAGGCCCTTCCCATGCATTCGTCGAGAAGCACGGCGGCCATGCCTCCGTGCACGATGCCTGAATGGCCCGCAAGTCTTCGGCCAAGATGGTAGAATGCGAGAAGAGAGCCCGTGTCATCATCAGTGAAGACATAAGGCTCCACGATAGCCTCGGCGCCTTCGAGCGTAGTTTGCACAAGACTGAAGGGTAGGTCGTCTGATTTGATGACTAGAGGGGAGCGCGATGCTTTTATAGTAGAGTTCCGCTGTTGGAAGTTGAGAGCGGCGTCGTGAATGGCGACTATTGTGCGCAAGCGCTGGGCTGGGTCGAAGTCTTCGCCGACAAGGGTATGCCCTTCATCATGAGTAGTACTCGAGGTAGACATTTTGTACTGAGTATGGAAAGGTGACGGTAGAATACGAACCCAATGATGAAGAAAACGGTAGGATCCTGGTGAGATACGTTTGCCAATCACGAGATCTGGTGGCCGTCTGTACTTTAAATGGGGAGTGATTATAAAGTAACCCACATTTGCGTAGTTTGCAACCCAATTTGTGGCTGGACCCACTTCATTGAGGCTGGACGCCGGTATCGGCTTTTTACACCAAAATCCCTTACTTTTTGTCCAATTTATATTAATCTTGTTCATACATACAACCACCTGCATAACAACCCGTAAATTGAAGCCGTCATTACAACCCGTCAGCAGCAACAACGCAGCATATCTTTAAGTCTGAATTTCCGACCTTTTCCGCCGCTAAGGCTGCCGGCTTCAGCCTTCTTGTCACGACGAAGAAGCCTAAGCGTGACTTGCAGCGCAGCGACACACACACTGCGGCGGTATTGGACCCCCTACGATCCGCACTTTATGCAGGCAAAAGGCCGGCTAAAGGGGGCCCTAGGACTTAATAAGAGTGCGGCCGTCAGGACCTCGCAGCGAGACTCTATTCTCGCTGAGCGGGTTGAAGTGTGGGAGAAGGCTGAGGCGGAAATATCATGTGACTTGCCTATTCAGGAAAGTCAGATTCCCGATCGGGAAGATTAGCCTTATGCTCGACCAATCAAATCAACTGACCCCGCGCCAGCTATCGACACTACGGCAGCGGCTACTGCAGTAAAAGCTGCGATTTTGCGTGCCGCATCGCAACCTCAATCAAACCCTCCACCTTCCACCGCCCCTGCTGCAATCAATATATCTAAAGAGTCAACTACAATATTAGGGTTGAAAAGGCTGGAGGCAGGCAATTCATATAAGCCCAGCATCGAATTGCATAGGTTATATATGCGTACATTTCAGCGCTTGGAAGATGCCTCTAACGATGAAGGCAGCAACACCGGCAACACTACAGCCGCTCAACCACCAAAGGAAATACCGTCTCTAACTGAGAAGAATATCACTGATGCCTTCACTCAATTCTCAAGCAAGGAATAACATGGTCATTATATGCACTCTCAAGCTCTCATACTAAATTTGGTGTGCGGTGCGGAATCGGAAGAAGGTGGGGTTCAGCCACAAATTGGGTTGCAAACTACGCAAATGTGGGTTACTTTATAATCACTCCCTTTAAATGCAGGCCACGGGGTGGTTGACCCAGATTGAAATGGGATGTGTCAACGATGGATAAGGGGATATAATAAGGCTGCATTAGCCCGATTTCCGTCGGTATGAGCTGCCAACGCTTTCTCGGTATAAGATGCCAGCGCATGGTCGGTATAGACTGCTATAGTGCGATAATCGGGCTAGATTGAGGTGGATCCATTAACAACCCATCCCAGCTGACGATGAATGTCGATAAGCAGATGAACAGCCCAACGGTTCTCGGCAAGCATCTCTTTTAAATATTTTTCGGGACTAGCTAGGATTTGATACCCACTATCTAGTGTCCCCTCAAGATGGATTTTGGTGTCGTTGAGCTTGTTCGTCTCACAGGGACCTAGCGTTGAAGAACCACGGTGTCGTTGGCTGTCGAAAATCGGCGGTCCTCTTCAAATGACGGCTATAAGTAGATAGATCCTGTTGCGAAATGGTTCTGTTCATTCCAGCATTTCAACATTATCTTAAACTCTTCACATCTCTTACTCCAAGTCCATCGCCGAGATGGACTCCAACTCAGTTTTGGTGGAACACCCCGCGTCCGGCATCGTCAGGATTATTTTGAACCGACCCAAGGCCTTGAATGCACTCAATGTCGATCTCCTCGACAGCCTTGTCCGAGCTCTTCGCGAGAATGCCCAAGCCCGCATCATCGTACTTGAAGGTGCTGGAGAACGCTCGTTCTGCGCCGGCGAGGACCTGAAGCAGACACTCGCTCCGGTCACAGGAACGCCGCAAGAGCTGCGAGAGGCGTTCCACAAACTGCAAGACCTCACCCGCCTCACCTCTTCCTCACAGGCTGTGGTGATCGCTGTCGTTCAGGGATTTGCCATCGGAGGTGGTGCGGAACTGGCACTGGCTGCTGATTTTGTCATCGGCGGACCTGCTGCCAAGTTTCGCTTCCCTGAGGTTCCCATCGGCCATGCAGCCACGGGCGGCATTACTCTACGCCTGACCCATTTAGTTGGGTTGTTAAAGGCAAAGGATCTGCTCCTGACTGGTCGTTGGATTGAGTCTTCTGAGGCGCTCAAAATCGGCCTGCTTAGCGAGATCAGCGAGGACCCAAAGCGTCGCGCTTTAGAGCTGGCGGTAGAGATGGCCAAACTCCCTGCGATTTCGCTGGCGTCTTCTAAAACCTCTCTGGAGCGAGCTGTATTCACCAACATGGAAGCTTGCTTGCAGGACGAAATCAACGTCGCAAGCTACTGTTTCGCCCAGAGCGACGCCACCAAGGCCTTCAGCGACTTTGCTGCTCGGAAAACTCGCCAATCTGGGAAAAATACTGGAGTTGTGGCCACTGGTGACAAGATCGAAGAAGCTGCCACATTGAAGATGGCGTCAGAGACTTATCTCATGACCCAGAAACCTCCCGTTAGGGACATCAACGCAGCTCTCAAGCGGGTTGTAGACAGCTTCCCCGACAGAACGTTCCTCCGCTTCGGTGGCAGAGATATTACTTTTGGCGAGTTTGATGTGGCAATGAGAAAGCTTGCTGGAGGATTGAAGCGGGCCGGCATCCAACCAGGCGACAGAGTGCTGGTGATGATGGCAAACAGCGTCGAAATGGTGTATTCCTGGATGGCCACCAATCAACTGGGTGCTGTGTGGGTTCCAGTCAATACGGAGCTGAAATCTGTCACTCTGAAGCATGTCATCCAAGCTGCTCAGCCAAAACTCGCCATTGTTGATGTTGCACTTTGGCCGGAGCTCAAGTCATTGAACGTGTTGGAGGACAGCTCTGTTTACGTCCATGGTCAATGCGATGGACTTGCGGCCAACTTCTCGACTCTACTACAGTCAAGCATTGCGGTTGGTGATTCTGCCAAAGTAACACCAGCTACTACTTCTGCATTCCTCTATACAAGCGGCACCACAGGAAGGTCAAAGCCTTGTGTGCTCTCCCACGAGTACTTTATCCTCCAGGCACAGGCGCTTATAGAGAGCTGCGGACTGCGAGCCGACGACGTTCTTTTCTGCTCATTCCCTCTTTTCCACGCGGATGCCACCGCACTTACAATCATCCCGGCCATCCTTCTTGGTGCTGTCGCGGCTCTGTCTGTCCGCTTCACTGCTACCAGATTTTGGGATGAGATCCGTGCCGCCAAGGCCACAGTTTACGACTTCATGGGTGCCACTTTGGCGTTGACGTACAAGCAGCCGCCCAGCGACCGCGACCGCGACCATAGTGTGCGTCTAGCCTGGGGAGTTCCTATCCCCCAGTTCGGCGAAGCATATGAAGAACGATTTGGCCACCCGCTTACCACTCTGTACGGAAGCGTCGAAGCCAGCCTTCCCATCATCCAGGATCGTAGCCGCAAACTCCCAGTTGGCTCTTGCGGAAGGCTTAGGGAAGGCCACCAGCTTCGCATCGCTAATGACATGGATGAAGAGCTGCCTCCAAACACTCCAGGTCACCTGCTTTTGAGGAGCGATGTGCCAAACGCCTTCTTTCAGGGATATTTCAATGACCCGGAGAATACGGCAGCTGCGTCCCGTGGTCTATGGCTTCACACAGGAGACATTGCCAAAGTTGACGACGAGGGGAATGTCTACTTTATAGGCCGAGTCAAAGACGTAGTGCGCCGGCGTGGTGAGAACGTCAACGCGGCTGAAGTAGAAGAAGAGTTCCTGCAGCACCCAGAGGTAGTCATCGCGGCCGCATATGGCGTGCCGTCACAGCTGGGGTCTGGAACGGAAGAGGATGTCAAGGTCGCAGTGCAGATGCGGGCGGGCAGCACCATTGACGAGAAAGGGCTTTGGGAGTGGGCGGTGCAACACATGGCGAGGTTTCAGGTGCCAAGCGTCATAGAGTTTGTCGATGAAATAAAGAAGACGCCAACGGGAAAGATGGAGAAGGGTGGGTTGAAGACGGAGGGAGGTCAGCGATTTGACATCCGGGATTTGAAGAAGGTAGCATGATCTGGCTCGAGTTTGTATGCAAATATCTATCCCGCTTGAAGCCCTACTTTAGATAAGATTGAACCGTCTCGCGGACTTATGGAGATGATTAAGTTGTCTTTGAGGACCGTGATAGTACTGGTAATATATTTATGCATTCGGGCTCGATTCTCTGATTTCCGTAAATGATTCCATGATCTAGAGGTGAGAGGATTTTCCATCCTTTTCCAAATGAATCGGACAGGTAAGTTCGGGATACTGCGAATACATCTTGTCTCTTGATCCTATTAACAAGTTCGCACTTTCTTCAAGTGCGTAATGAGATTGCTGAGAAGAATCCCAAATTAAAACCGCCATCTCACCTATCTACCCAACATTGCGAGGATATATTGTACTCCGATATTAAAATCTTCCCTGTCCTCCCTTCCTGATTTGGCTTGCGGAATAAAAAGATACTCTCCATCGGATCGCCATGCAAAACAACCTCAAGTCCACGTATCCTGTACGAGTCTGGGATGAGTGGTAGTGACAAATCTCGTGGAGTAGGGTAGCTGGAAAGAGGAAATTCGTTATCAATATCAACGCCCCGATAGAAGTCCCGCTCTTCGATCTCCATTACCTTTCGCGCAATGCACGCTGTGGTCTCTGCGTCCCAGATACCTTCCCTATGGGAGGAAATTTCCATCAACCTGATGGCCTGCAGTCGAACACGGTGAATGCGACATTTCATAGCCGTGTAATACAGTGGCGGGAGCCAACCCACGTCGACATAGGAATGGGCCATGTCGACGAAATTCCCTGGCCGGAGTTTCCGACAGAGACGCGTGGGTAGGTACGTCCCAGGTTCAGCACATAGTTCTGACAACTTACTGACCAGGAAGACGAACTGGCTTGTGTGGGAGTCGAATACCGATTCATTGTCTGGACACAGACACACCTCCAGCATAATTTTTGCCATGGTATGGTATCCCGATAAGATTGTAAAACGTTTGTTCTCGTCGTACGACATGTGGCCGTGCAGAGACTTCCCGAGATTCTCATACATGTAAAGCCAACGCTTGAGGTCGGCTCGAATGTGCTGCCGAAGTTCAAGTGGTGTGTGAGGAGGCAGATGAGATCCACTCCCAGGCACGTTGTGGCAGCCTGTTTGGGCCAGGTGAAGTATCTTGTTTAGTAACCGTTGTATTTCCTGCCAGGCTTCGTCGAGAGATTGTGGCATGGTGCCCCCAGGCTTGTGTCCTGCCACTGTGGGAATTAAGAAGGGACCATGATAAGACAATGAGAAGAGTTCGACCTGAAATTGGAGCACGGAAAACGTTTCGACAATCCAGTCATCGGCCATCTCATGACCTGACTTCAACCCAAGGTTCCTATCATCGATATTGACGGACAATTGCGCATCTTGGAGGACCTTAAGACCGTTCTGAAGATGAGAAATGGCCGCCTGAAAGTGTCCACGAAGGAGTTCCACAGCAATAAACACGAGGCAGGTGGCTAGAGCGACACGGAAAGAAGTCCTGTCCTTGACGGAGAAATGTGGCTGCAGATGTCTGATTGCCTTGACGTAGTTCTGTAGCGCAAATTGTTCTTGGCCGTAGAGGGTGTCTTTGATGTCTCGTTGTTCGCCAGTGTTGATGACAACCCCTCTCTTATGGACAGAGCTCAGGGCAAGGACAGCATGTAGGACGGCTGGTTCACGGAAGCTCATCTGGAGGATCAGCGTATTCCAGAATTTAGAGGCGAAGGCGCCTGAGAATTTGTGCATAGCCTGACTCTTGAACCAGGTGAAGTAGTCCTTCTCCTCTGTAGTTGCAACAAGGACTGAGAGAGGTGCGGGAGGCCGCGCGACAACGGTCTCGACGTCCTGGGATGTGGCAAGGCTTTGCTGCAGCTTAGCATAGGAACTACTCCCACCGCCCCAAATACCGTAGCCGTCACAGGCGCGGCCGGTAGAGATGCATCGGTGACAAGCGGGGCGACCTTCGTCACATTTGACCTTTCGGATCCTGTCCCAGGTTCATCCGTAAGCTCATGCGTGATAATCGCCGCGTTCGTACTTAGCTGAAGCGACTCACCGGCAGGTACCACAGCCAGACCTAACTCTGCGTCTGCTGCTACGACTTTCAATGCGAGAGTTGCTAATAGATGCAGCCTGCGGCATATTTGAACACTCCGTATGCCTTAAGTCCGGTGTGTTGTTGGGAAAACCGGCGTCTTCGGGGCTGTCATTTTCGACCTGACCAACATCACCGTTAATCAGCCACCGGCATCTGATCCAGCTATTCGTAGGCTCGGATCGGTTGCGATATGATTGGTCCCTGAACGCCCCAAGGCAACCTTAGTCTGACGAGATATGATTCGTCCGCTCGGCGACTTTGGACGTTGATTGGATAATTCCTTCGCCATGGGCTTCGCTGGAGTACCCCTCGTCAATGTATTAAACAAAGATGCTCACGATGACGATTGTTCCAAGCCTTTGCGGATTTTAATACGGATTTTAACGGACTTAGGCCAATCTCTAAGGTTGACATGAATTATTCCACAAGAATCTCTTGGTTATAAAGAGGTCGAGTGTCGGCATGCTCACAATGCTTGACACTGAGACAAGATCACCGGAAATCACAATTTCTTTCGCTTCCGCAGTCTAAACACCAACCCTCACCTCCCATACCATCAATATGCCTGCACAAATGCGCAAGCTTGGCCATAACGGCCCCAACGTCCCCGCCCTAGGCCTTGGCCTGATGGGTCTCGGCTATCCGGTCTACGGAGCCCCTCCGACAGATGAGGATCGATTCGCACTGCTTGACCGTGCTCATGAGATTGGAGCAAGGTTCTGGGACACAGCCAAGTGAGTATTTCGAAGAAAGATGTCCATAAATGGTCGTAGACAGCATGAGTTTCTGACGATTTCTACAGCATGTATGGCGACTCCGAGGAGATAGTGGGCAAATGGTTCAAGCGCACAGGAAAGCGCAGTGACATTTTCCTGGCGACCAAGTTCGGTTATGTGATAGGCAGCCCGACCTATGAGACTGACAGCTCCCCCGAGTATTGCAAGAAATGTTGCGAGGACAGTCTCAAGACTCTTGGCGTCGATTTCATTGATCTCTGTAAGTACTCTATTCTCATAACTCTTGCTCATTCCAAGGACTACAAAACTGTACATGCTTGTGTCAGGGCAACATACCTTGAAATGTCCAACCTACCCTCTGGTTCGAGAGGCTAATGCATCCCAACTTCAAGATTACGTCCATACCGTCAATGCCAAAACGCCAATTGAATCAACTATGCGAGCGATGGCAGAGCTGAAAGCGTAAGCGTTTCACCCTACAAGCATTGTGTACTGGAAAACCGCACATTCATTTACTAACAGGAACCTCTTAGAGCGGGCAAGATCAAGCACATCGGCCTGTCCAATATCAAGTCTTCTGAACTTCGCCGTGCTGTCAAGATTGCCCCCGTTGCTGCAGTCCAGATCGAGTACTCGGCCTTTGCGCGCGATATCGAGAGCCCAAGTGGAACCGATCTCCTGGCCACTTGTCGAGAGCTGGGCGTCTCCATCATCGGTTACGCGCCCCTGGGACGCGGCCTGCTCACATCTACCTTCACCAGCACGGATGCCGCGAGCGCCGGCACGGACATGCGCTCCAGCTTCTTCCCACGCTTTCAGGGAGAGAACCGTGACAAGAACATCCAACTCGTCCAGCAACTGACAGCCCTGGCGGAGAAGAAGAACTGTAGCACGTCGCAGCTGGCGATCGCGTGGCTTCTGAAGCAGGGCGACGACGTCATTCCGATTCCGGGCACTAAGAAAGTGAAGTATCTGGAGGAAAACTGGGGTTCGCTTGATGTCGATTTGACTGACACGGAGGAGGCTGAGATTAGACGCTTTGTTGAAAGTGCCGAGGTTGCTGGGGGTGTCGTTCCAGAAGGAATGGAAGCCCACCAGTACGGTACTACGGCTGAGGAGGTCTAGTTGAATGGGGTGGTGGTAATACTGGATGCGTCACTATGAGATTTATTTGCGTTCGCGACTCCAAGACCAAGTGTGTAGGATTTTACAGAGATAGTATTTGATCAATTATGTTCTACCGCCACCGAACGAATTCATCCCCCAACCATCACCCTGCATTCCTTTCCTTCCGATGTCAGCTCCGCGACGCAGCCAGTTGTAGGGGTTGCCCGCGCGGTTACCCAAGTCCCATTAGTCAAGTATATCTGCCCTGCAATTTGTTGCCGTTCTTCCGGTCCCGAAACCATCTTCCTATACGATTGTCACCTGTCAATCAGGCTGGGGCCACACTACATGCATCTCTGAGACAATCAGAATTTCCGCTCCTAGCGCATTTAAGCCTTCGCATGATAAGAAAAACTAAATTGAAGAGTTCTAAGAGCAAATCTCACATTTCCTGTGACCGTTGATCTTTCCCGGATCGTATGGGCTTACACATAACTTATCTGCGGCTCGTAAGCCTGTACCAATTGGGAAGCTCGATAACTCCATGACTCACCCGGGGAACAGCAATTGACTGAGGTGGGACCCAATCAACTGCAGACCAGCGCTCTCCGATATTTTTGACCGTTGATGAAATATATAAAACTCCCAGACTCCGCGGTTATGGGAGATGTTGAAAACAGCAAATAGCCTCCTCAGCTAGAAACAATTATTCCAACCCTTCATCTACTCATTATCCCCAACACACAATGTCTAAAGCTACATTCACTATCTCTCGCGCCTCACTGAGTGATGTGCCACGAATAGGGGAGATCTCCACCCGCGCTTTCGACAACGATTCTCATTCTCAGATGAAGATTATGGGTCAAAAGCCCGGCTCTTTTGCGGAGGGAATGGCCATAGGCGCCCGCGCCTGGATTGAGTCCCCGCGAGGTGTCCTTCTCAAGGCAACGGATGACCGCGATGGCACAATTGCGGGCTCCATGGCGTGGGGTTTCAGGGGCATCGAACTCGATGCTTCACCGGGCGAGGATGGAAAAGCTACGGAGCAAGTGGAGGAGACTGTTGTGGATGATGATGGCAAGGGCGAAGGGGTGACTGAGACAGAGGAGCCTATCATCTCGGGTGCCGAGAGGATCAATGAGCTTGAGGCCATGACAAGCAAACACTTGCATGACTTCATGCACCGGATCATGCCGGATGGTTCGAAGTGCATTTTCATGGGGGGCATCACTGTAGATCCAAAATATCAGGGTCAGGGCGTTGGTTCCCAGCTCATACGATGGGGAACCGAACAGGCAGACAGGCTGGGTGCTTTCTCTTGGGTGCACGCCTCTGAGGCCGGTTGGCCGGTGTTTGCGAAGCATGGATTCAAGGAAGTTGAGCGCCTGACGTTTGATATGGATACATGGGCCGTCGGACCGCCACCCAAAGATGGCGTATTTGGAGATCGGGAGAGCTGGGGCCCATATACATTTAGGTACATGGTGCGCCAGCCTATAGTCGCTTAGATGCTGTCTACTTTCCTTGATATTAGGGCTTGAGTACGCTCATTTGGACCAGGGCAGCCTTCTAGTCTTGGAGAATCATAACATGAAACCCGCCAGTCTGAGACAATGGCTAAGCCTTGGGTAATGAAGATGAAGAAAAGAACGGCATAAGAATTTCGATTGTGACACCTTCAATCCACTCAATTTATTGTGACAAACTGTGGCCCAGATTTACTCATTACCCCTCCAAGTACACACACCAACGACTATAAATTGCAAAAAGTAGTTTACACAAACAAGAAAAGGAACGCTCGAATGCCGTCTCTCACCTCCAACGAGACACCCTCTCGTTTTCATACTGATCCTCCGAATACCCATCCCACTCATTCTCCAAAGTGTAGGCAGAAGTTCCACCCCCCGTCCCCTGGTCTGGGAACCGCCAGCCTCGGAAGCGGAGTTCCTCGTAATCAATGGATCCCTCAATACGACCGTCGCCCAGGAATGTGAGCCGGCCACTGTTACTATCGCCATAGATGATGGGACCCTGATCTTCACGACCACGCCACGTAAATGGCACGGAATCACGCGATGAAGCTCGCGGCCGCCTGTCGAAGTACATGACGCCACTGAGGACTCCCAAGTCAAAGCGGCCCCAAAGACTGTCACCAGCAAGGCGGAGTTCCAAATGGAAGTCCGAGCGGTAGTGGGACCATTGGGAGGTAACGTAAGAGCTAGTAATGTCGTAGCTGCCATTGATGAGGCCGAGGGATCCCAGGATCGCTACGATCCCACGCGCCACACAATCCCGTCAGGATCACCTAGTATATTAACCCGAGGAACTGGCTGTCATTAGGACACCAGATCCTCAGCTATCAATAATACTTAGTTACCTAGCTTACTATACTAGCTATATATTACTAGATGTGATACTATTATTCTATTATATTGCTTTGTTTGTAGTAACTATATTATGACTTATATAATAATATTTTAATTTCTATTAGAATCTGAACTCCACGATCTATACCTATTCTAGACTGTTAGCCTAGATTAAGTATAGCTATTACAATTAGCAGCTATATTAATACTCTTAGTACCAGTTATATAAATTATTATAAATATACTATACTTCTCAACTTTCTATTTAATAGTATGTATCTCTTTATATATAAAGTATATTTTTCTTAGGTATAAGCCTGCTATTATAAAGCTCTCAGTAGATATAACTTTTAGAAGGTTAGCACCCTTAGTAGTATATTTGCAAATCTTAGCAATAATACTATTAATACCTTTATAACTGCTACTCATAGCCTTGTAGTAACTACTAGGTATAGTAAGAGGCACATTAGCATATTATAGATGGGGAATAGAAATGGAGCTACAGCAGATCTACTTCTATATAATTATAGTATTATTACTACAAGAGCCAAGATTGCAGGCAGTCTTAATACCAGGGTTAAGAAGATAGGTTAAGTGCTTAGCTATAAATAAGAGAATCTCAGCATCTGAAAGGTTACTTTTAATAGAGGTTGAAATTCTTATTGAGTCTATTTGGAGGTAAAGCTGGAGTTACTATATATTAGAAATGGCTTCTAATCTCCTGTATATGTCTTATATTAGGAGGTACCGGGCGTGGTTATGTTGTAATAACCGCTATAGCAAAGGGAATGCGCTCCGCTTGCTTGCAGGACTATTATAATCCATATCTTCCGTCTGATAGCTCATATGGCAGTTAAAAAGGCCCGGCATTAGAGTCACATCCCCAAGGTCTTCTACCGTCGAGGCTCTGTAAGAATCCTTTAACAAGTCCCGTATTCCAACCTTTGTGATGCAGTTACTATACACTACAACAGCACCATCTTGGATAATATCTGCTTGACTAGAGGGAAGCACGCAAGCGGCTCGAATAGCGACTAACATGGCGCCGAGATGGAGATGAGAGCATTCGAGATGGTGGAGAAAATGCTCACAAGAGATAAACCCAACCCCAGGCCTCCGAGATCCCAGCTAGATACAAGATGCATTGGGATGATTCGTTGAGGCCTTCGTATGTCTCTACGGCAGACGTCGTGGAAGCTGAGCGTCGGCTGGATCCCGGCCCGCCGCGAATGCCGTATCTGTGTGGACTACTCGGGAATAAAACTCCGAGACAGGACAGGGCCATTCACGCGGCGGATACGCAATTCGGTGGTGCAGGAGAATCATGGACTTATTGTCAATTAGCGCATGAAGGCTGCTCTCTGGAGCACTCAAGCTTTCTCCTCCAACATCCGTGGCATGAGGGCTTGTCTGTGTCTGGCATGGCATCCGAGACGAGTGGTGAAGAAGTCATTTCGCAGCATCTAGAGGTTTTCGGGCTTCGGGGAAAAGCGGTATATTAATTAGTGCGAGTAGTTCCCCACGAAGAAGACCCCCAAAATCCACAAGCAACTTCTCAAGCAAGATATTCGGATGACACAGCCTGATCTTGACAACATGTGGACCCGGCTTTAAGTCAACCAGTTCATGCTCCAGCCTCCAGACCTGATCGCTCGCCGCCTTCATCCATCTGATTCAGGCCCTCGATAAATCTGGCATCCAGTTCCAGTGTCGTCAAAGAACCCCGCCCGCCCCATGTAAGGATCGCAGCAAGACGATCCACGAATGGTTCCTCTGAGCTAAGAATAGTGGTTTCGTCCATATCCTCAGCCTCCGCTCGCGACTCCAGCCACTCTAGATATCTTCTCGTGTGCGCCAGTTATTCATCAGTCCCTTTTTTCTTTGAGTAGGGCATCTGCACAGTAAATGTATCGCCACGACCATTTGTGACCGCTGTCTCCTCCTGGTAGTACTGTCCAGACTTCAACGTCTGCCGCGCGGGGTCAATGGCAAAACATTCAGCCGTTATCCGTACATGGCGGACGAGATTGCCCAGATCGGTATGCCTCATCAGGGCTTCTGTGGACGAGAGGCCGGAAGAAGTCAAAGTTGTTGTGTGGCGGTCGAAGCACTTCTGAGCCACTGATAGGCCCATGTGCTTGCTCCAAGGCGGAGGCTTTTCAAGTCGGCCAGTGCTAAAGACATGAGAATGCGCTCCAGGACCTCCTGAGGCACATTGCTCAGAACGGCACTTTGGCCCATCCTACAGATGCGCTAATGCGTCTGGGAGGGATAGCTATGGCCCTAGGATAGTATAGATGTGGATCAGTGTAGACCTGGGACCAAGCGTAGGTTTGGAAGCTTCCTTTCAGGGCAAGTCGCTCGGCTTCCATAACCAAATATGAATGTAGCCAGGTTCTACCCTGCATCGCAATTTAAGCTTCATTTTTAGGCAAAAGTGGAGGTAGCCGATCTTTTCCGCGAAAATGGCTATGCCACTGCTATCTAGCAGGCTTCAACGGGGCGTAGGGTCATAGGGATGGACTTGATTCGGTTTCGGTTTCGGTTTCGGCTTGATTTCCACTTTCACTGAAAGTACTCCGTACCAAGGCAAGTTTGTGAGGGTATGGAGACTAGACAGATATTTAAATGTAACGTCCTACCCCAGTCATGGCTTAGCTTCCCACGAATGACTCCTACTTCCCACCCTTTTAACATGCTACTCTTTGGCTCCAGGGGACGATCGCTCTCGAGATGCGGTTTCGCATGGTATGTAAGTGCCGTGTTCACTTCCCGAAGTTATATCCCTGTGAGGAGATTAATAGACCTTCACAATACAAAGCTAAGTCATCCCCCCTTATATATTACGTAGTATATATATGTATAACGTACATGATAAGCTTGCGTGACAAACAAGCTTGCGTGACAAAAATACTAACCTTCAAAATTAAAACTTCAATAAAAATACAACAACACCTTAAATCAATTAAAACTAATTGCTATACTCTTCTCCAGAGGTCTCAATAACAGCCTGACAGGTCCTTGCATTATGACCGGCCTTTCCATAAGTTCCACAGCGCCTTTCCCTCGGCATCACCGACCTCGCTCGACCACCACTTCTCGACGATTCAGCTGCTACCTGTGCATCGACATCTCTCTAATCTATCTCACCCCTTCCCTCATCTACAGTCATCTTCCCTCTATTCTGTAGGCAGGTCCTTTTTGCTCTGCGCCGCTTGCTAAGAGTCTCATTTGCCTGTCGAAGGATCTGGTTCTCAGACTTCAATAATGCCATTTGATGCATTATTGCCTTTGTTCCCTTAGAAAATGACTCAAGCGCCTCAAGAATAGATGCTGGAGAGCTGCTCTGATGCCTTCTTACTCGTCTTTTAAGGTATTCAGACTGCGAACTGGCCTCAAGCACTGTCTTTGGGGTCTTCGAGACCCAAGGGTCGGGGAGGCCGACCTCCTCTGCAGCTGGTGTTGGAGTCCGTAGCTGCACATCAAGCTTCGATATGACATTTTCTGGGTTCAAGGGAACAAGTCCGGCCCCTCGAAAACCTCCCTCAATATTACTCCTTGTCATAGCGGCTGCGTGGGCAGCATAGAAGGCTGGGAAGAACTCGGTCTTCGTAACGTGGGTTATAGAGCATCTGATCAATTGCTCAATTTCTCGACCATAGGCTGTTTTAAGCGGCCCAAAGCATCCAACATCAAGAGGCTGGAGCAGATGAGATGAATGAGGCGGCATACAAAGCATAATGATGTCGTTCTCTTTACAATATTTCTCAAAGTCGACGGAGTGGTGACTTTTATGCCCATCGAGGATCAGAAGACGATAGCGACCGGTCGATCGATCCTTTGTGTGCCGGTCAAAGTGCTTGAGCCACTCAAAACCTGTCTCATTGTCGGTCCAGCCATTTTGAGTCGTCGCAATAGCCCAATCGCCCGGGAGGTTGCTTTCCTAATACCAGCTAGCGAGGTGATATTGGCCCGCAACTACGATGAACAGCTGGATCGCCCAGCCTTCCGCATTGATCGCCTGAATGACTGTAACCCATTCCCAGTTTCCAGGCTAGACTGATTTCGGGTTTCCACGCCTATCTATGCCTGTGACGACCATTCCGCTTGCAATAATACCCATCATAAAGCCAGTCTCATCAAAGTTGTAGATATCAGCTAGGTCGATACCATATTTCGCAATTGTGTTCTCCACGAGCTGGAACCAATTGCAAATAATAGTTGGATCTTCGCATTTAGCCCTCTAATAGTCATATTTACGAAAAAAACGCGTCTTGAGCTCTGGTTGTCGCCTGATAAAGTTAGAAGCCCAGCGCTTGCCGACGGGTGACGCGTCGCGGTCGGCGAGCAGTCGGTTGGCCATTTCTTCAACACCACGCAGTCGCGGGGGAAACCCTCGCGAATCCAGGTCGAGGATGAACTGAATAATAATCTGCTCTTCTAGATCAGATAGCTTGCGTGATTTGGGGATCCAATCGCGTCGGGATTGAATCCCCTTCTGCCGGCGCCATAGCATCATACGGCTAACTTTGTAGATCTCTGCAGCGCGTTAGAGCTTTAATTTTGGGTCATTTTGAAGGGCCTGAAGCACAAGAAGAATTCTACCCTCAATATGAGGGTCAGACATATTTTGTGGTTGAGAATTAATTGATTAAATGGAGATAATGTAGGTGGAGGGATTTTTGTCACGCAAGCTTGTTTGTCACGCAAGCTTATCATGTACGTTATATATTTACATATATTTACATATATCCATATTACCAGTCTCTTGAAGACACGAACACTTTTGTTCATGCAAATACACGCTGTTGTATTTCTCCAACAACGATGAAGATTCCATTCCACGGGGCCATATTTGCGTGGCTTATGGTGCAAGGTCCTGCTGCTTTCGTCAAATGCCGTTCAAGTGATACAGAAATCATCGTTGATCTTGGATATTCAGTTCATAAAGGCGTTTTTAATGTGGGTTTACCTCTACTTCTCTACATAGCATGCTTTTGGCTGTTTCGCATGATTCAATCTTTCTTCATTGGATGGAATTCCCTTGGCTGTGGAATCGTCAAGTAACACGTGCTACTAGGCCTCGAATGAATACTACAGTTTCAAGAACATTCGGTATGGCGAGCCACCTGTTGGAGCCCTGCGATGGAACCCACCAATCGCACCCCGAACAATCAACAGAACCCTTGATGATGGTGGAGTGCAACGAATCTGTCCCCAAGCCTACCCCCGCTGGCTGCTGCAGCCCCGAGCGGAAGCGGCAGGGATACCAGTAGAAACGATGGTGGATTTCCTCATGAACGACCAGCGCGTGAGTGAGGATTGCTTATTCCTCGACGTCCACGTTCCTTCGGCTATACTTGCACAAAAGGGCGAAAAGGGCTCCGGTGGTGAGTAAAATCTCAATCTCGTCTGGCATGCTTCTGCAACTGACTGCAAAATGAATCAGCTGCTGTAATGGTTTGGATTCATGGAGGTGGCTACGATATTGGTGAGTCAAAGTACATATTGCATGGAGGCAATAGAATGGCTGACAGGCGCACAGGATTCAAGGACCAAGCGCCGTTTGACTCTCCTGCAGGTTTACTAGCCCGTTCTCAGTTCGATGATCAAGAGGGAATCATCTTTATCTCTATAAACTATAGACTGGGTATGTTTGGTTTTCTTTATAACGACGGGGCCGACATGATTGGCAATGCTGCCTTCTGGGATCAGAGGCTCGCGCTTGAATGGGTCCAAAAGTACGCCCATCTCTTCGGCGGAGACAGACATCGCATCACCATCATTGGAGAATCTGCAGGCGGTGGTAGCGTGTTGCATCAAGTTACTGCCTTTGGCGGGAGAGGAAAAGCACCCTTCGCCGCGGCGATTTCTCAGAGCCCCGCGATTCCCATTACCGCAAATACATCGGAAATTTGGCAGACCACTATCGCGGAGGCTTCGCGGATAACTGCTGGAAAAATTACGACAGTGCAACAACTCCGTCAGTTGAACTCGTCAGCGTTGATGCAGATCAACCAGGCGGCAGTTTTCGGCAGTGGTTATGGTCTCTTCACGTATGGTCCATTAGTCGATCGGTTGTTTGTGCCAGCTCTTCCCGGGGTTCTTCTCTTAAACGGCCAATTTTATCACGACGTGAAGGTAAGTACAAGGGGATGCTAGTATTTTCTGACGAGTATATATAAACAAAACAAAACTAACACGACAAGATTATGACGGGATACAACAAGAATGAATCCGGGATGTTCATCCCTACTATACGCACAAACGAGGACCTGTCGTCTTTCCTTCAGGTTAGCTATCCCATGTCAGATTCGGCACGAGATTTCGTCCTGTCGGAACTATACCCCAACATCCTAGATGGAACCTATGGCTACACCACGCAAGCCGAGCGCACAAGGATTCTGATTGACGACATGGTCTTCACATGCAACACGCGGTTTCTCGCGGCTGCATTCCAGAATGAAACCTATGGTTACAGATTCGAATACCCACCGGGGTTACATGGCCAGGACCTTGCATGGACTTTCTTTAAGGGCGATGACCCGGCAGTGTTGCCGGAACTCGCCATCGCGATGCAGCGCTACTTGACGAACTTTGCCATGACAGGGACTCCAAATGGTGAAGTGGCAGAAGACTTACCAAGCTTCCCTCTGTACGGCGAACAGGCAAATTTGGCTATTTTTGGAATCGATGGGGTTAGTATTGCCCAAGACGCCACTAATCATGCGAAATGTGATTTTTGGCAGAAGGGGGTCTTCTGAGATTTGTCCTCAGAGCTAGATTTATGTGCGTTCGTGAAATTTCTATTAAATTTACATTCCAATTTTTTTATATTTATCTGAGGTCTATATATTTCATTCTTATCATAAATTAATTCTTTATATTTTTACCCTCTCTTATATCCATCTTTATTCACATCCGCACCTTGCTTGCTAGCCGTGGGTATAGTCAGCAAACATGTCTTTCAGGCAGTCGGTATCCATGCTAGCCCTCAGTTTGTCGCCATCAATATGCATCTCATTTACTCGTACTAGGTATTGTCATTAGATACTTTATCTTGTCTAGCAACTCTAATTTCACTCTACCTCAATTAATTGATTAAGTCATTTCTGTTACTTGACACAACTCTAACCAACCGGACCTCGCTAACTTCACTACACCATGCCGGAATATCGTCCCGTTATGGCTAATATTCAGGTATCCTCTTACTAATTAGAGATGTGCTAGACTTGGAGGTCATCTATATAGACTAGTCGAACAGCTAGTGTATGAGAGAACCTTGCCCCCCTCGTTCACTGTTACTTTTTACTTATGGTAAATTGTCATCTGAATATCCCAATCTTGTGTGGCGTCAGATTGCCCCCGGCCTTTGGCAGCGCAATGTGATAGAATCTAGCAGTTCTACGCTCGATGGTGGTGCTATACGAGGGAAGTGGCCGTATGTTCTTTGACATCACGGGACATGGGTCTTTGAATGTTCATGTGCCCCTAAGGTCCATAGAGAATTGAACGCAGGCTACTATTGATTTGGAAGAAGTCATCACCAAACTTTGGGATAATTGATTCTAATGTATAGTATACTCCGCTACATTAAGTTCTACATTGCCATATGAGTTGATTCCAGCAACTATTGTACCTACCCATTGCATTGTACGGAAACCATGGGTCCCGTCTCTGGCGCCGCCGACACTGCATCTGGAAGGTGGAAGTAAGTGTTACTTACCTTAAGAAAGAGTCAAAGTGGTGGATGTGGGAAAGGCATATCGAAGGAGAATCCAATGTGTAGTGCAATTGCGCCAACCTCTTTCCTGTTACGCCAATTCCTTTCTTGTTGGGTTGGCTCCTGCTGTGTAAAAGGAAATTCCCGCCCCGGAACATCCCCTCCTGCCCGCATACATCGCCTGCTATTGCCGCTCATGATGAAGACAATGAAGGTAAGAGCCATTGACGAGATGATTCTGTTTATCATGTCAACACGGGTACTCCCCAAATGCTTCCCTCTCTTCTTCTTCTTCTTCTTATATACGACGCCGTCGCCCACGATACGCAAACGCCCACGAAACGCAAACGCCGAAACGCATACGTCGAACACATATGCATACCTCCAACGTCAGCCCAGCCATGGTTGACTTCCTCTGGCCCGGATGGGGCCCTCTTTGCACGATTCTTACGGCCATTGGCCTCCCCTTTGTCATCATCAGCACCGTACTTATGTGCGTGCACCTCTTCTTGCCCTTCATGCTCCCATCTACTCCCTCATCCGCTGCCGCCGAACGAAGCGTAAACGAGCAGCGCATGTTACGGGAGGTTTTCCGTGCGGCCGTGCCGTTGTTACGGACACTCGTTGCGACCGAGCAAAGTGAGTTCTGGGCGGCCCGGATCAGGCAAGACGAGTTGCTCATTGCACATCGAGTAACTCGCCGCGCCATCCATGACTTGACGGCTGCTCTGCAGCCAGATGGCTGGGAAAATGATCGAGAAATTGTGTCGTTGGCACTCGATCTTGCCAACCTCCGGATCAACCGATGATCGTCCTGCGCAGAACCCCGGCAACCACGCCCCTTTCGACATCGTCTCCAAAGTCCCGGAGCGCGACAGGGTTCTAGGCAAGCTTCCAGCGAATTTCGGCATTTCGTTGATGTAGCCGCTGGCTAGGTCGCTCCATGCTTCCCCACCAACCCTCCGAGGGGAGGTGGCGGTCCTTCGGGGCCGCCCCAACGACCAGCCCGCACCTCAACATGGTGTTGGGGTCTAGTAACCCTGCTCAGGCGGGTGAAGCTAAGACGGGCTGACTATTCGTCTAAGTTTCAATTCTGATCCTAGGTTTTCCTTTTGGTGCTGACAAAGTCTCCGCAGTTAACTGCGGTGCGCCTTGGCACTAATCCATGTCGACATAATGTTGACATAGTGTCGACGTAACCAGTCTCGCCGCGGAATGCTCAGAAGGACACATCACTTGCAAAACGTCGAGGTCTTGGGGATGAAGAGTTTAGTTCCAAAGTAGAAGAGATCCGTTTTAATTCAAATACGTTACTTCGCGAGATCACGGGTTCAGTCTGAATAGTAGATGGTCATTGAGATAAACACGTCTTTGCGTGCCGTCTTAGACACTCTGCTGGATATTCCCAGACCATCTTCCCCCTCTATTTGGGATGACCCCCGATGTAGTCAATCGAGTGTACACTCTGTCATTCGTATGAGTGTTGAACGCTTGAGTGATGGTGATCTGGTGGCGAATTTTGAGCAATCGTTAATATCGGACATCTAGTCTCGAAGAGCGTACCGTGGGCAGTATCTATCTACCTTGAGTACTTAACTCACCACGCCTACTTGCCTACCTATATATAGTAGCTATCTAAGTATCTACGTGCAGTAGTTATTACTTGATATTGAGTTACTATGCCATCGTCGCACAAGCCTCGGTGAAATGATAGTGAGCATTTCGGGTTAAGAAAGAAACTTGATAAACGTGAATTGCTCTGACCTGATAAGCTGCCTTTGTTTGGGAACCATGCTGCATTATTCGTCTAAGCCATACTAGTACTTTGCGCAATCGTGACTCCCACGTTTGCAAAAGCTATTCCAGGGACAGCGTCTTATGCCGACAATAAAATACTTCATATTATTCGGCCGGCCCACAAATTTTGCGACACTTCTCTTCATGCCATCAGCCGTCGCCCAACGATTTCTCACCACTCCCGCCTGATTGTTGATGGACCTCGGCTCGTTCATGAAGCTTCTTTCACTCGCGCATCTCCATTTCCAGTCGTATGGAGATCGGCAGCCGCCCAGCTGCTTGTAAACATCGAGAACGACAGTCCAACCCTGCCCCTGCTCTAGCCTAGTGATCTGGACTGAGTAGTCCGTGAGACACATGGGACATGATTCTGTGGTAGTTTCGCAAGGAACTAAGGGCACGTCAAGGCTATGACTCCTGAGCTTCCCCGCTTTCCAATCGTATAAGGTGGAACTGTCGTCAGTCGCATGAACGTGGTTGCAAATGGTTATGTCGGATTGTTCCATGAACCGACGCAAGCTACCTCCTCTGCCCTGAGAGCCTTTGATGGTGTATGTGACTAGGATAAAAAGCTCGTCTTCCAAGATTCGTCCTCTTCGGACGACTTGCATGTGAACACCACTTGGACTTGTAGTATTCGATTGCCTCTCTAGCTTTGAGAGAGGCAATCCATGCGCAGGTCCATAGAGGTGGCAATTAATGAATAGCCGGGCTGCGCAGAATTTCAGTTGGTCAATGCCACACAACGTTACCTGTTGGTAATTCCAATCCTTGCAGGGTTTGTAGGACAATCGTGCTGACCCAGATATCCCCCAATTTGTACTCCATGAATGCAAAACAGTACAAGTATGGCAGAAGAAGAGATTGGCGACATCCTTCTCAAGAAGCTGCAGAAACTCCTCTCTGTCCTTCCTAGTGACGAGCGAAGGATAAAGCGGAGGATACTTATTGGCATCGAAATGAACTGGGTAGATTGAGCGACAGGTCAAGGCGAATGCCATTCGAGATGCGTTTGTGAGATGATCATCGATCATGATAAGAATCTCCATGGGCATCCTATCCAGCTTCGACTCGGGGTTGAATCTCTTGCCAGAGCTTTGCGTGTGTCCTATTGAACCAGAGTGCGCCGACTCATATTCTGAGGTGCTTGTCGAATCGTACGTCTCCCAATCACTATCGAGCGGGTTTATTAGCGTCTTGATGAAATAGGATTCTTGGATAGCATGTTCTGACCTTTCTGCTGAACCGCACCCTTCGCCAACGCTATACATCTCTCGGTCTGCATCAAATCTTTGATAGGTCCAATGCCGCTTGAGGCGACGAAACCAGCCTCGAACGTCAAGTGCGAGCATGGTGCTAAGATGAAGATCGAAAGGTGTAATTGAACTCGAGTGGGCAAAGGTTTCCAAGCACTATTAATATTCGGTCAAGGTGATATCAAGGTTCTTCTGTGAGTTGTGTGTGCTGATTGTGACATTAACACATGGGCCAAATCATAAACTCAAACAGTATGGTTTGTCCACAATGAGGATTTGAATAGGCTTGAAGCTTTATACTTTATACGAACCATGGTGCACTAAAGGTTAGACTCGCCTAGACGCCTCTGATTCGCTGTTGCGTGGCAATTTCAGGTCAGCTAAAAAGTGGGGCAGAGTTACAGGTGAACAGGGGCCCGGCAAGTTCCGCGCAGCACTACTCTTGCGTGGCGTTGTTCGCGTTACGTGGCGGTGCAAAATCGGGTAAAATAACACATAATTGCTTTTTCCATGCGCTGCCCTTGTAAACCATGGATAAAAAAGCGGTGGATTGGTGAATTTCCCATAGCACTGGGTGGAAAATCGACTCCATTGGAGGATAAACCCGTGCAAGGACAAGAGAATCGAAGCTATGCGGGAAGAGATATGCGAGAAGGGATATACAGGCAGAGCTTCGATTGTTTCCCATCGATCCAATAAGTACTAGCCATCATGCTATGGATGACTACCTTAGCAAAAGTGCCAATGTATGCTGGAGTCGATAGAACCGAATCACTTTGGCTTCAGTAGTACAAATCATGGCTTAGTAAAAATACATGCCTGCGCCCACCCAAAGGCTGATGAAGGCTGTGGTGGCTGTGCGTCTGCGGTGCGTCTGCGGAAGCTGATGAAGATGATGGAAATGAATAAAAGAGACAAGATATTGGGATGCTGCTATGGATATCATCTAGCCAAACGATTCAAAAGGGAATGCCGCATCAATGGGCCAAAAATGTTGTTAATTGGGCATTCTGTAGATAATGGCTGCTGATGATCACGAACAGATTAATCTGCTGCCTCAAAATCCTCCCTATAATACGGCAAAACTGGCTGCTCATGTCGAGCCAACAGCCCTGGCTAAGACAGTATATCCCAAAGGAGACAACTGGCCGTGGGTTTCTCCCCGGGAATGCAAAAAGCTTCAATTTTCCCTGTTTTCTCCCCAAAAGACCTTGAATCCCTGGCACAGTGCCCCTCTTTACTCTTCTCTCCCAAAGCACGCAAAATGGTTAAACTTTTGGACTCATCGTGTGATTTATTGTTGTTGGTTCCATTCCTGTGTCCCGTATTTGCACTGAAACACAAGAATGTTGGCGTGAGGCTGAGCTGTTAAGCTGCATCCGCTCTGGTGTCTGGGCGAGCCACTGCTAAACACCTGTCATAAGATCTCAACTAATCCCCGCAGCATGACAGTAGACTGCACTAAGCACGGGCTTTGTGTCTCCCAAACTTTCCTTCCGGCCGAAATCTCCACCACGATCTGGAGATCTCGCGTTAGCGAAAGCCTCATCGCTTAAGTAGTGATTAGAGAGCAGGAACGAGCGGCGCATGAGCTTAATTTTGCCGGCGCTATCCTGGCACATTGGCCCTCCGTAATGTTGAGCTTGTTAGGTTGAAGGGTGGGGAAGTGTTAAGATGGAGAAGTTGAATGACTTGTAGGCAAAGGGCTTTTTGGCACCTTCAGAGATCAAGGTAACGCGGTATCTAAATCCCACAAAGTGGATTGGAGGCAAACAACATGCCTAGTACTAGACGATCTGGCAGTGGAGCCCAATATGGTTTGGTTGGCGTAGTTCAGCTTCCGATCGACCCTCCCTGCGTTTGCCACCCGTCTTGCTGACCGAGTTTGTCTCCAACCTTAACCATTCTTAAACATGATGTGGACCACGGTGGCGAGAAGGATATGATGGAGATCTCGCTTCTTAGACCTTATTCTGAATGGTCTTGGCTACACGCAGATGGAGATCCCTTAATCTCTTTCATGTATCCGCTCATACGCGTGAGTCTGTCGCCCTGCCATCCCGAACGATTAAATGTTCGTGACCGAGGAATGACACCACCAGTTGGAATTCGGATGTACATACATCAGCAGGCGTTGTGTAACAAGAGCTGCGGCAGTCTCCATCTAAATATAGTCTCAAGTTTTAGGATCTGGCTTTTATAGATGAAAGTCAACCATGACAGAAAGGGGAAGGCCTCCTTATTATGACCTAATGGATCAGGAAGGGCTCCCCCGGAATGGTAAGCTCGATCTTCATAGCTGAAGTGAGCCAGTTGGACTGGAATGCGGGAATCGCATTGCTTTCAGCTGACCATTAAGGAATGTGGCACTGAACTTTCTGAACCTGGTTGGAAGGGATAGTCTGTCATATATTTAAATCGCAACCCTTGAACAGCGAGGCAAAGTCGCGCAACTCCAACACAGTAACCAACATATCGTACCGATTTTCATGCAATCATCCACTTGATCACCACCACGCATAATTGAGCCATCAATCTCGAACTTAGAATGAATTTACCAAGTTTTATTATATTCGTTTTTATTGCAGGGATCATAGCTAGTCCTGTGCCTGCGAAGTCAACCCCTCCAGTTGTGACGAAAGTAGCGACTCCAAAATGCACCGGGGTGAGTGATCCATCCTGAATATCGATTTTCGGGCTATATGCACTCAGGCTCACACTTTGACGCAGAAAAACGAAGTGTGGTCAGACTGTGGAACAGCGTGTCCACCAACTTGTACCACACCTCCCAATACGATGTGCATAGACATGTGTCAATCAGGTTGCTTCTGCAAAAGTGGCTACGTCCGAAATGTAAGTTGTAATTCATTTGAAACCTAGGACTTATTTACTAACTCGACATAGAAATCGGGAGGAACCTGTATACCTCAGTCAAAGTGTTGATTTGTAGAGCCTACTTCCTAGCTGAAGGTACCCTAAATAAACGTATTCAAGAAATAATCGAGGGTGTATTGCTTGTTGTTTAAGAGAAAGTGGAAATGATCACTGCATAGCTCGCGGTCCCCAAATCATGATAGAGTAGATCAAATCCGCCTCGGGTACTCCCGGCGTATTCTTTCCCAGTAGTGTTAAAGAAACGCATGCTGACGCCGTAGTGGCCCAGTCATTCACGTCAGCTTGTGCCATTTCAGGATAATGTCTCTTACTAAAAATGGGGTCGTTGAGCGGTGTGACATGGTAAACTTCTAGTGAATGATGTAGTTAGCCAAGGAGGGAAGTCGGGTCATGAGGAAACCACCTCGTACATCACATCCGCGTCATGACGTATTCTTGGGGTCTTGGCTCTTATTTCTATACGAAGATCTGCGGGAAAATGTCTAACTCAGTCGGCCCGATCCATTCCATCCACACGCTCAATGGAATGCCGCCGCCAACGAGGGTGCGGCAAATGCGGTAACGTCTCACATCCAGTGGTCAACACGCACTGAAAAGGCTCTAAATGTGCACTAAGTTCACTAGTTTTGTCTTAATACGAGTGCCCATTTATCTCTTTATTTCTTCTTAAAAATGTCAACGAGAAATCCTTTACACACGTGGGACTCTTCTATCGTAACGAAACGTTACACATGTATCCTCTTCTCGATTTTTCTCGCAAGGGGCTTCAATATCTGGAAGGGACCGAATGATTTCGTGTGTGCAGTCAAAGTTATGCCTGGATACTCTTGGTTTTAATTTATGGTATTTGTCTTGAAGACCTAGCTCTAACCAAGACAATGACAAGGGAGGAGAGTACAAATGTGTTCACTCGGGCGGCTTGGGATGATCCGTCCTAAGACATAAATGTAGATCACTTTTGGAAAATACGACTGAAATGACCAATTAAAACACGTCTTCTGTCCATTTGACCCCCGTGAATACGAACCCTCCAAGGTGAGGGTGAAGGGTGGTTGTGATATATATAGGCGTCCACCCACTCGCCCAACCAGCCTTTCTCCTCATCTCAATCAGTTCTCTACTTGATCACTTTGTCCGAAAGTCTGCAATCACTCGAAGGTAGTGATCGTTTCGACAACCCATTATCTACCACTGTACTGCGACGCCTTACTTCACCAACACCTGCGAACTTCACAATGAAGCTATCATCTGTGATATTTCTTTTCGTCACTGCAGTCGTGGCCAGCCCCCTGCAGGAGAAACCGACCAAATGCCCAGTAAATGAACAATTACCGATCCCATGCTAGGCTACGCCCACAGCGGCTGATGCTTTTTATAGAAAAACCAAGTGTACACCGAGTGCGGGACAGCATGTCCTCTCCGGTGCGGTCAGCCTCCGCCTGAGGCTTGCACAATGCAATGCGTTATAGGATGTCAGTGCAAACCAGGTTTCCTGCTCAACAGTGTGAGTGAAATATGATGAAAGTCTACATGAAAACTATAAACCTAACATGATGATAGTCTGGATCCTGTGTGGCGCCATCTTGCTGTTAGTACACATGGGTAAGCTACTGTTCAGCGAGAGGTCCTATAAGTCGAGCCTTGTGAATCTCATATCTATTTCTTCTTCAAGAAGCAGACATAACCAACGCTTGTTTCTTAATATTATGAGCCTTATGGGCTTCGATCAATTTATATTTTTGTTTCCTTGATAACTGCGTTCATTGTCCTAATAGCTATAGTAAATGACCAGAATTCCCCATTAGAGAGCAACATATATTGATGTTCTAAGCAAGAAAATATGCCTCGAAATATAAGTTAAATACTCTTCTTCTTTTCAGCGGCATTAGGATAGATTGTAAAATTGAGAAGAGCAATGAATCTCTAGGTAGTCCACTTACTTGTGCGCAATCCATCCTTGACCTTTGCCTTCCGGTCGTTGTAACGGTTTGAAATACCAAAACCATAGCCTTAAACACGTAGAGCCCTAAATTTAGGCACCACTAAGTCCGTTTCTCGGAATTTCCTTGAGTGGGATGCGGATGAATCGCTCACAATAGTATCTTGATCCCGCGGCCATGAGATCCATCTTGTCCAAGCCATCATTTCGAGTTTACTCAGAGTATCCACAACCTCCAATGGTTAAGACTTGGTTGCCTCACATCATGCGGACGGCATGAAACGGAAGTGCTTCCACTTTTGTCCAAGCTCCGGGGTGCTTCGGAGATGTATGAGTGATCGACAGGGTTTATCTCCGCCCAACAGCACCTCCCAACCGCGGGCGTCTTTCGCAGACAGGGAAAGCGATGGTAAAAATGACTCATCTCGTTTCAAGGCCTCTACACCTCTCGTGGCTGATTCTTCCTTTATTTGAACTCCGTCCATAAATCAGCTTTCACGACGATGGGACCACTTCCCGAGAGACATTGTAGATTTCGCTCCAGTGCAGGTAGCTTCCTATTCCCGCTGCTGAAAGTCGATAGCTCCAACACCAACAGGCCAGTGTATTCACACCTGGCCGACATGGGATGTCATATAAATGGCCCAGAGCATCCCTCTAGACCAGCAGCGGGGCTCATCCTTGTTTGTAAACTCCTTCAATTCAATACTCAAATCGAGGTTCACTAGATGTTCCTTTCGAAAGCATCCATCTCACCTCAACGTGAAACTCCGTTCTATTCTATTAGTTGCGTTCACCGCAGGCGTCTCCACCGCTAGAAAATGTTTCAAGATTTCGGTTATAGCAGTGGGGTTAAGAATTCGTGTTAAAAGGAAGTAAACGATGTATTGGACTATGTATTTGAAAGTCTTGTCATAAAACGGAGCAATATGAGGACTCTTATAGAGATCGATCGATTACACACAGAAACTGCGGAAACTTTGTTTCTCAGTAGTTTAAGCTCTAATACGGGTGCAGATTCTACTCTCTGTCAGAGAGTTTAGCAGAAGCACCTCCATACCTGATGCATGTTAGAATTGGGAATCACTCAATCAAGAAAGATGCATCAGCGTGGAGACGTCGAAACTTGATGCCCTGGCTGAACAGAGGGGATGCGGTCCCAATTTCCACAAAGGGCACGACTCGGCCCATTTTATTTCTTCTTCCGCTTAGTATGATCCCCCATCTTATTTAGAAATTAGGGTGACTAGGACGCTGTTCGTTCAGGTGGTCGGGCGTGACTAGTGCTATGGCTAATTGGTCTCGAGCTCCTTAAGCAGCCAAATGTTCAGCCGCGATACGTTAGCTTCCAGCCCTGCACAATACATATTACTCGAACAAAACTTCATGGCTGGAATAAGCGCGCCTTCTATCAAAAATAACCGCGTGGCTTAAGATTAAAATAGGTGTTTGCTTCTCACCAATACCGTACCATTGATTTTGCCATACTAACCTTACAACCACAGCTAGGTGCACCTCACAGTAACATTTCAACCTCCAGCGTATCAGCATCTTCACCAATATATCGCCTAGACTCCGATAGCACTTATCGAAGTCTTTTTTTCTTCTTCTTATTTAAGAATCTGAATTTTAATTCTGGTGAATGTCACGACACGCGTTGGGAACGCCTACAATCAGCTGCCAAGGCAAGGCATATTTGGTCGTGGTTCGCCACGAGGCAAAATGCATCCGCAGGCAATCTACCAGGCACCGAGGATGAGTAAAGCCACTCAACGCCGCATCGCTAACGCAAATTTGTTGATCTTAACAACATACATCCCGGTGTATGTAAGATAAAGCGTGTCCACAATACAACATGGCCTCCCAAAACGAGTTGACTCAGGACCATGTTCTTCTCGGAGATCTAGACATCTCGTTCAGACGCACAGTTCGGGTGCCCGATGATCAGCAACTATCTCAGCTACCTCCTAACATCGGGAAGTTTCCGCTCTTTCCAAGTCAAGGACTATGCCGACAAGATGCCCCGAGAAATGGTGGATAAGGGTGGCCTGTTCATTCCTCTGTCCCGTAAGCTATGTTTCCAAAGTCGCTTTCGAAGCGACCTTCTGCTAACCCGGGATTAAGAGAGAGAGGCTATGTAGATCAACTTCAAGTCCAAGAAGCGCTATGCGATAAAGATCAATGTCGGAGGCGTTAACGCCATTTCGGGAGAACCAGTAGTCGAGAATGCAGCCACGACCTTACGAAGGAGACAGAAACTAAGCCAGAACAAGCCGATCCAGGACTATGTCGTTGTGCCTGACCAGAAGTGGCTCGATGGAATTGCCAACAGTACTGGCCAGGTCCGACAATTTGTAGCCATGTCGATGGGGTCGGGACATTCAATCGAGGCCCAGGTCACTGGACAAGATGTCGTTGGTGGCATACAAGTTGAGATCACTCCCGAAAAGGAAACGCGAAAGGACACAATCTTTGTGAAGATGCCCAACAGTAAAATCTACACCATTTCAGTAAACCTGAGTGGACCTCTGCAAGGTTTACTGGCAGCATTGTACGAACGGGATCCAGGTATCCACAAGTTACCGGCGTGGAACATTATCTTTGGCGGTAGGAAACTGTCAGGTTCGTGATGCCAATGTCTGAGTGAATAGAGATGTGCTGACTCTTCTCCACTACTAGATCATGAAATACTCCAAGAGCGTGGAGTCCAAGATGTAAGGAGACTGTTTGTTCCAGTTTTGGGTCACGTACTGATATACCTGGCAGGGCTCAACAGTAGACCTAGTCCTGAAGCTTCAAGGCGGCATGAAGATCTACGTCAAAACCTTGACCGGAAAGACCCTCACGATAGAAATAGAGCCGACTCAGCTTATTGAAGATCTCAAGTTCAAGATCCAGGACACAGAAGGAATCCCCGTTGACCAGCAGAGATTGATATTTTTGGGAAAGCAGCCAACAGACCATCATACTTGTGAGGAATTCGGCATTGGGCAAGTTAGTCATGGTCTCCGAGATTCGACTTATGTTTCTGGTTCGATGGCTGACATCATATTTAACCTACTAGGATGCAACCCTACACTTAGTCCTACGACTCCGTGGTGGTTATGTTGCGCCTCAGGCCAGTGACAGCCATGGCAATGCTTCAAAGGCGGACGGCGCCGGTGCTGAGCCAGAAATGAACTTGGCGCCAGGCGGCCTCATCAAGCAAAACATCGTCGAGGATCCACTGCGAGGCACGGAGGCTCGTTGGGATACTACCAAGACTGTGACTTTCAACGTCCAGATTCTCAACACTTCGTCCTTTTCTCGCATTACTGGACAACCAGCGCCGGAGACACCGATCGATGCTACGTCATATGCCGCTCTTGGCTACCCTTTTCACTTTATGGAGGAGGGCGATACCACAGTTTCCGGAAACTTCGATGGTGTCAAATCAGTCGCTACCATTGACGGTAAACATGATGGTGTCATCGAGACCAAAGTGAAGCCAATCAAACAGTCCTCTGCGATTGCAGTATCGTCGAGCAAAATTCCTCCGCAAGCATCACCGGCTACCTACATTCCAGTGCACGCTACCTTGGGGCCGAATTTCTTCGACGCTACTGGCCCCCGAACCCCGTTTCGGCCAGCCGAAGACCTGGAGGCAGAACTAGGCAGAGTTTCTTTAGTCTCTTTTACCTAGGAGGTTTCAACAGCTCAATTTGAGTGGTGGAACTTCGTAAAGAGAAAGCCAAGCGAGTGTGGAGTGCGATTTCTGATGATCTGAGGCACTGTGGGGATGTGTCATTTCCTAAGAAATGACGCCCTCGGATGGTATCGTGAAGTTCAGGGTGCGAAATCGAGAAAACACGATTTATCCCTACCAGATTGTTGCCAAGAATGATGTTATATTCGACAGGTCATTATGCATTTCCATGTTCGTATTCCTACAGTAGTATCTCGGCATGCGACGTGATTCGCTAAGAACCCTGGACCTGCATGAACCGTTCCTTACTGTCGGGAGCCGTTCCCAACTGTCGGGTGCCGTTCCCAACTGTCGGGTGCCGTTCCATCCTGTCGGGTGCGAGTTCAGACGTCAGCAATTCGTCTGGGAATGCTTGAAAAATGACCCTTCAACCCGAAAAACAATGCAAATATTTCCTTGCCATAATTAGCGCAATAGCTGAGGCAAATCTCAAGCTCGCAACAAGCGCCATTTCCGGGACTAGAGCGGGCTCATGGTGCTCCCACTTTCCCAAGCCGCGTGGCCGCTTTGCGATAGTGGCTGCAGAACCCTGTTTTGGACGAACTCCATCCCCTGTAATTCGCCTGTGGGCCGCTGAAATGTCGTTACCGGGTTTTCGGAATCAGCGTCCGCCGCTTCTTGGCGTGCGACGGTTCCCTGATTGAAACAATGGATAACGGGTAATGGCCGGTTGGCTCGTCCGACGTCATTTCTGAGATGAATTCCATGTATTGCTAAAGAAATAACTAATTTTGGGTATACTCGTCACTGCAACGCTGAAGCACCGGACATTGGAAACGCCCCCCTTACTCAAACACCACGGGAGCTTCAAGGCTCGCTGACCCCGTCCAGTTTCATAGAATCACTGCGGCCAATCAACGCCCTATTCAGTATCCCGCGTCGAGGTGGATTCGGCCCTACGCCCGGTCTCGCGGAGGATCTTGGCTTCCTCCAACGCTTCCCGTTTCGCGAACTCGTCGAGCAGTTTATGAGCCGTTTCCAAGGGCAAATCAGCAATCATGGCACTCAGATGCTAGGAAGGAACAAGTTAGTCATGCTTACACGCAGTGAGGCGAAGGGGCGAGTTCGGCGGCCCGAGGTAACATACCGGAGGGAACACATCGGAAGGATGATACTTGAACTCCTCCATCATTCGGTTCAGCCGAAGCACCTGCTTCCACGGCACAACAGTGTCGCCAATCAGGAAAGTCGGGAAGCGAGATAGGGCGAGCTCCTCTAGGATCCAGCGGCGCTGAAAGTACTGCCGGGTCATGAAGTCGTTGCAGCCGACCCAGTGCGGCATCAAGAACGGTATCTCGCCGCCGGCTCCCTCGGCCCATATGTGCGTTATCGATGCTGCCCACCTGTGCGTTGGTGAGTAATCCTGCGGGTGCTTCTCCCGGTCACCAGGGTCTCCCCAGTGAGCCGGCATGGCATCCTCGATCTCAGCCAAAGTCGCCATCGCGACATCGGTATGCTCCGTCTTCTCGCCCAGCCAGCCGACCACGAGCTCGGCCGAGCTGTATATCTGCCTCATCTCGACGAGCTGCTTCGACTTCTCAAAGTCGTCGTGCTGGTTGACGCAGAGAAGATCGACCCATACTCGCAGGGCCCTCGGTCGGTCAACATCAACACCATCCTTGTTCGTGCTCAAGCCGAAGAGTTGCCTTAGCCACCGGGGCGCACCATGCGGCCGCCTGGCCGGCGTTCGCTGGAAGCGCTGCGAGATGGTTGGGTAGAAGACGGCGCGTACATGCTTCAATGCTTGCGAGATGTGTGTCGGGATGCTGACGGCGCGGCCCCCGACGACGATCTTGTCGGTTTCGGATGCGTCTCCATATAGAGAGGAGAGGGCTATGTACTCGAGGTCTTCGGTGAGGCGGAGGGTAACGAGTCGGCATTCGACGGTATCGGTGATGTTGCGAGCCGAGTGTATCTCGAGCAGCCGGATCTCTCGCTTCAACGGGTCAAGACGCCTGTAAGTGAGGCCCATTGTCCAGTCATTCGGTCCGACGGTGGCGACGGTGACCAAGACTGCAGCTGCGGGACTCTGCTGAGAGGAGCAGGGGTTCAAAGTCAAGATGCTGCGAACTGCATCTGCATCACTAGGGCCAACACAATAGAACCAGATGTCAGCAAATGGTCGGGGTGTCGGCATTTACATATTGTACCCGCAAGTGCCCCCCAGCTCGCCCAACGCGTGCGTCTTCGGGCAGGCATGGCGTTATCGGAAGCGCTAGGGCACGCAGCTGAGCATTCCAGACCACATGGATCCGGAACTTGCTTTTTCTTATACCGTCTATGCAATGTGGGCTTCAAACAAGGCGGCGAGCGAGCGCTACGTACCCGCCGGGTATCTCCTTGCCGTGTTGGTAGAATTCAGGGTGGTGTGTGAGGTGTCACCCCTAACCTCATGAGAGCTTAGCACCGCCGCTGGTATGAAAGTAAATTAGTTGGATGGACCCTTGTTGCCTGCCAGTTCCGCCACTTCAGAGTCTAGGCTGGTGATCTTTGTTATCTTTTGGAGTAGTGGCCATTTAGCGTTCCCACAACGTCGTCTAGCCACGCTTCCAGACTAGTTGGGAATGAAGAGCCCTGAACTCCTGCGCCCCCTTTCCCCGTGTTTGTTTCTGGCCAGACCCACCGCTCGCTTTCGGGCGTCGCTGAAAGCGTCTTGGAGCTGAACTCTCTTCCTCATGACTGTGCTAGAAGTGGCGCGAACAAAGGAATATGAAACCCCAGCCTTAGTGCTACTACGTAGCGAGGCAGCCCAAGAATAAGCCATGACTCCTGGGCAATACGGTGGTACCTTATTGTCCTGGCAAGAGACGTCTAACTTCTAGGTCGCAGAAGAGTCGTCGTCTAATTTATTACCTCGTTCTCTAGCCGCGGGCGTGCTATCCTGCATCTGGCTGACCACCGTTGGTTCCACACGCTATAACGTGGGCTGTCCTGTATGTCGGCAGTGCAACAAGAACCAACATCCCTGCGATGCGAATACACTACGACTGGTCAGCCGTGGCCTTGCATTTGGCAAGTGGATCGCCGCGCGCTTGAACGATGACGAAGACGACTCTTGTCGATGTGCGCGCATATGTAGGAACCTTCGAATGATGTGAGTTGGCAGACTTCAACCACAGGTTCCAACCAATAGCACAGGCTTCACATTGCATCCTTTACTGTACAGATGATGAGCCCATCGGCCAAGAAGCTAGATTAGGTATGAAGCCATTCATATCCACCTTCATTTGAGCCGAGTCGCCCGTTCATGACCTAAGGTCGCCCACCGTTCCCTTCGTAGTACAACGTAGCACGTCCACCTACTTCTTTGTCCTGGTTCTCACAAAGAAACAAGGGGTCCCCGGTCTGGTACGTTTCACTCGTCATTTAGCCTACAGTACATAGTATCCCCGTGCAACCTTTTTGTTGCTTTTTCCAGTTCTTTCCTACTTCCCCAGTTCTTTCATCCCTTCAGCCCAGTCTGTATTCAGTAAAATGCTTCACTCGCGGGGTCACGCTACCACTTCGGCGTGGCACAGAATATACAGTTCCCTCAGTGGAATCTTCTTTCGAAACTCAATCCGACTCGAGGATGATGTGAACAAGGAGCCGAAACGTCTGGCTTCTGTTGTCGGGCCGATCTGTGCGCAAATGCTTGCGCAATTACGTTACCCAGGAGCCCCGCAGCTGAAAGGCGAGGCCGTTGAGGCTTTGCTAGAGTACATGTACACGAGGGCCGTTGAGATCGGCGTGCCCCTGGACACCCCAATATCCTCCAAGGGATTTCGACTGGGTTATGCTGAAGGATTGGTAGGTCAAAGCGACAGGTTTCTTGAAGATCGTGATTGTTAACGTCAAGCAGCTTGCCCATCCTGGTCACCCAGTTGAAGTCCAGGGTTATGTCGGTCTGTTCACCTGGCTCGTCGTTCAGTACGATGACATAGTCGGTCAGAGCAACGAGATGGTAGAGGAGGCGCTCCTTTTCCACCAGCGATTTTTTCGAGGCGAAGCCCAACCGAATAACCTTCTCGAGGGTATCGCAGGGTTGATCCGAGAGGCCCATGATCATTTTGATCCCGTCCTGGCAAACATGTTACAGATCTCCGTCCTCAAGTTTCTGACAAGCAACTTGTTGGAGCGACACGATGGGTTCCAAAATATGTCCGTCACCAGAGCGGGGAAGAAGTTTCCAGACTTTTATAGAGATATGTCAGGCATGGACCAAGCATATGCCGTGTTCTGTTATCCCAAAGCGCTCTATCCCGACGTTGGGGCCTTCTTGGAGGCGATCCCAGATATGGCAAACTTTATCAACATTTCCAACGATGTTTTATCGTGAGTACCCCCCGCTCAGGCAGTGATCAGCCGCTAATATTCGATAGTTTCTACAAGGAGGAACTCGGTGGCGATACGAGAAATTATATCCACAACCGTGCCACATGCAGTGGAAAGCCAGTGCTTACGGTAGTAGAGGAGGTGAACAAGGAGACGATAGAGTCTGCTCGACGCGTTGAGAAAATTCTCAAGGGCAGGGGTATATACGAGAAGTCTTGGAACGACAGTATTAGAGGTTACATGGCGATGCACACGACAAACCCCAGGTACAAGCTTACCGACCTAGGGATAGGTGAGGAGCATCCACTCGCTCCATTTGAGCATAAGATCGGCCAGTTCTTTGAGCGGGTGAACAAGTGATTTATTTAATTTTACGACATGAAATGATGTACACAAGGCATACAGGGTACACAGGGCGGCTACATTCATTATTCTACTGGCTTTGCCGGAGTTGCAAGATTCCAAGGAGGACAGCCACAACAATTACACACACAGACAATACAGTCACAAATAGAAACCATATGTTTATTTTTTCCTTGCGTTGATTAATTTTATTTGCATGAACTCAGAAGGTTATAACCTGCCGGTGAAAGGGTGCGTGGCGTCAAAAGTGGCGTTCAATAGTGGCGTTCAATAGCATTGGAATGCATACCCTGCTCATGGCGTGGCTGTATCGCATTCGCTTCACATTCCCCTGGTGCCGAATCCTGGAGAGAGTTTCGTAAGGCTACTAGTACAGCATGAGAACAAATGCGTCACACCTTTTAGTACGGACTGGTCACAGAAGAACAATCGAGACCGCACCCGGACTGGCATCCGAGTCAACTGTCTGTCTTGCTTCCCTTCTGAATCAAACTTCATTCCTTCTGAAATAGTGGCACTCTTATGACTCAGACACAATGGAGCTTCTAGGCCCTTGGAAACCCCCCGTGAACCAAGTCCAAGACACCAGCCCATCGGCAACTACCGCCGCAAGGACGCGATTGTCACATTCCCATGGTCCAGCCCATGTCAGAGATCAGTATTGACAATATGGATTTCTTTCACCTGACACTCCCGGCTTGGCATCGTCATATTAAATAAATGACTAGGCCAGAATCATGCATGCAGGGGATGGGCTAAGATGGCCGAGCTATCAGAAACTGCAAGCATGGGAAGAGACAGAGGCGCTTCATTTATCAACCTGGTGACCCTAGGTTGATTCAAACGAAATTAAAACTGCTGTGGCTTGAGGGGCTCACCATTATTCACATGGGCCTATGATCTCCAGCTACTCCACGGCTGTTTTTGAAAGCCTTCAACTAGTGAAACTATACAATTCCGGCGCTGGACGCACTGCCACCTCCTTGGTTCGATTGTGTACACCCAGAGCTCTCGGTCAATGGGCGGTATGGATTCATCTCACAGCGGTTGATGCATTCCTGGCCAAAATATACACCATGCTTCCTCTCGACCTAATGCTCGTCTGGCCGTTTCAGTAGCTCAAGACATTTTCCTACATCAGATGGAAAACCCGTTAGCAAATTCATACTTGACTCATCCTCGACAAGCCGACAGCAGAGTGAAACTTACCTGCAAGTGCCCATCGCTGCGCAAGCAAGTTCAGTGCCCCAATGACCAGCTGCAGGGTCGTTTCGGTCCCCTCAACCACGTCACCCTCGCGAAGAAACCACTGGCACTCAGTGGCGGTATCATAAAGACACTGTATGACTAGCGGGTTGGACCTGCCTAGGTTTTCCGTACCCTGTCGAAGTACGCATAGGGCGAGCGCCGGGCTGCGAGTGGACATGATCTGCTTTATCCCGGCTATGGAGTCGGCCTGCATCTCGGTTTCTTCCGCTCGTCGAGGCGCCAGGACGTCGGGTTCGTTGCATGCGTACATTTGGTAAAGCACTAGTCGTGCGCAAGTGCATAGGGCAACGTCAATGGCAGACGTTGCCCCGTCATCCGGCTGAGCTTCCATGGGTTGAGAGACATAGCTATCCAGGGCAGTCAGGGTTGCGTTCAACTGGATAGCCTCGTCGAGTATGAATTCCCAGTTCTGGGAGTCTTTTCGATAGTTTCTATGGTTGATGACGCGCCCGAGAATGTGCGACGTTTGACAGACCCTCGCAAAGGGACCGATTGTCGAATTTGGCGCGAAGCCGGTCATGAAAAGAGCCTGGTTTGGCCCTATCTTACCGCGAAACCACTCCGAATCTGTCGTAGGTAATAGGTCACCGCGCGCCGGCTCTGGGATCGCAAGCGGAAAACCGGTAGGATTGAGATTGACAAAGCTTGAAGCGTAAGCTGAGAACAACGCATTGAGGGGATGTAATGATGGGGGAAATGAGCTCACCATTCAAGTATCGATGTGGCCCACCATGTACGGCGCTCTTCTTCAACATAGGTCCAAGTTGGCGGTCCAACAAAAAGCTGAGTAGAGTTCTTTCGGTCGTGGACGCCTCTCAGAATGCCCAGTCTAACGGCGCGGCCCACGGTCAAGTACGCAGCTGGAAAGATACCATGCCCAACCTCGTACAATGCAATGAGGACAAGGGACTGAAAAACATGAAGAGCTACTGGTGACACCTCCTCGATGTTATTCAAGAAGCTTTTTGCCGTTTTGTAAAGTACAGACTCTGATGCTGACGTATCGAGCTGTGGCGGAGTGCAAATGAGCTTCATGCAAATAAGCAGAAGAGCCAATCCTGGAGTCTCGGTCGGCAGATTGGATTGAATACTCAGATTCAAGCCTTTCTTGCTAATAAACGGAAACCACGTGTCAACGGAGTCGAAGTAAAGCTCGCAGATTGCATTGACGTCCAGACCAAGCAAATGCGAAACATGTTGAGGTATAGGGTAGGCGCTATTCAGCGTGGAATGTGGGACGGAGCGGAAGCGCTCGGTGTCAATGAAGAAGGCATCGGGGAATGGATTTATGACATCGCTATTTCTCGAAGTAGAGGATACGGTTGGTGAGGCAGGTTGATCTTTCTCGGTGGTTCGAGAACCGTAAGCTTTGCGACGTGCTGGATACTGGCAGGTCTTGCCAAGACGGATGCACTTCAGGTTGTTGGTGAGTTCGTGATGATCGCAGAAGGTAAGAAACGTACCAAAGAGCAGACCGGGAGTTCTCGCAGGCATTTCCTCTTTAGTCGACTATCGACGAACGAAGTCAGAAAACAGCAGTAATCCCTTGGTGCGGTGGAAGAAGCCGTACCTGCATTGTCGACACGCCTGCGCTGCGTGGCCTACACTTTCGCTCAGGGACTGGACGGCGCACGGCTCCGGAGATACGACGGCGGCAGCGAGCATTGTCCCGACGGGAGGACGTGATGCCGTTTGTTAGTCCGAGCCCGGAACTAGGAGGCGGCGAGCGGATAGACGAGCGGGCATGAGCGGGAGTTCTTGTCGCAAGCGGAGAATTCAGAGCGGGCAATTGGCATCGTCCCCGCTCCAAAATCCCGCTCCAAAACCCCGCTCTACGGCCCCACTTCGCCGTCGCAGCCCGCTTACAGCCCTACATGACGCATCAGGGCGGACAATCTGGTATACGATCTATTAGAGCGGATATTTCAACCTCCAAGCGACCGCTCGTTGTTCTACGCGTCCGCTTCATGCCCTGGGCCGGGGGAATCCTGCCGAGTCTAGCAAACCGGGACAATGCCTATAAATGAGGGCTTCGGTCCTCCCATTCTCGAGTTTCTCACCAAACATACTTCAACCTCAAGACACAGACAAATACCATCAACTCGACTTTTCCAAATAATCCGGCCTCAGGTACTCACCACTTACAACATGTCTGATTCATTTAAGCCTTACGCCACTCAATTCTCCAACCCCAAAGGACCGGGTGACGCACGACCCACTGCGCTTCAAATCATCAACGACAACCATCTCACAAACAAGTGGGCCGACAAGGTCGTCCTTGTGACTGGAGGCACCTCTGGGCTCGGAACTGAGACGGCGCGAGCTCTCGTGGCCACCGGCGCCCATGTCTTCATCACCGCCCGCGACCTCCAGAAGGCGCAGGGCGTTGTCGATAACATCCTCAAGTCGTCTGAGGGTGCTGGCAAGCTGGAAGTCATCGAAATGGATATGAACTCGCTTGAATCAGTTAAGAAAGCTGCACATACCTTCCTTTCTAAGTCGACTAAGCTGAATATCCTCGTGGCCAACGCTGGTAAGTTCGCCGCATATGCTTACAATATGAGTCTTGGCTATGATACTGACATCGGATAATAGGAACCATGGCGACGCCAGAAGGGAGTAAGACCAAGGACGGATTCGAACAGCAATTCGGAGTAAACCACCTGGCCCACTTCACACTGACGGCCTTGCTGCTCCCCGCCCTCATCAACGGCAGCACTCCGTCTTTCAACTCGCGTGTCGTAGCTCTCACGTCGGCCGCGCACAGATACTCTGCCATCAACTGGGACGACGTCAACATGACAAAAAGTTACGACCCGTGGGTCAGTTACGGGCAGTCTAAGACGGCCGCCATTTGGATGGCCAACTACATCGACCGCGTCTACGGCTCGCGGGGTGTCCACGCCCTGTCGGTACACCCAGGTGGTTCCCTGACTGCACTGTTCCAGAACGTGACGCCTGAAATGATGGCCCAGTGGCAGAAAGACACCGCTATGATGGCCAACATGACGACCGCGGAGCAGGGTGCCGCAACGAGCACCTGGGCTGCAACGGCCAAGGTCTGGGAGGGTCAGGGCGGCAAGTATCTGAGCGACTGCAGCGTGGCGGGGCCTGCACAAGATGCCATGTCTGTCCTGGACCCTGGATATGCACCGCATGCATTCAACGAAGAAGGGGAAAACAAGTTGTGGACCTTGAGCTGCGAGCTTACTGGTGTGGAGGCTATGGAGTAGGGAGGCTAAGGTGATGCGGCAAACGAAGCGCTTCGACGTTCCTTGCTGGGTGCCGAATAAGGAGATCATAACATAGTGAGGACATGGGAGACAGGTCACGTGAAATAGATGTATCTCGATTTTTAATTAGAATGCTAGAAATGGTTGTTTTGTCCGTATACCCGAGGACATGACCGGGGTTATCCCAGTGATGCTCACTGAGACGGTTGTGACCCTGATAGACTGGGAGTTTGGTTGCGCGACGATCTATTCCTGGCAATTTGCCAGCACCTCCTCGCCAAATCTTCAATGGCCTCCTCTAGCAAAGGTTAGATGGCAATTCCCAATCTTTACCACTGCTGGTTATCAACGTACCCGTGACTGGCTCATCCTCGTCCGAGCGACAAGTATGGCAGTGCCCCATGCTGATCGGCGACTTGTGAAAGATGAGATTGTCGCAACCGGGGCTCGGGCTCCAGCAAAACTGCTTGACATGGAACACTACAGCGGTGGGAAAACCAGGGTGCCGGTCCAAAAGGCCGCGACAGCGGTGGATCCGAACCATGTGGAGTCCATGGCAGGATGTGCAGTTGACTTGGCCCAACACGCACATCTTTTTCTCTCTCTCAATGCTTTAATTTTAGACGGCCTTGATGTTAGACGAGAACATGATTTGGCCGAGATGCGGATCCTCCGGGGAAGACAATCCGGTCGTGCTTTTGAAAGGCTCTGTTTGCTTGTATGTTGCACGACATGCCTCGTGTCTCAACTCTTGAGTTCCCCATTGCCCAGCAAAACGAATGGTTGAGGAACAACGACGCCAGAAGATTGCCGACTAGAGCACAGACGGGTGCTGAGTCTCTGTGAAACAGATTTCTAGCCGTTATCTTTTAGTGGTGCCACTGTCTGTTTTACGGCCGTTTTCTTGTCGTGTTCTCGCCGATGCAACCTCGGCACGGCACTCCCAGTGGCGTGACATTTTGTACGGGCTCCGACCAACCTTGAGATAGAATGCTGACGCCGAGAGAACATGCCAGGGAGCCTTGTTTGGCTAAGAAAATGCCCCAGTCGATGGCACGATCGGGACAAACGCATTCGCAGTCCAATGTAACCCTTTGTGCCTGTCACTGCATAACATGGATTGAATTCCTACTCCTTCGGCTAGAAAACGTGCTCATCCTCTTGGATCGCTGGCCAACCACAAGTGCAATATTTGCCATATAGGAACGATCGACTGGGAGGTCGAACACCTCTTGTATCACATTTGGTCGATTAACGTGAAATAACAGGCAATCAACGTTGTACTTCCGACCGATTTTCTTGCTATTGGCTCACAATGTTGCCATTGCTTTCTCTCATATTGTGGGACATATTACCGAACAGGCGGCCCTAGTAGTCTAATTGTATGTGTTTGAATGATTTGTACAGAATGAACCCTGTCGCTGTGGACAGTTTAGAAGACAAGCAAATGTAATGACGCGTCTCAGCTGTTCGCCCTTGTGATGAGAATGCGCTCCCATGTGCTGCACCGTACCCGAGACGTCTTGTGGTCTTGTTCTGCGCACCATCGGCAGTTGGCCAATTTTATAGCGACAAGAACACCTTTTCGACTGTCAATCAACCCTGCCTGCGTCGTGCAGGATCTTCTCGTCCCTGTGTCACAACTGACACATGAGTCTTGACCATGATATTGCGATCATATTCCGAGCTCCCTTGACTCTCCGGGCTGCGGTTTGACGAAGAGTCACCGCCCTGCACCTTGTATGTGAGCTCGACCTCGTCGTCCTCAATCCTCGAATGCCCGGCGTTGTAGCGGCCATGGACATTGCGCGAATGCAAGTTTCCCGTCGCAGACTGACCGGTTCTATCGCCACTGACGTAGTAAGGGCTGCTCGTAGATTTATTCCGGCCCATGCGAAATAGCGGCGCCAGTGTAGGCAGACATGCGGAGATAATGGCCACTGAGGGTTCAATGCTGGACCAGGCGAAGGAGGGACCCATCCACCATGCGACGTCGACGTTCTTGAAGAGCCCGTTGAGGTAGTAAATTCGTACAATACTCGCGACGCAAACACTGTGATAAATCAGTTCTAATCACCAAGGTGGTTGGAGGGACGTATGGGACTTACAAGCTTCCGAGCAACATAATACCGACAATGGATGCCTTGACTCTCTTCTTCAAGTGTAGTTGTAAAATCCTCGGGATGGGAACGACGAGAATTATAATGTCGTTGAGCATGTTGACTATGCCAAGTAGCAGGAAGAATAGGTGGGTATCGATGCAGGTCCCCTTTGCTCCGAGATATTGGTTCCAGTAGTAACTCACTGGCCGGCAAGCGCAGGCCATGGTGATCCATAGAATCAGTGGGTATATACTCGTCAGGAAAACGGCCACCCAGAACATGATCGTGAAGACGCGGTTCGAGTCGTTTTTTGAGCGGAAGAGGCGGTGGTAGAGCAGCAGGATGCTGACTTTGGTGGATGTGACGGCTAATGCGTAAACGTAGGGCTCTGCGTATACAAGCTAGGTAACTGGTCAATTCATTTTTCTTCTTGACTTTTGAGATGCTGCATACCTTGATGAGCTTGATGAATCGGGAGATGTTAGTTGACCAGATATGCTCGCCGGCGCCATGATTTCCAGCTATAAGGGGTGGATGTGAGTGACCAAGTGTGAATGGACGGGGGTTAATCGCTCCTCACCTACCCAAAATTGTGGTTGCTACTGTTGCGCTGGTGCAAAACTGTTGAGTAGATGATGGTTAGTTCCAATCCCTCATGTCGAGGTTGTTGACGCGACCATGAATAAACTTACAATGCCGAAGACGATGGCCCAGTCATCGTACCAAAGGTTAGATCCCTTGAACAGACGCACGTAAAACCGAAGCCCAACAAAAGCCGCAGCGATGCCGAGCGCAACGCACACAACGACATTGTAAGCCGTGACAATTTGCTCGTCGAGGTCGAGGCCATCTGGGGCCGGTCCAAAGATGGCCAGAATGGCCGGGTCGACAGTCATGATCCCCAAGTTCTGCTTCCCTTCAACCAGTGAATGAATGACGACGAACCAACAGCATGCGATGGTGATTGGGATGGGTTCGTTACTAGTACCCACGGGGTTGGTCCGGCACACGGGACTTCTTCATTAATAGCTTGTTGGTTCCGCAAGCGTACATGCAGGCACGGGGAACTGCTCGCCGACTCTATCCAGCTATATCCATGCATATCCGCGGTCTGGACGATCATTACTGGTCGTGTCCTGCAGGTCAATGCCGTTTGACACCATATGGGAGTTCCCACGCCCGAGTAAAAAAGAAAACGGAGCAATGTGGCATGACGGTTCCGCTGCGGATGCTACGCCGCACCGCGCTGCAGGAAGGAAGTCCCCGGTTCCGGCATCCATGTATTCCTGGCGATTCCTACTGTGGTGGTAAGGGGGACTGGAATCCCTGAAACACGGAGTCGGGGAGTGGGCTCGGTGGACCCGGGCCCGCCCGGAGGTTGCCCGGGGGTCTCTAAGCTCCCGGCGATTCCATCGGAGGAGGTCGGATATTTTGATCGGCAAGGAATGACAGGCGTCCACGAGCTGCTCTTTGGCGTGTGCGTTTATTTCCGACGCGTTTCCTTCTCCACGGACCGCTCTCTGCACATGCCTCAGCACAACGTTGCAACTACCTGAACCAACACGTGGGTTTCCTGATGCCGCGTCCAGATAGGACCGCATACGTGGGTTACGTACTCCCAATCCAGCCTCAATATATCCACCCAGCGTCGCAGAATTCTCTAAATCTGGCCGGTGGTACCGAGCAATCCCTGAGCCAACTGCACATCAACCAACAACCTTTCGCCAGGCACCGCAGACGTCGTATCATGGGCGGGTTTGATGGCGTGTCTGGATGTGCAACGCCCGCCATCCATCGACATGGAAGCAAGGGCTCTTTCCCAATGTGCAACTAGACAACCCAATTCAACTCCCCCAGAGACCCTTCTGGCACCTGGACGTGTTTGAAACGTTGTCAGGGGAGATGCAGGGAGATAACGATTCTGCAAGAGTATATGATCAGCGACCTGTCATGCCGCTTTTGCATAATTATGGGCAGCCTGGACTCAAGTTTCAATCCTTTCACTCTCAATCCTTCAGGAACCTTTTTATCACTACTATTTACTCGAGACTGACTCCCAAGAAACATCTGATTTCTCAAGGAGCGAATCCATACGTGATCTTTCAAGATGGCTACCACAATGCCAATTGAGGTCGTATCTACCGATCGACCAGAGCTTGACGAGAAGCATGAGTCTACCATTGAGGTAACTGCTTCGCCCGATCTGGCCCCTCCCCTCCTCCCTACCGAGCAGATTGGGCCCAAGGGTTGGGTACGAAACATTTTCTTCTTTGAACTGCCCGAGGACTACGACATGGACGCCCTGGCCGACCTCCTCAAGACCAGCTACAAGTCCTTCAAGGATCGCACCCCGGTTGCTGGCTGTGAGGCCATCCCAATGGAGGGAAAGCAGGCCGGTATGCTGCAGCTGCGTCACTACGGCGATGAGGTCGACGACTTTGCCGTCAAGGACCTTCGTGCTGAGGGTGCCTTCCCTAGCTTTGCAGAGCTCAAGGCTCGAGGCTTCCCTGCCTCTGCTCTGGACCCTGAGATTGTCACCAAGCGCGGTCTCGGTGGCGAGTGGCCCGGGGCTGGCGACCACTTGACTGTCACCATGATGCAGGCCAACTTCATCCGCGGCGGCCTGCTGCTGAACATGTTCTTCCTCCACGCCTTTGCCGACCACACCACGGCTTACAAGTTTACTGAGATCTTTGCCGAGGATGTCCGCCGTGCGCAAGGCCTCCCCATCACAAACCCGGTTGAGATCCCTTCAGATGACCGAGCCAAGCTCATGAAGCCCTCTGCTTCCGATGCTGAGCTGGACCTGGTCCACCATGAGTACATTGAACTCCCATTCACCCCCACTGGCGTCCCTCCCAAGTTGTCGACGCCCAACCACCACGGCCACGTCTTTTATATTTCTCCTGAGAACCTCGCTGCTCTCAAGAGGGAAGCATCGCCCGCCAATGCCAAACTGTTGAAGGGTACGGATCTCCCAGCTTTCGTATCTACCAACGATGCCTTGACGGCACTCATCTGGCGTTCCACCATGGTGGCCCAGCACCCGAATGTCATTGCCGGTCGCGCCGACGCTGCGACGCCTGCCCCTGGTCTCTCTCAAGTGGGTATCGCCCTTGACGCTCGCCGACGAGCCGGTGTTCCGGTCCACAAATATACCATCGGTAACATCCTTGGCTTTGCCCCTGCCATGCTCGACCTCGACAAGGTTGTCAACGAGGCCACGCTTGCCGATTTGGCAATAATCTCCCGACGTGCCCTGATCAAGGCCGAGGGCACTTACCTGGATGAGTTGATGACGATCGTGGACCGTCTTGAGGACTTGAATCGCCTCGCACCTGTTGTGTTCCTCGACATGCCCGGTAACCACATGATCCAGTCGTCGTGGCGGGAGTTCCCCTTTTACGACATTGAGTGGGGTTCCGCCCTGGGTGGCAACATGCTGGCGTTGCGGCCTCCGGCAGTTGGAATTACCCACACCATGCAGGTTGTTCTACCCGATCCCAAGAGGGGTGGTGTTGAGGCGTTTGTGGGTGTCGAGAGCTCGGCCATGGAGAGGCTCCTGAGCGATCCCGTCTTCAGGCGGTTCGCCGACGCCCCTGATGGGCTCTGAACTATTGGATATTGATTAGTATTCATCTTGGACTGGGACTAGGAGAGGATGCCAAAGTCCCCAAAACGAAGGATTTGACGCCAAAGGCGTTGGACTTCAATTGTACATGACAGGGATGTAGCTTTCACTCGGTGCAACCACCCGTTGGTGTACCTCGGGAAACCGCTTGGACAAAGGTCGATTTACGAGAAGCGACTTCTTGCGCGAAAGGATTGTGAAGGACATGAATAGGGCTGACAAATGTTGTAGCTTAAGATGGGTTTCAAATAGCGTCAGTCTGTTCCGTAAATATGTATTCAGCTGGTAAAACGAACAAGAAATTCAATGTCCCATTCCGCCTCGAAGTTTTCGTGTGGCATTATGGATCAACTTGGAAACGTCTAAAATTCTTGGAAGCCAGAAGTGAACATTTCAGGCCTGGATATGGCGATGAGTGTCTAGACACCGTCTTCCGGACCCGGGGCCGAACCTCCGGCCATTGCCCAGCCGTTACTGCAGAGAGTTCCGACGGCCTCTAAGAAAAGTTGAACAATAAATAATAACCCCGGTGCAGGAAGCCAAAGCTAGAGTGTCGCAACCGTGGCCGAGTGCACGGGTGTTGTTGCCCTTCCTTTATAATACAATTTTTGGAGCTCAGTTTCCAACCAGTCAAAGCAATTTGGCGCAGTGGAAGCGCGGTAAGTCATCATAAGGAATCCTAAGAAATTCTCGAACGATAACTAACTCATCCCAGCCGGGCTCATAACCCGGAGGGTAAGCCTATCCTTCGAATCCGGCTCTAGCGACACCAACTAACTCAGTACCTCAGTCGCACGATCGAAACGTGCAATTGCTATACAACCTCATCAGAGGATTTCTTTTTTGCTTTTTTTTTTGATTGACATCGGGGATTTAACATCATGACTTTCCGCAGTGGTGTTCTCACAGGTGCAAGCGGATCACGTGGTGCATGGTGCCCGCCACGGGAGCGGAAAGTCTAATTTTACAGCGCTTAACTCCCTAATATATAGTGCTCTGGCTACCTTATTTTAATGGATGCTCAGCAATCTTTTAGCGCACTCGCGGGCAGGAAGGCGGAGGTCGTTGGAATCATGGACGGAGACAAGCTCCTGTCACTGGAAGGGTTCTTGAACTGCACAGAACGAAGGACGACGATTAGGTCACATCAGATCTTAGAATGGGGCATTTGGAGTTGTCGCGTGGTGCTGGCGCTAATGTAAAGTTGCATGCTTGGTCGAGGGAAAAGTGTCGCCCCATCAACTAAACACATTTTCAGCACCAAGAAACAGGATATCTCTTTGAGGTCGACCAGATGGATCTAAGATCAGTATCTCATCCAAAGCTTGCCGAAATTACGCACCACGGCCAGATTCATCTCAGCACTTTGCAACAATGGGTTTCGCGTCCCCCTCAAGACCACTAGGCAAGCAGAAGATACCTGGAGGCTGGTCAACCCACCGGGTATGCAACCTTTCACGACGTAATACGAAATTCGCCCAGCGGCACCTAAGAACTTACACCGATCGGTACCGATGCCAAAGTCGGAGCGGATAGGGAATCACTCGCTAGGAAAATATTGTCCAAATCTAAGACAGCTGGAAACCACTTCACTGCGAGCCGTCTATGGCAGTATGAGTTATGCACGCCGGAACTGCAGTCACCTCCACTGCTGCAATACCTAATTATTTAAGCATAAACTCGTCCTGGTATCGTTTGATATCTCGTAATCGCAGCAATTATTCTTACTTCAAGCCAAGATCGCCCTATAGAGCTAGTGTCTTGACAGACCTCTCAGTTGTTGCGTCCTCGGCCAACCTGTGTCGGATCTCACCGCGACACTCATCTCAATGATATGGGGGGTGGTGCACGGTCCAGTGGGCTACAGGAGCCGAAAGTGCATTTCGCAGCGGTTGCAACACCTAATTTTTATTGCTCTCGGTACCTAATTTCCTAAGCTCCGCAATCTTTTAGCGCACTCGCGGATGACGTCGCCCCTCTCCTCTCTGTCCATACCGAAGTCGAGTACTCCAGCAACGAATACAGAGCCCTTGGTCGACTGGTTGGCGGCTCCCGGGACCTGAATAATGGTATCTGGTTGGTTGAAGTGGCATAATAAACAACGGACATCGCAGCCTAAGAGTAAAACCTTGGTATCAAAGGGCAATCATCTGGTAGGTTACAGCTAGGGGCTAGGTTTACTCGAGGTAAATGTTTTTTTTTTTTTTTTTTGCAATCTACGATATATGAGTCCCACTGCTGATGTGTTTTATTGACTTTAAATCAGAGTTTATCCAGTTGACAAGTTATTTTCAGGTTGCTTAGTGTAAGGTCACGATCCTCAAAGCGTCAAACTCATCGCCAGAATCGATGTTGTACTCGCTGGGACAGGCATTTTAGCACAAGACGAGCACGAGGGACATATTTCTTGTTCACCGGGCCACCAGGTATGCAAACCTTGACGGAGAACTGTGATGTGACAATCCCGGGGAGTGACAATATTAAGGAGGCTACAGTACGCGTTGCTCAAGAACCCACTTTGGGATACCCTCGTGGACGAGCACTGTGCACCGCGAAATCTGTCGCTGACATCGGAGAAAGTTAGATCCAGGAAACAAATATCAGCGGTTTTAACGTTTCCGACAGGATTACTCTCAGAGATGTTGAAGATCATGCCAAATACTTAGTCCATGAGTTTAGAAACGAGGTTTATTTGGGATGCTGCCATAGCAACTGAGGGCAACCAATCCGAGAGCACCACCTATACTTGATTCCGCAAATGACAATAGAGTCAGTAACAACCATCTAGGCTCTCTTCGTAGGTTTCTAGCTGAAAAAAAGAGCGGCTCGATTGAGTTGCAGGGAAGAACCCTAAGCATGTTCCTTGCGGTGCCCGACAGTTGGCTGCTGACCTTGGGTCGGCACGACGAGCAATTGATTGGATGGCTTGGATAAGAATAACCATAGAAAAAAAAAGCAAATACCTTTTGCGGTTGTCTGCAGACTGTTTGTCTCATTTCAACTCTTATCTGTGGTTCACAGAAACAGCTGGTGAACGTAGAGATGCCTTGTCCTTCCGCGGAATCTGTGAGCAATGAGAGGGACGAACCTGGCCGTGTGTCCCGGAAAACAAGGACGCGTGTGCGTTGAGAGGATGGGTTGTCCTAGGTCGCGCACTATTTTCCTTGGCAATCATATCTTCCGAGGTTGCAGATCAATAGTTTGGATGGCGTGCTTGCGGATTGTTGCCTCTTCTTGGACAAGTGTCGGCCGCCCAAGACGTGGCTATTGGCCTGGAAATCTCGGAGATATCTAGATAGATATCAACGACATGGTCAAATTAGCCTAGCAATGAGAGTCTGGGTGGGTAAATCGCCAAATATGGCCATTATATGCCGCCGCGAACTGCTCGAGGTTAGGATATATCTTGGCAGTGGGCTGGCTAGAGCACGCCTTCCGTCAGGGAATTAAGTAATCTGAAATGCGGGGTCTCTCATCCATCGATTGTTACAATCAAGTGACGAAAAGGCCCTGTGGGCATGTTTGATTGCCGGGGTTCTATTGCGTGATTGTGTGACTACACCAAGCCGTGCTACAGGTAACCTACTGTGGACCCAATGCTGATCAACTGGTATATATAAGCGTACCAGTTCTAAAAATTTTAATCAACAGAAATTTGAATGTTCACCATTTAGTAGCACATCTGAACTAGCGGTATTGTCTTTATCTTTAATTCTCTCGTCGAATACTGAAGCTGGGCACTTCCGGCTTGCGTGCGTTAGGTCGTTCAAAGTCATGTCGGACGGGAAAGATGCTCCGCATGACAATGCTAGGACTGTCGAAATCGAAAACCATCCAGGTGAGTATCTGCGCATTGCCGTTCTGGTGGTTGATTATTAACACCGGGATAGTGAAGTGGTACCGCTCGCCTACATACAATGCAACCATTCTCGGAATATGCAGCTTTGCTGCGCCTGGTCTATGGGGAGCCATGAATTCCTTGGGTGCAGGAGGCGCACAAAAGCCGTACCTCGTCAACACCGGCAATGCACTCACGTTCTGTCTAATGGTGCTGTCTTGTTGGGCCACCAGCAGCATTGTCAAATACATCGGCATCAAGGGTGCCCTCGTCGTAGGAACCATCGGATTCGCACCGTACAGTGCGGGCTTATACCTGAATAACCGGTACGGGGTTGAGTGGTTGGTTATCCTTGGTGCTGCACTCTGTGGTGTTTCGGCTGGAATATTCTGGGCGGCCGAAGCTGCTATCGGAATCACTTACCCCGAGCCAAAGAACAGAGGGAGAATGGTTGCGTACTGGTTGACCTGGACTCGACTTGGCCAAATTCTAGGTGGCGCGATCAACTTGGGCATGAATGCGGATCGAGACCAGGCTGGAAAGGTATCGCACAATGTCTACTTGATATTCATCGCGCTTCAATGCTGCGGCCCTTTCGTGGCGCTGCTGCTCAATAGCCCGTCGCAGGTCCAGCGATCAGATGGCAAAAAGGTCGAGCTCTCCATCTTCGACCACCCATGGCAAGAGTTCAAGGCAACTACGAAAACATTCTTACGCCTAGAGTTCCTGCTTCTCATTCTGTGGATTGGCCAGGCAGTCTACTCAGAAGCCGTCTTTTTCACATACATTGCACTTTGGTTCAGCGTCCGGGCAAGAGCCCTTGGATCATTTGTCTCGGGCATTGTCGCCGTCATTGCCGGGAATCTTCTCGGCCTATGGTTGGACCAGGCTCAAATCGCACTCAAGAAACGAGCTCGGTGGGCTTTTGCCGTTATCATGACGCTCCAGGGAGCGTGGTGGATTTGGCTAACCATCAACGTCACGGAATTCCGACGCACGCAGCCAGTGTATGACTGGAGTGATCCTGGATTCGGTCGAGCCTTCGGAGTCTTCGTGTTTCTGGTTTCGGGATTTCAACTGAACTACAACTTTGCCTTCTTCATCATCGGAGAATTATCGTCAAACCCCCAAGAAACCATTCGCTTGTCGGCTCTATTGAGAGGCACTGAATCGGCTTGGCAGGCGATCAGTTATGGGTTGGGTGCAGTCCCCATCTTCGCCTCCGTCGGCAGCACATACCTCAACTTTGGGCTTTGGGGCTTATCTTTGTTTCCAGCCTGGTTGGTAATCCGGAAATTCGGGACAAACCAATCTCAAAACACCGACACTGAGAAGCAGGGAGACGCCTAGGAGGGCGTTTGATATTTTAGGGTGGTGTTGAACCCAGGCTAAACCCACATTTTTCGGACTATAAGAGAGTCCGCCAAACAAGTTATAAACCTTCATCTTTCGCAACAGTTTTGCCCCTGGTTTCACTTTTGGTAGTAGCGCGAATAAGTTTATGTCAGTACGAATTCTAACCCATGTTCAGTCTTTTATGCGTATTTTTAGACCTTCGGTCCATCCTAAAGGGGTTGAATATGTCCCAGCCCCCCTTTTCTCCCAACGTACCTTAACCTAGAGTTCTACACTGCCCTCACAGCCCGCTTAGTGAACGCGGCCATAATATTGCTGGAAATTAAAACAATTGGTCTAGATTGGACTCGTCATCCATTCCTCTGCTGTGTCCATCCCTTTGATTCGTCCTTCTGGTGCAGGCGCTTCGAGTGGCGTCAAGAAACACCAAAGCATGCCCCATTTACATGTGGTCGGGGGCCAGTGGAGTGCCGGTAGAAGATGAAACGCTCTCAGCTTCTCAAACACCACTCGGGGATTACGCGCGCGTTGGGGCTCAGCTTCTGCTAGGTCACATAGCGAATGGGAGGTGGCTGTCCTAAGGTAGCAACACAGTTCAAAGGGGAAAGGCCGGCTCAGACTCCATCTGATGGGTCACGCCGAGTCCCTCCGTCCCGGACTCACGGCCAGGGGCGCAAAAGTGCCCCAGGCAAGCGAGACACTACCGCGGCGGCGAGACCAACTACATACATCAAGTTACATGCCATAAAATGGATCCGGGGTCGCGGACCCGTGCACTGACTGCACAGCCTCTCCAGGTCTGGTTAAGCGGCGGTATGCCTTTATGCAACTAAGAGAATATTGCAATAAATCGACAAACCTCCCATTGATATAAGGAATCATCGACATGCTCCGAAAACCTCAGTGGAGGCCGCAGATACCCAAACCAGCGTAATCATGGCAACCGCAAAAGACAAGCCCCCGAAATGGACTCGAGCAAAGGCTCCGAGAGTCAGAACCGGCTGTGTTACATGGTACGCCATTCAGCCGACGCCTTTGGTATGATGTGCTAACTGGGTCACCAGCAAGTTCGTTAACCCAAGCCAAGATATTGGCGTGCTATTGCTCATTGATGATTAGAATCCGACATCTCAAATGCGACGAGGAAAAACCCCAATGCCGCAGATGCATAAAAGACGGCCATGTTTGCGACGGTTATGAAGTCATCTCGGGTCGGAAACCGAAATCCAAGACCAAGGACTCCAAGGCCAAGGAAACCCCGCCCAACACCGCCCAGCTCGTGCTGCGACACAAACATCCCGTCGTCCAGGTTTCTCTACCGCCGACATTGATCTTCGATGCCTCTCAGTTACCGACCGAGATGGATTTATTCCATCACGTGCGAACCTGCACCATCCAAGACTTGGCGTCTGCCTTGACGCCAACGGACTTCTGGTACATCCATGCCCTTCCACTCGGCCATGCCGTGGAGCCTATCAAGTACGCAATTTGTGCCCTTGGAGGTGCACACAAGCACTTCAAATCGCAACTCCTTGGGGAATCCGGCAACTCATCACTTCAAGCGTTGGAAGAAATGTCCATTCAACAATACAACCAAGCGATACGCCACATCCAATCGTTTACGCAAACACCATCAAAGAAAAACATGGAGGTCATTCTGACTTGCTGTGTGATTTTTATATGCGTTGAAAATCTCCTGGGTCGTTACTCCGAATCTTTCCGCCACATGCAAGCCGGATGTGCGCTCCTCGCATCGATCCGACAGCTCTCAGACCAGGAAGCTGCTCTGAGCCTACAGAACGGTGTACAACTGGACAAGGCGAGGGAGAAATCCAGATTCTTCGACGACATCGGGGCCTTGCTGTCAAGGCTTGGCCAAGACGCTGCCATGTACATGGGCGTAGACATCATTCCGGAACTCTACGTCCATTCCGCCCCTACCATCGACTTCCCGAGAAACTCTACCCCATTCGATTCGGTTAGTACAGCAGCACAAACGCTGTTTGCTATTGAAACGGAGCATGGTGTAAGAATGCACATTGCTGAGTTGGAGTGGAAGAATTCTCCAGAATATGACGGTCGCGATCTTCCCCCATACTGGGATGACGATTCCCTGCTTCCGGAAAATGACGTGTTCAACATACTAGACCTGGAGAATATCTATCATGATTGGAGTGTCCGCTTCGACCTCTTCAAGAGCCAGATCGACAAGCGGACTGTACCGAAACAGGAACTACGTCAGATCTCAATGTTGTCAATTGGGCAGTCAATGTGGTCGACCTTCCTCGAGATGAAGTCGTTCGACGATGAGATCAGTCGAGAAGCAGCCGATACCATATTAAAGAGAGTTGAATCTCTGATTGAGATTGAACTCTATGGACAAGATCCCATCTTTTCCTTTGACGCAAATGTAGTTCCAGCAATAACGCTGGTCTTTACATCATGCAACGACTTCGAAGTGCAGTGGAGATGCGTACGTTTATTGCGCTCCATCAGGATAAGAGAGGGGATTTGGGACAGTAAGGAAATGGGGGATATCCTAGAATCGACGGTGATGGCAAGAGAGAGGGGATTGATCTCATTCCAAGCACTGCCATGGAAGGTGCCTCAGCTGGCAAGGCTGGTTTCGACTCTTCGTCTAACCCAATCTAGAATCTCTACAGGGGCCCTGGCTTTGGCAGAGGAGGATGCTGACTATTTTGGAACGGGTTAGGCTGTCATTATGTAGGATCGATGAAAGATGTATTGTATGTACACCAGGGAGGACTAGGACTACTTTTAATTGCCATGCCCTACATTTACATTTTAACCCTGATTGGAATGGTGCGACTTCGTGTTTTCTTCTCCAGCCAGTCTGGCAAAAGATTGCGATACGCTGCCAACCTCTGGAGATAGGCTATCGTGTAGGAAGAAGCACAGCCCCAATACCTCCAGCGCTAATTAAATGCTTAATTAAATACTGGCGGCCTCGAATTGCTAGTGATATGCTAGCTTGCTGTTAGTTTCACCCAGAAATTTAGGTGCCTGAGGATGGCAATCCGGCATTTACTCCTGACTTGGCGGAAAGCTGTATTCGATCTTGTCCGCAGATCTAAAACAGCGATAGAGCGGAGTTGCGGATGGAGTTGTTGTCATACATACCTGACACTGCATTTCGTCTAACATGATCACCACACGCTCTGGATGTATTGTCCCTACCCCTTGCCGATCCTACGATGGAGAGACATGGGTGTTTCGACATCTGTCAGTGGGTCAGTGCCAACAGCTGTTTCAATAGATGCACAAGGTCCGGCAATGCAACTCTCGTCAGTGTGTCGCCATCATTTCTCAATGAAGTTTTGCGCCGATGTCTACTGGGCTGGTCGTTTGAGATCTGGCGTTATGTCTTCCTGGTCTCTTTCTTCATAACAGGTGGTAAGTTACTACATGTATGTGGTTGCGAACATATGACGTCCATATGATGTCCACAACCTTGATCCAATAGCAGCCCCGTTGCCATCAACATCTTACTGTTTTCAGAAAGCAGGCGTCTGGTTAGTGAAGTTTGAGACGCCATGGTAAATAGTCTAGACTTAATAGAAGGCATGGAAATAACCTTGTACCAAGACCGTCTCGAATTCTTGCAAATTAGATGTCTACCGAAGCCGGGACGCCACTTACACGGTGGTATTCTTCGTGAGTGATGGTTGTCTGAACCTGGTAACGTGTTCGGTATTTCTAGTCGCTTGTTTTCCATCATCAGTACTATTGATCCCTTACGACCCTATGCTTTCACGTCTTGGTCGGCAGCGGCTGCGGAGGCCGCGGAACCCGTGTGTGGTTCTTGTTGTCCAAGAATATTGCATGAGATACGTAGGTGGAGTTTCCCGTTATTACGATGCACCCAATAACGATATTTGCTTAATGCCGATGGTCCCACTTCGGCTGCGCCCGCGCACTAGAACAATTGTGGCTGCCTTCTGGTCAACCGAGGGAGTATGTCACTGCTATGCTGATTGGCTCTGTCGTAACTATACAGAAGGCTAGCCTATTTAAGACGAAGTTGGCAAGACACAGCCCACTCTAGCGCCAAAGGTGATTGGCTCCATCGTAAATAGTAATTTGCCGGGATCCGGGCTCTAGTATCAACTCGCTCAGGCATGCAGATATCACCCCCAGACATGTGCTTCTGGATTGTTTCGTCTCGCCCTAGCGAGTGGCTGTTGGTCAAACGGCAAAGCGAAATACGAAAAATGAAATTGAGCGGCTGAAGCGTGTGGTCCAACCCGAGTGGCACGGTTGAAGATGCATTGACGAGCTGCATGAGAGGGCTCGTATCCATGACAAACAGGCCGAGAACCGCCCTTTGGGCCGACTGCAGATTCGTGATAATTTGCTCCGAGGCGCAGTCATTCTGCGAATTTTGTTCTTCCAGATATGGACTTCAAGGCTGACAAGCAGGAGGCTCAGACGTGATTGAGCCCGTTTCTGGAGTGAGACCTTCTCTTTCCTTCGGAGGTTCCTTGTCAGGGAGGATTTACATAACCTTCTTCAGGGCTCTTGATCCGTGGGGTCCTGTCAATATTTCCGGAAGTAGCAATTGACCAGGGAATCCGCTAGGCCACGCACGAGCCATGCCGTGTTTGTTTAAATCCAAGTATTCTCCGACTTTCATGGGTTGAACATATATAGAATTGCTGCCACGAAAAGTCGTTGTCATGAGGTTGGTCAGGCAACATCTCGAGGAAGGAAGGGCTTGATTTGTAGTTCAACTGCGACGTAAAATACAAGCGGCCGAGCTCATGGCAGTTTGGGTGTCAAATAACCGAGAACCCGGATCTGCACTTTTTTTTGTCTTGCTATATGGTCAAGTTCTTGAACCTATCTATCATATATTTAGACGAACGCCACAAAGTAAATATCGCTGCACATTCGTAAATCCTATTTTTTTTCGGCCGCTCGTTCTCGATTGTTGATCAAAATTCTGCGAGAGATGCAGCTATACTATTGTGGTATTGAAAAGAACCCAGGTAGATCCCAGGATTCTTGGAAGAGTGCTAAACTGCCCAGTCTGCCAAGTGCATTGAACCCGAACTTTTCGCGAACCTCCAGGGTGGCCCATAGGTCACACGTCTAAGGCTTAACCTAGTGTCAATGGCGGGGTATTGAAAGACATGCCTTCCATCATGAATTCCTGATCTTGGCATTGACTAAGTGCGCCCAGACTGATCGTCCGTGGCGTTTGTCATTAACGATTCTTCTCGAGTGAGACAGCCCACAAGGATAACAAATTTTAGCTCGTTGACAGCATATCGCCACCTAGAATAGCAAATGCTCTCGAACGTCGGGAGATGCCCCTATTCGTCGGTCCTATTAGATCAATACTTCACAATTTGCCACAATTTGCCTGTCAAGGTACCTTGCTTCAAGGGTATGTCAGTGCCAACAATAAGGTATCTCTACAAAACCGGGGCAAGTCTCGAGCTAGCATTTGTAATCCTTGTGGGCTGGAGTGGCCAACTGGGATTCCGCCAAGAAGACGGGATCAGCCCTATAAGATCGCCGAACTGGTGCTCCGATCGGTTCTTAGGCGGGATACTCACCTTGGCGAAATAAGAATTACTCTTGCAAAATACTTATATAGGTGTCCTGTATTGAGAACGCAAAGGGAAAGCCCCTTGAAACACTCAACACATCATTATGTCAAACGAGACGTCAGTTTACTCTCTATTCACCATACGGCACACAGTATATCTGCCCTATTTTGAAACAAAAATAATGGCTGTGACGACAGAACACAATTTTGGGAGTTGACAAGTCGTTCTTGGCCAGAATGCCTTACAATGAAGTTATTTATGACCTGATTTTGCTAGTCACGAACGGCTCTCTTTCAATAGAAAAGAAAATGAAATCTCACAAACGTACCGACTTGCTTCTGATCTCCAAAATACCCAAGACGCATTTATTACATTTACTGATCATACAAGAACTGTCTCAGAATAAGAAGCTGGTTCAAGGCATGAAGTTACAAGATCAAGAGCCCTCATCTACAAGTATCACTCTTTATTTGCAGCAATGTCAAAGTACCTTTCCTGTTCATGACGAACTCACACTAGTGTCCACCCATCCAGATAACACATCGCCGTGTAGAACATGTAGGTCGCACTTAAACTGCCGGAGCCACTCAGCATTGTCGGCAGGAGTCTGGTTCCACGGATCATCGCTAAGAAAGCTGATTAGTCATTTATGTTTCTAGCGATACAATCAAAGAACCTAAATCTGGGAAACTCTTAGACTTGGGTACTTACTCTTGAAACATGATCCATCGTGCTTGGTACTGGAGTTCCTCATCCGTAGGTACATGGCTATCTGGATTACGTGGGGATATCGTGCTCACTACAAACCGAGATAAGTCTCTGACAAGTCTTCGGTAGCAGTTATCGTCATTGAGTAATAGCGGCATCGCCCTGGGTGGTATCTTTGGCTCGCCATGATTCGATCCAATAACGGGGACGGAGGTGGAGGTGCCGACTGTGTCGAGAGACTTTCCGATGGGATCCTCAGGAGCAGTGCCCGTAGGTAATACGCCAAGGCGAGGAATTTTGGATTCATGGCTAGAAGTGGTGGCTTGAATGTCTTGCATCTCCGAACTGTGATCTGACCGAGGCGCGGATTGAGGGATCATTGACACAAGATTCGCGCGACGGCGAAATGGTGCAAGCCAACCGCTTGACCCGTATATTAGCCCAGCCAAAAACGTTTGAAACCATGGGCAAGGGTGGGGCGAAGACGCCTCCATCCGCGTAACAATGCTGTACGCCTCGAGTTGAAGATCCGAGTCTCCCACTTGGTGCCCGAGCATTGTCGAGATCTCGACGTAGTTCTGGAGCTGATTCTCCATACTGCATGTCTCGAAGATGTTTCCTTTCCCGTGGATCTTAAGCTGAGTGACCCATGAGGTCGAGTGGTTTTTCATAGGACGAAGCCGTGCCCGCTTAGTTGTCTCCTCGGACGAGGTGAGCAAATCGCGCAGCCATGACGGCGCCGTCGTCTCAGCGCTTTGGGAGAGAACATCAGAGCTAAGGACGATACAGCAGCTCTCATACGCAAGAGCTTCGTCAGAAGGTATGCATTGGCTTTTGTTAAGGTGGTCTGTGAGGAAGTCCTCTAGTTCCAGCTTTATAAGCTCAAACGCGTTGCTTGGAGTTTCTGGATGTACTTGTTTGGTTGTAAAAGGCCAGGGCGAGTTTCGCTCGTAGTGAATTAGATCTGCGGTGGTATTAGTAGAGTATCGGAATGTATTCATAAGTAGTACTAACACGGAGGCACAGAATTCTCAACCATGTCAAGGACATGGTCCTCAAACCCCCAGTCACCCTGCCAATCTGCCATTGACTTTCCTTCCCTGAAGTGTTCGGCCAGGTGGCCAACTCGATCAGACCAATGACTCATAACAAACTTACAAAACCCACAGCGAGAGCGTATAATCTGACTCTCATCCTTCCAAAGGTCCATGGGCCAGTCGTTGAACTTGGCATTATGTACCAATTTAAGATGTTGTCGAATGTGATCTTTTCGGTAAAATATTCGCTCCTCTGGAAGACGCCCGAAGCAAATAGCGCAGTTATGGCTCTGGAGATGATCTTCGTCTGGATCTAGCTGGGCGCAGAAAACGCAAGCTAGCCTTGATGTGTTTGGATCCTTAATTCTTGGGCCGTCTGGTGAGCACGTCCACCGCTCAAGAGACAAGTGCAACGACTTTTCATGCCGTTGCCAGCTGTGCTTGGTTTTGAATGTCTCGGTGCAAAAGGTGCACTGAAAAGTATGTGACGTTCGCGAGAGGTTACTCAATCCGGTGGTGTGCATAGACCGAGCTGCAGCGACCCTCCGTCTCCTGCGCTTGGAGCCTTGCCCAGGAAGTTCGAAGGACCTACGCGAAGTGTGCGAGTTCTGGGAGTAGGCAGAAGCAAGAGAACTTCTACTTGAGTATGAGGTCCCTGCGCTACTGGTTGATAAGGCATTGTGCCACGACCCGGACACATCGCGATCCTCATCGTGAGATTGTCGGCCCATGCCTGGCGCGAGTCCAGATATAGCTTGTGCGAGGGCAGAGGCATCGACGGCTTCGTGTTCAGGTGGCGAGTTCTGCCAGCGCTGTAAGGGGTCCATATTCTGGAAAGACATGGGCGATTCGTTTGGGTCAGACATGTCTGTGTTGGAATAGGTGTCTCTCAACCCCACGAATGGTGATGGTGCGCGCGGGCGTTTGGACTTGATGCGTCGGCGGGTGTTGGCGAGCCAGTTTGCAATCTGTTGTCTGCTGAGGCCCGTTTGCCTTTGGATGCTCTCCATTTCTTTTGCGGTCGGGTAAGGATGTCGGATATGGTCTGAGAACCAACCTTTCAAAGCCCTGACTACCCAAGAAGGAAACCGGGGCCCAGCCCGGGATGGTTCTATCAGCCTGGAGTCCTGAGATTCTCTTTCATCAGGCAACTCAAAATCCATGGAATCTAGCTCCTCTATGGAGCTACTTGCAGGTTCGTACGAGCTAGACAAACTTCTGACTGGTGCAATGCGGAGAGGGTGTGCTCTTAGGTCAACCGCATCCCCGGGCAAACAAGGCTGGCCAGCAGGCTCAGTAACGAGCATGTCCAGGTACGAGTCTGGTTTTTGTTGCGGTCGAGCGTGCGATCCTATTGGTAGTGGAAGGGTCTGTTGCTCATGGAAGGGGAATATCCCGTCAAAGATAGACTCTACCCTGCGGCTGGACTCGGGGGTGCCCATATCAGCATCCAGGCCATTCATCGACTCGCCAGCGCCGAGCGCATTGATATACTCGAAAGAATACGTCTCTTGATCCATTGTATCCGTGACCCGTAGTCCTTGCAGATTGTCTCGGAGCGAGGGCGCAGGATCTCGGAGAATCGGAGAGGAGTTGGGCGGCTGGTTTAAGCCTCGAAGGGCGGAAAAGGACATGTGACCCACCCATGAACATGTCGATTTCGCCTTTCGGTAGTCGCATTATTACCGGGTACGCGACCCACCCACTCCGCGATCATGTTGATTTCGCCTTTTGACATGACTTTTCTGTGGGGCTTTCCGGGTATCATGTATTCCTCTAGGAAAAGGATATATTCGCTGTGATCAAACAACTAGGGTCAGAACGTCGTGGTGCTCAGCGCAGAATTCTAGCCGCGAAGGCACGGATGTAAGCCAATCCTCTTCCGGCCGGTCCGGATGACCTGGAGAAGCAATTATCACCATCATCAGCACTGCTTTACACACTGTCCATTTGATCAAATTGACCGCAACGGATCCAACATGCCGCATTAGTGAAGCGGCCTTCCAACCCTTCAGTTAATCCATCACCCGCCACAGACCCGTCTACTCATTCACATTCAGCAATCGGGCGCCCGGGGAGGATTGATACGCATTGCATCCATAGTGTTCCTTCGCTATTCTGCGGGACTTCACAATACGTAAAAGTTTTCTGACGTATGCTGCCGCCTCCAGAGCTGGACAAAGGTGATGTCTCAGTCACCTGGAGTTGATTGATCTCGACATTGTGCCTATAGATGCACTCAAAAATGTAACCATTATGGTCATTGTGCTTAGCTGTATTGCTACCATGTAATTCCCCATTCAGTATTCGATAAGTATCCTCATGCTCTTCTTACAAGTATCAGTAGTCAAACTCCAAATAGTTGACTCTACTGTTGTCTCCTGCGGACCCTAGTAATAGGTTTAGATACTGATATGAAAGGCAGGCGTGTCGGCAGTTTGATGGAGTGATAAGATAGCATGCAATGCGTGACCATCTGTAGGGAGATAGAAGATCCAGTAATCTAACAATAAGTAGAGATGTCACATGTCTTAGTAAGGTCAACCGGGTAGGATAACTGTTAACGCCAAGGCATCAAAAATATGGCTGGCATCTTCTTATAAGCTATACGATGACTTGTTCACCTTGGACTAGATGGGCGGTCCTGAGTGGTTCGTTTGGCAACCTGCACGCGGACCCGAAGCGCATAAGGATCCGTTATGACTATTGGGAAAGAGAACAAGCGCTGAGAGGCGTGGGGAAAGACAAAACGCGTTGAGATAAAGGTTCTTGAATTAAGTTGCTCAGGGAGATAGATATATGAGTTTTCAACGACACATTAGCCTAATCAGAGACTCATCAACCATTTGTCGAGATATTCCACATCCTTCATCTTGTTCAATAACACTTCGTACTTCTTCCCTTCCGCCACACCCTCCTCCAATGACTGAGGAATCTCAGAGCACTTCTTCACATCGTCCCACTCCGTCGCACCAAAATCCCGCAGCACCGCACACCGCTCGTCCATCGTTCCACAAGCCGCCAATCGGGACCAATCTTCTGGTTTTTCGGGTGCATCATACTCTGGAAGCCGCATAGGCGAGTTCACCGCAAAGGTTTTGAGCAAGATCACAGGGTTTTTATCCCCTCCTGAAGACGATGAAGGTTGGGAAGGGTAGCCGATGTGCAAGTCGGGCGGATAATGGTAGCCGTAGGGGTAGTCTAATGAGCTATGCTGTGCCTCGAAAGCGCGGCTGGGCCACCACCGAGCACCGAGCTGCAGAAGGTGGAGGGCGAGTTTGTCTTCTTCTCTGAAGGATTCCTCGTCTTCGCCGATGGTGAGTTGGCAATCGAGATATTGGGATGTGCGTGGAAGTCCAAGCCACTGGAGTTCGACGCCCGTGAATCGACGGATGACTACGCCGACGACGGAAGGGTAGGCAATGACGGTGCAGTCCTTAGGACCGGGGATGATCCGCGGTTGGTGGCCGCTTGTAGAGCTAGTTTCCGGATATGATGGGGTGATTTCTTTCATTGCGAGATCTGATTCATAGATCAATAGATATTAGCAACGTGCTCCAATTCAGGGCACAAGATTCAGAGGTAAATGTGAGTGGGCGGGGGAGAATGATGACGCAGTGTCATCTAGGTATTATCCAAAGCCACCTGCAAATCCAACATTTACCTTCTCCTGACAGCTAGGAAATCCGATAGTGCGAGGGCAGTCAGCCGCCTAAGCAAGCAAGGATGATTGGAACCCGAAAGAAGGTAATTAAGCGAAGCGGATGCAGAAGTAAATGAGGTTACAAAGTAATATGATAATAAGCTTATTTACCCGGTGAAGGAGGGAAAGTCTAGCTGACATAAGCCCTCGGCTACGACGATGGCTCAGGGAAGATGAATTTGACTTACAAAGCTGGTAAACGAGCTGGTAAATGAGCCACCTAAACTACAAAAGTCCCTCCCATTCTGCATTTTGCCGTATCTTCCAGCAAACAGCCCGCACTAAGAGGCGGATTTATTCTCCTGCCTAAAGATAACATCACGGCCTCAGATCATGTTGCTGGTTAATCACGCAATCTACGGAGTACATCTACTTTAGCTCGCGTTGTTGGTTTATCCTTGTATTTAGACCTAACACGACCTTAACTCATGCTGTTGGTTAATCCCTCGACCCGAATCTGCCTTGACTCGTGTTGTTGATTAATCCTTCCATCTAAATACAGCACTGCCTCATCTCATGTTATTGGTCATCCATCTATCTTAATTCAACACTGCCTCAACTTGTGTTTTTAGTTAATCCTTCCGTGTAAGCCCAACACGGTATCAATCTTCAAGAGCACACTCGAACGTTCGCTAAATGTATCCTGGCAAAACGGCCGGTCCCGGTCCCGCTGTGGACCTTAAGGTCCAGTATTTCCATCAGCTTTATAGGCTACATTCTACAACGCTAAATCCTCCACCAAAGGTTCCCAATATCTACCAGGACGTCACGCCACGGTCGGTACTGCGCCCAGAGAAGCTGCAGCCGCCCAAGTGGTATGGATATAGATAGTGGCAGCATGGAGGGGGTATAAATGAGGAAAACATCCTCAGTGATGCATGGCATTCTAATCTCCACGGCGAACATCTTGTTTCTCCCCCAACGTGCACCTTGGATTCGATACTTGTGTGCGATTAAGTCTCTTTGCACGATGCTATTTCCCCTTCTTCTAATACCTCTTCTCCTGAATGGCGTGCAATGTCTACCGCAAGCCAAGCGCGACGTTGCGGCCACGGCTAAATTGGCTGAAGGCTTGTCGACCGAGGAGATGAATGATGCCTGGCCGTCGCGCGACATGGTCGATATTCAGAATTGGTACGGAACAAGCCTATTTGGCTGGAAGTAAGTGCCCCTCTTCCTCCCCCCGACCAATATGTGATTCGTATAGGGGCGGGCAAATGGGAGTTTGACCACACGATTTGAAGCAAACCATGACAATGTCATGACATTCCGACTCTGACCATGCTCTAGTGGTTGCGATAAAAAGGATAAAACTTTCAAAGAGAAGATCATCGAGGCTTACGCCGACGCCAACAAATTGGTCAACTACGACGGCATAAACGAGAATCTTGACTTCAATTCAGCTGCCGCGCTTCAGTTCTTGGGCCCTTCCGCGCTGAACATAAAACAGCAGAAACAGATACAGAATGTCCTCTTCAATGCAGCAACCGTCAAGCAGGGTGGCGCTTGGTTTACCCCGAATTGGCTTCGTGTAAGACTCTCCAGGTAACCCTAAGCTTGGAATCTGGCGGGCTGAATATGATACAGGTGCGCTGCGATGATCCTGCAGGAGTATGCCCGCCTGAGCCCGAGGATCCGGATAAGGATCCTGTATGTCCCCCAGCAACCGCATCGGATGACGAGCCGCCCCCCCAGAATCTTGCGTATGCCAGGAACCCTTTCGAAAAGGCCGCGGACCCTTCAAAAAAGCCGAATGACAGATTCTCGGAAATCGCTTTCTGTCGCGGCTTCTTTCAACTCCGGAACTTGGGAAATGCGATGGCGTATGGGTCGGGCTCCAGCCACCCTATCCTAAAGTCTGACTTGAGTAAATATCAGGGCTGAGGTAACAGAAAATTCCGATACGTGTAGCAAGTGGCGCGTGTTAACATTATTAGCCGATGTCTTTTTGCATGAGCTGTTGCACCTTGACTTGGTCGCCAACTCCAAAAATGATGATCCGAACCCAGACATTCGTGACTTCAAAATCAAGTTTAGAGTCGGCAGTGGTAAGCACAAAGGTGAGCTGACGAAATACACCAAAGTCTACGGGCCACGACTCGCCAAGATTCTTGCCGGCTTCCAGCCATGGCGTCGAGACGTGACCCTAGGTCAATTTATCCAGCGCAGTGATGACAGCTACTCCATGTTCGCCTTGGCAAAATATGTGGAGAAGACTTATGGCTTTTATCCATATATACCCGTGATTTACGACCAGATTACTGAAATGCCTCGGATTCCGAATAGAGATAGGAGCTCGGCACTAGCGTTCGAAACGAACGATAATGAACCCATAACATTCATCAATTTCACCCAGGTGGACGACGGGATGTGTCCAACAGTTTATGAGAATGGGTCAGGAGAAGACCTAGAGATCGGTGCACCCCACGACAAGTCCTTGTACCCCGACTCGTACTGGAAGCAATACGATCAGTGGATTCAAGAGATCAGGGATGCCTACGGCTCGGGGGACGGCGAAGAGAACATGCCGGACTTCCTGACTTACGAAGGGACCGAACCTGGAAAAGCAGTCAAGTCCGGTACGAAGCTGCGGATCCTTTGCGTTGGGGATTCCATCACCTTCGGGGCAGGAAGCGACCTCAATGGCGGTGACGGCAACGGATACCGGCTCAGACTCAAGCAAGACTTATCGGGTAAGACCCAAGAACACCCACAGACCTACAGGTGCGGGATAGCTGACACTTGTGTAATAGGGGACAAGGTGTATTTTGCTGGGACAGAATCGAGTGGCACGATGGAGAATGGCAATTATGTGACAGCCCATGCGATGATTGGACTTGAGTGTACCGCGTAACTAACGGATTATTAGGCTGCTTGGAGAGGAAAGTCGATTAAATATATGGCAGACCACGTTGGTCCTTCTTTGAAGCATCGACCCAATGTCATCCTTCTCCATGCGGGAACAAACGACCTCGACGACAGATCCCAGTACTCGTCCGAGGGAAATGACCCGGAGGGAATGTCAGAGCGTCTTGGGGATTTGATCGACCAGATGGTTAAGGCTTGCCCTGATGCTGTGATCTTGGTCGCGATGATTATAGATACCTGCGACTCACACAAAGCTGCACGTCATAGCCAATATGTCTCCCTAATCCCCGGAGTTGCTAAGAAGCGCCGCTCACAGGGAAAACATGTTCTTGCGGTTGACTTTACTGATATTCCACTGAGCAGCTTACGAGACTGCATCCATCCGACAAACGACGGGTATAAGACAATGGGCGACCACTGGTACGATTTTATGCATCAGATCCCTGGCTCTTGGATCACAAAGCCCGTCGGATCTGATCCCGATCTAGCGGTGCTGGAAGCGATACGAATGGCGGGATTGCTACTGATATTCCAGGGCCTGACTACGGCAATCCTGTCGTTGCCAAGTCGAAGGAAGAGCTCGCCGTGGCTTATCAAGTGGCCCTCAAGGGTGACCAAAGTGCATGTCGGAGTCGTCCCGTATGGCAGAGTGCTGGCAAGATTGCTATGGGTGTCGGGGAGAATGGGTTGTGGAAGTTCACGGAAAACTGGGGCAAGGCTGGCAAGGTCTTCGATGGCATTGGGAGACCTGCGTCAGGTGTCAGGTGAGTACACATCCTTTGCCGACTGTTAGGCATACTTGGACTGCAAGGATACTAACGGGCAATCACCTCTAGGTTTCACGATATGGATGGTGATGGCAAGGCTGGTAAGTGTCCATGTGCTGCAGTAATTCGATGCGTGGACTATGGTTAACTTGAAGAAATCAGACTATGTCTGGCTGGACCCGGACACTGGAAGACTAGAGTGCTGGCTCAACAATATGCCTGACGGATTTGTTCGTGCCGGAACCCACGAAAAGGGCGTCATCGCAGCAGGAACAGCTACTGCCGAGAGGGTATACCTTGCAGTAAGTACGGCCCAGAGACCCGGCATGACCCCGACTGACAGTGATGCCTCTAGGACCTCGACGGAGATGGTGTAAGTTTCGAAGACACTAGGGGGACCAACTGACGGTTTGCTAACTGACTCTAGCTTTCCGACTACCTGGTAGTCTATCCTGAAAATGGATCGGTGGATGTATGGTGGAACAAGGGACCAAGCGGTAACGCATCCAACGGTTGGGACTGGGCCAAGGGCGGCCAGATTACAGGAGGGGTTCCCCACGCTAACCTAGCCACTCTGCGGTTCCCTGACATGAATGGAGACGATAGGGCTGACTATGTCTTCATCGGAAAGCATGGTTCTTTGGCAAATTGGCAAAATACTGGGACAGATCTGGGTAGAGGCGTTGAGTGGGTGTCGAGGAATGGCATTGCGACCGGCGAAACTTATCAACTTAGCGATTTTTCTAAGCTGGTGCTTGCTGATGTAAGTTTTGAAGGGGCATTTTGTTATGCAAGGGGTGCAGAGCTAACGAAGAAAATCTAGATCGATGGTGATGGTCGTGATGGTAAGTGGCCAACGCACCAAGCATCTGAAACAACAGCTGACCATGTCGATGTAGACTATCTGGTTTTCGACGGTGACTCAGGCCTCTCTGGCTTTTTGAACCAGCCATCAAACCGTGAGGGTGTACCAAAGTGGGTTAAACAAGACGACAAGGCCTTTGCCGTGGGTATCAAGGAGGACCGCCACAGTATTCATCTGGCTGACATGGACGGGTGAGATACCAACATTACTAATTACGTTGTATTTAGAGACTGACAGCGAACGCTTTAGTAATGGAAAAGCCGACTACATCTTTGTGGACGACAACGGCGCTGTTAACCTCTGGCACAACCGTGGATCCGCCGACACATCCATGGCTATTGATGGTCTTCGGTTTGCAGACATTGATGGCGACGGGGTAAGTGTCTCGACTTCCCCATCGGCAGAAATCCAGAGGACTAACCGCTATAGATTGACGACTACATTTGGGTCCATCCGGAGACTGGGGCACCAAGTGTTCGGTGAGTGACCTGACCTTTGAGCCCGTTGCGTGGCAGATAAGCTGACAGAGCATACAGCCTCAACAGGGGGATAAATGGCCATGATCAACTTGGATGGGAGTGGGAGTCTGTGAACGGTGGCAACCCCATTGCAAGAGGAACCGCTCCGGGTGCCAAGGTGCGGTTCGCTGATCTCGACGGGTGAGTCTCCTTGATACACCTTCTCCGTCGTTGTTAACCAGCTGTCTTACTATTGACCCAGAAACGGAATGGCCGACTACATTGTCATCGATCCTAAAGATGGAGGTATGAGAGGTTGGCTTAGTCTCGGTCCAATTGACAACGAGTACGGTTGGAATTTCGTGCCGCAGGATCGGATTTTCCAGGGTGGCATTGGACCTGGAGCCAACGTCCGACTGGCAGATATTGACGGCGATGGTGTAAGCTACCTGCTTGATACTCAATCTGCAATCGCTGACCGTCATAGCGCGACGACTACATCTATCTGCACCCTGGAGGCCGTACTACCATATATCGGAACAAGTGGAACAAGGATAGCCCCATGGATAGCTGGGTGCGAATGGAAGATGCCGAGGCGAAGAACGGCATCCAGCGCCGCCCCGAGGAGATTCTCTTCCACGATATCAATGGGTTTGTACCACTCAGTGCACTACCTCATCCTCTGCTGACTACGTTCGTCCTCTAGCGATGGCAAGGCCGACTACCTCTGGGTCAACCCCGTCAACGGTATTGTTCGTGCTTGGATCAACAATTACCCGAAGAGCCCAGCATGGATCGACAGTGGTGAGTATGCCGGCAGCGTGGGCACCGCGGGCAACAATATCCGCTTCGCCAAGCTACAGGCCAGCGGCCGCGCGAGTCTCGTCGTCGTAGACCGCAGCTCCAACGCCATAGCCGCGTGGCTCAACGGCTGCGATGATCTCGACCTACCGGATACGACACACAGGATCGTCATTACCCACGTGTCGACCAAGATTTCCGACAAGATGTGGGGGGTGACGGAGTATCCGCTTGAAGGGACGCCGCCCAAGGACTACTGTGACCTGACGGGAAAGTATTCGCGCGGCGAGAAAACGAGCCCCAACGATCCCGACGACGCCAAGTATCCTACTGAAATCACGGGTATTAAAGAGCTCTATGGCCATAAGTGCGCCTATAGCGGCTCGCCTTACACAATCGGACGCTTGAGGTGTGAAGATGTGAGTGGGATTCGCTGTTACAAAGATGGGAATTTTGGCAAGAAGAAGGACTGCGACGGCTGGTCGTACACACCTGCGTTGTATTGTGTGTGGTGATAGAATAGTAAGTGAACAGGACATTTATTGTTTACCGCAATATAAATTCCGCTCGGGTCCGATTGAGACTCCTCAAGAAGTGATGGATCAGCCCAATGCAGCAACGGACTACCTGCTCCTTTCGGCAGAACCCCCGCTCAAGTCTAGCTGCATCCTGGATAGCACAACGATCCCGGTGTGAGATACGTGGACCCGCTAAGTTATCAGTATCCATCTATATCACCATGGGTAAACATTAGCTGAGGTATTTTGCTACAACGCTGTGTCGTTCCTCAAACTCCTTGGCTAGCCTACATCAAAATGCCACCACTCTTCAGCCTGCCTAGGGCGCCAGCATATCAGTATTCTCCTATTATTTCACGTCCCCGCGCATTCCGGCTCATCCGGATCCTCCCACCCCACCGTGCCTTCTTCGGTGACACGTTGCGGATTGAGATCATCACTGTTGACGACGACAGCCCCTGTCTGTACGACACTCTGTCATACACATGGGGGTCGACAAACGGACGCGCGCCAAATCGCCGAATTCTTGTCGAGACTCAACATGGGCCTCATGAGTTGCGCATCTACCAGTCTCTGGAGCTTACGCTCCTCAGCATCAAGGCGAATCGGCCCATTTTTGTCGACCAGATCTGTATCAACCAGTGCGATGATGAGGAAAAGGCCAACCAGGTCCAGTTGATGCATGACATCTATGCAAATTCCTCTCAGTTGCTGGTCTGGCTAGGCCCTGAAACCAAGCTATCCAATGAATACTTTTCTTACACTTCCAAAGTGTGTGATGAAGGGATTCTAAGCCGCTTCATCGGTCCAAGGAGGGGTGATTTTCCCCAAGTATTCGATGCAGTCATGAAGCCAAAGATTGAAGTCACCGGATCCATTCGCGAGGATCGAGATGATGTTCTAATGCTGCTGTCAAAATATGGAAACTCTTACCCAGTAGATGGCCTTGAAGACGTGTTACGTCGGCCTTGGTTCAACCGCCTCTGGATCATCCAGGAGGTCTGTTTGGCGCCCAATGTTTTGTTCATTTGCGGCTCTAAGGATATGAGCTTCGAATACTTTCAACTTGGTCTTCTTTTCTACACAATCTACAACACGTTCTGGTTAGAAAATCTGAAGCATGCCGTGTCCCAGGCTGAACTTACTCAGCGCGACAATATCTTCGGCCTCAATCAAAGTCCTATTCGCATGATCCAGGAACGCAAGGCGATTCACATGCACGGGAAAAGACATTCGCTATACAACTTGATCATCAAGTACAATACGAATGGCGATCAAAAAAAGATTGGAGCCACGCTGGCCGAGGACCGAGTGTTTGGCATTATGGGACTAGCAGAAGCTCAAAGCTTGATTGGGATGAATGTCCGATACGGAGATGTATCCAGGACTTTTACTGAGATTGCTGCATTCTTGGTCGTCCAAAATCTCGATGTCATACTCTTCTCACAGTTTCCCAAGCACATCCCGAATCTCCCATCTTGGGCACCTGATTGGTCTATGAACCTACAGATACCAGCCAGCTACTTGACATTACAGGAGCCAATCTTCAGCGCTGGAGGGGCTATGGCCGTGAAACCAAGTGTGGATTTGAACTCGAGGTGTCTGGTTGCTCGAGGCATTGCAGTTAGCAACATTGTGAAAGTTGGCCAACAAGCCATGGTGAAGGATCCAGATCAACGAGTCGTGCAAGGGGTTGATTATCGTTCCGTGAAGAGATTTTACGATGAGCTCGATGTTTTCATCCCTCAATCCCGCATCAAAGACGACATCGAAATGGCTGCCATTCGCCTAGCAGGTTTTGATCTTTCGATGAGGCAATTCGCAGCGAGATATCCCGATGACACAGCGGAAAGGCTGAAGAAAACAAAAGAGCAACTTTCGAAATGGGGTCAGAAGTTAATCGACACTGACAATATCGTCTCGTCATACCATATCAGTCGCGTGTTCGGCACCGTTGGCATTACTCCTTGGTACTGGGTTCCTGCGAGTGAAACCGATGCTCTTCAGCTCTGGGCCGTAAACCCGGTAGCGGCCTTCACGAAGTGGGTGAAGGCCGCTGGGATGTTTATCTTCGACCTTATTGGAATGTCTGTCGCGTCAGCAAATGTGGTGCTATTGTCTAAGTATCTTCGATTGCGACGCAAATATTCCCGCATGGACTTGAATGCCTCAGGGAGGGATGGGGTGATGAAGAGGGTTGGCTTGGATCCCGAGATGGCCCTGGGAGAGATGAGCTTTTATTCAAATGACTTGATAAAAAATGTCGGACAGAAGGTGTATCTGACCGAGGAAGGTCACATAGGCACGGGTTGCAACGACATACAAGAAGGCGACACAGTAGTTGTGTTGTTTGGGGCGAGTGTTCCACACATTTTAAGGAAGAACGAATCTGTTACTGGGGAGGATACTTGGTCATATATCAGCGAGGCATACTGCGATGGGATCATGCATGGGGAAATTTTGGGGGGTGATGGCGTTGATTTTCATATTGTTTGAATCTTTTGATTCTGAATGATGATCAAATAATCAGTGTCGAGGTTGATCTACATGGCTCAGTGAACAAAGATGGCTAACAACGGGGTATGAAGGTCAAGACTGCGAGCTAGCGGAAGAGCTATCAGGTTTTCAGTCTTTGGGCCAACAGCTCTGAGCCATTGCGGAGGTTGCGACTAACCCGCATACGATACCAACTGGCTTCTCGGCAAAGATAATTATGACCCTGCATATTATTGACGCTTCTGGAATATACAGTGGGTGGCTAAAAGCTTTTCCAATGGTCTTAGAATGACACATCATATTTTGGAGAAGGGAGAGATAAGGAATTAGCTAAAGAGAGACGGAGGCATTTTGGGCAGGAAACTCCGAGACCACGCTGAAGGGATTTCTTAGCGCCCCTGCTCGGGATCCTACTGGTAACCAAAATGCTTTTAGATCGCTGATCGAGTTCGGATAGAAATGTCGGTCTTCAGTCGCCTGCATCGAAAAGTCTTTGTCCTTGACAGACTCCTCTAAATCCCGCCCTGGTCAAAAATGCGCTACTCGCTCAAGAATCGGTGTGTCTTAGTCACGGGTGGTAGTCGAGGCCTAGGAGCTGTCATCTGCGAAAAGTTTGCGGCAGAGGGTGCTCATATCATGGTCAACTTCGTCTCCAACCGGGCCAAGGCCCAGGAGGTCGCCAACAAAGCAAGCTCGTATGGAGCCAAGGCTTTCACATGTCAAGGAGTAAGTAGTCTCCCAGCGCATTTTCTGTCCAAAAGAAATACTAACGCGTTTAATAGGATGTGGGAGTACCAAGAGACAACGCGCGCATCGTCAGAGAAACAGTAGAGGCGTTGGGTGGTCTAGATATCATCATTGCCAATGCTGGGTGGACCAAGTTTAGCGACTTCAAGGACCTCGAAGCCCTATCCTTGGACCAGTGGAACAAGGTCAGCTCACAGGCATGATGGTTATCGCTCTTTACTTGGCTAATGATATCAGTGCTGGGCAATAAACACAACATCTCACCTGCAACTCGTGCAAGCAGCGAAACCCATCTTTGATAAGAATCCGGACGGTGGAATCTACCTCATTACTTCTTCCATAGCAGTACGAATCCAATCACATCTAGTTTCATGTCTGACTCGAGCTACTAGGGTATCACACAGAGCGGAAGCAGTATGGCTTATTCTGTTACGAAAGCCGCCGGCCTCCATCTGATGAAATGCATTGCCTCGAGCCAAGGGCCAAAATTAAGGATCAACGCAATCCTTCCGGGTCAACTTTTGACAGAATGGGTACGTAGCACAGCCCCTTCCACAAAACACCTTAGAGATCTTACCTTGTGTAGGGCTTGCAACTCAGTGAAGAGCAGCTCGCCGAAGAAAAAGACGAGGCTGTTTTGAAGCATGAGGTATTGTCAGCCCCGAACCCTTTCTAGGATAATATCCTTCTTAACTCGGTGCAGACATACCTTGACGATTGTGCCGATATGTATGTCGCCGTCGCGAAGAATTCCTCACTCACAGGACAAGAGATTGTTGTCGATGCTGGCCTCACCATTGCATGGAGTTCTCGATTTTGATATTGGACTTCTCTTGATACAGGAGTACCTCATGTGTTGTCGTATGACATGTACATGTCAGGTGCCGGAATGCAAGGGATATCTAAACGCCGGATTTGGTCAAGACTAGTAAATCTACATTCCGTAGCCGCAGCTATACTGAAGGGAGACCTGATATCAGCTACAAATAGCTAGGGACAGCCGCCTGTTGGCAGAAAGATCAGAGATCAATACAGTGACCACTGCCACCCCTACCTTCCTAGCTGCCTAGCAGCTATCATCTGACCTCTTCACTCCCGTTGTGTATTACAGCCCTGACAGTACATGAGTCTCATAGTGGGCTCAAAGTTTGAGCGTTTGAAGCCCTAGTTACCTAAGACATAATAGTTGCCCCATGACACTCGCCCACTACCATGTTTTGGACCGTCGCTCAGGCACATCAGATCATTGTAGGACACTGATGTCAATAACATTTATTTATATTCATAGGGTCAAATAGGTAGCTAGAAACACCCAAAATAATTTTCAACACAAGCATCTTAGAGCTTGGAACATGTTATATCCCCTCAACCACTCACATCGGGGAGGTTGGTTCGATACTTCAAAAATTGCGGTATAGTTGAAGCAATCCGGTGAAGGAGTGTCATGTTGTCTTTGTACATCTAGTCGCACGTTGCAGTTTCAATTAGCAAACTATCGTGATTTGGAGACGAACAAAAAAAAGTAATGGGGGGTTCATTTCTAGACTTACCTTGCCAGCTGAAACAGGTGGGTAGTTGCTTACATGGGCGCCGGTGATTAGCTCAGGGATTGGCTTAATGACAGTCTCGTAGTTTGGCGAAAAGAAGAACGGGACGGCATATCGTTCTTCACCTGAATAGTTCATGACTCGGTGGCGTGTGGAAATATATAGATCATTGGTAACGGCCTGTAGCTGATCACCAACGTTCACAATGAAGGTGCCTTGCTTCGGGGGCGCGGAGACCCATTTACCCGACTTGTTCAAGACCTCGAGTGCACGAACTGGTCCTGGAGCTAGGATGGTGAAAACTTCACGAGTGGACTTGTTAGTTATTACTTTTAGTCCTCATGAAATGCTGCACTCACATTCAGAGTCGGTGTGCGGGTCGAGCCTGCGGGCTGTAGAACCTCGATCTTGTGGTGGGTAGTGAGCAATGACCGCAGAACAGCCAGGATGAGAGGTCCAGTTGTCAAAGTATCCCTCAGGTAGACCCAGAGACATTGCAACTGCTTTGGCCAACAAACGGCAGAAGTTCCGCAGTTCACGATAATAGTCAGAGAGGGTTTCCTCAAACCCCGCCGGCTCACTTGGCCAGACGTTCCCACCCGCCATAAAAGGGTCATTGCAATCGTCGGCTGGATCGTCGTTGAGCTTAGCGTCGTGACCCCACTCGAAGGCTTCATTCAAGTCTGAAAATCCCATATTCACAGTCAGTCGTTTTGTCATTTTCGAGCGGCGGGAACATTGTAGACAGACTTCCTAGGCCATCCGGTCCCGGCTTTCCGGAGCCCCCTACAGGGGTGTAGCCCCTGAAGTTTGGGCTATTGTCGATAAAGATGTCCATCCTTTTCTCGAAAGGCAGGCGGAAGAAGCGTTCGGCTTGTCCAAATACGTCATCGATTAGAGCTTGGGGGATCCCATGGTTCTCAATATAGAAGAACCCAACACGAATGCAGGCGGCTCTGATGTCTGAAGCGACTCTTTTGCGTTCCTCAATGCTGTCGCTCCTAATGCCGCTGACATCAATGACCGGAATGGATTCAAAATCTCCTGCTTCTGCAGCCCAATCATGATCACCCTCCCTTGCTGGCTGGTTATCATTATCCCAGTCTGAATAGCCCATCGTAGGATATGGAAAAGGGAAAGCAAATATAATGAAAAGGATTGTCTACTCAATGAATAATGTAGGTACACTTGGAACGACTGGGAAACTTTAAGAGTGGTGTCAGTGGACACTTTATATGCTCTAATCAAGGCACCCAAAGACGGTTGATAAGATCTGATTATCATCCAATACAGCAGCTACGACGAATCATCCCACGCTCTAGTGAACTCGGTGATAGCTCTAGGTCTACTAGAGCTGGCAGAGCTTGTCAAGGGTGTAATCTGGACAAGGTTACTTTTCTTTTCTTTTCTTTAGAGGCAACTAAATCCGAGGTACCTATACTTTGTTATTTATACACTGACTCTTTCCTATCACATAACATGCAAGTTACATGGGGAAAGACTCCCCGATATCTCAAGCCCGGTAGAGGCAATGATAGTTGCATTGAGCAGCATCATGCTTTTGTCCCAAGGGCGTACAGATTAGATAAGCTCATGGAACGGATGGTTCAGATGGCTCAAAAGGAGTGTAGCGAATGACGTGTTCCTTCGGAAAATTAGCAAGATCCTTTCCTTATCATGTACGTCGCAAGGGTAGAGATAGAAGTGCGTACCATCGACGCTACATATCGCGAAGAGAAGAAATGAAAGAGGAAGGAAACTCCGAGGGCACTAATCGTGGACATGACAGGGAACCAGCAACCCTGTCTTACACCCGGCTGTCCACATAGAATCAGAGTGATGGCTTTTTAGTATTATTTTGTGGTGGAGCGTCAAGATCCGGAGCCACCAATTCAAGCTAGCCTCACTACCTGTCAACTCTATGGATTCTGGGGAACCCATGCGTTCTTCACTCAGCGTGTGCTGTTAGGTGTGGTGCCGTCGGAACCACAAGTGTCTTTACGCTTCACAAATCGGGCATTCCTATCGTCACCGCCATCTTCTGGTCCAACTTTGATGAAGTGAGAAACAATGACCTGCAAATCAAAGTTATTGACCACGGTGAGGTTGCAAATTAAATGGCCCATTGTGGTACGACAAGAATGTAATTCTGCATGTCCCAATTGGTGGTAGCAAGCTAATCGCGTTGTCAAATAGTCGAGAGGACGGTTTCTGATACATTGAGGCACGCACCTTTCGATTTCATCGTTGGAGCCATGTGGGACGCTTCCTTCAATGTTGTTTGCGCGTTAACTTGTTTGGATTCTGGGACAGTGCAAAAGGCGGTTGCGTCCACAACCTAGTCTGCCTAGCCATAGACGAAGTCGTGGCTGTTGCCAGGGCATCTGGCTAAAGCTCCCATCTGAAACTCAGGAGGAAATGATCGCGTCCTCACTAAAGGAGCTCCGACTAAGTCCAAGGATGCAGGTAGACGCAATGAGGCAGCGACCCATGGAAATTGAGGTCATCCTCGGCAACCCGCTGCGAATAGCACAGCAAGTAGGAGTGCAAGTGCCGACACCGGAAAATTTGGACCATATTCTTCGTGCTAACCAGTGGGTAATAAAAAGACTCTGATCCAACCTCAAGCCCTTTGTCCAGGTCTGGAGATATATCGACTGAACTTAGATTTCAACACGATTCCCAATGTGCAGCTGTCCTGAAGGAAACAAGCCTCAAGTAGCCCTTGAACATTGGCTATGATGTAACGTCGGAGTGTTTCACTATATATCTAACCGTCAAGCTGATAATCCAGCTCGATCTTTCGTATGGTGGATTACGTTTTTGTTCGTGTCGAACCAGACTGGTCTATATCGCCACTAATAGATCAGCGGCTTAATTCAACATAATATAGAACAGTGATGTAGTTGGACACATGCATCTGGTCACTTGTATAACTCGTTGTTCCGACTTTGGCGATACTTAAACTACCAGCTTACCGATTTGAGAAGGAGACTCCGAGCTTTCATTTGGGTGTGTGGGTCAAAAGACAGCACTTGACTTGTCTTCTTCGGGCTTTCTTACCCTATACACATCTCCTCCAGTGAGAACCGAGGAAACTCACGATACACGACCCGCTGCCTAGTGCGGTGCGGAGTGCCGTCAGTGCCTGCGTCGAACCAGTCTTGTTCTATGGCGTGTAAGTGTAGTACCCTGGTGCAACGCGACCGATGGAGCCAACCGTCTTCGGAGGACCAATGAACTCCTTGCACCCTGCCCACGACCAATTCTCATCCAAAAATGCTTCGGCAAGGGACAAGAAACGCCCCTACAGAAAGCTCCGAAAGAGGAATCGGCCGAGGCCTCCTTTCAGTGGACTGAGACAGTAGACCCAACCATCTTGATCGTATACTCAGACGGCTCCTTGTCCTCGGAGGGAGTAGCCAGCTATGGCTTCGCCATCCACCAGAAGGACCTCTCCGTCTGCAACGGCTCGGACCGGCTTGGACCTGCCAAAGTCTTTGATGCTGAAGCTACGGGGTACATCGTCTGGTTCCTCACAAGCAGTCTTCGTCGAGTTCCAGGCGTTAGCTGCATCTCACAAAACTATACAATTGCGCCACCAAGGCTGGAATTGATGGTATCCTTTCCCCTACCACACCAGGCCGCTTACTTTCCATATTGGTCAGTCGGTCTTTAGTAATCACATTCAGATGGCCCTTCATACTCACGGTTTATGCTGGGCGTTTACATATGACGGTGGCAAGCTGTGCACTGAGAAGGAAGGCGACTCCGACGTTAGCTCGTAGTGCCGAAAAGTCCGCTCAACCTTGTCATTCACAATCTTTTGAACTACTGGGACGGATTAAAACTTCTGAAACCTGGTTTTCATTCAATCAGCGTGGACTGACAGTAATTACTAAAGATAAGAAACAGGCTCTGGCCAGAGAGATATTGCAACCCTACTGCTATTTTATTATCTAACACTATAAAATTAAGTCAGACTGATACCTCTTAACGAGCCTGCCTCTTTTCCAACTAGCTGTGAATAGTAGTTTAGTATTTTCTTTTCTTTATATAATTTGAGATTTAAAATTAAACTTTTTAAATTTAAATAATAATAGATTTTAACTGATATTAATTATTAAGACGGCCCCGATTTGTGAAAACTCGAGATGTTGTAGACATCTGGCCATTGCGTTGCTCAACGAAGTGAATTGGAGTATAAACTTGATGTGTAATAACCCCCCGCCCCCACAAAACCTTCGCCTGTCAACCTTCGACCAAACCCTCCGCCCCCGATGACTCATGCCTGACACCGAGCCTCCTCCAAGAAGACGAGTCGAATCGCCTATTGTTTGATTTGTTATGTACTGCACTACAGCGGGACTTGTAGCATCGGCCGGGTCGACTACAGTTCTTGTCGTTGGCATAATGGCTTTCAAGAGGATAGATGAATGAGAGATGATGTGTGAAGGAGGGAAAGAGTCAGAGCTCAGCTTCTTAAACTGACTACAGCTTATATATTCATACAGGTTTTAACTTTTTCAAGTTAAAAAGCTCGATATTTGGTTATTATGGTAGTATGGGTAGGAAATACTTGAATTGTGGATGAAACTCTTGATGGAGCAGACAGAAGTTAGATTAGATTAGTAGACATTTGGCGCAACAACTTCCATCATTCTTCACTGTGAATATGCCGAGTACATCTTCCCCGTCTCGATCCACCCTGACGTCCAGGGGCGGTCATGCGCCACCCTGATGGATAAATGGTAAGCCGTCTGTGTTCATGTCTTAAGGTACTCGTGTATTGAGCAGACTGTATTGCTGACATTTATCAAGGGGCCAGGGTGCCCTAGTACACATACCCAGAGGGGGGACTAGAAGCTCAACAGTAAAAAAAAACCAACAATAATATCGGCAATACAGACCATATACCCAGTCCATTCAAAGGTCAAAATTTTACTCTGACAGACTAAAGTTTCTAGTCCAACTGGTTACCTTTTCCAATACCTCAATAAGCTGCAGTAACAGTCGCATTTACTAACATTTATATTATTTTCTTCTAGGTGGATTGAACACTTCATGAAACGCGACATTTGGTTTGTTACGATGGGTGAGATGGCGGTAAGAACCCATCGGCCCCAGGAGCTTGATGCCAGCATGGGCGAGCGCAATGCTTCACAAACGAGTACCACTCTGTTTTGTATTAATCAGCTCGCAGAGAAATTAACGCATGTATGCTCAGATCCGTGACGGGCTCTAATTCCCTCCTGTGAACAGCGGTATCGCTTCCCAATTGATCCTAGCAAGTATGTTGCGATGCGGGGCTTGAATGACCTCACAATCTCATCCCACTTGTTTTCTCAATTTCCAGTCACTGCTCTAAAGTCTAGACCGGGATCCCACTTGCTCTCCCTGCACAGTCTCAATGCTCTCAACGACGGCCCGAAATGCGCCATCAACATCGTGCTCCCCGATCCACCATGGATCCATCCGTTGCAAGACTCGATTCCTTAGCTGTTCATCCGTCTCAGTCTTGCCTCTCTCGACAGTAGTTTTCTGCCCTGCTAGGGAATTGTGCACAACACCCAGAAGCTTGTTAATGTGAGGTTTTCGCGTCGCCTCGTAGATTCGAAATATCTCTCCGATCTGCTCCTTTGTAGGCTTGTCTTTTTGGGAGGGCGAAGATGGCCAGACGTGATTGAGTGCAAGATGAAGGGCATACGCATCATCTATCGCAAGTGATCCGCCAGCAGCGAAAGCGCCGCCATGTGTATGTGCGGCGTCGCCAACGAGTGTAACGCGGCTATCGAATGACCATGTTTCTAGAGCACTGCCCGCGAAGTTTGGAAAGAGCCTAACATACGGAGACGCTTCAATGAAAGCCCGTACGGTGGGATTCCAGTCCTACACTTCCAGTTAATTGGAATAAACGCGAAGAGATTGGAACAGTACCCACCTTGTACAGCTGTTTAAACTCATCCAAGCTCCCGACATCATCCCATTTTGCATCGTGGCCTTGAGCGTTTGGATCAGAAGGATCCGCGTGGAAGCCGCCGACAGTAGTGAAAAGGCCCTTCCCTACGGTCTAGCATCAGTAAAAATAGAACATCGACTTTAAACTGGTTTGGGCCTACCTAGATGAGAATGAAAGAAGTTTCTATCATGCCCGATCTGCATCATCGTCAGGTTCTCTACTTCGACCATGTGCGCGATTTAGGGAAGATAAGCCAACTTACCCAATGCGCGGCATCCTTAGGATAGTCAAGATCCTTGAGCCGAGATGCCTCAAATGTCGCGCGAAGCGCCACCCATCCAGTCCAGTGGAGTGTGTGCGTTGGCACGAATGTCTTCCGAACATTCTGGATTTCTAGTTAGCGATTGATATTTGCCACAAAATGATCGAGGGCATACGGAGTGAATGCCATCCGCGCCAATGCAAATATCTGCCTCTGCGGATGTCCCGTCTTCGAAATAGAGTGTTGCGCCTTTGTCTGGATTCGTTGTAACATCAACAGTTTTTTTGTTAAGATGAATGAGGTCCTTGGGGATGTTTTCAAGCAGAGCTTGGTGTAGGTGCGCACGATGGAATCGAGCTGTGAAGTGTCTCTTCTCTTCGACTGTTTTGTGCACGTCGTGGTCAATGATTTCTTCCGTTTTCCAGTGTCGGTAGATCATGGGCCAGGCTGACTCTTGTCGCGCGCACACATCCTCGGAGAAGGCATTCTCGACACCTAGTTTCTCGAGAGATCTGAGCCCATTAGGACCAAGCCCAATACTGGCACCGATCTCTTTAAACTCCTTGGCGCGCTCATAGATCTGGACGCTAACTCCCGGATGTTTGAGCAAAGCGATGGCAGTAATAAGTCCTGCGATTCCTCCTCCAGCGATTGCCACCTCAAACTTGGGGGTCCTAGAGAAATTCTCGTTTGATGGATCAGTTAAGTTTTGCGCCATCGTGTCCGCTTGTGATTGACTGTGAAGGAAATAATTTTGGATGCTCTCAGTAAACGCAATGTCAAATCGAGCACAAGTGACCATTAATGACTCGTGGGGGGATCCTACGGTTTAAATACCATCAAAGTGTCGTTTTGTTATCGGACCATTACAATCCCGGTGCCGGCGACATGAAAGCCAATACCGGCAAGGTCACTAATCTCCATGATATTCCCGATCAACGCCAACGGTCTGGATTTAGTCAACAGATCGCGCAATCGAAAAATCACACGCCATGTAAAGGTCTTGGCAGAGCCCCGGTCTATTTTCTGATGGTCTCAGCGAGTCCCTGTATGATGCCATTTATTCCACTGATTGATGGTGGATACCGACCTGTATACCCAGTTCCAACTTCCATCAGCCAGTAAATACCATCGCCGACCAATTATGGGGACACAAGCACCAATTATTTATAAGATTGTCTATGAGAGCATTGCTATTTATTTAACTTGCACTCATTTTCACGCTTTCTGCTATATACTAACGTCCTCCCCTTGCCCATGAGTGAAAACAATGTGTCCACGTGTCTTGGAGATCAGAGCATGGTGACCAAGGTTCAACAATCGAGAAGCGACCCAAAAGCAATCAGAACTGATTAGATGCGGGTTGATTGTCTCCTTGGATCAAAGATATTGCACAGGTTTTGAGGATTTGACTCCGGAGAAACTTGAGTTTCTAACAACCGATTCTACCCCTCCACTCTGCTGCGGTACTATTGCGCAACAGACTTAGGTGAGGCATAGAAAACAAAATTCCAGATAATAATCGTCCAGTTCCTATGTGTTTTTTTAATCTCCTTCTGAGACTTAAGACGTCCTTAGCAAGTAGCTTCTGCTGCCATTTGTAAACCCGATATGCGTACCTTGGAGGGTCGAAAAAGGTTGCATAGAAATCTAGATTGGGCAAAAGCATACGTGCATATTCTGGGAAGGTTTACCATCAAGGTATCGTGGGGAACCTTGATGGAGCCGACTCCTTTGTAAGATAAAAGTTATTTCTTTCTCTGTATTATCTGGGGCTTGGACCTGACAATAAAATATTCAAAACCCCTTCTTTGACCTTCCTCACAGTCCAAACCTCCATCACCTGCATAATTCGGGCATAGCTTACGACCCTTTCAATCCTAAGAAGTTCGATATTATGATGCAGGGTCTTTCGAACGCCATATCCACGGCATGGCCCTCATTGCACCTACAAATTCGTTCCCAGGATATCTACCGTCGGTATGCTCAAGGCCAAGATCCGGCAAAGTTATTTGAGAAAGCCACAAATTAGATTACGACATTGCAAACCACCACACTCGATGGAATGCAGCAAGAATGTGTCTCCAAGGAAATCCAGGAAACCACACTCCGCGCTATCTACGGCAGCAATATGATTGAGCGTGCAGGGCTTGGCTGGGAAATCACCGCCTCACTATGCCGCAAGGTCTTCGCTGGTGAGGATGCCGATGAGGTGTCTTTGGATGACCTCTATCATCAAGAACCGGGTCTTCGCGAGCTACCACCTCAGAATGTCCTCAGGGGTCGCAAGGAGATCGTTCAACACGCAAAAGCCTTCCAATACCTCATTCACGCATTCATCGTTGAGAATCAAGATCTCACCGAGGAATTAATTAAGACAACACACAAGATACTTTCAGAGGGTATACCAATTATTGAGCCAGATATGCCGGACGTTCCCGCAGAGAAATATGGTGGGATATATCGGACTGTTATTGTTGGTGCGGGAACAACGAATTTTACTGTTCCAAGCTTCGTTCCAGCGAAAATGAAGGACATGTGCGATAGCCTTGTACAAGAATTGGCTACGGCGGAGAAAGAAAACGTCATTGATCCCTTTTCAATCGCCGCCAAGTACTCGCTTGAGTTCGTATCAATTCACCCTTTCCAGGATGGTAACGGCAGAGTATGCCGCATGATTCTCAACGCCATTCTTTGCCGATATGCCGGCATCATCGTCCCAATTGGCGAACAAGCTGAAGAAAGGGAGGAGTACATGGATATTAAGAGGCGAGCAAGTCAGGAGATGGAAGGGCACGGCGAATACGCGACTTTCGTTTTGCAAAAGGCAGTCACGCGTCTTCGAGAGATGAAGAAAAAGGTAGCAGGCAAGGCAAAGACCGCAAAGAACGCCATAGATAATAATTGAGACCGAAGCTCCTTATCATCCTTGCAAGCGGGGTCGGTTGTTGAGTGGGAGCACGGCTCAAGCATGTCGTCGGGTATCACTTCCTAGGCCTGCGCGATTAAACTGGTCAGCATTCTGGTCATGTTGAGAAATCAAAGGTACAGAAAGGCGTGGGGGGTGGGGGGTGGAAGGTGGAAGGTGTTAAGATATTATCGGAACGGAGTTCGTGAGCCATATCCGCGGCGCGACGACAGTGGGTAGCTACCCAGCCGTTCTATCAACGGTCAAGGGTTGTGCGTGGATCACGAGTTTCAAGTAGATCGTTTTGGACTCAAGTGATCCATTTCCAATGCGGTTCAGAGTTGGGGATCAGTGGCGCAATATGATTAGAGAGGTCGCTTTGAGATATTTCGGTATCAGTGCTAGGACGCAGCAATTTACAACTTGTCCCCTCTGCAAATGGACCATCCATTTTCAATTCAGCGACCCCGAAACTAAGGAACAAAATAACACTTTCTTATCATCCATCCTCCAGTTTCTTACCAAAATCAACAACTTGCGGGCACTTCACATATCTTTGTTCCAGTCCCAGTTCGTTGGCATGTACCGGGCCATGATCTGATTCGTGTTTAAACTTGATCGCGAATGATGTTACCATACCAGATGATGACAGACATAATGACATTGCTATGGAATCAACAAGGTAGCACTCTCCAGGTCCGCTGAACAAGTTTTGGCACAAGGGCTGGTGATCCACGAAGGCTTCACGACGTGAAAACTTGGCTCTGCCCCTTGTTGAGAGAGATTACAGGCATGTTAAAAAGACCATATTCCTACGCCTAAGTCGCGCAACCCATCTTCCGTAGCTTAGACTAATTCCTAGAATCTGGAAGGAGCCCAATTTCAGGAAACTCATTCTCAAAACTTGACAACGACCTCATGATATACCACCCATTGCTCTCTTCGGCTAGACCTCCAAGAGTGACTCTTTGGGTCATCTACCCAGTCAAAGTCGTTATTCGCTGACGTTAAGTATAGATTGAATACGTTCCTGATGTTCCACGCACTTCTGTTTGAGGCGATCAAAATTGCACCGACCAACAGAGTCGACAGCTAGGCTGTCGAGCTCCCGCTGCACTTCCACCCTCCCTGGTGACATGAGGGCGGGATCGACCTGTTGCTTTCGTAGGCATCGCATCTTGGTTTTAAGCTCAAACTGCCGCTCATACTCAACTAGGTCGGCATCACACCCTCGACAAGCCCGGGCTAAGATCAGCAAGCGATCCGCCAATATACCATTTTGAATCGAAAGCTCATCCAGGAGCTTACCAAAGACCATTTCTCCGTACATGATACAATCTTCTGCATGCATTATACCCGAAGAAATCTCCGTGTGGTACGTGATGTTTGGATCAAGGCCTTGAGTTTCCCAGGTATATGATCTTTCGCGCAGCGAGGCCAGATAGGTTAGATGCCTCCTATAGAATGTGGCATAGTAACCGTTGACCTCCATGAAGTCCCTCATCCTTTTCGCATTCGCAAACGGCATGCTCTGCAGTGTTGCTGTTTCAAAACGTGCGTTCCAGACCAGGGCAGAGACAAGAACAACGTCGAAGTCGTGGTCGGGAACCCTTTTGTTAAGCAACTCCCAATCGGCCGCTCTAGAATCCTCGTTCACGAATATTGTAAAAGATGAGGCCATATCCACTCGTTCAAGTCGCGCGTTAGTATGTACGAATACCTTTTCTTCGAAAATGGCCCAATTTCTTAATGCCTTGTCAATCTCGCTGAGAGCAGACGTGGGTGATTCGTCTGCCATCATCGAAGACTTGATCTGTAGGTCATCTTCTGGTGGCGTCTTCTGCAGCCGTCTGATTTCCCGGTTCCTTCTGCGATTTTTGAGCTGCCGGACACCCCGCTTGCTTTGCGTGTTGTCCTGTCTGTCGGTGGGCTCATCTTGGGGATTTCCGGCCATCTCCATTATGTTTCTGTGCGTAGTGGGCGGGTATGCCGTCGACTAGCTTCGATATACAGTACCCGGAAGCTGTATCTCGGCTTGAACGACTCATTCAATAGTAGAGAGGTGTGATCGGTGTCTTATTTCGTGCACCTTCGCTGTGCTGAGTTTGGATTGATCAGAATGGCCCGCGAGTTGTGTGATGTTGACACTTGAGCAAGGCTGTCTCGGCAGATCGCAGCCAAGTCACTCTGCTCGTCATGTGATCTACCATTTCATAAGCCAATATAAGATAAGGCTTAGATATTTCAAACTGCTGGTAATAACTAAGTTTTAATCCACAATTCAAGCATTTCCTACCCAATACTCCCATAATAACCATCAAACGTTCCAGCTTGGAATAGTTAAACCTATATAAACACATAGACTGTACTTGGCCTAAGACGCCGAGCTCTAACTCTTTCCCCCCCTCACGTGTCATCTTTTGCATGAAGAGGTAATAATGCCTTCTTTACCAACAAGAACCCTCGTCAGCTCAGCTGACTCAACGAGCACAACTGCAATCGAAAACGCAACCTTCAAATATAACAACATAACAAGCCAAGAAATATCAAGAGGTTAGGGTGCCCTAGTACACACATACCCAGAGGGGGGACTAGAAGCTCAACAGTAAAAAAAAAAAACACCAACAATAGTATCAACAGTACAGACCATATACCCAGTCCATTCAAAGATCAACAATACACTCAGACAGACTAAGGTTTCTAGTCCAACTGGTTACCTTTCCCAATACCTTTATGAGCTGCAGGTAATAGCAAGCCAAGAAATATATATTGTTAATTGCGATAAAAGTATCAGAACAACTTATTATGCAGTAAGAACAACTGAAAGGATCATCGAAAAAGATCGAAGAGACCGAGAGCACTCTCTGAGCCATGGCCTTCCTCCATATCCAGATACAAAGTAAGTCCGTTTTGTTAGCACCTACGAGTTACTTGTGAGACCCTCGTAGGTGCCTCGCAAGCCTGCCATTAATAAGGACACTATCAGCAGTCCAAATCTCCTTGCAGGTTGTCATAGGCAAGAAGTTCAATATGATCGATCGATGATCAACATTCGCACATTCACCACGGGTCATGTAACCCTCGCATTCGCGTCCTTCCGTCGGCGGCCCGGCCTTTTCTTATGTGTTGAACTGTGGTGAGCCTGTAGGGCGGACACTGTCTCGAAGTGCGTGCCGCAGAAGCAATGGTATTGTCTGCCATCACATTGATCTGTGTCGCGGTACATCGGTTCAGATGGCGCATGAAGCGGTCCCAGCCCCTCACTTCCTCGTGACAGCAACACCTCAAGGGATTAAGCAGCTTGCCGGCTTTCTGGCAAACTTGTTCCCAATGGCGTTGTTGATCCTTCTTGTGCCTGAATACTTTGTGGCACCCCGGTTCATTGCCGTCTTTACATGGAAACCTAGGGCCGCAAGCTGAGCTTTCACAGTGGCTTCTAGAATTGGATGGTGAGAAACGTGGTTGAACTGGGTACGGGAAGAATACTGCCAAGACTCACTTCAGGCGCTGCGAGGACATCTTGATACCACAGTTAGGACAAGTCTGAAGCGCAGGCGTCAAAACATTGGCCAGTTCGCTGCCTGGTGCCAAGATGTAAGGGTTGGAACTAGCCGGTGACGCCCCAAGCCCTGTCGGGAGAGGGAGTTGAAATGCGAGGGAGGTTGGAGTGTTGCTTTGCGGTACAGCAGAATGGACGTGGTGGTGAACTTGAGACTCTTGCCCCGAAATTTCCTGGTCGAACTCGAATTGGATAGGTAGATCCCAAGCCTGGATGGTACAGAGATCAAGGCCCTCGAGCCAATCGAAGTTTAAGCGAAGATCATGGTTTTTTTCTTGAATAGCAGGCGCGCGGAACCAAGGTCCCGCGCGGCACTACCCGGCTGTGTACTATGTGATCTTGAAGCTGTCAGCAAATATATCGAGGGACAGGCAGATGATTGAACGGACAATCTCCCCGGGCAGCGTTGTGACGTTGGGGTGTGACATGTGGATGTAGAGTGGTTAGTATTCAGAGAGTCAAGAAGCGGGGAAACGGCGGGATAAGAAGGCAAAAATAGCGGCGCGGTCTCGAGATGAGGCTCTTCAGGGCCAATTTCGTAAGCCACAAGAACCTCTGAGTTTGCCTCGCTGACTGGTGCGCGGTCAGGCAACCAATAGAAACAGATAAGGCAGCTGACGGCATTGCAGGGCAGTATCGGGACTAGCCCTGGGCCAATTCTGACAGCCAAGTAATTCTGAGACAGATTGCCTCCCATTGTCAAGAGCCGATTTTCTGAGCCTTCCAGCCTCAGCCATACATTTCCCAACAAACACGTGCCACTTTTCATCTCACACTTAATGATAGGTCGATGTATGGGCCGTTTCCGGCGTCCTATAAATGCGACTAGGCCCTCAGAGGGCCAATTTCCTAGGCCTCTTAGTTTCAGTTGTGATATTTGCAACTAGCATGGGCCAATTTTATCATCGTGTGGTGTTGGATTACAAGTCTGGGCCGTTTTGACCACCTGTTGATACCCATCAGTTTCCTCAGGCCCAATTTCTCGAGCCACCCACTCCGGTATCACGAGCAGCTCGCGGTTACCAAGATTACTCTCACAAGTAGGTCAAGGTTGATAAGGGCTGATGGGTATTTAAGCAGTCATAGCCCAGCGATAAATATAAAGACGCCGCGCTAAACCATCAACAAATTCTTTGCAACTCTTTAAGATCCAATTCATTTTGAGAACCTCCCCAAAAAACCATGTCCTCGCCTACTCCAAACACCCCCCACCGCCACCCACGGTCCCTAGACCAGAAAAGCGCAGGGCTTCAAGCTAGTTCATCGTCAACTCAACCGGTCTCTAGCCGCCCATACCAAGTCCCCCGTTCGTGGTGTGAGCCCCCCTTACAAGAAGGCAACAAGAGACAAGACCCTACAGGAAACGCCATCACTCGTTGGCTGGCAGCACCGGCAAACGAGGAACCTTGGAACAATTTAGCCATCGTCTTCATTGACACTACGCAATCGGTCAAGCAGCAATCCGCTCGAACTTCTGGGCACGAGAACAGCAGCCTGGTTACAGAGCCAAAAACAGGAATGGAGGACCAGGGTACGAAAAGGAGTCAATAGAATGGGTTCGGTAACGGTCACGGTCACGGATATTAGGCGAAAGGCAATTCGAAGTACTCGACTCGCAACTTCAATTCATGAAGATAATCGAAGTCATAAGCCCAAAATACACTTTTCTCAGACCACCGCATTAGAATCTTACTCCGCGAGGAGACTTGCCAGACAATAACGCGACTCGGTATTCACATTCGCTCCTCTAATTAGTCCTATTTACTTTGAAGCAACTCGTATTCGTAGCTGGCGAAGAGGAACGGGGCCACGCCTTTGAGATCGTTCTCGAATAGAGGCATACTAGCATAGTACTGTTTATGATGTCAGTTTCGTTTCAAGGTAGAATTACCATGCAACTTACCTCAAATGTTCCGTTTGAACTCAAGCTACCGGTTTGCACAGTCCACTCGTACGCCAAAGCTTCATCGCGTCCCCGTGGTGAAGCAAATGTGTCAGTCATCAATTTGTAGCCGTCAAGTGCTGCCTGGAGGTACTTTTTTTCTTTGATATAGCCCATGCGGTGAGCCTTGAGCAATCCGTAAACGAACATTCCCGATCCAGAACTCTCAATGTAGTTACCGGATCGACCTTCCAGACCAGGATCCATAACGAGCCACCAACCCTTGGTCCTCTTGTCCTGAGCCGCGACAATGGCTTTGGAAAGGGATTTCAAGTATCCGAGGAGGCGCTTTCGTCCAGGGTGGCTCTCGGGGAAGTAGTCCAAGGTGTCCACAAGAGCCATAATATACCATCCAACAGCCCTTCCCCAAACGTGTGGAGAGGCGCCGGTGACGGGATCCGCCCAAATCTGAGTCTTGCTGACGTCGAACCCATGGAGTGGCAGGCCATTTGTACGCTTTTCAACCCTGGTTCCAGCATCTATGAGATCAAATTGCAGCGCAATGTCGTCCCACGCAGTGTTGTTGTTGGGCTCGAATTCGTGAGTCCACCGGGCGTAGTACACATCGAGCATGTAGATACCATCCAACCACATCTGGTCGATGTAGGCAGGATAGCGATGGTAGAAACCACCGGCAGGAGTACGACCAGTGCGATCAATCTGGTTACGAAGAGTTTGTGCGGCCGTTTTGTAAATCTCCTCTCCAGTGGCGTTGTAAATGTCGAGAAAAGTATGGCCAATGCGAATGTCGTCGATGGAGTTGCTTTTGTTGTACATCAATATGCTCCCATCTTGATCCGGGTACAGGAGAATGTCGGTTCCATACTTGACGTAGTCCAAGTATTTCTGCTTCCCAGTTCGCTCATATGCCAGCATGACGCCGGAGTAATAGGACGACACCGTGTATGCAAGAGTAGGCTCCACCCCGTGTTGAATTTGCGAGTCTGCCATCCATGTAAGGTATCTCGGCTCGCCCTTGAACTTTCCGGGCTCGATTTTTGCTGTGGGAGGAATCGCAAACCACCCGTTGGGCAGCGTCACGCCAGCTGCCATGGCTACTCCGGCCATTGCCCCAGTTGAGAGAATTGATGCCTTCATGATGCGCACTCAAAGATAGATGACGAGGAGGAACGGCAGCTTGCTGAGTAGGGTAGCAATTCCTTGAACCTAAGTAGACGCAGTCGAATCCTTAAATGCTCGCCAGCGGTTCAGGAACCTCATCCATTTTGCGTCCATTATGTCACCGTTGAGATGCTGGACAGGCCAATTCCTCCCGGGTCTCGGTCTTTTTCCACCAGTAGAACTGAGCAGATGGCAAATAAGCTCAGGGTCGAAATACTCAATCGGAAAAAGAGATCTTGTTGTCAGAGCATATGATGTGTTTCTGTCAATTGCTTGCGGGGTTGGAGGCCGCCGTTTGTGGGGGTGGAGATGTCCTGAAGATCTTCCTGCAAGAGGAAGCATCCCGACTTGTGGGAAAATGCGTCTTTTCATTAGATGCAGATTTAAGGTTCTCGAAATTATGCTTAATTTTTCCGGCGTTTCTTAGCTTTTCCGCTCCTAATTGACTTTTCCGTTGGCATTTTCCGATCAAAGTAACGTCCAGTGAGGCCATTATTCCCAATTCGTATTCATGCCAAGAGTTGCAATATAGCTACCCCGCAAGCAATGCCGAGGCGACATGGTTCTGTCGATGTATGGATGAAGGTTATCCCCGCATAAAACCGCAACCAAGGTTACAAGGTCAGAATACGCCGCGCGCGGTTGTTAGTTGTTTGACAACTTTCCCCGTATTGTCATGAGGTACCATCAACTATCCGGAACATCTACTTTTCATAGACGATCTAGACTGCGATGAATAGAGGTAGGGCCATCTATGTGTAATATGCTCATGGCCAGCTATATCTCGAAGTGCAAATGTATCATAATGCTGTGGTGGGTTGCTAAAATCCATTGGAAATGCCGCAGCGTAGTTGCCGTTGTTCGTATTTAGTAGAGCAAGAACATCAGCCATTTAAAGAGAGTCAATATAGCAAGGCCAGTGATAGTGTGGAGCAATTATATACTGTAAAATCGACATCTTTTAAAAAAAGAACCTAGTCGAACGTAATTCCATCTTGTGCCATCTCTATGAAGGGTTGAAGAGACTTATTTCGTCACTGAACAAGGTATTATGGGATCCTCTGAAGTTCTACCCGATTGTGCGTTGTTTTGACACAGCCATGACCCGGCTCCGCAGACAGGAAAGCGATTTCATCAGCGTGTGGTCTCGTCTAATGTGATATTCCGACTAATTCCAAGTGTCTGAAGCTCACTATCGTGCTCGCGGAGGGCGTCTTTGGAGTGGTCCAAGCTCCCACTCTCATGCATGCTTATGCAAATATTGTTAAGGCCGAAAGTCTTCACCAGATCGAGAATGCCCTTGCCCAAGAAGCGCGAATAATGCGCTCGTTGTTCCAGTGCAAGCTAGCAGTATAGGCACGAACTGGCTTCTAAAGAGTTTGCGCTTGAAGCTCTCAGCTTGCGATATCTAGACGTTGGTGGACGAGTATTTTGTCGAGGATGATCTCGCCGTGAAGGCGAAGAGGAGGTATCGAAAGGGGCTCGCCGGTATCGGAGACTAGAGCGGTGAAAGCGCCCGAGCCGCTGTTGAAACATGCCGGATTGAGAAACAGAAGAGTACGGTTGGTATAGCTACGAGCGAGAGACAGACGAGAAAGATGGGGGGGAGGGCGACTGAAAGAAGAAAACACGTGTGGACAGGCTAGGTTAATTGATGTGACACTGACCCAGCAATAATTAACGATCTGTGAGTATCAGGCGTTATGATATGGCAGAAACGTGAGGCGTCTGGGTACCTTTATCCACATCTATTTTAGGCTATTGCTTGTCGATGGTGGCGAGCATGGAACTCCAACCAGGGACTCACAAATAAACCTCGAGCCCAGCTTACAATCAGCGTGTGGAATTCGGTGATCCGGAGCGGTTGTAGAAAGATATAAATGCAATATATATTTCTTAATCCCTTGAGTCTTCTTTGCTCCTCGCAACCTGATCTGCTCACTGAATACAAAGCCTCCTGTCCATCCTCCTGTCCATCCTCCTGTCCAGCTTCCTTAAGAAACCCCGATCTAACTCAGAGATGTGTCGACTCCAGTATTTAAGACGACTCAACATTCGCCCAGTAAGCCTCATCTCGCTTGTGAGGGTAGTCGCAGTCGGAGCCCTGGCCCTTGCAGCAGAGATCGAATCCTCGGAGGTGCTCGGAGATGGAGCTGGCACGGCAATCGTTTCCGAACTGCCAAACTCCACCAAGGTCGTTGCAGCACTTGTGAGTGGCGCCGTTGTTAGTGCCGCCGTTGGTCCTGTAGCATTTGCAAGCGTCGCTGACAGAGACCATGGCAGCAAGGCCGAAGAGAGCAAGCTGGAAGAACTGCATGTTGAATTTGGTGTGGATGAGGGGCTTGTTTGGTAGCCGGTGGAATGTAGAGAGTAGTATTTTTGTTGTATTTGTAGAGGTAAAGATGTGAAGATGCTTGGTGATTAACCTTGAATTACGTGGGATCTCGTCCGGTATATATATGCTTCACAGGCGGCTGAATCTCTTTACTGAGGCGCCTCATTCGCTGTATTCTACTCCGTAGAGGGATTTAAGTTCAAAGTCGGTGTCATTATTTGCCGAAGAGGTAGGGTGTGTTGTTGGTTGATGAAGGGCGTGCTGTCGGTTGAGGCAGGGTGTGTTGTTTGTGCTGTTGGATGAGGTAGGGTCTTTTGTTGGCTGAGGCACGGGGCGGAGGGGACTTGGGCGTCTTCTCACTAATCCAAATAAGTTATTCTTCCTCTCGCGGTTTGACTAGCATCAACAGCTGATTGTCGACGCATTCCCTCGGTGCCACTTGGCTGCTGCGGCTCATCCAGCAGCATGACCTTGATGGCAATTGTACCGGTTACTTGATATGATGACTAGAATGTGTGCATGCGCAACTAGCTAGATACCTCTTCAGAGACGACAAAAATAAAGTATTAGAACAGGTTCTAGCTAGACCCTTTCAAATATAAGCCAACGCGTTCTGGACAATTAACCATGGGGATGGCGTCTTTCCAGAAAACCCGTGAGGATTCGGATAGCCCGACAGCCCGACAGCCCGGCAGCTCGGCACACGGCAGCTCGGCAGCACGGTCAGAAAAACATAAACTGGGTCCCTCATAAGAGGAAAGCCGGCAGAATTGGAAAAGCATGTTGGTTCTGCCCTGTCGTCTAAGCAAGTTAAAAGCGTGTTGGTTCTGCCCTGTCGTCCAAGCAAGCTTCTCCCCTGTCATGGTAGAATGAGGGACCCACTGCCCACTTCGACCAACAGCCTGAATTCGATCAGCCCCGAGAACGAGTGCTTCATCTCGCTAGATAAAAAGAATGACCGCATCCTAATGCAATTTTTTGCGGGTCTTCTGTTTGCTGAAATGGCCGTCTTCACTCTTCAGCCTTGTCATGAAGCTCACTTACAAGGCACTTGGCATCATTCACCCGGGCGATCGACCGCGTCTACCCCTGGGTCTCCGTTACGGATATGTGGAGCTCTGCTGATGACCAAAAATCTAACTCGCGGGGCCGCCGGGTCATCGCCGAGATCCCATGTACGGCTAGCTGAAGACGATCCCATCTTGCGCAGTAGTGGCTCCGCCCACGCCAAGCGAAGGGACGTCCCGTTCCGCCCGCCGCGGTTAAACGGTTTAATCAATTGGACAACGAGCGTCCATTTCGAAATGTTTGACTTAAGCCGGAGCTAAAGACGCCACAACTGATGCGGCAGCTGGCAAAGGAGGATGTATACTCTGTGTGAAAGAGAGTGAATTGTGTGTAGCAGGGATGGGATCTCCGAGACCCCGGGCCTGGTAAGGCTTATGTCCCTGAAAAAACCGCATTATCCTTTATTCGTTGACTAAAGGAAACTCGGCACGAATCACTTCGTTGAGGGCATCTTTACCTTCGCGAGACATTTAATCTTACACTCTTAGGCTGAGGGGATTTGGGTGCTGCAATATGATTGCCCATCTTGTGATCTCTTTCCATCTCTCTCTCGCTCTCGCTTTTGCAATGCATACGCCTTTTTGAACAATCGTCCTTAATCTAGACTTTTCGGTTGCCAGATGCTTATTAGTGATCGACTAGCTCGCTATTAACCTTCCTAAAAGCCTCAAGTGACATGCCCGTGCTCGTCAGCCATGATGGGACCCCCCATGAGGTACCATGGATCATAGCTGATCAGCCCCGATTAATCACGCTCGTATATGTAGGTATGAAACCATTCCAGACCGACTCGTATTAGTTGACCAACCAATAGCAGTCGCTATTTGTTCACGGAGGAAATGGTCCTGAGCTGTGTCGGTGGGGCACTGGCACAATGTCCGATAGCCCTGTCGCCTTGTCTTAATATTTTCTCCCCATCTATCCGATTGGTTCCTCCATGAATCCTTATGTTGGCTCTTTCTCTGCACCTCCAGCAGCAGAAAATTCCGCCAGTCCAATATCTCTTCCCCCAAGGTAAGGACCGTATGAGAGACCCGACTTCAAGCCCACCATAGACACCGATTGTGTCCGCGTCTCTGTTGCATAACCCCTGTGTTTACAAAGTGACTGCAAGAGAGAGCCTCGCCACCCCCAAAGATTTTCTGGTTTGATGATGTGGATCCCACGATCAGACCAGATCGATCCAGTCACGAGATCAGCTGGGGCGGCTGTGGCATGCTCAGTATTGACGCATTGCCTATCATCTAGGCGGTCAGAACTTGGCTCGGAAATGATCGGCTGGATTCTCCTGCCTGTCCTTTGCAATATTGCACGACAGTCGAATGACAACACAATTCCACGAGCCGTGGCTCCCTCTGGCTACTCCCCGACCCAATCTACTTCTACACGGTCATTATGGATTGCTGCTATAAGCATTCTCGCATTCTGTTTGTGCAGAGCAGAGAACATCATGGTTGCATATCTGGTAAGCGAGTGCCAACTGATACATCAGTGACAAATGGGCCCCTCCTCCTCAATGCTTAATGGACACTCTGCTAAGAAGCATCAGCCAGCATTCACCCCACTGCTTCTGATAGCACAGAAATATTTTGACCCCAAGTTCTTGGCTCCAAGACCCACTGATTCTTGGCTCTTCTCCGCTTATACTAATACAGTCTGGGGCATAACTTCGGCTGCCTTATTTGCTATTTTGGCGTTATCGAATTGGGACCTCCGAGCCTCATCTTTATCGATTATCCCTGTCGCTGTTTCGCTTCTCGTCTGTGTCGCACTATTACCTAGAAGTAAGAAGAACTCTCAATTCCTTCCGCTTGGTAATATTGAGGATTCTATTCGCCCTCTATCCTTCCGGATTGTACCTCTCTTCACGCTTGTACTATGCGTCCAGGCTGTTTGGTTCGGCTTCTCCGGGGTTCATGTTGCATCTACCCTGTTCTTAGGCGCGGCTAAAGCCTTGTCATGGTACTTTACAACTCGCATGGTACGTACAGTCCTTCATTTCCAGAATAAGTAAAGTAATCTTGCTGATTTCCTTTAATTACACATATAGGCCCTCTATGCTCCCTGGTGCATTATCCCCATAATCGCCACGTTCAGCATTGTTTCTACTCGCAATCCCTTTACGCAATCTTCAGAGGCACATGCTGTCTCGCATATTATCGCCGCTTTTCTTGTACTTGGCCAGGCAATCCACCTGCTTCCGAAGCAAGCGAAAGCTAAATCAACTCTCTGGGCTTTTTACCTTATTCCTCTGGTCCCGTACCTAGCGAATACCTTCATGATCATGTCAGCACAAGCCTCGGCGCCAAACTTCAGTCACACACAACCGCATCCTGTCGAAGCTATGATACGTAAAGCAGAGGATGACTTCAAGGATAAATTGCAAAGGCAATCGGCAGACTATACGAGTGCGTGTGATGAATATCGACGCAGATACAGAATGGAACCACCACCCGGCTTCGACACGTGGTATGAGTTTGCAGTATCGCATCAGTCGCCCATTATTGATGATTTCGATATCCTTTATGATGCAGTCTCCCCGCTTTGGAGACTGAGTGGCCAAGAAGTGGGTAGAATCATGAACGATGCCCAGAAAACAACGAATAGCGAGCTTTGGCTGTGCCTCCTTTCCGGCACAGCTGCCGAGACACATTGTACCCATCCTTATCGTACTTTCGATAGACACTTCCAGCTCTTATTCGACACATTATTAAAAAATCTGAAGGGAAAACTTCCCGACGTCCGATTTCTTATTAATCATCTCGATGAACCAAGAGTCTTGATGCCGCCCCCCGGCTGGGAAGGTTTGGACTCATCCAAGGGTGGTTTGCTCAATCTGACAAACATGTCCAAGCGACCTACTTGGGACACAATCACAAAATTTTGCGCACCTCAACCAAGCAATCAACCTATCCAGCATGATAAGGTGGAAACCTTTAGCCTGCCTTTTATCACAGACATCCACTCAGCCATGGATCTGTGTCAACATCCTGAATACAGCGCGACGCACGGCTTTGCTATAAGCCCTATGTCCTTTCGCTTAGTGGAAGGCTTTGTACCAATCCTGTCGACAGGTTCGCCATCTACAATGGGTGATGTGTTATTCCCAAGTCCGGCTTATATTGAGTCTGAATTCCAGTACGACGCTGCACGCGACATCGAGTGGGATCGTAAACGCAACTCTCTCTACTGGGCAGGTTCTACTACAGGCGGGTTTGCTGGAAACAATCAGTGGTTCAGCTACCACCGACAGCGCTTCGTGTCGCTAGCCCAAAACTTGGGATGGCAGCAGCATTTGTATCTGCGAGAACGGCAAGGGGTTATCAACACCATAAAATCGTCCTTTCTCAACAGTAGACTCTTTGATGTTGCCTTTACCAGAATCTTTCAATGTCAGAGAAGATCCTGCCGCGAGCAAGAGATGTTCTTCAATTCTAAGCCTTGGGCAGATAAGGATCAAGCACTCCGATCACGGCTCGTATTTGACATGGACGGAAATGGCATCAGTGGGCGTTTCTACAAGCTACTAGCATCCAAGTCAGTTCCGCTCAAGCAAACAATATTCCGAGAATGGCATGACGATCGTCTCATTCCTTGGGTTCATTATATACCTGTTAGTCAGAGCATGGAAGAAGTTCCAGAGCTTGTATTTTATCTCACATCGACGGAAAATGGTCGACGGCAGGCGAAGGTGATCGCGGAAAATGGCAGAAGCTGGTTTGCCAAAGCGGTTCGGGAGGTTGATCTAAGTATCTACACGTATCGACTATTGCTCGAGCTAGCGAGACTACAAGATCCAGAACGACAAGCCAGCTCACTGTAATGGGAGTTTTTGTGGTATATGAGAATGGCATGGTGGGAGATTGTAAATAGAACGACATGATAAATAAAAATAAATCCCCATTGGGTTCTGAGTTGTAACATTGGGAAACTGGTTGCGGGGGATATGGCCTTGTTCCTCTAAGTTTTTAATATGGTGTGTTTCAATTTCCTCTCGGCAGCGCTTGATGCCTCCTTATCGCGCCTCCAACAAGAACGTGATATGTAGAACTATTCGCTTTTTTAAGCCATACTCAATATCACCAGGAGACAGAATATGATTTAATAAAAAAAACAATAAAAGACCATTATATTGCACTAACTAAACTTCACAATACATACCTTGAATCCAAATCAGAGGACCCGCACGTTGCATACTGACAGTTTTACACTAGCTATTCCGTAGGCCCAACGCCTCTTCGCCCTCCCTTGCAAATTCACTCATCGCTGTCTACTCATGCATTGGTGAGACGGTCCACCTACGAGCTCCATTTGTTCTAAAAATGAGACTATCGAACCCGACTTAGAAGGACTGTTGGTGAGGAGTCGGATATCGACTGTTGCGTTCCCATCGGTGATTGGACTGGGTATTTCGGGGAAGTTTGCCGCCCCGGCCCGGCCGCCTATTAGTAATCTTGGTAGGAAGGTGTCGTAGCAGTTTTAGGTCACCCAACATCGCCCGAAACATCACTCATACATCACCAAAACGCTGTCCAAGAATGCGTGCACAAATCGAAACCCCCGAGCCCATCACATACATTCCTCCCCCTCCTCCAGACCCTTCGGACATCGAGGTCCCTGATCAAGATGTTCTCGACGACGAACACAAGGAGACGTTCCGTCAGGCCCTCAGACGCCTCTTATCCACTCCTTTGGCTGAATACACATACGCCCAGATCCTCGACGGGCTACCAACAGAGCCATCTCTCCGGGACTCTTATGTGTGGATGCCCCGCCATCCTGTCTACGAGCTAGAGCACACAGAGCTATGTGAGGGCTTTCTTGACAAGGCGCGTGACTTTATGACCAAATTCGACGCTTTCGGCTTGCGCTTCAAGCAATCTGTAAGCCAACTCATCAACACGTTTCTCGATTCACCAGTCTAGCTCTCTGGGTATTCAGTGGCTGGTTCTAATGGTATCAAACTAACCCGACATCTGTAGCTACTCCGTGCATTCCAGAATACAACATCGGGTTCTCAACAGTTTAATTTACGCCTTATCGAGCTTGTCGTCGTTGCTTGCCATCAAATCGCGGCCCATTTATATGAGCTGGACGACGGGGCTCACAAACACCAACTCCACCAAGACTGGGTTGATGCTGAGAGTCAAGTAACAGAGAAGGAGGCGCGTTATCGAAGCTATGCACTCACACCGACGGCTTTTTTCCACAGGTTTTATCAAGCCTATGACCAGTACCCTAGAGGTTGTGCGGATGTCGCAGGGTACTGGGCTGAGGGAAAGATCTTTGGCGGTGTTGTTGTGTTTGATCGCGGCGAGACGGAGCAAGAGGCAAGTGGAGCAGAAACTCTTATTTACCACTAACTTAACTCCCCCGGTAAAGCAGACTAACATGCGGCAGTGCAATTCCATGTGGATACATGGAAGCAAGTATAGGGGGCCAAAAACCCTCTATCCGCCAATGCCAGAGCAATTCGATGCCTTGATTAGCTTCCTCTTAGCTAAACCGGATGACGAAGTGCCGTGTCCTCTCCCCATATTTGGAACACGCATGAACCGACCACGCTGGGATGCTTATGACGCTATTACCCGATTTCACATCTTTCGTGACAAATACGAACGAAAGGTCCCGACAACCCGTCCACAGCCAGGCCGTGTCCAAGATGGTGCTGATTGGCCCGAGATTCTTGATGAACATATTGTCATGACGGCAATGCGTCATAGACGCTGGGGCAGGCCAGTCGACGAGGAGGAGCTCGCCGCTGCCCAAGCACGGTTGAAGGAGGTGACCCCTTCATCACCATGCTGGACTCAATATGTCCCAAATTCTGAACATGAACCACACGTAGATTGATTGATATTCATATTCCAAGAGTTCTATGATTGTATTCAAGGTTTTTTTCCTTCATCCTATCTCATCATTGTCTCTTTACTACCCAACTCAAGCACCGCCGCTGTATCATTTTCGAATATCGACTTTAAACTAGGACGATTGCCCCAAAGTCTCGTTTACTGTAGTAGCTTCTCTTATCCTTCCAGTAGTGAGGCTTGTAATGTGTACTTTATGCAGCCCACTCTGCGAAATTCATGTCGCAGCCTGTCGCCAGAGTTGCTCTAAACCACGTCCGGTTGCCCACCAGGCTCAAGAATCCATGCTCCAATGCGATTTTTGAGATGTGACATTGTTTCCTCTGTGATAAGTAGCAAGGCGTACTTCTTAGGGTTAAGTAATGGTCATTACTGAGCGCCAGTGCTCATGTCCGCCGATGAAGGTACAGCCAGATCTGAGTTGTGCCTGAACGTTTTGGCTCTTGCGAGCACCTCAAATGTGAGCATCCCTTTGATTGTGATTTTATTTTCCCCTTTAGACGGCGGAATGGGTTCGGTCTTTGAACGGGAGTTGCGGCTTTGTTGAGAACTTCGACAAGATTCGAGATTTTCTACAAGGGTGTATCGACACATCCTTCCTCTTTGCTTGCTGACGCCTGGCTCCGTGACGCAGCGAAAAGTTCCAAATTTCCGTGAGTGTGAGTCTTGGATGGTTGCATCTCCAAGCAAGGCCACGCACGATATCATTTGCCCCATGGTCAGCGATGCATACAGGACCACATAGATAGGGCTGCACCACTTTTGCACCTGACCAAAGCACAGAGAGGCAGCCTCGAGGGTGAGTCCAGCCGGCGAAGTAATACTGCTTTACGACGTGGGACCACTCGACGGGGAAAATGTGGTGGGCGCGTAAAGTCTCCTTTGGGTAGCACCAAGGGAACTTTGGGAAGATATCACGGCTTCGGAGAGGACCATGCACATTACGAGCCTTGGGCATACTCAGCCTCGACTGCTGAGAGGGGACTGGCTAACGCAAGAGTAAATAAATGAGACCCGTGCAAGAGTCTTCCTCGACCCATTCCATCTGTCGGTGGCTGTTGGTTTCGCTTGAGTTCACTGGGCGAGTCGAGGAAGGGAAGCTCAAGAACACCCGACAAATGTACCCCATTCTAGGTACTAGGCCCGGCATTTTGTCGAAGAGCGTCAATGAAAGAAAAATTGCGAAATATTGTCAACATAGAATGCCTAGGTCGCATCCACTCTCGGCGTTTCCGTCTGCTCGGCAAAGGATGACCAGCAACAGAGCCTCCCGTCATCGCGCCATGGGGGGCTGACGTGAGTTGGACAACAGGGCAGGACAAAGATCTTTTGTTCACTCTAGAAACTGCATGAGGAGGAAGGATTTGAGCTAGGAGGGCCCGTCACCGAAGCCGGTGAAGGCGATGAACCGCCTAAGTAGGCGATGCACTTTGACGAGGCAACCGTGGCCATGTTCGTGGCCCCGTAAGGCGAGACAAGGCGGCCTTGACGCGACCGGGCGTTTCGGAGTCCACATGGACCGTCAGTCACGTGAACTCCAAGAAAACTGGATATCAAATTAACACATGCGCATCGGAGTCTGGGTGGATTGAAGTGCAATTGATGTCTAATCTGACTGCAGTCATCTCAATCCAGCGGGGCTTTGGGAGGCCGCCAAATCATGACAGCACTGCAGTCTGCACCCCTCCTTCGGGCCGGGAGTACGGAGTGAGCGCGGAGTGATTGCGGAGTATTTGTCAACTCGTATCTCGTACGAGAGAGACGGAGTTGAGACGGCGTTGAGACACAACACCACAGAGAGGGGTAAAATATGCATCGCCGCACAAGGCTGAATCTCTGGCAGACTTGGCCTTGGACAACACCTGTCACAGAAGGGAATGGCGTTGCTTGGCAATGTCGCCAAGGCGATCGAGTGGGAGACGCTTAGGTGGGCAGCTTCTAGAAAAATTGGATGGGCTGGGAGCGGCGCATGATGTGCACAGCCTCTGAAGAATCCCCCCCGCACGAGAGGCTGGCAGATCCATTGAAGAAAGTTGGTGTCCAGTTTCGGTAAAGTTTGGAATCATCCCCCGAAGCGCCGTCGTCGTTGGACTCATCGCATACCCAATTGCAGCAAGAAACGCAGCACGGAGAGCATGTCACCGACATTACACCGCAACAATACCCCCCTGAATGGATGGGTTGAGTTGGTCCGAGCTGGCCGTAAGCAGAAACCGCCGGCCGACGGACATTAAGCAGCGACATTAAGCAGCAAACAACAAAGGGCCTTCAAACACAGCCACCCAATAGTCAAAGCTACCCTCTTGTTTGGTCCGCGTCGTATCACGCTCCAACCGTAAACACGTGTTGCTTTGCGGGTGCCAGCGCGTTTGCGTGCCAGCAAAGCGCCATGTGAAGATGGCGTGTAGCCAAAGGAAGTCCAGACGGCAGCTGGTACATGGCTGAGGTGAGGACGGGCGGTGGATTCATTCATGCGGCATCACGGGTGATTCAGCCGTCGGCTCAGTGGTAGCGTTCCACCAAAGAGGCCTGGAACCTCGCCCTGAGCCCACTGAGTCCACTGAACGCGGTCAGCCCTCTCAGGCCGGGAGTGCCCAGCGACCAATGGGCAGGGCTCGCAAGCATGCTGGGCCGTGCTGCGAGCTTGACGGCTTTAAGCTTGTGAGCCTTGGCTTGGCGCGATGCCCAAACGGGCGGGCCCATGTCGCTGGTCGCACAGCTAAGCAGCTCCCAGCAAAGGGTCCTCCTCGTGAAGATTCTCTACGGCGTACCGAAACCAAAGGGGGCGTAAGAATCGACGTCACCCCAGCTAATGCCGTCCAGGGTGGCATTCGGCGAAAGGACCAGTTTCATCGCCCCCATCTGCCATCTCACCGAGACAACGCGCTTTTCCAATGCAGCACGAGTGTTCCGCGGAGGGAGCGCAGCTCATCTCGCCCGACGCATCAAGATCAAAGAGACCAGAAACTGGTGCGTGCCACAAGGATAAAGAGGAAATAAGACGTGCGCCACTTCGACTGCATCTGGGGCTAGCGCTTCAGCTTGCACCCAGCTAACACGGCCCAAAGGGCACGATAATTCCGTTTTGGAGTCATTTTCACCTGGAGAGTCAGATGCAATTAGAACTTAGGTCCGGTTTTGGCGCGTACTGGTGTTCTGGGCTTGCAAGTGGCGAGACACGAGCAATGACCGAATCGTGTATATATGTGACGGGGACTTGCTTTCTTCCCTGGTGCTTGTTCAATCCTTTCAGCAGTCTTCCTTTAAATCCTGAAACGCCCATCGATTTTCTTTCATCCTAAAGGAAGAGCGACAGCCAAACACACATCCGTTCAATTCGATCGTCAAAGAGGCAACCCAGCATGCCACAACCGAGTGTGTGTGACGCCCTGTGACCTCATTGACCATCATCCACTTCCCGGCTATTCTGCTGGCCAGGCGACACCCACACAACCGCCGGCGTCACCATTTGGATTCCGCCTCTTCCCCAGAGTCGTTTGGTCATCGACACCTGCTGGCCGGCCCGTAAAAACTTCCCACTACCACTCGCTACCGCCCGCTACCACGGGGCAGCGAAGGCGAAGCTCCAAGGCACTCAGCGCTATTACACAACCCCAGTCCGGCCGTCCCCCGTTACAGCACCCCTTGTCCTGTAGCAGTCGCAGTACGGTAACTACTACGTTGATTATTACTGCGCTCAACCACGCCAACGCCAACACGCCCACCCAAGCGCGGCCAGCATAGGCTCCTTTGCATCAAGCGAAAGCAGCTACCCACACACAGCCCCTGTCGCTTCACATTCGCCCCTGCCCGCATCTGCGACCTGCGGCCAAGTTTGATTCATCTTTATAAAACGCGGGTCCCCGCCCTTCCGCCAGTGACAAACCCCCTGTCAGCAAACCACAAACACCCATTCGCAGCGCTTTCGCAGGACAACCGTCTTTCAAACAGTCTTTCACCGACTTCATCGCTATTCGCATCGCAGCATCTGGAATCCACAAAAAGCAGCCTATTTTCTCCGTTTTGTTATCGGATTCTCGCCTCTGTACTTTATCTGTGCAGACGCATCTTTGCCTGGGGTTGCTCTTTGGTCGCCAAGACACCACCCTCTCCTCCCACGTATCTCACAACCTTCCTTCCACCACATCCGCACCCCGAAACAGCCATGAGGTTCGACATCGCGCTCTTGGCCCTCTCGCTCGTGGGCTCGAGTGCTGCCACGATCATCAACACGCCCCGACACGTCGAGCGCGTCGACGTTACTCCCCAGAACGATCTATTCAAGCGCCGCGGTGGCGGCGGCGGAGGAGGTCGCGGCGGCGGCGGCAGTGGTGGCAGCAGTGGAGGTGGGCGCAAAAGCAGCGGACGTACCGGGAAATCTAAAAGCTCATATAAATCAGGCAAATCATCCGGCTCAAGCAAGTCCGGCAGCAGTTCCTCCAGTAGCGGTTCCACCAGCAAGTGAGTAGCGCTCCTCGCAAGATCCTCGATCCAACTCCACGATACTAACCCGCTGTCTCTCTCCAGATCATCCAACTCCGGCGGCACTTCGTCCAAGGGCTCCGGCGTCCAGCCCACCTACGGCGGTGGCCGATATTATCCCGGAGGAGCTGCGGTTCCATATCGTGCCGGTGCTACGTCCGCCCTCGGCATCGTTCCCTTCCTCCTACTCGGCTCCGCCATCGCCTTCTGGCCCGGCGTCTGGCTGTACGGCGCGTACATGTACCATTACGACAACCCTTACCGCTTCTATAACGCGTCCAGCAGAGCGAACGAGACCCGCGACGTCATTTGCGGCTGCGCCCGCTACGCTGTCTGCGGATGCGACGACAACAACTCGACCGCGTACTACGATGAGCTCATTGGCAATGGCAGCTACGACGCCCTCAACAAGTCTATTGTCAACGTCGCCAGGGTCAACGGCACCGAGACAATTCTCATCAACGGCACCCTCGCAAACGGCACCACCGTCGCGGGCGAAGACTCCGCCGCCGCCGGCAGCTTGCAAGCTTTGGCCGAGGCAGCCGGCTTCTGGCCTGTGTTGGCCACGGTCATCGCCACAGTCTTCCTGTTTTAGGCCATCAACCAACTCCCTTCTTTCAATGTAAATTCTTCGTCTTAAATAATTTCATGACCTTCGTAACGACTGTTGGACTTCCTCTCGGCCTTGGGTGGACCAAAATGGGGTTTGGTGGGACTCATAACCATGGCTTGCGGCTTGCTTGGCGTTATTACCCCGGTGGGAGAGGGAAGATATCCTGGGTCCCTCTTGGGTGGCGCTTTGTTTATTAGATTATCACTGCTTCTTAGATCACTCAATTGGAACAGGTTAAAACAGTCGTTGCTCGCGTCCACACTGCCCAGTACGTGCATTATGATATCATTAAGGCCCTTCACCACCCGTTCCAGCGCGGCCATACATCAACAATATCATCCTCTTTGCCTAACCTCCGGCTATCCACCACAAAGTACTTGTCAAATCCAGCTCCCGCGATGCAGGAGTGGTTCGGCCAGATTCTGAGCCTCTGCCCAACCTTCAGCGGAATCTCGTCCAGCGGCTCGCTCCGCCACCGCAGGATGCCATGTTCCTGACTCACTTTTCCAACCTGCCAACCTCCGTGCTTCGCCGGGAAGCCCTCGCCCGGGGCTGGGTTCTCAAGCCCCCAAGGCATAACGATGCCCCAGCCGGCGTAATGTTGGCCCTTCTCGGAGCCCAGGTCAGCGCAGGGCTCGCGACCCAACGCTAGGCATCCGGCGTTGATGAGGGCCTCGGTGGTCCCCTCGGGGCCGCGGCTGGGGTACAGGGACGCTACTTCGGTGAGGATGCTTATGGCGATGGAGGAGGCGGATAGGAGGGTGTGGTCGCGGGCGTGCGTTGCGAGCTGTTGTAGGTCCAGTGTGGGATATACGCCGGCGTGTACTTCCAGTTTGTAGCCCAGTGCCTTGAGATCCCGGAGGAAGCGGTTGATGGATGCCACCGAGCTGCTAGAGCTGTCTGGTGTCTTGCCGTCTAGGTCAGGGTGTTGGAGACTGGTCGCAGTTGGGGATGCTCCCACAGACAGAGTCAGGGTGTGCCCCGGGAGCTTTGAGACAATCGACGCGGCCACCTCTTCCAGAGCCTTGAACTCGGCCGCCAGGTGATCCAGCGCTTTCCAGTCCTCGCGGGTCTCGTAGGAGTGGCCCGCATGAGCATAGATGCCGTGGAACACACACTTGCCCTCTGTCTCATTAGCGAGGAGCTGTTCGATGAGCGTCTCGCACTCGGTCGTGCCAGGGACCACGCCTGAGCGCCGGTAACCCATATCTACTTTCATGAAGACCAGCGGCGGGAAGCCCGTCTTAGTTTGGATGGCTGCGACATGTTGGAGTTGGTCTGGATGGTCGATCATCAGGGCCAGTCCTCCGGCCCCGAGCTGCGTGGAGATGCTGCTGAGGCGGTCGACTGCTGAAGGGAAGAGGGGAAATGAGTAGAGTACCTGTGGTAGTTAGTTGGGTGATTTGAGATACCCAGGTGCATTTGGTGTTGGTACATTTACTTCGCGACCTCTTTGTTGGTACTCCTGCAGAAGGGGCACGACCTTTTCCGCTTCGAGGATGGTCGAGACGACAATGTTGGCGGGAGTCGTGTCGGCATCTCCAACTTGCCGCCTCGTGAGCTCAATCGTCTAGCCAGTCAGTTGATCGACTTGTCGTCTCAGTTGGAGCAAAGCATACCTTGTGGGTCTTGATGTGCGGTCGCCATCCTAGATCCAGCCGCTTGATAGCCTGGAGCATCCGTTCGCAATTGACCTCGACCTTGGCCAGGTCCAGCAACGGCGATGGGGTCGGCACGTCATGCAGCGTCTTTCCGACAAACTGCTGTAGTAGCTCGTGCTTGGATTCTAAAGCGTACGCCATTGTGGTGTTTTGTGGTATCTTGGTCCGATTGCCATGCGGGTCTAAGTTGCGGTGCTCGAGAAATAAATGCTCCAGCGTGCGGGTGATTAATTGTCCGCCATCTTTGACTCATGGCATCGTCGGGTATGGAATAGCCGACTGTGTCCATAATGGAGGATTCGTCTGCATGTTTGCTCGTGGGGTTTATGCGCTCAACTCTCTGAAAATGTACCTCCGGGCATCACTTGTTCCTAGAAGGCGTGTTTTGTGTCTCCACACAGGTAGCGGAGTCCGTGATGCGCGCGAATGCAACGCTGGCGCAATTAAACCTCATTTGAGGAATCAATAATCTCAATTGTGTCTCAATATATTTATTCTCGCCCTGGGTTTTATGCTGGAATTTTGCAATCGTCGTGCGATGAGGGATGAGTGTTGAGATGGTACACCACAGCGTGTCAATTAACTTACCCTAGACTAAACCGCCTTGACTTTGACATTGAATCCATTAGAAATTAATTCACAGTCTCGCAGGCTCCAGTCCAGCTCGCATTCCTGCCTTTGCCTGATTTTCTCCATCAGTGAATCAAACACCCCTCCTCTGTTATATCTCTGCGCCTCTGCGCCATCTGCAATTGTGTTTATCTCCTTCATCACACGCACATGCTCAACACTGTACCGCTATTACTCCTTTCACCTGCTCATTGCCCTACTTCACATCACGCAAAGTCTTGGATAATCATCTTGCTTTTACAAACTCAACACTGCGCACGCATCCCCCCACGATTCGGTTTCGGAGACGGGAACAAGAAGTAGTGGATGGTAGTATTTCTGCCTCCTGCAGAGTGCCATCCATCTCACAAAAATACCTGTACGCTCAACAACTTTCCGTCTGTCTGTCGGGCTTGGCAGCCCCGTTGCAGATTTACGCCACAACTCATTGTGGAGCTGCCCCAGCGCCACCGCGCACGCACGGACCACTTGATTTATTTGTCGTACCGTGTGCTCCTATTGGCTGACTCAGCATCTTTAGGCCGCCGCAATCCCCAAGCCGCGACCGTGAGCGCAACCGCGAATTCATCTCCACGTCAGTTCACGCCTCCCACCACGCTCACCACGACCTCATCCTCTCGCGCCCCGTCCCTGCGCCCGAACGACGCGTGTGGACGCCCCTTCCAGAGAAGCATGATATAAATCGACATTCTGCTGCGGCTTTGGACGCTGTCGAGAGGGAGATTACGACTACACGATCATGTCCGACGACCCCGAATTCTCGTCCCTGGACGAGGAGGCCTGGAAGGCCCAGGCTGCCGCCGACAGCCGCGAGATTTCACGTCTGCTTGAACAGAGCCAGGACGGCGGATCCAGCGGCGGCGGTCTCAAGCTCGACGACACACCATTCGACCAAACCAACAAGGCCGACGATGCGGAGGATTTTGAGGACATCAGCGACGATGACCTTCCCGAAGAGGAGGAGCCCAGCGCGGGCGCCTCCATGGAGATGCCGGGGCTGACAGACGACGGCGGAACCAGCAACGACGCGGATGACTTGTTTGGCGAAGGCGCATCCTCTCCGATTGATCCCATCCTCGGACCTCCCTCGCCCGCACCTCACGTACGCGATGCCGACGGCGGCGAAGACACTCAGCCAATGGACATGGGACTCAGCTTCCCCGGCATCAACTTCGACCCCGAACCTCACCTGAACGGCGCGAACCAAGACCCCGACATCCCCGCCCCCGCCGAAACGGTCGAAGATCTTCTGAAGGCCACCTGGCCAGCGTTCAAGAAGGGTTACGTTCTGACCTGGAGCGAGCTGCTGCCTGCAAAGAAGGCGACCTGGAAGGAAAAGAAGCCGACAAAGAAACCCAAACACCTTGTTACCAGCAAACTCAACCTTGACCTTGCCCCCGACCAGGAGAAGCTCTTCCGAATTCCCGGCGCAGCCACATCTGCTCGCAAGAAGGCGCAAGAAGCTGAAGCTCGGGGACTTGTGCCGTGTGGACAGAGCCAGGCCGAGCAAGCCGGCGACACCGTCCAGTTCGACGTCGACCAGGAATCCGATACCGAGACGATCGCAGGGTTCACCCTTCGTGACATCGAGCTGGCCTGCGAGGACTGGGGCGTGCACATCAACACGGTGGAGGCGGATTTCAAAGCCCTCCAAGCCGCTGAGCAGGAGCAGCTCCAGTCCAAGCACCGCCACGCCGAGGAACAGGATGATGAATGGGATGCGGAGTTTTTGATGGACATGGACGATACTCAACAACGCCCGAAGAAGCGCAAGGCCATTAAGCTCGGCCTGCCCGAGATTCCACGTTACGCAGCTCCCAGTTTCGACAACTTTGAGGATGCGACGCGCCGAGGCGCCAAGCGTGTCCATTTGGACATGAGCGACCCATACCTTCTCTTGGAGACCCAGGACTTCCAGCGGGCCGCGAAGAGGCCCCGCCAGGAGACGAAGCTGAAGCGCATGGCCAACGGCAATCTGGGCCGGGATGTTTCGCAACGATTCAACATTTCGAACGACGAAGCATACGAAGCGCTGAAGGAGAACCATCAGAGCAAGGTCCGCGCGACTCTTGGCAACATCTCGGTCGAACACAGTATGCCTGCCATCAAGCTCTCATGGCCGTACTACAAGGTTAAGCTGGGCGGTACGACTGATGAGTATCATCGCCCTCGCTTCAGATATAAGAAATTTGCTGGTCATGTCATTAAATTTGACAAGCCCAATCACCACAAGCGGAAGCAGATGAAGGGCAAGGCACACGAAGTTTTCCTGAAATCCAAGGATCTCAGCATCAACGACAACTCCACCGCTGTCCTTTTCGAGTACTGCGAACAGCGACCACGAGTACTCAGCAACTTCGGCATGGGCAACCGTTTGATCAACTACTACCGAAGAAAGGACACAACCGAAGACGACCAGCTGCCGAAACAAGAACTGGGCGAGTATCGTATGCTACTTCCCGAGGATCGATCTCCATTCTCCCTGTTCGGAACCGTCGACTCTGGTGAGACTGTGCCGACCTTGCACAATGAGATGTACCGCGCACCCGTCTTCAAGCACACCCCCCGCAACACCGATTTCCTTGTTGTGCGAAGCAGTACAGGCGAGTATGGGTCAAAATGGTTCCTTCACAAGATCGATCACATGCACGTGGTAGGGCAGCAGTTCCCGTCGGTCGAGGTCCCTGGGCCCCATAGCAGAAAGGTCACCAACGCTTCAAAGAACCGAATGAAGATGCTGGCGTTCCGCATGATCCGACATAGCGCGACGGACAATTGTCAATTATCGGACATCACTAAGCACATTGCTGAGTCGACCGACACTCAAAATCGACAGAAATTGAAGGAGTTTCTTCAGTATGATCGAGAGAGTGGCGAGAAGGGCATGTGGCGTCTCAAGCCTGGAGAAGTTCTCCCCGATGAGAGTTCGGTTCGATCCATGATCAAGCCGGAGGAGGTGTCTTTACTTGATGCCATGCAGCTTGGTATCAAGGAACTGGAGGATGCCGGCTACGACCCTCGAAACGCCAACATCGATGACGACGTCCAGGTCCAGGAACAGGATGGCGAAGAGGAAGATGCCGAAGACGACAGCAGCAGAGTTGCCAAGGGAGCCAAGAAAGCGCCAGAGAAGCAGGAAGAGACCCTTGCCGACAAGATGGCCCCATGGAAGACGACGAAAGCCTTCATTGACGCCTGTGCCCAGAAAGCCATGCTTCAACTTCACGGCGAAGGAGACCCTACAGGTCATGGCCTTGGTTTCAGTTTCATTCGGACGTCTATGAAGGGTGGATACATCGAGGCAGTCCAGGGACCCCTAGCCACCTCTGCAGATGCCATGGAACGCGAGAAGAGAGCCAACGGTGGCCACGCTTACAATGTCAAGAAGCAACAGGCAATGTACGAAGAGGGCATCCGCGAGATTTGGGAGAAGCAGAAGTCGACACTCTCTGACCACCAGGAGCATGACGATAAGGACGTTGCAGTGACAGAGGACGAAGACGACAGGTTCAACGTTCAGTCAGCCGCCACGCCCGCCCAGTTCGATGACGGGACCAGCCAAATTAGTGGTTTGACTTCGTCCAGCCGCCACCCCAAGCGCGCGATCCGCATCACCCGCGATTTCCGGATGGCAGATGGTAGTATCCAAAGCCGAATCGAGCTCGTTCACGATCCAGTCGTAATCTCGCAGTATATGAAGCGGCGAACAGAGGCGGACATTGAATCGAAAGAGTATGTGCACCCACCTAATCCCAACCAAGTCACCCAACGACAATCGAAAAGGAAACCCTCCAAGCCAGCACGCTCGTATGGTGTCGGCAGTCCTGGTTCACAGAAGGACATCATTGGACTAGAGTTCAGAGCATCAGCTTACGTTTATCTTGCAACAGCATCTACGCGTCCCGACCTACGGGTAATGCCGACCACGACCGTCTTGCGAATATTAGGTACGTTCACCAGATTAATAGCAACCTGAGCAATGAGACTGACAGTGTATTAGAATCAGAAAGGAACTCGAAAGACTCGAGAAGAACAAGGCACGACGACAAGCCCGAGAGCAGCAGAAGGAGCTGCATCACAAAGCTAGCGCTGGCGACGCCGGGTCCCCCAAGGTTTCCGGCGCGGAAAAGATCCCTACCGGAACCACCCGAAAGTGTGCCAATTGTGGACAGGTCGGGCATATCAAGACCAACAAGAAGTATGAATTCCCCTTTTTCACCACCCCCTCGCTTGTCGTTTGATTGGTGGAGTTGCCAAGTGGAAGATGAACCGAAAGGTGGAAGAAAGCGGAAGAGCGTCCTCCTGCAGAGCCTCGAGAAGAGTGATGCAGAATCTCGCAAGAAGGCGCAACTGCTAGCAAAGCAGGAGCAAGCCGCGGCCCGTGAACGGACCAAGGCGAGCAACGCTGCGAAGAAACAAGCAGAGGAAGAGCGCCGCGCAGCGGAGGGGAAGAGAAAAGAAGAGGAGAGGGTGGCAAAGAAAAGAGAGAAAGAAGAGGAGAAAGCCGCAAAGAAGAGAGAGAAAGAAGAGCTGCAACGAAGAGCGCGTGAGAGGAAGCTCCTGGAGGACCAGGAGAAGCGGCAGCGTCTTGAAAGGGAACGGCTCAGGCGAGAAAGAGCCAGACCCAAGTTCCGCTACGGATATCTTCGTCACTGACAAGCGTCAACCCTCACCACCATTTCACAACTTGACACCCTTGCAGAACCTTAACTAACTATGTGGCGCAAGGTTATGTCCTCTGCTCAACGGAACGATGAAAGCGGACAACGGTGCTGCGGAGCATGGCGGATTTGGTAACTACAACGCGCCGTCTGCGAATGCCGGATCACCAGGCTAAACGAGATCGAACGCGGTCGTATGCGAGTGGACTGAAACGACGGCTAGCCCCGAACCGAATGGCTGGTGTCACTACAATTACAAAAAAGGAGCTGGGATGTCGACAGGATGATGGATTCGATTGGGTATGGCCGCTTGACCGATGGTTCTCAATCGAGCCAGGGCAGGAGAGGATATCAGTTTTTTTTTCGTTCTGAGGATTGAAGCCGTAGGTACATGAGACTCGGCATTAGGGCAAGGGAGGGATGTATGAATGCATTGAATCCGGAGTTAAGGCACTATGGTTGCGGATCAGCCCTGCATTATTTTGCGGAAAGAATGGGGAAGGCCGAGCATATCCAAAAGGCTGGGGAAATGCTCGTTGAGTTTCTAAGTTGGCAATAATACCCCACACAAATACACTGTATTTTTGGCATTGTCTTGTTACCTGCCGGGTGATTTTGTGAAGACATGTTTCTGTCGGTGGATGACATTGGCTCGTGTGCGTTATGTCTCTCATGGTTTACCATCTGGACTGAAGTCTACCATTTCAATGCAGTTTTCATGAAGCTTCGGTTGGATCAAGTAACGGTTCTGCCCACCATCCGTGTCAAACATCACTCGTAGCCAGTCGGGGAATCTGAGGTCTTGTTCATTTCATTTCTTGGCTACTATCATCAAGTTTCTCGGTGAAATCTTGTAATCGAATATTGCCACGACATCTACATCAGCCGCCCCTTGCTCAACGAGAAACCAGTACCGATCTAGCGCGATCACGCTCTCAACGATCTTGCAACATAATATGCTGAGTGTCCATAAGATGGCAACTTTTCCCTTGTGGTCTTCATACCGCCTTTCATATTCCAGCATCTCCGCTGCTGATATTTTCTCTGGGTCGATACCGAGACTTTGCATGGCTCGAGTCGCAAACTTCTCAAAGCTAATGAGATCCCCTTTTTGGGTGCCCCAGACAGGTCTGTCTTCTGAGTCGAGCACTATCCCCTTGTCAAAAAACAGTTTCTCTAAAAGGGTCCGATAAAAGCGTCTCTTGGTGTAAATAGATTCATCTCCGGTCAGATCTGCTCTTTGCCAGTTATTCGGCGCCTGGCACCCAGTCATCAGCGCCGTGGGACTGAGGGTCACGTCCATGCTTCTTAACCGGGCGCTGATTGGGAATCCATCCGGGCAAGTGACTGAGCGGGGGATTATGTGGTTGTAGCAACACCCAACTGCTCCTAGCGATGTGATGGATGGCGCAGCCGCGAAATATCTGAGCATGTGCTCCGACAACTGTCCGCAGGCATGGAGCCCAACCAGCATGCACTTTTCTCCACGGGCCCATGCTTCCATCTCGCCTATGAGTGAGGCATCGCCGTCAATGTAGAGAACCAAGTGGCTAAGCCTGTCCTCAGAAATGCCCAAGGAAGCGGCGAAAGCTTTGGAGCCAGCAATCTGAGACTCGCTGCCGTCAATGGCGAGGACTCGGAGAGACGGGAAGAGGAAAACCAGCGAGTTGGAGAGGTACCCTTGTCCAGACCCCATGTCGATGACGTGAGTGATGTTGTTGGCTTGGCAGACGTTTCCGATGTATGCTGCAGCAGTCGAGACTTCGGCTATCTTCTTCGTATTCATCCGGATCTTGAGCGTTTGTGGCAATTCGACTTTGGGGCCTGGCCGCTGAGTCCGTGAAAGCGAGAGAGATTTGAGTGTTTGCAGCCATTCAGTCAAGGACTTCGGTCGGGTTTGTACAGGCAGAAACTCCTCCCCATTTTCGATTCGGTCTTGGGATATTGATTCTGCCCCCTCATCAATGCTTTCTATGAGGTCTTGTTGGGCCATGCGGTGATCGGGGAGTGAGTCCCACCAGGCCGTCCATTCTTGAGGCAAGGCCCCCCAGGCATCGTGTATTATCGCGTCATTGACATGGATCCCTCCGCTAATTTGGCGAATTATCGGTGAATTGATAAAGTTAATAAGACTGCCGGTATATTCTTCTAAGTTGTTGAATGAACTCGGCAGAAACGACATGGTAATTATGCATGAGCTGTCTTAGAATTGTCCGGTTCTTGTCAAGTCACGACGGTCCAGTGTATGCCAGGCGGTCTGACACGGCAGTAACAGGACCCGCAGTCTTCTTCGCCCAATGTCCTTGAGTGGCTCAATTGACCTTCGTTATTGTGCGAGACGATCTTTTTGGAGCGATTCCTTGTCAAATTATTTCAGTATCTGTACCTTCAACTGGTCACTGATGTATAATGATTGGTAGTGTTTGTAAGCGAGGAGTTGGTTTAAAACTTTAGTGTCTAGGTTAATCACAAATGAGGCCGGAGAGGGATGTCTAACGAAATGCTTTAGGTTCGTACATTGGCTCAGCTGCCATTTGTTTTCGTCACATTGCTTTATCCGGGACTGAAGCCGCGTGACTGAGTTACTTGGCTGGTTCGGGTCGTCAATGAAAACGTAGGCGTGGGTGAAGAGGGGTGGTGTTGTTGCTTGGTGCACAACAAAATCTAGATCGCGATATATTGGCCAAGAGCTGTTGTTTTAAAACCGCATTGGTCTCCTGGATTTGATATCTGAGAATTTGGTCCGTAGGACAGCCCGGATATCCATCCCTCTTATTCTTCTTGTGAAATTCATTTTGCAGTGCGAATAGTTTGTATGGACTGCCATCCCTTCTTATTCTATTTAAGTAACTATTAACCTTTGAATAGACTGGGCATATAGTGTAAAGTATTCTAGTTACAGATTTAGTTGTAAAATTTACGTATCGAAATATTGAAATTAAGATACGTTAAAAAAGTTAGATAGAATTTCAGTAAAAAGCAAAAAAGCTGCTTAAAACTTTAACTTAAATTTTAGTAACTGTAATATAAATAATAAAAATAGAGTAAATTCAAATGTTAGATTTCCCAATTGAAGAACTTTTACTAATATATATATATCTATTTTCTAGATATAATTCTTAGCTTGTTAAGTTGCTAGCTATTTATGTAGTCACTACCACCTCTAGTAAGGAACACCACAGGAGCCCACAAATTGATTCCCTGCCACTATACTACCGCACGGATGCGGCACATTGTCGCTGACCAGCCACTTAAAAAATAGAAGCGCTGCCTTGCTAGCTTCCTCTGACCCTATAAAGGTGAGTGCGACGGAACCCTTGCGTTCAAAAATGCAAAAAGAACTTGTCATGACCTTGTCCCCGTTTTGGTTTCTGACCACGTCTGGTATCCAATGCAGGGTGTACCCCCAAGCCGATCTGATACCATCCCTCTGTATGTTATCCGCGAGAGGAGGCCTGTTTAATACAATGGTGAGCCTGTAGAGCAGAAGCTGCGACGAGATCAGTTCCGCCGGCTTGTAAGACTTGCTGCCACTTGGGATGACACCATTTTTGTTGTGGCCGATGCCTCGCGTCCCGGGTGTGGTGTAGAGCCCATAGTTATCCCACTCTACGTAAAGGCTGGGATCCCTGAAGTCATTTGTGCGGATATGCCACGCATCATTGTCCGTATCACGATCCACACTTATCCACCGCTTCAGGAAGTACTTCTTGACCTCACATGGGTCGGCAAAGATATCGATCTCAGCTGACTCCGCCTTCCCGTGTTCTCCGGAGTTGGAGGACTCGTCGCAATCACCCGAATGGGGAGGATCGAGCCGACGGTGGGTGGCCAGCCTCCGATCTGCAACAGGCAGACGTCGAAAACCCAGGTGTTCCAACAACAGCTCTTGGGCGATTATGCTTTGCGATTCTGCATTCAACTGGCTGTACAATTTGAGCATTATGAACGCGGGCCATCCATCGGGTCCAATGACTCCATCAATCTCCCGATCAATCTGCCAGAGAGTTAATCGTGGCCGAATGGTAGGGCTAGACTCGGCGGTGTCCGTTGCGGCTGGAAGTTCCGTTGCCATGGTCTGAGTAGATGATTATTATCTGCGTCGGTACGAATGAGATAGATGTGATAGATGCGTTTGAGTCGAGGCTGCGTTGGGTATTGGGGACGCTCAAGGGATCAAGAGGGTTACCTTGGCGGCGGTGATGAAGGAAAGAAGAAAAGAAGGGTCAAAGGCGGGAGAGCTGGGAACTTTGTATCCCCAAGGGACCGTGAATCATGACCGGAAACCAGCCGCCAGATACGTAACGGTTGTGTCGTTCTCAGGGGGAAAGAATATTAGGAAGCAAACAAAGGAGAGCATCTTCTTTATTCAAGACAGCGGGGTACAAGCCATTGGGATCTTGTGCCATGTCTCGTCGAATCGCTTGCTGTTTGCCAACAAAGGAGCCAACACAAAGAGAAGCGCCCTTCACTCACGGTTGCCTCTGATGGTAATCGCCGATGATCTTTGATGGTCTGCTTTGCCACGAACAAAGCAGATATTCAGTGCTAGCTCTTGGAGCCCGGGTCACATGAGGCCGGATATCTGGTCAGTATTGGTCCGTCTTTGAGTCTTTACCCTTGGGTGTGTGGGCCAGAGTGAGCAGAGGTGAGTGGGAGGGAGCAAGCAAAAGCGGCATCGTTTTATAAAAGCAAGATGGCTCGTCGGGTTCGGATTGGGATCATATTGCATCTATGCCAGACCTCATCACAAATAAGCATATACTATCACTATCCAACTTTCTCGTAGTCTTCACCAGCGAAGAACCACATATAAAGTACAACCAGCTTGGGTAGCTGCTTAACTTCCACTAAGTATAGGGCTTTCTTGGCGATGAGCACTCCGGCGGCAAGGCAGCCCTCGACGCACAGCTTCTTGTGTGCCCCAAGCTCGACTGCGACCCTCGACTGCGATCTGCGAAACACGCGATGGAGCGTCATTGGCGCGTCATGGGCGAAATCAAAAAGGCTATTGTCGTCTGCACCGCTTGGGATAACGACCAAAGCCTCTATGAGGGCGAGATATTTAGTGGTCGTTGAGAGCTGGAGGCGAACTCCGTAGGTGCCCAGCCTCCTTTGGAAAGCTGAAACCAGGCTACTCGTCACATGATGCGCAACTCCTCTTCGCACTTAAGCTTAAATGCTATGCAGCCTATTTAGCAATACTGCCCTACTCCACTGGAAGTTTAATCACTATATAGTCGGATTGTTTTTAGGATATCTTGTAAGTATCGGCTTGTCTATTTGGGGTGACTAATGCCTGAGGATGGACGACTGCGTGACGGGAGTGGGAAGAGCCGAAGATGGTGACAGGTGCATTGACAAAGGAGGATCGGCATCCCCAACGCAACAACACGTGGAAGACCCGGGGATGTTAGAGTCACGTAACTTGCAGGTGGGCCAAGGCAAACAAGAGAAAGACGGACACGGACACGGGAGTTTCGGGCGTGCTGGAGAGGCAGTGCCGGATACGGGCGTTGCGTGATGAGATAGTGCAGCGCGGTATAGGGCCGTGTAGTCAGAGGGTTGGGATGCGGTGAAGGGGCTCTGTGATGTGTGATTCGTGATTTGTGATGTGTGATGTGTGAGGTGTGTGTGGCCGGTGGTGATAGTGGCACCGGTCAGGGTGCCGACGCGGGCTAATGCAGCAAATTAGCCCCATTTCCTGCAGCTTCGAAACGAGGCCGACGACGCTGACGACTCAGAGGCCAGATAGCTGGACGAGTTGTGCCGGTTAGGTCGGGCAAAGGGGGCAAAGCGGGCTAATTGGCCTGGAAAGGTGGGTGCATGACGGTGGGATGGGGGGATAGGATGGGCCATGAGGCATGGGATGGGCCATGAGGCATGCGGGAGTGGATGCGGATGGATGCACATGTGGATTGTGAATCGCGGATGTGGATGTTGGGGCCCTTGGCTCTGGGTCCGGGATTTGGGGGCCGGAGTATTTTTAGAAACGGGAGCGAGGGACGGGAAAACCGGGACACACCTTTTCGAGACGGCCCAATCGGTCGGTCGGTTCGGTCTGGATGGAAGGCTGAGGTATAACGCGGGAGTTGAGTGGTTGGGCACAGTCGAGGCCGGCGCTTAGGTGAAGGAAGAGGCTGTGAATGGACGGCGGGGGGCTCATGGGAATTGCGGATGACGGTGAGAGCCATGGCATCGGTGATGTTGTATCCGGCGAGGCTGGGGACGTGCTGGATGAAGCGTACAATGTATGATGGCACTTTGGGGTAGAGGGGCTGGAAACCGTTTCTGCTCCGGTTTGGGACCTAACCCGGTTGCGAGGTGATCAGTCAGTCCAGCGCTTCATGAATCATCACTGACGATTCACGTTGGACGCGACATGGTTCGACAAGTCTTGGGATACGAGCATTGGCAAATGCGGGATGAGTGCTTGCAGCTGGGATGTCGACGACCCAGCTGGACACATGACAACTGGCTGCATACTCGCGGCCTAATTAACAGGCAAGCAACGTTGCTGCAAACCATCCATCCATCCATCCATCCACATAAACCACTTCCCCATCCATGCGTGGCAGTGGCAGAGCAGCACACAGCGGGGAGGCCAGCGAAGCGGAGCGGCAGTGAGGCTCAGCGATATCGGACCAGGGTTTGAAACAAAACATCTGCGGCTGGCGATTGGTGTGGTAAGATGTCTGGCCGTCTGGCTGTCTAGGACTTTTAGTCTTTGCTTTTGTTTCCTCTGCTGTGCGGTGAGGTCACAAGAGAACAACAGCCAGAGACGTGGGTGTGCGTCTGTCCGTTGCGCCTGTGTGGGCGACGGTGTCTCGCTTCTGGCCCGGCCCACCAGCTAACGACAACCGGAGTGCATTGTCGCCTAAGCGCAAAGCCGCGCGTGAGGGATTGATGGATCCCCCCCTCCTACACTCTACCTGGGAAGGCGAGTAGCATCACCATGATCCGCGCTCTAGCCTGGACAGCGTGTCTCCTAGGCTCCTTGGCTAGCTCTGCACGGGGTGGGGGGGAATTAGCTTCGAGGAAACGGCACTCGAGCCAGGACTTGGCCAGAGCTCTCGGAATGTTTTTTTTGTGCTAGATCTCGAGGCGAGGGAGTGTGTAAGTGAGAGGAGATGATGGGGCGGGCTTAGGAAGGGAATAGGAGGTTGTTGGAGGGAATTGGGAGGAGTCCACGGTGAGACTGACAGACGGCCGGCATGGGTGTGACTGCGAGAATGAAACGGAAGCTGAGGAGAGGCTCCAGCTGCTGCTTCAGCGTCTCTCATGCATGATCGACAAAAGCCAAGCACACGCAGCAACATGAAGCACGGGAGTCCAGGGGCGTTCCCTGCGCTGTGTTTGCCGCGCTGTCTCGGCGCGGAGTCTCGAGCACGAAAAAAACCAACCCAGCAGCCGATCCGGACGAGGCTGGGAGATGTGCAGACCCGGTTCAACGGGTGGTATTCTGCCGAATGACTCTTCCCGTCCGTGACACGAGGATAACCCTCGTCCTTTTCTCGTTGCGGACGAGAAGCCAGCGGGCTAAAAGCGGCCTGGTGGCTGGAGGCTGGGCTGTGCACTGCAGTAGCCCGGCAGGTCGCCGCCACAGAGGCCCGTCAGTGACAACATGTTGGGCGGAGGGGGACCCTGAGCGTTGAGGGATCTGAGGATGGATTGAGACAGGGCCTGGGGTTTGGGCCACGGTTCTGCAGCGTGAAGAGAGAAGAAAAAGCCGCCGATCTTTACATTAACTTATTTATTATCTATTATCTATTATCTACCTACCTAAGGTAGGTAAGTAGGCACCTATCCCCTTGTCCACTCCGTCGAACGGCCCCGCTCGCTGTTAGTTAGTACGTACAGTACCTGCGGTGCAGCACACACAGGTCCCTACCACGCGTTGGTGTTTTTTCCCTCCCCTTCCATGCCGACTTCTTTTTTCCATCCCACTCGTCGGCCCCCTCCACCCCCAAAAACCCAAATCCCAAGTGAACACGATCTGTCTATTATTAGAACCCATCACCCCCCCTCCCCTCCCTTCCCAAAACCAAACGCCAGATTCAGCCCCATTCGCATCGCATCCAAACCATCGCAGCGCAACTCGCATCGCGCATATCGCATCCACTCAGCGCAGGGCCGGTCGTCATTGCCGCTGTGCCGCCGCCGCCCGCTGTCGACAGTCGCCGTCGTGCGTCGGGGAGTCTGCGTCAGCGTTTGGACGGGGAACCGTTATCAACCACGCAACGCTGAGAGGGATCGGCCGTCAGCTGTAGACACAGACACTGCTTTGGTTTCCAGGCGCATTCGCATTCACTGCTCGAGCAGGTAGCGCTTCCTCTGCTCTCGTCTCCCGCGTCGAAACACTTCCCAAGGCCTGGAAACACAGCTACGAAAACCCAGCTCCAAAGGGACCGCTCCCCTTTCAGCTTTCAGGGCTACCGACCACCGACGTCCTGTGCTGTGTGTGCCGGTTCTGCCTGACAGGTTCAACCAAGTACAGGTACCCGGCCGAGCTTGGCCCACGTCCCAGAGGTACCCCGTCCGCGCTACGCCCGAGGTACCGCCCCAGCCTACCACAGCAGCCGCGTGACTGCGCGTGCAACGGCCGCCGGGTCCCAATTTCCCGGGTCCCACGTCGTGCCTTGTCCCGGGCCGTCGACGCTTTTTCCCTTGGTCGCCTCTTTCATCTCGCATCTCGCTCGACCTTTTGTCCCTCGGCCATCCTTCATTCTGGCCTGCGTCTTGTGCCTCCCTCCACCTTCAAAACCCTCGACGCCGCCGCCGCCGCCTCCGTCATTCGACCTCCTCTGCCCCGTCCCGTCCCGTCCCGCCTCGTCTCGTCTCTCTCTTGCCCTCGTCTTGCCGCTCCCGCCGAGCGTCCTTCGATACCCGCGCCCGCAGCGCACAGCCAGGCCTCACTCGACGTCCACCTCGCTTACGTCGCCAACCCTGGATCCTCCAAAGCGACGACGGTCGAGTCAACCCGTGTGGCGCGACGCTCAGCTACACCCGTCGGCGCTCCCATCGTCTCGTCCCGCGCCGCGCTTTTGAAGCCTCAGACACTGTCGACTTCCATCCCGCCGCGTCCCTGTCTCCTCCGCCGCCGTTCCGTCCCCGTCGCCCCGCGTGGAGACGCGACAGCTAGCAGCCCGTCGATCCAAGACACCCACAAGCCATCACCATGGGGCGAAGAAAGATTGAGATCAAAGCCATCAAGGATGACAGAAATCGTTCTGTGTAAGGCTTCTTCCCTTTTCCCAACCCATGTCTCTCTCTGCGACTCGACGCTAACTTTGCGCGCCTTCCGCGCCTTCAGCACATTCTTGAAGCGAAAGGGCGGTTTGTTCAAGAAGGCCCACGAGTTGTCCGTCCTCTGCTCCGTCGACGTCGCCGTCTTCATCTTTGGCAACAACAAGAAGCTCTACGAATACTCGTCGTCTGACATGCGAGATCTCATCACCCGGTACCAATACGTGAGTTTTGCGCGCGTCAATCCGCACCCACCACGGCCTCTGCGCCCATCGCTTCGTCCGCGACCAGATGAAGACATGATATACTGACAGTTTGACAGCATGGCGGTCCCAACGAGCACAAAGGACCCGCCGATTTCAACGGTGGCAATGATGAGGATGAGGAAGAGGAGGCCGACGGCACTCCTCCCCACGCACCCGACGAGATGAACAACCAGATGATGCCTCCGCACTTCCACGGCCCTCAACCGCCATTCCCTCAGATCCGACACCACACGCCCTCGGCATCACCACCAATTGGCACCAACGGCGGTCACTTCCAACCCCATCCAGGCCACCCGGGCCACCCAGTTCAACGCGGCCACACCCCGCAGCCCTCGATCGGATCGCGACCGGGCTCTCGAAACGACATGCGCCGGATGGGTCCCGGTCCCATGGTCTCGCAGCCCGGGCCCCCACCCGGTCCGCCGCATCCTGGAATCAGTTACATGCCCACGCCTCCAATCTACAACCCTCCTCCTCCCATGATGGCCCCGCAGCAGGCGCCGCCGTATTCCTATGGACAGCAGCAGCAGCAGCAGCAGCAGCAGCAACAGCAACAGCAGCAACAGCAGCAACAGCAGCATCAACATCAACATCAGCAACAACAGCATCATCAGCAGCCTCAGCCCCCTCAGCCGCCTCAACAACATCCCCAACATCAGCCTTACGCAGATGGTCGACGCTCGCCAATGCCTCCCGCCTATTCCTCGCACCCGCCTTCGCACGGGATCCAGGCACCCTCGCGCCCCGAACCGTCGCCTCAGCCAAACCACCAGCAACTGCCTCCCAACCCCCCTATACCGCACATCTCACCTCCGCCACCGCAGCCCCCACAACACCCATTGGGTGAGCGCCGACTGCATGACCCCCCGCCACCTCCTCCCGTGGTACCAAAGTCTGAACCCATGGAACGACCACAGCCACCACTGCTCAATACGGACTCGGCCATCAAGAAGCTGCCGCAGCGTAAGTCACACAGCATTTTTACGCCAATCGAGGAGAACCGATCGATCCTATCGCAGCACCTGGCCTCATTCGCCTCTGAACCTATCAAAACGGAGTCGGGGGCGGCTGCTGCTGCGGCCAATGCTGCAAGCCGTGCACAGTCAGTCGATATAGCCGCGATAAACCGCGCCAATCATAGCACCTCATCGCCTCCCATCCCACCGCCGCGGGCCAACACGGACAAGACGCGAACTACGTCCATGTCATCGATCCCAGAGACGACTCTTACTCCTCCGTCAAGGTCAAATAGTCTCCAGGTGGTCGGCGGGGCTCGGCCCCGGGGTCCACGCCTGACGGTGCAGATTCCGGCCGGCGCTTCCGAGGCTGGGGGAAGTGAGACGGCCGAGTCTAATTCGCCGCGAAATCCCGCCGAGACTACGACTCAACCGCCCCAACGACATAATTCCCAATCATCCCTAGTCCTGCCCCCACCGTCCCCGTCCGCATCGGCGCTGCTGTCTGCTGGAGCAACGGGTCCTCCAAACCCATTTGCCCGACCGCCTCCCCAGCAGACTGTGAATGGCGGTGATAACACGCCGGTGTCGGCTTTGCCATCACGATTCCTCAACAACGAGTTCCTTCCCAGCCCCAGTAGCTTCTACCCGGATTGGAACTTTAGGGGAGGAGACAATAACACCCTGCCAAGCCCGCTGAACTTTGCCACACCCGTGGTTGGGTCAGGGCCTAGCTTCTTGAGAGACGACGGGCCAAATCCCAACTCCACCCCCAACAACTCCAATTTGAGCGTCAGTACGAACAATACTGCAGCAATGAAGCGAAAAACGCCAGAGTACGGTGCCACGAACCAAAGCGAGGCAGCGGAGGCGGCAGACGCAAAAAGGGTCAAAGTTGAATGATCTACAGCCGACTTCAATATTCCTATCTGTCTGTATTGATTGATGTTCTTGCGGTTTGACGCAAGCACCACATTCCAAGCGATGTTTGCCTCTTTGTTTTCAATCTTGGCTGCATACACGAGGGGCTGGTCTCTGGCATGTTGCTGGTGTTAGCACAGAGGCTGCTGCTTCACATTTCCTGACCATTTCATATCTATGCTCACCATCAGAGTCACATTTTTACTTCTTTATCCTTCTCACATCTGGGTGGGAAACCAATTTGTTTCGGATCTATTTTTACCTCAGAGAGGCGTTCATGAATGGTGGTGGAATTCGCTTCTCCCTCTTTGATTCTGATACCAGGATGTTTTGAAGAAGCCTGGAGGGCTCGTTTGGAAGACTTGGGTTCGCGGCCAATCCGCAGTGTGCATGGTATATCTGTGACAAGATATGGGAAATCGTTCGTGTTGGGACATGAGTGACGCTAGGTTGGGTTGCTATTTTCCGGTGTTGGGCGGGACTTGGGTAGATTATACCGGCGACGTCGATATTTCTTTTATAAATCTGTTGAGAAAAGATTGGTTCATCTCCAAATTTGACAAAAGTTTTGCAATTGACAACCTCTGGCCTTGATTCTTTAAGCTTGACTTGAACTGATGGCCATTAACATGCTATCTTTGAAGGAGGTGACGCCCTTGACTACTGACACCGAGGGATAGGAGGGCTCCATAGACGCGAATTCCGCACTGGCTGCCTAGCTAGGTTGCGTCTTGACTAGATTCTCCTTGAAGTGATGAGTGGAACGAGCCATCTCTTTCCTGCCGTGCAGAAAGACGGTCTCGGATAAGTTGGACTCTCGCGCGATCATCTGCATTTGCCCCGGAGATGGCGCGGGATTCGCTCTCTTGACGACAGCGAGCTGGCTGCCCTTGAACCCAAAGGAAAAATGTCAGAGCTCAAGTATACGGAGGATAAAAATAGTTCCCCAGCGATGTGGTGGAGTCGCGAATGAGATCTCGGATGACGTACATCTTCCGCGTAAAGACGTCCAGGGTCACTAGCGTCACTGTTAGAAGCTGTTTCTGTCTAAATACTGGAGCAAGGAGGTTTATCGTAGGAGGGTTCGCCGGCCGACATTTTGATCAGTGGCAGTAGGAAATGATTCGTTCGTTCGACAACTTCATGGTATCATGACAGCTCCACAGAGTATAATTTGCGATCGATCAACTACCTAAGGGAAGCAATATCAGTAAACCCTTACTTTTAGAAATAAGAATTGAACGTTAGTACATTACCTAGGTACTAAATAATAAAGATCTGAGGGCCTGGTTAGATAGGTAAGTATTGAAAGACACCGCCTACGCACTGTAGCAAATGGCATTTCAAGGTGTGGTTTTGATCGTGGAACATTTGTCACCCCATTGTATCTACAAGTTGCTACCTGGGAGAATCATCCCTAGTCTGTCCCTCAAAACGGTCTCCGCTTCCCTTTCAATTCTCTGAACCAGCTCGCTGCATGTTGGAATATCGTGGATCAGGCCAATCACTTGTCCCGTGGTCCAGACCTATATGCTGGTTAATAATTGAGACCATTCTCATGGTACGGGTACTATCTTACTCCAAACTCGGGATCCCCATTTTCAAAAACCTTTTTGCCGCGTTTCCCGTTCACCAGAGGCGCTATCTCTTCAAACTCCCCAGTCTTGCTAGCTTGCTCGACCTTCAGCGCCTCCAGGGCTACTTTGTTCTTGAACAGGCGCGACGTGTTCCTCCATCGGCGCAAGAGAAGGACCGTGTCGGTTTCTTGGGATTGGACAATTTTCTGCTTGATGTTCTCATGGACTGGGGCTTCCTGTGTACATAGAAATCGAGTGCCCATGTTGATGCCAGAGGCTCCGAGGCACAATGCCGCTGCCAAACCCCAGCCATCGGCGAAGCCGCCGCTGGCAATGAAGGGAATTTTTAACACCTGGCGCGCCTTGCTTAAGAGGATCAAGTTCGTAATGTCGTTTTCGCCGATGTGGCCGGAGCACTCGAAGCCATCAATACTCAGAAAGTCAACCCCGAGTCTCTGCGCGCTCTCGGCATGGCGTATGCTCGTGCATTTATGCAACACCGTAACGTCGGCTTCCTTCAGTTGCGTGATGATGGGCCCTGGAGAGTTGCCTGCTGTTTCGACGATGGTGATGCCCTCGTCGATGGCCGCCTGCGCGTAGCCACGGTAATCCGGCGGCACTACACTGGGCAGCAGGGTGATGTTCACTGCGAAGGGGTTTGGGGTGAGACGACGGCAGCGTCGAATCTCCTCGCGCAGAGCCGCGGGAGTTGGGAAGTTGAGGGCCGTGATGGTGCCGAGACCGCCGGCGTTGGACACGGCGGATGCCATTTTGGCGGTGCCGACGTGCATCATGCCCCCCTGGATAATGGGCACTATAGGCGGAGTGAGTCTAAGCCGACAATCTGGGAACTGGGATGATTAGGTGGGATACCCTTGATGCCCAATCGGCGTGTCAGTTCCGTGGCAATTGTCATCTTTACAAAGTCTAGTTGGTGAGTCTATGGGGAAGTAGGGTCGATAGATACGACATGGCCTAAAGATAAGACAGGATAAGACAAATAATATCTCAATCAAAGAGCGGCTCTAGTATTCAATGTATAATCGCAAGCCGAGAATACACGAGATAGATGTGATTGCCGGGGATGTCGGATAGGATATGGTAAGCTCAGCCGAGGTGCGGAGTCCAATGCGGAGTATTCGGAGAGAACGGATAGCGGACATAGCTACACTCTCCGTACCCTGGTAGATAGCATCATTTAACATCTTTCGCCGGTTCCAGTTTTTATACCAATCGTAGGGCAAGATAGAAATCCCGTAGGGCTAAATAGACATCTCGTAGGGCTGGATTGACATGCTGCATAGTGGGGATTGCCGGCGAAAGGCGAAAGTGATCACTTGGCCAAGGAGCAGGATTATTACAAGAGCCTTCTATTGTCATCGCAGAAATATGCAAGCCTCTCCTGAAAATTTGTTTTTTTTCTTCTCTTTTACCCTGTCATTAGATTCACTGTCATCCAAGACACACCATGGAGAAGGAGATTCACTTAGTCGACTATCTATTCCGGCGCCTGGCCCAACTTGGAGTCGGATCTGTCCATGGTGTCCCAGGCGACTATAACCTCACCATCCTGGACTATCTCGAATCGGCAGGTCTGGGCTGGGTAGGAAACGCCAACGAGCTCAATTCCGGTTACGCGGCAGATGGCTACGCAAGAACCAAGGGCCTTGCCACCCTTGTGACTTCGTTCGGCGTGGGAGAGCTCTCAGCAATCAATGCCATCGGCGGCGCCTATGCAGAAAAGGCCCCCGTGGTACACATTGTCGGGACGGCCCCTCTGGCTGCCCAAAACTCAGGCGCATGTCTACACCACTCACTGGGCGATGGCAACTTGAGAGTCTTTGCGGACATGTACAAGTCGGTGACGGTGGCGCAAGCGAACCTGACGGATGCGGAAAACGCTCCTCGCTTGATTGACATGACGTTGAAGCAGTGCTTGTTGCAGAGCCGCCCGGTTTATATCGAGATTCCCACCGACATGGTCAGCGCCCGGGTGGCAGCTCCGACGGGATTGATCGACCTTACCATCCCGGGATACAGCAAGCTCCTCGAAGGTCAGACAGTCGACAAACTTCTTGGGAAGATTCAACAAGCAAAACGACCACTGATTTTGGTCGACGGCTTCGCAACGAGATTCGGCATCCGGGATAACTTGAACGAGCTCATAAGGCGCACGGCTTTCCCGACGTTGACGACACCATTTGGCAAGAGCCTAGTGAGCGAGACGCTGTCCAACTTCCACGGCGTCTATTATGGGCTCGTGGGAAACCCAGAACATGCGGCGTGGGTCAAGAGTCGCGACTTGGTGCTTCACTTCGGGCCTCTCCCCTCGGATGTCAATACGTTCGGCTTCACCGCTTGTCCCGATGCCACAACTACCGTGGTATTCGAGGCAGATAGGGTCATTGTTGGCAACGAGACTACGGAGCCTACTCAACATCATGGAATATGTATCAAATCGCTGCTGGAAAAGGTTGTGGCAAGGCTACAGGAAGTGGAACTGGCAGCTGTCGAGCCATTCCCGGAAAACCCAGAGGACCCAAGAACACTCTTGAAAGCCTTGCCTGTGCCAGCTGGAGACTCCATCGTTGACCAGCATTCGTTTTGGTTGCGCATTTCTGACTTCCTTCGGCCCGGAGACATCATCCTTACTGAAACCGGTACATCTTCATACGGAGGGCAATCTTTCGTCCTCCCTGAAGATACGATGGTCATAAACTCTTCCATCTGGTTGTCTATTGGATATACATTGGCCGCTTCCCAAGGCGTCTCCCTTGCGCAAAGAGAAATGGTCAAGAACGGAACGCGGCGCCCTGGCAGAACCATTCTCTTCGAGGGTGAGGGCAGTCTCCAGATGTCAGCGCAGGCCATCAGCGACATCATCCGGAACAGGCTCGACATCACAATCATCGTCCTCAACAACAACGGCTATACCATTGAGCGGATGATTCATGGATTCAACGCCTCCTATAACGACGTGCAGCCCTGGCGCAATCTCGAAGCACCAAGCTATTTCGGAGCTCCTAAAGATGACCCGTCGTACCCAGTCACGACACGAGCGGCTCATACTTGGGGTGAATTGGAATCGGTCCTTGCGGACCCTTTGATTCAAGAAGGTAAAGGGCTGAACATGGTCGAGGTCTTTATGAGTATGGATGATGCTCCGGTGTCTCTCAAGAAATTCGGTGCTTACCTGGCGCAGAGAAATAGCACAGGACAATCTTGACGGAAGCATACCCAATGTATAAGAGGAAGTTCCACTGTGGCGATTGTACATAGACATCACTTGCGCTAGCTAGATTATGATAAACCCCTCTCCTCAATCTTCAAGACTATCAAGTGAGCCTTCTGACGTGGTGTGTACAAGAAGTGCGATTGCTGAAACAAGCAGACGAAGTAAGATATTGCTGGGCATCGGGTACCCTCTTCTAGTAGAGTCTAGACTCAAGTTTACCCTTTTTTGTTGGCAGTGCACCCTGGCATGTCTGCGCCGTAAGTCTTCATTATAACAAGTTATCTTCTTTATTTACTGTAGTCCGTTGCTACTCTGTCCACGCCCTTGTCCCTGAGCCTCTTTGGAATCTAAATTCAATGCCTCGCGGCTTTGAGATTGGAGGGCATGGCTGTCACATCTGTTAGAACCGCTGCACTCCGAGCGTCTTTTTTGGACGAGTTGCTTTTCAAAATGCAAGGAAGTTGGACGGTATTGAGTTTTTAATGGATAATTGAAGAGTCGTAACAACCTGAGCAAGTAGCTACAAAGAATATGAATGTACAGTAGTGACAGTACAGCCTCTCCTTTCTTAAGGATCGGCCAATGCATCTTCCGCCATCCATAATCACCCACCACACCTCAACACCTCAACACCTCGTCATGTTTCTCATCGTCACATTTTGCAACCTCTTTCAAAATTGATCTTGGTCGATTGACAGCATTAGCTATTTACTGGTAGCTGGCACGGTAAGTGTCCCAGTAGTTGTAGATGCGGTCCTCCTGGCCAGCGGTAAAGCCAGTGAAGCAGTCGCTATCGATGAATTAGCTTGGGTATCGAAACTGATTCGATCTACTTACTCATCAGAGTAGTCCATGTAGTTGGTAACGGGGTCAGTTCCGGCAATGTTGGGGCAAGTGTCACGTCCGATCTCGCAGTTGTAGGCCTCCTCAGACTCAGCAGGGGTATCGGCAACATAGTCGCCGTTTCCACCGCAAGTGTAGCCCTCGAAAGTGTGGTAAACTAAAAATCCTGTCAGCGTCTATTCGGGATGGTAATTTCAAATCAAACAATCTTCAAGGTAACTTACGACCCAGCCAGTGGCCAATCTCGTGGGTAGCAGTGTGGCCCAGGTTGTACTGCGTCGCGCTACCTCCGGGAACGGTGGTGGACAGAATGACGACACCATCATAGTAAAACGCGTTGGAACCGGCAGTAACACTGGTAGGGAAGTAGGCGTATCCAAGGTATTGGGTTCCGGGCATGAAGTAGACGTTAAGATCAGCGTAGGTGCCCTTGCGGAGCGCCCTCTTCATGGCGAGCTCGGATCGATCGTTGGCATAGTTCGTGTTAATGGTCCAGTCAACACCAGCCTGCACAAAGGAGACGTCGTGAGGAGCAAAAGCGGTGTTGAGAACAGCCAGCTGCCTGGTCAGGGTGGCCTGGGTAAGGTAGCCTCCCGCAACGGAGTTGGAGGTGGCAAGCACATGCCAGTAGACGTTGATCTTGATAGAAGAAGCCTGTCGGGTGGTGATCTTGAGCTCACGGGCGCTAGCCTCGCTCTTCATGAAGTCCAAGGCGACTTCATTCTGCTCCTCGCTAGGGTTGGGAGTTCCGCAAGTGCGCTTGGCAACCGTGCTGGTTGCCGCCAGCAGGGCGGTAAAGAAGGAGAACTTGAACAACATTGTACCGGATAGATGATGAAGGTCGGTATTCAAGATGGAAGAGGATGAAGCTGACACTGCTGTCTGGGGAATAGTATCAAAACTCCTATGCCGATGGCACTTATATAGTCAAGTTCCCTAGCATTGCCAAGTGCAGTATTTCGTATTCTTCAACATCAGCCTTCCTAAAAGAGATGCTTCTCAGCGCATAATTACAACTGCTCCAATCAAAAGAAACTATTCGACTTCGAAATCCAACCTTCCTAAAACAGACTCTCTTCGGCGCCTAAGTCCAACAGCAGCTCCGATGGACAATCCAATCAGCGGCAACTGTTCCACGCTCATACTCCGGGGATCGGCATTGGCACAGCGGGAATAGGTGCCAATCTATGACCCCACTAGAACGACCTGCCTTGTTCGTTATCGCACGCGCCAGCGGATTGTCCGTATTGCCCCATTCATGGCCCACTGAGCGGATAACAGCCTGATTCTCCAGAATGGAGGACTTTTGTTTTGTTGTCAAGTGCCAAGGCCGGTCCTTGGGTCTTAAGAGGGAGCTCCTGTGTGAAATGTCGACCTGCAGCGTATTAGATCAGTCCATTGTCCCATCAGCCTTTCGCTACGTGATATAGCGCATCATGCAAAGCAACCTTGGACCGTTTTCATCGCGTCACCTGCCAGATGTGGTATTTAATTGCCGTGGCCGCGTTTTCTTAATGCCGAGTGGGCCCATATATGTCCTCACTCTATTAATTAGCTTTACGGTTCTCCTACTCGAAATGGTAAGTATCAGCGATGTGCAAGGATAATCCGACCTCCCTAAAGATAAGCTTAACATTAGGGTGATGGCTCTATGAACACTGTAAAAAGACAACTCTGTTGATTTACGTTATCTACGGCAGTGATAGACATTATGGAAATAAGAGGGAATATTGCACAACGGTTGGCTGCTTGCTTCGAACCAAGTGCAGGACGGAACCGGCCGCCAAATGGCTCGTATGGCCGGCCAACAATGGGATGCACAAAGTCCTGATCCAAAGTTTTGTACAGGGTTATGCACCGGTAATCTGCACTGCGGTATACGGAGTATCCGATCTTCAATAGGTCATAACTCTTAAAATCTAGGGCTAGAAGTAACTATAAAGATCTTTGAGTGAGACGACGAAGCAAATATAAGAGGTTCAGCATATGTAAATGAAGAATATAATTTTATCATACTATTCAACCAGAGCACAGAGTATAGCGGTAAAATGCGCTAGCTGCATCAAGTAAGCAAGCAATTCAGTACATTATTTTGGATCAGGACTTTATGCTTCCCACTGTAGGACTTTGGTAACCCTGTCGGAGCGGGCCGCCTATGCAATACCTCGGTTATTCCTGCAGTCTCCAATGAGTTGCTTCTTCCGGCCCGCATTGCAGGTGTGAAAAGGCAAGAATTCAAGGCTCCGCTTCTGTGACTGGGCTTTGTACGAATATATCATCTAGTTTTCGTGGCTATGCAGCGTCGGGTGCTCGGCGAGATTTGCCCAGAAATCTATCTCAAATTCCCAAGGATCAAAGTTGATGCAAGGACCCCAACGGTCCATATACTGAGCCGGGGGGTCAACTTGGGAGTTGAGCGTCTCTGGGCGGGGTTGGCCCCATGTCATTACAGAATCGAGAAGACTCTGAATAGTGCTGGTAGCCCGAGTGAATAGTGCAAAGTTTGGCTCCCCAGCCTGGATTACTGCTCCTGTCCTAATCTCTGCGACAAGGACGCTTAGATCTTGCACGAGCCTAGATCGCGAAAACGAGCCTGCGCCTGTGTTGACGGTGGGGTTTAAGAGGGCAAGTGAGATGATCCCTGCGGCAGGTAGACCAAACTGGGCAACCTACCTCGAGTTAGCTTCTATCGAAGGAAAAATCGAATGTTAAATAGTACCTTCCAGATGAGGGATGTGCCAGAATTGACCATACGATCCCGTAAAATGATAACCTCGACAACATGAGAGAGCATCTCTCCAGCCACAGTTAGGAGAGCTTCGTCCGGCTCAGAGATCTGCTTAAGAGAAGCTAGATGTAGGAGGAAAAGGGTGTGCAAGTAGTCAAGTCGGGTACCCACGAGGAAATCTCGGGTGAAGGGGTCAGAATGACAATTTCGGATACTTGTGGTAAGCTTGAAGTGGGCCGGTAGTTCTCGCCATTGATTTTCGACTGCTGTCCTGATTGCACTATGAGACGAATCGTCAATTTCTTATAACAACATCCGAGGAGGCCGCGGCTTACCTTGCCTTTTCCACTTGATCCGGGGACAGGCGATGGCGGAAGAGGCCAAGAACATCTTCCTTCAGCCACGCGAACCGGACAGTGCAACGTGTATCGGCCGTATAATTAATGGGCTCCAGGCGATCGGAGCCTAGATCCACCGTAGCAGAGCTTTCTCCATCTGAGGGACCTAGACTTGGCTCAGGGGCAGAAGCAGGACCCGTGTTGCCCCAAAAATCCGACTCGTTGGTCGGAAGTTGGAAAGTGCAGTACGCTTTGGCGATGCGTGGTGGGCGTCCAAGAAATATCGCCAAGCTCTTATCACCCGTATAGACGCGGGCGAAAGTTGATTTTCGTAGCTCAGCTACGAATGGGGGGATATTCGATGCAGCTGCATCAATCTTTTCGTGGTATCCTAGTGCGAACAAGGAACTCGCAAGGTCTCCCATCCTCCTCCATGAGTGATAACCTGTGATACTAACATTAGCAACCTCAATTCTGAAAGAAGACAGTGACTTACTTTGGTCTCCATCAACTTGAGAATGCACGATAAAATTCTCATACTGCAGGATAAGCTGTAGATCATTCAAGCAATCGAGCGAAAGGCAAATCTCTAAACAACAATCTCCTATGTAGGTCAAGGCCCTAATTAGAACGCTTCTTTGTTGATCAGTCATATACAGAGAAGGGTAGGAGTCTCGGTCGATCGCTGCCCTGCTGGCTGCGGTGAAGAAGATTCCGATTGACTCCCAACGCAGATTATCACCAAGCATCTGGGAGAAGTAATCTTCAACCGTGGATTCTCTGTGAATGGTGAAGCGTTTGAGCGTGTTTCGGAGCAGCAGCTTTGCCTGCTGTACCACCAGCGCGCTGGGATCCCGGAGACCGGCGGTGGAGGGAGGGAATAGAGTGGCCATGTCCTTCGTGGCCTCGGCACAACGAGCCACGAATGGCTCCGCCAGTGGTAGATTCACCCTCTTATCCAGCCAGACTTGGACCAGGTTCTTTAGCCCAGGAATGTCCGTCCGGATCAGCTGGTTCAACGCATGTGCTGCGCGGTCAACGATGCCTTGGCCGTTGAGCATGTTACCAGAAGCAGAGAAATCCGGTTCTTGGGCTGCACCATCATCATTCAAGTTCCCATTATCTGACGCAGGCCACGAAGCCATCGCGTTGAATATGGTAGAATGGCTTGACGAGCCCAGGTACCCAGGATTTGGGTAGGAATGAGGTTGCGGCGAAGGCACTACTGCAGGGATATCCTCGGCCCTCGTCGAGTTCCTGGACCCAATTAGCTGCTGAGAGTCCACATCTACGTTCCGTAGACAGGTGGTAGTTACTTGGATGAATGGCTTCGCAGTTTTCTTCTCCGAAAGGGGTGATCGCGATAAACGCAGCCCTCTCCTTGCCCGCGATCTTGGCATCGCACACAAACAGGCCGCTCATGACCGCAGGCAAGTTTGGCCCGCCGACATGGTTCGCATGCGGCAAGTCTGATACTCGGCGTTCTCTGACTGGCCATGGGTGAAATAGATGTATGTTGCGAATTCTCCGTTCCGTTGCCCGAGACTCGGCCAGACGATCGGCGAAGAACTTGCGAGCCAGGCCGAACGCGGGAACTCCGATTTCGCCGATTTCGCCGACACTCCGGGTGACCCATATTTATATCTCGTCGACTCTGAGAGCGGAATCTCCGTATCCAGTCGGAGATAGCAATCACTACGAGAGAAGCCTCAAATCGTCAAAATCCGATACTAAAGAACGCGTATTCAGTGTATATTGGGAACTAGCCTGGTATGCGAAGTATGTATGTTGCTTGGTGGCTCTGACTGTACGAGGGCTGTCGCAGGAAGTTGCATAACTTCCTCAGGAATAGGTACATACCGCTGTACACTGTGTAATATTGTGTGTAAATGAAGGGTTTATAACAAAATAATAAAGAACTTATCTATTTCTTGTTTCTAGATACTGGAGTTGTCAAACTTCCTGCGCCAGCCTTCGTAAAGCACTCACACAGACCCAGGCAAGGGCTAAATGCGGGGTCTTTGAACAGCGCAAAAACCAACCGGATACCGAGAAAGAGTGCCTCGCTTTAAAATTCACACTGCCAATTCCATATTTTTCTGTCACATCTCTGAGCTTTCTAGTAGTTACAAATATCATGCTGCTGTGGACAAGTCGGGGCCCCACGAGCGCTTGTGGGACTTCTTCTCACCTTTCTGTAGGGCCCCACATGCCGATGTGCTCGTCTCCTAAACGAAGGGAATGCGAGGAATAGAAACTCTGTCTGAATACGAGAAACGCTTCTCTATGTCTGACTGTTCTTCACGATACTCAATGGTCTTTTACATCCCTCCAACTGTATTTCTACGATTGTCTCGTGCCAGAATCCTAGGGAGTCGGTGCTTGGTAATAGGGTAAGTGGTGTCCCACATCCACAACTAAAAGGATCTCAAAAGCGGTCCCTCTACTAAGTAGAGATGGCTTTTTTAGCCTGCCTCTGTTTAACCCTGGTAAATAAGTCTGTGTATTATTGAGATACTCCAAATAATAGAGGATTTCCGAAATTTGAGCCGACGTGTACGGAATATGATGTACCATCTCATTAAAATGTCTCTGTACATCTTGAAGGTCCTCTTTTCCACTGAACCTCAACCCTTAATGAGCACAACTCTGTGACAACCTCATAACACCAGCGAACACCAAGAACCCGCACATTTCCGTCACCTAGATCTCAGCCAAGGGTCTGTGTTGACATCGGCTGCATATCCGTTAACGTCGGCTGTTGATCCGGCCGTCGACCGTTTAGTCCTCTCCCCCGTAAAATTTGCGGGGGTGCCGCCACATCTTGCCAGATCGTCGCCCACGCTAATCTAACAACCTGGTAAGTGGAACAACGGCAATTCTATACGGGATGAATATAAGGGTGTTGAGCGGGGATGGGGGAAAAGAGTGCATAAACCAGACGACGGAATAAAATCCGGCCGGCAACATCAAGTACAATAATGGGATGGCGAGATGAATATAAATATGTGCCGCGCGGGAACTGACATGCTGAGTTGCATCCATCCTGCAGGTTGACTGGCATCTTCACGGCATCATACCCAACTATTCACGTTGTTTGAAAATGGGACTCTATAATTCCCCTATATTTCTACTGCTACTCCTGCTCCTAGGAGCAGAGCAAGCCCTTTGCTCCCAGCGTGATAAGTGTGCCAGACTATCACGGACACTCAAGCTCGCCAACGTCACGATACACAACGCCGCTTTCGTTGCGGCAGGAACCAACCTTACCTTTCCAAATGATCACCCAACTTGCACGACCAGGTCTCAGGTTGTTCGCGCTGACATTTGCCGCGTTTCATTGCTGGTAGTCACAGGGCCACGAAGCAATGTCACGCTTGACGCCTGGCTGCCTCTTGACTGGAGCGGAAGATTCCTCACAGTAGGCAATGGGGGATTGAGTGGTTGTATTAAACACGATGATCTTAACTACGGATCCTCTATGGGCTTTGCCACCATTGGTGGCAATAACGGCCACGACGGAACCTCGGGCTCGCCGTTTTACAAGAACCCGGGGGTGCTGGAGGATTACGTCTACCGCTCTGTTCACCTCTCCGCTGTGCTCGGGAAGAAAATTAGCCAGAAGTTCTATGGAAAAGAGCACACCAAGTCGTACTATCTCGGATGCTCAACTGGGGGTAGACAAGGCTTCAAGGAGGCACAAGACTTTCCCGAAGATTTCGATGGCATTGTCGCCGGCGCTCCCGCTTTCGACTTGAATGCCCTGATGTACTGGACTGGCCAGTTCTATCTTGACACAGGAAAGGCTGGGACGGCGTCGTTTCTCTCTGCGGCCCAGTGGGATCTGGTCTATGAGGATATTCTGCGCCAGTGCGATGGCCTGGATGGTCTTGTGGACGGGATTATTGAGGACCCGGATCTTTGTCAATACCGTCCTGAGGAATTGATCTGCAGCACGAAGCAAAAAAGCGGTTGTCTTACAGGGGAACAGGCGGCCACTGTGCGGGCTGTCTTCTCGCCCGTCTACGGTCCCGACGGCAAACTGGTTTATCCTCGCTTCCAGCCTGGAGCCAATTCCACCGCGCGGTTTTTCGCCGGCGAACCCCATGATTACCCAGTTGACTGGTTTCGATATGTCATCCACGAAGATCCATCATGGGACCCTGCAACGTTGAACGTCAAGGACTGGACGGCTGTGTCCAAACGGAACACATTCAACGCCGCGACCTGGAAGGGCGACCTGTCCGGCGTGCAGAAACGGGGGACCAAGATCCTGCACTACCACGGCCTTCAAGACAACGCCATTAGCAGTGACAACTCGGCCCGCTACTACAACCACGTGTCGCGAACCATGGGGCTTCCTTCGGACGAGTTGGACGAGTTTTACAGATACTTCAGAATCTCCGGCATGGCTCACTGCCGCGACGGAAGCGGCGCCAGTTTCATCGGAGGCAACCTGCAAACGCTGGCGGAATACAGCCCTGATGAGAACGTCCTGGCCGCTGTTGTTAGATGGGTCGAGGAGGGTATTGCGCCAGAGTTCATTATGGGCACGCAGTTCGATGATGGAACGAGCTCTGGAGAGGTTGTGTTGCAGAGAAGGCACTGCAAGTATCCAACTCGAAATGTTTACAGCGGAAAAGGTGATCCCAACTCAGCAGATAGCTGGGATTGTGTTTAGGAGCACGTCATCTCCCTCTCTATATTTAGTTGAGACATCGTGATTCCACATAGTGAGAAGTCGAATAGGATGGCACCGCTTTACATAAACACCTACACGTCTTTCACGCACGGCATGATGAAAAAGAAGTCGCTGTCTCTATTAAGCACGAGTAGATGTGGAAAATAAATACAAATAAAGGCATAAATAATAAGCAACTACAACAACGATCTTGTCGCTAGGTATCCTTACCGTCGTTCATCTCATCATTACACATGTACATTATGAAATCATGGATCGCTAGGTCTATTCATAGTTCAGGACGCCCTTTAGGATCCACTGCATAATGCTGTTAGTATTGCGATTGATATCCCTCATTATGAAGATAACTTACCACTTCGCCGTTGGCAACTTGGCTAGCCACACGCTCCACCTCGACGTCATCCGGCATCACGAACTTCTTTCCATCTTTCTCGACCCACCAGACCTGCTTTCCGAGAACCGTTTCTGCCTTGTCGTCTTCCATCCAGGGACTTCCCGCAACAAGATGCGCCTCGACGAAACGAAGCAGATTCTTGCGGGCGCGCTCCTGGCCGTCGTCGCCGGAGTATGCCTTCGGGCCTAGACGGCTGTAGTCTCGCGGGTCCTCCCAAGGCTTTCGGGGGAGGGCTTCGATGGCGGAGTTGAGGGGCGCTAGGACGGTGGTATTGACGTCGAAGTTGGCGAGGAGGGCTTCGCTGGAGGGGTGGAGGCGGGCGAAGGAGGAGAAGGTGGTGAGGGAGCGCTGGGTGCCGAGGACGTCGGCGATGGCGACAGAGGGTTGGTTATCGCCGCTGGCATCCTTCTTGCCGGCGTTATCATTCTTGTCGGCCATGGCGGGAAGGTGACCGTTGAGCGGGGGACGGTTGGGGAGCGGGACTTGAAGGGAGCCGCGAAGGAGTTGGGCGGTGGCGAGGGCGATGAGGGGACTGAGAAGCAGGAGAGGCTTCATGGTGAAACCGGGAGTCGAGGTGGATTCTGATACAGGCAGACGCAGAAGCAGGCGCACGACGTTGACGATGCGGTTGGTTGGCTGATGGTTGATACGTCATGAGTGGAGGGGCAGCGGGATGCAAGTAATTGGATGTGGGTCAAGAATGAGAGTTGATCACGTGGATGGCTATCAGATTAGATAAAGAATTTCTTATTAGTCACGTTACATCTTCTCCCCAGACTTGGCATTCGTCTCGCTTGGGAGATGAGATGATCAATGACTGCAACCATCTGCATGTGAAAACAAGCCAAAAGCTGGAGACGGGTGAATGGAGAAAGGTGGCTTGGCGTCAGATCAGATGATGCACGTGCAGAATCTGGGGAAGGTTGTTCTCCCTCCAGTCGGTTGCGGGAGGACGGCAAATGCTACGGCGGGCTGCGGCTATGTTGGGGCTTTCACGTGCTTGAAGATGCGAGCAAGGTTTCACTTTGACCCCAGATGACCATGATGAGTCTTGCATGTGGTGATGCGGTGGCAGGCCCCTTACTCAGACGCGGTACGGAGCATGTCCAGCTTATTCCCTAGGTGGGATGGTGGACAGGGCGACGGCAGGGTCGAGATGCGCCGGAGCTCGAAGTGGGCGAATGGGGAAGCCAAGTGAGGAGGCGAAGTGAAGATCTGGGGAATCAGAAGCAACCGAATGACCCAAATCAGCGGTAACCTGGAACAGGATGGTCATCAGCGTCACCATCGCCGGTGATGTGAGTGGGCGAGGGGCGAACCAGGGAGCCACGAGCGATTCATGTGCCCCTAGTTGGAGCATTGGGGGAGCGGCAGCCTCGTTCACATGTGAAAGCGTAGACGTGCCAGGACTCGAACGAAATTTCCAGCTACGAGCATCAAGCACTAGCCAGACGAAAGAATCTTGACCCAATAATGGCACAAGCATTGGATTTCCGGGCGAGCACGGCGGCCTGCGCGAGAGAGGGTTTGCAATGAACTGGTCATCTGACCGAGATGTCGATGACGAGAGAGGACTCAGAACAGTCGCTGGGCCGGGCACTTGTCCGGGCACGGCGAGATGTCCGCCGAGGTAAATGGTGTGGAGGCAGAGGAAATTGTGGGGAAAGTTGGGGAAGAGAGGTGAGGGAGAGATGCGGACAGATGCGGACCGATGCGGACCGGAGGATGTATTCAGAGGTTCAGAGGTTGGTGTAAGCGCAGAAGGAGTGAAGAAATGGAGAAATAAACTGAGAAAAGGAGTCCCCTCTTCCATCCCCTCATGCTATTCTCCAGCTTCTCCAGCTTCTCCTCCTCCTCCTCTTCCTCCTCCCAACCTCGACTTCGGGGATGAAAACCAGCGAGCTTGCCCCATCTACACTTCTGGGAGCCAGGGGCCAGAGACACTAGACGCACCTGGCCCCCACAATTCCCCCATCTTCCTCGTTGCGGCGGGTGGGGACCTCGGCACGCGCAGCGAAAGAGCGGCGGACGACCAAAGAGGGCGTCGGCTGGATGGCCGGAGCGGTGCCCATCCCATGGGATGGTGCCATGGTGCTCTGCGCAGTGGGACTTGGGGCGCGCGGCTTTTCGGCGTAGCTGGCCGCGAGAGGGCGCGCTGGGATATGGGCTTGCGCGGGAACAAGCTGGGAGAAGGCAAAATTGGGGTTGGGGAGGAGTGTCTGGGGTAGAGAACTATTCTGTATTCATGTTCCAGAGTGCATGTGTGTATTCCTCTTTGTAGAGCCGGCGTTTGTGTGGCCGTTGATGCTGGCACCATGACGGATTGAGCAGCATCATCCCATCGGCCAGTATCCGTGCCTGAAGCCCCCTCCAACGTGGTTTCGGCGGGCACCTGCGCTAACCCACTGAACCAGCCCACCGCTTCCGGGGAACGGAACTGTGCTGAGCAAAGGCCGGCAGCTGATTTGCGCCTCCCCCGGGCTTTCCTGACACCAGTGGGCCAGTTCCATTGTTCCTTGGGGGTTGCTACAGCGAGCAGCCCCCCGGACCGTGCCCCCTACCAGCGCTGTGAGGGCTCGGGTTGACAGGGGACCGAGGGCCGTCTCATGCACCGCAGCGCAGCGCCAGTTGCAAAGTACCTGAGGCTACGTACCAGCCGACCGGGCCTGGGAAAAAAAAACAGGAGAGACCTCGGCACGCCGCCGTCATTGCGAGCTCCCCAGTGTCCCTCGGCGTTGTGGGCGTTCGGTCGCATCGCATTCCATGTCGTCGGGGCCCGTCACACGCCAAACTTAAGACTCGCTTTCCTCCCACTCCCCCCCATATCTGGCGCGCCGGAACTCCTCTTTTGTCTTAATTCTTTTCTCATTCTCATCCTCTCTCAACCTGCAACCCGCTCTCAACGCCCTCCCCGCGTGCTTTCCCTCTTGCCGTGCTCTAGTCTGTCCGTTTGCACCGTCTACGCCCGTCCTCCATCCTCCTCCATCCTCCTCACAACCACAACCAGCACCAGTAATGGCTCCCCGCGTCATTGTCGTGGGCGGCGGCCGTAAGTTTACCTCCCCATCTTGCACAGGCTCTCGGGCCGTTTGGCATGTGATTGTCTCTCGCCTCGTTGTCTGGCGGTCGCTTTGCGACGACTTGTCTGGGCATTGGGCGTTGGAGTCGCTCTGTCGCAATTCATCCCCCAGGACCCTTGGCTGACCATCTCGATGCAGTGTCCGGTCTGTCAGCTGCGCACACCATTTACTTGGCCGGTGGCAACGTCGTTGTCCTCGATAAGCAGGGTAAGTTCGAATCCCTTTTTTTCACGTATTCCCAGCTTGCCATGAGCCGCAAATCTCGGCCGTCAGCCGTCAGCCTCGCCGCTCAACCACACTCGGCACTGCGCTCTCCAGCGGATTGACATGTGCTCACATTCGTCATCACAGGTTTCTTCGGCGGCAACTCCACAAAGGCCACCTCCGGAATCAACGGCGCCCTCACCCGCACCCAGGTCGAGCACGGCATTCCCGACAGCGTCCAGAAGTTCTACAACGACACCCTAAAGTCGGCCCGTGACAAGGCCCGTCCCGACCTCATCAAGGTCCTCACCTACAAGTCCGCCGCCGCCGTCGAGTGGCTCCAGGATGAGTTCAACCTCGATCTCACCCTCGTCTCCCGTCTCGGGTAAGTTGATTCATCCACCCACTCTGCCTCATTCATCTGGATGAAGCAATCAGCAACGGAACCATTGAAACTGACTACCTTCCTCCAGTGGTCACTCCGAGCCCCGAACCCACCGAGGCCATGACGCCAAGTTCCCTGGCATGGCCATCACCTACGCCCTGATGCAGCGCCTCGAGGAGCTCTCCGAGACCGAGCCTGGCCGTGTCGAGATCATCAAGAAGGCCCGCGTCACCAGCCTGAACAAGGACGGCAACTCCATCACCGGTGTCACATACGAGTTTGACGGCGAGTCTCACTCCATCGACGGCCCCGTCATCCTCGCTACCGGTGGCTACGCCGCCGATTTCACCGAGACCTCTCTGCTCAAGAAGCACCGCCCCGACACCTACGGCCTTGCCACCACCAACGGCACCCACGCCACCGGTGACGGCCAGAAGATGGTCATGGCCATTGGCGGCAACGGTATCGACATGGACAAGGTCCAGGTTCACCCTACTGGTCTCGTCGACCCCAAGGACCCCGGCTCCAAGTGGAAGTTCCTTGCCGCTGAGGCTCTCCGAGGTGAGGGTGGTCTGCTCCTCAACTCCGATGGTGACCGATTCTGCGACGAGTTGGGCCACCGTGATTACGTCTCCGGCATGATGTGGAAGGAGAAGGAGAAGAACAAGTTCCCCATCCGCCTCGTCCTCAACTCCAAGGCCTCCAACACCCTCGACTTCCACACCCGCCACTACTCTGGCCGTGGTCTCATGAAGAAGATGACCGGCGCGGAGCTCGCCAAGGAGATGGGCTGCACCCCCGAGCACCTCCAGAGCACCTTCAAGACCTACAACTCCATCGCCGACGGCAAGGAGAAGGACCCCTGGGACAAGAAGTTCTTCCCCAGCGTGCCCCTCGACATCAACGACGACTTCCACGTTTCCGTCATGGAGCCCGTCCTGCACTTCACCATGGGTGGTATCGAGATCAACGACAAGGCCGAGGTCCTCAACCAGGACAAGAAGCCCTTCGACGGCCTCTACGCCTGCGGTGAGTTGGCTGGTGGTGTTCACGGTGCCAACCGTCTTGGTGGATCGTCGCTGCTCGGCTGTGTCGTCTACGGCCGTGTCGCCGGTGACACCGCCAGTAACTTCCTGTTCCGACAAGCCCTCCAGGGCACCGCTGCGGGCTCAGCCGCCGCCCAGCGTGTCGGCCAGATCTCTCTGCACCTCGACCCCAACGCCCCTAACCGCGTTACCGTTGAGTGGAACACCGCTGGTGCTGGTTCCGGTTCCGGTGGTTCCGGCCCCGCCGCCTTTGCTGAGCAGGCCGCTTCCGGTTCCGCTCCCGCAAGTTCGGAAGCCCCCAAGGCCGCCGCCAAGGCCCCCGAGCCCAAGGTGTTCGAGGTCCCCGAGAAGGAGTACTCCATGGAGGAGGTTGCCAAGCACAACACCAAGGGCGACCTGTGGGTTGTCGTCAAGGGCGTCGTCCTGGACCTCAGCAACTGGCTCGAGGAGCACCCCGGTGGCGTCCAGGCCATCCTCAACTTCATGGGTCGTGATGCGACCGAGGAGTTTGAGATGCTCCACGATGACGAGGTCATCCCCAAGTATGCCCCGTCGCAGGTCATTGGACGTGTCCAAGGCCAGGATGTCACCCTCGAGTTGTAAGCTTGTAGTCGCGAATTAGAGAAGTACCGACACCTGCTGGCGAGGCTGGGGGACACAGACGATGTGATGAGAAGATGCGTTGTGTTTGTAGCTCGTGCCCAAGAGGTCTATGGACCATGGACCGTCAAGGCGTAAAAGGATTTTGTATTGATAGGTTGGGATGCATGCCAATTGTTGCGAATACTACATTTATTTTCTACCTTTACCATAATGTTCCATGACCTGCTGTGACTGTCGTGACTGTGTGATGATGCCATTTCGAGGTACGGAAACGGGCTGTGAAATGAAACGAAACCGAGGCCTGTCTGTCCTCTCAGCCGAGGTAGCCACTCCTTCCATTTGTTCTCTTCATCCATAGCCAAGCACAGTTACCCGAGGGATTGGTGGACCGGTGAACAAGTCTCAGGATGGTGGCACGGGATGGGAGCTTCTGGAAAGAGGACATGGTGTCATTTCAACCTCTAGTGAGCGAGATGGGACTGAAGCTGTGGAAAGCAGGGAGGGATTGTGCGATTTAGTGAGAGGCTGTATTTGAGTCGGATGAGCTTGGCGAGGAGGAGACGGGCCAATGACATGTGAAGCTTTGTCTCTCGTGTCTTGGTTGACAAGAGGTTGGTTGGCTGCGGTCGCACAGCTCGGTTCGCCTCGTTTCGCTCGGTAACGTCTAGGCGAGTCAAAGAAGAGCTCAGAGCGCGCTTGTGTCACTTTAGACAGTGTTCCAGTTACGATGATCACTTGGCATCATGAGCCCCGTCGAGCTGACTAGTCCTCCCGTCTTCCTCACCGTCGGGTATAGGTGAGGGTGCGCAGATAGCGAAGATCCAGCCAGGCATCCGTCGGCAGGCAGAGCAGCTCCCGCCAAGCTCCCGCCTACGTTCGCGAACGCCGAATAAGGGCGAAAAAAGAAAGAATTACTGACGGTGAAACCCGACGCGTACGCTGAGCGTGATACGTTGAGACACAGAAGCCGGCGGCAGACTGGGCTTAATCATGATGGCATGCCAGGCGTAGTTGGGGAGTGGGATGCACAACGTTTGCATCCGATCTCAGTCCTGATACAATTATATTAGGGCACAGTTCATCGTCAATATATAAGAGTCAAGGGAAGAGTTAAGGTGAAGTGCTTATATTTATATTTATTATTCATTCTTATATAAGATGCCTTCTGGTGAAGCAAAAGGGGATGGAAAGCGCTTAGAGCTCCAGCGTTCGGGTGCAAACTTTCTGCGTCCCACTGTCCAAGAAAAGCAAGCTGTGATTATTCCAACGTCGGCGATAAGACTCAAGCTGAAGCAAAGGGTCCTTTAATGTCTCTGAGCATGGACGGAGGGTCTTGACCTAGTCTACTATAGGGAGAGGGCCCAAGAAGGTGAGAGCCGAAAACAGAAGCATGTGAGACCTGACAAGGCTTGGCGATGGCCGTTGTGAATCAGGATGTTTGGACGAGTGGGTCGGCGATTGGGGGACTTGAGCAGGAATGGGCAAGCTGACATGGTCTTTTGAATTGACAGGTTGGAAACATTTTTAGGGATGCTAGGAGAGTGGATTGTGTTTTACTTTTCGCGGTAGGTGAGCGCTGTGGGGTGGATGGCGCACGGCAGATGGGCAAGTGGAGGCGTGGATACTCGATATTCGAGTGCGGATAGTCTGGTGGGCACATTTGTGACATCACGGCGAAACAAGCGGGCAACTATCGCGCGTCTCGAGCGGTCGTTTAGGTGGTCATTGTGTCTGGATGTGAGGCCACAGTAGTTTGCAGTCGAAGAAGAAAGTCGTCCATGCGTCACAACCCTACGCAACCGACATGGCGGCACGGCCTGCTGCAAGGAGAAACCTAAGACAAGCTTGAACCGGCCGGCAGGCAAACAGGCGGAAAAGGCCTGAGCAACAGGTAGAGTTCGTCGAGAGAGATGGTGGCCTGACAATGACCGGCCGAGCAAGCGGCGAATGAGACGACCGAGTTCGGCAGCACAGATCCATTTCCCCCTCTCGCCAGCCCAGACTCCGAAGGCCCGAGAGACTAGGGGGCTGGCTGGGCTGGGCTGGACTGGGGGGCAATGAGAGGGAGCCGGGAGTTTTTTTCTTTCTTTCTATTTATTCCCTTTTTGCTTGGACAGAGCTCCGGCAGGCGAGCGGGATTCGCCAGCCACCTGGGACGCAGGCAGGCTGCTGGAGCTCGGACGGCGTGTTCGCAGCAGCCGAACCTGTCTCAGATTGCAGAATGCGCGATCTGGGCTGGTTTCGGAGGTTTGGCGGTTACTTAGTGGGCCGAGCCCGACTGATTTCGGAGGTCGCTGCTGCTGCTGTGGCAAGGCACACGCCAGATCCGGATGCGATGTGACAGTGAGGCTGGATGGATGGTCGGGCGGTGATGTCGGTGGTGGTGGTTTAGATGACTTACACTAACTGCTGCTCTTGAGGATTATAGTACAGTGCTGTGAGTTATATGCGCTGGTTAAGAGGTAGGGTCCACTGCCCGTTCTCGGTGAGATATGAGCAGCGAATTAGACAAATATTAAGAAAATAGCCTTATTCATACAGGTTATTGCAGCACCATCTCATGGCATCGCTTCCAAAACCAATCACGTCGCCTCGGCGGTTGGCCCCAAGCAAAATTCATCCAGCAATGGCGTAGCGGCACCGCGCCATCGTCACCCCGCAAATGGCACATCCACATCCGCACCCTGGCCCCGCGACACAGTGTTTACGACCTGCGGAATGCACTGTGGCTGTCCCCTACCTAGGTAGAGACAAGTTGGCTTGTGGGAAAGTATAGCGACCCAGCCTAGGTCGGTAGCCAGCCACACACAACCAAGCAGCCAACAGCCCAATAGTCGCATGACCGTCACCGTCACTGTGCTATGTCAAGCTCCAACCGTCGTCGTGCGCCGGGGCGGGCTTGGCTTCGAGGGCGTCATAATCACCAGAGACGCCGCGCCGAGGGGGGGTTTGGAGAGCGCCACCGCGGCCCAAAGGAGATGAACAACATGTCGTTGTGATGGGGGACGAGAGAGGGGGAGGTTTCTCGGCCTCATGTCTCTGATGTATTCCCGATGGGTGATGGACCGGACCCTTTTTTTTTTTCGTTTGCCAGGGATCAAACAGCGTAACATGATCTGAGCAGGCGAGGGGAGGAGAGGAGAGGAGAGGAGAGGAGAAGCAGAGTGGAACCTCCGCTGACAATAGCACACCGTGTTTGCCATGACCCGGAGACGGTGGGCTATTCCAAGACGAACGTTTCCTGCTTCTCCTCTCCCATGGCGTCGGGTTTGGGTTCTGGTACGGAGTACGGAGTACGGATACGAAGCACCCTCTTACGTGAGGCTTGAATTCCGTGTCTTGGGCTTGCGACGAGTGTCTCGCCGCGTCGTGCCCAGGCCGTGTTGGGGCGTCATCCGTCAGCTGCGTCTTCGTCAGCCCGGTCCAGCCTTAAGCCGCCGAGGACGGCAGTCGAGATGAGATGAGATGCTTGGACATTGTTCGCGGAATACTTCCTTCTCGGACCTTCGCATTCGCACTTTCGTAATCACCACCTCGCACAAAGCAAAAGGGATCAGTCAGTTTGATCCTTTCATCACACTAGCGACGCCATGTGAACTCCGAGTGGTGAAGGCATGAACGCAAGTACCGGTACCCAAATTACACGCGCCTTTTCTCGCTTTCTCACGGCCGCTTTCTCGCTCACAGGCCGCTTGCTCGCTCGCTCGCCCACCCAACTTTCACGGCTTGCATCGCTGGTGCGTCTTTCCCCTGCCTGGTCCCGGTCTGGGGCAGTCTGGAGACGGTGCTAGCCTGGGAGACGGCACCACGCGGCCCCGGAGTATTGGGTACTCGGCTGATGGACTGCCCGGCCGTCACAGCGCAAGTCGCCGCTACGGGTGGCACGCAGTGTTGACATGGGGCACCAGCCGACAGTCCAGGGGGCGGACTTCCGGGGTAGCCGCTGCAGCATCGAGGCACCGCCGTTGCGTGTGCTGACAGTGTGGGATTGTTCAGGCGTGGACTGTGCCTCGCCGTATCATGGTCGAGTTCACTCATGCTCGCTCTCGTCTCCATGCTCCGTGGTATCGATAAACGAGTCCGCGTAGATGATTCCAAACTCTGTTTCTTAGCATCCTCTTCCTCGCTTAATTTAGTCCTTTCTCTTCCGGGATGACGTCTCTGTATATCCATCTGGGTATGCGGCTTCTCTTCAGGGATGGCCCTCCAGGCAACGACTGGCATGTCGAGATATCCTCTTCGGCTCGATCCCTTACCTTAGGTCCCTCGCAGGTGAAGAGGAGGGAGAGAAATGCTGGCGTGTTAGAGCTGCTCTCAACAGTTGATGTGAATTAGTTTCAGAGTTGGTGCACTTAGATTGGGATGGTCGAGGCCCAGCGTACTAGCAGTAGCGAGGAAAGGAAAAGAAGGAAAAACGAGGGGAAAGGAGCCAACCCAATTGCAGCAAAGCCATCAGCCATGGCGGTGGTGATGTACTCTGTAGTTGTACAATGCCACGATACAGAGCCACACAAGTTACTGTTACTTGCTCGATTGCACAGGCACACAGACACTCAAAGACGCCCAGAAACGCAGCCACACAGCCAAGCCAGGGCCTGGGTCACTACACACTGTGCTTCTGTGCTTCCGACCAGGGGACGCCGCAACGCAGGAGGATCAGGCCCCGGCAACCCTCTTCCAACGGTGACCGGGGAGGAGAAATACTCTGGAGTTCGACGCAACACCCCCGGACTGCCTGCGACGCTGTGACCACTGAGACCTGGCTGAGACCTCGATTAGTGGGCGGGCTCCGCAGCGTCCGGGTGCCGGTACATCGAGCACCCTGCGGAGGTGGCTTTTTGGCGAGTGTGCTGCGTTGTGTGCGTGTGTGTGCAAAGGGCCTGAAGCCTAGAAGGAGAGGCCACTGAGGCGTCGCGGAGAGTCACGCTGCGGAGCCAATCACCCGGCGCACGCTGGGCTCCCCACTGTGCCGATCCCTTCCGCTTTTTGCCTCCTGACTCGACCCAGCCCGTTTGTATGCATTCGCCTCCGCCTTTACAGTACGGGCTGCATACACAGCAACGAGTGCGTAGTCGCTCACTTTGCCGCCATGGGAGGAGTCAGAGATGCTCCTCTCTCTCACTTCCCAGCAACCAAGTCCCCCTTGGCTTGGCTGAAGTCCGCACTGCCTGCCTTTGTCCGAGTGGGGAGACGCCCCTACTGGTGTAACCCGTGCCGTGCACCCGGTGTTCCGCGACCGCATTAGCGCAGCACCCAAACCTCCCTCCCGTCGCCAGCCCTCCCCTCAAGGCTCATGCCCTCGTCGACACCACCGGTACCTAGCCCTGTGCGGCAATGCGTGTACTCCAGGACTGATACAGTGCAGCTCGCAGCGCCCTAGCGCCTGGGCGTCCAGTGGGCGTTCGCTGGGCGTTCCGCTGGCGTTCCCTGGGTGGGCTCCTTGCGGGCTCCTTGCGGGCTCCACACCCACCCGTGGGCCGCCCTCCAAACAAGTTGAACCACCCACACCCCCCCATATTATCCACCGGGAACCGCCCAATGTCAATGTCCCCGTCCCTCTCAACCCTTCACCTCCACCAAAACTGGCCGACTCGGAGCCTCTCAGGCGACGCTGCTGACCCTGGATTGACGTCGCAAACACCGACACCATGGCCATTGCCATGGGCTGGCAGAAACCCGACAATGTCGCGGGCTCGTCGGCGCCGGCCATCATGGTCGGCCTCTTCGTGGCCTCGGGCGGGTTGCTGTTCGGCTACGATACCGGGTAAGACCATTCCCTCTCTCTGTCCCTTGTTCGCCGTGCATTCTGGATTCTGCGCGCACCGCCCACCCCCCGGCACTCGACGACGACCGACGACCTGCGACTGCGACGACGACGGGAATGACGAGCACCATGGCTTTGGATGGGTGCACGATGGGCCTGGCGATGGCATCGATAAAGGGCGCGCTGCGGTGGCGACCCACGACTACGACCACGACCACGACCGACGACCATGTTCGCGATGGCTTCGCACCCCGCAACCGACCGAGGACCCCAGCTTGCAGACAAACCTTGGGTCGGAACCTGTCGGAGTCATGAAAAGGGACCGGAATAGGCAAGAGGAGGACTCGACATCGATTTTTCCGCAGATACCATGCCGGTCCATTCGTCCCGAGGCGCATTCGATTCTTTCCCTCAACTCCATCACATCATCACATCGCGTCACGCTACCGACAATACACGAGGCTAACCGACGTCCGTCGTCACTCTCTAGGGCCATCAACGGTATCCTCGCCATGACCGAGTTTAAGGAGCAGTTCGGAACAAAGTGCTACGACAGCAACCACAAGCTCGAAATCTGCACCGAGGACTCGTCCATCATCGTCGCCATCTTGAGCGCCGGCACTGCCCTCGGCGCTCTGCTGGCGGCCCCGGCTGGCGACTCGCTCGGCCGCCGCAAAACCCTCCTCCTCGCCGTCGCAATCTTTTGCATCGGCTCCATCTTTCAGGTCTGCGCTCAGGCCACTGACATGTTGTTGGCCGGCAGGTATGTCGCGCTTCTCCACTCAGATAACCGCTGTTAACCACTCCTCTAGATTCCTTGCCGGTCTTGGTGTCGGCGGTGTATCCCTTCTGGTACCTCTCTACCAATCCGAAATGGCCCCCAAATGGGTCCGAGGTACTCTAGTCTGTGCCTATCAACTATCCATCACATTTGGCCTTCTTGCCGCCTCCATCATCAACATCATCACCTCACGTCTCGACAACTCATCAGCATATCGCATCCCCCTCGCTCTTCAACTCGTTCCTGCCCTCATCTTGACCGCTGGTCTCCTCCTCCTACCCGAAACTCCTCGCTTCCTAGTCAAAAAGGGACGACACGAGGAAGCCGGCCTCTCCCTCAGCCGGTTACGACGACTCGACATTACCCATCCTGCCCTGGTAGATGAGCTACAAGAAATTGTAGCAAATCATCGCTATGAACTCACTTTAGGCCCGGATAGCTACAAAGAGATTTTTGTTGGATCCCCGCACCTCGGACGACGTACCTTTACCGGCTGCGGCCTGCAGATGCTTCAGCAACTCACAGGAATCAACTTTATCATGTACTACAGCACATCCTTCTTCGATGGAGCTGGCGTTGAGAGCCCATACACCAAGTCGCTCATCATCAACGTCATCAACGTCGTGTCCACTCTTCCTGGGTTGCTCGTCATTGAGCACTGGGGTAGACGGAGACTTTTGATGATTGGTGCCCTCGGCATGGCTGCGTGCCAGCTCCTGATGGCATCCTTCAACACTGCCACAGGGGATGACATGAAGAAGATATCACAGACTATCCTGGTCACCTTTTGTTCCGTCAACATCTTCTTTTTCGCTGCGTCATGGGGCCCCGTCGTCTGGGTTGTCACATCCGAAATCTATCCCCTCAAAGTCCGAGCCAAGGCCATGTCTGTATCCACCGCGTCTAATTGGGTCCTGAACTTTGCCATTGCCTACAGCTCTCCCTTCATGCTCGGTGACGGGCCCGGGGGTGCTGCATTCGGACCCAAAATATTCTTCATCTGGGGTGCGTTCTGTATCTTGGCCGTCTTCTTTGTATGGTGCATGGTGTACGAAACCAGCAAGATCAGTCTAGAACAGATTGACGAAATGTACGAGCGGGTGAATCATGCGTGGAACAGCAAGGCATTCCAACCGAGTTGGAGTTTCCAGCAGATGCTCGACGAAGGATGGTCCCCTAGCGCCCAGCCGCCAGTCGATCACGAACTACAAACGACGACGACTGCATCGAGCGCGGACACGACGCTCGGCGACGGCGATTCATCATCAATCACCGTGCATAATTCCAACAGCAACAGCAACACAGCGTCAAACGACCAGAACAAGGCCCCGCCTGTCATGGCGAATGTCGACTTCAGCTACTAGGTCACGCGGCTCGTGCTCGAATCTCTTTGTCTATATTATGTGTCTTCTGGCCGTCGTGTCACATAGGGAAATCAGCGATGGAGTTACGACGAGGTGGAGTTTCGAGGGGTTCACGTGCTTTTTATCTCCAAGTTTTTGGTCTTGTTTTTTGTCTCTTCTACTCTTTATATCCTATACGTCTTGTTTTTTTATATCGGGATCTTCACCACCCACCGGGACGGGTTCACTCAGGGAATACGGGTACTTGGTAAGAGGACTGGATACCGCCCTCATCTTTTTCGAATTGAGGTTACCGTCGTTTCAGGGATTTGTTATGCCGTCGATGATTGGGAGTCCGGATACCCCCGTGGGCAGCGACTAATTGTCGGGGAAGAGGTATGGCGGCTGGTTGACGCATGGGCGACGAATTTTTGGGTAACAGACATGCCGTGCCATGCTATAGTGTCTGAATACCTGTTCAAAAAATATACAGCATTCTTAAATACCCCTGAACATGTCTTGCTCCTGGTCACTTGCCTCAATGTGTTTATGTTAAACCACAACCCGGCGGTAAAGTAGATGCCTACCTATACTAAGGTTGTATGGATTGTGGCATATGTGCCTCGCCATCAACAGCTCCGATTGGGGCCAGTCCTGTACGGCGCAACCCTTAGTGTTCTTAGCTGTCTGATGCCTAGTATGGAACATGGCCTTGCTTTCTAGTGTTCTCGAGCCGACTCATGTGTTCTAGTTGTTTGTGGCTAAGCCTGGGTTGCACATTAGGCTGGTTTGTTGGAGCTGCAGTGTTGGTCTCAATCAACCTCGAATTCGGAGTGTTCTGAACATCGGAACATTGTATCGCAAGGTTTTGTTCTTGGTTCACTCTACTTCGAGAGGACTGTCCATCAGAGGGTAAAGGGTTTCTCCTTTCCTTGCCGACCGGGAATTTTCTCTCCTTTCTTCTTCTCCATCTGTGGATACTAAGCCACTCTTTCCACGGGTGAAAGCCCATTTTTTCCACCAAGTATTCGACAAACCCAACTTGACCGATAGGAGATCGCACTTATTCCTTCATCATGGGGACTTACATCCCCGCCAATGCGGTCCATCCGCACTTGATCAACCTCATTCGTCGACACGCGACAGTTCCGGAAGGAAACCTCAACAACCTGTCGGATGGAGAACTGGCCAAAGCTATTGGGCTTGCTCTCTCTCTTGGCGACAAAGACGAACGAGACTTCATCTTGTCGCTCATTATGAGTGATGAGGATGTCGCTGCTCAGGGTCTCCAGCACCCGGATGTGCAGGATATGGATCTCCAGATCCCCTTGACGGCCGGGGAGAGACTTGCCGCCCTTCGAAAAACGCCGGTGCCAGATGCCAGGGATGAGCTCGCGCCAAGAAACGGGACATGCTTCGTTTGTTTTGAACCAGCTCAAGTGACCATCCCAGGATGCAGATGCTTCTTTTGCCTGCGCTGCCTTCGGGAAACCATCCGCGTCGGCCTCCGTTCTGAGCTGGACTTTCCACCTCAATGCTGCGTGCCCTTTTCGGAAGAGGCAATCCGCTCCGTCAATCGCCCGGCTCTTGTCCATCTCAACCGCCAATTCGCCTCCGAGATGGCCGTCGGGCCTTCGGAGCGGCTCTACTGTCATCACGGCGAGTGTGCCATGTATATCCGCCCAGAGGCGCATGGAGAGTGTCTGAGCTGCGGGAGCCGGACGTGTGAAAAGTGCAGAGGACCGGCCCACGAACCCCCAGAGAAATGCTCGGACGACACGGACGGACCTGCTGAAGATGTTTAGGAAACCATGGATCAGAATGGTATCGTCAATTGTCCCCAATGCGCGAGAATGCTGTCGCTGCTGACCGGTTGCAACCACATAACATGTATTTGCGGAGCGCAATTCTGCTTCCTCTGTGGAGGGCCCTGGCCGGAGTGTGATTGCGACATTTACGCACACCACGACAAAGTACTGAGCATTCATCTTCGACCCGGCCGGAAGCCCGAGCGGTGGAGACGCAAACGCCGCGTTGTTCCGGCCCCGACGGGTCAGTTTGTGTTCCACACCATTCCGCAGTTGAGACCGAGGCCGGGTGAGCAGCCATTGGCGTGGCAGGTTCCCCGACGGAGGATGTTCGAGCCGGGACGACAGGCGCCGGGAGTGGGAGCACGCGAGGCATCAATGGCCCAGATTGCACCAGAGCCGGAAAGAGCTGAGAGACCGGTCCAACAGCTGGCGGGAGAGGGACCTGTTGAGAGACATGTCTTTATGCGGGCGGCCGGACCGATGAATCCTGACAGACCCATCGACAGATGGGCTATGGAGCCTGTTAATCCTCAGGAACTCGTCAACGGACGGATTGTGGATAACACTCAGAGAGCCATCAATAGATGGGCCGTGGACCACGTCCTCGCAACTACGGAACAAGCCAACACTGGGGGAATGATCAACAGACAGGCTACAGAGCCAGCCAATGATACTCCGGGATCGATCATCTGACTATTCATCGATGATATGTGAGACGCTCCCCGAGAGAGCGAGGAAGAGAACTTCACACTTCAGCCGACGCTCCTTCAGCATCCCAGAGGGCCTGAGGTGGAGTGCAACCCGAAGACGCAGGAGATTGAATACTCCTCCGGAATAGTGATTCCAGTGCAATGCAGACGGCATTCGGAAATCAGGAGAGGGACATTTCAGGGCAAAGTTTGAGGCGCGAGAGCTGGCAAGGCCAGGCATGAACGGCGCAATATGGGTCAGATGTGTATGTCCTTTCATGGAGGATTTCTGGGACATTTTGACTAGTCTCCCGGAAGGAGTGAGAGATTTGGATTGGATTATTGGACAAAAGTTGTCGTTCTGATGTTTTAGTATGCGCATTTTAGCATTAGTGTCCGTAGTGTAAGCCATTGGTACCGAGTACAAGACTTTGTTCTTGGAACACTTAATGAGACATGTATCTTCTTTAAATAATTTTCTTTTGAATTCCTTAATACTTTTGACCTTTTTAGCCGCACCTTTAGAAGTAGCCCATCGAAGCTGTGTTGCGCACAGCCGAAATCTTGCCCTCACTTCCCTATCCTCCTCTGGACCGGCGGACGAGGGGGCACACCCTCATGGGAGGGTTTCAACCAGTCCACCCTTCGTTCGTTCTTCTTCTTTTATCTCAATTCTTCCTTATAATTACTTAATTAGCCAGCATCCAAAACATTGTGGTATTCAGGGGCGCGGCAACTCCCCTCCAGATTTCACACGCATCATATGGGTTCAGCTAATTAACGGTTTCAATGTTAGAGGATCGATTTTTTTAGGTTTAATTTGGGGTCACTCCAATTTACGGGTAATAAAGCGCTGCAGGATGTCAAAGACGTGTGACTTCGGTACGGTTTGGCTCTCATCCAGAGTAGGCGGATCACGACGCGAATGGATCTCAAGGTACGTACGGAGACGTTTGGCCTGTAACTGTAGGATAGGACCTTATTAGAATACTGACTGGTAAATTGTAAAATAAACACTATGTATTTGAAGAACCTAATCATTGACATGAATAAACTCACTTACTCCATCCAAATATGCTCAACATGTGTTCCTGACAATAGAAGTCGAACATCGGAGGCTCCTGAACCAGCTCTCCGCAGCAGGCCACCGGAGGCGCGAGCTCGACCTTACCTTGCCAGGATTGCCCATGCTCGAGAAAGTAAGCGTGAAGAGGGTTCTTAGGATCCAAGCCTGACCGGCTACAGTATTTCATGAGGGTGTACCAGGGATATTCGCAGTCTTTGGCGGTGCACATGGACTTCTGAATGCGACACATGGTTTCTGTGGAGGTTTGCTGATTTGTTCTGTCTTGGGAGGTTTTGAGCTGGGGTGGATATGGTGATATCTTGGTCGATTGCGTTATGTGAGAAATGTTACGGGTGGGAGTTAGAGCCTGCGAGAGTTTATATGGGAGGTGTCAAACAATGGGTCTATGTCTAACAATGAAAAGCTGTTTGTTGCTCAAACTGATATCTTTGTTCGTACATTTTCGGGTGGATTTGCGTGTGTCCACGGGACAATGGCTTGTGTCAAAGAAGGGAGCAGAAACTAGAAGCACCCCATAGAACATCAATTTTATACACTTAACTACCCTCGATAATCCAAAGAGCGCAATTCTCCACGTCTATCATGTTTCCTTGTATCGCTTTCAGAACCTTTGTCTAGATTGACTTGACAAGCGTCTTCTTAATCTCCGCCACCACTGCAGCCGTCACCTCCTTTGTTGTTGCAGTACCACCCAGGTCAGCTGATAGAACACCCGCATCGCACACGTTCTCGACACACTGCATCAACTTGAGCGAGGCCTCTTCCTCACCCAGCCAAGTCATCATCTCGGCAGCGGTCCAGAAGGTAGCCACAGGATTGGCGACGCCCTTTCCGGTGATGTCAAAGGCAGAGCCGTGGATGGGCTCGAACATGGACGGGTTCTCGCGCGTCGGGTCAAGGTTGCTGGTAGGGGCAATGCCAATGGAACCAGCCAGGGCGGCTGCCAGATCAGAGAGAATATCAGCGTGCTAGGTTGAGCATTAGCATGTCATATTTGATCAACTTGACGGAGGCCTTACCAGGTTGGTGGCGACAATGGTATCCAAAGTCTCGGGCTTCAGGACCATTCGGGTAGTCATGGCGTCAACAAGCATCTTGTCGACTGTGACATCAGGGAACTCGGTGGCGACCTCAGCGGCAACCTCATCCCACAGCACCATGCCGTTTCGCTGAGCATTGCTCTTGGTAACGACAGTGATCAGTTTGCGAGGTCGCTTCTGAGCAGTCTCGAAGGCAAAGCGCATGAGCCTAGTAATTCCATGGCGGGTAAAGATGGAAACCTCAGTAGCTGTCTCCCAGGCCCGGCCGCGGTGGGAGCGGCCGCCTTGACCGGCGTACTCTCCCTCACTGTTCTCGCGGATGATGACCCAGTCAAGGTCGCCCGTCTTGCAGTTGCGGAGGGGTGACTGGGTGCCCTTCAGGACCTTGGTCGGCCGGACATTGGCATACTGTTGGAAGGGCTGGCAAATTGCCAGGCGAAGGCCCCACAAAGAAATGTGATCAGGGACATCTGCGCCGTCGTGTGAACAAGGAGGCCAATGAACGCGGAGGGTTATATCAACATACCAGGGGCACCGACGGCGCCAAAGAGGATGGCGTCGTGCTTCTTAAGCTCCTCCAAACCGTTGTCGGGGATGTACTTCCCCGTCTTCTTGAAGGTATCAGAGCTCCAGTCGTAGTGAGTAAAGTCAAGCTCAAAGGTCTGAAGCGTGTCGGCCAGAGCCTTCAAGACCTCGATACCGGCCTCGACAACCTCGGGGCCAATTCCATCGGCAGGAATGGAGGCGATGCTGTACGCCTTCTTGGAAGCAAGCGCGCTAGGAGACATGGTGGGGGATGCAGGAGATTGGTTCGACTGGGGGTTGGGTGGTGAGGATGCGGTGAGAAGCAATTATGCAGACTCTTGAAGCATGCCGTCTTTTGTAATCGTCGATTCCTCAGGACTTCTCCGACCACGGATGTAGGTCGGCCATTTCATCCAACGCTTCGCCAAGGTAGACGCGCAAGTGTATGCGGAGCGGACGTAGGATTGGCCGCGGACATTTCATAGTCCGCCAGAATCAGTCCACGCGGACGTATCCTGCGTAACGCATCGTCAGATGTCAGTCCATTTGTTTCATGGGATGGTTTAGTGCCGGCATCCGGCCAAGACCGTGGAGAATGCGGGGAAAGAATCTGAGATTGCTCTTGTTGAGAGGAACTGAAGTCGAAGATGATGGAGAGATGCCGAATGCGGGGAGAGCGCGGAGGTGCAACGCCGAGTAGCGATTCATGAGGTGTTTGTCGCCCCTCGTCACTCATTTGGACATGGACTTTTACAACTCAATCAATCAAATTTCACCGAATACTTTCTGAACATCATGATAGACCCGAAAGCAATTGAAGCCGTCCTGGCTAAATTTGTTCCCCTTATCCAAGCCCATCGCGAGACAACCTCGACGCCCTACGTGCTAGGGTTGTCAGGTCTCCAAGGCAGTGGAAAATCGACATGGGCTGCAGCTCTATCCGGAGCTCTGGTTGCTCAGCACAGCCTCAAGACAAGGATTCTCTCACTGGACGACCTCTACTCCGACCATGCAGACCTCGTCGCTCTCCGAGAGGCAAACCCGGACAATGGGCTATTGCAGACACGAGGCCAGCCTGGGACCCACGATGAGACTCTTGCTCGAGAATTCTTCCATCAGGTTCTTGCCGTAAACTCGAACAATAGTCCAGAGGCTTTCATCAAGTGGCCAGCCTACGATAAGAGCCTTCACAGCGGTCAGGGAGGCCGAGTGCCCCCGGAACAGTGGGACAAGGTCCCTGCCAGCCAGGGCCTGGATGTTCTAATCTTTGAAGGCTGGTGCCTCGGCTTCCAGCCTTTGAATAAAGAACAGGTCAGCCAGAAGTGGGAAGAAGACAAAGCGACCATTACGGGCGGCGAACCTCAGTCTGAAGAGGCCAAGCTCATCCAGACGCTCGCCAGCCACGACCTGAGCCACCTGCTGCTCATCAACGATAATCTTGGGCGCTACTGCGACTCGTTTGCAGGCCCAAAGCACTTTGACGGCTTTCTGCATCTGAGCACAGACAAGTTGATCCACGTATATGAGTGGAGATTGGACCAGGAGAAGGCGCTTAGGAAGCACAAGCCGGGGATGACGGACGAACAAGTTATTCAATTCGTGCGGGGATACATGCCTGCATACGAACTATTCCTAGGCCGCCTCCAAGAGGAGAACTTTTTCAAGGAAGATGGGGTAGGATCAAAGATGCATGTGCAGATTGTCCTGAACAAGGGTAGAGAGGTGGTGCAGGTGAAGGAGCTGGAGTAGCCGCCTTCGAGTCATCTCAACCTGCTGTGCACAATTAGATAGTCCGTCACTGTGTCCAATGCCATAGTCTGATCTATTTCTCAAACCGAGGTCTCATCCGGTACTTGTTAGTGTTGAAATTGTACCGTAATGTGACGCCCCTTTCGCCGCATTCTTAGACCCTGGTGTTGACTCCAACTTCAGCTGACGGGATGCATTCCCCCGCTTCACGGCGGTCCCGCATCGGCTCCAAGCAGCGGTGCATTCATTGTCCGACGCTAAAGCATCTAACCTTACGCCAATCCTGGGTCTAGATCCGGTCTAATGGCAGTTGACCTTGGGGAAAATCTGGGGCCCCGGGGGGACGTCGTCACGGAGAAGAAGACTAGGTCAGGCCATGACCAATGTAGCCTTGGCCCCGTGAAATATAAGATGGCATTGCGGCCGTCACGGTTTGCTTGAGATTGCCAGCCTCATATCCCACCAACTCCTCCTCTTCTCTAAGACATCTTCTTGGGCGATCATCATGACAGCAGACACCAAGCGAAGCAGCATCGAGCGAAAGCCAGAGGACGACTTTGTCGAAATGTCTGCCGACCCCATGGAAAAGGGAGGCGTCCTGGGTGAGGAGGCCGACTACTCTGGAGCTGTCAAGAAGACCAGCCCCGAGGAGATTCGCCTCGTCCGCAAGCTGGACTTTAGAATCATGCCGACTCTGTGGGCCATGTATTTCCTGAACTATGTACGTCCGGCCGAGACTGATTTGATTGCTTGGAATACCTTTTACTAACTGGTAAACTTGTAGCTGGATCGAAATGCCATTGCTCAAGCGCGCTTGAACGACCTGGAGGAGCATCTTGGTCTTGTCGGAACCCAGTACAACACCTGCATCTCCATTCTCTTCGTTGGGTAAGTTCAAACCATCGAACACGCGCTCATCTGTTTATTTTGCTAACACACGATTAGATATCTCCTTATGCAAATTCCGTCCAACATGTTAATCTCATCGAAACGCGTTCGTCCTTCGGTCTATATGTCCATCTGCATGATGGCCTGGGCAGTCGTGTCTGCCTGCACCGCTCTCGCCAAAAACTACACCAGCCTTGTTGTACTTCGGTTCTTCTTGGGCGTTACAGAGGCACCGTTCTACCCCGGAGCCCTGTACCTCCTGTCAATCTTCTATACCCGCAAAGAGATTGCCACGCGACTGTCGATTCTATACTCTGGCAATATCTTTGCCACCTCCTTCTCGGGTCTCATTGCCGCAGCTACTTTCAACACCATTGATGGAGCACAGGGTCTCCGAGGATGGCAGTGGCTTTTCATCATCGAAGGCATTCTGACATTTGTTGTCGGTATTGTCGGCATTTTCACGTTGGCCGATAGCCCATTGACCACTCGGTGGCTGGAGCCGGAAGAGAGACAGCTTGCTCATGACCGTATGGTCCGTGATACTGTCGGTCTTGAGGAGAGCAAGGGAGCCCGTGCTGGATTCTTCCAGGCTGTTCGCGATCCTCGACTTTGGCTCTTTTGCTTCATCCAAAACATGCATCTTTCGGCGTGCTCCTTCAACAACTTCTTCCCGACTGTTGTTGGCTCTCTGGGTTTCAACAAAACCATCACTCTCGTGCTCACTTGCCCTCCCTACCTCGTTTCTGGCTTTTTTGGATACCTTGCCGGCATGTCTTCGGGCAAGTACAATGAGCGGACCTGGCACATCACAACGTGTATGAGCATCGCACTGGTTGGATATATCATCTCTTGCGCCACGCTCAACACTCCTGCCCGATACATTGCATGCTTCTTGTTCGCGAGTGGTGCTTATGCCGTCAACTCCATGATTCTTGGCTGGGTGTCCGCGACCCTTGGATCAACCCCCGAAAAGAAGTCCGTCAGCTTGTCGATTGTAAATGTGGTCGCCAATGCGTCCTACATCTACACCGCGTACCTGTACCCAAAGAGCAACGGACCTCGTTACTTGATCGGAATGTCGAGCAATGCTGCATTTGCCGTCGCGTGCATTGCTGGAACGTGGGCCATGAGGGTCTGGCTGCGTCGGGACAACAAGAAGCTTGACCAAGAGACAAATGCCCAGACAGTGAGATACGCTTACTAGGCTCAAGTGGGCAACCAATGTTGCGGTCCAAGGTGCCATACTCGGGGATTGTGGTGAAGGAACGAACAATTGTTTGAACTGTAGGCTAATCGTGCTATCTACGATTAGGGGGAGGTTTAGTCAACAGAACACATGTTTTTGAGTACTACGATCAGATAACCGGAAAAATGTGAACAATCCTTGAATAGTGACCTTGCCTTTTTCTCCCCATTCCCTGCTAAAGTTTGTCGGCGGGTGTATCGCGAATGTGAGGATTTGTTTTCTTCAGCCAGTCTTGAAGAAGAAAAAAGATTCTAGGGAGTATTGCTATTTGCACACAATTGCAAGCCTCTTCAGCTTAACCCCAGGGCGAATCGATATATCTAAAATTGGAGTTCTTAGACCTTAGGGTTATATGTCTTAAAATGTTCAATTTAATGAAATGCTTATTAGGAAATAAACACTTCGAATTGGTCTTCTAAATAATTTATGAGAATAATAAATAATGATCAGCAGAATTGAAGTATGTAGTTATATGTGCGAATGGCAATACTCATTCTAGGGTGCTAACGGTCGCCACGGGGCCAAGAGAAAATACAGGTCAAGATCGTAGGCAAAAGTTCTTGACCCTATGGGTCTTTTATTGCTGGATGTAGAGCTGAAATATGTCTCATATACACACCATCGTGAATTTGCACACGTCGATATTAACCGAGGCCAGAACTATCACGAAAGTGTATTTGGAGAGAAATATGTACACAATACCTCCCACGCCAGGATAGTAAAAGTATTAGAATACAGTATAAGATACAGCACAAGTCAACATTACCTTAGATAGTTCCAAGTTGGGTCAATAGACGCGTCAAACTCGGCAGCAACGAGAAAAGGGTTGTCAATAGCACTGAATGAACTGGCAAATAGCTGGTCATACCACATCATTGACTCTTGACCTTCGACGGGCCCGGTGTCCAGGGGAACATCAAGTGAGTCTGTTGCCACAGGAAATGAGGAAGAGGGATCTTGGGCACCTGCGAGACCTGGTCGGTTAGCAGCAATAGCTGAGGCGTCTGGGTTGTAATGAACGCCCATAGTTGCGAATGATTGGGCACGCGACTGCCTCTGTCGCCAAAGCGCGTCTGGTTGCAATGGAGCCGCTGCTCTGGATGATGGTACCGTGTTTTGATGCTGTACGTTTGCTTCGCTACCGTTTGAGGCTTGTGTCAAAACGCTAGACTCATTGTATGATCCTCCCGAGGTTGGGTTATTGTCGACACCAGCGGCTGAATCCCAGCCCGATGTTGTACCTCGGCGCTTGTTTGCCGTAGAAGTGCTTTCTTGACCATCAGATGGCGCACTCTGAGATGCAACTGTTCTGAACAATGTCTGAGACTCTGGCAATACATCGGCCGTGTCCTGGGTCACCGAGATCGTGGTGGATAACTCCCGGACAGCAGAGATAAGTTCATCAATGGCTTCGAGGCAATACTCTGGCCATGATGTGTCTCGAGCAGCCAGATGGCTGAGCATATCCTTCCCAGCCATGACGTGCCTTCAACAAACATTAGTATTAGTTCACAGAATTAAGCCGGGGACATACCTCAGTGCACTGTCAAGTGGGACCTGGCTCTCAAAGGCGGCGTGGACAAGAACAAAAGTGCTGATCCACACAGCCCAGGTAAAAGATGGCCACAGAAGGGGCATGACCAACCGTCTCTCACCCCGATCATTACCGAGACGGTGACGTTTTCGGTGTCTTTTAAATAGAATACAGATCGACTTTGCCGCAGAGATGCAGGCTTGGAAAGCAGAAGAGTAGGATGGAGAAGAAGCCTCAGAAGCCAAACCGGGGCGGTTCAGACAAATTGTGGACTCGTGCTTCAGGAAAAGTAGCATTAAGCGATGGCTAGGGGAAATCTTTGGTCGATTAGGCGTATCGGTGTCGCTCAAATTGTCTACTTCGTCCTCTTCTTCAACGATATCCAGGATCTCATTCGACCATTTTGCGAGCTCCGTCTGTACAAATGCTGTTCGATCAGCGGTGTCCTGACGCTTCGTAAAAGACTTGTTGCGTAGTTCTAGGATAAGCCCGCGAATTCTGGCTTGTTTGGCGAGATAAGTGAGCAATTGTAGCTTTTCGGCTCCATTAGCAGCATCAGTTGACCCGCCATGATGCTCCTCACCTGGGTAGCAAACATCCAAGTCATCGTCTTGGATATCTAGAGGCAGCCCGAGGGATTGACAGAGAAATCTCTCGAGAATGTAGATGCACCAGAACACGCGGCGCCGAACAGAGGCTTCCTCCACGGTGAAGAAAGGAAACCGAGTTGGACATCGATGAAGCCCCAGGTGGAAGGCCATGCGAACGATGAGACCGCCCAGGCGAGATGCTGCATTCAGACAGAGCATTGACGTGAGGAATAACTGGATAGCAAGAGCTGCTTGGGTGGCTCGGATCGATGCTGGTTGACTGAGTGCGAATTGTGAGCTTGCTACAGCTTCTTCCACACTTTTGAAAACGAGGTCTGACGGAATAGGTTTCGAGAAGGCATCTCCTTGGCGGCTATCGGCGAGCGAGATGGACAGTATTGATCTGAGAATGACATAGTCCAATGGAAGAATGGACGATATCCCTCGCTCCGAAGCGTCTTCGAATATCCGTAGTGTGTCTGGGCCATGGAGAAACGGGACGGCGGGATGCCAGGACTCAAAGAAGCTCTTTGACCACCCAACCAAGTCTTCGAAGCTTGGATGAAGGTTGCCCGCCCCTGAGTCACTGAGGACTTCATGGGATTTCCACAGAAGTTTCTCTCGGTTCGTTTTTGCCAAGGTCGGTTGTCGAAGCTGATCGTCCTCGCCCGGTACCAGATTATTGATCGTCGTCGCCTGGGTCGTTCTCGTCGCGGACCTCCTGGCCAGTCTTAGGTACACAGCACGTATGTAGTGAATCCCGCTGCCACTCCCGACAAAGCGAGCCACATCATGCTCTCCGGAATCGCGCATCAACCCATATTCTCTGGCTGGCTGGGATCCGGAGATCGATCGCTTTCGTTTGCGTGCTTCGGTTGAGTATCCAGGGGTAGAACATGAGGCAGTCTCGGAGGCGCTGAACGGTGATTGGTGAGTGGCCATCACGCTGCGACTCCCCGTGGAGCCATATGGCACAGAATTTCCAGGGGAATAATTCACCGCTGAAATGACCTTGTCGTGTCCGAGGTGAGAAGGCTGCATCTGAAGCCGTGTCGCGTGTGAACCAAGGTCAAGGAATGACGTTGGAGCGGACAAAGAAAGGTCCGAAGCGGGGTTATGATGGAACTTCGTGTGGTCGCTCCAGTGGGGCATCGCTTCAGTGATTGTGCTAACCTGGACCACCAGCAGTATTTGCACAGAAAGGGTCGGCCGTTGCGCAAGAGCATATGGCCGACAATGAATTAGAGGAAGGGGAGGCTGGGCAGGGCTTGAATCCCATTGCCTGCAGCTACTGTCGACAGAGGAAACGCAAGGTGAGCAATCTCTTACACTGGGTGCTGCAGGGCGGGACAACTATCAGCCTCAAATCATAGATCACTAACAACCGGTGCAGTGCGACCGCCAACTGTTTGTTTTCCCTATCGATTGACTATCTGCTATGAATGAACTAAGTTCTTTGCCTTATCTAGACCTCACTGCCTTCAATGCAGCCATGACCCGTCCAACTGCCACTATCCGGAGCAGAACAAGAGGTCTGTATCCACTCTGGACATGTTGCCTTATCAAATACTGACATCCTAAACAGGGGGATACCTATTGGTTTCATCAATAGATTGGAAGCACGCCTAGTGGAAACTGAAGATGCCCTATATCGGGTTCTTCAGTTCATTGACCAACGATCGGTTGATGAACCGAACTCACTACATCACTCGCGACAAAGTAAAGCCGACCGCATAAAAGAATGGGACAGCCTTCCGTTGCAATCAATGGATGAGGTACATAAATGGTACCAACAACGAATTGGAGCAACCCCTTCGAGTGCAGGTGACTTGTCGATCGACAATCCGCCACCGAGCACTACCTGGCCCCTTCGCGCAATCAACCAGATGGCCGTACCGGTGCCAATTACAGACATACCCGATACAGAAGTACAGCAGCCGATAGTCGTAAATACTGGACAGTCTATGTCCGCCTCTGATGGAGACAGCATGTTGGAAGCATCATGGGAGCTGAACCACCCGCCAAGCGAAAGCAAGGCTAAGGACTTGGGCAAGAAACACCCCCATTTGTATTTTTAATTAGCATGTAATTGCTAAACGGATACCTCATTTTTGCTACATATAGCCTTCTAAAGGACTCGTTTCCGGCGCGAAGTTCTCGGCCTCGTCGGGTATGTCACCCGGTGGACCTGACTCGACATAGAATCGGAACGGGGTCCCGACGTGGCTAGTGAACATCATCATATGTGCGGTTCTAAAGGACGTTAAATTAACATCGAAGAAGACAATCCGCCAGCTTCACACATTCTCGTTACAGCAAGCGATGTCGTTCACTACTCATTCGTTGCGCCGAGTTTGTGTGCGGGTGTTCTCAACACCCACGTCACGGGCATTTTCCCCTCATTCGTCTTTCTTGAACACTGCGACTCAGGCTCGAAACATGGCCACCGATAAAAAGCGGGAGTGGCTCTGTATTCTCCCCGATAAGGCCAACGTTCTTGAACGTAGAAAAGAGGTAAAAAGGTAAGCTGACGATGTCACTGGGTTCAACCTCGCGCTCAACTTCGCCTTGGTCCGCTTTCTGACACATTCCATTCAAGTCAGCATTATGAGGCAGTGAAGCCGTTGGTTGCTTCTGGAAAACTCGTCGCTGGTGGTGAGTTCTTTTAATACTTGCTGCATTCTCCAGTCGGCTGGCTGTCTATGGCTAACCAAACGATATTGAAGGAGCCATGTTCGAAAAGCATCCTGTTGATGGCGAACCTGCATTGTTCAAGGGTAGTGTCATCGTATATACTGGAGACAGCGCTGAAGAAGTCCACAAACTAATCACCAATGATGCTTACGCTCGAGGTGGCGTGTGGGATCTCGAAAAAGCCCAGATCATTCCGGTAATTACTTTCTACGCCCTTCCACTACCACACAGCCAAGTGTATTAATCATCTTCCTCCTGGTAGTATGTTCCGGCTGTGCGAGAGCCCTTGTCCTAGAAAACTTTCTCTCAAACGACGAGTAGGGAGGTCGGTCGCATATTTTGTGCGCTAAGAAGGGTGGATGTGGAATATTCCCGAGGGAAATCAAGGTTACTACATTTCTGGAGGATATAAAAGGCAATCCACGTCGAGCTGTTCTGCCAGATCAAGAAGTTCCCGTGGTGATAACCCGGCCATTGCATTAGCTGCAAAGTGATCCCATCCAGTCTCATCAATAATCGCATGATCCTCGTGCTCTAGCTCTCCTTGTACCTGGTGCTGTAACTCATCTTCCACGGTTGAAGGTTCCTGTGTCTCAGGTACTTCACTAGCTGGAGTGAAAGAAGATAGCTTTTGTTCTAGTTGGCTTAGTTCTACCTTTCTGAGAGGCGCCACCAAGCTGCCTTTTGAGATCATGGTGTCGAGTATGTAGTTGATATCTTCGCGCCAGGTATGGTCGTGGAGAAGGTAGGGGCAGATAACGGTGATAAGATGAAGCAGAAAGGCGGAAGAAGATGCGTATTCGACTTGGAAAGGTAGAAAAGATTCTAGACGAAGACATTACAGTTAGCAACTTCCTATTATGAGGAGAGTATAAAAGCTTACCCAATAGATCTTCGTCAGCTAATGCCCGGAGAGTGCTTAAAACCGTCTGAGCTGAGTCAACGCATGACTGTATAAGTGACGCGACAGGCGGCGAAAGATTGATTCCCCGAGAGACTTGTGTTGTAGCCTGCTCAATATGCATGTGCAGTGCGCACATGATTTGCGGTCTGGTTGTAAGAACCACACACTGGAGAATGTTAGATTTGAATCGGCGATACACTTATAATACTAAACTCACGTGGTGATAGCCCAGGATTAAACGGGTCGCAGTGCGTGAAGCTTTGCTGATGGAGTCTTGAAAGTACGTGCTGATTAGAGCATTCAAATCTCTAGATAATTCCGCAAGATTCCTCAAAATCGACTGAGTATCTGTGATGAGTGTGCCATCGTAATTCTTTCCTACACCATAGACGGCTGTGGAATATGATGAGCGATGTTCGAAGCAGCGAAGGGTTAGAACACGCTGGACTCACTTGTCAAGACTCGAGTTGTCAAGCGGGAGAGTCGAACATGAAGAGTCATAGTCAATGCATTGAGAGAGTCATCCGTCTCAGATGGAAGCTTCGTGGTGATGTCTTCGTCTCGAATAGAACTCGTTGCCCCAATGAGTGCCGCCCAGTCGAGGTCCAACATGTAGACGATCCAAAATACGATATGGCATCGTCTGGACAGTTCGACGCCAACAACGTCCTCTCGCATGTGTCGATGCATCCCAGCAAGAACACATATACGTAGAGCCTGTCCAATCTAGAGAGGCATCATGTAAGCAGATGTATGATCACTGAATCAGGTCAACACTCACATGCTGGAAAGCAGGCACCCTCATATCGACGGATTGAAAGTAAATGGCCGCCAAAGTTAACGCCTGAGCTGCGACTACAGGATCATTGTCAATTGCCGCCAGATCTGGAAGTAGTGACATGGCTCGAGCCGCATAATTATAACCGGGTGGCTTATCACTCTTGCCTCCGTTACCCAAGAAGGCCTTTCCAAATGCCAACATGAGCAAGAATTGGGCGTACCAGTGCCTACATCTCTTCGCTTTGGTGGGCGCATCCTGGTACAACTCTTTCATGTTGCGGAGGAAAGATTGCTCATCAATGATGTTGGCCAGTGGACCCAGATAAAAGGTGGCTGTTTTGACCAAGAAAAGGGCATAATCTGAAGGTGGTAGATTTGAAACATCAGGGGCTTCATCAAAGCCGAGGGGTCGTCTTTGCATCTTAAAAGCGACTCCGTCAAGATGCCACGGGGCTGGTTCGCAGCCGGCATCAGGAAGATGCTTCCCGACGAGTGAGAGTACACGACGACAGAAGGCCCAAGATGACGACGGGCCCATGTACCCTGGCAAATATGAGTGAACATTCCAGTGTGAGATGGCTTATGGCACTTACAATATTTCCCATTTTCTTGTGCAAATGCAAAGGTGTAGTCATTATCTACGAGAGGATTCTGCTGAAAGGCCGGCTCCACTCTGCTAAGGGCCGACTCAATAACACTCCCTGCATGGGCGTGTTCGGATTGATGTTCCTGGGACGTCCCCGGCGTCAAGACTGGTATGTGTCAGTAAGAACAGGCTGTTGAATTGACGGTATTGTCTTACCTGGGTCTACCATCTCACCTCGGCCGGATGTCATTGAGCCCTCGCCAGCACCGACAGCCCGGGCCCCAACATTCGAGTCTCTGGAACGAAGTTGACGGCTTGACCATGTCTCATTCTCCAAGAAGGGGTCTGAGGCACTGCCGTCCTGGCGGCCTTCCAAGGCGCGGAGATAGCTGTTGTTGGTGGAGATGCAGGTTAGACGCGGTTTAGGAGCGGGGTGGGGAAAGTCGAAGATGAACGATCATCCCACATACCTCTCTGGGACCGAGACTCGTTTGTCCGTGGCAGGAAATTGACATGTTACATGCTTACGATCGCATCTTGTGCATGGCTGAGAGCCGGAGCACTTGACCTTCATGGACCGGCATCGATTACAGCTGCAACAACAGTCAGGGCTTGAAGGACGCCACAGAAGTGGAGAAAATAATGCCAGTAGATACACACGCTTTCGGGCATTTCTTGCCGATTTTGGCCCGCTGTAGGTTATTCGGCATCTTGAGACTGTGAACAGGCGACTGGACTCGCAGTGGGTTTGTGGATTATCGTGGGTCGATCGGGGAATGAGGTCGGGGGATGGTTCCGACTATAAGTAAATCCGTACGCATTCGGCTTCTCAAAATGATGGCGCTTATCGGCGGAGAGTGATTTGTCAGTCGGATGGCGCACCCGACGTGTGCGAGTCAGTGGGCACAATGGCGCGAGATCGGCTTCGAAATCCGGTGGGGTTTGCATTTTCTTATCATTCAGCAACACATTTTCTGGGGTTCGCAAACAGTCGATAAATATCCCTTGACGACAGGTACATTTATGGTATATCGAAAACGAAACCCGAGAACACGTGTTTTATAACGATTCATTCCAAGGAATTGAACCTCCCCAGCCGGATCTGACAATGGCCATCAGAGCCACCGCATCTCGCTCACTAATTGCCCTGAGGTATGAGGCATCCTAATTATTTAGGTCCCCATGGTTTCAAAATTGTTTATCTTATCAAATCTGTCATAGGCAATTGAATACACTCCGCGGACAAGCATCTGTGGTGTCAAGGGCGCTCCCAGCCACCCTGCGAATGAATTCCTCCGCCGCAGCAGCGTTGGCTCCCAGTCCGGCAAAGACAACAAATGGGTTCTCAGCTGTACAAACAGTCTCCAACTTCGAAGAGACCATCGCTAAGCGACCGGACTTCGATCATTCCAACCCCCCAATCGAAGTCACCAAGTCGCCCGACTCAACCTGGTCTTTTGGCCATGGCGTCCGCAATAAGTCGCCTTCTGCCACAGACCCAAGACAGAAAGTTCACAAGGAAATCGATCCCTATTCTTCAGACCGATCCGTTAGTCAAAATTATAGACTTTTGGTTTCCGGAATCGCTCCACGCCCGGTCGGATTCATCAGCACACTTTCCGTGGATGGCAAGACGAAGAATCTCGCACCCTTCAGCTACTTTCAACTTGTTGATCATGACCCGCCCATGTTTATCGTCAGTTTCTCTTCAAGATTTGGCGCTATCAAAGATACCTACCAAAATCTGAAAGACACTGGCGAATGCGTTATCAATACGGTTTCAGAAAATATGATCGAGGCTGTGAGCGCTTCCTCAATCGATGCACCCTATGGACTGTCCGAGTGGGATGTCACTGGTCTTCATGAGGCCCCCACAACAACTGTCAAGCCATCCCGGGTTCAAGAGTCGGTCTTTTCCATCGAGGGCAAGGTTGTGGATATCAAGGAGTTCGCCCCCCACCAACCTGGGATGAGCAGTGCTGCGATAGTCCTACTCGAGGCAACACGGTTCTGGGTTCAAGAGGATGCGGCCAATGAGGACTTTAGTCACATTGACCTCGAAAAGTTGCGACCGATTGCGCAATTAGGTGGCATGTCTTATGGTCGTATTACCTCGACATTTGAGCTGCCCCGAATGCGGTGGGTCGATGAACAACCCAAAAGTGACCTTCTTACCAAACTAGAAGAGAAGTCGAAGCAATAATGACGATTGGTTCCCCCAGTGTAATAAATTAGAGTCTCATTATGAATCTATGTCCGTCTTGCATCCTAGATACTCTGGTGGGAGTGGCGATTCCATCCGGGTCTTTTCTTTGCTCCCTCAATGTATGTGAACTTTTGGTGACTCCTATTGCTGTATCCTCGCACATGACTCTAAATGTTGAGTAAATGTGAGAGTTTCTTATTAGAAGGAAATGAAATATGACGGGAATTTATTACCAGTTAAGGCAGTGTTGGTTGCAGAGAATCCTTGGAACATCTGTTCGCACATATGCTATTTCCTCCACTAACTAGAGTGACTGGGAATGACAGGGCTGGATGAACAGTTCGACCGTACGGCCGTGATTTCATTGATACATATAATGCCAGCTACACTAAGACAGAAAATCTGAATGTTTAAAACATATTCTCAGTTCATAGCCCCATCTACCCGAAAATTCTGCGGCGCACTTCTTTCCGCATTGCCTCCGCCATGTGCTGAGTTCGCTCTACAGCCCCACGATTCTCCACCGTCCGGCGATACAGATATCCCATACACTCTCCAACCGAGCCCCAAATGAAGGCCTTCAGTATTCGGGGTGATTTCCCTCCAATCCTAGAATCAGCAGCATCCTTCTCGTGATCCTGAAGCAGCTTGCAACTGAGCTCATCCGCCATTCCCAAGATTTGACCGCACTCTAGAGGTGTTAGAGGGAGACCAGCCAGCACCCTCTGCTTGTGAGTTTGAATGGCCTTTTCTGCACTCGCAGCGTTGTGGGTGCCCAAAAATAGGGTAGCACTAGGGAAATCAAGGTGTTTCGCCGCTTCCGGCATCCTCCGAGAGATGAACATGTCAGCGATGTCATCGTAACATCGATCGGTGTCCTCCTTTGTGTCGTGGATCAGAGACCGGATTTCGTTTTCGATGTAAGCTCCTCGAACAAGCTTGACAGCCACGGTAAATCCTTCTTGGGCTGCTAGTGTTAAGTGTCGCTCAGCGTTGGCTCTGGATCCTTTGAGATAACCCTGGATCGTGTTGTACATCAAATCTTTGCCTCCTCGGTTATGTTTCCGCATTGTTGCAATTGCCCACTCATCAAGTGTAGGCTGCAGGGCCTGTTGCTCAGCGTCGAACCACAGTCGGCAACCTCTTTTTCTCGCCTCCCCGCAAATCTCATCCACAGCTTTCTCGAGATACTCGGGCATTGGTTGCTTATCTTGCAGAGCATCCAGAGCGATTTGACCAGCACCAGTCAGTCTATCCCAAGGTTAGCTTGATTGATTCCGCCAGGAAAGTATGTGTAAACTCACTTCACTGCCAGGAAGTCGCCAGCATCAAGCATGTCCAAAGTCTCCACGTTTCCCATTTTCCACTCATCGACCACCTCATAGTGCTTTTGTCCATACTTGGCGCCTTCGGAGGGGGTGTGGTGGAGTGCCTCCACTGGATCCAGCACAACCTCCCTAGCATATCCGAGAATAACACCGTGGTACCCTAGCTTCTTTGTATTCTTCACTGCGTCTAAGCTCTCTTTGGAATTTGTGCCCGCGCAGAAATGGTTGTAGACGGCCCACCGTAGCAACCGATTCAGAGCAGGGTTCTTGTCCGCATTCAGGAGCGCAGACTTTGAGTTGACGACGAGCTCCATGATGGCTAAAGAAGGTCGAAGTAGCCAGGGTTTTGACATAACGGTGGTCAAAATAGCAGAGCGCAGTAGGGTTTTGGCCGGCAGTTTGGAGAGCGCCGTCTGCTCCTCCACCACTACCGGAGCAGATTTGATAGAGGCATGACTGAGTAGCCTTCTCCTCTGTTGCTGCCCAAAGAGATGGGATACAAGGGGAAGGAGTTTTTGACGGCTGTGAATTGGACTTTGGAATAACATTCTGGGGCGGATGGCCTTGGTATGGAAGTATGATTGTCGCCTGTCACGATAAAGGAGATCAACCGATGATATACTTCACCCATCTGAGCTACCAGCCCTATTTGACGACCCCCTCACTCCGTAACACCCAGAACAAACCTCCGACGATAGGCGACGTAGCACGGGATTGCATCCCGACGCTGTTATCGTTGTTTGGCTTGGGCTAAAAGACCATTCAGGTAAGGTGGCGGCGGGCGGGGACGCGCAGCGAGGTCACAAGAGCAGGTTCATGCAGTCATGACGACCTGCGCGACAATCAGCACGGAAAATGAGCCAATAGTCGGAGCAAATTCCGTGGCGTTGAAGACGTTTGGATAGGCTACTATCGGGACGACTAAAGGGGGTGGTTGCATTGCAGCGCTGGTCGGAGGAGAGACGCCGACCGTCGGAAGCTGCTTCCGTCCAGATCCCGATTCGCTACCATAAGAGGCATACTTGATCGCTCAAAGCCGACTTGATTTGACAAATGCTCACTCAGCAGTTCATCTTTAATTCTCTCCATCGAGTCCTTTTACCAAGTTCCATCATGCAGAGGTCTCAATTTATCCGAAGGGTCCAGCTGGCGGACTTGAATGCCGCAAGTCGTCGCAGCACCGCAACTCCCGCTCTGCGACGATGTCTCAGCCTCCATCCTCCCAAGTTCGAAAATGAGAAATTTGTATGACCCACGAATAAATTTTTACATGGCTTGAAATTATGCTAACTGAGGAACTCCAGCTCGATTATGCCAAAGGTTCGCCCGAGAGGGCCGAGTTGACAAAGACCATCAAGCGGATGAAGAGCGCTTTTCCTCTCAACATTCCCATATCCATTAGCGGTGCAACAGTATGTGTCATACTCTCCTTTGAAAAGTTTTCACTCACGTAGTAATCAGGTAAAAACGGAACAAACAAGGAAGCAAGAGAACCCATCCTTCCACAAGGAGATCGTCGCAGAATATGCCATCGCCACCCCCGACCATGTCAACGCAGCCATCGATGCTGCCCTGAACGCGAAGCCCGCCTGGGAGGCCATGCCTTTTGAGGACCGAGCTGCCATTTTTCTGCGCGCCTCAGAATTGATCGCTGGAAAGTACCGCTCTGATATCGTCGCGGCCACCATGTTGGGCCAGGGCAAGAACATCTGGCAAGCAGAGATTGAAGCACCCAGCGAGACGGTGGATTTTTTCCGGTACTATATCCAAGAGGCTTGGTCATTGTTTGCGCAACAACCCAAGGTTCAGCCCTCAGGGCAATGGAACAAGATGGAGTACCGCCCGCTAGAAGGCTTCGTCTACGCGATCGCTCCATTCAACTTCACCGCACTCGGCGCCACCCTCGTTGGCCCTGCCGCTCTTTTGGGCAATGTGGTCATTTGGAAACCTTCCGATTCGGCTCTTCATTCTAGCTGGCTGTTGTATCAGATCCTGCTCGAGGCAGGTCTTCCGAAGGACGTCATCCAGTTCATTCCTGGCGACGCTGAGGAGGTCACCGACACAGTCCTCAAAAGGCCTGAGTTTGGCGCGCTGTCGTTCATTGGGTCTACCCAGGTTTTCAAGGGAGTGCAAAAGAAGATTGGAAACGGAATCGGCGATGGCATCTACAACTCATACCCCAGAGTCGTCGGCGAGACTGGTGGCAAGAACTGGGGAGTTGTTCATTCATCTGCCGACATCAGGAGTGCTGCTCTCAATACCATTCGAGGTTCCTTTGAGTACCAGGGCCAAAAATGCTCTGCAAACTCCAGGGTTTACGTCGCCGAATCCGTTTGGCCCGAGTTCAAGAAGCATCTACAAGACGAGGTTGCTGAGCTGAAGGTCGGCAATGTTGAGAATTACGAAAATTTCATCACCCCAGTTATCCACGAGAGGTCTTTTGACAAACTGAATCAGGTCATTGAGGATGCTAAGACTGATCCCGAACTGGAGTTGGTGGTGGGAGGAAAAGCCTCGAAGGAGGAGGGCTACTTCGTCCACCCAACCATCTATCAAACAACCAACCCACGACATGACATTATGTCTCGGGAGCTGTTTGGACCTATCCTCGGAATCTACGTTTTCCCGGATAACAAGTGGGAGGAGACATTAAAGACTATTGACAGCACCTCTCGATATGCTCTGACCGGCAGTGTTTATGCCACTGACCCCTACGCCTCTCGAACGGCGCAGACTATCTTGAAGCACGCTGCCGGTATGCTCTACCTTAACACTAAGTGTACCGGCTCGATCGTGGCTCAGCAACCGTTTGGAGGCAGCCGTGACTCTGGTACCAACGATAAGACAGGCACAATGGCTCATCTGCAGCGATTTGTGAGTGTTCGGTCCATCAAGGAGGAGTTCATACCACTAGAAACGATCCAGTATCCTTCCAATGTGGTTTAAACAGTCGATAGAAAATACCAACCCTTCATTCCTTATCTACTATACGACGAGGACACATTTAAGCAGTGATGAAATCCAATGACTGAAATGTACGAAATTTGCCATTCAGAGCATTGTAACAGTTCGAAGGCTACAGTTGTCAATCCAATTTAATTCAATGACTTCGTAAAATCTCAACATGTTGGGGCATTTAATTCCTGCTAAGTTACCGCCCCGTCACTGCCATGGTATAAGGGTCCTTACCCCGACTCGTTGTCATAGGGTACTCCCGTCTTTGAGCTATTCTGAGAGTTATAAGCCCGTGAATTTAATACCTGAAACTATTCTAAAGATTGCTATCGCAGGTGCAATAGACAACCCATACACCAACTGGATGACGTCGACAGTCCGGACCACGCACACAACAAGCTGGGACAGCCACACAGCTACACAGTCCTACTGAGAAGCAACACAAAGTACAGTCTGCGTCTCAGAATCGCAATGTTTGAATTGCCTCACACACATATTCGCTAATCTAGGGGGGGCGGGGGTATGTCACACATAATGTAAGGTTTCTGTTGCACTACACACTAGCGTAGTGTCCATTTTACTTTTGCTGCAGCTGTCAATGCAATATTGTGTGATGGCATAAGATCTAGTCAGCACTGAGCCACAACACGAAGAAGATACTACTAATAAAACTAATAGTACGATTTGGAAATCAACTTAACATCTGTTAGGTACCTAATTCTCGTTGATACCCGGCATCAGACACTTACGTCAAGGTTCGTGCTAAGTTTTGGATCCTCCTTCTAAAGTGTGTGAGAGTGGAACAAGGTAAGATAATAGCAGGCTCGGCTAAAGTACAAGACAATATTCATATGGAACAGAAGTGATACCATTCAGCCTAGCTTGGTTTGACTTATCCCATTCAGGGGTCATCCGAGTCCCAATTGAGCTTCAATACATAGCACAAGCACAAACTTAATGAATACGTTTCAGCTCCCCGTGTAACTTCGCCCTAACGACTGTTTGGGTGTCTGGACCGCAACACAAGCTGGTTTCAGGCCATCGTGTGACGCCCAGAACGTCCATTATTAGGAATTCAGTTGCAGATCCTGGCGGACGGGTGCGTCCTCCGGTCGCAGACTACCTCACTCCGCGCAGCCTAGCTATTACAAAAGAGGAACCATTGTAGGCTGTTTGCACGCTTTCGCGGCTAAGAGTGGAAAAATGGAGACGCTAGCGCTAGTGGAAGGAGTTTTTGCCCATATTAATAGCTCTTTTCGAAAACGGACAGTTTAAGACCCAAAGTTACCGTATGAACTCGGTAAGTTGGTACAAATTTTTTGACTCCCTTATGCAAGTAGACCCCGCAAATTCTGTAGCTTAACTCACTAGTGGTTGGCTCTAGTCATCCCGATAAGCCTTCACTGATAAGCTGCAGTAAAGCGGGGCAGAAAGAATTTACCGAGTTGTTGGATCCGGTACGGGTAAGTCAATTAGGGCAATAATGATCAAGACGATAGTGGAGCCTAAAGATGATGATATTGATGATCATGCTTGTAGGATCTAACCTGCTTCCAGGGCCCTGTTTCCGGTGAGGGGTTTTTGGTCAATCTCACACCCCCCTCATGACTAAGACAAGATATTGATGTATCAGGGATTCGGTCTTATCCGGGCCCCTAGTCCGGCACCCGAGGGTCAGTCCAACACGAGTTAATACGGTACTGAGACAATTATCTCAGCCGCTTCGCTACTTGAGACTCCAGTGCGACGAGAGCAATCACCGGCCTAAGAGTAGCTAGACTTGAGGAGCTTGGCAGAGATATCTATAGATGTTTATATTCAAGCTGAGGCAGCTCTAAAACACCTCACCCGTCCTCACGTATCTAACCGTGGACCTGATTTCAGCACTTCAATCTCCTAGCTTCGACAATTATATCGTTGATCATGAGTTATATCCCACCCCTAGCCCAGAAACTTAGCAACAGCGGAGATGGAGAGTCCGAATGGGAACCTATTAGCACGTGGGCTACGGCGGGGAAGGACGGGCAGGCCGGGCCCGTACCAGATTTCGCCTTACCCAGTGTGGACGGGCCTGAGGGCAGCGACATTTTTTACCCTCTTCAAGGCCCAGTACAACTGGCTCCGAAGAAGAAAACGGTAACTCAGTGGACGTGTTGCGTCTGTGGCCACACCGGCATGTCAGTGAATATCCCCACGTGTCAGCACTGCAGCACGTCTCGCTGCGCGTACTGCCCTGTAGAAAGAGTCAGGGTCAAGGCAGTACATTTCAGCCATGACTGAGGTGAAGAGTCTGGTTCAAAGAAAACCTACATTTACACGTGATCTGATATCTATAGTCCACTTGACTATCGCACCCTGGTGCTATTGATTCTGGCTGGCAATGTGAGGCCCCCCCTCCTCGTCACTTCTACCAATCGGCCAATTCAAGCATGCTTGGAAGATTTTATCTCGCAGTTTTGCCTCAAGCACACCTTCAATGCACTGCGCCCTCCTTGTCAGCCATGAGCTGGCCTCGTTGCCTTGTCGCCTCGTCTCTTGGCTTCCACTTGATAGGCGGCCGCGTCTCCGCGTGATATCGAGCCTCAGCCCTTAAGACCGGCCAACGGCGCGACAAATAGTTTTTTCTCAGTATCACATTCGCCTGTCGAGATTATGGCACCACTTTGGGGGGCCTCAGAAGCACGAGGGTTGTCAATGGAGAACAGAGTCAACGTACATACGCACAATTTTGTATCAGGATACGTGTATTTAATTGGCAATTTTAATGAATTAAATCATTGATTTGTAAACGAATACACTTCACTTAACAAGCTACCTCCGAGTACTGACAAAAATCTTTTAGTGAGCGGCTTAGCTCCCTATGCAATCAGTATGGCAATTCATGTATCTTTATTCTTAACATATGAAACCCATCTGACTCGTTACTCCCAGATGGGGGCCCTTTGAGACCCCCACAAATGCTGGTTATTTCACACGAGACAACTTGACGCCTCGGCTCTCAGTCAGGCCTCACAGCCCCCATGTATCCATTTCCATGGAAGCACAACATTGACAATGTCGACTCACTCAAATCAAAGCGACTTTGTGAGCAAACATACATGCTGACCTGCACCATGACGTGGCCAATTGTTGGTCATGAGACAACTCCACAAGCCTATTACATTCAGGCTGACCCAACCCTACCAATGTTGAGTCAATATTTTATCTTGGGACCCCGATCTCGGGCAGCCAAGTTTCAATACCTCACTCTCATTGACTCAAGATGCCATCTGAGAGGTACAACCGTTTTTAAAGGATATAAACCCGGCGCATTCTCGATTTAAATAACAGCAGCCGACATCCGTCTAGCCTGACCATGAGTCCTTTACATCTACAGCTCCCGTCACAACACATCCGGGCCCTGCAACAAATCCTGCGCCGGCGGAATATAGAACAACCAAACAGTAATAATGGGTTTGGACAATAAACCTGAGCCTCATCCATGCACTTACGATTGGAACCAGCCCATGCTAGGTGTCGAGACGGCAGTGAACCAGTCAGCTGTTGAGCAGTGGGATGATTTAGATGGAACAATTCTTGAGCTCTTTCAACTCATCCCTGATGGGTCTCCAAGGTTACACTATCAGGCTAGGGAGCTTGAAGTTATTTGTCCACCTTCTAAGCTACAAGAATTGCGCCAGGTCGGTGTCACTGGTCGGTCTTCTGAGATCATCGCGTGGCTTGACGACAGGTCACAGGCCCGGAACTCGACCTGTAAGAGAAAGTTGTCAGGTTGGCTGACGCGTTCTGATCTGTATAAGGCCCTGCGGGCAAAGGTAAGTAAATTCCTTCTTTCAGTTGAAGCTTCTATAATATAAGTTTTGTCATGATCTCGAAAGTCAGATTAATTAAGTTTTAGCGCATTCACGTCCAAAATGATGGTGATGTCGATGAAAGCCATGAGCCAAATGCTGAACGCCGTCTCATGTATGACTTACTTTCTTTCAGTTTCCTAGAACTGCTAGATGCTGACAGCTTCATCAGATACCTACCAAATCCAGACTGGCAAGGTTTGTCGCCCATCATCTTGACTGCTTCAAGACAGGAGGCGGGCATCTTGAGCATTTTTCTATGGAAGCATATGATAGCTCGTTGTTCAATCCAAGCGTCCGTCTCAGTAAGTTCTTCTAGAGGTCCTTCAGACTTGAAACTAAACTGATTCTATACAGACCTCTCGCCATTTCTCGCTGGAGTTTCATCTCCCATTCTTTGTGTGGAAGGACACAAAATCAATCCTCCGCGACAAACGAATCAGATCAGACAAGTTTCCGCTGAGGAAGTCGAGGCTCCTCTCCTTCTTGGAAAGGTCTCGTCCAACTTCTAAAGAAGGAGATAACTTGGATTGTCTGCACGAAAGTCAGTGGTCCTGTGTCGTGACCGGCTTCAACAACACCGTCTGGAATGTATACGGTTTCACAGACACTTACTTCTACGACACAGACGATGAATTTGATCGTGTGAGTGTCAATTATTACCAAAGATGTCTCGAGGATGAAGACAGGATGGAGTACGATCCCATCATTGGATCAGATGCCAACCTTCCAATCCAAGACCCTCGCGAATACTTTGTAGCGACCCTCCTATCATGCATGAACCACATTCTTGAAGAATGGAACAACATCATCACCAGACTTGAGCGCAAAATGTGCTATTACGTGAGTGGATCTCTTCGAAATTTCCTTCGCTCATGCAAATCTACACTTCGTATCTTATTTCCCCGGCCCGAGACGCATGCTGCATTTCGATTCTTACGACGAGCTTGCTCCCTAGTTTCCTGTTTGCACAAGGCCTATCCTAAAATTTATCATAGATTGACGACGAAGATTTCTTTTTCGACCACGATAAATTGCCGTTCGGGCCTGACAAAGATCACTCGAAGTCTCTCCAGGATTCCTACGGGTGGACACAGCAAGTCACCTGTCTTCTAACGCACCTGAGGAAAAGAATCAGAAACCTCAACAAAGCCTGGGAGTCATTTAGAGCTAGGGATACTCATTCTTTCGACGTGACTGACCAACAAAGCGACAAGCCAAACCGTACAAGGATTCTTCTTTGCTCCATCGATACAATAGTAACAGAACTAAACGCCCTTGAAGTTCAATTGGGAGACTTATGGGACAAAAATGAGGACTTCAGGAAGTCGGTGAGATAACCCTTTATTCTAATGCAAAGCAATCCGTACTGAATTTAGAAGCTCGAGCTATACCTACAGGTAGAGAATAACAGAACAATCGTCTTGCAACAATTCAACATCAGCTTCGTAAGTCTGTCTAGCAGGCGACCGGAAATGCAAGGTTAACAATTTCCGATTAGATCCAAATTATATCACCGCCTGCATTGGCAGCAACCATGATGCAGAGCCGAGTTTTGCCTTGGACGTCCGGTTTCCTTCCTTGGCTTATTGTGACGGCGATCCTGTGGATTCTGATGGCGGCTGTGCGGCCAGCATTAACATGGTATCATCGATACATGGGCTCGAAGCCAAGGGCCAGCTTTGTTCCGCCACTTGCCCAAGAGCCGATGATGAATGGTTTCCATTGGCAGCAAGAGGGTCTCAGGCTCCCGCAGCCTACATTTGCAGCCCACTGATGCCATCATGGTAATTGTGGAACGATCAGAGTCTACTTGACAAATTTTCCGCCTTCTTCCAATCCTTTTCCATCCTTGTTCAAACTATCCAATGTATAAGATAATACGGTAAATACCAAAGAATGACCACACTTGGAACCACGTCTAGTTCTGGAGGAAACCCTATTTTAACGAGGTTGTCGAGCGTGCATCATGGCTCGAGATGCCCAAAGAGGGACCACCAAGAGATGCAAGCTTCAAAACGTATGGCGAAATAAGAGAATATTATGAAATTTCTGGCTATATTTTCCGATCGAGCTTTCTTTTTCCTTTTTTTTTTCGTTCTTACCAGGTGCTCTGTAATTTACTCTTGTAAAACCCGGAGACACTTGCTTCTCAAAAACGCTCAAATATTCCTCCTAACCTTCAATGTGCGTTCGCCACATATGAGAAATATGCGGGCGATCAATTACCTGCGATTCCTCAACAAAATTATTCGTCGCACTGCTTTTCAGTGGTTTAACAATGATGCCATTGCGACGCACGAATTCCTTCGTCACATCATAGCAAGCTGCGTGGCCAACTCTTATTGGACAGACGGCGCTTGAAGTGAGGCGCTTGTAAGCCTTGTTTTCCGGGTATTTCGAAGCCTCGATTGATTCCCTCTGGATATTGTATGCTTGTAGAGTGTAGGGCCTTGGGCACAAATCAGATGATAATTAACAAATTAGGAAAAAGACTACATATGACGCTCTTTGTCCTGTTGACGTTATTCTAGTAGGATCAATTCCCTTGCTACGTCACTTCAAGTATCACAGTGAGGGCGATGTGCATCACGTAGCAGTCAGCTGGCTGCCTCGTGAGCACCCTTCCTACCGTACCCAATATCTGCCCAACTTCAGGTATGTGCCTAATGCGGCTCCCGTCAGCAAACCATATGCTCTCAATCCAACGCAGCCTAATTTCTTCCCAAAGAGCCCGATACTTCATGTGCACAATCAAGACCGGCCTCTCCGCACCCGCTTCATTCAAAATAACTTCGCCTCAACACACCGACGATGGCATGCCTTACAAGTACACCACAAGGACTTGAGGCCCTCCTCCAGGGGCTCCGCCTCGATCCTTTGCCTCAGTATGCATCAAACGATGCTCTTACTAAGCCCGTTGAAATATGGAGGTCATATTTCGCAAAGTTCCTTTCAACAGTGGTAGATTGTGATGAGGCTGTGATCCAAGAGGCTATCAGTTCAACAACTGAGACCTCGCTTGGAGACTTGGCGCTCATTCTCCCTCGCCTCAAGCTGAAGGATATTGACAACAACGGTCTAAAGACACTGGCTTTCGAGATAGGTCACAGGGTTTGCCACCCCCATAGCCTGATATTCAGCGTTGATTTTGTCTAACTTGCACTTCTTAGCTCCCTTCCTCTCCGCTTTTCTTGGCACCCTGGGTCGATGGCATCCATCTTCGGATGTTCTTCTCTCCAGATACTCTCCCCCGGCTCCTTCTCCCGTACATCAGCGACCGAAAATCGCTGTACGGTCATGATCTATCCCAAGGTCTCCGGGATCCCACATCGCCTGGTCAAGGCAAGAAGAAAGTCGTCGTGGAATTCTCGTCCCCAAACGTTGCCACCGATTTCGATGGAAACCATCTTCGAAGCACCCTCATCGGCGCTTTTGTTGCCAACATCTACGAAGCTATGGGATGGGAAGTGGAACGTCTGAACTACCTCGGGGACTGGGGCAAGCAGATCGGTTTACTTGCAGTTGGATATGACAGGTTCAGCTCTGAGGAGGAGCTGCAAAGTGGCGGTATTCATCACCTTCTAGACGTCTACGCCAAGATCCAGGAAATCTTCAGACCAGAACAAGATGCAAGGGACAAAGCGAAGCATGACAAACAGAACACTGCGGATATCGAAGGGAAGGGCATCTTCGCTGAAAGAGACGCATTTGTCAAGAAGCTGGAGGATGGGGATGAAACAGCCCTTGCGCTGTGGAAGCGCTTCCGAGATATCACCATTGACGAACTCAAACTCGGGTATGGACGCCTTGGTGTTGAGTTCGACGAGTACTGGGGCGAGTCGGAGGTTCAGCCGAAGACAATTGCTGAAGTCGAAGGCACCCTCAAGGAAAAAGGCGTCCTTGAGGAGAGCGATGGGTCGTGGATGATCGACTTTGTCAAGCATGCTGGGAAGAAAGGCCTCGGTACGCAAATCGTCCGAGGCCGCGATGGCTCCACACGCTACCTCCTCCGAGACATTGCTGGAGTGCTCGATCGCTCACGCAAGTTCGCATTCGACAAGATGATCTACGTTGTATCTGCAAGGCAGGACAATCATTTCCAGCAGTTGTTCACATCATTCGATCTGATGGACCGCTCGGATCTCAAAGGCAAGCTTCAGCACGTCAATTTCGGTGCCATCCACGGGGTTGAGGGTAGTCTGCTCTCCAAAATTCTCGACCAGTGCGCGGTTCGGATTCATGACGCCTTGCGAGAGGAGCATGGTGACAGTGACATCGACAGCGACGGTCTGGGATCCGTCAGTGACGTGTCCCTGATCAGCGGGTTACTTGCCCTAGACATGTCTGGAAGGAGAGGGCATAACTACACCTTTGACCCCAAGAAAATCGCATCATCCAGTTCCCACACGGGCTTGGTGCTGCAGGCATGTCACGGAGTGTTGAATGCCTCGATCGACAGGTTGACCACTGACGAGGTCGAGGCTGCTGAGGCAGACTACGCCACTTTGAGTGATGACGACTCTGCGGATTTGCTACGGCTCATGGCACAATTTCCCAACGTTGTTGTAGCAACATACAAGTCCTTGGAGCCGCACACGCTCCTCGGCTATTTGTACAAGGTTGTGAGTTCGTTGTCTATGCTGGGTGACGAACAAGATGAGGAGTTTGAAGGCGACGGTGAGGAGGGGGGTCCTAGCGATCTGGGTGAGAAGAGTTTGGAGGAAAAGAAGGCAAAGCTAGTCCTGTACCAGAATGCACGGCAGGTCTTGGAGAATGGGATGAAACTACTAGGGTTCCCAGTTATTTCTTAGTGTGAGGGTTTTGAGCGAATTGATGTTGATGTTTCTTGGAAGATGTGTTGCTAGTCAAGCTATACCTCAGTATGCCGAGTGGAATTTTAAACGCTGTGAGCTGTCTCGCGCGATGTAGTGAATTGTCACGCCCAAGTTCTCGTTCTATTTTGACATGTCTTCCTATTTCAAGCTATCACCCGACATATTTAGCGATGATGCCTCGTAACGGATCCTTTCAGCGCGATAGGTATCGCTTCCTGTCGTCAACTGACCGAAATACACAGGAGTCACCTAAGGGATAACTAAAGGTCCCTCTTCCACTCCTCCACTTCTCTGCTTCTGGTCCTGCCCTTGGCCGTGCTTCATTTTGTCTCCCCGGGGCTTGATCGGCAGCTGTGAAGGATCTCCGATCTGAGCTGAGCTCGTCGCGATGAAGTCAGCGGTGAGACTTGAAACAACATTTGCGTTGAGTTCCCGCTGTTCACGCCTATCCTCCTCTTCCAGTCGGAGTTTATCCTCGTCACTCATTTCAGCGCGTCGGATGCTCTTGATTTCATCCATGATGAAGAGCAGGGCAGCTTCTGTACAACGGGTTCGCTCCAGCGCATGGTCTGCGTTGCGAACATATCGTCGCGTGACATCCGTAGCGCCGTCAATAGAGAACGCGATCACATACGACATTCTCTTCCCCCAGTCTGTTGCGAAATGTCAGCGCTGTGTTTTGGGAGGGCAGTCATTGATTGGGAAGATCTTGGGTGCGAAAACTTACGTTTCCCGTATAGGGATGGGTTGTCAAAAGATTCCTCGCATGAATCAATGTGAACCCATCTCTTGTTGTATTCTGAGTACATCTCGGTCCACACGTGGTCTTCACTATTCCACACCCACCTTACTCTAACGCTCATAGCCCGGCAGAGCATCGTAAAACAGTTCGCCCACTCACCAACTCGCCCTTTCTTGGTCTGGAGTAGTTTCCACACGTCTCCATATCGGGGGAATCGCTCGTATGCCTGGCAGTTCTTTTTTGAACATCTGAAGAGCTCGACACGCAAAGCGCCGCCAGCTGATTCCTCTGCGGTTGGGCTACTTAGCCCCCAAGGAATGGTGGACGATGAGCATACTGGACATGGTGGATTGTTTACCCAAGTGAAAAACGAGCGTTTAAACCATCGCAGTAACGCCCGGATGATGCAGTCAGTGTAGCTCCACGTGGGCCGCCGTCCATCGTCATATGACTCTGCTTCGGCCTGGAGCAATGTACTCTCTTCTTCAGCTTCGGCATAGATCCGGATCAACGGGATCTTGCTCAGAGCCTCGTCCAGTAGTCCTGGGTTCTCATATTTCGTTGGGGTCGAGGAGAGGGATATCAAAAGATTGCGGAACTTGTTGAACTCCCCGTTGTATTCTGCTGGAGGCTGGGGTAAAAGCGGTGTCAGGATTGGCCTTCGCCATTGGGGCTGCAGCAGTAATTCTTTTCCGGTGTGGAATGGATTTGACCCATCCTCACTAGCTGTAGTGTACGGTGGAACTGACTCATCCTCGCCGGGTGCATCCTGGCATTGAGTCGATTCATTGCCACTGGACGAAACTGCTTGTTCAATAGTAGCTTGTCGTTTAGCCCGTGACAGTCTAATTTCATTCAATAGTTTGATCCGCCGCTGGTCCTCAAATCGACGTCTCAAGTCCCGGCTCCACTTTTGGCCGTAGTCCGATTTTGCGTTGGAAGAGGATGCCGTGACGGACTCTATGTCTTGCGGATGCGGATCAAGATCCAGGTCTCCCTTAGCATTGTATAGAGACTCTGCTACAGCTAGGGGTAGGTGAGGTTGTTGGTTGACTCGCAGTTCTATGTCTTCGAATACCCGAGCAAAAGGTATCACAATTGCAGCACCTGAATCTGGGGAGCCGGCAACGATATGCCCATACAAGTCCCCGGATTCCGCGTCAATGATCCAGGAGCCACAGTCCCCGGCTTCTAGCTGAGATTCCAGGAGGATGTTGTATACGTCTTGGAACAGACGGCTGTTTGGGAGGCGGGCGTACAGTGGAGTGCCTGACATGACTCCTGTGAGCGTTCCTCTGGAGGTGGAGCTCAAGATCTCAACGTCCTTGGGGCCGTCAGGGACAACACGCTGGATCTTGGCTCGGCCCTGGACATGAAATGAGGAAGGGGTTATTTCGTTAGCGATGCAGTGATTGGGCTTGGTCACCTCGATCAGAGCGTAGTCGAGACCAGACGGCGGTTCATCGAGGGAGGACAGATAGACATGTCCCAGACGCTGTGGGGGCGGGAAAGTTCCCAGTGAAGGTTCTTTCTCGAGGACCCGACGGCTTTTGCATTTCAATCCCTCCTCTGTTGTTTGCATATCTTGTATGCTCGATGAGATTTGCGGTTGGAGTATCTCGTTCTCGGTTGAACTTGCGTACTGCGAGCTCAGAGCGGCGTCGTTTGTTTGTGTCAACCACGCATTTTCCTCAGACCTCGATCCTTCTTCTTCCACCTCAGCATCGTCGTCAATGTCAAATTCATCGTCAATTTCGAATTCGTCATCACTACCCTCAGCCTCCGCGTAGCTTGGCATCGTATCAGGGCTGAGCACATGGCCTGCTGTGGTGTAGTAGAACTTGTCCGACAGCTGAATGATGCCACCAACAGTAGCTTGTTTGCAGCAAGTTCTGTCGTCGATGATTGGTTCAACGAACAACGGCATCCCGCACGGGTTGCTCGCAAAGGACGCAAGAACAGGTCTTTGATAAAATGCGGACGTCGTGCCATTGTCTGCTAACTGAACGAGCTGATTGAAGTCAGGCGGTCGCGGCATGTGGGCCGTCTTGATCCCGGGGAATTCATCGAGAATGCCGCTGTCTTTGATTGCATTTCTCACCTGCTTGCGATATGCAGCGACTTCGCAGCAGAACAGGATCGCTGGGCTGGCATTCTTTGCTGACTTGCCGAACATATAGATGGACCATGTAACCCAGCTCGATACTGGCTCGACGGACCTCTCGAGGTAGGCCTTGATCTTTGGGGCCAAGGTCATAAATGCGTCTCTCGCTGGGCCTTTAGCTACCCAACAACGCTCTTTGCCGACGTTGCCAATGCAGCGGCCGGCAGATAGCTCTGGTTCAGGCCATGCGAGATGTCTCGTTGCCGACCTGCCACTGAGTATCGCGATGCCGCTGCCCCAGGATCTCAGAGGGGATGTTACGATTTCCGTCGACATGGTTCAGCGTAATGCAGGACATCTTTCTCAGATGACGAGAAATACGGCTCTCGATCCTGGAATCAGCCGCACTTATGAGGGGCTATTGAGGCTGTGTGTAGGTGGCTTATCAGAGCTGAGCTGAGGCGCAGCATTATCCACCAATAGCAAATGCAGTATCATGCAGCTAAGCAATGCTACCTCACTCGACTCGTTGTCTTCAGCGTCACCAGAGCCTGATCCTCCATGTGAACAAAACAGGCCAGAAGACGACTGAACTGTGATAATGACAGACAAGACGGTGCTCGATTCGAGCCTGCTGGACCTCCCGCTGCCGCAACTCACCAAAACGGCAATATCCAGCGAGTACTGGGCCTACCGGCACCAAGGTCAGCGCTTCAATAGCGTGGATTACGATCTGCAATCATTTTGGATATACTACAACAAAGAATGCGCCAGAGCTCTCCACAACGGAGGGCGATACGTGGCTCTGAGATCTCACCGCGATGTGGCCGACTGCGTCCGCAAGCTTAAAAGCGGGATGCTGCGACATGACATCAAGGAGGAGCTGCGAGAAAAACTTACGGCTTTTCATGACAACGAAGACGAGATGCTCGACAACTCAATAGACTTGGCCGCCAGTCTGCTTTTGATGATGAGCTTCTGCAGCTTCGCATACGGTTTCTCTGGCAGGAGTCCTCTTCACTGGAGTGACGGATCACTGGAGAGCTTTGTGTCTGAGTACTTCGATCCTGGAACTGCCCACCAGGTCAAGGAGAACGTCAGAATGGAGAAAATATTTACTGCACGCAACTTATGCCGCATCGCAGGACTGGATATCGTTTGGACGGATAACTTGGTAGATCATCTCCGCTTGACGGATGACGACCGACGCGTACACATCTTCCATCATGCTTCGTTCCTGGAAGTCCAAAGACAGAGGTTCACATTCTTCTTGACCACTCAATGTGCGATGGCCGCTGACTTATTGTGACAGTACCGACTCCCTGCTACCCAAGGGTCTCGCGGATGAGACTTTGAGGACATTGGCACTCCTCTTCCCATCCTCGGACTTGGAAACGAAAAAGTGGTTCTCCAAGTTGTCCGACGCTGGACTCGACAAACGAGTCATCCAGTGCGGGCAACTAAAGACCGACCATCGGCAAACTGAAAGGTTCGGATTTTGGAGTGATCGTCTTGTCATATTGAAGCAGGTCTTTGATGAAGCACAGCCCAAATCTTTGTCGCAATGGTGGCATGATAGGCGGAACGGCGTTCAATGGTACCCCCTCTCAACCGCAAGCGCTTCAACGTGCATTGTTGTCCACTAATACTGGTCTCATCAACAGGTATACATTTTGGGTAGCCGTGCTGGTTCTTGTGTTGACAATATTCTTTGGTTTGGTACAAAGTATTGAAGGTGGTTTGCAAGTGTATGCCTCCTTCAAAGGACTCCATGGGCCAACATGAAAGACGGTCAGAAGTCAGGGTTAGATCCTACTCGCCACCACGTCTTATCCATGAGCCAAGATTCGGCAGCTACAAGCTCTGCAGAGACGCATATGCTGTAATTATTGAGGGGCCCAGACATCTTGGTTTACTTGGCAATGTTATTTGATCCGCTATGGCAAGCCTGTGGCGACGCGATAAAGTATTGACTGGTGCCGATGTATGAAATTGGGGGGATCCGTTCATTATCGCCGTGCAACAAACTCTCAGTTCCAAGGATTTAAACGGAAGTTATAGATGTCAGTTTAGGCTCCGTTCTCCTTGAACTACTACGACGTTTAAAGACTGTGCCCGAGTTGAAGGCATCAACTCCAATGAAGACCCTAGTTGTGTATCATGCTCTGTGGATATGCCTATGAATCATCGTTTGCCTCCCTCCGAACTTCGAGCCGGGGTTCGGACTATTTGTGCTACTCTAGCTTAACCCCATCTGATATGGATCCTGGACGAAATTTTCTTTCCCTCACACATTGTCCAAACATCGGTACGAGTTGGCAAGGTAAGTATATTTATATATAGATAGAAACCCACTCCAATTATACACCAGTGAAAAAAAATAAGGAACTGACGTGGCAGTCGATGGGCCTAATAAGGCAGTGACACCGATGCCTGCTCCTGGAACAGAAGGACTACAAAAAGGCAATCTTTGCGGTTTATGTGGATCGAACACATGACCTTCAGATCTTCAGTCTGACGCTCTCTGTCAGTGAAGGTTAGTGATGTGGCTCGAAGAGGGATTAATATGACAACATACCCCAACTGAGCTAAACCCGCTGTGTTGAGAGCCGGGGTTCTTCGTGTGGACTATCTTGCCGAGTTGAAAGTGTACTTCAGCAAAAATGAAACACAAAAAGGTATTCTTTGCGGTTTATGTGGATCGAACACATGACCTTCAGATCTTCAGTCTGACGCTCTCTGCCAGTGAAGGTTAGTGATTTGCTTGAAGTGAGGGATTATTGTGTGAACATACCCCAACTGAGCTAAACCCGCGTGTTTGATAAGAGAAGTGTCCGCTAAGTCCAATCATGCAGGTGGGTCAGACCCAGTTGCGAAACTCGCTCACCCTGGACAACGAAAAGGACATACTCCAAACTCGGATCAGCTCGGGTACTAGGGGAGACAGTTTTCAGTCCCCCTCGTAGTTCTACCTATGCTTCAAGATGTAGAGTTTTTAGCATGTACTGATAGATTATCTACGGCTGGCTCTAAGTTTGAGAGAGAACCACTTAACATAATTGGACAAAGTTAGTTTGCTTTACTTTTCAATTCCAAGAATATAGAATTACTTAATAATCTTACATTAGTAGACTTTTCATTCCAAAACATTCCAGCTGTCAATCGAATGCTTAAAAACTCAACATACACAAGGCGTGCGTTTCCGGCTCTAGAACTTGTGGATCTGATCCCACCTGTACCCAAGCTGACTTAGAACTCCTGGCGAATTCTTTTTGCCGACAAGGGACGCTTCCATTGCTGGTGGTCCACAAACAAAAACCTTTGTGTCTTGTTTAGACGGTGGCATAACCTCTTCTAGCAAAGCTTTTGTTACATAGCCCTTTCGAAAAGTCGATGATTCGCTTGAATGGCTGACGGTGTAGATCGCCTTGAACCGACCGGGGAAGTCCTTGGAAAATTGCTCGAACTCTTTTCTTAGCAGGACATCCTCATCACCATTCACACCGAATACTAGAGTGATGGCCGTCTTGTCGTCGGGGTTTCGGAGGATACCCTGAGCGAGTTGGTAAATGGGAGTAATGCCAGCACCTCCAGCAATGAGAGTGACGTGCGAGTGAGTGTTGGGTTTCCATTGGTATCCTTTCAGAGGTGCCGCGAAGAGGAGCGTCTCTCCTGGTTCTAGCGAGTGCAAGTGACTGCTGGCTTTTCCATAGGGATATTTCTTGACAAGAAGATCAAGAAACCCTGGTGCATCTGGGGATATAGACATGAGCATGGCTTCTAAGGGCTTTGGAGGATGCAGAACTTACCAGACGCGCTCACAGGAGTGTATGGTCGTGGGACAGGCACCCAACTTCCCTTAGGCCATGAAACGGTCAACAGAGCGGCTATTAAATATCAGCCCTCAGTATCTCCTAATGATCCTGTGTATTAACTCACATGTGAGAGCAAGTCCACTGACTGCATCTTCCTGGGGTAGCTTGAACCGGAGGCGCTTGGTATTGTGGTTTACCGCTTCGGAGCTCTCAAGAGGCAGAGACACAAACGCCGGGCCGCTTTTGAAGACCTTGGGGGGAGAATTGGATTCTGCAGAGGCTGTGCCCATCATGAGTTTGGATACTATTCCAAGACCGATACCACCTGCGGCGAGACTGGCGATGAGAGGTGCTGGTCGCACTTGGCGAAACTGGATTGTCCAAGACATGAGAAATAAAATTTGATACAGAACAGAGAAGCGATTGATCAAATCACAAAGGTCTACATGCTCTATTTATATATTCTTATTGCGCTGTTGTAACGCGAAAAAGATGACGTGAGGTGAGCGACCCGGTCGGAATCCGGACATTTCTCACTTTTCCGGGACCGAAAATCCGCAGACGGCCGCGAACGTCAACCGCATCGCCGGCTCATTCCACCCGCTAATCAATGTGCATCACGCCACCGCCCGAACGACTAATCCCCTAAATCTTCCGCCGCAGTACTTTCTAATACTCAATTCCATTCGGCCAAACCTTGATTGTCGCTATTAAATGTTGTGTGCCGACCGTCAGGCGTGCATTGTGATTCGCCTGGAACCCTTCTATTTTTAGGCACATCCGAGTCCCATTTTCAAGTCTCCAGACTCTTGGCCATTTGAGCTCCCCTTTCTCTCTTCATACCTCTTCTCGATTGCCTCAAGACTAAGCCCCTTTGTCTCAAACATGAAAAAGCAGACTGAGAGCGTGCAGGCAAGGCTGGAGAAGGCGAACAAGTAATACGCCCCGAAGGTAGACTTGGCGAGAAGGACTGGAGTGACCAATGCAACAACGTAGTTTGCGCACTAAAAAATGTTGTTAATGTGAATTCTTGATCCAGTTTAAAGATGCGAACTTACCCAGTTGGAACACTGCGCAAGACTTGAGGCACTGCTTCTTGTCTTCCTCGGCATACTCTCCACTACCCATGTTCGGAATCCAATAGCCCAAGTGAAGCTGAAAGATATGGCAAAAAGATAGATGGACACGATAACAATCCATCTTCCAGCTCCATGATCTGGGTGGACTTTGTCTGCAGCGTAGAGCGAGCCCATCACCAGCATCAATCCTGTGATTAGTATTCCACCCAAGATCCCCGAGGTACGACGGCCCCATTGGTCTGCAAAGAGGGTCGCAGGAATAGTAGCCCCCATGATGACCAGCGCAGAGACGCCGGATGCTAAGAATGATGCTTTCTCACTGCTGAGTCCTGCCTGGGTGAACAAGATAGGAGCATAGTACAAGACACCGTCAATTCCACTGAATTGCTGCATGCCCATGATAAAACAGGCGAACGCAGTCCGAGATCTGTAGGGGGCCGAGAAGGCATGCGCAAACTCCTTGAAGGTATGTAGAATGCTTTGCCAGAAAGTAAGGTCTGGGTCCATGACTTCATCTGGCGGCAGGGACTGCGAAAGGAGCTCTTTTTGCTCAACTTCATCCAGTCCAAGCTGGGCTACAACCACGCGAGCCTCATCTATTCTTCCTCTGGACAACAGCCAGCGAGGCGACGGGGGCGTGACGAAGTAGGTTGTCGACAGGACAAGCCCAAGGAATGAGGCGATGGCCGGAGGTATTCGCCATGTGACGGAAGAAGTCGAGTCTCCGAGACGTGATGTGCCATAGCAGACAAAGTATCCGGTAGCTAGGCCGGATACAATCAGGAACTGCGGCAACGCCGTCATAATGCCCCGAACCCGAAATGGCGATATTTCAGAGACCTGAACATAGACGTTGCTGAGAAACAGACCCTCACCGATACCCTTTATAAGTCGACCCAGTACGAAGACGCCCAGAATGGGAGAACCGCACTCAATCCCGGCCCCTATGCCATAGGTGATGGAACCAAGGGCAATGAGGCTGGTGTGGCCAAATCGGTGAGCAAGGGCCCCAGCAATGAGGGCTGTCAAGGCGCCGGGAATAAGAGAAGACGACACAATCAATCCATGCACAGTTGCTGAAAATTCCCCAAATGTCTCTTTAAAGGCGGGCATGGTGGTCACTGAACCGACACTGCCGGTGTCGAACCTAGAAAGGCATTAGCGAATTTGAAATCCGGAGAAAGAGACTAGAATCAACGATCGCACCCGAAGAGAAATGCCACGCATGATGTAAGGATGCTTGCAGTCACGTAAAACGGCACACGGAACGCCATGATCCAGAGATCTCGAATGGAATATGTTCCTTTCGAGTTTGCGAGAGTTGCCGCGATCTTGATGGTGCAAAGTCTTGTCAGTGTGTGTGACTTATCTAAAGTGGACTCACTGCAACGCGCTAACAATAGTTTGCCCTCAACGGATGATAAGCTTGCGGATGCATCCACCACAGACAGAACCAAGAGGAGTGGATCAGTCGCCACGACTCAAGCTTACCGACCCAACCACAAGCTCCTTTGGGACCACGATTTGTTATTTCCGATCCCTTTTTATCAAAGTCCGTTGGCAAGGTGTGAAGCAGGTGCGGGTTGGGTATCAGGGCAGGGTGGATCATGCAACCCAAGATAAACGAGATGGGTTGGTGGGTCAGAGGGAGATGCGGTGAGGTCGAAAACAGAGCCTACGCAAAGATTTCTAGCATCATGAGCCAACCGACTCACTCCCAACAGAAGCGGAACTAATAAAAGCACCAAGAAGACCAATTGTAGATCTAAGTGAAGCAAAGACTGTCATTTCCTAGAGACTTCACCCTTCCTGGAAGATCAATGAACGAATCTATGCTGGCAAGGCTGTGTGGATATCAGCACACAACCCGTATCGATTTCTTCACCACTGTACCCGTGACAGCCGTCTCAAGCCTTAATTGAGACCCGCCCATAGAAACTGTCATGTTTTCCCGTTCTCCCGAGACATTTATCACATGCGCCAAGTGCAAAACGACACTGGTCCACGATCTTTATGCATCTTAGTGGCGCTGCCGATTGGACATCAGCGGCTAGTCCTTCCTAGAACGGAAACCAGATTGCTAAGCACCAGGCACACGAGACTAAAACCAAGGGACTGGAGACACTAATGCGGAGTTCACAGGAACGGGTCGGTCTGACCAAAAATGGGTTGGTGCGTTGAGAGCGCACCATTGTAACTAGGCATTGTGCAATTCTGAAGCTTCGATCGTCATCCTTTGAGGATGGAATTCTTTTGTCTATAATACATGCGTAATGACTCAGAAAAGCCTGGCTGGACGGTTTCGCAACATCTTTACCAAATATGATAGCACTATAGCACAAGACAGATCAATCGCAGCATTGTACTCATTTGTACCAATAGGATTCGAGCGATGACACCAAGAGTAGTCATATTAATGATCTGAATCTATGTCCAGATACGGGTATCTAAAGTTTGTCGGCTTGCAGTAACTAAACGTAAGAATTTTCTACTCCTCTAATATTCCCTTGGACTTGAGAATGGCCCCCAACTCCTTCAGCCGAACCGGCTTCGTCAGGAAAAGATCAACTCCGCTGCTAAATGCTTCCTTCTGGGCATCCTCGGAGGCCAATCCAGAGAGCGCCAAGATGAGTGTTGGCTTCATGTGGTTCTTTTGTTCCAAGGCTCGAATTTGCCGCGTGGCCTCAAATCCATCCATGACCGGCATTGAGATGTCCATCAGAATGCATTTGTATTGGCCCAGGTTTGTTTGAAAAGCATCCACAGCCTCTTGCCCATTCGTCGCCGTGCTATATAGGCGTCCGACTTTGTGCACGTACGAGGCCAATATCTTCAGGTTTATGCTGTTGTCGTCCACGAGCAGAAGTTCGGGACATGCGAAGTAGCCTAGAGATTGGTCCACACTCTCCTTCCGGTTGAGAGAAGGCGGCAGGCTGGGAGGTGATTGAGGAGTTAGAGATCGCAGTTCGTTAACTGGATTCGTAACACTGAAAGTTATCGGGTTCACTTGGGTCTCAGTCCAACGTTTCAATACCAGTGATATTGTTCTGGCGAGTTTGAGAGGGCCGATACTGCTTTGTCGTTAGTTGTCAGCTTGGGAATATAAGGAGTAATACTGACGGCTGTGAGATGAATTCCGATATTCCAAGTCGTCCAGCGTTTTTGGATCCAGTGGTGTACTGATACGCAATGAGCTCGTTTGTGCAGATGACAACTCCTGGTATTTTTGCAAGCCGCTCATCCGTATCCGCAGGACCAGGCAAAGAATCTTCGGACCAAATCACTACATCCGGTATCAGCTGTTGTGTTTGCGGTTCTGCATTGCCCTGCATATGCAGCAGGTCATGGCAGATATGCTGGACAAGAGGATGAGCCCCGGGAGTGTCGATTGACGAAGGCTCCTCGGAAGCCCGCTGCTTGTTGAACCCTACTATCTGAACACGCAAGCCATGAAGCTCACGCATCTGCGCCTGGATCGCATCGTCCGCTTCTGAAGCCTCAGGTAGCACTTCGAGGCGGGTCACAACTTGTGTCAATGGCAGTGACACCAGTACGGTTGTCCCAACTCCAACTTGACTCGTGACAGAGATATGGCCACGAAGCTGATCCACGATTTGTTTGACAAGGCTCAACCCAAGACCTGTGCCAGGTGCTAGCTGATCCTCCTGTGAAAATGCCCTGTACAAGCCATTTCGGAGATAGTCGTCGCTGATCCCCACCCCAGTATCAACGACTGTGAGGTTTACCAGCCGTTCATTGGAACCAGATTCGGACGAGACCTGGTCAAGTGATACTTTGATCACGCCTCGGTGAGTATACTTCAGAGCGTTGCCAAATAGGTTCATCGCAATACGGCGAAGGGCGCCCGGCTGAGTGTGAAACGTCCAAGAGAGAGAAGGGTCAATCATGAGCAAAATGGTGACCTCTCCAAATTTCACTTGGACTTCTCCCCTCTGTGTGAGTGTCGGGCCAAGGTCTTCCATCGCTCGTAGCGAATCGAGGCGTCTCATTGCGGTGTAATCAGTGTGTGCTAAACCCGTTGCCCTCTTTCTTGAAAGTTGAGCAATGGATAGATGCTGAAAGTTGAAACCTGCGTAAACGCTTTCCATGACCTCTTCAACAAGAATATCGAGACGGGTATCCTTGTAAAGAACCTGCATTCCAGCTTCGATCGATTGATCACTGTCCGGTCGCAATCCTCGGGGCCCGCTGTCTCTCCTCGGTAACCTTTCTTTCCCCATGAAATTATTGATCTTGGAGTAGTCCAAGAGGTGGTCCACAGTGTCGACAAGAGTACGGCAGCACGTCTCAATCGTATGTGCTAAGTTTTCTTGTACAACATTCAAGTTCGTGTCGTTCAACAGTTCAACTCCCAGGATGATGCCGTGAAGCGGAGAGCGGAGCTCGTGTGAAAGAGAGCCAAGTGCATCGGCCTTCGCCTTGTCGGCCATGACCGTTTCGAGTCGGAGTTTTTCGGTAGCCGCGAGCATACCAAAAGCTCTTAGATAATTCAGGTCGCCCTCCAGAGTAAAAACCCGAGCTGGTGTGGACGTGTAGGCAAAGGCACCGACAGACCACCTTTCCTTCTTTGGGTGCCAGATAGGGACAAAAGCGACACTTCGGGCTCTTGGAAATGTCTCAAGGAGTATACGACCTTCTTTCTGTCGCGTCCTCGTTGTATCCTGTTGGTTCCCTGACACACCACTGGATTTTATGGGGTTCTCGCGCTGATGTGTAGCACCTTGCCTGTCAGGCTCTCGGGCAAGCCACCCCCGGACATTATCCTCGGAGGAGTCGCTGCGCTGTAACTCTCCATTCACATTAAAATTGAAGATGTGACCCTTTGGATACCGTCGAAGGAGTTTTTCCAGGAACTTTTGTGGTAAAGGCTGAGGTGATGATCGTGTGCAGGAAGCGTGGGTGCCAACTTGACCAGAACTAGAGAATCCAATCACTTCGCATGGTGGCCCCAAAATTTTAACCGACGAGACTTCACCATCCTCCTCATCACTGATACAGCCGTATGTTATTGAGGGAGCTAAGGAGCCTTGTCGCGTCTCATTCGCCTGGTGAGGAGCCGCACCGCTGAACTTCTTTGAACTGGCGTCGATGAATAGACATCCTTCTATGTCGATGGACTCTCTGATTATGTTTGCGGCTCTTGAGAAGATTGTTTCGGGGTCCCGTTTTTTGTTCTCATCGGTAGTTGAATATGATGGTTCTTCGATTGGCCGAGTATCGTTCGATGTTTTGTGTGGCACTTCAAGCACTGGTCCTCCAGGCCCTTCCTCTGGCTTGGAATCTGGCCTGGAATTTGACTCAGTCATCTGCTCCAACAGTGGGGGATCTTGTTGCTTGGCGGTCCCATCACCATCTTGGAGGGAGTCATGACCCGCATTCAGAGTACCTCCCTTCTTTGGACTAACCTCGGAAGCCAATGCCAGCTTGCCTTCGAGAAATGATCCAAGACCCCGAGTAATCCGATCGTTCCGTGCTTGTACACTCTTCAGCCTGCTCGCTTCCAGGTGGCCCATGATAATGCGAGATAAATTCCGCATCAAGTCGGAATGACGCTCGGTCCAATCCGTCACGGGCTCGGTGTGGATGACACACAATACGCCAATATTGATGCCTTGGCGGGTCGTAATGGGAGTCGCAGCATAGAAGCGTGCGGGACTCCCGGGCTGGCAATATGGTCTCGTCATGAAGCGCGGGTCGGCTGTGAGGTCGTCCACTATGACCATGGGCAGTTTACTGGGGTCACTGGGCTGGTCGAATTGATCCGTATCGCCCCTGCAAAGGGTATAATCGCACACTCCATGGGCGCGAGGAATGGCGGTGCCGCACAGCCAGAGTTCTTCGCCATGACCACTTTGCGGCAGGCTAGGGATCAGCGGGAGCGAGGGCGTTGCTTCGGTGACGATGTATTGATGGGTCTGGTCGAAAAGGGAGATCAGAGACCTGGCGGTGCCCGTTTGGCAGGTTGCGAGTTGGGCGAGCGCAGTCAATGTTCCGTCGGAGCAGGTCACCAGTTCGGAGCTGGGAATGGGGAGGCCGTCATTGTTGAATCGTGCCGAGGTCAACAGCGACCCGTCGTATCTGCGACACGCATTGGTTAGCTGACGGTTGGTTAGGTGAATGTCGATGAGCAACAGAACATAGAGCATGCTCTCACTTGAACGTCTCGCGCTCACGCGTCGTCTCGCAGACGGCCTTTGGAGCTTTGGGCGGTGCCGTCATCGCAATCGCGCGGGGCTCTTAGTCGCCGCAGGTACCGCGATGTGCACAAAAATTGCCTAGCTAGGCGACTCAGCGATCCCCCACAGCGGCCGGTGATCAAAGACAACACGCCGGGAGATGGACAGGGGGCGACATACTCCGTAGGTCGGGACACTATGCAAAGGGTAAAATCAGGAATGTGGGCGGATCATGGAGGTTGCCAGCAGCTGCCTTTTCGCGCACCAAGTAGTCCGTAGTCTGAGGAAAGAAGCGATGATGCAGCGGGTTGGTGGAGACCATCGCGGAGTAAGCCCTCCGGTGGCACAGTATCGCGCTGAGATAAAGTAGCTAGACTGTGGCTTCACAATTAACCAGAGTCGAGTCATGCAAGCTGGGAAATAGCCCTTGTCCTAAAGACAGGGAGGCGGCATTTGTGGGAAGCATGCGGCGTAGGTTGACATGCTCCGTTGTCTTAGACAGAAAAACACCACACAATTGAGCCGGTTTCCTGTTGTCACCCTCTCACATTTCCCCATCGACAGCAAAAGCTCTAGTGACAACAGCAAGGAGGACATCGCGCATCGTGACGTCATCATGCGCCTGTAGACTAGAACCCATGAAGGACTCACCAGTTCGAACCAATAGACTGCCTCGGAAAGAAACGACGGAACCCTAGCGTGCAATGCATTGTGGCATCTTCCGGAACCCCCACCTGGAAGTGGTTAACGGCAATTGAGAGCGGCGAAACTAACATGATTGGTGGTATTCATTGTCTGGACAAAGGTCGCGAAGACAAGCAGGCCCGTTGATTCTAAACCCGGAGGTCAAAATTGCAGGGGTTAATATAGAGCCTAGCTCAATAGGAGGAAGCGGATAGCCCCGACCTAGCTGAAGCAATGTTCTTCGGCTGTGGTTACGAATCCTCTTGTCGAAGAACAAAGTAGACTGAACATGCTATTGTTAAGTATATATCGGATCACACAATCTCTTCCTATCCATTTCTTTCAACAGGCACGTACCATGAATTCCCACCTCACCCCCCTCTAAGCGATAAAGACGCCCTGAACCTAGATTCAAGACAACAAGGGGTACCTCTCAACGAGTACGCAAAAAGAAATGTTTCTATCTCAAGGGAGAGTATTGTTTCACATTCTGTAACGGGATGATACGAGCGTGATAAATGGTGAGCTGTATGAAGATTGAAAATGGCGATGGTCATCGAGGGTGAAACTTAGAGCTACCAGCCATGACATAAGCGGCTCCTAGAAACGAACGTATTAGTTGCTAGATTCCATATGCTTAAAATTCCTAGTTTGGGTTGGTCCCCAATTTCTTAGAACATTTTGAGAAGGGAGTGAAGCAATTATACCACCTAACCAGCACGGAAGACGGATGTCTCAGGAGGCAGTGTGATACGCGAACCATGTCCCTGCCGAGAAAACTTTTAGGTCGTTAGATCCACAAGGCTTGAATTTGGAATTTAGTATCATGAATCACCCAGCGCGTCATACTGTATCGTGGCTGGCCAACACGGTCACTAATTTTATCGCATTCCAGATGAGCTCAGTTTCCCCACGGAAACTCCGCTAGAGGACTGAGTGGTCATTTCTCGGTCATTTCTTAGTATTCGTGATTCTATTAATCACTCCTTCCAGTGCTGGGCTGGCACACTCCTGAGCTGTGCCAACTTTTTAAAATTCTTCCTGTCGCGATGAAGCCTGCGACCGCCAGCCCTCTCCTACTGTGGATGGCATTCGGATGCCGCCCGGCAGTTGCCCATGCCCCATCGTTCTCGGTTAAACCCAACCCCGGTGCCTCCGCTCTGTATGCCTCCGCCTTTGGTGATGCTGGACTTCTGGAAGGCGACATCGATATTTTAATTGGGAACCTGAGCTCAGGAACGTTCATAAATGGACCTCTAGGCATGGAGCGCGGAGTTATTCTGACCACAGGGGATCCAATTGAAGCTATACTCGGGGGAGATATCAATGTTGACGCAGGAAGAATGCCCAGCGGAGAGTATCCGGGATATGACACCATCAGCGTCGTCGCCAACATCGTTGTACCAGAGAGCATCGAGGCGCTAAAAATAAGCTATATATTTGCAACAGCTGAGCCACCGTGAGAGAGAAGTTGAACGAAGCTAGTGAATGAACTACTAACAGATGATAGGCCTTTTGCAGACGAACTGCGACGACGCAAGCGTGAACTTGTCCCAAGACATATGAAAGATGACCAAATGGTCATTCGATTCGACGGGGAGATAATAGAGAGAGCATATGCATCGGACCTAAGACTAACGTCCTCGTCGAATAATATTGGGATGTCGTACGCTCGCTCCACGAGGCTACTCTCACGTAACATCCCAATGTCGCCTGGAATCCATTCGTTCATGTTCACAGTTTACGAGGTCGGAGATGCTCTTCGCGACTCTGCGCTACTTTTCAGCGTGAAGGCTGTGCGTAGACCAGAATCAACTTCACTTGCGGACACTACGGTAAGGTTCCTTGTCAATCACATTCCGCTCGCCCGCCCCACTAACACATCTAGGAGGATGCAGATGCAATCAAATCACCTATATCTACGGCACTCGATCCGAATATATCATCTGGGATGAGACCTGTGTCGAATTTGCCAACAATTGGCCAATACACCTTTGGCGGATGTCTACTGTCCGAAGCTGGCTACCCAACCTTCGCAGAAGTGGGCAGAGGTAACGTGGGTAACAAAATGGAGCCTGCTTTGTGTCTATCTCTTGCGAAGGGAAGCAAGTATTTTGGCATCAACGACGAGTATAGTCTTACTACCCTTAATTTTCTAATACCCAGAGGCTAATGCTGAACACAGTATCTGCTATGCTGCAGACTCTATCAACCAGACAAGAATTGTCCCTTCACAGCGCTGCAATTGGCGTTGCCCGGGAAATCTAGGCCGCTTCTGTGGTGGGCTGGGACGTTTGAGAGGCTGGAGAAATGGTGGTACTCGACGTGTTGATCCCCTCGCTAAGCTAGATATCGCTTCTCTTCTGCTTACTCTTTATATCCATGACGAGGATTCTACCACATCTTTAATTGCAAATGAGAAGATGGCCTCTGATATAGGGGCTGAACCGGTTTCGGCTGCGCCAAAAACCGTTCTTACATCAATTACATCGGTGGTTAGATACACGACCGTTGAGCCGACACACTCTCGATCTCTCATCATTGTCGAAATCCGCACTACTCTTGAATTTTACTACTGCGCTATGTGCCGCACGGCCATTCCGCCAATTGTAGAAATGACCAAAAAGGAGGTTCCTTGCAATGGGTGTGGGAGAGGAGGAGAAAATAGCATTCTGCTGACGGTCCCCGTAGAGGCTCTTGCTCAGGCAACATCTCTGTATGGAAGCTTGATACGGACAGTGGAAGAAACGAGAGCGGATCCAGTTGCATCCAGTGTCCCAGCTGAGAGTGTCTATGGAGGAATAATTTTGCCTCAGAAGACTAATGCTGAGATGGAAGTCATCGAGGAAATTTGATCGCTGTAATGTCAGGCGAACCGTTGCCTCACACTATTAGGAGAACAGAGGACCAGCCCCAAGCTCGGTGCATTATCAATTAGTGATGTCCTTTCAATATCAGCGAGAATTAGCGCAAGATTGTTTTAACCATGCTTGACTATAGACGGCGCAGTCAACCAAAAAATGTGTACCTTTCTGCGATAGACGTCGCGGGTGTGTGATAATTTACAATTAAGATCAAGCTTCTGACTGAACGAGGTGCAGACATGTATCTACCATACACCTATTTATTAACACCGACAACAGAAGTTGCATAATCGCTGTCACCGCTCTTGCTAGGGTGCTACTCGTCAGCACACATAGTGACGGCAGTGGCTAGGCGGGAGCAGAGTGGGAATGGCTTCAGTCCCACCAGGTGTGACTATAATCAAGCATGTGAAGTCCAAAAAATAGCGGCTTTGGCTCACTCCTACGATATTATCAGGACGTTGGACTGAGCTGCGACAAGAGCAAAATTGTCTGCGAAGCTTGGTTTTGTGCATTTTGACAATTTGCGCCAGGTAGCAGAATTGCACAATTGAAATAATGCAAATGCTCGGAGTCACGTGTCTTGAGGTGTGATTGTGATTATACGGCTGGCGTGACGGAGGGCGATCTCCCCGTTTCAACTAAACATGCGCGTCTGCATATTATGAACAAGCGAAGAAGCATTGTCACATTCTGCGAAATACAAGCTACTCTTTTCCGAAACTGCAATGCGTCTACTGCATATAAAAACTCTGCAGCTACATTTCTTTCTCATCGCGAATTCACCGAGATACGCCATCTTATCTCATACCTGGGGGGACGATGAAATACTCTTCGACGACGTCCAGAATAGGCCTGTTCGCAGCTGGCGAAAGAAACGCGCATTTTCGAAACTAGAAGGATTTTGTAAGAAAGCTAACCAGCATGGCTATGAATATGTTTGGATTGATACGTGCTGTATCGACCAGGGCAGCAGTGCCGAATTATCTGAGGCCATCAACTCCATGTTTCAGTGGTACAATCAAGCAGAAGTCTGCTACGTCTACCTTGACGATACCACTCCGAACGCGCCCATTGATGGGTGTCGATGGTTTACTCGAGGGTGGACGTTGCAGGAGTTGATTGCCCCCACAGACGTCAGGTTTTTCGACAAGAGCTGGACATTTATCAACGATCGATTCTCCCTTGCACCGGTGCTCGCAAATATCACAGGTATCAAAGAGGTAGTGCTTCGGCATGGGCACGAGCCATACCCTTCACGATGGGCAGATCACAAGTCCGACAACACGTTTAATTCCTATTGCTTGTCGTGCGGGTGCCGATGGTGGTCCTCCATTTATGATGATGGCATTGCCCAATTCAGCGTCGCGCAGCGCATGTCGTGGGCTGCAAAACGGGCAACAACACGAGAAGAGGACATTGGGTACTGCCTCTTTGGCCTCTTTGATGTTAATCTGCCTTTGCTCTACGGCGAGGGCCCAAGGGCATTCACTCGACTTCAAGAGGAGATCGTCCGGCGAAACGACGATCAATCGATCCTAGCCTTTAATCAGGGTTGGGGTACGATCCTCGCCAGCAGCCCAGATTGCTTCGGTGTGGGCGAGATCTATTCCAAATGGGCACTCGATAGTGAAGTCGAATTACTGAGCAATCGCCAATCTAAGCTTTACCTGGCTAATGGTGGATTGAGCGCCGACATCTTAATATGTCCTCTGCGGGACTTTAGACCGCTAGATTCGGAGCGTTATTATATCGGCATATTGGATTGTGCGATGGGGCCAGACTTGCTCTCTAGACCTGCTATTCTCCTGAAGCCGGTTCATCTACCTGAGCACACATTTCGAAGGTTTTTACCTGGCATCTTGTGCTGTGTGGACCAACCCGGACACGGCCGCCTCGTGGGAAGTCCAATTGGAAATTGGACGGATTGTAAGTAGACCCTCCTCTGGGAGAGGATAACAGCGGCTAACTGGCTGATCTAGTTAACTTTGACATCGCTGAAGCTCAGGTTCAAAGGATTACCATCGTCCCAGAATACGATCTCCGCAAGGATCCCATTGTTCAGGGGACCCCCTTGCGGATAAAGCCACTTATTGAATGCGGAGGATACAGCGTGGAGGATACATTCCCAGAAAGACTCAGCGACACCATGCTGACTTCCTCCCGATTGACCCCAAGAGGCATCATCATGTTCCATAAGCCTTCAGCCCCCAGATTTTGCGTCATTTGGGAATCAAGACGAGCCAAGCCTCCTTTTCGCAATCGAGAAGAGCAGTTTCTCTCAATATGGTGCAAAATCTGGCCCTTGGACGATTTGAAGCACGCAAGTATCAGTGTTCGTGGCAATGCGGCATTTGCTCGGGAGGTCATGAAAAGCGTCCGCATGCGTGATAGATCCTTCGACTCACTCTTTAATTTTGATGGAAATACGAAATCGCATGTCGACTCTGCTCTTCTGGGGGGCGTTGAGCAGCAGAGAGTCACGGCGAAACTCAACACTGCAGCTTTCCTTGGGCGAACCATAATAGAGCTTGAGGTTCAGATTACCAAGGTCGAGGATGTCCCTGCAGTTGTTGATCTACCAAACTGGTAGGGGGTGGTTTTTAGAATCATTTACGATTTTTACTTAATTTTATCTACAATTTATACCCAATGTAGAACCACTGTTGTTCAGATTTCGAACCCCTACCGCGAGCTACACACTAACAAGTGATTTCGCGTTCTGCAAGACGGTGGCTGGGGAGGACGTGATATCGTTGTAGTCTGCAGGGCAGAAGTAGTACCAGCCAATACCGTGGCTGACAATGGTCTCGGCATAGCTGGCCAGCAAGGAAGGATCGGCACTCTTGCCCTGGAAGTCTTCGCCTGTGAACTGGTTGACGATCACGGCTCCCTGAGACTTGTAACCGACAGGAAAGTTGGCTTTAAGAGTCTTTTCGCTCTCGTACTGAGGCATTCCATAGCAATTAAGGCAGCTCTCAAAGGCGATGACGATATCGCAGATGCCGTAGTACTCTTCTGCAGTCTTGACACCAAAATTGCAAATGGTGGTGATATGATCGTCAAAGGCCTCGCGTGCGTACGTAATGGCCTCGTTAAGGTAGATGAAATCGGCATCGGATTCGTCGAGGAAAATACCGTGGATGGAGATGTCCGCTCCGGAATATGAAGCCCAGTTGGCATAGTTCGTGATGTTGGCTTTGAGCTCTTCCATCGGAGCTTTTGCGTAGTTGGTTCGGACGTAACCAACGGTGTTGACATTTTCGTTCGCATTCAGCTGCGATACGCCGCTGACAAAGTTTACATCATCATCGGCGGGTTTACCTGACAGGCCGGGGCCGTTGTTGGGGTTGATAACGATAGTCCAATCGATATCGGTGTGGGCTTTGACGGCTTCAATGACGGGTTTCCAGTTGGCAGCATTGTCGTTCCACTCAGCAGAAGGATAGACGTAGAGTGGGAGCAAAATCCCGGTAGCAGAAACAGAAGTAATCAGGCTGACCAGAGCGGTGGAAGTAATGAAAGAACGCATGACAAAATTGTTGAATGAATGAACGAAATGAAGAGAATAGAACAGAAAGTGCAAGTATGTTACATGAATAAATTTGACCTCGCATGAGCAAACTGGGTGCATTTCGAAAGCTTTATACATACAATTCATTCACAGCGACGGAAAATGATCCAATGCGTGGCCGCCTACCCAGTCTGGCAGGAGTCAGCGTAATGAAACAAGCACCCCATGTTGCGGATCCTTCGTCGCATGTTTCTGATACCAGCCACAATCCGATCGATCCTATGGGACGAATAGCAAAACTGTTACAGGGTCAATAAATGAAACGCGGCTGAGATAGATTGAATGGCCATTATTTTGGCCCGACTGAGAGCCGATTATCCGGGGTAGACGAATCGTCTCGTCTCATTTCGTGTGGGGATGATTTCTTATGGTCAATTGTCATCTATCGCTCTACTCTCGTCGCGCGATGAAGATTAAAGGGGAAAACAACTTGTAGACATCGAAGAACTGAATTGGTCAGAAGAAAAAAAATAGTGCTGAGGGATCTACAGAAGGATACATAGGAGAGTCCAGCCAGTGCTGTGTTACAAAGCTAGACAACGCGGGATCGTAGAAAATATCGCCTCACCCTCAACTTCACATTTGTTGCGCCAACAGCTCCACGTGTGTACGCGCGTTGCGTCTTTTCCCGTTCGTTCCCAGTGCGTTCTACCAAAAACAGCAGCTAAATTAATACCGGCTATCCAGCTCCGTACGGATTGATCCTGTTGGTAGTGTAGTGGAAGACGCGACCAACATTTGAGATCCAGGGTAGGCTCCGGGAGGATCACTGGACAGAACGCAATTTCACTTGCCCAGCCCCATTAAATTCCCTCTAGCTAATCAATCTCGAGAAAGGGACCGTGTCACTAATAAAATCTATGGAGTGATTGCGTCACGCATCGTGAATGTCCGGGTCCTGTTCATCTCATTAACTAAAAAATCAGTTGGTTATCCCATGCGGACATCATTTGGCAGTGGTGCTAGGGTTATATAATCCCAGCTGTAGGCCCAGTCACCTCAGCCACCCGATGCTCGTCACTGAGCTATCGTGTGTCATAGGGTAGCCATCCACCTTTGAGCTCAAGGCCAAGAGAAGTACAGGGAACAACAGGCTGAGGCGGATAAAATATACGTTTTGGTAAAATCCTCCAGCCTCACAAGTGAAATTTAATGAAGCTGAGTAACAGGCTCCACCTACTCGTCTTTTCCACGATGGGACAAAAAATGCCGAGAAGGATATAATTATGTCATGCAATCCGATTATTTAACGGTGAACTAGCAAATTATTGCTCATCTCCAAAAACTACAGCATTTTCAAATGCCCAGTCTCGAATAGCGTCGAAATTACGGCAGGTATGCAATGTGCTGAAGTCAGGCCAGTGTCCTTCAAACCCCTCATAGTACTTGAAGGCATAGACACCAGTGTCGCTCTGGCACATCAATGCCACGCGCAAGATTTCAATACAGTGGTCTTGTCACTCGTTAGTACAGGGTAACCCAAGGTCGATCGGTTCACTCACCAAGATGCCCTCTCAAGTCTTCAGGCTGCACCTCAATATCTCCGCCGTGGTGAGAATAGTAGTCTCTATAACTGTCCTGTCTCAGGAGGTTGAGGCAGTGGAGTTGATGAAATGCTTGCACCCCGACACGGTAACCTTCTTTGCCGGTCTTGGGGTCTTTGATCTTCAAGGAAGCCGGATCAAGGCCAAGACGATCAAGCTCTGCTTGGCTAATCATCTGATCACCAACATCATAGGTGACGTGGTCCCAGGCCTTGTCAACTTCCGCGCCGTACCCGACGTACTCAGACTCTGCTAGGAGAGGAGTGATGTTATAGCGAGTGGTCTGGTACTGAACGGCCGAATCTGCCGGAGCTGCCATGCGTCAGAACGATACATCTTTCATGAACATTCGTGACTTACAGTAAGGCGAAATTTGTCCAGTGCATGATAGCACCGAGGGCCGACCGAAATGTAGACAAAATGAGAGTGCGAAGAGTGATAGTGAAGTGGATAAAAGTAGGCCGTGTAATATCCAAATCAGATGGGGTTGGAGGCCCAAACGTTGGACAAGCGATTTGTAGAACGGAACGGGCTTTTCCAATTGCAACAGCAGAGTCTCCTTCTCGGACGTTTGCTGTTCCTCGTCAAGAGGGACTGACTGGTAGGTATCCATCGCGGCGTCTAGCGTCTGCGAAATGCTTCTACACAAAGAAAAAAAAAATGTACAAAGACGCCCAGCGACTCGAAAAAAAAGAATGGCACAGCCGTAGGAATGGAATGAAGAGCGAAGGGAATTTTCGTTGGGTGCGTGCAGTGATTATTACCAGCGAAGATCACAAGGCCAAGCGGAATAGGAGCTTGGCAAGCTATGAATAGGTCTTGGCTCTCCGACGAATCGTAAACGGATGTAACGATGATGAAGCGATCATTGAACGAAAAAGCCACGCTCAAACAGGGGAAAGCCAGGGCTAGAGGAATACAGATGCACCCTTAAAAAAAACTGGGTTCCCTACAACACGAGCGATAAATATCGCGGGGTAGAAATGTATGAGCTAACTAACCGACAGGCGGGTTCAGTGCGATCGCCGATGTTCCACAACCTGACTGCAACCCCTTTGCAGAGGGGCCGTCTCCTGGCTCGGAGAAACTGACCCTGGCCTGCCCAATTAAATACGCAGGATTTGTGGAATTTTGGCGCCAGGGTGGTATTCAAGCCCTGTCTGGGGGTTGTTTGAAAACCTGAAGCACTAGTATGGTTCATCCTGTAAGAGTCCAACAGCGCTCGCCTAAAGCCTTGACCAACTCTCAAACAGGGGGCAATAGCCGCCTGCCATGTCTGCCAATGATTTTATTTCGAAACCATGAACAATGGCTTGCCTTGGCGTTCGATGACACTTGTCAGAGCGCGCATAGGGCTCTTGGCCGACGCTACGGTGCTATTGGATTAGTGGCGGCGGCAATGTGACTGTCTGCGGTCCTCAACAACCAGAATCCGCTTAGTGTGCCGTCCCAGCCTCTAGTTTGAGGGACAAGTTCTCGACGTCGAGTTTGATAGACACATCGAGGAGTCTTCATTTGCAGAGGCCGGCTAATCGGCATACGCGATGTCATTGACACTGGATTCGGAAACTTGGGGTATTCGGTGTAGCATCTTTACCAGCAGACAAGGCCTCAGGGGCTAACTCAGGAATCAACCAGAGCTCCAACTTTGGACACCTGTGGCTCCTGTGATGGATATCATATAAGTTCTCAAACCTGCTCAGTCCATGTGGTTCGATTCTTTCTCCATCATCACACCACACAGCTTCACATTGCTCTCTATTCTTTCTTCTTTTGGTTTCAGGCCCGGTCCTCTATCAATTGAATACTTTTTCACTTCACACTGCTGGCCAGTCTTTACTTATTACCTTTACTTATAACCTTTTCAACATCCACCATGCATTCTTCCATTCTCTTTGCGACTGTCTTCGCCAGTCAGACCCTGGCCTATGGCCTCACTCCTTCGGGTTCTACTGTTGGACGATATGCCGTATGTGGTTATTCAAGCTGAACTCAGACATTGTTACTGATACTCTCGCAGGCCCCACTAGCCGTCATGGCTCTTCCAGCCGCTGGTTTCCCTATCTTCAAGACTGTCGAGATCAGAGATGTGAGTTGAATCATTTTGGACTTCCCGAACCACTCGCTAATACAAAACAGCCTCATCACCAGGGACAGCAGGCCAACAACGCCAATGCCAATAATGCTAATGCCAACGCTAACGCCAATGCCAATGCCAATGGCTGCAATGCCAAGCGAGACGAAGAACTTGAAGCTCGACACCATCAAGGGCAGCAGGCCAACAATGCGAATGCCAACAATGCCAACGCAAATGCTGCCAACGCAAATGCTTGCAATAACAAACGCGATGAGGAGCTTGAGGCTCGTCACCATCAAGGGCAGAAGGCTAACGCTAATGCGAATGCCAACGCCGCCAACGCTGCCAACGCCAACGCTGCCAATGCCAATGCCAACGGCTGCAATGCCAAGCGAGATGAGGCACTTGAGGCCCGTCATCACCAGGGCCAGAAGGCTAACAACAACGCGAACGCCGCCAACGCCAACGCCGCCAATGCCAATGGCTGCAACAACAAGCGAGATGAAGAGCTTGAGGCCAGACATCACCAAGGGCAGCAGGCTAACAACAACGCCAACGCGGCAAATGCCAATGCTAATGCCAACAATGCCAACGCCAACGCTGCCAATGCCAATGCCAATGCCAATGGCTGCAATGCCAAGCGTGACGAGGAGCTCGAGGCCAGACATCATCAAGGACAGCAGGCCAACAACAACGCCAATGCCAACGCCGCCAATGCCAACGCTAACGCTTGCAACAACAAGCGAGACGAGGAGCTTGAGGCTAGACATCACCAGGGTCAGCAGGCCAACAACAATGCCAATGCTAACAACGCCAACAATGCCAATGCCAACGCCGCCAATGCAAACGCCAATGCTAATGCTTGCAACAACAAGCGTGATGATGAGGTTTATGCCCGTCACCACCAAGGACAGCAGGCGAACAATGCCAATGCCAACAACGCCAATGCCAACGCAAACGCTAACAACGCGGCGACCTGCAACTAAAGGGCACCGTCAAGTCTCCTGGATTCGTCTACAGACAGACGTCTGGGATGTGTTATTTGGTAAAATTCCGCAGGGGCGGGGTGGGATCTGAAAAAGTAACTATTACTAGTACATCAAGTAGTCCATAAGAACAGATAATAGACTTTGGTGACAATTCAAGACTAGTGCGCCGTGTAAAAGCTAGAGTGTATGTTATAATTAGATAAACAACTAGGATTCTAACCCATGTCGGCCAAGATGCACTATATTGCGATTAAACAAATGCGGTTTCGACAACCGAATCTAGATGCTCAACACCCTAGTGCGACACCAGAAGTATCGCCATTTTCTGGGGGCGCCAGGTTCAGCACTACTTGGCCGCTACCCACCAAGCCCCATGTGTTCGTCTCAGTGCCTTAGGAATTATGGCGAAGTGTGGATAATAGCGGTGTTGAGGTTTCCAGTTACGGGGACTTTAATCGATCCCTCCTTAGTATTGAAGCTTGTGTGGCCTCAATCCGCCAGCTCTCACTCCGTCGGGCCGCGCTGAGTAGTTTAAAGGAATGCGTGCAACTCGCCTGTGGTGCCCGCTTTTCTCGCCGCTTTTCAACCGACAATGTTCTGTCATCTCCATTCACATGACGAAAAGTCGAATAAGTTAATAATCCTAGTTGTTCGATGATGTGTGGTCAAATGAAGCTGTCACTAGAGAGGATAACGAAGGATGCAGATCCTGAACACTCGTATTGCAAACTCCATTCTCTAATCATACCCCATCCTCATACCGGGGCAAATGATTCTTGCCATGATCTCAGAGTTGAGATTGACTTTTGCGTCTGAGGATGATCTCGACCGAGGATTCTCTCTTGAGAACCAACGCAATTTTTTATCAACGTAATCACATCGCCGCGTCTACCTAAGCGATGCCACCCGTAGGCTACATTTGCCATGCTGTTTACCATATCGGGGTGCTCGTCGCCTAAAACCCTCTTCAGGCTCTCCATTGACTGTAATTTCAGTGCTTCTGCTTCCTTCATCCTTCCCTGGTTCCAGTATATCATAGCTAGGTTACCCATGCTAACTAAGGTTGAGACATGCTCTTCGCCCAGCACTCTTGAGGTGATCCCTAATTCCATAATCTGTAGCTCCTCTGCCTCCCCCCACCTTCCCTGAAGTCGGTATGTGAAGGCTAGGTTGGCCATGCTAGTCAATGTTTCAGGGTGTTCTTCGCCTAGGACCCTCTTTTGAAGTTCCACGGCCCGCGAGCCCGGCTCTTCTGCCTCCCGTAACCTTCCCTGAACTCGGTACGTGGACGCGAGGTTGTCCATGCTGACCAATGTTAGGGGGTGTTATTCGCCTGAGACCCTCTTGTGAGTCTCCATTACCCAAAGCTCTAACTCCTCTGCTTCGTTGAGCCTTCCCTGATCCCAATATATTGACGCTAGCCGGGCCATGCTAACTAGGTTTGAGACATGGTCTTTACCCAGCACCCTTAAGCAGATTCCTAGTTGCTTAGCCTGTAGCTCCTCTGCCTCCCTCAGCCTTCCTTGAGATCGATATGTTGTCGCGAGGTGGGACATGCTAACTAAAGTTGAGGAATCCTCTTCGCCCTGCACCCTTGAGCTGATCCCTAGTACCTTCACCTTTAACTCTTCTGCCTCCTTCCACCTTCCCCGGTCTGCCTATATTGACGCTAAGGTGTACATGCTGGCCAATGTATCGGTATCCCCCTCGCCCAGTATCCGTGTTCTCATTCTGAGAGCGTTTTGAGCCAATATCTCTGCCTGGTGATGCTGTCCCATGCGGACCATATACCACGATGTGTTTGCAAGCAACGTACTCCAATCCAGCCAATCACTCTCTTCTACTGGCTCTTCTTTTAAGATTGACTGAAGATGCGGCAGTAATGTTTGACATTGTTCCCAAGTCTCAAAATCACCGGATGGAAAGTGCTTTGAAGCTAGACTCAAGAAAAGCCTCTTCCATCGTCTCAAGTCGTCAAACCTCGAAATCCAGACTTGCGTACATAATTTAACCAGGGAATGCATCTCGCAAAAGCCTTTCGTCGTCGTATTGACGAGGGAGTATCCGCGAAGAACATCAAGGTCATCTTCAAAGTCGCTCTCTCCACAGTCCGAGTCAACATTGCTGTACCCGTGTAGCATATATTCAGGGATGTTCTGCGCTTCAAAGAGGCTCATGAGTGAGAGAAAATTGGCAGCTGCTGGTTGTTGTCGGCGAATTTGCTCAAAGGTCACCTGCCAGGTCACAACGACCGCATTGGACACATCTTCATGCCGCCGAAGATCCCCGGCGTCACTGTGAAGTAGACTTCCCCTCTTTTCTTGGCTTTTCTGGAAATCAACCAGATACGAGCGGATACTAAGTCGAGGAGCGCGTCGGTTAATGTAAGCAGCCGACTGATTCACAGCAAGCGGGATGAAGTCAAGTGTTGAAACAAGGTCCGCAGCGGCGGCTTCGTCGATATCTCCATCAAATTTGTTTCGGAAGAGCTCAAGGGCCTCTGATCTACCCATCGTAGGTATTCTCAGGATGGCCTTGTGACTACCCGTCAATTTCTCCGAGACGGTCAAGCTGCGCGACGTGACTAGAGTCTTTCCATTGTGTGTTTTCGGTAAACATGATGCTATCAGCACCTGCGTATCATCTTCACCTTCATCTTTAGAGAAGAACATGTCGAGGGCATCTGCGTTATCGAGACTCATCAACCACGGACTCACATCGTCCCTCTGCAACCAGTCGCGGACGAGCGTGAGGACGTTAACGCCGGGATCGCGGCGACGGGGTAACGCAAGCGCGTCTGCGATGGAACGGTACGACTCTTCGAATCTGGCCTTCGTACTCCCGTATACCTAAAAAATGCTCGTGTTGGGGGAAGTGGTGTGGACATGGTAAGCAAACTGGATGGCGATTTGGATTTCCTTCCACTTGTTAGCCCAATAAGCGGCTGTCGAGACATAAAAGCCTTACCCAAACCCTCCCATGCCCACAAGGGCTATTCGGCTCACAGGCTCTGCGTATCGTTCCGTGAGCCAAGTCCAGATTGCGGGCCGTTCGAAGAAATCGGGATCGGCGGGAAATGGCACCATGAAATGAGGCTTGTGAACTTTTGGCGAGTCGTCGGCTACTTGGGGTGAAATGCCCTCGATTTTATCATTAATGTCGAGAAGGATCCTCCTATATGGCAGATTAGCGTGCAACTTAATGAGATACTGGTAGGCTCAAACGCACGTCTGGTCAACCTGCAGGTCGACCATGATAGTTTGTTCGCAACGTTCCAGGTTTGCGATGACACTTTCCATCTCCTTCCTACTGAAGGGCCACTTGAGGGCTCGAAGCCCAAAGCGGCGCATCGCTTTACGTGCTCTGCTGGGGTCAAGCTTGTCTTCGAGTCTCCGTAGCTCGCGTTCGCATTCCTAGAGCGAATCTACCAGTTCGCGTGAAGTAGCGAGTGGCTAGCTAGTTTTCTCTTCCAGTAGCTGCTGAGCGCGCCTCTAAAGGCAACGCACTGGTGGTTAATCTGGCTCTGGAGGCGAGTGATGTCGGCTTGGGCCCCCGCAACCTCGGTATAGTATTGGAGGCATAGTGTAGCGACCTTGGCAGACAAATCAATGACGGCGATTATATTCGCAGCAGCCCCGATGGCTTCCATGGTGGCTATTATGAACCCGTCGGTGGTAGATTGTATGAAGATGGATGTTGCTCAAGCCAAACCTCCACTCCAACGCCAGGATGCGCTCGTCCGCGCGGGGCAACAAGGGTGTAAAAATGCCTGACAGCACGTGATCTTCAAACATTATCAGCGGCATTACTTCTAGTGATTAATCTAATGATGTTGACGAATATAATATGAGGATGGGTTTCGTCGGGGAATGCGTCGGAGTTCCGTAACAAACCCCTTAATAGCGTCACATTCAGGACTTGGATTGGAGGTAAACTCAACTTGGAGCAGCTATTCACAGTGTAGGTTCACCCACGAGAAAGGAAACATTTCAATTCAACATTCGGATTGCTCTTTGGCCTATTTCAACTCTAGGAAGTGTAGGTATAATTCCATTCAAGCTTCCACTCCAGTCAAAAACCCAATTATTGCCTCTCCGGCTGGTCCCTTCCATGTTCTAGCAAAATGGAGCAAAGCCATACCATACTATGAGCAAGCAAGAACGGCGCTAGAAACCTGGACAAAAGAAAGAATACAGTCACTTAAAATAGCAAACTTGATCCCTTTATTCCAGCTTCTGCCCAGATACAACAAGACTAAAGCAATCAGCATTTAAATATCGGCCAAAAGGGATTGGAGACTCACATTCGCCAGTAGCCGTGGATGTTCTTGTTCTTCAAATCCTGCCTGACATTAATCAGGAACAATTCAACTTCCTCACACGTCCAACCTAGAACGCGTGTGAACAACGCCAGACTCAAGGCTGAAAGCCCGCTGAGCACGTTTTCCAGAGTCCAGCCACCAAGTTCCTTGAACTTGGGATCCTTCGGCCAGCTATTCATGGGCCATTTGTACCACTTCTCAGTAACGTTGGTGAACCCGCGGTCAATCATCTTCTGCTTCAGCTCCATGGATCCGTCCAGGCTCCGTCCTGGGTGAACCTTGGCTGCTGCGTCTCTCATCAGGTTGCTCCACTTGTAGACAGCTTGATCCTCCGTAACGGTGTCATCGTCGCACGCCAGGGGGTACACCGCATCGGCGGTTTCGATCCATCCACCAGGGGAGAGATTCTGAAACGCCTGGCGGATCAGATTATCCCAGTCGGAAACGGAACCTACTAGGAAGCGGAGGTAAATAAGGTCCAATGGCTGACTATAAGTCCACTCTGCCTCCAAGTCATCGACCAAGAAGGTCACATTGGGTGGCACCCTAGTTGTAGTTAGCGAAGATGTATGAGATTTCGCTTGAGATATATCTTTCTCGTATCTCAGTTACGGGAAACTTGCAATGTAGGCTGGATTGGACTCAGATCTACGCCGATGACCTGCCTAGTGGTTAGAGATGACAATGGCTTGCGTCAAAGATCATAATTATCAACATACTTCTGTCTCAGGGTGTTCATCCGCTAATAGGCTAATCAGTTTGAATTAATCCATATCTTTTGATCGCAACTTACCCATATCCATGGCCCACGCGCCTGTTCCGCAACCAGCATCCAGGACACGCTTCAAAAGCTTATCCACGCCGGCTGGACATGTGAAGAGTTTGTTGTTGAAAGTTAGAAAACAGAGATGGTGTTGTAAATCTACATCTTGTTAGAGATATTTGTCACATGAAATGGACATATAAATGCTGCTCTTGGCCGGTATAATCCCTCACCTAGTCGCTCGTTTTCTATCTCGTCGTTCGGCAAGTGGTAGGCTGCGTGAACGTTACTAGTCAGTTATAGCTCTCGGAAGTTCAATGTTGTTGTTGTCAACACACATCCTTCCTTGTACGTATGATATGTGCGGCCGTTCTCCATGCGATATTTGGCGATGCTGGAAGCAAGCGATGTGGTGCTGCTGCCAGTGGATGCCTACAGATACATCGTTGAGCTTTGAAGGGGGTTATCTAGTTGTGTGGCGGCGGACTCACAGTCTCAATGGCAGAATCACCGTCGTTAAATTCAGCTTCCTACATTTTTCGTTTCAACATGCGTCCCTAAGCTTCGGATGCTTCGGTGTTGAGAGTTGTCTCGGGGTTCTTACATCAGGCTCAATTGCGGGGATCTCGCCGTGATCGGAGCTCGCTACCGTCCGGGGGCTGCTCTTCCCACTCTCGGGACTACTCTTTCGTGTGGGTTCCTGATCTCCCATGATGATTACACGATTTGGTGGGGTTTTCAAGTCTTCTGTTCGTAGTCCTTTGGCAAGTCGTCGCTCAAAACTCAACAGGAGATTGATTTGATGCGGGAAATAACGCACCTTTAAATACAATCCAAAAGTGCAGGGATGTCAACACCCATGGAGGAAAACTGGAGGGGTATTGTGCGATATCAAGATTGCATATGCAGGTTGGGTGTTGGTAATGTGTATAAGTGAGCTGATTCAGAGCGGGGAAATGACTTGGCACCCTCGTCACGTTGACGGCCACTGCAGCACGCCTAGAACTGATAAGTTGATAGGGGTTTGGTTCGCTTTGAATGAGTGAACGGGAGATTTCGGTTGGGAATACGCTTCGTTTGAATATACTGTTGAAAATAGGCACAGAGGTTTGACCACAGATCCTCCCTCAGGCGGCTTGATACCTAATACAAATCACAGTCCCCCCACTCGTACCATCCGCATCGAACTGAGTATTGCAGTCGTTGCTTTCCCCGTATGACAATATAGTTAAAGTCATCAGTCCGATCTATATTTCTCGCACCCCGACAGATAGAGCATCTGTTCCTATTGCTGCCACGATCCTTAAGGGCCATCTCAGAATTGGCTATAGTCCCTCCCATTTCGGTGCAAATGGCTTCAGCCTTCGGGTCCCAAAATACGTCATATTTAGCACCGGCAGGCCAGAGATAGGAGATGGCGCAGCCCTTCGCAAGAGCAACAGCCAAGAGAGGGCCAGCGGCAAGAATACCGAGAATCGAGAAGCGCATCCTGAGCAGTATTTTAGCCAATAGTTGTTAGTTGTAGGGTCTCATGTGTACGTACATGGCGAGAAGATGCGATGATGGTACGACTAAAATCTTTTTGAGAGGACAAGAAAGTGGGTGGAGAAGTGGAAGATGCTGGATGAACATTTTCGCCCAGGACCACAAAAAGAAAAGATTTTAAGCTTCACTCAATATCACAGATGGATCAAAGCCATACAGTGTAAGCCATAACTTTGCTACCTGTGGGTAATAACTTTATCCTGAGCTACGTGATTCGAGACATGCAAGGCATTGGGTCATGGGGTTTTTGACCAGTCTATAAAGGTTATAATGGCTGTAAGGCCAATAAAACGAAAATAGGACTCAAGCAGATCGAAAAGTTGGGCTTGGAACCCAAACGTGGGCCTTGGCAACCGTGACATACACGACGAAAACGCCCCAGATGCAGACATTGGGTTGCCTCATCGAGAGATAGAGAGCTTTTTAACAGCAATGAATGCAGAGGGTGACAAAGTCACAGAATGCGCGTCTTAGAAGGTGGAGAGGCACGAAAATGTCAAACTAATAAAATACAAGATGCCGGGGGTGGTCAGCGAATATCTTCAATTCAGCCCAGACTTTCTAAGGAACTCTGTCGCTGGCCGACACATTGGCCTAACACGGAAGATGCATGGCCGCATGGAAGACATTTGGACTTTGGTATGGAATATCTTGGGACTCGATTTAATGGAGAATGGGAGGTGCCATTTTCGCCCATGTAGGAATTGGCGTCGCGACTTATTCTCATGCCGATGCGATTCTTGGTGCGATATCGATAGTGCGCTGAAAGTCAATTTTCTGGATTTCATCTCGCATTGGATGACGGGTTCAACCAAAGCGGCATACATCGGGGGCTGATGCTATACAGAAGAGAGTTCCCCAGAGACGATCCAGAAGTGTACATTTCTTGAAGGAAGCCCTTCTCAACTCTTTGCTTGCGAACAATAAAGCGATCCATCCAAATCTGACCAATATGCTAACTGCGGAGTGGCCGAGTCGTTGCTGCCTGGTTAGGCTAATTGGGCTGCCAGCGCATCGCTGCGTCACACATGCAGGAAGCGTCGGCAAATAAGAGCAGCAGAAAAACACCACATACGTTTCTGCGGCACTTGTTCATACCCTGCTCTCTCCTACAGATTTTGTGAAGTATGCCTCGCCCGCCTAAGCCACCCTCAAAGCACGAACTCCAAGATGTAAACAGGAGACCTCTCATAAGCCGCCAAGAATAGACATTTACCTCCAATTTTTGGAGGCCTTTGATTTATTTCTTCTTCCTTTTTTCTTCTCTTTTCTGGTCCCAGACGCCTTAGATAAATTTGTCTATAACCGTGTTGGTCAAGTGAGGGGGTCCCACTGACCCAGCCATTCTACAAAATCATGACACCAGGTAGAATATGACGAGTAGGCCATGAAATGGGCTCCTCCTCAGAGATTATGGCTTCCTCTCTCTCAAAAATGATGAATCGAATTATCACGGGATTAAGGCGCTACTACTATCGGAGATATTAACGGTAATTACCGGAAGACTAGCCATAATTCCATGTTTAAATCTCCTGGTATCAGTGGTATGTAGACAAAGCAGTAAAAGCATTATCACGAAAAACCCACTCACAAAACATCCAGGCATCACACATGGCTGCAATAAAAAATTTCAGCCGGTATGCTATCCAAGCCTCTTCTGAGGGAACATGCATATCACTTGCATGGAAAGGCGGACTGCAGCTCTGCGCCACATTGGTTGCCTCGTCTGCCTTCCATGCTCATGGAGCATATGAGAGCTGACAAAAGCAATGTCAGACGGAGCATACTAATCTTCGAATTCAACATACGCATTTGTTCGGACGTACGACCGCGACTGTTCGCGCGATACTCATTGGCACGGATTTCCCCATCGCTGGCAGGTGCTTGATTGACCCCAATGGCAAGCTCTGCGCCGCAGCTGGGTTTGAGCTACCAGCCCTTGAGTGCGGCGAGCAACGAAATACGGATCCTAAGCATCAAACCTGCGAAGAGGCCTCAAGACGAGATTAAATGCCAGCTCGAACATGTCCCGCTAGCAGCAAGCTCCAATTACGTCGCGCTCTCATACTGTTGGGGCGGTTCTGACAAGACCGTGCCGGTCAGGCTACCGCTCCGCTCACGCCGTGATAGCCTGGCTGGGTCATGCCGAACCTCCTGCAGTCCAAGGGGTCATCCATCTAATGGGCGCAATTGAAACTTTGCTAGGATTCAACGACAGAAGGGACAAGCTTCAGCGTCTCGGTGGTGGGAGTGGGCATGACATCCTGAGCGAGGCCAAGTTGCAGGACTCAAAAACGCCCGACGGCCAGAAGCTACGCCAGCGTGCTTTACGCCGTGTCGTTCGAGGCGTCGTCAAACTCCTGGACAAAAACACCTCTCAGGACCTTCATCCAGTCAGAAAAACGAGGGGCGCATTAAAACACATTCGCGCAAACCTGCAAGACTCTCATTGGGAAGCCCTTGAGAGGCTGCTTAGCTGCGAATACTGGAGTCGGGTTTGGGTCATCCAAGAACTATCTATGGCAAACCGCTTACAAGTTATCTGGGGAAGTCACAAGTTTGCTTTCTTGGACCTCGCCTACCTCGCCGTGGCTTACAGGCGCATGCGCAAAGCCGACATGGTAGGCGACATTGTTTCCCCCAGAGCCTGTCGACACATTCAAAATCTCCTCAAATTCAAGAACCTCCAAAGCGGATTGAAAGCCGTACCGTTGATCAAAGCTCTGAAGATGACGTCGTTTGCCAGGTCGACAGACGTTCGCGACAAGGTCTACGGGTTGATGGGACTGACATACGACGGCTCCATAATCTTCCCCACTCCGAGCTACGGAAGCGACATCCGGCGTGTTAACGAGGATGCGACCTTGCGCGTTATCCGACTTGAGCGCTCGCTAGATACCATCGTCTTCAGGAGCAAGGGTCCAAGGTCCTGGTTGGTCGACTGGTTTGACTCGGAGACCTGGCTGGATCCGCGAGTCGTGTCATACCTCGATGGCACTATGGAATTCCGTTCGAGAAATGGAACGTTATGCTCCAAGTGGGATGCTACGCCATCGAGTCTCCCAGTAGCTACCGTACAAGGCCAGCACTTGGTAGTTCAAGGATCGATTCTGGACACCATCGGCAACTGTTCTGCGACCTTTGAAGAGAGACGATCAAAATCTAAACAGCTACCTGATTATGGTGGGCGTCGGAATATACGACTTGTTAAGGAAAAGAGCCACAGAAGTATTGAGTTTGCACTTTTCAACTGTTTCTGCATTCTCCCCGATGATGAGAGAAGATACTCGAGCATGCCTCGTTTCCTTATGGGGATGCAATTCGTATCAGATACGATAATCTCTAAAAGGAAAGTGAGAACTGATCTGGGGAAGAGGGCCTCTGATATCCTTGAATGGTTAGATTGTCCAATGAACTCTTCATTCAAGATTAGAGGTCACAGTCTAAGGTCGTGGTTCACTTCTCGACCCGTTTCCAAGTGGAATTTTCCAGGATTTAGGAGTGAGGAAAAGACGGCCATCAGGTTTCGCGCCATTTTTGCAGCCACAGACGCCTTGCGAATGGGTATGAGACTAGGAGAAACTACGAAGGGGAATGTTGGGTGGTTTTCTAAGCACTCGAGGCCGGGCGATTCCATTGCCATCTTGAGTGGGAGCAGTGTCCCCGTGGTCCTACGCCCTCGAACGGACGGGACATATACGGTGGTCGGTGACAGCATTATTCCAAGCATGATGCTGGGGGAGGCATCATACGAGGCTAAATGGTCCAATATCACATTACACTAATAAATGTGGTGCTAGGGCAAGACTGACTGTGAGATGACTAGATATTTAGTGAAATTAGCATGGATTTTGGACGGCGTTTTGCTATTCGCACATGCACAGAGGGTAGTTCTCCATAATGCAATACAGTATCCTATCTAATAGACCGGCGTCGATGTACTGGTCCGGCTGCTTTATATAAGGCTCGGAATAAAGTCCCCCTGAGTGCAAGAAGCATCCCATCTAAAATACCAGGTCAGAGTAAAATATCCTGACAACAAAGGTCTCAACTCGTTTGGCCCTCTTGATTCAGAGTGGATGTTGTTGCTGGGCTGACGTCACAGCCAGACTTGGCGTTGATCTTCTTATGCTGCGAGTTCAAAAAACTGGAAGAAAAACTGACAAATTTGAGGATGGGATTTATGAAATGATTTAGTTTCTGTCATATGATCCAGAAGTTCTGGTCTTGCGACTCTGTTTTTGGTCAAGTGATAAGGTAGGTGTGGCCGTCGCCAACGCCAACTAACTAACGTCTGGGCACTCAACCCCACCTGACTCAACAGCGGAGATAGAGGCTCAGCGCTGCAGATCGCCTCATCTCATTCCACCACCTACAACGACAACACTCGGACGCCAAACACTAGATTACACATATCGAGTCACTAACAGCATCGTGCAGGGCTGTGTAATTACCCTGCAAGCCCGACCCCGCGTCATGTCCGACCCCGTCGACAAATCCCTCCTCGATCGCCTCCAAGCGCTACGCGGGGGCAGCGCAACCCCAGACAGGACTCCACCTACAAAGTACAGCGGCACACTTCGCGATATTGGCTTGAAAAGACAAGACCCAGGCTAATCAAGTATTCAGGATAAATGTAGACCCCATAGAGCGGAAGAAGACTCCGAACCGGGAGGAGGCTCTCGCCCTGCGTCTCAAGTCTCTACGCGACCAGGGCAGTCCCTCGCCAGTAGCAGCAAGGCCGCCACCTCAGGCGGACAAGTCGTCCACCACGGCTAGCGCAAGTCCTGCACCCGTGAGAGCAGCACCGAAAGAGAGTCCTCCTGAGCCAGATGACGGGGACATTGACGACGCCATCTTCCAGACGGATGACCAGACGCTAGAAGAGCTACTCGGGGATGTTGGCCCCGACGACCAATTCCAAGCTGAACCAGACGATGAGCGGGTCAAGGTCCTGCTGGAAGAACTCGCCAAAGCAATCCCAAAGGACACCGAGGGCCGCATGAAGCAGGATGGAAAGAATGAGAAGGTCTTGGATTCGGATGACTCGGACAATGAGGATATGAAGCGTGACGTCGACGACGTGCTCGCGAGGTTCCGCGATGAGCTGGAACTTGAGAATGCCCTCGCCAAAGATGACCCTCCCGACGACGACAAGTCCCAGGACGGCCATGAATCCTCCACCGTCCTCCCCTCGACGGAATCAGGCTTCTCTCTGCCCGACCTCCCGCCAACCCTCGAAGATCTCCCCGCCGCCCGCACCGCCCGCGCCGCCAGCACCGACCTGGACGACCTCACGGCGCGCATGGCCGCCCTCCGAGCACCCAACGACATGCTCAACCTCCCCGACGTGCCCACCGACGCGCCCTCCAAGCCGTTCAAGCGGCTCGCCTCGCGCACAAACTACACCGACGACGACATGGACAGCTGGTGCACCGTGTGCCTCGAGGACGCCACGCTGCGGTGCCTGGGCTGCGACGACGACGTCTACTGCGCGCGGTGCTGGCGCGAGATGCACGTCGGTCCGCAGGCCGGCTTCGACGAGCGCAGCCACAGGGCCGTGCAGTTCACCAGGGACAAGAAGACGGAGAAGAGGAAGATAGCGCTAGGGGCGTGAAAATAATTCGAGCCAGTCTGTGGTCCCCTACTTGACAATCCATCCTGCCAGACTCTGCCTAACCGCGTAACCATTTTAAATAAACCAGATACCCAAGATACCAATCCTTGCCATAACTCCATCACCAGTGCCTGTGCTGCTGCGCTGCAGCGAACCAATACAGATATGCCACCTATCCCTCTCTCACTGATACAACACTCGTACAATCATATCAAACATCGTTAGACCGTGATCCGTTCCCGCCATTGCTAGAATGGTTCCCTGACCCAGTCTTGCCCCTCACATCCTGCCAGGTCGCGCCGAACCGCCTTCCTGTGGTGGCGAGGAGGCTCTCCTCCTCGTCGGCCTCGGCCTGCTCGTCAAACTCGGACATGTTGACCTTGGGGGAGCGGAAAAGCGCCGTGACGAAAACAATGAGGAAGACGCCTAAGAAAGCAAACTGTGCCCAGAAGTCGACGAGACCGAAGAATGGCCACGTGATAGTGATTCGGTTCAAAAATGTCGACATCATGGACGGGGTGCAAACATCCTTTGCGTGCCTGTAGTCCAAGAGCTCGGAGCAAGGTTGGATCTTGTCCGGGTGACCCTTGCAGTTAGGTTGCGTTCCGGGGAAGTCTGGCGCATTGGAGCAGAAAGTCTGGGTTCCATAGATGGAATACTGGGGAGCAACCATCATAGCGATGCTGTAGTTAGTGGCCAAAATAATGAGGCCCAGTAACACAGTTGCGATGAGCAGCGCCTGGGGAGCGGTGCGGCCCTTGCGAATCTGGAAGATGCGAACCCAAAGGAAGCGGATGCCGACGGTGGCGACACCTGAGATGGAGCTGCTGAAGAACAGGAGCACCAGTAGAGCCATCAGGACGTAGTCAACTGGGAAAGCCTTCGCCGCCTTGACAAAAATGAAGTTCATAGGCTGGAACAGGTGAATTTGGCCCAGGATATAGCCACAACGCCGCTTGCAGACCGAGTTCTTGGCCTTGTCGATGCCCGTAATCAGCATCGAGACCCAGATGAGGATGGCGAGAACAAGCAGGAGGATGCCGCCCAGCATCTTGATCGGTCGGAAAAGAACGCAGACCTTGAGCCATGCCTGGTAGACCTTGCTCCTGCCTTCTCCCTGCGCCTCAGCGGCCAATCTCTCTCGTCGAACCAAGGTCTGCTCCTCTCTGACCAAAGCATCCAACTCCCGGCGATCCTTGCGTGACATCTCTTCCTGACGGCCAACATTGCGCATCTCAATCTGTCGCTGTCGTTCGCGGTTTTGTTCGAGCTGAGAAGCGGTCGTTTCGGAAAGCTGCGGGGCGGAGATTGAAGGTGCGGATCTGATGAAGGCGATGGGCAACAGAGCAAGTCCGGCGCCAGTATAGACAACGTAAAGTAGCGTGCCAATCGTCATCAGAAGACCGAGAGCAAAGGTCAGTGCCTTCTCTCCGTGGTTCTGAGAAATTAGATGCTTGAAGTAGTCGAGATCCCAGTGATCTTTGGAGCTATCGCCAGCCGCTGGGACGAAGAAGCCGAGCAGGAAGAGGACAACAACGAATACGACGAAGAATAGGGTGTATTTGGCAGCGGCCCAGAAGCGGCTAGTGAGAGTGCGACCCTCCTCGACTTCGATCTCGTCATATTCCTCGTGCCAGAAGTAGGCAAAGGGGATGACGATGAGGCACAGCAGGGAGTCGAAGCTGTAGAGGCTGTAATAGACGACCTTGAGGGTGAAGAGGATCTCGTCGATTCGCTCGGGCGTGGCCCAGTCCTTTTTGGCGCCGTGCGCGGAGGAGCCGGTCGCGGAAACGAGGGCAATGTCGACGGGGAGGAGCAGGACGGTCGCGAGGAGGGACGTCAAGCTGACGATGGCGACGACGCTGACGATGGCGGAGCGCTCGCGCGGCGTCTGCCAGGTGAAGGTGGTGATGACGGCGGCGACCAGGCAGAGGCCAACAGCCACGGCGTAGGTGACCCAGATGAGACTGGTCTGAACGAGGCCGGCGGCGGCCATGGTGATAAGAAGGCGTGCAATGCGAGCAGTGGATCTCAATTCCGCAGACGCAAGGGATGTGGGATTTTGCAGGTGAGGGCGTCGAGATGTCTTTGTTTTGTGTGAGGTCGAGAATCGAGATGCGAGATTGCTGGTTGGCGACGGGCGCTGGGAGAGACAAGCTGCGGTAGAGCCAGTGACGTCGTTCGTTATGCACTCGGCACAGCGAGCAATGCGTGTATATGCAAGCGGTAGTGAAGGATGCACAGATCAGGAGCAATTAGCAAGGGAAGGCAGGCAGCTCAGATATCCCTGGAGCTGGTGACGGGTTGAAGCTTGATGTCACGGCTTCAGCCTGTTTGCGTGACGCAATAGACTTATGCTTGTGCGGCTATGCCTTGCCCAAGAATGCATCCATGAGCCCATTAGCGGCCTACTACCGCAGTAGCGTGCTATCGCGACCCCTGCCCTGTCTCACGTCCCTGCGCCCGGCTGGCGGAGGAGTCCCCCGCAAGGCCGCTCTAGGCCTGTAGGGTAAGCTAGCTGTCGTGGCCCTGGAGCTCTCGGAAGGCGGAGGCTGTTTTGATCCGCTAGAAGCTCAAGCTTCTTTCGCAACATCCAACAACCGGTCGCGACAACAGGGTCCAGGCGAACGAGCCCGCTTACGAAGACGAAACTCCCCCGCCGAGCTCGAGCTCAATCCCTCTCCCTCCTCGTCGCGAAAGCATGGTCTTGGAGCGATGCAGGCCTACACCGAGCTCGCGGCTCCCTCAGCCGTCTCCCACTCCCTGAGCCTGCCGCTCACGTCCGCCACGGCCGCCAACCTGGTCGTCGCAAAGGGTTCGCTGCTCCAGATCTTCGCCACAAAGGCCATCTCCGCCGAGCTCGACGCCCAGAACCCGCCGCCGCAGCTGGCCAAGCTCGAACCCGAGTTCGACCTCCGCGCAAACGACGATGACGGCCTCGAGTCGTCCTTCCTCGGCGGCGGGGAGTCGATGCTGGTGCGCACCGATCGGACAAACAACACCAAGCTCGTGCTCGTTGCCGAGATCCCGCTTGCCGGCGCCGTCATAGGCCTGGCGAGGCTCAAGACCAAGAACACCAAGTCGGGAGGCGAGGCGCTCCTGCTGGCGTACAAGGCGGCCAAGATGTGCCTTGCCGAGTGGGATCCTAAAAAGAACACGCTGGAGACCATCTCAATACACTACTACGAAAAGGACGACCTGCACGGCGCGCCGTGGGAGGTGCCCTTTGGCGAGCATGTCAACTACCTCCAGGCCGACCCCGGGAGCAGGTGCGCGGCCTTCAAGTTCGGCTCGCGAAACCTCGCCATCCTCCCGTTCCGGCAGTCGGAAGAGGACTTGGAGATGGACGATTGGGATGAGGATCTCGACGGCCCGCGGCCCGTCAAGGCGCCCACTGCAGTCGCCAATGGAGATAGCGACAGTCTAGAAGCAGCGTATACACCGTCTTTTGTCCTTCGTCTCCCTCTGCTAGATCCCAGCCTGCTCCACCCCGTGCACCTCGCCTTTCTGCATGAGTATAGAGAGCCTACCTTTGGCATTCTCTCGTCCAGCCAATCGACCGCGCACTCGTTTGGCCAGAAGGACCACCTCACATACAAGGTCTTTACTCTGGACCTGCAGCAACGCGCCTCGACGACTATTCTCTCCGTCACCGACCTCCCCCGGGACCTGTACCAGGTTATTGCCCTGCCTACGCCTGTGGGAGGAGCTTTGCTGGTTGGCCAGAATGAGCTGATCCACGTCGATCAGTCAGGAAAGGCCAATGGTGTGGCTGTCAACTCTATGGCGAGGTTGATGACCTCTTTCAGCTTGACTGACCAGTCCGACCTAAACCTACGCTTGGAGGGATGTGCCATTGAACAGCTATACATCGAGAACGGAGAACTTCTTCTTGTCTTGAACGATGGCCGACTTGGCATTGTGTCTTTCCGAATCGACGGCCGCACCGTATCCGGCATCACCATCAAGATGATTCCCACAGAGAGTGGGGGCACCCTCATAAAGAGCCGTGCTTCCTGTATATCAAAGCTGGGCAAGAACTCCTTCTTCGTGGGAAGCGAGACTGGCGACTCTGTCGTCTTGGGCTGGTCAAGGAAACAAGGACAGGAGAAACGCCGCAAGGCTCGAGTCATCGATGCAGACTTGGCACTAGATGTGGACGATCTCGATCTCGATGACGAGGACGACGAAGACGATGACCTGTATGGCACGGAATCGGCCGCCACAAAACCTGCTCAAGTTCTCAACGGCACTGGAAAATCGGGCGAGCTGAGCTTCCGCATTCATGATACCCTTCTTAGCATCGCCCCGATCCAGGACTTCACCTGCGGCAAGGCGTCGTTTCTTCCCGACAGCGAAGAAGCGACCTTGTCTCAGGGCGTCGTCGCTGAATTGCAGCTCGGCTTGGCCGTCGGTCGCGGAAGCGCAGGCTCCCTTGCGGTCGTGAACCGCCACATTCAGCCCAAGATCATTGGGCGCTTCGAGTTTCCCGAAGCACGAGGCTTCTGGACCATGTCCGTGAAGAAGCCAATTCCCAAGTCGCTCGGTGCCAATGTCGCCGTGAACAGCGACTACGAGACGTTTGGGCAGTACGACAAGTTCATGATTGTGGCCAAGGTCGACCTGGACGGCTATGAGACGTCAGATGTCTATGCGCTTACCGCCGCCGGGTTCGAGACGCTCAAGGAAACCGAGTTTGACCCCGCCGCTGGCTTCACGGTTGAGGCTGGTACGATGGGCAAGAAGATGAGGATCATCCAGGTGCTCAAGTCTGAAGTCCGATCTTATGACGGAGGTGAGTTGGTCACTGTCCACAGCCAATATGAGCAAATGTACTGACAGAAATAGATCTCGGTCTCGCCCAGATCCTGCCTATGCTGGACGAAGAGACAGGCGCAGAGCCCAGGGTCACAAGCGCAAGCATTGCCGACCCTTACCTACTCCTCATCCGAGATGACAGTAGCATCTTCATCGCTCAGATAGACAGCAACAACGAAATCGAGGAGGTTGAAAAGACCAGCACTCTATCGACTACCAAGTGGCAGGCTGGATGCCTGCACACCGACACGCAGGGCACCTTCCAGCCTCTTGGGGGCGACAAAGGCGCGAGCACTGAGGACAAGGTCATGATGTTCCTACTAAGCTCGGCTGGAGCGCTTCATGTGAGATTCAGCCTCTCCCAACTATGTGAACATAGCTGACAATATAGATCTACGCACTTCCTGACCTCTCAGAGCCGGTCTACGTCGCCGAAGGCTTGACTTATATCCCCCCCTTCCTCTCCCCCGATTACACCCATCGTCGAGGCATGGCCCGCGAGACCCTCAGCGAGATCATGGTAGCTGATCTCGGAGACTCCGTGTCCCAACAACCGTACCTAATTGTAAGCGACGCCCACGGCCGCATCTTGGGCATCAACTGACTCTCCAGCTCCGCAACTCAACCGACGACCTCACCATCTACGAACCCCTCCGCAACCACTCCGAGGGCACCGAGCCCACGCTCAAAGCCACCCTCTCCTTCAAGAAGTCGGCCAACTCTACTCTGGCCGTGACCCCCGTCGAGGCTACAGGCGACGACGCCGTGCAGCAACCGCGGTTCGTTCCCCTCCGGGCATGCGCCAACGTGGACGGCTACAGCACCGTCTTCCTGCCGGGCCCGTCGCCGAGCTTCGTCATCAAGTCTAGCAAGAGCATCCCCCGCGTCGTCGGCCTCCAGGGCCTCGGCGTGCGCGGCATGAGCCCGTTCCACACCGAGGGTTGCGACAGGGGCTTCATCTACGCCGACGACGAGGGCATCGCCCGCGTCACGCAACTGCCCCCGGACACCAACTTCACCGAGCTGGGCCTGTCCGTCAAGAAGGTCCCGCTCGACGTCGACGTCCGCGGCATCGCGTACCACCACCCCACGGGCGCGTACATCGCCGGGTGCATGGCGCCCGAGCCGTTCGAGCTGCCGCGCGACGACGACTACCACAAGGAGTGGGCCAAGGAGACGCTCGGGATCCCGCCGACCATGGCGCGCGGCGTGCTGAAGCTCGTCAGCCCCGTCAGCTGGACCGTCGTGCACGAGCTGGAGCTCGAGTCGTGCGAGTCCATCGAGTGCATGCGGACGCTGCACCTCGAGGTCTCGGAGGAGACCAAGGAGCGCCGCATGCTGCTCGCCGTCGGCACCGCGCTCTCCAAGGGCGAGGACCTGCCGATCCGCGGCCGCGTGCATGTCTTCGACATCGTCACCGTCATCCCGGAGCCTGGCCGGCCCGAGACCAACAAGCGCCTCAAGCTCATCGCGCGCGAGGACATCCCGCGCGGCGGCGTCACGGCGCTGTCCGAGATCGGCTCGCAGGGCCTCATGCTCGTCGCCCAGGGCCAGAAGTGCATGGTGCGCGGCCTCAAGGAGGACGGCTCGCTGCTGCCCGTGGCCTTTCTCGACATGAGCTGCCACGTCGCCACGGCCCGCGAGCTGCCCCGGACCGGCTTGTGTCTCATGGCCGACGCCTTCAAGGGCGTGTGGTTTGCCGGATACACCGAGGAGCCGTACACGTTCAAGATCCTCGGGAAGAGCAACGGCCGGCTGCCGCTTCTGGTGGCCGACTTCCTCCCCGATGGCGACGACCTGGCCATTGTTGCGTCAGACGCGGATGGCGACCTGCACATTCTCGACTTTAACCCAGACCGTAAGTTCTCCCTATCATGTACGCATAAATCCCAGACTAACATCTTCCAGATCCCAAGTCTCTCCAAGGCCACCTCCTCCTCCACCGCACCACCTTCTCCGTAACGCCCAACATCCCATCCTCCACGCTCCTCCTCCCACGCACCCTCCCGCCCTCGCATCCCGCCCCAGACTCGCCGCCGCACGTCCTCGTCCTCGCCTCGCCCTCGGGCCACCTCGCCGCCCTGACGCCGCTCCCCGAGACGACGTACCGCCGCCTCCTCTCCGTCACCAACCAGCTGCTGCCGGCCCTCACGCCCCACGGCGGCCTCAACGCAAAGGCCCACCGGCTCGGGGACGCCTCGCGCTACGTCGGCGTCGAGGCCGCTGCCGGACGCTCCATCGTGGACGGCGCTGTGCTGGCGCGATGGACCGAGCTGGCTGCTGCGAAGCGAGCTGAAATCGCTGGTAAGGGTGGATATGATGGTGTGGCTGAGCTGAGGGATGAGCTGGAAGGTCTGTTGGGTTGGAGTGGGTTGGCGTACTTTTAACCGTGTCTTGTTCGAATCCCAATGGTTATGCTGTTTTGTTCAGGGAGTCGAAAAGGTGCTTCATGGAGCCACGTCAAGTTGGCTGCACTTGCGGCGGAGCGTGTAGGTTGCCTCAAATTAGAGCTGGGTAAAATACAAATACATGGAACTGCAATTATACAACTGCAATGGACCTCTTGCACACGCACAGGAATTCGGTTAATGTGGTATCATTCATTGCATTCTATCTGCTTGCAAGAGGCCTGGATCTTAGGCCCTCGTAGTAAACCGATAAACTGTCGCATCCATCCCGTATTTCTTATCAATCAGACTGTCGCCAGAGATACTAAAACTCCTCAACCCCTCGAGTGTATGTGCCTCTATCGTCGTGAATATTTCATTCTATGCGTACTCCCAAAACTAGCGTGTCCGCCATCAAACCCAGATTGCCTAAAAAAGAACGCCAAAGAATATCCGGAAAACTGAAATTGAATCAAGGCGAGTAGAGAAGTCATCCTCATAGTACCTCCTGCTTCTTGCGACGGATGCTACCGAAACGTCGCCTGAAGCCGTCACTCAGCCGCTTGCTTGTGGAGGTCTGGCGCCCGAGATCGGCACTGTTGGAGAAACCGCCGGCGGGAGTGGAGACGGGTTGTTCACTGAAACTTCGGTGGTGGCTCCGGGGGGGACGACTGGCTCGGGGCTGCATTTCGTACTCGGCGGCTTGACCCTTGGCCAGACGCTTCTTCTCTTTCAAATCTCGCTCAAGCTCGAAATTGGCACCCTTTCCCTTGAGATCATCGGGGTGGTAGACCTATTGACAGTGTGAGTACTTGGTATGGTTAGGAGTCCATTCATCGATTTCACTTACAACGCCTTCATATCGCCGATACGCGCCACCAGCAGCATCCGGCTCTCGCATCAAATCGGCACCTTCTTCGTATTGCATGATATTGCCACTGAAATCTTCCATGCCGCTGGGGATGACTGCAGTGCCCTGAAGGGGCCTGTTTTTTCGGAGAGCGTCTTCGAGATACTCCCTTGGCGTGGCTCGAATCGCTTCCATGTTGGAGTCGTGCACGGCGGCAGCTGGAGAGTATTTTTTGTTCCGGTTGCGACTGGCAAGAGCAGCATCAAACGGTCCGCCATGGTGATAGGTACCGCCAATAGTGTCCAGCGAATCAATAATATCGGTGTGCGGAATGTTCTTGCGCCGAAGGTGGGGTGAACGGTCGGCGGCCCGGGCCTCCTTTCGGAGAATTTCAAGAGGACGGTGGGTCATGTCGCCAGGAAAGCGCTGTGAAATTGAAGGGTTGCGAGAGAGATCGCAATTGCCGGTGCTGAAGCTGCGGTGGTGTCGAGGGTTCGACGGCGGGGCCAGTTGTGGAACTCGGGCGCTGGACGAGCGGGTGACGGCAGTGTTCGGGGGGTAACGTCGCGAGTTGCGGGCAGCGTTAGGAGGAGATCGAGGAGGAGATCTGGGCGGCGAAAAGGACTTGGAAGACTCGCTAGCCGTAGAAAAAGGATTGGATGGATGGAAGTTGGAGCGAGACGGGCTCGCAGAGGTCGGGGGTGTCGGATAGTTCCGCGGTTGTTTCTGGGATGGCCTCGAGCTTTTTTCTTTGCGTTCCTTGCTCGAGATTGAGCTTGAGCTTGAGTTTGAGTTTGAAAGGTTAAGCTTCTTCAACTGGGCGGCGAGGTTGTGAGAAGATGCAACTCCGGTTTCCTGGCTGGGTTCAGGTGCAGTCAATGGATCCAAGATGTAAGCTTGCGCCTGTGAATATGGGAGATGGAGTCAGTTATATGTCTGCTAGCACGGGGAGACCGGACGAAAGACTAGACGAAAGACGGGATGAATGCCAGGGCGCAGCCTCTCATTCGGGGCGACGCCAGCGCGCTTGCGCGTACTCCGTGTCCCATTCCATTAGGTAGGGCGGCAGTGCATCTTGGCCGTCAAAGCGATGCTGCGCTGGCACATGCCAATCGCAGCGAGCGTAAAAGCCCAGCGCCCAGGTCTGGGGATCCTGGCGAAGTGGGGATCCACATGGACGCGACGCAGACGACGAAAAAAAAAGGGTCCAGTTGGGTCCCTGACGCTGATCGTGTGGCCGAGTGGATGACATGACGTTGGGAGAGAACCGGGTGGTGTGGAGGAGAACAGAGTGGAAAAGAGGCAGGATCGGATCAAGGATCGATCATTGGAAGCTGTGCGACTCACCCACTGTTTATCACTGCTTGATTCCTTCATCGTGGCGAGAGTGCGATGAAATGGTGAGATATTGAGCAAGAATCAAGATAGGAATGAGATCGATCGGTGGGGGTTCCTTTTCCCTTCGCTTCCCTTCTTTTCTTGCTGGTTACCGAAGGTGCCTGGATGGCTCGAGTGGTATCGGGCTTTGTTCCCCTGTCGCCGGCGCGGTCGGCGTGGTCGGTGTAGGGCGGGGTCGAGTGTCGTCCGTCGTCGCAATATCAGTCAAACCGTGAAACCGTGACCGAGCCGTGCTCTTATCAGTTTGTGCCGGGTCGTTGGAGGCGAAGCAAGGTGAAGTTATTCACGGGTGAAAAGCTCCCGAGCAGAAGATCAGTAGGAGGGGAACGAGCAAATTTGTGGGAAACGCGGAGTGGAAGGAGGGAAGGGGGGAAGAGCTGCAGGTCTTATGAACAAACGAGGCAAGACGCAAAGAGAGACATGCGCTGGACGTCAGGTAGCTTCGGGGACGGAAGGTAGGGAGCGGAGTGCGACAAGGTGCAAGGTGCGGCAGGTACGGACAGGTACACCTTCCTCAACCATCCGTCCCATCCATCACATCCATCACATCCGTCGTCCGGTCTTCCGTCTAATCCTCCACCATCCACCAGGGGAAGGCGCGGGAGTTGGAGCTTGCCCACTCCTCGTGACCGTTTCGACCTCTACTAGCTACCACCGGAATAGCTTCTCGACCATCCCATCACCCACATCACCCACATCACCCTTCACCTGTCACACTTGCCGACGCACGAACCCACGCCGGTGGTGCCCCAAGAACTACGCCGCCCGCGCCGTCCACGCCATGGACGACGCCCCCAGCACCTCTCACTCTGGTCTAGGCAAGTCCCGCCTGCGGTCGCGGGGGAGGGGCTTTTCCTGGCTGCAGCAGACTGTCGCCAGTTCTGTCTCTCGCGCATCAGGTACGAGGCAGGGTCTCAGGGACCCGATACGAACACAGCGACCGAGTACCTCACACGTACAGCACCAATTCGTATGCGCCCGTCGACAATCTGCTCCCTCCTATTTTTGTCTCTCGGATGGCTCGCCCCGGAACAATCGGCTAGATAGGGAGGCCAGTAGGTTTCTTCGTCCTCGTATTCCGTGCGACTTGACGTCTTCGACGACCCCGACCTGTCCATGTCCCCAGCTGCAAGTACTTCGTCTGCAGCCAGGGCCCCGCAGCTCACCGAGTCACAAGTCACAAGCCGCAGCAAAAAACGGCTCGTCATCGTCACCTGATCACCTCATTCGAAAGAAGCGTCAAAACAACCCTGCCACCCAGTGTGTGTCTGACGGACCTGGAGATCTCTTTGGGCCGAGATCGGGTTTTTCTGTTCCATCACAACGGGAGACCCGGCTTCCCGGACTGCTGGGGATCTGCGACTTGCCCAGTGGAACCATTGTCCTGGCCGAGCCACAAACTAAGTCCAGGGACACGCACGCACACACGTCAAAAGTTTTTGAACCAATGTGTACTGACTGATTAGACTTTGAAACTGCAGGAACATGGCATCGTCCGGGCCACCTCCGACGGTGGAGTGAATGATTCGCTCCCAGTCCTTAGGTGTCAGGGGAAGACGGCTGATTTTACTTCGGGCGACCGCCAGTCCAAATCATCCACGTGCATGTGTTGCTCATGCAAGGCGACAGAGCACTTGCGCCGGCGGATTTTATCCCATGCCAACTCACGCTGACTGCGGTAGCTATTTCCTTCTATGTATAACTCTTCACCGACTCCAGGCCATGGAAGGCCACGGAGCAACCCTGCCCCGCCAGGACGCTAAGTAGCACTTTATGCTGATCAGCCCTGTGTGCTGTACATGTATGAATTTGTGCCAAGCCAAATTGCTGTATGTTGTCTGGGATTTTTGTTGGTTCGCAACACAATCAAACCCACCCCAACAATGCAGGTCACTCGTCCGTTTGCGAGGCGAAGTCCCTGCGTGCGTAAATGTCCTCCCTCCACCACGCTTTCGTCATCCGCAAGAAGCTCTCCTCGACCCACCCACCCAAGTTGCTTAGCCATCTGCTAGGTGTCGAGTTCGGTAGGACAAGACACTGAGACACGGCACGGCGAATGCAGGAACCATCCGTCATCTCGGCCGTCAGCCGGACCGTCTTCTGAATCGACACCGAACCGTCCCAACCCCTGTCTCCCAGCCTCGCCCTTCGTACCCTCCACGTCAGCCTCTGCGCTCCAGTCCATGGCTCTTGTCGACTACTCGTCCTCTGAGGACGAGCCTGACCGCCGACTGCCGCCGTCCAAACGGCAGAAGACCGGCGTTGGGGCGGCCCACACCTCCGATGCGGCCTCCGGCGGTGACCCTGCACGCACCTCCGGCACCGATGCCAACTCAAGCAGGGCTGGCACCGGCGTTTCGGGCATGCCACCCCTGCCTTCGCAATTCCACGACCTCTACGCATCTACCGTCCGCCAGAGCGTCGTCGATGACCCGAGTCTGCACCATGGCCGCCGCCGGCAGATACCCCATGTTGTCGGCAATTGGCCAAGTCATCTCTACGTTGAATGTGAGTCTCTTGGCATTGTCCCAAGCCATGTCCATAAAGCTAATTGCTTCAGGGCATCCCACCACGGCACAGCATGCTGTGTTGGTCGACCTCATCACAGATATTGAAGCCGAGCTACGTGGTGAAGTCAACCTACACAACTTCCTGAACAGCGATCTGGGCTCGCCTCTCCCACTGCATATCAGTCTTTCTCGGCCACTCTCTCTTCCGACAGCAGACAAGGACAACTTCCTAGAAAAGATCACTCACACCATTTACGCCGGCGGCATTGCACCTTTCATTGTGCGCCCAAGCAGCCTCAAATGGTTCAAATCACCAGACTCGAACCGGACCTTTCTCGTTCTCCGCGTAGCTAGTAACCCATCAGTAGATGGCGAGGATGACGCCGCAAAGGACCAAAACCCGGAGCTCATGAGTCTTCTAACGCGTTGCAACACTGCCGTCACATCCTTCGACCAACCGGCGCTGTATCAGCAAAACCAGAAAGGACCTGCGGGAAATGAGTTCCACATATCCATTGCGTGGACATTTGACCAGCCAGACGACGAGGCTTCTCGGAGAACGGTGGAGCTATTCAAGCAGGCTAGGCTTGGCATTCAATCATGGGAGATTGATGTTCCTGGCGTCAAGGCGAAAATTGGAAATGTGGTGAATCACATTGCTTTAAAGGGTTCGGGAAGAGACAACAGGGTGTCTAAATTTTTGGAATCCTGACCATTCCTCGATGTGGGCTTTTGTCATTTAACTGAGTGCATACACAACGAGGGCAGCTCTCTCAGCATGCCCAAATCTGAGCTGGTCCAGAGGCCCTAAGACCATCATCTACAGAGGACGCTCATGGCTTGGGCAATCAGGCTACTTCACCATTCCCACGCCGTAGACACCCGAAGTCATTCGGCACGGTGGCTTAGGAGGATTTGCTCCGGACGCTGGCGTTTCTCAGGTGAGTTGGGATGAGACGACAATCACGGGCCGAAGTACAGGCTCGCTTCTGGTGTTGCTGTAGCCGGCAGGCTCCAGCTTGAGGATGGCAAAGTAAGCACGGACGGACTTTTCCGATGGCCCTACGATGGCAAACTGGGGCTCTCGGGTGACGAGCCAAGAAGCCCAATCGCAAATTGATCGCTTCGGTGGATTCCGCATCATGGGAGCAACTGTCAGGGATGATAGGCGATTTCTCCCCGCATAAAAAGAAAAGAAGCAAGAAGAAAAAGCAATAGACGTTGAAAAATCGAACGAGGGGGAGATTCCCGAGAAGTGACATCACTCATGACGTGATGAGTCGCTTCCCAAGCGAGGCGCAGATCTACCGTGTTCGAGATCTGCACATCTCGGTCGGGCGGTATTTGTTTGTTTGTTTGTTGACATAGATGCGGCGGTCGCGAAGGAGAAAAGGGTCTTGGTGGTGGAAATGGGAACGTGAAACAATGGGCCGAGAGGCAGGTGTAACTTGCAAGCCGCTATCTGCGTTGAGACAATGTGGGAGCCACGTGCCCCGATATCCAACGGCTTATACCTGTTCGCCCTCATGCGCGTTGCGGCTACAGTTGCGTTGCGCTGCGTTGCGAAATCCGCGGGAAGTGCACCGGATCTCCCGTCAGATTCATTCGCCTTGTGTCATGGTAGAAATATGGGGTTTCATGTACAAACGCACATGCCCGTCTCACCAACAGGCGTGCGACGGCCTCGTCTCTGTGCGACGTCAAAACCCGCGCCCACCGTTTTCTTTTTTACCAGGCGTTGGATCCGGGAACCGGAGCACGGACGGCCACAACGCGCTAGACCACTTCACCCCCCGAAAGCGCCCTGTAAACATGCCTCCAGGCCCTTCAGGACCGCTTCCAAGACCCCTCTAGAGCCCCTCTAGAGCCCCTCCAACGCGGCCGGCCCAGGCGACCCGACCGACCTGGGCCGCCCGTTGAAGGACGTTGCCTCTTCCCCGTGGAGCCCAGCGTTGCAGAGGGCGCTTGTTAACGGCGCCGTATTCGCAGATCCTCCGCGTCCCCTCCAAGCCCACGGCCTTCGCTGCCGCTGCCGCGGATTCCCCCCTGTCGCACCGATGCCAAGTTCCCGGTTTTCGGTTGGCGGTGGTGGTCCTCGCTGCGCGTCCCTGCAACGTATCTGGCCCTCGGTCAATCAAATTAAATGCGTGGGAGACAAGAGTCAAGTGGAGGCGCGCGGTGGAGATGTCGTGGAGTGCCTGTTATCTCGCGGTTAGCCTCTGGTGGCTCCTCCGCGGCGCTGGAGCGGTCCCGTTTGGGCGCTCGTTGCACGGGTTGCGCTGGTTCAGGTGGTTTAGTGGGTATGCTGCCGTGCTATTCACCCCCCCCATGTCCATATTTTGCAGGTGCCTTAGTGTGCATTTCTGATTCTGCGCGAGCGAGTGTGCGTGTGTGTGGTGTGTGTGTGGTGTGTGTGTGCGGGTGGGCGCTGTGGGCGTGATTGTGTGTGTCTTTCCGATTTATTTACCTTCTTATTTGCATTTGTTTACTATTATTCCACTTTCTTTTGCCCCCCCGCTCTGCTGCCCCCCGCCGCCCGTCAACCCGCACGCCCGCCAAAACCCGCCTTCAACACCATCGCGACTCGACTTGCACTCTCATATCTCCTGCGTGTTTCCCTTCTCCCTCCTCCACAGGGCCCTTCTCCTCTTCTTTCTTCGTCTCCCTCCCCTTTTTCGTGCTCTTCCCAGCACGTGCGCTGATCGATTAACCCCCCCTCGCCGTCTCCATCACCGCATTCCTCGACAGATCTAGCCCTGGTCTGGTCCCAACCACCCCTCAAAAGGGACCCCCGCGAATCTTGCACGCCCCCGGACAACCAACCGTTGTAAAAACGCCCGCCGATCTCGCGTGACCGTGCAAAGAACTCTTTAAACAACTTGCCCCCGCCTCTTTGAGCGATTCTGGGCCGACCGTCATCCATCAGCACCCGCAATTCGATCTCGGAGCCGCCTGGCGAGACGCAGACCGGTTCACCAAGAATTTGATCGATTGCCCCTCGACCGCCCACGATCGAGCGAGCTCCCCGCCGGCGCACCTCGACGCCCACCGACTCTACTCTACAACGTTGTTGGGATCTGGACTTGCACGCCAGTCCCTTGCCTCTACCTAGCCAGCCATGCCTCAGCTCGACATTGACACGAGTCGCCGGAATACGTCTCCGCGGCCTCTGTCCGACTCGGAGCGTGCCCGGCTTGAGGAGTACATCGACTCCATCCACTACTCTGCCAGGTACGACCCCCCACCCGGCGCTGGGCTTGACGCCATGCTCGAGCTGGCCATGACACTGACGGCTTCCCCCACTTCCAGATACTCGGACAGTGAATATGAATACCGCCACGTCCAACTCCCCAAGGCCATGCTCAAGGCCATTCCCAAGGACTACCACGACACTGCCCACGGCACGCTCAAGCTCCTGTGGGAGGAGGAATGGCGAGCAATCGGCATCACCCAGGTATGCCCGCCCGCGTCCAATGGACCGGTCAACGCCGCAACATGCCGAATACTGACACCGCGATAGAGTCTAGGCTGGGAGCATTACGAGGTCCACGAGCCCGAGCCACACATTCTCCTGTTCAAGTGAGTTACCATTCTTCCCCCCTCCTCCCACCTCCTCCACGTACCAGCATTTTTTTGGTTCCCGCCAAGCCCGATCAAGTCCCTGCTGACGCCACACCTCCCAGGCGACCACTCAACTTCCAACCACCGCAGTAATCGATCACACCCCAACGGCTCCAAGTTTTCTACATGTACCATACATACCTACCTTACTACCTTACTTCACAGAGGGCCCCCCGCACCGGCGCAAATGCTCGAGGCTCAGACGGGGTTCCCACGTCGTCTCACGATTTTACGGTCTACACGTTAAGATATAAGAAAAGAAAAAAGACTTGTTGGTTCAATGCGGAAAAAAAAAATACGTCTCTCGCCCGTGCCCGACTCGATATGCTCGATATGCTCTCCTGCCGTTTCTTTTGCTCCTCTGCCTTGCTGGTGCTCTCTCCGGCCGACTTCGGTCTCCTAGGACCAGGCCTCCGTATGACGCACAACGCAAAATCGAGGGATGGACCGTCCCGGGACCGCAGGCGTGGAGAGAGGGGGACGGGACAGCGGACTGGATGGGTCTCGAGAATGAGTGCCGTCCACTGAAAGCATGGCAGGATCTCAATCTAGACCCAAGTGTGGGTACGAGGCCTGCCATGTGGTATCTAGAGGTGATTTCTCTGGATTCTTTTTTTATGTCTCTGATTCGTTGCGGGACTTGGCCGACGCCCACAGCCACTTGGACGACGAGAGTCATCTTTAGTGGGTGAGGAAAGAGGGTGGGTTCGTGGCTTGTGGTGTTTTTTAACTTGTCGTATACATATGGAGAGGGAGTGACGAGGCAAGACAGGAAGAGGGAGGGGTTGAAATGGACAAGACCCAATGAGTGGGATGGCTGGCTGCAGCTAGTCGAGGAAGGCAAGCTCACAGAGTCTCACATGGACGGAAAAGGAAAGGATCCGGCAAGGGTGAAGGTGAGGAAAAAGGAAAACCGGTATCATGAACTGGGAATAGCCTCAAAGTGAAAAGTCACTTTATTAGTTGGGCGGGAATGTGAGCGTAGCATATAGACAGGGTGACAGATGCAGCTTTCACTCAACCTTGTATGACGTCCCTCTCACTACTTGCAGGCGATGAAGAGCGCCCCCGGTCCCAGGTTGTAGATTGGCACGTGGAAAGCGGTACATACAATTACCGTGATAACCACGGATACGCGCACGGGAGAGGACATGACGCAAGGGAGACCGGGGAGATGATGGCTACTTGGACTTGTGGACGCATGGCTCGGATCGCCTGCGCCACAATTGCTGACTGCAGAGTGTGTGAGACGGCAACTCTGGGAGCGAAATGGAAGACGCAACGGGATGTCAATGATTGCGAGTGTGTTTTTGTTGTTGTTGTTTTCGGGTGTCGTCAAGGTTAGCATCCTGGGTGTTTGAGGAGGACCAGGGGTGAAACCGCATTCCAGTATCCAGGCGGGCGGGCATGGGGGTGGTTTATTTACTGCGTAGTTCTCTCTTCTTGGGCCTTGCCAAGACATCCCAGGGAACTCGGTGAGCAGCTTTTATTGGACATTTCCGCAGAGGCCCGTCGACGACAAAAGCCGTCTTATTCGCATATTTATTAACGACGTGCCAGGGCCTGACATGTTAGCAACAACAGAGTCGTTTTCTGGACGGAGCAAACCCCCTCCGTGGGCCCGGGATGCCTTCTTGTAGGTAGTCCCGAATAGGTAATCTGCTCAAAACTCGGCTCCTCAGCCTCATCCCATTCCCATCCCTCTCATTTTCCCGCTACGTGAGTTAGGTTCTGGGCTGATCGGCACCACCCGGCCCAGGCGAGCGATGGGTAGGTATCTGCTGATTTTTTTAGGCTTTCTCGGAGCAGCCGGGTTCCCTTGTCGCTCTTGTCACTGTGTCCTCGTGCGTTTTCGTGTGTTTGGGAGTTTCTTGTGAGTAATGGCTGGTTGTGGCCACATTTCACTTTTCCCAGCCGGAGACCAACGGCGTGGCGATGGGCATATGGCGGTTTGGCTTTGCTGACTTGCCTCTTGGGCGGTCGTTGTGGGCTGAGAGTTCGTATTCCATGCAGCAGCGTTGCCTTTGCGTTCAGCTTGCAAACAAGCAATGCACGCTTATAGGACCAGCCGCAAGCGCATTCACACCCCGTTTGCATCCAGTCATGATGCACCCCATCAATCATGACGCCCTCAGGCCATGCTTGCAGCCATCCCGTTCCGTTTGTACATCGGGAGTAGCACCAACTAAATTTACTGGGGCGGGGGGGAACCAACGGGAAGACGGACGACCCTGGAATTGGTTTGATTCATCAGCAGCCAGCAGCCAGCAGCCAGCGTGGCTTCTTCCCGTCGGAGTCATTTGTTAGCAACCCGTGCGATGCACAAAGTACCTCCGCAGTGCTGCTTCTGATGGACGTGGCTTGATTGTCGGTTTCTAAGCCTCTCTCCACGCCGGTCGATTTGGTTTAAGATTCCCCGAGTCCCATTTCCCAGCGCCCATTCCCTCCCCTTTCCGTCTCTCCAATTCTACAACTCTGCGTCCCCGTGTCTCATCTGCCGTCGCTAGTGTCCATCTCCATTGTTGCAGACACTCGCCGCGTGCTGGTGTCTCGTCCTTGTCCGTTGATGACAAACCCCCAGTGACGTCCCTCCTGCACCTTCCCGCCACAGCGCAGAATAGAAGATACGCGCCAGTCCCGATCCGGTAAGGCCAGCTTGCCTTCCGCCGGCGCCGGCCTGTCACTCAGTTTAAACCGATACGTCGCTTCTTCGTTTCCTGTATCGCCTCATTCTTTGTTGCGCGCTCGTACAAAACGTCCTGAGTTTCTCGTCCGCGAGGAGTTGCACGCTCAACTCAATCAGGCCCGATTCTCTTGGGTAACTGCCAGTCTTTTTCTCTGGTACGATTTTGTCTCGCTCCGCTGCAACCGCCAGCCGTCGGGACGGCCCTGCTCCACCCTCATTTAAATCAACCTTCGACACGGCGTTCGCATACGCTTCCCGCATACACGCATCAACTCTCTTGCGTCTACGGCTGACTACGCCGCCACTAAACTAACCATGAAGACTGCCAGTAGAGTCTTCTATCTCTCCGTCTTTGCCCTCTGGGCTGCTCCTGGATCTTGCTCCAGTTCCACAGAGAATTGCCCGGTACGTCGCCAAGTCACTGTCGGCCCCTCGGCGTGGTGTCCTTGTCTCCGTGTCGCCAACTGTCGCACCACTTCATTTGCTCGCACCCAGCTAATATTGACTTTGCAGATCTCTCCCAAGTCCATCGTTGAAGATGCCTGTGCTTCCTACGCGACCCTCGAGAAGCTCAACGCCCGCACCAAGCCCGCCGTTGACGACCTCACCCGCAACACCGACTTCTTCTCCCACTACCGATTGAACCTCTTCCACAAGAGTTGTCCCTTCTGGAACGACGAAAATGGCATGTGCGGCAACATTGGCTGCGCCGTCGAGACGCTCGACAACGAGGAGGATATCCCCGAGGTCTGGCGCGCCCACGAGCTCAGTAAGCTCGAGGGCCCGCGAGCTCAGCATCCTGGAAAGAAGGCACGCCACGAGAACCCCGACCGCCCGCTCCAGGGCAAGCTAGGTGAAGATGTCGGCGAGAGCTGCGTTTTCGAATACGACGACGAGTGCGACGAGCGAGACTACTGCGTCCCCGAGGACGAGAGCGCCAGCTCCAAGGGAGACTATGTCAGCCTGCTCCGCAACCCGGAGCGCTTCACGGGGTACGCCGGCGATGGGGCCAAGCAGGTCTGGGACGCCGTCTACCGCGAGAACTGTTTCCAAAAGAGCTCGTTCCCGCGCTCGGCGAACCTGGGCGTCTCCCAGTGGCCTCCCGGTCCCGCCGCCCAGGACTTGAAGCAAATTCTCGATGCCGCCGGTCGCCAGGCCCAGCTCGAGCAGCAGCGCATCGAAAAACCAAACACCCCCTTCGTCGCCAACACTGGCTTCGAGGTCGAGGACGAGTGCCTCGAGAAGCGCGTCTTCTACCGTGTCATGTCAGGAATGCACGCCAGCATCAGCAGTCATCTGTGCTGGGACTTCCTGAACCAAACCACCGGCGAGTGGCAGCCCAACCTGTCCTGCTACGAACACCGCCTCCACAACTTCCCTGACCGCATCAGCAATGTCTACTTCAACTACGCTCTCCTCACTCGCGCCGTCGCCAAGCTCGGCAAGTACCTCAAGGGCGAAGAGTACACCTTCTGCACCGGTGATCCTCAGGGTGACGCTGTTACCCGGTCCAAGGTACTGGCAGTTACTGAGCAAGCAGCCAGTGTACCCCAGATCTTTGATGAGAGCCTCATGTTCGTTAACGGCGAGGGACCCTCGCTGAAGGAGGACTTCCGCAACCGTTTCCGCAACGTCAGCCGCCTGATGGACTGTGTGGGCTGTGACAAGTGCCGCCTCTGGGGCAAGCTCCAGACCGCTGGCTATGGCACCGCCCTGAAGGTCCTCTTCGAGCTCGACAACGACAGTGGTGACGTACCCGTCCTCAAGCGTACCGAGCTTGTGGCCCTGTTCAACACCTACGCCCGCATCAGCAGCTCCATGAATGCCATCGGGCATTTCCGCCACCGCATGGAGGACAAGATCGCGGCGGAAAAGGAGGCTGAGGAGATGACCGCTGCTGCCAAGGCGCAGGAGCTCGAAGACATTGACCCGGACCTCCTTGAATTCGTCCGGCTTCAGAACCAAGGACCCCGGGGCGACACAGTCGGCGACCACTTTAGTCATGAGATGGCTCGGTTCCGCGTGGCCGTTAAAGTGATTATCAAGGGTTGGATCCGTGGTCCCAAGACAGTGTAAGTTTTTCCTCATGATTTTAACACCCAGGCAAAAACGCACCATGCTGACATATCATCTTGCAGTTGGAACATCCTCAAATCTGAATTGATTCGGCTGTACCAGTTCTGGCTGGGTGTGCCAATCACACCCCGCTGGTGGAAGTTTCAGCTTCCTGACCTTGATCGAGATGAGCTGTAAGACGTTGGATCAACCAAAACAGAAGGTGACATAGACTGTAAGCACATGGTACGGGATTACATTCAACAGCATTGGCATCTGGCGTTCTTTTTTTATCTGTCCCAATTGGATGGGCATTGGTACGGGAAATATTCTACATCTGGCATCTTGGGCGTTGTTTTGGGGGCCGGAGAATGGGCCTCTGTTACACTACATTAGTACTCCGTATCACGTAGCAATGCGAACGTGCTTGCGAATGCAAACGGTCATAAGCGGCATCATCATCATGCCACCCCCGCATGCTGCAGCCGAGATGGTGAACCAGGCTGGAGGGATTCTTGACTCCATTGACGTACTGGGAGCGGGACGATGTCTCGAGTAAGCAATTCCAAGGCCTTCCCGTGGTGCCTCCTGGGGCTTTCGCTCGAGACATGAACCACTTCAGCTTTGTTAGTCCCTATTTCCATCGAAGCAAGACGCGCCAACCAGAACGAGTAACCTTTTCGTTTTAACTCAGCCACGGCGCCCGGAATCTTATTTTTTTTCGCGTTTCTTTTTTATTCTTCCGCCGGTTCGCGAACAAGCGCCGGCGTCGAATCGTGTCCTCGAGGCGTCGAGACAAGGCGTCCAGAGCAGCAGGGGAACAGAAACCCGGCGGCGGCGGTGGGGGGGGTCCGTGGGTGTCGCAGAAGCGAAGCGGTTAAAAAAAAACCAAATAAAAACGGGGGCAGAAAAAGAGACAAAGTGTAGAAGGAAAAAGCAAAACGGGGGGCGGCCTGATGTTGGGGGCAGAGTGTTGCCATGTTGGTCGAGGCGAGGTGTGGGTGGGTGGATGGGTAGATGAAGGGGGGTTAAAGGGGGTTGGGTTGACGGGAATCAGGCTGGGGAGTGATGGATTCTATTTTCTGGTTCTATGATGGCATGTTTGGAAGATGACGAGGCTTTGTGAGTTAAAAGCAGTATTTTAGTCGAGGGACAGCATCTCAGACATACAGACAGGCAGATGGGAAAACATGACATTACCATCATATCATATCTCAACACTCACCCGCCGACCAGTCATTCCATGCCACCCGTCATTCCACGCTTCCCACCCATCCACCCACCCATCCATCTCTCCCATCCTAGATTCAAATGCAGATCGAAATGCAAATGGAAAAATTCCCAGCGACACGGCTCCGGGTCGCGGCCCCGGAAACCATCGACCCGCTGCCGCCCCTAGAAGAACCCTTGGGGGCCGGCAGCCTTAAAAGCAACCCCGGCCGAAATGAGATATGCATGTTCAAAAAGGTTCCATGTCGCCAACGCAGGGGGGTCGCGCGCACTGCTGCCCACCTATGAAGTTGCCTCTTGCTGCGGAGCTCGTGCGTGTCCTGTGTGTGCATGGCCTTCGGACATACTGTACGTAGTCGAAACTAGGGCCAAGCGCTCCTATTTCTGGTCGGGGGTACCGATGCTAACACCGATCATCGTGATGCGAGTCGTGATTCGAGCCCGGGTTTGTCTTGCCTGGGAGGGGGAACTCGCTAAGTTAGACCCATGGCTGTTCCGCATGGGTGTGAGAAAAACGAGAGAATGCGAACCACATACAGTAGTCATCAGAACCGTTAAGTCCGGCGGGGCGTAGATGAGAGACAAGCAGTCCGTCGCAGCGCACCGAACTGACGATGGCAGCGTCCAGACCGGGCACTGGGCGTCTTGGCTGTCGCTCGTCGCTCTTCTGCGCGGCCTGGCGAGCCCATGATACGACGACGACCTGCGTCTGGCGTCGACCGGCCGCAGCTGAGCGCGCCTAGACTCGAGCAAATGTCTTGGATAATTTCAACGCGCAACAAAGACTCGCCCGCCCGTCCCAGCCGTCATATTCCCGTCACTTCATCTCGCAGACCCAGCACAGCGGAACCACCTCACCCACCCCGTCGCCTTGTGTCCCGGCGGTCTGGGTCCCGGCGAACCATTGCCGTGTGCTGTCACCATCGCCATGGGCCCCCGTCAACATGGGTCCTTGGACACGGGTCGTTGGGTCTGTCCCCGGCAGTGATGACGACCAAACGACGGCGCTCACACCAGCACACCGGCTCCCCACACAGCCCACCACAGATGCCTCATCCCGAGGACGCCTCCCCGTACCGCATCCCACCGTCTCATTGGCCACGGCCGCGTCGCCAAGACCCGAGACGGCACAAGAGCGGCGGCCCAGCATACCGGGGCCTCAGGGATGAGGTGACAGCGGCCGGGCGGCTGGGATCCGGGCGGCCTGCGGTATGCGTGGCTTGCGCTGCCTTCTCTTTTCCCTCCTGCGAGAGGAGGAGGAGAGCAAGGGGAGTGGCCGGCAAACATGTTGGGGGAGCCTGGTCTGCCGTTGCGCCAATCCGTGCCCGTCCATCCCGTCTGTCACCTTTGTGTGCTGGACCAAGCCGTCGGGCTTAGCTGGCAGATTTGGCCTTGTCCTGCTCATGGTATATAAGTCGGACGCCCCGTTCCTCTCTGTTGGGCTCGAGCCTCGTTGCAGGTCAACGTCTTTTCAGGGGCGCAATGGTGCGCAGTATCCCATCTGTTACTCAATCAGCATCTGATTCCCATATCCTTGATTCAACCTCAACAATTTTGTCCTATCCTTTCGCCATGGACGATTCGTGCTTTCTCGGCATTGACTCCTCCCGTCCTTCACCACCTCCTCGGTCCAGCAGCTCCAGCGAGCCCTCCAACCGCGGCAGCAGCATCAGCCTCGAGGACGCAGCCTGGGTTCCCAATGACTAGTAGCTGACACATCCGCATCCACCAACTCTCATCAAGGATGCTAACCCGTGCACCAGCCATCGCGACTCCCCGAGCGACCTCGCCCCGGCAGTACACGACTCGGCCAAGTCTCCTCTTCTTCTTTTTCAGCCCCAGGAACTCACTTTCACGACCGAGCCCCGCGAGGTCAGTCCGGAGGATGGCTGCCCGCGTCTTCCCTCTGAGCCGAGTACTCCATCAACACCTTCTGTGACGAACCGTATGGATGTATACTTGCTGGAAGAGGATCAGCATGCAATGCGCATGGTTGGATTGCCACCTAGTACGCCAAGTGAATCAGCCTCCCAATCTCAGCCTTCATCTCCCAAAAAGTCGCTGGGACAATCGCTATCTGATGGCTCGAGTTGGCAAATTATCGACAAGTCTGACGAGGACCAGACCTCTCAATCTCACCCGATATCACGTCCCGGTAAAGAGCCTCTCATTGATGAGACGTCCACCTCGCCCCGGCCTACCACTCCTCAGAACAACACCTTTGAGAGAATGACAACCCTAATCGGCATTATTCCCGAGTCAAACCAGTCAGCTTGGAATAAACTCCCTATTAGTCCAGATTCCGGGATATCATATTTGTCCCTAGACGCTGGGCCCCCTGGCAAACGACATCGCGAATCAATCGATGCAGAACAAGCAGACGATGGCGATCTCGGGCGGCTCGGAGGAAGGTATATCTTGATCTAATATACCTGGAGTTTCCGCTTGTTAACCGGCATGTAGGGCCAGTCGCATGCCAGCCACGCGCAAGTTAACATTCATCAAGAAAAGGCGAAGGGATCAAAAGGACACGAATAGCAATACGGCTTCATGACGGCTGACGGTCGACCTCTAGATATTCTTTTTATTCGTTTTGGCCTGTTGATATTTGGAATGTTTGTGTGTGACATCCCATTCGCATTTCTGTCTCGCATCATGGATCTGAATTTTCAGCCTGCTGCTCGTCTTGAAGTTGCGCATGTTAGTAAAGTCAAGGATGTCGGGTTTATGCTAGGTGCAGTGCTGAGTTGATGCAATCTGAATCGGATTTCTGCACCTCCTCACTAGTCATGCCCATTGTGACCACGTGTGCCGACCAGGTGTGTGACAGTGATTCGATGTCCACTTGATACAATGCATTTCTCGACCCAAAGGCTTCACTGGTGCTAAGATATGGCAATCCAAGACTGTGTGCTCACGTCCCAACCTTGGACAGTCATTCATTAGTGTAGTGCTTGGCCCTTTGCGATTTCTGGTTTTTCTTCCTTTGGAACGAGTCACTCGTGACGTTCCTGGTAGATGTTCCGTCGGTTCATTGAGGATGAGCTTGTCAGACTTTTTGCTGACTCGACACTGTCTCGGACACTCTCCCGAGTGGCTCAGTCTTCGGTGACCACTATGACAGCATCGATCCCGACCATGAATCCGAAAAATATAACAAGAAGCTAAAACGTTAGAGTGGTTTCATTGAGCACAGAAGGGAAATCATACCACACACGTCCCAATACCAAGAAGGTGAATCTCAAATCCACCAGTCAACGCTCTCCCGGATATCATGGAGTGCTGGTGCCTCCAACTGCGTACCGCTCCGAGAAGTATCGTCGCGATGGAAAAGGCGAAACATGCAGACGCTAGCGGCTTCCCTACCCGGTTGTAACCAAAGCCCAAGTCGTCGTGTGCGAGTGTGAAAAGCTGAGCGATCGCGGTACCGAGCATAGACATCATCATTGAGGTCCTCAGATAACCAAGAAAGGTTCGCTCAAGCGCTACAGTGCAGTCTCCAGGTCAGTAACGGATGGGATCATCAACTACATCGATGACATGCCACGGATGCAGGGGGCAACTCGGAGGTACAAGTTGCGAGTGCCATATCGAGGACATATAAAAGAAGCCATTAAGACATGGGGAAGATGGTTCGGGAGCCACAATAATGAAGTATGCAAATGGGTAAGGAGGAAGGTCCTCCGATTCTGATCCGGGTTGCCACTTGGCGGGAAGATTATTGTCCAGCTAAGCCAAACAAATATGAAAGATGAGGGAGCATGTGAAAATAGCAGAGATGAGAGGAAGAGGGAATCGTGTACCTAGATGATCGCGGGCGGCGGCAAAGTCAACTTCGCAGCTAACATGGGATCCCCAGGCGCTGGCCAGGCGCGAGATAGGCCTCTTTCCCCAAGGCGGCGGCGTCTCGGATCGGGCGCCGGATTCAGAGCCCGCCGTGCCGGCGGTCCCTGCTCCACATGGCTCTGAAGGAACAGGCTCAAGCTCATTCTCGTGCTCGTGTTCATCGTCGTCAAATCCTCGGTCCTGGCCCTGGTCCTGGTCTTGGGACGACGGTCCATAGCTTCCGCTACTAGATGAAGAGCGATTGACACGAGAATGCGACTGCGAGTCGAGCTCGTCGAGCGAGATTGCCGAATTGGAACGGGAGCGGACCCGGGGATGCATGGCTGAGCGCCCCAAGGTGAGCAAAATGCGCCACTAAGCGGCCGACGCAGCTGCGCCGTGATTGATCTGAGACGTGGCGCGCGAAGCACGAGGGAATACGGCGTGTGGATGACGCAGGGGGGTTCGGGGAATAAGATCTGGAGCGGGCGATTGCGATGCACTGCGCCGATGCTTTGCGTCCGTCTGTCTCGAGAGGTGAAGTGTCGATGCAAAGACTAGAGTCACGGATGAAGGTTTTTAGACGCAACCGGGCGACTAAAGCCCATGGTTGTTGATTGCCGACCTGGAACGGCGGATCTCGGTGGCCATCGTCGTGGCACTAGGTCGGTCGCTGAGATCGCGAACCGGCCGACGGTAGAGAGCCATGACGCAGTGCACATGGTTGGTGATGGAGTCGCAGAGAGGTGTGTGCATTTGCAACAAAATGTTTCGGGGCGGAATGTTTTTTTAATTCCTTGGTGCTCAGCCTACTGACCTGATTCGGCGCCTGAGCAGTGAGGCACCAGGAATGAAACAATTCTCGTCGCCTTGGGAAGGAAGGATCTTGGTCAGGAACGGAAATGGGTCTTTCTTGATTGGGTTACCTACCTACACAAAGATTGCCCGCCTACCCGGGACCTTCAAAGCTCCAACACCAAAACCTTGGCGTGAGTCTGTTTCGTCCAGAGTTACACCAACAATCCGCGCGGCCCGACAAAGATCTCGGCCATCAGCTCTAGCCGGGACAAACGCCCGGTTTCTGTCAAGCCATGCTGGATACTGCCGAGGGGAAGAGCAGCATCATTCGTATACGCATAATTGTTATCAGTTGTTGATCTATCTCCCAGGAACGTGGGGCCGAAGCCGTTTATCATGGTCGCCGACTCCATCTCCATCCATGGCTCGACCTGGGGATAGCGGATGTGCGGCTCTCGCTCGTCCCGGTCGCGCCGCCGAGCCAAAGGAATCCCGGCCCGAAGCACCGCACACCTTGTTTTACGGCTGCACTGCCGCTGCGCATCGCCTGTCTGGTGTGAAATGACTGGTGCGAAATGGATGACTGCTGTCGGATTGTTGGCTGCCCCCGGTCGGCCACTTGGCACCCAGTAATCGCATCCTTCGCATCCCAGACCTCGCATCTGCGTCCTCGGTACGCTACGCTACACTGCCTGCATTATGGGATGATCAGCCGTGGCGACATGGCCTCTACGGTTCTGGACCGAGCCGCCTCCAAGGATCACACCCAGGGCCCTGGGTCTGCACCTCATTCCCAGCCCGCCGGTGCTGTCTCCAGCGTTCCGTTAAAGCGTCGTGGGGAAAATCTCCACGCTCCTCTCTTCAACGCCCAAGCAGAGCCGTTCCTGTCCTTTGCCAGTATTGGGATTGGATCTCGTCGTTTTTGCCAACCTCGAGATCTCTCTTCCCCCGCTGCCTGTCAGTAGCTGTGCAACGTGGCAACCCTCTGGACAACATGGTCCGGTCATCATTCAACATTGCATGACCGCCACCTCTGATCGCCCAACTCATGGCGATGCACACTCCTTGTACTAACCCTCCACATGCCTGCTGCCTTATCCTCCTTGCACCGCACGTCCACACATCAGCAATTGCCTTCAGTGCTCTTTATGTCAGATGACCTCAAATGGTACGGCATTGGCCGCTTGGGGTTGGCTACCGCTCACACGGTCCGTTCAGACCGATGTCGTTATAGCATCGAAACACGCTAACTCATCCATCCGCTGCAAGAAGTTGCATTTCTCCCACATCCTAACCCAACGTCCGTCAATCCCCTGCAATCTCCACTTGTCTCCCCGTCTGCTCGCCGGCGGTATTCCGGAAGCTCCGTTGCTATCCCCTCCCGTTCCCATAGGTTGCTGCCTCCGTTTCCCCTTCAGGGTGCAGCAATTCAGACGCAGTGACATCCCGAGGCTGTCTACCTCGTCAGGCGGGAGCCCCGGAACACACTCCCACCCCAGCTTCTGAGAGTGTGGAAGCCTTCCAAACTATTACTAGAATTATGTCCCCCTCGAAAAGACGCACGACTTTGGTTCGATGTGGGTAAGCATCAAATGCCACTCTCATTTACGCATACTTGCATCTCAGAATCAGGTTGCCCGTATAAGTTAGGCGCTATTACCTGTGCATCTTTGGCGCCCATTTTCCGACCTGCCTCCCCCTACCAACGCAACCTTTATCACATTCACACAGGTTCTAACTGGTGAAGTGCATGTACTTCGTCCAATCTAGGCCAAGTTGGGTCTATTTCCATATTTGTGGTTTGTGACCCTGCGCCGTGTCCATTCTTCCTTGTCAGCCGTCCCCGTCAGCCGTCCCCCACGAGCCCAGACGGTAGGTTGCAAAGCAACAGCGACATCACATCATACAGAAGAGTTCGTTCCGGGACCAAACTAACTCAAGCATTTCGTTGAAAGACTTTTATAAGACAACGTGGTTATTTCTTCTTTCAAGATGAACGACTCAAACACCCCTTCAACCCCTGATACGGAATACTCTCCGCCATGCAGCCCGCAGCAGAAGAGTAAATTGCTCAAAAACACTCGCTTGGCAGCCAGGGAGAAATTGGCAAACCTGAGCTTAAAGGAAAAGGTCTGTTGACCAGTTGATCGCTTTGAGGAACCTCTGCTGACCTCCCAGGTTTCCTTACTCACCGCAGCCGACTTTTGGAGGACAAAGGCCATTCCTGAGAAGGGTATTCCGGCCATCAAAACCACCGACGGCCCAAATGGCGCTCGTGGAGGTATCTTTGTGGGCGGTACCAAGGTTGGATCTTTCCCCATTTGCAGCTGACGGTCATGCTAAATATCACAGGCCGCACTATTCCCTTGTGGCATATCCTTGGCAGCTACATGGAACAAGAATCTTCTCTACGAAGTTGGGCAACACCTAGCTGCTGAGACACGAGCAAGGTCGGCTGAGATGCTTCTCGCCCCCACCGTCTGCATGCACCGACATCCCCTTGGCGGCCGAAACTTCGAGTCCTTCTCCGAAGACCCGCTTCTGACGGGTAAACTGGCTGCACAATATATCAAGGGGCTTCAGGATAAAGGAGTGGCTGCGACTATCAAGCGTAAGTTGATTTCGGGCTTTGAGATATTCTGGTATACTGAACAAGACGCAGATTTCGTCGGCAATGAGCAAGAAACGCATAGGCTCACAATAGATTCGCTCATGACTCAACGAACACTTCGCGAGCTATATCTTCGACCATTCGAGATTGCTATTCGGGAAGCAAATCCCTGGGCTCTCATGTGCTCGTACAATCTCTTGAATGGTGTGCACTGCGACATGAACAAGCATACTCTGAAAGATATTCTGCGTGGAGAGTGGGGCTATGACGGGTTAGCATCTCCCTTCTTGACTGACAGCTGCTCTCACTGACTTGCTACAGCACTGTTGTGTCCGATTGGGGTGGCACCAACTCGACTGTGGAATCTGTTCAGGCTGGATGCGACATTGAATTCCCCTTCTCCTCGAAATGGCGGCTTGATAAACTCATCGCCGCCGCGAATGAAGGAGAAATCAGTATGGATGACATAGACCAGGCTACTGAAAACGTCCTTACACTAGTTGAGCGTCTCAAAGGAGGCGACATGTCACCAGAGGTGCCTGAGCGCATGGACGACCGGGAGGAAACCAGGAAGCTTATCCGAACAGCCGGCCATGAGGGCCTGACGCTCCTCAAGAACAACGACAGCATCCTTCCCCTCTGCCCCAAAACCACAAAGGTCGCCGTCATCGGACCCAACGCCAACCGCGCTATTGCAGGTGGCGGTGGAAGCGCAAGTCTCAACCCGTACTACAACACCATCCCTCTTGAGAGTATCCGCCAGGTTGCAGAGAAGGATGTCACCTTTGCTCAGGGTTGCCATATTCACAAGTGGCTCCCTGTTGCATCCAAGTACTGCTCTGACAAGGCTGGAAAGCCTGGAGTCACTATCGACTGGTACGCTGGTGACAAGTTTCAGGGCAGCCCAGTTGTCATTCAGCGACGGACCAACACTGACCTCTTTCTGTGGGACTCGGCACCGCTCAGCCAGGTTGGCCCCGAGTGGTCGGCCATCGCAACGACGTATCTGACCCCGTCGACAACAGGCAAGCACACAGTTAGCTTCATGAGCGTCGGCCCCGGAAAGCTCTACGTCGATGGAAAGCCGGTCCTTGATCTCTGGGAGTGGACTGAGGAGGGAGAGGCCATGTTTGATGGCTCGATAGACTATCTTGTTGATGTCGACATGGAGGCTTCCAAACCGGTGGAGCTCAAGGTTGAAATGACAAACGAGCTGCGCCCGCTTTCGAAGCAGAAGCAGTTCGGAATCACGCACAAGTACGGTGGCTGTCGTATTGGATTCAAGGAGCAGGACCAAGTCGACTACATCCAGGAAGCTGTCGAAACTGCCCAGGCTGCAGACGTGGCTGTGGTCATTGTTGGAGTTGATGCTGAGTGGGAGTCAGAGGGCTACGACCGTCAAACCATGGACCTCCCCGTTGACGGGACTCAGGACCGTCTTATTGAAGCCGTCGTAAAAGCCAACCCCCGTACCATTGTCGTCAACCAGTCCGGCAGTCCGGTTCATATGCCCTGGGTTGATCAGGTTCCCGTCATCATTCAGGGATGGTATCAGGGTCAGGAGGCGGGCAATGCCTTGGCCGATGTCATTTTCGGCATTGAGAGCCCAAGTGGAAAGCTTCCGGTAAGTTATCCCTGAGGCACAAGCGCCGTTATGTCTTACTAATGAAGCGTAGTCCACGTTTCCAAGACGCATTGAGCACACCCCGGCATGGCACACATGGCCTGGTGAGAACGAGAAGGTACTGTACGGCGAGGGCCTGTACGTCGGGTACAAGCACTACGACCACGCCAAGATCACGCCGCTGTTCCCCTTCGGCCACGGCCTCTCCTACACGACGTTTGAGTACGGCCGTCCGGAGGTCTCATCGCGCACGCTCACCGCGGATGGGAGCATCAAGATCACGCTCGCCATTTCAAACGTCGGGTCTCGCGCCGGCGCCGAAATCGTCCAGGTCTACGTCCGCGACGAGAAGAGCCGCCTGCCGCGGCCGGAGAAGGAGCTCGTGGCCTTTGAGAAGGTGTTCCTCGAGGCGGACGAGACGAGACACATTACCATCGACCTGGACAAGTATGCGGTGGGGTACTATGATGAGGCGATTCCTGGGTGGATCGCTGAAGAGGGCGCTTTCCAGGTCCTCATTGGAGCCTCGAGCGCAGATATAAGGTACGGACTGATATCAAGCAACTCCTTGGCAGCAATACTAATCAGCGCAGACGAACGACGAAATTCCAAGTGAAGGAGTCGTTTACCTGGGTGTTTTGAAGAGTACGAAGCGTAACAAACGGAATGAGCCATTATGCGGCTGTGCGATGCATTGACAGCAGTCACAAGGGTTGGGTGGATGTGATGTTTTTGATTCATGTCACTCTTTTATCGACGTTGATGACCGAGGCCCAAGTAGGCCTCGAGATGAAATACCATTCTTGGCCGGAACGAATATGCGTCGTCATATTAGAGGGCAACATGTGAATTGAGGTAGCTTGAACTCTAGTCTTTCAGTCCGACAAATTTGATCAGTGAAACACCCGACGTTCAAGATCGCCTCTAGCGCCGTGCTCCCAGTTTAACATTGATTGTCACGATACCGATCTTGCCCCGGAAGACCCAAGCAAGACGTGTACCAGAATACTCAGAAAGCGCGTGGCCAGGTCTAAGTATTATTTCCCCATCGTAGGCGCGTCGACAGCTCATCTCGGTCGTTGAGAGACTGCCAATTGTGTGGCCATAAGGGTGTATATTTTGATTTGGTCTATTCCTCTGTTAGATACGCCCCGAACGAGCCTGTATGGGCCGACATACCTCGTAGAATGAGATTAGACATGCCGACGTGTTCGCGACCACATCGGCAATCCCCTCTTATACTTTTTACTTTTTTTCATCTCCTCCCGTGCCGCATCACAGCATGTGTTGTGTCCTGAACCAGCGCGTCCCTGCTCTCGCTTCACTCGCGCTCCTCGGCAGGCTCCTCGCGCGCCTTGGCCTCGGGGCTGCGGCTGCGGCTGCGTCCTCCCCTGCGGCCACCGGCACCACGGCCGCCGCGCCCGCCCTTGCCTCCCGGCGGGGGGCGCACGAAGGCGAAGTCGACTTGGACGGACTGCTCGAGCAGCTTAGTGTCGTGGGCGCCGTCGATAGCGGCGCGGGCCTCCTCGAGGGTGGTGTACTCGATCAACGCATAGCCCTATAGCAGAGTGCATGGTCAGCGATGTGCCTTCGTCGAGAAATAGGTGTCCATGTCGGTCGAAGTTCAAGTCGCGGGGACAGTCAGGGCGCTTCCGTCATCCTTACCTTGACGTAACCACTCCGGCGGTCCAGGTTAAGGTGCATGTTCTTGATCTCTCCAAACTCGCCAAACATGTCTTGAAGAGCCTCCTCGTCGGCCTCCTCGTGGACGTTTGTCACAACGATGATCCAGCCCTCGATGGAGCGCACGGCGGTAGCCTTGCTGTGCGTTTGCATGTCGCCCTCGTTGCGCACGGGGGGAGGGGGTGACGCATTGTCGACCTCGACGTCGACATCCATCTCTACGTCGGCCATTGTGAAGGGTACGGTCGGGGGGAGGGGTTAAGGGGTTCGAAGTCGTGGAGGCGTGGTCGCGGTGAGATGAGGCTCTTCACGGGCGGAAGAGGCGTCGCTGAAGGTCAATAATTCATATCACGTGATTCTTCCATTGGAGCAGCCTCAACTCGTCCTACGTCAGGTATCTCGTTAAGGATTATTGAAGAGATCGTAGCTACGCTATCAATAGTTTATCCGTCGTTGACGGCTTGTTCGAGGTAATTGCCGGGGAGGCGTGTCTTCAGTAATTTCATCGTCTGACACGGCGTCATCTTAAGCCTGACCCTGGGCTCGCCGGCGTGAGTCACTCGCCGTGATGGCGGGGCCAAGAAACAGGTCTACGATGTTCCCAAGCATCACAGAGCCTGGCGCCCACTGCGCCAACAGCTGCTTCATCACTCCCAGCTTGGTCTCCTTAGGATTAGGCTTCGTCAAGAACTTCCAGGTAGTAATCACATGGGACCGCGCCGTGGAGCGCGTCTCAAAAGGTGCGAACAAATGTGTGTTGTATTGACAACCGACACCAGACGCCGTAGAGCCGTAGTGCTTCTTCACATCTCTCGTTCTGTCGAGGATGCTCAGCCTATCAAGTGACCCGACTAGTCCATCTTCCCATTGCTGATTGAAGTATCCATCGGTGAACGGTTTCGCAAACCTCCCAGTACCGCTTTTCCTCACATAGCAAAACCAGTCGTTTAGGCAGCGCCGGGGTTGGGGTTCATCTGTTGACGGAGTCAGCACTCCCGTTCCTCCCGAAATCGCAACGCGAAGCGTTCTGCTCACCTTCCGCTTGCCACCGGTCAGGGTGACGTTGACGAATCGTCGGGTGTACTTGAGGCGCTTGAGAGCACGGCCCTTGGGGACCTTGGCCTTCTCCTGGGCCTCAACCTGTAGGGCGGGATGGTCAGTCATCGTGATCGTCGGGACGGGATGGGATGGGATCGAGGAATCGTACTTTAGGGGTCTGAGACTTGACCTTGCCTGTGGAAATGTCAGCAATGATGAACAACGGGTATCACGAAAAGGAAGGTCAACATACCGGCACGGGCGAGAGATCCGTGAACTTTACCCATGGTGATTGATTGAGTTGGTGATGTGGATGATGAATCGACGACGGAGGCGCACCAAAGATTTTTGGGGAATTTGGCAAAGGTTGTGTGCTCAGCGGGAGGCGACCATCACGTGAGCGGGGACACGATGCCCTGCCGGATAAAATGGCCCCGACCTTGCCACAGACCTGCCTTAGGTAATCAAATCGCCCCGCTTCCGCTTCGACCCTCAGAATGCTGCGATCTGGACGTGAATGAAGCTGTGCTGATGCAAATTGGAAGGCCAATTTCCCAGGCTGGTAGATGAATGCGTCTAGGTTGGTTTCTAATTGCTCCACCGCCATTTTCAACAAACATGAAGATACACAAAGATGGTGTTGTGGAGGTGGGTGACTTGAGGTGTGAGCATCACCCACTTGATCAGCTGAGATCAAGTTGCAGTCTTGTAGAAGTTCATCAAGTTGGCCATAAATTGAACTTAGGTGCGGCATTTTGGTCACGGTCACCACCTCTTTGGATTGTCATTGTGCTGGGGATGGGATTGCAATCTTGAAGAATGGTTACATCGCGCCTCAGCTCAGCATGACGACCTTATGCCTGGAGCCCGAGCTCATGTAGCCCTATGTCAAGTTGAACTGAAACTTGAAGAGATAGTCCCCAGATACCCCGGATTATGAATGGTCATAGCAGACAGATGGATATTTTACACACAGAATTGTAGGTCGCTCCTTGGTGGGGAGGGACTCTGTATCCCCAACCGTCGACTCCTCCGTCTTGTTGGCGATGTGTAGCGACAACCGTCAAATGTTGAGGTCCTTTGCTCTACGAACCGCCGCTCGGACTGCAAGAGCCCTAGTGAATGTAACTCACAGATAGGACGAGATCATGCAAGCCACTGTAACGCGCCTCCTAGGAATCCTGGGGAAAGTCGCTGCAGGAACATGAGGTAGCTTGAGCACAAGTTGTATTCTGGACCTGTACGGTTTTTTCATGGATACAGCTCGTATATTCGACTTGGAGACGTGTGATGGCGCATTGCAATGTCATTTTAATCTTTGACTGTGTAGTCTAGGCAATGAGATGCATGTGATGGCATTTTGGATTTATGTACTGAACTAACGACTAACAAATTGGAACAAGACACCACCACATGCCTCGAGACAAGCATCAATGGTAGTATATGTTCAGCCACCCACGTAAAAATCATTTCATGAGCACGTTTATCACGCAGCACATTCAAGAAGCAGTCATCCAAAGCAACTCTGCACTGTCGACTGCGGAACTGTTCGGCGAGGTTTAGGGTAGGACTGCCGTAAATAAGCCACTAGTGGTGTGTGGAGGGGTTCAAATCGGCTAGCCCTGCATTCAGGCTAACCACCCATGCTTCGCAACTAACGTCATGTCAAAGACTCTTCAGGTGGGACTGATTCTAACTTGGGGAGGGCATTCGCCGGTTTGGGGAGTTACATAGACGACATGCGAGCCGAGCGCATGTTGGCGAGCCTTTACGAGGAGCAGCCCACCCCAAACGAGCGCTGAACGAGGGGAGACGGAGGGGCAAGTGTCGTCTATCCCGATTAGAGCCTGAACGAGCAGGGTTCAGCAGTCACCGTTTGCCGCCGACGAAAAAATACGAGCCGATACGGAGGTTCGCGCAGACAGGACATCAACCCCCCACCGGCCCAGCGCCGATCACGACGTGCTGCATCGCAGGATCAGGCACCGTTTGCCGACCTCCCGGCTTGTCCTGGGTCGGTGCCAGTCTGGCGTTGCTCCATTTCTGGCCTGAACTTCCGACGAAGAATACGACCTCCGCTTGCGGGAAGTCGCTTGCGGGCATGACAACTGCAGAACTCTGTCTGATATGATGTGGTGGGAATTGCGATAGACGTGCCAGATGAATTTGCCCTGTGATTGATGGGGTACTGGCGTCATCGCCATCGTCATCGTCATCAGCGGGCTTCTTCCAGAGCTGCAGGACCACCACCCACACCGCATCAGCGAAAAAGCTCTGGGCTTCTTTCATGCACGGCCCGCCCCCAGGATTGGACTAGTCCGTGGTAACACGAACAGCACAACACCACGCCTCACCACTTTGAACTACCTCGCATCGCCCTGCAGCTCTGCATGCTGCAGCTAGATGGTCCTGCCAAGGTCTCGCTTTTCAGGTGAGGAGGGTTTATTTGAAGCGCAAGCAGAAACAGGGTTTGCTAGACTGGACGAAGCACATGTCGCATGACTGGGGTTGATCCGCACCCTATCATGTACACTCTGTAGGATGCTGGCCATTCACCTCGTGCCGTCTTGTTGGGATGCGGTTCGTTTTCCAGCCTCAAGCAGCTGGAGACGTCTAGTTCGGATGCATTCCGAGAACCGAACTCCGGTGGCCTAGAAGCGCCAGTGCAGCCACTTCTCGGACCCGGAGGTGCCATCCATCCAACGTTCGTTTGCAATTGCCACCTCCATAAGCCTACCCGCTGTGTCGTCTGCACATGAGATGGTGTCATTCTCATCCACCACAGAGCGTCTTGGACTTACTCGCTCGCTTACTCTCGTCTGCTTATGGTCGCTCATCAACTGGGAGAGACAGGGCCATGTCCCAAATGCTCGGGAATGGGAACAAGCACCAGGAGTTGGAAGCATGGCATTCCACCGGCGCATCCGCGTAAATATCGTACTGATACCAAGGATCCCCAGGAATCCAGAACAATCCCAAGATAGACGACGGCAGTGCTATTTTTGGAGGTCGACCCTAGTCTGAAGACTATATCTGGGACTGCGGCATGCCGGGCATCGTGGGGCCAGCCTCCTCCACTGTGCAGTCCCCTGCAAGTCTCATGGACCACTGCAGCCCGCCGTGGAGATGGTGCCATTGGCGCTGAGGTGCGCTGAGGATGGGTGGCCCGCCGCTGGGCATGCCGCCCAACACGGTGCAACACCCAATCGCTGTGGATCCTGAGTCAGCCACACTGGCGCCTAGTGCCCACCTTGCCAGTTCGTATTCACTCGGCCGATTAAGCCTCTGAGCAGTGGCGGCCAACCTCCAGCTCTCAACAGCTGCTCTTCAGCCCTAGCTCCATCTCTAGCTTTGCGGTGGCCGGATGCAGGCCAAGTTCTTGAACGTGCTCGAAGCGAAGCCTGGCATCAATCCATCAATCACCCCATGAAGGCGCGCGGGGCTCGCAGCATGCGGCTGTTGAGCCTGTTAGTCGGCCGGAAAATTAGGGCTGGTGGGGGTACGAGGTCCGTATATAGGGCCTAGGTCCGCTAGAACATGTGCTGTAAGCCCCTGTAGGCGACCTATCCAACCGCACCGTCTGCTGATGGTGGAAGGGGCCGCATCCCGCATCCCGCATGCCGGGAGCACCGCTGCTCAGCTTGGCGGGGATTTAGCGGGCGCCATGCAAAAATAAAGGCCATCGGGATCATGGATCTAGCTATGAATCAAGAAGCAAGGGGACAAAGAGTCTCAGCAGACATGAGGAAATGAGCATTAGTAACAGGTCACCTCCATCTGCTCCTCAACCCCCAGCAGGCTTAATCCTGGGTGCCGCCCTTTCTCCCATTTCTCCGTCCCTCGCCCAACAACTTGTTTGCGAGGAAACCCATTCTCCGCCTCGTCCTCTGATCTGTCCTGCCCGGCCCTGCTTGACTGTGCCTTGCAGCAGTGTTGTCGTATCACCAGTTTCCCTCCCCCATCACGCGATTGGGCCTATTTACTCGGCCTGTTTTCTACCCTCGCCTCCCCTTCAGTTCTCGTCCACCGCTTCTTTTTGTCAGCGAATCACTGTGTCTGCCGTTCGTTGATCACTCGCCTCACGCCGCCTCTCGCTTTTCTGTCTCGTTTCGTGTGTCCTCACTTTGAGCAGGACCACCAAGACGACGGAAACGAAAGAGGACTATGAGAAGAGAACCCAAAGCGAATAGCTACATCCAGACGATAGCCCACCACCAGCTCCTCGAATGGACCGCCGCATTTGGAGCAACTAAACAATAACACGCCCACACTCGCCCGCCAACCGCGTTACGCATTTATACAAGCACTCTCCCGCCTGCAATCCCTCCCGCGCAGTCGCGGCTGTCTGCAGCAACTCTTCCCACACGTGAAACGCGGCCCAAAAGATTCGCTGCATTTTCGCATGCCTCTCGGGTGGTCATAAGCACCTGGTTGGTAGCTCGATTGCGGATCATCTCGGCATTGCTCTAAGAAGCTATGCCTGGAGCCGTCCAAACACATGGCCGTTCGCGGTCCAACAGCTTGCAGCTGATGCTCGACCTGGAGAAGAAGATGGTGGTGAGTAATTTCTTCCTAAACTCTCATTTCTGGCCAGAATACTCGTACTCACGCTTCCTGATCCAAATTAGATCCATCGAGCGCAGGCTTCAACGAACCACTCCCTCTCATCTTCTCAATCTGGCTCCGTCCCTCCGAGTCCGGCTCCTCAACCTCGCCGCTTTGAGCTGGTGCCAAAGGATGGCAAGAAAGCACCTCCGCCCGTTCGAAACTATGGCCCTGTGCCGCCACCGCTGTTTTATAACATACCTCCTCCTGTCGCAACCGAGCCACCAGCTGTCTCCCAACGAAAGCTGGTGAAAGATTCATGCCACTCGAGAGGCGCATCAGTACCCGCCCACAAGACGGTGGCCTTTGTATTCCCTCCGGATGTCGAAGAAGAGAGATCCGTCTGCCAGTCACCCAGCTGGGAGGCGTACGGCCGCCGCAAGCAAGAGAAGAAGGAGAGAAAGGAGGAGAAGAAAGAAGAGAAGCGAGAGGAGAGGCGGGGGAGAGAACCAGAAGTCACCGAAACCAAGCCTCGTGGAAGACGCCTGAGCAAGGCGCCACCGCTCTCACAAGGCCTGGCTCGAAGCCAGACCGACCCAGTGAGCCCACCAAAGCAGAAGACTCGGTCTTCTAGCCTGCTGGGTGTTTCTATTGGGAACAAAGACAACAGGGATGCTAGGGACGAACCATCTGAGAAGCCCAGGCGAGGCCGATCTGGTTCGCTGACCTCGGCCATCCGACACTCCTTTGAGATTCGACGCGGGTCTTGGGATCAGACTAGTCCCTCGGGGTTCCTCGGCGGCGTCAAACTGGACAAGAAGAAGCAGGACTTCCGCCAGCAAGTCGTGGACGACCAATCCAAGGGAAACAGCACAGTCCATCCTGCATTGCGAAAGTCGTTCCTTGGAGTTGGCTCCTTCACGCCGCTCAAGACTCCGCCCCAGCCTGCCCAAGACAAGGAACCGGAAGCGCAGCGTCGAACCTACCCGCCAATTTCCCTGCAAACGTCGTCGGCGAGGAACCAAGCCATGATGTCGCCCAAATCCCCATCCAAACGAGACTCCTTTAGCTCCGCAAACATCTACCTCTGGAGCGCTCGTGCCAAGAAGAAGGCGGCGAAGGCGGCTGACGAGTGCGCCGTGGTTGACACCGAAGATGAACTGGAAGAACCAATCAAGAATGCGCCGTCTGCTGAGGAACTAATTCACGCCAAGGAGGCAGGCTTGACGAGACGGGGTGGCCTTCATATCAAGACTGGCCCACCTGCTACCCTCGAAGCAAAGATATCAGCGAGAGACCTTGGGGCAGACAAGGCGTCTCACGAAAACGGGGTCATCAAGCCGCTCAACCTGGCCGACAAGGACCGGAGTTCGAAGGCGACCGAGCCGTTACGTCTGGAAACGCAACCCGAAAGACACTCGGCCACCGAGCAGAAGGACAAGACGCCATATCCCCCGTCGTCAACCAAGACTCGCTCAAGACACGGATCAAGTACCTCTGTCTCATCTATCCCCCCGGAACCTCCAAGGAGGAACTCGAAGAGAAACTCTCTTGGCTTGCTCAGTCGGTCGCAACCACAGTCACCCATCGAGGCGATCAAAAATGAACCAACTCGAGCTTCCAAGGAGTCTCTTCGCCCGCGGCTGGACAGGAAGGCCGTGGGAGCAGCGAAGACATCCAGCGAGAAGCGGAACGCCACGCCACCGAGCATCCGATATGAGAACACTGCTCCTGGTGTGCGCCCAACGCCATTCCCTGCAGACTCTCCGACGTCTCTAACTTCGAGGTTTAACTTCAAGGACACTGCTCGGTCCACCTTCAGTCGCGGAAGCGGATCACAATCATCCTCCTCTCCGACGTCGACCACGAGCAGCGTCTCCAAAGGAGGATATTCGCCGACACTCCCAGCAAGTCCTCTCAAGAACGAGACCATGGCACTGCCCCGAACAGATGTTCAAAAGACGGCAAAACAAACAGACGCTGGTCCTGCCTCGTCCCAGATAAAGATCTCTCGACGCCTCGCCGAGCACGTCGCTACGAATATGGTGCAGTCTTCGGACATCTGGAGGCCCACAACAAGCTCATCCGATGAGTCCTCATACTCGGACGCTCTCCAGTCTGCATCACCCCCGAGTACACCGAATTCGTCCCCACCCCAGTCCGACTCTGAGAATCTTCCGCATATGGCCGGAGGAAAGCACCCTCAATACAGCCCTTGCTGGTCTGCAACCAGTTCGCCGCAGTTTCCTGCATGCGATCGATTCCAACTCTCCGACGCGCCTCAAACCGACGAGGAACTGGACCCTATTGAGGCAGCTTCGAGGAAAGTGATGGAGGCTTTCGCAAACGCTAATCTCCGAAGCCCACCACAGAGCAGACATGAACTCACTTCTTCGGACGAGAGTAGCAGGATGTCACCCTTCACACAGGCACAGCCGCGACTAAGGCACAGAGAGAAGAGCAAGGGCCGCATGAGGCCGTCGGAGCTACAGACCGACAACTTGCCCCAGCTCTCTCGTCCAAAGGCATCTAAGAGCACGCCGAATCTGGATGGGCGCGGCCATAAATCGGCGGTAGCTATTCCCGAATCATCGATGAAATCGAGCCGCCACGGACCCCAAGGTGGCGACCGTGTCGGAAAGCTGTTTGTGGTGTGCTGCGAATGCAAGCGCTACCACGACATACCCATCAAGCTATACAAGGCTATGGCGAACCCCGATGCCGTCTTCACATCTTCCGAGGCGATGGGCTTCGAGGGCAAGGTTTCCATGACGGTGAAGTGCTCGTGGTGCGAACATGAGATGAGCACCAAATGCTGCCCCGGAGTATCGGGAATATTGGCCATTAAGGAGAGATTGCATTGAGAGTATGCTTTTTGATTTGATTGGTTTTGTTGTTTCTTTTGAAGATGGTTTTCTGGCTACGAAGCCGCAGATAACGACACTGCACGACGCACTGATTTCCTTGACCAACCTCTGACGGTTCCGTTTTGTATGGGCGCCGAGAGGGAAAAGATGTTTGGGATATATTCCCAATTCGCGTTTGAGCATGGATGATATTAATTGCTCCCTGTTTGGTTTACTGCCACTATATACCCACTGGCTGGGTTCACATTGGCAGTGGAGGAGGTTCTGTATATGGCCTTACGAAATAATTCGAATGACTTGATGACTATTATGAATGAACATTATTTTCAAGCTCATGGAGCATTGCAGCTTTAAAGCAGCCTTGGAAGTGGATTTTCACGGTTGTCTCTGCATATTTGGAGTGTCATGACGGTACATCTGTGGGGTTGGTTGACGTCACATCACGACCTCCCATACAGGTCAAACTCGGGAGGAATCTTGAGCACTGGTTTTCAGTAAGCAAAATTTCTAGCATTTACTAGCATGCTAGACCGTTTTCTCGAAGTATTTAAGCCGTGTTTGCATTCACGGCCGGTGAGTTGAACCGAAGACGGCCAGGGTGAAGCTCCGAGCATGACGCCGATTTGGCGCTTGTCACCACTAGAATCGACCGAGAGGACGATCTCGAATGGCTGCATTATGATGGAATAATTTGACACAAGCGGACACTTCTGCAGAGCCCTGCAACTGGTTTATCCCCACAGCGATCATGATCGTCCGCGATGTGTGGCCGTTGCCCGTCCTGGTTTGCTGCGCGCCTCTGACGTCAAAGGTGGCAGGGATCTGAATGTGGTGGATTTCCAAGTTTCTCGTACAACTCGGTCACAACACTCATGGAGATGATGATATCAAGACTTTGGAAACATACGTCAGCCAGATTTACTGGGACTATTTCTTTCGACTTTTGCTGTTCTACTGCTGCTGTCAGAAAATACGGACCAAATCTTGGGTCTTGCAACGTCTCTGATCTGCTCTCTATTAATCACGACAACCACAACCACCAACATGTCTGACGAAGAACCGAAAAAGAACACCATCCTCTCCCGCAACAAAGAGGGCACCATGGACGCCACGGCTCTCCTCTGGCACGCCCTCTGCGACAAGCCCAAGACGATCCGCAAGTACATCACCCACGACGCCGTGCTCGCCGAGCCGGACCGGGAAGTCTACTCGCCCAAGACGGAGCCGACACTGAAGGAGTACCTCGAGGACTACTACGAGCCGTGGACGGCCTTCAAGATCCACGACGACCCGGACTTTGTCGAAATCGACCTGATGAGCTCGGCCGTCACGTACCGCGTCACCGCGTGGCGGCTCCAAGGCGGCGAGATGGTTGCGACGGAGGGCTGGTGCTCGACCACGTTTCGGCAAGGGGCCGGAGGTGACTGGAAGTGCTGTGCTCACCACATGGCCGAGATTTGAAGAGATGATAATGGCTAGGCTTTGCTCCGGGATGGGGGGAACTTGTAAGAGATGATGTGGGGGTTGGGATATGACGGCGTTTCGTTTGGTGCGGATCCAGTAACGTCTGTTGGCGATGATGTTCTGTTACGTTATGCCATGGCTTTTATCTTCAATGTATGCAATTTACGGCTGGTGCCAAGATGTAAACTTCAATTTGCAATCAACTAGTTCGCCGTTAGGCGTGATCCGAAGCTTCCTTGGGCGTCATGCCGGGTTTCTTGGAAGAAAACTGACTCGGGACCATGGTTCCCCGCTCGCTCATGTTATCATGCCAAGTGCCAAGGCTTCTAGTTCATTCCACGACCCATACAACGAAACTTCTCCTGCAGCGTTATCTCATCTCATTGATGGTTTATATTTGGCTCCCTTCTAGAAAAGTAAAAGCCCTTTCGCCCGAAGCGGGGGGCCTGCGCAATGCAGGCTCGTGGCACGGGGAGAACATCTGAACGCTTTACTCCTCTTGTGCTCCTTGGCAGAAAGCCTTGACTTACTTAGCGATGCATTCTTATCTTCCGCGGCAAATTAATCCACAGGATGTGGTAATGGATTTACTTCAGTGGAGCTCTACTGAGATCGCGCCTTGTGTCATAAGTCTGGCGATCTTGGCGGCGCTGCTCCGTACGAAGTCTGAGATAGATAGTCCACTCGGTGTAGCATTGGTCATCTTGCAATGTGAAGGTGACATTTGCTTTTGCTAGCCCGATGAATCATTGTAGCCTACAGAGCTTGGCATGTGTAACTGTGCTGGCGTTTGTATACATTGGGTGGCAAGGGGGAGGTTAGAGTTGGATGAGGGAGAACCGTTTAAAACGTCAGCTCTACGTATCTCAGTCCTTTCTCTTTCCTGGGGCGGGGTAATGGTAATCGAGATGGGATTTCATGAGACTCATCCCAAAATCGCAATTAAATCGAGCCTTGGCAAATCCTTCCGGCAAAAGATACCTAGCCTACTTGGTCGCGAACGATGCCGAGCATCGACGGGACTCTTGGAAACTTGCTTATCAAGACAATTACCCCAGCGTCTTTTCTCTTTACTGCATATGCAACTTCTCTGCCCGGGGATAGACTTGGCTTCGTCAAGGTTTTCCTTGGCTCTTTAAGGTCGTCCTTGGCCCCGTTGGCTCGACCTTGGCTTCGCCTGCTTGGTTGGGACTCCATCTGCCCTCGATTTATTCTCTCTTGTCACTTTCTCTGGGCTCACCTAAAATATCCAACCTATTCTTGAGCTTCAATCTGGCGTTAAAAGGTCATACCGTCGACATGGTCAGCGGTTGATATCTCAGCGCCCAACCAGGCCAAAACTCGAAATGCTTTTTTCACTCTGGCAAAGAGAAGCAATGGAGAGTGACTGTGGGCCATGCCGACATTTTTGTTTTAGGAAGGAGCAGCTGACGGATTTCTTGTTCCCTGCAGTCTTGTCATTCTGCATCCCACATTGATGTTCCTTGGCGTTTATAGCCAAGGCAGGCTAACGATTCCGCCAAGGAACGGTCTCTTCTGCCACGCAGCCAGGTCATCGAGGTTCTAGCCTGAGTATGCGATTACACAGTGTTTGTGACGCATTGATGGGAAAGGCTAAAGGCGATCGGCAAGGTCCCGCCTAAGTGGCTCCTGGTTGACGCTTCCTGAAGGATCGACTGGGTTATGAATTCTGCCTTGTCACGATGCCAACGACGATGACACCCTGCATGCCTATCCTCAGACCTTGCCGAGAAGACCCGAGACAATGATGTTCGCATCTAGAGTGCGCCTGTGGTGACCGTCCAGATGGCTCTCCGATGCAACTACGGCACAGCAGACGCCCCTGAGTCTGCTCGCCATTATCTGCCTCTGATGAGATCCAGCTGGCAGGTTAAATTAATAGCAAGGGGCGGGAGTATCCGAGAGATACGCCCAATCTCGCATCTCATGTTCTGGACTTGACAGTGGCGCTTTTGGGCTTCCTGGAGCCTCACAATCGGTCCATCCCCAGATTCCCGTCCCCGGTCTCCAGTCTGATCCCGTCACCCCGGCGCCGGGATTTGTCACAATATTCCCAAGTCACCGCCCTGCTGAGGTGCAGACTTTGTCGTGGCCCCCCTTCAGCCACCAGCGGACCGCATAATGTGATTGACGCCCATCACCCGTACTATTCCGCCACCTCCGCAACGGCTGTGATGATTTCTGTGCAAAGGCCGACCGTTCCGGCGTCATGGCCAATGAAGACATGTAACCGTCCTGCGAGGGATCCGTATTCACCGTACGTGACCCGCGTGTCGCCCGCCAGTAGCCTCAAGTGATGCTGCGTGTTCTTGGGTCCCCTGACAGGCGCTAGAGCGCCCGGAGACGTTATGAGACGCCTGGAGATGCGGCTATGTCAACGGGGCGGATGACGCTGCCTAAGGTCGTATCTAAGAAGCGGAGCCTGGTCCAGGAGTCGGCGATTTAAGCTTATTGTCACGTTTAGAGAGATGATCAGAGATGCAGGTGGACTCAAACTTACGTACAAGGTACCTCCATGCGGGGACTTGTTCTAGAAACAGCGCAGAAGGCTCACATGAGAAATAAGATGATAACAGGGTATGGAGTAATAGCCACAGTTAATTGTTAGGGATCCATCGTATGCGCGTCTCCATCACTGGAAACATACCCCGGCTCTTGCAGCAGCTAACGACATGGTACTTCCTCTAGCTAAGGTATCCTGAAGCTCTAGGCAAAGATAAGACTCTGTGTCTTAACAGTCCAAAGTCTTCGAGAGTGTCCCCACGATTGTGGCAGTGCCTGCGCCGCGCCGTGAAGATGGGCCAAATCATGATGCCGTCCTCTAGTCAACAACAAGCCGTTGTCGAGATCTGATCGAGATCTAATCTCCATGGATGAGGTCACGAGACCACGCAGGACGAACGTCTTGGTGGAGGGTGGAGGCTCTGCTGGCTCTGCTTGAGCTGTCCCCGACCAACCTCTCGCCGGACAACGGCCGGAGCAACCCCCTCGCACTCGCTGGGTCCAACATGCCGCTCTGAGGAGCCATGTGGAAGTCTGGAAACGAATCAACCCAATGGCCGCTTCGCACAGAATGCCTAGAACACCAACATGATCCTTCGACCCTCCAGGACACCCCCTTCTTCCCCTTCCTGGGGTGTGTGCTATGATCGCTTACGTATCTTTCCCGAGAACATCCCAGGGCCGTCTACAGTCGGCTCCTAATATAATCCCAAATGCAGTCCTGTGCGTAGACCCACCCTCGGTGGCCGCAACGGAGTCTTCATGGAGTCCTCGTGGGGCCTTGAAGAACACCACGGCCGCTCATGGGCCAGCATCGCCGCCTCCAAGGCTCGGCGCGCGGGCTCGGTGCCCCAAAAGCAACGAAACCCCGGTCTCCCAAGACCCGGCCAAGGCCCGGCCAAGGCTCCGTTGCCCACTCACAGCCGCCAATTGATGCCGAGCCCACCACGCCGCGTCACTGCTCCGACCGGCCGGATGGCGTGCGAACGGCGAGTGCCCGACCGTCGAGACGCTCCAGATACCCAACGCCGTCTAGAACGGCGCAAACCATGGCCAATTAGCTTTCGTCATGTTACAACATGACACTACCTTCCCGGAGCTGTCACCGGTGGCCTTGGACAGTCCCGGTTCTGGAGGCGGATGAGCCGGCTATGACAACAATACCAAGAACTCCGTCCTATCGCCAAGACACTCGCTCCAATCTCCAACCCCGCCTTTCTGGAAGAAACACAGGAAGCAGAGAAGGAAAATTGGACCGACCTTGGCGTTGCGGGGGTCTTTGGAGTAAACTCATCCTCTAGGAGTCGCGCCATGACGGAGGTGCCAGAGATAACAGCCTGCCTCAACATTTGTCCTGGTCCTCCGCTGGCAACTATAAGATGTCGTCATCCCAACCCTGAGCTCCTCCTGTGTCCCTTCTGTTCCTTCTGTTCCTTGGTGTCTTTCTTCCCATGGATTCTTTGCTTATCCACCCCTGATCGCCAAACTCGAGGCTTCTTGAATCCCCCTCCCAGGAATCCAAGTAGGCTTCAGGGTTATCCGGTACCAGCATACCTTCATTCCTCTCTCACAAGAACCTTACAACAACAGCCCACTACTAGGCTTGCTGACACGCGCTGTCAGTGTCGACCGTAGCCATGGCCCAAGTGGAGGCATCGGAGACTCACGTCTCTGGCCAGAGCAATGCCCCCATGAGTCAGCCTGCTCACGCTCTCTCCTTTAACCAGGTAGCAGAGGAGCTTAAGGCTGATATCATGAATGGTTTGAATGAGACCGAGGCCAGCCAGCGGTTGGAAACGTTTGGAAATAACGATCTCGGTGATGCCGAAGGCATCCAACCCCTCAAGATCATCCTGGCCCAGGTGGCCAACGCCATGACATTAGTGAGTCTTTCTACCTCGGGGTTCTTTTCTTGTTCTTTGTTTGTCTGGCTGTTTTCAACCCCCCCTTACATTGCACCTGTCGTTACTGCCACCATATTCTGTATCCTCGCAACTGGAACCTGCACAGAGGGTTTCTTGTGCTTTGCATAACCCTATCCACATCCTATACCTATATGGATTGAAAGGCTCTGACTAATGCCGCGATAAGGTCTTGATCCTTGCCATGGCCGTCTCTTTTGGTATTAAATCTTGGATCGAAGGCGGTGTTGTCGCCTTCGTCATTATGCTCAACGTCGTCGTCGGATTCTTCCAGGAGTACTCGGCTGAGAAGACCATGGACTCCCTCCGATCTCTCTCATCCCCCACTGCAACCGTTATTCGTGGTGGAGACTCCATGGTTGTTCCCTCTGTCCACATTGTGCCCGGCGACCTTGTGGAAATCAAGGTCGGTGACACAATCCCGGCCGATATCCGGTAAGTAACCTATAGTTTGGTACTTGGCCGGTTGATCTTACTTTGCTAGACTCATCGAGGCTATCAACTTCGAAACGGACGAGGCGATGTTGACCGGCGAGTCCCTGCCAGTCAGGAAGAATGAGGATGCAGTCTTCGAGGATAATACCGGCCCTGGTGATCGTCTCAACGTGGCCTACAGCTCTTCCACTGTTACCAAGGGCCGTGCCAAGGGTATCGTTTTTGCTACTGGCGTTTGCACCGAGATTGGTGCCATTGCCAATGCCCTTCGAAAGAAGGATAGCAAGGTCCGCCCCGTCAAACGTAAGACTGATGGGTCGGCCAAACCGCACCGATATCTCGAGGCTTACACGTTGACTCTCACGGATGCCATTGGTCGCTTCTTGGGTGTCAATGTAGGCACTCCTCTACAGAAGAAGCTTTCCAGGCTGGCTATTCTCCTATTTGGTGTTGCCGTCATCTGTGCCATCATTGTGCTCGCTGCCAATGAATTCGACGGTCACCAACAGGTCGTCATCTACGCCGTTGCCACGGGTCTTTCTATGATCCCAGCTAGTCTGGTCGTCGTCCTGACCATCACTATGGCTGCCGGCACGAAGCGAATGGTGGAACGCAACGTCATTGTTCGAAACCTCAAGTCTCTCGAGGCTCTTGGTGCGGTCACGGATATCTGCTCTGACAAGACCGGTACCCTCACCCAGGGCAAGATGGTGGCTCGCGGCGCTTGGATGCCCGGCAAGGGAACTTACACGATTGAAAATTCGTCTTCTCCCTTCGATCCCACTGTTGGTGATATTCGATACGACCCTCGCCAGCCGCACCATATCCCTTTCAAGCAGGGTGGCGATGCCTGTGGTGTTATTGATACAGCTGCCAACCTGCTTTCACAGAGTGCCAGTGGCCTCACCAGCTTCCTCCAGGTCGCTTCACTAGCCAATCTTGCGACTGTCGTCCAGAAGGATGGCGAGTGGCACGCTCGTGGTGACCCCACTGAGATTGCTATCCAAGTCCTTGCTTCTCGATTCGACTGGAACCGCCTCAAACTCACCAGCCATGATGAGCACAACCAGTACAGCGAGGTCGCCGAACTGCCTTTTGATTCTGACGTCAAGCGCATGTCTGTCATCATGAGGGACAATCGCTCGGGCAAGCTCTTTGCCTTCACCAAAGGCGCTGTTGAACGTGTTATCGGAGCTTGCTCGACCTACTGCCCTACTGATTCGGATGATCAAATCCCTATTACGGACGACTTCCGTGAGGAGATCCTCCGCAACATGGAGGCCTTCGCTGGTATGGGCTTGCGTGTCTTGGCCCTGGCATCGAAGACCTACCACGTCGATCTGAAGAAGGGTGACGAGGTCGACCGTACCACGGTTGAGTGCGACCTTGTCTTCCGTGGTCTCGTTGGCCTTTACGATCCTCCTCGTCCTGAGTCTGCCCCGGCCGTCCGGGAGTGCCACGAGGCCGGCATTTCCGTTCATATGCTTACTGGAGATCATCCCGAAACCGCCAAGGCCATTGCTATTGAGGTCGGGATCCTACCCACTCGAATGGATCTTGTGGCCCATGATATCGCGGCCTCAATGGTCATGACTGCTACCCAGTTCGATGGCCTCTCGGATGATCAAGTCGATCAATTGCCGTTCCTCCCACTTGTAATTGCTCGGTGTGCTCCCAACACCAAGGTCCGAATGATCGAGGCTTTACACCGCCGGAAGAAGTTCTGTGCCATGGTAAGTTGTAGCATCCCAAGAATGATGGGATGTTTGCTGACTAGAATAGACTGGTGATGGTGTCAACGATTCACCCTCGCTTCGCCGTGCTGACGTCGGAATCGCTATGGGCCAGGCTGGTTCTGACGTCGCAAAGGACGCATCCGACATTGTTCTGGCCGACGATAACTTTGCCTCAATTGTTGCGGCAATCGAGGAGGGTCGCCGGATTTTTGATAACATCCAAAAGTTCATTCTTCACGTCCTGGCCACCAATGTCGCACAGGCCTGTGTTCTCCTTGTCGGTCTAGCATTCAAGGACCGAACAGGTCTCTCAGTTTTCCCTCTGGCTCCCGTGCAGATCGTTTGGATTATCATGGCCACCTCTGGTATGCCTGATATGGGTCTCGGTTTTGAGCGTGCCGTGCCCGACATTCTTCGCAGGCCGCCGCAGCCTCTCGAAACCGGCGTGTTCACTCTGGAGCTCATCTGCGACATGATCGTCTACGGCCTTTGGATCGCGGCGCTTTGCCTTGGTTCCTTTGTGTTGCGCCTGTATGCCTGGGGCGACGGTAATCTCGGGGAGGGCTGCAACGAGCGATACAGTGAGGCCTGCGATACCGTGTTCCGATCGCGTGCCACTACCTTTGCCTGCCTCACCTGGTTCTCACTGTTCCTGGCTTGGGAGATGATTGACAAGCGACGGTCCTTCTTCCGCATGCAACCAGGCTCCAAGCTGTACTTCACTCAGTGGATACACGACATTTGGCGCAACCAGTTCCTCTTCTGGGCTATCATGTTCGGCTTTGTGACGCTGTTCCCTCTAATCTACATCCCAGTTATCAGCACCGTCGTCTTCAAGCACAAGGGAATCAGCTGGGAATGGGGCATTGTCTTTGTCTGCGCCGGCTTGTTCTTCGGTGGTGTTGAGCTTTGGAAGTGGGCCAAACGCGTTTTCTTCCGTATCCAAGCCCGTCGGGCCAACGGAGTGAGCTGGAGAGATCTAGATATCGAACAGCGGACGTTCGGAGAATATCTCAGCTCGCCTGGGTCGAGCGATGTCAGTGTTCGTCACGGCCTCGAGAAGGTCCCCGTGCCTCCGCCGGCTGCCACGGCACAGAAGAAGTCTAGTCCTTGAACTCCAAGGCGCGGGCCGGCCCTAGAGTGGTGAGACTTACACATGCAAGGCATCGTCCACTTATCAAGTTCGTATCAAACAATGAAGCAAGGTGCGCCTTTACGATGCGCGACGCAGGACCACGAGACAATGGCATCGTTGGTTCAAGTGGTGGCGGTGCAACAAATCTGAATATAACAGAAAGAGCCATGCTATGCCGGATTATCCGAATCGTGTCAAAGTCCCTCCGAGGGTGAAGATGGCGACGATAACGATGCGACTGGGCGGAAGGTGTGAGGCCAGGAGGATGACGAAGAATGAAACTTGAAGCCAGCCTTATGCAGTGATGGATGGAATTTCGAACCCAAAAGTACCTACCTTAAGGAGCCCAACATACTCCTACAAACTGACCAATTTGGATTCATGAAATTTATGACCAAACAGAGCCATAAGTGTCGGGCCAACGGGACTTTTGTATGAAAAACGTGTGGCGGTGGGCGGTTTAATGTTGATAACTAGCAGCCAAATGACTGGAGTGTATTTCGCCGCAGCAGAGAAAGTCATCCAGGTTGATGTTGGCTACGTAATTTCTAGGGAGCAGCATGATTAAATTACTAGCTAGTACCTGGGAATAGATTCCGAGATACGGTAATTTGGCCATTGGTCTAAGACATGGCTACTTTCAGGCCCGATTACGATCGCCAGCGACTCATTTGTTTTGCGGGCGCCTAAGAGACAGGATAGAAACCTGACAAGGAGGCCTCTTCGTAATCGATTCAAATGGCATGTCTCCCCAAGAACCAAACCACGAAGTGTCTCCCACACCCGGTCGCCAACGGAGCCACTCATTTACATTCGGACCGGCCGGGAACTCGGTGCCGTGCACAACGTCGATACTGTCGCAGCGCCGCCGGGAATCCGTGACGAGACATTCTGTGAGCACTTTGGGAGGCTTGTCCCATTGTATCTCGAGTCGTACGCATTCCCTTCCTCGGCTAGCGGCATTCATCCTTGGCCGCGTCCTTATCATGGCTTACCCGTCCCACTATTTGTCTTGTCTCCTGGGACCTGGGTGTGATGGAACTTGTAGATCAAGGGAGATGGTTCCGGTGCCATCATCGCCTGTGGGGGTGTCCTTGTCCTGAGGCGGCTCGGCACATATCTACCCTTCCTAGTCCTTTCTGGCTCTAGATCCCGTTTGAGCCTCGATCTTTTCTTGGCATATTCAAGTCTATTAAAGCAATGACGCCATTTGAGATGCCTTCTCTAGACATATGCGATCTCAATATTGTCCTTGGGGCGCTGGGTGAGATCACGATGACTTGAATCGAGCAAAATTGTGGCCAAACTGACTCCTATAGGCGCCTTAATTGTCCTCTATGGCCTCATTTCAGTTATGATCAAGCAGGTCTGGTACCTGGGGGTAGCCCGTAAGTTTTACATCGGAATGGAACCTTCGTGCGATAAAAGAATTGACTGACTCTATTTGTACGTAGTCCCGGCAGTGGTGATGGGTATAGCTCTCGGACCAGTAGCAGCAAAGTTCATTGACAGTCAGGAATGGGGCCATGCAGTGAAGGACCAGACGCACGATATCACCTTGGTACGCTTCCTACAGAATGCGGGCATCACTTGCACATCTACAAACGGCGCGGTAATGAATACGATGCTGACTCTCGCAGGGCGTCACACGGGTCATGATCGGACTCCAGCTTGTCATCGCAGGCTACCAGCTCCCATCTCGCTACCTTTGGGTACGGGGGAAAGAAATGGCGATGTGCTTGCTCCCGATCATGACTATGATGTGGCTTGCCACTACGCTTTGTGTTCTAGCAACGACTCCCAAATTGACCATACTCCCCGCTCTCGTCATCGCAGCCTGCGTCACTTGCACGGATCCCGTTCTCTCACAAGCCATTGCAAAGGGCCCGTTTGCCGATATGTTTGTTGCCCGGCCACTGCGAGAAATCATATCCTCCGAGGCCGGTGCCAATGATGGATTCGGGTTCCCGTTTTTGATGATTGCTGTCTACATGATGCGACACGTCCATGATATAGGGGAAGATGGAGGCACCTCGAACGAAATTGAGCTTCTCCCTGCCGAAGGAGTTGGGCGTCTAGGCGCCGGCATTGGCGTCGCCCTTAAGGAATGGTTTCTTGAGACATGGCTCTACATGATCTTGCTGTCTGTCCTATACGGGGCTGTGATTGGATTCGGGTCTTGTAAAGCCATTCGGTTTTGCCTCAAGAAGTATGCCTTCCAACGAACTCAGTCGAACACGGCTAACGGTCTAGGAAATGGATTGACAATGAATCCTATCTTCTCTTCCCCTCTGCGTTGGGGATGTTCATTGTCGGTTCTTGCGGCGCAATCGGGACCGACGACTCTTTGGCCTGCTTCGTGGCCGGGTGTGCGCTCAACTGGGATGACCACTATCTCAAAGAAACCGAGCGGCGCCACGACGAAGTAAACCAGGTTTTTACCGCGCTTCTAAACTTTGGCGGCTTTTTCTACATTGGAACCATCATCCCATGGGCCGAGTTCCATGATCCAGACGGAACTGGCCTCACTATTGGGCGGCTTTTCCTTTTAGGCTTCTTGGTTCTGTTGTTCCGTCGGATCCCAGCTGTTCTTGCCGCGTACAAGCTGATGAAGCCCGTTTGCGCAAACTACAAGGAAGCACTTTTCATGGGCTACTTTGGTCCCATCGGTGCAGGTGCTGTCTTCTACGTCGAATATGCGCGCCGTTTGTTTCCTGATATCGGTGATGGCGATGCCGAGGAAACGCACCTGGTGGAGATCCTCGGGCCAATTGTGTACTGGCTCGTCTTCTTTTCTATTGTTGTTCACGGCTTGTCAATACCCGCGTTGGACATTCTCTACAGGTACCTCGGCGTGAAGCCCATTCACGACGATGCCATCGAGATGTGGTGTTCGTCTGTCCGAGAAGCACTCCCGGCCAACGCTGCAATGACGGGTTCCGATACCCTTATCGCATATAACCGCTTCAGTCGACCGATTGAGGCGGTTGATTTGCCGACTCTTGAGAGCTGGCGAAGGGGTGGGTCATCGGCTGATGACCCGAACACAACGGAGGAGAGAACTGAGATGGAAGAAAAGCGGGAGGAGGGACGAGCGACCATGCGACACGTAATTTAGCGTCGTGATGAACAGGGACGTGATTTGGACATCTGAGAGAACTTCAGACGCTAGCATTGTTGTTCCCTCGTGTGTTTTATTCTTTGAGCGGTCTGCTTTTCCATGCACCATTGGAGCCTTGGGACATCGCGAGAGACCAATTGCCAGGAGCATGCGGAGTATTAAGGGCCTCAAACGTGGCCGTGTGAGTTGTTCCTCCTAGATTAATAGGATAGAATGAAGATAGAGCGGGAACTCGACGTAGGATTTCGGTGGGGCTGCTCACTAGTGACCAACTCATCATGACTCTGACCTTGAGTTGGGTGTAAATCGGCGCCCAAAGGTTAACTTACAGACTCTTTTCCGCGAACTCGAGGATCAGACTCTGATCACTCGTTATACCAGAAACTTCAGAATCACCGCGATCATGACCGCAGCCACAACAACCCCCGCGGCAAAGCTGCAGCGAGAGATGAAGGTCCTCGCACTGGGCCCCATGCGAACCGGAACCGCGTCCATCGCCGAAGCCCTCACCATCCTGGGCTACAAGGACGTATACCACGGCATCAAGGCCCTCGATGACATGGACGACTGGGCCATCTTGGACCGTGCCGCCGATGCCTCGTTCCCTGTGCTCCCCACGTACACGGGCAAGCCTTTTACCCGCGAGCAATGGGACGAGCTCTGGGGGCATTGCGAGGCCGTCACCGACGTGGCCGCCGCCTTCGCGCCACAGCTCATCGAGGCGTATCCTGATGCCAAGGTGCTCCTCGTCGTGCGCGACTTTGACAAGTGGTGGAAGAGCCTCAACGAGAGCGTCATCGGCAATCTCTGGAGCACGTTCGGCCAGTTCTCCATCTCCGTCATCGAGCCGCTCGTCGGCTCGTACTCAGGTGTCGCTTCGCGGAAGCAACTTCTCGGCCTATTCGAGGCACACAACGTCGAAGAGTTGCGGGCAAACGCGCGCGAGGCGTACGACCGTCACCACCGCACGATCCGCGAGATGGTGCCGCCGGGCCAGCTGCTCGAGTACACCATGGGCGAAGGATGGGAGCCGCTCTGCGACTTCCTCGACAAGCCGGAGCCGGACGTCGAGTTCCCGTGGGTTAACGAGGCGGAGGAGCTGCGGCGGGTGATTGTGAGCAAGGTCCAGAAGAACGTGTTGGTTGCCCTCAAGGTAGTTATGCCGTGGGTTGGCAGTGCCATGGCGGTGGGAGTTGGGTCATGGATCATGATGAGGAGGAGCGGGCGTTGATAAGGATTTAAAGATGATAAATAAGGCGTGGGGGTGAGGGGGGTGAGGGGGGGGGCAGGGCATGACGTGATGAGAGACGATAGGGCCATCTAACACAAACATGAGAATATGGCAAACGACAAAGTTGGGCTTCTGGAGCAGGTAGCCGGCATATTGGTGCGGATAGATTACAACTGTACCTTAGATTTAAAAAGATTCACGCTCGGATTTCAGCGCCAGCATCATGCGGTATCGTGTGCCGTGAACATTTCTCATCGGGCCAATCCCGGAACCTCCGTGCCACCGGCGGAGCCATCGACTCTCATTGCTCCGGGCCCGGGACCGGAGGAGTCCCACTCAGCCCCCGCCCACCAACTCCAAGCGTGCTGCTAGCAGAATAGTCTAGATTAGAAGCCGTCCGGATGATATTGAAGGCCCACCAAAGGCGAGGAATGTGTATTTAGCCGTGAGGTGAAGAGCAATAGACTGGGGAATAATGAGGGAGGCAGCGAAAGTTAGTCGAGCCGGACATCATGCCCCATGCCCCAAACTAGTAACACTATGAATATTAACGGCGTTGTTTTTTCTTGATGAAACTAGCCACAAATTCGCCATAGTAGATTATTTGGTATGTCAAATCTTCAGCTTAGTTAACAACACAATTTAAATCCCATGGCAGATGCAGTGTTTTGAGTGAGGCATAATTAACAATAATCCAAGATAGTAGTAGAAACACTGACACGAAGCTAGCTAGGGGCAAGCTGAGATGGACGTAACACATGTGCATACAATTGTCTTACCACATGTATGTAAGGCGTGCATTTAGAAGCATTGTCCTAAAAGGGCAAGGATACATGATCTCATGAGAGTTATCAGGACATGCATGTGCTAGTGGCATTTACAAAATGCCGAGCATGTGTGTATGTAGATCGATGCGGACCAGGGTTGTGGAAAACCTCCCGTCTCCCGAAGATGCATGACGTTCTGGACAGGAGGCAACAGCCTCAGGATGAAACGAGGACAAATTGTCTCATCACACGCCGTAGACGTACGATGTCTGCCACGACATGCACCGCAGAAACATGCGTCTTCCGCCTCTGAGCCCATTCGCACATGCATGCATGGTATCCGTTGCCCCGATGATCCGAAGGCCACGCCACAGCGTGATGCGATGGTTGAAACGAGCACATTTTCAGCGAAAATAGGATCGAGTGTGGGTAGGAGCAAATATCGAGCTCTACTGCCCCTTGCTCGGAACCGGGAGCTGCAAGTCGAGTTGCCGGGTGTGGCGGTCAGTCCCTTTTTCGCAGATGGTGTTGGCGGCATTGGGTTTGTCCACCGGGCTACGGCTGCCAGGTGGTTTCTTTCCCGCGCCTGTAAAGAGAATGAACGGCGAAAGCCATCAGGGTTGTTACCATTCGGTAAGAACTGCGTGCAACATACGACAGGAAAACAGGTATATATATAGGCGGTTGAAGTCTCCGTCTGGTCTTGAGCGTTTTGAACCTCTGTCCCGTTTTCGCGCAGTGGAGCAATGATCACTCCAGCGCTCAGACAGTGAGTCCATGCACCCGTCAAGTGCAAAAGCCCACTAATTAACCCCCTGAAGCCTCACGCCAACCCATCCACCCTAGACCCCGCGGAAGCTGCCACCTCCCCCCGCCGCGGCTCCAATGCTGGGATCAACGACATGCGAGGGACTGGGAACCAGGAACCAGCGAGGACAGCATCGCATTGAACGAGCACGGCCTCGGGTCATGGAAACTGTAGGACGCGGTCTCCTTGTGAGATGAATCGATAGCCCGCTCCCAGGTCGCATCCAGTCTCCCGAGAGATGGTTCCCTGTCCCGGTCCGGGCGATAGGCGAGGGATGGTTCCCCACACCAACAACACCTTTACGCAACATGCCGACAAACACGAGACATCTGACAGCACACACAGAGAGATACTGTAGACACCGGCACACACAGGCACACGGCGGAATCCACTCCTCAACAACTCGGCCCTCGCGACAGCTATTACGAAGCCATCTCTGCGACTCACCGACGGCCGGACCTATGCCCAGTGGATCATCTCCAGCTCCCTCGGCAGCCATTGGAGCGGGTAAAAGCGCTGGCTAAATTGGTCCGTCCCACGAAAGCAAACCCGCTCTTCGATTCAAGCGCCCCCGTCACCGAAAGCCATTGCCCTCCGTAGCGCGGGACTGGCGCAGGCGTTGGAGGCTCCTGAAGGAGAGAGGCGGGAGAGAAATTGGCGGTGCTCGTGGTGCGGTGGTGGGGCCGGCCAGCTCTTCCTGGGTCGAGTCTTGCAGGCCAGGTCTCCCGGCATTGGTGCGAGCTCCCCCTGGCTTGCGGTCCATCGCGGGTTCCGTCAGTGAAGGCGAGGTCAAAGGTACTTGAGATCCAGGTCTAGAAAATGGAGGTGACGGCAGAATTCTGGCTTGAACACGACGCATTCATGCCCTGCGATTCACCGCCTTCGCCAAAACAGGACATACCGTCCTCCTGGGGAACCTGACCTCCAAGTACCCAGAACCTGCCATTACCGTGTGCCCCGCGTCCGTCGTGGGGGTGTGAGTGAGCAGGTGAGAAAACATGGAAGCGCGGCAGGGCGGCATGCGATGGGATGGATTGGATGGACTGCACAGCTCCGTCATGGCTGCCCTCATCAGTCCATCTCGCCATTCTATTTGAGCGGCAGCAGTCGCCTTCATCAGAACATTTCCCCGGCCGGATGGAGACCGGCATCCTGAAAACAACTCCCCCGCCGCGAAAAGATATAAAACGAGCAAAACGTCCCGCGACGATACTCTCACCACACCCACACTGCCGCACGTCACGATAACCCCCCCGTCTCTCAACAACTTGGCTAGCCAGGGACCCTCCTCAAGCCTCACGATACCCACCGAGATCAGGAGCGCAATAAAACCAGGCGCCAATTCCTGATTCCCCTCCTCTCCGTCATCCCTCTCTCACCAATCCAAACCCCAACTCATCCACCCAACCGCAGCAATGGCCAGCGTACGTTCAACCCCCAGTTCGCCGCCCGCTCGGGCATCGTTGCAGATTCGCTGACCGGCACCGCCCGTGTAGAACCTGTCCTTCGTCCTCAACAAGCCCGGTGACGTCTCCTTCGAGGAGCGCCCCAAGCCCACCCTCAAGACCCCCCACGACGTCCTCGTCGCCATCAACTACACCGGCATCTGCGGTTCCGATGTCCACTACTGGGTCCACGGCGCCATTGGCAAGTTCGTTGTCAAGGACCCCATGGTTCTGGGCCACGAGTCGTCCGGTACCATTGTCGAGGTCGGTGAGGCCGTCACCACCCTCAAGGTCGGCGACCGCGTCGCGCTTGAGCCTGGATACCCGTGCCGACGATGCCCCAACTGCACCGCTGGCAAGTACAATCTTTGCCCGGACATGGTCTTCGCCGCCACCCCTCCCTATGACGGCACCCTGACCGGATACTGGGTCGCCCCCTCCGACTTCTGCTTCAAGCTGCCCGACAACGTGTCCCAGCAGGAGGGTGCTCTGATCGAGCCCCTGGCCGTCGCGGTCCACATCGTCAAGCAGGCCAACGTGAAGCCCGGCAACTCGGTCGTCGTCATGGGCGCCGGCCCCGTCGGTCTGCTTTGCGCCGCCGTTGCCAAAGCCTACGGCGCCACCAAGATTGTCAGCGTCGACATTGTCCAGTCCAAGCTCGACTTCGCCAAGGACTTTGCTTCCACCCACATCTACACCTCCCAGCGCATCTCCCCCGAGGAGAACGCAAAGGCGCTGCTGGAGCTCGCCGACCTGCCCGACGGTGCCGACGTCGTCATTGACGCCAGCGGCGCCGAGCCCTCGATCCAGGCCAGCATCCACGTCGTCAAGGTTGGCGGCCACTACGTGCAGGGCGGCATGGGCAAGTCGGACATCACCTTCCCCATCATGGCCATGTGCATCAAGGAGATGACCGTCAGCGGTTCGTTCCGCTACGGCCCCGGCGACTACCCTCTGGCCGTCGAGCTGGTGGCCAGCGGCAAGGTCGACGTCAAGAAGCTCGTCACCGGCACCGTCGAGTTCAAGCAGGCCGAGGAGGCCTTCAAGAAGGTCAAGGAGGGCGAGGCGATCAAGGTGCTGATTGCCGGCCCCAACGAGACTCTGTAAGTTGGCAAAAGCAGACAAGACGGACAGACGGGAATCACGGATGGGAAGAAACGGCGACTCCAACAGACTGGTGAACCTGTCATGTTAGACAGGCGGCAGGCGACAGCTGAGAGTGGATCGGGGATCCTCGCTCACAAACACGGGAGAGCTCAAAATGGCCAAGGCGCCGACTAGGAACTAACTTAGAGCCTGGCAGGGCAGGATGCAGGATGGGCGGCGGCAGGGCCAGGGGCGAAATGCTTGACAGGAACAGGGCTTGACGCCGAGTCCGACGCCAGGCTTTGATGCTGGCCTCGACTGGACAGCTTAAACACAAGCCTACGGCCACGATGGCAATAGGCAAGCCACAAAACGCCATGTGCAATTACAAGTCTATAAGTAGCCAACAAGATACCATGGCCATTTCTGGCACGATTCAAACATGACGCTTACACGAATCATCAATGTTTCAGCAGTGCAGAACCGACTACGTACGTAGGTGCCGAGACTGGCAGTGTCCACAATGCATACCACAGTACCACGTCGGCAAGCTCGTGATGCACAAGCCATGGCCAGATGGATTTAGACTTACTCACTTAGGCTCTCTGGCCTTGTGATATTAACGCCCTGCGATAACGCCCTGCGCATCTAGTTCCGTGTCTAGTTCCGCAGCCTGCAGCAGCCAACAGGGGGTGGCTTCAGCCTTCCTACGACATTGATTCACCTGGGCGCCAAACAAGACTTTGGCTGCAGCGACGACACAGCCTCCATGCTTCGACAACGGCCCAATGAGCAGCGGGCCGGATATAATTGCTGCTGGCAGCGCAGAGCAGTCGGCCGACGGCAGCATTCCGTCTTTGGATGCCCTCACCATGCTCGTGCCGCTGCAATGGCATCCTGCGAAAGGAAACTCCAGACGAGGAGTCCAGGGCATGAGTCCAGGGCCTCATCAGCATCTCCCTGACATCCCGGCACTTGGATATTGGCAGTGGAGCTCGGCTCAAAATCCTGCCGTCTCTCTCCCGTCTGTAAGAGCTCGGCTGTGATGCGTAGCACGAACACGAGCCTATCTATTGTCCCCTCTTTCCCCCAGGTATGTGCATGTATGATCTAGACATACACAGCCCGCCGTTGGCCTCCCGAGATTCCCTAGATCAGATCTGCGCGGGAGAGGCTGGGAACAACAGCCTGTGGGAGTCACTGATAAACAGGCGAGAAGTGGAGAATCAGGTGGGAGATTAGGACGTGATCGAATGAGGAATCGAGTGCGAGCCGCTCGGGCTTAATCCTCCGCTGTGAAACTCTTTTTTAGCATCTGGATGGTCTGGCAGTTGGGCGGACTCGCTTCTTTCGATGCCGGCGTGCCGGACGAGGCCAGGCAAGGGGGTGGCAGATGGAGCCAATATTCAATATTCCAGGCTGGCACTGCCCGCTCCAACGCCTGTGCCGCGCCCTACGGATCGCGACTTGGCCGCTGGCACTTGGCGGCTGGACCTGGTGTGCACTCCACCACCACCTGCACCATGTCCGCCGCAACGCATGGCGCATATCCCGCCGCCCGATTGCCTACGCCGTAACCCAAACCTCCCAACAAGGCTTCACTCGCAGGGCTCCAGGGCTCCCAGGCTTCTAGCCCTCTCCCTCGTCTGAGCCGTTCCCCACCGGCGCCGCCCACGGGGGACATGTCAGTGGCCACCGACGGTGCGGCTGAGGCGCTAACGCCGCTGTCCGGCATAGCGCCAGTGCAAGCCCAGGCCCGGAAATCTGCCTTGGGCTGAGGACCCAGCGCCGTGGCGTTTGATGGGGAATTGTGTATAAGTGCTCGACACGCTCATGTCGAGGGCGCGTTGAGACAGGACTGGGAATTATTTCAAAGTGCGAAAACTTGTGTTGTGTGCTTTGTTGCTTGCCGTGTGATATCGCCTTCAACACCCCGCGACAAGCCCGGGACCAATCAACTTACAAGGTTGACGGCATCAGCATCAGCACTTTATCTCACAAGGATTGCCGAATTCGACCACTTCCCGCCGCCGCAATGGAGTCCGGTCCAATCGAGTCGCATCAGGAAAAGTCCGCCGCCGACAATGTTCTCCAGGCGCCTCTCTGGGTCACCGTCGTCCGCGGTTTCCAGCTTCTCCTCTCCCTCATCATCCTCGCCCTCTGCGCAACGCTGATGCACGATGCCTACCTTCCCGAGGAGGGCTTCTCGCTCGCCATTGTACGTCTCGCACACGCTCATGAGGCCTCATGACATCCCCTCGCCCGAAGCTTTTTTCTAACTTGTGCGTGTCGCAGTCCCTGTTCACCTGGATTGGTGTCGGCTACATCGTCCTTACTTCCAAGATCCCCTCGCTCTACTCGGCCTATAACATCATCGCCGCCATTGTCATCGACGCCCTGCTGATGATCCTGTGGCTGGCTGCCTTTGCTTCCATGGCTGCGCGCCGCGCTGGCTACGTCTACGATGTCACCGTCACCAACTGCTACGATGACGGCAGCCTCCTCGACAGCAAAACCTGCAGCCGCAAGCGCGCCTTTGATCTCGTGGAGCGCAGTAATGTCATCCTCTTCAAGAGTGGTCTCGCCATGACTGCTGCCATTGCCGGTCTTGGCGCCCTGGTCTGGTAAGTTGCCTGACGAACATGAGTAATACCCAAGTCAACTAACACCCTGGATAGGGTCCTCTTCGTCGCTTGCTTTGTCTGGACCCTGATCATGTTCCTCCGTGGCCGCAAGGAGGGCCGCTTCGCCATGGGCAGCACCACTCCCGCCACCCCCAACAACAACTACCAGATGGAGAACAAGGTCGCCGAGTCCACGCCCATGTCGCCCCAGACCTACCCCAGCCAGACCCAGCCTCCTCCTCCCCCTCCCCCCATGGACTTCCAGGACGCCCAGGGCCAATACCAGCAGCCCGGATACCCTCCCCAGGGACAACCCTACCAGCAGCCCCAGAGCCCTTATCAGCAACAGCCGGCCTATGCTCCTCCCCAGGACCAGCAGAACTTTGGCCAATATCCTCCCCAGCAGCAGCCCTACCAGCAGCCCATCTCACCCCAGATGACCGGCCAGAGCCAGCCCGTTTCTACCGTCTACAGCAGTGAGCTGGACGGCCACAACCAGTACCAGACTCCCGCCGCTGTGTCTCCTCCTCCCCAGCAGTACCAGCAGCCTTATCCCCCTCAGCACTAGAGTGGGTGATGAAAATATGAGCTGTACGAACAAATATGGAGGCATTGGCGCGCGGAGTTTGTTTTAGATTTTGCAACTGGGTACACGCAAGCAGCACATGCTGATGTTCGGAAATTGGGACTAAGAAGCTCGGGGATGTCGATATCTATTTCATGTTATCTTGAACACATAATTAAATAAAACACGATCCATAAACTAGCTGCTAAATGACTCCTTTCTGTTGTGGTGAAATCCAGTCCTTCTATAGAGGCTATAGCTTTGTTGTAAAGATGTGAGTGCTGTAGCGAGATGCGCCTTCGGCTCCAGCAGATAGTACTCAAACACTCAAGACTAACACCAGACTAACACCACATGCCCTCAATTCAATTGAATTCAACCTCAGCTCAAGATTCCGAACATAAATATCAATACATCTCAAACTCAACCCCTCTCATAACGTTGCATCGGAGACAGGCGGTGGTGCAACTTAACCTCCGAGCCGGCCCGGAAACAGAAGGCGGTCAGCCCTTTCTGCCATGCCGATGGCCTCACGTCGTGCAACCCGCAAGCTCCTCATCCGCTAGCTCCCCGAGCAGCGCAGAAACCCGCCCCGACGAGCCCGCGATCCCGTCGCCGACCTGCAGAACAAACCGCCCGCTCCGAACCCCCGACGATCGAAACTTCCGCCTGGGAGTCTTCCAGCGCGCCAACTCGAACCCCGGATCCGCAATTCGTCCCATGGCCGCCATGGCCGCCCAGAACCCGCCCGCAGAGAGGGAGAAGCTCGGAGTGCCCTCACGGAATCCCCTGCCTCTCTCGGCCTCGCAGGAGGCCCAGGTCCGAGATATCTATTACCAGAGAGTACGGAGCCTATGCGCCGAGGAAATCAAGGGTGAGTCGATCGCCGCCCGGCATCCCGCAGACACCGCCATAGCACCACATCAGACCACCCCGCCGGAGTCGGACTCTTTTTCTCAGGGACCGACCACCATGAATCCTCCTGCTAACGCCTGATTCCTGATTAGCCTTCGCTGCATGCGCCCTCGGCCGAACCTTTACCGTCTCATTCGTTTGCCGCCCCGAGCACCGGGTCATGAACAACTGCATGAAGCTTCACGCCACCCAGGACGAGCACGACGCCGCCCGCGTGGAGTGGTTCTCGATGCGTCTGGAGCGCCAGCGCGAGCGCGAGCGCAAGAACAAGGTGGCCGCCGCCCAAGAGGAGTTTATGCGCGAGTGGTGGGGTCTGCCCGAGCACGTGCGGCTATCACGACAGAAGGAGATGGAGCAGCGCGGGGAGAGGATACATGGGTTGACGACCAAGGACCGGCCACCGATGGAAGGTGAGAAGTCAAAATAAACGAATGTGAGGGGATTGTATGACAGGGAGCGGTGGTTGATGTTGCATCTGTGGCGTTCTTGGGAGGATCTTGAAATCTACGCCGCTCTGATATATGGGGGCATTGTACAGTTGACAACAGAAGTTGAGCGGGTATGTGTACGAATAACAAAAGATAAAGACAAGACAAAGACAAAGACGAGAGACAAAATACTTCTATGGAAGAAGAGCAAAAGACACTGGTCCCAAATGTGGACGCCAGCCTCGGGAATAAGTGGGATATGCGGGCGAATCCTTCTGATCGAGGCAGATCACTCTCAGGGGTCAGTTATCGTATATTATGCGCAACCAATCAGCTGTATTAGACAGGCAGATGTCGACATGGGCTTGGAATGTGTTATTATATCTATGTGAAATCGACACAGGTTGGCTTGTGTATAGGGTATTAAACCTGACAGAAGAAGGGAAGGGTTTTAGGTCGGGCGTGTTTAGAGTAACTTGCATTCACATCTTACCTGTATACATATTTTCCCATGGGCCATGCAAAACAGTCGTTTTTCAGACCAGATGTGTCGAAATTTGCGCAGAGGTAGATAGTTTCGTGGTCCTCTCATGTAACACAAAGTTTAAAGTTATGGTGCCGTCATCACCGTCGTGTAAAGCTTATTTAACAACTTATAAGCTAAACTAACTCCCTTTGACGACGCAATATATGGCTTGAGACGAAGGGTGATTGCAGTCATAATGCGGCATCTAGGGCATAGAAAGCTGGCCGTATGACGAGCGAAAAGGTGCTCCGCGTCGGCGTGGAATGTTGGCAGAAGCGGATCAAAGTTTCGGCAACCGAAAGCCTCTTAGCCAGGAAATCTAAGCGGATCAATTACTACGTATAGTAGTTGTCCACCTTGGCATGCACATTTGTCATGTTCAGATCGGTGACCAAGACTTGAAAGTATATCTTGGTGAGATCTTTACTGGTTGATGAGATGCAACCCTGCAATCTGAAAAGCTTAGATATGGTAAGAGCACGATACCAGATCCCTAGCTGTAAACCTTTCGGTAAAAGAAACCGCTTTCGTTCCGGATCCCAGGTTAGAGATCTTATTATACGCATATAATTGACGGCATCTACATGCATGGGAACAGCCGAGACAGCTACCGACACTGTAACCGGGCGTTTGTGGGTGAGTGAATGTGCATCTCGCCACCCGGCTATACGGTCTGGAGGCTTTTGCGTTGCATGCTTTAATAACTTCTCTCAAGTAGGAAGGCGGGACTTTGACAATCGTGTCAGGTCACTTTGGGACCCCACTACATCGCATCATGTTGCTTCAATGTTTGTCGGAAAGGTGGGGATGGGCTACGTAACGTTCGGAGGATCCCGAAGCGTTGAACTGTTGCAAAGAAAGCCTCAAGTTTTTATCGTACGAATAAATAAGGACTTGTGGGAGAAAGGATATCCGGGTTATCCCACATCAACGCCGATCCTAGCATGAGAGCCACGTGGAGTCAGTCTCAGAGCAGGAAACGTCTAGGAAACTCTACCAATACTACATAGCCAACGCGGGACATGGTTTCGAGATAAAAGCGCACCTTGAATAGTCAGCATTTAAGAGTATGAGCACGCGATCTCGGAAGCAAGCGCGCGGGAGCGGAGGCAGTAGGGTGGTATTGCGTGGAGCCTCGGGGATGTTCCTGTTTTGATGGCCCTCCGGAGTAAGAGAGCGGCGTCGCATGGACGGTCGTACGCCGTTCTGGTTCAATAGGACCGAAGTCAGGGTCCGTGGTTTTAATTCAATGGATCAACGGCAGTTGGCATCCTAGAACTCGGAAAGCTTATGCTCGGAATTCGCAATTGTTCGGAAGTGTGTCTAGTACGCGACAAGCTACGCAAGTCAGGTCTTGGTACTTGAGATAAGTATAAAAGCTGAAAGAGCCCCGAATCACTTGAAAGAAATTTCGTCAGGTTATGCTCTGATCCTTATTAGCCAGCAACTCTACCGATTATCCTCTTCATCATGTCACGAATCGTACCCCTACCTCATCTCTTGACGACGTCCACGCTGGACCCGTCATTTGAGGATGATATGCGCAACACTCGCATTCTATACGACTACAACGGACGAGATGAAAACGGCAACCCAGCCAAATGGCGTTACGAGTGTTGGATCTTCTCAGATACTCGCCTCGTGTATAAAATCCACGGCGGCCCATTCGCCGGGCGTCTCAACTACCAAGCCGTCTCATACCAATGCATCCGACCCGGACACCTCTGGCAAATCAACTGGCTCGAGGAGACGGGCACCGTCGTGTCTCTGGTGTACGACATCCCCGGCAAGCAGGTGACGGCCCTGCTTGCCTTCTCCAAGGGGCACTGGGAACAGGCCGAGGCAGCCCGCGGCGACAAGAGGATTGCGGACGACTTCCAGCGGTGGAGGGATCTGGCAAAGCAGGGCACGCAGACGGACAGGTTCATGCTGTCGATGCAGGCCGAGATTGTTGAAAAGCACAAGGGCGGCGGTGACCTCGTGCCTATTCTCGAGACGGACCCTACGTTTTAGTGGGATGAGGAGGAGGTGTTAGTAGGGTACAATTGGGATATTTGAAAGCGACGAGATGGCGCATAGATATGGCCGGAAAGAAATTATGTTGAATTCATCAATTCGAGTTTGTTGCAGCAATTGTGAGACTGGGTTGCGATTACTCCGTAGAGCTACTATCGTGGGAAGTTTTGGATGACCCCACTTGCGCGGGATGGTCCCCATGGTCTGATCTCTGACCGTCCTCGTCCCTGGTGCTATCTTAACTTACCAGTCACACAGAAGGACCTAACTCACGGAATAACAAAAGTGCGAGACCTGCTGTAACGAAGCGCTTCGACATGCTGACAGGTCATGAGCGATCAATTGGCCGTTGCTCTTCCCGCAATGCGACAGTCATTGCGGGTGAATGCGGTGGAGTTGGTCAGGTCTCAACAGCAGTGGTTGACTCGGGCAAGAGACTCCAATCTTCGCTCGCTCCGGGTTATTTCGGTATTCGTCATAATCGCAGCAATCGAAACGGGCATGAGACAGGCCCAATGCCGACGCCGCGAATGTTTTCCCTTGTGACTGACTCTTGGAAAGGCGGTCGAGAACAGGCGACGTATAAGAGGCCAGCGTGCTGGGGGCCGACGGGAATAAGAGGGGCCGCGTGGGAGTCTCCCGCAGAGCATGCCGCCAGTCGGTGTGGGCCTGGTGGTGATTGGAGGTGAGTTTGTGAATGGCACCATGTTGTTGATCTAGATGGATGCGGGCTTGTTACTGGACTGTTGTTCTGCTTGGTGGCATTCTGTTTGGTGGCATTCTGCTTTGTTGTCGTGTCGTGGTCGACAGCTGCGAACTGTGCTGCAAACTAGGACTGCAAACTGTTCTGCAAACCACGTCTGCAAGCTGTTCTGCACTCATTTCTGCAAACTCATCTGCAATCATTTCTGTAATCCCTCCTCCAGCCATTCAATCCCCCGTGCTGGTGATCTCACTCTCCCGCTAACCATCCATCCCGTACCGCTGCCTCCCAACCCATCACGCAGCGCCCGCATCACCCATCACCCATCACACGCCCAACATCAAATCACAACCCCCTCAACCCATCTCCCACCCGCCCGCGACCCAGGAAGTGCAAAACCCTTCCCCATCCTCATTTCATCCCGCGGCGCCCAATCGCATCGCCGCCCCCGTCCCCCTCTGCGCGCCTCCTCCGCTCGTTGCGCGAGCCCCGGCGCTTAGGCCTGCAGTGTGATACGGCTCCCCATTGGCGGCCCGCCCACGCCGGCGTTGCTATTTTGGGTCCGCTTCGACACCCCGGTGCAGCTTTCGCAGCGTGCACCGTCGCTGCGAGCGCTTAATGGGCTCGTCCGAGGGAATTGGAAGACGGGCTTCGTCAATTCTGCCCGAGGATTGGAGCAGAGCGGAGGGCATATAATATCTGGGGGCGGGCATCGCTGCTCCTGGGGAGCGTCTCTTAGATCTCGTCTCTTAGATCTCTCTTCCCTTGTTGACATCGTCCCAGAACGAACATTCGACCTGGATATTCAACCTGGACATGACCATGAAGCGGTAGCAGAGCTTGACCCCGCCTCTCTTGAATCTCGTTGTTGCTGCTTTGCTCTTTTTATTTTGATACCCCATCCATCGCCTTCTCCCCGGACACCAATACCGGACACCAATACCGCGACCCTTCTTCTGAGAAGACTTCTTCCGAGAAGAAGTACACTACACCCGCTACATCACTCTGTTTGAAACAGACAATCCTCGAAACAATGTCGACCCCGACACCCGGAGGCTTCTCGCTCTTCCCCAGCCCGAGCTCCTCCAAGCCGCCGCCCGTCAACCGGAACCAGACCCCGCGACCCCGCCGCTCCGAGTCCCGCGAGCGCCGAGCGCCCACACCGCAAGGACGCCGCACGCCAACGCCGCATGCTGTATCAACCGAAGTCTTCCAGTCGTCCTCACAGCTGGACTTGTCGTCTCCTCAAAATGCCACCGGCGATGAGCCCCAGAGCCAAAGCCAGAGCCAGAGCCAGAGTCAGAACCAGCATCGAGCACCTACCCCGGTTCAATTCGAGCCCCCCCGCCAACACCAACACCACCAACACCACCAACGCCATGACAGCCAAGCAGAAGCCGGCCCCTCATCAGCAATGAGAAGCCAAGATGCGCCCGTCCAACAACCTCGTCCCGCCGCAGACGCCCCCATCCGGGCCGAGACGGCCTTCTCCGAGGCCAACACGCTCGTCCGCAGCTCCAGCGCCCGGTCCCGGAGCTCAATAGCCAAGCTGCCGCTCTTCGACGAAGCATCCCCGTCGACCCAGCAGCCCCTGCGGTCCATCTTCCCGACGTACAACCCGGACGTGCCCCTGGGCCAGCAGAACTACGTCCCGACCCAGATGAGCCCCACGCGCATCCCCCGCGCCGTCATCAGCCGGCAGACGTACCACGAGAACCAGCCCGCCCAGAGCCCGCCCTTCCGGAGCCCCGTCCGCAGCCCCATGAGCGCCGGCTCCAACAAGTGGCCGCGGAGGGCGCCCCATGAACCTCCCATCATCCCCACGACGTGCACCACCGAGCAGCTCAAGAGCCTGTGGAAGGTGGCCAACGGGTGGAAGGCCTCGCCGTCCGAGGGCCGCGTCTACTGCATGAAGATGACCCAGGAGAAGGACGCGCCTGTGTATACCCTCTCCTCCACCACCCAGCCGTTTTACAACCTTCGCCTGGACCCCACGTCGGCGTCGGCGTACGTCACCCTCACCAGGCACGACCCCAGCAAGACGTACAAGGCCCCCAAGGCAGCAGACGCCCCCAGCTCGTCGGCAAGCAGCATCATCAGCGGCGTCGTCGGCCACGGCAGCGGCCGCTCCAGCAGCCGGAGCAGCAAGATCACCGACAGCAAGCACTGGCACGAGGCCCTCACCACCACCCTCGAGGAGGAGTCCCGCAAGCACCCGCCCAACGACGGGCTCGTGGCGCTCCTCATGCCCGTGCCCGCCACCAAGGCGGCCATTGAAAAGTCGGCCGATCCCAACGTGGTCATGATGGCGGAGCGGGAGTGTGCGCGCCTCGTCTGGGACGAGGACAGTTCCAACCACTTCCTGGTGCACCCGGCGCTGGCCACGCCCTTCTGCGTCACCATCGAGCGCTCCCCGGCGTGGTCCCGGGTCGAGTACACGCTCGAGCACCACGAGTCGCCGCAGCACCTGGCCAAGCTGACGCGCGACGGCACCGGCAGCGGGTGGCTGGAGCTGGACACGGGCATCGCGTCCAAGATCGAGTCCTTCTTCCTGGTCGACGTGGCCGTCACCGCGCTGCTGCTCGTGGCCGCCGCCGACGAGAAGAACATGCCCGCCGCCGTCGAGGCGTTTGCGCCGCCGCCGCCCCTCATCCTGTCGGCCAAGCAGGAGAAGCGGCTGAGCAAGATGAGCAAGCGCGAGGAGAAGAAGCGCCGCAAGATGGAGTCGTTTGAGATTGACGTCGAGAGCCAGAACGACAGCCTGGACAAGCTCAAGAGCAAAGCCAAGGACGTCGAGAGTAAGCTGCCGTGGCCGGTGCGGATAATAGTCAAGATCGCCAAGGGGGTTTTCGCATGCATCATCTGGGCGCTCACCATTGCTTTCAAGTGTGCCAGTGGCGTCTTCAAGCTGCTGTATAAGTGCGTGGGCTCCAAGTATTAATCGGAGAGCGATTGAGGTACCGCAAGACCGGTCCTCGTGGACATAATCAGCAAGAGTTATCAGTCCTCTTTCACGTATTTCGGGACAGCAGGCCAGGGAGCCAACTAGTCCTTCGTTTGAATGTATCATGTAGAATCATAAAACCCGCGGCGTTAGGGGTATCGATTAGCCTTTTTTCGAAGAGCGAGCACAGCGACGAGACACGAGAATAAAAAACAAAAAGACATTTAAAAAAAATCATGATATCCCCATTCTACCGCTTTCGTGTCCGCACCATAATCTTCTTCCCTTTGCGAGTTTGGCCGCCCGAGGTTGCCGTCTTGGCCATCTTTGCGCGCTGGACCTCGAGGGCCGACTCGACGTCGCTCAGGGCCTTGAGCTTTTTTTGCGCAAGCTCGAGTTGGCGACGTAGCCGCCGGAGGGCCTTGGCGCGCTCGAGTTCTGCGTCGTCTCCCTCCTTGTTCTCGGGTTTCTCGTCTGCGTCTTCGTCTTGCTCCATCTGGTCCTGTATTACCTCCTCCCTCTCATCTTCGTCGTCCATAAACACAATCTTCCTCGGTGCCTTTGGTTTTGAGGGCATTGAAAAGTCGAACTCGTCGTCGGAGTCGTCCTCTTGTTGGTCTTCCTCGTCGAGCTTGTCGAATCCTCGGGTCAAGACAATCTGTTCCTCTAGCCTGGCGACCTCCTTCGCAACAACCTGCTTCATGGTTCGAGCGTAGCCGATATCTTGCGTCTTGAGCAGCCGGACAGTATCGATATCCATTGCCTTGTTCCCACGGTCGCCCTCGACGGTTCCAGTCCATCTTCGGCCATCCATGATACGGGACCCGGGTCCCTTGCGGGACAGCATGCCGAAGTAGAACTCATCCTCGTTGCGCTCGGAGGCCTTCTCGCGGAGGGCCTTTAGCTGGGCCTTTTTCTTGTTGAAGTCCTTGGCTCGGAGGGTGTAATCCTGTGAAGCAGAGTCAGTTGCCGGCGCTGGGAGAATGGCGGGGTGGGCATGCGGCGGACCTTGTGCTTTTCGAGGAGACCAAGCCGGCGGCGCTCCAGCGGCTGAGCTCGTTCTCGGTGAGGGCGCCGCTGGACGGCATTTCGCATAGACGACATGGCGGCGGTCGTGTTCGTACAGGCGGAGGGCGACTGGTCGGTTGCTACCTGACGGATTGAACTATGCGAGCAATTCTCCAAACTCAACTGGTCGGCAGAATTTTGAAATTTTTGGCGGTGAGGCGGTAGGTGTGGCGTAGCTCTGGTCTGTCACCAGCCACAGAGAAGTGGGTCCCGATGCAAGGGACGCAAGGCGATACGAGCTCCGAGACTTAGCGCGGAGCTGAGGCAAAGGATCGCCAGATGTGCAAACCACGGACCATGTGAAATACTGGATAGTTTCAATAGGAGTTTCATACGGCAGTTTGGTGCAAAACAGGTGATGGGGAAATGGCGATCAAAATGCCCTAAAATGCACCAAAAAGAAGCTAACGAACGACAGAAGCTTGTTCTTCTTTCTACATCTCGTGTTACATTTTTCTTGCCCTCAAGCCTTAAGGCTGATATTGTGAACTGCCTGCCATGTCCCGAAAATGAGCACTGCACACTACGAATGCACCAAGAAGCCCAAGCATTCACTAGCCATTTAGTGTGACGGCCACTTTTGTCAATCAGCGATTTGGCCCCGCCCGCCAGGGGCCCTGTCTTCCCCCTACCACGTATTCCACGGATACGCGTTAGTTAGCATCAACCTTGAACTCACGACAAAACACGACAAACGGACTAAAAATAACCGCTCCACCGGTAGCACACGTACCACGGGCCGCTATGGACTCGTTCAGCCTCAAGTTGAGCTTCCGAGCCAGCTCGACTTTTGCTCCTGTGGCCACGACGCAGGCGGTTCGTGCCCCCTTTTCCCGCCGCCGGTCTCGATCGCCGTGATTAAGAATCCGCCAAGCGTCAGCACTGCATCGAGTGAGACGGAGGCACAAAGAACGCCCCTGCTAGGGGCCTCTCAACCGCACATTCCCCTGTCCGCGGAGGGCTAACCCCTGGCATGAGGTCAGTGTCTCACTCACCCCGCGCGGAACGCGTGTCCGGAGTGGGTAATCCGCACACTGCATCCACCCTCATCCATCAGCGATCAAGGGAGGTCATCTCGGCCCCTTCCCTGAACCAGGTCCAGATCCTGGCAATGGATCGGTACCTTGGTCTGCGTAGCACTGTGTAGCACTAACTTTGCAGGATTGCAGCACTATAGCACTGTGTAGCACTATGTGGGTAGCAACGGGAACCTGGCGTCATGGAGCTGTTGGTTGTGCTGACTCGGACCTGTCCTCAAAACCAAACCGGGCCCTCGGTTGTCCGTCTGCTTCACACTCTTGTCACTCCTTTCTGTGCTTCCTTTCCTTGTATTCGACCATCTTTTTATAATTGTGCGTGTCATTCCGAACCATGGCCGTTGCCCTGCCATTCAATGCCACGAGGGTCGCCGTCGTGCTTCTCATGGTCATCATCCTACTAGTCGGCTACTTCAGCAACGTATCAAGGCCACTCTTCACCCACGAGGCCACCCCGATCGAATTCGTAGCCAGCTCCTACAGCTGGGCAAACCACACCCTGAAGCATGCCATCCCCGAGAAGGAAATGACCCAACTGCCCGGTGGCGACCCCGTCGAGCTCCCGGCCATCCAGCACCTGTTCTTCACGCCTCCCGAGAACGAAGACGACATCAAGTCCCTCGAGGACAAGCGCGACGACATCAGGCGCGCCTTCCGCCAGACGTGGACTTCGTACGAGGAGCATGCCTGGGGTCGCGACGAACTGAAGCCCCTCAGCATGGAGGGCCACGATTCTCTGGGCGGTTGGGCGGCGTCCATGATCGATGGGCTTGACACGCTGTGGCTCATGGACATGAAGCCAGAGTTTGAGCGGGCCACCAGATACGTCGCCCATCTCGACTGGGACAACTCCACCAGCGAGAGCTGCAACCTCTTCGAGACCAACATTCGATATCTCGGCGGCCTGCTCTCCGCCTACGAGCTAAGCGGTGAGGGCGTCCTTCTCTCCAAGGCCATCGAGATCGGCGACCTGCTGTACGCCGCCTTCGACAACTACGAGCACATGCCTCCGCACACCATCAGCTTCCAGGATCTCAAGCTCGGCAGGGGGCACCCGGCGGAGACGCAGAGCAGCGCCGGGCTGGGCAGCATGAGCCTCGAATTCACCCGCCTCACGCAATTGACCGGCAACGCCAAATACTACGACGCCATCGCCCGCATCTCCAAGGCCTTCGACCGGACCCAGAACTCGACCCTCATCCCCGGCATGTGGCCTGTGCAGATCGACGTGCTGCACGACTTCCAGGTCAAGGACGACTCTTTCAGCCTCGGGGCGGACGGCGACTCGCTGTACGAGTATCTGGTCAAGGAGTTTGTGCTTCTCCGGGGCCGAGAGCCCATGTACGAAAAGATGTACCTCGACGCCGCGGACGCCATCCTCAAGAACTTGGCATTCCGACCAATGCTGCCAAACAAGGATGACCTACTCATGCTGGGCAAGGTCGACGTCGTTGGCGGGGACATTGTCAATTTGCGCCCTGTCCTCGAGCACCTATCCTGCTTCGCGGGAGGCATGTTCGCCATCGGAGGCAAGGTCTTTGGGCACCAAGAGCACATTGTCATTGGCGACAAGCTGGCTCGCGGCTGTGCCTACGCCTACGCCGCCTTCCCCAACGGCATCATGCCCGAGATTTCGACTCTCTCCGCCTGTCCTACGCTAGACCCCTGTGAATTCCGCTCCACGTCCATCCGAGCCACCCCCGACGGCTTCAAGTCCAAGGACAAGCGCTACATCCTGCGCCCGGAAGCCATCGAGAGCATCTTCATCCTCTACCGCATCACGGGCAACGAGGAGTACCGAGAGATTGCGTGGACCATGTGGACAGCCATCAAGAAGGCCACCAAGACGGGGCACGGCACATTCGCCGAGGTCAAGGACGTCACCAGAGAGGAGCTGACGCACACCGATTCCATGGAGAGCTTCTGGATGGCCGAGACGCTCAAGTACTTTTACCTCATCTTCTCCGACGAAAACGTCCTTCACCTGGATGAGTGGGTGTTCAACACGGAGGGACATGCCTTCAGATGGTCAAAATAGACACTGACCCAGGATGGGCCACGGCAGATTCAAAGGTTATGGCAAAGTGTACTGGTACCCGCGAAAAGACGGAAAGGCGTTTTTGGTGGCTTCGGATAGGGCAATGGAACGGCTGATATTGTGATTTCATGCGGGTCGGTAGTGGTAGGAAGCCTCCTGGCAGGCTTATCTATGTGCAAATAAACATAATTGATACCCTCTCATGCACCAGCCGCCGCGAATCAGCGTCACGCCGCTTCCGCGACCGCACCCTCCTTGGACTCTTTGGCAACCGGGTCCTCACCGCTCACGGGGACGACGTCCGCCGGCCGCAGCTCGGCGCCCTCCCAGGACCATCCGCCAACGGCAGCGAGCACGTCGTCCTGGTCACTCTGTAGGTGTGCTGCCTCGCGGGGCTTGTCTGGGGCGCCTGCAGTGGGATCAGCATCGGGGCGGCGTCAGGTGTTCGGAGTTCCACGGGATATACGCACCGGCTGGCATGTTTTGTCCGCCTTTGGATGACATATTATGAAAGGAGCGTTGGGGATTTAATAGTGCGAATTTCTCTAAAAAAGAATGCGCAATGTTCAATTGGGATTGGCGACTGCCTATTGCTGGTGCCATTCTGTGCCGCGCTACAATCATATATACTGCCGACGCTGCTGAGTATTTACTCCCCTTCTGCTCGTCGCTTACTCAATTGGGCTCTTCTACTCAAGGGCCTCACGAACCTCAAGAGAGCGGCCTGAGTATGAAGCTCGCTTGATAGAGCAATGCTCCGCTTTGGCTTGGAGCAGCACAAGGTTGCTCGCGACGCAACTCGCGGGGCAAGCCAAGCAAGCGAAGCAAGCCATCCTCTGTATGTACAAGGTCATGTCCCCCAGGTTGAGCAGCAAGAAAAAGAAAGTCCAACACGGTGTTATCGGCTGGTGGGTCAGCGCTACTGCACAACGAGCGATCAATGGCGATGCTGGCCTGACCAACACCGGTGTTGGCGAGCCACGCAGCGGGGGGTAGCAAATCAGAAGCCTCATCACACGTCTTCACAAAGTGACGTGTGGTTTTCTCCGCTCATTCCTCCCGTTGGAGTACGTTGCTCATGGCCTCGAGCTCAAAGCGGCGCCGGAGCTCAACACGCCACGCGCAAATGAGTTGGCCGCCCCATGCGAGCCACAATGCTCGGTACCGCTCTTCAGTCGGAGAGGGGAGTACCCAGCAGAGCCGCATTGCTCTTTTTTGGAGGAGTAGGTTACTCATTTTCTTTGGAGTAACCTGCTCCCTGCACCTAGTGCATTAGTCTGGGGGAAAGAAGGATATAGGCCAACCATCATTGAGTGGCGTCGCCGCAGGACAACTTGGTGATCCAAACAGGATTGCGCACAGAAGTCGGGAAAAGAGGGGAAGCCTGTCTCGTCAAATGATTAAGTAGCACTTAGATTGAGGGGGGGGGCGCGAACCATTCTTTTTTGCCTTTATTCTCCTCATTGCCTCGTGTCGTCTCCTCTATCACATCAAAGTGCATGAGTGCACAAGTGCACCATGGCGACCAAGACCCCAAATCTCGACTCCTACACGGAGCTTTGCTCCTTTCGTAGAGGCGCCTCGCGCGCCAATGAGGCTGGGTTGAGGGCCAATGATCATCTTAAAAGAGCCCTCTCCGAGATTGATGGGCTCTTGGCCGGTCTCAGCTACCTCGACGAGACGGATCCCTTGGCCCCAAGACCAGGAAAAGCCCCGGCCGACGCCATCGAACTCGAGCTCGATGGCTTCCTAAGCCGAGAATCCCCTTCGGAGCCTGCAGCCACCTACCAAAACCAGGGCGATAACACGACAAATCCGGGGCCGAAGACGCGGAGTACTGGCTGGTCCTGCGTCCGAAACGTTCGAGACGGCATGAATCGGCAATGGCAGCAATTCAACGACCTGGCAAGCGAGCTCAACAATGACGCCATCAACAAAATTCGTGGAGATTACGGCAACGCCAAAGGCCTGCGCGAAACCGGCGTTTTTGCGTTCCGCAACACCTTGACAGGCCCGGCGCCGAATGACTTGCGAAAAGTCTTTGCCTTCACTAGCCTGTCCTATGTTGTGACGTGCCTTCTTCGCGAACTGGGTAGTTTGCCCAAAGAAGAAAAGGTGCTGTCGGGCATCCAGGTCTGGATGAATGCGATCCAGGACAGCAAGGAACGGCGAGCTTTCACCATCCTCGCTAGCCATCTCTGGCCAGAGGCCAAGAACTACATCCACTTCTTTGACCTTGAGACGCCTGAACCAAAGCAGACTGGAGCGACACTTCGCAGAGATCAATGGACTGGCCCTAGTGATAGTCTCGATGCTATTCTGTGTCAGCACATGCCGCCCATTGGCAACGACATCGGTTCAATGATGTCCTCGGCAAATCCCTTCCAGCCAGTCGCCATTCCCGTGTCCAATGCCGGACCTCTGCAACAGGGACATATCGATATCCCTGACCGAAACCCTACACATGGGTTTTTGGATCATGTTTATCACGTCACCGATCTGACATTTGATTCAGTGGAGTTTTGGCAGTTTCTGAAAATCCCTGGCATAGACGATGGCTCCTCGGCTTTGCCAATGACTAACCAAGGCGGACTTCCAGGGCTGCCCCCGGAGACAGGTCAAGGCTTTGATCCGGTCCCGATGAGCCCAGCAGAGGAAGACGATGCGGCTGAGGATAGCTCGCGCCCTGACAGCGGCGTTTCTGTGGAATCTCTCAAGAAAACACAGCTGTTCACCGTGTTTTCCGTATTATTCAAAGTCCTCAAGCAGCTATGCTTCGTCCTCTCGGGCCAGGGAATGACGGCAAAGGACCTTTCCTCGTTTCTTGCCTTCTTCCAGGAGCAGCACAGTATCAAGGACCACATTGACGAAGAGTTCATGCGGCCCTTGCGGGACGAGGGTGGTTCCAAGGATGCCCCCTCTCAGGCGATAGTGTCGGTCGCGAGCAAATTCGTGAACCTGGGGTACTTGCAGACCGTCGAAGAGGTGACGGCCTATATGACTATAATTGGACGGGTGAGTAGAGAAAACTTGGCTGAGGGTAGGAGTGTAGTTCGTATGCTAACAATGATGACATTGCAGGAGATTTTCGATGTCGATGCAACAGCATATCAGCGGTTCATGGAATGGATCCTAAAACCGTCACGGAGCAAAAGCCCCAGCTCGCCGACCAGCTCGGTGCATAAGCCAAGGCGATCCAGTGGGGGAGTTGTCAAGAGGAAAGCCGTGGTCCAGTCCGGGCTCACAGGGTAGGCTCATTGATGGATTCCCTGGTTGCAAGTTGCTGACGCAAGCCAGAAAACGGTTCTTTTGTGGGAACTGTGGAAAGTGTTTCGACAGAAAGTACAACATGCAACGACATGAGAAGATTCATTATACCAAGAGACGAGAGGTTATGCCGGTGGCTCCGGTGATGGTTGCGGTGTCATGATGTGGTTGGGTGTTGGTGGGGCTGATTGCTCTTTTGTTAGACGGATAGGTCATGCTGCGGGCGGTGGATTTGTCGATATACCTGGAGCTAGCTGTTTGTCCCAGGGGTGTGTTTTGTATTACAGTTGACAGAATGAACATGTCTCCTTGCGGGTCTGGGGTAATAAGCGACGATGATATCGTTTCCGCTCCCGCTCCCGGTTTCGCATCTGAGAGTTTTGCTGCCAGCACTCCGCCACAAAAGGAACCACCAGGCTGGTCAAACTACGATGTTTAAATTAGAGGACGCGTGGGATGTTTCTGAGGGAGGGCGAACCCCCATCGAGTCCGATACCGAGATGTGTTGTCCGTGGACAGGCAAAGCTGAAACCAATGCAAGTTCTATACCGTGGCACGAACGGGAGACTCGGCCACGTCACGCCTACACGTCTGGTCGGAGAAAAATGCACTCGTCAATCAATCACGATGATGATGGCTGCCAAGAGCATTCGTCCGATGCCACACCGATGGGAAGTCCACGAGGTCAAATGCCGGCAGTCGCGGATTAACGACAGTGGTGCTTCGGAGAGGCCTCCCGGACCGGCCGGGACTGACCAATATAAGCGGCCAAGATGAGTGTGCCGCCACACGGAAACACGTTTTTGATTCTTGGCATGACGCTTCGATGTGGCTGGTGGAGGGACAACGCGTAGTCCGGTGTGGCAGCTGAGCGAAGCAGGCTGAGGACGAAGATGCTTGGTATGCTGAGCAGCATGAATCCCAAAAATAGCAAGGGGCAAAGACTGTCCCGGACCAAGCTTAGAGGCTTAGGCTGGGGCAGATTTCCCCGGTCCCCAGAATTCTTGACACATTGAATGGCAGCTGCCTTGGAAGATTGGAACAGCGCGATGCCCGAATCAGGGCAAACCGGGCGCGCTGGGGGCATGGGGTTGGTGGTGCTTCTCGCATTGTGCCGAGCCACAGCCACATCCCCTCCGTCATGGAATGTCTTGGCCTCGAGTCCCGATGAGGATCAGCCGCTAGCCGGGGCCGAGTGTTACAGGGCCTGCCGCAATTGAGATGAGCGAGAGGGAATAACTGCAAGTGGCCGGGAGGATCAATAGCGTACGGATCGGTGGTGCAACATGAAGGGGAAGGGAGAAAGGGGGCCACGGGTAGAACCAACACGACGAGACCGCACACAGCACAGCGGCGCAGGGAGGACCGCCTGCAAAACGAAGCCGGTGATAGGGCGGCACGCACAGCGCAAACCGGCAGCTGGACGCATGGCGCAGTTCCCACGATGGGCCAAGGGTGGCGGGGGCGAGCCGGCCAAGAGCCGAAGATGGGAATACGCAGGATGGGAACATGCAGGGCCCAGCCAACGCTAAAAATTGACGGGGCCTGGTTTTGCATGCGGCGCTCCTCTACAGTACCTTCGCGGTACATTCCCCTGTGCGGCGATCGCCCTGCAGCGCAATGTATCGCGCGGTAATGATGACGAAAGGGATGGGCGGACCCGGCGTGGCTAAGGCCCCTAGCGCTCCCTAAGGTGACGCCAACGCGGGCTCAGCAGGGGTCCTCTCTCCCTCCGCCTCAGTGCCCGCGTACCGCGTATTCACTCGGCCTCTCCAGAAAGCCAAATCGAAATGACGGGATGCAGAGTAGGGGAAATGAAACACGCCTAGGCCCGAGAAACAGATATATGAGTTGTGCCCCCTTCAATCATTGGGGTTGAATCCATCATCCATCCAACAGCTAATCAATCGCCCATAAAGACATTTCACTTCCCTCCGTCACTCACACTCGCCACCACCGCCCTCCATTTACAACTACACCACATCTCAACCCAAACACCACCACAACAACCACCTTCAACATGCTCTTCACCAAGGTCTCCATCCTCGCCGTCGCCGGCCTCGTCGCCGCCAACGCCAACATCAACGAGCGGTATGTCCCCCCACTCACCCCCTCCTCCAACCACATGCTAACTCGCACCCCAGCGATGCCCGCGTCAACGTCCGCGAGGCCCAGCCCATGATCACCGCCGTCCCCATGGCGCGCAGCGAGCGCGACATCAGCGACGTGGTCGACTCGGTTGAGAACATCGTCAACGACGCGTCGACCTTCATCGAGGGCGCAAAGTCCAAGGCCGAGAGCGCCTTCAACGACGCCTCCACCGCCATCGAGGGCGCAAAGTCCCGCGCCGGCAGCTGGTACTCCGACGCCGCCTCGCACGTCTCCACCGCCATCGACGGCGCCGAGACCTGGATCTCCACCAAGGCCGGAGCCGCCGAGACCTGGGTCTCCACCAAGGCCGACGCCGCCTCCTCCGCCATCCAGAGCGCTGCCGACGCCGCCTCCAGCGCTGCTGCCAGCGCCTCCAGTGCCGCCAACAACGACAACGCTGCTCCCAGCGCGCACGACTCCAAGGCCGGTATCGTGGCCGTTGCCCTGGCTCTCGGTGCCACTGCCTTTGGCTTCATGCTTGTCTAAGCACCTTCTCCATGACACTTCTTATTTCACGTAGTGCTGCCAGCGAAGTAGCACCTCGTCTTGTCTTTTTACTTGACCACACATTTCACGGAGTTTTTGGGGCCTTAAAGGCTGGTCAGTCGTTAGCGCATCCGCAGTGAAACTGCGAAGAGACACGGGCATAGGGAAACGATGCATCGTGTTTTATATCCCCTAGATAGACAGGCAGGCGGACCTGGGTTGTGATACGTTCATCAGATACCAAACAAGCATTTTTTTCAAAGCATTTCGTCTCTTAAGTGACTTGTCCTTCATACATACTCGCGCCACATGTCCCATTTTGTAACAGGTCATCGAGGTCGAGTCAGGGTCGGTCTCGTTCAATACACTTGTTACACGTTGGGTTAATTATCGATAACAGTCAAGCCACTGCTAGTAGCTAAGCACTAACCCAGTGTCGGACTGTCTAACAACGGGATCTGGCAAGGTTTCCTACTATTTCTAACGTGCCGTTATCCTTCCCCAATAGTCCCCTTCTCGAATGTCACTGAATTCCTCTCAATAACCTTATGCCCCTTTTCCAAAAACCTTGTTCTCAGCTCTATGATATTTAATGATCCTCTCGCCAGGTTGACAGATCAGGTCAATCTGCAGCTCACCAAATACCCACGACCAAGAACAAACACACTACCAAATCAATATGCCAATGCCACGACTCTTGTTCAGCACCACCCGTACTCTTCTTCAGCCTGAAACCCGCCGCAACAACCAACCGAGTACCAATCAAAGCTACACCAAAAACTTGCAGCGCGATCTCAGGATGCAGAATGCGGGACACACTACTTGGGATTCATATGTGCGGACGGCAACGCTGATGTGCGCGAGTAACAATACTCTTTGTTAAATTGATGATATTTGTTTGGCAACTGGCCCTTCAATGTCTCGAGTCATTTGTGAACATTGAAATGATGGACTATCTACTTTTCTCTATATTTTGGTACATGGTCGTCGTCGTCTAGTACAAAGACAGGAGTTATGTTACAGTTGTTTACAGAGTTTTCCCGTACGTTGTCTCTCGTCGCATCGTGTGGCGACATTAGTACAAACCAACGGGTCAATTACATGATGAGTCGTGATTGATACAGCCAGCACCACGAATGTCCGCCAATGGACCAACATATGTGATACTCCTGGCTCCGATGCAAACCTCACTGAGCCGTTCGAGGCAGGAGTTGCAGTCCATAAGGCTCGAGTTGCTCGTTAGTTAGCTTGCTGGGAGACTTGACAAACGGATCCTCGCCCTTCATCGTCTTGGGGAACGCTATGACATCTCGCACCGTAGGCGTGTCCGTCATGAGCGCCACCAGCCTGTCAAAGCCCAGGGCGAAGCCGGCATGCGGAGGGCAGCCGGATCGTAGCGCCTCGAACAGGTGCGCAAAGTCCCCGATGCGCTTGTCCGCCATCTTGAGAATGTCGCGCATGATGAAGTCTTGCAGGTCAGCAATGTGGATACGCTCGCTTCCGCCGCCGACCTCGACGCCGTTCAGGACGAGGTCGTACGCTGCGCTCTTGGCCTGCAGGGGTTCGGTGAAGAGTAGTTCTAGGTCGGCCTTGGAGAAGGGAGCTGTGAAGGGGTGGTGAGACGCGGCGATTCCAGCGGCGCCCTCCTGACCAGGCTCTCCCTCCTCGGTCGGTTTGAACATGGGGAATTCGGTCACCCAGACGAACTGTAACGACCCGGGCTCTCCCATCTTGGGTTTGGCCATGTACCCAGCCTCGACGAGTGCCTTCCACAGGGCGATGCGAATATCGCCAATCTTGGTTGATCCCGAGCAGTACTGACCAACAGGCTTTTCTCGGGCCTGGAAGACGACGAGGTCTCCATCCTTGATCTCTTTTCCTTCAGAGACTAAATCCAACACATTCTGGTATTCGAACCCGACAGATGAAAAGCCGCTCATGGGCTTACTCGTGTCGCAAATAAGAACCTGGGGCTTTCCGTCCGGGTTTTCACCTAATGCGGTTGGTAAGTCGTCCATAAACTTCATGACAAACTTTCGCGCCTCTGTGGGGGAGCAGCCGTCCAGCTGGAATGTAAACGCCTCAACTAGAGGGTCGTCCATGTGAGTGATCATGCTCACAAACTGCTGGTAGGGACCAAGGTCCGGGATAGCATGAATCTAGTCGCTGTTAGTGATTGGGGTTGGTCGAAGCCAACGGAACTTACTTTGTTTGGGATGCGCAGGTCTGGCTTGTCGCTTCCATAGTCTCGGATGCAGTCCTGGAACTTGAGTGTCGTGAATTGATGCGCATCAAGCTCGTCAGGCGTTCGAGAGCTATTGGGGATTTCAGACACGACCGGAATCCGCTCCCCCCGGATGTCCTTGTAGCTATGCGCCGGCCTCAACGCCTCAATCGCAGCCAAGATGATGTCGTTTACGTCCTGCCTAACCCTAGGCGCACCAGCAAACGCCCACTCCATATCGAGCTGCGTGAACTCGGGCTGTCGGTCCGCACGCGAGTTCTCGTCGCGGAAGCAACGGGCCCATTGCATGTACCGCGAGACTCCTCCCGCCATCAGGACCTGCTTGTACTGCTGGGGGCTCTGGACCAGCGCATAGGCCATGCCACGCTGGCGCATCGGGACCAGGAACTCCCGCGCGCCTTCGGGAGTCGACTTGAAGAGCGCCGGTGTCTCGATGTCGGTGAAGCCCTTCTTCAGCAGGCTCTGCGTCAGCTCGCCCTTCAGCCATGAGCGGAACTTAAGGCGGGCCTGCAGCTCGGGGTGAAAGCGGATTTGGTAGTGGCGCTTCGTCGGTGGGAACTGCACTTCGGGGGTGACGATGAGGTTCTGGGGGACAGTGTTGAGGGCTCGAATGTCTTTGAGGTAGACGGTTGATTTGGAGGATGCCTCGTTGAGAGCTTCCCGGCTGGTGTCGGCGGGTTTTTGTTGGATATCGACCAGCACGGGGCTGTTGGCGGGAACCTGGCGGAAGATGGAGTGGGCAGCGGCGTCATTGCCAGCATCTGAGCAGATCTGGATCACATCCCCCGAGGCAGTGGTGAGGTCGGCAAAGGAAAGGCTCTTGGAGACGTTCCTCCTCTTTCCCAGGAAGCCGACTCGCCTGCCGTCTTTTCCGTCTTCAAGAGGTATATCCGCGTTGTTATCTAGCCACATGTATGAGACGCCGTCGAACAAGGAGTTTCGCTGGACTCAAAGGATCATACATACACTTATCCCATGCACCCAAGAGCTGTTCCTTCTTAGAAGCACGAGCAAGAGAGCTCTGGGCAAAGCTCCTTGTGAGGCATTGCCGGGCCCGTAGCGATGTCAGGGAGCCCGTACAAGCGCCGCGACGCAGCGAAAGGCTACAGCGACCTAAGGGAAGCACCATGACCAAAGAGCAAGACTCAAAGGGTCGGCAATGGGAGCAATTGACTCATGATGGAGGTGAGCTCCTGGTGGGCCGACGCCGAAGAAGGTGGGCTGCCGCTGGGTGAGGTTCAGCCGAAGAATTGCCCGCGGGAACCCCACTACGCGCCAGGCTTTAAAATCTAGAACTGCGGCTCGCGTTTTTCTCTTTTCTCTTTTTCTCTTCATGACCCTTCACAATTCAAATAAACGTGAGTACAGCTCCCACCCCGTGCCAACGGCGCCGTCCCCCGACATTGTTGCTAACTCTGCCTCTCCAGATGATGAGAACCGCGTGCCTAATATGATGCGGTGCCACCTCTCCAGACCTCGAAACCCTCTCCTTTGGGAGCTCAAGCGGTTCCGGGGCGAGGGGAGATTGGCACCATGAAATGGGCGTTCGACACACCGACCTTGTTATAAGCATCGGACGCGTTGGGAAAAAGCTCTGACTTATTATGAATGTGAAGAGGATTCGATATTTTGTCCAGAGGTCTGGTCCGTGAACAAGCATGGACGTTGGTGCCTTGCTTGGGAGATCTGACACTCGAGATGGGACGAACGGCCAGGTAAGTATTTTGATATTTCAGCGTTGCATGTTTCCACTTAATTACCTGCCACAATTCCGGAACAATTGAATCGAACCCTCTGTTTCCGCAACTTAATGTCCCATCAATCCCATCGTGCCGTGTCGCTTGTCCTGTTTCGCATCGTCGTCGCACCTAAACCGTCCCGGCCAAATAAAGGGATTGGGATTTGCGAGCCACCGTAGCAGACGTGCCCAGCCCAAATGTCGTGACACGTGAACTCTACGCAAACAACACTTGGCAGTGTCAGTGTCCCTGGCTGCCTCCTTGAAGCCCAATGAGAACGTCACCAGTGCGTCCCCCGTCAGCCTATCTGTAGATGGCATCCATTGCACCCAATGCAGCCCAAGTTGATGCTCACATTCATCCGGACTGGGCTCTGGCCGAGGATGCCCGTGGAGCGCACTTCGTCAGCGGCTCTTCAGCGCTCCGCCGCCCACACGGGGTGGTTGAGGTGCCCGGAGTCCTCAGCGCTAGACGTGCTAGGCTCACAGCTGTCTCCAGGTCCAGTTAGTGACGACATCCACGCCCCCTAGCCCGACGGTCCCTGGAATTACAGTGGCAGGTCGCCCGCCGGGCCCGACGTGCCTGTTAGCCCGGTACGCGTGCAACCACCGTCCCAGCCACCAAGTTTCCGCCGAGAGACAAGTCATTCCCCAAGTATCCCCCAATCCCAACGCCTCCGAACTTTCCAGCGCGTCCCCCACTAAAACCCACTAAAAGTCCACTGCCCGACCAGCCTCCAGCACTCTCCCCAGCCCGTACCACACACCCCTTGTCGACTGTCTTGTCCTGCCACGCTCGCATCTCCCCACGCCCCCCCCCCAAATCGTCCACGTCCCCCCCCCCGGCGTGGATGCGGACCTCTCTCGCTCTGCGTGTGTGCGAGTTGTGCGCTGGCGACCTGAACGACGACGACGACGCCATCGACAATCGACGAGCTCCCCAGCTTGCTCCCGCCCCCGCAACATCTCCTCCTCCGTCTCCCTCTCCCGGACCGCCGGTTCCCTCTCCGCATCGTCACTGCCGGCCCCGTCCATCCCGCGGCCTCCGTGCTCTCGCTCGCTGCTTTCGTCCCCCCGTCCGGCGCCGTCGCCCAGCTTGCCTCCAGCTGGCACCATGTCGAGCTCCTTCGAGAAGTCCGTCAAGGGCGCGACCAAGATCAAGGTGCGTGCGCCCGCCTGTGCCGTCATGATGGCTCTGCATCTGCCTCACGCCGCGAGCTTCCCCCAGCTAACACTCGAGCTCTCGCTCCCGTTGCCCAGAATGCTCCGCCCAAGACGAAATACATCGAACACATCCTCGTCGCCACTCACTCCGGCGAGGCAGGCATCGGCGAGGTCTTCCGCGCCCTGCAGAACCGTCTGCGCGACTCAACATGGACCGTCGTCTTCAAGAGCCTCATCACCGTCCACCTCATGATCCGCGAGGGCTCACCAGACGTCACGCTCGCCTTCCTCTCCACCCACCGCAACCTGCTCGCCATCAGCAACTTCACCGACGGTACGTTACGTCTCGCCCAGATAAACCCCTCGTCGTCACCCCACGAGTCGAGCCGAGACGGCAAAGCTGCTGGACATTGTAATTGACCCTCGTGCAGCCCAGATTCAAGGACGGAATATCCGGCATTATGCCCAATATCTCACCGAACGAGCGCGAGCATACCGAGATACCAAGACCGACTGGGTCCGCGCCCCCGAGTCAAGACTCGAGAAGATGTCGGTTGAGAAGGGCCTATTGCGCGAGACAGAAGTGGTACAGCATCAGCTTTCAGCCCTGCTCAAGTGTGATGTAAGTCTACACCACGAGACATGAGATGGACATGACCACGTCCAAGGAATGGGCATGGCGGGCTACAGGGACTAATATATCGACCAGGTTATGGAGAATGAGCCCGAGAACGAAATCACAATCACCGTCTTCCGATTACTGGTCCTAGACCTTCTAGCTCTGTTCCAAGTGCTGAACCAAGGGTTGATTTCTATCTTAGGTTTGTCTTCGCCGGCCACATGTCTCAGCCCGGTCCCCAGCTGACCCCTCCACTCCAGGTCACTTCTTCGAAATGTCCAAGGTCGACGCCGAGCGCGCAATGGCCGTCTACCGAACCTTTACCCGCCAAACCGACCAGGTCGTCCAGTATCTCGGCGTGGCGAGGCAGTATGAGCACCACACGCGGGTCGAGGTCCCCAAGCTCAAGCACGCGCCCGTCAACCTGGGCAAGCAGCTCGAGGAGTATCTCGGCGACCCCGACTTCGAGGTCCATCGGAGGCAGTACCTGGCCGAGCAGGATGTCAAGAAGACGGGCGGCTCCAGCTCCGGCTCCAAGATGTTCACGTCAAGCAAGAAGAAGGACTCCGACTTCCCCGAGCCAGCCTCCAACAATCCCTTTCCCTCTGCCGGCCCAAGCAAGGCTCCCGAGACGAAGCCCCAGGCCAACAAGGGACCTGACCCGGACCTCATCGACTTCTTCGACTCGATTGAGCAGAACCAGACGACGCTCCAGGTCAACCCTCAGCAGCCGCAGCAGCAGCAGATGAACGCAGCCGCTTTCCAGACTCAACCCACCGGCATGACGTTCCAGTCCAACGGCTTCGCGCCGCAGCCCACAGGATTCGCGACCAACAGCCCCTTCCAGGCGCAGCCCACCGTGTTCGTGCAACAACCACAGACACAGCCCCTGCAATTGCTCCCCGACTTCACCGGCGCCGGCTTCGGAGGCTTCACGCAGCAGAGCTTCCAGCCCAGCTCCCTCGCGCCCATCCCGCAAGACTCGGTGGCGAGCTTCCCGACGGCCGGGGCACAGCCTATGCAGAACGGCCAGCCTCAGGGCCTCATGCCCATGGCCACGGGCAGCACCAACCCGTTCCGCCAGTCGATGCTCATGGCCCAGCAGACCGGCATGCCAACCACGTCGATGCCCTCGTCCGCCTCAACGCCGGCCCTCAGCACCAACCCCAACCGCCAATCCACGAACCCCTTCGCCCGCTCTCCGCAGCAGAACAACCCGGTGCCCTTCCAGCAACTCCAACAGCAACCCCCGATGCCCCAGCTCCCTCAACAGCAACAAGCTCCTCCCGCCGCCGCTCCTCTCGTCCCCGCCCAGACCGGAACGAACCCCTTCGCCCGGCAAGCGACCCAAGCGCCGCCCCCGATGCCGGATCAACGGCCGCAGACCGCCGGAGCCGCCCTCATCTCGCAGCCCACCGGCACCAACCCCTTCCGCCACGGCGCCTTTGTCAACCACAACACCGGCGCCGGCTGGCAGCACAACCAGGCGCCTATTGGCGGCGGCCTCGACCAGCTCGAGACCGTACCTGTATTCCCCCGACCCGCCCAGCAGACGCCCTGGCAGCAATAAGAATCGGGTCCCATGTCGCCTCACGCGGCCTCTCCTTCTCCCTCCACCCCCCTTCACCATCTGTACCTCCTCTCTGGGCTTCCAACCCCCCTCCCCATACCACCCGCTCCCCTTGGAGCCCGTTCTTTCTATTTTGTACCTCCTTTCCGCATTGTCAGCGAGGCGTTTCTGGGGATGAGATCGAAAACGGGATCGCAAAAAGGCCGGACGAAGGTCGACATTGCGTGGGACGGCACACTCGCAAGCATTTCGAAGACGGCATCGCCCGCATCCATTTTTACCTTACCTACGGCTCTACGAAAGCTGGCAGCAGTGCCCCGTTCCCAATCTGCACGTCTTTTTTACCTCCCTCCGTTTTGCTTCCAGCTCTTTTCTGTCTCGTGGTGATTTTCTTGGTCTAGTCTAGCAACACTTCCAAAAAAAATCATGGTTTTATTAAATATCCTTGCTTTTTAGCGATTAACGCTTTTTAATCTGCTTCATCTTGTACCCGTGTCCGTGGTATCGTTTGCCCTGTTTAATCCCTGTGTCTATACCGAGTTCTTCGCGGTGCTTGTACATCCGAGACTCCCCCCTTTTATTTCATCCTGAACGCCGTGGCTATGCCCAATGAAAACATATAGAAAATACAAAATCCTGAAGAAATTATCACTCTTGCAACCTGCGGATGTATTAGAACGGGTCGTCGAGATCCATCTTGCCACCGCCAGCCGCAGCCGTCGCCGTGGGGACCCCCTTTTCCGCCTGTTCGTCGCAGATGAAGACACCCAGACCAGAAAAGGCCTCGAACAAGACACGCGTAAGGTACTCGTCTGGGTTATAGCCACCAGCGCGGAACTCGGTCTTGGTGCGTGCCGACTCGACCCACTCGTTGGTGTAGCTCCCCAGCTTCTCCGGAGCCACGTCGATCCTGTCCGGGGCCACGACGAGGCCGCCATAGGGGTCGTAGGGCTTGTCGTCCACCACAGCGACCTTCTTCTCGCGCAGGCCGCGGATGGACAAGCCTCCAGCCGCAGCGGTGGCCGAGTCCATGAGGGTGTCGCGCTTCTGTTGGCCGCGCTTCTTGAGCATGATCTTGTCCATGGCCTCGGTGGCGCGGCCCATCTCGGCGTTCTGCAGCGAGTCTAGCATCTCCTCGCGGAAGCGCAGGGCGTTGACCTTTTCGTCGGCGTCGGCCTGGCGCTCCAGTTGGCGGCGCTGGCGGGCGGCGTCCTGCTCGGCGGCGATGCGGCGCTGGCGCGTCTCGTCCGACTCGCGCGCCAGGCGGCGGTTGCGCTCAATGTCGGCCTTGTGCTTGGCCTCCCACTCGACCAGCTGCGACTCGGCCTTGCGGCGGGCGTCGTCGGGGCCATTGACCAGGTCGTCGGTTAGACACTCGACCATGTACAGGTAGTCGTTGAAGGAATCCAGCGTCTCAAAGTCCTCCTCGACCTTGTTGAAGACGGCAGCGACGCGGCGACGAATATCGACCTCACGCTCGACGCTGAGGTCGGCGAAGAAGGCGGATTTGAAGCCGCGCAGACGCAGCGTCTTGTGGCAGCCGGCGTAGGGGCACTGGTTCGGCCCGTCCTTGAAGATGCGCTCGACGCACGTCTTGCACATGCGGTGGTAGCACTCCGGGTTGATGCGGAACTCCATGTCGCGGTTGAAGTAGCGCGTCGTCTTGCACACGGGGCACGTTTCGTCCTGGTCGAGCGGCGCAGGGGCGGAGGCGGCGGCGGCGATGCCCGACGAGTGCCGCACGGAGATGGCGCTGCCTCCGAGACGAGACATGTTTGGATGATTCCGCAGTGGGTTTCGTCGGGGCGGGTGGGTTGGAGCTTCTGAGGGCGGGTTTGCGGGTGAGGGAGGTGCAGTGAGGAATGCGGTTGGTGTTGGTAATGCAGATATTCAATGGCGGTTTAGGCGCGGCTGAGATAACAGGGAGCTGGGCGCCCTGCAAAGCTCCCTATTGGCCGCAGCTTCCGGGCCATTGACCCGCTCTCCGGCTGCCCCTCCATCCCAATCTATCAGCCTTCTCATCACTGCTTCCACCGTCTTCTCCAGGCTTTCCTAAGCACCAACACCACACATACAACTTCACCATGGCCGACAAAGGTACGTTTGCGCTGCGATTTGATTACGGCACTACGGATCAGCTCTCGGTGCAGCTAGCAGCGGAATCTATTTGCTAACATCCGCCACTCCTGCTACAGAGACCACCCCCGCTGAGGACGCCGCCGCCCGCGCCCAGGAGGCCCAGGAGCAGGCTGCGCTGCCGTACAAGTGGACGCAGACCATCGCCGACCTCAGCGTCACCTTTACCGTCCCCGGAAACCTCAAGTCGAGGGATCTCGTCATCGCCATCAAGAAGCAGACCCTCTCTGCGGGTGTCAAGGGCCAGGATCCCGTCATCTCTGTACGGAAGCACAGTCCTCTTCCATCGACACCAGGGAGACACAGCTCTCTTGAGTCTGGCGTCTCCCGGTCTCTCCCTGCGGCATGATCCATGGCGACTAACATGTGTCTTTCAGGGCGACCTCCCCCACACCATCCTCGTCGACGACTCTACGTGGACCCTGACCACCAACCCCGACAACACCAAGACGGTCGAGATCCAACTCGACAAGGTCAACAAGATGGAGTGGTGGGCGCACGTTGTTACCAGCGCCCCCAAGATCGACGTCACCAAGATCCAGCCCGATTCCTCCAAGCTGTCCGACCTTGACGGCGAGACTCGCGGCATGGTCGAGAAGATGATGTTCGACCAGCAGCAGAAGGAGCGCGGCCTGCCCACCTCAGACGAGCAGAGCCGTGCCGACATCCTCAAGAAGTTCCAGGATCAGCATCCCGAGATGGACTTTAGCAAGGCCAAGATCAGCTAGAAGGGATATATATGTACGACATCCTAGCATGGCAAACCAAGTAAAATAACCAAAATGGGGTTCAGCGTTGCTTCCGGGTCAAATTTCTTCGTTTCATCGTTGCATTTGAAGTGACTGGTGCTTTCATCTTGATTCCAGTGCCACCGCTGCTCTCTCCAAAAAGGCATTAAAGTCCTTGACCTGCTGAAGCAGGCCGCCCGTCGCGCTGGCCGAGCTGACTTGGTCCGAGATTTGGGGCACGAGCAGTTCGAGGTTCGCCAGCTCCGCTCGCTTCTGTTCTGCGCGTGAGAGCTCTGGTGCATCTCGTCCTCGTTCGATGGCGAGATCCACATCGTGCATCGTAGTTGATGTACTCAGGAAATGCTGTACCATTGTTAGTCGGCACTTTTTAAGCGTGCTTAAGCTCCATACCTTGGACTCTTTTGTCTCTGCCTCGTGCTTGATTCGGACAGCATCCATTCGGAGGGCGACCTGCTCCCTTTCTCCCTTGAGCCGTATTATTTCATCTCGCAGGGCGAGCTTCTCCCTCTGGGCTAGGCGAACCCGTTTTCGCAGGGAGTGCCAGTCATTAAGATAAATTGCCTACCCATGTCAGCTTGCGCGTGCAAATACAAGGATGAAGATACTCACATGCTGCAACAACCGCGATTTCAGCTCTTCTCTGTAGGCCTCAATCGCCCGCATCTTGATCCGGCACTCCTTCTTCTTCGCCTTGTCCTCTGTAGAGCCAATTGCCTCTTCCAACTGTCCCAGCGTAGATTTGATGACTTCCATGCAGACCTGGGAAAACACGTCTACGACGGTCTCCCCGCGAGTTGTAAACGGCACCTCGGACTGGAGGGGGTCTTCGGCATCTTCACCGTCTGCCTGGTTCTTAACATTGACAAATCGCTGCACCGTGACCGCAATTGTCGCGTCGCCACCTTCGCCGCTCGTGCGCGCAGGTTTGCGAGTTGCTTTGGGCTTGGGCGACTGCTTCCCCTTTGACTTGGGTGTAGACTTCTTGGGTTCTCTCCCTTTTGGTTTCGCTTTCGGTTTCGGGGCTGGTTGCTTCTGCGTCGCTGGGCTCTTGGGTTTTCGTCCGCGTAGTCGTTTCGGTGCTGGCTGTTCCTCGTCGGCCTCTTCGAAAACGCCTGATCCCAATTCTGGAGATTGGGACGGCATGCTTCTCCTGGGGCGTTTCCTGCCAAGTGCCTTTGCCGCCTCGGCTTCGTTGATCTCCTCCGCTTCCACCTCCTCTGGCTCAGCTTCTGGCTCAGCTTCTAGTTCTGCCTCTGGTTCCGCTTCTGGCTCTTCCTCCGGCTCTTCCTCTGTAGCTTCGTCGTCAGCTACAGGTTCCTCGTCCAGTTGGGTCGTCTCGGCGGGTTCTTCCTGTATTGCCTGCTCCTCTTCGGCAGATATAGAGCCTGACATTTCAGCGTCTGCTGGACCCTGATCTGCTGCTCGTGTCCGGGACAATTCATCCACATCCTCGCTCTCCATCAATCGTGACCTCTTCCGGAAGCTTCCTGTTGACCGGACCGATGCCGCTGCGTCGCTTCGCCGCACCTTGCGCGCCAATGGCGACGACGAAGGCGGCCCGGCACCATCCGTGCTCATAGCATCGTGGAGTCTTGCGCTCGATAAAAGCGCGCTGCTCACTGGAACACTACGCATCCTTATACTACCACGCGCATCCTGGGGGGTCTCTTCAATCTCGTCCACAGAACCTCGAGCTATACGTCTCGCTACCGGTGAGCGGTAAGCGGCAGGGTCGGGTAGGGATTCCATCGTATCATCCTCGTCTTCTGGTTGCATTTGAGGTAGTGTGGGGGATTCGATCACGCTGGATGCATGCGCTTCTGGCTCCTCTTCGACGCCAGGGACACTCTGCCCTTGCTCCTGCGCTCCATTCTGCTGTGTATGTTCCAAGGCCGCGGGCGGCGGTACGACAGATTCCTTAGACGTGTCGGGTAGATCGTAGGGGTCCTTGGGTCCGCTTCGAATCGACCGACCCGAGCTGGCGGGAGCGTTTGAGGGCGGGAACTCGTCGCGGTCGAGCCTCTTCCTCTTTGCAGAGGTATTTGGTGTGCGGCGCGCCGACGAAACTGGAGCAGGTGCGGGATCAGAGGTGGCAATGTTAAGGCCGGCGATGTCGAGGTGGAACGAATCGTCTCCGAGGTTGACGCGCCTATTTAAATTAGCATGGGCTATGGTAGAATCTACCTCAGGATTAGGAAGACGTACTGCGCGCCACGAAGCCGCTCGTTGAGCAGCTCTGCACGACGCTCTCGACCTGCGGGATTCGTTAGCAACATGGCGACAGCTCGAAGCTCTGCGGGGACCTGCCTGTAGCCATTCTCAACAACTGAGAGGCGGGTGCCTCGAATCGCGCATGCGTGAAGCTGCAGTCTGCGCCAAATGTGTATATTTTCCCGCACGATTGGTGTGTTGCGCGGCGAAAGCGCTTGGCCGTGGTGTTGTAAGATGGACGTTGCGCTGTTGATGACGCGTGGGGGTTGAGACGCGTTGTAGGTTCGCGGGGCACACCGCAGCGTACTTAAACCCAAGGATGCCCCGTTGTACCACCAGCACAATTTACCAACTCTGACACCGTGCATCACGGATGAAATAAATGAGTTTCCAGTGCATCAATTAATTCGTGCCCTTCTTATTGCTTCTATTTATCCCAATGTTATTAATCCCGTGACGCCACGTTCTATGAAGAGATGTCTTGTACAATGGCCACGTTCCCTGGGCCGGGTATCATGAGCTAGTAATATCCTCCTTTTAATTCCCATCCGTACAGATCCAAATTTGACAATCTCTTCATGATTCCATTACTCGTACAGTGCATCATGTCTGCGTTGCAATGACGGTCATTCAACTTTATGACAAGGGTGGTGTTGATGAGTGGGCCTCTAAATGGGCCTCTAAACCTTTGGAACCCATTTTATCAATTTCTGGTCAAACTCGTGGCTGTTCCATAGTCAGTACCCTTCCAAGTTCTATATTTGTGCGCACTTACTCGTGGAATTTTGTGTTTGTCAAGGCCTTCTGACCATACTCTGACGCAAGCATCTCTTTGTAGCGAAACGGGATCTTGGCTGGGACACCCTCAAAGGTGGTGTCTCGCAGGGGGAATAAGTAAGTATCCTATCACGTAAGTCTTAGCGGATGCTCTGGGTTTGGGACGATATGAAATGGAAACGCACTCTATACTCATGGCCGTGCTTGTCGTAGAGCATGCCCTCGCCCTCCTCATGCTCCAGGTTGTATCTCGCAGCCGTGATATCGATGAACAGGCCAGTGTCCAAGTCAATCCACCTAGCATCAATGACATTGAGGACATCGTCTTGCCCTCGGTACTTGAAGTAGGGGTTGATCTCAAGCTGGAAGAAGCGGCCCTTCGTCATGTCACCGTACTTGTAGTAGTAGATGGTCATGTTGTGGTACGCCGCGAGAAAGTACATGTCCGCCTCAGTCACCTGAACATCGGCGTCAAGGTCCCAAGGCATGACCTGCGTGCGGTTCAAGGTTAGCAAAACGAGAAACCGAATGTTGGAGAGGAGAGCTTGCCTCCTTGCCCCACCACCAGCCCAGGAGAGTGCCGTGCATTAACCAGGTCTGGACTCCGAGATCTCGGAAGGTGGAGAGGTAGGTCTGGATGAGGACTCGAATGGCATCTCGCTGGGCAGCTTCTGGGAGAGGACCCTTTGTGAACCTTGCGTCATAATGCGCTTGTTGTCTTGAGGGCAGGTTAGCAGATGTTCACCATTGTCTATACCTAGGGCCTAGGCGTGAGGGTTATAATAAGACATACCTGGATTCCTCTACACCATAGTTGTCAGCTGAAATTCTTTGAGAAGTAAGGGGACTAGCTAGGACGAGGACATGGGGATAGAGGTGACGAGATAAGGAAGGCATCGAAGAAGTAATATCCAAACTGAGAAAAATAGATGTGTGTAGACTTACTAAAGTACTTGGGCTCTGGGAAATGCGGCGCCTCGCCGATGCCTCTTGTGGCGAGCCGTTCAACGGGCTCGGTAGATCCGGCGTTCTTGGCAGAGAGCTCCTTGAGGGCGGCAGCACTGGCAAAAGCCAGCCAGACGGCCGTCGCAAAGACGGATGAGACCTTCATGATTGAAACGCGAGAGTCCCCGGAGATGCCGTGCAGGGCGGATGATCAATTGGATCGGCAGAGGAGGAGGGATGCCGTCGAGATGGTCGCCTTCCAGACAATCGCAAGGACGCAATTGCGCTGCGATGCGATTCGATCTGCAGTGGATCCAGGGGTTCACAGTTGAGTACGTCACTCCGCTCAGCACTAGCTGGTTCAGCAACGTCCCGCAAGGGAGCAAGGTGAGTGTCCTGACCGGTCGAGGAGCCGAGTTGAGAAGCGACGAAAAGAATTATGGGAGAGACGAGTTAATGGGCCAGTGGCAACCTGTGTGTGCAGTCGAGGCGTCGTCAGAGAAGCAAGTGTTGCATCCGTCTATCTAACAGGCGTATTTAATCACGGCGATGCTGTGGATTGTATTTAAGTCCCGGTCGAGACGGACCCCTGACAGTCGACACGACAGTGCCGCGTCACCCGGCGGGAACCCATCGGAATGGCCGTCAACGAGTCACGCTCGGTTCAGTGGGGACTCGCGGCTTCCTTTAAGTATACTTCCAAGACGTTGAAAATGAAGGCATCGCCAGTTTGGGTTGTCAAGGTCGCATATCGTGTGCAAGAGTGCATCTCGTATTGCTGCAGCTGTTGCGGCAGTTCGTCGGTAGTACCAACTCAATACGAAGGATACGAAGGATACGAAGGATACGAAGGAGAGCTGATCATGTCCGCGGACCAAGTGGTTGCTCAAACCCCCACAATCCGGTACAGGTCAATTAAGTTACTCGAGCTCATACAGTACAATCTTCCAAGCCCCGATGCGATGGACCATTTAATTTTCCTTGATGTCATCAACAAGACGAGAAAAGGCAGAAAAATGCACCCTCATTTTAATGACTCGGCCCAACAAGGCCGCCCAACGAAGCCACTTGCGGTAACTTACAGCGGCCACTCGACTCAACACCAGCCACAGTCTCCACTTCCCCAGCCGGGACAAAATCGGGCTACTGTACGATCCTCCGAAATGCCACTCATTACTCGTCCCACGTGTGGCGCAGCAGCATGCCTGTGGCTTCCGCAGGGGCTTACGGAGTACGACTGACGCAAGCTCCCCCCAGCTTGGCTAGGTTGCACCTTCTCCTCATCACCCTCGTCGTCCTCCTACTCCTCCATCGCGCCGCTGCCTGGCCAGCGCTACTTTGCTCCTCGTTCCATCTCAATCCCTCTCTTCGCTTCCTCACTTTGCTTCTGGCGTTGAAATCCCAGCCCCCGCACACTGGCTCCTGTTGCTCGAATCGCGCGCCTCTGGCAGGTCCCTGCAGGCTACACCTGGCCTCGTCTGTAACCAACACCAACAACCAGCTCGAACTTCGAGCTCCCCGCCAGTCATCATGGGCGCGTGGAACGTGAGTCCCCTTACGAACGATGGCCATGTACAATGTCTCTTGTTGCTGACACCATGTCCAGGTCTTCCGCATTCTGGGCGACTTGTCCCACATGCTCTCCAAGTGCATCCTCATCTTCGCCATCCATCGCAACCGCAGCGCCGAGGGTGTCTCGCTCATCACTCAGATCCTCTATGCCCTTGTCTTCTGCACGCGCTACCTCGACATCTTCAGCGAGAAGTCAGCATGGAACTTCATCTTCAAGATCTTCTACATCCTCTCCTCATTCTACATTCTCGGTGTCATGCAATGGGTCGTCCCTCGCTCACGCGAGCGTGAGATTTCCTGGAAGATTGGTGCCTTTATTCTCGGGGGCTCCTTTGCCATATCGCCTTTCGTCATGATGATCTTCGAGAGCACTGGGTGGGGGTTCCGCGTTGTGAGTCCCGTCCCCTTCATATAGTTCAGCGCTCTTGATTTGGAAGACATGCTAACTATCTTCAGTGGATGTGGGACTTCTCTCAAATCCTCGAATCCATCTGCGTCCTTCCCCAGCTACTCCTCCTTAGGCAGACGACTGTTCCGACCGTCATCGATTCGTTCTATCTCCTCACCCTAGGCTCCTACCGAGCCTTCTACTGTATCAACTGGTTCCTCCGAGAGTTCGACGTCCGCAAGCCCAATACCGTCTCCGTTATCTTTGGCATTATCCAGACGGCTCTATACATTGACTTTGCTTGGGTATACTACACTCGTCAGCGCGTCAAGCTCCGAGGCGGTGGTGTTGTTGATGCCGATGATATGCGCCGTGGATGGCTCCTGCGCCGCATCTTTGGCAAGCGTGTGGAATTTGCCGAAGAGGACGAAGAGAACACCCCTGGCCTCCACGGCCATGATGAAAGCGATACTCGACGCGGTGGCGCCCGGCCCAAGTGGGGTGCTCGTGGCATCTCCGTCAGCGCCGATGACGGCGTCCTGGAGGCCGAGCAATCCCACCGAGATGATGACGATCTGGACGGTGGCGTCGACCCGGATGCCAAGATGCATGATCCGGATGAGCTAGCGAGAGCTCTAGACGATGATGACGAGGAGACGCCCCTGCGTCCCGACAACTCCCAGGGCAGCGGCCCCAGCGGCATCCGAGCCGGCGAGGAATGGCGCGACTAGACGGCTAGTTGGGCGTTTGTCAGTGTTCTAACGGGTGTCTTCGCAGGTATCTGGTAGCAGGGATTGGAATTTGCTGGGTTTTTATTGTTTCTGGAGCCGCAACTATTTTGGGCGGTGGCTAGGTCGTATGTCGGAATCACGGACGGTGCAACATAGAAGGGACGCATCGAGCCATGGCATGTCGCGAGCATGTCGATTTGATGGAGCTCCACTGTCGGTTATTTCCTTGTCTCTTCCAACTCTGTAAACATAGCGCGAATCTTTTCATGACAATCTACAACATGAAATCCATCACATCTACAGCGACATAAAGTTAACCATGTCCCATATCACGTCAAAGAGCAACTTTAAAAAGATCAATAGGCTTGCCTAAGGGGGTTATGGGTTATCATTCCGCAACATGCGTGCGCAACAAGGCCGACTGTTCCCTCAACCAGGGTATGCCAGCTCCTACTTAAATTCTCCCAACACTAACGCTTTTCACATCTGTACATTGAATTGCCCTCTGGGCAGCCTCCCCATCAAACCTGATCGGAGACTCTCATGACTCTGGTATATGTCGACATCGACCCAGCAGCATCCAAAAAGCCGCGATGAACTCCTATAAGAAATAACTGGCAGAATAGATGAAAAGGATACATGAAATAAGAAGGCATAATCAAACATTAAAGTAAACATAAGCTCATTGGACGAATCGCTTCTCAAACTCTTTGTATAGTTTGGGGCTGATTTCGTCGCTGCTCATGCCCTCGACTTCGACGAGAACGCCCTTCTTGGCATAGTGGTTGAGGACTGGCTCGCTCGTTTCCTGGAACTTCTGGAAGCGGGTACGGTAGATTTCCTCGGAGTCGTCGGCCCGCTGGATGAGGGGCTCCCCAGTGACGTCGTCGCGGCCGGGGACACGCGGGGCGTTGAAGGAGGTGTTGTAGACACGACCTGACGGCTCGTGGACCCAGCGACCAGCGATGCGCTTCATGATGACGGAGAGCGGAGTCTTGATGGACACAACTAGGTTGATTGGGACGATCTTGTCGAGAGTACCGGCCTGGGGGGCGGTACGGGGGAAACCATCGAGGATGAAGGAGGCAGCGGGGTCGTCGGAAACGCGGGGCGGGGTGTGCTCGTCGAAGTGGAAGGGAGAGGCGACAAGGGTATCAATTTGAGGTGGGCGGTACGAGTGTTCGAAGGAGGTGGCCTCGGAAGCAAGGGTCATGACGCTTGGAGGTCCTTGACCTTTGAGCCAACCACGAGTGAAAAGTTCGTTGGAGATGAGGCGGAGCATGAGGTCGTCGGCGACAAGGCCACCCGACTTCATTGTGCTCTCGACCTTGATACCTGCAGAGCACGGTGGTTAGCGACGGAGAGGCCGGAAGGCGGGGAGCTGGAAGGGAAGAGTCGGAGTCGAGGATACTCACCGAGAGGGGTCCTGTTCTTGACATTGTGTCGCAGGAGATCGCCAGTGCTGATGGTGTTGAGTTGAGGAAAGCGATTGAGCAGGCGCTCGCTCTGCGTTCCTTTGCCCACGCCGGGTGCGCCAAAGAGGATAACCCTTGCAGCCTTGTTCAATCTCATTCTAGGCGACCGCAGAAACTAGGCCGTCGATTGCACAATTGCACGCGCCACGAGAATTTCGAGAGAGGGGGTCGTGGACGTTCGAGCTTCGTGGTGTGGTGTCGGTATCAGAGAGTGGTCCGAGGGGAGCGGGCGCGGCCGGAGGTAACAATTCCAACGGCTGGAGTGTTGAGACAAGCAGGGGTGTGCGTCTGTCAGTGGAACGCAATAGCGGACCGGATGGAGGGGCGCAATTTCAGCAGAAGAAGAAGGCCATAATCTCAAGTGACGCTGATGCAAGGAAGAAGTACAGGAAACCCAAGGATGGATATAACACAGCAGAGAAAGAGGTGTGATGGAAGAAGAAGAAGAGGAACAAGGTGGAGGGTGGAAGGTAGAAGGATAGCGGGGGTACCGGAGGAACGGTGTTGAGATGGAAGCCAGCGAATGGGCGAATGAGCGGCCGGGGAATGTGTGTTGAGGGCACCGTTCCTTCCCTGCCGCAAGGAAGCAAGGAAGCCACCACCCACCACCGCGGAAAACGCGTGCACTGGCCAGCGCCAAGCCAAAGACCCGTGGCAGGTCCGTGGCCCGGGCCCGGGCTACTGTTCTCCAGGGTGGGCAGGGGCCACCCGCCATGCACCTTCCCCCAGGATTGTCGCCCGTCTCCAGCCTCTCACGTCGCTGCCTTTTCTCACTGCAACGCACATTACCACATTGCTCTTGGTTCCTGCGCGAAACAGTACGTACCGAATGCCGCCGGGCCCCGAACCCCCGGAGGATCTCGGGGGCACATGTGAGACAAGACCTGGGGAAAAGGCGTAAAGTCCCCAAACTCCGTCCGGGGAAATAGACACGCCGAAGGTAGGCGGACCTGGGGAAATGGAGAGGGGGCATTATTAATAGGATTAGCGGTACTTAACTAGGCATCGATGCAGAGTATCGGAAACAAGTCCACTTCAGTTCCCCTCCATCTTGCTTACGTCTTCCACCAGTCGCATGCTTAGTGAGCATGGGAGTGGAAGTCCCGGTATCAAAGTCCACCAGCCGTAAATCCGTTCCCCGATCCATCCCATCCATTCACCCGTTCTCATCTTACTGGCCGCGAACCTGCATTAATGCTGCGACCCTATCACCACCCGGGCCTATCGCAGGCATTCCATACGCCAGAATGGAAACACGGCCAGTTGACAGCGGCAGCTTGCGCACGCCTCTCGGACGAGGGGCATTCGCCACCTGGCATGTGGACGAGAGGGCGGCACCGGTTGAAGCAGCAGCCACAGCAGGTAATATTTGGCTTTCAGATGTTCAAAGGTGCCCAGGAATGTCTAAATACGTCTTGGTGTGCTTTTGTATTGCACGCCTCGTTGACCAGCTTCTTCTTTGTTCGGGATATCTCCATGCACCTACTCTGCACGTTAGGGATACTATGCAGCCTCGTCTTTGGCTAGGTACCCATCATCAACTCCCGCCCATCCCCATAGCCCGCAGTCCACTATTCTTTCGTTTCTCACCTGCACACAAGGCGTCTCACCTATGCAGGAGCTCGTCGAGGTCTGGATCAATCTCAGCCCCAAAACAACAGACACATCTGCAGAGTCCCTGCCGATAAGAGACTACAGTGCGACGTGTAAAAACATCAAGCCCAAGGGGTTCTGGTAACGAGCAATAGAAATATTCTGAAGGGTTGGGTTTGTACCGCATCTATTAATGTGGCCTCGCCGACCATAATTTGATCATCAGTGTCAGTGGATTATCCATTTCGCCAATCCCCAACTTGAGGACTCTCATACGCGGATGCAGTCGCGAAGTTTAAGGTTCACGAAATTATCCACCTTGTATCTGCTCAAGAGCTGATGGTTGGCAGCTTGGTGTAAGAAATGTGCCCGTGTGGTACAACGATCAGCTTGTGTACAATACATCTGATGATTCCCAAAACTTCAGGAGGTAGATACGCTGAGCATCTCTAAAAAATTTCCTGCTGTGCTTCATGGAATACTTTCTTTCGATTCGTTAGCCATGTGAAGTGCACAGAGCCGAACCCCGGTCAAGCTCAACGGCACTCACCAGCAAAGTCGCTTGAAGTCACTGTGGGCAAGATCTAAGTATTGCAAAGAATTCTTGGAGCAATAAGCTCTGACTGTATGTCCAGCGCTTTCAAGGTAGAATGCGATGAAAACTGAGGATAGTGCATGAAGAAGGTTAAAGGCTGATATTTTCTGGATGTGAAGGTATCTATTGAGACGGTTTCGCAAACTCGAGATAAAATATCAACAAATTGTGCATTCATCATCTCATGTTGAATTATTTCCAGTTCTCCTTGATGACATCCACAATCACTCCATGGTCCTCCTCCTGCTTTAATCCACTGACAATAACTGTGGCCACAACACCTTCAAAACCCTTGACGCGAATAGGGACACCGCCCCCGGCGATTGCATACTCGCTCCTATTCTCAGGCCCAATAGCGAACAGTGAATAGAATTTCTCATGGTCGCCCTCGAACATACAGTTCATATACCATGAGCTGCGCCCGAATCTCATGATAGTGTTTCTCTTACGCCGCACCCAGCTCTCGTTCTCAAGTACTGTGCCTGGGCCAGTAGCACTTTGGAAGATGATGTGGGAATTGGCGTGAGCGATAGAGATGATAGCCGGTTGCTCTTTAGCATAGGGCATGAGGCGAGCGAGGAGTAAGTTCCCCAGCACGATGGCATCCTCGGTAGTGAACGATTCTAGGGTAAAGGAGTCTCCACTAAGTTTGAGCTCGTTGACCTACATAGCCAAGTGAGGTTAGTGATGAGGATCGTCAAAATTTCAATGATGTGAAAGAATGCTTACATCGGAAGACGGGAGAGGGATCGGCAATGGATCCCCTGGCTTCTGGAATGCATCCTGCACCTTGGATAAGGCCGCAGTAATCGAGGTTTGGCGTGTGAGAACAGTTTGACTCATTTTAAGTATAATTTCAAGTGGATTCTTGAGAAATAGCAGTGGAAGCAAGATACGGCTACGACCCGACGCGGCCTTGCGAGTCCTTTTATCTCTCCCAGACCAAGTGGTGGATACATGCCCACGTTTGGTTGCCGCCTACCCCCGCATAACGGACGTCTTTTCCCCGCTACAGGGCGGATCCCTCAACCATAAATATGATGGATATCTAGCCTCTCTGGAGATAGTCTTGATGTGCTTCCAATCGGATATCTGCCCCGGATCCAAAGAGCGAGCAGATACAATCTGAAATCCGAACGGCCGATGTTCACCCGCAATGACTCCATTTTTCAGAACTGACTGACCTGTTAAATTCAGGTCTGACGTCTGGTTTCTGACCCCAGTCCTAGTGCAGTGCGAACTCTTACTCGATACGGAATCGCTCGTTCGGCAGTGTACCGAAGTTACCGACTTGCGGTATTTGAGGCCTCTACCATACACTGAACGACTCTTCCAGCCTTTTGAGGCAAAAGATGAAGAGGAAAGACGTGTCCTTTATAGACAAACTTACTTGTAAGCCACGTTGTTTCTGTTGAGTTGGATACCTCCGCTCTTGTTGAGATATCCTGGCTTACTTGAGGCACAGTTTTCTGCAGAATTTGACATTATGACAGGTTGCAAGTGGAAATTTAGAGACGGGTTATCATCTTAGTCCATTAAAATAGGTGGTACTGCTCGTCATTATCTCGCCGTGTTCATTTATTATGGCAGTGAAGCTCATGAGTGAAGGGAGAAAAGAGGTCATCACATGGAAGACTAAGCTCACCAAGAAGACACCCATTTTCACCTACCATAAGATACGAAGTGGGGCAGATTTAATGGCAATGCAACTGACGACGATACTTTGCTCAAGCGTGCGAGGGCTCCATGCTCTGAGACTCAGTATCATGCCAGTACTTTGTGTTTAGCTCTATTCCTAATTCCAACAAGCAGGTATCACCTGAGGGTTCGAAGAAGGGGCTGTTGGATATTTCGAAACAAGTGCATCATGCCTCAGTTGCTGGTCTGTCGGCTGGCCTCAGATTGATCACGCAGCTAAGTTTATACCAAGGCATCGGCTGCACAGTCAAATGCGCGAGGCGAGGATTGTTCGCACCGAGGGATGGACATACATTACGCAATTCGTGCAGGTTATAAAGTAACACAATTCACACACATATTCTGAGCTTCTGTTTCTGCCATTTGGTCGTTAACAGCCCAACCCTGACCAACCCCTCAGTAAATAGGCGTTATTGAAATTTTGCAATTGTAAGTACTGAGCCTTGCAAGTTAGGCACTCAAACCCCATGAAGACACGAGTTTCCTATCTGCACCGTCATCGTAGTAATAACTAGTACAAAATATGCAAAATATCCTTACTGTAATTTTAAACTGCCATTCTTGAAAAGGAATAATCCGAGGAGATCATATATTACGTATGCAGTAGACGCGAGCCAGTCTTATTTCGGGTGTCACTCACCAAGTCCCTTAAAGAAGGGGAGAAAAGAGAAAAGAGAAAAGATGAAAATTATATTGTACATCGGTTCCACGTAGTTAGGTGCCGTTATTGCGCCACGTGGTGATGAGAGTGCACAGCTCACATTCGGTTCTCGCAGATGCACATTCGGCAACCAAACCGGACCAAAGGGAACACCGGTCAGGTGGAGAAAATAAGCAGAAGATCGTCCGGTTTTGAAAGGGTTGATATCACTGATCAGTTAAGGGGTGGTGGCCAAGCACTGAGAAAAGACGACAGAGTAAAAGATCATCAGGTAAGAGTAATGGGGCGCAAATATCGCCTCTGAGGGTGGGAGATGGATCTGATTGGAAACGTGTCCAATCTCAAATGCAGCAATTTCCATAATAGTCTCAAGGTATAGAAGTCTCGCTTGTCACTTCTCCGCACATGAGTTTCTTGGCTATCTCTTCCCCGCCTTGAATTATCGTCAAAAAAGGCTGAGATAGACAGCCAAGCATAGGCGCCAAGCGCCAAGCGCCGCCGCATAACGAAAATCAGCGTATTAGAATAAAGGCTGGCAGCATTATTTACCCGCCGTTGCAATGCCACTCTCCCATCCCATCAAAATAAGGCTCGGCACCTAGGCCAGTGTGACGTCGTTACGAGCATGAGCGCGTGACATGGCGTTGGCCAAGCCTTGGTTGTCTGATGAGAAATGAATTTGTAAGACACAAGACACACTCTACGTTGCAATCATATCTTCCACGACGCATAAGGCCAAGAAGCTAAAGCAATACTCGGCTAGTAAATATGACGATATTTTGCTTGGTGTTTTCCATTCGTCTTGCTTGGAAGTCTATTTGTTGATACTTACATGCTTTGGGTCAAAGCCAAGATGGGCCACGTTGTTGCCACGTTCGTGACCATTTACCTCGGATCTTAGAATCTACATCCTCTCATCCGGGCGTACGATGACGGCCGCATATCTAATAGTTTGATATGGTATCCAATTATACTCGCCTCCCACTCAGCGAGTGTGATGGCTGAGAACCTTGGCATGCGGGGAGAGATTGAGAGAAGATGAGCCCCGGACGATCTCACCAAACGGAGCAATAAGTGGGCACATAACAAGCTTTTGCGCCTTGGGTTCTCCAGAACCTCCCCAGAAACCATGGAAGCGTGTTGGATCACCGCAACGGTGAGGTGGGTGGCTTGCGTGGAAGCGGCTGCCCTGACTTGACGGTTGATGATGCCAAGAATCTAGAGCCGGAGCTTTCTCCATTCTATCTTCTTGGTCGAGTTCGGGGATCCGGAGGTATGAATGAATGGGGGTAAACAGAAAAAGGGGATTTCTGATTGATTTGCTTTGGTGCCTTCTGTAGCGGTCAATGATCTACCCTTCCTCTCGCTCATAAATACCCTGCGTCCACGCAGTATTGTCCCACCACAGCTACCACTTTCCTTTTGGTACTTTTCCAAAGCACATCCCTGCCTCTTTTTTTTTCACCTCAAAGTCTGACGCAAGTTTCAAGATATGAGCGATAACATCTCTCAAAATCCCCCCGGGAGTGGGATTCCAGAGAAGTCCTCTGGGTCCAAGGCCTCCGACTCCGAGTCTTGCAAGGTTGAGGGCTTGGAAGAAGCGCCGGGCAACGATGCTGAGTTCGTCGACAAGGCGACCGAGCGTGCGGTCGTGAGGAAACTAGACTACCGCATCATTCCCATGGTGATGTGGGTCTATCTCATGAACATGATGGATCGAGGTGCGTTTTTCTTCTATTGCTTCCCTATGTGGATCCGACTCAGACGCGGGTTACCCATGTTCGTTTATTTCACTCCGTTATACCGAACTAACGTCCTTTCTCACATAGTCAACATTGGAAATGCGCGTCTGTTCGGCCTAGAGGAAGACTTGAACCTGAAAGGATCGCAATTCCAGCTTTCGGTTTCGGTCCTCTTCATCACCTACTGTGTAAGCATCAAGTCGTGTTATTATATGCCTTCCTCTGAACACAGAGCTGACCACAAGAGCCACACAATAGCTTTTCGAAGCTCCGTCCAATATGATCATTAAGCGTCTCCAGCCCGCCCGATATCTTGCTGGCTTGACCCTCGCTTGGGGTATCGTCGCGACGTTCAGTGCCTTTGTTAACAACCTGGGATCTCTCATCGCCTGTCGTCTACTGCTTGGCCTCTGCGAAGCTGGCTTCTTTCCTGGCGTCGTGCTGTACCTGTCCATGTTCTACAGCCGCCGCAGCCTAGCCTTGCGGATCGCATACTTCTACTCAACTGCAGCCCTCTCAGGGGTCGCTGGCGGTCTCGTGGCGTATGGGATCAGCTTCATGGATGGCTACGCAGGATGGCGTGCTTGGAGATGGATTATTCTCATCAACGGCCTCCCCACCATTGTGACAGGCGTGGTGATTGTCTTTGTCCTACCGAACAGTCCGGAGACGGCGAAGTTTCTTTCTGACGAAGACAAGAGAAACTTGCTCCGGATCCACGAGTCGCAGGTTGGCAAGGCGCCTAACCTTCGTGAAATGGACATGGCAGACGTCAAAGACGGCATGAGGGATTGGACCACCTGGGCATACTGCTTCGCCCTGTTCCCAACATTGACCATGCTGTACTCGTTCGTCGTCTTCCTTCCTACCATCATTCACCAGCTCGGGACGTGGACCTCTGCTGAGGTGCAGGCAATGACTGTCCCCGTGTACGCCGTGGGCGCAATTGTCTACCTCATATGCGCACGCGTCAGCGATGTCACTCAGCTACGGGGCCCCTTTGTGATGGGCGGTATCATTTCGTCCATCGTTGGGTACGGCATGCTCATTGCAAACAAGGGATCTGGAGTCTCGTATACTGGCTGCTGCTTCGTAGCCATTGGAATATTCGTCTCTTCAGGCATCTCGTTCGCTTGGGTTCCGACCAACAATCCTCGCTACGGCAAGCGAGCCTTCTCGACGGGCATGCACCTCACCATTGGCAACTCGTCGGGCGTCGCCTCGCCGTTTCTCTTCGCCAAGCAGTACGAGCCTACTTTCCGGCCCGGTTACGCGGCGAGCATGGGCATGCTTGCCTTTTCCCTCACTCTAAACATAATTTTGCACCTGCACTTCCGCAGACAGAACAAGTTGCGTGATGAGGGGAAACAGGACTATTTGATGGAGGGCAAGACGCAGCTCGAGATTGAAGCCATGGGCGAGAGGAGTCCCAGGTTCCGGTTTGCCATTTGATTGGGATGAAGTGTCTTTTTCCTTTTAATGGATGAGATACTTCTGATGGTTTTATATGGCTGAATCAGTTCTCATCGCGGGGACTATTGAGTGTCTCGGGTATCACGACCTACTTCAAGTTGCTGGGAGTACCGCTTATTATTTTCTACCCAACCATGAAAGAAGCGCTAGGCTCACTCTATGATCAGTAATTATATGTACGGACAACTACACTTTCATAGAGCGCACGCTCCTTAGCTATCAACACACTTGGTTACCTAGAGGCTTCACCTGCTAACCAATACCAGACCGTGACAGACATATATTCAACCTAAAAAGCCTTATATCAAGCCGAACACGCCCTCTTACCGAAGTGACCATGGTCGAATTTCCCAGCGAACCCAGCAACACTAATCGCTGACTCAATAGGCATACTAGCAGTGATATTTAGGCTCACTTTTGACAAACCAACTAGGCTAAGACGTTCACTCTTGTCGGACCTCGGCCATCACCGGTTGCGCATGTTGTTGGAAGCTTCTCCACTCCAGTGGGGCTAGGAAGGACGGACATTGGAGATAAGGACCTGTCCCCCGCCCTTATGCGAACAGTTTTCCACTAGGACCAAGGCGTCTGGTGGCATTATTTATGTTGAAGACTGTTGAAGACTGACCGTAATTTGGAAAACTGCTTGGCCCAGTTCAGGCTCGGAAGGAGTATGAGTGCCATGTAATGCACAAACCCGATAATTCGAGAATGAATGGCATTGGAGTTAGATTCCACGCCACGGGGTTTTCGCGAAAGCAACCACATAACACCAAGCCTGCTTAAAATGTGCGTTTCCGTGATTCCAAGTTCAGGTATTCACTCATTTCTCACCGCAAGCCGTGAGCAACGCAGACGTCGAGAAATCTACCGAACCCAACTCGTCGCAACTGGCTTAAACGTGGCCAGAATGCACTGGGTAGAAACCACCCGGATTGAAACCACTGGTTTCATCGCTTAGACACGCCGCATTTGCCCAATGGTTTCCGCAAATAGGAAGCATCGGATTCGGAGTGCTGCCCTATCGGCTCCATCGCATCACGGCATTGCGTCACTTAAGCGTTCCTTTGTCAGTGACGCAGATGGGTGCGTAAAAGTGGCTCTGGTTCACTAGCGTTTCCGGAAGGCCTCGTCTCCATGGAAAAGAGGACAGTGGCCCTGAATGTCTCACCACCCCTGTCTCGTCCCGTCAAATGTCTCGTTGACAGCTGCGTCCAGGGCACGACCGACATCGGGTAGAAGCGGGCCAGCGAATTGAGACTCGTCTCGTGGCAGTCCGTCTAATTGCGGTGCATATCGAAATATCAGAGTTGGTCTGGATATACTAACCGGCATGTAGGCCAAGGGATGCCCTATTCATGGAGCCCCATTTCGTGGATGCCCAAAAAAGCAGCGTCACGCGGAAGGAAGATGTGATAATCGACAACTCACAAAGGCGAATTGCCAACGTGTCAGTATCCAGTGGATGACTGTGCCTCAATTCCATGCTTCGGAGTTTACTGCCGGAGGTCCCAATCGCAGTTGTTGGGCGGGCTGAGCAGAGACTTACGTATCCGTCTGTACGTACCTTTTCGCCCTGGCCGCCGAGTGTCTCGCCAATCACGCCGGAGCCGGAAGTCACATGTATGGGGCTCGCTCTCAACAAGAAACCGGAAGCCGAGCCCCACGTGACGTCGGTGCCTGCCGAAGCCAGCCTAGACGCCCAGAGACACTCAGAGACGCTCCGGGACAAAGATAATGCGGCGGCCGGCTCTGTCGGATCGCCAGCTCTTCCGCTTCCCGCCAGGCGCATCTCCCATCCCGTCCCGTGCTCGTAGTAACTACCACAACTACACTATTATTACCTTTAGTGGGCAGCGCCTCTATAACCTTGCTGCGCATCCACTTCCTCCCTCCTGCATCACCATCTTCCAGCTGTTCTATTGTGAGATCCGTCAGACATTGCCCACCCTCGATCTTTCATCACCAGACCTGCCGCTCGCCATGAGCGCTTCCTCCAACGTCGCTCGCAGGGCCGTCTCCCGGAACCCCTTGTTGGGTAACGGTAAGTTCCCGCCTCGGCGAGACCCGCAGTCCGCTGCTTCTGCGGGAGCCATGAACCACCTCGGCAATTGAAACTGACCATTTGCTCAGCGAGGGCCCTTTCTCGAGGAGTCTCCCCTGCGGTTTTCGGTCGCCATGTCAGCCGCCATGCCAAAATCCCAGCCATCGCCCTCTTGATCCCCATGCGGGCCATGAGCACCGAGCACCACCGACCCGATGGACCCCCGGCCGGCCCTCCCCCCGGATTCAACGCCGAATTGGCTAAGAAGCCCCTCCCGAAGGAATCTACCACAGCCGCCGTCAAGAAGGACACCAAGACCCAAGATGCCGCGGCAAAGGACGGTGCCGTAAAGGCCTCTGATGCGACCAAAGAGACACCGGCTGCGACCGAAGTAGTGGCCAAGACGGAGAGTTCTGCGACCCAGGAGGTGACCAAGGCAGAGAAGGAGGTCAAGGCGACGGTCTGGGAAAAGGTCAAGAAGGAGGTCCAGCACTATTGGGACGGCAGCAAGCTTATGGCTGCCGAAGTCAAGATCAGCTGGCGGTTGGCGCTGAAGATGGCGGCCGGCTACGAACTCACGCGCCGTGAGAACAAGCAGTTGCAGCGAACGGTCCAGGATCTCGGCCGCCTGATCCCCTTTTCCGTCTTCATCATCGTCCCCCTTGGCGAGGCCCTGATTCCCTTCGCCCTCAAGCTCTTTCCCAACATGCTCCCTAGCACATTTGAGGGACAAAAGTCCAAGGAGGCCAAGGCCACCCTTTTGCGATCCACCCGCAAGGATGTCAGCGTGTTCCTCCGACAAACGCTCAAGGAGACGGGTCTGCCGCTAAGCGTAGCCACCGCACAGAAGGAGGAGTTCTCCAACTTCTTCCGCAAGGTCCGATCAACGGGCGAGGCACCCACGGCTCAAGATGTCATCAAGGTGTGCAAGGTGTTCCGGGATGACCTGACGCTGGACAACCTGTCACGACCCCAGCTGGTTTCCATGTGCAAGTACATGAACCTCAACACTTTTGGAACCGACATGATGCTTCGGTACCAGATCCGCCACCGCATGCGACAGATTAAGCGAGATGACAAGGCCATCAGCTACGAGGGAGTAGACAGCCTGACTGTTGGAGAACTCCAGATGGCGTGTGCGGCTCGTGGCATCCGAACCCACAGTGTTTCGCCCGCACGTATGCGTGCCGACCTTCAGACCTGGCTGGACCTCCGTCTCATAGAGGGCGTTCCCTCGACCCTTCTGGTGCTCAGCAACGCCTACATGTACGGACAGGGATCTGGCGAGGGATCCAGCCAGATCGAGGCCCTGATTGGCGTGCTTTCGGCTATCCCCGAGGAGCTCTACCACGAGATCGAGCTTGAGGTGCACAACGCCGAGGGCGCAGCTACCAACAAGCTGCGACTAGAGGTCATCAAGGAGCAGCAGGGGCTGATCGAGGACGAGGCCGAACAGGACCACGCCAGCCAGAGCACCGGATTTGCGACGCCCCGAGATTTGGACGACATTGATGAGAAGGAAGAGCGGCTCGCAACGGCTGCGGCGGCTGCGGCGGCTGGCTTAGAGAAGAAGCCCGCGGCCGAGATGGTGGAGGCGGAGATTGAGCTAAGCAAGGTGGCCGAGGCGGAGGCTGCTGCTGCGGCCAGGGTGAACAGCAAGAGCGAGCAGAAGTAAAGGGAGGTGAGGTGAGGTGAAGCGAGGAGAAGTGAAGCGAGGAGAAGCGAAGCCAAGATGAGCGATGTGAGCAGGAGTAAAGCGATACAGCTGCTCGCTCAGTGTACTACGACGACGACTACCGGGGAGTTGTTTCATATGTATGACTGTAAGGTACGGGACGGAATGGACGGATGGCATATCAAGGCTGGTCAACAAGAACCAGAGACAAGGAGGACGCTGTATCAAAACGGGACAGAAGATAAAGCCCAGCCAGAAGAGAAGAGGCAGCAAGAGCGAGAGGGAGTGAGCCAGGCCTCGCCAAACTGGGATAGACATCTCGACACAGGAAAGCAATAGATTCCACTACGATTTTCTTTTTTTGTAAACAAGTTTGCGTTTATTCACTGTTATACTTTGTAAATGGCCATGGATGGGCATTGGTTGATCTACAAGGATTGCAATGATAGGTAAGGTAGTGTCCAAGTTACATGGTTGCATGGGTACCTTGAGATGCGTTAGAGCACTGCGTCATCGCCGCCTCAGCCTCAGGGACCCAGGGCATCTGATAGAGGGGAGACATTTAGCTTCCAGAACGAGGGCCACGCATCGAGCGGTTTTTATCAGGAACCATGAGAAATAAAACTTAATGACTATATACGACTTTTCAATTGTTGTTCTGCAGTAGATTGTCTGATGCCTACGTCCCATTGTGCAATGCGTCGTACGTTGACTCTCGTCGCTAAGTAGCTGCCTATCTTCTAGCGTGTTCCCCGTCCCTTGGGCCCTGCGCCACTTCCCTCGTCCACATGGCATCTCAACCGCCTTCAACTCTCCACCATCGTCACCATCGCAGCTCCAGCTCCAGCTTCGGCTTCACTCGAGTTTCCAGCCAGGCCAAACAATACTGTGTCATCTAGAGGAACACTCCCCCTCTCTCTTAGCCGCATCCCTGCCCATTCTCTCCTCTACACCGCCGCCCGCCAACCCCTCCACTCGAACGGCCCAGCTTCACTACGCACCACCACCCATACGCCAGCTCCGACATCACAGCACAGCACACTCAACACCCAACCGCCCAAACAGCCGCTCTCCTCGCGGCTCTCCCGGCTCATGGCCGTCATGGACCAAGACGACTTCTCCAACGTCTCCTGGAGCGAGCACGTCCAAGAGCAGACCTCCCGCTCCGCCCCCGCCGCCGACGATCCCGGACATACCATGGACGGCGCGGGAACCAGCCACGCGCACAACGCACACGGCCTCGGCCCCGAGACGCTCGATTGCGTCGTCGGCACGCCCATCAAGGAGAATGATGGCACCAAGGATGCCTTTGTGTCGTATCTCATCACCACCAACGTCAGTCTGCTCCCCCGCCGTCCCCCGGCTCGCCAGCTAACTTGAAGCTATCCCCAGTCCACCTTCCCCTCGTTCCAGCGCGAAAACACCACGGTCCGCCGCCGCTTCACCGACTTCGTCTTCCTCTACAAGCAGCTCATGCGCGACTTCCCCGCCTCGGCCGTGCCCCCGCTGCCCGACAAGCAGCGCATGGAGTACGTCCGCGGCGACCGCTTCGGCTCCGACTTCACCGCCCGCCGCGGCCACTCGCTGCAGCGATTCCTCATCCGCCTGTCCCTCCACCCGACCCTGCGCCGCGCCCCGATCCTGCACACCTTCCTCGAGAGCCCCGACTGGAATGCCACCATGCGCAGCCGGAGCACCCGAGCCAGCTCCTCGAGTGACCCGGGCTCCGCGGGCGTCTTTGACAACTTCGCCGACACCTTCATCAACGCCTTTACCAAGGTCCACCGCCCCGACCGCCGCTTCCTCGAGGTCCGCGAGAAGAGCGACAAGCTCGACGACGACCTCGGCCACATCGAAAAGGTCATTGCTCGGGTGGCCCGCCGCGAGACGGACCTGGAGGCCGACCTACACGACCTCGCTGAGCAGTTCCAGAAGCTCATTCCCCTCGAGCCCAGCGTTGAACCCGCCATCCATGCCTTCGCCGCCTCCATCGAGGACACTGCCACCGACCTGCGCAAGCTCAAGGACACGACCGACCAGGATTATCTTGGCTCCCTGCGCGACATGCAGGCCTACTCGCTTGCCCTGAAGCAGCTCCTCAAAGCCCGCGAGCAGAAACAACTGGACTACGAGCAACTGACGGAGTACCTTAACAAATCCACCTCGGAGCGCGACACCTTACAGACCGGCCACGGCTCCGGTTCAGGCGCGGGCGGCTTCCTACGCGCCAAGATCGAAGACGTCCGCGGCGTTGACCATGAGCAGGCCCGCCGCGAGCGCACCCGCAAGTTGGAACTGCGCGTCGAGGAGCTGACCCACGAGGTCGAGAGCGCCCGTAACACGAGCGACATGTTCGACGATGAGGTAGTCAAGGAGGTGGTCGAGTTTGAGCGCATCAAGCGCATCGAGATGAAGGCTCAGCTGGGCAACTTCGCCGACGCCCACGTCGACTTTTACGGTGAGGTCATCGACACCTGGGAGCGCTACGTCATGGAGATGGAAAAGGAGGGCCCCGTGTCTGCAGCATGAGTCCCGCCCAGACTCGAGCCCGAATTGAAAGTGTAAACGGGGGAACGCGCGAGATCCAAGGTTCCCCATTTGTGATTTTTAAAATATTCTTGTCACGAGCTCCTGGCGTTTTGGAATGATATGGCGTTCTAGGAGGAGTTGTGCAAAGGGCGGGAGGGGGGCCAAGTGAGTCTAGTGATGGACAGCTAGGCTATGTAATGGACAAGAAAGAGAGATTCCAGCGCCGTTTCTGGGTCTCTTGGGTTATTATTACTGTGAAGATATCCGTGTCTCGGTAGAGTGTGAATCCTAATACTTGGTCTGATACGATGTACATATATTCATACAAGCACAGTCACATACAAGCACATCACATACACGCCATCACATATATAAACCCCAGGTTGTTGGAAATCCAAACATCTATTGATTGACAATTGTAGCTACGCAGAAAACGAGTCAAAACTCCCGCCGTCCCATGCAAAGGTAGCACCAAGGGGTATACTTGGCCAAAACCCCGATATACCAAATGCCCGTGGTTACTCGTATTCCTGTACATCATACACTACTGCACAGGCCAGGGTCTCGTTTTTATCGCGGACCGCTCAAGGGCTTTCTCTCCTTTTCATCGTCCGAGTCGTCATCGCTCTCGCCGCCGACCACATACTGCTCCGAGTCATCGCGTGGGAGGCGATCGTTTGACCGCTCGCGGTCGCGGTAGTCCTCAAATTGATCGTCGTCGCTTCCCTCAGCAAAAGCGTCGTACAGCTCGCCACCGCGAGTCCGGCGCGCCTTCTTTCCGCCGGCAGCGCCCTTCTCTCCAGGGTTCAGGCCCTCGGCCTCTTCCTCGTCGATCAGTTCAAACTCGTAGTTATTGCGAGAATCGTTACGGAGGCGACGTCGGCGGGCGATCCAGAAGTAGATGCCTAGGCCGCAGCAGAAGGCTGAGATGAGACCAATGGCTCCGTAAACCCAGATCTGGACCGTCTTGGAGGCACCAAAGCTGGGGAGCCACGAGACCCATGACGAAGACGCCGTCGAAGTGGCCTCCTGGGCCTCACCGGTGGTGCTCGGGGATGCCTTCTCAGTACCACTGGGCTTCGCGGGGTTCTTAGTGGGTCGCTCAGGATGATCAGAGGGGTTGCCTTGCACGCTGGTTGGTTTAGAGCCAGCAGTAATCGGTGTCGTCGAGGCCTCCAAAGTCGTGGTTTGAATGACATCGTGGTCGTCGTCGTCATGCTCATCGGGCATAGGAAGAAGCTTCGTCTTATCGGCGTCGATTGCTTCTCCCCACAGCTTAAGATGAAAGTCGACGAATTTGCCCTTGTTTCCGTTCTTCTCGGTGTCTCGGACGATGACGGTCCATTTACCCACGCCAGACTCACCCCTGCCGAAATGTTAGTTGCACTGTCGGAAAGCACTATATCGGAAGACGTACCAATGCGCGACACTCATGAAAGTCCAGTCCTTGTAGCCAGTGCCGGCCGAGTCGAGTCTTCGCGCAACGGCGATGTTACTGACCACCTTGTTGGGGCTGATCAAGTCGACGCTCAAGTCACCACGTCGGGTGTGTTCAACGTTCATAGTAACAGTAACATGCTCAAGACGGGCAAGGTTGGCGGCCTTGAGCATATCGGCAGTGACGTCGACGGTGACAGCCAGACCATCCTTGCCCTCGGGGATAGCCTTCTTGACGTGAATCCAAGGAGAAAAGTACCAGGCTTGAGGCTTGACCTTCTCCCACGTCTTGGCCATTTGAACCATAGCATAGGAGTCAATCTTACCGTATCCAAAGGTGTGACTAAACTTCTTGCCAATAGTCGTGGTCTGCCATTCGGCTACACCATCATCAATGGGAACAGCTGAGTCCATGGCAAGGTACTGCATGTCTCTCCAGCTCAAGTCAGGTCGAACCTGCAAGACCAGGGCGAAAATACCGGCAGCCAGGGGGGCGGCGGCGGACGTTCCACCATGGCCACTATAGCAGGCGTTCTCTCCGACATCGGTTGTGTGCTAGGATTGTCAGCTCAAATTCACCCGAGATTGGGGGGACTTACAATCGCATCACCGCTGCCACTACTGTAGGTGACGACGAGTTGGGCAGAACACAGCTCGGAGTAGTAGGGGTGCTGGCCAGTACGGTCCACTGCACCGACTGTGATGCTGTAAATGGAGTTGGTGTAGCCATCAAAGTTGCAGTTGTCTCCGTTGGAGGCGCCGTTTCCACTCGCAAAAACATAGACGGATCCCAGACCACCGCGGCCCTTCTGAACAGCCTGGAGCATGGCCCGCTTGATCAGAATGCCAGGGGCCTCCATGGTTCGGCCATCATCTGAGGGGCCCCACGAGCATGAGTAAATCTGGTTGTCCTGGTACTTGAAGATCATGGCCTCGGCCTCATCAGCGTCGCCGATAGCTTTGCTAAGAATTCGAATGCCGGCAATCCTGGAGTCGTAGGCGACGCCGACACCACACACATCGTTACGAGCCGCTGAGACCTCGCCGGCACAGCGAGTACCGTGCCTATCATCTGACAGCTCAGGGGCAGGTGTGGGGTCGGCATCGTTAAAGTCCCAGGACCCTTCCGCGAAGTAGTTGGGCTTGAGATCATTGCTGTTCATGTCCAGACCATCATCTACAATTGCGACAGTAGAATTTTTTCCAGTGATGCCCTCGAGCCAAAGGCCAGTCACGTTCACGTCGTGGCCAGTCTCGACAGGGTTAAAGAGATGCCACTGCTCGTTGAAGATGGGATCAGCAATGTCAAGTTTCTTCATGACTTCGGCCTGCTTCGCCAATCCCCAATCTGAAGCCCCAGGTTTTACCTGGCGGCTAACCACGGTGTGGCCCTCTGGACGGGGGGGGATAATTCGTTTCTCAAGGTGCATTCGAGGTTTCTGCTTGGAAGAGAGGAGGACGCTATCAAGGGGATCAGAGCCACCAACATCTCGTTTCCTCCTCTTGCGCTCCTGAATCTCTCTCTTGACAACATCGTGGTCGAGCTTGGGGGCGCGGAATACGTGGTGGTGTTCGAGCTCGCTAAGTTGGCCCTCGTGTCTTAACCCGAGGCGGCTGGCGACTTGCTCGGGGGTGGTGGAACGGTCGAGGTGCAGGACGTAGTAGTCGTTTTTGGCGTAATCTCGAGGGACTTGGGAACCATGCGAAAGAACGGTGAGCCCGGCGAGGCTCAGGAGAGTCGAGATCTTCATGGCGGAAACGAAGCGAAGGGAGGGACCTTCGCGCGGCGCAGAAGAGAGTGGACGCGTGGAAGCGGGAGTCGAGGCAAGTCTAACACATCAAGATGGATATTGCGGCCAGCCGTAATGAGAGGATCGGGAACTAGAGGCGACGGCGGTCAGCGCGCGGGCGAGAGAATTCGTGCGGAGGACAAATGGCGGAAAGGAAGAGGCGATTGTCGCGAACAAGCTGACGGGGACGGAGGCGAACCTACGGAGGTTGGCCTCGTGTGCAGCTGCTCGATGCAAGTGACGGGGAGTGGGCGGCAGAAAGTCGAATCTGTCTCGTACCTCGTTCGGGTCAACCGCAAATGCGCCGCGATGAGGGATGCGTGGTCGTGGTATTCGCTGCGTCGGGAGTTGCGGAGAGAAGAAGCAAACCGCAGGCTGGAAATCGTGGTGATGTCGTGGCCTTCGGTGATGGCTGGCAGGGTGCTAAACGGCAGGTGCCAAGTACAGTTGGGACCGGACACGCAATGAAACAGAGTTCCTGCCCTGCCATGGGGGAAAATAGGGGACCAGGTGCCAACTTTACTGCCTCGCGTGGGTACCTCAGTCCCCTAGGTCGTCCCTGCCTCACTCCCTCGGTCTCGCATGGCGGATGCCTGCCTGCGCCACACTAGCTTGCGGCGGAAGGTGCCAAGGCGCCTTCTAAGTTTGAGGCAAGGGCCACCCCCAATTGAATCGCAGGCTAGAGCGGGAGATGGAGATCCGTCGTACCCACGTACCACCATGGACACAAAGATTGCGACGCTCCCAAGGCCCAAGGAGGGACTCCAAAGACACACATTGGAGGAACTGTCTCGTCTTTTCTTCGCACAGACGGAACGACGATCAGCATTCCTCCGTACTGCTTCTCTATTTTCCCCAAGGGTATGTTGGGCGATGCTCGGATTCCCCCCATGCTGACTTTACGTACTCCCTATTTTTGGCGCAGGCTGCAGCTCCGCCTCCTGCAGACCTCCAGGCATCTGGGAAGCATCACATCAACAACACAACCCCGACAGCCGTACTCCTTATGCCGTCGTTGGTGGCGTCGCAAGTCAATACGGGACTAATCCAGGGCTGAATACACGGCACGGGCCCTGAAACAGTGCCTAACCTCGCGCCCCCCTTGCTCCATGGACCGCCCTGACCTCGCCAACGTCGGTCTGTCGTTATTGTTGCATTCTTCTGGGTGTCAATTGGTGTGAACTGGATCACCCACCCTGATGATCAAGTGTCGCTCATTTTCAATACATTCAACGTGTCCCCTCCCGCTCAGCAATGGGATATATCGCTCCGAATTTGTCTTGTCATCTACTCTGTCTAGGACTCTAGGTAGTCTATTCGCGTCCTCTCCCACCGGATCCCAATGTCCAATAATTAGTCCGTCTGTACGCCACCGTAAAAGCACATGCCTCCATCCCTTTATTCTTTTTACCTCACAGGAGCTCACAGGGATGCCTCCTTGTGGATTTCGATACCTGGCGGCGCTCCCGTAAAAGCCTTGCACTGCGCGTAAATAACAAACTGCCCGGATACCAGTCCGCATGTCATGATCAAGCGAGGTCCCAAGCCCGTGGTAATCAATCGCTTAGGGCCAAACTCACGAGCCAGCTGGAACATGCGACTTGTCGCACCCTGCTTCGGGTCTCCGGCGCCCTTATTGATAGCCGACAGCAGCGTGTCTGCCGGGTGCGAGAGTACCGCCGCTGCCACTCCCGCCGCGATACCTGACGTCAACTCTACGCCGGTGGTCTCAAGATGTGTCAGCTTCGCTTTGCGCTCCGGGCCTATTGACCGGTAGATGATTTCATTTGCCGCCTCGTGAACCGAGAATTGTCCCACGGCGAAAGGGACCTGCTTGAACAGCAGAGGGACGAACCCAGAGTAGAATCCTCTGAGTCCCTCCTCCCTCGCCATCCTCGCGAAGCCCGATGCGAAGCCGCTGGCATATCCGCGCTGAGATACCAGTCGAATTCTTGTCGCCTCGAGTGGACAGAGCAAAATGTCGGCAAAGAACTCGGCCGTCGCGCTAGCACCAAGGTAGATGGCTGTCCGGCGCTCCACGGCCTTTTCAATGCCACCCGCAGCTTCAATGTACTTCTTCTTGAAGAACTCGTAGCCGGCAAACTTGGCGCCACCCTGGACGAGATATCCCACAGCCGTGGGTCCGAACCCGGTAAGCAGCGCTGATGCTCCCTCTTTGGCTACGATCGTGCGGCCGGCCTGGATCATGTTGTAGCCCTTCAAGGCATCGTCGACCTGGATGCGTGTCTTTACCACGTCGATTGGTGTGGCAGCCTGCCATAACGTTAGACGGGGAATGTATTGCATGTGAATTGATACTCACTCCATGGGTGGACGTCGCCGCAAGGGCACCGGCGCCAAAGAACTTGACATAGTCGCTGATGGTAAAATTGGGCACTTCACTCTGCTTCTCTGCCATTTTGACGGTTGCCGTTCAATCGCATGTTATCGAGGTGAACAAGACCGAGCTGAATCCCTGGTTTTATGGTTCTGGTGCTCGCGCGAGATGATGACGTCGTTCCGTGGCTGCCGATCACAAACCTTGGATAGCTCTGTGCAATGGTTGATAAGGCGCCGCTTTGCCGTGACGGCGGCCGCTTTCGGTTCCGCCTCGGGGAGTTTGTAGGCAAGACACCTCAAAACAGCCTCCGTTTTCTAATATTCTCCCTTCGATAGATTTGAGGTATGCCCGCAGCTGTCGGAATTGCACATCTTGCTTCAAGGGTTGACAAGTGCGAAACGGCGCCCGGTATAGTGGACGGTGAGTTCCCGATAAGCTGGGACGGTTCAACGTTTGGTATGCCGTTTTTGAGCGTCACAAAGATGGTGACCTATGTTGGACTAGTTGGTGGCTGCAATTCGGTGCCGACCCGGCGAGCGGTTGGGCCCCAAACGGACTGTCCGGAATGACATCATTCAAGTGTAAATTCGCAACAACGCAAGGGCTTATCTATTTCATCTGTGTCAGGCCTTTAATGCTAGCTCTGATCTTTATGTTATAGAGCAGGACTAGGTCGTTAAGTATGTATTAGGCATATGTTCCCGTCCCAAATAGATATGGGAATACTATTCCATCAAATGAAGACGTCGATCTTGCGGTCCCCCTTGACGATAAAATACGGCACAGAATATCGAGTAGAAAATTACTCACAGGAAGTTCAAAATCGACAGAAGAATGACAGAAGTCCGGAGTTTGACAAGTCATGATGTCATAACATTGTCCAGGGTAGGCGCCTCACGATGCGACGCGAGGAAGCCAAGACTGATTTGACTGACTGTGCTCAACCAACACTACGAATTGTTTGATATGTGCTACTACCTAGCGTTGGAGAACCTCAGACGTGAACAACCAGTCTAACGGGTCTATGTTTCACAATTAACTACATAACATTGGAGGATATAGACTTCTTTGGAGCGAGCCTAGTTGGACATGTCCAATACGACAACAAATTTACTTGGATCAGGGTGCTTTGACACAGCGCAAACGCAATCTTCCCTGGTTTAATGTGCGTCATCTCACCCATTAGTGTTACCTCCCGTTCGTTTCTTTTTCCATTCGCAGAGATTGATTCCTGGCTAGTGCAAAACTACTCTAAGAGAGGCTTGAGACCGTGTGGGGACACCTCTTTATCTCCTGTGAGTCTCCCTTACTACAAACCTGTCGCTGAAAGTTGGATGGTCACTTACGGTACTCGCCAAACAGTTCAGAAATAAACAAAATGGCAGCCTCATCATCACGAGCCACGCGATCCAGCGCATCCGCCGCATCCAAGAAAATTGCTTCACAATTGAAGTCGGATGGCAACAGTCCAGAAGCCGCCACTAGAGTCGCAGCAAAGCGTCGCCCTGCACCCCGCCACGACGCGTCGGAAAGCGACGCGACGGCCCAGGAGGAGAGCGATGAGCCTGCGCCAAAGCGACGAAAATCACAACCTTCGAGAGCGAAAAGCAAAGGCGTCGCCACACAGCTGCACCAGCGCCTTTTTGGCACAGCGGAGAGAACGGTCCACCAGCCTTGTGTCCCTCCGACACGCCGGCACAATGTGAGCTACCACCGGCCCGCGCTCCTGGACGACGTCGCATCCCGCCAAGCTCTCCTCGCCTGGTTTGACAGCGTGAGCACCAAGCGCAACATGCCCTGGCGCAAAGCATGGATCAACCCGGAGGAGCACACAAACGCCGTCAAGTTGCGGGACCTGCTCGAGCGGCGGGCGTACGAGGTTTGGATCAGCGAGATCATGCTGCAGCAAACGCGGGTCGCCGTGGTCATTGACTACTGGAACAACTGGATGGCCAAGTGGCAGACGATTCATGAGCTGGCCGCCGCAAGCTCCGACGATGTTTTGAGTGCTTGGCGTGGGCTGGGTTACTACAGCAGAGCGACGAGGATCCACGAGGCCGCGAAGCTCGTTGTGCAAGACCAGGCCATGGCTGGCCTGTTGCCCTCTCGTGTGGCAGATCTCGAGGCAAAGGTACCTGGAGTTGGTCGCTATACTGCTGGAGCTATCTCGGCCATCGTGTTCGGGCGGGCTGTGCCCATGGTCGATGGCAATGTCTTGCGTGTCCTCAGCAGGCAGCTTGGTCTCTTGGGGAATGTGAAAACGGACAAGCTTGTCATCGACACGCTGTGGGCGGCTGCCGCTGCGCTAGCCAAAGCCGTCGCGCAAGATGGAACTGAAGACGAGACCGAAGACAGCGTGAGCAATCGGCCCGGGAGATGGGGACAGGCGCTCATGGAACTCGGGAGCACGGTTTGCACACCTAAGCCAAACTGCGACCAATGCCCCATCAGCTCAACATGCCGCGCATACGAAGAGGGAAAGATGCTGGCGTCTGCGAACCGCAAGACCGAGGTGAAAGACATCGAAGACTTGTGTGATCTCTGCGAAACTTTGGAAGAGTCAACATGCCTCGAAGGAGATGGGGATGCGAAGCCCAAGACTAAGCCGACCCCCAAGCAAAGCAAACAGATGAAACTATCGGCATTCATGTTCAAGGCGCCCGTCGAACAGAAAGCATCAACAAAACCCGATACTACTTTGAGCAGTCGGGATCTGGAGGTGATAGTGGATCATGCCCGGAAATTCCCCCTCAAGGTCGTGAAAAAGGCCGTGAGAATTGAGGAGACGCTCGTCTGTGTCATGCGTCGAAGTGATGGGCACTACCTCATCCAAAAACGCCCTGAAAAGGGTCTCCTCGCGGGGTTATGGGAATTCCCAAGCAACATCCTCCAAGACTCGGATGACAACAGCACCGCAAAGCTGCGACGGACGAGGGCAACCGATTTTATGTCGGATTTGATCACCAAGGATAAGACATACAAGGGAGCTCGACTAAAACACGTCCGTGAGTTGGGTAGTGTGCCGTGGCTATTTTCCCACATCAAGCTCACAATGCACGTCCACTTGTTCACGTTGGAGACCGACGATGACTGTGCGGAAGACACTGCGGCCAAAGAAGATGCCCGGCTGAGATGGGCGTCACCAGATGACGTTGATAGTGAGTCAATGGGTACCGGTATGAGGAAATGTTGGGTACTTGCGAAGGATTCCGAATAAGAGCCCAAGGTCGGTAGGAACTATAGATGTGTTCAATGACACAGGAATACCTGAGCATTGCTATCCGCAGTTATATGTAATAATATTCACACAAACAAAACCTCTATAAATTACATCTCTAAGCATCGCCTCCTTCCCTATCTGGATCAACCGGGTCATCCGTTAATCCGGCCACTAGCGAGGGATTACGGTCAAAACGGGGTAGGAATTTAAAGCAAGTCACCTCCTGACCCCCAAGCCCAATTGCTACAGTGGCTAAATAGATAAGTAATCCCTGGCGCTCTACTAACGGTAAACGTTTGTGCATGGTGAATTTTGGTGTTTTCTCACCAGCGCAGTCTTTTGCCACCCACTCACCGACCATTTGTTGAAGGATGACGATCCCAACATCCGCCGCCCCTCCAGGGCAGAGAAGCAGCTATGTGCTTGACCAACTCGAGGGGGAGCGTATTGCGATACCTGGCACCAACAGCGTGTTCCGAATTCTTGCCTCTCAAAAAGAAATGGATCATAGGATCGCCGTATACTACAAGGCGGGTATCTCAACAGATGGCACTGACTCTTGGCGGCACGCGTATGCCGAAAACGCTTTCATTGTGACAAAGGGGTGCCTGAGAATCTGGATTGGCGACAAATGCCGCGACTTATACCCTGGAGATTTTGCCTTTGTGCCTTCTGTAAGATAGGCTTGTTTCTTTCGTATTATTTGCGCATGGAGAGCTGACCGCCGAGTACTAGGGGAATGAATATGGTTACAAGCCACTCGGACCATATACAGAATTGCTGGCTCTCACAAGTCCAGGAGATCAAGTCGATCTCTTCCGGGCCATGGGCGAGGAATTTCACGGCATCTTGACCGCATCGAAAGATAATCCCACCCTACAACAGGAGCCGCCCTCGGGCTTTGATCTTGATTCCCCGGATGATGACTACCGACCTCCAGAGCTGTCCCCTTGGCTGGAGACGGAAAATCGTTTACCGGAAGCCTCGCAACCCTACTTTCTTCGTGCGAATACCGGTCCCCAGTGGATGTTCGGTGGAGTACTGTCGCGCCCATTCATCACTACCGCCCAATGCAATGGGAAATTTTACATTTCCGCCTTGGAGTCGTCATCTGGCTATCCTGGAAGACCATTCTTCGAACGATATATGAGCTTCACTTCGGTAGACCACTGCTTTTGCGTCATGGAAGGCCTCTTTAAGCTGAAGCGCAGGGGGGATTCTGAATGGACTGTTTTGCGAGAAGGCCAGACAGTTGTGGTTTCGGCGAGGGAATTTTTTACTGCTGAAATCGACAGCAAGTTTGTTCGCGTGATAGCATTTGCCAATGGCCCTGGCATCAATGAGTTACTTCAAAAGGCTGGGTATCGATGCAGTGGTAATATTTTGCCTGAGACTGTGGGCAGTTGGGATGGCTGGGATGAGGCTCGTCTCAAATCGGCGTGCGCGGAGGTTGGGGCTCAGATTGATTAATTAGATAGGCTGGTCATAACACGCCAACTATTGCCGTTCTGTTGGAAATGCCGTCTATTTAATTGGCAGAGCTGGTTATTTAGGGGTCTTATTGGGATACTGCTGGTGTTGGGCATCGTATCTAATTGCATTGTCGTTGCGTATTGCCCCTTCTGCGTTGATTTGATCTGTATGAAGGGTTTGAAGGAGTCTATTTCATCATTTTGAAAGAAGCTAAATATCTACACATAAAATATTAAATTTTATTATTTATACCATTCCATCTCTCGAAATTCCCAGAATCCAGGTCGAAGAGATCCAATAACCGACCGACCATTTGACAAATGACGTCTTCCACTGACGATGGCTTTGTGTAGAACCCTACCACCGGAGGCGCAATAATGCCTCCGGCCCGTGTTACATCCAGCATATTTCGCAGGTGAATCTCACTCAACGGCGTCTCTCTAACTGACAGAACAAGTCGTCTCCGTTCTTTTAGGCATACATCAGCTGCCCGAGTGATGAGCTCGTCGCAAATTCCAGCATTGATAGCCGCAAGAGTCTTAACGGAGCACGGAACCACGATCATGCCATCCACCTTGTAAGAGCCACTTGAAATGGGAGCCGCCAGGTCGTGTGAGTTGTAGGAAAAATCCGCCAGGGCCTTGACAGCGGCGGGTGTGTAATCCGTCTCGTATTTGATCGTCTCAGCGGCCCACTTGCTGATGATCAGATGAGTTTCGACGTTGAGCTTTCTCAAGGTTTGCAGAAGGCAGATGCCGATTTCAGCTCCTGTAGCCCCTGTGATGGCGACGATGATTCTTTTTCGGGGGTGAGACGAGGGCATGATGGTTGCCGTGTTAAGGGACACCCTGTTTTATGAATGAGAGATGGGGGGGATAATTAAGGTAAATCAAGAGATGGACGATGTATCAACTTCTTGAAAAGATCAATTGATGACTTGCTTTGTTGATGTCGGATGGCTCTCTTACCTGGGAACTACCCTTGGTTTATATCCCAGCTTGATCTCGGGACGCTCGGACAACTCGGACGCTGAGATGGACCATTAGCCGCATTTTAATTATTCAATGTGGTACTTTAAGTGCATTACCAACCGTCTATATGGCTCGGCAAATTCGCGTAACTCGGTGGTCTCGGTGGTCTCGGGGGCCTCGGGGTGGAGTGGAGGATCTCGGTCAACTCGGAGCAACGGTCATTATACGCCTCATGATATTCATTCTATGTGTCTGGACGTGTATAAATACTTTTGATGTCGCCGCACGAAAATGAAAGTGAATTATTACTTATCCTCGACTACAATAAGTTCCTCTGCATAAGTTTCAACCGACCATTTATCAACCATGGCTTCCCTTCAAGAACAATCACCCCAAGACGCTCCTCACCTGAACTTCCGGGCCTTTGTCCAAGCACTGAAGGATGACAACGATCTCGTCGAAATAAACGAAGAATGCGATGCTGATCTGGAGGTCGGCGCCATCATTCGCAAGGTTTGCGAGAATGATGAAAGAGCTCCCCTCTTCAACAAGCTGAAAGGCCAGAACGAAAACGGCCTGTGGCGTATCCTGGGTGCTCCCAACTCTCTCAGGTCTGACCCGACGCAGAAATACGGTCGTCTTGCTCGACACTTGGGTTTGCCACCTTCTGCTACGATCAAGGACATCCTCGACAAAATGGTTGCTAGCAAGACAGCCACTCCTATTCCACCCGTCATGGTCGAGAATGGCCCTTGCAAGGAGTTCCGTCTCACTCCAGACCAATTTGATCTCACCACGCTGCCGGCTCCTCTTTTGCATCAGTCCGATGGAGGAAAATATGTCCAGACATACGGCATGCATATTGTCCAGTCACCTGACGGGAAGTGGACAAATTGGTCCATCGCGCGGGCTATGGTTTACGACAAACAGCATTTGGCGGGCTTGGTTATCGAGCCTCAACATATCTGGCAGATTCACCAGATGTGGAAGAAAGAAGGAAAAGACATGCCATGGGCCCTGGCATTCGGTGTGCCCCCAGCTGCTATAATGGCGGCTAGTATGCCTCTGCCTGATGGCCTGTCCGAGGCAGAGTACATCGGGTCTCTTGCTGGCTCGCCAATTGAGGTTGTCAAGTGCGAGACCAACGATCTCCTGGTTCCCGCCAACTCTGAGATTGTTTTCGAGGGAGTTTGCTCGATAACCGATAGGGCTCCAGAGGGCCCTTTTGGCGAAATGCATGGGTAAGATCATGTCCTTTCACCGCAGCAGTATATTACTGACAGTGATTAGTTATACCTTCCCTGGGGATTCCCACCCCCAGCCCAAATATCGGGTCGACATGATCACACACAGAAAAGATGCTATCCTGCCAGTGTCTAACTGTGGACGTTTGTCAGATGAGACAGTAAGCATATTAATTCCTAACATCGTCTGAAGCTATACTAACCTAGTAGCACACAATGATTGGCCCTCTCGCCGCCGCCGAAATTGGGTATCTGCTGAAGTCTCAAGGCATTCCTATCACTGAATCTTTTTCGCCATTGGAGTCCCAGGTCACTTGGGTTGCTCTACAGGTTGATACCACAAAGCTACGAGCATTGAAGACTACACCAGAAGAATTTTGCCGCAAAATTGGCGACATCGTATTCAGCCACAAAGCCGGGTACACAATTCATCGACTTCTCATCGTTGGCGAGGACATCGACATCTACAACTTCAAGGATGTCATTTGGGCCTTCTGCACCCGTTGTCGTCCCGGAACTGATGAATACAACTTCGAGAATGTTCGTGGCTTCCCCCTCATTCCTTACATGTCTCATGGGAACGGGCCAAAGACGATGGGAGGCAAGGTGGTTTCGGATTGTTTGCTGCCTGTCGAGTATACGACAGGCAAGAATTGGGAAACAGCTGATTTCGAGGAGTCCTTTCCTGAAGATGTTAAGGCGAAGGTGCTTGAGAAGTGGGAGACCTTGGGCTATAAGAAGTAGAATTGTATGATTAACTAAGAGACTGATATAAGAAATCTTCAACTTCTGACTGATCTGGCATGATGGGACCAGAAATATCCCAAGGAGCAATTGTATCATCGAAAGACTGAAAACAATCTTCCATATTCCAGGACCTGCGTCTTTGTCAGTAGTTTTCTCCAGAGGACATGTAATAGCTTACTCTAGTTGAGTAAAATAATCCGACGACGCAGATGCATCGATTTCATTGGGAAATGTATTCATCTCATCTGAACCACCTTCCGGAGGGTTTCGGGATATCTCGGTGTTTCTATCCTGGTCTGACATGCTTTTGAGTCTTTTGAGCGCATCTAGAGCTCTTTTATGCGTGTCGGAAAGTTGATGTGCAGTGGAGTCTATTCCTCCAACAGATTCGGAGCCAGCATCTGCTTCGACAAGACTATTGATCAACTCAATTTGAAGCTCCCGAGTATCCGCAGTGTTTCTCGTTTCTTTCATAAGACTTAATAGAAGGACCGATGATAGTCCGTTATGGATCGACGCCCAAGAGCGTCTTGCGTAGCCAGCAACATGCCGTAGGCGAACATATGCCCTGGCGCTACTCTTCAGAGCCTCTTGGAAGCGACCGATCACACTTCCACCGTTTGTCGACTCGACCGGTGGTCTGATGACTGATACGAACGAGCGACAAAGCGTAGCAACGACAAAATTCTTATGAAGTGAGAACGCAAAAAATTCCTGGACCTGTCGAATAGATGTGCAAGACGACCGATTTTTGAGGTGACCTAGCAGAGCATTTTCGACCAACTCCATGTCATGGAATATCGACTTCGGGTCAGGACTAGACCCTGTCGTCGACTTGCGAGATAGATATTTCAATGAAATGTGGCACAACCAGTTCATGGCAGGCCGGTATCCGAGTCCCTCACTGCTTGCGGCATTATCCAATTTCTGTAGGTCGTCTTCATGATCCATATCATAGGAGCCTGGGGAACGATCGAAAGCCAACGACAGCAAAGAATCTTGCCATACAATGGCCATACTATATACAAGTAAGCTGAAGAACTCGAAACGCCAGAGTAGTGAGACGAACCGGAGGGATGATGCCTCTTGGGACGAAATTAAAGAGTGAGAGCGTCTTCTAGATGGTTTGTGGACCCCTAGGCATTGGGCTAGGCGTATGGTGGTACCTCCAAGAACCCACGCTGCTTGGGGTTTCATGTCATTCTGTAGAGCGCTTCCAAGTAGAAGAAGAGTTTGGAGTGTGAATTTGGATGGTCGAGCCATGTAATCCGTCGACCTGAGCGCCTCAAAGGCAAGCTTGACTGTGCCTCGTTACTAATATATCCCCAAACCAACTCCTCCGAGGCTGGCTCACTATGGTTTTGAGACACTTCAGAACGACGCTGTAAGTTGAAATCCGAAAATTGCGCCCCTGACGCTAGTATGGCATGCAGTAGACATAGCCAATGGGACTCTTGTAAGGATCTAGGTGAGCTGGCACTGGCACCACTTTCTCGATCGTTGATGAAGACGCACAGCTTCTGCTCAATTTCGTCTAGGTTGTAGGTAATGGCATGAAATGGATGGACTCGGGAGCGATACACGTCGAATAGCTCGAGGATAAGCTGATCATCTGGGAAACCGTTGTAGAGGGCCGCCCTCGAGTATGGAGAGGTATCTGAAGGTCTTTCCTCGGGAGTAGCGCCCAGGAGGGGTAATATGCCGGCCTGAAAGGCAATTGTTCGATCTGGGTTGTCTGTTGTAGCCGAAGAGTGCGGTCTGGTAATGGCCACTAAGGAGTTGTCGTCTAACAGACTGGAATTTGCGACTTGTTCATTCGGGTCCTGTATACCTGTGCTGTCTTTAGCGGTATTTTCATATTGAACATTCTTTGCCGTACTGATCTGCGGGTCGTATGGACTGGATGGTTCCACTGAAACACCCCTCTGTGGGTGCCGCGTATTTTGTGATGTGGCTGGGCTGACTCTCGGTGGTCCTTGGGGAGAATGGTGATGCTGCGGTTGTCGCGCTGCAGAGTCCCTGTACGTGCACAGGTCTGGATGGCCACGCTTGATGCAAGTTGAACATGGCACCTCCTTGGTGCATCTGACCTTTCGTTCCCTGCAAGGCAGACATGACGGGCGATTGCGGCTCAGATGTCGATTTCTGAGTGTCTGCTTGAGACTTGGACTGGGTTGTTCTGTGCTTTGTGGAGGCATTGAATTGGGCACGATTGATCTTCTGGCAAAGAACTCCAAGATTGAGAAGGTATTGACGGGGAGATTTTGCTGCAGCACCAAAGGAACAAGCTCAATCAGATCGCTCGTGCCTGAGATCCTGAGATGCACCTGTGGCCTCTGCAAGTGACGTTGATAAATTGCCGTTCTCGGCCAATCTCGGCCCCTTCGGCGGTCTCGGAACGATGGATGCAAGAGATGATGTAATCAGCTCGTCCCAAAAGAGGTAATTAACTTCGCCCCACTCAGGAAAGTATTTTTCCACATGGCAATGCGAGACCTTGATGCCTGCAAAAATCAACACCGCATGAAAGCAACGGCAATAGGTACAAACGGCAAAAATGATGAGACTGGGATTCGAACCCAGGCCCCTTTCGAGACTGCGAATCGTTGCTAGTTTGAATCAAACCTGAACACAGCGCCTTAGACCGCTCGGCCATCTCACCTTATTGGTTGAAATTTTTGTTCTTATTTGATCTTATTAGCCCTAGAACCAGCTAGGGCATCACTTTAAACTTAATATCTCAGAGTACCAACCTCACTTTAGGTCTACCGAGCAAACGAGCGAAGTGGGGGCCGCTTGTCGGATAGTGGATTACGGTGGGCTCTTGTACTGTTGATTCTCTCCAGCCTTCCATCAAACAATAGGCTTTCTGGCCGAGCGGTCTAAGGCGCTGTGTTCAGGTTGATTAGTCAACTTATTACAATTCGCAGTCTCGTAAGAGGCTTGGGTTCGAATCCCAAGGAAGTCAACCTATTCTGTCCATTTGTCAAGACTTGGACCTTCTCTTTTTGTCGCTGTGTCCAATTTTCAGTCCAGATCAAAATTCCACTGCGACAAACTTTCATGGGGTGTGCGCACCTGTGGTGGTCTGTGCGGTTCTTTTCTTCTTCTTCTCTTTGCTCTGACTTTTTTTTGGCTGACTGGAATAATTAATTTGTCGCTGTGTTAACTCTTAACTAAATCACTCTCTGGCGCCTCATCTTGGAATGAGACAGCACCTCATCGCTGTACCCTCTTGGTTGGCTTCAATTAAATGTGAAGTAGACTTCATGGAACCTAATGTTTATTTCAATTTGGTCGTGGACATTGGGCACAATTCGATGACAAATAAATTGGCAATGCCTCCTTAACAACTACGAACGTAGTCTCTACACTACACCTTCGTATTCCCTTGCGCCTTTCCCGTCGTGATTCTGTAGTTACCCGTCTTGTGTTTAGTTGTTCAGCAATTAGAAAAGTAACAGGCGCAAAAACCCCACATCTTACGGCCAGAGATGAAAACTGTCTGGCAACTAGGTTTGATACAGGGTATTCTCAACTGAACAACGGACATCTTCACATGATTTCCAGCTCACGGAGCCCCGTCTAACGGACAATACCCTCACAGAATCTCAACCAATCAGATGGTACTTTGGCCGAGCGGTCTAAGGCGCTGTGTTCAGGTATGGGTTCTCCCACATTGCCGTTTCGCAGTCTAGTAATAGGCGAGGGTTCGAATCCCTCAGGTATCAATGTCTTTTTACATGTGTGGCTAATGCCTTCTCTTTTTGTTCATACGTTGTTTTGTGATGTGACGTCCATCTCAAACCCTCTCTGGGCGAAGAGCCTTGAATAGAAGGCAAATTGCGGTGTTGAAGGGTTGGAAAAGCCGCTAGAATCAGATTTTGATGTAGTGGAGTCAGGTTGCTTGGTGGTTGTGGATGCTTGAGGCGTGGAGTCTTCCGCTAGTCGTCCTCCACCGACGAATACAAGCCTGGGGATTCATCCACTAGCTAAAGACTTCTGTACCGGGGCCTTTCTTTGAAGAATCCATGATGTGCTGATGGGATGTCTCCGGCCATAGGAATAATAGGGCTGTTGTTAAGTTAGATCAGTGGCTTGTTGTGGCTGGCCAGAGGCCAACCGAGAAAGTGGCAGTCCTCGACCAGGACTTGAAGAACGAAAGGACTCAATGACTTTGATAACTGCGATTAACACAACTATGCCGGGGGCTACATATTGTGTGTTAATTTTATTGCTGTGCGCAACTGTAGTTTAAAGTATTATATCTCCCTCTCCAATGCTTGGTGGAAAACTATGCAAGACGCTTCACATAAGCTTGAGAGTTACTTGGAGACGACATACTCTTGACTGAACAATAAGTTAGCCATCTCCAATACAGTTCGGTCCTGGACGGAAATTGGATGGTTGGCTTCACTTACAAGACCAATCCCTTCTACATACAGCTAGTCAATACCACTCCATCGTCACAGTGAAGACCTGAAGTACTGGAAATTAAAAAGAACGATTGAAATCCACGTAGAATGTCTGCCTCTTGTGTTTACATATGAGCAGGATCTGTTCCCGGGCGCTTTTACGTATGGGTGACGTCTACGTGGGCCACTGCGGCATTTATGTACACTAGTCTGTCGGCGGAATCCAACAAAAAAGGTGAGATGGCCGAGCGGTCTAAGGCGCTGTGTTCAGGTTTGATTCAAACTACGACGATTCGCAGTCTCGAAAGGGGCCTGGGTTCGAATCCCAGTCTCATCATTTTTACCATTTGCTCGTACTGTCGAGGGAGTGGCGTGGTGATAGCCTCCAGGAACATTGGAGAACTTACCAAAGAAAGGTTGGAGTGGAAGTCTGCACTGTAACCGCCTCCACTTTTTGACCAAAACTCTGTTATAGGTGTTGATACTTGCCTGGGACATTGATATATGGACGCAGAGTATCGTGAATTCAACTAACGACTGAAGTTGGCCTTGGTTACCCACCACTTTCATTTCCGCCCAAACCACATGACTTCTGTATGCCACGCCGTATTGTGCACTGGAGGCAGTTTGCCACTCCCCGTGCTCCCCTTTCATGAACTCAAGATGCCGGGGTCACCTAGACAACCTTCGCTATGAAGTGACGACTCTATAGGCGCATCGTACATCGGACGGCCACTGCGCCATGCCTGTGGCTTCTTCTCTGTTGGAACCCAATGGATTTTTGCTATAAGGTTTCAGTTCCAATGCTAGAGCGGCAAATTTATCCTTCAAGTTCTCGTTTGCAGCTTTTTTTTGCGCGGCACTGAAGGTTGGCTCACAGTGCGGTTAAAGGATTTGCGGCAGTCCGTACTCTGCACTCTTGAAAGAAAGCACCAAATGGACTCACTAACAATAAAACTCGCGAATTGCAGGGCCATTGAGATCCGGAAGCAAACTAATTCCTTAAGATTGGGTATTTTCTGGAAGTTACAGTTGGGCCCCTTGGATGAGACCCTAGTGCTCTTCGATCCAGCACGCAAGTACACTGTGTACGATTCTGGTTGAGGCTCACCCGCTCCGAAGAGCAACAACTGCAAGTGAATCACTGAAGCCGGTCCCGTGACCAGAGCCCAAGAACCCGGAACTCCTGCAGATTCCTCGCAACCGAATTCTTTCACTCTTCACTCTTCACTCTTCACCCCGACCGCGCCCGCTGCCCTAACGCATGACACTCTCTCAGCCCCTGTCTGCTTGGGGCAACTCGCATGCTTCCACTCTGTACGCAGTCTGTGCTCCAATTCTATGAGTTGTTGTGTGCGCGTTGGTACTCCTATCCAATCTCTTTCCGTCGCAGATGCTTGTCGCTACAGCCTGTTGTGCCTTGTCCATCGCTTTGTTCTGCCTTTCGACCGAGATCTACGTCCCCTTCCAGTTGGACTCCAGGTGCAACCGATCCACCGTTCAGTTGGCTACTTGGGATATGGATTCACCAGATAGACCAACCCCGCCGGTAGTAAGTTGTCTCAAACGCCATCCTTCACTTTCTCTTATTTACTGACATGTGCTTGAAAGATTGCGTCCTATTACTTTGGTCACGAAGGGAGATTCTTCTCACCTATGCCACTGGTCCCCCCTCTCGCTCCCGTCGACGAGAATTCGATTCCTCCTTCCCCCGATGTCTTGGAACCGGGCTGCGCCATCCCTTCCATCGAACCGCGATCCCGATCCCCAACTCGAATCAGGTCTCTTCAAGATTCTGCAGACGCACTTCTCGACCGGATAAATGTTATCTTGGTTGGCTTCGAGGCCTCTCAAGATGCTGGGAACGCCCCAATCCCAAGTGCTGCACCAGCTGTGGCACCAACTGTGGCACCAGCTGTGGCATCAGCAGCGGTATCAAGCCCTGGATGCCCGCATTGTGGAAACCGCTTTCACAAAGGGGCTAAGTGCTGGTTCCTAACGCAACCTGGTAAGACTGTGTTTATTCTTGCTCTCATTCAGCCGCTCACAACTATAAGGAACGGTTCCTGGAAGTGTGGTATTGCCCAACATGACTCCGCAAAACCTGAGCAGAGTAAGTTTCTTGTCGCCGCCTTGTCATGGGTCTCCTAATCACAAATCAGTTCTCCAAGATGAATCACCCCGCTCTACCCGAAGGAATGACTTTGATCTCTGCCGCTTCTATGCCTGAGGGTTCTGTTGCTGAGACATCGTTACCTGCGAGAAAGCCCAAAAAGTCCAAACAAAAAAGACCTCCAAGGAAGACTCCTGCTTAGGAGCATAATGGTGTTGTGTCTTTGTCCTGATCTTAGTTCAGGAAGGTGTCTTTTATTGTCTGCTGCATGTATTGAGATTCTGGAATCACCTGTGGAAGTCTTGCGTCTGATGTCTCACCAAAGAAGGTTGGAATAGAGAATCTTAATGGAAGACGGAGAAAGGGCCAACTCTAGAGAGAGGCGTTGTGCAAATTCGAGATTAATAAAGCTGTCCAATCTCATCTTTTGTGCCTCCGCAGTTCCTCATCTTACATTGGTGTCACCATGAATGTTCTAGGGAACTTTTATTGGAGAAGACCCCGCGATCACCGGAAGGTATCTGACGATAAATCTGACGATAAATCTACCCTCCAAAGTCGGATCTACCAATCTCAAACCTCGTTGAATGGCGCCGCAACCGTGATATTTAACTCTAGTCGGTGACATTTTCACTGAAGAACACGATCAACACGGCAGCGTAACTATTGAAAGCTAGCAGTAGAACTCAAAGGGTGACAGACTTGTCTTACGCTGCAGTAGCTCCGAAGCCCTCTGCCCTCTTGCGTTGGTTAAAAGGCCCACACTTCGTGCAAAAAGTCTCGTGAAGAGTTTATTTCGGCGACTCTTCATTGGCTTTTCCTAAAAGCCACAGTTCATGAGCGTCTATCAGGTGACTCCAGACTAACTAAAAGCATCAAATGGCGACGGCATTCTCAGGAGCGAATGACACACAAAAGGGGCCACCTATCTCTCCCTTTTCGCCCTCACCCTTCCGCTTCCCCTTCCCCTTCCCCTCAGTACTTGCGCTTGAAAATGCGCTCGAGAAACTTGAATCGTGACTCGTCCAATATGCGCAAGCTTCTCTCATCAATTGCGCCCATGTCGTTTTCGCAGGTCGTCCTCAGCGCCCGCACACTGGCTCGAGCCGAATCAAGGCGATAATGCTGATAGAATCGCCACGCCGGAGGCGCCGTAAGATAGACGAGTCCGGATACGGCTGTGATGATGGAAATCCGGGAAAGCGGGCCGCGGATAAGACAGGCCGCGACGGTGAAGAAGATGCTGCTGGACAGAGAAGGAGAATCGTTAGCGACGATACCACAGGATCAACAATCGCCGACAGGCAGGTAGCTTACAACGTCGACGTTGATGGCGGAAGCCTGAATTTCGGCGGCTCCAAATTGTTCTTGGCGTAAGCGAGGACTGTCTCTAGGGTGTTGAGGTTCTGAATGAGGTGGTTGCGCGAGATGTCGATGCGGAATCGGTGTCTGATTTGCTCGTTCCCAGTCACGGTGGTAATGTCTGGGCAGTCAAATGTCAGAGCTCGGAAGAAGGAGGAAGAGGAAGAGGAGGAGGAGGAAGAGGAGGAGGAGGAAGAGGAGGAGGAGGAGGAGGAGGAAGAGGATACCTGCGGCTGGGGTTGCGGCGGACGCGACGGTTCCATAGCGCTCGTTGTATTGAGCTAGGTGTTTGAGATACTGCTTGAGGTCGTATTCTGCCCGGTGTCGGTAGACGTCAACTCTTATGCACAGTCTGGATGGTTCGATAAAGAGCGGTTGAGCTTCGCGTTGGGCGTTCAGAAAAGGGAGCACCAGAATTGGTGGGTCGGGTGCTTCCTTGAGCCGGCGCCGCATGTCGGGGCGAGCCATCCGAACAGTGTAAGCCTTCCAGAACTGCGAGCGGTGAGGTCGGCTATCGTTGGAGGCCATAGTGGCGGGTTATCGTGTGTGCGTTTGGAGGTTGCGAAAGCTGCGAAAGCTACGAGAGATGAATGCGAATGTGAAGAAATGAAGAAAGGAAGAAGTGAAGGGGAATGAAGGAGAAGAAATATTCTCGGAGCCGCGCCTGTACAGTTTGGTCAAACAAAAACACACCTCCTGTTGCCTGAGAGAAGTCCTGAAAACAATGAATCACTGTCATGATGCCTTCAGTGACGTCATTCAATACATTGTTTTCACGGAAAGCTGAGGGCAAACGCCTGAAGTCACAAACATCTGAGCCAGTCACTGACACTTGTTTTGACATTGCAAACGGGAAGCAACTTGCCTGGACCAGACAATAGTAAATAAGTCACCTACGCCTGAGGCCACAAGCGTGACCTGTTTGTTCCGCCTAGACGGCATTCGGGCAACTGCCATGGAATCATCCCCCCGACACCATCATTAGATGACTCACACAAGCGAGCCTCCGTGAATCATGCTTTAGGTCAAGCACCGCGCATTTCGAAACAGCCAGTGCATTCAGTTACGCCCGCAGTTTGCAATCAAGTAGACTCCAAAGCTCCACACAGCCGGTAGCAAAGAATTCGCGTCCCGTTTTGTGTCCCTCAGGGCATCTCCTTTATTTCACGTGGTACTACGCGCCCTGTTGAGGCTCTTATTTTGATCCAACTCACTGCCGGACCGGTCAATCAGCTGCTTTCTTGGCTCTCCTCGCCTCTGTTTGCCATTGATATACCAATCGACTCGCTTTGCTTCTATGAATCTGGCCCGAGCTGTTAATATTTGTCTGGCATTTATCCCGCTCCTTTGTTCAAACAACTCTGCCCACGTGGAAATTGATCTCGCTTACCTGGGCAAACAGCTGCCAACAATGTGGCCAATTCCACATGGCTTCATATAAAAGGTGAGTGAGTCCCTTGGCATTGTAGTAGATTCCCCCGTCTCCTGATCCATATCTATTGTTTCATTCTCAAACCCACGCGACCATTCTGCCACTCCCGCTGTAGGGCCATGGCACCGACCTTGGTGCATCCCCCGGAGAACGAGGGCGGCTTGAACTATGGTCCTCCACCAATTATGCGACTGCAGGTGTGGTATCATACCAAGCTTGGGATGAGCACGCAGCTCAGTCAGGACCTCGCGAAGTTCCTGTGCCAACGAGGCGGTGTCGATTGGACCTTCAGCCCAACCTTGCCAACCATCAGTGTTCAGCACTCCCGCGACACGCTCGTTCCTCTCGAGGTGAGTCAATGACAGTTACGTTGCTCTAAGAGAAACTTAGCATTGATTATGGGATCTCAACTTGGGAGCTTGCTTATTGTCTGAAAATTATTACATTCATGAGCCATTGTCTAACTTGCCCATCTTGGTTAGGTTGATCTCGAGTACAAGGCTTCATCCCATCAAGATGCGCCCTACCAAAACCTTCGCGTGCTCTTCAAGCAGACCATTGTTCCGTTGGTTCGGATTTTCTTCCAGCGACTGAGCGACAGGCCACAATTCATCAACATCTACCCAGATGGTGACAAGTTGACCGCAGAGATCAAACAGGCCTACACGTTCTACCACATTGAGCGTTCCATGGCCATGAGCTACAAGCGTACTGCCCAGTCTGTCGCTTTGGAGCAAGATCCCTTGGATCAGACTATGTACGTATTGAATGTTAGCATTGGTTCTCATTTCCTGATAAAATCTTTACAGACGCCGTATTGGCGCAGCTGCGCCAACCGTCGTCGCGCGGTCGAGTGATATCCTGATGGCAGTTGATCAGTTTTCTTATAACTTGCTCAAGGGTAGCTCGCCGCATGAAGAGTGGGATCGTATCAAAGAATTGTTCTCAGTGGAACTCAAAGACAAAGTAAGGAAGTCTATATGATCCTAACCCTTTGCCATGATATTAACTGTTCGCGTCTCGAAGGAGAGAAGTGAAAAGGTTCCCCGATACGTCAACCCCGAGACAAGAGAATTATGGGGAAATCTATTCGCCACAACGACCTGCTTTCAGGGACTTGTTCATGATATGCATGCCGTCATATCAAAGCCATCTACCGGGACTAGTGTGTTATCATATCGTCCTTTGAGGCGCCAACACCTGGCTAATGATTCGCTGCTACTCTCCTAGCTACCAGCAACCAGGATATCTTCGGCGTTGTTTCTCAAATGACGGTCGCCGTGCAGCTCCTATCAGACCAACGTGCACAGTTGGAAAACCTCAGAAAGCTCCTCATCGAAAAATACGATGACGACACTCCGCTCAAGGAGAGGTGGTGGCAGATCGCATGCGCAGTGCTAGTATCCTCGGCTGCGGCGGGCACTGGCCAGTTGGCTGGGATTTCTTCATTGACTACTTGTGTGATTACTGGTTTATGTGGCAGTCTCTCCAGCATTGCCACTGGATATGCACTTGCTGATCATTATGGGTTGGAGAAGAAAAAGCAGAAAGTCTCGCGCTGTAAGAAACCCCTCCAAGCTAACCCATTCTTTGCCATGCATCTCCATTGACGAGTTGCTGACCTTGTTCTAACTGCACAGTTGTCAGTCGGATGGAACATCTCCAAGAATCCATGGAACAGGCTCAACTTGCCTTCTCGGCCTTGTTCTGTAAACAAGTCTTGAAGATGCCATTGGAATTGATGCCAAGATCTGAGCAGAAAGAAACGCTGGCGCTGCTAGGGGTCGATATCGTAAAACTAGGCAATCAGACCTGGACTGACGAATCTATCATGTACGAGGTTGAAAATTTTGCCGCAGAGCTCAATGACATTGAGAAGCTGCGGAAAGATGTTGGAAAGGACGCGGGCTTGAGAGACGCGAATGCAATCACCGCGGATCAGTCAGGACTCTGACCTATGCGACAGGCGAGCCTGTCGCCACAGTAGTGGCCTACTTGGAAAGATCTCTCATCAAGAAGACAGAAGATCACTCTTAGGCCAGATAGTGCGATGAAACAAAAGGATAGTGCAACTAGGCAGACTGCAGCGTGCGTCTATCAATCGGGACCTAACATCGAGGAGTGGGAATGACGATTGCAGGCTGAAGAGAGAAGAATTTAAACATACTCCATGTGGCCCTGCCTGCTGAATGCTGACATTGTTAAACCTATTTCGCCCACCCCCCCAGCGACTCCATGATTTCTCCTAGAGATGCTTGCGCCGTGCCTCTGGTCTGACCTGATCACGAATAGCCTCCGAGGCGACACATTTCCTTTCATGCCGGGGGTACAGGTCATATTGCCAGCGGAAGTTATATTTCCTACCCATTGTTCAAGAATAATTCTGTATGAGCCCATCGCAAAGTAGCCATGTCCATCTCAACTGCCCGACTCTAGTCTTGGGTTTGTATTTTATGATATAAGTTATTATTTTATGACTTGGTTTATTTTATATTTTATATTTTAGACAATTTTTATTCTACTTTCCTTCTCTGAGCTATTTAATCTTCAATCAGATCCTTGAATACAATACTCATGGAGCTATTGTGGTCAGGAGCCATAATCGTCAGGAACGATAATCACGCGGTAGCCACCAACGAAGCTTCGGACCTGAGGGGCTCAATGATTTGCACCGTATTCTTGACAAACCAACACCAGTGCCCCTACTTATGCCGGATAACGTAGGAAAGAAGCTCAATATTTGTTCCACGTCCTTTGCTATTTATACCGCTCTCTCCTTTATCTTGCCAAGAACTGGCCCCAGCGCCAATGGCAGCTAGGAAGTCCAGGGTTGGAAACACGACGTAATGCCAAGAATAACGTACGATGTTTCAGGAACTCTCCAAGAACCAGGCTTCGGCGTTCAATTGAGATTGAATCGCCTTCTTCATTATGCTGCTATGTAAAACAACGCACACTCAATTTCTTCACAATTAGCCATGGTATTCAGCTACACAATTACGCACGATGACAGAATGACATTCGAGATAAATGACGTTGGGTTTGAACCCCTATTCCCTATTCTAGCTTGTTTCCATTTTAGCAGGGAAGCCCCAGCCCCCACGGACGTCCACGTAAGTCCAAGACAAGGGTTTAGTTTCGCTAAGTGCTAGACCCATGACCTATGCCACGATGTGTTATTGCAAGCCTAGATCTTTTCTCCTAACATCCTCCTTCTTGGTACTCATGACGACGCGTAGCTCGGCACTTGGCTCAGCCTACGACAGGAAATGGATAAGGGGTAGACTCTGGTGACGCGGATGGCAGTCTGTGAACCATGCTTGCGTAACTTTGCTTTGACGATATCGGAGGCCATCGAATTTGAACGCTTTGGCATTTTGCTCACGTAGATATAAATGAGGGTTGGTGTCGAAACAATTGAACATTCAACACATGCTCATCAACTCTTGAAGCTTCCAGTCACTCACTTTTCTCATCGCCCGAAAGTCTATCATTAAAAATTCGAAGCCATGGCCCCCTCTCTGCGTTCTTTGGTCTCTCTTTTAGCCATTTCCCAGGCGGTTACGGCTGCTTCGTGGAATACCACTTGCACGAGCCCCTCGCAGCGAAAAGCATGGTGCGGCGCTTCAATCCGATTGCATCCATAAACGCTAACAAATCCAGGAACAACATGACAACCACCGAAAAAACGGCCTACATTGATGCTGAGCTTTGCTTGATGGCTCGCCCTGCTCAAGCTGGCATCGAGGGTGCTCAGAATCGATGGGACGAACTCGACTGGGCCCACATCGTACAATCCAACATCATCCACAACGTGGTACGTATTTTAGTGCCGATCATCATCAACTTGGAGGGCCTAACCCGGAATTAGGGTGGCTTTTTGCCTTGGCACCGTTACTTCATGCGCGTGCACGAGTATCTCCTCCAGTCCGAGTGCGGCTACGAGGGCGGCCAGCCATACTGGAACGAGGTCCTTGATATGGACGACCTCGCGGGGTCCGTTGTCTTTGATCCCGACACTGGTTTTGGTGGTGAAGGTTCAGACTGTGTAACAGATGGACCATTCGTCAACTTGACTCTTCACATGAACTCTTCGGGCACTTCTGAAGACTATTGCCTGACACGTTCTTTCAACTCGAATGGCTTCCAGTCCGGTGTCCAGGCGAACCTTGATGAGTGTTTCAACATGACTACGTACGAGGATGCTTTTGATTGCTATCAGGTCAATCCTCACACTGCTGGTCACTCTGCTGTTGGAGGCACTGTAAGTTGGCACGAATATCGTTGGCAGAATGATAAGCTGATCAATTCATTGCAGATGCTTGACGTCGTGGGAAGCCCTGGAGAGCCGCTCTTTTTCCTCCACCATTCCAACCTGGATCGTCTTTGGTGGCAGTGGCAGCAAGCCAACCTCACCACTCGTCTCACGGAAATGGGTGGTCGCAATGTCCCACTCGCCAGTTACTTGGAGCAAAATGGTATGGAGTCTCCGAGCAGTTCCGTTCTCGACTATGACGGCGACGAGGGTAATGTCACCACGCTGAACCATAACCTTTGGATGGTTGGAATCATGCCGAACGCTACTATCAGGGAGGTTATGGATCTTGGTGGCGATCTTGTTTGCGCCGAATACGTTTAGATTCATTTTCTGAGATAGATTCGGTGATTCGGCATATCAGGCGTTGGGCTCTCCATACTCTACTGCGTTGACTTTTTATAGAGAGGGCAATGTGTGACCGGAACTAGAAAGAGCTTATAGAATAATACGAAAGACTATTGATATATAGAAAATAGTTGTGCCTACCAATTTGATAACTAATGGACAGCAATGATGAGTTGTAGGCCCCAAATACTACTATATTGGGAGACGAAACTTAAGCATACTAAAATCCTTTTCGATTTCAAGGGCTGAGCTCCTGCTGTTCTAGGCTGAGCTGTCGCTGAGTCTGGACTGAGATGCCGCCTCCCGTATTGTTTTATTGGCCACGGGTAGATGGGTACCTAGCTGCGGATAAGCGGTGTTGAGTGTATCAACGGCACAGAAATGGTAGTAGGAATGACTTCTTTTGGATGGGGTCAAATGTCAAAGCAGATGTCGTATGTGCGACAGCTGACATCCCTGACATCTTCCTCCTCTCTGGAGAGGAACTGCGGGTACCCTAACGGCTTCTTCGAATGCTCTATTGACCACCATGTCTGTAATGGATAGCAACTCGAATTGGCTATTTTTTACGTTTCGTCGAAGACATGGCCGCGCGTGGCATCAATATCAGAAAGGACAGGAAGCGGCTCATCACAAAATAGACAGAACTGCTAGATATTATATTGCTACTAGCTTTAGTTTAATACGTCTCGTCTACCGGATAAATCGGACTACAGTAGTCCAACGGCTGCTCTCGGGGTTATATATACAGTTCCCCCGCCCGCCCCGCTCGCGGGCGCTTTCAAGGAGTCGGGCTCAAGCCAAATGCCAACATCGCATTTACATGGACGAATAGGTGTAGCACAGAGGGCCGGCCTGCGTATCCATGTAGTCCTTGACAACGGGCTCAGTGTCAGCAAGCGCCATGACGGGCATAGCGTCGGTGATCGAGGCCGGAATGGACCGGTCGGGGTCTTGGAAGCCGGTGTAATCAGCCAGGCGGGTGGCGTTGCGGCCCTGCCACTGTGGCTGGTGTTAGCAATTGTGCCATCTACTAAAAACCGAAGAGTGCTGCATGCGTACCTTGGCCCAGGCACGGTCAATGTTGGCGTGGTGTAGGAAAAAGAGAGGCTCGTTGGGCGAGGTGGCGGGGCCCATGTCGCCAAAGATGACGCTGTGGACTGCGGTGTGTTAGTATATTCCATATTTCATGAGGTTGAGAAAGACAAACCCTGTGCGTGCGGCAATCCCTCGAGCATGCTGACCATGTCGGCAAAGTTGTCGAAGCTGTAGATGGTGTTCATGACTTTGGAGTTGTACGCGCTTGCTTGCATGTCGCCAATAATCGGGTCGCCGTTTTCATCGTTGCCCCAACCACCGTTGAACTCGCGCGTGAAGCAGTGCGGGCGATCGCCAATGTCAGCCGAATAGGGCCACCCCGGACCCAGCGTCAGGTTCGTGTTGGCAAATGGGCCGTCGATCACGCAGCGCTCGTAGCCGACTTCGCTGCTGCCGGTGCGCTTGCCGTCGCCGCCGAAGCCGGTGACGGGGTCAAAGAGAGGCGAGTTGGGCATGTCGACGGCGTCGGCGTCGATGCTCCAATCCCAGTACGGCTGGACCCCCTTGAAGCCGCATTCAGTGCGCAGCAGGTTCTCGTGCAGCTGCACATACCAGCGGTGCCACGGGAGGAAGTTGGCCACGAAGTGGATCTCCGAATTGAGGATATAGTGCGTGTACACCAAGTCGTCCATGCGCGTGGTGACGGCGTCGATCCACTCGTACTTCTCCTTGGGCAGCTCGCGCAAGCACACGGCGGCACGGAGGTACTCGGCCTTCTCGGTCTTGGTGAGCTCGCGCCACTCCTTGCGGACGGTCGGGCTGGTGCAGTTGCCGTTTGCTCGGGGGATGGCGCTCGCGGCAGCGGTCGCCGCGAGGGAGAAGATGGCGAGGGTCGATCGGAGAAGCATCGTGGTGAGGGGCGAGTGGTGAACGATGGACGAATGGATTGGTTTATAGCGAAGGACACCTCAAGCCAAGAGCCGAGTGAAGAGGACAGAGTGAGCGAGAGTGGTGGTGAGGATAACTGTTCATCTTGACATGGCGTCCTCTTTACTTATAGATGTTGTCTTGCGAGATGCCCTGCTTTGAGACGGGTCCCTCATGGGGCACATCGCAGCGGTACTCACTGGCGTCGGCATAATTGACAATACAGCTAGTAGCCGCTGTCATCTCCCATGCGATCGGTTCCTGGGGCTACTCGTGTGCTTGTTTTACTCTCTTGGCATACTCGTGTTCAAGAGGCCCTTGTTGATTCTGCAACCGACCGCGCGGGTTCGAATGGTTCCCTGTAGCCTTTGTCCTAGAGATGTTACATCGTAGACCAAGTGTCCCGCCCAGTGCAGGGGATTTACCCCGTCTACCCTAGTAGACTAGCCAGACTTGCCAGATACCCATTGTAAAGTCTGGATCTTGACCCTAAATTAAGCTCAATCGATCGCTTCTCGAAGATTTTGCGTTTGGTTCGTATTACACCCTGGTAGTTTAAGCGTGGACGAAGGACCCACTGCCCAGCGATTTTAAGATAGGGGCCCAATACGCAATACGAGCTTAACTTAAGGGGGTAGATCATGCTCGTATCTTGAGACAAGCTGGGTTATTAACTTGCATCTCTAAATGACATCATCTATGCAAAAGAAATAGACCATGCGCTTCTTCAGCACAAAGCGGCATTGTCATCCTTGTGAGGGAAGCATCCTCCGTGACCAATTGGCGAGGCCGACTGCCGATGCTCGAAGAAGATTCATTACCTGACGGAGAATTACACCGCGCTTGAAAGATATCTCAATTCGTGAAATGACGCTTCGGACAAGGCCCAGCGCAACTTGAAGTATCTTGGGCCCCTGTGGACGCTTCCGGATGCCGAGCCGAGCTCCTCTGCAATTGGCACAATATCGCGTGTTAGCAAACTTCTCCAGTTCCCACGAGCTGATGCAGAGCGCATTGAGGAATCTTGATATTGTTAAGCGCGACACGGGATCACCGACAACGAGATTTTCCGTGTCCCAGCCTTTTTTTTCGTCCTTGGCAACGGATGTCCGGATGCTTGGACCCTCCCCCTGGTTCAACCGATGCTTCCGCCCCGGCCGTCGCTCACGAGGAATCGATTGTCGGAGGCCCTGCTTCCATGACAAACCCTATCCTTGCGGCTGCAAACCCGGCAAGTGGTGGCGCTGTACCGAGGCACCATCAGCAGTGCAGTCCTGATTGATTCGCTAACCCTTGCTCCCACCTCTTGGGGCCTAGTCATTGATGGGGCACTTCGGAGATATTCTCGCTAAGGTGGCCTTGGACACTCGTGCCGAGGCGAAGTTCAATGCCACGTACCGGGACGATTATTTTGGCACTATTAAGGGAAGTAGAAGAATCCACTGCGGCTTCAATACATGGCGCAGAACTCATGCGACCTGGCGGTGACCTGTCGTCGAGATTTCGGCTCCGAGGATATCCAGGTCAGCGACAAACAAGTATGCCTGGGAGGGATTTCAATGGTAATTGACGCGAAGCAAATACAGATGGCGACTGCTATTCGCACGACTACAAAGGTCCAATGAACCTCGGTGGTAGCTACAATGAGACCCAATCCAAGTCTCTCTCAATATCTCCCTCTGGTCGCTTCCAAAGATCCTCCTCTGGGCCATCTATCGAATAAGTTGATGCCAGATCCACCACTGTCTCATCAATACCCCTAACCTCTTTCAACAGCGGCAGACGCTTAGCCTTCTTCTCCATGAATTCTTGGACATGGCTGTCGATTTCTTCGTTGACTCTCTTCGTATACCCATACAAACAGAGGTATTCAAGATTCGGGGGCAAGGCGTCGATGAGTCGAAAGGGGGGCTGCTCAATGAGGTGGAAGGGGGGGTTGTATTCCGATACCACGTTGCTACCCAATAAAGCCTTCACCCCGATGCTTAGATGGGTCATGGCTTTGAAGTCGTGAAGTGAGCCGAGTGTGTAGCCGTATTCCCGGGTGTTTGGTAATTGGTTCGACCAAAGTGGGCGGTTGCTGACCGCTTCATCTAGGTAGTAATACTTGTCCTTCTGTCTTTGATACTTCTCATCGTCAATCACGTCCTCTTTCTTGTAGATAGGTTCCCGATATTTGACGGCAATATCTATGTCCAGATCCAAGACCCTGAGCGACTCTTTCTGTTCAAGCAGACACTTGCCCACAGTCTTCAGGAACATCATGGACAGCCCACGATCCCTAGTCCACAGTCCTCCCAGCGACACAGTGAGCTCCTCCAAGCTCTTGGGAATTCGAATGATCATTCCAAGCCTCTCACTGGACATTCCGGCATGTCCAATGTGGATTCGCTTAATGTTGTTCGATGTGTGCGGAACGAACAAATCCCGATTTGCTTGATATTCAGACACACCATCCATGACAACCGAATGTATCGCTGGAAGTCGATGGAAATAGCGAAAGCAGTCCAAAAGTTCAACTCTCGAATAAAAACTTGGGTCGTATCCGGGTCCTTTACCTGCAATGATTTCAACTTTCTCAAGTCGTTGCAAGCCCTGTCGAGGAAGCAAGCCATAATTTGATTTCAGGAGGTAATCCTGAAGAGATGACCGCCAGCCAAGTTTCCCCACGTATAGCGTCGAAATGTTCTTGCAGAGGGATATCAGAACAGCCGATGCAGCCAGTCCAAATTCAGCATTTTGGTCGTTAAATCCCCTCGGGGTTTCTGGGTTGTTGCCTTTCAGATGTTGCTTCTTCCATTCAACCGCGTCTAACATCGTCGCTGTGGCCTTATCACCCAGGCCCAGGCCACGAATGTAGCTCTCAATGGCAGCATGGACATCTTCACGGACTGGCAGTGGGGGCTCCTTTAGCTCTTTGTTGATATCGCTCATGAAGAGATAGGATGTTCTTGAGGATGGCCACCCGTCGGAATCCAACACCAGCTCCGCAACAGAGTCGGCAAGCGAGGGCTGAATGACATATGCGGCGATGATGGGATAGAGAGATTCGATGTCGTCCCTGGTTGTAATCCGAATCCTGCTGTAGGAAACTGAGGAGTTCCATGCGGCAATTGACCGGAGCTGCTGCGTGTCTGCCTGTTCCATCATGCTACCCGGTCCCTGAATGGGTTGATAGTGAGCGTGGCAAAGTTGAGCAAATAGACCAATGATGGCAGCTGCTTTCAAAATAGAGGCGAATTTCTTCCACAAAACCATTCCATCTTTGATAGAAGGTGAAGAGGGCAAGTCCTGGGCGGTGTCGGATCGATCAATTTTCACGGGGCCCCTTGTTGCGGAATGTCGTTGGTCCGGGTTCCGAGCAGTTCGTTTAAGAACCAGTAGTCACGTGCGAAGCCAGGATGTGTCTGCATTCTGTTCTTGGTCTGGAAAGTATCTGATTAAAGTGTTTGGAAGTGCTGGTTCTTAGAGGTATATGAAAGCATTCGTTGAATGCAAGCCTAGTACCTTTGCCCAATGACTGTCTTGGTAACGCGCCGGCTTATTTCTGTACCCTATCAAGGGATCGCCTTAGTTGGGGCGAGCATAAAAATAGCACCTCAATGGCCAATCGTTTTGGAGTAATAGTAAGCGCGTAATAATAAGATAAGGCATCGCGTTGGACGCGCTGAAATATATCTAGGGTGTCTTGAAATGAGTTGTGTTCGAATTGCTTCGGGTCTGCTCGGAACTTGGTCGGGTGCTCATCAGGTTTTGATTTGGCCTACGAGTCGGAACAAAAATGCCAAAATAAGCCTACCAGCACACACGCTCTGCGATAGAAATAGAAAACGAGAGAAATGAGGGAAACGGCCGAGTTCAATAATCCGGGGGGGAGGTGCCATTTCGTGGGGAGCAAATGGTGCAGTTTCCCCGCACTCGGGGGCCGGAACCCCACGCGGGCCGGACAACACTTGACACTAGGCTCGGCCCCACCGTTCCGATCTCGAGATCTATAAAAGAGAAACGTGTGTCTAGAGAAGTCAGAGAAGGCTTCCTTCTTATCCAAGGCATCCCGGTTCGCAAGTATGGCTTTGCTAAATGGAATCGCCGTTTGGTGGGCTCCCAGTCTAATTGGTCTTGGTTGGGTTCTATGGGTAGGTTTCCCATGGCATATCAACGCTCACCAAGCGTCGATGCTCTCAGCTTTTCAAGTCTAACAGGTTATAGGCCATATACGAAATCTTTACGTCATTCGTTCGCCGCGTTCCTGGCCCCGTGTACACTCTCTTCACCCGTCTCCCGTTAAAATACTACACCCTCACCGGCCGCCGTCTCCATTGGATCCACGCACTGCACGAACAATACGGTCCCATAGTGCGCATTTCTCCTCGCGAGATTGCGGTGGCCGATCCCGAATCTTTCGCCGCTATCCATCGCATCGGGTCAGGCTTTACCAAGAGTCCTTGGTACGACAGTATACCAGATGGCATCTTTGCGATGCGAGACCCAAAAGTCCATTCGCAGCGTCGAAAGCTTTTTGCCAGGGCCTTTAGTGCGACAGAGCTGCGGGCCAACTGGGAAGGTGTTGTCAGAAAGAAAGTCGAATTGGCCGTCCAAAAGATACAGCGAGAGGCCGCGGACCACGGAGAGGTGGACGTGATGAAATGGTGGACATTGATGGCGACAGATGTGATCGGGCATCTCAGTTTCGGTGAGAGCTTCGAAATGCTTGAAGTTGGTCGCGTGAGTTTCCATCCACATCGATAGTCTGCCCACAAAGGAGTACTAACAAATTTCCATCAATAGAAGACCGAATATATAGACGTTCTCGAATCTGCACTCATCAACAGCGGTATCAGGTCCGAACTCCCACTTCTACACGCCATCCTTAGCTATTTACCCATCCCTTCCATTCGAGCACTCATCAACGCAAACAAGTATCTCTACAACTATGGCGCTCGAGCAGTCGCAAACCTGCGTAATCAGAGTGGGAATGCATCAAACCTCTTCGGCACAATGCTAGCTACACTGGAGAGCGAGGTCTCTGAGAAGGCTGCTTCGCTGGTACCGCTCACCGACCATCAGGTCCAACTTGAAGCTGGAAATCTCATTGTCGCTGGTTCGGACACCACGTCCGTCACGCTAACCTACCTCATCTGGGCTGTCCTTCAACGCCCTGATTTACAGCGCCGGCTGGAGGAGGAGGTGTCGGGTCTGCCAGAGCGGTTTGATGATGCGGCGGTGGAGAAGCTCCCGCTTCTGGAAGCTGTCATCAATGAAACGCTGAGACTCTACGGGGCTGCGCCTGGAGGGTTGCCAAGAAGCGTGCCGAAAGGGGGTGCGACCCTGTGTGGGCAATACATCCCAGAGGATTTCGTTGTTGAGACCCAAGCATACACTCTCCATCGCAATGCGGACATCTTCCCCAATCCCCTCAAGTAAGTCTTTTCACTTCAATATCCCAGACGCTCAAGCACTAATTATGTAAAGATTTGACGAGTCCCGGTTCCTTGACCCGCAGAACCGCACCAAGCTTCAAAAAGCCGTGTTTACGCCCTTTGGGGCAGGCTCTCGGATCTGCCTTGGTATTCACCTTGCGAGAATTGAGTTGCGCCTTGCTACAGCGGTATTCTTTCGAAACTGCCGAGGCGCAAGGCTAAGCAAGTCTATGACTGATGGGCTGATGGAGATCGAGAACTTCTTCCTCATAGCGCCTAAGGGTCACACCTGCAAGGTGGTGTTGTGATTGTACTTGCTCGTTTTACCAAGGTGTTCGGCTCCTTTGGTGTTTCTTTGTGTGCACTAGCGAGAGTGCGGTGCAAGACGTCTGGGGCCGAGCAAGGGATCTGAATCACACGCAATTTGGCCATTACCAAACACCATTCCGTAGTCAACAAGTTGATCGATGGCGTACTGACTCTATATCCATCTCTCGTAATCTGTAGGGATCTATTCATATGGTTTCATCAACTCGTTCGACTCAACCAGAGATTCAAAGTTGGCAATATGGGTTGAATGGCACCAAGGCTTCAGTCTCTTTTCCGTCCTGATAGTTTCTGCAAAGCATCCCAACCACCCTTCCCTCGGAAATACCCTGTTCACATCCTCCCGGGTTGTTTCATGGATAATGTGCTCAAACTGACCGACATTGTCGTAGATTGTGGCCATTTGTATCAGCTGCCCAAGAAAGGTGATGCTTCCCTCGGTACCAAGATCTTGGTGTCGGATAATAGTTTCGCACACGGCCTCTGCTTGGTCCCTTCCGGAACCAATAGCATTCAATAGGTTCAGGGCTTGAATTCCGCCATAAAATTCGAAGGACATTCGAGTGCTGGAAATGTTCTCGTCCGAGGTGCCAATGTCGTGGAGGAGACAAGTCAAGGCCAGAGTTGACGCGGATAGTGCGGTGCCATATTCGGGAAATTGTTGCTTCGCAATTGCGGTGGCTAGTCATCATATTAGTGCATATTCATTCCCCTGGGTTAGAGACAATTTCTTACCGAAATAGTACACTCTCATAGAGTGATTATACGTCTGTCTTGGTAGGTTCTCCTTGACGTATTCCTGGACACTGGTCACAGTAGGATCGTACGAGGGGAACGACATTTTTTCCACAGTCAGAGCTTCAGGCTGATGGATGTACGGCCTTCCGTTGAGAATCTTGCTCGCGTCGACTGGCACGGCAGTCCATCCATTCTCGCCTACCTCGTTTGGAGCCATCTATATCGGGATGTACTTAAAGACTTTTTGGTGTATTGATAATTAAATTGAGCATCTCTGCCTGGCGTCAAGACTTTTATAGCTTTCCCGCACGCTGGTTTCCCAATCGAGCACTGAGCTGACTCGGTGATGTCATAATGACCATTTGTCATAAGATGAGTGAGCATGCCGAGCAGCCGAAATGCTGAGGCGAGCTCTGTCAGCAGCGTGTACAAATACCGCACGTCTCGTGGTAGGTGTCGCGTTTTCGCACCATATTTCACCCATTTCCGCGGAGATGGACTCGTCTTGAGGCGGGCTAATGCCGCCGCCGGCCCGATGTTTTTAGATCCGGGCGATTCATTAGTGCCGAAATACCCACCACATGGAGTATAGCTTTGAGTTGAACAATACGAGACTTGATGTTTGGTACGCTTCTGTACGCCTCTGTACGCCTCCTCTCGTCTCCCTGAACTATATCCTAACTACTGGAATCAAATAGGCCAATCCGCCCATACATCACAACGGGAACAAAAACGGTAGCTATTAACTTGACGACGAATTAATAGTACTTTAGCAGTTTCCCGAGTGGGCATTCAGACATCAGGCATCTGGAGCATTTCCGTCTCTGACTTGCAGGAAGCAAATTATAACTATACATATTTATTCAAAAGGATGAGTAAAATTAGACTGATTTCCCTAGAGTATCCGGACAATTTGTTAGACTTGCCAGCGGTAGTCCAATGAGGAGGCCACTGATGAAACGCAGAACCTAAACGACGTTGACTGACATCTGATATATTTCCTTATCAACACGATTGAGAGCCAGTGATTCAGGACTTCCAATGGAACAAACGAAGATAACATGTGTATATCTGACCACGATTTAATCACTTTAGAAGCTCACGATCTGCTCATGCCTTTGGGGATGTCACAACTCGGACCTCGGTAAAGTCTTCGCCTTTTTCCACGGCTGAGTTCTTTCTTCGTCTTATCAGGAAACTGTTCAGGTATAATTGTCAGTATATCATCTTACGCTGAGACCATCTGCTGGTTGTTGTCTTAATCGACGGTGTGAACTTACAAAATCGCTGCAATGACTCCGACAAGCGCAGGGACACCAAGCCCCACGCTGACGCCGACGACGATGCGTTTAGGCACTCCTCCATCTTTACCGTCTGCGATGCTGTCCTGGTCTTTACCACTTCCCGAAGAGGCTGAGGATGTCGAAGACGTCGTTGGCGGAGGCGGGGGAACGTACGATACCGGGCTTCCGGACGTAACCAACAGTTTCTGCGCACCAGACCCAAACGGAACCGTACCGAGGGCGGTAGTTTGTGTCGATTCCGGGAAGCTTGCATCAGAATCTGTCGGGATAACCGTGACGAGCGTCTTTGTCGTTGTGAATTTGGTTGTCGTTTGCAGGGACGCAGGACAGTTCACCAGGCCCTCCGACACACAGCCTACGCCGACGTAGACAACCTTGGTGCTGATGGTTGTAGTAGTCATACCGTCATCATCGCCGTCGTCTCTGACTTTAATAGCTTCAGATGTCGCAGAAGTTATTGACGAGGAGGTTGCAGTGGTGCGCCTTTGGATGGCACATGCAGACGCTAGAGTTGTGTAGTAAATAGGTACCTGTGTCTCTGGTACAGGACCCCAAGTATTGTCGCCAATTGCAACAGAAGCGCCTGCCATTGCCCCAAGCGCCAGTTGGTAGGATTCCTCGACCTGAAGCATGCAGTCACTATCTTCATCGAACGACGCAGTGACGTTGGTGATAAACTCGGCGACATTGGCGTACACGCCCACTTCGACGCCGACGCTAGCATCAGCCACTGATACACTTGCTACACTTATTTCTGGAGACGTTATCTCAAAGCCTGCTTGTACGCCTAAGCGTAGAATAGCCTTGAACACCACGCCGGCACTTTCAATGGTGACAGGGAGGAACTCAAACTGGCCGCCATTACTATGGGGATGTAGTGTTAGCCAGATCCCATCGGTGTCTTCAAAACGCGGTTAACTTACAATTCTACACTTGAGACATCCTTGGAGAACATGGAGATGTCCAAAGTAACTCCATCTTCCAGCTTAATGTGGAATCCGGTGCTGATGTCAATCTCGCCGTCGACGCTTAGGATCAGGTCGATTGAGAAAATGACGCCGATCTCCAGATTTTTTCCGACTGCAAAACCTATTGGAGTGTTGGAAGTATACAAATTGAGGGTGTAGGTGGCTCCAGCTGAGAGAACCGTATCTATCAACATGTACAATTCCAAGCCGTCGAACCGGAATTGCAGCTGACACTCGGGTATCTCGGGGAGATTGATATCGAAGTCGAGATCGATTGGCGGGAGGTTGAAGTCGTCAAGATCGACTCCGTCACTGAAATTGCCTGCCACTTTGTCGATATACGTCTCAATGTAATCAACAGCGGCGGCACCGAGGTCCTCGATCTCGGTTTTGACCTCTTCCGTAAAGTTGTGGAAGGCTTGGCTCGAATTGAAGTCGCCGGCGACTGTAAACCTCGCATTGGCGGTCCCCTTTATATAACAGGTCGTGCATGTAATTTCGACTCCGGTTGAGGTTGAGGCATTGCCAGTTTTGGTTTCCACGTCGTCTTCCCTGTGCAACCGTAGCTCATAAGTCAGAATGTGGGATCATGGGAATCAGGAAGATGCAGGAAGGAGCCTGAACGCACTGGCTGTAGGTAAACAAAACAGCATCATCCCAGCTTTTATTCAGCGATGTGCTGTTTTCTTGTGAGGTACTCCTCTCGTCGAGACTCAAGCCAGAAAGCGTCCGGCGAAGGAGCCGAACTGTGTCTGCGGCTGATGCCCTAGGAGCATTGCGGGTTCGAAAGAAAGCAGGACTTGGCGGGGGCGTAGAACTTCCAGTAGCAGAGGCTATCCAAAGAGCCAAAACCAGGCCCCACATGGAGCAGAATAATCGTGACATGACTAGATGGATATGGAGGGCTGCTTTGATCCAACAAGTAGAGAGTTTGGCGGGGGGCCATCCGGTGCTTGTCGACGCCCGAGATGGCCACATTTAAAATAAAATATCTCATCGCCCCCATTCCTATCTACCCCTAGGATAGTTGTTGGTCCTGGCCCTGGTAAATAGCTGAATCCTTCTGCATGCGATGCAACCTGCTGGTTTGAGCTTCTGCATGTTGGTCCTCAGCCTCTCCAGCACAGACAGTAACAGGGGGTACACAGTTGGGGAGAGGTTCGCAGTTGGTATCCCAGACTCAACCAGCACAGCGACAGGGCGCAACTTGTTTAGAGTGGCTGTTGGTGCTCCCTGGAGAAATACAAAGCTATCTGCCATACATGAGTGGCAATATTTGAGTGGCAGCATCACGAACCATGCGTTCGTCTTCAATTAAGGATTTGGGGATGGGGAGCCGAAGTGGACCCCCTGACCAGGGAGGATTTCATCTGATGTTGGCCGGGCGGTGGCTGCGGCACAACTGCGTTTCGGACCCTTGACCTGACGATGTGACGTCTCAATCAAAGGCCGCTTTGAGAAGTTGGCCCCCAATTCAGTCCGACACCAACATCGCTTATCAGGCCACCCTGTCAAGAATGCCCTCAAGCTCCTCAAGCTCCTCGAGCCATTTACTCTTTGTCTCCGGGAATAGAAGGCAGACTTGCATGACGAAAAGGCCGTCGAGGATACGGAAGAGAATGTAATATCTCCAGCCCAGCTTGGCCATTGCGACTGGGTTGTCAACTATAACATAGCAAGTTATAATAATTTGAATATATTAATTTTAAAAAAGAAAATAAAGAAAGTCAAGCATATTAGGCTAATCTATATGGAAATCATCCACTACTCCTAGTCTCCTACTAACTCCTTGTTTTTCAGATCGCAATCGATAAGCCTGCCAAACCTTCATGACACTCCGTGTTTTGCTTCTTTGTGAACCATTCTTCGCCCCCAAGGCTGACACATCTAGAAAATGCGCGTGCCCTCGGTATCCTGCGTCTGAGCCCTCACCTTTAATTATCTTGTCACTACCTCCAGCCGTAGCAACAACTGGAATTTTCATGTTACCCTCCTTGCCAATGTCAACTGAGTTGAATTTGACCATATCGATTACAGGGAGATTGTCTGAAGATCGTAGTTTCGGCGATACAATGACATTGAAGCCCATCACATGCTGCAACATTGGCTCAGTAGCATTGGTAGCTGATGCCGGGGCTCTATCATATCGTCCCCACAGAGCTGGGGCCACATTTTTGACACTGGCCTGCTGGCTCTGCAGAGGAACTGAGCCTTTGGGGCCTTTCAGCTCAACCGTGAGATGTGACTCCGAAATGGGCTTCTCATGTTGCATAGGGCGCGCAAACAGTGGTGATTGGTATTCCTTTGGTGAGGTTTCACCAATGAATGTTGCTTTCAAAACCGGCACACGCACCTGAACTTCAAACTCAAGGTGGGTACCGCGAATATCGATTGAAACCGAATCATTACTTTGATTTGCTGGTTGATGATTCTTTTCCGCAGGAACTGCACCCTTCGTGATGGTGATAATGTGATTGGGTGTCCTGTCCTCTGATCTGTCTTGCGATTCAGCTGGCAGGTTCTTCACCATGCGCACAAATGACTCCCAGGATAGCGGTTGTGGTGGTGAGGCGGCTGGACCAAAGACGACAACGGTGTCCCACCGCCAGAAATGCAGATGAGCATAACCTGCTAAAGGCGGTCCGTAAAGCCCAAGCCGAGCAGAAAATTCATATGGACCAAGGTGAACATTCCAGAATGCAACCTTCAAGTTGAGCTCGGCCGAAAATGTTACACCAACATCAATGTTAAAACTATAGGGGTGGAAGTGCATAAAAAAGTCTGCCCAGGCGCTGAAGATGACACGGATCCAGCCCCGGTTGACAGACAAGTCAAGACGCCCACCGCCCATAGCGATCTGCGGTGTTACGGCAAAATAGGCTGCGCCCAAGATGCGAGTTTGCGAGTCGTATTGCCAGCTAATCGCAACACGCGGAGGAGGCATAGGATAGTGCGATGGCGGAGAGTACTGTGGGTTATAGCCGCCGACAGTAAAAGCATAGTCCCCTTCGTGTGGGGAGCCCGGAAGGAATAGCTGAAAGGCGAAGCCCCCGGTTAGGCGGCATGAGGGATTGAGAATAAAAGACCGAGGAGTAAGCTCGCCACTCGCAAAGATAGTCCCATGAAGCGGATCAACTTCTGCGTAGAGCACAATATCGAGAAACAGAAAAGCCTTATTAAGGGCATCTTGTGAGGGGGCTGACTTAGGGAATATAGCAGTGGCCTGGGCTAGGACGGCAAACTTGGGCTGCTCTGAGAGAGTCAGAGCAATGAGAACCTGCGCGTCAATCATCTGGAAAGCTCTAAGACCGACGCCAGCCACCATCCACATGTCGTCGCGAGTCATCGTGATCCAAGCTCGACTGTCACTGTTGCTGCCCTTCAACGTGGAAAGGGTATTTGCCAGAGACTCTGGAGGCGCTATGCTATTGTTCATTGCAATAAATGGAAACTCAGCAACCTGCGAGACGGCAGGCAAAGTCAGTCTGGAGTTGTATCCGAACCCGCCTGTGAGGCCGTTCACTTCGACGCTGCCGAGGGTGAAGATGGGTCCTCGGACTGCGCCTATCACGAACATGGACTTGTTCTGGTTAGGCGGTTTTCCTTCCGAATACATGCCGCTTGCGATGGCTGACCAAGTCTTGAAGGAGATGGCGATTGCTCCCATGAAGCCGGCTTCGTCCAAGTTGTCAAACTTTAGAATTAGACCCGCCATTCGGGTAGGGGGCTTCTCGAATGCAACAGCCATGCCCTTAACGTCAACACGAAATGGCAGTTTACTAAGGCCCTCTAGACTGGTGACGCTGGCAAGATCGACGGTGAATGCGAAACCCATCAGCGCGAAGCCCACGGGGCCGAGTTGAATCGTGGCATCGAGAGAAATGCTTATGGTGCTGTATGAAGAACCAGACACGGAGAGTCCAATATTGGTGATGGAAAGAGGTCCGGCTGTTTTTGCCATAGGTGCGACTGTCTTTCCGGATTTTCCAGACTCAGAGATGGGCTCACCACCATCACCTTCCTGCGCAGTTGAAGTAGCATCGCCCATCAACTTCTTCTTCTCCTTCTTCTTCTTCTTTGCAACATGATCCAACACGAGTTTAGGCTTGCCGGCCTCAAACATGGAAACTTGGAAGTGAAAACCTTCAAGGAGAGGCTCCAAGCCCGTCTTATTCGTGCGACTCAGCAGAGGCAACTCCTCAAGAACGGATTTGTTGATAATTGCAATTTCGGCTGCAGTCACATTCCGATTTGTCCAAACAATGCCCAGCTGGTCAAACGGCTGCTCGACGGCACCAATGACCGGCATGTGTGGGAGGTCTGGGAACTTGGTGAGTGACACACGCAGAAGTCGAGCCGGGCCAACGTCTCCAGCGGCATCCGTGAAGTTTCCGTTTTCCCTAGCCAATGACCTGGCCTTGGCGGCGGTGACTGAACGAAGCTGGACAAAGGTGATGTTAAGATCACCTACCATGATGTTTAATGAAAACACCACAAACTTGTTACTGTTTTCGTCCGTCACCTGGGTGCAAGTGAGCAAAGCGCTGAGCTTGTTGCGAGGCACTTTCAGGTTTCGCACTAGTTCCGGCAATTCAGACTCGTCTTCCACAAGGTCTTGCAAGAATTCCACGACGCGGAATGCGCCATCTGTCGTAGCAGGACGCAACTTGGCCGTGAAGGACCACTTATCACCATTGTGCGAGTAGCCAAGCTCAAGTTCCACACCGCTTTCTGATTCTAGACCAAAGCGAAGCTTCCCTTTTATGGCAAGTGAAGTGGTTCCATTTGAGTGATACTGATACGAAATGTCTGCCCTGACGATGTGGATTCCGGCCATGAGATCTAAAATCGCATCACCGGAGCCGTCCCTGGCAAACAGGTCACACAGGTGTGCCACCTTGAGGTCCTCTACGCTTGCGGAGGCTGCCCAGAGAGACTTTTGGTCGTCGTACCGCTTGTAGACGACTTTGAAGTTGATTTTTATGTGGTCATGCACTGATCCCGACAGGTTGTTGTCGTCTAAGACGGGTGGAGGGGTGAGTACAACTGACGCATAAAGCGCAATGTCGGCCGCTGTTTTGCCTGGTATGAAGTCGAGTGCAACCGACAATGAAGCTGTTTGCAAACGTAGTAGAGGAGGGTACGCTTCATTAGACATGGTCTCAGAGCTTGATTTGCACTCGATAGTGGCGGACAATGCGGCAAACGTGTGCTCCGAGCGCCTCCCAATGGTGAACCGGGCGTCCGAGATTGTATCTGGCAGGAATGAGGGCATATCTGACAGATGAAGCAGATCCGCAAGTGGGATTTCGTAGACTTCCCTGCCTGTGCTAGGCGCCGTGATAAGAGTGTCTTCATGGAATGGGTGCAAATCCTTGTGGAGGCTTCCATAGTATCCAGGACGCCATAATTCGGCTGACAGTGAGAATACGCTATTTCCCCAATGCAAGGTAGCTAGAAACGGCACTTGTTTGCTCTGGCCTCGAACGGTGACTGGCCTGCTGATCTCAAGAGCAATCTCAAAGGAGCAGGGCTTCATGTTGTGGTCTAAACAAATAGCCACGCGGTGGACAGAAATCTCCGTCTCGCCATTGACATGCCGCAGCTGCTCTTCTATATCCGAGGCGTTCAATTGCTCACCTCGAACCTCGAAGCTCCCTGGAACGTCCGGCATGACACTCTTGGCCCAAGTCAACAAGCTGGACAGCAAGTTCGAACTGTTGGAGTACTTGATGACAACTTCCAAACCTTGGTTTGTGAAATTTATTGCTACCACTCCTTTAAATTGAGGCGGGCCTTTGTCTTTATCGGTCCAGTTGACCATTGCCTGGAGACTCAATTTCTTCAATGACTTGCTGTGCTTGGGACCCAAAGTTTCTGTAACCTGAGTTCCGATAAACACCGCGTCTGTGATGCGCAGAGAGCCGAGCGATTTTTCCAATTTGCCTTTGAGCAGATCCATGCCTTCTGATACCCCCATCGCTAGACGGATGACTGTGCGATAGTTGAAGTGGGGAATGAACCAAAGCCCAGAGCGACTGTGCTCAAGGGGTTTCAAAGCGATGAGACTGAGCAAGCTCGCCATGACCCCATGTGGTGGATGGGAAAAGCCGACGAGTCTGGAAAATTGCTCAAGATTGAGGGTGCTGGTTGATAATTTCACGTCCAGTGCAAACAGAATGCCCTGTACGTTTGCATCGTAGCCCAAGGCAGTCTGTTGTTGCCCAACCTCCTTATGAAGATCAAATTGGAGTTCCCGGGTGCCTCTGTCTGTTGAGAAGAGCATAATCGGATGTTGCGTATCGTTTCCTCCACCCAGGGACGGCTGTTGCTGTGCATCGGGAACACCTTTGTCAGGTATCACAAGACGAATTTCAGCCCGACTTAGTGAGATGTCTCGCTCGTTACCCATAGCTCCGACAAGATTTAGTGACACAGCACCTTGGAGACAATGGCCGAACCATTCGCTGCATCGAGATTCGGTTGCAGACAGTGTTTCGTTAAACTCATAGGTCAGTTCGGGCCTTGAGTCCAACAGGCCACGAACCAGAGTGGAGGTGATTCGCCCCTCGATAGAAGAACCGACAGGAGGACGAGGTGAAAATGGATCGCGGTGGTACGGCCTCGCTCCTGCAGGTTGGCTGGTTTCTCTTGAGCTTCGCGGATTGAATAGGGGGTTCGTAGCTCGCGTCACCAACTCTGCCCTCATTTCCTCTTCTTCAGTCGATGTCGTTGCGATGCTCTCCCAGGCAATTTCCTGGTCTCCAACAGACTCCGCGTCGACTTCAGCCCAGATGCCAGCATCTTGAACAATGTTCACGGCAACAGGAGTGTAATGCACCTCGACTCTGTGGTCGATGACTTCTTCATCTGCGGTCGCGGTCATTTCGATGTACTGCACTTTTGGGTGGTTGCCCAAGTCGGGTTTGCAGAAATTCGGCCAGTACACTTGCATCTGCTGTTGTATCCTTTCAATGAGGACGTAGAAAACCTCGTCTCTCAACTCTTCCAGTTCCCTCGGGTTCAACTCTTGCTTGCTCCAACGAAGTCGAGGTGAGAGGGTCATGGGATGGGTATAGTATTTATCTTCCCATGATTTAATTTGTGCGTGCGGATAGCGGATACTCAAATACGTCTTGGCAAGTTTCATTGCCGTCCCGTAATAAGCTAAGAGGTAGGATTCGAGGAAGCCACCATCTGCTTTGGCCCATCCGATGCTTTCAAGCCGTTCCTGGATCGCCCTCGCCGTAGTACCCCAGCTCATGACTGTGAATGGGTTGAAGTCAATGTTTCTGAGTTTGTCTGGCTCGTTGACAAGCCAATAGGGTTCGTTGAGACAAGCCATGGTTGGTCTCGGGATGTCGGTGCCTGTCCGCAGGTTCAACAACTCAGCTATGGCGAGGAAGCAGTACACGACGGCAAGACCTGGACTTGTTAGTTTCCAGGGCTTGGAGCAAGGGCCTGTCGGTATTAAAGTGGTAGCGGAACTTACTTGGGTGTCCGTAGTGACGGCCGGCCGAGATGATATACAGCTGGAGCCTATGTAAGAAGATCCCCTCCGGAGTCGAGTGATGCGATCCATGATGACTGGCCTTGACCGCGCTTATGGTCACATTGTTCTTCTGATCCGGGTTCGGGCCTTCTATCCAATCCAACATGATCTGTTCCTGGGCCTGAGGGGCGTCTCCGCCAGTAAAGAGTGAGATACGTATGTGCGGAGTGTGAACGGTCCTAGGCCACATGATCAGTGCCATGATGGAGGACTCGTTTTTGTACTGATCGCTAGTTCGTATGGCCTGGTTTGGTATGTCCCAATCGCCGGGGGCGCCGTAGCTTGTGTTGTCAATGCCATACACAAAAAAGATGGGCTTCTGCCCTGCCAATAGGGTTTGGGACTGGGTGTAGACATTCAGCAGCGTACAGGGCCATGTTCGCTGGGTGGTGTTTCTGTCATTATCGCCTATTTCTATATGCTTTCGAGCGAAGAGATCGTGGCCAAGACAGAATGTACCAGTCATGGCTTTGCAAACTTTTATCCATTGTTGGGTGGGGGAAAGGAACTCCAGACTGTCATCGGGGCCGTCGATGTTGGAGTGTACGCGGTACTTTTCATCCGCCATTTCACGATCGGCGGCTCGCAATGGGCAGTAGAAGGTCGCGCCTGGGGCAATGTAGGAGGAGGCGCCGTTGTTGAATATCCAATCGTTGTACAATAAGGCTAAAAGACCGGCGTAGTGATCGTCGTCCCAGTGGGACACCACGATGGTAGTGAAGAGGAAGTTTGGGTAGCTCATCTGGCGGATATGGTGGATAGCTCCTTGGACAACTTGTTGGGCTGCGGACTTGCCGCCATCAATCAGTACAGCTGATTCTACCCCCCCGGCGCCATCGAGCAAGAGATGCACACTGGAATCGCCCGTTCCAACGTTGATAAAGTAAGACTTGACTGAGTAGGCCATGGCGGCGATGGACTGGTTGGCAGACCGAGCCAAGCAGAGACGTCTAAGATGATTAAAAATGTCCAATCGTCCGTGTGATGGTGTAGGTAATTGAAGCATTCAGCCCGATGGATGGGCAGTGTCCAGTCGTGGGGACACGGTTTGGATGCCCGAGAGAACCGCTCCACCCCAATCCCGAGTCACCGCTAAGTTGGGGCCCTTTCAGCTCGTTGCGTAGAGTGCCACGCGGCTGGAAGCAAAATGGATTATTGATTATTAGCGGCGAAAGGATGCACTGTGCGGGCCTCGAATGGACAGGGGGCATTCCCATTTCGGCCATGGCCGAAAGGAGAGTCGATAAGACGGACGCCTGGATCTTGGAAGTATTGGCCCAGCAATAAACATTCATCGGTTGATATAGATGGGTTGAAGGAATGATAGTCGTTTGAGAGTATTGTGAATTGGACAACTAATTCGTACTTCAACCCCGGTCATAGTCCCGTCACTCTTTCGACCCTATTGCCCTCTTTACTAGTACGTAGCCTTCCACCAACTCGCTCTCAACAGACGCATCAACCTTGAGCTCTTTATCCAAAGGTCTTATAGCGACATCCCTCCACTTCATTTTCGCTTCTTTTACCTGATTACCGTCTGCAACACACCCGTCTTCCAGCCGTGGCTGCAGCCATCGCCAGGTACTGATCCCTTCTCCTCCACCGAGCGGCATCTGGATCCCGGGCTCAAGATTCTTGCCATCAGGGTCTATAGACATAGCATGGGAATCTCCTGGCGGAGGCATTGCTGTAACAAGAATGGGGCCTGCAGCGAAGAAAGCTCGCATGCTTCGCAATGCGTCATCCATTGGCCAGCGCGGTAGCGACAGCTCTTTCACCGGGAACAACGAGCCAGAGTAGGCGTGGATTGGCGCCTTGGGGTCCATGATGACGCTGATTGGAGTTAAATGCTCTCGATGCCCGGTGGCAATGTCGCTACGTGTGCCAGGGAGGAAATACGGCTTGACTCGTAGTGGCTGTGGGTGCTCGCTGGCAGGTCTGAATCTTGTCGTGGTACCAGAGCTGTCGATGTTTAGTTGCACAGCGTCACGGTCAAACGCTGTGGCTACCTTGTCAATCTCACCGTACGCAGGAAAAGTACCGACGAGACCGTCAAACGCCGCAGTGTGATTTCCCAGTGCAACTGAAAACTCATAGTCGAGGAGCCCAAGTTCCCTGCACTCGGGGGAAAGCAACGAGGTATTGCTGAGTGGCGGTGTACTCAGCTCGATTGACACACCCACGTCGGCGACGCAAAAAGGACGTCCAAGTGCAGCCGGCAAAGCAGTATCAAAGTCGGCACCTGATGAAAGCATGCTGTCGCTTGCTCCGGCAAGCATATCGAATAGTGACGATGAGAAGTCGTACTGCCGCATTGCTTTGAGCAGCGACGGCAGTCTACCAGTGGCCGGCGGAAGAGCCATTGCGTCCTTGGGTCCATCGGATACAATTACAGTCGAGTCTGAATGAACGAGGATGATCTCGATAACAAAGTCTCCGCGGGCATTGTACACTTGAATACCGTGGTTCTGGAAGTTGGGCAACAGCCACGCCCAGATCGGAGGGTCCCATTCTCCAACAACCCTTCTCGTGATGGGCTGGGAGGCACTAGTTTTGATCACGTCTGCATCGGACAGTGGCATTAGAAAGTGAGCATTAAGGCGTGCTCGTTGGTTGATTCGCGGCGGAATCTGGAAGAACTGGCACAGACTGTGACCATCCTCATCGTCCTCGGCCTGAACAACGGTGTTTGGCCAGTACTGGTCCTCGGGCTCTCCCTTGCGTGCTGGAATGACACCACAAGCCAGACTGGGCGAGATGCTCGGATACATGGCTCCATCTCCAGTGGGACCGAGGCGGAGACCTGACACGACCTGGCCAAACTTGTCGACTATGGCAAACTTCGTGAAGCGTGCCTGCCCGTGAGTAACAGGCTTGAACGGGCTGAAAGTGGAAGTATGTGATAGCGGTAGCGGCGTGGTGTATCCGTATGGCGCCAACTCTTGCACGGGTGACGAAGTTCCCATTAGGAGTTCCATAGTTTCTACTTCTATACCGAGTATAGTACGTATGGCTTCATCGGCTGCTGGTCTTGGATGGTGTCCTTGGCACAACGTCACGAGATGATTAGAGAGGCCGGCAAGGGGCGCAGAAAAGAATTCAAATCCCGCAACCTTTTTCAGCAGTTTCTCTCGCGTTTGCTCATCCCTTTCGCTCTTGGCTGGTGACTTGGCAAACAGTTGCTCGAGACGCGCACGCAACGTCTTCCCCGGCTCTGGGAGGAACGCGGTACGACCCCTGATAGGACGCATGTCTTGGCCAACGTCCTTGTCCCGTGGTAACGATGGCTTCCCGTCAGCTCCAGGCGGAACAACATATCGCCAGCGACCGGTCTCCTCGTCAGATTCAAAATTCCACTTCGCAAAGGGCACGTGGTAATACTCGAGCTCCCACTCTAGGAAGAGCGGAAACCAGCCCTGGGTATTGGCCATGTCCTCCATAGCGGCATACGGGTTTGGGTTGCCGGTGACTGAAGGCCATTCTAACTCTCGCAGAAGCGCATTGACTGGCTGTGAAATATCTGGAAGTATATCGTTCAGCCACGTTTCAGCAGCCGTAGTTTCGGAAGGCTTTGGCGAGATATCGGAAGCAAGCCGCACCGGTAGTACTTCGTTAAAGTCGCGAGGCCATCCAGACTTGGCACCCGCCACCAAAACGGTGGGATCTTGGTGTCGGCCATAGGGATCTGTCGGTATCGCCTCGAGCTTCTTTCCGCCACCAATAAGCGTCTCAACCTCTGTCTTGAGCTTATCAACGGTTTTCTTGGTAGATGCCATAACATTGCTCAGCTCCTGTAGCTGAGTTTGAATCTCCTCGGCTTCCGCTTGAATCTTCTGCTTTACAAAGATTTGGTTTTCTGCGGAAAGACTTCTGAGGCAAGCTGCGCGGCACCAGCACCCAAATAGTCGCTGCATGAGATGCGCAGACTCACGAGCACATGTATCTAGCATCAGCTGGCCTTCGTTGAGCGGCGCCAGCATTTCGATGTGCGCTTCTTGGGCGAGTTTCTTTGCTCTGCGGCCCCCAGTCGTAGCGAACCCTGATTCAACGTTCATCTTTCCTGAATCTGCGAGGGCAAATGTCTTGGGCTCATCTTCAGTCTCGTTCTTGGGAAGACGCCATTCTGTACCTTCAGATCGTGTCAGAAACGAGAGCGAGGCAGCGTCTTCAGCTGCCCGTCGAAGAGAATCGGCGTCGCTGTCTTGGGCTAAAATTCGGGTAATGAGCTGTCCTAGGACTGATTGCGTTTTCGTTGAGCTGGCATTCATCGGGTCCAGTGCTATGTGGATGTATGCAGCGAGTGCGTCCATCATGTGAGTCCCAATGGAAATAGGAGTCTCTGCGTACACGGCTTGTTGAAGTGAGGCAGCCGGCCAGCGCAAACGACCTGTGCTAGCCCGGTTCCATCGTACGTTGCGGATGATTCCCTGAGTGAGAGTGCGATTGACTGGACTGGCCATGGCCTGCAGGAAATTCTCACGGACAGGCGACTTCTCATCCATGGTGAGATGGAGCGCGTCGAGAAGCTCTTTGTTGCTCATGGAACCCTCCTCGCCGGAATCGTCACTCTCAGTTGGAAGAAGCTTCTCAGCGTCCATGAACGTCAGCGGGTCGAAGTCACCAGCCGAAGAGTGATATCCAACCACCAGGTAGTTGAGTGACCCGTTTTCTATACCGTCGAGGGCATCAAAGTACGACAGCGATCCCATGTTGTGCGGGGCATAGTCGGCAAAGAACTCGTGCCCCATCTCAAACGCGTTGAACGGCTCCCGGTATTTGCGCGTTTGGGCATCCTCCAAGTTTTCTTTTGTAAGTTCGCTGGAGCGTCCCATGCGCAAAATCCCTTGCGCATCAAGACGTTCATTTGGATCCATTGCTGGGCACGTCTCGGCCTCAACGTCGTCGGGCATCTCGGCATCGTCAATTGTGCGAATGCAGTTGCTCTCGACCAGAGTGTACTTTGTCAGCTCAGGTTTGTTGCGCACTTGGCGGACGACGATCCAACGGTCGGGCGCCGATCGGAATTGCACGCCATTTTCTTCCGAAACTCGTGTCCCTGATGGCTCAGTTGACTTGGTTTCGCACTTGAAGCCTGCCCTGGCTTTGCGAGACTCCCATAGCCTCTTGCTCTCGCCTTGGACGTCTGTCTCGCCTGCGAGCGCGCTGTCGGTCGCTGTAATGGCACCGCGGTAAACACGCGGTAGACACCAGCTCAGATACACTCCTGTACGGCCGGCCCGCGGTTCTCCACTGGTAAGATCAACAAACCGCGTGCTGTATCTGGCCTGCATACGCCAGTAGGACAGGTCGAGGCTGTCCATGAGGTCGTGGACCGGCGCACCAAGGCCAGGGGGTTGTAGTAGTGCTGCATAGTCGGGTTCGATGAGGGGGGCAAACTGAGCAGCGGTTTGAGTAACTTCTTTTGTGATGATAAGAGCCTGAACGGCCATGGGAATAACAACGGTAAACCGGGATTGGGCCCGTGGGACGTCAGGTTTAGGATTCATGGCCGCTGCTTGTGGATGTAAGTGTCTAAAAACACCCGCAGATTCAGAGCACCGAGTATTCAGGTTCGAATGTACTCCGTAGCTCGATGAGTAACTGAAGAGGCTCTTTCCCCTCCAATGACTTTGATCCGAGATACGGCTTGGCTACGCTTCGGCAGATGAAATCTGGACTATCTGGTACGGAGAACAGCACCGTAAAGACAGTAGCCGTACACTGTGCGACTACTGAAACTAGTAGACACTGCAGCGATAGTTCGTACAGACTTATCGCCAAGGAGCCTAGCACTTCCAGAAGCGGAGAATGGACCGGCCGAGACTCGTCGGTTCGGTCCGCTTCAACGCTATGCGAGTACGCAAGCCAATAATGGATCACAATGGTGCCTTAGCACAAGTGCTACGAGTTCAAGTTGCGTACTCTGTAGTCATAAGCTGCACGCTCAAATTCCGCAATAATTCTTACTGTCGGCGATCCAACGTAGTTCTGGTGGGCGTACGGCGAATCGTCCACGTCTCGCTCTGTCTACGGCGTACCATATCCCTCACACCAGCCTGCTCTGCATCTTTCTCGATACCAGCCATCACTCGTATCAAGGCTGCTTCTAAGGAGAGTCGGCAACAATGCAGTCTCACTCTCGCAGCCACTTCCACCCGGCGCTCAGCAACCGCGTGCCTGATCGCGCACTTACCAGTTCCCTTGAGGCAGACCAGCAGCTGTCTCCCGACCAGGCTCGACTCTGGTCCTTCCAAGAGCCTCCTCTTGCTGTTGGCGATTACTCTCTTTCCGTGTCGCAGCAGATTCAACTCCCTGAACCTGGCAAGGACGAACATGAGAGGCCACCACCGCCCAAGATCCTGTCCATTCCTAACAAATCGTTTCACGTCTCCGGGCCCAAGTTCAAGTTCAGCGATCCCGCCGACCTGCACAGCGTCTACCCAGCGGCCGGTCACAGTGCCTATGCGCGGACGTTGGCTCACGCTGTCTTCAGCCATCCCGCGACGCCATGGGAGCGTGACATAACGGATGGCGAGAAATGTGGCTTCAATAAGCTCCCTTGGGTGGGCATTCTGTCGTTTACAGAGGACGAGCTAGTCTCAGACCCAGCAGAGTATCAACGCCTAGCCTTCGAGGATGATGAGGTGTCGGCTGAATACGGCTCCGTGTCGGTAAAGGCATCAAGGCTGGCTGAGCTGCAAAATGTTGTCAACTCCGTCCCGACTGCGCCTGGTGCAAAAACAGACTTTAAGCCAAACGATGAGGTTTCTATGCTTCTGCTGAAGCCGATATTATTCAAAAAAATCTTCACGTCATATGATGCCGACAACAACCATGTCTGGAGTGGCAAGGCAGACCTGTCCAGGTTTGCAATGATGGCTCACGTTGAAGAAACTCATGGTGGTTTCACGGCAAGAACCTATGCCGATGAGACCCCGACTGAACAGCCGCAGCACTCCATCGTTGTCAGTCCCCGGACCGGGAAGCCAGGACTTGCATCAACAACACGCGTCATTTCTCATATTATCTCACTCGAGGACATTGACAAGATTGTCTTGGCGGGTGACGACAACAGCAATCCGTATATAGGCTTAGTGTCTCTTTATTCTTGGGACTGGATGAGCGTTCCAGAAGATGCGGTTGACTTTGAACACGTTATGGCCGAGCTCGGTAAGACTGTACAACCGCTTCGAATCGAATACGAGGAGGAGAAAGCACAGTTCTTTCCAGACGAATCCAGCGAAGCAGATGATGAACCGTCATCCACAGAAGCAGTTAATTGGCTCAGGGCCAAGTTCGATGCTGGATACGTCTTCAAACCACACACCGCAATAACTGGAGTGAAAACCGAGTCTCTCATTCGAGGGCCACTCATTCCAGCCTTGTCAAAACGTGAGCCAAGAACTTCTTCTCTCTACGGCGAGGGTCTAGCTCTCTTTGATGAAGAAACCGGCATACCAGACGTCTCTGACCAGTCGGCTTGGACACTCGGCCGGTCCATGGTTATGGCTGATCGTACACTCACTGCCAGTTTGCTTCGGTTGCGGGGGAGAGTTCATGCCGAAGCTGTACGCCAAGCAAAAGCTGATGCGCTGACCGGAAACGGCTACGAAATGGTGAGCAGCCAGGACATATATCTTTCCAATCTGGAAGACGCCATGCAGCAACTAGAAGACGCACAAGACGTAACAGGTCTCAACAGTCGATCGAACGCTGCAGCACGCTGGGCTCGAACTGAAGATGACCGTGCCGGTCTTCTCGTCAAGCAGTTGTCCAATGAAACATTTTTCACTTTGACAAAGTATATAAATCATGTCGATGCAATCACGTTGGCCATGTTCGGCTCCGAGTCGGAAGATTCACCCGATACCACACGCACTATCGACTCTGATGCGGCAGCCGTTCGTGCTTGGGTCATCGACCGCTTTATGCTTGCCGGAATCCCTCTGCACTCGTTGGTCCTTCATCCAAATATGTTGCCGCAAGAGTCGATCCGGACGTTTTTCGTTGACCAACACTGGATCAACCGGCTTGTGGACGGTGGGCTCAGTCTTGCGAACCACTTTGCACGCGATGACGACGCCATTCGCCGTGCCATCAAAGCATCCATCAACAAGTATCTAGAGACACCTATCGGAAACGATCCCGACGCAACTACACCACAGCTGCCGCGGTGGGGGTTCTTCATGCGGAGCATTGCCGTCAGTGCCTTTCCAGACCTGAAGGTTGAAGCGCCACTCCCACCTGAAGCCCCTGCAAACACTCGTGAAGTCCTCTTTATGCAAGTGCTAGCAGACGATATTCTTATTTGCTTGTTTGATCGCCTCCCAGGAGAAAGAGGGTTCGACTACATTCGTATATGTCAACCTCACCACCAACAGGGATTTGCACTTGGCACGCGCCTCCTCCAAAATGAGCTTCATGGGATTCACCGTGGCGTGCCCACAACCCAAGCGGAGGTCACTGAAGAGGTAGTGATGAATTCAACCTCCACGTCTCCCATTCAGGTATACGACTTTGACACGCGGATGCTGCGGCCTGACATGTACACGGGTGTGTACTTGAAGACTATGGAGGGTAAGGCAAACGTCTTTCAGTGGCCTGTCGAAGACAGAGTCAGGCCACCGGCCTCGCTGTTAGCCACACAGCTCAAGACCGTCAATCTGCGGCTGACTTTGACCATGGACAACAAGGATTCATCTGAAGGAGATCATCTAAAAGACGATGCTCCTTCAGATCGATGGAAAAGGCCAGCCGCACAGCTAACCCTTTCACCACGGCCAGATCTCAACAAGTCAGTCCCAATCAAAGACTCGCCGCGTCCCAATCCATCTAGACGAGCACCTCCCGCCAACGTCACTCTTCCGGCTGGGCCTCGGCGTCGTGTACATGAGCTTGTTTTTACAAGCGCTGACTTTGCGGATACATCAGAGCAAGACGACATCGAAGAGCTCAATCATGCATCTCAGGGACCTCCTGAGCCCCGGCTAGGTCTTGAAAAACTCACCTCCAAACGTCTGAAGTACAAACACTTGCCAGCCGAAGCGACTTGCTTTCTGTGCTATGAGCCAGGGAGCACCACCAACATAATCTACGCCACGGACACGCCTACGGATCTTGTCTTCAAACTCAGTGGAGACGAATACCCTAATCCTCCAGCCCAGTTGGAAATTCGCATTCCCGTAGCGCTCAGCTCTGGCGTGTATCCATCCCGGGTAAATGGCCGCTCCCAGGGTCTGCTCGTGATTCCCGGGACTTCTACTAAGCCACTGCTCCCTGTACTTGAGCATCTCGACCCCGGCCATCAGTGGTCACACACAAGCAAGCTGGCCCAGGGGCATCTCTACGCCATACCTCCAGGACAGCCGCCCACTTCGGGCGACTCTGTGCCTTCTCAATATTTGCAGTGCATTATGTTGGTCATTACCGTTACGCCGCGACTCACCGGCCCTCTACCCAACAAGGCGAAGATGTACAATTGGTCGTTTATTCTGCGGGGTGTCTCGTTCGTCATTCCCAAACAGGATGGATCAGCCCAGCCACGGGATATTCCGTCAAGAACCACGCAGTTTGATGTCCTACGGAAGGATTTGTCTCTGGCAGGTGATGAAGCTATGAGTGTGCGATCGACGGGCATAACCATACGTCCCGCTATTATTGTCTCTATCGTCGCAGACAAAACAAACTATGACTTCGACGCCAAGAAGCTTAACATCAGCTACGACTTGTCCCATCTGCCTCCCATGGCATCACAACTGAGACTTACAGCCCTGGTGGACACGTCCAACGGCGAAGAGTCTGCCGTACTTGTGGTCCGTTCGCTCCCCCTTCCAGCTGATCCAGTGGAGAAGGCCACTCAGGGAACCTATCATTTCCAGAGCACCTACGACATGAAACCAGGTGAAGTGCCACTCGACATACGCTTGGCTATTTTGTCAGAAAAGAACGAAGCCATGGGCCCAGACTCGGTGCCATTTTTGTTTCCACGCTTGCCGTCGATTAGGGAGATCCAAAGTCATTGTTTTGGTTGGAAGGACGACCGCCTGAATATTTGTTGGACTCCGCCAAAGGCAACGCATTTGCCATATGTGAGAACTTACACATTTCTTAACTCAGACCTCAAGACCCGTTCATCACACTCTGTCAGTGAAAATGCCGAGGCCGGCGTTATCACTGTCGAAGAGGCCGATCTCGTCCAGTATATGGGAAATCTCAAGCGTATCGCCTTCGATATGGCTGTGAAAGCAGCCGGAAATTTGCCAATACATGGCACTCTGTTTACTTCAGAGTACATGATCGCCAGGTGGCCGACTCCGCAAAATCTGCCCCTGAAGATGCAGTCGGAGAAGAAGATTATAGCGGCGCCACCACTCCAGACAAGTGGAGTTGGTAGCATGCGTTTTTGGAAGGACAAGTTCTGGATTGATTCTGAGGCGTGGTACTGGAGCAGCTCTAACACCCTTGCCGGAATTCTCTGCACTTATGATAGCGACTCAAGGAAGCCATATACCAGAGACGCAGTTTCCCCAATTACCGGTGTGGCTGGCGCCGGCTCCCTTGCCCCTTTTCACATGGACAAGACCAACCGGTCCAAAATTGTATGGATCGGTATAGACGGCAGTGTCAACATGTCGTCTCGCGAGGGCCACGAGTTTCCTGGAACTTGGGAAACGACCACGATTGCACCGAGTGGCAGTGCTTCAGTGCTAGGCGGTGGCACGCTAGCTGTGTGTGCCGACTTTACCATCGACAGATTTGGTGACCATGTTCCTCGCGGAACGCACAATCCCGCCTTCTGGTGGGTTGGGCCTAGAGGAGAGATATGTGGACGCCGCTCTGCTCCTGATCCCACTACTGGCTCAGAGAACTGGGTCGACATTGGACCCGAAGCGTCGTTGCCAGCGGGCAGCATAGACGTTTCCCCATCTCTCACTCGCCCGGCACAGATGGCAGCTATCTGGACGTTCGAGCAGTCCCAATACTCTGACGACGCCTACTTGTTTTGGGTGAGCTCGGAGGGAGATTTGATGGTGACGTGTGCTTCGCCCACCACCACAGTGCATTCGGAGCGCATCAGCAAGACGGGCCTGGCCTATCGCAACATCGATGCAGCTCCCGGCACGGCACTAGCTGCGCATATTGGGCACGGCGTGGGACACAGCCCGGATCTCTATGTACACTGGATCGGCATCGACGGCTCTGTCTTCGTCGGTCGTTCACCCTTGCTCTGGAAGTCTGTCGACGGTCCTCACCAGTGGCTCGATATCCTAACGATCGCTTCACCTGGCGCTGCAAACCCGCTCACACAATTGCGCGTTGTCGGGAGCGCTGGGGATAGCTTCCGAGCACTCGTGTGGGCCAATGCCTTAGGGCAGCCTCACGTTGCTATAAGTCAGGTTCTGTTACAAGATGACCTACTGACTGAGTGGATGTGGACCGAGCTGTATGTGGACGAGGTGCCAGATTTGAACCCGCGTATTAGCGTGCAGAATGCAAAAAATAGAGAAGGGTGGAACACTGTTTACATTTGGTGGGCAACTGGACAGTGGAGTTCTTTCGTTCTTTCAGACTGGGAAGATGAAGAAATCTAACTTCTGTCTGCTCCCTCAAGGTCAGCAAGTTGCCGGCACAAGGTCAGAAAAACACAGTTCTAGGAATCCGAAAAAGCAGCCATAATCTCGATTGTTGAATAATAGCTACGCCAACCTGCTTTGATCTTTTAACTTGGACTTTTAAAACTCAGAGAGCTACAGTGTCAGTGGCCTCTCTTGACTACTCTAGTAAATACCACATGCATTAAGCATACCAATAGTGATATTTTCACGCTCAAGAGCGAAATTTCGGCTATGCTAGCTTTTTTCTATCCTTTGTTTCATCAACCTATTGCTGTAAGTGTAATGAAATCCGGTACTCTATGTCTCTTTTGGGTGGCGATGGACAGGACGATCCAGCGGGTCATCCCGAGAAGGCGCCGTGAGAGCCTCGCAAGGAGTTGGAGTAAAAGCTGTTATTGCAAAGGGATCCGCATTTATCTGTAAGTTAAATTGTACAAGGTTTCAGCAAAATGTGTAACGAATCTTAGACGAGACGAATGGAATCAACTAAATATAAGCCTCTTCAACACCGAACTGCAAGATCCGGAGTTTTATAGCTTGGTACGAGAGGACTAAATTATCACGATCGAAAAAGATGACAAAAACATAAAAATTGACGGATTTGCAAAAATCTTTTCGTACCGGCACCCAGATGTCGAGAAAACCCTTCTTGAATCAGGAGGGGTGCTGCCTTTGTACAGCGAGTTTGGAAGCAGAGTGTTTAGGCATATCACGGTGCCGAAGGTTTAAGAGAGGAAGGAGGAAGGAGGGTTCTAGTAAAATAGATGAGATGGGTCTCTTGGAAAACTTACGGCCGTCAATTTTTGAGTGGTAGTAAGGCTACATGCGGCTCTAATAGTAGAATTACTAAGGGGTTGAGTAAATACTCTTACACTCTTAAGTGGCATTCATATGGAATCCTTCAAGCATTTGTGATTTTCTAAATACTACTCAATCGATTGTGGAGTACACATAACAATTTTGTATATTTGTTTTAAAATATAAACAGAATTATAGAATATAGAGTCCGGTTGAACAATCTTAATACTTCTTTACTGAGTAGTAAGTACCGTATCAACTCAGTAAATTGGCCCTGAATCCTTCTCCCACTTATTGCCTTCGGTTTTTTTTTGACTTAATGATTTAGTAAATCTAAGCCTTGTATAGCTTAGCTTTAGTCCGTAAAAACAAGGCCAATTTATCGAGTCGATACAGTAGGAAGGGCTAAGCAAGCAAGAGCTTGTATGACATTTGTGGTGAATTTGTTTGGCCAACCGCAGTTATACGTGCCTTTAGCTACGGGTGTAGCGTTGACCAAGAATGCCCGTTTCTTCCTAGGTAGTGAATCCTACGACAGCTTACATCCTTTTGACATATTTTACCATTATTTTATCGCACTACTGCTTGGCTTTTCGAATGATAGGGTCGCGTCGCTCTCTAATGGGCTATGCCTACTGCCTATCGCTTACCAAATCACAGGGGTGTTTGACTTTGCATCCGAGACGCTACGTATCATTCCAGTCCACAAGTATATTATGATAGGCTTGCGGAGACTGTATATGTATGGGCGATGGTTATATACCTTTCCGCAGAGATAGAGTAGCGTAAAACTGGGGTAGTTTATACTCTAGGTAGCCAGAATAAAGCGGGCCGCCATCGCACACACCGATTGAGTCACAAATGGAGTTCTGGTTTGACCAGGGTCAGCTGCGCCCCAATCTGACCCCCAATCTGGTTTAATAACATAGGGGTACAGCATTTTGTGGGGGAAATGGCTGGGTCATGGTATGCTGCTGACGTTGGCCGCGATGACTCTGACGCCGAAGGAGGTCAAGGGCAGCCACAAAGAAATTCTACAAGATATAAGCGACGGAGAAAGGCCAGCTGGTACGTGAATTTATATCACCTTTGACTTGTTCAAACAGCGCTCCATGAGTTCATCACTAATTTTAAACCTTCCGGCAGAACTATACCCCCTTATCATCAACTACCTAGTTTTTCCGGACACGGCTCATCTGCGAGCCACCTCTCGCTTCTTCGCATCCCTCATACATACCCAACCTTCTGGGTATCTCGACCTCGCCGCGGCAGATGACTCAATCTGGGCGGTAAGGAAATGGCGACTCACTTGCGCCTACTGCGCACGCATGCGCCCAGCATCTGCCTTTGTTGAGAAGCAAAAGACAAAATCGGCTCATTTCCGTTCTTGCTATGACTGCTACGAATGGGGCTCTGGAACGCCAGGCGAGAGAATATGGTTCTCGGATATTCCAATAAACCTTCACCGAACCCGCTTCAATAATGAGCATAGGAAGCTCAAGCTGGAAGTGAACCGGAGGGAGAAGGATATCTGCCGCTGGTGTCATAACGTCTTTAACCGGTGGGGGAGTAAACCGGCAAGCAGAGCTGTCTGCATCGATTGTTACCACGAAACCCCTTCGAATTCAGTAATTCTTGAGGAGCACCGCCTCTGGAATGATTTGCAGCGGATGGGCAGAGATGCTGTGCCGAATTGGCATGGTTTTGATGGTACTGATCTGGGAGTTATTCGGGGAGATGACGGTGAATGGTATTTCCATTTTATATGGACAGACATTGATTGGGGCAATGGGCCATTAATAACCGAACCATGGAAGTGGGGGGAAAGGGGCGTTACTGTCATGAAACGAGAAGACGTTGAGAAATTACGGTCAGTAGTTAGGCAGTCGCCCAGAACCTATGGCGAGCCTTGGACTCTTGCAAGTGCCATCCAATGGGTAGAAGATCAACAAGATATATAATAGATAAGTGGACTGTTCACAAGTCGTCGCGGATGAGAAAAGACACAGTCTTGGACGGCAGACATACCCTACTTGTTGAAGGAGCAATTTGCAACAGATACTACGAAGAACGGTCGGAATTTATTGGATCAGATTATGGTCTAGACTTGATTCTGTGCCTGGAAATAAATAGAAAAATTGTTAGACTTAATAGGTTTTATATTTTACTGAAGACACTATCTCCCTTAGTTTTTACATGTCCCTAGTTGAGAAGACTAATTTTCAATGTGTATTACGCATCGAGCTCTTAAAAATCAACGTTTTCCTGTAACGTTTGTAGTACATCAGGTTGGGTAATCGCGCTTAAATCTAGGGACACCAAATAATACATTATTGTCACCATGACCAACTGAGCCTCGTAAATTCCGTCGACCAGCTGGCTCTCCTCAGGGCTGCCTACTATTTTCCGAGTCTTATGTCCGTCTTGATGGTCTTACTATGGGTGTTTATGCAAACGAGTCCTAAACCCCATCTCTTCCAGTGTGGTGAGAAAAACGAAAAAGTTTAATGCAAGTGTGGTTAAATACACAAACCTATTGTACCTCGGGGATAGCTCTCTTTCTATGCCCGAAAGCTCCTACAGTCCTTCTGTCTCTGCAATGCGGTACACATACTTGGTAGCACTCGCCTTGCCGGCCTGCAAAGCCTGCAGACCACTCTCCACACCATTGAGTCCCCCGGGGAAAACTTCATGTGGGTGTCCCGTCATCCAGCCTTCCTTCAACCCCAGGTTGAACAGTCGGTACCATGCGTAGCCAAATTCTTTGTAGTTGGCTGCCTCACCGTGAACATTTCCGACATTGGTGATACTGAAGTTGACCTTTTGAGGGTTGGCCAGGGTGTACGGCAAGACGGCCGTCAAATGGCCTTCGGGATCAAGCACCTTGCAGATGGTGTCGCCGGTCTGGTTCTCGCTTACAGCATCAAGTGCGAAGTAGAGGCTCTTGTCCTTGGGCACTGCGGCTTTAATCCCATTGACGAGAGCATCCTCTCCTTTGCGGTAGTCGACTACGACATCGCCCTGAGACTTATCGAGCAGACCCTCAACAAAGTCGCCGCCACGGCCAGCGACGGCAATGATGGGGTGGATGTTGGCACGCCTCAACAGCTTGATAGCGAAAGAGCCCACAGCGGTCGCGCCGCCATAAATCAGGATGGCTGATTGCTTTGCCTTCTCTCGTCCGGCGCCAGTGAGCACCCAGGGCTCCGGGACGCCAAGGCTGCAAAAAAGAGCCAAGGCCGCGGTCATAGCAGCCAGAGGGATCGTGGCCGCCTCCTCGAAGCTCGTCTTTTCGGGGATATGGAACGTCGTGGTTGCGTAGGCGACCGTATACTCGGCAAAAGCGCCATAGGGAGCACCCATTTTGTGGAACGCGGCCACGCGGTCTCCCTTCTTGAACTCGGTAACGTTGGTTCCAGCAGCCTCGACGTAGCCAGCCACGTCATCACCAGTGTTTTCATCCTGTTTGCCGCCAAAGAAAACGGGGTACTTCCAGTCTTTGGGGTTTGTGCCAGCAACAACCACGCGGATGACCACCTGATCTGGGCCAGGCGTTGGAATGGCAGCCTCGGCGAGCCTCGTGGTGATATGGTACGCAGGAGCCTCTCCAACCTGCACGCGAGCTTCCTTCATTGTCTTGGCCATTGTCGGTTTTTAAATCTTGTGTCAGGAGTGTACAGACTCCAAAGCTTTGATGTTATTGGTAGATGTTCGTCAGTGAAGCATCTGGTCGATGGTTGCCACACATTGAACCACTAGCCAAACTGAGGGCTTTTGTGTATCTGTCTGTCGCAGTTATGACAGTCTCCGACAGCTGAATAATCACAAAGTTTGACACTATGGGAGATTGTGTGGAGAGTGGAGAATCCCATCCTCAAAACACTCCACTGGGATGATGTCGCTGATAAATCCGGTCACGTCATGTGCTTATAAAGCGAATGTTAGTTTCTGAAGGTGTCATTGTTAAGGGGTGCTGGGCAGGACCAACTGACGCCGCCTCAGGCAGTCTTAACTAAGTCAGGACCTGCAACTTTAACTAGGTATATTAAACTTAGCTAACTGCGGAATTCGTTGCCGTCAAATTGATCAGGGCAAAAGGTGTTCAAAACGATGAAGCTGATGATGGCTTGGGCCCGGATCGTCCGGGGCGTTCAGAGAGGGGGTTCGGAAACCCCTCCACTCTGACTAAGGTTATGGTATCAATCTATCAGAAGCTTCGTGATACAGGATTATCTTCCAAAAATAATTGTAGTAATAATAACTTTAAAATATATTTATAAATGCGAAGTTCTTGTTCTTACTATATAATTTGTGGGGAGAGAAGCAACAGAGAGGACTCAAAGCTGACAGCCCACTCAAAATGTTGATGAAGCCTGCGGTACTGATGCGTCTTCAATAGCTAGGAAGGTAAGCTTCAAAGACGACAGAAGTGAACGAAAGAGACACAATAATAGGGATACCATCGCCGGCATCACTCGATCAAACGATGCATAAGGGAATGCCGCATCAATAGTACAAAACTTTATTAATTGGGCATACTGTAGATGGTAGCTAAAGACGATGATGGACAGATCTATCTGCTGTCTCAAAATTCTCCCTAGAATATGCGATATCCTGGAATCTGACGTTTCGAAACCGTGGCGAGGGCCTGTTGCCGTTACCCAGGGGTAGAGTAAAGGACTCTCACGTCATACAAACGCAAGTACGACTACTGCGCGACGAAATAAACGAGAGTGTACCAACACGACGCATAAGCAATGTTACTAATGGCGATCAGAACCCGAGCTTTCCCATTGATAAGTACCCGCCAATCGCATATGAAATGTCAAATTGCCTCCAATTGTACCCGTTGCGAGGTTCATTTATCCATGACACCTGCAGGCTCTAGCCGTTTCCAGTGTACTTTATACAACACCATGGTTCTCCTTTTCATTTCTCAAAACACCTTTCAGTCGAACCCAGGAATTCATCACACAAGCCACCCAGGCTTAGTGTTGACGTGACTCATCTGATATTGCAACGGATGAGGCCGCGTCTGAGCAGTGTAACTAGCCAGATTTCCCCCCAATCGTAGCCCCTGCTGAAACTTGGCTACCTAGCCTGTAAAAACAACTTTGTACAATTATGGTACAGGTAGATAGAAATACAGGAACTGGGACGTTGACAATAACATGGGGTCCAAAGAATGGAGCCAACCCCTGAACAAGGCCCCGCCAGGGATCTTGCTTCGAGAGCTACATCATTGACCATTTTTCAATCAAGAAGCCAAGTTGGTCTTCAACCCCTGCCGCGTCGGCCTCATTATCAGACTGCAATATGCCCTTGATATCCTCTAGCTGAGGCAATACAAAGGCAATGGGCAGGTCTTTTTCGACAGCTTCCGGGCCCCAATCCTCGAGATACGGGCGGGCAGCTACAGGGATCGGCTTCTTCATAGCCCAGGCAAGCGCCTGTACGGCCTGGAGCAGGTGTGCGCCAAGCTTCGACGCGCGAGCGGACATGCGGGCCATTATGCATTCTCTGGTGAAGAGATCATGGGTTTCCGGGTCTTCAAGAACGGGGATGAGGTTGTACATGGTCAAGTTGATGGACCGCGTTATCATGGGGTTGAATGGCCACTTTCGAAGGTATACTTCTGCAAGTGTGGTATCGTCTCGGCAGGTTTGTAGCAACACATCCTTAACAGTAGAGTTGGGATGGTGGTACTGAGTCTCGAATAGCGCATCGGCAGGGAGATGCTGAAGGATAGTGTATATAACTTCGTTTTCGTGCATTCTGTATGGTCAGTTTTTTTTATTGAACAACGGACACAGGGGAAGAGGACGAACCTCAAGAAGCAAGTGGACGGCGTCAAATTCGTGTCACAGAGAAACCTCATAGGTAGCTCTTCTCTAAATCGTCTCAGTCTCGAATAGAAAGTTCTGCGTATGCGAATGTCTGCGTCACTGCCTTTGATGGTTTCGGTAGAAGTGATATGATACATCACTTCATTCCATAGTTCAGCCACCTCGCAACTAAGGATCCCTATTCCTGTAACAACAGGTACCTGGTATGTTGATTCCTGGAGAGGCTGACCTAGGACGTCGACATTGCCCAGGTGTTCGACAGTCATGGTCTTGTAGCCATCTAACAACTTGGGGATGTTTGGCGGAGGTAGAATGGACGGCTGGGAGTAGAAGAGAGCTATGCGGCTAAATATGGAGGGTTAAAAAAGTCGCACTCTAGTATAGGATGAGATCAAACCAACCTCTCGATGGTAAAAAGCCCCCAGAGTGCACAAGATATGACTCGTCTTTCTTTGGCATCTACAGCATTGCTGTCGTCGAGGCTATGAAACTTCTGTTCGAGTCGTAGACGCCGTAACATCGTGAATGCAGTGAAGCGATAAACTCGCGCGGCTCTGTCTCTCCCTGCAACGGCTGTGGCAAGATACATGAAGACGAGGGCCTGGACAGTCGGGATGGAAGGACGACCATTTTCGCGGCCGAGAAAACCCTTGGCTTCCTCAAGAAATCGATCACACAAGTTTTGTTGCGTCTTCGCAGCAAAGAGCTTGGCTCGTTCCGAGTAGTTCTAGCCAAACCGGTCAGTGCCACTCGGCGACATATGGGTTTAAGCAATCAAAACATACACATCGCAGGGCACAAATAGCGTTGACCAGCAGAGGTGAACACCATTTAGCCTTTTCAATATCGCCAGCCGCCATGTCCTCTAGGAAGGCGTCAAGAACAAGCGATGGGAAGGCATATATGCCGTCCCAGAGGAAGAGATTCGTGATGAGATCTGATACGAGGCCATCGTCAACAACAGTGGTCCACGGACGGGCGTGGACCTTGATGGGACTGTTGTGGAGGCAATTATTGTCGAGTCTCGTCAGCTGTGAATTACCCAACCTCTCGTTAGATCCTGGATTTGGAAGCAATAACTGGGCGTGCTTGATGGCGTCAAGAACATCCAGGGGCTCGCTCGACGCCCTGATGCGGCGGAAGATCTCGTCTGCTTCTCCCATGGGCTTGCTGCGCAAAAGCATGAAGAGTTCATGGTATCTGGCGTTTTCCATTTCGAGGGGCTCATGCTTCCGCTTGAGGTCTACGGCAACGACGGCGTTCCTGTCATCGATATAGATGCACGCGACCTGTCTCTTCAGACAATGCCCACAGGCGGGCCTGGCACTGTTGCACTAGACGGAGGACGGCGTTAGTGAGCCCTTAAATTCATCGGCTCGGCGAGTAAAAGTCCAGTTCGTCTTCATTCACCTTGGATTTCCTCCGCCGACAATTGTTGCAGGCGACATCTGTGACGAAGCGTCTCGGCTTGGCCGGTGCCTTGGCGGCTTTGGCCCTCTTGACGGCTCTAGAGAGCCCGGGGGTGACGGACTCTGCGCTGCTGCTTTCATCACTGAGGGCCGTGGCGGGGAGGATTTGGGCAAGTTTTCGGGGGTGACCCCGATTCATGGTGGTTTGTCGGCCTAGATTGGAGTTGGAAGGTCGTAAGTTTGAATCGTTTTGACAGCGTCGAGGAATACGGGGCCAAGGAGCCAATCATCTCATAGCTTAAGGTTTCTGACTAAGAGAGAGAGAGAGAGAGTTTGGGGGTATCGAGGATTCATTCCATGGGTCTGGGATACGCAGAGCTGCAATGTCGATGCCGTGGCGATTGATGCTTTGTTTGCGAGAAATGGTCCGCTCAAGTCGACGTCATCTGGTATGTATAGTAATCAAGAACTCGGCTGAGTGCTAGTGTAGTCCGCCAAGCCAACTTGGCCGGCGCTGCGGTGGTCAAGAGACGCTCGCGTGCCTGGTTTCTGTGTGAGACATGAAGTGGCAATGGTGGTGGAGGTGCTGGCGACGAAGGCGGCGATGGAGTTTGGGGGCCGCTCTCAATTGCCGTCGACTTGTATGTACTCTGTTCTCTTCCTCCTTCACCTCACCTCCGTTCCCCCAAGTCACAGGTTTCTTCCCTTCTGTTGGGGTGCGTCTGCAAAACCAAGCATGACTCGCATCGCGCACTGGCTGAGGCCGCCGAGACGACGAAATGGCCTGGCCCCCAAAACCTTGACTTATGCCCTGCACTATTAATTCCCTTCCCTCTCTCTCCCTCTCTCCTCGGCTGCAACGGTCGGCTGCAACGGTCGGCTCACCTTCAGCAAATCCAGTCACCGTGCCGTCCCGGTGAACCCCCGGCATCCATGGCCAAAGTCGGAGCACATCGGGTGGACCCGGACTGGGGCGCCCTCGGTCAGCAGCAGAGGGGCGTCTAGCGGCCCCCGCGCTGGAATTCAGCGGTTTTCAGTGGCCGAGGCCCTGTAAAGCCGACTTGCTAGTGGGTCCACCCCCAAAGACGGTGGCCCGATGCCCCCTCACGGCCCCTCCAACAGCCCGCTAACTCGCTGCTAACTCGCTGGGGCTAGCGACGGGACATCAGTCCTCGGCTGTTCGTCCCGGGTGAGCAAACCCAACCGCCGACCGGCGCCATTCTTCAACACCACGGCCTGGCATCACGACATCTTTCCGACCGCCTCACCACCAACACCACCGCCCGGCCGCACTCGGATTTTGCCTGCGCCACCCTGCGACCGTCGCGCCTCTTCACAATGACCAACCCCAAGGTCTCGCGCCGCCCTGGCCGGGACTCCCGCATCTCGCGCGCCTCGCCCGGCGGCACCCTCTGCAAGACGTGTACGCCGTGCCGCCAGAAGAAAGTCCGATGCGACGGGGCGCGCCCGCAGTGCGTCGAGTGCACCACCAACAACCTGTCCTGCATCTACCCGCACGATGCCCGCCGAGAACCCCGACCGTCCCGCGCCCGCGTCCAGAGCCTCGAGGCGACCGTTGCCGCCATGCTCGACCACATGAAAGCCTCCGGGATCCTGCCGCCCGAGATGCAGTCTGCCTGGACCGCCGAGCTCATGGACACCGGTGATTCCTCGCGAGCATCCCATGAATACACTTCGCACGGCCTCAGTCGCCTGGCCTCGACCGCCGCCATCGCAAGCCCTCTGCCGACCCCCACAGCCTCTACCGGCGCTCACGACATGGGCGCCGGCTTCCTCTCCTCCCCCCCGCGGAGCAGTGTAGGCCCGACCGACGGCGAAACGAAACCGCAAATAGGCAGCTTCGGCAATATTCTCTCGGTATCAAACCAGTCTGTGCAGCAGAGCTCGGAGCAAATGCCCGGCTCCAAACAGCCCGTCCCTCGTCCGATCAGCAACGATGGCAACGGCGACGGCGTCAGCGGCCTCTCACCGAGCGAAGCCCGAGTTGCCGGTGTTTTCCACGAAAACGGCTACGTCTCGGCCGTCCACGGTCTGGCTAGTATCATGAACCCGACGTCGCGCGCGCAGCACCGCGAGAACATCTCCACCATGACCCGAAAAGGCGACGACGCCATCGCCGCCTCCAAGGCCCGCCTCATCAGCAACGCCGCGCTGCAGCGCCAGAGGGAAGCGCGCATGTTCCGACGCCCGCAGGACTTGATGGACCTCGATGGCTGCGATCCCGAGTTGGCCAAGCATCTGCTCGACCTGCATTTCAACCGCCAGCACTACGCCTATCTCATCTCATACCGCCCAGCCTTCATGGACAGTCTCGCCAGTGGTGGCGGCCCATTTGTCAACAAGCTCCTGCTCAACGCCATCTTCTATTCGACTTCCTTGTATAGTGACCGCCTTTGTCTCCGCGCCGACCCGGAAGATCCCCAAAGTGTCGGCCGGCGCTTCTACGACCGATTTCGTGAGCTCCTGGTTGATGAGCTCGACAAGCCCAGCATTCCGTCGGCCCTCGCACTACTACTGACCAGCGTCTCGCTTGTCTCGCAAGGACGACCCAGTGCAGGCTGGAGTCTCTCGGGAACGGCCCATCGCATGATCATCGACCTGGGCTGCCACCTGATGCTTGGCCCCGACTACCAGAGCACTGCCGGCGTCAGCAACGAACGCATGTTGCGCCGAGATTTGGAACAGGAGATGCGCAAACGCCTTTACTGGGCCGCCTTCACAACCGATGCCACCCAAGCCTTGTACCTCGGCAGACCCTGCATGTTCGCCTCGGCGCAGGCCAGGGTCCCACTGCAGCTGCTGGATACGTTCGAGGAACTCGAGGAATGGGAGCCGTACACCGACCCGAACTCACCGGCGACGGCGCCACCGGCATATGGCGCTCAGCCTGCCCATGCGGTGTCGACATTCAGCAGTCTGGTGAGGCTGCTCCAGATCTCAACGAGAATCAACGATTTGTACGGCATCCAGTGTGTCAAGCACAGCGCCGAGTACCTCCTCAACAAAAGAGCCGCAATCGAAAAGGAGCTAGAAAAGTGGCAGACCAGTCTCCCTAGTCACTTACGATTTGACCCTGACGATAACCTCGCCATCACCCCCCCTCCACATCAAATCACCCCACAGTAAGCGATCTCCCCGTTCTACACCACCTGACGATGCTAACCACTCGTAACAGCACGACATTTCACGCCATGACCATCCTCCTCCATCGTGCCTTTTTGGAGGAGGGCCATCTCCGAAGGCACTCCGACGAGGCCGCCAAACGACGAGGGGAGGAAGCCTGTGTCCAGAGCGCCCTCATGATCCAGAAGCTTGTACGACGATATCGCGAGTCCTTCACCCTGCGTCGTGCGCCGTTTTTGCTTTCGTATGCCGTCTACTCGGCTGTCATTGCCATCCTTCGGCAGGAGCGTCGTGAGAGGGGCCAGTTCACTGAGCCCATCTCGTTCTTCTGGACCTGCCTTAGTGAGCTCCAAGTGGGTTGCAACTTTGGTCTGAAGAAGCCCTTGAGTGTCCTCCAGGACATGGTCCGGGAGTTCCAAGTCAGCATCAAAGAAGGCAGCGCTGCTGGCCAAGAGCAACCAGTTCCAGCTGGTCTCGATGAGAGCTTCTTCTTTCCTCTCGCCATGACCCCGTCCAACGGGGGTATGACACACACTGCTACACGTCCACCTGGTCCCTACATGCCCACTGTGACTTCGGAGTTCATTGGAGGAGTCATGGACCATGTTGACCCGGTCTGGGGAAACTCGCCGGGACTATTGGACTTCCTAAACGATCAAGAAAAAGACATCTCGCAGGACGCCCTTTACGGACTGTTCGCTCCGTCTCAGCCGTTCCCATGAATTCCACACGGACAAGGAAGCAACGACTTGTCCATGACGATGACTCAAGAAAGAGAACCTAGTTTCCCACCAATGTGCTAAATTAGGAGGCTGAGTTTGGCCGAACCAGTGCCATGCTCTCTCGAGGGACCCGACTCTCAGGTTTTCTCCGAGATTCTGGGGCTCAAATTGTGTGCTAACGTGGGATAACGAGGCGCTCGAGGATCATGCCTCTTACTCTTGAGCCCGAGCCGGGCTCCAAGGGAGAGTGAGAGTGTGATCAGCATCTTGGCGACATGATCAACGGCATGGTCTCTCGTCACCATCGCTTGTAAAACCTTGACAGCAGGGATATGGGAAGAAGGGGCTGGTCAGAAGGGTGATTTTGACAACAGTGTGGTCTTGGATTAAGGCAGAGAGATGAAAGACCTCAGTCGGCATCAATTTGACGAGCTGGTACTAGGACTGGTACTGGAAGCGATGCCTCGGAAGCCTTCCGTAGCCAAATCGCTCAGACATTTCCAACGCTATCCTGAGACATGCGACGCGCTTGTTTGGGATCGCGAGAACAATAGGTTTAGACTCGGGCGCTCAGACTCGAGCTCACTAGCCATAAACTCCGGCCCGGAAGATGAAAGACAGGTTTACTTCTCGATACGAATATTTTTGGGTCTTGGTGTTGGGTCGGGATTGGGGCCGAGCGCCACCCGTATTAGACACGAACATAGGATGGTAGCGTCGGGGGTACGGTTAGGAAAAGTCGAGTTATCATTATTCAGAAACTACTACATCAATGAAATTGATCCTCAAGAGAGCCGGCAAAGGGGTGTTTCCCAATTCCGATACGTCATGTTCCAGCGCATCGTAGAAATGCGAGGCTGGCGCAACGGTAATTTCTGAGGCTTGACTAGCCCGGCCTCGCAAGACAATATCCTGAAATAAACTGAGGGACTGGGGTCAGTCCTCGATCTCATTCGTACTAACCTTCTTTCGGAACTGACATGTCCCTGTGTCTTGGGATTGCTTTTGGGGGAGTCCTGAAAGCGCTTGGCAGTTCTCTCCTCCTCACCGAAGCACCCTAAAGCGAGTTCTTACTAGCACATTCTTGTTTCTGAGTAGGGCCGCAGCAAGGCCGGCCCTTTAACAGGGGAAGAGAGGTTTTATGTTACGCTAAATTTTAGGTGCCTGGATTCTCTGTTAGGAGTTTAGTGGCATGTTTGGGAGAGAAACCAGCCACCGAGCGAGCGGTAGTGGGTTGACGCGAGGGAGAGTGCAGTTTCCACGGTCGCTACCCTATACCACAATTGAAAACAGCAGTGATGATTTTGCGCAGGAGCTGTGTTTGGCAATAGGTATAAGGAATATTGGAAAATAAATATTTCAATTAAAATGAGTACATTCATTCAAGGACATGGACCTGTTAATCCGGTGCAGGCAGAGTATTGTTCTAGGACAAGCATATGCTGCCTAGCTTTTAGTGTAAGATACCACCGAACAAGCGAACCCAACAGCGTAAGAGGCACCGAGACCGGTACACGTGCAAACCTGGGCTAAAAACGACTCTAGTATGCCTAAATTTCGTCACTGCTTCCCTGGAAGCCCATCGCTTCTCTGGTTATTCCACTTCGAACATCTTGTGAGATGCCCATGACTCAGCCTGTGCTAGGCAGACTTCACTCCACCTTGGCGGGGTTGACTTGACAAGCTAAAATTCACTCGCCTACATTATATGGTCACCAAACGATCCCTCTGTTGTTTTCCCAAAATATTGCGCGGGATTGATGGTGGGAAATTGACTACATATTTCATTTTAATCCTTTACGTTACGGGAATTGCATAGATACGCCCTCGCGATGACTTCGGAGAAACCTAACCCTCGTGTTGGCGTGGCGGCAATCGTCTACGGCCAGGATGGCAAGTTTGTCGCAGGCAAGCGCATGGGGAGCCATGGTGCAGGTAACCTCGACCCATCCATGGCCGGGTCGATTAGACGATGACCCAGTACCGCGGATCGATGAGGCTGACGGACTTTCGGAACAGGAACATGGCAGCTGCCGGGTGGTCACCTGGAGCATGGCGAGAGCGTCTTCTTCTGCGCCGAGCGGGAGGTGCTGGAGGAGACGGGCCTCAAGGTCCGGGGCGTCAAGATCGTATCTATGACAAACGATGTCTTCGAGGACGTGGGAAAGCACTACGTCACGCTGTTCGTGCGGTGCGAGATGGTGGACCAGGCGGCCGAGCCTCAGGTGCGTCGAGACCTTCTCACCAGAGGCCCGTAGCCGGACGCGGATCTGAACTGACGCTTCCCAGGTGCTGGAGCCGAACAAGTGCGAGGGCTGGTACTGGAAGACATGGGGGGATCTGAAGCAGCTGCTCACCCAGCCGCAGGGCGAGCCGGCGTCGGCGTCGGGATCATCGCAGGGAGATTCACTATTCCTGCCCTTGGTGCATCTTCTAGAGGAGACGCCAGACCTGGATAGTCTGAGCCGGTGACTTGAGGACTCAAATTTAGGACTCGGATGGTGCAGGACCGAGGTGAGGCCCTGACTAGGGCGCAGGCCGAAACATACACCCGGCCAAATAAAGCGAGGACCGGATGGATCATGGGTGGTAGGACGTGGTAGGCGAGATCTAATCGAAGCAAAGGGCCAAGCGCCGAGTTGGAGCAAAGAAAAGCAAAGTGAAGCAAAGAAAGGAAAAGTGACTACTCGCCGCCAGTGCACACGCCGGTTTCTCGGTGATTCGGCCGGCCGGCCGGGCCTCGCAATTATACAACTTTGTGTATTCACGCAAGGAGTGTTTGGACCAGGTCACTAGGGCGCTTTCTTTTGTTTTCCATCTTAGGAGTCTCACACTATATTTGGTCCGCCTTAGTCTTTTTCCAGCATCGCTCGTGTTCACGTCAATTACCGCGCTCTCAGTTAGTGGCCCCATGATCCGCGACCGTTGCTTTTGCGGCTCTCCGGACCTGGCAGCTTCCCCACGACGCGCCACTTCGCCCCAGGGACGATCCCCTCGGCTATGCACATCAAGGACGCCCTTGCGTGACGCCGGTGGTAATTGTCCCGGCCGAGAGACACCGGCTGCAGTGGCTCCGGGGCAGGACGCTATGTGAGTGGTGCGTTGTGTTGACGGGGTTCGGAAATGTGGAAATGGAGGTCCTCTTGCGTCTGTTGCCTCTGACGTCGCGATGCCCATGCGGAAATGGCATATTGCTGCATGTCCGACCATGGACAACCCAATTTGGGCAATCTAGGACAGGGACGACCTGTTTTAGAGGGTTGACCGCATTGAAACAGCTAGGGCTAGTCTAGGAACTATCTCGGTGACAACACACTTCCGTCTCGTTCGCAACTCCTTGGACTGCTGTGATCAAGCGTGTGAGGGCGACGATCGACACGATTCTTTCTTCTTTCTGACAACCGGCCAGGGATTCAATTTCCCATTCTGACTAATCTCCCTAGCTATGCCATCTTGGCTGATGTGTGTACTCATTGCTCGAAACTAGTCGTGGCAACCCCTGGGCGGCCAAATCTCGACGGTCTCAGAAGCAGGACCATCACGATGCACAGAATAGAGTCAGACTGTCCATTTCCATGCGAGTCTCTTGGGTATATAATGTCATGGAATCTCCTCCCAAACCAGATTTCTTTCCTCATCAGCATCACTCCCCATTCAATCATCTCGTATTCCTTCTTACACACTCCCACACTCATTCCAATCTTTTAATTCAGTCTCCTACTTGACTACCTACCTAATTCATAATGTCCGATATCATCTCCCAGCTCCAGGTGCTCAGCCGCGACAATGGCTGTCTCCTCGATCTCACTGCCATCCTGAGCATCTGCCCCAACATCGACATCCTCACCAAGCGTCCTCACAAGGTTGAGCAGAAGCAGGAATACGTCACCATCACTCCCACTGAGGTAAGCATTGCACCTGATCTACAATCGTCCCAATACTAACCCGGCTACAGTACAAGAAGAAGGGTGGCAAGAAGGCCCACTACCGCCGTGGCTGCAGTGGCAGTGACTGCTACGAGGTTCCCGAGCAGGTCTGCAAGAAGCACCAAGTCAGCCAGGATATCCAGATCCTGATCTACCTCGGCCTCATCACTACTGAGGAGCTCGATGAGTACCTTTGCAAGACTGGCGACCTCAAGAAGGGCGAGTCCATCAAGGACTTTAGCAACGGCAAAGTCGGCGTCAACCCTCTCCTGAGCCTTTCCGTTGGCGAGAACGGCGACATCGCCAAGGTTGATGTTGGCGGCGATAGCCTCCTGAGCGCCGATGTCCTGGGCAAGCGCGAAGACAAGCTCATTGATGTCCAAGTTGGCGGCAAGAAGAACAAGGATAAGGGTACTCTTCTCGAGGCCAATGTTCTCACCCACGACCGCCGCGCTGAGCCCGCCATCGACCTTGAACTCCTCAATACCGGACGCCCCGGTCGCAATGGCCGCCCCAATCGCCCCAGCAATGGTGGCACCGACAAGCTCATCGACGTCCAAGTTGGTGGCAAGAAGAACAAGGACAAGGGCACCCTCCTCGAGGCCAATATCCTCACCCATGACCGCCGCGCTCAGCCTGCCATCGAACTTGACCTCCTCAACACTGGTCGTCCCGGCCGCAATGGCCGTCCCGGTCGCAACGGTGGAACCGATAAACTCATCGACGTCCAAGTTGGTGGCAAGAAGAACAAGGACAAGGGTACTCTCCTCGAGGCCAATGTCCTCACCCACGACCGCCGCGGTCTCCTGGATGATTTGACCTCGCTCCTCGATCTCTCTATCGGCGGAAGCGGCCCTGATGATTCTCTCCTCAGTCTTGGCGTTGGCGGCTCTGGAAGCGGCAACGAGAACGGCAACGGTGGAGGCAACGGCAACGGCAACGGCGGTGGTGATGGAAACGGAAACGGCAATGGAAGCGGCAACGGCAACGGCAACGGATCTGGCAACGGCAACGGATCTGGCAACGGTAACAATGGCTCTGGCTCTGGCTCTGGAAACAACGGTTCAGGCAATGGTAACGGATCTGGTAACGGAAACGGCAGTGGTAACGGAAACGGCAATGGAAGCGGCAACGGCTCTGGCAACGGCTCTGGCAACGGCTCTGGCAACGGAAACAACGGATCTGGTAACGGCTCTGGCTCTGGCAACGGAAACAACGGCTCTGGCAACGGAAACGGCAGCGGGAACAACGGATCTGGCTCTGGCTCTGGCAACAACGGCAACATGTACAGCAACGGCAACGGTAGCGGACACGGATACCCCCGCGACAACAAGGACATGATCAGCCACTACCAGCCCATGTGCAACAAGGGATTCAAGAAGGAGCACCTCTCCAAGTGCCACAAGGAGCAGGCCACCGACGTCAACCACTGCATCGCCATCTGCCAGGCCAAGAGCGCTCACCTTACCCTCGCTGCCAACGTCAAGGTTGGCGATGTCGCCAAAATCCTCATCTGCGTCGCCGTCGAGTTCAACCAGAAGTCCCAGGACGGCAACTGCAACTACATGGTTGCCCCTGAGAACAAGCCCTGCAAGGAGTCTTACCTCGAGGAGAAGAAGGACTGCTATACCTTCATGCGCCAGTAAGGGACTCAATTCTCTCACTGTTGATACGAAAATTGCCTCTGTCAGGCATGGAATACTGGTGGATTATTGAGTTGACGAGTTGAAGTGTGATGCCTCTCCACGACATCTGGAACCGAATCACTTGGCGCACACTGTCACACCCCACGAACATCCTCACTGGATAAACTTTCTACTTCTTGAGATAAAATTTAGATGTGTAGTCTTCTATCATAATAAAGGTTCCATTTGTCTACGAAAACATTCGATCCTCCCGCTTTCGTTGTGAATTATGTAGTCCTAAAAGGTGACCAATTGAATGCCCTGACAATTACCTCTTTCAACGGGCTTTGACTTATCAGGTTTTGGGTCTTGAAAGGCAGCTGATATAAAGTCATGCCTATCTTTTTCAAAGTGATGTTTTTGCTCATGCAAGTTTACACAGGTTTTAATAGGCCGGCATCGACGCATGTAGGGCAGTGGCAAAGAAGACATTGGCATCGGCTATTGGAATCAGGGTTGCCTGCAGAAAACACAGGCCTGTGCGCATTTGATCGTAGTTGTGCGAATAATAATACTGGCACAATCTTTTTCTTTTATCAACCCATTTTCTCGTTACCCCAAGCTGCCAGAGCACTACGACAAGTGGTGGATTACCAGGGACGGCTCTCTTGGACACCCCGCAGGCAAGAGTAAGATGGCTGCATCCTTGACAGTGACCTATAGCCAACTAACTCCTCCGTCAGCTCCAATGGAAGCTGTCTCTCTAGTCCCGCGCTGCTAGCCGACCTGGGAAGATGACATCGACGCCTTCTGGACCGCGATGCGGGTCGACTTTCACATACCTGAGCGGTCTCTTGGGCTCGCTAGCCACATTGATGTATAGAGGGGCCCAAAAACGCCCTGGGCGCTTTCCCAGCTCAAGATCATCTCCTACGTTATTGCCATCTACCAATCGCTCGTCTCGAACCGGCTTATGAGGGCCCACGTCAACAACGAATACTGCAAGGCGAACAATGTCAGTTCGCCTTGAAAGGTGAATTGCTTTTATTGCGTTCATCCGACCTTTTCTTAGCATGATGTGTTCCACAGCCGTCATATGTCGCTTCGCAGACTGACACAATTTAAAAACGAGCTCAGCCACCCCCCGCTGCGTCGATTGCAAGTTGGACGCTGTAGAAACTTGTCTCTATGGATTCTCTTCCCGCTGATTACAAAGTCCTGAACGAGTCTAATAGGCAGAGTTCTCTGGAACTAGAGAACTGAGGTGAGATAGCTGACTTGAGGAAAGTTGGTGAGCGTGGATGGATGTTTTCTTTTGTGTTCTAGAACCCAATGCGCAGCTGTTGCTTACGAATGGTGTGGCACTAGTCAACGTAGCAACTATCGAGTTAAATATAGTATCCTGGCTTCTGTGCTATAACTCCATGCTGGGAATGGGAACTAGTCTTTCGCTTCAATGCACCTTATCCATTGTCCTAAATCTGTCCCTGCCCGAGGGATGTTGGTTGGTGCAGCACACAATGGGGTAACCGGGATAATTGATCAGGCTGGAACCATCGGCAAGGGAACCGGGCCGCGTCAATGCCACTATGCGAGTGCAAATCCTTCGGATGTGGTGACCGGCTACTGATTCCGCGCTTTGTTCGCTTCTAGGCTTGGCACTGCGCGGCTAATACAAGTCCAGAATCGTGGCTGGCTGTATCGCTCGTGAGAATGCACATCACCAACCGGAGTCACTCTATTGTTTCAGTTGCCTGGCGCCAGCACTGGCGATCAATACTTGCCAAGACAAGGGCGGAAGTTTGACAACGTCAATGGCCATTCAGCAACCCCAAACAGCACTATCTATTACAATTCAATGACAACTCATAAATGGCTTGCAGCAGGGTCAGCACTAAAGTCAGCGTCTTAAAACATAGGCACAAAAAGCAATGTGATGCGCCCACCCCATTGGACAGATTGTCAACCAAGTACGGTTCTTCCCACACTGGGCATTGTTAGAGTTGACCGACTTTTACGGCAGACCTTGGCTTTACCGCGACCAACGACACAAGAGGGGCTTTCATCCTGGAAGATGCGAGAAGAAGCAACATGTCGCATACCTGGACCAACCGAAGTTTGTCAAACTTCCTGCGCTAGCCTTCGTATGATTAAGACACTGTCCATCCCACAGGGCGTAATGAACGCCTGTTGGCCATATCGGCCGAAGTGCAGATTGCCTACCGTGGCCAGTTGACGCAATTGATTGATAGACCCAGTCACATCGCCAATCTGGCCCATATCACACTCACGTTTGGAATCACAAACAACTCCCATCGGCACCGCCACCGCCAGGCCCTTGCACTTGGGGCGTACAGCAAACGAAAGACACTTTACGTAGCATTGATTGTAATGGTATCTGTAATGACTGTAGATAGATGAGCCCCAACAAACCCTCCTTCTGATCACAACTGTGGACTCCCCCTCAAACACGCCCGCCACCAACCGCACTCATCTCTAGTAGAAATGCATTGTCTCTTCCTGTCCCGATGGATGTAATGTCGAATCCCCGTAAGGCAAGCCGCCTGTCAACCACGGACTTGCAACGTGTGGCGGTGCCATGATCCGCATTCCCTGGTCAGGCGACGGCTGTGTGAGAGCCGGCAGATGCAGTCGCTCCCTGCGAAGCACATGCTCCCTTTGAAACATTCTGCTCCTGGACTCCCCAGAAGTTCCAAATGGCCCGCGGCGGCATCTGGTAGCCTCAGTGGCAGCAGAATGAGCAGAGTCTGGGCGGAGCACTCGGCGGTTGATGTTGCGAATCGCAGTGGCTGGAGTCATTGACTGAAACGAGTTTCTGATGAAGTGTTCGGGGATGCCCAGCCTAGTGGCGTCCTTCATGCCAGAGCGAATTGGGCCGATGTATTCGTCTCTGGGGCGGCCCCGTTTGATAATGGTCTCGTTGAGGTAAACCAGGACGTTGGCTTCGAAATGATGCTCCTGCTCCCCAGCTTCCATTTTCGCTCCATTTCGCACAGCATCGACGAGACCAGCAATAGGGAGTTGTAGCTCCGGCGAGGTCGGGTAAAGGACGAGCTCCTTGAACACCTTCGTGTAGGTGCCGCCCTGGACGTCCTCGCTCTGGTCCAAACTGTTCTCGTCGTCGCCGTTCACCCTGAAGACCAGGCCGTGTACGCTAGAACTGGTGCGAGGAATCACGTTCGGATGGCCCCTCTCGTTGAACAGCCAGCAATATTCCAGCAACATGGCCCGTCCAACGTACTGGCTGTTGGGGCATCTGATTGCCATGTGCTGCAGCGAGAGATTTCTCCCATAGGCAAAGTACAGCTTGTCTGGTGGGCTGGACATGGCGTGTGCAGAGTCGCGTGAAATGATCAGGCAATCCTCTCTCGAGGCGGTTTTTGAGGAGAGGGATGAATGCTGAAAGAGGAGAATGGTGGACGCGGTCAGGCTGCGTTGTACACAAAAGCGTCGAGGCTCTTGACAAATTCCAAAGCCTGAAGGTCTGGCCGGGTCGGATTCTGCGACAACGGGACACAGCGCTTGATAAAGAGCGGTCTGAAATTGCTCAACCAGAGAGGGGGAGCCTATTTATAGTGATAGCGGCAAACCGCCTTTTCTTAAGTTCAAACATTACGCAACTGATCGGTACTGTGGCGGATGGGGGACCGCGGCTATTGGGAGCACAGCTGGCCATGCTTGCTTGCAGGCTGCAGGGCACCGTGATAAGGGCTAGCGCAAGCTGTTGAGCTCTGTGAAATATGCAGTGTGCCACACTCAATTGCGTCGTGTTGGATTGACACTGTGGGCGACTCCAGCCTCGTTTATTCTTGAAGCACTAGGTGCTCGATATGCCACGCACCTTACTTTTTAATGCTAACCAGGTCTAGAAGCGTCAATGAGACACTTGGCTACATGTCTTGATGCATCACATCCAGGCTATTGAATCTAATACTTCCATAATTGGCCAGACAGACTCAAGAAGAGCAGTGGATACTCTCTGGTCAGAAAGAGAAGACACTCATTGATCTTCAAGACCAATCACCTAGAAGAGGATCCTTGCTTCTTAGACCAACCCTTGGCAATATTTACAAGTCCTCGTCGTCACTATTCCACTCTAAACGGAGAGTTCTCTACTAGTCGCATATTTATCGCTGACTTCGCGGCACCCATACGAAGACACTGCCTCCATCTGATCTGCCGATGAAGTGTGTTTTGGCATGATAACAAGACTTAGGTTAGCATTACGTATTCTCAGTACACTCCTGAGTGAGTAGACGGCGGAGGCTAGCGAGAGGGATGGAGGAGGTGAAGAGTAGTTACTTTGTCCCGGCTTGCCTTTCGGTTTCTTGACTGGTTAGTTTTCGCATAAGATCATTTAAAGGATTCCTTAAGAATCAGCGAAGTTGGCGCAGAACTTGCCTATGCAAGGTGATAGGTTGCATGGGTCACACTTATCCCTATTATATCCCTGCTATCATCTGGCCAGCCCAAAGTCCGAGGCTGCCCGCCACACCACTTGATAGCAGGAATTCTAAGCTCACTGATACATTACGACTTAGGCAAGACAATTTGGATCGCCTATTTGGGGTTCGAATCCTTGTCACGATTGTCACAGCGCCCATGCCAGCTTTAATAACTTTGTGCGGAGCCACAGCGATAGATATAAACCTCCTTGGAATCCCGAAACCTGCCTGAGTACCAGAATCAGCGGGACTTCCCAGGTAACTGGAGGGCAGAACACAAAACAGCGGGGGAATCGCCCGAGCCGATGTTCGTATTGTGAGCTGAACTGCTTCTCAGCCAATAGGAAAATGATACTCTGTATCAATTACGAAAATGTCTCTGTTGAGTGAGTCAAGCTAACCAGGCATCAGACGTAGGACGCGAGGGCTGGCGAAAGGCGTGGAGCGACACGGCTAGTCGGAAGGGAGTCCGAGTACAATTAATCTCAGTTTCGACAGCCATGAAAGATTTATATGTAGTCAACTCGTCATGCGAGCTGTGGGCTGCGCTCATCATCATCCGCTCTGGGCCACAGCCATGCTGACATGCAGTGTGCCGCGAGACAGCAGGGGCTTGCACTTTACACAACATGGCCGAGACCACGTGCATTAGGTTGGAAAATTTGAAGCTCTCAGGAAATTGAGAATATGCGTCCACGGCATGTAAATGCTGCCAACCTTGGTGTTGACGCATGGTTTCTGTAAGGTGCCGTACGGTGTGAGACGGGAGTGGCCCGTTATCACTAAAACGGGCATGCAACTACCGCGGCTCTGCGTGACCTCAATCGCTTGATTAAGCTCCGAGCTTCCATGACGACGCCACCCCTCTCGCGCTACCAGCTCTCCAACGCCAACGTCGCCGCTGCAATACCTGAATCTTTGCTCCTCCGATGATATAGTCGCCGTCGTCTTCCGCTGCGTACGCTGCAGCATGCACACGCCATGTCGTCCCTCGCCGAACCGCGTCGACCGCGCCTCCTGGCCCAGAACCGCAAGCTGCGGCACCTCCGCGGCGTCTGGTTGCGAAACCTGTCCTTTGCGCCCGCGACCCTGCGAACGACGGACGATGCAGACATCAACCGGAGCCCCAAGAAGCTGCAGGTGCTGAGGGAGTCGGGCCAATTGCACCCGTCACGATCGTCCGAGAACCTCCGGAACGACAGCCTGCGCCCCGAGACCTTGCGACCGCAGAATGCCCGTAGAACCAGCTTGAGCATGGCGCACGCGAACCCCGTCGCGAGGCAAAAGAAGCTGGAGACTTTGGTCGAGGACGCTGTCGGGGATGTCTTTTACTCGCTGCACGTAGGCGGGTGTGCTGATCCTGTCTACGTGAGCGAGGTGAGGGAGAGGTCGGCGGTAAGCAGACATGCGACAGCTTGTGTCGAGCCCGGATCTAACGCGTCCAGAACTTCAACTTTCAGTTTTTCAGTCTGGGTGACTGCGAGCCGACCATTTCGAGATCCTGCGTCATGACTATCCGCCTGTGGGCGAAGCGACCGAAACAACAATCTTGGGTCTTCTTGTTGGAGGAGATGGTGGACTTGCGACGCCTCAACTTTGTTGCAACCCTAATGGATAGGCGATTCCCGCCGAATGCCCTCGTTTTCCACCTCGAGGACGGAATCTACTCGCTCGACTTCCCCAACCGTATATCCGATCCCAAGCAGGCACCGACAATCGCGAGTTCGTCGTACAATGCGCTAATGAAGCTGGCCAATCTAGAGAGCTCCATCGAGGATGCCATGGAAACGCAGCGACGCATCATGGGTGAAATAAACCAAATTTTGGAGGAGAGTCCCACGGATACTTCAGGGACAGCGGAGGAGGCCGTCACGCTTGCCGAGAAATATGTCACGACACAACGACGAGCGAACCGACTTGCAGAGAAGCAAAGAGACGATCTCCTGGAATCGCTCAGGAGCCGAAGAGCAGCTATAGCCGATGGGAGGGAGCTTCAGGCCAAGGCGGAAGAGGACATTGCGAACAACGAGGAAAACCTGCGGGCGTCAAGGGAGCTCGTCGAGAAGACGGAGCAGCAGATCCGAGGGCAGCGCCGTCGCATATGCTCGGATCTCGCCGACATCTTCCCCATCACGCCGATTCCCAATGCGCCTCCCCTGTCGTTCCAGATTTGCAATGTTCCCCTGCCAAACTCAACCTACGATGCTGCCACGGCCAGGCAGATCACCGAAGATGTCCTTTCCGCCGGCCTCGGCTTCGTATCCCTCCTCACGCGCCACCTACAATTCTATCTTTCCCACCCGCTACCATACCCCCTCGATTCGTTTGGGTCTCGCTCTTATGCCCGGGATGACATCTCCCATCTCTCTGACAAAACTGTGTCCCGACGAGAATTCCCTCTCTATCTCCCTCGAGGAGGGTCTACGGTTGGCCAATGGCGGTTCGAGTACGCCTGGTTCCTCCTCAACAAAAACATCGAGTCTCTCTGCTCTTCCCAAGGCCTGAAGGTCGTCGACATCCGACACTCGCTTCCTAATCTCAAGTACTTGCTTTACGTTTGCAGCGCCGGGACCGAGGATGTACCCGAGCGCAAAAAGGGTGGTGTTCGGGGACTGTGGGCTGGCAGACTGAAGGGTAGGCTGTCGACCATGTCAACCCAAATTGATGGCGACGGCAGTAGCACTGCTGGGAGTCGACGGGGCAGTGGCGAAAGCGAGACGATGAATCAGCACGGGGATGCGCTGAGGAAGGCTCTTATGAAGAGCAATGGTAATGGAACGCCCGATGAGGTGGCAGTGGAGAGCCTGAGTGATGTCGTCGTGTCACTACCCTTTGACGAGGGCGACGCCAAGTTCACACTCAGAACTAAAGGATTAAGAGAGAATGTTTCAAGATGAAGCTTGGGGGTGTTTTCATCGAGTCTTGGCATGGCGTTGGGGACTGGCATGGACCGCAGACGTAGCGCGTCGGTTGGATCATGTTACATTATATTGAGCACAAGATGACAGACAGATTTACAATTCCTGAATTCCATGTCCATCGGGTATTGAAACGGTGATCGTATTATGCTAATAAATGGTGTATCGAGTATCCTACCCAACCATACACGTGCAATGACGGAAATGTCAAACCTTGCGCCGCCGTAAATCCAAAATAAATAGTCCAAATGCTATGACAATCCAAAATGCGACCTTCGTTCACTTGTCCGGCCCCGCGAACTTGACGCTCTTTCGCCTCTCCCGTTCTCCCGTGACGAGAGGCCTGTTTGGGCTGGAGCTCAGGATGCCACCGCTGCCCTTGTTGAGAGCCTCTCGCGCCATGCCGACCGCCCGGCTCTGCGGGATGTCGTTGGTGTCGCTTCTTACAGCCCGGTCCAGCCCAGGGCGCGGACTCGACCGCCGGCTGCTGCTATTTGCGCGGTCCTCTCGCGCGCGCGACTTCTCGACGGTGGCGCGGCCGAGCTCGTCGGATCGAGCCGTCGTCGTCTCGGCGCGGTATTTGCCCGGCAGACAAGCGTGGCCGCAGCCGTCGAGGGGACAGCAGCCATCGCTAAAGGTGGTTGATCCGTTGGAACTGTCTGGGGAACCGAGAGGAGCGTGCCAGGCCTGGAGACAGGAAGCATGTCCGCCGTGGGCGCAGCCGGGACAGTACCACCACTCCGACAGGCATGTATCCGGCGTGTCCATTGCCTTGGTGATATCCGCGGGGACGTAACTGGCCTGCGCCAGATCCCGGTCCCCACAGATAGCGCAAGGAGCCATGGCCGTCTTGCAGCGATCGCACATCCAGATTGCTGCCTTGCCACCCTTGGGATCGATCTCCCTTGGTTTTCGGCAGGAAGCACAGAAGAAGCTAACCTTGACGCCCTGTTGAGCAGGCGTGAAGATGGCAGTGTAGTTTTCGCCCCATTCAGGCAACCCTTCGGGCCAGCCTCGAATGCAGAGGTTACGGAGGAGCGATGCCTCGATAAAGAGACTCATGTGCATGAGGCGCGAGTGGTGTTGCCGGAGGATGGCACTGGCTTGATGATAGTCGATGACATAGTCTGGCACAAGAGGTTTCAGCAACAAGATAATTGCCGAGGCGTTCAGAGCAGAACTCTGGGACTCGTAGTCCAGAGCCCTGGTGATGAGAGAGTAGGGGTCAAGGGGCGATATCATGGGTATTGGCCCGTCGGAGACTGTTGGATGGGGATATAGAGGGTCCTCTTCCCACGGTAGATAGTCAGATTCAAGGATATAGGGCCGAATGTCTTGCTGGGCCGGAGATGGTCCTTTGACAGGGCTGGGAGTCCGGCCGGGTTGGCTCGAAGGCGTGATAATGGCTGGGTGTTGCTGAGCCGGCTGTTCCGATATCTGCGGCAGCATTGATGGGGCATCTGTCTTGACTGGGAATTCTGACTCGGGCTGTGAGGGCTCGGATGTCTGAGATGGAAAACTGTCGTCGGTCCCAATTGTCGTCTGCGAGATCAGAAACACTTCCTCCGGTGATTCGTTCGCTCGGGATTTACGACGATTCGGCGGGTCCTTGGTTTCCGTAGTTTTCAACGTCTCCCCGCGGATCCGGCTCTGGAATTCTTGACTTTGCGTGGACATGTCGGACGCGTGCCTGGCCAGGCTCGACCTCCAAGTTCCGTTGCCGTTGGTTACTGAGGCAGTCGGCGTTGGTTTGGTCGCATCCGACGTGGAAAACATCTGAACAAAACTCTCATCGGAATCGTGCCTAACGACTTTCCTATTGTCAGCACGTTGGAGGCCAGTGTAGTCGAGGGTTAGCGGCTCCGTCTGGGGCATGGGGACATCCATAGCCTGGACCAATGCTTCCGCATCGTAGAAGTCGTAACCTTCGGTGCTGGAGATGTGTGAGCGCTCACTATCATGGCTCACTTCGGAGACGGGAACAGAGTCAAGACGTTTCCGGGGGGTGTCGTCAAGATGATCTTGCACCGCTGGTCCCAAGCTAAGCTCGTCAGGCTCCATCACTGCCGCCAGCTTTCTCCCGATTTGTTGAGAGTGCTCGTATGTTTCGTAATTGCGGTCCGCTGGCCGTGCAAGAGGGGTTGGGACGTTGGAGGTGCTTTCGATCCCCTCGGATAGAAGTGATCGACTCGACATGGACCGGCCTATGGGTACAGTTGATTGAGTAGACAGCCGCCTCGGGGTGTCCTCACCGTAGCTTCGAACAGAAGAATAAAGGTCCACTGGCTTCAGCCTACCACTGCCCTTCTTTTCGTCCATCTTGAGCTTCTGGAACTGGCCGAGACGCACTTCAAGGTGGTATTGGGCACGCCTCTCAAGAAGCAGCCCGACCGCATACGATAGAATGCGCCAAGTTTGAGAAAGTCGGAAGAGGCTGACACTCTGAGCTGCGTTGGCGTACTTTTCCATTATGGCAGCAACTCGTTTGTCGAGGGCCTTGCCCTTCTTAACGTATGGGAGCTCGCGCTGGAGCGTTTCGAGGTAAATACTCGAGAGATACTGGTAAACTTGCGTTGTCCTGGTGCTGGGAACGTGCCCTGACGCCATTGTTTGCTGTGACTTGAACATGCCGGTTACTTTAATTGCCTGGTCGAGCCCTAGAATGAGTTTATGGTCATCGGGCATACTCGAACTGGACGGAGGAGTAGTGCTCATTGGAGGGCCCGATCTCCCTGTCCGCTTACGGCTATGTCGTCGTCGGGGACCGAGGAAACTACCTACGACGTCCTCCTCGGAGTCGCTTCGGCTGATGCTCAGCATCTGGTTATTGGGGCTTGATCCATATGGGGTTCGGGGAACGATATCGGCATGGTGGCTGACTGGAGGTCGTGGTCGCTGCGAACTCGGTCGTTCATCTAGGAACATGAGAACATCGCCTTTGGGAGAAAAGGCCATGGATGACGTAGACTGGCGATCAATGACCTTTGGTGCAAATGCGACATCGCACTGAGTGAACTGGCCATCCTGACCCACCGTCCAGAGCATATCTTGATCCTGCCAAAGCAAGGCAGCTGGTGAGGATTCGAACCGTTCAATTTCCTTGTAGGGCATCGTCGGTCGCGCAAGGTCCCAGATATGCACCGCCGAGGTTCCATACCTTCGAGAACTGCTATCGTCGTATGATACTGCGACCTGAGCGACGCGTTTGCTCTGGGCCGTCGCCGACCAGAGACCAGGTCTCCAAGCTATGGCGAAGACGGGTGCGGGAGTCGACACTGTGTACTTCGGCTTCTGGCGTTTGTCGGCGGTGGTTCCAAGGTCCCATACGTGAAGTTTGGTATCCCAGCCCGCGCTTATGAGGTGGTTCCCATCTGGATGCCATGAGATCGATGCGCATGCCTTTTCATGCGCGTTGATCCGTAGCACTGGCCTGGTGGGCTGCCGGACATCCCACTTCAGCACCACCCCTCCTTCAGTGCAACAGGCCATCTCATGCCCAACCTTGGGCGACCACTTGACCTGTCTAATCGGATCGATGCATTTGAGGGGCGCGAACCGTTGTCGAAAGGTGATGCCGCCAGACCGGCCTTGCAAAGGTGCCGAGGTGTCGAAAACGCGGGCGATTCCGTCTTGACTGCCGGAGAGAAGCCAGCTCTTGAGATGTGGATTGACGTCGAGTGTCGTGATTTGCCGAGAGTCTTCTTGCATCTGGATGTATTCCAATGGTTCGGCTGCCCCAGACCCGACGCGGGAGACGTCGTAGGTGAAGATCTTGCCGTTGGCGCATGCCGTAAATATGGTCGAGTGGCCGTGCCATTTCACGTCGCGAATACTGAGCTGGTCAGCTGTCGAGTTCCCCTTTGGACCAGATATCTGCGCGGTAATGACGGCCCGCAGATCGACTCCCTCGTGGAAGTTGAAGTTGAAGCTCTGCGGGTCGTCCAGCACCACCGTCTTGAGGATATGTGCGCCGCCCAAGACGGCGGCCCGGCGATCGGGGGAGACATCAAGGCTGAGTATAGGAACGCCGGCTCGGTAGACGCCGTCCTGCGACTTCGAAGGGCGATAGGTTGCGGTGGCCGAGGACGCGGGCGCGCTGGTGATGGAGTGGTTCGGGTCGCCGGTGGGGGTTTCGGGCGCCGCCTTGCCGAGGAGCTTGCGCATGATCTTGGAGTCGCGGTTATACATTGTTGCGGGGAGTCAGCGTCGCCTGGGACGCCATCGGACCTCAGTTTAGACGGCGGGCTTGCGCATGTTGCGGACGGCGGATTGATGGGCGAGGCGACGGTGATAAGGAGGTTGCGGTGGCAGGCGTTGATGGCGGGTTGAGGCTCTGGTGGCGTGGAGATGACCATGAAATGTGGAGTTGCGGAGGAACGAGCTTGAGTGGGGCCGGATGCTGAAGATTGTTAGTGCAGTAGCTGTGGTTGCTCAGTGGCACTAACGCGCTGGGACAACACCAACCAGCTTGGACGGAGAGCGCAAAAGTATCTTTACGATGAGAAAAATAAAATAAGAAAAATAACTGGTAAAGTGCGATATAATCACAGATCTCTATCCAAAAACAAAAGCACATCACCATAAAGGTACGTGACACCACTGCCTCCTCAGCACCACCAAGGAGTCAACGTCAATCCCTGGTTCATTCACAGCCCGAGGCACTCGCTTGCTATCTATTATCCCACATATTTGCCTCTAAAACGCTCGCATTCAATCAAACTCTCAATTCCATTTGCCACGGTCCAAGGGCTGACAATCTTCAGGTCGGTTCCCAGCAACGTCTACCGGTTCTCGCGAGTTCGCTCTCTCGAGGCCAGGAGGACCAGCATCGTGATGTCCAAGGCGGTAGCCTCCCACTGTGCTCCGGTTTCCGGGATCACATTCTCATTGATCAAGAGCTTGTTGCGCCCTGGCTTCACTGCTGCCATGGCGGTCGTGAGGATCTTGAGACACGTCTCATCATTCCAGTCGTGCAGGACAGAGTGAGTCCATGTAGTATGCACGCGCACCTATTGGGATTAGATTGCGTGCCACGTAAAATGATTCAGATGATCGATTTTTTGCTGACATCGGCTGGATGGTGGGCCTAATAAGGCTTTACTCTGAGCAACTGCAGGCCTTCTTCCCGTGGTACAGGAGGCACCGTCACCATATCTCCCAGCTCTAACGCCACGATGGCAGTCAAAATTGTGAAAAGGGCAAGCCCCCTCCCAGTGGCAATTATTACCCGCTTCTTATATGTCAGTTCCTGTAAAATAGTCCTCGAAAAACCTGTGACTTACAGGCGAGGCGAGGCAACTAAATCGCTTCCTACCGTCCAACCAACCATCTCGAGACACCCACCAAAAGTGAACCTCTTTGAGGTCAGAGAAGACATAGTACAACCAGTGAAATTTTCACCGCTTTCATTTGCTTCGGTCTATTCGAGATTATTGATTGGGAGCTCTGGAGAGCAGAGAGAATCGGGTTAGTTTGCTCTAGCTTGGATTGTGCCTGGGCCATTCGGTGTCCCTCACGACAAGCATGAACGATTTAGTGGCTTTCCCATTTCCATTACTATAGAAAAGTAAACCCGAGATGAGAATGACGACTTTGGCGCAAAAAAGGAAGGAAACCAACACCCAACTTATTAATTAATTCTCAGGGGGATACACAAAATATCATCGCACAGACATCTTGTAATATCAGCCTAAAGCTAAATTAAAATATTTATATAAGATCAAATAGATCTTAAGCCTACATCTTCTAATAGAAAATATCTTATCAGATAGAAAATAAGGTAAAATAAATTACTTAAAATAAAGATAATAAATTTATTAACTCTCACAATAAATCTTAAGCTCTCTAGGTCTCTCTAATCTTTAGGGGGAAAATCTCAATAAAAGAAAACGTAATAACTCCTCCCTTCTGTCTGCAGCCACCTCTCCTTTTTATCCCCGAGACGTCAGCTAGCGCCCCGCTGGCCCAAAAGTCCCTAACCGCCCGTCACACGACACTGAGAGAATAGTTTCCCAACGTAGAATTTGCGGCATTGTAGTCTCATTAAGAAGAGACATGCAGCGTGATGCGTAATTGACGCAGACATAAGGGGCATATCAGGCCATTGGCCGACGTGTCTATTGTAGCTTCTGAATTGAGGATTTTAGACTTCCCAAGTCCCTCTCCTGAGTACGATTGCTACGCCCGTCACCGGGCTTGCAGACTAAAAACATTACGCCTCCAAGTTGACGCATGCCTGAGTGGGATAACTCTCATGATAATTGAGACCTGGGTATAGTGTTTATTTGAATATTAGAAATTCGCCAGTTGTATAGGTTAACGCTATCTTTGTGATACTCTGGTACTGAGGTCAGTCTTCACGTCATCATCTCCACAACTACTTACCCACGACAATCTCTCGAGCTAGAAACAAAGAAAGACTTAAAAGATTATAAATTGGAAGTGCTCACCGCAGATCGTGTATCATATGCTGACTGACTATGATGCAAATGGAGTGCTATCTAATACTTGAGCAAAATAAAATGAGGAGAAAGGGCGGGCAATTGATAATGAACCGTTCTCAATTTCCATTTAGAGACCAAAGCTTAGCCCCGGGTACCTCCACGTTGCACCACAATCCTCGTTGCTGGAGTCCTTGGACAATCTCAGTTATGCGGAACTTGTAGGTGGAGAGTCAAAGCCGAACGTGAATCCCCAGTCTCTCGGAATTCCGTCCCCATCGTCGAATTCAACCAGGTCGGTCGCCATGAAAATCGTCTCCAGTTGGGAATCATCCTGTGAATCTTGCCCGGCGTTTGTTGGGTGGATTTCTTGGCTCAGTTCTTTCGTCCTTGTGTCAGACACTTCGACAGGCTGTTGTGACGTATGCCCAGGTACCAACGGTGTTGTATTTGTCTCAGTCGCTGGAATTGACATTTCGGATTGGAATTTGTCGAATATTGTCCCCATCATGGTGTTTAGAAGGCCAGGATTGACCACATTGACGTGACTATCGTCTAGTATATCTGGAAGGATGGCATCCCGCTTTCGATCCCAGAAGTCTCGAATTTGTGACATGACTTCATTGAGATAGTTATCGAGATAACAAGATTGAGGCCGCGTTTGGCCTGGAAATAATATGTCCCATGTACTGAACCACTGCTCTTCTATTGACTGGCCTCGACTGGTGCTGCAGTTGAGGTCTTGTCGTTGCCGTTCTGAAATGCCGTCGAATTGAGGGGGACGCTTCCCTTTGCATTGTGGCACATTTCTGTCGTGGTCATGTTTGTCTTTTGACGTGGAAAATATCTCGTAGCAGCGACTACAAGAAAATTCGGGTTGAACATGTTTTCGGTAAATGTGTTGCTTGACATCCTTTCCTCTCCGAAGTTCATACTTTAAGCAGTCATGGTGCTTATGGCGATTGCTCTTGTAGAACGGACAAGCCAGGAGGCGAGACGTTTTTGCTTGATTGGTCTGCTGCTTCACCTTGACTCCGAGTGATTGTGACCTGGTGAGAGCTGGATGACTCCTGGGAGGGGTTGAGTGACGGCTTGGCTTTTTTGGCCGTAACTCGTGACGTTTTGGCTTCACTGAAGAGAGCGGTCGTGGCTTTTTGTTGCTTGGCTCCAATGCAAGAGTGCCGAATTCTAGTTTGGAGCTGGCTGTAGGAATGAAATTCGACAAGCTTGAAGTTGACCAACCACCCATGAAGCTCATTTCAAGAGCCACTGGCCCTGACAGACAGTTTTGTATATTACTTCCTGGGGTAATGTAGTCGCCAGACCAATCTAGGACATATTGTTCTTGATATGGGTTGCCCTCTGGCATAGTGGTCTCCGCGGGCACAGTTGGTAAGGATATTTCGGTGATTTCGTCATGCCGGGGTCGTTTTCCTAGGCCTCCAAACAATTCAGATCAGCGACGATTCATAGTTCGAGGAAGCATATCAAATGGTGAGGGAATACATAGATCTATCATGTGGAACCGTGTACTAGAACCCGCAGCGGAATCTTTGAGTTACCGCTGCTCCTGAATATTGCTTACCTGTATTGGCTTGATGCCGGCATGATGGTTGTTGAGGAATCTGGTAAAGTGTTGGTGGAAGATTGCCAACTTGGTGAATGGCATCTGGAGAGTGTAGTAAAAGACTGGCCGCAGATCCGTCGTGATTTTCAAATAGAGGGTAATTCGTGTCGTGCCCGCTTGCGACTTGGATATTATTCCCAACTCGGGGGTGGAAGGGTAAGGCATCGGCTGCAAATGGATGCTCGATAGTGGTGGGGCAAGTGCTCAATAACTGTGGTTGGATCGTAACGTTTTCTTGCTGGAGGTGTTCGCTGACGCCAGGTCCTGCCATTGGGTCTGGAGAGAAAAAATCCATGGCATGGGCCGCAAGGTCATAACCGCAAATTGGGCCGTGGGCCTTGATAGGATGTGGCAGCAACAACAGCCTAAAGCGATTAGAAGAAGCCAATTTCTATCTTCATGGAGAGTGTAATGGTTTAGGATAGAGGGACATAGACGGCCGAGCCCGATAGAATTCGAGAGAACCCCATCGCGGGAGACCTTTCCAGTGTTGTTGCACAGTTTTCGCACTTTTGCGTGATAACTGAGAGTCGAAAAATCGAGGTGCGGCCGACATTATGGCCGACAAGTTTCGCGTCCAAAGGATTCTGACACTGGGTGTGAAGCTATTACTTTGACGCCTTCTGTTGAGAGATACTTGTCGATACCTTCACTAGCGCCAGGTAAATGCAGGTCGCGGGCGTTCTCGGTTTCAGCGTGGCCGAGCTGGGCAACCAACGAAACCCACACCGTTGAGCTACGCAGCTGCGGATTGGAAATAAGACGAGTAACTGAAGGGTCACGAGGCGTTTTGAACCAGGCGCAGCATAGTGGGGGCTGGGCCGAGGCCTGCCTTGTGCAAGACGTGATGACGTCGGGCTACGCAGCTGCGTATCTTTATTACACATCGCCTCCTGTTTGGGGAATAATAGACGGCCAAGGGATCAACCTAGGGGAGGCATTTATCATGCTGAATGCAGGTAGGACGCCTCATTCGAAACCCGGACTCCCGGGATCAAATGTTGGGAATGATGAGAACTTGTCCGAAGTAATAATAAATACAGTGATTATTCTGCGCCACGCCCTGTAAGCTGCGCCTAGTCTACACACTGTACATCTAGAGCGATGAGAAACGAGTGAGAGGACCTGCCGCTACACTTGGTAAATCACACCTCTATTTCTTGCTACCTTCTGGAAGTATTGGATGTGCTCGTCCCAAACCGCTTATCAAAGTCTGCCACCGTTTTCCCGGCCTTCATCCTTCGTTGTTTCTTTTCTGACCTCCGTTGCGTTATGGCGCCTGATGGTACTGACGGCTGCTGCCTCACCAGCTTATCTTGGACCGGCGCGAAAGGATCTTGAAGCCACTCCTGTAGACGGTCGCCAAGAGTTGTTATGGATGGACTACGGAGAGATAGCGAATCAATTGTCAGCCGTTGCGCACGAATTTACATTTGCAATCATGCTGTGAGGCGAAGCACAATGAGGCTGAGTGCTCACATACCTGCAACCTCCAGTGAGGGCTGCTGACGCTGCGCTGTGGCTCATTGTGTGGGGTAGATCTGGTGACGAAGATGTTAAATGTTGCTTAATTACTGGGCCGTTTCTGGGATGGCAATATCAATATATACTACCTTCTAATGGCATTTGGATTTGGGTCTACACCACTGCGTACTCATCCCAACAGCAAAATCGGAATCAGCGCCGTGTTGAGCTGCCATCTTCTACGCCGCTGCGCATCACCGTCCTGGTCGCTGAGTTGTCAACACACCCCCGGACATGGCTCTTGTGATGTTAGGCTGATGCGCGACTGCGCAAACAACCCAAGTTGCCAGGGCAAATAGCGACGGAGGCTGATGCGCGACTGCGCAAACAACCCAAGTTGCCAGGGCAAATAGCGACGGAGGCTCTCGTCGCCTACGCCACCACCACAGGCTCACCATGGAATGAAGTGTAGAAAGGCGTATTCTTCAATGAGGCCAGTTTCGATACGCCGTGCAGATGAACCAGAGGCCCAAAACAAGTCGGCGGAGCACCTAGGAGTGCCTTGCAAAGCCACCATGTGTTTTTTTTCCCCCCAGTTCAGCGCTCAGATGGAAATTCGGGCCCCAGGCTTGGACTCGTAGGCGGCTCTTTGGGCGGGTGCGCCGCTGCGTGTTGCCACCCATCGGTGAGCCACCAATAATGCTTGAAAATATCACAACGGCTTTGTCTACTTTGATACACCAGCCTCCATACGGTCATGTCGTTCGTGAAATCACAATCTCAACATACCAGCCAAAATCTCCCGTATCACGTTTCTTCTTTGTTCCTGTGCGTCGTTGGTTGCGTCGAATCCTTCATTTAACTTGCCAAGTTGTGTCTATCCGCATAAGCTATTGTTGTGTGCCCATCTTTGTCTTCCCGTTGTGCCACTGCGGACTCGGTTTCAGCCTCATTTACAAGCAAGCAGTTCGTGGATTGTGTTCGTCAAACGTGCGACGGCAAAGATGAAGATCTTCAAACGTTCCAAACGCCACGGCGGTTGTACAGATATCTCAACACTGGCTAGACTCGCTCCCGAGTCCGAGGTACGACATCTTCCATTGTACTTCTACTAATGTTGGTTCCGGCACTGACTAAATAATAGCCCCAACCTTCGAGCGGCCGCCGTGTAAGGAAAGGCCTCCAGGCTCTATTAGCAGTGCGATTGCGTTCCCCTCCCGCCTACCATGCCCCCGTCCGCCACTGTAACGACGTTGGTGATCAATACCACTCAACAAACCCCGGATCACCGAGGTCCATCTTGAAGCACCAGTTTTCTACACCTCGCCTCACTCCCAAACTCGCTCCGATTGAGTTACCCACCAACTCTGGCCTTCTCGCCACCCATAAAGGCAGTGCTCGGAAGCCATGTCCGCATGAGTCTGAAATTGCCGCTGCGCTCAGGTTGTATATTACGTTGTTGGCTGGCGGAACCACGGGCCAAGACGTCCAAGGCCAATCCCCCAGCAGCCACAGTGGTCAAGGGTCGAGTTCAAAAGCTGGGCAGAATCAATCCCGCCTGCTTGGGAGTTGGCCCAACAAAGAAAAAGGGAAAGGGCGCGACCGCGGTCGCAAAAGGTCTGGAGATGAGCAGCCCGGCGGAGAGGGCTCTAAGAAGCAAAAGCCCGACCAGCCAAAGCTGAAGGGCCAGCTTGCGTGTCCGTTTTACATACGATACCGCAAAACATACGCCGCGTGTCGAAAATGCAAGTTCCGCGCTGTTGCCGACGTCCGACGGCACATTCTACGGTCACCAGCACACCGGCAGCCTCTACACTGCCCACTCTGCAAACTCGTTTTCGCCGGCCACGGCGCAAAGGCACGAAGCCAACGCGACAAACATATCCGACAGCGTCACTGTACCGAGAAAGATGGTGAAGTTCCCGGGATCACGGAGGATCAGATACAACAGCTCAAGGACCCGGAAAATCGATCTGGCTCGATGGCAGAAAACTGGTTCGAGCTCTGGGAGATCCTGTTTCCTGGTGTTGGCCGTCCCAGTGCCCCCTACCTCTCGGCTTCCGAGTACCAGGATTATTTTGAAGATGCAATCAAAATGTTTTGGGAGTTCGGGCCGGGACAATCCATCCCAGCCGAGGACCGCCCAGCAATGGATAGGGCCTACGAACTCCTAATGCATTATTTGGCAGATCTCGAGGCGACTTCGACAGCCGCTCTACCGAGCAGCGCGCCGGACTCTCCAGTTCCCAGCTCAATTGATTTGGGCCTCCCAGCGACCGCGACACAGGAAGCAGAAACCGTCGCCGCGGGCGCACTCATGCCGCCTTTCGGAGCAATACCGGAAGGCCTATATGCCTGGCACCCGAATCCAGTGTACGAAGCACCGGCGGAGGAACTTGGCCTCAATCGAGGTTCATTTGAAGAGCATCCACTTCCAACAAATCCCCTTTTAGATGTCTTGTCTTATCCTACCGGAGATTTTCTCAATTCGTACCTTCCATACGGGTATCCAACTCAAGGGGACCCTGCTCAAGAGTACGAGTACCCGACTCAACAGCATCCCGGTCCTGAATATCCCAGTCCTATGGATCCCACTCAAATAGACCCCAGCCAGGGTTACCCTCCTCAAGTATTTACTCTAAGCAGCCCCTCTCATAGGGTGCGCCGTACATCCGCTGCCACCTCCACCCCTCCGCCGGCTCCGGGACGCCAAGACAAGCACCACCAGTCCGATGACATTGAAGAAGCCGATTTGTTTAAGAAGCGATTGTAAATATCGGTCATCTTGATTTGTTTCATTAGGCGCTATTGAATGGGGGTTTGTTTTTCCCTTTCGCATGACTTTCGATTGTTAGAATTTCTCACGCCTGGGTTGGAAATGGGATGTTTGATGAATTGATGATTAAATTGCCAGTTGGGATTAATTAGAGTGGCTGGATGCATCCGTCCGCCGCATATCATTTTACCCCATAATGAACTACTGGTTGGGTCCTAGGTGACTTTTAAATGAATAAGATATCCCTGATTTCTTTCGATCATTTTGTTCCGGATCGCCCACACACTTCTCGACTAACATATATACACATCATGTTTATTTCAGTGTAGCTGTTCGATTTCTTAATTCAGCATGTCACGAGAATGCAGAGACGGGACTTTCGCAAACGAATCAAGTCAAATAAAATACATTTATGAAGGTGATATCCCTCGTAGAACTTCCAGAAGTCCTCTCATTCCCCTCTCATCCTGGTTCCTATCCTCGGAGGGCAAGACACGCTTGAGAAGTTCGTCGATCATCCGATCCAAAGTCCTGTGGTTCAAGGCCTTTAGTTCTTGTTTGTTTACGCGAGATTCGTCGCCTTGAAGCTCCCTTGATTCTAAGAAATCCAAGATGACACTTTGTCCATATTTCAGCCAGTAGGATCTGAGTGACCGGATATATGCCTCGATGTTGGATGCAAAGCACGGCATTGGAGGCCCCTCACTTGCACTGAAGATTGAATTCCATACCGATGACCATTGCTGCTCCTTCGATTGTAGCGAACCAGCTCCTTCAACGAGTTGAACAATTTGATTCTCGGATACGCCTTCGATTTCTAGCCCAGTTCGTAGCTGGCACGACCTTTCCCTAATGTGGTCATCACGAACTCCACCTCTAGGGAACGTTTGTCCACAGATAGGGCAATAGTATGGCAGGCGGTGGGCTGCTAACAGGTGCTGAGACAGGTTCCGGAAGGTGGGAAATCCACCCTCTCTAAGGCAACTATGGTGTCGGTACGGCGTATGAAGTTGAAAGGGGCACGCAAAGAGGAGCTTCTTCATTCTTGGGTCGTTGATGATGGCAGTCCCCGCATCCACCGAGTCCGTAGCTAATCTGACGTTGGTATACTCTTCGAACCCCTGTGTCTTTTGTCGTTTTCTTGTTGGAGGCGAAACAATTTCCTTTCCCCCGTCATATGGCGTTGAAATCCATCGAGAGAAGACGACGAGACCAAATTTCGTCAACTTCTCCACAAGATTCATCAGCGGATGGTTGTTATCCAAAACCGGGACTTCGTCATCTGGATCTGGGTACGACTCCACGTCTTCTTCAAATTCTGAGCCGTCGGCTGAGTCACTCGCATCTCTGGTACGCTTTTTAGAATAGCTTTCTTGTCCATGGCGCATGCCTTGAGATGTCGTCGTGGCTGGGTTTTCCTCTTGTATGCGTCCGTGCGATAACTGGCCACTGAGGCGCTTCTGCAATGGCGCCATGGCACCGAGAAATATAGTTGAATTTCGAGCAGTAGTAGACACGGAAATTATTCCAGAGCTGGCGTCTGGTGCAAAGGTGTATGTGCCCGGCCTTATCCAGTTCTTCGGATCGATCTGGTGGGCAGTTGAGGCACCTTCGTCAGGATTTTGAGTTTCTGCGCCGGCTTCTTCCTTCTCTGAACCATTCTTAATAAGCCCAATCCGTTTGCTTGGCTGCTTCAACTGAGGAGAAATTTGCATGGCGATAATGCTCGAATTTGTTAGGCTCACATCACGAGTAATACAAATTCTTCTCGCCCTTCCTTGTGGCAAGTGGCCCAGGTTGATCAAAACCGATGGAGACGACCTGACATATCGATTTCTCCACTTAATCAAAGGAATGCCGAACCCTGTTGTGCCATTTTGCCGGTTGCTCTCTCCAGAAAGACACAAAATTATCTCTGCTCCTTTATCGTGATATCCGAATGTGTCGACGAGAATCCCGGCGGAGCTTGTCTGAGTCTGCCCTGTGATTCGTAGTGGCATTCGGTATTCCTGAGCCCCAAAGTGCTTGTATTCAGACGGAGAGTGCGCAAAAAGGCCCCGGTACTTCTCGTCACCGGTGGATTTCCATGCAAGTAGTGTTGCGTCGTCGGTATTCTCAAGGATCACCTCTTGTAGCCGGACGAATGCCTTGCTCCCTTCGCCGTAAATAATGGTCATACTGACCCCAAATATGCCTAGCAATGAATACGCCACGTCTTCTTGCCGAATAGCTGAGAGCCCGGAAGCCCAACACATCCGCTCCCCGATTGAAAATTGAAGGAGATGTTCTGAATTCTCCAAGACAACCCTGTCGATTTGAAGCGAGCGAGAGAGAAATGAAAGCAAAGACTTTTTATTTCCCACTCGTTTCCATTGATTGTCGTAAAATTGCAGGTTTTCAGAGGCAATCAGCTCTTGGAGCATCCAGACTCGACTCGTCCATCTGCTGTGCTGGATGTAATGCCCTGGGTTGTCGAGTGGCTGTTTCTCCGAATCGATATCGCTGAGGTGCACCAGACATACCTCCGATCCCTGGTATATTTGGAACATTGAGTTGATGGCCTCCGACAGAGCTGCGGTTGATGACCGATCGATGCACAATGAATCGACCCAGAGCTTTCCCACGCCGAACGCTAGAGCCTCGGAACAAGCACGATTGATCCATGAGAAGCTCGCTCTCTTTGAATCTGCTTTCAGATCCTGTGTATCTAGGCTTTGCAGGTCATTGATGGTGATTTCTGAATCCTCCCGACAATGTGACACGGCGGCATAGGCAGGCCAGTCCGTAGCGGGGCCGTGATGGAGAAGCTTGCGCGTGGCAATATCTAGGAGAAGCATTGTGAGAGAGACAAAGATGCCGACTGGTAGAATGTAGAATCGCATGAATTAATACCATCTGGCGTGCCGGAGCCGGAAGGGATTAAAATAGTTGAGTCTTCCACGTCAGACCTTAAGGCTGAGAAGGGCCCAGCGGTGCAGTGGATTTGATTGGTGGTGCACAACTGTGCACATGGAGCTAACGACCTCACCGTACGCCTCCTTGTTGCCTCCTCTCCGCCTTATTGTAGGAGTGCCAGAATAGGTCTTTCGGTTCGACCTAAGCAATTACGTCTGTTCGCCGAGCAAAGGCTCTGGACGCGAACGAGTTAAGACAAGCCTCGCAGTCTCGAGACCCAATTACCGGTGTAATATGCACGCACCAGATAAGAGAGGCGGCCATGAGGCCACCTCGGCCTCGTGCATCATTGGTTAAAAAGCGATTGACGTGTTGAAAAACATGTAGTCACGCAGACTAGATTGTGGCAGAAGCGGCCAGAATCCCGTCTCGTGTTCCTTTGTTCGACCAGCGCCTAACTAAAACCCAGCAATCACCTGTTCAGCTATATTAGGCACTCAGTCGGACATGGCCGCTTTTGTACACGTGGACCCATTATGTTGCACAGTCATGCATTATGCACTCTTCGGTGCTTCGGTCTGGTACAGTTGTTATCTTGCCTAGGTGAATGAGGATATGCAATCTACGTCACGGAAAGTAAGGTCCTGATATACAGGGTACATATTTCGTTCACTTCTTGTCAGCCTTGAATGTCGATGGTGAGTTCACGATCACATTCTCTAAGCTGTACTGGCATAGCATGATTGAGGTGCTGTCCAGGCTGACGGGACGCATTAATCTAGTCAGTACGATCAATTCATCAAGGTGGGCAATCAATCTGACTATTATATGCAGATATAGAGAACAATCCATGTCGTAGACTAAAATCCTCCTCACAACAGTACGTACAAAGCTACGTTTAGCATCCAGCAAAATCTATCATTAATGCTCAAGCGTGTGAATTCCACTTCGGCGTTTCCTCCAAAGGGTATTCGTATTTTGACTACTATTATCACAGCCGTAAGACCTGGGGGTCGCGTATTAGATGCCCGAATCGGGCTCGCATACGCCAAAGTTTTGAGATTCTGAAGATCCTGGCGTAGTATTCATCGCTTCCCACAAGAGCTCCACCTGCAATTAATGGGGGTCTTTAGTTTTAATGGTATTGTAGTACAGTAGTAATCCCAAGACGATGTTATGTATGTATAGCAACATAAGGAATGAACGCGGTGCAATTCTGTAATAATACTACAACGCTTTTGTCAAGCTACCCTAAAATAAATAAAACGCTACGCTCGTCTAAATGGTTCAAGGATCCAACACCCACTCCTCGAGCCACTGAATGCCTGTGTTGTCCACTAGTAAAGACTCGACTTCCCGACTCCCATGTGTGCCGTCCTCGCTGGTCTCGGTCGACCTGCTTTCCTCGCATGATTTCTTGTCTTTTCCGTCAGCCGGCTCAATGCGTCGTTGTGTAGTATACGCTGTTGCTGAGGATTGCATTGTATTCATCGTGGGAGCTGAACTCAACAGTGCAGATTCAAATCGATCAAAGAGCTTCCCTATCACCTTATCAAGTAGATTGGGGCTCATGTTGTCGATATTGGTCTCACCCAATGCACTTGAAAGAATCTCAGTCTTTTTCTGGCCCCAGAACTCTCGTAGTTGGGATGTTATCTCCTCAAAATAGCTGCCAACAAAACAAGTCGAAGGCTGGGCTTTATCTGAAAAGAGGACTTTCCATATGCCATACCATTGCTCTTGTGCCGTTTGGGTGCGGTCCACATAGGAGTTGAGCGATTTTCGTTGGCTGCTTGAAATCCCATCGAATTGGAATTCCTCTTTGCGAATGCAACGTGGCTCAACGGTATGCTCGTCTCTGGATTCTGCGGTTGAAAATTCCTGGAAGCATCGAGCGCAATAGAACTCGGGCTTTGAATGTTTCCTGTAGATGTGCTGCTTGACGTCCTTTATTCGCCGAAGTTCATATTTCAGGCAATCTTGATACTTCTGGGGATGAGCCTTGTAGAATGGACATGCCAAAATACTCCTCCTTCGTAGGTTGGTTTCCGGCAAAGGCGATTCCAATTCGATAGTTGGTATTTTCCTGATTTGTCGTCTTACCCGGGATCGTTTCTGACTTCCAATGCTATCCTGGCCGACGGTCGGCTCTGCCAGACATTCTGGGTCAAAGTTTTGAAAAAAGTTAACAGAATCGGCGCTCCATCCAAACATGGTCTGCTCTGTCAAACACTCTTGGTCACAGTGTTGAAGAATCCCAGAATGATCGCCGCACAATCCACACATGGTTCACCGTCACCGCCGTTTGCGAGCGGAGAAAATAATGGCCAGCTTATGTCATTGCAGACAAGCCAAGGCGTCGAAAGTTGTCGCTACGGCGTGCTGAGGGTACCTCGGATCGTGGAGTACACTGATTGCGACCGCGATTGAGGTCAAGAGCTAATGCAGTATCAAGAGGAGTGGAGAAATTGCAATTGTCCCTGCTAGCCCTACTCCCCAAAGTACGTCCCGTGCGAAGACTTGAGGATTCGGGACCTGCCCAGAATTCGTTAGCCGCATTGTTGGTGATGTTTCAGAGGGGTAGCTTACTGCCCCAAATGATCAGAAGCCCGGGTGAGACGGGACGGCGGGTTTGGGAAGATCACACTCGATTCGAAAGCAAAAAGAATAGATTGCCGAATCTCCTTGAGGAATGACAAGGAGGGTTAGCAGCGTATAAATCCACTACTCGGCCTTGTGGGTGGTAGGTTATGGCCTCGTGAGTATGGTGCCATCTGGCCGCTCGGTCAGATTGGTGAAGTCAGGTGACTGTTGCCTCAACTCCGGCAGGCATGCATGTGCACAGCTGTGCTCCAATGGGGATTGAGTCGGGAGCTGAAATTCAAAAGCGCAAGCGTGCACCAATAAGCACTGCGAACTGTGCCGTGGCCCTAACCATCCCCAATTTGTATTGCATAGTTACTGTGGCAACTCCCTGAGAGTGGCGGATTTCGTTGCCACTGTCAAGAGGCGTGTCTATGCCATGACTTGGTTCGTTCAGCACATACAGTAAATTACATATAGGACCACATATTACTAGACGGTGTCGACGGACCACCTATATTATTTTGTAGCATTCCTCCTAAATCCTTCATGCTACGAAAGGTTGATCACAGACCGTCCAGAACCACAACTGGAGTGATCGCCACATGTTCCTTTGTATCATTAATTTCAACAAAGCATCACATGGGCCAAGGTTTCGACTAGAGTCTTCCTAGCTTTAACAATATACCCTTCCCGGCTATTTGTACAACTTGGTATATTTCTCTCATCAAAGGCTAGGATCCCCATTACCTGCAGCCACCATCCTGCCTACCCTAGATATTGCCCCCTGTAACCTAGGCCTTCCAGCTGTCAGAGTTTGGAGCACACAATAAATATCTCTTATGCTATCTTACTCTTGTTGCAAAACAGGATGCTATATTTCTGAGAAACGGGTGTCTCAAGCGCTGCCCGCATTTGTCCCAAACTGCTTGTCGAACTCTGCTAAACCTTTCAAAATCGTGGACTCACGTTCGGACGTCGAGTTTGGTTGGTGAGACGATGGTGAGCTTATGAGCTTCTCCTGTACTGGTGGGCTGGGATCTTGTAGCCAATTGTTCAGGCGTTTATTTTGGAGGCATAATATTGGGCTGTGGTATATATCAATGGTCAGTTATTAAATCCATTGGCGCAAACACGGCGCGAAGCGACTCACTTGACACTATGGTCCGGAGTCGGCACTGGATTATGGCTCATTGTTCTAGAAGTAGACTATGCCGAATAGACTATAAATCTTCTTTACATATTCGAGGATCCTTTGGGGAAGGGGTAGTTATATATACCAAGATTCTCGGCAGCAGCTCATGCACATGCAGAATCAACACCGATGGATTCGGGTGATCATTTGGTACTTCCTTATGGTGCTAGTACCAGCCAGGTCTCACCCGCAGCGTGAGGTTTGGGGCTTTTTTTTTTTTTAAGTGCACCGTTGTGCCCTTCCCTCCGCTGTGCCGATGACTTTGGCGCTGCCGTGCTGATGCTGGGAGCTATTGTCGTTCTAGCCCCCTCTAACTTCCTGCCATGTTCAGAAATATGCCTTATATGAAGCTGAAATGATAAACAAGTAATTGATCCGTGAGTATCATCTAGAAAGTGGCGATGCATCATGTGAGCCGCACTGTGTACCTGGCCACCAAGGCGAGGTGTTAAAACTAGTATCGAATCGAACAAATAAAACCTAAATCTTTTCTAGATTTAACGACTCCGTTTAATCGGTAGCTATGTGATTAACATGTGTATTTTTTAATATTTTATTGTGGTTGCAGTTAACAGCGCAAACCTCGTATTAAATACTCACTTATCTGATTGAGCAAAAGCATTGCAGCCTCGCGGGGCTTCATGCAGTCGTAATATCCACCCTTCTCATATATTTTTCGTTCTTCGATTACCCATTTTATTACATCCCATTGCTATTTTGGATAATTATATCTGGTGGAAATCGGATCTGAACAAGCCTCTTTCTGAGCAACTCGTCGCCTTCTAGCATTATTTTTTTATCCCGGAGGTTCTATTTGTTTGGCCTGGTTGTTGGCCATCGGCAAGAAGCCACGGCTGGTTGAAAATTGACTGGCATCTCCGTTTTTGACTATGAATCTGCGCTTGTCAATATCTCACTGGTGGCTTAGCTAGGAATAGCCGCATATTGGTTTTCAGAGTCTTCAACATCTCAAGAAGTGTTATCTTGATGTTTCTCAAATATCTTACGATATACCCTGCTACAGCGTTCTTCATGGTTGAGACGGTAGCTCGATAATTACAGATTGTTGATCGCAGAGGCCAAACCGTTCATGGATGCTGAAGGAACGTCCCCCCACTCGATATTCTGCGATCTGGTTGGTTTATTAGAATTGACTTGTCACATCAATTACATCTGAACGCGGGGTAAGAACAAGTCTCGCTCGATCCATGTCTTCCACATACCATCTCCCCATGCCAGGCAGTTATTGGTTAGCAGCTTGCCTCGCGTCAGAACTCTACTCCTCATTCTATATTCTCATTGTAGTTAGCCACAGGTAGCGCGCCACTCTCTCTTGTGGATAGCTCCGTGGCGATTGCGTGGGACACTAGGTCCCGCGAGAACCGATAAATCGTACAAACAGACAATTATAGGATACAAATCCACATACATACAAAGAAGAAATTTTTTATTGTCAAGATCTCCCGGGATTTCAGTGGGTGCGTGGGCCGGGGTCTGTAAATTTGGCTTTCACAGAAGGTATTGGTGGTCTGGTGTTGTTCTGAAGGGAGAATACATGAATTGGACCACCGAGCTCAAGGCATCCTTATTGTAGACCGCGTCGTAGTTTGATACGTCGATTGGATCAAAATTGATGAATGAAGCGGCATAAACAAGTCTGTGTCGAAGAATACTCTTGTGGGGTTGATCTCAAGTCGATCCCATTCCCTGCGTATACGAACTGTACCTCAACGATCTTGAAGACATCTGCCACGGCGGAGTTGACGATACAAAGAGGCAAACTAAGCTAGCGTGTCATCAGTGATCCACTCTCGGCAGCCTGCATGAAACATAACCAAGTCACGATGCGAATTGAGAAACGTCCTCCTGCCGCATTCACTTGGTCTTCGTTGAGACTCCTTGGTCAAAAGTTTCAATTGAGCATTCAAATGTTTGGCGCAAGAACCGAGACACGAACCGCGACGAAATTAAACGAGGAATTCGCAAGATTGTAAATATCCAGTGCATGTATGGACGGGGCAATTCCATGCGACGATACTCCCGCAAGCCCTTGCAGTCACGGGAAACTACTAAGAGAGTTTATCTCGGAAGTTTCGGAATAAAAAAGGTTCGACAGGCGGAATATCTCCGCACTAATCACGATATCGTTTCGTATTTATTGGATATCTGTGCTGGTTTGGCAGCTCTTTCACACGTCATGGACCAGCCAGCAATAACGAGAGATAAGAGATTCCAGCAGTGGCACTTTCATCGTGGGCGGCTGCGTGGCGAGGGGTGGAAATGCAAGCCATTGACCGTTTTGGGACGGCCCGCAAGTAGGGGGGTATCAAACCTCCTCATTTCCCTTCTCTCTAGTGTCGCGGAATGCAGGGATATGGTCGTACAACGTACGTGTGATACGTGGAAGATAAGGGATGCTATCTTCTACCCCAGCTTATCTACGTCTTATCATGCCCCCACGAGCAGTGCACTATCCCTTTCAGCTCTTAGGGGGATCGCCTTCAGCTCCATTCAAGAAGGTATAGATATGTGATGTGTGCAGGTTGAAAGTGACGGTTCGTGTGGCGTTGACTAATGCGTGTGAGCTGGGAAACTTGCTGTGATATCGGGCTGCCCGACGCAAACCTCTTGACGACCGATGTTATTTACCCCGCGTTCCTCCCGATTCGAGTAGCCTACCGGGATCTTATTTAAGTGTTGCCATTTCCGTTCGAGTCGTTCGCAGGTTTGGATCCTTTGCAGGATTGAATCCTTCGCCTCAAGTTCAGCCGCCCTTACAGTCGACTAGCACCCCAATCGCCTGACACTCGGATCTTGCCCAACATGGGAGTCGACGAGGAAGCCAACGCTGCGCCCGCGGTGACGAGCGTGCTGGCCAGTGGCGATCTTCCCGATAATCTTGCCGACCTGTCGGCGGATGAGCAAACACTTGCAGCGCTGGGATACAAGCAAGAGTTCAAGCGCGAGTTTTCTTCATGGACAACATTCGCTGTCAGCTTTGCCGTCATGGGTCTCCTCCCGAGTATCGGAACCACCATGTGGTATGGACTTGGCTATGGTATGTATCAGTGGGAATACATTAAGACGTGGTACTAATTCTGCTTCCAGCGGGTCCGGCAGCGAATACCTGGGGCTGGCTTCTCTCCGTCATCTTCGTTCTCTGTGTAAGTCTACAGCCTTTCTTGACTATCTGATCCTAACAGAAGTAGGTCGCCCTGTCAATGGCAGAATTGGCATCTAGTATGCCCACCTCTGGAGGCCTGTACTATGCGGCGGCTGTCCTCGCAGGTCCAAAGTATGGTCCACTCGCGGCTTGGATTACTGGTTGGGCAAACTGGCTGGTGCAAGTCACTGGTGCCCCAAGTGTTGGCTATGGATGTGGTGAGTGCAACTACCTGTCTTGATGCTGCGGTTTTGTACCTAACCAATTGTCTAGCTGGAATGATTCTCGCTGTCGCGTCGATGAGAAACCCCGACTACGTTCCAACAGACTGGCAGACGTTTCTACTCACAGTTTTCATCATGATCACCCAGTCAGTCCTGAGCAGTATGCCCACGCGGTGGATCGCGAACCTCAACTCTGTGGGAACCGTGGTCAACGTAGCTTGCTTGTTCATCACCATCATCATTATCCCAGCAGCCAGCAAGGTCACCCCGAAATTCCAATCGAGCGACTTTGCTTGGAGCATCCAAAACTATACCGACTGGCCTGATGGTATCTCGGTTATGATGTCCTTTCTCGCCATTACTTGGACAATGTCAGGCTATGGTTCGTCCCCCTACTCGATACGCCCGTGGGTTCACTAGAGTTCTTGCTAACCGCGTATCCCTTCTCTTACCAGACTCGTCGTTTCACTTGTCAGAGGAATGCTCCAATGCGTCGGTTGCCACACCGCGATCCATTGTCATGACCGCTGTCTCTGGATCTATCTTGGGGTTCATTTTGAACGTTCTTATCGCATATACTATCCAGGATGTCGAACAAATCTTTGAGAGCGATTTGGTAAGTCAATGACGCCAAAACTTCAGGATCTTACCGCCTGCTAATCGCCATATAGGGCCAACCCTGGGCCGCATATCTGATCCAAATTCTCCCCGAGCCAATCGCCATTGCTGTTTTGTGTATGACAATCGTCTGCGCTTACTCAATGGGCCAGGGCTGCATGGTTAGCGCGAGTCGAGTCTGCTTCGCATATGCCCGAGATGACTGCTACGGTGTGCTCAGCCCACTCCTCAAGCAGGTCAACCGATATACCCTCACGCCCGTCAACGCCGTCTGGTTCAATACTTTGATCGGAGTCCTATGCATGCTCCTACTCTTTGGAGGAGATGCTAGCATTGCGGCCATCTTTTCCATTGGCGCCATTGCTGCCTACATTGCCTTTGTCCTTCCCGTCTTCATCAAGATCGCCTTTGTCGGGAACAACTTTCGCCCCGGACCCTGGAACCTCGGAAAGTTCAGCGTTCCTGTTGGTATTGTCTCCTGCATGTTTGCGTTGGTTATGATGCCCATCTTCTGCTTCCCGGCTTACGAGGGCGCCAACCTGACGGCTGATGGCATGAACTGGACTGTCGTGGTATTTGTAAGCTGTCCCAGTGCGAAGCAATGTGAATTATACTAATTAATTTAGGGTGTGCCAATGATTCTCATTGTGATTTGGTTCTTCGTCGATGCCCACAAATGGTTCAAGGGACCCAAGATCAACATCAAGGTAACACTCTCTTGCATGCATCTGGAATGACAATCGTTAACACATTTATAGCATCACATGATTGGCCAAGACCCTATGACTGAAGGCGTGGAGGTCAAAGACCCAGCACTTGCCCCGGATGTGTCAGATGGCGAGAAGGATTCTTCGAGGAAGCAGTCGTCGTAGACTCTATCCGCCCCATGGAAACATTCATGTTCGGTCACCATACCATTCAAATGATATCACTTTTAAATACAAATAATGGCCCTTTGTTTACTTGATCATTCCACTGCCCATCCCTGAATATGCGTTCCCCAATAACTGCAGCCACATGGAGGATGTCTGGCATCATTATGAACTTTGATATTGAGTTACGGGTTCTGAGTCGGTAATAATCATTTCAACACCATTCACAGCTTCCTCTATACTCCCACTGACATCCAGAGACTTTGTGACTAGGTTGATATTGTCCGTTATTGAAGGACGAAGGAGCTGATTTTCATCGACCAACTTGCGTAATGTCTGCAAATTAGTCAACTTCGGTTTCGTGCCCTGAACCCGCTCTATGCTCGTAGCTCGCTGTTCCAAAACACCAAGGTCACAGTGGACATTGATCCAGTATAAGGGGATGTCCGTGTCGCGGACGAGGTTGAGATGCTCTTTCAGAACCTGCCTATCGGCTTCATTTTCCGCCAGACAAGCAGTCATCAAGATCAGATGTCCTTCTCCAACAACTTCTCGGAGAGAAGAGAAGATGATATCTCGCATCTGGCGCCGTAGTTGATAATGGGCTTGACCACGATCAGGGTACACCGCCTGAACCGGATCGATTAGGAGATGATTGTCAATGAGTCGACTCCATGTCTTGCCCCGCCAACTGTGGTCCTGCAGGTATCGGAGTATGGTAAACTTCCCAGTCCCAGGGAAGCCGTTGAGGACAACGACCTTCCCTTGAGCGAAATTGGTCGTTCTAGAGGTTGGCTTGTTCATTTTGATGTATATAGAAAGTGATGGGGAGTTATTTGGAGGGTTTGGGGCACCAGGTCTTAAATAGAAGGGTGGGTTTGATTCACTACTGGTGAGGCATTGATTTGCGGTACCCTTTCGGTTCGTATTGCAAGTTCATCAGCCACTTCTACCTGCTGCTCTAGGCTTCGCAGAATCGTAACACCCATTTAATCAAACTTTCTACGGAATGTTTATGCTTCCATTGCGATTAGATCATCTAGGAGTTTGGTGCACTGATAATCGACGCATTCTAAAGCCCGTGCTAGCCGTTAACGTTCCTGATATTTGACGGCAGTTTCTCCCTCGCCCACAACACCATCAAGGTTGCACCTCGCCACGAATGGTTGCTGCGATTTGGTGGATAAAAGTATTACAATCAAATGAGCTCGTCAAAATACGGTCTAGGTTGTTCATAGTAATATCTCTATAAAATAAAAACTCCACTTCATTTCAACTGATGGCTACAGACCCAGTACTCCATAATTGTCCCAGAACATCCAAATCTAATCAAAAACATCCGTTACGTAGCGGATATTCCTCAGAGACTCAAACCACTTTTGGGTAGCCTCCAGGTCTGTCTTGCCATCTATCCTGCTTTCCATCTCAATTTTAATCTTGATGATGGACTCCTTGGCCGACTCGGCAACACCTCTCGATCCGCATACAAAAACAGTAGCACCTTTCTGCCACAAGTCAATAACATCCTCGCGGTCCTTCCACATACGATCTTGCACATGGCGGCACCCTTCACTTTTCTCCGAAGCACGGCTATATGCTCGGCGTACATCCACAGCTCCGAGTCTTTGCCACTCGTCCAATTCTTCCCGGTAAAGATCGTCCACATCCGGCGATCGGCAACCGAAGAATAGGATTGCTGGTGCGAGTTTGCGTCCAGAGCCAATCATTGCTGCACGTTCCTGGATGAAGCCACGGAAAGGCGCCAGACCAGTGCCTGCTGCGACACAAACTATCGGTGTGGACTCTGGGTCTGAAGGGAGGCCGAATGCTGCTTGGGAGGGGCGGATGGCGACATGCAGTGTGTCGCCTTCGGAGAGTGAGTTGAGATAAGAAGTGGCAACGCCTTGATGGGAGCCATGGCCGGAGAGCGAGGGCTCATTGAGGACGGAGAAGGATAGCGTGACGTGGGATTGGTTCCAGAGGGGTGAAGAAGAAACGGAGCTATTTGGTGTCAGATTCTGCTTTAAAGAAGTGAGTTGATGAAGGACTTACTATTGTCGAATGCGCATCGAAGGCATCATCAGCAGAAATTCGCCAATGGGAAGGTCAACAGATGGGTATCGTTCCAGAATATCAAGAACCGAAACTCGCTTGGCGTTAATCTCTTCTCCGTACGCATCGTTGGCAAGGTGCCGGATAGCAGCCTTGGTAGTCTCATCTGTGGCGGCTTCGGCGATGGTGAGCAGGTTCTGGAACATATATGTTAGCATGGTAACTTGGGCAAGAAATGGTGTACTGACTCTCTTGGTTGCAGGCTGCGATAGTTCGACGTATGAGCTGAGAATGTCGTTGGCTGGAACCGAAGTATTCGTCGGGAGAGCCAGTGGACCGTTGGTGTTGATCTCCAAATGAGCATCCCATGGAAGCTTGAATCGTCGCATGGCACGATGGACGCTCTCCTGGGGGTTGATTGGCAGGATGGCAAGATAGTCGCCGGCTGTGTACGTCATATCCTCTGGCAACTGGATCTCGACATGCTTCTTCGTTGGCTTCTTGTCGTCGTCACTTGCCAGGCTGCGAGTGCTGATGACCCTTGCCTCTGTAACATCTTGTCGCAGAGTCAAAGCCCTCAGGTTCGATACGGTTACGTCCACGCTGCTTTTGATACCCTCGCTGGGACTCGTCACATTGTATCGAGCTGTCAGCGCAGGCCACAAGCTCTTATCCTCCCAAGCTTCAAAGTCCTCGAAGACTTGACTAGACGAAGCATCGGTGAGGCCGATATCGACAAGCCTCGTGGCGCCAAGACCCTCAAGATTGCTGTCGACCAGCTTGGGGATGCGATGGAAGGTCTGAACCCAGTCCTTATGACCGCAGCCGAAGACAGCATATGAGACGTCCTGGAGCGGCTTCTGCTCCTGTTTTGTTTGCTCGATCCAAGCCACGAAGTGTCCCGCGTTATCGGGAGGTTGTCCTTCGTATGATGCGGTGATGATGACGACTGGCTGGTCCGTAGGCAAGTTGCCCTTTGCGCTGTCCAGACAATCGACCTTGGTGGCGCGGAATCCGTGAGCTGCGGCATCAGTCGCGATACGACGTGCCAGAGACTCGCAAGTTCCACTGTTGGAGCCATAGAGAATCGTCATCGGTACACCGCTCTGGCCGTCATCTACCGAACCGTTGGTGGCAGCTTTCTCCTTTGTCTCCTCCTTCAAGAGTCCGGCAAGGCGGCGCTCGAGGGTGGTAGGCGTGAGGTTATCGCGCAAGATGGCCCGCATGTGCATATCCTTTGGCTTGATTGTCAAAGTCTGCTTGACGTCGAAGACATAGTTTGGGTCAAGAACAAAGTTGAAGTTTTGGAGAAGCATAACCATGACAAGCAATGCTTCTTGCCAAGCGAATGGACGGCCAATGCAGCCGCGCATGCCGTTGCCAAAGGGCTTCCACGAGTTGGGGAACTCGCGGTTCAGTCGTTCAAAGTTCTCGTCAAACATGCGCACTGGCTTGAATTCGTTCGCATCGTCGCCGAATACCGCAGGGTCTAGTTGTGATTTTGCGAGCAGGTTGACAATGGTCTCACCGGCTTTGACGGGGTACTTGCCAGCCAGAACAGTGTCTTCAAATGCCTCAACAGTGAACAGGGGGATGGTGGCATTGATTCGGAGGGTTTCGCGCAGAACGCCGTTGATGTACGGCAGCTTCGAGAGGTGTCCGACCTCGATGACGCCCTTTCCGACCACATCATCTACCTCCTGCTGTGCTTTTTGATAGGCCTCTGGGTGCTTGAGAAGTTGGTAGAAAACAAAGGAGAGCAAACCAGAAGTTGTCTCGTGTCCAGCTATCAAAAAGGTGATTAGGTTGTCCATGATGCTCTCGTCGTTCATCTTTTTTCCTGTTTTCGAGTCGACGCCCTGCAACATCGCGTCCAAGAGATCCTTTCTCTCGCTGCTGTTCTCTGCCTTGCGTGCCTCTAGCACATCCTTTGCGGTGGTTCTCATGACCTCGATATCGCTCATAAGTTTGTCGTCTCTTGCCCGGTAGACGATGGCGGGCAGGGGTAGGCGACGTGGCTTCTCACCCGCTTCAGTGAGGAAATCACCCATCGCTTCGATAAATGGGTGAAGTACTGGGGAGTAGTAGCTGTTGAACCGATATCCCATGGAGCATAGTGCTAGCGTATCCAGCGTCAATCGGGTAAAGTCGTCGGTCACGGCAATTGCATTGTCGGGTCCATATCGTGCCCATTTGAGAGCGAGCTGCGACGCAATGTCGTGCATCTCATCGTACATTCCACGGATCGACAGAGGCCCAAAAGCTGGCATAAGGACTCGATGTGCGATACCCCAATTCTCCTCTCCCATTCTTGCCTGGGTTAAGTGTTAAAAAGTAGGACTGTTTTCGGACGCGCTGACCTACTGTGAATAATCCATCGTGGACACCCGCTCTGATTTGCTAGAGTAGCGGTCAGAAAGATCCCAATGTTAATGTGAATTTGATGCGACCAACATTCAGCGCCGAGTTGACTGATTTTTTAAAACGCTTCTCGTTACACGTCTCATTTACCAAAGCCTGGTTGGAGACGATAACAACGGTCCTGTCCGGGAACCGCAAACGATAGATCTCGCCTAGTTGACGTCGGAGTCAGCATCAGTGGACACGAAAACCACCGTGTTCGAGCTCACCAAATTGATCGGCAAGCGACGTCATCGACCCAAGAGGGAATTCAGGGTCGATGGTAGTAATGTTGCCGATAAATGGCAGGCCCTTGGGCTCTGGAATGTCAACGGTTGCTTGCATCTCCGCCATGGTTTCTGAGATTGCCACTTCACGGCTTGTCACGAATCCGTTTGAAAATTAGTTTGAGAAGGGGACTAGGCTGGTAGATATTCAATTCGAAATATGGCCACGCATTGCCAATCTCCGTCTATGTCATGCCTCGGTATCACATTGCATGGGGTCTGAGCGTGAGAATTCGAGCAATGCTCTTGATCCAACTAAAAAAAGATCTCAACACCCACTTTTCCTGTAAGGCCTCTGCTATCTTGGAGGCTCAATGGCCCAGCCCTGTCGAGTGTCGTCATGGTGAAACACACATTCGGCACTGAGCCCGTCGGAGGGTCGGGCGTCGTCCCTAATGTGGTATGAAACCCTTGAGCCGAGGTTGTGTTTTGACAAAAATGGGCCTGTCTCCCAACAATTATCGCCTCCCGTCGTTTAAGGGGGAGCCTTGCGAACTCCGGTCTCATGCCGTGTGGGACCCGTCGGGCAAATCCGAGCGCTCGTTCAATCATCAATCCCACGCTAAAAGTTCTTCAAGAAGGTGTCATAGAGGTTTAAATTCGGGGTTAATTCCTAGAAAGGGCTAATAAGCCTGCAAACAAAAGTATAAAAGTGAAAGGAGAGAACATGTTAGCTAGTAGCATTCAGCAACAGCAAGGCGTAAGATGGCGAGAAGTTTACCCGAGCGGGATTCAGATGAACGGGATTCAGTCGAACGGAGTTCAGACAACAGGGTTTATCTGAACGGCGTTTAAGTCAACGAACGGAGTTTTCGACATGGCAAAATGACGAATCGTGCATATAGAGCCCCGGTAAATATGTAACATCTCCATACTTGATAGGAAAAGCAAGCCGAGGCGGTCCGACTTTCAACAGTGCGATAACTAGTGGACCAATGCTGACCCACTTGGTACCGAATTACAAACAGCCTCGGACAATGTGGTTTTATTAAGTCTGCTTAAATCCCTCGGCGTTTTTGAGACTGTTCTCCCGTGACAACCTACTTGATGAGTGCTCCGTAGAGATATATTCTTCAACCGCTGAAGAGCGTCTGAGTAGGACTACCTAACAGTAAAGTAGATATTGAAGGAGCATGCAATGCATACAATACTCAAACTCCCAATTTGGAGCTTCGGTGAATAAGATCATATTTGAGAAACTCAGGAAATCACTCCATGCTTAATCTGCTCCCTTGTATTCCCTCACAACTGCCACACAGTAGAAAGCTCCTAAACGTGCGCACCACTCATGGCATCATTCTGAACCGGGTATTTCTCTCCAAGGTATAGCTGGGGTAATGGTGGCATGATAATCCGAATGCGCCCAATCACAGCGTTGTCTCTTGTCCTTCTCATACTCGATCTGTAGTTATCCCAAGAGGGCTCCCCGAAGACTCAGGCACCACAAGGTTTACATTACTCCAGTCAGGATATATCTGCCCAACATTAGGACATCAGCCAAAACCATGTGAGTGAGAATGGTGCTAACCTTGGCGAGCCCTACTAATACAACCTTTTTGAGAACTTGTACCATGTTGACGAAACCAATGATGAAGGGTATTAATTGTCCAGGGTCAGTCTCCTGGATTGAATCGACTCCTTCGATGGAATTGTTGATGATGGTGAGCTCAATGCAGCGTATGAACCAAACGATGCTGATAATGATGTAGATATTCCACAGGGAATATGGAAGCAATCGCTGCCAGGACCTACGTTATGACTCAATTAGCTTAATACCTAGTGATTGAAATTGACTCACATTTTAAGTTTCCCACCCACAGCTGTTCTTTTGAGCTTTGCCTTCTCCAGTGATACAATTAATTTAAATATGTCTGTTAAATGAACCTTCTTGTTCTGATTGTCAGAGGTAGACAATTGGCCGATGAAGTCCATCAACCCCAGTGAGGATGGCATGGATGCGAGAATCCCGTGCAGATGTTGACTTATTCTTGAAAGAGGACTTTTCTTCCTCCCCAATAATTCGTTGAAGATCTCTTTAACGTCTGTCCTTCTCCTTGCGTTGGACTTTGGTCTAGTGAATTCCAAGATTCCTCTCCCCACAACTTTAAATGTGGTAAAAAGGAGGTGTATCGTGAAATAGAGAACCAATAAAGCTGGGAGGAAAACAAAGGCGGCAAGAATAATCGAAAAGACTCTACCGAAAGCTACTGGGTTCGGGAAGGGAAAAGAAAATTGGTGATCGCAGCTATGGTCGGAGGACCGGGAGAGAGTCTGCAAGCGGAACCAAAACCACAAATTGATCCTACAGAAGGTAGCGTTGTTTTCTGGGTTCGGAAAAGGAAAAGAAAATCGGTGATCGCAGTTATTGTCGGAGGACTGGGAGGGAGTCTGCAAGCGGAACCACCAAAACCACAGATTGAGCCACGCAATGATGCTGGCAATCGCAGTCCTCCAGAGGACTCCAGATAATGATAAATGATAGGGTTTAAGTAGCAATAGGAAGTTTAGTGGCCAACTTGCAATTTTCTTGAGTTGTGTAAAAGCTGTCGCCTTTTGTCTGTCGTGGAATATCCTCGTCGAAGTTTCTCTGGAACAAGCCTTCAGCGATCTAGTAACCTCTTCAACGCCACCCAAGCGGAGAAAGTTGAGACGTATCCCGATAGTGCTTAACGTGGTAATTAAGAATCCAAGCATGAACTGCAACATGATAAATGTGTCGATGGGTTCGATGGGTGTAATGGTTGGGTCTGGGGAAAAGTTTGCCACAATTGTCGCCGTAGCAATGGCGAACACGAAGATGGAATTGGTGTCGAAGACGGATTGGGCAGACTGCGGGTCTACCAGGAGGCTCATCCAAGAAGAGATCCATTGCAGGTAGATCCCAATACGGATACCGCGTCCGTAAAAGTCTGGGTTGCCTTTAATCTTACAACTTGAATCATCCATTGCGCAGGATTGGTTGATGTGGCACATAGGTGCTCCAGTACGGCGGAGGCCACAGGCGTATCAATCGAGCCCGCAAAGGTGTAGGTACTTATAGTTGTGGCGGCTGAGCGTGGTACAGAGTAGTGATTTTACGGTCGCTGTATTAAATTCCATACTTGCTGTACGACCAGAAGTTGTACATCACTATGACTTGGCAATATAGTGGCGCGACGGCCAGCTATAATCACCTCGCCCGAGGCAATGGAAGCGCGGCTACGGACTCGGACTAAGCCGAGTATCGGAGCCTCACATAGAGCTGAAATGTGTTCAATCTGGGCTACCTAACTTGAGGGATGACTGTTGGGGGCCAAGGAAACCTCTGTGTGGATTACACGCTGCGGGACTTCAAGGCCGGACAAGCCGAAGACATTCCACAAGCCACCGACTTTAATTTAGCCCTTCGCTTCTTTTTCCACCTTGCGACCTGGTAGGTGCGTGTGGTGACGCGGCAGTGCGTACAACACTTGGGCGGCAGATGCACAAGAAGACGTCTAAGCCACTCAGCCCATGCGCTCTTCCGAGACGCTATCATGTTGTGGCGGCTGACGAAACACAATGTGCGCCCGGCTTTGCTGAGCCAGCCAGCATTTGCCTCGTGTCTCTCGGGCACCTGGAAGTACGAACGAGCCGAAAATGTGCACCTGCAGATAACAGAGTGGTTTCTCACACACCTGGTGTCAGCCTGCTTTGCGACGCTGACCGCGTGTTCAGCCCAAATCACCAATTCAAACGGTCGATATCGATGTCAAGGACCTGGATTTATTGCCGCATCTTTATTCCTGAATCTCAAATATAATACATGACAGCCGTTTGCTTCTGAGCTCGGTTATTGAGGGAATCCTACGCTTGATGAATCCCACTCTTCATGAATCCTACACTCATGGCTCGTCCTCACGTAAATCGTAATTGTGAGGCTGAGCGGGGGCGGGGCTTAGACATGCCTACAGCGCGCAGTAACTCAGGCTGACGGTGTGGGACCATATGGCCTCTCCACAACCTGAAACAAGTCACGCCGCTTCTTCCGAACAAATATTGTCGAAGTCGACCTAATGAATCAATCTCGTGCGTAGTTCAGAGAATCTTCGACGTTACTGTGCGCTTGCCAGCCATGGCGCAACTCATGGGTATCCGGGCATCCCGACGCTTCTCCCGCTCCCAACCGTCCAGCATCACAGCGGTGGGAAACCTCACCTGGTCATTGGTAGGGCCGGGAAGCGAACACTTGCTTCAAGAACTGGAGAATTTCTATTGGCAAGGCGTCAAGGCCGAGCTCGAGAACATTATGCGCACCCTGAAGGCATGGCAAGAGCCAGACCTTACCGACGTGGCCATCGATGATGAAGACGACAATCATATTCATGGTTTCGATACGTTTATCGACCAGGTCAGCCGGGAAGCCCGACAGTATGCGAACCACCAGAGTACGTAATAATCCTGCCTTGAGATCCAATTCCACTCATCGATCACCAGCTCAAAATTAATTTCGCTATAGGGAAAAAGAGAGAATCAAAGTCATTCATGCCCCAGCTCCAGACGGCATCCAACAATGCAAGCCCAAAGGATTATAGAATCAAGAAAGTGGAGTACTATAGAGACAAGATTAAGTCCGAAGTAAAGAAGGCGATTGATGGTGTGTCACTTGACAACCGCTTGTCTGACCGGTTCTGATTCGGTTCACCAGATACCCCGAAGCTCAAAGGCATGCAGCAGAGAGCATGGATACTTTTGCAAAACGCCGGTCTGCTATCCTTGACAATTCAATAAAAGGGCATCCAGCTAAATTTCACTAGGTTTTCTCGACTTGGAAAAACTAATTGAACATCGACCACCACTCGATAAACTAGGCTTCTGGAATAGACCAGCTATTCCCCAACGTAAATTGGCAAGCTCTCGAGGCAATTCACAAGCTAATACCAACAGTTACGTTCTCTAAACTTGACAAAAAGTCGATGCCGAAATTTGAGCCACTCCGCTGCGCGCGGTCAAGTTGTAAAAACGTCATATGCGGGAGCATGTTCACCTGCAATACTCCAGCCGAGAGTGGGGTGGTTTGTGAGAGTTGCTACCGCCTTTACTATTACGGCGACGAGTCTTACTCAAAGGTTTACAAGCACAGTATTCTTTCTGAGGCCATCACCTCGGACATAAGCATGCAGATGTGCGGCTGCAAGCTTCCCACAAAGTTTGACGAACCTGGGAGGCCAATCAGTCTCTTCCCAATTAACAGGAATGACAGCCACATCATAGGAGGACAGATGAGATGCAACCTGCTCAAGTTACGTGAGCTTGTCGCCCTGGCCAAGTATCAGGGCCTGATGGCTGCTGGGAGGGCGAAAGAGCCAAGCAAATTTACCAAAATGGCCTCAAGGCTTGTAACGGGAAAGAAGAAGCCGCAGAAGGCCGGCTCAGACTCACTGAATTTGCCAAGAACTAAGGATGATCTAGCCTATGCCCAGGCACAGGCTGACACAGACATTCCGCGATTCCTTAGGAAGCACGCGCAGAAATACCCATTCGGCAATGTGCACATGGCTCTCCGTGTCGGACCTTTGATTATCGAGAACGGGGTATCTCAGTAAGTTCTATTATTCCACACTAAGTAATAAACTACTCACGACTTATTATCAAATTCAGATCAAAAGGCGGTGCACACATCACCTTACGAGAGTTACCCGTCTTTCACCAACGGTTCCACATCAAAACACAAAGGGACCAAAGCCTTGCCGTCGACGGATCTCCAGACCGGAATTTGTGGAGGCGCAAAAACAAAACCGCAAACCAGAAAAGATACAAGGCCATCATGAAACAGGTGGTAGGCGTACCCTTCAGCGGTGTTCTTCCCCACGACGCGGAACTGCAGATTGTGAATGACCTCCTCGCGGCGAGTAAAGCACCGTTTGACAACCCAGATTTGTCGGAATCCGATCAGGATGCAATCCTAGACTCTGCCCTCGAACCAATACTGCAGCAACTCAAAACTCTTATCCAAACTCGGGTTAGGGTCTACTTGCAAAGCATTGCGCAGCGGCTCTTGGATCCAGTAAATGACATCACATGGAGCATCACCGAGAATAACTGCCAGAAGTTTTGCGACTCCATCATCGACCAAAATCTCTTCAAATATCTTGTCAATGGACCTGGACAACTGACCCAAGTTGACGGTCCATTATACACTATGAGTTTCATCTGCCCGGATGAAGGATACACGAACCAAGACGTCAGGAGCCAGTTTGATGTCCCAAAAGGACTCACCGAGGAGTATCTTCTCCGATTCCGCTTCGGCCGTTATGACGAGGCTGATATTATCGACACATACCAAGAGTACTGGCACGACTGGGGCGCTTTCGGTGGATCCATATACCCATACCAGGATCTATTCCCCTGGGATTGCACCGAAGCATATAGGAAATGTCGCACCCGGTGTGGGGAGTGCAACCTATCCAAGCATGTCTGGGCCTTTCCGTTTGATTCGTGGTCCATTACAGCACTTCACCTGGCGCGCGACTCGCATATGTACGCACCAGCGAGCGTGGCTGGTGAAACAGGACTGCACGCAAGCACACAATCATGGCTCAAGAACCGACTACAGGTACTTACAGCAGCATCAATTCTTCACAGGGTGGCCGCTGCCATGGCAAATTCCCGATCGTTTTGCAGGGCCACGGCGTGGCTGGCGTGGCTGGACGAGGAAGAGCTGCGAGATCAAAGCCTGTCCCTGATTCGGGTGAAGTTGGGGGGTATTCACCGCGCCCAACCGTACAGCCATTACTTTGAAGCTGGAAAGGGAGTCGACTACTGGATCGCACCATGGGCGCTCCAGCCCCGATCTGAACAAATCAGGGCGTACGAAAAGCTGCGTGATGAACGCATGCAGCTCGCTACTATGGCGCCCCGATTGGGCTTGTTTGCGACTTCCGATCAGGATAATAGTGACGATGGTCCAGTGGTCAATGACAGTCTAAATGCTGTAGCATTCATGGCTGATGTTGAGGACATTGATGGAACAGATTCAGGCAGTCAAGATGCGACGGGGCCACTTGGATACTTTCTCGATGGGTTGCATGCGCAAGGTGATGCAGACTCTACTCAGCCTAACAGCGGCCCCAATCATGCAGTCTATACCTCTGGTAGTGGTAGTTGGTTTGGTTCACTTCTCGATGGCCACAGTGGCGGAGGCTCGACACCTCATCCCTCCCAGCAGGACCATAGCCCTGCGCATGTTGCATACTTGGTAGGATGAGAGTTTGGCAGATATTGGCAATAAAATGAGACCTACGCTTCAGTGGTGTGGAATTGAATTATTCGGTCAGAAATACTTGAAATTTAAGCCGTCGGTCGCTGCCGAATCCCAGAGACTTGCTACTTGATCATGAACAACCACGAAGTGCACGGCATTTAACTGACACCAACTTCCAGACCACACTGGACTCAAACTCATTAACACTCGATCACCATATCCACTGTTTATTCCTCGTGTGCCCCACTACTAGCGGAAGAAGGCGATCCCTTGTCACTCCCGCAGTGCCTAAACCAGAAGCTCAACTCTTACGACATGGGCATGGGCCAACTGCCAACAGCTCCATCCGGCCTCATACCCTCCTCCATGCCATTGGCAAATTCCAACCAATTATTCCAGTCAATCTCCCCGTCCATATCCATATTCACATCCACATCAGCAAAAACGTCAACCATTGGATCCGCGTCAGCCCATAGCCAAGGGGTGAAGCCGGGGCCTATCAGCTGGGGATCTGACCACTCTGTCGGCAGGGTAGACGGCGTGCTGTGTGAGGACTCTTCAGTCTTCCCAGGGGCCAATCCAGGGACCAATCCGCTCTGAGAATTCATGGCTTTGGTCAAATTCGGGTTCGCGGATGTGTTGATCGGGCCTTGGTCGCCAAAGTGAGAATTTACAGCTTGGTCGACAGGCTGGAAACTCGGGTTGGGCCACATATCCTGCTGCCAATTTGCCGGCTCAGAGATAATATTCTGTTGTGACGTATCGATTCCCTGCACCACAATCGACGGAGGCGAATCACCTACCCCGGGAGTTCCAGAAACGTATTTTTGGCTACCATGGTCCACTGGCATACTGAAAAGACTGCGCCAGTGTTGGTGAAAGAGCTCCTCGGCTTTCCCTTCCGGAAATGGTCCAGAACTGGCTGGAGCGGGAATGTTGCGGTCACCCATCTCCCGCTGTGCAATGGCGGATGCATCGCCACGTAGCCGCTCGAGCTCTGCGGCGCGATGCTTGCGAGCTTTGGACATGAGCTTCCGCAGCGGGAGCCAGGTTCGCAAGTTCTTGTCCATCTTGGCATGGGTTGGGATCAACCAGCTGCTATGGAGAGCGACCCAAGCTCGTTCAACGATGGGCGACCACTGGCGGCGAGAAATCTCGATGAAGAGGAAGACGATGGCGTACCAATGGGTGTAGGTTTGGAAAATCCAGCGCCATGGAGTGTATTCCTTCTCGGAGTTGAGAGCATGGTTGTACTCGGCGACCTCCAGTCCGGCGACCAGCAGTTTGTCGCGAATCTCATCTGAGAAGTGCTCGCTCGGAGAGGAGAAAAGAATAGGGAGGTAGACCAAAAGCTTCATCTTGCCTATCACAAGGCGGGTAGAAGTAACCGCAGCTTGGTATGCGACATTTTTGGATTCTGATGAATATTCAAGGTACCTCCCTTCAAGTTTCTCATGCAGGGTGTTTAGGAGGCGGCTCTGCTCTTCGACACTTGGCCCACTGTGCTTGGGCCCTGGAGCCATCATCTGCCTAACGATCTCGCAAATCTCGTGCGAGACGAGCGCAAATGTCATGTCAGTAAAGGATTTGCGAGCAGGTGGCATCTCCTTGACCTCGGGATCGATATCTGCGTCGTTGATGTTCAAAGGGAGTTTGGTATCGAAGCTGCCGCTAGTGATGGTAAAATCCGTCCCCTGGTCCTCCGACGCCCGTATGTCCAGCATACAGAGCGCCCACCAGACTCTTCGTCGCATCTCCACTTCAAAGGGAGGCAGGTTTTGGAAATTGGAACCGTCCCGGTGCAGTCCGATAGCCTGGGCCATTCTGATGACAAGGCCCGTCATCATCCATACGAACCTTGGACTATCATGGCGGCGAACCAGAAACAGAAAAATGGCAAAGGCTTGGACTAGCACAATGTCGGGGACATTGAGAAAATCGGCCTTGGCTAGGGCATGCTCTAAGCCGAGTCGATACTTGAGATTGAGGTCTGCTTTCGTGGAGCCAAAATTGGTCATGACCTAGGCAAACGTCAGCTCGGTTCAATCAAATTCATTGTGCCACATAAAGTCAACTCACATCCTCCTCCTCCATAGATGTAACAGCTGCGTAGGAGATTGCAAACATCAAGGCCTCGTTGGCCGGTGTGAGACTTGACACATCGTTTCCATGCATCCCGCGCATCATTTTACTGACGGTCGGCATGTGGACAATATGTAAGAAGATGTTTACATTTTCGGAAAATGTATCCAGGAGAAAAGGTATCTGGGACGGTAGAATGCGAAACTCGCGTGGGTCGGGCGCGGATGAGACTAGGTTGTGCTGGAACAAGAACGCATGACGCTCCGAGGGCGTACGATCAAGCTCATGGGTGGGAGGTGACTTTTCAGGTGATTCTCCGTCGTCTGATGTATCAGAATCATCGCTTGCCAGCTGCCGGGTATCTATCTTCAGCCCATCAAGCTGCGGGCGATCAGCTTAATCCGACCAAGATAAGATCAGTATATACCTCGTCGCTGACACGGGACCAGAAGCCGCTGCCGACATAATGGCTCTGACTTGTATCCTGGAGAACGAGCCGTCCAAAGTGCTTCTGCATTGCTGTAGCGCTCGTGGTTGACGGCGTGCTCATCTGGCGGTCTGCGTCTCCCTCTTGTGTAGACGTCCCAGGAGAGTTGACGGTGGACGAACCCGCAGCAGAACTAGCGGCGGCGTTTGCCTGCTCAAGCTGGCCACTCAGTTCCTTGACGAGGCTCTCGAGATTGCGCAGCCTCTCCATGACCTGGCGCGCCCCCTCGGACTCCTGCAGCGCCGTTTCAGTGGACGCCGCATTGTTAGTGATGCGCTCAAGGCGCCGAGCCCACCGCGGAGGGCGATCGTTGGACGGCACGACACAGGCAATATTGGCCCGGCGGCAATTCGAGCACGGCGACAACTTGTCGCAGCGGACCTTGCGGCTGCGACACACCGCACAGCTGCGCGGCTTCACGTATGCGGAGGCTTCCGGAGGCGAGGCCGACGCCGACGCGTTTTTCCCGGGGCTCGACGCCGAGTCACCGGCGCCGCCGCTCTTGGCAGCTGACGCCTGCGACATTCTTCAGCGGTATGTCCGGCCTTTGGGTGCGCGATGGGAGATTGCCTGCTTGTGGTGTTGCACTTGATCCTCTTTCGCGTTCGGGCAGGTCGCTTGATGGATTTAGGCGTCAGCATAATTACTAAGCATGAAATGGGAGCATGACTTACGGTGGTGGTGGTGTTTTAGCAGAGTCAAGTCTCTTGCAACTCTCTAACATCCTCGCCGACAGTGTTTTGAAGCAGAATTCATGAAAAATAGAAGTCCAGACTCAAAAAGATAGTTCATATTGCGTACTTATTATATCCATTATATCCAGCACTATCGAATACCTTATCATATCAGTCTAAAAAAGAGCAGAGCAGCGACTCTATACTTGAAACCACCAATTCCAATACCAAATCCACCTCAGTATGTGATGCTTGCAATCTTGTTGAGGTACTTGGCCTCCCTCTTGATCAGGAGATTGTCTGCAATCCACTTGCCCGCATCTTCCCTGGAGATGGTGTACCCAATCTCCTGCACCTCTCGTCCGGTCTTTGGGTCCTCAATGCCCGCCCGGATCGGCTTGGTGGACTCGCCGTTGACCAACAGACTGGCACGGACAATGGTAAAGTCTTCGCCGCTGTCTGCCAGGGTGTCCTCCATGATTTTCTTGTCCTTGTGGGGAACCTTGAGCATGAACGAATACAGCGGAATGGTCAGGACGGGCATGTCACGACCGAAGCGAGACATGCCGGTGGTGCTGCAGACAATGATATAGGGTCGGCCCGTAGCGCCGGCACTTCGCAGTTGAGCCAGAGCCTCTAGCATAGTGTCCATGCCCTTCCTGCAGACCTCGGGGTCGTCAGTCATCTGCTTGTTGAGCATGGGCTTGCCGCCGATGGTGGAAACGATGGCGTCGACAAGATTTCCGTCCGCCTTCTTGAAGCACTGAGAAACCGCAGCGAGATCGTGAGCGTTGCCCTGGACGACCTGCAGGTTCGCGTTTGATGCAGGCGAAATGACATCGGTGAGCTTGGAGGGTGTGCGGCAGAGGGCGATGCACCGGTGTCCTGCAGCGAGGGAGTGCTTGAGTGCCGAGAGCCCAACGCCGGTGCTGGCGCCAAGAAATGCGATAGTCTGTTGAGCCATTGTAATGGATGGAGTAGTAGAAGAGTGGTGTAGTTGAGAGTTGGTTTCCAAAGAGGAGAGAGATCAAGTTGGTTGATTGTTTGAGATTGCTTGAAGGTGCTTGAGCTTGAGATTGTTGTGTCTGTTTTCCATCTTGTCAAGGCCGGCAGTGAATGCAGCTTTATATCCCGTGTCCATCTGATGTGCCTCGAGCGACTGACGCACGACGCGGCCGAATCTTGGGCGAGGCCGAGAAATGCGCGAAGTTGTGGAGAATTATGGGGAAACTGCACGTGACCATGTCGCTATTTTCTCGCTTCTCTTGTTTCTGGCGTCGATTGCTCCGACCCAGCCAATCAAAAGCCCGTCAGCCGACCGTCGGCATAATCTCGTCCTTGGTGGCGTTGGTGGCGTTCAATTGGCGTTAGTAGCGTCAGCACGGTGGTGCGAGTTGGTCCGGACTATCACCAAGATATAAGGAAGAACTCCTGGAAATTGGGTATTGGCATAATTGCCAGAGCAGTCAGAGTCAGAAAAATATAAAAAATCACATCACTGGTTGCGGCTCAAACACACTCTATCATCTCTCATCCGTCAATATCCTTCCCAAATCATGAGTCCCCTTTCCGTATCTGCCCAAGTCGAGATCCTGGCCTCACCAGCCGCTGTTCGATCGGTAGTACGTGTGACTAAAATCCGCTTCATATCATCGCTAATAAATCCCAGTTCCTAGATTTTGCTCGATATAATGAATGGCAGCAAGGTTGGGACATAAAGCCAGCTGATACAGGCAAGAAGTCGTCCGAAATAAAGCCAGGAGACAGTCTCAAGGTTGCCATGCATGGAATGGCATTCACCCCGATTGTGCTGGTAAGGCTCTTGGTCTAAGTCGTCGTGTTTCTATACTAAAATACTCAGGAAAACTCGGCAGAGTGTTTCGTTTGGGAGGGCTCAATACCCATCATCTTATCTGGGCAGCATCGCTTTTCTTTCTCTCCGAGTAAGGAGAATCCAGGAGGCACCACTTTTATCCAGAGCGAGGATTTCCGAGGTGCCTTGGCCCTCTATTATTGGCCCCAGAGGAACCAGAAACAACTCATGCATAACTGGGATGCCTTCAATGCGGCTCTGAAGAAGGAGGTCGAACGGTCCTCCTCTTACATCTAGAATTCGCCATGTGGCCATCATTTCATTTCGTTTATCGATTGACACATGGCAATCATCTTAGCATTAGACAGACGCAATAGTTGGGTTAAATTTATACCACTCGTCATCTTACAACAGAATGAGTGATGATATGTGCTGCAATCCTCCCGGTTGTGTGCCGCTGATCGTATCCTCCTCGTCTCCATCCATGCTTTCGTCGTTGGTTGTCATTAATCTCAGGCTGAAGTAGAATGTCGGGGCGAGTTCGAAACGCAGCATCAGTTTGGAATGTTGAAACATCGTCAGCGAGAACATAAGACGATGATCTACAAAGAAAGAGGTCTTGAGAAATGGTTGAGACGACGGGGGAGCACAACATCTTCCTACCCAACAACTCAACCTTTTTGGTCACAGGAACTATGTGTCCTTTTCGAGTTGGTAATTAAACGACATGTACATGATGTGGCCGCGGTTGTTGCATGTGCAAATCGCGCGCAACATGACAGTCGCGTCACGTATTACTTCCCTTATTAATTGAATCTTGTTTTGATGGCGTCTCTAGCCGATGTGGCGGCTTTGGCCATTCAGTTCGAGCCAGAGGGACCAGCCTCCGTCCTGACACAAAACGGGGTTCTTGGGGAACGGGTATTTTTTATTCTTTTATTTTTTGTAGCTTTTCTCGATATCATTAGGCAGATTAAAGCCAGGAAATATCTGTAAAGAAGACGTACATTAAGTGCTATACCCAGTACCAGAAGAGACAGTAGCTTAGCAATAAAGTTATTACACACTGATTTTTGCCTTATGCTTCAATTCAATCCTTTTGTCTTCGAAAAAGCTATACTGGATTTCTGGCACATGGAAAAGGAGCTTGAAACCTAAACGTAGGTCTTAGTAAGAGTGACGTCCACAACAAAAATTTAGTAGATTCAAACATTACGTTCCCTCATCGACGGTTGGAGAACGGGTATACACTATTGAATAACCGGCAAGTCCCCTGCATATACGAGCAAGTCGCTTAGCCAGGGGGTCAGCAGAAGAATCTGCCGATGCGACCTGCGTCCTTTGATTCGGTTGCAATACGCAGGCGCCGACAGAGACGCCGATGGCCCGAAGCCTATTGCCTCTCATCCCAATTCGCATCATGAGCGACGCCGCCAAGCTCCAGGGTGGTGAGCATCCAACTGACTAGGCTTCAGGTGCGATCAGCCTCAAACTAGGAAGAGGGATAGCTTTTGTTGTCTCGTCGGCAATACTCCTGGTTCAACAAGAGAGGAGTGATTATCAACAGCCCAACAACCCAGTAGTCCTTTAAACCGATGTTTATTGACGGTATTTATGACGTCACCTGTCACCGGAGTAGCATTCGATGTCCGAGCAATTGTGTTTGCCACGTCTGGAAGGAGAACAAGCGACGCCCACTTTTTCTAAAACTGTCTCCCTCCCTTATGCACACGTTCAGGGGGAGGAAAACCAAAGCATGCGTGACAAGAGAACGGTCGAGGGTTGCAGCAATCCTACGCGAGTTGCAGCTGAAAAACCTCGTGGTTCCTGGGGCGATGGCAGTGTAACGGTCTAACTCTGTTTAGCCAAGGGGGATGAGACGCAACACCCCAACAGAGCGATGTTACTAGTGGTCACGCGTCGGATCTCGCCCTGGAGACGGTCCCTCGGAGCTGTTTGTTGGGTGTCATTGCGGGGGAGCTCCAGCTAGGCTTTAGGACAACCTAGGCGGAGAGGCTTGCCGCTTGCCCGATAATCCGAGCGTGTAATATCCTAATCGTCACTCTAGATACATCATGCAGCTCGTGTAGGCCGTTTAATTCCAAGTTCCCCTTGCGGATCTGTAAGAAATGTCATCGCTACGTCGTTCTGCGTGTTGTACCTGCGGCGGCCCATGCCTTTTTCCCCAACGCATCACACTCGCCTGATATTTTTACAGCTTTTTCCCACTCACATGGCGCATATGGCGAGTATCTCAGCTTGCATCGCCTCATTATGTAAGGTATATGCTCAGACCCACTCTTTTCTTCTTTTCTATCCATATTCTTCTCTCCCGACCCCCCCTCCTTTCCGACTAGAGCCCTTCCCCGTCTTTCGGCGGCCTAACTTCCGAGATGGGGCGGAGATCAATGACGACAAGCTGACGGAGAGGGGGCTATGCCAGGAGACTCCGGAACATCGGCAGTCAGGTGTCAGTACCTTCAAGGGACAAGCATCTGATGAGGGCCAGACAACCTCTACGAATACGGAGTTGCATGTCCCTGGATGGCTGTGGCCACTAATGTATGCCTCCTTTTAGTTCACCGTATTCGACTTCGCTTAATCTCAACAAGGTCAAAGCATTCGTCCCTGCTTATTCCTCTTAAAGTCAATAAATTGCCTGTAAATCTCTTGCTTCTTCCGTCTCTCAGTCTCCACATATACATTTCAGCTCACAATCAACGCCACAAACATGAATCATAGCATACATCTATGCTGAACGCCAACCTCATATCATCATCACTGTTGAGTATTTAGTCAGTTCGTCTTCCCTCGTGTTGTGTGTCAGCTTCCTCCCGTGAATGATTCTACCCTCTGACTGGTGGATGCATTGCAACACATGGCAACCTTAATCCTTCTTCCGCCTTAGCCTGTCTAGCCGTCAGCTGGTTGCAACCCTCAGTCTTGAGGTGAACTCCTGACCATCGGGGTTTTGTATTTCTTGGTAACATGGACGAACTTTTGACCATTAGGGTATTTACGCTTCTCTTCGGGTCGATCTTACTGTCACTGGGGGGCACACCACTCACCCATCATGCTTCTCAAACCCTTCCTCCCTGAACTTCTTGCCATAGCCTCAGTCACAGCCCTCCCTAATCCTGGAACCGTGAATCACGGTCTCAAGGTTGATGATGGTGACCCTGTGAGGTTAGGACAAGAAATTTAAGAAGAAAGGGTTTGAGAAGCATGATGGGCGAGTGATGTGCCCCCCAGTGACGGTCATAAGTTTGAGCCCAAGAGCAAGAAATGCAAGTGTCCCAACGGTCAAGAGTTCGTCCCTACGACTAAGCAATGCAAAATGCAAGGGTCAAATGATCCTAGACAGTTACAAGCAGAAGTACAGGCATCCTAAGGGAAAGAAGTTGCACCCTCACACGGAAGTGCAAGCGCGGTGGTTATTATGATCAGCCATGACTATATCATGAGTTAAGCGGGGATTAACAGATATTTCTTGTCGCATTCTGGAACACGGAGAGGGTGCAAAGGCTAGCATCCGGCGACAATCTCAAGTCCCCTCATCACCACAGCGTAAGTGGCGTGTCAGAACATCGTAACCGCCAGGAGGCATCGCTTCTAGTGTATAGCTTCTTCCCAGGCCGTGCTGGTAAGCACACCTGAAGCCAAAATACGGGATGCTAGGAAGAAGCTGAGAGCTAACTGGAGCTTCTCTCCATGATGTGGCAGCATCTCTTTAGACTTTGGTTGAGCATTATGGAATCGCAAGCTGCATTAACGGCTTCTCGGCCCCAGTCCCGACATCCGACCCGACATCCGTCTTCATTCGAGCTTCAGACAATAAGATCAGCCGTCAATGATATCATCATTTTTCTCTGGGTTACATAGCATCGGAATTAGGGCTACTTGGCGATCTCAATAGAGGCCCGATTCATTGTGAGTAGCCCACCCGCTCAGCTATGCAAAGAGGCAAGCAGACAGATCGGCTTAATCCATGTCCGACTCACAGCTTGTCGAATCAAGGAGTGAAGCACCATCCAATTAGAGATCCAGGCACATGGGTGGTTCCTTGCCAGGTCTTGGAGAAGAGCGCCTCCCCCGCAGTTGGTGCGTTGGTCTTTATCCCTCTTGCATTAGCCAGTCCTGCGGCTATTTAAAGAATATTTCCGCCCTGTCGAGGCAACTATGCAGGGGTGCCCGACTTGAGCCTCCGCATAATTACGGTGTCCAACGAGATCTTAAAGGTCAACACCACTTATCCCGCAGGTGGCTGGAAAAGATGTATTAAAGCTCGTATTCCAGACTGGGTGTGATGATTCATGCTTTCAGCTACAGCTAGAGTATGAATTGGCGAGCTATTAGCGTCACAGCTGTCGTCGTGGCGAGAAATTATTAGCACCCACAGGACTTGGATTTGCTAGTATAGGCTTTAGAGAATCATGTCCCGTGTTGGATAGCTGCTTAATACCCAGAGTCAGCTTGATGGTGCTTGTGCTTGCTTGTGCCTTGGTTTGTCCTGGAAGCAACCACCTTTGGGCCCATAGCCCTGCATTCAGGTCAGCTGCCATCCACAGTTGAGGCTGTTATAGCGTACTCCTGTCGTACTCGAAAAGGCCAAGAATAGTAGCAGTGGTGATGGTCTAAATGCAATTAGCTTTGGAACTATTGAATTGAGCGTGATGCGACCGAAAGTAGTATGAGCTTACTTGGTTTTAAGAATTTGGGAGGGCAAGGGTCGGGAGGAGAGAAGAGGAGTTGTACGAGATCTCTGAGATACACGAGACAATGATTCTTATTTAAATCCCAATGTCCTCCTAGAAAACTTTCCTTTCTTACTCCCAAGTCAAGAAAGGCCTCGGGCTCTCTCCTACACCTTCTTTCTTCATTCACTTGCCTTCACACAAGAAAACTCAAGCCTCTCGTTTCACCCACAACACCTTTGTTGCTGAAGGGCACCCCAATCGCTCATCATGCATATCAAATCCCTCTTCATCAACCTCCTTGCCTTGGCCATCACGGTCAAGGCTCTCCCGCAAGCCGAACATGACAACCTTGGTCTCGATGCAAGGGATGCTGAGGGCAACCTTGTTGAGCGCGGCGGCTCATGCCCCGACGGCCAGATTATGCAGTACGGCAAATGCGTCTGCCCTGACGGCCAGGTTTTGAAGTACGGCAAATGCGTCTGCCCCGACGGCCAGGTTCTCAAGTACGGCAAATGCGTATGCCCCGACGGCCAAATCCTCAAGGACGGCAAGTGTGTCTGTCCCGACGGCCAAGTCTTGAAATACGGCAAATGCGTATGCCCTGATGGTCTGATCTTCAAGGATGGCAAATGCGTCTGCCCTGACGGCCAGGTTCTCGAGTACGGCAAATGCGTATGCCCCGACGGCCAAATCCTCAAGGATGGCAAATGCGTCTGCCCCGACGGCCAAGTTCTCGAGTATGGCAAATGCGTATGCCCTGACGGCCAGGTCTTGAAGTATGGCAAATGCGTCTGCCCTGACGGCCAGGTTTTGAAGTATGGCAAATGCGTCTGCCCTGACGGCCTAGTCCTCAAGTATGGAAAATGCGTCTGCCCTGACGGCCAGGTCTTGAAGTATGGCAAATGCGTATGCCCTGACGGCCTAGTCTTCAAGGACGGCAAGTGTGTCTGTCCTGATGGTCAAGTCCTCAAGTACGGCAAGTGTGTTTGCCCTGATGGTCAAATCTTCAAGGACGGAAAGTGTGTCTGCCCTGATGGTCAGGTCCTGAAATACGGCAAATGCGTTTGTCCCGACGGTCAGGTCTTCAAGGACGGCAAATGTGTCTGTCCCGATGGTCAGGTCCTCAAATACGGCAAGTGTGTCTGTCCTGACGGTCAAGTCCTCAAATACGGCAAATGCGTCTGTCCTGATGGCCAGGTCCTCAAATACGGTAAATGCGTCTGCCCTGGTAATCAGGTCTTCAAATACGGTAAATGCGTTTGTCCCGATGGTCAGATCTTCAAGAACGGACAATGTGTCTGCCCCGACGGTCAGGTTTTCAAATACGGCAAGTGTGTCTGTCCCGACGGCCAGGTTTTCAAATACGGCAAATGCGTCTGCCCTGGTAATCAGGTCCTGAAATACGGCAAGTGTGTCTGTCCCGATGGTCAGATCTTCAAGGACGGCAAATGTGTCTGCCCAGACGGTCAAGTTCTTAAATACGGCAAGTGTGTTTGTCCCGACGGCCAGGTCTTCAAATACGGCAAATGCGTCTGCCCTGACGGTCAAGTCTTCAAATACGGAAAATGCGTCTGCCCTGACGGTCAAGTCTTCAAGTACGGAAAATGCGTCTGTCCCGACGGTCAGACCTTGAAATACGGAAAATGCGTTTGTCCCGACGGTCAGATCTTCAAATACGGAAAATGCGTCTGCCCCGGTCATCAGGTCTTCAAGTACGGAAAATGCGTCTGCCCTGACGGTCAGGTTTTCCAATACGGAAAATGCGTCTGCCCTGGCGGTCAAATCTTCAAGTACGGCAAATGCGTCTGCCCTGGTAATCAGGTGTTCAAGTACGGCAAATGTGTCTGCCCCCACGGTAAAAAGTGGAATGGAAAGAGTTGCAAGCGCGGCGGCTACGGGCATCACTAAGGATTCGTCCCAGTCTTTTGGGAGTTACTCAAGACGGGTGAGGAGATTACGGGATTTCATGGGTGATGAGTTGGAATGATGACAGCTCGGGAGCGACTATGATGAGTCTTGACGACAGTATGGATAAGGAATCTTCTGTTTGCTTTGTTCGGAATACATTCTTGTCACTCCTTATACTATTTTTACAAGAGCTGATAATTTAGGGAATACAAGTAGCATATTTTCTGCTGATCTTTTGCCTGAAAGTATCTTTTTCAGTTTAAACCACGCGTGCTTAGTTCTCCATATACACATTTCGTCACATGTTGGTGGTCCCCTGCCTGCCCATAATCACGCCGTCGCTTGACACCACCAAAGAGCTTTGTCAAGAATCCCGACAGCGCCGGAAAAACGCAAGATTACTTCATTATGTGAAAAAAATGAGGAGCTGAAATGCGCTCGAGCTGATGAAGAAAATGAGAATCGCAACACTCAAAAGCCAGGAGTGTCATAAATTCGGACATTCCGAGGTCCACGGGATGCGACAGAGGCTTACCAGCATCCGTTAATCTGCCCGGGCAATCCGCTGCGCTGAGAAGTCCGACAACCGTACGACACATGTGCATTCATTGAAGGTCACGAAGACGCTCATGTACCAAATCTATCCCGCTGGCGCGGTTTCCCAGCAAGTGCTTAAGTTAGACTTTAATTTAAATCCAAACAGCTGTAACCATTCAATTATGCATATCAATTCCATTCAATGTAAAGTTCCGATTAGGATCTTGGGAATACCGCTAAAGATATTATCCGATCAAATACATCGTAAGAGGATGCCGCATCACTGGACCAAAAATACTGTCATTTGGTCATTCTGTAGATAATGGCTGACTAGCAGGGACTACAATCCCGCAAGCCCCAAACTGACTTTCTGTCCTGTACGCTGACGTGTCAGTTGCCGTCGATACGTGTCGCAATCTATGTCGTTGCTGTTTCTATTGGTTGCCATTCTCGTTGTCGTAATGTCCGTCATTGACTCAGTCATATCGAGTGTATACGCTACTGCTGAGCCGGGATATACGTACACTGGGCGGGCTACTTAGTTGTGCAATGGAATCAACAACAAAGGGGCAAGACTCGGTTTCTGAGCCGTTTATTTCGACACATAGATAATGTAGTGAGGGTGAGGCAGTCCAGGAGAGTTCCCTGGTCAGTATCGCCAGAGTTGATCCCATCGACCCAACACGAATACCAATAATCACTCAGAAGAATCCCACGGGACAGTACAATAGGAGAATGGTATCGGATATCTCAGAGTTTCTGTGGTAGTGTCACTTGCTGTCTCCGGACAACTACGGCCAAGTCTTTCATGGACTATGGGTACAGTTCACAGGGCATCCCCAATGGAGCGGTCTCGGGTTCTTAGCTTCCTCCGTGCCGTCCCCTCTCTGGACCTGGCAGCATCGTATGCACGAGAGCATTTCGGCACAAAACCTGCCGAGCTACAACCGCCAAGTTATGCGGATTCTGACAGGGGAGAACAACAAGAGCTGACTGGACAGTGTCCGGCGGGTCGCCAAATTACACTATCGATACCCTCTGCAAGGGCGTGGGGGTAGTAGTCACAGGGTTGTCTTGGGCCGTCACGAACCCACAGAAGAGAGATCCTATGTAATTCTTGGCATGTCGAGTGCGCGGTGGGGATCGGCGGCCGGCAAGAATATGGTGGTTCCTCAATGGAGCTATCAATCGCGGGGCCAGTCGCCAGGACGCCGCATAGGTCTCGAGCTCGAAATGGGCATCCCCTGGTAACAGGGAGGTTGGATCCGTCGAGGGTGGCATTGCCGCAATAGGCAGTTCTACTAGAATGTTACTGGGAATCTGGACGTGTAATCAGTTGCTCAAAGATCACGTTGCTGGGTATTAGCACCGTTGAGGTATTCTGGGTAGTAGAAGAGGCTCTGGGGATTACACATCAGGGAAAGGAAATATGTAGAATCTTAGTATAGTCTGTCAAGTGCTCCTTGGCTTGTGAAGAGTAGTCTTGATTGCTATACGGGAGAGATATACAAGCATTGGCTCCAGACTGAGACTCGGAGGAAATATGTCCGCTTCACACCAGGCGTTGACTTCTTCGTGGATAAGATGTTCACCGATAATTATTTAGTCCATTTAATCTAAACAAATCACTCAAAGTATCAGGAATTTTAGTACTGTTTACATTACATTTCTTTAATAATTACTATCAAAGTAGGTAGATGCCTTTGCGTCGAAGTCTAGGGTAAGCAGCTTGCGCGTGGATCTTGCCAGTCACCAAGAAAATAACAAGCTTGCCGCATTGTGGTTCTCGGAGTGCGGGATCAAAAACACCTTCACTGCATGTGCCAGTCCTTTGCCGAAAACGGACCGATAGTCCGGTGGGGGGATCCCATGTAAAGCGGCGTATCCATGACAGAATGATTCGCTTGTTGGTGCTCCGCAGCAAGACGAGCTCCCCTCTCGCCAAGCCTGGAGATGCCATGGCCAAATGAGCATGTCCGTGCTTGGTATACCCTGCTCCTGAGAGGTCTAATCTGATTGATAAGATGGAATGAGTATTTGCGGGAAATGTTGCCGCAAACGCACTCCTGCACCTGCTGGTGGAACGTCGATCCCTGCTCGGATGATCTCCCGCTGAACAAAAGGTCACCAACAAGGCTGCAGCTAGAGTTTGCTTGACGCATTTCCCAACGTAGAATACGCATTGCCACATGTAGAATGTGCATTCCTAATCGTCGGATTTCCGAGTAGGCTGCTTGTCCTCAATTCCGCCCTGGAGCCAAGCTTATGGTGGCGAGCTTTGCTCTCTTGGCGCACTTGGCTGTTCGCTTAAGCTGTCACATCCTCCAGACCGTCTCGTCGCGTATCGTAGTAATTTCCTCTCATCGCGAATCAAGGTCAAAGCTTGCTGTCTCCGAACTCGTGCGAGTTGTTTTCTTTTTCTTGCTCTGCTCTTCACCTGAGCATCCCTGTTACCGATCCGATCCTACCGTCAAAGGTGCCGCCATGTGGGCGGCCATCGTGACATCCTGTGCGTGCTTTTCACCCCGGCCTCGCCATATCAATCTGCCAGGATCCCCGGCATGCCCGGATTTCGGATCGGACCCTCTTCAGCACTGGAAGTGATCAACCGATATTTACCAGGCGAAGATAAGGTGCATGTTCGCCGTTAGGCGCTTCATTAGGAGCTGTCACTCTCCACAGTGGCGTATCAATAGTTCCAACTAGCGTGGCTGCTCCACGTGGAATTGCAGTGTCCGTATCGGCTTTTTGCAGAAAGAAGAGAGACTCAACATGGAGTCGAGATTTCATGGTACGAAGGGCTTGACGAGAGCAGCATGGTTGACCAGCCAGACACCATCCCCTGTCTCCGAGCTCGGAGCACTCCCATTACCTCCGATATCCCGATATTCCCGGTGCGTGAAATAGACATTTAGGGTGGGAAAGTCAATTTAACCTCTAGGTTAAACCCTTACCGGTTGTAGCATAACCCCCGAGTACTCCACCTGAAGCCAAGAGGCCGTGGCAGTTCTCACCACTCACCACGATAGAGCCTTGGCTTTCTTTCAGCTCGGAATGAAGCACTAGCATAGCTGGTCGACCTGACCGGCGGGTCCGGACCGAAGTTTAGCAGTAAATCCGGAATGACTGGTCTGTTGCTCTAACGAATCTCCCATTAAAGCTGTCTCATCACTCACTGATTGATAAGATCGTGGCTGGGGTGCGACACTGACCTCCACGCTTCTCCACCCTCGGTTGCAACAGAGTCCAATGGGCATCACTACGCCCGCAAGCATCTTCAACGCCAAGACGATTCTCGTGAGCCGCGGGTCCCGCCACCGCCTCTATCACGCCCAGCAACTAGGACCCTTGGCACCCCAACCGTGCCTTGGCCAGGGACCCATGGAATCAAAGGATTGGTGGTTGATGCAGCCCCAATATAGCGCCCATGGCTTCAATAGACTGTGCGTTGGCACATCCGGTTTCCGGCATCAGTTGGCCGACCATCCCTGATCATTGGCCTTGAGTCACAGTTCATCCACCAAACGAATGGCACTTTGCCAGATGTGACCTTTGAGCCCTGGCATGTGCCTCCCATCCATGGAATACCACACTGGATGCGTACATTCGTAGTGTGGCATAAAGAAGCATAATGCGGCCAGGGTTTAGGCGCTGTGACCTTGTAGCCTTGTTGTGATCAAGTTTGCATCAGCAAAATTCGAACCACTGTAGTAGCTGAGGTGTGTAGATGGGAAACGGCGCAAGCCACGGAGTTTATACAACTCAAATTCAACAACGCGTAGAGAACGGCATGATAGACTCGGGTAAATATCATTATGTCATTTGTAACTACTCAACTACCAGATATCCTTCATGAAGCATCACCCATCATTTCGTTGTGTCTCCTACCAGCCCAAGTCTATCGCCATGATTCCTACGATATAGGAGATCAATCAGATAGTGCCTATCGCCATAGACCTACTCCCGCCCTTGCCCCTTTCACGGCATATCCCTAAGCTGAACACTGTTCTGCGAACTAGAGTTCTTGTTGGTGGCGAATTCGTGGTCGCGAGCGTTGTTCTCCATGCGAGCGATACGCGCAGTGCGCTGCTTCTGCTGGCGGCGACGCCAAAGGAAGAAGGCTCCAACCAGGATCAAGCCAACACCGGCAACAGATCCAACGACGATACCGGCGATGGCACCACCGCCAAGTTTGTTTGAGCCTCCAGACTCAGTGTCGAGCTTGGTAGAACCGTGGGTAGAGCTGGAGCTGCTGGAACCCTTGGTGGAGCTGGAGCTATCGGAGTCGCTGGAGCTGTCGGAGTCTGCCCTCCAGGTGGCGGTTGCAGTCGGGTTCGCCGTTGCACCAGCCGCCTTGTCATCCTGACCAGGCTCAGTGGCGTTGAAGCAAGGGATCGAGAAGCTAAAGGCGGATTCCTCCACAAAGGTGATGTCGGCACACGCATAGAAGGTTTGGTTGTGAGGAGCGTCCCAGTCAGCCTTGTAGATGATTTGGAACGTCGCCTTGCCGCCGGACGAAGCGGATCCAGAAAAGTCACCAGTGTCGACGCAGGTGTGGCCGGGGTTGAGATCAGAAATGCTCTTCTCCTCGATCAGGGTGGTGAAATCGTCGTTAGACTGGGGATCTATATTCGACGAGTTGAGTCATTAAAGTCTCAAGAGTGGAGGAGTGATTGCACCCAACAAAGAGTCTAGGAAGCAACAGATAGGAGATGGTTACTAACTTTCAGAGTAGGAGATACTGATCTTTGCGTTGTAGTAGTCATCCTGGGCCACAAGCGAAAGGGCACCACCGGCTGGAAACCCTGTTAGTACTAGAAACAACAAGTTGGCACTCGGAATACTACTTACTCAGAGGAAACTCGGTTCGGTTGCCAGCACTGGCGCTGGAACCACAAGGACCCTTGTTGTCCATGTCTCCAGACCAGACACGATCCGTCGGCCACATGAAGGCCGCGGGGCCCATCTCATCATCAGTGACACTGGACGTTTCATCGTCATCAGCCGGGCGGCTAACGGCGACGGTCGCCAGGGCAAGGACCAGCAGATTCTTCAACATGATGGCAGAGTGCACAGGTTGTTATGAACCAGTTAATGCAAGTAAAATGAAGAGAGGAGGGATGAGGGAAAGGGGCATGCACAAACAGCAAGGCGGCAAGCATGGTCAAATATATCCAACCTACTCCGTAGTACTCCGTACCAACCACCGCGAGCCATCCACACCGGCCATCACACTGCCACCCACATGCCATCCCACGCTCGGCCAGCGGATGCAATGCACATGCGATGCTGCTGCTTACTGATGGATGCAGAGTTTGTCCAAGAGACATTAACCGCTGGCTCTAACGGGGGTGGGTTTAGTGCGCCGAAACCGGTTTATTCGCTCAAGTGTATTGTCTTGGCTGTCCCAAACGGTCGAGCCGTTGGCTTCGTATACGAACCTAATCAGATCATCTGATAAGATTAGATGGGCCCGATGCTACCGGGTTCCTACTGTTGGACCGTCCTGTCTCCAGAATTAAGCTCGCCGACCCAGGTCTAAGCTTGAAGACCCTGGACGATCCATAGCGACCCATGACAGCCACATGACGACCCATCGCGACCCATCACGGCCCACCCACACGCCTACAGGCCTTGCTCTTGGCCATCCTTTGATCGGGTCAAGGTTCCTGTATGGGTTACTGCCGTTGCACTCACCAATTTCACCGGCGCATGGCCGCTCTTGGTATCAGCTCATGTGTGGCCCTATTCCGGCAGGTCCATGTCTAGATCCATACCAGGTCCATGACAGTCCATTCCAGTCCATGCCAGGTCCGCGTCCAGGATCTTGACTTACAGCCAGACCAACATGGTGGCGGATTACGCTCAGCTTAGCCTGACTCGGTTAGGGAGCCTTGTTAAACGAACTCAAGCATAATTGAACGCTAACAGTGTTGATGGACACGAGTATATAAGAGCTGCAATCGTCTCGCTACTGGCTGTTCTTATTCCTCAGCAGTACAAGACAATCACAGCCTTCAAACACCCTCAGTTGTCCAGTCAATTCATAACTTCGGTTACTTTCTCTCGCTACTCGCTACCAAGATGCGTTCATTCGTTGCCTACTCTCTTTTGGCCTCGGCCACCTTTGCCTCCGCTCTCGAGCGTCGCTGGGACTACCCCTCTGCCGTCCCTGCTCTTGAGAGACGCCAGGAGCCTGGTACTCCCCGCTACGCCTGCCATGAGGACTGCGGTATGTCTACACTTGATGCCTTGAGATAGTTGCCTTTTAGCCTTTAGGATCTCAACTAACATGCCAACTTAGGTCTCCTCATCACCCTTGGCCGTGAGGAGGGCTTCTGCGACAATGCTGAGTGGAACGAGCGCTACGGACGCTGCATGATCTGCGCCAACACGTTCGAGATCTGGATCTACTACCGCAACGGCGTCACCAGCGCCGCTGAGCAGTGCGGTCTCTCGCCCACTCCCAGCCCGTCTGGTTTCACTGCTTCCAGCACCGTTGTTGAGGCCGAGGAGTCCACCACCGCCGTCGCCGAGGTTACCACCACCGCTGCCCCTGAGATTACCACCACCGCCGTCGAGGCCGAGGAGACCTCCACCGCCGCCGCCGAGACCACCGAGGCCGAGGCCACCTCCGCTGCCGGTGAGCCCACTGACGCCGAGACCTCCGCCGCTGCCGGCGAGACCACCGCTGCCAACGTTCCCACCACTCTGTCCACTGCCGCTATCGAGAGCAAGTCTTCCTCCTCCGAGACTGCTGGCGAGTCTGCCGCCGAGACCGACTCCGCTGCTACCTCCACCTCTGGCGGCTCCATCGGCACCATTGGCGTTACTGTATGTATTGCATGGCTCTGGATTTTTCTGCAATAGACATGGACTCCTAACGTGCCTCGCTTTCAGCCTACCCCTGGATCTTCCACTCCTTCCACTGTTCCCGTTAACGGAGCTGCCAAGAACTTCGGCTTCGGCGCTGCCATCGGCGCTGCCGCCCTTGCCATGGCTGCCGTCTACTAATGGACTTGATGGTTATGAATGATAATGGACCAATCTATGACTAGATTCGGCAATGTACTTGTACAATAGTTGTTGCAGGGACCCGGAGCAAACGCTATTGCACATGGGATCGAGGGATAATTAGACGCGCCCCTAATCTTCAATTCTACGGAGGAATTTCAACACATGGAGTCATGAAAGCGTTGGAAAATAATACACTAGTTCTGCATTCCTGCCTAGACTTTCTGTACTGGTCTTTGTCGTACCTAATGTTACAACCTGATTGTCCGTTTAACTATCTGTTCTGAATTCATTGTAGAGTGAGGTGAGTGGAAGTCGACTCTGCAGCTATACTCATGTAGACTGACAAGATCCAAAGTTCTCGGGACCCTTGGCTAAAGAAGCCATCGTTTCTGATACTTTTAACTAGCAGCAGTTGCGACTCAACTTTATTATTCAGTAGCTGCGGTCTAAAAAGAGCATTCCAATATCCAGTTCAGCTCATAATCTACTCACTATCCAAGGACAGATTCATTGCTATTTTTACCTCATTACATGCCTGCTAGTGCACCCCAGTACACCCAGCACACCCAGCGGTATAGCAGTTGAATACTCCATGAGGCGGCTTGGATTCCCATCACTTGTACGCCGAGTCCGATAATTCCTAGTCCTTCACAATGAGCTTGCTCTCATACCATTTAGCAAACTTGACAGTGGGAATATCCACAGCCCGCCAAAAAATATCAGCTGCCCAGAGAACGGTTGGGACACAAAAACAGGCGCCCAAAAGAAACCCGGCATTATACTCATTGCCCTCAACGCCGGTAGTCCTCCAAGCCCAGTCCTGAAAGTAATAGCCGATTACTTTTAATATCGGCCCATGCATAAGGTACAGAGAGTATGAAATCTTACCCAAGTATTGAGCAATATGTGAGTTAAAGACTCGCTGCCACCAAGGCGAGTGACCCACAGCAAAGACGAAACAGGTCGCACCAATAGATTTATAATAACGAAATGTCGATGACCGACAATATTCTGGAATTAGAGATACAAGAAAAGCCCACCCAGGGCTGGCCTCGTTGATGTCAGAAGGCTGACTCAGAAGGTACAGACCTAGGATGCTAGCTAGGTGCCAGAAAATTGTCTGAAGTTTTGATTGTGCAGGTTTGGTTATTGTTTGTCCTTGAGGTGAGGCAGGAGGTTGGATGTGAGCTCCTCGGATATGATCCCACTCGACGATAAGCATGCCTGAGAGGAATGTTTGCATGTCCCATCTGTTATTGACATAGCTATAGCATACAACACCTGTGACAGTGAGGAGTCGATATTTTGCCTGGAGATGAGAGGTTGCCATGATGAGGATGAAGAGGGCGAACGAGCAGCGAAGTTCGAAGGGGATGGTCCATAAATGAGAGTCATATACTGGCCGTTCGATTAGTTGAAGAACAGAGAAGTGCCTGAGAGTGAACATACTGACAAAACCCCCATATACATTCCAGTCAAAGATTTGAAAACCTCCTATTATAACACTTGCCCACTCCACGAACTGATCATATATTGAGGGAAACCGCTCAGGATGATGTTCGATTTTGTATCTGAAATAGGTTTCGTTTGTAGCAATCGACCGAGACCAGTCGAATGCGCCTATGCGAATCAGGCAGAAAGTCATACCAGTAGAAAATATAATCGGAAGGAAAAGACGAATAACACGCCGGAAGGCCATAGAACTAATGCCAATGGAGAAATCGGTGATGTTATGGCTTCGGATGTGTTTTATGGGTCTATAGGAGAGGGAGTAGCCGGAGATGACAAAGAAGAGGCTAACAGCGGCCGGCCCTGCATACAGTAGACGTATGAAGGGGAGTAGTATGAGATCATAGTGGTCTCCAGCGCCCCAGGCCGAACCCCACATGTAGCAGTTGAGTGAGAGGTGGTGAAAAAAGACGACGAGCGAAGCCACGCCTCTCATACCATCGAGATATGATGTAGGGCTTAATTTGGCGGGACGGATCTGTTTGAGCATGTGGTCTCCCTGGAGAAAGCTGGGGACGAAGAACCAAGCCAGGCGTGTCATGGAAAATCGCCATTTGAGGTGATGCCGGACGGAAGCCATAAGTGAGAGAACGGCCCTCTTCCAGTTCGCGACGGTGAAACCCTGGAGGCTGTTCCAGTTTGCGGCGGAGAAATCCTGGAGTTCCATCTCATTGTCGTCGTCGTTGAGAAGGCCATCTCTTTCTTCGTGTGAGATGTATGTGCGAGGAGCCATTGCCAGCTGTATTGCGAATGAGGCATCAAGCGGGAGCGAGTGGCCGAGTGGCTGCCAGGCTGTAGTAATGTTAAAACAAGGATTAAGATGCTTTTACGACAGAAGGGGCCTGGGAGGCCTGGGAGGCAGAAAAGGGAGGAAAAGGGATGAGACATCTTAGATCAATCCAGTCCGTGATCCAATAACGCCCACTACCGTATTCTCTCAATATTAGACTTAGCGTCTCCACGTATCAGCCTTCAGCGAGTGACAAACCGTCAAACTACATTAGTTCATCAATTTAGGTGCTAGCACGGAATTTGTATCGACGCTACACTGTCCCAATTTAATGAGAGAATACATGGCGAGGCAGATCGCCACGCGTTCTTAGCTAGCCATTCCACGTCACAATCAATAGCCCGACGCAAGCGAGAGAAAAATGCCCCAGCGACTCAGATAATTAAATCTTAAATCCTTTTCAATCGCGCCCCTTACGCCATGTGTCTCAGAGTTTGTTAGCGACGATGAGACCAAAATACAGCAGGCCCAAGAACCCGACAGCGGAATTCGCGGAGGGTCAAGATGCACCCACTGAAGCAGCCATACCGAGTTTATAAGAAGAAAGATCACAGGCCAATTCTCCAGTGTGTGGCAGAATTTGATCAAACAGAATTAGCAAAGATGCCGAATTGAAAGGAATGATGGCGTTCGACTAACATTGTCACTGTTTCAGCTCATTCGGACGACTGGCCCTGAGTAATCCACACACCGCATTCCTAATGCTCTCCTGTATGCAGTCAATTCTTCTGGTAAGCTACATCCAGAGTCTACGTGGCTTCTTTAGATTCAATCCAAGCACATCTTTAATTCCCTACCTTCTCAGCAACGACACAGCTATTTTTATAAGATACCTTCGTGCATCATATCCACCAGAGGCAATCCTTCAATCCGTATCATTCCGCCTTTGATGCGGATAGACCGATCCTGAGCCTCATGCTCAGGGTCGGGCCTGAGGCATCAGGCCTTGTGCGGTCACGTGGGTCGGGACCCTTACGGTCCCGAGCCCTCGACCGCAAGATAGATGAATCAACCTTCTTTACACATCTTCATGAGACCCTCACTTACGTGACTAGCGACCCTATTCGCATCAGCCTTCCACACAATAGTCATTGTAATAAAAGTCCTCGCCCTTCATCGGAAACCCCAGTTCATACAAAGAAGAGAGAATATTTATACTTTCATATGCACTTATATCATCTAAAACGCATCCCAAGTGTCCTGAAAGGATTGCGCGGTCCACTTTCAGCGGATAATTTGGTGGCGCTTGATCCGCAATTAAGTCGACATTCAGTACGGAGGGCTCTTTCAAAAGTCTTATCCAAGCGCCAGTAACGCCGCATCTATTTGTTCCTGTCACCTTCATGAGATACATAAGGCTGTAACAGTCTCGTCAAGTTATCTGCTACAGCCGCTATAACTTCAGGGGAAGTAGGCGCTGTTAATTAGGATATAGCAGTCGCTGGGGCACTATAAACTACTATCTTTTTATATCTCGTCTAATAATTAGTCGACCTGTTAGTATTACTTTTTCTTCTGGATAAGATTTTGAAAAGAGCCCTCTGTACTCAATCACATATTCGAACTACAATCCACCAATCTAAACTCTCTTTGCTCCTTTAATTAATCTTGACAATAATTAGGACCTTTTTGACTCAAGATCTCAAGATGTGGCAATTGTTACCTCTCAGGTGGAGGGACATGACAGCCAAGAGGACGGTCGCGTCGCGCCCATAGTATTTGCGCGAAAACAACTTCGCCCAGTCTTCCGAGCTCAGAGAGTAAGAGTTAAACAACATGCACGTTTTGTGAAACTAGAGTCTGGGCGGGTCTTAAACGTTTGAGATATTGGCAGTGCACACATGATATGCTATAATATTATCACTCGCTATAATGTCATCCTTCAATTAAAGAGGACTTGTAATCGCAAACAACTCGGCACGTGCACAGAGTGAAGAAAATTGCTCCTCCAGCACCCTAACATCGTTACCTTGAGAGCCGATCAGCGGTGCCTCTGAGGTAGAATTTGTCGTCAGCTATTCTGGCACGCTGATGCTTAAGATGCATACATCAATAATTTATTCATCAATATATTTGGATCTGTTAAAGTCCTCTATTTCTCAGTCCTTATGCCCCGACTCGCTGGGAGATGTCATCGAACTCGGCTAGATCAGAACTCACAAAAATTGAGCTTGCCACCAAAGTTACCGTGGCTCGACCAAGTCAGTCCAGGGTTTGGGTACTACCGGAAACAATTCGATTTTTTTCAGGGAGAAGAAACTGGGAGAAGTTAGATAGAACACACCGAGGTACAAATGCCAGCGAACTGTCCTTTGGCGGTGGCATTCGAAGGTGCATAGGAATGAACTTTGACAGATTGGAAGTTACAAACTGTTGCAGTCCTCATCTTGTAATGTGAGTTTGAGCCGGCGGATCCTACAAAGATGTGCACAATCTCCAATGGCATCTTTCCTCGACAAAGTAAAATCATCCAAAATGAGGGACAGGAGAAGCTTGGGGCTACTTCTGAGAATACATTATTACCTGGTAGCTTGTCCTAAGGACACTGGGAGACACTGGGTCGTGCCGGGGTGCTTTGGTAGATTTGATGCAGTCAATCATCGTTTTTTTATGTGCCATGCTAAGTGAACATCCCACACAGTTAGCAACCTATTTGACCTCGACCAGGAAATCACGTTTCTGCGTCCACCACTCGCCCCTCAAGGTAACGGAGTCTACACGTCACCCCAAATCTTCGATTCATCAAGGATATTCCACCTGTTTCGGTGAAAGGGAAAGTACAAAATTTTCTTCCGAGTCCATCAATGTATTGACGCTCATAAAGGTTGGCCAGTTCCCCACCTCGAACCCATCAAGGGTGAAGCTGTGAACCTATATGGGATAGAATCAACCCTTGTAGTGCACATATATTTCCAAACAGAACCCTTCGCTTCCATTCGAACCACAGTAGATGGAATATGGCCATCATGGTACTCTCCCAGTATCTCCTGGTATAAAGCCAGGCTGCTCCCCCAAGAATCCAGCCAGGACAGTCAAACAACTTACCCACCTACACATCTCTGAAGAATTTCTTGTTGCCCACAGCCATCACGACACCAACATTCAGAGTTCACAACACCAAGTACACAGGTACTAATCGGTCTCGACCAACTCTCATCATCAAATTCATTGCCCATCTCCCACCAACTACACAGCCCTAGTCGGTCTTGATCGACTCTCAGCAACAAATTCATCGTCCATCTCTCACCAACGTCATGGCTCTCAACATCAGCGGTTCCGGGAGCATGGGAGTGCAATCTCTCACTGGCACCATGATCAAGCACGCACCTCATATCCACCACAAGGATTGCGGGTGCAAGTATCTCACAAAAACCTTCTTCCACGACCACAAGGGAGTCCCAAAGAGACCCTGGGACACCAAAACTAGCCTGTGGCCGTTCAAGTACATCGGCAACCAAACATCCGACCCATTGTGGCCGGTACGGGAAACTCAACCCCCAAAACACCGAACGACCAATCCCACCAAGGGAGCCCTGAAGAAGCCTTTGGAGAAGGTTACAAAAGCAGTCGGGTTTGCCGACACAGATGTCGTCATTGAGGCCCCGTTACCAGCAGTCCTACCCGCAAAGCATCGAACCCTGCGTCCCATCAAGGGAGCCCTCAAGGTCAATTCGGCAACGCCCAAAAAGGTCGTCGCTTTTACGGATGCTGCCTACTGCATGGAAACCGGCCAGCCTGTCCCGCCCACCGAAAACAATCACCAAGCACAACGCCGCTTCAGGTTCGCCAACAAGGCATTGCGTGCCACCAAGGTCCTGGCAGACCCGATCCAGGAAGACGAGCCGCTGCGAAGTCGAGAGCCAACCAAGCGCGAGGCCATCAGGTTCCGCAACCACGACCTCGAAGTCGAATGGAACCTCGACGTGGCGAAGCGCACCCGCTTTCGCGAAAACTGGGAGGCCATCGAACGGGGCGCCCTCGACTTCATTGTGTTTATCCACTCGCAAGAGTCGGCAGCAATGAAGCGAATCCAGGAGCTGGTGCGACTCTCTGTGAGGGAAAACTGCCTCGTCGGAAGTTACACGGGCGACGAGATGGCGTTTGCGAAGCGCGCGGTGGAGCCTGCCTTTATCCACCCAGGACGATACAAGAATCCTAAAACCGCCATGTCGTTTCCCCAGGATTCACCAGCAGAGAATGGTACCGGGATGGGTGATGAGTCGGATATTTCGAGTGTGTATGATTAGACGTGCTATTCTACATGGTTTTGGGTTCGAGGAGGAGTTGGGACAGAGGCGTTATTAGGCAATACCCCCGGGTTAGAATGTTGCAGACAGAGTCACCAAGTTGTAAAGTTAAATGTTACAGTTAATCTATATTTCCAGACCCGTCATTACTGTAGCGTTGAGTCTTCGAGGTAGTACAAGACCCAGAAGGACTGTTACAACGTTGTGATTCATCGCCACCCTATCCTGTTGACTTAAATGACCTCATAAGTGGCCGACACTCTACCAAGTCTACACGTGGCGCAATACCACATGAGGGTCCGAGCGGGATCTAACGGGTATAATAAGACCAGGGCTTCCCTGACCATTCCAACGGATTGTGGGCCGCGCATCAGAGATTTTTGCGGCTAAAAAGGGTTTTTCTCTCGCGGCCCCATCGCGGCCAACAGGGCCCGTATAACACAGAATTAGAGCTCTCCCACCATCACAAGTCGAACACAACAGATTGAGCCCGGTTAGCTCAATCGGTAGAGCGTGAGACTCTTACGAGTACGCGATCTCAAGGTTGCGGGTTCGACCCCCGCATCGGGCTTTTCCTATACTTTTTTGTCGTTTGTGAAGGCTGTCTTTGTCTTTTTGGTGTTTTTGCCTCGTTGTGGTGATGATCCGTCACACGTAGACGTTGGGTTGCCTGCCACAGTCAAAGACTGGTAAACTAGTCTCCGTGCCCTAGGACGTGTCTAGTCATCTATGCCATGTGTAATTGAATTTTTGTTTAATTATTTGGGTCCAGATATTGACCCCGGGTCCTCGATCAATTTCTCTGTTTCTTCTTCAAATTCAGGACGGCCCCTCCTCCGAAGCGGGGCCGATGCCTCGGTGCCTTATCAGCTTATCGCATCTACTCATCCTCTCACTCATCTCACTCACCCCTCCAAGCCTCACCACTTGCAACCTCAAACGTCATCCTCCGGTCAACCACTGACAGAAAGAACACCGCGGTAAACGAGAGAAATGACGTCCCCTGACCCTTTCAAAGCGGCTCTGATCGTGGTTGACTTTCAGGAGGACTTTTGTCCGCCGGTGAGTTGCATTAGTCGCCCGTCCTTGGTAGTTTGGTGGTAGATGGAATGCGTTCCGGCTGAGTTGCAAGTGCAATATGGACCATGGAATCGGCTCAGAACGGATCAAAGAGACCATCCGCGTGTTGGCTTCTCCTTGAATTATGAATTCCTCCAGCTGGTTTCTCAGTCCATCATTACCTTACATCTTCCCGCATGCTTCACTTGTCTTGTCTTCACCTCTTCTGCTTCACCTCACGGCCACTAACAACACCTAGAACGGCAGCCTCGCAGTCACCGAAGGCCGCGACATCGCACCCGCCATCAACACCCTACTTACCCTCCCCTTCGCCCTCAAGATCGCTACCAAGGACTGGCACCCGCAGCACCACGTCTCCTTCGCCGCCAACCACGCCGACGCCACACCCTACACCTCGTCGCACACCATAGCGCACCCGTCCGACCCGACGCGCACCTACACCACCACGCTGTGGCCTGTCCACTGCGTCCAGGACTCGCCCGGCGCCAAGCTCGTGCCGGAGCTGGACGTCACGGCCTTGGACATGGTGGTTGAGAAGGGCATGGATCACAGAGTGGAGATGTACTCGGCATTCTACGACCCTTTTCGTGTCAGTGATAGCGGGCTTGCAAAGACGCTCAAGGATGCGGGTGTCACGGATGTCTTTGTCGTGGGCCTGGCGAGTGACTTTTGCGTCAAGGCAACGGCTGAGCATGCTATCGAGGAAGGATACCGCACTTTCATCGTCACTGAGGGAACACGACCCGTATTGCCCGACAAGTGGGACGAGTGTAAGAGCGAGATGGAAGCCAAGGGCATCAACTTCATATCCATTGATGGAGATCAGGTGGCGCGACTCAAGTCTACGTCTTGACGGCCAAGGCGAATGCTCAGTATACGACTAACAAAGAGTATTACAATGCATTTAAGTGGTACTCTACGTTTCCCACTGGTTTGTTTATCTTGTGTATCTTGTACCTATGTACGCTTGGCGTGCCTATTCCAGAATGTCCCAAAATGCGAAACTCCATGCTGATCCCACCACAAAGCCCAGACATGTTCCACGTCCATGGAATTTTAACACCCGCTTGCTCCAGGTCTGATTTCCCATCAGACCAAATGCTTTACAAAGAAAAACATTTATCGCTTCGACCTCTGAACCGCTGCCGCACTCATAGACGTCGTTGATGCAGAGCGCTCCTGGGCGTTGGCCATGGCCAGTGACACGGGCGTCATGGGAGGAGCCGGAGTGGTCGAGCGCGAAGGGGCGGCACTTCGGTTGTGCTGCATGTGCGCCCTCACAAGGTGACCGGCAGCCAAGGCACTGCACAGAGACAACTCACCAGCCAAGGTGGCAGCTCCGATGATGCGGGCCAGGCGACGGGCGTTGTCTCCGGGGTTCGTGGGGTGCGAGCCTCGGACACCGAGCATATCGAGCATGGCGCTCTGGGGCTCGAGGATAGTGCCACCACCGAGAGTTCCAACCTCTAGAGAAGGCATAGACACCGAGATTTGCAGTGCTCCGTTGAGGCTACAAGTGGTTAGCGAAATTCCATACCAACTGAGATCAAACTTACTTCTTCATAATGGTAATGCAGTTGGAGCTCTCAACAACCTGGGCAGGGTCCTGACCAGTGGCAAGGAAGATGGCAGCAACAATGTTGGCAGCGTGGGCGTTGAATCCACCCACGGAACCGGCCATGGCGGAACCAATCAAGTTCTTGGAAATGTTCAGCTCAACCAGAGAGTCGACGTCGCTCTTGAGGACCTTCTGGACCACATCGCCAGGAATGATGGCCTCGGCCACAATGCCCTTGCCTCGTCCGTCAATCCAGTTGATGGCCGCGGCCTTCTTGTCAGTGCAGTAGTTTCCAGAGACGGAGACGATTTGCATGTCGTCAAAGCCAGCCTCGTTGGACATGACACTAAGGGCATGCTCGACACCCTTGGAGATCATGTTCATGCCCATGGCATCACCGGTGGTGGTCTTGAATCGGATGTACAGGTTGGTACCGGCGAGGGCCGTCTTCATGTGCTGCAGTCGGGCGAATCGGCTAGTCGAGTTGAAGGCCTTCTTCATGGTGTTTTGACCAGCATCGGAGTCAAGCCAGTTCTTTGCAGCGCCGGCTCGCTCCAGAGTATCAAAGCTAACACAGGGTCCACGGGTCATGCCATCAGAGGTCAAAACAGTAATGGCACCGCCACCGGAGTTGATGGCCTTGCAGCCTCGGCTAGTGCTGGCAACAAGGACACCCTCGGTGGTAGCCATAGGGATAAAGTAGCTCTGCCCATCAATGACCAGGGGTCCGGCAACACCGACAGGAAGGGGCAGGTAACCAATGACGTTCTCACAGCAAGCACCAAAGACACGCTCCCAGTTGTAGTGCTCGAAAGGCAGCTTGGATCCCTCCAGGACATGAGTAAGATCGGAGGTAGCCTTGGTTCGAGAGATGATGGTACGACGAATCTTGACAGCACGAGTAAAGTCCTTGAGAGTCTTCTCCAGGGCATAACCAGGGATCTTGCCACGCATAGACAGGGAGACAACCTCCTCGTCGCTCAACTCGGGAACGCGACCCTCGCCCAGAAGCTTCTCGATTTCAGCGTTGGGGCGGTTGGGGGCAGTCGAGGGTCGGGGGCGGGCCATTTGCATCATATCGGTCTCATCGTCGGTGGCGGCTGGTGTGCTAGGCTGGGTGCGCTGAGGGGTAGGGGGGACATACTCGCCCAAAGGAAGAGTAGTGGCACTGGTATCGTTGAATCGCTGAGCGCGGGCCAGCTCACTTCGGTCGATGGGGTGCTCAGGTTCGTTGGGGTCCTTGATACCCCAGCGAGCGACGTTGAAGAGGTAGCCGTTCAAGCCGACGCTCAAAGCTAGAGCAACGATGATCCACTTGGAGAGAACGGGGTCCTCGAGGCTCTTGAGCAGGCCACCGACGACGCGGCCACCAACGCCGTATCCCTCAAACTGGTTGAATCCACCATCCACGTTGGGGCTGTTTCCACCGACAGTCGATCCCAGCGCATAGTGGACGGAGGGGTACTCCAGCTCGTACTTGATGGGGGTGAGGATGGTGACAAGGGTGGGTCGGTTGTTGGCCTTGGCAGCAGCCAGAATGGCGTCTAAGCCGTTGGAGGCAACCTTGAAGGGGTCGACAGTGAGAGGAGACACAACGCCGCCGAGACTGCTGGCCCAAGATCGAAGGCTGGACAGAGAGCTGGGGTTGCGGAAAGGGATGGAGCACAGGTTGACAATGTTGACAAAGATGAAGCCCAGGATCATGAGAACCTTGAACTTGGGGATGCTGCTGCTCTTGGTGGCAAAGAGAGACGAATCCTTGTCGCCGTTGACACCCGGCCAGTTGTCATTGCTCTTGGCGACGTTCTCAGCAACGCGTCGGCTAACACCGTCGTCCTCGAGGGCCATGCGCATGTCGACATGGCGCTTGATGCGGTTGATCTCCAGCTTGATGCTAAGAATGGCGGTGTAGAAGGTGAAGAGCAGGATGCAGTCGAAGAAGAGAATCCAAGCAGCCAAGAAGCAAAAGTGCTGCAGGCCACCTTGAACACCAGAGGCAGCGCCAAGGACCAGGATCAAAATCTCAATGGCATAGTCGCGGGCAATCTCAAAACCCTTGTCCTTGATGGCAGCCTGGACAGCGTACTGGATGACGTTGTCGGTGCCACGCTCGGGGGAGCGCTTGCCAGACTTGGAGCTCTGGATCTGAGCACGTCGGTGCTCAATGGCGTGAGACATGACAGCGCGGGTGAGGACAATGTTCTTCTCGAAGCCAATGGTGACAACAAGGAAAGGCAGGCCCTCGGACAGGAGAATGACGCTGATGGGAACGCCGAGCTTGGTGGTGACGGCCAGGCCAAAGAGGAAGGCAAAGACCGACGAGAAGAGGGTGCAGATGCCGAGCCAGAACTTGGAGCCCATACGGCGCATAGACAGGAAGAGGGAGACAAAGGTCAAGTGCATGGCAATGTAGCCCAGCAACATGATGACAATGTCCAGGATCTCCGCGTTCTTGAGAAGATCAAGGAACTCGGTCCAATTGTTGCTAGCCCACTGGATAATGGTGTTGCGGGTGTTGACCTTGGCGGCCTTCATGATCCACGTCTTCTTCTCGCGGCCGTGGGCGGTCTCGATCTCCTCGGAGTCTTCGTTGGGGATCTCTTGGGTAGCGGCGAGGAAGTCGGGGCCTTCGAGGTAGGGCAGAGAGTAGGCGAGGATGCTGTCCTGGGAGTAGGCCGTGAAGGGGTTCGCGGTGGACGGCAGGGAGGTGATGGTCAGGTTCTCGGGGATGGGGACGTGGTGAGAACGAGGCGCGGTGCTGGGCGAGTCGGTCGAGAGGGTGTCGGGGAAGACGAGGGTCAGGAGCGCAAGGTGCTCAGCTTCGGCAGCCGCGGCAGCATCTTGGCCAACGCCCTGCCACTTCCAGGCGTTGTCGGGGCTGGCGAGAAGGACTCTGCTTCCCTCGACGAGAGAAGACCAGTCGGCCTTGCCCACAGATGTACTCTCGACATTGAGGTCGAAAAGCCTCTCCTGAAGGAGGCCGACGTACGAAGTGCTGGCGAGGACGGCGACGGTAACCACGGTGTGGATAGGGTGAGAGCAGGCAAGTCGAGAGAGAAACTGGACGAGGGGGGTGAGGCGTTTCGATGCCCACGAGGGCGCGGCGGCCTGGGGGACAGGAGTTTCGCCGCGGAAGCGGCTAGGGAGGAAGGAAGCCATGATGTCGAGAGGATCGGAGAAGGGACTCGGCGTCGTCTACAACATTGATATGGGTTGTTGCTGGTTGGTCTAAGCGCGGTGTAAGTCCGGGGTCACAGGGTCGGTCTGGGGTTTGGCGAGTATTTAATTCACCGAAGCCATTGGGGACGGGCGGACAGGGTTCTGGCTGGGACGGGACACCAGTCGGGAACGCAGGAGAAGGAGGAAGAGGAGGAAGAGGCTGAGGGAGTCTACTTACGTTGCTCAGGGTCAGGTGGTGGAGGTGCGTGCGAGGCGTTGAGGCCGAGGCAGCGACAGACGGAGGTCCGATATTTGGCGGGTGGGAGGGGCTCGGGGCTCGGAGCTCGTAGGGCGGTGGTGGGTGAGCGCTGCAAAGCCAGAGGCGCGAACAATGCAACGGAGGGCGGACGGCGGAGCGAGAGCCAATTGCCAATGGACGGCCACGCGAAGGAGGACAGCCAAGAGCGAGACGGACGCAAGGAGGGAGGAGGCACCTGCGATGGGGGAGGGATGGAGGAGGAGAAGAGGAGGAGGAGGAGGAGGAGGAAGAAAATAGGGGGGGTGAGAGGGAAGAAGATGGATTGTCTGCCCGATATGGTGGAGGTGAGGGACTCGCAAAGTGGAGGGACGAGAAAGAATCTCGACCTAAGGCCAGGACCTAAGGCTCTATTACACCAGTGCACCAGTAACCAAGCTGGGCTAAGGTCCAGGCTAACTCCCTATGGCCGGGTGGGAACCTGGGACGAGAGCTCTTTCCCTGCTCGCCTTGGTTCCTCCGGGGAGCGGCACTTGCCCGTGAAATTGCACCTGCGCCTGCCTCGCGTGCACCCGACCGCGGGCGAGAAGAGAGCAAAGAAAAAAAAAATTATGAGGAGCCTGAGCAACGTTTGGCCAATTGCCGACGTTGGCCCGGGTGTCCAGCGCCGGGTCGCCTGGGGCCCTGGAATACGTCAGAACCGCAGGTACCTCTGCCACGCTGCCAGTGGGAGTGGAGAGGGTCTTGGACGGGCATGGGGCAGGGGGGATGTGACTTGAACCGGGTCGCAAATTGATGGGTGGCGGTGGGTAGGGGGCGGTGGACGTGCAGATTGCTTCTGCCAGGCCGTCTTCAGTGGGTGTTTACGGCGCAAGAACCCCACCTCCCGCGAGGGAGAGGGAGAACGGGCGGCTAAAGTACAGGGTACGGAGTGCTGGACGTGCATGTGCCCTGGTGCGGGCGGTCCCAGGTACGCAATACCACATTTTCCGTTTTGTTCCAGGTTGTTTTACTGTTTTACTGCCTTCTGTAACAGGCACCTAAGAGCGGGCTGTGGCGCCCCGACAGCGTGGGTTGCAGGGGGCTCACCAGGCGTTAGGCTCCTCTGGGTACAATCACGAACGGCAACTCAACCATTTCGGTAAGGGAGGAGAGGGCTTCATCCGTTGGGATTGTTCTCAGCGCCACGGCGTCCAGGCGGGTGGCCTGCAACCTCTTTGCGACTGCGGATCTGCGAATGACGGTCCGAGGCGAGAGTTTTCTTTGTGTGAGAATGTGCCTGCACGGGAGAATGCAGATGCACGTGGTATCCTGGATGCATGGGATAGTGATGGCAGGATTTGGGCGAGGCATGCGGGTTTCCCCCATGAATCAAGCCGTCGGTGAAGTGAATTGATGCGTGACGCACACCCTTTGTCTCCATTTGCCTGGACCGGCCGTTTGTCTGTGCCGCTTTTTGGTAATCAATTACTAGCAATCAATGCCAATGAGTGTGTGTGCTGGCGTCGGATCCAATGTTTCCCGTTTGCATGGCTGAGGCTGTGACACCGTGACACTGCTAGTCAACGGCTGTAAACCTTCACTTTCCAACACCATGACGCGTATTCGTACGGAGGATTCTATCCAAGACTCCAGATATTCTTACTTTCATTCATCTTGACGTCAATCACGCGCCGACTAACCGCACCTCTAGGCATCCATTTTCTCAACACCCAATCTCATCTTCGCAAGCCTTCAATCCAGTTCCTTGTCCAGCTGAAGCCACCCCGAACAACCGTCCGCAGCAAGAATCCCACGTAATGCCCTCCACCGTCGACTCCCGCGTATGTGGATCTTTCGCATCGTTCCGGCCACCTCCTAGCGGCAGCCAGAGGGTTATCCCCGCAGTGGCAGCTTCTGCAGAACCTGGACGCCGACAGGGAATAACTTGGGACAGTTGCCGTGTGTGGAGACGACAAGTGCAGGCGTCAACCGGGTCAGAACATGAGCACAGAATCGACAAGCCAGGGATGCATCCTCTAGCCCAGCAGCACGCATAGCGAAACCCTGGGCATCCAATCCACGCTTTAGACACACCTTTGCTGATGTTGCCGATCACCATCTCGACCCTCACAGCTGTGATGATGACTGCCGCCCGCCCGGCCCGGGTTCTCGTGCATATGCTACTGTACGTTCGTACTCTTACTCTTATTCAGTCGCATCCTTCTGCTTCTGTCCTTACTGCTTCAGTTCTGCTCATACTGCTCCTCCTTCTGGTAATCCTACTCCTGCGGACTAAAAACATAACCAGGGATCGATGCCATCATCACCCCCATGTCCTAAAATTCCAGACTCGACCACAAACAGATTCGACTGCGTACGTCCCGTAAGCCGGAGCCACGTCGCTCCCAAACGAACCAGTAAACCCCATGCAAAGACCACGGTGCTCCCGGCATTGCGCCTAGATCGGGCCTTGGCCTCCGCTTGCTGCTCCAGGACTCGCTGCGCCGTCTCTGTTCGTAGCCACAAGGCGCCTTCTTTTCCCGCCGACGTAATACATTAAAAAGGACTTGGAAGCTAAACAAGGCTAAAAGGCTTTAAGAGGGTCTGATGGAGTCAATCTCTTATCAATCAGTAAACCATCTGCCCCATCACCCCCATCTTGGCCCCCATCTTCAGCCCCAGACCCAGGAACCGCCGGCCAATACCGTCGACAAGTGGACCACGAGCTGCGGTTTCGGCAATAATAAAGCGCCCATTAAAGGCTCACAAGGGCCTCACAAAAGCCTCACAAAAGCCTCATGCTCAAAATTCTTGCATTTTCATATCCCGCTCGTGACGCGGACCATTGACGCCAGGCACGCACCAAGGGAGTCCGCCGAGCCCTGGGGCCGCACCAGGGACGGCTATGTGCCGAATCTGGGATGTGATGATGGAGCCGCATTGCGTTTCCTCAAACTCGCCAAAATCCATGCTGGCCAGGTGGAATCCTGGTAAAATTCTAGACGGTCGATCCTGAATCTCCTCGTCAACCCCACCCTCTCTGCCTTGTAATAACATTAAACCAAGCAGAGGCCTCTCAAAAGGCTCGACTAGACTGGACTGTGAATAGCCCTAACACAATGTCCAACGTCCCCAATTCGAGCAGCTGCATCATTCTTGCTAGATCAATCTATTGCGGACATTTACCTTGCTTGCTCTGGACAAACACACCCGAATGCATCTAGCGCAGCTTGCTACCTCGGAGGGAAGTCCACAGAAGACTGCCAGTTGACACAAATACCTCTTAGATCTCGTGTCACTTGCCGCGGCCTTTTCGATGCGCGACGGATCAGCAGGTGGATCGACTGAAAAAAGATGTTCCCTTCAGTCGCCGGAGGCCCGGGCTCGGCCGGACCTTGTCCCACATGACTTTTGCTCAAGGAGCGAGTTATTTTCAATTAGGGAATCCGGGTATAAGAGCTCAACGGGTGTTATGACAACCAAGGCTCGGCACCTGAGGCCAATGCATTACCCGTTTTGCATCGGATTTTCGCCGTGTTGCATGGATTTTGTCGCATGTCACGCAAACAGCTCATCATTCACGCTGACACGTTGGGCATGACAAACTCACCTCAACCGATGTGCTCTGTCATGAAACATATGCTGATATCACCAGATGCTCCCACAGTTGAGACGCAAACATGCTTCGGCAATCCACGGCTCACGGTGCAACCTGGTTGTCCGACCATTGACATTCGCCATTGCCGTCGCCATTGTCGTCGCCATCTAATTGCGACACAGCAGATGCACCAGAACGATGCCACGTCCCCAATATTTGTGAGAGGTACCGGACAGGTATGACGTATTTCGCGACAATTATCACCGGTGAATCAGCATGATCCAACATTCCTAACATCCCGTGGTTCACAAGACCCTATGCAGCGTGGCAGATCCACCACTCCACGGCCAACTTGCGGGGCCGGCCACCACCCGGTGGGATGTGGTATCATTACCACGGGGAACAGGAACAGAAAATATGGAAGGCTTTTCGATAAGGCCCAAAACGAGACCCGTCACAGTTCGGCAGGGTGCGTCGGCAGGCAATTTGAGCCCATTTGGCCGGCAGATTGGACTAGTACGAGCCATATTCCCCATATCTTCGTTCTTTTGGGCAGGTATTAGGTCCGTATCGGGTCCATCAGGTCCATCAGGTCCATATCAGGTCCCACGGCCAAGTGGAAGCTGTCAACGTTCGCTGTGACTTGTTGACAAGCCGCGCTAAAGCGATAGCGACGCTGCCACTACGCTTTGGCCATGGTGTTGGTGAAGCCAGCGTTGAAGCCCACCAAAGCAAGTTCGGCGAGAAGCCATCTTGGCTCCCAGGGTCTTATACTCGGCTCCAAGAGATGCCACGGTCAAACCAACCTCCAACCGGGCGAGTTTCCGCTCCCCGAAAGCCCTGAACCCGACCGAACCGCTCGGCCGGAGCAGCCTCCGCACAGCAGCGTCCAGCCGCCCCAACGCAACGGCCCGCTTCCGTTGGACGGCCGGCCCACTCGCCTACTCCGTAGAACGCCAAGGCTCCGCTTCAGGAATCATACGATGTCCCTCCAGAGCAACGTCTGCCGTGGAAAATGACGCCAGCAAAGAGCCTGGAGCGGTTTTCCGGGGCCATGATTCATGGCGTCCGTGGGATGCTAACCCTTTTTATTGGTCGCGTAGGCTGTCTTCGAGACAGTTGCCTTGTTGAGAAATCCCAGGCCCGAATTTTTTTCTTCCATCTCGTGATATTTGAGCCGTGCTTTGGAAGCTTGCAACACGTCACTTAAACTTTTCCCTAGAGATCTGGGGCGGGGGATCGGATTTGCAGGCTACTCCCGAAAGACATGAACATCGCGGCCGTTTTGCTTCCAAGGATACCGTCAGAATAATTCCCCGATCACGCCTTATCCGCCAAAAGGACCCTCCACGCCGCAGTGTTGAAGATCTCCTCCATCTGGCTTAGAGCGCCTGCTGGATCGCGGAATGGAGGAGACACCTGAGCCCAATACGGCCGCCGTAAACACCACCAATGGCTCCGAGCCGCAAGACTCTTCCCAGGGCTTACCCCAGAACTCAACCCAGGATTCACCCCAGGACTCCTCGCCAAGAGACTCCACCGGTCCAGATGTATGGCTCGTCGGCGGCGGCATCGCCTCGCTGGCTGCCGCCGTGTATCTGATTGACGATGCTCAAGTTCCCGGCGACCGCATCCACATCCTCGAGGCGTCGTCCAAGCCAGGCGGCTCCATGGCCACCTTTTCGAAGCCGTCGTGGGACACGGGATACCGCGTGTCGGCCATCCGAAAGTTGAGCCTAACGTATAGGTGCTTGTACGGCATGCTTGAAAAGGTCCCGGCAACGACGGAGGGGCAGACGCTGGCAGACAAGATGAATCAGTTCAACCGCGCCAGGAGAAAGCTTGGGGCCTCGGGGACGAGACTCGTCAGGCAGGTCGTGGACAGCATGGGAGTCGACCATCCGGAAGCAGTTGACCTGAGCACCATGGGTCTCAGCGTCAAGAACCAGTGCGACCTGATGCGGGTGGTGCTGGAGACGGAAGAGGAGCTCGAGGGACTTGAGATCCAGGCCTTGTTTGCGCCAGACTTTTTCGAGACCAACTTTTGGGATCTGTGGTCGTCGCTCAACCGGTTCCATCCTTGGTGCAGCGCCGTCGAGTTCAGGCGCTGCTTGCACCGCTTCCTCCACGAGTTCCCCAACATGGGCACCTTGTCCGGCGTCGAGCAAGCTCCCGAGGAGGACTTTGAGGCCATTATCAAACCGCTGTCCCAGTATCTAAAGGCCATGGATGTGGATTTTAGACAAGGTAAGTCGATTGATCCTTGCTACGATTTATCTAACTTGAGTAGGCGTCCAGGTTACTGGGCTGGACTTTGAGGACATGGGTTCTGATTTTAGGGCATCCGCAATCAGGACAGTGCAAGGGGGTTCAGACGTCGAGCTCATTCTCGGACCTTCTGATATTGTCCTTCTCACCCTTGGATCACTCACCTCTGGCATGGGATATGGTTCCAACACCAAGCCGCCTCCGACGATGGAGCTTCGAGACTCGGCTCCCCACGAATTGGACCCTGCGTGGACTTTTTGGGACCAGCTCTCCTTTGAGCGCCCTAGGACGTTTGGAAACCCCGAGGCATTCTTCGACCGGCCCTCCAAGTCGACTTGGCTGTCCTTTACCACCACTCTTCGGGACGGGGCGTTTTTCCAGCACCTCCGCGACTGGACTGGCACGTTGACTGGGGCTGTGCCTCTCATCACCTTTAGAGATTGTCCTTGGATGCTCTCCCTCACCATCCCGCAGCAACCTTACTTCAAGGACCAGCCAGACGACGTGTTTGTGTTTTGGGGATACGGTCTGTTCCCCGACCAAGCAGGACGGCATGTAAAGAAGCCCATGCTGGAGTGCACCGGCGCGGAGATTTTGACAGAACTTCTCTGTCTGATGGCATACCCCATTCATCCGACACTCGAAAAGTCCATCACAATCCCGTGCCTCATGCCCCTCATCGGCAGTCCGTTCCTTACTCGAAAGAAAGGAGACCGCCCAAAGGTCATCCCCGACGGCAGCAAGAACCTCGGGTTGATGGGGCAATTTGTCGAGGTTGAGCGGGAGGTGACCTTTACCATGGAATACTCTGTGCGATCTGCCCAGCTCGCCGTGTACGGGCTCATGGGAGTCGACAAGCAGCCGCCGGGAGTCCAGGGCGAGGACCACTCGGTTGTAACGTTGGGAATGGCACTCAAGACCATGATGACCTGACCGAAAGTGCACTGGAGGCTGGTAAAAAAGGCGCAAGGCGGCAAAAATGACTTTTGGACGGCATGACATCAATTTTGGAACGCTACAGAACGAACCCCTTTCACTCTGGTTGAGAAGTACCCTGATTCGAGGGTTGGGATGAACCTGTTGTCTTTTTAATCCCGCAAAGTATATTTAGTTTAGGATTCTGGCGCGGAGTCTAACTTGAATGAATAGTATTGGCTCTCATAATCTGGTTTCTTGGTGTTGATGTGCGATTTGGAGGAGCTTCTAGATGAATAGGGATGCTTACACTATTTCAACAGCCACAGTACGCACATGACATATGTGTTGACAAATAGCCAACAAATAAAATCGTTGAACTTGTAGAAGCTTCTCTTGATTTAATCCGATTGATCTGATGATGGTTGCAATAAAAATGGACGCGGTTCCCTAATTTTGCTACCCTATTGCGCCAACTAGGTCCAAACCACGACTCACGACAGACAACACCCGGGTTTCTACTACGCAGATGCCGCTTCAATTTCCACCCAATTACTGATTGTTCAAAGGGAAACTCGTCAAACACGAGGAATACAATTGATCTGTTTGTAGATAACCCCTTGCTCGCTCCTCGGACTATCAACCCGAAACCCGAGTCTAAAACTTCAAGGTGGATCCCATCCATACATCTCGGCGATCGGCGTCTGTCGGACAATTCGCCCTGAGATCTATCCGAATGCCAAGAAGCATGAAGAAAACCGACCTTGATTGAGATTTTCTTCAATGCTGGCTTGTATTCTTTCTTTTCGACCTTGAGCTACTCAACCGAAGTCAGAACGTCGCAATGGCTCGCCTTTCATTCAACACTGGAAGGCGTCTTCTTGGCATCGGCCAGACTGTGGCAGGCGTCTCCGCCACTGGTGCTGCTGGCTTCTGGTTCTGGACACGCAAGAGTCAATTCGAAGAGTTTGGACCCGAAACCGACAATCTTTTCCGCCACCCTATCCTCAAGCAGATCAACCCTTACAACAATCCCGATTCTCACGACATGTGCGTACGGAGGGTGCCGTTCTCGCAGCTCAAAGCGGAACTACTCGAAGATGCTCAACAGGGAGGGAGCAAGCTAGTCGAGGCATACAGCGGTGGGATGTGGGGACGATACGGTGCGTGAGTCCAAAGATTAAGTCCACTTGACTGACCGACATAGGGTATACTGTTCAGCGGAAGATTATGGAGTATTTTAAAGATGAGAGCAACGCGGAAGATGTATGGACCAAGGAGGACCTTCTCAAAAGCACATATGAGCCAGGTGAGACTCGAGACTCGAGACCCCGACCTATCAACAATAACTGACAGCGTAGGCACATTCATCACAAATCACTTTCACGTGTTAGAAAAGACACCCCAGTCCCTGACAATCCGAGCCTGCCTCTACCCTCGACAAGACACACCGACACCGGTCCATGTGGACAACATGTTGGAGCTCCGAGTAGACCTGGACAAGGAGAAGAACGTGGCAGTCTTTCAGATGAAGATGATAACATTCGATGGGGAAAAGGGGGCGTCGCAAAAACCAGATCCGTTTGGTGGATTTGCAGGATTCCTGCACCGACAGTATTCGCTGTTGCTGATGCAGGCGGCGACTGGACACTGTATGCAGTAGGTGGGTTTGGCGTGGAGCTGAATGTTGAAGGTTTGTACTTTTAGATACCCGTAGCCAATGGGGCCTCGCCACTCTTGTTTCAGCTGAGTTGGGAATACTGAATTAACTTAGAATAGATGATATTTCCGTCTTGAGAAACGGGTTGTTTCCCGAGACCGAGCTGGCCTTGATCGACGGTGATGGCGCCAAGGAGGATTATTAGCGCACAGACGCGGTAACGGCTAAGCGAGGTGGACGTGACGCAACATGAGGGCTCAATGGCGGGTATTTGATCCATTATTTGATGGAGGACTTGATATCGCCGTGCATGGGAGTGGCTGGGTGAGACGCGCAGAGGAGACAGGTCACAGGAGAGGTCGCTGGAGTGTAGGGATCTGGGGACTAACGTGGTGGAAGCGAGATGGCGAGGATGTCATTTGGTGTCATGGTGTCCTGGTGTCATACTGTGAGAATTATTGGTACGTAGATTACACTTCCGTCTTGGTTTGTACATGGTAACTTCACGTTATCGGCTGAACCCAGGGCACAGGTTAGGTTAGAGTTGGGCGATCCAGAGGCGCAGGGACAGGTACAAGCGGGGGTTGAAAGCCTAATAAAGGGTTCAACGCCTTGTGAGGCGAAGGTGCATATCCTGAGATCGGGTACCTATAATCAATGACTGCGCTACAATTGCCGTAGAGGAAGCACAATTGCCGGCTCTTGGATGGAGACGAGGTGGCAGTTGGAAGAGCTAGAGCTAGGGAGGGGAGGTGAGACATACAGCACAGCCGTTGGGGAGGCAAGGTCTCGTAGCGCGGACGAGGCATGTGCAGCAGTAGTCTGGGCCTGGGGAGGCAGCCAGATGACGTGGATGGTGGGATATGGGGAAGGGGATCTGAATTCCAGGGCCTCATTTTCCCTCTTTTCTTTCGTTTTCCTCATTCTTTGCAAACTAGTGAAAGTCGGTCTAGCACAAACGAGGCGACGCGGCGCAGGTCTAACTTTCGGGACCGCCGCCGTTGGGGGACTGGCGGGGGCTGAAGCCGATAGGGGGGGCCAGCAGAGCAGTTGTGGCGCATTCAGCCCCGATTCATGAGTTGACTTGTCATGACGGGTCGCTGCTCGTCTGCGGCATGGATGCAGTCATCATATCATTGCACCGCAGTTAAGAACGGCATCTCCGCCGCCAGGCCAATAGAAGCGTCGCCACGGTGATGGGGCCCTCATGCTGGCAAAGCCCGATCCAGGCGTGGCGGATGGGGGATGGACCCTGGAGGTGACCTGACCCTTGGCCTGGGCGCTGAAGCGTGGCCCCTGTGGCCCCTGTGGCCCCTGTAGCTGTAGGGCACTAGTGGCGCTAGCCAAAGGGCGGGTGCGATTTCCGCGCGTGATTGGCGGCTGGGTTTGATGGGGGGCAGGGATCGCGATGGGGTTTCAAGATTGGTCACTCCTCGCGAGGAGAGATTTGACTGCTGATTGCCCTATTCGATGCTGTATCCGGATGGATGGTGTGCAAAATGTCGTCCGTCGGGTGTCCTGTCGAGTCCTGTCCAACAAGCCCTGACCCGGCCCCCCGAACACTCGGTGGTTGGCTGCCCGTTTGCACGCAGAAGCGACCGGCGACCGCGCACAGGGATTAAATCGCTTCGGAGCTCCCCCTGGTCCCTGATGGGTGTACCTGGTAGTACCCGCGGAGTGGAATCGGGTTGGCGTTGGGTTGCCAATTGAAGGAATGGTTCTTTGGTGTGGCTGGATGAAGCCCGCCGTCAGCAGAGGGGTTTGACGTCTGGGTGTGCATCATCAGCCGCATCTTTCTTGGCTAATAGGTATTATATTGTACATATATTCGTATATGCATACTACACGTACATCATACATAGGTACATACACACACACACACACACACACACACACACTCTAGATACCCACAGACACACAACTCGCAAACTCGACCTTTTCCTCTCTCCCGAGGCACGGCTGCTCACCCCCACTAGGCCTAGCACCCAAGCCAAAGACGGCCCAGGCCACAGGGGACCCCTACGCTACTGCATCGCTGGGAATCCGCCCGCACAGTGGCACCTTACCAGCCGGGGACGCGACATCACGCACTCTGCCTCCTCTCAAACATCCCGTCGACATTCTCTCCCCCCACCTTTTGTTTCGTCCACCTGCCATCACCTACACCAGCAGCCTTGCCATCTGCCATCTTCACCTCTCCCGACGCCTTGTGCCGAGTTGCGTCGCTTCAGATGCCGGGCTGCCTCCTTACCGTCGACATCTTCTCTGTCGTAAGGTGACAATGCCGCCACGCATGCGACTTTGACCGCCGGCTTTATTTTCAACTTGCCAAGTCCCAGCCTCGCTTCACCAACTGATTTACTCCTTCATCGGCAACTCAGACTGCAACTACCCTCACTCACCTCTCCTCAGTCTTCTCCTAGCATGGGGATAACATCCTCTGTCGCCCACCTCGTCGCGAGGATCGATGTTGTGCGTTGCCACCCATGTCTTGGTTCCTCAACACCACAGGCACTCATCACGACTTGACCGTATCCTAACAACCTTCTTAGAACTCCGGTGACTCTCGCACAGGTTCTGCAAGAGATGGCTCTGATGGCGGCACCCTCAGTACCTCGTCCAACTCCAAGTCCGCTTCTCTAGCTTCCTTTGGCGCAACCTTTATCCCTGTTGTCATCTATGCCGCCGTCTGTCTCATCGTCTTCACCTTTCTCCGACCCAGAGCCCGCCGTGTCTACTCCCCTCGAGCCAATTCTGGCTTGCGTTCTCCGCAGTAAGTAAACTCAACCAGTCGCTCGAACTGCCATGCCGTGCCACTGTAACTTGTTGGTAACATGTTGTCATGTAGTATCCCTAGTCCTACCCTACCATCGGGCTGGTTCAACTGGGTCAAACCATTCTTCCAAATCCCAGACACCTTTATCCTTAACCATGGCTCCATCGATGGCTACTTCTTTCTGCGCTATCTTAAAGTCCTCCGCAACATCTTTTTCGTTGGCATTTGCATCACCTGGCCCATCCTGTTTCCCATCCACATAACTGGAGGCAACAAGTCTAAACAGCTCGATATTTTGACACTCGGTAATCTCAAGGAAGCCAAGCGCCTATATGCTCACGTTGCTGTCGCCTGGGTGTACTTTGGTAAATTTGTCCCTTTGCCCTTCATTGTCCCTCAGCCACTGACATTGTTAGGATTCGTCCTCTTCACTATTTCAAGAGAGTGCATCTACTACATCAACGTCCGCCAGGCATATCTCTCATCTCCCCACTATGCCCAGCGCCTGTCCTCTAGGACTGTCCTCCTCACCAGCGTCCCCAAAAAGTATCTCGACGAAGCCCGAATCCGGAAACTCTACGGTGACACCGTCAAGCGTGTCTGGATTCCCAGGACCTCGAAAGTTTTGGTAAAACTTGTCGAGGAGCGAGAGCAAACGGCTATTCGCCTTGAAAAGGCCGAGATCGAGCTTATCAAAAAGGCAAACAAGGCCCGTAACAAGCAACTGCTGAAATCATCTGCAACAACGACCTCTTCCAGCTCCACCTCCAATTCCACCTCCGTCGAAGCTTCCGATCCTCCCTCACCCACGTCTTTTACAACCGCCCCTGACGTCGACCCAATCCCCGATGTTGAACGACTACCCGATGCTGAGCATGAGCCCGGGCTAACGCGTCGAGTCGAGGTTGGTCTAGAACTTGGGTCAAGCGTGACCGAGTTCTCCCCAAACCCAAACACCTTCCAGGACCCGCTCGAAAAAGTCGAGGACCCAGATTATGTCCACCCCTATGGGCTTGACCCAGATCTCCCCGACGTTCGTGGCTCTGTAGCCGCTCAATGGATCCCCGTCACGGCCCGGCCGCATCACCGACCTCTGGCCAACTATGGACGCCGTGTCGACACCATCAGGTGGTGTCGCACCCGATTGAAGGACTTGAACGTGGAAATCTTCAAGCTGCGGCGTCAGCTACGCCGGGGCGATGGCTCTGTTCTCCCAGCCGCGTTCATCGAGTTTGACTCGCAGCAGAGTGCCCAAGCCGCCCACCAGGCCGTCGCTCACCACCGCCCCCTACAAATGGCTCCGCGTATCCTAGGCATCCGCCCGGACGAGGTGGTTTGGAGTGCTCTGAGGATGAGGTGGTGGGAGCGCATTATCCGCCGGTTCCTCATCATGGGCCTTGTCATCGTCGCCATTATTTTCTGGGCCATCCCGTGTGTGCTCATCGGCATCATCTCCAACGTCTCCTTTTTGGCTAAAAACGTCTTTTTCCTTACGTGGCTGACTATGCTGCCGAAACCTATCCTTGGCTTCCTACAAGGTTTCGTCCCGGCCATTGCCCTATCCTTTTGGATGTCACTAGTGCCGGCAATGTTGAGAGGTACGCATCACAATTCCAAGTCATTACATCGCTGACACTCCTTAGTATGTGCCATTCAAGCAGGAATTCCGTCCCTGGTCTTGGTTGAACTCTTCGTCCAAAACGCATATTTCGCTTTCCAAGTCGTTCAGGTTTTCCTCATCACCACAATTACATCTGCTGCCTCGGCCGCCTTTATGGACATCCTCAAGAACCCCGTCTCCGCCAAGGATCTTCTTGCCAAGAACCTCCCGAAGGCGTCAAACTTTTATCTGTCCTACATCCTTGTGCAATGCTTGGCGGTTGGTGCTACGGGCATCCTGCATATCTTTGAACTCCTGCGACAGTTTATATTTTCCAAAATCGCCCAGGTTCCGAGGGCCCGCTTCAATGTGTGGTATACCCTGCGTCCACCACGTTTTGGTGGTGTGTACCCGGTCTATACAAACATGGCCGTCATTGGTAAGACGCTCCTCATTATTCTAGACAAAACTAACATGATGTAGCTCTTAGTTATGCCTGCATTGCGCCTTTGGTGCTTCTCTTCGCCTGTGCAGGCATGTCGTTTGTCGGTCTGATTTATCGATATAATATCCTCTACGTCTTCGATTCTGAGCTGGACACCAAAGGACTTTTCTACCCACGTGCTCTGCTCCACATCATTGTCGGGCTCTACATGGCGGAGATTTGTCTTGTCGGTTTGTTCGCGCTAAAGTTTGCTTTCATACCAATGGTTATGATGCTCATGCTGTTCGTCTTTACCGGTCTTGTCCATCTCTCGCTTAGCGACTCCATCACGCCGCTACTGCAGAATCTACCGCAAACATTGTCGCTGGAAGAAGAGTTGCAAGAGGAGGAAAAGGCTGCCGCTGAAGCACGGAAGCAGGCTGAAGCGAACCCACCCATTGATGCAGGCACTGCTAATGATTATTACGACACGGAGTTGGCTTTTGGCGAGGACGAGTTGGATATCCTATCCGACATTGACGATGACGGTGCACCGCTCCCAACCGACAGAGCCATCGAGGGCGCGAGTGGCATGGGGTCGGCTCTTACCGACTGGCTCAAGACGAGTACCAAGGACAAGCTAAAGGCGCAAGCGGAAGACTCGGGTCTGATGCGTTTTTTGAACAAGTTGGGCCTTGCAGGAAACGAGGAGGGTTCCGACGAGCCCCCTAGCTTCCTGAAGCGATGGATGCACCCGGAGATCTACGAAGACTTCCTTGCCCTGCGCAAAATGCTTCCCGACGACAATCTTCCCGACACGGAGTACCCAGAAGATCACGGGTTTTCGAGTTACTGGCCGCCTGAGCTCTGGCTGCCCAAGCCTGTACTGTGGATTCCCAGGGACGAGGCCCGAGTTAGTCGACAGGAGGTGGCACATACGAAGAAGTTTACACCAATCACGGATCACGGCACGTCATTGAATGAGAAGGGATTGATAGAGGTCGACGTGGAAGCGGCGCCATTCCCGCGGCAGAGGCTGGTGCATTAAACGAGTAATATGTCAAAGATAGAGCGCTATGATACCCTCTTTGCACAGCGTTGTGCATTTACAATAATACGCGCCGATTGGCCATTCATAATGCATTATTCGTTAGTCTACAGTGACGCAGAGACCTCGGACGCAGAGACCTGGGCCCCAGAGACCTCGGAGTAGTATGCTTCGTCACTGGGGTCTCTTCCAAGGAAGTTTTTCAGGCTTAGACCCTCGGGCTGGCCGCCTCCGGGCTCCAAGACACACCGTCTATATCTAAGTCCGACTTGCGAGTCCATTGGGTTGTTTTTGAAGCAACTCACCCACAGGTCGGTAGCAAATACCTTGGATCTATAGGGGTTAGACTTGAGGGCTGCGGCGTGATCTGGACTTACAAGGCATAGGTAAAGTAAGACGCATCGTATGCTCGGAAAGGATGGGCAAACGACGCCTGGCCGATTCCATTGGTCGTGCGTAGTCCCAGAATCTCTGCTTTGCTCTTGTTCCATAGAGCTGTTGTGTTTATTGCCCGTGCCGCTTCCGGGCTGGCGCAGCTGTGGATGGTCAAGTCGAACAGCGCAAGGAAGACCTGGTGCAGCATGGCGTGGGCGCCGCTGACGTGCTTTGTCCTGGCGAGGTCCTCGGCGAGTTTCTCAGGGAGCGTCTCGGACGGCATCTCGGCGGTCTCGTCGCCGCCATTCCGCTCCAGCCAGAATGCCCGCTGCTCATCACCCAGGTAGCTGTAGTGGCGACCCAGGCGGCGCAGCACGCGCGGGACCCAGATCCAGTTCTCGAGCAGGATGCTGGGGATCTCGACAAAGTCGCGCGCGCAGCCGTGGCTGTAGGCGGTGCGCGTGACGAGCTTGTGGATGGCGTGGCCCAGCTCGTGGAACATGGTCTTGAGCTCCGAGTGCTGCAGCAGCGTGGGCTTGCCGGCGACGCGGATGAGGCTGCACACGAGCGACGACGACGGGAAGTGGCGCGTGTTTTGCTCGGTTGTGAAGCCCTGGCATGTTAGATGTGTGGTTCAGGGGTGTAAGTGTGGGATGGGTGTACCGGTTGGACGAGGGAGCTGTGTGCCCCAGAGTATTTCCCATCTCGTGCGTAGATGTCGAGGTAGAGATAGCCCAGGAAGCCTCCTCCTTGCTCGTCCGAGTCCCAGGCGGAATACACAGCAACGTCCTTGTGCCAGGTCGGCGCCTCAGTCGGCACAAAGACGAGGCCGAAGAGCTCCTCAAAGATGCGCAGCATACCGTCGAGACTGTGCTGCACCTCAAAGTACTCGGACACGAGCAGCGAATCGACCGAATACCGCTCCTTTTCCAGGATGCGCGCGTAAAAGGCCCAGTCCCAGGCGTTCAACGTCGGCGCATCTGCCTCGTCCTCGGCGCTGCCGTGCTCCGCGATGTACGCCTTCTTCAGCGCGTACAGCGTGTCGATCTCGGCGCGGGCCAGCGGCTGCAGCTGCGTGCGGAGCTTGTGCAGACGGGCCATGACGCTCTCGACGCTGGGCGCCATCTTGTCCTCGATCTTGAGCGCCGCGTGGTTCGCGAAGCCCAGCAGCCGCGCGATGTCGTCCCGCAGCGCCACGGCCCGCTGCAGCGCCTCGACGTTCTCGGGGAAGCGGTTCTCCTTGGCGATGTGCAGGGCCTTGCGCGTGCGGGCGTCGGCGGCGTGCTTCATGACGGGGAACAGGTGGCCCTTTTTGAACGTCACCTTGAGGCTGTCGTCCTCGGCGTCCATCGTGTCCAGGGCGCTTGCGGGCACGCCGGCGAGCTGGGCGCGCGTGAACCAGACGCCCTCGTCCGTCTCGCTGAGCGTCTTGCGCGCGGCCACGAGCACGCTGTTGCGCTCTTCCACGGCGGCCATGTACGCACCGCGATGCTGGTCCGCGATGCCGGCGCCGGCGTTCTGGTAGGCGCGGTGCGTCTTGAAGAGCTTGTACGCCGACTCGTCGTCGAGAAGCAGCTCGCCGGAGCGATGCTTGTCGTACACGGCGGCCACCAGCGCAGCCATGTCGCGCCGCATCAACGCGGCGGCATCGGCCTTTGCCGTGAGCTGCTCGGCGGCACGGGCGGCATCCCGGAGCTCCGGGGCCTCGGCGACGGAGCTGAAGATGCGGAAGACGCACAGGCGGCGCGCGGCGCGGTGGTCGTCGTGCAGCAGCGGGAGCAGCACGTTGGCGAAGGTGGCATCGGCGGGCGTCAGGCGCTGCGCCAGGGCGTCCTGCAGGGCGTCGGACGAGGCGATCAGGGCCTGCGTCTCGCTGAGCAGCTGGGCGGGCGCGATGGCGAAGTCTGGAGGAGATTGCGGTGGGGATTTGAGTGTGGACGCCATTGCGATCGTCCGGGCTGCGGTGTGTGTTGGTGAGACACGCGGGCGGGAGATGAGAGGTGTGATGGCTGGGATGAGGCGGGGGATGAGTTTGATCGTGGACATTCCAGCTTACAAGCCAGAGGTTATGAGTGCGCAGATCCAAATATTGGCATTGGTTTCTGTGTCTTCGCCTGTGGTGTTGTACGTCTTTGATGCATTGGTGATGCTGTGTATCTTGTCTACCTGTCTAAGACTCCATCGTCAGTGCGCCAGCTAGACAAACTCACCCATCAAATGCCGTCTGTGGGTCATCCTCCAATTTCATCCCTTCAACTCCACACCACATCACCTTGCAGCCATACCCACGCAACCAGGGCTCCCTTGTCCAATGTTTCGGCCGTAGCGGCTTCTTGTTTCCTCTGCATTTGTTTCCTCTTCACACAGCATGCACGTTCCCAGACCCGCGCGTCGTGAGGCTGAACCAACCAGCGTTACGAGGCGTCAAGCCCTTGTCTTGCTTCTCGTCAATGCAGACTCGAAGGGCGTTGGGACCGGCTCCTTTAAACAGCCATGGCGCCCTGGTGCGGAGACTATAAGGTTTCTTGATGCCTTGCGGTTGTCTCTGGGCTGACCTAGCAAGCCTAACTCAACCACATGAGTCTTTTGTCCGAATAGCTTCAGGAACTCCTTGCACATACAATGGGTTGGTTCTCGCTAGCCACCGCCGCCTCAATCCTGGCTGGACTTGTGCAAGCCGACACTTGTGCATCCGTCAAGGCCCTGAGCAACATCGACACCTCCAGGAGACTGCAGCTCTCCTACACGACCGAGCAGACCGAATACTGGTCCACATCCTGCGGCGCCCTGAAGCCCTCGTGCATTCTTTATCCATCCACCGCAGACGAAGTCGCCAGCATCCTCACCATCCTGAGCGACAACGACGAGCACTTTGCCGTCAAGTCGGGAGGCCACAACCCCAACGACTACTTCTCCAGCATCGCCGGCGGTCCGCTCCTCTCTACCAAGAAGCTCGATCAGATCATCCTCGACCCCAAGACTGGCCGTGTTAGAGTCGGTCCGGGAAACCGCTGGGACGATGTTGCTAGCGAGCTCGACGGCACGGGCTGGACTGTTGTTGGTGGCCGTATCGGCAACGTCGGCGTCGGCGGCTACATGGTCGGCGGCGGCCTCTCCTTTCTGACCCAGCAATACGGATGGGCCATGTCTTCTATCCTCGAGATGGAAGTCGTACTGGCCAACGGCACCATCGTCACGGCCTCTGAGACGAAGCACTCGGATCTCTTCAAAGTCCTCAAGGGCGGCGGCAACAACTTTGGCGTTGTGACGTCGTTTCTGCTGCAGGGCTACAAGCAAGGCGAAATCTACGGCGGCACCCTCATCTTCACCCGCAGCGAGAAGACGGACGCCAAGCTGCTCAAGGCGCTTCGTGACTTTACAGAGTACAACACCGACGACAAGGCAGCCATCATCCTCACCGCAGAACGCACCGCAGTGGGCGTGGTCGACATTTGGACCATGTTCGTCTTCTATGACGGACCCGTCGTTCCAGCAGGCACCTTTGACAACTTCACCAGCGTGGGACCGCTCACCAACACGGCCAAGACGCGGTCGTACTCGGATCTCCTGACGAGCAACAACCAGTTCGTCATCAAGGGTTCCATCTACACCATCGGCACAGAGACGGTTCCCCTGCCGTCAGCCGCCAATGATGTCGAGGTGCTGGGCGGCATCCACCAGTTCTGGCGCAACGTCTCGCAGCCCGTCATGGGCGTGGCCAACGTCGCCGTGGTTATCGGGTATCAGCCGTTCCCCAAGCGCATGGCCAAGATTTCACGAGAAAAGGGTTTCGATTTGTTGGACATGGAGGACGACGTTGACCGTATCATTGTCGAGCTCAACTACAGCTATCTCCTGCAAGCAGACACCAAGAAGATTGACAAGGCCATGAAGAATACCTTTGGTGGCATCCGGAGTCGTGTTCTCGAGTGGCAGGACAATGGCGTCTTGGAGCGAGATGTGCTTCTTCCTTTGTTTATGAACGATGGATACTACTCCCAGGACTATTTCGGACGGCTGCGTCCTGAACATCACCAGTTAGTCAAGACGGTGGCTGCCCAGGTCGATCCTAATGGGCTCTTTAGAGATAGAACAGGTGGTTTCAAGCCTTGAGTTGGAATCACCATTCTTGATAGTCTTGATAAAATAATTCAATTTTAATATTCAACCACCGCCATCTTTTTCACTCCTCGACGCCAATCCACTCCAGCTACAACTACTCGCTACTCCATGACCAAGACATTTCTGAATCTCGGCTTGCCAGCAATCAAGCTATCCACCGCATCTTGCACCTTGGCAAACGGGTACTTTTCAATCATGCACTTGACATTGTGCACCATGGCGAATCGGATAGCCTCCTCGCTGTCGAGGGCGTGGCCGCTGGGCCAACCCTGGATGCTTGCGCCCTTCATCACGAGCGCGACGGTATCAATTGGCACAGAGCCAACCGGGGCGAGGCTGAGGAGCTTGCCTCCTGGTGCGAGGCCGGCGACAAGAGGGCTCATGACTTTGGGGTTGGGGGCGGTTTGGACGATGATGGAGGCGCCGCCAAACTTCATGAGCTCGGCTGAAGCGTCGCTGGTCTTGGTGTTGATGTAATGGTGGGCGCCCAACTGCTTTGCAAACGCCGACTTTTCGTCGCCCGATGAGAGAACCGCAACCTCGTAGCCCATTGTGTTGGCGTACTGCACTGCCAGATGGCCGAGTCCGCCCAGGCCCTGGACGGCTACGAGGGCGCCCTGCTCAATACCCAACTTGCGAATGCCATTGAAGACGGTAACGCCGGCGCACAGCAGAGGAGCAGCATCGGCCGGGTCAATCTCCTTGGGGACCCGGACAACGGCCTCGGCGCGGAGGAGGACATACTCGGCAAAGCCGCCGTCCCTGTTCACGCCGTTGATGGCCGCGTTCTCGCACATCTGGAACTGGCCGCGCTGGCACTGGCGACACTCGCCGTCATGGCCGCCGTGCCACGGTCCGCCCACGCGCTCGCCGCCCTTGAACCGGGTCACGCCCTCGCCGACCTCGACGACGTCGCCGACGATTTCGTGGCCGGGCACGCGGGGGAAGACGTCGCCCATGTGGCCGCTGGCCGTGGCGACGTCCGAGAAGCACACGCCGCAGGCAAGGACTTTGACGAGGACCTCGCCCTTGGTGGGGTGCTTGAGCTCGACGTCGACGAGCGTCATGGGGGTGTTGGCCGCCTGGAGGACGACGGCCTTGTAAGTCTTGGGGAGTGACGACATGGCGATGGGAAGGTGTGTTTGTGTGATGGGATGCTGGGTTTCAAGGTGATTGAATTGGATCTAGAGGTTGATGATTGATGTGATCACTGATGGCACTGGCTGAGACAACCTACCGTCCATGTTGAGGCATGCCTTTTATAACAATCAAATGCATCATAGATCGGATCCGGCGGGCGTCGCTTCAAGCTACCGGACGCAACCTGGAATGCATATCCCCAAACCATCGGAGCGGCGGAGCTGAATGTGACGCAATTCCGTCATTGAAGCGGCGTGTCGGGATATCGCCCACCAAAGAAGCAACTGCGGCGGGCGGGCCGTGGGGAAGGCAGCTGCGGATTGCGCTTATGCAGCGCGATAGCAGAAGCCATGTCGGAGGTGGGAGCTCTGGGCTGGAAAGCCGCGGGCGTCATGATGTGGTGTGTCGGAGATGCGAGCGTGTAGATGTTCCAAAGCCGATGCTGTCGGGGTTAGAAACAAGGTCCGTGATTGGCTCATTTGCTAGTTGATCCGATAGTTGATCCGAGGACGCAAAGCGGGGCATCATGACTGCAGCCACACCAGGCTCTCCAGCCACAGCGACTCCAGCCGCATCCAGGCCAACCTTTTTTTCACCCCACCATCACCACAGCCTTCACAGCCTGTCTGTAGCTCTCTGTAAGCTCATTGACACGCAGCAAGAACCGACATGCCTCTCGATACATCGACATACTCATTGGCGCTCCTGCGCGTCGATGGCCGTCGCTGGAACGAACTGCGCCGCCTCCACGCCCAGATCCGCACGCAGGATGCCGCCGACGGTTCCTCGTACCTCGAAATGGGCCACACAAAGGTCATGTGTATCGTGACTGGCCCCGCGGAGCAGCAGCAGCAGCGGCGCGGACAGACGTCGCAGAGGGATGCGGCGGCAATCAATGTCAACGTCGTCATTGCTGGCTTTTCCAGCGTGGACCGGAAGAAGAGTGGACGCAACGACAAGTATGCGACCAGGTCCCGTTTAGCTTTCAGGACTGACTTGAATACAGACGAATCCAGGAGATTGAGGTTACAATTGCAAACGCATTGGCTTCCAACTTGCACACCCACCTCTTCCCCCACTCGTCCATCACCATCTCTCTGCACGTCCTCTCCCAGGACGGATCCCTTCTCGCCGCCCTCCTCAACGCCACGACCCTCGCCCTGATCGACGCCGGTATCCCCATGACCGACTACATCGCCGCGTGCACCGCCGGCTCGACCTCGACGTACGCCGCCGGCGACGATTCGGCCGATCCCCTGCTCGACCTGAACAACCAAGAAGAGCAAGAGCTACCGTTTCTGACGGTCGCGACCCTCGGCGACACCGACCGCATTGCCGTGTTGGTGTGCGAGAGCCGGGTGCAGGTCAGCAGGCTGGAGGGAATGCTTGTGGTGGGTGTGGACGGGTGTAAGCAAGTGAAGCAGTTCCTGGATCAGGTTGTAAGAGAAAAGGGTGCTGAGATGGTTAGGGAGGGCGCGGTCGAGAAAAGCGACGCGATGGGCATGGTTTTGGATGAATAGATTACGACACGGCCATGTTAAATGTTGGAGTTAGGTAATGATTGATACCACAGGTTTGTCCCCGGGTTAATTGATCCTTTTCGCAGCTAATCTCACATTCAAGATCCTTACAACTCTTCGTGGACAATCTTTTCCTCCTTTTCCTCCTTGACGGGCTCCTCTGCGACCTTAGTCTCAGAGCTCTCGGCATCAACCGGCTCAACTACGATACCAGCAGGAAGCTTCTTCTTGGTACCCTCACCCATGCGGATGGTATCGATCCAGTTCTCGACGCTCTGGAGGCTAAAGTCGCCCTCGTACAGTCGCCACCAACCGCGGCGAGAGTTGATTGCGACCATGCTGACCTCGCCGGTAAGCTCGAGGGCCTTGGGCACCTTGGACGCAGCCTCGGTGTCGCTGGCGATGGAGAAGAAGGGGAAGAGGTGTCGCTTGCCGTGGACGTATTTGGTGTTGATGTGGGAGAGGGATCCAACGGCCTTGTTTCCAATCTCGGTCTCCTCGGAGGGAGTAAAGACGAGCAGGCAGGTGTGGGACTTGCGCGCGAGACACTCCTTGGCGAGCTCATCCTCTGTAGATAGGCTCGAGATGGGAATTATGGAAGGAATGGCAGTCTCTGCAGTGGTCTCGGTTGAGGTGGAAGACTCGGACTCGGCGCTTGCCTCAGATTTAACAGCCTTCTTTTCCTCGGCCTTCTCGGCCTTCTTCTCGGCCTTCTTCTCAGCCTTTCCCTTGGCCTTGGGGGTATCGGCCTTCTTCTTAGCAGGAGCGGGGTCTGGGTTTGGCTCGCCAACTTGGGAGAGGAACTTGACAATCTCCTTCTTGTCCATGGCTCCATCATAGACGATAGGCTCCTGACCCTCGCTGGGGATGAGGACCAGAGTAGGAAACTTTTCAATGTTGAACCGCTTGACGGCAGCTGTCTCCTTGTCTCGGATCTGTGCGACGGAAATGACATCGAGGAAATCGATGGCGATGCTTCGGAGCAAGGGAGTGGTGGTGCCCTTGTTGCTGTACAGGATGGCCTTGGGCTTGTCTCCCTTCAGGAAGCCGTCCAGCTCTGTAGACGTGACACGAGTGACGTAGTTGTTGATCTTGGCGGCAACAGCCTGGCTGATGGCGGCGGCGGTACGCTCGCCGTTGTAGTCCTCAACAACGGGTCGGCCGGCCTTTTTGCCAGGTCGAACGATCTTGAGAGTAGGGAAGCCCTGGACGCCCTGCATGGAACAGAACTGCTTGTTCTTCTCCTCGTCGCAGTCAATAGCGGCAACCTTGGCCAGGCCATCGAGGCTCTTGGCGACCTTTTCATAGGCGGGCTGAAGGTTCTTGCAGTGACCACACCACGGAGCATAAAACTCGACAATCTAAAGTGGCGTGTTAGTCGACATGGCAGTGGCGCGGAGGGAGCAGCGGAGAGGGAGCATACGGAGGTGTAGTTGGACTGGGCAATCAGCCTGTCATACGTGGCAGCGTTGAGCTGAAGAACAGGCGAGTTCTTGGTGTACAAGCCAGCCTGGGCAGCCGGCAACGCAGCCAGCGCCGTGAGCGTCATCAAGACGGTGGCGGGGTTATGCATGGTGAGGTTTGGATCAGCGAGACTGACGAGGAAAGTCGAGCGAGGATGAGAGGTTTGATAGAAGAGACAAGAGGCTGAGGCAATGCTCTTATGTCTTCAGGCCATGTGCCACCCAGTCGAGATGCCAGGGTTCAAAGGGTGCAAACTGGCATCTTCGGATCCTCCAAAACGGAAACGAAGGAAAAAGCCACGCTGTGATTCAGCCGGGTTGGAGCTTGAGCCACCCGTGGCGCAAGCTATGCGAGACAACGGAAATCTGGGGAATCGTGGCGCAGCAGCAGCCGCCCAACGACTTACGTCAACAAGGCTGATGTGGGGGTAGACGTAGAACCACCATCATTTCACTCTAGGCACACGACTTGCTCGATAGGCAACGACATTGTATATTCACTCAGAACCGACTGTCGACCGTTGTCCAGATTCTGTTTGTTCACCCGCCCGCCACTGCGACAAGATGGCCGAGCCTCTCCCCGCTGCGCTCAAGATCCCCGAGGTCTCGCGCTTCATCAACCGCGCGAACCAGCTGAGGTCCATCAAGCCAGCCATTGCCTACTGGTGTGAGTGAGCTGCAATCCAGAGGAATCCAGTCGCTTACTGAGTCCAAACAGGCGAGTATCATGCCGTCAACCAGATCGTAGGCAAGAGCCTCCACACCGCCGACGACGACACCTTCAACTACACAAAGACGCTGCTCGAGCGCCTCGAGGAGACCAAGAATGCCCACGCCGACGATGATGCCATTGTGGATAATGACGCAGGCCAGGCCTATGTTGAGCAGTTTGCGCAGCAGACGTTTGATCGCGCCGAGCGCACTCTGCGCGCAAACAAGGTGACAAGGTCAGTTCGCCTCTCCAGCCTTGGTGGCACTACTAACGGCCGCAGACAAACGGCCGACACATTCGACGCCGCCGCGACCTTCTTCGACCTCACGCGCGAGTGGGGCACGCCCGATCCCGAGACGCTGCAGAAGATCAAGTTCGCCAAATGGAACGCCGCGCGCATCCTCAAGGCCATCCGCGAGGGCAAGGACCCCAACGAGTCGAACCCCAAGCCCGTCGAGCCGGAGCCCGAGACGCCGCTCGACCCCAACGACCCCGACGTCCAACAACTCTCCGGCTCTGCGGCCCGCCCCGTGTCGGTGGAGGATGCTCCGGACGCCGGCGAGCCTTCGGGGTTACCTAGCTTTGTCGACCAGCCGCCACAGCCACCTGTCGCTGATCCAGGCTACTTCCCTGCCGCGAGAGCACCGTCTCCTGAGCCATTCATCCCCTCGCCCATGAGCCAGAGTCCTACTCTCGCTGGTCCTGCAGCGCCACCTCCCGTCCAACCAGGAAGTCAGGCCTCTACCCCTGCGTATGGCGGCCCTCCTCAGGAGCCCTTCCACCCAGGAGGCTTCTCTATGCCTCAAATCCCGCCTCAGCAGTCGCCCCAACCGATGATACCTTCTCCTCAATTCGCACCACCTCCTCTGGCTCCGTATGCTGGATCCGACCCATCTGGACCTCCATCCTGGACTACAACGCCAAGCATCCCCCATCCCGCCATGACGAATCCTCCTCCCGCGATACCCCAACCGCCTGCACCAAACTACGCTGCGACCCCTACCTTTACTCCCACCCCGGCTCCTGCACCGATGCCAATGCCTATAAGTGGTTACACGCCAGACCAAAAGCAGATCAACCAGGCGCAGAAACATGCCAAGTGGGCCATTTCGGCGTTGAACTTTGAAGATGTTCCGACTGCAGTCAACGAGCTGCGAAATGCCCTGGCACTTCTAGGTGCACAGTGAGCAGGTTGAGGAGTAATGAGAAACATCTAGAATAAGCAGCGATTTTGCAGCGTCCATGTATCCTGGGCGTTTTAACAGGATTGAACAGAGTTATAACTTATACTATTCGTGTTTAAAGTGAGCATCCTGTACATTGTCCCATGCCTGTCATCAATCATTGCGATAAACACGGTGGCTCTTGCATACTACAAAACAAACCCTTCCTCAAAGTCCTGCATGTGGTTGGAGGGTTTGGCTATTGGAGCGTTGTCATCCTCGTGCATATCATCCGTCCACCCTCTCTCTGGTCCCCATCCGATGAGGCGCTGAGACTTGATCGCGATGTCGATGAGATTGCTCATCATGCCTCCACACTTCCTAACGCCAGTGAAGCCGTCAAACTCGACAATCTGGACCGACGGCAACTCTGCCAGAATGCCAGTTAGGAGGTCACGGCAGAAGCGCCCGTAGAAGTCATCAGGTCGGCGGAATCCGTTGTAGACGGGGTCGCTGGGATCGCATTCCACAAACACCTTGAGTACTTCAACATCGGTGCAGTCCTGCAGTCCTAGCGCAGGGTTGATAATCCATCCCCTAGGCGGAGCATTCCATCCAGGTCCTAGGCGCAACTGCAAGGAGGTGATGTGCCGGCGCTGGTGTTGCTTCATTCTGGCCAGGAGAGGTTTCTTGGACTTGAAGTATTTGCCCGGGTGGATAGGAAAGATGCGGAACGTCTGGGTGCTGTAGAAGAGGTAGGAGGCTTCTTCATATATCTGCTTGCAGACGCGCATGAGGCCGAGTTTCTTGTGGACGCGCTTCGAAACGTCCGGTCCGAGATCCAGCACAGTATCCAAGTAGTATGGGTCGTTGTCTTGGAAGAAGTAGGTATATATATCGATGCGAATTTCCGAGGGTAGCGAAAGGAAGTGGAACGGAGTGGCGGGGACACGCCTCTTGCGTACGAGGGGGATCAGAGGGACGTCCATGGTGAGTGAGGCGATATCGATCTTGTTGACATCATCTTCGGTGACGGGTTTCGCGGAGGTTGCAGTCGGGTTCGATGGTTGGGTCGCCGTAGGCATGGTTATGCGCAACGAGGTGACGGTTCGACCGGCGAGTTTCCCAGTCACCTTTTTGGATGGACGGCGAGGAGGCATGTTGAATGGAGTGACGGTTCAGTCCAGAGGGTGAAAATGGAGCCGAAGAAGCCGGCTACAAGGAGCTCAAGGCGAGTGTCGTGGTCGTAATCAGGGCAATTTGCGGTCTCTAGGGACGAGTATTGTCACGGAGGGAGGTGCCATTGCGAATCGATCGACGAGGACCGCCCTCTAGAATGCAGAGCGCGCGGTAAACATGGCAGGCGTGTGGTAGTTGTGTGTAGGAGGGAGAGTGGGATGTAGCGAAAGAGGCGAAAAGTCGACTCGTTGATATGACTTAGTCAGTCTAGAGTCTGTGTCCGAGGTTCGGTCAAGGGTCCGAGGGGCGAAATGAGGCTGTGAGGGGAATACCGGGTTACAAATGGGTTGTAAATTGTCAAATGACATGCCCAAGTCTTTGCGCCGTTGAATCCTAGTTCACGCTGGTCAAGTCAACTCAGTCATGTCACAGTGCAAGCCAGACTGCGGGGAGTTGTTCGTACGGATTAGCGATTATAGCGACTGTACCGTCTACCTAAGTACCTTGGGTAGCGATTACGCATCACCAGTCCCCCGCCAAACCATGACGCCATCGGCCAATCTAAAGTCCGTGCCTCCTCCGGCTAATCCGCGGGCACCCGAGTTCTTGCCCCAAGCTGCCCACGGCCCGTCCGATTTTTTCGACGACTGACGGCGCGATGCGATGGCGGAGCATCAGGCCAAAGTTGGCTCCTCCACGATCAGGAATTAAACAGCTCGACGCAGCTTCCACGCAGCTCCCACGGCCTAATTGAGTCGAGTTTCGGTCCATTGCAGCGACAGAGGCCGCCGATTGCCCTCGAAACCTCTGCGCTCGCTTCTTTCGTCTCCAGCTGCTGTTCCGTTCAGCCGCACTTTCGACATCCCGCCGCTCTCTCATCCTCCCGCCGCTCCCCCTCACAACCTCGCCATGCTCCCTCGATTAGCCCAGGCCTCGCGCTTGGGCTTGGCGGCTCGTCTGTCTCGCCCCATTGCATCTCCGGCGCTGCAAATTCGTCCTGCGCCAGCTCCCTTTGCCGTCTCGCCGTGGCTCCGAACGTACGCCAGCCGCAAGGGTCCCAAAGATCAACCCCCCGCCGACCCGTCGCAATCCAAACCCGCCAAGCCCGAAGACAACGCCGCCGAGAAGAAAGACGACGAGCAGATTGCCTTTGACAAGCTCCCCGATCTCACCCAGGGCATCCCCTCGACCCTCGAGTACGAATTGGAAGGCAAGGACCCCAAGTCGCAAAAGGCCCTGCAAGAGTCGGACCACGCCGAGTCCTCAGGTGGTGATAAGCGCGAGCGCCCCGAGTACGTCTCAACCAGCGAACGCAACCGCTCATGGTGGACCCGGTTCATGCTCGCCTCCGCCGTGACCGGTGCCGCTGGAGGCTTCCTCTACATGGGCCGAGACTGGGATCCCGTCGAGGCCGAGCGATACGTCAACGTCCCCAATACTCCTGGACCCGTCGGCTGGTGGACTCGAGCCAAGACCCGGATGGGCGATTCCGTCTCCTACTACCAGGAGCCCTCGTTCGAGAAGCTGCTGCCCGACCCCGATGCCAGCTTCGAGCGTCCATACACCCTGTGCATCAGCTTGGATGACCTCCTCGTCCACAGCGAATGGTCCCGCGACCACGGCTGGAGAGTTGCCAAGCGCCCCGGTGTCGACTACTTTATCCGTTACCTCAGCCAGTACTACGAGCTGGTTCTCTTCACCACTGTTCCCTTTGCCACTGCTGAGCCTCTAGTGAGGAAACTCGACCCATTCCGCTTCATCATGTGGCCCCTCTACCGCGAGGCCACCAAGTTCCAGGATGGCGAGATTGTCAAGGTAGGTCTCCTAAATAATTCAGGATGATTGCGAGACTAATTATATAGGACCTCTCTTACCTAAACCGTGACCTCTCCAAGGTCATCATTATCGACACCAATGCCAAGCACGTCCGCAACCAGCCCGAGAACGCAATTGTCCTCAACCCCTGGAAAGGTGACCGCGACGACAAGGACCTCGTCGGCCTCATCCCCTTCCTCGAGTACATTCACACTATGCAATACGCCGATGTCCGCAAGGTTCTCAAGTCCTTTGACGGCCAACATATTCCCACCGAGTTTGCCCGCCGTGAGGCCATTGCTCGCAAGGAGTTCCACGCCCGCCAACTTGCCGACAGGTCGAGAAAACACTCCTCTGGTGTCGGTGCCTTGGGTAGCATGCTCGGTCTCAACCCCAGCAACATGAGCATGACCGTGTCACCGGACGGTGAGCAGAACCCCAGCGAGGCTTTCGCCCAGGGCAAGATGTTGCAGGACATTGCCCGCGAGCGTGGCCAGAGGAACTACGAGCTCCTCGAGAGGGAGATTCGTGAAAATGGTGAAAAGTGGCTCAAGGAGGAGGCCGAAATGATGGAAAAGGCCCAGAAAGAGGCCATGAGCTCCATGATGGGTTCGTTCTCGGGCATGTTTGGTGGCGCTCCCGAGGGCCCCGAGAAGAAGCCGTAAGGCTGTCAAGGCAAAATCTCCACTAATTAATGTTTTGTAATTGTACCAGCGGGCTTTGGACGACGGACATCAACTCAGATTGGGATGGCTCCGCGTATAGACTCGGCATTGCAGGGGTTGGGCTGGGGTCATGTTTGACATGTAAAGATGTGTGAGAGGCTTGTATATTAGGTGTAACTATGGCCTGGTGTAAAACGACAAACAAAACAACAACACAATCATGTCTAGTTCCGTGACCCTGTCACTTACATGAACTGAGGACAGGAAGGAGAGCAGTTGCAAGGTCAGTTTGTCGGGTAGCTTGAGTAAACTGGCTCAAGGTTGACAAAACCTGCAGTTTGGGTTTGTAACGCACTGATAAAACCTATCCGGTGTAAGTCAAGCACCAATATACGAACAATAACGTACTCGTCGCTTTCCTTGTCCTCGATCCTCGAGCAATCGCACGCAATATCGCACGTCGGCATGGGAGGCAGCGAAGTCTCCGTCTGCGCTGGCATCGTCACAATTATGACCAGCACCGACCCGTCCGTCCTGGTCTCCGTGTACGTCCCCGGCGGCATGGTGCGGTAGTCGGTGGTCATTGGGGCGGACGTGGTCGTGTCGCTGAGGAGCCATTGGTCGTCGGGTTTGTTGACTTCGTCGTTTGAAGGAGCGGCTGCTGTGAGGGTTGTCATGATGACGAGGACGAGGAAGCGGAGGCAGGGCATGGCGAATAAATTGCGAGAGGTGTTAACAAGATGAGACTCAGCCATTCATGGCATATCCGGTCGACGGCTTAAATACCCTCCCCGTCGCACTTGAGCCTTGTGAGCCTCACAAAAGTCCTCTAGGCAACCGGCTTGTTGTTCGCATCCATCGCCGTTGTAGGATTTCTCCATGCTGCAAATCGGCAAACATGGTGGAAGCAATCCGTGTCATGCAGCACTGGCAGCTTGTGGTACGAGAGCGACAAGGCAACAGTTGTACAAAGATCCAGCAGGCGAGATAGCACGCGGTGCACTCCAGCATAGCATCGGAATGTAGAATGCGCAATGCTCAAGTCGACAAAGTCTCAGTTATGCTGAAGTGAATCCTCGCCCATTCATCAAGTTAAACAACATCATGTCTTCTATACTAAATCATATTCCATAACACGTCCAGAGCCAACAACATGCTAGCCTCCCATATGCAAAATTATACAAGTCCTTTCCTCTATCCAATTATTGCGTCCCGTGCCGAGGCTTCCCATTCACCGCAGGCGCATTCACCTGGCGTCCCACCACATAGTTGTAAGCACAAGACACGCCGTGGTAAAACTTGGTATCAACATCAACGCCAGACCCAACAAGCACCGTGGCAACAGCGTACGCAACCACCCATAATAGTACAATAAAATCCACAATGTGTACAAACCACCAGAAGTGCTGCGTGCCCAGCGGACACTCGGCGTACTCGAACCGCCACTCCCACGCCTCGTGGTCGAACCACAGGCTGAGCAGGCCGGCGTTGCCGCCAAAGTCGCCCATCATGCTGCGGACGGTGATTTCGCGTCGGCCCGGGATGCCCTCGCTTCCGAAGATGCCCTTGGCTTGTGCGTCGGCCCATCGCGCCACCTCCCAGGAGCGGTCGGCCGGATCCGTGCCGTTTGTTTGGTTGATGAAGTGGTACGTATCACATCCTTCGTGATCGTGTCCGTTGAGCATGACGCCCGGCCGGCCGCGACCACCGCCAGCGGCAGTTGTTCGCGCGCTCATTCCCCACATTCCTTCGAGGAAGCCTTTGCTGGCGTCGGCGCTCAGCTGGTTCTGCTCCTTCAAACCGCTTCCTTCCGACTGAGAGTAGAAGTCGAAGAAGGGGGCATCGACACATATCCCGGCCTCTTTGTACAGCGGGATGTGGGTCAGGATAATGGTAAAGTGCCCTTGGTAATTCACGGAGCTGGACGTCTGGATGACGTTGTTGATAAAGTTGTAGGTGGAGTCCTGGAGAACGCTGGAGTTGGCGGGAGTGTCCAAGTTCATGTCGTTGACAACCACGATCCTGAGTTCCGGGCTGACGCGGCTCGAGTCGGGGTTGGAGTCGGCGTCATAGATGGTGGCCTGCTTTTCGGCAGTGACGGGGAGCTCGAAGCGGAGCTCATAATTGACCTTGCCAAACTCGCGCTCAAATCTCTCCAGACGCTCCTCGGTCAGGTCACCAGCATATCCGACGTCGTGATTCCCGACCACATTCAGTAGTCGCTTGGCCCAGACCTTTTCTTCTTCGCTCCCGTCCAACATGCCCGACAGTGTGTACTCTTTTGTAGGGAATTTCGCCAGCTCGTCCGGCAGCCTCTCGGCTCCCTTGAAGGATCTGTCCCAGAACCGACGGCTCCGCCTTTTGAACTCGGCATCGTCAATCCACTGGCTCCCGAGAAGGTCACCAAGAACAGTAACGTGCGTCGGCACAGACCACCAGTGAAGCGTACGGTATATGTGCGCGAGGTAAAAGTCGTTTCCGAACAGGTCGAATCGCTTGCGCTGGGACTCGAGGAAGTAGAAGACGTCTTCGAAAACGACGTCGACGAGGTCATGCACAATCCGACGGACTCGTTCTCGAAGGGAGTCGTGTCTGGTCTGGAACGTGATATGTCTGGCGATGCTCTTGACGTGAGGGAAAGTGCCGAGGTAGTTTGTCGGGATGGAAGTGTCGCCTTCGAGCTGCGGATCGCCGAGGGCAAGGAGTCGAAAGGGAGCCAGCTTTGCGCGGTCCTCTGCGGTCAAGTTCGTCCTCGACGCAGGCCAATGCAGCTTCTTGGTCAAATCGTAGGCATCCTGGCTGGAACCCGACTCGATGGGGAATGCGCAGCCCTGGAAGATGGGGAACAGGTACAAGTAGATGGTGATGGCGACCGCCAGCGGCACCACTAGGCGCAGGCCATGGCGGAGGAAGGCCACGACTGACATGTAGCCGACTGCATGTGCAACACGCCGACAGCAGGATTCGAGAGGAGTCGTGGGACTTTGGGGATTAAGTGGCGACAAAGGAGAAGAGAAGAAGAGTGGGAAAGGGGTTGAGTGAAGCAATCGTCAAAATACCCCTGTAATCCGAGGACCCTTAACGCGTCAGGCTTGACCGTCAAACCGTGCAGGGGCATGACCCACCCGCTTAGTCAGGCGCCAGATGTTCTTGTTCCAACGTCTATACAGGATGAGGGATGAGTATTGAGTTGACTCTTGTTCAAGTAATATTTAATTATTTATACTAGTAGAATTAATTTAAATAGTTAATTTGCGTTGGATAATTCCTACGTTTGAGACTGGCTTTTAGAACTGTTATGTTCTTGGTTCAAAACTGGCAGCACTAACATATATCTGTCGCCAATTCCAAGTCTTTCTAAAATAAGCTGTCTGGTAGAATATCCCATGAGTTTCGTGCTCTGTGAAGGTCAGAACACTGATGGAGCTAATGAGGGTCGTGGTTTCAATGTTTGACTGAATTTTCGTTCCAGACTCTCTACTTGGTTCAAATTAGACTCTTGTGCATATGCTTCGCAGAAATCTTCCTCAGCCACGTTTATGCAGGGGTATATTCGCCTAGATATGTCTATCAAACCTCCGTGGACTGAGAAGCGAGCTATTCAGAGTCTGTCTTGTCCAGTGCATCCCCAAGCCATCGCCACAACCTCTTGTCCGCCACAAAATTCGGATTCATTTCCGACATCAGCATCAGCTTTCTCGCAACGGCACTCCTCTCAGTCTCCATCTTAAGACCGTCTTCCTCCTCCTCAGACTCGTCCTCCTCAGATTCGTCCCCCTCAGATTCGTCCCTCTCGGCATCCTCCTGCAACTTAGCCAGCAGTTTTCTCCCATGCTCTTGCATGCTCCTCTCGTGAAACGTCCGGGGAATATCGTCAGATCCGTCCTCGTGCGCGAGCTCGAACAACCTTTTAAAGAGCGTGTAATCTTGGGTAGAGAGCAGTCGCACCAACCGAGAGAAACGCCACATCATCTCACCTTTCACCCACAGCTCTGGTTCGATCGTTTTGCCTCCCTGCCCGAAGCCTGCTCTGAAGGCAGCAACAAGCGATTCTCCCGGTGGTGAGGTTGAGCCGCTGAGGCCCGGAGTGGCGAGCAGCTCGGATAGAGGGCCTGCGCACGCGGAACCCCAATCGATGATGGATGTCACGTTGAAGTTTTCATCCACAAATATATTGCCGCTGTGAAGGTCGGGGTGGCAAGGGACAAATCCCCGACTCTGAGAGGCGTGAGAGGTAAGAGAAGGGATCATCTCGCGCAGGAACTCGCCGGCGAGACAGTATGATAGGCGATTTTTTCTGCCTTCGGCTCCCTCCCCAAGCAGGTAAAAATCTTGCCACCTGTCTACTGCTGCTTTGTAACTGGCCCAGTCACGGTACTCGAAAGCATCAGGGATCGGCGCAAAAAAGTTGTGGGGGCTGAGTCGAAGCTCTTTGGCGTGAGACACAAACGCTGATATCAGAGAGCTCAAGTACTGGCTCTCTTGGTCAAAGGGACCTCGGTCGATGCCTTCAAGCGTATCCCTCTTTTCCCAGAGGAGCGATGGGTTCAGGCACTCGCCAACAGAGCAGTCGCTGCTACCGTCTTCGGCTTCGAATAATGACCCAATCTTGTCAAAATGAATCTCCGACAGTAACGACATGATGCTTCCGAGTTGGCCCATTATCTTCTCTCGGTCCGGGTCTGCCAGGGGCAGGAGTGGGATCCGCAGCGTATAGCCCGGTATTCGAAATGCCTCGGACCAGTCGTACTCGGAAAGGGCGCGGCCGGAGGCCTTGCTCATGAGAATATAAGGCACCCCAATCTCGCTGTCGTGAGAGCCACTAGTTTTGACAAGTCAGTCATCAGAAACAATGGCAAAGACGGTATACCGTATATCTGTTAGCTAACCTGAAGGAGTAGACTTCTGGGACCGGGACCGAGCTGTGCTTCCCAAGATACTTCAAGGTAGAAGCTCACTGATGGTCATCTTGTAATGAGATTCGGTTTTGATGCTCATGCTACGGCGCGGGGAGCGAAAGACCCATTCAATCCCATCGTCAAAGGTGATGAAGATGACCCAATTCAAACTTCCGGCTTTCGGTCTCTTTGACACGTCTGCGGTGCATGGCCGGCCGCCTCGAAGTTGTGTAGCAAGAGAAAGAAGTGCATCGAGGTTGAATTTGGCGAATGCGAAAATCCTCTCGCGCCTTTCTGGCACGTCGCCCATGATGTGGAGAGTGGACTGAACGGCCTACGAACTGGTTTTAGGGGGACATCCAACCAACAACCAACATGGCGTAGCAATAACCCAAGTCCAAAAAGAGAGCAGAGTTGCTTGTCTTGCTACCTGGGCGCCTCGGGGCCGCCTCGTGGCTGGGACAGCCTAATCAGCAGGGCAGCCCGGGGGGCGTTAGCCAGCGGCTTGCTGGAATGGCTGGGCTTTGAATGCCTCCGTAAGCCCGTTGCAAGCAGCGCTTGCTCGTTATCTAGGCTCGGTCACCTTCATGGGAGAGTCGGCGAGGGCGAGGGCGCATCTCGGTGTTGTCGCTGAGTTCACAGTACTGTGCGAGATACCTGTGAGGCTGTGGTCCCTTGTGCAGGTACTTCCGACCAGAAAACGGGGCTCAACTGTAGGCCCAAAACGTGGCCAGCCAACACCAACACTTGTATTCTTTCTATAATCCCAGGACGAATAATCTCATTTCCAGGGGGTGTGCTTATGTTGCATTTTAGTCAAGTTGAACTGACTTCTATTTTATCCCCCAGGTCGATGCATCCATCAAGGTCTCTATGACTCGAGTGAAATCGGCAGACATGTCTCAGTGCGTTCACAGCAACTGACGCCAGCGAAGATGCAAAGGCCCCTCTCCATGTCAGAATAAAATGCCCATTATGACCTGAGTTCTCCAACCGCTGCCAACTTGGATTAAAACGTCTCTTTATAGACCAATTAACATGTACAAGACCCTCACTGCTCATACATGTCCTCATCCTCTCGAGGCCACTCCACCTCAAACTCAGCCTCGTCATCCTCATCCTCCACAAACGCAAATGCGACCAGGCTGTTATTCTTCAAGCCCAGCTTCGTCGGCGTGCTCTCGCCATTTTTGTGGTTCAGCTTCTTCCAACCCCGCGTCGGGTCGTTGGGGACGGTGAGAACTCCATAGGCAACGACGGCATCGGTTGCCTCGGGGACAGGCGTGGTCTTGGGAGGTGCAATCGACGTTGTCAAGCCGCCGGGGTATCTCTCTTGCAATGTCTCCAGAAGCTGGGTTGTGATGGCGCTGAAGGGCGCAAGAGCGTCGACAAAGAGGTAGATGGTGTGAATGCCGTGCCTGAAGCGCACCGAGATGTGGGTGTCGTCGAGCTCAGACTATATCACGTCAGCCAATTGTAAGTTAATTAATAGCCGAGGGGTTGATTCCAGTTTGTTCGTACCATCTTGACGATATGTGTGCTTGATGATGCCGCACCCTGGGCTTGGAGGGGCACACTCGCGAAGAGTTGTTCGCGAGATCACGTGATAGCGCGTAGAGGAGGACAGTGAAATGACCCAGAACTCGGTTTCAAATCAGGCTTATGAATAATTATCCTCAAGTTAAGCCTAGATATGTGCCATGAATTGAGCCAGTTCATGCAACGTAAAGAGAGTCGATCCCAGCTTCTGTAGGTAGACATGGGCCGTGTGAATGGACCGTGTGTCTACGTTACCACACTGTTCCGATATCGAAAGACTGCAGCTTTTCACATGGACACAGCTCCCAGCTCGACCAGCAATATATTACGAGCTCAACCACCCGCGACGTCCGAATCTCGCTGGCCACCGCATCTCCGGCGTCAACTCCCTGGCTCGACGCAAAACGACCTGCCCTGGACGCCCGCGTGACCAGGCCCCCACCGAAGCTGTCCGAACACCCGTCCACGATGCCCGCAACAACCGACTCTCCCCCTACCCCGACCGGCCCGGCTCTCACTGCCACGATGACGGTGCATGCCCCGGCGGATGCTCCAGAAGCGTTCCCGCATGATGCTTTCCCACGGTTGTCCATCGCGACGCCGACCCGGCTCATGATGGGCACCATCTCGTCGGCGCTGCTGGGACTCGGGCTCGGCGCCACGCAGGGCGGCCAGATGGCGCAACTGCGGTTCCGAGCTGAGCACGCTCACAAGATGCCCGACTCGACGGCTGGCTGGTACTTTTATCACAAGTCCAAAAACTACCACGCCATGCAGGGCGGTATCCGTGAGGGCTTCCGCATGGCCTTTAAGACGAGCTTCTGGACTTTGGTGGCATTGTCACTGGAGAGTACTGTGGACAGGTGCCGTGGGTCTAGCGACATGTTTTCAACGACAATTGCGACTTTGACGGTTGCAGGAGCATTTTCCCTTTGGCGTAAGTGATGTTGCTGTTCTCGGTTTGGTTCGGTTCCTTTCTTCCTGTCCTGCTCCGTTCTAGGGCTACGTTCTAGATACCGGAGTGGAAAGCAACGGGTAGATATTGCATGCAAGTGGACCATTGCTAACAAGCGCCGATACTCGGCGTCGCATCCAGATCGGCTCTCTATGACAGCAGCAGCGCGGACGGCCAGACTGGGCCTCATGTTTGGGCTTGCGTATGGCGGCGTCCAGGACCTCGTGGGCTTAGCCCGAGGCAGACCGATCGGTTACGTCGATTTTATCAAGCGCCGTAGTGGACGGACGGCTGCGTCCCACAAAGACGCCCTCGACAGCCAACCAGCGGTGTGAAGTGGTCGGCGGCGGTGGAGACTGAGGCCAGACGCATCTCGCACCCGCGCCGATGCCATCCGCGCTCAAGTGACCGCACGATACGCTGCGCGCGGTGGCCCTACTTTTATTTGTCTTGTGTAAAGCAATCCCGGCGGCCGGCGGCGGACCATTAAACGGGTCATGCTGAGGGTCCCTGTCTAGTCGAGTTCGGCCCAGGTCCAGCGCAGTGGCCCGGTCCAGCGCAGAGCCCCATCTCCATCTCGGCACAGCGAGTCGTGAGCATCTGCCGGGAGCAATCAGCCGCAAGGTGTTGTCTGACGAGCTGCAGGATGGACACTGCAACGGAACTACAAATCTCCACAGCGCACCCCTACCCCAATGTCGAATGCCAATGCCAGTACCATGCCACCGTCGCTCTCCGTCACTCGTCAATCATCAACGTGGTGACATGATGGCATCTGCAGGCTGCGCAATCGGACTACAACGCCTGCAACCGGCCGAGAGAAGTCTCCGGCTCAATGCACAACAACCCAATCACCACCTGCATTCCTTTCCTCAGTGGTTCATTGCTGATTTCTGCGCTGTGGGGGGAGTCAATTCGGGGGTTATCTCGAGACCAGGTCTCAATCCCCCACGACGGCTACACTCGGCCCTCACACCAACGCCCCAGTAGCCCGCTTCTACTTGCCAGGGTGGCCACGTGACGGCGATAAGCTCAATTAGGTGCTGGAATCCCTCCCCTTAGCATCACACGCGATCGTTTGGCGTCGGCCATTGCGGTGGCCCTTGCGGGAGGCGGGGAAAAGCGTCTGGCTTACTGATTCAATTGCTTGGGTGCGTGCGGCTTAGCGGAGGCGGAGACCGGAGAGGCGACGAGTGGAGGAGCGATGAATTGGCTGCTCTGATAGCGGCGCCACCGAGCTTGGCCGTTGCCCGTTACCCGGATGATAGAGACGCAAGAGATACAGATATAAGGACGTCCCCGTTGGCTGGTGTGTAGTGTGCATGCTCTATCGTGGTTATCTTTGATATCTATCTAAGCTCGTCCATTCCTCACTCTCCCTAGAGACGATAGCTTCACTTATCAACGTCATCACTCCCAGCTTATATACACAACACCACCACAACACCACCACACCACACACCACACCACACAACACACCACATACCCAGATAAACACAAACACACTTCCCTACAACTCTCTCACATCTCTCTCACTCTCTCATAACCTCCAAAATGAGCTTGGCCCGTGGCCGAGGGTGCCGGCCCCTCCGCTTGGCCGCCTCCCCTTACAACATCATCGGCTCCTCACCCGCCTCCATCTCCATCCTCAGACTGCGGCCCTGCCTCGCGACACCCTCACGCCGCCGCATCCACTCGTCGCAAAAGCGCACCTCCACCATCGCAGACCACCCCATCCCGGACCCCCTCCCTCCCACCATGGGCACCGGCCGCGCGCCGCTGGCCGTCCTCTCGCTGACCATGGTGCTGCGCTCGCTGGCCACGACCGTCGTGTCGTCGTCGCCCATCCTGCTGCCGCCGTCGCTGCGCATCATGGCCCTGCTGGCCAACTCGTCGAACCCCGTCCTCAACCCAGACAAGAATCCCCTTTTGCGCTTCTTCCTCAAAAAGACCTTTTACGCCCAGTTCTGCGCTGGCGAAAACGCCCCCGAGGTTCGCCAAACCATTTCCGGCCTCAAGAACATTGGCTTCACCGGCGTCATTCTGTGCTACGCCAAGGAGGTCGTCTTGACTAGCGACCAGGCCAAGGCCCTGGGCGACCCTACCAAGGAGACCAAGGAGGCCATCGACAACGAGATTCGCCCCTGGGCCGAGGGCACGCTGGAGACAGTCCGCCTGGTCCAGCCCGGCGACTACGTTGCGCTCAAGTAAGAACATTCCATGCCCATTGCTAGCTCAAACTAACATCACCCAGGTTCACAGGTGCCGGCAGCCTAGCTCTCGGCCAGCTCAAGGCCCGCCTCGCCGCCTCTCCCACTCTCTACAAGTCCATCGATGACATCTGCCAGCTCGCCCAGCAGCGCGGCGTGCGGCTGCTGTTCGACGCCGAGCAGGACATGCTCCAGGACGGCATCGACGACTGGACCATCGAGTTCGCCCGCAAGTACAACAGCGGCGTCAACGACCCCGTCATATACGGCACCTACCAGGCGTACAAGAAGTGCGCCCCCGAGGTGCTCTCCAAGCACCTTGCTCTGGCGCAAAAGGACAAGTTCTCGCTGGGCGTCAAGCTGGTCCGCGGTGCCTACCTGGGCTCCGATCCCCGCCACCTCTTCCACGACACCAAGGAGGACACCGACGTGTGCTATGACAAGCTCGCCGCCAGCGTCCTGACGCGCCAGTGGAGCAGCAGCGTCAAGGGCGAGGGCGTGTACCCGCCTTCCAGCCTGATGATTGCCTCGCACAACGCAGAGTCGGTGCGCCGTGCCCGCGCCATCTGCGATGCCGGGACGGCCAAGTCGGACGTCTCGTTTGCCCAACTCCAGGGCATGGCCGACGAGGTGAGCTGCGAGCTGGTCGAGGCTGGCCAGGCCGCGCGCGAGGAAAAGGGCCACAAGGCGCCGGCTCTGCCCGCCTACAAGTACCTGGTCTGGGGAACGACCGGCGAGTGCATGAAGTACCTGCTCCGTCGGGCGCAGGAGAACAAGGACGCCGTGCAGCGAACGCGGGACAGCCGAGACGCCATGTGGACCGAGTTGGTCCGACGGTGTAAGAGCGTGGTCGGTATGGCGTGATTAAAGACAAAAAGGAAAAAGGCATTGATGATAATGAATTCCATCATGGGTAGCGATTCTGGGAGTCTGGTGATTTAGATCATATAGTAGAGCAGGATGCATAGATGAAGACAAGGCTTACGTTGTTCCTTGAATTGGCCTGATCTGGCCTGGTTTGACCCATTTGACCCATTTGCCCTTGATTTGCCCTCTTGGTCCTGACTGTCCCTGATCTATTCTTTGATCTTTTACTTGAATTTCCAGCGCCTTGGTTAGGTGTGCCGGTTCATACTCCGCGCAAGGCCATCCCCCCCATGACCAACATTTCCATCTCCTTCTGCTTCAGCTTCTCATCTCTAATATCGTCAAGCCATTTAAGACCGTTGAGCTTGTAGTACTTGCGCACTTTGGCAAGGTCCGTCACGGCGGAAATGTTGTCGTCTGTGAGATCCAAAGCTTCGCCTTCGACATTGGCTTTCAAGTGTTCCCAGATCTGCTCGCTGTTGAGGGGCGGAGTACCGTCTTCGGCCGGGAATGTGATTTTGATAGCGATGAGGTCTTTTGTGGACGGGGAAATACCGAAGCGGCGGTATGACTCGGTAATCTGGGACATCAATCAGCTCAGGGTGGCTTGACAGTGGGGTGTCGTACATTGCTAGACGAGTTGAGAGCTACCACAACCTCCGAGTGGACATTGGGGGTCTTGAGCGTGCCATTTACTGCGTTGACCGCTGCCTTAAATACAGCCGAGAGAAGTTGAAGTCGTGACACAACCTATAGAATTATCTGAGACCTTGTTCCGTGGCTAGTGCTTGGTCGGAACTAACGATAGAGGCATCGACGAGACCGTACTCGAAATCCCCGTTCCTTGAGAGAAGTTGCTGATGCAGGAACGGCGCGTTCTTGACGTCACGGAAGAGAACGGCGTGGACCTTGTATGAGGAGGGGAGATGCTCGAGGGTGATAGTTTCGAGAGACATGGTTTGGTCGCCAGCGCAACTCGGAGCGCAGTCGGAGCTAGAATGCCGATAGAAGCAGTGGATCCTCGGAGAAGGCGACGGCAGTTCAGGGTGCTGGAAAGTGTCGTGACTGCGCGCTCGCTTGTCGTCGGTCGTTGTCGATTGTCGCAAATCGAGATGTAGAGTGGTTGTGCAGGTCATGGTGTGGAGGGGTAAGATCATGGTGGAGGCTTTGGCGGGGCATGTCGCACAGTCAACTGACATGCTCGACACTGTACGAGATGGAGGCTGACAGGCCTCGTGGTACCCTGGTCTGTCAACCGAAGCTGATGTCGGGCTGAAATGCAGGTCTCTAATTAATGCGACAACTCGGCTGGTAGAGATAAGGCTGGCATGGTAACGATGAGGTATTATTTGGCAGCAGTCACTAACTAGTCTCTATCGCAGCCAGGTACTCATCAAGCCAACCTCAGACCAAGCCCACATTCTCAGAGTCGAGACCGGGTCAACACTTCAAGGCGATTCATCAGAGACATTTACCGGATCTTACGGCTCACCCGGCCATCTGGACAGGGCGTGAGGCCTTTGTTAGGAAGCTTTCAACTAGACGCGGCCCAAGGTTTCCAGGCACGGGAACACGGGAACGCGATCTGCGTCGGTAGTCGGCAACGCAAGTAATTAAAATGCGCAGCGAGGTGTGCTAAGGTGTGCCAAGGTGTGCTATAGGCGAAGGGGAGGTAGGGCTGAGCTGCACCATGGCATGCACCATCCATCCACAGGGTCGGGTCAGCACAAATGGTGCCGTGTGCCTGGAAATCGGGCCAGGCGGGTCACATTGTTCTCTCCAGACATTGGGACAGTGACAGTATCTATTCGGCTTTTAGGGCTTCTTCCTTGGGACTAGTCATGTGGAAACATACGTGGCCGTACTCGTCTCATTGTACGTAGTCTGTATATCCATCCTCGGTTCCAAGGTTGAATGATTGGTCCCCGGCTCAAGACCTCAGACCACGTACCTGGTATCCTTTCAGTCGATAGAGTTCCAACGGAACCTCCGACCTCGTATCCCAACGCCACAAAGTCATCGTACCGACATTTTACACCTACACTTTTGCAATCGCTGGGTGTGGCTTGCCTGTCAGCTGCCACTGCATGATCCCTCCTGTTGCCTGCATGCATATGCATCAAGTCGCCCCCTCCGGACAGTTCAACTCTGGGTCGGGGAACCACATGTCGCGTGTGAATGAGCGTGCCAAGTTGAAGAGACTCTGGGCTCGCATGCTACGTGCTGATACTAGTCCTCGGCGCTTCTCGAAGCCATGGCCGTCGGTTCTCTCGGTCCTTTCTTCCATGCACGCTCATGGCGGTTCCGGCTCCGGGAGGTCTCTCTCACCTCTTCGGAGGGCGGACTTACCGAACAACAATAGCAACCTGGATGGTAGACGGAGATTTCATCGCCAAGTCCGAGGATGCACAGTTTGAAGCAGTATATAGGTTGGAGGCGAGGTTGAAATGGAGGGGAGTTGAATCAGACCATGACGAGTCACTATACCACGACTCAAACAGACTCGAACAAGCACAAACAAGCACGCAAACAAACTCGAATCATTCACCACTCACATATTATTCTTTTTGGGTAAACCCAGTTTCCTCTTCTGGCCTTTTGCATTTGGTCCGAAAGATTGCAGAAAGCATCGCTCGTGGGTGAGTCGGTCTCGACCATCCAGACCATCCAGACTCCCTACTGACGATCGAGGCCCCAAGCCCGCGCCACCAAAGACGCAGCCCAGTGGCAGCCGCAGCGCAGCCGCAGCGCCGCAGAGCAGAGGCCGCCTCCCCGGACCCCAGCGCCCAGGCCACAGCCCGCGACGCCCAGGTTCACTGCCAGGCCACTAATGCACAGCCCATTCCCCGCTGGGCCCGCCCCCTGTACGCGCACAGTGCCCCCACTACCCGCCTGCTACGGTAGGGCGTCAGGGAGCTGGTTCGACGGCCACAGGCAAGGCGACGGCGACATGATGGAGGCCTTGGTCGCCCAGCGCAGCCTCAGCTTCCCGTTTGCGAACTTGACGTCGACATCGCAGCAGCAGCCGCAGACTCAGTTGCAGGCGCAGACGCAGACGCACTCGCAGATGAATCCGCTGCAGACGCCCTCGCAACCGCATCCGCAATCGCATCAGCACCTACAGCTACAACCCCCCGGCTGGACGCTCCCCTGCTCCTGGCCCGTCGCCCCGTCGCCCTGTACCGCTGCATGGGCCCCGGACTCTCGCAGCCTACGCCCTGTGAGAGCTGCGACCCGACCCTCTGGGCAGCGCCCGCGCCAGCAGCCCGCCCCCGTCGCCGTCCCAGCGCCCGCGTCAGTGCCAAAGCCCACGTCCAGCACCATCCGCAGTCCGTCCTCAACCTCGCCCGCGTCCTCCAGGTCGTCCACCTCCTCCTCCGCTTCCGCCTCCGCCTCCGTCTCGTCCAGGGACATCTCTCCGCGCTCAAAGCCCAAGATGCCTGGACGGCCGGTCAAGCGGCCGGCCGGCAGCGGCGACGACGAGAGCCCCGGCCACGGTCACGGCCCCGGCCCCGGCTCCAAGGTCAAGCTGCCGCGACTGGAGCGTGGCCCGGACGACTTCTCCAGCGTCGTCAAGAACCGCCTCCAGTCGTACACGCGCACCGGTCAGGCTTGCGACAGATGCAAGGTGAGCAGCCGTCCAATTTCTGTCCACTGTCCTTCCGTCCACTGTCGACCAAATGCTGACTGCGCCCCCAACAGGTCCGCAAGATTCGATGCGACGCCCTCCCCGAAGGCTGCTCCCACTGCACCAACCAGAGCCTCGAGTGCTACGTGACCGACCGCGTCACAGGCCGCACCGAACGCAGAGGCTACATGCAGGAGCTCGAGAGGGAAAAGACCGACATGCTCACCCACATCCGCGACCTCGAACGCCTGCTGGGCGACAACGGCGTCGAGGTCCAGCCCTGGCAGTGGTCGCCCTTCGCCCAGTATCCTCCTGGCGTCACCTTTGACAACCTAGGCAACCCGGTCCAGGACCCCAACTCGCCCGATTCATGGACTCAATTCGGTACCGCCTGGGTCAAGAATTCCGCGCCGAAGCCTGCCGTCGCCCACACCTTCCCCCGCACACTACTCGAGTCCCGTCGCGGCGAAGGACATTTGGGAGTGAGAGGCGACGACAGTGCGCCCTTGAGCTCCATCAAAGGCACCCAGTTGTCCATCCTAGGAACCACCGTCGACCTCGTCTCGTTCGAGGCGCCCGATATGGACGAGCCCCCAGCCGACGCCAAAGCTGCAGCGCCGCTCTACAACAAGTCCACCCAGGCCTTCCTCCAGTCGACCATGAACAGAAATCCCCCTCTACAAGTCGACCTTCCGTCTCGAGAAGATGCCTTTACCTACTCGGAGTGGTACTTCATGACCATTTCTGCATTCCTTCCACTCCTCCACAAGCCATCCTTTCTACAATTAGTATGACCCCCACGCAGCAAATCGGACCATGCTAACCTCAACAGTTGACGAGACTATACGATGAGCCTGGCTTTCAACCCTCCATTTCCGAGCTCGTTCTCGTACACATGGTTTTTGCCATCATCTTCTTTCATTATGGTGTGCGCAATTGGCAAAAGGCCGACCAACGCGCTCACCTCAACGAAATGTCCAACAAGCACTACCATTTCGCCCTCAGCAAATTCTTTGAGCTCACCTGCGTTCCTGACCTTACCTCTGTCCAGGCCATGGCTTTGATATCAGTCCATGCCCGCGCCTTTCCCAAGCCTGGCGCTGCATCTATTGTCGTCAACCACGCCTTGCACCGCGCTCTCGAGTTGAACCTACACCGCGAGTCAAGACTACCGGGAGAGGAAACAAACCTCAACCACGAGTTGCGCAAGAGGGCCTGGTGGGTCATTTTGACCATCTACATTGCCATCAACGGCCGCCGCGGACTTCCAATGCCCATCACCGTCGAGGAGTTTGACGTCGGGTTCCCCGAGCCCATCGCCGATGAGCTTCTCAGCGAGGAAGGTGTGGACAGATCCCGCACTGTACCATGTGCGTACGAAGTCGGCATCCACAGTTTCAAGATTGTCCCGATTTTGATGGAGATGTACTCCAACATTTACAGCGTTCGACGGGACACCAAAAACTACGTCAACATTGTAAACGCTCTAGAAGCCCAGGTCAAAAACTGGGATGATGAGCTCCCAGGACACTTGAAGCTTGGCCACGCAGAGCAGACCGAGCACAATCACATGGCTGCCCTCTACATCAGGTCGTTTCTCCTCGAGTTCCGCCTGTTGCTTCGCCATCCTTCAGTCGGCATGACGACGGACAAGAAGATGATGGCGGAGAATACTCGCATCTGCGAAGACGTTGCGCGAGAGATGCTCCAAGTTCAACTGGAGATTCAAAGAGTCAAGTGTCTGGACACTACGTGGTATCAAATGTCCATGTACGCAGCTTCCATCTTCTCCATGCTAGTCGCCCACTGGGAGCGACGATTCGAGACGACCCCTGAGGCGATTGCTGTGTTGAAGGGAGAGATGAAAAGCTGGCTCGGAATTCTCGAAGAGACCGGATCACTATTAGGTACGTGGTACAATTCACATGATATCTCATCGCTAACATGCTCAGGCTCGGGACCACGAATCAGTACCGAGATTGGACAGATTATCGACCGTACCATTGAATGGATCGAGCACGATATGCGCAAGGGGAGCAAGCCTCCACTCCCTACGCCGGCTCCTTCAACAGAGGTTAAATCGGAACAGCCTCCTACCTACCAAGTCCCTGAAGTCGCTGTACCGCCGACGGTACCAGCACCGACGCCAAATGGGACCACGCAGCCTGAAGTCCCACCTAAGGGCTTCTACCAAGAGCCGAATATGAACGGCCAGACGCCATACACGCCGATTGCATTTGGCGAACAGGCGCAGACTACCATCCCTCCATCCACCTACGAAGCTGAAGCTGCTGCCATGTTCTTCAACCAATCGGCCCAAGCAGGTGCCGCTGCAGTCGTGACAGCAGTCCAGGACGTATCGGCTACACAGTCGAATCCCCTGATTGCTTTTGCCTCTCAAGCAACTCAACATGTTGCAGACCAACCTCCAGCAGAAATGCTCTGGCAGAGCCGGGGAAATACCTGGCATGACTGGACAGCTGCGCTCGCAGACACTCAAGAGCGATACAGCGCCACAGCTCTCTTGACGCTCGGGGGTGGTCCACGAGACCCTGTTGCCGTCTCAGGTGTCCAAGACGCGCCTGGACTAGCAACAAACATGAATGGCGTTCAACCTGGGGGCTCATGGCCATTGATGCTGTTTGATAATGTAGCACCCAATGGGTCTTGATTTTCTTTGTCACGAATGACTCACCTTTAGCATCATGGGCGTTATGGTAGGCGCTCCAAGGTACACATGGGATCGGTTACGGCTATTGGTTTTGACGGCATGAGCCGCGGTTGAGCGGGATGCTTATGAGGACAAACAGCATTGTACGTATGTATATGAGTATGTGAGCCATCTGCGTATGGTTAATGTTGGGAGGGAATCCCAACGTCACGACTAGTGACATCTAAGATAGAATAATTGCACCCCAATAATAATGGAACCAGCAATTGGCATTTCATATACTAAAGTTTCTGACTTGAGGTGATCTTTGGTGGTCTCTTGTACAGCGCTGACTCAGCCGAACTTTTGCCGACAGCTAGCTTCCACCCAACCTTCCATCGTCGCGTTCACCAGCTCACTTCAAAGTACGCTGCAGCCTGCAATCATCTCCAGCACAGTCTCCATCGCCTCGCATCGCGGCCTATTCGACTCTACCACTCGTGGATACTTCCGCGACCGGCGACAACATGGGAAAGAAGCGGCGCGGCCACCCCGACGTCGAGGAGATCCTCGGCCGTCCTTGGTGCTACTACTGTGCGAAGCTTGCGCCTCCTCTGGATGAACCTTAGCTGACCGTATCAGGCGAGCGTGATTTTGAGGATTTGAAGCTCCTCATTTCTCATCAAAAGGCAAAGCATTTCAAGTGCGATCGATGTGGTCGCCGACTGAACACAGCTGGAGGTTGGTCACGCGCGAGCCCGGTTTGACAATTGCTAACCTTGACTGCAGGTCTTTCCGTCCACTTGAACCAGGTCCACAAAGAAAACCTCTCCCAGGTCGAGAATGCGCTCCCGAACCGACAAGGCCTCGAGGTTGAAATCTTCGGCATGGAGGGCATCCCGGCCGAAATTCTCGACCAGCACCGCAACCGCATCATTCAGAACTTCTACCAGGCGCAGGAGGACAGGCGGGTCGCGACTGGAAACCCCTTGCCTGGCCAGGACATGAACAACTCTAGGAAGAAGCTCAAGACCGAGTCGCCAGAGGAGCTCAAGAAGCGGTTGGAGGAGTTCCGGGCACAGCGGAAGAATGGGGGATCCAAACCTACGGATTCTGCCAACCCGCCTGCCGCAAACCCGGCGTCTTTCGTGAGTTTCCTGTCCCGACTGTCTGGATATGAATTAACGCGTAATAGAACCCCTCTTTCCAGCCTTCCCAACCTCAGTACGACCAACAGCCTGGCTTCCCTGGTCAACCTCCAGCAGCGTCCTACGGCTACTCGGCGACCGCGCTCCCTGCACGACCATCAGGAAACCTTCCCGCTGCGTCCGGACTCCCTCAGCGACCGACTCAAGGTGGAAGCTGGAACGGTCCCGGTGCGGCGACTGGAGCTGCATCTGGGGATGACATTGACCAGCTGATACGCATGGCAGAGGCCGGCATCAAGCCCCCGCAAAAGACCGAGGCCGGAGACGATGACAAGAAGGGCAAGAAGGACAAGGACAAGAAGACCCGGATGATGTACGACGATGCGGAAATCAGCCCCGAGGAGAGAATGGCCGCGCTGCCCCGGTACGTGTTTGCGCCGGAGATTGCTGCCTGAGCTTTGGACTGTAGACCTGAGCTTTGGCACTGGTAGACTGGGGCTTTACGGGACAAGACACTGAGGGATGTATCGTTGATGGGTCGGGGCCTTGTATTGCATGGATGGCGTCTTGGGTGTAAATTAAGGATCAATGATATTCTCACATCTAAGGTTCAGTCTGTTAAGTGAGTGCGTTAGTAGCTGGAGTCATCCGAAGACTAACGGACGAAACGATGGATATGGCAATGGTCCCAGCTTCTCCTCAATCCCGGTGTATTCCACGTAAAACGGCTTGACCCGTCCGAATGACATCTCCACAGGCAATGCACAATCTGCAGAGCAGTCCAAGCGTAGCTGTTTGTGAGAATAATAAACAAGTACGGCTTGTAAACAATGGGTCTATTGAGGGATTCGTTGGATGGCGGTCTGTTTCAAAGTTCTCGCTTTGGTTGGTTTTCGACAGGAGGAAATTTTGTGAGTGATCATCTTATACCCGCATTAGCAACGTCCAAATGTCAATTCGCAGGATAATAAGAAAACATTAGGAACCAAATTAATTAAATATTTATTCAGCATATTGTAGAATACACACCGAGTTGTAGAATATCCAGACATTGACGATTGACCCATCCCATCCAAACTGTAGGGTAGCGCATGTGCTAGCAGTGCCTAGCACCCTAGCACAGGCACCCTGGCCAAGCCCCTGACGGCCCCTGCCGCGACCCAAGTTACCACAGCAACGCGTTTTTCTGGGGCCGGGAACAACAAACCAACGTCACCTACACCGTGCTCGGCAGTTCCAACTGAAGACTGCCACGACCGCAACGACGACTAACGACCTCCCGCAGAACGACTTCCGGGCGGCTTCGATTTCCTTCCTCATCGCCTCAGCCTCACCCATTTCGACCATTGTTCCCATGATTGGCGACCTCGTGAAGAGCGCGCACTTTATTCTTTGCCATTAACCTTTGTTTACTTGCCCCGCCAGCGCTGCACTTCCAGGAGCTTCGAGGCGATATAGCTCTCGGAGCAAAAACACCACATACCATGGCGAACAACGGCCAGTCGTCCATCACTGTTGCTGGTATGCCGAGTGTGTCCAGGATCCCAGACGTTGCTGACCATTCTAGTTCGAGTACGGCCGTTCACGATTCGAGAAGCTGCACAACTGTACGACCTCGACCTTGGGCACTAGGCCTCATTGCTGACAGTGGTACAGACAAAAGAACGATGACGGGACAGTTTTTCTCGGCGACGGCTCGCTTGCTGCTGTGCCTACACCAAAGCTGCACCAGCGCGGCATCCGAAACGTCGTCAAAGTTGTCGATGACCGGTGTTTGTACGTGAACTCGCCACAACCATGGACGCTACTAACCAGGCGCAGAGTCTTTGATCCTCCCGAGGAAAGCCCTGTCCACAAATTCGGTCGGTCGGTTCTGCCCTCTTCGAAAAAGGTCAAGGACCAGGTTTTTGCCTTTGACCGCGTCTTTGACGAAAACACGACGCAATCCGAAGTCTACGAAGGCACCACCAGAGCGCTCCTCGACAGCGTACTCGACGGATACAATGCCACCGTCTTTGCCTACGGCGCCACCGGATGTGGCAAGACACACACCATTACCGGAACGTCCCAGCAGCCTGGCATCATCTTCATGACCATGCAGGAGTTGTTCGAGAAGATTGAGGAGCGCAGCCAGGACAAGACCACCGAGCTCAGCCTCAGCTACTTGGAGATTTACAACGAGACGATTCGAGATTTGCTGGTTCCCGGCGGCGGTCAAGCTGCTCCCAAGGGTGGTTTGATGCTCCGCGAGGACAGCAACCAGGGCGTGTCTGTGTTTGGATTGTCGAGCCACCACCCCAAGGATGTGCAGGAAGTCATGGATATGATTGTGCAAGGAAACGAATACCGAACTGTGTCGCCCACCGAGGCCAACGCCACCTCGTCGCGATCGCACGCCGTCCTCCAGATCAACGTGGCCCAGAAGGACAGAAACGCCGACGTCAGCGAGCCGCACACTATGGCCACCCTCAGCATTATCGATCTGGCTGGTTCCGAGCGAGCATCTGTCACCAAGAACCGCGGTGAGCGTCTTACCGAGGGAGCCAACATCAACAAGTCGCTGCTGGCTCTCGGAGGCTGCATCAACGCCCTGTGCGACCGCCGCCAACGAGCACACGTACCCTACCGAAACAGCAAGCTCACCCGTCTCCTCAAGTTTTCTCTCGGTGGAAACTGCAAGACGGTCATGATTGTCTGCGTTTCGCCATCCAGCGCCCACTTTGACGAGTCTCAAAACACCCTCCGATACGCCAACCGCGCCAAGAACATCCAGACCAAGGTGACTCGCAACGTCTTCAACGTGAACCGCCACGTCAAGGACTTTTTGGTCAAGATCGACGAGCAGATGGCCTTGATCAACGAGCTCAAGGCTCAGCAGAAGGATGCCGAAAACACCTTTTTCGCCAAGTTCCGAAAGCAGTGCGAGAAGCGCGACAGCCTGTCCCGGGAAGGAATCCAGCGACTTCGAGCAGCCTACGACAACTCGTCCGCCGAGCGCAAGGATTGCATCACCAACATGAAGAAGTTGAAGGCTTTTGAGCGTCGCATCGGCATGCTGTCGGGGTGGATTGCGGCTTTCGACACCGTCTGCGAGCAGCGAGGTGATGAAGATTCGATGCCCCAGAACCTCGTCACCATCCGAAAGACGGCACTAGGCGTCCTTGTTGAGCTGGAGAATAGCAGACAGCACATTCACCAGAAACTGGACAAGGGCAACTGGGAACGCTCCATCGACACAGCCCTCAGCCACAGCCTGAAGCAGCTCGAGGGCAGCGAAGGCGCCGACACTGGCGAAGTTGCTAGCCTGACTCGCGAAGCAGAGCTTCTCAAGTCCAACTTCAACCGCGAGGCCTACCGAGAGGTTCTCGAGCAGGGCAAGGCTGGTGATGCTGCCATGGTGCAAATGCTTCTCACGGCGCAGTTTGATATCCTGACGTCTCTCTCCGACACCATGACCATGGATGAGGAGGATGCTGTGGCCCACGCCAAGGAAATCATCAACCGCCTTCTTCAGACTGGCTACACCGCCGCCTCACAAGTTGTCAAGCCCGATGGACCCATTCCCGTCTTGGAAATCTTCCCTCCCTCTCGACGAGGCACCCCCAAGCGCAAGAAGATGGTATCCGTTTATGCCAGACCCATTGCGCAACCTGTTTTGGCACCTGCCCCGGTTGAACCGATGAGCCCTACCAAAGGGTCGCCCCGACGACGTAAGGTGATGGGAGCCAAAAAGGGCATAAGTTTTACGCCTGTAAAGAAGACTAGAAAGGGCGGAGTGCGATGGCGAGACGATGAGACGGAGGAGGGCACACTGGCAGACTTTGAGAAGACGCCACAGAAGTTTGTCTCCCCTTCACAGTCGACTCCCGAAAAGGCCCTTGTCGCTCCCCCAATTGCGGCTTACCTCGATGAGGAGCTGGAGGAGGAAGTTGAAGAGGTTGAGATTGAGGAAGTCGAAGACGAAGAGGATATGACTGAGGTGACTGAGGTGACGGTGACTAGGGAGTTGACCAAAGAGTTGACCAAAGAGATGACCAAAGAGCTGAAGGAGCCAAAGGAGGAGACAAAGACTATCAACATGGAATCGAGCCCAAGCCTTGAGATTCCCCGAGCTTCTAGTCTGGCGGCAAAGCCTAGCAGATTCCAAGCAGGTTTCCTGTCCAAGGGCCCTCGACCTTCGTATGCTGGAGGTTCGCCAATTCCCCGAGCTCCCTCATTCAGCCTCAACCTGGCATCCAGTTCTCCCGATGTCCAGCGAACACCACCATTGCGATCCCTAGATGTCAGTAAGACTGGCAACCTGTCGCCATCGCCCTCCCAGATCGCCGTTCCGATACGGACTCTACGATCTCGGCCATCCATCATCGACGAGAACAACCCGCTCAACAACAGCTTCTGCTCCGGATCGGATTCGGACTCGAGCACCATGGATGCCCGCAAGCTCCGCACTGCGATGCACTCTGCCATGAAGGAAAAGGCTCGTAGAATGAGCATCATGACGGGAGCTACTGCGTCAAACGCCCGGCGAATCTCATCAATGGGCTCGTTGAACGCTGACCGACCTGGACCCAGGCCTAGCTTGCCTGCACTGGCCAGCAGCACCAACGGCATCTCTCGTCTCCGTCGCGGTAGTACTGAACGACGGAGGAGCCCACCATTGACGTGCTCTCCACCTGACTGGAAGGGCGACCGAGCCTTGACTCCCGGTCAAGCGCGGCGGATGAACATGGGAGGAACTGTAAGAGTCGACAATATGGGAGGAAGCCCTCGTGGAGGTCTTGCTGGTGAAAAGGCCCGGCGGATCACTATTGGTACCGGAGGCGCAGGTCACCGCAGGCAAGAAAGCCGAGGGAACACATGGCGATGAGTGTGCAGTCGCGGTATCAAATTGTAATGATGGCCTTGAATGAATTATCGGGTGTGTTTTGAGCCTGGAGTTTCGGTAGTGGCGTTCCGGACGCTGGAAGATTGCATATGACCTGTATTGATTTGTGTAAGAGACTATGCATGTGTATTTGGAGTGATGAAGAACTTGGAGTGAGACGATTGACCATCTACGATGAATTCCCAAGTCCGGAGACATGTCAGCTTCAAGATGCACGCACTGGTCGTAAAGCCAATCGGTTATAAGACCGAGGTGATGCGTGGACTGGCGTTATGATGCTTGCGCGCTGAGACCTAACGCCGAAACTAGATTACGGCGATGTGGTTTCGGCGTTAGGACTAAACAGCTTCTTCATCGATGTGCGGGCCGACGAAATCCGGCGAGCTACACCCAAATGGCAATGGGTAATCTGACCCTTTCCATTATATTTCCGATCTCTCAATCCGATAATGCGGGGATGTCGGCGTTGACTTGGAATGTGGTTTTAGGTGTTGTGGCTGTTTCGGCGATAATTCGTCGCTGTCAGCACTGATGGTGTTAGAAGCGAAGCAGCAGGTAAGCAGCCACCAAGTTCGGAGACAAAGATGGTATTCAGAATGTATATAATCGTCTTGTTGTGCCTTGTTGTGCTTTTTTTTTGCATTCACAAACCACTCAAGCAACGATCATCCTTTATCCAACACCTTGATCCTACTGAAGCCACCTACACCACTTACTACAAACCACACACCACACACCACCCACATCATGGCCGTCCCAACTCCCGTTTGGTTCATCACCGCCGCCTCCTCTGGCTTCGGACATGAACTATCCATGATTGCCCTCAAGCGCAGCCACAAGGTCATTGCTACCGCCCGCAAGACATCTCGCATCCAGGACCTCGCCGATGCTGGCGCCGACACTAGGGCCTTTGACGTCACGTCGCCTCTCAGCGACATCGAGGCCCTCGCCAAAGACGTCTTTGCCAAGTACGGCCGCGTCGACTACCTGATCAACGCTGCTGGCTACATCCTTGCTGGCGCTGTCGAGGAAGCGACCCCTGAGCAGGTGTACGACTCCTTCAACACCAACGTCTTTGGCACCATGAACACCGTCAAGGCGTTTCTGGCGGGCATGAGGGCGCAACCCAAGGGCGCAAACGACACGCGCGGGACCATTGTGACGTTTGGCAGCATCGGCAGCTGGCGAGGAGGCGCGGGCTTCCCAGTCTACGCCATGACCAAGTCGTGCATGTCGTCGCTCGCCGAGTCGCTCAAGCAGGAGGTTGCGCCGTTCGACATTGTCGCCACCGTCGTCGAGCCGGGCTACTTCCGCACCAACTTCCTGAACCCGGACGTCAAGGTCATGACGCCCGTTATCGACGCCTACGACGAGACCACGCCGACGGGCCAGATGCGGAAGGCTCTGGAGCGCACCGACGGCAACCAGCCGGGAGACGTGAGGAAGGGCTGCGCGGTGATTGTGGATGTGCTGACGCAGACGGGCGTTGGAGAGGGCAAGCAGGTTCCGGTGCGGATTTGCCTGGGGCCCGATGCAGATGCGTTTATCCGGAGCAAGTGCAGCGATACGATCCAGCTGCTGGATGAGTGGAAGGACGTGACTCTGAGTACTGATCACACTGATTAGATGTGTGAAGCTGGAATGTGTTGGTGGAGTTGTAATTGATCCGAGCTAGCTGATGGCAGTAATCATTTGACGCATCCAAGATGAGACGTTCAACAAGACACGGATGAAGAAGCGTCGGGAACCGCAAAGAAATGTCTTCAATTTGATACCTTGCAATACACCTTTCGTACAAACTAATCTTGACACAATCCACGAACCGTCTAATTTTGCGCAGAAGCATAATCCCACCCGTGACGCCCTCGATGAACCCATTTGGATCCCGTCGCCGCTGAAGTCTGGGGAGTGCGCGTCCATCAAATAAATCCCTCCACCCGCCTATTGCTTGAAACATGAGAAATTGAGTATTCCTTCTGGGGCCAAATTACTTCACACTCATTCTCCGATTCCCACTGGATCCATCCCGTCGCTTACACAATCCATTCTTGAGTGGGCCTGAGCTTCAAATAGTCGAGAAGGATCGCTGACCTCCCTCAATTGGAACAGGAATTCTGTCCTGTTATCCGAATTCCTGTCATCATGACTTGCCCGAAATAATCCGAGCGTGGTTTTACCAGCGCCGTCCAGAGAGCTGACGCTCTACTGCCTTTTCAATGTCTTCGTGACGTCTGGCAGAGTTCAGTTGGCGTGTGACCTTTCTCAGTGTCTTTTTAAATCTCTTCATGTCCCTCTCCATGGACGAAGTTGAGCTCATGGACGGGGAACCAACAGTGCCGGCAGAGCTTGCAATGTCTTGATACTCAGGCCCGTAATAGACGTTCCTGGGGGCTGTGGGATAATTCGGGCTGCTATCATATTGTGGAGAAGGCATGTAGGCATGGTCGGGATGCGGAAAGTGGCCTTGGTTATAGCGGGAAGTAAGGGGATTAGGGGGTGTTGGTGCAAAAGGCGGGACCGCTTGAGGGAAGGGATTGGTGTAGGGAGGCTGAAGATAGACGTTGGTGCTGTGATACTGAAATCTCGGATCATAACCGTTGGGGTTGTAGCCCTGGGGGTTTGGAGCAAAGGGATTGCCGCTGTTGTATGCCGGATTGTAGGAATAGTTAGGGTCGTCATTTCGTTGGCCATAGATCGGAGGGGCAGGATATGGATTGGATCTGTTTTCCTGTCGAGCCCCATTCGAATTCAAGGGCTGAGAAGTCCTTTCATAGCTCCGAGTACGTTCGTTACGCGGGGGGGAAGGCATTGGATCTTCAACAGGGCTTTCGTAGACGCGGACTCTGATTCTGCCACGGGAATGACGCTCTGATTGGGGCATGGGTATGGGCCAATTCGAAGCTATATCCTGAAAAAGTTAGTGCAAGTCGTGCGAGGAACTGGCAGACTGACAACTGGATAGTAATATCGCTGATATAGAACTATCGGTAGGTGGCGAAGAATGCCTGGTGCAAAAACTCCAATTTTTTCGAGGCCACAGTTTGCAGGCACCTACAGATATGAAACATTATTTTAAGCCGCATGTCTCTGAGAGGTAAGCAAGGCATCTCACAAGGCAAAATGGGTCGCTTTCTTGTTATGCGCGTGGCTGTGAAAAACAGGCTCAATCGCCACACTCAAGTATCAAAAACTTTTCAATACGACACTGAGGCTCCCAGAGGTGCAATGATACCCTCGAAATACCCGACTTTTTGCACTTCTACGAACCATACCGTGGGGTGGTCAGCAGGTGCCACGCCCTGTCAACTGCGGCCGCCTAGGCGAGTCTGGGGATCAACAAACTGTGTTTCTCGACGAGGCCACCAATTGTCGGATGCGGATGGGAGAATGTTGGTGGGGCTAATGCAGAAGAGCTGCAAAGGCTCAGACACGTCAGTCTGCATTGAAACTCGTCAACACTAGCTGCATGTCCCACACGAGAACAAGTGGGTGTACCGGTAATGCCTTGAGGGATTCATCCGCAGTAAAACATAGGATCCATTGCATCGAGTTTAGGAGACGACGAGGTGAATAGATTGATTTGTTCGGATACAATTGTCTCTTGGTCAACTTGTCGCGATTTAAGGCTGTTTGATGAGTGCCTTGCACATTGACTATGCCTTGACTCGGCCTTGACTGCGCCTTGATTGTGCCTGGCCTTGGCTGGATACTAGCCGTCACTTCCGTGAAAACTCTGCCAGGGTGACGCGTCGAGAGGGTGTCCTGGGACTCCTGGCGACAATAACAACCGAATCATGAGATCAGCGGGGTACGAGCAAGTCAAGTTCGTGCAGTTGAAAATGGGCCAATAAAACCCGCCTGCATCATGTTGGAGGCTGATTTCTCAGAAGCATCTAGAACCCACGTGATACATCAGCCATCAGATGACGCTGGCCAAGGAGCCTTTGCATATTTTGCCTCTTGAGTTTTAAGCCTTGCGACTGAGGCTGTGCTGAATCGTGATATTTCTTGCAGGTTTATGTGCCTCGTACTGCACATAGCCTCACACTAACACTGATATAGACATGCAATTGGTTAAGGAGGTTGAAAGTGCAAGTTCATGATGGGAGTGACATGCAATTGAGGGTGTGGCAACTATCATATCCCGGCAGATGGTTACTCGTTCTTGAGTTTGCACGACGGACCAAATGAGAACTAAGCAATTGCAGTTGAAACTAACGAATAGGGTCGTCTATTCAGACCCGGGCTATAATTCTGATAGGATCGCCAAGCGGAGATCCCGACTTGCTAGCCCATCTCCACTCCACGGCTGTCTCAGTCTTGCAGAATAAGCGCTAGGACAATAATTGACAGGGGATAATCTGGCATTTTTATACATTACAGACGTATAGTTACAGTTCAGTTGAAGATACGAATCGACTTTGCTTGCTTTCCTTCTCCGGTGCAGCCTGCTTGGCGGGTGTGCCTGCGTGTGCCTGCTTGTGCCTGCGTGTGTCTTGCGGCGCAGTCACGGAGCCTTGTTTTGGAGCATCCGGCCAGAGTTGCCAATGTACCAAAACCCCGCGGGCTGCCTATGAAAGCTGAAGGAAGCAACTGATCGTGAATGGGTCTAAAACTTTCCAGATCGGTCTGATATCTCTCGTACTCGTCTTTCTCCATCTGCCTCTTGAAGATGAACGTCTTGTCCTGGATCAGTCTCAGTGCTCAGTTCGGCACTCATTGAAGAGCTGCTTCAGGATGGCTGGAGATCTGCCGAAACATGACACCGAAACCACTTCTGAAAACGAAAGCCGACTTCTTTTTCCGTAGAGCGAAACTAGAGCAAGTGATTCTTGTAGAAGAAAAGGCTGGTCGGGACTTACACATACTGTGGCTTACTCATGTTCGCCTAACGGCTAGCGGAACCAATGGGTTGAGGGCGCGTCACAAGTGGATCGCTTGTCTTCTTCACCTCGGAATCAATCCAAGCAGCTTCCTCTTGAGAAACCCGCGTCAAGGAGCTCAGCCGGTGTTGGGTTCCTTTCAACGCCATGCAGTGGACCGAGTCCTCTCACCAGGAGGCAGCCAATGACAGTACTGGCAGAGGCAAGCCAGTTGTCCCATCGGCAGATAGCAGTTATCAATTCATCTCGATACAAAACCCAGCGGAAGCCAAAGACCGCGACAAAAGGCGCTTGGCTCGCTCGCACGCTGTGAAACAGGCCATACGGAATAGTCGGGGGGTTCGGGAGGCACCGAGGGTCGACGCCGGCGCATCAGGGCAGATCCTCCCCTGGTCCGTCTTGGTCTCTCCATCCGCGTACGGTCCTTTTGAGACTTTGTTTGGAGACTCGCCGAGGCTGAGAGCCCTGCTGAGTCACAGTAAGCGATATAATCATGATCCAGCTACGGCATGAGCTCACGCCAGCCATGCAGGTGCCGCCAGACACGCCGCGGAGCCCGTGTTCAGCGTTGCGGACCCGGTGCTATTCCAGGACTTCAGCTCCGTCTTCCGTACGGATCTTGACGACCCAGCCCTCCTGAATGCCGTTATGCTCACCTTTGCGTTTGCGGTGACGGGGGGGAATATGGACCAGGAGTGCGTTGGCTACCAGAACCGAGTACTGGCCACCGTCCGCGAAAGAATTAGCTCCCCGGAGACTGCATTATCACTACCGACGCTGGGAGCCATCTTACTCCTTGCTGGAATAGAGGTGAGCAATAAAATCATCTTTTCTTTCCGTAGCTAAATACAGTGTCGGTTAGGCCCGACTAGGAATGCGGTGGCAAGTCCAGCTACACATGGGTGCCATACGACGACTGCTTGACATGAGCCAGTCTAGAACCATCTACCTGACGGACGGAATCAAGCGAGCCATCTTCTGGTGAGCCATTCCTTCCCATATGTCATGTGCTTAGAAGTGCCACTACTCACGATTACCTTGCTCGAATAGGCAAGATTTGAACTCATCCATCATGACTGGATCCGACCGCATCATAGACCACACGACCTTTGGCGAGCTGCAGTGGACGCGGGACCCTTTCACTCCCACCTTCTTTGTTCTAGCACCGGGGTTTCAAAAACGCATTCACTTGTTCCCCGAGGACTTCATCGAGGTCCTCAAGGACATTCACGCGCTGCAGTGTGTCCAAGACCTCCCTGGCTATACCTGCCAGAACCCGATCGAAATGCTCCGCGTCGATAATCAACAAGCGTCCATCGGGTCCAGGCTTGTGGATTTGCCCAAGCTTTCTCCCGTTCTAGAAGCTTGTCATCTAGCAGCGTATCTGAGCGCTTGCATGCTTTGTAGCAAAGTTTGGCGCCACTCCGTAATACCTGTAAGTGAACTGAACTGGCCTCGAATATTCGCCCTCTGGGATGAGATTGGATCTTGGACCAAATTATGCTGACCCATGGGAAAGTCTCACGTATCACAGCACTTATTACGCAGCTTACAGGGGTCAAGTGATGATCCGTTCTGGAATGATGATCCGGAGCTTGTGATCTGGATGCTGCATATGGGTGGATCGTTCTCTCCCAAGGGAACAATACGCTCCGAGTTCAAGACGCTCCTGCAGAACCACGCATCGCGGTTTAGTGGAATGTATGGTTCCTCGGCGGAGCTGATACAGGTTATGAAGCCATTTATTTGGTCTGAAAAGGCATATCGCGCGCAGGTTGAGGAATTTTGGACAGAGATCCACACAAACGGAGAATAGCATGTTATCAACGTAACTCTTATTTCCTTCGTTCCATGATTTCTCAATCTCAGTTCAACATTTCGTTTGCCACGAACTGCTCGCTGAATGGATAATCAATATATCCTACAGGATTCTTGATGGAGTAAAACGTGCTGCGGTCGTAATCATTAAGCGGCAGACCGTTCCTGACCCTAAACACTAGATCCGGGTTCGCAACAAAAGACCTTCCAAACATGATCATAATATCCTTGTTTGGATATGTATCGAGCACTCTCTGCGCATTATCTGGCCGATACCCCCCGGCGAGAAGGATCGGCCCGTCCCAGAGGTCAATCGCGAAACCCAGCGTCTCATTGACGGGGTGTTCCAGATCCATGTTATTTGAGACGCGCGGTTCGATCAGGTGGATGTAGCCGAGGCCTAGCATCTTCGCCTTGATGATCACGTCGGAAAACTGCGAGACCGGGTCTCTCATACGCATTCCCTGGAAAATGCTCCAAGGGCTCAGGCGGAGTCCGACACGCTGGGGCCCGATAGCGTCAGCGACGGCCTTTATGACTTCGCAGACAAAACGAGACCGATTATCGATGCTGCCGCCGTACTCGTCGGTGCGGGTGTTGCTGACGTCTTGTGTAAAGCTGTCGATGAGATAACCGTTTGCGCCGTGGAGCTCGACACCGTCGAAACCCGCGCGCATGGCATTATCCGCTGCGGTAGCGAAATCCCGCACAATCTGCTTTATCTCCTCAACCGTCAGAGCCCTCGGCACTGGAGCGGCCGCATCATGAGGAATGGCACTGGCGGACACAATCTCGATACCTTCCATCTTGGCCGTTTCGGGGTTTGCCGCGCGGCCGATATGAAACAATTGGCAGACCATGAAGCAGCCGTTACGGTGGACCTCGTCGGTGATGGTCTTCCAGGCTGCGACCTGGTCGTCTCTCCAGATGCCCGGCGCATTGGGATAGCCACCACCGCCTGGCGAGATGATGCCAGCCTCTGTGATAATCAGGGTGCCTGGAACTCGCGACCGCTGGCTGTAGTACTCCTTCATCATGGGCGTCGCAGTATGGTCATCGGTGGCCCGGAAGCGGGATAGTCCGGGCATGCCAATGCGGTGCTTGACTTCGACTCCAGCGATTCTGAGTGGTTTCCAAAGACGAGATTGGGGCATTGTGGAGGAACGAGCTCGTGTACTGAATTATGGAGGGAGACGTATTGGTACATATGCATCAGACCGTCTGACAATTAATTATCTATTGCCAAAGTTGGATAGATGCAGTGTCTTTTGGTATGAATAACAATCCAACCTTCCCTTATTTATACACTTTAATCGTGAGCAACATCGTCTAGCCGTCTGATTTAAATCATGTGAATAATATACCCGCAGCACCTCACGGTTCGACAACACGCCACCGTAGATTTTACCCTTTTGGGACGAAAGGTGTTTCCTAAAAAAGAGCTGGAGTCGCTTAGCGGCGGCCACCTAGATTTTACCCTTTTGAGAATGAGATATTTCCTAAAAGAGCTGGGCTTTGACTAGCTCTCACCCCGATGACTGACCTGAATTTATTATATGAACCTGTGAGCCTGTCATGACTTTCCCTGGGAGCCGTACTATCTTTCCAGCTTGGACAGACCCTTACTCCAAAATCCCTATCAAACATGTCGTCTCCAAGTCCTGTAGAGAAGTTCGACTCGCTCTTGAAGCAGTCCGAATTCATCTTTGCCGTGTGTAAGTCCGGTCGTCACGCCGCAGCATCAGCTCCTTGTCTCAGGATTGCCCTGCAACCGACAGCTAACAGCCACTCCGGTCCCAGACTACCGCGGCCACTGGTGTCCCTTTTGTATGGGATATCTACGTACCTTCGCCTCGCTCATCAAGTCCATCACCGCAGCGGGCGGCATACCTGTCATCATAACCGCCGAAGACGAGTCGCATCTTCCCGCCACGCGTGACTCGACGGGGTACACAGGAGACGCCATCGTAGACCCGCAGAACCTACTGGCGGCAGAACTGAAGGCGCGTGGCCTCCTTGATGTTGCCATCAGCAAGAAATCAGGGTACCCACATGGCATGGCGCAACCAGCCGTGCTCGTGATGCGGCCTGATGGCAGCGTACTGCAGCATTGGGCTATTGTACCTGGCCTGGTGAGTTCCACGCCCATTTTCCTGTTTTCTTGTTTTATTTTGCTGACCAAAGTAATCTTACCATAGATGAACCTTGGTGGTGCCAAGGATAGGCCGATGCTCGATCAAATTTGGGAGAATGTATCGAGGCAGCTTCAAGGACAGGAGGTGACATATACGACGTATTCTATGAGTGGGGTTTTTCAGGCATTAGCTTCCAAGATGGGTAGTTAGAGAGGCCTTGAAAAAACCAGGAGATGCTTTGCGACGTTCAAGTTGCCCTTTCAGTATAACATTAGTGAGACAATTCGAAAGTTTGTAGAGCAGAACACCCTTTTTGCCTACGCTACTGGTAGGACCCAGTCTTGGGAATAGTCCTGGGTATAAGGAGGCGGGGGAACAAATTTGTCAGATAAATGCTGGCTCAGGCTTAAGCGGCGACTGCTCAGGCTTGAAAGAAATGCATTTATTCTATCCTTGATGGCTTGGTTTACACGATGGAATTACTCAAGACACTGGTAATGTGCACGTTTCGATGTAACGATTAGATATCTAGATTTGACATGTAACATCTAAACTAGGCGCCGGGCTGGGCAATGGTAGACCCAACAGCTGAGCCGCTGACCTTTCCAAGCTCAAGAGCCGCATTCACCACACCGGCAAGACCCTCACCAGCGATCAAACCAGCAGCCACAGCAAATCCGTACATCTCAAAGTTGTTGTGGAAGTACTTCCTCCACCACCAGGCAGTAATGGATCCAAACAGAATTGCGTTGGCATATCCAGAGTCAACTCCAATAACCCAAGCAACACCAATGGACATCCAGTTGGGGAGCCAGTCGCGGTACTTCTCACGGGGACCGACAAGGTAGAGGTTCTTGGCGAGAGCCTGGATAGCGCAGATGATACCCATGGCAATGGCAAAGTAGCCAGATGACGCAGGAATGGGGATCTTGTCAAGGGTAACGGCTTCCGCAACAGCCTTCCAAGCCGCAACTGAAGGGGCTGAGAACTGGCAGACAGCCAACGGGTCGTCATTGGGCTTCCAGACACAGGGGTAGGCGGCCATGAACAGAACAAAGACTCCAGGGGCCAAGAAGACTGAAACAAAGGTACCGATAGCCTGGGCGTAGAATTGCAAGTGGGGAGGAGTCTTGAGGAGGAATCCAACTCGGAAGTCGCTGACCAGGGAGGTGGCGACATCGGCGGTTCCGGAAGCAATGTTTCCGGCGACCAGGTTGATTCGCTGGGCAGGCTTGGGATCCATGCCCTTGGTGATGCCACCGAAGACGAGCTGGGAAGCCTTGGCGGATGCGGTGAGAGGAGTGCACTAATGATGTTAGTTGGAATTAGACGTAATGGGTAATGGGAACTCACGTCAGTGACAGCGCCGCCATAGATACTGAGGAAGGCAAAGACAAGACCAAGGATACAGGCGAGAATGGCGAGGCCGGCGTTCATGTGGAACTGAAGCTCAGCGACGATGCAGGCAACGACAAGGAAGACGACGGAGCCGGCGAGCCAAACCCACATGGGAACCTGATCCTCTTGGGGGGCAAAGTCCTCGACAAGACCATCGTCCTGATCGGCCTTGGCAGCTTGCTTCTCGATAAAGGAAATGCTCTTGCCCTTGGCCTGCAGGGAGTTGTTGATGCTGCGGCACACGGATCGGATGGCGAACTTGGTACCGTCGTAGATGACTCTGAAGTGGATGAAGAATTCAACCAGGCTGTAGACGATGAGGACCATGACACCGGGCCAGAGGAACCAGTATCGGGGAGACGGGATGTAGTCGGGGTCAGTGGTGCCAGCCAGACTGTTGAAGGTCATGAGGCCTTCCCACTTGGTTCCGGGCTCGCCACGCTGAATTCCGATGCACTCTCCGTAGTGAACGAGGAGAGGACCAGCGAGGCCCCAGGCAAAGACGGTGCCTCCCCACCAAGAGACGGCCGCGTTGAGGCCGACCAGGATGCCGGAACCGAAGAAGGCAGGGGTCAGCTGGATGTACCAACCCCAGTTGTGAGGCTCGAGCAGAGCGTTGTTGCTGTGGCCGCTCCAGATGAAGAACCAAACAAAGATGTACCAGTTGTGCAGGATGCCGTCGGCGTACTGGCCCACGACGATGAGGAGGAGCGCCCCGATGAAGGCGTAGCCAAGAGCCTTGATCTTCTTCATGGCATCGGCGGCACCGGATCCGACGGCGTGCATCGAACGGATGGTCATGGCCGTGGCAGTGGGCGTGGGGAAGACGAGGTTCAGCTCGCGGGCGACGTTGATGATGAAGAACTTTCGCAGAGGGACGGCGGCAAAGAGACCGAAGAAGGCGCACACAAAGGTGATGGTGAGGATACGGCCGAAGTCGCTCTTGGGGTCGTCCGAGAGAAGTTCCAACCTGTACATGGCGGGGAGACCAGCCACGAAGACACCGGACATGCCACCGGCGCCGGTAGCAGCAGCCTGGATGATGGAGTTTTCCTGGGGTCCGAACTTCTGGCCGATGTACGGGATGCCAGGCAGGAGCTTGGTCAACATGAGGATGAAGCCATAGCCGAAGATGGCTCCGAACATGGTCGCGGGAAAGGTGAAGCCAGTCTTGAGACCTGTTGACTGTTAGAGCTAGATGTTACAGAGGAGAGTACTAGAGGATGGGACACTAACCCAAGTACACGTTGGAGGCGTTGACGAGCGAACCCAGCACGATGCCGACGATGACGGCACGCGCAGTCAACGGGTTTGGCTCATGCTCGATGCCCTTTACCGGAGGAAAGCTGGTGAAGAGATCGGTAATGGTATCGTCCTCTTCAGCTTCGGACTTGAGATCCACATCATGGGGGTCCTTTTCGTCGTAGCGCGGCTCCTGGACCTGAGCGTCGGCCCTCATCTCAGTGACGGCCATTGTTGCGGATTGTCAAAGTAGGGCTCGAGGGTGTCGAACTCAGTACGGCTGAAGGTCCTGGATGGAAACCGAGGGGATGGACGGCCGTGATATTTATCCATCTCTGGAGAGTTTCCGCTGTCGGGAAGATAGATAGCTCGACTACAGCCAACGCGACCTGCACTCCCGCAGTCCCAATGGGGACGTCTCTCCTGCTACTGCAAGAGCTCCTAGGGACTTTTTGCACATCGTCCCACGAGCAGAGCAGGCCACAGCTTGGACAGGACCAACCCGTTGGACAGGCGCACTCGGGCCCATTGACGATGAACCAGGGCGATTCCAGAAGTTCCAGGCCAGATTCCGCACCTTATCTGTGTGTCTAACAAGCAGTCGGCGAATGACAGGCGCGGGACCTTTGCCAGCTGCCCAAACGGGGGAAATAGTCGGCGATCGCCTCTGGACTTTTGTGCGTGCTGCCCATGCGCGATCTGTGCCGCAAGGGGGCCCTGGACGACTCCACCCCCGGAGAGGCGGGTGGCACCGCGGGAGGAGGAGATGGTGATACGCTGTGGTGTCAATTGTGAGGTATCATCGGGGTTGTGGTTACGGATAGACGAGGTGGAAGGTTGGTGGTGTCTCCGTGTTGATCTTTGTGGTGGTGGTTGGGATCATCCTGTTGATGGAGAGCTGTGGCGAGTGTGATACTGACCGACCGACACACGCATCAGTGTAACATGGGTCTGTGGAATCACGTCAAGTCTCAAACTCACGCCCAACCCTTGGAAATACACTCATCCATCGGAAGTGGCTCCAACGCGTCACCATCGCAATCGCCTCCCATGATCCATTGCACCAGCCTCACCTCCCGCGGCAGTCTCATACGCGCCTCATACGACGTTGGGCGGCTCCCACATGGCGCCCCCAATGCGTCAATCGCCCCGTCGGATCAAATGCCGTCTTGGTCTAGTCGGTCGAGTCAGTCCACCGGCGACGCGCCACAACGGTCCAAACTCGGGGGACCTTTGCAAGGCTTGGCAACCCTGCGCCGGGAACCTTTGCGGAGCGGTTGGCCGTGGGATCCCCCAGAGATAGAGTACAGCGATAGTCGCAGAGATAGAGTGGTGATCCCAGAGATGGAGTGGTCTGCCGCCATTCTGTTGGCTGGGATAAGGACATTCACCACAGTGGAGAGCTTGCGCGCGCACGCTTCTGGCCTCGTTCTGGCCTCGTCCCACCGCATCGACAAGCTCAAACCGTCGACTCCTCCGTGCCGTAGAAATCTCCGGCGAATCGTCAACCTCATTTTGCGCCATCCCCACAGCCAGGTTTGGCCTCGACCGCATCACGAAGGCTAGTCAATTAAGCATCCGAGTCCAGCGAAATATGCATAAGAATTAACTTAGAGTATTTCGCCGTATTCGTGGATCTCGGGGTAATTCAGCCCTGGTAGTGGCACGGTCTCGTGATGGCTGGACTCGCTAATCCAGGCCACTCTAAAGGCCACTCTAAAATAAGGCCAAGACTTTGGTTCTCGTGCTATCAAAACCAACCCATTTTCCTGCTCTGTAATTCACCATCTTGAATAGGCAAGTCTATTGTGTCTTGGCAGGTCTATTGCGTCTTGGCAAGTCCTTTTGCCTCAACTCTGGAGTATTTGGCTCACCACTAGGGGCCAACTGCTCCCTTTTCGGATCTCTCCGAGTAATCGACAGTGGCCAACAATCAAGACCGCCGGGAGCCCGAGGTAGTGGCTCACGAGGATGCAAGTCTGCCCTGGGGTATGATTGCCACATGCCAGAGGGTTGCTGTGCAGTCCTCGATCCCTTCCAGGGTGTGGTCCCACGGAGTTTACTTTCCGGGCCCGACCACGGCGATGCTAACCGGATTTTCGATCATCTGAATATCAGATTCCACTTCTTTGGGACAAGAGCCGCACGTTTAAGTTGTATTGCAGCAAGTCTCCAATTTCAATTATCAATTTCAATCGTCAGCTCCATGTCAAGCTCCAGCTCGCCGAACAGGTGCTTGAAGCCATGTCAAGTAGAGCAGTCTAGCTGATGAACATAGACTACAATGTATGAGAGGCCTAGAATCCAGTCACCTTCGGTTACTTCGGCTGCTCCGTCTAAACACAGAATATCCCTCTGGCCTTCTAGAGCTGATCGTCCAGATCTGCACGAGACCTTTGAAATCGGCAGCCCATGCATCAGGCCTAGGCCTTGCCACTTCCTGCATCGAACCGATCCTATGTACACTTTGCCACGAGAGAGCAAGATGCCAACCGATGTCTATCAAGCAACATCTCTCAAGGTTCTTGTCCCAGGGTTCTGGATCAAAGATATCAGCGGGCGCTTGCAGACTGCGGCCGCTGTTCTGTCATCTGGTCGATGGAGCTGTCATATGTCGATTGTACTGACAAGGCATTTTCGGATCAATCGGGTAAACAGACGATAAAGGCTAGCCCTGATTCCTCCTCACTGCTATCCTGAAAGAGGTCTTCACGATGTTGAAGTTGGCTTGCTGACGAGTTCGGTACGAGTTCGGTATTCACCCAATGACAACCACAATAAGCCTCAAGCTAAACAACGCGGAACAGGCGCTCCTCTCCCAAATCAATGGCCATCGTTTAGTGACCCAAAGGGCCCTGCAATCCTTCCAACCGGCAGTGGATGGCATCCCATGACCCCGGCCCTTCAAAGGTCCCATGCGTATGGAGCTTCCATTTCTGGATGCAGCCCTGCCAAGGCAACACCTAAAGCTGCCACTAAAAAGCACCTTACAAGTCTCCCCACACTGGTTGCCATGCACTCGGGGCCCTGTAAATATTGCTTCGTCTAGAATCGGCTGCAATTCCCGTCACGTCCCCGTCGTATCAATCCTGAGTCTTATCGCTTGATAAGTGGAGCGTGTCGCTACCCAAGAGGTTATTTGTGCGGCGTGAATCCACCTGGCCACCGCAGGACTCATGCACCATGGGCAGGTGTGTGCAGTATCTCCAATATTATAAATCTAGCCGTTGATTGGCCTATTTACTGCTATCGCCACTTGATGCTATTTTGGTCACTGCTGTCCGGGCAGAGGCAACCTAGATCCAGTCAGTAACCCTAAGTCAACAGCGAAGCTTATCAGGCATGTGGCTCAAGATTCCTTCGTGCCATATCTTGGTCTATGATGCACGTGGTCGAGATTTGAGTAATCATGGACGAACTATTATCGATGAGTGACAGCGTGATGCCATTTACATGGGATGTTAGTGGATGCTGCATTGAGATGCGAATCACCTCATTGGGCAAGCTTGCCGCTTAACCCGTCCTGCCAGGGTATACGGTAGCTCCCGGGAAGAACCTTTGGTTTGTGCGTCCTTTGAAGAAGTCGCCGAGAATCATCGTCATCAACCACCGACACTATCCTTGATTAGATATAAATGGCCTGCGATTTGCAAAAGATCCGTCAGCTTGTCTACCCTGAACGTTATCCGGAACTGAAGAGTCGCCGTGTGACTCACCGAGGGGTTTCCTCTTCATCCAATCTCTGCGCTTATTGGCGGTAGATCTAATTGAAGGATGCATAGAAGAAGCCGTTTATCCGACAGGAACGACGTGGTATCTCATTAGATCCGATCATCTGCGGCCGTTGTCTGAGAATGAGAATGTCGAAGTCACTGGGGACCGAGCACATTCCCTGGAAAAAGAGTGATTGCCTGAAAATTTACTGACAGCTTGAGGAATGCATAGCGTAGAATCGTCATTCCTGCGGATCTCGGTTGATTCTAACGAGGTCCGTGGAAAAAAGTAGGTTGGAATCGCTGGGACACCATAGTAAGAATCACTTTGCACCTACTACTGTTATATTCGGAATGATTGCATCGTGTTTCTGTGATAGCACTGCGAAGCAATCTGAAGTGCATGCACAGCCGGCCCTTTACCACTACGGGGGACTCTAGAGCTGTAGACTAGAAGCACTCCGATGGTTAAATGACTGCAGGGCCGGCCTGGAAAGTAAAGCTACTACTTGAAGTGACTGCACTGCCCAAGCGATTGGATCGGCATGCTTTTCCTTTTTCACTTTTGCGTCTTGCCATTGTAATTTGAACTAACTATTGCAGCAGCTTGTAGCACTTTCTTTATGCTCTCTTTCTTCTGGATGTGTTGGGGAGCATTTAATCAAGTGCTCCAACCCTCCAATCCGCCTACTCCGTCGGCCGATCTCAACTCATCCTCTTCTTGAGAGGATCCTCAAATGGATCCAGACTCTCTGTCTCCGGCCCAGTTTGCACTAAATGCATCTCCCACTAATAAACTGGGTATATCATTTTCCTTTTTCATTTTTAGGCATATCTTTACCTTGATTTGACCTCTTGTCTACGCTGCTACATAAGGTTATGTCTCTATCGTAACCTGTCAGTAGGTTGCATTGAGAAGCGCCGTAATGGGTATAATATTCTGCAAGTTATATAATAATACATTATGGTATAAATTAAATAATTGTGCATTTTTAACTTGGTCAATAGAATATGAATAAGGTAAATTATGAACTAAATAAACATAATTTGTCAAAACAAAGCATTCTAAATATTAAATAATAAAAATGGTTTATTATATCTTTTTCCCTATTTTTATATAGTCATGAAATGGCTAGGCAGGGAGGCGGGATTAATTAATTATATTACCTTGACATTTATCTATTCTATTATTCCTTTCCGCATTAATTGAACAAACGACATCCCTGAAGTGACAATCCAATCATCTCCACTAGTAGACTGATGCTAGGTGCAGATTCTGAGACACATTGGGGGCTAGGCCTTTACCCTGCCACATGCGAATCTGGGTTGGGTATTCGTTATGATTCAGCTTTTAATTGCCCCTTCAATGGGGAAAGTGCTGATGTCGTGTGTGGAGAGTAGGGCTTAAGGAGATAGGAGTACCGGGAAGCTCCGCCAGCATTCTTCAAAGTTGCGCCAATAAGATCTACTGGGTGATATACGGATACTATTTGAGGCTTCTCTAGTGCTTAGGAAATCAATGCAAGGACTCAGGGGCTTCCAAGCTGCCTGCCGAGAGCCCAGCCCATTCCTTAGGCCTGCTTCCCGGGATGATTCCGAAGGATTAGCGGCTGACTGGTGGCCGCCATCAGTGAAGCCATGTCTTTAGTTCGACGCCTGGTTTCTCCCCGGCAGTCAGCTGCAAACCCAGCTGCAAGAAAGGCGAATAAACGTTGCGTGCTCCTCTAAGGATCCTGTACCTAGCTTAATGCAGGTAGCTTGATGCGCCTTTTGTCAGTACTTTTGAGAAAGGCAGCGTTTCTTCGCCTCGATGGGCGTTTTTAGGCCCAACCTTGCAAGCTACCAGTGTCGCAGCCATCTTTGAAATGGAACCTCGCCTTGCCTGATACAGCAGCAATGGCGCTTTAGTGTCTTTGAGGGATGTCATGAGTAAGACAAACCCAATTCTGAGAGCTACCCGGCCGGGCTGCAGGTTTTTTGATGGGGAATCAAATCATGGGAATGACATTCCCATGCACGAAGCTTCAGGTAATTTATTCAAAAAGCTCCTCCAAGTCCTGGCTATCGATACTACCCTTTCATCGCCTACCGCCCCGTCAGGATGACGAGGAGAAATCATCATGTGGCCATCCCATCTTGTCAAACCATGCACTTTGCTGAGTCCGATATTTACGTAGGCCGTTGCTGCCATAGCTGGGCACTCATGGCAATCTATTCGTCTGTCTCTATGCAAGTACAACCACGTACCGCGGCGGACTACACAGCGCGGAGGTGATCCGAGCTGGGTTCATGAGTCAGAACCCTTGTGTATAGTTGTGGCTGCAAGCCTCGTCTTGACGCTGGTAGGCCAACATCAAGACTAGTATCGCTGAGGCTGTTTGACATTATTAGACAAATTGCAGACTTCCATCTTTATTAGCTAATGAATTTGCACCCCATATGTATACAAACAGTCGCAGACCACTTCTTGAAGAGTGGGGATCCAGGTCTGCTCCACCTACTTGGATGATTGCTTTGTTCCACATCTCATCGACCATTTGCTGAATGGCTACCCCCGGCTCGGATCCGGCTGTCGATGCGCAGTCCAGATCGTCGCTTGTCATAGCGATCTGCATCTCCTTTGCGATATTGTCATTTTTTATCGTCGCTTTGAGGCTTTACGTTCGTGTTGTTCTCCTCAAGGCCCTGGGTCCCGATGACTGGACGATATGCGTTGCTCAGGTCACTTCTCTTGATGCAGAATCTCTTGGGGACTGTGGCTGATGAATTTCTCAGGTCCTTGCCATTGTCGTTTCTATGACGACTATATCAGGTACGTCGTCCCATTGTTTGCAGACAGATGGATTCTAACTGTCCCAGAGGCTAAATTTGCCCTTGGTCGTCACATATGGACTCTACCGCCAGATCGTATCCACAAACAGTTAAAGGTCCGTATCCTCGCAATAAGCAACTTAGTTTCACCTTGGTAACCATATTAGGCTCTCTATGTTAATATTATCATTCATAATTTAGGAATGAATCTGATCAAGATTTCTTTTCTATTACAATATCGTCGCATATTTTCGACCAAGACCATGAAACGAGTCACCCTTCTTCTGTTATGCGTCATTTCAACATGGACTGTAGTCCAGCTGCCAGTGCTCGCACTTACCTGCTTTCCCCTGTCCGCTATAGTGCCATCCATGGCGGATACCTGCCTCCCGACTTTCCCGAGTTGGTACTTTACGACTTACTTCCATATCGCCACCGACTTCATCATCTTCATTGTCCCCTTGCCAACCGTGTTTTCTCTTAATATGGGGTGGAGGCGGAAGCTTTGCCTGGTAGCTATTCTCTCCATGGGGCTTTTGTAAGTTGATTTATCCCGTTCACTTGAAGATACTCAGAATCTCGAAGCTAACTGCCTCCGTAAGCACATGCATCATATCTATCATTCGAGCCACGACGCTCCACCAATGCCTTGTTACGCCAGACCCGACGTGGGATACGACAGATGCTGCATGGTGGACCGTTGTCGAGATAAACTGCGCCATCATCTGCGCGTCTTTGGCCACTCTGCGGCCTCTTCTTGGCAAATTGGTCCCTAGTTTCAATTCAAAATTGACAGACGGTTCGAACAAGTCCTACACAGTGACTCGACCGAATAGAATGACATTTGAGCGTATGCCAACGGCCTCGGGAGGGGGGAGCAACAACAACTTGGCACTCGACGAATTTCCTGTACCAAAACAGGGCAATTTTGTGAGAGAACCGGATTCGAAATATGGAGTTCAGGCAGAAATCTATGCATCAACGGCAGATTTAAAAGCAGTGGAGGCAGATCATCAAGAGGGTGTTCCTGATACTACCTACAAGCCCAATATCAAAGTCACGTACGAGGTTGCTATGACTAGCGAAGTGTCTGGTAGGCTGGCAGGAAGAGGGAGGATGAGAAGCAATGATTAGATTTGGACCACTTTCTGCCCGCATCATTTGACTCTTATCTATCATTTAATATTCTTAGTCTTTATTAGCTCCCTTTTCCAGGACTGCCTGAAGCCTTTAATTGTAAAAGTCACAACTATGTGATGATCGCGTTTACTCCGTACCTGGTATAGGGTAAATGGATGGACATTTTGAACAATGATTCCGATGATACATAGCAAGCTCTCGAATGGTGCACACATTTTCCTGTTTGAATACAATATCACAGGGTCACCAGTCATAATTTTAGATTGCGCTTCAATGGCAACACCCGCACATCCTTGGTATGCCACTCGGGAGAAGTACTTTTCAGCTTGAACAACCCCACGCCAACACATTGGATGCACTTAGACCTGGCACAGATCCAACTCAATTTCCAGTCATTGCCAACCTCACCATTGTCTCTCAATAAGCAAAGGCATATGATGATAAAATAGGTAGTCAAGATCTTCAACAACTGAGTGCAAAGAAATGAACTATGCTACAGCAGGACGTCGCTATGTGCTGTGCATATCACTGCCCCACAACCGTCGGGTGCAAGACTTCCGATCGGCTACAAGCCGGCCCCTGCAATATCCGACGCAATCGGCTGTCGCTACGAAGGGAATAGTACCGGGGAATGGACACTGTAAAAGTAAGGGGAAACACTGTCGAATAGGAATGTCCGAAATACCGGAGATCTCTAGTGGGGCGTTCTACTTTTGCAGTTTACAAACCCTTCTCCAGACTCTGGCTATTCCTTACCATGTTCCATGACCCCATCCAGGTTCTTTCTCTGCTCGGCGATTTTAACTGGATTGAGTTTCCTGTACCAAGCCGTAAATGTGTCTTTAACCGTGACATGCGACAAGGGCCTCACCGTAAGCTCGACCAAGAGTTGTAGACTGCAAAAACTGATGCTTCCAGTCTTGATTGTCATACCCTATAGCAGGTGGTTAGAAGAGCCACATCCCCACTCTGTTAGGCCCTCAGCCGTTTAACTCGAGGGTATGCCTTGTTCTTAGGTAGGGACCATCGCCTCTGGTCGCAGTCGCAGCAAAATAAAAAAATAATGCTCGACTCCATCTGCTCCAAACAGGATGTGGTTGACCCCGCCTCGCTGTATGGGGTAGAGGAAGCCGGTGGATGCTACCCCAACAAAGTTGACATCTCCACCATTATTGTGATTTATGCCTCACACCAACAGTCTCGCTCTTCGGGGAGTTGTTCCCGATATGCACCCCATGCTTCATGCCGTGCATCCTTGCATGTTCTCGGTAGTCCGGACAAATTTGGAGTCCGGCAGACAGACTGAATGATGGGCCACATGGAGCAAGAAGTCTCATGGTCCCTTGATTGAGCCATTGCGATCTAACGGTTCAATGACGGCCGGACTTGAACTGTAGTCTCTATCTTGACCATTAGATGGATTGAGAGGAAGAATATGGAGCAAAGCCATAGCATACAAAGACGCCGAGCACAGAATATTGTTGAGCTTCGTATTCCGACATGACTCGATCAATACACCAGGGTAGTACCCATGGGGATAATCATCGGATCTCGTTTTCGGAACCTGGAGAGAACGAAACGTTGCTTCCATTCCCCTCTCGACTTCCCCGCATGCATATCCCTGAACACGCGTATCTCCATGCAGCTAACGTTGGAGCTTTGCTTGAAGCATCCAGAGAGTGGATCAGGCGGTGCAAGTTGCTGACGCTGAGGTTCTCCGTGATGCTGCTGCAATCTTCCGCAAGACTCCGCAAGACTCCGCAAGACTCCGCGAGCCTCCGCACAAACCTTGCCAAAAACCGGGCGACCCAGATTTCGACCAACTGCAGCTCTTGTAGGCTCTTGTTCCCCGCATGGGGAAATTCGGTATTGGCTCGCGATAGTCCGTGATGTAGCATTCGCCTCTCCGGTGGTATCACCTCGGCGCGATTACGGGTCTGTTACTGACGATCTTGACCGGTTTGTCGTCTTGCGGGTAAATGGCTATCCATTTCTGTAGGGATCATACCCCGCCTATTTGTCTTGCTTGACAGGTGATGTGCAAAAATGTAACCTCCCGCCACCGCCTTGCTCGAGAATCAAGATTTGTAAGAATCACCGCCTCAATGTTTACTTTGACTTCAAGACCCACACCAATGGTATTTGAGCAAGCTCGTTGCCGCCAAAGTGGTCTGTTGCTTGTCTGATAGGAACAACCGGGACTCTCAGCCAACATGTCTGCCGAAACCTCCAAGCCCTCGGGCAAAGATGACTACGATGGGACCAGACACAGCATCGACTCCCACGTCGAGTCGCAACAGCGACAACTCGGCGGAATGGACCCAGCTCACCGACAAAGGGTCGAAAAAAGCATGAAGCGCAAGCTGGATACTCGATGCGCTCTGTTTGTCCTCATTTACATTATGAATTATCTGGATCGCAACAACATTGCCGCAGCCCGACTCAAGGGCCTGCAGGACGACCTCAAACTCGACGACACCCAGTACGCAACATGCCTCAGCATCTTGTACGTCGGCTACATTTTGATGCAGGTCCCGTCCAACATGTTCATCAATCGAATTGAGCGACCTTCTCTCTACATTGCCTGCGCCATGTTGATCTGGGGACTGGTTTCGACGCTGTCAGGAAACGTGCACAACTTTGCGGGCATGGTGGTTATCCGATTCTTCTTGGGCTTTATTGAAGCTGCTTTCCTTCCGGGCGCCCTCTTGATTCTCTCCAAGTGGTACACGCGCCGCGAATTGACCAAGCGAAACGCCATTCTCTTTTGCGGCAACCTCATCTCCAATGCTTTCTCAGCCCTGGTTGGCGCTGGTGTCTTGTCGAATATGCAGGGCGTTCTCGGGCATGCAGCATGGCGATGGCTTTTCTGGATTGAGGGTGCCGTCACAATGAGCATTGCCATCTCGGCCGCCTTTATTCTCCCAGATCTCCCCCACAACTCGAGAGGCTTTACCGAGGAGGAACGCAAGGTGGCGCAACTCCGGATGATTGAGGATGTTGGAGAGGCCGACACTGACTCTGCCGAGAACGGCATTTTCTACGGCCTGAACTTGGCGTTGAAGGATGTCAAGATTTATCTCATGATGCTCACCTTTACGGCTTACGTTGTTGGTCTTTCATTCAACGCATTCTTCGTAAGTCCCTTGTCCAGAGAAGTCGTATCTTTGCCGGAAACTAACAGTTGCAGCCCACCCTTACCGGCACACTTGGCTTTGGATACGTTCCCACATTGCTCATGAGCTCTCCTCCTTGGCTGTTCTCATGTATCATCTCCCTCATCAATGCATGGCACTCGGATCGAACACAGGAAAAGGTTTGTCGCAATTATGCCTTTATGCTCCATGACATTGACTAACCTCTGGCAGTTTTGGCACATTGTTGGCCCGATTTGTGTCGGCATGGTTGGTTTCATTATTAGCATGGTTACCCTCAACGTCGCCGCCCGCTACGTCGCTCTGTTCCTCCAAGCCAGTTCCTACGCTGGATTCATCGTCTTTTACTCCTGGATCAGCTCCTCCTTCCCCCGACCTCCCGCCAAGCGCGCCGTTGCGATTGCAATGATCAACGCCTTCAGTCAGCTCGGAAACGTGGCAGGTTCTTACGTTTGGGCCCTCAAGGCGAACGGTTACCGCCAGAGTTATGGCATCGTTCTGTCTATGTTTGGCGTAACAATCATGGGCTGCGCAGCTTTCCGATGGATCTTGGTTGGCCTGAACAAGAAACTTGATGCAGGCGAGGAGGCTTGGGAAGTGAGCGAGGACGTTGCAAAGCAGACGGCTGCAGCGGAAGATATGGACAATGACGAAGCTTTGCGGATGAGGAGAGGATTCAGATACCTTATCTAAGTCTGCATGCATTATCTAAGGTCGGAATTGGCCGGCCGGATTAAAGACCTTTATGGATGGGATACGACTTGACGACATTATTGCGGTCGGTCTTGTTGCCGTACATGTACGATATCACTGCATTTTGGAGCGCTTCCATTAGTTGGCGCAACATCTTCATGTATCAATTTGAATAGCGGGGTATTAGACCCGGTTGATCCTGAATATATCGAGGTTTCAATAGCAAAGGATCCAGACGTTCATGTGCACTTCCGCTGACGAACCAGGCATCTCAGGGTATCAGCGCTAACATTCGAGGAAATGATCGTCAGAGACCACCCACGCAATTGGACAACGGTGAAGCACGAAAGGCGACTCTTCTATCGCGACATTTGGTCAAGCAAGATAGAGCCTGTGTTACTGGTCAACTCGGCGTTTGTGTCTGAATTGAGCACACAATTCTCTCAATTGACGTCATGATCCCAGTTGAAAGCCAAAAGAAATACAATTTAATGCATACTTTGCGCTAGAACAGGATAATGCATGCATCCCCATGGCGATTGCGCAATCCTGAAGAAGAAATACTTATATTCAAGTCCGTTGCCCAGTCTGAAAAACTCACGCCAATCTGTGGTCACTCCGTCATCATGGCAGAATCTAAAGTGGTTGAATCGTCCCCGGACAGCGACGGCGCTGGTACCATAACAGACATCGAGATTAACGAGAAATCCCTTTTGAGGAAAATCGATGCCAAGCTTCTTCCAGCCGTCGGAATACTCTATCTACTGTCGTTCCTAGACCGTAGCAATGGTGAGTCTGCCATTGAATGCACGGCCGTCTCTAACACCATCTAGTTGGAAATGCAAGGATTGAAGGAATGGTCGACGACCTTAACATGAGTACGGATACCTATCGATATTTATGAATTTGCTAATGAGACAAATAGCTGGCAACCAGTACCTGACAGGATTAACGCTCTACTTTATCGGTTACGTCCTTTTTGAGGTTAGCAAAGCCTCAGACAGTCCGCAACTATTCTGACACCTTCTAGATTCCGTGCAACATTATTCTCAAGCGAACAACTCCTAGGCTTTGGCTACCGACACTCACAATCGCCTGGGGCATCGTTGCAACACTCTTGGGTGTGGTCCAGAACCTGACAGGATTTTTGATTGCCCGTTTCTTCCTCGGAGTCACCGAAAGTGGGCTTTTCCCCGGAGTCGTCTTTTACTTTTCCATGTGGTATAAACGACGTGAGAGACAATACCGAATCTCTCTTTTCTTCAGTGCGGCATCTCTTGCAGGAGCTTTTGGAGGGATCCTCGCATATGTAAGCTGGTGATTCGTCCGTCAGTGGCAACGCTAACATGTGCAGGGAATCGGAAAAATGGCTGGCGTGGTGTGGGAAAATGGTTGGCGGTGGATTTTTATTCTTGTAAGACCGGATCCTGTCGTCAAGTTCAGCACTAATTCGCCCTAGGAAGGAATTGCAACAGTTCTTGTGGCTGTGGCAGCATTTTGGTTCATCGAGAACTATCCAAGCACCTCTCGATTTCTGACTACCGCAGAACGGCAATTCATCCAGACCCGACTCGCAGCCGACAGCGATTCCACTCACGACGAACAGTTCAGTTGGGATGCAGTCCTTCAAGCCTTTCGCGATCCCAACTGCTGGCTTTACGGGCTGGGCTTCCATACTATGAGCCTGCCTCTTTACACGCTGTCTCTTTTCTTGGTAGGTTGAGAAGCCGAGTGTCTGGTTCTTGCTGACCTTTTAGCCTACTATTATCAAAGACCTCGGATACACCGCAGCCAAGGCGCAGCTTCTTACCATTCCTCCCTATGCTGTTGCGTTTGTTACGACTCTTAGCGTTGCGGTTGCCTCTGAAAAGCTTGGAAAGCGAGCCGTCTTTATTGCTGGGTCCTCGGCTGTTGCATCGATCGGGTATATCCTGCTGCTAGCAAACACCGATCCCACAGGCCGACCAGGAATGTCCTACGCTGGAACTTTCTTTGCTGCTGCTGGAATCTATCCTGCTACTGCTTTGGTGCTGTCTTGGCCGGCGATAAACGTCTCTGGGCAGACGAAACGCGCCATTGGTAACGCGATGCAGATTAGTATCGGCAACCTCGGTGCTGTTATGGGCACTCAGCTTTATCGCTCAGGGGATGGGCCAAGATTCATTGTCGGCCACTCGATGGCATTGGCCTACCTGATTGCAAATATTGTAGTAGTGACCTTTTTGGGATGGAGGTTGAGGAAGGAGAATGAGAGGAGGGCCGATTTGGCACCCGAGATTACCGATGTCGGGGAGGTAAAGGACTGGGAGGGAGATGGAGATGTCAGGTGGAGATATGAGTGGTGAATAGTACATCATGAAGACTACAGCCGGTACATGTGAGAGTTGACACCATTGGATCGAGATGGGTAACTGGCCAAGTTCACAACTCACAACCCCACACGTGAACTATTCAATCCTCGGCTTGCGATCTGGTTTACTTTGGATATTATTTCGTATTAGTTTTTTTAAAACTTAGCCGGAGACGTGTTCTATCGGAATCGTACATCCCTCACGTCCTAAAACTGTCCACAAGATGCTCATCATGGTTCCGTGGCAGCGCATCAATAAAGGAGTTAAAATCACACATGCTAGAGTTCACCAGGTATTGGCTTTGGCGGTACCAGTTCCTCCTTGATCTTGTGAAATGACTCGCCTGGCTCTGGCAAGTCATACTCATGCCTCCACCAGAGATGTGTAACATCCGATCCTGCAACATCCGAACCAAACCTGATGATGAAGTACTCCTTATCATATCCAGTTTCTCGGGCCAGTTTGACACAATCATCATAGCTTAGCCTCCAATAAAAGCTGTCTTCTTGGTACGGAACTAGCTCGAATGTATCAGCGTCCCGACCCATGTACGAAACATAGAGAGAGTCCTCGTGGTGTTCCACGTCGATGAAGAAATTCCCGATGCTATTGAGATATCGTCCGACGTAAGAATCCAGAGGGCGAGTGGGTGTTTTGGCTGTTCGGCCATCGGCGAGACTCTTGTTAACATTGATATGTCGTTCCAAACTCGATGCCACTGACATGCGGGCCAGTTTGCCGTAATCTTGAGCATTGTCGAGGTTGTTGAACAGGGCTTCGATGAGAAGTTCCCCAATCCAACGTACTCCTCCGTTGAGAGACAGCGAGTTCGACAATACGACGACAGCGCTGCCGGTTTCTGGGAACAGAGCGTTGTACGTGTTGAAGCCGGGAATTGATCCGCCATGATGGAGGGCTAGGCGAGACGGGGCGCCAGTGCCTACCATTGGGTCCAATTCAGACTTGCCGTTGTCGCCTGGTGATAGTATTCCTGGGAGTTGAGTGCGAGCCCAGCCATAGGCATATGAGCGCTCCCTCAGCGAACGTGAGGGCAAGAGAGTGTGGCCCTGCCAGAGGTCCAACACACCCTCAAGAGGCTGATGGTCAATCTTCTGCCCGGCTTCCGAATCGGAGAATGTCATCTCGTCGCGAGCACGGGAAATGAAGGCGGAGTAGAGACTGAGGAGGTCGTTGACTGAGCTCCGAATCCCCCCGGCTGCCCCCATCAAGACGTCTTTGCCCTTGAGGGGTGGAGCAATCTGAACAACGGACGCGTTTTCAAGTGCGGCGTAGGGCTTTGCTTCGTTTTCTCGGCACTCGCCCGTGTAGTATGTTCTCGTCATCCCAAGCGGAGTGAGCAGTCGATCTTGGAGAAGGTCGGCAAACGAAGCCCCGGACACTTTCTCGATGACCTGGCCCAACACCTCGTAGGCGAAGTTGTTGTAGACGAAGTGACTTCGGAACGCGTGGGTGGCCGGCGCATGATTGAGAATGTGGACGGCCTGTGATCTGGCGAGGAAAGGAACATTGTCGGAAGCCAGCCAGAGAGAATCCAGAGCGGCGAGTCCAGTTCGGTGGCAGAGAAGATCCGCGATTGTCGCGTCGCCGTACGCGTCGGAGCGGTTGAAGTCTGGCAGAATCGTCTTCAGCGGGACATCCTAGGACAGCAGCGATCCATCGTGGATGAGGGAAGACACCAACGCGGCTGTCATGGCCTTGGTGAGGGATCCCAGCACGAAAGTCGTGTCTTCATCGCAGGGCAGTTGCTTCTCGACGTCGGCGAACCCGTATGCGGCTGTGTAAACCACCTCACCTTCGTGCAGAACGCCGAGCGCGATGCCTGGGATGCCTGAAGTTCTGCAAATGTCGCGAACTATTGGGGCTAGAGCCGCGAACTTGTTGCTCGAGACCATTGTGAAGTTCACAGTGCAAGCGGCGTTTGAACGGACAAGGATATCAGCGAATGAGATGTATTGACAGTACATCGATTTCCACCTGTTTGCCTCCAAAAAAGTGTACTCAATCACGGGTACAATAGTGAATGAGATGCCACTAAAATTACAGCACTCGCAACCACTAACATCAACTGTGGAGACAGCACACGGAAGCTGCTTTAGCGGGGTAAACCCCCTAAGCTCTCAACTCAGCCCCGCAACAGGTGTGATGCCGCGACAATTGAAGCATCGCGACGCTCAAGCGGACCAGTGAGGTGTGAGATTGTCATGATCTGATTTACTTCAACTGGACCGCGAAGATGCATGTCACCAGAAACAGATCGATACTCACCATGATATGACAGCCTGGAGATGAGGCAATCGTTCGTGGGGGTAAGCATGGTGACGTCATAAGGAAGCATCATCGACCTTGAGGGCGGAGCAGTCAATTACGTGGGACATCTGCAGACGGCTTGCAGGAGTAAAGGTTAGTTCTCAATGTTGGTCATTTAGCCGAGACTTTTTCTCAGCCAGCAAAACCATGCAAGGATCTGAGTTAGTTGGGGACTGTGAATGGGTTACGAGCTGGTCGACCCGCCTTGACAACTCACTGAGCTCGGTGTCTCGGCGAGGCTATTATTGGTGAGAAGAGAAAGGATGGGAGCGGTGCATGACGGCTTAGGTGGGCTTACAGTAGTAAATCCGAACTGCCGGCCGAGCAAGGGTAACAGAAGTTGGTCATGGTGGTGTCGATGATGGCGCGTGAGTGCATTTCTGCCGCACGAAAGCATCAAGGTCACCACGGCAATAGCTTCGTGCTCTTGGCCTGCTCACCGGGCGACCTTGGGCGACCTAAGTACTCACCGGGTAACCTTTCGTACTCACTAACGCATCCCCGCATACCATCCTCTCTTAGAAAGCATCAAAGCGCATCTCATCGCATCTCAACGCGCACTTGAGGGTTGCATGGTCTTATCATGTGGCGCTGACGCTTCTTGTTGACCGAATGCGCTCAATTGCCCCTCATTGGCTTTGTCCTGCTCCCCCTCACTTGCGTTCATGCGGTCCCACCAGTTTGTGGGATCCTTGCAAGGTGCCAAATCGGGGGGAACGACGCGCAGTTGTGTCATTGTTGGTTGCCAGCACCTGCAGTCGGCGTCGGTTGAGGCCTCAGTGGTTGGCCTCACCATGAGGTGTCGTTTCTCACCGAGTTATTGTGCAAGGTGAACGCCCTCTGATAGCTTCGATGTCGAGATCTCTGTAACTTTCGGGCCTCACCCTGCGACATGTTGTCGGCGCTGGTGAGTTCGCTGGGGGATGACAGCTCTGCAACCAGCGTCGATGACATCACTGGATCCACGGGTCCATCCTTCCACCTCAATTCTCTCCTCCCTTCGCCTCCTCACCTCCACGCAACTGCGCCGTCCGTGCCATGGCGTCCATTCCCTTTACGGTGTCTTCCCGTAGAATGCGTGTTTCGTTTGGCTCGATCCCCGCTCGTGCCGAGAGACGGTTGCTGGGTACAAATAAAAGAGCTCTGCCCTCGCGTACTCTTAAACTCCCCCTCCCCAAGTCGCACTTGTGTCGTCCATCCTCATACAAACTTACCACCATACACCACGTTAGACACTTTTCCCCCTCACTCGCCACCATGGTTCAACAAATCCCCAAGGCCTCCAAGCTCCAGGACCTCTTCAGCCTGAAGGGCAAGGTCGTCGTCGTCACTGGCGCCTCAGGACCCCGCGGCATGGGTATCGAGGCTGCTCGTGGCTGCGCTGAGATGGGTGCCGACATCGCCATCAGCTACTCTTCCCGTAAAGAGGGTGCCGACAAGAACGTCGAGGAGCTCACCCGCGATTACGGCGTCAAGGTCAAGGCCTATAAGCTCAACATTGCCGACTACAACGACGTCGAGCGCTTCGTCAACGACGTCATCGGCGATTTCGGAAAGATCGATGGCTTCGTTGCTAAGTAAGTCAAGCCGGAATGGATGTCCCACAGGTCAACACTCGTGACTAACAACTGCAGTGCGGGTGCTACCGCCAACGCCGGTGTCGTCGATGGCACTGCCGCGGATTGGGATCACGTCATCCAGGTCGACCTCAATGGAACGGCGTACTGCGCAAAGGCCGTCGGAGCCCACTTCAAGAAGCAGGGTCACGGCTCATTCGTCGTGACCGCGTCCATGTCTGGCCATGTCGCGAATTTCCCTCAGGAGCAAACCTCGTACAACGTCGCTAAGGCCGGCTGCATCCATCTGGCCAAGTCTCTCGCCAATGAGTGGCGAGACTTTGCCCGCGTGAACAGCATTTCGCCCGGCTACATCGACACCGGCCTATCCGACTTCATCGATGCCGAAACACAAGAGCTGTGGAGGAGCATGATTCCCATAGGACGTAACGGCGACGCAAAGGAGCTCAAGGGAGCCTATGTGTATCTCATTAGCGATGCTAGCACTTACACCACCGGTGCGGATATTGTCATTGACGGTGGTTATACTTGTCGGTAGATTTATCACTGAATAAAGGAAAAAAGAACTTGTGGATTTGAAAATGGTCAGGGGACTCAGTCACCCATGTTATCCGCCCGTGATACGTTCCCTCACATACCACAAAGTGGATTGCGGGTAGAACGGAGATTGAAGTCAGATAGAACCGATCTTGAAGTTCGGAGGACGGGTAGTTGACTCAGGTCAGGTCGGACAACATACCCGTCTGTCCCGTTGCGTCTCACCAAACACCGGAACCAGCACACCTCATTGCCGCGTGACGATTTAAAAATATCTTAGTCCTACTCGTAATAGGCACATGCTGGACAGTCCCCGCCCAATAACAATTTCTGGGCGAAGAGGATTGTCGCGTGTGATCTGACTTTGTTGACTGGTCGTATTCTGAGTTTAATACCTCAATGACGATCAATCATAGAGATTGTCACAGGTTAGCGCGTCAAGAAGAGTGGGTTCATGCTCATGAAGTTTGAGGCTGACGAGGATTTTGGCAAGGTAGACCCAAAGAATGCCTCACGTACTACGGTGCGTTGCCCTCGACGCGACGTGTAGAGTAGCTTTATTTGTACCGAAGGAAACCTAGCACGTATCAAATCCTACCCATACATGTGGTCAGCAGCGTATCAAAAGTGCAGGCATCATGATTACGTGTATCGTCACATCCTGAGAACTGACAAACATCCTACGTAACCTGGCGTTGTCTCATCTCCGACACAGAAATTTGCCACACCGGCAACGTGTCCATGAAGATTACTAGTACCCGGCGATTCTACCCAATCGTGCGTAAACACCGGGCTTCGCAGGATAAAAACCAAAGGTACTCGTAACGGAAGCTGGCTAGGCCGAATGCCTAGGTACATGGGCAGAGACACACAGGTCACTGACACCAAACTGCATTAACATACAGCAGGTTTCACATCCCCACGCCACCTTCAATTGAAGCCTTTATCCTTTTATCTCAACTTTGCACATATTAACCTGCTCCACAAGTATTGTTCCATATTATAAATACACTTATTTCTCATAAATGAGGAGCGTAGCGCTGAGTTGAGCTGATTGCTGTAATAGTGAGCGACTGAAAGGATTTGGCAAGGGTGAGGTGAACGAATGTGGATACGATTTGACCTGTACAGCGCTGGGGCCCGTAATAGTGACAACTGAAACCTGGAAACACCCCAACTCCAGCTCCCCTGGTAGCCTGGCGAGGTACTAAACCACCAAGCTGTTGTTTCCGCTCCATTTTCAGGTACCGGCTAGCTGAAGTGAGACATGCATGGTTCATTATCCGCTGTCCTTGGTGCGGAAGAGCGGGTTGAGAGCCGAGCCAAGGAGGCTTTTTGATCTGGTCCACAACAATCAGGGGGGAACATTGTCCAGTCCAAGCGTGTCGAGGAGACTAGCAGGGTGCCGACAGGGGTCACATTCCGTGACTGGCACCGAATCGCTCAACGGCACAGTGTCCCAATGTCCTATATATTGATGGGTGTGCAGGAGCCGGGCCTGAAGCCAAGAGTACGTACTGTGTAGGCGGTATGGAAGTGAAGCTTGATTTTGCCGAATTTTCATGGCTGGGGACAGCTACATGTAATGCCAACGACCCATCGAGGAGCGCGCAGTGTTGAATTAATTTTTAATGGGGGTAAGTGGCGGAGACAACCGCCCATCGTGGGTACATAGTTTCGGAGTAGCGCCACGCTAAATCAGTTCGCATCACGACAGCCCTGTGGCACAGACGGGAAGCGGAATTAGGTCGCTAATCGCAGCCTCATTCTCCCTTCAACTACACGGCGGCTCCAGTCCAGCCGCTAGGCTCATTTGCTATCCCTTGAAATATGCGGCAGGTCCATTCTGAATCTCCACAAATGACCCTGGCTGGTCTTGATTGGCACGGCGGAGGAATTAGTGAATAGTAGTTTTGGTGTTGTTTTGAGCTATCGAATGTAGATCTTTGTGGCACCAGGGATAATGTAATCAACTGCTACATAATTTGTGAGGCTTGGTGTACCTCTCAACCATTGTTTTTGAATGGTTGAATGTCCCTAAGGGTGGCCAGGATGGGGTTGCCGCATACGTAGTAGGTACTTGAACGGATAACGCACGTGATGGGATTTAAGACTTTATCTGTATTGGGCTTAGCGAATTTGGTCGATCTTCTTCTTGAACATGTTTCATCGCACAAGGCTCAAGGGTGGGTGGCGTTGAAAGACCCGGACCGGTCAGCTCGGTCAACTCTCTCTCGGCATGTCGGATTGTGACAGAAATTGGCGCCGCATTTTTCAGGCGCTGCAAGCGAAACGACCAGCGTTTGGTTGATTGCTTGCTTATTATCTGTGCACCGAGCCACAGGGGGATACGACGAGCAAAACTGAGACAGTGAATCCACCTTTCAACTTCTTCCGGTCTTGTGGGTTTTCCCCTTGAAAAGTCCAGGGAGGCTAGTTTGATGAGTGGAAAGCGGGTTTGGATCATGTCTATGCTAGCCCTGGGGCTGTGCATATTTGGAATCCTGGCTTGCATGTTGGAATACCTCCCCAACCGGGATCCAAGTCAAGAACCCGACTACCGATTCTTTTTTGACCCTTCCCGTCGGCACAGTGCATACGCTGGCGAGCCGACAGCTTAAGATGAACCTCGAATGGAAGGCAGAGATTTGAGAAGCGAGAGAAGCGAACTGCTGCCGTTGAAGTGTGTTATTGAGAGAATGAGGTGTGTGATGGACGAGGCGTATCTCCTTGATAGCGGAAGTGCATCAGGGGGCGACCTGGGACAAATCGGATTAAAGCCGGCAAATGATTCAGTTAGCTAATACCTTATTTACAGCTGAGCTGGCTATAAAAGACCAGGTATCTCTTGAACCTTCTACTCCGTACGGTTGAGAAGGTTCTCCGCTGCCCCTGAAGCATTTCCGCTGTCAAGATAATGAGCTAGGGCCTAGACCTCGCTAATCCTAATTGGGCCGAACTTACGGATCCCTGTTCGCGCGTACCACATGTTCGGAATCGACTCGTGCTCAGGTATTCAAGGTACTCGCCTGTACGGAGTAGCTTGGCATAAAACACAGAAAGATGTAAGGTTGGACGATGCCAACCAAGTATAAAGATAAAGGTTGACGCCTGCTCCCAGAAAATGTCGGGCCGTATACCACACTGCTCCCCCACCAAAGCTTCTGTTTGCTGCCTCGCCATTACCGACTTGATCGCTCCGGCGGCTGCTGTCCTCAATTGGTAGCCAGTGCAGTGGCAAATCTCCGGTTTGCGGCAAGGCCACGAGCCCCCCCGGCGTTAGCGGAATTGAGAATTGGGAAGACGTCTACCTCGGACTGTGCATCACCTGATTCCAGCTATCCCCGAGTCCCTACTCCGTTACTGGCTGAGATCCCCGCAAGCTACCCGCGAGGTGCCTTAAAAAAAACCGTGGAAGGTACAATAGCCAAAAACCATGAGACACCATGGCACAGCATGCGAGAGCGCACATATGCGTCACATTGCGAGCGGATCCGCCCTCGAAGTCCCGCACCGTTCCCAACCAGTAAGTGTAATAAGCCGAGTGGGATGACAACTGGAACCCAACCCCCTCAGCCACCCCAGCCCCCAGCCCCCAGCCCCCCCGGTGGCTGAAGGCGACGTCCTAGCCCCACCCAACGCTCTTAACATATCTCTACTAACAGGGTCAGGTAACCTCCTAATAGAGTCAGGTAACCTCTACATATACCGTCAAGCAGGATTACGTAACCAGCTTAGATAACATTCAAGCTGAATATCCAAATTCTTCCTTTATCTTAAGTAAGGCCGAAGAATAAGAGCCCCCATAAGAGCGCAGCGATAGAGGGTGCCCCGGAGCGCAGCATAGGTCGCAGCAGGCCGACCGTACTCTGTTAATTTACTAAAAGAAGGTCAAAAGATATAAAAGCCAGCCGCAGCAGTCAGTACAAAAGATATTATCTAAGCCGGTCAGGTAATCCTACTTGACGGTATATATAGAGGTTACCTGACTCTATTAACAGAGGTTATCTGACCCTATTAGTAGAGATATGTTAAGAGCGTCGGGTGGGGCTAGGGCGTCGCCTTTAGCCACCGGGGGGGGGGGGGGCTCTGGTTGTATGTATACACTAATAAGCCCCCAGTATCAGAACGAACAATCCCGCTAACTCCTGAGTCAGTAAATTGAACCACATCAACCACAGTTTCTATAAGTCAAGTGTGTAACCTTCGTTAGGTATGCGCCGAGGTCGAGGCCGACGCCCTCACTGGGCATATTGGGATCGGATCTGCAACAGACCATGTTCGCCAGCTTGTAGGTCCAATACATGAATTCATTCTCTTGGTTTGGACGCTAATTGCATCACCCAGGCTCCGCGGAAGAAGCGCACTGTCTTCATCTGGAATTGCTGTGCGTGCATGTATGGTGGCATGAAAGTCAGCGTTGGTTCCTGCCCAGGATGCGGAACACCACGCTGCTCTTATTGCAGGGTGGAAAAAATCGTGGTCAAGGAATAATGCTTGCATCCCTGGCTCAACTCAGTGAGCCAACTGGCATCATATCCGCTCACAGGAGGAGTAGAGCCACGGGGTTGGCCTCGACCACGAACCTGACGAGGACAATCCGCACTCGTACGAGCCCTACCACCAACGGCAGTTCAATACCGCCGGCCTCCACCCCCTACCAGACCTCGGCGCACTCCCTTTCCTCCAGCACGCCACCATCGCGTTCGACTATCTCCATCCACGCACACGTTTACCTTGCACTATCAGACGTGAGAATGGAGTATGTAGCACGCTACTTCTTTTCTCCACTTGTCTCGCCATTTCCTGTGACCCAAGCTGTTCTGCTAGGGTGTAGTCTGCACTCAACACATATATCCCACCAACAGATCATCATCATAGCTCAGTTAAGACACTCTATTTTAAAACTTCGAGGACGATCGTTTTATCTACGTTGTCAACTGCGAAACTTCGATATTATCATTCGATCGACCTATGAATTTATCCTTCTTGGTGCTCTATGTCTGCGTTGTACAACTCCGGTTGAAGGAGATCTTTTATGCCGTCTCTAATTCGCTCCCAATTCATCAGCGCGCCGATAGCTGACCACACCAAGACCATGAATACCAATACTAGGATGACGAAAGAACTACTGTTTGGTCGGAAGGGTGGAGGAATGGCTTTTTCCTGCATCGATAATACTGCAGCTGCAAGTGCAATAGGGGTGAATATCTGGGGAAACAATGAGTCTTTGTACACTGAATATTTTGTTGTTCGAATGAGTGTTACTTACAAATAACATGACAAAAGCCATCATTTGTCCAGAATTGGCTGCGCGGGCTTGGGCCTTTGCATCGCGATTGCCCTCGTGGCTCAGATAAAATGACAGCTATTCAATGGAATCAGTGCGGGAGTTCAGCTGCGGTATCATGATTGATTCATTCTTACTCCGGCAGTATAGCCATCACAATCATGGCCGAGAAACTCAAGGTCTTGCAAAAACTTTCCAAGCTGTTTTATGTTGGCAAGAATCACAGGAATGTACCTTGATCGAGGCCCCGTGACAGTCGTGAAAGTCTCATCCGTTTTGAAAGACTCCAGTTGGTTGATCGTGGCGGTGAGGTTCTGAGTCAATTGGCGTAGGAGCTTTTTGGTCTTCACAGCCCAATCACGAGATCGCCTCACAGCAGCGGGATCATCAGCACTTGGGGAAGTTGTGTCTGCCGTCATGATTGGGCAGGTCTCAATCTGTAGGTCCGGTTAGTATGAGGCCTAGTAAGCTCTGTAAGGAACGAGGAAGTCGGAGAAGCAAGAATACTTACGTATTCGTCAATCATACGCCGCAACTTCGTTACTAATACGTGCCATTCGTCTCTTGCATGTCGTAGTCGCGACTCCAGAACAACCACAAAGTATTCCCGAGGAGTTAAAATCGGCCGGCTAGCATCCTGCTCTCCAAGGGTAAAGGGGTCAGGTTGGCAAAGCACACTGCCATCATCTTCATCGAACACCATATCGTCGTCATACGACTCGGCGCTATCCCGTCTCGTTTCGTGCTCAAAGTATGTGTCGGCGAAACAATATGCCACCCATCTCCAAGGGTCCGGACCTGTAATAAGAACGGATACTTGAGCCTGACAAAGAAAGTCAATTTCCGTGAGAGGGTCCGATTTCATTGGCCTTCTTAAAAGGAAACTCAAATCTGTGACCTTCCGGAGAGTGCTGTTTTCTCCTACTCCTCGGGGATCTTGCGGCGGTCGGTGTCGCGGCGCCGTTCTTAGGACGAAAAATGGTAGGTCAAACGCTAGCTGGAAAGTCGCATATCCATTTGGCTGAACCGAAATCAGGGCCACGAAGAGAATTGAGGGAATTGATTTCTCACTGGAGGAACGGCACCGATAAAGCTCTCAAAGGCTAGGTGTCGGTACAAGCTATCCCTCAACGCCCGAGCTTGATTAATGGAGGCCGTTGAGATGATGGCCATCAATGCCCAGCGGTTCAGGTCGGTGATGAATCTGGATAGAGTAGATGTGAGCATGGAAGGAATAAGGATGAGCTTCTCGTACATTAGACGGCGGTCTGCATTCCGCTGAGGTGATTGTGCTGTCTGTTGGGACCTGCTGCGTTGCGGAAAGTCGTCGTTGCAGTGAAACCTCTGGAAGATGTCAGGACGGAATTTCAGACAGAACTCACAAGGACCATGTCACCTTTTTTGCCAACTCTACATAGAGCTGGTGCGCAGTGAGAGGACCAAGGTAATCTCGGGGGAGTGCGCACACCCCATCGTTCGTTCGATCGTCGAGAAGAGACACCGGGGTCGATGTAGCATTTAGACACCCGGATTTTAGTTCTTCCAAGACAATGTCGGGGCAAAAGGCTGCCACGAGCTCGACCTGAGGCATGACTCGGTTTGCAGCTCCGGACTCTATCATGAAAAAGGCGGCTCGGCTTATGTCGGAGTTGTTTTCTTCCCACACCTCCATGTAAGGCCTATTTTCGATTTGCCAAATACGGAACGGTTCAGGGATGAACTCCTGATCCCAGATAGAGCCTTCACGCTGGTAGTCTCTGACTGGGTTATGTTGATGCCTGTTTTTCTTAAGCTTCTTCTTCTTCTTCTTCCTTGCCGAGCCTCTAGGTTGCCTAGCTGCTCCTGAGTTCATCATACCGGGTAAAACGAACTAAAGGAGCCCGGAGCCATGCGCCAGGGGGTGTTTCATTATAGAGCAAAGGGAGTGGACCAACTGATTTGAAATGCCCGGACTTGGTTTGATAATTCATTCAAACTATCAGGGACATGCTTCTTTATGTGTCTCTTGGATGTCGACACCGAGTTTTAACAGCAAGTAGGCGCCCGAGCTACTCCTATCGGGGAACAAGGCAAAACAAGTCAAAGAATGCTCTACTGCCCGACCAAGACGCAGAATACTGCATCCTATTCGCCAAGGCCAGGCTGATACAAGACGTGGCAGCACACAATTCGATGCGATTGCATCCGAGCTCAGCCATCGTCGCCTTCTAACCCGTTACCGAAGGCCATAGGTCTTTGAAGCTCCTGTGATCAGTCCGAAGTGGTTGCAGGGCGAAGTAGGTGCAGCGTGTTGGGCATCAAGCTGTTTAAGTCGGTTATGTGGCCTATCATCTCGATACCTGCGAAACCGGCGAACCAGTTGAGTAAATGGTTGCCTCGCCGCCTCGTTGCCTCGTGGATTCCGCGAATAGCAACATATTTTGGGTCTCGCAGGATCAAGACATATTTCTTCCGTCGGGCTGGGCTCCAGTCTTCTGTCCGTCAAAAGTGAGGCTGAGGCCACCTGCATTAACCGGACGAGGGCGGAAATGGGTGCACCTGACTTCAAAATTCGCGAATCGAGAAATGGTAGTGTGGGTGTTGACCGACTTTCTGTACTGTTTAAGAGAGAAGCAAATATGAGGCCTCGTTGGAGGGGAGGAGTGGACAGCCCCGGTTATCGACGACATGTTTGCCTTGCGAGGCGCCGAGGGCCTCAAATGCAAGGATGACTGAGCTGCGCCCCAGCGGGCCGAGGAGTCGTTGGCGACTGTGTGGCTAGATCCTCCTAGAGGAGAAAAGGACTGATGATAATAAGGCGGACGAAGACATGGACCGGGAGTACGCTGGTGTGGTTCGCCTTGGATGGGTGCGTGTTAGAGAGAGATTGGTCGGCTCTAGATTCCAACCGGTCCCGCGCAACGACCAAGAAATCAACATGCACGTGGTAGATAGGTCAGGTGAATATATCCCATGCGGAGAATGAACTCTGGATATACAGTGATGGTATTGATCTTCATTCGGTAACATCATGGCCGTGCTAGCAAGGAACAGATGTGGACATCACCATGACATGCAGCATCTGAATCCTCGGCATTGTAATCTAGCATGTAATCTAGCGTGTAATCTGGCGTTGATAGACGGCAGCCATCGGCATTTGATCGCGACCGGATCGTCCCGGATCTCGGAGCTGATGCGTCTTTATTTAGTCGCCGGTCCATCCGCGCGCGCTCGACTCGGCGTAGACCTTTCATTCATGGCGGATGCCCACAGGAATCCTCGGAAGCTAAGGATTTCTTCCGTCGCTTCGCCACAGTGCTTCCGCAATTCGTCCACGGTAACACAACCTCACCGCAACATCCGCGTCTCACCCGCAACACAGCCGCAATCCGCGAATGTCAGAGCCAGAGCACTACATCCGCAGCCGAATCGCCAATGCCTGCGATGGCTGCAAGGCTCGAAAGGTCAAGTGCGACGGCAAAGTGCCCTGCAGCTACTGCGCCCGCCGGCAGCGGCCTCACGCATGTCACTATTCGCCGCAGCGCCGTCGACGAAGCGGGCAACCACCGCGATCTCCGCCGCATTCGGACAGGGAGTCGCGCGCCAGGTCGACAAGGAATCCTTCGCCTGCGACGCCGGTGACGGACCTTGCGAGGCCGGCGTCCACTCATGAGAGGATGGATGCGTCGCCAGAGGACGAGACCGAGGTTCCGAGAGAGGCGCGGCTGGTCTGTGACGCCCAGGGCAAGCTGATCTTTGTCGGAGACTGCGCGCCATTGTCCTTTTTTCAGTCTGTACGACAGCTCGTTACACAAAAGGTTGGCCCGAATGCATTTGCACCGCAATCCAGTCGGTACTCGGTGCTGGAAAATGCCCCTGCGCATCAATCGCGTCGCACATCCGGAGACCATCGAGTGCCTGTCGTGTGTCCGGACCACATTCCTCGCGCCGTCTCAACGTACTTGTCGACGTCAACGGGACTGGTGGATTTGTTCGATAGCAGGCTTCTTGGCGATTTGGTGCAGTGGGCGAATCTCAGCCAGAAACCCGACGATGCGACGTCAATTGTCAATTTCCTCGTCCTGGCCATCGGCCGGCAGATGGACGACGAGGAGCTTGCGCAGGACTACTTTGAGTACGCGCGCGACAAGGCATTCTCGAACTTGAGCGGAAACCTCAGTGTCACTGCCGTCCAAGCCTTTACGCTCGTCACCGTCTACATGCTTTGTTCGTGTCAGATCAACGGCGCATTCCTGTTCTTTGGCATCGCCGTCCGGGCCGCCTACGCCATCGGAATCCACAGAACAGAAGTCAATGCCAGGTTCGGACCCGACGTCCATCGGCAAAGGGATCGTCTCTGGAAGAGTTTACGGGTAGTGGACCTGTTCTTGAGTTGTTCCATGGGTCGGCCGCCGGCGACATCCGATGTTGACTGCACTGTGCCGTACCATGCCGAGGACAACGAACTCGATCTTCTCCAGGCGTCGGTCCAGATATTTCTTATCCTTGAGGGGGTTGTGACGGAAATCTATTCAAGGAGAAAGATATCATTGCAATTGACCGAGGGTATTTCACTGCAGCTACGGGATTGGTCGCTGAGATGGCTCAAACCGCTCAAAGATGTCCTCGCAGATCCCGGGACTCATGACCAGGCCCAAGTCAGCGGCGCATGCCAGATTCTATCGACATACTACTACGCAGTGATGCTTGTATCACGGCCTTTTTTGATGTACGAACTGTGCCAGCGCTTGTCAGACACGTCAGAAGCCTCACCCGGTCGGTCCGGAGCATCTGGAAAGTTGAGGTTGGCCGATGCGTGCGTCGATGCTGCAAGTTTGATGGTCGACCCGATCCTGGATCTGATTGAACGAGGAGCCCTCGTCGGCCGAGTTCCTATCTTGGTGTAAGTATTCCGCTCTGCACATGGTTCATGCTGACCTCTTAGATCGTGGCTATTTGCAAGTTCGCTTGTACTCGGCATTGGCCTCCTCGGCGGCTTTGGCCGGATCCTGGAAAAGTACACTCGCATGTCGATCCAAGCTCTCGATCATTGTTCAAAACATGACACCCATGCACGACAGTACTCGCTCATTGCCCAATCGCTTCTGACAACTGCCTTGGAGTCGCTTGAGAAGCGTGAGCTGCAAGAACGGATGCGACGCACCGAAAGCTCAAGCCAGCTGTTTGGTCTAATCCCATGCGACACGTCGACTCCAGCGTCACAAACCACTGCGCCCAGTCCTGCTGCAAATACTAGATCCCGAGACTCGCTTGATCGATCATTCCTGCAGCACAACGGGGTTCAAGCCATGGCATCACCCCGGTTTGGGGATTTGGATTCCGCTTTTCTCGGGATAAGCGAGTCCTTGCTGCAAACACCAGACGCAGGGTACTGGGGAGGGAATATCGGATGGGAGGGGGATACGGGATCGGCTCTGAACTTGTTTGCTTTGCTAGATGCGGGCGGCGGAATTGACCTCGCACACCATCTTTGAGTATCGAGGAGTGTTGAGCCATCCATAACCGATGCCGAGGATGTCATTATCTTTGCAGGCTGGAATCCAATTGTCGGCGCCCGTTGAGCCACACATAACCGATTATCCCAAGATGATATGTCACATCAACCGAGATGCACGATTGGGCGGTGACAATGATGTGATCGCAACGGGGCGGAAGTCGGGGGTTTACATCCGTGCTTCCGCTTCCGTCGTATGTGGTGCGGGTAAGACTAGATAACCCGTCATGGTGTTTAACAGGAATACCCGAAAGTGCATGAGCTCTAGTGGATCGTTCCACTTTTGCAGTTTAGAAGGTATCTGACTTGATTCGTCGTCGGATGCAGTAAATTACAAATGGTAGTAACATGTTGAGTAAGCAAAAGATCTGCCTCAGAAACATCTCTCGTATAAGTGCATTTAATTCACCCAAGTCTAATCCATCCACCTCATTAAGCCAAGCTGGACTCATTCCTCAACTTTCGCGTATTGACACTTGCAAACCAATCCCAAATCCTTCGCAGGGCTTCCTTCATCCGGTCGTATGGGATGGCAGAGAGAAGCAAAACAACCACGACCAACGGGAGTGCTGTAGCGAAGTACACCCAAAAATTCTCATGGCCGGGCGAATATGTATCAGACATGCTAAACAAACTTGCAACCCATGAAAGAGGTACAAAAATTAGTGCAATGTATGTCAGGCGCCTGACATTAATAGCCTCCAGGATTGATCGCCGAGAGTCAAACAATTGTACCATCGACGTCGCCACCATGACGATCTGCTCCAGAGACTGGCTATAGTACTCCAATTGCTGGCGCACATGCTGAATATCGTCCAGTACCATTTCCCAATGCTGCCTGTCGTCTTCCCGCTGCGTCCAGTAGTCGATAAACTTGGCAAGCATTGAGAGCTTGTTTTGGCTCTGTTTGCTCCGACGCCGCCAGCGTTGAAGGTCAACAATGTCGTTGTCGTGTAGTCGGTTCGTCATGTCTTGAAGAGAATATTCGTAGTATTTAAAGTAGCGGCTTATCAGGAGCGTATAGACCGACCATTCGGAGAGTACAATGCGAACTGGGTAGTAGCCAACACCCAAGATGGTTGGTTTCGTGGGGATGAATCCTGGTGGGTAAGTGCGGTAGTAGTGCAGCAGACTGCTGAACATGGAGGTGTTGTCCCATATGTCATTGCTTTTTCCAGCAAAGGATGAGAATGATGAGAAGGATGAAGAAGGGCCAAAATCTTCGAAACCACCATGCAAGGGGTCGACTGGGTAGGTCTTTTTCAGCTCCTTGGACGTGTCAATCGCTGCGTTGATTGGAGGATCGACGAGAAAGAGGCCTATGAGGTTAGAGATGCGAATGAGAGCTGCGAATGAGAGGAGACTCACAAATATATGATTCGTTAATCTGTTTCACAAAAACAGAACAGCATGCTCGAGCAAGAACCAGCTGCTTCCCAGAGAGTGGTGGTAAACGCCGTATATTGCGCTGGATATTTGAGTCGCTTTTCAACGAGTATGCAACCTCTTTAAACCTTTCGGCGCTTCCTAGGCTCATCACCTGTTGATAGTGAAGATGAAGATGTCCTTTTTCGGAAATAAGCGACGGCAAAAGCGCAACTGAAGGCGGGGGAGGCGATTTCTCAATGTCTTTTAGGTCAGTGTTGACATGGTTGGCGAAAAAGATGGGGTCCACGTCGAGCATCTCACCAACAAGACTGATGAGGCGAGGGCTGATGTTTTCGATAAAGACGAGTCTGGTGGTTTGGGATTTGACATTGACCAGCCAGGAAAAGTCGGCTTCTGCAACTGATACAGGCTCGGACGGAGATTGTCCATGGCAATCAATCACGACGGTTGTGCTTGCATTCCGAGGCTCGCTGCCTAAGTGTTCGGCGAGACCAGAGAGGCAAGGATTCAACCGGGTTCGAAGCGCGACAAAGTCTTTGTAGGATGGAGTCATTTGCAGGCCGTTTAGTCTCGTAGTGGTTTGACTGTTGGAGAAGGATGCAATTAATAAAGAATATCCCGCAACTTGAATATTCCATGTTTTCTACTTCTGGGTTGAGGCTGAGTTAGGCGCCGACTGTTTCTGCATGAAACTGGAACTATCATTGGTGGCCTGGTCTGCGGTCATGCAGGTCAGCAGATTCACTCATGTGACCATCACCAAGCCTCGTGCAATTGAAGCCCGAATTTCATTTCTACTCTTTCATGATCACACCACCCAACCGCGTATTGTTGCGCAAATCTCGGCCTTGCGAGACATCATGAGTTGGCAGTCTCTACTTGTAAGAGGCCGTCGTCTCTCAGATACGCCGCTCTGTGCCAAGATCGACTCCGCAATCAACGATGCCCAACCCACTGACTCGCCCATCGACGCGTTCATCAGCATCTGGCCCAAACTCGAAGGGGACTATGCTATGATGGTAGACGCATTGATCAAATACTGCGAGGACCAAATGCATAAGAAAGAAATCAACTGCGACGTCTCCGGCCGACCAAAACGCCTGGATTCTATCCGAAAGTCCGCTGCACGTCGTGAAACGCACCAGAACAAGCGATACTCAAACGTTGGGGAAATTTTCAACACTGTCCATGACCTTGCAGGAATTCGAATCGTGGTGGAAATCCCATCCAGCATCAATACAGTAACCGCATTCCTTCAGGACACCTTCCACAAGGCTGGCGAACCGTCTCACTTCACGTCTGACCGCAAAATCAGTGACACTTGGGCTCCTTGGTTCGGAGCTTATCAGGCAACCAACCATCGCGTCAAAGTGAAACTCGGCACCGCTGATGTTCTTTCTCCCTACCAAGATGTTCTGTTCGAAATCCAGCTCACCACTCTTTCTGAACAGTTATACAACAAAGCTGCACATGATTGGATCTACAAGAAATCACACGGGCCTCTTACTAGCAGGGATGAGATATTGATCGACATGCTGCATGGTGCGGCTCTGATTTACTCACTTGGCATGGTGTACCTTCAAGACGGAGAAAAGTCTGTTGACTCAAAACTCATTGATGGCATGAAAGAGGCCTACTCAAAGGACGACCCAGAGACATTGGTGAAGATGCTACCGGATCACCTGAGATTTGGAGAGCAGAACCAATCGATCAGCGACCAGTTCTCCGGCAAGCCGATTCCATTCGAACTTGTCACAAAAGCCATGGATTCGCCAGCTACCAGAGGGTCTGAATCCAATTTATTGGAATCGATCGTCCAGTACATACAGTAAGTCACCTCCTTCCAAATTCTTCAGGTTCTAACAAAATAGGGAAAATATGCAACCTCCCATACAGCTTCCCACGTTTGAAGACGCACGATTCGATAGCGCCCGGGTCCATGACGCACCGAAGTGCTATGAGGGTACCAGGGCCAGCGCCTTTGACCGCGTCATGGCATGGGTTAACGACGCCGAGGGAGAGACCTTCTTTTGGCTACATAGCCCTGCTGGCACCGGAAAGTCGACATTGGCTCGGAGTCTTGTGACTAAACTGCTGGCCACGAAGCAACTGGCAGCTGGCTATTTCTTCCAACGACAAGATGCGGTTGGAAGTGGTACATCTCTATTCTTCCCAACCATCGCAAGCCAACTCATGAACACTATTCCGGAATTCGACGTCTTCCTTCGAACGTCTTTGAAGGATGCAAAGAACCCAAAACTGGAAAGCAAACCTCTTGAGGATCAATTCAAAATCCTCATCCAGGACCCTCTTTCAGCAATGGATGGACCGAAAACCACAAGAGTCATTATTGTCGATGCCCTGGATGAATGCAATGCTCCAGATCACCTTTACCGCCTTCTCAGTTTGTTTTCACGTCTCAACGATATCGATTCTCTCCGGTTGCGCGTTTTCATCACCAGCAGGCTTGTGTTTTCTATCCAAAAGACTTTCCAAACTCTCAGCAAGGAAATGGTTCCGTACTGTAGTCTTGACCTACATCGAGAATTCCTGGAAGAAACAAACAATGGAATCAAGATTGTCTTGGAGGCCGGGCTCGCAAAAATCAAGGTGGAAAACAACATTAAAACAGACCCTTGGCCGAGTATCGAAGACTTTGGTCAGATATTGAGCCAAGCGACAACTCCCTCACCTCTCTTTATCTATGCCAAAACTCTCCTACGTTTCGTTAATCAAAAAGGGCGGCCACCCAGACGACTTAAGATGTGGCTTGAGAGGCACCACAGTAATGCGACTCAACTGGAGGATTTGTACGCCACGGTTTTTCAGGATTTGGACCGAGACGAAGAAACTGGAAAGTCTGGAGCACTTCTCAGTGCAGAAAAGCAAGTCCTGTTGCATGTCTTGGGCGCCATCGTTCTTGTCGCTATCCCACTTCCCGCCGCAGCATTGGCAGTCCTGCTTGACATTGAGAGGGACGATGTCGATGATCATGTCAAAAGTCTACACGCGGTGCTGCATGTTCCCACTACCGACCAGGCTCCGGTTGAAATCGTTCACAAGTCTTTTGCCGACTTTCTACTCCGAAATCGACAAAACGATGCCAACGCTTTTTGGGTCGACGCCCCAGAAACACATGCAATGCTTGCAAGAGGATGCATCCAGCGCATGTGTAAAGGACTCTGCAAAAATATCTGCAAGCTCGATCACCCTGGGACGTTGAGGGATGCTATCAAACGGGCGACCATCAACCAATCCATACCAGTCGAACTTCGGTATGCTTGCGTCTATTGGGTGCACCATGTGGTTCATAGCAAAGAGCACATCGACAAAATCGACATCTCTTCAATTCTTCACGAGCATTTCCTTCATTGGCTTGAAGCTTTGTGTCTTTTGGGAAAACTTGAAGACGGGATCATAGCGATTCAAGACCTTCTCGGTGTTATTCAGGTACGCAGTCAAGTCGAAAGTAGATGAAGAATGCTAACTCTAGTAGTTCACATCTACAACCAGCCGTCTTGTTGAGTTTTTGAAACACACTGAGCGGTTTGCTCTTGCTCACACACAAATCATTGAACGGGCACCTTTGCAGATATACGGTTCTGCTCTAGTGTTCACTCCAACAGAGAGCATGGTCTACCAAAAATACTGGAAGGATCAAAAGCTGGCATGTATCAAAACCGTAAGCGGGGTTCAAGCTCATTTTGATCCTTGCTTGCAGACTCTGGAGGCTCATGAAAGCGAAATCACTGCCCTTGCTGTTTCTGGCAATACAATAGCGTCGGCGTCGTATGACTTGCAACTCAAACTGTGGGACTCCAGAACCGGTATTCATCGGCAGACATTTGAGTGTACTGGCCATCTTCTAGCCATTGCATTCATGTCGGATGGAAACAAGCTGATATCTATTTCGATTTTTGGGAAAATCCAGATGTGGGACTTGTCGACCGGAAATGTCACCTTCCTCCACGCGAATCCAGTCCACGGCCGTAGAATGGGCTGCGCAGCGTTTTCTCCAGATTGCAGCCTACTAGCTACGGCCACACTGGACATTCCTTACAAGGTGGACTGGTGGAATCTCAAAACGGGGGTGCATTCCCACACAGTCGACTTGGGCCAAATCACCCACATTGCCTATTCACCGGACGGCTCGGTGGTCGCATTATCACGGCTCTATGGAGGATCAACATACCTGCTACATGCAGCGACAGGTATTCTTAAAAACGAATTGAGATTCGATGTATCTGCCTGTGCCGTGGCCTTCTCTCCAGATAGCAGCAAGCTTGTGATGCGGAGGTCCTGTTCCATACAGATATTGGATATAGCCACATGTACTCTGCAGTCCACCATCGAGGACCAAAAAATCCGTGGTTCTCCACTTCAGTCCTCTTGGAATGGAGGTAGGCTTATATTGGCTGATGGTCCAAACCTAATGGTCTGGGACGTGACAACAATTGCCAATCAGCCCACAACCGAGAAGGGACGAATGTGTTATGCCTTATCGCAAGATGCCAAGTATCTTGCATTGGCTTTGACCAATGATGAGATATCTCTTCAAAACCCAATGACCGGTGCTCAATATTGGTCGGCAAAGATAGCCTTAGTGGATAAGATAGCCTTTTCACCGAACGGGAAGATACTTGCGACAACCTCAATATTTAATAGCATAAGTCTCCTTGACACAGAAACAAGTGCTGTAAAATATCAATTCGAACTCAACCGACTCGATCCCCACTGGAACCATCGAACAAGCACAATAGCCATCTCGCCAAATGGAAAGACACTCGCAGCAGCCACAGTTCGCGGGTCGGTCAAACTCTGGAATTTAGGAACTGGCGCTCACATTAGAACATTTCGTCGCACGGATTTTAGAAGAACCATGGTTTTCTCAGACGACGGACAGCACCTCCTCATGGATGATAAGCCAATGGCTATATATCCGGACTCGGGTGATGATCCGAAGCCGCGAGATCGCCAGATATTGGTCAGTGGATGTTGGATAACTCGAGATGGAAAAGCATTTCTTTGGCTCCCAGAAGAATACAGGCCCGAGTGCGAGGCGAGTGATGGCAGTCGCCTTGTTTTGGTAGTAAATGATCATGGGCGAGCTATTTGCTTTGATTTTGACCTACCATTGTTAGATTCGTCCCCGATCTAGAATTCATAGCAGAATGTGATTTGATACCTTGATTATATCGCTTGATCCAACGTTCATAAGCTTTATCGTACATATGCCACGGGTGCAAATCCCAACCCTGGAGTCAGAATGTCGTTTTCACAATGACAAGATTGAACATCAATATTCCTTCGTCTCTCCCTACTACCACAGACGTCCAATTGTAACAATAAATTTCTTTCATTATAGTAGCTTGCTCATCTATCAATGTCCTTTTCACATATTCGACCTCAAAGCCCAAGAGCCCCCCTCAAGACCTGCATAAATTTCCACACATCCTCAAATCGCGTATACAGTGGGACCGGAGCGACTCGGATCACTCCCGGCTTCCGCTTATCACACAACACACCGTTTTCTTCCAACGCCTGGCTGACGTTTTCCAAAAGACCATCCTTTAGCATGACGCTCAATTGAGTTCCTCTTTGTGCGGGATCCCTAGGAGTGAGGATCTGGAAAAGAGTGTCGTCGTTAGAGTCTGCCAGAATCTGGTCAAGCAGAAGCTCAGCGTAGGCCGTCAAGACCAAAGCCTTGGATCGTAGATCGTGCATGCTAGTCTTGCCAAACACTGAAAGCGCACCGGAAAGACTAGCCAGGTCAATTGCTGAAGGGTTGGACACCTGGAAACCACCAGCGCCAACTGTAGGGAGGAACTTGTTGTCCATGTTGAAGCGCACGCTCTTATCGCCGCCGTACCAGCCCATGAGACGAGGGCGGTAAACAGGCTTGCCAGCGCTGTCAAACTCGACCTTGCCGTGCTTCTCGTGGACGAAAGCTCCGGCGATGGATCCTGCACCGCCGTTGATGTACTTGTACGTGCACCAGCATGCAAAGTCAACGTCCCAGTCGTGCAGCTTCAGCTCCACGTTGCCGGCAGCGTGGGCAAGATCCCAACCCACGACAATTCCCTTTGCTTTGGCGTATGCAGTGATGCGGGGAATGTCAAAGAGCTGGCCGGTGTAGTATTGGATGCCAGGCAACAAGAGCAGAGCCGTCTCCTCGGCATGCTCGTCAATCGTCGCCAGAATCTTCTCGGTCGGGATCAAAGAATCCTCGTTGGGCTGGATCTTGACCATGCTCTTCTCAGGGTCAAGCCCGTGCATCACTATTTGACTCTCAATGGCGTAGTGATCACTCGGGAATGGCTTCCACTCCAGGATAATCTTGTGACGCTTCTCAGTCGGCTTGTAGAAGCTTGCCATCATCATGTGCAGGTTGACAGTCAATGTGTTCATGATGACAATCTCACTGGCAGAAGCACCGACAATGTCGGTTGACTTGATGGCGCAGTCTTCCGCGAGGTCTTGCCATTGTGTGAGGGGGGAGTTTTCAAGTGAGGTAAAGTGTCCGTTGACGCCGATGGACGCCCAGGTCTCAAGCTGAGCATTGAGATATGTGCGAATGGCCTTGGGCTGAGCACCAAGAGAATTGCCGACAAAGTAAATACCCTCATCAGAGTCAGATTTGTGGCCGTTGGTGCCATTGCTCGCACCGTTGGTACCGTTGTGCTTGGCTCCTAGTCGGTTAGTCTGAGAACCCAGACAGTAAACCGGAAACATACCAGGGATAGACCCATCAAGTGCCTTTTTCTTGAGAGATGACTTGGTGGGCAGGATAAACTCGTCTCGGAGGTGGCTCAGCTTATCCTGGGCATCAAGGCCCTGAGCAAAAGTAAGCGAGTTGGCATCGTGAGGGAACTTGGGAGCCTCCCCATTGCGCAAGCGTTGGACAAAAGTAGACAATTCCATGGTGATTCGTTGGATTGAACGAGAAGTGATGTCTGGAATCGTACGACTAGCTCAAGCCGGGCCTGCGAAACCACTTTATGGACGTCAACCACGACAATGCCGAGAGATTGTGTTCCGTACGGAAGTTCGGATGTGGCACTTCCGCGATCCGACATCCGCGCCCAACCGATATTACGAGATCCTTTGCCCCTTTGAAGAAATCGAGCCTTTCTGATTGGTTCGCCATCGCTTCGCCATCGCAAACGATGGTCATTCTTTCAACATCGTACGTCACCTGCTCCGGAGACCCGCACGGAGCTCGGAAGCGGCTGTAAAGGAACGGAAGAACACCACAGGATGCGTATGAATGAAGTATTTTATTAGACTGCTATGCTCAATCAATTCTACTCATCTCATCACCGCACTCTTCCACTTGAACTAAAAATGTCTCCCCACGCTACTCTACAACGGATCAACCCAACTGCTGAACTGAAGAAGTTCTCCGTCAGCCGCAATGCATTCCTTCCAGAGGACAGCCCTTTGAAACACCTCCCGAATGCGTACTACGAGCCCTGGGAGTTGATTGCTCACAACCTACCGAGTCTTGTCAAGGCTGGTGAGACTGGAATCAGAAGAGCAGTCGCACAACTTCCTATCCTATCCACCGATCGCCTACAATCCGAACCAGAGTGGCGAAGAGCCTATATGATATTGGCCTTTATGACGCACGCATATGTTTGGGGTGGAGAGAAACCAGAACAGGTAAGCTTCCGTCTCCAGCATCTGAGCATACTCTAATCATGTAGATCCTCCCTCCTCAAATCACAGTACCCTTCCTCAAGGTTTCCAAACACCTCGAACTCCCTCCCGTCTTGACATACGCCGCCGCCAACCTGTGGAACTTTTCCTGCACGGGCGACGACTTTTCAGAACTCTCCGACCTCGATACTCTTGTTTCCTTTACCGGAACAAAGTCGGAAGCATGGTTCCTGCTCATCAGCGTGGCCATGGAGGCGAGGGCCGGTGCTGTCATTCCCCCCATGATGGCTGCGCTCGATGCGGTCAAGACGAGAGATTACAACGTCATCACCTCGGCTCTGAATGGTCTTCGGACATGTATCGATGGAGTGGGCTTGTTGCTGGAGAGAATGTACGAGCACAACGAGCCTTCTGTCTTTTACAACCAGATCCGGCCGTTCCTGGCTGGAAGCAAAAACATGGAGGCTGCCGGTCTACCCAAGGGAGTGTTTTACGACGAGGGCGAGGGCAAGGGACAGTGGATGCAGCTCCGAGGTGGAAGCAACGGGCAGAGCTCTCTGATTCAATTCTTCGACATTGTCCTTGGAATCGAGCACTCCACCACCGGCAACAACACGCCTGAAAAGGGAATGCCCAGCTACCACCAATTGGTCCGAGATTACATGCCCGGTCCTCACGCGCGCTTCTTGGTGCACATGTCCCGAATGGGAAGCATCCGCGAGCTGGCAAATCTGCCTGCCGTCTCCGAGGAGCACCAGCGCTTGCAGGTGGCATACAAGGCGGCGACCGAGGCGTTGACCATCTTCAGAACAAAGCACATTGGCATCGTCACTCGGTACATTATTCTGCCGTCGAAGCAAGCCGCCATGGGAAGCCGCCAGAACCTCGCCAGCTCCTCATCAAAGGACGGAGCGGAATTGAAGGGTACTGGAGGAACCACATTGGTTCCGTTTCTAAAACAGTCGAGAGATGAGACTGCAGATGCAGGAAAGCTGAAGAATTAGTGATCATTAGACAATGCATAGTGAATTAGCGGCCAGTTATACATGAATAGAACTCTGAGCATCCTTGGCTCACTATAAAGACCCCAGACTCATTCCTCATGCTCCAACCCAGCATCCTTGGCTTTCTTGTCTGCAAGCTCGCACAGAGCCTTAAACTCAGGCCCACTCACCTTGCTCACACTCAGCCTCGACTGCTTCAGCATCTGCATATTCTCCAGCGGCCCTCCCGGCTTGCCCAGCTCGCGGAGTTCCTTGAGGCCGATTTTGACGGCAAACTTCTTGCGGAACTCGACGTGCACGAGATCCCACTTGGGCTTTTCCTTGGTGGACGAGGGGTCGTAGTACGGTGTCCCGGGTTGGCGTGCGGTTCCTGGCTGGTGAGCATGTACACAGGGTATAGAGGAGAAAGGCTTACGGTCTTCGGAAAACTCCTTGACAATCTCCATGATGCCAACAATGGCTGGTTCTTTGCAGTTTGAGTGGTAGAAGAAGGCCTTGTCGCCGGCATTCATGTTGCGCATATTATTCCGGGCTACACTGTCAGTTGGGAGCTCAAGGAAGTGAGAACCTCGAGGAAGTTGAGAAGCTCAAGGATCAATCCACATACCTGGGTAAGCTCTGATTCCTGTGGATGTGAGTAGGTGAATTGAGAGTATGAGTGTGATGGTGACTTACCATCCCAGCCTTCGGGCTTTTCCTTGGCGCGCAGGTCGTCAATTGAGAAGCGCACGTCGATGCCATTCTCCATGCGCGTCTCTGGTTCGGCCTTCATGAGCCAGTACCATTCGCCGTCGTGTTTGGGAGCGTTGGGATTGCGGGTGGGGATGGAATCGACATCCGGTGTCTCCGAGGATTCCTTCGCGTTGGGCTTGTCGGTCTGGTCCTTTTTGATGGCCTTGTCGACTTTCTCAGTCTTGGGTGTCTTTTCAGATGCCTTTTTGGGGTTCGGCTTGGTCTTGGGTTTCTTGGCTGGTTTCTTCTCGCTCTTGACTGGCTTCGGTTCTGGCTTTACGTCCTCTTCCTTGACGGTCTGTTGAAGCTTGGTGGGCTGGGCCTGGCTGCGAGTCGCTGAACGAAGGGAGCGCCTTTTGGGAACAGGCTCTTCGGCGACAGCGCCTCCAGACGGGGCGTTTCTCTTACGGGGTGGCATTGCGATAGTTGTTGATGCGTGGAGTTGGCGACAGCGTGTCGGATGCGCTGCGATGCGCTGGATGCGCTGGATGCGACAGGCAATTTCTTGCGACGCGACCGTGTTTCTCAGCCACACCTCAGCCACACTTGCGATCTGGTGTACCACGGAATCGAATCGTCCCAGCTCATGTCGTTGATCAATTTAGTTCCTAATCCTAAATGGCCTAAGTTATCGCCTGGTAACTTAGGTCTCATAATACCCAATTCGGTCGTGCTGTGATTCAATTGCTCTCGTATACCGGAACACCCAGATGACCAGATCCACTCCATAATACCATCGCATCACTCTAGCTGAGATCACACTCTAGCCAAGATCAAAGATTCCAACAACTCAACAATGGAAACCAACTCGTCCAACTGCCCACACTGTGTGAGAAGGACGGCTTGATGTTTGCGAATCATTCCCTCGGTGTAGTTGCCGGATTCCTCTCCATCCACACCCAATTGATCCTGGAGCTCCTCGAGATGCCCAGACACATCATGAATGACGTCCGGATCAAGAGCGACAAACTCATGATACGGAATGACCTTTTGGGATTCCTCGGTCAATTCGGATTCAATCCACTCCGAGGCGTTGTTTGTGAGAATGGTTGAGATGCCCTCGATAAGGCCGTCCAAGCGTTTGATGACAGCAGGAGCTTCGAGGATCGGCGGTTGAGTGGCAGTGTTGTAAAGCGTGCTCAAGAAAACAGAGCTCCTCCGGACCTGGTCCTTGAGTTGGTAAAGCTCACGTCGAATTCGGGTAACGTCTGGGTGTGGGAGGTCTCGTCGGGGGCGTGTCTCACGATCGACGTCTTTGAGTGGCATGCTCATCCATCGTGTCTGAGACTCGTCAAAGTCGCTACGTGTTGGTTAGAATCGAACCAAGTAACCAGGGAGCGACGGGAACTTACGCTTTAAAAATGGGCATAAAGTCCTCCATGGTGATGAGTGAATCCTCCAAAGCCTCTGCGCAACCTGCCAAGGCGACATTGACCTGCAGCGGGATGGCCTTGGCGGTCAAGCGATCGGGCTGGCCAGGCTTGTGTTGGATTTGTATTCGATTCATCTCGGTCTGGGCATTGAGCAATTGCATGTGAAGGGTGTTTATCCACTCGAGCAAGCTAGCGTTGAGCGGCATCTCGCCAGCGGCCATGCCAGAGCCCTTGGCCTCCCAGCGCTTGGCATACGTTTCGAGGATGGGCTTGAGGTCCTTGGCATGCGTCGCAAGGTCATCGCAGGCAGACTTGAGAAACGACAGAGTCGAAATGCGCGATGCGCCGAGAGCGATGGCTTTTGCGGTGGTGGCGTCGAGGGACTCGATGACGGCGCACAGCGACTTGTAGTAGAAGCTAGGGTCGTTGGCGTTCTTGGCGGCATTCTCCTTGTCAAAGCTGGGAGACGGAGCGACGTCGATGGACTCGATGGCTGCGCACAGCGACTTGTAGAAGCCGGGATCGTTGGCATTCTTGCAAGCATCCTCCTTGTCGAGGGGGGGAGGCTCAAGGCGGGGAGGCTCAAGGCGGGGAGGCTCGACGTCGGGAGACTCTGCATCATCGGCGCTGTACAGGTCTGGCTCTAGTGCGTCGGGGCGTCTGACGTGATGATGCGGCGCTAATGAGGCCTGTTGGACGGGGATTGCGATGGGCGCTGGAGCTGGCGCTGGACGAAGAGGGAGGGTTTCGAAGCGGGAGACAGTGTCTTGAGGACGGCGAGGTGGAGAAGACGGCTGAACTGGAGATTTCGGCGGGGAAGCATCGTCGTCAGCCTCATCGTCGGTCGTCGGGAGCGAGTCGAGCGACACAACCGACGCCGCACTGTCGACCTCGAGCCAGTCGTCGGCGATGCGAGGTTCAGCGTGGGCAGTCTGTGCAGCCATGGCAGCAATCTGGTGATGGAGAAGCCAAGTTGCAGCAAGTTGCAGCGGATTTTGACTCACCACCAGAAGTTACTCGCCGTCTCGTCCGCCTCTGCGTCTGCCTTGCTTCACCTCTGCCTCGTCAGCCACATCCAGGCAGCAGTCAGCAGGCTGCTGATGCCATGACCTGGACGGCCATTTTGATTAGGTCAGCGGATGCCGCGGCAGTGCCACGGGTGGCTTGACGCTTGTGTGCGCATGCGGCTCGTCGTCATGATGAGCTTGATTGATTCGCGCTGGTTCGCAAACAGGTTTGGTCACTGGTGTTTGGCTAGCGGAGGGAAGTGTAGGGTAGGTATTGTGTATTTACGAGTACGGATATCAAGACACCGCTACGGGTTGCATAGCTAGGCGACTGTTGGGTCGTTAGAGGAGATGGGAAGGGTTCTGGGGGGCCTTCAGAGTGTTCGGGGAGCGCTCCGAAAGCGACCAGGGAGGTTCCACGGAAAAAAAGCGCGTTTATCAATCTAATTGTTTCACCTCTGACAACCAGGGATGTGCATCGGCGAACTATAAGCTTTCCGCCTCATCCCATTCATCCCTCGGGACTTGCCGATGGCTTTTCTCATGCGTTTCAGCGTGACAATCTCCCGTCAGTGGATGCACGTCATGCACTTTCATCCCGTATCGTGAATGATCTACGATCCTCTGTTATTGAGTGTGTCCTAATGCAAGCCGTCTTACCGTCCAGATCATTCACGAGGCTGAAAACTTTAATACCTTGTACTTGGGAAATCAGATCAATACAATCTACGCCTAGTGATGGAGTTGAAGAAATACCAGACTGAACTTCACCACACCGCATCCAACCATGGATACCCCTCCCACGCGCAGTGGTAAACCCCTTAATACGGAATAATCGAAGCACACAGATATAGGAGAGACACAAGAACCACAAAAAAACAAGGGATGCGATAACCCTTTCGTGGACAATTTCTGTCCGCCGCATCCCACTCCGATGCCGATGATGACTGATAATTGATTAGCCACCCGCGCGCGGCTATGACATGGATCATCGGCTCAATGCCGATTTCAGGGTCCACGCCATCCTATTCCGGCGTAGGGCGAAATGAGGTCCTGTTTCTCTTTCCTGGAGTAAACAAGATCTTCTCCAAAAGTCCCTTAGCTCAAAGTTTACATCGTTCTACGGCGTGGAATCCCACAGCCAAGACCGAGCCTCAGCCCCGCTAATTACGTTTACATGAGACAGAACCCATCGTGCGAGATGCTTTGTGAAATGCAACGTCTGAGATGCAACGTCTGTCCTTGGATGTCCTTCCGAAGAGGTTCCGAGTATCCACATTAGGAAACTGCACCGCCTTGTGAATGCTTTGTAACTATGGCGATATCGCTCGTCGAAAGATATATATATCAACTAGGTGCCCTTGATAATGTTCTATACCTCTTCAGCTCAGTTTAGCATCTATTCAATCTACTTGCTTCTCTTAACCCAGCAACATGTTGCGCAGTCTCACCGCTACCGCCCTCCTGGCAGGCCATGTGCTTGGCTTTGACCAAATCCTTGGTTTCAACGCCGCTGTCGAGTACGAGACCCGATCTCTTGACGAGATTTACCAGGCTGCTCTGAAGGAGGGCGATGTTGTCACTCTTTGGCATGGCGGAGACGAGCCCAACCAGCGAGCCTCTCTCAAGACGGCCTTTGAGAAAAAGTTCCCTGGCATCACCCTCAACGTCACCGTCGACCTTTCCAAGTACCACGACGCTCGCTTGGATGAGCAGCTCGCCGCTGGAAAGGACAGCGTGCAGGTCGACAGCATCATCCTGCAGACTCTCCACGACTACCCCCGCTGGGCCCAAGAGGGTGCTCTCCTGAACTACGCCCCCAACGGCTTCGAGCAGATTGAGCACTCCTTCAAGGACGACACCGCTGCGTGGTACGGAGTCTACGTCCTCTCCTGGTCCGGAGCCTGGAACACCGACAAGCTCCCTGGCATCGAGGCGCCCGTCGAGTGGGAGGACTGGCTGCGCCCCGAGTTCAAGAACAAGCTTGTCTTGACCTACCCCAACGACGACGACGCGGTCCTCTGGGCCTTTTACCTCGTGTAAGTTCACCCCTCGCGTAATTGAATCATCTGACCGTAGTAGCATGCGACAATATGGTGTTTCTTGGTTCGACAAGCTCGTCGCCCAGAAGCCCCGTTGGGTCCGCGGCACTGCGACTCCCGGTACTCTCACCCGCCAGCAGAACAGCACTTCCGCTGCCTATTTCGCTGCCGGCGGTGGCTTCACTGGCTCTGGCTCCATGAACTTCTCGCACCCTACCAAGGGCAAGTACGTGACATGGCCCCAGACCGCCGCCATTCTGAAGGACGCCCCCCACCCCGAGGGAGCCAAGCTTCTCCACAACTACCTCCTCAGCACCGACTTCCAGAAGACCTCGGGCTTGTGGTCCGTCCGTCACGATGTCCCTGCGCCTGCCGGCTTTCCCAGCCTGTGGAACGAGACTGCTACCAACCCTGCCGAGTTTGCTAGGTTCATGGGTGATCGTGTCCTTGTTGAGCGCCTCAAGTTGTTTTTCGAGAGTCGCCTTGGAACGGCTCAGGGATTGAGCCCTCTTATTGATGGTATTTAGAGTTGATGTATATAAAATTGGTGGCTCATCACCTAGGGGCAGCCCAGCAGCTTGCAGTTGTTAGAGTAGGGTTATCCGGACTTTAGATTGTACATATTCGCTTGTTATATATTCGGCTTTACACAATATCATTAGATTAAAACATTTGCAAAAATGATGATATTGAAAGGTCTAGAAATGCTCCAGCTATTAAAACAGGTACTATTGCTGACAGCGACCTGCATTTCTGTCATGTCCTAATCCACATGGCACAAAACCGGCAGATCAATAATCCAGGGGAAGAGATAGGCATCCAATTGATTTGCGACGAATTGAAGTAGCGGATGCTTGTCACAGCATCGCGACAGCTGCGCCAAGGTAGACAAGAGACAGAATCCTAGTGATGTCAACCAACACCCGATGAGCAACAAATCTACAGGATTACTTAACTAATCGGCTTGTAGATTTAACACGCCATTGGGATTTACCATGCTGGGATTTACCATGCTGGGATTTAACATGCGGGATGCACCGAAATTGCAGGCCCACCCGAAGCTGACTGATTGCAGCGCCCCTGCATTCTCCAGGTTTCGTGTCGTCGGAACCAACAGGCAAGATTTCGTGGACGGACGGGCGTTTTGTTTCCAAGGTGACTGTGTTTAAACAGGCTGGAAATGCTACGACGATTCACTGCCACCTCACTTTACGTTCAGAACTGACCCATTGCAGGTTCTTTTGGTGGGTATTGCAAGGTTGTCTAACTGCTTGTTTTGGAATTCTCCAGACGTTCTCCCCAAGCACAAGCGGCTTTTCCTCGAGCTCTGCCACGTGAGGAGCTGTGGCTTAAGAAAGAAGAGTTCTGGTCACGTACGGGTTTGGGACCCACAATGGTTGTTATCTGAAATTGGAGCTCAGAGTGCACGTTACATGGCATCTCACTTCCATGGACCGACAGTGATTGAGAACAATGAATTTGATAGCACAATACATGATTAATAAACCCCCGAGTCCATTGATCTATCACCCATCTAAATGCTACAGCGGCGTAACTGGCCGATCATCGACGCACCATCGTCGCGGGTTATCTCAAAATCCGACTCAAATCCAGGCTCCTCCTCTGGGACCTGTCAGTGTAGGGGGTGACTTTCCGGATCCTTTTTGAAGACCACTATTGTCTGAATGGTTACCCAGTCCTTAGTAGAGGGGTCCACGGGCAACTTGCTGCGGTCCCTGTGAGCGTCCAATTCTGCTTGCAGCTTGGTGATCTCTGCTCGCTTCTCCAGGGCGAAGGCTGGGGACCAGGGGAACGCCTGGGGAATGGGCGGGCTCTCCTTGCCCTTGATGTAGTCCTCGAAGACAAGGAACCAAGGTCTCCCACTGAAAGGAGGCATGTTGGCACGACTGTATAGTAGATCGCTGACAACTTCGCGCGCATTGGTGTGGAAACCGCAGTTGTTGGCCCCATGGCTCAACGTGTTACAGCGGGGGCAGCCTTCCATCATTCCCCTGTCATCGCATTGGAAATACCAGGCGAGGGTGTGGGTTCTGGAGCCACATCCAGCATACTTGGGCCTCGAGGGTGCAGTCTGCGGCACCTCTTGAGCCTGTTGCACCTCCTTTGTAGGCGCTTTGCGAGTAGTGAAGAGATCACGAGGCACACGCCTCGAGGAGGCAATCGATCCCTTCTTGGCGGTGGTTTCCAGGCTCGCAACTGTCATTCCCTGACGTCGGCACTCGGCAAAGCGCGTCGGGTCGATATTCATATCATCGACGGCGCTGGTTGGACCAAACAGGAGCGGGTTTCCTGTTTCGACAGTCTGCGCGCCTCTGGATACTTGATTGCCAGCAGATCGGCTCAGGGAGAAACTTCTGTCGCGGGGGCCGAGAGGAACACTGTTGGCGTCGGAAACGATTTCGGTCTGGTCGTTGTCTCGGTTCTGGGCCTGTTGCTGGGCCTGGTGCGGGCATCATTCTGGACGAAACCCTGGGCGAAGTCTTGTCTGGAATCTCGACCTCGGTGCTGGCTTCGGGACTGGCCGTTGATTCGGCCATACAGCCCACGTCGGTTGTTTGGGCGGTTTCTCTGCCGAGACATCTTGTAGACGAGTACGAGGTGTGTGGTGTGGTGTGTGCTGGCTTGTATTGGTGATTGTAGTGGTTGTGGTTGTGATAGTGATCCTCGTAATGTTGTTATAGGTGAAGTGGTGATGTAAAGGAAGAGACTTTTTCACGAAAAATGGCAACGCGCAACCTGCGAACTCAACGCCTTGTTTGCTTTTACTGGTCGGCTGCACTGGAATTACTGGATGGATGGGTCTTTATTCCCAAGGTGCCTGCACTTAACTGGCTGTGCCACTGATAACAACTGGTAATCTCACGATGATTCACTGACACCTCACTCACTTTTAGATCACTGTGCACTATGAACCTGAGAGTTGTTGTGAACTTGTTTTATTACAATATTTAATATATTTTACTAGTAATTAGGCTATTTATAACAGTTATGTCTTCTAGTTTGCTATAGATATAGTCTAGGGTAGGCAGAAGGCGGGCTACTATTGGATAAACTGTAGGTTTATATTAGCAGAGCGGTTAGGGCGTTACTTATAGAGTAAATATTACGTCTGGTAATGGTCAAGCACAGTAATGCGTAGCGAGTTAAGGTGATTGAGGTAACCAAGTTATATTGATAGCTGAGGAGCTGCCCATACTAGATGTGCACTTCTCAGATGCCTATATACTAAGTGGATCACCCGGGCTCATAAAGCCCGATGGGTAATCCGTCGTGATAACAGTGAATCATCCTTAACACTCACCATTCACCTTTGTTAACCACCCGCCACGATCGTGTCGCCCATTACACCTTTTTTTTCTCATCTCTGAAAGATATACAACTCCGATAACTCTCGCGACCGACCAAGATGGCACCAAATGTCACAGAGAAACGCCCTCGAGGGCGACCAAGAAAGACTCCCGCCCCAGACGCCGCCGACGCCGCCAGTGCCCAGCCCAAACGTGGGCGTGGCCGCCCGAAGAAGACACAGCTCGGCTCGGATCCGAATCCCGACCTTGAGATCGACGCTGAGTTCGAGCCTGAGCCCGATTCTGAGCCTGAGATCGGTCCCAAGCCGAAGGAGTCCAACGTCGGCCCACAAAGAAAGCGACGCAAGCGGGCCGGGCCGACACCTGAGGAAACGGCCTTCGCTGAGACCATGAACAAAGGCTTTGCGGATGTGGCCTTCGAGTTGCGGAGGAGAAACACGAAGGTCATGGCGAGCAAAAGCAAGCCGTTTGAGGAAGACACTCTGGGCGATGCCATCGGCCCCGATGTTGTCTATGACGATGAGATGGAGAGAGCGTGGAGTGAATCTCCAGAGCTGGCGGGCTTGAACTTGATGCACGGCCCGATGATGAAGGCTTGGAAGATTTCCTTGCGCAAGTTCCGCTGCTCACCTCTCGCGATCGTCACACCAATGCAATGCCTCGCTTATCAGCCGATGAAGCCCACCCGGATTCCAGAGCCTGAGTTGTCGGAGACATGGGGGCAGACCTTCTGCACCAAGTTGGCGCACATCATGACCCACTCAGTCTGGGAACGGGACCCTTTGCTCCTGGTCATGGCCCTTCAATTCGCTGTCATCTGTCGCACTGATGATCGTCGCGTGTGGCGCATGCCCGAGACCTCAACCTGTAGGAGCCTCAAATGGCTCCGGAGGGCCTTGGACTCGGCAGGAGATGGCGCCCTGCCTGTGTCCATCAAAAAGATGCTCCAAGATGCCCGCGCAAAGGCTAACGATGACAAGGATCGACCAGGAAATCAGTCCAACCTGATGCATCACCTCGGAAAGTTGATTGAGGTCGAGAAGGGGCCTCATCCAACGGAATTCCAGGGATTCCAGGTCTATGCCGTAAACATTCACGACTTGGACACGATCCAGAGCGCTATCGACTCCTTTTCTGACAACGCGGGCTTTACTGCCTTCATGCCCACCGCGATGGCATACGAGGGCTTTCGTGAGTGTCGTGTCACCAACGACGTTCCCCGCGGCAAAGAACAACTCATCAGGTTCTATCGCCGGGAATTTCTCCACCAGAAAAAGGTGATGGAGGAAGCGTTATTAGCTGACTCGAAAAGCCCCCCATCACAATCTGGATCGGGTAATAATGGAGGGTTCCAGTCCGACCCCCCTCCCACTCCCCGGAGGCGGAGCCCTCCTCCTCCACCTCCGCCTCCTCCTCCACCTCCGCCTCCGCCTCCCCCTATCACAGAGAAAGGGCAACAGGCTAGCGTGGACCGAGAGAGTAGATATGGTTCTGATCGACCTCGTTCCTCTACATCAGAGGAATGGGAAGGGTTGGACCTGGGTCAAGATCACGGGCCTGACTCTCTGACTGGTCCCGATCGAGTTCCTCTCCCTACCCCAGAGGAAGGGAAGCGTGCTAACCTAGGCCAGGATCGGGGAAGTGTTTCTGACCAACCTCTCCCCTCTACTCCAGGGCAAGAGCAGTGGGTTGACTCGGGCCAGGATAAGGCACTTGACTCTGACCAGGATATGCCTGCCACGCCCGGAGTCCCCATCTTGTCCCTCGAGCAAGCCGAATTATTGAGTTCGGCCTTACTCGAGTATGGAACCCTGCATGAGCCGAGGACCATTATAACCTCTTCAAGATACCGTCAAGGTGCTCATTCCGTTAGAGAGATGATGCATTCGATGCGCGGACTGGATCTATAGTTCTCAACACTGTCAGCGAGAGAGAAAAGACCTCGTGGACGCCCGAGAAAGGACCATCTCGGGTGTCTCCCATCTGGTGCTGCGCAACAAGGGTTTCGAGTTGGATGAAATTTTCGAGAGGCTGTCATGATCAGAGAAGAAGCAGGCCTGGGTATTCTGGCGGCGAGAGGGCTGCCGGATGGAGGAGCGCGGATCTCAGGACTGGATCCAAAAGTTGTACGCGTAGAAGATGTACACTAATTCACGGACCCCATACTGGCATGGAGAGTACAACTTCATCACCGTGTCACGACGAACGTGAGTCTTATCGTGAAGTTGCTTTATTGTATCGACCAACTTCCACTGCGACTGTCCTTGCCACATGTCGGGTCCGTCACAACCCGCAACAACTGAAACGACCCCAGCGACTTCCTCCCGTCCCCGAAATCTCCAACCACCGTGTGAACCATCGCACTACTGGGGCTCTTTATGGCCACCAGAAACATCGCGTGCAGGATCGAGCACCATTTGTCCCTGCTGGCCTGTTGCACCCTCGTGCCTCCTCAGCTTGACTTCCAAGCAACTCTTCCATCCCAGGGGAAGCGATTCAATCCAGAATGGGCCCCCCGCACCGTACCCGCCGAGCCCCACGTCCGTGATGGTCATTCCCGCACGTCGACCCTGAGCAAACCGCCCCGTATTGAGAGGCATTGAGAGTGACCATGTAGAACTCGACTTCGCCGGTGCTGCTGTGCTCCTTTGTATAACGGTAAGCTTCCAACATGGCACTCTGATCCCCGACCCTGGCCGTATCCTATGTGGGATGCCGGTCATGAGGCTCGCAACGTTCTGCTGGCGTCCACCGCCCTTGGACTTTTTCGAGGCCGTCATGCCGTGGACATTGTTGTGCTCGTCAATAGCAGTGTTAATAGCCAGGAGAGGAACGGATTCGGCAAAGGGGAGGTTTCGGGGAGGAGAGGATTCGAAGTAGGGGGAGTTTCGGGGAGTTTCGAGGAGAAGGAAGTGTCGAGAGAGTATTCGATCGAGGTTCGGAGTCATATCGACAATGTTTCTTTGAGGGGCAGCATCGGGAGAAGAGGATGTTTCGAAGAGGATGAGGAGTAGGAGAGGAGAGGACTCGAAGATGAGGAGGATGAGTCGGGCTCAAGATCGATAACCCTCCCTTGAGGGACGGCTGCAAGAGTGGAGGAGGACATTTCGCAGAACTCGACGAGGCTTCAGAGAGGAGGAGGTTTCGGAGAAGGAGAGCATTCGACTGAGGCTCGAGCCCAGGATCGGGTGTCGCTTCTCGAGGGATGAAGACGGTCGCGCTTAATCGTGGTATCCACTATTCGACATTAGAACTGAACAGGCAACAGCTTAGAATGATGGAGAGATCCAGCATGCAGACAGAGTTAGAGAGAGCTTACTGGAGGGCATGAGTTTGTCGCGCTTGGCGTAAGTTTTGTTGACGCTAAGTCTGTGAAAGTTGCGGTAGAGTGGCTTAAGGTGAGATGCGACGGGATGATTCACTGAAATTCAAACGATCCTGAGGCCGAACCTCAATCGAACACTTTCCCCGAAACCTCCTCCTCTCCGAAGCCCCTCCGAGTTCCCCTCAATCTTTTCCTAGTTCGAATCCTCTCCGAAACCTGTCCAAAGTCAGCTGCTTCCGCAGACATCCAGTCCCAGACGCCCAAACATCCTGCGGAAATGGGTGGCGATGTAGGGGCCAGGCCGCTCAAGCATGTCGGTTGTGGTTCGAGCGCTCACAGCCTCGCTTGGTGTCTGCGCTGAGATGCCTAGGCCATGATGTAAGGCTGTCCCCTCGACAACAAGTTGGGCGATTTCGTAAACAGGTCCACTGCGATGGATTCTCGGGGACTAGATTCCAAAATTATACCTATGGATTATGTACTAAACCAATAAATATCTGAAGGGCATAACCATCACTGTGCATTGTGAACTTGAGACTTGTTGTGAACTTGTTTTATAACAACTATGTGCCAATTTCTCTCTCACTATGACTATCGTTGATGATGGTGCGTCTTTTGGAAAGTATCCGTCTAAACGTCATCGAAGTTCCTCGTTGGAAGGGGATTACTGGCCAAATAGCTGTGGATGGTCTCCTCCCCCGCGTTGGCGAAATGCCAGTCACTCACTAGCTGAATGGGGATCCAAGTCCACTCCTGTAAATCGACGTGCTGACCACGGCGTCTCAGAAGGTGGTAAACGCCGTAAACAGCCTCGGGGTTTCCGTCCGTCTGCCAAGCAGCATCGATCATGAGTCTGAACCACACGGCGATGGTGCCAAACCACTTCGCGGTCGAAATATCATGAGTCATGAAGACTTCTGCTCCATCATGGCGATGCTTAGTGGACGCAACAAGTTGGAACAGGTAGGCATGCAACAAGTCGACCTGTAGCTCCAACTCCTGCGGCTTGGTGAGGTCTTTTTCGTCGATCCCCTGAGTCATATCCAGATACTGGTTGGGGACGCCTAGGATGCCGAGTGCAGTATTGAGAGCCGCGATGAGGTCCTTCAATTCGGATAACCTCTGCGTGTCCACCGAGGAAGAGGTGTCCGGGATGGGAAGGTGACTGTGGCTTTTTCTGCATACGCTGGGCTCAAAGTCGCCGCTGCTGCTGCTGCTGTTGACAACCCTCTTCCAAAGACTTGACATGAGCCAAATGGTGCCTGTCTTGGCCATCCGCCGGGTGCATCCCCAGCAAGCATTGACGAGATCCGCCAAGTTCTCAGCGGACGTCTTCTCATCCGGATTGAAGAATCGAACCACCTCATGGGGGCCAACACACATTAGAGCCGCCACCTGGACCTTGACTTGTCGCACGAGACCACTCGAGGAGCGGCGCGCCAAGAAGTAGGCTAAGCGGTGGTCGTAGTCGAGGAGGGGGAGCACTGTCCTGAAGATGATGCGCTCATCGTCGGGCATCCCCAGGGTTATGTCGTCGCATCGCGAGACAGACGGCTGGGTGATGATCTCCTGACGGAGCATGCGGGCTGTCATCTCGCGCAAGGCAACATGCTCAGTAACGAATTGCTCGGCGATCTGATAGAAATCAAGGCCCCAGTGTGACATGCCGGCAAGGGAGCCAAGGAAGCCACCCAGCTGTCGGTTGGAGACCTTCAGGCGACGATATCCGTGACCCGCCTCAACAAACTCCTCCACGGTGCGCTCCTGGGTATCGATGTAGACGAATATGTTCTCCGGGAGACAGTCTGCTCTCCCGAGCCAAGATACTTGCTCCAGTCGTTCGTCTCGCGATGTAACCAGCTCCGTCGACGTGATCTGGCCAGTGACAGCGTCGAAGACGGGAGCGACGTCGGCTGACCCCAAGACAATGTGCACTCGATCGAAGCCAGCAATTCGACAAGTAGCATGAAACCCGTTACTCGCGGATATCAAGTGGCCAGGGGTACCTTCTACCCATTGAAGGTTGGCAACAATCAACTCACTCCTCTGCAAGCGAATTGACTCAGCCTCGATCCAAGGCTCCTTCACCTCACCTGACTCGTGGAGGCGCCGGAAGTGATCCGAGAGCCCATAGACGCGGTCATGTGGCGGAAAGCACATGATCATGTCCTTGGCGGCTGGCCCAGTCGTCAAATTCGAGTGAATATGCCTAGCCAATTCCAAGGGGTCCGCGCAAACAGTCTGGTACCCGGTAGGCAATGCATCACTCATGTCAACCTGAGGGGCTCGTGGAACAGAGTACAACTCGAGGAGACGCCCGAGGGCGGGTTCCTCCTCCCCCGGGGACACTGTCAATACCCGGACGCCAGCCTCTTTTCGCTGAGAAATGTCCATGGCCCAGTGGGCCGCAGCAACGAGGGCGAGAGCACACTCGCAGGGCATCTGTGGCTCGATGGACATGACGACGAGGACGCGGCTTGGCACAATGGATTTCTTAATCCACCCATCCGGTTGCCACCCCTTCTTCCAGGCGTCGGGGCCCTTGCCGATTTTTGCTCGATTCTTCTCGAGCAGGTCGACAAACTCAACGTAAGTGGCGAATGTCGGAGTACCCTCTGAGTTCGAGTCCCAAGTACTTTTTTTGGCGATATCGGTCTCCATCTTGGACCCAACGAAGATGATACAATCATCATCCTTAGTGACCGACTTCCAGATGGCCTGCCGGACAGTAGGTTGTGTGAAGTCCCCGTGGTTGACACGGAGGTGACGGAAGACGACAGGATCGGAGGAGGACGCCCAGTCGGCGATGGCGACGAGAGCCTTGTTGGTGGTGGCAGACATGTTGCCTATTCAGGTCAGCGGTGGAGATCAAAATGGCATCAGGGCAAAAGTCATAATAGTTACTGTTGATATTGTTGTTGAATTGCGAGAAAAAGGCTGGAGTTGGACGTGATGGTGAAGCTGTGAGGTGAAGTCCGCAGTTTGGGTGCCAAGTGGGTGCATGCATGTTACTTGACAGCTGTTGACAGATGTACTTTACCTAGGTAGGAACCTTAGGTAGGTGCCTAGGTAACCATCGTTTCATTTAAGGGCTAATCCTTAAAATTAGAGGCTAATCATTAACATTAGGGGCTAATCATTAACATTTAGGAGCTACGCCTGCGCATTGGGAGCCTCAATCGCAGCAATAAACCACTGCAACAACCCGCAAACGACACGATTATGGCTGTTCCCACTGCGACAATGCCGATGCCTGGCGGGAAGGAACAAATTCGACTCTTGGACGCTTTTGAAAAGAGTGCGGCACTGCTGGAGTTGTCGCTCCTGCTCCCTGAACTTGCCGACTCCCTTGAGGCAGACCCAGTGATGCAGAATCGGAACTTCTCCGTTTCTCGAACAGTCAATTCGATCCGAGGAGACGAGGACAACTCATCTGCAATGGTCAAACTTCTCCACAGCATGGATGAAGGTGCCATCAAGGCCGTTGTGCGAGGCACCGTGGCGCACGACTCGTTTCTCGAGAATGCCAAGTGGTTCAAAATGCCTGTCAAGGCTGAAGGGAAAGTACCCGGGGTCTATGTGATTGGGCTGAGTCGCGACGAATGTCAAGGAAAGTTCCTCAACATCGTCGAGATGGAAAAGCTGGTCGCTGGCATCCACAAGTACATTGAAGGGTTCAAGCTCTTGGAGACGTTGCCGCGCCCATACAGCAAGTCTACCCCGGTTCTCCCCAGGGAGCGTGAGCTGCTGGAATGGGTCAACAAGGTCGATTCCACAGAAGATGTTGCGCCTGGGAGCTTACCTGAACGAGCTCGCTTTATTGAAAAGGCCGGCGAGGTGCCAAGCATCGAGGCGCTCGCGTCCATGTTCAAGGGTCGTTGCAATCGAGCCCTGGATCCGATAGGATTGGTGCGTCAAGTGCAAAGCCCGTTGTATGTGGGCTGCTCGATTTGACCTACTCTCCCGGACGAGCTGCTACCTGCGAAAGGGACTTGTCGGACTAAACAAACCTCTCGGACTGACTGTGGGCGTCCTGGCAGCGCTTGATCTACCCGTCAGCCTCACCATCCAAGTGGCCCTGAGAGTCTGGAGACCGGACCACTTGCCTTTGGCGGAACAGCTCCTGGCCACTCTGGCTGGCAGCCTGGTGTATCAGTCGGGCTTCAACGCTACGGAAGCCGGTGGAACTGGGTCCTCCACCATCAAGAACGTACAATCCCTCGTCCGATCGCGTGCCATCGTCATGGCTTACACTGACGGCGAATCTGGATGCCACCTTGGCTGAGCTTGGGAGACGTGTTGACTTTGTTCAAAAGATCGACGAAGCGGATACTTGCCTTTCGGGCTTAGATGCTCAGTTGAACGAGGCCATAGCCCGTGCCGGAGACGTGTCCCAGCTACGCAGCTGGGGTGAAATGGAGGCGTTCATGGCGACGACAGATGCCGAGATGCAGGCGCTTTTGAAGAAAGCCCTTGAAATCAAACGCCAGTGGAAGCTGCTTGTGCGGATTAGGCGGATTTTACTCCAGCAGCATCTGAATGTCGATGAGACACAGAGAAGCACGGATGAATGAACGATGCATCAGGTGTGGAACATAAGACGGAACGACTACGCAAGTTCATCTGGATTTATCGTGAGACGCTTGGAACATCCTACATACCTCATTCGAACTCGGAGGTTGCTAAAGCCGCTACCATTCTCCTCTTGGGGTCGCACTCCAAGGGGCCGGATGGCCAGATGAAACAAGGCTTGTATAATGCTAGACTCCAACCATACGAGACGAAAATCGAATTTTTTAACCATGTTTGAAGGTCGTGGAAAACCTGCGTAGAAACAGCATCGCATCTGCAGGCCAAAATGATCAAACAGGCGTTGCTGAGGACAGCGGTTCATGCCCGTGCGCGAATACCTACCTGCTCTTGTTTGATGGGCTGTGCTTTTCGCTGACCTCTGTAATTTAATGGCCGATTCCCATTTTGCAGGCGCCATATAGGACCTACGCCTTAATATTTAGGGGCTACACATCAACATTTAGGGGCAGGATGGGAACCAATGACCAATTCCAATGGACGCTTTGACTGGCAACAAAGTCTGAGTGGCGATGATCTGCAGCAATGAGGGCAAGGGCACACACTCGCAAGGTGTTTGAGGCTCATGGACATGATGATGAGGACGCCGCTTGTCAATTCGATAGCACAATGCATGATTTAAAACACTCTTGAGTCCATTTTGGGCATCTATCACCCATCCCGTCCTTGTACATGAAACACCCCGTCGTCCCTGGTCGCTCGTCGACTCTGTCATGGGCGTTGGTTATCTCAAAATCCGACTCAAATCCAGGCTTCTCCTCTGGGACCGGGACCACACGCTAGGCCTTGTTATTAATTATATATATAATATTAAATATTAATTATATAAAAAGAGAAATATTTAATTATTAAATATTTATTTAAAATATAAGTAAATAGTATTACAACCTATATCATAACCCAGGCAGAACCCGGACGTACAGGATTAATTGGGACGGATCACTCCGGATTACTATAGGACCACGGTAATCTACCTGCAATCCGGTATTAAAATACTTTAACTTTTTAATATTAAATTTATATAAATTAATAATCTTTTTAAATAACTATAATATCTTTTTAATATACTCTTTAAAAATATATAAATTTATTTAAATAATAATAAAATTAATTTTAAAAATAAAAAAACTTTAAGTAGATAATTAAATACTTCTTATTTACTATTAAAAAAAGAAAATATAAAATAATATTAAAAGCTACTTTAATAGCTATAGTAAAAGAAGTATACTAAAACTTAAAGTCCCTTCTATATTTAAAAAAGAAAAAAGCATGCTGTTTATTTCTCAATTTAATCTCATACTTTAAGTAGGAATAGCCTAGCTAGCACAGGCCTTCCATACCATATTAAACTCCAAGTAGACTGTTAGCCCCATCACATTACCAGAGACATTCTTCCCAAAATACAACATCGTTAACTACCTGATTAATACTGCTGGTTTATTAGTGGGAGAGGCACTTAGTGCGGACAAAGCCCGCGAGAGCAAGAGTCGAGGATACCCTACAGCCCCAACAAGAGAGCGTCTTGCAATCAAGAGTAGCTGGAAGAAAATAGGATAAAAAGACTGTTAAGCATCTGATCAAATACTTCTGACTGTAATAAGAGAAAGGAGATTAAGAAAGAAGGGATAAGAGCTGCTGCGACAGCTGAATAAGGGATAGGTCTAGCGATAAAGAGTGTCTTCTAAAAATTTCAATTGAGAAAGGGAAAAAGCATGCCCATCTTTGTCAAGGTCAGGCTCGGCCTTTAAGTAGTATCTAGTCTAGTGGGCTAGACCTACTGTCATTAAACTCCGATGTGTCTGTCATCACCATCACACTGGCTGTATTCTTGTTAGTGCCTTGCAGTTAAGAACAAATTAATGCAGCTCGATCTAATAGTGAGCGTGGCTGTTCACACCGGTGCGGGTGCTGGAGCCGCTGGACGAGGAAGGAGGATGGACGAGGGAGGGGGAAGGAGCACCTTCCCCAGGCGTTGCATTCCCACAATCAGACCCGGCCCTGGCGCACAAGTTCTCGCAATGACTCCAACACACAAAATCAGACAAGATGAGCAACATGAACCAAACTATTCTGGCATTGAATGCCCAGGGTCTGAGGTTGTTCGACCCTCAGGTCGTCAAGACCCGCATCGCCGACGTCGTACTCAAGAAGACAACGGTTGAGGAGGCGCTGAAGAAGATGCGCCGCGGACACATTGACAAGGCTGTCGAGGCTGGGTACACCCCAGAACTTCGAGAAAAAGTCCTTGGGTGGTCAACCCAATTCGCCGAGGTGGCTAACCAGATCAGAAACGTCCAGGACGACATCGATCAGGTTTGTGCCATGGATGCACAGCTCATCGAGGCAGCCAAAGCGGCTCAGAAGGCCGGGCAGCCGATGCCGACTCCACGCGACCATTTCCTCCAAGTGATTGTCGAGCTTGGAAAGAACCAGCATGAGTTCCAGGACGTGCTGGATGCCCTGGGCGCATCGGGCTCTTTCACGCCCGAAATTCAGGAGATGTTGAACGCAGCAGGACAGGCGGCTGACGCCGTGCTTGAAGGCGTTGAGTGCACGCAGCGAAGTCAGATGCTCGGCTTCAGGGGCTCGCGACCCCCAGAGCCCAGCGTGTCGGGGCTGAAATATCGCCTTGCCTCCCTTGAGAATGAGCTTGAGGCGGCTAGACAAGACGCCAAAGTCAAGGCCGAATCCGTCAACTCCCTGACACGGGATGTTGCTGATCTTAGGGAGGAGCTGTCCAGCGAGAGGGCCAGTGCAAGGCGCCCACAGGTTGATGCCACCAAGTCGGCTGCTGAGGTTGTCAGGCTAGATAGAGTGGCTCGACAAGGGAGAGTCGAGGCCACCTCGATTCAGTTGGACCTCGATGACAAGTCTCAAGAGCTCAATGCTTGCTTGGAGACCCTGGGCCAAAGGGACGAAGAGTTGATATCCACCAAGGCGAAGCTGCGCGACAGCGACGAGTCTTTGGTGGCTGCAACGGTGAAGCTCGGCGCCCGGGACCTTGAGATCACTGCCCTTCGGAGCGTGCTGCAGGACCGAGAAGAAAAGCTGCGAGACTTCACTCAGCAGCTCACTGCCGTCCAGGACAAGTTGCAGGCCTCTGGACGGCAGCTCACAGCCGTCAAAGACGAGTTGCAGGACTCTAAATGGCAGCTCACAAAGGCCCAGAAAGATCTGTTGGATCGAGATGGCAGATTACTGGACTCGAGGTCGAGCGAGCTGTCTAAACTCAGTGTGAAGTCCTCCAAAGAGCTGGCAAATACCAACGCGCAAACAGCATTCGTAAGGATGAAAAGGATCTACGATTGTTAGTTGCTTCTCCAACGTGGACCCCAAAAACGACATTCGAGAACGGCTTGACCCTCGCGGTGCGGTCGCTCGTCGTGTCCTGCAGACTCAGCAACCCGAGGAGACTTCAGTCACCGACGTTGGCTGGGACACGAACGGGATGGACTGCCTCGTTGCCGTCATTCGGCGCATCTACGCCTTCATGCCCGGGTATTTCCTCGAGAATGAAGCATTCGCTGCCGCCGAGGAGAAGAACCCCATCCTCCGTTACGCCTGGCAGATGCTCGATATTCCGGAAGAAGCGACCGACGCGACTCGGGCCCAGCAGGCAGCAGAGAAGAAGGCCGTCATGTCCAAGTTGTTCCCTGGCGATGCAGAGACAGCTACCCACTTCCAATTTCTCAACTCAACGCTGAGCCTCATGAGCGACACATTTTGGTCCCTTCCTCAGTTCCACCTGTTCACTCCCCGCCTACAGAAGGATGGAGGAGACTCAGTGTGGCGCGTGGTCCCTTGGGATCCACCCCAAATTGTCGCCCAGAGCATAATTGTCCTGGACCGCATTGATTCTCCCGGAATGTCCCTCCAAGAAGCAGTCGATTCAAAGTTTGGGGTGCAGAGATGGTACGACCACGACCGCGAGGCCGATGTCTTGCTTGTCTGCAAACGTCCCAGCGTTGTTCGTGTCCATTACTACAACAACCCCGATCAGCCAAGCCGTTCCTTCGACGAGCTACGCACTTTCGACATGCCCTTTACTCGATTCGAAGGAACCAAACCCGTCCCAGACGGTAGCTGCCGCTATGCCCTCATTGCTATCGTAAGACTTTGTCCCCAGGGTTCCGAGGATGTGGAACACGTGCGCCTGTATGCGGTTGGTGGCTGTAACGCCAGTATCCTTGCCAAGAACCCGGCCTTCAACGCGAGCGAATGGTCCGTTGGAAGCCCATCTTCCCACGCGTATGCCTTGATCTTTGGCCGTGCGGACCACACCAGGCTTGCAGGATTCCCCGAGGTTAATCCCGACGCCCCGGACACTCTCGAGGTCGAGGCAATGATACATGCGGGTCTGCTGTCGCGCCGGGCTGTCTAAGTGAACCAGGGTCGCGGCGTGTTGTATGGGACAAGCACTGGATGGACAAATACCGTGGATGGAACAGCGAACGGGTGTTCGCTTATTTTTCATCTATGCCACGAGTACCGTGTGGATGCCGTCAAACTCGCTTTGACCTACTCAATGCACGAGTCAAGTTGGCCAGGCCAAACTCGAACGATGGACATCCAACGGCAGGCCCGAGAAGCGTGACGGAAAGATGGATCAAGTAAGGGATCATTAGATAAAGGCATGAAATGTCAAGTCAGAGATGCAGTCTCGCCTTACTTGTGTTGGGGAAGCCGTGATGTTTGAGTGCTGGGCCCAAACGTGACGATGCAATGGGAATCTGACCAGATGCTTATGGAACACCACTCTCAAGAAGAAGAACGGTATGCAACAGAGGGGATCTTTTGAGCAAGAAGCATTTAATATAGCTAACCTCAAGACCAGTTGTCAACCCAATGGTGGAGAGGCGCAGAGGTGGATGCCGGAAACTGATGCAAATGTCTTTGTGGGCCTGATTACATCTATGGACACAGGTACAGGAAGCAGGCTGGCTGAAAAATTCGCCTATGGATAAGACTACAGAGACGCGATTCCCCTTCTCATACTCGCGAGCAGCATCACCCACCCGTTCCGAGTCCTTCAGTCAAGGCCGCCTTCTTGAAGTTGGATGGCTCCAGTGTGTTGGATTCCGCTTCCACTGGCCACCTCTGGGTCTGTTCATGGTGTAGCGCATGGTCACATCCACTTCTCCGGAATGGCTAAGCCCAGCGAATGGTCGGCGATCCCGACGAGGGTGCCTTCATTCCCAGGCTTGTAGCTGAAGCCGAAGCTCTCAAGCGTCATGCCGTCTGGCACCGAGCCAGAGTTCTCGGTCGTGTCTGGGTCGGCGGTGACCATCCCCGCAGTGTTTGTGGCGACAGTTGTCGGATCGGCGGTGCTTTTGTTGGCGATATCCGTGTCGACGGTGTCTGTATCGGTAGTGTCTGTGTTGTTATTGCCTTTCTCCACCGTGTCCTTGCCCTTCAGCCACCCGTCGTATACCACCGACCGGCCATGCTCCATGTCAGCAACCTCGGGACGGTATTTGGCCAGTGGATCACCCATCAGACACGACCGGCCTTGCGGTCTTGAGGCAGGGATATCTTGGCTTGGTTAGGTGGAACTACGGCATGGGATGCACTGGGATGCTTGTGACATTCATCAACGAACATGGGCAATCACTTTTACAGCGCAAGTAACGATAGAATGATACATACTCTGACATTTCGCCCATCCTTTATTGTACAAAGTCTTCCATTTGCCCACCTACTGGCCACCCATTTCGTCGTCACTGCCCGGTTCCTGGTCGAACTCCCGACTGTGACCAACAGGCACACTGGAGTTATCCTGGAGGGACACCTCCCCCCAACCGACCTGGGCTCCTTCCAGGTTGTCCACCGTATCCAAATCACCAAGGTCCAGAGATGAGGGAGGGCCCCGATCCTATCCGTTGACAAGAGGGTGTTCATGCCTCTGCGCTTCGTCGCGGTCGGCAGCTCTGAAGCCCTCGGTCAAGATGCTTGGGTTGGCCTTGACCGCGTTTGCACGATGCGCGCGAAGAGCAGCGAAGAGATCCTCTGGAGACTTGGGCTTGTAATTGGAGGCCGTTCGGGCCGGGGCACTCCCGCCCTGCGGGTTCGGGGCTGCTTGCCTCTCAACGGCAAACCGAGTGGACAAAGCGGACTCCGAGGGGAGCTTCACGCCAGGGTTGCTATCCACAGGCTGCGGCGCCGGCTCGTCCACATCCTCATCCTCGATTTCCTCGATGACCTCCTCGATGCGTCGTCCGGTTCTCACGCGATCCGTCATCATTCCAGAGTTCGAGGTAGTTTTCAGGGCCCGGATGGCTTTCTCCTTCTTTCGGGAACGAGCCCAGACCTTTTGGTCAATGGAGGCGTCACCCATCCGCTGTCCCTCAATGACGCTTTTCAGCCTGCTGATTTCAGCGGCGGAGTCGATGGCCTTGCTTTGCAGGCGCGCGACAGTGGCTCTCTCTTGGGCCAAGCTTTCCTTCAGATGGTCACGTTCCTGGGTTAGGAAGTCGACTGATCCGGCCTTGACATTGGCTTCTTGCCGGGCTGCCTCCAGCTGGTGCACAAGTTCAGACACACGAGATTCCAGGTCTGACACCTTGGGATCCACGGCACGGGAGACATTGAAGTCGCGCATCCGGTTAGGCTGCGCGTCAACTCCCTCCAGCTCCGCCTCGGCCGCTTGAGCTGCCATGTCCAGCGCTTGCTGGACTTCAGGCGTCAAGCTCGCCCAGATACCCTCCAGCAAAAGCCGGTTCCTTTCAAGTCGAGCGATGACTTGGAGAAACGGGACTCGTGGAGAAGGGGTTGAGCTTCCACTGGGTCGCTCTTCGGTCGCGTTTGGTTCCATGGCGACTGGGTCGTGTTAAACTTCTTGGTGGTGATTGTCTTTGAAGATGTAAAGAAACCCCAGCGACAAAATTTCAGTGCGTGCAGAAGTTTGCTACCTAGATTCATCGTTGTGTCTCTAAGAGATTAAACAAGTTTCGCCGAACTCCGTTGACTGTGAATCATACTGCCGAACCACTCAGTCAATATCTGGCGCTTTCATGCTCTACTACAGCGCTCGTTCTGTTCCTTATGCGCGCCCCTCGGCCTGGTCCACCCTTTTGCTGATAGAATACCAAGGCCTGCCACTGGCATCGTCTTAGGTTTGCATTGCGTTTGAAGCCATTCTTGAACATCTCTCGCCCATCTCTTTCTTACGGTTGCCCACTGTATCAAACTCTCTCTTTGTAATGTGTGTGTAGAATTTTTCCCCTGGCAGCGCAACTGGGAAGGCATATCCTGGATCGCCGGGGTACCTGGCCACCTTGCTGTCCTCCGATCTATAGCGTACCTAGTGAGCCCTGAAAGGAACGTGGCCAGTAGCACTTTCGGTTGCTTGGGCATTATTCTGGGCGACCCTGGGCGTAGCCTTGGCCACGGCCCCGTTTGGCAGTGGTAGTTTCTGGCTTAATGTTAGATACGCGTTCAATGAGGAGTTTAGAGAGGGATTCTAGGCAAGATCTTGGGACGAGGCGAGAACTGCATCATCCACAAGTGCTCACGAGAAGACTGACCAGGAAGAACAGCAGAAGGTTGGCTCGACGGGTCGGATTGAGCAGGGTCCAGCAGCGGAGTCTTGCGAGGACGGCCACGGCCACGTTTGGCAGTGTTCCCTGTGATTAGACGTTAGATACGCATTGAGTGAGGAGTGAGAGGAGTGACGAGAGAAGGGCTGCACTGTGCACAGAGACTTGAGAGAAGGCATGAGAAGACTCACCAGGGGTCGGTTCAGCCACAGTTGGGGCCATCTTGATCGCAATGCCGCGAAGGCAAAGGGAACGCTCAATCCTCATCGGTAGCGTTATTGTGGTCCATGTCTCCGTCTGACAATCTTGATCATTCGATGCGTGGAAGTTGATGCTGAGGTCCAAGACAGGAAAGAATTCAGATCCGGTAGCTGTTACTACCTACTTATAGTTAATCTCGCCATTGATTAACAAAAACAGTTTGTAGGCGGACAGGTTTGCAGTGAGTCAGGATTCACTACCTGTTCGCAAACAATTTCACAATCGATTGAAAGAACCAGTTTGTGGGCGCACAGGTTTGCAATCGCGATTCCGCTGCTGTTAACAAACACTTTCACAATCGATCAAAAGAAGCAGTTTGTGAGCATACAAGTTTAAAGTCAGTCACGATTCCACTGCCTGTTCGCAAACAATTTCACGATCGATTGACAGAACCAGTTTGTAGGCATATCATTTTGAAGTGAATCACGATCCTGCTGCCTGTTCACAAATGTTTTCATAAACATGTTCACAATCAATTGAAAAAAATCAGTTTGTGGGCGGACAGGTTTGCAGTGAATCACGGTTTGACATGGAACCTAACGCACAATCAATCACGCACACGCCTTTCGATTTCTCCTCTTTCCATCTCTCTCTCAAGTCCTCTTTCGCGACGTTTCCCAAATCCTCCGTCCAACTTCAAGCTTACCGCTCAGCCCAAGTCCAAGTCTTCTCCCCGATTCTCTTCCGGCCACCATTACGCATCCCCTACCCGTCGACAAGATGCTTCCACAGAGACCCCGCCGAATTAACAACCGATATGAGCCATATGGTAGAAATGGCAACTCTCGACGCCAGGGCCAAGGCCAAAACTCCGACCAGCACCCAAACCAGCACCAAGGTGAAGGTGTCAGACAACAATACTTCCGTGGTTTCACCCAGGGCTTCACCCAAGGTTTCGCAGACCGGGTTGCTCTGTCCCAGGGCTTCACCCAAGGTTTCGCAGACGGGGTTGCTCTGTCCCAGGGCTTCACCCAAGGTTTCGCAGACGGGGTTGCTCTGTCCCAGGGCCAGCACCAAGATAACGACCAACACCCAAGCCAGCACCAAGCTCAAGATGTCGGAGAGGACCACACCCAGAGCTTCGCCGAGGGTCTTGAAAAAGGCTACGAAAGGGGTTTCGCCCAGGGCTTTGCTCAGTCTCAGCCCCAGGACCAGGACAGCAACCAGACTGGAAATGGTTCTGAGGTTTCTGAGGTTTCTGACGTAAGTAGTGATCCTTCCGACCAGAAGAGGGCGTACAGACTGACCCGAAAGAACAGCCCCATGGACAAAACGAGCCCCAGTCTGTTCCAGACAGGCCGGTTAGTTTTGTCACCAACAAGGATGGGTTTCTCCAAACCCCGGGTGTCGCGTTCGAGCTCTCGGAGGGCGGCTATTTCCTCAGGTCTGGCTATGCAAACCAGGTGGTGCAAGTTTGCGATATGGCAGCCCAGCAGAGTAACATCCGCCAAATCGGCCTCCACGTGTTCCCCATCAACGAGGTGCGCTCTGCTGAGTGCCAACGTGCGGAGAATACCACCTGGTTCATGGAAACCGATCCGAGTACTGGATCCATTACCTATCGCCCTCGTCCCAATGGACATGAAGAGGCCCAGTAGTGTCCTGCGACAACTCGAGGCCCGGATGGCGGCTGTTTTGGGCGAGTTTTCATGCGTGGTTGAAGGTTTTGGGACACTGGAAGAGTTCACGGGGGCCGTTTAGCTGTCGGTATGTGTTGTGATGGCCTGATATGTGGCAAGAAGAGTCGCAGGACAAAGGACGTTGGGAGATACGAGTAATAAACCAACTTCACGGCAAGTCTCAAGTTAATAGTGACGCAGTGATGAAACTGTGCCCTCAATTTCAGGCTGCAGAGATACTCCGCTAACTTTTACCACCCTGCGCATGCTGACTTCCAGTGAAGCACGCATCCCATCTCAACTTCAGTCACCCACGGCAACTCTGACAGCCTGCGCAACCTCACACTCGCATTGATGGAGTGGCCACGAAGTGCGATAAAAAGCGCCCGCCCGTGGTCTCTCTTCCTCTTTCTGCACGCTACATCTCCGGCGTCCCAAGCTGTGGTCTTGCAATTTCCCGTCGAAAACATATCACGATCAAACGCAGTTGCGACCATCCCTCAAAGAAAAGCTCTCGATTCTAGACCCAAGCCTCAGTCGAATTCCCTCCCGAAACATCTCCCGAAACCTCTCTCGAAACGTCCTCCCCGACTTCTCCCCGATTTCTCCCTGGCCGACCTCTCCCTAGCCGACTTCTCCCTGTCCTCCGACTCGTCTGTCGACTTTCCGCCTACCTACCAACACTGTCAGAGAGACTCGAACGCAAGCCACCGAAATGGATACGAACCAGATCCCTCCAAAGCCATATCACGAATTTTCGCCATTCGGGAAACATGGCATGGAATTTCACTTATCTCCTAATGATTACGACCCTGCGGAAACCGAAGCCCGCCGTGAGATCATGCACGCCTACTTCAATTATATGGTTCCTGGTGTACAGCAGCGAGTCTACGATGAATTGCGACAGAAAGCCGTCGATATGGTTCGCGACAGCAGCAGGATCGATTGCAGTGCCTATAAAACCTCGTTCCTTGAGTACATGGTTGATCTGGTCTTCTGGAACATGTGGTGTACGTTTATATCGCAAGTCCAGTCTCTCTATCTAATACTTGTGCAGTCAAGAGATTTGCGTGGCCCGGTCATACAATACCCCAGTGGCCATGGTCTGAATACTGCCGGCTAACAGGCTCAGGGAGTGACGATCCAGCTATGGCTTATGAAGAGTTGCTCATGGTCAGGGTCATGCTTGAGAGAGTTAATGCCGACTCAGACTCAGACTCATACACGGTCAGATCGGGCACCGACAATACGAGTACTGCCGGCACAGTCTTTTCCGGCACAAGGACTGCCAACACAGTCTCCTCTCGCGCAAGGACTGCCAACACAGTCTCCTCTCGCACAATAACTGCCGGCACAGTCTCCTCTGGCACAAGGACTGCCGGCACAGTCTTTTCCGGCACAAGGGCTGCCAACACAGTCTCCTCTGGCACAAGGACTGCCGGCACAGTCTTTTCCGGCACAAGGACTGCCGGCACAGTCTCCTCTGGCACAAGGACTGCCGGCACAGTCTTTTCCGGCACAAGGACTGCCAACACAGTCTCTGGCACAAGGACTGTCAACACAGTCACAACGTACCCAACCTCTACTCAGAATGCCAATGCTGTGCCATACAATACGAGACCTGAGACCTTCAGCTTCACCTTTGCAGCTGAGGGTAAAAACGCCTTTGTCGGAATTGCCCAGCACATGGCTGGGCCAAGCCATTCCAGAAGCGTAGAGTTGAGTATGCGTTACACCTCGGGAGAAATTCCTCCTGGTCGGGATCTAGTCCGACGGAACCCTTCCCGACGGAACCCTTCAAGGAACCTTTCAGGGCCATGGGTGTTCCCTGACATCTACAAAAACGATGACGTTGGCTGGAGGAATCTGGACTCTGACATCTACGAAGACGACCTTGACGTTGGCTGGAGGACTCGGGACTAGTAGGTGGTGCTCTCAAGTATGCGCAGAGGTGTGGATGGATAACTAGAGATGAGGGTTTGCGAGAATTCGTCTTTGTAGTCTTGTCCATAGATGAATCGGTTACCTCGGCTTCTCGTTGTACCAGTGGCCATGAGCGCAATCCGCCGAAGCATAAATTCCCAGCTGACTGTGTCCAATTAGGAGTAGGGTCACACAATGGCCTGGACCCTTCATCCACAGCCTTGCAATGTGAGAAGCAGAAGTTTAGGTGTCATGCCATTATTAAGCTTGGCAATTGACCCACTCGGAAATACTCACGGAATGATGCCGACCCGGACGTCCGGGCCGGAACGGGAAGTGGGTCGATCCCGGGCCGAACTTACCCTGTATCTGCTGGTTTTAACGAGAATTCGCGTAAACGGTAAAAGTAAATCTGAATTAAATTTAACAGGTTTTGATGTCCATCCTAGAGTACATTAAATGAACACATACACTAAGGGCCTAATAAATTGAGATTGGCATGTTGGGATTGTAATCGATTCAATCTAATATTTGAGTTCCCGTCACAAATTAGCTCCTCCGACCTGACTCGGGTCAAGGTTTCGGGTCAGTTAAATTACTGGTATCCCTGATGCGCTATGACTCAATCAAACAAATACACTGAAAACCTATCTCCTACTACACAGTGATGTCTTCAAAGCGTGGCGTTCCCCTGGCCTAGGAGTCTCCTGGACGCCAAGCTCCTCTTCGGGTAGGTCTTTCTACCACGCAAACTAATCCCTCAATGTTCAATATGCAATAATCAACTACAAGGTCGAGCTTTGGCATAATTTAGCCGCTTCCGACATGCCTAATCGCCGACATGATATTCCTACGCCCAGGACTCATTCAGTCGACCCATCTGCGTTGATGCCCAGAATCATGAAAAGCTGAAAACCATATCCCATCTCAGATCCGTGCCGCTCGTAGATCCGAGACAGCTGTATAGAGCAAAGACAAGTACCTGGACATTTCATTACATCTGCGGATCACTCATGGGAATGTGATTCCGCATGCCCATCCTTGAACCAATAGATACCCATGGGACAGTCTCGGCCAAACAGCTACATGGTGTTGATTCGGAAACATGGACGAAGTCTTCGTTTGTGAGCGGATGTCACGGTTCGGTTGTTGCAGATCCTCACCCGTGTCTCGTCAAAGGACCACACGGATGCCAACCAGGATGAGACAAAGCTGAAGGGAAAGGATGTGCTTGACTCGTGATTCCATCTTGACGATATTGTATCAAGTATCAAAGCGCATGTGCGACAAGTCAGCTAGACACATGCGTGATATGACTCAGATGGAGCGGCCCGGGTTTCAGTAGACGTGGCGGGTGCTGACACAGTCACATCTACAGTTGGTAGCCGAAATTACGGTGTAGTTGATGCTTTTGGTAATACCATCAGTCCTTCATGGCATTCTCATCTTCTGGTCCACTTCGCTACGTAGGCCAATCATCCATCTTTTGAGACATACCTTTCCTCCCTAGATGTTCCAGACGGCACGCTACACCGCCCGGGGGCGATCACCCGCGCCTAGACCAGGCTCCGGGCATTGTCTAATGCATTCCTACGGACGGGAAGTCAATGATTGACTTTGTGGCGCAAAAGGGCCGCTGCCAAGGCCGCCGGCTAACTTTGGAGAGGCTTTCTATGAGAGGCTTTCTTTGGCCAGAATAAGCTCACGGTAATTGCCGCAGAGGCTAAGTTGATTCCCGTCCCCTCTTCCGGGAAGTAGGAGACCCTCTTCCGGGAGGGAGGAGACAACGGACGCACACGGTTGAGTCTGGACCTCTGTGACTTTCGGAAAGCCCATCAAGCGAAGGATTGTCTCGGACCTGAATCAAGTCTATGACGAAGCGATGCTTTCGTTGCATCCCATGACTCTTGAGAGATGAGTTGACAAAGGATCATTGCCGATCGTGGACCCCATAGACGGCAAGACCGTTATGGAGACACGGCTCGGGGAGTAGAAAGGCCCGACGGCCCGTCTAAGCTGTAGGTTGATGTCCAAACTTGCCCGCTTTGGGAGTGTTGCACAGCGGGATGAGTCTCGAATTGCAGATCGGACTGGAAACCGTTCTTTGTAATTCACTCCCGGAATGATCTGTCTCCGCTGTGGGGCCGACAGCCTGGGCCGAAGCCATCAGATGGTGGACGATTAGCTGCGATTGCGTTATACTACGAGATCGATTCCATGTTTAACTTTGTATCTAAGCTCAACCTTCAAAGCTAGTTTGAACGATTCCCTAATGAACGCCTGTCGATTCAGAGTTCCCAACTGCTTGGCGAGCCTCGAACTTCGAATCAAGCGACCATCGTACTTGTCTGAGAATGACTTAGATGGCCCGCCCGGAGCGACCCGAGACGATTGCGCCAATCCTGGAATGACCTTCTACGGCAAGTTGTCTAAGAAAACGACCAAGACAGATCGTAAGCATCTTTGTCCAAAGTATGTCTTGGCTTGGCAGCTAAGCCACGCTGGTCAACGCTCCGCAAACAACAAGCATAGGTCGCTGGAATGTGCTCAAACCTGGTGCGAACTCAACCTGACAACGTGCGGCATGCCATCCAAATACAGATTCAAGGAGTATTGTTTCCGAGTGAGAGTATATATAGAGATGGCTGTCTTCGAAATATCTCATCATCCAACAGCAATCCACCTTCCACTCCAACACATCCATTCAATCTCCAACACATCCTACAGCACAATGAAGTTCTCCAACGTCCTCTTCTTTGCCACTGCCGCTTTGGCAGCTCCTACTATTCAGGCGCTGGACAAGAGACAGACCACTGTCCTAGGAACGGTCCAGAGCATTGCCAACACCATCACCAACAGCACCTCGGGCAATGTCGCCAACATCAGTAAGTTTATAACCACCGAAAACAAACGTCGCTAACCGGTTAGAAACCATTATTGTGTCTATCCAGAACAATGTCGCTGCTGATGTTCTCGTACAACTTCAGCTTCAGCTCGAGGCCAACCTTCAGGCGATTGTCACTGTTCTCAGCGCTGCTGCCGTTAACATTACGGACGCTACCAATGCCGCCGCGATTGAAATTGGCGGCGATGTCGACAATTTGACTACCGCACAGATTTTGCAGATCAAGGCCGCCATCGAGAGTGCTGTTGCTGCTGTTAATAATGTCACTGCGACCGTCACTGCCTCCGTCAGCGTCCTTACTCCCGGGGGCAAGAAGCTGATCGCGGACGAACTCAAGGCTATCAGGGATGCGGTCAATGGCATTCTTACTCCTCTCGCCCAATTTCTCCAGGGTCTCAGGTTCAACGCCACTGTCTCTGCTGTTGTCACCGGCCTTGGCGGCATTTTGACCAGCCTCCTCACCAGTACGGCGAGCATTCTGGCGTCTCTCGGCCTGGCCATTCTCGGCATTTCCACCTAGGACTATACGACTTACTCAGCATGAAGAGAAGGGGATGGGGAGGTGGAGATTCAGTTTGGACCGGCAGGATTGGATATCATTCATTAAATAATATAGTTAACCCAGTTTAGTGGGCTGATCACCCATAGAATAAAACACGCGTCGCTAGCAATATCTGTCTGTAAGGGACCTTGAGATGGATTGACTTAATTGGAAATCTATCGCATGCTTCTGTGAATGATGGCAGATTCCGGGCGTTTGCTACTCCAAACTATGCATCTCACCAACATCAATGTCTAGGCCGCGCTATTCCGAGTCTCTACAATCTCAATGCCCATCTTTTCCTCAAATTTGACATCACTTTCGTGAATGATCTTGATGTCCCCAAAAATCTCATCAATTTCCTCGAGGGATTTACCTACAGGTGTTAGTACGGAAAGCAAAGTAAAAAGGCCGACTCACCTCTAGTCTCTGGGTATGCAAAGGCAAATACCAACGCGCAAACAGCATTCGTAAGGATGAAAAGGATCTACGATTGTTAGTTGCTTCACCCGCCGGAACCTTGTGACTCACGTAATATTTCCATCCTACTTCTGCCAACGCAATGGGAGAGCATTGAGTGATGATCAAACTGATTGAGTAGTGGATGACTTGCACAATAGCATTTGCCTTGGCTCGTAGCTCGGTGGTAAAGACCTCGGGACTGATTTGTTAGCGTGGAAATAGACGGAGGGGAAAACTTACGGAATAATCCATGTCATTGGGCCAAGGAGAGCCGAGTAATTCGCCGAAACCGCAAAGATGCAAGCAATAAGACCGCGCTGAGCTGCAGCATTTGTGGGCATTCCAGGCTGGGCTGGGAATAGTGCGGCAATGATGGTGATGATCATGTAACAAATCGAGAGGAGGGAGGAGCTGAAGATGAGAATTTTCCTGCGTGCGATTCGATCGACAAAGAACAAAGACGCAAGGCACGCTACTGGCCCGACAGAACCGTAAAGTCCACTGACGAGAAGCTGTCTGTCTTGGTTGAACTGCAGGGTTGAATAGATGGCGGTTTGGTAGTACTGGACAAACGAGATGCCAGACAGCATGGCTGCTGCCCAGACAAACGACCCGACAAAGAGACGGTTCCGGAAAGCCGAAGTTTGGAACAGCTCTTTCCATGATAGTCGGCCTTGGGCTTGCAATTCTTCCGAAATATTGATGTGGATCAATGTGAATTCGGTGTCGCACCATGCCTCGTTGGATCCGTCGTAGTGGTAGCTGAGAAAAGCCTCTCTGGCTTCATCATGGCGTCCTTTGAGAAGCAGCCATCTTGGAGACTCCCCAATAAACAGCACTCCAACACCAAGGAGGAGAGCCGGAATACTCTGGATGGCGAAACCGAGTCTCCATTGATTGGGACTATCCCAGCGGCCTTCACCAACTCCGGTCCATAGCGCAACAAAGAAGCCCCATGCGACCACTGATTAATTAGCATTGTAGATGCGAAGCATCGATGGACTCACTCATTTGATTGACTGCCGTAATTTTGGCTCGTTGGTGTGTCTAAAAATTAGCTACGATCAATATAGACTCCACTGGACAGTCGTACCTTGGCAATCTCGGCACCAAAGACTGGAGCGACACCAGTAATGGTCCCTACAGCGAAACCAACAAGCAAGCGACCGATAATGACTACTCAGTTAGCTTTGTCTTAGAACTCTCCCCAGAGCAACTTACGCATAGCTACATGAGCTGCTCCCGCCATCAAGGCGCCACCAAGGACGCCCCAAATGCATCCAAACGCAATGGCTTTTCTTCTGCCGAGCCAATCGCTGGTGATGCCGACAGAGGCGCTACCAAGCCAGGCTACATGATCAGTAAGCATTCGCTAAGCCGGAAATAACGTACCTCCGGCCTGGTAAACAGACACAATGGCTCCGCGAAGGGGAGCATCGGGATTACCAAAGTGACTTAGAAACGAGGACAATGCTAAACTCGGAGTAATGATTCCAGAGTCACTGAATTGTTAGATGTTTCCGTTGTGATGGGATTGACTTACTATCCGTATAGGAACCCGCCAATTCCCAAAAACAAAGCAGTCAAAAACGGCTTATCAAGCCAAGAGTAAGTCTTCATTGTGTCGAATGATGGCAGGTAATTTCTGATTCAACAGCCTTCTTCAAACAGCATCTTCTTCAAGTCATATCTACGTAGAGGATAATTATACCCGGGATCGTGGATCCAATGTACTTGTGACATGCCGCGCTAAACATCTGTCAGATGACTTTATGGGGTCAAATAATGCGGGGTAGCACGAACATCAAATCATTATATGAGCTAACTCTTTGCCCAGACTTTCTCTAATGAAATACCGCGGCCTTTCAACATTTTGAGCGGGGTGGCTTCTTATCGAGATAAGATCGGCAGTTGTCATGGCAGTTGATCGCCTTTAACACAAGCGCCCAATCCTCTTCTTCATTCTGCATCTCAAAATGTTTGCTACTCTCTTCGCCTTGGGCGTTGTTGTTGCGCTTTTTTATGTGGCATTGTCATTCCCGCGGGTAAGTCTCTCGGCTAAATGTTGGACCAACTGACACAATCAGCTTCGACAAGAATGGAAGCTTCATTCGCATCGTTCTCAGCTGCCGCCGGGGCCCAAAACCATCAAAGTTGGTATCAGAAAACCGTGGCTGTGGTTTGAGGAGCTTAGTCGGGAATATGGAGATGTAGTCTACCTCCAGCTTGGGCCAACTCCCACGATTGTGTTGGGTTCCGCCCAGGCAGCTTGGGATTTGTTGGAGAAGCGAGGTGCCATCTATTCCTCTCGACCTCGGTTCATCATGGGAGGTGAACTGTTGTCAGGAGGGATGAGAGGACTCATGGCTCCGTATTCCTCGTACTGGCGACGTTGGCGAAAGTTGTTGCATGGAGGTTTCATGCAACGCCAGAGCGAAACCTATCGACCGATCCAGAGTTTGGAGTCCAAGGTACTGATGCACGATCTTTTGACGGACCCTACCGGCTTTCGAACACATCTGGAACGATACGCAGCTTCAGTCATTGTCACTGTCACATATGGGCGAAGAGTTGAAGACGTCACAACCGATATTGTGGTCCGCCGGAATGCCGAGTCAATGGAGCGTCTAACAATGGTCAAGTAAGTCTCTTCCTCCATGCTGAATGCTCTAACGAATGCTCTAACGTTTTAGTATTCCTGGAAAGTTTGCAGTAGAGCGGTATCCCGCGTTGAAATACGTTCCGGCCATTTTTGCACCTTGGAAAGCAGAAGTTCTCCAGCAACGTCAAAAGGATATCAAAATGTACACCGAGCTCATGGACGAAGTCCGTGAAAAAGTTGCACAAGGAACTGCGCCGGCGTCTTTTGCGAAGCACTTGCTTGACGAACAAGAAAACCTTGGAATGTCAGATCTTGAACTTGCCTATACCGCAGGATCTCCATTTGGGGCTGGAGTAGAAACAGTAAGTGTCTGGGCGACGTAACGTCTGATGCGGGACATAATTCTAATGGTATTAGTCTGCCGGTTCTCTTGCCAGCTTCTTCCTTGCTTGTGTCAAGTTCGGTCCTCAGTTTATCCCACGAGCGCAAGAGGAACTTGACAGAGTTGTCGGATTCGATCGCCTTCCCACATTCGATGACTTGCCCAAATTGGAGTACGTGAGAGCAATTGCCTCGGAAACATTGCGCTGGCGACCTGTGGCGGTACTAGGAGGAACTCCTCATGCAAGCACGGCAGACAACGTGTACAAAGGGATGTTTATTCCCAAGGGGAGCACGATTATTGCGCCTCTCTGGAGTAGTGAGTAGTCTTTTCAGGCCCAGTGCCGAGAGCAGCGCCTCCTCAGCTTGAGGGAACGCTGCTCAACCCTGTTGCATGGACTCTACTAACCCTTTAGTCCATCACAATGAAGCCGACTTTCCTGAACCCGACGAGTTTCGACCGGAGCGCTTCATAGAAGAACGAAACTATCCCGGCACATTTGGTCACAGCGCTTTCGGATGGGGTCGACGCATCTGCCCTGGCATGCATCTAGGTTCTGCTTCGGTAACACTCAACATTGCACGCATACTCTGGGCGTTTGAGGTGAATCCAGACAAAGGACTTGACGGGAGGGATGTGGATGTTGACATGTAAGCCCCAGTAAGAGCCATGATAATTCAAGCACTAACATCCGTAGATTCGCCTTTTCTGAAGGATTCAACTCCTCCCCGCTTCCGTTTCCCTGCTCCATCACGCCCCGCTCTTCAAGGCAAGTGGAGGTGATTGAGAGAGATTTCGAAGACGCCATGGAACAGTTGAAAGCATACACTGCGGCTACAAACAAGCTATCTTGAGTTCGGGTCAGGCTAGTCTACATATTACTTGCAAATTCATTCAACGAGTTAATTGGAACATGTTCAGAGTACAACTTGTATTGACAGTGTTGCTACTAGGGTCCGACTGAGGCCGCATAAAGTTTAAGTTACATGAAGAAGAAAAACTGAGATCACATCTCTCGTATTGTATCCAACACTTAGTTCAGGGCACGGGCGTGTCGTCGAGCCACGGTGGTGCCGGCAGTGGACTTCAACCACTCGATGAAGGTGTCGAGGGTGAAGGTCTCAGGGAGGGTGGAGCTGTCAGAGCTGGCAGTCTCGGTGGCAGCAGGGGCGACGGCAGTAGACGAAGGGACGACAGACTGAGCAGCCGCAGTGGTAGCAGCCGGGGTGGGGACAATAACCGAGGTGACAAGGCTGGTAGGGGCGGCGACAGGGGTAGCAGTGGTAGAGACGGCGGCGGCGGAAGAGGCGACGGGAGTGGAATCCGAGCCGGAGCCGGAGCCAGAGTCGGAACCGGAGCCGTACAGAGCAGGGCCGGGGATCTCGTAGCTGGTGAGGGTCTCATAAGGGTTGAACAGGATACCGGCGTCAGTGGAGGTGTACAGAGCCGTTCCGAGAACACCCTCGGGGTTGTCAGTGCCAGAGCCGGTGATGGCAATGTTGAAGCACTGGGGGTAGTTCTGAGCACCGTTCTCAGAGCCAGCTCCGTGCATGGCAATGATCTCGTGACGGAAGACGTAGTTGCCAGCAGCAAGAGTTGAGGGAACAGTGGTGGTCCAGGTGTTGTTGTTGGCAATCATGTCGGTGGCAGCCCAGACCTGAGTGTCCAAGTTGATACCAGCCTCGTCGATCTTGACCCACTTGAGGGTTGTCTTGTCGGCAGCACTGCACTCGCCATCGCACTTGGCGACGTAGGTCAGGACGGGACCGACGTGAGACTCAGGCCAAGCAGACCAGTTGAAGTCGACAGTGCCACCAGCCTTGACGGAGGCAGTGGTAGCACCGGGCTCGGCCTTGATGTGGCAGATGATGTCGGAAGTGCCATAGGCATCGGGGGCAACGAAGCCGTTGTCGAGGTTCTCGGCGGACCAAGCGGGAATGTCAGGGACGGTCTGGCCGTTCAGCTTGGCGTAGTAGTAGTCGAGCTTGTAACCCTCCTGAGGAGTGCCGTCGGTCTTGAAGCCAGTGACGGTGCCGTGGGCGAGGGCAGTGGTGGCGAAAGCGCCAATGAGAGCAGCGGTGGCCTTGAAAGACATCTTGAAGTTGAATGAAGGTGTTGTGTGGTGGTGAGAGAGTGAAAAAGTTGATCAAAAGATGGATAATGGAATGAAAGAATGTACCAGCTTCACACAGTGAAGAAAAGAATGAAAGATGTATTGGGAAGTGAATGCGACCTGCAGCGTTGGAGAGAAGAAAGAGTCGATAGAGAGTGGCATCTTCAGTCTTCTTTATAGTCTGCGAGTGCTCTTCTGGAGTGCTCTTCTACGGGGCTTCCACCGGAAGCTCGCTTGTCAGGCCATTTTCGGGTTCGAATTCAGAGTGGTGGAATTTAGACCCGGTCTCAGTGTCGTGGAGACTTGTTCTGTTTTGAGAGATGGCGACCGAGATGGCAGGGATGTTGGTTTCATCCGCTGCCACCTCGCCTAGATTGAAGCGCGCGCCAACGACAAGATGAATCCGAAACAACGTTAACTCGTTTACGGTAGTACCGATAGTTTCAGGTGGTGCGGCATGAATGGAAACGGAACCCGCCTGCGTGCAGTGTTTTCTGTTGTTCTCTTCATTATGATTCTACAATCGGTTGAGGGATTGATTCTTAGAATGAGTGTATTCACCTACTAGAATTGAGTTCCAATTGTACTATCGATCGGACAATGTCGATTAACTTCCCGCCTATAGCTTGATGCGCGTGAAAAGGGGATCCAAACTCCACATGAACAAGGGCTACCGGGAATTACGTCTTCATCCCTGCATGATAAACCCGCTTAAGCTTACTTACCGCCAAGGGCAGGGGCAAACGGATTCTTGGCTCACCGTAGACGTGTCAGATGTCAGGCCACCGGAAACTTGCATGTAAATTTATGAATACCCATTGAATAATAATTCGGTGGAATTGAAGGTTGGTATTCACGAATAGGCTTCTTGAATGTACATCGGTTCAGGCTCCTTAACTGTAGCAACGGCAAGTAGGCTACTCAAGTCGAGCCGCCATGTAAACGAGGAGTCTCCGAGCAATGATGGCGGGGTAACGGAAGACATCCGGCGGCAATCCAGGGTGTTTAGCGAAGACGTGGAGTTCATTAGCGAAGCAGCCGATCCATTCACGATGTTGTCTACCAGAACCTACCCGGGAGTGCTCTGCGATAATCTAGTAATCTCGATTTAACTTGCAAAAAGGATAGCAAAAAGATAATCCAACCCCTCCATAGTCGTCAATCACAGACTCACGTTCCCCTGAGATACACCTCAGGGGCAGGTATCAGAACGTGTAGCAGATAAACATTGGAACTCCAGTGATCAACAATTCGAAACGAAACTAGAAAACATAAATAAACATCCTATTCCATCAGTCTATCGTCCCGTTAATTGGTGGGAATGACGCCATGGATCCATGCATTTATCAGCGTCAATACTTCCTCCGGCTTATCAAATGGTGACAGATGCCCAGCATTCCAAATTTCGGCATAAGTCAGCGGTTCGTATGACTTCCACCGTCCCGCAGGCTTGGCTCCAGTATACCATGGAATCAGTTCTCGGAAGCGAAAGAATGGATGCCCGTTCCAGACTAGTCCTTGGTTGACAAGCCGGCGCATTCCAGCGGCGTGACAGTACCAGTCTTTGTCACCGACGTAGATGAGTACACGGATATCCTGTAGAGTGTTAGAGAAGAGGAGTGACGGAAGAATGAGACTTGCCAGATCTAGGAGATAATTGACGTAGCTGTCGCTCGACTTCCACAAATCTCCAACCTTTTCCCATTGCTCAAAGATCTCCATCGAAACACCCCTGAAAGGTGCATCGCCATCCACTCCAAGCGCAGTTTTTATTTCCGTCCTGTTGAGATACTCCTCAATGTATTGCTGTTGCTTGTAGCAAGCAAGGGGATTGGTGCAGGTGAGTCGCCAGTCGTAGGGGTTACGCTGCATCTGGCCAGTGACCACTTGGCTCATTTCACTGCATAGCTGTTCTGCTTCCTTGCACTTGGCAGACTTCCAGCCTTCCGTCTCACACACGTTGAGGTTTGTCTCGCACCACATGGCTCGTGGCGCCCACTCTAGACACTGCGACGTGTTGAACAGGCTATCCGGACCAGAGCAGGCGGCTTCAAAAGAGCCTGGATTTTGCACCGATTGCCGGACAAGGCCATTTCCAATCATGATACCCTTGAGGTTTATTTTTGGGACGCTCATGGAGATGGACATCTGATTGAATGCCCTTTGAACTCCGAGAGCCGTACCAGGATCAGCCCGGCTTTGCACAATTTGGGCACCCAAGGCCGGGACCCACGAGCCACCGTAAGACTCCCCTGCAATGAAGAAATCGCGAGCGGCCAGCTGGGGAAAGGCAGTAAAAAACTGGCGTAAGAATTGGTCCATCATCTTGGAGGCTTGGGGCAGTCCGTCTGGAATGGATTCACCAGATGAGAAGCCAACACTGGTGGGCTGGCTGGAGACGTCAGCGATGATTCAATGAATGCTAGATGACTTACTCGACAAACAACACCGTGGCATTCGTATTCCATCCAAAGGGGTTGTCAATAGTGTAGCCACCGTCCGGCGCGATGCGACAAGGACCGAGTTCCATTAGCGCACCGAACCCAACTGAAGAGGCTCCAGGTCCACTGTAACCATTAGCGAACAATCGCCACAGGGGTGAAATACGAACCCAGTCATCCAGAGAATAACGGGATCAACCAGCGGATCATTCTTGCTTTCGAATAACCAGAAAAACATATGGCTGTCCCCGGCTGTGTCTATGAATCCGGACGTGCCAGGCGTGGAACTATTGCAGACGCTTGCTGTGTCGTTGCCCAGTCGAATTGAGAATTCCGGAACGCCATGCTGGGCCGGGAATGTGTCGCGAACCGGTTGAAGGGCGAAAGCTCCGGAGACTCCCAACCAGAGTGCACATATGGGGAAGAGCATCATGGCGATTGGTCTCGGCGAAACGAAAAGTTGATCGTGTCCAAGAAATGTGCAGCTCTGTGCGATTTGAAGAGATGGCAGTTAATTGAACTGGACATCCATCCCACGCTAAAGCAAGCGCTCCGAGATGCCCGATCAGGAGAAAAATTACGCGCAAATCGACGGGCCGTATGGAAAGACACGGAGTGGGCATTTCAATACGAGAGCATTTGTTTGAATGTTAAATAATTTATCCAAAACTTGAAATGACTTCTGGTTCTCGTTGTAACTAATAGCCATCTGTCTCTTCACCCTCCACGAGAGGCACTAAATCGTTAAAGGTCTTCCCGTCTGCCTCACGCCCGATAATTATAACGTGCTGATCCATTCCTTTAGAGAACAACGTCTCTCTAGCCGTCCATTGATCATAGGTAAGTGCCGCCAAGAAAGCCGTCCGCCCCTTGGACATCTCCCGTTGCAGAGCCCGATTGAACAAGCGCACTGCATGAGTTGGTGAAAATGATCCCTCATAAAACACCCCAGCTTTGACAACTGAAGATAGAAACCGTTCAAGACCGTCAAACCCCGCTTTAGAAGCACAAAGGCGTGCTCCGAGCTGTAAATAGGTCGTAATACCTTTCCGGTACATGTTTCGCCGAGAGCATTCGACAGGATCCAGACCTGCTGCAATGCGAAGTAGTAGATGCATCCGAGGATGGATACTTTCAGATCGTGGCGGAATAGATGGTGCAAATTCTTCGGACCGAGCCAGTCTACTAACCACCTGGTCGTCGCAAACAAGCTGCGCAAAGACGTAGTCGGCGCATTCCATGGCTTCGCAATGACTCGAGAAGAATAGAGGCTCAATTTCAACTGAGAGTGTGTTCACCGATTTGGGTTCGAGTGGTAACCCTTTCGGTGGCTCGCAACTCTCCAGCGCCGCTCGGAGTCGTGCCAATTCCTCGTACAACTCCTCTTCCTCCAAAACTATTGGGGACGTTTCGGAAGCATCTACCGAATCATACCCAAACCCCCCTTTGATGATTTCCCACCAATCACCGGCCCTCTGTATCGTATCTTTAGCTGACTCGCCATTCTTACGCATGCCCTTCAACAGGAGAATCCTGTTGCATATTTGAAGTGCCCTTGTCCCAATGAGATCGATGGCTTGCGACTTTGAAGCCACTCTAGACTCCAGCTCAATAACCAGCGATTCTTTCTGAGATTCAACACCGTACGGCGCATGGGGGCGCCTCTGGACACCGTAGAGTGAGCGGAGATGCAGCCAGCAGCAGACCAAATTGTGGCCGCCGGGAAGAGCAAGTGCTTGATCCGAACTGCCGAGTACCGCATCATCCAGATTGGCGAGAGCAGTCCACACCCTGCTAAGGGAGCCAGCCTCGAGTTCATAACAGAGCAAAAGTATCAACATGACTAAACGGGAAGCAAGAGTGATGGTTGAATCGTTCTCCATTCTGCTCAAAGCGGCGAATTTTGTGGCATTTTTGGAGTAGGAATGCATTGGTACCCACATGCCTTGCTGATCCAACGCTGGTTTCCCTCGTAGATTCGCCAGACTCGCGGCTGCAAGTGCCATTGAAGCATATCGGACTGGTGGAAGTTCCATAACCATCCGCCACAAATAGTCCAGTTGTATGGGGAGAGTCTCGGTGATGCTGACTTTGAAGTGGGCGAGGTATAGTCTGTCTCCGATGGAAATTCCAAGGGATTGGGGAGGCTTCGGTGAAATTGGCCACTGTTGCCAAGGCGTTGTGAGCACCTCGGCACCAGTCAACACCGGGAACTCTTCTGAGATGTCTGGAAGTAGATCATCTTGTGATCCACCGGATGACGGGGCATGCAAAGGTTCCCATGGAACGACAATATCTTTGTAAAAGGCTTGACAAGGTGGAATCTCATAAAGAGGCTCGCAGGGTTTTGTGAGATCCGATGCACTGCTCTCTGCACTGCTTTGCGACAAGAGGTCCAGGGTGGCCCAGAAGCCAGCTCCAGTGATGTCTCCAATGTCGGTCGCGTCGGAGACACCGCCCATGTTGGCGCTTTCGCCGTTGCAAATCGGCCAAGAGTTATTTGGAGAATCGATTTGGTCACTAGCAGAATTCTCAAAGGATGCATCTGCAGGATCGACAGTAAAGACGGTTTTATCGTATTGTCCGCCGACCGAACCCTGAACGTCGATGGAGGTGATTGGCGTCATGGTTGGTGACGAGAGATGATCTTGCAACAGGGCCAATTCAGAATCCTTTACAAAATCATTCGGTAGGTGTGATGTTGGTGATGTGGAATTCGTTCGTCGAGATCGGTCGTGAGTTTGGGATCTTCGACCGTCGAATTTGGCTTGCTTGACTTTGTGAGCCGCCCACTGGGTGGAATCACGGAATTCCAGCCTATTCCCGTATTCGCATACGCCGCCATTGCTTGCGCATCGATTGCAAACAGGTTTTGCCTCGTCGCACTGCAGAGGTTAGCTTTAACTGGAAGGAAGTTTGTGAGATGCACCTTTCTCCGTTTGTGACGGCATTGGAGACACCCAGACCGAGTACGAGTAATGGATGTCTTGTTCTGACGACCAAATGTGTTAACCATGTTGAAAGATGTATCACGACAAATTATGAGAACGCGAAACAATTGAGTGACAAGGTGTTTAATGATGTTTCTTAGAAGAACATCACCACACCTGTGATTCCATCTTCCACTCCATTCAGCTGTGACTCCTGTCCCCTGTAGCACTGATAAGCCCCTGATCCTGATCCTTGTATCTCGCCCCGCCACTTATTCTATGACTAGTCCCAGACTTGTCCGATTGGCATTAGTTTAGCAAAACTTGAGCTTGGCCTAGAACGGCAGTGCGGTGCGAGGCAAGCGTGAGGGGAATGCAGTCTTATCATGAGTTGGATGACGACGCAAGTTGCTCGTGCAGACGTCAGGCGATGAGATTGACAACGTTGTGCACGTCGAATAGCAATGAATCGCTGAATTTTCAATTGATGCACCGGATTTCACTCTATGATGCGAGCAATGGAAAGCATAAATCGCAGACGGCCCATTACGCGAACCAGAACGGGTTGTCACCCTTGCCGGCGTCGGCGTCTTAAGGTGCGTATTCGATATCGCTTCACTTTGACATGTTGTGCTAATGTGATCAGTGTGATGAAGGCAAACCGATATGTCGCGCTTGTTCTCGGAGTGGTCTTAACTGCGATTTTCAACCCCGATTTGTCTTTCGAGACGACACTGCCTCGATTCGAGAGCGGGTCATCAGGACTGAACAAGAGAAATGGGATGCGATTCGCGAAATCGATGGACAGAGCAGACTCGGTTCTTCTCGCCGGTCTCCGCGGACATATTCCCGAAGTAGCCCTGCAAGTCCAGCCGTCGTACATTCCGACTCCTACTTAGTCCAAGCCTCACCGCGCGCAGACTGCTCGAACCCATCACTAACCCTGAGCTCTGATACACATGTACTCGATGGAACAACACAAGATGGGAGGTCTCACGAGGGTGAATCAACAAATAATGATCGCTACGGACAAACATCAAAGGCCGTCTGTGAGGATGCGCGCATTGAATTGCTCCAAATGGAACAAGACTTGGTCCCTATCCCTGAGCAAGACGATTCAGTTCACGTTCAAAGCGATCATTGCCCAGACTCTAGAGATGGTGATAATCCGATGGCCAATTGCGCAGCTCTTGAAGCAGTAGCGCGTCAACCGATACGACACAATCGAACCGAATCCCTGGCTTCCTGGCCTTCACCGGATTTCACAAATCTCGGAGAGACTGGCGCACTTCAGTCAGGCGAGTCACCTGCGATCCCTGGGTTTTATCAAGAATCTTCCTCAGACCAGTCTCTCGAGTTGGACCTGGAACCTGTCACTTTAGCCTACTATAATCATCGACAGCCACCCAAAGCCTTTGACAGCCAAGACCTGTCAGATCCCGACTTGAAGCTTCCCATCGACCCCTCTAAAGAAGCATGGATCTTGAGACAATGGCGTCTCCTCCTGCCTCGGTTACCGCCGGCTTTCTCCCAGATTGACTCATTTATTCGAGATTACGAAGTCGTCAAGTTTGCTGCGTTTGCCTTGGCAACTTCAGGTATCGATCGAGCCAGTACCGACACCCTCAACCCAAGTACCTCGAAAAGATACGAAAGCCTTGCATACTATAGTCATGCTCTCAAGATCTTTGCGACCGGCGGGCTAAACGGAGTCGGAAAGATTGAAATATGCGCAAGACTCGCAGTATTAATTCAGTTCATCTACTTTGAGCTTGGCTCAGGTACAGTCTACGGAAGGATTTGCCATCTTCGAAAGTTTGACGATCTCGTCTTGTCCGACTATGATGAAATAATGCAGTCAACCATGGGAACTCAGCTGGTGATAATATGGGCCGGCCTACGAGCTCAGCATGTGGCCGACACTGTTCCGTTCTACTCAGGAGGTTTTCCTACCTTATTTGAACGATCAACCATTCAAGCAGATGTGGATAGACTCATTAAGCTCACGTCGTCAACATACCCGCTACTTACATCTTGCCTGTCTACTGTTAGTCGGGCCTCTGACCTTTTACTACTGATGGATGTTGTCGGCGCGGATTCGTCCAATCCGATTTACCGCAAATGGATATCCCTAATGACGCAGCTTGGTCATCGACTCCCCCGACATGGACTTTTCACATCCCAACCGACAGAATTACTCCGTATTTTACAATCTCAGAGGGAGCGCCTTGATGAATGGGAAGCATCACTACCATTGACCGAAAGACCGGTGGAACGCTTTTCATCTCACACCTTTGGGACAGTGAATAAATATTCCCACCTCCAGGTACATCCACTTCAATTTACTACTCACGAAGCAGCCATGAACTACTTGCTGTATTGTTGCGTGCAGTTGTACGCAGCTTCTACCAATGAGTTTCTTGGCACCACGTGTTGGTCTGCAATGAAAACTCCAGATCAAACTGGAAATGCAAGTGTGAACCCATGGGTACTTCTAACTCTCCGTGTGGCAGCAGGGCTAGACATACAAGCTTGCCTTTTTAAAAACATCTATCACATCGGTGTGACGTGGATATTGGAGCGAGTGGCACTGAGATGTTGCTCGCTTGAAGTTTTAACGTGGATTGATGATTATCTGCGCAAGATGGAGGCTCAAGGGGTCTACGAAGGCGGTGTCCCAATAGCGTTGTTCCGAAGAGCTGTCACAAACATGATTGGAGAATGGAAAAGAGGTCGGGTGGTGAACTTGATTTATACGTCTTGGGATCAGTTCCATGAGAAAGAAGAGCTTTGCAAAGCCGGTACCAAGGGAATCCATGCTCGAGCTGTACTTCATGGGACAGTCTGGGCTGGCGAAGGAAATGGCTCGAAGGACTGCAGACCATTTGTTGATGTAGTTGAAAATTTTTGACTGTCGATTGGATGTCTGGAGGAACTCAGCTAGCATCGGTTCATGGTGATCCAAAGTACCCGGGACCTCCGGTACTATCTGGTCTCACGTCGGACGAATTTCAATATAATTTTCCTCTGGTGTACCTAAAGCCTGGGAAATGAGAAAAAAAGATGTTTAATTCTCATAGCTCGTCAAAGTTTTGAGTATTATCCGCATACATCCATCTTTGGACCAAAGCCTTTCCTCTTGGGACATATGCAAAATGCAAAATCTCACTCCCCTTTCGTTGAATTTCCAACTTCAAAACACCTTCGACATCGCACCTGACGTCATCAAGCACAATCTCATTGAGAATTCTATCCCCGTTGACCAGGCCAGACTTTTCTGCAGCACTGCCTGGTACAAGCCCGGTGATGATCCGTTCACCTTGGAGCGCTTGATACTCGTCAAATCCAAGTTCCCATAGCGGTGCATCCTCCCGGACAAGCTTGAAACCAAACATGGCGAGACTGTCTGGTGGTGGAACAACGAGAGTACCAGAAGACATTTGGTCATACAAGGCTTGCGCTTGCGTTTCACTCCCAAGCAAGGAGCCAAGCTCGCGCAAGTATTCAGGCACTCCGTACGGCTGCTTAGCTCGATCCAGTTCCAAAATAGAGAGAACTAGATCGTCGAGAGAATTTTCCCGTCCCGTAGCATTTTGAATGAGTGCATTGACTTGCAAGGCAAATGTCAATCCTCGACCATATGGCAACCGTTGCGCGTCCGAAATTTTCCATGTCAACTTGGATGCCTCTTTATTTGACAGCTTCACCAACGGGTTCGTATAATACATCGTTAGGCGTTTGTTAATCTCGCGACGGAGGTTTTCGTCGGTCAAGAAATCTGCACGATGGGATAAGAAAAGAGAGTAGTACTCTGTCATCCCCTCTGTGTACCAATTATCCCAGACAGCTTCATCCAAAGCTACCCAGTTGTGCACACACTCGTGAGTCAAAAAGAGCACATAGTCTTCAAATGAGCGTGGATGGGCAAAATCGTGATTGTCGTAGCTGAACATGAAAGACCGCTTAAGAGCAGTACCTGCCATGCTGCCTCTGAATGGATTATGTCGGATGAAAACTCGATAGGTTGGTTCATTGTCCTTGAAGATGGTGGACATTCGATGGAACATTTGGAGCAATTTGGAAGCAATCTCGGTGGTGTTGAAGGGCGGAGAACCAAGCCAGTAGACGCCGAATTCGCCTTTTGTAAAGGAGTGGACATTTCCAACCATGAAATATGTGGATTCAAGGTCCATGACATCTAGTCTCTTGGTGATGGGTGCTGACCCTTCGCCCCATGTCCAGATTGCGCGAGTTCCGGGTGGAGAGTCAGACAAGTTCCATCTGATAGTTGTGTTGTACAACTGAGTCCCGGGAGGCGGTGCGGCAAGGAATCCTAATCCTGACCCCAAAATCCCGCCAAAGTTCTGTCGTAGGTCGAATGACGGGGCGTTTTTGGTTGAATCATTGATTTGACGAGGCAATGCCTTGTACGTGGCAGTGACAGGTCCTTTCGTTGGTCGGGTCACGCGCCATTTCTGGTTGACAATTGGCGGGCCGTAGTTTTCAATTTCACGAACAAGTTCCAATGGCCGATCGTCGTCTGTTGCAACCACCTGGTTGTTTTCAAAGTGACCAACGTCGACCTTGGTGATCTCGATGGGCGTGCTGAGCAAGATGTCATGGGCCTCCAAAGCCGGCCAAAGAGTCACTTGAACGTGGAAAGCCTCCGCTACACCATCACCTTGGAACACTGGCGTGATAGTGTAGTCAAGACTGGGCTCTATTCCCTCCTGATTGTATGCCATGGCGTTGGTTGAAGATGGAATCCTTTGCGGTAGGATAATTTGTGCATTGCTGGACTTGGCGAGAGCGATTAGCTGCACCAACCGCAAGCAAAACTCGAGTGACGGCTTCCAAAAGTTCATGAGCCTGATGTGATTCAATTGATGGAGCTGGAGGTAGTTATTGATGTAAAGAGCCGTTTATGAGGACTTATGAGGATGAAGCGGCCGGTCTGTGCGCGAGAGGTTATCACTGCCCAATGCGGTAGTCGTGTCCCATTTAGGCAAATGAGAGCGAGCGCCTCGGTCAAGGTCAGTAAAACCGCTCCTCGAGAATCTCGACGGGCTGGAGTTATTGAATTCGATTACACATTGACGTTCAACATGTTGCTTCCAATTGCATTCTCACTGTTGCTCTGTCCGATCCGATCCTATGGTCAAGACAACCAGAAGGTCCTGGAACCGGTTGACTATTCCCCCTTCGCCAGTGCTAGCGGGGAGAATTGGTCAGTACGAGAGCAGGACGATTCAGTATGCAAGGCCGGAAGCCGTCACTTTGCTGGAAGTGTCAATGTAACCGACGACAAGAGCCTGTTTTTCTGTGAGCTCCACGCAACGCGTTTACATGCAAAACTAACCTTATCAGGGTTCTTTGAGAGCCGCGAGGATCCGAATAATCGGCCAGTCATCATCTGGTTGAACGGGTTTGTCATCTTGGCACACTCGAGAAGTAAGCTGACTCTTCAAGGGGCCCAGGAGCAAGCTCGCTGGTCGGTCTGTATGGTGAAGTTGGGCCATGCACGATTGACAAGGACGGTACGCGCACCAACTACAACGCCGATAGCTGGACAGAGCATGCAAATATTCTTTTTATTGAGTGCGTATTTCAATCCCTCTTCAGTTCAATGTTAACACTCGCAGTCAACCAGCCGGTGTTGGATTTTCCACCGTCTCCGACAATACCAGCTACCCATACAACCTCGAGTCTTCTGCTCCAGACTTTGTCGCTCTTTTGGAAACCTTTTACTCGGACATTTTTCCTCAGTATGCTATCAACACTTTATACATTGCTGGAGAATCATTCGGTGGCCAATATGCTCCCCACTATGCTGCAACCATCCTGCGCAAACAAAAAGAAAACGCCGCCGGTGCCCTGCAAACCGTTAAACTGGGGGGGATTATGCTTGTCAACGCGTTGGTCGATTCCACTTGGATGTCTCTAGGCCACTATGATCTCTTCTGCACCGACACTCCACCTAATCTCGTGCGATTCAACGAGACAACTTGTCGCGCGATGGCGGGTGCGGGTCCAGAGTGCCAAAGACGAGGGTCTCTTTGTACAAACACCCGCGATCCTCACATTTGCGAGTCGGCTGTGGAATTCTGTATGGAGAATTTAGACACCTACTTTTACCAGGAAGTGGCAGCTCATCGTCGCAGCCCTTATGACTGTAAGTCTCCAACCACCAGGCGCAGTCTGAGGCTGTTCCATCTTCACTTCAAGAAACTCACAATACTAGTGCGGCGCGATTGTCCAGAGCCACCTCTTTGTGGAGTTGGTGGGAACAAATTTGGATCAACCAGCGACTTTCTCAACAGGGAGGATGTTCAACGAAAATTAGGATTCAAGTCTCCGATCGAGTACCAGACAATTAATTTTGATCTGAATGCGCAATGGACTCTGGATCCGCAAATCTTTGTGCCGACAACATCCCATATCACTTTCTTGCTGGATGGTGGTGCTAATTTCCCGGGGGATGAGATCAATCCCGACGCGGTTGTGTCTGTTCTCGTGATCAATGGGGAATACGATGTTGGCTGGTAAGTCTCATTCACCACCAGAGGACAATGGCTGACACTGTACAGTAATCTACCGGGAACTCTACGCGAATATGACAATCTACCTTGGCATAGACAGGCGGCTTACCGATCTGTGAAAGACCTGAAGCCTTGGTATTGGGTTGATGGCCAGGAAGGAAGCGTTGTGGGTGGACTTTGGAAGGGGACGCCACAACATCAGAAGGGTCTTGAGTTTCTGTCAGTAAAGGATGCAGGACACATGTCACCTGCCGATCAACGAGGTGCCGTCACTTCTATTGTAGGTCGGTGGATTGCGAATGGTGGAATGTTGGGTCTGTAGTCTTGGTTGCTTGTAGACTAAGAGTTGGGTCAATGGTGTGCAGCTCTCAATCAGCTTGTGAGATCTTGGGCATGCAATACAGCTTCATTTCTGATGCACCTAGCCCAACACCCGCGCCAGCATCTGCTATCGCTCAATCAAGACGACCTATTATATTCCTCCGTTTTTATCTAGTAAGGCTTGTGCAACAACGCCAATCTTGTCAGACCATCTCACCCAGTCCGCAATGGGGAATAGCAAGTGGCCAGCTCTCGACTGTCAACTGCCGGTTGGAGTCCAGCAACTCTTCCCGCGATGAGTTGTCGATGGTTTATAGTATCTCTTTTCCTAGCTCCTAAGTTTCGATTAAACCTGGCGGCTCTTAAGCAGACTCATGGCGTCGTGTGGACATTTCGCCACGACTGTGCGACTCGTATGGTGGCGTCGTGGATTCTAGGCCACTGGAGCACTGGAATTAGGGGCTAGTGTACTGAGGTTAATGGACAAGTGCACTGGGGCTGGCGGCGAACTGCGCTGGAGATTAGTGGATGGCAGCCGTGGATTACTGATCCGCCGGGTTTGTGCCAGTATCCACGTCCTTGATCTCTCAATTAACGTGCCTTGAGGAAATGAATGACCCCCATGACCATGGCCTGACCTCGTGTCAAAACAAACGCGGTCTCGCTGAGCGGATGAGGTATTTTGTTTGTGGATGCTACTTTGCCTGCACTGTTGGCTGTTGGTCCGGTCCATATGAAACAATCCGTGGTCAGCTTGGGGATATTCCACCGCAGATCCTTCGACGTACCCTGCCAACATGCAGCCAACATGCAGCGTGTATCCCTGTAGCCAAGTCTGCTCAGCCTTAATTCCCAGCCTGGATTTTAATCTTAACGCGCCTGAGAGTTCCTGTTCCCCGTCTTTTACTCTTTTGTCTTTCCCCTCGTCGTCGTGCCGCTTTTTGGTTCCGTCACTCGTTCACGACTCCGTTCCTTTTCAAGGTTGAGCGTTGGGAATCCTCGTCCCATTGCAGACATGTCTGGTTCTAATCAATACTCTGACCTGCCTGAAGTCGCGCCTATCGAGGCGTCCTACAGGCACGCGACCGTCACCGACAGTTTTCCAGAGCCTGTATATGTACCAAAACTCGATGGTCTGACGATACATGCCGTGGCAGGTGAGGGGAAAAACCCGGATCGCAAGATATGGGGCTTGAAACGGACGACCTTTTTTATTCTCGTTGGGGTCGCAGCAATTGTCATTATCGGCGCCATTGTTGGCGGTGTCGTCGGCAGCAGGGCAAACTCGACCACTTCCACTTCGGAATCAGCAACACCCACGAGTAGCGCATCAGCAACTTCGACGCCGACTTCCAGTCCGATATCCATTCTATCAAATTCTCGAATCGCAAGCGTGAATTGGACCGACTCAAATGATCAACACTATTTCGTCTTTTACCAAAATGAGAAAAACGACCTCATCGCTTCTTCCTGGGATTCTCAGAACAAGACGTGGGAGGCAAGAAGCATTTCAGCAAGCATCAAATCGGCCGGCGACAGTCTAGACGTGATTGAAGGAACGCCAATTTCTGCTGTTGCTTGGTCGGATTCAGAAAATGCATGGAACATACGCGTATATGTTCTGATAACCGGCAACTACATTGCCGAACTGTTGACGAGCCGCCCTACCAAAGACTCCGAATGGTCTCAGACCAGTTTTGGGTCACAAGTGAGGATAAGCCCAGCCGAAGGATCAAACATTGCCGCTTGGCGTCCAAACGGCGGCAACGAAACTTGGCCTCAGAGGCTGTTGATGTGGGAGAATGCCGACCAGAAGCTCATCTGGTCTAGTAGCGACAATTGGGATGATTATTCGACCTTTTCAACCATAAAAAAATCAAGCAGTCTTTCTGTTACCAGCGTGTCCGGAGGGGGCAACATTTCTAATCCTCGTTGGAGGCTGTATTACGACAACGATGAGCTCCTTCAGGAGGGTATGATGGAGCCGAATTTCGTACATCCAACATACAGTAAGTTATTCTCCATGCTTTGATTTTTTTAACAATTAATAGGTCAAACACTTGGCAACATTGCATCGTCATCCAACACCAATTTTGCTGCTGTGTGCTTCAATTTAGTATACACAATTATTGTCGATCTTAATGATCAGGGCGGCATAAGGGCTCGATGGTACAATAAGTCAACGTGGTCAACTAGCAGTGAACCGAACCTTGCAGATTCGCCAGATGGCATGTCAGTCTCTTCAGGGTTCACGGCGATTTCAGGGCATGCCGACCGAAGAATTTATGGCATTGTAAATGGAACGATCCATGAGTGGTCGTTTGATACAACTACTCCAATGACGTGGACCTACGTAGGTGAGGTCACAAAGACCTGACTGGGTCCGGTTAATAGTTATAATTTGGATTCGGTAGAATATACAAGATCTCCAACCTGGCCACTTTCAATTTCATCACATTCGACGTATGTTGAGAGAGGAGATTGCTTGATTTAGTCTTTGTAGATTTGCTCTAGTTGTATAAACTACAGGGCAATGACTAAACTGTCCTCGAAATGCCATTCAAACGTCTCGGTGAAAGCTCAGCGCCGTCCCTCACAGGGTCACGACGAATCTGTATGGCAGGCTATGAACTTGACCACTCGATCCGCCAGCCCCAACTTGGATACCCCAATTGTTCCGCTGTTCTTGAATCCGGTATGGGATTTTTTCCCAGACAACTCCGATTCGTCCGAGTTGATGCTAGAGTCATCGGCCGTCTCGGGACCAAACCCAACTTGACGTTCCAACTTCCTACACGCGACACCGATGCGCCTGACTGCAATTTCTGCCTCGTTTCCAGGACTCGTGTACACGAATCTAAAATGTCCCGGACTGGGAGCCATATAAAGCTGCGTTGTGTTAGATTCTGAAATCCAGGTAGGATGAACTCACCTGTCCCATGCTCAAGAAGACTCCGTGCTGGATAAGATAGCGACAAAGCTTGGTTTCTCTCGTTTCAGATTCGGATGAATCAGATGGAAAGTATTTTAACCATCGGCTCAGGTCAATCCAGATGAAAAGGCCCCCGTTGGCCTCTAGGAACGGGACCGTCGTTTTCACCCATCAGCGTTGTGACAGCTCGGTACTTCTTCTCAAGTCTTTCTCTGTTGATGCGGATATAGTCTTGAACATTCTTGTTGTCCTGTATGAAGTCGGTCCACATTTGGGTTGAGAAGTGTGTCACCCAAGTGAACAGCCTATTCTGTTAGCTTATTCCATCGATTCGACCGGTGTACTCACGCGACTCTTCTGCAAGCATTCCACAACCCCGTGTTACGGGTGACTAGAAACCCGAGTCGAAGTCCACCCATGGCCCAGTCTTTGCTGACGCCGTAGAGGGAGTGAATGTTTTCTTTCGCTACTCTATTCTTTTCGTCGTCCGGTATGCTAAGGACAGAAGTAAAGGTGGGCAGTGAGTTCGACATCGACGGAAACCCCGAGAGTGCATAGATTTCGTCCGCCACCAGATGCAAGTCGTGTCGGCCGCAGAATCTAGCAATCTCGATCAATGTTTCACGCGAGTAATAACGACCTAGCGGGTTCGATGGATTGCACAGCAAAACTGCCTTCACCTTGACTCCCTTGCGTGAGGCATCTCCGTAAGTCTTTTCCAATCTTTCACCACCTGGAACCGAAACTCGGCTCTGAATTGATCTTCGGGGTGAGACATTCTGACTGGTACAACGGTAACACCGCTTCGGTCGTGCAAGTCGCCTTGGAACATGGAATACGTCGGCACAGGCATCAGTATCCCTTGACCCGGATCGCAAATATTAAACGCAATCATATCAATAAGAGATGACACGCCGTTTGTAGCCAAGGTATTTGATGCCTCGACCGGGACACAGGGGCTGAACCATTCGTTGAAAAATTGGGCCATTGCCACGTTGAGCTCTACAATAGTTAGAATCACTCCATCTTCGGATAGGGTTCTTACTTTCTGGACCTGCCACCGATCCATACTCGAGTACTAATTGTGTTAGTCGCCTCCTAGGTAACATTTGCATGCTTACCTTGAGACAGTGGAAGATTCTCTCGGTACTTGGCACAATATTCCTCGAGATAATCCCTCATGCCTTCATTCGAGGAACCTGATATGTCAATGAGGCCATCGGGGTGCTTTTCAGAATATGGGGGATTTTGGATATCATCATCAAAGCTGATCTCTTCCTGGTGAGAGTTCAAGCAGCCTCGTTTCGACGGTGCAAGCGCCATGGAAGGGCCGGTGGAATGAGCCAAAACTCCCATTGCGTCAATCAAGATCAATGGCTTGAGATGCAAGTATCCCAAAGTGTGTCGTTTACAATCATTCTCACCGTTGACTTCCAAGCCTCTTATCTCCATGATGGCGCCAGGGATGTGGAGCTCGCTCTCAAAGACCATGATAGGACTAGGGTATTGGAGCATCCCCGCTTCCTATCTTACGCACAGGATATCTGCACCCCGGCATTCGTATCTTCGATTGAAGACTGAAACTGATCTCGTGGTGGTTCATTCTAGATCTGTCCACCCGGTCCGCTTCCTCGGTTGCATTCTCCAACAACCACATGAGACGGCGCTTCTGACCTGCATCCTCAGTTTAGATAAACCTTTTTAGGCTGCAAGGACCGAGTCTTATCTACAAGTCTCCTTCCCCAGCCGACGCTCATGGCTCACCTCCGCGGGCTCCTCTATCAGAAACGCCGAGATCAGGGAAAAGTGGAAGAGGTATATTACCTGGGTTACTCCACCTAGCAAGACTCAGATACCATACCCGACAGTACTGGCCAGTCTTTTAATTTGTCGTTGCATCAACCGTCATGGAGAAAGATACAAAGGGCGCTGTCCTGTATCTCCATAGGACAAGACTCTGGAGGCCAGCTACTGAGACCAGCTGTTATTCTACGACAAGCAGCCTGTGGAAACGGATAATAAGACTGGCATGACTTCAAACTTTGACAAAAGAAGGAGTGGGCTCGCAACATGTAAGGTGCAGAGAGTAAGAAGGAGCTTTGATGTATTCCGAGTGTGGCTGTCTTTGGTTGTGAGAACTAATCTAACTTCTGTCTGCTCTCTTAAGATGAGCAAGTTGCCGGTATAAGATTAAAAATATATAATTTTATCTATAATTTAAGTATTTATTTACTTAATACTACTATAATAACTAAATATTAAGCTTTTTTATTTAGAAAAATTAAATTTATATAAATATATAAGCTATAGTTAGCTTAAAAAGCTAAATTCTAATTTTTTTCTTTATATATTATCTTTCTATCTTATAATTAAAATTATACTATTAATAAGAATTATAATTAGCCCGGCTGACCTTATAAGTTCTACTATATTAAAGTATACTACTAATTAAAATACTACCAATCTAAATATACTAAGTCGAGAAATAAAGCTGTTATTAGCACTAGAGTAAGTCTAGTACTTCAAAAATCCAACGGAAGCTAAGACCCGACTGGCCTTACTAACACCGATCGGATCAACCTAGCGCGGCTAGGTTACCAGGCCGTCTCTATCCCCGCAAGAGACCCAGCTCTGAAGAAATTTTATCGCGGACAACAGGGCAGGCTGGAAGCCCTCCGGGAAGCAGTCGCAAGGAATACGACTACGGAAGCAGACGAGGAAGACCTCGAGAATCTGCGTCGGAACAGGGCGTGGGTGCTGGAGCTGCTGGGGCTGCTGGAGGAGACTCGGCGTAAGGCTGCATGATTCATCGGGGGCGGAAGGTTTGGTCGAAGGTTGACAGGCGAAGGTTTAGAGGGGCCGAAGGTTGTTATACATCAAGGTTATCTTACTCTAATTCACTTTGTTAAGCAACACAATGGTTGTGAGAACATTCTGCCTACCTATTTGGGACAGACGGCCCGGAGAAGCACGGCCCCACCCCGTGTCCGGACGGACGGACCGGGCTGGAATTTCCTCTTTGAGACATGTTCTCAATTGCCCAACGATGTGTCCATTTGGTTGCTCCAGTCTGCCCAAATAACGATATTCTCACACGAATGACCGATCTACAGTGCGGGGTTCCTTCAGCTGCAAGCATACGAATGGCGCGACTTATATAGAGATCTATAGACTATTACTTTGTTCACGTGGTGCGAATGCCGTAGAACAATCGCTAAGACTCCTTTCCCTAGGCATGTGTCTACCACTTTATGGCACATACCTCCTTAGACTCTTGAATGACTTGGATGAGTAGATACGTGTCGGAAGGTAAAATGGTGATGTGGTCGCGGTTGCTACAGCGGACATGGCGAGCGGCATTGGCTGTGATAGATGGTCCCGGGTGGCTTAGTGGGGGACGAGCCCTGGAGTGTAGTGGGGTAGGGGGAGTCGGGTGGTCCGAAGCGCTAATTTCTAGGGCACATTGGCGCCGCTGGGGCTGCTGCTCAGGGCTGAGCCACTGTAGCGCTGGCAACCTGCCACTAACGCAGGCCCGTCTTCCTTCCCGTCTGGACAACCATCTGGGCTTCTTGATGAGGAGGTAACTCCTTGAATGATCAGTCGATTGATGCCTCTAACTATTTTTATTTTCTCCGAAACCTCAACGCATTTCCCTCTCCGGCCATGGGTGTTTCATTAGACTTGTCTAGAAGACCCGACTGGGCAGTGTTCTCGGCCGGGTCGAGCTACGATTTGCGCATAATTAATTCAGGAGGATTGATGGATTCACGGGCAGTCAAAATAGCTGGGCTAGCATTTGTAGATTCCGAAGCCGCCCTTCTCTACAGTGTTCATCGCTATGGAATTGGAACTGAAGTGGATGAATGGACACCAAGTCCGTCATGCTTCATCAAGCCCAAATAACGCATACTATTTCCTGACTCCTAGCTGCAACTACTGCTAGTCTATCGATTCAGCATTTTGAAATCCTATGTTTGCGAGTTCAACCTTTCGGATCTGTTGGGAGTGCATTTTCTAAGACTCAATATTAGTAGAGTGTACTTATCTTACTCGGGCTAAACGTACAACCTCAACAGTTCCTCGCACAAGGTAGCGAGTCACCGTTACTGCCTTGGTTTGGCCAAGTCGAGAAACTCTTCCAATTGCCTGGGTTTCGACACTTGGGTTCCACTGCGGCTCGAGAATGTAGACATGATTTGCTGCTGTCAGATTGAGCCTTGTAAAGTCAGTTGAATCCGTGGACAAATGCCATAAACACTGACCCAAATGCGCCGACACCAGTGCTCATGAGCAGAATCGGATATCGGTTGTCCGTTATGAATCTGTCCATGTTATACTGGCGCTGTGAGAGGACTTGGTCACCGTCGATTCTCTGATGAAGAATTCCCTTTCGTCGGAGATGAACTGATACTAGATCGAGAGTTCTTGTCCAGCATGAGAATATAATGCTTGGCTGTGTCAGTGATACTCCCGACTTGATCCAGAGTGACGGTACCTCTTCGCATCGGTAGGATTTCCTTCCAGATCCTTCATCAGAGCATTTATCTTGGATGAAAATCCAGTCTGATTGAAATAGCCCTCAGTATTTCCCCAGGACTCTGTAGATGATCCTTGATCTGAAGGTCTTTGCTCCACCATAATCTTGCAAAGCGGACAGGGTGCGGTAAAGACACCACTTGATGCATCCAAGTCACCTTGGCTCTCTGAGATGCATTCTTGGCAAAGCTTATGTCCACATGGGTGGTTGAAACTGTTGGATCCCCCGAGGAGGTCAAAAACAGGAATTGGAATCCCGCATGAGGAGCAGGTAATCTCAGCGTTGCTTCCCAGTGAGTAGAGAAAGTCTTCTCGCTCAGCCTTTCTATCTCGATGGGCTTTGCGAGCTAAGCGCTTCTGAAAGGTTCCATGGTTGCAAAGAAGCCTAAGTTGGAGTTGTGCTTGAAAAATGCCAAAGGAGTCGCGTTTGTCTGGATTGAGACTCGCCTTCTCCTTGATGAAGCTGGCCATGGCCGTCAGAGTCTCGTCGTATTGTCGCCGCTCACTTTCAGTGAGTGTTATGTAATGATGATTCTGAGAGATGTTTGGCAAGTGCAACAAATCCTGGGTCCTTCTGAGACACACGGAATCAAGCAACGTGGCGAATTTCTTGGATGCTGCCATAATGTCATCAGCAAACGGAAGAATGATGTGTTTTCTAAAGACTGCCTTGTTCTCGAATTGGCTGAGTCTAAGAAATGCAAGGAGAGATCCCAAGTCTTCCAGGTGGTTTTGGATAGGGGTTCCAGTAAGACACCAACGGTAGTTGGCAGACAACTGACTCGCCGCTTGATGAAGAGTTGTCTCCTGACGGCGAATCATGTGTGCTAATCATCCGATTAATACGCAATAACTGACGGATCTAATGACTTACCCTCGTCGAGAACAATTCTAAACCATTTGATTCTAAAGATGGTGCTTTCGTTCTGGTTCATGCTATACGCGACTGTGTGATACGTGGTGAAGACAATATCGAGATCCAAGTACTCTTTGCTTTCCACATTCCGACCTTTTCCGTAATACCTTCCAACTTTGATCGACTTGCTAAGTCGACTAGTATGGTTAGCAGTATATCGTTTGTTCTTGATAGGTGTACTCACGTCTCGATTTCTTTTAGCCATGAGTTCATAATCACTACGTCATTAGTCTCGTGAACATGGCGTTGCTAGAATTAACTCAATCAAATATCCTTACAGGTGGATGGCACGATGACGAGCGTTCCTCTGGAGCGACACTTTTCGAAATTAGCAGCGTCATCTTGAGACCACGAGTGAGCATCCTTGAGAGTCGCCGTGATCAATGCCAACGTGCTCAACGACTTCCCCATTCCCATATCGTCAGCAAGAATACCACCACCCAATTCGTTTGGCTGGTCGGCAGACTCCGCGTCCGTCAATTGGTGTCGATAACTTGTCACTGTTAACAGTGACCAGTCTTCGGTGAACACACAACCTACAGAGTCGTCATCAGATTTCGCTCAGGTACCCAGAGCCTAAACTCAAGAGGTATTGGCCCGAGTTCTCTCTGCATCATGAAGCCGAGTGCTGTTTCCTGATGGCTGTCGAGGAATTAGCCAGATTGTTCTAAAGTGGTTTCCTGCTGGGCTTCGATGCGGTAAACATACGGTAAGAGGGGTGTTTGGATCATGGTTCCAGCTTGCATCCTTTCCAAATTCCGGGACCGCGATAGTGAGTGATAGATGGCTGAAACAGTTTGATCAAAGTTCTCTCGCTCTTCTCTCACAGCCTTGGCAGATTTCTGGATACCTGTAGAGAAGCCATTATCCATTGTCGTCAAACTGGCTCCTCGATGCCAGGAAATTGTGCAATATGTGGGTTGCAATACTCCACGTTTTCTGTCCCATGCTCTGGGTCCTGGAGGAACATCTTTGCGGCACACAACTTGTCCCCAATGACCTTTGCGTCATCTATAGACCCATACAAGTTGACCTCAGTTTTGAGAGTGGCTTCGCTTGGTCTTTTTGCCCTTGCAAATACACGCTCGAGGCGCGTTGTTTCCACAAATGCCACAATCTCTACTGAGGGATAATCCTGCAACTCAGCAAGACCTCGGGAAGCAAGCTCACTCACTTGAGCAAAAATGTCACCATTCGGAAATTTGAGCATAAAGTATTCGAAATGCTTTAAAATCCCGAAGCGTTGGTGTGAGGATGATGGATCGATCTTGACATGCAAATCTCGCATGTCGCCTACAAGTTTGATCGAAACATCTGAAAGCTGGCGTTGATCCATTAACCAAGTTTATAATGACATGCGACTTAGACTCACCATCCCGTAGCAACAGAAGCGAATACCACCGGCTGCCTTGGTCTCGTTCTCAATGTCTTCGGGGTCGATTTTGTCATATTGGTCCAAGCAGAATGATGTATCGGCCCACTCTTGCATATTGCCCCATGATTTCCCCGCGCCGTTAGGATCAATGATAGGGTGCATACCATCAAAGAAAGAATCCGAGGTGGTAAGGTCTGGCAAGATCATGGTTTCCCATAGGTCTTCCCAGATCGAGGCCGACACATCGTCAATCAAGGCCCTGTACAGCCACAATCAGTCTCGGGACAGTGGGCGAGCATAGAAGTGGCAGCCCACGGAGTTCTTGTCCATTTTTCTGGACTTTCATTTGGGCCCTCACCAAAAATGTCCAATGGGTCCATCGACGTATGTGACAAGCTTGTCTAAGTAATTTCGGCTAATAGTCAACGATAGAGTGTCGTGGCTCGATGTCAAGATAAGAGTACCGGATAATTATTGCGAAGAGGATGAGGGAAAGAGGATGTTCACGAGTTTGAGGCTGTGTTGCGCAGCCTCGTCACTCTTTGCAGTCACATGATCATTAAGGCGCCCAACGAGGCAAACTCTGGCTGCCTAATTATCGCAGCCGAACTTTTCAACACCAGGCTGAAATCTTGACAACTGGCGTTTCAACTTGGCCCTACCACCGCAATACCTTCTCTGCGAGAGTGTTGTGATATTCATTTCCGCGATTGAACGATCTTTGAAACTTTTATGTCCGTGCTCTATTTTCGAGGCCTTCTCGTTCAATCGAACCCGCAGTCTCAGCCTCTGGGCATAAGCTGCCAACATGACGCCAAGTCCGCCAGTTCCTCCACCGAACGGATTCGAAAGAGCTCTGAAAGACTTTAAGAGTCGATTGAAGGATTCAGAAAAGGCCAAGTTCAAGGCTACAACTCTAGACGATCTGAAAGTAACTATCCTGGCTATCCAATCAGAGCAAAGATCTCGAAAGAAGATGATGCACATGGGGAGAATCATATCTTTCCTTGAAGCTATGGAACAGTTTGGGAAAGTGATCGAAATCTTTCTAAACGTTGCTGACATGCTCGCGTTTGTCTGGGGGCCAGTGAAGCTACTCCTACTGGTATGTCTCTAGCTGCAACAGGCAACAAGTCTGACCTTCTTCATAGACTGCAGCTTGCTGGTCCGAGTCTTTTGACGCTCTCTTGGATGCCTATCAGCTCATAGCCGAGAATTTTCCCATCCTAGAAGGCTATCAGTCGACTTTTGCAGAGAGCGATAGAATGCAAACTGTTCTTGAATGCGCTTGGTCTGACATTCTTGATTTCCACATCCAGGCACTTCGCATATTCGAGCAATCAAGTATTTTCAACACACCCTAGAATATCTCGCAAATATTAACAAGGATTTAGTGCTGCGGCAGTTTTTTCGATCGTTGTGGAAAGACTTCAAAAGTAGATTCCAAGGGATCCTCGACGACTTGAAGCGACAGAAGGACATCGTACAGAGTCATGCACAGCAATTACATATCCACAACTATGAGGTGGATCGACGAAAGATTTTTGCAGAGTTTGAGCAGGCAAGATTGAAAATATCTGCGGAGAAGCAAGCATTCGTGGTACAATGGATTGCGGCACCTCGAACAATCTTGCATCACGAGTCTCTGTGCCAAATTCGACAAGAGCATTACGAAGCTACGCAGAGGAGGACTGGGCAATGGATTCTCAACCACGAAGAAATCAAGGCTTGGCTGGCACCACAGGTCCCTAAATCCTCATTCTTTTGGATCTCAGCAATGGCTGGAGCTGGTTAGTTTCTAAACTTCGGTCAAAGTGCTATCGTGCTAAACTTGCTCTTCCAGGCAAAAGCGTTCTCGCTTCAGTCGTGATAGAAGAAATCGCGGACAAAAAAACTGTGCCAATTGCGTTCTTCTATTGCAAGAACGGAGATCAAGAAAAAAAGACGCTCATTTCACTCATGAAAGCTGTTTTGAGTCAGTTGGTCACGCAACAGGATCACCTCATTCCATACTACCATGATGAGGGAGTTCGCAGCGGAGAGGTCTCGTTGCAATCTACTAAACTGTGCAAAAGCCTTCTCCGGCATATGCTGCTAAACATTCCCAAGGCATTCCTTGTCATTGACGGCCTAGACGAATGTGATGATACCGAAAGAAGATTGATTCTGGATTTTCTAAGCGAAGTGATCAATCTTTGCGACAGCAAAACCCCAGGGAAGGTTCGAGTCCTAATCCTAAGCCGGGATGAGCCGGATATCAGAAGGGCACTCGCAATCGCAACAGTGATCAGAATCGGCCGCCAAGACACGCTACAAGATATCGAATCTTACATTCAGTATCATGCTAGTCAGGTACAGCAAAAATTCAAGCTGCCTGATGTCGACCGGGAATACATTGAACAAAATGTGCTCGACAAATCAGACGGTAATTCTCCCTTTATCAGCTCTTATATGACAGCATCTAATGTCCCAGGAATGTTTCTTTATGCAAAACTAGTTATGGCGAATCTTGAGGGCCAGCCAAGTCTGCACTTGCTCCGTGAGGAGTTCCACACCCTCCCCAAAGGTCTTGGCGAAGCGTAAGTACCCAAGAAGGTGAAGTAGCTCACCGATAGGTGTCTAAGCCAGCTGACAACTGGTAGATACGGCCGGAACCTGTATCGTATTCAGAATAACCCTCGCGAAAATGAGAGAGAGATAGCTCGAAGGATTCTTTCTTTGATGATCTGCTGCAAGCGGCCTCTGAGATGGCGAGAACTTCAGTCAGCAATTTCCATCGACCCTATAAATCAGGTCGTCGACGCTGCTCAAAGACTATCCATACATGTTAGGGATATTTGTGGTTCTCTCATTGAAGTCCTTCCGGGGGACCAAGTCGAATTTGTTCACATCACTGCATGCATGTAAGTTCTCCAACCTATTACTAGGTTTAATACTGACATCTAGGGAGGTACATTGAAGAATTGGGCTACATATCGCGGTTCATGGCAGAGCAGTCGATGTCTGTCCTCTGCCTGCACTACCTGAGCTTTGAGTGTTTCGAAGAAAAGAATGAGGATGTGCTCCTGGGCTTTGTCAACGAAGGCTACTTCGCATTCCAGGACTACGCAATCGCTCACTGGCCGGATCACCTCCTCGCCCTCTTCCAAGTCTCGGTAGGTGCCGTTCATGAAGGGCCCCTTGTGGAAAACGAGACTTCTAGCGCATTCCTCCTTTTCGCCGATCGTTACGATGCGGACCTGTCCACCGTGCCTTTTGACAAAAGCTTGCTCCCGGATTACAATTCTTTTCAATTGTTCGACTGCTACCAAACCATGATATCCGTGTGGCGACACGCCAGGCATGTAAAGGGGCTATTCGATGATCGGCGGGATGTCGTGAGTCTAGCTTCGCTGGGAATAAATCTCAAAAAGAATCGCGCTCTCCTGGAAGGCTTCTCGAAGTCTACTACAAAGATTAGTTTCACTCAGGGTTCTTTGCAGATGTTCTATGGGGAAAATTGGTTCAAATGCTCGAAGCTGTCATGCTACTACTTCCATGAAGGGTTCGCATCTCAATCCGCACGGCAAGCTCATTACGGTCGTCACGACCGACCATTCAGGTGCGAAGAGGAGGACTGTCCATCAACAACAATCGGTTTCGGTTCGCTAAAGGAGCTGGACAAACACAGAAGGAATATGCATCCGGGCATCGATAAACTGTCGTTGACGTTTGCCAGACTCAAGAATGGCAAGAATGGACTTGCAGCGGAACACAAATATCCATGCCCTCAGTGTAGTTCTAGGTTCGCCACCAGACTTGAGTGCAGGATTCATATGAAATGCCACTGCATTGCTATCAAGCCGAAACGCATTATATGAAGTTGTACGGGCACGAAGCTATAGAGCACTGTACGAGGGATTGATGTCTCAAGGTTGTTATCTACAAACAGCGAGGCTATTCAAGAAAGATAAAAAGGTCTTTACTGCAGACAACAACTGTGAGATGGAATAGTTGAACTAAAGAAAAGAAAATATCAGGATGTAAGAACTTTATCGTGAAGCTACTGTATCTTGTAGTACTAACAGGGATATCAGCAAATAGTAGTCGTATTAATACTGGATTAATTTCGCCTTTTAGCCTTCTAGAAAAGTAAATTGGTAATCTGTTCTGTATCAAGAGGTTAGGGTGCCCTAGTACACACATACCCAGAGGGGGAACTAGAAGCTCAACAGTAAAAAAAACCAAAAAAAAACACCAACAATTGTATCAACAATACAGACCATATACCCAGTCCAAATCTGTTCTGTATATAAGAAGTTAAGTAAGATCCCTCCGATATATAAAGTTTCTTACGTCTTTAGTAACAGTGGATACAGTATAAGAAGCCCGCCTCTGTAAGTATTGTCAAAGGGATATGTATTCCTTGCGACAGTTTGTAGTAACTGGGGGCTATATATACACAGCCTCCCTCCACTCTTTAATTAGCTCGCACTCTCCTTTATTAACACTAAAATTTTCAAGAGCTAGTGAAAGCTCTGTATCTTCTGGTCCATACTGGGACCAATCGGATTCAAGCCGGTACACTGTTCTGTTAGCAGATACTTTATCTACCGCCGAACTGGCCAGTCTATTGGCTCGCGATCTGCCTTTATAACGCTAAAACTTTGGAGAGCTAACCGCCGTGCGGCATCTAAGCCCACCTAAGGCGCAGCTGGAGCGCAGCTGCAGATGCTGCGCCTCCATCGATTCTGTCTGGGTCTACCGCAAGAAAAAACAGAGCGCCGTATACATCACAGCCGCAGGCATCCGTCACGCCACCTCAAACAAGGTAGTACTAAGAAAGTGTAGGCTAAGCTGTCTCCGGACCAGCGGATAGTTGAGTCTGAACAGCAACACGCCCAGCTAAAGCAGGCTAAGTATCAAATTAAAGGATATAAAGATGAGTAAAGATCAGGAAGCTAACTAATAAAATCAGCATAAATCTTCTGTAAATACTAGCGCGGCTGAGTTGGATGAAGGCGGGTATAAATGCTGGTCTCCGTTTTTTTCTTATCTGCTTTATTGACGCTAAAATTTTAGACAGCCAGTATAAGTCCAAGCCGCCCAAAAAGCCCCTCCCGGGTGATGAGTTGGGTTGCAGCATCTCTCTGTTCTGTTGATTGGCTAGCGATCTGCTTCATTAACGCTAAAATTTAAAGCAGCCAGTAAACGTCAGTAGCAGGTGATATGTGGGGTTGCAGCATCTCTCTATTCTGTTGATTGGCTAGCGATCTGCTTTATTGACGCTAAAATTTGAAGCAGCGACTCACAATGCTGACGCTGCGCCCCGCCTGAATTGACTCTGCCTTCTTGGTCTACCGCAACGAAGGACAGAGTGCCCCAGGCATCCCTCAAACCGCCTGGTAAAGTGTGGACCAACCTGTTTCTGGGCCCAGAGATAGTCGGGCCTAAGCAGCAGGCCAAATATTGCATTGGGACAAAAAGACGAGCAAACATTAGAAACCTCCCCAATGGAGTCAACACGAAGTATCTGTAGAAACCAACATGGTTGAATTAGATAAAGGTGGGTAAAAGGGTCGATTTCCGTTCTTCTCTTACGTTTCACTACCAGACTTGAAGGTTACGATTTGTCGGACCTATAGTGCAAAGCCTTGCCAGAAATACTAATGTTACTATTATTCATGCTCCATCCGAACCTATTTATAGCTACATTGTTACTCAGCATTCTGGTAGAGGCGCCCTATAGCCCCGACCTAAGCTCGAGCCAGCCGGATAAAAGTTGCCCTCTTGTTATCAAGCACGTACTAGTATGGCTCTTGCTACCTTATCTGATTCTGTTGAAAGGACGTAGACTTGAGTTCAATCAAGAACTAAATGAATGGCGTTTAAACCGGCTGATCAATCCTATAAAGAACATCGGCAACGCTAAACCACCCTTCGTATTCAACTTCTTCCATCGTTTCATCAAGATCATGATGGTAATGTCCACCACGTTTGTCTGCGTCCTGTCCGTCAACAGCAAAGCAGTGTGTATGCTCAGTCCTCAGACCCCAGTCTTGCTGATTACCGGAATGGAAAACGCTCAGACAAACGAGAGGCGCATCCGTGTCAAAGAACTTGAGCCAGCTTCCAACGTCTTTCTCGTCGTCAAAAGGTTTGCCTGGGAAATCCGGCATAACGTGTAGTTTTGTCTTGCCGGTGTGGATTACAAAGACTCCACCTAGGCTAATAAGCTTCTCCCCGTAAGCTTCCCGAATAGCATTCTGAATCGATTCGGGAAAGTTGGCTTTCTGTAGTCGACCCTTGGCTTTGATGTGTAGCATGGGGCCCGACTCGCCGTTGCAACCGAGCAAGTTGCACATAAGCCCAAATCCTGTCGACTCAGTCGGTTCAATTCTTTCGCAGCATACGGTTCCATCGTCGGTAACTTTTGCGTAGCGCGTACAATTGTGTAGCTTGCCGTCGGCGGTAGCAGATCCATAAGCGATATTTGGCATCAATTCGGTGTTGCGGCCCAGGACGTGAAATGGGCCGGCACCCGCTCCGATAAGCACGCCGCCGTCCTGCGACATGTCCATGAGCTCAGAGATAGCGAGCAAGTCATACTTAGAATCGAAGTTTGGGGAAGGTCTGAGGTTGGCTTGGCCTCCAACGTCTGCAATGCGAACATCTCCGCTCAAGCCGGGACCTGCGAGATAAAACGGAGCTTCTCGAAGGTCGGGAGATGTTGAGATCTGGACGCTGTACTTGCTGAAATTTTGCTTTAGCCCATTGTGAATTGCAAGCTCGAGCTCCTTCAGCGGTGGCGGCAACAGATCCAGCTTGCGAACTGATAGTTTCCTATGTTGAGCCATGATGTTGATGTGAGAGCAGGAATTCACTCAAGCACCGCTGAATGTTCTATCCGCGGCTTATCCGAGTAGGAACAGGAGTTTTTCTACCCGGAAAGCGGGGTATCTCACCAACCAATTCAAGCCGTGAAGAGCATCAAGTCGATCCCAGTTCTTGTACGTTTATAAAGCAGGCTTCGCGATGTATAGGGTCTTCAACGTCAGATAAACGGTTAATTGAGCAGCCGACACAATCCAGTTAAAACGTGTTTCAATTCAAGAAGACACATCTCAAGACCGGCTAGAAGGTCAAACAGCCATTATTAACTCGTGTCTGCCAGGAGCCACCGTTCTCAAGGCAATCAAGGGCCTCAGTGCCTCCTCGCCGTCCTTCACGGTGACCCGCCATCCGCTCATGCTTAAAACTAGGCACTAAGCCGCGTAGTCACTTCAGGAGCTCGTCTCATGCTATCAGGCGATACTACTGTCCAAATATTGATACAAGCTAGCGAGGGCCAATAAAAGGTCTATCCGGGTGGCCCTGGATATTTGGGTATCAGACGTTGAAAATTACTAAATTTGGCTGTTGACAATGGTCAACCAAGGACCGTTTTGCCTCCCGGTTTTCGCCTAATAACAAGGCAACAAGCAACGTCAGCGATTTTCAGCAGTATTCATCACAATAAGCACAAGACGGCCTAGCCGGCCATGGAGGGCATGTCGAGGTAGTCTCTCATTGGTTTCAATACGGCCATGATGTATGTATGACCCTTGTCTTGAATGACGCTTAAAATTGGACGATGCCAAGACCAGATTGTATTCCATTTTAGGAAAAGATCGGCTGCCTCACATGCCCGGCTGTAGAAACCACGACAAACTCCGAGCGGACTTGGGATAAACTGACCAGCGGAGTTTAATCAATGCAGGATTTGTGTGGTTTGTGGCTGCGGAGATCTCAAGGTCATCCTCTCTAAAAAAAGTATTAAAGGCACCCATAAGTCTGCACATGCTGCCATTCTCCTAGATCAATCAGCTTATCCAATACCCTCTTTGAACAATCAACACACTCTGAGAACATGTCGACGTTCGATCCTCAGCGTGACATCCCGGACTTCAGTGGTAGAGTTTGCCTAGTCACAGGGGGCAACTCTGGTCTGGGTGAAGCAACCATTGCAGCGATCGCACAGCACAATCCGCAGATGATCTACCTGGCAGCTCGATCTCGCGCCAAGGCCGAGGCAGCACTTGACCGTATCAAGGCAACTTCAACAACTGCAAGATCCTGCAGGATTGAAATCCTCGACCTAGACCTGGCCTCTCTTGAGTCAGTCAAGGCTGCAGCAGCTCGCGTAAACAATGAGGCCGACCGACTTGACATCCTCCATCTCAATGGTGGCGTTGGCATGATACCTGCAGCCACCACCAATGACGGCTATGAGGTACACTTTGGTACCAATTATCTTGGCCATGTACTTCTTACCCAGCTACTTCTACCCAAGTTGCTTGCAACAACCAAGCTCCCGGGTGCGGATGTAAGGGTTGTTTGCATGTCTTCTGTTGCTCACAAGGCCTTTGCTCCCAAGCAAGGGATCCTTTTTGATGAGTTAAAGTCGGACATGAGTCGGCGGGGTGGACGCACACTCTATGGCCAGGCTATGCTTGCCAAGACTTTATTCGCTCATGAGCTCGCCAAGAGGTATCCTCAGATCACTGCAACATCCCTTCACCCTGGAACCGTCAAAAGCAACACATGGACTGGCGACAAAGACGTCAATTGGGCGCTTCGGACCCTCGTTATCAACCCGCTGGTTGCCTTGACGGGCGTTTCTAATGAGGAAGGTGCAAAGACACAATTGTGGTGCACCTTCAGCGGCAATGTGAAGAATGGAAGCTACTACGAGCCAGTGGGTAAAGACGGAAAGGAGGGGAAGCTGGCTGTGGATGATAAACTGTCGGCTATTCTATGGGAGTGGACAAACAAGGAGGTGCAATCCCACGGCGCCCCAGGATGGGTTTCGACTTAGTTATCACTCTCCCTTGATGCTTAGATAGCCAAGAATTATAATGCTGTTATAAATCTATATGAGATTGAGATGTGCAGTGTGCTACTGACTCTAGTGGAGGCATCTACTTTCATAGCCGCAATTATAGTGTCTAGACCTTACACGCCGCGAAAGAGAAACCGCCAGAGCAGGCCGAGAACCAAGTTCGAGATCCTCTAGCTTTTATCAATCCGCTCTGACCTTGAACACCACCTTAAGACCTGGGCTTGCCAAAGTAAATCTGTCTTTAAGCCCCGCTAAGAATGCAGGTGCGGTGTCCTTGTGTTCAAGATCTATGTTGAAGCGATGCAGCACCTGGCTCGTCACATGCCGAACTTCCAACAACCCTAACTGCTTACCCACGCAAGAGTACCTCCCTGAGTCATTGGACTTAGCATCTTCACGAAACATTTCCTGAATAAATCACACTCACCGATAGAGAACGGTGCAAACACTGAGGCGTCTTTAACCAATTTCGGTTCTGATGTCCAGCGCTCCGGAATAAAGGCGTCGGGATCCGCGAAAAATCTCTAATCTAACACGGAAGTAAGAATCGTTATTGTGATATCAAAGAAATTTTCAGAGACTAGCCTGCTTTGGCTTACCTCTAAACAAGGTGTAGGCAGGAACTGTCACAATTGTGTTTCCGGGAATGAAGATGTCTGCAATTTGCAATCCGCTGGCCGGCGTCATGCGCTGCAACCCGGACGGTACCACTGGGAAGAGTCGCAGTGTCTCGTCGATACAAGCTTGGAGGTACTTGAGCCTGGGGAGGCTTGAGTGATTCGGCTCGTAAAATGTGGCAAAGAATTCATCAATCTCTTCCTGAAGTTTGTGGCACGCAGATTTGTTCGTCGCCAACAGGAAGAAAAGACATGTGAGTGTCGTGGCAGTAGTGTCACTGAGATTGAGTCAGAGCCGCGTTGATTGTGTGGATGCCTGTACTCACCTTCCAGCAACCGCAATTAGTTGCATATCTGCGTACAAATTGATCTCCCGATCTTGTTGACTTTTGTTTTCAAGTCCTTCGTAGTCCGACAAGAGCCAAGAAAAGACATCCGGTACATCTGGCCTATTCTGCAGATTCCAATTAGCTCTCATTATTAACACCAGGAACATTTTCTTAACCAACCTTTTCCCGATGTTGAACTTGCTGAATGAGCCAATCTTGGAAGTCAATATCCTCGCGGTTTGCAAGTGGCATTGCTCTAAATAGAGGAAACATCCAAATCAAATGACTGAACACACCAGCCAGAACCATGTGTTTGTGGACCAGTTTCATGAACCTATGCCCCACCCCGTCTCTAAGCATATTGAAGCTCTTGCCAAAAGCTAAATCGCTCATAAGGTCAAAACTGTAAAAGTTGAACCACTGCGAGGCGTCAAGTGGTATTCCTTGTGTTTCTTCGATTCGACCGAGTAATTGGCTGGTGTATTTGACGACCCGGGGTTCATAGTCTCGAAGAGCTGATTTCATGTTAACAAAGTAGCCGAAGGTGCTCGCAGTAAATTCTCACCTTTCACACTGAATGCTCTATCCCAAGTCTTCCGACGTCGAGTGTGATCATCTTGATCTCTCGTCATATGCAGAGAGATAGCGGGCTGTTCAATATTGTACCAAGGCCCCTTGACACAGGGGGAATTGTTTGAATATATTGCGTGAAAAGCTCGCGCATCTACTATAGATAGCTCCGAAGGCCCTTTAACGTTTAGCATTAGGATCGGCGAATATGAACGCAAGCGCCTCACTTACCTACTCGTACAATATCTCCATATATCCTATGTAATCCTTGGATCTCTTTGAAGAGCTGAGAATTCTTGGTAGAAAGCCGAGTGATATAGAAGTTGGAAAGTCTCGCGGCAAAGGGTCCCGGAAATCTGTTCAAGCGGTGAAAACCAACTCTATAGACAAAGATGCTCGAAAATGTCCCAGCAACCACGGAGGATGTTACATAAAGGGACGAAAGAATAGGATCCCACAATTGGTATGACTGCCCGACAACGACTTTTGAAGTCGTCAGCAAAAAGGCCAATCCACCAAACAGCAATCCAAAGAGACAGAGAATTCTGGTTGTGTAGAGATCCCACTCTCCCTTGCGGAACATGAAGACGTGAAGAGAAACGCCGATTACGAAGGCTTCCCTGATGCCTAATAAGGCAAATATTGCCGAAGCCGTGGCCATGTCAAAGATGATGAATGTAGCTTTGTAAACAGGCCGCAATGCTTCGATATAGCGGTAGTAGTAACGTCTCTAGCATGTAAAGTCTTTGGAAAGATGATTTCCACTCAGCCTGTAGGGGTTTATCTATGTGACTTTAATCATGAGGGGCTAACCAGACCCGACCATGTGTAGTATGTCGCTGACGCCCATTTTCACGCATGAAAGGCATGCTTTCCCCGCTATGATTGTACTGGTTTAGATGAGAGTGGAAACTCTACATGGCGTGTGCTTTTTTAAGAAACTACTAAGGTTTACCAGGGTCCGTATGAATCAGCGTATAATACCGTGGCTGGCTGAATCTGCAGAGCAGGCTAGGATCAGAGCCGAGAGTCCGATTAAGGGTGTGAAAATAGAGTTTACAGTTTAAAGCACCAATGTGATGAAGGCAATCGCAGCTAGAGGCGGGCCGATTACTGTGTTGGACAGGGGACGAAAGTTTCACATCCTGCAGGTGTGATCAAGTCATATCCAAGGACCAACTGCCGGGTTGTGGCAAAATGTCTAATGTGAACGGTAGGGCTGGTACTACGTAACTCTGTAGCGTGACAGGACTGTCAGATGCAGGGATAACCTTGAAAAGTACTTTAGCCGTCAATTCCGAAAGATAAAGTCGAGCGTAGATAACAGCTGCATGTAACGTGTAATCGGGCTGCAGGTTCAGGTTCAATTTAGGGATGGGTGGACGGCCCGCTCTCCATATCTCACCCATTGAACCGAAGACGCCGTCGGTTCCGGTGTAGTTGAGCCCAGGATAATCATCGCGAACCTGAGGAGACGGCAGAATTCAGCGCCAGCTTTTTTACAAATAAGTTATAGCTAGGATCTAACAATCAAAATAGTGAGCTGCGACTAATCAGCCAGCCATAGCTGCCTTCAGCATCTCTTGTTCTATTTGGAGAAAGCTGGGCCATTCCCTACATAAAAGCAGCCGGTGACGCGGTAGATGCCGTGTTAGTTTTGAAGTGTCAGGTATAGAGAAAAGTCGAGGGCTAACACAGAGCTGAATCGACCGCCCAACTACCGCAATCTCTTCCCGTTCTTTGCGAAGCCGGTACCTTGCTTATCTTGCCGAGGCATATTTATAGGCTGACAAGCTTCTAATCTTGCACCCTGCCGGCTAATATATGTCGATCAACCCCGGCTAACTAGCCCTTTTACGGCTCTGGTCGACTCCAGCCTCAACTTTGAGTTGTGATTCTCTCCGTCATTCTTGCCGCGCCATCCGAGTCAGCGAGTGAGAACCGGTGGATTCAATGAGGGTAGCAAGGGAGGAATGGCGTCATACTTAAATATGGATGTAGCATATGTTTCTGGTATTAGATAACCGGGCGAAATAGTAAAGTGATAGTATAGACTGAATATCAGGAGCTAGAACTCAGTTATTCTAAATTCAATTACACACCAAAATGGACATATGGAATCCAATGTAACAAGTACATCTCCTCCTCTTCTATCAGGATTACATTTCTCCCACTGTGTGTCCTGTTCATCGTGTCCAATGAGATCATACTTTCTTGGACCGAATCGCTGTCGACTGCAAGCCCATTTCCATCTTCCATAGCGCGCTGTCTGCCTTCCCTCCCCTCCATCTCATTATAGCTTAATTCCATCTCAATATTTTTTAGTGCTCTAATAGCAAGATGCAAACCTAAGCATACCGACTTATCAGTAATGCCCTCATCTCGCAGCGTCTCATAGAACACTTTTGCTATGTCGAGACAGTGCTTGTCGGATGCCGCCCACAACGTCCCTACAACATGACGAAAGCCAGCAACCTGGCAAGCGCTGACTAGATGTATGCCCTCGTCGACAAGCTTGCTCGCGTCGTTGGCACCCGTCTCGCAAGCAGAGAGGTAGCTGAGGAATGGAGCCTCCGCTTGCAGTCTGGAATCTCGGAGACAGGCAACTGTCAGTGGATCTTGACTCCAATCGTCGAGAAGCAAATAACTTTGGAGTGGCTTCGTGGGGTTGGATAGTCCGTGTCCAGCAAAGTGAAAGATGTCACTGGTGCGCAGGTGCTCCAGTATGGCCTCTTTGTTCCGTGGCGGTTCCACTACTGACAGTTGAAGCGATGGACAGAGACCTTTCACTAGATTTGTCTCCTTCAGGGCAAAGGGGAGGGTTCGTTGGCTAGGTGTGTTTGGCATGGAGCAAAGGAGAATACGCCCTGCTCCTAGAGTTTCCGGAGCACTATGTCGACGTGCATAGATGAGAGTCTTGATGGATAAGCTGTACGATGATATGACTCTATCCAGAACCGTCTGTGTGGAGTCTTTAGTGTGAATTCCGGCTGCATGTATTGGGAGATTACTGATGACGCCTGTGGGAATCCACCAGATACGAGGCCACTCGGCTGGATGTTTCTCGAATCCCAGCCTCTTCAATATTGGCCTCGCAGCGACGTCCCAAAGCCACTCTAGCATAGCTCTCGCCTGGCGTGGTGCACCAGACTGGCGACCTAGTCGTATCTTTTTAGCATGTTCCTGCGCGGATTCGACATTCAGATTAGGCAATTCCAACACAGTGATCTGATGACTTTGGACGAGAAACGCATCAGAGCGATAGCTGCTGAGGTTGATAACAACAATAGGGCCTGATTTTGCAGCAGCCATCATTTCATCTGCAGTCGGGGGAAGGAGAAACCTCTCAAATCCCGGCTGGGTGCGTATCGTTGCAACCGTTTCGTCGAATCTCTGCGTCGTCTCGTGTCGCCAGTTGAGACGTGAAGCCGCCGAAACTCCAACATCGTCCAAACTGGAGATGGAATGCGCTGCCACATCAACAGGCGAATCCAGGGCATCCCGACGGAGCCGGAATTGCTCCGCCAAGTCTGGATACCTCGCCTCCAGGTCAGAAATATCGGTTCGCATCTCCAGTAGGAGACCATTCACCACGCCACGGCCAAGTTCCAGAATTTCCAATGCCTGTTCACCTCCACCGCCTGCATTCAGAGTCGCTGCGGCGGCCAAGGAAGCCAGCCCAGAGAAACTGCTTATCATAGTCTGTTTTTCTTCGTCTTTTAAATATCTCGGACTGACGGCTGGGAGGAGCTTGACCGCGTCCTTCAGAAGTGCGTCTGCATCGCTCCATTCCAATCTAGTGGCAAGGATGAGGGCTGCTCTCCATGCTAAAAGAATGCGGGCCGAAGGTCGAGACTTCTGACTGCTCCAGCCTTCCTTGCAAAGGACTAGGGACCGCTCAAGATCCTGATCAATATTGTTTTGCCGGAAACGCTGGATCAAGAATGTTGAAAGACCATATGCCTTGTCAGCAAAGCTAGGATGATCGAGTGATGTTCCCGAAACAGCCATGTCGGTATATTCGATGGCTTGGTCAAGGTCTCCTCGTAGGCCTGTTTTCTCGAATCTTGAACCCAGTGAAGCCCCTAGATTGTGCAACCAGTTGGCACGTTCGTAATTAGTTGCCGGTGTGGCTGCAACTGCTTCTTCAGTCACCTGGATCGCTTGATCGATGTCGTTTATTGCACCCGTGAGCTGAAATCGTCTGTTGAGGCATGCCCCCAGGTGAATCAAGCATGCAACTAAAGCATCTTGGCTACGAGCAGCTTTTAAAGCCAGCTCACAGGTTTCCACCGCTCGATTCAAGTCCTCTTCCGACTTTGTTTGGTCAAATCGTCGTGAGAGCTGGTGCGCAAGGTTGCCCAGAACTTTCCATCTAGATGTATGCTCCTCAGTGATTCCCACAAGAGCTTCTTCTGTAGCCTTTATTCCATTGTCAAGGTCCTCCAATGAACCAGAAAGCTCGAATCGTGCACCTAGCTGAGACCCAAGGTTCAATAGCGCGACTGGCCGAAGATGGAGAGGCATTGCTGCGACGGCCAGTTCCGCAACCTCTACAGCACGGTTCAGATCTTTCATCGAAGCAGTCAAGAGGAATCGCTTCAAAAGGCGGGTTCCGAGATTGTTCAAGAGGGGGTGAAGATGAGGGTGGTCAGAAGGCATAGCTTCGATTGCTGTGTTGATGACTTCGATGGTCTGATCCAGGGTCTGGTCGAGTTTGTCAACTTGAAGAGTGTCAAGGTCATCGATATGCCCTGTCTTCTCAAACCATTGCACAAGCCAATCTCGAAGGTTCTCCAGCAGACCCCCTCTATCCGGATACGAGCCCCATTCCGGTGTTGCTTTGATGGCCTTGCCGGTCAACTCGATTGCACGGACAAGGTCTGGAATAGAGCCGCTTTCTTCGTGTCGATCGTATAGTCTTGCTGCCAAGTCGCCTTGAAGGGCAGCTCGCTCAGAGACGTTTTCAAGTTCTGGCAACGTGGCAAGAGCTTGTTCGGTAATCTGAATAGATTGGTTGAGGCAATCCATGGACTTTGTATGCGTAAACATGGTGTAAAGCCAATGTCCGAGCTCAGCGAGCACATCAGCTTGGTCCTCAGCAGGATGATCTGGTGACAAGGCTGCTATAGCCATTTCGGTGACTTCAATAGCGTGATGGAGGTCCTCAATCGAACCCTCGTACTCAAACCGAGTCCCAAGATTATTTCCAATATTCTTCAAGATTTGGAATCGATTTGGATGATCGAGAGGTATTGCCGCTACGTCATCGTAGTCGCCGTACTCATCCATCTCAATGGCGGCAGTTATGTCCTCATCCCTCGAAGTTCCAAACATGGCTTCCAATTCCGAAAGGATCTCGGAGCGATCCATGTTGCTTTCCATGTTGGGGTTGAAGGTGATAGAGCTGTCTCAACTCTCTCGAGTGTGGTCAGGCAGAAATTCAAGGCTGCCGTGAGAACATGTGTTGTGTGGGGGACAGATGTGGTTAATTGCATAACAAGGTCATTCACAGCTGCACCGTGTTATAACCGTTACTAAGTCTGGGCTGACACACATGACTAGGTACTCAGGTGAGAGATTTATCTCTATCAGCTGTCACCTAGCAACACAACGCCAACTAAGTACTCATAAGCTGGTGGTCTATGTAAGCGTGCTTGCAAGTCCCAAGTCCATGACAACATTTAGCTTTCAACCCGGCTATCAGCGTCATACACTATGGACCTCTGTCTGATCTCAATGAATTTATTCCTAGAAGATAGTGGCCATACCGAACATTGGCCTTTGTGGAACTGATTGTATGCTGCGTCATTCGAGACAAATACTGATAGTATTGCAGCATATGCGGAGAAACGATCAGCATTGCCAAATTAGACGCCCTTAGCATCACTGCCACAAGTTAGTAGAGAAGGTGATCCATCTCAGCAATCTCGGCTTCGAGGTACCGCAGGTTGATTAAATAGGTTTTCTTGAAGCGACTGAAGCCGTGTAGAATAACGTCGCTGCCCAATTTACCAACTTCCTGCTGGCTGGGAAATTGTTCCCTCCAGCTTTACTTTGTTGAAGAGGCTCCATTTCTTGATTTCACTGCGTCAGCCAGTTGTACCAAATATTTTTGGGTATTTAATACCATGTTAGCTTACCTAAATATTCGCGCAAGAAAGCTCAATGATAAATAAAAAGAAGCTCCAACGAGCCTCGGGGTATCTTATGAATGCTACGGTGCCTTGCATTTGCGCACTGGTAGGGCAGAACAATACTACAGGGTTGCAAAAGATGCTGCCGCAGTAAGTCAGTTGGACGGCGAACGCTTCCATGCCATTCTATAGAGACGACTCGCTGCAGCCCATCAAGACGCGACCTTGATAGGTGGAGAATTAGATTGCGGCATATTCTTATGCAGACACAGTTGCATTAATGCAGATAAGCCACTTCTGCTCCTCTGCCATAATGTGGTCCAGTTGGGCAGCGGAATAAGTGCAAGACACCTAATCAATACTCTCCGCAGCGGTTTTAACCACTAAAAACTCGTCGACAGGGACAGGTAGTGGCTGTTTATTTGTCGCCTAGTTATCCAGAGGGAATTGGTGAGGGGTCGACATGGAAGAAGATATTAAGAGGGGTCAATTCCTAACAACTCGACGGGCTTAGTAGTTATTACAGCTTATTTAAAGTACTATATCCTGTCTTTAAAGAGACTTAAAGGCATCATTTGGTACGAGAAACGGGTCTGGACGCTATCAGATTTTGCAGACCAACGCATCTCGAGCTTGCCTCATTATTGCACGACTTAGCTGAGAAATGAGGCCCAATTGAGAGGGATGGTTACGAACGATGTGATGGTTGGCTATTGGCTCTGTTCTGTAGATGCATGCTAGCAGCATGTCCCAGAGTGGAGCGAGCTACATGAGGGAATAAAGAGCCAATGCAGCCAGAGAGCCGATCGAGACAGCGACACACTTGACTCACAGTCATAAGTTGGCATTAATTTGAACCTTTGGTGAGCGGCTAAGGGTCTTGAAGTCCCGCCAACGTTGTCGACAAAGGCTCTATTGGCTGCTGGGGCTGTTAGAAGGCATCTGCCGGCTTGGGTCTTAAGGGCGGCACGTAGATTGTTTCAGAACAAAGTGGTCGTGAGACATACTTCAAGGGCTAGCTACAAGTGTGGCCAAAGCACTTACGGTCCCAGAGGTGGACAAAGATCAGCTACTGCTACAGTTACTCTTCTTCTGACCGATAACAGATTTATTAAGCCCTCGAATATCCTATCCTACATAGGAGACTATAAATAATTGCCGAATCGCTTATAGGTCACGAGCTCATTAGTGGTTTTTGCTAAGCTTACGATCGATGCATGAAACCGAATTAAAGCGTATAGTCTCGGCTAAATCCACAATACCTGAGAGATGCGCTTCGTATTCGAAAGGGTAAAAATATCCCAACCAATAAAGTCACAAGGAATTGAGACTCCACTCGGCCTCCTGACAGAAAGAGGCAGTTCCTTAAAGCATTAAAGGCAATTGGACGTTGTAAAGTAGTATGCCGCTTATCTCACGTAATGGTTTCCCCAAAATCGACCAATAGGTTTCATGCGACGATGCGGCAACGAAGTTCGTATATGCTTAGCTGACGTGTTTCGTTAACCGTTGAATTAACCGTCAGCACAAGCTTAAATCCGGTCCGATACTGGGTGTCCATCTCGTTTAGTTTACCGAGTGACAATGGTTGCTTCCCATCGATCATCTGCTTAATATAAAGCGCATTACCTTCCGTTCAAGATTCAATTCAGCCATTAAACAAATCACAGAAACTCACCGACATTCACATTATCCTCTTTCCAGTCAACATCTGGCACCAAGATGCAGCTTCTTAAATTTTCAGCCGTTTTAGCCACCGTCGCACAGTTCACCGGCGTGCAGGCCAACTACGAAACCGGCAAAGCGGTTCAAATCAACTTCTACACGAACACGCAATGCTCGGCGTACGCTGGCGAGATGGCCTTTTGGCAATTTCGCGGCGGAAAACACCCTTATGCCGGACTCACCTTCTCCATCAGCGACCCTGACGATGGAGAATGCTGGGATTTCCGACAAGCTGGTGGAACACAAAGCCTGAATCTTGCCGGCTGCTGGGATGGAAGCAGCACGCCGCATCCCTGGTGCTCTTGCTCATTCTGGGATGACTGGGGATGCAAAGGCAATCAGAAGGGAATTCATACGGGTAGTGGTAACTGTCTGCCAGGCAGAAGCTCTGATGGCTGGCAGTGGAAGAGCGCAAAGTGCTGGGTGGACAGGTAGAGGGCTACGGAAGCGACTTGGAGGCTATCAGGTGGACGGGTGTTAGGAAGCAAGCCAATTACTGTCCCTTGGGCCTTGGTGGCATCATGATCTCGAACCGGGTCTCAAGTCATCCAGACCTGTCGGACCCAACTCCGAGTCAGAGTCATCGTTCCCAAGGCACCATGCTCAACCCGATCCCCAGAAACGGCTAGCCTCCTACCTGTTACATAGAAAATACAAGATTTCCATCGTCATCAAGCTGTCTCAATTAATTTACCCCGTTGGTGGTGGCTAAAATAAAAACGGAAACAGAAAAAGAAAAAGAAAAAAAGAAAAGATATCTTAATCAATTGCTTCCAGGCAGAATCGAACGGCCGTTTCCAGTGTTTTGAATGCGGTTAACCACAAACTGGTGTCCTAACCACTAGACGATGAAAGCTTATCTCTTGATTGGATGTTGAAGGTGGTCGAGTTAATTCAGTTGTTAAAGTCATGCAAGCGAAGACCCATATATGCGGGTTAGCCCTCCCCACCGCAAGTTACGTAAATTAATTGCGTATTGAAAGAGGCATTCGAAATATATTTGCATGCTCTCATTACATGCTCTAATTACACGCTGACTCTTGGAGCGATTCTCAGCATTGTATCAACACGCTTGGTGGGCGACATTGATGGTGCAAGTAATGTGCCAGTCAGGTCAATCGCAGAATACAGACATGCATCAAGTCATCCACCGAGTCATGCATCAAAAGCTCTGAACCCAAGCAAAGCCATTCAATTAATGAGACATCAGTTCGCGGATTGTAATACATTCAGCATCCATCCAGCTCAAGAACATGCCACGGCCAAATGGTGTAGGGTAGTTGATCCCTTCGCTTCGCCATGTTACTGCATCAAGCCAAAAACCACGCGTTGTGTGGACGAGGCAAACAGATACACTCTGGAAGTTTTAAGCCTCTTCGTTCGGTCTTAGCCTCCGCGGCAAATTTTTCTGCCGTCTCTCACCTGGCACACGACGCGACAGATCAATTCGCTTGTACCCTTGTGGTGCACCAACACCGGCCTCAACCCCAACGATTCCCAATCTGTCCCCGGGCACTCCAAGTAGCTTCGATGTCATGGCTGAAGCGCTTGATCTGGGAAAAATTGGTCAGGGCCCATCTCCGTTGAAACTCGGATCGAATGAGTTCAATGTCCTCGGGAGAGCTCATAAAAAAGCCCAGCGTGTATACGGGCCAGCTTCCGATGTAGCACTTTGTCCATCCGTCGTCGTATCTATGACTTTGAAGAATCTGAACCGCTTTCCTTATCTGCCAACTGTCGCCTGACGCCATCGGGGAAGGTCCAGTGTTCTCATTCTGGTCCAGCTGCTCCAGTAGCATGGAGACAATGATGGCGTACAGGTATGCCGCGTCCCTGTAGTATCTTTCTTGGGTCTTTGGTCGTTCATTCAGGGATGAGAGTTTCAGCTCCTGGTCGCAAAGCAACGCTGCTTCCCACACCTCTACTTCGCTCCGTATTATTTCAAGGACGGCCTGGTCTTGCGATCGATTCCGGCACTGCTGGCGTAGCGAAATGGCAAGTCTATATAATGAGACTGGAATGCCAAGGACCGGGCTGTTGAAGCTCATGGAGCGCCCGGGAAAAAACGACGATCGGTCCAATAAATCCTCGGCTTGGGTCCAAAAGTCGGTGTCAAAGTCGTAGTCCAGCCCTTTGGAATCCGTCCACAAACCAGTGGTAACAAGAAATATCTGGTACAAAACACTTTCAACAGCAAGCCTGTCAAAAAGCCGGTCGATGCTCAAAGGGCGGCTAAAAAGTCGTAGCGTAAGGATTCTCGTTGCAGCAGTGACGTGCCGTGGGATATCGGCATCCGTACCATACCCCATGCACTGGAAGAGTTAGCACAAGGTTGTGCAATTGTCATGGAACTTACCCCGTGTAGGTACAATAGCATAACTGACATTAACAAGCCATTGTGGTTTTCGAGCTGGGAAGCCCTTGCGAGAAGTCTCGAGAGCTCTTTGAGCGCATTGGAGTAATAGCTGAGAGCGAGCTCCTGCATCTGCGACGACGCATCGGTGCAGTGTATATGAGATGCAGCACAGGCCAAGACAGAATAGTAGAGGCTTTTGTGCTGCACCATCAGGTGTTGTATCTCTGTCAGCCATCCTTCATAGAAACCGGGGTGGCATTTTGGCAACAGCAAAAGGCCATAGAATCTGTCGACAAAGTGGCGGGATATGACCATCTCCAAGTCACGAGACAGCACCCGGTGAGCCGCCGATTCCGAAAGGAGACAGAGTTCCGAGTCGAGGGGAATTGATTCGGAACGTGCTTTCCGAGATCGATCCTCGGCTGGCTCTGTTCGTTCAGTCTTGGCCGCTCTGTATCGTGAGCGGTTGTGGGAGGCGAAGCGACGATCAAGGAGGTCGTCCGACGTAGGCCATTCACAAGGCCGTCTCGAAAGATGGCATCCTGTGCAAACGGGGAGTTGTTCGTCGCATTTCTTCCGTCGTTTCCTACCTATTCACAGTTAGAAGGTCTAGAAGGTCTCGCGAAACAGGGCGTTGTGTACATGTGAGGCAGCCAGTCTTGGTACGTAATCGAGCTGTAGCACTACTCATAGTGCCCAGAGTGAATCAACATGATATTTGCAAGCCATAGATTAAGAGCTTGGGTCGGAGGAGTGGGCCAGGGGAATGTCCACGTTATGTACGATGGCACTGCTCTTAGCTTTGACCAGATGGGTTAGTGGATGATTAGTGGTGATAACGTGCGGGGGTCGAGATAAGGCGGGGCCGTTAAGTCGTCTTGATGGTGGCAATATGCAGACCTTGTTATTGGATGGGGTTTATGGATTGTTCTAGACTCTGCTACGTGATGAGTTGAGATTGAAGAATCAATATTGGATTACTATAATTCCATCGAGCAGTGGAACCACTGGTCGCTAGATTACGGCTCCAAGCTTATTCCAACATCGTCTACCCTACACCGGAACTATTTACCCTCCGCCTTGGCCTTGTCGCCGTTCACAAGTTCCCAGTATTTGCTAGCACTCTTGACTCGAAGTGGCTTTCCGTATTTAATCATGATGAAAAATGCAGAAGACGCGGCCATGCCGACAAAGGCGGCTGAGATGAAACAGTTCTGATATCCTAGGTTGGTAATCCACGGGGTAATTCTACACAAGTTAGATGGTTACTTCGTCCAGGGAAGTATCTGGGGATCATCTTACCCGTAGCTAATTGCAAAAGACATTGTGTTTCGAACGATGATGACCGTGACAATGGCATCGCCACTGATGTTGTGGTAGCTGTCAATCAGGTAGTTGACACTCAGAGTAATGCCGACGGTGGACGTAAAGGCGAGGCAACCCATGGCAAAAATGAGTCCAAACCAATGAACTCCATGCTGAGCACCGACACCCCAAAGGATCAAGGAAGCTGGAACCATGACGACGCAGAGGACAAATGGCCAGAGCCTATGTTCCGCCTCCATGATACCATTGTTCCGGCGGGCTAGTTTGATCGTCAACCAGTCGCTCAGCCTGCCGGAAATAAAAGATCCGACAATGACTCCAACGCAGCATGAGATGTAGCTAACTCCAACCATGGAGGAACCAAAGTTGTATGGAGCTCCGGAGAGAATAAGAGAAGCAGTTGCGTTGAGAACATTGAACCAAATCAGGTAGGACCCGTAGGAGAAGCCTGCATAGAAGATGACAGGCCAGGTGAGAAACGACAAACTCCGAAGCGCGCGATGAAGCATGTTTTGACCGGGAGATGGTTGCCAAATGGACATTTTCTGGACAAAGGTCTTTTCGGTCGCGTATACCTCGCCAATCTCTGTCAGGTGTGGGTTCTCGACAGGGGCTTTTTCGGTGGGTTTTACAGGCTCTGTGGGCGAATCTGGGGACAAAGCCGTCTCTTGGACTCCAGTGACGCGGTTGTAGTTTGTCTCTTCCATAAAAAGAAAGAGGAAAACAAAGACAACAGCCAGGAAAATGGCGGGCCAGTAAAACACCCATCTCCACCCCTGATACTCAGCGATAAAGCCACAGATGACAGGGGCGAAATAGTTGCTTCCTGCTAGAGTAAAGGCATAGATGCCCATGTAGGTGCCGCGCTCGTGGGTAAAGTACTGCCTTTGTTAGCTTTGGACACTATCAAGACAAGGTACTTACAATGTCAGTGACAGAAATCTCTGGGAGTGCCTCGATGGGTGAGATAAAGAATCCCTGCAAAATGCACTTGGCAATCCACTCTCCGTTGCTAGTGACATATGCACTACATGGGTTAGCTTCTGCGATGCTTGATATCGGCATGCTTACCTCCAAATACTTGTGCCCTAATTATGGTTAGCTGGGTCAGTGGAGGCCATGGATATGTGGCACTTACGATGGCTCCTAGGATTGAAATGAGATATGCCAGGCGCTTTCCATATCTCAGAGAGAATGGCTGCCAGAATAGCAGACTCCAACCAAGGAACAGGAACATATAACCGGTGCCTTCGTTGAGGGTGGCGATGGAGACACCAGACGCGGCAGAAAGGGGGACGATGACCGAGTAGACCGTGGACACTGCGATTCCGGTGAACCAAGTGTACCTGCGTGCGTTAGTAGAGAACTTGGTCTGTTTGGGATACTCACAAGCTCTGGCAGATCATGGAGAGGAGTTTCCGACGAGGAGCCCAATTGAGCGGATCATTCGGGTCGCTGGAAGGCGACGGATCAAGCACAATGTCGCCCGTGGCACTGGAGTGACGAGCGTGCATCGTGTGGTCCAAGTCGACCAGATGGACGGTACCGGGAACGGCATCCCTGTTTGCCATATTTTCCGAATCAATAGACATGGTGTTGAAGAATTGATGAGGAGTTGGATCGGCAACTGAGGAGGGAATGCAGGGTCTTTAAAGTGTTTGTGCATTCCAAGGTTTCACTCGGATTGTCCCCGGCCAGCCGAATGATACTCGCCTAGAAAACGACGGCCGCATTTACACGCCGGCTGATAAGACGAACAGAGCAGACGAGACCCTTGCTCATGTTGCGAATGTTTATCTGCCCTTGACCGTGGTGACGCTCGTGACAACCAGGATCCGACGTTAGGAGTCCGGATCAGCGCTATGGGATCCGCCACTGCGCAAATCCACATGATTGGTTGGCGGTGACATCCTGGCATGCGTGATAAGCGATGTCGACGGCTTGCGCATTTAGTTTTGATTGGACGCTGCGCGAGATAGTGCCAGATAGTGCGTCGGTTATATCTACGGCTTGGAGAGTCGGAACAGTTACGCGGCCGATGTCCGACACCTGGTGATACCGATATGAATACTCGAGCGGGGAAGTTGATCAGACCAATAGAAGGTATTTGCGCAGGAAGTGAATAGATAGACAATTACTCGCATTCCACCGACAGGTTGGGTGCACAATGAGGGGGTGTGGCTTGCAATATTAAATGCCACCAGCTTGCAGCCTACAGCAAGATTATCATCTTCTCCCTCTTCTTTTCATCACCTTGCCCATAATCTTTTGGTCTGTGCTTCACCGTCATGGCCAAGTCTCTTTCCGTCGTCACGCCAAAGGCTGTCCCCCAGGGCACTCCTGAGTTTGAGACAAAGCGGGCTTCACTGCTTCAAGCCTTGGCTGAAAAGGTTCCATCTGAGTACCTTTTGCCTCAGGAACTCATCAACAGCCCGCCTCTTGATGTGTCTGGGATACCCGCTACCTGTGGGATCTTGACTGCCGAGGAGGTTGAGATTACAGAGACCTACGATGCAGTCGGTCTTGCGGAAGCAATTGCAACCAAGAAATACACTGCGGTTGCGGTGGCTACGGCTTTTTCGAAGCGCGCCATCATTTCTCACCAACTCACTTGCTGTTTGACCCAGTGGTTCATGGATGAGGCGCTTGAGCAAGCGACGAAGTTGGATCAGTACCTTGCCAAGAATGGAAAGACGATTGGCCCTCTACACGGAGTACCTATCAGCATCAAGGACCACATGCCCATAGGAGGAACCTATTCTTCGCTTGGATGCATGAGTACTATTGTCAAGGACGAAAAGGACAGCCACATGATTGCGATTCTGCGTGACATGGGCGCCGTGTTCTACTGCAAGACCAACCAACCCCAAACCCTGATGCACCTTGAAAGCGACTCTCTCTGGGGTCGAGTGCTGAATCCTTTCAACATCAACCTCACGGCTGGTGGTTCTACCGGCGGCGAGGCGGCCTTGGTAGCCATGAAAGGATCCGTCTTGGGCGTTGGCAGTGATATCGGTGGAAGCATTCGCGCACCGGCTGCGTTTTGCGGCATCTACGGGTTCAAGCCAACATCGCCTCTGCTACCGATGAACGGGTTCCTCGCGTCTCCGTCCGCAGCTGAGCTCAACATTCTATGCTCGACGGGACCCATGTGTCGCAGCTTGAGAGACATGGATTTTTTCATGAATGGCATCCTCGCGGCCAAGCCGTACCTTGTCGACCCCAAGGTTGTTCCACTCCCCTGGACAGGCCTGAAGACGCCTTTGAATAAGCGCCTGAAGATTGGCATTATCAACAACGACGGCTTCATCGAGCCTCAGCCGCCTGTCAAAAGGGCGATGGCGTGGGCAAAGGAACTTTTGGCGGACCCCAAGCATGCAGAGCTCATTGAAGTAAAGGAATTCAAGCCCTTTGGTGCGGCTGATGCATGGTCCAAGGCCCGGCGGATGTACTGGCCCGATGGAGGAGCGGGTAGTAAAGGCGCTATCCTCGCCACCGGAGAGCCACTCCATCCTCTGAGCGACTGGATCTGGAAGGACGAAGAGCCTAATGGGATGCAAACTGCCCAAGACGTGAATTTGGCGCGCAGAGAGAGAGATGACTTCCGCTGCGACTTTGCCGCGAGTTGGAATGAGCAAGATGTGGATGTGGTGATTGGACCAGCCTTTGTCGGACCGGCTTCTGCCCATGACACGGCCTTTTACTGGACTTATACATCGCTCTACAACCTTGTCGACTACCCTGGCGTGGTGGTTCCCACTCCGATCAAGGCCAAGAAGGAAGAGCAGTACGACTCCAGCTACGTCCCATTGAGCGACGCCTGCAAGCACGTCAAAGAGCTGTGGGAAGGATCAAACTTTGAGGGTGCTCCAATTGAGCTTCAGTTGGTGGCGCGCAAGTATCACGACAATGAGTTGTTTGGTGCCCTAGCGGTGTTGAAGGGCATTCTTGGTTTACCTTAATCTGGCCTTGATGGCGACGCACAGAATTGGAGGGTGTAAATTAAGTATCGCAAATTGACTATAAGTTCACTCTGTACTCGCTGAAGTCTAATAAGCAGGCTGGCCGTCTCACTCAGAAATGGCAACGTGTTGGATAATGGGAGTTCACGAAGCTATGATGGAAGTGACGTTGAAGATTAGGAAAATGTTGCAAGTACTCTACATATAATTAGGTGGCCTCCTCCTCCGTCTCCACAACACCCTCCTTGCCTCTAACAACAAGCTTGACCTCCTCATTAACACCCAGCCACAGCAAATCTGGTCGGCTGTAGTGCCCAGTGCAATCCACAAACATCTTAACCTTGATCAGTTGATCCATGTCGAGGTCAGCGTAGATGATTGTCTCGGTAGTCTCATCAACCGGATCACTCAATCGTCGCCCATCTGGACCAAAGACAGCAGAGCTGCCGCCTCCTGGAGTTGACATGAGCGCCCCACCAGCGGTTCCTAGAGCCTTGATTCCCTTTTCCGTGATGAGAGCGGTGCTGTGCAGCACAAATGCACCCGACTCAATGGCATAAGTCTGAGAAAGATTTTGGCAGCCTGTACAGTTAGCATGGTTCAGCAATACCAAGAAGCACGTACCTTCAGCGCTCATGGACCACAGGTCAGGGCCACCGGTGTGAGGAGTAACACTAGGCCAAGCCGAAATGTGAATCTCCTCCTTTTGCGCAATCGTGTTGTACTTTAACAGCGGTTGGATGTGCTCCCAGCAAGCCAAAGATCCCACTCGCGCAAACGGGAGCTGAGCCACGCTCTTCAAGCAGTGACCCGATGCATCGCCAAAGATGGTTCGCTCCATGTGCGTGGGCTTCATTTTGCGGCGGTGCACCTTGATCTCACCGTCGGGTCCGATGAGAGCCTGCGAGATGAATATCGAGTTGTTTTCATTCTCCGAGAAGCCTAGAGACACGGCGATGTTGTTTTCGCGGGCACAAGCCTGGATCTTCTTCATCTCAAGCGAGTCAACGGCCATTGAGTTCTTGATGTATTGCACATTGAGATCGAAGTCAATTAGTCGGGACCTTGTAGTGTTAGTGATGGTGATTACATGGCACGAAAACCTTCACCTGACGTACCATATCCAAGCAGGATAGCCTGGAATCCAGACCTCGGGGAAAGCAACAATCTGAGCCCCGTTGGACGCTGCCTCCTCGATGAGCTTGCATGTCTTTTCGACAGCGCCCTGGAGATTGGCCCAGACTGGCTCGGCTTGAGTTACTGCGGCTCGGACGGTGGTACCCATTGTTTGTTAGAAAGATGAAGATGTATATCGCATTCAACTGAGGTTGTCGCTGTCTTTAATACTTGCTCGTCGTACTTCTGATGAATGCGGGGGCGGGGATTACACCTCCGCACTGATACTTGGTCAGACGCTAATGTGATTACCGTGTTATCGTGTGATTCTGTACCTACATTTCCGATTGGGCGCCTCTCGGAATCGAGCGGAATCAATATTGGAACTTGGTGAGACGGCTTTTTATCTTAAAGCACAGATAGTTGCTTGGACTGGTGTGTCAATCTGCAGTCGCATATTAGACAAGGCGCGACGACGTCCAAGAACAAAATCCCAAATTTTTGTCAACCTTGGATGCAGGGCTGCACCATCTGTAATCCGCTATAAATACAGCGCCATGGCCACTATAACCCACTATAGCTATAGTGGCCACGGCTTCAAGATTCCAGTAAGCTATATTCTCAACAAGCAGCCTCCTACTGGATACAAGGCTGCAGCTCCTGTGTCTGTTGCACAGTCTGTTAGGCTGTGGCTCCTATAGCTCAGTGTCAAATTGAGGGCTGCAGCTCTTGATGAAGGGAAAGTTACAGCTGCAAGAGCCGCTGTTAAGGATACAATAGTGGGTTATAGTGAGCTATAGTGAGCAAAGTGTCGCTTTGGCCCTATAAAATAAAAGGCTGTAACCACTATAGCCCGCCGAAAAAAATCCAGGTTATAGTGGGCTATAGAAGCTGCACCTTGTCTAATAATATGCGACCGTAAATACTGATCGAATAATTGAGTTGAAACGACCAGCGTGCTCGAATTGAACGATATACCTGATTCAGTTACAAATACTATTGAAAATGACTCCATAGCCTATGATAGCCAAGAAAAATCGTCGCAGTTGGACAATGCCCCGAAAGCTGTGAGAGTGTCCATATTTGCTTGCTGAGGATCCGTCAATTCTGGGATAGGCAACGTCCCAAAATCTGCAAACGCCGACCAGTCGAGAGAATCAACATCTGAAGACCCAACTGAATCCATTTCTATCGGTTGGAAATCTGCTTCACCATCTGTCCGTGAGTTTGGTTCCACGCGGTAGCTGAAATCAAGTGGTAGAGATGCCGTCACGCCCCAACGCTGGGCCAAAACGCGGATGACTTTGATGCTGCGTTCGGCGCGGTTTGGCCATGGAACTCCTAAACCCCGAAGAAGTTCGAGACATTGTCGGACCCAGTAAGTGCTCTGATTGCGCAGCGATTTGGTATTGCTTGTTGCATTCATGAGGTGCACAATAGCTGCACTGAGTAAATGATGGATAATGACTGGGTTGGGTGGTATGTCGAATCCGAGAGACTTCTTATATGTCCGAACTAAGCGAACGGTGGCCGTCGCCGCGGCTGTAAGTGATCGGAGAACGAGAAGAATGTATTTAGAATTTGACCCATGCGACAGCAATTCGGAATCGGCAGAGAAGGAAGCAAAGATTCGAAGAAACGGGGGCATTGTGATGAGAATTGTCATCTGATACGCCAGATGGAAAAGCAGTACTGGCTTTGGAGTGGTATCCCCGGAGAGTTGTAATCGATCGCGAGAGTGAAAGAAGGCACTTAGAGCTTCTTGGCTCGAGACCAGTAACCGGACTTGCTGGGTTATTGGTAGCGCATCAAAACTGCTAGAGAACCTGCAATGGTCAGCTTTGTTATATATGTTGTGAATAACTTACACTTGGTCCATGTGTTGATCGTGGAGATACCACAGCTGGCACTGAGCGGCAAAAGATATCTGCGCAAGGTCGGCCGTGGTAGAAGTAAAGGTTGAGTCAAAGCTAGGAACATTGACCCTACGCCAAGGCAGAGCACAATTCCGGCCCAGGATAGATATTGCCGTGCGGTCAATGATGTAGAACATCCAAAACGTCCGAATCTCCTGCTCACTGGCTTCTAGACGACGGGAATCGCATTCGTCCAGTGCCAAAACGTGTAGTCGCAAATGAACACACATTCCGGCGGCCATGGAGATGAAGATCCATCCAAAGTGATCTCGACCCAGAGCTAGTGATCGCCAAGAGGACATGGATAATCCTTGGATGACCTTGATTGAAGGCTTTTGTCGGCAGCATGAAAACACAAGGCTCTCTGCGAACTCAGCAAAAGCGTCCCCTATCTTTGAAGCATCGGGTCGATCCGAAAAGGTCGAACCCGTGGCAATGATTGTGCAGTGTAGAAAAACCTCTTCCATACTTTGATACGGGAGTCCAATTAAAAAGTCTGTAGTGGTGTATGTCGTGAACTGATGCTCTTTGTTGATGTTATTGAGAAACAATAAGGCAAACTCTTCCATCAATGATGTATCTTGACAGTAGCTGAGGATGTGTTCTGGCAATGTCACCAGTGCGGGTGCGGGTTTCAAGGACGTCTCTAGCGAGTATCGAGACCCTGTTGTAGTATCGTTGATGATGGTAACACCATCTCCGACATTTGTTCTCCACAGCATGACGCAAAGCTCTTCCATGGCCTGGTTGGATCTCTTGTCGATGGCTTCATGCCAAGGGACCTGATTTCTCGATTCAGCGACTGTGTCGAGAACCAGGGTATCGGAAGCGTCTTTGCCGACATGCGCATCATCATTATGTAGAGTGCCGGTATTTGATTGTATCTCTACTGACGGCAGTGGATTGGCTAGGTTCTCTCCTTTTTGCTCTAGGATCGACAAAAGCGATTGCACCTGGGCTTCAAGTGCTCTGACATAGTCTTCGTCCCAGTATTTCCGTCTTGCAGTGTCAGCAGACAAATGAAGACCGGCAGGATTGCGGGGACAGTATGGAGCTCACTTTCTTGGGCGCGTCTCAGTGTATACGCATTCTCGCTTCTGCCGTTGGCACAATGAACAAACAGGCTTGGCGGAGTCGCACTTGTCGGTATTAGCAATGTACGACCGTTGTGGACAGTGACCCACCTTTCGCTTAGACGTCTTGCATCTGTCACAGGCGAAGCTGAGCTGCTTAGACATGTTGCATGGAGCGTGGGATTGCAGATGCCGAAGGATGTGGAGGAGAGAAATCCGCCGCATCCCCATTGGGGCTCTTCCATATCTATGCGGGACTGAGCCTTCCGCACACTAAGATGCTTATCGGGGTGGATCTTTGCGGGGATCGGTGTGGTTGGGTCGTGAGCCTCTAAAGTTGGATTCCGTATTCCGTTGATTCCGCTTCTTACCTAGTGGGCGGATTCCGGATATCTACGATCCGGATAAGTACGATCCAGTGGAAGATTAATAAATACATTTTGCATCTTCACTTTACTAGACGTGGAAGAGGAACTCAAACTCACGAAATTATATTTCTGTTCTGAGCTGCTGTCCTAATCTTTGATTGCCTTGGCTTCGTAGGTCTGGCTTGAGGCTGGGTACACATGCGGTCTATCTTATCACTTTCGAGAATAATTATCCTATTCTTCATCCTTTCATCTTGTTTAACACTAATATAAATAGATCTTCCCGTCTTTCAATGGTACGTACAGAGTGGCATTACTGACTTGGGCGATGCGATAGTTGGTATTCATGCAACAACACCGGCTCATCCTCAACCATGTCAGAGAGGTAGATCTGCTTGGTCACTTCCTAAGACGACGGAAGTTGACTCAAGGACGGTGAAAATTCGAAACATCTTAGTTGTTGCAAGTTTTTTTTATCTTCGACAAGAGGTATTACTGACGGCGATAGTCAGCGAAAACCGTCATGTATATAAGAGACTCTCAGACTCAGAAGGAACCGCTGCTTTTGTAAATATGCAAGCTTCAGACTTCTGTATCACTCCCAGTAACCCCGAAGAGGAGTAAGAGGCCCCCAACCTCATATCTCGTCTATTTGCCTTGATAGTAATAACGGATACATCGCGTATGAGCATAAAGGGTCTAGGATCAAATTGTCTCGGTAGGTCACATGGAAGCGCAAGCTACGTCAGCTTATCCACAATAAATAAATAACAAAATTATTGTAATTCAGCTGTTCCTTTGCTATTACTGCCAGCCCAGCTTCAGCTGGATCCACCAGTAACCAAGATACTGAGGCCTCTATTGTTTTGGCGGCAACATCTACAGTCCCTCTCGGCTAAGGCATAGAGCGCTTCGTATTTTGAGTTTGACTAGAGGATACAAGCATCCGCCACAGAGTTCAGCTGGCAACTGGCATAAGTACATGCCTAAAAGAGATACCACCGTGTGCCATTGCTACAGGATCTTTGACCTGGGTTTGAAGGAGAGAAAGAGTGATCCAAAAATGCGTCATTGTGGCTTGCGATACGAAATAATGTAACTATTCGTATCCCTGGACAGCTCGGCAAGTGCCGAATTATCTATGCATAGACATCAGCTGCTAGTATATGCCGGTATAGGAAAAGCTAACGCAGCAGCAGTCGGCGCTAATTGTCAACAAGTTTCCCTAACGTCAAGCTTTCCTTCGGCCCCAAGGAGATGAGATTCACGGATGAGGACATTGACCGTTTATTTTTAGATCAAAGTGATCGGGTTTTTGAATGATCTGACCTTTCAATTTCCAAAAAAATTGACCTCGTCGAATTTCCCATATAATGTCTCCTTCAGATGCCGGATCCATCAGACATGGCAGTGGACATGATAGAAGAAGGCACCCCCGCAAATATCAGGTGGCGACACTGGATCCCTAATCTCGGGCAAGGCAACATCCAATAACGTGCAGAGCTCGTTGTCAGTAGGAGCATATTGGACGGTGAGACACGGTCCGCCATCTGTCACAGTAGAAGTCGAACATTTAGCCAGACACTGCTGCAGACTCACGTTCTGTACCTCGTCAAAATGAAACTTAACGGCGCTTAAGCACCCTGGAATTCCACAGTTCGGGGTACACACGCCCGAAGTGCAAATCGATCCGGCCGGACACTACATGCGTGCCACATTAGCAATATGCCACTCTCATTGCCAAAACGGGACCGACTTACTACATTGCGACAATGTCCGCAATTCTTGTTGTCTGTATTCGTGTCGGTACAAGATTTATGGATATAGAGAGACCGCCTTCTCAACGAGTTCGACTTGCTATCCTTCCTTGTGTGGTGAAAGGCTCTTCGGGGACGAAGGTCGTTGGAATCTATCTGGAAGCTCTATCGGAAAACAAGCAATACTTCAAGAGGGTCAAGGTTTACAGAATGGAGTTTATTAATATCGATGATCACAATCGCTCGAAATACATCGAAGAAAGTGTTTGCGTCCGACGGTGGCGTCAAACACTCATGAGCCAGTCGATGCTAGTAAAGGCTGCAGAGAACGGACACGAGGCGGCAGTGAAGTTGTTGCTCGAGAAGGGCGCAACCCCAGATCTTCAAGCACAATGCGCGGCTGTAAACAACGGATCCGAGGCAGTGCTGAAGCTATTGTTCGAGAGTGGCGCATCTTCAGATTATGCGGAGCCGGAAGTAGCTGCGAGGAACCGAAAATATGCGATAACGAAGCGATCGCTTGAAAATGATGTCTGCGTTCCATCTAGAACTATTATACATCCACGTGGAGGCAAGGGGAAGGAGGAAGCTAGATCTAGTATGAAGTCGCGGTCATCTGTAGAAAAGACAGCAGGAAGGATAGTAGCTGCACCTTCGAGAGAATTGATGGCAGCTGCAACGAAAGGAGACGAGGCAAGAGTAAGGTTATTAACTAGAGACGGTTTCTGGCCTGATGGAACGATAGCAGAGGCAGCTGCAGAGGAAGGGCATGACGTGATAGTTATGTTATTACTGGAGCGAGCTGCAAATTAAACGGAGTAGAAGACTGTAGTATGGATTGGAGATGTTATCAGATATTATAAAATGTATGAAAGTTCATATTTAAATAAGTGGTATGAAACACTATTTACTGGATGGTCGCTCCTCTCCTAAATGGGGACATTCTATACACAAGCGGCTGCTCCCGCCCTTCCGTCAACCATTTTGAAGTTATCTTTTTAACTTGTTTCTACTTGACTCACCGCTTCATCTCCAGATCTGTCCTTATTTATTCTCTAGCCCCTCCAAATCCTGCGGTGTTATCTGCTAGCTCACATGGTTTTACACTCCCTCTTCACCGATGACTTGGGCTGCTCTCCTTCTTCTCATCTGCCCGATTCTTACGCCACCAATGGACCTTCTACTCGCCTCTCTTGTCTGTTGATGGCCTACTGACCGACTCCGAGGGAAGCCATCAATTGCAGCCTCTTATCATTGGCATTTGTGTCGTCAAACAGAGGGCACTCCGGCCGGGTTGTCGATCATCGTGAGGCATGTGACAAGGAAGTGGTCAGTGCCGAAATTCCGCAGCACTTGATAATTTCAATGCTAACGCACGTGGGGGGAAATAGAGAGAATGAACGTTGATCTCTGACGAGGTGAAGCATACCCTCTCTTCCTCTTTCAGTGGCCGTGGAGCGTGAAACCACACTATTTTATAGATTTCCTCTCCCATAGGAATACCAGAGGATGTATCCCCAAGTTGATTTAAATCATTGGAAACGGTGATCTGGCAATAAACAGGAAAGCGTGTCGCAGATACTATGCCTTGGTATCAGATCAGATCACTTCACTTGACTACCTCAAATCGTCTCTGCTAGATTTCCTGGCTGGCTAGATGAGCTACCTCTTGAACTAAGATCCAAGTTGCCCTTCAAGGTCGTTAAGATTAATGCTTCAAGGCTATAAGGGGGAGAGTCAAGGCTTTGCACCTCTGCCGGATAGATTCCCCTCAAGAGTGTACTAATCTGCAACCTGATTCTGCCAGCCCTGACCGCCTAGTCCGGAGTGTCATCACATGGGTTGCGACCACACGGTTCTCAACTTCCGCAATAAGCGACTGAGTCTTTCTTCATGGAAACAGAAACTCCAAGGCTTTCAACCCCGAGATATCTGTCCTTCATCAAGGCTTTTGAACGCTATGACGGAAAATTTGCCTGGTACACAGCCACATATCCTTACTTTGCCACAAGAGGTGCTTCAACATGTCATCAATTGCCTCATTGACACCGTCACGATAAACAAAAGGACCGGCTTTCAGTATCCATACTATTCACGGATTTATCGCCAGGCGCATCAAGAATCAAGGCGGAATCTACTTCACCTCACACTGTCATGTCGTCGGCTCAATACAGTGGCCACTCCATTCTTGTATGGCCATGTTCTGCTCACCAAGAGCAACGAGAGTGATGAGGTTGACCTAGCAGAAGAAAAGCGTCCTGATAGAGGTGCTCTTACCCTCGCATTGTTTCTCAAGACTATGCTGGCGCAGCCAGCACTTCGAAGTCATGTCCGTCACTTGGATTGCTGGTTCTTCTTGGCCCATATCTTGGATATGCTCGGAACAGACACTCCTGATTCCACGATAAGAATGCTTCAGGCTCAGGAATGGGAATATTTCAAGACGGCAATCATCTGCGCTCAATCTGAACATGACCTTGCCGTTCTAGCACATGTTGGCCTGAATGATGAGCTTCCTGTTGATGCGCTTGAAAGAGTTTTCGCTGCGATTCTTGGCTTGACCGATGGGCTTCAGACAGTATCCTTTCCACCGCCACCAGGGAAGAAGTGGTGTTTGAAGGGGTTCGGAGATGGATCTGATGCCGAGGAAGAAAGCTTCAACCTCTACCTTGATGCGGCTCGTTACGATACGTTGAGCTCTCTCCTTCAGCTAGCCTACCAGGATCGCCTACTGTCCTCAACAACACTACAGAATCTCGAGGCGGTCAGGTTCACATTTGTTCCAGAATTTTCGCCCATCAATAGCCGGGCCCACACCTACAGCATCGATCCGGATACAAGTGTCCCGCTAAATCCTGGATACAGCTTCCACATTGATGCATGTATTGGTATTCTGCAGGCCCCGAAGGTGGAAGAATTTGAGATGGACTCGGCCAACGGAACACGCGCGTCGGAGCTCACACATGACTTTTGCCTCGCCGACCTGAAGATCAAGCGCGCCTTTTTTACTTCCGCTGCTAGCACTCAGCAAGTACTCGATGATGCTTGCAGAAACTGGTCCCTTACCGCCCTGGCAATCCGTGGAGCTAATGTAGCGAGTTATGAAGACCTTTCTGACATGAGTTCTAATCAAGCGGCACCGGAAATTGATGTTTGGAATACGGCTCTGATAAAATGCGCCAAAACTCGAAAAGTCCTTGACATTGGCTCATTTAATTGCTTTTGGAGTCCCCTGCAACAGCTTGCCTGCTTGGATGGTCTTGTTGCTCTTGAACACTTGCGCATCGGATTACCTTTGTTGAACACGAATCAAGGGTTTATTACTCGCCCGCTCGCAGACGTTCTTCCACGGCGACTCAAGACACTTACTATTAATGACTCGTTTGCTGCTCATTTTTATAACGAGTACTTTCGACAAGAGGAGTCGCCGGATGAGGCCAAAACGGTGGCCGATAGAAAGCCCCGCCGGTATCGACGACTTTTGTCATTAGCATTGCGCAAATTTTCTCGCGTTTGCGGTGAAACACATCCAGAACTTTGTTCTATTATGGTGTTTGGACTACCTCCAGTAGATGGGCCGCGTTATCAGACAACAATACGCGCCCTTGAACTTGCAGGCCCTCAACCTGGACAGGTTATTGTTGACATAGATCAACTGAGGGATCTGTTTGCAGAATCTGGTGTTGCGATCCAAGAGTTTTTCCATGGCCAGGAGGATGATTATCCTTTTAGACATGTTCATGTAGCTCGGTATTGACGCAAGGTCAGCTAAGATATCTTCGAGGTAGCGCTTTGTCATTGTAATTCTACGGCTACTCGCCATTTTCACTGGATCAACCGACAAATAATTATGCATCTAAAACAATCGACTGTTGCCAGCGTGGTACGATCGCAATTTTATATCTAACAAGTCATCCTCTCAAGGCTCTATTCTGTTTGCATAAATATGTCAGCAGAACGCCGAGGCCGGTAAGCTCGGTTAGCGGGTATCCATGATCTACAAGTTGTGCGGGGTAATCAGGCGGATCAAGCGGAAGATGTAGATCAACTTCACTCACCAACACTTCGATCAACATTCAATCGCTCTGGATACGATGCATCTTCCAAAACTCCCGCCGAATGCATCTTACATTTACTTGAACAATCCCCAAAGACGCAATGCTTTGAGTATTGCTGTACTGCAAGAGCTAAAGAACAAGCTCGTTCAGTCTTTCACGTCGCCTTCCTCAGGACAGCTTCGCATCTTGCCACCATTCAAGAAAGACATTCTCTCTGATCTAGAATACGCTGCGAGACGAGAAAACAGAGAAAGCGAACAATGGAAGAAATATGGATGGCTAGTCGATGCTTCTGAGTGGCGCAAAGAGCGTGCCGGATTGCCTGACGTCTTGGTTCTGCGCAGCGAAGGACCTGTCTTTTGTTCAGGGCATGATCTCAAAGAACTCAGTACAATGAGTCACGATGATGTCAAGCGTCTCTTCACTCTTTGCGCCGAGATCATGACCCTGATTAGAAGGAGCCCGGCGATTGTTGTGTGCCCGATCCAAGGCCTCGCCACTGCAGCTGGATTTCAGCTTGCCATGACAACTGACTATCCCATATCGTTGGCGAGTACCGAGTTTTCTTTACCAGGGGCCAAGATTGGCTTACCATGCACGAGCCCATCGACGGCAGTCTCACGACGGTTGCCCCCAGGCCAAGCATATCGGCTTTTAGTGACAGCGGAGCCTGTTACAGCGGCAGATATTCCAGGCTCAGTCGACGTCGTTCGGGTCCCAGATGATGCGCAACTGTCTGAAAAGGCTGCTGCATTTGAGGGTCGAGTTGAAGCGGTTGTCAAGCGGCTGGCAGGGATGGCAGCACAGCCACAAGCTCTGGGGAAATGGTCGTACTGGACGCAACTGGGTATCAAAGGATCGGAAACGGATTCTAATGGAACCACCGAGTTTGGTGGTGACGGCTATGAAGCTGCTGCCAGCTGGGCAGGGAGAGCAATGGCGTTACATGCAAAGAGTACCGATGCCAAGGAGGGGATTGATGCATTCTTATCCAAGAGAACTCCGTCTTGGACTAGTCGATTATGAGGGTAAAATGCAGATGCGTGAACGGGTAATATGACTAAAATTATTATTACTATAGATATATACCGGGAATTATAGGTTGCAGTGACAGCCCGAGTGAGATCGTCAAAGATTCTGCACATGGTTTACACGAACCTTCTGGTCTACCGTCTACCCATTGAACAAAGATACATTACTGATTCAAGTCTCGACGAATATAAAAGATCTTACTGTCTCTAGCTCTATTAAACCTGCGTCAATGTCCTCTAATTGTTACTGCATCTAACGCGAATAAGAAAAGATACTCGAAACTAGTCCTGTATTCAGCCTCAAAGCGGGTGAACGCTCAACATTACCCACCCCCAGAGTTACACTGCTTGGCGCACTTCATGCAACTGACGCGTTGAACTTGAAACGCTGGCCAAGTCTTGCTCTTCATACTCTGATTGTCTTGCTGGCTTGATGACAACCTGGGACGTTATTGTCTTTTTAATTCCGCCAGCACCTTCGGCTGCTGTCAACTCAATATCGTCTCCTCCTGTCTCGATATAGGTTCTATTTCCTCTGGTGAACATTGAAGCCATCTTCTTGCTACCATTGGTCGCACCGTTTTGTGAACTCTTCGGATTAGAGCGAGAAAGAGAGTTGGAGTAGCCTGCATAGTCGGCCGGGTTGCTGGCCTTGACAACTTTGGTAATGAGGTCGGCCATGTTCATTTCGATGTGGAGCTTGACGAGGTATGCCAGAGGGTGGAATTGGAGGTATCTGACATTGGGTTAGATGGGACACTGAGGCAGCCAACAATAACTTACACAATGTCATTAGGAAGAGACATCATTCCAACAAGGAGGACCTTTGCCAGTTAGCATTGTCTGGAGGATATTTAGAGAAACCTACATCCATGGTGATGGAAATTCCAATCATGCCAAGATTGACGTTGAATAGTCGAGTGTACTTGGTGAGGCCATTCGCAATAAGTCGAGACTTGACCAGGTGAATGAAGTACAGGTTCAGGCTAGCATCGATGATGAGGAAAATGCACTTCTCGATGCGATCCCAAATATTATTGACGCGGATAAAAGTATTGCTGATCTGCAGTCGTGCGGGAACCCAGATACAAAAGACGCTGACGTTGATGGCGAGCAGAATTAGGAAAATCCCCAACTTGAGCTTCCATGCGTTTTGTCGGACTACCATGAGAATGGAGATTCGGTTTATGATGATTTGCATTAGAGTCTGGATTTGGACCGCCCAAAGGAAGACTGGATGGTCAGCGACAGCCTGTGCTAGGTTCGTGCAACATACCAATGACGAAGAAAATGGCAAAGCTAGGGGGAATATGGCCACGCAAGTAAAACCAAGTAATGGCACTCATGATGGTGCTGCTGGCCCACTCTGTCCACAGCATGATGAGGTAAATGTTGGTCCTCCGCCCTCTCTTCCACGATTTGACCGTCTGCCTCATGCCCTTTGCTCCGGTAAAGATGCACACGCCCAGGGAGAATCCCCAGGCGATGCTGGCAATGTTCATGTCATCGATGCTTGGCTTGTTATATTTGTAGTCGTCGGGTATCAGAAAACCGGTCATGTTGTCGGCGGGGTGGACGTAAGGAATGAATAGCAATGATCAATATCGAGAGTAATAATGGAAAAAGCAAAGACAAGCGGAACCAAGACATGGGAGCCGCAGTGTTCACCAGCCCCATATACCACAACTCACAGCCCAATCTATTGACACGGGCCAGTTGCAGATGGCGTTGGGCGGGCGCTGGATGGTCCGCAGCTTGCGTCCGCTCCAGGGATTACACGTCCCGGTATCATTATGCGTGCGCCCCGGACCCGCAACTGAGCTGACTGAAGATCACTGGGGCATGCTCGGCAGTGGTCGTGCCGTATCAATATGATGCTACGGTAGATCTTGATATGGCGTACATCTGGGATTGATCTTCTCGGCTCCTTTGGTAGCTGGATGACCATAATGTCCCTCATGCGCATTAAGCCGCCTCTTCCGACTCCCAGATAATACACAAGCTGCTCCAGCATGGTGGCCAGGGTGTACGACGATCTCTTGCGGCTCCGGACATGGCGCTCGGATGAAATAATCTGCACTAAAGCCGCAACGCCTCTAATTAGGAGCCGTATCGGTCCGTGTCAAAAACGTGGTCTGGACATGAGAATGGGCGGGAAGCAGCCGAAACGTGTCGGTCTAGCGCCCGGCCCAGCGGGAAATCGCACGTCCTCATGGAGAGTGAGTGAGTGGGTTGGAAACTTGGCAGAGCCAATCGAATCCGATAATCTGTTCGGCGGCTCCGCGGTGGAGATGCACCAGGACACGAGTCAGTCACATCTCGGTCCATCAATGTTTAGGACTGTTTAGGGACTGTTTATGGACCGCTCTGAACAATCGGCTGCTAATGAAGCCGAGTGATGCAAGAATAAGTGCGACACTAGAGCCAACAAGAACCTGAGAGATGAACTTTTGGATGGGAAGCATCTCTAGCATCGATCGATATCTGGATGAGCGAGATTAGGGCGGGGCGTTTCTGGGCTGATGAAGAACGCCACGATACGCAGGGACGGGCATGGGCTGAAACAGATCCTTTGCACGTAGGATTGAGTCTCAGCTGCACACTGCGAGACCATCTACTCGCCATGTCCAGTGTCTTGATGCATGGTATCCGCTTCCCACACCGGATGCCGTCAACGAATCCACGAAGGGGCCAGGAGCGTGTCAAGTGCGGCTTGTTATGATTATATTTACCAAGTGGGTTGACCTGGCCATTAGTGACTTTCAACTTGCGATATTGACCTTGATCCCTGCGACACTCAAAGTCTAAAGCTGACTGAAACAATATCCCAGGATTGAGTGCCAGGAATGGCTTAGTTGAAAGCGGATCATGACCGACACTACGATATCAATGGTGCGCGCAAAGATCCATGCTCGCCGGCTTGTGGAGCCCTAAGAGCCTAGAAGAACTCCGTCACTTGGATTCCAGCTCAAGGTCGAAAGCCACACCTTGCCTTAAGGGGACTGATGTACTAGTATTGAGAGATGACACTACTCGCACCTCTTGACAATCCGGAGCTATTACCCCCCTGTCCTTGACCGGCCCACGTTTGCTGCAATAGCTGGGCGACGGTCAGGCGCTAGAAGGAGAGCTATAAATGTGAACTGAGCTTGGGCATGGAATATCAACCGGAACCTTGGTTATCCGAGCAGGTATGCGAAGCGCTGAACAATTCACCTACATCCATGGCGGACTCTATTAATCTCCAGAATAATACCTACTGTCACCTGAGGAGCTGCCGCCCTTGTCAAGGCTTTGCGGTGGCAGTGGAATTCGGGTCGTGGCAAACGATATTAGCCCAGATCCCTTATCACGCGACAGCCGGTTTGTTAGTGGAAGAAGCACTTAGTGCAGACAAGGCCCGTGACAACAAGAGTCTTGGATACCCTACAGTTCGGGGCAAAAGGAGGTCATGCAGCCAAGGCCAGCAGAGGGATATTGGCAAGAAGGGAATGTCAAGCACTTGATCAAATGCTTCTGAAAAGGATAGGGTAGAAAAGATCAATAAGAAAGGGATAAGAGCTGCTGCGACAGCTGGTCAAATAGCAAGTCAAGCGACAAAGATTGTCTTCCAGAAATGCAAATTGAGAAAGGGAAAAAGCGTACCCTTTCTAGTAGAGGCCGAGCTCATCCTTTCAGTAGTATCTAGTCTGGCAGGCTAGACATACTGTCATTGAACTCCCGTGCGTCTGTCAGCACCATCACAGCGGCAAGAAGCCGTCCCGACTCAAGTTGGAAATATTACACCCCCTAAATGCATCCAGCATCGGCATCCAAATTTATTAATCGGATTACTCTTCAACTTTGACGGTTGCTGGGAAAGGCAAGCCGGGACGACGAGGAAAAACAAGACGCCTTAACCGGCGCAAACTGCCAACGCGGCTGACTCTCACTGTCTATTTGACAGAGCTGCACGTCTATATCCCTCGGGGCATGCTCCATGTTTCTATCAGATGATCCTTTGTATTTTTAAGTACCTGATTGTTACCTCCTGTATCTGCTCGAGTAGACGACCCTAGGTGTATTTCCCCATCATTAAGCTATTTAATAAATACACCCAAGGATGGGCTCTTGATTAGTTGAAGCCTTATCATAATGCTTACTTGAGCTTTTTAAAACCCAACAAAATATATAGCACACTGTAGTCCAATAAATTCTGGCTTCGATATTTGGAATATTTCTGGATTTCGTGCGGCTAGTTAGACAGCCAAAGTGGTTGACTGTACCTGCACACCCCAATGTTATTCAAGCTGTGAATGATGTCGCACATGATTTGAGTCTCCAGAATCATTCTCAAGAACTTCAAATGCAAATGGCAGAACCTGATAGACCATAATGAAATCTGAAATATAACTACCGCCATTCTCTGAGGCTACTTACGACGGGTCTTATGATTCGTAGTTTGGGACAAAGTTATCCTATGTCCTGGCCATTACAAGCGTAGCTCCATAATAACAGGTTGAACTGCAGGGGTGCCCGAAACTGTGTCCTGATATTTCTGGCATGATCTGAGGCGAAAAAGTCGGTAAACATGTCCCACAGAAGTGGAATGCAACCTCGTACCACGCTGACAACTGATCTTTCTCAGCAAATGACACCTGAACAAAACGACTGCAGCGACGCAATGAAGAGCGGAAATAATGGCTTCGGTCTCTGCTATTCCAAAGAGTGCAAAATGTCGCCAAGTCAGCTTGGAGCAAGAGAAAACCGTTGACGAGATTTGGCGCCAGGTCCAAGCCAAGGTCATCCAGCTCGCGGGCGGCGACGCAAAGAATGTTCGCAAGTTGGGCATCGACGATGTTCTCGGGTACCTAGATTCATTCCAGGACTCAAAAAAACCGCAAAAGGCCCAACGGCTCAAAGGAGTAATTGACAAAACCCTTCAATGCATCCAGACAGTCGGGTCGATTGTTTCTTCCGGCGTGTCGACCGTCTTTGGTCCGGCTGACATGTGCTGCAATGCCCTCACCTTTGTCATCCAGGCATGGCAGGGTTATGAAGGCATGTTTGAGAATCTTGCTGAACTATTAGAGAAGTGTATAGAATTCTTGGACCGTCTTGAGTACTACAACGAAAACATGGATGCAAGGCTCATGCGCATTGCTTGTCAAAACCTCGAGCTTTTTGTCGAGATTTGCGAACGCACCATCAAGCTGCGCAAGAAGCACACGCGATTCTTGGCTTTTACAAAAATGCTTTTCCTCAACGACGATGGTATCCAGGGCCTTCTCGGTCGAATGGACAGACTCAACAGCAAGGAATCCCTCCTCGTGGCCGCTCAAACGTTTGAAATCGTCAACGACAGCGCGGAAAATATCAAGACCATCGTCGACGGCCAGAAAGAGCAAAGAAACACGCAAGATGCAAAGGAAAGGCGACAGACAATTGTTGAAGCGCTTGGGTTTCAGCCTGTTGAACTCAGCCAGAAAGGAGAACCCATTTCCAACTGGAAGAGAAGCTTTGATGTGTACAAAAACTCCGTCATCGCCGCTACTGGCGAATGGTTGTGGGAGGATCGCGTGTTTTTGGATTGGTCCCAGGCACCACAACCCCAAACTCCAATTCTCATCCTGCAAGGCAGCAATGGCTCAGGAAAGACTTCGCTAATGGCAAACGCTATTAAGCATCTTCAAAAAAGCCAAAACAACCCTACCTCTCGCATTGTCACCGCCTACTTCTTTCCCGAGCACGACTCAAAGATCGTTGACCAAGACCCACGACAAGTCTTAGAGACGGCATCAAAAGCCCTGCTGTGGCAGATTTCAGTTTCTTTCGAGGCCATGGCAAAGTCTGTAGCCCATATAGCCCAAACCACTCCAGTATTCGACGGTTGGTTGGACATATGGGAACAGCTCTTTGTCAACAACACCGAGCGTCACAACTCGGACACGACCTTTTTCATCTTTGTTGATGGACTTGACACAGACATAAGAAGCTTCGTGACTGTGTTTCAAAACATTTGTTCGTCAGGGATGGGAAAGGTCCGCATTATGTTGACTGCTGGACAGCGGATGGTGACTGAGTGTAGCCGTCATATGAAGGATGTCAAGTTTGAGGTTATTTCAATCGCAGATCGGAACGGCAGCGATGTTGAAAAGTACATCAACTACCGTATGGATGCCATGGCAACTCTACGGGATCACACACGACCTGGAATATCCGATTGGCGTAAGCGGATTCTTGTTGATCTGAGTGCCAAATGTGCAGGTGACTTTTACAAGTTGAATTCAAGTCTCGACACGCTCGCGCAGATGGACCTGATTGAGGACATTGAATCAGTCCTAGCAGATGCAAACAAAACTAGATCTGACCAGATCGATGCCGAAATCATTCATCTCAACAAAACGCGTACTCCAAAGGAGATCCAGGAAATCAACGACATTATTCTCTGGGTGGACAATGGGCGGAGATGGTTCCCCGTCAACATGATCGAAACTCTCATCTCCTTGAAGTACCGTTCTCCAGATGGGAGCCAGACCGTTTCAAGTCGATCATTGGCAGTCTCCCTACTCCCCCTGTCACAGAAGCTGGCAGAGAAATATACATTGTTTGAAATCACCGATGCAAACACAGTTAAGTGGCGTACTCCAGAAACAAAGGACCGCATCCCATCCAAGTCTACACCAGACGAAAACATGGCCCTTGGACTGCCTCGCATTCAGGAAACAGAGATCAACATTGTGCGACACTTTCTTCAAAACGTTTGTCCAGGCGAAATGTACAGTCGGTTCGACTTTGAACAGTTTTTCGAAACAAAGCTCGGAGCTCAGCATCGGGAATGCATTTGTCGTGACCCAGACAATGCCCACATCAAAATCGCGATTGCTTACTTGACAGTCATGACGGATGAAACAATGAACACCAATGGGATTCTTGAGCACGCGAGGCGCGATCTCCTTTTCCATTTCAAGCAAGTCGACTTGTCAGCTGCTGATAAACAATTCAAAGTACAAGTCGGACCGCTTCTGGTGAGGCTCCTGACGGAAGAAAAGGGAATCATGTCCTTGTTCCTCCCGACCGAGTCCCTGTCCTTGTTCCTCCCGACCGAGTCCCTGTCCTTGTTCCTCCCGACCGAGTCCCTGTCCTTGTTTGATTGGGCGAGAACTGAATATTTTCACCTCAAGGATGTCCGCGCCGAGTGGCTGTACTCGACCGAAGGAACACGGGAGGTTTTGCGGTGGCTCAGTGACACTACGGTGACGAAACGCATTGAGGGAGACCTGGCCAAATCTTTCGTTGAACGTATCACGTCCACTGGAGGCCTGCATGCATCAGTGTTGTTACATGCAGCAACGCATCTGGCGCGGCAAATCTACCACAAAAAGCCGAGTCAAATGGTCCTCATCAGTGCCAGTCTGTTCTTGAGAGGCTATCTTCTACGAGTAAGTCGATTCACCGCACTCATGTTCAAGCTAACGTTGCAGTGTGACCCTGAAATATCCAAGCAGATGGCCAATGATGCATCCTTCTACATTGCGAAAGTGGCTGATGCAGCCAAAGAACTCGAGGATCCAAGAAACTTTACTCTGGAAACCACAGATGCGATTGAGGCCTGGGCAACAGTTGCTCTCAACAAGGCCGAAAACACTGCAGTCCAAGACTCTCTCTGGGAATTCCAGGCTTTCACCTTCATAGGAAGTATTTGTCAGAATTTGCCAATTGGGCAAGCAGTTACCAGGGCCCAGAAGGCTGCCGAAATCGACCCTGATAACCTCGATGCCCGGTATATCGTTGCTGCAGACAGACGCCTTGCGCGCCAGGAGCAAGTTGATGCACTTTCCAAGATGAAACAGGACCTTGAGTTGAACTTGGAGAAAAAGTCGAATGTGCTTCTAGCTAGAGTCACAATGGCATTGGGTAATCGGCTTTGGGACATGGGCGAAGACCATGACCTGGCTACGCAAACCCACTTGGAATGCCTCTCATACGGATACTGTGGATTCTCGTCGAGGGAAAAGTGCTCGTCGATACTCGACAGGTATACAAAGATATCCGACTTTTCTCGCGTCCTGAACTTTATCGATGGAGTTAACAAATGCTGGGAGACTTGGAGACCGCATGTTGATGAAATGGTGATTGACTTGATCGACTCACTCGCCGAATTGCAAGATGTTGCTAAGGCAGCGGACAATGATCAGAAATGGGATGTCTTGGAAGCCTGGTATAGCCAAATGATCGAGTTTTGCTTCAGTGACGGATTCGACGAGCTAGTCTTTGCTCTTCGCAGATACCTAGCAGGTACTCGAGGGGAATCATCTGACGAAGCGAGACGTGACAGTAGAATTACCCTCTACGAAACCGCACTAGATGGCATCAAAGACAGCACACAGACCAAGGAGAACATTGGGACATACATCATCTACATGGCAGTTGACAATCTTGCGGCCGCATATGCAGAGAAAGGATTTGCTTCCGATTCGAGCTCGGAAACGGTGGAACTGTACGTTGCCAAACTTGTCGGACTACTCACCTTTGCCGAAAATGACGAAGAGTCTCTACGGGCCGTAACTCCGGTTTGCTGCCTTGTCAGACATCATCGCAGCAATGGAAATTACGCAGACCTCACCAGGGCCTGGACACGCAAGATTATGTTGGAAATCATCGAGCTTTTGTCTGACGACGACGAGAGCAATGACTACGAAGCGTATATATACCTCCACCAGCTTCTGATTGCTCTGGGAGACATTGAGAACAGCCGCGTTGCAGTTGCGATGCTGAAGTGGGGGAATCACATTGGATTTCTTGAACATGAAGAAAAGAAACGACAACGAGTGAAGACCGAGTACATCACCAAGGGTTTTCAAAAGGAACAAGATGTAAAACGATCCGATGTTTCAGATACTCAAGGTGGACTACAGTCATCTGAGGATGGTAGTCGGGTGGAAGGTGTTGAGTCGGATGTGGCAGTGGCTGCTGTCGATATCGAGACGGAAGAGATAGCAGATCCGCCCATTGTGTCTACAACGGATGAGGAACACAAGGCCAATTCGGTGGCCACTGAGGACTGTTCGCCAGGGCCACATAACACCGACTCAAATCCCCCATCTCAATCACAAGCGCCGATCGAAGAAACACCCTTACTCTCCTGGACATCGTGGTGCGATGCCTGTAACGACCCTAGATCTACTGAGGACATGGCCATCTACGTTTGTCTTGACTGTGTCCAGAACATCTTTGTCGAAACCAAGTGCTACACCAAGTTGAAGAAGGGAGAAGAGCTGGAAGAAAGTTTGGACTGCAAGGATCATGGGTTCTTCTACGTGCCCGCCTGGAAGAGAGACGTCGAGTTTCCCAAAGCGAGTGTGCCTGTGTATAGCACTGCAGATGGCAACGACGGCGAAGTTGAGCTTCAAGGATGGATGCCACTAGAAACTTGGAGGAACAAGTTGAGAAAGTTGTACATAGAAGACTAGTTCTGGATGTAGTTCAAAACGTGGAGCACCTTCAGCGTACCTGTGATTGCTCTGCAGAGCTTACACTGTGGGGAAAACGGGCTCGCAAGGACGGCAGCTAGAAGTAGCACGCCCTAATGTAACAAGTGACCGATGTGGAGGAGCAGTTCGCCAGTGGTCTTCGCACCGGGATACCTACAATATATGAACTGTTATCAATTTCTGACTCAACTCTATCGCCATCACACTACTGTATTTAATTGCTGCAATATCATCCATTGTTATCACCCACAATTAAACATATTCTACCTAGGTAGCGATAGTCACGTAGGCCATATCCACGCTATTGCCCCCCGTGACCCGACTATCTTATTCCCGTAACCTCCAGCGATACTGACGACGATGTGTGCTGCATTGACAAATTGTCTGTCGTTGACAGCGTAAGCGTGAAGATGTTGGTCATGCAGCCCCAGCAGATGCGCCAGAGTTCGACGTCGCCCTCGTCGAGGTTAAGTTGTCTTCTGGTCCACAGGCGGCATCAGATCAACCGCAAGAGGCAATGCCAGCGGAGGGATCAAGAGAGTTCGAGAGCCTACTGATGAAAGTTTCTCGCTCAAGAAACGTTCATCTTGACCCCACATTGTAAAAATCTTGATCCGGGTGAGCCCTCGTACCAAGCTCGTGACGCCAGGTCGAAGCGGGTCAAACCCTGGGAACCTAGTCTGGCACACAGTCTCAGCGCGTTTAAGTTAGGTGTACTTATTTTCCCCAAACCGTACGACGCGACTGTTAAGTCATAAACTTACCAAACTAATTTGCGCAGGCTGGTTGAGTATACCCCCCCGAACCCAACCCATTCATATGATGCAATGATTGTAGATGATGGCGCGCCTTTTGGCCTCGTTTTGGAATTGAACACCTGTGCCGAGAAGACGGCTTGGAAAACGAAGGGCATGACCACTGAAACATGGGAAGAGAAGAGGTAATGCAAGACGTACCAGGTGCACGCGAGAGGTACCAGACACATCCGAGAGGTCCGGGACGACGCAAACCTTAGGACACCCACACAGGTATTGCTGTATCTCGCAAAGCTTCTTCGCCCGACGCGCAGTATAAAAGGACTCAATTCTGCCGTATTGGCTCTGTGTTTTTAGCACAGTACAACTCATGGATGAAAAGCCACGAATCATTCATCTTTGAGCACCGGATGAACACTGTCACAAAGATTCATATAGGTGCTCCGGCCCTGGGGGAATACATGGAAGATGGGCTCAGGGGGTCGAGGGGTCATTGACAGGACAGTGATGATGATCCAACACTCCAATCGGAGAAGTTTCTCTGCATCTCAGGAGAAAGTTGCAAAAACTGAGTTCGCATGTCTTGGTGGTCCGTATGGTCGCTGTTATATATCTGTGGAATCAGTAGTCCGATTAACGTTAGTATATTCAGCTATACAGACGAGACTTAAAAGCCGAACGATACGTGTTTATAGGAGGGGATATATGAGAGTCTCTTACAACTGTTTATCAGCTTTTAAAAGTACTAGATAGTTTCTTGCAGACTTGAAATATATGTGTTGAATTAAGTCCTCGAGGGATCTACAGATAATATCGAAAGCTCTTATTCTCCCAGTCGGTTTCGTCAATCTCCTCGGCATTCTCGTCCTGGACTACACCAGGCGAGTTATCGCGCGCCTCAGGATCAATGCACACGCCCTGATCTTTGTCCCGTCGCTTATTCTCCCAGTTCAAGTAAACCCTGAATAACGCGAGGAGAACAATTACAAGGCAGAAAATTGCGAGTAGAGCAGTGAAGGCAGTCTATACTGTTAGCAATTTTACCATCATCGCGGGAGATTTGGAATACCTGGTAAGTAGGAGCTTCTTTGGCAATGAACAACTGGGGCCCTCCAATGTTACCAGCGCAGTAACCAATGAAAAAGATTGCATTGACTGTCGCCTTCTTGGTAAAACCGGCAGTGTTGGAAGCAATCAGACTCAACATCAGGGGAAATATGTTTGAGGAGGCGACAAGAAGCAGCACGCCTACGTAACGGCCTGCTTTCATGGTAACTGGAAGTTGTCGGATAAGTAAAACGCCGAGGAGAGCGACAAGATAGCCTCCGATAATCACAATGCAGCGAGATCTCCGAAACTTGTCGGCAAGAAGGGTAGAAACAAAAATGACAACGAATTGGAAGGCTGCTATTGGTAGGCCGAGGAGCAGAGTGGTTCTAGTGTTGTAGCCAAGTCCTGCGACGATAAGGGACGTAAACTAAAAAGTTAGCTGAGGACAAGTGAGTCCATGGACACGTACGTTTGAGATGACACCATTGGTCAAGCTTGAGATGGTTGTGATGACGAAAAGAAACCACGTCTTTGGGTCCTTGATAGCTTCTATGAATTGAGCATGAGACCATTTGTTTGTCTTGAAAGTCCTCTGCTGTTTCTGCGGTCGTTGGCTGGCGATAATTCGCTGTGCTGGGTTCAAAAACCGGGCGGTCTTGGGTGTATCTGGCAGGGTAAACAACAAAACAATACCCCACAAAGCAGTAATGATGCCCAGCATAATGAACAACCACTGTTTATGTTAGCCCATGCAATAGATCAGTCATAAACACGTACCCTCCAAGGTTCCAGAGGTCCAGTGGTGATGTATGAGCAGCCAAATGAGATTAGAGCACCGCAGAATGCTCCAACAGAGTTGCCAAGAAACCAAACTCCATGTCGTGCAGCGTGTTCTGATGGTTTATACCATAGGCCGGTGATGAGTGAAAATCCAGGGCTAATTGTGCTTTCAAAAATACCAAGCAGTACTCTGACGATGCAAAGGCCAATAAAATTGTTGGTCGCGCCGTGGCAAGCAAGAACGATGGCCCAAAGAATTCTACTCCTGTTAATTCATTGCTTTAGAAATGTCCGGGCTTCTTACATTGAGATTGACATTGTCTTTCCCAGGGGTAGTTTGACCAAGATGATCGAGACAGGGTAACTCGCAACGAGGTAGCCAAAGTAGAATGCACTATTCAGCCAGGAAAATTCTTGTCCAACAAGTTTCTGAGCCGTTAGCGTCTCCTCTTGATAAATGGAGTGGACATACCGTATCTTGGATGACGCCAAGAATGGCCGTGTTTCCCAGGCTGGTTTTATCAAGAAATTGAAGGATGTACGTGACAAATAGCAGAGGCAGGACACTGCTTAGTTAGTCTCGGTTGACTGGCAGGGTCAGAACATACAATAAGTCAATTTTCTTGAGCACAGCCGCTTCCTCCACCAAAGTGTCACCCTCGGCAATGTCAACACTGTTGGTGGGTTCAATTGAGGCCGGCGCCTTCTCCCCATCTTCGAAATCCTTAGTTGGTGACATTTCGAGCCCCATATTGCGACGCAGGCTTACACTGCGCGGTTGGTAGGTGGAATGAGTAGATATTAAATGATGTGGTCAAGACTCAGCAAAGCATTATAGGTCTATACGTTTAAACAGTGGCAGCGAGAGTTCTTATGTAGAGGTCGAAATATGTAAAGATGTAGGCGTTGATAAAGCTGAACTCTACCATATGCTTGCTACATGACATCGCTGTGATATGGGACCACTCCTGAACTCTTCAGTGACCTTATCTCGCATTGTTGGCTTATGTCCCGGCTAACCATATTAGTCGGTATCTTATCTCTCCGAACAAACAAAACCCCGCTCACCCGTCCTCGATTGCGCGTCAAATCTCCCTTTATCAACCTGGACTGCTATTGATCAGAATTGACGACGAAACCCCAGTTTTATTGCAATTTCCATCCCTGTCAATTGATAATGGGATGTCGCCGGTTCTGAAAACGCTTGATCGTCTCAGGTCAATCACGTCGTCAATTCTTGAAGCGTCTTATCCACGCGCCTCAGACGGGCAATCATGGAGTCAGGGACAGCATTTACAGGGAGAAAGAGGAATAACCCTGGTCGTTCCAAGTTTGGTAAGTATTCTCTTGGTCCGAAGTGGGCGGACCGACCCTCACCTTGTCACATTGGATCCTGGCATCAGTCTGACAGTTTTCAGGTTGTTTTACATGCCGATCAAAACATGTCAAATGTGATGAACAATTGCCCGTCTGTCGCAGATGTGAGCGCTTGGGATTGACATGTCAGCCATATTGGTCGAAAGAAACACCATCCCCCAAGCCCCCGAGAACGCTCAAGCAATTGAGGGCAAAAGGCTCGCCCTGTCCGGATTCCAGAAGCCCCAGTGACGTCTACTTGGCTCACTCTCCCGCATCCTTAGACAGCGTTGCAGAAACATGGCTCGACCAAGTCCAGCTTGCACAGATGGCAGTCCTGCCCGACACACCCGAGATGTTGAATTGTGACATCTTGGCCAATGTTTCTGGCTCAATCAGTCAAGCTTCTGAATCCCAGCCAGACTCAGTCACCCCGGGTGGAACAATCGATTCCTTGGAATGGATTCCCCAGAACTCTTTCCCCTTGTCCACATCGCACATCCCTTTGCCGAATTCATTAGTACTTGGCGAAGAGGAACTTGATGCGCTCAGACATTACGAAACTTCATTTGCGCTTTCACAGACAGCAAAGGATCCCAAGTGGTCTTTCCCAAAGCTGCTCTTGCGTCAATCCTCGAACAGTACCATGGCAATGCACTTTGCGTTGGCCATCTCCTTGCATGATCTTGATACGCAATACGACACGCAGACAAACCGCAGACTGTTGGCCCACCACCACTTTAACAGCGGCTCCTCAATGTTCATGCATGCCGTGTCTGATAGCAAAGATCATGTAGAGATTCTATCTTGCCTTTACTACATCTACATCTACATGTCCCGGCAGAGGTTGGTCGACGAGTTCAAACTCCAAAAGCTGAGCCAGAAAACCCTTGATTATATCGACAAACTCGAATTAGAGTCTCTGGCTAGATCTGGCCTGACAGAACGACTCAGTAGAGTCGCTCCGAATGCGGCGATACGCAGCTTCCTCTGTCGATTGATCCTTTGGTTGTACAAGGAGGATGTCTATTGCTCATTCTCTGGGTGTGCCGGGGACGTTGCTAGGTACTTTCAAGGGAAGCCGAATTTATTAAAGGCGGTATGGGAGGTATCCCGGCCAATGCTGCAACTCAATTGGGGTGCGGCTTATCCAGAGAGCCAGTGCATCAATGACATGGAAATGTCTCATGTGGTTGACATGACCATCGATCTACTCTCACTCCGGTTCGATGTAACAGAGATGGGTCACTCAAGCTTCAATCTTTCAGCCTTGCAGATGATTGAGGATACATTTTCCTTAATAGAAACAGTGAGTTTTTATTCTACATGGCGATTTAGCTGACGCTTGCAGAAATATTCTATCGTCTTCGGCATCGCGACCTCCCCTACAGCGCCATCAACGGGATTGGTAGCATTTGCAGCCGCTGCTGTTGCCATCTACCATGCCATACGGCTTTGCTGCTACCGATACACAGAAAATTCACCCGAGAAAATACAAACCATTCCTCCTGAGCAGTGTTTATCACAACTCCTCGCAGCTGCTCAACGAGCGACCTCGTCGGCTCATTCGACCTCTATGTTTGATGGATTGCAATGGGCATTGTTCATCGGAGGAATAGAAACAAAGGACACAATCCACCGAGACTGGATTATGAGTAAACTCAACCTCTCACGCTTCAAGTCAGCCCTCCAAACAATCATCGAGGTCGAGGCACAATTTGGAAGGGTCGGGATGCAGACAATCAGTACCATTCTACGCGGCTCATATACCAGCCCAATATCTACGACTAGCTAGCGCCAGATATTAATCACCAGATATTGGTCGTCAAAATATGACTCATTTCAACCATCGTGAACTGTCGGCTCGTTCACGACCTTATCGTAACGGCGCACCTCTCGCAATCGCACTGCTCTGATTGGTCAAAGTTGACGACGAGAACATCGCCAAGAGATATCATCAAGATCACGTATACAGGGGCAAGCCAGTGGATTAACAAATGCATTATAAAAATGATCTTGCGTTGATCATTATCGTTCAGAATCGTCTTGGATTGCATCCTGCAGCAATGACAGTCGTGACGTTATCCCCCTCGCCTGCGGTCGGTCTGAACGAGGCGACACGCGAATCAATCTTTGAAGCGATTGACAATGCGGATCAAGAACTCCGAGCACTCAACACGGCAGTAAGTAATTAATTTCTGGACACATCTGAGACTAATAATTCTAGATCCATGACAACCCCGAATTGTGCTACAAGGAATTCAAAGCTCATGACAACATTACATCATTCCTTCATGGCCAAGGCCTAGATGTCACTCCCCATGCGTATGGTCTCCAGACATCATTTCTGGCAGAATATGGAAATTCCGGACGACTTGTGGTTTTGTGTGCAGAGTACGATGCTCTAGAGGGAATGGGTCATGCATGTGGGCATAATTTGATTGCCACATCTTCCATTGCTGCGTTTCTCGGAGTAGTTGCTGCATTAAAACTCTCCAAAGCTCCAGGGCGAGTCCGGCTATTGGGCTGTCCAGCAGAGGAGGGGGGAGGTGGAAAGATCAAACTGATTGAAGCCGGAGCATTCAAGAATGTCGACGCGGCGCTGATGCTTCATCCGACTCCTCCGATTGGCAACTTCTCGGATCTTGACGGTATCTCTTACGGGACATGTCTTGCCGGATCTCGATTTAAGGTCACCTTTACAGGCAAAGCAGCTCACGCAGGTGCCATGCCATGGCTAGGTAATAATGCTTTGGATGCAGCGACGTTGTCATACAATGCTGTTAGCATGCTCAGACAGCAAGTGATGCCCACTGACCGCATCAACATTGTCATTCGAGAAGGCGGCCTCAGTAGCAACATTATCACCGACAAGACCACCATTGATGCATGCACTCGCTCCGCGACGCTAAAAGAGATGTTGAACTTGAGTGCCCGAGTGTATAAATGTTTTCAAGGTGCTGCCATTGCAACCGCTTGTCAAGTGGAAATTATCAATGAGTACGCGTTTCCACATTGTTCAACTATCTGCTAACATTCGACTAGAATGGAACCATATGCCGACCTCAGACCCAATGAAGCACTATGCTCAAATTTTGCAGAGGCAATGGCAACGAACTTTAAGAAGGAATATTATTGCGACTTGAGGAGCAGAGACCGCGGGGGCTATGGCACGGATATGGGGAATGTGAGTTACGAATGTCCGTCGTTCCATGGTAGCTTTTGCATTCCTGTCCTTCCTGGAGACAACATTCATGGTCCTGGTTTTGCGACAGCGGCTGGGACTACAGACGCTCATCGAACAGCGACCCAAGCTGCCAAGGCCATGAGTGTTACGGGTTGGCGTGTGCTGATTGACGACGATTTTGCACAACAAGTGCTAAAGGATTTCGAGTTAGACAAAAAGTTACGTTAAATCTACGTGGATTCGTATGTACAATAGTAGGTAATTCGGTCCAATCTTGACAGGATTAGGATGCTTTCAGTATCTCGTCTCATAGTTACAACTATGTTACAGTTTCAATCGGCTCACATCTCGCACCTAGAGTGTCGAGGTTCTCACTGAGTCGCCTAATTTGACGTTTCGGCCAGCTTTTTTTTTCACCAAGATAGATGCAGTAGAGTTACACACTCAAGCTAACAGAAACTAGACAGCCCATGAATCGGGCACCAAATCCCAACTCATCTTGAAGCACTGAAATTGCAGTGCAAACACGAATGACGAATAGATCCGGTACCAGACCATCTTCGTCATACACGGTTACCTAGCCTCGAGTAGTAAGTTGTTAAACACTAAAATTGCACTGTAATAGGCAGGGGCTTATCTGCCTGGTTCAGCTTACATGCTTTTTTACTACCTACGCAGCAGTGGTTGATTGCGTAAGACGCCCTAACTCTCTCTTTAGAGCACTAAAGTTGCAGTGCAACTCACCGATCGTTCTACCTTAGCACCCTAACTCTCTCCCTTTGAAGCACTAAAATTGCAGTGCACTACACCTCTAGGTACGTAGTACGTAGCAGGACACCCTAACCCTCTCCCTTTGAAGTACTAAAACTGCAGTGGAGCTCCATAACACCGCCCCACCTCTCATACATTTGTGCTCTAATAAGTACTCTGTAGATGATGCACTAAGTCACTCTCTCCCTTCACAGCACTAAAATTGCAGTGCAAGATACACCGCTCTTCAACACCCGAGTACGTCACTCTCTCCCTTTAAAGCACTAAAATTGCAGTGCAATTGCATCCTCCGGCATCCGTCATCCTGCAGAATAGGTACCTGTAGGACGCCCTAACCTCTCCCTTCAAACTATTAAAATTGCAGTGCAACACCTCCACACGGTCTCCCACACCCCCCTCTCACACACCTGTGCTACAAGTACTTAGATGATGAGCAAGTTATTCTCTCCCTTCACAACACTAAAATTGCAATGCAGATCGATGGGATCGCCCCTCAAGGTGAGCAAGTTGCCGGCACAAGGTCAAAAAAACACAGTTTTATCCACAATTCAAGCATTTGTCACCCAATGCTACCACAATGACCAAATACTCGTCATAGTAACGTAATCAAGAGGTCGGTCGTACTGGCGAGCGGAATAATTCCATAACGCATTCATGTATTTCCAGAGGTATCTTATTTTATTGCCCCTTGGGTGGGATAAATGCCTTGACTGTCACCTCAAGATGTAAACCCGGGAATACCAGTGCCGCAACCTCCACACCCGTCCACACAGGCTTGGTGTTTTTCAAGAGGTTCCGGGCTATGGGGATCACAGTCTCAGCAATCCCCTTTCCATCCTTTGCCACTTCAAAGGTTTGCACCTAATATAGCACGGTCAGTATGTATCAACCAGCAATAATGTGTCAGTACTTACCTCGTAGACATATTCCCATGCATCATCTCCCAGCCCTGCGGCCTTGAGGGTGCGTGTAACATGATCAAAGGCCTCAGCCACCTGATCCTCCAATTTTTCGGGAATCTTGCCGTCGTCTTTAATTCCTAGTTGCCCTCCGACTGTGACAGTTTGAATATTTGGGGGGATAATCACCGCATGAGAAATGCCGAAGCTCTCAGCAGCTTCCTCTCCTCCTACCCAGTTGACGAATTTGAATCCGTGTTCGGTAAGCTTTGATTCAGCCATGGTTTAATAATTTTTGGTCGGCACACTCGCTAGGTAGTGGACTGGAGCAGGTATTTAGAATTGCTGCTATGTTGTGGTATTGGTGATTGATGTTAATAGCCCCGTGGCAGGCATGCGTTGATTATATTGTCATTGTTTCTATTAATCCGAAAGATGGCCCGAGGTACAGTGTTGTTCCTCGCGCCGGGCCACTGCGGAAAATTGTCCGAACCAAGGAAACTATTTGCCACGGTCGTGGACTTGGATCCAAAACATTCTTCACTTTGAGTTTATTATTCCTTTGGTCGGACAGCAGTATACTCGGTGGGTTTGTGTACAGCGTTCTATTAAATCCAGGCTCATTCTAGCGCTTTAACACACCAGATATAAGGACACTATCTCGCTCACCACTGATACATAATCCCGACAAGAGTATCACAGCTACCCTAAACCAGTCATGATTTGTCCAGGTTCGCAAAACACATGCGCTAGGCTATTTACAAATGGAGCGGGGATGCCGAGTTCCCGAGAAAGGCTAGCCATGGTTGTTATCAACCATTTTAGATCAGGGATCAATATCTCATTGGCCACCTTTTCCGGGTGTGTGGAACGCATGCAGCATGACAGGAAAAAATATGGAGATTTGTGCGACTTGGGTGACTTGGGTTTGGGGGCGCCGCTTTGGTACTCCTCCTCTTCACTTGGCTTCAATGCGTGGGTAATCAACGTGCAACACCACGTCTTTCGCACTTACCTGAATTGATTCAAGGTATTCACTATGATCCCGATGTCAGTTTTAATGCCCTATTTAGTTGTAAAGGGAATAGTGTACTGTTCTTGTTTACGTTCCGGGACGAGATGCTTGGACTGTCGTTTATATTTAGCAAGCATCTGGTGTTGAGGCGTTGGCCTTTTGGACGCGGGACATTTACGGATCGTGGTTTATGGAATAAGTCATTGATTCAGTACATCCTAGATTACTGATTAGACAAGTCGTGGTTCCCTTCAACTGGACTACTTTGTGGCATCGACTCCTTCATCTGGTGAGAGCTCAAAACCCAGCCGACATCGCACCTTGATGAGCAAAAACATGTCCGCCTCTGGTGGCAAAACTAGCATCATTTCATAGACACGCTACTAGTCCCAGTGACATTTGTCTAATGATCCTTGTGGTTAGAGGCGAGCTTGTGTCAAGTACCCCGCACATAGCACACTGCTCGGAAATGCCGGAAAGTTCGCCGACAAGCGATCGTGTTCCATCAATGTCAAGAGGCTTGCTCACATTGATTCCTTCAAAGTGTAGTAAGTACATGCATGAGCAACGAAGTATTAGCAATAAACCGTAGAGAACCAACATATGACCTTATATCGCAATGATCCGAAGGCTCTGTACCGTTCAAAGCTCCGCCTGTAGATAGAGACGCATGTGGTATCGTTTATCACAATAATCCGCCAGCCGGGGATTAGACCGATTCAGTTAGCATTTCCCCGGAATTGTGCATCTTTAGCGTGGCAGCTGATAGCTATGGGTCGCGACAAGTCCGTGGTTTCTTGATAAAAGGCGTCCACTGCCTGTCAGGTTTAACCTGTCGCTGAACCTCCAAAGTCCACGCTTTTTCACCAGCATTTGATTTAGCCATCTGAATATTGATTACACCGTCAAAATGACAGAAAGAGAAAGTGTCAGCGACATGCCCGTGGAGAAGGGGATGGGCAGTGTGGACAAGGAGGCAGAAGCGCTGGAGCACTTGGGTGTCGCGCCCTCGAGCATGAAGCGCAACTTCAATCTGTGGTCGTTGCTCTTCATGTCGTTTTGTACCAGCGTCACCTGGGAAGCCCTTTCGTCGACAATGGCTCAGGCTCTCACGTCTGGCGGAAGCTCTAGCCTGGTTTGGGGCTATGTTGCCTCTGCTACGGGTGCTATGCTTATTGTGGTCTGCATGGCCGAGTACGCAAGCATGATTCCTACAGCCGGTGGCCAGTATCATTACGTGGCTGAATTGGCCCCCATGAAAGTGCGGAGAGTCTTCTCTTGGTATGCTGGCTGGCTCACAATGATGGGCTGGATTCTGTGTGCGACTGCGGGCATATTCGCAACGGCCATGTCGATTCAGGCCTGGGTGATTTTGTTTTCAGACACCTATGTATACCAGAGATGGCACACGAGCCTGGTATGAAGCCCGCTCTGTGTTGAGATGCTAAACTAATGGAACATAGATTGCCATCGCATTTACGACGTACTATACCCTGTTCTCGATCTTCCAGCTCAAGTACTTGCACTACTTGCTGTTTTTCGCCATGTTCGCACACGTTGTCGGATATTTTGCCACCTCCATCTACCTCCTTGTGCACGTCAAAGAGAAGAACACGGCGTCATATGTTTTTACAGACTTTACCAATCTCAGTGGCTGGGACAGCTCTGCAGTGAGTACTTGCTATACGATCTAGGTCGCTGCTGACATTTCAAGGTCTCTTGGTCCATTGGCCTGCTTTCTTCTTCGATTGGGTTTGTGAATTGGGATAGCTCACTTCACATGGCTGAGGAGATGAAGAATGCTTCCCGTGACCTTCCACGGACGAGTAAGTGGATAAGATGTTGGTGAGACGCAGCTAACCTGTCATAGTTCTGGCCACCGTCGGTGTTAGCGGAATCGTAACCTTTCCATGGGTGATTGCAGTGGCCTTTTGCATCACCGATATCCAGGGCGTTCTTGGCGGCCCCGTTGGGCTCATCAGCCCCATGGCTCAACTGTACTACAACGTGTCTGGCGGGAGCCGAGCCGTGACGATCGGAATGACATGCTTCCTCCCAGTTCTTGGCTTCTGTGGTACAGGATCCAGCATCATGTCTTCCACGTCGCGCGTCGTGTGGGCATTTGCCAGAGATGGAGGTCTTCCTCCGCGCTTTGCTCATATTGGCGAACGCACCAAAGCCCCTACTGCAGCTCTCGTTCTGACCTGGGCCATCATTTCCGCCATCTGCCTGATTTACATCGGCAACGCTACCGCATACTACGGTGTCTCATCGGCTTGTACAGTTGCGCTCATCCTCTCCTACGCATTCCCGCTGCTGATCAATGCTGTTTGGGGCTTCCAATACTGCAATATTCCCCGCGGATCCTATTCCCTAGGCCGTCTCCATCGCCCAATCGCAGCTGTTGCACTGGTTTGGTGCACCTACATTTCCATCTTCATGTGTTTTCCCACTTACTACCCAGTGACCAAGGACAACATGAACTACGCTTCGGTAGTGCTGCTGGCAGGCATGGGGATGGCCACAGTGAGCTGGTTCGTGTACGGAAAGTCGCGTTACGTCGGAGTCACGCAGAATCTCGAGGGACATTGACGTGAATTATAGTATTGTCAATGGACGGGACAATAGAGCTTTACATACTGGTAGAACTAGATAGAATATATATCATCACTTTCATGACATTGGACCTCTGAATGTGTGATCAAATAACGTACCCTAACCGCCTCGCTCCGTACCACTAACCCGCCCACATTTGCCCCGAGGACTTGTGCCCTCCAGGCTTGAGGAGGATTAATCGACTGCCCATGATTCGCCACAAGAGGTCACGTTGATAGCCCGTCGAGCGGGGAAGGGAACATTCCAGGCTAGCTTGTACCAAGTGGAAACCTCATATTCCGACCCCTCCACACTGATTAACTCCGGCCTGATAACAAATGTTCCCCGCCAACTGCTGGGAATTAACCCGTGCATGGGTCTTATATACTGGCCCTTTCTTCCGGCTGGCGTCTCCTTTCTTCATCAGTCAAGTGTACAATATTCCACCCATCTCCCTTATTGGAGACTCACTCATCAATCCTCAATATGGCTGTGTCAGCTACGCTCCTCACTCTTCTCCACACGTACTGGCAGTACGCGATTCCTTGTCTGTGTGTCGTCTATCTCCTCTCAAACCGGTATCAAAAGGGACTCAACCGAATTCCAGGGCCATGGCTCAACTCATTTTCTACGCTGCCGCGCATGTGGTCAGTTTACAAGGGAGAACATCACCTCCAAGACCTTGAACTGCACGCTCGGTATGGCAAGGTTGTGCGAGTGGCTCCAAACTTGGTGTCTGTCGCCGACACAAACGAAATCAATCAACTCTACGGAATCACGACAAAATTCATCAAGTCTCCATTTTACAATCTCTCGGCCGTGTATGACGAAGATGGCCTGGTACCGGATCCATTCGTCATTCGCAACGACAAGACGCTGCATTCCCGCATGAAGAGAAATGCTGCCAATGCCTACAGCTTGAATGGCCTAATTCAGGTCGAGCCGTGGGTTGAGCCCGTCCTCTCGCGCTTCGTTGGAATCTTGGACGATCACGCTCAAGCTAATGCCATTTGTGATTTGGGAGAACTCTTAAAACGGTTCGCCATGGATGCTGTATGCAGCCTGACGTTTGGAAGCGATTTTGGGTATCTGGAAAAGGGAGACGACCTCAATTTCTTCAAGAGCATCGACTTGTTCACCGCATACATGTCAATTGTGAGTTCCCATCGCTGCCAATGTCCCATTCTAACAGTGTCAGTTCGGACATGTCGCTTGGCTTCACCCGTACCTTTTGGGAAATGCCAGGGTGGCTCAATTTGCAACAAGCGGCGATACTTCCTCAGTGGCAATGGTTCAAATCACAGCCAAAGAATTGCAGAAATTTCGAGACTCTCCCCCGGTTGAAGGCGACGCCATGACATTCCTGAACCGTCTTGCCATGAACCAGAGCGCGAATCCTAAATCCATCAACGACCGCGAGATTATTACCCACGCATTTGGAAACGTATCTGCTGGCTCCGACACGACAGCAATTGCCATGAGGGCAGTCATGTATCACACACTTACGAACAAGGCCGCGTATGCCCGACTTTGTTCTGAGATCCGCGACAATCTCTCTGAGCCCGTCCGTTTTCAGCCAGCGTTTAGTCTACCATATCTCAAGGCCGTGGTTCAAGAAGCGATGCGCATGCACCCATCAGTTGGACAGCTCCTTGGACGCACCGTACCTACCGGAGGAGCAGTCATTGGCGGTTTCCGAGTTGGCGCTGGTGCTGAGGTCGGCATGTCTCCTTGGGTTCTACATCGTGACCCCGAGGTATTCCCAGATCCCGACGCTTTCAAACCAGAGAGATGGATTCTCGGTGAAGGGTGCCACGATGAAGACCATCTACGACGAATGAATAGGTCATTCTTTGCATTTGGTCATGGCGCTCACTCATGCAGCGGCAAGCACATTAGCATCATGGAAGTTACCAAAGTCATTCCTACCCTGTTGTTGAGATATGACCTGGAACTTGTTGGAGACAAGACTGGCAAATTTACCAACTGGTGGTTCACACCACAGCACGAACTAAAAGTCAAAATGGTTCGCCGGTAGTTGGTGGACATGTCACTTTAGTTGAAGGCCATCTCAATCCATTAAGAACTGAATAAAACATCATCACTAAACAATTCACCACCTTTCTGCAACTGCTCTCGCACAAGGGATTTGAAATTGAGCCCTTACAGACCTGACAACATGTGGGTAAGCGTATTTCAAGACTACATGCAATCAACAAAAAATTAATCCAGCTCACAAACCAACGGTTGGTTCAGTTGGGAATTGCATCACTGGATAATTAGGTGATGGGTTCCTTCTTGGACTTGCGGGGTACAGGAGATATGAACAGACGACGCTTACCATCAGACCCAAAACCGTATCAGCAAAGGATCTAAAGTGACATGATGGGAAAATCACATCTAGGAACTGTTGATCGGAACGTCGGAATTGAAGGATTCAGCATAGCCGAGGAGCGCTAGATACGAAACTGGCCAATAGCATAAATATCCGCATTGTCGTGTCCACGATACGCTCTTAGCAGCAATCGAGATGCTAGTGAATGTAATCATCTGACGCGGCGCTCCCCGCTAACTGATTCGAAACCCGCGGATTCCGAGATGGTGTCAGTCGAGAATTGTGCATTTATTCAACCATGTCCTTCTGAATGGTCCTGGCCAGTCAACAACCACCTCAATTCAAGCTACAATGGCCTCTAACTTGCACATTCTGATCGTCGGTGCCGGCTTTGCTGGTCTGACTGCCGCCATTGAATGTCGTCACCGTGGCATGCGAGTAACTCTTTTGGAGAGTTATCCCACAAGCCGCAACTATGGCGACATCTTGGATTTCTCACCCAATGGAGGAAGGCATATGGCACGATGGGATGGAGGCAGCGTCGCTAAAGAGCTCATGGAAGTTTGTCTCAACGATACCGACCAATTCGAATACTTCAAGTACGATGGCACAAAGGTGCTAGAGGAACCGTTCCTGCTGAAGAAGGAGCACTACTATGAATTGCTCGGAGGACATCGTGGCGAGATGCATGAAATTGTCTGCAACTATGCCACCCGAATTGGCGTCGATATGCACTTTGGAGAAAAGGTAGTCGAGTACATTGACGACGAAGAGCTGGCTGTCCTCACAGAAGCTGGTAAAAAGTACGTGGCCGACGTCGTTGTTGCTTCCGATGGACCCAAGTCGCTGGGCCGGACTCAAATCCTCGGCCTACCTGAGACCAAGGTCAACAGCGGGTATGCCATCTATCGAGCTCATTGTGAAATCACGGATGAACATCGCAACCATCCGTTGATTGGGCCGTTGTGCCGCGAGAGTCCTAACTTTGCGGGCATGTGGGTGGGCAAAGACCTACACATGATTATCTACACATGGAAGAAAGGCAAAGATTTGGCCTGGGTTTTTACGCACAAGGTTTGTTGCTCTTCTATTTCTGGAACTCAGCTAACTTGAATAGGATGGAGATGATATTTCAGAGTCTTGGTCTTTTCCAGGAAATATGGATGATGCCGTGGCGTATCTAGAAGAAGCCAAGTTCGCCGACGTTTGCAAGGAAACTGTCAAGCTCACACCCAAGGACAAGATTATCGACTACAAGCTTGTCTGGCGTGAGCCAATCACGACTTGGCTGGGCAAGAACAAGCGCAGCTGTGCCATTGGTGACGCTGCTCACTGCCATCTCCCAACCTCTGCTCAGGGCGGCTGCCAGGCTGTCGAGGATGGCGTTGTGCTTGCTGTCTGCCTCGAAAAGGCAGCAGGGGACGTTCCTCTCGCCCTTCAAGTTTTTGAGAGGATTCGATTTAACCGATCTCACGTTATTCACATGTCTTCTATCACGGCTCGAGATGACATGCACTATATTGACTGGGAGTCTGACTTCATCAACGAGCACCCCGAAGCACTCAACATTCCTCGAATGGCTTGGGTGCTGGACTTTGATGCCAAGGCTGATGCTGAGGAGCACTTTGATCAGCTAGCGGCGGACGTGAAGAGTGGAAAGAAGGGGACTATTCAGGAGCTTTCACTCCCAACAGGGTCGTTTGAGTTGGCTGAGAGGAAATACTTTAAGGAGTCGGTTGCGGAGACTCCGAATACTGCTTCCCAAGTTACTCCGACGGCAGTCCAGTAACTTGGCCATGGTGAAAGAATTATAGTAAATTGACATCAATAACTGGACAGAGGCTTGGAAATGTGATGAATTTATGCTGACGGGAGTACGCGCGACGTCGTCACTACCAGATGTGGAAAGCTGTGTTTGCAATCATGTTGAGTAACCAAGGTAGACGCAAATGGTCACATAAAATTTCAATAGCTCTGGCTTAAAGTTCTTGTCAGAATTACGGCCAGAAATAGCTCACTCCACTACAGCGAGTTACAAGAAACGGTCAAGAAACAGTGTTCTTCCGTTCCTTGCCTCTCATTTGTGCGCATCACGGTGCTCCGATGATGCGGGGTTAGGCTTCAATAGAGGAGTCAGATCGGGCCACAAGACACCGAACACCAATACAAGAGACGCAGTCGAGGCATTTACGACGTGCTCCTTTCTGCAGCCCAAAATGAATTAGTTCCTCGATTAACTTATGTAGCCAGCGCTTGTGACCCATTTGGTGAATCCCCTCATCCAAGCTACGTCATGCCATCAGTCGGGCCACAGAGCTCCGATAGTGGATCTAATACCTCAAGCTGACTTGGCAGTGTTGCTCGATGCGTAAGCCATGTACTATAAAAGGCTTGTTCAGTTCCCATAGTTGTTCTGAACATAGAAATTTCAACAACAACGCCAAGATGTCTATGACAGTAGATGATTGCTTCAAAGTCCGAGACGGCTTCCCTCGGCCGTTCCCCAACACGCCCTCCAATGTGCTTGAGCAGTTCAAGTTGACCGGCAAGGTCGTCGTTGTGACCGGTGCTGCCGATGGTCTGGGTCTCGCTGTGGCAGAGGCAATGGCGGAAGCGAATGCCCAGGTAGCCTTTTGGTACAACTCGTAAGTCAGTTGGCCAACACCTGGAATCTTCTAACACGCAAAGAAACGATGCTGCCATTGCAAAGGCAGAGGAAATCGGGAAGGATCACGGTGTCAAAACCGCTGCCTACAAGGTTGATGGTATGTACAAGACCACTGTTACGCAACTGACGCTAACAATACCACAGTCTCCAACGCCGAGCAAGTACAGAGCACCATAGCCAAGGTTGTCCAAGACTTTGGAAGAATCGATGTCTTTGTGGCCAACGCCGGTAAGATCGAACGAATTCCCCAAGAGTTGGAGCTAATCGTCGTAGGTATGGCAATTTCAAAGCCCATCTTGGAACAAACCCTCGAAGAGTTTGACAAGCAGATGTCTGTGAATGGTTAGTTGTCTTCTCATTATATTCTTTAGTGGCTAACTGTCTAGTCAACGGAGTTGTTTATTGCTCAAAGTATGCTGGAGAGGTTTTCCAACGCCAAGGAGCAGGAAACCTCATCATCACCTCCAGCATGAGCGCGCACATCGTCAACGTGCCAGTTGATCAACCAGTCTACAACAGCACCAAGGCCTTTGTTACCCATTTCGGTAAATCCTTGGCTCGCGAATGGCGGGAGTTTGCCCGAGTGAACATTGTTTCACCTGGATTCTTCGATACCAAGATGGGTGCAGGCCCCTCAGCTCTCAATGAGGCCTACCGGATGTCATCTCTTGGAAGGCAAGGCCATGTGAAGGAGATCAAGGGCCTTTACCTATATCTTGCTAGTGATGCGTCTACTTATATGACTGGAAGCGATGTTCTTATCGATGGCGGTTACGTTCTGCCGTAATAGAAACAAGCATTGCAATATGATAATAACGAATACGTGGCTGAGATGCAGGGTAATAGAATAGTAGACTCGCATTCTTATCAATTATCGTTCTGTAACTCAAACTGGGGATAAATCCAGTCGTTGAACATTGCATCCATCGGCGTATTGTCCAGATACCCCCATGGCGTCTGATCAAGTATCATCCGCAGAGTCAAGTCGGAGGTATCATCGTACAGGCCAAATTCATTCCCCGCAATCGTTGCGCATTCGCCCCCAGGTGCTCCGGCCAAAGCCTCACTATGCCCCGGAACTGGCAATTGCTGTTGATAACCCAATATTTGCCCGGCCTGTGATGCGGTATGGTCGGGCTCTACAATGTTCCGCGCTTGGGTTCTTCTGTGGATGAGGTCTAAAACCTCCAAGCAGCGACTCGCTGACTTGCTCTTCCGAGCTAGAATCACCAAACACTCGCGGGCCTCGGAAACCACCACCTGCCAAGCGGCTGTCTCGTCATCTGACCGTTGCTGGTTCTCTTTGTCAAGATAGCTTGCCTCAAGCACCAGCGCAGCCTGGAATAAAAAGTATGTTGCATACCACGCAATACCCAGATGCAAGATACCGTCGTAAGCACTGCAGAATGCCGCAATATCGTGGATGCTTTGCATTGCAACGTCAAGACATCGCTTTTCGGCGTCCATTTTGCTTGGAAGAAAACTATGATACCGCGTACTTCCCCGCCACAATATTATACGCAGATTCTGTTCCTTCCACAGCACAACCGCACGAGGACCAAGGAACCATGTTGGAACATCTGGTGATGTAAAGTAGCAAGGTAAAGTCTGCCGCCAAGTGGCCAGGTTGCGTTCCGTGGCTTCAGCGACTTGGTATTCTAGTTTTGCGTTTGCCGTCTTTGCCAACAAGAATTCGTGATACAGAACATTGGCAAGCCTGGCCAACTGCGCTTGTGCAATGATTGCAGACAGGGTGGTTGGGCAATCCACCGCTCCTGGAAGCGACGAGAGGAGAGCAAGGTCCTTGGACGGTTAGTACCGACATGAAAAGAAGGGATGTAATTACCTTGTCTTGTATATTTCTTGGAATCCGTGTATCGACAACGCCCTCGGAAACATTGGGTGGTCGCCCTGTTGTAATGTTGAAGCCGCTGTCAAAGCAGTACACAGTCCAAAACAACTGCCGGCGACGCTCATGACCGATATTGTCTTCGACTCCTGGAGTTTCTCGGTGCATACCAAGCCCCAGAGCCATCTTGTACGCTATACCTACAAAATTGTAGCCGGTATTGGGCCGATCAATTTTCTGGAGGTAGTTGCCCATCAGCAAGAATGCCTGTACAGTTTCCACTGTGCCTGATTCGAGCATCTGGATTGACAAGTAGGATCTCGCAGCCGAGTAGTATTTGGATTGCTCATGATGGGCATCTGTCGTGGATATCCAGTGCCCGAATGCCAGAACCATGAAATAGATGACATTCCAAGATGATTTGCACCTTCGCTGCTGTCGACTAGCAACCTTCTCTCGAAAGGTTCTCTCGTGTAGAATTGGGTAGGATACATTGTAGAATAGAAAGTATGCATCAATCAGGTGGCCTGTAATGGCTGATGATGCAAGTCCTGGCGGGTCAAGGATATTTTCGGGTGCTCTGCGTGACCGCCACGCTCCAGGCGAATTGCTGTGGTGTTCGCTCGAGACGCTTGGCGTGGCCAGCTCCGGGAGCATTGAAGCAATCTCCTGAAGTAGATTTGAACCTGAGCTGCTTCCTATAAAGTCTTAGCTCTTGCGGTTATCAATGCGAAGATGAAATACCTAGGTATCCAGCGTCGAGAGTGGACAGAGTTGCCATGCCGTCCTTGATTCTCAAATCACCCGCAGGAGAGCCAGAGTCTTGTGGCAACGACGTTTCATGCCACTCAAATTCATGGGCCGGCTGATCCCGATCTGTTTCAATCTGGGCCTGGACATCCTCAAAGTCGATCGGGGTGACATTGCTCCGGCCGTTGGCGTCGAGGTTCGCAATTGCCACATCAATGTTGAGCTGAGGGTGTAAGGATAGCAGCAGAGATTGAAGCTTCACGCATCGAAGCTCAGCCGCGTCAAGATTCCGCCTTGTCAAGGGTGTTCGATCTGGGGGGTTAACAAAGCTGCAGGTTTTCCCTGTCCGCGAGCAGTAGGAGCATGGCCCCCCACCCGTCCGGCTTAGCAAGCAGCGACTCTTTCTTTTCTGGCAGTTGAGACAGGCCCGGGGTTGGACTGGAGACCGAGATCGTCTGGAGGGACCCATTTTGGTAGGCCACCAACGGATAGCAGGCACATCGAACTGCAAGATATCATCACTCCGACATGAAGTGTCAGGCTTCACGTGAGCTCCCATCGAGTGGGGGAGCGTCGGAGCACAGAAGGCCGATGTGGATAACCCCAGCTTCCAGAGTCTGTCGGATTGGACAGGCTAAAGGTTGAGTGGATCTCGTATGCCGACTGCGGGGACGAAGTTACATTGTTGAAGGTTGCATCTCGCGACGATGCAACATCGACTGTTAGAGAGGGGGTGTTACAGTGGCAGACGAAGAATGGTGCATGAACAGGCCAGACCGGGTCATTATTAAGTGAGCCGATGTGATGTGGAGTCATAAAATGTGCAATAGAACTTCGATTTGTCAAATAAATACCTGGCGAGACGAATTGAACACTCTCCGTTAGGTAGACTTAAGGTCAAGATCGGTTGTAGATAATCTCAGGTCGGTCACTGATAATCAGATGGACTCAACCTGAGAGGTAGAAATATGTCCAGCCTTGTCCTTCTCCATATCTCCGCTCACTATTCCCAACTGCAGACGGATGTTTGCAATTCGCTGCATATCCTCCACACCCTGATTGCCACCAAAGAGCTTGTCCATTTCCTCAATTCTGACTCCCTTGGTCTCCGGGACGAAGAAATAGACCCACACTCCGAGGAAGAGACAGAAACCTGGGGAATTAGCTGGTGAAGCAGGCACGGAGATTAAACTTACCAAAGAAAAAGTAAAATGTGCCAAATTCGATGGCAGAGAGCATGCGAGGGGTAATAAGGGCAACAATGAACTGATACTGTTAGTACTCGAATATTTCAGGGGATTGTGTCATACGTTGCTCAACCAGTTGGTTCCAATTGCCACGCCCACTGCCTGAGAGCGGACTCCTGGTGGGAAAATCTCAGACGGCATGATCCAGTTGACACACCCAATGCTGAATGCAAAATTGGAAATGTAGAGCCAAATGAAGACGGCCGACGCCCATCCAGCCGCGGGGTGATTCGCCAAGGAATCTTTGTACACGGCAGATATGGTACCGACGATCAATTGAGAGATGCTCATCCCGACGGCACCAATGATGAGGACTTTCTTGCGGCCCCAACGATCCATAAACATGATGGCTGGAATCGTCGAAAAGAAATTGATTACACCAACTACGCCAGTTGCAAGAAGGTCGATGGAGTTTCCAGACAATCCAATCTTGCGGAAGATCTGGGGAGCGTAGTAAATGATGGCGTTGATTCCTAAAGAGTTAACGACATCCATTAATGGAGCATGGTAACTCACCAGTAAATTGCTGGATGATCTGGAGCAGACAGGCGATAACCAAGCGACGGTTGAGATGGCGGACGGTGAAGAGCGACTTGTATCTCTCAAAGGCGATTCGAACAGGAGATTCAATGCCTGGGTACATCGCTGCCGTCGTTTCCTGATCAAACATGGCTGCCGCTTTGATCTCGAGAAGCTCCAGTCTAATACGGTCGTCTGTATCGGGAACTCGACGAATGCGAATCAAAGTCGCCCGGGCCTCCTCTTCGCGGTCTGAAAACTGTCAGCCTTGTTCAAAAGCAAGAAATAACACTCACCTTTCATTACCAACCATCGAGGCGAATAAGGCAAGAAGAAGGTCCCGGCTCCTAGAATCACCGAAGGGACGCACTGGAAAGCAAGGGGAAAACGCCACGCCGCAGGTGATTGTCCATCCCCAGTCCCGCCGATGTGCTGAGTCCCGTAATCGAGCCAAAACGCAACCATGATTCCGACCGTGATGCCAAGTTGCTGCATGGCAACGAGACTGCCGCGCAAATTGGGAGGTGCCAATTCACTCAGATACAAAGGCACCACCATCGAGAGCTGACCAACCGAAAGACCAGCGATGAATCGGCCCACAAAGATCATGGGGATATTGATCGAAGCAGCTTGAATGATGGATCCGATGAGGAAGATGATGTTGGCAAGAAGAATAGACCACCGTCTGGACAATCGATCGGCAATTGGTCCATTAGCGAGGGCACCAAACATGGCACCCAAAGTGAGTACGGCAACCATCCATCCTTGTAGCGTATCGTCGCTGGCCAAGAGAGGAAATTGCTTTGCCTGTGAAGATTTAGCACTTGGCTTTAGATGAGAACGGGTGACGCACAAAGTTGTTCATTACCAACACGCCACTGATGACACCTTGGTCGTAGCTGTCGCTGTTAGTCGAGTCCTGCATCATATCGAACAACTCACCCAAAAAGAACACCGCCAATACTTGCAAAACATGCCAGAGAAAGGATGTACGGCTCTCTAAAGAGGCCCTTGTAGCCTAGACGCTGTCAGAATTGCACGTCAACGTCGTGGTGTACGAACCTGCTTCTCCGTATGAGATTTCAACTCCTCCCGCAGGAGATACTCCACCAGGTCCAGCCATTTGAGTGTTGGACGGGATGTTCGTAAGTTACAAATAGTGACTAGTACTTTTGTCACAAGAGATGTGCCAGGCTAATTGACGAGGAAAGGCAGCCGGCATGCAACATATATAGTCCCGGCATGAGGAGGATTCCGGACACCTGGACCCGACTAGTCATGCGCTAACCCATCCTGCGCTTGGCAGAATCCCCATGGGGTAGAATAATCGGGGTAACCAGCGTCGGCCACTGGTAAAACAAGTCAGGTGCGACAATTGAGACGGACAAACAGGGTGTTTGTCACCTCATCGGCGACTGTGCTCCGAAGTCGCATGATGGTTGAAGCGCTAACCGCCGGACTGGGTCAAGCGAGGACCCGTATCGGAGGGCTGTGATCCGATGGCGAGGAGTCGGCGCGTTGTGGTCCGAGAAGAATGGTAGCTGGAGTCTGGTCTAGTGGGTGATGCCGGTTTAGATTGAATCCGATGGTGGGTTGCATTATACGCAGGGATAGAGAAGTCGGCAGTGAACGAATTGAATCTGGATGGATGATTCAGCTTCGTTTGCGATGGATGGCCACAAACATGAGTCAAGGCACGCGTCTCATCGATTACATGTGAGTTCTCATTAAACTGTAGCAAAGCTAGAATTGTTCTAATAGCCAATTGCAAGAGAGTCTATTTCTACCTCGGACTAAGAGCCTTGTCATCGACACTCTGCACAATAATATTTGGTCGTATGAGATTCCTCCGCACCTCTTCTCCATTCAGCAGATCATTCTTGTTGGCTCTAGCTATGGCCTCCTCCCAGTTCGTTTCAATCCCTGCTTTTATATGTCTAGCTGCAACACGGTGTCGTGCCAACGATGGTTCCACATCAACAAACCAAGTGTCGTCCACGTAGTCGGGAATCTGCTTCCAAGGGGCGCGGTCGAGAAGCAGCCAATTGCCCTCGATGATGACGATTTGAGTCTCTGGTTCGATGCGAAGCGCATCTGCAACGGGGTCTTTGGATTTGTGGTCGAAACTCGGTGCCGTAATGATGTGTGTAGGTCCGTTCCGAGAGACGTGGAGAGCTTTGACAAGCTTCAATACGCCGTCGGAATCGAATGTCCAGTGAGCGCCCCGTCGGGCGTATGCCTCGCCGCGATTGGGTAATGTGTCGAGGTGTGCGCGAGAGTAGTGAAAGCCATCCATCGGCAGGACTGCTGCGGTAGGACGGCCGGTTTGAGCGTTGATGCGTTGCACCACTTCAGCTGCAATGGTCGACTTTCCTGATCCTGGCGGACCAGAAAAAGCGATGATGACTCGCGTTAGAGAGTCTTGTTTTGACGTCGTGTATATGTCAAGGGCCCTTTCTGCTAGATTTGTGTAGACAGAATCCATGATGTTGCCTTCAATCGACTGTTGTCAATCCACTGTTGCCGGTAACACCGCCCAATCCCCAGGGATCTAGTGGCATCTTGTAGGGCAATTGGATTGGATTCAGCCCAAAGCTGATCTCTGTCGGGCGACTGTGCTCCGAACAATGTGGAGCTCTAGCCAGGGATGACACGGCTGCCACAGGAGATCCAGTACTGCAGTGAGAATTATCATCTTAATTGTCGATGCTAGCTAGATTCATAAAGCACTCTTGGTTAATTCTTGAATCCGTTCACTTTACACATACACTGGTCTTCTCAGGTCATTCCCGCACAACCATGTCTCCTTCTGTTGAACTGACCGATCGCGCGGCCTTGACCGCCAGAGCGGTTCCGTCGATGCTTCTTAGCGACGGCTCTGCATCGTCAATGACGCCGCCGCCAACCACAGGGATTGCAACTGATGCCACAAATGGAGCCAAAGATCGGTTCACAGTTCGAGGAAATATGATTGTCACTGGAGGAGCTGGAGCTCTCGGCCTGGCCTCTTGCGACGCCCTGCTAGAGCATGGTCTCTGCGGACTGATGATCTTTGATGTGAACCCCGCACAGTCACAGCAAGAAATCGACAAGATGCGGTCCAAGTTCCCGCAAGCCAAAATCAACGCGCTCAAGGTGGATGTCACAGACGAACAAGCCGTGGAAAAAGCCGTGGAAGAAACAGCCCGGGTTCTAGGCTCAGTCGACGGCCTCGTGTGCTTTGTCGGCGTCGTTGGCTGCGTGGCGACTCTCGAGATGCCCGTGTCGCAGTGGCGGAAAATACTCGACATCAACACTACCGGATCTTTCATATGCGCTCAAGCGGCAGCGCGCCAAATGGTTCGACAAAAGACAGGCGGGTCCATCACCTTTACTGCGTCCATTTCCGCCCACCGCGTCAACTTTCCCCAGCCGCAGGTCGCGTACAACGTGAGCAAGGCAGCGCTATTGACGCTCAAGAATTGTCTTGCAGCTGAGTGGGCGCAATACGGTATCCGGACCAACAGTATCAGCCCGGGATACATGGACACTATTCTCAACGAGGGAGATGGGATTGCAGAGCATCGAAGGATTTGGGCTGCTCGCAACCCTAGCGGTAGAATGGGGAGCCCGTCTGAGCTAACGGGGGCGGTTGTACTGTTGGCGAGCACGGCCGGGACGTATATGAATGGAACTGATATTGTCGTGGACGGCGGTGCAATTGTTTTTTAGTCTGGTTTGAAGAGCTCGGCATGAAAGACTCAATGCTCGGGGTTCCATTTAGCATGTTCTCGGGCGTGAGGCGATTCCGGATACAAGTGCAAGTAAAACTCGAGTAGCTTAAAAGTCGTCCTAAAAATACAATCCATTGGATATGCAGTAATAGATGATGAAAATCACTTCTAAAATGGTTCAGTTCATCGACGAGTCGATTAGTGACTTCGTAGTAGGCATAAAGGCATGTATAAGCAGCATCCTGAATATGGAAAACCCTCTGAGAGCATCATATTGTTGGCGGCTATAATAGCATAATCCCTTTATAGAATTGGTAGCCACTGTAAAAGGGTTAATTACAACGCGCGAGATAAATCAAGACAGACGCAACTATTGTGAGCTATCAAAATGGGCAATGCGGTTATTGCAAAGTTGCTGATATTACCGATAGTGTCTCTCAGCTTGGAGGATACACTGGATCAGAGGCCAGTATCCATGGCTACTTACAAGGCTAAAAAATACTCATAAAGTCACCAGTGAAATGGGATAGTGCATTTACACATGACATGTTGCCAGTGGTGAATAAAACACCTACGGTCATCTTCAAGGTCGGAGAACTTACAGTGGGTAGGTAGGTGTAAGCGCTGAATATCAGGGCCTCTAGGGCTCTAGGGCACGTTAAGCGCTGAGCTTCAGCGGCCGGCACGAAGAGCGCCAAAGGTTCCGGGAGCTAGCGCTTGAAGGAGGAGGCGAAGCGCTAACTTCAGAGGGTTAGAGGGGTAAGGTCGCTGAAGATTAGGGCAGCCAGATTCAAAAGCTACCCAGATAATTGACCCTTTCCAGTTATTACTTTTTGGCCCGAATCGTTCCTGATGCCCAATTTATAGCCTTAAAGAAGAATTAACGTCAAGGGGCTATACGAAACAATGGAAAACGCAGAAAGATACGAGGCCACTGGCATAACTGGTACTCCGGCGAAAACGGGCTGGAACAAGCCTAGTGAAGTATTCTGACGTCAACCCTTACGCTGGATTAGAGTCTCCGTCATGAAGACCAGGCGCTTGATGGTCTTAATCATTCTCTCGCTTTGCTACATGTATATTATAGTAACTGCATTAATATTTACCCTAAACAGAGAAACCAGATTAGAACTATTGTCCAGGGAACGAATACATGGACTGTTAAATAGGGACAAGGCTACTGATATGCAATTTCAGTTCACGTGGTGAATATGCTTCAATTTAATAGGTTAAGACACATCTTTATCGTTCATGCAGCCAGCTTGAGTTCGTAAAATACCAATGAATCATACTCAAATATGTAAAATCAACATCAACTAATATGAAGAACCCTCAACATGATAAGCCACCTGCTTCGAACACACCAGCTTTCAAGGATTTGGTACATGTTTGAACAGGTCTGAAATATATCAGGTATTCATGTAGCATCATTTGATGTCTATGGAAAACCCCTTCAAGTCTTTCATCTGTCAGTTACTTTCCAAGTCTATGAAGCCAAGTTTCACTCAAACTGTCTCGTTGTGCGAGGACTTTACCTCCTCCGCGAGCTTCCCTCCAGTCTCCAAACCAATGGCATGCTTATCAAAGATCACAGCCATTTCTTCAAGACTGTGGCCACGAGTTTCAGGGTAAAGGAAGTAGATGGTGATGGTGATGGCAACCAGAATAACCGCAAACACCACGTAATATTTCCATCCAATTTTATCCAGCGCGATTGGGTTCACAAATGTATTGAAGAAGATGGCAGCATAGGTCGACAGTTGAGTGATAGCAATGCCGCGGGCACGCAGGGCGTAGGGCCAAATCTCGGCGGGGTAGGAAACGGCCAGGGGCGTACTGTTTGAGCATTAGTATTGGACTGGCAGATGAGATACGGCAACTTACAAAGCAATGTCGTAGAATCCATAGTAGATAAACAGGAAAGGAACCACGGCAAGACCTGCCGCTTTGTTGCCGGTCGTGTCAAATGTCCCGGACAAAGCTGAGATGAGCACGAAGCTGACCAACATGCCGACAGAGCTGAGGAGGAAGAGGAAGCGGCGTCCAACTCGATCGACACTGGCAGCAGCTCCAACGGCTAGGATCAAGTTCCAGACTTGCAGGCAACCACTGATGAGGGTCTGATCAGTGACGGAAGTGATACCAACAGTTTGTAGCACAAGGGCCAAGTAATAGCTGACCTATTATCGTCCAGTTAGCAGATGCATAGTCAACCGAGTGAAAATACTAACCACTCCCACACCGTTCCATTGGGCAAAGACACCGAGTGAAATGGAAATGGCTGCGCGATGGCGGTTTCCAGGCGTGTTGAATAAGTCTCCCCAGGAGGTGCTGGATGCGTTATCGCTCTCCTCTCGGATAACGCACTCAATCTCGTCCAGTTCGAAATCGACCAAGGCGGAGTTATCCTCGCCACCAGCGTGGAACTTGCGAACGATCTGTTTTGCTTCCTCCGCGCGTCCCCTGGATATAAGGTATCGGGGCGATTCGGGGACCAAGAGAACGGCGGGGAGGGCGACAATCGGGATGGCGATTTGGAGCAGCGAGGGAATACGCCACGACCAGGAATCGTTGTAGTTTCGGGTTCCATAAGTCACCCAAGCAGCCAGAAGCGATCCGACATACCAGCCGCAGTTGTACAAGGATGTGAGGAACGCTCGATGGGTCGGGTATGCGAGTTCAGTGATCAGAAGAGGCGCAAGACCAGACCACCACGCGCTGGGCTGGCCGAGGAAGAATCGGCTAGTGATGAATCCTGCTGAATTCGGCGTGAATGCTTGCAAGAAAGCTCCCAAGAAGAGAAAGAAGTAGCCGATCAAGAGGCCTCGCTTTCGTCCCCATCGGTTGGCAAAGTAGGCAACCGCCGGATAGGCCAAAGTCGAAGAAAGGGCCTGGATTGCATTGATGAAGCCGAGCCACGCGCCTTTGGGGTTGTCCATGAAGTCGTGCCACTGCGGCAACGCCTGCAGTCCATTCATCATGGAGCCGTCATATCCATTGGCGGCAGCCAGAAGTGTCAAGGAGACGGCATAGTAGTTGAGCAGACGCAGGTGGCCTTTCTTGTACCAAGCGACTCCGTCGTTTGGCAAGACGTGAGCGATGCCTGCGCCGACGGCATTCTGCTCGCTTTGAGTGTTGGAGCCTTGGCCCATGGTTCAATGATCTGATCAAGGAGAAGAAGCAGGGATAGGAGGGATGATGGGATGAGTCCGTTCCAAGTGGAAACATCTCGGACTATATATGTTGGAGCATCGAACAGACCATGCTACCCCAGCCAACCCCACAACATAGAGAAACGCGGGGATTCGCCTGGGGTAACTGGTGGCAACGAGCAGATTAGGTTCTTCACGCCTCCGGGGAGTTACGGGGATTGAGTCGTCTCGGGGAGTTCCGGGCACGCTATTTCAGCCATGGCATCCTTGATCTCACCTGTAGCTCCTCGGGCCTATTAAGGGTCCATGGCGACGTAAATGCGACCTGCCAAGTATTTGAGGGCATTTTCAGGTTGAATTCTTACGCAGAGGATTGATGGTCATCGTTTTCCTGTTACTTGGAACACAAGCCTCTTCAGTACTTTGTACGAACGGTAATGAAGGCCACCGGAATTTGAATCCCGCGTCGTTGTAATTCCGCATGGACCCAAGTGGAGACGTTCCATGTCACCAACCCTGGTGTGTTAGACTGCCCGCGGAGTTTCGGTTCTCTCAGCTCCTGAACAAAGGTCCGCTTGTTCCGTGAAATGATTGGAAGCCAAGACTCATTATACGCGCCTACTTACCGCCTGTTCGAGTAGGACAAGATTGATAAAGAGTACCACGTCTCCGGGTCAGAAGGTCCAGTCATGATCCAATATTAATTGATCGCGTGGCATACTTTCTGTGCATCAGCTGTCTATACATATATGAGCACTGCGGCTCTACGTTTGATCTGTGAGAGTCGACATGATCCCTTCAATGACCTCAATAGCACGACTCACTCCCGGACCCTCATCCTCCCAATACCTGAGTTTCAAGAGTGAGGCACCTACAGCACTCACCCAATCAGGCGGTACATGAATGGTCCCACATCGAACAACTGCTAGAAGTGATAGCATGGCCCCCGTGCATCCGCGAGTGGCATACCATGTACCGTGGTGGCGGTGTGTCACCGGCTCGCAACGAACGATACGCATGCAATTGGAGACTGCTTTGTCCAAGTACGGCAGAACCAAGCCTCGGCATCGAGCATTGGGTGGACTGTGGATTGCGTAATATAGTAGCGGTCGATAGATCCACGCCTTGATGTCCAGGACGCGGCTGTATACCATGTAAGGGAGTTCTTCATCGGGGATTGTGTCTTCGTTATACTGAATAAGAGCAGGAAGTCCTTGATACCTGGATCGGTCAGTGTGCTGGCATTTACTGCATGGGATGCATTACCATTCGTCAAGTTGCTGCTCAAACTCACTGGCAGCCTTGATCATGTATGGCACAGTCTCGTCTGTCCAAGACTGGTGATCGTCGCTGTAGAGAATATTGAGAACCCGATTGACTATCCGACGAAGCGTTATTTCCGTCAGGTAGTAGAACCAGCTCTGTTCATGTTGGCGATGTGACCCAAGCGATCTCCGGCCCCCTGACGATCGCTGCAGCCCACTTTGAAAGGTAGCCTCCCCATGAGGTGCTTCGCTCGGGACGTCAGGAGGGGAAGGGTACATGTCGGGGTAGTGGAAGTCGGCCAAGGAACTGTTGGGGAGCTCAATCTCGGCGCGTAGCTCGCACTCGGACTTGTAGCAGCTCCAGTAGAGGCGCTGCTCCAACTGTCGACGCTTGGAGGCCTTTGCGGCATCCACACAACGGGAAGGCCGACGCGCTTGACACTGCAGGTACATGTGGTATGATCTGGAGGCTGAGTGAAACTCTGCCCAGGCGCTCAAGGGTCGCTGGGTGTACATGAGGTATACCCCTGCTAGAAACTGGCACTGGGAGGCGAGAACGTCCCTCTCAAAGAGGCCAAATCTTCTGCGAGCCAGATTGTAGTATCGTTCCCCTTTTTGGATATCATCGCCCTGCGCCTGAAGGGAGGAAAGATTTTTCGGGGGGGAAAGATCGGCCGTGTGAGGCTGGGCAACACAACCGAGAGCACACGCAATAAGCTGTTTACATTAGAACCACACGAGATTGCGTCCAATTCGACTCACCACGAGACATGACGGTGAGTCCCACTTCAATCCGTCCTCAACCACGCGACGCGCGTATGACCAGATGGTGTCTGGGTCTAGAACCGGGTTTTTAATGTGGACCAGGTCTAAGAACCGCTGCACAAGGTCTAGAATCTGGTCTTCATCGATTCCACTCCCTTTCAATCTTGAGTTGCTTCTGCGGGTTTTGACGGCTGGGTTCAGCTCTTCCACATCTGAATCATCAGCCATGTCTGCCATGAAAACGGCATCGACCATGTAGTTTCTTGGATATCGGTTCTCGAATATTGGCCACTGAAGAATGGCATCTGGTGAAGTCTTGGACGAGGGGATTCGCAGGTGATCATAGCTGGAGTCTTGATCAGGGCTAATGAGCGGCTGAGGAGGCTCATCAACCGGGGATATGTGGGTATCGGCTGTTGGTATTGTGGAGACCCTAAGAGAATCGGGCAGCTGGTTGAGGCGAGAAAGGACCTGATCTAGGCGATCTAGAATCAGTAAACTAGCAGGGTCGAATCTGTGACGACTATTAGCGACACGGCATCGCCGCACGGCAAAACATACGCTGAGTGATCCTGGGAGTCGTCATAACAACACTGCGACTTGGAAGCCAGGCAGCTTCCACAAGCAGGGCGAGAATTATTGCATTTGACCTTTCTCACACGGCATTGTCGACATGCAGCCACGGCTCTCTTTCTGGGATACACAACGGCATCCCGGGAGCTCTCAACACGCTTCCGCTTGCCATTTGGCTGCGACTGCGACGATGTGAGGGTCTGCTGTGCGTCATTGATTTGGGTGACATCCATTCTGGCTCTTGGAGTAAGCAAACCCGCGTGTGGGACTACCCCGGACTGGTGAACGGCTGGGGTCGCCTTTGGAGATGGTTCTTGCCCTGTTTAGTGGTCAGGGATGAGGAGAATGAAAGACAGCTTCCGGTACAATTGCCGTCTTTCTCGCGGAGACACGGGCATGAAGATGGATGAGGGGGAATGATGGAGGGAGAAGAGACAACCAGCTTGATCCGGGGAGTTGCGGCACCCAAACTTTATGTTGCGAACTCGGGGAGTGACGGGTAAGCGGGTCATGTCCGGGACGTCTCCGCGGAGTCTCGGGCTTCGTATTTAAATGAAAGTGGACTCGAATTTCCTCCAGGCGTCCAACCCCAGACATTGGACAGCCAGGAAAGGAAAGGCGGCCTTTGAGATGAGGATGCTGCGGGGAAAGGGACCCTAAGACGGTTTCTATTGCGGGGTGGCCGTGGAGTGTGGCATGTCTTGACTCGGGCCCAGGAAGCCTGATGGGGTAACGCCTGTGATGTGTGATGTTGGTGATGTCGATGTGTCAGGATGTGAAAGTTGTACCTTGTTAGTGGTATCATACGCTGGATTAAGTGATTCTGCCAATTCGTTATTTTATCTGAATCTTGAAAATTCTGTTACCCTACTCATTTCTTCATAATAGCTCTTCATTTTCTGCCCAAAGCCCAAGGTCAGTCTCATTGTAGGTGTGACGCTCGGTCGCTGCCGCATCGTGAGTGGGCTCCCGTTCGGAGGCGCCGGAGTCCCGGAGGTTCCGAGTCGGTGCCGAGGCCCTGCCGGTCTCCCTATGTGGTCACATACGTGTTGATATGGTGTTAAATGCGGCATTCTTTTGTTTCACACATTCTGAGGGGTTCTTTTTAGCTCTGCTCTGCATCATCAGATAGACTGAAGCTATAAGAAGTGCAGACTATAGGGACAAGTATGTACCGTTACAGTCGCAGCATCCATTTGAGAGCTCGTCAACAAAGGGTCATGTACAGTGAGATGCAAAGCTAGCAGTACGTTCCCCTATGAATACAGTGACCGCATTCCCGGCCCGCTGGTCTCCCCCATTTTTCGGTCCCGCTCCAGGCAGGTCACATCTTGGCCCTCTGAGGTGCGTTCAACAGTTCACGCAACTGCTACCCTAGGGTTGTTACGGATTTACCTTTGTGGCGAGCCCTCAATCCAGCCCGTTGTCTCTCATCGTGCGATTTTTGAGTTGATCCCCACTGGCTGTAATTCCGATGGCGGCTGCTCACTGAGCCGAGGTAACTAGTAGAGGTTGTTGCAGTGGGAACAGTCGTTAGTGGGCGTCAGCCCCTGTAAGGTGTGCGGCGACAGGGGACTATGCGCTATAGTTCAGGACGCTCACTTCAGGTCAAAAGGCCTCTGCGTGCGAGTAGCAACACTCTACTCCATCCTGCTACGGTAGTGAAGTGTTCAGTGTGCATCCAAACTGGAACAGGCATGATAAAACGTGTTAGATTCACCCACATTATCCTAACAAGATTGGCGCTAGATACGTGAATTTAGTCAAGTCGTGACTGCAACAACTTGTTTTGTCTCTTCCTTTCTCTGCGCAGGTTGCAAGTAGAGACCAGACCTGAATGCACGCTCAACACACGCATGCAGTCGACTCACGGTAAATTGTTTGGCCAAGAATACATGAGTCATGTCAATATCGCTACCAAGACCAACGTCTTGCATGTTTTGTTCCCGTGTGTAGACGACACTGGGAATGTGGTACATGAGGCGATGCCTCCATCTTACTCAAATTCTGTCCCGGTCGTCATCCCCTATTTATCAATCCTGTTCTAAACCATTGACTCAGTACGAGTTTTATTAAACTTTGAGCCGGTATCTCCCTCACTCTGTCTCAGAAGCTCAGCCATCAATCTATCCGAGCCTGTTAGTCTGTTGACTCCGAGGCTATGCCTCTTAAGGGACAGAGCACACGAGAAGTCCTTCATTTACTGTGATTTTATATTATCTTCCTATACGCCTGTAGATTACATCATCAAGTACCCTAATCTTCTTCATCTAGATCAAAGCTATCGAGGTCGAATTCAGAATCGATTGGTGAGCTGCCGGTCGACGGCTTATAATCCTCATCATACATCGGCTCAACTGCCTCCAAGTAGTGACTTCGATCATGCATGTCAGAACTGATGTCGCAGCATTTGTTGCAGAGCGAAAAGTCGCGAGTGCACTCCAGACACTTCCACTGTATACCTATGATACCCTGGATTAACACTGATTGTTAGCATTGGCGTTTCGTCGGTAGAAGGTGATACTAACCACGAGACAGCTGCTACAAAAGTCTGTCTTCTCATGACCACACTTGCTCTTGTGGAAGAATTCGTCCCACTTCTCCTCCTGACCATTCGAGTTGACCATTGTGTGCTCCTTGGGCTCCAGTCTAGCTTTTAAGGACTCAGGCCGACCCGCAAAGTTCGCCAACTTCAATGCCGACCACTCATCCTGCTTGCCGGGAGTGCGGCTTCAAACCCACACATCGGCGTTTCGCTCTACTAGCTGCTTGATAGTGTTTTCGGAACCTGAGCGTGCTGCCCACATCAGCGGAGTCCAGTTGTCGTGGTCCAACACGTTGACGTCCATTTGGAACTTTTCCAAGAGGTAGCGGGTGCAGGAACTGCCTGGAGCGGATGCCGCAAAGTGAATCGGCATGCGGCCAAAACTGTCCTTAACATTAATTTTCGCTCCGGCCTCAACTAAGGCTCTGATGGCCTCGTCAGAGTATGATCTACACGCGAGGTGCACGGCGCGGCGCTGTTGACTGTCGACAGAATTCAACGGAGCCTTGCGCCGAATAAGAAACTTGAGTATCCCGACTTTTGTTGGGTCGGCAAAAGCCATGTGAGCAGCTCGAATAATCGGATACCCGAGCTCGCCACCCAGCTTCTCAATTGGCACCTTCGCTTCGTCAACAAGATATCGCACCAGATCCTCGGCTCTCCACGAGGATCGGACTCCTACCGCGGTGTACAGTAGCGATTCACCATACTCACGATGGACCGACTCGAGATCCGCGCCCGACTCGACAAGCAACTTGACGAGACTCAAGTAGCCCATTCTAACGGCAATATGGAGAATGCTTCCAAAACCGGGACCAAACACGTTGACTTCGGCACCTTGCTCGATGAGGTACTTGGCGACACCGTCATTGCGTGCCCAGACGGCCATAGCGAGGGGAGTGTGTCCTTGCTCATCCTGGACATTCAAAGGCGTATTGGCCTCGACCATGATTCGGACTGTGGATGGGACTGTTCTCCAGCGTATTTTATGAAGCCAGGTCTGGCCTCTCTTGTCGACTTGATCAACAGCTGCCTTGTACCGTTTAGACAATAGCAATTTGAGGATTTCATCAGCGCCGCCCGAGTCTCCTGCCTCATCGAGTAGGATATCAACAGCGTTCTGGCCGTTCTTGTTCCTGAAATTTGGGTTGGCACCAGCTTCCAGAAGGAGTTTGACGCATTTAATCGCTTTGTACATGCAGGCCAGCTGTAAAGGCGTGCACCCGATCTCCTTTCGGATCTTCCCATGGTCACCAAGCGCAAACTCCAAGTTGGGCTTGGGATCGCTTTCAAGGAGTACTTTAACAGACTCCGAGGACTTGCCATTACCTGCAGCCATGTGCAGTGCCGTTCCGAAGATGCTGTGGGAATCTATAGGGACGGCCCTTTTCAGTAGCTCCGCAATCATACCTGGGTCTTTGTGACCGGCGTGAAGGGAGCCCATTCCACCAAATCCAGTCCACATGGGGTCGGCACCATTATTCAGTAAATACTTTGCCACTTCAGTGCGATTTCCATACAGAGCGCCGAACAATGGTGGAGCTGAGACGTCTCCTGTGTAGTTGACGTCAGCCTTGTTCTCCAGGAGGAGCTTCACCATCTGCAGGTTCCCTTCGAAGCAAGCCCTTGAAAGCGGCGTCTTGCAGATCCCATCAGTGTTTTCTTTAATAAAGTCAAGCTTGGCGCCGTGCTCGATCAGCAGTGATGCAGGCTGGGTGTTGCTTGTGCTTATGGCGCAGATTAAGAGCGTAGGTTTGCCCTCGGGAATCACATCCATGTCTGGCTTGGGGACGTGATCGAGCAACAATCGAGCCACATCCAAATGGTTTTCACAAACGGCGTTGAAAAGTGCAGTCCCGCTGGCACACTCGACATTTGGATCTGCCTTGTGATGAAGCAAGACACGGACACATTCCAGAAAGCCTTCGTGGGCTGCAACGACAAGCGGCGGTCTGCAATACATGAGGGCATCGTTATCCTGCTCGCCGGTTTCGAAATCGGCACCAGACTTGATCAGAAAGTCAACCACCTTGTATCGGCCCTTGCCGACTGCCAATTGTACTAATCCTCGGCCATCGCGGTATCTTGTATCAATACTTGCACCCCGTTGTAGAAGGAGCTCGATTAAGCCCATGTCTCCTCTCATGACAGCGTTTGAAATTGGGCCGCAACCTCTATTGTCCGTAAGGTTCAAGTCTGGTTTGGACTCTGAGTTTAACAGAACCTCCATTGTAGAGAACTGGTTTCGCCATGTCGCAATACCTGCTGGAGAGGCTCCCCAGTAACTACTAAGCTCATTAATGTTGAAGCCAGACAACAGAATGGCTGCAATGAGGCCATCCTGTCCGGCAGAAGCAGCTCGAGACATGACTTTCTCAGACCACTGGAATGTTGCAAGGTTCGGTATCTTGTCAATAAGCATGTTCAAGATGTCGGCGTTGTCTTGCGCAGCTGCCCAGAGTAAAGCGGTTTGAAGCTCCTCTTCATCTACTCGGACTCGGTTCAATAGTTTCTGGACCATTTCCTTGTTGCCTGCCCGAACACACTCCGTGATGGCCAACCAGCAGTCTTTCTCAAACCAAGGCTGGTCATTTTCGGACTTGGCCTTGTCATCGACCAAGTCTTCTAGCCCCAGCATGGCAAAGACTGGGAGTGTTGAGATGTAGTGACGTTGTATCCGGGTGAATGGATTGGAAAAGAGCCAGAAACAGACCTCCCAGGCAGCTCGGGCCTTCTTGGAAGCAAAGAGGTCATGAACAAGTTGAATAGGCTTGAACTGTCCGCTAGCCTTGTAGTGTTGAGGCCAAAATCGAACGGCATACTCGGCTAGAGAGGTTCTGGGGTGCGAAATAACTATCGCATCCAATGACGTCTCCCATGGGCCTCCCTCGAGATTCTCCGAAGAAAACTCGTCAAGCGCCTCTTGTGTACTTTTTAGTTGCAAGTAACGCAAGCACGTCTCTGCCAGAATACTGTTGACCCTGGCCGCCCGCTCCTCCGCGCTCCCCTCCACGCCTATTTCGGGCACCTGGTAGAACGAAGGGTGGCTGAATTTGACATTGCAGTCCTTGACAGTGATGATTCCACACAGCGCCTCTTCTATTTCGGTCATCGTGCCTTCTGTGTCGACGTCGTCCAAGCAATGTTCTTTGTTGGGAAACTCGTAGATGGTGAGTGCTTCAACAAGAGAATCAGGCGACCATAGGTCTGAAGCGTGCTTAACCCAGTTGAAGACGTTTGCAACTCTTTCTTCGAGTCGTGGTGACAAAGAGGAGATGAAGACCTGGACGATATTCTCTGCCGTGAGGGGGAATAGTTTTTCGATGATGCCCGTAAGTTCAGCATTTGGCTTGCCTCGATGGTTTTTTCCAAGCCAATTCAAAATGATATGACCCAGAAATGGTGTGTCGTTGCATTCCTTGAATAGCTTCTGGAGCTGGGGTCGGAAATCCTTATAGATCGGCCGATTTCCCATCAAGCTAGCCACGCCCAACTGGAGTTCTTCGGCCAACCTATCGCCTAACCCACCAACCTCGGGACAATCATTGAGATTGACGCGTGCTTCATCAGGAAAAGATTGAACGGCCAAGCCGCCCGGGGTTGAAGTTGATAGAATCATGCGATATGTTTGGTCGCTGTAGCCCTGTTCCTCCAGAACACGCTCAAGAAACCATCGCCGCTGATCTTCCGGGCATTGATCGAAGCAGCCAATGAATATAGTGAGGCGAAGAACACTTCTGGAAAAGAATCTGAGTGCTGAATATAGATGGTATAGGTCTTTGAGTGACCACGATCGTGTGACATTCAAGAAACCCAGCTCTTCGGGTATATAACGACCGAGGACGGTCCAGAAGTGCCCAGAGATGACGTTGATCAAGTACGTCAACATTGATGAAAGATCGCCATATCGGGAATCCCACTGATCAAACTCAAAGTATATCACAGTGTTTTCAGGCTTCCCACTACCGTCACGAATAGCGAGATTGGCGTCATAATCGACATAGAAGAGACGGGACACCTCCGAGATGTCAACCAGAGAGTTCCCATCGCCATAGAGATGCAAGAGTCTTGGCCCCGTGTCCGTTTGGTCAAATCTGGTGTATGCCTCTTGTGTGTGAATCCATTTTACAATGGTAGGCTTTGGTAGCACTGGATCGTAGGGGACACCCAAAGCCCGAGTTGGAGGTGCGAGGGAGAGGAGATGTGCTTGGAGGTGGATGGAACGAGAGTTGACTTCGATAATTAATATTTCGTTCATGGTCAGACAATCCTCTCACTTTTCGTGCTCGGTAGTTCAGAACTTACTGCACCCCGGGACATTGAACATTCCAGACACGGCCAAGTTCCAACCGCTATCTGCGTCGCCTTGAACGAGCTTCACATGGTCGATATCTGCACACGGAAATCTTCCAATTGCTTCAAATGAATGCCCAATCGAGTGTGCGTATCGCGGGAATGAATTCACCGGGTCTTGTAGATTATCTTGTTTCGTCGGGTTTGTGGCAACAGCTCCAATTGTGCCATCGCCGGTGGGCCTTTGAGCGAGGATATCACCAACACTCTGTGTGAAGATGTTGAAACTGGCAGCACGATCCAAAATCTTCGTTCCCAGAAACCTCTCGTTAATCATGTTGACCTGACTTGCGAGGTTTGTGACCTTGGGTAACACTCGATACTTGATCTCGGGGCCTGGGAGGAGAATAAGCTTGTGTATTTGATCCTCGAGGTCGCCAGTGGATTGGAATCGGTGAGGCGTGCCCAAGAAGATCTAATAATGTAATTAACGGGTGTTGAGGCAGGAGAGATGTGATACTCACGAGCCCCGTGGTAAGAATAGCTATCTTCCCATACTTGGCAGGGTTGTTGATAGCTATGGAAAGAGCCTATCACGTTAGCCAATATCACTCCAACCGTCATTGCGCAGTACCTCTTTCACGATTGTTCCTCCAAGATCATGGCAAATCCAAATGATGGGACGGTCGACTTCAGTCTGCAAGAGGTAATTAACACGGCGCATTCCAGTGAAATAAGGAAGCTTACCTCCTCAAGCTCTTTGCGAATTTCGGCGTATTCCGTGACCAGCCTTTCTGCATGTGCCCTGATGCCGTTCGGTTGGTAGAGTAATGATTCTTGATCAACCTCGTATGAATAATCGAGCTGTCTGCCCGGCAGGCTTTCGAATAGCTTTTGTCTCACCCACCAGCTGCCATCTGGGGCAATCCAGGCAGTCTTGTAATCGTCGCGAATACCATGAACGGTGATGATACTGTATATCTGTGAGCCCGCTGTTCTACAGCCAAATTGAACCATCATCTTCATACTCATAATCATCGTATGCAGAACCATACCAGCCCAAACCAAGGGTACAATGGAGGCCAAGCTCTCGTTGCCCAATTTTTTGGGGCTGCCGAATTGTTGGTAAATCTTTCGCGAATATATCATCTGTTGTTGTAGTGTGGACACTGCCTGAATCATCGTCGTCGTCTTCCTTAGTATCGGGCAGTTTTGAGCCTACGTCCAACGCTGGCGTTCCTGGCTCTATCTCCGACCCTAGAGGTGAGGCCTGATGCGTGATTGCCTCAGAGTCTGCCATTTTGTTTAGATAGTCATCAAAACGCAGTCTCAGTTCTTGTCGAGGGAGTTGATCGGAATGAATATCCGGTTGAAGAGCCCCAACTTTCCATGAAGGGCTGGCATTGAAGCCTGGAATGCGGAGACAATCTGAAATGGCAAATTTAGCCGACTTAGCCTCAGACCCGAATGATTTCGTAGTTTTGATTGGCGTCGTGTTGGTTGTCATACGACACCCCTGTGTTCCGTGTCACTGAGCAGGCGAAGATATGCTGTCTGACCTATTCGGCTGCACTGTGAGCCATTTAATTTGCACACTCTATTGGACGGTTGTCAGCTCATTTCCGCCTCGTGATTCAACCTATTTTTAGCTGTCCGCTGAAGGCCGAAACCGGGTCGAGGTACAGGCAAAAAGGGGGGGGGGGGGACGAGACTCGAGGTCGGGTCGAGACTCACCTTGAAGAAGGTAGTGAAGAATAGAAGGGAAAAAAGGATCAAGGGCGGAGGCAGGAGAAGACTATATACCCTGTTGACAGCGAGTCAAGCCCAGGATTCGGCCAGCTGGGCTTCCGGGTATGATTCACGGCGGAATTGGTAGCATCTATTCACTACGCAGAGAGAGAGGGTTTAGAGAAGTACTTGAGGTGATCTCGCCTCGAGATAGAATAGACCTATGGTGAACGTAGGCATGAGTCGACTGAGGAGCTGCTTTTGGTGTGAAGGCGCCTGAATTTTCCCAGAGCAGAGAGGTTTATCTGCTGGAGATAGAAGATGTCAACTCAGTATCGGCTAGATCTATACATTTCCTACACTAGATACTGTTCATAATCTAGATTCTCAGTACAGGTCAAAGAGAGTAAGAATAATAACTGGATAATCTGTCAGGTGACTGTTGGAATAACGCTGGGTTGTGGCACATGGTGAGTGCCGAGCAGAATCTTCCTTGGCCGACGGATCATCTCTGAGACTGCGATTCAGTGGTTGTCAAAGAATGTCAATATCAATTCCTATGAAGCAACAGCAGAGAATCATCCCAAAATGAGCAGTGATGTTACTACTTCCATGTCTTCTGACCATTTTTTATGAGAGTTCTGAACGTAACATCGCAAAGATCGTTCGGATCAACGCTTCCCAACTCTTCGTCACCATACGTAACATTCTTGTTCGGATGAGTCCCTTTGTCTTCAGGGTCTGGCTGGAAAACAATAGCGTCGTCCTTGGGAATCTTTTTGAAAAGGCGCTGGAAGGAGGTTTTAAGATCCGTCTTGCAAGTAAAATCCAGTTTGCAAAAGAACTTTTCCTCATCGTTTCTCGAGACAAGCAATGCAACCTTCAGTGAGGCAGGAATCCCAGCTGGCTGTGACTCGTTCTCAGAGAGTGTCCATGTCGCGATGCGGTTGGGGGGCTTGTTGTCGACAAGACGCTTTCCGCCGCTCAGCGTAATAGCATCTGAAGTGGCTGAAGAGACCGTCTTCTCCCATTTGCCCGTCAAACTGAGATTTGCAATTTGCTCAACCCCGATGGTGGCTTCTCCTCCCTTGGTGACAGATTCCTCTTGGGTTGCCGGCATCAGACTGTACACATCGGCAAAGGAGATTTTCTCAATCTCAACCTCTCCATCGTCCGAGCCGGCCTCAAAAGTAAGCGTGATGGTGGCTTCGGAAATCCGACGCGAGCCCTTCGGTTGGAATTGCCATTGCATCACTATCAGGGTCGCGTAGAAGTCGCTATCGGCAGACATGGCCCCGTGGACCACCTTTTCAAGGTTGCAGGTGATATCTATGGCACCTGTACGCTGGAGGGCTTCAGCTCGATGGTATTGATCTGCTGCAACGTTGAAGACATGGAAGGCACTTTCTTCGTCCATCCCAGCCTCGTACATTCCAATATTGGTCTCTTCGGCATCACCTTGGCGTCCGAATAGGTCCTGGTCTCCGAATAGGTCGTGGTCGAGTTCGGACATTTTCGATCAAGAGGGCACTTTCAAGCGGTGTAATACGAGGTGAAAAGTGTCGCGGCCGCGATGCCAGGAGTACCATGGTAGATATGACTGCCACCTTTCACACCACGAACGGGGATTTCCAGGGGCTGAACAAGATCCATGTCGAAAAGGTTTCGGGTAGTAACACCTGTATAACACAGGTTCGCCTTTCGGCCCGAGTGGAGTACCTGCATGTAAGAATAGCCGAAATGAGCGGCTCTGCCTCATTTGAAGCTCTTGTCCAAGTTCTCTAGATCTTACCACTCAGACTTGCATCAGCAGTAAGACAGAAATCAACCCACACCAGATGGCACCCGACTCAGAACTCGACTCTGACCGTGGGTCAGATGACACCTTCCCCTTCGACCATGAGGTGCTCGAAGATGACAACTACGTCCACGCACAACGGGAGGAAACTCTAGAGGAGGGTTTAGAGAAGGCACGTGGAGTCATAAAGAAGAAGAGAAGATTCATCACTGAGGACGACGTTGAAGAGTTCTTGGATGAATTCCACGAAGTTGCTGGCAGGTCATCGTCCAAAGCTGTGGGCAACCGGCTCCACGTCTTGGTCGAGGTAGTCAAGCATAACGACGTCGAGCCGAATGGCGTAGAACTTCTCGTTCGGCAATTGGTCAAGAGATTCCCAGATCTGCTCAGGTACACGGACAATCATGGGCAGAATCCCATTTTCATGGCCATCAAAAACCTCCAGGATGAACTCATCAACTACATGATCTCTGCTTGTGTCGAGGACAAAGGAGACGAAACGGCTGCGATATGTCTCCGGGACGCACTGAGCATGAAACAAGGTGGCAAAACATGTCTCCATGCCGCTCTCCGTGAGAAAGTCAAAGCGAGAACAATCAGTATGCTGTTTGAAAACGCCCCGGATGAGGCCTTGGAGGTTCAAGATGAACACCAAAAGACTCCGATGCATCATGCCGTGGCGTTTTCGAAATGCACAGATACCAGGACAGAGCTTATCCAATTTCTTATTCAGAGAGATTTGAGCGCGAGATCAACCAAGGGGAGATCGGAGAAGACTTTTCTTGACCTGCTCGATCATAAAGGCTCCTCAGTGTTTCGAGAACATCAGAAGACGAGGATAAACACCACTTCGCGGTGGGAGAAAGAAAACCAACTCGCCGAAGGCAACAAACGAGATCAAGTCGATCTTTCGAAAACGGGTGACAGACCTACTACTAAGGATCCCGGATCTATGGGGAGCACAGGAGACTTGAATTCCGCTGCATCAACCGAGGTTGCAGCAGACCCCATTGCAGTGAGAAATGGCTGTGGTGGCGATGGACTCAACGGGCCAGGCGAACGTCAAAGGATGCACCCGCAGAAGAAGAATAAGCAGAGCGCGAAGCTGGAGGAAGAGAAGAAAGACGAGGAGCGCGGGAGGCCGTCGGGATGTGACAAGCATCTCAACGGGGGATCCATCGTTTGCCCAGACTTAAGCCGGAATACGCCCTTTCGAATCCCTTCACCTGGTTCAAATATTTCAGACCGAACAAGCCACGACATCTCGTACACGTATACGCCATATCGGATCCCTTCACCCGATTCAAACACTGCAGTCCGAACAAGCAATAAAACCCGGTATATGCCATCTCGGTTCCCTTCACCAGATTCAACCACTGCAGTCCGAACAAGCAATCAAATCTCGTATCAGTTACCTCGGATCCCTTCACCCGATTCAAACATTGCAGTCCGAACAAGAAATGAAACCCCGATCGTAGAGCCAACGCCTAACAGTGGGATTAAACGCAGAAGCACAGCGCGATTAGACAATAAACCAGACCAAGAGAAGGAGAAGCAACCAACAGAACCGGAGCAAACTAATCGAAGCAAAGCCATGGCTAACTACATCAAGAATTCGAACAAGATCCTGAAGTCTCTCAAGTTGCACTATATGAAAACAAGAAACGCCGAGATGGTAATCTCTTTCTTGTACGGTACTAACATGGAGGGTGAGTCGATATGAAGTTGACCCAACTCGTACTGACAGACTTCAGACATCCAGATTAGCTTTGACTATGATTGTCTACCTCGCGAGATGATATGGAAGGATTTTATCGAGAGGTTCGGGGCAGACGCCAACTCCAAACTCCAATTCGACCCCGTGCTGCAGTACGTGACGTTTCCACGTGTTGAAGTTCGATCAAAGGGTCGCCTGGTGGACCGCAAGCAGAGGGCCGACTTCGAGTTTGGGAAACAACAACATGGAGCCAACGGCCGTAAGGATATGATGTACTTTCTCGATTGGTTGTACGACAAGGGTGTACGTCACATCATCAGGTTGTCTGTTGACGACTCCGGGGAGTCTGGTCAAAAGGTCCATAGCGACCAAGCTATACAAGAGTCTCTCGAGCGATTTGTCGTCGAGCATCTCGATTGGCGGAAGACAGACTTGGATCCGGGGACAATCCTTCACATCAGCAGCAAGGTCTGTACGAGTGAGTCTGTCAGCTCTGAGGACCCAAAGCAGACCGAGTCAGGCCCGGATCGGCAGTTGACGAAACTCTCATTGATGTGGAGTGGAAGCAATGCTGTACTTCGAGCTTGGAGCGAGCCTGATGCCTTGCCGCTGCTACCTCAACTTCGAAAGGTAGAAATCATTCAGCCTCCTGCCGACAAGGTATGTGATTTATACTCATCTTCATTGCTCGCGCTAACAGTGAAAGATGTACGAGAGCCCGCAGTGGATCAGGCAGAAGATTAGGGATTTCGAGACCAGACTAAACGACAGCCGAAAGACTATCCAGGCCGAAGCACTAGCAGCCTCGAGAAACAAAAGTGTCTCTGACAATAATGCAGCATTTGGCCATGTTGAGGTCACCGCTATCGACTCAGGCACGTATGAGGAGCGCACGGTGACATCTGGCGACGTGCCTCACCTATCTACTTCGAGTTCTAGCCAGGGCGTCAACGCGCATCAGTGGTTGAAGTCGACCGCTAAATTTGCTGGCTTAATGAATGACTTCTGGAAGAGCACTGTCGAGGAGTTTCTTCAATCGGAACAAAAGCAGGACACACCGGAGCGGGTGCAGGATGATGTGGTTGTGGCATTGATCGACGACGGTGTCGACATGTTCGATACGGCTTTATCAAATCAAATCCTCGAGGGCAAGAGTTTTGACTTTCACGATGAAAAGGTCCGTCCGCCGTTCTCGTCGGCAAAGGGCCATGGTACAGTCATGGCAAGTATGATCCTACGCGTTTGCCCTATGGCCAAGGTCTACCCGATACGACTGAAGACGTACGACAATGCGAACGGGAAGAATAACATCGATGCAAATTACGCAGCACAGGTACGCATCTGCCAGTTTCTACGAGGTAGCACAATCTAACCATGAGACTACTCCAGGCTATCCAAGCGGCTCTCGACAAGAAGGCTACAATAATTTCCATGTCGTGGACACTCCCAATTGCAAGGGGCAAGAACGAGTCAAAAGATAAATGTCAGTCTCCGAAGTGGTTTGACGAGGTCCAGCCTTCAGATGAAGACCATTAAAATAAAGTGAATGTGTTGGATTGACTTCTGTACTGACGTCTTTATAGTGCATACCGTCCTACAAACGGCCGTCAAAAACAACGTCCCAATGTTTTGCTCCGCACCTGACGAAGGCAAGTTCACTGAGCTTGACTATCCCAGCGGCCCATGGCGGGATCGCTTTTTCCGTATCGGCGCCGCGCGTGCTGACGGCACCGTCTTTGGATGGACTCCTGAAGACGGAATCACGTACGTCTTTCCCGGCGTCGACGTGATACTTGACCAGGTAAAGGGCGTCTCTTCAAGGACAGGCTTGGGTAAAAATGTCACGGATCGCGTGAATGACTTCAAGTACGAGACCGGCTCGAGTGTCGCTACGGCGCTGGCGGCTGGCCTTGCTGCCATGATCATATATTGCATCAAGACGAGTATCCTTGCCGTCAAGACGGCAAACCAGAAAGCTGTCCTCAACCCGATTCCGGATAATCGCGCAGTGCTGGTTGCGAAACCTGATGCTATGAAGCGGGCTTTTGCGAGCTTGGGAAAGCTTACGCCGAACCGCTTCATCCAAGTTTGGGAGGACTTGGACAAGGTCAGCGAGATTTTGGAGACTAGGCAGCTGCAAGGTTCAGATCCAGAAGTGAACCTCAAATGCACTCAGAGGTTTATGGAGTTTGGACTCAAGCTTGCGAGTTCAGTTAAGCAGTGATATCAAAAGAGTTTGGTTTGATTTTAATAATGAACGACTGTTTAGGACTCAAGCTGAGAAATTTAGTGGGATCTAATAAAGAAAGTAGGGGCCGAGATATGTTGCTGACGTTGACTTGTGGAATGGGAAAAGATTGAAGACATAAGAAGTTAGATGTGTCTTTCTCACGAAATTCGTGTGATTAAAAACCCACTTCACCTACGGCTTAAAATTAGGTCCGCACCAGTGAGATGAAAATAGTAGACGTTTCGTCACCGTTGAACCAGAATAAGATGTAGTTGTTCTACCCTTTTATCGTGCATTGGCAAAAACTCCTACCGTGAAGTCTCAATAAATCGGCCAAGCCTAGCGCGACATTACACCACCAGCTACCCGAACCTATTGGATGAAAGCTCGATTGGACCCATTGTTAAGCCTAATCAAGTTATAAGATCTCACGAAATACGGCGCTAGACTTGGCCAATTTGTTGAGACTTTAGGATACACTCAATGTGACTTACCCTAGAGCCAAACACTGTTGCCAACAAAGCTACTCAATTTAGTGGTCGGCAACTTTTGCCCTTGGTTGTCAAGTTGAGGAAACCTTGTTCCATCTTCCAGGGTATTGTCAGTTGATCAGAGCTGGACTGGAGAGCTGGACTGGAGAGCTGGACTGGAAAGCTGGACTGGGGAGGCCTTGGCTGGGGTAGATCTGGGGAATTTCTCCACTGAATGTGGACACGCGGTTTGGTGGTCACGACGCGCGTCATGCCAGAAGACGGATTAGAGAGGCGAAGCTCTCTTGTGCTTTGATTTCAACCTCCATGGCCAATAACATCAACAAACGATGAAGGAGAGAGAAGGCGATTCCGTACGGCTATTCGGACCGGGCAGAAACTAGACGCGTCTTGTACGCGGAAACAGCGTATAGAAATAAAACCTAACCAAGTTAGGGCAGGACTATCAATCTATACGCGTACGTATATGACGGCCAATCAAAACCCCAGTTTGCTCTCCCATGGCTGTCGTACTTTGCCCTGGTATCAGAGCAAATCCGAGAGACTTTTTGCATTTGCAAGGACCCGAAAACCCGAAAGGGAAAGGAGCGAGGCGCATGCGAATAATGTCGTATTCTACAGGCCACTTTTGTACTTCAATTCATGGCGCATTTTTCCTCGCCGTATTTGAGACAGTATCGCCAGATCGTATCCGAGTCACGTCCCCTTCCGCGTACGGACCTGATGAACATAAAGACGGCCGTTGCCCGCTCCTGAATGCATGGAGTGCTTGGCAGTCAAACACACTTGGCCATCTGTTTCATTTCGACCTCTCCCATTCTCCAGCATCTCTCCATCTCCGATAAGCCATGCCGACCCTCGAGACCTACAATGGCTACCCGCTATGGCGGTACATTCCGTCTTTGCCGGCTGCCATTCTATTTACCGTCATTTTCGGCATCTTGATGGCAGCGCACTGCTGGAAGCTCTTCCGACACAGGATGTGGTTCTGCATTCCGTTTGCAGTCGGAGGGTTGTGTGAGTCCTCCAATCCCCTGCGCGTGAACGATGCTAACATAAAATTAGTCGAAGTTATAGGCTACATCGGTCGAGCAGCGGCGTACAACTCCACCGGCGTCCTCATCCCCTACATCTTGCAGTCGATCTTCCTCCTACTCGCCCCGATTCTCTTTGCCGCGACCCTCTATATGACACTCAGCCGAGTCATTAGTGCCGTCCACGGCGAAGCTTGCTCGATGATTGCACCTCGATGGCTTACTCGCATCTTCGTCTTCGGCGACGCCTTCAGTTTTCTGATCCAGTCCAGTGGTGCTGGCCTTCGCGTCAAGGCTGGAAGTGGGGACGACAACAGCAACCCCAACCTGGGATCGAATATCATTGTCGGCGGTTTGATCTTCCAGATCCTCGTCTTTGCCGTCTACGTCCTCACGGCAGTGCGTTTTCAGATGAACTTCAAGCGGCACGAGGCGTCAAAGAACGTGGTGGATCTGCCGTGGCAGGGATTGCTCAACATGCTCTACGTCACGTCTGCATTTATCATGATCCGAAATATTTTCAGGGTGGCAGAGTATTCCATGGGCAGTGACGGGTATCTGCTCGGCCATGAGTGGGGAGTGTACGTTTTCGATGCGTCGCTTATGACCTTTACCATGACGTGGTTTTTCCTGCGATACCCGAGCCAGCTGGTGAGGAGGGAGAACTCGGAGGCTGGAATTGAGATGGCTACTACGGAGAGCGCTTAGGGGGTAGGAGTAGTGGTTTCTATTCGAGTAAGGGAATGACTTAGCTGTCGCTTCACCTCGTTCGAAGCGACTCATTATTCAGCGACATTTGGGCTTCTATAGGAGTTACTGTCGCATTTACCTATTTGCTTCCCGGCACCTGCAACGTTATTTCCACTCATGACAAGTGGGAATGGGATCGACGAGGGGGAACTAGCCGGGGAGAGAAATAGCAGAATCGGGGCGTTTCAGGCCATTACATGAAGTAGCAAGCAGATGTTTTACACAAGTAGTTTCAAACGCTGGAATTTATTATTAATTTAAGTCTCTCACTAGCAGGGTTGCAATATCGGTGTTCTGAAGGAAGTGTATCCGGATCCGGCTTGTGAAATGGTTCAATTCGGCTACTGTTCCACTTGCGCAGTAATTAGCAGTACCAATTAAGCCTGCGTACAAGGTGCATACAAAACTAGCGCTGCTAAGAGCGAATGCAGTCCCAAGCCTGTCTTGATCGCTTATTACCTATGCAGCTCTCTTCATCCTTATGCTCGCAGGCTCACAGAATCTGGTTCCTGACCATCTTGGCCATCTTCACTGTAGCATGGAACAGCGAATCCAAAGCCGGGAATTCGTAATATCGAGTCTAACCCTACGAGGCAATTTTTACCAGTGGCGTCTTCTAGGCCACGAGGCGTCGGCTGTTATCGCGAACACAGCTTCCCCGCTCATTCACCTGCAGAAGGCCACACTGTTCTTCCAATCGAACCTGTCGGCTGTTTAACTATTAGTAATTAAAGGCCTTGGAATGGGCCAATGGGCTTGCAACGAGTTCAGCTGAAGACCCGATGGGGGCAATGAAATGCAAGCGTGTAGTTTAGCACTCATCGTCCACTTCGCTTCCTTATCGCATGGTTATCGTAGCGCTTCAGCTGTTATCTGTTGATGAGTCGGGGTAGTTTGGATCTTGTCCAGCACCCGATACGAAGCTCTTGGTGTTTGTATAAATCAGACCACTCCCCCATTTGGATAGATTATCTTGTAATCACGTATCTTGCTTCATACGGACATTTTATTACCATCACTCACACTACCCTATACGCACAGCCACGAATATGGGACGTCATGACCTCGAGTATCCCAAGGATGCCACCAACACCGTCAAACGATATAATGCCCACGCCGTTTATGCACTCGAGACGATCCATCGAATTGTCAATTCCTGCCAAATTCTGCACGTCTCTTTCAATGTGCCCTCTCAACCATTCCCAGTGACTCTGCCAATGATTGGACAAATGGGTTCCTTTGAGCGACCAAGTGCCGACCTTGGAGACGTTCTTGAGCTTTACCTCCATGGCTATGTTTCCTCCCGCATGATGAACACGTGCAAAAACAACGAAAGCGGCGATGCGGAAAGCGAAGAATCTCAGGGCATGCCAGTTTGTATCGCCGCCTCTCATGTGGATGGCTTGGTCCTCACTCTCACCTCGTATTCGCACAACTACAACTATCGCTCAACCGTCCTGTTTGGATACGCCACTCATGTCAAAGACGAAGCCGAGAAGCTGTATGCCATGGAACTCATCACGAACAGTGTTGTGCCCGACCGTTGGCGCCATACCCGTCTACCACCTACCAAGGCGGAGATTCAGAGCACTGGTATCCTCAAGGTCCGAATTGCCTCTGGCAGCGCCAAAGTCAGCGCTGGTCAGGCCAGTGACGACAAGACCGATATGAGTAACGAGGCCATGCTTGATTCAACCTGGACCGGAGTCCTGCCGATCTATCAGACAATGGGGGATCCGGTGCCGAGTCCGTATAACCGGGTTGATGTTCCGGCCCACGTCTCGGAGTTTGCGAGTGACTTTAAGGCGGATAATAGCCAGATCTCTCTTGAAGCAGCCAAGGGGGAACGACGTGCTCTGTAAGGAGTAATTCGCCGTAGGGTTTTTGGGTTACAGATGAAGTTTGGGCTGGTGGTTGCCTTGGAGATCAAGACGTGATATGACCAACGCTGATGGTATGAGAAACGCAAAGTATTTAGTGTTTAATTTGTTTAAAGCATCTTCAAATCGTCAGGCCACATGAAAGGTCTCAATAGCTGCATTGCATGACAATACTGTAGTAATTTAATGTGAACCACGTTGCTCGCACTACATTGCACTGTATATTGATGTGGTCGATGCCCTTATTTCCACAGCGGCATTTGAATTTCAGCCACCCACGCCATCAAGCCGTACTCAAGCAGCATATTACTTGAAAAAATGGTTACCAACGTCGGGTACGAACGCGAGGAAAGAGGAGAGTGGCCACGTCATCAATGGTCCTGTTTTCTGTGGAGAGGTTGGGTCTGCTGGAGATAGAATTCATTACCAATGTGCACACGTGTTGTCACATAGGAATAACCTCTTCCAGTGCGGATGCTTTGTTGAGACTGCGAGGTGGAAGTAAAACGGCCTTTTCGTAGAGCACGTGCTACCTTGAGGTTTGCACTGCTTCTAATTTTAAAAATTCAATTTAATTGGGAACCCAATGCAGAGAAAAGGTTGACAGCCCGAGGTACGATGGGAAACGTCATTGCGACTTCTGGTGCATGCAGGTACAGGGTCTCCCGCCCTATCGCCAGCTACTTCGTAATAGATGAACTACTGGGAATATTATTCCCGACCTGTCATTCTGGATAAATTCGATCTGCTCAGGGGTTGGAGCGGATAACCGGCGCGAAAACGGCTGACGGCTGACGGCTGACAGGATGTGGAGGAGATTGAGGCGGTTAAGTGGTCTAGAGAGGTTGGAGTGGCGTATAACCTAACCTCCACACGCCGTACTAATACGAAGTTGGGTCTAATGAGAACTGATGGTGCGCCATTATGTGTGCCACTCATTTCAAATGTAACGGCTGGCTTCAGGTCATGCAGCTTGCTTGAAAAGTTGAATGGCTTCAGCTCGCAAAGCTTATCGAATTGTCCCATGGCTATTTAGCAAACTCGGTCGCCGCGCATTCACCTCGGATTCTCCACCGTCCAATGTCACTCTCGCCTTACTGTCTCTCGTTTCCGGTTGCCCAACATGCGTTTCCTCGCACTCCTCGCCGCTGCCTTGCCGCTCGTTTATTCTGTGCCGGCAGATTTTCCACCCGCGTTCAATCCTCCTCTCAAATCTGTTGAGGAGCGAGTAGACCTCAAATCTGTTGAGAAGCGAGTAGATCTCAACTCCGTCGAGAAGCGAGTAGTTTCCACGGAACGATCCTGCGGCGTTATCGGATACGACCAGCAGAAGCCATCCCCGTTCTGCATCAAGCACTTCAAATGCACTGTGAGCGATTGCCTGGCTCTCTGCCAAAGCAAGCCCGAATGCGAGAGCTTTGCCATCGGCAGCAGAGGCTGCTACTTCTACTCGGCAGTTGTCGCTGGCAACTTCCACGCTGATCTCAATTCGCCTTTCACGTTCTACGACAGGGCATGCGCCTCTGGGAGTGGTCGCATCCGTTTGGAAAACATGGACGGCTCGCTGTACGGCTACATGTCTAACAACTTCAACGTTTTCGGAGAACGCACGACTGCCACATTGGCCAACGCGTTAAAAGTCGATTATGAAGCGGTCGAATTCGTTTCTACCCAGTTGAACCTTGATAACGCCAACTCTGCTGCGTATGTCGACCTTACGTATTTATCTGGTATTGTGGGCTTTGGGGCTACCAACTCCGATCTTGGACCGGGTTCATACAAGTAAGTATTGTCTTGCCGAATTTTGTCATCGTGCTAATTCATATATAGCTATGCAACCTTGGGTGCATCAACTGATAGTAAGTGTCCCGTCTACCGCCCTAGTCTTGTACTCATGATTTCCAGCACCACCGGGAGTCAAACCACAAAGCGGTATCGACAATAGCTTCACCAGAGCAACAGGTATCGCGAAAAATGTCGAGTCTGCAATTGTAAGTTTATTCTATGGTATTGGCAAAGCAATAGGGTGAAGCTTACTGTCATAGTGGAAACTTGACCTGCAAACTCTTGTCTTGACCCCTCAGTGGGTGAATACTGATATAAGTAAGTTACTCCATATGCCGATGCTTGCACATGAGATTGTTTTACAGGCAGGCTGACAACAATTTACAGCCTCGAATCCTCTCACCGTTGTTTTCACACAAAACACATTGGCAGTAACAGGTGACTTTACTGAATTCACGAATACCTTTGGGACCGCTGTGAAGCTCAAGTTGAGGCTGGAGCTAACCACTTAGAGTCCAAGTATTGTGTGGTAGACACTCTGGGGTTTTATTATAGTTAGGCCATATCTGTTAACCAGGGCTCAAATTACAAAGTAGCTCTGTCGAGACTTTGGCAGGGCATGCTTTTTCTCTTCTTCAATCCCAAGGCCATATTTCGTCTTGCCTTATTTCATTGCGGTACTGTCGCCGCAGATCTTGTGCTGTTATTCTATTCACGAACGTGCTCATGAAAACTCACTGCGTCAAGTGTCGCAAGAGAATACAACCTTGTCCCACCCCTAGTGCTGCTTATCTTGACTTGATCCTCCTTGCCTTGCATTCGTGATGACCTCTTCTGTGTCTTGGTGGGTGTTTCGCTAAATGCTTCCCCCAACAAGTTAGACGCGACATTCTTAGGTAGAGAGCAAGGTGTTGGCTAGATTTAATGACATTCAATTCCAAGGGCTATGTATTCGAGTAAAGGGCTTCCATCTAAGTAACAGCAATGTTTCTTCTGATGCAGCCTATGGGGACGATATGTCCTGTAACCGAGTGAACGTTAGATGCTTGTAGGTTGTAGTAGGATGTGGATGTTAAACTGGTACATGGATGGCATTCAAGAAGCAATAGATAATATATCGGACCGGGTGAACTTATCCGGGTATGTTGGTTTAAATTTCTGATTTATTTCCCAATCGCCAAGGCTCGTCAAGGAATCCCAACACAAGTGCATATGACAAGGAATAACCCGCCCTGCTTGTCTGCGAACACTTAATTCTTTTTATTTGTCTTCTCCTCCTCGCTGCCGTGATGCTTGGCGCGGAGATAGGTGGGGTCTCTCGGTAATAACTCCCGCTCCGTCCATTTTATGGATTCATCCACTTACCCTTATCTCTACTCCTCACCACTTCCAGCCCCAAATGCCGTCATATCGAATGAAAGCAAAGCGCATTACTCGAGCATGCGACTTCTGTAATCGCCGTGGTCTCAAGTGTAGAGAGGAAACTACAAACACAAATGGAAACGAATCGCCATGCCTCACATGCGTCGACTATGGCCAGGAATGTACGCGAAATCGGCAGCCCAAGAAGCGGGGCACGAAGCCTCGAGGATCCTTGACTAGAACTGTCCAGGAAACGACGTTGGATCTCTCGAGTGGACTCGAAGAATTTACAACTGTCGGTGGTGTGTCGGGGTCTCGAGCTTTGAGGAGCCGAAAGATTATCACGGCGCTCCTTGATGTATACCTCGACACCATTCATCCAATGTGAGGAAAGCAGAACTCGATTAGACTGTTTCTAACACTTTGCAGGTTCCCTTTCTTCTGCGAACGTGAGATTTGGGTCGGTTGGAGAGAAGGGTCATTCCCTGGCGATGCTTCAGACTACATGAGCCTCATGTGCATGTGTGCGCTGAGTGCCCAACACGTTGGCAACGGCGCTTTATTTACCGAGGATGCCTCAACAGAGCCGGCGACATTTGCTCAAGATTATTTGAGTGAGGCAATAGCCCTCGTTCCAGTGGATTTTGAAAGCGCAAGTCTCCTCAATTTAATCCGCTCATACGGATTCCTGGCTCTCCTAGGAGCTCAAAATGGCAACAGCGCCATGTTGAACCAGTACCTGGGCCTATACCATGGTCTTTCGGGACACTTCAACCTTCACGATGAGTCAAGATGGCCCGGAGAAATTACTACGTGCGAGAGGGAAGTGCGCCGGCGTCTGTGGTGGACCATGTACCGACTTGAAGTTCATACCGCCTGTGTTCTCGGGAGCATGATACGATGCTCCGAGACTCAATGCGATGTGGGTTATCCATCCGGACCTCACCATCCAGCGTTTATACCCGGAAGAGACGGCCAATTTGAAGACTGGTTTTCCGGTTGGAACTCCACTACAGATCTATATCGCGTGCTCGAGCATGCCGTCTCCAACTTCCGATCAAAACACCGCAGGCACGATTCCATAGTGCGGGGCTCAAATGATGTACCTACACGATTGCTAATGGAGAGCCTTGGCAAGATACAAGAACAACTTCAACCTCAATTTGGAGCCGTGTTTTCACCATCATCAGACAATGGTCGAAATCGGTGCGGATTCCAGGCCTGCAACATCTTGTGCACAATCCATCTCGCCCGCATGATCACGTCACTTACGGGCGAGGACAGCTCGGCAACGGCGTGCCAAACCGCTCGAGATATGATGGATAATATGAACTCGATTCCTCTCGAGTACATACGCGCTACAGGGTCTCCTCTATTGCAGCAATTAGCCGGCGTCGGCCATATGCTGCTGGTTGTCGCAAAGAAGCAGATGCCATCTCATGAAGAATACTTGATGCTGAGAGACGTATCGAATTCCATCATCGGCTTTCTAACTCGCTTTGGCGAATACAGTAAGCTGGCAACGGTTGCTCAACGAAAACTCTCTGCTCAGTTGAACGACTTTGATAAGCATACGGCTGGGAAGTTGTTGGAGGGCTTCCCTGGCGAAGACTGTCCTACGCTTGACAATGATGGCACCAGGGGCCTGGACTTTAACTTGTTCACTTTAGATTATGAGACCGACAATGGTTTCTTTGGTGCAAGCCTACTGCGGCCTTTGACTTGGCCAAGCAACTCCAGAAGCCTTGAATAGAAGAAGCGTATAGCACGAGCAGTTTCTGCGCATTTTACATTTGCCAAACATGAAATAGTGTACTAAGTGAGAAGTGACCAGCAATCCGATGTGACATGAGGTTGTTTGCCCAAGGCATGTGCTATTGACGTCCATCTCCAGTTGCATTATGCTTCGCTTCATAAAATACAATTAAATACCCGCATACTATGTACTTCTTGTGCTAGTTCCCTTTTGCTTGTTTGTCCTCCAAGCGTAATATTCCCCCCCCGTCATGATTGGGTACTTCATTGGGTGATCATCACTGATACACGTGCGCACTGGCTCCAAGAGCTTTGTTCTATCAAACCCGAAGAAGAACGGAGCAGAGTACCTCTCATTTCCGCTCAGGTTGATGACTCGATGAATCGTTGAGACAAACAAGTCGTTGGTCTGCCTCATGAAGCAGTCGGCAATGTTGACTACAAGAGACCCAGGGATTGGCTTAGCCTTGACCCATACGCCGGCCTTGCTAAGTACTTCAAGCCCCCCAGAAGAATCCTGTGTAACAATGGTGAAACACTCAACGTCAGTGTGTGCCCCAATGCCATTTTGCTCGTCAATGGAATACTTCTGCTCCGGGTAGCGTAGAATCCGCATGCCAGCTTCAGGCTTTCGAACGTACGGGTCAAAGTAGTTTTCAGGTAGGTGCAGAGCCAGTGCAAATATTCGAGTCAACTGACGAGATAGGCGCAGCAACTGTGTATGGTATGCGTAGAGACCTTTGCGAAATCCTGGGAGGTTAGAAGGCCAGATACTGACGGATGGGTCTGCATCATCCACTGCATCTGGGTCCTCGATGGGATCATATGCCCAATTAAAGGCCTCGCTCAAGTCTACAATCAAGGTAAGAACACGATTTGCGCTGCGAATTGAATCTTACCCTGGCGTTTCCATCCGTTTCGGTTGTAGCATTCCATCGGATGGTACCCAACGTATTCATTTGGGACCAGGCCAGTGAAGACCTCCATCTTTTTCTCTTCCGGCAACGAAAAAAAGCGTTTGGCTTGCGCTATGGTCTCGTCGGCATATTTTGGATCGATTCCCTTCAAATTCATGATTAGACGAGACAGTGGAGGAATCTGGCGAGGCTCACGTGGTTGATCAAATAAAAGAACCCAATCTTTGTGGACGCATCGCGGATCTCGTCAGCCACAGCCTGGCGATCCTCGGAGTTCTTACTCCAGATCCTCGACGCATCAATAACAGGAATTAGATCCAATTCCATTGACACATTAGATTCAAAACTGAAAGTTGTGCCATTGTGTAATTTGACAGTCGTGACCGTGTTTGTCGGCTGGGAAATAGTCTCAATTTGCGACATTTTGCAGGAGTTGAGGCCAATGAGCTAGCGGAGGTGTCGTCAAAGCAAAAGAATACACATCAACACACTTTATAATGTCGGAGTTATTTGAGTATGCATACTACAAATTTGTCATTCATTATGCAGCCAGGGTATTATTGATACAGCGATAACTGCTGAACCTTTGAACTGTTAAACTGCTAAACTGTTAAATTGCTAAACTCCAATACGTCGTCATCGTCGGAGAACCCGCTCTGGACCCACCCGTATCTCGAGGTAGATACGTTGGGTTGCATTCTTAGGTATTTGTTATCTCAATCTTCCGATAAGTATGTAGACACGCACATCTACCGGCATACGCAAAGCGTCTTGCGGTCTTGGAACGGGGTGATCGACCCACTTCGCTGAGCGCTACTAACACCGCCTAGGTTATCAGAGGCATCGTTGCATTAGAATATCCAACTTATAAGTAAACACCTAGTGCGAGATATTGTGGTTGCAGACATCTTTGCTCTTCCACATTTGAAAGCGTCGTATTGAACCATGGTGACGACTACCACTTTCTCCCGCCGTCTAATTAGACGTCTCGAGGTCAACCGAGACGTGGATACAGACGTGGAGATTTACGTGAACAAAGACACACGCCCTCTGCCCCACTCACGACGCACTTATGGACCTTGGGAATTCGTCGGCCTTTGGATGGTGACAGGGTCATTCAACGTTGGAGGATGGACCACGGGCTCTGCGTTGATTTCCCTGGGACTCAACGTTTGGGTTAGTGCTACAAATCTTGGCTGTGCGATATGAATATTAATACTTGATAGCAAGCTATGCTGGCTATCGTTATAGCTCACACCTTTGCGGGGTTCATTTGCATAGCTGGAGGACACCCGGGTGCTAAATGGCACATCGGATTTCCGCTGTGGATGAAGCAAAACTGGGGCATTTGGGGCTATCTCTTTCCAATGGTATGCATTACCTACCGAATAAAAATATGGATTCTAATCATCTCAGGCAATCCGGGTGTTTCTTTCGTTCGTCTGGACCTCCACAAATACCTGGTACGGAAGTCAATGCCTCAAAGTCTTGCTCACTTGTATCTGGCCTTCATTCCTCAACCTAGATCAGGAACTGGCAGGAGGTGCCATGCAAGCTTGCGACTTGGTGTCGTTTGTCATCTACATCCTACTCTGTGCGCCTCTTGCCTGGTTCAGTCCTGAAAACTATCGCAAGCCCTTCCTTTTTGCTTCCACCACGGTCGCCACCACGGTCTTTGCTCTGCTCATATGGTCCACCGTTCGAGCGGGAGGTGGCGGTGCTATGCTCTCAGATGTCAGCGGAGTGTCTGGCGTTGAGCCAGCCAAAGGTGGTGCTCTCGGCTGGGCCTTTGTCGCCGCAGTGACGGCCAACATTGGTGGCATTGCTACACACATGTGGTCTCAGTCTGACTATACACGCTACGCCCGCAAACCTGGGGATCAGATACTGGCTCAGCTTGTCATGGTGCCTCTAGGAACGATTGTCGTGGCATGTATCGGGATTATCTGCACCTCGTGCGCTGCGTCTCTATATCCCGACGAGGACGAGCTGTTGTGGCAGCCGTATGCATTCCTCAACGCAATTCGCGAGCATGAAGGCAATCGAGGTGCCCGAGCCGGTGTTGCCTTTGCCAGTATTGCTTTCATGTTCTCTCAATTTGGTATGGTTGTTGCGTCAAACTTGGTTGTGGCTGGTATCGACTTGGCTGCACTTCTGCCTCGCTGGTTCACGATACGACGAGGTGGCTACGCAACGTTACTCTGTGCTTTTATCATGCAGCCTTGGTCACTCCTCAACAGTGCCACCAACTTTTTGACCGTTGTAGGAAGCTTCAACGTGTTCCTTGGTCCGCTAATGGGCATCATGTTTGCCGATTATTTCCTCTTGCGAAAGCGAACGATAAAGCTGACGGATTTGTATGGCAACTCTGCTCAGAGTATCTACTGGTATTCCAAAGGTTGGAACTGGCGCGCACCTGTTGCGTGGATTCTCGGTGTGTGGTTTCTCCTGCCAGGACTGGCTCAGAGGGCCGTTGCACCTGGTGGCTTTTGGGGTGGATGGACAAGGCTCTATCAGATTGCTTGGTTCGCTGGTTGCTTCGTGTCAGGGATTTTGTACCTTGCCTTGGACTATATGTGGCCTATTGCCGACAAGCTCGCAGTCGATGACCTGGACTACTTTGGTACTTTTGGAGATCCTCCGGTCATTGTCGAGGATTTCCCCTCACCCTCCCTGTCGATTCATGGGGACGAGAAGCATCCTGGGGTAGAAAAAGTGTAAGGTGTTGCAAGTTTATAATGATACTCCATGACCCTTTAGCTATCAAACGCTTGATTCGCAAGCTCGTCTGCCTCCCTGTTTTGCTCTCGCGGGACATGCCAGAACTTAAAGTCTAGGCCACCATCACTGTATTCCATCTCGTCAAGTCTCTCATGAATTCCTTTAAGAGCAGCATAATGCTTCACTGGCCGTCCTTCATCGTTACGCCCATGGTTCTCAATCCAGCCTTCGATCCATTCCGACATTGATCTCACAAGATAGAGTGAGTCCGATTTAATGCGTATTTCTATTAAAGACATGTCTTTCGAAATATCCCTTTCGATGATGTGCAGGGCCTGCACTAGCGCTTCGATCTCGGCACGGTTGCTCGTCTGCGGAAAACTGGGATCCAGCAGGCCATTTGCGTTGTGAGGGGATCGCGGTCCGAAATACACACCCCAAGCACCTCGCGCCGAAGGAGTTCCGTTCCCACGACAGGCTCCGTCGATGGATACGACGACAGTGGGTATGTCCAGCTCAATAGAACCAGTTCGGGGATGCTTCACCTGAAGCTGAGAGACCTTCTTGGAAGGCGTGTAAATGACAAGCTTGCTCTCGGGAACGTCTCGGTGCATCGGGCTGTACAGTGGATCGAATCGACGTCGAATTTCTTCGCCAAACTCATCGAGTGAGCTGTCGCCGAGGTTCCCTGGCGAGAAACTTGAAAACGACATTCTTTAGGTTCTTTCGCTGTAATCAAGCAGGTTCGTGCTGATGATGATGCGGCAATCTTGGAGTAGCGGTAAGCAGAACGGTAAACACGGATGATGTCTCAATTACGACATGGAAGTACCTTTCGTTGATTGGAAGATAAGTATGGAACAAACGTCGGGCCGAATAAAACAAGGCTAGAAAAGGTTGTATTCTTTGAAAGTGAGGAGAAACCTTGTGAGACAGTAACCTGAGTAAGTTCCTTTGAGGGGAAGAAACGCCGGCAGATTTCCCGCTGGTGTCACAGCTATGTCCACCAGGCTATGAATTGAACTTGGAAGCCAATCGTCCAATCAAAACACATCATGGTTCCGTGGTCTAGCTGGTTATGGCATCTCGTTAACACCGAGAAGGTCCCCGGTTCGAGCCCGGGCGGAATCACATTTTTGCCTGCGCAAGATAGTTATGCTGGTATGTTTATTTTTGACTAATAATCCGGATCATCTCGGTACACACTTATCCGTTTGATACGACAAGACATCTTCGGAGCGCCCATGTCGGGCAGGCTTGTTGACCCGAGATCTGGGACGTTTGCACAGTTCATATCCGTAACATCTTCTCGATCAGAGCAGACCTGAGCCACTACCTTGGGGAACACTGTGCCTCGTGGTAGAATCCGAGCCACCTTTGAAGTCCGGCCTAGACATTCGGAACGCTCCAACCGGGACGGATTGTTCACCATCTCCGCGGCAGTGGAACTCCAGATTCCGGGGAACACCATGTCATTCATCCGATATGGTGGACAGGTGTGGCAACCACGCAGATCAGTCTATAATACGGGGGCATCTAAATGTGTGTTAAGTCATTCGACCCTCAAACTAGACGGAATGCGGGGAAGCCCCGCCGATGTGTGAATATATACATTTAAACCCGAGGTCCAAATTCCCAACTTAGCTACGGTGCGTTGTTTCGGCTGTTCTAGTCTATTGTGAGTGATGCTCATTTACCAAATCAAGCGATTCATAGTATGACTGCCTCTCGCTACGAAATCAGCTGTTCCAAATATGGAAGTAGCCGGTGACGGGCCGAGGCATGATGGTTTATGGTGTTACGTGTCTACTCTGGTTCCCGGTAAGTCAAACCCCATTCCGGTCGAATGATTGAGATTGAATAGAAGGAATTTTCAGGCTGAAAGAGTTTTCTTCAGCCTAGATTCAAGATATTGGGTGTACCGAGGCGTGACACAATAGTTTCCGGTCACCCGGTGCATTGAGAACTCAAGTATTTAAAGCAGGCTTCCTGAAATCATCTAACGCACATACTATTTTCTACATCCGACGTTCTCATTGTACAAAAATTGATTTCTATTTAAAAAGAAAAATAACCATGGCAGCACCAGCTGAAAAGACAATGAACAATCTCACCGGAAAATGGACCTTGGTAAAACAATGTTGCCTCGGTCGGCTGCTCCTGGCTAACACGATCTCCCAGAATAAAGATCTGTCCGAGAACCCTGATTCGATTTTCGCCCTTCAAGGAATTGGTTATCTTACCCGTAAGGCCATTGGTTTGGCACCAGTCACACTTGAGATGAAGCAGTATGAGGCGGCACCGAATTCGCCAAGTACGGCCACGGACCAGGTGACACATGTCGACATGGTCCAATTAGCGGCCGGTCTCAAGGGAGTCCAAGAGGACCGGTGTATGGATAATGTGTTTCGTGAGTCCAGTGACTGGATTTTCGGTACAACGCAATGCCAATCCAGATGGGCAAAGGTCGAGGAAATCGACGATGAGTTTCTGAAAGATGGTTGGTTTGTCGAGGGTGAAGACAGTGCCCTCATATTTAGCCACACAGAGAGCAAGGCTAATGGGTGGACTCTTACGCAGGTGTGGGGGTTTGAGATGGTGAATGGGGAGAGGAGGTATTGCCGACGCATGGTGGCCAAGAAGGGCAGCAAGAGAGCCACGGTGCGAATGGTTCACAATTATGTCTCGTAGGGATAGAGTACACGATAAGACTAGCCCCTGCACCATTGGTAAAGATTATAGTGGACTAGGAGCGAATTTCACAGGCTATACTTTGACTACTTGTTTGAGCATATAATTGTTAAATACTGACTCTCTTGGGAGAAACCGTAAGTGTATATGATATGGTATGTGTTATGGCTCCTTAAAGTGTCTTGCCTAAACTCGAGGAGAATCCAGACTTTTCAAGTTCGCCGTTTGAAGTCATCTTGGAAGCCTCAGTGTCCGGCACAATCCCATCAATTGAAAACTGATCTGCGTGAACCACTTGGCTAATAAGCGTTTCTGAGTGAGGGAAAATGATGTTGAGACTGTAATAAAGCACGATTGAGGTCAAAAATCCGTAGATCCAGTTAAAGTCAAATAAATGTTGTAGCCCGATGGGAATGGGTACGCTTTCGGGGGTAACTTTATGACCGAGGGCGGGAAGCAGAGGCGTGATAATGACCACTGTCGTGACCAAAGCCCTCCAGTTACCACCCCAGCCAAAACGATAGATTCCCTGGGGATCGTAAAGTGCCGGAACATCATACTTTCGGCGCTTGACTAGCCAATAATCTGTCGTGAGAATGCCGGCGATGGGAGCCATAAAGATGGCGTAGGCGGACATGAAACTCATAAAGGCTTGAGCTGACGCCATGATAATCCAGGGACATAGCGCCCAGCCACCTAGAAAGGAGACAACGATGACTCCACGTCGAATGTTTAAATACTTAGGCGCTATGGTCGTAATGTCATTCGCAAAAGATATACCGTTGGCGCTGATGTTGACGCTAATTTGCGCAAGCAGCCAGATAAATCCGCAAAAGAAGGCAGCGGCTCGGCCTCCAGGAGAGTCTTGCCATTTGTTGACAAGATCAATGGGATTCCAGAGTGCTTCTCCGTATATTTCTTTGGAGGCACCCGCGGCGATAATGCCAAAGATGCCAACAATGACTTTGAAGAATGGAATCGCCGGTAGTTGCCACAGGTTCGCCCCTCTTCTCTTGCTGAATCTTGAAAAATCGGGGATGTTGACAGTCAAAGTTGTGTAGCCGCCAGTCACAGACGTCTAGGTATGTGTCAACACAAAATGATCGAGGCAGGGCTGATGAACAGCTTAACGTACCAGGTTGGATAGCCAAAGCCATGCTCTTGTGGAGCCGGAAACGGTCGCAGGTGCGTAAAAGAAATTGGAAGATTGTCCCCTGGCCTTTACAGAGACCCAAATAACCATAGCAAGAGCCATGGGGGTGACGAGGATCGCTTTGGCATTGAAGAGATACTGAAGCTTGTGCGTAGGGATGAGAAGGAGCGGGGTTTGTATGAGCCAGTAAATGAAATACGACAGCATCCCTTGACTGGTTATGCCAATGGACGCCGGCAGGGTGTTTTCAATGTTTTGGTAGCTCGGCCAGATTGCCGTGATCATCTAATAATTTTAAGCTTGTGGTCATTAACATGTTGATTCAACTTACAGCGCTGACACATTGTCCTCCGCCGACGCTCTGCACTCCAAACCAGAACATGGCAAGGACAGCCCGACTGATGACGCAGAAATAACTCAACCAGTAGCCATAACTTGCACGAACTGCGATGGGGAACGGAACATGCAGATCTGCCCCAATAGCGCCGTTTAAGACGGTTGGGATGGCGTTGCAGATACCTGCCATGAGTGTAATGAGGATGGCATCCGTGGCAGAGAGACCAGTCGTCAAAATCGAACCGGCAGCCGACCAACCGCTGATTGTAACAAGATCACTAAACCAGTACGTGAGAAATGTCACTTCTGTCCATGTTTGCTTCTCTGGCGGTACGGGATCTTGGTCTGCATTGGTCCAGACGTCTGGAGGCGCAATGCTGCTTTGTTGCTTGGGGAGTTTCCAACTACCAGGATCTGTCAGGCGATGTTTGATCTTTTGGTTGGCTGCGGATATCTTGGCCGATGCGCCTCTGCGAAAGTTTGAAATGTCCATTACATCCATTTTACAGGCGATGCCGCTTGGCCTAACAAAGAACTGTCTAAAGCGTCGTTTGCGGAGGGCAGTCAAATATATTCACCCTTGTAGGGTTGTAGAGAGATAACCAGCCTTCCGTCATCAGCAGCTCACCCATGCATAATTGATATGAGAATGACCCCTCCACCCAATACAATACAACTGGGGAATGTGGATGGATCAGGTTGCATCAGGATCAATCACCCTACAGCAAAGATAACGTGCGGAGAAGCCCCACTTGATAGCTGTTAGATCCGGGTGTAGAAGTAATCATGAAGCTGTTGATTTGTTCAATCCAGATTGGCCCGGGGTCGTGATAAGGGATTCATACTGATAGCTTACCCTCCCCTCCCGAGCCTACATCCGAGCTCAATGCGTCCGTTGCTTCGGTCATTGCTTCATTGTTGCCAGTTCACGTTAACTCGATGAATACTACACGAAGTCGTCTCGCCTGTATTTCATGTACACGGCGCAAAGTGAAATGCTCCAAGACGGTGCCATGCTCCAATTGTATTCGGAGGTGAGTCGATGTAACCCGGGCTTCTTCAATAGAGGCTCGGTTTGCCGACCCGAGGCTCAAACGAGGCGCTTAGAGGCGAACAAAATACCTGTCGAACTTCGCAAGATGGCAATGACGCCACAACGATCACGATAGCCGAGCAAGCAGCATCTTCTGCTTCATCGCCACTGTCAATACTGTCACCGACCGAGCCCCGAAACGAAACCGAGCTGTCGATGCTTCGACGCCGCGTCGCCGAACTTGAAAACGAACTGCACCACGCCCCGAACCCGTCGCCGTCTCCGACCGAACAATGCCCTGCAATTATCTCTCATCGCCCCGGAAGCGGCACTGAATCCGGACCAGGAGAGGCCGTAACCCGAGTCCGTACTCCATCCTGCGACACTGTCGCTGAAGATGCCGCGTCTATACTCGAATTCCTGGCTTGGGGCCGGAGGAAGAACCCCGATTTGCCGGTAGCCTCTCCCGAAGCAGTTATTCACGTCTCTCCGGTTGGAGACGTTATGATCCCCCACGCGCAATCCGATCTTTCTCCGAATGACATCGGGACTTTGGATGATATTTCTCAAATGTCAATTCTTCAGCTCTTGCTCCCAGACCGCCGCCGGACGTGGGATCTGATATTGTGGCATGAGCAGTACCTCCTATGGTATCACTGCTCTTACCATGCACCTTCTTTGAGAAATCAGCTGGAAAATTTCTACGACACGTATGATGGCTCTATTGAGCATCCCGAAGTCAATCTGCAATGGGTGGCTTTCCTATTCGCTGTTCTAGCTGGAAGCATTACGTCTTTACCAGCATCTACTGCCGAGGAATGGGGCTTCGACGATGCTGAAAGGGCCACGCTCTCCAAAAGGTGGTTCCAGGCGGCTATAACTTGCCTCAACAAGGCTGATTTTGCTTCCAACCATTCAATCCTTTCTCTTCAAGCTATCGCTACACTTACCCTGTCAGCTCACATGCTTGGCTTCTCGAATCTTCAATCCACATATCTCGCCGCTTCTGTCCGCATAGCGCAGAGTCTCGGATTTCATCGTCTCACCGAGAGCGTCTCGGGCGGTATCGTGGAGAAGGAAGCAGGGCGTCGCGTCTGGTTACAGATTTGTTGCCAAGATTGGTTCAGTCTGCCGTTTTCCGATACATATCTCATTAATCCGACATACTCAAAGTCCGAGATGCCCCTCAATTGCCACGATGAGAGTCTTGTGAGCTTGCCAGACTCCGAGCCTACAGTGGCTGGCTATTCTAGGTTTCTCGGGTCGATTGCTAGTATAATGCCACGCCTACAAGATGGTTTGATGTCTTGCAACACCCTATTCACTAAGTATGAGCAAGTCTTGAAGTGGGATAAGCAACTAAGAACCATCGCTACAGCAACTCGCCCCAAATATCTGTCCAGTGGACCACTGAATCCGGACTGGCCAATCTGGGTACACTGGGCAAGACGATCACTGGCAATCTCCTCGTCTCACAAGATCATTATGATTCATCGATCGTTTCTCTCCAAGAGCTTCTCGAACCCAGCATTCGCATTCACAAGGAAAACTTGCTTAGCTGCCTCCAAGACGATAATCAAAGAGTACAAATGTGTGGTCAGCGAAGATGGGCCAGTACTGTGGATATATCAAGCCTTTGCTGTCGCCGCCTCGATAATCCTCATACTCGACTTGCTCCATTCTGAGTCAAATGAACCACACAACACGGAACACTTTCAACTTGTCCACAACATCATCGAGATTTTAAGCAAGTGCCGAAACAGTACCATTGCTTCCAGAGGAGTGAAAATACTGACGGCTCTCCGTGACGAGGCATCCGCAACCATGCGCCAAGGCAGGAAGAGGGCATCGGGCGACAAAGATGCAAATCCCCAACCACAAAAGCGATCTCGATTGTTCAATGTGCCCGCTTTTGTCAAGATGTTTTGCGAAGACCAGAAATCCCCAGTTCCACAGGATTCTCGGCCACAGGCGTCAACACACCCTACTGTTCTTGCAGACTTTTTCTTTGAATCGGGACCATTCGATGAAGGAAGCATTGAGAATCTCTTTCATTTAGCTAGTCAAGATTTTTACTCTTAATCTAAATGTCTATCTTTCCAATCAGCTTTTCAATAGCCGTGGCTACAGCTTCAGGCTCCTCTAGGATAGGTTGGTGTCCGGCCTTCACTATCTCCAGCCAACATGAATCGGAGCCAATGAGCTGAATAAGGTCTTGGGACCTTTGTACCGGGCTTATCACATCAAGATCACCAGCAATCAACAAGGTAGGGCACTTGATCTTGCTGTAATCCGGATCCTTGTGCGACTCGTCCACCATCATTTCGCACGTCAGCGCATAGCCCTCTGGATCCGATGCAACGACAGCGTCATAAACCTCCTTGCGCAAGCTTTCATCCACCTGACGCTTGTCCATCGGAGGGAAGTTGGACTTCATTGCTAATTCCGCCGCCCATGTCGTCCCCATCTTGCGTGTATTGGCCGCCATTTCAAGCATTCTCTGTCGAACGGCGGCTATATGCGAGGCTGATCGTGCTGATCCGATGAGGACAAGGCCAGCAACGAGGGAGGGGTTTTCGGAGGCAACGTGCAGAGCGATGGCGGTGCCGAGGGAGTGTCCGAAGATGATGACCTATTTCTAGAGTTAGGTCAATCTTTTATCTCGCTACAAATCTCCATTCTGTACCTTTTTGCTCTTGTCTTGGGCTTGAACTGCTTGCAAAGATGCGATGACATCGTGTAAGTCGGAGACATAGCCTGGGATTGTCGGGCGTTGAGTCGGCACGGGGCTTTTTCCAAACCCAGGGAAATCCACCAGGACGATGTTGTAAGACTGGGTCAATCGAGACACCAAAGGTGTAAACGTGTTTGTAGAGCCTCCAAGCCCGTGAAGGCAAATGAGTAAAGGTCCGTGGGAATTGCCGCTCTGGAGGTAATGGAGCGTTGTTCCGTTTCCGGTTTCGATGACGTTGGACGCCATTACGGTTGCTGTGGCTTAGAAGAAAGATTAATTGTAGAGTCTGAATCATTAAAGACAGGTCGGACCAGAAAGATAGTTCCTCAAAGTTGGTGGTAGCTTTGTGCTTCGGCCGACCTTGCGCTATCCACAAAACACCTCGGCCGAAGCATTGATTACATCTATCTCGGCCGAGATGGACAAATCGCATGGAGAATGACGATCCACATTGTAGGCACACCAATAATAGCTACAAATAACCACACTAAAGAATGCATTTGTGCGGCTTCGGCAACCTAGTCCTATCACACCACGTTACATCATGGTCATCGCGGCAGTCATCACGGAAGAAATCGAGCATCTTCACCTCACGACCCAGAAGACCGCCTTCAGCCTTCCCCATGCTGCTACCACGAATGGCAGGCTCGTGGCTATACAGCACAGTCCTGACAAAAAAGTCGACTTTGGAGCTGAAATTTACGGCATTGACCTAAACAACTTCACCGATGCCGACTTTGACTTTATCCACGATGCATTGCATCGTCATAAGCTACTTGTGTTCAAGGAGCAGCCCGAGATGCTAAAGCCTCAGCAACAGTACATGCTTACATCGAGGTACGCATGCTGCACTCTTCAGATTGACAGACAGGAATAGCTAAGTTGCATAGTTTTGATCCAGAAGAAACGACAGGCGGGTTTGCCCACGGCGTCGATCCCCTCCTTGCCACGCATAACGGCGTCAACATTTATGGCATTCCCAAGCGTCCAGCTATTCCCGTGCAGCCACAAGTCCATATCCTCGGTCGTGGTGCCGTCCCTAACGATCATTACTCGTTCCCTCCGGGCTTCGAAATCCAGGGCATCGATCATGAGGAATTTCATCTTCCACCCCATATCCCTCCCGGGGAACGGGAAAATGGAGCAAGCCGCTTCTATCAGTGGCATTTCGACGGAGCACTGTACAAAATCCCCCCTCCGCGGGTGGGCTGTTTGTTGGCTGTGCGTACGCCTAAAGGTCCCGACGTGACCGTACGCTGGGACGATGGTACACATACAGAAATGACCATTGCACCAGGCTCAACTGCCATGGTGGCAGGTTCCCGCGCGTTGGAATTGCTTGATGAGGAAACTCGAAACATTGTCATGAATAGCCGGATCGAGTACGCGCCGCATGCGTTTTTATGGATGTCTACAGCACACAGCTCGCGCTTGGGACATCTGATTGAGACGGAAGGCCTAGAAAAGCCACTGGACCAGCTTCCTTCTTGGGATCGCAAGCACATCTGTGTTTACCCTATGGTCTGGACTAACCCGGTTACGGGAGAAAAGTCTCTGCAGATTCATGGTCAGGGAGTACGAAAGCTGTACCTGAAGGATGCGCCGAACGCCAAGGAAAGAGTCGTCGATGATCTCAAACAAGTGCGGGAATTTATGCACAAGTAAGTTTCGATGATTGTTTTCACCTTAAATCCAGTTGCTAATGATTGATCAGGCTCATGAGGCCGGTACTGGAGCCTGAAAACATCTATGCCCATCGACACGAGGAGCAAGACGTCATCTTGTGGTACAACAGAGCCCTGTGGCACACAATTGTAAGTAACCGTTGCTTAAAAGAACCTCTGAATACTCTACTGACGCATGTTTAGACGGAGTTTCCCAAATCCTATGGCCCAAGAATTATGCACCAGTGCAATGTTGCGGCTAGTGACCATCCTTCAGGATGAGTGTGAAGATGCGTCACCTTGGCTGGTACCATTGAGCCCTACTTTGTGACAAACTCGGGGTATCAGACAGGCGTTAGGTATTAATTTAAATGTACCAGAGTAAGATTGGTTATTTTGAGACTCCCGTACCATCGCTTTTTTAACATCCTGCCCTATTCTCAGTACGTAACTGAAGTGGGGTATCATGGCAAGGCTCTCCATACTTCAGGTAACATTTAGGAAGATTAAAAACTCAAACAAATCGTACATTTCAGTCATTGCATCGTCAAATAGATATATACCAGTATTTCAAGACTGTAAATCACAAGCCTGCAGTTAACCTTCACGCCTAGTGTTTTGAAAACGCAATCTTGGGATGTCAACCTCATGACGGGCTAATACAATAAAGATCCGAACCCATCTGGGACACTATACAAGAGCCTAACGGGTTTGATACGAAAGACTATAATAGTGGATTGCTGTAAGAGGACTACCTTGACTAAATAAACTACACTAAAGAAATGCTGGCACTGGAGTAGGGCCAACAGGTGCCGTGGAGGCTCCAATGTTGGCCTGGTGCATTGTCCGTGGGCCATAAGAATCAGGGTAGTCAATCGCGGTATGAAAACACTGCCAATTAGCCCACATGACAACATCTCCCTCTTCCACTTTCGGGACAATGATGTATTCAGGACGAAGAATACGCTCGTGAATCGGCTTGAGCCACTTTCGGATTTCGACAACGTCGTCAATAACCTTGGGCTCCTCGTCCGGTGACGATCGCAAAAAGAGCCTACGAGCGCAGATACCATGCACCATGAATGCCTTTTCCCCTGTGACTGGGTTGACCCATGCCATGGGATATCGCTTCACAAAGGCCGGATTCCAGTCGCCAAGCTCCTCGAGAGACTTTTCGCGACCTTGGGAAACAATACCTAAGCCGTTGGGGTTGCTACGGCAGTCTCCCATCCATTGGTACGGGTGTGGTGCATACTCAACCCAACTGTGATCTGCAATAGTCTTTTCTTCCGGAGTCATGAGGTCATAGGTCTGCACATTGCTGAAGAATGCCGTTAACCCTGGTTCCATTTCCATGGTGTGGCCCGATCCGTCATCCCAGCGGACAGTAACATTCGGGAATGTAGGTCGTTTGATACATCGTAATGTAGTGAACCATGCGGGATCGCGCTCGTACAACGGTGCGTCGATGTGCCATCGTTGAAACCTGGTGTAGCCACTTTCAAAGTCTTCTTGGGGGAGTTGTGTGGCATGCCAGTCGTGGCTCAAAGGTTTGGAGACAGTTTTATCCTTGATGCCATAGTGATCGGCCCCTTGGTATCCCTTGCCGATAAGACGCACATTATCAGCACCCGGGATCGCGAGGACATCTCGACTGGACTAGCAACAACTTTAGCATGGGCAGACCAGCCGTAAGGGACTGGGAAGAAGTATGTGTGTGCAACCTACCGACAAGATTCCTCCGTGTTTGTTAAATGACTTGACTGTTCCATGAGAGTGGACCTGAGGTGCATCGGGGTCAAAGCGAGTAACAAGCTCCCACTGTTTAATCGGTAGGAGGTCCTTTTGTCCTTTCACAATGATGACTTTCTTGTCCCAAATGGTCTTCTTCAGCTCATTCACATCGGCATCTGAATGGACATAATTAGTGACGAACTTGAATCCATGCATGAGATAACTACCGCTGATGTTATTCAGGTCTAATCCTTCGACAATTACTCCAAAGTTGGCCTTCTTGCCTTCTTCCAAGGGGAGAGGCTTCACCGTGAAACTAGCGCTAGGTGGGTCAATCCTTGAAGGCATGGTGATGAGATGAGTTGTATGGACGGTGCCCTTGCGAGGCTGGTGGTGATACTAAGTATCTGACGATCTTTTTGATTCGGCGAATCTTTGGTGATGAAACGTTCGGCTGAATTATTCGATTTCATCGTCACTAGCAGCAAGGCGCATCTGTGATAACCTTCCCCGCCTCGGCCGAGCTCGGCCGAGGCTTGGTAACCTCTCATATCTTTGTCGCGTCTTTGGAACATGGACCTGGGGAGTAGATAACCGATAACCTTTATCGGCCGATTTTCTCGACCTCGGTCCGAGTGAGTTCAGAGTGAGCGTAGCTTAGCAAGGAAACGGTCATTACCTTTCGCCAGATGAACTGTTGATATGGGCTCGGTAACGACTGGAACAACCGGGCGACAATAACACAATGAATCATTGGCCAATCAATCAGTTTCATTCTTGTTCGATAATGATTGGTGCTTTGACAGGGCTTTATTCATCCGGGAATATACGTTTCCGCACAGCGATCGCATGGTGAGGCCTCCGCAATCTTCCCGAAATATATCAACCACCTACAACTACGCCGATGCCTGAATTCATCACATACGTGACTGTTGTATACAAATTAAAGAACAAATTAATTCAGCCTCTTAATTAAATGAGCTACTGTATGCGATTTAACCTTCTACTGCAGCTACCCTTCCGGCTCCATCTGCTGATCCCTGATTCAACCTTGCTTCTCCTCTAGTGTCTGCTTCAATCTTTTGTAATGCAATTCCATAGCATTTGCCGTAAACTGCTCCCCCGTCACCATGGGATACTTTTTCTTGGGTCCTTGAATCAAGGCATCTTTACACGGCTGGTTAAAGAAGGCAATGCTGTACCTTTCACCGTAGTAATCTCCCTCTTCTTCAGGAGCCTTGACGCGGTGGAAAGTGCTCTTGAATCGGTCATCCGACCAACTCATTAGAAGGTCCCCAATATTACAGATGATACTTCCTGGTTCAAATACAACCTTTGTCCAAGCATCACCAGACGCCCAATCTGTGACCACCTCCCGACCAGGGCATATTTCTAGTCCGGACTGCTCTCCTCGCTGGAAAAGCAGCGTCAAAAAGTCCCAATCTGCATGGGCTCCGGCACGATGGTAGGTTGTGCCGTCATTTTGCTTGGGGGTTTCGAAGTAGTGTAGCAGCCGAAGGACCGACTGGCAGTTGGATTTGGTGATGTCGTGTGCTTTGATGAAGAAATCATCCGGGAACCCTAATCCTCTTGCAAAACAAATCATCAATTTCTCAGACACATGCTGGAGAGTATGCATGAATTCGAGAGCCTTCGTTTCGAAACCCGGGGCGTAGTCATCCGAGATCCACATGCCCTGCATGTTTTCTCCAAACTGGAGCTGATACGACTCTTTCTGGTCAGGTTCACCAGTTGAGGGTCGGATCTGGGAGCGACACTCGTATCCCACATTCTGGGGGTTCCAAGGGACACTGCGCTTGGCCTCTTCGGATAGTGAAAAGAAGGCTTCAGAGGTGACAAACATGGCGTCGACCTCGGCTTGGGGAATACCGTGATCGACAATGGCGAAGAAGCCGACATTCTCAGCAGCCGCGCATATTTGCTGGGTGATTTCGTCGATGCGTTTGTCAAAGTTGGTAAGGGAGATCTGCGAGAATAGATCAGCTTTGTCGTGGGAGGAATTAAAGTGAGGCAAACCTGGGGGATCATGCGTTCAGCGTATTTAGTCATTGTTGGATGTGTGGTGTTGAATGGCGGGAGAATCTCGTATGTTCGGTTCAAGTTATTCGGAGACTGTCCTTCGCGGAAGGGAACGATTTGAATGGATCGTCTTTGCTTGACGTTGCAATTGCAGGATTAAAATATGTCCGCCTCTTCGATGATGCATACGGATGGCATGAGGGCGGGGAAGTGAGACAAGATAAGCCTTGCCCAATGAGCGGCGTCGGCCGAGCGGTGATACTGGATCAGAACCGAACCCAATCAGACCGAGATGCATTCGGCCAACTCCGATACGTACATTGGAATCGCGGCATGTGAAGTGGTACAACACAAACAATTGACTTGGAGTGTGAATATGAACATGTCTAGAGGCTTGATGAGGCTAGCGGGCAGCTACAAGGCATACGTGCCGAACTAAGCATTCCTCTGAGGATAGGGATCTACACCTAGTCTGAAGAATGCTTGAACCGTCGAGTAGGCTTCTTAGCAGCAAAAAGACTGTCCATATCCGCTGACGAGAGACCTTTAAATTCTGGAACCTCAAACCATGCCCAGATTAAACAGAGTAGACAAAGGCCAACCCAAACAAATGCGGCCTTTCCACCCAAGTTTGCTGAGAAGTGAGTTAGAAAGGCTTGTAGCATCAAATCAATCATTACGTTAAACTTACCGTCGTCTGTGTTGATTAGGTATGGCGTGATGAAATTGAGGATCCAACTTGTCACGGCATTGGTAATAGTAGCCAGACTTTGAGTGTGAGCCCGCAACTCGAGGGAGCTGACCTCGGCACAGATAACCCAACTTGCTGCACCAATCGTTGGGGCATATACAGCTTGGGCGAAGTTCATGACGTAACCGATAAAGTACAGTGCTGCTGTGGACGTGAAACATCCTGCAATGCCAGTAGACATTAGGACAAGACCGTTTAGAACAATGCCGACAAGGATCAACTTTCTCCGCCCTGCAGTGGCGTGGTTAGCGAAAGACACAATGGGAGTAAGTAAAACGAACCAACATATGACATGATTCCCCAGGACAGCATATTACCGACCATGGCAACACCAAAACCACCAAGTGCCAACTTGAATGTCAGCCCAGGCGGCAACCCGATTATACCGAGGAAATAAAGTGCTTGAGCATAGAGTGCAATGCCGGCAGATTGTTGGACGACAAACATGCCACAAGAAATCCTCGTGCGTCGGAAGTTTGTGCCTTTGAAGCAGTCGGCATAGGTGGAGTTTTCATGTAGGTTATTCAATAACCGCTCTTGCTCGATGGCACTCTGAATCTCCAGCAGGGCATTGGCAGCTGGATCTGTGTCTGACGTCTTACTGTATAGTCGTTGCAAACTTTTTGCAGCGGCCTCGTCTTGACCTTTTCTGCAGAGATACCAAGGGCTTTCTGGCATGAACAAGGCAAAAAGCATAATGAAGCAGGGAAATGCCCATTGAGCGGCAAACAACACTTTGTAAGAGTCGGGGGTGATGATCGTAAAGCGCGTGTTTCCGATGCCGATTGCTGCCATCTGGCCTGCGTTGATGAAGAAATTCACCGCCGCCGTCAGGGTTGGGCGCAGAGGCAGAGGGGCGATCTCTGAGGCATACAATGGCCCAAGAGTCAAGAAGAAGCCAAGGGCTAAGCCGTTGACCTGCCAGCGGAATTCGTTAGCATTACAACAAAAGAGCCAGAGATGAACTTGCAATTTTGCCCGCAAGCAGGCCCCCAGCGCTGTTGGAGGCATATTCGATTCCCACGCCGAGTACAGACAGCGCGGAGCCTAGAACAAAGCCTGCGCGTCTACCCCAGGTATCCGCAAGCCAACCACAAGCGACACTGCCTATTGAATGTTATTATCGGCGGTTACGCATCACAGATCTAGAGACTATACCTAAAAGCATGCCCAAGGAACTCATAGCGGTCCATAATGCGTTCCAGGTGGCAGAAAGGAGAAGTTGCCCTTGGTACTCATAACCAAACACCAGCTTAAACCCAGGCAAGGCAGAGCTAATAGAGTTGACGCCTTTAAGCCATCGTCAGTATCGACCTCTTGGGGGTTACAGGGTAACTCATACCGATATCGAAACCCCACAGGATCGAGCTCATGCAGGCGCAAGTGCTGTAGAGGATAATTTTAGGATTCGTCTTGGCCGACTCCCAGGCCGACATGTATCGCTGCGTTGAGTCTTCAACTACTTTCAACGTCTCCCAGTGTTTGCTGCCACCATCTTTTGCGTCACCGTCGTTGACGTTTATCGACATCTCGAAAGGTATGAATAACTGTTGGGCTTTGGGATGTTGCCTTGAGTTGCATGAGGTGGATAGTGAAAGCAGTTTAAAAATCCGGGGTTGTCTGGGGAAGATAAATATCTCGGCCAGTGGATAAGCCGGAGGAGGATCTAAACCAGGGAATCAACACCTCTCTGTCGAAAGAGATACCTCGCCGTACCGTTCCCGGAGGGCCGCATGGCATGCCACCGGACAACCCGAACAACTTGAACTGGGTTGATTATGTGCTTCCGGGACTGATCACCGGCATTTTCCTACTTGCTCCCATGCTCTACGGTTTGGTATAGTTGATTGGCCACGTCTGTTGAGGCTGAAAGACGAACTTTTGGGCACGCACTACGGATTTTATCCTCTTTAGCCTGAATTTCATCGTGTCCACAATGTGGAGTCGCGCGACTAGATCTCTTGACGGCCACGTTCCGGGTTCCGGGCCAGTCCAATTTAATATCGGAAAACCCGGTACATCACCAGGTGCCTGGCAAGCCAATGCCCAGATCAAAACCCGGACGAGAATTGTCAATATAATGCACTCAGTAGGGCTGGATTACATTATTAACCCCCGCCTCTCAATTATCTCCGTTCCTATTCACTACTCGCCACTGTGCATCAAACCATAGAGCCGCAACATTATTCCAAACACCTCAACATGTCTACTGACGAGGGCTTTGTCAATCCCATTATTCCGGGATTCAACCCTGATCCTTCAATCTGTCGTGTGGGCGATGACTTCTTCCTTGTTACCTCAACTTTCGAATACTTCCCCGGTATTCCGATTTATCACAGCAAAGACCTGTTGGCTTGGACGCTAATTGGCCATGTCTTGACACGTCGATCCCAGCTTGAGATGCGCACGACGGAACCCTCCGGAGGAGTTTGGGCACCAACATTGCGATATCACCAGGGCACATTTTACGTGTCTGTCGGGTGTACCCAGAGGTTTCGACCTAAAGAGTGGGTGAGTCATGGGTCATCCTGTCTTCAACTTCATTGAGACCAATTCTGACGAAACCCTTAGGATATTACGATACCCCGTGGTTTCTATGTAACCACTACAGGCATTCGAACCAAGGGCTCTTGGTCTGATCCCATTTATTTCGATGTCCCAGGGATCGACCAAGATGTATGCCAACCATTCCCAGTGACTCTTTGACAAGCTCTAACATGCATCTAGTTGTTTTTTGATGACGACGGCAAGGTTTACTTTTCTGCCGTCAATCAGGTGAAGGACCCAAAAATCACCAAGCATGGTCTTGGACTTGCAAGCTTCACTGTCGAAATTGATCTAAACACAGGAAGTTGTGTGGGGCCTATCAGGTGGAATCGCATGTCGGAATTCGGATTCGGCATTGCAGAAGGACCTCACATTTTCAAAAAAGATGGATACTACTATCTGTCTACCGCTGAAGGAGGTACTGATGAGGGTCATCAGCAGTGGATACACCGCAGTAAAGTCGGGCCATTTGGCCCATGGGAAACGCCTGGAAACGACGTCAACCCAATTATCTTCAACGACATGGACACGCAAGTTCGCAACACTGGACACCTGGATTTCATTGAGACCAGTGATGGGCGTTGGTGGGCAGTGTTCCTTGGAGTTCGACCACAAGGAAACAAGGCTCAATTCAAGTCGCAGCTGGGGCGAGAGACGTTCCTCGCGCCTGTTCAATGGATCGACGGCTGGCCTGTGGTCAATGGACGGAAGAACATCAGTCTTGAAATGAATGCACCGGGGATGCATCGTCTTACAAAACCGCAATCCTGGCGGGATGATTTTGAAGGCCCTGAATTGCAACTTGGGTGGTACCATCTACGAACGCCCTTGAAGCAAGCATACAAATTCGACACTCACCAGAACTCCCTGCTTTTATATGGTGGTGCTAACAGAATCTGGGATTTCGAATGCCCAAGTATGCTGTTACAGAAACAAGTCCATTTTTCCTTGGATTGGCGGGTGGAGATGAACTTCGCCCCCATGATTGCTGAAGAGGAAGCGGGCACAGCGATTTGGTGGTCCCAATTTGCCTACGCATCGATTGGCCTTCGAAGGATGAGTAGTGGAGAAGGGATGGAGATTCTTTGTCGATATTTGGATGAAAAGAACGAATTTCAGGTAAGAATCTAGCTTCTCGGGCGTACGGATGCTAACATGAAAAGCAAAACACATCTCCGCTGAATCAACAAGAAGCCGACCTACAATTTGTGATAAAAGCGAGGGCATTACACTACGACCTTGGGTATATGGCGCAGACGTCCTCGGAATCAGAGGCAGCTTTCGTTAAGATGGGGTCAATCACATCTGAGTCATTGACACATCGCGTCCCAGGTCGGGAGTCCCCAAATACCGGTGCACATTTTGCGATATACGCACAAGGGTCCTATGATATGCCGTGTTTCACACCGGCTTGTTTCAAATCTGCCGAATGGGAGGTAGTCGCGTAAGGACATTTGTGTTATGGGGTCTTTGTGAGAGTACACGTTTAAGGATTTGATCAATTTCGCCACCTCATACAGTAGACTAAGAGGTTGGTGCCATATACTTGCAAATGTAAAATTCTAAAGCAGAAAAGACCACTCTTAAATACGCAACCGAAGTGAGGTTTATTTATAAGCTATGCTCGTGGCAAGTCAGAAATTTTCTGCTATTTGCTATGTGTAAGGAGTGGTAAAGGAATGTGTTCGTTTGCTTAGATCCAATCACCCTGACACAAATCCGTTCATTTAGTAAAGACCAACGCAGACATCACCCTTGACGCGAGCAGTCAAATGCACCTCAGCCTCAAGGTCAAGCTTGATACCAACAAGCAGAGCGGCGGACTTGTTCTTGCCCTCGTCGTCGGTAGCACCCCGGAGGAGCTGGCCTGGAGACGTCAGAAGTGCCCAAAAGTTCCAGGTCTGTGATGAAACTCACCAGCCGGCGCGGAGAGTCCAGTGGAGGTAGGCAGGGGAACAACAAACTGGCGGTTGTTCTCGGTCTGGTAGGACTCAAGAGTGCTGTCTCGGGTCAGTTTTGATCATCAATTCGAGTGGTTATGCTCACTCCACCGGGGCACGAGCAGGAGGAACACGGGCGGGAGGGGCAGGGAGAGCAGGAGCAGTCTCGGTCTTAGGGCTCGTGGCAGGACTATGCATGGACGTTAAGGGGATGTGATGGGGATTGTGGAGGATGGGAGTCTTACGTGCTGGGAGAAGACATTTTGACCGTCGTAGGGATCCAAAGATCGAAAGATCGAGAGAAGTTGTGAATGAAAGGGATTGAGAGTGTTGGATGAATTGTTGGTTGATTCTATCTCGTCCAGCTGACAGACGGCGCTTTATATAGAATATACTCACTTTTGTCCTTCACTCTATTGAAGCCGTAAATCCCGAACCTCGTGAAAATTAGCACCCAGCGGATCACCACCCGCAGATCTGCGAATGGTTGCGTGGATGTGGGGGAGATTGCCAACGCATCAACTGCATATGCGTGCAAGCGTGGCAAAAAACTGCAGTCAATGTTTGTTTATAGAGTTGTCGCGCTCCACTGCAAGGAAAAGGTCTTGAGACAACATGCAGCACGATAATGTACAGTGGAGACTCATCAAGTATTCTGAGATTGATCGACAAAAGCAATATTATTTGCATTTATTAATACGTGGCTTACAATTACGCGTTGATCGGGAAACCTCGCCATCAATGCACAAGAGCGAGGCTGGTGTTTCAGCTTCATGTAGCAGGGTAGAGCTGTCTTGCTCCTAGCCAATCAGCACCGTCTTAGCACACGCGTGCATTATGTGAGAAACGCGAACAAGTCGAAGTGAGCATGAGGTATTTTTGGCCTGTTTTTTCTCCTCTCATAACGTATCCTATCCAGTTTGATGTCAGTGAAAGGATGCTAGCTAGCCGCTGTGAGCATAAGCGCTTTTGTTAAAAATGACAGTACCCTCCACACCTTGATAATGCAATTATGTAACAGCTCAGCTATCAACAAATCTACAGTTGCCCTAATGTTTAACTTGTTTCTACGTCTACACCAGATATAGTACTGTAACTGAATATATAGTATACTAAACTCCTGGTTTATAGAAGATTAAGCAAGAAATCTCCAGAGCACCTCTTGTCAGGCCGGAGGATTGGCGGTCCGCTACAAAGGATCTCCCCATATCACGGGAACACGCCATCCAGTCCAAACCGGTCACTCCAAGGGTCGGGTCGTCAGGTAGGACACGATGGGGGAACGCGGATAGAAGCATATAGTATATGAATAGCTGATTGAAAGTGCCTTGTCTTTTCTGACAACAGAGCCGCCGCCCTGTCGTGGGGCAGCACGACCAACCCGCATCATAGAGTCAACATATCCGTCATGTCTTCCAGTGGCCCCATGGAAGGATCGTATCTTGTCGGCCTGCCATGCATCACCATTTGCCAGGAAGGGCTATTGGATCTGTCCTTGGCCCAGCGCTGCAGCTCTGGAGGGACAACATGGGCATTTCCGACCTCAAGCATGCGCAGCAAGAGCGGGAGCAGATGGCTGTCGAGCACCGTCGGGCCGACTTGAGCGCCAAAGATCCATTCTACCTTATCCCCAAAAGCACCACTTTGCTTGCCGTGGTCTGTAATCTCGGCTAGGATTGCCCGCAGGTCGGCGAGAGACTGAGCAACCTTCTCCGGCTGGAACGCTACGGCATTTGTCTTATCATGGCTGCATAATAGTGAGCATGAGCTGGAATATGGGCGGGCGCACCTGTGACATCGGACAGGGACATACAATCTGAGCTTGAATTCGAGGGCCTTACGATACTCGGGACTGATGTCGGTCCGTTTGAGCATCTCCGCAGCGGGTGAAGGGTTGTACTTTTGCATCTCGGGGCTCGCCTTCTTGTTGTTGATGGATGGGCCATTGACCTGATGAATCCTCTCCAGAAGCTGCTTTATGATAGCAGCCTGCGCTGTGGGCAATAACGCCGGGTAGTGCTTCTCCGCCAAGTAGAGCGAGATAGAAATACTATCGGTCAGAGGCTCCTTCAGGGCATTGCCCACCAGAGAAGGGATCTGTCCTTTCGGATTAATCCCGAGATATTCCTCTTTGAGGTTGTCGTTTTTGCCATGGTTTATGAAGCTCAAGTCGATGTTGCGGGGTGGTGTCGTATGATCAGTTAGTGGGCCGAGCTGGACGGTATGGCGGGCCATCATAGAATACAAGGAGAAAGGAGACGAGTACAGGGTATACTCGGCATTTCTGAGATCAGCCATGTTGTCTTGCTGGTATATCGGCGCTTCAAGCCGAGCTTAGTCTTGGCTTGGGATTCGAAGAAATGCCTACATATCCTTAATTGCCGACGGATTTTGAGGGGTTATCTGACCCCCTCTTCTGACTAAGGTCCGGATATCAATCTATCGAAGGTTTTCTAGTACAGGGTCTCCTCCAACACAAGACAAATCACCAGATGTACCTATTTCCTATCCGGTCGCTCATAGCCTTTAAAGTAATTTCACGCCAAGGCGCACACCATGCTCTGGAACGCATCCATATCTCCACCAGCCTCCGGCGGGCTGTTCGGGCTCTGGTAAGCCTTTCCCGTCCCTCTCCTCTTACCGGCATCTTTTGGAGCGTGTTCATAATGAATGATATATTGGCGGACCGATTCTAATTACCGAAAGTCGTCGTGTCATTTATCGTACCACGATGCGCAAAAGTCATTAGCGCTCGCTCGCTCTGCCGGATACCCGAACCTCTCCTAACAGAGCAAATGAGAATCGAGCAAGCGTCATAGCAGAGTAGTTTATAGCGTTTGCCCTCACGGAGATACGCTTAATCTTTCAAAATTTGAAGTTAAAATTAGTAGATTTTATATATTCCATCTCTCTAGGTATTTGAAGATGGATCTCGACAGCTCGCGTTGGAGCTTGGGATTTCTGAAGCTGACATCCCAAATAGATTCATGCAGTGAATCCGTCGCCGGATCGAGTACGCACCTTATGCTTTTATGTCTACTGCACATAGTCCACGCCTGCTGCGTGTGATTGAGACAGGAGGCCTGGAAAAGCCCCTGATCCAGCTTCCTTCTTGGGATTGCAGGCAGCAGCAACGACTGGACATATAGACTAGCGACAATGTCCACCTAGGATAAATCAACTTACAAATTTTCGGAAGACATATTACACAAACGGTGACTCGTCCAACGCCGCAAACGCCAAACACGATAATCCCCAGTCCCTTGCCTAGCCCCCCGAATACACGGCGATGTCGTCATACAATTCAGGAAACTGCTCAAAGAAACCAGCCTCCATGGTCCAGGACCCCAGCTCGCCAATGCAATGCTTAAAATGAGGCGACAGATGAAACTTGCCAGTCTCGGCATTCTGCATATAAGTGTCCCGAAAGTCGTACGGCCAGACGATCCTTAGGTTGGACAGGACGAGGTGCCAGAAGAGGTTTCCGCAATATTGGTGCTGGAAGAAGATGAAACGTTCCCGCAGAGCTGGCCTAAAAGTGAATGAGCTCCAGAATGGAATTGATCTCGGGTCCCATCTTACCAAACGAAGAAATCAATGCAACGGGAATGTGGCAGAGTTTGAGATGGTCTGGAAATGATTTCAGCTAAACCATTTGGCTTCTTCAGGTTCGAAACTCACCTTGTCCACAGCCAGCGTGGCAGAGCAGCTTGTCTCCTCGGGCTCGGATCGTTGTGATAGTCGATCATCAAACAGATCAACCTCAGCACGGCTAGCCTTTCCGTCGGCCGGCATTTGTGCCAGCCCATGTCATCGAGTTTTCGGAGCTTGCACCACGACTCCATCATGCCGCCCTTATTTTCAACGCTGCTCCATCCTTCTACTACCGCGCGAATAACGGTATCCTCACAGTCCGCATCACTCGTACTGATTCCTGACTGCGATTGCGCGGTAGGTCGTGCTAGAGCCTCGTTGGCTGCTCGCCAGAGGTTGATGTCGGGGGGCGAGTCTCCAGATGCCGGCATGGCGCAGGGGCATTTCGGGGGAGCTTTTGGTATGATGATGTCTTCTAGAGGGGAAATATGGTATGGGAGAGGGTCCAACAATGTCGGCAAGAGAGTGATATCTTGGAAAGGGGCTGAGCTTGTCAGGAAGTCGCCAAAAAGGTCACCATTCGAAAGTCCCCCGCAAGGATTTGACACTCCGAGGTCCTGATCCAGCCACAGTTGAGGATCAATCAAGTCGTCGGATGCATCGGCGGTTGAAATCGATGCTGCATGAGCACCCAAATACAGCGCTGAGTCTGCGACATGCTGACTCTCCAGTGGCAATGCTGGAATAGTCTCGACTGTTGGAGATCGATCCGCTCCTCTCTTGGCATCCTGGATGTGGCCATTAACGGTAAAGGCCAGCGACTCCAGGACATTCAGCATCTTGTCCCTCTCGCTCGTCGCCTGCGAGAGATGATCCATCAGAGAGAGAACCCGGGAGTCGGTATCATCCTTCTTGAGATGGGCCACCATGTCCTCGAGCTGCTTGATGCGGTTCTTGGTCCGTTCACGCGACATGCGCTGCGCCTTGCGGTCGAGTTCCCGCTTCTTAAGGCGGTGATCCTTAATCACATTGTCCGTCACGTCCTCGCATACCGGGGCCTTGTCTGATCGGGACGATCCCATCCTTGCAACTCGTCTTCAAAGTGATGGAACAGAGATTGAGCATAAGATAGCAACGTCGTGTTCGGGAAACATATCCCTCGGAGACACGGGGTGCTTGGAACCTGCGGGGACGGACCGAAACGCGGGGAAGACTACGGTCCGGTTCGCCGGGTCCGATCTAGCCATTAACAGATAAACGCTGCTTTTTAGAGCGAACTATTTCGACACCAATGCAAGCAATTACTCAAGTCAGGTCACGCGTAATAGTTTGATGCGGGGATAGGCTCCAAGTGCCTCGGCATGGGAAGGGCGGGGTCATAGTTTGATCATCACTGTGATTATGTCTTTGGTCATCTCGACTGATATGGTCAAAATACCAGACTGTGAAATGAGAAGCCTTGGGGAGCGCAGACCCGGATATAACAACACATGGGAGACAAGTCGAATGTTTTGCTGGAAATTGATCATACGTAACTGCCTCCATACTCAGTCTGCAACCCTGGACTACCCTAGCAACTACACGCAACCTCCAACCCTTCTCCCGCTAAACGGTGGCCACATTAGATGCAGAAAGAGACGCGGAATCCTCTCCCCGGTGCCCTTGCAGACCCTACTGGTAGAACCGAGGATCAAGGGCGTCTTCGTTCATGTAGGGGGACCGATCCGCGTCAGGATCGGTGCTCAGATCCACAGCTGAGTAGCCATATCCGAGGAATTGGAATCGGTTCTGCCACATGAAGTCAGCCAACCCGAAATAGTTGGACACTGTTACTAAACCTACCGGACCATGATACTTAATCTCCATGTCTTCCCAGCGAGGCTCCTCCAGCGCAACTCGGTAATGAAGGGCGCTACCAGGCCAAATAGCATCCACACGTCCAGTCTTTCTGTTCTTGTCTATGTTTTGGTCAGATTTGCTCTTCGGGAAGGCATCTGCTCTGCATCACTTACACCAGGCATTGCAGTCTTCTTCCCACACAGTGCCTTTGAACCAGCTCTGAGTGTGCTTGTTGAACTCGTCAGAGACATCTTGCTTGGGGACAAAGTATTTGATATTGTTGGTCTGCATTTTCGTGATGACCTTGAGCGTGTAAGATACGAGGGCTTCGAGTTCGCCTATTACAAATCCATTAGCTCTGGCTCAGCTCAAGAGTAGACATTGACTTGCCCGTGATGCTGCCGCTTTCGACTGGAGAGTTGGGCCCGAGGTACACTGTATGCCATGCTTAGCAATATTCCGCCTCATCCATGAGAGTCCCTTACTCAAGTAATTCGGAATCTGAGGTGCCATAACCTGGAGAGTGAGCGTTAGCCGTCGAGTTTCGAATGCTTGACCAGCAGACCTACACCCAGGTAGCTTGCGGGAATCTCTTCCCATTCCTTGCGCAGATCAACACCACCCAAACCAAGGAGTGGAAATGGAGGTCGGTATGAAACGTCTGAGCACAAGTGTTAGCCAAGCCAGCTTCGCATGTACATCTACCCACCAAACCCGGTTGCGCAGACAATAGTATCGCAGACGACCTTTTGGCCGTCGTCGCCAATCACTCCATCCTCAACAACCTCCGCTATGCCGCAGAAGTGCATCTCGACGTTTGGCTTCTGAATGCTGCGAGGGATTGGTCAATGTTGTGAACGCAGATTCAAGCCTCTTTCTACTCACGCCAGCATGTAAGGATCTCCCGGGGCGATTCGGCGGCATCCAACACTAAAGTTGGGAATGATGTTGTCAAAGATGTAGTCGTCTTTGATCCACTCCCGCGTTCGCTTCGTGATTTGCTACGATGCATCATTAGCTGCATGCCCGATATTCACTGGCTCTGATATAGCAGCTACCTCTCGAGCCTGGTGATGGAGCGGATTATGCTTGACCATGAGGTGGTGCAACTAGGAATATTTCAGCTTTCTGCCTCTCGGAGCGAAGTCTAACCTCTTTACCATCATGAGTGTGTTCTCATTAGCCTTGGAGTGCTTCATCATTGCCTTGTGATCCTTACGGAAGACGGCTCTCTCCTCTTCGGTGTCTTTCCAGATGGCATCGTTAGCAGTATCCAAAACAAGCAGGGAAGGATTCTCACACTTGTACCCTTGAGGCCTCGTCTCACCCTTGATGTTGTCGGGCTGGGCAAAGAACCACGGGGGAGTGCGGACAAAGACATCCAGCTTTTTGGTATGGGGCTGCATGCCTGGTACGGCCTGGATACTGCTCGCCCCGGAGCCGATGACGACGACGTTTTCCTTTGCCCATTTATCCTGGGTATATTCTCCCCATCTGAGAGGGTGTGATTCAGCCAAATTTTCACTTCGAGACTCTGCCATGCGTTTAAACTCACTGGGCTCTGTCGGCTGAATGGATGACTCGACCCCGGAAAGTGTCCAGGCCGGTAATCTTGGGCAGCTCCCATCGATCTAGAATGCCCACAGCACCGAGAAGCAGATCGCAGTCGTCAGTGATAATCTTCTTGGTTCCATCAGCCAGCGTCTGCTCAATCTTCAGCTCCCATATGCCTTTCTGGTCATCGAAGCGAGCCTCAATAACCTTCGAGTTGAAGGTCATGTATTTCTTCAGATCGAGCTTGTCAACGACTTTGTTTATGTATTGGCGTAGGTAATCGGCGGACGAATAGAAATCTTCCCAGTCTGGCGAAGTCATTGTTAGCAAGGTTCACGCATCATAGAGTTTCTACAGGTGGAAGAGCACTTACCAGGAGAAATGGCAAAGTTGAACTGATACGTGCATGTTGGCGAGTCACAGCCGGCCATGGGGTATCGATTCTGATACTGCGCGCCATTTGTAAGTGTCTGAGTTGGAGCAACGTGTACTGTCTCAAAGAGAGCGACGCACCCATGTTCCGCCAACCTCGGGGTTCTTCTCATAGATGACGTGCTCCACGTTTGGGGTGTGCTTCTCGATGTTGTACGCCAACATGACGCCGCAAAGTCCAGCACCAATTGTTATGACCTTGAGCTTCCTGTTCTCGGGCACCCCGACAGGGACAAAGGGGATGTGATAACCCGACTTGGCATCATTGTGGAAGTCTGCATTCAGCTTCTCTGCGTACAGGTTTCCCGGACGCGTGGTGGCTTTGGGGTCTGAGAAGAACTTGAGACCTGGGATGAGAAAAGGCGACGCATTGTCGTCCGAGCCATTGAGAGTAGCCATGGTGATTTAAGGGGCGTGCTTGAGCGTAGCTTGCTGAGATGGGAATGTGTTGTGGTTGAAAACAGCTGTGCATCTGAGGGGAGCTGAAGGTTGAGAAATATCAACTAAATAAACCGATAAATATTACTGCAAGCACACCAAAGTCCTAATAGGATTATTTCCCGTCGGTCCGTGATCTTGGTGGCGTTTGGGACTTAGTTCAGGATCCGCGAAGCCATCTGCAAGTTGACGCATGAATTTCTGACATGCGTTTTTCAAGGTGTGGGACCAAGCAGGACCACGTCTTTCTGACTCAAGAAAAACACGATCGGCAGTCCGTGTGATGCACATCAAGTAAATTATTTTGCCGTCTGTATTTGTAACTAAACTAGACTAGTCTTAGCTGACGACCTCAACAGTTGAGTCTCGAATACCCTCATCCTCTTACCAAGTTGAATCGTCTCTATAAGTAGTCGCAGCGCGTGTGAGGCGAAGCCTTCTCCATCCACTCAGCCATCTTTTCACCATTTTTCCATCCATAATCCAATTACCGTGGCCTCAAAATGCAATCATCCGTCGCCCGTCAGCCTGGTCTTGCCAAAATCAGTCCAGAATGGACCGAGGTACTGTCACGCCCGAGTGGACTACCGCGCATGAGACTTACCAGGCATTCCGCAGTTCGCCAAGCATGTTCCGATTCCTCCGCTACTAGGAACACCTGAGGAACTTCGCCAGATGAAGTTTCCGCGGGATGACAGCCCTCCTGTTGGGTTCTCCATCAAGCAGATTCCCATACCGGGCTATGGAGGATGGACGAACCAGGTTCGCATCTACACCCCAGACGTCCAATGTGCGGAACGCGCAGTCATTGTTTAGTATGACATTCACATGATCCCCGTATGGGTGGGCTTTTGCTAAAGAGTTGCTTAGTGTACACGGCGGGGGCTGGACTGTTGGCGATCTGGACTCGGAAGATGCTGCCTGTAGAACCATGTGCAAGTCTACTGGGGCAGTCGTCGTCAGTGTAGACTACCGAAAGTAGGTAACCCAAGTCGTCTTTATCCCCAAGGAAGGTATCTACTGTAGGTTCTTCGCTAAATGTTGACCATAGGGCACCGGAGAATCCCTTCCCAATCGGCCTCGAAGATGTCTGGGCGGGAGTACTTTGGGTAAGCTTCCCCACACTCGAGTAGGTGAAGAAATGTAATATACTGAGATTTCAAGGTATTTGATAATATTGAGACCCTAGGGGGCGATCCAAGTCATCTTATTCTGGGCGGCCTCAGTGCAGGAGGAAATATAGTAAGTCTCCCACGCCGTGTTTTGACTAGATACAACGGCTCAACATCATTCAGACAGCTGTTCTGGCCCAGCGAGCGCGAGATACCAAGCGTGTCTCGTTTTGCGGGCAAATACTGAGGATCCCTCTTGTCGTGCACCCCAAAGCACAACCCGCAGATCTTGACTTTGTTAGCTACGACGAGAATGCCAACGCCCCGATTCTTCCATCTAGAGCGGTCACGCAGTTCCTCGACTACTACAGCGCCCCTCCCGAGGACATCCGAATGTCGCCCCTTCTAGCATCAGACTTATCCGGGTTACCTCGCACGTACATACAGATCGCTGGAGCCGATCCCTTGCGAGACGATGGCTTTGCCTACGCCGAGAGGCTGGAGCAGGCTGGGTATGATGGCTCCCTATCCCCAATCCCCATGCTAACCATCTAAATTAGAGTCCCTATCAAAGTCAGTGTCTACCCTGGCTTACCGCACGGCTTCATGATGTTGCCTTTGGCCACTTCAGTCAAGAGCGACCAGGACCTGACGGAGGCTATAAAATGGATGATCAGAGAGTAATTATGAGCCTTGGACTGTACATAGACAGGAGTAGATTACGAAGACAGGAACTTTCATTCGCTATTAGTTTGGCAACTATTGCAGTAGAAATCAACGCCTTCAAGTTTTTTGTGCTTGTTCAGATCGCAGACCATTGGACGGAATCTACAAGTTGCATCTACACGGACCAACGGGGAGTGACTGATGAAAAAAGCATGCATCAGAGTAGAATTATTTTTCACGCAATTATTCTACTACTTGCTTGGGTCCGCCCATAGTCTTCCCTTGACACCCCCTTTGGCCAAAGCATCGATGCTGGCGGGTATTTCAGCAAATGGTACCTCGACCAGCAACGGATTTATGACACCCCCTTCCAGAAGCTTCAAAACGTCGGCCAAATCATCGACACTGGCCCCCAGCGATCCGACGAGAGCCACCGTACGTAGAACCAGTACGTCAGTTGGCACCGTGACCGTTTTGGCAGCCAAGCCGACCACGACTACCTTTCCTCCTTGCTTGACTGCACTCAAGGCGGTCACAGTACTGGAGCCAGTGCCAGCAAAGTCAACAATAACATCAAAAGACACGTCCTTGGCCTCGTCCAAGCTCTTGAAACATCCATGAGCACCAAGCCGTTTCGCCTCGTCAAATTTATCCTCAACAATGTCAACGCCATACACAACAGCTCCTTGGAGAGCTCCAAACCCAAGACCAGACATTCCTAAACCGCCGAGACCGATTACGCCAACCGTCAAGCCAGGCTTCGCCCCAGCCTCGGCCACCACAGCGTGATATGACGTGGCCAACGCATCAGTCGCCACAGCTGCCTGAGCGAAGGAAACGCCGTCCGGAATGTGCATCAGCCGGCGTACAGGAGCAACGGCATACTGGGCATAGCCACCGTCGAAGCCAAGTCCAATGCCGAGCGACCAGTCACGTTCTTCAACCGGGTGGCAGACTTGAGATACGGCAACTCTGTCTCCCACGTTGAATCCTGTAACCCCGGGTCCAACTTTGGTGATGATCCCGGCGACTTCATGGCCGAGAGTAATGGGCTTTTTGATCAGCCACGCGTCGCTCGAGCCAGATACAATATGGCAGTCGGAGTGACACATGCCCGCGGCCTTGACCTCGAGCTGAACTTGTTCGCCACCAGGTTCAGGGACGGGGATATCCCGGAGCTCCAAGCCCGTTTGTGAATTCTTGTACTGGAATGCCTTCATGTTTGTTGGTCAAGGTCTAAATGGTCGGGTAGAAGGAGGGGAAAGAGCTGGATGTAAAGGATCAGGGACTGGTGGTTTGGTGGGAGATGCAAAAGTGAGAAAACAACATTCCCATATTATTTATAAACATAATCTTACCTTGGGATCTCCAGACTCGCTGATTCACGAATCAGGTTAGTGTGCAAGCTTGCGTTGGTTGGTGATTCAAGGTAGCTGCCGGACTCAGAGAATTCTGACATGCATTCATTTTAGCGCGAGAAGTGTCTACCCCAACAAATCCCACTAAGGAAGAATCCATGTCAAAAGTCATTGGGCTCAAAATACCGTGTACCACTCTTCAACATATTTGCCGAGAGGGAAGAAAATCCTTTCCTAAATCTTAATGCGATGTTGGAGTCACTCTGGACTTGGGATGTCGCGAAAAAACTTGTAGTGTGTGGTAGAGGAACCTCGCTCAAAGGGAGCGGACAGGCGGGTGAGTCATGACAATATGGCGTCCATAATTCATCCTCGTGTCGGAACGCCCATAGAATGACCGTTCAACAAGGCCGAGAGAATTCACGGCCAAATCAGCTCTATATAATAAGACTTCCTTGCTGAGAGCTTCTCTTCGACGTGGGGCAGTGTCAAATGCTCGATCGGATGGGAGGAATGGTTGGTGCTACGAATGTGCTTTGATAAGATGGCGGTTCATTTCCGTTTCGGCCTGAAGTAGTGATTAATTAGGTAGTTGGGACAGGGAAGATCGTGTGAGGGTGAAGAGCCATGTTTGGCAGGATCATGGTCCGATTGTTTGGGAACGAACTAAGAGCATCAATTCTATCATTACCAATCCTGAACCAACACTTCGGCGGAAGGTAACCGGCAATAAGGCTCGCTTCTTCACCTTTTCATCACTGACAAAGTAATCAATACTGAGATTTTAAGTAATAAACTCAGGTCGCAGGACTCTGTAGGACTTAATTCCAAGAAGGGACACTTGAACGTCGAAGGTCTTAAAGGTCCCTTGATTGTAAGATAACGGGAATAAAAACAGCCTTTCGTTAAGTGCACGAGACAGTGGCAAGTATAGAGTTTCTCTTCCGAGTTAAGGGGCCGAATTTAACCTTCATATTGACAAATGACAGGCTCTTCGTTCTCCGCAGTAAGTGTCTCAGATCAGAAGCACACTCTACCCTTGAATAACTATAATGCCACTACATGCCCCGAGAAGAATTCTCTCGTTCTCCCTCAGGGGCTCAAACTTGGACGTCCCTCCAAGTGGGAGCAATGTTCACCAGCTCAAGGTGATGTCATCGGTGATTATCCTTTGGAAGAACAAGGGATTATGAATGAGAGGAACACACCCCCAAAAGTTGCCGTCTCCATTCGAAGCAACTGTACCAGAGAAGCTCTCGGGCAACTGGCTGGGCTAGAAAACTCTCAGCAGGTGTTTGACATCTCTCAGCATACTGTGTCGGCACCAGTCCAGTCCTTGCGCAAAACTATTATATTAGTTTATCTGCATTAATGCATGGGTGAGAAAATAGCTTAATATTTATTATACTTTGTATCTGAGAAAATGTTGGTACAGTGCTACAGGAGTAGAGCACGACTGAGATAATCGTGGATCCCTGGCTCTGCTATTCCCTTAGTGATAAACAAATTACTATATCAGCAAGAATAATCAGCGACAGGCTGATAACTATATACTTATAGCTTACTATAAAGAATACTAATTCAACTTCTATTTACTTTCTTAAGATAAATAAATTACTAATATAAAATTTAAAAAAATATAATTTTATTTATAATTTAAATATTTATCTATTTAGTTATAGATATTAATAAAATAGGCTAAAAGCCTTTTAAAAAGTAGTTATAAGAAATATAACTATAGAAGCAGACGAGGAAGACCTCGAGAAGCTGAGTTGTAATAGGGCGTGGCTGCTAGAGCTGCTGGGGTTGCTGGAGGAGGCTCGGCGTAAGGCTGCTTCATGAGTCATCGGGGGCGGAAGGTTTCTGGGTCGAAGGTTGATAGGCGAAGGTTTGGAGGGGCCGAAGGTTGTTATATATCAAGGTTATACTCTAATTCACTTTGTTGAGCAACACAATGCCATCGAGAATGCTACTCCGAACTCGACTGCAATTCCAGGAAGCTACATGTACTCATGTTACCCAGGACCAAATGGATCATCTTCAGGCCTGTGAGATGGACATCCCATACGTATTTATGTGGTAATCCCGTTCGTGTACCAGCTCTACGTAATAATGATGGGACTTTTATCTAACCCACCAGCTTTAATCGGGTGGAATTGATCTATGGACCGGCGGAGAGCGGCTCGGCGATGGCATCCGTTGTAGAGAGGGGACAGCCAGAATGAGACTAGTCGACGACGTTCGACCTAAGATGGAAAGGCACGCCGCGAATCAGCCAATACAAAAATGGTGTCGAGAATTAAAGGAAATTAGTCTGTCGTGGCCTCGTCTTTCCAGTTATCATTTTGTGTATGTCGTCGTCAGCTTGGATGACGCGGTCTTGACCCTATTTGGGCAAATGACTCCACTTCAATATGCCGTCTTCCCGGCATCATGGCTTTACGTGGGTCTTAGCCCCGGACTAACAGAGTCTAGGGAACCATTGCTGCAATTATTCGGGTAACAAGCCGATCAAATGTGGTGGTGCACACCCAGTGTTTGTCACATCCCTCAGTATATCCTTCTAACCCCTTTGTCTCTTGCAGTGGCGTTGCCTCCTCTATTACCTATCCATAATGCCGGGTTCCGGATAAGCAGTGAGCCCACTCGCGTTATTGTGTGGTAGATTAACTGGCATATCCTAGGCTCGCGCGTGCTGCTCGGTTTCTTCTCCTTCATTCACTCGTCGTCATCTTTTCTGCTGCCCTTACACAGGCATTAATGTCGAATATCTTGGTTCTATTTTGATTTGCGTCCTTGCTGGCCCTTTTGGCCTGTTATCCCTCCTGAAGAAGGTCTAGACAGTGTCTTCACTCCGACACTCTCGCTACCGACGACTTGCCAAGAGATCAAACTTTCCACATTCGTTCAACGCTTCCTACGACGAAGCTGACCGTCCGTTATACACACTTCGATTCCTCTGCTTGAAATTTAGTCAATAGATTCAAGCCGTCCTTGAGTGCCTTTGCGATTACACAACGACCGAACTACAGGCGCTATCTAATATTCTATACTCCCCATTCTGGTGACCAACGATCGACAATTCGGTACCCGAATTTTGTGGCTCATATTTGCATCCATTAATATCTATTCATAATGCTACGCTCTCTGGCATTGGGCGCTCTGCTTGGGACTGGCTCGGTCCTGGCAACTGTGTCATGTTCTGCTGACAGCAAGTGCCCCAAGAGCACCCCATGTTGTTCCAGTAGGTCAATATTCTGGCGTAATGGAAGTTAACTCACACACTTTCTTAGCGTATGGCGAGTGTGGTGTTGGAGCATACTGCCTTGGTGGTTGCGATCCCACCATGTCATACTCTCTTGACTCTTGCATGCCTGCTCCTGTTTGCCAGGACCGCACTCTCACCATGGACTCACTGGATCGTGTTTCTGATGTTAGCGATTACCTTGGAAACTCCACCGAAGCGGATTGGATGTCGTCCGGAGACCCTCTTTTGTACAAGGGAAACACTCTTTTAACCATGCCGAAAGACAGTTCCGGGACTGTTTTATCCTCTACCGTATATATGTGGTACGGCAATGTCAAGGCTCGCTTGAAAACGAGTCGAGGTGCCGGCGTTGTGACAGCATTTATTCTTTTCTCCGATGTCAAGGATGAGATTGATTTCGAGTTCATCGGTGTAGACCTTGAAACAGCCCAGACAAATTATTACTTTCAAGGCATAACGACCTGTGAGGCTTCCTCTACCGCACTTACACTTTCATCGCGCGATTCGACCACGAGAACATACTAACAGGTAGTTAGACCCAACACACGCATCGAATCTCACCATGAGTGACAGCTTTGACAACTTCCACGACTACGAAATTCGCTGGACTCCGGACACGGTCGAGTGGTACATCGACGGCACTCTGGGCCGCACTTTGAACAAGAACGACACCTGGAACGAGACGAGTCAAAATTTCGATTTCCCGCAGACTCCTGCGCGTGTTCAACTATCCCTCTGGCCAGGCGGTCTTTCCACCAATGCCGCCGGAACAATCGCCTGGGCTGGAGGTGAGATTGACTGGGACGCCGCGGACATCGAGAATTACGGGTACTATTTTGCTACCTTCAGTGAGGTTGTTATGGAGTGCTACAATACTTCTACGGCCCCGGGAACGAACTCTGGCAAGAGTTACACGTATGATAGCCTCCGTGCTACCAATGATACCGTCGTTGACGGCACCGAGGACACGATTCTCGCCTCTTTCCAAGCCACGGGACTCAACCCTAACAAAGGAGAGAAGTCATCCTCAAGTTCTGATACAGTCCCCGGTAGCAGTTCTTCGGGGAATGACCACAGCGACGATTCTAGTTCCAGTTCCAGTGCTAGCTCTAGCGCCAGCTCCACTGCCAGCTCATCAGTTGATGCAGCCAACTGCAAAGCAACATCCTTCAGCCAAGATTGTGCCAGCAGTAGCAGCAAAACTAGCGGCACGCGGACTAGCGCCAGTGTTCCATTTCTCGTTATTGCTAGTTGTGCTTTGCTCTGCCTATAGGTAGATGAGAGTGATAGTCAACATTCCATAGCCTCTTCAAAGACGAATTCGGGCCACGTTTGGCAATTGTAGTGCTACGCAATGATGGCGCAATTAAAGGGGACATGTACCTGTGATCAAGTCTGTAGCAGTAATGGAGCCTAAATGGAGCTCCAAGAGCAGCTAGGATCAATTTCCCATCTGGCAAATACAAACTTCTTCACAAGTCTGCTCTACCTTGGTGTCACCTCGTTTTATTATCGAACTTTCCCTTCAAATACTTTGGGATCGATCGTAAATGAAGATCTAACCATGTCTCCACCCCCCGAGATCAACCACGGGAAATAGTTATCATTGGTGCTTGTACCTAGAAGTCTTTCACTGGTAGATTCCTGAAGGATCAGTCTGGATACTGGTACTGATGGACAGGACGCGAAAAGTCCCAAGGATAATTAACCAAGTTATCGTTACGGCAAAAACAAACAAAACATGACTGTATTAATTTAATTTCAGCTACTACTAAAGAAACAAATGATGAACAACCAAACTGCGAATACAAAACACAAATGCAAACAAAGGGAATATCCGGAGGTGGCCGGTACCATACATATATCACCATTCAGGGGCCCCTGTTGGTTTCCAGTCGTACGTCTCATGACGTCCCATACAGATTCGGTCATGTCAACCACGTCAAGCGGTTGAAGGTATTACAGAGCCTGTCAATAACAATTAGTAGGGTAATATGTTTTGCTGCAAAAATCACTCACAATGACAGAGGATTTAGCTCCACGGAGCATTTCTCGCAGCACAAGTCTCTGTGTGGTAGTCTTGACAGTGACTTGTTGAACTGACTGAGTCTGAGACTTGATAGGAGCGTCGATGAGAAGTGGGGTGAATTTCTTGACTGCGTGCTTAGCAGGGTAGAGGGCAAGAGGTCCTCGATCCTGAACCACTCTCTTAAGGAAGTCAAAGATGTCCTCCTCAACGGGGACCTCCCCAAGAGGGATGAGCTTCAAAGCGTCAAGCTTCTCCTTGGACAGGCTGAAAAGTGCCTGCAAGGCGGCATCTGCCATAATGGCACGCTGAAGGAGGACTCGGGATGCTTCTTCGTCAATCTCAGAGGCCAGCTCAGCGCCGCGGCTCGTCGCTTTCTCAAGCAACTTTAGCCCACGTTCAGCTACAGCAGTCTGACCAGCCTGGGAGACAAGCTGCTCAACTGCAGAGATGGCACTCCTCAAGACAGGACCGAGAGAAGAAAAGACTTCTTCGCGGCCAGCGAGGGGAAGGGTTGGCCCAAACAGGCCCTTGATAAAGTCCTTGCCAGTGTCGTTGGTGTTGAGTCCTGGAAAGTTTCTGATGGCCAGGGCGCGACGCTTGCGCTTGGTGGACTGCCCAACTTCATTGTTGTCCGTCTCACAGTACGAGGCAATATCGCGGGCAGCTTCCTTGAGGTAAGAAACGAGAAGGCCCGCACTTTCGTCAACCTTGGGTGCGTTTTCGTTCCAGTTCTTTTGCATGTGCTCGAGAATCTCATCCAGCTCGGGAGACTCCTCAATTGCCAGGACCGCCTCGAGAGACGCCTCGGCAAGCAACGCGCGCTCTGCGGCGCCAGAGATCTTTGTGGCAGCGCCACTGGAGATGGTCTCAGCCCCGACGATGTAGCTGAGCAAAGCTCCAGCTGTGATGCTGACGGAATCGCTGGCCGATTCAAGCAAGGGTGAAGTGCTCTCGAGAGACTCGAGACTGGCGACGGTCTTGAGCACCTCGTAAAAGATGTCAGTGTCGTTGCTCGCGTCCTCCTCCGATGTTGTCGGGGTGTTTTCCTCAACGATCTCGAAATCAGTCTCCGTGTTGCCTGAAGGAACAGCAGGGGTTTCTTCTTCAGACTTGGGCTCCTCTTGAATCTGAGGCTCCTCGATCGGGGTAACTGAGCCGCAAGAGCCGCCGCAGCCGTTGCAGTGGGTCACAGTAAGATTGAGCGTCTCTTCAATCTCGGGGATGACCGGGATGACGGGTTCCTCTGATTCACACCCGCAGTTAGCATAAGTTTTCATTCAAACGGGTTTCACTTACCCTCGGGTTGGGGGACAGGATCAACAAGCTCAGGCACGTCGATCTTGACATCCTCGAGGGAGTTGCAGGTGCAAATATCAATCACAAACGGCTCGGTAACCTGAATAAAGGCAATGTCTCGCGAGCGCGCACCCAGCTGATCAGTCCACTCAGCCGAAGTGACAACACTTCGACCGTACCGCGACTGAATCTGCGAGTTCTCCGGCGAGTCGCGGCCGCGATAGCCAATGTAGCACTTGAGCTGTGTAGCGGCACCGAGCTGGTACTCGGTATCATACACAACGTCGCCCCCGGTGACGAGAAGATCAGGACGGATAAGCCATCCGGCACCAATCTTCCAAATGTCAAGGCCGGTCTTCTTGTTTTTGAAACGCGACTCGATCTTGACGATGTCTGCAATGGTTAGTCAGGCGACTGCAGTGGCACAATCTTTGGTTTACTTACAGCGGCTCATGCCGGGAGCTTGATGATCGACCACAGCGAACGGAGGGACTACTTGCTCGATGACAGATTCAGATTCTTTCTGAAATCCGTCAGCTGCAAAGAATGTTGTCTCCGTTTGTCCAGTGTAGGTTGGCAGATCAAGCCTCCAAGCATCGGGCTTGTTGGGGAGGTTTGCAAACGGGGCAGAATCCATCTTGTGGAATGTGCAGTGATGGTGAAGGGATGTTCAAATGCAGAGAGAAACTGAAGAGAGCTGACTGCTGGTGTGAGTGAGCTACTGAGATTCGAATGTATTTGAGAAGGAGGAGCCTTGCCCTCTTATACTTCTGCCACTTAGCCGATGGCTTGTTCATAAGAGGAAGGCTTGATTGTTTACACTCTAACAAGGAATCAAGAACGCGTAATTTACACATGAAGTCCGAGGTCCATCCACTCTCTCATTGGAAATCATGTCCGCAGCCAGCCACTTTCGATTTTGTCTCTGGATAATGATGCGTCACCTCCTCTTGCATGTAAACTTTGCCTGAATTGGTACTCAGCTCCAATCCAGTCAGCCTCAGTTTGCCCCGGGCATTCCGTAAATTCAAAAAAGAAAGAGTACGGTTCCAAATGTTTGGCTTTGGTCACGCCAAGCCCGTCTCGTTCACTCTGGATTTGCAATCGACCCATCCTTAGTCTGTGCCATCCTTGCAGCCCAGCTTGTATTTCTTTTCTTCTTTCACATACACCCCTGCGTTAGCCTTATCGGAGATGAACCCAGTACACCTAACTTAGTGCCCGTCATGTCCTCGCTGCAGTTGCAAGTTCTAGGCACCGACCTGCATTGTTAGTGGGAGCTGTTTAGGATCGTGGCAACAGGGACGATTCCCCATTTGGACCAGCCATCCACACTATTGCCCAGCCCATGTTTCATTCAACCGTAAAAGAAGCAACCAAGATCAGCTCGTCGATCTTGTGAGGTTCTAACGGACTTGGCTGTGCGGTGAAAGCGGGCGGAATCGGCGAGATTGTCGTACTATGGAGGGCCCGAGCATAATCCAGATGATATGTGACGAAAGTTGGTGAGAACTAGCCTAAACCATTTCAAGGGTTTCCTTGGTCAACCAGAATCAATATACTATAGCACGCCTCAATCTAAATAAGCATGGGTAGGAGAGTCTAGACTCGTCACCACGTTCCTCGGCATAGTGATACTTTCTGAGTCGTTGTATCAAAGCTTCCTAAGACGTATCGGTCTCGAATCTTCTATGATGGACAGGCCAGAGACATAGTTAATGACGCGAGTGAGATCACTATCGCTAACTATTGTCGCTAAAACAAGCCACTCTCTGGGTAACGCGGCTTGCAAGCGAGGATCCTTTACGGCAGAATCGAGAGCATAGTATACTCCTTGACATGTAAGGGGAAGGGCATCTAAATTGACAGCGCTTACATATTTCTGTTCAAAGTATTCGTAATCCCGTGATGGGTGCTTTCATAGCGGCTCGGGCGATCCGCTCATCACCATGTGCTAGTGAATTCCTGTAGGTCACATTGACACTCGGCTGCCAATTCTGGACGTCTCAAGACTAACTAGACACTGCCGTGGTTCGAAAACCATGCGGTCGTCACATGTAGTAAGGAATGCGGGGTTCACGGTGTCCCGCGAGTATTAATCACACGACAAGCTGATGCAGGAGAGATGCAGGAGAGATGCAGGAGAGATGCACGTCAAACGATATTCGACAGGGGCATCATCAGCTAGCCACAATCCCAAGCATTTGAGCTCTTTGCAGTACAACATATCAATGATCAGTGAGGATCGATTTAGAAAAGTCTAGACTACAATAAAGGATCCGGATCTTGCTTTTGCTAGTCTCAGGACCCTTGTTTAATGTGGCGATAGCCGGAGTTACTCGCGTCACCAGTCTAGCAGATAGCCGACATATCTGGTAAGTGGGCCAATATACGAGTGGATTACAGCCAGCCACGGCAGTTATATTGAAATGTGACCAGGCTTTGGAGGTTAGATTGGATCACTATATTCTTTTCGGAGTAATTCTTTCCTCGGAGCCATTTCGTGTTCGCGAAGAGGGCCTGTGGGGTTTAAACTTGACCTATTCTCGCGGCGTGCATCTACGCTAGCGTTTTGTGCCACAGACTCCCGGCCGCGCTAACTTCTCGTGGACCACTCCACAGAAAAGAAATGAACGAGCTCATGGGGTGACAATAGCTGAGGTAAATATACTTGGCTGGCAAGAAGGATGGCTGAGCCAAGAAAGTATCAAAGCACTCTCCTATTGTTTGTACAGCCTCAGACGCCATTAACACACAGAAACTAAGTGGTCCGGTGCCTCTCACTCCCAACAGTCGGCCGCCATCAAATACAATGTGGCGCCCAAACCTGGTCATTCGCAACAACTAGCGGCAACGGGAAGATCAACTAATGCGGCAAGGGGGCAACTGAGACATGCGTAGCCGCCTGGCGTGCTCAGCCATCCTCGGCGAACGCCTCTTCTCCATGTGGCGAGCTGAGTAACGTCTGGGCCGTCACATGGCGCAACCCCACAAAGCAAGTTTGTTCAGGTATGTGAATCAATAGTTTGGATCCATTGCTGGCTGGATTACTCACTGGGCGTAGTCTGCGTGCAGAGATTTGCGTAGTGTTGATGGATGGCATCACCAAGCATGCGAGGGATGCTACCGACTCGGCAGTCTGGCCACGGCGATGAGAGACATTCTGTGCAGTCCAGCTGGGTATTGTTCCCAAGTTCACCACAAGAAAGTACTTAAGGTCCGCGATCTTGCTGCTCTCATCAGTCCTTTCAAATCACATCACCAACTCAGCAATCAACCTCCAGCACCCTACTACTCTACCCAGTAATCTCATTTACCACCCAATTTTCACCATGTCTATCCCCGAGTCCGGCAACACCCTCATCATTCCCGCTTATAATGCGGAGTCTGAAATGGCTGTTCAGGAGCTCCAGTGGTCGCAGTCTTTCCGGACCCGGACTGCGCGATACTACATCGTCAGAGCCACGAACCAGTCTAAGGGAAATGTAGATGTTCTTCTCTACATCCAGGACCGCTTCTACAAAGATGAAGGCAGCGGCGACTACATTGGCAAGATCCCTGGCGCCAGGAAGGAGGGCAGTAAGTCACCAATCGCAAATCAGCCGGAAGAGTATTTTTAACGCCCTGGCAGACTCCTTCGTTGTCAACATCAACGACCGTTTCCAGTATGGCCAGAAGAACAAGAATGGAGACGGTCGCTGGGTCGCCCTCCATGACAAGGACAACAAGCCCTACCAGGTAAGAGTTTTATCGGTTTACACCGTTCACGTTACTGATCCAGATGGTAGCACCGTTTCATGATCACCACCATTCAGGGCAACATTGCTGAGTGGGCCAAGACTCTCGCCAGGTCCTTCGGCGCTGGTGAGATTGCTGACTCCGTGGCTAAGCTTGGTGGCAACTTCATCGGTGACTATCTCCACACCTATTAAGTTGCTGCCTGAGATTGCAACGGGGAGATGCAGTGGGAATAAATTGCATCTGAGGAAGTGGTCACTTCGAACAGTTTTGTCGCTCATTAGTCTTATTTAATCAGTTGAAATATGAAATTAAGCCCGGGTAATTATTTGATCTATGAACCTCAGCTTTGTGATCAGCTTCTATTAGACATGTTCTTGTAAGTAAGGTAATCAGGATCCCAATGAGCAATCCATGCCACAGCCCGTAGTGTGCGAATAATTTTTTCGGGAAACTAATGTGTGTTGCTGACCAAGGAACCTGGAGCTTATGCAAATTCATTACAAATGTGCATAAATAGTGATACAGCATTGTTTGGTTATGGCAGCGTGTTCCAGGCACGTCGTTGTTCCCAGAAGGCATGTTTATAAGAATTACGGCTTTGATAGAGGTTATATCTCATAGATTCTTTCCATCATAATATAGTTGGTTACAAATTCTCACCTGCTCTATGAACAGTGATAATAAGATCTATAGATTCTTCTTGAACAAGTGTTATTCCAGCTGACCTTGGCAGTTAGTATAGGGTAAGCATCGTACATTTGGGGTGCCGTACTAGGACAGCCACCCTCCAAGATGGAACCACGGAATAAATTTGACTGGAAATCCATCAATTTCATTTCGGACTGCTGTAAGAGAAACATTAGCTATGGGTTGACAGTATGAGAACTGGCTGCTTCTGGGCAATTTGGCCTTGCATCATAAGTCGAAAAATCAGGCGATAGTGAACCACAAATCTTGCATGTAGGCTTACCTCTCTATGTACTAATCAAAACTCTATTCTTCTATAATTTTCAGTGTAAAATTAAAAGAAGGCAATATCACACAGCTTCTTTTCGCCGATTTACTCTAAATCGTGAACGGACACTCAATCTTTGGATTCGAATCATCTGGTGCCTGCAGGACCAGACTAGGCGGTCTAACCCGGCAGTATCTATCTAATTAGCCGAAGCATAGCCCTGTAGGATTCGAAAGAGCTGGGAATAGGCCGCAATACAACCATCATTATCATGTCAATAACGCCCTTCCTGTGACATGACCTGACCTAAAATGGAGCGTTCTTGTGAGCCACCTGAGAGAAAAGGCGCCCCCCACGACATTTTGAGCTGATTTATACTCTCGTGATATCTCGCCGGCGCAGAATAGCGGGCGATGTTCCAATCCGTTCTTACATAAATACTGCTTTCTTCCTATTGAACTTTACAATATTGCGCATCAAATAATTTGCATCACAACATTCGCACTGCCTACTGTATTAGACAACCTCGATCAAAATGGCCAACAATGACCTCCATTTCCGCATCGCAACTCTTGACGATGCGTCTCAGCTTCAAGCAATGGTGGAATCCGCATTCCGCGCTGAAGACAGCAGACAAGACTGGACAGCGGACATGAAACTCGGGGAGAGCTTCCGTCTAGATGTCAAAGAAATCATCACACAAATCAACAAGCCCGACGGTGCGATCCTGATGGCCACCGACAACAACAACAACGCACTCGTGGGCTCCGTTGAGGTTTTCAAGCGCAGCGATGACCTCGCCCGCATTTCCATGCTGGCCGTTGACCAGACTTGTCAACGTGGCGGTATTGGGCGTCAGGTTCTCGCCTATGCTGAAGACTACTGTCAGAAGACTTGGGGTGTTAACAAGCTGGGTTTAAACGCCCTTGAGACGCGCCAAGAGCTTATCAAATGGTACATGCGCCGCGGCTATGAAAAGACAGGCGAAACATCGCCTTTTCCCAGGGACCGGGTCGCGGAGTTGGATTTGCCGGAGGATTTGTGTTTTATTGAACTAGAGAAAGATGTGAAAGCAGCTGCTGGTGCAACCGAGGCAGTTTGAGCCGGTCATCAGGTAGAAATACATCCCAGGTAGAGAATAGGTTCGGTAGAGGAATAGGCTCGGTAGATAGGTAGTTTAGGTTAACCTGCGGGCATACTAGCTTCGTGGAATACGATAAATCCGTGCGAAGTGCTTATTCCAATACTGATGCATCAGATTGCTACGGCCTTGGCTGATGTAGATATTTATCGTATGAGACAGAGTGAAAACACTACAGGCAGGCATGTCTTGTGGAAATAATCACCAGTGAAGCTCCTACCCCTCCCGACAGAAAGATGATTTACTTCAGTGCTCATTACAATCGAGATCGCCCCTCTCGGCACATGATCACCTTGTTCTCTACTGGCTCCACCAGACTGACGTGGTCCGAGTCGATCACAAGAGCTTGGTCAGAAGCGCGCGACGGACTAGCATTCCGGCTGGAGGGTCCGGAAGTCCCCGAGCCGCGCCGAACGAAAGCCGATTTCCTCATCGAGCGATTGTGTCACCTCTGGATGGATGATTGAATGCCGCCATGTTGGGGATGTTGGAGGTCAATTGAGATGCTAGTCTAGAGCACACTCGGTGGGATGGATACGCTTCTACAGACTCCAAGGCCAGACCTGCCCGCCGGATGGGGGCGAACAATGCAGGTCCCGAACATCAGCTGCACAACGTGTCGTTCGGTTTCCTATTTCAGTTGTGTCAGAATCGACCTGGGGAGACTAGGGACCCGCTCTTGGGCCTTGGACTGGGATGATCCTGATCGCGAACCATCATGCAATTGAGCTAGACCGCCAATGGAGCACTCGACGTACATCATCACAGGCCTCTCATTTCCCAGCTCCAGTAAAGGCTTGGCTGGCTTTTACTGACCAATGTCCCGGATTGCATCTCCCATCATAAATATACAAACACATTTCTCCCAATTCTTCACATTCGGGATCCGCGGGGAAATGGCCAACTCCACCCAGTACTTGGTTATTTGAGGGGCGATCTAAATATCTAAATTAGGGCACACTTCCACGCTTAGCCCGGTCTGTGTGCGATCATCGCCACTTTTACATAATATAAATCACCAGCTTCGCAAGCTTCTTCCACGAGTAAAAGACCCCAGACAGATTCTTCGTCTCGCTTTACCAAACGCACCCAAAACATCCACTTCGACGTCATGCCACCCTGTTAGTACCGGCCGAAGTGGGGAGTTGCCCCTTGGCTGTGTCGTAATGCCGGCCGGTCCGGAGATCCAGTCACGATCTTTAGGTGTCACTTCCAAGATGGAATTTTTTACCACGTGTCGCGACTACGAGCGGGTGTCACATCCCTTGAAAATTAGTTTTCTATCAGACACACATTTATAGCCATTGGAAGCATTTCGAGATTCGACTTGATTACTACCTCCATTCTCTTTACTGCGTCGCTCGTTAACAAGCCCCTCAGATCCCATGCAAGCTTCATCAAATTCTCCTTCCTCTCCAGACGACCCTGATCCCGGGTCCAGCCCCAAGGCCAAGGAAGGATATGGCTTCACCTCCCCGGAAGGGTCGCCGAGCCCCAAAAATGGCGAATCAAGCGCCGCACTGAAGAAAGAGAAGGGTCGTGTACGATTCAACAGCACTGCGGCCGTCACTGGACCCCCGCCAACTGCGAATGCGTTTGGGCCTCTATTGGAACATGGAGAAGTCCCGATACCGAAGCCGAGACCATCCGTGCTGCGTGGCAACTCCTCAAACTCCATACAAACCGTCCCGGACATGAGTGATGAGTTGGATCCTTATTCTGAAAAGGCCAGCTCTGCTGCTGCTGCGCAAGAACGCGCTAGACAAGTGGCCGCCAAAGTCTGGAACGATTTACCCGTGGCACATTCCAGACACTCTCTCGACTCCGAAGCCGAGACGGCGACGAGTGAGGGCGAGCTCATCCCCCTTCAAGACTTGGGATATGCTCCTCATGCTCGCGATGACCTCCATAAGAGCCAGCATCAGGAGGGCCAGCCCCAAGAGGACCAGTATCAGCCCTTGCAGCAAGAAGCGCAACATCTTGTGCGAGCACACACTCAGCGTTTTGGGAGGGGGGCGCAGAATGAAGGACCAAGCCATCAAACGCCCGGCGGTCGACACGTTGTTCCGACAGAGGTGAACGATGGTATCTACGGCGGATTGTATAGTGTACCACCGCCGCAACATTACCGAGGCGGTGTACTTTCTCAGCTCTTGACGCTCTACAAACCTCCAGAATCTGGCCATCGCAATCGAGATTCAGTGGCCTCGTTCAGCGGAGAACAGAGCACGCCAGGTACTGAGTCCGGCGCCGCCACTCCACGCAAGAAATGGTACAATCAAAACCGATCGCAAGACACGCTGGTTACGCTCGTCGGAGCTTCAGCACGGCTTGCAAACCCCAACATGGCCAACGACGACCAAAGGGGCAACGGAAAGAAGAAGCACGCGCACAAGCGGACAGGGAGCAGCTCGCGTCTCAGTGCATTCTTGCATCAGGAGGAAGTCCGCATCACGGTGCACATCGCCGAGACCTTGGCGCGACAGGAGTACATCATCAGGCTTTGCCGCGCGCTGATGATGTTTGGAGCGCCTACCCATCGGCTCGAGGAGTATCTGCAAATGACAGCCAGGGTTCTCGAGATTGACGGCCAGTTCTTGTATCTTCCAGGATGCATGATCATTTCGTTTGACGACAGATCAACGCACACGACCGAGGTCAGAATTGTCCGCACCGCCCAGGGCATTGATCTCGGGAAGTTGAAGGATTTGCATCTCGTCTACAAAGAGGTGATGCACGACGTTATTGGTGTTGAGGAAGGCACTCGAAAGTTGGACGAGTTGATCAGCTCTAAAAACAAGTTCCACGCTTGGTTTAGAGTCCTCATCTTTGGTTTGACGAGCGCGACGGCGGCCCCATTCTCTTTCAAGGCTCGCCTCATCGATCTCCCGCTCTGTTTCTTTCTTGGGTGTCTCGTCGGAGTGCTGCAGCTTATTGTGGCCCCAAAGTCGAATCTTTACAACAATGTCTTGGAGGTATCCGCCACCGTGTTGGTGAGCTTCTTAGCAAGAGCATTCGGGAGCATAAGAGGTGGATCTCTATTTTGCTTCTCGGCCCTTGCTCAGGGAGGCATTGTTATGCTCCTCCCCGGGTACTTGGTTTGTGAGTACTGATACTTCTAATTGTTTCGGAAGCGAGATAGTGAACTAACCGTGGCATATAGTGTGCTCTGCTCTGGAGCTGCAATCTCGCGCCATTATCCCAGGCTCCATCCGTATCGTCTATGCTATCATCTACTCCCTCCTGCTCGGTTTCGGCATTACTGTCGGCGCGGCTCTCTACGGACTAATTGACAACAATGCAACGTCGGCGACTACTTGTGAAGATCCCCTCCCAAGCTTCTGGGGCTTCATATTCGTCCCGTTGTTCGTTATTTGCATCAGCATTCTCTACCAAGCCAAATGGCGCCAAATGCCCGTCATGGTTTTGATTGCCTCCGCTGGGTATATTGTCAACTATTTCAGCAGCATCAAATTCGCTGCTAGCCCCCAAATTTCCAACACATTCGGCGCTCTGGCCGTTGGTGTACTCGCCAACCTTTATTCTCGAATCCGGCACGGCGTCGCGGCGGCGACTTTAATTCCCGCAATCTTTACCCAAGTGCCCGGTGGGTTGGCTTCAACTGGCGGCTTGCTTACTGGGTTGCAAACGGCCAATATGCTCACGAATTCGTCCAGTTCGGACAATTCAACAACCACAACTGCTGAGACTGAGTCACTGAACACTGTGGTTTTCGATGTTGCGGCTTCAATGATTCAGATCGCTATTGGTATCGCCGTTGGGCTCTTCATCAGTGCACTGCTGGTCTATCCGCTGGGAAAGCGACGAAGTGGTTTATTTAGTTTCTAGGCTCGAGACTCATCCACTCGCATATATCACTTTGGGTTTCTGACGTCTTGGAAGTGATTTCCAGCTATATGTCAGCCGGAGCTGGACGCTCCCTGTAACGAGCGGAACCCCCTGTAGAGACTCTGCCAATAAGGGTCAGGGACCGCTGGATCCCACTGGAGCGCGCTATAACTCTAGCTGCATCACGCAGCAGTTGAATAGCCAGCGCCCGCAGTTATCTCATGAATACCATCATCTATACATCGAGAACGAACTGTGTGTCCAATTGGAAGAGCCATGTCAGACTTGATATAGATTTCTGTGCTAGTGCAGTTTACTTTGCAGTATAAATGCAATTCCAACCCAGAATGATATGCGATTATTCCCAGAATGTGCATTGCTCAGCCTTACTTGGTTGTATTGCCCATATTAACCAAAAGAAGCTCCACCGCGTGCGTTACAACTCTTTCATCATCTCTCAAATAGTGCAGTTTCTCCCTTGTTGCTGCTGCAGTCATCAGGCACTAAGCACTGCGCCGCCGCCGCCGCATCACCGCCGAGATCTCTCCAGGTCTTGTGCCGCTGCATCCACTGCCACGCGTGATGATGTGTCAGCTCGACCGAAGCCTCTCCATTTCATTAACAGTGTCAAGGTAGCTTTTCGTATCGGACAGGCGTATCAGTGAATGAGACAGAGAGTCCTATTAATGGTACATCGGTTTTCACCGGTTCGCCTACAACAAAAGAGTGTCGATCATCTATGCTGTGTAGACGAGTCTGAGTGAGGCCTCCACCAAAACTACAGAACCCGCAGCCTCTAATGGCAGATGTGGTGACAGAACAAGAAAGCTGCCTGGCACTGTTACCTCATTCTCTTCTCTCTGTGTTAGGTCGAGGACACACTTCATGGCGACGTCAGCACCGATATCCTGGCATCATCGTTGCTATGCAGATCCTAATTCAGCGTATCGGACACTTCCGCGCTGTCCCGTGTCTCTACCGTGCTTACGCCATGGCCTTGGCTGATGGACGAGGTCCTTTTGTCGTGCCAATGATGACTCGGTGTGACGAATGGGGTTATTGCGGTGGTGATCTATACGATGTCTCGCATCAGCCGCCGACTAGTTCAGGTGTGTGTGTGGTAAGCATACAAGCTACTTCTCCCATGACCAATGTGAGTTATGGCCGTCACACTTCTCTTGCTTCCACCTCGCCAAAAGAATGAAAATTAGGTTTAGAAATACCTCTTGGGTATTGCGAGTTCAGTAACTAAATATGAACTCGATAGTTTGTATCGTCACGAGTTTAAAAGATTGCGACATATCCATTCAAAGACGGATTGCCTAACGTCAGTTTCACTTCTGCACAGGGCAATCTGTCCGAATGCCCCAAGAATGTATCCATTTCGTCATAAATCCTTGCCTAAAATGCCCACCTTCGATTCCTTTGGTCACAAGACTTTAGCACTTCAATGCTCGTAAGCTCGCAACTGTAGAAAGCTGCCTAAAACGCGGTGGCTGTCAGCTGCATGTGACGGAGGGTCTGTGATCATTCGACTCAAGCCATGTCTCAGTCATCATTGCCAAATGCAGAAGACCAAATCAATAGCAGTATCTCACTTGAGCTTACGCATGCCGAGTTGAAGCCCATTACGCAGACTAGCACTGCCACGCAGGTTGATCCGGGAGTTGTTAGAAAAGTATAAGACTAGGTCGCTCTCGCAGCTAAACCCTGATCCGCAGACTGCAGCCGAATTGTACTTGACTTCCTTCAGAAAGCAATCATGGTCAGAATTCAAGATTTTGCGGGGATGCAATACTCCCGCGATGGCACTGCAGACGAGCAGCAAGACTACTCCTTTTTCAACGAGCAATATGCAACCTCTTCCCACCAAAAGGACCATGATATGTACCCCGATCTCATTGTCCAGCCGAAGCAAGACAACGACGTCATCAAAGCTGTGAACTGGGCCAGAGAGCAGAAAGTCTCCATTGCTGTCAAGAGCGGTGGCCACCAGTACAGCGGTGCATCATCCACCAGCGGCAAAAATATCCAGATCGACCTTGGCAACACCTACAAGGACTTGATGATCTTGAACCCCCGCGACCCCATCGACCAGGACAGAGCATTGGTGTATGTCGGTGTCAGCAACACAATGAGTGAGCTGAACACATATCTGAGGCACAACCAACTGTTTGTTCCACACGGACAATGTGCCTCTGTTTGTGTGGGTGGCCACGGTCAGACTGGCGGTTATGGTCAGCTTGGCCGTAGCTTTGGCCTCTTTGGTGACAATATTAGGACCGTTCGCATGGTCTGCCACGACGGTGTGATTCGGGACATCACCAAGAAAAACAACCCCGAGCTTTTCTACGGCATACTCGGGGGTAGTCCGGGCAATTTCGGCATCATCACACACTATATCGTCGAGGTTTACCGGGCCAAGAGTTACATGGGAACTGTTGCTGGTCCAAACGGATTCAAGGGTCCGCATGGCATCAAAGGGCTCTGGGTATACTCCGACGAAGTTTTCAGGAAGCTCCTTACCAATGTCGCACAAATGGCTGACGATCCTACCGTCCCGCGAGGCTTTGACCTCTGCGTCAGCGTCCTCAGCACGGACTTTCCCATCACCACGTTGTTTCCCTCGTTGAAAGACGCCGGTATATGGGAAAAGATTCAAGACAAGATCAAGAACGATCTTGCGGATGAGTTTCTGGACTGGCTCAATGGCCGCTTCCCCGCCGTCATCGTAGTCTATGCGCAATGGTGCCCTACCAGCAAAGACGACAAATATGACGCGACTGTGGATGCCTGGTTCAACAAATTCCGCAATCTCAAGCGCTCTTTCAAGAACCAGACTCTCGTCATCACCGAGTTCGAAGAGGACATGTCTAAAATGACTGGAGAGTGGATCTTCCCCAAAGAACGAGAGTTTGATCTCCCTTACGTCAAGCGAACCTACGCTACAAGCTCCAAGACTCTCGTAAAGGATAACTGGGTTGACTCTGTGGCTAAGCGCATTGACTTGATCTTCAACCCGGACCAGCTGCTCAAGGGTAACCCAGGAGAGAAGGACTACGAAGTCTATCTCAACTGCAAGCTTTCTGTCCAGATCCAATGCTTCGGGGGTAATAAATCGCAATTCTATGCAAACAAGGATAATGGAACCTCCTACAGCTGGAGAGATTCCACAGTAGTGCAGACACTGGACTGTTTTCATAACGCCGATGAACAATCTAAGAAGTATGCTGAAGCATGGCAGTCCAAGAACGACTTGGTCATGGTTGGTCCTACGAGCTCCTTCAGTAAGCAGGACAGACGTTTGCTCTGGGGCTCGTACGGTGATTGGGACATGGGTAAGCAGGAGATTTGGAAGGCTTATTACGACGATGCAGACAAGTACCAGAGATTGGGCAAGGCAAGAGGTACGGCTGATCCTAACGGGACCTTCACTGCCAATCCATTTGCTGTGGCAGCTATCCTGTAAGGCTTCAAGGAATAACGATGCTCATCGGATTTTAACTTGGAGGGCTCGAAATAGCTTGGACATTGAAGATGCATATTTGTGCGAATTATTGACCGAAGATCCTGTGCCAACGCGACACGTCTTCCCAGGGGATAGGGTTGGAATAAATCTCTAACTATGATAGAAAATCCTGAAGAGTGATCTGTAGTCTTATTTTTCTGGACGGTTGGAAGGCTTCAAGTGCCGATCTCCTTCGGTTATTCTGGTGACGTCCGGCCGGGTAGTAATGACTTGCCTCGGCTCGCGGCTCAGATCCAATGGAATATGGAGCGTGTCAGTCCCCACGTCTCCATCTCTAGCAGTAACCAGTAGGCATCTCCAAACATCAAGCCCGAACTGCAGCCGGGACCTAGAACTTCGGGTGTAGATCTCTGGGATCCTGGTCATCCAGTCGCCGCCATCATCGTCATCTCTTAAATGCTGACCCTTGAACATCTATTAGATAAGCAACCAAGGCTTTTATCTGCATTTTTACTCCTATTAAGCATAGAATTTACAATCAGCATTGCTCAGAGGCAGTTCATCTCCCACTAATATCCCTAGCTTTCCCTACAAGCCCTTTGGCTAGCCTCGCGTGACTCCTCTTGTAACATTTGAACCCCACCCATCTAAAACTCAACAGCCTCTAGTTCAACGTCATATCAAAGCGGTCGTAGAGTGGTAAATCTACTCAATTTAACGGCCTCTTCTGCTAACATCTAGCTGCTCGAAAAATCATGAGGTGATCAGCTAGTGCCTATCACTGCCATCGCCGCAGGAGATGGCAACGGTTATAACATCTCTGTTGGAGCGATTGTCGCTTCCGCAGAGCCTCCCATGCTCTCTCCTCTGGTTTATCGGCTTCCGAACCGGCGAGCGGATTGGTTGCACTACCTGACGCATGTGGGCGTTCTTTTACGGAAACTTGTACATTAGCTAGGAAGACAGTGCAGGCAGTATCACAACAAAGAACAAGGAATCTCAGAATGGCTGAAACGCCGTTTTTCACATTTGACGCAAGCCACTCCCAGTCTGCCGACGGCATGACTGATGTGCGCGAAATAATTACTCGCCCGTGTCTCATGTGAGCACCAGCTGGACCGCCACAGGCCTCCAAACGGCAAGGAGCAACAGAGAGCAGCAAGGGCGATTCATATTGCTTTTGTTGGTAGCATAGCAGATGCAGTAAGCTGCAGTGTTCAACCCCACTCTCAATATGGCTAGTAAATGCGGTGAGAATCAAAATTACAAAAGACAGCCACCAATCTGATCTGGACCCGAGAGTGTCACATTCATTATCCAGGGCATAGTACAGGCTGCGCTATCAGGAGAACGCCTTCCACCATGGTGGCCAGCTGAGGTGCGACAGAGCGTGCACTTGTTGGGGGCCAGCACCCGGGTGATGTTTGGTGGTTAGTTCAGAGTCAACGTGTACGCCAAGGACCGCCATGGAAATGCATTGTTGGTGTAGCTCAGCCGAGCTGGGAATTGTTAAGCTTGGGTCAGATGTACTAGTCTTAAGGTGACCTGTAGCCTTGACGAGAGAGTACGTCTCCTTATATTCGATCCCTTCGACAATGAAGCAGAGGCCAATCGTCAAACTTGACTTTAAGCTTGAAATTTAAGCTGTACGCCGGTCTGGTACCATCAGATGTACGCCGCTATCGGGTGGTCTCGGGTGGTTAGGCGCACTCTGAGACCAGCTCTCGCCGCTTTTATTGTTTTGCCTGCTGGACGCGAATGAGCCAGCAGCTGACCACCAAAACATAGGAAAGATAAAGCCACATAAACGCCATCTGTTGATCCGTTATCTTGTCTCCCCTTCTCTCCAACTCCAGGTTTGGCCGCGTCATCTTTCCCAGCTTGCATAGATTGAGAGCCCTATGTCTCGGGACCCGGCACTCACAGCCTTACTTTCCTTGGCACGAAATGGTGGAGGAGGGAACGCCTTCAGCCCAGCAGTCCAGCTGATACATACGAATGAGCTGAGACGATGAATCGTGTTGGTCTACTATGTTTCGTCCCTCCCTCGCAGCTCAATCACAAAATACGAGTCTCCTCGCCAAACACTGCTCGGCTTGGCAAGCGGCAAGGCTTTCCTGGCCAAAAGTGCAGCTCTGGCGTACGGTCTGGACTTTTACTGGCGTCCCACCACAGACAGCTGCACCTTTAGCCGCAGAAGCTGAAAATTTAGTGCTTATTTCGCGATTGCTACGTGGGCAAAGAGAGTAGAGCCGCTGGATTATGTGATAGATTTATGGCTTGCTTTCGTTTCAAATCCCTGAGCCTAGAAGCCTCTGTAAGTCTAGACAAATTCCTTCGTTTGAACGACTCAATACTATCTAGCCAATCTTGGTGATACCTCGAAATGGGGCCTGAAATTACCCCGTCTCCTTCCGATCCATCGACCGGGCGACACTGGCAACCAGTATCGCCCCGATCTCCATATCAATCGAGCGACGCAGTTTCGAATTTACATTCCCCATGGCTTGATCCGTTGAGCCCCAATCTCCGAGACTCTCCTGTCTTCACCTCGAGACATGACAGCCAAATGGGCCTTATGGGTTTCAACAGGGCCGAACCTAGCCCTACCCTGGGTGTCTTTCACTCCAGCACAAACAAACTCCTCCGGTCGGAACCCTGGTGGAAGAAGGCCCTCAAGAGCAAGTGGTCCATGATTATCGGCCTTGTACTTGGAGTTGGCGGTGCTCTGGGTCACCATTTTCTTTACCATTACCTCGATGGTCGCGAGGCCACGGACCAACAATGGTGGCTTCGTCTAGGCCAATTCATCTCCTTCGTTGCCAAAGCAAACTTCGTCATAACTGTCATGATGGCCCACCAGCAGGTAGCCTGGAGGGTAGTTGGCCAAAAGGGCTGCTCCGTCAAAGCTATTGACTCTCTGTTCGGGTCTGCTCACAATTTCATGGAAATCTTCAACAGAGAAGCATGGATCAGGTCTCGCCTGGTCATGTTTCTTGCCATGTATATGTGGGCAAGCCCTTTTGTCGTCATCTTTACGTCGGCAACCCTCGATGTTGTCCCGGGTACTCTTCGAGACCTTAACGCTACGTGCCCATCGGTCCGGACTCTGAACTTCTCCCATGAGTCCAAAGACAGCTGGCGAACTCCTTGGATAACGGAAAATAACACACTGAACGGTCTTTCGCTTTCACAATACAATGAGACCTATCGAGGTGGGAATCTTTACGAAGGCAAAAACTCAACCGCCTTGGACATTTTTGAGTATTGGGACCAACCCTCCAACTATCTCGGGGCCATTTCCTCTGGCGTTATCTCTAGAAACCGAGCAACTCAAAGGGAAAATGTCTCCGCGGATATCTGTGGCAAAGGTTGGGACTGTTCAACCACGATTCATTTTGTCGCGCCAGGATATTATTGCACAGAGCATAAAGAAGCCGATCCCTCTGACCCTGTTCAACTGGACGATATTGTTCCCACTGGAAACTTAAGCTATAAGGCGATCACACAGGACGGAGAGTATGCTCGACCGCAGATCGCGACGTACAATGGCAGTGCCATTGTACCACAACCACCGCCGTTCCCTACAAATTTAGGTGCATTCAGAACAGAGCCGATGATATGGATTGGGTATGCAGCCGTGGAAGATACGACTCAAAAACATGAGCGCAACAGGAGCCAGAAGTCATGGAACACCAATTATACTGCGGTTATTTTCTCCTGTGAGCACCGGGAAACTAACTACACGGTCGATTTCAACTACACGGGGGGGATTCAGACGTACAATGTGACCAAGCGAGACTACAAGCAAAAGATTATCAACACGAAATTCGCAGGAAACTTCAGCGATGATGGGACTTTCGATAGGACTTATGCAACACCGGACAGCAAGTATGTCACTCCAAAGTCAGACTACGGCTGGTATCGTCAAGTTGCCGCATATCATAGCCTTGGCAAGAAGCTGCGCGACCTACTCGCTGGAAAGATCACATGGCCAGAAGCTATAGCAGAAGGCCTCATCACAACGTCAAAGCTCATTGATCGACATGAATCTCTCCCTGTTCCCAACTTACAGCACCAGGTGCGCCGCCTCTACGAGGATTTGATTATATCTCTACTCTCGGATCCTCAATTTGCTGTCGTGGCGTGGGCCGCGGACCCAACCAGACGCTCAGGTATAGGGAGGGGTGGCGAAGACACACGATACAAATGTGTACGGCAGAAAACAGGCGCCTTCTTCTTTTATCATTGGCCAGTCCTTGTCTCAGTCTACTTTGCATCGTTCGCCATTGCGGCGATGGCTGTAGCGTACGGCATCTTTGCAATGCAGAAGGACGGGATTGACAAGCAGCGCGAGATGACATTTTCTTCCATCGCGGGGGCAACTCGGGTGGTAAATCTGGAGCAGGTTGACGGAGGGGCGACCAAAATCAGGTGTTGGCCTGTTGAAGAGAGTCCAGGGGATCGATATTATGAGTTTAGGGCTGAGAGACACGGTGGACAATAGGCAGATGGTGTTTTTTATTTGGCTTGTTCAATTGAAGTAATGACTAGTGATAGGGTCAATATGCTTTCTCTGAGAAAGTGGTTGAAGCACAAAATTTACCAACGACGTTCAATATTCAGTTAGGTATTATGAGAGGGAACTTGAGAATTGATGGTGGAGAACAAATTCCATTCAACATCATCATCCATCGAGAAGAAGGAAATCCATCGATCATCAAAGACTCTTGTGCCGGCAACTTGCTCACCTTGAGGGAGCCGACAGAAGTTTGATTAGATCATCAAAGACAAACCAACACAATTAGTCAAAAATACCCGTCTCTTGCTGGCAGTGTCGTGTCAGGTCCGCTATATCGATGGGCGTAACATCATCGCTAAGCCGATACGGCTCCAGTATACGTTCCTGATCCTTCGAGAGAATAGATTGTACGACCTTGACCCATTCGTCCCTGACCCCTGCTTGGTGGATTACAACGAAAAACCTCGTTTCTTTCCGTGAAGTTGTTTCCGGAGGAAGATCTGGGTGTACATACTGGCGTCAAGGTCAGCGAAACTAAGAAGCAGGGAAGTAGTCGGTGCGGTCCTTCAACTCTCACCTCTTGAAAGATTGCATGGACGGTCTTCACACTTGACCAGGGCTCTGCACTCGGTTTCGTTTTCTTCGAGCACCACACATGGGGCTCCTTCGTACCATCTGCTAGCTCCACCATCACCGGGAGGGTGGCAAGAATTCCCTGCTCCCACAGCGCGTCCAGACCATGGTGTTTTGTCTTCCCCCGGGCCCACTGAGAATACTTTTCCCAAGGAATGGTAATGCATATGACGATGTTGCGAATTTTAGGCAGCCCACATCCAGAATAGCCCTGGCGTTCCGTCTCGATGGTCTTGTAGAGCTCCTTGATATGACCAAGGCGGACGTAAACTTGACCTTTTGTGGCAATTGATGCCATGTCCCAGTGTATAGTTAACTGGGGTTGAGGGTAATGCAAGTTCAAGATGTGACGGAAGTTGAACCTAGAAGCTAGAATAGGAGGCACGATATGATTTGCCGGCAGTAATATGGCAGAAAACCTCCGGGTAGTCGATTTGGTCCTTAGAACAGATTCAAAGTCCTCGGCGTAGATCTCAACAAGGTCCTTCAAACGGCCTTCTGGGAGAGCAATGTAGAGCGTGATAGAATTGTCACTTCCCCAGCCGCAGGTGGCAAAATTACGGTCTTGTTGCCAGTCCTTTTTATCCACTTTCATGACCTCGAAGCCAGTCGGTGCTGTTTGATCAAAGGAGCCAGCGACAACTTCCAGAGAACCTTGGTTTTCAGCAATCTCTTCATATAGCTTTGCGATACGAGCTGTGAGGTTATCGCCACCGCAAGTGATTTGGGGGCTTAATATCTGTTAGAGATGATTGCAAGACGACATAAAGAATGAAGAAATAATTTGCGTACACATTTATCAATGGGGGATCCACTCCAACCATGTTAGTCATGGTGCTTTGGTCACAGTACATGCTGGTGCGTCTCGATCGGCCATAGTGACACCCTGAAACGGTCAGTATTGTATTCATAGCCAGATAGGAAACAGCCATTCTCTGGTCATGTTTGGTCACATACCTGACGACTCATCAGAAACTTCGCTGTGCAGGGTTGTGACTGGTGTGTCAACCTCTCGATCGTCCTCCGGCAACGAGGCCTGAGAATCACCGGAGTCTGTTTCAGTCGAAGAACCGTCATAGCCTAGCAGGGAATCTGCCAGTATTTCGAGTTTCTGATCGAACTGCTCGATTTGCAGTCGAGACTGCTGCGTTTGCAGACTCATAGTCCCCTGGTTATTACTGAGTCCCTCACTCAGTTCATTCAACTGTGCCCGAATGTCGGAGATATGCCCAGACATGACAGAATTCTGATCGTGCACTGATTTGATGACGGAATTGCTGTTTGAACTGATTGCACTGCCAATGGTCTGGGTTAGTACCTCAACACACACTCGCGGTTTTGGGAGGGGCATTTCATCATACGTGTTGACAGCTGTCAGCAATCTCTGTACTTCACCGCCCTCACTGAAGTTCTTCAGGACTTTGAGGAGATCAAGAACCTCAACCACTATCAGCCACTGTTTCTCAGAATTGGGATATTCCCGAAGCCGAATGCTGATTTGCTGCAGCACAGATCTGTACTCTTTGATCTTAGTCTTGCATGATCGGAAAAGTTTCGCTGTAGCACTCCCTTCCGGTGCGTTACTGCCTCTGATCATGCAGAGCATTTCTGTCCATGCCTTGATCTCACGACGTATAAGAGCCAGACTCTTCCTTCGTTTGATATATTTCTCCGTATCAAGAAATCTCTTGATCTTCCGCGTCAAAACTGCGGCGAACTGGACCAACGGTGGGATAAGCCCGGCAATACCGAGTAACACCTCGATCATGGCGTGGATAGGCTGCAGCTGCGAAGGGTGACGTGTAGAGTAATAGGGTGGAATGAAATACGGGTATCACCATGGATAACCTGAGGTATGGGTTCTACAGGTGAATCAATCCAAAGAGCAATACGCCACGACTCTTTTATCCTTCGTCGAACCTGTCGAGCTTGACACTACCCCACTCCAAATTCTGCCTCAAAACCAAGTCGCCAATGACCACCACACACGTAGAACGACACCCACGAAAGGCAACCGCCACGTAAGGTAAGGCCGTATGCAAGGTAATCGCTGAGCCTACCCTACAAAGTGCAAGACATGGAGCGCTCATAGAACGGCAAGCCTCACAATTGCTGCGCCACAATACAAAGGCCAGTCATTGATAGCAGGCTAAGTAACAAACATGACGCTCCGGCTCTTGTTAAGCTTTCTATAGTCTACTCGCTCTCGAATACTACCGTAATTTATATATATTTCAGGATTTATCACATTTTTCTTTGGGTAAAGCTTTCTTCTGTCAGTGTGTTCATGAGGGTGTGAGGCGGATCGGTTTACCAGCAAAAAGACATGCTGCGCCCGCTTCCACACAACCACAATCTCCTGCAGGTGGCTATGTCAGCAGGAGGTTGTATAGAACGTGGCACAGCCCATAACCAATCATACTCGGGAGACTCTGTGTACAGCTACAACTGGGTAATTTGTTCCACAGGTGCAGTTCAGCAGCGGAGCTACAGATTGAAATGTGACAAGGCGAAGCTACCCACTCTTAGAAGATCACAGGTGGTTTAATATGCTATATTAAAACCGACAAAACTAGTTAACAAACTGCTACTTCTACTAACAGCTTTCTGGAGATATGACATCAATAGCAGACTAGTTCTCAGGCGCCTCAGTCTCAGTCGCAGCAGCTGCAGAGGTGCTAGCAACCTCCTCCGCGTCCCCTTGGGCCTGCCTCCAGCTGCAGCCGACCTCCTCCCAGGTAGTCTTCCAGCACGCCTGAGCGTTGCAGCCGTAGGCAGTCTCGGATCGCTGGACGAGGCAGCGCTTGTTGCTCTGGTGGTCGAACCGGAAGTGGGCGCGGCGGCGGTCCCAGTCGACGCAGAACTCGACCATGCCGGGAACGCCGGTGCCTCGGCAGCCGGTGTTGGCGTTGACCTTGTAGGTTCCAAAGTCGGTGTAGAAGAAGGCGTTTCCACTGTTGCACTGTCCGAAGGCGGCGCACTCGGTGAAGACCTCCATTCTGTCGGCGACAGCACCGGAAGCCAGGGCGGCAAGAGTGGCGAGGATGTCGAAACGCATGTTGGCTGGAGTTTGATTTTGACTGGTCACTGGTGAGTTTGGGTTCTGGAAATGGAGGGGGAGGGTGCTTACCGAGATTCGAAGTGAGTGAAGGCTGGAAGATTGGGAGATGGTTGGTGGTGATAGTTGGAATGGGAGAGCGACGGCATCACTTTATATACTTGTTTTCTCGACCATGTAATTTGATTGCCGCTTGGTTCCTTCCTGATTTGACCTCATAAGCTTATACTTGGTAAGCCAGGGATAGTAGCCAATGAAGTCACCTATTCAAGCCTCGTGATGGTTAAGCCGTCAGTATTCAACTATCCCCAAGCTCAAAACGGCAGTTCATTCAACTCTGTCTGATACCCACTCTTGACGTACGGTGATCTTCTCCAGAAGTAACTATGCCAAGCGATCGGCTATAGCCGCAAGGCGCAGAAAGACTCCGATGAGCCTCCGGCTCGTTAGCGTGGCGAGGTTCAACATGCGACGGAAAACTTTTGCACTTGATCTCACTCTGGGATTTGTGCCTCGTTCGTATGTGACTAAAACAAACAAGCATTATAGTTTCTCCACTTTTTGCCGTGCCAATCTTCGGACTCTATCCGTAATGCATTGTTCAGTTTTTATGTATATTCATCATTAAGCGGCCTATGTTAGGCACAAGCTTCTCCGACACACTCAACCCTACGCCCTGGAACGAACCCAAATGCTCAAGCCCTACGACAATCCTCAGTCTGAAGCTTCTGAAGACTCGCTGAATCGAGGTACAGATGGCATCATGATGCGTTGCACCTCAGCGCCTCCAGAACAAAGACTGGTCCGCATAGGCTTCCGAATAGGCAGGTAGTATCGGATGAGCAAGCTCCATGTACTTTTGGTCGTCCATTCGGCTCACCGTTCCTGCAAGATTTAGTTGGCCTTAGGGCATCGCTTAAATCGTGCCGAAGGGCTGAATAGGGCTATATCGACTAGTATTGGAATCCTACGGGCGAAATGGAGGCAAATTATGCACCTCTTAGAGTCACATCCTGTTAGATTTTACCCACTCAGGATCCCCACCTGTACCAATTCATTAGTGGTTTATCGGACATATCCCCTTCATCCTTGCCAGGTCCACCTGGTTCGGTACGGCGGTTGCCTACCGTGTCAATAAGACCCGATTGGTTCAGCCTCACTGTGAACAAATGCATGTTAACTCAAAAGTAACAACGCACTGTATTGGTTGGGTTACGAAGGCATGATCCGACAAGGTTGTTGAGATCTTTTGTAAGTGGTTCTGCCGTCAGCATCGGGCCGGCTGATCGGGGCGGATGTCGCTTACTTCAGTGGAGAATCTGCAGTGTCATATGTAAACATGCCCAGTGAGAGGCCGAGTACTAGGCGTTGTTGTCTTTTATGCAGGTATTTCTCGTATACAAAGTACCGTCGCTTACGTGGTAAGGAAAATACAGGATGCAAACGGATGGAATTCTCGTATTAGCCCCATATTTTCTCGACAGGCCTGATGAACGGAGGCAAGAGAAAGGGACAACAGCCTGTCATGGAGTGCCTTGTTTGAATAAACTCACTATTTTCTATTTTTTTACTCTATTTTTAAGCTTGATCCTGTCCGACTTGACAGCTAGAAAAATGCAGGGTAGCTTCATGCCGCCCCAAAGTGCAACAATGGAGGTGAGAATGATCCACAATGGTCATCCACAATGCCAAGAACCGCCAGGTTGCAACGATGAAATGACTTTCCCCAGCGTTACATCAGGCAGCAATCAGCCAATGCATTTCCGGCAATATTGGTTAGGAAAATACCTCAACTTGTCGGTTTTATCCGGCCTGGCTGCCGCGGTACATAGGCAACTCGTGGGTCTTCGTGTTGTATAAGGCAAAAGAGGGAGCATAATATAAACGCCTTCAATACAGAAGCAAATACTTTGTCTTTGAGAGCGAAATAACAACACAGATCATCTAGTCCCGTTGCACCTGCTATTGAGTCTACAATTCTCTCCCATCACCCCACCACTATTTCTCATACATCTTGTTACGAGGCGTTTGCGTCTTACCCCTCACGCACCGGAAAGTGATCCCACGTTTTTCTCTTCAAAGAAAGAGCAGTTTACTATAGTTAATCATTCATCATGGTCTCGCCAAGCCAGAGAGTGCAGTGGAAGCCATAGGGTGTCGGTCTTATCGGTCATCCTAGGAGGTGCATTGAACGCAGCGGCAAAGGGAGGAAGCTAGGCACGTCGCCTATGTACCTGGTAAATCGATCATCTTCGGGCTCAAGCTTATGAAGAAGGGTGGGTGACCTGTTTCCGGTGACGTGGAACTACGAGTTTGAAGGGTCAAACACTGTTATCCAGCCAGTTTATCCTGTTTTTGAAGGCCAGTGATGGATGACTTCGGAGTCATCCGTTTGCTGCGAAGTAAGAGTTGGACTGTCAATTTAGTAGCAGTAGATGCTACTCAGATTTACGATATTAGGGAATTCAATATCCCACTGTAAGTTACCTGAAAAAGATAAAGTACTGCACGATACTATCAGGCAAATATAACTAATGCGAGCTATATGTAAATTGTCTCCTTCCTTCTGCAAACCTATATTTAGCTGCTCTACACCCTTTTAGGTTATAAAATAGCTTAGAACTTAAACTATGATTCTAAATTATTCTTAGCTGTAATAAGAGTCTTCTAAAAGTTAATAAGTTTGCTATTTACTCTACAATAATATTTTATTATTAAAAAATACAATATATTAAGATTTATTTTTATAGATACTAAATAAAAAAGATTTTAATAAAAATAATATTTTATTAGAATTTATATAGTTTTAATTATATAATATAAAATATACAGCTAATAAATAATATAATATTAATTAACTTATTAAGAGGTTAGGGTGCCCTAGTATACATATACCCAGAGGGGGGACTAGAAGCTTAACAGTAAAAAAAAAACACCAATAATAGTATCAACAATAATTAATTAACTTATAATTAAAAAATTAATAACTATAAAAGCTTAAGGAAATTCCATTACTTCTAATAGTATCTGTAAAATATAGAGGGATATTATAAAGGAGGCTTAAAAGAGGTAAAAAACTGTATTTAAGTTTAAGATTAATAGAATAAGTTTCTTAGTAATATTTAGATAAGTATATAACTGTATAGAATTTAAAACAGTATTCAGAATAGTAATTTCAATAATAATAGCTTATTAATAAAAGGTGTATTTTAATATAAAAAGAGCTATAACGCGAACCTTTTATCCCCTCACTGTAACTAAAGAACAGCCACAACCACTCAGGCTGGAGATTCAAAGGCTGCAAATGCAGGAGTTAACTACTAGGGACGTGTGACAAGCCGCAAACTTAAAAAGTCAAATAAATCAGTCACTCTACAAGCACTGCCGCTATTGTCCTACGCCACCAAAAGTTGGTTCACCCATCGATATGGCCAAGTACCACGGAAACTGACTGGCGGCTTGAGGAACTCATGAATCTCTTCCGGCCAAAACCCGTTGTCAAACCGCAGACAGGGCAAGGTCAAAACAGACATGCATACGTCGACGAAAAAAGAGAGTGGTCCACTGAATGTGCAGCCACTTTACTTGCGATACCTACTCCTGTGTAAGTTTCACCTTCCTTTACAACGAAGAAGGGGGCTAAGATGCTGACTGTCGTCATCTATCATCAGTGGATCTACGGGTCAAGATATCATCACTATAATAACGACGGCCGCCACAACTTCGATATGTTTTTGAAGTGTTTCCGAAACGCCCAGAGCAATCAAAACAAGCCAGCATCATTGCTGACGGCAAATTCATGTATCCAGCTTGACGCCGCTCGTCAATCTGGAGTCTGGACCATGTCAAGCCCCCGAAGTGCTAGCTCGGCGACTCTTCTATCCAAAGATACGAAAATAGATCTACTTAGGTATTATTATTAAGTTCTCACGTTATATCCTACCTAGTTTCTACAGATTCCGTAATACTATTACGTTATCTCTGACCTCAGATTGCAACTAATAATTTGCCATGTCCCCCTTTTATCTTGATATCTACCTCGTTCCCAACCTGGACATCCTGTTTGTCGCCCCGAGCCATGCTTACTCCTTGTCGCAGAGGTTTCTTAGCTAAAGGACGGCATTAGGCATCTCAATATCCTCTCGAAGGATCCTGAGCTCGTCACTGGCAAGACTCTAGAAATTCCTCTAGTTCTTTGAGGGGCTGCACGATTGATATATAATAGCTCTCCTGAAAGCTTTGTTCTTCTAGGTCCTTTCCCTCTTGGGAGTCGAACAGCGTGGCGCAGTGGCGGACAGCGTCCGAGTAACTGCGGTGCATATTACTCGTAGTTTCAAGAGCCATTTTGAGAATGAATTCCCGGGATTCCTTCAAGCCTGCGGAATGAGTCCACCAGGATAGTGTCTGGGGCTCTGAGAGGCCGAGTTGGATGAGGATAACGCCCAGGTTCAACAAGACCATTCTTCGACTAGACAGGGACAGACGATGGTCACCAACTGTGTTGGGCTCCAACGTGGGGTCTGCCTTCTTTATCCGAACCTCCAGGAACGGCTCTGGCTTCTTAGCCGAGGACCTGTAGAATATGACGCTGTCTCTGTCCCAGGGGCAGTGTGGGTCAGAATCGTGCAAGTCAAATCTTAAGACGGCCTCGGCAATGAGTCTCGCAAGGCGTAGTTTGTCCAATTTGCCGTAACGGTATTCGGGCTGACATTCTCTACCTGCCCAATATTGAGGGTCGAGCAGGGTTGATAGACTGATTGGATTGTCGCTGTCGCAGGGCCGCTTGTCAGATGGCAAGTAGTAGACGCGATGGTCGCATCCGCTGCTGTCGACCATTTTCATGACGGCATGGTCTGTTTCGTCATGCTGCGCGAGGTATTCGGGGCAAACTTGGATACCATCAGATGGGATATTATCCCGGCTGCTTGGAGCAGGATCGGACCGTCGCCTTACGGATTGGCTGCTGGTCTTTGGTGCTTTCGAAGCACGACTTTCGGGACTTGAGGCTCGTCGTTTTCGGGGATTGTTTCCGTTAGATTTAGATGGCATCAGAGCTGCTGTCGTCGGCAAGAGTTTAGATTGGTTATTGTCCCCCCCTGTTGGCTGAACTCTGACAGCTTCGGTCATCGAAGACCTCACCTTGAGCCAAATTAGAGCCTTTCCCTCTCGTATTGTCGACTTGATTGCCATGTCACATTCCGTTTCAGGTCGATTACGCTCAGTAATGTTGTCAGACCTCTCGGGCTCCAGTCTGATGTATGCCGTGTGCTCATCGTGGCGCGGAACGGGGCAGATACGACAAAGGCATTCGTATAGTCGAGCAGATGTGCGGCCTTCAATGCAAAGCCTCTCTAGTTGCTGCATACCAATGTGTCCCTGCCTGTCATCACTTGACGCTGACTGGCAGCCACCAAAATTCCCGTCGTCAACGGCACTTAGTCGCAAGGTGAGCTTCTCGAGGTTGTCGACCTTCTTGCTAAGAGCATCCACCTCTTTTCGGAGCACTCTCTTAGTGCGGCTGAAATCGACTTTGTTCATCTGCAGCATGCACGTTCAGTAATTAGTCTCATAGGGAGCACAGGGAAGAGGTAATAGGGAGTGTTACCTCCTGTTTATCGCAGAGGATTTTGGTGCGAGAGGATATGGAATCCAGTCCCCCAAGAATCGAGTCTAGCTCAGTACCAATCAGGGAGCAATCCGAAACCACATCTTCCGACTGCAACCTGGGCAAGTTTTTGACAAGACTTTTGATGATTGACCTGAATGATTCATTTTGTGAAACGATTTCTAGGCGGATCGGGCCGATCTTTTTTTTATGTTTCGATCTTCCGCTTTGAGGCTCTAGCTGGCCGAGAACTTCGTGGTAAATGCCTTTGATACGGCTGCAATCAGTCTCAAATTTGGTCCGGTACTTTTCCAAATTCTTTTCGCCAGGCTCCTGACAAGATTTATGGACCGCTGGCTCTATTCCTTCACCGGCTTGTGAAGAGTGCATCTCCTGTCTCTCGAGCTTTGCCGAGGATATCGCTGTTGCTGGTAGTGGCGACTGCGCGTCTGACAATGTTGGAAAGGACCTAGCGGTTTCGAACGAAGGTTTGGGGCCTTCCGTTTGGGGAGATGACCACTTGCCCAGAGCGACGTCGTGGTTGTTGGAGGTCGTGGTAGCCTGAACATTATGAATATGAATAGAGTTGCAGTGAAATTCGATTTTGGTTTTGTGTATCTCTTCGTTTTTGAGCTCGGTTTTCCCACTCACCATAAGGGCTTGGTTGTCGACTTTGTTATGCAGGAACGCAGCCCTCTCCGAGGTTGCGCTTGGTGAGCGTCTGGTAGCTTCGCCGGTTCGACGGGTTAGTCCTAGTAAGGTCTCGGCCTGGCGGATATTCGGGTTCTCCATGGTTCGAGAAAGGATCTCAAAACTTGGGATTGATTCTCTGACTAGGCGTATCAAGGTGTAAGAGTTGTCTGGAGCGGATCATTCCCGATTGGAACCAGTATGAAACAGTCAGATTTCAGGTGGTGTCTGGATGGCAGGTAGGCTCACGTCTAAGAGAGGCACTCAAGTCAATTTTCGATCTGCGGCTGGCCCAAATGCGGCTCTGCTTCGCAAAAGGTATCTTCGGTGAATCCGACATGATTTTCAACTCACCCCTGCTCACGGTCTGACGTCAAACTGCCCTGAGCCAATGAAGCCCCTTCTCGCTGCAGCCCAGGGTGGGCTGGTTCTGACTGAAGTGTACAGTATGATTTGGCGCAGGAGGGACACTGGAGGTTCGGCTGCCGCTCTCATTGGGGCGAATGTACATGTTGTATAGGTCAGGTGAACATTCGAGGTCTACTTTACCTTAGTCAAAGCTTTGTGATTCTTCAGCCCATACAATTGAGGCGTGAGCAGGTCAGCCCTAGCAGGGTTCCACCCATACACGAGTTTTGAAAGTGGCCACCTGAGCAAATTTGGATAGCGTGAGGGGATTTTGACAAGGACGACCAGTACCCGAGATGGAAAATGCAACAAACTCGCTAGGATCGGTACGGTTACTTCCCGGGATTGCCCATAGACCCCGGAACGACTCTGGAATTGCCTCGGGCTGCGCCGCTTAGGATCCGGACACTCAGCATAAGTCCCGGGAAAAGACGCTTGGCATACTGTCTCTTTCTTGCTTCCTGTGACAGGATTGTGCGAGAGCGTCCATTGAGTCAAGCTCGTGGGTTACAGGGCAAATTTGGAAGATGACATATCCGCTGAGTTTGATTTCACGGGTTGGCTATAACCCAAGTAGTGCCTGGTTGTCATAGCTCGGCTGTGAATCAGCGGTGGGTTATCCTAGTCTGTCTTACGCGGCATCCAGGAGTGTGTCATGTCACGGGCTGCCAGTTATTTCTTGGTTTTAATGCAACAGCCCACGACCATAGGCACTTTCTGCGGAGATTGTGTACAACAAACTTAAGTTGACTATAATGATAACGAATCAAAGGGATCGGTTCTAATACATACGAATCAAAGGCTTGCTCATAGGGAATTAATTGACACACCCATACATTCGATCTTCTCAGGACATGATCCTACCCAGCCCCATCCTACAAGTCGCAGTTTCACTCAATTGCTGTCACCAGATAGTCCATCATCATCGGTCACTCATACAGTAACTTCCACTCCCAATTTTTATACATTCATTTGTCACCACTCTTACCGTCGATGCCAACTGGGATATATCTTGACTTGGATGAATCAATTGACAATCATCTAGCCTGTCATGATGTCCAGAGCTTGGTCAATCGGTAAGCGGAGCCTCTGAAGTCGGTTAATATCGCACTTTACTTTTTCACGAAGGCTGTAATGTATGTCATCCGGCACAGTGTTCTCAGTCCTTCCAGTGTTAATCGTCTCGGCATCGTCTTCCTGGTACGCATTCCTTACCAGTCCCTTCCCTTCCTGGACAAGTGTTTTCAATTTCGCAGCGTGAATGCGAATCATCTTCTGTAACTCATCTGAGCTGCCGTCTGGACCGTTCTGATGTAGGTCTGTCTGAAGTCAGCGTGTCTGTGCCGGGTATGGGTCGCATTCTCGCAAATTGAGATGGGGTCTCTAGATATCTTCATCATGCTCAATATGTTTGTGGCCAATTGTGATGTACGAATAGAAGCGTTTGGGATTGACGAAAGCGAACGGTTCGTAACTCACCAGCCTCGCCAACAAGTGCGTGGGCAATGTTCACAAGAGACTCCAATACCGCGCTCCCCAAAAGACTGGAATCGTCGCTCGTAAGGCGATTCAAGTCTTCGTCAGAGAAGCGAAACTTCCATAAACACAGCCGTTGCCGTTCTTCGTTAAGCACAAACCGTTCCATATCCCAGCTGTTTTTCGGGTGGCAAGTGACTTCCATATCTTCCTGATTTGGCATCGGCTCTGGCGAACAGATGGTCATTTCGGCATCAAACGGAGAGCTTGATTCATAATCATGGATCGCTTCAGTTTCATCTGTGGCGATGCTGTCTGGGTCTAAGCCTTGTTCATCCCAGTCCCCGCATGACGATGGCGAACTTAACGGCGCCAAGGCATCGCGAGAATCAGGAGATGTCAAAGGCCAAGATTCCTGACGAAGAATCAATGACCAAAAGTCAAAAATAGAAGCGCACAGGCGAGATGCGACACCATGGCCTCGGACGTTGTGGTTGGATTCATGTTGTTCATGGATACCGAGTGAACTTCGGGTGCCGGCCTCGGCCTTAAGTGCTCCTAATCGGGGATGTGGTAGGGGATGGGCAGAATCCTCAACATAGTAGACATTTCCAACTCCGCTCATAGTTTGGGTCGAAGTGATAAAAGTGGGAAGTGAGTCTGCTATGTTGTCCAGTTCGACGTGACGAGCCTCTTTGTTCAAGGTAGGCGATGTAGACAAAGCGATAGCGTCTGGGTGAATGAACGTCTTCACCCGCTAAGATGAGCGGTGTCTAATAAGAAATTGAAAATGAGAGGGGGAAGGCTTTGGGACAGGGCTACCAGGATCAAGCAGAAAGACTGGAAGGTGTACGCAAGTCGCGAGCTGGGTGCCCAGTTGATTGCACCCGCATACAAGCTCGGAGGTCGAGGCTCGACATGAATGAGAGGCAGCCTCGAGCCAAGAGCATCGGAATGGAAATTCTTGGGGCGATGTGCATCCATTACGTCCCTCGTGGTGGGAGAAGAAAGCTCGATGGTGTGGAGGATGATCGCCCCTGGATGGACAATACTGCGTAGACATCACATGCAACGGCCATGTACACCGTCTAACTTATCCATTGGTCGGAATTGTGCGCACCAGTTGTAATTTCGTAGTCACGCGATGTGGTTCTTGACCCCCAATTACATCTCCAGATGTGCAAGACGTCAGAAGGTGTGGCTTTGGGCGTGCTTCCGACTGGCCTCATAGTCCTCGAATGGTGTTGGTGGTGCCAAAAGAAGCAATTGCCGAATACCTGACTCAATTTCCAAGGAGATGCCGAGATAACGATCAGGCTGACTATCACAAGCTGGCATCGTGACCACATTTCTCGGGGCTGAATTGAAGTGGCGCCTGCAAGTCCTTCCAAGTGATCAAGCCCCAGAGGTAAGTCAGTAGCCCATGATTCTATTTCACACTGTGCAGAGCGTGCTATCCGCTCGTCCGTCTTTATCCCTTATTTATCTAAGCAGCCAAGGTGGAATATCATGGCATTCTTCTGCCTCCCGTGGGCTGTTTGATAATCCAGGCCAGCGTTAGAATACATACAGAAGTACCAAGACTAATCTCATTGTCCCTTATAAGAGAGAGTTGCTGAAAGGCTGGTCCCTCGTGGTTTTCCAATAACAATATCACCTGGTCAAGTTTTTGAGTATCTTTATCCCTGCAGGCATGCGAATGCGGCGATGGCATGCGAAAGGCAGATGAGGGCATGAGGCATTGTGGCTTCGAATACTCTTACAATGGAATCAGCAATGCTCGATATTTTCAAATCTCATGACTCAGACTATACATTGCTGCCAGGATTTGTCAAACACACTTAGATCGCCAGCACCTATTTTGTGGCCAAACTGATGGGTGGCGGGGGGTGGGCTACCGAAATGGCATAACACTCACGTCAAGTGGCAGGATAGAGCACTAAACCGTATTATTCGAGCAGCATTTATTAGGTAGGGGCGGAGAGAATACGAATGAAACATGAACACAGTTCGAACAATTTAAGACCCCGAAATTTCCACCATATTCCAACCCAAGCCGACAACGAGTATCCCTCAACACACATAACACAGTGTCCAAGCTGATCCGCTCAAGACAGGCAATGGCTGGGCATTTGATTCTGAGCTACATGGAATAGCAATGGAGAGCATCATAGACAAAACGACATGTATCTCACTATCGACTACCCGGTCGGGTTTGGATCTGCGGCCGTGGTTGGGAGTACGAACCCTGGGATGTTCTTCTGAAGGTACACCAAGTTGGCCGCCGAAATCCCGCCACCAAGGAATAATGAACGGTTCTGGGCCCTATTCGATTGAACGATCAGCTCATCCGGATGGTAGACCGAATTGTGGTCGCCACCGTCCTTGCCGATGCCCATGCCGACAAAGGTGGATGCATCCACTATGTTGTTGCGCACGATGCCTCGAGTCTGACCGGGCAAGAGCGGGCTGTATTCGTAAGGGGGTGGTTTCGTGAGCTCATCCAGGTCCTTGTCGCTCAAGTGCCATTGGCCTCGTTCGTCATTCCGACCGCGGGCCTGCAACAGCTGCTTCAGTCGCAGCCCCTCCTCCAGTCCGGGGCGCTTTTGGACGAGCTGGTCAACTCGGCTGACGACCTCAATGTTCACGGTGATGTCGGACTCGCCTAAAGACCGAATAAGGCCGACTTGCGCCATTTGTAGAGCGATGACCAAGGTTGACTTGGAGTCGTTGAGCTCCCTTCGCAACTTGTCGAGCACATCTTTCTCTCCTTGGGCGTTGATGAAGTGGAGCAGCAGCTTGGACAGTCCACCGCCAATCGCCGACCTCTTGTCCAGGTCTTTAATAACGCTGTCAAGCTCGATCGCCTTTCCAACAACCAGCGAGGCTGCCTTGCAGACGTGATCGAGCTGCAGTTCTTTCTCAGTTACGATCAGGTCAAGAATCATGATCGTGGCCTGGACGTCATCGACCACGCTCTGCAGGTAAGAAATGCCGTCTTTGTGGCGCGCCCAGGCCTCCTTGGCTTGCTGAAGGATCCTCGCCGACTGCTCGAGAAGCTGTACGCAGGCAGCCAAGGCACCAAGAGCTTCCTTCATCGATTATCAGACACCCAAGTCCGTTCCACGAAGAAGTGGGTATGGGGTCATACCATTGCTGCGTGTTCGCTGAGATATGCCAGTTTCCCTGTATCTATCTAGCGTTGGAATTGGAGGATATAGATTGTGGACTTTATCCGTTAAGAGAATTCTCGAGAAGGGTTGTGGAAGGAAGGCGTTAAGATAGGAGTAGGTAATATCCAAGAAGTGCCGGTTCGAGGGAGATGTGAGTGTGGGAGGAGGAAGTATACATCGGCCGCGGCGAAGGAATCGGGTTGGGCATCCATTGAAGAGACCACACAACTGACCCACACAAGTCCTCGGAGTCAGGGCCAGACTTGGTCATCCAGGCTAGACTTGGCAATCCGGTCTGATGCTGCAATGTGCAGCAATTCTGCCATTCGATTGGATGCCTCGTACGTACCGACACATCAAGCAGGCTGCAGACCTGGTGGGGAAGAGGAAAGTCCAATCAAACATATCCACATCATACCTCCGTTCGCCTCACTTTCAAAGTGAATAAGCTGAGGCACATTCGATATAGGACCGTACAAGGTTCTTCCCGACGCTACTACATGCCGCGCAGTGGAGTTGGAATCAACTTTCACGAGGCGAGAGGATCTGATGGGCTAGGCACTCCAGGCATCGGTCCGGGACCACGACATCAAATAGGAACTCCGAACTCTCCACTACAAGCGGCAGGTGACAAAAATGGCAAAAGTCTTAAGCCGCAAACGGTAAGCCGGGTAGTGGACCAGTGAGGAGCTGAAGATCAAGGTAGTTCAGTTTACCTTGGAAGACTGACACATCCCTTCTGTCAGCATTGTTACTAATAATGTCAAGAGGTTAGGGTGCTCTAGTACACACATACCTAGAGGGGAGACTAGAAGTTTAATAGTAAAAGAAAACACTAATAATAGTTATTTATAATACTAAAAACCGCCAGTTATAATAATAAAATAACTTCTTTTAATAATATACTAAATAGTAATAAGTTAATAAAGTTGAATCCCCTCGGCTGCGTTCCGTCGCTGTCTTTCTGCAGGTGACAACCAACTAGTGAGCGCAGAAACTTCTACTCGGATTTACGATATTGAAGAATTCACCGCCCCACTGCAAGTGATGTGGAAAAGGCAAAGTACTGCACAGTATCATCGTGAAACACAACCAATACTAGGCACGCACAAAGTATCTCCTTCCTTCGTTAAACCTATACTCAGCTACTCTATCCTCGTTCAGGTTATATGACAGCTTGGAATTTGAACTCTCATTCCAACTTGTCCTTAGCCGCGACAAGAGCCTCCTCAAAGCCAATGAGCTTGCCGTTAACTCCGAGCTCCTGATGGCTTATGACCCTTCCAGGGTCTAGGTTCTCCCAGTCAGTCACGGACTCGCTCCAGCGGAGCTGAGCCGCTAATTCCTTCCCGTAGGGTCCGTAGAGCGCTTCAAATGCTTCATCAGAGACCTCAACATACTTAGTTGGCTTGCCCGTGACCTTCTCATAATAGACAGCGAGATCCCGAATGGGCTTTAGGTCGGTGGTACCCATGGCGATGCGGTCAAATGCTTTGGGACCAAGCTTGAGAAGAGCTTCAACGATGATGCCAGTGTTGGTCTCCAGGTCACCCGCAAGGGAGACTGTTGCCGATGGTTTGGAGGGGAGAAGGAGTAGGTAGGCTCCAGAGCCAGGCTGCCGCGGAAAGTATTAGCCTGCGCCCATTTCTATACATTGAGATGGAACTTCGAAATGTATCACTCACCGGCTTCACTGGCTTAGTGAAAGGAAGGGTCCACAGGTTTGATGTGTAAAAGCCTGCCCAGTACTCGGACGACTTTGCCCAAAGTTCGGGAGTGTTCTTTCTGATCCACTCCACGCCTTTCTCCTTGTAATCAGAGTGCGGCACTTTGAACTTTCCACCCGAGCTCTTGTCCGCGGGCGGTAGAGTGCTGAGAACGAGATGCTCCAGAGTTTTGGACTTTGAAGCTGCAACAGCCAGGTTTTTGAATTGAATCACCTCTTGCTCACCGGCGCCGTCCAAGCCGTGACCTGGAATGAATTCCCAGTAGAGAGTCACAAGGAAGATTCCGTAGGCGCCTTCAACGGCTCTCTCGAGACTTTTCACGTCAAAGAGATCTGCAGCCACAACTTCGACACCCTACAAGGTAAAGGCTTGGATAAGCCAAAGGTCAAAGGGACAGCCATGTCAGACAGCCGTGTCTGGAAGAGTTATAAACGACTTACTTTAGATGCCAACTCCTTAGATTTCTCCGAATTCACATCACGAGTGACTCCTCGAACTTTCCACCTGTTGTCCTTGAGGAGTTGCCTGACGACGGAGCCTCCCTGGGCGCCAGTGGCACCAAAGACGGTGATAAGAGACATGTCTGGAGTGTGTTGATGTTTGTTCTAGGTCGGAGTCTCAGAGAATGTCTTGTGCGGTAGGGATCGGAGTGAAAAGAGTTGCTTTTATGGTTGAGCTTGGAAGAAGTACGGATTGATACTTCGAATACATGCTCTTTTATACCCCTCGGCGAGCCTCGAGCAATCTAACACTTTCCTGGGCTGACAGATTCTTGCCCGCGACAACACATTATTCCGAATCTCGCGACACATTATTCCGAATACACATATTCCGAATCCCGCGAGAATACATCATTCCGGATCCCGCTTACTAATCGGCTCTAGCAGCGCGAGGCGAAACATACGTTACCACTTGTTACAAGGAGCGGACCAGGTTGGGTTAGTCCTGGGAAAGGACCTTAGGACTGATTCTCGAGGTTGTAAGCCTTCCCCCACCGTGTCTGCGAATCCTCTACATCCGGCTCCTTTACACCCGGCATCAACTAGACGTGGATCACCCCAACAGGAGAGTCGGCTCTACATGCCAGTAGAGAAGTAAGCAATTCATAGTCCCGGGCATCTATCTGCCCATGTATGTAATACAACGTCTTGTATTTGGAGACCGAGTACATGCGCGCTGGCTGCCGTGTAAGTATAGTCAATCTTGTCTCGGCTACTGAGCGCCCCCAAACCTCTAAGCCCTCCGATAATTGATGCTACCGGGCGTACGCTACGGTCGTGATGAGCGATGAGGGGGTCTGGGACCTACCCCTCCCTGACATACATGGGACCAGGGCCAGTAATCGCAGATCCTTATGCCGGATACCATCGGCGGTGCTGAATTAGTTTTGCGCTACACCCGCTACACCCGCTAGATCCGGCATGTCACTTAACTTAGGCAAGTTGTCATCAAACCTGTTTCGTCGCGGAAAGGTCGATCGGCAGTCATGAATTGGTAGGACAACCATGATCTGTAGGTGCTTACGGAAGATGGCAACTTTAAAGTGAAGCTGGGTGTATTAAAATGATGCAGTTTGGCAGCTATTGTCCTCATGTCTTGCTCCCAGTTAGCTTCCGAGACTCAAAACTTGACGCTTGATCATTCTATCATTCCAGCGTCACTTCACCACCCGCTTGGCTACCCCTTTATGCTTATTCACGGACGGCATGTCGGGGCTTTTCCCCGACCTCTGCTCGAATGATTATTAGATTCAGTGAGGGATAAAGTGGAGTTGAAAGGATTCCTCACATCTCGGCATTTGCTCGGACCCGCTCAGCGGGAGTAACCTTAACCGTAACCTTAACCGTGACAATCCCCGAAATGCCGATGATTCGACTTCTTCCCGCCATAGGAGTGCCGAGATAATGAGCCTCACCTGGGACTTAGATCGAGGTGGTTCGGGACAAGGAATGAGTAATGTTCAACCCGTGCTGAGATCCCAATTTATATTCTTACGCTTCCTTTTGTGCAAGTACAACTACAACTGGGTGATGTATTCCACAAGTGCAGTTCAGCAGCGGGGCTACGGATTGAAATGTAAGAGGCGAAGCCACCCACCCTTAGAAGATTGCTGAGAGTTCTATATGCTACATTATGTACAGAATAATATCCTTGAAGTGGGAGTAGGCCGGAAAGCCCAGATGAGGTTCGTGGGTTATGTCGAGGCAGACCGGGCCACCGGAATGTCAGAAGAAGGGTCACGAGGCTGTCGTCACTCATTTGGATCGCGGACCGGTCGGACTAATAATTTTGGAAAGATTTACTACATGTATCAAACGATCATAGGGTCGACACTCAAGAATTCATTTCTGTTTTCGTTACATCTCCTCGCCTCGTTACCTTTCAGGGTTGGAATGCAATCTTATTTACAGGTAGCAATATCGTCCTTGAAGCCTAGCACACTAAATTTCTTGCAGGTTAACGTCCTATGGTCCACTCTCGACCTCATCACGGCATAATTCTATCTCTCACGTAAATCCTCAACCACGCATGCCCTTAGGGGCTTTTCGGCCATAACAACTTAACATGTTTGCGCATCACCAAGTCCCAGGTCAACGGCAGCCAACAACAACTCCATGAAACCAGCACTGGTTGCCTTGAGGTTGGAGTTGTACTGAGCAACCGTAGGATAGAACGGGCAGGACGCCGCGCTGTTGCCGAAACCAAACTCTACCGTGTATGCGTGAACAAGATTCTTGCTGGTGTCCGCAAAGTGGCGCGAGTAGGCGTAATCGTCGCTAGCACCGGATGTGGGATACAGATCGGATGCTTGCATAGCCGTGTAAGAACGGCCGCCTCCCGCAGACATGGCGGAAACCATACGGTTAGCTGCGCCGATATTGGCGTCGCTCTCGGCTTGAGGCGTATACTCGCCGTAGCCTCTGCCCGAACCGGGCGTGTCGGAAAGGACCCCGCGGACACTGTTGTAAGTGCTGTTGAGAAAGTTCATATACGGGTACCTGGACTGGTTGTCGTCACTGCCCCAGCTGTAGAGCACGTCGCCTGCGTACGAGTGCAGGTCAACGAACCAACGGACCTTGGAGTAGGTATCAAATACCCACTTGATGTTCTTGGTCTCGGGCTCGGAGAAGGCGCTGGTTCCGTGGTACGTCTCAGAGCTGGTCGAGGTGGAGGCGACGCTGGACTGCACGCTGGACGCAAAGAGGTTCTTAAAGTCCCAGAGGAAGTCGAAGTTGCGGTTCAGATCCACGCCCACGGATCCGCCCGAGTTGGGGTTGCGGTTCTTTCGCCAGCAGCTGTTGGACGACTGATCGTAGGCAACTCCGTCGGGGTTGCTCAGCGGAATAAAGACAATTCCGGCAGACAAGGCGGTCTTGACTTGCGCATTAGTATACGTCTTGGTTCCGTACGTAAGGCCAACGTTGTTCTTGTTGGCGTACAGCAGATCCGAGATAAAGTACAGCACGCTGTCCATGGATCCGCGCTCTCGAGCGTGGATGTTGCCGTTGAAGAAGACACGGTAGGCGTTGTTGCAGGTGCCTCCGGTGCCCCCAACCTTGGCTCCGAGCACAGTGGCGCCTTGGTAAGTCTTGTACGGGGTCTCAAACGTTGTGATTCCGTACGTGCTGGCGAGGCCTTGCAGACCGCTCTTGATCTCGGCGACGTTCAGGAGCGTGCTGAAGGAGGCGCTGGATTGCGTTCCCAGTCCTCGTGGGGCTGTTGCTCCGGCACTGAATCTATCGCCGGTGCCAATGGGGGTTCCATTGCTCGTTTGACGACGGACAACTGTCCTCATTTCACCGCCCTCGCGCTCTTCGGGGAGAAGACATCCCGATGTCACTGAAGACAGCGCGAGCAGCGTGCTAAGAAGAGAGGCCTTCATTGTCACAGTCAAGCCCGAGGAACAAATAGAGACAAAAGTTGCTGCTCTCCACTTAGGAAATCATGACACATACATCATCTTATATACCTATTAACACCAATAGCAACTGCCTTGCTCGGCTCGAAACTTTAACGCATGACTCTAAATATTAAGTCAACAACCCTATATCTAGCACTGATAGTACAGAAAGCCCTCTATATTAGGCAGTTGACAAAAGATAAGGTTGCACCGACTTGGGAACTGCTCGATAAGGGTTAGTGTCGGCTTTGGACTTTAGCTACCTTCTCGCTTTAGCCATCTCTCCAAGCGAAAGTCCAGCGGGGTTTCAAAAGTCCTCCGAGATCTCCACTTGCACCACCACCCTAACCGGAATTCACACACAAAGATACCAATCATGTAGAGAATAGACTAGGAATAGTAAAGGCAACTGCATTTTCGAGTCCCGAGATCGAGGCCTATACCAAGCCTTGGTTTTACGGCAGAATCACCATATGCGGCATCAATCCCAGAGGCCCTGGATGAAGTCTTGGCGGTCCCATTCCCATCGTCTCTATCTACCTTAAATTCTACGGTATCTATTCCGTTCTTCGACAGGACAGTTTGCACGCTGTGGCAACGGAGGATTCTGTGCTAGGAAGAATATTTGACATGTCATGCACGCGTTGTAAATTATCTTCAAAAGTTGGGTCTTTAACAATTAATGTAAGCGGTCCTATGATCATCGCATCGCGGCCTGAGCGCACAATCAAAAAGTCAAGATGGGCGTGCCATTTTGAATCCCCCCGTTACTGCATAAGACTATAATTATAGTAGAAGTAGTGAGGGAAGTAATATCTGAAGTATAGAGTCGTTTGAGGGATAGGTTATTTTTAGGAAAGTGAAAAAATTCCACTTTTTCTCGTGCTCCAGGGTAGGTTCACTGATTGAGTGTTGCTTCTAGCAATGAAATATAATGAGATATTTAGTATCGTTGAATAGATAGCAGCGAAGCCTCTACTATACTTCTGGTCCTTAGACGCCAACCGGCCTAGGTGGAGACTTGTGAACCCATGTAAGCAATACAAGTCCCCCGGGTTGATGACTGTTGGCACACCTTTGGATCATAAGTAGTAATTGTCTCAATTATATGCACATTAGTCACTTCTAATTATTCTGTTTCAAATATCTAACGGTCGGCACCCTTCCCACTATTCACATGGGCCACGCTCAAGGGTTTGAGCTCTATTGAGTTCTCGTCGCTCAAGCTTACCCGTTCGTGATGTACCCTCACTTCTTCCGTTTTCAAGACGCCACCCTGTCTCAGCGATGGTTTGGATTGGCTGCCTTCTGCATCCTGTAGAGCCTCTTGAGACTCCTGCCACCCTGCAGTTGACATGATGAGAACAGAGTTCCGGCCGTATTTAGAACCAAAGCCAAATCGCTTCGATTTTCTCTGGTCCGAGCCATCTTGAATATGGCTTCCCATTCCTGGTTCAAGTGGATTCGTCTGCGATTTATTTCGAGGATAACTTTTTTGACTCGACTTGAGCTCCCGGTACAACATCCTCCTGTGTTGCCGTTAGTCACCTGATTTCAGCAGGCAAGGAAACTGAACACTAAAACTTACAGAATAGGGATCGAGATTGCCATGATGGAGGCTGCGGGCTCCGTCAGTGTCCAGATGGTTAGATCAACGCGGGCATAAGTGAAGTCAGTACTGGTCATGTTGACCACCAGCACTGCTTTCACAATCCCCGTTATTCCGGCACTATTCAGCATTAGTCAATCACCTCAGGTGCAATACGGTGCTCTTGGGGGTTCGTACATGGCACCTAAGCTCATTGCTACGGCGACTCCAAGCCTCTCGCGACGCCGCATCGACATGCCCATGATGATCTGCCAAGGAAGGAATGCCAACACGAAATCCAGGATCGCGGAGTAGTCTGTAGAGCTTGTTAGTTCATTGGAAAATTGGATGTCGGATCCGTTCTCTTGGTCTTACAAGCCGCGAATAGCTGGAATTTGACGAGACGCCTCCTGTCCCAGCAAGTCCCCGGTACATCACTATCCCACACCTTTTTCAACGGCGTGCATTTGGCGAAGCCGAAAATCCACACCAGATTCATTGATACGTTGATGGTAACAATGACAAAGATGAGGAAGTATTTCATCCACGCATTCGTAGCGATCCGGTACAATGTCATGGCAAACGACGTCTTGCTCGTGGTTGTTGCTATAATCCCGAATGTCGCCACAAGGATCGTATTGAGGTTGATAGTCTTCAGATTCTCGTCACTGATGGTCCAAATGTGACTACCAAACCCAAGAGACACGATGTAGGTATTGATCGACACGGCGATCACCAATGCTACCTAAGACAAGGACATGAGTTACCGAACAGTTGGGGCAGTCATCTGTGACAGAGATTCACCCCGACCTACCATGGCGATGATCAGCAAATGGTCGTCCCACCACAGGCCTCTACCGCGCCACAATTTGCAGTATAAGCGCAGGAAGAGCAATATGGCAGCTGCCGCTGTCAGAGTCCAACAGGAGGCAATAAGCCGGGTGCCCCTGCTATCGGCCATTGTGACACTCGCTGCACGCACCAAGTTGCAATGAGGGGATGATCAAAAGCAACAGCTGCAGAGCGTAGGGCAGTGACATGCATCAGATGGCAATCCCATCCACATCCTGGCTTTCCGGTCCCTCTCGACCTTATATTTATTAGTCCCTCCGTTGATCCTCCCTCCATTGACCGTCCTGCTGGAGCTTCCCGGACGCCGTGGCGCAAAAGTTCTGTCAAGTGCGCTCATCGGCGACATATTTCGGTAAGGATCAACAACGCTAGGCGCTCTCACGAGGCACCGTGCCGTTTCACTAGCACACCGGGGATTAGAGTTGAGACGACCACTCAGCTCTTGGGCCCAATGAGCTGATGGAGGGGAGGCATGCCCCTTTGTCCCTAATCATGTCCTTCACACCATTCTCAGGCAGTCTCAGCCACAGTTTCCTTTCCTCTAGCATGTTACGGGGATTGTATCGAGTTGTTTTCATTTTACTTGTTGGAAATAACTGCTTGTCATACACTGAACTTTGCACATCTTTCATAGCGAGCTGTTTGATTCACATGGAATAACATCAACAAATTTATCATTGCATGTCTTACAAAAATACCCTGACGAGCTGACGGGCATGGCTGACAGTCTGGTGTGATTTGCCTGACTCAAATATGACAAGGGGCTGGTTTGTTGATGGTGCGATGAGCACGAGTCAGTTCATGTTGACCACTCAAGCCTCACGCCTTGGACTCTCTCGCTACTCCATCCATCACGCGGAAACCCACACCCGAAAGCAAATATTAAAACCCGGGAATTGGGCTGCTTACCCCTGATTCAAGTAATGGGATTTCTAGCCACGCTATCATCTTCGCGTCTTCTCATGCCGACCTAGCGTTGAACCTTCTGATGATATGACTTTTCTATTCGTGCGCTTTTCAAGCCACTTAGATCATCGCTAGCCATTTCAGGTTCCCACGAGTCACGCTACCGAGGGTCTAGCAAGCTAAGATTCTAACTAAATCTGGGAATAGCGGCCACTTGTTCCGGGACACTTCCGGCATCCGGACGGGCGGGAATCCATTAACCAGCAGGTAGAATGAGAGTAGATGTAACGCTATTTGCAATTCTAATGAAAAAATGCAGAGAAACTTTGAAGTAATGACAACGGTCGGCTACAGCCGCAAGCTCACTTCACACAGAACAAGCGAACCATGTGGGGAGCTGAAAGCATGATCCACAACGCGGGCAAGGGGATGAATCGTCACTGATCTGCCAGAGGCTGGATACATTTGGTAGTGATCGACAGAGTCACTAACACAAGTCGGTGGTGTCAACACCGCAACCATCCCTCATGTGGGAAAGCATGCGAGTCCACGGGATCTCTGGCTACGGTCCGTAACCCGGTTTTCCGGGCGGTGCATCAAGATTTTATTCCAATATGATATGACGAGATAATTTCTTGAGTTCATGAAATTATTGGCCCACTACCAGCTTGAACCAGTCTCGTTATAAGCGTGCCTTTGCGATCTGCAGGAGACATGGCGCTAATGTGACGAACCTCCCTCCCTTTCGAAACTCTGGCAAGCCACGTCTCGTCAGACGCTCACCATGCATTCGTACGGACGAAACCTTCTCTTGGCGCTTCTGTCAGGCTTGACATTGGCGGAGTCCTCCCCAAGCCCGTGTGGTTCAGCTCCCTCGGTCCATCTTGACAACGGCACCTATATAGGCGTGCACAACGAGCAATATGAGCAGGACTTCTTCCTCGGCATCCCATACGCGCAACCTCCCGTTGGTCCTCTCCGTTTCGCATCGCCTCAGCCACTTAAGGAATCCTTCGACGAGCCTCGATCCGCTACCGAATATGGGTTGATGTGTATTGGATACGGTTCGGATACTGCGAACCTAGGCAATCCCGTTTCTGAGGACTGCTTGACTGTCAACGTCGTCCGTCCTGCAGGTACAGGAGCAGGAGATGACCTCCCGGTCGGTGTCTGGGTGCATGGAGGGGTGAGTTCTCGTGGTCAAGACACTTGATTCTCGGCTGTTGCTGACCTTGATTCGACAGAGCTACGTGATGGGAGGTTCGCGTGACCCAAGGTATAACCTCAGTTACATCGTCGATCAATCCGTGAAAGAGAACAAGCCGATCGTGGCCGTTTCAATCAACTACCGACTCTCCTACTGGGGCTTCCTGTTCGGAAAGGAGATGCAAGACGCAGGGGCCGGCAACATTGCCTTCAAGGACCAGCGTATGGCGCTGGGATGGCTTCAGGACAACATCGGCGCGTTTGGGGGCAGCCCGGACAAGGTCACAATCTGGGGAGAGTCAGCCGGCGCTCGATCTCTAGGAATGCAGCTCGTCGCCTATGATGGAAAATCCGATGGCTTGTTTCGCAGCACGATACTCGAGAGTGGCAGCCCCGTAGCCAAGTTCGTCCGTGCCGAGGCCTGGCAGTCATACTTTGATGCTCTAGTTGAGCAGACGGGATGTGCTGCGGCTGCTGATCGATTGGACTGCCTGAGAGAACTTCCCTGGCAGACACTCAACAAAATCTTCAACGGTACCACGTCGTTGGGTGTCACTTCACCCACGCTCAGTGCTGTAATCGATGACGACTTTATGACAGACCAAGCAACTCAGCTCCTGAGTGAGGGTAAATTTGCCCACGTCCCGCTTCTACTTGGCAACAACTTCGACGAGGGCACAGCGTATGCTAAACAGGGTATCAACACCACGGCACAGTTCCAAGCCTGGCTCACTAGCTTGGGCCTAGACAGCACTCAAGTCGCAAGCATCACGGAGCTGTACCCGGATGACCCTGACGTAGGTATTCCCGCCTCCTACGTTGGTCGACCTGCTGCGAACCCATGGGGCCTGCAGTGGAAACGAGTGGCGGCCTTCGCGGGAGACTATCAACAACATTGTGGCAGGAGACTACTGGCAGAGTCATACGCTGGTGTTGATCTACCTGTATACTCTTACATGTGGAATGTCTACGTCAATGGCCTGGGACCTATTTACGGAGCAACGCATTTCCAGGAAGTTGCCTTTGTTTTCAACAACATCCAGGCGGCTGGATACGCGACTAGTCCGTTTGAGAACAAACCTGTGACATACATTCAGTTGGCCGACCTGATGAGCAAGATGTGGGTGGCCTTCATTCACGATACCAATCCCAACCTGGGCAAAGGCTCTTCGGAAGCTGTCGCATGGCCGCGGTACACGCTCGCACAGCCTGACAACCTTGTATTTGATGTCAATCGTACTGGTTTATCATATGTTGCGGAGGATGATTATAGAAAGTCAGAGATCTCATATCTCTTGCAGGATGTGTTTTAGAAACGAAATACACCGTCGCTAGCATAGATTTGTCGGTTGTCAATGATTTCTATTACTGCGTGAGAACCCTTGAGGTGCCGCCTAATTACAATACACGATACGTATGTTAACTGAACATCTGAATCTCTGAATTTCTGTATGCACCCATCCTTTAGGTATTCGATTATGTGTTGCATATAGACAGAAAAAGTATTTGCCAGTCGCAGTGTAAACCGCCTAACATTGAAGCATTACAACTAAACCCGCGTCACCATCCAAGTCACTCTCAGTACCATGTCCTATTTCATAAATACAGAATAGCCCTAATTAGTTAAACACTCGTCAACATTCTAGACCGACGACCATTTAATAATAGCCCATTGATCAATTAAGTTAATTGTCATATGACCGTATGGAATTAATATACCAAATGTTCCTACCTACCGTGAGTAATTTCGGCACTAGTCATGGAGACCAATTCCTCACCCAGCTCCCAGATTCGTCTCGACAGAGCTACATCTTCTGTGCAAAGCTTTTTTTTTTCTACACACATGCGAAAAGAAGCGACTTCTCACAATGCATATCAACTATGAATAAGCCGAGCATGCCCAAGTACAGTGCGTTCAGTTCAGCCCGAATCTCGACGTGGATGTGATGACCCTCACAATGGAGCCTTGGTATTAGGATCAACTGCTTCAGTCTCAGCTCACAAGCACTACGCTCGGATAAATGCGTCTCTTAAAAGCAGCCGACTTAGCGGAGCAAAAGCTCATTACTCTTATCACCGGGGGTATTTATTTCCATGCAACGACTTCGGCCCGGGTGGCGTCCGGATGCAACATCCTCGAATGTGATCGGTAGCAACGATTGCGGAGAAGGAGTGAAAACGTCTTACACGTGATCTAGATGATTCCCAACAGACCCAGTGGCGCTACACGGCGTTAATTAGGGACTTGGCAGCTTTGAACTCTGGGAATGATCTTCCATACCTTACGCACTTGGCCTGCCCAGGCCCAGGGATCATCTCCAAACTCTGATAGCAAAACGCCACCATTGTTACCTTGGCGACGGTCCAGATTCATATCGACTCGTATTGATGCCATTACTAATCTTGTTGCTCATATAACAACCGAATTGAATCATGAACATCCGTGCCTTGATTCACCTGCCTTTTTCTTTTCAATTCGAAGTAACATAGTTCGCAAATATTCCATCAAACAACTGATCTTGTTCGTTTCACTCGGCATCGAAATCTCGACTGGAATGCAATATTCTCCAGTGTGGCGTTATCCCAAGAATGGAGCTGTCTTGGGAAAGCCTAAACAGCTTTTCTGTCATTGTTCTGGGTTAGCTCCGCTCATGGCTCGTGGCAAATCCCGATGGGCCGCTTTCAAGTCTGGACTCCTTGGCTAAAACTATATAGCTCCAGGGCTTCTCCCGCAAGGGAGATGCAAGACGAATTTTTTCTTAATCATGGCTTCATGTCTCAATACCTCCAAAGCGACGAGACCCCACAGCATGTCTAATTGTGCCGTTCGAGGAACCTTCTAATCCAACGGGACCAAATACGATCTCACGAGCATCGACAATACCGACCAAAAGCCATGGGCGCAAGTTCTCCAGGGCCACTTCCCCTCCTCGTAAGAATACCAGGTCCATGTGGTCGAGAGGTCGCATCTTCTCCCGTGTTCTAACGCCAAAGCCCAACAGGTTTCAGGATGGCTTCTCACGGGCATCGCTGCTGTGGCCATCATTGCACGACTTTATCTTCGCCTCATAATTCAGAAAAGGAAGTTGCTGTACAGTGATTGGTTCATTTGCGCATCGTGGATATGTGGTACCATAACGAATGTGATGAATACCGAGTTGGCACACCTAGGCGCGTTTGACAAACACGTCATGATGACACTGGATGGGTATCGTGGAGATCCCGACAACATTGACATGATAATCAAGGCGAGTAAAAGACCGTCATAAAACAGAGTCGATCGCTCAACTTCCTGAAGGAAACTTAGCTAACATGTTGTCTTAATTAGTTGCTTGTGCTGTCACATATTCCGCTTTGGTCGACTTTTTACCTTTGCAAAGCAGCACTACTTGCAGCCTACTTACAATTATTCCTAGAATTCATGAAGAAACGAAAAATCTTTCTGTGGGCGACAATGGCCTACAACGTGGCAGCTTACCTTGCGAGCATTATTGTGCTACTCTGTGTCTGCGAACCTGAAGATGATTGGTGAATATTATTCCCCCAGAAGCGACTGTATGGTTTCGCTGACGGACTCGAATCAGGAGTCTAAGCCTTCCCGGATCTTGTGCTATTAATTATGGTGAAAGTATCTTTCTCATATCCTGGGCCCTGCACTTCTTCGGGGACATTCTGGGTGAGCCTGGACAGAAACCTACCGGCCCCATGAAACAAATAAAGACTGACTGTGAATAGTATTTGCGCTTCCTTGGCTCATTGTGCCAAGTATGGGGTTGAAGACGTCATTGAAAGTGGGAGTGTACTGCACATTTCTCCTTGGAGGCATTACCATGATAATTTGCATCGTCCGCCTCGTCACACTCGAGGCTTCAGAGGTTCGAAATAATCTCTCCTTAAGTTTGATGGGTAAGTTTTGTCATGTCCAGTTCATATTTCACGCCAGCAAAAAACCCTGGAATTATCATTGTGCTCGTACGCTAATCTACGCCATTGACTCTAGTACTTTGGAATACCCTTGAATGTGGTATGGGCGTCATTATCGCCTGCCTACCATCTCTCCGCCCGTACCTTCACGACAAAAATGTCACAACGTCGGAAACCGTCAAGACTTCATCTAGAACATCGAATCCCGGGCCTCGCTGCCAGTCCGGCTCTTATTCAAGTACAGCAAGTCCCGAAGGCGTTTAGAGTGGAGCGAGTTTGTCCGCGAGCAAGAGTTGGGGGAAATGGCACTTCAACTTACAATAATTCCAAAGGCTTTTAGAGAAGAAATTCTACCCTAGTAGTTAATAGAGTCGTAAGATCAGTTAAATTTAGCTTTCCAACTTGTATTTAAAGTCACAACGAATTACTGTAAGTGACAATTCCATGCTAGGCAGTGAAAACACCAGTCCCTGCAACTTTAATCCTCGACAATATACATATACATCACCCAAATGACTGAATCTGTGTTCGCGAGATTTAACTAGCATGCCGCTTTCTTGTGACAACCTTACGATGGTCTCTTACAGGAGACCCGTCATCCCCTGACGAGAAATTGAAGCCTAGTCCTTTTCGAATCTACGTAGTCGCACCTCTCTAAATCTAGAAAGTCGTGGACTATCTTGTGCAAAATTTCAACATAAAAGACTCTCTATTCCATCGATTTTTCAGCGTACTCTGTCGTGGAGATTTGAAATCTCCAGTCGGAGCAGGCTCCAGCAATCAATAGCATAGTCTGCATCATCATACTCTTTATTGTAATAGCCATAGACCTCCAAACTCAGGAGTTTCTTTGCTATGAGAGTTATTTCCCAAATTCCGACCATTATCTCATAATAAATCAAAAATATCTCAACCATGTCCTAAAGAATAAACGACAAACCAGTTGGAATTTTCCTCAGCTGTCGAGCTCGGAGACATGGTGCAATGTTGAGGGTTGCCATTTTCGATATCTCGGGTAAATAAATACCTAACAGAACACTACTCAGCTCTGTGGCAAACGATTTCTATCAAATTTGATTTCAGATCACCAGTCCAATGATGGCTGGAGAAACACAGTTCGAGAATTGACGATTTCGAGAAGTCCTTCAGCACGCTACGTAGGCCCGCGGATTGACATAGCTCGCTGAACTCATATATGGCATCGATAAAGAACCAGAACTTTACGGAGAGATTTACATCCCTAGCTACATTCCGGATTTGTTCTTTGAGCTCTGGAACGCCCCATGGCCCCTTGTCGCTTGGAAAGGACCCTGACTACATGAATTCATCGATGCGGGCAGGCTACGCGAACAAAATATGGGCAACACCCGATAACCAGAGAGGAAAGATTATAGAGGGCTTGAAGTGACTTGTGCATACTTGTGCCTGAGCTCTAGAAATAAAATACCGCTATTGCGGTTCTCTTTGGGGCCCAAGCCGAAAGCACATCCGTTAGAGATGAGAGAGGATGCAAATTGAACAGACTACACAACGCTGAGGCAAGGCCACTGGAGATAGAGGATCTACTATGAAAGTTGAACGATATGAACTCGGATAGGAAAGTTCTCTTAAGCTGAATAATCAGCAGAGTTATAATTATTAAAGTGGCATGAGTTTTCGACCGACCCCTCAATGTTGACTCGCTGATTTTCACTTCATGTCACATTCGATTCCTGTATCCCACCACCGCCTTACGAGGAAATCTTCGAGAATACTTGACAAGCTGACAAGCAGAGTGTGTCACTATATCATCGGGGATGAAATGCGCCATCAATTTGTGGTGGCTTAGCCTTTTGACAAGCGAGGGAGGCTGTTGATCCAGGGATGTTCAAGGAGAAGAGGCGAGAGGTGTAATAGTGTCCACCTCAGTTAAGCTACAACAAAAGTCTTACAAATTAATTGTAATAGAAGCCTACCCTAGATAATCAGCTTGGAAATACACGACGATTGGTATGCTATCCAATCTCATGTGGGGCAAGGTATGGACTTGAAACTGCGCACATCCAAGGGGGCACCTTGCTTGACATTCGATTTCTACGTGGTAGCTTCCAGTGAAGGTAACATAGCCATCACCTGTCGATGGGCTATGCAATCTGTTGCGGAGAAGGGTCAATATTGTAAACTCAAGGAATTCGGTCCATGCAGCCGTCAGCATCAGCAAGGGCATTGAGCTGCAAACACCTCGAGTAGATTAGATTCAACTGATACATGACGTCATACATATGATGGGATCCGAGATAGATGGACGTGACAGCTGGCATGACCATGTCGTCCCACTTCCGCTCACTAATGGCATAATGTAGATAACATTCTGATCCACTCTCACCAGGCCATCCCCAATCAGCCTACCCTACTGCCCCAGGACAAAATATCATGAGTTACAGTATCGACTGAAGATGGCTGGGACTGATGTCAAAAGATATGGAGCCGGCCGCTTGCAGTCTGATATCTCGAGGTCGAGGATGAAGGGTCGGGAAATTAGATTTAAGAATGGTTTTTCCCATTAGAACTTCAATCGCGATCTTACGCGCATGATGCCGACAAAGGGATGTTGGTCAAGGCTTCTTCAATTATCTACGGTCCTTCAAAAGCCCTTGCACTTTTTGTCGAGATTTGGTTTGTTACTGCCATTTTGTCAATCTTGCGGACAATGTCAATCAAATTCCGCACATGGCCTTTCCCACCGCTCTTAGCAATCGCAGGATCGAGGGGAAGTGCTCCAGGTCCCTACCGCCCTTGCATACTCCCGTAGACTATATCCAGCGGAAATACACGTAGACAAAGCAAGAAGCTCAATATCTCGTTCAATACCTCATTCTCGAGCATCTCCGTGTTAAAGTGATGCTAGATGTGTTGGGGGGATGCTGGACTCTTGGATAGAAGCACGATCAACAGATGTCAGGAGGCAGAGATGGAAAAATTGCAAGATAGCTATGACATCGCTACAGAGTAAACTGGCGTTGGCTTAGGTGAGATCGTGGCGATGTTAAGGTGGCGTTGTGTCTAGAACGCGACCGCAGCACAACAAGCCACTAGTCCTGCCACTGGCGCAGTTCTTACTGCATGTCCGGCAGCGAGCTAAATAAGGAGCGTTCCTAAATCTGGCGAAATACTTGCAAGTTGAGGAATATATACATCTGAATGAAGAATCCTTTGTTGTCAATATTGGTAGAGCTAATCCAAGCCCGGTCCAAGGAAGCTGCGGCTTTGTGTGGAGCTGGGCCGTGACGGCTAACCAGGGCGCTGGAGATGGCCGGATGTGGCCGAATCATCCGATGATAGGTGGGATGTGGACTGGATCGCCGGATTAGTTAGTCCATAAATGTTGGAATGCGGGAAAAAAGTCAAATCGGATGGGAATAGATGAACGCGAACAAACCCAGAATTTGGACGTGGTTCTAGGAATTGTAGCATACACAACGAAACGCCGTAAGTTACAGACTAGATTCTTTCATCGCGACTTGTGAAAATGTACAATAAAATGAAGCCTGCCGTCATTCCTACACCGCACATGGCGATAGCTTCGTGTCCGTCTAAGCTCGATCCACACTCACCCACTAGCGACCTGCAAGCCTTACCCCGTCCATAAGCCATAAGCGGTGTAATACTCGGTTCGCCTCCGTCTTTAAAGTTCATCGCCTAGCCTCAGATAGACCTTGTTATGTCATTTACAGAGACAAAGCAGCGATGGACCGTTAATCTCTGTTGATCGTTCAATTCTACATGCTTGATTCGGCCATGATTGTGATCGGAGCGTACTTTCCGAGATGCAACGTTGGCCTAACCGGCCTTGGGCCGCGACTATTCGATGCAACTGACGATCGCATCCGCAAGTCGCTTTTCCGGCCTTAAGGACCTCGCCAGCTCGGGCCGTGAGCACTGTTTAGATGGATACGAGCTGTCGCTTGAAAGCTAGGCCTAAGCGAGACTAGATGTTCCCAAACAAGTTAATTAAATCATCCGACGGCTCCCGGAGAAGCCAGGAATATACTACCCCGAAGCTAACGGTGGACCCCGGAATACGACGTGACACAGGAAGTGGCGAATGGTGCCGGCTCTATACGAAGTAGGGCTATCCACAGGTGGAGATGGGACGCAAATAGATCTTCGCCCGTCCTTTTTCCCGCGGCCTGACCGAATCTTCGACGGCATTCAACCGTGACATCTGATGTCATGTGGGGGAATGACCCACCACGAGCTCGTAACGGAGGAGAAGCAGTATTCTAGGTTGAGTTTAGGAATAGCAATCCGCGTATCAAGCCCGGCAATTGTTCGAGTATAAAGGGTACCGTCGAGCCTCTCTCCAGTTCAATCTCATCACTCATCACTCGCTTCACATCACACACTCTACAACAACCACAACAACACCAATAATAATAATATCTCCCCCTTCAACTCTTCACCAACCCAAACCGCAAACATGCAGCTGTCCAACATCCTCTCCATCTTCACCCTCGCCACCGCCGTCTCGGCCGTCTCTGGTGAGTACCACATATAAAGCATCAACACCGCCAATTCCACTAACATACAAATAACAGTCTCCTACGACACTGGCTACGATGATCCCAACCGCTCCCTCACTGCTGTCTCTTGCTCCGACGGTGCCAACGGTCTCATGACCAAGCACCCCAGCTGGAAGAAGCAGAGCGACATCCCTCGATTCCCCTACGTCGGCGGTGCTGCATCCATCGCTGGCTGGAACTCGCCCAACTGCGGCCTCTGCAAGAAGGCCACCTACAAGGGCAAGAGCATCTATGTCCTCGCCATCGACCATGCCGCCAACGGTCTCAACGTCGGCAAGCAGGCTATGGACGCTCTTACCAACAACCAAGCCTCTGCCCTTGGCCGCATTGATGCTACCGTCGTCAACGTCGACAAGAAGTTCTGCGGTCTGTAAACGACCGGGCTTTAATTACGAATTAATAATGGGAATCATGGGTTGGAACCCAGAAACGGCTACTTTGCATTCATCGGCGCTTTAGATTACATTTTGAAGATCATTACAATCATATATTAGATGAATATTACATCCGAGTTTAATTACTCCAATTCGTTGGTCATTTGCGAACCTGGTGAGATATCCAGCTCTGCCTGAGTGACGATGCGGAAAAACTAATTGAATTGGTGGAAAACTGAATAAATAACAACGGCTGCTTGCCCCCGTGACGATGTCGTCGATGCAGTTTCAAACAATGTCGAAGTATTGTGATGGAATTGCGCTTAATGGTTTTGGCGAGAGATGGAGAAGAGGATCGCGAAGGTTCGAAGAGAAACCATGTCCGAAAAAGTGAATGTGACCAGGACTGCGATACCTGGAACACCAGTCGATACTATGGCTCTTCCCACCGTCATTTGTGTAAGGCTGTCAGCGAAGCCCTTAGGAAGGAACAAAGTTAGACCACGTACGCCAAGTACACCGAGAATAACGAGGAGACAAGGAATGTCGCAGGACAAAAAGGTAAATGGCAGAATTGGCACGAAAATGACTTGCCATGTTCCAGTTCCAGCTGCAAAGAGCAGGTATGCAATCAGCGTTAACTGGTGGTGGCCATATCTGATCGATAGGTTGTCCTACTAGTACATGTTAGCTCGGTTGATCACGATCAATACAAGAATGCATCATCGCCCACAATAGGCTGGACCACGGTGTGGATCGGTTCGTGCACCATCAGCAGCCACGATGCATTCTGGAGTTGGTCAAACTCGGATCCTAACTCGAGTTAAGTTTCTATTACTAGTGTAGATAGTGTTAACGTGCTCACCAACAATGGTGTAGGTCGCTGGAGCCTGGCATAGCTCTAGAGTTATGGCTGCGTAATCCGATGGCTTGAATGTGATTTAGATGATGGCTGTTGTGTGAGTGATGCTTGAGATCGAGAAAGGGAATCGTGGTAACCACGCGTGCGTGACGGATTGAGGACTGTCCATCTACCTGAATAGCTCAGGTAAAGAGTAAGCATAGCAGAGAAAGAAATATAGTATTATTTATCAATTTGCAGCTTCGGAATTCATCAGGTAAGGCAGCATCGGTGAACTCAGTAACTTAACCCGTTTGAGGCCATTTATTTTGTTTCTTCTTCTCTCTATGAGCTAATGGTCCAAGCTACAACTCTACCCACAATCCCAGGCGTTGAAATATCATGGAATGCAAGTCCGACGCCAAAGAACCAGAAACTCGCGCCCCGCCACCCGATGGTCCGACGGTGGGACCTCCAGCAAGACAAGCATCTCCATTTGCGCCTATCAAATATAACGACCGCTTTTCACAGTCACAGGCCACACTTTTGACCCTCGCAAGAATCTTGAAAGCAGTTGCACCAATGCAGTGTCACTCCCTTGTCGGCTGGTCAGTTACAAGGCCACGTAGTACCGGGATGGGGAAGGGGGATTCACCAGCGGGTCCCACAACTGAGGCGCAAATCGGGAGATATTCTGTGTTGCCCGTGATCCTGGACTTGTACTCATACTGGCCGACTAGAGGCTTTTAGCACAAGATTTCCAGCCGGAAACACTTTGGGGAGAGAACTTGGCATACTTGGGACAATGACCTGTGGCAGTCCTGCTAGAGGTGCGGTGTAATCGACATCCCATCGCCAGTTGACGTGTGGAGTCAGCCTTGAGACACCATCCATGTAAGTATTTATATCGAAACAGGGATGGAACAGGGTTGAAGCTCACGGTGGGTAAGTATCTCTGTACTGGGGTTCTTGCGGATTAAACGGCCACACCATGACCGTCCCAAAAGCATCAGAGGCCTTTCCAGCACTTTTTATGAGCTTGTCTCGAACGAAACGAGAAAAGGCATCTTTTTGCCGAACCATATCGTGGCGTATGCCAGGCGTGAGGCTCCTTTCAGCAACCCGCCTTTCAATTAGTAAAACGTCAGCTAGTGAGATCGATCATAGCGGCAAACTTGAATACGTACATCTTCTCGCTGCTCACTCTATCTAGGTATGGATCCATCCGGAATTTCCGTCGGTACTCTTCCTGGAAAGGTTTCACAGCATCAGAGAACCCGGCGAGATGAAGATGTGCGGTTGTCTGTTTGTTAGATCAGCGTCGGACCTCGGTAGCCACAGAAATAAGGAGGAGGGTCCAAACCATCTTCAAATCGTCGTATATTGAAAGCCCAGATCCCAGGGGATTGGCCTGCTTCCACTTGTCGTCTAGGTCCAATTCTATTCGTGTACCTTTGGTGAACGCTGCGAGCGACGCGACAAAGCGGTCATGGGTATCAAGAGTGTCCGGATCCTGGTGTGGGAAAGAGGACCAAGGATAAATGACATTGGTCGGAATCTGTCAGCCATGAGAGAAGAACATGATAGTTTGATAAGAGTCAAGGTTACGGGATCACTTACAGAGAGATTGCCTTCGCACTGGTTATGTGGCCCCCCATTTGCGCTTAGCCAGTGTGACGTGATGTGGGATAAGAGTCCCACATCTCGAGCAAAGAAGCCCACTGAGTCAAGGTGACTAAATCCCTCGTCAAAAACGTCTACCAACCCTGAGTATAGATGAAAAGAGCATAACGTATTTAATAAGCGAGTGAGACAGACAAGCGAGTGAGATAAAAATCCTAACCTTCCTACTAGAAATTGCAATAAAAATACCACAAACTATTTAATTAATTAAAACTACTTATTATATTCTTTTTTAAATATCTTAATTACTATTTAATAGGTTTTTATATTATACCTGGGCTTGCTATAGATATTATAGTATTAAATATTTAGTTTAACTAACCTTTCTTAACTACTACTTTTTAAAGATTTAGCTACTATTTATATATTTATATCTATTTAATTAATTACTTGTTTTTTTATTTTTATTATTATAATTTTTTTTTATAATTTTTATTTTTTTATTTTTTAATATTAATTTAGTATTTTATTTATTTTTTAAAGATTTTTATTTTTAGTAGTTAATAAGGTAATTTAATATATAATTTTTTTTATTTTTTTTATACGAAATTATAGAATTTTTAAAATTAATTTTAAAAATTATTTTAATATTTTTTAATTTATTTTTTAAGATATTTAAATTAAAATTTAATTTTAATTATAATTTTTAGAATTTTTAAAACTTAAGAAATTAATAGTTTAATTACTTTTTTAATTAATATTAATATTTATAACTAAATATTAAGCTTTAAGATTATAATTTCTAAATTAAGAAAAATAAAATTAGCTTTTTTAAAAGCTCTTTTAATATTTCTTTTTATTATAGTAATTTTATATATTATATAAAAAATTAAAAAGAATTTAATTTTTAAAATATAAATTATAAAATATTTAATTAATTATTTTATTTTTTAATTATAAGCTTATTTTAATATATTAAAATATTTAATATTAAAAAGCTAAAATAAATAAATAACATAAAATAATATATAAAATTAAATAATTTTTTTATTTTTATAATATCTCTTAAATTATAACAGTCAGGTCTAATCTAAGAGTATAAAATAGATTTAAGGTATAAGATATATAATTAAGTAGATTAGAATATTATAATAAGCAATATAAATTACAATCTAGTAATAGTAAAATAGTAGATTTAATATAACTAAGTATATTAATAGCTAGTAAGGCTATCTATCTATAAAAATACTAAATAAATATATATATATACTATAGTAAATTATAGAAATTATAGTAGTAATCTCAGTAAGCTATTACCTTAAGTTATAAGAATTATAGTAGTAATCTAAGTAATTTTTTACCTAATTGGTTTTTATATCGGGGATTGCTAGATTATAGGAGTAATCTGGGTGATTCTTTATTAATTAGGGAGAAGTAAAAATAGAGTGTTATAGTTCTACTACTTAAGACTGCCTGGTCTTAACCTAGGCTATAATATAATATCTCCCTTTTTGTTAGCCTTATCCTAAGGTTATATTTATAGGTTTTTATATTCTTATTATATCTTATAGGTCTAACTTATTTTCTTAATTATTCCGGCGTGCTGATTATTATATTAGGGTGTATTTATAAATCTACTAAAGTTTTATAATATTCTTTTCTTATATATATTATTAATCAGGAGGGTTATAAAGTTATTATATTCTATTTCTATTATTTTAATAACTATAAGATTTATTATATATCTAAGAAGTTATCTTATTGCGATAAATATATTTATTGCAGGCATTTATGCAATAGTTTAAATATTGCTTCTTTCTGTGGGTTGTATATACCTTTTCTATTAGGGTTTTTACTGATATTTTTCTCAAGTATCCTGGAATTTAGAGGCCTAATAAAGGCTTAAGGCGGATATTAAGCAGGCGGAGAGTTTATTAGCTAAAATACTGGCCAGACTGGCTTATCTATGTACTTAGTATTATTCTTTTTATAAGTGGGATTTGGTATTATTTTTATAAGGCTTATATAAGATAGATAAGATTAATAGGGTATATTTCTAGAAGGAGGTATTACTTATTAAATAACAGACTATTAGGAAGGTCTAGCTTTTAGGAGCTGTAAATATAATTAACTGGCCTTCTATTTTTGGGGTTTCTTTTAGTTTTATTTCTTCTTCTAATATTATTAATAGAAATTCTTTAGGAGGTATTATATATAGATGATATTTTTTATAGGTTTCTACTAGTTATTACTTTTAGAATAGTTTTTCTATTTAATAAGATACTTAGTTTTATTATTAACTTTTTATATTTTAAGAATCTTTTTAATTTTATATTTCTTAGGGCCTTTAATTTTTATTTTTAATTTATTATTAAATTTAACTATAATATTTTCTTCTATACTCTTAAAAAGTAAGATATAGAAAATAGAGTAAAATCTAACTTTTAGTAGTAAGT